CTAACCCTAACCCTAACCCTAACCCTAACCCTAACCCTAACCCTAACCCTAACCCTAACCCTAACCCTAACCCTAACCCTAACCCTAACCCTAACCCTAACCCTAACCCTAACCCTAACCCTAACCCTAACCCTAACCCTAACCCTAACCCTAACCCTAACCCTAACCCTAACCCTAACCCTAACCCTAACCCTAACCCTAACCCTAACCCTAACCCTAACCCTAACCCTAACCCTAACCCTAACCCTAACCCTAACCCTAACCCTAACCCTAACCCTAACCCTAATAACCCGGCCTAACACTACTAAGAGCCCATGCTAACCCTAACCAGCCCCCCAAAAGCCGCCCTTCAAAAAAGCTAACCCTACTAAGCCGTTCCCCGGGTTCCCGGGGGCTGCAAGGGCCCTTCGGGCCCTTCGGGCCCAGCGATCCTAACCTCGGAAGGGGCTTAGTAGTTTTAGGCAACCTCTGGAAGGGCCCTTCGGGCCCTTCGGGCCCTCCGGGCCCAGCGATCCTGGGCCCAGCGATCCTAACCTCGGAAGGGGCTTAGTAGTCTTAGGCAACCTCTGGAAGGGCCCTTCGGGCCCTTCGGGCCCTCCGGGCCCAGCGATCCTAACCTCAGAAGGGGCTTAGTAGTCTTAGGCAACCTCTGGAAGGGCCCTTCGGGCCCTTCGGGCCCTCCGGGCCCAGCGATCCTAACCTCGGAAGGGGCTTAGTAGTCTTCTAAGGCAACCTCTGGAAGGGCCCTTCGGGCCCTTCGGGCCCTCCAGGCCCAGCGATCCTGGGCCCAGCGATCCTAACCTCGGAAGGGGCTTAGTAGTCTTAGGCAACCTCTGAAAGGGCCCTTCGGGCCCTTCGGGCCCGATCCTAACCTCCGCCAAAATATCCGTATTTAACCAAAGAACTTGAAACAATGCTACTAGTAATATTATACTGCTAGAGCTTATATGGGGCTGCGCCCCATACCCCGCCAAAACTTGAATATCCGGATTTTACCCCAAAAAAAATAGCCAGTTATGCTAGAACACATTCATCACCAAGACAACAACAACAAATGCGGCAGCACCGGCAGGCGCAACGCCGGTCGAGCCGTCGGAAAGAGCGGTCCTCGCCGTCGGCGCGGGAGTCGTCCGCGTGGGGGCAGTCGTGGGCGCGGCCGCGAGCGACACGTCGCAGGCCGGGCCCAACCATGGCGTTGCGCACCGCATGCACTCGCAGGCAGCGCCGTCGAGCGTCGGCGCCGCGTCTAGGCAGTTTGGCACATCCTCAGGAACGCACTCGAGGCAGACCCCATCGCCGCGCGCCACTGCTGGCCAATCGCATGCAGCAACAAATGGGCAGGCGAGCTCGTCCTGTCCGTCGAAGGAGCCGTCGCCGCAGTTGCGCACACCGTTGCACCGTGCGGCTGCGTCGATGCAATGCCCATACCAGCCCGTCGCTGCGCCGTCCACGACACTTCCGCACCGGAAGAGACCGCCATTTGACGTCCCTGGCAGCAACTTCCAGCCGTCGTGGGGACACGTCTCCGAGAGCGCATCTGCATTGACCTCGCACGCCGCGCCCAGACGCTCGTCGTCGCACGGCGCCGCGCAGATGCACCGGTCGCGCGCGGGCGCCGACGTCACGTGTGTGCAATGGTCCAGCGCGCCGCAGGCCTCGCACGCGCCGGCCGTGCCGACGTCGCTCACGGCGCACTCGTCCTCGGCGCACGGCGCGTCCGACGCGGGAATCGCCCCACGGAGCGGCTGCCACGCGGTCCATCCGTCGCCCCACTCGAGGCCGTGCGTCGTCGTCGCGACGCCCGTCAACAGGTACGCCGGTCGGCCCGCGTCGTCGAACGCGAGGCTCGGCCGCTGGCGCTTCGCGAGTTTTGTTGAGGAGCAGTCGTCGAGCGCCAAGTGCGTTGGCCAGGCCTCGCGCGCGCTGAAATTCCAGGACACGCCCGCGTCGGCGCTGAACGCGTAGGCGCCGCGGCGCTCGTGGTTGAAATGCGCGTTGTCCTGCGAGTGCATGAGCATGTGTACACCGCGGGCGCTCGTCCACATGAACATGTCCTCGACGTCCGCATCGAAGATTGGCTGCTCCGTCCGGACGTACGGGCCCGTCCACGACGCTGCGCGGAGGAGGCCGGGCGTCTCGGGCTCGTGCTCGCCAGTCGAGGACCACGCGCCGATGATTGCGTTGCAGCAGCACCGCGTGCCCCGGTAGCCAACAAGGACTTCACCCGTGTCCAAGACCACGAACGTCGGGTCCGCCAGTCGGCAGTCCCAGCGGTCCGCGTCGACCATGGCGGCGTCGGCCGTCCAGTCCTCGGCGCCATCGATGACCCGCATGCCCAGCTCGTAGACGAGGTGCTCGGTCCACGGGCCCAGGGCTGAGCCCGACGCCGACCTCCTGAAAATGAAACCGAACCCGTCTCCGTGCGCGTAGCCCTCGGTGAGCAGCAGCAGCGCGCCGTCGACTGGATTGATCTTCGCGTCGACGCGGAACCCAAAGGACTGACCATTGAGACCGATTTCCTCGCCGAGGTCCTCAAAGGGGCCCGTCGGGCTCGTCGACCGCAGCAGGTGCAGCCCCGCGTTGCTCGCGAACGCGTCGCTCGCGCCCGCCGACGTGTTCCGCTTCGCGCCGACGAACGTGTAATAGATGCTGCCCTCTCGCAGCTGGGCCGCGCCCCAGTTCGGTCGGCTTGCGAAACCGCTGCTCGCCTTCGCGGCGGGCAGCACGTCCAAGGTTGCACAGTCGGGGCCCTTCCAGCCGGTGTCGCATTGGCACTCGTTGTTGGTGCAGACGCCGTTGCCGAAGCAGTTGCAGGCTGCCCCGGCTTGTGCAAAGAGTGCGGCTTTGAGGAGCTTGGTTGCCATTTTGCTTTGTGGTTTGCCTGGAGAGCTGAGTTTGAGCAGATTTTGGGCAGCCCCATAGCTGCACGCCGCGGCCCACCCATGGCGCGCGCCGTCGAGATCATGAGCGCCGCGGCCTACGGCGCCGTGCGGCCTAATTTTGGCGTTGAGAACTTGCCCGCCTTCTCCCCCAACGCACTGGCGCTGCTCACAGCGGCACGCGACGAGGCGGCGGCGCGCGGCCACCCTGGCGTCGGCACAGAGCACGTGCTGTGGGCACTGGTGCAGCCGGGCTGCGGCGCGCGCGTCAAGGGCTGGCTGGGGGAGCAAATGCAGCCGGCGGCGCCTTGCGGCGACGACTGGCAGACACACCTGCTGGCGCGGCTCGATGCCAACCCGCTGTGGGCGCCCTCTGGTGCTGCGGCGCTCGAGCCACCGCCTTTCACGGCTTCCATGGTGGAAGTCTTTGGCGTGGTGCGGGAGTTTGCCGCGGGGCCGGTCCGCGACGGCGGCGTGCGGATTGCCGATGGCCTGGTGGCGACGGAGTTCCTGATTGCCGCGATCCTCCTGCACGGCATCAACGTCTGCTCGGAGCTGCTCGGCCGCGCCTCCGTCGGACGCGTCAACTCCTGGACAATCTTCGAGGCGATTCGCATCGACCCTCGGGCGATTCACGTCAATCGCCGCGTGACCGCGAGGTTGGACGCCTTCAGTATAGGCCGTGGTGCAATCGAAGGTCCGGCCCTCGAGCTCGGCGCGCCGCTGCCAGACCCGCGGTCCCTACCCGCGCCCCCGACCGGCACCTCGAACTGGCTCGTCCCTGGCCACGTGTTGATCGGCGAGCGGCCCGGCGGCAGCTGGCCGCAAACACCGGCAGGGCCGGATGCGCTGACCCTCGCCGACGCGGGAGTGACGACGTTCGTTTCTCTCATCGGCGAGTACAGCTCGGAGCGCTACCGCGATCGCGAGTACCCGTTCGACCTGCGGCGCGCCGCCCGAGATGCCGACTTTCTCCATTTTCCCGTCGCGGACTTTGAACCGCCCGAGCAGCAGGCCTTGGTGTCGCTGGTGCTGGAGCTCAAGCGGCGAGTTGTCGCGGGGGAGGTGATCTACATCCACTGCCGGGGCGGCCACGGGCGGACAGGGACGGTGGCCATCCCGCTCATCGCGGGGCTGTTTGACCTGGAAAACGACCGCGCGCAGGAGTATGTGTGCGCGGCGACGCTGGCCAATCGTCCGAACGAAAATCCCAAATGGGGCGTGCGCATGCCAGAGTCAAAGGGGCAGGTCCAGGCGGCGGCTGCTGCGAACGCCAAGGCGCGAGGGCGAGCGCGCCGATGAATTTCCGGCGTGGCGCCACAACGAAAAGAAGCCGTCGTTCCATTACCTCCCTCATCTTCGCGGTCTGTTCCGAAAATGGGCTGTCCCCTTTCTCTAGCCTAGCCTCAATTTAACCGACGGTGTTCGCGCGGTTTTGCGGGACCCCTCCCCGCCTCGTGAGAGAGAGCGAGCCACTTATTGAACCAAGAGCTAGTGTATGGAGATACTAGTTTCATGAGCTCTTGATTATTGTGTGACGCGTACGAGGGCCTCGGTGCAACGAGTGCAAGAGTCCACTGAAGTGTTGATTCTAAATCAGAACTGTTGCTCCTGCAGCCACTGAGCTGCCAAAAGACGCGTGCAACACGCATGCATCTCTGGTTGCTCTTGAGTGCAGCGCTGGCCTTTGTGCCACAGCGCTCCGTGCCGGCGATACGAGGCCTGCAAGCCGTCGTAGAAGACGTTGACGCACTCAGCTTCAGAGAGCTGCAGGCGGCGTGCAAAGAGCGCGGCCTCCCGGCGCGCGGCGCGACGGACGTCTTGCGCGAGCGGTTGCGAGAGCACCTGGCCGACGCACCGTCAGACGCCGGGACGGATGCTGACGCAATCGATCTCGACGCCGCACTCGCAGCCGACGACGACGCCGCGTTCGACGAAGAAGAACTCATAGCCCCCGACGCCGAGGCGGACGACGACGCCGCGTTCTCCGAAGAAGAGCTCATAGCCCCCGACGCCGAGGCGGACGACGACACCGCGTTCGCGGCGCAGCTCGACGCCTTCTTTGCAGAGGACGACGACGACGCAGACGACGCGGCCGAGTCCGCTAGGCGCGCGCTGAAGGCGGCCCGGGCGCCCGGCCCGGCCGCTACCGCCTGGGCCGAACTAGTCGCCGCGCTCGGCGGCGCCGCCCCCGAGGAGGACGACGCGACGCGCGCGCTGCGGGTCTTCTCCCGCGCGGCGGCCTGCGACGACGCCGCGAGGGTGCTGGCGGACTGCGAGGCTTGCGGTCGCCCGGCGGGCGTCGGCGCCTGGAAGCTGGCGCTCGAGGCGTACGCGCGCTCGAAGCGGCCGCGCGACGCCGACCGATTGGCGGCCGAGGCGCGCACGCGCGGCGTCTTCCCGGAAAAGCCGGACGGACCGCTCTACCGCTCGTTGCTGAAGCACTGCGTCGGCGCCTGCCAGTGGCGCCGGGCCATCGCGCTCCTCGACGAGATGGAGGGCCGCGACGACGTCACCGTTGACGGGCGCGACTGGAACCTGGCGCTGTTTGCCGCCGAGCGCCTCGCCGTCGACGCGTCGAAGCGCCGCGGCCGGCTGCGCCGCGCCGACGCCGAGGGGCCCGACCGCGTCATGGCGGCGATGCGCGCCAAGGGACAGGAGCCCACGCCGAAGGGACTCGCCGCGGCCGTCAACGCGAATCGCTACGCCGGGCGGCCGGACCTGGCGCTGGCGAACCTCGCCAGGCTCCAGGCGGCTGTCAAGAAGAAGGGACGGAACGAGCCGTGGGAGCCGGACTACGCGAGGGAGGGCGTCGTGGCCGTCCTCGACAGCCTGAAGCGCGCCGCGAAGATGGAAGAAGGCGACGCGGCGCGTGACAGGTTCGCGAAAATAGCCGTCGCGCTCGCGACGCAGGCGGCCGACGACGCGGCCGACGGCGACGACGAGCGCGAGGCCCACTTCGAGCGGTGCGCCGTGACGGCGGCGGGCGCCTGCGCGCGGTCCATGCGGCCCAACGCGGCGCGACAGGTGCTCGAGGTGGCGAAGAAGCGCGCCGCGCGCGAGGCCGGCGCCTGGCCGAAGACGGTGCTGTACAACGCGGTCCTGGACGCCTTCGAGGCGGCGGGCAGGTCGACCGACGCGCTCCAGCTTCTCGACGAGTTCGATAGGAACGGCGTGCCGTACGACGCCGTCACGTACAATATCGTTTTGAGACTGTGCGCGCGCGACGGCGCCTACCAGCGCGCGGCGGAGCTATTGGACGAAATGGTCGCGGACCCCTCCCCGAAAGTGCGGCCCGACGTCTTCTCGTTCACGACGGCCATCAAGGCCTGCTGCGTCGAGCCGAAGCGGCGGCGGCGCGACGACCCCGCGGCGCGCGCCCGGTTCGCGCTCGGGCTGCTGTCGCGCTGCGCCGACGCCAACGAGGTCACGTTCCGGACGGCGCTGCGTGCCTGCGTCGGCCGGCCCGACGATCCGCCGCCGCAGCGCGACGCGGCCCGCGTGGCGCTCGGCGTGCTCGCGCGCATGCGCGTGGCGGGCTACCGGCCCGACGGCCTCGGCGACGTCGTCGACGGCGCGACGCTGGCGCGCCTGCGGCGGGCGGCGCGCGACGACGTCGGCTTCTCGGCGGAGGGCGCGCGGGCAGCGGAGTTTTTCGGACTTGTGGATCGGCGCAGCGTTCCTGACGAGGACGAGGACGAGTGGGAGTACTAGCTGCAGTTTAAACTGCCGCTCGTCCTTTCATGGTGTTAGAACTAGGGGAGACACGTCCCGCTTCGACAGGCAGCGGGCGCGGCCCGGGCCGCGTCTTTCATAACATCTTCCCACAGGACGCATTCGGTCGCCTCGCCGGGCTGTATTGAACCGTACCCGCAGCGGGACAGAGAACAGGAGATGATGTTAAAGGGGCGGGGAAGGGGGACTCCAAAACGCCTAGCCCTTCGTCGCGAAGCGCATGACGTGGTTGTGGAGCGCGGCGACGATGGACGGGTTCTGCGAGGCGAATTTCATCGTCTTCGTCCGAGAGTAGGGGTTCCGCAACGCGAAGTACTTGACCGGCTGGTGCTCGCCCTTGTACACCTTGGACTGGATCGCCGAGCACTTGAATGTCCCGCTTAAAGCGTAGGCCTTGTACTTCATGCCCGTCAGCGGCTGGCCCTGGAACATGCGCACGACAATGTCCTCGTACTGCGCCTTCGAGGAGTACAGCTGGAGCACGTGGCGCTTCGCGACCGCGCCGCCGACGACGAAGAACATGCGCTGCCAGCCGGCCATCGACGACGGCGGGCCCGACCCCGCGGACTTTTTCACGAGCACCCAGCCCTTGGCCGAGTCGCAGGCCGCCATGGACTTTTCGAACACTAGGTGGAGCGGCCGCGGCAGCGACTTGACCATCTCGAGGCACCGCGCGTAGGGCAGGGCCGTCGCGTCCTGGCCGTTTATCAGCAGGAGGCGCGAGCCGACGGCGACGCCTTTCTGCGCGGCCGCGCCGCCCTCGATGACCATGGTCACGACGGTCTGCTCGGGCCGCGCCTTCTTCTGCTCGGACGTCGCGCCCGGCGTGAAGGCCGCGCGCCGCTCCAGCAGCATGCCGAGCTTCGTCTCGCTGTCGAAGGACACGGTGTATTTCGGCAGCGACCCCGTCGACTCCGGCTGCTGCAGCGTCAGCTGCTCGTTGCCGCCGTCCTCGGTGTACTCGGAGGCCACCGACATGGCGGATCCCCGTCGCGCCGGCTGCGACGCCTGGGACGTGGACCCGCCGACCGAGAAAAAGTCGTCGTCGTAGCCGCCGAGCATATCGCCGCTCGCCTGGCTCTGCGCCTGCGCCGGCGCGGCGTAGCCCATTGATCCGGTGCCCGCCTGCGCCGGCGCGGCGTAGCCCGCGAGCCGCGGGTCCGCCGGCGCGGCCGGCGGCGGCGCCGTCGGTTTCTGGTAGGACGTGTACGTCGGCCCGGCCTGGGGCACCTGGCTCGCCCCCGCGGGCGGCCAGACGGGCGCCGGCGCGGCCGGCGGCGGCGCGGCGGGCATCCCGTACGGTTGGGGCGGCGGCGCGCCATAGGCCGCGGGCGCGCCGTACCCGTAGGGCTGAGCCGGCGGCGGCGCCATCATGCCGTACGGCTGCTGCGGCGGCGGCGCCATGGGCGGCGCCATCATCGCGGGCTTCTTCGCCGGCGCGACGGGTGCGGAGAGGCCCGCCAGCAGCTGCTCGTTGTGTTTGTCCATCGAACTGGACGTCAAAAAATCGTCCATCTTTGCGCCGCGTCGCGTAACCCCTCTCCGATGTTTCTCCTGACAGCGCGAGGAGGCAGCGTCTATCGGCGTCTAACGCCGGGCGTAGCGTCGCTCTGCTGCAATCTGATACTTTCGAGTGAATCCAACGCGTGTGCTTGGAGAGAGGAGCAGGTCTGCCTGCCGATAAAAGCATGCGCTTTTTTTTGTGCTTCTAGTATCTTACAGGACGCTAGCACCTACGGCCCGAAGCGTAAACACAGCGCAGGGCTGCTTTTTGGGGGGGCTTGGTGTTGATTATAGCAACCTTTTATTCTGCGAATCGTCAAACGCGCACGCTGCAGCGTCAGGCAAGCATAAGCTGCAAGCCTTGGCAGCATGGCTGATGCGCAGCGGCGCGAGGACGACAGAAGCTATGGGCGGGACCGCCGCGACTATCGTGATGACGACAGGCGGCGGCGATCGAGCCGCGAGCGCTACGCTCGATCGCGGAGCCCGCGCGACTCGCGGCGCGGCCACGACCGCGAGCGACCGCGGAGCCGCGACGAGCGGCGCTACGAGCGGAGTTCGCGAGGCGACGACCGGCGCTACGAGCGGAGTTCGCGAGGCGACGACCGGCGCTACGAGCGGAGGTCGCGGTCGCGAGGCGACGACCGGCGCTACGAGCGGAGGTCGCGGTCGCGAGGCGACGACCGGCGCTACGCGCGAAGGTCGCGGTCGCGAGGCGACCGCTATGAGCGGCGGTCGCGGTCGCGAGGCGACGAGCGGGACGACTACTACGCCCGCCCGCGCTCGCGGGACGGCTACCGCGACCGCCACGACCCGCGAGCGCAGCCGGCGGCGCCGGCGCCGCCCGCGCGGCCGAAGAGTGAGATCGAGGTCTACCTCGCGAGCCTCGGCATGGACAATCCGGCGCTGCCGTCCTTTATCGCCTCGATGGACGACGAGCTGGCGAAGGACTTCGTCGAGAAGCTTATTATATTGTCGAAGTTCCCGAAGGACATTATCAAGGACCTCCTCGACACGGTCATACGCAAGCGTGCGTCTATCAAAAATCCTTCGGCGTGGCTCGTGGTCTCCATGAAGAAGGAGCAGCCGTGCAACGTCTACTCCATGACGGGCTTTTGTCAGCACGGCGACCGGTGCCGCTTCAAGCACGTCGAGCCGCCATGAGTCTAGTAAGTAACTTTAGGCAGTCATAGACCGACCTCTACCGCCGAGATCGTGCTCGCGGAGGAGACGCGGTCCGGCTCGGGCAGGGGCGGGAGGTTGTCCTCCAGCGAGCTGTCGTCGTCCGAGTCGTCCGAGCCGTCGTCCGTGGAGGAGGACGGCTCCGCCGGCGCCGGCGCGGCGGTGGAGGAGGACGGCCCCGCCGGAGCCGTCGCGGCGGCGGGCGGCTCGGCCCAGCGGCTCGCGGGCGCGTCTGGGACGTCCGCGTAGCGCCGCGGTATAACTCGTCGCCGCGTCGGACCCGGGACCGCTGGAGGCGGCGCCGGCGACAGCGCGGCCGGAGAGGCGAACGCGGCGGCCGGCGACGGAGCCGGCGGGAGAAACGGAGAGGCCCTTCTTGGCGACGTGACCGGCGACAGGACTGGCGGCGGCGCGGCGGGCGTAGCTGGAGGTGCCGCGGCCGGTGTCGCGGTGAGCGGGCAGGGCGCGGCAGTCGCTGCGCCCAGCGTCACGGTCGCCTGCCGCCCTTCTCCGCCGACGAGCTTCGGCGGGTCGTGCCGCTCGACGGAGACCACCGCGCGGTATCCCGCGAACCGGAACGCCTTGCACGACGAGCCGGGCATGCACTCGAGGCGCCCGCGCCGCGTTCGAAGGCAGACGAAGAGCGGCGCGACGCCACCGCTCTGCCGGAGTCCGTCGAGCAGGGCGACCTGGCGGGCCCGTTGCGCGCCCGCGGAGATCTCGAGCACGGTCGGCAGGCCCGGGTTCGCTGCCTCGGAGAAGCAGAGCGCGTAGATAGTACCGCTCGCCGCGTACACCGCGGGTACAATGCTACCGGTCCCGCCGGGCATGAGCGCCAGGATCTGCCGCTTCGTGAAGACCGTCGGGCCTGCGGCCGCGGCCGCGGCTCCGGAGACCGGCGCGGCAGGCGTGCGCGGTGGAGGCGCGGCGCCCGCGGATAGCGTGACCGGTGGCACGGGCGCGGCCGGCGCCGCGGGCGTAATTGGCGGAGGCGCGGCCGGCGTGATCGGAGCCGGCGTCACCGCCGAGCCCTCGGCCCAGCGGCTCGCTGGTGCGTCGGGCACCTCGGCGTACCGTCGGGGCTTCTTGCGCCGCCGCGTCGTCGTGACGACTGGCGCCTCCTCGACGGCGGCGTCCGGCGCGACGGCCGGCTCGGAGATACCTTCCGGCGGCGCGTCGTCCGGGGGTGGTGCCGCTGCGGCGTCGTCTGGAGGTGGTGCAAACGCCGGCGCCGCGTCGTCGTCCGGGGGTGGCGCGAAGGCCGGCGCCGCGTCGTCGTCTGGCGGCGCGAAGGCAGCTTCGGGCGACTCGAAGACCAACTCATCTTCGCCCGGCGGCCGCACGGACGACAGCGACGACGACGACGTCTGAGACGCGTAGATCGGCGAAGGAGACGAGGTGAGCGTCCGGCGGCGCTTCGGGCTCCGCGTCGAGCGCCACGTGCGGCGGCGGCGCGGCCCGGCCGACGACGAGCGGCGCGGCGGCGCGACCGAGCGGCGCTCGAAGCACGCGGCGACGGGTTGGCACATGAGAGACGGGTCGCGCCGAAACGTCAGCGTGAGCGGGAAGGCGCCCGCCTCGACGTACTCGCCGACGAGGTCACATAATTCCGCGGCCGCGTCGGGCGTCGACTCCGTGGGAATGTCGTCGTAGAGCGTCCCGTTAATACCAATGAGCTCGTCGCAGGGCCGCAGCGCGCGGCGCGTCGCGTCCTCGGCCGTGTCGAGCACCGCCGCGAGGAAACCGTACGCGTCCAACTTCAGACCGAGCGGCGCGCGGGTCAGCGTCACCGACAGGAGCTCCATGGCGACGTCGCTCATCTCGCGCAGGGCCGCGCGCACTGTAAAAGGCCGCGGCACTGTAAAAAGGCCGTCCGGGCACGTTTGCCGCTGTTCCGCGCTATTAGCCGTGCGGTACACCGAGCCGCAGCGCACAGGCTCTCTCCACGAGCGAGCAGTACTCTCGCGCAGCGCTCCTCGGCGAGCTATCTCGCTGCTTCGCGGTGCGCGCGGCGCGAGAGCGGACGGACGGACAGTCTCTGGAGCTGGTCTCGATCGAGGGCCGGTGTTTTGGTTACCAAGCAGTCCTCATTTTCCACCTCACACCTGGAGACAGTAAACGATGGCTCTTGCGTTCGTTGCCAACAAAAGCGGCTCGCCGGCGCCGCGGCACGATGCAATGGGCAGCCTGCAAAGTGAGAGCCAGTGATAGCGCAGCGATGGGATAGCAGCGATGCGGCACCGTCTCGTGCTGTCCAGCATCGCTGCGCTCGCGGCAGCCCAGCTCCAATGCGGCCCGCCGCCCGACGATACAGGCACCGAGGGAGAGGACTGGTGCGCCACCGCGGCGCCGCGCGACCTGTGGGCCTGCGAGGCGGCCATGCAGCGGCGGCTGCTCGGCTCGTCGACGCCGCGCCACGGCTGCGACGCCGCGGCGCCGTCGACGACCGCGGTGGCGGTGGGCAGCCGCGACACCGTGCCGCACGCGCAGACGTGGGCGGACCTGCGCTGGGCGAGCTACGAAGGTGGCACGTTCCTTCTCCACGATCCCAGCGGCGCGCTGTTCCGCGGCGCGACGGCCACGGCGCGCGGGCCGGAGCCGCCGCGGGACCGGCTGCTGGGCGCGAGCAAGTGGGGCCTCTTCTTCCACGACGGCGGCGACGCCAGCCGGGGCGTCGTCGTCGACGAGCCCTACGCGGCGGCAAAGTGCCACGTCGCGTTCGCGGAGCGGCTCTACGTGCTCAACCTGCTGACGACGCAGGTCGGCCACCTCCTCGTGGACGTGCTCGAGCCGCTGTTTTACGACGCGGAGCGGAGCGGCGGCGGCGCCGTGGACCCCGCGCGGACGCGCATCAGCATCCAGGTCCACGTCGAGCGCCGGTCGCTCCACCGGCGGCTCATGGACGCGATCTACGGGGACACGCCCTTCGCGCTGCTGCGGCTGTTCACGCGCCACCCGATCCACACGAAGGACGCCCTCGACGGCCTGCCGGGCCGCCTCTGCCTGCCGAGCGCGGCCGTGGAGCTCGACATCACGGACGCGTACTACGCGCGCGGCCACGACGCGCGCGAGGCCAACCGCACGGCCGCGGCGCCGGACGCGAGCGAGGTCCGGCGGTACCGACGATTTCGGCAATTCCTCCGCGACGGCCTGCGGCACGACGTGACGCGCCCACCCAAAACGGTCGTCTTCGTCGAGCGCAAGGGCCAGCGCGAGCTGCTGAACGGCGACGCGCTGAAGGACGCGACGGCGCTAGCGGCGACGGCGGCGGGGCTGCGCTTCCGAGCGGTCGCGCTGGAAGATATCGGGTTCAGCGAGCAGCTCGAGCTCTTCGGGGACTGCGCGCTGCTGGTCGCGCAGTACGGGTCGGCGTTGCACAACGTGCTGTTCCTGCCGGACGCCGCCGTGGTCCTCATGCTGCCGATGCCCAAGTGGTGCGACGAGAGCTGGCACTTTGAGCGCCAAGCCTACCTGCTCGGCCACGCGGTCGTGCGCGTCTGCGCCGCGGGCGACGACGCGGGCCGGCGCGTGCGGTGGGCGCGGCGCGCGGCGCGGCAGGGGCCCTGGCACGCCAAGGACGCGGATTTTGCCGTCCCCGTTGCGACGTTCGAGGCGGGGCTTCGGGCGGCGCTCGCCGACGACGTCACGTCTGCGACGTTCCGCGCGCCGCCGCCGCCGCCATTACACCCGGAAGACCTGGTGACGCCGCGCGTCCACGTCACGGACGCGCGCGTCGAGGCCGGCACCGTGGAGGTCGTGGTGGCCGACCACGGCGGCGCCGGCGTCGGCGACGTCGAGGCCGACGCGCTCGCGCGCGTGCGCTTCGTCGTGGAGGTCGTCCTGAGCGACGACGGCGCGCCGCCCGACGCCCGGGAGCGCGAGTTCCTGGCGCGGGTCGACGCGGGGCGCGTCGAGCTCTGCCTCACGCCGGCGGCGGCCGCGGACCCGAACACGGACGTGGCGTGCTTTTCCGCGAACCTCTTCAACGAGTTCTCGACGGTGGACGCGGGCGTCGTGTGGGGGGACCGCGTCGTGTTCCGGTTCTGGCTCCGCGACGTCGACGCGGGCGACCTGCCGGGGAGCGAGACGTTCTTCGGATTGGACGTCGACGGGCCCTACGACGGTCTCGGCGCGTCGACGATCACGCACCTCGTCGACGGGCCGCTGCCCAGCTCAAAGCCCCGCTCCAAGTTGTTCTCGGTGCCCGACTGGCGGCGGTTCCGCGCTTCCGACGTCGTGGAGCTCGAGGTCGTGCTCGACGACGAGAGTCTGCCGCTCGTGTTGCTCCCGCGGCACCCGACGGCGGTCCAGGCCCGCGTCGCGGCGTTTTGCCGGAATCACAAATTACCGCGCGGCGCGTGCGCCGACGTCGCGCTCGCGGCGTTGCGCGAGGTCCGCGGCGCTGCGGCGGCGATCGCGGCGGGCCTGCCGCTCGTGCAGCGGGCGCCGACGCCGGAGCGGCCCTTTGTGTTCCTGCACCACGAAAAGTGCGCCGGGAGCTCGCTCCGGCGCTATTTGGTCCAGGCGGCGAAGAAGCGCGGCGTCGGCTTCTTCGTGCCCTGCTACGACGGCGGCGGAGTCTACCGCGAGGACGAGCGGTGCTACGCGTTTGATTTGTCCAACGCGACGGCGGCGTCGGGCGGCGCGCCCCCGGCACTCGCGGCCACCGCGGGCCACTTCAACTGGGGCGTCTGGGACGCGCTGCCCTCGTCCAAACATGACCCGCCGCCGTGTTTGAGTTTGGTGCGGCACCCTATTGACCGGGCCATCTCGCTCTTCTACGAGCGCGTCTACCAGCGCGACGACCACCTCGGCGGCCGGCGGCTGAACGACTGGAGTGTGTCAGACTTTGAGTGGCTGCTCGGGGCCTTTAAGGGCTCGGCCTTTTCCATGTGGCGCGACGAGGGCTTTTGCGACCAGGTCTGCAAGAACCTGCTCGGGCTGGCGATCAATAGGGGGCGGACGCCCGCGGCCGTCGACGCGCTGCCCGCCGACGTGACATCGAGGGCGGCATCCTCGTTGGACGCCGGCCTGGCAGTCGAGCGCCTGGGAAAATGTGTCGTGGGAATCCAGGAGGACTGGGCCGGGGCCCGGCGCGCCATCGACCACTGGTTCCCGTGGCTCTCGTTCGACGACGACGTCCGCCGCAACGTGGGCTTCTCCGACGCCGAGACGCGCCAGACCCTGCGGCCCGAGTTGAGCGCCGCCATCGAAAAATGCAACGCCTGCGACCTCGCGGTCTACGAGGCGGCGACGCGGCGCGTCGAGGCGCAAAAGGAGTTTCTCGACGAGCGCGCGGCAATACTCGTGGCGGAGCGCGGGGCGCGGGCGGGTTAAATTTATTATGTTGACGTCGTCCCGGCGCCCGCGCGTGGAATTTCCAAGAAGTCTTAGTCCGCTCACGCCTTGGAGTTGTCCTTGTACCCGTCGCCGCCCTCGGCCGCGACGCCGTCGCAGTCCAGGGGCTTCGTGATCATGGGCCCCTGCGGCAGGACCTCGATCAAGTAGCCGTCCGGGTCCTTCACGAACGCAAGGCCTTTCATGCCTCCGCTGTTCGGCGTCTTCGTGAACGTGCAGCCTAGCTTCTTGAACCGCTCGCAGGCCTCGTAGACGTCCGGCACCGTGATGCCCAAGTGGCCGAACCCGCCCTTCACGGCCTCGCCGTCCTTCGTGCCCGTCGCGTCGGCGTTGCCCGTGTTGTAGACCGCGCCGTCGCTCTTCTCCGAGCCGTGGTTCCAGGTCAGTTCGATGCAGCCCGGCGTCCGCATGCAGAAATCCCAGCGCGCGTCCTCGTCCGCGGGGACCGGCCCCGTCAGGCCGTGCGCCACGAAGTAGACCGAGAAGCCCCACTGCGGGAAGTCGCGGAACATGACCAGCTGGAAGCCGAGCGTCTCGATGTAAAACTTGAGCGACGTCGCGGGGTCCTTCACCCGAACCATCGTCTGCTGCATGCAAAAGTCCTTCGTCTCCGGCGGCTGGGCCGCCGCGTAGAACGGCGTCGGGTCGTAGAGCGTCGTCGTCGATGCCATCTTCACACTATGTCGGAGCGGCGCCGGGCGCTGCAGGAGCGCGCGGGCTGTTCGCGCACACACCACAGCCGTGAGGGCGAGGGAGCGCTGCATATATGCCTGCGACGACAAATGACCATCAAAACCCTCTTTGCCCACTCGTTGCGGATTGCTCTCCCTTGCTTCGAGGCTTCTCAACCGTTCCGCGGTCGGCGCGCGTGCAGATTTGATGCAGTGCGGTGACGAATGCCGACTCTGTAAACGATCCACGCTGCGAATCACCGCACCCAATGACGTTTTTAGGAGCTTGCTTTGCTTCTAGTGACTTAAAGTCCGCTAGCTCAAGCGGGATTAAGGAGGACCGATCCCTCTGCCCGCGCGCTTAACGCACAGACACTTTGACTGGCGTGTATGCTAGCCACAGTACGCATTTGAACGCTGCCGAGCCTGCGTGTGCTGGCGCTCCGCTCGCGGTGAGCTCTAGCAACGCCAGCACTCGCACATTTGAGTCCAGCCGTGCGCGGACGCGCGCAGCATAAAAATATGCCATATGAACTCGTCGACCGCGCCACAAACGCAGCGCGCGTCATCCCGCCGCGAGGGGCGTGGCTCACGATTGGCCGGGAGCCGCCTGAGGAGAACGACGTCGTCAGGCACGAGCAGGAGGTCTCGAGACGCCACGCGCAGCTGCACGAGGCGCGCGACGGCATCATGTTGCGCGTGCTCTCGCCGAACGGCGTCTACAAGCACGGCGAGAGGGGGCGCATCGCGATGGATCCGGCGACCGGCGTTGAACCAGAGTTTGGTCCACTGCACGACGGCGACCAGTTCTCGCTGCTGAGGCCAGGCAAGTTCGACGACGACGTGGCGTTCTTCATCCGCCAGGTGTCTGCTGCGGCGCCGGCGCCGCCCGCGCTCGTGGACCTGACCGGCGACGACTCGCCGGCCGCCGACCCGACGCCGTCGTCGCGGGACGCCGCGTCCGAGGGCGCCTTCGCGCCGCCGGCGCCGGCGCCGCGGCGCGCCTCGCCGCCCTCGCCGCGCGCGCGGCGCCTCCGCTACGACGACGCGTCGTCGCGGTCGCGGTCGCCGCCGCCCGCGCGCGACCGCTCGCCGCCCGCCGAGCCGCCGGCGCGCCGCCGCGACCGCTCGCCGCCCGCCGCGCGCGCGAGGTCGCGGTCGCCGAAGCGGCAGAAGCAGAGCGTCGCGACGCCGCTGCGGACGCACGTCATCGACGCGGAGGAGGGCACGTACAGCCAGGACGGCTCCAAGCTGGCGATCCGCCCGGCGCCGGCGGCGAACCGGCCGCACGGGACGCCCACAAAGGCGCGCCTGACGCTCCTGAGCTGGAACCTCGGGTCGGAGCAGCGGTTCCGGAGCTTCCAGCGCGACGTGCTCGCCGTCGCGGCGACGGTGAACGCCGCGTGGGCGCGCGCGAAGGCGCGCGGCGCCGGCCTCGTCGTCGCGTTCCAGGAGTTCGACCTCGGGCCGCGCGGACGCGGTGTCCTGGTGTCGTCCGAACCACCGAGTACTCACACTTTTCGCGCACGACGCAGGCCCGGCGCGGGGGGCTTGAGGACGCACCGGCTGCTGAGCCAGAAGCTGGACGACGAGCTCGAGTGGGCCGCCCTCGACTGGCTCGACGAGACGAAGAGGGAGCGGTGCGAGGCGCTGCTCGTGTCGCGCGGCGCCGTCGAGGTCGTCGACGTGGGCCGCGACGTGATCAGCGGCGACCCGCAAGTGTGCGCGGACGAGCGGAACCGGGCGCGGGAGCGCAGCCTCAATGGCTTCCAAGCCGCCGACGGCACGTTCGTCGCGCCGGACCCCGACGCGGCCGGCAAGAAAGTCGTCAGTGCCGAGGATTTGACCAGGGAGACGGCGGGCCGCACGTTCCCGTGGGCCGAGCTGCGCGTGCGCGCGCGCGGCGGCCGCGCCGGGGCGCCGCCCGCGGCCGTCAAGATCGCGGCGTGCCACGTGCGGAACGGGGACCGGGTCATGCGCGCGGACGCGCGCCGGTGGCTGCGGGCCAACGGGCGCGCGCCGGGCCGCGTCGCCGCGATCCTCGCGGGCGACTTTAACGACGACCTGACGGCGGCGAGCCGCGCCGACAGCGACTACGCGCGGAGCCTCTGCCGCGTGCTCTGGCCGCGGCGGGCGGCTGGCAACGAGAATTACCCGGAGGCGTATTGGGTCCACGAGAACAACAGCGGCGAGAAGACGCGCAAGTACGACCCGCGCGCCGAGGCGCGGGACGCGGGCTTCGACCACCGGGGCTGGGGCTGGGGCTCGTACCACGGCTACCACGGCCTTGCGCGCTTTTACGACGGCCAGTTCGTGAACAAGGGCCGCATCATCGACGGCGCCATGTGCTTCGGCGAGTCCGAATCGGTCCGGTGCGACGCCGCGCGGCTCGTCACCGACGGCTTCGACTACGCGGACATCGACGAGGACGCGGGCGAGGAGCTGGCGGCGGTGATGCGCCACGCGCCGTCGGACCACTTCCCCGTGCAGACGGACCTGACGCTGGCGCTATTTCCCACGCGCGCGCGACAAACTGGCGCGGTTTTGTAACGCATCCCGTCGACGGATGGCGGGCACTCAGCCCGGAGGTCGATTGCACCGGCGCGCCGTGTAACATATCCCGTCGACGGGATATGTTACTAGATGGCAAAACCGTTTTCCTCGTCGTCGTCAAAGCTCCGAGGCGCCGCGTAGTTCTTCGACCGCAGAATGAAGCTCGGCAATTCGGCGGCGGCCTCCTCCTCGGGCTCGCTTTTCCGGAGGGACCACCACGTCCGCGGCTCGGGCTTCGGACTCTCCTCGGAGAAGTATTTGGCCGTCAGCTCCGCGCGCATGGCGGCGCGGTCGGCGCGACGCTCGAGGAGCCGCTCGCTCAGCTGCGACGGCGCCGCCTGTTCTTCGGCTCGCCTTCTCGCGCGCAACGCGTCGAAGGCGTCGCGCGCGCGGCCAAGCGCGCCGTTCGAGGCCCCGCGGACCGCGTGGCGCAAGGAGGCCACGACCACGAGGAGCGCCCAGCCCGTAGGGATCTCGAGGCCCAGCTTTGCCGCGAAGTCCGGGTCCGACGCTATGATGAGGCCGCCAGTGAATTCCGTGACAAAGGACAGAGAAGCCAACACCCCGGCCCCAATCAGCCCTCGGTTCGACCGAAACCCGACGCCGAAGAGCGAGACGGCGCTCAGGATCACGAGGCACGCGCCGTACGACGGGAGGGCGATCGTCGCCGGCGCGGCGGTGACGTACGACGACCAGAGGAGGGGAGAAAAGAGGAGCGCCGCGCCTACGGCTACGTCGACGAGGTCTAAGACCAGAATAGCTGATGAGCTCAGGATCGAGCACAGCCCGCGGCAGAACGCTTTGCACATCCTTGGGTTCCAGCTGCTAGGTCTCCCGGTCCGAAAGCGATCGCAGCAACGCGTCCTTCGATGAATATGGAGTCCCTGTAGGCTACTGGTGGACCGTATCGTGACGCGTAGCCCTAAATTGATGCTTTTTTGCTGCGCAATTTTGCTCAAAAACCCGTCACGGGTTCCTCTTTGCGGCGGACGTGCTCCCTTTGAAAGAGTGCGGAGTGCGCGGAATCGCGCTTCGACTTGTGATCGCCCTCGATCTCTGGCTTAGTCTTAGACAAATCTGGCGCAGTCTGGCGTCGAGCTCGCGCGAGAAAGAGCTGCGGAGGTCGAGGCGGCTAGGTGAGGTGCTCGGAAGCACACCTTCGAGCTACGGTCGAGACACGAAGAGCGACGCGGCCGGTGCGCAACTCTAGCAATGCAGCGACCAGCCCTCCTTATTGCTCTAGCGGCGGCCGCGACGGGCTTTTCCGCGCCGACGTTACGGCCAAAGGCGGCGACGCCGCTGCGCGCCATAAATGACGAGATCATCGAGTCGCCGACGTTTTACGCCGACGAGCTGTGCGTCGAGGACGACGAGTGCGCGGTGCCCGACGGCAACCAGTTCTGCGTCGCGGTCCTCGGGGATTTGCACATGGACCCGCGCAAGATGGACGACTACGTGAGCGGCCGGGAGCACGTCGTCAAGATTTTGGAGGACGCGCAGGGGCGCGGCGTCGAGACGGCGGTCGTGAGCCTCGGCGACCTCGGCGAGTCCAAGTCCGTCGACCCGGAGAACACGGCGGAGCTCTTCGCGGGCACGACGGCCTGCCACGAGCTCGCGGCCGAGTTCCTCGGCAGCTTCGGCACGGACTACGAGGTCATCGGCGGCAACCACGACCTCGAGGGCATCGACGAGTTCGCCACGGACGAGGAGAACCTCGAGGCCTTCTGCCGCATCCACGGCAAGCCCAGCGCGCAGTTCTCGCGCCAGATCGCCGAGAAGACGCTGCTCGTCGGCCTCGGGTCGACGGTCTTCCGCGAGGCCAAGTACACGTCGCACGAGGTGATCATCGACGACGCGCAGATCGCCTGGTTCGAGAACCTCGTGGAGACGCACCCCTCGAGCGAGGGCTGGAAGATCTTCGTCTTCACGCACGCGCCGCCGATCGGGTCCGGGCTGCGCGTGCTGCAGAACAACCACGTCGTCAACGGCTGCTGCTGGCTGAACCACAGCGGCGGCGCGACGACGCGCAAGTTCATCGAGTTGGTGCGGAAGCACCGCTGCATCAAGGCCTGGTTCAGCGGCCACTTCCACCTCGGCCAGGACTACCAGGACAGCATCACGTTCCCGTCCGTCGACCCGAGCGAGGGCCCCTACCCGAACCGCGGCTCGTGCGTCTTCGCGCAGACGGCGGTCATGCGCGGCGGCGCGTCGCGCGACGGCCGGCAGCAGTCGCGGCTGATCCGCGGCGACGAGAAGGGCTTCGAGATCTGCACGATCGACCACAAGCGCGGCGGCATCGTGCGGCTCGACGCGACCATTAGCTACACGGACGAGAACCACGAGGTCGGCGTCTACGCGCACGGCCACGACGAGGTCGACGAGATGGGCGGCGACTTTTTGCGCGTCTACTCGCCGACGGAGGGCGACGAGTGCTTCGTCGACTACGACAACGACGGCTACCTCGACGCGACGGAGAGCACGTGCGTCGACGGCCAGACGATCGCCTGGTGGAAGCTCAGCTGCGGCCGCGTGCTCGGCGTCTACGACGGGCGCCTGATCGAGTACGACCCGTCGACGCTCGCGCCGCTGGGCCTGGTCGTCGGCCAGGACGAGCTGGCGGGGCGGCGCATCGTCGTCGTGCCGAGCGGCGAGGAGTCGTGCCAGGTCGAGGGCGCCGACGGCGGCCGCGAGGTGGCCGACTGCGAGACTGAGGCCGAGGAGCAGGCCGTCTGCTTGATCGACGACGCCACGGGCTCGGTGACCGTCGTCCAGCCGAACGAGGACGGCAGCTACTGGCGGAAAATCGTCCGGAACAAGATCGTGCGCATGAAGGAGAAGCGCCGCGTCGAGGCGGCCGCGCGGCTCGTGGACGAGATCTTCCCGGCGCACGAGACGGACCAGCCCACGGTCTTCTCGAGCTGGGGGCCCTACACGCAGATCTCGGGGACGGCCTCGAAGACGCGGGTCGAGGGCGTCACGTCGGCGCGCGCGCCGTCGACGACGAAGCTTGGGGAGGTCAAGTCGCGCTAGGATTGGGTATGGGGGCTAAGCAGACCGGTCTTCCATGCCGCTGACCGTTGGGTATGGGGCGAAACAGACCTGTCTTCCATTTAAAGATTTACCCGGAGGAAAACGAGGACGCCGCGCTCAGTGCAGCGCCGCCACCGCCGCCCGGTCCGCGGCGTCCTGCTGCGCTTCGCGCCGGTCGTGGGGCGTGGCCAGCACTCTCCTCCCCGTGGACCGCGCCGAGCCCGGGCCCGAGCGGCCCGACCGCGGCGTCGCGCGCGGCCGGCCGTCCGACGATTTGAGGACGAGGCGGTTGACGGCGGGCGCGGGCGCTTGCCGCGGCGCGCTGCCGCCGCGCGCCGACGGCGGCGCCGAGCCCTGGGAGGGGCCGAGGAAGTGGTCGTAGATGTGGCTAAAGTCCGGCTTCGTCGGGTCCGGGAGGATGTCTCCGTCGAGCGATCGGTAGGCCGGGTTCAGCGGGTTCGTCCGCCGCTTCGTCGGGATGGTGTGCTGCACCGTGTCCGCCTGGGCGCCGCCGATGTCGCCGACGAAGTTCGTGTGCCGCCAGTGGCGCCGCTTCTCGGGCGGCGGCTGCATCTCGTGCGGCGGCCGCCAGCCGCTCTTGGCGCCCAGGATGTCGTCCGTGTAGAGCGAGCGGTAGGGCCCGGGGATGGCCTTGGGCAGCGCGCGCGGCTTGGTCCGGATCGGGTCGTCGCACGTCTCCATGCCGTTCATGAAGTAATGCGGGTTCATGGGGTCCGTGACGCGCGTCGTCGTGAAGCCCTCGTCCATGATGTCGCGGACGTCGAGGCCGTCGCGCGGCGGCGCCTCGCGGCGCGCGCGCTCGTGTCTCGGGCGCCACGACGCCTGGGCGCCCTCGATGTCGTGGACGTTGTAGGTGTCGCGCATGGCGAGCGGGTAGAGGGGCTTGGGGACCGTGCCGTCGATGTCCGTGACGGTGTAGCCGTCTCTGATAAATTTGGGCGTCGGCGGCTTCTCGAGCTTGCACCGCGGTAGGACGTACTCCGGCGCGAGCGGGTCGGTGTGGCGGTTCGACTTGAAGCGCGTCTCGCGCGGCTTCGAGCCCTCGATCGGGTTGTTGTGCCACTCGTTCGGGTTCGGCTGCGGGCCGCGCGCGTGCAGCTTCATCGGGCTGCTCTTCTCGATGTCCTTGGTGACGTAGAGGTCCGGCCGCCGCGCCGTGTAGCGCATGTACTTGAGCTCGGGCGCCGCGCCGTCGATGTCTCCGACGTAATTCGACTCGTGGGCGCACGCCGGGCGCTCCTTGTTCGCGATCGTGCAGGCGCCCGCGCTCTGCAGGCTCATGGTCTGGAAGCGGTCGTCGGCCATGCCGGGCAGGGCCATCTTGCTTTTTTTACGCTGTCTAGAGTCTCCCGGCCTCGCAATGGACTGGGCTGCTTTTGGCTGTGGCTGCCCCGATATCGACGTCGAGCCGCGACCGTTTAAGAGTCGCTGTGGCGGAGCTGCAGCTTCGCTTATTACCCTCGTCGCAGGCTTGCGTTGCCGGGCCGCGCGCTATGCTCAAGGCGATGTTATACGGAGGGGCTGGCGTTAAGCTAGAGCCCAGTCTGCGGACGGGGCTCCTCTGCGTTTTCTCACCGATGTGCCGCGCGCCACGTACTCTTCAAGCAAAACTGGGATGGTTACCTTCTACAATTGCGCTGGCGCAACCCGCAACCCGCAATTTGCGACTCATAATCGTTGCCGGCCTACGCGGAGGGCTGCCCGCTTGATGCTAGGCAAGGCACAATAAACAGAAGACTGCTATCATGGCAGCAACCATCAAGCCGAGCGCCGGCGCGAAGCTCCGGGACAAAGGTCCAACACTGAGTACGGCACGAACCAGCCGCGCTGGAGGCATTCTGGTCCGCGGCACGACGACGTGCATCAGCTGCGGCAGCAAGGCGCCGACGCGCTACGCCGGGCAGAACGTCTGCGACGAGTGCCAGGTCGACACGCTCTCGCGGAAGCGGACGCCGCTGCAAGTCGACAACGGCTGGCCACGCGCGGGCGTCTGCGGCGCCGGCGCCCCGCCGAAGCCGCGATCGAAACGCAACGGACCGCCGGCCGGCTGGTCGTCGGCCCGCGACGTCGCGCGGCGCGAGCGCAAGCGCGCCGACGCGGCGGCGGACCGCGCCTACGCAGCGGCGTTGAAGGCGCCGCCCGCGCCGCCCCCCAAGCCGCCGCCGCCGCCGACGCGCGCCGTCGAGCAGCGGCTCTACGCGGACGCGTCGGAGCGGAAGTGGCGCAAATCCGTGGCGCGACGGAAGGCTCACGAAAAGCCGGCCGAACTCGTGACGGCGGCGGTGGCGCGGCCCCTGCGGCTCCGCGAGCGGAAGGCGGGGCACCGCAACGCTCGCTCGGCGGGCTCCGCGACGTTCGGGACCGCGTCTCGGTTCTCCGGCGATCCCGCGGCGCCGCCGCCGGCCGTCGGGATTCGGGACTGCGACACGTACAAGTACGTCGCCGCCGAGGCCGGCATCCGCGACGTCCGCGTCGCGCGCGCCGCCGCTTTTTCGGCTGCTGTTTCGGCGGTCGTCTACGCAAAATGCCTCGGGGATCTGGCGCTGCGAGTGCGCGACGATCGCGTACCGCGCGAGCGCCGTGACGTCGACGCGACGGAGGACGCCGCCGCGACGGCGTCGGCACCAGCGGCACTTTTCGACCGGCTCCACGCGTCGCGGCACTCGACGAAATCGGCGGCGCGGCTTTGTCTCAGGCTCGCGCGGGTCTCTGTGCTGCGGCGCGTGTGGCCCCAACTTCTCACGTACGAGGGGCTGCTCGCGTGGCGCGCCGAGACGCGGCGCCTGCAGGGGGTTCCGGCCATGCTCGCGCCGCGGCCGAGGCGCGGGCCTCCGCCGAAGAACGTGACGGCGCAGCCGCGGCGCCTCGACGACTGGATTCTCGCGAACTACGAATTACGACCGGCCGGCTACCGCACGCGCTCGCACACGTCGGCGCTCGTCAGGGCGCGGCGCGAGATCCAGGACGAGCTGCGGCTGCGGCGCGCGGACGAGCTTCGGGCGAAGGAGCAGGCGGGCAACACCACGGCGCTCGCGCGCGAAGAGGGCGGACGGCTAGTGGTCGGTGCGCGGCGCGCCGAGGCGCTGACCGTCAAGGCGCCGCCGTCCTGCAGCTTCGGGCCGCCGCGCGTTGCTGCTCCTGCGCCGCCGGTGCGGCGCCAGAAGCCCCGTCCCGCGCCGCCGTTGGACATTCCGAGGCGGCCCGACACGCCGGTGCTGGACACGCTCGACGATTATACGGAGCCCGGCGACGACTATACGGAGCCCGGTGAGTCGTCGGACGAGGACGCCGCGCCGTCGCCGCCCGTGCCGGCGACCGGCGGAGCGCCCGATCAAGCCGCGCCGCTCGACGAGTCTCCGGCGCGCGTCGAGATCGAGGCACCGGCGCCCGCCTACTCCTCGCCGCCGCGGTGGCGCGCCGGTGCGCTGGTCGATGCGCGCTTTTGCGGCATGGACGAGTGGTACCCGGGCCGCGTTGTCCGCGTCGCGGAGGACGGCGCCGTGGATATCGAGTACGAGGACGGAGACTATGAGACAGCGTTGCCGCCGGGGCATGTGAGGGAGCGGGGTTAATGGTTTGTTTAGAACTACCGCTCATCTAATCTCATCTAACCGTGCCGGCGCGACAAAGAGATGGCTCACCTCCGCGAAACGGGCAGCTTCCTCGCGTTGCGCCGAACCGAGTGGCCCCACGATAAATTCGCCGATCTGCCGTAGCGCGCGGGCCTTGTGCCGCAATACAAATGCGGCCTCGACCCCCTTGGGTTCCGCCGTCGCGAGCAAGAATACGTGGAGCTCTCGTCGTCGTTCTTTGAGCTCAGCGCGAGTCGCGGCGCGACGGACCAGGAACTCTTCCTTCTGCTGCACCTTCCGCAAGACCTTGTCGCGGAGCGCCCGCAGCAATTGTGCGGCCTGGCCGTTGTGGTCTTCTTCTTCGGCACGAGAAAGGAGTTCAACCAAGGCCGCCAGTTGAGCCCTTGGGGGTGCGTGCCGCAGAAATGCCAATCGCGCCAGCGCAATTTGCTCGTCGTCGTCGGTTTGCTTAGCCCACGCAAGCGCGTCCTCGGCGCGTTGCAGTGCCGCCGCGGCTTCCGGATGGGCTTCCCTGGCGGCGGTCTCGTCCTCCTCGGTCGGCAGAGGGATTGGCGCGGGCGGCGGCGCCTCCTCGGCCGGTTGAAGCATTTTGCCTTTTATCTTCAGAGAGCACTTGAGGCCCTTCCTCTGGAGCTTGGAGTCACGTGAAACCGCACGAGCGGCACGTGTGGGCCTCGCGTCGACCCTCAACTTGTATTCTCGACCTACAGAGTGAAGACTCGCTTGTTCGGACCCGGACGGCTCGCAGTGTGGAAAACCCGCGAATAAGACCAGCCGCTAGGCATTGCATATGCATTGGAAGAAGATACTTTAAATCACATAGCGCGAGCGCGGGGACGGCCCTTATAGCTCGTCCTTCATCTCCTCCGTGACCTTCGCGTCCTCCTCGCTCTCCGGCTCGGGCTCCGTCGCGTTCGCATCCGTGGCGTTGCCGTCGGTAGCGTTGACGTCCGTCGCATTCGTCGCGTTGACGTCCTCGACGACCACGGGCTTCTTCTTCGCGTTGAGGCGCGCCGCGAGGACGACCGTCGGCTTAAGCTTCGCGTTGAGCTCTGCCACGCGGAAGGCGGGCTCGTCGTGGTTCTTGAGTTTTTTCTGAGCCTTCTCCTGGTCGTCGAGCCATGCGCCGGCGTCGTCAGCCTTCTTGACGAGCGCGTCGAGGTCCTCCTGCTCGAGCCAGGGCCGCTCGTCGGGCCAGACCTCCGTCGCGTTCTTCTTGGCCAGAGCGAGGGCCTTGCGGAACTTCTCGATGGCCTTGGGCCGCGCGGCCAGCTCCTCCGCGCGGCCCACGACTGCATTCCACAGGGCCTCAAAGGCCGTGCGCTTGTCATTGAACGTCGCCGCGGGCTCGGCGTCGGCCTCGTAGAGCCAGTCCTCGAGCTCACGCGACGTCGATGAGATCTCTTCGCGCTGCTTCTTCGTCGACACGGGCTCGATCTCCTTCGCGCGGTCGTCGAGCGCGTTGCGCACGCGGTAGATGGCCGCCTCGAGGTCGTTCTTCGCGCCCTCACGCGCGCGGCGCTCCTTCTCGGCCGCGGCGATCGCCGCCAGCCGGTCGAACGCGTCGGCGACGTCGGAGCGCCGCGGCGCCCACTGGCGCAGGCCCGCCGTGCTCGGCGTCACCGTAAGCGTGCGCTTGTGCGTCTTCTTCTTGAGGACCTTGCCCGGCGCCGCGCCCGTGGCGTTGGCGGCGTCCGACGCGTTCGCCTCGGGCGCGGCCTCGCCCGTCGCCGCGTCGGCCGCGGCCTCCGTCGGCGCCTCGGCGGCCGCCTCCGCCGGCTTGTCGTCGTCCTTGGCCGCCTCCGCCGCCTCGGCGTCGTCCGTCGCGTTGGCCTCGGTCGCGTTCTCGGCCGTCGCGTTGTCCTCGGCCTTGGGCTCGGCCTTGGGCGGCGGCGCGTCGACTTCGTACTCCTCCACGACGGACACCTCGGCCTTGGAGAGCGACGCGATGCCGGACGCGTCGAGCGTGAAGGAGAGCTGGACCTTGGGCCGCGGCAGCTGGCCCGTCGTGTTTTGCTTGGCCATGTCGGCGGCGAACGCGGCAATGCCCGAGATGTTGTACAGGGCGACCGTCTTCGGCGTGCCGGGCGGCAGCTTGTCGACATCGTCGTACGCCAGCTCGCAGACGATGTCCGCGTCGTGGTGGAAGGCGATGGTCCGCGGCTTGGCGCCGAGCCGCGCGCCGGCCTTGAAGAGCGTCGCGCGCTTGTGCCAGTCCTCCGGCGACTCGTCGCCATCGTCCTTCTTCTTCGTGCCGCCCTTGAAGAAGCCCATGAGGCCGCCGCCCTCGCGGACGCTCTCCGCGTAGAGGTCGTTCGTCATGCGCACGCCGAGCGCGTGCTGCGCGTAGTCGAGCATGCCGACCTTGCGCACGCGGAAGCTCGTCGAGACGTTGGCGCCGTGGAACGCGGCGCCCAGGGCCGGCGCCTCGTCGCCGTTGAGGTGGAGGCCGAGCTCGAGCGGGTCCGACTTGTTCGTCCGGCCCGCGGCGAAGAAGTCCCGGAGCATCTCCTGGATCTTCGGCACGCGCACGCCGCCGCCGATGATCTCGACGCCGTGCAGGTCGTCGACCGTCGCGTTCGCCTTGGCGAGCGCGTCCTGCACGGGCTGCATCGCCTTGGCCAGCACATCCGCGGCCGCCGCCTCCAAGTCCTTGCGCGTGACCATCATGTGGAAGTCGATGTCGTCGTGCAGGGACGGAATGTTGACGGGGATCTTCTCGTTCGCGCTCAGGACCTCCTTGGTCTTCTTGGCGCTCGCGCGGATCTTCGCCATCGGCCGGGCCAAGGTGCGCACGTCGCCGGCCTTGCCCTTCTTCTTCTTCTTCCACTGCTCGTTGAACGCGTCGGCGATCGTCTCGGCCAGGGCCAGGTCGACGTGGAAGCCGCCCGCGCCCCGCGCCCAGCCCTTGCCCAGGACCTCGAACTGGCCGATGGTCTTGTTCTTGACCTTGGTGCCCTCGACGAAGGTCGAGTACTCGACGACGGACGCCTGGATCGACTCCGAGCCCGCGTTGTAGAAGAGCACCTTGCGCGGCTCGTCGAACTTGCGGTCGAGGCCGAACTGCAGCGCGGCGGCCGTGTTCGCCTCGATCAGGGACAGGACGCGCAGGTCCGCGAGCTCCGCCGCCGCGAGCAGGGCCTCGCGCTCGATCTGCGTCGCGGACATGGGCACCGTGATCACGCAATCGCGGACCACGTTGCCGCCGTACGCGCGCGTGATGTCCTTGGCGTACGTCAGCACCATGGCGACGAGCTCCTCGGGCTGCCACTCGTCCCAGCCGCCGCCGTAGTCCTCCGTCGTGGACTTGGGCGCGGCGATGGCGAGGGCGCCGCGGCTCTCGTTGAACCGCGTCGTCGTCGGGAAGTACGACTTGGTCCGCAGCGTCTCGATGGACGGATGCGTCTCGGAGCGGCCGAGGTACTCGGTCAGTCGGGCGTACGACTGTTCCGGCTTGCGCGACAGCGACCCGTACGCGTCGGACGCGAAGAGGCGCTCGCCGCGCACGAATGCGACCACGGTTTCGCTCTTGCGCTTACTCACGGTGTTCGTGACGATCTCGAGCGGCGAGCCGGGCTGGACGAGCGCGACCTTCATGAACTCCGTGCCGAAGTCGATGCCGATCACGTTACTCGAGGCCAGCGGCGCGGTCGCCGCGGCGAGGAGGAGCGCTACGACGCTGCGTTGCATCGCTGCTGCTTCGCGCGTTCTTATGAAGCGTATGCGTGCGGCGTCGGCGGCCGCTTTTGCAGGATGCTGCTGGGGCTTGCTGCTTCGCTCGCTTGTTGCGTACCGTTGCGGCGAGCAAACTTGAGTACGCACAAGTAGTGCAAGCTATGCACTGTTGTCGATGCGCAGATGCACACAGAGTGCAGTTGCACAGAGTAGCACCTCCACGTTTTACGTGATCGATGAAGTCTCGCCGGCTGCGGGTCGTCTCACGATCAGTCGCACCATCGGTGGCCCACGCGTGGCGGAGAGCGTGTTAAGGACGGGAAGCAGTCTTCTGTATCGCGCGGGTTTCGCACCCCATTTTCCAGTCCGGCAAACAACGCAAGCGTGGGCAAAGACACGTGCAAAAGGCTGCCTGCTGACTTGCCTGCCACAACTTGACGCGGTCTCGAAGCCCACGAGACGGCTCGGGCAGCTTTGGCCCCATTGCCAGGCTGCTGGCTTGCCTGGGCCGTTTTTGCCTCGGGTACCGTGGTAGCGGGGTACCGTGGTAGCCCCATCATGCCAACCCCAGCCAAGCTAACAAAAGACAAAGCTGCCGCCGTGGCCTTGCGACCGGAGACGGTCGAATTCTTCGCCAGGGTGAAGGCGTTCCTCGGGCAGCGCCAGGAGAGCGAGCGGCTGTACGCGGAACTCTGCGCGGCCGCGCCCGAGGCGGCGCGGCGACTGGAGACGCTCAGCGTAGAGGGCGACACCGAGCGGAAGCAGACCACCAAGACCGTCGACGAGCTCTTCGCGCAAGCCAATGCCGTCCTCGGCGAGTTCGGCACGCGCCTCGAGGCCGCGGCGGCCGCCTGCCCCGGAGACGTCGAGTGCAAGGTCGCGCCGCTGAAGCGGCGCACGCGCGTGCTCGAGAAGATGGCCGACGACTACGCCGACGAAAAATACCCCTCGCAAGCGGTGAAAGATGTGGTGAGAGGCGCCATATTCGTGAGCTCGATCGACGCCGTCATGGCGGCGTACGACGGCGTCGCGGAGCGCTTCGAGGTCGTGCGCGTCAAAAATCGCTTTGCGAACCCGACCTTTTGCGGCTTTCGGGACTGTCTCTGCAACGTCGACGTGGAAGGTCACATTTGCGAGATCCAGATCCACGTGACCGAGGTCAAGGCCATCGCCAAGCGCAGCGACAGCCACGCGCACTACGAGTTCTTCCGCTCGTATTTCGCCGGCAACGAGGCCACGGTCGTCGCACAGCGCATGGACGTTCTGGAAAGATGGAACAACGGCGGCGTGGACGCGGATGCGGTGCTCGAGCTCTGCGCGGACGCCCAGGCGAACGAGGACGAGCTGCGGGCGGTCTGGTCCTTGCTGCGTCAGATGTGCGAGGTGGGCCTGGCGCGGACGGTGGCGTCGGCGCTCGTCGGCGCGCGCGCTCCGGCGGCCTGCGAAGCGCTTGGCGAGCCGTACCGCCCCGTACGCCACGCCACGCTGCTCGTCGAAGCAGCTGAGGTCGAAGTGCTCGGGGGCGCGTACGACCTGGCCGAGACGCTGTACGTCCAGGCCGAGGAAGCTGTGAAGGACTCGACTTCGGTTGTTTCGGACTGGGTGCGAAATACGGCTCGCGGTGGGCGAGCCAAGGCTGCGCGACTGGCGGGCGACTTCGAGCGCGCGTACAATCTTGCCAGCGAAGCGCTCGCCGAGGCGGAGAAACGACGGAAAGCTGCGCCGGCCGAGTATTTTGCGGCCCTGAACACGGTCGCCGCCGCGGCCGGCGCCCTGGCGGACCACGACGCCAAGGAGAAGAAGTCGACAGCGAAGAAGCGCTACGCGACTGCCGCCGAGTATTTGCGCGAGGTCCTGGCCTACTACGGCGACGACGACGACAAGGTCTCGGCCGTATCGTGCAATTTAGCGGCGGTCCTCGAGTCGATCGGCGACGACAAGGCACTGAGGGAGGCGAAGACCGTTGTGGAGGACGCAGTCGCGCGGCGGATCCGGGCGTCGGGCGCGGAGGCCATCGAGCTCGCGGCCCTGCGGAACAATGCCGCGACGATCTGCCACAAGCTCGGGGAACTGGACGACGCGATCGGCCACATGACCGCGGCGCTCGGCCTCACGGAGAAGATCCAAGGGGAACACCACCCTGCTGTGGCGCGCCGGGCGGGCAACCTCGGCCTGCTGCTCCAGTCGAAGGGCGACCTCGAAAAAGCGGAGGCGTCCTTTGTCAAGGCGCTGGCCGTCGCCGAGCAAACAAAGGACCCGTACGCGGCACAGGCCCGGGAGAACCTCGATCTCCTGCGGCGGGAGAAGAGCGGCGCCGTGAGCGTCCACCGCGGCGGGGGCACCGCGCCAAAGCAAAAGGGGACCGTCCTCGAGCGCGGCACCGCGGCGGACGTATCCAGCCTCGCGGACGTCGTGTTCCCGCCAAAGCCCGACGGTGCGGCCACGGAGGTCGCGAAGCTCGCCAAGGGCAAGGCGGCGCTCGTCAAGCGCGAGGTCGCCGTGGAGGGCACGAGATACGCGGTCTTCGCGCTCTACAACAACGACAGGCCCGAGAGCACCGTGGAGATCACGATGAAATTCGCGGGCTCCGAGGGCGTGACCATCGTCGACGAGCAGGATCAGCCCGCCAAGAAGAAGAAGAAGCTCGAAGCGACGGCCTCTGTCGAAGGAGGAGCCGTCGGCATCGTCGCGCGGCTCCGCTTGGAGCCGGCAAACTCCCTGAAGTTCAAGATCGCGTGCTCGCACAAGGCGCTGCAGATGGCTGGCGGGCCTATGGGTGGGCGTGGCGGCGGCGGCCGGGGACGCGGTCGCGGCGGACGCGGGCTCCGGCGCTCCAAAACGTCGCCTGCTGCTATGGGCGTGGGGTCGCTGTATGCGGGGCTTGAGTAAATTAACTGTTGTTGTTATTACTAGTACGACGCACGCCCCGGCTCCGATCATTCGAACTCGGTGCAAACAAGTGGTCCGCCACGAGAAGCGCCACACTACTGGCAATCTATATGCTACAGATTAGATTAGAGAAAGGGAAAGCAAAGGTACCTCCAGCCAGGAGTAGAAGTCCGAGTCGGCTCATCTGTCTGCTCCGATCACGTTTCGAACTCGGTGCAACAAGTGGTCCGCCACGAGAAGCGCCACAATGGCGAGATATGCTACAAATTAGATTAGAGAAGGAGGGAATAGGAAAGGAGAAGTCAGACCGCGTCCCGCCGCGCGCGCGACAGGAGCGCCCGCGACAGAAACCGCGCCGCGGACCGCACGACGGCCGTCGCCCGAATATCGCCACCCATCGCGAGTCGCGCCAAATCCGCGTCGAACCCCCGCTCGCGAAGGTCGGCGAGGACCGCGTCGCGCGGCGCGCGCTCCGGCCCCGACCGGACGCGTCGCAGGAGAGAAGTGAGCGCCGACGCCGCGGCCTCGCGAGCGATCATCGGTCCGTCGGCGACCAGGACCCCCGCAAGGGCTGCGTGCGCCATCGCCCGGACGCAGATGGCCGCCGTCCGCCGCGCGCGGCACGTCGCCGGCGCGAGCTTGACCGCCATGACGCCCGCCGCCCGCGCCGACGCCTCTTCGACGACGCGCTTCATAGCGCCGGCGTCGCCTACCGCGCGAACAATCGTCGCCCTCACGGCCTCGGGGAGCGCGATCCGCACGACGAGCGCGTGCGCGACGCGACGGCCAAACGCCGGCCCGTCGCGTCGTCTCCGTCGCCGTCGCCGCGGCTCGGCAATCGCCGACGCGGCACGGATCCAGGGCGCGACGGGCGGCCACGGAGCGCGCGCGGCGCCGCGGCACGTGCGCGACAGGCGCGAGACGTCTTCGAGCGTCGCGCAATAGGCCATGACTCGCGTGACTACTGCAGGAGCGCCGACGACGTCGCCGGCCGCCCATCTCTGTTGCACTGGCTGTTCGACATCCATCTGCACGTGCGGCGCCTCGGATTGAGATCTAGCTCTATCGCCGGACTCGCCCGCCGGCGGAGGCTGTAATTTTGCGTGCATTTAGGAAACCATAGGTGCTCCGCCTGACGGCAGTACGCAGGCTTCAAGTCATCTGTGTCCAGCGCTGCTGCAACCGGCTCAACTAAGGGCGTCCCGAAGGCGTCCACCAGTGCCGCTTCGAACACCTGGAAGAGGTCGCCCCATGCTTTTGTGTACCCTTTGACTCTGCCCATAACAAATGGGATGTACTTTATCGTCGTGTACAACAAGTCCTCGTAATTGTCCGCATTGATCTGCACGAAGGGGTCCAGCGCTTCCTTCGTGTAGCTGCCGAACACGTCGCCCGCGGACCGCTTGCTGACCTGCACCTCGACGACTCGCTTGATATTGTTCGCGTCCTTCAACGCGAGCACGAGGACATTGTTTCCTGAGTGTGTGGCGCCCTCGAGCGCGAAGAGGCCGGGGACGCATGACGTCTCTTTGTACAAGGCCGGAGGCAGAGAGGCTGTTCCAACGGTGCTGTAGCAGAGTGAAACCCGAACAGAAAAAGCACGGGATCCGCCGGGCTTCGCGGACGGGTCGTACCCGTCGTAGTAGTCTTTGAGGGATTGAACACGTCCTGGGGCAAATTGCGATTGCGTCACGAAAGCAGTTGCGGGGACCACATCGCCAACGTCGCCAACAACGTCGTCGGAGAAACAACCGCGCCGCGCGGCGGCCCGCTCTACCAACGAGCGGCGCGCCTCGAGCAGCGGTGCTATCTGGGAGCCACCCACGAAGCCCAGCGAGCCTCTGCGCGAGAAGGGCGAACCGCACAGGACGAACGCTACCGTGTGGATGAGAGGGTGTCGCTGCGCGAGTGCCCGTGCCATGCCGACGCCGCACAGACAGGCCCGGTCCGCGGGGTCCGAGAGCCGATCGTCCTCATGCAGGCTTTCTAGCCGGCTAATCTCCGCCTTGATCGCATCGAACCGCGCGTCTACCTCGTCCTGCGTACCCATGGCCTTGGCGTTCGCGTCGCGCTGCCGCGCGTTTTGGCTCGCCTTGCGAGCGATTTTGTAGACTGTCGTCTCTCCAAAGTCGTATCGCGTCGCCATAATGGAGCACGCGTCGATGGCGTGCGGTGGGCTGGGGCGCCCGCAGTGAGTGCCCGCAGGGCTGTGTGCAGCAGCGCGCTACACAGCAGTGGTGAGCGGTGCCGAGCGAGGCGTGACTTCGCAAGAAACCGGTTAAGGCACTTCACTGCGCAATAGGTAGCTAGTTACTCGGTTTTGGGGACGCTAGCACTTCACTGCGCCGTGCTGCACAACCCGTACTAGTGTCTTACTGTGCTAGCTGCTTGAGATAAAACGCGGACCATTGGGATACGCCGGGCGCGATTTACGGTTGTTAGCGCTTTATTACAATTAGTAGAAGCGACTTCTCTGCTTGGCATCTTCACTCGCCAGTTGTCACAACTCCGCAAAGTTAAAAAAGAGAGATGGGCGTCCGCGAGCAAAACGAGCTCATCGGTAGCGTACCCAAAAAGACCAAAGCCATTGTTGTGCTCCCGCCGAACGCGCGGGACGACGGCGCGCGACTTTTTGCGGCCGTGGAGAAGCTCGCCGGCTCGCCCGCGGTAGGCTCAGCCAGCGTCACGGTAGACGCGTCGTTCTGGGCCATGCGTGGCGATTCGCCAAGCGACATTCACAATATTGTGCGACGCCCGGCGTCCTTTACACGCGCGAGGCTCACGGGTAGCTGATCTCCGATTCTCTCGCATGCGTTCAATGTCCGTCCCTCACAGGTCAAGGGTGCGACGCGCGTGGCGACGTTGGCCGTTGCCTTCATGTTGACCGGATCGAACGTGACGGTCGTCATCGAGAGCGATACGCCGTACCAGCAGGACGCGACTGGGGCGGCGATTCCGATTGGGGCGCATCAGCGCCGTGCAAACGAGCTCATCGAGGACTCGTTGAGGCAGATCCAGCTGCCGGAAGGTGATGGCTACGGTCGCCTCGAGGTGGTGCGCGCAATTGGAATTCCGGCGGAGGCGGAATGCGGGGCCATCGTGGCGCGCGACGGTGGCTTCGCGTGCACGGGCGACAACGACGGTATTTATGCGAAGATCGGGACGTTTCCGGTCCACGAGTGGCCGCCGCGAATGCGGCCGCGCGTCGTCGTAATCAACCGCGATCGCGTGCTGGACCACTTCCACGTCGGCATCAGCGCGTTCGCGTTCGCTCGGGCGCTCTGTCCTGTAAGTTTCAGGGCAGATGGCTTCGTCAACATTGTGCGAACGGTGTACGGCGAAGGACAGCGCAAACGTCTTATTTCGACGAACCCGCCGCTTCCCGCCCTGCGCCCGATCGTCGACGCGTTTGCGCATTTGCAAGCGCGTGACGACCCCCAGGGGCCGTTTTGGCGCGAGTTCCAGCGCCGGATCGCCGGAGGCGCCGTCGTGGAGGAGTTTGACACGCGTCCGGCGGGGTCGAACCTCCGACTGGCGCGGGAGTGCCGACTCCTCAACCTCCTCTTGGAGGTCATCGCCGGCCTCCCCGCCGCGGAGCAGCTCGACCTCTGGCGTCGCGCGGAACGTGAACACACGCTCGCGCAGCGCCAGGTCTAAAGTCATTATCTAGCGTAGTGACACACTAGGAAGCCGCTCGAATTAAGCCGCGCTGCGCACGCAGCGACGCAGGTGCCTGACAACTGGTACGAAACAGAATCGCTGCTCTCAAGGCGAGCATGCTCGCCCCAGCAAGAGTGGGGGGCCTCCGGGAGCGGCGCGAGAGCGAACGCAACAAGCTCCAGCCGCAGCGGTTCCTCAAACCGACGCCGCGGCCGGCACCGATCCTCGAGGACGCCGCGGACACGCCGTCACTGGCCGTAGCGTTCGACAAGCTGGGCCTGCCCGACGCCGTGCGCTGCGCGGCGCGGTTCGGCTGCGACCGGCCGTACGCGTGGCAGTGGCAGGCGCTGCGGCAAGGCGTGGCCCACAAGAACTTGGTCTACAGCGCGCCGGCCTCGGGCGGCAAGACGCTGGTCGCGGAGGCGCTGCTCGCGCGCGCGCTGTGGCGCCACGACCACACGCCGCGCGTCGCGCTCTTCGTCGTGCCGAAGCGCGCGCTCGCGGACGAAAAGGCCGCCGAGCTGGCGCGCCACTTCTCGGGCGACGGGTCGTACGGCTGGCGCGTCCGCGTGTGCCACGGCGAGGCCGAGGACGCGCGGCGCGCGCGCGAAGGGTCGAAGGCGCGGAAGCCTCCCGCGCTGATCGACGACGCGCGGTGCGACCTCGCCGCGTGCACGTGGGAAAGCGCGGCCCAGTTCCTCCAGGCGCTGCTGGAGAAGGGCGGCGTCGAGCTCGTTCGCGGACCGGCGTCCCGTGCTCGAAGAGGGGTTACCGTTCGATACGCAGGCGCGGAAACGGCTCGCGTGCGTGTGCGTCGACGAGGTCCACGAGATGGGGACGAACCGCGGCGCGACGCTCGAGAGCTTCCTCTGCAAGGTGGCGTGCGTCGGCGCGCCCGTGGTCGCGTGCACGGCGACGGCGTCGAACCTGGGGGCGCTGGCGGCGTGGCTGGGCGCGGGCCTCTACGAGACGGCCGAGTGCCCCACGACCGTCGCCATCCACCTGGCCCTCGCGCCGCCGATGCCGCGGCGAATGATGGCCCCAACCGAGGAGGTCGCGACGCGCGTCTGGGCCGAGGGCGGGGCGCGCGTCGACGAGCGCCGCCTGGCGGTCATGGCGCCCGCGGACTACGACGTCGGCGACGCCGTCGTGGATAAGCTGTGCCTCGACGACCCGCCGGGGCCGGTGATGCTCTTCGTGGCTTCGCGGGCCGACGCGCGCGCCGCGGCGGTGCGGCTGGCCGAGCGGCGCTGGCGCGAGAGCGGCGCTCAAGATCAAGAGAAGGCGGCGTGCCGCGCCGCGCTGGCCGAGCGGCTCCGGAGCGCGTCGCCGCCCGACGCCGCGCACGCCGCGGACCTGCGCGCGTGCTGCCGGCACGGCGTGCTTTTCCACCACGCGGGGCTCGCGGCCGCGGAGCGCGAAATGGTCGAGGCCGCGTTCGCGCGCAAGGACTGCGACGTGCTCTGCTGCACCACGACGCTGGCCGTCGGCGTGCACCTGCCCGTGGCACGGGTCGTCGTCAAGGGCGGCGGCCAGCGGCGGACGGGCGCGGAGCTCCGCCAGATGATAGGACGAGCAGGCCGCGCCGGGTTTGGGACCAAGCGGGCGCCGGACGCGTGGATCGTGTGCGCCGGCGGGAACGGCGAGCGCGGCGCGGTGGGTGCCGAGAAGCTGCTGGGCGCGGCGGCGCCGCCGATCCTGAGCCGGCTCCGCAACGACGACGACGGACTGAGACGGCACGTCCTCGAGGCCGTCTCGGGCGGGCTGATCGCGCGGCGCGAGGTCATGGCGGCGTTCGACGGCGCGCTGGACGCGGGACTGCCCCTGCGGTGGCTCGCCGCGCGCGGGTTCCTGCGCCCGGGCGGTGCGAATTGGAAAGATCCGCCGGGAGAAGCGCCCTCTGTCTTGTTGGATGATACCTGGGAACCGACGCCGCTCGGCGCCGCGACGGTCGGCGCGGGGCTGGGACCGGCGGACGCCCTGGAGGTCGCCGCCGCGCTGCGCTGCCGCCACGGCGTCGACTACGGCGGCGTGGCTCCGGAGTACGCGTTGTTACATCGGCTCTACCTCACGGCGCCGCTCCAGCAGAACGTGCTGGGGGGGTGGGCGCACTGGGCGGCGTTCGGGGACGCTCTCAAGGACGCGGGCAAGGGCGCGCGCGAAGTCTTCAAGCTATGCGGCGGTTGCGAGGCGCACGTCGCGCGCCGCGCGCGAGGCTTAGCGGCGACGGCGGAGTCGGAGGCGAAAAACGTGCCGGGCACGCCCGACCGCGTCTGTCGACGGTTCGCGCTCGCGTTGCTGCTCCACGACCGCATCGGTTTGGGCCCCGGGCATCATCAAGGTCCAGTCCAGCAAGAAGACGGAACGTGGGGAAGAAATCAAACTTCGAGCGGCACGCCGAGCTTCGCCGCCGCGTTCGCCGCCCGCTACCGCGAACACGCCGGCCCGGACGCGTCGCTGACCAAGTGCGAGGGCGGCGACGTGGATAATTATTCGCGCGACGCCGCCACGCTGGCGCGGCGCCTCGAGTACTTTTGCCGGAAGCTCGCGTGGCTTGAGGCCGCGCGCGCGTGCAAGAGCGCGCGCGGCCTGCTCGCGCGAGGCGCGCCCGACGAGCTCGTCCGGCTCATGCGCGCGAGTCCGGGCAACATCACCCGCGCGCGCGCCCGCGCGCTGCACGACGTGGGCTTCGAGAGCGCCGCGGACCTGGCGGAGGCGGACGCGACCGACATATCGGCTGCCCTGTACGACGCGGCGGCGTTCGACCCGAGCGCGGCGTTCGCCGACGCGGCCGCGGCGCGCCTGGCCGCGTGTATTATCGCCGACGCGACGAAGACCGCGGCGCGCGAGGCCGCGCTGCCGGTTGATGACTCAGGCGGCGGCGACGACGACGACGACGAGTCCGCCGCCCGCGACTCCGACGAAGACTCCGCACCCGACCCCGACCTGCCAGAGGCCTCGGACAGCGACTCCATGGACGGACTTTAGTTGTTCCTCGAACTTTGTGTGTAACTTTTGTCAAGTTATACTTCGACGTGGAAATAAAAAGGACCTTGCGAGTATCAGCGACGACCATCTGGAGCGGGAATAAGCTCTGAACTTCACTATTCGGGGGTCAGTCGGAGAGGTCTGTTTTCAAGAGCCATCCGCCTAGGCCTGTATACATTCAGACTATATGTATGTATATATACATAAATATATATATATACACGGATTCCTAGTATGTCGATACGCTAGATCACCAGGTCTTGCGGCTCGCCAAAATACACCAGCGATTGGCGGTGCCTTCTGTCGTCCAAATGGTACATCATATCAACTCCAGCCTAGTTTTCATACACACTCGACGGAACCGGAGCCGACGGCCCGCGCTCGGAGGGCGGGAGAAGAATTCTACTAGACAACTCCCGAGTTTATGTTCGTTTCCTTTTGTTTGTTGGTGGTAGATTACATTTAGGCCGGATGGGCACGGGCCGAGGTATGTTAGATGACCCGTTAGAGCCGCGCGAAACGGCGATTCGGCAGCCCCACGTTTATGTGAATATGAGCTCTTAGCCTAGATCCGCGAGTATCAGCGATGACACTACCCCAATAGACCATAATGCCGTTTAACTATTCACAATCGACCGACTTGCCCGTTCTCCGCGGACGACGGTGCGTACGCGGGGCACTGAATTGGCCCCAGATCGGTGAGTTATAAAATAAATGTGCGTTTCAGGCGATTTAGTACTAGGACGGGCCATCTAACCGGCTTGATTGTGTACTACATTGCTCCGAGACCCCAAGATGCTCGGCGCGGGTCGTCGGTCTCGCGAGCCCACCATCTGGCTATATTTGGCTCCAGACTCAGACCTGCGGCCATCAGCGCGTGTACCATTACCATGGACCTTGGCGCAATCATTTGTTCCATGATCGACGGACTTACGCGAGGTCCAGATAAAGATGTTCATGTCCCGAGCGTGGGCAGCCAAAAGTATCCTTCTCGTCGTGTAGAAGTCATATACTTGTAATTGACTATCGATGGGGTAGTATGGGGTCCGACGGGACCGCTACGGCGACTACTGGGGGCCCTCGGGTAATTGACGTTTTTGACGGGAACGGGGCGCCATCGGGTCCAAATTATTTACTTTTTGTGGTGGCAGATCGGCTCCTGGAGGCCTCACGGGGTAGGTCTGGTAGTGGGTAAGTGCCTGCGCCGCATACGCCGTCGATGCAGCAGCCAAGTGTTCTCGGAGAGCCCTGGAAGCAACAAAGGCATAAAAGTTGCTACTCCTCTGTGGCCTGCTGAGAGAAATCGACCAAAAATGCTTGAAGCGGCGGCGTATGCGGTGTAGGCGCGCGCACGTGTATAGTACCGACCCTAGGCGACCCCAGGGACACCTATTGGACAGGGATTGACAGGATTAAACCGGCGTGGCCGCCATAGACCGTAGGGCGCCCTCGGTCGCGAATTAAAAAAATTTCCTTTTCCGGCCCCCAGTACTTGTCCCATTGATCTCTTTGGACCAGTAGCGAACTGAGCGGTACTCAAACGGCTGCATGCCGCGTTCCGAGTTTGACTTGCTAGTGTGTTACACTCCGCTAGCCTGCGCGCCGGCCATTTACTTTTTGCAGGCTTTACTGCCCTTGCTGGAGCTGTTACGTCTAGTTGTAGCTGTTGTCTATCTGTTGAAGTGCTGTTGACGTGTCGCAGCGCTCGGGCTAGAAGGCCGCGTCGTGGTCTAGCCCCTGGGGAGGCTGCAGGTGCGCAAACAAAGCGTAGCTTTGCGAAAACACGGGCTACAACGAGCTACGCTAACACAGCAATGGCATCCAGACCGCTCTACGGCGGCGCATGCCGGGCACAAATCCCACAGGGCTGGGCGGACATGTCGGACTCGCGACCCGTACCCGACACGCAAGAGGTATTTATGGCGCAAGACGGTTCGGGCGCGTCGCTGGTGTTTGAGATCGTCGAGCGCGCCGACGTCGCCGACGACGGCGCCGCGCGCTACCATTTCGACGACGTGGCCGACGCCGCGGCAGCCGTCGCGCGCGCGGTGGTCGCTACTGGAAGCGTTTCCGCGCCGACGGCTCCGGTCTGCGTCGTCGCGTTGGGCAACATGACAATGACCAAGGCCGAGAGCACCGACGGTGCGCACAGCGTCGACGTCGGTATCGCCGCGTTCCGGTTTCCCGACGAGGCGACGGACGTGCTGTGTACGCTGAACGTGCCGGCGCTCGACGGGTCCCAGTTAAGGGAGGGCCCCCTCGACCTCGCCGTGGCACCGGGCATGAGGCCACTCGCCGACGTCGTCGCCTCACTCGTCGTCGACCGCGGATTGTTCGGCGGCGAGTAATGTCTATCCTATGTCTTTACCCGGCGCCGGCGCCGTCGTCGCCGTGTCGAAGCACCCCTCGCGCTTGAAGTAGGCCCGGAGCTTGGACCGCGTCGAGCGGCGCTGCGCCATGCGGAGCCAGTCGAGCTGCGGCCGCGCGTCCTCCGACGTTTTGATCGACACGACGTCGCCGTTGTGGAGCTCGTAGCTGAGCTGGACCTCGTGGCCGTTGATGAGCGCCCGGTCGAGGTGGAGGCCCACGTCCGTGTGTATGCTAAAGGCCGCGTCGAGCACCGTCGCGCCCTTGCTCAGGTCGAGGATGCGCCCGTCCCTCAAGAAGACGAAGACGCGCTTGCCGAGGACCTCTCCTGCGTAGACAGCGACGGGATCAACGGCTCACTCGCATCGATGGCGTGGAGACGGACCCGAGTTAAAGTGAAATTCGACGCCGCCTCGGACGTCGGATCGTCTCGACGAACTCCCTTGAACTATGGATGTCCTGCATGTCCTTGATGGCGTTGAGCCACTCGAGCGCGTAGGGCTTCGCCGACGCGCGCGGCCGCTTCTCGGCGACGGCGGCGGCGGACGCCGACGCGCAGAGCGCGCGCCGCGTCGCGTCCTCGCCGCCGGGCTCGAGCAACCCGTCCTTGTAGAGCCAGTGCGCGGCCATGCCGTACTCGGCGACCTCGTGCATGCCGCGCGTGCGGATCTGGATCTCGACGACCTGGTCCTCGGGCTCGCGCAGCACGGAGGCGTGGAGCGACTGGTAGCCGTTGGGCTTGGGGAAGGCGATGTAGTCCTTGACGCGCGGCACGGCCTCGCAGTCCTCGAGGTGCTGGACCGCTCCCAAGACGTGGTAGCACAGCTGGACGCCGCGCTCGCGCCAGGCCTCGGGCGTTTCTTGGTCCGACGCCCGGGGCACGTCCAGCACGACGCGTACGGCCACCACGTCCGGCACTTCATCCAAGTCCCGCGCGGCGAACAACTTCTCGTCGTCGACGAGCGGCGCCGGCGCGTCGGACCCGAAGACCTCGCTCACGAGGTCCTCGCGCCGCGCCGCGCGGTCGCTCTCGAGCTTGCGCCACAGCGAATACGTCTCCTTCGTGCGGCCCGACACGGTCACGCCGACGTGGTCGAGCGTGGTGTCGGCCGCGAGCTTCCGCTCGAGCGCGGCCGTGACGCCCCGGAGCGCGCCGGCGTGGCGCGGCCGCCGCGCCTCGAGCGCCGCCGCGAGCGCCGCCGCCGGCCGCGGGTAGAGGTAGCCGAAGGCGATCTCCTCGAGCTCGGCCTTGAACTGCCAGATCCCCAACCGATGCGCGAGCGGCGCGAAGATCTCGATCGTCTCGCGCGAGATGCGCAGCTGCTTGTGCCGCGGCATGTGCTCGAGCGTGCGCATGTTGTGTAGGCGGTCGGCGAGCTTGATGATGATGATGCGGTAGTCGTCGGTCATGGCGACGAACATCTGCCGCAGGTTCTCAAGCTGTTCCAATTCCTTTGTTTGGCCTGGCCCGCCCGGCGTCTCGCTGCCCAGCGTCGCGTCCAGCTTCGGCAGCTTTGAGACCTTCGTCTCGCCCTCGACCTGTGCGCGCATCGACCAGTGAGTTTCTTCTCGGCGAGAACGCGACCGTGCTGGCCGAATAGCCACGCCATCGAGCTGGCCTCCGCGCCATCGACGCGACGCGACATTGATTTATGCACTGCCATCGACGAGCGCCCGGACATCCGGCCCAAAACGCCGCTCCACGTCCTCAAACCTCAAAAACGTGTCCTCGACCGTGTCGTGCAGCAGCCCGGCGACGACCGTGTCCCGGTCCATCGACAGGTCCGCCAACAATATCGACACCGCCACGGGGTGGCTGACGAAGGGCTCGCCGCTCCGCCGGTTCTGGCCCGCGTGCGCGCCGTGGGCCACGATCAGCGCGTCCCGCACGACCGCGCGCTCGTCCTTCGGGAGGTACGCGATGGCCTTTTCTAGCCGCTTCCAGTCCCGGTCGACGGCGCGCATGTCCGCGCGCGCCACGGCGTCCTGGTCCCGCTCGCTCCAGGTCGCGTTCGCCCCGCGGTCGAGCTTCTTGATGCGCGATGTTCTCCGCGGCGCCTGCATCTCGCTCCAGTCGTCCAGCAGCTGCTCGCGCTTGTACAGCGTCCGGATCGGCTGCCACAGCCGGCCGGTCCACGACCGCTCGGGCCGCGCCTCGGCCGCGCGCCGGACCTGGCGCCGCACGCCGCGCGGGTACGGCCGGCGCGGCGCGTAGGCGCCCGCCGTGGCCAGGAGCAGCGCGCACAGCGACGCGACCAGTCCGATCGACGATCGGGCGCTCGCGAGCGCTGGCGCACGTGGCCTCCGTGCCGCGACGCCCGCTGGACGTGCTCTCAGGCCTGGACATGCTGCTCTCACTGCCTTTGATCGATGAGCCATTCTTCTTATGTTGTTTTGCGACTGCCTGGCACGGTGTATGTAATACAGCGCTAATATTATGTCGTGATCATTGCTGGAGCGTGTGCGCTGGCCGGCTTCACCAAGTGATGGTGGAGCCTCTCAACCTTTCACACCGCACGATATGACACGCGAATTCTCATGCCGCAGCCGACGCGTGGAGCAATCATGCACTCAATACAGGGTACCCGGAGCGCGGCTTAGGCCGCGTGCGGGTCTCAGCTCCGCAGCCTTCGAAGTCTGCGCGCATCATTGGGCTGCCCCCAATCGCAAGCACACAGCATTGGAGCATCGTTGCATACAGCAACAGCACAACAAGCTTGCAGCATCATAACAACAACAAGCAATAACTCAACAAAAACAAGGCTGCCCAAACCAGCAAATGTGGCGCGCCCGCCCGCTCAGTGACACGGCGCCGCCCAAGGCCGTGCCCTTAACGCACGGCGAGGCGCGCGGCAGCGTCACCTGGACGAACGCCGTCGACGACGAGGAGAACGAGCGGCGGCCGCCCGAGAAAGCCGCCGCCGACGACTTCTGCGAGCCCTCGAAGACGGTCAAGGTGCCGCCCTCCTCAAAGCTGCCGCGGCCGCCGCCCAAGAACGGCGGCACGAAGATCCCCGTCGACCGCGACGCCGCCGCGCAGCGCGCGCGCGTCGAGGCGGAGTGCCGCGCGAACGGTGGGGTGGTGTACACGAACGACGACGGGCCCGTCTACGAGCCGCCCGCCGAGACGCGGCCCGACGCCTACGCGACGTTCCTCGGTAGCGAGGCCTACGCCCCCGGCGCCGAGGCGCTGCTGCGGTCGCTGGCCAAGCACACGAAGAAGGCGCGCGTGGCGATGGTGGCGCGGTCGGTCACGCCAGCGACGCGCCAGCGGCTCAAGGGCGCCGGCGCGACGCGCGTCGTCGAGGTGGAGAACATAGAGAACCCCCGCGATGCGAGTGACGTGCGGTCGACGAAGCTACGGGTCTGGGGCCTGGAAGACTACGGGAAGATTGTGTATCTGGACGCGGACTGCCTCGTCGTCGGGAGCGCGGACCAGCTCTTCGCGACGTGCCGCGACGTCGCGTTCGCGGCGGCGCCGGCGCTCTACCCGCCGGACACCTTCGACGGCGGCGTCCTGGTCCTGACGCCCTCGTCAAATACGCTCGAGGCCATGCTCAAGCTCGCGCCGAAGACGCCCTCAAATGACGTCGGCGGCTTCCTGAACGAGTTCTTCGACGACTGGTTCGAGAAGGACGTCGCTGGGCAGCGCCTGCCCTTCCGGTACAACTGGCGGCCGCGGCCGGGCGAGCGGGACCTTAATGCAGTGTGGCCCGACGACGCCGTCGTCGTGCAGTACGCGGGCGACCGGAAGCCGTGGACGAAGACGGAAGGGAGCGCGCCGCGGACGGCGCTCGAGCGCGCGTGGTGGGCCGCGGCCGACGAGGGCCGCGCGCGAGCGCCCCGGGACCACGGCGCGCTGTCTTTGTGCGACGCGCCATTCGCGGCCTTTGCGCCGCAAGCTCTGGCGTTCCCCGCGCGCCTCCGGCGCCTCTACCTCGACCGGGCCGGGCTCGCGGCGCTGCCCGACGAAATCTGCGGCCAGTTTTGTAACCTGGTCTGTCTCAGGTACGTCCCTCTTCTTTGTGAAGCGACGTGACCGGTCGCTTTCCGCGCAGGGCCCGCGGGAATCAGCTGAAAGCGCTCCCAGAGAACATTATACAGCTCACGAAGCTCGAGGAGCTCGACGTGCGCGACAACCTCCTCAAGCAAATCCCGGCGGCGCTCGCGGCGTTACCATTAAAGGCGCTCCGGCTCTGCGGCAACCCGCTCGCGGGCGCGCCGCGCGGCCTCGCGGACCGCTTCACGGAGCGGTGCCGCGCGGCGGGCCGCGGCCTCCCGGTGCTGGCGGAGACGCTGCTCGCGGGGCCGCGCTGGCGCGTCATCGCCGCCGGTTCGGATCAAGCCGCGGCCGCGTGGCTCGACGAATGTAGAAGGGAGTGCAAGCCCGGCTCCTTTCCATTGGACGACGGCGTCGCGGCCTGCACGCGGGCAAGTGCGTCGACGCGCGCGACTTCGTCTACCTCGCGCAGGACGAGCGCACGGGCCGCTACGTCTGCGACCCGACGCCGCGGCGCCCGCGGGCCCGCGGCGACCCGTGCCCGGACGACTCAACGGTGAACGCGCGGCGCGAGACCGACGACGACGTGCGGCGCTTCGCCTACAACCACCGCACGAAGTGGGCGTCCGTCGATAACTTTCAGTTCGACGACCCCGTGAGCGCGCAGTGCGAAGTGTTGGACGACCTGGCGGGACGCGTGATCCGGCTCGACGCCGCGCTGAGGGAGGAGGGTGCGGCCGTGTGCTTTGTTTATAGGGATGGGGTCCGCGGCTGTGTGGAAATCAACCAGTGAGTTAGGCTATCCTGCGAATTATGGCGTGGGGCGCCCGAAATTTGATTCCACACAGGCCCGCGGCGCGTGCGGGTCGTTCGTGAACTGCCCCCTGACGGGGGATTCGTTGGATGAGGACGGCGCCCAGGACCTCGTCGCGTGCTGCGAGCTCCTGAAGAAGAGGTACCCGAAGGCGAAGACGCTCGTCGTACACCTCGCGAATGACCCGCCGGACGCGGCAGTCTCACACCGGTCCCTGTTCTCCGTCGACGTCAAAACCGTCGACGACGGCGACGTGGCGGGGCTGCTGGAGTTCTGCCTGTTCGGGGCGTCCGTCGGCGTTACTGACGATGACTATGAGGTACCCGACGACATTGTCGAAGACGCCTCGCGGGCGCGGAACCTGTCGGAGAAGGCGCGCTTGTTCGACACGGGGAAGGAGTAAGGAGCACGGGTTTGTGTGATTTTCTGCTTCCTTGCGACCGACTCGGAGGCAACCTAGGGGTCGAGGGCGAGCGATAACAAAGCACACAAAGTAAAACGTTAGTCCTTGGGGGGCATGGCCTAGCCTGGTCCAACGACGTCCTCAACACCCTAGATCATGCCGACGAACGCTTCGGCCGACGCCTTCGCCGCCGCGTCGGCCGCTAGCGCCTGGCACTTCGCCTCGACGAGCTCTTGCGTTGCCTCTGGAACTTGCCATATCATAAAAGACGTCCCGCGGTGCGCGTCCCGGTGGACAAGTTCACAATCCTCGGCGAGCCGATCCTTGTCGCCCGAGTGGGCGCCCAACGCGACCGCTCTCGCCCCGCCCTCCGTCTTCGCCAGGAGGACGTAGGCAAGCGGCAATTTCGCGGCGTGCAGCCTCCGCATCGCAACGCGCGCGTCGGCGGACAGGCCCGATCTCGCATGCGAGTTAAGCTCGATTGCGGCTCGAACGATGGCCCTCTCCTTGCCTTCGCAGAACTTGCGCACAGCCACTAAACTCGTCGAGACGATAATCTCGCTTACCGGCGCCTGCGCCTTCGAAAGCACTTTGAGGGCCCGTATCGCGGCGCCGGCGGGCAGTTGCGACGCGGCGTGGCCCTGGGGCAGGACCCCTCCGGGCGGCGGCGGCGTCACCGTCCCGGGCGTCGAGCTCTTGGGCGTCGGCTCGTTCAGCACGATGGGCGAGTCGGGCTCCTTCATAGACGGCGGCGTCGCGGGCAGCTGGAACGCCGTCGTGACGCCCTTCGGCATGTGCGCCACCGGCCGACCGGGCGCGCCCGACGTCCGCAGCGACTGGAGCGCGGGGTTCTTGCGAGCCATGGAGCTGCTATTGAACTGCAAATTGGAGTCCGGCGGCCGTTCCATGTTGGCGTTGGTGCTCGAGTTTCGCAGTGATTGAGTTGATGCCTTGCGTAATTGGGTGTGGAGAGTCGTGGTGCTGCTCTGTGTTTGTGCTAATCGAGAGCACGCGTCGTCGAGAGCAGCCAAAAACTACTGCAGGTGATTCGTGTGTATGAGTGTGCACGGTGCGCAGCGGGAGATCTGTTCTATGACGCTCTGAGGTAAAAACAACTAGCCTGCTCTCCGTCTCCGTCGAGCAAGTTCCAAAGCAGGTGCGGGCTTCCGGGCTTCGCCGATTTTAGTTTAGGCGCAAAGAGTTCTAGGACAACATAGACGTCTTATGGATAGCTACAGAAACGAACTATCCTGCTCTCTCACCCCAGTCCGAGACCAAGCCGGCCGCGGGCGCCTCCAAGATGTTAGAGAATTACACAGGAGGCGGCCCCGGCCCTCCACCAGACGGCGCCACGGCGGCCTCCGCGAGCGACCCGTGCAACAAGAACACGTCGACCTGGAGGTACACGAGGTACGCGAGCACGAGGACCGCCGACAACCGCGGCGGCTCGGCGCCCATCACTCGCGACGCGCCGGGGCACCGCCGCAGCCCCCGCCACATGCCGCCGCAGACGCGCCGGCCGCCCCGCGAGCTGCGGCTCGGCCGGTCGTCGTCGTCGCCCCGCGCCGCCTCGAGGTCGTCCGTCGGGCTCGGCGCGCGCGCCCGCAGGCCCGCGCGCGCGGCCTCAGCCTGAGCGCGCGCGGCCTCGGCCGAGTCCTCGGCGGCCTTGAGTTGTCGCGTCGCGGCCTCGAGCCGCGCGGTCACGCGCCGCAGCTCCTGGTCGCGCTCCGTCAGCGCCTGTCCCGCGGCCCCCGCGGCCTGCGCCAAGTTCGCGGCCTCCGTGGCCCGCTCCTGGCGCTCGTCGGCCAGCGCCTTCTCCGCGAGCGCGCGAGCGGACTCGGCCGCCGCCGCGCGCCCGGCCGCGTCATCGGCCCGCGCGTCCGCGGCGCTCAAAGCCTCACCTTCGTCGCGCTCGCGATCGGCGAGCGCCCGGCGCGCCGCGTCGCGTTCGGCGTCCACGGCCGCGCGCTCGCGCGCGAGCTTGTCGCGCTCGTCGCCGACGCGAGCCGCCAGCTGCAGCGCCGTCGCCGCGCGGTCCTCGGCGGCCTTGGCCGCGGCCTTGTGCTCGTGGAGCCGCTCCGTGAGGGCCTTGACGGCCCCCACGTCCGCGGCCGTCCGTTTCCGGGCCGCGGCCGCCGCGGCCGCGAGCGCGGCCGCCGTCGCCGCGAACGCGCCGTCGCGGGCAGGGTCGTCGCGAGCGGCCGCCGCCTCGCTCCGCGCCGCGTCGAGCGCCGCGCGGGCCTCCTTCGCGAGGGCCTCGGCGCCGTTAGCGCGCGTCTGCTCCGCCGCAGCGCTCGCGCGCGCCGCGGCCAGCGCCTCGTCCGCCTCCCGCGCGTCGGCGTCGCGCCGCTCGGCCTCGCGCTCCGCGTCCCGCCGGTCGCGCTCGCGCGCGGCGTCGGCGTCGTCGGCGCGCCGCGTCGCCGCGGCCACGCGCGCCGCCAGTGCGTCGCGCTCCTCCTCGACGCGCGCCAGCCGCGCGGCGCTCGCCTCGACCTCGGCCGCGGCCGCCGCCCGCGCCTCCGCCGCGGCGACGCGGTCGCCGCGGCCGTCGGCCTCGAGCGCGTCGACGCGGTCGCGCAGCTTCGTCGCCTCGTTTTGAGCCGCGTCGGCCTCGATCCGGGCCGCGTCGGCGTCGCTCCGGGCCGCGTCGGCCGCGTTGTGAGCCGCGTCGGCCTCGCTCCGCGCCGCCGCCGCGTCCTCGACCGCCGCATCGCGCGCGGCCTCGGCCGACGCGACCTCGCCGGCGAAGCGCGCCGCCACCGCGCCGCGCTCGTCGCGGAGCGTCGCGGAGCGCTCCTCGGCCTTTGAGGCTCGCTCCTCCGCGGCAGCGAGCGCCCCGGAGAGGTCCTCGGCGGCGGCGCGTGCCTCGGCCGCGGCGAGCTCGCCCCGCAGCGCGCCAAGCTCTTCGTCGCCCTGCGCACGTGCGGCCTCGGCTTCGGCCCGCGCCTCCGCGGTCTCCGCCTTCGCGGCCTCGAGCGCCGCCGTCGCCGCTTCACCCTCGGACCGTGCCTCGGCGAGCGCCGCCGCCGACTCTTCGCGCGCCTCGGCGAGCGCCACGGCGTGCTCGCTCCGCAGCTGCTCGACCTCCTCGGCGTGGGCCTCGCGGAGCGCCGCCGACGCGTCGCCGTCCGACTTTGACGCGGCGAGCTCGCGCGTCGCGCGCTCGACCTTGCGCTCCGCCGACTTTTTTATTTTGTCGACGGACTTGCGCGCCTGCTCGCTGGCTTTCTCGGCCGCGTCCGCGCGCGTCTCGGCCGCCGCGAGGCGGCCCCGCAGCGCCTCGAGCTCCACCGCGGCGCCGTCGTCTGCCGCCGCGCTCTCAGCGGCCCGCGCCTCGGCGGCCCGGAGCGCCTCGGCGCCCTCCGCAGCCCTTTCTTCGGCAGCTCGGAGCGCCTCGGTCGCCGTCGCGAGCCGGGCTTCGGCGTCGGCCGCCCGCTGCTGCGCGTCGGCCACGGCGCGGCTCTCCTCGTCGTCCTTGGCGTTCGCGCGGCGCTCGGCGGTCGCGAGCGCGCGCACGGCCGTCGTCGCCTTGGCCTCGGCGGCCTGGAGCGCGTCGTCGGAGCCCTGGGCCGCGAGGGCCTGCTCGGCCTCCAGAGCGCGCTGCTTCGCCCGGCCGAACTTCTCCTCGAGGGTCCGGTACTTTGCCACCAATTTGTCCAGCGTCTCCTGCCTCGAGCCGCCGGCGTCGAGCCGTCGCTGGAGCTCGTCGGCCCGGTCCGCCTTCTCGCGCACGCTCCCGAGCTCGCGCTCGATGGCCCGGTACCGCTGCACGAGCCGCCGCGCCTCGTCGTGCTTAGCCTGCCGGTCGCGCTGCAGCTCGTCGCGCTCCCGCGCCAGTTCGTCGCGCTCCCGCGTCAGCTCCGCGACGCGGTTCGAGAGCCCCGGCGAGGCCGCCGGCGGGGACGGCGGCGGCGAGTAGTCGTACGACGCGCCGCGGCTCCGCAGCGACGTGTGCTGCTCCCCGCGCAGTAGTTCGTCGCGCCGGCGCTGCTCCTCGCGCAGCGCCTGCATCGAGAAGGGCCGCCGGTCGTCCTCCGACGAGTAGTCCGAGTGCTTGTCGTCGTCGTCGTCGCCGATGAGGTCGTCGACGGCGTCGAGCGCCCGCGCCGCGGCGGAGCCGATCGTGCCCGCGCCGTCGATCAGGCCGCCGACGCCGTCTCCTGCTCTTTCCGCTAAAGCGGAGGCTCGGTCGAGGGCGCGAGACCACATTGTTGTCTTGGTGTTTCTCGTTGCTAAACTTAGACGCTATGCGCGTGCGCAGAATCTACGCGTCCGCCCCACACTGCTGAAAATCTGCCACTGCCGGATTTTGTCTAGTACTCGCCACGGCACGCGAAAAGCGCTGGCTGCGATGATTAGTGGCAACAGTGGAAATGTCTAAACGGCTGCAGAGTTCTACACGGAGCTCTGGACGGCCGTGCGTCTCAAAAGCCGCCCTAGCCTAGCCCGCCGCTTGCAAGCTAGTGTCTTACATGACGCTAGCAGCCTCTTTGGAGCACGGAGCGTACGCGCTGCAAAGCTGTAAAAGAGGGCGTCGGAAGACGTTCTGGACCGCCAGCGAACCACAGAGCAAAGCTGCAATGTCTCTGCTGTGCAAGAAAGCATTACACCGCTGCCAGCTAACTTGGCTCCTGCTGGCCGCTGCAGCAGCCGCAATGCTGCTCATACGACTCGTAAGGCGTCGCCGCCGACGACCAAAACCACGCCAAGGCAAGCTGCGCGTCGCCTTCGCCCACCCGGACCTCGGCATCGGCGGCGCGGAGCGGCTCGTCGTCGACGCGGCGCTCGGCCTGCGGGGCCGGGGCCACGACGTGACGATCTACACGGCGCGGCACGACCCGCGGCGCTGCTTCGACGAGACCCGCGACGGCACGCTGCGCGTCGTCGTCGCCGGCGACTGGCTGCCGAAGCGGATTCTCGGAAGGTGCTACGCGCTCTGCGCCTCGGTGCGGATGGTCGCGGTCGCGCTGCGCGCCGCGCGCGACGGCCCGGACGTCGTCGTCGTGGACCAGGTCGCGACGGCCGTGCCCGTCGCCCGGGCGGCGTGCGCCGCGCCGGTCGTCTTCTACTGCCACTACCCGGACAAACTGCTCTGCGTGAACCGACAAAACCCGCTCACGCGCCTCTACCGCGCGCCGCTGGACTGGGGCGAGGAGACGTGCACGGGCCTCGCGGACGTCGTGCTCGTCTGTGTGGAAATCAACCAGTGCGTCGGGTGCACCCGAAAATTCTTCATTAAGTCATTTCTCGGCGATGACGCGGCCGTGCCGGCTCCGTCGAGCGGTGACGAACCGGCACCGCCACGCCATCGAGCAGGCGTCGCGTCGATGGCGTGGAGGACGACGCGACGGTTCAGCACGAACGCGCCGTAAAATTTTGATTTCCACACAGGTGCTCGTGAACTCGCGGTTCACGGCGGGCGTCTTCCGCCGGGCGTTCCCCCGGCTCGCCGTGGCGCCCGAGGTGCTCTACCCGCCCCTGAGCCTTGACGCCGAGGTGGCGGAGGCGCCGCGGGACGCGGCGCTGCTCCTCTCGATCAACCGCTTCGAGCGGAAGAAGAACCTGGGCCTGGCCGTCGAGGCGCTCGCGCTGCTGCCGCCGCGCGTCCGCCTCGTGCTCGCGGGGGGCTACGACCCCGACCTGCCGGAGAACGTCGAGCACGCGCGCGAGCTCGAGGAGCTGGCCGCGCGGCTCGGCGTCGCGGACCGCGTCACGCAGCGCCGGTCCGTCTCCGGCGACGAGAAGGCGCGGCTCCTCGCGCGCTGCGCGTGCCTGCTGTATACGCGCGGACGCGGCGTCCCCTGCAAACGCCATCGACGCGGGGCCTCACGCTGCAACACAGGCCGGAGAACGAGCACTTCGGCATCGTGCCGCTCGAGGCGATGCACGCGCGCACGCCCGTCGTCGCCGTGGACTCGGGCGGGCCGCGCGAGTCCGTCGTCGACGGCGTGACCGGGCGGCTCCTGGCGCCCGATCCCCAAACCTGGGCCCGGGCCGTCGCCGACCTCCTCGGCGACGCGGCGGGGCGGCGGGCCATGGGGGAGCGCGGCCGCGAGCGGGTCCGGGACTTGTTTTCGCTCGACGCCTTCGCGGACCGGCTCGAGCGCATTTGTGTCGGCGTTCTTACTAGAAGGTAAAAGTGTGTCTTTATTTTTTCTTTTCTTTTTTTTTGCCGCCACCGCCGCCGCCGCCGCCGCCGCCACCACCTCCGCCGCCACCGCCGCCGCCGCCGTCTTTATTTTTGCGCTTGCTGTACCCCGGCATGGACACGACATCCGCCTGGAGCCCGTGGAGTTGCGCCTGGAGCATCGAGAGCTGGGTTTTGATGTCTTGCCTGTCGGCGAGCGCGGCCTCGAGCCGGCGCGCGAGGTCGCCGTTCTGGGCGTCGACCTTTCGTTCGAGGTTCTGCCGCTCCTTCTTGGCGATTCGAATATCTCCCTGAAGGTTTAGGAAATCGATGTCGGCGGTGTCCGCGGCCAGGATTGCTCGCGGAAGGGTCAGGCACAGCAGCGCGATGCGCGGGGCAGCCCTCATCACCACCCCAAGGGCTCCCGGGAGGTGTGTGGCTCTCGTGCTCGTCAGGGATCTCAGAGGGTTTGGGGGGGGGGTTCAGGCAGCCCAACGCTCCCGTTTCCGGCGTGACGGTCCTTAAAAAGCCGCAGAGTCCACTCCTTTTGGCCGCTGGGCTGCTAAAGCTAGCTGTAAGACACTAGCAAATCGGGCCCGCGGCCGGATTCCGCCCGAAAAATCGGGCTAATCGGGCCGGATCGTACGACTGCTAATCGATTTTGGCTGCCCCTCAAAGCGAGGCTGCCCCTCAAAGCGTTTGGGCAGCGATGCGGGGCGCTGCCTTGCTCAAAGTGGTGTCCGCCGCAGCGCTCCTGCTGCAGGCCAGCGCACAGTCACTCAAAGAGCTCCTGACCTTGCCGTTCGCGGGCGCCGAACCGTCCGGGGATGGTGTTTCTGCCGGCGGTGTTCCGCTGCCGGCCGCCGCGCCGGCCACGCCGCGCAAGAAGGGCAGGTGCACGAACCAGGACAGGGAGTGCGATGTCGACGACGACTGCAACTTTAAGAAGGCGTGGCGCGCCGCGTACGGCATCGGCACGTGCCAGGGAGGCGAGGGGCGGCGCCGGCGCCGGACGAAGCGGACGCCGGCGCCGGTCGCGCTCAACACGCCAACTCCGAGCCCGACGCCACGGCCGACGCCCCGGCCGACGGTCGACGCCGCCGAGCGCAAGGCGGCGGCGACGCGGCGCTGCGCCGCGTCCGCGCGACGGCCGGTCGTCGACGCCGGCGCGCTCGACGTGCTGCTGGTCGTGCCGGGGCTGCTGGACGCCGGGCGCGTGCAGGTCGCGCGGCGCAACTGGGCGATGCTCCGCCCCCGCGCCTGCATCGTGCCGACGTGGCAGCGCTGCGGCGACGACCCCGACCTCGACGAGGCCATCGACGGCCCCATCGACGGGGAGGAGGACGGCCCGCGCCTGCCCGACCCAGCGCGCAAAGACAAATTTCGCGGCGCTTGCCTCACCGGTCGACTTGCACGCAGGCCCTACCTGAGCGAGGCGTGCGACGTGCCGCGCGTGCCGACGAAGGGGACGGGCGGCTACGTGGCGCAGCTCAAGTTCGTCCTGCCGGCGCACGTCCAGGCGCTGGGCGTGCGGTGGGTCTTCGTCGTGATCTGTGTGGAAATCAACCAGTGAGCCGGGTGCTCGCGGCCGTCCTGGCTCCGTCGAGTGGTGATGAACCGGCACCGCCGCGCCATCGAGCAGTCGAGGTGAATTTTGATTTCTACCTAGGTTGTACTAGACGACGTGCGGCTCTTCGCCGGCGAGTTCGACGCCAAGCCTTTTTTCCGGATCGCGGCCCGCAACGACCTGGACGTCGCGTCGCCGGCGATCCGCAGGGCCCACGGCCGCCGCTTCCCGGAGATGCGGCCTCGATCAGTGCATGAATCAAATTGTCGCGGCGCACCCGAATCACTGATTCATTTGTGCACAGGCCACAGAAGCTCACGAACGGCGCCGTCGGTCGACGCGTGGCGAAAGTAGAGCTCTTCGCGACGGCGTTCACCCCCAATGCCTATCACTGTTTCCACGACTTGGCGGACGTCGAGATGAACGCGGAGGGCTACGGCTACCCGGATTGGCTGCCCGGCTATTGCTCTTTGCGGGGTGAAAAGTTCGCGGCCGGCGTCGTGGACGTGTTCCGCGCGTCGCACGGCCTCCCCGGCCGGAGGGACGCGTGGACGAAGTCGTACTCCGACAGCGCGGCGTCCAAGGCCAGGACAGAGATGGCCGAGTGGTACGCGACGCGCGGCGTCGAGCTGGTGCGCGCGTCGCGGAACGTGACCGGCTACCTGCACGACTCGGACGATATGCCTAGTTCCTCCTAGAGTTGTTTGTGTAAGTGTTTGGAAGAATACTGGTTTTGCGTGGACACCGACACCGAGAAAACCCCCCCTCCAAGCTCTTACCCTAGCCCCTCTAGCCCCCCTTCAAGACGCGCGAGGAATCACGCGCAGGAGGTCTGGGCCCGGCAGCGCACCGGAACTCATACAAAGCCTGCTCTCAACGGCCGCACGCGCGACACGCAAACACAGGACTACGAAGCCGCGGCGAAGTGCTGGGCGGTCTGCCACGCGAAGTACGGGGACGCGCTCGCGTCGGTAGACATCGACGAGCACGAAGGCGGAAGCGGTCGGTGCGATTGCTGCTGTCAGACGGAGTGCACCTGCCTGCGGGGCCGCGGCATCGAGTCCTTTGCGCTACCTGCGGGCTCGGAGAAGCCAGGGGCATGCGGCGACTCCGGCCCGGCCGATGGAGCGGAGACTCCGCCGTCGTCTCCAGGCGACGGAAACAGTTCGGACGGCGCCGCGCACGCCGCGGCGACGTCCGTACTAGTCGGCCTCGTGGCGGCGTTCGCCGTCTAAACTCAGCGCGTCGTTCTCCACAGACGGCCGCCAAGCACGTACATTACTCCCTACCCTTTCCCCGACTAAAAACCACTCCTAAAAATATTAGTCAGTCGAGCTCCGAAGCAATAGCCTCGAGCGACGCCTGCTTCGTCTCGGCCAGCGTGCACGCGAAGAGGCCCGCAACCCCACAGATCCCGGCGAACGAATACAGGACCGCGGGCGCGCCGCGAGACGCCATGAGCACCGGGAACCAGAAGGACACCATCGCGTGCGCAAGGAATTGCGCGCAGAGCGACACCGTCATCGCGGCGGACCGCGCTCGCGCGGGGAACGACTCGGCCGTGTAGATGTTGGGCACCGGCCCGAGCGACAAGTTGAAAAAGATGCCGTAGAGCGCGATGGCGACGAGCGCCACGGTCGCGGCGACGCCCGACGACGACCCGAGCGAGAGCCCGAGCGCCGCGAGGCACAGCCCCATCGCCGGGCTGAACACCCGCAGCATCTTCGCCCGGCCCCACGTGTCCATGAGCGCCATGGTCAGGAACATGGCGGGGATCTTGGGGAAGTACGTGACGGCCGTCGCGAGGAGCGCCGCGGAGTCCGCGCTGAGCCGCAGCGACGACCCGAGCGTCGCGACGGTGCCGGAGCTCTTCAGGATGTGCGGCGTGAAGTAGACGATGGCGTTGATGCCCGCGAACTGCTGGAAGAACTGGAGGACGACGCAGACGCCGAGCCGCCGCAGGATCTTCGGCTCGAGGAGCGTGCGCCAGCCGGCCTCGCGCCGCGCCGCGCCCTTGGTCTCCTTGGCCGTCGCCTGCTCGAGGGCGGTGAGCTCGGCCTCGCAGGGGCCGCCCCGGAGCGTGCCCAGGGCCGCGAGGGCCCGCTCCCGCCGGCCCTTGCGCAGCAGGTACCGCGGCGACTCGGGCAGCCGCAGCACGAGGGCGGCGTAGAGCAGCGACGGCAGCAGGGTGAAGCCGAGCGAGACGCGCGACGCCGTCGCCGCGGACCAGCCCAGGCCCGTGCGGCAGAGCGCCACCGCGAAGGTGACCACGAGGCCCGACATGGCGCCGCTCGAGATCATGAGCTGCGGCAGCGTCGCGAGCGCGCCGCGCGACGCGGCCTCGGCGCACTCGGCGACGTACACGGGCACGACGGCGCCGCAGTTCCCGATGCCGACGCCGGCCAGGAACCGCGCCAGCACCAACACGTTCAGCGACGGCGTCCAGACCATCAGGACCGAGGCCACGACGAAGAGCGCCGACGAGAAGGCCATCGTCGGCCGCCGGCCCGCGGCGTCCGCGAGCGCCGACGCGGAAAAGGTGCCCAGGACGCTCCCCAGCGTCGTCGCCGTCGCCACGGCGCCGATCTGCGCCGGCGTGAGCCCAAAGTGCGGCCCCAGGAAGAGCAGGGCGCCGCCGAGCACGCCCGTCGTGTAGCCCTGGATGTAGGAGCCGCACGCGGCCGAGCCGGCGATCTTCAGGTCCGCGGGCTTGAGCGACGCGAGGCCGACGTTGGCGCCCTTGGTCACGGTCGTCGCGCGGCGGAGGCGCTTCAGCGGCGAGGTCAAGGCCCAGGTGCATTGCAGGAGCGCCAGCGTTATTGCGCCTTTGAGCAGCATGGCTTGGTAGTCTTGCATAAAAGCGCGTCGATGGCGTGCAAGGAGCTGCGCTCTCACGCAATGGTCCAACTTTGAAGCTGTGCCGCTGGGCCTGGGAGCAGTCGATGGCGTGCAAGCGAGACGACGCGATTGCAGCAGTGCGATGCGCTATCAACTGCACGCTCTGCGCACGATCTGCGCGCGGCAAACGCTGAGGCGCGGCGCGCTAAATCTAGCGTCGAAAGACATACTAGAAAAAAGTGAAGATTTGATCAAAAACGGCCTGGAGGCAACCAAAAAGCCGCCCGTTCAAGTCCAAGTTGGTTTAAATATATCCCTTCGCTACAATTCAAGCGCGTGACAGTTTCCCGTGCTTTGGTGGACGATCTACAGACTTTGCCGCCTGCCCAGGAGGCTGCTGTTACGCGGACCGCGCAGTGAGGAAGGAACGAACGCTGGAACGAACGCCAGACATTAGACCATGTTCGTCCAAAAAAAGCGCGGCCCGAGCGAGGACGACGAGCAGGACGACGCGAACGAGCTCGCGTGGCTCCGCGCGCGGAGCCGGCCCTTCAGCCAGCCGTACGGCCTCGGCGCGAACGGCCTCGCGGGCCTCTTCCTGGGAGGCATTGGGGGCGCCCACGCCGTCCTGCTCGTCCAGAGCCTCGCGGCGCCGCGGCGGAACGTGGCCCTCGTGCGCTGGTGCCTCTACGCGTGCGCCATGTGCGGCTTCCACGCGTCCGAGTTCTTGGGCGCGGCGGCCTGGCGCTGGCGCGACGTGAGCTTCGACAGCTGGCTCCTGAACCACTCCGTCGCCTACGGCCTGGCCTTCTTCGCGGCGGTCCTCGAGTTCGCGCTCGAGTACCGGCTCCCGCTCAAGCAGAGCGCGGCGACGCTCCGGCTCGGCGTCGTCCTCGTCGCGGGCGGCCAGGCCGTGCGCCTGGCCGCGCTCGCGACGTGCGGCGAGCACTTCGCGCACCGCGTCGCGACGCAAAAGCCCCAGCACCACCGGCTCGTGACGACGGGCGTCTACTCGGTGCTCCGGCACCCGTCGTACTGCGGCTGGTTCTGGTGGTCCCTGGGCACGCAGGTGCTCCTGGCGAACCCCGTCTGCCTATTTCTCTACGCGCTCCTCTCGTGGCGCTTCTTCCGGGACCGGATCCCCTTCGAGGAGGCGACGCTTGGGGCCTTCTACCCGCGCGAGTACCCCAGCTATCGCGCGCGGACGCACGTCGGCATCCCGTTCATCTCGTAAATAATTTGTCACGGTCACGGTTGGATCTACTATGTACGGGGGGTCGCGCCCCCAAGGCCCCGGACGAGCACTCTCGTGAATAATGTGTCGGTTTTATATACGGTGGAGAGGGGCTCTAGAAGAACATGGCCGCGTCGTCGTTCTCCTCGTCGCCCTCCTCGATGATGGGCGCAGATTCGGCCTCCTGCGGCGCGACCTGGAAGGCGTCCTGGAAGGAGAGCCACGAGTTCTTGCGCGCCACGGGCCGCCGCCGCGGCTGGTTCGCCGCCTGGCCGAAGGCCGGCATCGAGAGCGACCGCGCCATGTCCGACGGCGCCGAGCTCGACGTCGTGGAGGCGCGGTCGTCCGAGTCGCCGCGCGCGTCGCCGGGGAAGTCGTCGCGCAGCGCCGCGCAGGCCGACGCGTACTCGGCGGCGAAGTCGTGCGACGAGTAGTAGCGCGCGCCGCGGTTCGACACGCGCGCGAGCGCCTCGAGCAGTTCCACGAGGTTGTCGTGCGCGTCGACGTACGACTCGGCGTCGCTCGGCTTCTTGCCCACGGTCACGGAGAAGGCCCGCGCCGACCGCCGCGCGCGCGTCGCCGTCGGGACCGCCGCGTCGCCCTGCCACTTCCGCAGCTCGCGGAACATGGGCTCGTCGCTCGCGTCGTCGCCGACGACGAGCGCGAAGTCCGCCGGCCGCCCCGCCGCCTCGAGGGCCCGCAGCACCCGCCTCAGCAGCGCGCCCTTGTCGACGCCCGCGGGCCGGACCTCGACGTAGCCGCCTCTACTGGGATTCGCGCCCCTTAATACCCTCACCTGGCCGTAGGGCGCCAGGACCAGGCGCAGTTGGCTCTCGAGCTCCGTCGCCTGCATCTCGCCGAAGTCCGGGTCCGCGTCCCTATATTGCCACACCAAACACGACTCGTGGCGCTCGACGTAGGTGCCCTGCGTCTGCCGCGCGAACATGTCCATCGTCGTGAGGGCCTGGGCGCGCCAGCCGCCGCGCCGCGGCGCGGCGCGGTCCCAGTCGCCGTCGTCGACGCGCGGCGACCGCGCCTCGGGCGACGTCGCCGGCGGCGGCGGCGGCCGGTCGTGCGCGCCGGGCGACGCCGTGCCCGCGCCGCCGCGCCGCGCCAGCGCCGTGTTCATCACCGCCGTCCCCGGGCCCACGTCCCGCAGCGCCCGGGGCCACCGCACGAAAAAGCCGTGCTCCGCCGCCAAGCCCAGGTCCGCGAGGCCCGGGCCCGCCAGACCATCCAATAAATGGACGCGCTCGCGCCCCGACACGACGAAGACCACGTTCCGCGGGTCCCGCGCGAGCGCCGCCAGGACCCCCAGCACCTCGTCCGAGGGCCGCGGCGTCTTTTTGGTGCCGCTCGCGATCGCGTACGACGCGACCGCGCCGACCGCCGTCGCCTCGGGCACGAGCGTGCCGCCATAATCTAGGATGACGACCCGAGACGTCCCCGTCGCCGAGAAGCCGCCCTTCTCCGTCGGCGCCGCGCTCGGCGCGTCCTGGCCCGCCTGGCGGTACGCGCGCGCGACCCGATCGACCTGCAAGGCGTCGAAGCCCGACTTCATGCCCAGGATCCGGAAGCCCAGCCCCAAACCCGCGTGCGTCGCGCGCAGCGGGTTCCTATCTCTAGGCACCGTTTTTAAATCGGCGAGCACGCGGTACGCCCATTTCCCCGTCGTCGCTCTTCCCAGAAACCGCGCGTCCTTGGCCAGGCGCGCCAACCGTTCCCGCGGCCGCATGTCCAGCGCCCTCCTCAAGGCCGTCGCGCCGTCGTCGACGCGCCAGGGGTTCGCGACCGTCGCGCCCAACAACACGCGCGACGCTGACGACGAGTCGGATAGCACTAAAGTGCCCGGCGTCCGCGCCTCGAGCTTGGCGCGTCGTTGCAGAGACGCCCCATCACTTTCAGGGAAGACCTCCGCCGCGAGCGCGCGCCGCTCGGCCGCCGCGTCGCCGCGCTTCGAGTGCGGGCCCTTGGGCACAAAGTCCGTGCAGGGGTCGCCGCAGGGGTAGCCCGCGCCGCCGCAGCAGTCCGCCGCGCGTTCCAGGATGGCGTCGAAGTACTTTTTGTTTTCCGGCGCATGATCAAAACCGCCCGCGACGACGGCGTCGTACTGCACTGCCACGTACTCCAGCGGCCACCGGTTCAGACCGTCACGCACGGAAGACACCCAGAAGACGTCCGCCGCGCCTAACAACGCGAGGCGCTCCTCGACGGGCACGTCGCGCACCTCGCGCCAGACGACCGACGCTTCGCCGTGCCTGTCCCTAATTCTATCGACAAGGGCCAAACAGTCGCTTCGCACCTTGGCCGCGTCGGCCGCCCGTTCGGGCGACGCGAGCGCGTACTGCACCAACCTCGTGTCCGGCGCCTCGCCCCGACCCTTCGCGTCGTCCAGGTATCGCTCGTAGGCCAGCAATTTCAGCGGCAGGCCCCTTAGTCTCTCCAGCTTGTCGATGCCCGCGATAATTATATGCGTGCCGTCGTTCCACGACACCTCGCCGATACCTAGCGACCGCGCCAGGTCCCGGCGCGCTTGCTCCGTCTCGGGCAGCGCCGCGACCCTCGATAACGCGGCGGGCTCGACGCCCGCGTGGACGCACGTGATGATCACATCCCTCCCATCGACATCTAACACCACACCCCGACGGTCGTGGGCGTTCTTGATGCCCAGTAATCGCCGGACGTTCGTCACGAAGTGCCGCGCGTATTCAAACAGATGGAACCCGATGCGGTCCGCCCCGAGCACGCCTCGCAGTAGTTCCGAACGCATGCTCAGCGTCCGAAAGATTTCAGAAGAAGGGAAAGGCGTGTGCAGGAACACGCCGATGCGCGCCGCCGCCAGTCTTCTAGACACGAAGGCCGGCAAGAGGAGTAATTGGAAGCCGTGGATCCAGACCAAATCCCCTTGGTTGTACGCCTCGACCACCGCATCCCGAAACACCTGGTTCGCCCGCTTATAAGCGTGCCACGCTCGTTCGTCGTTCGTCGTCACCCGACCCTTCTGCGCGGGCGACGCGGGCCGCGCCGGCAGATCTCGGGGCGGCGGGCTACGGGGAGACGCCTCGCCCGTCTCCGAGAAGGCGTCCGAACTTCCGCGGGGGCTCCCCAGGTCAAAACTTGACCCCGACCGGCTCCGCGACTTCACGTCCTGGTCTAATCTCAGAGCCGAGCCCGCCGCCGCCGCCAGCAGCTCGACCCTATCATCCTCCGTCCCGTCGGCCGGCGCCCGAAACACGTCGTCAAATTCCAGCAGTGGTGTAGACTGTTCCCCATAGACCTCGACCGAATTATGGAAGACCGGCCACAGGATGCCCTTGCAGAACGAGTGGTAGAACAAGCGAAAGGTCTCCGCATCCAAAAAAATCGCGATGGCGCACCACGGCTGCCGCCGCAGCCGATTCGCGACGTCCTGCTTTTCTCTTTCTGTAGCATCATCAGGCGTCCGCGCGATGCCGACGCGCGTCACGCGGAGCGGCGTCTGCAAACTGAGTAAATTTTCGTGGTCCCAGGCGATCTGGAGCTTTCCCGACGAATCTCGAGCGATCAACACCGGTAGGAACAACGACGCGACGACCACGCCGTCCGTCGGCGCGAGGGCGCCGGCGCCCGGCGCCTCGTCCCCCAAAAACTTGGCCAGCGCCTCGCGCTGCTCGTCGTCGTACTTCGAGCTTCTGGGAGACGGCTTCTCGGGCGTCGCGGGCATCTTCCTTGGTTGTGGTTTCGCCTCGCGCCGCTCGCGCGCCGCCAGATACGTCGTGGGCTGGCGCCGCGGCGAGCCGAAGGGCGCCTCCACCGTGAGCGACCCCCGCTTCTCCGCGCGCGGCTCGGCGAACTGCACGCCCCGCCGCGGCGACGCCTCGGCGTCATCAATGGACGCGCGGGCCACGGCGGCCGCCGACGTGTCCGCGTTCCGTAAGGCGGCGGCGTCCGCCGCCGTCCAGGGCCGGAGCCCGGCGCACTCGAGCTTGTCCGAGAGGATGGTCGTCGCGCCCGCGTCCACCAACGCCACGCGCCGGTCCTGCCCCTGTTCAAAACTCTCCCACCGGTCGAAGGCGCCCGCCGAGAAGACGGCGTAGCGGTAGCGCACGACGCCCGCGAAGACGGCGACGGGCTCGCTCGTCGTCCAGACGGGGTACGTCGCCGCCGACGTCCGCAGCGCCACGCCGCGGCCCACGTCGCCGTTCCCCAGGACGGGGGCGTCGCCGCAGACGACGACCTCCTCGCCGAAGCCGAGCGGCGCGTAGCACGCGAACTCGACGCGCGCGACGCGCGCGTCCTGCTCGAGGGCGCGGCCGTGGCGGCTGGCGTCCATTTTTTTTCCTTACGCCGCGCCGCGGGTTCTTTTCAGTGCCCCAGAGTCACTCCAATAGCAGCGCGGACGGCACAGCCTTGGGGAGTGCTGGCTCGCTATACGTTATTGGCCAGTCCTCAGCTTTCTTTGCCTTCAACAGAAGGCCCTCCCAACGCACGCGCACGATCCTCGCCCCCGAGTGCGCAAGCACTCGATATTAAGCTAGCGTCCCTATAGACACACTAGCAACTTGTTCGTGCACCCGTCTATAACTGGCCACACTCTCAGCAACAAATTGAAGCGCTCTTTGCGAGGAATTCGCTCGCTCTGTGCCGGGTGTGACATCCGGGTGGCCACCCGCGGCTCCCGCGCGTTTAGGAATGCAGATGACCTCACCCCACGCCGTCGACACGAGCCCGCATCTCCGAGCCGATGTTCACAATTCACTTAGTTACTCAGCCGAGCAGCGGCGCCTCCTCGCGCGCGCCCGGGTACATCGACCGCAGGAGCAGTCCCGCGCCGACGGCCAGCAGGACCATCTGGACGAAGCCGATCCACGCGTCTAGCGACCCCGGGAAGACGCAGACGAGTGCGAGCGCCAGCCCTGCCGCGACGGCCGTCGGCCCGAAGAAGAGCCAGCCCCCGGCCTGGAGGTCCGTGCCGAGGTGCCTTCTAAGAAACGCGTTGTCGCCGCAGCACGGCTCGATGAAGATCTCGTAGAACTCCGAGGACCCGTTGCCCCCGTTCTTCTGCATCTCGTGCGGCATCGCGGACCGCACCCAGACGTAGAGGCAGGCCATGCCCACGAGCGTCGCGCTCAGCAGCAGCGCCCCGAGGACCGTGTTCCGGTGGCCGCCCTCGGCCAGGTACGCCGCCGCGACGACGAGGTACGGGATGCACCCGAGCTCGAACGACCACGTCGCGAGCAGCATGTCGTTGAACGTGAAGTGCTTCTCCACGAACGACAAGGTATCAACATCGACGGTCAGGGCTTCCCGCGCGCACCGGTCCATCGTCTCCGGGTAGCTCACGCTCACGAAGTAGAACGAGCCGACCATGAACATGACGCCCGACGCCAGGTTGCCCCACGCGAAGGTCACCCACGTCGCGTCGTCCGAATTCCAGGACTCAATAACGAGCGCCAGGCCGTAGAGCGCGAAGAGGAGCGACGCCGCGGCCAGGAACCAGCTCCCGAGCAGCGCGTCGGTGCCGAAGTGGCGCTGGCAGCAGGTCCGCTCCTCCTTCACATCTTTCTCGTCGAAGGACTCGGCGACGACGGGTAGCGGCTGTGGTGTGTCCGGCTCCGCTCGAGGTTCGTCGCTGACCTCCGGCTGCGCGAGGCGCTCGAGGCTCTCGCGCGAGCCGCGCACGATGTTCCCGAAGCTGTCGCGGTATGTCCTTAAGGTGCGGCGCGCGCGTTTCAAAGCTTTGCGCATTTGGTCCTTTTTATGGTGTCAAGCTTTTCTCGTGTTTTTACCTACTGCGCGGGCGTCAAGCGGCGAAGCGCGGCGTCTGAGGCATGATTCTATGATCACTAGTGTTGCTGCGGAGGCTAAGCCAACCAGTATTTCTCAGCGGCTGCGAGCCGGACCTTTTTTTTTTGCGATGCTGGAACCTGCATGCACTAATCCTCTGCTGGGCCTGGCCGTGCGCCAGCCGCGGAATCTATAGGGTTTGAAGTTGGCTGTCGCTTCCTTGATACGACAGCTACGCAATATTAAAAGTTGGCGGGCGACAGACGGCGACACGCGGCGCCACAGCTGCAAAACCAGCCTCCCCGCACGCACCTCATACGTACCCGTGGCCCCGAGAGCGTTGTAGCCAAGGCGCGGAGACAAAGCTGAGTAACCTAAGAAACGACGCGGAGCGTTGGAGTGATTTATAGCGGTCGGCGTGTCGGGATGAGCGGCACGCGACTCCCGCCGAACCTCGGCGCCCACTCGCGCCGCGTCACGGAGCTCTTCAGACCACTGCCGCTGGCCGAGCGTCTAGCCGACTCCTTGATCTTGCTCCTCCGATACCTCGACGCCGCCGGAATCGCCGCATACGCGTCGACGGCGAAAGGTAGCCGCCACTGCCTCAGGCTCGCGCCGCTGCTCGCCTACGAGGCGGCGGCGCGGTGCACGAGCGTCGAGACGCCGTCGACGGAACCGCTCGTGCGCTACGCGCCCGAGTTCTTGAGCCGGCCGGAGTGCGAGGCACTCATCGCTCTGGGTCGAGTCGCGTCCTCGTCCCCTTTCGGCGGCCGCGTCGGCGCGCGGAGACTCGGCGCGAAACACTACGTACAGCTCGGCCTCGCGCCAGAGTTCCACCCGGACGGCCTGACGCGGCTCCTCGCGTCGATCGACCGCCGCGCGCGCTCCCTCACCGGCTGTCCGGCCGGCGACGCGTTCGAGCTCAACTTTACGCCCGCGCGGCGCGAGGTCGGACCGCGTACCGCGGCGGAGGCGGGCGTCACGCTTGACTCGGCTGTCTGGTGGTTGAGCTCCGGCGGTGTGCACGTCGACTCCAATAACGGGTTCCCGCACCGCTACGCGACAGTACTCGCGTACCTGAACGACACGTCGGGTGGTGCGACGTGTTTTCCCGCAGCCGGGACCGCGCGCGCGGCCAAGGACGCGGCCGTGAGACTCCTCGCCGCCGGCTACACCCACACCGACGCTGCGGTGAGACAAGACGACGACGAGGGGGCGTTTGATGACGCATGCACGCTCCTGGAAAGCGGCTCTCGACTCATGCTCGACGATGTCCCCGCGACGACGACGCGAGGACCGCACGGCGGCGTGCGGGTCCAGCCGAAGGCCGGCGCCGCTGCTTGTTTTTGGTCCCTCGGAGATGACGGCGCGGTCGACCCCGCCTCGTGGCACGGCGGCGCGCGCGTCGTCGGCGGCGAGGACGGGCCCTCGTACTTCGAAAACGGCAAGTGGACGCTGCAGTCGTTCCGCCAGCTTCCCGAGACCAAACGCGACGCGGACCGGGCCGACTTCGTGCGGCGCAGCAGGCGCCGGGAAGGCGGGGAGGGCGGCGGACTGCGCTGGGAGCTCGTGTAAGAATGTACTTGTTACGCAGCTAGATACTTGTGGGCGACGACGGCGACGAGCGCGACGCTCACGACGGCGATGAGGCTGTCCACGATCAGGAGGTCCGCCGGCACGGGCGTCGCGGGCGCCGCGTCGCGCGCTGGTGGCGGCGGCGCGACGGGCGGCGCCGGCTCCGGCTCCGGCTCTATGACCTCGGCGTCGAGCCGGTCGCCGTCGCGCAGGCCGACAATGTCGGCGGTGTCGAGGCCGCCGACGCGCGCGCCCCGGAACGCAACGCGGAGCGACGTTACGTCCACGCCCTGTCGCGTGGCTAAGGCGCTAAAAACCTTTTGCATCCGCGTCGTCCGCTTGATCTTGAAGTACACCTGCACGCCATTCAGTTCGACGTGCACTTTCAAGGATTCGTCGGCCGGCGCGACCGCGGGCTCCGGAGCCTTCGCCTCCTCGGCGGCGGCAGGCTCGCTTTTCGTTTCCTCGGCGGCCGGCGCGGCGGGCGCGGCGGGCGCGGGGTCCGGCGTCGGCGGCACGACCTCCCGCACCGCGTCGTCGGCGGCCGGCGCGGCGGCCGGCGCGGCCGCGGCGGGCGCCGGCGCGGCGGCGGGCGCGGCCGCGCGCCCCTCGTCCCAGGGCAGGACCGGCGCGTCGAAGGCCGCGGACGCCGTCTCGCCGTCGGCGAGGACGCGCTCGTCGGCGCCGCCCTCGACGAGCTCCGCGATGGGCCCGCAGCAGGGGCACCGCCACGTCTGCGACTCCAGCGCGAGCTTGCGGCGCTCGTCGGGCCGCCACTGCAGCGCGCCGAGCGCGCCGTCGGCCGGCGTCGGGAAGAAGGCTACTAGAGCTTCGAGGATCGTCCGGATGCCCCAGGCCGGCTGCCAGTGTTCCGGGTGGAAGCTCGTCGCGCTCAGACAGACTTTTTTGCCGACCTCGAAGCGGCCGCTGGCATTGAGAAACATGATCGACGGCGGCTTCATGGGCCACTGCGGCGGCAGCAGGATGCGGCCGTGATACAACCCGCCCTGGAAGTCGCTGCCCTGCGGCCCCCGCAGCGTGAAGTGCCACTCGAAGAGGTTGTCCTCGAGCGGCGCCGCCGAGTACTGGCGGCTGGGGTTCCGGTTCAGCTCCCGGACGTCGCAGTGGATTCTCTTGACTGCGATGTTCGACATTGCGCGAGCTTGCGCTGGCGTGATAAGCCGATTAAGAATTAATGTAGTGCTGGCGACCTCGCAACGCGTCCAAGGGTTTGCCGTGGAATTTGCTCTGAGATGCTCTAGAGCAGATTTTTGGCGACTCCGGGAGCGGGGCACAGCGACTATCTGAAGGGAAGAGACTATCCTCGTAGCGCTGCCGATCAGGAGGGCGTAGGTAGGCCACGCGGAGCTGGGCCGGCGGCTGAAAAAAGCGGCAGCTAGCGTGATCAACACACTAGATTTGTGATCCAGCCGGACGGGTGGGCCCGGGGGGAGCGGGAGGGGTACGGGGAACCCTGCGACGTAACTAGCCTCAGCCTCAGCCTCAGTGATTCTACATCACAATAAAAATACTTAAATCACCGCACCCCCACATCCCCAGTTGACGCCCAAGCCCCCGGCAACACGCTCTCGAAGCTCGGCAGCGGCCCGCCGTGAAACGGCTTCAACGCCGGCTCCGGAAGGACGTCCTCCAGCACCACGACGTGGTGCGCGAGCCTCCCCGCGAGCGCGTGGCCCTCCCAGACCGCGTGGAAGGCCCGCTCGAGGTCGCGCGTGAAGGCGCGCGTGTCGAAGAGCCGGGACGCGCGGCCCTCGTCGGCGAGCCGCGCCCGCAGCGCCCGCAGGCGCCGCGTCCCCGCGAGCGAGACCGCGAGGTCCTCAAAGTCCCGCAGGCTGTCGACGGCGAGTAGCTCCTGATTCGCCCCGACCGCGCTCAGCAGGGACGCGCCCACGCGCTGCGGGAACTGCTCGCCCCGCACCGTCAGGAGCGGCAGCCCGCCGCGCAGGGCGTCCGTCGCCGTGGAGTGCGCGCCGTAGATGAGCGTGTCCAGCAGGAGATCGGCGGCCGCGTGGCGCCGCAGGTGCTCGGCCTTCGGGACCCGGTCCGCCCAGACCAGCCGCGCCGGGTGCACGCCCCGCGCCGCCGCCTCCGCCTCGAGGTTCGCCGCGACGTGGTCGAACTGGCGGCCCTTGGGCCGGAGCAGCCACAGGACCGAGCCGGGCGCGCGGCGCAGGACGTTCATCCACAGGCCGAAGGACGCGGGGTCGAGCTTGTCCACCTTGTTGAAGTTGCAGAAGACGACGAAGGGCCTCGGCGGCAGGCCGTGCGCCGCGCGGGCGTCGGGCGCCGCCGCGTACGTGGCGACGGCCGCGTGGCGCTCGTAGTCGTTCACCTGGTACGTGCCCGGCAGGTAGACGAGCCGCTCGGTGTAGACGCGCGCCGCCTCGGGCGGCACGACGATCGGATCGACGACCGCGCCGTCGAGGCACGACGCGCCGGACGTGCCCGGGTAGATGAGGTAGGCCAGCTGCACGGGCGCGACGCGCGCCATGCAGAGCTCCATGCGCGTCCCCAGCGTGTGCCCCTGGAGGTCCACGACGATCTGCGCGCCGAAGTCGCGGCTCGCGACGACGGCGTCGACGTGGCCCAGCAGCGCCAGGTCGTTGATGAACGCGTCGGCGTCGGCCGCGATCGCGTCCCGGTAGTCGGAGTGGTCGTCCTTGCCGTAGCCCAGCGCCGCGACGGCCTCGAGCGCCCGCGGGCCCCGCGCCGACCGGAACGCGTCCTTGAAGCGCCGGTGCCAGCGGAAGAGGCCCTCGACGAGGTGCGCCGTCGGGTGGTCGTTGAAGTCGTAGCACATGTAGGCGACGCGCAGCGTCCCGTTGGGTTCGCTCGGCGCCGGCGGCGGCAGCAGGTCGCCGTAGTGCTCCAGGGCCCGGGACGTGTAGACGGCGTGCCGCATGCGCGCGCGCGGAGGCATGTCGACGAGCAGCGTGTCGAAGGGTAGCAGCGCGGGCCGCTCGCCGCGGTCCATGCGGCGGCGGTCGACGTCCAGGATCTCCGCGAGCATGGCCTCGCGGGCGACCCAGTCGCAGTGCGGGACGCGCGCCTTGAGCAGGTGCGTGCGGGCCTGGTCGGCCGCGTCGACCATGCCGCGCGCCTCGGCGATGCGCAGGCCCGCGGCGTGCGCCGCGACGGCCTCGTCGCCCTCGCCGAGCTGCGTCAGCGCGACGCCCAGGTTGCCGTGGATCATCGTCTCCGCGTCGGCCGGGTCGCCGTCCTCGCCGAGCGCGGGGCCGACGCGGCGCAGCGAGTCCAGGGCCCGGCGGTAGTGCTCGACGGCGTCGCGCGGCGTGCCGTGCTTGTGGTAGAGCGCCGCCAGGTTGATCCGCGCCTCGACGTGGTCCGGCGCGCGCTCGAGGCAGGCCTGGTACAGGTCCGCGGCGACGGGGACCTCGCCGCGGTGCGCGCGCGTCACGCCCGCGTTGTAGAGGACCTCGGGGTCCGCCGGGTGCCTCCTCAAAAGCTCGTCCCAGTGGACCGTCGCCGCGTCGAAGCGCCCCCGCCGGTGCAGGTCCAGCGCCAGGTTCACGCGCGCCATGCGGTGCCGCGGGTCGATCTCCAGGGCCCGCGTCCACAGCGCCACGGCGGCGTCGGACGGCCCCTCGGCGCGCACCGCGTCGCTGCGCATCTTGCCCAGGTTGCAGAGCGCGTCCACGTGCCCCGGGTCGAGGGCCAGCGCCCGCTCGTAGGCGCGCGTCGCTTCCGCCGCGTCGATGCCGCCCTGGTGCAGCACCAACCCGAGATAAAACTGCGGCCACGCCTCGCCGGGCAGCCTCTCCGCGACCTCCGCGAGCAGCGCGTAGCATTCGAGCGCGCCACTGTGCGAACACTGCTCCACCGCGTCGTCGAGGAGCGGCAAACCGGTCGGCGGCAGCGGCTCGTCTTGGGCCTGGGCTGCTGTGATGAGCACGGCTAGCAGCACGGTGTAGCTGCGCATGATAACTCTTTTTACGAGTTGCTACTACGCAGCATGATGACCGCGGGCTGCAGCAGCCCAGCCGTCATCGGAAAGGGCAGCACTTTGCTGCTCGTCTCGCCCCATTTGCGAGCTCCATTGCTGCCCACAGAGGTGCCGCCTAGTGGGTTGATCAGAGAGCCGTTGGGGTGGCATGGCCCGGGCCAGCAATCCCACGGACGACGTCGTCGCCGCGAACGACCGGAATCACCAGGCACTAGCAGACTCCCTACTAGCGCCCATGGCTTGGGGCTGGGGCAGCGGCGCTGAGCTCGACGAGGCTCCTGCGCAGCCCGGCGACACCCTGCGGCCGGGTCACGCCGCGCGGCCATTGCTGCGACGGCTGGAAAAGGCACTGCAGCGCCGGGAGGCTCGGCCGTGGCCGCCGTGAGCTGGTGTCCCCAGCGGCTCCTGGGCAGCCAATAACAATGAGTGACGGCGCCGACGCCTCGGGCGCGAACCCGCAAATGATGGCTTCGCCCTGGGCCATGCTCGGCCTCCACAACGCGACGTACCGCGAGCGCTGCACGGCGACGGTCGCCGACACGCTCGTCAAGGACGACGAGGACGGCCGCTGGCTCTTCACTTCCAAAAGAGGCGAGGTCCAGCGCAAGAAGAGGACGAGCCCCGCCCAGCAGGCGAAGATGATCCAGGAGCGCTTCGTGCGCCTCGGGCTCATGGGCGACGGCAACCCCGAGGGCTTCGTCTGCTGCGTGCGCCGGGCCGACGGCGGCTTCAAGTTCCTGGGCGAGCGCGGCTTCGCGAAGCTCGGCGGCGCGCTGCCCGCGGAGCCGGACGTCGTCGGGATTCAGGCCTACGTGCACGGCAATTATTACAGGAACGCCTACGAGCGGCCCCAGGGCACGGGGCGCATCAAGACCGCGACCGTCGTCGTGCCGACGCGCCCCGACGACTCGAAGTTCTCGCAGCACGGCGCCGACGGCCCGGCCTTCGTCGACGGCCCCGACGGCGAGAAGTGCATAAACGTGCCGGGGAAGCGCCTGCGGGCCTACGGCAAGAGCCGCGCGACGACGCTCAACGAGACGCTCGACGCAGCCACGCGGTCCCTCGTGCGCTTCCTCGAGAAGACGCAGCACTGCCGCGTCGCCAAGCTCACCGCGGACTACGTCGTCGACGGCCGGAACCAGCTCTGGCTCGTCTGGCTCGGCGACTGTACGCACATCCCGGTGGAGGTGCGACCGGCGTCGTCGCGGCCGACGGACAAGGCCACGGCGCCTTCCATAGTAGACGGCGCCGCGCTCGAGCAGGTCATGGACGTGACGAGCCGCGTCGACACCACGAGCCGAGGCGAGCGCCGCCGCAAGCGCGACGAGTTGAAAGCGGGCGCGCCCGTCACGTCCGAGGACGAGGCCCGGCAGTGGAGCGTCAAGTTCGGCAGCGCCACGCCCAAGTCGCCGGAGATTCCCAAGAACCAGCGCTGCGTCGGCGACTACTGCCACGTGCAGATCCACGACCCGAAGCAGCTCTTCACGGAGGAGGAGATGCGCGCCTTCACGGGGAGCGACGTCGACGCGCTGCGGAGCCTGGTCCGGGACACGTACGCCGAGGGGCCTACCACAGAAGTCGCGTTCCGGTCCATCTACTTGGCTGGAAGGGAGAAGCGCGGCTTCAAGGAGGGCCAGGAGCGGCGGGACGACGACGAGCTCCCGGAGTGGATGCGCTTCCCCGAGGACCCGTCCGACCAACAGCTCGCGGACGCGATCGCGCTCGCGCGCGAGGACGTCGAGGAACCGTCGGACGACGACGATATGGTCCCGCGGGAGTCCGAGAGCGCCGCGGGCGTCGAGCGGCGGCGCGCGCGCCGGCGCGAGAACCAGGCCCAGGGGCTGACGGCCGACACGGACGCGTCGCGCGCGCGGCGCGACTGGCGGGCGCAGCGGGGCGAGCTCGAGGGCGGCACGGCGAACATGTATAAACGGTGCCGCGTCTGCGCGCACTGCGCCTCGATGTACGCGCTGCTGGACAAGGGACGCGAGATCCTCGCCAAGGACGCTTCTGCGGACGAGGCCGAGGCCCGGAAGAAGGCGCGCGCGGAGCGGCGCGCGCTCGTCCAGTTCGCCGAGGAGCCGGATCAGCCGGACGCGGCGACGGGCTTCCGCGACGCGCTGGCGCGGCGGGTGGGCACGCCCGCCGCGGCCGCGGAAACTCGCGTCGTGGAGGCGCCGCAGCAGGTCAAGCGGCCGCCGCCCGTCAAGAACCACAAGTCCTGGAAGGGCCGGCTGCCCGAGGCCGAGCTCTACGGCGCCGACGCGCCGGCGTCGGTGCTCGACCAGAACCAGAACGAAAAGTTCGAGAAGCTCGACGAATATTTGCGGGGCACGTCCGACGCCGCGGCGCGCAAGGCCGAGGCGCGCGCGGCGGCGCTCGCGCGGTCGCGGGCGGCGCAGCTGAAGCTGGCGAGAGAGGAGGGCTGCGAGAGCTCGGATTTGTATTTCGGGCGCGTGCTCGTGGTGGAAGCCCGGGGCTCGGCGGACCTGCCGGACTGCGTCGAGACGTTGGAAGGCGCGGGCTTTGTCGTGGACGTGGAGCTCGACGTGCAGCACGCGCGGGAGATGCTGGCGGCGGCGCACGGCGTCGACGCGGCGCCGGGCTGGCAGTACGATGCCATCCTCGTGAGCGACGTCCTGGATTTAGGTGATGCGTTCGACGTCGTGGGCGAGGTGCGCGACCTCGAGAAGCAAAGACGCAAGCGCGAGTCGGCGAAGCAGGTCGCCAAGGCCAAGCGCGCGGCGGCCAAGCCCGGGGGCATGAACGACGACAACGACCGCCTCAAGCCGGGGACGTTCATCCACCTGCCGGTCGTCGTCCTGAGCGCGCGCACGGCGCCCGAGGACCTGCGGGCCTACAAGGCGGCGGGCCTCGACGGCTGCATCTCGCGGCCGCTGCAGAAGGCGGCTTTATTATCCACGCTGCGCGCCGCGGTGCCGCGCCACGGGCGCCAGCTCCTCGGCGACCTCGCGCAGCCGAAGCGCGGGGCCCAGCCGGCGCACGGCGAGCCGGCGAGGGACCGCGGGTCGAACGCGGCCTTTGTGTCCTGGAGCGTGCGGCTGACGGGCCTCGAGCCGGACGACTTCGACCAGGGGACGCGCAACGCCTTTTGTGCGGAAGCGGCGACGCAGCTGGGTTTGGGAGTTGACAGGGTGGAGATCCTCGAGGTCACGGCGGGCTCGGCCATCCTGAGTTTAAGAGCCACGGGCTTCGAGAGCGACGAGGCCGCGCGGGCCTTTGGGCGGGCGCTGCGCGCGCGGTCGCAGCTCGTCGACGAGGAGAACTGGGGCCGCCATTTGATAGATGGCATCGAGATCACGGTGTCGACGGGCCAGGTCGAGGGCGTGCTCGAGAAGCGCTCGGGCGCGCGCGCGGAGGCCGCCGGCGCCGGCGGCGCGACGGGCAGCGCGGCGCTCGCGGCCAAGAGCCTGAGCCTGCCGGCGTCGTTCACGGCCGTCGACGGCTCGGTCGGCGGCGTGCTGCAGCTCGACGCGGACACGTCCTTGCCCTATGTCGTCGTGGACTTTTCGCTGTCGAGCGATGGGCGGAGACCGGCCCAGGCGGGCGAGCACCAGGCCACCTTTAATCTGGTCGTGTGCCACGACTTCTTCGACACGTTTGAACGATTGAAGATCGTGCTGACGCCCATCGCCGCGCGCTACCCGGGCCTGCAGGTGCTGCTGTGGAACTACCCGGGCCAGGCCTTTACGGAGTGGCGCGAGGAGCAGCTCCTGAACAACACCTTCCTGGCGTCGTGCCTGTCGGAATTATTGACGCACGCCGGCAATCGGGGCACGAAGCAGTTCGACGACCAGAAGCCCTTCTTCCTGCTGGGTTACGGCTACGGCGCGTCGGTGGCGAGCTTCTACGCGACGCACTACCGGCAGCCGGCGATGCGCGGTTTGGTGTTGTGCAACGGCTTTAGTTTCGTCGACCCGCACCTCGCGGGCGCGCTGCACGACGCCATGAACGTCTTCAGCTGCGCGCCGCCGTCGCGGCCGGACCTGCCGGTCTATTTTTGGTCGAGGTTCCTATTCAGTAGGGACTACCTGACAAAGGTTTCCACACCATTAGCGCTCAACTTATATACGGCGGTCCACAACCCGATCACGCCGGAAGGCCGCATGCAGCTGTGCGTCGGCGCGCTCGGGAGCCACGACGTGCGGCCCGCGCTGTCCTTGCTGGACCTGCCCTGCATCGCCGTGCACTCGACGGAGGGCGTGCTCGTGAAGCCATCGCACGCGCAGGCGTGGTCGGACCCCGCGCAGCAGCGGGACGCGTGCGCGACGATCCACCGGGCCTTGAAGACGCGCAAGACCTGCGTCGTCTGGGTCAAGGCCGGCCACGAGCTCTTCCAGGAGTCGCGGAAGCAGGTCAGCGTGCTGCTCGAGCAACTCCTGGTGGGCTACCACGAGATCAACGACGTGAGCTTCGTGACGGCGGACTTTGCCGACGGGCCCGCGGCCGTCGACAGGGCGGACTCGGAGCTGCGGTCCGCCGAGGTCGTGACGCCGCAGGTCGGCCACACGCCCCTCGCGACGGATTTGGCGCGCGAGTCCGTCGGCCACGGCAACTTCGAGGACGAGTTCATCGACAGCGTCCTGGGCAAGGTGCGCGACTCCAAAATAGGGCACAACGCGGCGTACGGGGACCCGGACTGGGTCCACTTCTCGAACCTGTCGGCGGAGCGCGCGGGCGCGGCGCTGGGCCGGCGGCGCGCCGCGGCCGAGGCCGAGGACCCGCTCGCGTCCGTGAAGACGCGGAAGCGCCGCGACGACGCGCCGCTCAAGACGGTCCTCGACCCGCGGAACCCGGCCTTCGAGCGCCAGGACAACGTCGTCTACAAGCCCGGCGAGGGCTCGCACATCTACCCGAACCCGCAGGAGTACCCCGAGGTCAAGGAGTACATGGCCTGGCGCTTGAAACGGAACAAGAAGCGGCTCCAGCGCCTCGAGTTCGCCGCGAAGACGATCCAGGCCTGCTTCCGGAACCACCTCGCGTGGACCGTCGTGCGGCGGCTGCGCGAGGAGCGCGCGACGGTCATGCTGCAGCGGGCCTACCGGGGCTGGCGCGGGCGCCAGGCCTTCCTCGTGAAGATGCGGCAGATCTGGGCGGCGCACGTCATCCAGCGGGCCTGGCGCGGCTTTAGCGGCAGGGGCTTCTTTACCCTTCTGAAGACGATGCACGTCGCTGTGCATCAATGAAATTTCACGGCGCCTTCGAATCGTCGCGTCGACCTCCACGCCATCGACGCGACGCCTGCTCGACTGCGTGGCGGTGCCGGTTCCTCACCGCTCGACCGAGTCAGCACGACCGCGTTCCCGTCGTGCACTCGACTCACTGGTTGATTTGTGCACAGGCACGCGGCGGCGGCGCAGATGCAACGGACCGCACGCGGCTTGCTGGCGCGGCTGCTGGTCCAGGGCATGCAGCAGCGGCGGCACCGGGCGGCCACAATGCTTCAAACGCTCTGGCGGCAGGTGACGGCGCGCTACGCGACGTTCGAGCTGCGGAACCGCTCCTACGCGGCGCGGACGGTCGAGCGCGCGTACCGCGGACACCTCGGAAGACGGCGGGCGCAAAACGAGAGGCACAAGTTCCTCTTCTCGAAGTCGCAGTCGCAGGGCATCGAATTTGGGAGACAAATGCTTTTGGAGCACAAACTCCACGCGACCCGGCTCCAGAGCGAGGTGTCGCTGCTGACGCAGGAGAAGGTCGCCGCCGAGGAGAGCGTCGAGGCGCTGCTCGAGGAGATATCCGAGTTCGAGCAGGGCGTCGCGCAGCTCGAGAAGGAGATGCACCAGCTGTCGAAGATCGAGGCCGAGGCCGTCGGCGTGCTCGACGAGGAGGCAAAATATGAATTAAGGGAGCAGAAGATGCGGCTGGACCGGGAGTTCGGCGCGATGCTGGCGAAGATCGCGGAGCGGCGCGAGAAGCTGGGCGGTCTGGAGGGGAAGCTCGCGACGCTCGACCATGCGCGCCAGGGCAAGGAGGAGCAACTGCGGACGCTCGAGCGCAAGCTCGTCGTCTTGTTGGAGGAGCAGCAGCGCGAATTGCACAAGATAAGACGGCGACAGGAGGCGCGGGGCGATCTCCTCGAGCAGGCGCGCAAGGGCGACGCGAACGCGCTGGCTTTGGCGACGGCAGGCGGTGTGGGCGGAGGCGGCGGCGGCGGTTATTCCGGCCCCTCGGTGGCGGAGAAGAAGCAGGCGGCGCAGCTCATGCAGTCGACGGAGACGCTCATGAAGTTCGGCTTCATGTCCATGAGCATGACCTACTTCTCGTCGCTGAACATGATCCGGGCGATGCGCACGGTGTCGACGCAGGACACAGTCATGGCGGCGCTCCACCAGAACCAGGCCATGGGCGGCGGGGGCGGCGCGGGTCCGGCCCAGAGCATCGAGGGCGGGCCCACGGCCTACCAGGACAAGCTCGGCGGCGAGGATTTCAAGCCGTCGCTCAAGCCCGGCCAGATGCCAGGACAGGAAACGTTGAAGGTTTCTGCTTGGTCGGTTGACGACGTCGCCAGATGGCTCCAGACGCTGTCGCTGGGCCAATACCGCGAGGCCTTCGTCGACGCGGCAGTCGACGGCGCGTTCCTCTACGATCTGGACGATGACGATTTGCGCAATACGTTAGGTATTGAGCTGTGTCCGACATCGCCACGCCATCGAGCAGGTGACGCGTCGATGGCGTGGAGGATGACGCGATGATTCAGCACGAACGCGCCGTAAAATTTTGATTTTCACAGGTATCGAGCACCGCTTACACCGGAAGAAGATTTTGAACATGACTACCAAATTAAGAGCGAGCGAACAAGAAAGGAACAAGCAAATGCGCGTCTTCATGCAGACTGGCCAGACCGGCGTGGCCGCCGCGGGCGCGACGCCGCTCGACCAGTACTCGAAGACCGGCGCTGCAGAGGGCGAGGAGGCGGCGGAGGAGGAGGAGAAGCCGCTCGACTTCGACGAGGTAATGGCCTGTGTGAAGAACCGACTTCGCCACGCCATCGAGCAGGTGTCGATGGCGTGGAGGTCGACGCGGCGATTCAGGACGAACGCGCCGTAAATTTGATGTCCACACAGGTCATGGCTTTAGTAAGGCACGGCAAGGTCTCGCGCCTCAAGGACGCGCTGGCGCCGATTGCCAAGAAGAAGTTCGACCCGGCCATCGTCAAGGTGCCCTACGTCGAAGACTTTGGTACCGCCTACGTCGATGCCTACGAACGTGAGACGTTCAATCTCAATAAGGTGAACGAACACGGTAACACTATGTTACACGTAGCAGCCCAGAACGGAAACGTCAAGATCGCGAAGCTCCTGGTCGAGAAGGGCGCCAACCCGAATCACCAGAACAAGGGCGGCCAGACGGCTGGTCATTTTGCCAACGCGTACCAGTTCTACGACTTTTTGTCGTGGCTCTTCGACCCCAACGGCGGCGGTGCGGACGACACGCTCGAGAACATGTACGGGCTCGGGCCGTACGACGGGCTCTCGGTGGAGCTCGAGAACGGGTAAGAAGACTTTTGTGAACCTCCGAGTCACTAAACCGGGCTGTTTTTTTTCGCCTGTCGACTTGTAGCACGGAAAGAAACACGGTGCGCGCGACCGCATCAAAACGGGTTTTTCGTGCCATCGCCCTCGCGCGCGAGCCTCGCGAGCTTAACAGCGTTCACGCCGTAGGAAACGGACCTATCCATCGGCCGCAGGAAACTCATCACAATTAACCTGGCAGCACACAACCAAGTCACTGTCATCTCACCAAGTGTCATCTCACTCTCTGACTCTCAGTTCGTGACCGCTTAAGTACTCTCTCTGACTCTCAGAGACTCAGACTAAGACAGATGAACGTGCGCCCACTATATGCGCAGTACTTCTCGGCAGGGCGTCCGCCCACCCCTATTAAAATCCTGGCGGCCGAACGGCTCCGCATCGTCGGTACCCCGAGCGGTATGGACGAATTGCCCGACGACGCACGCGGGTCGCTGTTGATGCTGACGTCGGGTTTCTACCCCGGTCCCGAGGCACACCGCGGCACGACGCTCGGGGAACTGAGCCAGTTCACTGTCTATGGACGCCCGCCGCCGTGCGCTTCTTTCCCCGACTCGGCCGCGGCGTCGGTGACGATTGGCGAGCTCGGAGACTACTCGGACCCAGCGACGGGACTGGAGCACCACCTCGCGGTTGGTTGCACGTCGGATGCCGAGAAGGAAGCCATGCGCAAGGCCGTGCTAGTCGCCCTGGCCAAGATAGGAAACCGGGAGCTCGAGGCGCTGAGTCAAGCTTTTAGGGAGGACACTCAAAGGTACATTAAAGAACGTGGTGGCTAGGCGGCCTAGCTCTAAGCAAAGCAAAGAAATAGATGCGAGGCTCGCGCCGAGTCGCGGCGGGCAACCCGAAGCCCAAGAAGCCAAGGGCCGCATGAAGCGCTAAAGCGCCACCAAGGTAGCTTAATTCTTACTTGTCACCTCCCGCGTTTCCGCATACTCTCGAGCCGCCGCCGCGCCTCGTCGACGCGTTTCTGGTCCTCGTCGATTTGCCGGAGAAGCTCAGCCTCCTCCTCGGCCTGCAGGTCCGGAGGAGGCGGCGCGGCCGCGCGCGGCGCAAAGACGCGCGAGGACGCGGCGGCAATACCAGCGCCCGCGCAGAGCCACCACAGCCAGCGCGTCCCCGACGGTGGTCGCGGCGGCGGCGGCGGCGGCGGCAGCACTTTAGCCAGCACCTCGCGCTCGTGTCTATCGAGCGCCGCCGCCATCTGCGGGTCCTCGCCGACGCGCTCGAACACGAAGCGCTTCAGCCGCAGCTCGCCGAAGGCGCCCTTGCAGTAGAGCCGCCGCAGCTCCTTGGACGCCTCGTCGGCCGGCGCGCAGATGCGCTCGAAGAGTGAAAGCGCCCCGCCAAAGCGGCGGCACGCCTCCAGCGTGTTGAGCGCCTCGAGGTAGAGTTTCCCCTTGGCCACGTCGCCCGTGTCGGCCGCTTCCCGCGCGAGCCGGCACAGCGCGCGGGTCGTCGCCTCCTCCTGCAAAGCGGGCCGGTGCGCCAGTGCCTCGATGACGTGGACGTGCCGCGCCCGATTGTCCAAAGCGTCCGCGCCCTTCGTCTGCTGCGAGACGAACGCCGCCACCACTGCAGCGTCAGCATTCGGCGCGCGGCGCGAGATCGCTTTTTCGACGTCCGTGCGCAGGTCGTCGCGGCGCTTCGCGTCGACGGCGTCGGCGTGGCGCCGTTTGATGTCCTCTGCGTCCTCGCCGTCGTCGTCGTCGGAGACGTCGAGGTGGTCCCACTTCTTGTAATCGGTCATTGCTTTGCCAGAGCTCGCGCCGGGCACGGTGCAGTGATACAGGAGCAGTGCTGCTGCGCCTGACGAGTCGAGCCGGGCACGGTGCAGTGATCAAATGAGTCTGACGAGTCCTGGCGTGACGCGTGCGGCTGCTCGTAGCTACTTTGCCCCGGCTCGAGCAGATTGCAAGTGTGTTACATACGCTAGGTGGCCCTAGGATTAGGCAAAACGTATGAGCTCCGACAGCCCATTGCCTATTTATCGAACACAAACATAGACCCGGCAGCTCGCGCGCCTTCGCGGAGACCGACACCAGTCTAGTGGTACTCAACACCACAACTTCGAGTCGCCCCGAACCCAAGTCAAGAGGCGAACAAGACTTCACTCGCTGCCAAAAAAGACTGCTACGGCACAGCAGAACCCACCGACGCCGTCGGCGAACAAACAATGCCCAAGTCCAACAAAACAAAGGACCACAAACGCCCGCGCGCGCGCCACCGCCGCGCGCCCAAGCGCGCCGCGGTCGTCGCGGACCCGCGGCCCCTGAACCGCCGCGTCTGGCCGTCGCTCGTCGCGCCGATCCTCGACCACCTGCTCATCGAGCACGTCATGTACTACACCTGCGTGGCCAAGCTCTTCAACGACGCCGTGCCCTTCCTCTCGGTCGTCGAGCAGCGCAAGGTCGCGGAGCACGCGCCCGACCGCGACAAGGCCCGGCACGTGCTCTGGCAGCCCGCCGTCTGGCTGCGCCTGAGCCGCGCGCGGCAGGTGACGCTCGCGATCGAGACGCCCGAGGCGCTCCTGCACCTCGCCGGCCTGGCGACGGCGTCGCGGCGGTCCTGGGAGGTCATCGACCTCTTCTGCAGCTTCCAGAGCGACGTCGAGTCCGAGGGCGTCGTGGCGCAGGCCCTCGGCGGCCTGGCCGACGCGCTGCGCCACGGCGCGCTGCCGGAGCTCGAGTCGCTGACGGTGCACTGCCGCGGCGAGGCGAACGACTGGACGACGAAGCTGGGGCGGGGCGCGCCGCCGGACGTGAACGCGGCGCTGGCGAAGCTGTGCGTGGCGCTGCCGCCGTACCTCGCCGTGACGTGCGCCGTCGAGTGGACGCTCGCGCCGAGCGTCTGCGCCCGGGTCCTCGCCGACCGGCCCGAGGTCGACGTGAACCGGTCCAAGGCGTACCTGCCCTCGGCGCTGACGACGTGGGCCGACGCCGCCGACGACTCGGACGCTTCGATGAAGATCTTGAGGTTGCTCCTCGCGCGCGGCGCCGATGTTCGCGGCGGCGACGCGGACCCGAGCAGTCCGCTGTCGAACGTGGTCCACAACGGCGCGGCGCGCGGCGTCGAGGCCCTGCTGGCGGCCGGCGCGGACCCCGACGCGGGCCGCGCCGTCGGGCCGCCGTTATTAATGGGTTGTGGAGTCTGGCACGACGGCGACGTTTTGTGCCCATGTTGCTGGCTCGGGCGGAGCCCCGCGGGCGGCAGCGACCCGGAGCTGCCGCAGCGCCGGGTCGCCGTCGTCAAGGCACTGCTCGACGCAGGCGCCGACCCGCTCAGGGCGCACGCGTGCGCGCCCCGGTTGACGCCACAGAAGGCGATCGTCGAACACCTGCGCACGCTGGAGCGGGACGGCGACGAGTCCGTCCCCGACGCGCCGGGCGGCTGCGCCAAGCACCACATGAAAGCACAGAAACATATCTTCGCGAACGCGCTCCACGACATGCTGGCCCACGTCACCGAGGCCACCGAGCGGCTTGCGCGCCAGCGCGGGGACGCGCCGCCGACTCCGATCCTCGTGGTCGACGCCGAACGGCGGCGGGCGCTCGGGCTAGAGGAATAAGGACCCTTTTCAAGTTGATAGAAAAGTACAATTACTACATTCGATAGAGGAGGTGCAGGCCATACGGCATTGAGCCGCCGCGCCCGGCGCCGGAGCGGGTTACATGCGATAGAGGAGGTGCAGGCTGTACGTGTTCTCGGCCGCGAGCTCGGCGTTGAGCCGCCGCGCGCGGCGCCGGAGCGGCCGCGGGAACGGCCGCCGCTCGTAGCGGAAGCGCTTCCGCGCGGCGGTCGCGAACGCGTCGATGCCGGCGCGCGAGTCGGCCATGCAGAAAACGCCGCACAAGTCACCGTCCTTGCCGACTGACGCCTCGACAAGGGCCGGCACGGCGTCGCAGGCACCGTAGTACACGCACTCGGAGCCGACCACGAGGTCGAATTCCGCACGCGGCTCTGTAGGTGGCTTCGCCACGTCGAGCTCATAGCAGTCGCAGCCCGCGCGGAGATAGTTGTTCCGCGCGTTCTCCTTCAACAGTTCCACGACGCCGGCATCAAAATCAGTCAGCGCCACGTGGCGGGCGCCGAGCGCCGCGCAGCTCAGGCCGACGGCGCCGCAGCCAGCGCCCAGCTCCAGGACGTTGCGCCCCCGCACGATCGTTGGATCCGTCGCGAGCCACGACGCCAGCAGGACCGACGCGTCCCACACAGTCCCGCCGCTCGTTTGCGTGCGCGTCGCGAGGGCGAGGCTGACGACGCGCTCCGACGCGTCGTCGCCGTCGCTGGCGTCGCTGTCGTCGGCGGCATCTGTCTCCTCGGTCTCCGCGGGCGCGGGCGCCACGGCGACGGCGACCATCGTCGCCTTCCCAGGTTTGTAGCGCTCCGCGTCCTCGTGGCGCGCGCGCTCGAACAGCCGCGCCGGCCCCGGGTCCCGCGGCGCCAGGTCGGCGGCGTACCCGCACGCATCGGTCGCGAGCGGATCGCCGGCCTCGACGAGCGCGGCCGCCAGGCGGAACCAACCTCTCGCATAAGTTACGTCCGCCGAAACCGCGGCGCAGGCGTCCTCGATCGCGGCGTCGGGCCAGCCTAGCTTGAGCGCCGCGGCGGAGCGGTTGCCGAAAAGTTTTGCCGCGTCGCTCGCGTCGGCGCTCGCCAGGCCGGCGGAGTATTGCGCGTACGCGGCTAAGAGGTCATTTTGCGCCAGTAATTTGTTGCCCTGCTCTTTGGCAGCTGTGGCGGCTGCAGCATTCACGAACGCCTTGCGAGCAGTAGTGCTCGACGACTGTCCTCTCTGCTTGACCAGCTCTACTAGCTTAAGCGGTGGCATTGCTGCAAAACGACCAGTGCGAGCTGTGCGCGAGCTGTGCGGCTGTAGCCCGAGGCAGCAAAGCTGGGGTGCTGAGCTCTGTGCGAGCTGTGCGAGCTTTTTTTTGCGCTTCGCGAGCTAGCGGCGTGTAAGACACTAGCACTACGGACGGGTTTTGTCCGCCGCTGTGATTGCGTACCGGCTTGGGTTTGACGTGCACTTCACCAATTTCGGTTCACCCGGAACAGTGCAGGGTGGTGCGGTAGTGTCAAGGTTCACTAACAATCTCAAATTACTCGGCGTTTCAGCAAGGCGGCGGCGGCGGAGGCCTCGTCGGCGCCGTCCCCGCGTGCACCGCCTGGATGCGCCCCCACCGCACGGCGCTGAGCAGCCGCGTCGCTCGTCGCGCGGGCGGCGCGGCCGGTTCCGGCTCCGGCGGTGGCGGCCGTGTCCGCGGCTTCTTCCACCGCGGCTTGAAAACGGGCGCGGGCGCGGCCTCGGCCGGCTTCGGCGCGCGGGCCGCGAGCTGCCTCAGGAACGCGACCCGTTGCGTGCTCCGCTGTAGGATCTGCAACCGCTCGTCCTCGAAGCGCTTCAGCGCGAACCGGCGCGGCAGGGTCCGGCAGAACTTGGGGACGCCGCTGAGGTCGATCTCGCGCACCCGCTTCGCCGCCCGCGCGGCGAGGCGCTGCGCGCGCGCGATCATGAGCATGTTCAGGCGGCGGTCGAGCTCCTGGGTCTGTTTCCACACCGTGACCTGTGTGGAAATCAACCAGTGCGTTGGGTGCACCCGATAATTCTTCACTACGTCATTTCTCGGCGATGACGCTACCTTTGGTGGCTCCGTCGTGCAGTGAGGAACCGGCGTCGCCACGCCATCGAGCAGGCGTCGCATCGATGGCGTGGAGGACGACGCGGCGATTCAGCACGAACGCGCCGTAAAATTTTGATTTCCACACAGACCGTGACGGCGTGCTGCGCCATGGCCGTCGCGAGGCGAGCGGCCTCCTTCGCCGCCCGGTAGCTCTCCCCGGCGACGTCGAGCGCGCGCTCGCCGGCCAGGTCCCACCAGTGATCCTGGCGCGTCGCCTGCCGCCGCGCGTAGCCCTTGACCCGGATCATCCCTCGCAGCACCGCGAGGCGCCGCTTCTTAAATCGCAGCGCCCGCCGCGCCAGCCACGGGACGACGACCTTCCAGATCACCTGCAGCGCGCGCCGTTGCCGTTCCTCCTCGCGCCGCCGTGCCTCGGCCGCGCACAACCGCGCCCAGGCCAGCCGCCGCCGCCAGCCCGCGATGCGCACCGCGGCGGCCCGCATCGCGACCTGTGTGAGGAACCGGCATCACCACGCCATCGACGCGACGCCTACGCGCCGTAAAATTTTGATTTCCACACAGATCGCGACGTAGCGCCGCCGCGCGCGCCGCGCGCGGAACCGGGTCTGGAGCGGCGTCGCGACGCGGGCCTTGGCCGCTTCGATGGCCGCGGCGATCTGGCGTCGCAGTTCCTCCTCCCAGCGGCGCTGCTCTTCGGCGACGCGCTCCCGCTCCGCGGCGACCGCGACCGCCTCGCTCATGGAAGCGCCCGCGCACGCAGTTGCGACCGCGACGAGCGCGACCGCCTCGCGGACCGGCGGTCGCGCGACCGCGCTCGCGACGGTTTGCATGGATCGCTGCAGCAGCCGGTGCCGCGCGAGGTGGAGATGCACGCACCGCCGGACCTTCTGGAGGAACCGCCACCGCAGCCACCGCCGCACCGCGCGCGTCGCGATGACGTAGGCCTGCTGCCGCGCGCGCTCCGCGCGGCGCCGCCGCTCGAGCTCGCGCCGCCGCCGTAAAAGCTCGCGGCGCGCGAGGAGCATGCGGCACTTGGTCTGGAGCGGTATGACTCCTTCAGTGATGAATCTCGTCATGAGGTCGCGCGCGCGTCGCCGCCGCGCCAGCTCGCGGCGCGCGAGGCGCGCGCGCCACAGGGTCTGGAGCGGCGTCGCGACCTGTGCCCGCGCCGCCCGTCGCCGCGCTCGCAGCGCCGCGTCCTCGCGCGCGGCGCGGTACAGCTGCGCCCACGCGTCCAGGACCCTAAAATAAGCGGCCTTGACGCGCGGCCAGGCGCTCGACCGCGCGTGCCGGCGCCAGCACGTTTCGATCGCCACGGCGGCCTCGCGCGCGCCGGCGCGGAAGGCCGCGTCCTCCCGAGCAATCACAGCCCGGCGCTCCCCGTCCAGGCGCCGCGCGATGCGGACGATGGTCCGCGCAATGCGGTCCTTCTCCGCGTTCTCGAGCCAGATCTGGCGCTCCAGTGCAACTTCGACCAGCGCCTGGCGCCGGAGCTCCGCCTGCTTCTTCGCCACCGCTGCGCGGCGCCGGGGGAGCGTCGCGAAGCTGCCGCTGACGGGCGGTGGCAGCTCCAGGGCATACTTCGACGAGAACGCCCTCCCGGGCCGGCGCCGCAGGTCGTCCGGTGCTTCCGGTGGGCGCCGCACGTTCATGCCCCACCACTCATGCTTTTTTTGTCGTACGCATGGCGCGGGCTGCCCCACTGTGGCGTCCAGGTGACGACGATACCGCACGCACGCTGCCACTGCCGCGCCGCGGCGCTAACGGGCCCCGCACGCAAGCGTTATCACGCGAGCCGTATGCGTCTATTACACACACAGTTGTTAATCATCGTCCGTCATGCGGTGGCCCTTCTTCGCCTCGGCTTTAGCTCGCGACTCCGCCGCGCTCGGCAGCCGCTCCTTTGTCATGCCCGCCGCGGCCTCCGCATCTTTCTGCGTGAAGGGCGTCTCCTCCTTGAGCTCCTTGACGCGCCGCTTGTAGGCCCGCGACTTCTTGTGGTCGTCGAGCGCCTTCTGGTCCACGAAGTATCGCGCCGTCTCGACGCAGTAGAACTGGCCGCAGCCCGGCAGGTCATCATCGAAGGGCTGCGCCGTTTCGAGCTGCTCCTTCTTCGTCATGTCGTCGAAGACTTGCTCGACGTCGCGCCGCCGCCGCTTGGTGTCGCGGCCGCGCTTGTACTTTTTGATCTTCGAGCCCGAGCCCGGTTTCGATTTCGTGCGGTGGCCACCCTTTTTCGCCATGGTTTATTTATCGCTGCGGCGTGCCGGCTGTGCGCTTTGCAGCTGTGCGCTTTGCAGCTGTGCGCTTTGCAGCTGTGCGTTTGCAGTGTGCAGCTGAGTGCAGTGTGCAGTCTTGCGGTGGATGTCCGGCAGCGGTGGCGCGCGTTAAGCTAGCAGTCGCAGCGATGCAATTGTCTCTGTTTTCAGTCACTTTGTGCAACACTGCGGCAATCACGCGTTTTGCGCTGCTCACGTGATCCCGTCGCTCGAGCTCGGGTTTTGTGTGACCTCGCAATCGATCGCCACGTTTATGTGCGACGTAGATGGAGCTTTGCATAGAGTCATACCAGTTTAAATTGGTTACTCGCCCCAGGGCGGGAGAGTTCCAGGAATATAACAGAGTCCAACTCGAAGCTCGTAAACTCGCATACAAAGCTGCCCAAACAATGGCGCTGGTCCTCGACGACGTCGAAAATGCTGCCCCACAAGTCCACAACAAGTTAAACCGCACATTGAGCAGCGCGAGCGACGAAACGATGCGAGCATCGGCGGAGGCACCGGCAGCACAGGAGCGTCCGACGCTCGAAGACCGGCCGCCTTCGTTCTTGCGCCGCATCTTTGCCGGCCACACGCCGCACACCTCGGGACGCAAGCGCTTCGTGCCCAAGCGACCGATGAAGGAGAACCGGCGGTACGCGGAGCCGAGCCCGCCGCGGCGGTCGTGGTCCTTCTCGTCGCGTGGCTGGAATTTCCCACCCGGCTACACGGGCCAGTCGCCCCAGCCGCGGCCCAAGACGGCGCGCAAGTCCGTCGTTTCGCGCCTCCGCAGCGCCGTCCGGTCCGTCACGCAGCTCCGCCAGTGGGCCTCGCCGCGGCCGACGGCCCGACGCGCCAGCTTCGCGAACCGCAAAGCCCTGCCGGCCGACCCCGGCCTCGCGCAGCCCGCTGCGGTGCTCTAGCGACTTGCGCGCCGACGCCCCCAAGACCCAAGTCTGCGCACCGAGCAGTAAGACGAAGCAACTATGAACTATAGCCCGGGCCTGAGAGAGAACATCGAGCTTGCAAGCCCGGTGCCAAGCCCACCCCACGGAACAGTAAGATGAAGATAATATAAACTAGGGTAGAATGGCGGCTACTGGCGCCGGGACGGGCTCCGCTTCGAGGTCTTGACCTTCTCCAAGTTGGTGCTACGTAATCCTTTGTGTTTCGCATGCGCCTCGAAGACGGACGCCATCTTCGTGCCCTTTTTGATTTTGAGCACGGACACCTTGCCGGTTTTTGCGTGCTGCGCCCGGATCGTGATCATGCCGGAACCTGACTTGCTAGAGGTCGGCGACTCGGCGGAGGCCGGCGAGGGCTGCTTGATGGCCTGCCGCGCCAACGTGTGCGCGAGGCCATTTTCGTCATAGAAGCCGGCGGAACAGGCGAAGCGCCCGTTCGCGTAGAACCCGAGGTCCGAAAGCACGGCCCGCATCGACACGACCGCCTCGGCGTGGGCGATCGGCGCCTCGAGGACCGCGGCCGCCGTCCAGGCGCAGAACTTGTGGGGCCGCGGGGCGTCGCACGCGAAACTCACGCCGAGTTCGGCGGCCGTCGACGCGAGCTGGGGCGCGAGCGGGTACAGGACCGGGCAGAGCTCCTTGAGCGAGGGGTTGAACTGGTCGGAGCCGCCCGCGCCGGCGCGCCGACTCCGGTAGAAGCGGTGCTGCGCGTCGGAGATGGCGCCCCGGAACAATTCCGCGGCCTCGCCGGCGTTGCACTGCTGCGTCCATTCTTCGCACGTAATCCGCTGCAGCGTGTTCACCCAGAGCAGCAATTCCGACGCGTCCTCGAACCCAAAGTCGTAGGACCGCTCCCGCGTCACGAGCGTCACGTAGTGCCACTCCGTCGGCACCATGGTGCACCACTGCTTCGCGTTCGTGCCCACGTGCACGGCGGTAATCCCGTCGAGCATGAGTTTGCGGTGGCCCCGCCTCAAAATAGTATGAGAAGGCCAGGTCAGGTATGCGCCGCGCTTCGCGTCCGGGTTCCGCGCGGCCGGGTCGTTCGCGAGCAGCGGCGTGCCCCGCGCGTCGCACGGGCAGTTCAGCCGGACTTGCTTCCACTCCGCGTTCGGCATGACGCGCGCCGACGACGTCGTCGAGAGCTTGAGCAGGCGCGTGCCTTCCACCAGCTTTTGCACGCGGGCCGCCCAGGGGAGCTCGCAGAAGGCCGTGCGGCCGGCCCGCTTCACCTTTTCGCCCTCGGCGCGGATGGCCCGTTCCTCCGTCGCGTCGAGGCCCTCCATGCGCACCGCGCGGCTCCGGCTCAGCTCGCTCTCGCGGACGCGCGCGAGTTCGCTCTCGGAAAGGCCCTCGAGGGCCGGCGGCGGCGGCGGCGCGTCCGCGGCGGCCGCGGCCGCGGCGCGGGCCTCCGCCTCGCGGCGCGCCTCGGCCTCGGCGTCCAGGCGGCGGCGCTCGGCCTGCGCCTCGGCCTCCCGCCTCGCCTTCGCCTCGGCCTCGGCGCGCGCCTCGGCCTGCGCCGCGAGGACGCGCGCGCGCTCGGCCGAGGCGAGCTTCTCCATGGCGATGGCCTGGGCGCGCGCGGCCGCCTTGTCGCGCTTCGCCCGGAGCTTCGTGGCCGTCGCCGACGCGGCGCCCACGTCCTTGCGCAGCCAGGCGTAGTCCTTGCCGGCGCACCGGGCCAGGGTCTTCTCGAGCTCGAGGAGCGGCCCCTCGGTCTTCTTCGCGTAGGCCTCGCAGGTCGCGTCCTTCCACGACTCCCGCTCGAGCTTCGCGCACGCGGCCTTGTGGCGCAGGAGCTCCTCGCGGACCTCGGTGACCGCCAGCGCGTCGCGGGCCGCGTCGCGCGCGCGCCGCACGGCGTCGCCCGGCAGCGACTCGTACTGCGCGACGACGCGCGCGAGGACCGCCCCGTCGCCCTTGGCGACGGCCTTAGTTAAGGCGTCGACGGCCGCCTTCTGCTCGGCGAGCCGCGCGCACGCGGCGAGGCCCTCCTCGACGGCGGCCTGGATCGCCCGCAGCGTCTCCAGGGGCAGCTCCGGCGAGCTCTCGGCGACGTCCTTGGGGCGCGCCTCGCGGCTTTTCCCCAGTTCCTTCGCGAGGGCGGCCTGGGCCGCCGCGCTCTGCTTGACGAGGCCGGCGGCCGTGTCCGGCGTGGCATCCCGCAAGGCCTCCGCGGCCGCCAGGCCGGCGACCGCCGCTCGGGCGCAGTCGACGGCCGCGCCGACGCGGCCCGCTTTATCTTGAATGCCGTCGAGGGCCGCGGTGATGACGTCGGCGCGGCCCTCGGCGACGGCGGCGACGACCGCCCGGTATCGCCCCTCGACCTCGACCTCCTGCCGCGCCCGGGCGGCCTCCGGCGTGTCCGAGAGGCGGAGCTCGTCGGCGATGCGCAGCGTGAGCTCGAGGGCCTCGACGTCGCGCGCCGCGACGGCCTCGCCGAGCGCGAGCAGCACGTCGGCCTTCATGCGCGTCTCCCGGGCCGTCTCGAGCGCGTCGACCGCCGGCCGCTTCAGGAAGACTTTAGTTTTTCCGACCGCCACGGCCTCGACGCCCGGCACGTGCCGCTGGAGGAGCGCGAGGAACTCCGCCGCGAGCTTCTTCGTGGTCTTCGTCGAGTAGCGCCGCACGTCCGCGACCTTGTCCTCCAACAGCAGCCCGTAGCGCGACGCGAACGCGGCGTGGTCCATGCGCCCCGCGTAGCCCCGCGCCCGCGCCTCGATCAATTCGAGCATGCCCATGCAGCGCAGCTGCTCCAGCACGACGACGCCGTCGAAGGCCGCCGCCTTCATCAGTTCGTTCGGCTTGACGCAGCGCACGAACGACTGCCGCGTCGCGTCGAGGAGCTGCGTCAGCTTGCCCAGGCTCTCGGCGAAGGACGCGGCGACGTAGCGCTGGGACCGCTTCTGCTGCGACGTCTGCGGGGCCTCGTCGTCGATGTCCGCGAAGAGGCTCGCGACGAAGGGCGCGTCGGACGTCGCCGCGAGGGCGCAGATCTCGTTCGGCAGGCGATCCCGGTTCTTCTCCACGAAGGCGTTGATGCGGTAGCTCACGTCCGCGGCGAAGTGCGACACGCCGAAGACGCTGAGCGCGTCCGCGCGCTCGGCGCTCGTCGACTTCACGGACACGCGCGGCACGAAGACGCCCGGGAGCGGGCCCCGCCGCTCCCCGACGAAGGGCGCGCGCTCGTGTTTCTTGAGGAGCTGCTTCAGCAGATTCTCGTCTTTGCCGTCCCGGCGCACGCACTCCGAGTTCAACAACGCGAAGACGCCGTCGCGCGGGTGCTCCAGCGTCTTGAGGAGGGGCGCGTTGTCCTGGAACGTCAGGTCGCCGACGGGCACGCCCTCGGCGGCGTACTCGCGCGTCGCCGCCTCGAAGACCTGCGCGTTGAACTCGCGGAGGAGCCGCTCGTTCGCGTAGTTGATCAGCAGCTGCTCCAGGCTGTTCGCCTCGAAGCGCTCGAAGCCAAAGATGTCCAGCAAACCGACCGTCAGCCAGTCCGGCTTCTTGTCGCCCGAGAGCGCGCGGCGGGCGCTGACGGGCGTCTTCGTCATGGCCTGGAGGGCGTCGTTGACGCGCGCGAGCACCCAGTCGAAGACGCGCGCGTACAGCGCCTTGCAGAAGGCCTTGGACGCGTGCTCGGCCTCCGCGGCCTGCCGCGGCGTGCGGACGCCGGCGACCCGCCGCGACACCAAAGCTTCCTCGAGCTGCGCGCGGTCGACGCCGAGCGCGCGCGCCGCCGCGTCAGCGGCGTGCTCGGCCTTCCGGCCCATCCGCAGGTCCTGATTCGCGATCGCGGCCGCGGCGTCCTGGCCCTCGGCCTCGACACTCTCGAAGCAGACGTCTCCCAGGTGGCACACGGCCGCCAGCGCGCCGAAGAGCCCCGGCTGGGCCACGTCCAGCTTCCGCAGGGCGTCGCGCGTCACGGCGAACTGGGCCGCGTCGTCCACGCCGATCGCCGCGCTCGACGTCGCCGTGTCGCGCAGCACGGCGTGGCTCGTCTGGGCGTCGCCGAGGCCCACCGCGAGCGCCAGCCCCGCGTCGCCCTTCTTCTGTTTTTTGGCGCCGGCGACGAGCTGGTGCAGGACGTGGTAGTTCCTTTCCCCGCGCGCGCGCTCAACCACGCGAACCTTCTCGAGGAGGTAGGCCGTGATGCCGACGGACTTGATGGCGCCGCTCGAGGGCTCGACGTACACTTGCGTGTACTTGCCCCAGCGCGAACTGTTGTCGTTGCGCAGCGTCTTGGCGTTGCCGAAGGCCTCGAGGACCGGGTTCGACAGCAGGACGCTCTCCTCGAGCGCATTCGCGCCGCCGCGAGGCGTCCCCGCGAGCTCGAAGCGCCGCTTCGAGCGGTACGACAGGTACCGCAGGATGAACTTGCACGTCTCGGTCTTGCCCGAGCCCGACTCGCCCGAGATCACAAACGACTGCGACGCGCGGTCCCGGTCCAGCGCCCGCAGCGCCTGCTCGGCCATGACGAACGGGTGCGGCGCCGCGCCGCTAAATGCCGCGTCGGCGGCGGCCGCGCCGGCCATGCGGTCCTCGCCGTAGACGTTCGCGATCGTCTCGTAGGGGTTCACGGCGACCAGGATGCCCCCGACGTTCGTGTAGATCTGCTTGCGGTCGTAGCGCACGCGCAGCGTGCTGAGCACGGTGGCCTCCGTGAGCTCGTCGAGCGCGACCATGTCTTCGACGCCCTCTCGCGCGCGCGCCGACGCGGCCTCGATGGCGGAGGCGTCCCGCTCCGCGGTCACCTTGCCGTCCGCCGACGCGAGGGACAGCGTCGCGGTCCGCCCGACGCCGACGACCTTGGTCACGCGACCGAGGATCCAGCCCCGCGCCTCATCCTTGAAGAAGCAGGGGTCGTTCACCGACCAGCCCTGGTCGAAGCCCCCGGCGGGTGGCATCCTAGAGGCGTGAGCTGCTTAGCGCCCACAAAAGCTGCCTGGGAGAGGCAATGAGTTCCTGCCTCCAGAGGCGTGAGCGCGCTGCGCCCACGAAGCGGCTGCCCCCGCAAAGGGGCAATTCAATGGTATGGAGCGACGGGCTCCTCCCAAAGTGGGCTCCCGCCTCATCACGCAAGCCGGCTCTAGTGAATCTCTAGTGTGTCAAAGACCTACCCAGGGCGTATAAAAAGATACATTTTGCAAGAACACTGAATTCATTAACACTTCGGGCTCGCACGCGAGCCCACTAGATGTAGTTGCCCGGGTCTTGGTCGAGGGGGACGTCGTCGAGGTCGGATTTCTCCTGTTCCGCCACCCGGACGCCCTTCTCCGGCAAAGGCGGGAGCGCCGCCTGAACGGGCGCCATCTCGACGGCCGAGGACTCCGTCTGTTCCTCGCGCGCCGGCGAGACGTCCTTGTTCGGGAGCACCACCAAGATGGCTGGCAGGACGACCAGCGCGGCGACGCCCGAAAAAGCCGTGTGCGCGCAGATCAGTACACCAAGCTTTCGGAACGGGAGGATGATGCAGAAGAGGAGGAAGACCGCGGCCCCGAACGTCGTCGCCGCGGCCGCGGCGACCGGAGCGCCAACTTCGCCCAGCGCGCGCCGGAGCTGCTGCAGCCGCCCGGCCCGGATCATCTCGCCCGCGCAGGCGTAGCGGAAGGCGCGGTCGACGTGTAAGGCATAGTCGACCGATATTCCGACGAAGATCGTGAAGGCAATGGCCTCGATGATGCCAATTTTCCAGGCGAGCGACCACGTGATCAGCGACGCGAGCAGGGCGTTGATCCACACGACAGTTGCCAACACGAGGCCCGTGTGCACTACCGCCCGCGTCAGCAGGAGCACGCACGCAAAGCAGGCGGCGACCGAGATGCCCGCGGCGGCGAGCGAGCCCGTCACGATGTTCGTCTCGAGGCTCGCCATGACCTCCTGCGACGAGGCAAGTAATGCTCTTCCGACGCCGGCCGGCCGCCCGCTTGCGCGGTCGTCCAGGTAGTCGCGCCATTCCTGGAATACGTCGAGTCGGTCCTCGACCGCCGCATCTTTGCGGACCGTCAGCACGATGTTGTCGCGGACCCACGTCGCCTCGTTCGTCGCGCAGTCGAAGCCGATCCACTCCTCGACGCGCGATCCGTCGAGCAGCACGTTCGACTGCCGGAACTCGGCGAAGAGGTTCCGGAAGTCGTCCCTACCCAATGGGAGCGCCAGCCCCATCGGCGCCAGAAAATCCGTCTCGAAGATGGAGAGCACGCAGATGCTATGCACGGCGTTGGCTTTGAGTTTCGACTTGCCGACGGCCTTCAGGCACGTGTCCCTCACATAAACCTGGGCCTCCGGCTCGGCCAGGTCGAAGGCGCCCCGGTACCGCGGCTTGCCGAAGCGGTACCGCGCCGTCGGCTTGCCGGGCCGCTGCTTGAGGCCGTGGACGAGGTCGAGGGTGACCATGGCGCCGGGATCCAGATACTGGACGTCCTGGGTCTCGCACCGCGTGCCCGCAAAGCCCGCGAAGCACTCGCACTTAATGGCGCCGCCGTCGTCGTAATAACTCGTGCCCGCGCCGTTGCAGAATCGTTCGTCCGTTAGGATTGTCGGCGCGGCCGTCGGCTGCGGGGCGACGGGCCCGACGGGCGGCGTGGGCGCCGGCACCACGGAAGAGGGCCGCGGCGTGGGGAGCGGCGTCGGCTTTGGCGTCGGCGCGAAGACGGGCGCCCCCGTCGGGTTGCTGGCCTTGGGCGTGGGCTCGGGCGTGGGCCGGGGCGTGGGCTGGGGGAGGGGCTGCACGGTCGGCTTTGCGCTGGGGGTGGTCTGCGACGGCGTCGGCGCGGACGGCGCGGCGACCGGGCGCGGCGTCGGGCCCGGCGTCGGCGCCTCGACGTCGACGTTGACGACGCCGCCGGCGGAGGAGAGCCCCCGCTCGGCGCCCGCCGCGAAGTAGTCCTCGCTGAGCTCGTAGACCAGCCCGAGGTTGTGCGAGCGATGGAAGAAGCGCGGCGGCTCGTCGTCGGCCTTGAGCTCGGCCGCCGTCGACGCGAAGCCCATGACCGCCAGGGCCAGCGCCGCGACGAGGATGACCTTGTGGAAGCGCTTCACCGCCGTCGGGAGCGTGCGCCCGAAGAACTTGTCGATCGCGGCCCAGCTCTTGAAGCGCTGGTAGGCCTCGGCGAGCTCCGCCGGCGTCGCCAGGACCACGGCCACGCGGCCCCAGAGGTTCAGGGGCTCCCGCTCCTCGTCGTCGTCCGAGCGCGAACGCGAGCGCGCCGCCGGCGCGGCGCGCAGGGCGAGGGGGTTCGCGTCGCCCTCGTCGCCCGTGGGTGTCGCCGGCCGCTCCAGCACCTGCACGGACGACGCGTCGACGACGTCCTCGCCGCCGACGTCGACGCGCGCGTCCTCGGCCGGCGGCCGCATGCGGCTCCGCATGACGAGCGCGGCCGGGAAGACGAGCATGACGAAGGCGAAGTTGACCATGATCAGCGTGCCGCAGAAGATGCCGAAGGACCGCAGCGCCGGCAGCGTCGAGTAGGTGTTGGCGAAGAACGACGCCGCGCTACTTATCGACGTGACGGCCATGGACGCGCCCGCGGCCCGGTACGCGGCCGCCAAAATCTCCGGCAGCGTCCGCGACGGCCCGCGATCCACCTCGGCCTTCCAGACGTCGAAGAGCAGGAAGCTGTCGTCCGCGCCGATGCCCGCGATGATGAAGAGCCCCAGGAAGTTCAGCACGTAGAACTGGTCGACGTGGAAGAGCGCCCGGTGGAGGTAGACGCCGATCGGCACCGACGCCAGCACCTGCGCCATGGCCACCGTCGCGACGATCGGGCTGCGCGTGTGGACGATCATGCAGAGGTAGACGAAGATGAGCGACCCGATGGCCAGGAGCGCGTCGTGCGTCACGGCCTCCTCCACTTCAATGTCGTTCACGTCGCCGTTGAGCCAGCAGACGCGCGTGTCCGCCGTCGACGCCCGTTCGAGCCTGTGTGTGGGAACTCTCGTGTGCACGCCATCGACGCGACGTGCTCCCGGCTGATTTCTGCGCCGCGCCGCGCGTCGGGAGGAGGTAGTCCTTGGCCCACTGTCGAAAGGCCTCGCGGTCCGTGAGGCTGAAGAAGATCTCGGACCGCGACACGTTGCTTGTAGGATTCTTGATGGTGAAGAAGACGTCGAAGAAGTAGCGGCCCTCGGCCGACTCCGCGAACTCGGCGGCCGCCGCGTCAATATTGGAGACGACGGCGCCGCCCGCGAAGAAGGGGTCGGTCCAGCTGCGCACGGCGGCGTTCGAGCACCGGCGGTTCGCGCCGCCGGCCCCGCCGGCGACGTAGCAGTGGTCGTCGAAGCCGTCGTCGCTCGTGACGCGCCCCTCGAGGATGCGCGCGTCCAGGAGCGACTTCGCGGTGATGACGTCGGCCGGCCGGTTCCGCGCCGCGTAGAATAGTTTCAAGTGCTCCGTGTCGCCGACGGCGGCGAGGCGCCGGCGCGCCGGCGCGCAGAGGCCCGCGGAAACCGACGCCTTCTGGGCGCTCTCCCAGTTGTCCAGGTTGTAGGACGTGACCTCGTCCTGGCGGGCGTACTGCTCGAGCGCCGTCACGAGGTGCAAGGAGCGCGCCTCGAGGCAGTCGACGTCGACGAACGCCGCGAGCGAGAGGTACGCGGCGTAAGCAGCAATAATGGAGACGATGCCCAGCGGCCGGCGGCACACGAAGCGCGCGAGCGCCGTCGCCCAGTCGGCCTGTTTTCTATTCGGCCGGTCCAGGTCGTCGCGCTTGTACCTGTCCCAGGCCAAAAAGGCGGCCACGCCGAAGAGGAAGAGCACGTGGATGCTCGCCTCCAGGCCTTCCGCCGGGCAGCGGCCCATGGTTAATGCCTTCGGGCAGCGAGCACGTGCGCGGCGCCAGCTCTTGGGCTCCAGCTCCAGCCAGGGTGTTTTGGGAAGAGTTGGAATTGGAAGCAGTAGGGCGTATGCTTGCTGTAGAACTCTTTGCGATGGCGTGTTGTGACGACTGGGGGCGAGCGCTAGCGGTCAATCGAGAAACCCGACCTCCCAGCAAGCGCGCTCGGGCCGCACAGCGCGTATCGTAGTGCCTCGCGGACGTGCTGTCCACGCGTTGCCGCGTAGCACACATCCAAGAGCAGCAACAGCGCAGCGCTGCTTGTTTTTACGAGCTAGCCCGCCGCCGCAGACAAATCCATTGAGAGCTTGTTTAAATTAGGCTCATCCTCAGCGCCGCAGCAATTCTCAGCGCCGCAGCAGCGCAACCGGTTAAACAAGGCTTGCCGCAATTCCAGGGGCGGCACTGGTTTAAGGGAAGGCGCTCAATTCCAGCGGCGGCACTGGTTTAAGGGAAGGCGCGCGCCACAGCATGTCTAGCAAAGCGAAGCGCCAGCGCGGCAAGGCGGCGGCCAAGGCGCCGGCCAAGAAGCGGGCGCGCGACGAGGACAAGTCCGACAAGTTCGCCGAGTCCGTGCTCGCGTCGGTGACCTGCCCCATCTCGCACAGCCTGGTGGTCCAGCCGGTCGTCGCCGAGGACGGCCAAGTCTACGAGCGCGAGCGCATCGAGACGTGGCTGCAGAAGAAGGAGACCTCGCCGTTCACGCGGAAGCCGATGGGCACGCAGCTCGTCGACAGCGTGGCGAGTCGCAGCATCGTATCCTCCGCGATCGAGAACGGCCTCGTCGACGCCGAGGCGGCGACCGCGTGGCACCTCGGTTCCGCCCGGCTCAAGATAATCGAGAAGCTGCCGGGCGGCCTCGACGCGGCCAAGGAGCACCTCGATGCGGCGGCAAAGTCGCCCGAGCGGGAGATGCTCCTGAAGGCGTTCAAGCTCCGCGAGCAGGTCAAAAAGTTCGGCGACGAGGCGGCCGCGCTGGGCCTCGGCAGCGAGGTCGAGCGGCTCCTACAGTACAAGCCGTCCGGGTCCCTCGCGGGCCGGCCCATGACCGAGTGGCGCGACGACCTCGTGGAGGGCCAGTCGGTGATCCGCGTCATCGACGACGTCGACGAGCTGGAGCATCTCTGCGAGCGCCTGGCTCCGGGCGCGGAAGAAGACGTGGGCTGGAACGAGGATATGCGGCATTTATGTGGTCGGGAGTGTGTCATCGACTGCTTGAACGACGAATGCCGCGCGTACGGCGTCGATGATGACTACCTGGTCCCGTTCGACGCCTGCATTCTCGTCAGAGTGTGATGTGTCTCTTCTCCTCGGTGGGCCCCAACGCGCGCCTAAGAAGTTCCGTGACTGACTCTCGGCCGTTGCTAGGACTAGTGCGTGGATTACCATGGCTCTACAAGCCCCGCAGATTAATTTTAGGATTCAGGCTCAGGCTAGTTACGTCGCGGGGTTCCCCGTACCCCTCCCGCTCCCCCCGGACCCGTCCGGTTGTCGCTAGTATGTCTCGAGCACTAGCTCGTTTTTGCTTTCGACCCCCGGCGCTAAGCACTGTGTGTAGGTCCATTGTAAACTGCAGCGAGTGCGCAACCGCTGTGACTGCTCCGCCTGAGTCGAGTGAACGCTGTGCTCACAGGTGAGTGCTCCATCTGATCAGGGGACTCCTCCGCCTGAGTCGAGTGATGCTCTGTGATTGCTCCTGGCAGTAGAAGTGAATGCGTAATCTCCTGCGCAGCCTCACAATAGCAGTGACCAGCAGCATGACTGCAAAACGACCCTTATGGGTCGACACGGACGCGGGATTTGATGATCTGGTTGCTCTCAGCGCGCTCGCCGCCACGGAGCGGCGCTTAGCGGTCGTGTCGACCACCTCGGGCGCATGCGAGACGCCGGAGGCCGGCGCCGGGCGCGTCAGGACAATACTGAACGCTTGTGGGCGTAACGACGTAACAGTCGTCGCCGGTGCGTCGGCGCCGCGCGTCCCCGTCAAGCCCTGGCTCACCGACGCGCAGAAGATGCTGCTGCGGTGGTTCGCGGACAGGTCGCTGGGCGCGGCTTCCGGGCCGTTCGACGGCGACGTCGGCGGCGCGGTCGCCGCGCTAGGCGCTGTGGACCTCCTGTGTCTCGGACCGCTCACGAACGTGGCGGCTGTTTTGGCCAGCGGTCGGGTCACCGTGGAGACCGCAATAGCTATGGGCGGCGACGCGCCCGGTCGCGAACCTGAATTTAATTTTGCCTGCGACCCGGCGGCGGCGGCGGCCGTCGTCAAAACCTGCCCAAGTCTCACCTTGGTGGGCCTCGACTGTTGCACGGACGCGTTCGCCGAATCAACAGAGCTGCCCGGAGTCATAGGATCGCTCTGCAGCGCCGACGCCTGCGCCGCGCGCTTCGATCCTTTGGCGGCGTTCTGCGCTTCGAGGGAGGGTTCCTTCGAGATCCGCGACGTGAGCTACGGCGTCGACGCGGCCGGGCGCGTCGTCGGGGGCGAGAGTAGAGTCAGGGCGGCGACGCGCCTCGTCGATCGGGAGGCCTATTTGGGGTGGCTTCGCACCGCCGCAGCGACGTTGCCACGCTAGCGAATAATCACAAAACAAAATTAACTAGACCTCGTGGTCGAAAATATCCGTCGATTCGGTGACGACGCGCTTCGAGAGCTTGCGCATCGCGCTCACCGACAGCACGACCGTCGCGGCGAACAAGAGAAAGAGGAAAACGCCCGTCGCCGCGTGCCCCCGCAGCTCCTTCCGCAGGTCGTCGCGCAGCTTTTTGAGGGAGAAGAGGAAGACAAGCGAGACGACGCTGATGAACGTCATGAGCCAGTCGCTCATCGCGCCGCAGCTTCGCACCGAGAGCAGTTTCTGCCATTTGAGGCGCCGTGAGATCTCGACTCGATAGTGGTGTGCGCCCTGCTGGCGCCACACCTTACTGCCCGGCCCGACCGCGCCGCGCATGCTCCACGCCTCGAACTGAAATCTTGAAAGTGGCCCGTAGAGCTTGCCGGTTGGGCTCCGGAAGTAGTAGCCGTCCGGGTCCTCGTGAATCGCGCGGCGCTCCATCAGGTGTGCTCGCGCGGCGACGAATGTGTTCTGCAGCGAGTATGCTCGCGCAGCGACGGCGTTTAGGCTGTTATGAGGCTCCAGCAGCGTTCAGGCCTTGTGACTGCATTGGGGTATTGTTGGATCGCTTGAAACTCGCCTCCGAGGCGTCACGCTGCGAGCAATAAGGTGCTGCTATGAGCAATTGAGCTGCGTTCCACCCTCTGGGCAGCTGAGCAGCAAAAACTTGCCAAAAAGCAATCGAGGCTAGTGTGTTACAGGCCGCTAGCAGCAATCGCGTGCGTAGGTGCGCCGACCTTGGGCGTAGCTGGGTCATCCGTGCGGGTGGGTGTGCTCCAGGAGACGCATCGAGTTGCCGCACGGGGTCGTCGGTGCTAGGACTCGCACGGGGTCGTCGGTGCTAGGACTCAGGTGGCTGGACTCACTGACTGAGCAGCCTGCTGCAAGGATGATCCTCAGCCGCACCACCCTGCTGGCAGCAGGCGCTGCGGGCCTCGCCGCCAGGCAGATGTCGATCAGCAGACGCGTGGTGATGTCGGCCGCCGACCTCGCGACGACGACGCTGCGGCCGGTCAAGAACGGTGCGATTAACGGCAACTCAATTGAGGCCTCCTCGCTCTGGCGCGACAACGGCGCGCTGGTCTTCGTCGTGCGGCGGCCGGGCTGACCGCTCTGCCGCGAGGAGGCGCTGGGGCTCTCGGAGCTCGTGGCGATCCGCGGCGGCAAGCAGCGACTGGTGGGCGTCGTCAAGGAGGTGGCGCCCACGAAACAGGCGGCGAACGACACGGTCCTCGGCGTCGGCGAGTTCCAGCGGGACTACTTCAAGGGCAGCGAATTGTACCTGGACGAGGACAAGGCGTTCTACGCGTACCTGGGCAACCGCCGCCTCTTGACGCTCGGGGGCACGTTGAAGGCTTTGCTGTTACCCTGGCGCACGATCCGCTCGTTCCGGGACGTCGGGAGGCGCATGAAGGAGAAGAACATCGAGGGCAACATGGTCGGCGAGGGCTTGCTCCTGGGCGGCGTCCTGGTCGTGGACAAGTCCGGCAAAATCATCTACTCGTACCAAGAGAAGACGGGCACGCCCGCACCGATCGACGCCGTCGAGGAGGCGCTCGCGCGGCTCGACTAGTCACGGCTGGCGGATCCATGACGGCGGCGCCCGGCGGGATATATCCTCCGGACGCCGCTCGAACTATCCGCCCCCGTGGCAGTCAGTCGCGCTGTTTGTTATATCTGATTAATCTTAAAACAGGGGGGAGTGGTCGGGGGAGGACATATACACAAGAGAGCGGAGATATGCACCAGCGATGTGAGACATATGGACCAGCAAGAGAGAGATCAGCGGCGCCGCTTGCCCTGGACGTAGACGCTCGCGATGTTGCGGTCGTCGCCGAGGTTCACGAACTTCTCGAAGTCGTGCTCCAGCCGCGACGGGCAGCACGGGTGGATCGCCGAGGGGAACGTGTCGTAGTTGCCCGCCTCGCAGTTGATGCGCACCGCGTCGAACTGCTTGCCCACCTCGAAGTTGCCGAGGACCGTGTCCAGGCCCAGGGCGCGGGCCCCGCCGAGCGTCGCGGCCCAGAACGCGTCCTTGTAGTCGACGTCCTTCTCGCCCATGTCGTGCTTAGACCTGCGTGAAAATCAAATTTCGGGCGCCCCACGCTTCCACGCCATCGACGCGACGTTGATTTCTGCACAGGCTTTGGACGCGACGGCGGCGTGGCGGCAGGCCACGAGGATGGACGCGGCATAGCCGCCGGCGATGTCCGTGCCCATGCCCACGCGCACGCCCTTGGCGTGGGCCTTGTGGAACGGGAACGCGTGCCAGCCCGGCGAGAGCGAGAAGATGGCGTTGCTCAGGGGGCAGCACGCGACGCCGGCGCCCTTGCGCGCGAAGGTGTCGAGCTCGCCGTCCTCGAGGTAGACGCAGTGCGCCATGACGCACTTGTCCGTCAGCAGCCCGTGCGACTCGAAGATCTCCGTGCACCTCTTTCCGGGATGGAGCGTGTCGACGAACTTGACCTGGTCGGGAGCTTCCGACGCGTGGCTCTGGACCCAGACGTCGTCGGATTCCCGCGCGATGTCCCCCAAACCCGCGAGGAGCTCGGGCGTGCACGTCGGGATGAACCGCGGGATCACGCACGGCTGCACGAGCCGCGATAATCCGGACGCGCCGGGCTGCGCCTTCCGTATGTAGTCGAGGCAGGCCCGCGTGCCCGCGAGCGCCTCCGCCGTCGTCTCCTCGTAGCCGTCGCCGCCGTGCCGGTCCATGCAGACCTTGCCCACGACCGCCCTTAATCCTTTCTCGAGGCAGATGTCGACGAGCGCGTTCGTCGCGGGCACGTGGATCGTGGCATATAAAGCGACGCAGGTCGTGCCCTGCATGAGCAGCCGGTCGACGAGCGCGCTGTACAGCGTCTTCGCGTAGTCGACGTCGACGCACCGCTTCTCGGCGGGGAACGTGTAGTGCTGGAGCCACTCCATGAGGGGCTTGTCCGTCGCCGTGCCCGAGTAGGCGTACTGCGGCGCGTGCACGTGGCAGTCGACCATGCCGGGGGCGAGGAACTCCGTCTCGGCCAGCTCGACGACGTCCTGGGGCCGGTGCTCCGCCAGCACGGCCTTGATTTGGTCCGCGTCCTTGGCCACGGCAATAATGGCGCCGTCCTCGACGACGATCAGCCCGTCCTCGACGAACTCGATGAGGCCCGCGCGCCGCGCGTTCGCGTGGACGAAGCGGCCGCGGACCGCGAATTTTGGGGGGTGCGTCGAGAGCGCGGCCAACTTTTCTTCGAGCGCGGCCATCAGCGCCTCGGCTGGAGGTGTTTGAAGCTTGGGCAGCTGCTGGGAACTGGCGGTACGGCTCGGCGCGGCTGCAGCGGTTGCGTACGAGCGCTGACAGTTCTTAGCACCACACCACGAGTGTTGATCACGGCGCGCGAACGCGGACGCCGGCCCTCCTTTTGGAGCAATACGTAGAGAGGCGCACTTTATTGGCTCCTTGGTTCGTCGGTCGCCAACGCACCACGTACTGTCAGCTACCTATCGCTCTAAGAACGAGTCGGAAGGACTCATAGCCGGATGACGATCGGAAACGAAAACCCGTTTTGCAGCCAAGGCAGACTCAGGAGAGCGGCAGAGAGACGCGGCGGCAGAGAGAGCAGCTATAGCCGCACAGGGCAACGCAAAAAGCGTGATCGTAGTGGAATCGTTAGAGCAGTGGCAGCAGTGACGGCAGTGCCGGAGTGCAGAGTGCCAGCAGTGTCAGCGTGCCGCCAGAGTGCCAGTGCATGCATCAGGCAGCAATTGCGCATCGGTCCAACAATGGCATCCGTAACCATCAAACACACGAAACGCATGGGCAGAGCATTCGTAAGCACAAAGCGCATAGCCAAGGGCACCGTCCTTTTGGAATGCCAAGCGACAGGCAACTCCGTAGTGCTCCTCGACCATCTCGTAGGCGAGCGCTGCGACGTGTGCCTCGCCGACACGGCCACGAAACCGTGCGGCAACAAATCATGCGCCGCGGTGCTCTGCGCGACGTGCAAACGGAGCCCGCAGCACGCGTCGGTCTGCGGCGCGGCGTCGCGCGAGCCGGTCCTCGTGCGGAGCCTGCTGCGCCTCGCCGCCGCGGAGCGGGCCGACGGCGCCGTCGCGAAGCAGCTCGACGCGCTCGAGAACCACCACGACGCCTACGGGCCCGAGCGCCGCGACGCGTTCAAGGCCGCGGCGGCCCGCGCCGCCGCGTTCTGCGGCGGCGACGCGCGGCGCCTCGCGCGCCACGCGGCGGCCTTCGAGTCGAACGAGTTCGGCGTCTCCGAGACGAATCGGTGGCGGCATGCGCCGCTGGAGCTCGGCGAGGAGAGCGTCGGCTGCGGCCTCTTCGCGGCCGCGGCGCCGGCGAACCACTCGTGCGCGCCGAACTGCGATCCCGTCGTCGTCATCGAGGCGGGCCGCGCCCCCGTCTTGCGTCTAATCGCGCGGGCGGCGATCGCGCCGGGCCAGCAGGTCTTCATCGCGTACGTGCCGCTCTACGCGCCGGGCGAGCAGCGCCGGGCGTCCCTTCGAGACACGTACCTTTTCGATTGCGCCTGCGCGCGCTGCCGGGCGGAACGGCGGGACGGCACGCCGGCCGCCGCGGTGCAGCGCGCGATGGCCGGCCGCCTCTGCGCGTGCGGCGGGCTGCTGCGGCGCCCGGCGTGTTTTAGGTGCGGCCGGCGCGGGCGGCCGACGCGCGCGCACGCCGCCGCCGCGGCCGACCTCGGGCGCGCCCTCGCCGCCGTTCACGGCGACGGGTCCGCCGCCGCGTTCGACGCGCTCGAGCGCTCCGACGAAAAAGCGGCGCCGTACCTGCACGCGTTCCACGCGTTGCGGCACGCGTCGCGCGTCGCGAGGCTGGGCGGGGCGGTCCTGCGCGGCGACGGCGTCCCCGAGGCGGCCGCGGCCGTCGGGAAGTCGCTGCGCCGCGCGCAGATCGGCGACGAGTTCGCGCCGTGGCTTGAGACCGTTCGGGCGCTGAAGCGCCGGCGGCCCTCCGGCTCATCGTCTTGATTTTCATTTTGTCGTGTGATTTCTTTCTTTGGCCCCCGGTAAGTGTCCCATTGATCTTCGGACCAGTAGTTAACCGGACGATACTCAAACAGCTGCTCAAAAAATCCGAACCCGAATTTTGACTCAAAAAGTGAGGCCCGGGCACGCCGCCGGTCGAGCAAATAGCTGCCCCAGAGCCGCTCTACTACGCATTATAAGCGCACGAGCATAACTCTGGCTGAGCGCAAGCAGCTCTGACGAGGGCTTCCGGCAGAAGGGCAGCAGCCACAACCTTCGGGCTGCCCGCAAAAAAGCCATCACAAGCAAGCGCGCGGCGTCACAAAAAAGGCCAGACCATGCGCTCGCCGGTGCGCACAACGACGAAGTCGCCGCGCCCATCCTCGCCGCGCCCCCAGCAGCAACAACCGCCGCCACCACCGCCGTGGCGCCTGTGGTTCGTCGGCCTGCTCTGCGCGTTCGCGGTCGTCATTGCCATCGAGCGCGGCGGCGGCGCCGCGCTCGACGCGGACCCGATCCTGAACGAACCGATTGGACCGGAGTCGAACCCGCAGCTCCGGCGGCGCAAGAAGCCGCGCGTGTCGCTGACGAAGCAGGCCAAGAACTACCTGACGAAGCACGCGCGGCTCTACCGGCTCGGGCACTACGTGCGCACGCACTCCGCGGGCCTGCACCACAAGAGCGGCGCCGCGGCGAGCGCCGCTCGCGTGGAAAGGGCGCGCGCCCGCGTGACAAGGCGGCACTACGGCTGGCTCGCGTACCGCGGCATGGCGCCCGTGTACCTCCTCCTGCTGGTCGCGCTGACGCTCTGGATGGGCCTCCTCCTGGAGGAGCGGACGCTGCCGGCGCTGCGGCGCCTGTGCCGCGCGGCGCAGATGACCGAGGACGCCGCGGGCGCGACGGTCCTGGCCCTCGCGACGGGCGGCTTCGAGGTGCTCTTCTCCACGGTCGAGACCGTCGAGGGCCGCGTCGGCGTCGGGCTGAACTTCGTGCTCGGCTCGGGCGTCGTGAACTTCGGGCTGCTGCCCGCGATCGTCGCGCTCGCCGCCGCGCGGGCGAAGCACGCCCTCCCCCTCGAACTCGACCGCCTGCCCGTGCTTCGGGACGGAGCGTTCGCGCTGGCGGCGTTCGCCGCGCTGCTCGTCGTCGTGCGCGACGGCCGCGCGACGCTGGGCGAGTCGCTCGCCCTGCTCGGCCTGTGGGCGCTGCACGTCTTCTGCTGCCTGCGCGGCCCGAGGAAGCGGCGGCCGGCGCCGGACGACGTCGAGGAGGGCGTGGAGCTCGTGGTGCGCACGCCGTCGAAGCGGTCGAACGCGCACGAGTGGCCCGCGACGCCCGCGGCGGACGAGGACGACCGCGACGCCGCGGCGCCGCGGCGGGGGATGCGGGAGCGGTTCCTGCGCCTGTCGCACGCGTGCCTGCCGCCCGCGCTGCCGGACGGCGGCAACGCCGGGTCCGAGCTGCGCGGCGCGATCCGGGCGGCCGCGCCGACCTTGCTGGGGTCGGCGCTGTGGCTCGTGTTCCTGCTCCTCGTGCTGACGCGCCTCGCGGATCTCCTCGCGCTCGCGGCGCGACTGCCGCTGGGCTTCGCCGGCGCCGTGTTTTTGCCCGCGGTCTATGCCATCCCCGACGTCCTCGTTTCGGCGGCCGTCGCGGCGCAGGGTCGCGGCCGCGCCGCGGTCTCCACGGTGCTGGGCGTGCAGGTCGTGACCGTGCTGCTCGGCGTCGGTCTGCCCTTCACGATCCACAACGCGACCTCAAAGAGCGCGATACGCATCTCGGGATTGGACTGCGATCCCGCGCTGCGCTGGGGCGTCTTCGGCATCGGTCTTACGTTCTGGGGCGCGTGCCTCGCGCCCATCGCGCGCGGCCATCCCCCATGTTTCGGGGCTGGACAGGCGGCGCTCGTGTTCTCGGCCTACGTCGCGATCACGGCGGCGGTGACGGCGCGGACGCTCTAAGTATTGTTTAGTGATCCTTAGCCCGGAGAGCAATCAAGCCCCCAGCTCCATGATCTCCTCGAGGAACGCCGTCGGGTCCGCGAGGTCCGCGGCCCCGTAGCACACCGTCCGCGGCCCCTCGGCGAAGGCGCGCTGCAAGGCGTGGTGCTCGAGGTACGACCCGGCGCCGACGTGGAAGACGATGGCGTCGAGCGGCGTCTCGGCGGCCGGCAGCTTCGGCGGCGCGGCGTCGGTCGCGTAGGCGGCGGGCCCGACCTTCGCGTCCAATTCCAACCAGGTGTCGTGCTCCGTGCCGGGCCGCGCCTCGAAGAGGTTCCCGACGGCCCGCACGGCCTGCAGCGCCGACGCCCGCGACAGCAGGCTCCCGACCTTGGACGCGGCCGCCGCGGCCACGGTCTTGGCCCCGGCCTGGGCCTTGGCCAGCACGCTCGCCAGGCCCTCGTCGTCGGCCGCCTCGGCGACGGGCGCCGGCGCCGCGGCGGCGAGCTTCCGCGCTTCCCCAATGGCCGCGACGCCGCGCGCGAGGCGGGCCCGGTCCGGGCCCTCGGCGCAGCCCGCCGCCGCCGCGAGCGCCGCGAAGGCGTCGTCGTCGAGGCCGCCCTGCAGGCCCGCGACGCCGAGCAGCCGCAGCTTGTCGTCGACGGTGCCCTTGGCCCCTTCGCCCAACAACCCTTCGACGTCCGCCGCGGCCGCGCGCGGCTCCTCGGCCTCGGCGTAGCGCGGCACCTCGCGCGCGACGACCTGCTTCATGACGGCCCCGAGCACGGCCGTGTGCAGCTCCAGCCGCTTCTTCCGCTCCAGCAGGCGCGGCAGCTCGCCGACCGTCTCCGCGAGGCCGTCGGCCTCGCCGCCGCCCCGCGCCCGCAGCGCGTTCTCGCGCGCGCGGAGCTGCGCCAGCGCGTCGGCGGACGCGTCGATGACGTCGGGAAAGCTCCGCGCCGCGTGCTGCGCGTAGAAGGCGTCCTCGTCGACGCGCAAATCCACGGTCCTCGACGCGTCGTTGTCGACGAAGGTCGCGCGCCCGCCCCGGTGGTCCAGCACGTCGTCCACCAGCGCCTGGTACGTCTCGGCGTGGCGCAGCGGCGCCGCGAGGTCGTCGGCGCGGTCCAGGAGCACGACGAGCGGCCGCGCGGCGCCCGTCGGCGGCGCCGGCGCCGCGGCGCCGCCGCGGCGCCGCCACTCGTCGTGGAGCCGGGCGTGCAGCTTGGCCGCGGCCCGCGCGGCGCAGCCCCCCGGCCGCGCGCGCACGACGGGCGCCGCGGCGCCGACGGCGGCGCACGCGCAGAAGAGCCCCGCCGCGACCTCTTCGGCGACCTCCTCCAGGACCCGCTCCGGCGCCGCGAGGCCCGCGCCGCAGACCTCCTTGAGCCTCCTTTGTAACCTGAGGTGGAAGAGCCGCGGCTCGAGCGCGACGAAGTCGACGTGCCGGTCCCAGACGCTCCGCACGAGGTCCTCGGCCGCCGGCAGGCCCTCGCGCGGCGGCGCCGCCGCGAGCTCCCGCGCGAAGCCCTCCAGGACCTTGCGCTCCGCGCGGCGGCTCCAGTTGCAGTGGAGCGCCCCATACAAGGCCTGCGCCGCGTCTTTAGCGATACGAGCCGCGTTGGCTGCGCTCGGTCGGCACAGGTACACGGCGGCCACGTCGCCCAGCGCGTCGCGCGGCGACTCGATGGGCGCGTGCAGCGTCACGCCGCGGGCGCGCAGCTCGTTGACGCTCACGAGCGGCGCCAGGAGCTCGCGGCAGGGCTCGTCGAGGATCAGGACCTTCCAGTCGATGGGCGCTTCGGCGGACGTCTCGTCGTCCTCGTTTAATGCTAACATCTTCAGGATGGCCTGCTTCTGCTGCTTGCGGATGTCCATTTTAGTTTGGAGCGGCGCTGCAGAGTCCTTGGCGTAGCCGCGCTCAGGAGCGTGTGCTAGCGCTGTAAGACACTAGCAAGAGTTCCGAAGCAAGTATGGATATGCAACACGACGATTAGAGGATGCCACGGAGCCTGGGGGGACGGGCAGCCTGGGGGACGACGGGAGCAGGAGGGGAGGAGGTAGCTCCCTAACTCGATCCTAACTCGCGTGCGACGTGAGTTCGATGGACCTCGACACGAGCCGGCGCGTCGTGGGCGCGCCGGCGACCCTACGAAGCCGGACGCCGAGGCCGAAGACCGCGAGGACCAACGCGAGGAGCCCGCAGCGAACGTACGCGCCCTCGCGAAAGACGCGCTCGTCGTCGCCGGCGCCCTCGTCGTCGTAACGTCGCGAAACTTTGCGCGCCTTGTCGGGCCCGAGCGTGAGACCCAACACGATTGCGATCACGAGCGCGACGCCCGCGATGTAGACGCAAAAGAGGTGCAGATCCAAGTAGGTCGCTCCCGTGGTCGAGATGGCGCGGCTGCCCCGTGTGAAGACCCGCACTAGCAACCAGAGGGCCGTCACGCAGCTCACGACGACGACGAACGTCGTCGGGACGGCGTAGGGTATGTAGGCGCTGTTTGCGAGCGCCAGGTTCGAGGCGAGGGCGATATCGACACATAAGTCATTTCTCGGCGATGACGTGGCCGCGCTGGCTCCGTCGAGCGGTGGGGAACCGACACCGCCACGCCATCGAGCAGTCGCGTTGATGGCGTGAAGGTCGACGCGTCGATTCAGGAGGAAAGCGCCGTAAATTTGATTTCCACACAGACACGAGCCAGAAGGCGACGACCGCGACGTCCGCCGCCCGACAGTCGGGGAGACAGCAGGCGCGCGCGCTGTTTAAAATGGGACCTCTGTCCGCCGGCGCCCGCGGCCCGGGGCTCTCGGACTGGATCGTCGCGTCCGAGGTCTCCTCGTCCATGCCTGTGCGGAAATCAAAATTTTACGGCGCGTTCGTGTTGAATCGTCGCGTCGACCTGCACGCCATCGACGCGACGCCTGCTCAACGGCGTGGCGATGCCGGTTCCTCACCGCTCGACCGAGCTAGGACGGCCGGGTCGTCGCCGAGGAATGACTTAGTGAAGAATTGTCGGGCGCACCCGACGCACTGCTTGATTTCCACACAGGTCCATGCTAAAGAAGAAAGGGATGTCCGTGAGCTGCGCGAGGCTCCGCGGGCAGAGCGACGACGCCGCGCGTCCTTCCTCGTGATCCGCCAGCTTGCAATCGTCGCTTTTCACTTAATTCTTCGGCCTCTCTCGCCAAGCCTTGAGAGCCGGACAGTGCCGGGCGTCCAGACGAGCACACAGCCAAGGTCCGAGAACCAAACACGGCCGGCGAACGCGATCTAGACTCCAAACTTGCGCCCGCCCACATAGTTGAGCTAGCGGCCTGTAAGACACTAGCAAACATCCGGCACGCCGATGAGTCGGCGACGAGCGGTGTCTCCCCCCCAGGGGCTCCGCCCACTAGTTCTAGCACCGTAACAATTGGTCTTAGTGTATCCAGTCCAAGTTCCGCTCGCGGGGCCCGGCGCCGTGTTTCCGCCGGTGCCTCGTGAAGCGCGGCCCGCGGTGCGCCATCGCGTGGTGGCTCTTGAGCCAGCCCTTGAAGGCCGTCTCGCCCCACCGCTTCTTCTTCGAGTCGTCCGGCCCGTACACGGGCCCCGGCGACTCGACGTACTTCAGGTGCTCGTCGGCGCCGCCGATGCGGTGGCGGCCGCTCGACGCGAGCTTCATCTCCGTGCGCGCGTCGCGGCACAGAGCGTAGTCGGGGTCGTAGTGCGCCGCGGACGGCGTGGGGCACCGCAGCTCCGGCGCCGCGTCGCGGTGGCGCCAGCGCGGCACGTCGGACAGCGACGCGGCGTAGGAGTGCGGGTCCGGCAGCTCGCCGCGCTCGAGCAGGTAGCAGGGCCCCGGGCTGTCGGCGCCGGGCGGCCGCAGCGGGATGGCGTCCGTCGCGACGGCGTACTGGAGCGGCGTGTACTTCTTGGACGTCGTGAAGAGGGCCGAGGGCCGCGGCCCGACCGAGGCCGTCATGACCGTCGAGTCGGAGTTGATGTCGGACCAGCCCCGCGCCAGCGACCGGCCGCGCCGCGTCGTCGAGTGGTTGTAGAGGCAGCCGTGGTCCTTGACGCGCGGCTTCCGGCGGCGCCCGTCGCCGTAGGTCCAGGGCCGCCGGGGCGCCTCCGGCGCCGACTCGCGCGTGGGCACGGCCGACCAGCCGCTGAGCGTGCCCTTGAAGAGCGTCGACTCGTCGTCGTCGCGCGGGTGCGCGTCGCAGTACCGCTCGGACGTCGACTTCTGGAGGTGCGCCGTCCGCGGCGGCGCGAGGGGGTCGGCGATGCGCTCGACGGTGGACCGCCCGAACGGCAGGCCCGGCGTGCGCGCGCGCGGCAGGTTGAACACGGCGTAGACCGACGCCGGGCCGGGCGTGTACACGGGGATCAGCTTGGGGTCGATGAGGCAGCGGCCGCCGTCGGCGTTGTGCAGCGTCGCGTAGCCCTCGGTGTGGAGGCGCCCGCGCGGCTTGCCCTTCTCGAACGTCGCGCCGGCGAAGCGCATTTGTCCTGTGGCTCTCCCAGCCAAGTGTATGTGGCTCTCCCAGCCAAGTGTATGTGGCTCTCAGCTCCTCGGCCAAGTAGTCTGGGCAGCCGCCGCACCGACGACGGATGACCCCTTGGTTGTTCTCAGCGCGGTGCGGCTGCCGTTTCGGTGTGCCTCGGCGTGTATGAGGGGCAGCTGTGCTCGCAGAGCGCGGCGCTGGAGATGAGCCTCCTCTGCGACCATGGGTGCACACCGCAGGCTTGTAGTCTCTTGTCGACGTAGTGCACATAGGCTTATTACGAATCAGACGGAAATCCAGGTTTACGGAGAGGAATTTTTTTTTTCGCGCCCGCGCCCGGGCAGGCAACGCTCAGGTAGCACCAAAGGCGAACGAAACGGCACAGGAAGAAGAGCGAACGGAAAACCAGGACTACAACTCGGACAGCAGCGGCAGCGGCGCGGCCCGGGGGAACGAGTAGTACACGGCGCCGTCGCGGTCGTAGCCGCCCAGCGCGCCCTTGTCCGCGTTCGCCAACTCGTTGGCGTCGACGCCCGTCGCAGCGGCGCCGCTCGCGAGGTCCAGCACGCGCATGTCCTCGTCGCGCACGGCGTAGGCGAAGAGGTCGGGCGCGTAGCGCCCGAGCGCCGTCTGCGACGCCGCGACGCCGTCGTAGCAGCGCCGCCAGCTCGCCTCGTAGTCGACGCCCTCCAAGCCCTCGACGGCCTGGACGCGCGCGATGAGCTCGGCGCCGTCCAGGTCCTCGTCGAAGGCGACGCCCTTGGCCGCGAGCGCGTCGAGGGCCGCGAGGACCCAGTCCAGCGGCAGGAACCGGTCCTTCGTGAAGTGGTTCCCCACGCGGTAGAGCTGGAGCTGGCGCGGCAGCAGGGGCGGCAGCAGGTACTGGAGGTGGAGCTGGTACTGCGACGGCGGCGCGTTGAGGCCCGCGACGACGGCCCGCCGCAGCGTCTCGTCGGACGGCCGCGGCGTCCCGTAGACGCCGGCCATCCAGGCGTCGTCGGCCAGGAACTGGGCCTCGACGGCGGCCCAGGCCGCCGCCTCGAGCCGCCGCATGAGCGCCGCGCCCCGGGCCGGGTCCGCGAAGAGCCCGGCCGCCGTCGGCACGTGCACGTCCGTCGGGATGGCGCAGACGTGGCAGCCCGCGAGCACGAGCGGGTCGTCGAAGACCAGCACGTCCTCCGTCTCGAGGCGCGTCGAGGCCCGGAGGGGGAAGCCCGCCCGCGCGATGCCGTGCGCGAAGCCCATGAAGACGTTCGGCGTCCGCGACTCGTCGACCGACGCGAGGTCGGCGCCGCAGCCGTTGCACGTCGCGAGCGTGTAGGCGCAGACCTTGCGGCAGTGCCCGCACTGCTTGACGCGGTTGTAGAGCTGCGCCTCGGCCCCGGGGTTCGCCGCGACGAAGTCATCGACGGAGCCCTCGAAGGCGGCCTTGGCGACGCCGCCGCAGGGCTTCCGCACGCATCTCAGGGACTGCTTGATGCCGGCGAGCGCGCATCGGCCCTCCGTGAAGGCCTCGGCGAGGACACCGGCCATGGTTTTTGTGGGTAGCGTCGCGCACTGTAGGCTGCGAGGTACCACTGCCCTGAGCTCTCACAAGCTGGGAGCGGAGCACTCTTAGAAGCTGCGCCTTTTTCTCCGCCGCTAGCGTGTGCCGAGGAGCTTTATGCTCGCAGCGATGTGCACTGGCACAGGCGCCAAAGACAGCGGCCCCAGACAAGGACTTGCTAGTGCCTTACAGCCGCTAGTTGGCTATAGTGGTGCAAGTGCCGCTGCTGTCGCCATCCATATGTGCATTTGCTCGTCAGAAGATTCGTGATCCTTCTGCAACCTTGCTGCAGCCGTTGCTCACGAGGAGTTGCATTGATACTAGTTGCAGTCTACGACCTTGCAGCCGCCGCCAAACACTTGCCACCATGCGGCTGCTGTTGACACTGACCACTGCGCACGCCTTACTGCACAGCGTCAAACTCGGCGGCCCGTCGCCGGCGGCCTGGTTCCAGGACACCCTTGGCATCGGTACCGACGGCGACGCGGTCTGCTTCGACGACGGCTTTCGTCTGCGCTTCGACGCGGCCGCGGAGCCCACGCCTTGCAAGCTCGGCTGCCTCGGCGTCGGCGTCGAGCTCCCGACCGCCGAGGCCCTGGCCAAGGCCGGCGGCGACGCTGAGCGGCGCGAGCTCACGGCTTCGTCCCTGCCGGATGAGGACGCTGAGAAGACCGAAACGCTCTGGGACGTCGCCGCGCTCGATGATCCGCAGAGCCGGAGGGTCTGGGCCGGCTTCGCCGCCAGCAAGGACGCGCCGGCGCCGGCCCAGCCGGCCGCGAAGGTCGTCCTCAAGGTGAAGGACCTGCCGGCAGCGATCGAGTTCTACACGACGGGCCTCGGCATGACGCTGCTGCGGCAGCGGGCGCTCGTGCCCGACGAGGCCGCGCTTGCGGCCTACGTCGGCTTCTCCGACGACGACGCGGGCCCCGAGTCCGGCGCCTCGGGCGCGGCGCGGCTCGAGCTGCGCTACGTCTATGGCTCGGAGAAGGTCGAGCCCGACGCCGAGATCAACGTCGTGTCCGACCCGGCGTCGTGCGCGATCCGCGCCGGCATCACGGGCGGCACGGTCGTCAGCCAGGGGGACGTGTGCCTGCTCACGGACCCGGACGGCTACGCGGTCCGCGTCGCCGCGGACGCGTCGCTGTTGTAAGTATCATCCAAGGCTTAGTGCAGCTAGTATCTTACAATCGCTAGCTAGCAACCAAGTCTGAAAAAGAGCACTTGAGTGCACTTGAGTGCACCTTCCGTAAGATAATAGAAATATACGAATAATGTTTAGCGCAGTGGTGTCTCGCTGAATCAAAAATTGCTTAAGGCTCAGCACTGCACAAGGCACCATGCCGCAGCAGTCCCTGCTGAAGCGCGGCATAAAATTCACGCCGCTGCTGGTCATTCTCTGGGCGACGGTCTGGGTCGTGGCGCCGCGGTGGGGCGCCGCGACGATCAAGCGGCCGCGGTCGACCTACGACGTCCGGTGGCAGGTCGTCGGCGGCGCGCGCACGACGCACCGCTTCTTCGACTCCAGCGCCATCTCGCCGTCGGGCCGCTACGTCTGCGCGACGCGGACGCGCCGCGAGGGCCCCGCGGACGTAACGCCGGGCGACGTGGCGGAGGTCGTCGTCTACGACCTCCAGAAGAAGCGCAAGGACCGCTTTCCGGTCGCGTACCGGCGGCCGACGGCTGCCTGGGACGCGCAGCTCGGCGCGCAAGTCCAGTGGGGCGCGTCCGACGACGAGCTCTACTTCAACGACGTCGTCGGGACGCGCGGCGACGGCGCGCCCATCGTCCGGGGCGTCCGCAGCGACTGGCAGCGCGGGAGGGAAACGAGGCTGCCGACGCCCGTCTACCACGTGACCCGAGACGGCGCCCGGGCGGCCGCGCCGCGGGACCTGGCGGCACTAAGAATGACGCAAGATGGCTACGGCGTCGTCGTCACACCCCGTGTGGAAATCAAACAGTGATTTGGGTTACGCTATCGAGCAGACGCAGGAATGGAGGCAACCTCGCGTCGATGGCGTGGGGCGCCCAAAATTTGATTCCACACAGGTCACGCCCGAACAGCTCCGCCATCTAGAAAGTCAGAAGGACGGCGTCCACGTCCTCGACCTGAGGACGAACGCCACGGCCTTCCTCGAGCTCAGCGCCCTCGTCGCCGCCGCCGAGCTGGATTCGCGGCCTCGCGCCGTCGCCGGCGGCGACGCGCGAAAAGGAGCCGAGTGCCACCGGCACGTCTTCCACGTGAAGTGGAACGCAAAGGGGACGCGGCTCCTGGTCGTCGTGCGCGCCCGCGGGCAAGGGTGTCCCCGGGGCGACGCGAACCACGCGCTGACGGTGAACCCGGACGGCGCGGACGTGCGCGTCGTCGCGACGTGGCTCCGCGACGGGAACCACCCGAACTGGCTCGAGGACGGGCGGCTGTCGATGAACTACGAAGGCAAGGTCTGCGCGTTCGACGACGTCGAGGGCGGGTCGTGCCAGGTGCTCTCGGAGCGGGCCTCGGGGCACCCCGTCGGCGTTCCCGGCCGCGGCGACCTTGTCGTGACGGATACCTATGCGAAGGAACACGCGGCCTTCGGCCTCGAGGCGGGCGAGGCGGCGTTGCGCGTCCTTTCTGGCGGTGATCGGGAGGCGTGGCTTGGCGTCTTTCCTGTGGCCGCTTTCGGCACGATGCCCACCGACGTGTGGCGCTGCGACGCGCACCCGGCTTTTGATGTGAAAGGGAGGCGCCTCGCCCTCAACGTCTGGGTGCGCGGCTCGAGGCGCGTCGCTATTACCGACGAGATCGACTGGGACGCGTTGCTGAAGCGGCGGGATTTGTGGTTTTCCTAGTTCTGGCTCGTCGCGTTCGACATGGCTGTGTTTTTGTTTAACCTTAAGTTACTAGTATATCCCTTCGCCTGGACGCTCGTCCGCCATGCCGTGAACACAAAAAAGACCCTTGTGAAGTTCGATATTCCAAAGATACTTATTCAGGTCGTCGCAAACACCCGTCGCCCGCCGACGCTCCTAGGCGTCGGATCGTCATCACTCCAAGGCAACCCCCCCGACGGCGTCTCCGGCACGCCAGCAGGCGCGACGACGTCGCCGTCTACTCGCTCAGCCTCGCGCTCGGCTCGCAGCCGCGCGTTGCGCCGGTCCGCCCGCGCGATCAGCTCGTCGCGCGCGTCCTCGGACGCCGCCAAATCCAGATTCGCGCGCTTCAGGTCCGCGTTCAGCCGCTCCAGCAACTCCAGGGCCCGCTTGCGGCGTATCTCGTGCTCGGCCGTCCGCCGGCCGGCCTCGGCGACGGCCTCGCGCAGCTCGCGCGCGAGGTTCAGGGCCTTCTCCAATTTAACGTCGGCCTCGCGACTCTGCGCCTCGGCCTGCTCCGACAGCTGGGCCGCGGCGAGCGCCCGGTCCGCGCACGCCTTGTCGAGCTCCTGCTCCGCCGTGCGCAACCAGAGGAGGCGGTTCTCGCAGTCGGCCAGCGCCCGAAACGCCTTGTGCCGCGACGTCGCCTGGCGCCGCGGCGCGGGCGGCGGCGTGCCGGACGTCGCGTGCACGAGGGCCGTGGCGCCGCTCCGCAGACTGCTCTTCTTCTTCCGCTTCGGCGCCGCGAGGCCGCTCATCTTCGCGACGCCCAGCTCCTCGCCGAGGCCGTCCGCGAGCGCGTCGAGCGCCGCCGTCGCCGCCGCCAGGGCCGCGGCCTCGTCCCGGACCCGGTCCTCGGCCAGGTCCGCGCGCCGCGCCGCCGTCGCGCGCGCCGTCTCGGCCGCCGTCGCCCGAGAGGCTTCGCGCTGCGCGGCCGCCGCGGCGCGCGCGGCCTCCCGGGCGGCCTCGGCGACGGCGCGGCGCGCGGCGTCGCCCTGCCGCGTCGCCGCGGCGGCCGCCGCGCGCGAGGCCGCGGCGCGCGTCGCGCGCCGCACGAGCTCGCGCTGCGCGGCGTCGGCGGCGGCCTTCGCCGCGTCGCGCCGCCGCCGCGCCTCGTGCACGGACGCCAGGCGCGGCTGCACGGTCGCGGCGGCGCCGGGCCGCGGCGCCGGCCGGGGCGCGGCGGCCGCGTCCTGCAGCTCGTCGGCCGCGCGCGCGAGCCGCCGCGCGCGCGCCCGCAGCGCCGCGACGTCGCGGCGCCACTTCTGGAGCGCTTGCGCGGCGCGCTCCTTGCGCTTGTCCCGCCGGAAGGCGAGGGCCGCCGCCGAATCGCGCGTCTCCTTGGCCCGCGCGCCCCTGGCCGCCGCGGCGGCCGCGTCGAGGAGCGGCCGCCGCGCCGCGCGCGCGAGGCCCGCGCCGAGGCGCCGGAACCGCCGCCGCGCGAACAGCTGCCGCGCCGCCGCGCGCCACGCCCCGAAGGCCCGCCGCCGCGCCGTCTCCAGGTAGTGCGCCAGCGCCTTGCACGCCGCAGCCCGCGTCTCCTGGACGACGTCCGCGTTCGACCGCCACTGGGCGAACCGCCGCTTCCGCAGGCGGCGCGCCGCCTTCGCGCCCGCCGCCAGGTCCAGGATGCGCTTCGCGGCCGCCGCGCGGCGCCAGGCGATGAAGCCGCGGCGCCGCCGGAACCGCCTTCCCACGGGCTCGACCTCGGCCGCCGCGCGCGCGCGGTGCTCCCTATTGACTTTGACGGCGCGCCGCCAGTCGCGCAGCAGCCGGCGGAAGAGCCACGCGTGGTCCGGCGGCGCGTCCTCCGCCGGCCGCCGCCGCGCGACGAGCGCCTCGGACGCCCGGCGGAGCCGCGCGTCCGACGCCACGCGCGTCCGCCACCTTCTAAACAACGCGCGCGCGTCGGGCGGCTTCTCCGCAACGGCCGCCTTTGTCTTCTTCGCGCGCGGCGCGCGGTGGGCCCGGAGCGCGCGGAAGGCCCGCCTTTGCGCCGCGGCGGCGGCCCGCTTCGCGCCGGCCTTGTCGAGGCGCCCGAGGTCGACGTGCTCGCGGAGCTTCTCGAGCGCGGCGCGGAGGCGCGGCGCGTTGAAGGGCTTCACCTTCTTCGCGGCCCGCCACCGCCGCAGGATGCGCCGCAGCAGCCACGGCGCGCGCACCTTTGCGAGCCGCGGCGCGCCGCCGCCGACGCCGGCGCGCTGCGCCACGAGCGCCGCGACGGCCGCGCCGCGCCGCGCCCGGTCGACGCAGTCGTCGTCGTCCGACGAGTCGTCGCTCGAGTCCCGGTCGTCGGACGAGTAGGCCGCCGCGTCGTAGAGCGACCGCGTCGCATCGCCGCGCGCCGCCGTCGCCTCCTCCGACGCCGCCAGCAGCTGGGCCTCGGCGTCGGCGCGCCGGGCCCGCGCGTCGCAGCCCTGGGCCTTGGCGTCGTCGCAGGCCCGCTCGGCGCGCGCCCGCCGCTCGGCGGCCCGGGCCGCGGCGTCGCGGGCGGCGTCGCGCGCCGCGGCGACCTTGGCCGCGTCGCCGGCCCGCGCCTGGGCCCGCTTCAGCGCCGCCGTGACCTCGGCCAGGCGCTTCTCCGCGTCGGTGACGGCTTGCTCGCCGCCGCGGCCCGGCGCCGGGCCGCCGCGGTGCCGCGCGACGCCGTCGACGAGGAAGGCCGCCCGCTCCGCGCGCGCGCGCTCCGCGCCCGACGCCTTCTCCAGCGCGCGCAGCCGCTTCTTGAGGTGCGAAGTGTAGGCCTTGAGCTCGCTCATGCGCTCGTCGGTCGGCGCGGCGGGCGGCGCCTCGTCGCAGAGCCGGCGGTTCGCGGCGTCGTCGACGCCGAGCACGCTCGCCACGTGCGTCGACAGCTCCCGCAGCGTCGCGGCGAGGGCCTCCTCCTTCTCGAGGGCCGTGGCGCGCCGCCGCTGCCGCGTCGTCGGCGTCGCCGGCGGCGTCGGTTCCGGTTCCGGTGCCGGTTCCGGTTCGGCCGGCGCGACGGGCTCGACGACGACCGGCGGCGGCGGCGACCGCGCGCGCTTTCGCTCCGCCGCGGTCGGCGCGGGCGCGGTCGGTGCAGGCGCGGCCGGCGCGGGCGCGGATCGCACGGGGGAGCGCGACGGCCTCGCCGGCCGCGCGGGCGCCGGCGCTCGCGTGGCACCCCGCGACGGCCGAGCCTGAGCGGTTGCCCGCGGCGCGGGCGCGGATCGGACGGGGGAGCGCGACGGCCTCGCCGGCCGCGCTTGCGCCCGCGACGGCCGCGCCTGAGCCGTTGCCCGCGGCGGCCGGGCCGGTCGCGCGGGCGCCCGCGCCTGCCGCGGCCGAGGTCGCGCGGGCGGCGGCGGCGCCGGCGGCGCGAGCGCGGCCGGGCCCGGCGCCGGTTCGGCCGCGGGCGGCGGCGGCGACCGCGACCGGTCGTAGATCGGCGACGGCGGCCGCGCCGCGAGGGGCGGCGGCGTGTGTGGCCGGGGCGGCGGCGGCGCGGGCTCGGGCGAGGGCGGCGCGGCGCGGGCCGCCTTGTCCGGCGACGGGGGCTCGAGCTGCTGCGGCGGCAGCGAGTCCGCCAGCGACGCGGGGCCCGAGGCGGGCGCCGCGGGCGCGAGGGCCAGCGCGGCGGCCACGTGCGCGACCTCGCCCTGCGCCGCGGCGCAGAGCGCGCGCACGGGCATGCGGCCGCGGCCCAGCGCGGGCGTGGTCCGCGCGAGCCCGCCGCAGCGGCCGAGCGCCGCCGCGAACGCGCGGTGCAGCCCGTCGTGGACCCGGGCGAAGACGTCGGCGTCCGACGGCCGCGCGCCCGTCGCCGCGCGGAGCCGCAGGCCCGCGCGCCGCGCCAGCAACTCGACGCCGTCGAACGATCCGCCCTGGTCGCCGACGCGCCACCTTCTTAAGAGCAGCCGCGCCTCGACGTCGCGGCCGGGCGGCGGCCCGTCGGGCCCGCGCGCCGCCGCGAACCAGGCCCGGAGCTCGCCGTGCGCCTGCCGCAACGAGGCGTAGGCGCCCAAACGCGCCGCGCGCGCGTCGAGGCGCCGCAGGTCGTCCCAGACGGCCCGGTCCCGCCGGTCCGCGGCCGCGGCGTCGCGGCGCTCCCGCGGCGTCACGTCGCGGCCGTCGAGCCGTCGTAGGGAAACCGCGCAGGTCGCGAGGCAGCGGCTCCGGTAGCCCGGCAGCGCCGCGACGCCGTTCCCCTCCAGGGCCAGGACCACGAGCGCCTCCAAGCTCCGCAGCGGCTCGAGGCGGTCGAGGTGCAGCACGCAGTTGTTCGTCAGCGACAGCTGCACGACGTGCCGGAAGGCCTGTACGCCGTCGAGGGCCGCGAAGCAGTTGTTCGACAGGTACACCGTCTCGCACGCGGCCGCGAACGCCGGCACGTCCGCGATGTCCGTGCAGAGCTCGCCCACGAGCGCGAGGCGGCCGCGCCGCACGCAGGCGCGCTCGCCGAGCCGCCGGCACGCCTCGCCCACGCTCAGCCGGCGGCGCGGCGCCGGCGGCGGCCGCGGCGCCGGCCGCCGCCGGGCGCGCGGCGGCGAACTCTTCGACCGGCGCGGCGCTGGTTGTGGTTGCGGCGGCGCTCCGCGCGGCGGCGGCGGCGTGCGCGAGCGGTGCGGCCGCGGCGGCGCCGAGCGGGGCGGTGGCGGCGGAACGCTCTCGTCAGACGACGCCTCCGCGTCGAGCCAAGCTACCGCATCGGCGTCGACGGTAAAGTGCTGCGCTGCCAACTGTTTGCGTGCCGCGTGCAGCGCTCCGTACGAGGGCATGGTGGTTTTTGAGTTTGAGCAGTTAGCACAGAAGGTGTTGTTGCAGCGCCGGCAGTGCGCGTTCAATCACATCATTAGCAGCAACCAGACTAACGCCGAAAGTCATCTTGACGACCGCGGCAGGGGTCCGAGTCCAAATCACTTTTCAGTTTGGCTTGCTAGTGCCTCTACGGCCGCTAGTTGAATACGTGATACCTATCAGAGGACTCCGTTCCAGACGCCTTGAAGAGTGGAGGCCCTCTCTCTCGACCGACAAAAGCGCTCTGCATTGCCACAGCGCTCTCTCTGGCAGTCGCGGGACGCTGGGTAAACGTGCAGCCCGAAGCTGCCGCACGGCGCGAATTGAAGCCAAAATGCAGCCCTAGGCACCGCGCATAACTGATGGCGGATATCACCCTCGAGGGCTGGGTGCCCCTGTCCCAGGCGCTGCGCTACCTGCGCCCCTAGGCACTGCGCATACCTGATGGCGGACATCACGCTCGATGGCTGGGTGCCCCTGTCCCAGGCAGCCCCGCTGCGCTACCTGCGCATGCGAGCGGTCGAGAAGAATAGCGCCAAGCGGGCCAAGCGCTTCCCGCTGCCGCCGCCCGCGACGCCGCCGACGCGGCCGGCGCGCGTGGTACCGTTCGCGCCGGAACGGCCGCGCACCGCCGCGCACCGGCGCGCCGTCGGCAAGTTCCGGCGCGAGGACGATTCCGTTCTCGACGGTGAAGAGACGGTGTGCTCGGTCGGCGCGGGCCGGGGCGAGGCCGCCTGGTTCGACATGATACGGGAGCGCACGGAGTCGCCGTCGAGGCCTCGCTCCGCGGGCGCGACGAGGCCACAGGCGGCGCCACGGACACCAGCAGCACGGCCGAGGTCCGCCGCGAGGCCTCGCTCGGCCGGAGCTACAAGGCCGCGGTCCGCGGGCGCCACGAGGGCCGCCGCGGGCACGCCCCTGTCGGCGACGCGGCCCTATTCGGAGCGACGGTTCGTCCCGCGCGGCCCGGAAATCCACGCCAAGCTCCCGCCGGCGCGCCACACGGTCCAGCGGCCGCCGCGGCGGCCGCGCACCGCCGACGCGTCGCTGCGGCGGCGGATCACGCGCGCGCGGCCGCTCCCGCGCAAGGCCGAGACGGCCCACGTCGCGCGCACGAGCGCACCAACGGAGGCGGGGGCGCCGTCGGCCCGCTACTTCGAGTTCTCCCAGGATTTGCTGCGGGCCGACGCGCAGTTTCGCGGGCGCCAGGCGACGTTCAAGCGCTACAGCGCGACGAGCATCGACGAGCTGCACCCGCGCCACAACGCGCGGGATTTGCTGCGGCGGCGCAAGAAGTTCCTCGGGTACACGGACCTCAAGACGCCCATTCCAAGCTTCGACACGGCCGACGAGGCGACCGCGGCGTCCTCAGTGCGCGAGACACCCGACGACGCCGCCTCGGAGTGCCACGCCGACGGCCGCAAGCGCAAGGACTACGCCGGCGGCGAGGCGAAGCGACGGTACCACGGCATGGTCAACAGCGTGCGGCGGCGGGTCGCCGTCCTGGACGCCGCGGCCGCGCGCGACGCGGACCTCATGGCACGGCTCGCCGCGGACGACGCCGCGTCCGTCGGGAGCGGCCCGGCCACGTACAAGGCCTGGAACTCGCCGCGGCACGCCTTCGCCCGGACGTGCGACGCGCGGCCGGGCTGCCTGTCGGAGCCGGTCTTCGTGAGCCACGACCACGATCCCCACCACATCGACCTCTCCCAGCGGGGCCTGGGCGACGACCTGGTCAAGGCCTTTTGCGACGACCTGATGCCGTCGCTGCAGCTCACGACCCTGAAGCTCGCTCACAACCGCCTGGCTAAAAAAGGGCTCGACGCCGTGCTCAAGGCGATTTACAAAGCGCCGCAACTGGAGGAGCTCGACCTGTCCGGGAACCGCATCCCGGTGAAGACTGCGCGGGCGCTCGCCGAGTACCTCGACGAGTGCCAGCTGAAGCGGCTCCGGTTGGACGACTGCTCCCTGGACGCGGAGGGCTGCGGCGCCCTGATGTGGGCCGTGGGCCGCGGCGACGACGAGCTCGTGGAGCTGTCGCTCCGGGGAAATAGTATAGCGAAGGGCGACTCGGCCCTGAACCAATGGCAGGGCGACCACGAGGGCGTCTCCGAGGGCGGGGACGACGCCGACGAGTACTACCGGGGCGGCGCGGCCGTCGGCGTGGCGCTGATAGAGAACGCGACGCTGCTGAAGCTCGACCTCGGCAAGTGCGCGCTCGGTCCGGCGGCGGGCGTGGCCATTGGGCTCGGCCTGGCGTGGAACCGGTGCCTGAAGTACCTCGACATCTCGGACGCGTCGCTCGGCGAACGGGGCGGCATGGCCGTGTGCCGCGCGGTCGACGGCCACGGGGGGCTCGAGCGGCTCCTGCTGGCGAACGCGGGCCTCGGCCCGAAGGCGGGCATGGTCCTGGGCGAAGCCCTGCGCGACAACTGGGCCCTCGCCTACCTGGACCTGTGCGGCAACCCGCTGGGCGCGGCCGGCGCGCGCGCGGTCTGCGCGGCGCTGCACGCCAGCCGCCGCGCGAACCGCGCCATCAAGCTCGAGAACGTGGACCTGTCGCTCCGCGGTGCCCCGTTCGACGCCAGCAAGCCCGCGGGCGTCTACACGCTCGACGTGGATCTTCCCTACGACTGGATGGTCGCGAAGCAGCTCCTGCGGGTGGCGGCGACGCGGCCCGGCGCGCGCATCAAGAAGCTCATCGAGCACTCGGACCCCCGCGACGACGAGCCGGCGAACGCCCTGCAGCGCCGCCGGGATGCGATCCAATCCCTCGTCGCGCGGGCGGCCGAGGCCGGCGGCGGCGCCGTCCACAAGCCCCATCGCAAGCACCGCAAGGCCGTCCACCTGACGGCGCCCGACGTCAGCGGCGTCGTCACGGTGAAGCCGAAGCGGAAGCGCAGGCCCATGGACGCGGCGACGGCCGACCGGCTCCACGAGCGCTTCGCGGCGGCGGCGGCGAAAACTAGCGCGACCCTCGACGACCTCTTCACGGCGCGCGACGAGGACGGCGGCGGCCTCGAAGCCGACCAGTTCCTCAAATTGGCGCGGGAGGACTTTGGCATCGCGAAGGATGGCGAGACGGGCGTGTCGAAGGAGGACATCGACTGGCTGGCGGAGGCGCTGGACCGGGACGGCGGCGGCACGGTCAGTCCCGACGAGTTCCGGGATTTCCTCGACGGCGGGCTCGCGGGCCTCGCCGGCGTCGAGTCGTCGGGGAGCAGCGTCGCTACGGCGGCTGCGGAAGCCACGCGAGATACCGACGCCCGAGCCAACGCGCTGGCGCGCGCGGCGCTCAATCCGTTCTCGCCGGAGTTCAGGGCGGCCACGATGCTGCAGCGCCGCTTCCACACGTTTCGATCCACCAGGGCCGCGCGCGAGACCGCGGCCGTGCGCGCGACGAACTCGAACCTCGCGGCCTTTGCGACGCCTGGCGACGCGCTCCCGCCGCGCGGCCGGCCGCGCTTCGCGCTGGACGCGGACACGGCGGCGGCGACGGCGGCCGACGCCCGGCGGCACGCGCTCAAGCGGCGCCTGATCGACGACGACACGGGCAAGCCCTGGGCGCCGCGGCCGCGCACGACGCTCGACGTCGTGATGGTCACGACGACCCCCGCGCCGGCCTTGGGCACGCTCAACGCTTCTGGGTTGTTGGCCGTGGCGCGACTCATCGTGACGTCCCAGCGCGACGACCGGACGGCTTTGTTACGCATCGCGCTGGGCGACACGGCGATGAGCTGCGCCCAGGGCCAAGAACTCATCGACCGGATCAACTCGAGCTCGAAGCCGTTGACGAGCGGCGAAACGGTGGACGCCGTCGCGGCCCTAGCGGAGCGGGCGGTCGATTCCGAGGCGGTGCCGGCGCTGATCGATAGAAACTTGTCGGATGACCAGGCCAGGACCTTGCGGCGTATTATGGGCGGCGCCTACGACATTTTTACGGGTGCCCTGTCGGGGCGACACCTGCTCGACGTGCACCGGCGCGTCGACCGAGCGGCGCTCTACCGGCTCGTCGCCGAGGAAAGCGCGAGCGCGGCCGCGCGCAAGGAGCGACTAGAGGCGAGTAGTCCTGATGCCGAGGAAAGCGTGAGTCCACGAGGCTTCGCCGCGGTCACGGTCGACGGCAAGCCGGCCGATGCAAGTACTCTCGACGCGCTGGCCAAGTGCTTTGGAGGGCTGGGAGAGGGTACGGCAGAGCCGGTCGAGGCACCGGCCAAAGCACCGCCCAAGGCACCCAAGAAGGCGTCCAAGAAGGCACCCCCAAAGGCACCCAGGGCACCGGTCGCACCGGGGAAGGGCCGCCACGTCGCGTTCGACTACCTGGCGCCGCCCGCCACCGGCACGGCGGCGCCGGACGCCCGCGTCGCGACCTTGCTACACGCGTGCGGCATGAAACTCGACGCAGCGACCATCGCAGCGTCGCCGCGTCTCCTCAGGCTCTTACCGGGCCATTTATTCCTCGAGGCGACGAAGCGATCGCCGGTCGTCGAAGGCCCCGCGGAGGCGCTCGAGTGCGTCGGCGCCCCGGGACCGGCACCGGCACCGGCACCTTCCTACCGCGAGGCGAAACGACTAAGCGGCCGCTACTCGACCGAGGACGATCTTGCGGACTGGCTCGCCGAGCGGGACGTGTCGTTACCTGAGGACGCATTGGCCGCGCTCTCGGAGGACCTGGATCGCGGCCTCGCGGTGCTCCGGTGCGACATTGACGTTGGAGAGGACGAAACGACGCTGCGAGTCGTGCGCACGACGTGCGACGTCCGCGTGCGCGTCTGCCACCCGCACGTCCAGGCAGTGCTCGCGTGGCGGCGCAGAACGGAGGAGGCCATCGCGCCTGTACCCGTGACGACGAACAAGAGGGCTGCACGCCAACCTCTCGACGGCATTGTCTGGATCTGCCGCCTGCAAGCTTTAGTTAGGGCTGCCTTTGCGCGGGCCGCGGCGCGCGCCGCGCGCGGAGAGCGCCCGCCCACCGAGACGTTTGTCGAACTGCGGATACCGCTCGACGCGAACGGTAAGCCGACCACGAGCCCCGCGCGGCGCGCGGTCGTTGGCGTGGCACGCACTCTCTGCGAGCGCCTCAATTTGAACGTGGGACCTGATGATGTTCGCGCCACCTTAAGAGTTAGGAAGACTGAGCCTGCTACGACGGCAGCGCCGCGGTGCCTCAGGGACGTACGAAGTGAGGCGGTCGTGTTTTACTACGACGCGTACGTCCGCGGGCTGCCTGCATCTACCAAAACCTCGAGATATTCGCCCTATGAACGTGCCACTTGGACACCCTACGAGGATTGCGAAGCGCCGCCGCCGGACGATCTCGACGCTTCGGCGGTCGTGGCTGCCGTTCGCTCGGCGACGACCACAGAACAGTTTACCTGCGACCAGATCCGTGCCATCGTCGCAACGTTCATAGCACGCGCCTGGGGTCTCGAGCACGCCAGAAAACGCCGCCTTGATGCGGCTCGGCGCGAGCAGGAGGCCGAGCGTCGTGAGCAAAAGAGGCTCGAGATGGAAAGAATGGCCGCTCTTGCGGGAGGGCGCATGACGTCTCCCTCGCCCACGCCAGGGGCTCTCCCCCAGGATAGGCGGAGCTCCCTCGCTCACAGCCAAGCCGCGGCGCGCGGTCAAGCGCTGACGCCGAAGCCCTCGCCCAGGACCAGGAACCGAGAGGTCGACGACGGCCGACCGCCTCCCGACGTGGAACGATCTCTCGGGGACTTGGTCGTCCACCTCTACTCGCGTTGCTCGTGTCCTCCTGAGGACTTCTACGCAGAGGTCTTGGTACCGACGTTCGACGACAAAGGCCGGCGAAAGGCCATCATCGCGCGCTTCGGCTGGGACGCGGCGACGTTCCGGCGGCTCGAGGCCGAACGGGCCGCGCGGCTCGAGGCCGAACGGGCCGCGCGGCTGGAGGCCGAAGCAGCCGCGCGGCTCGAGGCCGAAGCGGAGGCCTGCGCGCCGGCGCCGGCGCCGGCACCCGCCCCCGCCCCGGCCTAAGTCTAGTACATGTGTTTACGTTTCCTCGTCTCCAGGATACCTGCCGTTGGGATATTTCTTTTTCTCGTAGTACTCCTCGTACCACGCGAAGAACATGTCGAAGGTGATCAGCTCGTCGATGGCCAGGTCCTCCTTGAGCGCCTCCAGTTCAGGGACCTCGAGGCGGAGCCGCAGGTACTTGAGCACCTCTACGAGTTGATCGGCCTCGATGTTGTCCATATCGCCGAATTGCACGAATTGGTTCCGCACCGCCTGGTAGCCGAGCGACTCCTCGGCCTCGGGCTGGTCCTCGATGGGCCACTTGCTCCAGTGGTTCTCGTCCTCCTCGCTGTCGGACGCCTCGCCGCCCTGCGCCAGGCGGTCGGCACGCTTCTTCTGCAGCGACTCGCGCGTCTCCTCCTCGGGGTTCCCGTACGTGCCGATGCCGTACGAGCTCGCGGTCAATTTGACGACTTCGTACGTGACGCAGCCGAGCACGAACCACGTCATGAGGACGACGAACCAGCTGAACGAGAGGAGGCCGTACTTCTCGCAGGGGCCCTTCTCATGCTCGGCCATGAGCTGCATCGAGAAGTAGCCGTTCGCCCCCAGCGTCAACAGGTAGAGGTCAACGTAGTGCGCCACGAGATGCCCGAGCGACGGGTACTCGCGCGTCACGTTGATCGAGATCTTCTTGTACCGCCACGACCGCCAGAACTTCGCGTTGAGCCGGAACCTGTGTGGAAATCAAATTTCAGACCCCACCGTACGCCATCGATGCGACGTTGTCCCCGGCACAGTCTCTGCTCGATGGCGTGGAGGTTCACGAAGATCCGCGCAATAATTCCACACAGGCCGGAACGCGATGTCGTAGCGGTAGCCGGCGTAGGACCAGAAGAACGTGCCCACGAACAGGTGCGACACGCAGATGGCCACGAGCAGCCCCAGTTTGACCGGGTAGCATTTATTTCGCGAGCTCATCTCGTAGGTGGCAAAGAAGTAGATCTGGCCGACGGTCATGACCAGCCAGCCAATCAAGCTCGGCGGCAGCGGGCCGATCAGGAGGACCGGGCTCCACTTGCGCTGGCTGAGCACCGTCTTGAACTGGACGAGCGCGCCCTTGGCCAGGTGGTCCTCCTTCTTCACGCCCGGGGCCTTGCCCCGCAGGTCGTTGCACTTCGACTTGATCTTCTGGAGGAGCGTGAAGGGGCCGATGACGTGGAAGAGGAAGAGCAGCCCGAGAAAGAGCGGCAGGAAGACCTCGCGCACGACGGGCCCGAGGGCGTCCGCGCCCGTCACGATGAGCGGCTTCCGGAAGCCGGGCGGCACCGCCTTCTTCCACGGGTCCTTCGGGTCGACGATGGGCCTTCTTCCCGAGCCGACCTTGCACGACGGCTTGCGCGGGTCGCAGGTGCCGGGCCGGACCCGCGTGTGCTCGTTGTTCCAGCTGTTCGCCGGCGGGGCGCAGTAGCCGGGCCGGTCCGGCCAGGGCGGCCAGCGGCAGGGCGGGAAGCCGCCGTCGTCGTGGGACTTGGCGGCTGCCCGAGCGATGGTGACGGCGGCGAGGAGCCACCGTCGTCGGGTACCAGCTTCCATGGCTGCCCTAAGGCTGCCTCCTGGCCAGCTATTTACACAGGGCGCTGCCCCACGCGCTTGAATGCTCACAAACCGATGCCAGCGCAGCAGAGCGACGACGGTGTGGCAGTTGTTGGTGGATCGACGCTCGCGCCGCGCGTCCGCTGTGCCACCAAAACACCCCCAAAATCTCGTCGCGTCGCGTGGAAGGCACGGAGGCCTCAACGGTCGGGGAGCGAGGCTCTCGCCCGAAGGAACCCTCGACGGAAGCTTGGTTGCGGAGCCTGCGGGGTGGGCCGCCGTGGGCCGCCGTCGGGCGCTAGATCAGCTGTCTCGCATTGAAAGTCTGAAGTTGCTGCCCTAAGCTTGCTGTCGAGGTCTACCGGTTCCACTTCGGCTGTCTTGTAAAATTTGAGGACAGGCGCGCGTGGAGGGTAGGGCAGTTTCGTGGCCTTGCGGCTGCCCCGTACACGCCCCCGACGCGACTCGACGATGGGCGGCTTCGACCCCATCCCGCCCCCGCGCACGCTCAACTTCCTCAGCTGGTGGCACGAGACGACGGCGAAGGGGAGCGTGCGCCGGGACCTCCGGCTCTCGTACGACACGACGGACGGCTCCGTGACCCTCGGCCTCGACAAGAAGACGGCCACGCTCTACCGCCTGTCGCACCTCGAGGGCAAGTACGGCCCGATCGGGCCGTTCGACCTCTACGTGGGCGCGGCGCTCGAGGTGCTCGGGCGGCGCCTGACGCTGAAGCAGACGGCCGACCTCGCCACGAAGACGTGGGTCGAGGCCGAGGCCGCGCGCTTGCGGCGCGTCCAGGAGCGGCTCCTCGACGAGCTCCGGACCTACGGCCGCGAGGTCGGCAACCTGCCCGGCGGCGGCGTCGCGGGCTCGCACCGCACGACGAGCGCCTCCTGGGGCCTCGACACCGGGCGGCGCCGCGTGCAGAACGCCGTCGACCGGCGGCAGAACGCCTCCGACCCCCTTCGCAAGCTCGCGCGCGACAACGAGTTCCTGCGACTCCAGGTCGCGGAGTATCGACCCGTCCACGGCGAGGTATAAGTAGTTATGTGTCATCGTCTAGCATGGCCCGGCTCATCGCGTCGATGAGGCGCTTCTTCAGCGCCGCTTTGACCCCGTCCGTGGCCAGCCCGAGGTCCTTCAGAGCCGCTTTCAGCCGCGGGACCGTCATCTTGTTGATCTCCGGCCCCGTCCATCGCGGCGCTGCAGCTGCCGGCGCCGGCTCGACGTCCATCTGCGCCACCGGCGCGGGTGGCGGCGCGACCACCGGCGCGACAGGCGCCGCGACCGGCGCCGCGGGCGCGGGCGGCGCCGGAGCCGCGGCCGCGGGCGGCGGCGCCGCGGCGGTCGTCGCCTGCGGGACCCGCACGCCCGCCGCTTCGGCCGTCTCCTCGCACTTTCGAACCAGCTCCATTGCGCGGCAGAGCTGCGCCTCCTCGTCCTCGGCACCCGCCTCGGGCGGCCGCGCCGCGTTCGCCGCCTGGTCGCGCAGCGCCGCCGCGAGGTGCGTCCGCAGCGCGTGGCCGAGCTCGTCCTGCGCCTCCTCGACCATCTCGTCCAGCCGCCGCCGGAGCAGCAGGTTCTCCGCGGACCGCGCGTACGCGTGCTCGACGGGCCACCTCGACTGCGCCATCGTCTCCTGCACGCCGTCCGCGAGGCGCAGGAACATGGCCGCGTCCTCCTTGATCGTGTTCGCCTCCGGCGCGCCGATCGCCTCCGGGTCGACGTTCGCGGCGAGGCCCTCGGCGACTTGCGCCGCGAGCTCGACCATCTTGAGGACGTCCTGCTGGCACGCGGCGAGGCGCGCGTCCGAGACGCCGGCTGGGTACTCGGCGTCTTGGCTTGCCATTTTGTAATATGGCTCTCTGGGGCTTATGCTATTTTGCGCGTCCGTAGGACTGTCAGCGGAGGCGGTGGTTTCTTCAGCGGACAGCAGGCAACGCTTTAAGCACACGAGCGCCCGCAGCGCTGCAGCTGGCTCATCTGCTGGCTCTGCGACGACGACGACGGGTTTTTTGCGAAGGGTGCTACGGGTTTTGCGGGCGCAAAAACTGACCAAAAACTGGCTCGTGCGAGCGACCTTCGTCCTCTTCCAGCCGCATCGATCAACAGAGACCCATACGGGCCCTTGCGACCCATACCGCACTGATCAGTGACACAAAATGGCGAGTAACATAGACAGCAGCGGCACAAACATAGGACAAATCGTCCGCCTCTCCTCGGCAGACGCGTGTCAGCACGCCGAAGCGCTGCGCGAACTCGCCACGGCGTGCTATCCGGGAGCCGTGCCCGCCGACGGCGACGTGCTCTCGGCGCTCGCGGGCCCTTGGCACGACCTGAGCGCATGCGAGTGGCTGCTCGCGTTCGATGGCTCGGCCGTCGTGGGCATGGCTCTGCTCGTACCCTACCACGACGCGTTGCAGCTGTCGACGCTCGCCGTCGCGCCGCGTGTGCGCAGGCGAGGCCTCGGCGCCCGGCTGCAGGAAGCGACGCGGCGGCGCGCCATCGAGCTCGGGCTGCCGCGCGTCTGCGGCTCGGTGGACGCCGACGCCGCGGACTTGCTGAAGCGGTACCGCGCGCTGGGCGCCGTCGACGACGGGAGCGCGATCTGTTCGCCCGGCGCCCTCGTCAAGCCCAAGGTGCGGCTGTCGGCGCCGGTCGCGCGGGAGGCGCCCTTCGAGTGGCTTCTGGAATGGTCGCAGCTCGAACCGTTGCTGACGCGCCTGCTCGACGGCGTCGACCCCTCGACCGCGAGCGCGGTCGACCTCGGCTGCGGGACGTCGGATCTCGCGCGGCGCCTCGCCGCCGACGTCGGGTTCGGACGCGTCGTGGGCGTCGACCGGGACCCGAGGCACGGCGAGGTCCACGACTGGGCGGCCGGCGGGGCCGCGCCGGGCGCCCCCTACGACGTCGCCTTCGACAAGTCGTCGCTCGACGCGACGCTGGCCGAGGGCGGCGCCGCCGGATTGCTTACATGCGCCTTCCGGAGCCTCGCGGCGGGCGGCCGGTACGTGGTCTGCTCGCTGTATCCGCCGGACTTCGTGGAGGCCCTCGCGGCGCCGCTGTTCGCGCCGGCCGGTCGGGAGAGCGTCGCGCGGGGCGCCGCGCCGCCCGTCGCCGTCCTGTGTCTTCGGAAGAAACGGGAGTGTCGCGACGCGGACGACGCCGCGATGGCGGCGCACTGCCGCGGCGTCCAGGACGCCTTCTTCGGCGCGGCGCGGCCGCTTTTGGACGAGGCGCGTCGGGAGGCCCTGCGGACTTCGTTCTCCGAGGCGCTCCCGCTCGGATCCGCCTTCGAGGCCCTCTTCACGGCCGAGGAACGGCGCGACTACGCGCTCGCCGATTTTCTAGACGACGTGGCCGCGTTCCGCGGGCGCGGCGGCGGCGGCGGTATGGGTGGCGAGGAGGCGCTGGCTTTTTTGGCGTTCGCTCAGTAGTTTGTTTGTTGTCGCGTTTTTGGCGGTCGCTCAGTAGTCTGTTTGTTGTGATTTAACTTGAATTGTGGTAGTACTGCTCCCGGCTGACGCGGAGTCGGCGAGTCGCCCGGTGCCGACGGCACCGTCGCGAGGGACCTATCGCCGAGCCGTCCGTGCTCGAGAGACTCGTCGGATAGCTGATCGGACGCCTCGCGTTCATACGGGTTCGACGCTGTAGCGCCGCACACCGCAAAATACGAGCTCGTCGACGCCGGGCGGCCGGGCGGCAGCGAGCGGCGTGCGTGCGTCTCGTCGCGGATACGCCGTACCGTGCGTTCGGAGGACGCCAGCGCTCGCCGGCAAGACGCGCGACGCGGGGTGTGACCAGGCTGCCCGGTCTGGCTCCCATCCCAGCCCCGGAGGGGGCGGCCTAGGAAGCGCGTAGAGGGCGGCCTGCGGGGACGCGGCCGCCGCGGCGCCGCCGCCATGGTCAAGGCGATCCACGACCTCGTGCAGCACCACGCGAAGATCAGCCCGACGAAGCTGGGCCACCTGGAGCTGCGCCTGCTCGCGGACGAGGCCGGCGGCCTCCTGCACGAGCCGAGCATCACGACCGTGACCTTCTACCGCGGCGCCGTGTCGCAGCTCGCGCTGCGCATGGCGCTGCGGACGCAGCTTTTTAAGGTAGTGTCGAAGAACCCCTGGCTCGCGGGGCGGCTCATAGAGAAGGAGAAGGTCGGCACGTTCTTCAGCTCCCAGAGCGCGGGCATCACGCTGCGCTTCCCGAAGGAGGCGACGGAGGACCACATCTCGCCGCTCTTCGACCACCGCTACGTCGTGCCGGCGCCGCGCAGCGGCTACGCCGCCGTCGCGCGGGCCCTGTACAAGTCGAACCGCGTCGTCGTCGAGCAGGGGCGCAACCTGCTCGACGACGAGGCGCCCGTCTGCAAGCTGACCGTCGCCGAGTCCGAGGAGGAGGGCGTCTTCGCGCTCGTCTTCTCGCTCGCGCACGCCGTCGGCGACGGCCGGACGTACTACGACGTGCTCCGCATGCTCCAGCCCGGCGCCGAGGTGCGGACGCTGCGCGTCGCGCGCGTCCACGCCTTCGGCGAGGCCATGCGCGAGCGGTGCAACCGCGAGGCGCTGGCGTGGGTCGACTCGCCGAGCGCCATGTGCCACTACCTCCCACTGATGATGGGCTGCGGCCGGCGGGCGCGGTGCCACGCGTTTTTCCTGGACCCGGACCGCGTCGCCGCGGCGAAGCGCGCCCAGGCGGGGCCGATCAGCGACGTCGCGCTCGAGGTCGAGGGGCGGCGCGCGGACGCGGGCTTCGTGAGCACGAACGACATCCTGACGAGCGGCTTCTTCACGGCCTGCCGGACGACGATCGGCGTGATGGGCCTCGACTGCCGCGGGCGGCTCGAGGGCATCACGGAGGACCTCGCGGGCAACTACGCGACGGCCCTCGTCCTCGACGAGGGCGTCTTCGAGAGCCCCGCGGCCGTGCGCGCCATGTACGCGACGACGCCCTACGCGACGACGACGCGGCGGCTGCCCGGCTGCTGCTGCGCCGGCCGGGTCAGCTTCGGCCAGGTCTCCGACTGGGCGTCGTTCGCGCACGTCGTCGAGCTCGAGAACTGCGAGACGCTCATCCACCTGCCAGTGAAAAATCCGGCGGAGATCATGTGGGACGAGATGATCCCCTTCAAGAGCCACGCGGACCGGACCGGCGTCCTCTGCTGGACCGTCTCCACGGACGAGGAGGGGCTCCGGAAGGCGCTGCCCGTCGGGGACTGCGTTTCGCGGGAGCTGTTTCCCGGTTGAATTCATCACAGAGGCGTAAATTAAGTTTAACTCATCACAGTCGTCTCGTCGCGCGGTCGGAGGTCGTCGCCCTCGCGCGGCCGCTTCGGCGTGAAGGTCGTCCGCCGCGTGAACTCGAAGACGGCGAGCGCGTGCCCCGGCGGCGTCGGCTCCGCGTCGTCTGGATGAATTTCCACCGCCGCGTACGTCCAGCCCCGCGCCTCCATGATCTGGAGGCCCTTGGCCTCGGCGCCCGAGCCGCAGCGCGGCGACGCGACGACGGCGGCGAGGTGCGGCGACGTTTTGGCGTAGGCGTTGAGCGCGGCCGCGAGGCGGCCGCACTCGCGCGGCGAGTGGAGCGCGTTCGCCGCGACGAGGAGGTCCGTCGGGTCCGCCGCGACGTCGTGGTTGAGGTCGTCCTCGAGCCAGTCGGTGCAGACGTTCTTCACGGTACGCGACACGCCGTTCTTGACGCTCTCCACCCTCAACGCGTAGGCCGCCCGCGGGTCGTCCGAGACGAGCGACACCCACGCGGCGCCCATCTTCGCCGCGGTGAGGCCCGCCGCGCCGGCCTGCGCGCCGAGCTCGACGACGCGCTTGCCCTTTATGCGCGGGCCGTAGCGCCGCAGCAGCGTCAACGCGAGGAGCCGGTCGGCGGGCGTGCCCGCGCCGGCGCCGTAATCCCGCACCAGCACGCAGCCGACCTGCACGCGCTTGTAGTACCTGGCCGGGCCGGGCTCGGTGCCTGGTGGCGGCCCCCCGTCTCGCCGGGCCGGGCCGGGCTCCGTGCCTGGTGGAGGCGGCGCGTCTGTACGCGGCGGACTCATGTCCTCGTCGCTGCCGTCGTCCAAATTGTCGAATTTAGAGTAGTCCGCGAGGCGCGACATTCTTTTTTGTCGTGTGCAGTGTGCCTCTCAAGCGCCAATGCTCGAGAATCCTTGAGAGCTGCTGAAAACGCTATCCAGATTCTGCGCGTGAGGAGAGGAGAGCGCTAAGAGCATCAATGAAGCCCGCTGCAACCCACAATTTTTATAGGCTCTGGCTTTTTTTTCAGGCTAGCGTAATGGGACACACTAGGATCGGGCATCTGCTCTGCGAACACTCCTCATTGCTCACCTCCAGGCCGTTTTGAGCGCCTACCAGTAGCACCAGGCCACTCCTTCTTGCTGCCTCGCACCCAGCGGACCAAGTTTTAAAACGATAAGCGCGTAGAAGACGATGATACGCAGCAGGCTGCTCAGAGCAGGATCTTTGACGGCGTGTGCGACGCTCGCTCTTTTGCGAGCCCCCACGCCGCCGTCGGCGAAGCGCCGCACCGTCCACGCGTCGTCGTCGTCGCGAACCTACCTCGACGACCGCTACGCGCACTGGCGCGCGGACGTCGAGGCGTACGAGGCGCTCGAGGAGCCCCTGGTGCGGGTCGACGCGTCGCCCGGCGCCGGGCTGGGCGTGTTCGCGAAGGAGCGCATCGCCGCCGGGACGACGATCACGGAGTACGTGGGCTGCCTCGCGCCGGCCGCGACGACGCGCTGCGACGAGCTCGAGCTCCAGCAGGAGTTCTACGGCGCGGACTGGCGCAAGTACTCGCAGCGCTACGAGATCGGCCTCGCCGGCACGGCCGTCTCGGACGCCGGCGGCGCCGCGCGCGGCGGCACGATCCGCGACTCGATCACCCAGGACGAGTACTGCGACGTCGACGAGCCGACGGCGGCCTGCGTCGCGCGCGCCGGCGCCGCGGACTTTATTTTGCTGGGCAAGGTGCCGGCCCAGGGCGCCTGCCCCGAGGAGGGCGTGGCGCAGCTCATCAACGACCACACGGCCCTCAAGATGCCGCACACGACGCCCGACCGGCCCATCGCCTCGGCGAAGATCCGCGGCGACGGCGTCATCGGCGCCGAGGACGTGAACGGGCTCGTGCTGACGTCGTGGCACTCCCGCGTGCCGCTTGCCGCCGACGTCGAGCGCATCGAGAGAGTGGTACGGGCCTACATCGCGCGCATCGAGACGCGGAACAACGTCGCGCTCTGCCAGGCCGAGGTGTGCGAGACGGACGACGCCTGCGACCCCGTGCCGCGCGTCTTCGCCGTGGCGACGCGGCCCATCCCGGCCGGCGCGGAGCTGCGCTACACGTACGGCGTCGAGTGGTGGCTCGCGCAGCTGCGGCGCGCCGCGCTGGCGCAGCTCGTGACGTGCCGGCCGTCGCCCGCCCGGGCGGCCGCGCTCGCCAGCGTGATCCGCTCCATCGAGAGAGTCTCGGTGGAGGCGCTTGACGCCCAGGCGAAGGCGGTGGGCCTGGCCGGGTCGATGCCGCGCGCGTTCGTCTCGCCGCTCGAGCCGCTGCCGCCCCTGGACGACTTGCTCTACGTCGACGACGAGGAGAACTGGCGCCGCGCCATCCTGCAGGAGGAGTTCGCCTCGGCGGTGGAGTGCCCCGTCGAGGACATGTACGCCCAGGAGTTCGTTGCCGCTCCGTCCGAAGCCTAATTTGTATATGCGTCGCATTTGTGGTGGTTCTTACCCAGAGTGCGCGGGGGGTGGGGTTGGGGGGGGGGGCGTTCACGTCTCGATGTTGGACCGGTACCCGCCGGCCTTGCGGATGACGTCGCCCATGCGCTTCTGGTAGCCCGCGTGGTAGAGGGGCGAATGGCCCTCGTCGTCGCACACGTTCGGCCCCGCGCCGCGCGCCAACAAGAGCTCGACCAGCGCCGACTTCGCGGCCCCGTACTTCTCAGCTTTCGTGTCGCCGTCGTCGGGCAGCTTCAAGGCGCGGATGAGCGGCGTGTCGCCGTCCGTTCCAGTCTGGTCGAGGTTCAGCTCGGCACCGTCCAACAACTGGAGCACGAACTCGATGGGCGCCCACGAGACGCACAGCGTCAGCAGGTTCTCGTCGCGCAACTGCGCGGTCAGGTCCGACACGGCGAAGAGCGCGCGCACGACCTCGGACACGACCTTCCATTTTTTCGGGCTGTCGTACCCTTTCTCGGACGGCAGTATGTTCTCTCCGAGGGCGACGATGGCGACCAGCGGCGTGACGCGTTCGATTATAGCATGCTTTCCGCACCAGTCGAGTTTCAGAAGCCCGGTCTGCTTGGGGTCGGCCCCGGCCGCGAGTAGCGTTCGGAACAACGCCCCCAGCTTGGTCGCCTTCTCGTCTTCGTCGCGACCGTAACCGCTGACCTCCGTTTGAGCTCGCGCGACGGCGTAGTGGAGCGCGCCGCGCCCGCGCGAGTCGACGACCGTCGCGTCCGCGCCCAGGCTAAGAAGAGCGGAGATGCGCTCCTCGTCCATCCACGCCACCGCCTGGAGGAAGGGCGTCGCCCCGTCGGCAGATGCCTGGTTGAGGTTGCCACCGGCCGCGACGCACGCCTCCACCATCGAGAAGATCCCCGCAGGATCGCGAGGGCCCGAGTAGCTGCTGTAATAGTAGCGGTCGCGACCGTTGTCGCGGCTCGCGACGTCCAGGGCCTGCTGGCTGCCCTGCTTCAGGAGCCGATGCAACACCGTCTCGCCTTTTTCCGAATCTTGAGTGTGCACGTCGGCCGGCCGCGCTTGTAGGAGAGCGTCGAAAAACGCGCGCCGCTCGCGGCGCCACGCCTCGCTCTCGGTGCCTCCAGAGTACCAACCGCGTTCCTTCCGGTCGCTGCTTGCCGTGACGACCCGCGAAAGGATGCTCGGCTTCCCGGGGACTCTGATGGGCGCGCCCGCGGCCATGAGGAGCGGCCCGTAGGCCATGCGGCAGATGCTGAGGATCGAGCAGCCCGTGGGCGTGAGTTCCTTGACGCGCGCACCCGCTTTGACGAGAGCCTTAACAATACGTTCGCTCGGTCGCTGCACGGCGGCTAGTAGGGCGGTGTCGCCCTCGTTATCGAAGGCGCGGCCGCGTCCAGAGGCGCCGTGAAGGTGAGCCCAGGCCTGCACCGAGTGCCGGACGAGCGCCCTCGGGTTACTGGCCGAACGCAGAATGGTGTCGACGAGGACCTCCAGAGCCTCGAAGTCGTCGGCGTCGTTCACCTCGGGCGGCATGGTGCACACGGCCTCAAACAGACACGTCGTGGCGCATCGGCGCGTGAAGGGCGGCTCGCGGTAGCCGTACAGCGAGCCCGTGGACACGTTGTAGTCCAATTGGACGCTGATGTGCTTGTCCACGGAAGCGCCGCCCGCGACGAGCGCGAGCGCCAACGCCGCGTTCTTCTCCTTCAGCGCTTCGAAGAGCGGCGTCGCCTCGATCTTAATGATCGGGTTCGCGTGCCACCCTTGTTTCTTCTCGATCGTTTCCGGCACGTCCGGGTCCGCACCCGCGACGAGGAGCATGCGAACCACATCGGGCGCATTGACCAAACCCAGCGCGTGGCGGAGAACCGCGGACGAGTTTCCGCGAACGCCGCGCGCGAGCAGGTCCTGCAGGACCGACGCGTCCGCGTCGTCGATGGCGTCGAGGATCTGCTGCGTCCCGTTCGTCGTGAAGGGCGCGCCGCCGCACGCGGGGCAGAACCACTCGTCCGGCAGCTTCTTCTCGTTGAGGGGAGGCGAGACGCAGGCCGGGTGCGCGGCGCCGGTCTCGCAGCCGTCGCACAGAACGAGCAGGCCGTCCTCGCGGCCGCAGCAGCCGCACGCGCCTTCCGCGAGGCGCGCCGCGAAGCGCGCGTCGGCGTCGGCTTTGGTCGTGCCGAAGGCCTTCCGCCGGTCATTCTCGAGGTACCGGTCGAACGCGGGACCGATCCTCCGGAGCCGGCCCGACAGAGCCGTGTTGAAACTGTTCGCGTCGTCGATCGTGGAGAACGGCACGACCTCTAGTAGCACGCGGTCGGTAACGACCGTCAGGGAGGGGCGGCTGCTCGTGGCCGCAGGAGGCCGTCCCGGGTGCGGAGACCGGCCCGTGGCCGGCGGCTCGCCGCGTAGGGCCCGCCCGAGCGCGGCGCGGTCCCAACCGATGCAGTCTCCGTGGCGTTTGAGCTGGAAGGCCTCGGGCGTCGCCGCCGCGTCGAGCTTGCGCACCTCGTCGAAGAGGTCGTGGCCCTGGCGCCGCGCCGTCGTGTCGTCGTACCACGACACAAAACTCCACGGCGGAGAGCCCGCCACGTGCGCCAGGTCCGCGAGAATCTCGCGCTGGGCGACCTCAAAGGCCGCCCGGTCGCCTGCCGCGACCGCCGCGTCCATGCGCATGTAGGCTTCGAGGCGCCGAATAGTCTTTTGGCGGCCGAGCGTCGCCTTGCGGAAGTGCGGCATGTAGCTGGTGCCGCCTTCTACGTCGAGGTCGAGCTTGGCTGCGATCGCGGCCGGAACGACGGCCTGGAGCTTGTCTCGCGCGTCCGCGGGGATGCTGAGGCGGACGCCCTCGACGTATTCGTCGTCGGCGCGGACGCCGCAACCGATCCCGCCGTCAGGGTAGTCGCCGCGCGGGGAATAGGTGTTGTAGTAGCCGTACTGGTAAGTACCGGTCAGGAATGTCTGCGCGTCCTCGCCGCCCGCGCCGTCGACGATTGTGAATTGCGCCGAGCCGCCGCCCTCGACGGCGCAGGTGATCCGGCCGTACGTGTCGTATTCGCCGCCGACCTGTGTGGAAATCAACCGGTGCGTCGGGTGCACCCGACAATTCTTCACTAAGTCATTTCTCGGCGATGACGCGGCCGTCCTGGCTCGGTCGAGCGGTGAGGAACCGGCATCGCCACGCCATCGAGCGGGCGTCGCGTCGATGGTGTGAAGGACCACGCGAATCACGCGATGATTCAGCACGAACGCGCCGTGATTTCCACACAGCCGCCGACGTACACAACCGAGCCGTCCAGGAGCTTGAACTGGGCAACGTAGAGGTCGGTCCAGTCGCACTGGTCCCGGCCACTGCCCGTGGCGGTGCACTCGCAGGCGAATTGGCCCATTTAAAAACGCTCAGCGGTTTTTTTACTTTTGCACGACGTCTCGACGAAATATCTAGCGCCGCTCCAGCGAAGCTGTAGCTCAAAATACCGCAGAACTGCCGCGTTTGATTTCCTGGCGGTACGGCTTCCCAATAGTAGCTTCTAAGTTGTTCCGGCGCGCCGGGCTGAAAACCCGTACATTACTTGCTTGACATTTACAACACACTAGAATCTACTCGAAGACACGTTCCGACGAGTCCCACCACGTCCACCACGCCGCCAAGCCCGCCAATTGCACCGCAGAGATCGTGAGCAACACGGGCGCGAAGTCGTTGTTCGTCGCGTCGAGCGCTGCACCCGTGAGGTATTGACCGGACGCGCCCGCAATAACAGCGGCGATCGTCGTGACGCCATAAACGAGCGACGCGTCGCGCTTCGAGATGTCCTGGATGCCGACGCCGTGCCCCGCGCAAGAACACGCGTGCGTTGCCACGGCACACACCAGCAATGCCTCTGCGACCGGTTGCGTGAGCATGTCGCCCTGCTCTAGAACAGCAAGCGCGGTCAGTGACGCCGCGGGCCCGAGAGTCGCGACACTCTGCGCGTACTTGCGCGTCCGAGTCAGCCCGATCGTCGGCGCGATGGCGTCGGAGGCCGTCCCCGCGCCGACGGCCGCAATTGCGCCCGCAACGAATGGCAAGAGCGACGCTGTCGACGCGCTGCCCGTGCTATCTCCAAACACGTCGACGAAAAAGGAGGGCAGCCAGGCGACCGAAAAGTACAGAAACACATTTGAAGCGGCATGGGCCGCAGCTAGTGCCCACACGGGCTCCGACGACGCGAGGCGTCGCCAGGGAAGCGCCCGAGGCTCTTCTTTAACAGGTGCCGCGGCCTCGCTCGCGCCGGCGGTCGCGAGCCATACGAACGCCAATAACGCGCCGCCGCCGCCGCATGCGTAGAAAGCTGCGGGCCACCCGCCCCAGTCAATAATCGCGGGTGTGAGCGCGTAGGCCGCAATTGTACCCAGCGACAACGACGCTGTGAGGAAGCCCCAAAAACGTGATCGGTCCTCTGCGGCGACGCCCGTCGCCGCGATGACCTGCAGCGACGGCAGGCACGCGGCCTCGCCCACACCCATCGCGGTCCTGCTCGCGAGGAGCGGCGCTATGCCCATCGGCGCGGCCGGCGCGGTCGCCGCCTGGGCCAGGGACCACGCCAGGAGCCCGCCTCCGAGCGTGCGCCGCGGGGCGCCCGTTTTTGAGACCAGTGCTCCGGCCGGCGCGATACCTAAGCCGTACCCGAGCGAGAAGGCGGCAGCGATCAGACCCTTCATGGTCTCGCTGAAGCCGAGGTCGGCCGCCATCGGTATGATCGCGACGCCCATCACCACCCGATCTAGCGAACAGAACGAACCGATGGCGCAGCAGAGGGCGAGTTGGACGGCGGCGCTGCCAGGCGCGGGCGTCGTTGGCGACGCCGCGACTTCGGCGCTGACCACGACCTCTGATCTCGTCGTCGGTGGTCGCGCTGCTGCGAGCACTGTCCTCTCTTTCGGTGCTGCAACTGTCCTCGCCCCCCGACCACGGCTGCGGCTGTCACTCAGGGTGGGCTGCAGGCTCCAGCCTCCAACTTGGCAGGCAAATACGATGCATATTTGCAAAAAACTTTGCATGTTTGTTTCGATCCAATTGAAAACAAGTCCACACAGCTTGTTTGCGCCTTTTTTTCATAGATACCGCGTACCGCTCATACAACATGGGGGAGCTGGCAATGTGCACGAGGAGGCATACGAGGCGTTCGAGACGAACAACTGGTACAACGACATCTCCACGCGTGATAGATCTCGCGAGGGTGCAGAGGGAAGCAATAGACCTGTCCCGTAGGTTTCAAAAACCCGAATAAATTCGTTTTGGCACTTGGCACGCCTCCGCGCCCCGCGCTCTGGGGCGGCTGGGAGTGCGGACTGCGGCCGGACGCAGTACCGTGCAGCCGCCGGAGCGCTAAAATTGGACATCAATAGCCTACCGCAAGACCGGTCTCTGGCATTCGCCGAGAGTCTTTTGGCACTCCATAGTCAAAAGAGCGGGTAAAAAAGACTCGCGCCACTGCTGCAAAGGCCGTAAAAATGGGCGTCTCCGACGACCGCCCGCAGCGCGAGGCGGCGCAGGTCGAGCCCGGCGCCTTCGCCGGCGACGGCGCCGGCGAGTACCGCGGCCGACTGTGTGGAAATCAACCAGTGCATCAGGTGCACCCGACAATTCTTCACTAAGTCATTTCTCAGCGATGGCGTGGCCGCGCTGGTTCCGTCGAGCGGCGAGGAATCGGCATCGCCACGCCATCGAGCAGGCGTCGCGTCGATGGCGTGGAGGACGACGATGTGCTGAATCGAACGCGTCGTAAAATTTTGATTTCCACACAGGCGGCCATCCCGACAACTGGGCCAAGCAGGGCGCGGCGGCGGCGCCGAACGGCGGCGACCCGGAGGGCCCGGCGCACGCGCCCGTCGACAAGGACGCGCCCTACGACATGCCCAGCATCCCGCGCGCGGGCGCCACGGACGCGGACTTCGCGGCGGGCACGACCGTCGAGCGCGTCGTCGGCCACGACGAGTGGCGCGCGCTCGTGCCGGAGATGGTCGCCGTCTGCTTCGAGGCCGCGAAGCGGCTCCTGAAGCCCTGGGAGCAGATCCTGGAGCCGCCCCTCTCGGCGGACTACGTCGCGGAGCGCATCGTCCTCGCCCCCTCGCCGCCCGAGGGCTACGTCGCGCGCGAGCGCGGCGAGCGGCGGCGCATGCAGGGCTTCGTGCTCATCTGCGACTTCTGCACCTTCTCCAAGTCGCTGCGCTGGACGTCGACGCACCCGGCCGCGCTCGCCGGCACGTTCGACGTCCTGCCGCACGAGCGCGTCGCGCGGCGCCGCGCCGCGTGGCCGCCGCGGAACGCGTCGGCCGCCGAGGTCGCCGACGGCGCCGCCGGCTGCCACCGGTCGTCGATGGAGGCCCGGACGCTGCGCAAGGTGGACGACTCGGGCGCCGTCGCGCGCGCCCTGGAGGCGACGGGCCCCTGCGACACGCGCGAGCCGCGCGACAAGGAGTACGGCGACGCCATCAGCGTCTGGCCGAAGCTCGCCGAGGTCGCCGTGCTCGGCGCGCTGGGCTGCGGGCGCCGCCTGCTGGACAAGGCGCTGGCGGACTGCGCCGCGAACGACCGCCACGCGCACGCCGTGCTCCACGCGACGAAGGACGCCGTGAAGTTCTACGAAAAGGTCGGGTTCGTCCGCGTCGGCGCCGTGTCGCGCTTCCGCGACCGCGCGGACGTGCCGCAGCTCGCGTACCGCCACTGGACGCGGCGCGTCGACGAGGTGTCGTACATGATGGCGCGGCCCCTCTCGGCCGTCGACGACGCGCCGCCGCCGCCCGTCTCGCGGCGGCGCCTCTCGCGGCGCCACGCCCTGGAGCTCGTGCACACGTGCATGTACGGCGACGTCATGGCGCCCGGCGGCGCGACGGCCTTCCGCGAGTGCCTGCTCCTCGCGATCGGCTACGCGTCGGAGGGCGGCGCGCCGGACCGGCCGCTGGCGCTGGCGCTGGCGGCGGCGCTGTCGGTGTTCCGCGCCGACATTCCCGACAAGACGCTCTCGATCCTGCGGGCCAAGGTCCTCCCCGCGCTCTCGAACGAGTCCGACGACGACGACGACGGCGCGGGCGACGACGACGCGCTGCGGTCTTTGCCTGTGTGGAAATTAAACCATCGAGACGACGTCGCGTCGATGGCGTGGGGCGTCCGAAATTTGATTTCCACACAGGTCCTTGCTCCGGGCGCCGGGCGTGCCCTGGCTCGGACCGCCCTTGCTCCGGGCGCGCGTGGCGAAGCGCAAGGTCGTTGTGCGCCTCAGGTCGGACTCGCTGGTGCGAGTGGGTGTAGAAATCAAATTACGCGGCGCTTCTCGGATACGGCTGCATCATAACCTCCACGCCATCGACGCGACGCTTGCTCACGGATCGATTTCCGCACAGGTGCGGGCCGTTCCCACGGACGCCGCGAACTGCCTCTTTCGCGTGCGGCTGGCCACGAACCCGCGGCCCGCGCTCGCGCGCGCCTACCTGTCGAAGACGAAGCGCCGGAAGCTCTTGCGCGGATGAACCGTGATACCACTTAATTATACTATTTATACCTCGCGCGGCGGCCACTCGGCGCCCGGGACGTCCCACCGCTCGAACGGCGCGCGGCGGAGCTCGGCCGCGGCCGCGGCGACGGCGTCCGCGCCGCCGGCGCCGCAGCGCGCGACGCGGCGGAACGGGCCCGGCGCGAGCCGCGCCGCGCGCCGGTTCATGTGCTCGTACTGGCCGTGCTGCGACCAGCCGCCGTTCCGGTCGCCGAGATGGAACGTGTGGTGCGCGCCGCGGATCTCGCGGTACTTCGTTCCGAAGACGCAGCGGAGCGCCTCCATGACGTGCCTCCCGACGGGCGGGTAGCCCACGAATACATTCCGCACAAACAGGGACACGAGGGGCGTCCGGTCTCGCCGCCAGAAGAAGCAGTCGTAGCCGGCGTGGCGCTGCGGCCGCTTCCGGCCGAGCGCGTAGAGCGTCTCCAGGTCCGCGGGCCCGTACGGGCGGCCGTTCGCGTCCTTGTCGTCGACCTCGACGCGGTTGATCACGAAGGCGTCGGAGGCCTTCGCGTAGGCGGCCGCCTTGACGTAAAAGTCCTCCTGCACGGCGATGTCCGCGTTCGTGTAGCCGAGGAACCGCGCGCCCTCCGTCTCCCGGTAGGCGTTCTCGAAGATTTCCGTCACGAAGGGCAGCCGCCGCTCCGCGACACCGCGCCGCCCGAGCTCGTAGGCCTCGAACGCGTGGCGCGTCAGGTTCGCCACGGGCTCGAACGCCGCGGGCCGTCGGATCCGCGCCTCTCCGGCGAACTCGCAGGTCAGGAGCCGCACGCCCACGCCGCGGGCCCGCGCGTACGCCGCAGCCCGCGCGAGGGCCGCGAACGTGACCTCGACGTCGGCGTGGAGCCCGTGGCCCGCCGGCATCGGGTTGATCACGTGCGCAAAGGTGATGTCCGGCGGTGGTGGCGGCGGCGGCGGCTCAGCGGCAGCTGGCCGCACGCGCGGGGGCGTCGCCGCGTCGCGTACCGCGCCGTCGGCCGCCGCTGGCCGCTCGCGCGGGGCAGTCGCCGCCTCGCGGCGCCGCGCGGTCTCCGCGCGATACGCCGCGAGGTCGGCACGGAGCGCTGCGATGGCTCGGCCCTGCTCGCGCGCGAGATTGAGCGCCGCCGCGGCCGGCGCCGGGTTGGCGGTGTCGCGCCGTGCGGCCCACCACGGCACGAGCACCGCGAGCGCCGCGAGCAGCGGCAGCACGAGTCGGAGGCGACGCATACCCGCGGCGCGTCAAAGGCTGCCCCAAGCCCTTGGGGCAGCATTGGTGGTCATTGCTGGATTTTGACCACTGGACGCGCCTTCGACGCTAGCGGCGTAAGACACTAGCAAACAGGAGCTTTTTGAGTCCAGAGGCTGGCTCGACTCGACGGTCGAAGTAAGTAGCTGTTACTCGACGGCAGAGGTGCGTCTGAACCGCGCCGAAAAACTAAGGCCTTTACTCCAGAAAACTCGAGGCGACAAAACGTCGACGGGATAAGTTACGATGCTAGAACGGTTTAATACTGTAAATTATTATTAGAGTCAGCTGTTCCCGGGCACATGCTCAGGGGTGGGGGTGCGGCGGGGTTGTCCTCCGAAAATGGAGTCCCGCTTGGCGATGGTTGCTCGAATGTTTCACGAGGGCGCCTCATCAGAGAGAGAAGGGGGCTCCGGTGCCGGGGCCCGGGGCCGGGGCCGGAGCAGCAGAGACCGGGCGCGAAGCGGCGGGGGCGTCCGGGACCGGCGCAAGGTCCAGCCTGTGTGGAAATCAACCGGTGTTTCGGGTGCACCGACAATTCTTCACGAAGTCATTTCTCGGCGATGGCGTGGCCGCGCTGGCTCCGTCGAGCGGTGAGGAACCGACATGGCCACGCCATCGAGCAGGCGTCGCGTCGATGGCGTGAACGACGACGCGGCGATTCAGGACGAACGCGCCGTAAATTTGATTTCCACACAGGGTCCAGCAGGCCGGCGACCGCGATCGAGAGAGAATGGGGCTCCGGCGGCGCCGGCGGCGCCGGCCAGGCCCCGGCGTAGGCGGGCTCCGGACCGGTGTAGGGCCCCGCCAGGGCCGGCGCGCCGTAGGACGACGGGACCGGAGCCATCAGCGTCGGCGGAGGGTCCGGGGACGCCGTCCGCGAGCGCGAGCGCGAGCGCTTCGCGGTCGGCGAGCGGCGACCGGCGGACGCCTGCGCCGTGGTGGTGGCGTCGACGAGGGACTGCGGCGTGGGCAGGTCGTACGTGCCGCAGAGGCTCGTCGTCAGCTTCGCGCCGTCGTCCCGGACGCGCCGGTGGAACGCGCGCTCGAGCGTCCGGAGCCGCTCGAGGGCCGCGGGCCTGTGTGGAAATCAACCAGTGAGTTAGGTTATCCTGAGAAATATTGCGTGGACTTCGTGAACCTCCACGCCATCGAACCGACGCGGTCACGGGCGACAACGTCGCGTCCATGGCCTGAAAACTCCACGCCATCGCGCAGACGCAGCTACGGAAAGCACGTCGCGTCGATGGCGTGGGGCGCCCGAAATTTGATTTCCACACAGCCGCGGGCTCCGGCGCGGCGGTGCGGCGGTAGCGCCCGCGCGGGAGCGCGTTCCTGCCCGAGAATTTCTTCGTGATGCCTGAGCGCAAATCCACCGATGAGTCAGCACGGAAGTTTGATTTACACACCGTGTGATGCGCATGGGACTGCAGTTCAGGACCGTCGAGAGGAGGACGCGGAGCGACGTGTTGTCGGGCACGTTCGGGAGGCGCCCCTCGCCGAACCTCAGGATGACCTCGGTCACGTACTGGCGCTCTTCCGTGCCTGCGCGCAAATCGAGCAGCGTACTACATGAAGAGCACCCCGGCGCGTCGACGGCGTCCTCGACATTTGATTGTCGCGCCGCGCGGTACGCCACGTGCCGACGCGCTGCCCGTCGTCCGGCCGCGGGCGCCTCGTCCGCGGCTGCGATTCCTCCACCGCCGGCGCGGCGGCCGGAATCTCTTGAGCTGCCAGCAAGGGCGCGGCTGCCGCTGGCGTTCCCGGTAGTGCTACATCCGCGGCCTCGGCGGGCGGCGCCGCGCCGGCAGGATCATCCGCTGCCCCTCCTTCGTGCGTCGCCGCAGCCGAGGCAGCCCCAGGGACGTTTCCAGCCGCAGCCCCTCCTTCGTGGGCCGCGTCTGGCGGCAGCGCTGGCCCCGGCGCGCCCGCGTGCCTGTCGGCACCCTCATTGGTGAAGCTTTCCATGCAGGTCGCGATGGCCCTCACGCGCCTCGCAGGGACGAGGCGGGCTGCTAGGATCGCATCGCGCCGTTTATATATGCTAGTTCTCTAGATCAGAGTGTGTGCACGGACAAGACAACCCAAGAGTTTCAATCACACACTCACATTGATCTCTGACTGACTGGATGTCAACTTTAAAAAACAGGGCACCTGGAGATCACCCGTGCCCCGCAGCGGCGCGGCGCGAGCCGTCTCCGGACGAATAAATTCAAAAGCGGGCAAGCTGGCGACGCTTGCCTCAAGAGGACGCAGCCATTAGCGATCGGGATGGCACCGCCCGCCGGGCATTGGCTGCTACGTGCGATTAATGATGGCGTTTAAAGATGCGGCGCGGCGCGAGAGACGAAAACCCGTCCACTTTCTCACAACTTGGGAACTTGGGCTGCCTCCGCGGCAAAGACGCCTGTTCGGGCAACCTGACGAGCCCACACTAGTAAAGCCTGACGAGAACGCTAGGCTGCAGGGCCAAAAGCTAAGCTAAAACTGGGCTGCATTTGCAGGCGAAGCTTCCGGCCCTTCCAGGATGGCCGACCTCTTCAACAGCGACAGCGACAGCGACATCGAGCCGGCGAGCGCCGAGGCGCGCGGCGCGGTCCTCGACCGGCTCCGGAGGCAGGCGGACGAGACGTTCGCGCGCGGCCCCGTCGTGGGCCCGACGGCCATCGAGCTCCACTGGCGCCGCGTCGGCCGCGCGTTCGCCGAGGTGACGCTGTCGCTCGCGAGCGCCGGGTCCTACACGCTGCGCTGGTCGGTGCCGGGCGTCGCGACGCCGCCGCAGACGGCGACGGGCCGCTGGCGGCGGGACGGGAGCGCGCTGACGCTGGCGCCCTGCGTCGACGAGCTCTCCGCGTACGAGTGGCTCGACGACGGCAAGCTCGTCGTGACCGTCGACGGCGAGGCCCACGTGTCGCTGCCGCCGCGGCACGTCGTGAAGGGGCCGTGACTAAGACCAAAAACAGATAGGTTACTTATAGGGCTCGGCCTCGGCGCGCGAGATGCGCGGCACGCCGCGCGAGTGCTTCACGCGGAAGGCCGCGAGCGCGACGCCGAACGCCTGCAGCGCGGACATGGGGTGCCGGAAGTCGAGCGCGAACGTCTTCGGCGCGAGCTTGCCGAGCTGGAACACGGCGGCCTCGGCGTCGTCGCGCCGCTTCGGGTCCCGGAGCGCCTCCGCCGTGTAGACGAGAAAGTTTTTCGAGGACGACGCGCGCACGCGCTTCCGGCCGAAGTGGAGCGACAGGCAGCCGAGCTGCCGGTTCCAGACGGGCAGCTTCGAGTGGAGCGCGACGCGCGTGGCCGCCGTCTGCGCGGGGGTCGCGTCGTCCTCCGCGCGCCGGCCGGCGCGCGGGCTGAAGGCTGAAGGCCGAAGGCGGACGCCGGGCGCGGACGGGCTGGCTGTTCCAGTCGTGCGTGTAGTGCGCCGTCGGCGCGGACTCGGGCAGCGCGATGGCGAGGCGCCGGAGCTCGGCGCCCTGGCGGTCGCACCAGACGCTCGAGGGCCGCACCTCGCAGAGCGGCCGCGCGGCCCGGCCGCGCTGCGCCGAGACCAGGACGAGCTCGAAGACGGGCGCCTTGTTCCGGCCCTCGCGCGGCGCGACGACGGCGACGACGTTCTTCGGCGCGGCCCGCGCCGCGGCCTGCGCGTCGGCGAAGGGCCGCGGGAGCGGGAGCCGCGTGCTGGCGACGAAGGCCTCGGCCGTCGACACGTAGCAGACGCCGCCGACGACGCGCGCGCCGAGCATGAACGCGCCGTCCTCGGCCCGCAGCTCGAAGCGGTCCTTGCGCGGCCGCGACACGCGGCAGGGCACCCAGTTCGGTCGCCGCGGTGTCGGCACGGGGCTCGGCGTCAGCAGCGCGGGCGACACGAACTCGTGGCTCTGGCCGGCCTCGAGGGCCTCGAAGTCCTCGAAGGCGATCGGGCCCACGGGGCTCTTCGAGGGCGGCGCGGCCTTGAAGCCGGCCAGGGCGAGGGCCGCCATGCCGAAGCGAGGGCTGAGCCCAGGCCTTCCAGTGAGCCTGCTCCCAAAACGCTGCCTTTCGCGTCGACGACGCGCGCGCTGCCGAGGACGGGGCCTGGCCCTCCCAAACGACTGCGAGCTGGCAGCCGCGCCGCTCTCGTGCCGGATTGGAGGCTCGACGAGGGCCGCTGCTGGACGCGACCCCGACCTGCCGTCGCAGCCGAGGGCTCGCTCTGCGGCAAAGCTGATGCGGGGACGTCTCTCGCGCGTGGAAGCGCCCTTCATATTGTCTTGGGGGGCTGCAAGCGCCCGGCTGCCCCGGACGAGTGCGCGCGCGATCCCGGGCGCCGCACCGCTGCGCCACGGCGTGGCGGGGTCGTTCTGGCAAGAGGGCGAGCGCTCATATTTTGTAAGGCTAGGGGGTTTTCTTCCGTCCGCTGGAGAGACCTGGGCGCAGCGACCAATAACCTGCCAAAAAACCCACACCCGCGCCGGCTGCACGGTCGCAACGGGGTGGTACGCGCTTCTTTGCTGCCCGGGAGACGCAGGGCAGCGAAGAGCGTGCAGGTAGTGCTGCAGAGGCGCTCCAGGGACAGCCACAGGCTAGCCAGGCTGGATTTAGGGCGTGCCGCACGCTGCGCAGGAGAAGACCGACTCCTGAGCAGCGCGCCCCACGGCCTAAAGCGCCCAAAAAGCGAAGCTTACATACCCGAAGAGTAGGCACCAAAAAATGCAGCCCCTCCGCGGGCTGCTCGTATTATTTGCCGCGGCGCGCGCGGAGCTGCGCGTGCCGTCGGCGCCGACGGACGCGCTGCTGGAGATCGTCGGCGGCGACAGCGTCGAGGTGGCCTGGGCGCCGCCGCTGAGCGACGGCGGCGCGGCCGTCCGGAGCCGCGTGGAAAGCAAAATTTTACGACCTCCACGCCATCGACGCGACGCCTGCTCGATGGCGTGGCGGTGTCGGTTCCCCACCGCTCGACGGAGCCAGCGCGGCCGCATCATCGCCGCGAAATGACTTCGTGAAGAATTATCGGGTGCGCCCGAAACACCGGTTGCTTTCCACACAGGTCCAGAGCTACCAGGTCGAATGGGACACGAACCCCGGCGTGGCCGAGGTCCAGACCGTGACGACGAGCACGTACCTGGGCGCGAACGAGCTCCAGACGATCCGCACCTTCGGCAAGGACCTGTGTGGAAATCAACCAGTGCGTCGGCGTCGCGTCGATGGCGTGGAGGACGACGCGACGATTCAGCACGAACGCGCCGTAAAATTTTGATTTCCACACAGGCAAGGACGTGGACGAGATCCAGCTCGTGCGGACGCTCGCGCGGCCGCACCGCGAGGAGCAGTGGGTGACGGCGACGGCGCCGGCCGGCTCGACGCTGGCGGGCACCTTCGCGCTGGCCCTGGACACGCGGCCGACGGGCGGCACGCTCCAGTACACGGGCGCCATCCCCGCGTCGGCCGCGGCGTGCTGCGGCCGGACGTCCGTCCTCGCCATGGTCGAGGCGCTGCAAAACGTGGGCCTCGGCATGGTCACCAAGGTGAAGCGCGAGGACGTCTCCATCGACGGCCGCGCCGGCTTCCAGTGGCAGATCCAGTTCAACGAGACGCTCGCCGACCTGCCGCAGCTCCAGGTCCTCGACGCGTCGGGGCTGACGCTCGGCTCGACGGTGACGGTGGCGACGGAGACGGAGGGCAACGCCATCAGCGGCACCTTCCGCCTGACCTTCGGCGGCGACACGACGGCGCTCATCGCCGCGGACGCGACCGCGGGCGAGGTCGAGGACGCGCTCGAGCTCCTGGACACGGTCACGGACGTGACCGTCGTGCGGGGCGACGCGCAGCCCTTCGGCGGCTTCAGCTGGTGGGTGACCTTCGTCCACGACGACCAGGGCGGCGACCAGCCGCTCCTGACGCCCGTCTACGAGGGCACGCTCCTGGGCCTGAGCGGCGACCCCTGGGTCGAGACCTCCGAGGTGCGCGCGGGCAACACGCTGAGCGGCAGCTTCAACGTGAGCTTCGCGGGCGTCGACGGCGTGCACCCCGGCACGACGGTGATCCAGCACGACGCGACCGCCGAGGACGTCGTCGAGGCCCTGACGCGCCTGCCGGGCGTGCCGGCGGGGACGGTGGCCGTCTCGCGGAGCGGCCCGGACCCCGAGAACGGCTACGTCTGGACCGTGTCGTTCCTCGACGACGCCGAGCGCACGTGGGAGAAGGACCTCGGCGACGACTTCGACTTCGAGATCGCCTCGACGGCCAACCTCATCGGCGTCGACGCGCGGGCCAAAATCGAGGTGCTCCGCGAGGGCACGATGAAGGAGATCCAGCTGCTCAACGTGACGCGCGGCGGCGGCAACGACACGAAGAACGACTACTTCTACCTCGAGTTCGGGGGCCAAATTACGGGCAAGATCTTCGCCGCGTCGGACCCCAAGACCGGCGAGTGCGGCGACGCCGTCCCCGAGGTGCAGCGCATCTCGAGTCGGACGGTCGACACGACGGCGAGCGGCGGCGACGCCGCCGTGTCGCCGCGCACGACCTTCCGCCTCGGCTACGGCCGCGAGACGACGGGCTACATCTACGCGGCCAACGGCGGCGACTGCTCCGTGGCCGGCGCCAAGATCGAGGCCGAGCTCGAGGCCCTGGACGCGTTCTACGAGGTCGACGTCGCGTCGTCGGCGACGCTCGGCAGCCACGAGTGCGACTGGGACGTCACCTTCAGCACCACGGCGGGCAACCTCGACGAGCTCTCCATCTCGGTGAGCCGCGACGCGGCGGGCCCCGAGGACGGCCCGTCCAGCAGCGCGCAGGCGGGCGACGACACCATGACCGTCGCGACGACGACCGAGGGGCGGACCGACATCGTCCAGTCCGAGCTGGAGGCCCTCAGCACGATCGGCCGCGTCACGGTCTCCGTGGAGTCGGCCGGCGTCAAGGACGACGGCTCGGAGGGCATCGAGTGGCTCGAGAAGCGGCGCACGGGCACGTGCCTCTACCGCGTCACGTTCGACACGAACGCCGGCGACCTGCCCATGATCGCCATCTGCGGCGACCCGAACTGCGCCGTCAACCACCGGTCGAACGTCGACGGCCAGGGCGTCCAGAACTTCCAGCGCGGCGTGTCGTTCCTGCCGTACGACAACAAGAACTCGACGGCGAACGTGACGCTCGTGCAGAAGTCGACGAGCGTCGCCGTGAGCGGCGACTTCGCCCTGGAGTTCCGGGGCCAGCGGACGGGCTACCTGCCCTACACGTCGTCGGCGTACGACGTCGAGGCGGCCCTCGAGGCCCTCTCGACGATCGGCTCCGTCGCGGTCAGCCGCACGGCGCCCGACGAGAACGGCGGCGCGACGTGGTCCATCACGTTCCTCACGGAGCTCGGCGACGTGCCGATGCTGACCGCGGACGACCTCGACATGACCGGCACGGCCGTGTCGGCCACGACGTTCCTCCAGCGGCAGGGCGTCTTCCCGCCCTTCAACTCCCTGGACCCGCTCAACGGCCTGCCGCTCGGCTCGGCCGCGATCACGGACCTGGCGGACCTGGACCTGACGATCTCGAAGCTCGAGACGCGCGTGCCCTACTACGTGCGCGTGGCGGCGGTCAACGCCCTGGGCCAGGGGCCCTGGACGATGACGACGCCGCCCTACGTGGCGCCGACGCCCTTCCGGCCCGGCGCGCCCGTGAACGTGTCGCTGGCCGTGCTCGACGCGACGTCGCTCCGGCTCTCCCTCGAGGACCCGGTCCGGGACGGCGGCGACGCCGTCGACTCGTACCGCGTCGAGTGGGCCGGCGAGCCGTTCGTCGACGAGGTCCAGGCCGTGCGCCTCTCGATGAACGCGACGACGGAGGTGCAGGTCGTGCGGACGGAGCTGCCGGCCTGGCGGAACTTCTCCGAGGTCCAGCTCATCCACCTGAAGCTCGACGACGACTTCGACGGCACGTCGCCGGCGGGCGGCACGTCGCGCCTCGAGACGCAGCTCGTCGAGTGCGACGCGTCGGGCGGGAGCTTCACGTTCACGTTCGACGGCCTCACGACGCGCAGCATCGCCTACAACGCGAACCCCGCGGTCGTCGAGGCCGCGCTCGAGGAGCTCACGAACATCAACGACGTGACCGTGACGTTCACGGGCGTCGGCGGCGGCGCGACGACGGCGTGCATCGACGGCGGCGACGGGCGGCTCGTCGTCGAGGACGGCCACTCGCCGCACGTCGGCTACGAGGCGGCCATGAACATCACGTTCAACTCCGTCACGGACTACGTGGGCCCCGTGCCCGCGCTCGTGGGCAACGTCAACAACCTCGAGGGCCTGCGGCGCATCGACGTCTACCGCAACCGCGAGGGCATCGCCGGCCTCGGCGGCACGTACAAGCTGCGCTTCCGCGGCGAGACGACGGCGGCCATCTCGTTCCAGGCCACGGACAAGGAGGTCGAGGCGGCGCTCATCGCCCTCGACACGATCCAGGCCCTCGAGTCCCAGGGCGTCACGGGCGTCAACGTCTCGGACTGGTCGTCGGACATGGCCGCGCCCTACAGCGCGAACGAGCGCCTCTATGCGGTCGAGTTCCGCGGCTCGGGCGTCGGCGGCAACGTCGAGGCCCTGCAGATCGCCGAGGACAAGCTGACCGGGAGCGGCGCGCACCTCAAGCTCTACGCGGACGGCGCCGAGACGGCGGCGGACGTGCGCCACTGCGTGTACTGCGCCTCGCGGAGCGGCGTCGAGCTCGGCGGCACGTTCACGCTGACCCTGCGGCGGCACACGACGGAGCCGATCGAGTACAACGCCGCGGCGTCGACGATGAAGGCGCGGCTCGAGCAGCTGCCGAACGTCGGCACGGTGGACGTCGTGCGGTCGGCGCCGGGGCCGCGCCGCGAGTACGCCTGGACCATCTCCTTCGTGAGCAACCCGGGCTACTGGCCGGCGAACGCGCGGGACGTCGCCATGCTCGTCCCCGACGACACGACGCTCCTGCCGCTCGGCGCGAACTTCTCGCGGAGCGGCGTGAACGACGGCGTCCAGCGCGGCACGACCTTAGACCGGTTCCTGAACAACCCGCCCCTCTACCCGAAGGCGACGGTCTCCGTGAGCGAGCGCATGAAGGGCTCGCGGCCGCTCCAGGGCTCGTTCCAGCTGACGTTCTGCAACGACACGCGCGCGGGCCTCTACCGCGCGCCCCGGGCGCCCTACCCGGGCCGTTTCTGGTCGCCGACGGAGTGCGACTACTCGGGCCCGATCCCGCACGACGCGTCGCCCGCGGCCTTCGAGGCCGCGCTCGAGGCCATGGAGCACGTCGGCGACGTCGAGGTCTCGCGCGCGTCGAACCACGACGGCTACACGTGGTTCGTCACCTTCGGCGGCTGCAAGACCAACCGCTGGGGCGACGACGTCTGCAACGGCGGCGACGTGGCGACGCTCGACTGGGCGCAGCCCAACTCGACGCTGACGGGCGGCGCCTGCGAGGGCGACTACCGCGACGGCGCCGGCGCGGGCGACTGCTCGGGCCTCAACGTGACCGTGACGGAGGTGACGCGCGGCTCGGGCCCGGGCAGCTGCGCCGACGGCCCGCTCGGCGAGTGCGTCGCGACGGCGACGGACCTGAGCGGCGGCGCGCCGTACGCCTACGACCTCCTGGGCCTCGCGACGGGCGAGCGCTACTACGCGCGCGCGCGGTGGCACAACGACCTGGGCTTCGGCGCCTACGAGCTCTCGGCGCCCGAGTACGAGACGCCGTCGTGGAACGCGCCGGGCGCGCCGCCGCCCGTGCGCCTCGTGAACTCGAGCTCCGTCTCGCTGGCCGTCGCGTGGGACCACCCGACGACGGACGGCGGCGCGGGCGTCATGGGCTACGAGCTCTGGATGGACGAGTGGGCCGGCGGCCGGCCGCGCCTCGTCTTCGACGGCACGGACCAGCCCGACGTGACGGAGTTCGTCGTGCGCACGCGCACGAGCGTCGGCCTCGAGTCGGGCAAGCAGTACCGGTTCACGGTGCGCGCCGTGAACTACTGCAACGCGCGCGACGCGGACCTCATCTGCCGCGGGGAGTTCTCGGACCCGTCCGTCTTCACGGTGCGGAACCCGCGCGCGCCCATGGCGCCGCTGGCGCCGCGGCAGGTGAGCATGTCCGCCTACGGCGTCCGCGAGTCCCTGTACCAGGCGAACTCGGACCGCATGTTCAAGCACGGCCAGGTCGCCGTCGAGTGGCGCGCGCCCGTCGACAACGGCGGCGCGAACATCACGGCCTACCAGCTCTGGATGGGCCGCCCGGGCAAGAAGGCCTTCGAGAAGGTGCCCATGGAGACGTTCGGCGCGGGGCCGCGCGACGAGGGCGGGCTCGGGAGCGTCGACGTCCTGCCGGGCCGCTTCGGCGTCATGCGCCACGTCGTCGGCGAGCTCGACGAGGGCGAGCTCTACCGCTTCTACGTCCAGGCCGTGAATGGGTTGGGCCGGTCGGCGAAGTCGCCGGTCACGTCGATGATCGCCGCGACCGTGCCGGGCATCGACGACGGCGTCCGCGACGGCACGTACGGGAACCAGTCCTACGCCCTCGTGCGGCCGACGAACGTCGACGTCGGCGAGACGTCGGTGCACGTGCGCTGGCGCGCGCCCTACCACAACGCGACGGGCGGCTCGCCCATCTCGGGCTACCGGCTCTTCATGTACCCCGGCGCTTCTTTAAATACTGTGGCGGACCCGGACCCGGTCAAGCAGGAGGTCCAGCGCGTCGTCATCGACGCGGACCGCCCGTCGCCCGAGCGCCAGCGCATCCTCTTCGAGAACACGAAGTTCGACTCCGTCGTGCGCCTCTACGTCAACGGCAAGTGGACCAAGCCCCTCGAGCGGGCGGCGCCGGACTCGGAGTGGGAGCACGCCATCGCCAACGCCATCGGCTGTAATTATGGAAAGACGACGCGCGACAAGTGCGTCAACGTCACGGGCTACGACGGCATGTACGGCAACACCAACAAGACGGTCACGTTCTACGGTCGGGGCCAGGTGCCCCTCATGGCCGTCGACAAGGCCCAGGTCGACGCCTACACCGCCACCGACCCCCACGACGTGTCGGTCGAGCGGCTCCTGGCCGGCACGAACGAGCTGTCGGGCTCGTTCACGCTGTCCTTCCGCGGCGAGGAGACGGTCGCGATCCCCGTGGACGCCGACGCCGTCGCCGTCAAGGCCGAGCTCGAGAATCTGGAGACCATCTCGGTCGTCACGGTGTCGCGCAACCAGACGGACGCCTTCGGCGGCTTCGAGTGGATGGTCACGTTCGACTCCGAGGCGGGCGACGTGCCGCTCATGCGCGCGACGGCGGGCCGCCTCGTGGACGCGGGCACCGACGACTACTACCACCGCCCGAACGTGTACGTCGAGACGGTGCTGCCGGGCACGCCCGCGGTCCTCGTCTACGACGGCACGGACGCGCCGGACGTGCTCGACTACGAGGTCGCCGGCCTCACGACGGACGCCCTCTACGCCTTCAAGGTCCAGCCCTTCAATTTGTTGGGCGGCGGCGTGCTGTCGCGCGCGTCGCTCACGGTCGCGGCGCGCGCGGGCGCGGCGGCGGCGCAGACGACGGCGAGCGGCTCGGCCCTCAGCGTGGGCATGGCCGGCGTCGTCTACGAGCAGCAGGTCGTGAGCGTGGACCTGGGCATCGGCGACGTCTACGTGCGGCTGGGCCTCACGCCCAAGACGGAGTTCAGCGCCGGCCTCAGCGGCATGGACACGCCGCAGACCTGGGAGCAGACCCTCGCGGCGGACAACCTCGACATCGGCCGGGTGCACGTCACGCGGAGCAACGAGACGACGTACGGCCAGTCCTTCGGCACGTACACGGTCACGTTCCTCGAGCGCGTCGGCGACGTGCCGACGCTCGAGCTGTCGTCGGGGCCCGGCTACTACCAGGTCGACCACGGCCTCTCCAAGGTCACGGAGTTCCTCAAGGGCCGGGCGAACACGTTCACGATCGAGCCCAAGAAGGCCTCCGGCGCGCCGCTCCGGGACCTGACGGCGTCGCGCGGCCGCGAGGGCCTGGACGTCTTCTTCACGGAGCTCTGGCGTCATAATGATGAGGGCGACTACGCGCACTACGCCGACGGCGGCGTCGCGACGTACAACCCCGCGACCTACGAGATCCAGCGGCTGCACTTCGCGCGCGACTTCGACGGCCTCTTCACGCTCACGTACAACAACTCGAACGCCACGGGCTGCGGCGACAACGACGGGCTGGGCTACATGCGCGGCGAGACGCCGCAGGTCAACCTGCCGGCCCACTGCTCCGGCAAGACGGAGCAGCTGGGCGCGGACGCGTCGCCCTACGTGGTCAAGGTGGCCCTCGAGGCCCTCGGCAACGTCGAGGCCGTCGACGTGACGCGCAACGGGACGGCGCACGACGGCTTCCAGTACGACGTCACGTTCACGACGGACCTCGGCCCGCGGCCCCTGTTGGAAATCCTCGTGGGCGGGGCGGGCGTGAGCCCGGCGGACGCCTGGGTGTCGCGCGTCCAGGAGGGCGTCACGGAGACGCAGATCATCGTGCTCAGCTCGGACGTCGAGTTCGTGCCCGACGTGCAGTCGGTGCACGTCGTCTGCGACGACGCGGTCGACGTTTCAGCCGAATGCGAATTCGTTCTGCAGCTCGACGGCGGCGCGGACACTACGACGACGCTCAAGACCAAGTTCGACGGCGGCGGCACCGCGTCGACGGCGCTCGAGGTCGAGCACGCCCTCGAGAAGCTCGACGGCATCAACGACGTCGTCGTGACGGCGGGCACGGCCCAGGACGGCATCAACCCCGACGCCTTCAAGGGCTCGTCGTGGGACGTCACCTTCGTGAGCCCCGTGGGCGACGTCGGGAACCTCGTCGTGCTCGACGCCGACGGCACCACATACAGCAACGCCGACGGGTACAACGTCGTCGAGCTCGTCAAGGGCGAGTCCGGCCTGGGCGGGACCTTCTCCGTGGCCTACGAGGGCCACTACTCGCGCGACATCGCCTTCGACGCGTCGGCGGCGACGGTCAAGACGCGGCTCCAGGAGATCGCGTCCGTCGACGAGGTCAACGTCGCCAAGGAGGTGCTGGGCAACTCCATCAAGTACACGGTCACCTTCACGAAGCAGCTCGGCAACCTGCGCGAGATGCAGGCCTCGCCGTACGTCTACGAGGAGCAGACGGTGACGACGACGGGCGGCGACCCGACGCCCCTGGACGGCACCTTCGCCCTGACGTTCTACAACGAGACGACGGCGCCGATCCCCTACGACGCGCCGGCCTCGGCCGTCAAGGCGGCCCTCGAGGCGCTGCCGACGCTCGACCGCGTCGACGTCGCCAAGGCCGAGCGGAACTACGGCCAGGCGGACTGGATGGTCACGTTCCGCTCGGAGCTCGGCGACCTCGAGCTCCTGGGCTGCGACGCGACGCTGCTCACGGGCAGCGACGCGGCGTGCGCGTCCAGCGAGATCGTGGCCGGCGACGCGGCGTCGCTCACGGGCAGCACGCCGCGCGTGCGCGTCGAGGAGAAGGTCGCCGGCCTGCCGTCCTACACGGGCAGCTACACGCCGGCGGCGACGGGCGACGCCGACGTCGTCGTGCGCCAGCTCGTGCAGGGCGGCCTCGCGGCCGAGTACTTCGACAACGCCTGGCTGCAGGGCGACCCGACGGTCGTGCGCGTGGACCCGAAGATCGACTTCGACTGGGGCCACGGCGCCGTGACGCCCTACGGCCGCGACTACGTGTCGGCGCGCTGGAGCGGCAAGGTCGTGCCGCCCTCGACGGACGTGTACACGCTCTACGTCTTCTTCGACGACGGCGCGCGCGTCTACGTGGACCACGAGCTCGTCATGGACGGCTGGGAGAACGCGACCTTCGCGTCGGACGGCCAGCGCGCCGAGGTGCCGCTGACGGGCGGCGTCTTCCACGACCTCGTCGTGGAGTGGCGCGAGCTCACGGGCGCGGCGCGCGTGCGCCTCGCCTGGTCCAGCTACTCCGTCGTCTACGAGACGGTCCCCTCCACGGCGCTCTACCACGCGTCCCACATCGCCGGCTCGCCGTTCGCGACGACGATCGTGCCGGGCCGCGCGGACTTCCCCTTCACGACGGCGACGGGGGCCGCCCTGACGGCGGCCGTGAGCGGCGTGAAGCAGACCTTCCGCGTGACGACCAAGGACGCCACCGGCAACAAGCTGATCCGACCGCTCGACGAGGACGACTCGGCGGACCAGATCGCCGTCGACATCCTGGGGCCCACGACGCTCTCGGGCCGCGTCGAGTACGTCGGCGACGGCGAGTACGACGTCACGTACACGGCCCTCAAGTCGGGCACCTACGAGCTCAGCGTCAAGACGGGCGGCACGGACATCTTCTGCGGCCTGGGCGACGCGGACCGGTGCTCGCCCTTCACGCTGACGGTCGAGCCGGGCGCGGCCACGGCGTACACGTCCGAGGCCGAGTCCGCGCCGGCGCCGGGCATGGACTACCTCGTCGAGGCGGCGGCCGGCGACACGGGCGTCTTCGCGATCCAGGCCAAGGACGCCTTCTCGAACAACCTGTGGGCGGGCGGCGACGACTTCTCCGTCCTGCTGACGCACAAGACCGACGGCGACGTGCAGTACCGGGCCTTCGTCACGGACCACGGCAACGGCACGTACATGGCGACGTACACGGCGCCCATCGCCGGCCCGTACGACGTCGAGATCACGCACCGCGGCGAGCCGCTGCTGGGCTGCCCGGCGCCCTCGGCGCCCTACTGGTGGCAGCGCGCCTACGACGGCGTGGACGTCTACCCGCGGCCGTCGCACTGCAAGCACGCGGCGCCCGAGCTGACGGTCGTGCACGGGCCGCTCCACGGCCCGACGTCGACGGCCGTCGGCCCGGGCTTCACGACGCAGCTCGTGGCGGGCGTCCCCTCGACGCTGACCATCGAGGCGCGCGACGCGTTCGGCAACCTGCGCAAGGGCGACGACACGCCGCACTTCGTCCACGGGTACTACGGCGGCGAGCCGCAGCACAAGGGCGCCTCGGACTACTTCCTCGTCGTCTTCGACCACCAGGCCATGGACTACACCTTCACGACGTCGACCGCGATCCAGACGATCACGATCAACGACGTGTCGATCCGGGCCGGCCCGGCGTCCGACGACGGCCTCCAGTCCTACCGCCTGCGCTTCGCGGGCCGGACGACGATGGACATCCCCGTCAACGCCACGGCCGCCGCCGTCGAGGCCGCCCTCGAGATGGCGCACGACGGCGCCTTCGACGTGTCCGTCTCGCGCGGCGCGCCGGTCGTCGGCGCGAACGAGGGCCGCGGCGCCAACCACCGCGAGTGGGGCGCGTCGTGGCGGCAGCACGAGTACCGCGTGACCTTCCTGGAGCGCCTCGACGAGTGGGCCGCCGACTCGCTCGTCGCGCTGCCGGCCGAGCAGGGCCGCCGCCAGGTCGAGGACGTCTCGGCCCTGACGTCGGCGTCGGCGAACTCGCTCGTGGCGGACGTGAACATTTCGCGCCCGGCCAAGGGCGGCCTCTACCCCGTGGACTTTGTGCTCGGCTACTCGGGGCCCTACGAGCTCTCGATCACGACGTCGGGCCGCCACGTCGACGGCTCGCCCTTCGAGCTCGACGCGGACCACGGCGTCGCGACGTCGGCCGCGACGACCGTCGCGACGACGGGCGGCGGGCCGGGCATCAACTACGTCGTCGCCGGCGACCAGGTCGAGCTCGACGTGCACGTCCGGGACCACCGGCAGCACGAGGTGCAGATCGTCGCCGTGAATGCGGTCGAGGTGCCCACGGTGCCGGAGATCCAGCGCCTCCAGGTCGGCGTGGCGGATGCAAACCCCTTCACGCTTAAGTTCCGCGGCCAGACGACAGGGAACCTGGTCGCGGCGACGGCGACGGCGGCAGACATCGAGGCTGCGCTCGAGCTTCTGCCGACGATCAACGGCGGCGTCACGGTGTCGCTCGAGGGTGATGATACCGGCCAAGGCGAGTGGTTCCGCGTGACGTTCGACACGGTCTACGGCGACGTGCCTCTCATCGAAGAAGGTGGCGCTAACCAAATAAATATGGTGCAGGAGGTCCAGAAGGGCGACGCGCCGTACCGGCGCGAGGTCCAGACTTTTAAGTGTGATGCCAGCGCCGGGACGTTCACGGTCAGCTTCCGCGGCAAGACTACGACCGATACTCTGTCCGCGGGCGCCGCGAGCGCAACCACCACCGTCATCGCTCTGCGAGATGCGCTCGCGGCGATCGGCGTCGAGGCGGACGTCTACAAGGAGACGGGCGACGACGAGATCTGTAACGGTAAGGGTATGGTCTTCATCGAGTTCACCGCGCTCCAGGGCGACATCGAGCCCCTGACCTTCACTCAGCCCACGACTTCGGGGACGCTCACCGCGTCGTCCGGCGAGGCCAACGGCCAGGTCGACGGCGTGCACCCCGTCTGGGGCACGTTCACGCTGAGCTTCGGCACCGACGAGAACGGCGACCCCTGGACGACGGCGCCCATCGCGGCGGACGCGACGGGCGACGCCGTGCAGCGGGCGCTGGAGGCCCTGCCGTCGCTCGGCGACGTCACGGTGACGGCGACGCGCATCGGCCAGTGCCTCGACAAGAACACGGAGCCGCCGCGCATGGTCTTCGCCAACGCGACGCGGCTGAGCGTCTGGGAGGTCCACTTCGACGGGCGCTGCGCCGTGTCGGGCTGGGACTTCTGCCCCGACGCGCTCGGCGACGTCGCGCTCCTGGCGGCGGACGCGAGCGGGCTCCTCTACGCCTCGTCGCCCTACGAGCGCCAGGCGGCGCCGCGCGTCGTCGTGACGGAGGCGGTCAAGGGCACGACGGGCAACCTGATCACCGGGTCCATCGGCGACGAGATCGTCGAGTTCGCCGCGACGCACCAGCAGATGCCCGCCTACGGCATCGACATGTCCGAGACGCAGCGCATCCGCTGCGCCTACGGCGGCGACCGGACGGGCCACCTCGGCGGCGGCGGCGGCCAGGGCTACCGGGGCGGCAACTTCTCGATCTCGATGCTCAACGAGGCCACGGGCCTCTGGGAGACGACGACGAACGTCTCGGCCACGACGGACCTCATGGACCTCAAGCTGGCGCTCGAGGGCCTGCCGGGCATCAAGAACGGCCTCACGGTGACGGGCGGCAACGGCGGCGGCGACTCGATCTGCTGCGAAAGCGAGATCATCAGCGAGTGCGCCTGGGTGACCATCGCCTTCGGCCCCAAGAACAAGTACACGCGGCCGGCCTTCGAGTTCTCCGACGAGACCGACGTCCGGGTCGAGGTCGAGGAGACGATTACGGGCGTGGACTCGTTGAAGTACCGCGCCGACGGCGTCTACGAGCTCAAGTACACGCCGACGGTGGCGGGCAACTACACGTTCACGCTCAAGGTCTCGCCCGTCAAGCCGGGCACGGCGAACGCCACGGACTTCATCCACACGGAGCTGAGCGCCGGCTTGGTCGTCGCGCCGGCGACGGCGGCGGGCCCGCAGTCGCCCCTCGAGCTTAACTTGAGGGCGACGGCCGGCGTGCTCTCCTCCTTCGACATCCACGCCCGGGACCGCTTCGGCAACCGGCTGGGCCGGCCGCTGGCCGAGCCCGCGGCCGCGTTCCGCGTGACGATGAACGGCACGGGCTTCGTGGGCGGCGGCCGCGACTCGGACACGGAGTTTGTGGAGGGCGCGGTGCGGGACAAGCGCACGCCGAACACGGACGGGCTCATGGTGGCGTCGGTCACGCCGCGCCTCGCCGGGCCGCACGTGCAATCCGTGACGCTCGTCAACGCGGGCGGCCTCAAGGCGACCTACTTCACGGAGAAGGACTTCACGGGCGCGGCCCTGGGCTCCAACGGCTGGCGCCGCTGGCCCTACCACGAGCCCAAGTGGTGCGCGCCCGAGGCGCTCTCGCCGTGCGACTCGACGAAGCTGGAAGGGCCCATCGACCTCGACTTCGGGGGCTTCGCGCCCTTGGATAGCGTCGAGTGGGACGGCTTCCCGGCGGACTACTGGTCCCTGCGCCTCGAGGGCTTCGTGCTGGCGCCCGCGGACGGCGCGCTGACGCTGCGCGCGCGGACGCGGCAGAACTGCCGCGTGACCTTCGACGGGGCGGTCGTCGCGGACACGCTGGGCGCGAGCGGCAGCGTGACCGACGTGCGCGCCTGGAACGCGTCCGTCGTCGCCGGGCGCCTCTACCCCATCGTCATCGACTTCGTCGAGGACACGGGCCCGGCGTCGCTGGTCCTGGAGTGGGTGCGGGGCGGCGCCGCGGAGATCGTGCCCAAGTCGCACCTCTACTACGAGCGCCACGTCGCGCGGAGCCCCGCCGAGGTCCTGGTCTACCCGGACAAGGTCGCGGCCGCGACGACGGCGGCGGCGGGCGCGGGCACGACGCGCTGCGTGGCCCTCGAGACCTGCGACTTCGTGGTGACGGCGACGGACGCCGACGGCAACTACCGCCTCAACACGGGCGCCGACACCTTCGTCGTGGAGATCACGGGCGTCGACGACTGGGCCGGCGAGGGCCGGACGAACGAGTACGACGGCCCCGACCCCATCGTGGTCGAGGGCGCGACGCAGACGCCGCTCGCCTGGGAGTTCCTCGGCACGGGCTCGGTCTACACGAACACGAGCCGGCTGTACAACTTCTCGGGCGTCGCCGCGACGACGTTCGGGTCGCTGCAGCGCGGCGACGTGCTCTCCATCGGCCTGGCGACGGACGGGTCGAACGACGTGCGGGACGAGGACCTGTCGCCGGAGTTCATCGAGGTGGCCCAGGAGGGCGACTTCTACGCGAACGGCACCGGGCCCGTCTACCCGTCGCCGCGCGTCCAGGAGATGCCCTACAACATCAAGTACCCGTCGATTCCGCTCGCGGACGTCTGGCGCGGCCGCACGATGCACTCCGTGCGCATCTACCGCGGCGCGGCGGGCGGCGACACGGCGCGCCACACGATCGCGTACTACCCGTACGTGCGCGGCACGTACGACCTCGACGTGCGCGTGAAGCAGACCGCCGAGGTCCAGGAGCTGCGGACGACCGTCGGCAAGGGCCGGCACCTCGACGGCACCTTCAAGCTCCAGCTCACGGCCGTGGACAAGTTCGGGGAGGTGTCGACGTCGACGACGAGCGACATCCCCTTCGACGCGACGAACCAGGAGCTCGAGGACGCGCTCATCGCGGGCATGCCCAACCACCTGACGCTCGTCAACGTGACGGGCCCGGTCTCGAAGTCGCTGGCCGAGAACGGCACGACGTGGCGCATCGAGTTTCTGGGCGTCTACCCGACCAAGGGCCAGGACCTCCCGCTGCTCGTCGTGGACACGGCGAAGCTGACGGGCAACCGCGCCGCGGGCGTCGTCACGGAGCTCGTGAAGGGCGTCCCCGAGCAGTCCATCAGCGGCGCGCCGTTCCCGCTCGTCGTCGAGCCGAACGACGCGGCCGCGGCGTGGTCCACGGCCTACGGCCGGGGCCTCGTGCGCGGCACGGCGGGCGAGGTGTCCCGCTTCACCATCGTCGCCAAGGACGCCTGGGGCAACACGCGCTTCGACGCGCAGCCGCGGTCCAAGTTCCGCGTCCTCGCGTTCGCCGAGGACACGACGATAAACAGCGAGGGCGGCTGGTACCGCGCGAACGCCGCGGGCGTGCTGGAGACGCCGACGGCCGTCGTCGGACAGGTGACCTACGCCGGCGCGGGCGAGTACGCCGTCGAGTTCACGCCGAAGGCCTCGGGCCCGACGACCGTCGCGGTCGCGATGCAGGAGGCCGTCGAGGTCCAGGCCATCACCTGGAACGCGTCCGCGCCGGCGCAGCTCGACGCCCACGACGAGCACGGCGGCATCGTCCTCTCCATCGCGGGCCGGGACACGGACGAGATCGCGTGGGACAGCTCGGCCGAGGACGTGGCCGCGGCCATCGGTGGGTTGGGCTGGGGCGAGGTCGAGGTGTCGCGGGGCATCTTCAAGGGCACCGACGAGCTGCGCATGTACGACGCCGCGGCCCTGCGGGGCCTCCAGATCGACAACGCGCACTACGTCTACAGCGTGACCTTCGCCGACTACGTCGGCGACGTGCCCAAGCTCGAGGTGCTCGAGCCGCGCGGCGGCAGCGATCGGGTGGACTGGGACCAGGGCGTCACGACCAAAGAGATCGTCAAGGGCTCGTTCGGCGTCGTCAAGGCGTCGGACGCGTGGCCCGTGCGCGCGCGGCCGTGGGTCAACGACCAGCTCGTGCGCGAGGTGCAGGTCGTGCGCGTGGACCACGGCCCCATCCACTCCGCTCGGGGCAACTTCACGCTGACGTTCAAGGGCCAGGAGACGCGGAACATCCCCGTCAACGCGACGGCCGGCCAGATGAAGCGCTTCCTCGAGGAGCTCGAGACGGTCGGCCAGGTCGACGTGTCGCGCCGGGGCAACCCCGCCAGCACCACGCGCCTGGACAACTACGAGTGGGCCGTCACGTTCGGCGCCGGCCGCGGCACCGAGGTCGACCTGACGAACCTCGGCGACCAGCCGGCGCTGAGCGGACGCAACGTCACCGACGCCGACCGGCACACATCGACGAACCCCATCACGGTCTACGCGTCGGGCGCCGTCTCGCGCGGCGGCGTCGCGTCGGTCGACGGCCTCGCGCCCTTCTCGGCCGACGTCCGCCCGAACGCGGTGTCCGCCGCGAACTGCACGGCCGTCGACGCCGCCGGCGTCGCGGGCCAGGACGGCCTCACGGCGGGCTTCTTCGAGCGGACGTCGTCGTTCGTCATCGAGGCGCGCGACGAGTTCGGCAACATGAACCCCTACGGGCCCCGCGCGGAGGTGCAGGTCGTCGACGTCTTCGCCAAGGCGCCGGCCGCCGTGAACCACTCGGGCAACGCCTTCTCCCTCTCGTACCTCGGCGAGGCCGTCGAGGTCCCGTTCGGCGCGGGCGTCAAGGACGTCGAGGACCTGCTCGAGTCGCTGCCCGAGGTCGGCGCCGTGACCGTCACGACGACGGGCGCGACGCACGACCTCGCGTGCCGCGCGAACGCGACGTTCGGCGTGAACGTGATCGAGCCGAGCTGCGACCTCCGGACGTCGCTCGGGCCGGGCGACTGGCTCCGCGTGGGCCACAACGAGTCCCACGGGCGCCTGCGCAACGAGGACGCCGCGGACCTCAAGCCCTGGGCCGGGTCGCCGGACCGCGGGCCGCCCGACGCGAACACGCACGTCTTCACGGTCGTGGCCGTCGCCCAGAAGCCGCCCTACGCGATCACGCTCTCGAGCCCGTGGCCCTACGCGAGCGACGCCAACGTGGCGCTCTACGAGCAGGGCCGCGGCGAGAAGGGCGAGCGGGACGCCTACCGCTACGTCGTGACGTTCGACACGCTGCTGGGCGACCTGCCGCCGCTCGTCGCGACGCCGCTCAGCACGAAATTCCGGACCGAGGTCACGTACTGCGAGCGCTACCGCTACCAGGAGGTCCGGACGCTGGAGAAGGGCGTCAACAACACGCACCAGCACTACGAGGCCATGCAGGCGGCCGACCGCGACTTCCAGGGCGGCTCGAACTACGTGAACGGCACTTTCACGCTGTCGTTCCGCGGGGCGACGACGCGGCAGCTGCCGGCGAACATTGAACCGGCGGCGCTCGAGACGGCGCTCGAGGACGACCTCGACGACGTCATCGCGGCCTCGGTCTTGTATCGACGGGGCCCCTTCGGCCCGGGCGAGTACCGGTGGCTCGTGCGCCTCGACGCGACGGTCGGCGACGTGCTCGAGCCCATGTACGCCGAGGGCTATTTATTAACGGGCGCGCACGCGGCCGTCGTCGCGGACGACGACACGTGCCCCGAGGCGCCGGACAACGAGGCCGGCGAGAAGGTCGCGAGCGTGGCGGGGCGCCTCGGCACGCAGTTCGTGGCGCGGTTGAGCGGCCCCGAGGCCGTCAGCGCGGACGTGACGTACGCCGGCCAGGGCCTCTACGACGCGCGCTACGCGACGCCGCGCGTGGGCTCGTACCTCGTGGACGTCGCGGCCACGGAGCAGGGCGGGCTCGTGGGCCAGTACTTCAACAACCGCTGGCTCTACGGCGACGCGGCGTCGACGCGCGTCGACCACAGCGTCGACTTCGAGTTCGAGGTCGAGGACGCGATCACGGACACGGGCCGGGACCACGTCTCGGTGCGGTGGACGGGCTTCGTGCGCCCGTCCTTCGACGAGGTCTTCACGTTCCACGCGCAAGTGAACGACGGCGCGCGGCTCTTCGTCGACGGCGAGCTGCTCTTCGACGCCTTCGAGAACGAGGTCGACGAGAGCAGCGGTGTTCCCTACGCGGAGTTCAGCGGCGCCACCTCCAAGCCCCTCAAGGCCGGCGCGCTCGTCGACATAACGATGGAGTGGCGCGAGACGACGGGCCGCGCCGTCGCGCGGCTCCTGTGGTCGTCGCCGTCGCAGCCCTACGGCCTCGTGCCGCCGGCGCGGCTCTTCCACCACGCCGACGCGTCGGTGATCGACTCGCCCTTCGCCTACGCCCCCGTGGCCGTCAAGGCGACGCCGCCGACGAACGTGCGGCTCTCGCGCGGCGACTGGGACGAGCTCGTCGTCGAGTGGGACGCGCCCGAGAACGACGGCGGCGAGCCGGTCGCGAGTTATAAGGTGGAGTGGTGGTCGAACGTGCCGGGCGACGTCGGCGCGCTCGAGGTGCAGACGCTCCGCGTCCCGCGCGACGCGCCGACGTCGGCGTCGTTCCACCTCTACTCGGGCGGCGGCTACAAGTACCCCTGGGCGCTCGCCGTGGACACGTGCTTCCACCACGACCACCTCTGCCAGGTGCGCCCGACGGCGCTCGAGGTCGAGCGGGCGCTCGAGTTCCTCTACGACGTGGGCGACGTGACCGTCGAGCAGCCCTTCGCGGAGGACAACTACGTGAACTACCGCATCACCTTCGCCACGGACACGGGCGCGGCCGGCAACGCCCTCGTGGGCAAGATCGGGCCCGTCTCCGTCGTCGGCGCGGGCTTCGGCCGGGGCGCCTCGTTGCAGCCCGTCGTCTGCCACGGCACGTCGACCTCGGCGGGCTGCGGCGCGGACCTCTTCCAGGACGGCAACTTCACGGCCAACCACTCGACGGCCGTGTCGTTGGACGTCGAGCCGGGCGCGCCGTACCGCTACGCGATCCAGCACCTCTTCCAGCACTCGGGCGTCGCGGACGGCTTCGGCGTCCGCGTCGCCGCCGGCAACGCGGCGGGCTACGGCAACCCGTCGGCCCCGGTCTACCTCAAGCCCTACGCGACGGCCGACGCGCCCGAGGGCGCGTCGGTCGAGCGCGTGCCGGGCGCCGCGGACCAGCTGCGCGTGCAGTGGCGGCTGCCGCTCTGGCCCGCCGACCGCCAGTCCGAGGTCACGGCCTTCGTCGTCGAGTACTCGACGTCGCCGGACTTCCCCGCGGACGCGACGACCTCCGCGACGCTCGCGCGCGCGAGCTGCGCGTCGGCGCGCCTGACGTGCGCCGGCGGGGACTGCGACGTGCCGGGCGGCTACCAGGTCCTCTACGACGCCCCGACGGCCTACGACAAGGTCCTGCGCAACGACGAGTTCGACTGGCAGATGGCCAACCCGAACAAGGCGCGGTCGGGCGTCTGGATGCGCCACACGCTGGCGGGCCTCGAGAGCGGCTCCAAGTACCACGTTCGCGTCGCTGGCGTGAACGCCGCCGGCACGGGCGCCTTCGCCACCGTCGCGACGACGGCGGCGGCCGTGCCGGACCGCCTCACGAGCGGCGCGGTGCAGCTGCAGACGCTCGCGCGCGGCGCCGGCGTCAGCGTCGCGGACGCGGCCACGTCGCTCTCCGTGTCGTGGGCGCCGCCCCTCGACGACAACGGCTACGAGGTGACGGGCTACGAGGTCGAGTGGTGGCGCGGCGAGGGCGTCGACGAGGTCGAGATCGTCGAGATCAACGCCGTGGCGCACAACGTGTCGGGCACGTTCAAGCTGACGTACGACGGCGCGACGACGGTCGAGATCGACCTCGAGGCCTCCGCCCTGGACGTGGAGAAGGCCCTCGAGGCGCTCCCGACCCTGCGGGACGTGCACGTCGAGCTCACGCACAAGGACGGCTACAACCCCGCGGGCGGCGAGATCGGCGACCCCGGCGACTACCGGGGCGCCAACTACTCGTGGGCCGTCACCTTCCTCACGGAGTGGCCCGCCGCGACGAACCAGAAGCTGTCGGTCGACACGTCGGGCCTCGCGGCGATCAACTCGACGATCCGCGCGCTGGTGGGCTACGGCCTCACCGCGGACCTACCGGGCCACACGGCCACGATCCCCCAGGTCAACGTGTCGAGCGGCAGCGCGGTCATCCGCGCGTCGGCGAGCCATGACTACGGCCCGAACGGCCAAACGGGCTCCGCACCGATCCGCAACGTCGAGGGCGCGTGCGACCCGGGCGAGTGGATCCTGCTGGGCCCCGCGGGCCAGCAGCGGCCCTACCAGGTGGCGTCGGTGAACGGCTTCAAGCTGACGCTGACGGAGGTCGTCACCCACATCCCGACGACCGACGCGGCGGGCAACGCCATGACCTACACGAACGTGCTGTGCGGCACGACGGTGCCCGGCGCGCCGCCGCCGGGCTACGCCCGGGCGACCGTGGACCCGGCCTTCGAGAGCGAGTCCGGCAAGATGACGTACGTCGTCCACGGCCTCGACTCGGGCGAGTCGTACTCGGTGCGCGTCGCCGCCGTGAACGCGCTCGGCGCCGCGCAGCCGCGGCCGACGCAGCCGGCGGCGCTGGCGCCGCCGCGCCAGCAGCCGGACACGCCGACCAACGCGCACCTCCTCGTCTACGGCGGCAGCTCGCTGCGCGTGCTCTTCAACGCGCCGGCCTCGAACGGCGGCGCCGAGATCACGCGCTACCGCGTCGAGTGGGACACGTCGGCCGACTTCGACTCGCTCGACGGCGGGCCCCTGGGCTCGAACACGATCCTCGTCGACCCGACGTCGGGCGCGTACGACGACTGCACCATGTCGTACTGCGGCTACACGATCGGCTCGCTCGCGACGGGCAAGAACTACACCGCGCGCGTCTTCGCCGCGAACGCCTACGGCTACTCGACGTCATCGTCGGCGCCGGAGCCGCGCTTCGAGGCGCCGGCGCGGCCGCCCGACCCGCCGGGCGCGCTCAACCTCTTCGCGGCGGGCCGCACGGCCCTCCAGGTGGCCTTCGGGCCGTCCCGGGACGAGGGCGGCGCGCAGGTCACGCACGCGAAGCTCGCCTGGGACGGCGTCGGGCCGCGCGCGAAGATCGGCGGCGGCTCGAGCTCGCTCTACTCGCGCGTCGAGGTGCAGCGCATCACGACGTACTCGCGGTACCGCGACCTGCAGGGCAGCTTCAAGCTCGCCTTCGAGAACCACGCGACGGGGCCGCTGCCCCACGACGCGGCGGCCGACGTCGTCGAGGAGGCCCTCGAGGCGCTGGCGCCCGTGGGCGACGTCACGGTGACGCGCGAGGAGGTGGGCTACGGCCACGCGTGGTACGTGACCTTCGAGGCGGCGGCGGGCGCGGACGACTGGCTCGGCGACCTGCCCTCGCTCCGCGTGAGCGCCATGAACCGGTCGCTGGCCTCGAACTACAAGCTCGTCGAGGAGCTCGCCGCGGCGACGCTCGACGGGTCGGCCGCGGCGACGACGATGACGGGCACGGACGCGTCCCTCACGGCGGACACGCTCGTGCACCGCTACGACGGCTTCTGCGTGCAGACCGTCCTCGCGTACGCGAAGAACGCGTCGCTCCGCGGCTCGTTCGCGCTCAAGTACGACTCGCCCGACGGCCTCGTGGCGACGCCCTACCTCGAGGCCGGCGCGTCCGCGGCCGAGGTCAAGGCCGCGCTCGAGGCCATCGGCACGGGCGAGCTGTTCGTCGGCGCGGCGCAGGCGACCGACGGCAAGGAGTACACGATCGTGTTCCTCGAGCGGCTGGGCACGGTGCCGCCGCTGCAGGCGGACTCGACGCGCCTCTACGCCTCGCCGAACAAGCAGGCCACGACGGGCGTGGCCGTGAGCGTCGTCGTGGCGGGCCGCGTGCCGGCCATGGACTCGCCGCTCAAGGGCGAGGCCGAGGTGCGGCTGAGCGACCTCGAGCGGGACGCCGACGGCCAGTACGTCTTCATGCTGGACGACCTGGAGGCCGGCGAGCCCTATGCCGTGTCCGTGGCCATGTACAACGGCGTGCGCAGCGTCTACGGCCTCCCGGCGCACGCGACGCCCGCGTCGCTGACGCCGGCGGCGGCGCCGTCGCCGCCGCGCACGGTCGCCATCAAGCCGCTCGGCGAGGGGTCGCTGAACGTCACGTGGACGCCGCCCGTCGACGACGGCGGCGCGCGCGTCACGGCGTACCGCGTCGAGTGGGACTCGAGCGAGGCCGTGCACGAGGTCCAGCGCGTCAAGTTCAAGGCAACGGACATCGTCGGCGCCTTCGCGCTCGCCTTCCAGGGCGCCACGACGCCGCCGATCCCGGCGGGCGCGTCCGGCGAGCGGCTGAAGACGGCGCTCGAGGCGCTGCCGACGATCGGCGAGGTCGACGTGACCAAGGGCGCCGCGTCCTACGACGTCGTCTTCCGGACGAACGTCGGCGACGTGCCCGCCCTCGCGGTCTCCGTCGACGCGCTGCGGGACGCCGGCGGCGCGGCCGTCGCCGCCGAGGTCGAGGAGGTGACGCGGGGCCTGGCGCCGGCCTTCGACGAGGGCACGCTGGGCATCTACCGCCGCCCGCTCGGGTCCGTGGACGTGGCGATGCGGCCCGAGGTGCAGGAGGTCGCGGTCGGCGCCAAGGCCGCCGACGTCAACGGCTACTTCCGGCTGTCGTACGGCGGCCAGACGTCGAACAAGATCTACGCCGACGCCTCGGCGCAGGAGATGGCGACGGCCCTCGACGACCTGAAGACGCTGGGCCCCGTCATGGTCTCGGTGCGGGACGTCGAGCACCGCACGACGGAGCCGGTGCAGCACGCGGCGCGCGTCTGGCGCGTGACGTTCGACGCGGCGCTGGGCGACGTGCCGTCGCTCCTCGTGGACACGGGCGGCGGCGGCACGCAGTTCAACGAGGCCGTCGGCGCGCACGGCCACCTCAAGGGCACGTCGCCGTTCGCGAACGTCACCGAGGCCCAGAAGGGCGGGCTCCCGCGCTGGGTGTCGGTGGGCGACGGGCGGCTCGCCGCGGGGCGGCCCCACTACGCGCGCGTGGCGGCGTACACGCACGCCGCCGACGCGTGGTCGGAGCCGGCCGTCGCGGCGCTGACGGCGGCGCCCGCCGACGTCGCGCCGACGCCGCCCGTCGCGCCCAAGGTGAGCGTCGCCGGGCCCACGTCCCTGGCCGTGTCCTGGGCCGCCCCCGACGACGACGGCGGCGCCCCGGTGACGCACTACCTCGTGCAGTACGACCTCGACGAGAGCTTCGACGACTCGACCGGCTTCGCGCGCGTGCCGGTCGAGGACCTCGAGCACGACCAGGGCCGCTACGCCCACGTGCTCGAGGCCCTGACGACGGGCACGGCCTACTACGTGCGCGTGCTCGCGCACAACGCGGCGGGCTACTCGGAGCCGCGCATGGCGGCGTCGCGCGCCGACGCGCCCGTCTACCGCATCGACGTCGGCAAGGGCTCCACGGACTTCATGCTGCACGTGTCCGCGCGCGGCAACTCCGAGTCGACGGCGGCCATCGCGGCCGGCGCCACGGCGTCGGACGTCGCGGCCGCGATCATGGACCTCACGGAGCTCGAGTGCGGCGCCGTCCTCGTGCGGCGCTGGGACTCGTCGGACTACGCGTCGACGGCGAACATGGGCGACGTCTACGACCTCGTCGACACGAAGTTCGGCTACGAGGTCGAGTTCGGCGGCGACCGCGACGCGGCGCTCGAGATCTCGAACTACCAGGCCCGCTACGGCCAGAAGTCGGACGCCAAGTTCGACGGGATCAACGTGACGCTGGCCGCGGCGCCGGCCGCCGACGGCTACGCCATCAAGCCCGCGTACCGGGAGCCCTCGGCGCCGACGCGCGTCAAGCTGTTCTCGGTGTCGCGGACGAACCTCGGCGTGGCCTGGGCGCCGCCGGTGCTGTCGGGCGGCCACAAGGTCGAGAAGTACCTCGTCGAGTGGGACTCGAACCCCGAGTTCAGCACGATCAGCGACCTCGGCGCGGGCTTCGCGAGCGTGCCGTCGACGACGGCCGGCCAGGTCGCCGTGAACGCCAGCGCGGCGCGGGGCCTGACGGTCCTCTCAGACCACCAGTTCCAGATCCGGGGCCTCACGCCGGGCCGGAGCTACTGGGTGCGCGTGTCGGCCTGGAACGCCAAGGGCTACGGCGACGCCCGGGTCTCGACGCCCGCGAGCGCGCAGCCGGCCGACCAGCTCCTGGGCCCGCCGGTGAACGCCTCGGCGTCCGTCTCGCCCGGCGAGTACCCCGACCGCCTGCGCGTCGTCTTCAACCAGCCGCGCGTCGACCTGAACGGCTTCGCGCAAACGACGCACGGCGGCAACGAGCCCGCCAAGGCGGGCAACTACCGCATCGAGTGGTCCGAGTCGTCGAGCTTCCCCGACGACGCGACGCACTCGTACGACTGGCGCGCGCTCCAGGGCGACGACGTCGCCCTCGAGTGCGAGGGCTACGGCGCCGACGGCGTCTCGGGCTACGTCGGCGCCGGCGTTCCGTGCTCCTTCGAGCTCGGCGCCGAGGTGCAGTCCGTGCGCGTCTACTCCGAGGGCTCGGAGCCGCTCACGGGGGGCTCCTACAAGCTGCTCTACGCCGGGCCCTCGTCGCCGCGGACGCGGCTCGTCGTCAACCCCGGGACGTCGCGCGCCGAGTTCGTCAACGTCTCGGACCTGGGCGACAACTACGCCTACGGCGGCGACGTCCTGACGAAGGGCTCCTTCGTGCGCATCGGCGGCGTCGACGGCAAGCTCTACGGCATCAACCAGACGTCGGGCTTCCAGGAGGACGCGCTCTCGGACCGCGGCGGCAACGTGACGCTGCACACGGCCTTCACGCTGGGCCAGGGCGCGCACGTCGACGCGCACACGGGCAAGATGGTCGTCGACGCCTACGTCGTGGCGCCGCCGACGACGTGCCTGCGGCAGAACGCGACGGCGGCCGACGTCCGGGACCACATCCGCCAGCAGATGGACGACCTGCCCTTCGAGGAGACGGTCGAGGTGTCCCGCGACTCGAACACGACGGTCGGCAGCGGCTACCGCTACCGCGTCACGTTCACGGGCGGCGCCTTCTCGCGCTGGCCCGTCTCCAAGCTGGAGATCGTGTCGCGCCTGACGGCGGCGGACCACGGCCTGCCGTGGGTCTGCTCGAACTTCACCAAGTCCAAGGCCCTGGGCCTCCTGGAGAACGTGCGCACGACGAACGTCTTCCACTCGGTGACGCGCGACCACTCGTCCGAGGCCCTGACGCCGGGCACGCCCTACTTCCTGCGCCTGAGCGCGGTGAACGACGTGGGCGTCGGCGCCGCGGCGCCGGTCGAGAGCTCCCAGGACTACCAGGACCAGCGGGGCGCCATCGCGGCCGCGGCGCCGCCCGGCCTCACGGAGTGGGCGCGCGTCTTCGCGGAGCGCGACTCGCCCACGTCGCTGCGCGTGACCTGGGGCGACGTGGAGGACGCGCACGGCGCGGCGCTCACGGGCTGGTCCGTCGAGTGGAACAAGACGAACGCCGAGTTCCAGCGCGGCTCGGCGCCGCTCGGCGACAGCACCGACCACGACTTCCCGTACAGCGGCTCGTGGTCGCGGCTCGTCGGGCCCGACGCGCGCGAGTTCCGCATCACGAACCTGACGGCGGGCAACTACTACGCCGTCGGCGTGCGCGCGATCAACCGCCAGGGCGCGGCGCCGCCCGCGTGGTACACGTACGAGCGCGCCGGCGGCCCCAGGGGCATCCCGTCCTGGTACGTGCAGCACGACATCAAGGACACCTACGAGGGGCGCCGCCGCGCCGTGGCGACGTGCCCCTACGAGGGCGTCGTCGAGTGCTCCGAGGGCAAAAACGCCGGCGACCACTCGCCGGCGCTCGAGTACGTCAAGGCCGGGGTCGAGACAGCTATCAACAACCCCGGTGCAACTTACATTGCTACTGATACCACTATTGAGGTAGATCCTTCGCATGGTATTACTAATCCCTCTTACATCCTGATCGGCAACGAGGTTCTGAAAGTGACTGGCGTTGCTACTAACGATCTGACTGTAGAGCGTGGCGCCGACGGAACGGACGCCGCTACAATCGCGGACGATGCGAAGGTGTTCCTCCTGGCCGACCCGCTGCGGCAGATCGACGCGTACGACGGCCGCGCGCCGCCGTACAGCTACATCATCCGCGCGCGCGCGGTGCCGAAGCCGCCGCTGGTGTCGCTGGCGCAGAATGCGGGCCGGTCGACGTCGGCGCGGCTGGGCCGCGTCCGCTTCGGCGGACCGCTCTCGGTGACGGACGGGCTCGAGGGCCCCGAGTCGTTCACGGCCGCGTCGCTCATGGTCTCGTGGGAGAACGGCGGGCGCCGCGGCGCGCCGGTGGACAAATATCGCGTCGAGTGGGCCATGGACGACCGCTTCACCAAGGACTACCAGACGGTCGTCGTGGCCAACAACCGCACGTCCGTCGACACGATCGACGGGTCGCAGGAGGCGGTCAAGGGCGCGCCCTACCCGCACTCGTCGAACCTGGAGCAGTGGTGGAATTTGACCTGCGCCAACGGGGCGGACTGCCGCGGCCAGCGCGTCTACGTGCGCCTCTCGGCGCACAACTCGCTCGGCTACTCGGACGTGACGGAGACGTTCGAGGCGACGCCCATGACGTCGGCCGACCCGCCGATCGCGCCGTCCCTGGAGGCGCTGGACGGCAACGACCACACGGTGCAGGACGTGGGCTCGCAGCTCCTCGTGCGCTGGGCGCCGCCGCGGAACGACTCCGTCGACCTCTACGGCGACGGCGGCGACCGCGTCACGTCCTACCTCGTGGAGTACTCCAAGATCCCCTGGTCGGCCTACGCCCCGGTGGTGCAGCGCGTGCGCGTCCGCAAGCCGGGCGAGAACGCGGGCAGCCTCGACGGCACGATCCGCCTCTCGCTCAACACGACGAACGACAAGCGCGCCGTCGTGAAGACCTTCGCGACGTCGGCCCGCATCTTCGTGGGCAACGCGACGGCCTACGACGTCAAGACGATCCTCGAGAACATGCCGAACGTGGGCGAGGTCGACGTCAGCATCCCCGACATCGGGGACCCGTCGTCGGTCAACTACGACATCACGTTCGTGGACGTGATCGGGAACATGTCGATGCTCGAGCCCTTCGACGAGGGGCTCACGTACCACACGGACGCGTCCACGGTCGTCGAGCTCGGCGGCCGCGGCACCAAGGGTCAGGCAAACTTCGTGCACTTCAACGTGACCATCCACCGGAACGCGTCGGAGGCCGCCCACCTGCCCCGGGACGGCGACTACCGCTTCGTCGAGGTGCCCGTCGGCGAGGGCGACGGCATGGACTTCGCCTACGCCATCGGCGGGCCGGCGCGCGGCTCGCACCCGCCGCTGCTGCCGGGCGTCGAGTACCACGTGCGCGTCGCGGCGGGGAACCGCCTCGGCTACGGCCAGCGGCGCCTCACGCGGCCGCCGGTCGTCCGGGTGCCGCGCCAGGCGCCGGGCCTGCCCGGCGCGCTGGCGCCGGGCGGCTTCGTCGAGGCGCCCAACGCGTACCTCGCGTCGCCCACGGCCATCCTCGTGGAGGTCGGCGCGCCGGTCTTCGACGGCGGCGACGCCGTCGTCAACTTCGAGGTGCAGTGGGACACGCGGCCGGACTTCGCCGGCGGCCCCGGCGGCGAGCCGCTGGGCCGCGCGGTCGTCGCGGCGGCGGACTGGCGCTGCGCGGACTGCGTCACGCAGTTCGACGCGGACGACGGCGTCTTCACGTTCACGGGCAAGAACGACGACGGGCGCGCGCTCGAGGCGGGCGCCAAGTTCTACGTCACCTTCCCGGACGACGACATCGCGTACCTCTTCACGGTCCGGTCGGGCGACCTCTACGCCACGGCGATCAACGGCGCGTCCTCCCAGATCTTCGTCGAGCCGGGCCACGCGCGCGCGGCGTCCTACGGCTCGGCCGCCAACGGCAACCACCAGTTCGCGGGCGAGCTGCGCGTCGTCGGCGCGCGCTACCGCATCGAGGGCCTGACGGAGGGCCAGCACTACCACGTGCGCGTGGCCTGCGAGAACGCCGCCAAGGGCATGGGCTCGTTCGTCGACACGCTCCCGTCGTCGCTGCTCGTGCGCGGCCTCGCGGCGGCGCCGGGCGCCGTGACGGCGACGCCCGCGTCGGCGCACTCCGTGCGCGTCGCGTGGCAGCCGGCGACCGTGCCGGGCGGCAGCGTATCAGGCTACGTCGTCGAGCGCATGACGAAGCAGGCCGTGCCGAGCGCGCTGGGCTCGCTCTACGGCCACGCCGAGGTCCAGAAGGTCATGACCTACACGAGCGTCGACGTCCCCAACCGCTGGACCAACGCGACGGGCGGCACGTTCACGCTCGCGTTCGGCGACGTGGACGAGCCGCTCCCGGGCACGGTCGCGGCGACGCAGGGCCGGCAGTACCTGCGCACGTCCGTCGACCTGACGCCGCACCTCGGGCGCCGCGACGAAATTAAAGTTTGCGCCGCGGCGGACGCGTGCCAGACGCTGACGGTCGCGGAGAACCGCGTCTTCAACAGCACGCACCTCTACGTGGACCAGGTCTACACCGGGGCGACGGCGATCGGCGCGACGCTCTACCACCGCGACACGACGATCCCGCTGGCCTGGGACGCGTCCGCGGCCGACGTCGAGGGCGCGCTCGACGCGCTCGCGAGCCTCGGCGACGTGCGCGTCTCGCGCGTCTTCGACGACGACTCGTCGGCCGACCCGGCCAACGCCAGCCCCGCCAACGGCCTCCATGGGGCGGCGGCGACGGACCCGGCGCCGAACGCCGGCCGCGTCAACGGCTACGTCTGGGCCGTCACGTTCCTGACGGACGTCGGCGACCTGCCGCCGCTCGTGGCCAACGCCTTCGGGCTGCGCCTGAGCTCTGCGATGGACGACAACCGGGGCGTCTCGGCCCCCTACCTGCAGGTGGTCGAGCAGTACAAGGGCGTCGTGCCGCACAACCACACGAACGTCACGGTCGCGGGCGACGCGACCGAGGTCACGATGCTCTCGCTGACGACCGGCGCCGAGTACGGCTTCCGCGTGACGGCCCTCACGGACCAGGGCGCCGGCGCCGCCAGCCGCGTCGCGGCGGGCGTCCCCGCCGAGGAGCCGTCCGAGCTCCGGACGCTCGTCAAGCTGTCGCGGCACACGCAGGACCTGCTCCGCGTGCAGTACGCCCAGGACGCCGACGCGAACGGCGACGCCGTGACGGCGTACGTCGTCGAGTCGTCGCAGTCGGCGGCGTTCCCGAACGGCTCGACGCTCGTGCAGGAGTACGCCGTGGACTACACGGTCCAGCGCATCGAGACGGACGCGCACACGCGGCCGTTCACGGCGGGCGCCCAGTTCTCGCTGTCGGTGGGCGACTTCGAGGGCTCGTGGGTCCTCTTCGACGAGGCCGAGACCAAGTGGTGGGGCCGCGGGCGGGACGCGCCGAACCGGACGCTCGTGAACGTGGACCACGGCGGGTCCGTCGTCACGCGGTCGCGGCCGGCGCCGGGCCTCGACGAGCGCCTCGACCTGTCCAAGTACTTCGCGCGCGGGGACTACCTGCGCGTGGGCGGCCAGGCCTTCAGCGTCTGCGTCGAGTCGGACCTGGTGGAGCACAACGTGACCGGCGGCGGCAAGCAGTCCCTGTCCTACCCGACGGAGGCCCTCAAGACCGACAGCACCGTCGACACGTACTACTACGCGGCCTACGGCCCGAAGACCCTGCCGCTGTGCCGGGCCGACGACCCGTGGACGCCCGCGTACTACGACGGCGGGCCGCGCGGCGACGACCTCCGCCAGGCGCCGCTCTACAAGCTCGACACGTCGCTCTCGGGCGCCGTGGGACCGGCCATCGGCGACGCGGCCCTCGCGCCGCGCCGCGGCAACCGCGGCGGCGACGCCTCGATCGACTGGCGCGCCTACGGCCTGAAGCGCGGCGACTACATCCGCGTCGGCCACCCGCGCACGGGCGAGACCTTCCGCGTGTCGACGGACCCCGCCAAGGAGTTCTCCGACACGACGGTCCCGCTGGCGCAAGCCGACGACGCCATGCTCGAGGCCGGCCTCACGGCCCAGGCGCTGCGGCACGCCGCCTACGAGGTGCAGGAGGTCCGCATCTACTGCGACGCCATGCAGCCGGCCCTCGGCGCCGGCTTCCCGGAGCACTGCAACCTCACCGCGGGGTCCGTCTCGGCCTCGGGCTTCCGCCTCAAGTTCGGCGACGAGACGACGGCGGCGACCGAGGCGGGCGGCGAGCCCGGCTGCATGGTCTGGGACGACGACGCGACGGCCGTCGAGGCCGAGCTCGAGACGCTCGTGGGCATCGACGACGTCGAGGTCACGCGCATGGAGATGAAGAAGGAGTACGGCGACGACTACTGGGGCGTCCGCTACCTCGTCACCTTCGTCGGCGACCTCGTGCGGGGCGACGTGCCCGAGCTCGCCGTCGTGTCGCTGGGGCGGGACGGCTGCCACGACGCCGAGGCCGAGGACGCCTCGTACGTCTTCGGCACGAACGCGACGGGGTCCGTCCAGACGCTCCAGACGTCGACGGTGCCCGTGTGGCGCGCGCAGACGACGGCGCCGCTGCCGTGGGACGCCGAGGCCGACGACGTCAAGTACGCGCTGGAGGCGCTCCAGCAGGTGTGCACCGTCGACGTCGAGCGCGTCGTCGAGACGGGCAGCAACGGCTACGCCTGGTACGTGACGTTCACGGCCGAGCTCGAGTCGCGCGACGACACGCGCTTCATGTTCTCGCCGCTGCTGGGCCTGGGCGCGAACGAGGACGGGCTCGAGGCGGCGATCCAACCGACAGTGACGGTGACGCCCGTGGCCGAGAAGCTCGTGCCGGCGCCCTCGGGCGGCGGCCCGACCTACGTCCGCGTGGCGGCCCGGAACGACTTCGGCGTCGGCGCCTACCGCACGACGTCGCCGGTCGGCCTGACGCCGCAGACCCAGAAGCCGGACCCGCCGGCGCTCGTGCGCGCCGAGGTCGTCTCGCCGACGGAGCTGCTCGTGGAGTGGGTCGGCCCGGAGAACGACGGCGGCGCGCCCGTCACGTCGTTCGAGGTCGAGTACGACCCGGCGCCGACCTTCGACTCGGGCGCGCAGGGCCACGCCGCGGGCTCGGTGCGCGTGTTCGCGTCGGACCGCCGCGGCGTGGCGGACGTGCAGTCGGTCACGGTCGCCGAGACGACGGGCGAGCGCTACCTGGGCGGCTTCTTCGCCCTCAGCTTCGACGGCCAGGACACGCAGGCGCTGCCGTACGACGCGTCGGCCGCCGCCGTCGAGGCGGCGCTCGAGGCGCTCTGCACGGTCGACGACGTCACGGTCACGCGGACGATGCGCTGCTCGCCGGCGCCGGACGCGGCCACGGACTGCGTCGACCCGCAGGGCTACACGTGGCTCGTGACCTTCGACGCCGTGCAGTACCCGGGCGACCAGCACACGCGGTACGCGAGCCCCTACCAGGCCGTCGCGGGCCACAAGCTCTCCGTGGACGGCGTGAACCTCCTGAGCTGCGCGACCAAGGAGGGGCTGGGCAACGACCCGCTCGGCACGGACTGCCAGCGCGCCGCGGGCAACGTGTCCGCGGTCGCGACGCTGACGGGGTCGCGGCAGGAGGTGCAGACCTTCATCTGCGACGCCAACGGCGGGCGGGCCGGCGGGTCGCAGAACTCGGACAGCTTCTCGCTCCAGGTGCGCGGCGACTACACCCAGACGCTGTACCTGCGCAAGCCCAGCAAGCTGACGTTCCCGGACACGTTCGCGTTCCGGGACGTCGGCGAGGGCACGGGCCTGGCGCTGCACCGCGGCCCCGTCGGCGAGTCGGACCGGACGCGGCTCCTCGGGAAGGACGGCGAGGAGGTCTACGCGCAGGTGTCGCTCGAGGAGGCCATCGAGGCCGTCGCGGGCGACGTGACGCTCACGTGCGACGAGTGCCCGCGGACGGCGCGCTTCGACGGCGCGAACGTGACGTGGCTGCCCTGCTCGGGCCAGAACGTGACCGTCGAGTTCGGGAGCGCGCGCGGCGACGTGCCGCCCATCTACGTCTCGACGAACCACTGGGCCGACGAGGTCGTCAAGGGCGTCGCGCAGGAGCGCGTGGGCCGCATGACCTACCAGGCGCTCCTGACGGACGCGATCTCGGACGGCAGCTCGTGGCACGTGCGCGTCAGCTCGTACACGTCCGCGGGCGCGGGCGAGGCCCGCGCCGCGACGGGCCTCGCGCCGCTCCAGCCGGCGGTGACGGCGCCCATGGCCGTGCGGTCGGTCACGGCGACGCACACGGGCGACCACGAGGTCCTCGTCGGGTGGGACGAGCCGCTGAGCTCGGGCGGCGCGCCGATCGACTCCTTCGTGCTCGAGTACGACACGTCGCCGTCGTTCGCCTCGCAGTGCGTCGAGGGCTACCGGCCGGGCACGATGCTGGGCTACCTGAACTCGCTCTTCAAGTGCTACGACGTCGGGCCCCTCGGGCGCGTCGAGGTCTCGGCGGCGTCTGTGGATAGGACGCTCGGCGACGTCGTGTACGCGTCGCCCGAGTCGACGGACGCGGCGCAGCGCTCGCGGCTCGTCCTGCCCGTGGGCGCGGCGGCGGACCTCGAAGCGGGCGACTTCATCAACGTCGACGGGGCGCACTACCAGGTCAAGGCCGTCAACGGCGACGCGTTCTTCAAGTCGGCCGCGGGCGAGCGCGTGAACTGCCCGAGCGAGGGGACCTGCCTCGAGCTGACGGAGGACTACGCGGGGCGCGCCGTGAACGCGTCGCTGCCGTCGCTCCCCGTCTTCGGCTCGAAGGCCGTCGGCGCGCACTTCGCGCACGAGGTCGCGGACCTCAAGCCCGGCGTCCAGTACTACTTCCGCGTCGCGGCGCGGACGAAGCCGGCCTGGTCCGGCGACTGGCGCCGCAGCCACGTCGTCGCCTTCGAGGCGCGCGGCGACGACGAGTACCTCGTGGGCCCGTGGTCGTCGAACGTCGCGTCGGCGCTCTGCGCGGACGTGCCCGACGTCGTCGAGCGCGCCGCGCTGGGCACGGGCGTCACGGAGGGCGCCTGCGCCGACTCCGAGGCGTGCGCGGCCCTCGCGGCGCACTCCGTGCGCGTCGACTTCCGGCCGCCCGCGCTCGCGTACCCCGAGGGCAACAACGGCGCCGCGGTCACGCTCTACGAGGTCCAGCTCAGCGGCCGGCAGCCCGCGGTGCAGACCGTGACGCTGACGCCGGTGCTGGGCCCCGAGGCCTCGCTCGGCTCCGGGTCCTACCGGCTCGAGAGCGGCAACGCCACGACCGCGTGCGTCGCCGTCGACGCGCCGGCGGCGACGCTCGAGCTGCGCCTCGAGGAGCTGCCCTACGTGGACGGCGTGTCCGTGGCGAAGAGCAAGGACCCGGCGACGGGCGTCGTGAGCTACGCCGTGACCTACGACGGCGCCTACACGTCCAACAGCCACGTCGACGCGCTGTACGTGCGCCCCGCGGGCGCCTGCGCGGCGCCCTACGACCCGGCCCAGGTCGCCGTGGCGACGTCGGCGACGAGCGCGCGGCCGGCCTTCCAGCCCGGCGCCGTGCCCGAGGTCGCGACCATCCGGACGGGCGCGCGCGTCTACCGCAAGGGCGGGCTCGAGTACCGCGGCCCCATCAGCGGCAAGTTCGAGGTCGCCTGGGACTTCACGGGCGCGCCGGACCTGGCCCTCTGGGACCCGGCGCCCCAGAAGATCGTGACGGCGTCCGTGCGGGCCGGGAGCACGCGCGTGACGGTGCCGGTCGAGTACAACCTCACGGGGCTGCTCAACCCGGGCGACCTCGTGCGGCTGGGCGACGAGGTCCACCGCGTCGCGCCGGGCCGCCCCTACCCGTCCGCCAACGCCTACAAGGGCCAGGGGCGGACGGGCCCGGGCGAGTCGTTCGACATCGAGGACTACCACCTCGCCGGCTGCGCCGCGTGCGTCGTGTACGTCGAGCAGACGCGGCTCGGCTCGGGCTTCACGTCGAACGCGTCGTCGTGGTCCGGGCGCGTGCGCGACCGGGAGACGTCGCTCGTCTACGGGCGGGGCGGCAACGTCCGGTTCCCCGGCACCGAGGAGGCGCTCTACGGCTCGACGGGCCTCGCCGGCGTGCAGCGGCGGGGCCGCAACGCCTCGGCGTACCGCCGGCAGCACGTCCTCGTGCCGCACGACGCCTCGGCGCGCGAGATGAAGGCCGCGCTCGAGTCGCTCCCGGGCCTCGGCTCCGTCGAGGTGAGCCGCTGGGGCCCGAACCCGACGAACGGCTACACCTGGTCCGTGACCTTCACGAGCCTCGACGGGGCGTCGCGGTGCCCCGACGCGCCCTGCCTCACGGCCTCGGCGCAGTCGGCCAACTACGTGACGCTGGGCGGGTGCGACGTCGAGCTGTACAACGGCGCCTACGTCGAGACGGGCCTGCTCGAGAACGGCCGCAGCGTCTTCGAGCAGATCGGCACGCCCTTCTCGCTCCGCTTCAACGGCACGGGCTGGATGCTCGCCTACCACGGCAACAGGACCCTGCACAACGACCGCATCGGCGCGTGGAACCGCAAGGTCGCGGCCAAGTACCCGGCCTGGAACACGGCGCGGCGCGCCATCGCGCCCGCCGACTCGCTGTCGAGCTTCTACTACCCGCTCTACGGCGAGCGCTTCGGCCACTCGGGCTGCGTCGTGGCGACGGTCGACGGCCCCGCGCGCGGCGGCGCGGAAAAGGACTGGCCCACGCTGGTCAGCGCGGTGCAGGACCCCACCGAGGCGACGGAGAAAACAAACTACCTCCGGAACTACACGTACGCCGAGGCCCGCGTCGAGCGCCGCGGCCTGTCGCCGTCGTTCGAGAACCCGACGTACGCGGCGACGGCGTCGGGCGGGACGGCGGAGGTGCAGTCCATCTCGCTCACCGCGGCCAAGGACGACATCGACGGCACCTTCACGCTGACGTTCGAGGACACGGCGGCCGTCGCCGGCACCGTCTTCCGGGCGTGGACGCCGGTCGTCGTCGAGTTCGACGCCACGGCGGAGGACCTCGCGACGCAGCTCGAGAACCTGGCCAGCGTCGGCCGCGTGAAGACGACGAAGACGACGCTGCCGAACGTCGAGAACGGCGCGACCTACGGCGCCGTCTGGACGGTAGAGTTCGCGTCGCAGCTCGGCAACGTGCCGCCGCTCATCGCCGTGCCGGCCCTGACGGGCACCGGCGTCCGGCTGGCGGTGGAGACGGTCGCCGAGGGCGCGGACCCGGCGTACGCCGCGCTCGCGACGGGCCTCGAGGAGGGCAAGGCGTACTCGGCGCGCATCCGCGCCGTGAACTCGGAGGGCGCGGGCCAGTGGACGAACGAGCCCCTGCGGGGGGCCAAGGGCGTGGAGGCGGCCGCCCAGGGCCAGGGCGCCGGCGTCGTGCCGTTCTCGTTCGCGGCGGCGAGCATCCCGGGCCCCGTGCCCGACCTGGCGCTCGCGCCGGCGTCCGACTCGCGCGTCCGCGTGTCCTACGGCGAGGCCGACGCCCGGGGCCTGCCCGTGGAGGCCTACCTCGTCGAGTGGACGACGGCGTCGAGCTTCACCAGGTCCTCGGAGACGTGGACGCTCGAGGTCGAGGCCGGGCCCTGGGGCCTCGCCGACCTGCAGGGGCGGTGGTCCGTCTCGGTGGGGTCGTTCACGACGCACCCCATGGGCCCGCTCGCGCCGGCGCACGTCGTGCAGGAGGCGCTCGGGGCCCTGCCGAACGTCGGCGCGACGCGCGTGACGCGGTCGGCGACGAAGAACGTCGCGACCTACACCGTCAAGCTGCTGCAGGACGTGGGCGACATCGACGGCGTGGCGGTCAACGTGGGCGAGCTCCAGTCGATCGACCACCCGCTCGACTGCAACATCACCGGCGCCGTGCGCAACAACACGGCCGTCGGCGTCTCGTACCCGGCGAACTACGGCAGCCTCGTCGTCTACACCGACGCCGACGGCAACCGCGACGGGAGCTGGCGCGCCGACGGCGGGCCGGACGTCCCGCGCGGGCGCTGCGGCAGCCACTACGCCGGCCTGCTGGACTCGTGGGACGCGATCCAGATCCTGACCCTGGCGGCCGTGGACCCCCAGCAGGGCTACGCGGACGCCTGGGTCGACGCCGGGGGCTACAAACTGGAGCTGGGCGGCCACGAGACGGCGTGCATCTCGTACAAGGCCTCGGCGGTCGAGCTCAAGGCCGCGCTCGAGGCGCTGCCCTTCGTGCCGGCCGGCTCCGTCCAGGTGCGCGCCACGGAGGCGCAGAACCGGACGGGCTTCCCCTTCGAGTACTCCATCCTCTTCCGGGGCAGCTACGTCGACGGCGCGTGGCCCCAGCTGCGCGTCCCCGCCGAGTCCTTCGGCACGTCGTACGCGGCCACGGGCCTGGGCATGGGCGGCTGCGCCGAGTTCAGCGTCAAGCAGACGGGCGACGCGACGCTGACGAAGTCGAACGTCACGGCGACGATCGTGCCCATCGGCTCGCACGAGACGTGCGCCGGCGGCAACGGCGACGTGCAGGTCGTCGTCGCCGAGGCGACGACGGCGCTCGGCGGCGCCCTCGACCTCTACTTCGCGGGCGAGGTCATCCGGGGCTTCCCCGTCGCCGGCCACGCGCGCGACCTCGAGGCGCTGCTGAGCGAGCTCGTGCCGGGCGTCGAGGTGACGAAGCACGACCACGCCGACGCGCCCTACGGCGTCGCCTTCGCCGTGACCTTCCCGCCGGCCGCCGGCCGCGTCGACCAGCTCGCGGCGGGCGCGTCCAAGCTCACGGGCGGCGACGCGACGGCGAACGTCTACCCGGTCGTGAACGTGTCGACGATGGCCGACGCGCGCGACATGGCCGGCACGTTCCGGCTGTCGGTGGGCGGCCAGGAGACGGGCGACATCCGCTGGGACGCGACGCACGGCAAGGTCCTCGCCGAGCTGCACGCGCTCGACGTCGTCGCGCGCGCGGCGATGCTCGGCGCGGCCGACGGCGCGCTCTCGCTCCCGGTCTACCTGCCGAACGGCACGGCGGCCTACGCCGTGGCCTTCGGGGACGCGTCGACGGCCGTCGCGGCCGGCGACCCCCTGCGGCTGTCGAACGCCACGGACGCGTGGGACAACGACGCGGGGCCCACGCGCCTCATCACGGACGTGACCTACTACCCGCGCATCAAGGACCTGCACCGCTTCGTGCGGGGCAACCTGACGCTGGGCCTCGACCGCCTCAACGTCGCGGCGGCGGGCGGCGTCACGGTCTTCGGGCTCTCGACGCCCTTCGCGCCGTCGGACCTGTTCCGCGGCGACGTCCAGCTCCACCGCGTGCACCAGTACGACCTGAACGCGGGCGAGGCGCCGGCGAAGGACGTGCAGGGCCTCTACCAGGCCTTCATCGGGTCGACGACGCGCTCGCGCGCCGCGCTGCCGGGCCGCGTGAGCTTCGCGCCCGCGACGACCGTGTGGCAGGCGTCGCCGACGGCGGCCCGGGTGAGCGGCGGCCTCGACTACTCGCGCGTGGTCTACCTCCACCCCGGCGGCCACGACCTGCTCAACGCGTCGGACGCCGCGGACGGGCCGGGCTCGGCGGTGAACGGCACGCGCATCGTCGTCGACGGCCAGACGTACGCCGTGGAGGACGTCGACGCCTTCGGCTGCGGCGCCGACTGCCTGCTGCTCGACCGCAAGCTCCACGTCGACGTCGACGCGGGGACGCCGACCGTGAACGTCTTCCCGTACCTCGTGACGGCCGCGACGACGGCGGACCTCCGCGGCGCGCTGGCCGACGGCGACGACGTCTGGATCGGCCGCCAGCGCTACGTGGCCCGGCGCGTCGACGCAGCGTCCCTCCTCCTCCGGGGCGCGTTCGACGTCGGCGCCGAGGGCGCGACGGCCTTCGGCTGGGCGAACGGCTACGAGTACTGCATGGTCTTCAAGGACTTCGCGTCGCCGCTGGCCGCCGACCCGGGCGGCGCGCGCAAGCTCGACGCCATCAACACGGTGCGGGCCACGGCGCAGAAGAACTGGCGCGGCACGGGCGCGCAGCTGCGCTACCGCCTGCCCTTCGGCGCGGCGCCGCGGGACGAGATCCTGGGCGCGCCGGCCGAGGTCCAGACGGTCGCGCTGCGCTGCGCGTCCGCGGAGTGCGCCGCGAACCGGCAGGGCGTCCGCGGCAACTTCACGCTGAGCCTGGCGCACTCGGACCGGTACCTGGCGGACGGCGAGGCCGCGGCGACCGTGACCGAGCCCATCGCCTGGGGCGCGTCCGAGGACGACGTGCGCGCCGCGCTCGAGAAGCTGAACGAGGTCGACCGCGTCGACGTCAAGCGGACGGGCCGCGGCGACGCCGCGTCCGAGTTCGGCTACGTGTACACGCTGACCTTCTGGGGCGGCCGCCACGCCGGCGCGACGGCCCTCGAGGTCGACGCGCAGTTCGTGCACGCGGACTGGGTCTCGGCCTGGGCGAGCTCGTCGAACCGGACGTCGATCCACGTCGACACGGTGCGGAACGGCGTGGCGCCCGGCCGGCACCCGCCCCAGTACCTGGCCTTCTCGCCGGACCACGAGTACCGCTTCCGCGTCAGCGCGCGGAACGCGCTCGGCTTCGGCCCGCCGTCCGAGGAGCGGACGGTGACGCCCGGCCTGAGCGTGCCGTCGCGGCCGACGGCGGTCGTGCTGGGCGAGCACTACTCCGGGACGAGCCTGTCGCTGGCCTGGCGCCCGCCCCACCTCGACGGCGGCGCGACGGTCACGGCCTACCGCGTCGAGCTCGACGACAGCAGCGCCTTCGACGCGGCGTCGCCGGCGTACGTCGTCGACGAGGTCGCCTTCGTGCACGAGGTCCAGACGGTGACGACGCACTTCCGCGCGCCCGAGGCCGAGCGGCGCGGCACCTTCACGCTGAGCTGGGGCGGCCGCACGACCAAGGCCCTGAAGTACGACGTCGCGGCGGAGGACGTGGCCGACGCCGTGTCCAAGCTGACGGGCGTCTGGGACGTCGGCGTGCCGCCCGTGCGCGTCACGCGCTCGCGCGCGGCGCGCGGCTACACGTGGCGCGTCGTCTTCGTCGGCGTCTACGGCGACGTCGGCCCGCTGACGGCCGACGACACGTACCTCGTGGGCGACGACGCCCGCATCGAGGTCGCCACGCTGCAGGACGGCGACTGCGACGTGCTGCCGGGCGGCTTCTCGTACGAGGTCCAGACCGTCTACCTCGCGTCGCTCTCGCCCGTCACGGGCTCCTTCACGCTCAACTTCGAGGGCCAGGAGACGGGGCCCATCGCCGTGGGCGCGACGGCCGCCGAGGTGAAGGCGCGGCTCGAGGCCCTCGACACCATCTTCGCGACGAACGTCCGCATGGAGGACCTCGACACGAACCTGAACACGCGCGCGTGGACGGTCACGTTCACGCACCAGCGGCACACGCTGACGCAGGGCGCCGCCGACGCCAACCTCATGGTCGGCACGACGAACTTCGGCGAGACGACGGCCGAGGTCCACGTCACGGAGCGCGTCGCGGGCAGCGACGCCTTCGCGTACGCGTTCTCGGGCCTGACGGCGGGCCGGGAGTACCACGCGCGCGTCACGGCCTACAACCGGGCGGGCTACGGGCCCGTCTCGGCCGAGGTCGCGGCCGTCCCGAAGACGCAGGCCTCGGCGCCGAACAAGGTCAGCGTCGCCGTCGGCTCCGGCACGTCGCTGATCGCGCGCTGGTCCCCGCCGTCGGACGACGGCGGCGCCAAGATCCAGGGCTACGAGGTCGAGTGGTACTCGGAGCCGGGCACGCCCGAGACGCAGGTCGTCACGCTCTCCGCGAGCGACGGCGTGACGGAGGTCCAGACGGTGACGACGGGCGCGGACGAGCTGGGCCTCAACGGCCACTTCACGCTGTCCATCGGCGGCGAGACGACGGACCCGATCCCCGTCGACGCGCCCGCCGAGGGCGCCGGCTCCGTGAAGGAGGCGCTGGAGCGGCTCGGGTCGTCGGGCGAGGTGCGCGTCACGCGACGCCTGTCCATGCGGGCCCTGCGGGGCTACAAGGGCTACATCGGGCACGGCGGGTGCACGATCAAGCTGAACGAGGGCAACGGGAACGCGCTCGCCGCCGCGCTGGAGGACGAGGGCCGGAGCGTCATCATGCTGGCGGGCGAGGTCCTCCGCGTCGGCGAGTTCAAGATGGGCACCACCACGAAGATCGAGCTGCGCGTGCACAGCGAGACGGACCCCGACGTCGACGGCGCCGAGTGCGAGAGCACGGCGGACGACGCCGCCAGCGTGCTCAACTTCCGGGGCTCGGACATCTCCGAGGACACGGGCGGCGCGCAGCTCTACCGCTGGGACCACGGCTACGAGTGGACGATCGAGTTCGTGGGCTTCGTCGGGCCGCGGCCGCTCCTCGACGCGCGGGAGTCGGACCTCTGGGCGGGCACGGCGCCGACGCTGCGCGCGCAGCGCGTGCGGCCGGGCCAGGCGCCGCTGCGGGGCACCTTCCGCCTGGGCTTCGAGGGCCACACCACGGCGCCGCTCTCGTGCGAGGCCACGGCCGCCGAGGTCGAGGCCGCGCTCGAGGGCCTCACGACCATCTCGAACGTGGACGTCGTCCGCACGGTCAACAACAACGGCTACAACTACGAGGTCAAGTTCTGGCACCCGCGCGGCGACGTGCCGCCCATCTACCCGCTGGACGACATGCTCACGGGCCCCGACGCCGCCGCGCGCGTGGCGACGTTCGAGCAGGGCACGACGCCGGCCGACTACGGCAGCGAGGTCGTCGCGGGCGCCGCCATCAAGCACACCATCGCCGGCCTGGACTCGGGCACGGGCTACTTCGTGCGCGTCGCGGCGATCACCGACGAGGGCCGCGGCGCCTACACGGGCCCGGGCATCGACGGCTCGGGCGACGGGTCGGAGGCGTGGTACGGCGAGTCCATCGCCGAGGCGGGCATGCTCGGCCAGGAGGGGCCCATCGTCACGGGCGCGATCGCGCCCGTCGAGGCGCCCTCGGTCCCGCGGACCGCGGAGCTGTACGCCCTCGAGCCGACGGCGCTGCGCGTCGCCTGGGCGCCGCCGGCGAGCGACGGCGGCCAGGCCGTCGTCCGCTACCTCGTGCAGTGGGACGTGTCGGAGGACTTCCGCAACATCAAGACGTCGGGCTACGAGGCGAGCGTCGCGGCGACGCCGGGCGCGGAGACCGAGTGCTACGACATCGAGATCGCGGCCGTGTCCGCGTCGGTGCCCCGCTTCGTGCGCGTGGCGGCCTACAACGGCTACGACTACTCGCCGTTCGCCGCGACGAGCCCGAGCAGCGCCGTCGGCACGGTGCGGACGCCGGGGCCGCCCCGGGCGCCGACGCTGGACGTCACGTCGGGCGTGGGCCTCCAGGTCGAGTGGGGCGCGCCGTCGGCGACGCCGGGCTGCGAGTACGGCGGCGACGGCGGCGCGGCGATCGCCGAGTACGCCGTCGAGTGGGACGTGCGCGACGACTTCTCGTCGCCGGCCGAGCGCGTCATGGTGCCGGCCTCGGCGACGGCCTACCTCATCGGCGGGCGGGACCCGCTGACGGGCGTCGAGAGCCGCGTGCTCGAGCGCGGCAAGACGTACTACGTGCGCGTCACGGCCTTCAACGCGGAGGGCGCGTCGCCGGCGGCGGCCACGGAGCCCGCGTACGCGACGACGCTCGACGGCGTGCCGGGCACGCCGCCGAGCGAGGCGATCGCGCCGGCGGTCGACGCCGAGTCGATCTACGCGGCCTGGTCCGTGCCGCCCAAGGACGGCGGCGCGACGATCGACGCGTTCCGCGTCGAGTTCGACGCCGACGAGGCCTTCGGCACGCCCGACGTCGCGCTGGCGCCGGTCGTGTCCGAGTACCAGCTCGTCGGGCTGGACGCGGACGTGCACTCCGAGGTCCAGTCCGTGCGCGGCAGCGTCTGGGTGCAGAACGAGGTCCAGACCGTGCGCACGAACATCGACGGCATCGACGAGATCCAGACCATCACGACGTCCGCCGACGAGGTGACGCCGGAGGTCCAGACGGTGACGACGACGGCGAACGACGTCGACGAGGTCCAGACGCTGACGCTGGCCGCCACGTTCCAGGACGAGGTCCAGATCGTCCGGTCGACGGTCGCGTCCGTCCCCGAGAAGCAGCGCATCACCTACGCCGTGAAGCGCGTCGACGAGGTCCAGACCTTTGGGTTCTACCTCCTCGACTGCAACACGAACCAGGGCACCGTGGCCGCGACCAAGGCCGCGCTCGAGGCGCAGCTCGCCAACGTGCCGGCGCTGGAAAAAATCAGCGTCAAGTTCGACATCGCGGACTGCGGCAGCGCCGAGGGCGTCAACTTCTGCCAGCGCGGTGTCGACGAGGACATGCCGTCGCTCGGCACGCTGTCCTGCGACGCGGACCCGGCCAACGACTGCGTCGCCAAGGAATTTAATTTATTCGATTCGGGGGCGCTCATCGGCCAGGACAAGATGGAGGAGCACCTGAACGGCATGACGATCAACGGCGTGAAGTTCATCGAGGACGCCCAGGGGCCGCAGACGCCCGGCGCCACGGGCGACGAGGGCTACCGCGGCTTCAACGTGACGCTCACGAAGGAGTTCGTCGGCGGCCAAAACGATATTGGCGGCGTCTACAAGGTCGAGTACCGCGTCGAGTTCACGGGCGGCCACCTGCGCGGCAACGTGCCCGCCCTGGTCGTCAGCTCGAAGGAGCCGACCACCGTCCACGTGACCGGCGGCTACGAGGCCAACGACGGCACGGGCGCGACCACTGGCGCATATCCGTTGGGCGCCGGCATCGTCGGCACCCTCGCGACGTGCTGCGACGCGTCGTGCTCGCCGAGCTGCCCCGAGGACATCGGGGCCCTGTACCTCGACAAGCAGGACGCGTTCACGGTGCAGGAGGGCGCGCAGCCCGACGGCTCCATCAAGCTCTCGTACGAGTGCGAGGCCCGGACGCAGAAGCTCGACGTCGTGAACCTCGTCGCGGGGTCCGACTCGGCGAAGCTTTGGGGCCTGCGGGACGACATCTACGTCGGGGACTGGATCCGCGTCGGCGGCGCGACGGACGCCTACGTGCAGATCGACGCGATCTTCGACCGCGACGAGCTGGCCTACCCCTACGCGAACGTCAGCCTGTCCGCGCCGTGGACCGGGTCCACGGCCGACGCCACGGACGCGGAGGTCGGCACGTTCTACAGCGACCCCACGCTGGCCTCCGGCGTGTCGCAGGCGTGCTCCGTCGACCGCGTCCGCGAGACGTCGGTGATCCCCGTGGACTCGTCGGCGGCGACGTTCTCGTCGTCGCTGCGCGCGGTGCCGACGATCGAGTCGGCCGCGAACCTCCTCGCGGTCTCCGACCCCGGGGCGGTGTGGATGAACAAGACGCACGTCGGCCTCGAGGTCGAGGTCACGTTCCTCGGCCAGCCCGGCGACCTGAAGCCCATGCGCTGCGACACGGCGTTCATGTCGTCGTCGTCGGCGGGCCAGCCGGCGTCGGCCCTGATCTGCAACGTCACGACGCTGCAGGACGGCTCGCTGGCCGACGGCGACTTCGCGCTCTCGACGCGGTTCCCGAACGAGCGCGTGAAGAAGCCCAAGCTCTACAACACGACGGCCATTCGCTGGAACGAGGAGGCCGCGCGGCTCGAGAAGATCCTCGAGCGGGTGCAGGCCGACGACGGCGCCTCCAAGGCCTTCGGGCTCGTCGACGTCGCGCGGACGCCCTACGTCCCGTCGACGGAGACGCGCTGGGCCGGCGGCTACGCCTGGACGGTCACGTTCCTGAGCGCCGTCGGCAACGTGCCGCAGATGGGCGTCGAGGCGAACACGACTGTCACCTACGGCACGTCCGGCCTCGGCCTCAACCCGCTCGCGCCGCCGCACCCGGACGTCGGGAAGAGCGCCGTGGTCGTCGAGGTCGAGGACGAGAACTCGGGCGCGGCGGACACGTTCCAGGGCGTCTCGGACTCGTTCACCTTCGCGCAGGACTCGACGGGCGAGGCGCGCGACGGCGGCCAGGTCGGCGGCACGTACGGCCTGTGCCTCGGCGACCTCTGCTCGGCGCAGAACAACCTGCCGGTGATCAACACGTCGCACTACACGGCGCTGACGGCCGCCGAGTTCAAGGAGCTCTTCGAGGCCGAGCTGTTCGCCGGGCGCGACGTCGTCGACGTCGCGCGGTCGGGGTCGCCGAACCGCGCCGCGGGCTACTCCTACTCGATCACGTACCGGTCGGCGGAGGTCGGCGGCGACGTGCCGCTCCTGACGGCGACGTCCACGCTCCTCCAGGGCCCGGGCGCCGCGGCGACGGCGGTCACGGACCTCGAGGGCGCGCAGCTCTACGGCTCGTTCCAGCTCCGCTTCGGCGGCTACACGACGGGCATGCTGGCGACGGACGCCTCGGCCCAGGACGTCGAGAACCAGCTCAACATGCTCTCGTCCATCAGCCCGTCCAAGGTCAAGGTGTCGCGCTCGGGCCCGATGACGACGGGGCCCGACCTGAGCGGCGGCACGCAGGTGGGCGGCTACGTCTGGTCCATCACCTTCGACTCGGCGTCGTGGCGCGACCCGACCGTGGTCCACGCCGACGACGGCTCCATGGCGGGCAACTGGGTCGGCGAGGCCACGACGTGGACGGACACGTGGGCGACGGGCGTCAGCAAGGAGTGGGGCAAGAACTGCGGCGACATGCCCCCGATCTCCTGCGTCGACAGCGGCATGTACTCGTCGTCGGGCGCGCTCCCGGCCGACGCGTGCAGCGTCGCCGAGTACGTCAAGGGCACGGAGCCCCTCGGCGGGTCCTTCCGCGTCACGCTGGACACGACGGGCCACGACATCATCAACATGCGCGGCAGCTACACGTCGGACCCGATCCGGCACAACGCGCAGGCCGGCGTCCTCGAGAGCGGCGGCGACGGCACGAGCGTCGAGGAGATCCTCGAGAAGATGCCCAACGTCGGCGACGTGCTCGTGACGCGGTCGCCCGTCAACGAGGGCGCCAACAACGGCGGCCACACGTGGACCGTGACCTTCCTGCGCGACGCGGGCGCGAGCGGCGAGGGCCGCTTCGGCGACTGCGAGCAGCGCGACACCGTCGAGGACCGGTGCAACAGCCCCGGCGACGTGCCCAAGTTCGGCGGCTTCGACGCGTCGGAGCTCGCGGGCGACTGCAGCGCCGGGAGCGGCGGCGCGGCCTACGACTGCCAGAAGGTCACGCTCCTGGACGTGGCCGACAAGTGGACCGCGCCGCCCGGCCGCGACGAGGTGCAGTCCTTCGCGGTGCGGGACCCCGAGTACGCCGGCTGGGGCTCGAACGCGTCGAGCTACCACGCCGCCAAGGCCTGGACGGACCGCGACGACTTCGCGCGCGCGTCCTACCGCATCGGCTTCGCGGGCGAGTTCTTCGAGGACTGCCTGCCCTACGACGCGACGGACGCCCAGGTGCGGCACGCGCTCGCCCGGATCGGCAAGGCGTCCGCGCGCGCCTTCGTGCGGCGGGCGCTGGCGAACGTGTCGGTGTCGCGCCACTTCTCGGAGACGGAGGCGCCCAACGCCTGGCAGTACCGCGTGTCGTTCCGGGGCGCGGGCGACGTCGCGCCGCCCGAGTCCGCGGACGGCCTGCAGTTCAACTACACGGCCAAGGGCTCCGGCGCGAACGCCGACCGGTTCCGGCACTACCAGAAGGGCGGCTGCAACCCCTTCGAGACGGACCTGCAGAACGTGACGGCGCGGACGGAGGTCGACGGCCGCACGAACCCGAACAACTGCACCTTCTCGGGGTGCGTCGACGGCGTCGTGACGCGCGGCAACCTGACGCGCTTCCACGTCGGCGGCGACGACCCGAAGGGGTCCCTCTCGGCCCTGGGCGACGACCCCCTCGGCGCGAGCCAGCTCCAGTGGAACGCGCCGGGCGAGGGCGCCGGCTCCGTCAAGCAGTGGCTCGAGACGACGTCGCTGGGCCGCCGCGTCGTGAACGTCTCGCGCGAGGTCTACGGCCGGCACGGCGTCGTCGAGTGGCGCGTGACCTTCGTCTACAACCACGAGCAGGTGCCGCCCGGGTCGGGCGACGTCGTGGACCTGAACGTGACGCAGGACCCGGCCACGAACGGCGTCGTGTACGTGCCGACGGTCTGGGAGACGACCAAGGGCAGCGAGGGCATGTCCGGCGCCTTCGAGATCGACTTCGAGGCGCCGTTCGGCGCGCGCAGCGTCGCGTACAACGAGTCCGCCAAGCGGTTCGAGCGCAAGCTCGAGGAGATGCTGACCGTGGGCGGCGTCGCCGTGGAGCGGCTGTCCTACCCCTCGGCCGCGTCGGGCGGCTGGGGCGCCGTCGCCGTCGCCCCCGAGGGCGAGCGCGGCGGCCTCGAGTGGCGCGTCAAGTTCACCAAGAACCCGGGCGCGTACCGCGGCTTCACGTTCCCGCCGGGCGCGGGCAACCTGGACTCGATCACGGTCGACGGCCACGGCCTCCAGGGCAACGTGCCCCAGGTCGTGAACACGGTGCTGCGGTCCGGCTCGACGCCCTTCGCGGGCGCGTTCGCGCTCGGCGTCCGCGGCGCGTGGTCCGAGCCCATGGAGTGGCAGGAGGCGCACGACGAGATGGAGTACGTGCTCGAGCAGATGGACACCGTCGGCGAGCTGCGCGTCGCGCGGTCGGACGTCGCGCTGCAGCGCGTCGAGGGCGTCTGGGCGACCGTCGACCGGGACGGCGCGACGGCGTCGCTGCGGTACGACGGGACCTTCGGCGCGGGCGGGACGCTGGAGACGGTGCTGGCGGACGCGCTCAACCCGGGCGAGGTCTTCCGGCTCGGCGGCGACCGGGGCGGCTTCGCGGCGCGGGGCGCGGCCGCCGACGGCGCCACGCGGCTGGGCAGCCTGCTGGCCTACAAGGAGGACTCGCCGGTCGTGGGCACGCCCCAGGCGTCGCTGGTGCGGACGGCGCCCACGGGCGCGTTCGTCCGCGTCGGCGGCGAGACGCACGAGGTGATCCGCTCCGGCGCCGAGGTGCAGCGCCTCTACGTGGCCGCGGACGTGACGCCGGACCACGTCAACGCGTCGCTGGACCTCTTCCGGCTGCGCATGATGTACTCGGGCTCGGCGCAGACGACGGACTGCCTCAAGTTCGGCGCGTCGGCGGCGGACGTCGCGGCGGCGCTGAACGGCTTCGACGCGCTGAGCGGCGGCGTCGAGGTGTCGCGGTCGGGCCGCGGCGCGCACGGCGACGCGTTCCTCTACTCGATCTACTTCGGGACGGGCTACTCGGGCGTCGGCGTCGGCGACGTGCCGCAGCTCGAGCTCATCTCGTCGACGTGCAACCGCCTCTGGCCCGTGGGCTTCAAGCAGGGCCACAAGGACTGGGGCAACAGGCAGCAGCCCGGGTCGAACTTCACGGGCCTCGACATCGGCGTCCAGACGGTCGTCCAGGGCGGCGTGACCGAGCGGCAGGAGATCGCGCTGGCCCTGGACGGGGGCGCGCTGTCCGGCGCGTACTTCCGCCTGAGGTACGGCCGCTTCACGACGCCCTGCCTCGACTGGGGCGCCGACGGCGCCGCGGTCGAGGCCGCGCTGAACGCGCTGCCGTCGCTGACGGACCACAAGCTCGACGTCACGGTGGACCTGCGGCCCATCAACCGGGACGCCGACGACCCGCCCAACCACTACGCGGGCACGCTCCTCTTCGCCTCGAACGCGTCGCGCTTCTGGCGCCGCGACGAGTTCGACGACCACGTCGACCGGCGGCCGCGCTTCGACGGCAAGGTCTTCCCCGGGGACCGCGTCCGGGTGAACGGCACGGACGGCGTCTTCACCGTCGCCGAGGTCCTGTACCAGGGCCTGGCCCTCCGCCTGACCGAGGACATCTCCGCCAAGGTCCACTTCTCGGTCGACGACGTCGAGCTCTTCAAGGTCGAGCACGCGGTGTCCGTGCGCAAGTCGGGGCTGGGCGTCGCGACGCTGGGCCGGACGGAGGTCCAGGTCGTCGCCGACGACGTCTACTACGCGGACGCCAACACCGAGGGCCTCTTCAAGCTCCGCGTCACGCACGAGGGCGAGTTCCGGGAGACGGCGTGCATCGCCTACGGCGCGTCGGCGGCGGCCGTCGAGGCGGCGTTCGACGCGCTGGCCTTCGACTTCAACAACGACGGCGTGGCCAACGACGCGGGCCACGTCGCCGTGGCGCGCGAGGGCGACGGCGAGGGGCGGTACGGCCACGGCTACGCCTACGTCTTCACCTTCCGCGGCCCGGACAACACGCGCGCGGCCTCGGGCTACGGCGGCGCCACGTCCAGCGTCCTCGGCGCGAACGCGCCGCAGATCGAGGTCGTGGCCGTCGGCTCCGAGGCGGGCTGCCAGGACGCGGCGGGCCCGGAGCAGCTCCTGGCGGCGACGGCCACGACGGTGCACAACTCGACGACGGTCGAGCTCTCCGCGGACGTCGCGAAGTTCCTCGCGCCCGGCGACCGCGTCCGCATCGGCGGGTCGGTCGACGCGTTCCGCCTCTACACGGTCGCGGCGACGGCGACGCACGGCACGGCCGCCCAGCTCGAGCTGGAGCGGGCCGTGGACTGCGACGCGACCGGCGGCGTCATCCGGCCGTCCGACGGCTGCGGCGCCGGGAAGAAGCTCTGGAAGTCGCTGGCCGGCGCGCCGGCGTTCGCCGTCAAGACCGTCACGCGGGGCCGCGACGTCTACGCCTACGAGGTGGCCTTCGTCGGCCCGCACCTCGCGAACGCGGACCAGCTGGAGATCGTCGACGAGGCGTCGGGCCAGTGCGCGGCCTCGTGGGCCCACGTCGGCGGCCGCGCGCGCGACGCGCGCGTCACCACGACGCGCGAGGGCGGCTCGCGGTCCGTGCAGCTGCTCACGCTGGCGGCCGAGGCCGAGACGGACAAGCCCGCGACGGGCCGCTACTTCTCGCTCTTCCTCAACCACCTCACGCACGTCACGGCGAACACGGTCGGCGCGCAGCAGAACTACTACGGCGGCTCCTGCTTCGAGTGGGGCGTCCCGGCGGAGGTGCTCGAGGAGCGCATCCAGGACGCGCTGAACATGACCTACCGCAACCTCACGGTGGCGCACCCGCAGATCACCGTGGCGCGCAGCGGCTTCGGCGACGGGAGCACGGCCTGGGGCTACACCTACGAGCTGGACTACGTGGGCGACCTCATGTCCGGCGACCTGCCCGCGGTCTTCGCCGTGCACAACGGCATGACCCTGCAGGAGAAGACGGTCTACTACAACGCCCGGGGCAACGCCGCGGGCCTCGACGACGCCGAGTTCGAGGTCTACGACTCGAGCCGCGTGCCGGCGGTGGCGACCTACCTGCTGGAGATCACGGCCCCGGCGGTCTACGACGTGAACGGCACGCTGCTGAAGAACGACACCTACGTCTTCAGCCGCATGGTCGAGGGCGAGGGCCGGAAGACGTACGCGGCGCAGCTGGCCCGGACGGCCTGGGTGCCCATCGAGCGCTCGGAGCATCCCTCGAACCCCGGGGTCTTCGACGAGGACGGCGTCTACTTCCGCTTCCGCAGCGGCGTCGGCCACGCCGTCGGCGACACGTGGGTCGTCCAGCTCTACGCGTGCGGCGACACGCTCAAGCCCGGCGCGTCCGTGGCCGGGTCCATGAAGGCGCGGGGCGGCGCCGACCCGCTGGAGCTGACGCTGGGCTCCAAGGTCCTGCTCGAGGGCGAGGGCCACGCGGACGGCTTCCTCGTGCCGCAGTACTTCGCGGTGCGCGAGCCCGAGGTCGCGGTCCAGACCATCACGGTCAAGGACGCGGACGGCGGCGGCTGGGCCAAGGGCGGGACGCCGGCCTACCGCGTCTCGATCGGCGCCGCGGGGCTGGGCGCCCGCGCGCAGCGCGAGCTGCCCTACGGCAACACGTCGGCGTGCCTCGCGTGGAACGCGCGCGACGCCGACGTCGAGCTCGAGCTCAACTACCTCATCGAGCACCACCTCGGCGTGGCCGGCGCCACGACGGTGACGCGGTCGACGGACGCCATCGAGGCGCCCAACGGCTTCGTCTACTCGATCTACTTCGACGGCCTCGTGGGCGTCATGGACGCGCCGCGCGTCGAGGTGAACATGAGCGACTGCGCGTCGCCGTGGTCGCGCAACTTCGCCATGGACCGCGCCGGCGACGGCGCCGAGACCGTGAGCACGGCCGTCGTGCGCGCGGGCGCCGGCCACCGCACGGACGCGTTCCTCCCGGCCCAGCTCCCGCTGGGCCGGCCGGACGACGCGTTCCGGCCCGGGGCCTACCGCGGCGCCAACGGCACCGAGCTGGGCGTCTACAAGGTCAGCGGCTTCTACGTGTCGGTCGCGTTCGACGAGGCGCTCGGCGACCAGCCGCCCATGAGCGTCGACGCGACGCAGCTCGCGGACGGCGTGCGCGCGACGGTCGTGGACGACGTGGTCCAGGGCTCCGCCGCGACGGGCATCACCCTGGGCGGCCTCAAGACGGGCGTGCCGTACTCGGTGCGCGTCGCCGCGCGCAACGCGCTGGGCTACGGCAACTTCAGCGCGCCGGCCGCCGTCGGCGCGCCGGCCGCGCCGCCGCCGAAGCTGGTCGGCCTGGCGCTGGCGACGGCGGAGCACACCGACGAGGTCCAGGCGCTCACGCTCGCGGCGACGCACGTCGACGAGGTCCAGGTCTTCACGGCGACGGCCGACGAGATCTTCGAGACGCAGGAGGTGACCATCGAGGCGGCCTACGGCCAGGTCGTGGCCGGGAACTTCTCGGTCTACTTCCCGGACGCGGACGTCGTGGCCTTCGAGGCCCTCGCGACGGTCACGCGCGGCGCGTGGGCCCTGAACCTCACGCTGCCGCGCGCCAACAACGACAAGGGGCCCATGATCTACGACAACTTCACGACGGCCTGCATCCCCTGGAACGCGCCGGCCGAGGACGTCGCGGCCGCCATCGTCGCGACGGGCTTCGCGGCGTCGGCCGACGACGTCGCGGTCGCGCGGAGCGGCACGGGCGCCGCGTCGTCGAACTACGGCTACTCCTGGACCATCTCCTACGACGGCTTCCAGGGGAAGATCCCCCCGCCGCGCGCGCACCTCTGCGCCGCCGAGGTCTACGGCTACGCCGGCAAGGCCGCGGGCGCGAACGTGACGGTCGCGCCGGCGCCGGACCGCTACGGCGTGCGCGGCCTCGGCACCCACACGGCCAAGGCGACGATCGTGGTCGGCGCCACGGCCAAGATCGTCGAGGGCGCCTTCCGCGTCACCGTCGACCGCGGCGGCCCGAACACGGGCGGCCGCTTCGCGCGGAACTCGACGTGCCTGGCCTGGGACGCCTCCGCGGAGGACGTGCAGGAGGCCCTGATCTCCATGCGCATGTTCGACTCGGTGCGCGTCGTGCGGCGGGGCGACGCGTCGGCCGCGAGCCACTACGGCTACGCGTTCGACGTCTACTTCGACGGCTACGGCCTGCGCGCCGAGCCGCCGGACCGGTACGGCCTGAACGCGTCGTACGTCGAGGTGGGCGCCGTGACGGGCGACACCGCGTGCACCGACCTCTTCGCGACCGAGGTCTACGGCGTGCTGACGCCGTTCGGGTGGCGCGACGGCGTCGACGCCTTCCTGAACGTGACGAACCCGGACCGGGGCGGCTTCGACCTCCGGGCGGCGGACGACTCGCCGGTCACGGTGCGGCAGCTCAAGCGCGAGTTCGAGAAGCTGCCGGTGATCGGCGACGTGCAGGTCGCCGTCGAGATCACGGACACGGGCAAGGGCCTCACGTGGACGCTGACGTACCGGGACCCGCCCGGCGACCTGCCCACGCTGGCCTGCCGCGGCGACGCGGCCTTCGTCGCGTCGGCGGCGTCGTGCGCCGTGTCGACGGTCATCGACGGCAACTCGATCGCCGGCGCGATGACCGTCGCGGCGTCGCAGCCCATCGCGTCCGACGCCTCCGCGGCGCAGTTCGCGGCGGCGCTCTCCCTGACGGACGCCGGGTCCGTCGCCGTGACGCGGTCGGGCCCGGACGCGCAGGACGGCTACGCGTGGACCGTGACGTTCCTCGACCGCGCCGGCGACGTGCCGCCGCTCGAGGTCGTGAGCTCGCTGACCGGGTCCGGCGCGGCCGTCGCCGTGACGACGGTCCGGGACGGCAACGTCCTCGGCGGCGAGTACTCGCTCGAGACCGTCGACGGCTACTCGACGACGACGCTCCCGCACGACGCGGCGGCCGCCGACGTCGCGGCGGCGCTCGAGGCCATCGGGGCCGTGGGGTCGGTGGAGGTCTCGGACCGCGACGACGCGTCCTCCGAGGGCGGCAAGTCCTTCCTGATCACGTTCACGACCGCGCGCGGCGACGTGCCCGAGCTGCGGCCGGTCGGGGCGCGGCTCACGGGCGCCGGCGCGGCGATCCACGTCGCCGAGGTCCTCAAGGGCTCGGAGGCGCGCGGCGACGCCATCTCGATCTCGTACGACGTGCCGCGCGAGTGCTCGGAGAGCCAGGTGACGCGCGGCGCGTGCGGCGCCTCCGTCGACAAGGTCGAGCTGCAGACGTCGTCGACGGCCTCCTTCGAGGCCGACGTGACGGAGTACGACATGCCGGCCGACTACACGCGGCAGATGGTCCGCATCGCGTCGGGCGCCTTCGAGGCGCGCGGCTTCGAGACGCCGGCCGTCGCGGGCCACTTCCGCCTCGGCTACGGCGGCGCCACGACGCCGCTGCTCGGCGCCGACGCGACGGCGCGGGCCGTGCGCCACGCGCTCGAGGCCCTGCCGGGCGTCGGCGCGCTGGCGGTCGAGCGCACGTACGCGGCGCGCGTCGACGCGCTCGCGACGTGCCGGGGCGAGACGGGCCACCCCGTGCTGACCTGCCCCGGGCTGACGGCGGAGGACGCGCCGCAGGCGTCCGACCTGATCACGGTCGGCGGCGCCTGGTACTCGGTGGCGGACAGCTACGACGCCGCCGGCGCGCCGACGGCGCTCCACCTCGCCGAGGCCCACTCGTCGGCGGTGGACACGTCGTACCAGGGCGCGAGCGGCGACGAGCTCGCCGTGCGCGGCTGGGCCGGCGGCTACGAGTACGAGGTGCGGTTCCTCGGCAACGGGGCGCCGCGCCCGATCTCGAGCCCCGAGCACGCGCTCGTGCCGGTCGACGCGTCGGTCGGCGTGCGGCCGGCGGGCTGCGCCGCGTGCCTCTACGCGACGGGCTTCCCCTCCTTCGGCACCGTGTACGTCCGCGGCCGCGCGGTGAACCCGCTGGGCCCCGGGCCCTGGTCGGACGTCGCCGAGGCGACGCCGCAGCGCGTGCCGGACGCCGTCGGGAGCTTCTCCCTCGAGGTCCTCTCGGGGTCGGAGATCCGCGTCTTCTGGTCGCCGCCGCCCACCGCCTCCGGCACCATCGTGGGGTACACGCTGCACTGGGACACGGCCGACACGTTCGACGCCGCCGAGGGCGACGCGGCGCACTGCGACACGGCCGAGTTCGGCAGCTGCCTGATCCAGGGCGCGCCCATCGCGGGGACGCCGCCCTACGACTCGGTGGTCGCGCGCCTCGTGGTGAACACGACGTACTACTTCCGCATCGCGGCGCGGAACGAGCTCTACGACCCGCTCGCCGAGGTCGACACCGTGCGGTGGTCCGAGACCATCTCCGGCGTGACGGCGGACCAGGTGCCCCTGGCGCCCACCGGGGCGCGGCTGGCGCTGGCCGGCCGGGACAAGCTCCAGCTCCGGTTCGCCCTCCCCGTGAGCGACGGCGGCTCGAACCTGACGCACTTCCTGGTCGAGTACGACACGTCGCTCAGCTTCGGCACGAACCTGCGGCGCGTGAACGTCACCGCGGCGGCGGCGGCGGAGAACGTGCTCCACGAGGGCGGCCCCGCCGTGACGTACCTGACGGGCCTCGAGAGCGGCGTGGTCTACTACGCGCGCGTCGCCGCGGTGAACGAGGTGGGCCCGTCGCCGTGGGGCGTGGCGGCGGACCCGACGGCGCCGGCCGCCGCGCCGGACGCCTGCGACGCCCTCGCGGTGTCGACGGCGCTGACGCGGAGCGGCGCGCCGATCACCGAGCTCGACGTCTCGTGGCTCGCCCCGGGCAACGCGACGAACTCGAGCCTCGCGGGCGACAACGGCAGCCCGATCACGGGCTACCTCGTCGAGTGGTTCACGGCCGAGACGGTCTGCGAGGAGCAGCAGATCCGCGCGACGTGGGCGGCGGGCACGACGCCCGACTCCGAGAGCGGCTTCGTCGTGCAGTTCTCCAACGGGCGGTCGGCGACGACCCACGGCGTCACGACCGCAAAGCTGAACTACAACGCCGCCGCGTCGCGCCTCCGGTCGGCGCTCGTCAACCTCGGCCACGCCACGGACGCGCCCTTCGACCACGAGTACGTCGCGGGCGACGTGCGCGTGACGCGGGCGAGCACGAACAACTACCACGGCTACGCCTGGACCGTGACCTTCGCGGACTGCGCGCCGGGCGGCCTGAACGAGGGCGACCTCGTGCCCATCAACATCCCCGAGGCGAGCATCGGCGACGACCTCGAGGTCGAGGTCTCCGAGGTGCGCCCGGGCGCGCGGTCCGGCGGCCGCGCCGAGGTCCAGGTCCTGCGCATCTACGGCGACGTCGACGCCTCGACGAACGAGACGCAGCCCGTGCGCGGCTTCTTCCGGCTCGGCTTCGACGGCTCGGCCTACTCGCCCTACGTCAGCGCGCGGGCGACGGCCGCGGAGCTCGCGGAGGCGCTGGAGCTGCTCCCGACGGTGAAGCAGGTCGCGGTCTCCGAGCGGCCGTACGCGCCGAGCGCGGGCGAGCGCGGCGTCGAGTACAGCATCACGTTCGCGACGCACGTCGGCGACCAGCCGACGCTCTTCAAGGACGCGCAGTACCTCTACCACCCGGCGCTGGGCGGCGCGGCGGACTCGTCGATCACGGGCGCGGAGAACGCCGTCGACGACGTGACGGGCCTCAAGGCCGACGACTCGGTCGTCGGCGAGGCGCCCGCGCGCTACGGCTCCGCCCTCGTCGACGCCGACGCGCTGGCGTACACGATCACGGACCTCGAGCCGGGCGTCGCGTACTCGGTGCGCGTCGCGGCCGTCAACGCGTTCGGCGCGGGCCCCGCGCGGACCGCCGCCCCCACGGAGGTCCCGCAGCAGATCGCCGACCCGCCGACCGACGTGTCCGTCGGCGTCAACCCGGGCGACGCCGACTCGCTGACCATCAGCTTCGGCGAGCCCGAGTCGGACGGCGGCGCGACCGTCACGCACTACCGCGTCGAGCTGGACCCCACGGACACGTTCGACGACCCGATCCGGGAGGACTTCTACTGCCCGACGGCCAACAAGCCGACGGTGTGGAAGGTCGCGTCGGAGGGCGTCGGCGCGACGTCGCCCATCGTCGGCGGCACGTTCCAGCTCCAGGTGTCCAAGGCGGCCGTGGCCTACACGACGGACCCGATCCCCTACGACGCCGTCGCGCTGTCGAGCGACGAGATCTACGCGTCGGAGCGGCTCTGCACGGCCGGGTCGCTGGAATGCCGGACGTTCAGCGTCGCGAACAACTCGGCCCGCGTGACGGCGTCGGGCTCGCTCGCCGGCATCCTCTTCGACGGCGACCTCGTGACCTTCGCGGAGCAGAAGTGGGGCGGCCAGGTGTACCGGGCCAAGTTCCCCACGCAGTGGATGCAGGGCGGGGCCATCGACGCCGAGAGCGCCTGGTTCAACCTCACCGACCGGGACACCGGCAACGACGTCCCCTTCATCGGCACGACGAAGGGCAACGCGGCGCTGACGCGCGTGCACGGCGGCCGCGGCACGGAGACGACGTCGGAGATCTTCTGCGAGACCGACGGGGCCTACTGCGCGCCGGGCGGGCGGCTCGGCGCGTCCGGCTCGGTCGAGGCGAAGCTCGAGGCGCTGGACGAGCTGCTCGACCTCGGCGTCGACGTGGCCCGGTACGGCCCCGACGACGCGGGCGGCTACGAGTGGTACGTCACCTTCCTGGACGCCGCGCCCGAGAGCGCGGCGAACGACTTCGTCGTGTCGATCAACGACAACTCCCTGCGCGACGCGAACGGCACGGTCGGCAGCTCCGGCGGCCGGTACGCGCCCCGGCTCACCGCGACGCTCGTGCAGTCGGGCGACACGTACGCGTCGTGCACGGGCACGACCCTGGTCGTCCCGTCGGACGGCTCGGGCCTCGTGAACGGCCAGCAGTACTACGCGCGCGTGACCGCCGTCAACAGCGTCGGGTACTCGCTCCCGCAGGCGGCCGGCGCCCCGAGCAAGCCGATGACGACGCCCGGGCCCCCCACGAGCGTCGTGCTCTCGACCGTCTCGGCGTCGCAGCTGCGGACGCAGTTCAGCTCCCCCACGTGGGACGGCGGCGACGAGATCACGTCGTACAAGGTCGAGTACGCGACCTCGGCGAGCTTCCTCGGCGAGGTCAAGAGCGTCGCGGTCACCTACCTGGACGGCGGCTCGCCGTTCTACAAGACCGTCTCCGGCCTCGACAAGGGGCAGCGGTACTACGTGCGCGTGTCCGCCTGCAACGGCCAGGGCTGCGGCACGCCGCAGGGGTCGGCGCCGTCGTCGGCGGCGCCCTACGAGGAGTCCGGCGCGCCGTCCAACGTCGTGCTGGGCGTCACGAGCGACAGCATGCTCACCCTGGGCTACGGCTACCCCGAGGACGACGGCGGCGACAGCATCACGGCGTACCGCGTCGAGTGGGACACGAGCTCGAGCTTCAACAGCCTCAGCGCCTCGCCGCACAAGGGCACGGTCGACGTCGACGCAACCGTGGCGCTCTCGTACACCATCGACGAGCTGAGCCCGTCCACGACGTACTACGTCAAGGTCTCGGCGATCAACGCGGCCGGCTACGGGGCCGCGTCGGCGACGCTGTCGGCCGCGCCCTCGCTTGTCATACCCGGGGCGCCGCGCTCGCTGAGCGCGGCCCCCGGCGGCGAGGGCGAGGTCGACGTCGCGTGGCTCTACCCGCGCGTCCCTCACCACGGCATCCCATGTGCAGCTTTCGCCGCCAACCCGTCGGAGTGCCCGGTGGCGCTCGGCGGGGCGCTGCCCGAGTCGACGGGCGGCGCAGCCTTGCTTGAATACGAGATTACCGCGTCCGAGTCGCCCCTGTTCGACGGCACCGACACGCACACCGTGACGACCTCGAGCACGAGCGTGACGGTGAGCGGCCTCACGCCGGACCGGCGCTACTACGTCCGCGTGGCCGCGCGCAACTCGGTCGGCACGTCCGCGTTCTGCGAGAACGAGGGCACGACGTGCACCGGCGCGCAGCTCTCGGCCGTCGCCCCGGCGGGGTAGACGCCGCCTCCCTTCCCGGTGGCCCGGCCGCCGCCCCCGGAATCGGTCCCGGGCGCGGCGCCGCCGTCACCTTCCCCCCATCGGCGTGACCTTGCCCCGCGCGCGCGCGCTCCCCCCTTCCGGGTAAGCGTGCCGTGCGCACTTTATATTAGTCTTCTAGTGATCCCGGGCAGCAGCGCCGGCGGCCGCCACGGTAAACTACAAGGCGAGGAACGCGGCGACGAGTTTCTCGAGTAAGCATGCAACAGACTTCTTACGACTCCCCGCCGGGCGCGGCCTTGCGGTCGGGCAGGCGGAACGCCGACGGCCGCGCGAACGCTCGCCCCGGCTCGTCCTCCCAGCTCACGACGAGCCAGCCGCCCTTCTTGATTTGGCGGACGACGCATGCGCGGCCCGCGTCGTCGGCCGCGACGAGGCGGTCGCCGACGGCTACGTCGCGGCAGGCGCAGCGCGCGACCGCGGCCGGCGGCCCCGGCGCCGCGGGCGCGCGGCGCCGCGGCGCCGCGGGCAGGTCGGCGTGCGGCGCCAGCTTGCGCGCGCGGTGCGGCATGCGCAGCTTGTAGAGCGCGGCGCGCTCGATCTGCCGGATGCGCTCGCGCGTCAGGCCGTAGGCCGCGCCGATCTGCGCCAGGTTCCTGGGCGGCCGCCCGTCCAGCCCGAAGCGCGCCGCGACGACGTCGCGCTCGCGGGCCCCGAGGCCCTCGGCGAGCACCTGGGCCAGCGCGTCGCGCGCGAGCGCCGCGTCCGCGTGCCGCTCGGGCGCCTGCGTCTCGTCGGCGAGCAGGTCCGCCGCGCGCGGCGCGAAGCGCTCCGCCGCGCCCGAGCCCTTGCGCGGGCCGCCCCGCAGCAGGGCGCTCGCGTCGAGCGACGCCACCTCGCGCGCCGCGCGCCCGAGCGCGCGGACCTTTGTGTGATCAATGCCCAGCGCGGCCGCGACGTGCCGGTCGTCGGGGTCGCGCCCGTGGGCCTCGCGGTACTCCTCGCGCAGGCGCCGCATGCGCCGCAGCCTGTGTGGAAATCAAAATTTTACGGCGCGTTCAGGACGGCCGCGTCGTCGCCGAGGAACGACGTAGTGAAGAATTGTCGGGTGCACCCGACGCACTGGTTGATTTCCACGCAGGCCGCAGCTTGTCGTGCACGTGCGCCGGCAGGCGGATCGCGCGCGCGTCGTGGCCGACGGCGTGCGAGATCGCCTGCCGGATCCACCAGACCGCGTACGTCGAGAAGCGGAAGCCCCGCCCGGGGTCGAAGCGCGCCGCCGCCTTGGCCAGCCCGAAGTTCCCCTCGGCGACGAGGTCGTCGAACTCGAGGCCGGGCTGCGGCTTGTACCGGCCCGCGACGCTGAGCACCAGGCGCAGGTTCCGCGCGATGAGCTCGTCGCGGCACGCGCGCATGCGCGCGCGGTCCGCCCGCAGCGCGGCCTCGCTCGAGTAGTTGGCGGCCGCGGCCCACTCCCCGCGCGTGGGCGCGCGCCGCAGCCGCGCGCCCTCCCGGGCGCGGACGTCCTCGAGGGCCGCGAGCCGCCGGCACTCGCGGCCGAGGCGCTGCTCCTCGGGCCACGTCAGCAGCGGTTTGAGCGCCTCGCGCCGCTCGCGGCGGCGCGCGAGCGTCGCGGCGTCGAGCTTCGTCGTGCGCGGCGGCCGGCCCGGCGGCACGAGGGCGGCGAGCGGCACGACGAGCATCAGAGCCCAGGCGCTGCGCAGCGCCGGCGTCTTCTTCGTCGACATGCTGTGTCTTAGTCAGCCAACTTGATAGAGCGGTCGCGAGCTCTTGTTTCCGCGTTGCGCACGTGAGGCCCTGGGCGATACACCACGTTTGACAGTCTTCCGTCTATATGTGACGAGGCCACGTAGCGTGCTCAAATCATCGTGTTGGCTCCCGTGGCGGGCTCCCCAAAAATCGCCAGGTGGACGAGTGAGCACTCTCGGGGCACCCCTTGCGCGGGCCGTAGCAATGGAAAAATGACTGGTTTCATGTTAGAAAACCCGGAAAAACCCGGAATTAGCCGATTTAGAGCAAAATTTATTTTTTTAGCAGGCACGATGCATAGCTAAGACCGCATGTTAGTACGGACAAGGCCTAGCCTTGCAGCCTGCTCTGTCCCCTACTTGAATGTGCTCGAAATTAGCGAGAATCCTCGCTAGGCAGGACCCCTGCTGCTGAAAGCAAGGGCGTACTGTAAAAGCACTTGTCGGCGGCGCGGCGCCGCTGCGAAGGAGAGGCGTCGAAAAGCACCCGGCGGCGCGGCGCCGCTGCGAAGGAGAGCCGTCGTCTTGCGCGCGCCTCAAACGATGCGTCCGCGCGCCTGGCTCGACGAAAACCGCAAGCGCACGGGCGTCTTCGGCACGGCGCTGCGCGTGCCGCTCATGCTCGCGGTCTTCGCGAACCTGCTGTCGAGCTGCGCCGTGGTGCTGGTCAACAAATGGCTCGTGGCGCAGCACCGGTTCGACCACATTATCTTTCTCACGAGCTGCCAGATGGCCTTCACCGCCGCGGGCATGCGGGTCATGCTGCGGTGCGGCGTCTTCGCGTACAAGGCCTGCGAACGGCGGACGGTGGTCCGCGTCGCCGGCGCCAGCCTTCTGGCCATGGCCTTCATGAACCTGAACCTCAAGCAGAACTCGGTGGGCTTCTTCCAGATGACCAAGCTGGCCTGCATCCCCTGCACGTTGGCGACGCAGTACCTGGCGGGCGACCGGTTCCCGGACGGCGCGACGCTGGCGACGCTCGTGCCCCTCGTGGGCGGGCTCTACGTCGCCGAGGTCCACGACCACACCGTGACGCCGCTCGGCACGCTCTACGGCGCCGTCGCGGTCGTCGCGACGGTGCTCGCGCAGCGCGCCACCGCCTCGTCGGCAACCAGCGCGCCAATCAAATTTGTGGCGGCGCGGAGTGCGCCCGACTCGCTGGTTGGTTTGCGCACAGGTCGCAGCGGCGGCTCCGCGTCGACTCGAACCAGCTGCTCTACCACACGTCGCCCCTGATCGCCCTGGCGATGCTCGCCGCGTCCCCCCTGTGCGACGACGTCGCCCATCTGGCGGCGCTCGACTGGACCGCCGACCTCCGGGGCGACGTCCTCTGGTCCTGCGCTGTGTGGAAATCAACCAGTGAGTTATGTTATCCTGAGAAATATTGCGTGGACTTCGTGAGCCTCCACGCCATCGAGCCGACGTGGCCACGGGGACAATGTCGCGTCGATGGCGTGGAATCGCCACGCCATCGCGCAGACGCAGCTACGGAAAGCACGTGCGTGGGGCGCCCGAAATTTGATTTCCACACAGGTCCTGCGGGCTCGCGCTCGCCGCGAACGTGTCGAACTACTACGTGCTCGGCCGCACGAGCCCGCTAACGTACCAGGTGCTGGGCCACGTCAAGACGATCGCCACGATCGGCTTCTCGGTCGTGGTCTTCGGCCTCGAGACGAACGCGAAGAACCTGCTGGGTCTTTTCGTGGCGATGGTCGGCGTCGTGTCCTACACCGAGGTCACGCGGCGGGCCAGCGTCGCGCGCGAGCGGCGGCGCCTGCGCGACGAGCCCACGGAAGCGGCGCCCGCGCCGGCGGCGCCCCAGGCGCGGGAGGGGCGGCCGAAGCGGCCAGACCTGCGGGCGCCCGCGTCGCCGACGTCGCCGCTGCTGCCGGCATAGTTGAGTTGTGTTCGTTTTAAGTTGTTGTTGTCACGGTTTTCGCTAGACTCGGGCGGCGTTTTATGGGGAGACAATCCCTTTCCCCCGTTTTAATAAGCGCCCACGAGGCGAGACCTCTCGAGGCAGTTTGGAGCGGTGGTTCCGGGTTTTTTTTGCCCAGATTTGCATATCTGCTCTTTTTACGCCCCGGCTCTCTCTCTCGATTCGGCGGCCGCTACAAGCTCGCCTCTCAACTACTTCTCTTCGCCCGCGCAAGGGCGCGACCAGCGCTCAAACCCTCAGTCAAAGTTCTCTGCCGGCCCTCTCTCATTTTGCAGCGCGCGCCTCGCAAAAAGTTCCCGTTGAATTCAAAACACATGGCGACGACTCGCACCGGCCGAACGTCGCCGCCCCTCCTCGACGCGCGATCCTGGACCGAGGCCGAGGACGACGCGGTGCGCGCCGCCGTGGCGAGTCACGGCAAGCGGGCGTGGACCGACGTCGCGCGCGACGTGAGCGACGCCTTCCCGGGGCGCCCCAAGACCAGCAAGCAGTGCCGCGCGCGCTGGGTCGCCAGCCTCGACCCCAAGATCACGACGCGCCCCTGGACCGAGGCCGAGGAACGGATCATCCGCGAGAGCCAGGCCGAGGTCGGAAACAAGTGGGCGACCATCGCCAAGCGGTAGTTATCGCCGCGTCCACGGCGAGCCACGCGCCCTTCGAAAAACGACGCCGTTTCGAGGTTCATCCCGCCCCTCGGCTCCGCGCGGCCGGTCCCCGGTTTTCGCACCTCCGCGCCCCCTTTGCGCAGGCTACCGGGCAGAACCGACAACGCGGTCAAAAACTACTGGCGCGGTGCCGGCGCGTGGACATTCGAGCTTTTTTGGTGGGAACGCCGGGTTTCGGAAGCCCCGTTCCGGGCGGGGCGCGGGCGCGGGCGCGTCCGTCGATTCCGACCGCAACGACGGTTTCAGAGTCCTCCGGGGTCGCGGCGTCGCTGGTCCTCTCCGAGGGACCTCGACGGCCCGTCGTCGTCGAATCGCGGGCCGCCGAATATCTCGGGGCGGGGACGGGATTACGGATGCGGCAAAACGCCGCCCGGACCAGGAAACGACGCCCCCCCCGCGCGCGCAGGTACTCCCAGAAGCGCAAGGCCGCGCGCGCCAAGAAGTCGGCGCCGGCGAAGCGCCGCGCGGCGCGGCCCGCGGCGCCGCGCCGCGCGGCCGCGCCCGCCCGCGGCCGCGCCGTCGGCCGCGCGCCGTCCTGGGGCGGCTCGAGCGTGACGACGCGCCGCGCCTCGCTCCGCAGCGCCCGGGCGCGCCGCGGCGTCCGCGCGGCGCCTTCGCGTCGAACGGCGCCGACCGCGTCGTCGCCCGTCGCGGCCGGGACGGCCGCCCGCGAAACCGCCCCGCGCCACCCAGGCCCCGGCGCCGCCGCCGGCCGACCAGTCGGCCGAGGCCGCGGCGGCGCTGCTCTCCGCACTCCTCACGCCGCGGACGCTCGCGGACATGACCGACGGCGCGTCGCGGCCGCCGAGCCCCTTCGCCGAGTTCGCCTACAAGGACGGCGCCGCCTTCGCCGTCGACGACGACGACGACGACGAGTCCCTGCGCTCGCTCACGCCCGTGTCGCCCGCGTCGCCCTTCTCGGCGTCGCCCGCGTGCCGGCCCGCCGCGGCGCGGCCGCCGCCGCGGCCGGCCTCCCTCATCAAGCGCAAGGCGTCGCCGCTCGAGGTCCTGGCCGCGTACGCGCCGCCGGCCGCGCCGCTGCCGCCCTGCCCGGCGCTCGAGCCCGCCTGCCTGCCGGGCTCGCGCACGCTCGCGCCGGCGTCGCCCGTGCCGCTCGAGCCGACCGAGTTCGACCTGCCCGTCCCGCGCGACGGCGCCGTGCGCAAGCGCCACGTCGATTTCCTCATGGACGTCTTCCCCGAGCCGGCGCCGGCGCCGCGCTTCGTCGAGTCGCCGGTGTGCGTCGCCCGCTGGCTCTGAGTCCCCGCCCCTCCCCCCCCCACCCGTATCGTAATACGGGGTCGTGTCCTCCTAGTACAAGCTCGTGGGCCCTCCCCGGGTCTGAGTCGTCGTCCTGGCCCGTCCCAGTGAAGCATTACCTTATAGTGTTGTTGCGGTGCCAGGACTAGTGGGCGGAACCCCCCCGGGTGAGCCACCGTGAGCGTCCGTTTTGGTGTAAAATGGGCCGAAAGTCATATACTACCAAGGGCGCGGCCAACAAGCGGTGCGGCGTCTCAGTCGCTCGCCGCGGCGACCTTTGCGGTTCACCACTAAGCGCACTAAATATACTTGGAGTATACATCTAAGAACCCCTTGTAGCAGAAGAGTGTGCTAGTGACTGTAAGACATTAGCAAAACGGAAGCCGCACAACTCTGGGCACCTAATATAAAACCCGGCACGCTAGTCCTTCGCCACGACGAACTCGACGTCCTCCGGCAGGCTCTCGAGCTGGGGCAGGATGCGCTTCCAGTCGCGCGTCGGGAACGCGCTCAGCTTCATGTCGTCCTCGAAGGGCAGCGTCCAGCCGTTCTTCGACGTCAGCGACCACTTGCCGCCGCGGTAGCCCGCGCCGCGGCCCTCGGGGTCCGCCTCGAGCTCGAGGCCCACCGGCGCCAGCACCATGTTGAGCGCCTGGAACGTCCTCCACGTCCTGAAGCCGCCCGACGAGATCTCGAGGCTGCCGCCGCTGCCGATTTTCATGAGCTCCGCGCCGAACGCCCGCACCGTCAGCACCTGCGCGGAAATCAAACGTGGTAGCCGTAGGCTTGGCCGTCGACGATGGTCGGGTCGTCCGGCACCGCGTTTCTTGATCGGGTCAGGTCGAACTGGTCCCATCCCGTGAGCTCGCAGCGACGCGACTGCGCCTCTGTCACTGGTTGATTCCGCACCGGTCGGCACGCGCTGCTTCTCGGGCGTGACCGCCCACTTGTAGCTGAACCGCACCGTGTCGCGGTCGGGCGCGCGCCGCGGCCCGGTGCCGCCGATGCGCCCGCCGCGGCCGCCGCGGTGCCGCGGGCCGTCGCCGCGCCCCCCACCCCCGCCGCCGCGGCCCCCGCCGCGGCGGCCGCCGTCCCGCCGGCCGTCCCGACGCCCGCGCTTATCGGCGCCCTCCCGGCCGGATGACGCCTCGCGCGGCCGCTTCTGCTTTTTGCCGCCGTCGTCCGGGCCTCGCGGCGCGCTAAGCGGCTTGTCCATGTAGAGTATGTGTGGCCGCGTGAAAGCAGGCAGACGAATTCTTCTGCTTTGCAAACAAGCGCGACGAGAAAACACAGGGAAAACGCAGGCGCAGCAGCTCAGCGCTATGTTCAAGCTGAGCAAGAGCTAGGAGGAAATTAGCCAAAAGCCAAAAAAAAAAGTGGGGCTACATCAAAGACCTACTAGCGCGGGCCTGTTACGAAAGACGCGGCGACGCGCGGTGTCTCCCCCCCAGGGGCTCCGCCCACTAGTCCTAGCACCGTAACATCGACTGACACGAAAGACGCGGAATCGGCGACGCATGGTGTCTCCCCCCAGCCCAGGGCACTAGTCCTAGCACCGTATCAGAGCGGCGGATGACCGGATTGAACACACACGCCGCAGACTTAGAATCAGTCGTCGAGGCGAACCGTCCTCTCGAGGAGGAGCCGCGCGAGGGGCGCCCCGCGAGGATACTTGACGAGTGCGGCCAAGGCCCGGAGCTGCGCGGGCTTGCGCGACAGCTGGTCCAATGTCACGGGTCCGAAGACGGCCCACGAAAAGTTTGCGTCGAGCGTCTCCGCCGCTCGAGCTCGTTTTGACGTGCCGAGCAACGAGTGGGCTTCGTCGTAGACCGCCCTGTGCCAGGTCAGGCGATGGAGCACGGAGTCCTGCGCTTGCGCGACGGGCCGCGCCGAGGAAAGCCACTCGGACGCCGGCGCGGTCCGCGCCTCCCGCGGGTCCGCGCGCGACGCCTGGGCATAGGTGGCGACGACGCATGTCATCCGCGCTAGGCGAGCGGGCGTGTTGCGCCTGAGGGCCGCGGCAGTCGTCGCGTGCTTGAGGACGTCGCAGTGCGGCCCTAGAGCGAGCGTCAGCGCCGCTATCCATTCATCCGCCGCCGGTCCAGACGCGGCGAGCACTAGCGTCGGCCCCGCGTCCTCCTCGTCGCGGCGGATGAGGTCGGCCACGGCCTTGGCGATCCGGCCTTTCGCGAGGGGCGGCGCTCCGACAGCTGCGCCGGAGCCGGAACGCTCGAGGGTCCTCAGCCGTCGCGCGAGCGACCGCGGTGGCCGCTGCGCCGGGCGTGGCGACGGCGTCGGCGGCGACGGCGGGGTCAACAACGGCTCCGCGGCGGCCGACGGCGGCGACTCCGGCGCGACCACCGGCGAGTGCTTCGCGCGCGGCAGCCAGCTACCCGACTCCTCCTCCTCTGACGACGCCGGCGAGGTGACGTCTTCCCCGGGCGACGCGAATCGCAGGCGGTCGCTCAGCGAGGCCGCCAAGTCGTCCTCGGCGGCGGGCGGCGGCGCAGGCGGCGTGGGGCTGGGCGTCGCCGACGAGAGGCGCGTGGATGCGGAGCCCTCCCTCGAGTTTTTTGCGACGAAGGGCGTCGCGGCGCCGAACGAGAGCGCTCGCGCGGCCCGGTCGCGCTGCGGCGTCGCCGGCTGCGTCGGCGCCAGCTGCGTCGGCACCAGTTCGGTGTCTGGGGTATTAACTCGCTGGGTCGGATGGAGGATCGTGGCCGGCGCGAGCGGCTGGGACAGCTGTTGAGTCGGATGGAGGATCGTGGCCGGCGTTTGCGTGCGCGTCTGTTGCTTGCGCGGAGTGGACCCTGGCGCGACGTTCTCCTCGTAGGCGTCCGGGACGCGGCGCATTGCCGAGGTTTTTGTGTTTGTCTCCTCGGACTTCACGCGTTCCGTGCGCTTGCTATTGCGCCCTCTCCCACTGCTTAACCCAGCGCTCAAAGCAAGTCCAAAAGCTAAAGCTTAAAGCCCCGTGCGCTAGCGGCCTGTAAGACACTAGGCATCCCTCGCATGCCGCAAAAAAAGAGGTCGGCCGCCCGGCGAGGGGAGCTGGCAGTCTGGCTGATTTCAATATAATTGATTTTTCTCACATCCTACACATTTCTGCCACTGCTACGAGTTCCAAACCGCCTCAAGGTCAGATTAAGCGGAAGGCACAGCAAACTACAGTCCTGCGCCTCAAGGTCAGATTAAGCGGAAGGCACAGCAAACATGCTCCTCCAATCTCTCGCGGCGGTCCTACTCGGCGCCGCCGGCCGGGCCGAGCTCTTCCTCGAGGCCGACGTCGCGGCGTTGTCGGAGCGCGCGCGACACGCGCTGCGCCGCCACTGGGAGGGCAACCCGCGCGCGCGCAAGCCGCGCTTCCTGGTCAACGACGAGATGCTCGCGAGCATGCCGCTCCTGCGGGAGGGCCTCTGCCGCTTCGAGGGCCGCTTTCGGGCCGCGCGGCCGCCGCGGCGGGCTCGGCGCCGCCCGTTTGGCGTCGTTTTCGTCGGCGACAGCACGATGCGGAACCTGTTCCACGCGCTGTGCCTCGCGATGAACGTGCGGCAGCGCGGCGACGACCAGGGCGCGCAGCCCGTGGCGACGTGCGCGGGGCGCCTCGCCGCGCCGGCGGCGCGCGCGAGGCGGCGTCGCGGCGAGTGCGGCTGCGCCGAGGAGGCCGCCTTTCGCGCGACGCGCGAGTGTGGCTGCGCCGGGTCCCTGCTGCTGAGGCCCGACGTCGCGGCCGCGTACGCCGGGAGCACGGACGTCGACCCCCGGGCCGTCGGCCGGGCGGCGGGCGCGCTGGGCGGGCCGGTCGACGCCGTCGTCTTCGGCGCGGGCCTGCGTGGAAATCAAGCGGTGACTTCGGCTGTCCTGAGAACTATTGCGGAGACCTTCGTGAGCCTCCACGCCATCGAGCCGCTGCGGTCGCGGGGACGACGTCGCGTCGACGGCGTGAAGCCTCCGCGCCATCGAGCAGACGCAGCTACGGAGACGACGTCGCGTCGATGGCGTGGGGCGCCCGAAATTTGATTGCCACGTAGGTGCGGGCCTGTGGCTGCAGTGGCCGACGCCGTTCGCCCCGGCGCCGGCGGCGTGGACGTCGTACGCCGGCTTCGTCGGCTACGAGGCCGCGCTGCGGCGGGCCGCGGGGCAGTACGCGCGCGACGCGCCGGGCGCGACCGTCGTGGCGTCGACGACGCACTCGCAGTGCGACGCCGCCTTCACGCGCGACTTCCGGCGGGTCGCGGACGAGGCGCGGCGGCGGGGCCGCGTGGCCGCGTCGGCGGGCTGCGCGGCGTGGCTCCGCGACCGCTTCGGCGACGTCGACGCCGCGCGCCACTGCGCGGCGGGGCTGCGCGGGCGGGACGCGTCGGCGGCGCTGAACGCGCGGCTGCGCTCGGCCCTGCCCGACGTCGACGTCGTCGACGCGTTCGCGCTCACGGACGGCCGCTGCGAGGAGAACCTGCCCGGCGACGCGATGCACTTCCACGGCCTGTTGTACGACGAACTGACCCTCGTCCTGGAGGCCCTGGGCTGGCGGCCGACGGCGCGGCCGGTGGGCTGCCCGCGCGCGCGGCGCGGCTGGAACGCATCCTCCGCCGCGGAGACGTCTGAGGCGCCGCGGCGGCGAGTTGTTGTGTAAGTTGCAGGTTGTTCACAATAACTGCTCCTATGCATCGGGGGAGAGAGAGAGTAGCTTATTGTGCCCACCCCCAGGACCAGTGGCCCAGGTAGTATGGACCCAGCGCTTCGTGAGAGAGAGAGAGAGAGAGAGAGAGCACGCAAGACAGCTTAGGGCAGCCACATCATCCACGTCATGCTGCTGCGAGCCGCCCTGTGGCTGCTTGCCGGCGTGCAAGCAGCAATACCTAACGCGACCCTCGCGAAGGCCAGGGCAGCCCTCGCCACGCTGCAGGCGTCGCGCGCCGTCGAAGACCTCCTCTCTGAAGAGCCAAACTACGAGGGCGCGCTGTGCGTCTGGGCGCTCGGCGAGGCCGGGGCCGACGCGGCGAGCCTGCAGGGCACGTCGTACGCCGCCGGCGACGGCGCGGTCCTCGAGTTTTTGAGAGGCGGCGGCGGCGGCGAGGACTACGCCTCGTTCGTGGGGGAGAGCCTCGGCGACAAGCTATCGGCCGCGGCGGCGCTGCTGGTCCCGCCGCTGTTCGACGCCACGGTGGACCTGGACCGAGCGCGCTCGATCGTGCTCGGTTACCAGCTCGTGCCCGACGCGTCCATGGGCGGAGACGCTGAGCGAGGCTTCGTTACGGCGCTCCCGCGTGGCGGCGCCTCCTTCTACCGGCAACGGACGTCGGTACGGACATCGGAAGGCAGCGGCGGCGGCGCGGGCTGGAACGACGACTATGCGAGGGACTCGCACCGGGTCGCCTGGTCGGACGACGTGTTCATGGGCGTGCTGAACGCGGCGGCCCTGGTCGAACACCACGACGTCGAGCCCCGCGACGCCGTGGCCATCGCGACGACCCTGGCGAACGTCACCCAGGGGTTCCTCGCCGTGTTCGGGAACTTGAGCCACGGATTTGATTTGGACGAAGAAGTCGCGTCGGAGGCCCGCTGGTCGCGGGCGTGCGGCTGGGCCGCGGCCGGGTTGGAACTGGCACTCGGGGCGCTCCTGCGCCTGGACGCCCGCGGCGCGGCGCCGCCGGACGCCTGTCGACAGGCGCACGCGACGCTCGTGGAGTACCTGGACAAGGTCGTCGCGTTTCAAGACCCCGAGAGCGGCCTCTGGTGGCAAGTCCTCGACGCGCCCAACGACGAGAGGAACTACGTCGAGACCTGTGTGGACATGAACCAGTGCGTCGCGTGCACCCAATAATTCTTCACGAAGTCATTTCGCGGCGATGACGCGGCCGTGCTGGCTCCGTCGAGCGGTGAGGAATCGAGACCGCCACCCATGATTGGGCCGTGGGAGGAGACGCGCTGCGACATTTGATTTCCGCGCAGATCGAGACCTCGGGCAGCTCCTTGATCATAGCGGCGCTCGCGGGGCTTTACAACAGGGGCGGCCTGCCCAAACACCTCGAGGAGCCTTTGTCCCGGGCCGCCCTTGCCCTTCCCGAGTACGTCGAGGCTCGCGGCCTGGCTTCGTCGAGTCGCGGCTCGTCCATCAAGGCCCGCGACTACTACTTCGACCTCGAGCCCCTCAAAGCGCGAAAAAACGACTACGTCGGGGCGGCGGTGCTCGCTCTCGCCCGCATCGCGCGCGCGCCCGCGGAGCCCGAGCCGGACCCGCGGCTCGCGTATCCTTCGCCGACGCCTGCTCCGACGCCGGCTCCGACGCCCGCGCCGACGCCGGCTCCGACGCCTGCTCCGACGCCGGCTCCGACGCGCGCGCCGACGGCGCACGTCCCGGCGACGCGAGCGCCGACGAGTCCTTCGTCGATGGTTTCAGCGGCAGCACCCCCACGACCCGCGCCGGACGACGCGCAGGACGACGCGCCGGACGACGCGTCCGTGTCGGCCGGCTTTGCGGGCGTCGCGATCGGCTCGGCCGCCCTGCTAGGGCTCGTGACCGCGCGGCTCTGCCGAAAGCGGCGCACGCCGAGCACGCCGTTTATCGACGAGCCGAGGTTCTTCGACGACGACTTCGCCGCGGTGGATGTGAAGACGTAAGTGTGTAGTGTGACTCCTATCGCCGCGCCGACGGCGTGCTGGCCCGAGACGCCGCCCGCGCGCGAGCGACCACAACAAGCGCCCCGGGCCGCCCCCCCCCCGAGACCTCAGGACTGCCTAGCCACCGCGACCGACGCCTCCCTGCGTGACCGCACGCCCGTCCACCCGTCCCCCATACGCCGTCGCCCCGAGTGTTCAAACTGGCACATTTTCGTGGTGGCTAGGCGGCCTAGCTCTAAGCAAAGCAAATTTAAAAATAAGGAAAAGGCCTTAGTCTATCAGTACCTCTAGTACTAGGCCAAGTCTCGCCCGGGCCCGGGTGAGCGCCGGAGGAATGCACAAAGTCGGACAACATGCTCCTTACCCGGACTGGTACATCGCCTTCCCCGTGATGACCGTCTGGACGACGTTCTCGAAGCCCGCCCGGCGGACGTCCGCCACGAAGGAGACGCGCGTCCGGAAGAGCAGCTCCCCCCGGTCGCCGTCCTTGGTCGCGGAGTTCCGAATGGTGTTCTCGTTCGGCACGAGGTAGTCCTCGGCGACGTGCAGCGCGCCGTCGGTGGCGACGGGCGTGCCGTCCTCGTCCGCGAGCCGCTCGACGAGGGCCACCACCGTCTCCAGGGCGGCGGCGTTCGCCTCGTCGACGGTGGCGTACACCTTCTGCGACATTATCTTGAGCAGGTCCCGCTTCTTCGCCGCCGCCATCGTCTCCGCGCGCACGCGGGCCGCGGCGTCCTCCGAGAGCCCCTCGACGCAGCGCTGGTCCCAGTGCTGGACGCCGGACTCGACCTTGGTGTAGAGGATGAAGCCGGGCTGCTTGGGCGCGCTCTTGACCTTCTTCGGGCGCGGCTGAGGGACGTGCGGCGGCGGCGGCCGCTTCGGCGGCGCCTGGCCGCTCGGCGGGAGCTTCCGTTGCAGGTGCGCGGGCAGCCTCCTGCGTTCGGACTCGTTCGCCGTCATCAGGATGGCCTCCTGCGTCGCCGGGTCCTCGCACTGGATGTAGCCGCGCACCATGTCGTTGGCGATGTCGCCGCGGCTGCCGCCCAGGTCGAGGACCTGCTGGAGCGTGCGCGCGGCCTTGTAGCGGTCGTAGCGGTCGGCGGAGGCGCCCTTCTTCGGATTTTCTTGCTGCACGCGGCAGGCGGCGGAGAGCTGGTGCTGCTCCACTTTGACCATGGTGGCGATTCCTCTGGAAAAACGCAGCGCTGCCCGGCGCAAATAGTTGGCTCGAGTTCTCTGAAGCCAAGGGGGAACAACTGTCTGCGCCGACAGCGCGCGCAGGGCGTGACTAGTATCTCAAGCCGCTAGCTCGGTACAAATGCCGAGCGGAGCTCAGGAGGTCCATCAGTCTCAGAAGAAGAACCTCAACGACGCTTCGGCTAGCCTGGAGTTCTCGCAAGCCACGGACAGCGGGAGGATGTCCGCCCCCGCGACGCCTCAGCGCCCGCAGCCCTCGCGCTACGCGTGCGCCATCTGCATGGAGAACGAGGCGATCGAAGCGGTCGTCACGGCGTGCGGGCATTTGTACTGCTGGTCGTGCCTGTATCGATGGCTGGACGCGGGCCACAGTCGCTGCCCGGTATGCAGCGCCCGCGTGAACAAGAGCGACGTCACCCCTCTCTACGCGTCGGAGCTGCGGGGTCGGCCCCCGTCGCCCGTGCCGCGGCCGCGCTCCAGGACGCCCTCGCCCGTCGCGCGGAGCAGTCCGCGGCAGTGGGACTCGCCCGAGCGGACGCCGCCGCGCTCGACCTCGCTGCCGCCGCCCCTGCCGTCGCTCGTGGACGGCCGGGCGGCGAACGCGGCCTTTCCCTCGCTGTTCGGCCTGCAGTTCCGCCGGTTGTTGTGGCGGCGGCGCGCGGGGCCAGAGGACTTTGGGCTGCAGCTGTGGTCGATGGGGCTGCTGGTCGCGGTGCTGGCGCTCGTGTTTGTGGCGTAAGCCGCTGTTCTTTACGAGATCCCGCGGGGCCACTCGCCTCCTCGGCGAATCTCGCCGCCGGGCGCGAATTGGCGAACTGGCGCGCGGTGTGCTTGTGCTGAGGACTAGGACGGTAGTGGCGGGGATGCGGGTGTATTCTCGCCTCGTGGTGGTGGGGGGGCGATCGAATGCCAGTTGATGCCGCTCGACGCGCGCGACCGCGGCTCCTCGTGCGGCGAAAATGCGCGCTGGCCTTCCGACCCGTGCGGACAACCGTGCGGGGAGTGCTCCGGGGCGGATAGAGCGTTCCGTTTAGACTGTCGAGTCGAGTCGACTCCTCCGGCGAGGCTAAACACAAGGCTTTGGTGCTGGCACCAGGGCGTGAGCGCAGCGTTCGCGAGACTAGCGGCGCTTCTCGCATCAGCTCTTGGGTAGCTTTCGGCGTGCCGAAGAGCAAGCGGCACGAAAGCTTCCCTTAGCATCGAGCTCAGCTGGGCTCGACGACCGCGTCCGCGCACCAGTTCGGCGGCGAGCTCTCGGGCTCCAATCCGGACCGGCGGCGCGACGCGGCCGCAGCCATGGATGACTACGGCGAAGAAACGGGCTTGACCCGTGAGATGAAGGCGGCGGCGGACGCCGGCCCGACGCGATCGGACACGGACACGAAGTGGCGTCGCGGCGGCGGCGGCGGCGGCGGCGGCGGCGGCGCGAGCGAGCGCCCGCGCGCGTTCGGCTCGCGGGGCGGCGCCGGCGCCGACGCGATCCGCCAGGCGATGCGGGGCGGCGGCGGAGATTCGGGCGGCGACGCGCCGATGCGCGGCGGCGCCAAGTCGCTCGACCCGCGCTACAGGAGCGACGCCCCGGCGCCGATGCGGGGCGGCGCCAAGTCGCTCGACCCGCGCTACAGGAGCGACGCCCCGGCGCCGATGCGGGGCGGCGCGAAGAGCCTGGACCCCCGCTACGGCGCGCCGATGCCCCCCGCCAAGACCAAGAGGGGCGAGGGCATGAAGGGCGGCGCGAAGAGCCTGGACCCCCGCTACGGCGCGCCGATGCCGCCCGCCAAGACCAAGAAGGGCGAGGGCATGCGGGGCGGCGCGAAGAGCCTGGACCCCCGCTACGGCGCGCCGATGCCCCCCGCCAAGACCAAGAAGGGCGAGGGCATGAAGGGCGGCGCGAAGAGCCTGGACCCCCGCTACGGCGCGCCGATGCCCCCGCCCAAGCGCAAGTCCCCGGCGGCGGCGGCGCCGCCGCCGCCGAAGCCGGCCCAGCCCTACAAGACGCGCGAGGTGCGCGGCGGCGGCTTCGGCTCGGTCGACGCGCGCAAGGCGCCCGCGCCCCCCGCGAAGAAGGCGCCGGCCGCGGCCGGCGCCGCGCCCGCCGCGGAGGAGCCGGGCGAGGCGAACCCCGACGTGCCCGCGCGGACCATCGACGTGTACTGGCAGTCGTACCCGCAGGAGACGGTCTGGACCCGGATCAACCGGCGCGAGACGAAGAAGGAGACGAAGTCGCGCATGCCGGTCGTGCTGCGCAACCTCGCCCCGGACACGGCCTTCGACCCCCGCGTCATGTGGGAGAAGGAGAAGGAGCGCGTGGCCGAGCAGGCCGCCGAGGCCAAGGCGGACGCCATCGCCGCGAAGAAGAGCGGGGGCAAGAAGGCCCCCAAGGCCAAGAAGCCGACGAAGAAGGAGGAGATGATCGCCAAGAACAAGCTCGAGCAGGAGGAGAAGGACGTGCGCGCGGACCTCGAGAAGCTCGAGAACGCGTCCAAGAACAACAAGCGGCGCGAGAAGCTGGGCGGCGTCCTGATGGCGACGAAGCTCGCGACGCCCCTCGGCAAGCTGCGGCAGCTGCTGATGGTCCTCGAGGCCGAGCTCGCGAACGACGACCAGCCCGCCGTGCTGGACGTGCTGTGGGCCGTCGAGGCGAACGCGCTGTACCACCAGGCGCTCCGCGACGGCGACGCCGGCGACGGCGGCGAGGCGGCGAAGAAGGGCAAGGACAAGGACAAGAAGAAGGGCGGCAAGGACGACAAGAAGAAGGCGAAGCCGGCGACGCCCGCGGCCGCGCTGGTCCACGAGTTCCGGAAGGAGGTGCGCGCGGCGAAGAAGCTGCGCAAGGAGCTGGAGCTGGCGGAATTTCAGCTCGCGCGCATGCACGACCGGCTGCCGCCGCTCTCGCGCTTCCTCAAGGGCTGGCGCCTCGACGCGTGGCAGAAGAAGGTGCTGCGGCACATCGACAACGGCAAGTCCGCCGTCGTGTGCGCGCCGACGTCGTCGGGCAAGACGGTCATCTCGACGTACACGTGCGTCGCGAACGAGCGCGTGCTGTTCGTGGTGCCCACGGAGCCCCTCGTGTGGCAGGTCGCCGCCATGTTCGAGAAGCTCCTGCAGGGGTCGGCGCGCGTGGCCCTGGCCACGAACCAGCTGGCCTACCGGCCGTCCGAGGACCGGTCGCGCGTCGTCGTCGGCACGCCGCTCGCGCTGGAGAGCTCGCTCGTCAAGATCCGGGGCCAGGTCGGCGAGGAGTGCACGTCGACGCGCTGGGACTACGCCCAGCTCGACGGCGGCTTCGACTTCGACTACGCGGTCTTCGACGAGGTGCACGCGCTCGACGGCGACGAGGGCGCGGCGCTGCAGCGCCTCGTGCGCTACGTCACGTGCCCGACGCTGGCGCTCTCCGCGACGATCGGCAACGCGTCCGAGCTCCGGGACTGGTGGCAGTGCGTGCGCGACGACGCGGCGCCGGGCGACGCCGTGGAGCTCGTGGAGCACGCGGGCCGCTTCATCAACGTGCAGAACCTGGTCCTCGACCCGCGCGGCCAGCTCGCCGCGCTGCACCCCTGCGCGGCGCTCAAGGTGCCCCAGCTCCTCGGCGACGAGAAGCTCGCCTTCGCCATGACGCCGGCCGACTCCAAGAGCCTGTACGAGGCCCTCGCCAAGGCCTACGACGGGACGGCCGGCCTCAAGCCGGCGACGTTCTTCGGCGAGGCGGCGAAGCGGGAGGAGGCGGCGCGCGACGAGGCGCTCGCCGCCATCGAGAAGCGGACGGGCCGCGCGCCGCGCGACGACCCCAAGTCCGACGCGTTCAAGGCCGCGGCGTCCGCGCGGAGCCGCATCACGCTCGACGGCGCCAAGGCCTACGAGGGCGCCCTCAAGCAGCGGCTCTACGACGAGGCGGCGCGGGACCCCGACGCGCTGGCGGCCTTCCTCGACTCGTTCGTGCCGGACCACCTGCGCGCGGCCGAGGGCGCGGACGCCGCCGCGTCGACGGGCCGGTTCTCCATCCTGAACGTCGCGACGCAGATGCGGTCTAAGCTGCTGTTCCCCGCGCTCGCGTTCCACCTGGACTCGTTCCGCTGCCTGGCGCTCTTCAAGAGCCTGCTCGTCGAGCTCGAGGAGGCGCAGGACGCCCGGTACCCCGAGTACTCGGCGGAGCTGCAGGCCAAGGCCGACGAGAAGCAGCGCGAGGCCGAGCAGCGCCAGAAGAACGCGGCGCGCAACGAGAAGGAGGCCGAGGAGGCGGCGCGCGACGGCTTCGACGACGGCGGCGACGCCTTCGTCGACGTCTCGGCGCCGCACCCCGAGTTCGTGCTGGCGCCGCCGACGTCGCGGCTCTCGGCCAAGGAGATCGACGACATCCTGCTCGAGCTCAAGCGCGACACGCAGGGCCGCGAGGAGCTCAAGCCGACGCACATCCTCGTGCGGGCGCTGCGGCGCGGCTTCGCGATCTACATCGAGGACGCGGCCTTCTCCGTGTACCGGCGCGTCGTGCAGCGCCTGGCGCAGCAGGGCAAGCTGGCCATCGTGTTCTCGGACGTGAGCCTCGCGTACGGCGTGAACATGCCCTTCCGGACCGTGATGTTCTGCGGCGACGAGGGCGGCCTCCTCACGCCGCTGCTCGCGCAGCAGATGGCCGGCCGCGCGGGCCGGCGGGGCCTCGACACGCAGGGCAACCTCGTCTACCTGGGCATGACCTGGCCGCGCATCCGGCGGCTCATGGTCGGCACGGTGCCGGGCATCGTCGGCAAGACGCCGCACTTCGCGACCATGGCCCTGCCGCTCGCGCTGTCCGACGCGTGCGCGGCGAACGCCCTGTGCGCGACGGCGGACCGGCCCATGCTCCAGCGGCTGTGCGCGGCCTCGCTCGCGGAGCACGCGGCGGGCGCGCGGCGGACCGCGGCGGAGTCGGACGCGACGGTGGCGCAGGCGCTCGCCGCGCTCGAGAAGCTGGACCTCTGGGTCGGCGACGCCGAGGCGGACCAGAACACCGACGTCCGGCCGAAGCTGTGCTGCGTGTGGGAGCTGCGCGACTACCTGCCGGAGAGCGTGGCCCTCGCCCACGCCCTGCCCGACTTCATGGGCGAGTTCGTGAAGAACCGCTTCAACTTCAAGAAGGCCACCGAGGACGCCGGCTCGGAGGCGGTGCAGATCGCGTTCTTCGCCGCGTTCCTGCACATCGTGGACCGCCACCCGTGCCGCGAGGGCGCGACGCCGCTCGCGCAGTGCACGTGGATCCAGAAGGACGCCGCCCGGCAGGAGAACTGGGCCAAGTGGGAGAAGATCGTCGCGGCGTCGCAGGCGCGGCTCGACGGCGTGCCGGAGGCCCTCGCCGGCGACCGGGACGCGCTGCGCCTGCCGGCGCACGCGGACCTCGACGGGTCGGTGTTCGAGATCGCCAAGGACCGCCGCATGCCGCCCGCGTCCGCCATCTCGTCGCTGGAGCGGCACGTGCTCAAGAAGCGCCTCTGGCACGTCGGCAACGTCCTGCTGAAGATGCACAACTGCCTGCAGCTGCGGGGCGAGTTCATCGCGCTGTCGCCCCTCCTGCGGAAGTGCTTCACGCGCGTCAAGTACATCCTCAGCGACGACATCAACGCGAACGTCGACGAGAACGCGATCCTCGGGGAGCGCGTCGACTCGAGCGACGACCTCGCGACGATGGCGACGCTCGAGGAGGAGGCGTCGGCGGCCGTCGCCGCGCAGGAGTGAGAGTGTGGTGCTTCCGCTCCCCGGCCGGAGAGGGGGGAGGGCTCGTTCGTATATACCTAATCTTTCTAACGTAGCTTGCCAGTGATGCTCGGTCGTCGTCGCGGTGACGTTCGCGGTGTGCCAGTGACTCGGGCTGGCACAGATGGCTCCCATAGTATCATAAATTCTTAACATAAGGAGACAAGGGATGGTGGTTTGCGAGCAGCGGCGGAGACGGCGGCGCGCCTTTCGGGGCGCGGCGCGTGAGGAAAGAGGAGAAGCGTGTGCCGCATCGCGCGGCGCACGGAGTTTTTCAGAGGACCGGCGACACGTAGCGCGCGGCGAGCTTCTGCCAGGACGCTTCTCTGTGCTTGCGGTCCGGGTAGCGTTCCTCGAAGGGGTCGTACGGCGCCCCCGCGAGACCCATCGCGACCGCCAGGCAGCTGAACGCCGTGAAGGCGTTCTGCCCCGACCGGTACCGGAGCCGTCGGGGCGGTGGCAGGCGCCAGCGCTGGAGCGGCGCGGCCTCGCGGGCGGCCTCGCGGGCGGCTCGCTCGCGGCTCGCGCGCCGGACGGCGCCGACCCACTCCTTGTACGTGGAGAGCCGCGCGCTGCGCCGCCGCGCGTAGAACTGGTACTGCCGTCGCGCCCGCCGCGGGTCGGCGTCGAACGGGTCCTCGTCGTAGCCGTCGAGCGCCTCGTCGTCGTCGTCGTCGTCGTCGAGCGACGAGCTGCTGTCAAAGGTCGAGAGCCAGGCCGGCGGCAGGCCGGCGAACACTACTCGTGCTGCGACGCGGGCTGCGGGCGAGAGCGGGGAGTCCATCTCTGGCACTGAGAGGCCGCCGTCTGAGCCTCTGTCTTAGCTCTGTGTGGCACTGGAGGCCGCCGCGCGGCGTGGGATTCACTCTGTAAGCGTATCGAAGACAGCGCGCGCGCTGGTTGGAGAGCAAAACTGTCCGCGCAGAGTGCTGGTGGTGTCGACGCTTAAGATCTGGGTGCTCTGGCTGCTCCTCGATGATCAACCATCTTGCAACCCGGCCTCCGCGAGACGCCTTCCGACGCCTGCCATCAGGCCGTACCGATCGAGGACCGCTCCCGGTCGCGGGTTGCAGTATGTAGCGTGAGAGAGACACTAGCCAAAAGCGTCTCCGCCTATCCACGGCCGCGCAGGGCTTCGAGTTCTGTAGGCCGCGCGTGTGTCGGCGGCGGTACCCAGAGGTGCGCTCGGACTAGGATCGCTCTACTCGTGACGCGTGAGTAGTGATTTACGGGCGGCAAAAACGATACCGCGCGCACCGCTCTTGTTAGGCGCGGGAACGCTCCGACGGGTACGCGACCGAATCCCCGGGACCAATCCCGCCGCGCAGGTCCTCGCCTGCCCAGCCTACACACTCTGAACGTCAAAGCCCGAGCAACTTAAGGCACCCCGCCACCACCCCGTCCGTGTCGCGCGCCTTGACGAGCTTCTCCGCGTGCCGCTTCAGCGGCAGCTTCAGCTTGGGCGCGAACGCCAGGAGCTTCTGCAGCTGCGGCGCGGGCAGCATGAGCGCCGCGGCGAAGCACGCGTCGTCGCCGGCGCCCGCGCCGGCGCCCAGGATCTTGCAGTACATGAGGAAGCCCTTCCACAGGTCCGCGTCGCGCCAGACGCCCACGTCGACCAGCCGCGGGAGCACGCGCCGCGCGACCGGCCCGGCGAGCTGCGCCGGGTGCGTCTTGACGGCCAGGATGCACGTCCGCAGGAACGCCTTCGGCACGCCCGCGAGCCCCTCGGCGCCCGAGCCCTGCGGCGGCGTCATGCGGTCCAGCGCGTCCCGGAGCGCCAGCGGCCCGAACACGTCGCGCAGGCTCAGGCAGACGTTGAGCGCCTCGTTCAGGCGCTTGACGGGCACGGCGCCCGCCGGGACGCGGTGCAGCTTCACCAGGAGGTCCGCGGCCCCCAGGTCCGTGGTCGACTTCGACGCCTTGGCCTGCGCGCGGACCGGGCGGCGCGTCGCGGACCGGCGGGGAAAAACAAAAAAAAAGCGCGCGCGCGTCGGGACGCCGCGCGCGCGCGGCGTGCGTCTGCACCGCGCGCCGGAACGCCGCGCCGAGCTGCGCGTCGTCGAGCCGCCGCAGCAGGGACGGCAGCGCCGCCTCGACCTCCGCGGCCGTCGCCGCGCCGAGCGCGGGCGTCAGGAACTCCACCCCGTCGTCCTCCTCGGCGCTGCCCCGCTCCCGCCGCGCCCGCGCGCGCACGGCGACGGCGCCCTCCCAGAGCTGGGGCGCGCGCGCGCCGCGCCCGGTCGCGAGCGCGGCCACCAGCGACCGCAGGAGCGCCTCGGTCGCGTCGCGCCGCCGGGGCGACAGGTCGCCCCCGAGCGCGTCGGCGGCGTGCTCGAGCGTCGGCTTGGCGCCGTGGACCGTGGCGAGGGCTGGCGCCAGTTTGGGGAGCTCCGCCTCGCAGGCCTGGCGCGTCGTGGCGCGCCGCGCGTCGTCGGGCGCGTCGGCGGTCGCCGCCGCGGCCCGCACGACGTCCGGCACGAGCGACGCGTCCTTGACGCACAGCGCGACGACCAGCGCGAGCTCCCGGCGCGCCGCCGCCAGCGCGTCGCCGCCGTCGCCGGCGCGGCCCTCGGGCCCCTCGCGCGCGGCCGTCTCGAGCCGCGCGCGCGCGAAGGCCACGACCGTCTCCCGCAGCGCCGCGTTGGGCCACAGCTGGTTCGTCGCCAGGCGGACGGCCTTCTCCCGCACCTCGGGCGCGACGTCCGGCCGCCGCGTCAGCTCCAGCGCGCGCCGCAGGCACCGGTCCCGCGCCGCCGGGCGCCGCGTGGCCACGTCCCGCAGCGCGCCCAGCCCGAGCGCCACGTGGTCCGGCGACTCGCACAGGTCCCCGAGGAACGCGATCGCCGCGTCCGGGAGCCGGGGGGCGCCCAGGGCCGCCTCCGCGAGGAGCTTGCGCTCCTCCGCGTCCAGCCCGTCCCGGAGCGCCCCGAGGAGCGCCAGCAGGCAGCGGTCGTACGCGTCGCGGGCCGCGCCGCGCTTCTCGCGCGCGTAGAGTTCGAACAGCACCCGCAGCCCGAGCTCCAGGCCGTCCCGCCGGCTCTTCTTGTCGGCCACGGCCCGGCGCAGGACGCGCGCCACGCCCTCCGGCTGGTCGCAGGCCTCGCCGCGCGCGAGGCGCGCGACGATCGCGTCCCGCGTCTCGAACCGCTTCTCGCCGGCGACGGTCTCGGCCGGCGCGGCGAGGCAGCGCGCCGCCGCGCCCTCGCGCAGCCGGGCCCGGTGCGCGTCGGGGACGGGGGCCGCCGCCGCCCGGGGGCCCCGCGCGCCCGCCACGAGCCGCCCCGCCGCCTGCGCGGACAGCGCGCGGTCGTCCTTGGGGGGCTCCGCGGGCGGCGGCATCTCGAGGTCCTCCTCCTCGACCTCCATGGCGTCGTCGCCCACGTCGTCGTAGTCGATGCTGAGCTTGCGCTCCCGGCGCGTCCGCGGGTCCCGCCGCCGCTTCTTCGCCGGGGGCTCCTCGCTCTCGAAGGGCTGGCCCTGCCGCGCGCGCCGCAGCGCGTCGTCGGCGGCCCCGCCGAGCTTTTCGCGTCGAAGCGCCGCTTCCAACTTGTTGGCGGCCGCGGCGATCGCGCCTGCGCGGGCGCCGGGGCGTCTCGCCGCGTCCCCGGGACGCGCGACGCCCCCCGCGCGGCCCCCGGTCGACGTCCGCGCGGCGCCGCGCCCGTCGACGACCGCGTCCGCTCCAGCTCCGCGGCGTGGAGGGCCCGGCACGCCGCGCGGCTGTGCGACGAGTCCTTCTCGAGGGCCGCCAGGATGGCCGCCACGAGCTCGCGGTGGCACTTGGCGAACTGCCGCCCGAGCGCCGCGGCCGCCGCGTCGAGGGCCGCCGCGTCGCCCGTCTCCGCGCGGGCCGCCAGCGCCGCGGCGTCGGCCTTCGTCGCCTTCGAGGGCCGCTTTCCGTCGGCCGCCGCGTCCCGGACGAGCAGCGCCACGACGGCGGCGAGCGCCGCGTCCCGGTGCGCGTCGGACTGGACCGCGTCGTCCCTGCCCGTCGCGGTCCGGCGGTGCGACGGGTCGACCGCGTTGCGCAAGCGCTCGCGACTGGCGTCGTCGACGGTCGCGGCCGCGAACCGCTCGTCGCCCAGCAGCCTCGCGGCGCCGCGGAGCGCCGCCGCGGCGACCGGCTCGTTCTCGTCGACGGCGAGCACGCAGCACGTGGCGAGCGCCGTCGACGCGCACTCGTCCGTGACTTGCAACTTCCCCCTGGCGACGACCGCGTCCACGAACTCGACGACGGCCTTGCGCACCTTCGCCGAGCGGTCGGCCGCGTAGCCCGCGACGCCCTCGACCACCTCCGCCACCAGGGCGCTGTCGCCGCGGTACGCGCAGAGCTCCACGAGGAGCGAGATCTGCGCGGTCTTTTGGTCCTTGTTCGTCGCGGCGGCGGCCTTGTCGAGGACCGCCCGCGCCTGGCGGTAGACGGCCTCCATTATTGCTCGGCCCGTCAATACGCCCCCGCGCGGTGGCTGGCTAGACAAAGCGTTCTGGGCTGGCAAGTTAACCCAGCGACAAGAATTTGGGCTGTCCAAGGCTGCGTCGCAAAAGCGCCGGTGATGCTAGTGCCTTACGGCGCTAGCTGTGGCAGGACCTGGGAGGCGGACGTCTATCTACCCTAGAAACACACATAACACAAGTTTCACGCCGCGCGAACCGCTTCGCGCGCGGCTGTGCTGATTGTCAACGCCTGACAGCCTTTGGGGGTCTGCTACAGATAACCAATCGCCCGGCCCGCTGCCAGCGCAAGTGCTTGCACCTTTCGCCTTTGCGGAGGCAACCTGTGAACCCTGTGCTTGCTCCACAGCGCATAGATTTTTTCATGGCCGCAAAAACTGCGCAAAAACGCGGGGCGCAGAAGCGGGGCGGGACGGTGCCGCCCGCGGCGATCGCGGCGCTGCGCCGGATCGCTCCCGCGCACGTGCCCGACGCCGCGCTGGTGGCGCTCGCAAAGGGCGGCGACGCCCAAAAAGCGAAAGCCGAGGTGACGCGGTGGTGGCGCGAGGCCGCGCCGACGCGCAAAGGCCAGTGGTGGCGCGAGCTCGCGGCGTCGGAGACGGACCCCATTTCGTTGGAGCCGCTCAACCGGCTGCGCGTCGAGCCCTTCGAGATCGACGAGGACGGCCACAAGATGCTCTTCGACGCGCGCGTGCTCGCGGCGTACCTGGTCTCCTCGAACGTCTTCGCGAATCCGCTCACGCGGCGGCCGCTGCGGCGGGAGACGTGCGCCTCGTTGGACGCGCACCTCGAGAAGCACGGCCGCGCGAAGGACGCGACCGTGGCGCGCGCGTTGGACCTCTCGCGCGACGACGACGCGCAACGGAGGCTCCAGTCCGAGAGGCTGCGGGCCGAGTCGCGCCGCGTCCTCGCCGCCTTGTTCGGGGGCGACGCGGAGAGCCTGGGCGCGCGGCAGGTGCGCTTGGCGGAGGACGCGGCGCGGCGGGCGGAACGGGGCGGCGGCGGTCTGGTGGTCGAGGATGCGGACGTCGGCGTCTTCCAGGAGGCGGCGCCGAGCGCGGCGCCGCGGCCGCCGCCGCCGGACAGCGCCGAGTCGTACCCGGTCCTGGAGAGCGCGACGCGGCGCCGGGACGACGCCGCCTTCTGGGCGCGCCGCGCCCAAGCCGCCCCGCGCGGGCTTTTTTCGGCGCCGCCGCGGCCTGTGTGGAAATCAACCAGTGCGTCGGGTGCACTAAGTCGTTTCTCGGCGATGGCGCGGCCGTCCTGGCTCGGTCGAGCGGCGAGGAGCCGGCATCGCCACGCCGTCGAGCCGGCGTCGCGTCGATGGCGTGGAGGACGACGCGATGATTCAGCACGAACGCGCCGTAAAATTTTGATTTCCGCACAGGCCGCGGCCCCGGGCCGCGCCGTCGACGAACGACCGCCTGCTCGCGCGGAACCGGCGCCTCGCGGACGCGTTCGGCGTCGATCGACAGCGCGCCGCGCAAACGGTCGCGTGGCCGCCGGCGCTGGTCCTCTGCCGTGCGAAAAATCAACCGGTGAGTCGAAGGCCGTGAAATGTTGATTCATACACAGGTCCTCTGGGCGCAGCGGACGCTCGCGACCCACGTCGACGGTTTGGCCGGGGGCGGCGGCGCGTTGCGCGCGTTGGAGCGGAAGCTGGCGCGGTGCTGCGAGGCGGACGGCGAGGTGCCGCTGCCGGCGCGCGCGACGCGGGCCGACTCGACCCGCGCCGCCGAGGTCGCGGCGCTCTACGGGCTCCGCGCGGAAGAATACGCCGACGGCGCGGTGCGGTACCTGAGCTGCCGCCGCTTGCCCGGCGCGCGGCCGCCGCAGCCGCTCCTGAGCGAGCACGCCGCGACCGCGCCGCCGCCGCCCGCGCCCGCGCCGACGGCGCCGCCGCCGCCCGCGCGCGCGCCACCGTCACCCACGTCGTGGACCTGCGACCGGTGCACGCTCGTGAACGCGCCCGGCACGACGGTCTGCCAGGCGTGCGACGCGGAGCGACCTCGGGAGGTCGTTCGCGGCGGCCCGCGCGGCGCACCGGCGGCGCCGGAGCCGCCTCCGCCGCCCGAGGCGACGCCTACTACCTGGGAAATGCTCGGGTCCGACGACGACGACGACGACGAGGCCGACGACGGCGGCTTGACGCGGCCGTCGCCCGCGAGGGTGTTGACCGTCGCGCCGGACGACGTGTGCGTCTGCTGCCTCGAGCTCTTGGCGTTGGAAAACACGAAGGTGATGGCGTGCTGCGGTACGACCCTCCACGCGCGGTGTCTTTCGGACTGGCTGGCGGCCGCGCAGCGGTTGTCTACGGAGGGCGACCGCGTCGGCGAATCGGCGACGTGTCCCAACTGCAGGCAGGTCATCCCGCTCTCAATCTCCGTGCTGCCGAACCCGCGCATGCAGTACGCCTAGCCTGTTTAATGTGACTTGACTTCATTCCAAGTCCGTGTCTTAGTCATTTTTCATGCCACTGGCAGTGCCAGTGCCCTGATTTGGAACCCACATTAGATCTCTTATTTAGTACACACCCAACCACATTACGTCCGAGTCAGGCCGGATCGCCGGGCTCCGTCGGCAGCGGACGCGTGGCGACGCCCGGCCGCACGACCAGGCACTCCCACTGGCGCGCGTGGCGCGCCAGGTCCGCCGGCGCCATGCACTGGAGGCGCGGCTCGCGCCACTTCGGGTCGAGGAGCACGAGCCGGTCGCGCGACACGCCGACGACGCAGCGGTTGTGGCCGCCGAAGCAGACGAGCGCCGGCGGCAGGCACGACGCGCCCCAGACGTCGTCGGATCCGACGCCGACGACGTTCTTGAAGTAGTCTGCGAGGTACGTGACGAGGCGCCGCGCGGCCAGGCCGTCGCGCCGCCCGTCGAACCCCCGGACGTCCGCGCGGACGCCGGCGCTCCGCAGCGCGACGCACGCCTCGCAGCAGCCGATCCACTCGCGCGAGCCCACGAACGGAAAGCGCCCGCGCAGCCTGTCTCGCGTCTGCTGCGCGCCCGTGGGGTCGAAGCCGCGGGTCCAGCCGCGCTCGACCGCCGCCTGGACGGCGGAGACCGACGCGACGCCGCCGGGCTCCGCGAGGCCCGCCGACGCCAGGGCCGTCCCGTACTCGGCGCCGGCGCGCCGCAGCGCGAACACGAGCGTCTGCAGGCAGCGGTAGCCACAACTCCAGCCGTCCGGCTGCGGGTAGAGCCGGACGGCTTCGTCGGGCCGCGCCAGGTCGGCGGGATCCGCGCCGAGCAACCGGCGGATCGACGCGAGCGCGGCGACGGGCGCGGGCTCGACGCGGCGTCTCTTCGCGTCGTCCGCGCCGGCGAGGCGCCTCGCCAGCGCCGCGTCGCCCTCCGTGCGGGCGTCGCGGGCGGCGAGGCGCCTCGCCAGCGCCGCGTCGCCCTCCGTGCGGGCGTCGCGGGCGGCCAGCCGCGCGGCGTAGGCCGCGTCGCCCGCGGTGCGGTCCGCCTGGCCCGCGAGACGCGCGGCGAGCGCCGCGTCGTCGCTCGTGTCCGCGGGGCCGCTGCCCGAGAGTTTGGCCGCGAGGTCCGCGTCGCCGCTCGTGTCCGCGGGGCCGCTGCCCGCGAGTTTGGCCGCGAGGTCTGCGTCGCCGCTCGTGTCCGGCGCGTCGCCGTTCGGTTTCGCGCGCGCGGACTCCTTGCGTGCGAGGCGCTCGGCCAGCGCCGCGTCGCCGCTCGTGTCCGGCGTCACCGCGGCCGCCTCCGTCGACGCCTCGAACGAGGTCAACCGCTGCGTGCTCGAGCTCTCCTCAGATGTCAAATCGATGACCTGGGTATTCATGCCGTTTTCCGTCGCCGGCGCTGGCAAGCTGCGCCCTAAAAGCGCGTTGTTAGGTACTTTTATACATACCCAAACCTACCATACCCGACCAAAAACCATCACACGCCGTCGCCGCCACAGTAACCCGTCGCGGACGGTCGTACGATTGCGGCGAGAGTTAAGATCCGCAGTTGCCTCCGTACCTGTTGCTTCGATTGCTTCCCACCAAGCGCACGAAAGCGCAGGCCGTCTTGGCAGGCCGTCGGGCCCAAACGCGCCCGTCGAGGGCGACCAGCGGGATCCCTGGACTCGCCTGCGGGACCGGGGCAGCGGGCGCGCTGCGCCGCGGGCAAGTGCGGGTTGCACGCCACGGCCGGCGTACGCGTGGGCGCGTCGGGTGGCGGGTAACCGGTCATCCCGCCCGCCGCCGCATCCGCATCGAGCTCGGTCTCTCGCTCGCTAAACCCGGCCCTCGCGCGGCATGGTGCTCTTCCGCGCGCGCGACCTCGACGCGCCCGCGAAGAAGCGGGCCAGGTGCTTCGACTGGCAGCGGCCGGGCATCCGGGAGGCGTACGAGCTGTCCGTCGTCTCGCTGGTCGCCTCCGGCGTCGCCGTGATCATGGGCGCCGTGTCGACGGGCCAGACCGACAGCGCGACGGCGCTGGGCTACACGCTCGAGAACTGCGTCGACTTCCTGGGCAGCGTCCTGGTGCTGTGGCGCTTCTCGGGCGGCGGCGACGGCGTCCCGAAGGACGTCCTGGACCGGCGCGAGAAGCGCGCCGACGCGGGCATCAGCGCCATGTTCGTCGTCCTGGCCGTCGTCGTGTGCGTGGACGCGGGCCGCGAGCTCGCCCTGCACGAGCGCGACCGCGACATCGTCGAACTGATCGTGCTCTACACGCCGTCGACGGTCCTCTTCGTCGCGCTGGGCGGCGCCAAGCTCCACGTGGGCACGGCCATCAAGTCCCCGGCGCTGCGCAAGGACGGCATGTGCTCCCTGGCCGGCGCCCTCATGTCCACGGGCGTGCTCGCCAGCGCGGTCATCGAGGAGACCACCGACATCTGGTGGGTCGACTGCATGGTGGCGATCCTCGTGGCCGCCGCCCTCGGCGCCAAGGGCGCGTCGACCCTGTGGCGGACGGCCGAGGCGGGCACGGCGTGGTGGACGTGGGCCTTCTGGTGCGGCATGTGCGCCAAGAGCGTCGACTGCGCACCCGACGACGACGACGCGCCGCTCCTCGGCAGCGGGGCCCTCTAGCGGCGGCCGCGCCGCGGGCTGTTTTTTATACGTGTAGTATAGTATAGCGGATAACTCGCAGGATTGCTTTGCTTCGAGCTAGGCCGCCTAGCCATCCGGCCGACGCTCCTTCCCCCGTCGCAGAATTGATGCGTCGTTTTTTCCTACGTGTACGTACGTCGTTTCCAGGAGGTCTTCCAGTCCCAACGCGGGCGACCGCCCCTGCCGGCGGCCGCCAGCGACGTCTAAATTCCTGGCCTTTGCCCCGTATCTTGGCGGCTTCTTTAAAATAATAGACACACATATATTATACACTAATTCATCGTCTTGAGGCTCGTCGCCGCCCGCTCGAGCTGCTGGAGGAGCGCCAGCTTTTCCCCCAACCGGACACGAACCGCGTCGCGCTCCCAGTCCGGGAGCGACCCGCCTTCGAGAGCCGACGCGTCGTCGTCCGGCGACGATGGATACGCGCTGAGGCGCTCCTCGACGCTCGCTATGACGTCGCGGACGGCCGCCCGCTCGTTTCGGAGCGTGAGCGGTCGGGAGTAATCGACCCCCGAGCCTGCGTGGCCGCGCGCCGCGGCGTTCACCCCGTCTTCGGTGGTCATTCGCGCCCTCCTATAGTGCTTGAGCGCCGCCGGCGCGAGGGGGGATCCCGCCGTGAGCACGTCCGCAGACGCGTCGGCGACGGCGAACGATAGGCCGTCGTGTTCGTTGCACGGGATCGTAAAGCCGTAGGCGTCGAGAATTTCCAGGTTTGACAAGGGACCATACGAGACCGTGAGCTCGGCGCCCGCGGCGACGTCCGCCAAGGCGACAAGTGCGAACGCTCCCTGGGCCTCGTCGAAGCGCAGGTCGCAATTCGGTTGCGCGTCGTGGTTCGCCATTTCCAACACCGGCACCATGGTGAAGACCGGTCTCCTCGAATAGGCTCTCGACCGGACCAAGGCCACGAGACCGAGGAACGGCTCGAGGTCCAGCTTGAGCTGGAGCGACGCGTGGCACGCGGTCCACAGCCGCCGCGTCGCTGCGGCCTTGGCACGCAGCGGCGACGCCTCGAGTGCCGCGCATTGCGTCGCGTCCCAGAGCACCGGCACGGATGGCGGCGGAGGCAGCGACGTGACGTAGGCGCTGTCCGCGTCCGCCAGGACGTTTAGACTGCAAAGCATTGCCCTGGCGAGCTGGCCGCCGGCGCCCACGCGGCCGTCGACGTCATGAAGCGCGGCCACGATGTTCGCCGGCGCCTTGTCTCGCGCTGCTTCCGCCGAGAGCGGCCGCCACACGTCGCGGGGTACGGTGATCACGGCGTCGCCGGTCGCAATGGCCTCGGAGGCGAACAGGCCGCGCCCCCTGCACCCGGTGCCGAGCGCTGCTCGTACACCGTGGCAGCGAGCTGTCTGGGCTGCGAAAGCACGCTGCACCGCACACATCAGATTCTAGTGGTTTACGACCACCCTCTTGGTCCCACGGGCGGCTCGTACGGCGGGATGCGTTCCTCGAATGTGCAGTCAGCGTTCCAGGTCTCTTCGGCGTTTACGAGCTCGAAAATGGCTGTCGACGTAGAAACCCGCGAGCTCAGGAGGCCCGGGGCTCGATCGCAAGTGATTTCGAGCTCGAGCGCAGCAATCGGCTAGCGGCCTGTAAGACACTAGGCAAGAGGCGGCCGCGATTATTAGGCCAGCGGGTTGACCGTTTTCGCGACAGCGAGACTGACGCACAGCAAACCGTCGCCTGTGCTGTGGCGTTGCCCCGCAGCGCTTTATAGGCGCCGCCAAAAAAAAAGAGCTAGCCGGCACCATGGGGTCGAAATACGACCGCGCGATCACCATCTTCTCGCCGGACGGCAAGCTCTTCCAAATTGATTACGCGTTCGAGGCGGTGAAGAAGGGCGCCGCGACGGTCGGCGTCACGGGGAAGAGCTGCGTCGCGCTCGGCGTGGAGCGGAAGGCCGTCGCCAAGCTCCAGGAGGCGCGCACCATCCGCAAGGTGGTCAAGCTCGACGACCAGATCACGCTGGCCTTCGCGGGGCTCACGGCGGCGCCCGGGGTCCGCGAACGACACGTCCTCGCCCGCACGGAGCGACGCCGGGGCCGCCGCGCCTCACCGAGCCCCCCCCGCAGGCGGACGCGCGCGTGCTCGTGCAGAAAGCGCGCATCGAGGCGCAGTCCTACCGCCTGACGTGCGAGGACGCCCCGTCGGTCGAGTACATGGCGCGGTTTCTCGCGCGGACGCAGCAGCGCTACACCCAACGGGGCGGCGTGCGGCCGTTCGGCGTCTCGTCGCTCCTGGCCGGGTTCGAGTCGGCGAGCGGCGGCGTCCGCGGCGCGCCTTCAGCGTGTCGCGCCGCGGCGGCGGCGTCGCGGGGGCGGCGCGGGACGCGGGACGCGCGCGACCGCCCGGCCGCGCGCGCAGGCGACGCGAAAGCCCGTGATGTACCAGATCGACCCGTCCGGCACGTACTTCCGCTGGTCGGCGAACGCCATCGGGGGCCGGAACGCCAAGTCCATGCGCGAGTACCTCGAGAAGGAGTGGAAGGGCGACCTCGCGGACGACGACTGCGTGGAGTTGTGCGTCAAGACGTTACTGGAGGTCGTCGACTCGGGCGCCAAGAACATGGAGGTCGTCGTGCTTAAAATCGCGGAAGACGGCACGCGTTCGGAAACGACGCTGCCGGACGAGGCGCTCGACGCGATGTGCGCGCGCATCGAGCGCGAGCGCGAGGAGGGCAAGGACGAGGGCAAGGACGAGATGAAGGACTAGCCTTCGCTTCTTGTGCCCTGGTTCATCTAAACTACGTTACCGTTCTTAAGTCTCGCGAGCCATGCGTGTGGGCCCACTGCTTGCCCTTCGCCCCTCGATCCGGCTGGGCATCCTGACCGAGCAGGGAGGAGGCTCTTCTAAAGGAGCTTAGTCCTTTTTCTAGGCCCGCCGGGGGGCCCGGGGCCGCATACTACTTTTAGAATTACTTTTAAATGTGGGATATTTTTCGCGGTGCGGCGAGGAGGGTGTCCGAATGACGGCGGGCTGCGGAGATTATCCCGTCTGGGCGGCGGCGTTGGCCAGGAGGTCCAGCACGCTACCGGAGCGCTTGGCGCCGCCCTCCTCGTCGACGGCGCGGATGCGCCCCCGCGTCGACGCGCGGCTCTTCGACGAGGCGCGGCTCTTCTTCGGCGCCGGAGACCGCGGCGATATTTCCCCCGCGTCCGCGACCGTCGGCAGGCGCGCCCCCGCCAAAGCGTCCACGTCGCGCCGCAGGTACGTGTAGACCTGGCGCGCCGACTGGTTCGGGCCCATGGGCTTGTTCGCGACGGCCTTCGGCAGCGTCGCGACGTCGGCGTCCGAGAGGCCCGGGTAGAGGTGGCGGATCGAGCCGCGCGTGACGCGGCTGCCGGACGTCACCTCGAGCCAGACGGGGTCGCGCGCGTCCCGCGCGGCCACGAGCGCGTCGAGGTCCGTCTTCAAGTAGGTCGTGAGGTTCGCCGCCGCCGCGCCGCCCGACGCCGGGCGCCGCACGACCGTCGTCGCGAGCGCCGCGACCTGCGCTTCGCCGAGCTGCGGGTAGGCCATCTTGACGTTGCGCGGCGTCAGGCGCTTGCCGCTCTCGACGTCGCGCCACAGCTCCGCGTCGGGCGACGTCGAGGGCCCCGGCGGCGACGGCGGCCGCGTCGGTGGCGACGGCGGTCGCTGAGCGCCGGGCCCGCGCGCGATGGGCGACACCGGGGCCGGCGCCGCCCCTTGGCTCCACGACTCCGGCGCCCAGCCCGGTCTCGCGTGCGGGGCGGCGGCCTCGCGCTCGTCGGCTCGGAGCGTTCGCCGCCGCGGAGGTGGGGGGCCGATCGCGAAGGCCGCGGGGGCGGGATTGGCCCCGTCAGGGGTCTTGGCCTCGGCGTAGTCCGGGGGCGCGGTTGCGGCCCGGCTGGCTCGGAGGGCTTCGTTCTCGAGTCGGAGACGGGCGGACGTCGCCCGCTCCTTTTGGAGCTCTTGTGATTGCTGAGCGAAGAGCTGGCGTAGCGCGTTGAGCTCGGCCTCCGCGGAGGTAGACATGGCTCGTAAAGTTGAGAGAGAGTACTTAAGCGGTCACGTAAAGTTTACCCTGAGATTTCAGAGAGCCACTAAAAAAGCGCGGCGGTGCAAGCGGCGATGCAAGAGGCGCCGCGGCGAAATTGCCGTCGTATCGTGGCCCTGTCTGCTTGTCCCAAACCTCTTGGCTGCAGCGCGGAGGGGAGAGTACTCAAGCCTGAGGGGTATGTACGACAAGACGGGCATTGGATTATAAATACCTCCATTCTCCAATCATACCCTTCCAGAGCTCTCCAATCTCCAATGTACCCCTAAAATGACGTCCCAATCTCCAATCTCCCAAAAACACTAAAACGGGTTTCTAGTGTGTCGATACGCTAGATCGCTAGGTCTTGCGGCTCACCAAAATACACCAGCGATTGACGACGCCATCCACCCTCCAGATAGTACATCATATCAGCTCCAGCCCAGTTTTCATACACATTCGACGGAACCGGAGCCGACGGCCCGCGCTCGGAGGGCGGGAAAAGAATTATACTAGACAACTCCCGAGTTTATGTTCGTTTCCTTCCGTTTGTTAGTGGTAGAGTCCATCCAACCCGCATCAGCGCCCACTGAGCTATTTTAGATATTCCGTTAGAGCCGCGCGATTCGTCGTCTTCACGACCCCACGTTTAGGTGAAGATGGCCAAATAAGCTAAACCCGCGAATATCAGCGACGCCACCACCCAGATGGACCATAACGCCGTTGTTCTATTCACGATCGACCGACTTGCCCGTTCTCCGCGGGCGACGGTGCGTACGCGGGGCACTGGAAAGGCCCCAGACCCGTGAGTTATGAAATAAATTTGCGTTTCAGGCGCTTTAGTACTAGGACGGGCCATCTAACCGGCTTGATTGTGTACTACATTGCTCCGAGACCCCAAGATGCTTGGCGCGGGTCGTCGGTCTCGCGAGCCCACCATCTGGCTATATTTGGCTCCAGACTCAGACCTGCGGCCATCAGCGCGTGTACCATTACCATGGACCTTGGCGCAATCATTTGTTCCATGATCGACGGACTTACGCGAGGTCCAGATAAAGATGTTCATGTCCCGAGCGTGGGCAGCCAAAAGTATCCTTCTCGTCGTGTAGAAGTCATATACTTGTAATTGACTATCGATGGGGTAGTATGGGGTCCGACGGGACCGCTACGGCGACTACTGGGGGCCCTCGGGTAATTGACGTTTTTGACGGGAACGGGGCGCCATCGGGTCCAAATTAGTTACTTTTTTCGGGGGCAGATCGGCTCCTGGAGGCCTCACGGGGTAGGTCTGGTAGTGGGTAAGTGCCTGCGCCGCATACGCCGTCGATGCAGCAGCCAAGTGTTCTCGGAGAGCCCTGGAAGCAACAAAGGCATAAAAGTTGCTATTCCTCTGTGGCCTGCTGAGAGAAATCGACCAAAAATGCTTGAAGCGGCGGCGTATGCGGTGTAGGCGCGTGCACGTGTATAGTACCGACCCTAGGCGACCCCAGGGACACCTATTGGACAGGGATTGACAGGATTAAACCGGCGTGGCCGCCATAGACCGTAGGGCGCCCTCGGTCGCGAATTAAAAAAAATTCCTTTTCCGGCCCCCAGTACTTGTCCCATTGATCTCTTTGGACCAGTAGCGAACTGAGCGGTACTCAAACGGCTGCATGCCGCGTTCCGAGTTTGACTTGCTAGTGTCTTACAGTCCGCTAGCCCTGCACGCAGAGCGTCGCGCGTGACAGGCGCGCCCATACTCGAGCGTCAATAAATGGCCCCGCCGCCCCTCGCTCTCGTGTTGTACGGCGACCCAGAGCACAGATATGCGCCCGTGGGCGATTTCTTTTACAGCGCGGAGGCCAAGGAGCTCGTCAGTCGGGCCCTCGGGGCGAGTAGCGCCGAGGTCGACTCGCTGTACTGCCCGCGCGCGCTCGAGCCGGTCGCGCAGAGCGACGCGGACGCCGCCTTTGGTCGGTCCGACGCCTGCGCGGACTGCCCGCGCTGCGGCACGACGCTGCGTGCGGTGCGCGACGGCACGTGGCACTACGCGTGCGCGTCGTGCGCGTGGACGTCGAGGGCCGTCGACCTGGAGGACGGCGAGGACGACCTCCACCTCGCGATGAAGCTGGCGCAGCGCGAGGCCGAGGCGCCGCGGGCCGCGGCCTTCGCGGCGGCGCTGGCGCGGCTGCGGGCCTCCGGCTTCGGCGGCGCGGGCGCGGAGGGCGCGTCGCGCGACGACGACGCCGAGGCGCGGGCGCTGCGCGACCCGCTGCCGGAGCCGCTGGAGGCGCGCCTGCGGCAGCCCCTCGCGCCGGACGCCCGCCAGCGTTTGGCGCCGACTCGGCCGCAGCTGCGGGCCGCGGTCACGCGCCGCCGCGTCGCCGACGTGGAGGCGGGCCGCGCGGGCATCCTCCGCAAGCCGCGGCCGCACCCGCTCGACGGCGACTCGTCGGCGGGCGGCGCGGGCGGCCGGCACCGCAAGGACGCGTCCGCGCACCGGACGGTCGGCGGCCGGCGTCCGCCTCCCCCCCCTCGGAGCCCGGGACGTCGCGAGCGCCGTCGACGCGGCCGTCGCACGCAGGTGCCGACGCTGGCGTTCGCGCGGGCGCCGCGCTGGCGGCGCGACGGCGCGGCCGTGGCCTACGAGGTCGTCCTCTTCGTGCGGAACCCGTCGCCCGACGACGCGATGACGGTAACCATCCGCCCGCGGCCGCTGCCGGGGCGGAGGCACCTCGTGGCCGACTTCCGCGCGACGCGGTGGCGCGAGGCGTCCCGGGCGTCGACGGCGGCCGTCGAGGTGGCGCTCGCGCCGCGCGACGAGTTCGCCGTGGATTTGGAACCGGACGCACGGGCGCTGCGCGCGCTCGTCGACGGCGCCCCGAGCGGATTCGAGGGCGTCCTCGCGGCGACGGGCGCCCGCGCGACGGTCCGGCTCCTGTGTCGCGCGGACGGGGCGGTCGCCGCGGGCGGCGACTGGCACGCCGCGGCGGCGCGCACGTGCGCCGCCCCGATCGACCGCGTCGCGCTCGGGTTGGCCGTGTCGTGTCGGGTCGCCTCCTTCGGGGCGGCCGTCGTCTTGCCATGGCCCGGCGGCCTCGCGTCCGAGGCGTGGGAGGTCGCCCGGGGGTGTGCCTGCGTTTTCTGAGCAGACCACCGACGCGACACCCAATTCCCGGCGCGGGGGCTGCGACGCGATCAGCGCGTACCCGCATGAATAAATTGTTTACCTGTGCGCCGACGCGGTTTCGTGAAGCGCCGACGCGCAGACCTCGCTGCCAGTGGCTGCGATCTAAATGTGGTCACTGCATATTTTAGTCCTCCCTTGCCCCCACCCACGCCGCTAGCTCCTCCACTACGACATCGGCCTGGTCGCCCGTCTTCAGGTCCTTCGCGACGAGCCGGCCCTCGGCCCACTCGGAGGGCGCGAGCATGACTGCGGCCTTGGCATTGCGCCGGTCGGCGTGCTTGAAGGCCCACTTGGGCTTCTTGGGCTCGAGGACGACGTCGACCGAGGCGCCGCTCCTGCGTGGAAACCAAAGTTCGGGCGCCCCGCGCCGTCGGATCTGCACACACAGCAGCGCACGATCGCAGCGTCGCCGCGACGCCCGCGAGCGCCTTGAGGGACGCGGCGTCCTCGTCGCCGTCGCCCGTCGCCAGCGCGAAGGCGACGACGTCGACGCCCGCCGACGTCTCCGGGACGAGCTTTTTTTCCTCGAGCAGCTCCATGATCACGGCGTCGCCGAAGCCGAAGCCGACGGCGGGCAGGGGGTCCCCCCCGAACGTCTCGAGGAGCCGGTCGTACCGCCCGCCCCCCGCGATGGCCCGCAGCGCCCCCTGGCGGTCGAAGGCCTCGAACACGACGCCCGTGTAGTACGCGAGCCCTCGGACGACCGACGCGTCGACCACGATCCAGTCCCCGAAGCCGCCCGCCTCGGCCAGGTCGACGAGCGCCCGCAGGTTCGACAGGGCGGGCCCGTCGCCGATCAGCGCCTCGAGGGCCGCGAGCGAGCCGCCGGCGTCGGCCGCGTCCCGGAGCACGGCGGCCAGCGCGTCGACGTCGGCCGCCGCCACGCCGAGCGCGCCGAAGTCGCCGTGCAGCGCCTCGGGCGGCACCTTCTCCAGCTTGTCGACCAGCACGCAGCACGCCGCGAAGCGCGCCGCGTCCGCCGCGGCGTCGACGCCGCACGTCCGCGCCAGGAGCTCCGCCAGCACGGCGCGCGAGTTGACCTTGATGCCCACGTCGTCCGAGGTCAGGCCGACGCTCTCCATGAACGAGACCATGGCCGCCAGGGCCTCCGCCTCCGCCGCGGCGCCGTCGACGCCCCAGATGTCCATGTTCCACCTGCGACGGCGTCTCGGTCCTTCGCGAGCGTCCCCCCCCCCCTCGCCCGCCGTCGAGCGGACGCCGCGCCGCCGGGGCGCCTCGACGCGTGATGTCTACGCGGCGTTCGACTGGTAGTGCTCCCGCCGCCGTCCCCTCGTGGTCCGCTCGTAGCGCCAGCACTGCGGGATCGAGAACCACTTGAGCGGCGGCGTCGGCTTCCGGGCCATGACCATCCGCGCCAGCGAGGGCGTCATCTCCGGCCGCAGCGCGACGCGGCGGCCGCCCTTGTCCTCGAAGTTGTAGAGCTGCTGCGTGACTTCTTCCCCCGCCTTGCGCACGTACAACGCCTCGTTCTCCAGCACGGGCGCGTCGTACTCCTCAAAGCCGAACGCCTTCGCCGTGCTGCGCCACTTGCCGAAGAGCCAGTTCCGGACGCGCATGTCCTCGGGGTAGACGTCGCGCGTGCCGCGCGGCGGCGCGAGGTCGAGCTTCTCCGTGCTCGCTGGGCGTGCCTTCTTTTGCTCGACCGCCGCGCTGGCGCGACCGCCGCCGGCCGCCGCGCTGAGGCACGACACGCCGTGCCTCCTCGCTGGCGGCGTCAGCCCGCGCACAGCGGCGAGGAGCGTCATTGCGCAGGTTGCGCGCATTCGTCACAGCGAGGTCTCTGATAGTCGCACTCTTGCAGCAGCGAGGTCTCTGATAGTCGCACTCTTGCAGCAGCGAGGTCTCTGATAGTCGCACTCTTGTAGCAGCGAGGTCTCTGATAGTCGCACTCTTGGGCTTGCCGACGGCTGCAAGCCTGCAACTCTAGTGTCTTACAGGCGCTAGCAAGCAGCAGTCTGGGAGAGGGAGAGGCCACGGGACGCGCGAGCCTACCGGTAGTTTAAATCTATTAGCTGTAGTGATTCAAAACTTTCTCGCGTGTAGACGGCCGTAGGATGCGTCCAGCCGACGCCTACCGCCAAAAGCACCGCGTGGTGGACCGGGAGGAGGGCGCGCCACTGTCCCTTCCGCAGCGCGAGGAAGGAAGTTCGCTTCAGCGACTCGATGCCTCCGCGGCGGCGTTCGACCCTGTGCGCGGCGAGCGCCAGTTCAGCGTGCTGTCCAAGAATGCGTTATCAACGCTCGACGGCTTGGTCGGCGAGGTGGACAAACTCGAGAATTTGCTGGTTGATCTCGAAAAAATGGTCGGCGCGCCCGACGACGCGGACCGCCTCGCTGCGCTCGGAAGCGTGCGCCAGATCGTGGGCGACCTCGACAAGCTCCAGGCGACAAAAGTCGACGCCGTCAGTACGGCCGAGCTCAACAGCGGCAAGAGCGTTGCGCGGGCCGAGCGCAAAAACATCAACCGGCGCATCGACGAGCTGCGACCGCGGGCCAAGCGGCTCCACGACGCGCTGCTGAAGACGTAGTTCGAAGAGTAAATTGTATAAGTGAGGAGGAAAGGCTTAGCCAGAAGGTATTGTTACGGTGCTAGGACGAGTGAGCGGAGCCCCTGCCCAGGGCTGGGGGGGAGAGACCGCGTTCATCGGCTGCGGGCGCGTTTTTCATGACAGCATACCTCCTTTCAAGCAGAACCGCGCGCGTCGGCACCCCCCTAGCCTAGCATGTTTTAAGCCCAAAACGGTTTTGCGGGACCCCTCCCCGCCCCAGGGGACTCGTCCCGATGGCTCAGGCTCAGGCGAAGATTCTAGTATGTTAGTACACTAGCTAGCCCTGCGAGATTTCGAGCGGACACGCGGAGCTACCGCATCGTGCTAGTGCCTCCACAGTGCCAGGTATCATGCCCGGCGCCATATTTACAGTTTTGCACATCCTTGCCATCTTTTTTGCATGCATTCTGCTGCAAAAAATGAGCTCGGCGAGGTGACCCGAAAAAAACGACGAGCGATCCGACGTGCAGTGGGGCGCCGGGCTGGCCGTCGCGAGAGATGCGCGCGAGAGAGCCGGGCACGGGGGACGCCAGCGGTCGCCGCCGCCGCGCAGGTCGACGCGGCGCGGCGACGATGTTGACGAAGCTCTGGGTCGTGGCGCTGCTGGCCGCGCAGAACGCGCAGCCCGCGTTCGCCGACGAGGAGGACCTGGCGGAGGCCGACGGCGAGGACTTCGGCGGCGACGACTACGACGGCGACTACGGCGACGTGGGGGACTACGGCGGCGGGGGCTACGGCGGCGGCTACGGCGACGACGAGTACGGCGGCGGCGGCGACCCGACCCCGGCCTGGGAGACGGTCGAGTCCTTCGACGGCATCGCGGAGTTCGTGAACCAGGACGAGACGGAGCCGGCCGTCGTGGGCTTCTTCGACGCGGACCGCGACGCGGACCAGCAGAAGGTGTACGAGGAGGTCGCCGAGGGCTCGCGCTACGACTTCCGCTTCGCGCTGGTCACCGACGAGGCGGCGCGGACCGCCGCCAAGCTGCAGAAGGGCCCGGCGGTGCTCATCTACGCGCCGCCGCGCTTCGTCAAGGAGGGCGTGGACAAGAAGCGCGCGCGCTACCCGTCGGCCAAGCTCGACGCCGAGGCGCTGAAGAAGTTCATCTTCAAGCGGAGCGTGCCGCTCGTGGGGCAGAAGACGTGGAAGTCGGGCGAGCGGTACGACAAGCAGGGCGTGCCGGTCGTGACGCTGTTCGCCGCCATCGACCTCGAGAAGAACGCCAAGGGCTTCGACTACTTCGCGAACCGCCTGCGGAAGGTGGCCGCGGACTACGTGGGCAAGCTCTCCTTCAACATCGGGGACAAGGAGGACTTCTCCTACCAGCTCGAGGACTACGGCATCGAGCTGCCGGCGAAGAAGGACGTCGGCGTGGGCGCCAAGGACGGCAACAAGTACTACCGGATGGAGGACAAGTTCAACGTGGACAACGTCCGGAAGTTCGCCCAGGCCGTCGTCGACGGCGCGCTCGAGCCGAAGATCAAGGAGGAGCCGAGCTACGACGACGACCACGACGCGTCCGGGGAGGCGGACGACTCGGACTACGAGGAGTCGGACGTCACGGTGCTCACGGACGCCAACTTCGCCGACGAGACCGACGGCAAGGACGCGATGCTCGAGTTCTACGCGCCCTGGTGCGGCCACTGCCAGGCGCTCAAGCCGACCTACAAGGAGCTCGGGACGCGGCTCGCCTCCGCGGACGTCGTCGTCGGCGCCATGGACGCGACGGCGAACAGCCCGCCGGACGGCTACGACGTCCAGGGCTACCCGACGCTCATCTTCAAGACGGCCTCGGGCAAGACGACGTCCTACGACGGCGACCGCGACGTCGACTCGATGGTGGCGTACATCAAGGAGCACGCGGAGGCCGAGTCCGTGAAGTCGGAGCTCTAGGGACCCGCCGTCGGCCCGGATTTAATACTTTCTCACTTTATGAGTACACCGTCACATGAACCGCCACAGACTCTCGCGGTGGATCGCGTCCGGCGCCGAGTGGACCACGCGAGCGTCGCTGTAGACGATCAGCTCGCGGCCCCGGCCGTAGCCGGGCCGCACGATCGAGGCCTCGGGGATCGCGTCGACGTCGAGGAACCGGCGCTCGCCCCGCTCGTCCGAGAACTCCCGCGGCCGCGAGTTGTCGCGCTCCGCGTCCGCCTCGTGGACCACCAGATGAGACAGCGGAGAGACGTGCGAGAACACGCCGCAGCCGCGTTGTCGGCTCGCCGCGGGAAAGCCGAGCATCACGGTCACCGCCTCCGTGTCCCCCCCGCGATCTTGGTGCCACGCGTAGCGCGCCAGCCGCCTACTGCCGGGGCCGCCGACGATGTCGATGAAGTGGCCCGTCCGCGGCGCGACGCCGTCCAGCGTCAATCCGCCTATTTTGGCGTAGAATTCGTCGCCGGTCGGCGCGCTCGCGCCGAGCGCCTCCCTCAGCACGCCGTGCGTTGCGGCCGCGGGCCGGCGCGAAAACCACGACCCTTGCGCCGAAGAGGTCATATCAAAGCGGACCGGGGAGCTCGTGTCGCAGCGGTCCTCGCGCGCCGCGCGCCGCAGCGCTGCCCGGAATTCTGACGACTCGTCGAACACCTCGCCCAGCCCGGCGCCCGGGAAGAGGGTGTCGAGGCCGACGTGTTTGAACCACGGCCGCGTCGCCGCCTCGGCGCCGCGGCAGCGCTCCGGCACCGCGAGCGGCGAAAACGCGTCTTCGTTCGTTTCCTGCGCCCGGCAGATCGTCGCGGCGACGAAGGTGGGCGGCGCCACCAGGGGAGCCTTGGTGGTCGGTCTTCGCTTCGTGCCGACGGATGTCCTGCGGCGCGGCGGGCGCCCTGCCAGCGCGCACGCGGCGGCGAGGCAGGCCGCGATTTTCATGGGCTGAATGAGCCTGCAGGGACGGCAGGGAAGCCTGTGCACTAGCGCTTTGTCGCCTAGTGTCTTACCGCCGCTAGCTCCATGCTGGCGCACTTTGTAAAAAGCGCATGCGAGCACGCGTGCGTAAGACAGGCAACTGACCAACCAAGCTGTGTCCCCGGCACGGGGGCGTACGGATGCAGGGTCATCATGCTCTCTACTGTGCCGCGCCGGCGCATGCGACCGGCCGCCTTGGAACTGCTGGCAGCGGTGCGCGAGGTCGGCGTCACATTCTGGCCGCGCTCCTGATGGCGTGCGGCCACGCGAAGACGGCGGTCCTCGTGCACGGCTTCCATCTAAGGGCCCCAAACTGGGAGACGGTCGTGTGGGGCGGCGGCGGCGGCCGCGTCGCCTACGGGTACGATTTGGCAATTATCCGCGCGAAATCAGCGGACGGCGCGGGGGCCGAGACACACAGATTTCGCACAGGCCAAAGCGGAGGCGGCGGACCTGTTCGTGGTGGGCTCGGGCGCGTCGACGGACGAGGAGACGGGCGAGACCGAGGGTGCCGTCATCTTACGACGCCTGCGGGAAGGAAACTCCCGAGCGTCCTCCGACGCGCTCATAAGCGACGCGGTCGTCCTCGACGACGCCCTCAACACGCGGGAGGAGCTCGAGCGCTTCTCGGAGCTGTGCCGCGCGCGTGGCGTGGAGCGCTGTGTGGAAATCAACCAGTGCGTCGGGTGCTATCCTGGCTCCGTCGAGCGGCGAGGGACCGGCATCGCCACGCCATCGAGCAGGAGTCGCATCGATGGCGTGGAGGTCGACGCGACGATTCAGAACGCGCCGTAAAATTTTGATTTCCACACAGGTGGAGCGCGCCTTTTGCGTGAGCTCGCCGGCGCACTGTCCCCGCGTCTGCCGCGACGCCGCGGTCGCGTTCGGGGCGCGGCACCCGACCTGCCGCTGGGCGGTGGCGCCGTGCCGCACGGACTTCTCTCGGGCGTCCGACGTCGCGATCGTCGAGCCGCCGCACCGGCCGGATCGCGAGCAGCCGCTCCTGCACGACGTCGTCAACCGCGTCTTCCGCCTTCCGCCGGCGGACCAGGCGGCGTTCGTCGACCACGCGGTCGCGTTTCTCGACGGCGCTGAGGGGTACCCGCCTTAGGTGAGGTTGTTGTTCCGGTGCTAGTCGAAGAAGGCCGCCACCCGGGAGACCTTTTCATTCATGCGGTTTTTTGTACGACTGCGCCGTCGTCGAGAGAGGCGACGACGAACCGGAGCACGCGCATCGCCGTCATGACCTCGCGCACCGATTACCTGCGGGACGAGAGTTGGGCACCCTGAGAGTTGTCTCGATTCCGAGTCCGGCGCGCCGCGGCCCGCGGCGGCGCGGCGGCGGCGCGCTCGCCCGCGACCGCGGCTCGCGGCGCGGGTTCTGTTCAGTGTCTGGGAGCTTTGCGTCTGGCGCCCCGGCCCCGCGTCGCGCACGGCCTTATGAAGTTGTGTTGCCTCGCCCGATGCGCCCGCCGCCCCGAACGCCCCGAAGACGCGCGACGATGTAGGACGCCGCGCGCCGCGGTGTAAACTATGGATGCTAGGCGTTTTTGCTACTAATAATTGCGACCGGCCTCACACTTACACTTCTAGGACCGTTCTTGTGGTTATCAAGGGTCGGGCCGCGTTTCTACTGTCTTAGCGATACTATCGATCACTAGGTTAAGACGCTAGAACTCACAAAAGTCGAGGGGGACACCTCTGCGCGCGTCGTTACGCTGCACCGATGCCGATGCACCGCTTGCTCTACCTGCCAGCACTGTGCCAGGCCTTCGCGCCGCCGCGCGCGCCGCAACATTACTGGCATGAATGCAGTGTCCAGCCCGTCGCGCCGACGGTGGCGCGCGGCCGCGAGGCTCATCGTGCAACACACAGGCTGGGTCGAGTACCCGAAGGCCGTCGACGTCTGGGCGGGCGGGTGCAGGCGCGCACGGACGCGCAGCTCAAGCGGGGGATCGGCGAGTTCTACGACGAGAGCTCGGGGATCTGGGAGGAGGTCTGGGGGGAGCACATGCATCATGGGTACTACCGCGAAGGAGAGAAGCCGGCGTCGTTCGCGCGCCACGTCGAGGCGCAGGACGACATGATCGAGAAGGCGCTCGAGCTCTGCGGCGCGGACGGCGTGGCCGCCCGGTGCAGGCGGGACGGGCGCCGCCTGCGCGTGCTGGACGTCGGGTGCGGCGTCGGCGGCTCGTCGCGGTACATTGCGAGGAAGTACGGCGCGGACGTCGTGGGCCTGACGTTGTCGCCGAAGCAAGCGGCGCGGGGCAACGAGCTCTCGCAGGGCCTGAACGTCACCCTGAAGGCCGAGGACGCGACGAGCACGGCCTTCGCCGACGGCTCCTTCGACCTGGTGTGGTCCCTGGAGAGCGGCGAGCACATGCCGGACAAGCCCAGGTTCGTCGAGGAGCTCGCGCGGCTCTGCGCGCCGGGCGGCGCCGTCAGCTGCGTGGCGCGCGGCGTCTTCGCCGTCGACGCCCGTCGGCGCCAGCGTCATGTTCGATGCCCACGCAGGTCACCTGGTGCCACCGCGACCTCGAGCCCGATAAGCGGTTGGGCCGCGTCGAGCGAGCGGTCCTAGGGGCCATCAACTACTGCTATTATCTGCCGAAGTGGTGCTCCGGCGCGGACTACCGGTCTTTGTTCGGCAAACAACCGGGCTTCGCCTCGTCGAAGATCGTGGTCGAGGATTGGACGCGGAACATCGCCCCATTCTGGCCCGCCGTCTTCCGGAGCGCGCTGCGCTGGCGATCTTTGCGGGGACTGATGCGGACCGGGATCAGGACGGCGCGGGGAGCGGTGGCCATCCTGCTGATGATCGTGGGGTATCGGATCGGGACGGTGAAGTTCGTGGCGGTGGCCGCGAACCGGGAATTTTCGTAGGTATCCATACGAATGTGTGTTTCGTTGGATGAAAATATACAGTTTCTTACACCATTTGCGAGATTCTAGAGTAGTGGTAGCCTGGTAGGGGAAGGAGAAAGTGGGCGGTAGATCAGCACGCGGCCGGCAGGCCCGCGTCGCCGGCCTGGCACTCCTCGCCCGTCCACTGGTAGTGACCGTTGTAGTGGCACCCCTTGTTCATGCACGGCTGCTCGACGCCGCAGAGGACCTTGCCTTCGGCCGCGCACACGTTCGTGGCCTCGTGCCACGTCTTCGGCGCGAAATTCGATACCGGATTCAGGAAACCCGCGTAGCACTCGCCGTCCGCATCCGCCCGCGTGCACGTGCTGTAACGCATGTCGGCGTCGCAGCACGCGAAGACGATCTTCTTGCCGGCGTGCTCCGTCGCCGAGGGATCATCTTCGCAATGGAAGCCAGCCCCGTTGCCGAGGCTGATGCGCACGCCGCACGTCGGGAACTCCTTCGTCGGCGCGGGCGTCGGCGGCGGCGGCGCGCACGCGGCCGGCAGGCCCGCGTCGCCGGCCTGGCACTCCTCGCCCGTCCACTGCAGTCCGTGGTGTACCTCATCGGCCTCGTGTTCTGCTGCGGCGGCCTCACGTACGTCGTCGTGCAGAAGAACTCGGGCAAGAGCGTCTGGAGCGCGGTGCCCACGCTGGACCCGGCGACGCTGGACCCGAAGTCGTCGGTGCAGATGAAGAAGCTGGCCGTGACGCCCGACACGACGTACTCGGGCTCGGCCTAGCGTCACTCCGCGCGCGCGCCCTTCCCCATCCTTCCCGCGCGCATAAATGTGACTTTCCCCGACAGACTCGAGGCCGCGACGAGTGAATCCTAGTGTGTCTCTCTTTTGCCTTTTGCCTGCTACTACGGCTGGAGCTGCACCACCCGGTCGCACCCTGTACTTGTAGCACCACCCATTGCAGTGCGCAAGAGGGTGGGTTACCCACGGTATACTCTAACGGAGATAAATAACATAGTTAGCAAATGGTGCGCATAAAAAAATACAAGCTCTACGCCAACGCCGCCGAGCCCTATGCTGCCTGCGCCTTCTACGGCACGCCCGCCGGCTGCCGCAACGGCGACAAGTGCAAGTTCTCGCACGGCGGCGCGGCGCCAGCAGCGCCAGCAGCGTCTGCGACGGTCGCCGCCGCCGCGTCCTCGGAGAGCGAGTCCGAGTCCGAGTCCGAGTCCGAGGCGAGCGCGCCCGCGGCCGCGGCGGCCAGCTCCTCCGAGAGCGAGAGCGAGAGCGAGAGCGAGGACGAGGCGCCCGCATCCGGCTCGTCCGAGGTCGCGAGACTGCGCGCGGAGCTCGCCGCGGCGCGGGAGCGCAACGCAGCCGCGAAACGGAGGGCCGCGGAGGCGGCGGAAGTCGAGGCGCTGAAGGAGGAGCTCGCGCAACTCCGGGAGCAGAATCAAAAACGACAGAAAACTTAATCATAAAACGTGAGCTCCCACAGCGACTTCGTGGTGACCCCGGGCGGGAGCTCCTCGATCGCCAGGCCCAAATGGGGGTCGTACACGATGTTTTTTTCGGACTTGCGCCCGGCGTCCGCGTAGTAGGCGGCCACGACGGCGTCGTGGTCCTCGCCGCCGCCGCCCACGATCTCGACGTCGTCCTCGATGCGTTTTCGCCTGCGCGACGCTCGAGTCCGAACCGGCGCGGCCCGCGCCGGCTGATTTCCGCACGGGTCCGCGCTCCTCGGCGGCCGCCTCGAGCGCCTCCTTCTTCACGGACACGTCCACGCCGAAGACGGGCTCCTGCGCGTAGATCTGGTGGAGCGACGTGATCTCCTGCATCACCTCGCCCAGCCTGCGCGCGCGTCACCCGGTGGGCCGGGCGCCCCGCGCCCAAAAGTTCGCGCGCCGGGCCCGACCGGTCCTCGGGGTCCACCCGGAACCCGAGCGCGTAGTCGCCGCTCGACTTCGTCGTCTGCACCACGAGCGCGGGCCCGAACTTCGAGCCCCGCACGCGCACCTCGGCCATCTGCATGTAGGGGATGGAGACGTTGAAGTTCTCGGCGTTCTGCGCGTGCCAGACGAGCCGGACGTTGGTCACGAAGAACGACCCCAGGTTGCCCTGCTCCGCGCTCAGGTTCCAGACGCCCTTGCGCTGCGAGAAGACCTCCTCGTGCGGCAGCAGGTTGAGCTTGCCCTCCCTGACCACGCTCCCGCGCAGCTTCAGGTCGCGGTACAGCTTCGTCGACTCGTACGCCTTGTGCACCTGCAGCGCCGTCGCGAACAGCTTGGGCGCGTGCTGGACGAGCGACGTGAACACGAACTCGAACCGCGAGCCCTCGAAGCGCGTCGCGACGTGCAGCGCCTTCGTGTTCCCCCGCAGCTTGCTTTTCGTCTTTTTTATCTGCAGGTGGGCGACGGTCGCCCACCCGATGCTCAGGTTCTTCCGCGAGTTCTTGTGGGACACCCACGAGAGCCGCAGGGTGCTCACGATCAACGCGCCACGTTCCCCGTTGCCCCCCTTCGAGTCCTCGACCGAGTTCACGCTGTCCGCGACCCGCTCGCCCGGCCGCGCCTCGAGCTGCCGGACGGGGGCGTCGAAGCGGATGGCTCGATCCTCCCAGACCTCGTCGAAGGCCTGGGTGGCGAGGTGCTTGAAGGGCGTGTCGGGCATCGTCGCGGATGATGGTCTCTGAGTGGCCACGCGGACGGGGGCGGGTTGCCGAGGCAGCTCCGGCGCTCTACACCAAGGGCTGCCCCGCCGGGCGTGTGTGCTGCCCAGGAGTCTGCCACTCTGAATCTGCTTGCTAGTGTCTTACTGCCGCTAGCTGCGCGTGCCGTAAGGTAACTACTACTACCGCGAATCTGCGCGGACCCTTCGCCCAGTCCTAGCTAACAACAACAGCACCTCTTCGCAAAAGGATCCTCGGATCTTCTCGTTTCTGTCACTAGAGCTGTGTATTAAAAAAGCGGCGGGCCGCGGCTAGGTGGCCTAGCTCTTAAGCAAGCAAAAAAAAAAACAAACAAAAAACATTAGTCCCAAGCCGCCGCCTTCAACTCCTTCACGAGGACGGCCCCTTTGAAGTTCCGCGGCAGCGCCGCGAACCGAACGCGGTCCGGCCGCGCGCCCTTGCACGCGACGGCGTGCCGCGCCCGGGCGACGAAGGTCGCTTCGATCTCGGCGCGCTTCGACCGCGCGAGATCTGTCTTGAGCTCGATCGTGCAGCAACACTGGTCTTCGTGCTCGGAGTCCAGCCGGAGCCCGACGACGGCCACCGCGCACGCGCCCCCCTCGCCGCCGAAATACGCCGCCGCGAGGAACTCCGAGAGCTCCTGGTTGATTTGTTCGTACGAGTAGTTCGAGCCGCCCTTGATGAGCATGGCCGAGTCGCGGCTCTGCCAGTAAAGGTCGCCCCCGAGGGCGTACCCGACGTCGCCGAGGTTCAGGTACCAGCCGCCCTCGAGCGCGGCGGCGGTGGCCTCGTCGTCGCCCACGTAGCCCGCGAAGACGTTCCGGCCCCGCGCGACGATGAAGCCGGGCTCGCCCTCGCCGCACGTCACTAGGAATTCCTGGCTGGCCCGGTCGACGGACCGGACGACCTTCGCCTCCGTGTGCGGCGCGTGGGCCCGCCCGATGTAGTAGCCCGCGCACGGCTCGCCGCGCCACGTGTGGGCCCAGCCCCGCTCGAACGCCGCCAGGGGCGCGTCGAGCGGCGTGCCGCAGACCTGCAGGCACGTTTCGGTGGAGCCGAAGCGCACGGTCGGCCGCTGGGCGCACCGCTTTTCCAGCCGCTGGACCGTCGTAGGTCCTACTGGTGCCGAGCCCAGCAACAAGACGACGCCGCACCCCCCGACGCAGCTCCTGAAGGCCGCCGGGTCTACCGGCAGCGTGCCCTGGGCGCAAAGCGACTCGAGGAAGTCTACGTGGCGCGCCACGAGAGGACACACGACGCGCTGCGGCTCCGCGGCGAGCAGCGACGCCCGCCGCGCCACGGCGCGCTGTGTCGCTTCGCCGTCGAAGCGCTTCACGTTTTCCCAGGGCAGGCCGCAGGCCGCTGCCACCACCACGCCCCAGTACTGCGTCGTGTACCGCTGGAGGAGCCGCAGCGCCGCCCGCGGCCGGCGGCAGGCCCAGTCGACCATGGCCGTCGAGTTCGTGTGGTGGAGCGGGTTCGTCGCCACGACGTCCACTTGCACGTCTGGGGCGGCGCACTCCAGGAACGCCTCGAAGGTCCGCCGGTTGCAGTCGTAGGCCTCGTACGTGAGTCGGACGCCCTTGGGCTCGCCGGTCGTCCCGCTCGTGAAGATGACGAAGCGGTCGTCGCCGGCGGTGGTGGCGCCGCAGAAGTGCTCCGGGGCGAGGGGCGCCGCCGCCGCCAGGGCCCGGGCCGCGTCGACCGCCCGGACCGGGCGGATGGCGGCGGCGAACTCCGCGGGCGTGGCCTCGTCGACGAGCGCGAGCGTCGCGCGGGTGCGTCGCACCTTGCTCGCCGCGCGCTGGACGTCGTCGCTCTGCCAGTTGATCGTGACCGGGACGGTCCCGACGAGCGCGGCGCCTAGCCGGAAACAAATGTCTTCCAGCCGGTTGTCGGTAAAGTAATGCGCGGTGCGGTCGCCCGGCCGCGCGCCGTGCGTCCGCAGGGCGGCGGCCGCCCGGAACGCCAGCTTCGCGAAAGCCTTTCGCGAATACAACGTGCCGCGTAGCTCCCGGCCGGCCAACTTAAGGTCTTCGAGGAAGAACCGGTCCGCGGCCTCGTCGTCCGAGAGGGCCGCGAGGTAGGGAAAGGCCGCGCTAGCACTGGTCACAGGCGAGGAGAAATTGGCTTCGAAGCCGGCCATCTATGCCGCGGCGGAAGCCGCGCAAAGGATGGAGAGTAGGGCACCTCGCACACCCAAAATGGCGTAGCGGATCGATTGATGCACCCTGCAGCGCTGAGCCGCGCGACTGAGCGTTTGCGATTTTCACTGTTCCTTGCGCCTCGGTGGCAACCTGGCACCAGGTGGTGTGCCTAGCATAAGACACCGGTGGCACCTCCAGTGCCTGTTGGGGGCGCTCCCTCCCGCTGCTTAATTCGCAGGATGAAGAGCTAGCGCACTCACATACTAGCACCGACAAATAAATAAATAATTAAGGAAGGAATATCCTAGAGAAAAAGGACAACGGATAGTGCGATCCTTCGACGACCCAATCGGAGCCTGCGGACCTTCGCCCGAGTGGTCTCCGGCGGCAGGTACTGTGTGGGCGTAGTACTTAAGCTAGCGCCGCGTCAGGTTCACGAGGCTAAAGGCCTTCGGCGGCGGCAGCTTCTCGTAGTTCTCGCGCGTGATCTTCTGCTTGAGCCGCGCGTAGGCGATCGGCGACAGGGGCTGCGTCAGCGTGAGCGTGCCGAACTGCTGGCGCGCCGTCTCGTCGTATTGCGGCCGGTCCGAGAGGTGGCGGAAGTCCGAGGTCTCGATGGACCGCTCCCGCTGCGCGCGCCGCTGGTCCAGCGTCTGGGCCAGCAGCTTGCGCGTCCGCCACACCGTGTCGGGGTTCGGCCGCTTGCGCGCCGCCGACAGCGGGTTCACGAAGCCCTCGGGCGGCGGCGGCGCGAAGCCCCACTTCAGGGCTTCCGCGGCGCGCTGGGCCTCGCGCTGCTTCGCCCGTTTTTCGAAGTTGTACGTGAACGGCTCCTCGCTCCGGCCCCAGGCGCGGCGCGACGCCGCCTCCGTCGGCGTCACGGGCCGCGAGTTGCCCGCCCACACGGGCTTGCGCCACTGGCGGCCGAAGTCGCTCGTGATCGAATTCTGGCGGGGCTGCCAGAGCGGCGTCCTGGTGGTGTGGCCGCGGCCGCCGCGGCCGCCGCCCACGGGCCGGTTCGCCGCCGGGGCGCTCGCGGCGCGCATCGTCGGCGGCGACGTGGCGCGCAATAAAGGCAGCCCCCTTTATGCAGGACGCTACGACACGGACGCTCCGTTCGCCCGGGCCTACGACGACAACGACGGCGCGTCCGCTGCGTCGGCGCTCGTGCGCGGTGATGACGTCTACTGGTACAACTGGGACGCTGCGTTAGACTCAAGAGAGACTCAGAGAGCAGAGGCGCTGTACAGGTAAGAGGGACGCGCGGCGCGGCAGGGGCTCCGCCCACTACGTCAGAGACGTAAGAGCATGTCCGCGGCGATACCTAAATCCAGACTTCTCGAACCGGATTTGAAACAACTGCTCCTACGGCTTTAAGCTTTAAACCCCTCCTACTGCTTCTTGGAGAGGTCATGCGACCCGAAGACCGTGTTGAGCTGCTGCGTCACGCGGATGAAGGTCGTGCGCTTGGGCAGCTCCCGCAGCGACGCGGCCCCGACGTAGGTGCACGACGACCGGATGCCGCCCAGGAGATCGAGGATGACGCCCTTCACGGGCCCCTTCGCGGGCACCTCGACGGCCTTGCCCTCGCTGCTCCGGTACTCGGCGACGCCGCCGGCGTGCTTCGTCATGGCCACCGACGAGGACATGCCGTAGAAGAGCTTGACGCGCGACCCGTCGGGCTTGACGATCTCGTCGCCCGCGGACTCGTCCGTGCCGGAGAACAGCCCGCCCATCATGATGAAGTCCGCGCCCGCGCCGAAGGCCTTGGCGGCGTCGCCGGGGCACGTGATGCCGCCGTCGCTCACGATGTGGCCGCCGAGGCCGTGGGCCGCGTCGGCGCACTCGATCACGGCGGAGACCTGGGGGTAGCCCACGCCGGTCTGCTTGCGCGTCGTGCAGACGGACCCGGGCCCGATGCCCACCTTGACGATGTCGGCGCCGTTCAGGATGAGCTCCTCGGTCATCTCGTTCGTGACGACGTTGCCCGCCATGATCGTGTGCGTCGGCCACTTGGCGCGCGTCTCGCGCACGCGGTCGACGAAGCACTCGGCGTAGCCGTTCGCCACGTCGATGCAGATGGTCGTGACCTCGGGGCAGCTCGACAGGATCGCGTCGACCTTGGCCGCGTCCGCCGGGCTCGTGCCCATGCTCACGGCGACGTGCCTGGCCGCGGCCGGCGCCTCGGCCACGAACGCCCGCCACGCCTCGACGGGGTAGTGCTTGTGGATCGCGACGAGGCACCCGTGCTCGCAGAGGGCCTTGGCCATCTCGAACGTGCCGACCGTGTCCATGTTCGCGACCACGACCGGCACGCAGGTCAGCGTGCGGCCGCTGTGCTTGAACGTGATCGAGCGCTCCATGCGCACCTCCTTCCGGCTCCGGAGCGTCGAGCGCTTCGGCCGGATGAGCACGTCCTTGAAGTCGAGCTTCGTGTCCTGCGCGGACGAAACCGTCGGCGTCGCCGCGAGTAACACGTCGGCGCGCCGTCGCCGCGAGTAACATCGACCGCGGCGCGGACGAAACCGTCGGCGCGCCGTCGCCGCGAGGAACATCGACCGCCGCGCGGGCGAAACCGTCGGCGCGCAGCGCTGCCATCGATGGCGCTGAAGGCACCGCGAGGACGCCGGAATCCGCACCTCCTCGACGCGCATGCACTGGGGCCGAGTGGCAGCAGCGCTGCTGTCGAGGGCGACACCGGCGAGGACGGCGGCAGCGGCCGGGCGCCCGACCCGTGCGGCGTGGCGTAGTAGTACCGACGCCATGCTAACACGCCCACGGTTTTTTAGCCTACGAGCTAATGCACACTTGAGCAGAGAGAGCAGCCTGCTGCGCTGCCCTTGTCTGCTGCAGGCGTCTGAACCACGAGCGATACCGGAGCCGGCCGCGCCGTGTGCGCAGGACGCCAGCAGCGCCCGCGCGCGACGCGGTCTCCTCGTGCCACCTCGTGCCACCGCGTGAGCAGTGGTAAATTCACTCTTTTCACTCTTTTTGAGCGCTCTCCAAGATGCTGCCACGGCGCCTCCTGCGGGGACACCGCGTCGTCGGTCGGCGGCGGCACCTGCAGGTGGGCGTGATCGGTCACGGCAACATGGGACGGGGCGTCGCGGCGTCGCTCGCGCGCGCCGGTCACGACGTCGTCGTCTACGACGCGGACGGAGCCCAGACCCTCCGACGGCCATCGACCATCACGGCGGTGGACTCCGTCGCGGCCGCGTGCCGGCGCGCCGACGCGGTCCTCCTGAGCCTGCCGCACGAGGCCGCCGAGCGCGCGGTCGTCGCCGACCTCCTGGAGGCGCGCCCGCCGCTCGTCCTGAACTGTGCGGAAATCAAAATTTTATGGCGCGTTCGTGCTGAATCGTCGCGTCGACCTCCACGCCATCGACGCGACGCCTGCTCGATGGCGTGGCGATGCCGGTTCCTCACCGCTCGACGGAGCCAGCACGGGCGCACCCGACACACTGGTTGATTTCCACACAGGTCCTGAACCTGGGCACCTCGAGCGTGGGCTGGGCGCGCGAGGCGCACGAGACGTGCGGCGGCGCCGGCGTCGCCTACCTCGACGCGCCCGTGTCGGGCGGGCCCGAGGGGGCGGCCGCCGGGAGCCTGGCGGTGTTCCTGGGGGGCGACGAGGCCGCCGTCCGGCGCGCGGCGCCCGTCCTCGACGCCATCGCCGCGCGGTTTGCGCGGCTGGGCCCGGCGGGCGCCGGCGCGGGCGCCAAGCTCGTGAACCAGGCGCTGGTCGCGGCGAACGCGCAGGGCGCCGCCGAGGGGCTCGCGCTCGCGGAGGGGCTGGGCTGCGACCTGGAACAACTGCTGCCGCTGCTCGACGGGGCCTGGGCGGCGTCGACGATGCTCACGCGGAGCGGGGCGCGGCGCCTCGGGGCGGACCCCGCGCAGCTGGCCTTCGAGTCCTCGGCGGCGCCGCTGCGGAACTTCGCCAAGGACCTCGCGCTCGTCCGGGACGCCGCGGCCGGCCGCGGGCTGGACCTCCCGGCGGTGCGCGTCGCCGCGGAGACGGTGGCCGCGGCCGCCGCGCGCGGCGCCGCGGACTGCGACTGGGCGGCGGTCCCGAGCTTCCTCGCCCGGCCGACGACCGCCAACGAGCTGGCGCGGGCGGCGCCGCCCTTCTCCGACGCCGTCCCGACCGCGGAGGCGCTCCGCGCGGCGCTGGCGGCGCAGGCGTCGCCCAGCCTGCCGGTCGTCGACGACGACCCCACGGGCACGCAGACGGTGCACGGCGTGGCCGTCCGGGCGGACTGGGCCGACCTGAGCGGGGAGCTGCGGTCGGACAAGTCGTGCTTCTACCTGCTGGCGAACACGCGCGCCCTCGACGAGGCGGCGGCCGTGGCGCGCAACCGCGAGATCGGGCGGGAGCTGCGCAGGGGCGGCCCGCGGCTCGTCGTCTCGCGGTCCGACTCGACGCTGCGCGGCCACTTCCCGGCCGAGGTCGACGCGCTCGCGGACGGCCTGGGCTGGCGCCGGCCCCTCGTCCTGGTCGCGCCGCAGTTCTTCGGCGGGGGGCGCGTCACGGCCGACGGCGTCCACTACGTCCTGGGCGCGCCCGTCGACGGCGACCGGCCGGCGACGCCCGCCGGCGAGACCGAGTTCGCGCGGGACCGCGCCTTCGGGTACCGGCGGTCGCGCCTCGCCGAGTGGGTCGCGGAGAAGACGCGCGGGAGCGCGGACTACGCGCACACGTGGCACCTGTCGCTGCACGCGATCCGCGGCGGGGTCCGCGCCGTCCAGGACGCGTTCGAGGCCGCGCTGCTGGACGAGACGGTGCGCGCGGTCTGCGTCGACGGCCTCGAGGACCGGGACATGCTGGTCGTCGCGAGCGGACTCAAGGCGGCCATGGCGGCGCAGCGGGGCGCCCTGCACGCGCGGGGCGGCGTCGTCGTGCGGTCCGCGGGGAGCGCCGTGGCCGCGCTCACGGGCATGCCGCCCAAGCCGTTCCTCGGGCGCGAGGCGCTCTCGCCCTCGAGCGGCGGCGGCCTCGTGGTCGTCGGGTCGTACACGCAGAAGACCTCCGCGCAGCTCGCGGAGCTGCGCCGGCGGTGCGGCTGGCTCGACGCGGTCGAGGTGGACGTGGGCGAGGTCCTCGCCGACGCCGAGGGGGCGGTCGCCCGCGCGTCCGCCGCCGCCGCGGCGGCGCTGGGCGCGGGCCGGTCGGCCTGCGTCTTCACGTCGCGCCGCGTGCAGCAGGACGACGGGTCCGGGGGCCTCGTGATCGGCGCCAAGGTGAACGAGGCCCTCTGCGCCGTCGCCGCGCGGGTCGTGGAGCGGGCCACGCCGGCCTTCGTCGTCGCCAAGGGCGGCATCACGTCGAACGACGTCGCCGTCAAGTCGCTGGGGGTCCGCCGCGCGGACGTGCTCGGCCAGGTCGTCGCCGGCGTGCCGGCGTGGCGGCTCGGGCGCGAGTCGCGCCTGCCGGGCGCGTCGTACGTCGTCTTCCCCGGGAACGTGGGCGACGCGGACGACCTGGCGAACGTCGTCGAGACCGTGGCCGGCGCGTCCGGGGCCGGCGTCCGCCGCGGGGTCGATCGCGCGCGGGGACGCCCGGCGCCCCGCGCAGGCGGCGGCCGGCCGCGTCCCCGAAGATGACCTGCGTCGAGGCGCTCGTCGACGCGCGCGGCAGGGGCCGCGCGCTCGGCGCGTTCAACGTCTACACGCTGGAGGGGGCCCTCGCCGTCGCGCGGGGCGCCGCGGCGGCGCGGCGCGCGGCCATCGTGCAGCTGCACCCGGCGGCCCTCGACCACGGCGGGCCCGCGCTGCTGGCGGCGTGCCGGCGCCTCGCCGACGCCGCGGAGGTGCCCCTCTTCGTGGCCCTGGACCACTGCGAGGACCCCGGCCGGATCTACCCGCATCTCGAGGCCGTCGACCACGTCATGGCCGACGGGTCGCGCTTCGACGTGGGAGAGAACGAGCGGTGGACCGCGGCGGTCGCGGCGCGCGCGCGCGCCGCGGGCGTCTCGGTCGAGGCGGAGCTCGGGCGCCTCGCGGGCGAGGAGGACGGCCTCTCCGTGGACGAGAGGGACGCGAGGATGACGGACCCCGCGATCGTGGCGGCATTTCTGGCGCGCACGCGGGTCGACGCCCTCGCGGTGACGGTCGGCAACGTGCACGGCGCCTACGCCTCGCGCGATCCGGACCTGGACTGGGCGCGGCTCGACGCCGTGCGCGCCGCGGCGGGCGACGTCCCCCTGGTGCTTCACGGCGCGTCGGGCCTGTCGCAGCGAGTCATCTCGCGGGCGATTTCGGCCGGCGTCTGCAAGTTTAACGTGAACACGGAACTCCGGGCGGCCGCGCGCGCCGCGTACGCCGAGGGCGGCGACGTCCTCGCCGCGGCGGAGCGCGCAACGAGCGCCATGGCCGGCGTCGTGGAGGCGAAGCTGCTCGCGTTCGACGCGGGTTCTTAAACTATTCTTAAACTTATTTGTGCTCCCGAAGTTGCTCTCGGATGATGATATAAGTTGAGTCCCTTACTAACGATCCTCGGGGCGTGCTACCTGCAGACTTATCGCGTCCTCAATAGTCTCTCTGCGTGTCTGTTGGTAGCCGTCGATGTTACGGTGCTAGGACTAGTGGGCGGAGCCCCTGGGGGGGAGACACCGCGCGTCGCCGATGGTAGCCTCTGAGGTTGTCTAGGTGGGGCACCCAACGGGGCGTATAAACAAGAAATCATCGCGTTGGTGGCGGTCCTAGCAAACCATGCGGGGGTGGATTGTTAGTAGATACCTCTACACTAGACCTCTATACTAGGCCCTTATTTGACCGTCTACTACAAGTAGTCTAGATGCCCCTCTCGAGCGGTCCGCACGCGTCGGCGCGCGGAGGCTGGCTCAGTCCTTCTTGAGGAACGCGTTCAGGCTCGTGACCCGCCCGGAAGCGTCAAATTCGATGACGTCGCAGACAGTGAGCGTCAAGTCGGCGTTGACCACGACGTTGATGTTCGCCACGACCGTCAGGTCCGGGCCGCACGTGTAGAGGTCAATGATCTCGCACTTGATCGTGGGCTCCGCCTTCCAGATCTTCGCGACGCCCGCGGCGACCGCCGCGTTCGTGGGACTGAGCGTCGCGTCCCAGTCGTGCAGACTGCTCGCGTCCGCGTGCAAGCCCCGCAGGGCCGCCTCGTCGTGCGAGTTCCAGACCTCGAAGTACGTCTTCGTCAGCGCGACGACGTCGATCTCCGGGTCGGCCATGGCAGCCTTGTCTATGGTTTGCCCCTCGCGCCAGGCAAGAAGGGCGCAGGCTAGGAGCAGCGCCCCGCCGCAGAGAAGGCGCTGCTGGCTTATTGGAGGGGGAGCGGCAATTTTGTGCCGACGCCGACGCCTCAGTGGCTTAGCAATTTTAGAAACTCACACCCTGGGAGCACAGACACAAAAAACGGGTTTCATTTTCGCGGAACTCGTCGTTTTAACCTCTTGAAGCGAGACAATCAGTCCAGAGCTCAATTCGATTCGATAATAATATGTGCGCGGGGACCGTGCTTGGCAGCTGCATAGCAAACGACGCCGAGAGCGCTGTGCGAGGCTGCCTCGGCATGGCGGACGACAAGTCCCATGCCTCCCTCGGCTCCCACAGGACCGCGGGCTCCAAGGGCTCCAAGGGCTCCAAGGGCTCCAAGGGCTCGCGGAGCACCCGGAGCCACGGCAGCTCGTCCCGGGGCAGCTACGCGGACACGGGCCGCCACGGCAGCAACTTCTCGACCGTGGCGCCCTTCGTCATCGCGAAGCCGTTCATCCTCAAGAAGCAGCGGGTCCGCGAGGAGGCGGCGGCCAAGGCGCGGCAGGTCGCGACGGCGGAGGAGATGCTCGCGGCCGACCGCGAGGCGAAGATCTTCGAGCGCGAGATGAAGCTGGGCCGGAAGCTGACCGCGCGCGAGCTCAAGCAGCACGAGCCCGGGGGGGGCGTGCACCTCACGAGCGCGGAGGTGCGCGAGTACCTGGGGCTCGACGGCCCCGTGCGCAACGTGCCGCGGAAGCGGAGCATCAGCGCGGAGTCGGGCGGCCAGATGGTCGCCGACCTGTCGGCCGTGAAGAAGGGCCAGGACGCGGCCGGGGGCGACGGCCCCGCGGGCGTCCTGTCGGCGGAGGCGTCCTTCATCCAGAAGCGGCGGGAGCTCCGCGAGGTCATGGAGGCGCGCGAGGACAAGGTCGAGAAGACGATGACCCCGGAGATGGCGGCGATGGCCAAGAAGTGGCGCGAGAAGGCCGAGGCGAACGCGCAGCGCCGGCAGCAGGGCGGGCTGGACACGCTGGCCGAGGAGCCCGAGAGCGACGACGACCGGCCGCTCGTGGCCTACGACTACAGCGGCGGGCACGGCGGGCGGCGGTGGCACCGGCCCTCGAAGTACGCGCGGGCGAGCGGCGGCGTCGCGCCGGGCGCGGCCGACAAGGCCGTCAAGACGCTGACGCCCGCGGACTTCGCCCGGGCGGAGGAGGCCGACGTCGAGTTCCTCGAGTCGCCGATGCCGCTGCCCCAGGACCCGCCCGGCTGGCGGTACAAGGCGGGCGGCGCGGGCGTGGGCTACTACTTCGTGCGCGACCAGGCGATGCTGGAGGACCTGACGACGAACCGGCGCTCGCGCAGCAGCGTGACGGGCGCGCCCCAGGTCGAAAAGCGGCAGGGCTGGGGCCGGCGGTGCATGCGCGCCTTCGCGGCCAACGACTTCAAGGCGCTCCGCCGTGCGGAACTCTACGCCATCGAGCTGCCGCGGTCGCGGGGACGACGTCGCGTCGACGGCGCGGGGCGGCCGAAATTTGATTTCCACGCAGGCGCTCCGGGCCGCGTACACGGCGACGGCGCCGACCCACGAGGACGGCGTCATCAACCTGAATTCGCGGGTCAAGGGCGGCGCGTCCTGGTACTACGGCGACTTCTACGTCCGCCTCGGCATCGACCCCGAGCCGTTCCCGCCGCGGCCCGGCGACACGCTGCTCCACATGGCCCTGCGGCACAAGAGGAGCGCGTCGTTCGTGGCGACGATCCTGCACCTGGGCGCGGACAAGGAGATCGCGAACAACTGCGGCGAGAAGGCCTACGAGCTGGACCCGGCGGCGTTCAAGCTCGCGGAGGCCCTCGTGGAGCAGTGGGCCAAGGAGCAGGGCGAGAAGATGTACGGCGGCGCGTCGAAGGGCTCCGGCTCGACGAAGAGCAAGAAGAACAAGAAGAAAAAGTGGTACGCCGACGGCTACGACGGCTACTTCCGCGCGCGGACCGAGGCCGAGGCGCGCGAGCAGGCCACGGCGGCGGGTCTGCCGCCGGACACGCCGCTCACGCGGCGGAGGAGGAAGCACGACGACGGGAGCACGCTGACATCCGGGAGTTCCTACGTGACCGCCGACAGCTCGGTCACGGGCGACTCGGGCTCGGTCGCGTCGGGCAGCGTCGACTCGCGGAGCGTGTCGCTGCCGCCGCTCGCCGAGGGGGCGGCTGGCGCGCGATGAAGACAGCGACGAATAAATCTGTATGTACTGTGTCTGCTGCGATTTCTATAGTTACTTCCTATCTCGCATCCGCTCGAGGTGTCGCCGCAGCGTCGCGAGGTCGGACGACGCGAGGCCGAAGGGCGGGTCGTCGCCCTTCGCCGCGTACAACTCCGTGATTTTCCCCACGAGGATGTCCTTCTCGCGCCGCTCGGCGATTCTGGCGTTCTGCTTCTGGCCGCCGCCGCCGCCCTGGCGCCAGTCGTTCGCGCGGCGCTCGGCCGCCGCCGCCGCCGCCGCGCGCCGGTCCGCGTTGGCGGCGGCGCCGCCGAGCGTGTGGCCACCCGACCGCGGCACCGCGGGCGCGCTGTCGGCGACGCGCGCGCGGATCGCGACCTCGCCGCCCGTGTCGAGCGGCAGCTGGAACGGCTGCGGATCGGCCGTGATCGCCGCCACGGAGAGCTCGCACCGGCCGACCCTGTCGGAAGGCGTCATCACGTTCTGGTTCCACACTTCCACGAGGATGCGGTCGTCCGCCGCCGCGAGCGCGAGCTGCAGGCGGCCCCGCTCGCCGCCCCAGCGCGGGTTGCGTCCGCCGCCGGCGTGCTTCCGGCAGCGGGCGCTGCGTTTCGACGGCAGCGCGGTGAGCTTCACGTACGGATCCATGGCGAAGAGCACGGCGCGGTTTTTCAAGCCGGTTGCCGAGAGGGCCTCCGCTACGAGGTACGATTGCGACAGGTGGGCGGCCATGAGTGGGTCGTCCGTAGTGTATTGTAAGAATGGTGCCTTCGAAAGGGCTCCCTTTGTTGCGGGAGCTGCTAAAAACACTGATCGTCTTTCAAGGGTTACCTATAAACAACCCTCACGCACGAGGGTGCTAGCGTCATGTAAGCCACTAGGGGTGTCCCCGGCAGCCGGCAATTACGGCTCATTGCCATTATATAGCGCTGCATGTTGTTTAACTGATAGCGCTGCATGTTTAACTGACTCATTGAGCAATTCCCGGCCGAAAGTCAAAGAGCTGTGGCCACCTCAATGCGGCGCCACCTCATTGCCATCGCATCAGTCGTGGCGGTGGTCCAGGGCCTCGCAGGACGCGCGAGTGTGCCGCTCGCGCAAAAACCGACGCTCTTCTCGCGGGGGTCGTACTTTGCGCAGCGCGCGCGCGAGGACGCGGCGCGCGCCGTCCGGCGCGCGCTCTTCGGCGACCAGCTGAGCCAGCTGCAGGTGGGCGGTCCGCGGGCCATCCCGGACGGCGGGCGAGTGGTCGTCACCGGCTCTACGTCGGGGGTCGGCCTGGACGTCGCCAGGGAAGTTGCCGCGCTGGGCTACGACGTCGTCGTCTGCGGCCGGGACGAGAAGAAGCTCGAGCGCGCCGTGGCTCTCGTGGGGCGCGTCGCGAGGCGGGGCGTGGAGTCCGCGCGGTTCGACCTGGAGTCGCTGACGGAGACGCGCGCCGCCGCCGCCGCCATCGGGCGCGCGGACGGCCTGGTGCTGTGCGCGGGCTGCTGGCCCACGACCCTGCGGTACACCGAGGACGAGCTCGAGGCGGGGCTCCAGGCCAACCACCTGGGGCACTTCCTCCTGGCGACGCGGCTCCTCGACGCGGGCGGCGTCGCGCGCGTCGTCTCCGTCGCGTCGACGGCGCACGCCGCGACGCGCCAGGACCGCCTGGAGCTGGACGACGCGCGCTGGACGCGCCGGGCCTTCGACCCGCTGGAGGCCTACGCCCAGACCAAGCTGGCGAACGTGCTCTTCGCGCGCGAGCTGCCGCGGCGGTACGCCGTCGAGGCCGTGAGCGCGCACCCCGGCGCCGTGGACTCGGAGCTGTTCCGGGACTTCGACGTCGCGCTGCCGCCGGACCCGTTCGGCCTGCTGCCGCCGACGGTCGACGCGTCGATCGGGACGCTCTCGACGACGGCGCAGTCGTTCCTGAAGGGGGTCGTCGGCAGCGCCCCGGTCTCCGTCTTCAAGAAGCCGCGGGACGCCGCGCGCGACGTCGTCGTGGGGCTGGTCGCGCCCGGCCTCGCGGGGGCCTACCTGTCGGACGGCGAGCCCACGGAGACGTCGCCGGGCGCCGCGGACGACGCGGCGGCGGCGGAGCTGTGGGACTGGTCCCGGTCGACGATCGACGAGGCGCTCGCTTTGATCGACGAGGAGCGGGCGCGCGGGGACTGGGACTTCTAATGTGCCGTGTGTGTGTCCTGCTTGGGGCTTCGCCTCGTCATTTAGCCGATGCGCCTCGTTATCCCATGTTACGGTGCTAGGACTGTGCCTCGGATTATTGTTACGGTGCTGGACTAGTGGTCGGAGCCCCTGGGGGGGAGGGCCCCGCAGCGGTAATCATACTAGCTCGCCTCAAAAGGACGGGGGTGTGTCCCGCGAGTCGGCCTTCCAAATGGGGGGTCTGACCGGTCGGGCAGGTGATGAGTCAGTTCGGCAATGAGCCAGTTTGAGGAGATCCCGTCCCCGGGTTGCGGCTTCCAGGGCTCCCGCGTTTAGGAATCCCGCGCGCTAGCGGCCTGTAAGACACTAGGCATCCCTAGCAAGCAAGCTCTCCCAAAAATACGAATCCAAGGTACGTGGAGCGAGCTGAACCACCACGCTGCGTTCTTTGGCCAGCCCGTGGAGCGTGCTTTATGCTAGCGATCTAAAACCACGCTGCGTTCGCGAATTCCTGAAAATGGCAGCAACGCATGTCCTCGTGGCATTGATGACGGCAGCGGCAACAACCACGAGTGGCTTTCTTGTGCCGCAACTCGCGCCGGCGATGCACCTGCCACCGCTGCGATCGATGGCGGAAGGCGAGGGCGACTGGCCGTCGGACTCGGCCGAGGATGCCGCTCCTGACGTGATCGACGTGCCCCGGGTCGAGGACAGGGAGAGCCTCAAAAAGGAGCTGCTGCTCGCGGTCTCGCGCACGGCCCGCGGCCAGCAATTAGACAAGCGGCCGAACGAGGCGGTGAACGATGTCGCCCGGCGGCTGGAAGCGCAAGGGGCGCCGACGGACGCGCAGCTGTTGAATGGCCGCTGGAACCTGGCGTATTGCTCGACGTACCTCTTCAGGTCGAGCCCGTTCTGGATGGCCGGGCGGGCGGCCTGCCAGGACGGCGAAGAGGCGAGGCGCTACGACTGGTTTTGCGACCAGCATCGTAAGGCCACCATGGTGTCCGAAATCGGCGCGGTGCGCCAGATCGTGGCGCCGGGCCGCCTCGTGAGCGAGTTCGAGACCAGCGTCGCGGCGGCGCCGATGCGGGTCGGGGGGAGCATGCCGGTGACGATATTTGGGTCGATCGTCTCCTCCGCCGACATCACCGCGACGACGGAAACTCCGAGGGGCCTCGAGAAGACGCTCGAGATGGCCGACGTCGAGGTCTGTGCATAAATCAAAATTTCACGGCGCGTTCACCCCACTCACTGGTTGATTCGCACAGGTCGAGGTGAAGGGCAGCAACATACCCCTGCTGCGGCCGCTGCTCGACAACGGCCTCAAGTTGGACTCGCGCCGCGTCAACGACGCGCTCCCGATAGACCGACCGTTTCCCATCTTCACGACGACCTACTGCGACGGAGACGTCCGCGTCTCGAGGGACGTCGACGACAACCTGTACGTCTACACGAAGGAAAGCGACGACACGACGCTGACGTCGTACGACGACGTCGACGCGGACCTGGGGATCCCGGAGCTGATCCGGGGCGCGCTAGGAGTCATGACGGGGAGCCTAAACAACTAAACGAACCGTTTTTAGTCCCGCTTCCGCCGATAAGCGGCCATGAACGCGCGCGACCGCGCCTGCTTCAGCTCGAGCATGGCCTGGGCGACGGGGTAGCCCGCGACCTGTGCGGAAACCGACCGTGGCGTCGGGGGCCCGCGCCGCCGCGCCGAAAAAAAAAACCTCTCGATGTGCCGCGCTGCCCGCGACCAACGACAGCAGGAACCAGCCCAGGCAGTTCCTCCGCGAGAACAGGAACTTCGTCCGCGCCAGGTAGACGGCCGCGAGGCCCTCGACGGCGTTCGCCGCCAGCACCGCGAACGTGCACCAGCCCAAGAATTCCTTGGACGACGGCACGTCCTCCTCGTGCAGGCCCACGAACCGCGCGACGCGCTCCTCGAGCACGTGGACGCCGTGCGTGTGGCCCCAGGCGAACGCGAGCACGCACCACGCGAAGAGCGACGCGAACAGGGACGGGCTCACGGCCAGCCGCGGCCGCGCGGCCCGCTCCCGCAGGTCCGCGAGCTCGCGCCGCACCTTCTCCACGGTGGCGCAGGGCGCCGACCGGAAGGTGATCCTCCGGTGCTGGCTTCGGCCGTGCCTGTCGACGGCGCGCATGTCGAACCCGCAGGCGTCGGCCCGGTCGACGATGGCCATGTTGGCGCCCGTCACGCCCGCGTCCCAGGCGATGATGATCATCGTGATAAGGTCGTTGTTCAAGTTGAACACGGTCCACTCCGCCACGCTGCGCGGCGGGCGCGGGCCGCCCTCGGCCGGCTTGGCGCGAGTCGTGCGCAGCGTCGGCTGCGTCGTCGACATCTCGTGGCCGTCGATGTGGTTAAAATGCAGACCAGCAGAAAATCCGCGTTTTTGACTAAGGTTCTTAGAGCTAGGCGCCGTCTCGGAGCACTGCTTCGCGTTGGAGCACACCCCAGCGCCGTGAATTTGACAGCAGTGGCGCACTGGCCTCACTGAGCGCCGCACGGCTCGAGCTGAGACTCGACGCGAAAGCTTGCTTTGGCTTCGAGCGAGGCTGCGCACAGGCCACGGCGCTAGCGATTTGTGCACACACTAGCCCTCCGTGTGCGCCGTGTGCGCGCGAAATAAAAATCGCTCCGTTTCACACGTGGGGCTACGAGGGGTGTCCTTGGACCTCGAACGACTGCGCGCAGGCTTCACACACGGAAAAAAACGCGCGCGCGCATGATTTTAGCCAAAAGCGCTGCGATGCCTACGATCGGTCACGGCCGCCCGTAAACGCCGCGCGGACTCATTTCGCGCCACGGGACAGTTGCCGACCATACATACAACACGTCCGTTGCGCCAGCATGACTTATAACACTCTTTAGGACTCGCACACACCCATGCGCCGAGACGCGTTTTCGCACAAGTGCAGTGCGCGGATGAAAACCAGCCACTGATCGCTATGACGCGCTATGGAGTCGCATCGCTCGCTATACGTGATCATGGCAACTGTGGTGCTCCGCCAAACTGGCGGAATCGATCGTCGCGGCTCGTGCGGTCGTCGGGTGGCCGTCCGCGAATGCGCGACCCGGCTCCCGTCCGCTCTAGGCCTACTAGGGAGGCCCTATGGGCGCGTCGGGTTGGGCTGTAGGGCGTTTGTTCCTTTCTGGGGCCGGGAGTGGCCAGTAGGTCCCATAGAAAGAGTCCCTGAGAAACCCGTTTAGTATATTTAAGAAATTGAATTTTAGGAAACAAAGGCGCTAAATGCCCCGACAGGCGGTTTCCGAGCCGATAGAAGCGCTCGCGACGCTCCACGAGTGCTGTGCGACCGCGCGCGTAGCGCGCATCCATCTGTTCGGCACTTTTGCGATTGCGCGTTCGTTCTCGACTCGATGCGCCGGGCCGGCACGGCTCACAAAATCCTTTGAAGTCGCGTCAGAGGTTTCGCTGCGTCCCAGAACTCACGCGAAACGATGCCGTGGGCCTCAAAGTTCGCAAAAACGGAAGGGCGTGAAAAATTGCATCTCGGCGATTCTCGGCGAACGCGTCTTTCGCGCGCCGCGCGCGTCTAAAGCCATTTAGAGCTAGAATTTTTAGCGTCGCGGTGCCCTCGGATGTCTGGCAGCTGCTGCGCGCGGTTGCGGCGCGCGAACGTAGAGTTCGCGGCCGTCGAAAGGCCTCGAAGGCAGTCGTTCCAAAATCCGTCCAAATCGCTAGCGCCGTGGCCTGTGCGGCTGCACATGAGGCCTGTGCTGCACACGCAAAAACACGGCTGGCGGCTCCGCTGCGCAGCTTCGCTGCTCCGCTTCGCTCGCCAACCGTGTTTTTGCGTGTGCAGCACATGGCCTCATGTGCAGCCCGCTTGGGCGCTTGCTTGCTAGTGTCTTACAGGCCGCTAGCCACGCGGCTTTGGCTAGCGCAGTAAGACACTAGAGTGAGAGCCGGCTGCAGTCCTCCCCGAGCTTTTGCGAGAAGTCGAGGGTGCTAAAAGCGCTGCACACGCACACGTGTTCTGTCGCTGGTCGGCAGCCATGCGCCTGCTACTCCTCACCCCGATGTGCGCCTGCGCGGCGTTTGTCCTGCCAGCGCTGGGACCGCGCGCGGCCGCGCCGCGCGCGGCCGCGCCGCAAGAGGTCCTCCCCGAGCCGCGGGTGGGCGACGTCGTGGCCTTCGCCGGCGACTGGCCCGGCGAGACGAGCGTGGGGCAGATCCGCTCGCTGCAGCCGCGCGGCGACCGGTGGCTCGCGGACGTCGTGCCGCTGGAGGACCAGGCGGGCGACGTGTGGCGGCTGCCGGCGGCGGCGCTGGCGCGGAAGCGGCGGACGGCCGTCGACGTGGCGGAGCTCGTGCCGCTGGAGGCGGCCCCCGCGGCCGAGGACGACGCGTTCGTGCTCACGGCCACGGAGCCGTCCGCGGCGATCAAGCCCCTCAGCGGCAGCGCGGCGGGCCTGCTGGCGCGCGCGGCCTCGTACCGGGCGCTCGCCCCGGACTTCAAGCCCAAGGGCGGCCGCGCGAGGGTCGACTACGCCGCCGAGGAGCGGTCGCGGGAGGAGTACGCCGCCCTGAAGCGGCAGCTGCTGACGGACTCCGCCCTGGCGTCGGCGGCCGGCCTGGTCGCGGTGACGGCCGCGACGCGCGACCTCGACGACGCGCGGGCCTTCGCGCTCGGCGCGGCGGGCGGCCTCGCGTACGTCGCGGGGCTCAGCGCCTTCGCGGACCGCGCGGGCGACGACCGGCGGGAGGGGCTCTTCGACGTCGACCTCAGCAAGTACCGGCTGGCCTTCCCCGCGGCCGCGTTCGTGGCGCGCGCGCGGCGCCGACCGGCGGGGCGCCTTCGACGTCGCCGGGCCGCGGGGCGGCGCGGCGGCCCCGACGCGCGCGCGACGCGACGCGACGCGCCGGTCCCCCCGCAGGTGCTCGCGGCCCTCGACGCCGCCTCCGGCAAGGGCGGCGGCGCGCTGCGCGTCATCCCGTTCGACGAGTTCGCCTGCGCGGCCCTGGGCGTGGTGGCGTACCGCGTGCCGCTGCTCGCGCGGCAGGTCTTCGGGGGCGGCGGCGCCGAGGACATCGCCGCGATGCTGCCCGGGTCGCTGGGCAAGGGCGCGCGGGAGCTCGTCAAGCAGCGCGACGCCGCCGCGGAGGACGGCGACGGCGAGGCGGAGGCGCTGGCGGCGGCCGCGCGGCGCGCGCGGCAGACGGTGCTCGTGGTCTGCGGCCCGCCGGGCGCGGGCAAGAGCACCCTGGTCGACCGGCTGGTCGCGGCCGACCCGCGGTTCGCGGCGCCGCGGTGGCTCAGCACGGACCGCGACTCGGCCGACGACGTCGTGGACGAGGCCGCGTTCGACGGGAGGGACGACCTGGCCGTGGTCTTCGGCGGCGACGAGGCGCTCGCGGAGGAGGAGACCACGCTGCTGGATCGGGCGGTGCCGAAGAAGCGCGGCCTGGCGCGCGCCGAGCTCGTCGACCGGGCGGACGGCAAGACGTGCGTCCTGGACTGCGACGTCGAGACGGCGCGGCGGCTCGAGGGCCTGGCGGGCGTGCGCCTCGTCGGCGTCTGGGTGTCGCTCGATTCGCTCGGCGCGCTGCGGGAGCGGCTCACCAAGGTCGAGGCCGGGCGGGCGCTGGCCCGGAGCGACGACGTCGACGCCGCCCAGGTCGCGGCCGTCGTGTCGGAGCGGCTCTCGACGGTCGTGGACGACATCGACTTCGGCGTGCGCTCGCCCATGTTCGAGTTCACGATCATCACGAGCGACGCGGAGGCGCTCTCCTTCGCGAAGCTCCAGAAGGCGGCGGCGTACGTCTTCGACGGGTGACTAAATTTATGCGGCTAGGCTCTAGAGGTCCTCCTCCTCGGCCGCGGCGATTTCGTCGGCCGAGGGCGCCATCGAGGGGTCCACGACGCCGCTCTCCTTCGCGAAGCTCCAGAAGGCGGCGGCGTACGTCTCCGACGGGTGACTAAATTTATGCGGCTAGGCTCTAGAGGTCCTCCTCCTCGGCCGCGGCGATTTCGTCGGCCGAGGGCGCCATCGAGGGGTCCACGACGCCGCTCTCCTTCGCGAAGCTCCAGAAGGCGGCGGCGTACGTCTCCGACGGGTGACTAAATTTATGCGGCTAGGCTCTAGAGGTCCTCCTCCTCGGCCGCGGCGATTTCGTCGGCCGAGGGCGCCATCGAGGGGTCCACGACGCCGCGGAGGAAGTCCATCGTTGCCGCGTTTTTTATGGCGGCGACGACGTCCGCGCGCGTGATCACTTTCTCGTTTTCCTGGCCCTTCGCGGCGCGGAGCGTCAGCTCCAGGACGAATAATTCGCACGCCCGCGCCAGGACCACCGGCGCCTCGGCCGAAATCATGCGCACGTCCTCGTCCGACTTCATTATCCGTTTGATGCGCGCCAGCGGCATGCGCGGCGGACGACAGCGCACTTACGGCCAAGCCAACGGCCAGACCGACGCCGCGCCCGACTATCAAACCGACGGCGAAGCCGACGACGAAGCAGTTCCCGACGTGCGGCGTGCGCATCAACCTCGGCAACGGGGCCGGCTTCCATTGTGAGACCGATCCCGCGGCGACCGAGCACGCCGGCAAGAAGATCGTCTTCGCGTGCTGCGACGCCGACATGGGTTACAGCACGTGCACGCGGGCGGACGCGGACGGCCAGTGCTACGCGGGTTTCCTGAATCCGCTATCGAATTTCGCGCCGAAGGACTGGCACGAGGCCACGAACGTGTGCGCGGCCGAAGGCAAGGTCCTCTGCGGCGTCGAGCAGCCGTGCCAGAACAGGGGGTGCCACTACAACTACCACTACCAGTGGACGGGCGAGGAGTGCCAGGCCGGCGACGCGGGCCTGCCGGCCGCGTGCGCGGCTGCGTGATTCCCTACGACGATCCCCTCCCTTCCCTTGATTGACTAACTCCCCGTTGATTGACTCGATACATCATCCTGAATCACTGGATTGGCGGGCGTGTATTCCCGTCGCAAGTTACCTCAAACATGGGGCAAACTATTTCGTTAGACGACCACTACTACGGAATTGCACACTCTTTTCCCCCTGCATCGCAGTCCTGTGGTGTGTGGCGTTAGTTACAATATGCCAATATTTAATCACCGATGCACCTTCAGGAGGTAGCACTCGCCGCCGCGCGCCGCGGCGAACGTCTCCTCGCGCGGGTGCGCCGCGACGTGGAGGACGCGGTTCGACGCGTCCGGGGCGTCGATCGCGTCCGCCGGCGCGCCGGACTGCGGCACGCGCGGCGGCGCGGCGCCGTTCGCGTCGACGAGCTCCGCGTCCAGCGCCAGCCCCGTGGCGGCGTCGCGCACGGCGCACCGCCCGTAGCCGCCTGTGTGGACATCAACCAGTGTGTCGGGTCGAGCGGCGAGGAACCGGCATCGCCACGCCATCGAGCAGGCGTCGCGTCGATGGCCTCGAGGTTGACGGGAAGAATCAAACGCGCCGTAACATTTGAGTTCCACACGGGGAGCCGCCCGTCGCCACGGCGCCGTCGCCCCGGCAGGCGCACACCTCGAACTTGTCGAAGATGCGGTCGGCCTCGTAGAGGTCCGCGAGCTTCGGGCGCAGGTGGTCGTGGACGCCGGCGGCGTGCACGGGCTCGCGGGCGCGCCGCACGTCCCAGGTCCGGCAGCACAGGAAGTCGCGGGTCACGACGAAGCGGCCGTCGCCGTCGAAGCGCGCGTCCGAGACCGAGGCCACGATCTCCGCGAAGAACGACGCGGCGTCGTCCTCGCCCCCCGGCGCGGGCGGCCGCCGCGCCGCGGCGTCGAGGACCAGGCTCGGCCGCGTGCAGCGCGCCGCGGCGCGCAGGTCGAAGAGCCGGACGGCGCCGCGCGACGAGGCGTAGAGCAGGGTGTGCCCCTCGACCGGGTGGAAGCGCGCCGTCGTGATGACCTCCGCCAGGTCCTCCATGTTCGGCGGCTTCGCGTCGACGACGTTGCAGCACCGATCCGCCACGTCCAGCCGCCAGAGGTTGACCCGCAGGTCGTCCGCGGACAGGAACGTCTCGCCGTCGGCGCACACGCTCAGCGAGTGGACGTGGTACGCGTGCTCGCGCGCGTACGTCGCCCGCGCCCGGGCCCGGGCCTGCGGCGCGCCGCCGACCAGGCGCGGCACGCGCAGCTCGTCGTAGCCGTGCTCCCGGTTCGTGTTCTCCAGGCGCGCGCCGACGCGCTCCTCGCCCACGGACCACAGCTTGATCGTGCGGTCGTTCGCGGCCAGGACGCCGCACCGGTCGCCGCGCCCGCCGCAGAACTGGAGCTGGGAGACCTTTTCCTCGACCTCGAGGCTCTTCAGGAAGTCGAACTCGGGCTCGTGGCTCCGGAACGCGCAGAAGGGCGCGTAGCGCGGCCCGCGCCGCGCGTAGACGCGCACGCGGCCGCCGCGGTCGCCGACGCCGAGCCACGCGCCCGTCTGATCGAAGGCGACCGAGCAAATCGCGGCGTTCTCGTCCGGCGCCGGCCCGTTCGTCGGCGGCGCGAGGCACTGCTCGACGCGGCACCTCGGGCCCTCCTCGCCGCGATCGGCAGCGAAGTCGGCCATCGCAACAACACGCCGCGGTCAGCTATTGCGTCGCGGCCGCGCGCGGGGAGGATCTAGGCGACGGCTGCCTCTCCCTGCCCTCTTTACGCATAGAGATGCATCGGGTTTGCAATTTTCATTTGTGTGAGTTTACTCGTGATTATGGCCTTTAAAAAGAGGCAGACTTTGCCAACGGGCGGCGCTCGGCCTGCGCAGATGCCAATGTGTGGGCCTCGGCCCCTCAGCGGTGTGCGGGTTGCGTAAGTCAGCGCCTTGTTTGTTGATGATTCATCTTTCAATTAGAAAGTTTGATTCATATTGATCAGGTCTCCTCATGGCTAGCGGCTGTAAGACACTAGCAAGCAAAAAGCAGCAGCCGCATCGCCGCTCGCGCTACTACTCTGCAGGCTCGTCTGCCTTTCAACCTGACGCCCGTGTTGCGCCCGCGAGTTACCATAGCTCTGAGAGCCGCTGCAGCGACAGCGCTGCAGCTCTCCTCTACTGCCATCCCTGGAGGAGTGCTGCAATGGCGCAGCGGTGCGCCGACGTCGACGAGTTCGTCGAGCGCGTCAAGGAGCTGTACGAACTGGACCCGGCGCGCGTGCGCTTCGTGATGAAGTACCGGCACGCCGACGGCTCGCTCGCTTTGCGAGCGACGAACGACGAACTGTGGCTGTTGTACCGGACGACGCAGGCGTCGGACATTCGGCGGCTCGAGGCGCTCCAGCTCTGGCTGATGAGCGCCATGGCCGGCAGCGACGTCGAAACGCTGACGCGCGAGGCCACCGAGGCCGACGCCGCCGCGGCGGAGCGACGAGAGGGCAAGCGCAAGGGGCGCAAGAAGAGGTGAGGTCGCGCGTTTAACTAAATACAGTAAATAAATACAGCACACTTACTTCACACCACACTATTTGCTCGCCGCCGCGGCCGCCTCGAGGAGCCGTCGGCGCCGGATCGCGTCGCCGAGGATGGAGGCGTCCAGTAGCACGTCTCGCGCGTTCCCCGCCGCGTCGACGCGCACGCCTTGCGTGGCGGTGCCGGCCAGGATCAGGTCGTCGCCGTCCTTTCGAAGCGTCCCGGCGACGTCTACGGCGAAGCGGAGCCACTTCCCCTCGCCGCGGCCGTTGCGCCGCAGCAGGTCGAGGACTTGGACCGCTTCATCACACGAGGCGGTGTCGACGGGGCCGGGCCACCAGCTACGGAGCGCGTCGGGCGCCGCGAACACGTCGGCGAGCTCCCGTAGGATCGCGACGGTGCGGCCGCGGATCGCGGCGTCCGCGATCTCGAGGACGACGCTCAGTCCTTGGTTGATCTCGACGGAGAGGCCGCCCACCCCTATCCGGCCTACGGCCGCCGTGCCGGTGACCTGTGCGCAAATCAACCACAGTGAGTCGGGTCCGAGAAATGTGATGTGTACACTGCCGTTGACTGGCGGTCCGGTCGCCTTGAAGGACATCGTGGCCTTGCGCACCGCGGCAGAGAGCCACGCCTCGTCGCCTTCGCGGCAAATCTCGACGGCCACGCCGTCCGGCGCCCCCGCGCCGTCGTCTTCCGGCGCAGTGTCTCCGCCGGCGTCGTCGTCGACGACTGTAACGCTCTCAACCGGCGCGGACGGCGGCGGCGGCGGCGTCGCGGCGCCGTCGCGGCTGTCCTCCTCCTCCTCATCCTCCTCGTCGTCGTCGTCATCGAATTGCGTCGGCGTCAGCACACGCGGCGCGTCGTCGAACGCGACGGCGGCATCACACGCGGCGCTCGTCTCGGAGTAGGGACGCGCCCGGACCTCGTACGGCACGTCGCCCTCGGGACGGACGATGATGCTTCGCGCATCGAAAGGTTGGGGCGCCGGGCTCTCGACGGTGGCCGAGCTAATCCTCAGGGCCGAGTCGCCACCTGTGCGGAAATGACCAGAGTCCCAGTCGCGTCGTCGCCGAGAATCTAGTGGCGAAGAACAATCGATTTCCGCACGAGTGCTGCGGTCATCGACGACCAACGAGACGACGCCTTGGGCACATCTAATTTTCTCGGCGAGCAGCGTGAGGCTCGACGCGCCGCGCTCTCGCAGAAGTGCCACGTTTTGCGCCGCGACGCCCGAGACGTCCTCGGCCGCAACCACGCGCGCTTGATAGTCCCAAAAGAGGCGATGCGCCAGTCTCAATGGCACCGCCCCGGCGATGGTCGGCAGGCGCAGCCTCATTTCGCACGGGCGCCGCCGCAAGCGCGTCGCGGCGCCGGCGACGTCCGTCCAGCTCCAGCGTTGGCCCGCGGGAGCCGCCGCGGATAGCAAAGCGGCGGCCTCGGTCCAGAGGGCGCCGACGGGCCGTCCTCCGTTTGCACTGGAGCGCTCCCGCGGCAACCGCGACGCGGCTGCCGGCGGCGCGGGCGGCGGCTCGTGGCGCCGGAGATACGCGCCCACGTCAGCGAGCGAGGCCATCGGAGGGAGCTCCTTCTTCTTGCGGCCGCCGCCGAAGATAACATTTCGACCTTCCGCGAAGGCGGAAGCCTGCGCGCGCGTCCAGCCGACGAGCCTTCGCGCGGCCTCGGCCTCTGACGAGGCGCCGTCGAGCGGCGCGGACGCGACAGCCGTAGGCGGCGCCGCCCGGACGTCGAACGAGCCCTCCGCCCGAAAGGGCCCCCGTAGGCTCGCGAAGAACTCCCCGAGCTCCGGAGGCAACGAGCGGCGCAGGGCGTCCCGCAGCGTCGGTAGCATGAGCTTGAGGACCGCGCGCGCCGCGGTCCGCGACAACGTCCCTGGCGCCGACCAGCGCCTGATCGACGCCTTGAAGGCCTCTATGGTCCACTGGCCCTCGACGCAGGCCTGTGCGCGGAAATCAAAATTTTTACGGCGCGGTGCATGACTTAGTGAAGAATTGTCGGGTGCTTCCGACGCACTGGTTGATTTCCACACTGATGCAGGCGACGGCGGCGCTCCAGGTGGCCCGCGCCCGCAGATTGACGCGCCGGACGCGCACCGTCGGGATGCGCGACCCCTTGCCGCTGACGACCACGAGTCCCTCGACAACGACCTCCACCGTGGCGCCGTCGTCGTCGTCGCCGAGCGCCTCGAGCGTCGCGCGCGCACCGGCCTCCGTCGGCTCGGCGCTGACAACCAGCCGCCCCGCGCAGCGCTCGAGCGTCGCGTCCTTCACGCCGACGCACAGCCCGTCTTCGCCGCGCAGGACGTTCGCCGGATCGTAGTCCGGGAGCGCGAGCCGCTTCCGCGCCGTCGCCTCCCGCGCCGTCGCCGCGGCCGCCGCGGCGAGCTTGAGGGTGCGCGCGGCGCCCTCGAGCTTCTGCGCGAACTCCAGGGCAGTCGCGGCCTCGCGCCGGCACGCCTCGGCCTCGGCCTCCAGAGCCGCTTTCGCCTCGGCGGACCGTGCCCTGGTCGCGCGCTCCTTCGCGTCCGCGGCGGCGTCGGCGACGGAGATCTGCATCGCCAGCGCCACGACCCGGGCGTGGCGGTCCGCCGGCGCCATGGCCATGGCCCGCGCGAAGGCCTTTTCTGGCGGGATCTCCGGCGGCGGCGGCGAGGCGGCCGGCGGCGCCGGCGGGGCCTCGGCGGTCGGCAGGCCCGTGTCGAGCGCCACGAGTCGCTTCTTCGCGCGCGTCCACGTGCGAAAGCGACAGACGTCGGTGAGGCCGCGCGTCGCGTGACCCGTGGCGCCGAAGGTCCGCGCGTAGCGCCAGCCGTCCGCGTCCGTCTCGTCGCCGATCGAAACGCGCCAGCCGTCGTCGACCCAGCGCTCGCCGTCGGCCAGCGGCGCCGCGGCGTCCGGCACTTTTCCTCGCGATCCGTCCGGACCTTTGTACGCCGGCGGGTCCGAGAGCGCGAGGAGATGACCCGCGCTGTAGCCTCGCATCGGCACTTTGCGCTGGTTTTCTTGTATGGTTACTGTGATGACTTCGTGCAACATTTTTGATGCAGGCCACCTATATAATATTATATGGCAGCACCTACTGGATACAAATTGCAAGATCCTGCACTCGCGCGCGCAGCAATATATCGAACGCGCGCTTCGCTGCCCTCTCAAGTGCCCTCAGCTGGAGCAACAAGGGGGGTTAAGTATTTATCATGGGAGCAAAGCGTGGATTGCTAGCGGTCTGTAAGACACTAGGGATGCCTAGGCGGGTCGACTATAGCTATAAGCCTGAGCCTGTCTAGACCGCCTCGTACGAAAGAGTACTTAAGCGGTCACGAACGCTAGACTAACTCGTGCGCCTCGTACGAACCGCGCGAATTAAGCCGCCCGCCTGGTACAAGCCTGTAGGCCCTGTACAAGCCGCCCCCGCGGTAAATTAACGTCTTCATCGCCATCATGGGGCAGGACGATCCCCCCAATTACGACGCAGCGACGCTCGTGGCGGTTCCACTCGATGGCCTCGAACCCCTCAAACATTTGGCCGCGTTCCAGGTGCGTTTCTCCGCGTACGCAACTTTCGCCGACGCAACTTAAGTACAGGTGCAGCAACAGAAGGAGATGCTCGAGGCGGCGCTCAACACGGTCTCTATCGGCTACGAGGGCGCAAACAAGTATAAGGTGAGGGTAGCGCATAAATCAATTGTCGCGGCGCGCCATTGTACGCACAGCATATCGTTCCCCAAGAAGCTGAACGTCGAGTACAAGGTGTCCTTCCGCGTCAGAAGGACTTCGCGGTACTCGCGCGCCGTCGCCCGACGGGTCCCGCGCAGGCGCTCATGATCGGCGCGTTGTTGTTGCTAGACTACATGTTTTTCGAGGACGAGGGCGCGTGCCAGTTCCAACCGTGGCGCTGCGTGTGCAAGTTCAAGTGTTGCGACTGCTACTGTCTCGGTTGCATATTCCCTTGCTCGTGCAATTGTCCCGCGAAAGAGCCGGAAGAGGGAGCCGGGGCGCCGTTCGCCGTCGACGTCGTCGAGCTCATCGAAGCGCCGGCGGCCGAGGTCATCGCGCGCGCGCAGTAGTAGGCGACGACGCCCCCCCCGGAGCGCTTAATAAGGGTGCTATTCATTCCCGTGGCGGCGGCGCCAGAGCGGGAATTAAGCTCCGGGAGGGCTCCGCGAGGGTATGTTCCCGGGCCGCTACTACTCACTCTGAACTATTTGGTCGTGGCGAACGACTATGATGAATTGTGAATCTGGGAGCCCGTTTTTCCCTACCGACGCGTATCTGGAATTGACTAGCGGCTCCGAGGAACTTGCAGCCACTATGCTCGGAGCGGAGGAGTCGCTTTCTCTCCTGAAGACGAGAAAGAGAATATGAGAAAATCCCAATGGGCCCCGCACCGAGTTCGAAGCTCGGACCGGGGCGTCACCTGTCAGCCCGCCCCAAAAATTGGGCAGGCCTAGGGTGAGTAGTAGGTAGACAGGGGTCTGGCGCAGCTAGTATCTTTAAACGCTAGGTGCCCGCGGGAAGAAGGAGGGGGAGTATGTGCTCGGGCAGCCTAGATCATAAGCGTCTAGCTTTGTTTTACAGCTGCTTGCAAGCAAACGACGCCCTTGCTTCAGTGGGCAGCAGACGGCGCATGTCGCGCGGATGTACTCTGCTTCTGTTGGGCGCCACCGCCGCGCGCGACGAGGCGCCGCGGGTCCTCGACGTCCACGTCACGATGTCGCCCGACGCGATCTCGTCGTCCCGCGCGCACATACCACACGACCCCCGATATTGCATCGACCCGCCGCCGTTCGGTGACCAATGCACGATGCACGCGAAGGACGCGCTGGGCGCCTGCGCGGTTCTCGCGACCTGCGTCGGATTAGTATGCCCCGATCCTGCACCCTACCGGCGCGGCGTTCCCCACAAGCGCATCCGCGGGCCGATCTGTCACGCGCTGTGTAGAAGTCGCCGCGTCGTGAGGCGCGCAATCAACCTCGGGACACGCAGGCCAGGCGCGCGGCCACCTCGTCGGCGACGAGCGAAGCCACGGGATGTGCAAGCCGGGGGGCTGCGCGCACATTCGGGTCTCAAAGTCGGGCGGCGACGGAGTGGTCCAGGCCCGCCTGCCGCCCGCCGAGACGCTCCCGCCGTTCCTGCGCCACGCGTTCCCCCGCGGCGACGGAAACGGGTTGTTGGCGCGCGTACCGCTACCGCCCGCGACGCCGTCGAAGGGCGTCCGGCCGCCGCGTCGTCGACGCGACCAACGGCGTGTCAGATAAAATAAGTTAAACACAACGGGCGCGTCACGCGAAAGCGCGGTCGTCGTCCAGCAGGTTCCGCCACAGCCCCGGCTCGAGCGGGTAGGCCCGCGGGAACCGGCGCGCCGCGACGGGCAGGTGCCGCTCCGCGAGCACGTCCGCGGCCGAGCCCGTCGCCGTCTCGCCGTAGAGCAGGTCGATGACGCGCGTCACGGCGTCGCTATGACGCGGCCGTCATGGCTCGGTCGAGCGGCGAGGAACCGGCATCGCCACGCCATCGAGCAGGCGTCGCATCGATGGCGTGGAGGACGACGCGATGATTCAGCACGAAAGCGCCGTAAAATTTGATTTCCACACAGGTTACCAGCTCCCGCACCCGCTGGAGCATCGGATGCTCATCAAGGTCCAGACGACCGGACAGACCGCGGCGCCCGTCGACGTTCTGAAGGCCGCGATCGTCGACCTCCAGGGCGAGACCGAGGCCTTAGATCGGGGCTTCCGCGACGGCGTCGCCGCGGTGCGCGAGCGGCAGATGCAGATATGAGTTTGACGTTCGTTCATCCCCCAACACACGGCGCGCCGACAACGCATATATATGACGCATATGGATAACTTACTAGCTCTAGTCCGCCGCCTCGATCGGCGGCGCCGCCTCCCCCTTGATGATCTTCTGCTTCGCCAGCTTCTCTTCGTGCGCGGCGCGCTTCTTGTGCTGTCTATACAAGTAAAAGGCCGCCCCGTAGAAGAGCAGGTTGCCCGTCGACAGCACGAACATGACGCCCAGCACCTTGAGGAGCGTGACGAGGATCGGCTCCAGGTCCGCCAGCGTGATCTTCTTGAACTCCTCCAACTGCGCCCGAAAGATCCGCGGCGCGAAGACGAGCGTGCAGAACCGGTCCCACAGCAACGTCCCAAACAACGAGGCGAGCACCAGGCCCACGATCTCGAACCTGAACTGGTCGTCGGGGAACGGCGAGAGGTGGATGGCGGCGTTGACCTCCGGCAGCACGTTCCAGGCGCAGAGGCAGATGCCGCCGATGCTCACGAAGAGCGAGAGGAAGAGCGCGTGGTTCTCCGACAGCCCCTTCATCCAGGGCCGGCCCTTGTAGTTCACGAAGAGGACGGCGACCATCTGCGAGGTCTCCACCAGAAATACGGCGGTGTTCAGCAGGTTCGGCAGGAACGGCGTGGCCCACATCGACGTGACGAACGCGAAGGGGTCGTCCTCGTCGCCGGTGTCGTCGGCGAGCTCGCCGGCCCGCGCCTTGCGCTGGAACCGCACCACGGCCCGCAGGGCCGAGTCGCCCATGCGCGCGGTCGCCATCTTGACGGCCCGCCGCATGCAGTAGACGTGGATGGCGCCCTGGCCCGCCACGCTGGCGCCTGCGCGGCGCTCGAACCTCGAGGCGCCCGTCCCGCCGCGCGGGCCTCTCTCTCTCTCTCTCTCTCTCTCTCTCTCGTGGATTTCCGCGCGGGCCGGCGCAGATCGACGGGTGGAACAGGGACCCGAGCGGCCGGATCGGGTGCATCGACTCGAGGGGCGTCGCGTACGAGAAGGCGAGCGACGCGACGACGAGCAACCTGCGCGCGGACCGCGCCGTGTGCGCGGGGGAGACGCGGGGGTCGGCGTCGCGCGGGACGCGGCCCGCGCGCCAGCCCGACGCCATCATCTGCCGTTCCGACGACCGCGCGCCCTCGAGCGACAGCGCCGCCAGCGTGTAGGCCGAGATCACGCTCTCCAGGACCATGATCTGCTGCTGCTGCAGGGACGACAGCAGGGTGCATCGCCCCTGCCGGATCAGGTCCACCACGGCCCGGATCGACGGCGCCCGCGACGTGAACGGCGCCGCGACGGACGCGTCGCCCGGCCGGATCATCTGCGGGCCGTTCGGGTCGTCCAGGCCCCCCAGCAACTTCTGGGCGGCCGCCATCGGATCCTTCGGCGCCTCGCCGCCGAGCTGCTCGTCGTAGACGTTGCCCAGGCCCCGGTCGATCTTCCGCACCTCGACCTCCATCTCGCGCTTCATCCGCAGCGCGACGTCCTTGATGGCGCCGGCCTGGGCCAGGAAGCCCGTCTCGCCCCGCTGCTCGCGCCGCCGGATCTCCTCCTCGAGCCACTCCTTCTGCTTCGCGGCCATGTCCTTCTGGGCGGCGTCGATGCCGGCCTTGCGCCGCTGCCCGGCGTCGCGGTGCGCGTCCTCGAGCGCCTCCTTCTGGGCGTTCAGGACCGCCTCCGCGCTCGAGTCGCCCTTGGCCGCGGCGAGCTTGGCCCCGGCGTCCGCGTACCCGCCCTGGCCGGTGGTGTTCGCGTCGCCGTACCCGGCGAGGAGCGCCAGGCCGACGTCGGCCTGCTTCAGGGCGCCCACGTCGTTGCCGCCGTCGCCGCACATGAGGACGGAGGGCGCGTCGTGCAGCGCCTGCAGCGACCGGCAGATCCGGGCCTTGCCCTGGGGCGACATGCGCGCGAAGACGTGCACGCCGCCCGCGACGGCCCGCCACACCGCCTCCTCGTCGTCCGCCGCGGCCGCGGCCGCGCGGAGGGCCTTCTCCGTGACCACCAGGGGGCCGCGCGCGGCGAGCGCCGCGACGTCCGCCGCCGCGAACGCGACGGGCGCGCGGCCCCGGCTCGCCCACCGCGCGCCGCCGCCGCAGGCCTCCAGCACCAGGGCGGGGCGACCGTCGGCGATGTTGCACTCGCGCGCGACGTGCAGCGCCGTCAGGGGCGCGTCGCCCGTCACCATGGCCACGCGGTGCGCGGACTGCGCGAGCGCCGTCACCACGACCCGCGAGTCCGCGCGCGTCTTGCACTCGAAGGCCGCCAGGCCGCACAGCTCCAGGTCCCGCTCCACGTCGTCCCGCCGCTCGACGTCGCCGTCGCAGCGCCGCGACGCCAGCGCCAGGACGCGCAGCCCCCGCTCGGCGAGGCCGACGTACGCGGGCTCGAACCACGCGGGCGCCTGCCGGAGGAGCGCCCCGACGGCCTCCGGCGAGCCCTTGACCAGCGCCGTCGCGACGCCGTCGACGTCGGCGACCACCGACATGCGCTGGAGCGCCGACGAGAAGTGGAAGCGCCGCCGGATGCGCGCCGCCGTCCGCGGGCCCCGCGCGGTCTCCGCCTTCGGGTCGTAGGTCCAGCCCAGCGCGCGCACCGCCGTCAGCTCGATGGGGTCGCCCACGAGCGTGTCGTCGTCGTCGGCGCCGACGAGCGCGTGGCAGGCCGCGACGACGACGGCGGCCTCGGGGGGCGCCTCGGCGAAGGGCCGCAGGGCGCCGCCCGCGGGCCCGACGACGCCGGCCGGCACGAGCCGGTCCGTCGTGAGCGTCCCCGTCTTGTCGAAGAGGCAGTGCTCCAGCCGCCCGGCGAACGGCACGCGGTACGGCTCGACGGCCATGATCCCGCGCTTCATCAGCGCCATGAGCGCCGTGTTCACGGCGAGCGCCATCTGCATGGGGAGCTGGCGCGGCACGACCGACGTGACGATGATGACGCACCGCAGCAGCAGCTCGTGCGTCGTGCGGTCGCCCTTGCGCAGGCCCTCCCGGAAGACGTAGGCCGCCGACGCGAGCGCGAAGAGCAGGAGGATGCCCAGCGCCAGGAGCGTCTCGAAGGTGTCGCTCGAGACGCCCTGCTGCGAGAACTCGATCATCTGCATGAGCTCGCCCTGGGCGGAGCTAAAGCCCGTCCGCAGGACGTAGGCGACCGCGCCCCCGTCCGGCGGGGCGTGCGGCCCGTCGCCCGGCGTCGAGTTCACGAGGTCCGTGCCCGAAAACAGCGTCGCGACGCGGTCGGCCCCCTCGAAGGCCAGCGCGCGGTCCTCCGCCGCGTCCAGGGCGTCCTTCATCTGCGGCGTCGACTCGCCGGTGAGCGTCGCCTCGTTCGTCACCGCGGAGCCCTGGACGAGCACGCAGTCGCAGGGGATGATCGACGGCTGCGCGCGGAAGTGGGCGTTGCGCTTCTTCTCGAACTCCCGCCGCGCGTCCGCCCGCTTCCGCGCCTCCTCCGCGCTCTGGGGCGACGGCGGCGGCGACTCGGCGGGGAGCGGCGGCGGGCGCCGCCGCGCGATCGAGATGAGGTCGCCCGGGAGCAGCTCGTCGCTCGAGACGTCCTGCCACTGCCCGTCGCGGAGGCAGAGCACGGGGGCCGCGCGCGCGGACATGCCCGACAGCGACTGGAGCGTCTTGCGGCGCTGCATGACCTGCGCGCGGGCGGGCGGTGGCGCCGCGCGTCGACGCGGCGGCCGGAGCGGCGCGCGGAAGGCCCCCCGCGAGGCGTCCGACGCGGCCGGCGCGCCGTCCCCGCCTCCATCGTCACGATCGAAAACAGGGTGAAGCCCACGTACTGCCAGTAGGCGTCCAGCAGCCACAGCAGGGACGTGAAGACCTGGAACATGGCGATCGGCGACAGGAGCTGCTCGCGGTAGAGCTCCAGGAAGCCCGGCACGCGCACCTCCACGACGTTCTTGCCGTAGCGCTCCCGCGCGGCCTCCGCGGCCCGCGCGTCCAGGCCCGCGGCCCGCGCGTAGTGCGCCACGTCGAGCGCGAGCGGCGGCGCGACCCTGCGGAGCGAGCCGTTCTCCCGCCCCTCGCCCTGCACGTCGTCGTCGTCGTCCACGACTATCTCCTCGACGCTCCCGTCGTCCGTGTCGGAGGCCGCCGCCTCCTCCTCGTCCGCCTCGGGGCCCCAGTACTCGTAGAGCTGGCGCTGGTAGTCCACGACGAGGCCCGCGCCCACGCGCGCGCTCCGCACCGGGCAGAGGGCGGGCCGCCCCTTGTGCTTCTTGGGGAGGATGAGCGCGTAGGCCCGGTTGCTCATCTGGTCCGTCTCCCGAAACCGCGTCGCCGCCTTGAAGGGCACGACCCAGCGGCACATGAGGTGGTACAGGGCGTGGAAGGTCAACACCAAGAATAAGAACAGGCACGCGGCCGCCGACGGCAGGCGCTTCGACGGCAGCGAGCGGTCGTCCTCCTTCTCCGGCTCCGGGACCTGCGCGCGCGGCGGGTCGGCGACGGCGCCGCGGCGTTTGGAGGCTTGGGGGCGCCGCCGCGCGCGTAGTCCTCCCCGAACACCTCGATCGCGAGCTCCTCGTCCGTCTTGTTCTCGCCGCGCTTGATCGAGGCCATCGTGTGCTCCGCCAGTTTCGCCGCGCGCGCGAGCGCCTCCTCGGCCTTCTTGCGCTCCGAGTTCGCCTTCGTCTTGTTCTCCGCGTCGTCGACCTGCTGGTCGACGAGCTGCTCGACCAACTTCTGGGCCTTTTGCCGCTGGAGCTTCGCGGAGTGCTGGGCCGCCTTCTGCGCCAGCCGCGCGTGGTCCTTGTCGTCCAGAGCCTTGCCCTCCTCCAACGCTTTGGCGTACGGGACGCCAGCGGTGCGATAACACGCCGTCAGAGACGCGGCGTAGGCGACCGCCGCCAAGGCAATCAAGCCGTAGCGCTTGGCCGGGCTCGGCGCGTAGATGCGCACGGAGTCGATGGACCTCGGGTGCTGGAGGTGCATGGTGCGTGCGCGGTGACCTCTTGCAGAGTTCGGGCGGCGAGCTGCCGCTGCGGCTGGATGCTGCGGCTGAGGTTAATATATACGCCGCTACAAAAGCCCCGCCACCTGTCCACAGGTGTGTGGCGCGGCTTTACACCCGCTACAAAAGCCCCGCCACCTGTCCACAGGTGTGTGGCGCGGGCACAGCTAGGATGCCCTAGTGTCTTACGACCGCTAGCGGATAATTTGCCAGGAAAGAAGCGGCCCGGATGAATCGGCGACGCGCGGTGTCTCCCCCCCAGGGGCTCCGCCCACTAGTCCTAGCACCGTAACATCGATAATTCGCCAGGTGCCGCTGTCCGGCCAGGCGCGGCTCTCCGTACACACATAAAAAGAATTAGGCCCCGTCGCCGCCGCCAGCGACGCCCCGCTCCCACGCATCCCGCAGCGCGAGCCACTTCTCCGGCGGCACGCGCAGCCCGAGCAGCCGCGCCGTCCGCGAGAACCACGCCAGAAGCGACGCGTCGTCGCCGGCGTCGCCGTCCAGGCAGCCGTGGACGAGGCAGAAAAGCTCGCCCGTCACGGGGTGCGGCTCCCACGAGAGCACCGCGTCGCCCGCGAAAACGCGCCGGATCTCCGCGGGCGACCGCGGCGCGCCGTCGTAGCGCGCGACGCGCAGCCGCAGCTCCGGCGAGCCGTAGGCCGTCGACGGGAGGATGTGGTATTCCCACTCGTCGAGCGAGGCGTCCCGTGGCGCGCAGGCTGCGTCCTCCTCCGAGGCGCAGCGCTCCGGCGCCGCCGCCGCGATCGGCGCGCGGAAGTGGCGCTCCCACACGAGGTAGCCGTCGACGCACGCGGCGAGCGGGTGCGTCGGCGGCACGCGTTCGAAGCGCCAGGCCCAGGGGAACTGCGGTTCGACGCCTGCTGCCCAGGCGTCTCGCAGAGCGACGAATGCCTGCGCCTCGCGCGACCAGTTTTGCAGGAGCGCCGGCATACCATCACATGAATGCTCTATTCCTGTGGTTCCGCAGGAGTGTGGCCTTGCTGTGTGCGCCAGGACAAACTATGTACTCACCGCAGCTGGGCCGGGAAATAGCACTTGCCCGGGTTTTGCGTTGGTTTCGGCACCGGCCGGACGTAGAGCACAGGCTGCCTGTAACACACCCCGCACGCGCAGCGGTTCACCATAGCTCGACGCTCACTCGGTGCGACTCTCGTCTTAGTCAAGGGAGCGCCATCCCACAGCTGGGGGCTGCCCTTCGTGATGAAGACGCGCGGCGTCGTTCTCCTCGCCTACGCGTTGCGTACCGCGGCCGCCGACGACCGCGCCACGCACGAGCTGACGGTGGCCGGCGAGCGGCGGCTGGCGCTCCCGATCGTGAACTCGTCGGGCGCCATGAACCTGATGGGCCAGGGGCGCATGCAGTACACCTACCTGAGTCCCCGCCCGTTCAACTTTAGGGAGCACGACAACCCCTGGATCCTCCTGTGCGGCGACATCGAGATCTACGACCTGAGCTCGTCGGACCTGACGGCGGCGTTCCTCCACTTCGACCCCGCGACGTGGAAGGACGACGCGCTGCGGTACCCGGGCACGGTCCCCGAGGTCCACGGCAGCTACGACGAGCGGAGCCGCACCATGACGCTCGAGGCCACGGGCGGCGAGCTGTGTGGAAATCAAAATTTTACGGCGCGTTCGTGGTGCTGAATCATCGCGTCGTCCTCCACGCCATCGACGCGACGCCTGCTCGATGGCGTGACGATGCCGGTTCCTTACCGCTCGACCGAGCCAGGACGGCCGCGTCATCGCCGAGAAATGACTTAGTGCACCCGAAACACTGGTTGATTTCCACGCAGGCGGCGAGCTGCGGCGGCACAACCGGGAGGCGAAGATCACGCACTTCCGCGACGCGCTGCGGACCGTGCTCTACAAGGCCTCGGAGGCGCTGTCCGTCCGGGACGTCGGTGTTCGGTGTTGTATTTGTCTTCGATTTGTGGCGCAGCGTCGACGGCGCCACGCGTCGAGAGGGCGCGGCGTCGGCGATGGCGTCGGCGCGGCGCCGTCGCTCTGTCGCCGCGCTCGCGTTCGAGAGGCGACGCCATCGACGCGACTCACCCTTCGCTCTTCACAGGTCCCGAACGTGCACCAGCGCCTCGTCTGGATATCGCTCGAGGACGCCGAGGGCAACCGGGGCGCCGCCTTCGCGATCAACATCACGCTCTCGACGGCCTCGACGGTCCTGACGGACCGGACCACGACGCGGCACGGGAGGTAAGTCGCATGTTTGTACTAGTCGCGGTATGGTATGAACACACTCGCTTACACGGGGGGTCCGTGGTAGGAAAAGGGGTCAGAGCGCCGTGCGCACGCGCACGGAGCGCTGCGCGTCGCCGCCGAAGAGCTTCCGGCCGGCGAGCGACGCGAGGTCCTCCGACGACCGCGTCTTCTTCTGGCCCGCCGCGGGCTCGCGGCTGGCGCTGAAGGGCGCGAGCATGAACTCGATCGGGCGCCAGAGGCTCGCGAAGAAGAGCGCCGAGCTCTCCGTGGTCTTGGCCACGAACGTCGTCGCGGCGTCGTGGAAGAGGAGGTGGGCCAGGGCCACGAAGGCCAGGTAGGGCAGGAGCGGCGCCTCGTCGTCCGGATCGAGCCCGGCGAGGTAGGGCGCCAGCGCCGCCGCCTCCGCGTGCGGCGCGTGGAGCGGCTTGTGGAACGGCGGCGCCGGCTCGTCCGGGTCCGCCGGCGCGCAGGACTCGACGATGGCCTTGAACGCGCCGTAGGGGAGCAGCGCGTCGTCGTCGTCGTGGGCCGTCGCGACGGCCGACTTCTCCTCCTCCTCCTCCGCCAACGCGTCGAGCGCCGTCGACGACGGGCGCTGGGCCTGGTCCGCCGGGAAGAAGTTGCCCTGGTCGAGCGACGCCAGCCACGAGACGATGCAGACGAAGCCCCAGAAGGGCGCGAGCTCGTCGGGGTACTGGCCGGCCGGCGCGGCGTCGGCCTTGGGACCGGCGTCGGGGCCGATGTCCTCGAGGGCGGGCGTGAAAAAGGGGGTGGCCATTTTTGGCTGCGGCAAGCGCTTTGTCCGCCCTGGGGCCTGGCGCTTGTTGGCGCCGCGCGTCGAGATAGCTATCGGTTGTATCACAGCCGAGAACGGCGCGAGAACTCGGGCGTCGCTCGGGGGCCTCGGAGCTTTTCTATGCTTCAAGGCTGCTGGGGAGTCTAATATTCTTTTCTAGTATGCAACAAACCGCTAGCTTTGTTTTGTGCAGACACGGACCGGGTCTCCGGGGAGGGCTGCCGTCGGCGGGCCGAGGGGCTCCCCGGTTCCATGCCCCACCCCCCCCCTGTTTTTGTGGTGGCAGCAGAGAGAGGCAGCGCCCATCTGGGCAGAGGCTCGAATAAACCGCAGCTCGTCTTGAAGCGAGGGAAGAAGTCGTGCGCGGGGCGGCCGGCCCGGCGTCTCGCCACACGTGCAAGCCGCAACAAGGGCAGCGCACACGGACATAACCCCCCATAGCCTAGCGCGTAGCGCAAAGATGCCGCAGCAGGACATGAGCGTGCGGGACGAGGACCAGCTCGCCCGGGACCAGAGCCTCGACCAGCTCAAGGACCAGCTCAGGGCGAGTCTCGGCTACGAGGGCGGCGCCGACGGCCTCGTCTCGATGGAGAGCGGCGAGCTCCACCGGTTCATGGGCGAGCTCGGGGACAAGATCGCCGAGCACGACCGCCTGATCGTGGCGCCGCCCTGGCTGGCGAAGCTGCAGGCGCAGGTCGCCCGGCTCGAGGGGGAGGTCGTCGACCTGCGCGGCAGCCTCGCGGAGTCCCGGGCCGAGGTCCTCGAGCTCCGGAGCGCGCTCCAGGCGCGGCCCGTCTCGCCCGAGCACGGCGCGGCGCCCGCGCCGGCGGCGTCCGCCGAGGCGCCGCCGCCGCCCGCCGCGCCGCCGGCCGCGGCCCTCGAGGCGCTCGAGCGGCGCCTGCGGGGCGACCTCGTGGCGCACCCGCAGCTCGACCGGCGGCTGGTCGCGCTGCACCACGCGGTCGAGCGCGCCGACGAGGTCGCGAAGCTGGACGTCAAGGCGCAGCTCGTGACCTTCGGCATCGAGCTCGACCGCCTGCGGAAGACGGTGGAGATCGCGCCCTCCGCGGGGGAGATCCAGGCGCTCAAGGACATGTACGGCGGCAAGCTCAAGGCCCTCAAGACCTTCCTGTCCGAGAAGCTCACGAAGATCGAGCGCGACGTGCGCATGGAGGCGAGCGCGGACGCGACGCGCATCGAGACGGCGCTCGTCGAGGGCGAGGCCAAGTCCAACGAGGAGCTCGAGGCGCTGCGCGACCAGGCGACGGCCCTCGGGGAGGCCCTCGAGGCCCTCCGCGACGACGCGCGGCGGCAGCACGGCGTCCTCGACCAGCGCATCACGGCCGACCGGCAGGACGTGGACGCGCAGCTCGAGGAGGCGCGGGCGGACGGCCGCGAGCTGCAGGACGCCATGAAGGAGACCGAGGACCTCGTGCAGGGCCTGCAGCGCAACCTCGACGAGGCGGGCGAGCGCGAGGCCGAGGTGCGCGCGCTGCTGGACGACGCCGCGCGGGAGCGCGACGAGACGAAGGCCGAGGTCCAGGACGACTTCCAGAAGCTCCGGCAGGCGCTCAAGGGCGTCGAGGGCCGCTGCCAGCGCATGACCAAGGACGCGGAGGCCGTCGAGCGCCGCGTCGACGGCGCCGAGCAGAAGCTCGACCAGACCCAGAAGCGGTCCACGGCCCACGGCGCGCAGCTCAAGGACGCCGCGAAGCGCCTGGACCAGCTCGAGGCCGACCTCGAGGTCGTGACGGAGACGGACCTCGAGGACCTCCGGGCGGACCTCGCGGCCCACAAGGAGGCGTTTGCGTCGTACGCGGACGCCACCGCGGCGCGCCTCGACGAGCACGCCGCCGCGCAGCGGGCGACGGCCGCGACCGTCAAGGGCTACGAGAACGACGTCTACCACGTCTTCCCCGGCACGCTCCGGGAGCAGGACGCGGTCCTCGCGGCGATGAAGAAGGACCTGGACGAGCGGGGCGCGCGTCAGGACACGTGGAACGCGGCGACGGCCGCCGCGCACACGGACCTCGCGGAGCGGACGGCGACCGCGCTGGCCGAGGCGGGCGGCGCGGGCGAGCGCGCGGCCCTGCGCCTCGCGACGCTCGAGCGCGCGGCGGAGGAGACCGCCGGGCGCGTCGACCGCCAGCTCGAGCACCTGCGGGAACTCGAGGGGACCGTCGCCGGGAACCACGGCGCCGTGACGACGGCCGTCGACGCGCTCGCGCGGGACTCGGAGACGCGCTTCGCGCGCCAGGAGGAGTCGTTCACGGAGGAGCTCGCGACGCTGCGGGACCACCTGAAGGCGCTCTTCGAGACGATGGAGTACGAGATGTCCCTCAAGATCAAGCTGGCGCCGAACTCGCCCATCCACCTGTCCGCGGAGGACCAGAAGCAGCTCCTGCGGCACCAGGCCAACGAGTGCGCCAAGGTCGCGAACCGCTTCGAGCAGCGCGCCGCGGACGACAAGGGGTGCCCCGCCGCGCTGCCGCGCGACATGTGCCGCGCGATCTCGCTGTCCACCGAGGCCATGGCCGACTACATCGCGCGGAAGGCCGACGTCTGGGCCGTGGAGCAGCAGATCCACGGCGCGCCCGAGGACGTGGCGTACTCGGACGCGTCGGTCGAGCAGCGGCGCCAGCGCATCTTCCGGAACTTCATGGAGCTCGTGGGCGAGGAGATCGCGAAGCGGCACCCGGACGCCGGGAGCCTGCGCCTCGAGGCGCGGCGGAAGGTAACGCAGAAGATCGCCCAGGCGATCGAGATGTCCCTCTCCAAGTGCGACATGGTCGGCGTCGTGGGCCACTCGCGGCTCCTCGCGCGCCGCCTGGACGTGCCGACCTGCGCCGCCTGCGACCGGCCCCTCATCAACCGGAGGAACCCCTACCGGGGCCCGGAGCCGCCGGACGCGCCCCGCGAGGACGTGTCCCGGCCCGAGAGCTCCCTGGCCTTCGCCGTGCCGTCGGGCGAGATGGACCGCGTCCAGTTCCGCGGCGCGACGCGCCAGGAGCGCGTCGACCCCCTCTACGCCAAGCAGCGCGACTACCAGCGCGAGAACGTGCGCCACAAGAAGGAGCGCAGCGACGACGCGGCCCACCGGCCGCGGACCGTCGTGCGCGGCGGCTTCCGCATGCCCCAGGGCCTCGGGCTGTCCGAGGAGATCCAGCAGCGCATGTCGCCGAACACGATCGAGGTCCAGCGGTCCGTCGACAAGGTCGACGAGCAGGACCCGATGATGCAGCTGCCGAGCATCCCGGGCGGGTCGACGCACACGCTGCACACGCAGTCGCGATAGTAAGTAAGTACTTCCTAGCACTCGGACTTTCCGCTGCCAGTGCTACTACTAGTACTTCCGAGTCACTTCCGAGTCCTCATCCTATGTGGTCTTCTCACAGCCGGACTGTACGCTTGAGCACTAATTTAATGAATCCAACCTAGTCCGCCGTAGCCACCTCCAGCAAGCACAGGTTCTCGTGCACGAGCCCCCGGAACCGCGCCGCCGCGGCGCGCTGTGCGGCGGCGAGCGTCGCCAACGGCCCTCGCAGTTGTGGCAACGAGAGCACGGCCGCGTGGTGCTGGACCAGTCTATGAAGATACGCCTGGATGGCGTCGAAGTGGCCGTGCGTCTCGAGCGTCGTGGCCTGTGTGGAAATCAACCAGTGAGTTAGGTTATCCTGAGAAATATTGCGTGGACCTTTGTGAACCTCCACGCCATCGAACCGACGCGGTCGCGGCGACAAGGTCGCGTCGATGGCCTGAAAACTCCACGCCATCGAGCAGACGCAGCTACGGAGACAACATCGCGTCGATGGCGTGGGCGCCCGAAATTTGATTTCCACACAGGTCGTGGCGAGGTGCCCCGCGAAGCGCCGCACGAGCTCGACGCCCGGCGCGTCGTGGGGGCCGCGGCACAGGAGCGCGATCTCGGCGTCGAGGGCCGAGGCGCCGAGCGCGCCGAGGTGCGTAGCGACGTCTGTAGCGTCTTCCGCGAGCGAGAGCGACGCCAGGCGGCAGCGCGACGCCTCGGCGGCGGCGCCCGCGACGGCCCCGTCGGCGTCGCTCCCGTCGGCGTCGCTCCCGTCGTCGCCGGCGAAGGCGTCGTCCTCCGGCGGCGGCGGCGGCAGCGCCGGCGGCGGCGCGGCGTCCCGTCGCTGGGCGTCCATCTCCGACGGCAGGAAGAAGGGCGCGGCCTCGGGCTTCTTGGGCGGCGCGACGGGCCGGTTGCGCTCCGCGACGGCTTCCAGGGCGTAGAGCGTCTCCATGCGCGCCCGCGAGGACGCCGGGTCCGCGGACATCCGGATGCTGCCGCGCCGCGCCGCGTCCGCGAGCACGCCGTCGGCGAGCGGCGCCGCCGCCGCGCCGGCGGGGGCCGCGTCGTCCAGGGTGATCGCCGCCGCGTCGTCGGCCGCCGCCGCCGCGACGTCCACGCGCGCGTCCAGCAGGTCCCGCGGCGCGAGCGGCCGCAGGGGCGCGGGCGCCGCGTCCTCGCCCAGCGGCGCGGCGTCGACGCGGCCGTAGGCCGCCTTGTCCGTCCAGAGCGCGACGTGCGCGCCGCTCACGTGCGCCGTCGCGACGAACTCGCCGGACGGCGACGCCGAGACGGCGACGGCCTCCTCGGCGAACGCCACGCGGTCGACGCACGCGCCGGACGCGACGTCCCACCGGTGGAGCGCGCCCCGCCCGCAGACCGCGTAGAGCGACTGCCGGGTCGCGGACCACGACAGGTCGCGCGCCGCCCGGCCGGCGTGCGTGCCGAGCCGCCGGAGGACGCGGCCGCCGCCCGCGTCGGGCGGCCGCGCGTCCAGGACCAGCACGGCGCCGCCGTCCAGGCCCACGGCCAGGAGGTCGGACGCGCGCGCGAAGGCCGTGACCGCGCACGCCGCGTCGACGCGCAGGGCCCCCCGCGCCCGGTGGTCCGCGAAGGACCACCACTTGACCGCGTCGCCGCCGCACGACACGCACCAGGCGTTCGCGGCGTCGCAGTGGACGCCCACGACGCCGCCCCGGTGCTTCCGCTGCCGCCCCTTGCCCCGCGCGAAGGCGCGCGCGCCGGCGGCCCCGGCCGTCCGCGGGTCCGCGCCGTCGTCCCGGAGCGCGATCTCCTCGCCCTTGCGCGTGACCCGCGCGATGGCGCGCGCCGCCCGGGCCACCGCGCCGGGCACCGCGACCGACGCGGCGCGGTCCGCGACGCGCCGCGCGGCCTCGAGCGACGCGGGGTACGTGCCGCGCGCCTCGCCCGACTGGACGTTGTACTTGCGCACGTAGCCGTCCTCGTGGCCGATCAGCGCGAAGTTCCCGCACGCGCTCAGGTCGCACGCCGTCGCCGAGTCCCGCCGGGCCACCTGCCCCGGGTCGTCGCGCCCGCGCCCGCCCCAGTGCGGCTGCGTGAGGCAGTGGTCCGCGAGGCGCCGCTCCGCCAGCGACCACACGCGCGCGACGCGCTCGCCGCGGTGGCACGTGACGACGTTGGGGAAGCTCCCGTCCTTCGCGTCGCCCGCCGCGACGCACGTGACGGGCGGCAGGCGGAGCGCCTTCGGGTCCGCGAGCCGGAGCCGCTTCGCGCGCGCGTCCGCGGCGCCCCGCTGGGAGAGCTCGCCGTTCAGCCGGTCGCGCACGGCGTGCAGGCACCGCAGGCTCCGGTCCCGGGGCGCGGCGACGAGCAGCTGCAGCGACCCGTACGCGTCGCCGGACGCGCCCGCGACCGCGCCGCCGCTCTCGGGCGGGCCGTACCAGCGCACCACCGCGGGCGCGCCGCCGAGCCCGTCGCGCCGCCGGCAGAGCCGCGGCGCGCCGTCCGACGCGTCCAGCGCCCACTGCTTCGCGTCCGCCCCGACGGACGTGACGACGACGGCGTCGGCGCCCGTCGGCCCCCCGGCGAGGCCGCCGGCGTGGAGCGCCGCGACGCCGCCGACGCGCTTCTCGACGTGGAGGAGCGCGCGCGTCTCCAGGTCCCAGACCCGGAGCTGGTCGCCGCCGGCCGCGACGAGGACGGGCGGCCGCGCGTCGCCCGCGCCCCGCGGCTCGCCGCCGCGGCAGAAGCAGCACGCCGCGGCGGCGGCGCCGTGGTCGAGCTCGAACAGGACCGCGTCCCTCCGCGCGTCGAGGAGCTGGATCCGGCCCGTGCCGCGCGCGACGGCCACGACGTCCAGCGCGCCCGACGCCGCGACGTGCGCGATGCCGGGGCCGCGCGCGATCGACGCGTAGGCGTGCACGCGCTTCCCCGAGCGCACGTTCCAGAGCTCCAGCCGCCCGTCGCGCGCCCCGAGCAGGACCTTGTTCACGTACGTCGGCGGGTGGCACAGGACGACGCCCGCCAGGTCGACGTCGAAGCACAGGACCTTGTCCGGCACGCGGCGCCGCGCCGCGGCGCCCTCGTCGCCCCGGGCCCAGCCCTGGACGAAGCCCGCGCCGGCGCCGAGCAGGAGGCCGCCGACCGTCTCGAAGCCTGTGTGGAAATCAAGATTTTACGGCGCGTTCGCGCTGCATCGTCGCGTCGTCCTCCACGCCATCGACGCGACGCCTGCTCGACGGCGTGGCGATGCCGGTTCCTCGCCGATCGACCAAGCCAGGACGGCCGCGTCGTCGCCGAGAAATGACTTAGGGAAGAATTGCCGGGTGCGCCCGACGCACCGGTTGATTTGCGCACAGCTCGAAGCGGTCGACGGCCGCCGGCGCCCCGGCGGCGAGGCCTACGAACCGCGCCCGGAGGAAACACCAGACCTCGTCGTCGATCGCGCAGTACGTCCACTCGCCCTGGGCGCCGATGGCCCTTATGTTCCTGCCCAGCCGCGGCGACGCGCTCTGGACGGTCAGGCCGTCGAGCGCCATGACTTGAAACGCGTCGCCGCCGACCCGGGCGGCGCAGTAGCCGACGCCCCCCAAATCGTAGAAGGCGCAGGTCTGCGGCGTGCCGTCGGCGACCTCACCGATCACGCGGTGGCTGCGGAGCGTTTTGGACTCCATAGAAGCTGCGTTCCGCGCGCGCGCGCACGTGGTGGGCTGTGCGAGCGAGAGCGGTGCTGCCAAGCGTGGGAGGTATGTTGCACTACGTCTCGAAAGAGTATTGCAGGCCCCCCGGCGCTAGTATGTCTATCACACTACTCATTGCCAAAGCAGGCACTGGCAATTCCCACTGGGGACTGCCACTGGCAACTGCCACAGGAACTGGAAGTGAAAACTCAAATTCAATTTTAGGCCTGCACCTCAGTGTGACTGGCTGAGTATTTCGACAACTACCAATGAAGCTCCCCGCGGGCCCTTCGTGCGCGCTGGACGACGACGACGCCGCGTCGCTGGAGGCGTCGCTGCTGGAGGACGTGGCGCCGCCAGAGAGAGAAAGAGAGGACAACACCGTCGCCATCCTGTGCGCCGCCGGGGCGGCGGTCGGCGCGCTCGTGTTCGGCTACTCGCTCGGGTTCTCCTCGCCGGCGCTGCCGGGCATGCTCGGGCGCCAGTTCAAGCACGTCCGCTGCGACGCGAACGGCGCCTCGGCCGCCGCGGCGTCGCTGTGGAGCGCGGTCATCAACATCGGGGCGGCGGTCGGCGCGCTCGCGGGCGGGCGCCTCGTGGACAACGTGGGCCGCAAGGGCGCGCTGCTGTACGTGGCCGGGCCCCTCTACGTCGTCGCGTGGACCCGTGCGGAAAGCAAGCCGTGAGTTCGGTTTTTCTCCACGCCGTCGAGCAGGAGGCTCTTACGAGGATGCGTGGGGCGCCCGAGGTTTGAGTTCCACGCAGGCGTGGACGGCGACGGCCAGGGCCCACGGCCCGCGGACCCTCGTCGGCGCGCGCGTGCTGCTGGGCGCCGGCGTCGGCGCGTCGTCCGTCGCGGTGCCCGTCTACGTCGCCGAGACGGCGCCGGCGGCGCTCCGCGGCGCGCTCGGGTCCGTCACGCAGCTCGCGGTGACCGTCGGGATCCTCCTGGCCTACGTCGCCGGGGCGCTCGCGCCGCACGAATCGCTGGAGTACGCGTGCGGCCCCGCGCGGCGCGGCGCGGCGCGCGGCGCGTGGCGCTCCCTCGCGCTCGTCGGGGCCGTCCTCGGCGGCGGCGTCGTGGGCGCGGCGGCCTTTCTTCCTGAAAGCCCAGCGTGGCTCGTGGCCAAGCGGCGCCGCGCGGCCGCCGCGCGCGCGCTCACGACGCTGCGCGGCGGCGACGACGCGCGCGCCGCGCGGGACCTCGACGCGCTCGTGCGCTCGACGGGCGGCGCCGACGACGGGCTCGGCGTGCGCGTCGTCCTCGCGGCGCTGTGCGGCGGCGGCGACGCCGGCGTCCGCCGGCCGCTGGCGATCGTGCTGTGCGTCATGCTCTTCCAGCAGTTCAGCGGCATCAACGCGGTCATCTTCTACAGCGGGCCCCTCCTGGCGTCGGCGGGCATGGCGAACGGGGACCTGGGCGGCGTCCTCGTGATGACGGTCCAGGTCCTGGCGACGGGCCTGGCCCTCGTGCTGATGGACCGCCTCGGCCGGCGGCCCCTGCTCGCGGGGTCGCTCTGCGGCATGGCCGCGGCCGCGGCGCTCCTGGCGCTCCACTTCCTCCTCGAGCCCCCGCCGTTCGTCGCGCTGGTCGCGCTCTTCCTCTACATCGCGGCGTTCTCGCTGGGCCTCGGGCCCGTGCCGTGGCTCCTGATGCCCGAGCTCCTGCCGACGCGCGCGCGCGGCGCCGCGGCCGCGCTGGCGACGGTCCTGAACTGGTCCTGTTCGTTCCTGGTGACGGAGACCTTCGCGGGACTCGTGGCCCGCATCGGCGCGGCCGGCGCGTTCTTCGGCTTCGCGCTCGTGTGCGCGGTCGGCGCAGCGTTCGTGGCGGCCGCGGTGCCGGAGACGAAGGGCCTGCGGCTGGACGAGGTCGAGGCGCTGTTTCGGGCGGGGACCGCGGTCGCCGCGCCGAGTAGTCGCGACGAGTGAATTAAAACGGGTGTGTACAGTATCGCGCGGCTCACGCGTGGGCGCTAACGATAGATACTAGTATCGACACTTAGCACACCACGCCCTCTTCTAGAAGCCGGTCGCCCCGTACTGCTCGTGGTACGACTCCTTCTGCGCCTCGAGCGTGGCGGCGAGCGGGCCGCGGACTAGCGGGAGGTCGGCGTCGGCCCGGACGAAGATGTGCGACGCCCCCGCGACGGGCGGCGGCGCGGCGCCCGTCGCGACGGCGGGAGCCGCGGCCGGCGGCGGGGCGGGGGCGGCGGGCGCCGGCGCGGCGGGCGCCTTCTCTTCGGCCGGGGCGGCGGGCGCCGGCGGGGGCGCGGCCGCCGCGGCCGGCGCCTCGAAGTCGCTGAAAGCTCCAGCATCCGCCGCCTCTTCGACGACGACCATGATCGGCGCGCCGACCGCGACCTCCGCGCCCGCGGGCTGCAGGTACTTGGCGAGGACGCCGTCGTCCTGCGCTTCGAAATCTACGGTCGCCTTGTCCGTCTCGATCTCGCAGATGACGTCGCCCGCGCCGAACGGGGCGCCCTCCTCCACGTTCCATTTTGCAATGGTCCCTTGCTCCATCGTCGGCGAGAGCGCCGGGAGCCCTACGACGTCGTGCGACGGCAGCGAAAACCAGCGCGCCGCGGTGAGGCGGCGCGCGGCGTGACGCAGCACTCGAGTCCCGAGCATCGTTCTATATAGTGCAGGAGACTGGCGGGAGGTGGACCACGGTTTTTTGTTTTTTACGAGATTCCAAGCCCAGAAGTTCTGCTGGGCCTCAGCAAGGGAGCAGCCTGTGTGCTTTCCTAGTGTCTTACAATTGCTAGCTGTGGCGGCGCTTGGAGTTTTTAGGGGTACCGCCGGGCCCGCGCCAGAGATCCACACGCCAGAGACCAAAAGAAGGATGCTAAAAAAGATTTTGGCCCTCGTCGTCGTCCTGGCCGCAGCGGCCGCGGCCGACGAAGGCGCGCTCTCGGGCCCCTGCCGCGACGCGCGGCTGGTCGGCCCGGGGGAACGGGGCGGCCGCGCCATCGACAAGTACGAGCAGTGCCAGATAGCGAAGAGCGACGCCTGCGGCAACCACTACGCCAAGACGTACTTTTGCGCGACCTCGCCGGCCTCGCGGTTCTGCTTCGCGGCGCTGTGCCTCGCGTGGCTCGCGATGCTGTTCGTGCTGCTCGGGAGCACGGCGGACGACTACTTCAGCCCGGCGCTCGAGCAGCTGTCCGAGGACGCGGGCCTGCCGCCGCGCTTCGCCGGCGTCACGCTCCTGGCGCTGGGCAACGGCGCGCCGGACGTGTCGTCGAACGTGCACCTCGTGGCGAGCGACGCCGTCGGCGAGCGGGCCGGCCTGGACACCGCCCTGGGCGCGCTCACGGGGGCCGGCATGTTCGTCACGACGTGCGTCGCCGGCATGGTGATGGTCATCGCCGACGGCGCCAAGGCGAAGGGCGCGCTGCTCCGGGACGTGACGGCCTACGGCGCCGCGTCGGCGGTCGTCTGGGGCGTGCTGGCGGGCGGCCGCGTCACCCGCGCGGGCGCGGCGACGCTGCTCGCGCTCTACGTCCTCTTCGTGCTGGTCGTGCTCGCGGCGGACCTCTACCACCGCCGGCCGGGCGGCCCCTACGACCTCGCCCGGCGGAGCGGCGCGACCGAGCCCGACGACGCCGTGGAGATGATGCTCACGCTGATCCACGACGTCCGCCAGCGGCGGCGGCGGCCCCAGGTCGGCTCGTCGGCGGACGAGGAAAAGACCTCGACGCCGACGGGCGCGCGCAACCCCTTCTGGGCGCGGGCCCGCGTCCCGCCGGGCCGACGCGGCGGCGGGGCGCGCGCGCGACCGGTCGTCCCCGCAGGCGGACGACGACGACGGGCCCGACGCGACGCCCGCGCGCTCGGTCGTCATCGAGGGCGACGACGTCGCGCCGCTGCGGTCGGCGCTGCTGGAGGCGCCCGCGGCGCCCGCCTCGGAGGAGGCCCTGGAGGGCCTCTTCGCCCTCGACGTCGTGGCGCGGGCCCGGGCGAACGTGCTCGCGGCGCTGGAGGACCCGCTCCCGCAGAAGGTCCTGAACGTCCTCGAGCTGCCGTTCACCGCCGCGCGGGCGGCCACCGTGCCGCTGACGGCCGGGGACCGCTACGCGCGGGCGCCCTTCGCGCTGTCCCTGCTCGGCGCGCCCGTGTGGCTCTGCTGCTACGCCCACGCGCGCGGCGCCCGGAACGTCTTCGTCGGCGGCGTCGTCCCCCTCTTCTACGTCGCGGCGGTCGTCGGCGCCGCGTGCGCGGCGGCGGCGTGGCACAGCACGCGCGGCAGCGACGACCTGCCCTTCGCGGCGGCCACGATCTTCGCCCTGATGGGCTTCTTCGTCGCGGCGACGTGGATCGACGTCTTCGCCGGCGAGCTCGCGGCGGCGCTGGAGTTCTTCGCCGCGCTGTCGGGGATCAAGCCCGAGATCCTGGGCCTGACCCTGCTGGCCTGGGGCAACTCCGTCGGCGACTACTTCACGAACGTCGCCATGGCGCGCAAGGGCCTCGCGAACATGGCCCCCACCGGTGCATGCGTCAAACCGTCGCGACGCGTCCCGTCGACGGCGACGCCGGCACTCACGGGTTGATTTACGCGCAGGCCCTCACGGCGTGCTTCGCCGGGCCCGTGTTCAACCTCCTGGTGACGCTGGGCGTGGGTTTCCTCATCCGCCTGGACAACTTCCAGGAGCGGCGCATGCGCGTCGCGTCGAACGACGGCATCAGCGTCGGCCTCGGCATGATCATCGCGAACTGCGTCTGCGTCGTCGGCGCGGGGCTCCTGCTGGCGGGCCGCGTCCCGAAGCAGTTCGGCTTCTTCAGCGTGGGGCTCTACGTGCTGTACCTCGTGATCGCGCTCGCCCTCCTGTTTTCCGCCGCGCCTGAGGGGGACGACTAATGCGGATTGTTTCTTGAAACCTGCTCGCAAGACCCAGGCGTCGTAGGCGTCGGTAGGCGACGGCGACCTCATCGTCGGCTGACGCAAGAGAGATTTCCGACGGGCCGGCGGCGGCAGCCATGGAAAAACGTAAGCGAGTGTGTGGATACTTACAGCACTCGACGCGACGGGGAATGCGCGTGTGACGACGGAGAGGCTAGTCCTCGTCGTCCTCGTCGTCCTCGTCGTCCTCGTCCTCGTCGTCCTCGTCGTCCTCGTCGTCCTCGTCGTCGTCCTCGTCGTCGTCCTCGTCATCCTCATCGTCCTGCGCAGGGGTCGCGTGTCGTGGTTCTGTCCGCGTCTAGGCCACGCATCGATGGCGTGGTTAGAAGGCGACTCGACGCCGCGTCCGCGCCTCGTCGTCGTCGTCCTCCTCCTCGTCGTCGTCGTCGTCCTCGTCGTCCGCCTCGTCGTCCTCGTCGTCCTCGGCCTCGGCCTCGCCGTCGTCAGCCGACGCCGCGGCCGCCGCGTCGGCCGCGGCGGCCGCGGCGCCGCCGCGCGCCGCGAGCGCGGCGTCGATGGCCGCGTCGACGTCCGTGTCCCCGATGGTCGCGGCCACGCGCAGGTCGAAGAAGCGCAGCGTCTTCAGCGACGCCTTGGCCGCCTTCTTGGCGCGCGGCTTGAGGGCCGCGTACTTGGCGAGCGCGGCGGCGGCGGCGGCGGCGTCGTCGCCGGCCGCGCCCGCCGCGAGCGCCGCCGCGAGCGCGCCGCAGGCGTCGCGCGCCGCGGCCCAGCCGTCCACGAGGTCGGCCACCACCAGCTCGACGCACGACACCACGACGAGGTGCGCGCGCCGCGGGTCCGGGTCGTCGAGCGCCGCGCGCAGGAACGTCAGCGCGTGCTCCGTCACGAGCAGCGCGTTCTGCGCCCGCTTCAGCGTCGCCTCGTTAATGACGTCGGCGGGGCACTCCTCGACGGCGGCCGGCTTCTTCTTCTTCTTCGGCGCGGCGACGTCCTCGAACTTGCCCGCGAAGAGCAGCGCGCGCCGCAGCACGAACCCGGCGTACGCGTCGACGACGGCGCCGCGCTCGGCGCCGTCGTCGCCCCGCAGCGCCACGAGCTCCCGCCGCGAGAAGTACTTGCGGCCCGTCTTCGGGTCGGCGTCGCCGACCATGGACTTGAGCGTGCGCGAGAGCGCGCGCGCGTTCTTGGTGGGCGTCGACCGCGACAGGGCGTGGAGCAAGTACAAAGCTTTTTGCGTGGTCCGCCAGTCGCGCTCGATCATCTTCTTCCAGAGCTTGCGCAGCGTCACGCGGTACGGGTCGTCGTCGGGCAGCGCGTGCGGCCGCGCGGGGAAGCGCGCGACGCTCTCGACGAGCCGCTTCGCGAGCTGCGGCGAGACGCGCTGGTCCGACGGCCACGTCGCCGTCAGGAGGAACTTCTCGTACTCGGAGCTGTAGTAGGCCTTGGCGAGCCGCGAGGCCTCCTGGCCCTTGACGGCGGCCTCGGCCGCGAGGTCCTTGGCGCGCGAGGCGGCGACCTTGGACATCTCCAGGCCCCGCGCGCTTGCCTCCTTGGCCATGGCCTGCGCGCGCTGGAGCACCGACGGGCCCGTCGGCTTGCGCCGCGGCTTGTAGTACGTCATCTGCCGCGAGCCGCCGCCGAAGTCGTCGTCGTCGTCGTCGTCATCGTCGTAGTCGTACTCGCGGCGCTTCTTCTTCCGCGGGGGCGGCCGTCGTCCCTTCTTGCGCGGCTTGCCGTGCAGCGCCGAGTTGCGGCGGACGCCCTTGCTGCCCTTGGCCTCCGCGGGCGCGAGGAGTGCTACGACGGCGAGCACTAAGGCCGCCGCGAGGCTCGAGCGCCGGGCCATGCTTCCGCGTGCCTCGCCGCGCCCTTGAACAGACGCCAGGTGTCGGCGAGGGAGGCAGGCTGTCTCCCACCCGTGCCTCCTGGTCTTTGGTTTCCGCCAACAACGTAACAATGCAGCTCGCGATCTCTCGTCACGCGTCTTCAAGTGCGTTTACGTCCGGACCAAGCGGGACGCGCGGCGGCAGAGTGCTGCAATGCGCAATCATGGCTACTCTGCGCGGGTTTCGTCGACTGGTCCTTAAGCTTCGCGCACCCCGTCGCTCTCGTTCGACACGCCTGTTCAGTGCCGCCGGCTAGCGGCCTGTAAGACACTAGGGATCCCGAGCCTGGCGCGAGCGCATGAACGACCGCAGCTACCGATCGGTGTGTGCGCTGCTTCTACCGGCGCTTGCATTAGCGCTGCTTGTCGCAAATTGGCAAGCAGGTGCCGCGCTGCGCTCGGGTGCCCAGCGTTTGTTGCATGAAGATCGTAGCGACGAACCAAGCCGCGACCAACGTCGACGCCACCCAGATCCTCCAGGACCGGGCCGCTCGGTTGCAGGGGGAGGGCGCGCGGCCGCGGAAGCTCCAGGAGGCCGACGCCACCGCCGACCGGGCGCTCAAAGCGCTCGAGGCGCTGCCGGGCAGCCGCTACGACGCCGCGGCGACGGCCGCGGCCGCGCTGGCGGGCGCCGACCTCGGCCTCACGCGGAACGAGCGCCTCGCGGTGCTGAACGTGGCGCCGACGAACGCCGCCGTCGTCGGGGGCGTCGTCGACAACGACACGCGCGAGCCGCGCCTCGACGACGCGCAGGTGGCCAAGGTGTGCGCCGTCGCCAAGGAGCTGCGCGCGTGATGCTCCGGTGCGTCCCACGGCGCCTGCTGGCGACGAAGGCCTGCTCGCCGGGCGACGTCATGAAGGCCACGCGCGTCTTCACGCGAGAAGACCTCGACGCCTGGGCGCGGCTGACCGGCGACGCCAACGCGATCCACGCGCGGCCGGTCCCGCCCTTCGAGGCGCCCATCGTGCCCGGGCTGCTGCTCGCGGCGACGTTCCCGGCCGTCTTCGCGCGCCACCACCCGGGCGCGGTCTACCGGACGCAGTCCCTCCGATTCGACAAGGCCGTGCCCGTCGGCGCGGAGGTCCTGTCCGAGATCGCAATCGGCGCCGTGCGCGAGGCGCGCGCGGGGGCCTTCGCGACGTGCGCGACGACGCTGCGGCTCGCGGCGACGGGCGCGCTCTGCGTGAGCGGCTCGGCGCGGCTCTGGCTGCCCTTCGGCGGCGACGATGGTAAGGGGTAGTCCCGGCCCTATGCTGGAGTCATTACTGCCACTATGCTGGAGTAATTGCTGCGTCGTCCCCTTCGCAATGGCCGACGCGCCCCCCCGTTTTTTCGTCGACCCAGGCGGATGCCGGCGCGAGCGGGTCGCGCCAAAGCGCCCGGCCCCGCGCGACCTGCGCCCAGTGGTACATAGTGCGTACGAAGACGAGAATAAGCAAGGTCTCGGCTATAATGAACACGACCCACGCCACGGCCTTCGCCTCGGGCGAGTTCTCGTAGGCGGCGTAGTTAATACAAGCAGATCCGAGCGCGGCGACGGGGAACACATAAGCCCAGTAGCTTCCCAGGAGTTTTGGCTCGCCAGCGAGCTTCGGACCGCTGAGGAGCAACACCGAGAGCATCACCAGCGCGTATCCGAGCACGCTCACGGGGACCCCTCTGAACCGCCCGCCATGAAAATTGGCGAAGCACGTGGCCGCTACGGACGGCGGCGCGATGAGTAGGAATAACACCGGCTCGCCTTTGAGATGGGGTTTTTCGGCCAGGCCCTGGATCACCGATATGGCAGCAAACGAATAAAACACGACCTGTGGGATCTCAAATTTCGGGCGCCCCACGCCATCGACGCGACGCTGTCTCCGTAGCTGCGTCTGCTCGATGGCGTGGAGGCCACGCCATCGACGCGACTTTGTCCCCGTGACCGCGTCGGCTCGGTGGCGTGGAGGCTCACTGGTTGATTTCCACACAAAACAAACGGCGCACCCAATCATGAGCTCGGCTACGCCGATGCGCCATCTCCGGTCGAGGTCCAAGTCCTGCGCTAGCAAACAACCGAGGGCCCAACCAACCGTCGACAACATGTACTGCGGCTCGGCGCTGGCCAACGACGCGCCCTTGCAGAACAGCCACCGGCGATACACCTCGAGGTTGAAGCCGATCTGCATGACGCTAGCTATACAAAAGGCGGCTGTCCGCGCGGCGCGCCAGTCGTCTTCGAGCGCCGCCGGCACGGCTATTGCGTACATGAACAGCGACACGTTCATCATATTGAAGAAATAAACGCGGACTGGATCCCGCCACTCGCGGACGACGAACACAAAGTTGGTAACGAATTTCGCCAGGGTGAGGAGTGCGAGGGTAATCCACAGAACCTGTGCGCAATCAAACAGTGAGTCGGGTGCCGGAAAAATTCTTCACGAAGTCCTTTCTCGGCGACAACGCGACCTTGATGACTGAATCGAGTGGTGTAGGACCCACACCGCCACGCCTGGCGTGGAGGCCATGATTCAGCAGGAAACGCGCCGCAAGAATTTGATTTATGCATAGCACAGAACGCCGCCCACGCTAAAAAATAGCCATTGAACGCCTCGCCCGAGAACGTGGCGCGTGAAACCGTGCGTCGCGATACCTTTCCACAAAATGGCGTTGCCGCCGAGACCAACGACGACCCCCCACGCCGTATTCGGCAAGGCGAGGATCGTGCTATGCGTCACTTTTTTTCGCGTGCCCTGGGCCATCCCTTCCTGGGCCATATGACTGCAGTCCGCACTCTAGATAGCGTTCGACCGCTTAAGTACTTTTTCTACTCCTCTCCAACGGATTACCACTAGCGCGCGCGTGTGCGTGTCCGCAGCGCTGTATTTTATGGTCCGACAATATTGCTTGTGACACCCGTTTTTTAGCTGTCTCGCCGTCTCGATAAATACGTCTGCGCCACTCAGTCTCCGGGTCTCGATACACGCCGCGCCTCTTTGGTTGCGCGGCACGCGCAGACACTCCCTCCGAGCCCCAACCAAATAAAAAAGTCTTAAACCCGAACCATCACCCCCCACGCCGGATTTGGCACCCTTGCGGAGCAGCCCCCGGCAGGGGAAAAGGCATGAACTCCTCCTGGGTTAGCTGCCCTCAGGGCAGGTGACCCTGAAGGAGTTTATACCTTTTTATCGTCGAACGCGTCGCACCATGGTTGTGGGCATTTCGGACTCCCCTACTAGTAACGATTCTATATTAAAGGTCGGAGACTAAATCAAAGGACAAACACACTTTATACGACAACTACTCCCACGGCGCCCCCCGGTTCGGGTACAACACCGCCTCGTCGACGGGCCGCGTCAGCCTCGCGAGCAGGTCCGGCGGGAGCGCTGCCGCGGCGGATTCCCAGCCGGGCACGACCTCAAGGAAAATGGTCTCCGGCAGCCCGGCGAGGCGCTCGGCCGACGCGACGCACAGCAGGTTCCGCGAGTCCGACCGGTCCGCGACGTCCGCGTGGTACGCCGCCTCCTCTCTTGAGCGAGGTCTGGGGAAGAGCGCGGCGTAGGAGAACGCGTGGTGGAAGGCGACGTAGCCAGCACCCCGGCAATGCCTCGTCGCGATGCCGGCCGCGGGGTAGTGGTTGTTCTCGACCTGTGTGGAAATCAAAATTTTACGGCGCGTTCGTCCTCCTTCGCCGCGTCGTCCTCCACGCCATCGACGCGACGCCTGCTCGATGGCGTGGCGATGCCGGTTCCTCGCCGCTCGACGGAGCCAGCGCGGCCACGTCATCGCCGAGAAATGACTTAGTGAAGAATTGTCGGGTGCACCCGACGCACTGGTTGATTTCCACACAGTTCTCGACGTACAAGACAGGCCGGCATTTTTTGATGGTCTTCGCGGCGCCCCGCAGCGCGTCGTCCTCTTGGCCCTCGACGTCCACCTTTATCAACGATGGGCAAGCGAGGGACATTTCCTTCAGCACGGAATCTATCGACCGGACGGGAACCTGCGTGGACATCGACCGCTGCGTCGGGTGCCGCCACGACAGCTTTTGGTCTCCGCGCCGACGGGCGACGGTATAGTTCTCGTACTCGTCCGCGTCGGGCCGCCCGTGGAACGCCCCCTCGACCAGCGAGAGTTGGGCAAAGTTCTGCGGCGCGCCGCGATCGTCCAGCGTCGGGATTGACGCGACTCCCCCGTCTTTCGCGCCGGCGGCGGCGCGGTACGCGACGACGGCGCTCGGGATGCGCGCCGAGCCCAGCATGAGTAGACTCGCGTGGAGCTGCGCGTGCGGAATCGCCTGCGGCTCGAAGGCGACCAGCCGGCCCGCGTCGCTGACCGGCGCGTGTCGACCGTCTGCGACCGCCACCGCGAGCGGCACCAGGTGCGCGCCCAGATTCGCCCCCGCGTCCACGACGACGTCGCCGGGCCGGACGACCGCGAGCATCAGGCGCAGCGCGGGTTCCTCGAAGGTGCCCGCGGCCTCCAGCGACGCGCCCACGAACGAGTCCCGCGTGTGCACCACGTGGAAATGTCCGCGCGTCGTGGTCGCGATGCGCAGCTGCGCGAGGTCGAGCGCCTCGCCGGCCGTCCGCCGCCTCGCGTCGACGGTCCCGCGCATCATGTTCACCAGCTCTTTTGCGGCACAATCTCGGTCCTCGCACCCCTCGCCCTGGGTGACGCCCAGCGCGTTGACCAGCGCCCGCGCCTCAGCCAACAGGTCCGCCGTGCCGTCAAAGATCAATTTCTTGACGCGCCCGTCCGCGGTCACCTCCACCTCGCTCGCGAAGCCGCCGGCGAGGTTGCGCAGGGCGGAGGCGGTCGTGTAGAGGTCGTAGTCCTTGCCGTCTTGCTCTAGGGCTGCTGTTGTCGCGGCGAGAAGGAGCAGGAGTGCCAGCAGCATGGTTGTTACTACTGCACAGTCTATTGGCAGCAAATGTTGATAATGCAGGGGGCAGCCAACTATAGCTATATGTTATGCCCGTGCACTCATCTATGGCGCAAGCTTACTCGACGCTAGCCGCACGAGCTCGACGCCGGCTCTGACTTACTAGCAGACCACTACTAGTGTCTTACAGCTGCTAGCGGCAGGTCTCGCCGCACATTGTTCGGGGGGGTGTTGCCGAGGCGGTTCTGCTTAGAAGGAGGTGCGCTGTTATGCCGATGAGTCGGCGACGCGCGGTGTCTCCCCCCCCCCGCCCGGGGCTCCGCCCACTAGTCCTAGCACCGTAACTATACGCTTGTCTCGCCGCCGCCGCGCCACGCGAAACTAGAACTATCTTACTCAGAGGATCGACCCCGCGTTCGAGGCGATGCGCGGCCACAGGTCCGCGCACTCCTTCGCGACGGGGCCGTTGATGGCCGAGCCCTTCATCTCGCCCTTGTTGTTGACGACGACGCCGGCGTTGTCCTCGAAGTAGATGATGACGCCCTCCTTTCTGCGCCAGGGCTTGCGCTGGCGGATGACGACGGCGGGCATGACCTTCTTCCGCAGCTCGGGCTTGCCCTTCTTGCACGAGCACATGACGAGGTCGCCCGGCGCCGCCGACGGCAGCTTGTTCAGCCGCCCCTTGATGTTGATCACCGCGATCACGTACAGGTTCTTCGCGCCGCTGTTGTCCGCGCAGTTCATCACCGCCGACATGGGCAGGCCGAGCGTCATGCGCAGCTTGTTGCCCAGCCCGGGCGGCTTGTTGTTCCCGCCCATGGTGGCGGCGCGCGGGGGAGGGGGGGGTGCGGGCGCGTCGCTCGCCTGCGTCGGGGACGGGGTGATGGCCGGTCGCGTCTTGCCGAAGTGATTCCTAATTTTCTCTCCCCGTCCACGTCACACAGCGGTGGCACGCCTCGGCGGCGCACGTCGCCGACTGCGCGCGCTCCGTCTCGCGGTCCGGCGCTCCCGAGAGCGACCGGGGCGGAGGAGCGCCAGCAGACCGAACGGGAGCGACCAGCGGCCGCGGCGGTGGCGTAGTAAGCGGTGGCACGCCGCGGCGGCGCAGCGGTCAGCCAGCAAGGGCTATTGCAAAACGCTGCTCACTTTTAGGTGCCCGCTCGCTGACGGCCGCGTTTGCAGTGAAGGGCTCTCAGTCGTGCAGCCGACAGTTCAAACGTTACGCCACCAATTCCTTTGAGTCCAGACGCCGCGTCGCGCCTCTTAGCTGACCTCGCTTTACAGCTCGCTCACGCTCGACGAGAGCTGGGTAAACCGGACAAAACTCTACTGCACGCGTCCGCCAGCCCCATCCATCATTCAAGATGTCTCTGGAGGGATGGCTGCTGCGGGCCGCTCGTTTGCCGCTGCGATTATTTTGGGAGGGCGGACATCTGGACTATGACATCTGGCGGACCCTGGATGCACACTGGTCGGGACCAAAGCAAAAAACCGACCTTTGTCTCTCCTTAGAGAAGGTTATTGGACGGCATACGGCGACAGGTCCTCAAAAGTCATATCGGGTCGGCCCGGCACCGGCCGGGGCCGGGGCTTAAATTGGGCAGCCTCGTTCGCACGTATTCGATAATCATACGTGCCCTCTCGCATCGTGCCAAGGAGCGCCAGCCCAGGCCGATGTCGAAGATGATGCGCACCTCGACCTCGTCCGTCCGCAGCGACCCCATCAAGAAGGGCTTCGAGGTGCGCGTGCCGGAGCGCCGGCGCTTCCAGCACGTCGGCTCGAAGCTGGACACGGGCGCGACGGCGCGGTCCGTGCGCTACCTGACGAACAGTCAGGTCCTGCGGCGGCGCGACGAGACGTTCCGGCGCATCTCGCGCGACGACCTCGCGGAGCTCTTCGAGGAGTACGAGAAGGTCGACGACGAGCGGCTCGACACGCTGGGCCTGGGGCTGGACGGCGGCTGCGGGCCGGTCATCGCGTCCTACGCCGCGGACGATAACGAAGAGTACGAGCGGCCCTACCTCGTGCTCGACGTGCGGGACCCCGCGGCCTTCGCGCGGTGCCACGTGCTGCAGGCGCGCAGCATGCCGCAGCGGCTGCTGATGCAGGACCGCGCGCAGCCCGACCTGTACCGGTTCCGCAACCGGGAGGGCCGGCTCATCGTCCTGTACGACGACGACGAGCGCATGGCGGCGGCCGCGGCGCACCAGCTCGTGCACCGCGGCTTCGACAACGTCTACGTGCTGACGCGGGGCATCGTCGGCTTCCACAACGCCTACCCCCACTACGTCGAGGGCGACCCCGGCGCGCTGCCCCGCCCGCCGGCGTCGCCGGCGAAGAAGAAGTCCTCGGGCTACGGGCGGTCCGGCGGCCGGGGCCGCGTCGTCCGGCGGAGCGGCGCCTCGTACGGCTACAACCAACGGGCGGACGCGGGGTCGCCGGACAAGCTCTCGCGCATGTCCGAGCTTTCCGTCGCCGACTCGGTCATCTCGCGGGCGACGACGCGCAAGAGCCGCTACTGAGGCCGCGGGTGGTAGAGGCCGCGCGCGCGGGCGGAATAAAAATACATACATACACAAGAATTAAACTACACGACGGAGTCCCTGGAGTCCGACCGCGGCATCCGCCCCGCCGGCAGGGGGCTCCCCGCGGCCGCGCCGGCGACGGCCGCGACGACGAACCACGGCGCGCCGGCCTCGCGGCACACGAGGGCCGCGAAGCCCGCGACCGTGAGCGACGCCAGCGCGCGCGACAGCCGCCGCAGCGCGACGGGGCACGCCTCGCCCGCCAGCCCGGGGTGGCCCCAGGCCACGTCCAGCACGAGCGGCAGCGAGAAGTTCGTGAAGCCCAGCAGGAGGAGGGACGTCCAGTCGACGATCGAGACGAACAGCTCGGACTCGTGCGCGGCGATGGCGAGGCCCCACGCCGCCGCCGCCGCCAGCGCGTCGGCGCGGCGCGCGTCCGCCGCGACGAGGTGCGCCTTGATCAGGCCGTCGGCGCCCGCGAGGTAGGTGGGGATCGCCGCCAGCTGCGACACGAAGAGGAAGAACACGGCGGCCAGGTCGGACGCGCGCCCGGTCGCCAGCAGCGCGTCGGCCGACGGCGCCGTCGGCGCGCCGCCCGCGCCGAGGACGGCCACGGCCGCGTAGGCCAGGGCCATGAACAGGCACGCGGCGCCCGCGCCCCGCGCGGCGGCCTCGGCCCGGCCCCGCAGGGCCAGCGGCGGCACCGCGAGCACGCACGCGAAGTTGAAGCACACGGCCGGGGCCGCCGCGAGCGGGCTCGGGCCCAGCCAGGCCACGGCCCGGTCCGCGACCGTCTCGCGCCGGAGGTACGCGCCCCAGCGCCAGGCGCCGAGGCAGAAGCACGCGAAGCCCACGCCCTGCGTCCGCGGCCCCTCGGCCCGGCGGGCCAGCCGCGCGAGGGCGAGCGTCAGCAGCACGCCGACGGACGCCTCCAGGGCCGGCGCCGGGAGCGGCTCGGCCGCCGGCCGGCAGCCCGCGTAGAAGAGCGCCGCCTTGCCGGTCAGCTCGAGGGACGGCAGCCGCACCACGACGCCGCAGCGCCGCCCGACCAGCGCCTCCTCCAGCGCGTCGGCGAGCTGGACGCACAGGACGATCTGCGCCACGGCGCAGGCCAGGAGGGCCGTGGCGCAGGCGGCCGCCGCGACCCGGGCCCCGCGCCCGCCCCAGAGCGTGCGGCACGGCCCCGCCAGGTCGGCGCCGCCGCCCTCGATCTTGTGCGCCTCGGCCTCGCGGGCGACGGCGCAGGCGCGGCGAGCGGAGAAGGTCGCGAGCAGCGCGAACGCCGCGACGAGGAGCACCGCGCCGAGCGCCCCGGCCTGCCGGCCGGCCTCCGCGAGCACGACGAAGCCGGGACCGTTCAGCGTGTTGATCAATATTAGAGCGGGATACAGCCAGTCGCGGCTGCTCGCGTGCTTTACACTTAAGGGGTGCATGGTTCAGCGGCACCAAACGCGCGTCAATGACCCATAACAGCAGCGAACGGCTATTTTTATTATGCCGACCCCAGGAGGCGGCAGGCGCAAAGTATAGTACCTCTTGTGCAGGCGCAAAGTATAGTACCTTAGTACCTCTTATGCCGACGCCAGATTCTAACGACTCTGTGTTTTTGTCTCCAGCCGTCGCCAGCAACCCCAGAACTCTCATCGGCTTGCGCTGGTCCCCCCCCCCCCGCTCGCGCGAAGCTTGACACCGAGCCAGAATTACCCGGCGTTTCCGATCAGGTGCGTTCAGAGACCGCGCATGCGCGCAGGAAACCGAGAGACAAAAAAATCGTCGCAGCCGTCGCCCCGCGCGCAGCCCCGGCCGTCGTCGGACGCCGAGGGCAGGAGCCCAACGTGCTGTTGACATTGGCTGCACGCGACGGACGGCATCGGGCGTTCGGGGCCGATCCCTTGTTGGCTGCACGCGACGGACGGCATCGGGCGTTCGGGGCCGATCCCTTGTCTCCCGCGCAGGCCCGTTTCCCATGAAGCTCGTCCTCGCGCTGCTCGCCGCCACACACACGGCCGCCGCCTTCGGGCCCGCCGGCTACCGCGCGAGCCACGACCCCGTGAGCCGGTTCGTCCCTCGGTCCGCGGTCGACGAATGCACCATCGTCTTCGACGCCGACGGCGCGTTCTGCATGGAAGATAGCCACATGAACCGGGCGACGGCGCTCGACTGCCTCGCCACCGACGAATGCGATGTCCCGGAATTCCAGGAGGGCGCCCTCCGGCACCAGTAGATCCCCCGTCGCCCGCTCGCACGCCGTCCTCTCTCCGCGCGATGAGAGGGCGTAGTAGTATGACCTTTCATCGCCATGCGGTGCTACGGTAGTCGATGTTACGGTGCTAGAACTAGTGGGCGGAGCCCCTGGGGGGGGAGACACCGCGCATCGCCGATTCATCGGCGGCGGGCGCGGGGCTTCTTTCATAACAGCGTACCTCCTTCTAAGCAGAACCGCCTCGGCAACCCCCCCCGAACAATGTGCAACGTTCGCCCGTTCAATCAACTTGTCCCGCGACTTCCCGCAGGCGACCTTGGACCGCGGCGACGCGTTCGGCACCGTACACTCCAACAAAGCCAGTAGACAGTCGGCCCGACCCTTGACAATCGCCACGCCCCACTCCCGGTAGATCTGGGCCTGAATCATGGCCGCCGCGTCCTCGACCGAATCAGTCGATGAGGCCTTGCTAGCGTTCGTAAGACACTAGGCATTGCAAGCCTTTGCGCATGCGCTGCGCCGCTGCCTGGTATATACGTCGTAAGACGATTTATCACTAATTTATAATAATACCTACAATCGTGCAGGGCACTCCATGCACGATCTCGTTTGGCTGCTCGCGCTGCTCGGAGCAGCGCACTCGACGAGCGCGCTGCGCCAGCCACGGATTAATGCAGCACACAAAACGAGTGTACGCGCCGCACCCGGCGGCGATGACGCCGCGTCGCTGTTTGCAGAGGCTGCGCGGCTCCGACGGGAGGCCGCCGAGGCGGAGCGAGACTTCGCGCCGGCGACCGAGGCAACAACCGAGGCGCCGGCGGCCCGACCGGGGCTCTCGGTCGTGCTCCCCATCGCGCGACCCGACTGGAGCGTCGAGGACACGGAGTGCTTCTTCGAGCCGCGCTCGGACGGCTCCGCCCAACTAATAAAGTTCGAAGTCGAGGTGCCGTGCGGCGTGATACTGCAGGAGTCCGACGACGCGGGCGGTCGGCCGATCGTCGTCGTCGGCGCCGTCGGCGAGGGATCGAACGCGGAGGCGGCGGGTCTGCGCCCGGGCGACATCCTGCGCGCCACCAGCGCGGTGCGCCAGCAGATGGAGATGCCGACGTGGCAACTCCTCGGCGGCGGGATCGGGCGGCCGAAGACGTTCCGCTTCATCTTCGGTGCGGACCTCGACGCCAAGCCCGCGCGGGACTTCGAAGAGGTCCTCGGAGCCGTCGGTTCCAATCGGCTGGACCCGCAGGGGCGGCCGGCGATCCTCGTCGTCGAGCGCCCCGCATAATATAGAATAAATCACGCCGGTTTCCAGGACGAGAGGTGCCCGACGGTGGTCTTCGTGCTCGAGCTGGGCAAAGGGCTGCTATAAGCCTGTGCCGACCTTCCCAGCGCTGCCCGGTGCTCGAAATCGGGAACGGCGGCGGTGTACCGGAAAGGCAGCGCTAAGACTAGCGCGAAAGCCTCTAGCGCCGCCGCAGCACTAGCCCCCTGGAAGGCGTCGCCGCCACCGTCCTGCAGTCTTGCAGGCCGCTAGCCCACGGGAAGCCGCACCCCGGGACTGTATCGCCTTCTACAGTTTCTTTTTCAAAATATTTATAAGGAAGGCCAAGAGAAAAGACGAAGACACAGGAATTCACTTATAGGTCCGGACCGCGCGCGCGATGAGCCCCGCGGCCGTCTTATCAGACAGCATGTAGCCGAACGAGAAGCGCAGCCCCGAGTCGACGACGATCGAGTGCCAGCGCCGGTCGCAGCGGCCCACGCGGAAGAGGCGCGCGGCGAAGGACGGCGTGCCCGGCCGTGCGGATTCGCGGAGCCGCACGGTCGTGCCGTTCTCGTCGCTGAAGAGGAACGTGGCGTTGCCCGTGGTGATGGCGAGGTAGAGGCGCCAGTTGTTCCCCGGGGTGCTGTCGAACGTGTTGGCGTGCCAGGCGGCGTGCGCGCCCGGCGGGTACAGCAGCGCGTTCCGCCGCCCGTCGGTCACGTTCAGGCGCCGCTGCGCGACCTTGCGCGCCTGCGCCTCGTAGGAGAAGTGGCCCCGGAGCCTCCAGGCCGTGCCGACGCCCGCCGGGCAGGCCCTCCGCCCGCCCCCCAGGTCCACGCAGGCCCGCTCCGGCTGCCGCGGCGGCGCGGCGCCCGCGCCCCAGACCAGGCGCGTCGCGTGGTGCCGCAGCTCGAGCTTCGTGTGGCGCAGCTCGAGAATCAAATCCTGCTGGAGGGGCACGCGCTCGCCGGCCCAGTCCGCCGCCGCGTTCCGCCGGTGCCAGGCGTCCTCCGTCCGCGCGCCGCCGCCGCCGGGCGGCCGGCGCGCGACCGCGTCGAAGGCCGACCCCAGGTCGCCGTCGAGCTGCGCGTTGTCGCCCAGCAGCTTGAGCGACGCCAGGAAGACCTCCGTGACGTCGCCGCCCAGCTGATCCGGGTCGAGCTCCGCGACCTGTGTGGAAGTCAACCGGTGCGTCGGGTGCACCCGACAATTCTTCACTAGGTCATGTCTCGGCGATGGCGCGGCCGCCCTGGCTCGGTCGAGCGGCGAGGAACCGGCGGCGCCGCGCCGTCGAGCGGGCGCCGCGTCGACGGCGTGGAGGACGACGCGACGAGTCAGCACGAACGCGCCGTAAAACTTTGATTTCCACACGGTCCGCGACGACCGAGGGCCCCGCGTCCGACGCGAGGCAGAACGCGCAGTCCCCCCGCGCCGCGCCGGCGGCCGCGGCCGCGCCCGCCGCCGCGAGCGCGAGGGGCGGCGGCCCCGCGACGGCCGCGGCCAGCGACGCGCACGCCGCGGCGACGGCGGTCGAGCCGCGGCCGAGCAGGGCCTTGGCCTGGGGCGCGCGCGTCGCGCGGCACGCGTAGACGGCCGCCGCGTAGGCGAAGGCCGCCGCCACGACCGCGTGGTGCGCGCCCGCGCGCGCCCGCGGCGGCCGGCGGCCGCCGCGGCCGGGGCGCGGCGGCGCGCCTCCGGTCGCCAGGGCCACGCCCGCCGCGCGCCCGAGCGCGACGACGCTGTGCGCGCCGACGCAGCCCACGACCGCCGGCGCCAGCGCGTGCCGGAGGAGCCAGACGACCTCCGTCTCCGCGGGCGACGCTAGTACTATTGTGTCGCTCTCGGCGACGCTCAGGGCCGCGGCGAGCGCCGCCGCCGCCGCGGCCCGCGCGGGCCGCCGCCCAGAAAAGGTCCAGTTGCAGACGCACCAGGCGCAGGCCGCCGCCCAGAGGCCCCGGCGGGCCGCGGCGTGCGCGGCGACGAGGCCAAGGCCGAAAAAGAGGCCGCCCGCGTGGGCCGCGAGCTCGACGGCGTCGACGGCCGCGGCGACCGTGTCGGCCAGGAGCTCGAACGCGTCCTCCGCCCGCGTCGACGTCGCGCGCGCCGCGTCGTCGCCGTCGCGCGGCGGCTTGGCGCGCTGACTCTTGCCCATCCTCTTTTTTTTTGAGAGCAGCACTGCTAACCGGCTCGCGCGCTTTGTTACGGTGCCCCTTTCGCACCTGCGGCGCGTGTGTTTTTGACCAGAGGAGAGCTAACACGATAGAGACACTAGCCCGAGGGGCGATGCCTCCGAGCAGTCCGTTGATCAGGTGATCGAGTAACAGAGGTCGTGCAGCTGTGCCTGTCCATCTGTCGGGGCTCCCACCATTTGCCCTTTGCACAGGTGCAGGTGTGCTCTCGATGCATGATGCTGTTGTGCTCTGTTAGGAGGAGGTAATCCCAGCACAAGCACCGGGTTGAGGCCGTTTTAGGGCCTGAGGGCGTAGAGAGTGGTGCTCTTTTCTTGGGGACCGCCAGCTAAAGAGTTGCTCTTGTTGTCAAAGCCACTGTTGAATTGGTTCTTCAGGGCACAGCTAAGAGTTGCTGCGTCCTTGCGCTGCCAAAAAACAGCCACCACTGAGTTGAATTGGTTCTTCGCATCATTAACGCAGTCGCATCATTAACGCAGGATGATGCAGTGGGAGCAGCGCTCGAGCCCCGTCAGCGTCTTGCTGACGCCGCCGGCCCCGTTCCACCTCGAGGAAGCGTTGTCCCGAGCCGAAGCGAGGCAGCTCGCCGTCGCGATGGCGGCGCGCGGCCTGCAGGAGCGCCTCGAGGCGGCGAACCGCGAGGCCGCCGCGAGCGAAGCCGCCGCCGCCGCGCGGTTCCGGCGCCTCCAGCGCGACGTCGCCGACGAGCAGCGGTCGCGGGCGCGGTCGCGGGGCCGCAGGCCCCGGTCGTCGCCGCTGTCGGGCGTCCACGCGATGCTCATGTGGGCGTCGTCCCGCCGCCGCGGCTCGCCGCGGCAGCAGCAGCGCAAGAGCGCCGCCGACGCGTCGCGGCCGGGCCGGCGGCGCCTGTCGCTGCCGCTGGAACTCTCGACGACGAGGCGCCGGCTGCGGCCGACGGGCCGGTCCCTTTCGCCGTGAACCATGAACCATATGCCGCGGCCGACCGATCGACCCCTTCCCCTTGATTTTTGCCTGGGCACCCCGTGTATAAGTAGCCGCGACACGAGTGGTCAACCACGGCAGTCTTAGTGATGTTACATCTCTAGCCTTGCCCCCGCCACGAACATGAAGAAGAACGACGCCAGGATCTGCGTCAGCGAGCCCACGACGACGAAGCCCGTCGACGACTTGGGCGAGATGGCCTTCCGCCGGTGGCCCTTCGGGCCGTTGCCCTTGTAGTACTTCCAGCAGGTCTCGCGGTCCTCGAAGCCCCAGAAGGGCTGGGGCGTCGCCTCGCCGCCGTCGCCGCACTTGCCGTTCGGCGAGTAGCGCGGCTCGCAGTTGCGCTTGCCGAGCAGCTGGTACGTCAGGCGCCCCTCGGGCGACGTGTAGTTCCGCGTGCCGGCCGCCCGGTCGTAGCACTGGAACGCCTTCGTCTCCCAGCAGTTCTCGCGGTAGGGCAGCGCCACGGCGCCGAGGTCGCCGGCGCCCTCGCGGCACTTCCGGACGACCTCGTCCTCGTCGCAGGAGAACTGCAGGGCGCACCCGTCCCACGGCTCGCGCAGGCACGTCCAGCAGCTTTCGCGGTCGGAGCCCTCGAAGCGGAGCCCGTAGCAGTCCACCGTCTCCGCGCAGAAGTCGAACGACGTGCCGGCGCCGGCGTAGACGAGGGACGCCGTGCAGAGGAGCTGGATCACCATGCAGAAGAGCGCCGCGTGGTAGGCGCCGCTCTGCGTGCCGCGGCAGCAGCACAGCGTGACGAGCGCCGTCACGCAGGACAGCGCGCTCCCGAACATGCACAGGCTCCCGGCGTTGACGGACGGCTGGAAGGGGAACAGCGCGATCGCGCACGTCGCGCACAGCAGGCCGAGGACGCCCGACGCGAAGAGCAGGACGGACGTGTCCCGCAGGTTCTGGTACTCCGGCTCCCAGTCGCCGCAGATCCGCCGGCTGTAGCACTTGACCTTGCGGCCGCAGCAGGTGATGGCCATGGTCCTGGCGCCGAGGCCGCGACGTCGGGCAATATGTATTTGGGCAGCCCTGCCTGTTGACCGACAGTACCTCGGGTATTCAGGTCGTAAATATAAATGCGGTGGTCAACCTCCACGAGCAGTGCTAGATGACTGGGGGAGCCGGGCACCTGGAAAGCCTCGTTTCCTGCTTGCTTGCTAGGGATGCCTAGTGTCCTTACAGGCGCTAGCGCGCAACATTTCCCAAACGCGGGAGCCCTGGAAGCTGCAACCCGGGGACATGATCTCCTCAAACTGGCTCATTGCAACTGACTTCGCTTGCTAGTGTGTCTCAGCCGCTAGCAGCTAAAACACGGAGGTTGTGCGCGTGATTCGTGGACGTCTCAGTACTGGAGCGTCGCCTGACGTGGGCCTCGTAGGCGTCTGCGGACAAGGTCGCGTACACGGCCACTGATTGGGCTCGCCACCGTGCCAGGGCCAGGAGCGATGAGCGCCGTCGACGAGGCCGCCGCGGCGCTCGCCTACGCGACGCTCAACGACCCGACGCAGCCGCCGCCGCCCTTCGCGCCCGAACGCCACGCCGCCTACCTCAAGCGGGTGGCCGCGGACGCGGGCGCCCTGGAGTACGCCCTGACGGAGTACATGCGCGTGAGCGGCGTGTACTGGGGCCTGACGGCGATGCGGCTCCTCGGGAGGGACGCGGCGGCGGAGCTGGGCGGGCCGGCGCTGGTCGAGCTGGCGCGGGGCTGCCAGAACGCCGACGGCGGCTTCGGCGGCGCGCGGGGGCACGACTCGCACGTGCTCTACACGCTGTCGGCGCTGCAGGTCCTGGCGCTGCTCGGCGCGCTGGACCGGTGCGACCGCGCCGCGGCCGCGGCGTACGTCGCCGCGCTCCAGCAGCCGGACGGCTCCTTCTGCGGCGACCGCTGGGGCGAGGTCGACACGCGCTTCTCGTACTGCGCGCTGGCGGCGCTGGCGCTCCTCGGGCGGCTCGGCGACGCCGACGTCGGGCGGGCGGCGGCGTTCGTCGACGCGTGCCGGAACTTCGACGGCGGCTACGGCTGCGCGCCCGGCGCCGAGTCGCACGCGGGCCAGGTCTTCTGCTGCGTGGGCGCGCTGGCGATCGCGCGGCGCCTGGACCTGGTGGACCGCCCGCTGCTCTGCTGGTGGCTCGCGGAGCGCCAGTGCGACAGCGGGGGGCTCAACGGGCGGCCGGAGAAGCAGGCCGACGTCTGCTACTCGTGGTGGATCCTCTCGGTGCTGCGCATGCTCGGCGCGGACCACTGGATCGACGGCGCGCGGCTCCGGAGCTTCATCCTCAAGTGCCAGGACCTGCCGGACGGCGGCATCGCGGACCGGCCGGGCAACTGCCCCGACGTCTTCCACACGTTCTTCGGCGTCGGCGGGCTCTCGCTGCTGGGCGCGCTGCCCGGGGACCGGCCGGGCATCGACGCCGTCTTCGCGCTGCCCGAGGACGTCGTGGAGTCGCTGGGCCTCGAGGCGCAGACCGTGCCGAGGAACGACGCGTCGCTGCTGGACGCGTGGGCGGCGGAGCGGCGCGGCGGCGGCGCGGCCATTGTGAAGTAGTAGTAAACGTTGTGCTTTTACTGGACAACACGACGACGCTTAGACAGGAACGCTCGAGAAGGTGCGTTCGGGGCATTCGAACCCCTCCACGCTCGCGGGCGAGAGGAGGGTCGAGTGGTTCGCGAAGAGGTGCCAGTTCCGCGTCGCCCAGTCGCGCTCGTAGCCGTAGGCCGACGCCGGCTTCGCCGGGTCGTAGACGTGGTACCGGTAGCCCAGCTCCAGGTCCGCGTCCGTCCGGCCGGCGTGCTCGGAGCGCTGGACGACGGGGACGGAGCAGCAGAGGATGGCCTCGTAGAAGCGCCGCGACCACGCGTTGTCGCCCGCCGGCGCGAGCGTCGCGCCCGAGGAGCAGAGCGTGGCCACGTAGCTCGCGTCCACGCGCATGAGCTGGTCCGCCGCGACGTCGCGGAACGCGCTCGGCGGCGGCGGCCGGCCGCGGCCCAGGAACATGAGGTGCGCGACCCACTCGTCGCGGGCCGGCGACGTCATGGCGTCGCGGATGAAGCTGACGTTGTTCGCGAGCTTCGGGTTCCACTTGGGCTGGGCGGCGTCGAGCGTGCGGTCGAAGGGCCCCAGCGGCGCGTGCGCCTGCCACGAGTCCGTGAACACCAGCACGTCGTCCGCCCGGAAGTGCGCCAGCGCGAAGCGCTCGACCCAGCCGCGCGCGAGCCGCGTCGACGCGTCCGTGCCGCGGCCGCCGAGGAAGTTGAAGCGCACGTGCCCGGTCACGGCCTCGAGCGCCCGCCGGGCCTGCGCCACGCGGCTCTCCGGGAAGAGCGAGAGCCGGTCCGCGCCCGGCATGCGGTGCCAGCCCACGGCGCGCAGGTCGTCGAACCAGGCGGTCGGCGGCCGGACGCGCGCCTCGGCGTGCGCGAGCTCGTAGAGCACGACCTCCCCCAGGTCGGCGTACTTCGGGTCGAAGCGGTTCTGCTCCTCGAACAGCTTCGCGAGGGGCTCCGCGGCGCCGCCCGCGCTCGCGTAGCCGTGCGCCCCCAGGAACGCCCGGGCCACGGCCTCGAAGCGCTGGCCCTTGAGCGACGTCACGGCGCCGCCCGGCGACCCGCGCCACAGGGCGCCGGGCTCGACCGTGCTCGTCCGCTCGAGCTTCGCGTCGCCCATGGCGGCCTCGCAGTAGGCCGCGCAGCTCGGGAGCAGCTCCGCGAGCGTGACGAGGGCCGCGCAGGCCCGGTTGGTGCAGCCCTGGCCGAGCATCCCCTCGGGCATCACGCCCTGCAGGTGGCGGCGCTTCTCCTCGCACGTCGCGTTGACGCCGACGGGGATGCGGTACACGTCCGGGCCGAATCGAATGTCCAGGTTTACGTATTCCTGCCCCCCGGCGATGGCCGTCTCCAGGAGGGGGTCCGTGGCGGCGGCGGCCCCCGTGACGGCGCGGGCCGCCGCCGCCACGAGGAGAAGGAGGCGCCGCGGCTGCTTCATGGAAGGTTTTTCATCAGCAACGAGGCGTTCGTGTTGCAACGAGGCGTTGTGTTGCAACGAGGCGTTGTGTTGCAACGAGGCACCGTCGCAATATATAAGGGTGTTGGGCAGCCCTTGCACAGGTTGTGGGTTCAGACGTCGTCGGAGAGCCGGTGCTTGCTAGTGTCTTAGAGGCGCTAGGTACCAAAACAAGAGCTCATTAGAATGCGCCAGGCGCGTGAGTGCGTGGTGTTGTTGACGGGGGAGGACTATCAGGGATGACGGGGGGAAGGGAACATCAGGGATCTAGTTGTCGGGGCGTCGGCGTCGTGCGGCTCGAGCCGTTCGACCCGTCCTCGGGGTCCGGCCGCGGCCTCCTCGCCGAGTCGAGCAACGCGGAAGACGTGCGGCCGAAGGCGACGGCGAGGTTCGAATTGGCCTTCTTCTGGATCGCGAGGTGGTGCGTCGCGTTCGTGCCCGGCGCGTACCCCGCCTGTGTGGAAATCAAACAGTGCGTCGGGTGCAATCTTCACTAAGTCCATTCTCGACGAGCATGCGGCAGAACGCTCCGTAAATTTTTGATTTCCACACAGTACCCCGCCAGGAGCGGCAGCTCGGTCCCGCCCTTACGAACGTCAGCACCACGACGCGATTTTGGTCGTCGCGGTCGTCGACGTTGTCGTCGACGCCGCCTAGGTCAACGCGCCAGCCACACCGCGAGTAGGGCGCGTAAGACGACGCGCCGGCGGGGTGCGAGCGTATAGTGCCAGACGACGCGCCGCCGATCGTGACGTCGACGATGCCGTTGCAGGACTCCCGGTCGCATCGAGCGCCCGAGTAAACCTGTTTTTTTTTTTTTCGGTTGTTTAACTCTATGTTTTGTACCATAGTTTCTTACCAACGAAGCGTGCAGATGGTATCAACAAAAACTTAGCTTAATTAATCATAGGCGGCTGTATTGCAAGTATGTATACTTATGTAATACCTGTCGGCCACCCCCAATATATCTTTATATTAAGGAATTCGGGGCGGTTTACCTCGCGTCCGATAGGTAGAGGCACTTAGCTAATGCGTCGTTCGTTCGGGCACACCAGACCTGGACCTGCGTACGACGTCAGGCGTCGTCGAACATCCGGTACCTTCGCCATCTACCCCCGGGGGTAGCGTTGCGACCGCGTGGGGGGTAGCACCCTCGTGCAAGATCCTCTCCTCGACCGACTACGAGAGCTCCGGACGGTCTAGTGTGTCTATCCTTTTTGATCGCCACCTAGAAGTGACACACGACGCAGGATCGATCACATATAGAACTGCAGACAGATGTCGTCTCGTAGTTCCTCCCCCGCATCCCTCTCCAAGCTCAACGTCCAAGCTTCGGAGTGGAAGCCGCCCACGCCGCCGGCAGCACCCGCAAGCAGTCGAGGAGAGTCGACGCCGCAGAAGCCGAGCCGCACGCGGCGCGGCGGCCGCAGCTCCCGGCGCGGCAGCGGTGGCAACGGCAACGAAGGTCGCCGCACGCCGCAACCGCAGAGAGAGCACGCGCCGCGCGAGAGCAAGCAGGCGCAGCAACTGAAGGTGCACGCGCCGGGGTGCTCCTGCGCGCGCCTCGCGCGGACGCGCGGCCGCCACGCGGCGGAGGGCCGCGCGAGCGGCTACGTCGTCGCGTCGCGCGACGCGAAGGCGCCGGACCTGCACTTCGGCTCCGACGAGCGCGACTTCGGCAAGCGGCCGGAGAAGTCCGAGGGCGCCCCGGCGGGCCCCGGCGAGCGCACGGCGCAGCGGCCGGCCGCGGACCGCGGCGAGGACGCGGCGCTCCGGCGGCGGCGCGAGGCGCTGCTGTCGGACGCCATCGCCGACGCCGTCAAGCGCGAGGCGAACGGCCCGGCGCGCGTCTCGTGCGCGGCGTGCATGCTGGACGGCGCGTGGCGCAACGGCGCCATCGCCGTCGCCGGGCCGCCGGAGCGCGTCGGCGCGGCGTGCGCGGCGGCGAACCGGGCGCTCTTCGGCGACTTCGGCGCCGGGAGGTTCCCCCCCGCGGGCATGTGGCACGGCCGCGGCGCGCCGGTCTGCGTGCCCATCTCGGTGCGGGGCCTGCTGCAGTCGCGCGCGCTGGGCTGTGTGGAAATCAAAATTTTACGGCGCGTTCGTGCTGACTCGTCGCGTCGGCCTCCACGCCATCGACGCGACGCCTGCTCGATGGCGTGGCGATGCCGGTTCCTCGCCGCTCGACCGAGCCAGGACAGCCGCGTCATCGCCGAGAAATGACTTAGTGAAGAATTTTCGGGTGCACCCGACGCACTGGTTGATTTCCACACAGGCGCTGGGCACGGCGGTGCCCCTGCCGCCGGACTACGCCATGCCCCCGCCGCCGCCGGGCTGCTACCCCCTCGTGGACGCGAAGCACCACGTGGTCGAGGTCTTCGACGTCATCTCGTTCCCGGCGGCCGACGACCACCTGCTGGTGCTCTGCACCGTCGACACGTACGGCGTCCTGTCCCTGGACCTGCCGGGCGGCAAGCGGCGCCTCGCCGAGACGGCCTGGGAGGCGGCCGCGCGCGAGGCGGCGAACGTGGCCGGCCTCCGCGTCGCGGTCGGCGGCGACCGCCTCGGCGGCGCGGACGGCGCGCTCGACTGCGGCGGCGCGGCCTTCCGGGCCGAGGCCGCGCGTGACGGCCAGAGCGTCCGCTTCTTCGTCCTCCGCGCGGAGGAGGCCGCCCCCGACGACATGCCGGTCGACGAGGCGCCCTGAGGCGCCCTTTATTCACCTTGTCGCGGACGACACGCCAGTCGACGCGGCGCCCTGACGAGGCGCACCCTTAACCTTATTTATTATTAGCTTAACCTCAACCTAACGTCGTAGTAACGACCACTTGATGTGATTTGCCTCCGCGCCGCGGACCCGTTTTTTTTTTTTTCCATAGACAGTGCCGGCTCGGCCTCCTGAGGACTCCGACCAGCCGTCCGACGCCCTCGAAGCGCTGCCGGGGGCTAGCGCCCTAGCGCCTGGCGTCGGCCTCTGAGACTGTTGTGCGAAGGCAGCCCGGTCCCCGGTCAACTTTCCAGGACCCGGCTCCCCCCGCACGCGCCCGCAGCAAGCAGTGCGGCGCTGCCCCGCGACCCTCGACGACTCCGGGCAGAACAAGGGGCGCGAGATCAGGTCTTATCAAAGGAGGACAGGATGCCCTTCCGCCCGCCGAGCCCGTCGGACGGGCCCCTGGCCAAGGTCGACTGCCTGGCCGAGAAGGACCCGGTCACCGTGCGCGAGGACCACCTGGCCGACGTGGAGCTCGTCGCGGTCGCGGTCTCGGACCCGCAGAAGGTCCGCTACGGCGGCCTGGCCGAGAAGGAGGGCGTCGACGAGGGCTCGCGCGTCGGGCGGCTGCGCCGGACGACGGAGGCGGCCCTCGTGAAGACCTGGTCCTACGAGCTCGCGGCGACGACGCGCTACAAGGGCGTCGGCGAGGCGATGCGCGTCGAGGGCGGCGGGCTCCGGCGGACGGTCGAGGACTTCCAGTGGTGCCGCCTCGCGCTCGTCGCCGAGCACCCGGGCGTCGTCGTGCCGCCGCTCGGCGTCGAGGCCCAGGCGGGCGACGCCGACGCGCCGGCGCGGTGGCTCATGCTGCTGCTCGAGCACCCCCAGCTCAAGTCGAACGACGCCCTCAAGGTCTTCTGCCTCGGCAGCCCGTCGGAGTTCGCGGCGGCCCAGCGCGACCACGTCCCGTTCAAGGACCCGACGCCGCTCGCCGTGCACCTCGGCGCGCTCTACATCAAGGGCCGCGAGACGCTGTCGCGCGAGCGGAAGCAGGTCATCGAGGAGGACGCGCAGGAGGAGAAGGACGAGAAGCGGCGCAAGGCGGGCGGGCACCTGTCGTCGGCCGAGATCCGCGCGTTCGCCAAGTGGCTCGACGAGGAGGCCGCGGCCGTCAGCGCCGCGGCGAAGGCCTCCGCCGCCGCCGTGGCCGCCGACGCCGCGGCGTGCGCCGAGCAGAAGCTGGCGCTCGCGTCGGTCGCGGCGCTCGCGGGCAGCGCCGGGAGCGCGGCCGACGCGGCGCCGCCCCGCTTCGGGCCCGCGCGGGCCCTGCCGGAGCTCAACGACATGGTCGGCTACCTCGGCGCGGCTCACGACGCCATCTACGGCCGGGACGTCGCGCGGCGCACGCTCGCCGCGGCCAAGGCGCGCCTGGTCAAGATCGAGGCGGCCGCGGCCAAGGCCAAGGAGTACGCCGACGTGCAGGCCGCGCGCGAGGCCGCCCGGAAGTGCGACGAGGCCGCCAGGGCCGTGGCGGAGGCCCAGGCCGCGCGCGAGGCCGCCGAGAAGCTCGAGGCCGACGCGCAAAAGGCGGAGTCGGCCGCGGCCGCGGAGGCGGAGGCGGCCGCGGAGGCCGAGAAAAAAGCGGAGGCCGAGAAAAAAGCGGAGGCCGAGAAAAAAGCGGAGGCCGAGAAGGCCGCGGCCGCGGCGGCCGCGGCCGCGCCGGCGCCGGCGCCCGCCGACGCCGGCCTGGAGCAGGAGGCCGCCGCGCCGGCGCCCGCGGCCGACGCCGCGCCCGCGCCCGCGGCCGACGCCGCGCCGCCGCCGCCGCCTGGCCAGCCGCTGCGGTCGCCCTTCGTCGAGCACGCGAAGAAGCTGGGCGGCCTCGGGCTCAACCTGCTGGGCAAGGCCAAGAACGTCGCCGGGCGGGGCGTCTCGGCCGTCCGGACGGGCGGCAGCTACGTGGGCTCGGCGGCGGTGACCGTCAAGGACGGCATCGGGTCGCGACTCGGGTCCTACGTCTCGGGCGACACCGACGTCGCCGCCGCGGCGGAGCTGGTCGGCCGGCTCGAGGCGCGCTACGACGACGTGAACGCGACGCTCGACGCCGAGCTCGCGGCGCTGAAGGCGTCGTGGCCCGACCGGCGCCGCGCCGTCGCGGACGCGTTCGCGGCCGGCGAGGCGGCGCGCGCGGAGGCCGCCACGAAGGGCAAGAAGGCCGTCGTCGCCGCGCTCAAGGCGGTCAAGGCCTCCAAGTAGCGCGCCCGCCCCCGCGTAGGATCACGACTCGGATCATGATGCACAACTAGTCTTTAGGTCGACGTCGCGTAGAGGCACCGGATCAGCGGGTGCTCCTCGATCTCCTCGGGGTTCGCCATGAGCCGCCGCGCCTCCGCCGCGTCGCCGTCCGCGATCTTGAGGATCACGTTCCACAGGTCGCGCGTCTCGTCCGACGCGCCGGTCAGGTCCGGGACCTCGCCCGCGACCGGGGCCTCGTCGGCCTCGTCGTCGTCGGACACGTGCAGCTGCTCGAAGCGCGAGTAGTCCAGGGCCGGCGCCGGCGCCGGCGCCGGCGCCGGCGCGGCCCCGCCGAGCAGGACGGTGTAGCCGTCCTTGTGGAGCGCCTCGAACTGCTCCATCATGCCGTGGCCGAAGCCGCCGCGCGCGTCGCCCTCGCGGCCCGGCTTCCGGGCCGGCGCGTCGCCCTCGACGGGCTCCGAGGCCGCCGCCGTCGGCGCGACGAAGCGCCAGGGCGCCGGCGGCGCGTCCTCGGGCAGGGGCGCCGCGTCGTAGCCGACCGCGGCGCGGTGGTCCGCCTCGGACGCGTCGCGCAGCCGCGGCCGCGGCTCGCCGGGCACCTCGCGCTCCAGGTCCTCGACGAAGCGCGCGAGCATGGCGCGCACGGCCTCGCACACCGCGCCGCCGTCGTGCGGGTAGAGCAGGTTCCGCAGCGCCGCCGCGTGCGCCTTCGAGAGGCCGACCTCGTCGCTCTCGAGGTGCTGGGCGGAGCAGCCGCGGCCCCACTCGAGGTCGCAGACGCACCCGTCCGGCCCGTCGTCGTGCGTGAGCTCCCGCACGACGAAGGCGCCCCGCACGGTCGGCACGCCCAGGAAGACCCGCTGGCGCTTCCCCTGCACGGTCACTTCCTTCGTGCGCGGCGCGCCCAGGCGCGCCTCGAAGTCGAAGCGGCAGTTCAGGTCGTAGGCGCGCGTCCACCGCCCGGCGACGCGCACGGCCAGCGCGTCGCCGCCCGCGCTCGCGGGCGTGACGCGCACGACGCCGCCGTACGCGTCCCGCGCGTCGTCGTCCACGAGCCGGGCCTCGACCGCGTGCAGGCGCGCCGCCAGGCGCCGCACGGCCCAGGGCGACACGTCGACCTCCTTGTAGCCCCGGTTGAACTCGACGTCCCGGGCGGCGGCGGCCGGCGCGCCCCCGATCCGCGCGGGCGCGGCGCGCGCGAGCCGCGCGGCGGCCGCCGCGTCCGCCGCCGTCGCGGGCGGCCGCGAGAACGCCGGCGCGTGGCCGTCGTAGCCCTTCCGCAGCGGCGCGGCGTCGTGCTCGGCCCGGCGCCGCGCCAGCGCGTCGGCCAGCCGCTGCTGGACCCACTCCGCGGGCGGCTCCGGGGGCGGCGCGGGCGGCGCGTCGCGGCGCCGCGCGGCCTCGTCCCGGCCGTACAGCTCGGCCTCGGTCAGGCTCAACTGGAGCGCGGGCGCGTCCGGGAGCGCGGCGTCCGTGACGGCCTCGCCGTTCAGCAGCCCGGCGAGCTCCCGCCGCAAGACCTTGTTCGCCGGGTCGGTCTCCAGGGCCCGCTCGAGGTCCGCCCGGGCGTGGTCGAGGTCGGCCTCGGCCCGCCGGTGCGGCGACGCGCGGTAGGCCCGGCTCCGGTGCAGGAGCGCCTTGCGCGACGTCGCCGCGTCGCAGCTCGGGGCCGCGAGGCACGCCGTCGCGGCCTGGACGCACTCCTCCCACTTCTCCTGCTTCGCGAAGCAGAGCGCGAGGTTGCAGTGGAGCAGGGCCCAGTTGTTGTCCTTCCGGAGCGCCGCGCGGTACTTGGCCGCCGCCGCGTCGTAGTAGCCGCCCTTGAACTCGCGGTTGCCCTCCTCCCGCAGCTCCTGCGCCGTCTTGAGGTGCGCGTAGGGTTCCATTTATTGCTGGCCTTGCTGCCACCCCTGCGGCGCGTGCCAACTTGCTCGCGGTCCAGACTAGAGACCTTGCTGGCGCTGGCGCTGGCGCGCTTTGATAACAAACCACCTCCCGTGCTGCTAGAACGTCGCTCGCGATCTGTCTAGCTGCCACTCTCTCCTGCTTTGGTAAGATAGGAGATAGAGGTACTAGCTTTGAATCATTTATTCCTACACGCCGTGGTTGAGCGATTTGGAGTACGCCCGACTTATCCCGGAGCTATCTGCCAGATCTTGTGGTGGGCGCCGGAGAGCCACACAGCCGGGCAGCCTCCTCTCTGCAGCACATCATGAGGGCAGCCTCGCTCCTGCTGCTCACCGCGACGTACGCGCAGCAGCAGCGGATAGCCATCTACGTGCTCTCGACCGGCAAGTCGAAGCGGCTCAACGGCACGCACACCGAGCCGCTGCATTGGCTCACCCAGCGCGCCCTGCCCGCGCTCGACACGTGGGCGAAGGGCTTCGACCGCGTCGTCTTCGTCGTGGAGAAGGGCTTCGAGGGCTCGGCGGCCGGCCGCGGCTGCCGCCCGGCGCGCGACGGCACGCTCGTGTGCCCGCGCCTGGCCGACGCGCACCTCCTCGCGGCCGACTGCACGGACGAGTACCGCGGGGCGGGGCCGTGCTGCAAGTGCGACGCGGCGTTCGCCCACGCGGCCGGCGCCGCGCGGCCGTGGGACTGGGTCGGCTTCGCGGACGACGACGTCTTCTTCGACCCCGTCGGCACCTGTGTGGAAATCAACCAGTGCGTCGGGTGCACGGTGAGGAACCGGCACCGCCACGCTATCGAGCAGGCGTCGCCTCCATGGCGTGAACGCTCCGTAAAATTTTGATTTCCACACAGGTCGGCACGCGGCACGCGCTCTACAGCGCCGGCGACGTCGACGCGCCGGTCGCCGTCGTGCCGCAGGGCTCGCGGCGGCGCCCGCCGTTCCACGCGCCCGCGAGGTGCCGGACCGCGATGCGCGCGAGCTACTGGGCGCAACCGGCGCTGCTGTCGCGGGGCGCCCTGGCCCGCGCGGCGGCGGCGTTCCGCGCCGGCGGCACGCAGAGCGAGTGCAGGCTCTTCGACGTGTCCCACGAGGGCGGCCTGGGCGTCCTGCTGTGGTCGCTCGGCGTCGAGTCGCTCGGGCTGCCGGAGCCCGACGCCTACCTGCGGGATTCGCGGCGCCCCGTGTGGAAATCAACCAGGGAGTCGACCAGTGCAGGGTGCCTGAAATTTGATTTGCTTTGCTTAGAGCTAGGCCGCCTAGCCACCCGGCCGCCGCGGGGCTGCGTGACCGAACGCCCGCCCCGCACCCGCCCACGTACGCCGTCGCCCCGAGTGTTGGCTCGGAGGCGACGACTGCGAGGATTTCCACACAGACGGTACCTGCGGGGCCTCCCGGGCGCGCGGGAGTTCCGGCGCATGCGCCTGCAGCGGCCGAAGCACAAACCGGTCGCCGTCCACCGCGTCGCCCGCGGCAACGACTACCCGACCGCGCACGCCGTCCGCGCCGCGCTATCGTCGCCGGAGTACACGCGCATCCCCGCGACCGCCACGGTGTTACGGGGCGCGATCCCGCCGCGGGACGTGTCCCCGGGCGCGCCCTTCGCGCCGTTCCGGCCCGAGGACTGCGCCCCGCCGTCGCCGCTATCGTGACGAAGTTGTATCAGTTTCTAGTAGTCCTTACCCGCCTAGAGGGGCACGTACATCTTGACCGCGTCCTCGACGGCGTGCTTGAGCGCCGCCGACGCCGAGGGCTCGACGGCCTGCTTGGCCTTCATGGCGGCGGTCATGACCGCGTGGTGCGCGAGGAGCGCGTCCATGTAGTCCTCCTTCGTCTTGAAGGGCGACTTCGCGTGGCCGAAGGGCCAGCAGCGCTGGCAGAGGCAGTAGTTCGCGACCTGTGTGCACATCAACCAGTGCGTCGGGTGCACGAGGACGACGCGATGATTCAGCACGACCGCGCCGTAGGATTTTGATTTCCACGCGGTTCGCGACGAGGTCGATGATCTTCGCGCAGTGCTCCTCCTTCGTGTTCACCCAGCGCGTCATCTGGTTGATGACGAGCGGGCCCTCGGCCATCTTGCCGTAGAGCTCCGTGATCTGGGCCATGGCCTTCTCGACCGTCGCGCAGGCCTCGCGGAGCTCCGACGCGAGCTTCGGGTCGTCGAAGATGCCGCAGGGCACCTGGCAGTGGCCGCCTCGGAGGCGCAGGACGAGGTGCAAGGTCGACTCCTTCTGGATGTTGTAGTCGCTCAGCGTGCGGCCGTCCTCCAGCTGCTTGCCCGCGAAGATGAGGCGCTGCTGGTCGGGCGGGATGCCCTCCTTGTCCTGGATCTTCTGCTTCACGTTGTCGATCGTGTCGCTCGGCTCGACGTCGAGCGTGATGGTCTTGCCGGTGAGGGTTTTCACGAAGATCTGCGCGGGCGCGCGTGTTTTTTGGTGGCAGCCATATAAAGATGCTAAGCTGTATGTGTGTGTGGTGTGTGGTTGAGGGCTTTTTGTGAGCGATTTTCGTTTGTCGTTGCAATGATTGATCGACGTCCACGAACGAGCGCACTCACCTGCATGGCTGCTATGACGAAGAAGCAGCTGGTGTGGGCGCTCTCGCGCCACAAGAGCACTAGTGTGTCGATACGCTAGTTTCCAGGAAGAGGGCCTACTAGTCCTAGCACCGTAACAATATCGGAGAAGGAAGGAGGTATGCTGGTAGGTATGAAAGACGCGGCCCGCGCCCGCCGCCGATGAATCGGCGACGCGCGGTGTCTTCCCCCCAGGACTGGCAGGGGTATATACACACACAACACATCATTACCCGCTAGCTAGAGAGCGCCGGGAAAGCCTTCTCCTCGAGCCGCGCCGCGAACTGCAGCAAGGCCTCGTCGGCGCCCGCGCGGCCGACGAACTGTAAACAAACGGGGAGGTTGGTCGCGTGATCGCGGCCCACGGGCAACGTCACCGACGGCAGGCCCGCGTGCGCGAACGGCAGGCTCGCGCTGGGGTCGCCCGTCGTCCCGTCCGCCAGGAGGGGGGGGGCCGTCGCGGCGGCGGGCGCGACGAAGGCGAACGCGGCGCCCAACGCGGCCTCGAGCTCCTCGCGGAGCGCCTCCATGCTGCCCGGGTCGACGGCGTCGTAGGACGCTCGCAGCAGCGCGGCCGTCTCCGGCCGGTAGAGCGGGCCGTGGTCCGCGAAGCGTTTCGCGTGGCCTTGCTGCAGCTCGGAATTTACCAAGCAACGGTGCCGTCGCGCGAGGCTCGCGAAGTCGTCCAGCAGCGGCGTGGGCATCGCGCACACCGTGCCCTCGAAGCCGGCGTCCCGCAGGTACGCGAGCGCCTGGGCGAAGTTACTTTTGGCCTCGGTCGTGCACACTGCGTCGCTGAACGTCGCGAGGACCGCGAGCTTGCGCGGCAGGACCCCGCCGTCGGGGTCCGGCTCCTCCCAGTCGTCGTAGATGAGGCGCGACACGTCCCTCAGCGTGTTACAGTCCTTCGCGAAGGCGCCGACGACGTCGACGGAGGGCGAGTACAACTCGACGCCGTCGCGCGGCACGCGCCCCCGCGTCGGCGCGAGGGCCGCGACGCCACTAAAAGCCGCGGGCCGACCGATAGAGCCGATGGTCTGCGTCCCGAGCGCCGCGTCGACGAAGCCCGCCGCTACTGCCGCCGCCGAGCCCGACGATGAGCCGCCCGGCGAGTAGGCGGCGTTGTGGGGGTTCGCGGTCGCCGGCGGCGCCAGCACCGCGAACTCCGCGAGGCGCGTCGTGCCGGCGATGACACACCCGGCCTCCCGCAGGCGCGTGACGACGGTGGCTTCCGGGCCGGCGTTGATGGCGTGCGCCTCGGGCGGCAGCTCCGACCCGCAGCGCGCCGGCGGCAGGCCGTCGCACGCGATGTTATCCTTGACGGCAACGAGGAGGCCCGCGTCGCTCGACCGCTCGACCCGCGCGACGATGTCGCCGGCCGGTTCCGTGAACGCCTTCACCTCGGACTCGCGCGCGGCGATGCGGTGCAACTGTGCTTCGTAGGCGAGGCCGCGCACGGCTGCGGACCGCAGCGTGAGGGCTGCTGCCAGCGACGCGGTGCCGCGCACCATTCCTACCTTGTTTTACTGCATCGATGTAATAGTGGCAGTCTAGCAGCTGTGCGCACGAATCCGGACCTTGTAACGTGATCTACTGCAGGGCGTCCGCGCGAGCTCAACAAGCACTGCGGGGTCTAGTCCTTCGCATAGGCGTGGCCTCTCTCTTCTCTCCTCTCTCTCCTCTCTCCCTCTCTCCTCCTTGCTAGAGACAGAGTCTCTAGAAACGACAGCCTGAGCCTGAGCCTGAGCCTGAGCCTGACGTAACTAGCCTCAGCCTCAGCCTCGACGAAAATAAAAACAACAAACATACTGTTACTAGTAAACACGAAACATCAAGCAGGACCACTCTGCTGCTGCCACGCGGCCTTCCGGTTCGACGACACCTTGAGCACCGCGGTGTCGGCGCCGAGCGGGTCCTTGGGCTTTGCCTGGCGCCGCTTCGACCCGTCCGCGCTCAGGGCGTCGGCTCGGACGAAGTCGCCGCCGCCGCCGCGGCGCTTGAGCGCGATGAAGACGTCCTCGACGGTCGCCCCGCGCCGGAACGCGAGGCAAGTCGCGAGCGGCCCTGGCGAGAGAGCGCCCCGGAGCGACCCGAGGTCGGCGACCGGGTAGGCGTGGACGGGCCTGGCGCCGGCGACGGCGCGCGAGATGGCGTCGAGGACTCCAGTGGTGCCCCATTCCGTCAGGTAGTCGGCCGCACCCGCCGGACCGTCGCCATTGAACGCGCCCGCGCCGTCCTCGTAGGCGAGAGAACCGTTCGCGCGCGCCACGACGAGCGCCGCCTCGACGCGGGCGCAGCACGGCACCAAATCATCTCCGGCAGCGCCGTCGGCGAGCAGCTCGGTCACCCGCTGCTTTGCCGACGGCCTATCGCATTTATTAAGTGCGACGACCGTCGGGAACCGCACCTCCAGGAAAGCGGCGACGAGGCGGTGCAGCTGATCCTTGCCCCAGCCGCTGATGTTTCGCTCCTTCTCAAGGCCCGCGACTTCGAGCGCGCGGCGCGCGGTCGCGTTCGAGGCGCGATAGCCGTTGAAGAGGTCGAGAAGACGATCGAGCGCGAGCATCCCGTCGCGGTCGAGGCGCGCCAGCCGCACGACCGAGCGCCACTTGCTCGCGACGTTGCCGGCGATCCACCGGTGGAGCTCCTCGCGCACCCACGAGATCTCGAAGGCCAGCGCATCCGAGGCCGCGTCTTCGGAATTGATGGCCGCGCCACCCGCGTCGGTCTCCGCCGAGGCGTCTACCACATGGACCTGTGAAGAAAATCAACATTTCACGGCGCCTACTGAATCGTCGCGTCGACCTCCACGCCATCGGTGCACTGCTTGATTTCCACACAGACGTAGACCAGCGCGTCGGCGTCGCACAAGTCGTTGAGGAATCTATTGCCCTTGCCCTTGCCCGCGTAGGCGCCCGGCACGAGCCCGGCCACGTCCTTGAGGAGCACTGGCAGCAGCCTCCGGCCCTGCGCGTCGCGGCCGTGCGGCGGGCAGGCCGAGAGGGGCCGTCCGAGCGCAAGGGCCGGATCCGGGTCGAGGACTCCGTACAAGCCCTCGCGCACGTTCGGGTCGATGGTCGTGAAGGGATAGGCGGCGACCTTGGCGGCGAGGGCGCCCGTCGCGCGCGTGACGGCGTTGAAGAAGGTGCTCTTGCCCGCCGAGGGCTTGCCGACGACGCCGACGACCACCTCGAATTCGCCGCGGTGCTTGGACGGCGGCGCCACGGTCGTTGCCGCCTCCTCCCGCCGCCGCAGTACCTCCTTCGCGGCCGCGCGATAGGCCGATATCTCGGCCGACGAAATGGCAGCGTCGACGCCCTCCTCGCCATTCTCCTCGTCATTGTCCGACGCCGTCGCGGCGTCTTCGTCGTCCCCCGCGGCAGGCTCGTCGTCCGCCTCCGGGTCGTAGTCGGCGATGTAATCGTTTGCAGCCTGAACCGCGGACATGACGCAGGGCTCGCCCGCCTCCAGGTCGTCCTTCACGGCCGCCGCCGCCGCGCGCGCGATCGACCGTGACGCGCGCTGCGGCAGCTCGGCGAGCGACAGCGCATCGGACACGACCGTCAGCCGCAGCGCGCCGCCCGCCGCCGGGTAACTGCCGCGCATCTCGAACGCCAGGTAGATGTCGCCGGGGAAGGGGCCTCGGTCGAGCCTGACACGCGTGCGGTCCCGCTGGAAGTCGTCCGAAAATATCGCCTCCAGGGCCTCGAGCTCCTCATCGCGGGCCGCGGCCGTCTCCGCGTGTTCGTCTCCGCGGACCGCGCGTTCCAGGAACGACACGTACACGTCGACGTCTCGCGCGCGGCACGGCAGGCTGTGGCCCAGTTCGTGGACGTGTGTTTGCGCGCCGGGCGCGAGCGCGAGCGTCTCGTCGCGCGGGACCAGCTTGTCGTTGCGGCCCGCGACCAGGAGCGTCGAGCAGGGCGGCGGCGCGGCCTCGGTCCGCCGCGGCGCGCCGGCAATGATCAGCGCCTTGAGGCCTGGCAGGCGATTGGCCACCGCGAACGCGCAGGCGCCTCCTGAGGAAAAGCCGATCAGCGCGTCGTAGCGTCCGGCGCGCCAGGCCGCGTCGACGACGTCAAGCGACTCCTCGAGGCCCGTGCCGTCCTCGCGCCACCAGCCCAGCGACGTTTCCTGGCCGTCGCGCAGCGGCAGCGCATGCGGCGCGTCGATGCACGTAATCTGGTGCTGCCTGGCACCAAGGCGCTTGATGAGCGGTCCTAGCCGCTGCTCGAAGAGTGTGGACGTCTGGGCCGAGCCGTGCAATGCTAAAATGCGCATCGCTGTCCGGACTCTTTGTGCCGGGATGCCGCCGGAGAGCGGCCCCACTCTCTGAGGCTCTCGACGATTTTACGCCAGGTCCTCGATTGGCAAAGAGGAGGTCTGCCGCAGGAACACCGAGTCTGGCGGTCGTCGTGTCGTGTCGTCGTCGTCCGGGCTTGGCTGTGCCGGGTTTGGACTCCGGGACTAGCGGACCGCAGGCAGGTCTAAGCGCCGCCGGAGCGCCTGTGGGCTGCCCGGAGTCGCGACCGCCACGATGGCCACGGCCTAGGCACGACCCACGATGCGCCTCTTGCGATTATGGCTGGGTGCGGCCACCCTGACGAGGGCCGCCCACTTCCAGGACGACTGGGTCATGGAGTACCCGCGCCCCTCCGGCGCCCAGGACAGCCCCGACGCGGATCTTGCAATACGCGTCGACTTCAGTTCGCTCAAGGGGCCCGGCCAGCGGCTCCTGAACGGCATCGCCATGGGCGTCACAAGTGCGCGCGAGGTCTTCGAGTCGCAGTTCATCCTGGACATGTCGCTGGCGACGGGCGTGCACACGGACCGCATCGTGGTCCTCAACGTGACCGAGGGCGACGTGCACTTCGCCTGGCGCTGGACGACGACGGTCATCCGCTTCCGCATCCTCGCGGCCTGCCCGCCGGGCCTGGAGATCTACGTCGAGATGGGCGAGGCGGCGTCGCGCCGCATCGAGACCATCGAGACGAAGGAGCCGCCGTGCTCGGCGACGCCGCTCGACGCGCGGCGCACGTGCGCGCACCCCTGCGAGAACTCGCCCGACGTGCCCTCCGTCGTGCGGGACCTCACGAACCAGACGCAGTTCCTGGACTCGCCGCTCTTCGCCGGCGACCGCGCGAAGAAGGTCACGGCCGCGACGGACCGGCACTGGGGCCTCGTCGCCCTCGACTGGGACATGTCGCTGCGCCTCCAGTTCTCCATGGACGTCGTGAGCAACCCCGCGGAGCACCTGCAGCAGGACGCCGGCCTCGGCGAGGCCGCGGAGCACTTCGAGGCGTCGAAGCACCGGGCCTTCGGCCACATGACCCTCAATAGGGGTCTGGAGCGCTTCTGCGAGGCGGCGGCCGGCGCGTCGGGCCGCACCGAGGCGTCGCACACCGCGAGCGCGTACTGCGAGTGGGAGAACTATTTTGAAGAGGACGTGTCGCGCGCGCTGGACATCGAGCGCCACCGCGTCGAGGTCCTGGCCGTGCGGCCCGCTGCGCCGGACCAGGTGCTGGCGCACTTCCGCATCTTCCCCACCTGGTCCGGGGGGACGCCCGTCGCCGACTGCGTCTCCGACCTGCTGGAGCAGGTGCGGGACCCGACGTCCCGGCTCTACGACGGCAACGTCACGGTGCGCGTCGACCCGTCGTGGGGCGTGTCCGGCGTCGGCGGCACGCCGCGGAAGCGGACGTCGGACCACCTCCCGTACGCCGTGCGCGGCAACAGCTCGCTGCCGTACCACGGCTACGCCGCCCACTCGATCAACGAGGCCTACGAGCGGTGCAAGGCGACGCAGCGGTGCGCGCGCGGCTACGAGCACTACTACGTCGAGAACGCGACGCGCTACCACACGACCCAGGTCTTCGCGGGCGGCGCCCACCGCCACGCGGACCTCTTCGCGCCCTTCGAGGACTGGCGCGTCGGCACGGGCGGCTGGGGCCCGCGCGGCTTCGCCCGCTGGGACGGCACCGCGAACGCGACCGGCGCCGTGCGCGGCGCGCACGTCGCGCCCATGCGGTTGAAGCGGCTCGGGGCGCCGCCCGTGCGGACGGTCGACCCCTGGGGCTGGTGCCACGAGCGCCAGGCCTGCTCCGCCGTCAAGTTCAACGGCGGGCTCGTGCTCAACCGCGCGCGGCTCGCGCGGGACGTCGCGCTCCAGGAGAAGCTCATCAAGAACATCCGGGACGACCTCGCCTGGGTCGAGAGCTGGCGCGAGACGGCGGTCCTGGACGCGGACGGCGCGCGGACGCGCTTCGACGTGATCCAGCTCATGCGGAAGAGAGCCGACGACATCCGGGCGAAGATCAAGGCCGAGGAGAAGGTCCTCAAGGACCTGAACGGGACGCAGTGCACTTTACTACGAAGGTGCCAGCTCTTCATCAACACGTCGTCGATAACGATCCGGGGCGTCTACGAAATAGACGGGGAGCTCCTGATCCAGCCGGGCGGCGAGGAGATCGCGGTCTTTAGCTTCGACCAGATCGACCTCGGGCCCGAGGTGAACGTGACCGTCGTGGGCCAGCGGCCGCTGATCCTCGCGTCGCGCAGCACGGCGCGCTTCCAGACGCCTTTCGTCGTCGCGCCGGGCACGCTCGGCGGCTTCCCCGGCGGCTATTCGGTGGGCAGCGACCCCGCGGACGTGCTGCGGGACGACCCGCGGGACGTGCCGCTCGGCGACCCGCAGATCCTCGACGGCACCATCGCCTCGACGAACGCGAACGGGCCCGGCGCGCCGTCCGTCCGCGTCCACCTCCGGAGCGTGCGGACGGAGGCGAGCGACGTCGACGAAATCCAACGCGTCACGCTCGCGGGCGACGCGGGCGAGAACCTGGGGGGATTCTGGCGGCTCACGTACCGCGACTTCCGGTCGCGGTCGCTCCCGCCGGACGCGTCGGCGGACCTCGTGCGGCGGGCCTGCGAGGAGGACTTGAACCGGGCGCACGCCGTGCACCGGTCGACGGGCCTGGACAATCGGGTGGAGGACCACGCGCCGGGCGTCGGGCGGTGCGCCGTCGCGAAGCGCCGCGGTGTGATGGGGGACGACGCGGCGCAGTGGACGCTGACCTTCACGTCGCAGATCGGCGCCATGGAGCTCCTGGGCGTCGAGGACCACCTGACGGGCATGGGCGCGAACATCAGGATCGAGCGGCTGCAGGGCGGTAACAGCCTGGGCGGCACCTTCGCGCTCAAGTTCCGCGGGACGGCGACGCGCCCGCTCGCGCACGACGCCACGTCGCTGGCCGTGGCGCGCGCCCTCGTCGAGGACCTGCCGCACGTCGTCGCGGCGTCGGCGACGCGGAGCGACGGCGACCGCGTCGGCGGCGAGTGCGACGACGGGCTCTGCGAGGACGGCCCGCGGCCCGGCGGCGGCCTGGAGTGGACGCTGACGCTCGTCACGCTCGACGACGTCATCACGCCGCGCGCGCCCGTCGGCTACGACTGGAAGGGCGCGCCGCGCGGCCCCCTCGACGGGGACGTCTACGACGAGACGCCGACGGCGGCGCCGACCTACGACACCCTCGCGCCGTCGTACGACACGTCCGTGCCGTCCCTCAAGCCGACGGGCGAGTGGCTCGAGCCCGAGGGCCCGTGCCCGAACCTCACCGCGGCGGGCGCGCTCACGGGGGCGGGGGCCTCCGTCGTCGCGCGGCGGGGCCACTTCCTCTCGCACCGGCCGATCCTCGCGGCCACGAACCGCACGGCCTTCGGGTGCGAGGCGTCGTTCACGCTCGCGTTCGGCGGCGGCGGCGCGGCGCACGGCGGCCGCGGCGGCGCGCCGGCGCCCGGCGACCGCGACGCGTCGTGGTCCTACGCCCTCGGGGCCGCGGCGCGCGACGGCGCCGCCTTCTTCCGGGGCGGAAAGAATTCCATACTGAGCTCGTACGCGAACCCGGCCGTCGCCGTCGACGCGCGGCTCGCGCCGGAGGCGCTGCGGGAGTACAGAGGTGACACGTCGGACCTGCTGGACGCCCTCGGGCGGGCCAACGTGACGAACGGGACCGCCGTCGCGTGGTCGCCCCGCGGCGGCAGCTTCGGCGGCGTCGGCCGGACGTACGCGCACGGCAGCGACTTCGGCGGGGCGCGGGGCTCGCTGCTCGGCGGTTCGGGCGGCGCGCTGGGCCTCATGCACCCCTACCTCTTCGAGGCCCTGGACCCCGAGGTGCTGCCCGACATCAAAAACGGGAGCACGGTCGACGACCCCCAGTACAGGTGGAAGCTCAACGGGTCGGACATCGCGTCGCGCTTCACGCCCGTCTACGCGACGACGAAGCAGGACCCGCGTGTTGGAAAGAGGCGCTTCTCGCTGGGCGGCCGCGGCGGCGCGGGCGGCGGCGCGATCGAGCTCGTGGCGGTGAACGACCTGGAGATCGGCGAGTTCTGCCACATTCGCGTGGACGCGGCGCCCGGCCACGAGTCGAACAACGCGGGGGGCGGGGGCGGGTCGGGCGGGTCCGTGCTGCTCGCGGCCGGCGGCGTGATCCGGCTCCGCGGCACGATCTCCGCGCGGGGCGGCGCCGGCGGCGCCGCGCCCCGGGGCGGCGGCGGCGGCGGCGGCGGCCGCGTCGCGCTCTACGCCAACGCGCTCTGGCGGCCCGACGACGTCTCGGCCCGGATCGACGTCGCGGGCGGCGCGTGTCGGGAGTGGGACGCCGCGGCCCAGCGCGTCGTGGACGGGTGCGCCGACGGCAAGGCGGCGCGGCAGCATCACCGCGACGGGTCGCGGGGCACCGTCCGCGTCGACACGCTTTTTGATCTGGGCTACGACGTCGAGATCCACGAGGACAATACGGTGGGAGGCGCCTACGGCACCTACGGGTCGCTGCGCGTGGACGGCCGCCTGCGGGACACGGGCGCGGCGAGCGAGCGGAACGCGGCCGCGGGCGACAGGGTGATCGAGCCGCGGATTAGCTTCGACGGCCCCGAGTTCCAGCTCGCGCGCCGCGCGCGGCCGGCGCGGCTGTCCTTCTTCGTGCGGCTGGACCCGCGCAACGACACGCAGATTCCGCGGCGGGCGGGGACCTGGGGCGGCATGGTCGCGCTCTACGACGCGCCCGACGAGATTCCCCCGAACACGGACCCGTGGGCCGTCGGCAACCCGTCCTTCGCCTCGCCGTTACCAAAGCGGGCCACGCCGGTCCACGCCAATTCCACGGTTGCCGTCGGCGTCGCCATTTCCGATAGGCTCGTGCACGGCGGCGGCTTCCGCGCGGCGCCGGGCGAGCGCGAGGAGCAGGGCCCGGCGGGCGTGCTAGGAGGCGCCGGCCGCGGCGCGCCGCGGTCGACGCTCCTCCACAAAGCGAGACTGCGGCGCTGGTACAAGGTCGACGTCTCGCTCGACTGGACGCGGATGGTCTACGACGTCTGGGTCGACGACGTGTTGCGGGCGGACGACGCCCCGATCGGGGGCGACGCGCCCTGGACCCGCGAGGCGACGGGCGTCAACCGCTTGGGCGTGTACGCTATAAGCGATGGAGGCACTCTGAGAGTGGACGAAATCTACGTCGGGCCGGACCACACGATGGCCTTCCGCTGCCCAAAAACCACAAGAAGGGGCCCCGAGTTCGAGACGCCGCGGCCGGACGCAAAAGGATGGGACGCCGAGGACCTGGGGGGCCGGACGACGCGCGCGCCCATGGTCCGCCACGACACGCACGTGTCGAAGCGCGACCTCTACAAATTCACGGACGCGCGGGGCTCCACGAACCGCGTCGATCGACTGGACAACGGCGGGCTGGTGGCCTACGACGGCGCCGGTTTGGTAGATTTCCGGAGCGACGTCGAGCAGCGGTTTGGGAGCGGGGATTTGCGGGGCGGCGCGAACCCCGTGCACGCCGGCGCGCTGCTGACGCTGGCGGGCGGCGTGGCCGGCGGCGGCGGCCCGAGCCGCGACCTCGCCGACCGCGCGACGCGCGGGTATGCCGAGAATGAACGGTGGACGGCGACGGACCATGCCGATGCGGAGCACGATCTCCAGTACGAGGGCAACTACGGCGCCTTCCCCGCGACGACGGAGGATGCGGACGCGCCCCAGCGCCAGACGCAGTTCGACAACGACGCCAAGTACTACACGGCGTGGTACGGTAAGGATGGGGGGCGGCCGACGCCCACGCACCTCTGGTACGGCGAGCACGACGCGCCCCACGGGCCGCTGAACGACGGCGACGCGGCGCCGGACTGGTTGAAGGGCGGCGTGGGGGCGTGCTCGACCGACGACTTGATCGAGTGGAAGCGCGAGGGCATCGCGCTGCACTACGCAAATCTAACAGATATGACGGACCGCAGGGACGCCTGGCAGCTGGGCTGCGACGGCTACGGGACGATCCACGGCACGAAGGGGGGCTACGGCTGCGTCGGGAGTAAAGGGCTCGTCGCGTCTCGGCCGCGCGTCCTGACGGCCGACGTCGAGCAGAAGCCCGACTCCAACGACCCCTACGCGTCCACGAGACCCGACGCGCCGCGCGTCGTGCAGGGCCACGGGTACGTGATGTGGATGGTCGTGCACAACGGGAGCAAGGGGCGGGGCTTGGCGGGCGTCGCGTCGTCGGCGCACGCGGGCGGGCCGTTCCATTTCCGGCGCACGCTCTATCCCGACGGCAACGAGACGCGCGACATGGCCGTCTGGGCCGTGGGCGGCGAGGCGCCGCACCCGAAGACCGTCGAGCCGCGGTCGACGGCGCTGCTGGGGAGGACGTACTTCGCGGAGATCGAACATCTATTGCCGGGCGCGCAGATGCAGCCCATCTGGGAGATGGCGAAGAAGAAGGACTCGACCGGTAAGTGGGTGAACGACTTCGGGCTGTCGTACCACCGGGGCATCTACCAGAAGGACTACGACGACTATCATGACATTTATCTGCAGCGGTGGCGCCTGGAAGACAAGCCCTGGAAGGTCTGGTGCGTGGAACGGGCGAACCCGGGGAACAGGTACCTGGTGCCCCGCGGCCACTCGACGGGCGAGAACTACGCGTTGTGCCCCGACCCCGAGTTCTACAAGGTCGTCGAGGGCCAGGGCTACGACGACACGTACTTCACGACGGACGGCGTCAAGTCGCGGTTCATGGACCCCGACGACCCGTCGAAGTCCGAGTGGCGGCCGAACAGCGTGCCGGACGTCCGCGCGCAGCCCTGGAAGAACTCGTACCGCGACGGCGCCTGCGGCCTGCGCCAGAAGGACGAGGACTACGGGCTGAACGACCCCGAGATCCCGACGCGGGAGCTGCAGGACCGCGGGAACTGTTCGAACATCGAGGACAACCCCCTGCACCCCACCATGCCCGACGAGCTCGTCAAGGAGCTCTACGTCGTAGAAAGGCGCCGGGCCAAGTTCGTGGCGGTGTCGGCCCTGACGCCGGATCTGCTGGATACGACGTCGCAGCTCGACTCGTTCGAGGGCGAGCTCGAGGACGCGGCCCTCGATTCGCTGATCCAGTCCTACGGCCAGTTCGACTGGTCCATCGACGGCAACGCGGAGGCGCGCATCGCGACGACCTTCCAGCCTCCCTTGCTGCCGCCCGACGACTTCAACCTGAAGCCGCGAAGGGAGGCGCTCGGCCGCTTCCACCAGTACAGCTTCCAGCCGAACGACCGCGCGCGCTACTCGCTGTCCTGCATCTACGACCTGACCTGCCCCGTGAACTTCAACGACCAGTTGATCGACCCCGACGTCGACAAGCAGGCCGTCGACCCGGCCATCTGGTGGGCGACGTCGACGACGAACTACCACCCCGACGCGCCGCTGCCCTGGACGCAGGTCGCCGAGACGTCCTGGGCGCGGCGGCGCCTCGAGGAGGCGTCCTTCGAAGCGCCCGTGGAGGCCTACGACCGGCCGGACCCCGACGGCGGGCCGGGGACGAAGACGGAGGTCTGGGGGCACATCCGGCGCTGATCGAGCAATACCCCGACGTCCCCCACGCACCTGCGCACGCTCTCGACGTCGGAGCGCGGGCCGCCGCGTCATCGCGGAGGCGTAAGATTATTGAATGTGAGGCCCCATCTATTATACAAGTCATACTTCGCCGGAGGGGGCTAGATCTCCCCCGCCATGAGGCGCCTAGTGTTGAGGACAAGGCTCAGCGACAGGAGTGCGATGAGTATGGAGCCGAGCACGGCCGGCCCGCGCGGGTCGCCCCATTCGACGGGCTCCCGCGACCGGATGCGGCCGAGGCGCCACTTGTAGTTGTAGAGCGCGAATATGTTGATCGCGATGGAGCCCACGGATAATGCGACTGCGACAACCCAAGCCCGCGAGCGCTCGGCCGCCGTGCCTGCCGCGCCGTCGGCGACGGCCATGGCGCCGGCGCCGAAGGTGAGGAACACGACCGAAGCGTGAAGCCAGTGGACGAACGTCCTCTCCGTCGCGAAGATGAGCTTCGGTTCCAGCTTCTGGCGCACGAGGGGCTTCTGCATGCCGCCCCGCACGTCCGTGTCGCGGCCGAAGCACGTTTCTCTCTGTGGCACCTGGCGCGTCGGGCCGAGGAGGTCGGGCCGCGCCCACTGCTGCGACGGGTTCGTCCACGCCTCGATGCGTCCTGCCTCTGTCTGTGTGTAGCCGACCTGGTCCTCGGCCTTGAGCAGCGTCGAGTTCGTCGCCTTGATCGAGTCGCGCAGGGCCGGGTCGTCGATCCAGTAGGGCATGGCCTGGACCTCGTCCGGCAGGAGCGTGGCGCACGCGTGTATGAACTTCGAAAACTTGTTGACCGGTGCCAGTTCCAGGGAGTCGACGAGCGGCTTGGTCCACTCCGGCTGGTCCTCGCCCTCCGCGAGCGCGAGCTTGAGCTCGAGCACCGCGAAGGGGAAGCGGGTGATCTCGTGCGCGGGGATGCCTTTCGTGGCGTCCCTGTACCAGCGCAGGAGCGTCGGCTCCTTGCGCGTGTGGTCGTCGAGGGGGTCGAACTCGGCCTTCTGGATCTCGTTCACCAGCGTCAGGTTCGTGTCGATGGAACAGCGCACGCTGTTGGAGTGCGCGAGCTGGTAGGCGACGCGGTGGCACTGGCTCCGGATCGTGGGGACGAGGTGCTTGCGCGCGATCAGGCCCTGGACTTCGTCGCAGAGGGCCAGCTCGTGCGGCGCGTAGGGCTTCTTGCGCGGCGCCCGCGGGTCGAACTCGCCCCGGAGCAGGGGCAGGACCTCGTCGGGCGTCACGACGAAGCGCTCCTTGACGGAGCCGTCGCCAGTCCAAGAGTCGCGGTGCGTCTTGCGCTCGACGAACACCAGCGTCGGCTCGCCCGTGCCGTACCACCGGAGCCGTAACGCCACGGCGCCCGGCGTCTTGTTGAGCCGCCCGTGGTACAGCTCGAGCGCCGGCGAGTCGAGGTAGACGGAGTTCACGAGCTGCGAGTCCGGCATGATGCCCTCGCCCTTGCCGCCGCAGAGGAGCACGGGGAGGTGCTTGCCGATCTCGAGCTTGACGGCCGACCTGCGTGGAAATCAAATTTCGGGCGCCCACGCCATCGACGCGATGTTGTCCCCGTCGGAACCTAACTCTGATAGTAACTCATTGGTTGATTTCCACACAGCGGCCGACAGGTCCTCGCTCCGAACCCAGTACTTGGTAGTGGCGCGGACGAAGGCCGTCACGCCGCCCCAGTCCGTCGCGGGCGGTGCCGCCTGCGTCTTGCTTTCGTAGAGGCGCGAGAGGCGCACGAGCACGGACGAATAATCCGTCTGCACCCAGCGCATGTCGTGCATGCGCGCGGTGTAGAAGGCGGCGATCGGCCGCTGCGGGAGCACGGCGTCGTGCTTCCGGAGCATCTTGCGGACCGCGGTCACGTTGACGTTGACGTACTTCTCCACCTCGAGGAAGTGCTGGCCGACGGCGTCGACCCTCCACCCCTCCACCTCCTCGGGGTCGCCGTCCAGGGAGCCGGACCGCGGTCGCGAGCCCCCGGACTCGAGCTCCGCGAGTTCGCGCTTGACCTTCACGACTTCGCGGTGGGCGAAGTCGTCGCACTTGGCCAGCTCGCCGTCGAGCTTTTCTAGGAAGGCTTCGTGGGAGGACACCTGGAAGGAGCTCGGGGCCCGTTTGACGGCCGCGGCGGCGTCGCGGCCCGTCGTGGCGAGCGACGCGTACGCGAGGCCCTCGGCCGCCCGGTCGCCCGTCGCGTACATCTCCGCGAGCGCTTCCAGGATCTTCTTGAGCCCCGCGTAGTCGAGGAAAGCGCCGGCCGGGAACCGCGACGCGCTCGCCGCCGCGTTCAGCGTCGCCTCGTAGGTGATGTTACTCGTCGGCTGGGCCTCGGACATTGCCAAGTTGGAATCCTGAGAAGGAGGCGCGAGCCAACCAACGAGTCGGACTGTATCGGTTACGACTCTTTTCCTGTATACTTTCAATTAGATGCCTAATGGCTGGTGGAGCACGCCCAGATCTCTAGTGTCTTTCAGCCGCTAGCAAAAAGTCAGAGCGCAAGCGCATTGCTCGATCTGCGTCAGTGATATCTACTCGCCGGTCTTAAAAGAGCTGCCTTGCAGGCCACAGCTGAAGCGGTGCAAAAACTGACCGTGGATGCGCCGTCGACGCGTCGCGTACGTATGCCTTGCTGCACAGACTGCACTGGCTTTGGTCGCGCCACCGCTGCTCACTGCACCAAGGAGCGTGTCTTGTAACATTGTGACACCGCTGCGAGGACCAGCCGCGACTGCCGATGAGTTGGAGTACGGCCGCGGCACGATGGCGGACCTGTCGTCGATCGTGACGCTCGCCCAGGCGGAGTTCGGCAAGGACTACACCGACCCCGTGTCAAAGTTCGGCCTCCTCACGCTGCTGACCGTGGGCTTCTGGATACGGCTCTGCCGAGACGACCATTCCATCCTCACCTGCAAGGACGCGTCGAACGATTTGATAGGCTACGTCGAGGTCTCGCCGCAGCCGGCCGGCGAGGTGTCCGGCCCGTTTCCCCTCCCAAAATGGGCCAAGGGCTTGATGGGGCCGCTTACGCCGTACCTGGCGAACTTATTGGTACGGCCCGACGCGCGGCGCCGCGGCGTCGGCGGCGCGCTCGTCGTGGCGTGCGAGCAGGAGGCGGCGAGCTGGGGCGACGGCGTGTTAGGACTGCACCACGACCGCACGGACCAGAAGCTCGTGCGATTCTATAGGAAGCTCGGCTTCGCGGGGGACGGCGTCCCGCTGAAGCACCAGGGCTTCGAGCTCGTGTACGTGGCGAAGCGCGTAAGGCCATCGTAGACAACTACCCCACTCTGGTCATCGTAGACAACTACCTCACTCTTAACAAATAACAGGTCGCGGCGCCGTCGAACGACGCCTTCCCGCGCTTGGTCGTGCCTGGGGTCACGTCCGCCGCTCGTTCCACCTCGTAGCCGAGGCGTCCCCAGTCGCGGCCGCCGCCATCCGTGGCCAGACAGGCCACGGGCGTGCCCGACCGCAGATGCGCCGCGACGTTAGCCAGGATGCGATCGTTCTCGCCGTGCGTCTGCCGCACCTTCTCGCCCCACGGAAGATTGAGCACCGCGCAGTCGGCGTCCGAAGCCGCCGGTAGCGCGTCGCGCGACGCGTCTCGGACGCCGATGTCATCGAACGCCACGCCCGCGTGTTCGAGGTTTCGGCGGCAGCCGTCGGCCTTCGCCGCGTCGCGGTCGCTGCCCGCCACGGACCCTCCGCGACAGGCCGCCGCCCAGAGGTTGGTCCCGCTGCCGCAGCAGGGGTCGAAAAGGCGCGGCGGCGGCGTCGCGTCGCTGCGCGAGTCGACCACGATGTTCACGATGGCTCGCGACACTTCCGCGTCCAATGCGCCCGAAAACTTGAAGGGTCGCGCGGCCCAGTGCGCGTCGCGATCCGCCGCGCCGGCGCCCCGCACGCCTTTCCGGAGCACTCCGAAACGCAGCGTTTCGCTTTCCAGCACGCCGAAGCGAACGCAGCTATCAGGAGCCGCCGAGGCGCCCAGGAGAGCGGGCGGGCCGGCGACGGTCTGGGCGAGGGCGAGCGCCAGGCCGGAAAAACGCCAGTGATCGTCGCGCCGCGCGCCGGCTCGGAGGGTCGACCAGAGCGGCACGTGCTCGACGGTCCAGGGAGTCTCGCACGCGACGCCCGCTTGTCGAACCGCCTCGACGAGGCCCGCTGCCGTCGACGCCTCGCAGATCTGCGCAAAGCCGCGCCGGACCGAGCTGCAGCGGTCGAGAGCCGTCTCCGCGCCCGCGCCGCCGCGCCAGAGCAACCCGTCGTGCGGCGTCGCGCCAGCGCATACGGCCAGCTCCAGCCCAAACAATTGCTCGTAGCGCTGGCGCTCTTGTAACACGAGGTCGAGGACCGTCGGCACCGTGCTGCAGCGGACGGCACCCAGCAGCAGGGCTCCTGCACAACAAGGCAGCAGCAGCAGTGAGAGGACAATCTTTGAACGCATGATGCGCAAAATGGCAATGAGAGCAGCGCAACTCTCAGCACGAGCTCTAGAGTGTTTCCGCATTTTTTTTTGCATATATGTACTGGTCAGAGCACAACGACGCTCACAAGTCCTAGCGCCGTAACAGAAAGAGTAAATGTGGGCAAGGCGCCGAGGAGGCACAAGTCCGTGCCACAAGTCAGGCGCGGTAGTAGAGAGAGAACGTCGTGTCGAGCTTAATCTCGGGGGAAGGAAAGGAACGGAAAGGAAAGTCTTGGGTCTTGGTCTTGGTGCGCGCATCTCACGACGCGGCGTGCGCGCGCACGAGGTCGGCCGTCACCTCCATGCCGAAGACGAAGGAGACGAGGGCCGAGCCCGCCATGGCGCTCTTGAGGACCTCGTCGCCGGTCGTGGCCACGGACGCGTGGTGGGACCAGTTCGCGAGGTCGTCGTCGTTCGGCAGGTCCACCTGCGCCTTGCACGCGGGGCCCGTCGGCGGCGGCGCGGCCGGCGCGCTGGCGGCGGCCGGTGCCGCGTCCTCCTCGACCGGGGGCAGGTCCTCGGCGACGAGGTCCTGGAGCGCCGGCACGAGCGCGCGCCACGCCCGGTCGAGGCGGCCCAGGGCCGGCGCGAGGACCGCGCCGGCGCGGCCCGCCTTGCGCAGGTCCGCGAAGGGCTGCTCGGCCGCGCGGCGGACCTGGGCGAGCGTGGCGGGCCCCCCGTCGGCGCCGACCGCGGCGGCGACGCGGCGCAGCGCCGCCGCGAGGGCCGCCGCGTCGGCCGCGTGCGCGGCCGCCGCCGCGTCGTCGGCGGCCGGCGGCGGCACCTGCGCCTCGGCCACCTGGCCCGCGAGGAACGCCCGGCAGGCGCGCGCCGCGGCCGCGCCGACGGCGCCCTCGCGCAGCGCGCGGGCCCGGCGCTCCGCCGCGGCCGAGCGCGCGGGCGCCGCGGACGCCGCCGCGCAGGCGCAGCCCAGGGAGCGGTGCGTGTCCGACGCCGCGTCGAGCGCGGCGACGTCGCCGAAGAGGTCCCGGAGCTCCGACGCGTCGAAGGCGTTGCTCTGGGCCCGGTCCTCGACGACGGCCGCGAGGCCCTCCTTCGCGAGCTGGCGCTGGTAGATCTTCTCCTCGATCGTCCCCGCCGTGAGGAGGCGGTAGGTGTAGCAGGGCCGCGCGTTGCCGTCGCGCCAGCACCGCGCGGCCGCCTGCTTGTCCACGGCCGGGTTCCAGGACCTGCGCGCGCGCGGGCGTCGGCACGACGGCGGCGACCGCCGACGCCGCCGCGCGACGAGTCGAAGAGGACGAGGCGGCTCCCGCCGATCAGGTTCAGGCCGCAGCCGCCCGCCGTCGACGACAGCAGGAAGCAGAAGTGGTCCCGGCCTGCGTGGACATCACCCTTTACGCCATCGAGCCGACGCGGTCGCGGGGACGACGTCGCTCCGACATTGATGTCCACCCGGGTCCCGGCGCGCCGGGTCGTTGAAGCCGTCCGCGAGCTTCTGGCGCTCCTTGGACGGCGTGCGGCCGTCCAGCAGGCACCAGGGCCAGCCCTCGCGGACGCACAGCCGCGCCACCAGGGCCAGGGACTGCGTCTGCGACGCGACGACGACGCACCGCTCGTCCGTGGTCGTCCGGAGCTCCCGCCTGCGCGGGGCAGCGTTCCGCGCGATCATCGCGGCATAATTTACGCGCGGGTCCCCGCAACAGCCGGAACAGGACGTGGAGCTTGGCGGACTGGCGCTCCGCCGTGAAGCGGCCCGCCGACGCCACGGCCGCCATGACGCCCTCGGCGTCGCCGTCCGAGTCGAGCAGGCCTGCGTCGGAAAAAAATCAAACGCGGACACAAATACAACGCGGGCGCGCGCAGGGGTGGTTGCAGATCTTCTGCAGCTTGCCGATCGACGCGAGCACGTCCGCCTGCTTGCCCCGGAGCGCGTGCCGCAGCCGCTTGTCCGCGAGCACGGCACCGTAGGCCGCGCGCTGCGCCGCCGTCGCGCGGCAGACGACGACCTGCACGAGCTTGCGCGGCAGGTGCGCCGCGTTCAGGCGGTTCTCGCGGCGGAGGAGGAACCGCGTCGCGACCTCGGCGAGGACCGCCTGTTTTCGCTCGCGGAGCGCGACTTCGTCGGGATCCGCGCCCCGGGCCAGCCCCGCGGCGATGGGCCGCGCGAAGCCCCGCCGGAAGGCCTCGGGCGGGCCCAGGACCCCCGGGTTCGCGAAGTCGGCGAGCGCGTAGAACTCCTCGAGGTCGTTCTGGAGGGGCGTGCCCGTGAGGAGGACGCGTCGTTTGGTCCGGAGGGCGCCGAGGGCCCGGGCGGTCTTCGTCTTCCGGCCCTTGAGGCGCTGGGCCTCGTCGCAGACGAGGAGGTCGCACGCCGCCGGGCCGAGGCCCGACGCGTGCGCCGCGAGCGACTCGTAGGAGATGACGAGCACCTGGAAGGGCCGCGAGCCCGCGCCGAAGGCCGCGATCGCTTTGGAGGGGTCCGCGTCGACGGCCTTGACGGTCACGCGCTCGCGGAGCGTCGCCGCGCGGCCGTTGATCCACTTGTCGAACTCGGCCTTCCAGTTCGCCACGAGGGAGCAGGGGCACGCCACGACGACGCGCCGGAACGGCTCGGTCGCGGGCGGGACCGCGCCGTGCCGGAGGAGCGCGTAGACGAGCGCCACGGTCTGGAGCGTCTTCCCGAGGCCCATGTCGTCCGCGAGGACGGCGCCGTATCCTTGAAAGCCCGGGTGGTACTCGCGCAGGCCCGCGACGCAGTCGTAGAGGAACCGCACGCCCTCGCGCTGGTGCGGGCGCAGGAACTGGGCGACGAGCGGCGGCACGCGCACGGGCCCCGCCGGCGCCGGCGGCGCCGCCCCGGGGAACAGCGCCCGCCGCGTCGGGGCGGCGTTTTTCGGGCTCTCCGCGCCCGGCGCCCAGAGCACGAGGGGCTCGTGCGGCAGGTAGCGGGGGCCCTCGCTCGGCGCCGGCGCGCCCGGCCGCCGCGCCATTGCGAGCTTGAGCGCGCCGCGGCGCTTCTTCCGCGGCGGGGGTACGGGCGAGGGCACGTCGTCCTCCGCCCCGTCGTCGCCGTCTTGCGTCAGCGTCGCGTGCACCGCGCTGCCGCGTGCGGCGTCCTCGCTCGGCGCCGGCGCGCCCGGCCGCCGCGCCATTGCGAGCTTGAACGCGCCGCGGCGCTTCTTCCGCGGCGGGGGTACGGGCGAGGGCACGTCGTCCTCCGCCGCGGGCGGCGGCGGCAGCTCGGCGCTCTCCGCGATCGGCGCCGGCGGGACCGCGAAGCCCGGGCGCGGGCGCAGCGGCTGGGGCACGGCTCCGGTCCGGGCGAGTTCGCGGACCGCCGCGACGGCGCCGACGCGCGCGCCCGGTGGCCGCGGCGGCGTCGAGCTCCGCGCGACGAGCGGCCGGAACTTCTTGGTGCCGGTGTCCGACGACTGCCGCGGCCGCAGCGGCGGGCGTCTCGTGCTGGAAGGAGCCAGCGGCTGGAATTGCTTCATGGCTGCTCCGCCGACCCCGTGTTGCCGTACAGCTGTTTTGCGCAGTGCGCCGTGTGTGTTGCTGTACAGCTATATCGCGTGTCGCAGCCCGTAGCTCTGTTGTAACGTTGGTCCCCGCTGGCTCGGTTCAGTCCACTGGCGCCGCGAACCGAGCAGCCAGAATGCTCGGCGTGAAGGTACGTAGCGTCTGTAAGATACTAGCACGGAACGACATGCAGCTGTTTGACGATCGCTCCGTTCGATACTGGTCCAAAGTGATCAGTGGGACACTTCCTGGGGGCCGAAAACAATAATTTTGTAATTCGCGGCGACGATGCCGCCGTGGTCCACGGCGGCCGCGCCTGTGGAATCCTGTCAATCCCTGCCAAAGAGGTCCCCCTGGGGTCGCCTAGGGTCGGCACTATACACGTGCAATCGCCTACGCCGCACGGCGCATGAGGCCTCGAGGTCCGCAGAAAAACAAGAACAATGCTTACAGTATTCAACTAAACAAGAGCTTGTCGTAGAAGAGGACATAGGGCAGCCACTCTCTCTCGACGCACCTTTCGGTGACGGCGGCGAACGAACCGAAGTCGGTGGCCACGCGGCCGTCGTGCTGCGTCCACGAGTCCGAGCCGTCCCGCGCGCGCACGAACGCCGCGAAGTGCAAGCCCTTCTCGTACACCACGACGGCGACGAGGTGCTTCTTGCCTTTGCCGAGACTCTCGCCCCCCGACCGCGGCCGGCTGCTGTAGAGCGACTTCGCATTAATCGGCGCGCCGCCGCGCCAGACCATGCCCATGACTCTCCTAATTTCCTTGGCGTCGCGGATGATCCCACTTCTATTTGCGTCGTACGTCAGCCTCAACACCGAGAGGAGCGGGCACGCCTTGAGCTTAAAATCCAAATCGTACCAGAGCGAAGGCGGCGGCAGCCGGCAACGGTCGCATTTGAGCTCCGGCGCCGCCATGAAGGATCCGGCGTTCCGGAACGCCGAGCACGTCGCGTCGCAGTTCCTCGCCGCGAAAAGTGCTAAGAGCTCGGACACCCGCACATGACCCGGTAGACGCCGGACCGGCGGGTTCCTTCTCTTGGATAAGGCGCATTTCCGGCAGGACGCCGACCACACGACGCAGATTTCCCGCCAGGGTTTGCCGTAAGGCCCCGGCGTCGCGAGGCCGATGTCACAAATAAGATCAAGAACTTCCTGGATATCGACGATCTTCTGAGGGTCCGCCAGGTCGCACACGATAGCGCGAATGGCGTCGTCACCCAACGGCCCGCGGAGCGCGTCGACGTCGCCCAATGCCACGCGGAGGTCGTCCACGGCGGCGGCGGCACCGACATCGTCGCCGCGGCGCCGCGCGATCACCGCCCTAGCGAAGCACTGCAAGGACCGCGGAACCGGGCCAGCTTCGCCATCGTCGCTTCTAACGGTGAAGGTCGCGCACCGTGCAAAGGCGGCGGCGAGGGCGTCCATCGCGCAATTTAACCGTGCACCACCTGCATCGTCCAGGCTTAGCCGGAACGCGAGCGACAGCTGTTCTGCTTCGCTCAAGGGGTGCCGAACGGTCTCCGCTGCTGTTCGTCGCGTCTCTGGCAACCGCGGCGGCGACGCGAGAGGGCGTGGCCGGTCGAAAGATGGGTGTGGCGGCGGTGGCGGCGGCGGCCACGTGCGTGGTGCGACGCGTTCGCCAGCCGCGCTTGGCGGACTAGGCCGCGCGGGCGCCGGGGCGCGATTGCGAGCTGGTGCCAGCGGCGTGGTATCTGGCCGCGCCCGACCCGACCTTGGTCGCCGCGCGACGACATCGGACCAACTGGTCATTGATGCGAACGCTCAATCACGTATTTGCTGCTTGTAGCAAGCGCTTTGGCGGTGCCTTCGCGTCGATCTGCACATGAGTCGCGCGGCGCGGCGCGGGTTTGCCGTGGCGCGCGATCCGTGCGGAACAAGAATAAGGGCTGTTCCACTGCTGGCCGTTGGAGCAGTAAGAAACAAACAACTCCCTTACTCCGCCTCGCCTCTCGTCGCCTCGTCGGCGCGCCGCTGGCCCGACGACTTCCGCAGACCGGCGCCTGTGCCAGGCCGGTCCATGACGGGCGGAGCGCGGCCTCCGAATCTCAAGCCTTCGGCAAGTCCGTGTCGCCGCGGCGCCGCTCGGTAGCACGGGCGCGACCGCGGCGTCACCTACGACACTTTCCGCGCCACGGATGGCACCCGGCGCCGTCCGAGATAACACACAACATGCCCGCCACGCCGCCGCAGCGCCCACGGACTGGCGCGCTCACCCGCGCGGGCGTCGGGCGACGAATTGGACACGTTTTGTCGTAGAGCGGACTCAAATTCTGACGTCACGCGCTGGCGTGGTGCTGCGTGCGGCAGGCAGCGGCGACGGCGTCGCCCGCTTGCTTGCTCGTGGCCACGGCTCTGGCGGCGGCGGCATCGGCGACGGCGTCTGCGCGGACTTGATGCGGAAGCGCTCCTCCGCGCGCTCGTGCTGCGCGCGTCGTACCCTACGGCTGGGTCCGATGTTGTGCCGCGGCGGCCGCGTCGACGACGTCGTGCTCGGCTCTCAGCAGGAGAGAGCCAGTCTTTCAAATGGTGCTCTCCGACGCGCACCGGTCGCGTGCGCGTTGTTATGGCGTGTCACAGCTTTGGCGCGGCCTGCCACACGATTGCTAGCGAGCTCCCTCTTCCGTGCCACACCGACCAAATTAGCTCTGCAGCCTAGAGCTGTCTGCGCTGTCCTAGTGGGAGCGCCGTCTTGGTGTTGATCTATGACAAGGGACGCTTTCGATCCGCTTTCGACCTCTGCTTGAGACTGCGTCGTCAGGGACGCGTTCTTGGCCAGAGCGACACCCGCCAGCGGCATCGGTGGAGTCGAGACGGCCGCCCCGTGTGGTCATCTAGTATTCGTTGGCAGCGTAACCTTGTGTTGCTGGTCTTCGGCCCCCGACGACCCGAGATACAGGGTATGGACCGGCGTCGACGCGAATTTCAACTCAACGTGGTCCGTTCGAGGCGGTGCTCGGTGGCGGGCAGTCTAATTGTCCTGAAGAATAACTTCGCCGGTACGCAGGCAGCGGAAATGGGCGAAGACCCACCGCTAACTTATTTATGCAGGTCTAGAGGCACATGCGAGGTTACCCCGGCAGTTCGGCGGCCCGTTCGAGGCGGAGCTCGGTGGCTGGCTATCTAACTGTCCTGAAGACTATGTTCGCCCATACTCAAGCGACGGAAAAGGGCGAAGACCCGCCGCTAACCTATTTCTGCAGGTCTAGAGGCACATGCGACGTCACCTCGGCAGTTCGGCGGCCCGTCGAGGCGGCGCTCGGTGGCGGGCAGTCTAATTGTCCTGAAGACTATGTTCGCCCATACTCAAGCTACGGAAAAGGGTGAAGAACTGCCGCCAAACTATTCTTGCGGTTCTAGAAGCACATACAAAGTCACGTCGGCCTGATCGAGGCAGCGCCGATTCGGCTGTACGGCGGCGGTAGCGAGGGGACTCCAATTCCACCGAAACAACTTAGTGCCTCTAGTAGCGGTTTGTCTGGCACCCAGGGAGTGAAATGCGGGGACTTGGAAGCTGAGCGCACGTGCAGTTCGCAGCCACGCCCCCTCGGCGTCCACGCAGCCCGCCGGGCGGAGCGTCAACTGAAGCGCCACCAAGCTAAAGGCACCAAGGCGGCCGTCGGCTGCGCGTCGATGGTAGCGAGAGCCGCCTGCCCGCGCGCATGAGGCGCACACGCGAGCTGCACCTTGCCTAGCCTAAAATCAAATTTGCCATGCGAGTTCCAATGAGCACCGGAGCCCGCCCGCACCTGCATTTCGCGTTCATGTGACGGGCAAGGGGCCAGGGGCAACTTCATGCACCAAATCGGAAGTGGAGTGTCGAAGTGGCACGTTGCCTCCAGCTGCCGCTGCTGTTGCTTGGCAGCTGCCTTGGGAGCCTGGCTGTGGGCTGCAGCTCACTGGGCAGCCCCAGGGGCACCTGCGAGTGCAAAGGGCACTTTTTAGGCAAGTCGACCTGAGCGCCCGGCTCTGTAGGCTAGGCTCCAGTAAGACGCCTAGCCACGTTCTGTCTTAATTGAAAACCGGCCCCGGAAGTACCGACTCGCCCCCGCGTTGTCGCCTCCAGGAGGCGGAAGATCCTTGAAGCACTTTTAAAGCCACCTGAACTCCACAGGCTAGTACCTAATGTTTGCTACAAACTTAATTGCTACTAGCGTCGGTGTTTGATTGGTGAAGTGAGCTATGCCTCCCTGGGCGGCGGTCCTCGGGTCTCGCAAGGGTCAGGAACGAGTCCCTGACGACGCAGCCCCACGGAGAGGTCGAAAGCAAATGAAATGCCGCCCATTTTCATGGATTAACACCGAAATGTTCTAAAAGCTAGTGAGTTTTCAAGAACCGAGGGCTAGTATGCCAACCGGAAGCTGCGGCCGCTTTTTGTTTGGCCGGTTCGCGACGCCGTCTGCGCGATCAAGCCGCCCGAAAGGGCTGCCCAAAAGCTTGTGACACGCCACAAGACACGTACGCGACCAGTGCGCGTTGGAGAGCATCGATTTGAGGACTGCTCCTCCTGCCTCTGAGCTGAGAGCCGAGCCAAGCACGACGTCGTCGACGCGGCCGCCGCACGAAGCCGGACCCGGCTGCCGGGCGCGACGCGCGCGACACACGGCCCACGGAGCAGCGTTTCCTCACCAAGTCCGCGTCAACGCCGCCGTCGATGCCGCCGCAGCCGGAACCAAGCAGGCCGTGGCCACGAGCAAGGGCGGACGCGACGTCGTCGCCGCGCCACGCCTCGCCGCGAACAGCACCGCGCCCGCGCCGAGGAAGCGCTGCGTTAGAATCCGCGGCCTGATGCGACGCGGCTATGGCGTGCTTGTTTGGTAGTCGGAGCTCTCCCCGATAGGACGGCATCGTCTACTGCTTCGACGGCTGTCGCCGCGGCCGCGCCGTTCTCCCCGTACAAAGCCGACAACGAGCTTCGTGCTTCCGACGGTGCGGACAGCGTGGACGCCTCGCGGAACGGCTGGACGATCTTCTGGTCGAGGGCCAATGCCTCGACGAAGCGACGTACGCGTGCAGCTGCTGTCCGTGCGCACGCAGACCTCGTCGGCGACGCAGATACGCCGTCGAGAGCGCGACCGGCGGCGCGGGCGCCCACGCCAGACAGCTGCCGGCCGCCGGGGCTCGAGTCTCGAGACGGCGCGCGGGGGCCCCGGGCACTGATCGCAGTCGGCGCAGGACACGAGCTCGAGCGCCGGTTGTTCCACCAAGAGCCGTTGCATGTAAGATACTATATACAATAATGAGTCACTTAACAAATCGGCCGGCATGTTGTCGGAGGCGCGGCCGTAGTATCTCAACGGCTCGCCACGCCGACGAGAGCAGCAGTAGCGCGCGCGCGACGTCCGCGGCTACGCACGAACTCGACGCGTGCGCGCTCGCCATCGGGCAGAGCCACAGCGCTTGGATGATGCCGCGTGCCGCGTCCGCCGGCCGCATCGCTCGTAGAGCTCGCCGCGTCCGTCGACGAGATCAGAAGGAGTGCCGCACGGCCCGAACGCGACGGCGCGGTCCATCAGACGCTGCCGACGGCCGTCGCGGGCCCGGCCCAGCGGTTCGATCGGGGCCAGCACGCGCCCCGGCAGCTTCGTGCACGACGACGCCGTACCAACCCATGGAGAAGAGTCGCGGCAGCGGCTTTCGCTGCCCGCTCAGAGGCCCTGGACTCGCGCGACGCCCGCGGTCGTTGCCCCAGAAGCCTAAAGGGCGCTGTTTGGCACCGACGCCATCGACGCGGTCGGCCTCCCTCGGAACGCACTTCGCCACGCTCGGTCGCAGGCGTCGCAATCTGCAGACATGGCAGACAGCTGCTGGGCGTCGACGGCGTGTAGAGGGCGTCGCCGTGATCTCCTTCATCGGCCGGCGCCGCGACCAAGGATCCTCAGCACCTCCGCTCCATTCCGTCGGCGGCGACCGGTGGCTCTGAATTCGCGCAGCTGAAGGTGCTGGGGCGCTTCAGAGCTCGCTGAGTTCGAAAATAGACCCGCGGCCATAGGACCGATCACGCCCGTCAAGCGGCCGGCTCGACGACCGTGGGCGTGCCCGCCGTGTAAACGCGCCGCCGTGCGCCATGCGCGTCTCCCGCCGCCGCGGCGACCACGCGACGGTTGAGAGAGAGCTGGATAGCGCTGGTGCAGGCCACGTTGCCGCCGTACAAGCGAGCATTGCGCTAACGCAATTGAGCGCCGGCGCGCGCGGTTTCATTGCTCGGAGAGCATCGTAGGTGAAACCGCCGAATGCTCGCGCTAGCGCGCACGGCGGCTAAAATCGTTGACTGGGCGTTCGTAGGCCTATTCAAGGCCCCCGTAAACGCCGGCAACAGCGCCAGCGAATTTGCTGAACTCGCAAAATTTGCCCGATTTTTGGCCGAGCCTCGTCGTTCTATAATCACCTAGTGTCAAATAGGTGCTAGCTGCGCCTTGCCGCAGCCATAGAAGCTGCTTTTGCCATACTAACACCCCCGCATCCCAAAAACGCTGCTAGGAAGAGTTGTATGGCAAAAATGGCTAGCTACAGTAAGCTACTAGTCGTCCTCCTGGCCGCGTTTGCGCGCGCAGCGCCGCGCTGCTCTGCGGGGCCACCGATTCACCCCGCGAGGCCGCCGTGCGGTCCCAGCGTCCCTCAAAGTCGCGCGCAGCGATGGCGCGCGTCCGCGCGCGCGGAAACGCGCTCAAAAAGGCCGTTTACGCATTTAAACATTGAGAGCGCTCTCGCAGCTCGAGAGAGAAGCTGCTACCCCCTGAGACTCGCCGCGCCACACCATTGTGACCGCGCAGGGCTTCGGAGAAAGCGGCGGCCCGCGAAGCGCGCCTCGCGCGCCGTTCTGTCTGTCCAAGCTCGAGGCCGCATCGAGGCCTGCCTTTCGAGCGCGCACCAGTAGTCCGCCGCGGCGTCTCGAGGCCTTCGCCTGTTTCGCCACGCGTACTCAGAGCTCTTCGCGGCGCGCGCGTCGTCGCGCACGTTTTGAGTGGCTTCGCCGCGCGCGCGCCGCTTTACGAGCGTCTTCGCAGGCAAGCAAAGTCCGTCTTCGCCGCGCGCACCGTCATGCGCCACCGCGCGCAACCGCCACGGGCCGGGGAGCCCAAGTTCAAGCGGTTTCGGCCTCCGGAGCCTGCAAAGCCTGCAAAGCGGCCGCGCACGGCGCCGCACGCACGCGAGGAGCCGCCGGTCACGACCGAAGCGCATCGTCCGCAAGAGGCCGCGCTACCGTGGCAGCGGACGTCGAACATGCGGCCGTTCCAGAGCCTGGCGCCGCCCGCGAGTGCGCCTCTGGCGGCGCCGCCGCCGAGCTGCGGCTTCGACGACGACGGCGAGCAGTCCCTCGCGGCCGCGGGCGCGGCCACGGCGCTGCCGCTCGCCGCCGGCGCGTTCGCGGCCGACGACGACTTCGCGAGACGCGACACGCCGGCGACGCTGGCGGCCGAGGTCCGCAACCCGCCGCCGCCGGCGCTAGAAGCCCCGGCGACGCCGCCGCGCTTCAGCCGCGTCCGGGAGGCGCCGGCTGTGCCGACGGCGCCAACTTCCCCAGTCGCGCCGCCGGCGCCGCGCCGCGGGCCGCGCGGGCCGCCGGCCAACGTCCGCGACCCGACGTCGCTAGAAGCGCCGCAGCCGCGGCCCTCCGCGCGCACGGCGGCGGCGGCGGCCACGGCGGTCGCCGCGCTGCCGGCGGCGGCGCCGCCGCCCCAGCTCGCGCCGCCGCTCGGCACCCGCGTGGTCGTGGGCTTCGAGGACGGCGAGGTCGAGGGCACCATCCGGAAGGTGCTGTGCATGTCCACCGCCGAGGTCCAGTACGACGACGGCCCGACCGACGTCATAACGTTCCCGAACCCCGACGTCCGCATCCTGTCCGCGGCGCCGGCGCCGCGCGCGGGCGGCGACGCCGTCGCGCCGCCGCCGCCGCCGTCGCCGCCGTGTCTGCCGGTCGACGTCGCGGTATCACTTAAAGCGTGGGCCGAGGCGAACGTCAAAGACGAGTTTTTGCTCTATGAATTGGACGAGGCGCTCGAGATAGTGAACGTCGAGGCGTGCGAGAGCGCCGACGAGCTAGCGAGCGCCCTGAACCTAGATAGTTGGCCGGACGATCTAAGCGAGCGGCTGCTGCGGGCCTGGTGCGAGTGGCGAGGCCAGGCCTACAGCGAGTCTGCGTCTGAAGAGGAGGACGACGAGTCGGCGAAGGAGGAGAGCGTGGCCGAGGCGTCCAGCGACGAAGAGATGGACTACGCCTCGGACGGCTCGGACAAGGACGCGGCGGAGGCGGACTCGCTGCTGGGCGTCTTCACGGCGCGGCCTTCCAACAAGGCGCCGGCTTCGCGGCCTCCCAAGGCGCGGCCTTCCACGGCGCCGGCTTCCACGGCGCTGCGCGATGCTGAAGCGCGGCGCGGTAATCCAGCACCCACGGGCGTCGATTCTACCGGCAGCGACGTCGACGTGGACGAGCCGACGGCCGAGCCGTGCGACGACGGGTCTACCGAGACGTTCGATGTGCACAAGATTCATGACTTAGTCGTCAACCTGCCGCCGCCGCCGTCGGGGCCCCCGAGGGTTTGGGTGCCGAGCGATGGGTATTTCAGATCATCATCATCATGTGTGCAAGGAGAACCGCTGACACCAAGGCGCCAGCGTCACGCCGAGAAAGGCGTGACGCTGCTAGAACAAAAAGTGGCCGCCCACAAGACGCTCGAGAACAAGGATGCGGACGGGATCGTGGTGGTAGCTTATAATAGCGGAAATAGAGGGTTCCGGTCACCTGGGCTAACGAGTTACACTAACGCATCAGCGATGATACGGCGACTGGAAGACGGCCCATCGGGTAAGACGTCGGAACTTGCGAAGATGCAAGTGCTTCGAGCGCGGGTGGAGGCGCTAGCAAAGAAGGCGGGTTACACAGGCGGCATTGAAGCTCATGGAGCTATCTCTAGTGGTACGCACTTAGGTATATTTGAGACCTGGCAGGACAAGTTCAATGAGCGCGGGACGCTAACTAGAGTCAGGATCGACGGCGTTGTATATGTGGTTCGTTTACAAGGCCATCGAGGATCGTCACAAATCGTTTTTATCGAGGATGACGATTATGCAAAGCAAAGGGTCGATGAACAAACGAAATGGGTCCAGAAGTGTCAGGCCGAGGGCAAGCCCACGGGCCACGGCAAGGGCCGGGACTTGCGGAAAGGCTCCAGGGCCGTCGAGGCGATCAATTCACCCCTCGGCATCCAGATCAGGAAGATCCTAGAGGAGGAGAAGGATCCGAGAAAGGCCGCGGCTTGTCTTTTGGAGCGGTGCCCCAAGCAAGTGTCCATCAAGGTGCTCGAGGCACGGCTGGCACGGCTTCCTCCGAAGAGCTGGGATTACCGAGCGCACAAGAGCACGATCACCTTCCTGAAAGCCAGAAAGTCGGGGAAGAAAGTCGCGGGCAACGACGGCGAGGGAACGCACGGCATGGATGAGTTTCTTACCTACGAACAAGCTTTTGTTTACATCCCTAATAAAGACGAGGACGCCGCGAGTATTTTGTTCGAGATCAGTCTGCGTGATATGGAGAAGACGATAGCGAACCCGATGGGCGGCCGCTACCGGCCCCTGCGCCGCCCGACCCTCATGGAGGTGTGCCCCGATGCGCTGGACGACGGTCTGCGGAAGGTGGCAAGTAAGGTGGACGTCATCGGGACGCACCGCGGGCCTGACTATAAGTTCCTTAAGAAAAATATGCCCAAAGACGCGGACGACGTCGACGTAGTAGACCTCGTCGACATCATGTGCGTATTGTGTGGTTTGGATGCGCTCGGCCGGCCGCGGCACGACCACCCTATGGCTATTGCGGGAGCGGCGCATAGTATTAGTACGTCGTGCACGTTCTTGACCAACACGCTCGGCAACGACCTCACGGATCTGAAGACTGGGGAATTGTGCTCGAAGATGCGGCACCAGGCGCGCGTCGACGCCCAAATTAGTCTGACGTGCTGCATGCGGCTCTGTGACGCGCGCGATCATCAGCTTGCGGGAAATAGGTACGGCTTTCCTCCGCTGGAGAAGTACGAGCCCAGCGCGAGGTATCATCAAGAGTTGGAGAAACGCAAAAGCCGAGACAAGCGCAAGCGGGCGAGGTCGAAGCCGGAGTCCGAGGAGGAGGTGGTGGTAGCTGACGAGTGTTCTGACCTGCCGAAGACGCGCGTGCGCAAGCAGCGCGTCGATTTATCTGAAATTGACAAGGACGGCGAGAAGGAGAAGAAGCCGCGGGCCAAGAAGCGCAAGAAGAAGGAGGAGACGAAGACCCTCCAGCAACTGGTCGGGTGCCGTTATAAGGACGCCATACTCATCGCGCGCATCGACCCGGAGACCCACGAGTTGCTCCCGATCCTCTCGCAGTCGGAGTGGCCGACCACCCGAGCGGGCCTGCCCGCGCGCTTCCTCGGCCACGCGCCCGAATACGATGCTAATTCGGGCTTCTTCAAGCCGAAGGGAGACGTCGACGCGAGCGTCTGGCCCGGCGGCACGGACGGGCCCTGGGCCCTCCGTTCGCTCGATGGACCACACGAGCGCGGATCGTCGATCAAGGCGACGGGCCCGTGGATGTACTTCCGCAAGATCACGAAGCCGGAGGAGCAGGAGCTCAAGCGCGCGCTCTTCCCGGGCGAGGCGTGAACATTGGCGTCGCGGCCGAAGCGGCGGGCGCGGGCGAAGAAAAAGAATTAGATCTAGACGGAGATCTCCAGAGGCGCACAAGGCGTTCTCTCCCTGCAGCTATTGAGTGGCGGTTTATGCTCCAAGGCGGTATTCCTGCGCGTTCCGCGCGCAGCCAATGACGCGGTGAGCAAGGTTAGTCAATAGCGGCTATTGAATGGCGGTTTATGCTCCAAGGCGGTATTCCTGCGCGTTCCGCGCGCAGCCAATGACGCGGTGAGCAAGGTTGTCAATAGTCAAGAAGTAAGGGGAATTGTGTTTATCCTAGCCTTTGTCGCTTTAATTACTGTGCTCATTCGCCCGGAATTTCGCCGCGCGGCTGAACGGCGAATTTGGGCCCGCGCCGGGCGAGGCGGGAGCGGCGCCTCGCGCGGCCCCTCCTGCGGCGCGCACTTCCAAGGGTGTAACTTGTAACATGAATTATTCGTACCCGAGTTGCCTCCGCGTCCGCGGTTGACGCGGGCGGCGCGACGCGTAGGGCGCGCCGGACCGCGGCGGCGACGCGTCGCCGAGCACGTGGCCGAGCGTCCCGTCGATCTCGGCGCGCGCGACGGTCAGGAGCCCGGGGTCCCGCGCCGGCTGGTCGTAGAGCGGCACGCGTCGCATGTCCGCGACCATGAGTTCGTGCTGCGCCCGCCGCAGGTTCTCGACGCGCTCCTGGAGCTCCTCGTACTCGCGCGTCGTGCGGTCGTACGAGTCCGAGCGGTTCAGGCGCGGCCGCCGCGGGTCGAACTGCCAGTGCTGCTCCGACGGGTGCGGCCGCCGGCGGTCGGTCTCGTAGCCGCGCGGCGGCCCGCGGTCGTCGTCGCGCCGGGGCGGGCCCCGGTAGCCGAACTCCATCGCGACGGCCTCGAAGTCGCGCGGCTCCGGACGCGGCCGCGGCTTCTCGCGGCGGGCCGGCGGCGCGGCGCCGGGCGGCGTCGACGCCCGGGCGGAGTAGCGCCCGAAGACCCGCGAGTACTTGCCCGGCTTGTTCACGCAGCACGGGCAGCCCCGGTAGTGGCCGCCCCGGTGCTTGCGGTAGGGCAGCATGTACCGGTTCGCGCGGCACTCCAGCGCCCAGACCTGGAGGCGCGTCGCCGCGTCGTGCTCCAGCTTCGCGCGGCGCCGCCGCGCTTCCTCGGCCTCGCGCCGCCGGCGCGCCAGGTCGTCGAGGAAATCGCGCGCGTTGTTCGCCGCCGCCGCCGCCGCGGCGCGGTCCCGCTCGAGCGCCTCGGCCAGGTCCTTGCGCGCGCGCTCCGCCGCCTTCGCCGCGAGCCGCCGGTCCCGCTCGAGCGCCCGCAGCTTCTCCGCGGACCGCCCCGCGCGCTCGACGAAGCCGCGCGCGCGGCGCTGGATCTCGACGGCCGCCTGGCGCCGCTTCCGCATGCGCTCGACCTGGGCCTGCCGCCGGGCCGTCGCCTCGAGCTTGCGCGCCCGCTCGCGCGCCGCCTCGGCCTGGCGGCGCGCCTCGGCCGCCGCGACGGCCGTCATCGCGCGCCGCTCCGCCGCCAGCGCCGCGCGCCGCGCGTGCAGCTGGGCCCTGAGCTCGTCGTAGGCCACGCCCGCGAGCCACCGCCGCACCTGGTTCGCGATGCGCGTCGCGGCCAGCACCTGGTTCCGCCGCTTCCGCATGGCCTCGCGCCGGAGCCGCTCGCGCTCCTCGGCGGCCTCGCGGCGCTTCCGCTCCGCCTGGCGCGCGAGCTCCGCCAGCCGCGCGTCCTCGGCGTCCTGGGCCGCGCGGCGCCGCGCCTCCTCGGCCTCCTCCTCGAGCCGGACGCGCTCGGCCTCGACGGCGCGGTTCGCGGCCTGGCGCGCGGCCTCGCGCTCGGCGCGCCGCGCATCCTCGCGCGCGCGCGCCGCGCGCGCGCGCATCTCGAGGTCCCGCAGGCGCGCCGCCTCCGCGAGGTCCCGCAGCAGCCGCAGCTTCTTCAGCGCGAGGCACGAGCGGAAGAACGAGTGCAGCCTCTTGACGGCCGCCAGCCGGCGCCGCCGCAGCGCCGCCTCGGCCTCGCGCCGCCGGCGCAGGGCGTCCCGCTCGCGCCGCCGCCGCCGCTCGGCCTCGAAGAGGCCGCGCGTCCTCGCGCGCGCCGAGGCGCCGCGCTGCCGCGCCTCGAGGCGCGTCGCCGCGCGCGCCCGCCGGGCCTCGAGCTCGCGCTTGCGCCGGAGCGCCTCGCGCTGCGCCTCCCGGCGGCGCCGGTCCTCGCGCAGCGCGGCCGCGGCGTCGCGGGCGACCTTGCCGCGGTAGCGCGCCGCGAGCCGCGTCGCCAGGCGCGCGATCCGGAAGAGCCGCGCGGCCTCGGCCTCGCGGCGGCGCCGCGCCGCCTCGCGCTGGGCCTCGCGCCGCCGCGCCGCGTCCCGCAGCGCCGCGGCCTCGCGCCGCGCGATCTTGCCGCGGTACCGCGCCGCGAGGCGCGTCGCCATGAGCTTCGTCCGCCACAGCCGCTTCGCCGCGCGGCTGCGCTCGGCGGCGAGCTCCCGCCGCTTCTGCGCCGCCCGCTCCTTCCGCTCCACGAGCTTCTGCTTCTCCCGGCGGGCGACGCTCCCGCGGCACGCGCTCTGCACCGTCGTCGCCGCGTCGTTGCGGACGACGCGCTGCAGCGCGGCCTGGCTCCGCGCGGCCTGCTCCCGCTCCTGCTGGCGGCGGGCCTGCGCCCGCCGCCGCGCGGCCGCGCGCAGCCGCCGCAGCTCGTCGCGGGCGCGGCGCCCGCGCGCCGCCGCGGCGATGGTCGTCGCCGCGCGGCCGCGCTCCATGCGCTGCAGCGCGGCCTGGCTGCGCTGGGCCTGCTCCCGCTCGCGCTGCCGCTTCGCCTGGGCCCGGCGCTTCTGCGCCGCGCGCCGCCGCCGGAGCTCGTTCCGCGCGCGCCGCCCGCGCGCCGCCGCCTGGACGCGCGTGGCCGCGCGGCTCCGCTCCAGCTTCTGGGCGACGGCCAGCGACTTCGCGGCCTGCTCCCGCTCGCGGCGCCGCTTCTGCTGGCGCGCCCGGTCGCGGTCCTTGACGAAGCGCCGCCGGTCGCGCAGCCCGCGGAGCCGCGCGACGACGAGCGCGACGGCGCTCAGCCGGAGCCGCTTCTGCTGCTCCTTCCGGACCTCGCGCTGCCGCCTTTCCTTCCGGCGCTGCAGCTCCCGCAGGCGCGCCTGCTTCCGGGCGCGGTACTTCTTCCGCGCCTGCGCGCCGCGCTCGCGCGCCTGCAGCCGGACGGCCGCGGCCTTCTGCCGGATCTTCAGGCGCGCGTCCTTGTCCTTGCGCTTCCGCGCCGCGCGCCGCGCCGCCGCGAGGCGCCGCCGCAGCCGCGCCGCGCGGCGCCGCGCGAGCAGGCCGCGCCCGCCGGCCTGCAGGACGACGCGCGCCTTCTGCTCGCGCCGGCGCCGCGCGTCCCGCGCCCGCCGCGCCGCCACGGCGTCGAAGGGCGGCGGCGCCGCCTCGGGCGCGCGCGGCCGCTCCAGCGGCGGCGTCTGCGCCGACGAGTGCCGCAGGACCGGCTTGGGCGTCGCGGGCCGCGGCGACGGGACGGGCGACGGCGGCGGCGTCGCCTTCTTCTTGACGACCTTCTTCTTCTTCTTCCTCGGCGTCCTGGCGACGGGCGGCGGCGGGCTCGGCGCGCGCTTCTTCTTGGCCCTCTTCTTCTTCTTGCGCCGCGGCGGCGGCGCCGGCTCGGGCTCGGGCGGCGGCGTGGGGAAGCCCTCGGTGTGGTAGCGCACCCAGGGGTCGATGAGGTGGTGGTGGCGGAACCACTCGGTGGGGGGCACCTCCTGGAACCAGCGCCGCCGCGTCGCGCCGTACTGCGGCGGCGCGACGGCCGAGGGCACGCTCACCGAGGGCTCGCCCTTGAAGAGGCGCTCCACCTCGCCCGCGAGCGTCGCGGCGCGCTCGTCCGCGCGCGGCGCCGCGCGGCGCCGCCGGTCGACGACGGACGCCGTCCGCGGCCGCCGCAGGACCTCGGGGCTCCGGGCCGCCGCCCCCAGTCCGTAGTCCGACATGAGCGTCTCGAGCGACGCGTGGGCCTCGCGCAGCTGCCGCCGCCGCTCGCCGGCGCCGGCCGTCCGCGGCCGCGGCCGCGGCGTCGGCGTCGCGGCCTCGCCGCGCCAGCGCGGGTCGTCGACGTAGGACGGGCGCGCCCGGTCCGTCGCCGCGCGGCTCGACCAGCCGCCCCGCGTCCGGCGCCGCGTCGCGCGGTCGTCCGCGTCGCGGATCTCGGCCGGCGACGGCGGCTCCGGCCGCGCGACGGGCGCCGTGACCTCGCGCGCCGTCCGCCCGAAGGTCGTCTCGCGCGCGCGCGGCGAGGCGGCCCCGCCCGAGAGCAGCAGGCCGTCGGCGTCGCCCTCGAACGCCGCCGCGCGCGCGGCCTGCACGCGCTCCGCGCCGGCCGCGCGGCGCCCCGGCGCGTTGCCCAGCGTCGGCCCGCCGCCCACGGGCTTCTTGTGGATGCGGTCGCGCATGAGCTGGATCTCGCGGCGGTGCAGGTCCTGCGCGTACTGCTCGAGCGCGCGCTCGCGGCTGCTCACCTCGCCGTAGTCGGGCAGGCCCGGGTGGGCCTCGTGCTGCATGCTTGTTGCTTCTGTCTTATTCTGCCGCCGTGTCGGTGCCGCGGCCGCCTCGAAGGGCCTCGGATGCGAGCTGCGGCCTCGCCGGCGCTCCGCTGCCTCGCGTGCGCTGGAGCAGCTCCGCTGGGCCGTCAGGAGCCGCCGACGCTGCCCAACGCTGCCCGAGGCGCTCAGCGCCGATTTTGCAGCGCCTCGTCCTTCACCAACAACGCCGCCACTAGGAAGCGCGTCGAACGGACTTCGGCCCGCGGTGGCCCCCCGTCGCGTCTAGAGGCCTAGCACCAGCGATCTGGAGGCTCTACCGTGCCGCCGGCCCGCACGAGTCCGGTCACCGGTCCCAGTGCTCCCCAGCGACAGAAAGGCGAGGCGCCTCTTCTTCTTACTCGTCTACTTTATCGCTCGCGGGGGGCGAACCTACTCGGCCTTCATCGCGCTCGCCTCGTCCCAGAGGTTCTGGAAGAGGAGCGTCGACAGGTAGCGCTCGCCGAAGGACGGGATGATGACGACGATGCGCTTGCCCGCGTTCTCGGCGCGCTCGCCGACGATCTTCGCCGCGAGGACGGCGGCGCCCGACGAGATGCCGCAGAAGATGCCCTCCTCCTTGGCGAGGCCGCGCGCCATGGCGATCGCGTCCTCGCTCGAGATCTGCACGACCTCGTCGATGAGCGACGTGTCGGCGTTGCCCGGGATGAAGCCCGCGCCGATGCCCTGGATCTTGTGCGGGCCCGGCGAGCCGCCGCTCAGGACGGGCGACTCCGTCGGCTCGACCGCGACGACCTTGAGCGAGGGCTTGAGGGGCTTGAGGTACTGGGCGCTGCCCGTGAGCGTGCCCCCCGTGCCCACGCCGCCGAGCAAAATGTCGAGCGCGCCGTCCGTGTCGGCCCAGATCTCCGGGCCCGTCGTCTCGCGGTGGACCTTCGGGTTGTCCGGGTTGTTGAACTGCTGGAGCAGGTAGCCCTTGTCGCCGAGGTCCGCGGCGATGTCTTCCGCCTTCTTCACGGCGCCGCCCATGCCCTTCGCGGCGGGCGTCAGGACCAGGTCGGCGCCGAACGCCTTGAGCAGCACGCGGCGCTCCATGGACATGGACTCGGGCATGGTCAGGACAATATCATACCCCTTGGACGCGGCGACCATGGCGAGCGCGATGCCCGTGTTGCCCGACGTCGGCTCGACGAGCGTCGTTCTGCCGGGCGCGATGTCGCCGCGGTCCTCGGCCTCGCGGATCATGCTCAGCCCGATGCGGTCCTTGACGCTGTTGCAGGGCTCCATGGACTCGAGCTTGACCACGATCTCGGCCTTGCAGTCGGGGCCGACGACGCGCCGCAACCGGCAGAGGGGCGTGCCGCCGATGAGCTGCGTGATGTCGTCGGCGATCTTCGGGCGCTCGTGGAGCTTTGTTGTCGCCGCCGGCCGCGCGGCCGGCGCGAATGCGCTGACCGTCGCCGCGAGGGCGAGTAGGAGCGTGCGCATGCTGCTGGAGGCCAGGGGTGCACTGCGGTGTTTTGCTCCCGCAGCGCGTTCAAGAGCAGCGATTCTTTGCAAAAGGGAAGGCTAGCGCCGCGGCGTTGTCTGGCCCGCGTTACGTACTTACGCCCTGGAGGCTGTGAGTGCAGCTTCTCCGTCGAGGAGTAACCACCTCCAGTCTAGTGTGTCTCTGTGTGCTAATGGCGCAGAGTTCAATTTTACACGTAACGGGACCCCTCCGCTACCAACACACACGACGGCTCTTCTCACCGGAGCGGCGGCAAGTTCGGCAACGGCCGCGCGGCGTCCTCGCCCTCGGACGACGCGGCCACGACGGCCTGGTGCACGCGTTCCGCCTCCGCGGCGAGGTCCGGATCCATCTCGACCGTCAAGTCCGACGCGCCCTTGTGACGCCCTTGTGGAGACGCGAATTAGCTAGCGGCCTGTAAGACACTAGAGCTCTTTGCAAGCAAGGTGCTCGGGACCTTCGAAGGTAAGGGGTCCGTCTCGAAGATGATGTTGGTCAATTTCATTGCGCCGGGCGAGCTCATGAAGCTCAAGTACCGCGAGCGCCTCGCCAAGCTATCTAGATTTGCTCCGCAGACCGCGGCATTGTGTGAGCTTATTGCTACCAAGGGCCACTGGGCCGTTCAGTTGAGAGCGAAAGTGGAAGAATCGACAGCCCATCCAGCTCACATAGACCACGAGGTACGCCACAAAACAACATTCAACGCGCGATACAAGTCAGATGAGCCGGGCGTCACCTGAGAGCTTACGACCGCGCGCCGTCGATCGTCGTCGGGGGAGTCCTATACCCTGGCACAAGGCCATCCCGTCCCTAGCATAAGGCTATACAGACCCGACGCAACGGCTAGACAGTTCTAAAGAAGACCTTCATTCACTTAGTAAAACGCATCGAGGCGCCTCCCGGGATGCGGGCCAGCGCCGGCAGCGGCCGCGACGGCGCCCCCCCCGCATGCCGCGCCTCGATCCGCACTGGCGCACGCCTCGCCGCTTCGCGGCGCCGCGCCGCGTCGCGCGCGCGCAACACCTGCGCGTAATCTGGAGCCCAGGTCAGATCGTCGGAGGCGTCGCCGGCCGTCGCGAGGAACGCCTCGAGGAACTCCGTGTCCGCGCCGTCCATCGCGGGGTCCGCCGGGACCGCGCGCACGGCCGCGGCGACGACGGGGTCGCACAGGTACGACTTGCCGAAGCTTCGCGTCGCCAGGGCGTCTTCCTTGGCCGCGTAGGCAGCCGCGGCGTCGCCCGTGGCGGGCGCGGCCGCGTTGACCGCGCGCATCGCTTTCCGGCCGCAGAGCATGGTCAGGCGCGCCGCGCGGTCCGCGTCGGCCTGTGACGTGTTGGCGTCCGTCTTCGCTTGCGCGATACGGTAGGCCAGGAAATTCTTGCACGCGTCGCTGATCTTCGGCTGCTCCTCGGCGTAGTCGATCGCGAAGCGGACGCTCGGCTCGGCGCCGACGCTGGTCGCAAGAGAGGCCATGACCACTCCCCAGATGGGTGGGTTAGCAGTCGTGCGCTGGCAGCAGAGAACTGGCCAGGACCTTTGCAGGGCGTCCTCGGCTGGCCTTGCGATCAGTCTGGCCTCGGCTCCAAGCCTCTACGAGCTAGCTGCTAGACACTAGAATGAGTGAGCCAGTGAGCCTGAAGAAGCGGCCCGCGCCCGCCGCCGATGAATCGGCGACGCGCGGTGTCTCCCCCCCAGGGGCTCCGCCCACTAGTCCTAGCACCGTAACATCGACCGTGGCCTGAGCCTGAGGCGGGTGCGAGTCCCTGCGACTCAGCAATTGCGTCCTAGTCCAGCCGGACGGGTGGGCCCGGGGGGAGCGGGAGGGGTACGGGGGACCCCGCGACGTAACTAGCCTGAGCCTGACGGCGTGTGCTTTCGCGTAAACAAGCGCTACCATTTTCAATACCCTTACTCACTCCGCGGCGGGCGCGGGCGCCGGCGCCGGCGCCGGCGCCGGCGCGTCCGCCGCGGCCTCGGCGGCCCAGCGCGCCTCGTCGGCGCGGACGCGGTCCGCGAGGCCGCGGAACATGGCGTCCATGGTCAGCGAGCCCCGCGCGACGCCGACGTAGCAGTTCGCCCGCTTGAGCGTCCCGATCTCGCCGACCTGCTCGGCCACGGCCGCCGCGGCCTCGAACGCCGCGAGCGCGCGGCCGTCGTCGCCCTCGGCCGCCGCGAGGTGGCCGAGTTTCAGATGCGCGTGGACCTCGGCGCCGGCGTCGCCCAGGGACCGCGCGAGCTGGAGGTGCTGCTCGACGCAGGGCCGCGCCGTCGCGAGGTCGCCGCGCCGCAGCGCGAGGCTCCCGAGGTTGCCCACGGCGATGGACTGGCCCGACGACGACTCGAGCTCGATCGCGAGGCGCAGCGCGTCCTGGTGGTGCCGCGCGGCGCCGTCGGCGTCGCCGAGCGCGCCCCGGCACAAGCCCAGGTTCGTGAGCGCCGCGAAGCGCCCGCCGGCGTCCGCGATTTCCAAATGGCGCTCGTGGAGTTTGATTGCTTTCTCGAGGCGCTCGACGCTCTGATCAGCGAGCGCCGCCGCGCCGAAGCCCTCGCCGGTCGTCTTCGCGGGGCACGCCGCGGCCATCTCGTCGACGCCCATGGCGTTGTAGGCCAGGGCCTCCTTCTCCACGTCGTCGACGTCCCGGGCCACGGCCAGGAACTGGCCGTAGGCCCGCAGCGCTTCGTCGAATTGGCCCTCGTTGTCGTGCATCACGCCGATGCTAAAGTAGGCCTGGGCCTCCGTCTCCCTTCGCCCGGCGCGGCGCGACGAGAAGGCGAGGTGCCGGAAGTTGCTTATCTTCGTGTCGAAGGGGCCGCGCGCCGCCGGGTCCGGGACGGCGCGGTCGAGGCTCCTCAGTTTCGATCCTTCGGCCGTCCGCGGGTCCAGGAACTTCGTAGGATCGTCGACGGCGCCGAGCGCCTTCAGGACGTCGCCTTTGATGGTGGCGGCGGCCGGGGCGAAGGCCGACCGCCTTATGTGGGCATCGCGGCTCGGCGCGTCGTTCCTGGCCGGCGCCTTCATGCTCGGCGGCGGCTCTATCCGTAAAGGGGCGTCGATCTGGGGGTAGCGGTCCGCGAGCTGCGTCGGGCCGTCGTCGGCCTCGTCGGGCAGGCGCTCGGCGAGCTGCGCCGCCGAGAGCTTGCCCGTCATGGTCTTTGGTGCCTAGAAAGCGCCGAGCGGTCGCGTTTTTTGCTCTGCGGACGCTCCGAACGTATGAAGGGAGCCCGTCGCGGCCGCAATATACGATTGGTGCGTTGACGCCGCGGCGGGGGCAGCCCTCGACGCCGCCGGGTGCGCTAGCCAGGTGCGGCCCGGCCAAGACCGCTCCTCCGGCACGGCGTGGAGGGCGGAGCAGTCTTCCTTGGTACGACTAACGTCCGCTTCTCCTCGATTTTGCGCTAGGGTTATGTCAGGTCGTTGTTTACCCCACTAGGGAGGGCAGCCCGGCGCAAAACGCCGAGCTGTCTGCTGGCTTTATAGTGGGCGCGATCTCCACGCCGGGAAGGAACCGCGCCTCTCCGAGGGCGGCCGGCACCGAGGTCTCCGCCGCACGCCAGCGGACGCGCAGCCCGGAGGGCAGCGGGCAGCGCCCGGTAGAAAAAGCAACAGCGCCGCCGCGGAAGCGCCGCGCGCAGAACGCGCCACAGGAGATAAGAGGACACCATGGCCGGCACGGAGCGCGGCAAGTGGATGGTCCAGAAGATCGTGGGCTGCTTCGCCCAGGATGGGGTGGACGCGGTCAAGGCGAATAGTTGTCTGCGGCGCGCCGAGAACAACGCCTTCCTCAAGGGCTTCTTCGACGGGTCGAACGGCGAGCAGCGCGTCTTCGTCTTCCACCAGCCGCCCTGCAACGACGAGGGCGAAGCGGAAGAGGGCGCCGCGCCCGAGCTCACGCTCGGCGTCGGAACGGTGAGTAGAATGGCGGGCCGCTGCTGCGCTTTTGTGAGAGGCGTCAAGCCGGGCGAGCCCATCGCCGCGGACAAAGCCTCGACCACGGAGCTCATGTTCACGGAGATGCACTCGTCAGCGTTAGGCGCTTTATCTACCTTCCTCGACGGCTACGGCGTGCCGGCCTTCGCGCACAGCGAGCAGTGGGGCCGCGCGGGCCCGGACCAGCGCCGCGACTTTTCCAGTGATATGTCTGCCTTAGCGGCCACGGTCAAGGACGCCGTGGTCAGCCTCGACGGCGGTTTGGAATTGGCCAAGCCCGAGGGCTCGCAGATGGCGCAGACCACAAAAACCTTCAACTCCCAGGCGCGCCAGAACCCCGAGCTCATCCCCCAGTTCGAAAGTTTGTTGGAGGGCTGGTGCGACGCGATCCAGCAATATCTGGACAGGCCGGCGTCGCTCAGCAGCGACGACGTCGGGCCCTTACGAGAATTAAATAATTGGCGCAACCGCATGCAGCGCTTGACCTCGATCAGCGAACAGCTCAAGCGCAAGGACTGCAAGGCCGTCGTCAACCTCCTGCAGGCGGTGACGAAGAACACCGGGGATCCGTCGAAGCAGAAGCTCGTCGCGTTGTTAAGGAGGTGGAAGCAGACGGACGTGAACATCACGGAGGCGGCGAACGAGGCCAAGGACAACGTCAAGTACTTGTTTACTTTGGAGAGATTTATTGAGCCTTTGTATAAGGGGACGACAACAACAATAGTAGACACGCTCCCGGCCCTGACGAATTCCATAAAAATGATCCACACCATCGCAAGGTACTACAGTACCTCAGAAAGGATGACGGCTTTATTTGCTTGCATCACGGACCAGATGATCGTCAACTGCAAGGCGTCGATCTGGAGTATTGATCCCTCGGAAGTCTGCCACTCCGACGCTAGTCGTGCAGAAACGCTCTGGGAGTCCAATGAACAAGACCTCGTGCGGCGCTTAGAAGCCTGTTTAAAACTCTCGGAGGCGTACCAGGACCAGTACCGACTCACGAAAAAGAAGCTCCAGCAGATGCCCAAGGGCAAGCAGTTCGACTTCAACGAGATGCACATCTTCGGGAAGTTCGACTTGTTCTGCCGGCGCGTCATTAAATTGATAGACATGTTTTCGACCATTGATCAGTTCAAGTCGCTCAGTGTCAATAAATTGGAGGGCATGGAGCAGCTCATCGCGCGCTTCCACCGGATCGTGAAGGAGTTCCGGGGCAAGGGCCACGATCTGCTGGACTACCACAACAACAAATTTGATAGGGACTACGTCGAATTTAATGTGAAGATCCCGGCGTCCCGCGTCGGTGCCTTCACTTCAATACGAATCGTCTCCAGGAATGATGGACGTGGGTGGTCTCTTTTTCGAGTTTGGGGCCGTTCGGACCGTGTCGAGCGACCGCGGCGTGTCAGAGAGACGGCGGTCGCGTCGATGGCGTCTTCACGCGACAGCGCCGCCGCGATGGCGTCAGCGCGACGTCACGCCACCGCGACGCCGCCGACGCGACCGCACGAGAGTCTACGGACCGAGTCGAGCGACCGCGATGCGCCGCGCAGGTCAAGATCTCGGACCTCGAAGGCGCCCTCCAGCACTTCATCAACCAGTCCTTCGAGAACATCACGTCCATCGAAAACAGTCTGGGGCTGCTGGCGACGTTCCAAGCAATACTGCAAAGAGAAACGCTGAAGTCGGACCTCGACAGCAAGCTCAACGTCATTTTCCAGAACTATGGTGCGTATCTCCGCGTTTTGAGGCGTTGCGGTGCCTTCACATCCTTGGATGGACTCGTGTCCATCTCACGATGCCGGGGGTCGTTTCTTTTTCGACTTTGGGGCCGTTCGGACTTTGACGGAAATGCTCCGCACAGGCATCGAGCTCGAGCAGGTGCAACAGCTCTACGAGAAGCAGAAGCACGACCCGCCCATTCCCCGCAATCTACCCCCGGTGGCCGGGAACATCACGTGGAGCCGACACCTGTTAAAAAGGATCGAGGGCCCGATGCGGCAATTTGAATTAAATCAAAATGTCTTGGATGGACCGGGGGCGCGGCGCATCATCAAGATGTACAACAAATTGGCTCGTACGCTGGTCGCCTTCGAGTACCTCTGGCACCAGGCCTGGGTTTCTAGTATAGATCAAGCCAAATCGGGTTTACAAGCTACTCTGATCATAAGACATCCGGAAGATCAAAAATTGTACGTGAACTTTGATTTGGAGCTGTTGCAGTTGGTGAGGGAGGCGAAGTGCCTGGATCGCATGGGCGTCGAGGTGCCCGAGTCGGCCAAAATAATTCTATTTCAAGAGGACAAATTGAAGTCCTACTACAACGACCTGCACTGGGCTTTAAATGAATATGATCGCGTCGTGAGCATGGTGATTCCGGTCACGGCCATGGTCCTGCGGCCGCACTTCAACGACATGGAGGCCGAGCTCCGGCCGGGCATGGTGACGCTGACCTGGACGTCGATGAACATTGATAGCTACAAAGCGCACGTGCACCACGGTTTGAAGCGCCTGGAGCAGCTCGTGACGGGCATCAATGATGTGATCGAGCACCGCATCGAGAACAATTTGAAGGTCGTCTCGCGCACGCGGTTGGTGGACCTGCCCGACGACCAGTCGTTCACGGTCGACGACTTTGTGCACAACCAGCACGACCACATCGAGGTGGAAGTGGATGTTTTAACAGGAAAGAACCTCGAGATCGAGGCGGCCGTCGACGATTTGGTCCAGGTCCGATCTCGGCGTCCTTTTGCCTTCTTACGCCATCGACGCGACTCATGGCCATCGCACGATGCCGGGGGTCGTTTCTTTTTCGAGTTTGAGCTGTTTCGGACCGCGTCGGGGCCGTCGCGGCGTGTCACGCGTCGATGGCGTCTTCACGAGACAGCGCCTTCATGAGACCGTCGTCGTGATCCCACGAGAGTCTCCGTGGTCCTCGGGACGCCGTCGACGCGACGCCACATCACCGCGATGCTCCGCGCAGGTCATCATGGCCTACCGCTTCGAGCAGCCCGGTTCGCATGTAGAACCGGACGAGGTCGCCAAGCTCAAGAAGCACTACAACCACTTCATGTACCAGGCGTTATTGCATAGCGCGAAGAACTCGCTGAACGCGCTGAAGAAGAGGATCGCCTGTCGGGTCGCTTCTGGTTTTCTCTACACGGCGAGACCCTTCTTCGAGATCGGGGTTCGTCTCGGTTCAGAGGAATGCGTCTTGTCGCCGTCTCTTGATGATGTGCAAAATTGCATCAACCGGTCGGCGCAAGCCGTTTTAGGGTGTTTCAAGCGCGTGAAAGATTGGAGGATTGTCGCTTTGGAGAAATATAGAACCGCGGACGCCCCCAGCTTCTTTGAGAGAATAACGAAGGACATCGAAATCGTGCGCGTGGCATTGCTACTCACCGGTAGTTTGCAAGGCATTCGGAACACGGTAGCAGATTACTTACATAGTTTTGGCCAGTTCGACTGGCTCTGGCAGAAGGACAAGCAGGAGGCCTACAAGGAGTTTCTCTCTACAAATCCGTCGCTCGAGGACTACGCTTCCCAACTCAAGAGTTTCCAGGGCACCGACGACGACATCGGGCAGATCGCGACGTGCCACAACATCGGGGCGTTATCTCTCAATACCACCCAACTCAAAGGGCAATTGAAAGCGGACGTCGAGGTCTGGCAGAAGACGTACTGCAACAACCTGCGTGACTCAGTGTTGAACTTCAACTTCGATGGGGCTCGGAGAGCGTCGTTCCTCGCAGGCACAAGGAGGCGCGCGAGAAGCTCGACGACCTGTCCGAGTACATAAGGGCGACGTCCGTGAAGCTCGAGAAGGTCGTCGCCGACGACGACCTCGACGCCTTGGGGGTCATGATGGCGCTCTTCAAGACGATCCGCGAGCGCGAGTCGGGTCCGCTCGCGGCGTCTTGACGTGTGGCGGTGCCTTCACTTCCTCACGATGACGTGGGTGCTTTCTTCGTCGAATTTGACTCGATACGTGTCACACGCAGGCATCAGCATGGAGATGCGGCCCATCGAGGAGATGTACGCCATGCTCGAGCGCAATTTACCGTCCGGCTTCATGGACAAGTCGGAAGTCGACAAGCGGACGGTGCTCGAGAGCGGCTGGCGGAAGATGGTCGCGACCGCTTCCGTAAGGTGCTGACTCAGCGTCTGTTTCCAGCCTTTTCCGAACTTCAACTTTGTGAAAATGGCGTCGACGCGATGCCGCACCGCCGCGACGCCCTCGACGGGGCCGTGAGAGAGTCTACGGGTCTCGTGAGCGAGCCGCGGCAGTTTCGTGATTGCATGATCCCACACAGGGCCGAGGAGATGAGCAACAAGCAGCACGTCCAGAAGAAGAACCTGAAAGTCAGCAAGAATGTCCTAAGGAAGGAGGTCGACAAACTCAGGGACAACTGGATCAACGCGGGGCCGGGCGTCCCGGGCGTCGACCCGGAGGTGGCGCTCGATCGGTTGCGCTTCGCCAAGGACCACCTGGCCCAGTGCGTGCGCAAGTACGAGATGGCCCACAACGGCGAGGAGCTCTTCGCTTTGCCATTTAGCGAATACCCGGAGCTCGCGCAGACGGAAAAGGACATAAAGCTGTTCGACCAGCTGTCTGATCTCGGCGTTTTGACGTGTAGAGGCGCCTTCACTTCATTGATACGATCTCACGATGCCGTGAGTGGTCTCTTTGTCGAATTTGAGTCTCTGGAAGACGAGGTCGCGACTCGATATATCGACGCGGTCCGAACGGCCTCAAAATCGAAAAAGAGACCACCCACTTCACTGTGAGATGGACACGAGTCGCCTCGATGGCGTGGAGGCGCCTCCCCACGACGGGACGCGATATATCACGCACAGGTTTTCGCTCTACACGGACGTCAAGGAGAACATGAACGAGTGGAACCTGCTGCAATTTGCCGCCATCGTCGCGGGCATGGAGGACATGACGGCGGCGATGGACAACTTTGCCTTGCGGTGCAAGAAGATGCCCGGTCGACTTAGAGCTTTTGACGCGTATAAAAATTTAAATAAGCGCATCGAGGACTTCCAGATCGTGCTGCCCTTGCTCCAGGAACTCGCCAAACCCAGCGTGATGGTGCGGCACTGGGACGAGCTCCGAGCTTTGGTCAAGAACGACTTCGACCAGGAGAGCGCGGATTTTACATTAGAATTCATCATTTCCCTCAAATTGGAGAACGTGGCGGATGAGGTGCTGGAGATCACGGACGGCGCCGATAAACAATTAAAAATAGAACAAGATATAAAGGAAATTAACGGCATCTGGGAGGTCCGCGAGTTCACGTTCAAGGTACTGACTCAGCGTCTTCATTGAACTTGAACTTGACGTGGTCTTCATGATCACCAGGGCGCCCACGCGCCTCGTGAGACGTGACGGCGTCGTTCCCACGCAGGACTGGAAATCTAGACCTATACCTACTTTACAAGGCACGGGCATCCTGACCGAAGAACTGGAAGAAAGCATCATGCAGATGCAGACCTTCCTCACCATGCGCCACGTCGCGCCGTTCCGCGAGGAGGCCGCGGAGCTGTTAGCTAATTTGAACGACGCCGCGGACACGCTCGAGCAGTGGGTCAAGGTCCAGCTCATGTGGTGCTCCCTCGAATCGGTCTTCACGGGCGGCGACATCGCCAAGCAGCCTGCCACTGTGTGGAAATTATTCGCGTCTCGCGATCTCGGCGCCGCGGTCCTCGGAGAGGCCCAAACTCGGACACGATCTCCGAGAGACACACTCGACCGACTGGAGCGAGCAGCACCTCACTTCAAGGGAGAGAGACCCCGACTTGAAGCCCAAGTTGAACTTTGATGTCCACACAGGCTCCCGATGGAGGCCAAAAAATTTAGTAAAGTGGACAAGGACTGGACGAAGATCATGCGCGGACTCGGCGTCTTCTACGGTGCCTTCACGTTGTCGCTGGGACTCGTAGCATGGTGTGGGTGGTCTCTTTTTCGGATTTGAGGCCAATCGTGATGCTCCGCGCAGGCAAGTGTCGCAGTCGACGTCGCTCGTCGTCCCCTGCTGCCAGAACGAGATGCTCAAGGCGAAGCTGCCCGAGATGTACGGCGAACTAGAAAAGTGCTCCAAGGCCCTCGAGGGCTACCTCGAGCAAAAACGGAGCAAGTTCCCGCGGTTCTACTTCTGCTCCAACTCGAAGCTGCTCCAGATCCTGTCGCAGGGCAGCGACCCGACGACGATGAACGCCCACTACGAGACCGTCTTCGACGCCTTGGAGAAGGTCGACCACGACAAAAAGGACAAGGTCTGCTCGCGGCGTCCCGTCGTGTAGAGGCGCCTTCACTTCACTGATACGACTCGTGTCCATCGCACGATGACGTGGGTGGTTTATTTTGTGATTTTGAGTGAATTCGGACCGAACCGCGATGCTCCGCGCAGGCCATCATCCGCACGATCCACGGCTCCGGCGGCGTCGGCCACGAGGAGTTCCCCTTCATCAAGCCCGTGCCGGCGTCGGGCAACATCGAGGACTGGCTCACGACCTTATTACATTACATGCAGTTAACAGTAAAAAGTTTATGCGCGACCGCGGGCGAGTACTGCGCGGCCACGGGCGTCGACATTCCTGGGTTAAGACGCTTCGTCGACGACAGCAAAGCGCAAATCGCTCTGTTGGGCATCCAGTTCATGTGGACGGCCGACACGCAGACGGCGCTCGAGGAGTGCAAAAGAAAGAAGTCGGGCATGAAGGAGTGTAACGCGCGCCAAAATAACTTGTTGCTGGAGCTGTCGTCGTGGTGCCTGCAGGACCTGGGCACGAAGGTCAACCGCAAGAAGATCGAAACTTTAGTTACGATCCACGTGCACCAAAAGGACGTCTGACTCAGCGTGGTTTCCTTCAATTTCTCAACTTGAACTTTGTGAAGATGGCGTCAACATGACGCCGTCGACGTGGCCGCACGAGCGTCTACGCGCCTCCCGCGGCAGTTTCGTGACGGTGTCCGTGCCACACAGGTCACGACGGAGATGTTCCAGCTCTACAAGAAGAAGCTCATCCACGACGCGAACGACTTCGAGTGGACCAAACAAGCTAGATTCTACTGGCGGCCCCAAGCTTCGGATGATTGTTCGCCGGACGGGAGCGTCGTCATCGCGATCACGAACTTCGTGCGCTCGCGGCGTCCCGTCGTGTGGAGGTGCCTTCACTTTGTTGATGTGACTCGTGGCCATCGCACGATGCCGGGGGTAGTTTTTTGAGAGATTTTGAGGCCATTCGGACCGCTTCCAGTGAATACGACGCCCCGCGCAGGACTTCGCCTACTCCTACGAGTATCTAGGGTCGAAGGAGCGACTAGTTGTGACGCCGCTCACGGATCGGTGCTACATCACGTTGGCCCAGGCCCTGGGCATGTCGTTTGGCGGCGCGCCGGCCGGGCCGGCCGGCACGGGCAAGACGGAAACGACGAAGGATCTGGGCGCATCTTTAGGCATCTTCGTGGTCGTCACGAACTGCGGCGACCAGATGTCCTACAAGGACTGCGCCAAGATCTTTAAAGGCTTGTGTCAGAGCGGCATCTGGGGCTGCTTCGACGAGTTCAACCGGATTCGCTTACCCGTTTTGTCAGTGGTGGCGCAACAAGTTTTGAGCATCCAGAACGCCAAGAAGGCGGACAAGGCCTTCTTCCAGTTCCCCGGCGACCCGCAGGACGTGCGCGCCGGCGTCCCGTCGTGTGGAGGCGCCTTCGGACCGACGTCGTGACTCCGGCTCCTCTGATGGCCACGAGTCGTATCAATGAAGCGAGAGCGCCCGAACACCGCGGCAACGCGCGACACCGCCGCCACGCACAGGTGCGCCTCAACAAGGCCGTCGGCTACTTCATCACGATGAACCCGGGCTACGCGGGCCGCCAAGCGCTGCCCGAGAACCTCAAGGCCCTCTTCCGCGGCGTCATGATGATGGTGCCGAATTTTCAAATTATCAAGAAGGTGAAATTGTGTAGTGTCGGTGCTGACTCGGCGTCAACTTCAACTTTGGGAAGATGGCGTCAACGCGAGTATGATCCCGCGCAGGCTACTCGCAGTACGAGATGCTGTCCTTCAAATTTTTTGTCCTTTATGACACGTGTAAATTACAGTTATCAAATCAAAAGCACTACGACTGGGGCCTGCGGAACATCCTCAGTGTTTTGCGGACGATGGGCGCCTCCAAGAGAAACAACATGGACAAGCCCGAATCTTACTTAGTGTACCAGACGCTGCGGGACATGAACCTGTCGAAGCTCGTGGCCCAGGACGTGCCCCTGTTCCTATCGATCTTGGCCGACTTGTTCCCTTCCATGAGCGCCCCGCCGAAGGCCGAATACCCCGACATGGAACAAGCGTTGATGGAGGAATGCGAGAAGGACGGCAAGATCTTTTATGAGGGGCCCGAGGGGTCCGAGGGCACGCGCGGCGGCTGGGTCGGCAAGGTCATCCAGCTCTACGAGACGACGAAGGTGCGGTCTCCGCGTTTTGAAGTGTAGAGGCGCCTTCACTTCATTCAAACGCGTCGTCTCCAGGAGAGGAGGCCGTGGCTGGTCTCATTTTCGATTTTGAGGCGTTTCGGACCACGCGGTCGCCTCGGACTCCCGAGAGAGGCAGAGAGCAATCTTCACGGGTCGCGGCGATGGCGTCGGGCTCATACGCAATCGACGCGACTGGTGTCCATCTCACGTCCATGAGAGTGGTTTCGGGCGAGGTCGCGACTCGACACATGTCACACACAGGTCCGCCACGGCATCATGCTCGTCGGGCCCACCGGAGGCGGCAAGTCGACCATTTTCTACTTGTTGAGGAGAGTATTACACAAGATCATGGACCTGCAGCACCGAGCGTGTCGATTCAACCCGAAGGCGATCCGCGCGCAGCAGATGTACGGCGAGGTCGACCCCGTCAGCCAGGAGTGGACGACGGGCGTCTTCGCGGCCATGTGGGCCAAGGCCTGCAACCGCGACAACCCCTACAACACGTGGATCACGGCCGACGGGCCCGTCGACGCGATCTGGATCGAGGACCTGAACACGGTCTTGGACGACAATAAAATCCTCACGCTGGCGAACGGCGACCGCATGCCCATGACGGACAACGTGACACGCGGCGTCCTGCGGTGCCTTCACGCCGTCGACGCGACGCCAGAGAACGGCCCCAGAATCGAAACTGAGACCACGCCTGGCCTCCTGCGATGGAGACGCGTCGTATTGAGGAAGTGAGAGCGCCGCGAACCCCTCGCAACGCGCGAAACCGCCGCCACGCGCAGGTCAAGATGATGTTCGAGGTCGAGACGCTCAAAAACGCGTCGCCGGCGACGGTCTCTCGCGCGGGCATCATTTACTTGTCTGAAGTGGAATTGGACTGGGAGGCGCTGTTCACGGCGTGGGTGCAGACGAGGCCGGAGGATCAACGCGACATTCTTACACAACTCAAGGAGAAGTGGCTCGGCAAGTGCGGTCAGTGACTCGGCGTCATTTTCTTCGAATTTCTCAACTTGAACTTTGGGAAGACGGCGCCAATGCGACGTTCCGCCACCGTGACTGCCGGCAGTTTCGCGACGGTGTCGTTCCACACAGACCCCATCGAGCCGGGCCCGGCCTTTTCCTTTTTACAAAGGCAGACGTCCCCGAAGCTCGCGACGGGTCGGATGGCGATTCTCCAGGCCATGCTGACCTTAATTGACGGCTTTACGTTAGAAGCCGGGGCACCGGTGCAAACGGCCATCAAAATTGATCAGGGAGACCTCGCCGTCAACTTGGAGAAGATTTTCATCCTGGCCTTCACGTGGTCCTTTGGCGCGTTACTCGAGGCCGACGACCGCGACAAGCTCAACGAGTGGATGTCTTCAGTAGACAAGACGCACATGCCCTCTGGAAATGTTTTCGAGTTTAAGCTCGACCACGAGAGCTGCGACTGGGTCGAGTGGAGCGCGCCGGTCTGGAAGTACCCCGACGGCGACACGCTGGACTTTGCGAGTATCTTGGTGCCGACGGTCGACGCGGAGCGGACGCAGTACTTAATTAAACAGGCCCACAAGCAGAAGAAGGCCGCTCTACTTATTGGTTCTGCCGGTACCGCAAAAACAGCAACGGTAAGGATGTTCCTGCAGTCGCTGGACATGCTCACGAGGACGGTCAACTACTCGTTCGCGACGACGATGTGCGACCTCGGCGTTTTGAAGTGGTGCCTTCGACGCGTGGCCATGAGTGAATTCGGACCGCTTTGACGGACATGCGCCGCGCAGGTTCGGCGCGCAGAACGCCGTCGAGGCCGAGCTCGACAAAAGGGGCGGCAAGAACTTCGGCCCGCCGAACGGCAACAAGATGACGTTTTTCATCGACGACATGTCGATGCCGGAGGTGCGCTCGCGGCGTCCCGTCATGTAGTTCATCAGACTCGTGTCCATCAGACGAGGCCGTGAGTGGTCTCTTTTTCGATATTGAGCGAGATCGCGACTCGATATACTCGACGCGGTCCGAATGCACTCAAATTCGACAAAGAAACTACCCACTTCCATCATTCCTAGAGACGACGCGCGTCGATGGCGTGGAGGCGCCTCGACACGTATCACACACAGGTCAACAAGTGGACGGACCAGCCGACGCTCGAATTGATGCGCCAATTGGTCGAATATTCGGGTTTTTGCTTCCTCGACAAGGATAAGAGGGGCGACTTCAAGACCTGCGAGGACGTCTACTACATCGGGGCCATGGGCCACCCCGGTGGGGGGAGGAATGACATTCCGAATCGCTTGAAGCGGCAGTTCTACACGATCAACCTGACGCCGCCGTCCATCAACAGCATCAACGACATCTACGGCCAGATGCTCGCCGGGCGCTTTCCCGCGCGCCAGACGGAGACGGATCTCAAGCTAGTGGTGAACGCGCTAACGAAGGCCACGATCAAGTTGTGGACCTTCATGCAGAACAAGATGCTGCCGACGCCGGCGAAGTCCGTTGCGGCGTCCCGTATCATGTTGTGGGTCGTTTCTTTTTTGCTGAAGAGGCCGTTCGGACCGCGTCGCGTCCGAATGCACCCACTTCATCATGAGGTGGACACGACGCGCGTCGACCGTCGCACGCCGAGATACGAACCGCGACGCGCCGCGCAGGTTCCACTACGTCTTCAACATGCGCGACCTGTCGCGCGTCTTCCAGGGCGTTTTAGCTGTCCCGCACGACTCGATCAACACGGGCGGCACGCGCGGCCAGGAGGGCACGTACACCGTCGCACCACCCTCGACGCTCGTCAACGTCTGGAAGCACGAGTGCGCTCGCGGCGTTTTGAAGTGTCTCGTGGCCATCAGACGAGGTCGTTCCGCGCAGGTGCGAGCGCGTCTTCAACGACAAGCTCACGAACTATAAAGACAAGGACGTCTGCACGGGCGCGATCCAAGAGACCATCACGGAAGTGTTTGACGAGGCCGTCGTGGCCGGTATTCCTTCTGACAGTGAACTACTGATGGTCAACTTTTTGAGAGACGACATCTACGACGAGGACGGCGTCATGCAGGAGGAGGCTCCTAAAGTGTATGAGCCGGGAGGAACCCTGAAAGAGATCAAATCTAGGGTCGACATGTTCCTCGACAAGTACAACGAGGAAAACCCGTCCAAAAAAATGGACCTGGTGCTCTTCGACGACGCGTTGAAGCACATGCTGAAGATCAACAGATTGATGGAGATGCCGCGCGGCTCTGGACTTCTTGTAGGTGTGGGTGGTAGTGGTAAACAGTCGTTAACACGACTCTCCAGTTACATCAGTCGATTCATGTGCTTCCAGATCACGCTCACGAAGACGTACAACCAGGCCTCGCTGCTGGAGGACATCCGCACTCTATACAGAAACGCCGGCGCCGGCAAAGGGACCACGTTCCTCTTCACCGAGTCGGAGATCAAGGCCGAGTCGTTCCTCGAGACGTTGAATAGTGTGCTCATGACGGGCGAGGTGCCCGGCTTGTTTGCGAAGGACGAGATCATGGCCATGACGGTCAGTGACTCAGAGCAGAAAATGAACTTGAACTTGACGTGGTCGCGTCGATGGCGTCCGAGAGCGTCGTCACGCGCTCCACGCCATCTTCATGGAGACGTGCCTCGCTTCTCGACGAGTTTCGTGATTGTTTGTATCAACACAGGCGGAATTGCGGCCGTCCTTCATCAAAAATCGGCCGGGCGTCGAAGAGACGCAGGACAACCTCAAGGCGTATTTAACTGATGTAACAAGGGACAACTTGCACCTCATGCTCTGCATGTCGCCCTTGAACCCGAAATTCCCCGAGAGGGCGAGACGGTTCCCGGGCCTCGTGTCCGCGCCGACGATCGACTGGTTCCTGCCGTGGCCCGAAGAGGCGCTCGTCGCCGTCTCGAAGGGCTTCCTGGGCAAGTTCGAGATGGCCTGCGACGACGACATCAAAAACAACGTCATGACGACGATGGGCGCGGACGCGGCGTTGAAGTTTCCTTCAATTTCTCAACTTGAAGTTTTCGTGAAGACGTCTCACGGCACCGTGACGCCGTCGACGTGGCCACGCGAGAGCCTCCGCGTCGCGTGGATGTCCAGAGGCCGTGTCGCGACGGCGTCCATCAAACGCAGGCATGTGCCACGCGCACACGACGGACGTCTGCCTCGAGTACTTCGAGAAGATGCGGCGCCAGGTCTACCAGACGCCGAAGTCGTACCTCAGCTTCATCGCGGCCTACCAGGTCATGTACGGTGACTCAGCGTCCGATGCTCATCAATTTTTCAAGTTGAACTTTGGGAAGATGGCGTCCACGCGACGCGCCGCCACCGCGACGCCGTCGACGTGGCTCTGAGAGAGCTGTGGCCGTGTCGCGACGGTATCAATGCAGGTACAAGACGAAGCTCGCGGAGATCGAGCACAAGGAGGCGTCCATTTTGTTGGGTCTCGAGAAGCTCGAGCAGGGCGGTAAAGACGTGGAGGACATGAAACTCGTGCTCGCGGAGGAAGATAAAAAATTGGCCGTCGCGTCGGAGGAGACGAATAAGATGCTCGAGGGGCTGCAGATCTCGTCGGCGGAGGCGCAGCGCGAAGGAGATAAAGTAGCCAAGGACAAGGCGGCCTGCGAAGCGGATGCGGAGCGGATCGGCAAGGAGAAGGCCTTGGCGGAAATTGATTTGGCGAAGGCGCAGCCGTTCGTCGACAAGGCGCGCTCGCGGCGTCCCGTACGGTGCCTTCACTTCAATGCGACTCGTGTCCATCAGACGAGGTCGTGGGTGGTTTCTTTTTCGATATCGAGGCCGTTCGGACCGCGTCGAGCAACGTCGACCGAATCACCTCGAAATCGCCTCAAAATTCAACGAGAAACGACCCACCGCCGCCATTCCCGGACACGATCCTCCCGTACCACTCCACGACCCCAAAACTCCGCGCAGGCCAACAAAGCGATCGCGTCCATCAAACCGAAAGATATCCAAGAAATAAAAGCCAACAAGAACCCGACGGACATCATCAAGATGATCTTCGACTGCATTTTGATTTTATTTAAGCTCCCGCTCGAGAAGGTGCCGACTCGGTGTTTTTCTCGGAACGTTTCCGAACTTCAATATCATGAAGATGGCGTCGGCGCGACGCCACGCCCACGCGACGCCGTCGACGGGGCCGTCAGAGAGCCTCGGGACCGCGGCACGCCTCGACACGGCCCGAAATCGACGAAGAGACCACCCCCGGCATGCTGAGATGGCGACGACGCGCGTCGACGGCGTCGCGCCGCGCAGGTCGTCCCCGAGACGCTCTACGTCAAAAAAGAGGACCTGCCCTTTTTTGGCACCTCATTTAAATTCTCGGGCCAGGCCATGCTCGGCGGCGCCAACTTCCTGACGGACCTCCAGGCCTTCGGGGCCGAAGGGAAAGACCTGATGAACGAGGAGACGGTCGAGTTTTTATTTCCGTACGTCGACCTCGGCACCGAAGAGGGCGGCGAGTACTTCACTCCTAAAGTAGCTAAATCCGCGTCGTCGGCGGCGGAGGGTCTTTGTATTTTTGCGGCGGCGATGAAGGACTACTTCTACGCTAGTCGTATTGTCAAGCCGAAACTAGAGGCTCTCGCACTAGCTGAAGCGTCGTTAAACGAGGCGGCCGAGAAGCTCAAGCAGGCCGAAGCGAAATTAGCCGAAGTCAACGCGAAGTTGGGGGAATTGCAGGCACGATCCCCGGCGTCCGTCGTTTCGCCTTCTCTGATGGAGAGCGACCCCCACGACCCCGTCGAGATTCATGAAGACGGCCGCGCGACGCGACACGCCCGCAGGCCATGTTCGAGCGCCAGATGGGCGAGAAGAAGATTTTGGAGGACAACGCGAACATGTGGGGTCGCGGCGTCTTGACGTGTTCACTTCATTCATACGACTCGTGTCCATCAGACGAGGTCGTGGGTAGTTTGTTTTTCGAATTTGAGGCCGTTCGGACCACACGCGACGCGCCGCGCAGGCTCATGAAGAAGATGACGCAGGCCACGGATTTGATCGGCGGTCTCAGTGGAGAGCAGAAGCGCTGGACCGAGGACGCGAACGGCTTCGCGTCGGAGAAACTAAGGCTCGTCGGCGACTGCGCGGTGGCGTGCGCGTTCGTGTCGTACTGCGGCCCCTTCAACCAGGAGTACCGAAGCTACTGCATCGTCGACAAGTACAGCAACGAGTGCGAGACGCGGCACGTGCCCGTGACGCAAAACCTGAATATTATTGAGTTCCTCGCGGACATCGGCACGATCGGCGACTGGAACCAGGAAGGGTTACCGACGGACCCCCTGTCGATCCAGAACGGCATCCTCGTGACGCGAAGTTCGCGGTTCCCGCTGCTGATCGATCCCCAGGGCCAGGCCGTCGGCTGGATCACGTGTCGGGAGAAAGAAAGATTACCGGCGGCGTCGCCCACGGTCCAGCTCCTCGATCCGAAGATCAAGGACAAGCTCGAGTTCGCCATGCAGGAGGGCAAGGCCTTTATTGTATTAGGCGTCGAGAACGAGATCGACCCGATGTTCGACCCCGTCTTGGAGAAGGAGTACGTGCAAAAGGGCCGGCGGCGCGCTCGCGGCGTCTTACTTCATTGATACGACTCGTCTCCTTGTCCGATGTTGAGTCTCTGGAAGACGCGTTCGCGTCGCGCCGACGGCGTCCCGAGCCGCCGACGCCCCGCAGGTACATCATCACGATCTCCGACAAGCAGATGGACTACGACATGGCCTTCATGGCCTATTTTATTACGAGACTGCCGAACCCGACCTTCTCGCCGGAGCTCCAGGCGAAGACGACGGTCGTCGACTTCACGGTCCGTGACTCGGCGTCAAATGTAAATCCATTTCTCAACTTGAACTTTGGGACGAGGGCGTCTTCATGATGATCAGAGCGTCTACACCTCGCGTGAGAGAGCTGCGGCAGTTTCGCGACAGTTTCGCACACAGGTCACGCAAAAGGGCCTCGAGGAGCAGCTCCTCGGGAAAGTGATCGGCAAGGAGCAGCGCGCTTTGGAGGAGCAACTAGCTTTAGTGCTGCAGGAGGTCAACGCCAACACGAAGAGTCTCTTGGCGCTGGACGCTTCGTTACTCGAAAGACTCACGAGTAACACGGGGAACCTCCTAGACGACGAGGAATTAGTGGATGTCCTCGCCTCGACGAAGGCGAAGGCCCAGGAGGTCGGCGAGAAGTTGAAGGCCGCCGACGAGACGAAGATCAGCATTAATGAGAAGAGGGAACAATTTAGACCAGTGGCGACGCGGGGCTCGTGCTTGTATTTTGCCATCGTCGAGATGTCCGCCGTCAATCCCATGTATCAAACCTCATTAGCTCAGTTTTTGGGGCTGTTTATGTCCAGCATGGACAAGGCCGAGCGGGCTTCTCTGGCGTCGAAACGCGTCGAAAATATTATTGACTGCATGACGTACATCACGTACCGCTATATTAATCGGGGGTTGTACGAGAAGGACAAACTTACGTTTATCTTGATCTGTACGCTGAAGATTTTGGTCACTGCCGGTTTATTGAAGTCCGGCGACGTGACGCTGTTCTTACGAGGAGGCGCGGCTTTGGACATCAACACGGCGAAGCGCAAGCCCTTCGGCTGGATGACGAACGATTCCTGGCTGAACATTCTCGCCTTAGCGGACGCGCTCAAATTTTTCGCGAACATGCCTTCTGATATGAGTGCGTATCTCGGCGTCCCGTCGTGTTGTGGTGGTTTCACTTCATTAATACGACTCGTTTCCTAGAATCATGGCGGTGGGCGGTTTCTTTTTGATTTTTGAGGCCGTTCTTGACTCGAAATGCTCCGCGCAGGTGCGAACGAAAGTATTTGGAGGAAGTGGTACGAGGACAACGAGCCCGAGCAATTAGCTATCCCCGACTACGAAACGAGGATTTCGGAGAACGTCGAGATCGGACCCTTTTTGCGATTACTAGTGGTCCGGATGCTCCGCATGGACCGGTGCATCCCGCAGGCGCGCGACTTCATCAAGGCGACGCCCCAGATGGGTCCTAGATTTGTTGAACCGGTCACAGATACCATGGAGATGACCTACGACGAGTCGTGCGCCGAGGTGCCTACTATTTTCCTACTGTCTGCGGGCGTGGACCCGACGGAGTCCATTGAACTCCTAGCAAGGAAGAAGAAGCTGCCGCCGCCCGCCGTCATCAGTCTGGGCGAGGGCCAGGAGCCCGTCGCCATCAAAGCGTTGAACGGGGCCGCGCAAGAAGGTCTGTGGGTCATGCTCCAGAACTGCGAATTGGCTTTAGAGCTCATGGCGGACATGGAGCAGGTGCGGACTCCGCGTCCGTTTCCTTGAATTTCTCAACTTGAACTTCGCGTCGATGGCGTCATGACGCCGTCTTCATGATCACACGAGCGTCGACGCGCCTCGTGACGGCGTCGGTCCCACGCAGATGTTCGCGAAGATGGAGGCCATCGATCCGAACTTTAGATTATTCATCACGTGCCTGCCGCACAAGGACTTTCCTTTGGGCTTGCTGCAGATGAGTACGAAAGTAACTAATGAACCGCCGATGGGTTTAAAAGCCGGACTCTTACGTACGTATACGGTCACAGTAGATCAAGAGAGGTTAGAGAGGGTCGAGACGGAGCAGTGGCGCAAGCTGCTGTTCGGTCTATCCTTCCTCCATAGCGTGGTTCAGGAGCGGCGAAAGTTCGGCGCGATCGGTGCTGACTCAGCGTCATTTTCTTCGAGTTTCTCAACTTCAACTTCGCGTCGATGGCGTCAATGCGACGTTCCGACACCGTGACGCCGTCGACGTGGCCGTGCGAGAGTCTGCGCGTCGCGTGAGTGAACGGAGACAGTATCGCGACGGCGTCCGTGCCACGCAGGCTGGTGCATCAAGTACGAGTACAACACGGCGGACCTGACGGCGTGTATCTTGTTCTTGGAAGGGCATTTGTATGCCGGGCCCATTTCTTGGTCCACATTACAGTACATGGTGAGCGAGGTCCAGTACGGAGGCAAAATAACGGACTCGGTCGACCGCCGCATGTTCAACACGTACGCGGAGGAGTTTTTGAGGCCCGGCGTCTGCGAGGAAGGTTTTTCGTATACGCCCTCTGCACCAGTGATGCCCATCCCCCAGAACTACAAGTATACGGTGCCCGGACATACGGAACTCAAGCCCTTCAAGGTCCGTGACTCAGCGTCTTTTTCTCACGTTTTCCGAACTTCAACTTCGCGTCGATGGCGTCAACGCGATGCCACACCGCCGTGACGCCGTCGACGTGGCCGTGCGAGAGTCTGAGCGTCGCGTGAGTGAACGGAGACAGTATCGCGACGGCGTCGTGCCACACAGGACTACATCGAGACGTTCCCGGAGGCCGACTCGCCGGAAATTTCCGGTCTCCATCCCAACGCCGAACTGACCTTCCGCATCAACGAGGTGAACGCGATGATCGCCACGCTCGGAGAAACGCAACCTAAAGGTGGTGGGGGCGGCGGCGAGTCCATCGAGGACGCCGTGACGCGCAAAGCGACGGAGCTCATCTCGCGCCTCCCGGAGGAGTACAACGAGGACGACTACAAGCACAAGATCAACAAGCTCGGCGGGCTGACCATACCGTTAAATATATTTTTGTTCCAAGAAATACAAAGATTACAAGATGTCTTATCGAAGGTCGGCTTCCAGCTCGTGCAGCTCAAATTAGCGATCAAGGGCGAGGTGGTCTTGACCGATGAATTGGCGCAAGCATTAGGTGCGATCGGCGGGGCTCGGGTCCCGCATTCGTGGATCTACACCTTGAGCGGCACGGAGTTCTCCTGGATCCTGCCGTCGCTGGGCCAGTGGTTCTCGTCGCTCCTCGCGCGAGACGACCAGGATCGCACGTGGCTCAACAAGTCGCGGCCGCCGGCGTTCTGGATGACGGGGTGGTTTAATCCTACCGGATTCTTAACAGCGATGAAGCAGGAAGTTACTAGAAAACATAAGGCGGACAAGTGGGCGTTGGACGAAGTGGATTACCGGACGGAGGTTACTACCATGGAGCGGGTGGACCAGTGTCGCGCGGCGCCGCCGGAAGGCGTGTATGTGCACGGGCTATTCCTGGACGGCGCGGCGTTGGACAACAAGCAAGGGTTATTAGTAGAAAGTGTCCCGAAGACGCTCATCGTGCCCCTCCCGGTGCTCTTCGTGTCGGGTCTCGTAAGGGACGAGGCCATCAAACGGCGCATCGAGCTCTTCGGCAAGCACGGCCCCTACGAGTGCCCCGTCTACAAGTACCCCGTTAGGGGAGACGGCTACCCGGGCAACCCCGACATCAAGTGCTTCATCTTCTACGTCACTTTGAAGTGCACGGTCGAGAAGCCGCGGAACCACTGGACGCTGCGGGGCGTGGCGCTCCTCGCGAACGAGACGGCCTAGGTTCGATGGAGGCCCTTCCTTCGCCTCTCCCTTGCCTAAGCGGGTCATCTGTGGAATTCCTTGCGTACTCGTGGCTCCCGCGCCGCGTAGGTCTCCGCCCTCCCGGCCCGATAAGTATATGATATATATATATATCGCGTCGATGGCGTCGATGGCTGCGCGAGCGCCCGAAGTAGTCCCATGTACCAGGCCCCGCCATAAAGAAGAGCTAGCGTATATCGACACACTAGCAAATCCAACGATACGCCTCGATAGCGTTCAAAGAACGACCAAAATTCAGAATACATCCTAGTCGTTCGCCGAGACCAAATATTTCAGAGTAGCGGCCCGGGAACATACCCTCGCGCCTCCCGGAAGGCACCGCCAGCGACATTCGCGGATGAATCTTACGGCTTGCCAATTTTCACCAGCGATTGACGCCGCCTTCTACTATCCAATTGGTACATTATATCAACTCCAGCCCAGTTTTCATCCACAATCGACGGAACCGGAGCCGACGGCCCGCGCTCGGAGGGCGGGAGAAGAATTCTACTAGACAACTCCCGAGTTTATGTCCGTTTCCTTCCGTTTGTTAGTGTTAGAGTCCATCTAGGCCGATTGAACAAATACTCATCTATTTTAGGTGCTCCGTTAGAGCCGCGCGAATCGGCATTTCCGCGGCCACTCTTCGATGGCGTAAGGGGCAGGTATTCCAGAATCCGCGAGTATCAGCGACGCCACTATATAGATGGACCATAACGCCGTTGTTCTGTTCACGATCGACCGACTTGCCCGTTCTCCGCGGACGACGGTACGTACGCGGGGCACCGGAAAGGCCCCAGACCGGTGAGTTATAGAATAAATTTGCGTTTCAGGCGCTTCGGTTACGGGACGGGCCAGATAACCGGCCTGTGCGTGTACTACATTGCTCCGAGACCCAAAGATGCTCGGCGCGGGTCGTCGGTCTCGGGACCACAACATCACGTCAATTCGACGCTAAATACCTGGACCTGCGACCAGCAGCGCGTGTACCATCACCATGGACCATGATGCGATCGTTTGTTCCATGACCGACCGACTTGTGCGAGGTCCAGATCAAGATGTTCACGTCCCAAGCGTGGGCAGCCAAAAGTACCCTTCTTATAATGTAGATGTCAAATACTTGTAGTTGACTATCGGTGGGGTAGTATGGGACCCAGCGAGACCGCTATTACGATTCCTGGGGCCCTAGAGAAATTGACGTTTTTTACGGGGACGGGGCGCCATCGGGTCCAAATTGCACACTTTTTCCGGGGGCAGATCGGCTCCTGGTGGCCTCTCGGGGTAGGTCTGGTTGTGGGTACGCGCCTGCACCGCATACGCCGTCGATGCGGCAGCCTAGTGCTCTCGGAGAGCTCTGAAAAGCCAGACCGGCTAAACCTGCTAAAACGCCGCGTGCTGCTGAGAGAAATCGGCCAAAAATGCTTGAAGCGGCGGCGCATGCGGCGCAGGCGCTTGCACGTGTATAGTACCGACCCTAGGCGACCCCAGGGAGACCTCTTGGGCAGGGATTGACAGAATTAATCGGGCGCGGCCGCCATGACCATGGCACCATCGTCAGCGCGAATTAAAAAATTTCGTTTTTCGGCCCCCAGTACGTGTCCCATTGCTCTCTTTGGACCAGTGGCGAACTGAAGGATACTCAATCGGCTGCATGCGCGTTCCGAATTTGCTTGCTAGTGTCTTACATGCCGCTAGCTCGCATCTCGCGCGCCCGAGTTTTGATTGCAGGGGGGTCGTAGCGACGCGCAGACCGCTGCGTCAACAAGACAGCATTGTCACAGCAAGCCGTAGCGCTGCGTCGACGCCCTGCGCCGCGACACGCCGCAGGAGCTCCGCTGAGCCAGCAGATTTCAAAATCCATCTCACACCTGGCCGCGCCGGCGCCGCGCCTGATACCGGATAGTCATGGCAGCACAGCTCGCGCGTCTCACGGCGCCCTTCGACGCCAAAACGAGCCACAAGTACAGCGTCGCGCCGGGCCAGCGCAGCTACGTCCAGCAGTACTCGCACGTCTACAACAAGAGAGCAGCCGCTTTACGGGGCGAATTGGAAAAGGCGGCCCGGAAAGCTTTCCCCGGTATTAAGATAGTGGGCCGCGTCGTCCAGGCCGCCGAGGCCAAGGGCGACCAGAGGCTCGTCGTCCTCGGAACGACGTTCAAGGCGTGCTCGCAGCGGCCCGACGTCATCGAGGGCAATAGGGAGTTGTTCGGCGCCAAGGCGGCGCCTCCCTCTTCGCTAGCGGCGCCGGACGACGAAATTGTATTGGAGGACGAGAGCGGCCGCCTCAAACTGCTGAAAGTCGATTCAAGGACGCTCGTGACGGGCCTGCCCGTCGCCTGTGTAGGAAAGAACACTCAAACAGGCTTCGAGGTCGAGCGTTTGGTCGGATGCGGCTTCCGAAAGCCTCAGTCGAGTCCGATGGAGAGCGACGGCGCCAAGGTGTTGTTGATCGGTGGTCTAGCCTATAGCGGTGAGGACCGCGCCACGGAGCTCAAGGCCATGGCGCGCTTCGCGCTCTTGACGGACTGGCTCGGGGGCCGGCTTTCTGATGATGACGAGTTCACGAGAAGCGTCGCGCGCTGCTTCTGTGTTGGGGATGTCGTCTGCCTCGATCCGGCGGCGGCCAAAGGTAGGGAGCGCACAGCGCGCGCTTTGGACAACAAGAACGGCGACACGGAGGACAAGCACACGGTCCTCGCGCCGGTGCGCGCCGCCGACGTGCGACTTGCTAGACTAGCTTCCCTCCTCCCGACGGCTTGCTTACCGGGGGCCCGCGACCCGACGTCCTTCGCGCTGCCGCAGCAGCCCTTACACCCGCTGCTACTCCCGGAGGCGAACCGCTACTCGACCTTTACCTCGCTGACCAACCCCTGCGAATCAACCGTCGGCGGCCGTGCTCTGTTAGCGCACGCGGGCCAGCCCGTCACCGACTTTTTGAGGTCGGCGTCCTACGAGCAAGGCGGCGCCGAGCGAGTAATGGGGGACGGCGCGAAATGTAAAGAACGCCACGTCGACGGCGATAGTGATGATGCCTTCCTCGCCTGCTTGGAAGACACGCTCTGGTGGCGCCATGCCGCGCCCACCGCGCCCGATACTTTACCGTCGTATCCCTTCAAGGACGGCGATCCCTTTGTGCTTGAGGACCCGCCCGACATTCTTATTAGTGGCGCCGCGCCGGCCTTCGCCACGTCCCTCGCTTCCACGAAAGCGGGCGAGGCCTGCGCGCGCCTGGTGTGCCTGCCGTCCTTCGCGGAGACGGGCGTCTGCGCCGTTTTAGATCTGGAGACGCTCGCCGTCGAGCGGCTCTGCTTCGACGACGGCATGGACGAGGACCCGCCTATACCGCCGGCGTCGGCCTAGGTAGGCGTCGGTCGGCTTAACTTAGTACATCCGTGCTCTCCTCTCGATGTGTTGTCTAGGTGCTAGGAGTGCTAGGACTGTGGACGCGGGCGGGCGGATTGGCCGGGTCCGAAAATTTCCCGCTTTTGCGTCCGGATCACTCGCCTACGGATACGTTGGGCCGGACGAGGGCTCCGAGGCCTGGCTCGCCGGACGTCCGCTCCGCCCTCGCACTCGGCTGCTCATCAGCAGCTACTCGCAGATTACGCCTTCGCGTTGCACCTGGGCCTCGCTACTGCTGCTACAGACAACTGTGGGACACCCCTGCAGCACGGCACTGCACGCGACAAAGTCGCTGAGCCGAAAATAGCGCGGGAGGCGAACCTGCAAACAAAAAGTCAGGGAGAGGACCTGCTACAAAATCAACGCCGTCGGCGCAAGATCCAGCCAGAAGACCGGAAAAGAACGCCGCCGGGGAGAGCGAAGCCAAACAGAGCCGAGCAAAGATGCTGGGCCCGAGCGGCGAGTTCGTCGAGTTGCGCGTTTCCGGCGTCCCCTGTCTTCGAAGCGACGCGCCCGAGGCGCACCTCACACAGGCACGAGCTGCCCTTCAACATCATGTGGGCGAGATTAAAGCAGGTCGGCTGGACCTGGAAGCAGGGCTCCGGCCTCCACCCCTACTCGTACTTCCGGCCGGGCGCGAACACGTCGCTCCGCAAGGGCGCGCTCGAGGGCCGGGACTACTTCTCGACGGAGGCGGCGGTCGTCCAGTTCGTCAAGTCGCGGCGGATCAACGGCCTCCGGGGCAGGATCGGCGCCGTGGGCGAGGACACGCGGCGGCGAGCCGCAGAGGATGACGCGGCGCTCGAGGCGGCGCGCGAGCGGGAGCGCGCGGGGCGCCGGACGTACCGCCTCGTCTACGGCGGGCGCTTCGGCGCGTGGCCCGTGCTGTCGGGCCGGGATTTGAGATCCGCACCCCTCACGGACTTAAGGGAGGGCGACGGCGCGGTGGCGCCGGGCGGCGCGGCGACGCCGCGGGGAGGGTGGGTCCACGTCGTGGCCTGTGTGGAAATCAACCAGTGTGGCGGGTGCGTCGTCGATGGCGTGGAGGTCGACGCGAACGCGCCGTAAATTCTGATTTCCACACAGGTCGTCGCCGTCAAGCGCGCCGACGGGACCGAGGAGGAGCTCGCGCGGGCGGGCTTCTGCCGCCTCGACGCGACGGACGACGGGCGGCGCCAGCTCTACCAGGACGGCGAGCAGCCGCGGGCCGGCGTCGTGCGCGTGTCCGCGGCGCTGCTCCAGCGCTGCGAGGCCGCGGCCGACGACGCTGCCCGCGCGGCCGTTGCGCGCGAGCTCTCGGGCCCGCGCTGCGGCTTCGACGCTGCGCGCGCGGGCCTATTTTTGGAGGCGCTGGCGGCGCGCGCGCGGCGCGCGCAAATCGCGGCGTCGCCGGCGCCGGCGCCGAGCGTGCCCCCGGTGCCAAAAACCCCTGCGGCGCCGACGGGCAGCTCCATCCAGCCGTCGCGGTCTTACGTGCACGCGCCCTTCGCCAACCCCCGCGCCAAGTCCTGCTGGCTCTCGTGCGCGTTTCAAGTATTGTGGCACTCGCGTGCGTGGCACACGTGCTTCGAGGCGGCCCTGGAGGCGGGCGCGCTCGAGACCAGTGAATGGGACACGCCCGGCGCGCCGAAGATCGAGGCCCTCGTGGACACGTGGCGCGAGTACCGCCAGACGCTCGCGTCGCACGCGCCGCCGCCGCCGAAGAAGGCTAGAATCGGGGCCTCGGTGGACACGGTGCCCGACCTCGACCAGGCGGACAGCGTCTCGCCGGCGCGGCTGGCCGAGGCCTTCGCGCCCGAGGGCGACCGCCACGGCTTCGGCGACACGAGCGACGCGCTCTCGGCCGTGCAGCGGGCGCTGGACCACCCGAATGTCCCGTCGCAAGCGCGCTGCCTCTCCGATTTGTACCGCATCCAGCCCGTGCCCTGGGGCGACGGCATCGACACGGCGCGGGTCCAGGCATTATTGGTGCACGCCCTGGCGACGCCGCTCGCCGCCGCGCCCGAGACGCCGCGGCCCGGTGCGCCGGCACGGCCGCGGCGGGGACGGTCCACGGGCGCCGCCACGGTGACACCGCCGCCGGTCGTTCGGGCCGGGGCGTCCATCATCGCCCTCGACCTCGCCTGGCCGCCGACGCGCGACGCGGCTCGGATCGAGGCGCTCGCACGCGCCTTCACACCGCAGCCCGACGCGCCCATCGCCCTCTACGCGCTCGTCTGCTACTGCCACCGGCTTCAGCACTACGTAGCCTACGTCAAGCGGCAGACGAGCGACGCGTTCCTCTTTTTCAACGACCTGCCGCACCTGTCCGGCGGCGCGCGGCCGAGCCGCGGGTCCAAGAGCAAGTATGCAAACGCTGCGTCCGACGGGCCGCCGGAAATGCGGGCCGCCGTCACGTGGGACGAGGCGGTGCGGACGTGCGGGAGGCAACACCTCCAGCCGCGGCTCGTGCTCTATGAAGACGCCTCCCACCCCTCCGTCGCGCGGGCGCTGGACGCCATCGGCGGGCGCAAGTAGTGTACTTAACTATCTATAAAGACTCTTTCTTCGTTTAGGAATCCGCTAGCGTCATGTAAGACACTAGCAAAAGCCCAGAGCCGCGTCCGAGCTTCTCGACGCGCCCAGAGCCGTCCCATTTCAGCGTAGCTTGTGACCGCAGAGGATGAGGGTGCTAGCACTCGTTCCCGCGTTTGCGGGCGCGCTACAGCGCATGGCCCCTCGCGCGGCGCCGGCTCGCAGCGTAAGCAGTCCCACGGCGCTCCGCTCGGCGGTCGTCTCCGCAGTGGACCGCACAAATTGGGAGACCTCTGGGCGAGATCTCATATTGAAGAGCACGGATGGCACGTCGGACATCGTCTTTGACGCGGAGCACGCGCCAGCCGGCGGAGATCCCGCGGCTATCGTGTTTTTGCCGTCTCTTGCTCTGCCGAAAGTGAACGCCATGTCTTCTTCCTTGCGGACCTGGTGCCGCAAGAACAAATATAGCTTCGTCGTGGCCGATTACCACGGCGTGGGACGCTCGAAGGGTAACATCGAGGAGGCTTGTCTCTCGAAGTGGCTCGCCGATACGAAGCAGTTGATCGAAACGGTTGCCTCGCCGAACGACCACCGCCGCGTCGTGCTCGTCGGCGCCGGAGTTGGTGGGTGGATAGCCGTACGGCTCGCTCAAACAGATCCCGAGCTCGTCGGTGGCGTCGTTGGTCTCGCGGCCGACCCCGACTTCACGGAGGACCTGCTCCTGAAGAGGCTCAAGCCCGACGTCATCGAGAGGATCATGGATGCACGCAGCAGCGCAGACATCAACACGCCATCGACGCGAGGCCTGCCCGGCCATCGAGGCTCACCGGTCGCTTTCCGCACAGGGCATGGAGCTCATCAAGTGGGGTGATTGTTCGTATCCGATCTCGCGCAAGCTGATCGAGGACGCGCGCGATCACCTACTGCTAAAGGGCCCCGACGGCGGCCTAGACGTCCAGTGCCCCGTTAGACTCCTGCACGGCCTCGAGGACGAGGAGGTGCCCTACACGACGGCCGTGCGCCTCGCGAACCGGATCAAGACGGAGGACGTGACTGTCAGTCTTTCGAAGAGCGGACACTACATGGACGACATCGACGACTTCAAGCGCACGCGCCTCGCCATCCAGGACTGCCTCGAGTCGATCTTCGTGCTCGACCTGCGGAGCCCGTCGTCCGGCTGAGCGGCGTTTTTAGGGGCGACCTCTGTATTTAACTCTCATATCTAGTACATTTTTTTTCGATCATAATTAGTAACAAGCCCGGCGAGGGGCTAAACGGGGAGGGGAGGGGACTGCTGCAACGCGACACCCGGCAGAAGATCGGGCGCGATCGAGGACGGTGTGCGTGCGCGGCACGAGGAGGTTCTTGGTGGAGCGGTTTCTTCAGGCGCGTACTCCGCGAGGACGTGGTTCGAGGAGTTAGGCGCCGGGTTCCGGCGCGCCGGGCGCGGAGCCCGGCTGAGCGTAGGCCGCCGGCTGGCCGCCGGCCGCGTACGCGGCATAGGCCGCCTCGGCGTCGGCGTAGGCCGCGTAGTCGGGCGCGGCGCCCGGCGCGGCGCCCGGCGCGGCGGCGTAGCCCGCCGGCGGGCCGTACTGCGCGTACTGCTGCTGCTGGTACGCCGCCTGCTGGTCGGCCGGCGCCGGCGGCTGGCCGTACTGCTGTTGGGACGGGTCGTACTGGTACTGCTGCTGCTGCTGCTGTTGATGATACTGGGCGTACTGCGGCGACCGCGCCGTGTCGGGCACCGTGCCCGCGGCGGCGTTCGCCGTGGCACGCATCACATAAGCGCTCGGGTTGCGGATGGCACCTCTCTTCCTGCGCAGCTCCAAAAGGATCTGCGTCGACTGGAGCGCCGGCAAGGCCTGCAGGGCCGCGACGGCCTTTTGATCTAAGTGAGCATACTCGGCAGCCACCGCCGCGTCCGTGTCGAAGGGCTGCGACGGCGGCGGCGCCGCGTGGTGCTCGTAGTAGTGGCCGCCGGGGTAGTCGAGCTGCTGGCCCGTGGGGCCGAAGGGCTGCTGCGGCGCGCCGTAGCCGCGCGGCGCCGGCGGCTGGCCGTGCATCGGCGGCCGGCCGTAGCCGCCGCCGCCGTAGCCCCGCGGCGGGCCGCCGGGCGGGCCGCCGCCGTAGAAGCGGCCGCCTCCTTCCAACTGGCGCCGCGCGTTGCCGACGGCCTTGACGACGTAGGCCGACGGGTTGCGCACGCCGGCGCCCTTGGACGCGAGCTCGTCGAGGATCGACGTCGCCTGCTCCTGGGGCAGCTCCTGCAGCGCGCTCAGGGCGTTCTGGTCGAGCTGGCCTGCGGCCGCGCCGCCGCCGTAGGCGCCGCCGGGCTGGCCGTAGGGCGGCGCTTGCGTGCCGCGGCGCCGCGCGTTGTTGACCGCGCGGTGCACGTAGGCGCTGGGGTTGCGGACGGTCGCGCCGGCCTGCTCGAGGCGCTGCGCGATGGCGTCGGCCTCGGCCGTCTCGAGCTCGGCGAGCGCGCGCAGGGCCCCCGCGTCGAGGCGGTGGCTCACGGCCTCGCTGAGCGACGTCGGCCCGAAAGCCGAGGGCGGGGGCTGCATGCCCGGCGCGGCCGCCCCCAGCGGCAGGCCGCCCAGGCTTGCCGCGCCCGGCGGCACGGGCGGGTCGTTCGGCGGGCCCAAGGCGCCGAGGCCGATGTCGCTCGACGCGGGCGGCGGCAGCGCGACGCCGAGCGGTCCCCCCGCGTAGCCCGTCGTCACGACCTCGTCGACGCCCGGCGGCGGGAGGCCGCCGAGGCCGCCCAACGTGGGCGCGGCGACTGTCGGGTCCATCTTCGCGTGCGCGAGCCCGTGAGTTGTGCCGCGGAAGCTCGGCGCGGCGCAAACAGGCGCGCTCTGCTGCCTCCGCGCCAAGTTACGCGTGTATGCGGCCGCGGAGCTCGGCGCAACGCACACAGCGTATGCGCGGCTTAGAGGCGAAAGTCTACGGCGCCAGACGCCACCGGCCGCCGCCGGGAAGCAGCGTAGCTTGCTCTCAGCGACTGCGTGTGTGGACTATCGATAGACCTCGATAGCGTAAAGCCACTAGCTTTTTTTTTGAAGCATCCATCCTTGCAAACACAACGTCCAGGACGACCTTTCCCCCTCCGAGGCATAGAAACACTAAAATGTCCGGGCAAATTCAGTCCGACCAGTGACCTCGGCCGAACCGCGCGCGGGCGGGCGCCAGCCGAAACGCTGCCCGCGCAAGCAAATCTACTGACAAAGATCAAAACAGCCAGCGCCGGCACCGCCGGACCCACGCAACAGATCAAACCACCGAGAGGACCAAAACCAAAAAAAAGATGGCTGTGTGCGAGGCCTACGGCTACAAAGTAGATAGATTATTAGGAAGGGGCGCCTTCGGCAGCGTGTGTCGAGCGACAAAAGACCACAAGACCGTAGCAATAAAACACATCGCGAAGCGATTCCGGAGCTGGACCGAGTGCCTCCAGCAGCGCGAGATTTCATCCCTCAAAAAGTGCCAGGATCGAGGCGGCCACGCCAACCTCATACGAGTCATGGAGGTGATCCACGCGAAGGCCGACGGGTCCGTCTTTATTGTGATGGAATTTGTGGACGGCGGCAATTTATACGACGCCATGAAGAAGGGGGACTACTTTAGTCGTGAAAAGGCGGCGGGCGTCGCGCGGGACGTCCTGCGAGGTTTAAGTCACATGCACCGCCGCGGCTTCTTCCATCGGGACATCAAGCCGGAGAACGTCCTCGTCACCAAGGGGTTATGCAAGATCGCGGATCTGGGCTGCGCGCGCGAGGTGCGGTCCGCGCCGCCCTACACGGACTACGTGTCGACGCGCTGGTACCGCGCGCCCGAGAACGCGCTGCGGTCGAAGGTCTACTCGAGTCCCGTCGACGTCTGGGCCTGTGGGTGTGTGTTGGGCGAGTTGTTGACGAAGGGGCGGCCCCTCTTCCCGGCTTCCTCTGAGGCTGATTTAGTCCACAAAATTTTTCAGGCGAGGGGCAACCCGTGGCAGGCGGGCTGGCAGGACGGTATAAGATTGGCCACTGGATTAAGGTTGGAGCCGCCGGCGGATAAGCGGAGGCGCCGCGCCTTTCCCCTGGAGCTGCGCGGCGCCGATGTGAGCGGCACCGATTTATGTGATGCGCTGCTCCGCCTCGACCCTGCGGCGCGGCCGTCGGCCCAGGCCGCGCTCGACCACGCGTTCCTAAGGAATGCGCCGCGCGACGAGCCGCCCGCCACGGTCGCGGCGGCGGCGCCCGCCCCGACGACGACGACCACGACCGCCGCGCCGCCGGCGCGCGCGAAGGCCCTGCCGGACCCGAGCGCGCGCTTCTCGTACGGCGGCCTCTTCGACGACGCGGCGCCCCCGGCCGCCGCCGCGCCCGAGGCCGACAAGCCGCGGCGCTTCGAGCCGAGCGCCGCCTTCTCGTACGACTTCGGGCGCGTCGGCGACGGCGCGCCCCTCGACCTCGCGGCCGCGGACGCCGCCGTCGCCGCGAGCCCCGTGGCCGGCGCCTTCGCCGCCTTCGGCCTGCCGCCGCCGCGCGCCGACGCGAGCGACGGCGACGACGTCGCGCCGGTCTGCCAGCTGCCGTCGCCGCCGCCGGCCCTGCCGTCGCCCGTCGCCTTCGCCTCGCCGCGCGCGGGTCCCTCGTTCCTCGCCTCGACGGCGTCGACGACGGCGTCGACGTCGCCCGAGGTCCTCGCTTCGACGACCTCGAGCTCGCCCGAGGTCCCACGCAAGGACAGCCCGTCGGCGCTCGCCTCGACGGCGGCGAGCGACTCGCCCGAGGTCCTCGCGGCGGGCCGCGCGGCCGTCCCGACGCCTGTGTCGGTGCCGGCGCTCGCCGCGTCGCCGGCGTCCGACGGGGACGCCTCGGACTCGGACGCGTCGTCGTCGCCGGAGGCGTCGCCGCGCGGCCCGATGCCGTCGCCGGACGACACGGCGGCGCGGGCCGCGCGCGTGCTCGGCTCGTCCATCGACGACTCGTCGTCGTCGGACGGCGACGAGGCGCCGCGCGCGGCGGACGCGGCGGACGCGACGCCGAGCACGCGCGCCTCGCCGTCGACCTGCGATATTAGCCCGGCGACGCCCATCTTTTCGCCGCCGGCCATCCCGGCCATCGACGCGACGCCGGCCCGTGCGTCGCCGCCGTCGCTGCTCGCGCGGGCGCGCGCCGCGGCGAGCCCGGCCGCCTGGCAAAACGACCAACGTGACGAGAACGACGACCCGACGCCCTGGACGGACGCCGAGGTCCGGCGCCTGAAGATCGTCGTCGCCGACGCGTACAAGCGCGCGCGCGCCGGCGGCGCGACGGAGCGCGCCGACTGGTACGCCGCCGTCTGGCGGGACGTGCGCCGCGCGCTCGGGCACGCGCGACCCATCCGCGAGTACCAGGCCAAATACAAGCTGCTCATCGCCGAGAAGAAGCGGCTGCGGGCCCTTCGGCCACCAACGTTCGTGGACCCCGTCGAGACGCGCGCGCCGGCGTTCGCTGCGCCGGACGACGGGACGCGGGTCGAGGAGTTTTAACATATCTATGCTTTTTCTGTACCTTACGTCGCGCCCGAACAGGCCCTTGGGCTAGCTAGACGCCGCCCGCGGCCGGCGGCCCCGGGCGCGGGCGCGGCGCCGTTCGCGCGAGCACGAGGTATGAGACGTCCGCCGCGGGCTTGATCTCGCGCTCGACGGTCCAACCCTCCGCGAGCATCTTTGCGAGCGGCACTTGCACGGTTTCACCTCTTTCAAAGGTCTCTCCTCCGAATTCAAATTCTTTCTGCTCGTGCCAAATTGCCTTAAGCTCCCGCGGGATGTCCTCGAACTTAGCATCACCACCGCGGACGAAGCCCTCTCTCACGCGGACAAGCTTGCGCTCCGTGTGTTGCTCATGCAACGTAGAAGCCGCCGCGACAATCGAAGCCGCCAATTCCGCCGCCATGGCGCCACGGCGGCTGTTCTCCAATGCAAGTGGAGCTAACAAAGTGACCCAAAATGACCCGAAAACCCGCAACGATCGATATCGCCTTATACCAGCTTAATGATCAATCTCTGCAACTCTCTGAGAGCTACGGAAACATCAGATTCACATCTTCTGTCAAAACCCGTGCGCGACAACAAAAATTGCCAGCCTCCGCTCGAGCCGAGCCCCGCGAGCTCTGGGGCAGCCAAGCCTCCGAGGCGTCGAAGCTCTGGGGCAGCACGATGCGCAACCGATGGCTGCCCCTGCTCTTCGCGGCGGGAGCCGCCAAGCGCATCGGCTTCGGGCCGCTCCGGGAGAACGAGTACCCGGCAGCTAAATGGATGCAGGCGCACACGACGGCGGCGGCGGAGCTCGTCCCCGCGTCGGTGCAGGTCGACTTCACGAAGGGCGAGCGCTGCGTGCTGGCGCATGAGGGCGTCACGCTCCGGCGGGCGGCGCAGCTCGCCGCCGCGGACGGCTGCATGGCGGGGGATGAGGAGACCGAGCTCTACAAGCGGCGCTGCGCCATCCACCATCAGCCGCGCGCGCACTGCCTCGAGACGACGACGGAATCGCAGCGTAGGTTCTGGCACGCGCACGACAACCACGCCGGCAGCAGCTCGGCCGGCGAGGCCGCGGCGCGGCTTGCGTCGCGCGGCGTCGGCGACCTCTACATCTGGGGCGACGCAACTTCCGTGGCCGACGCGCACCACCTCTTCTGCGAGCTGCTGCGCGCGCACTGGGCGGTCGAGGAGAAAGATTCTGGCGCGTTCGCGGCGGACCTGCGGCAAAAAGTCGGCAACGCGACGTGGGCGGCGCTCCGGCCGCACGAGCGGCTGCCGTTCAAGAGCTTCAAGGCGTGCCAGCGGACTGGCCGATGCCTGCGCGTGCACGCGATGCGGCTCTTCGGCGTCGCGCGGTTCCGGGGCGTCGCGGCGGTGCTCGACGCGGCGAACGCGCTCGCGCCGACGGCCGGCGCGCGCGTCGCGCACGTCTTCAACGACGGGTCCATGGACGGCCTCGGGTCCGGCGCGGACCAGCCCGAGGACGCCTACGTCGCGAGCGTCGTGGGCTTCTTGGACGCGATCACGCGGTGGCGCAACGCGCTGCCGGACCCCGCGCGCGTGCTGCTGGCCTGGCGCGAGACGTACCCGCAGCATTTCGTGACCGGCGACGGCTCGGGGCTCAGGCGGGCCGCGGTCGGGACGCCGACACTCTGCGCGCCGAACGTCACGGGCGGCGGCTACGCGGCCCTCGAGGCCAAAATCCGAGCGCAGTCGAAGAGCGGCGTGCCCGTCGTCGAGGTCTTCGACCTCTACAAGGACCGCGGGGACCTCCACCTCGGCCAGCGCGGCCACGACGTCGACTGTACGACGTACTGCTACGCGCCGCACCTCGTCGGGCCGCTCTTCGACCGCGCGGCGACGGCGCTGCTGCGGCCTACTCGGAGCGAGCGAGAGCGTCTCGCGTCGGCTGCGGCGGCGGAGGATGAGGAATTGGCAGCCAAGGAGCGGCAACGGCGCGAGGCTAACGGTAAGTGAGTTATACATTTTTATACTTTGCTTAGAGCTAGGCCGCCTACGAGCTTGCAGCCCCCGTCGATCGCCGACGACGCGGGGTCTGCTTGACCGCCGTTTTTTAGTAGCCTCTCATTCCAAATTACTTGGTATCCTCTCCAAGTAGTCGTAGTAAGTCCCCAGACCAATTGCCGGGCTGCTGTCGGCCTAGTATGTCTCTGGAGAGTGCCAGCTCTGTCGCACGCAAGTTTGTAAACAGCGTGGTGCCGGACAAAAGGTGCTGCCGGACGCTCACATCGATCGCGTTTGCATCGATAAAACCGGTGCTGCGTTACAATTCCAACGATTGCGCAAATCAACAAATAGAGCTCAAGCAGCCACCTCATCTACAAGTTGCTGAACAGTGCGAAAACGCTGCACCTGCGTACAAATGTGTAAAGCACCGATGGTGGAGCCCGCCGAGAACAAAAAGAAGCCGCCGCGCCGCGCGCAGCACATCCTCCGCTACGCGTCCTGCAAGGACGTCGCCATGTACGCCGCCGCCTTCGTGACGGTGATGGTCAGCGGCCTGAACCAGCCGGCGCAGCTCATCATCTTCGGCAATCTCCTCGACAGCTTCAACACGGCCGACACGGCCGAGGCTGTAAAACTCGTCCACTTCTTCGCGCTCATGTACGCCGTCGTGGGCATCCAACAGCTCATCACGATCACGCTCCAGACCGCGCTGGCGACGCGCGTCGCCGCGGCGCAAGCGCGGCGCTGCCGCGAGAAGTACTTTGCCGCCGTCTTATCACGACCGATCAGCTGGTTCGACCAGAGCGACCAGGGCGCCGTCGGCGCGTCGGTGCTCGAATCCACGCTCGCCATCCAAGACGGGCTCGGCGAGAAGCTCACCACCGCGCTGCAGGGCGTCTTCGCCTTCGTCTTTGGTCTGGCCGTGTCGCTCTACTACGCTTGGTCGCTGGCGTTGGTGTCGGTCGGCGCGCTGCCCATCGTGGTCGTGCTCCTGGGCCTCGCGTCAAAGGTCGCGAGCCGGGCGAACGCCAAGGCGGCAGACGCGTCGGCGGCCGCGTCGGCCGTCGCGAACGAGGCGCTCGTCAACGTGCGGACCGTGGCGGCGTTCGGCGGCGAGCGCCGGGAGATGAACCGCTACGCGGCGGCGTGCGCGCGCGCGGCGGACGCGACGCTCGGCGCCGCCGTGTCGACGGGCGCGAACGCGGCGCTCGTCTCGTGCATCCTCTACGGCACCTGGGCCCTCGGGTTGTGGTACGGGAGCTACCTCATCCGCCAGGACATGAAGCGCCACGACTACTGCAACTACCGCCGCGATTCTTCCGGCGACCTCCGCGAGCCGAACAACAAGTGCATCTCGGGCGGCGACGTGATGACGGCCTTCCTCTGCGTGTTGTTCGGCGGTTTGGCGCTGCTCCAGGCCCTCCCGGGCATCGCCGCCTACCAGCTCGCCCGGTCCGAGGCCACGCGCGTCTTCAAGATCATCGACGAAGCCGACGCCACGTCCATCACCGACGCCGCCAACGTGAAGGCCGCGGCGCGGCGGGCGTCCGTCTCGACGACGCGGGGCGCCGGGACCATCGAGTTCGTCGACGTCCAGTTCAGCTACCCGGCGCGGCCGGACCGGCCCGTCTGCGCGGGACTCTGCCTCGACATCCCGGCGGGGACGACGTGCGCGCTCGTGGGCCCCTCGGGCTGCGGCAAGTCCACGGTCGTGCAGCTGCTGCTGCGCTTCTACGAGGTCTCGGGCGGCGCCGTGGTCGTCGACGGCGTCGACGCGCGGACGCTCGACGTCGCGACGCTCCGGTCGAAGATGGGGCTGGTCGCGCAGGAGCCTGTGCTATTCACTGGAACTATCTTTGAGAACATCGCGTTCGGCCGCAGTGGCGCGACGCGCGACGAGTGCGCGCGTGCGGCGCGGCTCGCGAACGCCTACGACTTCATCAGCGGCTTTCCGGACGGTTTTGACACCGAGGTCGGCGACTGCGGCGTAAAGCTGAGCGGCGGCCAGCGCCAGCGCGTCGCAATTGCGCGGGCGTTGGTTCGCGACCCCGAAATCTTGGTCCTCGACGAGGCGACCTCGGCCCTAGACGCCAAGTCCGAGCGCGTCGTCCAGGAGGCGCTCGACAGCATCACGTCCTCGAAGGCGCGGACGACGCTTGTGATAGCCCACCGCCTCAGCACGATCCGCCGCGCGGACCAGATATGTGTCCTCAACGAGGGCGCCGTGGCCGAGCGCGGCACGCATGACGAGCTCATGGCCAAGGGCGGCGCGTACAAGGCGCTCGTCGAGGCGCAGGTGTCGTCGTCCGACGACGGCGGCACGAGCGTCGCGAGCGTCGCGCCCGTGGCCGAGGACGACGTCGTCCTCGCCGAGGCCGTCACGGACACGGACGCCGGGTCGACGAAAGCCGACGACGTCGAGGCGCCGGCGCCTGTGGACAAGGCGACGGCATCTCGCGTCGTGAGCTGGCTCTGGCGGACGGCGCGCGACGAGCGGCCCTTCGTCGCCTTGGGCGTCGTGGGCTCGGCCATCGGCGGCGCGACGCAACCGCTGCTGGGCTTTTTGATGGCTGAGTTTCTCGTGGCGTTCTTCAACCACTCGACGAGCCATATGCGCCGCGAGGCCCGGTTCTGGGCCTTGATGTTCGTGGCGATGGCTGGATGTGCCGCGATCGGCGAGCTCTGGAAGTCCTACGGCTTGAGTCGTGCAGCCGAGCACGTTGTTAGGGATGTTCGGACCAAGTCCTTTGAGGCCATGGTCCGCCAGCCGATCTCCTGCGCGCAATCGGCGTCCAATTTTCCCTCTTCGTATTGACTTAGCCCGGCCGCGCCGATGCGGTCACCATCAACGCGAAGCCAGACGGAGAGGATCAGTAGCCTTTTGTCACGCGGTTGTCACACAGGGCACGATGCGCCCGAGCGAGCCGCCGGAGCTCTAGCGTCGCGACTCGCCCAAGACACGCAAGCCGTACGCGCCCTCGTCGGGCAACGCATCGCCCTATCCGTTGCAATGGTCGTTATCGTTGTGGGCGGTCTCTGTCAGTGCATAAAATCAATGCAGTGGAGCTTCTCGCGCCATCGACGCGCCGCCTTCTCGATGCACCCAACTCACTGGCTGGTTTCCGCACAGGCCTCGGCATCTCGTTCGACGCGTCGTGGCGGCTGACGCTCGTCACGCTGGGTATAATCCCTCTTATTGTCGCACCTATTGCGGTGACCGGTTCTTATGTGGCTCGAGTCGCGGAAGCTGCCCAGGAGTCGTTGGTCAGGGCCGGTGGCATCGCGACCGAAGCAGTTTTACACATGAGAACAGTGCGAGCTTACGGAATTGAGGCGGCCGTCTCGCGAAAGTTCGACGACTTTTTGGAGTTGCCGGAACGACAGGCCATTCGAAAGGGCCTCGCGGGAGGCCTGGGCGCCGGTGTCGCGGTAGCAACCCGTGCACAAATCAAATTTCACGGCGTCGTCGATCTAGTTTGTGAGGATAGTCTTTTCTCACCGCCGTTGCACACAGGCGGCGACCATTCTGTTAGGCGCAGCCTTCCAGTACTACGTCGGCGGTATTTTCTTCCGCAAGGGCTGGGTCTCCTTTTCCGACTTGATGACGGTCCTACTCGTAATTATATTCATGGCGTTTGGAATCGGAGCGGTGGCTGGTGATTCCATCGACAAGGCCGAGGTTAGTAGCTCGGTGTTTGGAAGTCCACGGCGCCGCGACTCATCGGTCGCTTCTACAGGCCATGACGGCAGCCAAGAAAGCGTGGGACATCGTCCACCTCAAATCGCCCATCGACGCGCTCGCGCCGTCCGGTTACGACGGGGGCAAGGGTGGCGCCGCGGCGACGGTTTCTTTTGAGGACGTCGCCTTCGCCTACCCGACGCGGGCCGACCGCCCGGTCTATGAGCGGCTCACGTCCGTGTAGAAATCAAATTCATGGTACCCCGCCATCGACGCGACAATTGTCCCTGTGACTGCGTCTGCTCGATGGCGTGGAGATTCCACGCCATCGACGCGATGTTGTTCACATGACTGCGCTGGCTCGATGGCGTGGAGGTTGACGATGGTCTCTCGCAATTATGCTCAGGATAACCTAACTCATTGGTTGATTTCCACACAGGCTCACATTTTCCATCGCAGCGGGTGAAGTTTGCGCGCTCGTGGGGGAAAGCGGCAGCGGTAAATCGACGGCGGTTCAACTAATACTGCGCTACTACGACGTCGACGGCGGCCGTATTTCTGTGGATGGCACCGATGTGCGAAGTTGGGACGTATCTGCTCTGCGCGCAAGTATCGGGCTCGTGAGTCAGGAGCCTGTGCTATTCACTGGCAGTATATTCGAAAACATAGCGTACGGTCGCGAGGGCGCAACGCGAAGCGACTGCGAGCGCGCGGCGCGGCTCGCGAATGCATACGACTTCATCAGTGGCTTCCCGGACGGTTTTGACACCGAGGTTGGTAGTCGCGGTATACAACTCTCTGGTGGTCAGAAGCAACGAATCGCGATTGCCCGCGCAATTGTGAGAAAACCACGTTTGTTGATACTAGACGAGGCCACGTCTGCGCTCGACGCGAATTCTGAGAAAGTAGTGCAGGCCGCCCTCGACGAGCTCGTGGCCGCGTCCTCATGTACGACGCTGGTGATAGCCCACCGCCTCAGCACGATCCGGTCGGCTTCAAAGATCTGCGTCTTCGGCAAGGGTGGCCTCCTGGAGGAGGGCACGCACAACGCGCTCCTGGCGAAGAAGGCGCACTACTACGCTCTGGTGGCGCACCAGATGGCGAAGTAGCCCTAGTTTTCTATATCCCCTTGATGGTGTAATCGTGTATACTTAGTATCAACTTAGGAACCCGCGGTCCAATCATCATCCGAATCCAGGTCCGCCTCGAGCGCGTGGCGGAGCTTACGGGCCCTACGCGAAGCGCGAGGGACGACCTTGAGACTTGCCATCTCGTCGACCTTGCGAGTGATGTCGGCAACGAGCGAGTCGTACTTCGCTTCGTCGACTCTCTCTCCTCCTTCATCGTAATAGCCAGCGTGTAACCAAAAAGAGACAACATGCCGGACGATTTCGGGCGGGAGACGGCCAGCAAACTTAGGTACGAACGTCTCGGTCAGTTTATTGAGGTGAAGACGTGCGAGGTTCGCGAAGCCGCCTTCGTCCTCCACCCTTTCTATATACCATCTTGCTCGAGGCTCGGTCTCCTCGTACAAGGCCCAGTCAGTCCTGAGGTCAGGCAAGGTAGCGCCGGCACGCAGAAGTATGGGGAAAGCCTTGACGTTTTCACTCCACGCGACCGCCGCTTCCAACGGCGTGTAGCCAGAAAAACAATGAGGAAGACACGAGTCTCTCAAATTCACTTCTGCGCCCGCTCTAATGAGCAGGCAAGCCGCGTCGGCACAGCCTGCCCTCGCTGCATGGTGCAGAGGCGTACGACCGTCATCCGACACAGCATCCACATGGGCGCCGGATGCAATCAGCCGCTGGACAAGATGCTGACGTGCGCTATTCCCCGCAGCCCAGTGAAGTGGTCTCCTACCACCAATGTAACCGTCCTGTAACGCCTGGGTCGTCGGGTTCTCCCGCGCGTTTACGTCCGCGCCCGCCGCGCGAAGTAATTCGAAACAGATGACGCTTCTTTCTTTGTGTCTATGACCTCTACTATAATTTTTGCACAACTCGTGGAGAGGCGTCCTCCCGAACTTGCCATCACGCTGATTTGGTGAAAAATTAGGATCGACAGCACCCTGACTAAGTAATTGTCGCAAGGCCTTCGGGTCGCGATCGAAAGCGGCCTTATGGAGTGGACTTTCATCGTCGCTATCGGCGGCCATACCCAAAAGAATGGCGTCGGCTAGACTGCGTTGGCTTCTAAAAAATATATATTAATTAAAAAAATTTAAAGGCGAGGCCGGCGTGCGGCTAGGCGGGGACGAGGCGTCGGCTCAGCGGATAGAACAGCTTGTGTATATAAGAGACTCAAGTTACATAACATCACCAACAGAACCCGGGGACACGCCGTATCCGCGACGGAGGCGGCGCGCATAAAGCAACGCGCCGCCGTCGCATCATGTCGCGTGCGCCGGGCCGTCTCACTCACTCACTGCTACGAGAGCCGCGCGAGCGCCGCCTCGAGCTGGCTCAGGAAGGACGAGTTGCCGATGTCCTGGAGGCTGAAGCCCCAGCGGCCGACCGGCGCGCCGGTACCGTCGAAGAGCACCCACGCGGCGAAGTTCCAGTCTACTGGTCTGCCGGGGACTGCTTCGACTATGGCCTTCCATAAAGGATGCGCGTCCGTGCCGCCTACCGTAGCCTTGGCCATCACCGTGCAGCGGTCCTCGCCGTCGGCAGATAGCCCGTAGCGTGCTACGAATGCGGCTATTTGGTCCGAAGGCAGTTCCTCGTTCCCGAACTCATCGCTGGGCCATAGCACGACCTCCAGCGTAGCGTATGTCTCGCGCAGCGCGGCGATGGCCCGATACGACTTGTCGGTGTCGCCTCATTCGCTGGCGACGTTCACAAATAGCACCGGCTTCCCGGCGAAGCTCGAGAACTCGACGCGGCGCCCGGACAGCGCCGTCGCTTGGAATTCGTGCAGCTGCATTTCGTTTTGTGCAGAGCCTCTGGCAGACGCTACAAGTGGACTTAGACGCGCAGAGCCTCTGGCAGACGCTACAAGTGGTCTTAGACGCGCAGAGCCTCTGGCAGGCGCTACAAGTGGTCAGACGTGCAGAGCCTCTGGCAGGCGCTACAAGTGGTCTAGACGTGCAGTGCGGTAAATAACCACGCCCCAGCACGCGTGGACACGTCAAATATGCCGTGCGTGTCTGTAAAAATAAGCACAGAGGTACCAGCTGGTACTTTTTGCGCAGGCGCAGGCAGGCGCAACATCGCATGAAAGTACCTTAAGTACCTTTCATACTTTACCCCCCCCCCTCCATGGATAAGTCACTTTGCTCGATATATCGCGAGGTCGGATCAGAGGCTGACAGAAGGATCGAACGGCCGGCTGAGCGCACTCACTAGCAGCAAATGACTCTTACGCCCACAGGAGAACACTCGCAGTGGCTCCGGTACCAGGGCTCACTCCCAGGTAGCCCACGCGTCGCAAGGCTCCGTAGGGACGCCGGGAAGCGCCCGGGCAGCCATTTTCATCGCGACGAGCCCAGCGAGCCGCTAAAAATAACTGCCGGGCCCACTAGCTTCTCCGGCTCGACGGCGCTGCTTTAGCTGCGAAGCGTGTAAAATACCGCAAAAAGGTACCCGCAGCGCACGGTGTTGCGCGAGCAGTCGTCGGAAGCTGCCCGCACGCCGCAACAGCAAGCAGCCGCTCGAAAGAAGCTGCCCTGAGTAGCAAGCAAGCAAGCAAGCTAGCAAACAAGTAAGCAAGCAAGCAAGGATGGGCGCCTCGGTCTCCCTCCCGGGGCCGTTCGCGCAGTTCAGCCGGCTGTCGCTCAGCGACGTCGACGAGATGATCATCCGCCACCGGACGCAGCTCGACGGCGCGTTCATGGTGACGCCGCAGGAGCTCGAGGCGGTCGTCGGCCCCAAGGTCAAGGACGCGGCGGCCATCATCGCGCAGCTCGAGGCCGGCGAGGAAGGCAAGATCAACGCGCTGAGCTTCCTCTGCGGCGCCGTGGCCGTGTGCCGCACGCCGGCGCCGGGCGGCGGCGGCGACCGCGAGGACGGCGTCAAGGCCAAGGCGCGGCGCATGTTCGCGCTCTTCGACTTCGGCCGCGCGCGCGCGCTGACGCCGTCGGAGCTGGGGATCCTGCTCCTGAGCCTGGGCCGCGCGCTCGAGTCGTTCATGGGCCTGCGCCGCGGCAAGTCGTGCGTCGCCTTCGAGGACATGGCCGCGCTCGACAACGCGGCGCGCGTGGCCGTCGGCAAGTACGACGGCGCCCTGAAGCAGGGCATGCGCGAGGGCCGCGGCGGCGGCGAGGACTTCTCCGACGTCGAGCTCGGCGCGCCGGACGCGTCGGGCACGCAGGGCCAGGAGGCCGCGCGGCTGCCGCGCAAGGACTTCGTCGAGTGGTCGCTGCGCGTGCTGAACCCCTACTGCCGGCCGCCCGTCGTCCTCGACGCCCTGCGCAAGTTGGTCAGGGCGTCGTCGGCCGGCGACCTCAACGAGGTCGGCTCGTCGACGCGCAAGGGCCTCGAGCAGATGTCGATCTTGGGTGCGGAGGCGGCGGCGCTCATGATGGACGACTCGGCCTACGAGCCGGACCCCGTTCCCACCAAACCCGAGATCGACGGCGACGGCGCGTGGGTGCCGTTCGCGTCGAAGAAGACGGAGCGCGAGTCGGGCTGGCTCCTCGAGCAGGTCTGCAAGGTGCCGGCCCTCGCGAAGCTCACGCGCCGCGAGCAGGGAGTGGTGATAGACGCGTTCCGCCGCAAGGTCTTCCAGGGCGGCCAGCGCCTGTACGTGCAGGGCAAGGGCACGGACTACCTCTACTTGATCGAGGACGGCCACGTCGCCGTCGACGCCGACGGCGGCTTCACGGGCCAGCGCAACCTGCCGGCGGCCGACGGCACGCGCCACGTCGGCGATTTGGATGTGATGAAGGCGGCGCGCGCGCACACGGCGACGGCGGCGACGGCGTGCTCGGCCTGGGCCCTCGACAAGCTGACGCTCAGCGAGATCCTCAAGGACTCGCAGCACAAGAAGCGCATGCTCTACGCCGCGGCCTTGAAGCGCGTGCCGCTGCTCGGCGGGTTAGATGGAAGCAAGGTCGCGCAGATCGTCGACGCGTCGACGGCGCACGACTACGACACGGGCCAGCTCATCCTCAGAGAGTCGGAGCCGGGCTCGGACTTCTTCGTCATCCTCAACGGCTCCGTCGAGTGCACGCGCTACGTCGCCGGCGCGAACGACTCGGTCTGCCCGACGCTCGAGACGGGCGACTTCTTCGGCGAGCTGTCCCTGACGACGGGCGCGCCGCGCGCGGCGACGTGTATTGCTCTGGCCGAGTGCGAGTGCCTCAAGATCCCCAAGGATATATTTAAGGCGATCATCGAGAAGCCCTGCGCCGGTGGCTTGGCCCGAGACTACAAGGCCCTCGAGGAGCAGGCCATGGCCTCGAACAAGGACGCGGAAGCTAGAGCTCGCGCGCGCCGCGCGAAGCGGAAATCTAGGAAGCGCGCCGGCGAGTCGCCGCGCGCGGGCGACCCCGTCGACCCCGCCGAGATGCGCAGCCTCGGCGGCGTGTCCTTCATCGCCACGATCCCCGACTTCACGCCGCGGTCGGCGAACAAGAGCTTCCGCGGCCAGATGGCCGAGAAGATGTCGGGCAAGGTCATGACCGAGACGGGCGCGGACGTCACGGCGCGGCACGTGCACGTCCAGGGCGTCAAGGCCGGGTCGTTGGTCATGGAGATCTTCTTGGAGAGCGCGACCGACGAGGAGGCCATCGCCGCGGCCTTGGAAGCCGCGGGCTTCGGCAAGGACGTCGTCGCCCAGTCCGAGGTCAAGATTAGCAACATCGAGATCCACAAGCGCCACATCGGCAAGGGCATGGCCGAGGAGGAGATCCGGAAGCGCGAGGAGGAGTCGGCCGCTAGGGAGATCCACGCCTTCAAGACGCAGTTCCTGAACGCCGCGCGGCGCTGCTTCGAGCTCATCGATAAAGATGGAGGCGGGACGCTGTCCAAGGAGGAGATTGTGGAAGCTGTGAAGAAGGACGAGGAAGTCATTAAATTTCTGACGACGTGCGGCGACGAGAACCTCGAGTTCCTATTGCACCCGCCGCGGCTGCAGAAGGCCTTGGAGATCCTCGACACGGACAAGTCGGGCGAGCTCGACGTCGACGAATGCACGGCCCGGTGTAGTATTCATGCTAGAGCTTCGCGACGCGTCCGCTCCGCCCGCGGCTGAATCATGATTCACCGGTTATTTGCACACAGGGGAGAGCGCGATCAACCGGGGCCTCGCCAAGCGCCTCAAGGACCTCGAGAAGGAGCGCGAGCGCCGGAACCGCGCCGCGCGCGAGGAAGACCTCCAGTTCAGCCTCGACTTCCTGTCGACGTCGCGCAAGGTCTTCCGCATGATCGACAAGGACGACTCCGGCACGCTCGAGAAGCAGGAGGTCATCGACGCCGTCAGCGCCGACAAGAAGGTGATCAACTTCCTCGTCAACTGCGGCGAGCCGAACCTCCAGTATTTGTTGGTGCCGGCGCGCCTCGAGTCGGCGCTCCAGCAGTTGGACACGGATCGCGACGGCCACATTGATGCCCAGGAGTGGTGCTGACGCAGTGTCCTTACTTCTTTCTACGCCGTGTCCGACTCACCGGTCGCTTGCTACGCAGGGAGGACGCCATCGAGGACGCGCTGTCGAACAAGCTCGCGCAGCGCGCGCTGAAGCGCGAGGCCGACGCGGCCGCCGCGCAGCGTGAGATCGAGAACTTCACCGCCGAGTTCAAAAACGCAGCTCGCAAGTGCTTCCAGCTCATCGACAAGGACCAGGGCGGGACCCTGAGCCACTCGGAGATCGTCGAGGCCGTCAAGTCTGACAAGGAAGTAATAAAATTCCTGACGACGTGCGGCGACGAGAACCTGTCGTTCCTCCTCCACCCGCCGCGCCTCAAGAAGGCGCTCGAGGCCCTGGATGAGGACAAGTCCGGAGAAATCGACATTGAGGAATGGCGCGTTTTGCGGCGTCCGTGATCACATATAGACTCTTTCTCGCGGCCGTGTCGACGGCACATGACGTCGCCTCGACGCTATCGACGCGTCGTTGCCGCTACGTGTCAACATAACATCGTACGCACACAGGGAGACGGCGATCAACCGCGGCCTCGCGAAGCGCCTCAAGGACCTCGAGAAGGAGCGCGAGCGCCGCGAGCGCGCGAGCACCGCGGCCGACGAAGAGTTCTCCACCGAGTTTTTGGGCCTCGCGCGCAAGGCGTTCCAGATGATCGACAAGGACGACTCCGGCACACTCGAAAAAGAAGAAATTTTTCGCGCGGTGCGGGCTGATCAGGACGTGATCAACTTCCTCACGAACTGTGGCAACAAGAATCTCCAGTACCTGTTGGTGCCGTCGCGGCTCGAAGCCGCATTGGCGGTGCTCGACACCGACAGGGACGGAACAATTGACGCCATCGAGTGGTGCGTTTCGGAGTCTGAAATTTTGGGGTGCCTTCGACGCGGCGACTGCGTGCTGGGGGCGTAGACGTACGCCGTCGACGCGTCTCGCGAGGGGGGACGGGCGGTTTCGCGGCTCACCGGTCGACGTTTCGCGCAGGGAGGAAGCGATCGAGACCGCGCTCGCGGCCAAGCTCGAGCAGCGCGCCAAGGCTCGCGAGCTCGACGCAAAGGCGGCCAGCAAGGAGATCGAAGAATTCACGTTCGAGTTCAAAAACGCCGCGCGCGAGTGCTTCCAGCTCATCGACAAGGACCACGGCGGGTCGCTGTCCAAACAGGAGATCGTCGACGCCGTCCGAAGCGACCAGACGGTGATCCGGTTCCTGACGACGTGCGGCGAGGACAACCTGACGTTCCTGCTGCACCCGCCGCGCCTCCAGAAGGCCCTCGAAATCTTGGACACGGACAAGTCCGGCGAGGTCGACATCGACGAATGTACCGTCCCGGCGTCTTGAATCGTGACCTGACGCCATCGACGCGACGCCTGCTCGACGGCGTCTCACTGATTGATTTGCGCACAGGGGAGGAGGCGATCAACCGCGGCCTCGCCAAGCGCCTCGACCAGCTGGCGAACGAGCGCGAGCGCCGCGAGAAGGCGGCCCGGGCTGAGGACGAGAATTTCTCCGTCGAGTTCCTGAGCGCCGCTAGAAAGGTGTTCGAGATGATCGACGTCGACGAGTCCGGCACGCTCGAGAAGGAGGAGGTGGTTGTCGCCATCCGCGGGAACAAGAAGGTGATTAACTTCCTCGTGAACTGCGGCAACAAGAACCTCCAATACTTGTTGGTGCCGGCGCGCCTCGAGGCCGCCCTCGCGGCGATGGACACGGATCACGACGGCACCATCGACGCGGACGAGTGGTGCGTTTTGGAGTCTGCAACATTGGGTCGCCTTCGACGCGGCGATGACGTGCTTGTGGCTCACCGGTCGATGTTCCGCGCAGGGAGGAGTGCATCGAGATCGCGCTCAAAAACAAACTCGCGGACCGCGCGGCCAAGCGCTCGCTCGATGCCGCGCGGGCCGCGAAGGAGATCGAGGAATTTACGAACGAGTTCAAAAACGCCGCGCGCGAGTGCTTCCAGATGATCGACACCGACGGCGGCGGCTCGCTCAGCACTGATGAGATCGTCCGAGCCGTGAAAGAGGACGCCAAAGTGATCAAATTCCTAAAGAACTGCGGCGAAGATAATCTGCAATTCCTGCTGCACCCGCCGCGCCTGCAGAAGGCGCTCGCGATCCTGGACACCGACAAATCGGGCGAGATCGACATCGACGAATGTACTGCTTCCCGGCGTCCTCCTATTGTCCCAGAGATTTGATCCGACGCGTCTGCCACACAGGGGAGGAGGCGATCAACCGCGGCCTCGCCAAGCGGCTGGAGGCGCTGTCGAAGGAGCGCGAGCGCGCCAACCGCGCGGCGGCGAAAGCGGATGAGGAGTTCAGCGCCGAGTTCCTCAGCGCGGCGCGTGAGGTCTTTCAAATGATCGACGAGGACGAGTCCGGCACGCTCGAGAAACAGGAGGTCGTGGACGCCGTCAGAGCGGACAAAAAAGTAATAAATTTCCTGACCGACTGCGGCAACAAGAACCTGCAGTACCTGCTCGTCCCGTCGCGCCTCGAGGCCGCCCTCGCGGCGATGGACACGGACAACGACGGCTCCATCGACGCGGACGAGTGGTGTGTGTCGGAGTCTGGAATCTTGGGTCGCCTTCGACGCGGCGATGGCGTGCGTGTGGCGTAGAAGCACGTCGCCGGCTCACCGGTCGACGTTCCGCGCAGGGAGGAGTGCATCGAGAAGGCGCTCGCGAACAAGCTCGAGCAGCGCTCCGCGGCCCGCGAGGCGCAGAGGAAGGCGGCGCAGAAGGAAATCGAAGAGTTTACTGGCGAGTTCCTGAACGCACGGCCCCCGGCGTCCGAATCCTTCGTGTATGTCGACGCGTCGCCGACGGTCCCGCGCGCAGGCCGCGAAGCAAGTCTTCCTCCTCATCGACAAGGACAACTCCGGCACGCTCGACAAGGGCGAAATTATCAAGGCCGTCAAGGAAGACGAAAAGGTGAAGAGCTTCCTCGCCACGTGCGGCGAGCCGAACCTCGAGTTCCTTACTCAGCCAGCACGCCTGCACAAGGCGCTCGAAGTGCTGGACACGAGCAAGGACGGCGAGGTGGACATGGAGGAATGGGAGGAAGCGATCAACCGCGGCCTGGCGAAGCGCCTCGCGCAGCTCGCCGCCGAACGCGAGCGGCGCGAGCGCGCGGCGGAAAAGGCCGACGCCGAATTTAGCGTCGAATTTTTGAACGCGGCGCGGAAGTGCTTCGAAATGATCGACGTCGACGAGTCCGGGACGCTGGAAAAAGCTGAAATCGTCGAGGCCGTCACGTCGAACAAAAAAGTTATCTCGTTCCTTGTTAACTGCGGGAATAAAAACCTGCAGTACCTGCTCGTGCCGGTGCGCCTCGAGGCCGCGCTCACGGCGATGGACACGGACCGCGACGGGCATATTGATATAGATGAATGGGAGACGTGCATCAAAGACGCCCTCAAAAACAAATTGGCCGCGCGCGCCGCCAAGCGCGAGCTCGACGCCAAGAACGCTGCGAAGGAGATCGAGGAGTTCACGAACGAGTTCCTCTCCGCCGCGCGGCGCTGCTTCGAATTGATCGACAAGGACGGCGGCGGCACCCTGTCGACGGCCGAGATCGTCGAGGCCGTGAAGAGCGATGCGGAAGTGATCGACTTCCTGAAAAACTGCGGCGAGGAGAACCTGCAGTTCCTCCTCCACCCGCCGCGCCTCAAGAAGGCGCTGGCCGTCCTCGACGAGGACAAGTCCGGCGAGATTGATGTCGAGGAATGGGAAACGGCGATCCAGAAGGGCCTCGCGCACCGCCTGGAGCAGCTGTCGATCGAGCGCCAGCGCCGCGACCGCGCAAATGCGAGAGCGGACGAAGAATTCTCCGCGGAGTTCCTCAGCGCGGCCCGTGCAGTTTTCCTAATGATCGACAAGGACGACTCGGGCTTCCTCGACAAGGAAGAGATCGTTACGGCCGTCAGAGCAGATAAAGAAGTGATTGACTTCCTCACGAACTGCGGCAATAAGAATCTGCAGTACCTGCTGGTCCCCTCGCGCCTCGAGGCGGCGCTCGCGCAGCTGGACTCGGACCGCGACGGCGAGATCGACTGCAACGAGTGGTGCGTTTCGGAGTCCGAAGCTGGGGGGGGGGGGCTTCTACGCGGCGACGGCGTCGACGCGGCTGACCGTCGACGTTCCGCGCAGGGAGGACGCGATCGAGACGGCGCTGCGGAACAAGCTCGCGCAGCGCGCCAAGGCGCGCGAGGCCCAGGCCAAGGCCGCCGCGAAGGAGATCGCCAAATTCACGAGCGAGTTCCTGAACGCACGGCCCCCGGCGTCCGAAGCCTTCGCGTATGTAACCGACGGTCCCGCGCGCAGGCTGCCCGGCAATGCTTTATTATGATCGACAAGGACAACTCTGGCACGCTCGAAAAGCCCGAGATCGTCAAGGCCGTGAAGGAGGACAAAAAAGTGATCGACTTCCTCAAAAACTGCGGCGAAGAAAACTTGCAATTCCTGCTGCACCCGCCGCGCCTCGACAAAGCTCTCGATGCCCTGGATACCGACAAGTCCGGGGAGCTCGACATCGAAGAGTGTACTGCCCGGCGTCTTTTTGTGTCCGCGAGATGCGCTCTTTTGACCGTTTGTCTGCTACGCAGGGGAAGCCGCCATCAACCGCGGCCTCGCGAAGCGCCTGGAGCAGCTGGCCGACGAGCGCGAGCGCCGCCAGCGCGCCGCGGAGCGGGCCGACGCCGAATTCACGCTAGAATTTTTGAACGCGGCCCGCGAGGTCTTCCAAATGATCGACAAGGACGACTCGGGAACGCTCGATAAAGCTGAGATTGTGGATGCCGTGAAGAACGACAAAAAAGTGATAAAATTCCTCTGCAACTGCGGCAACCAAAACTTGCAGTACTTGCTGGTGCCGTCGCGCCTCGACAAGGCGCTCGCGGAGATGGACACCGATCGCGACGGCACCATCGACGCGGACGAGTGGGAGCAGTGCATCGAGATCGCGCTGCAGAACAAGCTCGCCGCGCGCGCGGCGAAGCGCGAGCTCGACGCCAAGAACGCGGCGAAGGAGATCGCGGCCTTTACCTCGGATTTCCTGAACGCCGCGCGCAAGTGCTTCAACCTCATCGACAAGGACATGTCGGGCACGCTCGAGATCGACGAGATCGTCCAGGCCGTGAAGACGGATCAAGAAGTCATCTCGTTTCTGCAGAACTGCGGCGAGGAGAACTTGCAGTTCCTGCTGCAGCCCGCGCGCCTCAAGAAGGCGCTCAAGGCCCTCGACACCGACGGCTCGGGCGAGATCGACGTCGAGGAGTGGTGCGGTACGCGGCGTCCTCCACGGTTCACACGCCATCGACGCGTCGTCGCCACGTAGAGGCATAACGCCGGTCGCGCGCAGGGAGGAGGCGATCCAGCGCGGCCTCAAGCGCCGCCTCGAGCAGCTCTCCGAGGAGCGGGAGCGCCGCGCGCGCGCCGCGGCCGCCGCCGACGAGGACTTTTCGGCGGAGTTCCTGACCATGGCTCGCCAGGTCTTCGATATGATAGATGTGGACGAGTCGGGGTACCTGGACAAGGACGAAATTATCGACGCCGTCAAGGCGAACAAGAAGGTGATCAACTTCCTCCAGACCTGCGGCAACCAGAACTTGATGTACCTCCTCGAGCCGGCGCGGCTCCAGCAGGCGCTCGCCGTGCTCGACACGGATCGCGACGGCCAGATCGACGCAAGCGAGTGGTGCTGACCCGGTGTCCTTGCGTCCTTCCTTCTACGCCGTCGACGCGACGCGGTACCGTGTGTCTGCGCGACTCACCGGTCGCTCGCCACGCAGGGAGGACGCGATCGAGAACGCGTTGAAGGCCAAGCTCCAGGCCCGCGCGGCGCAGCGCCGCGCGCAGGAGATGATGGCCCGCCAGGCGGCCAAGGAGCTCGAGGAGTTCACGAACGAGTTCAAGAACGCGGCGCGGCACTGCTTCGAGCTGATCGACGTCGACAAGGGCGGCTCGCTGTCAAAGGAGGAGATCGTCAACGCCGTCCACCCCAAGACGGGTATCGAGGCGCGAACGCGGCGTCCTACGACCGCGCGAACTTCAACTTGCGAGGACTCCGTGATCTGCGGAACTGCTGTTTTCGTGTGTTTGGTGTGTGGTGGTGCAGAATCGGACGACAGTAGCAACTACGAACACACACACACAAAGGAACAACCGAACGACCGCGTCACACTTCGCGCCGTTCGCAGAAAGTCATCAAGTTCCTCAAGACGTGCGGCGAGGAGAACCTGCAATTTTTGCTCCACCCGCCGCGGCTGCAGAAGGCCTTGGAGATCCTGGACACGGATAAGAGTGGAGAGGTCGACGCCGACGAGTGGCGCGTCGCGCGGCGTCCTCCCTCGTTTCGTGTCGTTCGTCTGACGTCGCTCCGCGCGCAGGGAGGAGGCCATCAACCGGGGCCTCGCGAAGCGCATCGAGCAGCTCAAGGCCGAGCAGGAGCGGCGGGCGCGGGCCGCGGCCGCGGCCGACAGCGAATTCTCCGAGGAGTTCCTCAACGCGGCTCGCAAGGCCTTCCGCCTCATCGACAGGGACGGGAGCGGGACGCTCGAGAAGGCTGAGATTGTTCGCGCCGTGCGCGCTGACAAGGAGGTCATCGACTTCCTCAACAACTGCGGCAACCAGAACCTCCAGTACTTGCTGGTGCCGTCGCGCCTCGAGGCCGCGCTGCTCGTGCTCGACACGGACCGCGACGGCCACATCGACGAGGAGGAGTGGTGCGTTTCGGAGTCTGAAACTTTGCGGTGGACGCGGCGATGGCGTGCTGGTGGCGTAGAAGTACTTCGCGGCTCACCGGTCGACGTTCCGCGCAGGCAAGAAGCGATCGAGTCCGCCCTCGCGGCCAAGCTCGAGGCCCGCGCCGCGGCCCGCGCCGTGCAGGCGAAGGCGGCACAGAAGGAGATCGAGGAGTTCACCGACTCGTTCCTCACGGCCGCGGCGCGCTGCTTCGACCTCATCGACAAGGACGGCGGCGGGTCCTTGTCAAAGAGTGAGATCGTCACCGCCTGCGCCTCGGACCAGGAAGTCATCCACTTCCTGTCCAACTGCGGCGAGGAGAACTTGCAGTTCTTGCTGCACCCGCCGCGCCTGCAGAAGGCGCTCGAAATCTTGGACACCGACAAATCGGGCGAAGTGGATCGCGAAGAGTGGGAGGAAGCCATCAACCGCGGCCTCGCGAAGCGGCTGCAGCAGCTGGCCGACGAGCGCGAGCGCCGCGAGCGCGCGGCTCTGGCGGCCGACGCCGAATTCACTGCCGAGTTCTTGAGCGCGGCGCGGGCGGTATTCAACATGATCGACGTCGACGAGAGCGGCGACCTCGAAAAACAAGAAATTGTCGTGGCAGTCAAGTCGAACCAGGTCGCGAACGCGGCGTCCTACGACCGCGCGAACTTCAACTTGCGAGGACTCCGTGGTCTGCGGAACTGCTGTTTTCGTGTGTTTGGTGTGTGGTGGTGCGGGATCATCCAACGACCGCTTCACACGTCGTTTCCATCGCAGAAAGTGATCAAGTTCCTCGTCAACTGCGGCGAGCCGAACCTGCAGAACCTGCTCGTGCCCTCGCGCCTCGAGGCCACGCTCGCGGTGCTCGACACCGATCGGGACGGCCACATCGACGCGGTCGAGTGGCGCGTTTCGGAGTCTGCAACTTTGGGGTGCCTTCGATGCGGCGATGGCGTGCCGATGCTTACCGGTTGATGTTCCGCGCAGGGAGGCCTGCATCGAATCGGCGCTGGCGAACAAGCTGGCCGAGCGCGCGGCGAGGCGCGAGCTGCAGGCCAAGGCCGCGCAAAAGGAAATCGAAGAATTCACTGCGGAGTTCAAGTCGGCCGCCCGGCGCTGCTTCCAGCTCATCGACAAGGACGGCGGCGGGACCCTGAGCCACTCGGAGATTGTAGAAGCCGTAAAGTCGGACCAGGAAGTCATTTCTTTCCTCAAGACGTGCGGCGAGGAGAATCTAATGTTCCTGCTGCACCCGCCGCGCCTCAAGAAGGCGCTGGAGGCCCTGGACGCCGACGGGTCGGGCGAAATCGACGTCGAGGAGTGGGAGACGGCCATCAACAAGGGCCTGGCGAAGCGCCTGGAGCAGCTCGCCATCGAGCGCGAGCGGAGGGAACGGGCAGCCTTAAGGGACGATGCCGAATTCAGCACTGAGTTCCTTAACGCGGCTCGCCGATGCTTCGAGATGATCGATAAGGACGAGTCCGGCACGCTCGAGAAGGAGGAGATCGTGCGCGCCAGTGCACGGCTTAATCGTGGCCTTCGTGCGTTGGACTCACTGATTTGTTTACGCACAGGTGCGTGCCGTGAGGGCGGATCAGGAAGTGATTAATTTCCTCGTCAACTGCGGCAATAAGAACCTGCAGTATCTGCTCGTGCCGAACCGCCTCCAGGCCGCCCTCGCGGCGATGGACACGGATCACGATGGGCATATTGATTTGTGTGAATGGGAGACGTGCATCGAGATCGCGCTGCAGAACAAGCTCGAGCAGAGGGCCGCGGCCCGCGAAGCGCAGGCGAAGGCGGCACAGAAAGAAATCGCAGAATTTACCGGCGAGTTCCTTTCCGCCGCCCGGCAGTGCTTCCAGCTCATCGACAAGGACTGCGGCGGTTCGCTGTCCAAGCAGGAGATCGTGGAGGCCGTGCGTGGTCCGCGTTCGCCGTGAAGGTGCCTTCGACTGATCGCCACCTGTACGCCATCGACGCGGGCCCGGCCGGGCGCGCACTCCCGAACGGTCACTCACCGGTCGACGAAACACAGGTCAAGACCGACCAGGAAGTCATCAGGTTCCTGACGACGTGCGGCGAGGAAAATTTGCAGTTCCTCCTCCACCCGCCGCGGTTGCAGAAGGCGCTCGAAATCCTGGACACGGACAACTCCGGCGAGGTCGACGAGAAGGAGTGGTGCGTCTGGCGGCGTCCTTTCTATCACCGGCTACACGCGGTCATACTTTCCAACCTGGGACGCCATCGACGCGACGGTTCTCGTCCGAAGCTCACCGGTCGCTGCGCGCAGGGACGAGGCCATCCAGCGCGGCCTCTCGAAGCGCTTGGAGCAGCTGGCAATGGAGCGCGAGCGGAGGGAAAGGGCGGCCCTCCGCGCGGACGCCGAGTTCAGCACGGAGTTCCTGAACGCGGCTCGTAAAGTTTTCCAAATGATCGACGACGACGGCAGTGGCACGCTCGAGAAACAGGAGATCGTCACGGCCGTCAAGTGCAACCAACGCGTCATCAAGTTCCTCGTCAACTGCGGCAACCCGAACCTCCAATACCTCCTCGTCCCGGCGCGCCTCGAGTCGGCGCTCGTGCAGATGGACACGGATCGCGACGGCCACATCGACGAGGGCGAGTGGTGCGTTTCGGAGCCTGAAACTTTGGGGCGCCTTCGACGCGGCGATGGCGTCGACGCGGCTCACCGGTCTATAACAACGCAGGGAGGAGGCCATCGAGGTCGCGCTGTCGAACAAGCTCGCGGACCGCGCGGCCAAGCGCGAGATGCAGGCCAAGGCGGCGCAAAAGGAGATCGAAGAGTTCACGCTCGACTTCAAAAACGCCGCGCGGCGCTGCTTTGAGTTGATCGACAAGGACGGCGGCGGCACGCTTTCAATCACGGAAATCGTTGAAGCCGTAAAGTCGGACCAGGAAGTGATATCCTTCCTCAAGACGTGCGGCGAGGAGAACCTGATGTTCCTGCTGCACCCGCCGCGCCTCAAGAAGGCGCTCGAGGTCCTGGACACGGACGGTTCCGGAGAAGTAGATGTTGACGAATGTACTGCCCCGGCGTCTTGAATCGTGACCTGACGCCATCGACGCGACGCCTGCTCGACGGTGTGGCGATGCGGTTTTCTGATCGGGCACACCCGACTCACTGGTTGATTTGCGCACAGGGGAGACAGCGATCAACCGCGGCCTCGCGAAGCGCCTGGAGCAGATGGCGAAGGAGCGCGAGCGGCGCGAGCGCGCGGCGGCGGCGGCTGACGAGGAGTTCAGCGCCGAGTTCCTGACCGCGGCGCGCAAGGTCTTCCAGATGATCGACGACGACGACTCCGGCACGCTCGAGAAGGCTGAGATTGTGACCGCCGTCCGGGCGAACAGGGAGGTGATCAAGTTTTTGACCGACTGCGGCAACAAGAATCTCCAGCACCTGTTGGTCCCGTCGCGCCTCGAGTCTGCGCTCGCGCAGATGGACACGGATCACGACGGCACCATCGACGCGGACGAGTGGTGCGTTTCGGAGTCTGCAACTTGGGGGTGCCTTCGACGCGGCGATGTCGTGCTTGTGGCGTAGAAGTACGCCGTCGCCGCGGCCGCAAGAGCGCGTCGACGCGTCTCCCGGCTCACCGGTCGATGTTCCGCGCAGGGAGGAGTGCATCGAGAAGGCGCTCGCGAACAAGCTCGAGCAGCGCGCCGCCGCGCGCGAGGCACAGAGCAAGGCCGCGATGAAAGAAATCGCCGAGTTCACTGGCGAGTTCCTCTCCGCCGCCCAGCGTTGCTTCGAGCTCATCGACAAGGACGGCGGCGGATCGCTCTCGATCGACGAGATCGTCTAGGCCTGTGCATCAATCAACCGATCGATTCAGCACGGCCGCGGGCACGGGACTGGACTGACTGGTTGATTTCCACACAGGTCGATGCCGTGAAGAATAACGCCGAAGTGATTAAATTCATCAGCAACTGCGGAGACGACAACCTGATGTTCCTGCTCCACCCGCCGCGCCTCAAGAAGGCCCTGCACTTCCTCGACACGGACCAGAGCGGCGAGATTGACAAGGAGGAGTGGTGCGTCTGGCGGCGTCCTTTCCATCACCGGCATCACGCGGTCATACCTTCCAACCTGCGACGCCATCGACGCGACGGTCCTCGTCCGAAGCTCACCGGTCGCTGCGCGCAGGGACGAAGCCATCTCCCGCGGCCTCGCGAAGCGCCTCGAGCAGCTCGCCGCCGAGCGCGAGCGGCGCGAGCGCGCGGCGGAGAAGGCCGACGCCGAGTTCAGCAATGAGTTCCTCAACGCGGCGCGCAAGTGCTTCGAGATGATCGACGACGACCAGTCCGGCACGCTCGAGAAGGCCGAGATGTCCGCGCGCAGCGTCCATCCTTCAGCCCGCGCGCGTCGCGGCGATGGCGCGAGGTCGGCGGCCGCTCTAGCCGTCCGTAGAGTCTGGGGCCGCTCATACGCCATCGACGCGACGCCTTACTCACCGCCCGATTCCCCCGCAGCGTCACAGCTGTCCAGTCGAACCAAAAAGTTATCAAATTTTTGATCAACTGCGGCAATAAAAATCTTCAGTACCTGCTGGTCCCGTCGCGCCTCGAGGCCGCCCTCGCGGCGATGGACACGGACAACGACGGCCACGTGGACATCGACGAATGGGAAGAGTGCATCGAGGTCGCCCTCGCGAACAAGCTCGCGGAAAGGGCGGCCAAGCGCGAGCTCGAGGCCAAGCAGGCCAACAAGGAGATCGAGGAATTTACGAACGATTTCAAGAACGCCGCGCGCAAGTGCTTCCAGATGATCGACAAGGACGGCGGCGGCACGCTGAGCACGGACGAGATCGTGACTGCCGTGAAGGAGGACAAGGTCGCGAACGCGGCGTCCTACGACCGCGCGCCCTTCAACTTCGTGTGTGGTGGTGCGGGAACAACCGAACGACGGCGTCACACTTCGCGCCGTTCGCAGGACGTGATCCACTTCCTGAAGACGTGCGGCGAGGAGAACTTGCAGTTTTTGCTCGTGCCCGCGCGCCTCAAGAAGTCGCTGGACTACCTCGACACGGACGGCTCCGGCGAGCTCGACGTCGACGAGTGGCGCGTCGCGCGGCGTCCCCCATGGCTTCAGGCCGTTCTTCTGACGTCGCCTCGACGCCATCGACGCGTCGTCGCCGCCGCGTAGAGGCACGACTCCGGACGCGCGCAGGGAGGCCGCGATCAACCGGGGCCTCGCGAAGCGGCTGGAGCAGATGGCCGACGAGCGCGCCCGCGCGGCGCGCGCGGCGGAGAAGGCCGACGCTGAGTTCAGCGCCGAGTTCCTCAACGCCGCCCGGGAAGTGTTCCTGATGATCGACAAGGACGACTCCGGGTCGCTCGACCGCGAGGAGATCGTGAAGTCCGTCAGGGCTGACAAGAAAGTGATCGACTTCCTCACGAACTGCGGCAACAAGAACCTCCAGTATCTCCTGGTGCCCGCGCGCCTCGACTCGGCGCTGGCCCAGATGGATACTGATAGGGACGGGGAGTTCTCGCTCTCCGAGTGGGAGGACGCGATCGAGACCGCGCTGTCCAACAAGCTGGCGCAGCGGGCCGCCGCGCGCGAGGCGCAGCGCAAGGCGGCGGCGAAGGAGATTGCGGAATTTACGGGCGAGTTCCTCAACGCGGCGCGGCATTGCTTTGAAATGATCGACAAGGACGGCGGCGGCACGCTGTCTACTGCTGAGATCGTGAAGGCGGTGAAGGAAGATGCGGCGCGAACGCGGCGTCCTACGACCGCGCGCCCTTCAACTTGCGAGGCTTGCGGGGACTCTGCGATCGGCCCAGTCGTCACCACTTCCTTTCCACGCGCAGGAAGTCATCACATTCCTCAGGACCTGCGGCGAGGAAAATCTGCAGTTCCTCCTCCACCCGCCGCGCCTCAAGAAGGCGTTGGAGGTGCTTGACGAGGACGGCTCGGGGGAAATTGACATTGAGGAATGGCGCGTCTTGCGGCGTCCGTGATCACATATAGACTCTCTCGCGGCCGCGTCGACGGCGCATGACGTCGCTTCGACGCCATCGACGTCGTTGCCGCTACGTATCGACATGACATCGTACGCACACAGGGAGTCGGCCATCCAGCGCGGCCTGAAGAAACGCCTCGCGCAGCTCGCCGAGGAGCGCGAGCGCCGCCAGCGCGCGGCCGAGAAAGCCGATGAAGAGTTCAGTCTCGAGTTTTTGAACGCGGCCAGAGAGGTATTTACGATGATCGACGATGACGAGTCGGGCACGCTCGAGAAGCCTGAGATTGTTGAGGCAATTCAAGGGTGATTGGCACAGCGTCCTCTCTGTTTTCAACTTGCGCGCGGAGAATATGCCGTGCTCGCGCGAGACCATTGCATGGAGAAGTGACGCGCCGTCGCGAGACGAGAGAAGACTCACACGCACACGACGCAGGAACCAAAAAGTGATCAAATTTCTCGTCAACTGCGGCAACAAAAACTTGCAGTACTTGTTGGTCCCGTCGCGCCTCGACAAGGCGCTTAACGAGATGGACACGGACCGCGACGGCCACATCGACATCGATGAGTGGGAGGAGTGTATCGAGATCGCGCTTAAAAACAAGCTGGCCGAGCGCGCGGCGAAGCGGGAGCTCGACGCCCTTGCGGCGCAGCGCGAGATTGCGGAATTCACGGGCGATTTCTTGAACGCGGCTCGGAAGTGCTTCGAGCTCATCGACAAGGACGGCGGCGGCACGCTGTCTACTGCTGAGATCGTAAACGCCGTGAAGACGGATGAGGAAGTCATTACATTCCTCAGGAACTGCGGCGAGGAGAACCTGCAGTTCCTGCTGCAGCCCGCGCGCCTCAAGAAGGCCCTCGAGGTCCTCGACGAGGACGGCTCGGGAGAGATCGACGTCGAGGAGTGGTGCGTTACGCGGCGTCCTTCACGGTTCACACGCCATCGACGCCATCGACGCGTACAAACATAACGCCGGTCGCGCGCAGGGAGCAAGCGATCCAGCGCGGCCTCTCGAAGCGGCTCGCCCAGCTGGCCGCGGAGCGCGAGCGGCGGGAGCGCGCGGCGGCCAAGGCGGACGCCGAGTTCAGCGCCGAGTTCCTCTCGATGGCGCGCAAGTGCTTCGACCTGATCGACAAGGACGGGTCCGGGACCCTAGAGAAGCCCGAGATCGTGCAGGCCGTCCGGGCGGACAAGGAAGTCATTAATTTCCTCACGAACTGCGGCAACAAGAACCTCCAGTACCTGCTCGTGCCGTCGCGCCTCGACGCGGCGCTGAACGCGATGGATACCGATAGAGATGGGCACATCGACGCCGACGAGTGGGAGGAGTGCATCGAAATCGCGCTGAACAACAAGCTCGCCGCGCGCGCAGCGAAGCGCGAGGCCGACGCCAAGCGCGCTCAAAAAGAAATCGCAGAATTCACGGGCCAGTTCCTCTCGGCGGCCCGGCGCTGCTTCGAATTGATCGACAAGGACGGCGGCGGCACGCTGAGCACGGACGAGATCGTGACTGCCGTCAAGGAAGACAAGGAAGTGATCAAGTTCCTCGAGACGTGCGGCGAGCCGAACCTCCAGTTCCTCACGCGGCCCGCGCGCCTCAAGAAGGCGCTGGAAGTGCTCGACGAGGACGGCTCGGGCGAGATTGATATTCATGAATGGCGCGTCGCGCGGCGTCCTCCATGGTTTCATGTCGCTTGTTACATGGGGTGACTCTGAGACTCGCGTCGACGTCGCCTGACGTTGCCTCGACGCCATCGACGCGTCGTCGCCGCCGCGTGGAGGCATAACTCCGGACGCACGCAGGGAGCTCGCGATCCAGCGCGGCCTCGCGAAGCGCCTGGAGCAGCTGGCCATCGAGCGCGAGCGCCGCGACCGGGCGGCGATGGCCGCCGACGAGGAGTTCACGACCGAATTCTTGAACGCCGCGCGAGAGGTCCGCTCGCCGCGTCCAATCAAACCCACTTCCCCGCGCGCGCGTTGTTGCTTTGGTGTCATGTCGCGTGTCGACCTTAACGCGCCCTCCCCATAGGTATTCATAATGATCGACGTGGACGAGTCGGGCGACCTGGAGAAGGCGGAGATTGTCGACGCCGTCCGTCTCCCGCGTCCGTCGTGAAGGTGCCTTCGACTCGCGGCGGAAACGAGCGGTAACTCACCGGTCGATGGTCACAGGTGAAGAATAACCAAAAAGTGATCAAGTTCCTTGTTAACTGCGGCAACAAAAACTTGCAGTACTTGTTGATCCCGGCGCGCCTCGAGTCGGCGCTCGCCACGCTCGATACCGATAGGGACGGGCACATCGACATGGTCGAGTGGTGCGCTTCGGAGTTCTAAAATTTGGGGTGCCTTCGACGCGGCGATGACGTGTTGCGGTGATGGCGTGCTGGTGGCGTAGACGTATGCCATCGCCACGGCAGCGAGAGCGTCAACGCGTCTCGCGAGGCTCACCGGTCGGCGTTCCGCGCAGGGAGGAGGCCATCGAGACCGCGCTCGCGAACAAGCTCGCGGACCGCGCGGCCAAGCGCGAGCTCGAGGCCGCGCGGGCGGCCAAGGAGATCGAAGAATTCAGCAACGAGTTCCTCAACGCCGCCCGCAAGTGCTTCGACCTCATCGACGTCGACTGCAGCGGGACCCTGACCAAGGTTGAAATTGTCGAGGCCGTCCAGACGAATGAAACCGTCGTCTCCTTCCTGCGGACGTGCGGCGAGCCGAACCTCCAGTTCCTGCTCCAGCCGAAGCGCCTCGAGCGCGCGCTCAAGGTCCTCGACACGTCGAACGACGGCGAGGTGGACGTCGACGAATGTACTGCTTCCGGCGTCTTACTTCTCGTCCGATCGACGCGACGCCCGCTCGGCGGCGTGGCGGTGCGGTTCTCTGAACACCCGGTTCACTCTTTGATGTGCGCACAGGGGAGGAGGCGATCAACCGCGGCCTCGCGAAGCGCCTGCAGCAGATGTCCGAGGAGCGCGCGCGCGCGGCGCGCGCCGCGGCGGCCGAGGACGAGGAGTTCAGCGCCGAGTTCCTGAGCATGGCCCGCCAGGTCTTCCAGATGATCGACAAGGACAACTCGGGCACGCTCGTCAAGGCGGAGATGTCCGCGCGCAGCGTCCGTCCTTCAACCCGCGCGCGTCGCGGCTCACACGCCATCGACGCGACACGGTGCTTACCGCGCGATCCCCCCGCAGCGTCGAGGCCGTGAGCGAGCAGTCGAACCCGGTCGTTTTATTCCTCATTAACTGCGGCAACGAGAACTTGCAGTACCTGCTCGTGCCCGCGCGCCTCGACGCGGCCATGGCCGCCATCGACACGGATAGTGATGGAGAGATCACGGCGATCGAGTGGCGCGTTTCCGAGTCTGAAATTTTGGGGCGCCTTCGACGCGGCGGCGGCGTGCTGGTGGCGGAGAAGTACGCCGTCGCTTTCGCGGCTCACCGGTCTATAACGACGCAGGGAGGAGGCCATCGAGGTCGCGCTCCGGGCCAAGCTCGCCGCGCGGGCCGAGCGGCGCGCCAAGTCCTCGGCCGCGGCGCGCAAGGAGATCGCCGAGTTCACGGCCGAGTTCCTGTCCGCCGCCCGCGAGGTCTTCGAGCTCATGGACGAAGACGACTCGGGCACGCTCGTCGTTGATGAGATCGTGAAGGCCGTGGACCCCAAGAAAGGAAACAAGAAGGTCATCAAGTTCCTCGAGACCTGCGGCGAGCCGAACCTGCAGTTTTTAGTAAGGCCGAAGACCATCCGACGGGCGCTGCGCGTGCTCGACGTGAGCGGCGACGGCGAGATCGACATTGATGAATGGCGCGTCACGCCGCGTCTTTTTTACATTTTCAATGATTAACTCCAAACGCACGCAGGGAGGAGGCCATCTACCGCGGCCTCGCGAAGCGTTTGGAAGATCTGGCCGAGGATAGGGATAGAAGAGAACGAGCGGCGGCCAAGGCCGACGAGGAGTTCGCCCTGGGCTTCCTCATGGCCGCGCGCCAGGTCTTCGACACCATGGATAAAGATGGCGAGGGCATCATCGACAAGAGCGTCTGCGACAACGCCATGTCCGCGACGAAGGCCAAATTCGACGCCAAGGAGAGCGGCACGGTGACCCTCGCCGACGGCCGCGTCGTGCCCGCTTCCTCAGTCCCGCCCGGGACGAAGCTCCAGGGGGGCGCGACGATGCCCGAGGCGGCCAAGGACGGCACGGTGACGATGCCCGACGGCAAGACCGTCAAGCCGGCGCCCAAGATTAAAATAGGCGGCAAGCCCAAGATGAGCAAGTGGGCGGCCCTCAAGGCCAAGTCCAAGATGCTCATCGGGTTCGGCGTGAAGTCGAAGGCCGCCGTGCCCATGGTGACGCTGGCCGACGGGACTCGGGTTGCGGCGTCGGAGGTGAAGCCCGGCACGCCGCTCCAGGGCGGCGCGGCGATGCCCGAGGTTAAGCAAGGCGAGGCCGTCGTCACGCTGGCCGACGGGAGCGTCGTCCCCGCGTCGAGCGTGAAGCCGGGCACGCCGCTCCAGGGCGGCGCGACGATGCCGGCGGTCCAGGGCGGCGCCGTCATTACGTTGGCGGACGGCAGCGTCGTGAGCGCGTCCGAGACGGTCACGCTCGCCGACGGCACGGTCGTGGCGGCCAAGGACGTCAAGCCCGGCACGCCGCTCGCGGGCGGCGGGGCGATGCCCGCGCCCAAGGAGAAGATGGTCACGCTCGCGGACGGGACGGTCATGCCCGCGTCCAAGGTCAAGCCCGGCACCAAATTAGCCGGCGGCGTCGTCATGCCCAAGCCCGCCGAGGGCGACGAGTTCGTGACGCTGGCCGACGGGACGAAGATGAAGGCGTCCGAGGTGCCCCCGGGCACGAAGCTCGCCGGCGGCGGCAAGATGCCGGCCGTCCCGCCGGGCGCCGCCGTCGTGACGCTCGCCGACGGGAGCGTCGTCCTCGCGTCGGAGGTGCCGGCGGGGACGCCGCTCGCCGGCGGCGCGACGATGCCCGCGCCCGTCCCGATGGTCACGCTGGCCGACGGCCGCGTCATGCCCATGGACAAGGTCCCGCCGGGGACGGAGCTGGCGGGCGGCGCGAAGATGCCGCGCGGCGAGACGGTCATGCTCGCCGACGGCACGATCGTCGCGAAGAAGGACGCGCCGCCCGGCGCGGCCCTGGCGGGGGGCGGGTCCATGGCCGTCGACGAGACGGCGACGGTCACGCTCGCCGACGGCACGGTCGTGCTGGCCAAGGACGTCGCGCCGGGCACGCCGCTCGCGGACGGCCAGGTCATGGCGCCGCGCGCGGGCCAGATGGTCACGCTCGCCGACGGGACGGTCTGCGACGCGGCCTCGGTGCCGCCCGGCGCCAAGCTCGCGGGCGGCGGCGTCATGCCCGCGGCGCCCGGCGCGATGGTGAAGCTCGCCGACGGCCGCTGCGTCCCGGCGTCGGAGGTGCCGCCGGGCGCGCCGCTGGCGGACGGCGGCGTCATGCCCATCGCCCCGGGCGGCAAGGTCACGCTCGCCGACGGGACCGTCGTCGACGCGGACAAGGTGCCCCCGGGCACGAAGCTCGCCGGCGGCGGCACGATGCCCGCGGCGCCGGGCCAGAAGGTCACGCTCCACGACGGGACGGTCGTCGACGCGGACCAGGTGCCGCCCGGCGCGCGCCTCAAGGGCGGGACGGTCATGCCGACGGCGGCGGGCGCGACCGTGACGCTCGCGGACGGGACCGTCGTCGCGGCGGACCAGGTGCCGGTGGGCACGGCCCTGGCGGGCGGCGGCGTCATGCCCGTCGCGGCGGGCGCGATGGTGACGCTGGCGGACGGCTCCGTCGTGCCGGCCGCCGACGTGCCGCCGGGGACGGCGCTCGCCGACGGCGGCATCATGCCCGTCTCGAACGACCCCGAGGCCACGGTCACGCTGGCGGACGGGCGCGTGGTCCGGGCCAAGGACGCGCCGCCGGGCGCCAAGCTCGCCAACGGCGGCACGATGCCCGTGCGCGCGGGCGCCAAGGTCAAGCTCGCGGACGGCACGGTCTGCGACCCGGACAAGGTGCCGCCGGGCGCGCAGCTCGCGAACGGCGGCGTCATGCCGGCCATGCCCGGCGCCATGGTGACGCTGGCCGACGGGACGGTGGTCGCGGCGGCGGCCGTGCCGCCGGGCACGCCGCTCGCCGACGGCTCGGTGATGCCGGCGCCGCCGCCGGGCGCGACGGCGACGCTCGCGGACGGGACCGTCGTCCCGGCGAACGCCGTCATGGCCGGCCAGCAGCTGGCCGACGGGTCCGTCGTCCCGCAGGCGCCGCCGCAGCAGGTCGCCTGCGTCGGCGGCGAGGAGGACTCGGTCGCGGACGAGATCGTGAACATCGTGGAAGGCTGCGACAATCCCGATTTGAAGACGGTGCTCGAGCCGGACTGCATCGGGCAGGCTCTGGCCCAGGCCGACCTGGAGTGTGAAGGAGAAATTGGAGCGGCAGAATGGGACGGCGCCGTCGAGGGCGCGCTCGAGAAGAAGCTCGCGCAGCGGGCCGCGGAGCGAGACCGCGAGGGCAAGGGCCCGAACCCCTGGGACGCCAAGGGCGGCAAGGGCTTCGACGACGACGAGATGGATCCCGCGTTGGCGGCGTTGATGGCCGCGAGGGATGCGTGGAAGGACGACACGCCGTGGCCGACGCGCGTGAACGCGTCGGGGGAAGTCGTCTCGATCAACCCGCTGGACATTGAGTTCGTGGCCAAGTTTTTAGATAATGCGTCGAAGGCCTTCCGACTCATCGACCTCGACGACAACGGCGGCATGACCGCCGAGGAGCTCCAGGAGTCCATCGCCGAGGAGCCCGAGGTCGTCAAGTTCCTCTGGACGTGCGGGAACATGGACATGCAGCTCATGCTCGACGAGAAGCGCTTTCCCGCCTCCTTTGCCAAATTAGATCGGGACAAGGACGGCGAGATTAGCAAGCACGAGTGGATGTTAGCCATCGACCTGGCGCTGGAGATCCGGTTGAAGCGCTTCGCGGACCAGCGGGCGCGGTCGCAGGCCGCGGGCGAGGCGGAAGATGCGGCCTTCCGCGAGGAGTTCAAGAAGCTCGCTCGCAAAGTGTTCTTTTTGATCGACACGGACGGTAGTAACTCGTTGACCGAAGAGGAGATCGTCCGATCTCTGAGATATGAGGAGGAGGTCAAGACCTTCCTGGCTACTTGCGGCAATCCGTTGCTCGGCCATCTGCTCGACCCCAAGGAGATCAAGAAGTCGCTGCACGAGATCGACAAGAATTCCGACGGCGAGATTTCCCTCGAGGAGTGGGACGCCATCGTCGAGAAGGCCCTCGACGAGAAGCTCAAGAAGCTACGAGCGGAACGCGCGAAGCGCGAAGCCGCGGAACGGGCGGAAGAGGAGGCCCTCACGCAGAAGTTTTTGGCCATGGCGCGGAAGATTTTTGAGATGATCGACAAGGACTACTCGGGCACGATCACGAAGGAGGAGATGGTCGATGCGGTGGAGAACGATAATGAAATTGTGGACTTCCTCCAGAACTCGGGCAACCTTATTTTTAAACAATTGTTACATCCGAAGCGCCTCGAGAAGGCCCTCGCGGATTTAGATACGGATTCGGACGGCGAGATCTCGACGCAGGAGTGGGAGGAGGCCGTGGAAGCGGCGTTACGGGTGCAGCTCGGCCGCCTGAGTGCGGACCAGAAGCGCCGCGCGGCCCTGTCTCGTGCTGAAGACGAGAGGTTCATCGCCGAGTTCATGGCGGCCGCGCGCCAGGTCTTCGAGCTGATCGACGTCGATAATTCCAATAGTCTTGCGACCCAGGAGTTGGTCGACGCGACGACCGAGAACCAGGAGGTCATCCGGTTCATGGTTAATTGTGGGAATAAGTTCCTGCAGGACATGTTGGTACCGAGACGATTACGCGCAGCTTTGACGGAGATCGACGCCGACGGTTCGGGCGAGATCGACAAGCCTGAGTGGGAGATCGCCATCCAGGCTGCTTTAGAGAAGAAGCTCGCCGAGCTCGAAGCGGAACGGGCGGCGCAGCGCGAGGCCGACCGCTTGGCCGACGAGGCCTTCACGAAGGAGTTCCTGGCGGCGGCCATGGAGGTGTTTCGACTCTTAGACACGGACGAGAGCATGTCCTTGGATCATGATGAGTTCGTCGGCGGCGTCGCCCATAACCCGATGGTCAAGAACTTTTTGAAGGACTGCGGCAACGAGTTCCTGCAGGAGTTATTGATTCCCAGTCGGTTGGACAAGGCCATGAAGGCCCTGGACACGGACGGGAGCGGGGTCATCGAGATCGAGGAGTGGTATGGTACGCGGCGTCCCCCGTTTCGTCTTTCGACGCGCGCTCACTGTTCATAACACGCAGGGAGGAGGCCATCGAGAAGGCCCTGCAGGTGCGCCTCGCCCAGATCGCCGAGGAGCGCGCGCGGAAGCGCGCCGAGGCGCGGAAGGCGCGCGACAAGCTCGCGGCCGAGGTCTTGGTCTTGGCGCGGCAGGTGTTCGCGATGCTCGACGTCGACGACGGCGGGACCCTGTCGCGAGATGAAATTATAAGAGGCGTCGAGGAGGACGAGGAGGTCGTCAAGTTCCTCATTAATTGCGGGAACGAATTTTTAGCGGCGCTACTCAAACCCAAGAAGCTCGAAAAAGCTTTGATCGAGATCGACACGGACGGGAGCGGCGAGGTCGACCTGGAAGAGTGGGAAGCCGCCGTCTTGGCGGGCCTCGAGAAGCGGCTCCAGGCCATGGCCGAGGATCGGGAACGGCGCGAGCGCGCGGCCGCGGCGGCGGACGGCCAGTTCACGGCCGAGTTCCTCAAGCTCGCGGAAGAGATCTTCGACATGATCGACGAGGACAAGTCGGACACGTTGACGCACGACGAGTTGACGAACGCCGTGAAGCATAACCGCAAGGTCCAGGACTTCCTCAAGGGCTGCGGGAATAAAAATTTACAATATTTATTGGTACCGAGTCGTCTGCAGAACGCCCTCAAGGTCATGGACACGAACGACGACGGCGAGATCGACCGGAGCGAGTGGCAGGCGGCCATCGAGGCGGCGCTGAAGGCGAAGCTGGCCGCGCGGCAAGCCGAGCGCGACGCGCGCGCCGAGGCGGCTAGAAAGGAGCTCGAGGAGTTCACGGCCGAGTTCCTGAACGCTGCGAGAAAAGCCTTCAAGCTCATGGACAAGGACAAGTCGGGGACGCTCGTCAAGCAGGAGGTCGTGGACTCCGTGCAAAATGACAAGGAAGTGGTCACGTTCCTCCAGACTTGTGGGGAGAGGAATTTACAGTTCTTGTTACAGCCGAAGCGCATCGACAAGGCCATGAAGGAGTTGGATACGAGCAAGGACGGCGAGATCGATGAAGATGAGTGGGAAGTGGCGATCCAGCGAGGATTAAAGAAGCGCGTCGAGCAGCTCCAGGAGGCGCGCGCGCGGCGCGAGCAGGCCGCCGCCGCCGAGGACGCGGCCTTCTCCGAGGCCTTCCTGAACATGGCCCGCCAGATCTTCGACATGATGGACGTTGATAGCAGTGGGTCGTTGGATCGGGGCGAGATCATGAAGGCTGTCAAGAGCAACAAGGAAGTGATCGCCTTCCTCGTGAACTGCGGCAACAAGTACCTGCAGGACCTGCTGGTGCCGGCGCGGTTGGAGGCGACGCTCGACGAGCTCGATGCGGATTTGGACGGGGAGATTTCAGCTCCCGAATGGGAAAGGGCCATCGCCGAAGCACTGAAGGAGAAGCTCCGGCAGCGCGCGGCGGACCGCGAGGAGCGCGCGCGCGCGTGGCGCAAGGAGATGGAGGCCTTCACGGCCGAGTTCATGGCGGCCGCCCAGAAGGTCTTCGAGATGATCGACAAGGACGGCTCGGGCAGCCTCGCGATCGACGAGATCACGCGCGCCGTGAAGGAGGACCAGGAGGTCATCGACTTCCTCGAGAACTGCGGCGAGCCGAACCTCCAATTTTTATTACGGCCCAAGCGCCTGAAGAAGGCGCTCGAGGCCCTCGACACGGACAAGTCTGGGGAAGTTGACGAGGAGGAGTGGTGCGTCTGGCGGCGTCCTTTCCGTCACCGACATAACTCGGTCATACCTTTCAACTTGAGACGCCATCGATGCGACAGTCCGCCTCCGAAGCTCAGAGCCGATCGTCGCGATATGGGGCCACCGAGACGCCATCGACGCGACGGGCCTCGCGCGAAGCTCACCGCTCGCTGCGCGCAGGGACGAGGCGATCCACCGGGGCCTCGCGGCGCGGCTCGAGCAGCTGCGCGAGGAGCGCGAGCGCCGCGAGCGGGCGGCGCGGGCGGAGGACGAGGCGTTCTCCGCCGCGTTCCTCAACGCGGCCCGGGAGGTCTTCATGCTCATGGACAAGGACGACAGCGGCTCGCTGAGCCACCAGGAGATCCTGGGCGCCGTGAAGACGAATGCGGAAGTGAAGAAGTTCCTCAACGACTGCGGCGACCGCAACCTCCAGTACCTGCTCATGCCGTCGAAGCTCGAGGCGTCCCTTAAGGCCATCGATTCTGACGGCTCGGGCGAGATCGAGCTCCCGGAGTGGGAGACGGCCATCGAGACGGCGCTCAAGGCGAAGCTGGCGCAGCGCGCGGCCGACCGCGAGCGCCGGGCCAAGGAGGCGGCGGCCGAGATCGCCGCGTTCACGGCCGAGTTTTTGAACGCCGCGCGCAAGGTCTTCGAGATGATCGACAAGGACGATTCCGGTGCTTTAGCGAAGGCCGAGATTGTGGAAGCTGTCAAGAGCGACGAGGAAGTCAAGGACTTCCTCCAGAACTGCGGCGAGGAGAACCTGCAGTTTTTGCTCAAGCCGAAGCGCCTCGACCACGCGCTCCAGCAGCTCGACACGGACAACTCGGGCGAGGTCGACGTCGAGGAATGTGCGGCCCGGCGTCCTACTTGTCATGCGATCGACGTTCACCGGTTGATTCGCGCACAGGGGAGGAGGCGATCCACCGCGGCCTCAAGAAGCGCCTCGAGCAGCTCGCCGACGAGCGCGAGCGGCGCGAGCGCGCGGCGGCCGCCGCCGACGAGGAGTTCAGCGCGGGCTTCCTGAACGCCGCCCGGGACGTGTTCATCATGATGGACAAGGACGACTCCGGCACGCTGACGAAGGAGGAGATTTTGCACGCCGTCAAGAACGAGGACGAGGTCCAGAAGTTCCTCATCTCCTGCGGCAACCAGAACCTGTCGGACCTCATGGTGCCCTCGAAGCTCGAGAAGACGCTCGCCGAGCTCGACACGGACAAGTCCGGCGAGGTGGACCTGCCCGAGTGGTGCGTTTCGGAGTCTCAAACTTTACGCGGCGATGGCGTGTTGCGGTGATGGCGTGCTCACCGGTCGATGTTCCACGCAGGGAGGCGGCCATCGCGCAAGCCCTCGCGAACAAGCTCGAGCAGCGGGCCAAGGACCGCGCCGAGGCCGCGGCGAAGGCGCGCGCGGAGAACGAGGCCTTCACCAAAGAATTTTTGAACAAGGCGCGCGAGGTGTTTGAGCTCATCGACAAGGACGACTCGGGTTCGCTCGCCATCGACGAGATCACTACGGCGGTCAAGTCGGACAAGGTCGTCAAGGACTTCCTCAAGACGTGCGGCGACGAGACGCTGATGTTCCTGCTGCAGCCGAAGCGGCTCGACCACGCGCTGCGCGAGCTCGACACGGACGGCTCGGGAGAAGTGGACATCGACGAGTGTACTGCCCGGCGTCCTACTTGCCATCCGAACGCGACGCCTGCTCGACGGACACATCTCACTGGTTGATTCGCGCGCAGGGGAGGAGGCGATCCGCCGGGGCCTGTCGAAGCGCCTCGAGCAGCTCGCCGACGAGCGCGAGCGCCGCGAGCGCGCCGCGGCCGCGGAGGACGAGGCCTTTTCGGCCGAATTCTTGTTCGCGGCGCGCAAGGTCTTCATGATGATCGACGAGGACGACTCGGGCACGCTCACAAAGGATGAGATCACCACCGCCGTCAAGGCGAACAAGGAAGTTATCGACTTCCTCGTCAACTGCGGCAACCCGAACCTCCAGTACTTGCTCGTGCCGGCTCGTTTAGAAGCTGCGCTCGCGGAGCTTGATACGGATCGGTCGGGCGAGGTCGACCTGCCGGAGTGGTGCGGACGCCGCGTCGTCACACGTTTCCGCCGACGCGCCCCACCGGTTCATACCTACGCAGGGAGGCCGCCATCGAGAGCGCCCTCAAGAACAAGCTCGAGGCGAAGAAGAAGGCGCGCGAGGCGGCCGCCGCGGCGGCGCAGCGCGAGATCGCGGAGTTCACCGCGCACTTCATGGAGGCCGCGCAGCGCTGCTTCGAGCTCATCGACAAGGACGACTCGGGCACGCTGACCAAGGAGGAGATTGTGGTTGCGGTGAAGTCGGACAAGGAGGTCATCGACTTCCTCAAGACGTGCGGCGAGCCGAACCTCGTGGCCCTCACGCAGCCGGCCCGCCTCAGCAAGGCCCTGGACATGCTGGACACGTCCAAGGACGGCGAGATGGACATGGACGAGTGGATGGCGGCCATCAAGCGCGGCCTGGCGAAGCGCTTGGACGAGCTGGCCGACGAGCGCGAGCGGCGCGAGCGCGCCGCGGCGGCCGCGGACGAGGAGTTCAGCGCCGAGTTCCTGAACATGGCCCGCAAGGTCCGTTTCCTGCGTCCAATCAATCAAACCCCCTTCCGTGCGCGCGCGTTTGTTTGCTTCTTGGTGTTTCGGCTTAACGTAACTAACTTAACGTAACTAACGCAGGTCTTCGACATGATCGACGCGGACGGCGGCGGGACGCTCTCCAAGGCTGAGATCGTCGATGCGGTGAAGAATAACGATGAAGTGATCAAATTCCTCAGCAACTGCGGCAACGAGAATTTACAGTCGCTGCTCGTGCCGTCCCGGTTAGAACATGCGCTCAACTGCCTCGACACCGACTCGGACGGCGAGATCACGGCGCCCGAATGGGAAGCCGCGATCGAGCAGGCCCTCAAGGCGAAGATCGAGCAGCGCCGCGCGGCCCGCGAGGCCCAGGCCGCCGCGGACCGGCGCGAGCTCGAAGCCTTCAAGGAGCAGTTCCTGAACGCCGCCAGGGAGGTCTTCGCGCTCATCGACGCGGACGGCAACGGCAGCCTGACGAAAACCGAAATTGTGGACGCCGTGACGCACGACAAAAAAGTGATCTCGTTTTTGGGCAGCTGCGGCGAGCCGAACCTGCAGTTCCTGCTGCAGCCGAAGCGCCTCGAGAAGGCATTGAAGGTGCTGGACACGTCGCAGGACGGCGAGATCGACGCCGACGAGTGGGAGGCGGCGATCTATAGAGGCTTAGAGAAGCGCACGGCCGACCTGAAGGCCGAGCAGGAGCGGCGCGCCAAGGCGGCGGCCGCGGCCGACGAGGAGTTCTCGGCCGAGTTCCTATCTGCGGCTAGGAAGGTCTTCGAGATGATCGACGTCGACAACTCCGGCACGCTCACAAAGCAGGAAATTATCACGGCCGTCAAGGAAAATAAGGAGGTCAAGATGTTCCTCGCGAACTGTGGCAACGAAAACCTGCAGTATTTGTTGGTGCCGTCACGCCTGAACCACGCCCTGTCCGTCTTGGACAAGGATGGTGATGATGAAATTGATGCGAACGAATGGGAGGACGCCATCGCCAAGGCCCTCCAGAAGAAGCTCGAGCAGCGGCGCGCGATGCGCGAGGCGAACGCCGAGGCCTTCCGCAAGGAGATCGAGGAATTCACGGCGAATTTCCTGAACGCCGCGCGCGAGGCCTTCGCGCTCATCGACAAGGACGACTCGGGGTCGCTGTCGAAGACGGAAATTGTGAGAGCCGTGCGCGAAGACCGCCCGGTCATCGACTTCCTGCGGAACTGCGGCGAGGAGAACCTGCAGTTCCTGCTGCAGCCGGCGAGATTAGAAAAGGCCCTCGAGCAGCTCGACACGGACAATTCCGGCGAGGTGGACGTCGACGAATGTACGGGAGCGGCGTCTTGTTTTTACGTGTAGCTTCGCTTGTCATCCGATCGACGCGACGCCTGCTCGACGGCGTGGCGGTGGTTCCAGCACGGTCGCGTCGTCGCCGAGAAATAAGAAGGGGGCACCGGACTCACGGGTTGATTCACGCACAGGGGAGGAGGCGATCTACCGCGGCCTGGCCAAGCGCGTCGAGCAGCTCCAGGCCGAGCAGGAGCGGCGCATGCGCGCGGCCGCCGCGGCCGACGAGGAGTTCAGCGCCGAGTTCCTGACGATGGCGCGCGCCGTCTTCGACATGATCGACAAGGACCAGTCCGGCACGCTCACGAAGAAGGAGATTGTGGATGCGGTGGCCAACGACAAGGCGCGAACGCGGCGTCCTACAACCTTCAATCCGTGATCTGCGGAACTGCTCTTTTCGTGTGTTTGGTGTGTGGTGGTGAGGAATCGCACGACCGCTTCACGCTTCGCGCCGTTCGCAGGAGGTCATCACCTTCCTCAATGACTGCGGCAACCCGAACCTCCAGTACTTGCTCGTGCCGGCTCGTTTAGAAGCAGCCCTAGAAGCGCTGGATACCGATAGATCGGGCGAGATCGACGCCATGGAGTGGGAGGCGGCCATCGAGACGGCCTTGAAAGCCAAGCTCGAGCAGCGCCGCGTCGAGCGCGAGCAGGCGCAGTCGGCCAACCGCGCGGAGATCGAGGCCTTCACGGCCGAGTTCCTCAACGCGGCGCGCGAGTGCTTCCTGATGATCGACAAGGACAACTCGGGCACGCTCACGAAGACGGAGATCGTGCACAGCGTGTCTTCCGACAAGTCCGTCAAGGACTTCCTGCAGAACTGCGGCGAGCCGAACCTGCAGTTCCTGCTGGTGCCCGCTCGTTTAGAAGCGAGCCTGGATGCCCTGGACACGAGCAAGGACGGCGAGCTGGACATGGACGAATGTACGGGAGCGGCGTCTTGTTTTTTACGCCGTCGTCGTGAGCGCGGGAGAGTCTATACGCGTCTCGCGGTCGCGTCGATGGCGTCGATGCGGCCGTCAGAGAGTCCGCGCGCCTCGCGAGAGCGGTGGCGCTGTCGCCGCGACGCCGCCGTCACGACACATGTAGCTTCACTCACCATTCACGCACACAGGGGAAGAAGCGATCAAGCGCGGCCTCGCGAAGCGCGTCTCGCAGCTCCAGGACGAGCAGGAGCGGCGCGCCAAGGCCGCCGCCGCCGAGAACGCGGCCTTCTCGGCCGAGTTTTTGGGCGCCGCGCGGCGCGTCTTCGCGATGATCGACGTCGACAACTCCGGCACGCTGACGAAGGAGGAGATCAAGAAGAGCGTCAAGAGCGACAAGGAGGTCATCGACTTCCTCAAGGACTGCGGCGAGGAAAATTTGCAGTTTTTGTTGGAGCCGAAGCGATTGGACCGGGCGCTCAACGCGCTGGACACGTCGCAGGACGGCGAGGTCGACGTCGACGAGTGGTGCGTGGTCAGCGTCCGAAAGAGATGCAACCCGGACGCCATCGCTGCGACTGCTAACCGGTCGTTGCACCACGCAGGGAGGAGGCGATCCAGCGCGGCCTCAAGGTGCGCCTCGCACAGCTCGCCGAGGACCGGGAGCGGCGGGCGCGCGCGGCAGCAGCGGAAGACGGCGCCTTCACGGCCGAGTTCATGGCCGCCGCGCGCAAGGTCTTCGATCTCATCGACACGGACGCGTCCGGGCTGTTGGACCACGACGAGATCAAGACGGGCGTCACGTCGAACCAAGAGGTCATCGCCTTCGTCAAGGACTGCGGCAACCAGAACCTCCAGGATCTGTTGATTCCCGAGAAGATCGAGAAGTCGATCAAGACCCTCGATACTTCCGGAGATGGCCTGATCGACGCCTTCGAATGGGAGGCGATCATCGAGAAAGCTTTAGCAGCGAAACTCGATGAACGGGCCAAGGCGCGCGCGGAGGAGGCCATCGCGTCGGGCCTATCCGCCACGGGCGGCAAGAAGCGGCGCCGCCCGGCGCCCTGGACGGGTGGTGGGGTGGAGCTGCCTTTGCTGATTTTCGGCGACATGGCCGACCTCAATGGAGGTGCCAAGGGCAACAAGTCGCAGAAGAAGAAGGTGTCCGGTGCCGGGGCGCGCTTGTGTGCGGCCATCGAAGATGAAAGAGAAGAATGCGGCAAGGAGAACGAGCCGTTGGTGCTGTTCACGGGCAATTCCTTCGGCGCGTCCTTCGAGGGCACCGTCACGCGCGGCGACCACGTCGTCCCCACGGCGAACGCCATGGGCGTCTACTGTGGCGGCGTCGGACCTAGTGATTTGGACTACGGGTGTGCGAATTTAGAACGCATCGCCAACGCCTGCAACTTCCCTTTGTTGCTCTCCAATGTCTCGGATGCCCGAACGTCGAAGCCCCTCGCTGGGACACAAGCTTCTCGCTTAGTGACATGGCAGGGCCGCAAAGTAGGCATCATCGCCGTCGCGGCTGCCGAGAAGCTAAGGGACTGCGCGACTCTAGAGGTGGTGTCCGGCAACACGGGTAGCGACAGCCAGAAGGGCTCGCCGCCGCCCGTGCGCGTCGAGGACGAGGACGCCTGCGTCCGTAGACTCGGTGGCGAACTCAGACGCAACGGCGCCGAGGTCGTCATTGTCTTGGCGGCCGTCGGCGGGGGCACTGGCAAGTCGTCGCCGGGCGGCGAGCTTGCCCAAGCGGCGAACGGCATGGCCGACGTCATCGTCGTGAGCGGGCCGCGCGGCGAGGCGCCGCCGTCGGGCGCGCACCGCCACGAGACGGACGAGGCCTACTGCTGGGTCGTTCGCGCGCCGCCGCAACTCGCCTGCCTCCTCAAGATGTCCGTCATCCTGCCGGAGGAGCCCCACAGCGGCCCGCCGCCCCACTTAGCGGCGGAGGCCCTGAACATCGCGCCGGGCGCGCGCGCCGTCGACGCCGTCGGCCGCCTCGCGGTCGTCGCGCATAGAGGCGTCGCGCGCGGCCTCGCGACGACGGCAGCCGTCTGCGAGGGTACCTTGGACTGCTCGGCCGAATCGTTACGCGGTGGCCGCCACCTCGCGACGCGGCGCGCGGGCGCCTCGGCCGGCGGCCTCGCGGCGGACGTCGCGGCCGCGGCGACGCGGAGCGACTTAGCTATTTTGGATGGCAGAGCTTTGCGGTCCGTCGGCGAGCTCCCGCCGCGCAAGCCGCTCACGCCCGCCGACTTGCTAGCGCTGGCGCCCATCGCCGACAGCGACAAGGACGGGCCCCGCGTCGAGGAGGGCGCCGTCGACGTCTTCGAGGGTGATGATGATGATGGTGTCAAGGTCGATGATTCGCTCGACGGCATCGCCCAACAGGCGTGCGACGGCCCGGGCCTCGTCGTCGTCGAGGCGACGGGGCTCCAGATCCGCGTCGCTTTGGAATTAGCGCTCGCGCGCTACCCGAACCTGAGCGACGACTTCCCGCACGTCTCGGACGACGTGCGCGTCATCTTCCGGCCCGACGAGCGCCCCGGCCGCCGCATCGGCAAGGAGGGCCTCTTCTTCGAGGGCAAGGGCATGCTGAAGACGCGCACGTATCGCGTGTGCACGACGGCGCGCTTTGCTCGCAGAGCGTTCCTCGGGAGCAAAGCCCCGCATGGAGCCGCGACGGTCGCCGTGCCGGCGCGCGAGGGCCCGCTCCTCGTCACGCTCCTCCGCAACCTCTTCGCGGACTGCACGAAGTCCGACGGCGATTCCGCGCCGCGCGCGCTCGCGGCGCCGGTCTACGCGCGCATGCGCAAGGGCGACGCCCCCTGGCTCCGGCCGCGCGGCGGCGGCCTCAAGATCTGCCCGCCCGCCGGCGGCCGCATCGCTGTGGAAGGAGAGGGCTTCGGCGGCGAGGGCGGCGACCGCCTGCCGCCCATCGAGTCGCCGACGCGCGGCCGCGCGCCGCCGCCGCCGCGCGGCCGCACGATGCAGAGCCCGCTGCCGCCGCCGGCCGGGCCGCGCACGCCGCTCGCGCAGAGCCGCTACTACAACCCGGATCCACGATCGCTGGCCAAGCCCAAGCCCCTGCCCGGCACGGCGACGCAGGCCATGCGTGGTTCGTTCGGCCAGTCGGGCCTCGCGCCCTTACCTGATTTGGCCATCAACCGCACGGGCTCGCCCGTGCGCCTGGTCGGGGGCATCGGCCTCGCGCTGCACGACCCGTTACCTGTGGGGAGTATTGATCAGTACTCGGCGTCGACGCGCGCCATCGAACTCGCTAGGCGCTCTGCCGAGCTCTCGCGCGATGTCTCTCCGGACGGTCGCCCGCGGACGACGATGGGTGGCTCGCCGACGCGCTCGCCGAGTCCGTCGAGGCCGCGCACGACCATGGGCTCGCCCGGCGGCTGGTAATGTCGTGGGCTTGATTCCCCCCCTTCCCCAAAAAACATACGAAAACAAAAGAAAAAGTGGTAAAGCGACGCGGATCGACGCAGTTTCACTGCCGACGGAGCCGCAACAGACTCGCACGAGATTCGAGCCTCGGGCGACGACGTGATACATATAGCGACGCGGATCGACGCTTCACAAGCCGACGGAGCCGCACCAACAAGGACCTGACTTGTACAAGGATTCGAGCCCTTGGGCAACGACGTGACAAAGAAATACCAAAGACCCCTACGACCTCATCTTGAGCACTCGAAGATTCGAGCCTTGGAGCTGCGCGAGACGACCGGTCGACACGAGTTCACGGCGCGGCGGCTAGCATAGCTGAGCTTGGGCGCACGGCACGCGGGGAGAGGATTCGAGCCCTCTCTTCCACGTGTTGCAACGCCTGGCCCCCGTAGAACCCCTTGCGTTAAGTACGATTCTTGCGCGATTATCTATCTAGTAGAAGTGTGTGAGAAGATTACACACGGAACTACAGCTCCATGCTGCGAGGAGAGACCTCCTGCGCCGGGGCTGTGGTACCAGGCCAGAGGTCGTCCGCCTCGACCGACGACCCGTGCCACGTGGCCGGCTCGTCGCCCGCCCGCTCGTCGCCGCCCGCGCTCGAGACGCTGTCGCGCTCCTTCGCCTCCTCGGGATCCTCGTCGTACTTCTTGGGATCGTCCTCGGCGTCGTCATCATCGGGAAACAGCGCGGGCGTGACGCAAGGAGCGATGCAGAGCGCCACGAGCGTCAGCAGGCCCCCAATCCCGAGGATGAGCCAGATAAGGAATAGCGTCTGCACAATTTCGTCACAAAAAGAGTCGTAGGTCAATTTCTGGACAAGCGGCTGCACGGAGTCGCAGCTGAGGAGAGTACCGCCGTCGTCTATGAGCCAGCCGATTTCGTCGAGGGCGGCTAGGATCGACGCGAATGCATCCGGCGGACCCGTACAGATACCATTCTCTTCAGCTACGGGAATGACCCGCTTAAAGGCGGCATCCATCACGTGATATATCGCTTTGAACTCGTCGTAGGTGCCTTGCATCGGGTTCTCGCCCTCACATTGTAAGTAGTACGCAAGGTACTCGTTACGATCGCCCATAGCTGTGATGACATTCGTCGGCCCCAGATGACAGAAGTCCTGTGTGGAAATCAAATTTCGGGCGCCCCACGCCATCGACGCGACATCATCTCTCGTATAAAGTTGTGGTTAAGCATATGGATCTTTCGGCGCGCCCTATTGACTGGATACAGTATGTCGTTGACTTCTTTTTCACCTTTTTTCAGAATTTTTTTCGCTTCTCCCACAACTTTGAGGAGCTCTTTTTGGATGTCGTCGACGCAACTGATCTGCTTTGTCGCTGCTTCTATTTCGTCAAGCGCCTGAAAGCCCCAATCGATGTCATGCTGTGCTGATTCCACTACGTCTTCTAGATCTCCAACACGATTATTGAAATGCTTCACGTGGCGCCGCGCGTTCACGCCTGCGAGCGCTCCAACGAGTACAGCCAGAATGCCGGCCACCAGAAGTCCGAATCCTAATCGCCAGAGGAGGCGGTCTCGGCTCACGGTGTCGAGGCGTTTGGCACACCTCCGGCGGCAACAGCAGCGTGTCACTGCGTACAAGATCATGATAAGAATGCCAATCCCCGCGGCGACGCATCCGAGAGTGATCAGGCCGTCGAGATACATGTCCGACTTCATGTTTTCCGCGTTCTTCGGCTCGCGGTGAGGAAGATCATGCAGGAACTCTACTACATTTGTACGCGCCTGGGGCTCGCGCATGGTTTTAAGCGCTGGTGCGTGCAAGCCAAGGAAAGCCAGATAAAGCCAGATTGACTGTCTGCCTTACGCGGTGGCACTCTACGAGGACCCCGCCACCACGCTCGACGATCTCCGCGGGGCCGTGACGACGCTCGAGGACACGGCACGGATTGCGCGGCGCGTACTCGGTGGCACGCACCCGAGCACAGCGGGCATTGAGCACGACCTGCGAGACGCGCGAGCCGCGCTCCGCGCCCGCACCGAGTAACTACGAAACTCCCGGGCAACAAAGCACACGTAGCATGATTCTTAGAGTAAGGAAGGCGGCGCTTGGTCGTCGCCCGATAGAGGCCGGCCCCCTTCTAGAGCTCGTTGACGTCGATGATGGGGTCGATCGCGTCCAGGCCCCGGTACACCGCGCCCTGCAGGAGGAAGCACTTGAAGTAGTCCTGTGTAGATATCAAACTTCACGGCGCGCGCTGAATCGTCGCGTCGATGGCGAGGCTCGACGCGACGCCTGCTCGACGGCGTGACGGTCCGGGTCCCTCAGTGCTCGATTCAGTCGCGGGGCCGCTTTGTCGCCGATCAATGACTTTGTGAAGAATTATCGGACGCCCGACGCACCTCGGTCTCCAACGCGATGTCCTCCGCGTCGCCCGCTCCGAAGGGCTGCGTCGCGTAGCGCTCCGCCCGCTTGCAGTCCCGCACGACAATCACCGCGGAGTCGAGCCAGCGCTGGAGCCGCGGCCGCTGCTTCCTCTGCCACTTGGTCTCGCCCGCGCCGCCGCCCTGGACGGCGTCGCGCGCCTTGGCCTTCAGGAGCGACCGGACGCGCTTCTTCGGGACCTTGTTCAACTTGCCCACGAGCGTGCGGCCGTGCGCCGTCGTCGCGAGCTTCTCGACGAGCCCGGCGCGGCACCGCACGAAATCCGTGAAGTCGCGCTCGACGGCCATGCGCACGACGGAACCGTCTTCCACAGTAATGCGGCAGTCGACGCCGTAGAGACCCGTCGCCTCGTCGTAGGAAACGACGCGCGGCGCGAGATGCTCGGCGGCCACGGTGCGGATCGCTGCGACGACGGCCCTTCTCAAACTCCGCGCCGAGGGCTTCTTGGTGGGCGCCTCCGCGACCTCCTCCGACGGGACCTCCGTGGCCGCGGCCAGCGCCGTCTGGAGGTCGGGGCCGAGCTCGTCGACCGACGCGAACAGGCCCGACAGGTCCGTCGAGCCGCCCGACTCGCGCGCCGCGACGCCGTCCGATATCTTGGCCTTGGCCTTGACGTCCTCGACGAACTCGACCGCCAGTTCACGAGAAGGAAAGTCCTCGGGGTGCTCGTCGCAGGACCCGAAGTCCCGCGCGGCCATGAGGTCGCAAAAATCTTCTTTTTGCGCGTCGGAGAGGACCACGGACCTGTGTGGAAGCGCGTCGCGTCGATGGCGTGGGGCGCCCGAAATTTGATTTCCGCTCAGCCACGGACGACTCGGCCGCGAGCGACTCAGCCGCGGCACCGACGGACGCGCCCCGCTCCAACGCGTCGCGCAGCACGTCCCAGGCCCCGGCCCAGCCCGCGCCGGGCGCCGGGGCGGCGCGAGGCGACCGCCCGTGCTCGACGGACGCGCGCCGCGCGCACGACCGGCGCCGCGCGACGCGCGCCCAGGCCGCCTCCGGCGCCGGCGGCTCGTCGGCCGCCTTGGACCCGTCGCTCGACGGCCACGTCTTCTCGGCCTCGAGCTCGTCGACCTCGTCCTCTTCTTCTCCCTCGTCAACAACGCCGTCGTCCTCCGCCGGCGACGCCGGGAAGACGGCCCCCGGGTCCGCGGGCGACTCCGGGTAGACGGCGCCCGCGTCGGCCGGCGACTCGACGGCCGGCGACGCTGCGGCGACGCCCTCCGCGAGGCTCCGGGCCTCGTCCGTCAGCGGCGAGATCGAGTCCATGGCCGCCTCGAGGGGCTCGGCCGCCTCGAGCGAATTAGCAGAGGGCGTCCCGGGCCCGGGGCTCGCGCACGCCGCGGGGCCCTCGCGCGGCGCCGCCGCGGGCAGCGCCGCGCTCCAGCCCGACCGGTAGACGCTCGCCGGCGCGGCGGCCGGCGCCTTCCTGGCCTTGAACTCGGGCGACACGTCGGGCGCCGTCTCGTCGAAGCCGGGTGTTTGGGGAGCGGCCTTCGGTGGTGAGGGCTTCTCCGGCGACGGCGGCCATTTGAACTTGCCGACGCGCTGGGGCGCCGCCGGCGCGGCGGCGGCCTTGGGCAGGAAGCGCAGCGGGTCGGCCGCGTAGGGCGAGCCGCCGAAGCCGTGCGCCTGCGTGCCGCCCGCGGCGCGGTGCGCGTCGCTGCCCTGGCTCTCGCTCCAGCCGCTGCGGTAGACGGTCGGCGCCGGCGCGGCCTTCGCGTTCTTCTTTGATGGAGGCGCCTTCTTCTTGGCGAGGGCCGCGGCCCACGCGGCCGGCGGCTGCTGTGGTTTGGTCGGCTCCGCCGGCTTCTCCGGCTTCGCGGCGACCGGCGCCTTCGCGGCCGGCGCTGGCTTGGGCGTCGTCTTCTTCGGCGGCGCGTCGGGCGTCGCGTCGGCGCCTTCCTCGCCGAAGGACGCTACCGTCGTCGGCGTCGCGGCGGCGGCGCGCGCGGGCGGCGGCGAGGCCTTGCGCGGCTGGTAGGCCGGCGACGCGTTCTCCTTGTCGGGCGCAGAGGCGAACGTGACCTTCGTCGAGGGCTTCGGCAGCGTCGCCGCGCGGTCCGGCGCCTCGCCGGGGAGCGTGGCGGCGCGGTCCGGCGCCTCGAGGACCTCGCGCATCGTGCCGTGCGCCTTGCGTAGGTTCGCCGCCATGCTCTGGTAGAGGGCGGCGCTCTCGTGCGTGTTTACGGAGAGCGGCATCTTTCTTGCTTTTTGGCTGTCGCCTGCGGTGAGGTAGCGGTCGCGAGGGCTGCGGCAGGGTTCTCTCGGGCGCGCAGCGCGGCCGCAGAGTGCGGCGCCGGCGGCGCCGTCACGCTGGGCGGCGCGCCCACTGCGCAGTGCGCGGCGTCGGCGCGGTTTCGCCTCAGAGTCGTTGTTTTAACAGTGGGCCTCAAGCGACGCGCACCGCGGTTTTTCGCCCCGTACGCCGGTACGCGCCGTGTGTAACCCCGAAAAGCGTTTCTCTAAGGCCGTCGCGCTAGCCTCTAAGGGCCCAAGCGCTGCACTGTACGGCCGCAGCAAATGCCTTGCGCAGACAACAGACCAGACGAAACGCACCCGAAACGCTCAACCACCCCTACCAGCACTCTGAGCAGGTCTCAGAGGCACCCAATTGCGCCTTCGTCTCACGAACAGCTAAACCGAGCAAACGGGTCTAGTGTCTTACATGCCGCTAGGTTTATCGAGCCAACCGAGACAAAAATAGCTCGAAAGCTAGCCTCCTAGCAGCTGCCAGGGCTGGACGAGGGCCGCACAGTTCTAACGTATCTCGTGCTTCAAGGTTTTCTGCGACAATTCTCTGTGCACTGCTGGAGGGCTGGGGGAGGATAAAATGGCAGCCGTCTTCCTCCACTACGAGCAAGGTAGCGCTCCCTTCACTTGCAAGCTCAAGACGGAGTTAGGCCTAGCAGAGGCGTTGGAAAAGTTTCGGATAAAATACCGCAAGAAGCACGGCCAGGCGCCGCCAAATCTCGAGGCGCGCCACCACGGCCAAACGCTGAGCGACGCGACGTGGCGCGCCCTGCCCGCCAAGACCGACGTCTTCCTCACCGAAGGCAAGGCGCCGGAACGGCCGAAACCCAAGCCCGCGCCGCCAAAACCAAAACCGCCACCACCACCAAAAGAAACGGCCCCGCCGGCGCTCGTCGCGCGGCTCCTGAAGCAGGCGGAGAAACAGACGGCGGAGAAGTCCTACCGCTCAGCTCGGGGCGTCTACGAGGCCCTGCTGCAGGCCGGCGCGACGGAGCGCGCGACGCGCGGCCTCGCGACGGTCGATCTCAAAAGAGGCGCGCACGCCGACGCGCTGAAACAATTCGAGGGCCTCTGGAAGACCTATAAAAGGGAGAGAGACGCCTTGGCCTGCGGCCGGTGCCTCGCGGCGCTGGGCCGCCATCAGCTGGCCATCGAGATGTTCCGACGCGCGATGAGGGACGAAACGCTGATGGAGGACGCCGGTGTCGAGCTGGCCCGGGCCCAACTTAGTGAAGGACGGGGCCAGGAGGCCTGCGCTACCTGTGAGCTTGTCCTAAAGAAAAACCCGCAGCACTGCGGCGCGACGGTGGCCTATTCCCAAGTCGCGCGCGCGTTCCACAAAAAAGATGAGGAGCTCTCGCTGATACTACGGGCCGTCGTCATGGACCAGGAGAACAAAGATGCGAGACGCGGCGCGGCATTAGCGATTAGTGATGAGGGCGGCTTCGATAGATTAAGAAAGCAGCTCGCGGACCCGCGCGATAGCCCGGCGGCCGCGGTGGCGTTTTTGGCGACGGTCTGCAAGGACCACGGGCGGGTTGAAGTTTCTGCCGAATTACTCCAGTGGGCGGCGGACGACGTGCCGTCCTCGGCGTCCTACGCGCTGAACTTGTTACATGCGCGGGAAATCCTGAACGACTACGAAGGAGCTTTGAAAGCGGGCGAGCGCTTCTTTTCACAAGGGCGCGTTGCGTGGTATACAGATGTTATGGCCATCTTACAAGGAAGGGGTGAGTTTGGGTCGGCCGCGTTCTGCACCAGTACAAATGATGTTGTGTTAGAGTGGGTGGCCGCCGAGGACGATAATCATGCTGTGGTCCGAGGCACGCCCTCGCCGAAACCGACGAAAATAAAGTACGACGACGACGCCTTAGACGCGCTGGCCGTCGCCTTCGCGCTGTGCAAGGTGCTCTATCTGGGCGGCGGACTGGCGCGCGCGCGTTTGCTAGTGAAGGCGCTCGAGCCGGCGCGGCGAGCGTCCTCCACGCCCCTGCACCAGACGTCCGTAAGAAACGAGCACGCCTACTACTGCTGCGTGGCCCAGGTCCTCTGCGAGGACCGGCGCGACATCTGTGAATATGACGACGACGTTTATGTGTGCGGCGACTCGCACACGCTGGCGCCGGCCTGGAAAGTTTTACAAGTGGAACAGAAACGCCTCCGTCTGAAACCGGCGCTGGTCACGGGCCTGAAGCACTGGCATTTGAGACGGGAGGGTTATTTTTATCCGAAGCGGAATTTCTACTACGTGTGCGGGGTAGATACGCGGTCTCCCCTGAAGAAGGCCCTGGGGCTCTTTGGTGATCATGTGGAGACGCCGACGATCCCATCGAACGCGACGGTGCTCTTTTTGTTGGGCGAGATCGATTGTAGGGAGGGCATCTTGGTCGCGGTCGAGAAGCTGCGGTACGAGAGCGTCGACGAAGGTATTAGGCACACGGCGTCGATTTTTGTAGATGTTGCTTCCCGCTTGGCGCGGCACAAGCGGTGGAAAGTGTTGGTACACCCGGTGCCGCCCGTGCTCGACGAGACGCGGGGGATGGTGCTGAAGTACAACGCGACGCTGAGGAGGTTGGTGGATGAGTGTTCGGAGCTGACGTGGGTCGACTGCTTCGGCGGCTTCTTGGATCCTGCGTCGGGCAAGCTCGACGCGCGGTGGCGCCTCGACGGCACGCACCTCCACCCGCGTTATTTGGATGAGCTGCTCGCGCCGGCGCTCGGGGCACTCGATTTTTAACTGTTATTTTTTGGACTTGTCGGACCCCGACGCGTCGGCCACGGTGTCTGGTTAGTTTTTAGCTAGCGCAGTAAGACACTAGAGAGCTCTTGCAGCTGTAAAATTAACAAGCGTTCCAGAGCGCCTCGTCGCGTAGGCGCTGCCAATTTTAGGTGGCAGTTTCGTATTGCTGTACTGCAACTCCTGGCCTGTGCAGCTTTTGGCAGTGGGCCGCCGCATCCGTAGCGAGTACTAGCGCGAGGAGCACTCCCGACAACAGGCCAAGCGCGGGAGCGCGGGAGAAGGCTGCGCGGCGGCGCGCGGCCTAAGATAAAAAACCCATGACGGGCCGCGCGGCGCCGACGCCAGACGCGAGCCCGCGCGACGTCGCCGTCGACGACGAACAACAAACGCCGCGGCACGGCCTCGTGTACCGCGTCGGCTCGAAGCGCAAGGACGAGGACCGCGCCGTGGCCGGCGAGCACGTGACGTGCGGCGGCGAGCGCTTCGCGTATTTCGCGATCTTTGATGGGCACGGCGGCAAGGACGCCGCCGACCGCTGCCAAGCTACTTTACACGATCAAATCAGTAGGAGAGCACCGGACACGACAAAAGCGACGGACGCCTTGAGCGAAGGGTTGCGGAGGGCCTGCTGGGAGCTCGACGAAGACTTGGGGAGTGCGCACGTCGACGCCGGCACGACCGCGACCATTTTATGCATCGGTAGAAGCACAGCCACGCTAGGCTGGGTCGGAGACTCGACGGCTCTAGTGGTCGACATGACCAGCCCCAAACCCGCCTGGGCGACGCCCAAACATAATCCCCAGAATCCCAGTGAGGTCGCGCGCATGAAGGCGGAGTGGGGCGCTCGTCGCGAGTTTTTATTATATGAGTCGCCGGACGGCGAGGACCAGGCGTACAACGAGGCGATGGACGCCTTTACGACGACCTATGAAAAGCGCTTGGCTGATCATTTCCGAGCGCAGAACCTGCCTCCCCTACGACCGAACTTGATCCGCGACTCGATGCGCCGCGAAACGTTAATTAATGACCGCTGCGACCGCGTCAATACTATGAGAAGAAAACAATCCTTCGAGGCGGTCACGAAGTTCGGGAAAGTGGTCAGTGGCCAGGACATGGACGCTACTATTGATATGAAAAGGCACGATAGCAATTTTACCCGTAGAACGTCGCCGGAGGACGGGCGGCCGCGCGGGCCCGTTGTTGTTGGGGCTAATTGGCGCGGTAGGAGGCCTGGTACTACGGTAGGAGGCGCCTCGACTTGTGTGACTCGTTCCATCGGGGACTGGGATGCTTCGAGAGCAGTCATCCCGGAGCCCGAGACCAAGACCTGGGACACCTCCAGCGTCTTCGACCGCGTCGTGTTGGCCTCCGACGGGCTGTGGGACCTCGTGTCGTTCGATGCGGCTGCGACATGTATGCGATCCGTTGATGATCCTCAAAAAGCTGCTCACTTACTCTTGAAACGGGCCAAATCGGAGTCGGCGCGGCGGGGCTACTCAGGTTTGAAGGATGATACCACAATACTGGTGGTCGACATCAACCCGAACGCGCTGAAGGTGACCGAAACGGCGCAGGGCTGCGCGTGCGTCGTCTCCTAGGGTTTCTCTTGGGCGCCGCCTCTCTGCTGATGGGCGGTGCAAGCTTGCACATACTTATACCGATGTGTCTAAAGATACTGTATGCACTTTGTTTTCTTGGGGTCGCGGCGGCGGCGGCGACGGCGCGGTTCTGCGACTGTCCAGACGCATGGTGTCCTGTGTGCAGTTTTTGGGTCGCGCGGTGCTGGGGTTTCGCTGCGACGGCGCGTTTTGCGGTTTGTTGCGCCCTGGTGTCTTCTAGGACCTCTCTGATGGCTGCTCGGCCGTCGGCGGAGGCGTTCCCTCAGACGCGATTTCGGGCCCATTTTACATTTTGTGAGACCTCTGCCAAAATAGGTGGCACTCTCCTGGGTTGTGCGACCAACTAAGAGCTCAAAAAACTGGTTCAACAGACCACATCGCTACTCGCATTACGCGTGCTGCATTTGCATTTGCATCATGGTCAAGCTCGCGGCCGCACTGCTGCTGCCGACCCTCGCCTTGGCCGGCCACAACGACATGTTCGCCTGCCGCGGCCGCTCCTGCGACGTCGAGGAATTGACCGAGCAGAACTGGGCGTCGAAGCTCGCCGAGCAGCCCTATTTCATCATGTTTTATGCGCCTTGGTGCGGCCACTGCAAGCAGCTCGCGCCGAAACTCAAAGGCGCCGCCAAGAAGGCCAAGGGCCTCGGCTTCGGCATCGGCGCCGTCGACGTCGAGCCGAACCCTTCCATCCAGTCCATGTTCCCGGACATCAAAGGGTTCCCGTCCCTCAAGTACGTGAACCACCCGAAGGGCAAGAAGTCTATTGATTACAACGGGCCCCGCGAGGGCGACGACGTCCTCCAGTGGACGAAGGACACCTTTGTTAGGACTGGAGGTGCGTTGCAGGCACCGATAGAACACAAGGCCTGGTCCGAGCTCTACACGTTCTTTGGCAGGGCCGCGCTCGATGATTTGCCCGTGTTGTTCGCCGTCGGTGCGGACAAGGAGCCCCCAAAGTGGTTAGCAGCGTTGCACGGCGACCTCAAGGAGAAGCCCAAAACCACGGGAGAAAATCCCGAGGCCGAGACGCAACGACTGTTAGGTGAAGCAAAAAAAGCGACCAAGCTTCCTGAGGTGCGCGAGGGCATCGTCGGCGTGCTCGAGACCCTGACGGCCGCCGAGAAGGCCCGGAACAACAAGCGCAAAGCCTTATATTCCACTACTTATAGTTCGGATCCCGATACTATAACAGCGTTCAACGCGTCCGGCGCGCCGAAAAATGGCGCACACGTCTTCGCGTTGAGTGTGGACCGCAAGAACCTCGCGAATTCACTAGTGGTCGCGTACGGCAACAACCCCGTCGAGGCCGATAGGAGGGGCAAGCTCGTGGATTCATCAGCTTTACTGGCCTTCGCGCGCGACGCGGCCGCGAATTTCCCGCGCGATTCAGCAGTAGCTTTACCTGACGTGCCCAAGCCGAAATCAGTCTTAGCTGCGGAAGAGCGCGCCGCGGCGCGGAAGAAGCGCGCCACTGCCGTTCATTCCATCGCGAGCAAGGCTGACTTGGACGCGAACTGCTACGCCCTACCGGCGGCGAAGACCTGCGTCGTCGGCGTCGGCGCGTCCGAGGGCGACCTGACGGAGCTCGCCGCAAAGTACTCGAAGGAGGGCTACGCCTTCTCGACCGTTGCGAGCGACGCGCCCGTCGCGGATGCACTGAGAGGCGACGTCGCGGCGCCGGCGCTCGTCGTCGTCAAGGGGGGCAAGCGGCCGCGCGCCGCGCGCGCGGAATTGAGTGGAGGCGCGGCGCTGCTCGACAGCATCGCCGGCGGCGGCGCGTCCTTCGCCAAGTTCGCCGGGGGCCTCCCGGCGTGGCCTGAAGCCGAGCCGGAGGAACCCGCGGCGGCGGAGGAGGAGGGCGACGAGTACGACCTCTGAGAGCGCAAATCTCCGCGAAGTAAGTTTATATATCTATTGCTCGCTCGCCCGTGGTGTTGTTACGGTGCTAGGATTAGTGGGCGGAGCCCCTGCCCACGGCTGGGGGGGAAACACCGCGCGTCCGTCGTCGGTGGCTCTGGTACTAGGACGAGTGGGGGGAAGGGTTTCTGTGATGATGCTAGGACTAGTGGGCGGAGCCGCTGCCCAGGGCTGGGGCGCGAAGCGATGAAAACCCGCACCGAAAAAAAACTTGCGGACCCGTCTCCACAGGAATCACGGGCTGGATTGCAACCTCGCCGGAGACCTAGCGTCCTCCTCTGCGGGAATTAAGACCCGGGGGAGCGTGCGAGCTTCCCTCTCCGCTTCTCCTGCTTTATTGCAGCTCTCGATTACAGTGAAGGGCAGCCTCTAGCGCAAGCAATTGCGCAACAGAGAGCAAGCCATGGTCCTCAACGGCCACCACAAGCCGAAGCCGGCGCCCCCGAGCCCCAGCTCGCCGCCCCCACCGCCCATGATTGGCAGCCCGAAAGACGGCTCCGCTTTATATGAGCGCGCCCGCAAGAACGGCGAACTCCACGTGCTGCCCGGCGGCCTCGGCGTCAACGATTCCAATCCGACCTGCGGCTTCTACCGGAGGGACGACGCGCGCGCGCCCTCCGTGGAAGACGCCGTCGCGGCCTGTAGTTATCTAACGTGGCGCTATGTTGGAAGGGCCGACGTTTTGATCGTGATCGATGACGAGGCCCTCGCGCTGTCCGAAGACATCCCGGAGACGGCCGCGAGCTGGCGCGCATCGGCCCGGAGCGCGTTATCAAGCGCCGTGCGCGACGAGGTGCACAGGCCGCGGCCGGCCATTTTGTTGAGGGTCGGTTCCATAGACGACCGCAGTTTCAAGCAGTGGGCGTCGCAGCGCGCGAAAGACGCGCAGTGGCTTGTCGCGTTCGGACCTGGTATCGTCCGGGTCGCGCGCGCGGCGTGCCCCAAGGGCGACCTAGATGCGGCGGATAGATTGGCGGCCCATCTCGCCGGGGCGCTCGACGCCTTGGTGAAGGGCGGCTCATCTGCTTCTCTGGAATACCTGCCGGCGCGGGAACGGGAGCGCTTACTGGTGGACTGGCAGCCGGCGCCTGCACCGGTAGACATGCGGGGCCTGCCCGCCGTCGTCGCGGCCGCGGCCGGCGACGGTCGCGCCGAGGCCGTCGCCGACGCGGATCAAAGCTGGTCCTACGGTCGACTACTAAGGGCGGCGGGGAGCATCGCTCGAAGATTACGCAGTGATTATAACGTGGGCAAGGGCGATTTTTGCGGCGTGCTCTGCGAGCGAGGACCGGATTTAGTCGCGGCGTTACTAGGAGTGAACGCCGCGGGCGCCGCCTATGTCCCGTTAGACGCCGTCTACCCGACGTCAAGATTGGAGGCCATGCTCGAGGACTCGCGGGCGAAGTGTGTTATTGGAAACGCCGCTCTGACGTCCACCCGCATCCCCTCCATGCCGGCCTTGCACCTCGAAACCATACAATCCGAGGGCGAGGCTCCCGTATTGGCTGATGCTTTATCTCCGACGGAGCGCTGGTTCGGCAAGGACCTGGCCCAGATCCAACCGGGCCGGGACGACCTGGCCTACTGCCTCTTCACGTCCGGCTCTACGGGCCGCCCTAAGGGCGTGCCCATCACACACGGCTCCCTTACGAACTTACTAAAAAGTTTTCTGGACGACCTGCCGGAATTACGGCCGGGCGACGCTGCGAGGCCCGCCGTCGCGTTAAGATCAAGAGCCTCTTGCCTGTTGAAGGGGTCGGACACGCTCGACGAAGGCGGCGCGGAACGGGCGTTTCGGAGGGCGACGTCGGGCGGCTTGTTAAATGAGGAGTTGCCCGGGTCCCAGGGCACGTTGCTAGCCGTTACGACCGTGTGTTTCGACATCAGCGGGCTGGAGCTGTTTTTACCTTTGACGTGTGGAGCGCGAGTCGTCGTCGCTTCGGCCGAGGAAGCTAGAGATCCGTCAGCATTAGCGGGTTTAGTGAGGCGCTTCGATGTAGATGTGCTCCAAGCGACGCCGGCGTCGTGGCGTTTACTGGTGGCAAATGGGTGGATGGGCGCCCCGGATCGCGTCGTCGCCTTGTGTGGGGGCGAGGCTTTACCGGCGGATCTAGCTGGACAATTGCGGCCCCGCGTTAGACGCCTATTAAACGTCTACGGCCCCACGGAGTGCACGATCTGGTCGACGCGGCATGAAGTGGAAGCTCCTTCTCCGTACCCCGTCGGGTGCGTGGGCCGCCCGTGCCGCAACAACACGGCGCACGTCGTCGATAGTGCTGGAAGGATCCTGCCGGTGGGCGTGCCCGGCGAGCTGGCTTTGGGTGGAGCTGGTCTCTCCCCGGGCTATTTACGAAGGGAGGACCTCTCGCAAGGGAGATTTGTAGAGAATACGACGGGCTTTGGATTCGAGGAGTGGGCTCCTGAAGGCCACCCTGCTGAACTCAGAGATCGCTTGTACCGGACGGGCGACTTATGCGTGAGACTGCCTTGTGGCAGAATCGAGTGTTTAGGGAGACTCGACGCCCAGGTGAAGATTAGGGGCTTCCGCATTGAGCTCGGTGACGTGGAAGCGGCGCTAAGCGCCTTACCGTCGGTCGACGCGGCGGCGGTAGCACCGAGGACACCGACCAAGGGCGGCGAGAAGGAACTCGTAGGCTATGTAGTACCTCGACCGGCCTGGGGCGGCGACTACGGCGCCGAGGAGTTGGAAGGGGGCGATGAAGTGGACGAGGAGGAGGAGGACGATCAAGATGATGGAGTTGTGGAGGAGTGGGGGGCGGTGTACGACTCCGCTTATGCCGCCGCTGATGCGGTCACGGAGGACCCGGCTCTCAATTATAGTGGATATGCGGACTCCTTCAACCCCGGCGACGTCCACGTGCCCCACACGGTCGACGAGTGGGCGGACTTCACGGTTCAGAGAGTGGAACAGCTCTCACCGACGCGGGTCCTGGAACTAGGTTGCGGCAACGGCATGATTCTGCTGCGGTGCCTCGTGAAGGACACGTGCCAGAGGTACGTGGGTACGGATCTCAGTGGCACGGCTCTGGAGTACGTCCGAGGCGTGACGACCGCGACGGCGCCAAATCTCAAGGTATATAAAGATGCGGGCCACAAATTGAAACTAGCGAAGTGCGGCGCTCATGACGCGCATAAATTTGCTTCCGAAAGATGTGACGCGATCGTTTGCAACGGAGTGGCCATGTACTTTCCCTCCGCTCGCTATACTCTGAGAGTCTGCGAGTCCATGTTGAAAGCGTGCGCGCCCGGTGGGGTGTGCTTTCTCGGGGATTTTCGGGATCGTGGCGTCGCGGCGCCGTTCCACTGTGCTCTTGCACTAGCAAGGGCTAGACGAGCCGCAGCTCCGGACCAAAAATTGACGTCTTGTGGCGGCGACTGCGCTTGTCCCTCACTAGATATCTCGGTGACGGAGCTGAATGTGCTGGCTCGTAGATCTTACGCGCGCGAGAAGGAGCTTTTATTAGATCCGCGGCTCTTCGTCGACGCACTATCAAGGGGAGAATTTCCCGACTGCGTGCGCGTCGACGTCGAAATCAAACGAGGGCGCGTGCGGTCGGAGTTCGCCGGGTTCCGGGGCGACGTGTGGTTGTACAAGGCGGGGCCCGGTGCTCCTTCCACCTGTGTGAAGGCCGTTGCGCCTTGCGAGCTCTACGACGCCTCGAAGCACTCTATTGATCAGTTAAGAAGTAGACTAGAAGAGGGACCGGAAACGTTATACATCGCGGCGGCGCCGGACGCGCGCCTCGCCTTCGAACGGGAATTATTGAATAGCGTGGAGACGTCCCAACGCGGGTCCCTCGAGAAGGCCGAGGCCGTTGCGAAGGAGGCGTCGAAGCGAGCCCGAATGCAAGGTGGTCTGGAACCGGACGATCTCTACGAGCTCGGCGAATCCCTAGGCTACGACGTGGCCGCTTGTAGAAGTGCGGGCGTGGCCGCGCCGGGCGCGTGCGCCGCGGGTGCTTCGTTGGATGTCCTCTTCGTCAAACGCCAGAAGGGCGAGAAACCGGGCAAAGCGAAACTCAGGTATCCGGCGGTCGCCCAGCTCTGCGCGGAACGACTGAGAACGCCCGGCGCGTCCCCGAGGCCGTGGGAGACGTACACGAACCACCTGCGGTCCAAGGAACGGAAAGCGGCCTGCGACGCCGAGGAGTTCGCCGGTGAAGAGGCTCTGAAAGCACCACCTGCAGCGGCCCACTTGGAACCCGAACTCGAGGCATCACTAAGAAGTTCATTAGAAGCCGCATTACCGCGCTACATGGTGCCGGCGCGCTTCGCCGCCGTTCCCCGTTTACCAATGACGGGCAATGGCAAAGTCGATCGGAAGGCTCTACCAGCACCGCCGGCGGGCGGCGGACGAGCCTCAAGAACTTTTGGAGCCGAGGCCACGGGCGGCGCACCTTCCACAGATGATGAAAGAGCCGTCGAGGCGCTGTGGCGGGCCGTGCTGGATCTACCGCCGGCTCGGCCCGTCGGGCGGTTGGACTCGTTCACGAATGTTGGGGGCAATTCGTTAGTTGCCGTGCAGGCGGCGCGACGCTCCGTCAAGTTCCTCGGCGTGCAATTGGAGCTGGCCGACCTGTTCGCCGCGCCAGATCTGGCTTCTTTGGCGAAGGTAGCCAGCAATAAGCGCCAGAAGCGGAGAGAGCGGGCCGAGAGCCAGGACTATTCGGACGTGGACGAGGACGACCCGCCGCTCTTCGAGTGGACGTGTACCGATGTGAGTGTCGGCGATCTTAGAGTAAGACTCTGGCGCCCCGACGCTGCTGGAAAGTTCCCGGTCGTGGTCTGCTTCGAGCCTTATCGATTTTCAGATGCGACGGCGGAGCAGGACGCGGCGACGTGGCCCTATCTCGCGGCTCGAGGCGTCGCCGTCGCGCGCGCGGACCCTCGAGGTATCGGCGACTCTCAGGGAGCGCCGCCTGCCAACGAATATGAAGATGATCAAGTGAACGACGCTGCCTTTGTCGTACAAGAACTGGCTTCGCAAAATTGGTGCTCGGGCGACGCCGTTTTAGTGGGCGCCTCCTGGGCCGGCTTCGTGGCCTTGCAAGTTGCCGCTCTACCGCAACCGCCTTCCGCACTAAAAGCGGTCATCGCGTGCTCCGCGACGCACCGACGCGAATTAGATGATATGCACAAGAAGCAGGGCTGCGTGCTCGCGGAGCAGCACTCCTGGGGCGCGTGGTTTTCGATCGTGCAAGCTAGACCGCCTTTACTGCATGGTAAGGATTGGCGCCGCCAGTGGTTGTCCCGGTTACAAGCCTTGGGCGAGCCCGCCGAGGCCGCTTGGTTAAGGGCGGATGTATCCAATAAGGACTACTGGCGCGTCGGCTCGCCCAAGGCCGACGACGTGAAGGTACCGGTGTTTTCCATCGGGTGCCTGCGGGGCGGCGGTTATGTGGATTCCATCCCCGAGCTGTGTGCTTCACTTGATAGAAGAGGCATCAATAACGCGACGATGATAGGGCCCTGGTCGCACGGCTTCCCGCACGCCTCGGCGATGGACTGCGGGCCGCGGGCGGACTTTCCGCGGTTGGCTTTAGGCTGGGTTAGGGCGCACTGTAGTTCCTCGAAGCTGCCGCCGCCGCCGCCGCCGCCGCCGCCCTGCTTGGTGTCTCTATTATCATCTCGCAACGCCGGCGCGTGGCTGTCGGATCAGCAGGGCCTTACTCGAGCTTTGTCAAACGTTGATACAGCAACGTTCTCATTAGCGGCCGACGGACGGCTCCTTTCTGGACCTGTAGCACCGAACGGCGCTCATACAATCGCGGTCGTCGGCAAGGGCGGTTCTCAAGCCTTCGCGGATGCTTGTCGAGCCGATCCTTTATCAAGAGCCGGCGCGTTCGCCCATTTGGGACGGGTCCACGACCTCGCGGGTGATCATAGAGACGCCGACGCCGCGGCTTGGAGTGCGGCCTTCGATGCGCCAATTGATGCTTCGCCTATTGTCTTCGGCGTGCCTTCGGTAACGTTGCGCCTGCGCGGCGCGAACGCGGGCCGCGTCCACGCGCGTTTACAACGAGTCGCGGCCACGGGCGAATCAATCAGAGTGGGCAGCGGCGTCGCCGACGTCACCTCTGCTCAGATCAAGGTCGAGCTGGGGTTTTGCGCCGCGAAGCTGGCCCCGGGCGACCGCTGGCGCATTGTCCTACAGCGCTGGGACTGGCCCTCGTTCCCGCCGCCGCCCAAAACTTCAGAGGCCGACCCCCTTGCCGCCATCGAGATTTTGGGCGGTTCGGTACAACTCCCATCTAAAAATCAAGTACGAGACGCGCCGCCGCCGCCTGCGTTCAGAACGCCGGCCGACGGCGCCGGCCTCGAGGCGAGGACCATCCGAGCCCCCACGCGCGTCCGCGCGCGCCGCGCCGCCGAGGCGTCCGCAAAAGACGCGGCGGCCGTCGTCCTCCAGGACGACTTCGGCTGCCGCAAATTGGCGTCGTCGGGCTCCGCGCCGCTCTTGGAGGTCGGCGAGGCGACGCGGGAGAAGATCTCGCTCGCCAAGGATGGCCGGAGTCACGTCCATGTAGCTTCAAGGGCGGCCTGGCACGCGACGAGTGTCGACGCCGCGACGGACGCCGCGACGGGCGCCTCCGTGCGCGTCCATTCCACTTTACATGTTACGGAGACTCAATATCGACTAGAGCAGCGCGTCGTCGCGCGGCTCGCGGACCGGCAGCGCCTCACGTCGGACCAGCTCGTCGCCGCTTCTACAGATTCGCTCGCCGACGACGACGCGAGCTGCGACGTCGTCTTCGACAAGACCTGGACCGTCGACATTCCTCGCCGAACGTAATCGCCGATCTCGTGACGCAAATCCCCCCCCTCCCCCTGCCGTACGACAGTGTCGCGGCTCGCACACTGCTGGCGTCGCCCGAAACACGGCGGCGCGTTCCACACTACGTCCGGACCCGGCAATCACATCCCCTACTAAAGCAGAAAATTCTAGATGAGTCCTGGGGCGTTAGACTGGGGCGTCGGCGTCCATGGCGTCCGGAGCGGCACTTGGAGCGGTGCCCACTCGGAATTTTTTTCGCCCAGAATTTCGGCGCGGGATCGACGCGTATTGGCTGGCGGATGGTCACTGGCGTCGTTTTTCCTTCGTCGCTTAGGTTTTTTCGCGTTGTCCTAGTTACACTATATATTACCTATCATATTGTGACCCGCTACTATTTTTTTCAGTTTCTTCCCATCTCTAAACGCGCACGGCCACGCATGACATCAGAAGCGTGCGGTGGAAATCTACCGACCCGGACCGGACGGCCCATAGCAAGCCGCAGACTCGGCGGCCCAATTTAGCGTGCGATTACGGCAACACAAAGCCGCAGCAACTGGCGGCTTCAGCTCTCGCTCAGTTTACCGATTTGAAGGTACTGGCAACTCCGCGTCAAATTCGGTGCGTGTTGCGGCGCGAGTTGCGGACTCGGCAAATTCGAGCCATTTGCGGGTTGCAACGCGGTACCGACGCGCCCGTAAAGCTAGGCAGGGCCACAAAAAGGCCTGTGACTGCCAGCAAGCCGCTCGCCGCAATTAGCAATTGCTGACGGGCGCAAGACGGGGCGAGACCAGAGGCGCTTTCAGTTCGCCTGGATTTGCGCGCCCAGCTCCCCGACGGTGCCCGAGAGCCATCTTGGGTCGCTCAGAGGCCCCTAGCCAAGCCCCCGCCAACACCAGGGGTGTTTTCAAGCAGCGCGGACGACCCCGCAAGAAAAGCGCAAGAGCCACCAGTTCAGACCATGGCCGCCCGTCCGCAAGGCATGAGGGAGCTCAAGGTGCGCCGGCCGCGTCCCGTGACCCCCCGGACCCCCGGCGGCCACTCCCGCCCGTGCCCCGTCCCTCCCGCTCGACCGTCGCCCAAAGCCGGAATGTTGCCCCGGAGACCGCCCCGCACGGCCCGCGCCGCGCCCCTCGCTGGCCGGCGCCAGAGATATACGCGTCCGCGCGGGCCGACGCCGACGTTTTTGGCCGAAACCCCACGCACACGCAGGTCGAGGACGCGCTGCTCTACCTGGACCAGGTCAAGGCCGAATTTGGGGACGAGCCCGAGATCTACAACGAATTCCTCGAGATCATGAAGTCCTTCAAGAGCCAGCAGATCGACACGCCCGGCGTGATCCGGCGCGTGAGTACTCTTTTTGAAGGCTACGGCAAGCTGATTTACGGCTTCAACACCTTTTTACCGGAGGGCTACAAGATCGAAGTCCCGGAACACCTGCGAGAGCAGCTCCGGGGCCAGGTCAACGCCGTACCTCGAGGGCAGCAGGCGGCCCCGGCGCCGCCGGCGCCGCGGCCGCGCGCGCCCGCGCGACGACCGGCTAGAGCGCCCGTCGAGGACCCGCCGCGACAACCGGTGGAGTTCGACAACGCCATCGCCTACGTCACGGCCATCAAGAAGCGCTTCGAGCACCAGCCGGAGACCTACAAGGCGTTCTTGGAAGTTTTACATACGTATCAGCGGGAGCAGAAGGGCATCCAGGAGGTGTTGCGACGCGTCGCGGAGCTCTTCAAGGACCACGCCGATTTGTTGCGAGAGTTCACGTACTTCCTGCCGGACGCCGCGATCGAACCGGCGCAACGGTTATTTCTACAACGAGCGGCAGCCGACGCGGAGCAGCGGAACCCCGGCGGCTATCGGCGGGGTGGGCGCGGGACACGTTCGACAAGAGGCGGCCGCGGCGGCCGCGGCTCCAGAAGAACCGCCCAGGCCTCGCAATCTAGTGATTATTCCCGACCCTATGCCACAACTGCGGGAGCCTCGAGAGGAGATAGAAATCTAGACCGACGCATCCTAGGGCAACCGCAAACAAGAAACCAAGGGCGCTACCGCAATCCGGTAAGACCGGCGGGCCACATGTCGTTGCCTGAGCTCCGAGATGAGGCGAAGCACGCGCAATTATGCGCCCAAGAAGACCTGCTCGCGGCGAAGAAACGGCGCTTCGCCCACTTAGGCCTCACGAACTCCGCGTCCCAGCGCCAGGACGAGGCTGCCGTGTTGCGGAGATTAAGATATGCATTGATAGGAGACGGCGCGTCGGACGGCACGCGGCAGAAGCAGCGCGGTTCGCACTTAGCGAAGACGCTGGGCACCCTGAAGGACGCCCTGGTGCCCTACGGTAGAAGTTCCTTCGGCGACCCGCGGTACAAAGTGAGAAGACCGCTCCCGGTCGACGCGACGTATGCTTCGTTAACAGAAGAGGACCGAAAAGAAGTAGATGCGTTACCCACGGCCGAGGAGGAGGGCTACTTCAAGACCGAAGAAGAGGAGCAGGACGACATGGACAAGTTTTTGCGGAGGGGTAAATATAAACATTTGCGGGAAGGGGACCCGCCAAAAACACTAGAAGAGCGGTTGGGCGGGACCGAGGACGTCGTGCAGCGGTGCAAGGACGCCGTGGCTGCGGCGGAGAAGGCGTTTCGCGAGAACCCGCCGACACCGGCTCCTCCTGTGGAGCCGGCGGATCCCGCCGCCGACGCCGTCGCGGCCGCCGTCGCCGCCGACGCGAAAGCACAGCTAGATCCGGACCTGGCCCCGGACAACAGTACCATGGAGAAGAAGGACGCGCCGATGCCTTCGTTAAAATACCCCGATCCCGTTATGTTGTCTGAAGAGGAAAGCAAGCTCGTACCTCATTTAGTAGCTGATGTACCCACAACAACAATGGAGCGCGAGCGGTTGTACGCCTGGCGCTGTGTCCTGCGAGGCTTGGATGCGGTCAGCAAGGGTGCCCTTTCGTCCGAGGCCTTTGAACAACTCCTGTCGGATGTCGTCGACCGCGTCGTGGACTGGGGCCGCGGTCATTCTAGGGGTTCTCGCTTAGTAGGAGACGTGGCCATGCTCTGTCGTCGGAGCGCGAGGATCGGCCCGACAGGCGAGTGGGCGGATGCCGCGTACGCCCTTGCCCGAAGGGCGGCCCACCCCGGTCGTCGCGTGGAGGTCGATCCTGATGATGATCCTCTCCAGTACGTGGGCGTCGCGAGGCGGCCGCGCTACGTCCTCGACGACTCCGACTCGAACGACGAGGAGGACAAGGAGGACGAACCCGATGCCGTGATGACGACGAGAGGTGTGGCCGCGCAAGCTGCATTGACGGCGAAGCCCTCTACAAGGGCCGGCGGTCGGCGGACGCCGCCGCCCAACGACGATGATGATGATGATCAATCTTTGAACAGCGGCGAACGGGCGTTACGTAAGGCGGCGAAAGTTGCAAGTGGTAGGCAACAAACTTTAGGAGATTGGACGTCGTTACCTTTGTCGGAGCTAGATTTCGGCGACGACTCGCCCTTCGAGTTGCGACGGACGCCCTCCTACCGACGACTGCCGGAGAGTGTGCCAAGGCCCGTCTGTAGTCATCGTAGTGAACTAGATGCCTCCGTGCTCAACGACGACTGGGTCAGCGTCGCCGTCGGGAGCGAGGACGGCAATTTTAGTCAATTACAGTTACGAAGGAACGCCCACGAGGAGCAGCTCTTCAAGACCGAGGACGAGCACTTCGAGATCGACATGATCGTCGGCGCCAACGCCGCGACGGCGACCGCTCTCGAAGCCATCGCGTCGGAGCCAGAACCGGCCAGTGTCGACTGGAAGACGGGCGCCATCGACATCCCCGTGGAGGTGATCCCGATGGACGACGACGAGCGCGACAAGAAGCGAGGTAGACTGCGGCGTCCCGTCTTACGCCTCCATCGCACGATGACGTCATTTCGACACGCAGGCAAGAAGAAGCGGGCGCGCAAGCGCGACGAGAGTCCGCCGCCGTCGAAGCGCCAGGCCGTCGGGAGTAAACAGCGGCCGAAACGTAGAAGCCCTTCTCCGGTCCCGCCTACCGATGAAGCTGAAGAAACTGAAGCGCAAAAGAAGGAAAGGCTCGAGCGCGAGGAGCGCAAGCGCGAGCAGACCGCGCTCCAGGAAAGATTTCTCGAGGGCGCGACGGAGTTAGATGACCTCAAACCGGGTTCCGAAGCGCTACAAAGGAGGTGGCTCTCGCCGATCCACGTCGCATCGCTCTGTCGGGTCTACGGCGATCGAGATGTGGACGCTCTCGCAGCTCTGAGAAAAGCGCCGAAGATCGCCGCGGGCGTGCTCGCGAAGAGGCTGCGGGAGAAAGATGTCGAGTGGCGGCTCGCGCGGAAGGGTTTGGCGCGGCGGTGGCGCCGGAAGGTGCGGGCCCACTTCGCGAAGAGTTTAGATCATCGGGCCCACTTCTGGCGGGCCCTCGACAAGAAGCGCTGTTCTTCCAAATGGTTAGTTCAGGAGATCCGGGAGCGGCCGCACGCGGACGACCCGGCCCTGGACCTGGCGGGGACGGAGCCTACTCGTACAGTAGAGCCGGCGCAGTTGACTTATGACGTCTCGGACCGGGGCGTGCAGCGAGATGTCGTGTCGTTACTGATGCTGGCCCTCGAACACTCGTCGACACCTCTCGCGGAGCAAAAGGTGATTGCCCGAGAGGTGTGGCGGGACTTTGTTGATGATTTATATGGACTACCGGCGGAAGCGCTCGCGAGGCACCTGCCCCAGTCCCTGTCGCGGGGGGGCCACGTCCTGACCGAGGGGGATCGCCAGCCTTTACCTCGAGGGGCTCGCGTGCTCACGATGCGCGGCGAGGCCGTCGTGTTGGCTTTTCATGCGGTCCAGCCGCCGAACACGGAGATGGAGCCTGATGTGTTTGCGCCCCTCAACGAGGCGGATACGTACGGCCGGTCGAGGGCCGCGTCGATCGCGTCGTCGCAAGACAACGCCGACGCCGAGGCGAACGCCGCCGCCGCTGCTTCTGCCACTGCCGCCTCCGAAGCGCGGGCCGAGGAAGCGCGACCGACGGCCTGCTACGAGGTGCGCGGCGAAAGTGGCCCTTCCAAATTCGTGAGACCGAGCGACGTCTTCGCGCTCGACGACCTCGACATGGGCTTCGTCGAGAGCGTCGAGGAGGAGAAGCCGACGAAGAAGAAAGGTAGCAAAAAACGCAAGAAGACGAGTCAGGAGGAGCCCCTTCCAGACGTGAAGTTCACGCCTCGACCAGCGAGTCGTGTCAGTGGCACTGGAGTAGCCCTAGCGAATGAACGGGTCTACGTCTTCGCTAGGCTCCACCAGATGATCTATTCTCGACTCTTAGAAGCGAAGGGCCTCTGCGAAAACGAAAAAGAGCGCCAGGACAGACTAGCGGCCGAGCCGCACCAGGTGCTCGAGGCCATCCGGGCCGACGACGACGGCGAGTGCGAGGTCGAGGAGGAGGTACGTTCGGATAGTGAAGACTTGGAGGCCGACGGCGAGATGGCGCGGCTGCGGTCGCGGGGCTACGCCGGGTTTTTGGAGCTCGTGGCCATGCTGCTCTGCGGCGACGTCAACAAGTCGACCTATGACGACGCGTGTCGGTTGCTGGTGGGTACCGAAGCTTTTAGAGTCAGAGCGCTGGACAAGATGTGCCGGGCCGCGGTCGAGGCGATGCGGTCGCTGGCCGCTGATGATACACTCAAACCGTTGATTTCGAGTGAGCACGCGACCGAGACTGTCGGTGATTTGGATGCACGCAAAGCAGCCCTCGCCAAGGAGTGCCCCCAGTTATCCGGAGACGACTTATATCGCGTCCGCGTCGACCGCGGGAGTGACGGCGCGGCGGACAAGCTGGTGCTCGACTGGCTCGGACCGCTGCCCGAGTTCGACGAGGACGTGGACATGGCCTGACCCTTATCCCTATTACCCCTATCTAAGGTTCAGGACATTTACAACTTCTAGTCCGAGTCGCGCCGGTCGCGGTGCCCAGCGACTCGTCTGTAAGGGGTGAACGCTCGTCGCGGCGGTGGCGTACGTAGGAACACACATAACTTACACAGGAGACCACCCCTCGTCACGGGTCTCCACAGCACGCATGTCCCGCGCTCCACAAACCTGTGGTTTCGGAGGCGGGTCCGCGACGTACGGCGGCGATGCATCGTAGTGGCGCGAGTACTTCTTCAACAGCGGCGACGGCGGTGTATCCAGAGGCACCTCGCCAATCACCAACGGCTCTTGCAGGCGCGCGCCGTCGGGGAATATAGCTGGAGACCGCACACCACTTACAGCAAACGCAACAGACGCCTCGAGCAGCTCCCAGCAGGCGCGCCCCGTCCGCTTCCAGTCGTCCAAACAGCCCGTGTCGCCGAACACCACGGCTCTACCTTTATCACTGGAGACGGCCGCGAGCACCGCCTGCGGCGCCTCTACTTTCACCGTGCCGCCGCGCTTCAGCGACACCCGCTTTTCTAATCTAGTTTTCACGACATAACTACCAACGGGCGCCCGCGCGATGACCGACCCAGACTCAAACCTAGAACCAGCCCCAAAGGCCTGCGGGAGCGCCCCTTCCCACGCGCCGCCACCCAAAGCCACATCAAATGGTTTCAGCACTTTGTTGAGCTCCACGACGTTCGCACCACCGACCGCGGGCTCCCAGGCCACTTGCGTGTTATCATCAAAAAAACGCGCCTGCTCCCGTAGAGCGGCGTCGGCCCAGTCCGCCACGATGAATAGGGAAGTGCCACCGGCGTGGACGGCTTGTATTTCGTCTTGGGAGTAGATGTCCTCGGCGTCCACAAGTAACAAAGCGCCGTACTCGTCCAAGTTAATACAACTAAGATCCTCATACCATACATCTATATGGTAACCCCGGCTCCTCAGTCTCCGAAACAGCCCTCGAAAGTTCGTGTACGGTAAATCACCGTTCCAGTCCAGCAGGTCGGCGTTCTGGTTGAGGTTGTCTCGCGGCGAGAACGACGGGGGATAGGTCAGGGAATGCGACGCGTCCCAGAGCAGCCGCTTCCTTTTGTCGGGCTTTGCCGCGATTTCCACCGATATCTCCCAGGCGACCCACCGCCCGTCACTCGACGCGTCGGAGCACGTCTTCTCATTGCTATCAACGCGCACCCACAATTTACCGGTGTGTACGCCGATCGACGCGTCGGGAGAAGCTCTGATTCGTACGGCGAAGGCCCCGGCGAAGGGCCACAGCGTGACCGGGTATTGGGCCTCCACGACCAGTGACGAGTCCGAGGCCCACTGCAGATCCGTCACTCGGCCCAGGACTCCCAGACCGTTCAGTACGGTGACGTTAAAAGATATGGGAAGCCCCCCTCGTATGAGGGGCTGGTCGCACAACGGTGACAAGTAGGGGCAGTCCTTTTCTAGATGAAATGATGGTGGCACGAGGGTCACGCGCGGTGTATACGTCTCGGCACATTGTACTGCTTTTAATGAATTAATCCTGCCAAAACCCTGGGCCCACATCGATTCACTGGTAGAAGTAGACGCTTCATTGAGGCACTGGCGGACCATGGCCGGGTTTTTTATCGACGTACCCGCTCTTCGAGCTGCCGACACTACAAGAGCAGCGACACCCGCCACGGAAGGAGAGGCTACCGACGTCCCGTGGTTCGGACTACAGGAAGCACCTCCAGGAATAGCACCGAGGACGCCCATGCCCGGCGCGACGTAGTCGGGCTTCATGCGCGGAATACGGTCGCCGAGCGGAAAGCCCCGCGACGAGATGGCCGCGACCCTTCCTGAATCGGCCTCCGACGCACCCACACCGATCACCTCGACCGCATCACCGGGGGCATTTAAGGTCCCCCAGGCCGGGCCGTCGTTTCCCATCGCAGAGACAAGAGTGATACCGGACGCTACTATTTCTTTGACCTTGTCGCCGAAGGGCCGGTCCGCGAAGTCCGGCCCGCCGACCGACAGGTTGATGACGTCGACATCACCCTTGTATAGGAGGTAATTAAACGCGTCGAGGAACCACGACGTGTAGGACACCTGTTGGTTCGTAAAGACCTTGTGGATTCTTAACGATGATGAAGGTGCGAATCCTGGACATTCCTCAGAAATACCAGCTACTACGGAGGCGATGAACGTCCCGTGCCCAAACGTGTCGGCCAACGTCCGTTCGGACGTCCAGTTTATTCTTTCGTCCGGTTGCTTCGGGAAGTGGGGGTGGTTGCTCCTCAATCCCGTGTCGAAGATGGCTATTGTAGAATTCTGGCCCCGCTCGCCGTGGTGCCATGTCTCAGAAGCTTCCTTGCCGGGGGCGACGATGACCTTGTACCTCGCTTGTGCTTGCGTGAGGTTCCTCCATAAGGGTTTCAGTGTGCTCCGATCTAGATCCACTCTGAAAGTTCTAAGTGCTCGTCGCGCGCCCCTCGTCAAATGTAATGCTAGGAAATCGGTGGGGTGGCGCCGCCGGCGGTCGGCTGATGCCCAGTGCCGGCCCTCGGGACCCAGCTTTCTGGAAACGGTCGCGCGGTGTTTTTCACTAGATGCGTAATCATCGAAGCGCACGAGGACGCGCTCGGTCTGCGTCGCGGCTGCCAGGGCAGCACATAGGAGGAGCCGTCGCATGGCTGCGCTTGCTGCGTCGAGCGCTGCTGCTCCGCGCCAGCCAGCGCTGGTGAATCCTCGAGACCACCTCTGCGCTTCCTGTGGCCAGCACAACCTGTCTCAAACGCGCCGCACCAAACGAGCTAGCGTGCACAGACATACTAGGATGCAAAATAAATACGAGTCCTAACAGGACGGATGGGCCATCGGGCACCCCGCAGAGCGGTGGAACAGTCGATCGGACGGGCCAGCGCTCGCGGCATGAAACCCCCAGGCTAGCAAAAAAGCGCAGCTGCCGCCCCTAAAACGCTGGCCTAGCGTGCGAGCTCACAGCCGACTCGAAGTGCAGGGGTGCCCTTCGACGAGACTAGGGCCGTAGCGCAGCCACAGCAGCAGCAACCGCGCCGCTAGAGGCTGCCCCTCGACCAAGCAGCCAGGCGCAGAGTTAACAACAGCGCGAGGCAGCCCGAGGCAGCCCGCGCGCGTAGGCGACAGGCAAGATGGCCGTAGCCTACATCAAATCATTAGTCCAGCTCAACTTAGAAGCCGACGACGCCGCTTTTGACCACGCCATTGAAAGCAAGGAGGACGAGGGCGTCGACGCGAGCGAAAGCTATTTCAAGTTTGGGGATGCGGCCCTGAAGCACATTTTTGACGATGCCACGACGTCGGGTGCCCTGTTCTTCTTCTGGGCGCCGCACCACGGCGACGAAAATGCCGCAGATGTGTTACATTGCGCGGCGCCCACCATGCCCCCGGCAGGGCACAACCGACGTAGTGTCCACTTCCTCAAGCTCGGAAAAGTCCCGATGGAAGGTTCTCGTACGGAATTGATGGACGCTTTACAATTTGGGGCGTGCACGGCCAACGTCCTGTCGGACGCGGCGGGCCTGCTCGGGGGCCTGTTCCTGCCGGCCTTTGAGGCTTCCCGGAGTGATGAGTTAACTCCCGGTCAAATAGCCTACCAGCGGAATCTAGCATCGTTCAAAAGTGTCTTGGAGCACGCGGCTCGCCAGATCGGCGGCGACGTCTCTCTGGAAATTCCCGAAGTAGATGTGTCTCAGCCATCTATCTTGGAGGACCAGACGGCGTTGGGCGAATTAGAGCATGCTGTCGAGGGCTGGACTACCACTATTCAACAAGTTGTGGATCAGGAGGCCGCGAAAAGACCTAGTAGTTCAGGCCCGCTAGCCGAAGTCGAGTTCTGGCGAGAAAGACACCGAGCTTTGTCCGCTCTCTATGAACAGCTCCAACTCCCGCGCGTCCAAGCTATCTTACAAACGTTAAAGAGAGTGGACGCGCACGCGATCATCGGCTATAGTACCTCATATGGAGAACTGCAAAAACTAGCGATCGAAGCCAAAGACAACACGAAGTTCTTAGCGACGTTGGAACGGCACTTCAAGACCCTATCCAGTGGCAGTTTCGCCTCCATCCTAGATACCTTACCTACGATGCTCAACGCGGTCCGCATGGTGTGGATTATATCTAGACATTATAATTCTGATAGTCGTATGGTGCCTCTGCTGGAGCGCATCGCCCACAAGCTCGCCGAGAAGGTGAGCGATGAAGTGAATGTGGCGTCCGTGTTATCTCTACCGCCGAAGGAAGCGCAACAAATAATCACGGAGGCCCGAGCCGTCTTACACGCCTGGGAGGCCACGTACATGGCGACGAGGCAACGCATTGAAGAAAGCGGTACCCATGTAAGATGGGAATTTGACAGAAAGAGACTCTTCGAGCGTACTAGATATATGGCGTTTGTACTAGGACATCTATACGACGTAGCTCAGGCGCGATGCAGTGTCGATACGCGGTCGCAGCGCACTTTTGAGAGATAGATCGAGGTCGTCTCCATCAGAGAAGGCTTTGACGGGTCTCTTTTCCATTTTTGAGCCGTTTCGGGGCGTATCGCGTCGTCTCACGTACTTACCACACACAGGTCCTCGACCAGTTCGACCAGTTCCTCGGGCCCGAGCTGCGGGCCGTTACGGACGACACGACGCAGGTCGACAAGGTTGTCCAACGCGTCGAAGCTTTAAAGGAACCGCTGACGAGCATTACGTACAATGCGTATGATCGACGCTACGACGAGTCCTGGCAGAGTCTCATGGATGAATTTAATGCGGACGTCGCCTCCATCGAGGAGCAAAGCATCCACTTCATTGACGACGCGTTTCAAAAGCTGCGATCCGCGGAGAGCGCCTATGAGCTCGTAGAAAATTTTAAAAAGGTGGAATCGAGGGACGTGATCAACCGCCAGTTCACGACCTTATATGATGAGGTCATGGAGCAGTACATGAAGGAGCTTTCGCAAATTCACGCCTTGTTCGACGCGCACAAGGCCAGGCCGCTGATCTACGAGAACTACCCTCCCGTGGCCGGGGCGATCGCGTGGGCTAGAGACTTATATCATAGGGCCAAGAAACCAATTCTCAAGTTCAAGCAGCACGAGGGGCTGCTCGAGACGCCGGAAGGTTTAGACGCCAAACAAAAGTACTTGGTCTTCGCTCGGGCCGTCGACGCGTACATCACGCAACTCTACGAGTCCTGGGAGAAGTCGACGTTAGAAGTAGCTACTGAGTTGTTAAAACAGCCTATCCTAGCTGCTGTACATTCAGTACCGGAAGATACGCGGAAGAAAAAACCTCCGGGCAAGTTCCGCATGCCCCCGCTCCCGTACAAGGTCAATTTCGTACCCGAATTAGCTTTAATTATCAAGGAGGCCAAGTACCTCGACCGGCTCGGCTTTACCATACCCGAGACCGCACTGCAAATAGCGCTCCAGGAGGACAAATTTCACGGCTACGTCCGCGACTTGAGTCTGAAATTGAGCCAGTACGACGCGTTGATTTCCAGAATAGCACCCGTCGAGTCCGATTTACTCACAAGACAAGTCGCCATCCTCCAACGGACGTTACGGTCCGGTTTTACGCCGCTAAATTGGAACTCGCAGCGCGTCCCCGCGTTCATCGAGGCCGTGCAAAAGGCTCTCAACGAGTTTTCCGGCGTTGTCAGTCAGATCCAGAAGAGCGCGGCCATGATTGCGAATGTGGTAGATGCGATTCATTCTACCGTCTTATTTCAGCCGGCGGATCTCAAGAGAGACCCCCGCACGAAGCGACCGGTGTTGGTGGATGTCGGCCAGTTCCACGAGACCGTGGAAGCGACGCGCACGGCTCGGTTGAACGATCTCCAGCAGCAGTACAAGTCGATCGAACCTCTGTTGAAGAAGGTCGAGGAGGTCGTCGCCTCGACGGCGACCAGCAGTTCACCGCTGCTCGCGAACTACTACCGGTACTGGGAGAAGCGGCTGTGCAACGCCATTGTGGTCATGGTGTCGACGTCGCTCGCGACGTTCCGAGAGATGCTGACGCATCCTGATTGTGCACCTTTTTGTAGGGCCGCTTGTCTGTTGGGGGGAAGAGACGTCGTCGTCACACCCCCAGCGGCCGACGTCAACAAATATATAACAAAATGCATCCGAGGACTCAGCGACGCGGCGAAGACGTTTCCGCGCTGGAAGCGCGGCACGTGTCTCGAATGTCCGCCCGTCGACGTCGGCGAGGACGAGGAGCCTTTTGTGTTTTCCTACCACCAGGACGTCTCCAAGAACCCGCACGTTATGAAGTTGAGAGACGACTTGACGAGTTACGTAAAGCGGCTCACGGACGAGTCAGGCGCATTACAAAAATACAAGGAGTCCTGGGAGGTCTATGATAGTTTGTGGGACGAGAATATGACAAGAGAACTAGATAAGCTCACGGACGAGCCGCGCGGCGTCGTCTACTTCGACGCGAAACTCGAGACCTATGCTGGTATTGCGAATGATGCTCTATCTAGAGATCGATGTACGGACGTGGACTTCCTGCGCATCGACTGTGATGACGTGAGTAAGGGCGTCGCCAAGCAAAGTCTGAGCTGGAGGGACCAGTACGGCAAGGTGCTGCGGGACGTCTCGTTCGAGAAGATGACGCAACTCGTCGATTCCTGGGATGCCTGGAGGAGGGACATCGACGGCACTACATGTGATAGTATAGAGACGCTCATGTTCGTTTTGAATACGATAGCCAAAGTGGTCGACGCGTCGATGGACATGGAGCTCCGGCGCGGACGCGGCGTCTGTATTGAACTTCAACGTTGGGACGAGGGCGTCCGCGACGGTGTCCGTGCCGCGCAGGTACGCGGACGTGTCGGAGCGGTATCGGACGCTGGAACGCCATAGCGTAGCTATTGAGGCACATGAGTTACAACTAGCACATAGTCTCGCAGAAAAATGGAGGGAGCTGTACGTTTTTGCGCGGACAAAAGACTTGAGACTAGCCAAAGTGAAAGAAGACTTCCGCGCGGTCACGACGGAGCAGTCCGAAGCGTTTCAAGAGGAACTCAAGGAGCTGCGGACCCAGTTCTACGCCGAGGGCCCCATCGCCGGGAAGGTGTCGCTCGAGGAGGGCGTCTTGCTCATGGTCGACTACGCGGAAACTTTACAAAAGTGCGTCGCGAAGAAGGACGAGCTCGTGAACGCCGAGGACCTGTTCGGTGCGCATCTCCGCGTGGTCTCTTCTTCGAGTTTGAGCTGTTTCGGATGACGCGGTCGCCTCGACGCGAGCACTCCCGAGAGAGAGAGCGAGAGCAATCTTCACGGGTCGCGGCGATGGCGTAGGGCTCATACGCCATCGACGCGACTCGCCTCCATCAGACGAGGCATGGGGTGGTCTTTTCGTCGAGTTTGAGGCCGTTCGGACCGCGTTCGACGGGAGATGCTCCGCGCAGGCATGGAGATGACGTCCTACCCCGTGCTCGTCGAGGTCCAGTCCGAGATGGCGCGCATGAAGGTCATCTACGACCTTTATAGTTCATTCGAGAAGTTTAGGGAAGATATGAGCCTGACGGCGTGGGGCGAGCTTGACGTTGAAGTACTGAAGGAGGGCGCGCTCGCGGCGTCCCGTCATGTCCATGAGACTCGTGTCCATCTCACGATGGCGTGGGTGGTCTCTTTGTCGAGTTCGAGGCCGTTCTTGACGGAGATGCTCCGCGCAGGCGTCGACCGGGCCGAGAAGGAGATCAAGAAGCTTCCGAAAGATCTCAAAGAATTATCTAAATATAAGGCCTACGAGCTCGTCGTCGTCAACTTCAAGGAGTCGCTGCCGGTCATCGTGAACCTCAAGAACGACGCGGTCAAGCAGGTCCGTGACTCAGTGTTGAACTTGAACTTGAACTTGACGTGGGAGTCGACGCGTCGCGTGCGACAATGTCCGTGCCACGCAGGCCCACTGGCAGCAGCTCGAGGAATTAACTGGAGTAGCAATAGGCGACGTCAAGACGATAACCCTCGGAAAAATCTTCAGCATGGAGCTCAGCCAGTACGGCGAGGACGTCGACGAGATCGTCGTCTGCGCTGACTCAGCGTCTTTTCTCACGCTTTCCGAACTTCAAGTTCGCGTCGCTGGCGTCTTCATGATCATACGAGGGTCTACGCGTGACGGCGTCGGTGCCACGCAGGCGCGATCAACGAGCTCAAAATTGAAAAAGAAATATATGCGATCGAGAAGTGCTGGTCGACGACCGAGCTCGACGTCCGCGAGTACAAGAAGGACGGGCAGGTGCGGGGCCACGTGCTCGGCGCGGCCGAGGAGATCAATCTACAGTTGGAAGACCACCTCCTCAACCTCCAGACGATGTCCGGGAGTCGGTTCGTGGGCCGGTACGCGCAGAAGGTGCGGACGTGGGAAAAAACACTCAATATGGTGGTAGAAACGCTCGACGTCTGGTACAACGTGCAGCGGAAGTGGATGTATTTGGAGTCGATCTTCATCGGTGCGGACTCCGTGTTGAAGTTGAACTTTTTGCGAGCGCCTCGTCACGATCACACACGTGTGTCGTTCCCGCGCAGGCTCCGAAGATATAAGGATGCAGCTCCCGGAGGAGGCCAAGAAATTCGACAAGATCAACAAGGAATTTAAGACCATCATGAAGACGACGCACGAGTCGCCCGTCGTCGTCCGCGCGGCGACGGAGAAGGAATTTGATGCTCTCACTGAAATGGGCGACCGCCTCGACAGGTGCCAGAAGTCGCTGACGGATTATTTAGATACGAAACGAAACGCCTTCTCGCGCTTCTACTTCATCTCCGACGACGAGCTACTCAGTGTGCTCGGGTCGAGCGACCCCACGTCGATCCAGGTCCACATGCTGAAGCTCTTCGACAACGTCAAGGAACTGAAATTCGGGTGCTGACTCAGTGTAGATTTTGAACTTGAACTTGACGTGGTCGTCTTCATGAGACCGCACCGCCTCGACGCCGTCGACGCGGCCGTGTCGCGACGGCGTCGTTCCCACACAGGAGCGGCGCCGCGAAGATCCAGGGCATGGTCAGTAGCGAGAAGGAGGGCTTCGACCTCTGTACGAAGGACATCACGCCGCCAGAAAAAGGCGCCAGTCCGGTAGACGGTCCCGTCGAGGAGTGGATGACGCGCGTCGAGCAGGCCATGAAAGATAGCTTGAAAGTCATCAGTAAGACGGGCATCTTCAACTACGCGTCGTCTCCGCGTAGCGAGTGGATTCTGGATGCCGACGTCCTCGGGATGGTCACGCTCGCCGGTCAGTGCTCAGCGTCTTCTACGGTGCCTTCACGCCATCGGCGCGACTCGTGTCCATCAGACGAGGTCGTGGGTGGTTTCTTGTTCGGTTTTGAGCCGCTTCGGACCGCGTCGAGCGACCGCGACGCCTCGAGACGACCCGGACGCCGTCGACGCGACCCGCACACACCTCCGACGCCGTCGAGACGTCATGATCATGGTCACGAACGCAGGTTCTCTCGTGTGGTGGACCTGGGAGGTCGAGGACGCCTTTAGAGCGGTCAAGGAGGGCGACAAGCACGCCATGAAAACTTTAGAAGCGAGACTAACGAAACAATTGAACGAATTGGTCGCGATGGTGCGCCAGGACTTGAATAAAATAAACCGCAAAAAAGTGAACACTTTACTTATAATAGATGTGCATTCGCGGGACATCGTCGATTCGTTTATAAGAGAGAGTATCTTGAACGCGAAGGAGTTCGCCTGGGAGAGTCAGTTGCGCTTCTACTGGGATAGAGATGTGGACGACTGCGTGATCAAGCAGTGCACGGGTTTTTTCCGGTACGGCTACGAGTACATGGGCCTGAATGGGCGCTTGGTCATCACGCCGTTGACGGATCGATGCTACATGACCATCACGCAAGCATTAACATTTAAATTGGGCGGTTCTCCCGCGGGACCGGCCGGGACCGGCAAGACGGAAACCGTAAAGGACCTCGCGAAAAGCTTGGCGCTGCCGTGCTTCGTCATTAATTGTGGAGAAGGTCTCGACTACAAGGCCATGGGGAGCATCTTCTCGGGCCTCGTCCAGGTCGGGGCGTGGGGCTGCTTCGACGAGTTCAACCGCATCAACATTGAAGTTTTATCCGTGGTCTCTGCGCAGTTACGGTCCATCCAGAACGCGTTGATCTACGACAACCCGACGTGTGATATTGGCAATGGAGATATAAGAGTAAAAAGGGTGGCGGGTTTTGCGACGTGCGGGTTTTTCATCACGATGAACCCGGGCTACGCGGGCCGAACCGAGCTCCCAGACAATTTGAAAGCTTTATTTAGGCCGGTCACGATGATCGTGCCCGATTTGCAGATGATTTGCGAGATCATGCTCTTTTCTGAAGGATTTGAGGGAGCAAAAGTGTTAGCTCGCAAAATGACGGTCCTCTACAAGCTGTCGAAGGAGCAGCTCTCGAAGCAGTACCACTACGACTTTGGCCTTAGATCTTTGAAGAGTGTCTTAGTGATGGCTGGTGGATTAAAAAGGCAATACTCGGATCTCAGAGAAGATATTGTTTTAATGAGAGTTTTGAGAGATTCGAACATGCCGAAATACGTCTTCGAGGACGTGCCGCTCTTCAAGGGCCTGATCAAGGACCTCTTTCCGGGTTTAGATGCTCCTAGGGTCGGCTACGAGGACCTGAAGATTGAAGTCGCGGCGCATCTGACGGCGAACGGCTACAAGTGTTCGGATGAATTAGTACATAAGGAGCAGTGCGACAAGGTCATCCAGATGTACGAGACGATGATCGTGCGGTTTGTATCGGCGTCCCGTTCATTGGCATGCGCCGTCTCCGGGAGAGGAAGTCGCGACGCGGTCCGAATCGGCCCAAATTTGGACCAGAGACCACCCACGTCATCGTGAGATGGCCACGACGCGCGTCGACCACCTCAAACCGCCGATGCTCCGCGCAGGCATACCACCATGATAGTAGGACCCACTGGAGGTGGGAAAACAGTAGTATTGGACACCCTAAAAGCAGCTAGATTGAAAGCGGAGGGCGTCGTCGTCAAGTACTACGTCATCAACCCGAAAGCACAACCTTTGAACGAGCTCTACGGCGTCATGGACCCGGTGACGCGCGACTGGACGGACGGCGTGCTCTCGAGACTGTTCCGCGAGCTCAACGAGCCCCTCCCGAAGGCGAAGGAGGGCAAGGAGATGCGCTGGATCATCTACGACGGCGACGTCGACGCCGTCTGGGTCGAGAACATGAATAGCGTCATGGACGACAACCGGCGCGAGGCCGCGTCTGCGCGCTACGCGGTCGCGGCGCCATCGATCGAGATCGTGTCCATCAGAGGAGGCCGTGGGTGGTCTCGTTTTCATTTTTGAGCCACGCGCAGGCTGTTGACGCTGCCGAACGGCGAGCGCATCCGCTTGCAGCCCCACTGCTGCATGATCTGCGAGACCTTCGACCTGCAGTACGCCAGTCCTGCCACCATCTCGAGATGTGGCATGGTCTGGGCGGACCCGAAGAATCTGGGGTACCGACTCAGTGTGATTTCCTTCAATTTCTCAACTTGAAGTTGCGTCGATGGCGCCTTCATGAGACCGCACCGCCTCGACGGCGTCGATGCGGTCACGTTTCGTGACGGTGTCCGTGCCACGCAGGTACCGACCCTTCTTCGAGCGGTGGCTTAGAAAAAGATGCGGCGACGGCGTGGACATACCGGGCGATAGGGATGAGGAAGCGGAACAATTACAGAGTTTATTTGACCAGTACGTGCCGCCCTGTATTGATTATGTCCAACTAGGACTCGTCGATGGCGAATTGGGAGCCAAGTTGAGGATGGTCGTGCCCGTAACCAGCATAGACATGGTCAAGCAGTTATGTACCGCACTGGACGCGTTTCTGGGACCGGTCTACGACGTCGCCGGTGACAGTCTGCCAGATATAAATGAGCTCGAAAACGTCTTCGCGTTTTGTGTGACGTGGTCCGTCGGCGCGCCGTTGGTTGGTAGTAGCCAGGAGCAGTTCAACGACTTCGTGAAGAAGATTAGCTCGAGTAATCTGCCCGACGGCATGCTCACCGATTCTGTCTATGACGCCTCCAGTAAAAGGTGGCAGACGTGGGAGTCGCGCGTCGAGCCGTACGTCGAACCGTCTCCCTTCAAGTTCTATGAAGTGATTGTGCCCACGACCGATTCTACGAAATTCTCCTACTTGTTGAGGGAACTCGGTCCCCGAAAACCCGTACTTTTTGTCGGCGCCTCGGGCACGGCAAAAACAACGATCATCATGGACTACCTCGAAGGTTTGAGTGACGACACGGCCCGGAAGCTCACGATCGGCTTCTCCAGTCGTACGTCGTCGATGGACGTGCAGAAGAACCTCGAGGTGAATGTTGATAAAAGAACGGGCGCGACCTCGGCGTTTTGACTGGTAAAGGTGCCTTCACTTGGTTGCTGGGACTCGTATCATGTTGTGGATCGTTTCTTTTTGGATTTTGAGCTGTTTCGGACCGCGTCGAGACGCGACGGCCCCGACGCGGTCCGAGACGGCTCAAAATCGACGAAAAGACCACCCACGGCCTGCTCTCCCCCCGACGCCGTCGACGCGACGCGCACGAAGATCTCAGACGCCGCAACACACGATGCCCCGCGCAGGCAACATCTACGGGCCTCCATTAGGAACGAATTTGGTCGTCTTTATCGATGATATGAACATGCCCAAGGTGCGATCTCGGCGTCCCGCGGTGCCGCGGTGCCTTCACGCCATCGACGCGACTCGTGTCCATCAGACGAGGTCGTGGGTAGCTTCTTTTTTGATTTTGAGTGAATTCGGACCGAGTCGAGACTCCGCGATGCTCCGCGCAGGTCGACACCTACGGCACGCAGCAACCGATAACACTGTTACTCACTCTTATCTCGCGGGGCTTCATCTACGACCGCGAAAAGGACCTCACGCAAAAAGTACTTAGAGACATGACGTACATCGGCGCCATGGGCCCGCCCGGAGGTGGGAGAAATAATGTCGACCCTAGATTTGTGGCTTTATTTAGTGTTTTTAATCTGCCCGACCCTACGTCCGAAGTGTTAAAACACATGTATTCGTCGATCATCAACGAGCGGCTGCGCGACTTCGGTCCCTCCGTGAAAGACGCGGCCTCAAAATTCCCCGACGCCATGTTGGAATTGTTTTCGTACATTTTGGAGAGTTCGATGCGGTGTAGTCAGCTTATCTTCGCATCGACGCGATCCTCGCTTCGCGCCGCGTGAGAGCGGTCTCGCTGTCATCACAAGAGAGTTGAAGCCCACCTTGAACTTTGCACACAGGCCTCCCGCCGACGCCCGCGAAGTTCCACTACATCTTCAATTTAAGGGATTTATCGCGGGTCACGGAGGGCGTCTGTCTCGCGACGCCCGAGGTGTTCGAGCGGTCGGAGCAGCTCGTGCGGTTGTTCCGGAACGAGGTGCAAAGGATTTTTTGTGATAGATTAGTGTCAGACGAAGATTTGGGGACCGTCGAGGGCAAACTGGCCGAGATCATCGGTTCGCAGTGGTCCGAGTGCCGCGACGACGCCCTGGTCGATCCGATTATTTTTGGCGATTTTGAGAGGGCTGTTGCTCGTTTAACGGAGGACGCGGAAGATGCGCGCTTGTATAAGGACATGGGCGACTTTTCTTCCACCAGGAAGATCATGGATGCTGTTTTAGAGGACTACAATCTCAACAGAACTCCCCAGGCGTTAGTTTTATTTGAGATGGCCCTGTCGCATCTCACGCGAGTGCATCGCATCATCCGCTTACCGAGGGGTAACGCTTTGTTGGTCGGTGTCGGTGGCAGCGGTAAACAGTCCCTGACGAGACTAGCTACTTATTGCGCCGGATATGATATCTTTTCTATCCAGTTGATGCGGGGCTACGGCGAAATTGAATTTAGAGAGGATTTAAAGACGTTATATAAACTCTTGGGCACGAAAGAAGTGGTGTTCCTGTTCACGGACGCCCACGTGGCCCTCGAGGGTTTCCTGGAGTTCCTGAACAACATGCTGACCACCGGCATGGTCCCGGCGCTCTACGAGCAGGACGAGATGGACGGCGGGGTTGCGGCGTCCTTTGACTCGTGTCCATCGCACGATGCCCTGGGTGGTTTTGTTTTTTATTTTGAGGCCGTTCGGACCGCGTCGGAGAGAGCGCGGTCGCGGCGATGGCGTCAACGCGACGCCACGCCACCGCGACGCCGTCGTCGTGATCACATGAGAGTCCCCGCGCGCAGGCCTCGCGAACTCCGTGCGAAAGCAGTGCAAGGCCGCGGGCGTCGTCGATACCAGTGCGAACCTCTGGAAATTTTATGTGAACAAATGTAGAAATAATCTGCATTTAGTATTAGCCATGTCGCCGTCGGGCGACAAACTGCGACTACGCTGTAGAAGCTTCCCGGGCCTCATTTCGAATTGTGTCATTGATTGGTTCTTCCCGTGGCCGGAAGACGCGCTCTCGAAGGTCGCGGAGTTTTTTTTGGCGGAGGTGGACCTGCCGGATCAGCATCGCGCGAACATCGTGCAGCATCTCGTGTTTTCTCACACTCACGTCGTCGCGGAGGCGGCGCGCTTCGCGGAGACGCTGCGGAGGTACTACTACGTCACTCCAAAAAATTATCTGGACTACATCCAGAACTACCACACGCAACTTTTGAATAATGAGAAGAAGGTGCGTATCTCGGCGTTTTGAGGTGGTGCGGGGCCTTCACGCCGTCGACGCGACTCGTCTCGAGGAGGACGCGCGGTCGCCTCGACGCGAGCACTCCCGAGAGAGAGCGAGAGCAATCTTCACGGGTCGCGGCGATGGCGTATGAGCCCGAGACATGCGTTCACGTCGCGTCGACGGCGTACCGAGACACCGATGCTCCGCGCAGGTCGGGAATAGCGTGAAACGACTGGCCGGCGGTCTCAGCAAATTAGTAGACGCCGCGAGGGACGTCGATAGGATGTCCATCGAGCTCAAGGACGCCCAGGTCGTCGTATCGGCCAAAACGGTCGAGGTCGAAGCCTTAATCGAGCAGATCACGGAAAAAACAACAATTGCGAACAAGCGCGCTCGCGGCGTCCCGTCGCGTTGTGGTGGTTTCACTTCATTCATACGACTCGTGTCCATCAGACGAGGTCGTGGGTAGTTTATTTTTCGAGTTTGAGGCCGTTCGGACCGCGTCGGGGCTGTCGCGGCGCGTCGGAGAGACAGCTTTCATGAAGATGGCGTCTTCGAGACCGCGCCGCCGCGATGGCGTCAGCGCGACGTCACGCCACCGCGACGCCGTCGCCGCGACCGCACGAGCGTCTACGGACCGCGTCGAGCGACCGCGATGCTCCGCGCAGGCAAAAGGACGAGGCCGAGGTCATGCAAGTTACTGCGAGCGAGCAGTCCGTCGTCATAGCAAGGGAGAAAGGTAAAGCGGATGCCGCTTTAGAGGAGGCGATTCCCGCGCTCGAAATGGCCGAGTCCGCCCTCGCGAACCTCCACAAGGAGGACATCACCGAGGTTAAAAATTTTGCAAAACCACCAGCATTGGTGCAGGACGCGTGCTTGATGGTGGTGTGCCTCCGACCCACAGGTGTCAAATTGGACGAGACGTGGGCCGACGCGAAGAAGATGCTCGCGGATACGTCTTTACTAGATAAACTCAAAAGATACCCCAAAGATAGCATCACGGAGAAGATGATGAAGAGCGTGCGCAAGTACTTCAAAAATCCGAAGATGACCGTCGAGAACATGAAGAGCGTCAGTAAAGCGGGTATGGTGTCGGCGTCTTACTCGTGGCCACCAGACGAGGTCGTGGGTGGTTTCTTTTTCGAGTTTGAGCCGTTTCGAGGCGTTCCGCGGTCCCGAGGCTCGCACGAGACGAGTACACCCTCTGACGGCCACGGAATGCCGCGTGACGACGTCGAGGCGTCGCGTCGATGGCGTGGACGTGGACGGCACGCCATCGAGGCGACGTCGCGCTCGCATCGGCCATTCGGACCGAGACCGCGATGCCTCCGCGCAACTCCGATCGTGACACGATGGCGTCGCGGTGGAGCCGTCGCGTCGATGGCGTCGAGAGCACTCCGACCCCGCCTGCACGCCGCATCGACGCGTCGTCGCGCAGGCACGGGCCTCCTCGTCTGGGTCACCGCCATCTCCAAGTACTTCGACGTGGCCAAGAACGTCGAGCCCTTGAAAGCGAAGGTGCGCGACATGGAGAAGCAGCAGGCGAAGACGACTAAACTATTAGCTGATTTGAACGACCAGCTCGGCGTGTTGAGCAAGGAGCTGGGCGAGCTCGACACGAACTTCAAGGAGAAGAACGAGGAGCTCACGGGTCTGCAGACGCAGGCGGCGCTCATGGAGAAACGATTGGCGGCGGCGTCGAAGCTCATCACGGGACTCACCGGGGAACGTACAAGGTGGACTTCTGATATAGGGGATTTGAATAATAGTAAAGTGCAGCTCGTGGGCGACTGTTTACTGGCGGCCTCGTTCTTGTCGTACGCTGGAGCGTTCACGTCGGACTTTCGGGCGGGGATGATTTATGATACATTTGCGAAGAAGGTGCGATCTCGGCGTCCTTACGCCATCGACGCGACTCGTGTTTATCAGACGAGGTCGTGGGTGGTTTCTTTTTGGATTTCGAGGCCGTTCGGACCGCGTCGAGCGACCGCGATGCTCTGCGCATGACGTGGTCGCCTCGACGCCGTCGACGTGGCCGCGAGAGAGTCTCGTGACGGCGTCGCGCCGCGCAGGTCGCGTCCCTGAACATCCCCGTGACGGCCGCGTTCAACCTCGAGAGCTTCCTGAGCAGCGACGCCGTCATCCAGGACTGGACGGCCAAGGGCCTGCCCGCCGACGAGCACTCCGTGCAGAACGGCATCCTCACGACGGCCGCCAGTCGCTTCCCGTTGTGCATCGACCCCCAACAACAAGCGGTCTCGTGGATCAAGAACATGTACGGCAAGGACCAGCTCAAGATCAAATCTTTATCCGAGTCGGACTTCATGAAGCATCTCGAATTAGCGATCCAGTTCGGGGCGCCGTTCCTCTTCGAGAACGTGGACGAGGAGTTGGATCCGATGCTCGACCCGGTGCGCGCGCGGCGTCCTTTGTTGTGGGTCGTTTCTCTTTTGCTGAAGAGGCCGTTCGGACCGCGTCGGGGCCGTCGCGGCGCGGTCGCGTCGATGGCGTCGTCACGAGACCGCGCCTTCATGAAACCGTCGCCGTGATCCCACGAGAGTCTACGGACCGTTTCCAGTGAATACGACGCGCCGCGCAGGTCCTCGAGAAGAACACGTATGTTGAAAGTGGTCAAAAATTAATAAAACTGGGAGACAAGTCCGTCGCGTGGGACGATTCATTTAGATTGTTCTTCACTACCAAACTCGGCAACCCCCACTACAGCCCGGAGGTGATGGCCAAGACGATGCTCATCAACTACAGCGTGACGCAGGTGCGTAGCTCCGCGTTTTGAACGGTGCCTTCGACTCGTCTCCAGGAATGAGGGACGTGGGTGGTCTTCTTTTCGAGTTTGGGGCCGTTCGGACCGCGTGTCGTTCCGCGCAGGACGGCCTCGCGAACCAGCTCTTGAATGTCGTCGTGGGCCACGAGCGCCCGGATTTGGAGGAGCAATTCAGTGAATTGGTCGCCGACATGAGCGCGAACGCGTTGATGATCGTCAAGCTCGAGGATACGTTATTGCACGAGCTGTCGGCGTCCGAGGGGAACATCCTCGACAATAGCGACTTGATCGAGACGCTCAATCAGACGAAAGAAACTTCTACGGCCATCAAAGCGAAGGTGGAACAAGCGGAATTTACGAAGGCCGAGATTTCCAAAGCTAGATTAGGTTATACACCTGTGGCGAAGAGGGGTAGCATTCTCTATTTCGTGATGGCGAGTCTCTCTACTATTTCTTCCATGTATGAGACCTCTTTAGACTCATTCTTAGGAGTCTTCAACAAGGCGCTGGACCATGCCAAAAAAGATGTGGTCCTCGACAATCGCCTACGGAACATGAGCGAGTCGGTAATGAGAGATGTATATGATTATACCTGTACGGGTATTTTTGAGAGACATAAATTGATGTTCGCCTTCCAGATGACGTGCCAGGTCCGCTCGCCGCGTTTTGAGGTGTGGAGGCGCCTTCACTTTGTTGCTGGGACTCGTGTCCATCGCACGATGCCGGGGGTGGTCGCTTTGTCGAATCTGAGAAGTTTCGGATGACGCGGTCGCCTCGATGCGAGTTCACGGGTCGCGGCGATGGCGTAGGGCTCCTACGCCATCGACGCGACTCGCCTTCGACGGGAGATGCTCCGCGCAGGTCCAGGACGGCAACGGCGAGTTGAACCGGGGCGAACTCGACGCGTTCCTCAAGGGCGACACGGGCTTGGACGCGCCGCCGCGCGACTCTCCGGTCAGTTGGCTCGGCGCGTCCGGCTGGAAGGATTTATTAGCGTTGTGTGACATGAATGATGGATTTGACCAACTACGAAAGGACTTCGAGAAGAACAAAGACAATTGGAAGGCCTGGTACGACCTGGAGGCTCCGGAAACTGTACCACTCCCAGATGGTCATTCGGAGAAATTGACGCCCTTACAAAGGCTTTGTGTGATGAGGTGTTTTAGGCCCGATCGGGTCTACAACGCCGTGAAGACCTATGTCATGGGCGCTATTGGTGAAAAATACGTGCAGCCTCCGGTCTTGGATTACGGCCGTATTTTTGCGCAAAGTACAGAGAGGTCCCCGATGGTCTTCATCCTGTCGCCGGGCGCGGACCCGCAGGGAGATATACAACTTTTATGTGAGGAGAGGGGCATGATGTCGAAGTTTCGATTCATCGCGCTCGGCCAGGGCCAGGGCCCGAAGGCCGAGCATTTAATTGATCAGGGCACGAAGAGTGGCCACTGGGTGTTGCTCCAGAACTGCCACTTACTGGTAAGCTGGCTGAAGATGTTGGAAAAGAAAATGGAGCTGATGAAGGCGCCGTGCGTAGCTCCGCGTCCCGTTTCACGCCGTCGCCGCGACTCGTCTCGAGGAGAGGAGGCGCTGGGTGGTCTCTTTTTCGATTTTGGGGCCATTCGGACCGAACCGCCGCGATGGCGTCGACGCGGCCACATGAGAGTCCACGCGTCTCGTGAGAGAGCTGTGACGCGTCGATGGCGTCTCCGTGACGCCACCGATGCGCTGCCACGCCGCCGCGACGCCGCCGCCGCGGCCGCACGTGCGTCCACACTCCGTACGCCATCGCCGCGACTCACAACGTACATACGCAGGCACAAGGACTTCCGGCTCTGGATGACGACGGAGCCCACCGAGCGCTTCCCCATGGGCATTTTGCAGAAAAGTCTCAAGGTCGTGACCGAGCCCCCCGACGGGCTGAAGTTGAACATGAGAGCTACTTTTGCGAAGATCGACCAGAGTGTCTTGGATGCCTGCCCGCATGATGCCTTTCGAGCGTGTTTATTTACGTTGGCTTTTCTACATGCGGTCGTGCAGGAACGTCGCAAGTACGGGAAGATCGGTGCGTATCTCCGCGTTTTGAGGCGTTGCGGGGCCTTCACGCCATCGACGCGCGTCGTCTCGAGGAGAGGAGGTCGTGGGTGGTCTCTTTTTCGAGTTTGAGGCCGTTCGGACCGCGTCGGGGCCGTCGCGGCGCGTCAGAGAGAGCGCTTTCATGAAGATGGCGTGAGGTTGCTCGCACCGACGCGGTCGCCGCGATGGCGTCGACGTGATGCGTCGCCGCCGTCGACTCTCGAGAGTAGTTTCGCGACGCCGTCCGCGCCACGCAGGCTGGAACGTCGCCTACGACTTCAACGAGAGCGACTTCGTGATTTCCAGGAAACTTGTTAGTCTCTACCTGACGAAATCATATGAAGATGATGATGAATTTCTGCCCTGGGGTTCGCTGAAGTACCTGATCGGCGACGCGATGTACGGCGGAAGGGTCTCGGACAACATGGACCGGCGCGTGCTCGTGACGTACCTGTCGGAATACATGGGCGACTTCCTCTTCGACACGTGCCAGAAGTTCTACTTCTCGCAAGCGGGCTTTGCCTACGATCTGCCCGAGCCCGGGCCCCTCGAGAACTACCAACGACACATCGAAAAGCTGCCTCTGACGAACTCTCCCGCGGTTTTTGGATTGCATCCCAACGCGGAGATCGGCTTCTATAGCAACGCCACCAAAAACATGTGGGTCAATTTGATTTCTCTACAGCCTCGAAGTGTCGATAGCGGCGGTGGCTTGTCGAGGGACGACATCATTGCCGGAACCGCGAAAGATATTGAAGGCAAGGTGCCCATCGAATCGTTAGATATCGGGTCGTACGACTTGATGGTCGTTAGGTCGAAGCTCTTTGAGCGCAATGGTGTTAATACACCTACACCAGCTCAGGTGGTATTACTACAAGAGCTCGAGCGCTGGAATTTGTTAGTTATTAAAATGGCCGTGACGTTGGCGGACTTACAGCGGGCGTTTCGAGGAGAAATAGGCATGTCCGACGACTTGGACGCACTCGGTGGCAGTCTATTCAACGGGTTCATCCCCCAGATGTGGAAGCGGCTCATGCCCAATACCCAAAAACCTTTAGGAAGTTGGATGTCCCACTTTTTGGAGCGGTACACGCAGTACGACCTGTGGATCGCCCACGGCGAGCCGAAGGTGATCTGGCTGAGCGGTCTACATATACCTGAGTCGTGCGTCGCGGCGTCCCGGGGATTTTCGTTGATTCTTCACTTGACACCTCGATCACGCGGAGACACGCCATCGCCGCGGCGTCGTTCAAATGACTGCGTCTGCGCGATGGCGTGGCGATTCCACGCCATCGACGCGACGTCGTCCCCGTGACCGCGTCGGCTCGATGGCTTGGAGGCTCACGAAACGTAACTCACTGGATGATTTCCACACAGGTATCTGACGGCGTTGGTGCAGACTACTTGTAGGGCCCTGAACTGGCCCCTGGACAAGGCGACGTCGTCGACGAAGGTTACTGAATACACTGAAAGCGCCATGCCCCCCGCAAAGCTCGAGTGCGCCGCCCGCGTCAGAAATGTCGTAATACGCCATCGACGTGGCTACGTGGAGAGTGACGAGCGGCTCCGTCGCACGCCATCGACGCGACATTCACCCGTCGCCGTCCACGCAGGCACGGCACGTACATCAAGGGCCTGTACCTCGAGGGCGCGGGCTGGGACGCCGAAAGGATGTGCCTGAAACGCCAGGAGCCGAAGGTCCTGGTCGTACCCTTGCCCATCCTCGAGATGATCCCTTCGGGTGGTGCTGTCAAGTTGCATGGGGTATTCGTCACGCCCGTCTACGTGACGCAGGACCGGCGGAACGCCATGGGCGTCGGTTTGGTCTTCGAGGCCAATTTAGCCACGGACGAGCACACGTCGCTGTGGGTGCTCCAGGGCGTCGCCCTGTCGCTGAACACCGACGCATGATCTCCCCGCACCCCCTCGGGGGGGAATTTGCTGCCTAAGAGCCGGTGTGTTTTAGATGTATGACTGGGCGCCCGCCGCACTTATGCATAATCCCCCTTGTGGGAGAACTGCGCCTAGTAAGAGCGGTGTGTTTTTGGATATACCTGGGCGCCGCCGCCGCGTCTCCCTCGCAACTGGGTGTGCGCACAATGGGCGCTGGAGGATTTACACACAATCTAGCTCCTCCCCGACACCGACCCCCCCTCCCGAAGCTCCAGATCCGGCTCGAAGTATCGCTCGAAGGCGGCGCGCACGGCCGAGCCGATGATGAGCGACACGCCCATGCCGAGGATGGCCCGCTTCCTTGTTATTAATTCGAACTTGGGGAACACGTACTTGTAGTCGCCGCCGGGCGAGCGCAGGTGCAGGACCGCCTCGGGTTCCAGGCGCTCTTCGCGGAACGGCCGCGTCGCTTTAGCAGATTTGTAGTACTGCATCACGAGGTTGTTTTTACAAATCGTCGTAACGCGCTCGCGTCGCGGGTCCCGGCCCTTCTTCTGATCCCGACGCTCTTTCTTCGTCCAGCAGCCCTGCGCCACCCTCGTGAAGGGCGGTACCGCGACGCCAATATCTTCCAGCGCCTCGGCGACCGACTTCCGGCCGTAGGCGTCGATGCGGTTCCGCACCTCCTCCATGAACAACTCGGGAACGCCCTCGGCCCGCTGGAAGACGTAGGCTCTCTTCCGGTCCTCGTGGATGTGGCCGCCGATCGTCACGATTCTCGCGTCCGGCAGCTCCCTCTTGATGATGTCCAAAACCCAATCCTTGTTCAGGAATTCCTGGACTACAAAGACCTTGTGGTCCTTCTCCGCCTCTAATATGAATTCTTTTGACTTTCGTATAGCGTCCTCGTACCACTCCTCTGCTTCTTCTCGTTCCGTTTCGCTGGCGGGCGACGCTCGGGAACAGCACAGCGTAATGATGATCAGCAGGAGCCCCGACTTTAAGTTTGTCCTCTCTTCGTGTTCGTCGAGCTTGCTTCGGAACTTGGCCCTGGTCATCTTCAGCATATCGCCGTGGACGTAGGCCGCGTCGTCGTTATTAAGCAGGAAGGATTCTTCATATATATGAACTAATTTCTTCTTTCTCCTCTTGGTCGTCCTCTCGTATTTTTTTTGCGCGTTGTCATTACCCCATAGGTGCTGCCACCGCCGTCCCTTGAGCTGGCTGCCAAACGTGCCCCCGCCACACATGAACTGGAGCACGCCGCACCTCGGCAGCTCGCCTTGTTCGCAAGCTTCGCGATGCCAGCGAGTCAAGTGACGTTGCTGGTGGACGAACTCCACATCGGGTTGATCCTTGGAGGGCGGCAGAAGCTTCATCTCGTAGCGCTCCCGTAATTCCAGCTCCTCGGCGTCCGCGTCTTCGCGGCGTTTCACTCCGAGCAGCGCCTGACGGCGCTGGTGCGGCCCTATCTTCTCCCTCTGCTGCCGTCGCTCGGCTTGGCCTTCTTCGGACGTGCTGTAGTCCTCGTTCTTCCCTGCGAGGGGCGGCGGGGTCGTCGATGTGCGCGCCGTTCAGGGCGCTGCAACGCGCTACCACGGCATTGGCGGCAAAAGTTAGGGGGTAAACGCCTCAGAGATTTCATATCTTTGCAGCCCGGGCATTCTCCATATATTTCGGCCACCCTCCGTTTCCTGCCGCCGGGGTTCGCCTCCGCGTCGCGGATGGCCTCACGGATGTTGCGGAGGATGTCTTCCTCAGAGAGAGGAGCTTCTTGTGCTGCCCCTGGAGGCGCTGGCTTAGCGGGCAGCCCTTGAGGCATGCTCCCGCGTCGCATACAACCACGCGGTCGATGTGTGGCCTGCGTAAAGCCGGCGGTGCTCTCTGAGAGCTAAGCTGCGCTGTGTGCTAGTGTCTTACAGCCGCTAGCTAAATCAGCACAGCTCTCACAAGCGCTGTCACAAGCGCTGTGACCCTTAGTGATCGATCACACTTGCCCGTGCAGTATCAATCACGCTGAACACGCGCGTGGCACTGCGCTATGAATCTCACTCTACCGGAAGCAGCGCAGCAGCAGCACCACCTGGAGGTGCAGCAGCAGCAGCCGGTGACCAGGGATTTCGTAGTGCAACTAGTTATCGATTTCATAGCCCCAAGCGGGCTGTCTCCGCGCGAAGACCCAGCGCGACGCGAGTCCGAGGCGCTCCTCGGCGAGTGGGAGGCGACTGGACTCGATGGCGTGCCCGCGCCAGACCTTGACAGCGCCGACGAGGATGCTGAGCCGCTGGGTCGCATCATTGAGTCTTATCCTGAAGCTTTAAGCGGCACGGACCTTGGCGAATGGGAGATTGAGTTTGACGAACAACTCCAGGTTATGTATGGGGCGGGTCCGCAGCCTAGAAAAAAGCATCCGCGTTGCGACGTCCCCCGAAGCGGTCTGTGGGCTCTGGTGTACTGTGTTGAAAGGTCATGTAAAGAGGCTGAGGGCTCTCCGCGACGACTATAAGGGCCATTGCGAAACTCTCGAAGCCAAGAGGCACCATTTGATCAATATTAGAATCAATTATGAGCGCTCCCCTGGTTCAGTGGACATGGACTCGCCGCCGCCCGACGATGATGACTACTAAGCTTGGGAAAGCGATCACTTGGGTGCTTCACTAAATAGCTAGCCGCGCCTTTAAAAAAAACTAACTAGAATTTACTGACTAGGGGCAGGGGCCAGGGGTTCGTGGTCCGTCAATCCGCCGTCGGGGCCTCGAGCGACGAGGTCTTCGATCGACGCGGACGCGAGGGACGTCCGTGGCGGCACGCGGAGCGCCGCTCGCCGGCAGCGACTGCGGCGACGGCTCTGCGTCGGGCCGGTCGTCTGAGAACCGGGCCGCGCCGTCGCTGGTTCGGGCGACGAGGTCTCGATCGACGCGGACGCGAGGGACGTCCGTGGCGGCACGCGGAGCGCCGCTCGCCGGCAGCGACTGCGGCGACGGCTCTGCGTCGGGCCGGTCGTCTGAGAACCGGGCCGCGCCGTCGCTGGTTCGGGCGACGAGGTCTCGATCGACGCGGACGCGAGGGACGTCCGTAAGATCGCCGCGCGCTCGTCCAAAAGTATGCCGACGCGTTCGTGACGAAGCGACGCGCGTCCAAGGAAGTATTTCCCATCAAGCCGGACAAGCTCTCGAAGCCGATCGTGACCGGGGGCGGGGGCATCCTGAAGATCGTGTCGCTCGCAGACGCGCTGGAGCGGGCCAAGCCGCGGACGACGAAGAAGGGCGGCAAGCGGAAGCGGACGGCCGCGTCGAAGTAGAGACCCTCGTAGCAGCCCTCAACTTCGGGGAATCCCTTAAGGATCTATCGCGCTTCGAAGAAGCCAAGGCGCTGCTGCGCCGAACGATTCCTGTGGCGCGACGCGTTCTACGAGAGGGTGATGAAGTCACGCTCGAACTGAGGTGCTGTCACGCGGAGGCGCTCTACAAGGACGGCGACGCCACGCTTGACGATCTCCGCGGAAGCTTGACGACGCTCGAGGAGATAGAACGGACCGCGCGGCGCGTGCTTGGTGGGGCACACCCGACCACAACGGAGATTAAGGAGGCATTGCAAGGCGCGCGAGCCGCGCTCCACGCCCGCGAGACGCCGCAGTCGTCGTTGCAGCGCTGAGAGAATGGTCGGGTTTTGTCGAGAGGCTGCGGAGTAAATCTAAGGCTGCGGGATTTCCTACTTAATACTAAGTATTCGTAGCTTTTTTTTCTAGCATCCCTGAGACGCTAGCTCATTATTGATTTTTCACCGTCATCGAGCTTGCTGGCCGTCGTAACGTGCCCTGGCGCATCTTTGTGCAACGTGTGATTTATTGCGCTATATATCTCCTCGGCTGAGAGGGTTGAGCAGCATCAGAGTTGCTTGACAGCGACACAGCAGCAACTTGCCAGCAAGGGAGAGCCAGCTTGCCATGCAGCTCGCATTGCTAGCCGCGCTGCTCGCCGGCAGCCATGCCCTGGCGCCGGTCATACAAACAAGACGGAAGACGGTGCTCCACTCGGACATGATCAAGGGCTCGGTCGTAGGCGAAGACGGTATTACGGCGGAAGTCGCGCCGCAGGACGACGACCTCGCCGATCCGCCCCAGACCATGGCCCAATGCTTACAACAAGCGCAGGACGCCACCGTCGCGGCCATCGAGGACGGCCAGATCCTCATGGACGTCGAGTTCCCTCCACTCGCAGCCGACCTCATGGACGACCCTAACACGAGTGCGGGCGAGATCTCGGCGTCCCGTCGTGTGGAGGCGCCGTCGACGCGCGTCGTCTCCAGGAATGAAATGCTCCGCGCAGGCGACATGGCCGGCGCGAACACGAGGCTAGCCATAAAATACGCCCAGGGTATTCATACAAGAACGGGGAAGAAGGTGGCCATCCTGTACCCGGACGTTCCGGAGCTCGAAAGGGCCGTGGAGCAATCCGGTTCCAATAATCCGCAGCCGGGCGTTAGTCTCCATTCGTTGCGAGCGTCGATCGCCGAGGCGGAGACGCCCCAACAAGCCTTCTTCGCGCTCTTCGGCAAGGGCAAGGAGATGGTGCGCGAGGTGCCCGACGCGGACGTCTATGTGGGCTTGACGTTTTCGGCGCAGGAGCTGCCCGACGTCGAGGAGCTCGATACGCGGGAAGCTTCGAAGAAGCCTATTATTTTATTCAACTTGAAACTGGATACGCAGCGCGGCGACCTGGGTCTGCCCGCGTTCCCGCCCAAGGACCTCCAGTGGCGGTTCTTATCAAGAGCGAAAGCGGTCTACTTCCTGCGGACGAGGCAGTACACTTTATCGTTACCAGAACCGCCCTTCGTCGTCAACTACCAGGGGGCCATCTTCCGCCAGTACCCCGGGCCCTTCCAGTGTCTGTTAGATACGGGCAAGGCCTTTAGACCCGTGTCCACCTCGGCGCGGCGGCCCGCATTAGGCGAGTTCAAGGAGACCATCACCATGGCCCTCAAGATCGGCGCGAAGTCGCCGTCGAACGAGGGCAAGAACCGCAAGTTTTTTAGGACGGGCGTCAAGGCGATCACGTGGTGGGAGGAGGACAAGGAGGGCCTCGAGGAGCACACGGAGTGGCGGGAGTAAGGTACTAGGTATGGGTCTTCTTCGACGGCGCCGGCGGGACGATCGTACCAGCCGCCGTCGCGTCGATGGCGTCGGGGGGGATCCCGCGTAGGAGCTGTTACGGTGCTAGGACTAGTGGGCGGAGCCCCGGTCACGCGTCGCGGCGGCACTTCCGCGGGACGAGGCGCCCGCAGCTCGTCGAGCGCGCCCTCTCCACGAAGTAAGTTCCGGATCGCGTAAGTTCAGCTACCTTTGCTAGCGTATCGACACACACTAGGCATAGCGCAGCTCTCGGGCAGCTATTTTGCGGCGCCTGCGTCCCCCGGTTCCGATAGATCGTGCATAACGAGACCGTCGGGCAGCGGATCCGCCGCCGGGGCAGCCCTTACGCTTGACAGTACGCAACGAGCAAACAGCAGCAATAATGGAGACATAGCATGGCGCGCCGCGAAGCCTACGCGTACATCAGACCTCCATCGGAGGAAGAAAAGGACTTCCCCCAGGTGCTGAACGTCGAGGGCACCACAATCTGTTTAAAAGAGTCGTCGAGCCGGACGCGGTCACTAGACGTGAATAAAATATATGAGAACGAGCAGACGCAGCTCCTCGACGACCTGTCGGGGCGGCTCTTCGCCCAGCTTAAAAATGAGGGCGACGTCCACATGCACGTCCTCGGCGCGCACGGCACGGGCAAGTCGCGCTGCCTGTTTGGCAAAGACGGTGACGAAGGCCTCATGGAACGGTTCGCGGCCAAGTTCTACGGTCAGAGGAACATGCGGGGCCACGCGATCATTGACGTGTCCATCTTCGACGTGGCCGACGAAGGTATCTATGATTTGCTGTGCCCCGGTCGTGTTGGTATACTACGGTTCAGCCCCACGGGCGGGCCCTGGGTCGAAGGATTGTCAAGGCACCTCGCCGGGAACAAAGAGGAGTTCTCGACCTTGTTGCGAGACGCGTTGGCGGTCAAGGCCGCCTCTTTGTTGAACAAGGACGATATGCTAGCGCATTTATGCGTTAGGTGCATGTGCTCGTACGACGCCGAAGGGGGCAAGGACCCGCCGGCCCACGAAGGTACGGCGACCTTTGTGGAATATGCTTCATCAATCCTGGACACCGGGGACGCGGGCGAGGTCCCGTCTGTGTTAAGGGCGTCGCTGGCCCTGTCGCACATGTCTACTAATATTAGGGTGGCGGCGGCCCAGGTCTGTTCGTCAGCTTTGACGTATGTCCTCGCAGATAGTTTTTGTAGCAAATCGATATGGCTCGGGTGCCTCAGCCCCGCGTGTACCGACTTGGACGTCAATATCACCACCCTACAAACCTTAGAGCATGTCGGTCATCTCACTCTAAATAATGATTGGGGCAACCCTTCGACGACGTGCGAAGCCGCCTTCTACGGCAGCACGAGTCATGCTGAAGAAAAACCGATTTTAGCGCGACAGCGGCATCTGGACACGGTCGCCTACAGAGAGGAGCGCGACGACTGGTTGAGGGACGTCGGCGTCGCGCGAGCAAAACGACAAGGTGTGCAAGCCCGGCGCCTCCAGAAGACGATCCTCGTGCACGTGTCGCCCGACCCGTTACTGTCGGGGCGGCTCTTCGTCCCTCTGAAAGACGTTGTTTATTTTGGATCTGAACTGGACATGGTGCCCGAGGATTGTAGGAGAATCACGCTATTAAGGAAGGAGATCCAACCGCTACACTGTATCATTCAAAAAAGGGGCGACATGCTTTTAGTAGATGTGAACGCGAATGCCATCGTGTGTCTGAATGGTGAGAAAATAACCGGTTCTCATTGCATCAAGGACGGCGATGTGGTACTGATGGGTTTTGGGTGTTTGTTTCGCGTCTGTACTTCCGGTAATGATACTGATGTAGACTGGCGCGGGGCAGCGAAGGGTTTGTATGATGATCTCACACTGTCCGAGGGGACGCCCTGGGAAGTTATGAAAGAAGAAAAGCTGGTGCATGAGCTGCAGCAGATGATCCTGGAAGGGAACCACATCTCCCGTAAAAAAGAGCGGGACGTCCACTACGCCGTGCGAGTCGCAAACACGGGCCCGGACGAGACGCAACCGTGCGTCCTGGTCGCGTCGGCGTCGTCCGAAGTTACTGACACTTGGAATGCTACAAAAATGTTAAGAAGGCTGTGCAAGATTAAGAGGAATGTGGCAGACCCGGACCCCTATTTCGACGCGCCCGACCATCGACTCATCGGCGTCGGCTTCTGCGCGCTGCAGTCCTTGATTTACTTGATGGACATCGCGGAGACGTGCAATATCATCAGCTTCAAGGGCAAGGCGGCGGGCACGCTCCAAATTTCCGTGAAACCGACACTGGCGAACTCCGAGCAGTTGGTCGGGGAAAAACATCTCGCTCATCATTTAGGGAAGAAGGTCGAGCTTTCAATAACAATTACGCAGGCCATGAAGCTGCCGCGCAAATTGTGCGCTTCGGTCTACGTGAGGACGGCCTTCTTTTTACAGCAGGACGGCTTAGCTACGCCACGCTATCCCACGGCGACGACGTCGCCCTACTTCGGCACGTCCTTCAAAGTTAGTCAAATCATCACCGAGGATTTTCTGTCCTATCTGGAGACGGGCGCGCTCGAGCTCCAGGTGTGGGGGCGGTGCTGTTTTTGATTAACGCGTATGCGGCCTAGGATTTTTAGCATAAACTGCACCCTAGTCTTGTTGGTATATCTTCGTAGGGCTCTGACCTCGACGTCGTGGTGGGACCTCTAGGTTAGACCTCTAGGTGGGACCAGGCCGCCCGCGCTCGAAACGGGCGCGAATAGGACAAGGCGCGTTTGAGCCCGTTCTTTTTCTGGGAGCGAGTGCCTGGCGGCATGAAAGTCGTGGGTGTAGGTGCCAGACGCCTTCCAATTGCCAACCCCGTACTCGGAGCCAGAGCTAGAGCTGGGATTCAGGTGGTGCGCGTCGTTGCTCCAATTTTGACACCTGCCCGATGCGCCAAGGCCTGTCGTGGGCTGAAGAGCACTTCTGAGGTCGTGTCTGGCTGCTGCCGAGAAGCGGTCCGTCGCTGCGCTCTGTGTGCAGCATTTGAGGCACTTAAAGCACTGAGTGGATCTGCGCGCTGTGCTGGGCCGGCGCACGGCTAAAAAAAGCCCGGACCGCTGCCAAGCGCCGCAGCCATGAAGCTGCTCGAGAACCCGCGCCTCTCGGCGCTCACGGCGTTCCTGTCCCAAAGACGGCTCGGTGAACGCGTGCTCGACGGTCGCGTCGAGGCGTTCTCGTGCAAGCGCGCCGGCGAGGACAAGAAGCTGGCCAAGGAGCTCGAGGCGCAGTTCGCCGCCGAGTCTAGGAACTCGCCCTCGTCGATGGAGGCGTCGTCTCCGTTAGGAGCTCTCGCGCAGCCGGCGACGCGGCGGCTCCTCGTGGACCTGATCGCTACATTAAATGCGAGCTTCCCGGACCACGACTTTTCGAATCTGCGGCCCGAGCAGTTCTGCCGCGAGGCCGGCGCGCAGTTTGCCGTGCGGGCTTGTGCGAGACATCTCGCGGAGCTCGCGACCGCAGAACGGTTCCGCGCGCCGGGCGGCGGCGAGTTCCTGGACGAGCTCTGGGCCGCCATCGAGGAGGCTATACAGTTAAGGGAGTGCGAGGTCTACTCCTATGTTCCAGATGGCGAGTCGGATCCCTTCTCGGAGGGCGCGCTCTGGTCCTTCAACTACTTCTTCTTCAACAAGCGGCTGAAGCGGATTGTGTACCTGAGCTGCGTCGCGCGGTCGCGCCAGCTCTGCCCGTCGCCCTTCTCGGACGTCGAGGACGAGTACAGGATACGCCAGGACGACTCCCAGGACGACTTTGTCGGGGGCGACCTGATGTTCGACGAGGACTAGATTCGTGCCTAAGTAAGTACATACTCCACAACATTAGACCATCTGCCGCGTCCGCTTCGGCGACGACATGGCGAGCTCGACGCTCCGCGGGCGCCCCGGCCGCTTCACGCAGTCGTCGCGCGCGCCCGCGACCATGACGGCGACGGGCCCGAGCATCAACAGAAAGCCCAGGACCAGCGCGGCGGGCGTCGCCCGCGCGCCCTCGTAGCGCCCGCCGCCGGCGCAAAGCGCGGCGAACGAAGCCACCGCGAGCACCGAACATAAAAAGGGCGTAATAAAGGACCAGCACATTTGTATAAAGCGCGGCACCGCTCTTCCGGCACCCTTTCGCACCTCTTCACTAAACTTCGCCGCGCCGTAGCCGTACGCCACCCCCACACATTCAATACCCACCACGATGAACACGGCCCACACCACGTACGCGTCCCAGAGCGCGAACCAGTAGATGCCCGGCCGGCTCACGAACAGACCGGAAATCAAGCAGCCCACAGCACAACTAGAACCAACTAGGGCGTCCTGCCTTCGTATCCACTTCATGCGCTTGAAGGCCGGCGCGTTCGGATCGCCCTCCCAGCCGAAATCTCTTAGCATCGTCGTCCACGACTCGAGCATCGCTATAGAACTGTCAAGGGCCAAGGCGAAGAGCATCGCGAAAAAAATAAAACACCACAGCCCCGCCGCCGGCAGCTCGCTCAGGCCATCCGGAATGGCGACGAAGGCCAGCCCTTCGCCACTTTGCACGACGTCCGCGACGCTCCTCCCGTCTTTATGAGCCTTGTGGCCCAGCATCGCGAACACCGCCACGCCCGCATATAACGACGTGAAGCTATTCAACAGCGAGATGCACCCCGCATCTAGCACGATGTCCTCATTGGACTCGGTATAGGACCCGTACGCGACCATCTGGCCCGTCCCAATACCTAGGGAATAGATAATCTGGTTGAAGGCGTCGAGCCACGTTCTTATATGACCCAGTCGATCGATTCGCGGTTGTAGGTAGAACTTTATTCCTTCACCGGCGCCCTCCAATAGCGAGCCTCTTATAACTAACAAAGTGAGGATCGCATAGGGTAACGTCGCGAAGACATAGGCCGCCTTGCCCGCCGAGTGCACGCCGCGCCTCGTGGCTAGGAATAACGAAATCCACGAAAAAATCAAAGCCAGGGACAGTTCCGTCGTTGATGGTGTGCCAAAATAGTCCTCAAATCCGTCGGACTCCCTCAAAACACCGTGCTCCCAGAAGCGCTCGGCGTCCGTGCGCTTCCAGGGCAAGGGACTTCTAAACGAGTGGAACGCGTACACCAGAGACCACGCTAATATTGTTTGGTAGTATACTAACGTCGCAAAGGCCATGCCCGTGCCCGCGACGCCAACACCCGCCAATCTTTTGTGGAGGCGGAGGTAGCAGTGCGTCGCGCCCCTTTGAAACCGCTGTCCTAATGCCAATTCGAGCATGAAGGCCGGCACGCCGACGAGTAAGAGTGCCGCGAAGTAGGGGATGAGGAAGGAGCCACCTCCATTTCTATAGCAGAGGTACGGGAAGCGCCAAACCTGTGCGCAAATCAACCAGTGAGTTGGGCAGTCACGCCGTCGAGCAGGCGTCGCGTCGATGGCGTGGAGGTCATGATTCATGCACCGTGCCGCACATTACCGACGCCGACGCAGTTCCCGATCGTCGCGAGGAGGAACTCCGTGCGCGAGTTCCACTTGGCGCGCGGCGTCGCGCCGGCGCCGTCGTCGCTTGCGCCGCTGCCTGGGCTCGCCGGCGTCGCGTAGCCGCGGCGTGCGGCTTCGGCGAGGCTGGGTGGCGCTGCGTTTTCATCTTTGACTTCGTGCGCCCAGCCGCGGAGCATTTGTACCGCCTAGCAGCCCTGCAGCTGTTGGCGCTGTCGTCGGGCGCTCGTACAGGCGAGCGATGCGTGCAAAACTAATGCCAAACCGCGCCTTTGTGCTGCCAAAACCACTCTACACCGCCTCGGCCGCGCCCATGGAGCTAGCGGAACGTAAGACACTAGCAATTATACCCATCGCAGCGGAGGCTCAGCGGGCCTTAAAAAAGCACTACGCGCAGCCGTTCCAACCGCAAGACTACCCAAATACATACCGCGACCGCTCCAAGGCATTTCGCCGGGCGCTCAGGCCACAGCAAGGACTGCACCACAACTGCAGCGATCCGAGCGCTGCCGCGACGCGACGCGGGACGCAAGCGGACGTGGATCCCGGAGCGCGCAAGAGCTGCAGCGCCAGCAATATATAACGCACAAACACCGCGGTGCTAATAAACAAATGGCGACCTCGGGCGGCGCGGGCCCGCAAGAGGCCGCCCTCAAAATCGTCGGCGAGGCCGACGACGAGGCCGCGCGCACGTACGTGTTTAGAGGAGAGGACCACACGCTAGGCAACGCGCTGCGCCACGTGCTCATGCGCCAGAAGGACGTCGAGTTCTGCGGCTATTCCGTGCCGCACCCGTCGGAGCCCTTCGTGCACGTGCGGCTCCAGACGACGGGCGCGCCGGCGCGGGCCGTGCTCGACGACGGTTTGAAACAGCTCGGCGGCATCTGCGACGCGCTCGCGGCGCAGCTCGACAAGGCCGAGGGCCTCGCGGAGACGCGGAAGCGGAGCGACTCCCAGGGGACCGCTTTTCCGGGCCCCGGGCGCGCTTTGGAAAACGCGCGGCGACTGGCGGACCGCATGGAGTAGGCGGCTAATTAATCTGTACCAGCATGCATGGCCCCTCTGTAATACTCGTCGATGGCGCCGCGTCGATGGCGCAAGTCGCCGGCTGCGGCACGTCGCGGCGGAGCAACGCGTCCCCGGAGCACGGGTCTACAACCAAAAGGGCGGGTGCACCGTCGTCGTCCGCGTCGTCGTCGTCCGCACGGGCCGCGGCGGCGCGGCGGTCGTTTGTTGCACAGTAGGCTTCCGCCTCAGCGCGCCGAGGAACGCGTTCCGCGACTCGTAGCGGAGCAATTTTACGTTCGGGCAGACCTGTCCCCACATGAATAAGAACAGGGCAGCCAGCCCAAAAGCTATTGCGACGGAGATCGCGCGACGGCGTAGGTTTTGCAAGGGCTGCCCCTCTTTGCCAGAGTCTTTGGCATCTGCGGACATGGTCACGCAGCCTCAATGACCTGCAGCGACGAGCTGACGTTCACGAGCATCCGAACACAAATCTTAGCTAGTGTGTTGCTACGCTAGCTTCGCCTCGGCCTAAATTAAAACACACAAGCCCGCCTCGCTGCGTAGCGCATGACTCGCGCCAGCTGGCCTGCGTGTTCCGAGTGACCACTCGCCGCGGCTCCTACGAGGAATTGCATCCCTGAGCCCGCCAACGTCGCCATAAGCACCCACAAGCCACGAGCTCTTTCACATAAGCTACAGGCAGGCTGAGGCAGCAAGCATGGGTCCCGCCCTCTCCAAAATAGACAGAGAGCACCCGCCACAGCTCGCCTACGGCACGGCCGGCTTCCGCTGCGACGCGACGCAGTTGGTGATCGCGATGGAGCGCGTCGGCATGCTCGCAGCATTAAGGAGCAGAGATAGGGACGGCCTGAAGATCGGCGTCATGGTCACGGCGTCGCACAACCCCCACAGAGACAACGGCGTGAAGATTGTGGACCCGACGGGCGCCATGCTCGCCCAGGCCTGGGAGTCGAAGGCCGAAAAGGTGGCGTGCTGCCCGGAATCGCAGCTCCTCGAGACGCTTGCGAGCGTGGCCGAGGGCGAGGCCGCCTCTGCGTCGGTGGTTATTGGGAGGGACACGCGCGCGCACAGCCGAGCGCTTTCTCAACGTGTCAGAGCAGGTGCGGAGGCGCTCGGAGCCCGCGTGGAAGATGTGGGCGTCGTCACGACGCCCCAGCTCCACCACTGCGTCCGCGCGGCCAACGGCTTTTCACCAGTAGTAAAAGGGCCTTTATATGGATACGCCGATGCGTTGGTGGACGCGTTCGAGGCCTTGCTTAAAACATCTCCGCACAAGACCGGCCGGCCAGACTCAACAGTTGTGGTCGACTGCGCGGGCGGCGTGGGCGCGTTCGGGATCCATCAATTGAGGCGCCGCCTCGAGGAGCGCGGGCTCGCTTCCGTATTATCCTTACGGGCCGCGAATATTGTAAGGGAGGCCCCGCTCAATCATCAGTGTGGAGCTGAGCACGTCCAGAAGCAGCGTTTACCCCCGAAGAATCTCTCGCGTCGAGACCTCGGCGCGCCCAATCTGAGGGGATGCTCGGTCGATGGCGACGCCGACCGCTTAGTATATTGGTTCCATGGATTGTCGAATTTCGAGATCGTCGACGGCGACAAGATCGCCTCCCTATTGGCCGTGTTCATCGCAAGGGAACTCGCGGCCGCGCAACCGCTCATCGGCACACCATCACTAGGTGTGGTGCAGACGGCCTACGCGAACGGCGCGGCGGCGGCGTTTCTGCGGGAGAGACGCGTCGAGGTCGCCTTCGCGAAGACGGGTGTGAAATACGTGCACCACGCGGCCGAGGCGTTCGACGTCGGCGTCTACTTCGAGGCGAACGGCCACGGCACGGTGCTCGTCAAAGAGGCCCTGCGCGCGAGGCTCGCGCAGTTGGATAGCGAGCCGGGGACGGGCGGCCGCGCGCGCCTCGCCGTATCTAGATTACATGCGGTGGCTCGCCTCGCGAATCAAAGTGTAGGCGACGCCCTGGCCGACCTCTTGCTGGTCGAGGCCGTCCTCTGCCTCCAGCAAAAGTCGATCGCGGCCTGGGGCGCGCTCTATGATGAACTACCCTCGCGCCAGCTCAAGCAGCGCGTGGCGTCGCGGGCGTTACTAGAGCCGAACGCGACGGAGACGCGGCTCGTGGCGCCGGCCGCGCTCCAGGCCAAGATCGACGCGCTCGCCGCATCCCATAAAAGTGGCCGGGCCTTCGTGCGCCCGTCGGGCACCGAGGACGTCGTCCGCGTCTACGCCGAGGCCGCGACGCGCCGCGACGCCGACGCGCTCGCGTTGGAGGTGCGGCGGGCCGTCTTCGACCTCGCGGGCGGGCTGGGGGAGCGGCCGTAAACACACGTCACTTATCCTTCTCGAGGCGTCCGATGAGCCGCGCCAGGCCCGCGACGCGCGCTTTTTCTTGCGCTTGGCGAGCCGGCGCCGCGGCGCGTTCGCGCTCCGCCTCGGCGTGGATCTCGCCTAGATGGCTCTTCTCGTCCCGGTTGAGGGTCTTCTCCCACTGGCTCTTGACGGCCGTGTCCGAGCGCGGCGCGGCGTCGTCGTCGTTATCGGGCCGCTCGTCCCGGGCGCGGTCCGCCGCCGCGCGTCGCGCTGCCACGTCGAGCAGCTCCGCACCACTCATGGACGGGGGCGCCTCGGCCTCGCCCCGGCCCCAGGCCCAGCGCGTGCCGCCGCTCTCCTGCTCGGCGACGCGGGCCGGCGGGGGCGCCGCGCCCGCGTCGTCGAACGTGACCAGAAATTCGGCCGGCGCGCGCGCCTCGCCCCGCCGCAGGTCGTCGTAGAGTCTCGCCTTCGCCTCGAGCTTGCGCCGCGACGCCGCGGCGCGGTCGTCATCGTCGCCTTCCTCGCGCGCGCGCCGCGCCTCGCGCCGCCGCGGCCGCTTCCGGCCCGCCGAGTCGAGGTCGTCGGCGTCGGTCCTCCGCCGCGACGCCGTGCCGCGGGCGTATTTTCCCTTGCCGCCGGCCGCCGCGGCGGTCATGGACGCGGCGAAGACCTCGTCCTTCAGTGCGCCCATTGATGTGTTGGGCGCGGCGATCTTCTTGGCTTTTTTTGGGAGCAGCGTCGACTCTGTGTTCCAGCCTAGGGACGCCATGCTGTTTGTGCAGAGCCTCTTTCGTTCTCCTAAACACCACGGCGCTGGTGGTGCAGCTGTATGGCGTCTGTACGTGGATTTGACCTAGATTTTTTAGCCTTACAAGCCCTGGCCGGGTGGCTGTCAAAAGGGCTAGCGTCCTACACACTAGCAAGCTTAATAATTATTCATCAGAAGGCCGGCCTTCGTGAACCGCCGCGAATCAGAATGAGAAGCGGCCGGCCGAGGAGCGGTACCCGCTGGTCAAGGGCGTCCGCGACCCCGACCGCTGGCTCAAGACCGTCGCGCGGGTCGACCTGAACGCGACGGACGTGGCGCGCGTCGCGGCGGCGGCGGCGGCGGCGTGCGGCGGCCTGCCGCGCGGGTGGGAGCATATACCAATTGGGGTGATATGGAAAGCGGCGGAAGCAGGGGAAGAAGGATAAGTAGTGGGTTTCTGTGTTATTCATGTATTGAACCGCATTTACGGAGACGCTTCGCGCCGGGACGAGATGGAGTTAATGTCGGAAGAGTCACCGAGTTGGGCGTATACGTACCCGTAGTCACTTCTGGTGCTCCCCGAGGAACGCGACGATGGACGAGTGACCCTTGCTTTTTGCGACGAACAGTGGCGTCCGACCGTCCTCCGCCGCCCGGTCGACCTCCGCGCCTTTATCTACCAACAGCCGCACCACGTCGACGTGGCCCTGCTGGCAGGCGACCATCAGCGGCGTCGCGCCCTGCACCGCCCGATCGACCTCCGCGCCTTTGTCCACTAAAAGCCGCGCCGCGTCGACCTGGCCCACAGCACAGGCGATGTACAGCGGCGTCTGCCCGTTCTTGTCCGCCCGGTCGACCTCCGCGCCTTTATCTGACAACAGCCGCGCCGCGTCGACGTGCCCGTTCTGGCAGGCGATGAATAGCGGCGTCATACCGTCCTTTGTCGCCCGATCAACCTCAGCACCACGCTCCAACAACAGCCGCGCCGCGTCGACCTGACCCTCGTAGCACGCTTGCCATAGCGGCGTCCGCCCGCCCTCTTCCGGCCGATTGACGTCCGCGCCTTTGTCCAGCACCAGCCGCGCCGTGTCGACGTGGCCGTAAAAGCAGGCGATGAACAGCGGCGTCGCTCCGTTGTCCCTCGCACGATCGACCTCCGCGCCTTTCTCCAGCACCAGCCGCGCCGCGTCGACGTGGCCCTCCTGGCAGGCGAAGAACAGCGGCGTCGCGCCGTCCTCCCACGCCCGATTGACCGCAGCACCTTTGTCCAGCAACTGCTTCACTGCGTCGACATGGCCCGCAGTACAGGCGATGAACAGCGGCGTCATACCGTTCTCCGTCGCCCGATCAACGTCGGCACCCTTTTCCAGCAATAGCCGCACCACGTCGACGTGGCCTAAAGCGCACGCAACGAGCAGCGGTGTTTTGCCGTCCTCCTCTGCCTGGTCGACCTCGGCGCCGCCGTCCAGGAGCCGCGTTATCGCATCGACGTCGCCTCTCATCGCCGCAGTGTGCAGCGGGATCTCCAAGTCGGCTGCGAGGTTTTTCAGCGTGTTTTCGAGGATTGTCCGCGTGTTTGCCACCTTCGGGTGGTCGCTTCCGAATGCCTGCGCGTAGACAGCGAGTGCGCGCTCCAGCACGTCTCGCGCCTTCGCGTGGTCGCCTAGATAAGAATACGCGCCCCCGAGATTGAACAGCGTGTCGGCCACCCTCGTGTGATCGCGGCCAAACGCCCGCTCAAAGATCGCGAGCGCGCGCTCCAGGAAGTCTCGCGCCTTGGCGTGGTCGCCTAAATCAATGTGCACGCCACCAAGGTTCGTCAGCGTTCCGGCCACTTCTGCGTGGTCGCGGCCGTACGCCCGCTCCTGGATTACGAGCGCACGCTCCAGCATATCTCGCCGCTTGCTATGGTCGCCTTGCGCATTCCCGAGATTCATCAGCGTGAGGGCCACTTGCGGACTATCGCTACCGTGCTCGCGCTCGTAGATCGTGAGCGCGCGCTCTAGCACGTCTCGTTTCTTCGTCTGGTCACCTAATTGGCCGTACGCGTTCCCGAGGTTCATCAGTGTAATTGCTAGTTCCGCGTGGTCGCTTCCGTACGTCCGCTCGTCGATTGCGAGCGCGCGCTCTAGCAGGTCTCGCTTCTTCGCGTGGTCGCCTAACTCGCCGTACGCGAGCCCGAGGTTCGTCAGCGTGACGGCCACTATCGCGTGGTCGGGGCCGTACGTCCGCTCGATGATCGCGAGCGCGCGCTCCAGTAGGTCACGCGCCTTGGCATAGTCGCCGAGTTTCAGGTAAGCCTGCCCGAGCCCAGACAACAAGGCTGCCACTTCCATGCTGTCCGTACCGCGCTTACGCTCGAAAATCGGGAGCAGTAGGCGCTCCAGCTCCTTTAGGTCGTCGCCTCCAACGCGCGCGCCATCACCGACTCCCGCTTTTACACGCTCGACAATCACTAGCAGGCGCTCCAGCTCCTTTTTGTTTTCGCCTCCACTCCCTTCTTTCTCTAGGGTGTCGTTGATAACATCAAAAACGACGTCGAGGGGTGTGAGTGAAGCCTTCGCCGACCCCGTCTTCGACGTCTTATCGTCGCCGTTCGCGGGCGCGTCGGGCCGCTTGCCGTCCCGCAACGCGCCGACGTACGCGTCGACGAGCTCCGTTTTCTCAAACAGGCCGCGCGTCGACACGCCCATCTTGCCGAGGGCAGTCTGCAGTTCCTTGATGCGCATCTTCGACGCGTTCGCTATTTCTGCCTCAGCGTCGAAGTCCGGCGGTGGCGCCTTGCTCTGAAGTACGGCGAGAACTTTCTTGGTCTGCTTTGTGCTGGGATGATCGGGCCCGTGCGCCTGCTCGTTGATCGCGAGCGCGCGAAGCAGGACCTCTCGCGACTTGGCGTGGTCGCCTAAGGCGCCGTACGGGATTCCGAGGGCCTGCAGCGTGGTGGCCACTTGCGTGCTGTCCTTGCCGTACTCGCGCTCAAAGACGGAGAGCGCGCGCTCGAACATGTCCCGCGCCTTCGCGTGGTCGCCTGATTCGCCGTACACAACCCCGAGGACATTCAGCGTGGCGGCCACTTGCACGTGATCGCGGCCGAGCTCCCGCTCCTCGATCGTGAGCGCGCGCTCCATCATGTCTCGTTTCTTCGTCTGGTCGCCTAATTTGCCGTACGCTTTCCCGAGCTCAAACAACACTGCGGCTACCTCCACGCCATCGCTGTCGTGCGCCCGCTCCTGCATCGCGAGTGCATGCTCTAGAATGTCTCGCTTCTTCGCGTGGTCGCCTAATTTGCCATACGTATTCCCGAGTTCCATCAGTGTGTAGGTGAGTTGTCCTTGACACCCCTTCGTGTACGGATGGTCAGGTCCGTGAGCGCGCTTAAATATCGGGAGGACGCGTTCTAGGAGCTCGCGTCTCTTGGGGAGGTCGCCTAATTTGCCATGCGCTTGGGCGAGATTGAACAGCGTGTTGGCTACTTCCGGGTGGTCGCGGCCGTGCACCCGCTCCTTGATCGCGAGCGCGCGCTCCTGCATGTCTCGCTTTTTCGCGTGGTCACCTAAGCCACCGTGCGCGTTCCCTAGGTTACCCAGCGTGTTGGCCACTTGCCTTTCGTTGCCTTGCTCACGCTCGTAGATCGGGAGCGCGCGCTCCAGGACGTCTCGCGCCTTGGCGTAGTCTCCCAATTGATTGTGCACCTCCCCGAGGTTCCCCAGCACGGCGGCTACCTCCACGCCATCGCTGCCGTGCTCGCGCTCGACGGTCGAGAGCAAGTGCTCCAGAATATCTCGCTTCTTCGCGTCGTCGCCTAAGTCGCTGTACGCGCGCCTCCCAAAGTTTGACGATGGGTAGCCGATGCGAAGTCTTGAATTTGTGCAGACTCGCGTCCGCGCCAGCCCCGAGCATGACCTCCACAGGCTCCTGGGTACCCGTAACATCGTCGACCAGTTATGCGATCACTGCGGCAGCGCGTGGCGCATCATCCGACCCTTTTCAGCTGCCCAAAATCCAATCCAGCAAAATCCAAGCTTTTGTACGTGCGGGTGCGGGTGCGGTCCCGGACGACTACCTGGGGGTGGGCACAATTGGAGGCTAGCTATGTCTTGATCTTAAACTTGTGCTTCAGATCCGCGAGCTTCGTCGCTTGCTTCGCAAGCATCGCGTGCGTCGGCACCATCGCGAGGCGCTGGCTCCAGTGGGCGTCCTGGTCGAAGGCGTCGATCGGGGCCGTGCCGCGGGGCGACGTCGCGACGGCCTCGAGCGCCTCGAGCTCGTAGAGCGGCTTGCCGTGCACCTCGTATAATCGGTCCGCGTCCCGCTTGTGCTCCATGAGCGGGTAGCGCGCGCCGCCCGAGCTCAGCACCTCCCCGAACTTGATCCGCTGGAGCTGGCGCGCCTTGAGGTTGTACTCGAGGCGCGGCACCATGTTCGCGATGGTGGAGTTCTCTTCCGGGGGATTGCCCATGTAGAAGCTCCGCGTCTGCGAGATGGAGGAGTAGTCGGCAATCCTCCGGTACTGGCGCAACCACGTCGAGACGGCCTGGGGCTCCTCGCTCGGCCCGAGCGCCGCGAGGTGCCGCCCGGTCCTGCCGATGGGCGGGGACGTGGCTCGCGTCAGGACCGACCTGTGCGCAAATCAACCCGTGACTCGGGTGCACCGATAATTTTTGCGAAGTTATTTCTCAGCGACGACGCGGCCGTGCTGGCCAAGTCGCGCGTCGAGAATCGCACCGCCACGCCGTCGAGGAAGAATCGCGTCGATGGCGTGCAGGTCGTGATTCAGCCGTGGGCGGAGATGCGCCGCGACGTTTGATTTGAGCGCTGGGACCGACGCGCCGCCCTGGACGGACTTCGTGGGCGACGGAGCAGGTTGAGTTGATCGGCCTTCGACCAGTTGCTTGTCCACGGTCTCCAGAATCACATGATCAATTTTGTTGGCCTCCATCCTTCTCATGAACGAGGCAAATTCTTCTACCGTGACCTGTGTGGAAATCAAAATTTCACGGCGCGTTCGTGCTGCATCATCGCGTCCGCCTCCACGCCATCGACGCGACGCCTGCTCGATGGCGTGGCGATGTCGGTTCCTCACCGCTCGATGGAGGCCAGCACGGCCGCGTCATCGTGCACCCGGCACACTGGTTGATTTCCACACAGACCGTGACCGTGTTGTCGCCATTGATGTCGACGACGCCCCAGACACTTCGAAGTTCCTTGAGCGACATCTCGAGCTTCGAGATGTCGAGCTCCTTGTAGACGACATACGCCAGTTCCGCGAAGGAGATGTTTCCCGAATTGTCCCGATCATATGACTTAAAAAGCTTGTACCAGTTCCCGTTGATCGACGCGTTCTTCAGCATCTTCTGGCGCATGAGCGTCGTGACCCTTCTTATTTTTTTCACGAGCTTCTTGCGCTCCGTCATCAAAAGCCCGAGCTTCTCGAGGTCCTCGCCCGTGTAGTGCGACGTGCTCAGGTCGTTCTCGGGGTTCTTCTTCAGCGTCTTGCCGCCGCTGAATTGCGACATGCCGACAGCTTTTGTGCTCTGGCCCGCGCGCTCGACGCCCTTGCCCATCTTCACGAGGGCGGCCTTGCGGCGCGCCTCGATCATGTCGACGCCCTTGCTCGGCATGGTGCCGGGGGCGCGTGGCGCGCGGCGGCGGCACTTGCTGCCTTGTGTGTGGGGGGTGCGAGGCTGTTCCACGCGACGCGTCGGCGGCGTAGCGGCAGCCCTTTTCTGCGACAGCAGTGCTACGTGTCGCGCGTATATCACCGTACTTATTAGCGCCTCTGCCGAGAGCGCCGCGGCTGCCCCTCTCCGCGTTAAATGAACTTGGGGGGAGAGGCCGCCGCGCGCGACCCCTGGCGCGCGAGATAGAGGGGTCGGGAAGACTACGGCGAGAGCTCGGAGTGGCAAGCAGACAAAAAACGGCGGTCTGCGCGGGGCGCGCGCGGTGCCCAGCTAGATTAATAACTTATCACACGAAGCGTCCGGGGCCTCCATCGCTGCCCACGACGTAGGCCGCGCCCTCGTCGAGCTTCAGTAGCGGCTCGTGCCGCGCCGCGGTCTTCTCCGCCACGAGCCCGTCGTACTCGGCCGACGCGTGCGGGAAGACGGAGGCGCCGCCAGCTAAATCCAACCCGAGCACGCCGCTCCAGTCGTCTATGTCCTCGACGATGCCCGGGTCGTCCCAGCCCTTCCAGAGCGCCGTGTCGACGTGCTTGCCCGCGCAGATGGCCCCGGCGGAGACGCCGACGTAGACGGCGCTCGACCCTCGAAAGGCGTCGAGCCAGTCCTCCATGCAGCGCCGCAGCCAGAACGTGTTCCCGCCGTCCACGAGCACCACGTGCGGGTCCCAGGCACCCAACGCGTCGGCCCCCTTCGTCGGCACCGCCACTCCGACCGCGTGCTTGACGGAGGCGTCCCACAGATCGAGCGTCACGGCGTCGCAGCGCGCCGGGCCACCAAAGAAGGCTACCGCGCGGTCGCGCTTCTGCTTGCCGTCCCGACGCGCCCTCTGCCGCTGGACGCCCGGCGTCCGCTGGCTCTCGCGGCGCAAAGCGTACATCGCAGTCGGTATGTAGGTGAGGCGTATGCGCGCGTCGACGCTGCCGGTTTTGAGCTGCACCGCGTCGCGCAGCAGCGCGCCCACCTCGGGCCGCGCCAGGACGCCGTCGCTGAACGAGGAGAGCAGGAAGCAGTCCCGCGGCTGTGCCTGCAGCGCCGCCGCACTCGCTGCGATCAATGCGAAGCTCCTCATTCCAGGCGTCCGCGTCGGTTCTTGTTCCAGCGCCGCAGCGGGCCCTCGCACGCAAATGGCAGCACCGCAAGCACTATAATCACGGCTACACCGAGGAAAATGAAGTAGTTATGATGCGGCGTCGCGTCAGAGCGTCCAAGAGGCATTGAGTGCTGATGCCGGCTGTGTCGATGCAAATGCACAAGGCTTTGTGCTCACTCGGCTGCGGGAGTGCTAGCAGCGCTTGAGTGCAAAGCAAGGCGGCTGTGCAACCGGGCGCTTGTGGCTCAAGTTGCAGACAAAAAAAGCTGGAACGCCTAGATCGTAGACCTACTAGCCGGCCAACAACCGCCGCAAAAACGCTGCCATAGCACGCCGCAGCGCTGCCCAACGCCACCGCCGCACGACCCCACACGCCGCAAAAACCACCGCAGCACCGAGGCAGCAAAGCAACAATGCCCGACGTCTGGCAGGCCGACGACGCCATGTCGACCCCCAACGAGCCCGCGCAGCGCGCGCGCTACAAGCGCGGCGACCGCGTCGAGCGCGTCATCGACGGCGCCTGGTTCCCCGCGCGCGTCACCGACTGCTACGTCGACGGCGGCGCGGAATTCTACGACCTGCGCTACGAGGACGACGGCAACACCGAGAGGGACGTCGACGGCGACGAGGTCCGCAAGCGCGCGGCGGGCTCGACGCCCGTCGTCCAGCCGCGGCGGCCCGCGCACCAGCCCTCGCCGCTCGACGACGACGAGGACGCGCCCAAGGAGCCCACGGCGACGGTGACGCACGACAACGGGGGCGCCTTTGTCGTGAACGGCGAGGGGACCAAGGTCGGCAGCGGCGGGGGTTTGCGGGGCATCCGCTTCCTGCGGGAGTCCGTGAACATGCAATAATAACAGTCTAGGTTGTCAGACTTAGGCGCTCGAAGTCCTCCCAGGCGCCTAACCCACTGGCACTGGCAATCTTAAGTTGTCAAGCTTAGGCGCTCGAAGTCCTCCCAGGCGCCGTTGAGCGCCTTGATGAGCGCGACGTTGCCCCGCTGGTGCGCAGTGTCCACGGGCCGCTCGCCGCTCCTGTTCCGCGCGGCCTGGTTCGCGTGGCGCGAGGACAACAACGCCACGATCTCGCAGGCCTTCTCGTCGTCGCCGCAGTCACCCGTCGCGGCGACGTGGAGCGGCGTCGCGCCCGTGCCGTCGACGGCGTCGACGTCCGCGCCCGCGTCCACCAGCATCTTGGCGGCGCGCGTCGCGCCGTGCAGCGCGCAGGCGTGGAGCGCCGTCCGGCCCTGGGCGTCCGCCGCGGCCAGCAGCCGCGCGAGGGGCGGCCCCTCGCCCACGTGGTCCATGAGCACGCGCATGACCTCGACGTGACCCCTTGATGCTGCAATCACCAGCGGCCGCGACGCGGCGCAGGCCGCGGCCTCGTTCTGCGTGATGCCCTTCTGCGTCTTGCTCCGCCGCGGCTTCGACGTCGGTTTGAGGTAGGGGTTCTCCGCCGCGAGCGGCGGCGCGTCGCCCCCGATCACGCGCCCGCGCCCCGTCGTAAACAAACCGCCGAGGCCCAGCGCGTCGCCCAGGGCGTCGGCGCCCGCTTCGAGACAGGCTCGACAAGCGTCGGCGTGGCCCGCGCCGCACGCATAATCTAAGGCCGTCGCGCCGTGCGCGTCGGGCTGGTCCGCGCGGCCGCCGCGCGCCGCCAGGACGTGGACGTGGTCCGCGCGGCCCGTCGCCGCCGCCGTCCGGAGCGCGTCGTCTAGACGGGCCTGCTTGTCGAGGCGGTCCGCCATCTTCGCGGCCGTGTCGCGGTCGCGCAGCAACTCCTGGAGCTTCGCGCGCGTCTGCGCGAGCTTCTTGCGTTTGGTGGCCCCGATGGGCAGCGCGAGCTCCGGGTCGCCCTCGAGGTCCCGCGCGACCGTCTCGGCCGCGTTGATGAGCTCGACGCGCCTCCGCTCGACCCGTCGCAATTCTTCGCGCGTCTGCTTCTCGCGCAGCGCGCCGACGTGGCGCGCGAGGCGCCGCGCGTCTCGATTGGCATCGGCGGCCTCGCGCTCGGCGGCGTCTCTCCCTACGACGGCCTCCGCCGCCAGGCGCTCCGAGGCCTCGCTCACGAAGCGCGCGTTCTTGAGGCGCCGCTCCAGGTCGTCCGCGCGGAGCGCCGCCGCCGCGACGCGCCGCATGACCACTTCCTCCACCTCCTTGGCGGCGTTTTGGCCCCGCTGCTCCGCCTCGCCGATTTTTGCGTGCATCCGCAGTAACTCCGCGTCCTTCGCTTTGCAGATCGCCTCGGCGGCGGCTTGCGCGAGGATCGACGCGGACCGCGCCTCCTCCAATTGCTTCACGCGCTGCTCGAGGCGCCGCTCGACGGCCGTCGGTTTCCTCGTGGCTTCCTCGTCGTCGTCGGGGGACTGGGGGCGCTCGTCCTCCTCCATGGTCGCGGCTGATTGGGCTGCCCTGCCCGGCTGCCTGACGCCTGGTCCTGAGCGCTAAGCTCTCGACGCCCGAGGAGACCCAAGAAGGGCGTCCCCAGCAGCCCCACGAAGGCGTCCTCGGCGTTCAAGGCCTTGGCAAGCGCTGCAAAAGTTAGCGCCACCCCACGGCTTTTTGCTAGCGTATCAACACACTAGGGCATAGCGCTGCGCTTGCAATTGGGGCAGCTTTTGTTGGGGCTCCTTGCGTCCCCCGGACCTCATAGATCGTATATAGCGTGTCCGTAGACAGCCGATCCGCCACCGGGGCAGCCCTACGCGCCGCGCCGTCAATCGTGTGTATAGAGTAACCTTGACGGGGCAACTACGCGTCGACCGTGTGTAGCGTGACATCGACTGGGCAGCTCACTTGAACGCGCCGCGCCACCATGCCGATCACGGCCGAGCAAAGGCGCCAGCTCAACCGCAAGCGCCGCGACGGGCGCGCCGCCGAAGCCTACGCCGCGATCCTGGGCGACCTGGACGCGCCCATGCTCGGCGCGTGCATCAGCCTGAAGGAGCGTGAGGACACGAAGAAGGCGGGGACGATGGCCGCGCCCGCCGACGCGCTGCGCTACACGGAGTGCTCGCTGCCCGCGCTGCAGCGGACCCTGGGCAAGATCCAGGATAAATACGGCGAAGGCAGCGGCAAGCTCCAGGAGGACGGCGAGGGCGTCTTCTACGACCTCGGGTCGGGCCTGGGCAAGGCCTGCCTCCAGGCCGCCGTGTGCTACCCCTTCGAGGCCGTCGTGGGCATCGAGGTCCTCGAGGGATTGCATACGATGGCCCTCGAACTCAAGCAGCGGTACGACGACAAAGCGCCCGAGGCGCTGCCGCCGTCGCAGCGCCGGAGCGAGGACGACGGCCGGCCGATCGACGTGCCCGAGCTCGAGTTCCGTCATACGAGCTTCGCCGGCGCGGACCTCGGCGAGGCGGACGTGGCCTTCTGCCACTGCGCGGCCTTCGACAAACATACTTTGAAGGAGGCGCAGGCGGCGCTCGCGACGCTGCGGCCCGGGGCCTTCGCGGTCACGGTGACGCACGAGCTGCCCGAGCGGCTCGACTTCGAGACCGTCGACTCGGAGATCCTCGAGCTGGACGGGTGCCGGACGCTCGTCTTCATTTCGAAGAAGCACCCGCCGGGCGCGCTGGGGCCGCCGCCGGGGGGATGAAGTAAGGCGTATTGTTTTGTTCTTTTGGCTCTCATCGCTCCGCATCGACGACCCCTTTGCGGCTTTGCCGACTTGTAGGCAAAAGGCTAGTGTGTCGATACGCTATGTTTGCCGCCGCTTGCCCACCGGCCTGGCTAGTAGGTTCGACGACGGTGAGGGGACCCCGCACTCAGTTTTTTTAGGGTTTTTAGCCAGTAGCTCGACGCGCGGGCAACCGCGTGCAACAAACTCACTGACAAAGAAAGGCCATAATAGCCTATCGACACGTGGCAAAAGACGCGGCAGCGATTGGGCTGCGTCTCGCAGAGAAAACGGCCAAAAACCATGAAAAATGACACTCGACAGCCTTTGGCTGCCCTGTATCGCGCCGATCGGGCCACCGCAGCGTCGGGTATCGTAGTTTGTATGGCCTTCGACGATCTGAGACAAAAAGCAGCGGCAGCGGCCCATGGGATGTCGGTCTATGTGTGGTCCGCGTTCTCGACGTGAACGCGCGTCGGGCCGGAAACGCCACCACTAAAGGCGAGATTTGGCTCGGGCCTTCCCAGCCACCGCGTCGGGCATCTCCGACGGTCCCGGGGGATTTTAGCCGCCCGGGCGCCCCAAACGAGCGTATCGGGGCAGCCTAGAGGGAATACACCGATTTTTGTCAATATTGGGCGGCAGCCGCTGCTTTTTGCGCAAGGCGGCCTTAAATAAGTTTTTTGGTCGATAGACACAAAAAGCAGCGGCTGGCGATGACCTTCACCAGTGCCGATTTGCTCAAATTAGAGAGAGACTAGTTACTCGGTTTTGGGGACGCTAGCCTAGCTGAGGGGGGATGGACGACTAGAACCAGGCCTCTAAAGGTCCGAATCCAGCGTCACGTCTTCACCGTCGGGTCTGGGAGCAGGGTCTACCTGGGGGGGCACTGGAGGATTGTAATCGTCTGCCACATGCCCAGGCCGAGTCGTGTCACCGCTACCTGTATGAGTAAAGAGAGGACTATGAGCTAGCCCTGGTTGACCGGCCTGTGCGCCGCCTGCTTGCCCAGGTAATCCGGTCGGTCCGAAATATGACGCGGCCGACCGCCGCGCCGATTGCGCCACCACCCGGCAACGCCGAGTGAACTTGTTGTAGTCCGTCGCCAAACGACCTCCGCCACTGGCCGTGCTTAAGTTAGGAACGGTCTTGGACACCAGCTTGAGCAAACATTCCGCCCTCCGCTTTGCGCACGCGACGCCCCAATCCCTGATGATCTCGCCCAAGACGCGACCATAACCCGTATCCTTCGTCACTGCATCCACATCGCCCTCCGACATAGCTTCCTTGCTAATCGCCTCCGCACAAGCCTTCGCGTGATCCAACACGCTCGAGCTGGCCTCACCAACCGCCCCGAAAGCCATACCAATGACATCCCCGCGGCCCCCAATCGCACGGCACATAGGACCAGTCATTGCATCCTCGTCGTAAATATTTGCTCAAATTGGCCTCCACAAAACCCGAAAAGCCGTGCGGGTTGCCGTTGTCGAACCTACTAGCCAGGCCGGTGGGTGCCTCGTCTAGCTCGTACGAACGCGTGCTTTTGGTCGCGTTCACGTATTTGTCTGTGCTCGTCCCTGCTGCACCTCGTCCCTGCCGCAGCGATCTGCACGCGTGGCAGCGATGCGGCTGCTGCACTGCTTTGCACTGGCAAGTTGCACTGACGCGCTCGCACCCACGACGTCGACGACGCGGCGGAAACTGCATTTGTCGCTGGCGGACGCAAAGAGCTGCACTGACGCACCCACGACGTCGACGACGCGTCGGCGACTGCTCTTATCGACCGCAACGCTCGCACCCACCAGCGCGCTAGCTGCGGACACGCCTGCCGAGTCGGTGCGAAAGGCGGCTTCGAACATACCCGGGCTCGGCCCACCGGACGTACTGTTTCCAGCCGCCGCGTTCAAGGGGCGATGGAAGGTGCAACGGACGGTCGCCGCTCGCACTGGAGCTGTAAGCCTGCTGGCGTCGTCTCCGGAAGCCGAGTCCTACGAGACGCGATTCCTGGACTACGGCGACGGCGAGCATGTCGTGATAGATCGCGCGTTCGAGGCCGAGTCGCGCGCGCGAGCGGGTGCCTACGGTCCTGGCTTCGAGGCTGCGAAGGCGAGGTGGGAGCCCTCCAACCCAAATGTTTGCACGCTTGAGTCCGCGACGGGCGCGCTGCTTGAGCTGAAAGTCACGAAGCGCAGCTTCGAGTCTCCCGGGCCCGGCGGCTTCGGGTCTTCTGAATATTCAAGGGTCGCCGTCGCCCAGGGAGGCGTCGCGGCCGTGCCGCAGATTCTAGCCAGGCGCCTCCAGACGCGCTACCGCTTTGACGACAACGCGTCCATGATCGAGGCGCTGGAGATCCAGAACGTCTACGACCCCCAGGCGACGGGCTTCGCGGACCTGAACGGCGCGCAGCCCGTGGCCACGGTCAAGTCGAGGCTGACGCTCAGTCGCTAATGTCACATGTTGTGTTCTTACGCTCCTCACGCGTCCCCCGTCCGCGGCGAGAGCGAGTCGAAGAGCGACCCCCCGCCCTCGTCGACGAAGAAGCTCCTCAGCTCGTCCTCGGACAGCACGCCGACGCCCTCCTCGGACCGCGCGCGCTTGTGCCCGAGCTCGTTCCGCTTGAACTCGACGATGGCCTTCGCGAGCGACTTGAACTTCGGGCGCGGGCCCTTCTTGCTCGCTTGGGCGTCGCCGCCGTCTAACTGTAAATCGGCCGCGAGTTTGTCGAATATCGCCATCTTCACGGGTTTTTCCAGAGACCGCAGCAATCGTTCCGCGACCGTGTGCTTCACCGGAGCCGGCAAGGCACTCAACAAGGTGCAGGCCAGGTCGGCCTGCCTCTGAGGTGTAGGATTGGGGTCCGTCACAGCAGATAAAGCTGCTAAGAGCGTCGAGGGCGTCGACGCGTTCACGTCGAGGGCCGCTCGCTTCGACGCCGGCCCGTCGCCCGCGCTGGCCCGCTTCCGCGAGGGCTTCTCCTCCTTCACCTTGTCTTCGAGTCGAGGCTTGGACATAATCTCAATAGGAACGGAGCGAGACCCTCGGATCGGCGCGTCCGCCGGACCGGCGACCAGGATGAAGCGCTGGTTCTGGTGGTGCGAACTCAAATCATTGATCCTCACTTTCAGAGTCGCGGCTTCCCCGGAGGCCATTTCCAACATCGGCTTCGACTCCTCGGCGAGCTCGAATAATGGCACCTGCCGGTTCATGTTCTTGGACTGGTTGAAGAAGCCCACCTGGATGTCGCCCGACGTGCAGAGGGGATCGACGAGCGGCTCCGTCGCCGCCTCGTAGAGGAGCCACAAAGCTAGGGAGACGTGGTGGTCCGTGGCATTCGTCACGGCCAGGTACATCCAGTTCGAGTTGCCGCCCATGTCCTTGTACCACGTGAAGTGGCCCGCGCCCATGCCGCCCTCGTAGCAGTCCTTGCCGCGCTTGTTTTGGGCCGCGGAGATGCTTACTATTCTCACCGCCGTCGACGCGGTCGTCGAGCCGGGGGCGGCGGCGTTCATTTTCTTAGGAGTGGTCGGGTGGCTGGTTCTGGAAGGTTGATGGTCCCGGGCTTGACGCGCCGGCGGGATGGGATGGCGAGCGCTTACCGCGGCTGCGAAGTCTTTGCTTGTTTGGCAGAGGTGTGCGCAAGGGGCGCGCGCGTCTCTGGCAGCGTTTTGTGCAGTGTGGAGGCTACCTAATAACGTTGTAGCGTCCTCGCAACGCTAAGGGAACTGTCTTTTATGGTGCTCCTAAGTCTGGCTGGGCTAAATCATGCCCTGAAAATTCTAGTGGGCTCTGAGCGATTACGCCTGCCGAAGGGGTCTGTGCGGGGTGTACGCGGGAGCTGCTGTTCCGGAAGACGTCGAGCGACGGGTTCCCCAAAACAAGGTACCTTACCCTATGTATACATATAAGTATAGTACCTCTTGCCCAAAAAGCGCGCGCGCGCTCGTCCTCGCTCGTGCTGCAGCAGCGAACTCCTCGCGCACTCATTCATTTCTAACTCCTCGCGGACGGTTGCAACCTGGGGGTCTAGCCACAATGCGGCTGCTCAGAGCCGCCCTCCTGGCGGCAGCAGCATGCTCTCTCCAGCTCCCGACGCGCAAACATATAATAAGAACAAAACGAGCTACCGCAATAACAGACGAAACGCCGGCACAACTAGCAGAGGAACGCAGAACCTGGCGAAGGCGGAAGCGGAGCGAGGTCCTCGTCTTCGCGGCGCCGGCGCTGTCGACGGTCCTCGCGGACCCGCTGATGAGCATGTTCGACGCGCTGGTCTGCGGCCGGTCCTGCTCGACCTTAGAATTCGCGTCGCTCGGGCCGGCTTTAGCTGTGTTCAATTTTGTCAATTACGGTTTTTTCTTCCTCAACGCCGCCACGACGGTGAACGTCGCCGCCGCATTAGCCAGAGACAACAAGAAGGCGGCAACCGAAACATTGTCCGGGGCCGTGAGCGTCGCGGCGCTCTGCGGCCTCGCCGTCGCCGCGTTGATGGCTGTGTGGAAATCAAACAGTGAGTCGGGTGCACCCGATAATTCTTCCCTAAGTCATTTCTCGGCGATGACGCTGCCGTGCTGGCTCCGTCGAGCGGCGAGGCACACGGCACCGCCACGCCATCGAGCAGATATCATGAAGATGGCGTGGAGGACGACGCGACGACGCACGAACGCGCCGTAAAATTTTGATTTCCACACAGGTTGATGGTGGGCCTCGGCCCGCGCGTCGTCCGGCTGACGGGCTGCGTGCCCGAGCTCGTTCCGCGGAGCACGGCCTATCTAAGGGTGCGCGCCGTCGGCTCGCCCGTCGTGCTGGCGTCCATGGTCGCGCAGGCCGGGCTCCTCGCGCAGCGCGACTCGGCGACGCCCTTGCGGGCCGTGTCCATGGCCTGCGTCTTGAACATCGTGGGCGACTTATTGTTAGTGCCGAAGCTGGGCGCCGTCGGCGCCGCCTGGGCGACGCTTTTCTCCCAGGCCGCGTGCCTGCCGTACCTCCTCTGGTTGTCGAGAAAGCGCGATAGGTTGCCCGTCAAGCTGCGTCTACCGACGAAGGAGGCCGCCTCAAGCTTATTCAAGGCGGCGAAGCCGCTTTTTGTGTTCGAGATGGGCCTGTCCGTCTGCTACGGCGTGATCCAGTCGATGGGAACCCAATTTAGTGTGGCGGCGACGGCGGCCTTCCAGGCGCTCTGGAACCCGACGACGTTCCTGACGTTCGTCACCTATCCCCTAAAGCAGGCCGCGGCGGTGTTCCTGCCGGCGCTCGCGTCCGAACGGCCCGAGGACGTCGGCGGGCGGCCGAAGACGCAGCAGTTTTTGTTGATGCTCATGACCTGCGCCTGGCCCCTCGGGTTGTTGTTGGGCGGCGCGTCGTACGCGTGCGCGAACGCGCCCCACGTCTTCGCCCAGGACCGGAGCCTCGACGCGACGATCCGGTCCTTCGGGCCGCTCGTCGCCGGCGCGGCCTGTTTACTACCGTTCGTGCAGATCTCGGAGGGCACTTTGTTAGGAACGGGCGACCTGGGCTTTTTGTCACGGACGCAGATTTTGAACACGGCGACTGCCGTGGCGACGTTCTTCCTGACGAAGCGCACGGGCATGGGCGTCCGCGGGACCTTCGCCGTGCTCGGCGCCTTTTACATGTCGCGGCTGGCCCAGGGGCTGCTGCGCGTTTTCGTGTTTAGGCCGCCGTGGTGCGGGCCGGACGGTGACGCTGATGACGGGCGTGCCTGCGTAGTTTAAACTTATCCAAGTCGTATTCAACTCGTGTCCCTTCGGCGGGGTATGATGTTCTACTTCGTTCGACGGGATATGTTAGAACTCGTCTGCTCGACGCAGTGCTCGTGGTTTTCTGTTGACGTCGAGGGACAGCAAACAGAGATAGTGAGAGGGGGTCGCGTATTGTGACAAGCCTCACACCACGACCGCCATTGCTAATATAAACACTCTAGCAAAATCTCGTACGGTGTACGTAGACGTAAAAATTTAATTGCGAGCGCACAGCTGCCCTTAAAGCGTAGATGCAAGCATTCATAGAAATAAATGGGATGGCAGCCAAGTAAGATCGATGCGCGCAGTCCTAGCCACCCTCGCCCTCATCACGTCCAGCGCAGCGGCCCGCGGCAGCGAGATCTACCGCAACTACACGGACAAGCGAGACCGCTGCTTCGAGCATAGCAGAGATGGCCGGCCGGCGCAGCGCCGCTTGAAGAAGCAAACGGCCGACGCGTACGAAAAAGAAGGGAGACGAAGGGACGCGCTGCCGGCGTGCGGTGCCGCGCTCCCGGTGCCCGCGAGCCCACCATCGCTCTGGTGCCAAGCGCATCGACTGCGCTTTCCGACGCGATGCGGCCGCAGCGTGCTCTGCGTGCCGCAAAAAAACGGCAACCGCGACTTTAGCCTGCTCATCTACGCGATGACCTACGGGCAAATTCCGCAGCAGGAGATAAGCAAGGGCGAGAAAGGAAAGCACCCCGACGTGTGGATGACCACCGTCACGGCCACCGACACGGTCTACGTCGTGAGCCGGAACCCCTATACCCGGTTGCTCTCGACCTACCTGGATAAGGTACTCAGGTGCTTCGGCGAGGGTGAAAAGACGGGCAAGGAAGCGAGCGGGAACTGCGACCACGACCTGTTGGCGCAGTCGGGCGCCTTTCCCGACGAGATCGCTGAGATGGAACGTACTCCGAAGCACGCGCCGTCGTTCGCGGACTTCGTCAAGCTCGTCGAGGAGGCCACGGAGCGGTACGACCTCTGCCGGGTCGACCACCACCTCTGCCCCCAGAGCCAGGGCTGTTTGTTGGGCGGCGCGCGGCGGCTGCAGTTGCTGCGCCTGGAGCATATGCAGAGCTGGCTCCCCTGCTTGAACGAGACGTTAGGCCTCACGTTCTTGGAAGGAGCCGGCTGGCGGCGCTGGAAGTCGAAGCCCTGCTTCTACGGCGACTGCGGCGGCGCGGAAGCCTCGAACGTCGGCGCGGTGCACCCGACGGGCGCGAGCGACCGCGTCGGCGAGTTCTACGACGACAAGACGGCGGCGGCGGCGCTGCGGTTGTATCGGGAGGACTTTGAGATCCTCGGGTACCCGACGGCGCTGCCACTGACGAAGCCTGTGTAATATTTTGTGCTGTTTCTCTTCGTCGTCGAGGTCCGTATGTTCTAAAAGATCGCCCCAACAATTTCGTGCGGGGCTGGCAAATTGCCTTGTTTTTGGCTCTGCATCTCTCGTGAGACACATCGATGACGCCATGGGGATAGCAGTACGAGTTTGGGCAGCCGCCATGCTGCGGCTGCTGCTTTCTTTGTCGCTCGTCGCCGCGCGCCATGCTGCGGCGTGTTAGGCTGCTCGCCGTCGCGGCCGCCGTCGCGGCCGCCGTCCCGCGCGACTGCCCGTCGAAGCACCTGCGCCACGACGCCGTCGAGCGGCCGGCGACGTTCGCGCTCGACGCGCGGCTCGTCGACGCCCTGCGCGCGCCGGGCGTGGCCCTCGCGTGGCTCGGCGCCGTCCAAGGCGTCCGCTGGCGGAAGGTCCGGCCCTTCGCGTGCTCTTTCTTAGCGGCGACGAGCAAGGGCTCTTTGTTCGTCCTCGTTTGGAATCGGACCGCGACCGACCTGGCCGAGATCGCGGGGCTCGGCGAGCGCGTCCGCGCGCTCAGACTACCGCCGTCCGAGGACGCGTCCGCGCTCGTGCAACACGCGCGGTACCGGGCTTACGCGCACTTCCTCGCCGCGAACCCCGACGTCAAGACGCTCGGCGTCTCGGACGCGACGGACGTCGTCTTCCAGCGCGACCCGTTCGCGCTCGTGAGGGACCCGCGGCATCTCGTCGTCTCGGACGAGAGCGCGCGCTACACCGTCGCCTCGGAACCCTCGGGCGGCAACCGCTACTGGGTCCAGTGCCTCTACGGGCCGCCTCTCTTTCGGGTGGTGGGCGCGCGGCGCGTGAGCTGCTCGGGCGCGACGGCCGGGGGGCGGGACGCGATGCGCGCGTATTTAGAAACGATGGCGTCGGAGCTCGCGGCGCTGCTGCCGCCGCGCGTCATGCACGACATGCCCCGGTCGATTCCGTTCAATTTCTACCGAGGGTTCGACCAGGGCGTCCACAACGCGTTACTAGAGAGCGCCTTTGCTCTCGCGTATAACGTGACGCGGTCGGATTTGCTCTTCACGGGCAACGGCCAGCGCCTCGGGTCCGACTACGAGCTCCGCGACGGCGCCGTTTTTGTGAAGGGCGCCGCGGCGGCCGTCGTCCACCAGTGGAACCGCATGCTCGACGGCGGACCGGCCGCGGCCCGACGGCGCTGCCGCTGACGAAGCCTAGGTATTAATTTGTGTTGTTTCTCTTCGTCGTCGAAGTCCAGGGCTCGCGTTTAGGAAACGCGTGCTAGCGGCCTGTAAGACACTAGGCCTAGCCGAGCAGCAATTTTTTGTGGCTCTGCTCATGCACCTCAAGTACCTTGGGGGAAAACGAAACAATGTCAATCGTACGGACGTCATGAAACCCGGACAGACACGTCGATGAGTTTGGGCAGCCGCCAGACGATGATGCTGCTGCTGCTGCGGCTGCTGCTGCTACGCGCCGCCGAGGCCAAAGCCGAGGCCAAAGCCGAGGCCCGGTCGAAGCCCGCGTTTCGTCGGGGCGGCCCCACGGCGGCGATCGACCGCGGGATGCTGGCGACGAGGCCTGCACAAAATGTGTCGGCAGCCACGGCGGCGATCGACCGCTGGTTCCAGATCCACCAGAACAACGAGAGCTACGCGCCCAAAGCCTGGACCGTCGCCAAGCCCGACGACGTGCCGCGGCCGTGGCACGAGATCGGTGCGTCGAGCAAGTCCAAGACCGTGTATCGAGCCACCGTGAATGGTAAATCGGTGATAGTGAAGGGCCGGAAGATGCGAAAGGATGGATGGACGGGCGACGCGAGACACGACCAGGGGGGCGGCGTGCTGTACCTGGAGATGGTGTACCTCGAGGCGCTCCGCGGCCGACCGGGCATCCCCGAGCTGCTGGGCGCGTGGTGGGACGGGCCGCACGTCGTGCTCGTCGTCGCGGACGGCGGCGAGGCCATTGGCGAGGGGCCCTCGGGCGTCGGCACGGCCCCGAACGTCATGACGGCTGCCTTCGACGCGCGCGCGCGAAACCAGCCGCTGGCGCTGGCGAGGTCCATCCTGGAGTGCTTCGGCTCTTGGGCTTTGGATTTCTTGCAGGACGACCTCAAAGCCCAACAGTTCACGATGGATGCACATGGCACGGTCTTCATGGTCGACGGCCCGAAGGTCGCGCCGGACCGGCCCCTCGGGCGGGCCATCCATGAAGCTTGGGGCAAGAAGGTTGATCACGGCTCGAAGGGTGACCACGGCGCCCTGGACGGGGCGAAGCATAAATGTAAGAGGGACGCGGACTGCCCCTTCACGAAGGAGAGCCATTCATGCCGCGGCGCCGGCACGTGCGCGCCCGGGACGCGCGGCGCGCCGGAGGCGCGCGGGAAGTGCCACAACACGCATTACCAGCAGGGCCCGCAGCACTCGCAGCACCACCACCTCCACCACTGCGTGCCGCTCTCGGAGAAGACGCACGTCTACGACGTCGCCAATCGACCTTGGTTGTTGCCTTACATAGCGGCCAAGGCCGCGGACCCGGCCGCGGGGGAGTTCCTGCGGAGCTTGATTCGCCTCGCGGGGCGCGGCCGGCCGGACGACCGACCGTCCTTCCGGGAGCTCGTGGACCGCATCGACGCGTTCGTGAAGGCGCCCGTGCCGTTCAAGCTGGGCCCGAAGGCGTGCTTGTACGAGTCGGAGGTGATTCAGAGCAACAAGCGGCGCCGCAAGGCCTTCTGGGACTACGCGTCGGTGTCCTTCACGGACCTCGGCCACGCCGGCGGCGTCCTCGTGGACGGCGTGGTCCAGCGGCTCTGCGACGACCGGGGCCTGGCGTGCTGGCAGTCCCAGGTCGACGGCCACGGCAAGGACGTGCCCGTACCCGCGCACCTCGGCGAAGAGGTCGTGGATCGCACGAAGAACAAGTACGGGCCGCTCACGGCAGAGGACGCGGAGGACTCCGGGTCCCTCGATATTCTGGATGGCGAATTTCCCTTCAACGTCACGCGCGTGCACCAGGCGTTGCCGCCGAAGGTCTTCGCGTTCACGGTCGTCGAGGACGCGTGGCGCGTCGTGGAGTCCTTGTACGTCGACGGCGGCCGCGCGGACGACCCCGACGCGTTCGTCAACGCGTCGTTCCCGCACGGCGTCCAGCGCCACGTGCAGCGGCTCGCCGGGCTGCAGTTCGTCCCCGGCTCCGCGATCACGCGGAGCCAGTGCGACCGCGCGCTCCGCAACCTCGACGAGTTCGATTTAATCGTAGACGCTGCGTCCCTGGCGACGGGCGGCCTGCGCGACCTCGCGGCGGTGTTGCACGGCCTCTACGACGTCGAGGCGCCGCGAGTCGCCACCGTGAAGCCCGTCGGCGACCTGGCCGTGGCGCCATCACTACGAGCGCGCGTCCTCGAGGACAGCTGGTGCCACGCCGAGGTCTACGCCGCCGCCCGGTCGAAGCCCGCGTTTCGTCAGGGCGGCTTCTTCCGGGCGCGCGGGACATTGGCGACGTGGCCTGCACAAAATGTGTCGGCCCCCACGGCGGCGATCGACCGTTTCTTCCGGGCGCGCGAGACGCCGGCGCCGTGGAGGATACAAAATGTGTCGGCCCCGTGGAAACAAATAGGCCACGCTTCGAAGGCCAAGGTCGTCTACCGCGCGCGCGTCGACGGAAGGCCCGTAATCGTCAAGCAGAACCGCAAGTCCGGCGACGGCGGCGGTACGACGTTGTACATGGAATTGGTATATCTCGAGTCCCTGCGCGGGCGGCCGGGCGTCCCCGAGCTCCTCGGGGCGTGGTGGGAGGCGTCGCGGCTCACGTACGCCACCGTCGACGGCGGCGAGCCCATTTCTGCCGAAGTGCCGCCTTTACGAACCGGCGCCCGGAGGTTCGCGACATGGGCCCAGAAGCGCCCGCTCCGACTGGCGCGGTCGCTGCTCGCCTGCTTTTGGAGCTGGGCGTCGGCCGGCTGGTTCCTCGACGACTTCAAGGACCACCAGTTCACGCTTACCGACGACGGTGACGTGTACCTGGTGGACGGGCCGCGGGCCCTGGCCACGTCGCCCGTCGCCCGGGCCGCGGTTCGTGAATGGTCGAAGGTCTCGCAGCTGCAGGCCGACTCCGTGGTAAAGTGTGCTCGGGACGCCGACTGCCCGCGCACGCACTACTCGCACTCGTGCAGCGACCCGGACCACGCATGCGAGCCCGGGGCGCGCGCCGCGCCGGAGGCGGGGGGGAAATGCCTCGCCGGTACGTGCATGCGGCTGTCCGAGAAGACGCACGTCTTCGACGTGGCGAACCGCCCGTGGCTCCTGCCCGGCATCGCGGCCAGGGCCGAGGATCCGGCCGCGGGGGACTTTTTGCGGAGCTTGATACGCCTCGCGAACCAAACGCTGCCCGAGGACCGCCCGTCCTTCGCTGAGCTCCTGGACCGCCTCGACCAGTTCGAGAAGTCGCATCGACGGCGGGCGTGATATTGTGGTAATTTTTGTGAACTGATAAATACTTAACAACGACGCCGCCTTCGGAGACCAGTCGAGGCGGCGTCGCCTGCCGAGGCCGTCGATGCGGTGCGGACGCGGTGGCCGGCGCTCGTCCCGTCGACGTAGCCGTGTTATTCATACAAGGTATATATACATACTTGCGCCTAAGACTGGGGGCCTCCACCGCCACGCCGTCGCCTCGACTGGGATGTCATGCACTCGCGGCGGCGCCCGCGGCGAGGTCCTCCTCCGGCGGAGCCCTGAGACGTCGCGGACGAGTCGGAGAACGCGGCACGGGCAGTGTGTTGCAAGCCGCGCAGCTCTAGAGCTTGAGGCAGTGGCGGCGCGGGTGGAGATGTACCCCGACGACGTGCCCGCGGCCGAAGATAGGCGGATGTGCGAGGGCAAGGAGCCCGAGCCGTCCGAGGAGAAGAAGGACGACTCGCCGCCGCGGCGCCGGCGGAAGAAGCGCGGCGACTCGGATTCGGACTACTCCGACGACTTTTCCTAAGGTATCATAAAGTTACTACAAGTAAGCGAGACACGGAAGGTAGAAGGCTCAGGTTAGTTACGTCGCGGGGTCCCCCGTACCCCTCCCGCAGAAGGGCTAGTGTCTTTACAGGCCGCTAGCTCGGTTGGGCCTTGTGCATTTTTTACGCGCATTGATCCGCCACTATGTCCATGATGCAAATGCTCATGGCCAGCCACATCTCCGAGGGCCTTGGTCCTGTGCCTCCCATCCCAGTCGAGGACAAGCCTTGGCTCACCGAGGAGGTGGACAAGGGCACGGTGGTGCGCCGCGCGGTGAAAGAGAGGCTGACGCCGATGGGTTCCCAGCCGGGATGCATTCATCAAACGGCACGCCTGTGCTTTGACAGCGAGCGGCCGATCACGGCGGTCCGCGCCTGGCTCATCGACAATGTTGGGGAAAGCGGCGAGCCCGTGATTACCAGCCTGGCCTTCCGCTACCGCGGCAGCGACGCGTTCATACCCGACGCGCCGGATGCGGCCGACGATGCGGCGCGGCGCGGCCGCGATCCGCAGACCTTTCGGGAGCAGACGGAGACGCTCGCAGCCGGCGAGTCCATCGTCGCCGTGAAGTGCAGCTCGACGGCGATAGAATTTACGTCAGAAATTACCTTCCAAACGAGCCAAGGCCGTGCAATCGTTTTCGGCTCGCATGGCACCATCATTCCGTGGGGCCCGCCCGACGAGATGAGCACTGACGGGGCGCCTCTCGTCGGATTCGTGGCGCTGCGGACGGTCTTAGCGCCGTGGGTCGATTGGCGGAGCCCGAACATGGAGGCCATTGACGTGTATGGCGGCGCGACGCTGGTGCCAATCGCGTGCTACTTCTCGACCGCCTGGAAGCGACGCCGGTCCCTCGTTCTGCTGAAGGCGCTGGTCAAGAAGGACAGGGCCAAGGCTCCTGGCTCGCTCTGGTTGCGCGTCCTCGACGCGGACTTCGAGGAGGGCCTCTGGCGCCACGTCGTGCGCTGCTTGTAGACTAAGTTGTGAGTTTGTGAAGAGAGCGCACCCGATAAACCACAAAAGACAATTAAACCGAAGCAAGGAGCACGCGCTCCCGGACGCGCGCCCCGCCGCGCCGGCCCGCCGCACTCATCTTCGGGTCGCGGAACGGCGCCGCCAGCGCTCCCAACAAATCGCAGGCCGCGGCGCCCGTCGCGGCGGTCCGCCACGTGATCGGCCAGCCCGGCTCGCGCCGGTTCCGGGGCGTCCCGCGCACGACCTCGACCAACCCGGCCGCCAAGTGCCGCGCGCAGTTCTCTCTTGATAACAATTCGGCGAGCGTCGCGTTCGCGGTATGGTGCGTCCGCTGGTTCAACGCAGAATCCAGAAGGGGCAGGCGCTGCCTCAATGACGTTAAGACGGTCGCGACGTAGCTGCCCATGCACTCGCCACATAATAGATTATCAGCAACTCCTCGCGAGTTCTCTAACAATTCATTGCGCCAATCTACATGGTCGGTGATGGCGTCGAGCGTCGCCTTGGCGGTGGACACGTTGACGGTCACGTGCGTCCGCCCGTCCCTCAACCCGGCCGAGTACCACTGCAGCGCGCCGCCCGGCTCTAGGAGCGGCCCGGCCCAGAAGACGACGACGGCCCCCAGCAGCCAGAGGTGGTTTAAGTTCCTCGAATAGCTCCCCGTCGTGCTACCAGGCAGATCCAGCAGGAACTGGAACGCGTTGAACTTCCCATGGTTCATGAACCGCCCCTGGACCGCCCTACAACCCGAATCTCGTATTTTAGCTAAGTCGTCGTTCTGCGGTAAGACCTTCCGACACAAGTCTTGAGATAAAGACCGGATCGGCCGCGGTCGACACGTATTCGTGCGCACGTCAAATTTCTTGGAGTCGTGCGTGGTTAATGAAGCCGCCTGCAACCGCGCGTAGTTCCCCGCTTCTCTCGCACAATCTCGCTCCTTATTAATCACGGCCTCCCGACCTCGAATCTTGCCCCGCCAAAACAACTGGGGCCGCCGATTCTCCCACTTTCGTCTTCTACCCAAAGACACAAGCGCTGACCGCTCCCGCTCCCAGTTTCGATACAGGTCCCCGAAGTACGGATTCGGCACCAAAACCCCACATTGTTTTTCGCCGTTCTTCTTGGCTATCACGAGCTTCGGCAGGTGCGGGTCGCATTCGTGACTGGGGCCACTCGCGCCCTCGTCGAACGTATATACGACGTTCTTTATCAGGTCGCTCTTCTTCCCCAAAACTGAATTCATGAACCGCAGATGCAGTTCGCGCTTCATCTCGCCCAGATACGCCTTGTGGACAAATAATCTACCTTGCAAGATCCATATGGCGTGCGTCTTGTCCAGGAGGGCGCTTCGTAACGCTAGTTTCGTGCTCTTATGGGACTCGTCTATAGAATAGCGTGCCACATCCCGCATCGCGTGGTCCATAACTCTACGTTTCGCGGCGTCCCAGTCGTACGTTTCATTCCTATGGGCTTGATAGGGGCTCGCTCGGTCGTAGTCGACGGGTGCGCTCGGCGGCTTCCTCCACCGTCCTCTTGTGAATGCAGCCTGGACGGCGGCCATCCCGAACTCGGCGACGCCCACCTCCGCGTGCCGCGCCGCCGTCTCGGCGTCGCGCCGCAGCTTGGCCATGCGCGCGGCCCGGCGCGCGGCCTTGCGCGCGGCGAGCTCGCACTTCCGCCGGGCCTCCTCGGGCTGCAGGTAGCGCTTCGCCGTGCCGCATTCGGATTTGACGAGCACGCCCGAGCCCGCGTATATGTTATCCGCCGGCGCGTACGCGTACTGGGATTGCAGCGACTCGTTGAGAGCGAGCGCGCACGTGCGCCCCCGGTCAGGCTCGACGCCGTTGAAGCGGTAGAGCGCGTGCCGGAGCGCGTCGCCCGGGCGCGCGCAGGACGCGTCGAAGCGGTCGCCCCCGTCGCTTCCCAGAACGCGGGCCACGAGCGCCGGGACGCGGGCCGCGTCGCGCGCGCCGACCGCGGCCTCGAGCGCCGAGAAGTGCAAGTCATAATCCTTTAGCGTTTCGTACACGCGGTCGAAGTGGCACATCCAGGCGTAGTCGCCCTTCTGGAGGGGCCGGACGGCGGACCCGTCGGCCGCGCGGAACGGGCCGGCCACGGGCGTCACGTACAAATGGGGCAGCGCGAGCGGCGCCGCGAGGCAGCCCGACGCGCTGAAGAGGGCCGCGCAGGTGGCGTCGGCGGCGCAGCCCCGGGCCGGGAGCGCGCCGTCCGCGATGCGCCGCGCGACCTCGGGCAGGAAGCGCTCCCGCGCGCTCGCGTAGTTCGCGAAGACGCCGTCGGAGAGACGGAACTTCGGATGGTCGCGGCGCCAGAGCTCGGCGAGCGACTTCCACAGCGCGTACTGGTCCGCCGGGCCGCAGCGGTTGCGCCACCACGCCCCGACGAGCTCGCGCGCCCAGGCCGTGTTCCGCAGGACCAGCACGCCGCCGTTCACGAGGACGGGCTTGCCGACGTTCGAGGCGCCGAAGACGTCGCTCGCGGCGTCCAGCGCGAGCCACGCCTCCGGGGGCGCGGCGTCGAGGGCGGGCACCGCGTCGACGTCGAGCGCCGTCACCGACTCGTACTCGGTGCGGCGCATGACGACGCCGAGGCCCGCGGCCTTGAGGGCGTGCAGGGTCTGGCCGCCGGCGCCGGCGTCGCAGCGCGGGCCGTTCGCCTTCGCGGTGCCCCGCCCGAAGGCGAGGTAGTAGGCCACGCCCGCGGCCCGGGCCCAGGCGGCCTTCGCCTCGACGTACTTGTACCGCGGCAGGCCGCCCGGGATTGGCGCCACGAGGTAGGCGGCGTCCGTCGCTACTGTTAATGCCGCGTGCGTCGACGCCGCCGCTTTCTGATCGGCGAAAACCACCTCGCAGAGCAACACGCGGTCGCTCGCGCAGCGGCGTCCACTACTTTGCGCGTTCCACAGGTCGCACTCGCGGGCGCCGTCTCTCAAAATGGCTTTGGCACCATGATGGATGGAGATGCGGCAGCCCTCGCGGACGAAGGCCAGGTCCTCTGCCGCGGCCCGCGCGGCGGCGAGGAGGAGCCAGCGCTTCATCATGACTGATGGCGCAGCATCGTTACGAATATGCGCGATGCAGTGCGCCTGCTTTTGCACGGCGCCGCAATCGCTTGTTTTCAAACGCTGCCCAGTGATGAGACGTCGAGCGGTGACGCACAAGGGCAGCCTGGTCAAGCAGTGCCACAAAAAATAGATTGCTTGCCATCCCTAGTGTCTTACAGCTAGGTCATTATCGGAGCAATATCTCCGGCGCGCCAAGCGACTCTCTCTCTACTAAGATGAACAACGATCTAGAGTAAACACAAAACGTTAGTCGTCGGGCGGGTCGTCGTCCTCGACGAGGGCCCGCGGCCGCGGCGTCGATTTTCGTAAAGAGGGCCGCGGCGCCTTCGTCGGCTCGAAACAAAATCGAGACGGCGCGTAGTTCCGTTCAAGATGGGGTGGAAGCGGGTCGCAGTAGCGCTTCCGCATCAAAAGCCGCCGCGCTTTTCGAGTGAACTGGAACGACTTTGTTAAAGGGCAGTACTCGAACGAGTCCCGGAGCTTGCGGTAGTGCTCGACGGCGTTGCGGTGGCGGAGTTCGCCGGAAGTCCGCGCCAGAGCTTTGTACGTGGCCAGCTTCCGTTCTAGGACGGGGATCGTGATCTTCGTGAAGCCGAAGTGCGCGACGGCGGGTCCGCGGAAGATCGTCACGCCCTCGCAATTCATCGCTTTCTGAGCGTGGACGTGGCGTAGCATACGACGCGTACCGCACGCGACGGAGTGGGCGTTGATGTACCTTAGTCTCTTTCCCGCCGCGTCGACGGCCGGCACGAGCGTGTACTTGTTGACGTTCGTATCGAGCAAGCCTCCCGTCAATCTACAAGAGCGGGGAAACTGGTAGTCGATTGATGAGCGATTGTTCATCTTTGCTGCTCTAGGTAGTGGTCTCAGACTGTTGAGGTGCCAGTCGTACGCGACGCGGTCGACCATCTGGCCACTGAGCAGCCCTCCCTGGTCCATGATCTCGAGCACTTCGCAGGGAAAGGCGAAGAACTCGTCCAGATCGGGGTAGACGAGCCAGGCGTCGTTCGGCAAGCTCAGGAGGAACTGGTTGGCCGCATCGCGCTTCGTCTGACTGGACCACTCGTTCGAGACTTTGTACTGGATCTCGTACCGCCTCAAATACACCAGCGTCTTCTCCAGAGCAACTGGCCCGCTCGCGTTGTGTACAAAGATACGCCCCTGGTTCTTCAGATCCAAACCGAGGTGGCGGTAGTACCTTAACGCATGCCCGAGCAGGTGGTAGAGGTCCGCCGCGACAAACGAAAAAAAATGCACGCGATTCGCGTAGATCGGCGGGAAGCGCTGGAGCGTGCAGTTCGACTTGAGTATTGTCGTCGGCGGCGTCGACGCGTTGTAGGCGTGCGCCGTCTCGGCGTCGCGCCGCAGCTTGGCCGGGCGCGCGGCCCGGCGCGCGGCCTTGAGCTCGCACTTCCGGGCCTCCTCGGGCTGCAGGTAGCGCTTCGCCGTGCCGCATTTGGATTTGACGAGCACGCCCGGTCCCGCGTATCTTATGTTATCCGCGGGCGCGTACGCGTACTGGGATTGCAGCGACTCGTTGAGAGCGAGCGCGCACGTGCGCCCCCGGTCAGGCTCGACGCCGTTGAAGCGGTAGAGCGCGTGCCGGAGCGCGTCGCCCGGGCGCGCGCAGGACGCGTCGAAGCGGTCGCCCCCGTCCTTTCCCAGAACGCGGGCGACGAGCGCGGGGACGCGGGCCGCGTCGCGCGCGCCGACCGCGGCCTCGAGCGCCGCGAAGCGCAGGTCATAATCCTTTAGCGTTTCGTACACGCGGTCGAAGTGGCACATCCAGGCGTGGTCGCCCTTCTGGAGGGGCCGGACGGCGGACCCGTCGGCCGCGCGGAACGGGCCGGCCACGGGCGTCACGTACAAATTGGGCAGCGCGAGCGGCGCCGCGAGGCAGCCCGACGCGCTGAAGAGGGCCGCGCAGGTGGCGTCGGCGGCGCAGCCCCGGGCCGGGAGCGCGCCGTCCGCGATGCGCCGCGCGACCTCGGGCAGGAAGCGCTCCCGCGCGCTCGCGTAGTTCGCGAAGACGCCGTCGGAGAGACGGAACTTCGGGTGGTCGCGGCGCCAGAGCTCGGCGAGCGACTTCCACAGCGCGTACTGGTCCGCCGGGCCGCAGCGGTTGCGCCACCACGCCCCGACGAGCTCGCGCGCCCAGGCCGTGTTCCGCAGGACCAGCACGCCGCCGTTCACGAGGACGGGCTTGCCGACGTTCGAGGCGCCGAAGACGTCGCTCGCGGCGTCCAGCGCGAGCCACGCCTCCGGGGGCGCGGCGTCGAGGGCGGGCACCGCGTCGACGTCGAGCGCCGTCACCGACTCGTACTCGGTGCGGCGCATGACGACGCCGAGGCCCGCGGCCTTGAGGGCGTGCAGGGTCTGGCCGCCGGCGCCGGCGTCGCAGCGCGGGCCGTTCGCCTTCGCGGTGCCCCGCCCGAAGGCGAGGTAGTAGGCCACGCCCGCGGCCCGGGCCCAGGCGGCCTTCGCCTCGACGTACTTGTACCGCGGCAGGCCGCCCGGGATTGGCGCCACGAGGTAGGCGGCGTCCGTCGCTACTGTTAATGCCGCGTGCGTCGACCCCGCGGCATTTTCTTGGCCCGCGAAGCCCACCTCGCAGAGGAGTACACGGTCGCTCGCGCAGCGGCGGCCACTACTTTGCGCGTTCCATACATCGCACTCGCGGGCGCCGTCTCTCAAAATGGCTCTGGCACCATGGATGGAGATGCGGCAGCCCTCGCGGACGAAGGCCAGGTCCTCTGCCGCGGCCAGCGCGGCGAGGAGCAGCCAGCGCTTCATCATGACTGATGGCGCAGCATCGTTACGAATATGCGCGATGCAGTGCGCCTGCTTTTGCACGGCGCCGCAATCGCTTGTTTTCAAACGCTGCCCAGTGATGAGACGTCGAGCGGTGACGCACAAGGGCAGCCTGGTCAAGCACTCTGTGAGGCATTCTGTGCCACAAAAAATTGCTTGCCATCCCTAGTGTCTTACAGACCGCTAGCCTACGCGGCGCGACTCCCTGGCCGAGTCGTCGCCGACGGAACTCGCCGATGTTACTGTTATCGATGTCGCGGACGGCACCGCGACGCCGCCGACCGTCTCCGCGAAACGCTTGGATACAGCGGCAGTCGCGACGCCGCGGTCCGACCCTTTTTTTTTTTTTTTACACATCAACGCATTCATAGGCACCCCGGGGCCGCGGCGCTCAGGGCCGGTAGACGCGGCACGCGGCCGCGGGCGCCGGCCCGGGCGCGGCCGCGCGGCTCCGGTTCTCGAGCGCGCGCGCGCCGCGCGCGTCGACGCGGTGGAACGCGAGGAGGTTTCCCGGCAGGGGCCCGGCGTAGTCCGACGCCGGGTAGGGCGCCGCGCCGTGGTGGCCGTTGTTGTAGAGCGCGAGGGCGCCGCCCGCGCCGGGTGCGCAGGGCAGCTCGAGGGCCGCGAAGGCCTGGCGGCACTTGCGCGGGCACTCCGGGTTGGCGTCGCGCGCGCCGGAGCGCTGCGCGCACCAGCGCACGAGCAGGTCGTTGTTGTAGGGGGCCTCGGCCGCGCAGGACGAGCCGTCGGCGCGGTGGCATTTCGCGCGACCGCCGAGGCGCCGCTTACCCCCCGTGTCGCCCTTGTCGCCCTTGTGAGGGTGGACGTGGGGCTGCGCCAGGAACTCGAGGAGCGCCGCGCGGCACCGGTCCACGAAGGTCGCGTTGCCCACGACCGCCTCGACGAAGCGCCGGTTCATGACCAGGAAGGGGCCCTCGTAGCCGCCGGCGAAGAAGGGCGCCGCGTGCGCGTCCGGGAACTTGTGTTCGATGGCCTCGAGGTACGCGTGGAGCCGCGCCGCGTGCCACCAGACGTCCTGCTCCGTGGTGACGAACCAGTCGGCGTCGGCGGGCGCCGCGCCGAGCAGCTGCAGGTGGAGGTGCTCGCGCTTGAGCTGCGCGGACGAGAGGTCCCCCCCCAAGTTCGCCTCGGCGCACGGCCGATACGCCCGGCCGGCGCAGGCCGCGGGCAGCGCCGCGTCTCGCTCGTCGCCGAAGAAGGCCACCGCTTTGAGGCCCCGCACCCAGGTATCGCACTGCGCCTCCACTAATCCGGCCGCGCGGCAGCCGCCGCCCGCGCAGGCCTCAAGCGCCGCGGCCTCGACCTCGACGGCCACGAAGAGGCGCTCCGCCACCGGCCGCCGGGCCGCCACGGCGGCCGCGAGCAGCGGCGCGAGCCGATGCATGCGTTATCGGTGGCCCATCGAAGGGCAGCCGATTTATCGACGCTACTTTGTAAACCAGTTTATAACACAACACACTCGTATGTATATGTATATACATCATAAAAAAGGACAGGAAAAGTTAGCTTTTCCCAAATGAAATATTTTCCATTTCATCAAGCACCACATGATGATCGAGCAATTTTTGGCGCACACGGCGCGCCAGTACGGCCGCGCGCGATGACTGCATGGCCCGGTGCGCAGCCGCAGTCGCACTGGTAGCCTGCGCCGCGGCGCAGCCGCTGCGACGGCGCTTCGCCACGCCGCCGGTGCTCTGGACGGTGCCCGGCTCGGGCTCCACGATGACGCGGCTCTTCCTTGACGCCGCGCTCGGCGGGCAGAGTGGCAGCGTCTACCACGACAAGTCCCTCATGGCCGTGCTGCCTGGCGAGGCGCGCTGCGCCGCGAACCAGACGACCATCAAGGCTCACCCGAAGGGCTTCGCCTTCACGCGCCTCTTCCGCAACGGCTCGCTGCCGTGCCCTTGGCCGCGCTTCGGGGCGGCCCTGGTGGTCGTGCGCCGGCCCCTCGACGCCATCTGGGCCGAGTACCAGCGCAAGACCGTAGCCAGGCTCTACGGGCGCGGCGAACGGCACGTCGGCCGCGTGCGGGAGAAGGACTGGGTGTCAAAAAATCTCCAGGCGGACTTCGACGCCTTCGCCGTGCGCATGGCGCGCGACACGGCCCGCTGGCACGCGCGCGACTACGCGCGCCTTTGCGAATTGCCGCACGTCGTCGTCTGCTTCGAGGACCTCGTCGACTGGCGCGGCGGCGGCGCCTCGCGCGCGGCCGCCGCCTACGACACCCTCGCGGCCTTCGTCGCCGCGGACGGCGAGGCCGTCGCCGACGGCGTGTCGCGCGCGCGCGCCACGGACGCCGCGCGCGCCGCGCGCCGGCCTCCCGTCCGCGCGGGCGAGGTCGCGAACCCCTGGACCAACGCCACGCGCGCCGCGGCGCTCGCAGCCCTCGGGCGCCCGGCACTCGTCGACCGCTGCGCCGTGGCCCACGCGCCCGGTGGCTGGACGGCGCTCGCGCCGAGCTGCGCGGGCCTGCAGAAGCGATAATTAGTCTGCCTCGTCTCAGGTGGGAACTGCGAGCCAGTCGACGTAGTGCCTCTGGAGTCTCCGACTCGGAGTCGGCAAGGCCGCTCGGGAGACATAGCACGTGACATAGCCACTGTGCACAGCGGTCGACTACTAGTAGCACTCGACGCGTCGATCGAGGCGAATCTGGGAATTGTCTCGTACATCTAGAAGGTGATTAGTCATATACGAGATAATGTTCACCCTAGTTTTGTGCGGGGTTCAGCACCCGCTGATACCGTCCGCGATCTCCTCCATGACGACGAAGGCAATCGCTTCCGCGGGCACCGTGAGCTTCGTCGAGCCGTCGACCGACCGCCCGTCGAGCGCGGGCAGCTCGCCTTTTTTGGAGACTGCCAGGACGGCGCCGCCGTTGAGCACCGTCCTTCCGGGATGCGGGTTCGCTAGCGTCGAGCCGGTCGTCAGCCCGTCGGGCGACGTCAGCACGTACTCCGCGCGCGTGCCGTGCGAGGGGAGCGTCAAGGTGACGTTGTCGCCGTCGAAGTTCACGAGAAGCAGGGTGTAGCCCGACGCGCCTTTGGAGCAGTGGGCGTAGGCAGAGAAGCCTTCGGGACCGCGCGCGGTCACGCCGAGGACCGACGGCCCCATCAGCCGCTTGTGGAGGACCGCGACCCAGTACCCGGGCGTCGGGGCGAGCTTGTGCTTGTGTGTGGTCGTGCCGAGGAGGCCGTAGACGGCGCCGACGAGGGTCTGGCGCGCGAAGACGCGGACGCCTTGCTTGGCGACGCGGCCGAGCGCGTCGGCGTACCACAAGGCCCCGACGTGCGCGTCGACGGCTCCGTAGCCCGTGCCCTCCTTGTTGTGCGTGCAGGGCGCCCCGGCGATGAGCTGCACGGGTTTGCCTAACGACTCGCCTAGCTCGACGAAGTGCTTGGATGTCGTGTCGAGCGTCGCGCGGTGCGCCGGTTCCACCATGAACGCCGCCGTTTGCTTCGGGTCAAATTTGCACCTGCCGGAGCCGCTGTACGAGCCGTGATTTTCAGGCGCGCGTCTCCAGGCGTTGTTCATGTAGTACGAGAAGGCGACGACATCTATAGAGTCCTTGCTTGCCTGGTAAATCGGGTCGGTAACCGTCGTCTTGTCCTGGTCCGAGTCCTGGTTCAGGACGCCGTAGACGAGCGTCTTCTTGGACGGGAGCGCGGCCTTCATGATGGCGAGGTCGTTTGCCATCTGCTCGGGCGTGATGTCGAACCCTACCTGTGTGGAAATCAAAGTTCGGGCGCCCCACGCCATCGACGCGATATTTTCTCCGTAGCTGCGTCTGCTCGATGGCGGCCCAACTCACTGGTTGATTTCCACACAGCTCTCGACCTTCTTCCCCTTCTCCGGCAATTCCTCGAAGAGCATCGCTCCCTTCAGCGCCGAGCCCGCGGCTTCGAGGAGCCCCTTCGCGTCGTTGGCGTCCCAGGGCTCGTACGCGGCCGACGAGTGCCCGCGGCCAAAGGCCATGTTCAGGTGCCACACGAGGTCAGTCCCCGTGTCCGCCGCGAAATCTAACAAAGTCTTGAACAGCGCCGGCTCCAGATTGCCGTAGTACGTCTTACCCTCGCAGTAGGTCGACAAGTAGTTGTCAGCTGATGACTTCGGAGACGAGCCGGGGTCGAAGCCGTCGGCGTACGAGATGCAGTTGCTGTTGCCTCCCGTAATAACGAACAGCGCCGGCGCCAGCTCCTTCACGAGGGCCTTGAGCGCCGGACTAGTGAAGTCGACGGGGTACGGGTAGCTCGGGTACTTCTTGACGACCTCGAGGCTCGCCGGGTCGACGACGAAGCTGACGTAGTTCGGGTCCACGCTTCCGAGGCCGCCCTCGACGGTCAGGGACCAACGATCTCCTGCGAGTCCGACGGGAGCCTGGCGCGTCGACGGCGTCACGGCCGCGAGCAGCCCGAGAGCGAACGAAGCCGCGGCGGCGCCGGCCAGGATGCCCTTGATGCTACTACCGGGCTTCTCGGGCTTGACGAGCTCTTTCGTCGCGAGGAGCGCGCCCGCGGCCTCGCCGTCGCCCGGCGCCGCGCGCGTCATCGTGCTTTCGGCCATCGTAAATCTCCTGAACTTATTGCCCTGCCCTGCCCCTGGCTAGTTTCGCTGCGTGTGGCGGCGGCGCAAGCAAGACCGATAATTGCCTCAAGTCCGCGTGTGAAATTGATGTCGCCGCGATAGTAACGCCGAACACATGAGTGGTGCTGCATCATTATTATATCAATCTATCATTGGTGTATAGACGAGTGCTGTGTCTCGCGTGCAAAATGCGCAGCTAGCCGCTACACGCGAGGCGACGCGGAGAGCTAGCGGCCTGTAAGACTCTAGCATCGCTCTCTTTGAGCTCGAGTCGGCGTGCCTGAATGACACCGCACACTGCGCACGCGACGCCGTAAAGAAATGCAGGCGTTGTGTAATTGGTGCCGATCCATCGCTGCGGCATAACGGGCAGCTAAAAGCAAAGGGGCAGCCAGGCACCATGCGGCTGCTGTACGCCATAGCACCTCTCCTCGTCGCGGCCAAGAGTCGACTGGCCATGCGGCTTGACGACAACGCATTACTACGTCGCGCCAAGGCGATCGACGACTGGTTCGCCGCGCCGACGAATCGCACGACGCCGGTCGCCTGGACCGTTCGACGGAAGAGCGACGTCCAACTCTGGGAAAAAATCTCGAGCAAGGCCAAGACGGTGTACCGCGGCAGCATGCGGGGCGCGCCCGTCATCGTCAAGGGGAAGGGCCGCCACGCGGCGCAGGGCGACTACGGCGGCGACGTGCTCTGGGAGGAGATGATTTATTTGGAGGCGCTGCGCGGCGAGCCGGGCATCGTCCCCCTGCACGGCGCCTGGTTCTCGGACGACGCGCGGCACGTGAGCTTCGTGGTGGGCGACTGCGGGCCGCCGATCGGGAAGACGTCTCGGGACAAGCCCCCGCTCATGTCGCGCGCGTTCGACAAGCGCGCGCGGAAGAGACCGCTGGAGCTGGCGAAGGCAATTCTAGAGTGCTTTGGTGCCTGGGCGTCGCGCGGATACATATTGGACGACTTCAAGGCGCAGCAGTTCGCGATGGATGATGCTGACGGGACGGTTTGCATGGTCGACGGCCCGAAACGGCTCACGGAGTCGCCGCTAGGTAAAGCCGCGCTGCGTCGGTGGCCGCTCAAGGGTGTGGGTCGCCGCTCGGTGCCTCGGGTGCTCAACAACACCGCCCGAGCGTGCCGCAAGGATACGGATTGCCCGGCCTTCAAGGAAAACTTGAGCTGCCGCGGCGAGCCCGGCATCCACACCCCGTGCGAGACGGGCGCCGTCGGCGCGCCCGAGAGCCGCGGGACGTGCCTCGATGGAGCGTGCTTGCTCTTGTCGGAGAAGACACACGTCTTCGACGTGGCGAACCGTCCATGGTTACTCCCGTTCATCCACGACCGCGCGACGAGCGGGCCCGAGCGCGAGTTGCTGGGGGAGCTGATGCGCCTCGCGAACCAGCGGCGCCCCGAGGACCGCCCGTCCTTCGCGGAGCTCGTGGACCGCATCGACCAGTTCGCGACGCGACCGCGGCATTAATTCATTCACATACTAATTTATCCCACTAGAAGAGGTCATGCAGTGGTAGGGCCGCGGCCACCGGTCGCAGCTTGACGAGGAACCCGGGGCCGTCGCGGACGACGACTTCGGCGCGTACATCGACTCGAACGAGCGCGCGGCCTGGGCCGGCGACGTCGACGCTGCCGCGCCGACGCTCGCGCCGACGGCCTCGGGGTTGTCCGTGCGCACACTCGCTCCGTGCGATGACGTGTCGCGCGTCTTGACGGCCGCTCCTACCATCGCCGCGCACGAGGCCACGGGCGCGTAGACGTTGGTTGTGTAGTGCATGCCGACGCGCGCCGACGTATTTGCGACGTCGCTGGCGTTCTGGTAGAACCAGAGGTGGCGCGCGTGCGCGGGCGCGCCGTCCACGGTGACCTCGACGAAGTCGGAGCAGTTCTCCCCCGCGAGGACGTCGCCCCATTTTATCAGATGCTGCGCTTGCGCGCGGCGGAGCGCGTCGACGACGTGCCGCACGTACCGCGCGATCGCCTCCGGGGACGTCAGCTCCCGCTGGACGCGCCGCGCGCCCGCCAGGAGACGAGCGTACTTTTCGGGGGACGCGTCGAGCGCCGCGACGACGGCCCGGGCCGTCGTGCGATTGACCGCGGCGTGCGTCGCGCCGTGCTTCAGCGCTGGATAATACCACTCCACTGAGGGCGTGTCCCACAGTAATACCGCGGCGCCGACGTACCAGAGGTGGTTGAGGTTGCGGCTGTACGACCCGTCCGTCTTGCCCGGGAGGTTCAGGACGTACTTGTAGTTCGCGTAGTCCGGCTCGGTGTAGAACTTCGGGTCCCTGATCGATGAATTATCAGCATAAATTTTCCGCATCGTCGCGTCGTAAGCCAGCCCGGGGCACGGCCACTTGGCCGCGTCCCGGGCCTCACAACCCACATTGCACTTGACGTCGAAGTGCGACGGGTCGTCGGCCGTCAGCGCCAACGCCGCGAGCCGCGCGTGGTTGCCCCGCTCGCTCTTGCAGGGGTAGCCTTTCCGCTTCACCGCGAGCGCCGCCACCTCGCCGCGCCAGAAGACGCGCGGGTCGCGCTTTTTTGTGGTCTCGTTCGCATCCATCAAGGCCTCAATCTGCAGGCGCCACATGTCGTTTATATCCCCCAAGCCGAAGTAGGGGTTCGGTACCAGTATACCGCACTGCCCGTAGCCGTCCAGCTTCGCGATCACCAACGTCGGCAGGAGCCGACCGTGACCGCCGAGGCCGTCCAGGTCGTGGCACTTGCCCCGCGAACTGCTCTCGTACATGAGCCACGCGTCCGGCAGCGGCCCGCCGGCGCGCTGGACCGCGGCCAGGAGCCGCAGCATGTAGGTGTGCTTCGTATTGTGCGTGAAATTGTGGGTCGTGAAGAGCCGCCCGCCCCGGATCAGGATCAGCTGGTCGCGGACCTGCGAGCCGAGCACCTCCCTTAATAGTTCCGTGGCCCCCGCCGCCGTCTGCGGCCGGCGGCCCTTGAACCACTTCTCCCGCAGGCTCCTATCTAACTCCTTCTTGAGCGCCGCGAAGCCGTGGTTCTGCGGGATGCCCCGCTTCTTCTGCTGGCGGCTGGGCCCCCATCGGACGGCGCTGTAGTCCAGCGCCTGGGCGAGGGCCGCAGCGACGAGCACCGTACGCATGCCTCAGACCTGCCCAAAAGTTGCTATTGATGGAGGGGCTGCCTCAAACCGACATCAATCGCGCCCCGACGGCATGTATTCACTGCCCATCGGTGCTAGCACGCGAGCATACGCACGGCATGAGCACAAGCAGCAACAGGTCGTGGCGGCTAGGCGGCCTAGCTCTAAGCAAATAATTGGCAATTTTTCATGGCGGTTCTAGTGTCTTACCGGCCGCTAGCGTCACCATTTGAACAACTTAAGATAACCTCTCAGGACTACTACCGCCACCGCTTCGCCTCGGCCTTCTTCTCGACCTTGACCTCCTCGTCCTGCTGATCCGCGCGTGCGAGCGCGCCCGCGAGCGGCGTCCGCCTCTCGACCAACGCCCGGGCCAGCTGGCCCATGCGCTCCTGGTCCTCGAGGCGCCAGCCGCAGTCCATCTCGTAGGCGCGGCGCCGCCGCGGCGACAGCGCCGCGGCGTCGTCGCTCCGTTTCGCGGCCTTGCCGCGCGCGAGCGGGTGCTCGTGGTCCATCGGCGCATGCACACCGTCCGGCGCCGCGCCGAAGACCGAGAAGAGGCGCCGCGCGCGCTCCGCCGCGGCCTTCGCCTTCGCCGCCATCGCTTTCTTCCGCGCGGCCTCGTCCTCGAGGGCCTTCGCGGCGGCCGCGGCGAGGTCGAGCTTCTTCTTGACCGCACCGTTAGCCTTCCTGACGGCGTTCGCGAGCTTCTTCTTGGCGGCGCCCTTCTTCCGGATCTTCTTCTCGACCTTCGCCGCGAGCCTGGGCTCCTCGGGCTTCTCGGCTCTCTCCTGGGACGCCGGCCGCTCCTGGGACTCCGGCCGCTCCTCGGCGGGCTCCGCGGCGGGCTCCGGGGGCCGCACGACCACGGGCGCGGGCTCGGGCGGCTCGGGCACCGGCGTCGGCGCGCGGCTGCGCTCGGACGACGACGCCCTTTCTGCAGGCTCCTCTTGCTCAACGGTGCGGGCCCAGTCGCGCTTCTCGAGCAGCGCCAGCGTTTGCGGTGAAGCCGAGCCGTCGATGGACGAGACGGCGTGCCGCCGCGCCGCGCAGCCCTTCGCGACGGCGCCGGCCGCGAAGCGCAGGCACTCCGCGCCGCAGCACGCGTATTTTCCCCGGAGCGCATGGTCATCTGTAAATTCCTGCGGCCCCGGGTGGTGGCGGCAATTCTCCATATCCGCGGCGCCGAACCACTCGTCGCAGGCCGTGCACCGGAAAATGTGCGTCGCGGCCCACATGGTCCAGTAGACCTCCTCCCAGGGCATGCCCGCCGCGTGGAGCTCGCCGACGTACTCCGTGAGGGACCACCTTTCTTCAACAGGCTCGTGGCGCAGGCAGAGGTGCCCCCGCCTATCAATCCGCGGCGGCGCCTTCGCACAGGATAATTTAGTTTGGGCCCAGGCCGGGTAGAGGCGGTCGCAGTGGCGACATTTCAAAATGTCGCGCTTGTTCGCCTTCGAGGAGTGCCGAAAGTCCAGCTCCAGGCGCCGCTTGTACAGCTTGGGCAGCAACTTATCCTTGGCGTCCGTCAAGTCACACAAAACCTCGGCGGGGCACAGCGCCGCGAGGCGCTGGACGAGCGCGTCGGAGACGCAGGCCAGGTCGATGGGCATCTCCAAGATTTCGCCGACGTGCGCCGCCATGAACTTCAGGCAGTGCTCCACCAAGTTCGCCATCTCGAGGAACTCGGAGCTAATAAGAATCGAGACGACGCTCGACGCGTCGAGCGGCGGCGGCTTGTTCGGCGAGTGGATCCACTGCACGAGCCACTCGAAGATGTGCACGTCGCAGTGCACGGATATGTCGATGTCCTCGCACGCGTCGCCGCCTCCCAGATAACTCCGGAAGTAGCGCATCTCCCTTAGCAAAACCACGCGGTCGCACGCGAAGTCCCGCGACACCTTTCGCGCCTCGTCGCAGACGTGGATCACGATCAAATCAGGGTTGTGCGGCCGCGGCGGCGCCTTGGGCGACGGCGCGGGTGGGCTTCGTTGTGGGACTTCGTCGCGCGGCGCCGCCGCGGCGCCGCCCCGCTGCGTCTGCGGCGGCGTGAAATCCGTCCAGTGGCCCCGTCCAGGGCCGCGCGTCTCCTCGGTGCGCGTGACGAGCTCGCCCCGCGCAGAGTCCGAGAGGGACCGCGCGCGCTCGCGCGCGGCGAGCTCGCTCCGCGCGCGCTCGCGCGCGACGAGCTCCTGCGGCGTGCTCCGGCGGAGCTCGTACTGCTGGAGCGGCGGCTCCGGCGCCGCATAGCGGCCGCGCTCGCGCGGCGCCGCCGCCGCCGGGTCCAGCTGCCAGACCATCTGTCTAGGCAGCCTCGACGACCAGCCTGCCGCTGCGATCGGGGTCGGCGTCGGATCGGAGTCAGCGTCGCATGTTCGGCGCGCTGCTGGCTCCCTGCGGTGCCGGGGCAGCGGCAAATGTCCAGCAATCAAAGTGTTGGGCAGCCTAGCCCCGCGCAAAATGTGGACGGAGCGCGCCGCCCGGAGCTATCCGTATCGCGCCTGCGAGGCCTCGGGCGGGCGCCTCATGGCTTCGTGCGCCAATGCACAAAACCCGTCACTGAGTCTGCGCAAAACTTTTGCAGCTTGAGTGCTTAGAGCCTCCACCCGGCCAGCGCGGGTCTGCGTGACCGCATTTTGCTCTGTATGAGCACAAAAAAGATGCAGAAGGGCTGCCGATAGCTCGCACGATGTGGCGCCTCCTCTGGGCAGCCACCAGCCTGGCAGCGGCCGACCGCATGGACCCCGGCTGGGTCGAGCCCGGCTGGCGCTGCGCGGCGCACGACCGAGCGGCGCCGTGCCTCGACCTCTCGACGTGTCGACGCGGCGCGGCGCGGCGCAAGGCGATCGTCTCGGTCTTCGACGCGCACGGCGACACGTCGGCGACGCTCCAGGGCTTCGTGAAGCATCGCGAGCGGCTGGCGAAGCGGGCGCGGGCGGCCGGCGTCGACGCGATCTTCGTCCTGCCGCGGCGGGACCTGCAGAACGTGCCCTTCCCGGAGGCGAACGTCAACGGGATGAAGAAGGCGGGCATTGATATAAGGTACAGCGACTGGGTCGTGCCCCCGAACCTGAGCAAGGGCGTGCCCGTCGAGAGCGGCGGCTGCTGCGGCGCGCGCGAGTTCCTGAAGTTCGTGCCGATGGGCTACGACGAGTACGACGCCATCATGGTCGTGGATAACGACTACGACCTGGACGACTTCGGGAAGTTCGGGCCGCTCTTCGACTGCGCGGCGGACGGCCACGTCATCACGACGCGCGCGCCCATGTCCATGGTGAACGGCGCGCTGCTCGTCGTGCCGCCGTCCCGGTCCCTGCGAGATGCCTTGTTGGAAGCGCTCTCGACGGCCACCGTCGATTATACGGGCTGGAACAAAACCCCGTGGGGCCCCCTACACCACAAGTGGGACCCGCGCGTCCAGGGCTTCTTCTACTGGTTCTTCTACCAGCAGTACGACGCGCTGGCGGATCGGCGCTGGCGGCCGGCCCAGGTCGACCCGTGCGTCTGGAACGTGCAGCAGCACCTCGTGCCCATGTGCCGGGCGGAGCTCTGCGGGAACCGGTCCCTCGGCTCCGGCCACGTCGACGGCCTCCGGAAATACCGGAAGGGCCTCTGCTAGCCTGTTTGTTGCTTCTAGTAGTAAGAATGTCTCGCCATGCTCGCCGCCTCGGTTAGGCGTCAGTAGAGTCATGATCGCGCCGCGTCTCGCGGCGGCGGCTTCCGGGCGCAATGGCGCGCTGCTCCGGCGGTATCGATCCGTACGCGGTACGGCTCCGATAGATGCGATGTGACCGTCGGAGACGTGCGTGCGGGGCCGGCCTGCCTCTCCAACGCCCCATCCTCTCCTTGCCGCTACGCGGCCTACGTCTCCGCACAGCTGCGGACACTTAAGCATCGGTCGTCGGGGCAGCTCGCACGACACACAAGCCGTTGTCACCAGCCTCTGGGCACCCCATAAGCAGCCACCATGCAGATGGGCGTGTCCTACAAGGTCGTCTACCCCGAGAAGTTCCTCAAGGCGCAGGCGAAGCGCGAGAAGGAAATCGTGGGCAAGATGGACGAGGTCCTGCGCATCCGCGAGAAGCAGGCGGCGCTGCGGGCGCAGCAGCGCATAAAACGGGACAAGAAGAAGACGACGCTCAAGCTGAACGGCTGGCGGAACGGCTACAAGATCCAGAAGGAGCCCGAGGCGCAGCTGCGGCCGCCGGACCGGCAGTACGACATAAGGGTGTACTCGCTGCAGGACAAGTGCCTGTGGACGATGCCGGAGCTCGGGGAGTGGTACAACGCCTACGCGAAGCCCGAGCGGCCCGAGCCGAGCGACCCGCTCAAGGGCGGCTACATGGTGCCGCGCGTGAAGACGCCGCCGGCGCCCTGGCACAGCCACCCGAAGCACCACCCGCAGCCGGTCGTCGAGCCACCACGACTCGAGCGCATGAAGACGCCGCCGAACATGCACGACTTCGAGGCGAACCTGAAGCAGCAGCGGTACAACGCCGAGGTCACGGTGAAGGAGGGCAGGTTCTATCCGCCCCAGGAGCCGGGCCGCGTGCGCGGCTACCGGGCGGCGCCCTGGATGGATCGGCCCGAGTAACACAAACAACAGTAATTACCTAGGCCCAGGTCCTCGGCCCGGTTCGACACGTCGCCGTCGCGAGGTTCTCGAGCTGGCGGACGACGTCCTCGTCGTCCGCCGCGCGGCCGTGCGCCACGAGGATGTCGTGGACGTCCCGGAAATGCTTCTGGGCCTCCTCGAAGTCCTCCTCGTAGTACGCGAGCAGGCCCAGGTGCTCGCGGACCAGCGTCGTCGACGCGGCTTTCTCCCCCTCGTGCGTCGTCAGGATCTTCAGGGCGCGGTCGAGCTCGCGACGGCAGCCCTCGTAATTTTTATCAAGCAAGTACGCGTAGGACAGCGTCACGAGCGCGGGCACCAGCGCCACGCTTTCCACAGGCGTCGTATCGACCTGTGTGGAAATCAATATTTTACGGCGCGTTCGTCATCGCCTCCCGGTTGCACCCGACGCACTGGTTGATTTCCATACAGGTGCCGACCGCGAGGAACGATTCCGTGGACGACGGGGCGTGTTTTGGAACGCCAGGTCTCAGATTCGGGTCGTGGAGGGTTGTCAGCAACGCGACGACGTGCTCCAATAAAGGTAAGGCCTGTCGAATGTCACCTCGCTGTAGCGTGTGGAGAGCCAGGTTCCGCAGCGGCACCAGGACCTGGTCGAAGGCCTCGCGCGGCTCGGCGGGGTGGAACGCGCGGCCGCCCCGCGCCTCGTGGGCGACCTTGAGCGCCTTGGCGAAGGCCGCGCAGGCGTCGTCGTGCTCGCCGCAGCGGTGGCAGGCCGCCCCGAGGTTGTTGTAGGCGGCCGCCGTGAGCGCGTGCTCGTCGCCGTAGTGCTTCGAGGCAAGCAGCGCGGCCCGCTCGAGCGTCTGCCGGTTGCCGATGACGTCGCCGGCCGCCTTGTAGGCGTGGGCGAGCTTCTGGAGCGTCGGCGCGAGGCCGTGGTAGTCCCGGCCGAAGGCCTTCTCCTTGAACGCGAGCGCCCGCAGCGCCGTCGAGACGCCGTCCGTCGCCGCGGCCTCCGCTTTGATCGATCGTGGAGGTCCCTCGGAGCGCGTCGTGTCGAACTGCCGCAGAAACTCCGCCACATCAGTCTTGCCCCGCGACTCCGCGACCTCCGGCGGCGTCAAATCTTGATCGTCGACGGCGCCCACGTCCGCACCCGCCTCAATCAAACCCGCGCAGGCCGCCGCCGACCCGAACGCCGCCGCAACATGCAAAGGCGTCCGGCGCCGCGGATCTCTTATTTTCACGTCCGCGCCGCGCGCGCAAAGCAGGCGGACGCAGGCTGCGTGGCCGCCCTGCGCCGCGAAAAATAAAGGCGTCCAGGCGCTGTCCGGGTCGCGCCTATGGACTTCCGACTCACCATGCAAATCCAGCATGTAGCCCAATTTCGTCGCGTCGCCGTGCTTCGCGTAATGCGCGGCGCGCCACATTTCATCATCTACGGTCCGCGGGTTCGCGCGGTAGACCCGCTTGACGCCCTCGTCGACCTGGTTGGCCAATTTCGTGCGCGTCTTGTGGAAGGCTGCGGCCTTAGCTGATTGTTTCGCCTCGAAGTCGTGATTAAATCGCCTCGACGCGTCCGCCTCGGCCGCCTCGAATTGGACACCGGAGACCTGCTGCCAGTAGTCGCGTTCCATACTCCTCAGCTTCCGCGTGCGCCGCGAGGCCTCGTCCTTGCGCCCGACGCGCCGCAGCGTCGCGATCGCCTGGCGCGCGCGGTCGAAGCGCTTGGGCGCAACCTTGAGCCCGTCGCGCTGCGCGGCCGCGCGCCGCTCGGCCACGGCGTGGTCCCGCGCCCGTTTACTCGCATCAAAGCCAGCGCGGCGGCGGGCCGCTTCGGCGTCGAACGTCGCCTCGGCGCTCTTTAGCGCCGCGCCGCGCGCCCGGCGCTCCTTCTCGATGTTCCACCGGAGGGGGGCCAGCGCCAGGTTGGGCTGCTCGTTGTCGCCATTGAGGGCCCGGCGGAGCGCCTCGCGGGCCGGGCTGCTGCCCGGGCTGCTGGGTAGGGGTGCCAGCTCGCGGGGCGACCGCGCGGGGCTGCTGGCGATCTCGCCCCCCATTCTTGTTTCGACTCCTTGCGTCTTTCCAGGGCTGAAGACCCTGAAGCCTGAGCAGCGCTGTTGAGTGAAGCTAGTGTGTCGACACGCTAGCTCCGTACGGCCGTGCACCACTTGACGCCATCGGCGCGACGCGTTTCGACGAACCCCAGAAAATTCATTACATTATTACGCCAGCCGGTCGCCCGGCTGCAACCAAGTTGGCACGCGCATCGCGACGCCGCGCCGCCCCATCTTCTCCATGGCCTGCTGCGCCATGTGCTCGCGCGCCGTGTCGTTCTGTGCCTTGGCCGAGACGGGCACAAAGCTGTCCGTGGCCTGGGAGGGCGTCACGCCGAGGCGCGCGGTCGTCGGCGGCGGCGCCTGAACCTGGGGCACGGCCGCGACCGCGGCGGCGAGTGGCGGCGCCGCGGGCTGCGGGGCTACCGGCTGGATACCGAGCATTTGCGCCTGCAGCGCGCCGAGTGGTGGCGGCGCCGGTGGTGGCGGGCCGGCGCGCGGCACAGGCACGGGCGCGGGCCGCGGTCGCTTCACAACCGGAGCCGGCGCCGCCGCTGCCCGGGCCGGCCGCTTGAAGCTCTCCGCGAGGTCCGCGCATTTATTCTGCGACGCCTTGCGGGCCAGCGCCGCGGGCGTCGCGCCGTCGCGCGTCTTGCACATCTTGAGCGCGCCGCGCCGCAGGAGCAGGTCGACGACCTGCTCGCGGCCGGCGAGGCACGCGACGTGCAGCGGCCGCGCGCCGCGGCCGTCGGCGGCTTCGATGTCCGCGCCCGACGACGCGAGCCAGCCGCACACGGCGAGGTTGCCCGCGAAGCACGCCGCGTGCAGGGGCGTGCCGCCGCCTCCATCAACACCCGTCACCGGTACGCCCCGCTCGACCAGCCACTGCGCCGTATTCAGCTGGCCCGCGAAGGCCGCGAGGTGCAGCGCGCTTCCTCCATTCTTCGCGCGCACGCTCGCGAGCGGCTCGTCTCCTAAAGCTTTGGCGGCGGCCTTGGCGGCTTCGAGGCTGCCCGTCGCGCCGCAGGCCTTCAGGAAGGCCTGTTTGAGCTGCTCTGTCTCGTCGTCGTCCGCCATTTTTTTATTTTATTTTTTTCGTGCGTTTGTGGCCAGCGCGATCCAGAAATCAACGCGGGCAGACCGGGGGACGAGCGCACCTCCTTGATGTGCGCCCGGCGACGACGGCGTCAGGCTGGCGGAGATGTGCGGTCACACACACACAGTTAGGCGCGCGTTGCGCTGGAACCAACCTGTCAGCGGTGGAGCGTGTGGTTCAGTGAACGCGTAGACTGTGTCTATGCCCGCTCAGAGTACCAGTAAGCCGCCCTGCGGCACCAGCTGGCATGGCTGGCTAGTGTCTTACTGCCGCTAGGCCCAGCTTTTCAAACGCGGCGCGCGCTGCTTCGCGGCAACGAATGGATTGTGGTTTATGTAACATTTGCGCTGTTGTACCCATCGACGCGCTCTGTTGAGTGGCACAGCGGGAAACGCGTCGCTTAGACCACTCACTCAAAATGGCCGCTCTCACAGCCGCCGAAGCGCAAGAAGCGATCGAAACCACAGCAGCCGAAGAGCTCACGGGTACCCCAGCGCTCGAAATCACGGAAAAGCTCACAGCCGCCCAAGTTTTAAAAGAGCTCGAAACCACAGCTGCTGATGAACTCACCGACGCCCAAGCGGTCGCGCTCGCCGACGACCTCGCCTACCTCGAACTCACGAAGGAGCAAGAAGACGCGCTCTTCGCGGACGACGAGCCAAAACAACCGCTCCCGCCGCCGTCGCCGCCGCTCTACGACTTCCGGCCCGAGGCGCTCGCGCCCGTCGCGCGCCAGGCGCTCGACGCCGTGCGCGCGGCCGGCGTGGAGTGGGACGAAACCGCGGAGGTCGACCACGCCTGCTGGCGCGTCGAGACCGGCAAGGCGTACGAGCTCGCCTCCTGCGCGGCGCTCCAAGACGGCGCCGAGCTGCTCGGCGAGGCCATGGTCGGCGGCCGGCCCGTGAGCGTCTTCCGGCTGCGCGAGCCGCTGGCCGTCGGCACGCACCGGATACGACTCCTCGAGCTGCCGGCGCCGAAGGAGGGCTCGGCTTACGCGACGGGCTGGGAGCATATCGAGGTCGCGCTCGGGTCCGACGAAGAGCTGGAGGCGCTCGCGGCGCAGCTGCGGGAGACGTCTTTACTAAAGGTGAACTGGCGGAACTGGACGCGCACGTCGAACCGCGAGGTGCGCGTGACGCCGCCCGGGCTTCCCAACTTCCGCGTCGCCTTCCACGCGCGGCCGCTCGACCAGGTGCTTGCCGATGAACGAAAAGACGGGTCCTTCGTCGCGGTGCCCGACGACTACTGGGACCCGCAGCTCGATTGTGATAGGGCCGAGGAGGCGGCCGCGCTCGCGCGCTACGAGAACCTCCTGCGCACGTCGCAGTACGTGCCCGCGGGCGACGGGTCCCTGGAGCGGCTCCTCGCGTCGGGGCCGGAGCTCGCTCGCCTCGACGGGAGCGACGAGGCCGTCGACTTCGACCCCGCGGAGCTTATGCCGGCGCCCTTTCCCGGGGAGGACTTCGACGCGAGGCTCGAGACGCGGTTCGCCGGGCTCTCGGCGAAGGTTGGGTAAGTCTCTGTGCGGTACGTTTTTAAGGCTTGTTGGTAGGGATATACTACGTCTCCTTACTCGGAACTAGGCGATAACCGCACTAGAGCTCTCGAGCACCGAGCACCAAGCTCACCTCGCTTGTTAAGCGCTAATAACGCACGTCGCGGCGTCAAAATACTCTCGTCTATTGACCACTGACGAGAGCGCGCGCCGACGATCGCGCGATTTGTGTCGACAAGAATCTGGAGTCTGGACTCTGACTGTCCAGACTCCCAACAAAGCGCAGCGCCGACCGGACGCGGCCAGACACGGCGGGCCAGACACGGCGCCTTGGGCCGTCGGCTTAGACACACACACACTGCGCGCCGCCGGAAACGTTGCCCACGATCGACGAAACCGCCGCGCGTCGACACCGACTCGACGGGCCGAGGTCCGCCACCGGGGCGCGCCGCCGCCCGGGGCCAACCTCTAATTCCCTTCGCAGGCACAAAAAACAACTTACGTGATAAAATGCCCGTCGTCGAGCTTCTTGGAACCATTTTCGGGAGCATCATCGCCATGGTCCCCAAGACTGCGGCCGCTGCCGGAGCCGGTAGCGGAACGCTAGCAAAGATGACCACGATCTGTGAACAAGTGCGCATTGGAATCGCCGGGATCCTCGCGAACATCGCGGGCCACCCCGTCGCGGTGGGCGCGGCGCCAGCCGTAGGCGGCGGCGCCGCCGTAGTCGCATAGAAGCAGGTGGCCCGCAAGCACCCCGAAGAATCCCATGTAACTTTTTAATCCCTAATATTCCTAATATTTCCTTAGCACATGCCTCGCGCGAAGCTGCAGGACCGCCGCGCGCGCGATCTGGAAGACAACGAAGGCATCCCAGACACCTCGCAACGCGTTCGGCCCGGCCAGGCCGACGAGCGCCGGAAAGACCACACCGGAGACCGCGTACGACGCGCCGACGAACTTCAAATCGGCCGTCGCCAGGCACACGCCCTCGCCGTGCGCGATCGCGCCGTGCAGGAGCACGCTCGCCGCGAGCGGCGCCGCGACGGCGGCGAGCTCGGACGCGACCGCGGGGTCGCCCGAGAACAGCCGCGCGCCCCGGAGGGCGAGCGCGCCAGCGGTGATGGATGAGGCCAGCGCCGCGCCCGCCGAGAGCTTCAGGAGCCTCCGCCCGAGCTTTTGAACCCCTGTTCGGCCTTTTAGGGGAGGCAGGAAGGCCTGCGCCGTCTGGCCCGCGACGGCGTCCAAGACCAAAGACGCCAGCAAAAAGATCGTGAGCGTGAGCTGGTGCGCCGCGAGAGGCACGGACCCGAAGCGCGCCGCCGTGAACGTCATGACCCCAAAAGAAAGCAACTTCGAAAACACAAGAACGAGGACCGGCCCGGCGAAGGCCGCGAAGGACCGCCCTTCCAACCGCCGCTGCGTCCTTAGTAGGCGCCGCACGTAGGCGAGCGGCTTCGCGTCGCTCGTCCCGAGCTTCTTCGCTGCCAAACGCGCGAGGACCACGGCCTGCACGACCTGGGACAGGGCCGTGGCCTCGGCGGCGCCGCGCACGCCCCGCCCCAACAGGCCGACGGCGACGAAGTCTCCCAAAATATTGGTACCCGCGGAGGCCGCGAGCGCAATCAACGGCGCCGCCGAGTCCTTGGCGCCGAGCAACGCCGCCGTCAGCGCGTTGCCCAGCAGGAGAAAGGGCGCGCCGAGGGCCCGCACCCTAACGTACGTCGCCGCGCGCTTTTGCACCTCGAGCGCGCCGCTCGCCTGCCCGCCGATGAAGACGGCCAGGAACGGCCCCGCGATTAATCGCAGCCAAATTAAAGCAAGCAGACCGTTCCTTAACGCTAACGTCGCGCCGCGCGCGACCACCTGTTCCCGTTTCTCGGGCTCCGTCTCGGACGCCAAAAAGTTCGTCGTGGCGATGTTCAGGAAGGTATAGAAGTACGTGGCGCCATCACACACGGACCCGCCGGGGCCCAGCGCCGCGATCTCGAGCGCGGAGTCCTTCGCTCCGCTCGCGAGGCCGACGGCGGACGTGTCGATGAGCGTGAGCAGGGGGCCGCTGATCCAAAGAACGACGGCCGGGCCCGCGAAGGACGCGAGGTCCCGGAGCGTCGGCTCCGGTGTTTCCGTTGCGTCTGCCTCGGCGGGCGCCGCTCGCAGTGGGTGCTGCAGGGGTTTTGTGGCGTGTCGGCGCGGGACGGTCGCGAAGCCGCTGGCAGTGCTTGCGAACGCAGCGATGATGGCGTAGGGGCGCCTCATTGTGTCGTGCCTAGCTATGCCGCCGCGTAATGCTGTGCACCTAGCCTGTGCTCTCTCTGCTCTTTTTGGTGTGCAAGCTCAAAATGCGTAGGACTCACGCACACGCGCGAGAAACGATGCAATTAATGACTTTCACGCCTTCGACGCAAGTCTGAAGGAATGCGACTGCCCACGCTGCCGCGCGAGGCCGGGCTTTGGGTGGGTGCAGCCTGCGCAGGCCTGGCAGGCGGCTTAGCCTACAAGCACTGGGCCACGAAGAAGTACGGCGGCGAGGCGAACCGGCTGGTCGCGGAGGCGAAACGCGCAGCGGTTGCCGGAGACGCGTCGACGGCGTGCGCGCGATACGAGCAATGCCTCGAGCTCGTCCGGACCAGAGGCGGCGCGCACCAGCGGTTCGGAGAAGCGACAGCGACGCTCGCACGCGCGGCGGCGAACGCGTGCGAGGACGCGGGCGAACGCCGTCGAGCCGAAGCGCTCTGGCGCTCCGCGCTCGAGTCCACGCCGCCGCGGCACCGGAGTCGTGCAGTCGCTTACGACCGGCTCGCATCTCTGGCGCAAGACCGCGGCGCCGTCCAGGAGGCTCTGGCGCTCCGCGCGAAAGCTGTCGGAGCCTTGGCGTCACCAACGCAGATCGCGGAGGCCTCGCTCGACCCCGCCGTCGCGTATGAGCTCGCGGGCGTCATGCACAACTACGCGACCCTCTTTTGCGAGGCGGGTGACACGTCCGCGGCGACGAAGACGCTCGACCAGACGCACCGCGTCTGCGGCGTCGTGCCCGACGCGGCAGAGCAGGAGGATTGCCGGCGGCGGTGCGACGCGCTGCGGAGGCACATTGTGAAGGAAGGCTAATGTTCGTTGTGTACTTGTCCGCACACGACCAGGTGACGAGCATACTTCTGTTTGGCGTTGATCCATTTACTATCCGTGATTGCACCAGCCGCTCCACGCCCCTATTGTTACGGTGCTAGGACTAGTGGGCGGAGCCCCGGGGGGGGAGACACCGCGCGTCGCCGATTCATCCGCTCCACCCCTGGGAGTGGCAATTTAGCGACAGGTGGTTGGCTCGTGCCGGAAGGCGCATATCGCGGGCTAGATTACAGCCCCTCGCCATCGCACGGCCGCAAAACTTTGTAGAAGTGGGGTCCAGGTCCCTACCATCGGCGCTTAGGACCGGCGCTGTTCAGCGGTACTCCACTATGGACGTTCTCCCCGGAGGCTCAACCGCACCTCCCGACGACGACGACGAGGCGCGCTACGAGGCGGCCCTGGAATTGAATGCGAGACTGCGGGCCCAAGCGGCCCAGATCCCCGACGACGGGGCGGGCTACGGCCCGTCCGACGGCGAGGGCGACGACGACGAGGCCCGCTACGCGGCCGCGATGGAGCTCAACGCGCGCCTGCGGGCGACGGCCGCCCAGCTCCCGGGCTACGGCCCCGCCGACGGTTTACAGAAGGCGCCCGCCGAGGACGGGCCCCCGACCGCCGAGGATTTGGACGAGATCGACCAATTGCAGCAAGCCTTGGCGCTGAACGCGCGCCTGAAGCGGCGCCAGGAGGAGGCCGAGGCGCTGGCCCGCGAGCGCGCCATCGCCGAGGCGGAAGCGCAACGCTTCCGCGAGGAGTCGCTCATGGACTTCCAGGGCCCACGAAAAGCGATCCCGCGGAAGCGGCGCGGCTCGGCGTCGCGGCGGTTGGGCAACCGCGACCCCGAGAAGGCGCGCATCGAGCGCGACAACGCCATGCTCGTGCGCCACATGACGGACATCCAGACGTCGCGGCGGCCGGCGCCGCGGCCCTTCCTCGGCGGCCACAAGGCCGCGTCCGCGATTCGAAGGAAGGAGACGTCGCGCAAGATTTTGAGGGAGAACCACAAGATCGCCGCGAAGCTGGAGAAAATTTCTGATGGTGTTGCTAGGCGTTCCTCCGGCTACAACCGCACGAAGCCGCTCCACGAGGGCCCGCTCCAGAAGCGGAACCGGGAAATGGCGCTCGCGCGGCGCGCGCGGCCCGTGCTCCAGCAGCCGGACATGACGTTCTAGACACCTCGCTTCGTTACCACTAAGACCATTGCCGATGCGTACGTATTACTAGGGTAGCGAACACACCCAAGAAAGCGATCCTGAGCGAAGTCGCAACTACGATTCCGGGTAGACCCCAACTTACTCGAGAGTTAGTGCTTCAAGTTCTTACTCGAAGTACAGCAACTCGTACGCGCGGCCGGGGAAGTGGTGCTTTCGAAGGACCTTCTTCCGTCGCGGCGGTGCGGAAATCAGATCGTGGTACATTTTCCCGCGACTTGAGCTGATAACGACCGTCACGGCCGCTGGACGCCGCCCTTCGAGAAGGCCTCGTTGCTGATGGACGTTGTATTGCGCATCATACCTGAATTACTCATTAACGTAGGCTTCAAGTCGGATGATGACACGGAGAAGGGCTTCTTCGTGTTTTGCCGTAACTCCCAGCGCATAAATCACGACTCTACGGTGCCAGCGGGCCGTCGTCGAGGCGCGGTATCGGCTTCTGTCGTCGGGGGTTTTCGACGGAGGCGTCATCTGGGGACGATTTGGCCAAAACGAAGCGAGAGATGACTCTGTGGAGAATTATTGCGTGAACCCGACTCACTGATTGAACTCGCCAACGCAGGCGACGGCCTCTGCAAGTCCCTCTTCGGCTTCAAGGACCCGTTCTCGCTCGCCACGCTCTTCGCTTTGCTACCCGATTCGGCGCACAAAAGCGCGCGGGACGGCCAGACGATCCCCGAGAAGCTCAAGGCCGACGTCTTCGACCGCATGGGCCTCGACGCCGTCGTCACGATCCTCGTCACGTTCGTCAAGAGCCTGCGCGCCGAGTTCGAGGACTACTACTCGGCGCCGCGCTACGACACGTCGAACGAGGACGGCGCGCCCGGCTACCTCGCCGGCTTCCTCAAGAAGGCCATGGAGGGGCGCCTCCAAAAGCCGTTGGAGTTCGGCCGGAACGACAAGAAGGTCTTCGAGTTTTTGCAGGGCCTGCCCGCCTCGTTCAAGACTATCCTCTGGCGCCGTGCCGTCTGGTACAACTAGATCGCCAAGCTGCAGGAGTAGGCCAAGATTGGGTAAAACACAAGTTCGCGACGACAAGGCTACGAGGGGGAGTGCTCCTGTGCCAGTATAGACATACTAGAGTTTCGCAGCTGTCTGCGTCGCAGCATCCAAGTCGCTCGCATTGATGCTTCTATTGGTAGTGAGCTTTGGCAATCGCAACACGCAGCCACGCGCTGCAACTCTATCACGTCTGTTCCACGCGTTCGCCGCGCCACTGCTGCGAGAGCACAGCGTGTGTCAGCTTGCTGCTTTGGCATGACCGATGACGCGCCAGACCAGAGCCGTCCGGGCTCGGCGCAGGACGCCGCGCGCCTTCGCAGCCCTTGGCGGAGACGACGAAGCGCTGCCGCAAATCGCACCCACCGACGATGGCCGCGCGGCCCCCGAAACGGCTGAGCTCGACGGCGCCGTGGAGCAGGCCGGTATCGGCAGCGACCAAGATTGGCCTAGATGGTTACGGCAGGCCCACCAGCCCATATGGCTGGTCGACGATGCCTTTGTCCATCGGCTAAATCGCGACGATTGAGGCAGAGCGCGGCGAGCGCGTCGATGAAGGCCATCGCTGGCGCGGCGATGCGGACGAGCCGCGCACGTGCCCGTGTAATTCGACGACGGCGTCGCCCGCGACCGAGACGGAACCTATGGCTTCTGCGGCCTTGGCCTGGGCATTCGGCCCACCATTTTTACGTGATAGAGAACCCGTATTAGTATATCGCGCGGCGATTCAAGCATTTGTAGACGCTCTCGTTGCTGCACGCAAGAAGTTGTTGTACAAAAACTCTACAAGTAGCCGAATTTCTAGAACGAGAGCTTCTAACTGAGACAGTGGACGCGACGATAATTGACCGCTTTATTCGACGCGAACTTTTAGAGATTGATTTCAGAAGCTCGTGTAGCCGCTGACGAAGTTCTGAATTAAACTCCGTTTTGTGAAGCGATGCTCAGTATATACTCATAGTGCATTCCGCACGGACCCGGCGCGGCGGTGAACAATTTGTCGCCCATGCCGCGGCTCGGATAGATTGAAGTGAAGTCTGGGTCCCATCACGCCGCGCGGCACAGCAACGGAAGCGATAGCAAGCGCGTTGATGAAAGGCCATCGCTAGCGCGGCGGCGACAACACCGCCGCGCCATCGTCGTTCATGGACCGGGTCGTCGCGATTCTACGACGACGGCGCCTCGGGGCACGTCTAGATGGACTGCGCGCCGTCGCGAACGCGGCTTGGGGTTCCCTATCCCCCCAGTAGCTTAACTTGTAGTTGTGTATTGGTGCCGCAAGTACTCCTGCGTGCCGGAGAACCGTCTTATCGGGGAATCGCGCGCAGCGCGTCGAGGCATCTCCGCCAGGCTGCTCTCTGGCAATTTTGGCTGCCTGAATACGCCGCGCGTATGGAACATTACAGCGTTACTGCACCACGAAGAAGTCACGATGCCCCCCAGTAAGAAGCAAAAAACCGCGGAGGTCTACAACGCGAGCGACGGGCCGCAGGAGGACAACACCCGCTATGCCAACACGCTCCTGGAGGCCTTAGCGGCGCCGAACCTTCTCCACGCTCTTCAGGGCGCTGGTGGTCTGGTGGCGAGTTGGCACATCGTCGGCGAGCATAATGAGGACGAGGTCGACGTGCTACGCGCCGCGGTGGAGACCGCGCAAGCCGCGCTGCAGCCGCCGGCGAACGTGCGGGAGGCGGACCGCACGCACCCCCTCGCGAAGTGGCCCCTCGTGGGGGACAAGGACAAGCTGGGCGAGGGCGCGCCGGACTCGTTCTTCGACGGCCATCTGCCGGAAGGGGCCGAGACGCTGCGGAAGGATCGATGGACGCCCCAGCAGTGGGTGATCTACCTTCAGGCCCTGTATCAGCGGCAGTTGAAGCATCCGTCGCGGCCCAAGTGCTGTTTTTGTCTTAGCATGCTTAGTTATATCGATGGAGACGCTCTGGTGCGCGCGCTGTTCCGGCAGGCCTACGGGCCCATGTGGTTGGCTGACGGCGACTGCGTTCTTGTGAACAGGCTGTTGATGGAGGCCATCGCGGACCGGACGGTGCGCGCGTTAATGAAGGAGGACGAAGAAAACGGCAAGGAGCAGTGGGACCGGACGACGGTGATTAGCCCCCGGACCGACGAGAAGGGCGTCGCGAAGTTTGTTGGGTGGGATAAGTCGAGCAAGAACGACACGGCGGCGCGGAAGGCGGCCGACTGTGCGTTACAGTGGTCTGCCGATGGCGTCGCTGCCGGTGTCTACAAGTACTGCTCTCGGCTGCAGAAGTGCGACCATGCTGCAAAGATCTGGGCGGACGTGACGGCGACGGCGATGCGCCACGGGTGCCTTGTCGATGGCGGCGTCGAGCTGCCGGGCGACGCCGCCGTCTTCACCGCATCAAATGTGGAGGACAAGGACGTGTCGCTGGCTTTGTTGGAGGACGGCTCTGCTGGGAGACACGGCCGTCTGCAGTTATTGGTACCTGTGTGGTGTTCAGTTTTGAAGGCGATGATCACGATGCGCGTCATTATTGGTAGGAAGAGCGTGGACGCCGTCTCGGAGCCGTCGCTCGAGCAGACGACGGACACGCGGGACGCGGTCATGCGGCTGAAGAACTTTGAGGGGTCGAAAACCGCGCTCAAGAAGGTCTACGCGGAGGCGAATCTTGTTTATAAAGCGGAGGGCAGGGCGAAGAACAGCAACGGTTCTACGAGTTGGATCGTCGTCAAGAAGGGCAAGTACGATAGGAACAAACCCGAGGTGCTGCAGGGGGACCTCACCGCGGGCCTCGGCGGTGCGGAACGGATGCGCAAGGCGGCGCACGCGGTTGCTGGACGCGTGGCGCTGCGGCTGAAATGCTCTGCTGCGGACCTCGCGGCCCACTGCGAGGACCCGAAGGAACGCGCCCAGATGTACGCGATCATCGCGGCCGCGGCCGAGAAGGCGCGCGAGTCCCTGCCCGAATTGGAGACGATCCCGTCCAAGACCTTCAGCAACGGCATGATCAAGGACTTCGAGACCTTCGCGGGCGCCGTCGAGAAGGAGCTGAACCTCTCGGGCCTGGGCTGCATCACGGGCGTCAAGGGTAGGAAGAAGTCGCGGCCGCGGCCGCGCGCGCGGTCGCCGTCGCGGTCGCGGTCGCCCTCGCCGTCGAGCGGCCCGCCGAGGAAGAAAAAGAAGGCGCCGCCTCCCAAAAAAAAGAAGAAGAAGAGCAACGCGGGCGGGAACCTGTTCTCGGACTGGACCGCTGAGGACTTCGCGGGCGGCGTCAACGGGCCGTCCGCGCCGCCGCGGCGCCGGCGCTAGGAATCTAACTTAGTTGTTGTCTGTACTTGGATCCTCGTCCGGGTCGCCGGACTCCGAGGGGCCGTCGTCGGGATGAAGTGGTAGGATGAGGGGAATGGCGACTCGGCGGCGGAAGGACGGCCTGATGTGCCAAAGTATGTGCCAGTAAAGGTGGGCCCCTCCTCTTGAGCAACCCGGGTTGACTGACCGTCAACCGACTCACTAGCGAAGAACCACATTACGAACCGAGCCTAGATGATGCCGATGCGGTTCGCCACGTCCAGCGCGTCGTAGTCCTGCGTCAGCCGCACGTACGCCTTCTTCTGGCCGTCGGGCCGGATCAGCGTGTTCACCTTGCTGCAGGAGATCTCGTACATGGCCTTGACCGCGTCCTTGATCTGTCGCTTGTTCGCCGCGACGTCCACGATGAAGACCAGCGTGTTGTTGTCCTCGATCTTCTTCATCGCCGACTCCGTCGTGAGCGGGTACTTGATGACGCGGTACTTGTCCATCTTCGCGCGCGCCGGGGCCGCCTTCAAGGCGTATTTGGGCGCCTTCGGCGGCTGGAAGGACTTGGGCCGGTAGAAGTGGACCTTCGTTCGTCGCTTGACCATCTTCTTGCCCGTGCCCGAGCGGACGGCCGTCGCGGCCGCGGCGGCCTTCTTGGCGGCCATGGTTCTACTGCTCCTTTCCTGACCTGCGGGGGCGGGCGGTGAGCGCGCTGCTTGCAGCCGGCGTGTCTCGTGGCGGTGAGGGCGTGGCTCTCTTGGCGGTGAGCCCCGTGGCCGGCGCTTTTGCCGTCGGCGCGCCGACGGCGTGGGGCTCGGCCTCCGGCGGCGCCGCCGCGTGTTCGCGGCCGGCGCGCGTCTGCGGTGCGGTTCTCCTGCATTCCGTGTGTGCCGCTGGTCGTGTAGCGTCGGCGTGGCGTGTCAGCGGCCTCGGTTCAGCCGTAGAGGCGTCGGCGCGTACGCTAAGGGAGCTTGCACTGTGGCAGGCCCGCGCTCGCCGAGGTCGCGTCCAGCTGAGCCCACCGCTGCACCACGCTTAGAACCATACGTCTGCACCACGCTCAGAACGCTGCTTTACTCCAGACGCAGTTACACACGCTTTTATGCCGTCCGCCTGATCACAGCGAGATGGCGATGCCCAAATTTCAGACCCAGCAACAACCTCAAAAGAACACTCGCGAGACGCTATCGAGCACTTCTAGGCACCGCCTGCAACGAAACTTCCATGAATAGAGGCAAAAACGGAGGTCTCGAGTCTCAGGCGAGGCTGCACACTGCCGGCCGCATTATTGCTCGACGTAGTTACGCAAAGTACGTCTCGAGCAGGGCAAACACTTCGCACAACCAACACTGTCGGGCGCCAACCTCGAAAACTGCGCGAGCATTGCTGCAAAACACCAGAGAGCACTGCCACTCAAAAATGGGCAAGCTCGACGTCCAGGTCATGCGCCACCTGTCGAAGGACGATTACAGAGTGCTGACGGCCGTGGAATTGGGCATGCGCAATCACCACGCCGTGCCCGTGCCATTAATTATCAGCATCGCGGGCCTGCGCCACGGCGGCGCGGCCAAGTTCCTGGCCACTCTACTAAGATTCAAGCTCGTGTACCACGACAACAACAAGTACGATGGGTATAGATTGACGTGGTTCGGCTACGACGTGCTCGCATTGCGAGCTTTCGTGGCGCGCGGCGCGGTGGATAGCGTGGGACGGAAGATCGGCGAGGGCAAGGAGAGCGACGTGTACGAAGGTTGTCGGGCGTCGGACGACCGGAGGGTGATCATCAAGTTCCATCGACTGGGCAAGACGTCGTTCAAGGCCGTGAAAGACAAGCGCGACTATTTGGAGGGAAGGAAGACCGCGGGCAATTGGTTGAACATGAGCCGCCTCGCCGCCAAACGCGAGTGGGACTTCATGTGTTGTTTGCATGAGGATAAAAGCATAAAAGTGCCCGAGCCGCTGGACCAGAATCGCCACGCGGTCGTCATGGGCCTCGCTGAAGGGTTACCATTGTATCAGCTGGGGGCTCCCGGGTGTTTAGCTGATCCTGAAAAGGTGTTGGAGTCTACTGTCACCATTGCCCGACAGTTAGCTGCAAGAGGATTGGTGCACTGCGACCTCAACGAATTTAACTTGATTGTCGAGCAGAACACGTCGGCGGTGACACTCATAGACTTCCCGCAGATGATCTCCACAAAACACCCGAACGCGGCCATGTACTTCGCGCGGGACGTTCGCGGGTTGGTCAAGTTCTTCACGATGAAACTGAAATTTGATGTGGATGAAGAGGGTTTATTTGATTTTGACGGGGCGTGTGCCTCGGAGGCGGTGACCCGTTTGGATACGGCGTGCCGCGCCTCGGGCTTTGACGGCTGCGCGCCGGACAAGCGCGAGGGGCGGTCGCGCCCTGTCAAAGCTGTTACGGAGGAGGAAGAAGATGATAATGAGAGCGACGACGATGGAGTGGAGGCGCTGCGCGCGGAGTTCCTGGCGCGCGCGCGCGTCGACGCGCCCGCGGCCGACGCGTCGCCGCCGCCGCCCATTGCTTATGAGGCCGATGCAGCGCCGCCACCCGAAGTCTGCGCCCAGAAGCTGCGCCGCGAGCGGGACAAGCAGCTGACGCGGCGCGCGCGCCACAACGGCTCGCGCAACTTCGCGAAGACGCGGTCGAGCCACGGCAAGATCAAGCACAAGGAGAAGCTCGACCAGGAGTACTAATGTTGTTAGAGTCTAGTCCCGCACGGGGTAGCCCGCGCCCCGCACCGCCGCCTTGACCTCACTAATAGCAACCTCGCGCCGGTGGAAGATGCCGGCGGCGAGGGCCGCGTCGACATGAGCCCCCTTGAAGACGTCGCTGAAGTGAGAAGGTTGGCCCGCGCCGCTCGACGCGATCACGGGCACCTCCACCGATTGTTTGACGAGCTTGAGCAGGTCAATATCATAGCCCGTGCCCTTGCCGTCGCAATCAATGCAGTTGACCATGAACTCGCCGGCACCCAAGGCCGCCGCCGCGACGGCCACCGCGACGGCACATATCGGCTCGTCCGTGCGGCCGCCACTCGTCGTCGCGCGCCACCAGCACCGCGATTCACCAGAAGGCCCTCGTGCGGTCGCGTGCGTGACCACCAAGGGTGCCGGCGCGCCGTTTTCACCCGATGGGGCGTCCTCATTATCAGAAAGCCACACTCTTCTCGGGTCGAGCGACACGACGACGGCCTGCCTTCCGTATTTCGTGGCGATCTGCTCTATCGACGTTTTTTGGGAAGTAGACGCATAGTAGCCCTTCGCGGCCTTGACCGCATCCGAGCCGATGCCCACCTTGTCGGCGCCTGCTCTGAAATAAGCGTCGGCGACGTCGAGCGCCGTGACACTCGAGCCGTCGGACGCCGTGTAGTCCCGGACGCCGCCGCCGATCGTCAGCGGCACGAAGCACCGCTCCGAAGCTTTTCGTAATACACCTAACAACGGCAGGTCGCCGGCGGCCTCGCCCTTGAACGCGCAGATGTTGAGGATGCAAATCTCGTCCGCGCCCTCGTCGTAGTACCTCGCGCACAAGTCGACGGGCTTGCCCAGGTTTCGTACGGCTCGTTCACCTTCCGTCTTCTCTCTCACATCATACCCGTCGCCTTTCGTCACGACCAAGTCGCCCTGGTCGTTTGTTCTCACATCCAACGCCGCGATGATTCTAGGAGCCAGAGTCGTCGTACCGGACACGACCGCACCAAGGTTCGCTTGCGTGCTTCGAGCGAGGGACACAAACCGCCTCAGCAAAGCCAAACCTTGCTTGCCGCTCTTCTCCGGATGGAACTGGCACGCGGCCCGTCGCCCATCCGCCACGGCACACGTGAAGCGCTGGCCGCCGTAGTCCGACACGGCCGCGGCCCATTTCGGGTCGCAGGTGTCGATGGCGAAGGAGTGGACAAAATAATAACGTTCTCTCGGTTGGAAGAGCGGCGATTCTTTGGTTGCTAAGGCTTCATTCCACCCCATATGGGGAATCGCGACCTGTTGAGGGGGTCGCAGCTTCTTCACGACACCGTCGACGGCCCCGACTCCTTCTCTACCGGGGCTCTCCTCCGACGAGGCGAACAGGAGCTGCAATCCTAAACAGATGCCGAGGAAGGGCCTATCCTTGTCTCGTAGATAGTCTCGCAACGCATCTAACACACCAAGCTCATCTAACGCGTCCATCGCCGCCGCGAAGCAGCCCACGCCGGGAAACACCAGGATCTCGGCCGCTCTTACATCTTTTGCTGTTCGCACGAGGTCGACGTCGCATCCCAGCAGCTCGAGCGCGTTTATTACACTTCGTACGTTGCCGGCGCCGTAGTCGAGGACCGTGACCGTCGGTTTTGCGGCTTGCGAGGCCATTTGTGAATCGATGCGCTGCTTGCAGTGCTAGCTTGCTGCGAGTGCCTTGTGTGATTGTGCTGCGTGAGGCCGCACGAATTCTCGCGGCCGCGTGGCACTGCGGCAGCAGTATAAGACTTCCTTTTTTGCACAGCTTTGATGCACGCCGGCGTGCATACACGGGCGTTTTGGTCCAGCAAGTCCGCGTCGACAAAATCTCTAGTACGTCTGATACACTAGCAAATCGATACGACTCTTCATGGGGGAATAGGGTCTAGAGACGCCTTCTTGTACGGGTTTGCATGCGTTACACCACTAGCGCTGCCTGGCAAAACCTCTGCCTCTGCTGCAGCGCAGAGCATTAGCCGACTGCCCGCGCGTCAGTCCTGCGCCCGAAGGTAGAGAACTGGACAGTTTAGAAGTCGTCGTCGTCGTGCCTGGCAGTTTCGAAGACCGCCTGGCTCTGACAAGTGCCAGGGAGAGCCCCACCTGGACAGGAGAGCACCACGATGCCCCAGTGCCGCTTCTGCCTCGAAGATGCGGACGAAGACCAGCTCATCGCCCCCTGCAACTGCGACGGCTCGCACAAGTTCGTGCACCAGGAATGCCTCGCGGAGTGGCGGCGCGGCCGCTTTCCGGGCGCCCGGCGGCGCTGCAACGTGTGCAACGCGAAGTGGACCACCAAACCACCGCCGCGGGCCGAGCGCGAGTTCTTCGCGCGCGCCGTGAAGACGGCGCCGCGCTACCGGCCGGCGGCGCGCGACGTCGCGCACGCGGCCGCGCTGCGGGCCCTCCTGCAGTCGGCCGGCGGGCTCATCGCCCAGGCGCCGCGCCGGGCCGAGGCCGAGGCCGAGGCGCTGCAGGGCGACGACGCGATCCTCACCTGGGCGACGGACGCGAACGCCGCGGCCGCGCGCGCGCGCGAAGCCGCCGAGGCGCCGGCGCCCGCGCCCGCGCCGAGCGTCGAGGACGCGGCGGCCGGCTGGGCCGCGGAGGCCGGCCGCGCCGTCGACGCGCGGCGGCCGTTCGTACGCAGCGCATAAATCAAATTGTCGCGGCGCGTCTCGCACGCCATCGACGCGACGCCTGCTTGACGGCGTGGCGGAGTGATTTCTTGCCGCACAGGTCCTACGAGGCGCCGCCGCCACAGCCACAGCAGCCGCAGCGCCAGTCGTCGCTCGTCGCGCGCTTCCGCGCGGCCCTCGGCGCGCCGGCCCATCAGCAGCCGCGGCGCGTGGCCGACGCGCTGCCCGGGCCGCCGTCGATGGCGTCGCTGATGGTGGCCGTGCTGCGCGCCCGGGCCCAGCGGCACTGGCACCGCGGCGTGTTCCTCATCCTCTACGTGGGCAAGGGCGCGGCGACCGACGGCTCGGACGCGATCGTGGCCTGCGGCGTCACGCGGCGCTGTCGGTTGGTGGGCGGCGAGGCGCTCGAGGACGGGGAGGTTGATGAGGAGGCGGCGCCGTCCCGGCGCCGCGCGTGGCTCCGGTCGGCCGTCGCCGCCGTCGCGCCGCCGGCGTCGTCGTCGGAGGACGAGTCGGACTCCGACCGCGAGTCGAACGAGCCGCCGGCGGACGTGCGCGCCGCGCGCAAGGCCGTCGAGCGGCTGCGGCGCATGGGCTGCCGCGTGGCCGTGTTCTCCGGCGGCCCGGTGCACCGCTCCGAGCCGCTCGGTTTGTTGGTCGCGACGCGGAGCGACGGCGCGCGCGACGTTCTAGATGACGACGCGCTCCGCGCCAAGGTCGGCGACGTTGTGCCGTGGCGGCCCGGTTGTGACGGAGACGACGCGAAACGCGCCTTCGTCGGCGCGGTGCCCCTGGTCGCGCGGTGCGCGCGATTCTTCCGCGAGGCCGGCTGGGCGCTCGAGGCCCTCGTCTGGAGCGGCTGCGCCGTCTGGTCGACGGACCAGCTGCTCGCCGAGGTCTCGCGCGGGTCCTGGGCGCTCGCGCCGGCGCAGTGGTCGGACGCATCCGCGGCCGCGGACTCGCGGGGCCTTTGGGGCGACGTCTTGGCGCGCGAAACCGCGCTGCTGCCGCCCGACTCGGCGGACGAGGATTAAATCACAACAATTGTTAAAACACGGCCCGGAACCCGCCATCGCCTACATTCACTCTATCCCAGAGCGCCGCGTCGGCCGCGTAGCGCTCCCGGACCCACGCGGCATCATCATCAGCCAGCGCGCAGTGCTCGCGCCGCCGCGTCGCGTTGACGACGCGCATCGGCGGAACATCACCAGCTTCGCCGAGCGCCATCCGCACGGCGCCGCCCACGCGCTCCGCAAAAACGGCGGGGTCGGACGCGTACCTTATAACGACGGCCCGCGCCACATCACCACCGGAGAGCCAGTCCATTTGCCGCTTAAATGGAGCGCAGCCGAACCAGTCGTCCCAGGCCTCCAGATCAATAGCGCCGGCGCGCGCCGCGGCCACGAAGCCCGTTAATGACCGCAGGTCGAAGTCGGTGGTGGTGCCACCCAAGCAAGGCACCCAATCATCAGATCTTCGGTGCCAGGGCTCGTCCGCGGCGCCGTGGACCCAGTACGCGTGCGTAGACACGAAGCGCTCGAGCGGCTCCCTGAGAGTAATAAGCGTCACGACCCCACCGTTCTTCTGGTGGTCCTTCAGTGTAAGTTTGTGGTGGCCCGACAATGTAATGCGCCGCGGCCAGGCCTCGCGCAGCCACGCCTCGACGGCCGAGCCGCCCGTTTTGGGGACGTGCACGTACGCGACGCTTTTTCTCTCCGGTCGTAGGGCAACACGAGGGGCGACCGGTGCGGCCATCTGCAAAAACGCGGCCTCGTCCATCGCGCCCACCGGCCTTTTCAGAAACGCGCCGTCGCCCGGATTACAAACGCGAGCCATGCCGTTGGCCATGAGCCGCGGCATGGTTGATAGGTTCGTCGTCCCGCCGTGCACGGCCCAGGGGTGCATCAGGATGACGTCGCCCGCCTTAGCACAAATTTGTTCGATGACATCACCGTGACCCTCCTCGTAGTCGAGGCGCAATTCTCGAGAAGCACGCCTTCGAGCCACCTCGGCGATGGCCCACCTATTTAACTCAGAATGCGGCAGCGGGCCCTCACCTAGTTTCTCTCGCACCCAACGATGGCTCCCGTTCGCGACGCACGTGCCGCCGCCGTTTGACGGCCAATCTGACAAAACCACAAGCACCACAGCGCCCTGGGCGCGGTCGCCTTTGAGAGTTCTCAAACCTTCCATGGGAAAGCCCGGGCCCGGATCGACGTGGAAGCCCCTATCTAAACAGCGGCGTCGGTTCACGGGCCGCCAATTTGATAGCGTCGGCGTCTCATTTATAGTCTTCTGGGACGCTTTGAGAGCGCACCTTGCGCGGACCGCCCTCTTCGTCCGCGCCTCGAAGCCCGCCGCCGAGAGCTTGCTCGTGAGCAGGGACCACGCGTCGCCGTGGGTTTTGTGGAGCTCCGCCAGCGTTTGATCTTCGTCTGGCGCCCAGGGGTTGATCGCCGCCCAGCGCTCGCGGCAGTGCTTGACCGGTCGATTCAATTCGCTACTGATACCCTTCCAGTCGACGGGTCGTGCTCGGGCCGCCTTGCGTAGTTTTTCGTCTTCTTCACTCGTCCACGCATCACCGAAGCCGTCGCGCCACGTCGCTTCGCCAGACAACGCGGGTCGCGTCAGTGTATGACAAGGAGGGTCCTCGGGGAAGACGATGGGGCAGTACCACTCGCGCGTGCGCTCCGCATCGTTCCGGGGCAGCTCCCACGTGCCGAGGAGCGCGTCCAGCGCGCACACGAGCCGCGGCGCGCGCTCGATGCGAGACCAGTGGGCGCCCTCGCCCGGCGGGTTGACCTCCACCACCCTCCGCTCCGTGCCGCGGAACCACGTCGCGCTCTCCTCCAAATCGATGGCTCTATAGTCGTGGCCGGACTCGCCCTGGACGGTCGGCGCTCGCAGCTCGCGTTTCAACTGGTCGACGAAGCTCTGGACCGTGGCGCCGTCGAGGCAGCGCTCGACCTTGCACCAGCCGCGGTCGTGGTAGGTCGCCGTGAGTTGGGAGAGCATTGTAGCTCTCAGGTAGCCCCAGGGTGAGTCTCTGTGCGCACTATAAATCAAATCTTCGACATGAGGCAGGCATGCGTATCGAGTAGCCTTCCTCAATGCATTTCATTGCAGCGATTGCAGCTCAGGAGACACGATGCGAGCGCCGGCCGCGCGCCGCATTTTAGCTGGCACGGGTTTTCCACGCCGCCCAATTGCCTACCCGTGCGGTGCAGAGAGGTCTGGAGAGACGTTCCAGACGGCTCGCGGCTGCGACTCGCGCTTGATGAAACGCGACAAACGCTGACTGCAAGCGATTAAAGAGCGCCGCGTACGTGAGGTTAGTTGCGGCGTCTGGGAGGAATTCACGTAGTGCAGGACGGCGCGAGACCGCAGTGAACAGCTCCGAAACTCTGACGCGCCGCCGCCGCTCACCAGCGACAGAGAGTGCTTCACTGCAGACTGCTGCAACCGAGCGGCGCGTCCGAGAGCTGACGTCCAAGATTAGTTCCAAGACCGCTAAACGCAGTGCTTCAAAGACCGCTAAACGCTTAGCCCCGCGCAGGACCGCTCGCCCGACGCAAGCGCCGCGAGACAAGATGGTCCGACGAACGGTCGCGCTGCTGGCGCTCGCCGCCTCGGCGACGGCCTTCACGACGTCGCGGTCGGCGCTGCCGGCGCCCGCCCGCGCGCCGGTCGCCGCCGCCGCGCCGGAGATGAAATTCCGCGTCTGCGACCTGACGGGCAAGCGGCGCAACGCGAAGGCCATGACGGTGACCTTCTCGCACACGCGCAACCACAAAGTGCAGCAGGTGAACCTCCAGGACCGGCGCCTGTGGTGGCCCGAGGGCGACAAGTACGTCAAGATGCGCCTCTCGACGCGCGCGCTCAAGACGATCGCCAAGTACGGCCTCAACACGGCGGCGAAGAAGTACGACGTCGACCTCGAGCAGTTCGCGCGGTAGGTGATCTCTCCTCCCTCGTGTAAATTGTACCTATCTTACGTACTAGTCACGAGAGTCACGTCACGGTATCACAACAACAGTCGTCTGCGCGCCGGTGCCTCAAGCCGGTTTGCGACGACGGGGGCTCCAATGCGCGAGGACGACCAAAGAGGAAGGATCACAACAACAACTCCTCCAAAATGTCAGCGCTCGAACAACCCCAGGCCGCGTCGACGACGGCGTCCTTGACCGCGCGGTCGACCTCCGCCCTTCCAACGAGGCCCGGCGTCCGGTTCACCTCGAGCAGCCAGGCATCGCCCGCCGCGTCGACGGCGAAGTCCAGGCCCACGATCTTTGGAGGTATCGGGCCCGGCCAGGCAGCGTCGTCGTCCCGCCGGGCGAGCCTTGCAACACCGCGGGCGGCGTCGCGGACGCGCGGCCACGTCCGCGCGTCCCACTGGGCTCCCAGCCGCCGCCGCGCCCAGGCGAAATCGCGCTCGTCGGGCGCGCCCTTGGCGAGCACCGCTCGCGCCGCGTTCGTCGCGATGCTCCCGTCGACCGCGAACCGCACGACTCCGATCCTGCTCAGGTAGACGCCGTCGGCTCGGACGATCAGATACGCGCGGAGGGACCAGGCCCGGCCCTCGAGCTGCGCGGGCACGTAGCGCTGCGCCAGACCTTGAGCGTCGCGCGGCACGTCTTTACCGGAGTCGTAGAGAACGACGCCGGCGCCGCCGTAGCCCCGCCGCAGCTTGACCACCCAGGCGCCGCCGTCGAGTTGGTCTGAAGGCAGCTCGTGGCTTTGCGGCCACGCGGCTCGGAGGGCCGCGTCGTCCGAGCCCGCGATCGCATCATTTAAACATACCTTGTCGTCGAGCTCGTCCCAGGCGCGCGGGTGGAGGCACCACGCGTTCGCCGCGACGCGCTCGAGCCGCGGCGCGTTTGTACTGCCAGTAAAAGCGTAGCGCGCCAGGAACGACCGCTCCGCGAGCGCCGGGTCCTCGAGGCGGCCGCGCAGGACCGCCAGCAGCGCCCGCGCGTCGTCGCGCGACGCGGTCTCCTCGAGCCACGCGACCGCGCGGGCGCGGTCGTCGCCGCGGACGTCGCACGCCGCCGCCTCGACGACGGCGTCGCCGAGGCCCAGCGACGCGGCCGCCCGCAGCGCCTCGGACGCCTCGGTCAGACGTCCGAGCCGCGCGAGGCACCGGCCCCGGCCCAGCGCCGCCGCGCCCAGGCTCGCGTCGTCGCCGAGCGCTCCGGTAAAGGCGTCCAGCGCGGCGGCGTCGTCGTGGAGCTTGACGCGGCACTCGCCGAGGCACGTCCGTTGCAGGGCTCGGACGTTCTCGTCGCGTTGCGTGCTGATGTCGCGTTCCAGGACCACTGCGGCCCCTTGCCAGTTTTGGTTCTGGATGAGTTGCGTTGCCGAGAGGCTGGTGGCAGCCGTGCTTGCTAGAAACAGGCTGAGCCTCCACAGGAATGCTCGTCGCATTGCTGAAGTACGCACGAATGGCGTTATGCACGCGTAGGCTGCGAGAGCGTGCAGCCTGCGTGCAAAAAACCAAGCCAGCTAGCGGCTTGTAAAGACACTAGCAAATCGACACGCCATGCAGCCGTTTGAGTACCGCTCGGTTCGCTACTGGTCCAAAGAGATCAATGGGACACGTACCGGGGGCCAAACATGATTTTTTTTTTATTCGCGGCCGAGGGCGCCCTACGTTCTATGGCGGCCGCGCCGGCTGAACCCTGTCAATCCCCGTCGAAGAGGTGTCCCTGGGGTCACCTAGGGTCGGTACTATACACGTGCAAGCGCCTACACCGCATGCGCCGCCGCTTCAAGCATTTTTGGTCGATATCTCTCAGCAGCCCACGGCGTTTTAGCAGCTTTAGCGGAGGTCTCGCTTCCAGGGCTCCCCGAGAGCAATAGACTGCCGCATCGATGGCGTATGCGGTACAGGCGACTACCCACCACCGGACCTACCCCGAGAGACCTCCAGGAGCCGATCAGCCCCCGAAAAAAGTAAACAATTTGGGCCCGATGGCGCCCCGTTCCCGTCAAAAACGTCAATTACCCGAGGGCCCCCAGTAGTCGCCGTAGCGGTCTCGTTGGACCCCATACTACCCCAGCGATAGTCAATTACAAGTATATGACATCTACATTATAAGAAGGGTACTTTTGGCTGCCCACGCTCGGGACGTGAACATCTTTATCTGGACCTCGCGTAAGTCTGTCGACCATGAAACAAACGATCGCACCATGGTCCATGGTGATGGTACACGGGCTGATGGTCGTAGGTCTAAGTAATTTGCCAATTTGAGCCAGATCGTGGGCTCGTGAGACCGACGACCCGCGCCGAGCATCTTTGGGTCTCGGAGCAATGTAGTACACGCTCAGGCCGGTTATCTGGCCCGTCCCGCAACCGAATCACCTGAAACGCAAATTTATTTTATAAACCACCGGTCTGGGGCCAATTCAGTGCCCCGCGTACGCACCGTCGCCCGCGGAGAACGAGCAAGTCGGTCGATCGTGAATAGAACAACGGCGTTATGGTCCATCTGGGTGGTGGCGTCGCTGATACTCGCGGGTTCAGGTTCTGAGCGCGGTTTCAACATAAACGCGGGGCGCGAATTCGTCGTTTCGCGCGGCTCCAACGGGTCATCTAAAATAGCTCAGTAGTCGCTGATTCGGCCTAAATGGACTCTACCACTAACAAACGGATAAAAACGAACATAAACGCGAGAGTTGTCTAGTAGAATTCTTCTTCCGCCCTCCGAGCGCGGGCCGTCGGCTCCGGTTCCGTCGATTGTGGATGAAAACTGGGCTGGAGTTGATATAATGCACCATTTGGACGGTAGATGGCGCCGTCAATCGCTGGTGTATTTTGGCAACCCGTAAGACTCATCCGCGAATGTCGCGGGCGGTGCCTTCCGGGAGGCGCGAGGGTATGTTCCCGGGCCACTACTCTGAAATGTTTGATCTCGGCGAACGACTAGGATGTAATCTGAATTTTGGTCGTTCTTTTGACGCCATTGAGGCGTATCGTTGAATTTGCTAGTATGTCGACTCGCTAGGTATTAGTTGCCTCAACGCAATGTCAACGGAGAATAGTGCTAGTTATATATTGGTGAGGCCCTTACACAGACGAGCGTCCGTAAGCGGAAAACCACCGAGCTCGGAGTCTAGGGCTTCTTTGTTCTTCTTTGCGAGCACGCTTAGTTGTGCGTGATCGGGTAGAAGAAGTGGTGGTCGCACGAGTCGACGCACGAGTGGCACATGGCGCCGAACGTGCCGAGCATGGCCGCGCGGCCGTTCTGGAGCTCGCACGTGAGGGCGCGGTTGCGCGCCGTGACGTCCTCGATCTGCGTCGTGAACGGGTAGCCGCCGGAGATGGTGCCGACCGAGCCGTCGTAGCCGCCCGGGAGGTTCTGCGGGCCGCCCGTGTACTGGGCCGCGGGCATGGCGCCGATCTCGGCGAAGCCGGCGAAGGCGACGATCTGGAAGAGGCCGAACGTCGGGATGTTGGCGACCGCCGGGAAGCCCATGCCGTCCTTGAGGATGTCCGAGAACTGCACCGAGCCATCGAGGTTGATGGAGCCCGGGAAGGTGATGCCCAGCTCCTGGACCATCATGCCGAGGAACGCCATCATGGAGATGCGGCCGTGCTTGATCTCGACGGCGCGGCGGCGGGCGAGGCCCTCCTGGTCCTCCCAGAACGGGCCGGAGGGGTCGATCGGCCCGGGGTCGACGCCGATGTCGCCCTTGACGACGACCTTGGAGGCGGCCTGCTGGCCGGGGGCCACGAAGGCGACGGCCGGGGCGGCGAGGAGAGCGAGAGCGAGCTTGGCCATTTTAGATAGTGTGTCTGCGGAGGGCGCGAAGGTCAGACACGGGTCGCGCGAGTCGAGGCGGCGCCGGGCGGAGTCTCTCGTTGGGCGTCGCGCTCGGCGCCCGCGCAAAGCTCGCAGGCGGCGCGGCGCACCAGCGCGCGCGCTCGCACGGGCTCGCGCGGGGCGTCGCGGCCGCTCTCGAGTCAATGTGGCAGCGGCGCGCCCCCGCCCGCCGGTGCTTTGTTGCAGCGATGGGGCTGGGGCTGCCGCACGCCGCACAAAGGGCCGCCGCGCGCCGCGCTTTTTGCCCCGACGGGGCGGTGGGGTTGCGAGGAGTGCGCGCGCGCAAGCGGGCAACCTCTCGTGCGATAATTGCGCGGTGAGCGGACGCTGTGTGCTGCAAATGAACTACTGGGGATCGACCTTTTCTGCAGGATCGGCGACGTGGCGCGTGTCACGGTCATCAAGTGACTGGCTGGTCGCGTGGCACACTTTACGAGCCGGCTCGACGCTGGCCTCGATCGTGTCTTACGGATTGGGACGTTTGTGGATTTCTTTTCTGTCGCGCGCGGGCGCGACGGCGCGCGGTCGCGTCGATGGCGTACGAAGTCTCGGCCCGTGGTGGAACAGGCGCGTTATCGTCGACGGCGCCCGCCCCCACGCCGTTTCGACGCTCGCGAGGCGAAGAGCTGCAGACGAGACGCGCCCGCGCCGGCTCTCTCGAGAGAACTCCTACTAAGATGGGGATACACTTCAGTTATCACAGGGACGAGCGTCCGTAAACGCCGAAACATCGAGCTCGGAGTCCGTGATGCCGATTGCGCACTTAGTTGTGCGTGATCGGGTAGAAGAAGTGGTGGTCGCACGAGTCGACGCACGAGTGGCACATGGCGCCGAACGTGCCGAGCATGGCCGCGCGGCCGTTCTGGAGCTCGCACGTGAGGGCGCGGTTGCGCGCCGTGACGTCCTCGATCTGCGTCGTGAACGGGTAGCCGCCGGGGATGGTGCCGACCGAGCCGTCGTAGCCGCCCGGGAGGTTCTGCGGGCCGCCCGTGTACTGGGCCGCGGGCATGGCGCCGATCTCGGCGAAGCCGGCGAACGCGACGATCTGGAAGAGGCCGAACGTCGGGATGTTGGCGACCGCCGGGAAGCCCATGCCGTCCTTGAGGATGTCCGAGAACTGCACCGAGCCATCGAGGTTGATGGAGCCCGGGAAGGTGATGCCCAGCTCCTGGACCATCATGCCGAGGAACGCCATCATGGAGATGCGGCCGTGCTTGATCTCGACGGCGCGGCGGCGGGCGAGGCCCTCCTGGTCCTCCCAGAACGGGCCGGAGGGGTCGATCGGCCCGGGGTCGACGCCGATGTCGCCCTTGACGACGACCTTGGAGGCGGCCTGCTGGCCGGGGGCCACGAAGGCGACGGCCGGGGCGGCGAGGAGGGCGAGAGCGAGCTTGGCCATTTTGATTGTCTGCGGAGGGAAAAAAGTTGGCGCACCGCGCGTGGGTTGTTGGAGTCTCTTCGCAGCGCGCGAGCGAGTGCGCGGCCGCGCCCGCCGCTTTTTTGCGGGCGATGCAAGCTGGATATGGCTTGCAACAGGCGCACGGCCCCCCGCGCGCGCGGATTCGTGCGTAGCGGCGAGTATGGGTGTGCTTGGCGCGATGCGCAGCAGATTTTGCTGCGCGCGGCGGTATGCGACGCTGGGTGCTACTTTGTTTTTGTTGGATCGGCAGGCTCGAAAATGCGACCCGCGCGATTTTCAGAAAGCAGCGCGAGGCGTCTAGGGGTCCCGGAAGCGCCTGCACGGCGTCAATACGGGCTCGAAAGGCTGCGCAAGACGATTTGCCTCTAGATCCTGGGCCCGACTCCCAGCCTCAAGCATCGCAATTTACCGCGTCCAAACTACACGCATACGCTGTTTCGAGCAGCGCGGCCAACGCTGCGGGCGCCAAATTGTCTGCGCTCGAAGTTGCGCAGCTTGCCCGGCGCAAATTCGCCGCGGCGCGGGCGAACGCTGCAACTCTCCCAAAACCGGATCCACACGTTCCGGCACGCGCCATGCCGCTAGCCCCGCCACGCGCCGTCCCCCGCCGCGCCTCACCCTCGCGCCCTCGCAGACACACAATCTAAAATGGCCAAGCTCGCTCTCGCCCTCCTCGCCGCCCCGGCCGTCGCCTTCGTGGCCCCCGGCCAGCAGGCCGCCTCCAAGGTCGTCGTCAAGGGCGACATCGGCGTCGACCCCGGGCCGATCGACCCCTCCGGCCCGTTCTGGGATGACCAGGAGGGCCTCGCCCGCCGCCGCGCCGTCGAGATCAAGCACGGCCGCATCTCCATGATGGCGTTCCTCGGCATGATGGTCCAGGAGCTGGGCATCACCTTCCCGGGCTCCATCAACCTCGATGGCTCGGTGCAGTTCTCGGACATCCTCAAGGACGGCATGGGCTTCCCGGCGGTCGCCAACATCCCGACGTTCGGCCTCTTCCAGATCGTCGCGTTCGCCGGCTTCGCCGAGATCGGCGCCATGCCCGCGGCCCAGTACACGGGCGGCCCGCAGAACCTCCCGGGCGGCTACGACGGCTCCGTCGGCACCATCCCCGGCGGCTACCCGTTCACGACGCAGATCGAGGACGTCACGGCGCGCAACCGCGCCCTCACGTGCGAGCTCCAGAACGGCCGCGCGGCCATGCTCGGCACGTTCGGCGCCATGTGCCACTCGTGCGTCGACTCGTGCGACCACCACTTCTTCTACCCGATCACGCACAACTAAGCGCGGTCGCTCCAAGAACCAAGAAGAACAAGCTTGCGCGGTGCCCCGCCGGCACGACGAGCACAATGCTCGCCGGTAGTAGGTGCACGTGTGTAACTCCACTAACGTGACTCTCCGGCATGCCTGGCTCGCCCGCCGGACGATCGCGCGGCCGGCGGCGCCCTACACGCCATCGCCGCGACCCTCGGTGCGCGCGCAAGGCGACCCGGGAAGAATGGTCAACTCTAGACGTACTTAGCGTACACAATCTTCGTCGTGGGGGCGGCCGACCGACGCCGCCTAGTTGCCGCCGAACAGCTCGAAGTTGCCCTCGAAGGGCTGCATGAAGTCGCCGCCGTACGCCGGGAAGTCGAACTGCGTGAGGAAGGGCACGGAGCCCGGCGCCTTGGACTCGGCGAAGAAGCCGAAGAGGCCGAGCATCGCGAGCCGGCCGTTGTTGATCTCGGCGTTGCGGCCCTTGGCGAGCTGCTCGGGCGTCTTCTTGCCGGCGCCGAGGCCCCAGTAGAGGTTCGGGAGCGGGCCCTCGAAGTCGGGGTACTTGCCCGGCAGGCCGCCGCGCATGTAGTGCGCGTCGCGCTTGCCCGCCGTCTCGTAGGTCTGGAGCTCGCGCCAGAACTCGAGGCAGCCGACGAAGCCGATGATCTGCCACTTGCCGCCGGCCTTGAGGTTGTCCCAGAGCGCCGCCACGCCTCCGTCGCCGAGCTCGGGCCACTTGTCGCCCTGCATCGTCATGGGGAAGCCCCACGTGATGCCCTTGGCGTGGACGAGGTAGCCGACGAAGCCGGCCATGGCGACGCGGCCGTGCTTGATCTCGGCCTCGCGCAGGAAGCCGATGGTCGCCTCGTTGCCCTGCTCCCAGAAGTCCTTGTCGCCGAGCTCGAGCGGGTCGAAGTAGCCCACGATCGGGTTCTGCTCCTTGGCGAGCGCCTGCGCGTGTTTTTGGTCTCGCAATCTGTCGCGACGGCGGCGCGTCGACGGCGTGAAGGCCGACAGTGGAACAGACGCCGCAAACGAGCCTTCAAGTCCGCGTAGGTGAACCCCGTCTTGGCCGGCGCGGCAGTTTCCGTCGCGTCGCTCGCGCGTGCGACGGCGGAGGTCTTCGCGACCGGCGCCACGAACGCGCTGGCGCCGCTGAGGGCGAGGGCGGCGATGATTCGCTGCATGTTTTGTTTTTTTTCTGCGCGCGGGAGGCAAATTAGGATCTTGTGTGCCGAGTATGGCTGAGCCAATGCGCGATCCTGCAGCGCGCGCAAGCAGCGAAAACGGTTAAAATCGAGCACCGACTGCAGTAAGATCTAAATTATACGCTGATTGACGCGCCTACACAAACAAGGAAGCTGTAAAAGCAGCCAATAATAGATGCTCAGTGATGTCGATGGGCGTGTGCCCATCAACGACCAACCTAATTGGCCCTCGCAAACAACCGCCAGGAGACCGCTGTGGACGCCGCAAGCCGCGCAAGCACGGTTCACTGGGCGAGCAGCGGCGCCGGGGCTGCCGCCCCGACCGCGCGGCCCCGGAACGGACGCAGGGGTAGGGTCGGATCGGCGAAGTAAAGACAGCACACGTAATTCTGCGCGGCGCACGCGGCGTAGAGGCAAGACAAGAACGAAGAGACCACGTTTATACAACCAAAGCAACTCTACCTAGGGCTGGTAGATGTCCTCGGCCGGCGACGTCTTCGAGTAGTGCCCGAGGAGCTCGTTGACGTCGTCGACGGAGCCAAGCATGCACGGGACGCGCTGGTGGACGTTCGTCGGCTCGATGTCCATGATGCGGCCGCGGCCCGTCGTGGCGGCGCCGCCGGCCTGCTCCACGAGGAACGCCATCGGCGCGGCCTCGTAGAGCAGCCGGAGCTTGCCGTTCTTGTTCTTGGCGTCGGCGGGGTAGCCGAAGACGCCGCCGTAGAGGAGCGTGCGGTGGACGTCGCCGACCATCGAGCCGATGTAGCGGCTCGTGTACTGCGTTTTGCTTTCGCCCGTGCCCGTGCTCAACCCTTCAAAGTAGTCCTGGAGCGGCTTGTCCCAGTAGGGGCGGTTCGCCTCGTTGCACGAGTAGATCTTGCCGCGCTTCGGGATCTCGACGCACGGGTGCGTGAGGACAAATTCCCCGATGTGCTCGTCGTAGGTGAAGCCGTAGGTGCCGGCCCCCAGCGTCATGAAGAGGTGGGTGGCCGAAGAGTAGAGCACGTAGCCCGACGCGACGAGCGAGTTGCCCGGCTGGAGCGTCGTCTCCAAGCAGGTGTCCAAATCGTCGGCCGTGAGGTCGCACTCGTCCTGCTTGTCCTCGAAGATGCCGAAGATCGTGCCCGTCGGGATGCCCGCGTCGACGTTGGACGAGCCGTCGAGGGGGTCGAAGACGGCGACGTACTTGCCTGTGTTGGGTTTGTGTCTTGCCCCGACGCCATCGACGCGTGCAGTTCCACAGGGCGAAGGCACGCGCGCGCAACAACACAAGCACATACGCGTTTCTAAAGTGGCAGCAAACTCACCTCGCGTCTTCTCGACGAGCACCTCCTTCTGGTACTTCTCCTCAATATCATCGTCGACCTCGACGGGCGCGTCCTCCTCTTCCGAGGCGAGGACGCCCATGCGGCCCGTGTAGCGCAGGGCGTTCTTGAGCACGTCGTTCGTGATGACGTCGAGCTTCTTCTGCTCCTCGCCCTGGATGTTGATGTTCCCCGAGTCCAGGTAGCCGGTCAGGCCCGTCAACGAACTTCTTCTCACCAAATTCGAGATGGTCTTCGACGCCGTCTCGATGGACGAGAAGATGGACTCGAGCTCCGAGAGCTCGGGGTTCGCGAGCGCCGTCTCGATCATGAACCGGCTCAGGGTGACGCCCGTCTCGCTGCAGACGTCGGAGAAGATGGGCGCCGTCGGCGCCACGCGCTCGAGGGTCGCGGCCTGTGTGTTTTCTGGTCGCGGCGGCGGCGCGTTTTTGAGTGTGGGTGTGTTGGTCGCGGCGGCGGCCGTCTCGACGGACGAATGGATTCATTCTTTTTGAACAAACCGTGAAGCGTGCAGCCAGTGCTGCGACAGCGTCGTGCAGAGCTCCTCTTTCCCGGCCATGGATCCGTATTCGCGCTTCGGACGCCGCAAACCGACCTTAAGGGGCGCTTTGGCATTGCTGGCTGCTGACCGCGCGGCCGCACTGTTCGGCACAAGAGCCGCAGCTGCCGAGAGGCACAGAGCTACGACGATGCGCTGCATGGTAAAATTGGCCAACCGGTTACGGCTATCTCGGTGTGACGAGGACAATAAGCCACTCTCGGGCACGCGCTCAAATCTAACGTGAGCCCCCCGTCGGCGGGGCGAGACGTCGTTGCAAGGCTCCCGCGCTGTTCTGTACGGCGTCGTAGTGAACACGACCCCTCCGGCCCCGCCGTGGCGTGCCAAACGCGCCCGCGCGCCCGCGGCCGGGACGGACAGTGAAGACGACTACTCTACCGTCAAGCCGTCGCCGCGAGCTGTAGAACGCCGCCACCGCGACACTAGAAGATAAGTAAAGCCACTTACAAGCAAAACGCCTACTTCGACGTGTTGCAGCCGTCGTCGTCGCACTCGAGGTACTCGTTGAAGCGGTCGACCTCGTTCGCCGAGCCGATGCAGAGCGCCGTGCGCTGGTCGACGGCCGTGATCTCCACGTCGAGGATCGAGCCGCCCGTCACCCCATCACTCGTCTTGCCGCCCGCCTTCTCGACGAGCAGGCCGAAGGGCGCGGCCTCGAAGGCCAACCTAAGCTTGGCCGGCGACGAGTCCGAGGTGGGGTTCGCGAAGACGCCTTGATTTTTGGTGAACTGCTGGTAGATGTCCGGCACGAGGCCGCCCGAGTATCGCAGCGTGTACTTGTCGTCCATGTAGTGCTCCACGAGGCGCTTGTAGCCCGCCACTTCTTTGGCCGCGCGCAAGTTGGCCGGCGAGAAGATGCGGCAGTCCTTGGCGACCTCGATCTTCGCCCGCGAGCAGATCCAGGGCTCGTAGGTGCCGTCCTCGAGCATGCAGCCCTCGGGCGTGCAGCCGTACGAGAACTCGTAGACGCCGTCGTCCAGTGCTACCGCTACCGTCGTGCGCGGGCCGTACAAAGCCACCAAGGACGTGACCTGGTCGCGGCCCGTGGCGCCCAGGAGGCCGTCGTCGCCCTTGCCGGACTTCGAGCCCCACCTGCGCGCGTTTTTTTGGTTTCGAGAGTTTACCTCCGCTTCGTCGAGTCGATGGCGTCTCGGTGGCTTCCGGGACCAGCTCGACGCGTCGCGTCGATGGCGTCGAGGGCGCGAGCGGTGGGGCAAGGCGCCGGCAGGGCGTCGCAACGCACCGCATGACAAAAGGACGCCGCGCACAAACACGCCGATGATCGTGCCGACGGCCCAGTTGTTGTCGACGATCGACGACCCGTCGAGCGGGTCCCAGCAGATCGTGTACTCGCCCTTGGGGTTGCACTTGACGATCTCGGGCTCCTCTTCTGAGGCGCCGTAGGCCACGACCTCGCTGCCCTTGGCCACCTCCCACATGATCTCGTCCGCGATGACGTCGACGGAGAGCTGGGCGTCGCCGAACGTGTTCGCCGAGCCCTCCACCGTGACCAGCGCGGACCGCAGCGCCTCGGTGATCTCGCCACAGGCGTCGAGCATCTCCACGATGACCTTGCGCACGCCCGCGTCCTTGCACTTGGCGTCGAGCACCTTGTCGAGCGAGTCGTAGGAGTCCTGCTTCTCGGTCGTCGTGTAGAACGACGTGCCGGACGCGCCGTAGGCGTCGCCGCCCTGCGTCGTATGTCGATTTTTTTTTGCGGCGATGGCGTCGGCCTCTCGTGTCGCTCCGTTGCAGCTGCGGCTTCGGCCGTTTGCGTATCTCCACCCTCACGCCATTGAGCAAGCGCAGCTTTTGAAGTGGGCGGCGGCGCGTTCGCGGACGCCGCGCGGGTGCCTGCCTTACGGCGAGCGATTGCCGCCGCTGCGGCCGCGCCGGCTGCAGCGCCGTCGCAGCGCCGCAGATGGCCAGCGCTAACACCGTCTGTCGCATCGTATCGACCTGCGCAGGGCCATGCAAAATTGGATGCAGCAGCTTTTGGTCTCTGTAGCAGCGCTGCTCGTTCGTTCGTAATCTGAATTGTGGCGCATGGCTGCGTGCTGTGCACTGGCGCTTCTCTTAGCCTGAAAAGACGCGGTTTTATGCGTTTGTGTGACGGCAAAATGCGACCGGCCACGGCGGCGCGGAGAGCCAATTTGTGGAGCGTGCCAAACGGGCCCCGCGCGTCTCCTGGACTCGTGCCAAGGCCGAGAGCAAAGGTCCCGCATGTCGTCGTGCAGTCCCAATATCTTGAGTATACCTCCAGCCCGCGCGGCGCGCCGTCGCAACGTCCAGGCGACAACTCCACGAGAATAGCCCGCACCACCGCTAAGTGGCACTCGAAGCCGGCTCCGAAGTCCCGTTCCTCGTGTTCATACCCGTCATCGTCGTGGCTGCTACCGCCGCGGGACGACGCGAGCCGACGCGAGCCGCGCGGTTACTCTGACGCCGAGGGCACTTGCAGACGTACGTAGGAGGGAGGGGGGCGTCGCATGCATCGGAAGCGCTGCGAGGAGTACGATCCCAAATCCTGTCATCGATGGGCTCGTGCTCGGGCCGTGCTCTGCCGGCCTCGTTGGCTCCGCGCGCCGGCCGCCAGACGCAAGCCACAGCAACGAAACTCATTCGAAAGTACCGCAACAACCCAATCGCAGTCCGCAGCAACCGAGAGGCGAAGACGCCGTCGAAAACGCCGCAAAAAAGGCTGCTGACAACCCTTTCAAACCATACACAAGCTGTACGCCGTCGAACAGCGAAACCAAGCTACGCGGTCGAACAGCGAAGCCAAGCTATACGTCCTCGAACAGCGGAACCAGGATATACGCCAACGAACAACAAAAAACAATGGCCGCCTCCTTCGCGAGAAGTGCGAGAGTCATGTCCTACGTTTACCTGGGCGCGGCCGTCCAGCTCCTGTTAATACTGAGCGCGCTGCGCGTCACCGCGGTCCAGGCGCTCCAGGCGACGCAGTCCAAACAAACGTCCGACGCGCTCCGGCGCGCGCGCGCGCGGCGCGCCTCGACGGCGCGCGGCAACTTCGTGGACCTCGTGAGCGCGCGGTCGTCGCTCTTCGACGTCGCGGCGTCGATCGCCGAGGAGGAAAACACGGTCGCGCCGGCTTTCGCCAAGGCGTGCGTCGACGACCTCTCCAAATTAGCCGCGGCGCGATTAAGCCTCACGAGCGCGCTGGGCGACGGCGGCAACAATTATGAGGGAGAGGCGGGGCGCGTCGCCGCCGCGGTCGCCGCAACTTTAGGGGATTGGCGCGTCGACGCGGAATGCACTCCGGACGAGCCCTTCCTCGTCGACGCCGTCGTCGCGCGCGACGCTGGGAGCGCCCCCGCTGTTTTGGCGGTCGTCGACGAGGTCTCACGAGCGGCCTCCCAAGGCCGCGTCGGCGTCGGCGCCGTCGCAGACCGGGGCCGGGCCGCGGTCCTGGTGGACGGCGAGGGCCGGCGCGCCCTCGTCTCGCTGTCCCAGAAGCCCGTCGCCGCGCCCCTCGCCGCCTCGCCGCGGGCGCACCCGTCGCTGCGGGCCGGCGCGCTCCTCCTCAAGGGACTCCAGGGCGCGGCGACGGCGCGCGGCGACCTCGTCCGCCTGGTGTCGGCGGCGGACCGGCTCCTCGTGCTCGCGCGTTCCGTCGACCGAACAGTGACGCTGAGCGAGTGGCAGCAGGCGGCCGTCGACGTCGCGAGCTGCTGCGTCGCATTGGACTGGACCGAGCGTCGGGACGAAGCCCGGGCCCTCCTCGACGAGGCGCTTAGACCCGATCGGGTCCGACCGGGCCGCGCCGCGTCGCACCGCGGGCGGCTGCTGCGGAGCGACGCGTGGTTCGACGCCGCCGGCGGGCCGCGCGCGTAGTACATAGAATCCCCTCGCATAATCAAGAATTCCATAATCGTGTCGACTCGGACATTCATGACGAATACCGGCCGCGCGTGGGCCCATCGTGACAATAAAGCCAGCGGTAGTGAAGCTGGGTCGCGTCGATGGCGTATAGGCTCACGGACAGTATCATGATACTAGTATGCCGGAGTCCTGGGGGCTCGTGGGAAGGTGCGACGAAAAACAAAAAGGCTTCTCCTTAGTCTATGAACACGTTCTATGTCACACGCCATATGTTCACGCCGAGCCGGGGACTTTTCTGCTTGACTTGCGGGGGGGGGACTATGAGTATGAATTCAGTGTGCTGCGACGACGGCCGCGCGCGCGAGCGGCAGGCCGCGCTCGTCGTCGCGCGGCGCCTCGTACATGCGCTCGCGCGGCTCGCGGAACACCAGCGTCCGCGGCGACCGGCCGTCGTCCGCGCTCTCGAGGACGGCGCGGATCGCTTCGTACGAGACGGGCTCGCCGTTCACACTCCAAGGCACGTCGCCCGCGTTGACCAAGCCGCGCAGCGGCGACGTCGGCGCGACGGTCTCGACGACGCAGTCGATGCGCGTGTAGGGGTCCCTCACAGACTTATCCTGCGCATTGGTAAAAACGTCGCGGAAGCCCTGGACGCGGATGGCCACCGACGGCCGGGCCTTCAGGGGCACGAAATTGAACGTGAGGCCGAGGCGGCCCGGCGGCGCGGCGATGGCGTAGGCGCCGGGGCGTCTCACCGTAACCGTGATGGGCGCGCGCTCGGCCGTCTTGCCGACGAAGGGCGCTTTGCGAGCAGCGGCCCTTAACCGATGGATCACGTGCGTCGACGAAACGTCGATGGGCTCTTCATCAGAGTCGAGGGCGGCCACAACGACGTCGCCTTCGCAAATGCCCCCGGACTTGGGCGCCTTCGCGACGACGGCGAAGCCTCCTATCCTCTTAACTTCGTCGAGCTTGACTCTGCTCAACGTTTTTGATGAAACGACCACATCCACGGTCTCGTAGACCTTCTCGACGGCGTGCGGCCTGGGGGGCGGCGGCTCGCGGTCGCCTCGGGCAAAGGTCAGCCGCTTCGTCGAGGCCGCCTTGTACTCGAGCGTCGCGAGCAAATTATCTAAGGAAGAGAACTCGACTCCATCCACACCCTGGAGCGCGTCGCCCACGCAGACGACGCCGTACAGCCGCGATTTTTGTGAGACGGCGACGACGGACGCGAAATCCGTGTTCGCCCAGCCGAGCGTGAGACCTAGCGACCCGGGCGGCGCATCCACCGCATAGCGGCCGCGCGGCGCGGCGCGGCGCCACTCGAGGCGCCTCCTACGTCTCCTCCTATATTCCACATATAAGACCTTCATGAGCGACGCGCCGCTCACGGCGCGCCCGTTGACTCCTACCAAAACGTCGCCCGCCCTTACAATACCCGCGAGCGGCGACGTCGGCCCGACGGCCAGCGCGCGCGTGCCGTTGATCTCGAACTCCACGAGCAGCGGCTCCCGTCCCACGTCGACCCTAAAAGTTTTGGTTTCGGCGACACTTGCCAGCGTCAGCCGCGGGATGACGGCGTCGGCCACGGGCACCTCGTCGGTCGACGACAGGGACGAGAGCGACGAGGTCGACCAGCTCGACGCGCTCGACGCGTCGGGCGTCACGGGAAACGGGCCCGCGGCCAGCTCGCCGGCGTCCGCGTCCACGGCCACGCCGTCGATACCGCCGGCGCAGCCGAGCTCGGGACGTCGGGGCAGCCCCGGGACCTCGCCGGCCTCGCCGGCGTCCGCGCGCACGGCCTCCGCGCCGGCCGACGAACCGCAGATGCCCTCCAGGATCTCTGGCTCTGAGCCTCCTTGCAGGGGCAGCCTACGCGGCACGACGACGGCGTCCGCGTGCACGACGCCATCCAGGGAGGCAGCCCCCACGGCCGCGGCCATGCCGCGTCGCCGCGTCGCTGCGTTGGACTTTTTTGATGCTCTGAATCGGCAGGCGAATCGGGCAGGACAAAAAAAACCTCTCGTAACATGACGGTAGGGGGTAATATTTGAATAGTTGAAGAACATTTTACGCGTCGCGCAACACAGGGCTGGACCCACCGTCGTAGCGGTCCTCTGGGACTTGTACTACACGAAGCGCCGCGTGTTGAGCCGCGCGTTGAGGAGCACTCCCCCCCAGCCCTGGGCAGGGGCTCCGCCCACTAGTCCCTAGTCCCAGCACCGTAACAACAATACGAGTCGAGCACTCGCGCGGTGTCTGACCCCGGCTCCTAGCACCGTCGCATGACAATAGGAGCAGTAGTAGAACAAGTTACCCATCCTCCACAATGGCCCGCGACGCCTCGACATGCGCACACACGGCATCAAAGTCGCCCCACGCCTCGTCACCGAGGCAGTGCTCCAACCCAAAAGGCCCCTGGCGCGTCCTTTCAAGCTCGACCATGTGGCCGCACGACCCCGCCTCCCTCGCTAGGTCGTCGATGAGCGTTCGGATGTACGTCCCGCCCGAGCACTCGACGTCCAGGCCGAAGAACGGGAGCGACAAGGGCGCTTCGTGGGAACCGACGCCGCGGTCGTCGACCATCCGCAACCTAGAAACCGAAACTTGCCGCGCCTCTCGCTCCACCTCAAGACCTTGTCTAGCGAGGTCATACAGGCGCTTGCCGTCCTTGTGCAGCGCCGAGTACATGGGTGGTATTTGCAGGATGTCGCCCGTGAATTGAGGTAATAAAGCCTCCATCCTTTGTAATGTAGAGTCGTCATAGGGCTGAGTGGAGGTCACGTTGCCCTCCGAATCGAGCGTGTCCGTGGCCTCGCCCAATTTTCCAATGGCAAAATACTCCTTGCCGCCCTTCAAATACGACTGCATCAGCCGGCAGCCCGTGCCCACGCCAATCACCAGACAGCCCCGCGCGTTCGGGTCCAGCGTGCCGCCGTGGCCGACCTTCACCTTTTGTCGTTTCTCTCCTTTGATGCGTATGGCCCGCTCGAGCGTGCCCCGTATCTTAGATACGACGTTCGACGACGTCCAGCCCGGCGGCTTGTAGACGCAGCAGACGCCGTCCGGTATCGCTTCCTTCGTGCGCTCGAAGGTCTTTTGTGGTGCTGTCGTTAGCGACATGCGAGTTGATGAACGCAGGAGGGCTCTTGTGCACACGACCATGGCTAGCAGCGGCCGCATCGGTGCATGCGTGCTCTAGTGCTCTGTGGTCGCGTCGTTTGGCGTGCTCGCGCGACTGCAGCGACGGGCGCCTGCAAGTGCAGCGGCCTGCACTTAGCTTGTTCCGTGTCCACGGCCACGAAACGGTTGCAGGTTTTGTGAGAGCTGCAAAAACACGTCGCAGACACGTTTGGCAACTCCGTCCTGCCTCGTGCGCGTCTAAATCGCTCTCGGTGCAAAAACCCAGCTAGCGACCGTAAGGCACTAGAAAAAGCTGCGGCAGCTGCCGTGTTTTGGCCTGCTGGGCTCCAAAACGCAGGTCTGCGTCATCTGAGACAAGCACAGTACTCACAGCTTGCAGGCCGCAGCGCAGCGCAGCAAACCCAGCAGTGTAGCAGTGACATACATCACCTCATGCTCCTCCGCCTGACAGCTCGCCACGCGAGCCGCACCGCTGCGCGACACGCCGGCGCAGCGCGCACGCTCGCCTCCAAGGAGGGCCCCGAGGTCACGCCGGCGCAAAAGGTGGGCCTCTCCGACGAGCTGGAGCAGCGCGCGAGCCGGCGCTGGGCCGAGCTCGCGACGGAGCACCGCAAGATCCCCGCCGACGATGCTGTAAGAAGGAAGCGCTTGATCTACCGGTCGAAGCAGCGCGGCTGGCTCGAGGTCGATTTGTTATTAGGCAGCTGGGCCGCGGAGAACGTCGCGACCCTTTCCAAAGAGGACTGCGACGCCTACGAGCACATTTTAAATTGCGAGACGATCGACATCTTCAACTTCATCACGGGCAAGGACCCCGTGCCGCCGCGCCTGGACACGCCGGTCATGAAGCGGCTCCAGGACTACTGCGCGTCGGCGCCGCTCGGGACGGACCCCGGGGCCTACGCCGCCGCGAAGGCCGACGCGAACCTGACGTAGCTTGCGGATGCGCCGGCGGCGCGCTTGTGTAATACTGGTTGATAGTGGTCCGTGCCTCTTGCAATCGGCAGCCGGCGCCTATGCGTGTGGCCGTCCACTCCGCTTGTCTGAGCACCTCTCCGACACGCCTCCGGAGCCCTCTCGAGCGTTTCGGTTCGGACGCCGCTAGAGAGCTGATCTAGCGTGAGACGCATTTCAAACTCGGTCTGTGCGATTGCGCGACCGTGACTGGCAGTGACAGCGAGGTGACCTGTCTACAGCACAGCAGTAGTGCTATCATCAGCCTGTGCAAGCCTGCGCCGCGCCGCATCGCGCTTGGAGCCCGCGCGGGCGCCAAAAAGAGCAGCACTGCTAGCAGCGCCGCGCAAGGCGCGAGCCGCAGCCGCGACGCCACGAGCTGCGACCCGGACGCCGCGCAGCGCGCAAACGACGGTCGACGATGGCCGCGGCGGAGGGCTACGACGACTTTGAGACGTACGCGGGCCCGGCGCCGCGACTCGGATGGCTTTTAAATATGGCGCCGACGACGTTCCAGCGAGGAGATAGGGAACTGAGCGGCGTGGAGCTCTTTTTACTCTCCAAGGACGCCAAGAACAACTTTCGGGTTACTGTGGGATATGCGCCTTACTTTTACGTCGCCGTCTCCCTCAAGTTTGAAAGGTTGACGGAGGCGACGAAAACTTTACTCCAGAGGCGCTTCGAGCAGGAGAATTGTAGGGTAGAAACGGTACTCTTGGAGGACCTGGATGCCCCGAACCACGTCGCCGGGTATAAGCGACCGTACCTCAAGCTATCGTTTGACAACGTCCGGGAATTGATGAGTGTGCGCCAGGAGCTGAAGCCCGTCATCTTCGAGAACCGGAAACGCTTGGCGCAGAACCACTTCCAGGAGGACGATGCGCGAGCTCCAGACGATTTACTAGAGGCACTAGATGAAATACGGGAGTACGACGTGCCGTATGCGATGCGCTGCTCCATTGACTTGGACTTTCGGGTAGGTGCTTGGTTAGAAGTATCACCAGACCTCGGCATTGAGAGAGATGAAAACGAAGCGACGGACTCCGAAGTCCCGGGTGGGTATTCTGTTACGTGGCAGCGCGACGTGCTCGAAAAACCGTCACCGCGCATCCTCGCCTTTGATATTGAATGTACGAAAGCACCGCTCAAGTTCCCGAACGCCGAGCGGGACGAGGTCTTCATGATCTCGTACATGATTGATGGCCAGGGCTACTTAGTCATCTCTCGAGATGTGGTCAGCGAGGACATCCCCTCCTTCGAGTACACGCCGAAGCCGGCCTTCCCGGGGCCGTTTACGGTCTTCAACGAACAAAATGAAGAGCAGTGCATCAGAAAGTTCATCGAGCACTGCAAAGAATTAAAGCCCCACGTGTTCGTTACCTATAACGGCGATTTTTTTGATTGGCCCTTCCTCGATAAAAGGTGCCAGCTCCTCGGCATCTCCATCGCCAACGAGTTGGGGATTGCGGGCAACGAGCAGGGCGAGTGGCGCGGCACGGGCGGCCAGGTGCACCTGGATGCGTTCGCCTGGGTGAAACGCGATTCTTATCTGCCCCAAGGCTCGCAGGGCCTGAAAGCGGTCACGAAATACAAGCTAGGGTACGATCCAGTGGAAGTTGATCCGGAAGACATGGTTAGGTTTGCTCGCACCGAACCGCGGACCATGGCCTCGTATTCTGTTTCCGACGCCGTCGCGACGTATTATCTGTACGAGATTTACGTGAATTTATTTATATTCTCGCTGTGTACGGTGATCCCGAACGGCCCCGAGGACGTCCTGCGGAAAGGTTCCGGAACGCTATGTGAGGCACTGTTGATGGTCGAGGCCTTCAAAGCTTCTGTAGTGTGTCCCAACAAGCAGAACGAGCCCCATTTGCTGAGGAAGGAAGGTAAGTTAGTGGAGTCGGAGACTTATGTCGGGGGCCATGTGGAATCGCTGGAATCTGGAGTGTTTCGTTCGGATTTACCGGTGGCGTTCGACTTGGATTCGAAGGCTTTTGAGAAACTCATCGAGAATGTGGATAGAGATTTAGAATTCCACGCCCGTACCGAGGGCAAGGGCGCTTCCCGTGAAGATGTAGTGAACTTCGACGACATTAGATCGCAGTTAATCAGTGCGTTGGAGGCTTTACGAGATGCTCCGAAGCGAACGGAAGCACCTAGGATCTACCACCTGGACGTGTCTGCCATGTACCCGAATATTATCCTCACGAACCGGTTGCAACCGACCGCGATTGTGGACCGAGAGAAGTGCGCCGGCTGCGACTACAACCGGGAAGGGAATCAATGTAAAAGACCGATGGACTGGATCTGGCGGGGCGACGTGAATCCGTCCTCTGCGGCGGAGGTGAATTCGCTGCATCGCCAGTTGCAGTACGAATCTGTTGATGTGGACGGTGCTCAACAACGCTACGCCGCTTTGCCGGAAAAAGATCAAGCACTAAGACTCAAGACGCGCCTGCGAGACTATGCGCAAAAGGTGTACCAGAAGCAGAAGATTGTGGTCGAGGAACCTCGTACTGATGTGGTCTGCATGAGGGAGAATTCGTTTTATGTGGACACGGTGCGGGCGTTTCGCGATCGTCGCTACGAGTACAAAGGCCTGACGAAGGCCTGGAAGAAGAAGCGGGAAAAAGCTACTGACAGAGCTTCTAGAAAGCACGCGGAAGATAAGGAGTTGTTGTTTGAATCTTTGCAAGTCGCTCATAAATGTATTCTCAACAGTTTCTATGGGTACGTCATGCGCAAGGGCGCGCGGTGGCGCAGCATGCCCATGGCCGGTATTGTCACACTGACGGGCGCCCAATTGATTACCCAGGCTCGCGAATTGGTAGAGAAAGTCGGCCGACCGCTGGAGTTGGACACGGACGGCATCTGGTGCATGCTGCCCGAGAGTTTCCCGGAGAACTATGTGCTAGACATCAAGCAGGCTGACGGCTCCATCAAGAAGCTACCGTTCAGCTACCCCTGCGGCATGCTCAATGCGGACGTCCACGCGAACTACACAAACCACCAGATGCAGACCAAGAATACTAGTGGAGGGTACGACATCAGTTCGGAGTGTAGTATCTTCTTTGAAGTCGATGGGCCCTACAAGTGCATGGTCCTACCGGCCTCGACGGAGGAGGGCAAGTTACTGAAGAAGCGCTACGCGGTCTTTAATGATGACGGGAGTTTGGCGGAGCTCAAGGGTTTTGAACTCAAACGTAGGGGTGAGTTAGAACTCATCAAGGCGTTCCAGGCGGAATTGTTCGATCAATTCCTACGAGGCAACACCATAGAGGAGTGCTACGCCCAAGTCGCAAGTTGCGCCAATGCCTGGCTCGATATTGTCGAGCATCGCGGCGCGGGCATGGACGCCGACGAAGTGTTAGATCTCATTTCGGAAAATAGATCGTTGTCCAGAGAGGTCTCGGAGTACGAAGGTCGCAAGATGACGTCGTTAACTACTGCGAGACGTATTGCCGATTTCTTAGGGGACGACATGATCCAGGGTTCCGGTCTGCAGTGTAAACTCGTGATTAGTGCGAAGCCGGCCGGCGCCCCGGTCACGGAGCGAGCCATCCCGACGGTCATCTTTTCTGCGGAGCCGGCCGTGCGGAGGCATTTCCTGCGCAAATGGCTGAAAGATCCCGCTGCCTTAGATCCCACGGTTTCTGATGTGGTCGACTGGCGGTATTATCGAGATCGCTTGGAAGGTGTGATTCGGAAGATCGTGACCATACCAGCAGCGTTGCAAGGTGTTCAGAACCCGGTACCTAGAGTGCCCCACCCGGAGTGGCTGCGCAAGTTCGTCGCTAATAGGGATGATACGCGCAAGCAGACGAAAATATCCTCGTTCTTTGACAAGGAGAATACCTCGGTGAAGAAGCCCAAGGTCCGGGATTTGGAGGACATCGCGTCTCAGAAGAGTATGACTCCTGTCGTCGCGCGGTCCCGCAAGAAGGTCGCTTCTACGGCTTCTACGGCCCTGGTGCCGTCGTCGGAAGCGCCGCAATTAGGCTTATCATTGAAGAAGATCGAACCATCAAACTACGAAGCGTGGCTCCAAGACCGGAAGCAGCGCTGGCGGGCTCGCAGAGCCGCTCGTAAATCAGACAACGACAGTGCCAAGAAGATGGCGCGACATACTACGAGTCAACAGCAACCCCTCAAGCGCAAGACCGTGACGGATCTAGTACGATCTTCCACACGCTCTTTAACGAGAGGCACGTGGCGCGTCCTCGAAGTCAGAGACGGCGACACGCCCGGGCTACTCACGTGCTTTGTGGTCACCGATGATGGTTTGCTGCAGCGGGCCTCGGTCAAGGTCGACCGGCGTTTTTATGTCGATGTGGATGAAGGCTCATCACTGAAGGACGTACTACAGAAGTTCGGCGCGCGGAAGGTGCCTCGGGCCACGCCGCCGACCGGGGATAGGCCCGGAACTGATCTGAAGCAGATGTACGAGGTGCGCGTCGACGAGTCGCGCGAGAACAACCTTGCAGCGTTACTACCTCAGTTGGGTGCGAAGTACGAGTACCATACCCCAGCCTGGTTCCGGCAGGTGTGTGCCGGCGGCGGGGCGTGTCGGGTGAGGCGGAGTGCGGCGAAGGAATTGGAGTTGAAGGGCGGGGCTCTGGTCTTCGAGCCCGACGACTTGGAGTTGGCGCCTTCCGACGCTTCTGACAGTATCGCCTTGTTGCCTTTGTCCGGTGATAGGGCTACGAGATTGGTTAGAGTGGCTTATTTATATCATGGCAAATGTCCTAAGACAGGACGAGCCTGCGTCGCGCTGTTTTATCTAGACAGAAGAGAGCGCGGCGAGGAATCAGATAAGGATGACGCGTTATCGCCGGTCTTGGCTTCACTAATTGTAGCAGACCCCAAGGCAAGGAAAGGAGACCGCCCGCCGGCCATGAAGCGGCTCTTCGAGATGGCGACCCAAGACTCGCAGCGGCCCTGGAAGGAGCTACGGGTAGAGAAGTCCGAGACCAAGGCGAGTGAAACGGAAGCTTTGTCGAGTGCCGGGGCCTCATTGGCGCAGTACGCGTCCGAGAAGCGAGGGCCCACACTAGTCATCGTCGAGTCATCGATGGGCGCCGCGGAGCTGAGGAGAACTCTGCCCCAATTAGGGGATTTCGCGAATTGCGAAGTCCCTTATCGAAGCGACGACTCGCGGTACCCTCGGCTAGGCTGGCAGTCCTGGGTTTGTCGGAGAGTGTGTGAACGGGCCTCTCGCATCCCGAGGTGGTTAGTGGAGAGACAAAGGATGGCGCGCTACGCAAATGTACCTCTATCTTCTCTAGGAGCCTCACCATTAACGAGTTCCGCGGACGTATTGATGGCTCGGTCCCTAAAACAGCACCGCCACCTGTTGTGGGCTTCTAGTACAGGTAAACCGGACCTCGGTGATGACGTCGAGGAGGCCTCGTTTGATGACGACGGTGAATTGCCATTAGTCTTCAGAGACTTCGCGCCCCTTGGAAGTTCCTACGCGAAACGAACAGGGGGCACGTTCCAGGACGTCGCATCCACAAGTACGATGGGCATCGTGGAATGCCCCGGGGCCTACAGGACGGTCTGCGCGCGCGTCGACGTCTTTGGGTCCGCGGTGAACGCGGTGATGGTCTCGGACGACCTCGCGGGCGACAGCGCTCTGGGCGAGGCGGGCTACCAGGACCAGGACTGCGCGCACGCGTTTAGGATTCTGAGAGCTTTGCTAGCGGAGTGGGTCGACGACGTGTCCAAAAGAAGATCGGAGCACGCCGACGCGTTGCTGGTCAACGTCGAGCGGTGGCTGCGGGATCGGTCGTCGATCCTGCACCATCCTTCTCTTAGACGACTTGTTCAGTCTACGACGAAACGCGTCCGCACGCGCTTGGTGTCGGATCTGCGAAGATTAGGTCTGAGAGTCGTCCACGCGGGCGAGAACGAGGTCATCGTTGCTACACGGGAAACGGACCCGAAACTGGCGGCGGCGCATCTGGAATTCGTGTCCCAGACGATCTCGCAGAGACCCGTGTTTAGATACCTACACCTAAAGCCGCGCGCCTTCTACGCTTCACTACTCTATCTAAACGCTCATAATTTTGGGGCCATCGAATTGCTCGACCAAGATGAAGAAATGACTAATGAGGAAGGTGAGGAACGATTACCAGTACAAGATCGGTTCGTCAGCCAGTGGGATCTCGCGATAGAGCTGCCACCGATAGCTGTCGACTGGTTCAACGTCCTTGTAGGGGCCTTCTTACATAAACCCCTGAAAGCGCGGACGGGCAATCTGCAGCAAGATGAATTGTTCACGCAGCAGTTCGTGGAAACGTTCTCTAGTCAAAAGTTGATGCCGGTCATCAGTGAACTACAGCGGGACTACCACGGTTCGACGACGGCGCTGGACTTTGTTATTTTGTCGTGTCGGGCGTTGGCCCTGGATCCTTCAGTCGAGGAGGAATGCGTGCGAGCTCGTCGGTTACTACTGGCGCAGTTAGGCGTCCGAGAATTCGACCCGAAGGCCCAGATCAAAGCACCACCTCTCAAAATAGAGATCAAGGGCGTCGCGTGCCCGCACTGCGATGCTACCATAGATGTGGACGTCGCGGCGGCCTTTCACCGCGGCCGGGCCGAGGAGGCCCATCAGGGCATCGTGCCGGACGAGGACGCCGAGCCTCCCCAATGTTTATGCGACCGCTGCGGCGCCGCTTTGCCTTCTTCCGTTTTGGAACAACGCGTCGCGGAGACTATTACACTATGTCGGGCGCGGTTTTTAGCTCAAGACCTGCGCTGCAAGCGGTGCAAGCGCGTCTGCCGCGAGGAGTGCGCGACGCACTGCCCCTGCTCGGGTACGTACGACACGGACGTCAACACTCAGGAGTTCTACGCTTATTTGAACGAGTGCCACGACGCGGCGGGCTACTTCAAGTTCGAGACGTTGGGCGAGAAGTGCCTCTCTTTGGTTGACGAGTGCAAGGCCGACGTGAAGCGGCGCCTCGGCGGGCCCTACCACGTCGCCTAGGATCCCGCTCCTTATTAACTAGGTGTTATCAACTTACCTTTGCCCGATCTTGTCGGGCGCGCTCTTGCCCGAGAGCCGCGCGCCGCTCGGGCGTCAAGTTTCGCTGGGCGACGTCTTCCGCGAGGAGCAGTCCGGCCTTCTCGGATAGATTTAGCGCGGCGGAAAAAGCAGCGGTGCGCGCGCCGCCGTCGCGAGGGCTCGCTCGCAGGGCGGACACCTCCGGAGTCTTCGCGTCGCGCGCGCGCTTGCCCGCTTCCAACGATCGCACGAGCGCGTCGCGGACCGCGCCCGTCTTCCCCGCGCGGCACTTCTCCAGGCACTGCTTGGCCTGCTTGAGCACGTGCGCTTTGCGGCTGGAAAACGGATCAAATGCAGTAGGTCCGTCCGCGGCGCCGGCGACGACTCTGGCGAGCCATGCGCCGGCCTCGGCCCCAGTTGCTGCTTCGAAGACTCCTAGCTCGTCGTCGTCGTCGACGGTCGGCGCCGCGCGCGACGTTTTTACGATGTCGTCGCCCGCGGCGTCGAGCGCCCGCCGCCAGTCGTCGAACGGGCGCGTCTGGTAGCTCGCGATCTGTGCGGCGCAGGCTTCGCGCGTCGCGGAGACCGCGTCTTCGTTGCCGGCTACTATCAAGAGGAGTCGTGCACATGTCGACAGCGTCGCGGCCTCCTGGACGGCGCCCTCGCTGCGCTCGACGATGCTCTCGGCGAGGGCGAGCGCGGTCTTCGGCCGCGGCAACGCCATGTCCTCGCCCATGACGGCCACCTTCCAGCGCCAGGCTTTACCCGCGGCGCCGTAGTGCTCGGACGCGGTGGGTGGCGTGAGGCTGACCACGGCTACCTCGAGGGCTGCTGTGGTTGCGGCTACGGCGAGCAGCAGCGATACGTGCATGCTCGTATCGCGGCGTTGCATGCGGCTGACGTGCTGAGAGCTGTGAGAGCAAAATATGGGAGAGCACCAGCTCCCAAGTCTCGAAACTCGTCAGAGGCTGCGTGCAATCCAACAATGAGGTTCTTGCGAGTGCGCAAGCGATTGATAATCACTTGTCTTGCCGCTGCAACCGCTGCAAATGCTGCGCTGCTGCAGGGCGTGCGCTTGCTAGTGTCTTACAGGCCGCTAGCCCACGTCCGGCGCCGTTCGCGAGTTAGTTAGTTTGGGCACACTCACAGTAACCGCAAAGACGCCACGGATAGCCGGCATCTTCGAAAACGGTCCGTCCGGCCGGCGTGTGAGTGACCTAGTTTTTCTCTGCTTTTTTGTGACCGAGGAAAAAACTCTAGCTCGGCGTCAAAACGCGCGGCGCGCGAGGGGAAAACGCGTGGAAAATGCGTAATACGGAACACTGCTCGGGCGGCATCGCTTGGCCCGCGCGCGACCTCTACCTCGCCGACGACGGCGAGTGCCCGGCGTGCCGCAGGACGTTTGACGGCGTCGAGCCCACGACGGCGCTCGTTTGCTGCGCGACGGCGATCTGCCGGACGTGCCTCCAGGACTGCCTGCGGCGCGCACAGAGTGATTCACGGTTCACGTGCCCGCTCTGCCGCGAGGACTTTGTGAACGACCCAGTTGTTTGCAGAGAGCGCTTGGAGGCGCACGTCGAGGCCGACTCGCCCTTCGCCATCGAGATGCTGGCGTGTATGCACCAGCAGGGCCGCCTCGGCCTCGCCAAGGACTCACGCGAGGCTGCTAGGCTCTTCCGCCGAGCCGCGAAGCTAGGTAAGCCGCGCGCGAACGTGCGCCTCGGCTTGCTGAAATTGGAGGGCTGCCGGGGCGTGCGCCGCGACCCGGCGGGCGCGCTCGCGGCTTTTTTGAACGCCGCTAAGCAGGGCGACGCGTACGGCCAATATCTGGCCGGCCGATTATTGCTCGACGACGGCGACGCGCGGCGAGCGATCGCGCTCTGGGAGGCGGCGGCCGACCAGGGCCTCGGGGCGGCCGCCGCGGCGCTGGGCGCCATACACGACCGCGGCGAGGGCGTCCCGCGGAACCTCGCGACCGCGGCCATCTGGTACTCCGAGGCGGCGGACGGTGGGGATGAAATAGCCGCGGAGCGCCTCGAGGAGCTCCGCGCCGAGACGCGCGACATCTTCAAGGGGATGAGGTTCGTGTGATACAGCTGGTGGCGGACCCGTTAAGCTGGTGTGGCAAGGGTATAAGTCTACGATTAGAGCTCTCTCTCTCTCTCGCAGCTCACCCAACTCGCAGCGCTGGTGTTAGGCAGCTAGCGTCTGTAAGACACTAGGAAGCCGGGAGAGCAGCTTGATTTGCGGTGCTCTGAGCCCGCTCACGTGCATAGATATAACTTAGGTCTAAAAACATAAAGCACTCACACTGCTTCCACTCTGAGGCAACGCAGAGCTCACAGCTGCTTCCTCAAGCGAAGACAGCAGTGCAGCACTGATGCCAATACAAGTCAACCTCAACGAATTGGAAGCGCCGCCGCCCGCGCCCGCACCGGCAGCGCAACAGGTTCCGTCTTGGGCGCAACCGTCTAACCGCACCGAAAGAAGATGTGTGGCCACGAACGATTGCACCGTGAGACGGACATCAGCATTGGATTCGGAGGTGGTCGGCGAGCTGCGGGCGGGCGACCGCTGCACCGTCGACGGGCAGCAATCAATCAGCCGCCAAGGGCGCGTCGTAGAAAGATCGCGCATCTGTGCACCATTAAACGGCTGGGTCTCGACGCAGCGCCTCGCGCCAGCCGACGACGGCCTCGAGGTCGACGCGCGGCCGCCGCCGCGGTCGGATTTCTACGCGGGCCAGCGCGTGACCGTCGACGACCAAGGGGGCCGGCTCGCGTGCCGGCGCGGCGCCGGCTGGCGCGTGGACCTCGAGGACGGCGGTGCCTTCTTCGTCGACGACGACGCGCGGCTCGCGCCGGCGCCGACGCCGCGGAGCCACTGGCTCGACGGCGTCCTCGAGGCCATCGCGGCGCCGGCCGAGGTCTTCCTGCTCGGAGAATCGACACACGGCACACGCGATTACTATGCGCTACGCTTCGAATTGGTCCAGTCGCTGATCGAACTGAAGGGCGTGTCCGGCGCTGTGTGGAAATTATCGAGCAGGCGTCGCGTCGATGGCGCGGATGTTATGATTCAGCCGCATGCGAGAAGCGCCGCGAAATTTGATTTTTACATAGGTCCGTCGTAGCCATTGAGGGGGACTGCGTCGCGGCGGCGCGCGTCGATGCCTACGTGCGCGGGACGTCGTCGGCCCGTACGGCGGAGGAGGCGCTGCGCGGCTTCACGGGCGGCCGCGGTACCACACCGTGGCTCTGGCGGAACAAGGAGGTCGTGCACTTCGTCGAGTGGCTGAGGGAGAGAAACGCATCATCGGCCGCGGCCTGCGGGTTCGCGGGGCTCGACCTCTTCAGCGCCAGGGCGTCGGCGCGAATGGTGGTCGAATATCTCGAATTGGTAGACCCACCAGCGAGTAGAACGGCGGCGGATAGGTACGGCTGCTTCATCGCGGCGTCCGAGGAGGAGTACTCGAAAGCCTGCCTCGAGGACGCGCGCCTCGACGCGCGCGGCGCAAGTCAGCGCGTCGACGCGACGAGGGACGGCTGCGAACGCGTGCTGGCTGAGCTCCAAGCGAAGCGGTATGAATATTGGGATCTCGGCGACGCAGAGCGTCACTTCAACGCCGAGCGCAACGCGGAGGTCGTGGTCAGCGCCCAGCAGTTCTACGCGAAGCGGCTGACCGAGCCCGACGTGACGTGGTCCGTGCGCGACCAGCACATGGCGAATAGTGTGCTGAAGCTGCGGCAGGACCTGGAATTGTTGCGGGGCGCGCCGCCGCGCGTAGCGGTCCTGGCCCACAACAGCCACGTCGGCGACGGCCGGGCGACGGCGCACGCGCGGCAGTGGAATATCGGATACCTATGTCGCGAGACGTTCGGCGCCGGCGCCGCGATCGTGGGCTTCTCGACGTATTCCGGCCACGTGACCGCGCTGCCGGAGCGGGGGAGCGAGTTGCCTTTGAAGCACGTCCTCAAGCCGGCTTTGCCTTCGTCCGCCGAGGCGCTCCTGCACGCCAACTACGCCGCGCACCCAGGGCTCGAAGTCTGTGTGGAAATCAAAATTGTGCTGAATCTTCGCGTCGACCCGACACACTGATTGATTTCCGCACAGGCCGAAGGTCCTCAATTTGGGGATGCCAGGTGACGACGCGCGCATCGTGGACGCGCTCCGCGCCCCGCGCCCCCAGCGCTTCGTCGGCGTGAACTACATATCGGATGACGAGCGGCGGCGGCACTACATCGACTCACGCGTTCCGGAACAATACGACTGCCTCGTCTACGTCGACGAGACGTCGGCGCTCGAGCCGCTCGACCACCTCGATGAGTGGGATCATTCGCGTCGTTCGTCGTAGCTTTTGTAACCGTCTTTTGTCTTTCCGATCGGATATATTGCTACGAGGACTGTCTGGGCTAGCGCTGTAACATACTAGCGAGCAGCAGCAGCAGCGCTTGTCCAGGCGGCGGTGCTCGCGATAACTGCTGTAAGACAGCCGCAGGCTCGCACCACTGCAACTGCAGTGCGCTCGCGGTCGTTGTTGGCTCGAATCCACTGAGTTTGCGCATCTCTCCGCTCTTTCACCTTGCGCACTGCAATTTGCACTCAGTCGCCGCTTTCTCTCATTTATCGCGGTTGCGTATAAACGGCATCGCTGCTGAGCTCCATTGCATTTGCTCATTACGCAGAAGCGTTGCACCGTCCAGGAACTGCAGCTCATCAACGATGCAGCGCCTCCTAGCGCTCTTCGCCGCCGCGACCGCGTTATACGTAACGCCGCCGCCGCGCCTCCGACGCACAACAGTCAAAGGCGACAACGACGACGTCACCGAGGCCGATGTAAGGAAATGGATGGAGAGCGCCGACGTCGACGAATTGTTAAAAGGCGGCATCGACTTAGAGGAAATAGAAGAGCGCGAGCTGCCGGAGATGAAAATAGATAAGAAGGAGTACGACGCGTCGCCGTACGTGGGAGACTTCGACGGCACGGACGACGAATTGGAGGCGCCCTGGCGGACGGAGGCGGCCCAGATTTGTCGGGAGGCCATCGCCGCCATCGGCTTGGAGTGCGCGGACGTGTTCTGGGAGCCAGGAGTCCTACGCTTGACGGTCAAGAAGTCAAATGGCGAGGCGCCCGACGCCGAGGAGACGGCCGACGCTTCAAGAGCTGTCGTGGCCGCGCTCGAGCCGCGCGACGACGATTTGCGCGTGCTCGCGCGTCATGGGGTTGAGGTCACGTCGCCGGGCGCGTCCGACCTGATCACGACGCAAGCGGCCTTCGAGGCCTTCAAGGGCTTTGACGTCACCGTGCGGACGCTGAACCCCATCGAGGGCGGCGAGGAGCGCACCATCGAGGGGCGGCTCCAGGAGCGGACCACGACGGACGTCGTCATCAACGTCAAGGGCCGCATGGTGAAGATTCCCTGGCACCTGGTGGGCGAGGTGCGGCTGCCGCCCGCGAAGAGCGAGTAGTTATCTAACTATGAATTATTACTAGTCACGGCATTCAATATAGCGTCCATCTTGGCCTGCATCTCCAGCAGTTTCGCGTCGGTCTCGCGCTGGATGCGCAGGACCTCTTCCCTCAAGTCCTCTCCCCTAATGGCGTCGCGGACGGTACCTCTATTAACCTCGCGCTTGATCATCGCGGCGACCTGTTGGATCGTCTCCGAGTGGATGTTGCGCCGCCGCGGCAGCATCCGCAAGAAATCCGACGTCTCCGCAACCAACTCAAAGCGGCCGCGATAAAATAACTTCGTGGCTCTCGCTGAAGTGTCCGCGTACTGCGAGTTCACGATCGCAATTAAGACATTGAGGAGCACTATAACAATAATGAACAGGTAGAACACGAAGATGACCCGATCGATCGTCGTATGAAATATATCCGGGTCGAACTCCTGCGCAAAAGCCAATAACAGCACGGAGTAGAACGACTTGAGCAGATTGTTGAACGGGTGGTCCAAGTAGTTGGGCGCGTCGTCGTGTAAATCGAAGTAGCGCTTGATGTGCCGGTTCCCCATCCGCAGATAAAATAAATTTGTGAACATCATCAGGATGAGCACAAACACAAACATGAAGACCGCGAGCTTCAATAAGATCTGCCCGATCATCAATACAAAAGCAGCAAGCTCCTCGTTGACCGCAGAATAGCGCAGGTAGTCAAAGACCTCGAACCACAGAAATAATGCTGTCGCGACGGCGAGGTTCACGGGGATTCTACTAAGAGCCGCTCGGGCGAAGGACGTCCACGACAGTACGAGGGACGTGACCTCGATCCAGTTCCAGAGCGACGAGCGCCACGCGCGCGGTAAGCCCAACAACGATAACGTGTTGTACAGTATGGAAGGGACCACCCCAAACACAAAGGCCTTCACACTTCGCCCCGGCAAGCACGACAGGGGCAGGAACAGCAGCACCGCAATTATTGAAAGCACAATCCTCGGAATCAACGAGAGCTTCTTGCGCCAGGACAGGGGCCCCTTGACCGCATACACGAGGAGTTTCGTAAGTGACCTAAGTGCTTGGGGCCCCGTCGTAAACAAGGGAGGCAGCTTCGCCTGCCCGAAGAGCTTGAAGAAGCAATTACGCGCGTCCGAGTGCCTTACCGCTAACTCCCGCTTCCGATCATAATACACGTTGAGCGCCTCTTTCAATGAATAGTACGTCAGGATGATAAAACCTAGAATAATCTCGACGGTCTTCTCGCCCCTGTACCACCGCTCGATGTTATGACCGTGCAGCCCCTTGTACCCGTAACCGACGATCGTGAGCCGCGTGAACGAGACGAAGAGCGTGAGGAAGAGGATGATGTCCAACCACAGCACGAAGCGCGGCCCCGCGACGAACTTGAAATTCAGCACGACCCGGAACAGGGGCGACGGCGTGAGCTGCTCGACGGCGCTCTTGCTCACCAAACGCTGCTCGAACGTTAGTAGTAGTTCTTCGTCCTTGACTAAGCGTAAGACGCGCGGCGCGAGGTCGTCGATGCAAGCGTCCCTTTTAGAGGAAGGCGCACTCTTCAATGTCGTGGCGATGGCGTCCAAGTTTCGCGCTTGCGTGACCACTGCTCTAGATGCGACCGCTCCTAAGCCGGTGGGCGCGTCGTCGTCGTCGATCGTCAGGAGCTCATCATATTGTAATACAGAAGCGTCGAACAACTCCCCTAACCGGTCCTCGGCGAACCACTTCCGCGCCACGTCTTCCGTAACTCGCAGGATCTCCCTATAGTACTCGTAGGTCTTCACCCTATGAACGCGGATCGTACCATCATCACCACCAGAAGCGAGCGTGCCGTCCTTGAGTGACGCCATGCCGTCGACCGTGGCCTGGCCCGCAAATCCAATAGGTCGTCTCTCCTCGTTGTCCAAGTCCCACACCCTAACACCGTCGGGGCCGCCCGCCGCCAGCCGGCCGTCGTCCAGCGTCACCAGACTCCAGACGTCGGCGCGGCCACGCAGCACCTTGGGCGCCTGATGCGGCCCGTCATTCAGGTCGAAGATGCGAATATGAAAACCCTCGCCCCTCCTTCCCGCGTCGCCGCCGCCCGCCGCTAATCGTTGACCGGGGAGCTCCGCTAGAGCTGCCACATATTTGGGGTGGCTCGCTAATTCGAGCGCCTTCGTGCAGCTTTGGGAATCAACATTCCAGACGTTGATCATGCCGTCCTTGCCGCCGCCCGTCGCTAGTCTCCCATCCTTCAGCGCCAACATGCCGCGGACGGCGTCGCCGTGCGGCACGACGAGCGGGGCAGCATCACCTGACAAGTCCCAGATCCGGATCGTCTTGTCCCAGGAGCCCGAGGCGAGGCGACCATCAGCCAACTCGGCGAGCTTCCAGACGTAGCCCTCGTGCCCTTTTAGGATGATCGGCGCCGTTGGGTTTTCTGATATATCCCAGATGCGCACCGTCTTGTCTCTTGATCCGCTGGCGAGGCGGCCGTCCTTGAGCGCAACCAGACAACGCACGGCGTCCGTATGGCCGGACAGCACGTCGGGCTTCCCGTCGGCCGTGCCGTCCTCCGCGAGGCTCCACACCCTGATGGTGCGGTCCTCGGACGCCGACGCGATCCTCGAGTCGGCCAATTCCACGACGTCCGTGACGAACTTCGTGTGGCCGCGCAGCACGACGACGAGCGGCGGCGCCGGCGGCGTCACGTCCTCGAGCGGCGTGATGCGCGCCGTGAAGTAGTCGCGCACCGACGCCATGCGCTCGAAGGAGCTGCGCGACGACGGCGCCTCGCTGACGACCTTTGAGGATTTCGCGCCCATGGTTTTGTTTTTTTACGTCCTTTATGGCATTTGTCTGGCCACTGGTGCAGCTCTCCGAGATTTGATCTCTGATTTGTCTCTTGGCCACTGGGCAGCTCTCTGCAGCTCCGAGGCGCGAGATTCGTCTCGGATTCTTGCGGCGCAGCGAGTTGAGCCTCTCGCGACTGCAATGCAGAGTCAAACCGTCGTGATTCACGCGAGCGACACAGCTGCTGGCTGTGAAGGAGTTGAGCGGCTGAGAGGCCTAGCACCTGTGACGCTAGCTCTCCCAGTTTTGAACCCGCGGCCCTGCGGGGCGCCACCAGTTCAGAGCTCGGCTTATAAAATCCGTAAATATTTGTGCGCTGTTGGAAGTTCTCCATTTGTGAGAGCGAAACGCCGCTCGCAGTGCATTTATACTTCCATCTAGCGCTGCGCTTGGCGCTGTGCTGCTGTGCACTGACTGCACGACTGAGCCTGCGCGACTTGAGAGCAAGGAGTAATGAAGCGCGGCAGCAATACTCGTCGGTTCCGCATCCCAACTCCTACGCAAAAGAAGTCAAAGACGTCTCCCGCCACGACGCCTGCCTCTTCTGGCAGCGATGAGGCGTCGCTGCTCGCGCGCCTCCAACCGAGCGATGCGAGGCCAGCGGCGGAAGCCCCACGCGGCTTCAAGACCGCAGCGCTCGTCGCCGCGACGCCGCCCTCGGACGAGCCGCCCGCGCCCGAAGAACCGGCGCGCGAATCATCGCCGACGAACGTCGCGTCGCCGGCCGCGCCGCCGGCCCAGGACGAGAACGCAGCCACGACGAGCCTGGAGTTGCAGGTCGTGGGCCTGCGCTACAGGGACGGCCACCGGTTCCTCCGGGAGGGCGCTGCGGTGACGCTGCGGCGCGAGCCAAACGAGCACGACGCCAACGCGATAGAGGCCTGGATTCCGGGCGACCTCGCTCCGGTCCAACTGGGCTTCTTGCGGCGCGGTGCGGCGGCGGCGTTGGCACCTTTAATTGACGAGGGCGTCGTAACGATCGCGAGCTGCGTATGCTGCGCCGCCGAGGAGGATGCGTTCGATGTCTTGGCGGTGACGACGCTGCGCGGCCCGGCCGCAGTCCTTGCGGGCCTCGCGTCGGCGCTCGACGTCGGCGAGGCGTCGTTAACGGCCTCGCGACGCGACTGCGAAGACGCGGTCCGGTGGGCTGAAAGACACGGGGACGCGCCGACGGCACGCCTGGATTGGGACCCTGCGACTGGGGCTACGGTACGCGATGGCTCCGTGGTTCGCGACTACCGGGCACCAGGAGATGCGGTACCCCTCGGCTGGGTTCCGTACGGTGATGTGGGCACCGTGGACGCCGAGGAGCGCTCTGCCGCGTCGTGGCCGCCGGCAGACGCAGCGCTAGCGAAGCTCGGCCTCGCACCGGCCGAAGATGCCCGATGGTACGCTTCCCTGGGCCTCCGGCCGCCACGCGACTGGACGGTCGCGGGCCCCCTCGACAACCTCGCATCCACGACACGCGACGTGCGGAAGATCAGGGACAAGCTCGACGGCGCGATCCACGGCGCTGGAGGGTGCTTTATCGACTCATTTCTCGACGAGATCCGCGCGCGGGTCGCCGAGACGTCCTTCTGGTGCCGTGATTCGGACTTTGAAGCGGAGCGTGATGCGGAGCAGTCTGAAAAGCTCGTCGCATGTATTGGGGCCCCAATGGTAATAGGCGACGCGACCGCGAGGTTGCTGAAAGCGAGGCGCCACGACGACCTCTCCCGTAAGATGTGCCGAGCGCTCGGCGTCGTCTACGCCGCGGCGCATCTCTGCCCAGTCGCGGCCCCGGGCTTTAACTCTCTGATTATCTCTGCACGGCGCAGAGGTAGCGGTTTCTGGTGGCACCAGGACCAAGTGCCTCAGCAGAAGGCGCAGACGACGCTCGCCCCGCGGCAGGCAGTGGCGACGCTTATATTGTACGAGAAAGCGCAGACGGACTCGGGCGCCGACTGTGTGCGCTGGAAACCGGTCCAGAACTGGGAGGACAGTGGTTTGGAAAGGAAATTGGGCGCCGCCCGGACGCTCCCGACCACCGACGCGTTGGTTCATCTGCAGCGGGAGGGCCTCCAGCCGCACGCCAAGCACGCCGTCCACCACACGCCTGGCGCTCCGCCGCGGACGGGAGCACGCATCGTCGTGACCGCCCGCATTGCCAAACTAGACGCGTGGGACGCCGTCGACGTGCCGGCGGTTCGCGAGATGCCTGCTATTGGACCCGACGGCGACGTCACGCTGCCGTTGGTCTGGGGGTGAGTTGTGTGATAAGATAAAATGTACAATATACTTATTTTCTCGGAGACACCACTACAGCGGGGCGAAAAAGAAAGAGCGCTCTTCGCGCTAGTCGTCCGACGTCGACGCGAGGACGTCCTTGGGCATGCGCGCTATTAAAGCAAGCTGCGGCACGCGCCAGACCTGGTAGGCCACGAAGACGATCCACGACCGGATCAAGCACGTCTCCGGCGTGCCGCGCACGCTCTTCGAGAGCAGGGCCACGGCCACGGCCAGAGCGTTGAACGGCATGAGCGCTCCAATCCACCGCGCGTGGCCGAACGCGAACAGCGTCCCCTCGAAGACCGTGTTCAAGACATAAACGCCGAGGGAGGCGCCGATCCACGGCCCCAGCTTTGCAAGTGTCGCGTGCACGAAGGGGTTCGCCGAGAACAGCGACCCGCCGCACGCGGCCAAGCCCCAGGTCAGGCCGAAGGCGACGGTGGCGGCGACGCCTGTTTCTCTCAGCACAGTGGAGAGCACGACGCGCGGCCGCTGCTTCGCTCGTCGCAGCGCGCGCGGCGCCAGGGACTGCGAGGCGGCGCTCAAAGCATCCGCGAACGGTGCAAACAATAAGAACAACCCGTTGGCTATTTGATGGGAGGCCAACTCGGCTAAAGAAGCCCCAGCGGCCGCCGCGACCAAGACCACACCTACCACCGTTTTCGAGAAGAGCGTCGCGAAGATGGGTAGGGCGTCCCCGAACAACCGGCAGAGCGCCCCGAGGGAAGGCCTTGCTTCCTTTTCCAGCGCTCTGTCACATCCAGCTGGATCGAGCTGGTCGTTCTGAAACACAGCCTCCTGCAGCCTTTCGGTTGTTTCCAGTTTGTTCAATGAACGTAGCTGTGCTGCACACCCAACGAGCATCGACAGGGCCGTCGCTAAGGCTGCGCCGGCGACGCCAAGGCCCAAACCGGCCACCAGCACTATATCCCCGACGACATTGAACAACGCCGCCCAGCCGCAGGCTCGTAACGGAGCCGTCGCGTCGCCGCGCGCGATCGACGCCGCCTGCGCCGTCTGCCACATCAGTTGCAATGGCATGGCTGCGCCCCGTATCCTACAGTACGTCGTCGCCGGAGCTAGGACCGCCGCGGTCCGTCCCGTGACATAGACGCTCCTCAGGGTCCCGGCGGCGCCGCCGAGTTCCCCGGACAGGGCCATCAGACTACCGACAATGGCCGACAGCCAGAGGCCTTCTCGTGCGGCTAAGCGAGCCCCTCGGCCGTCGTGATTCGCCACATAAGTAGCGACCCTCGACGTCGTCTTGATAGCTAAAAACGTCATCAGATAGGCTAGAGAATCGGAGAAGGACACGGCCGGCGCGAGCGCCGCGGCGGCAGCAGGGCCCTTCGCGAAGCGCCCGACGACCGCCGTGTCGATCAACGATAGCGTCGGCGCCGCGAGCCAGACCACGAACAAAGGTAGGGCGCGCATCCTCACTTTTCTCCGTGTTATCGCGTCCTCGTCGGCTTCGACGGCGACGTCCGGCGCGACCGCCGCGAGGATCGGGTCCGCCACGACCGGCAGATCTTCGACCAGCGACCACAGCGTGTCGTCCTGGTCGACCTCCCTCAACAGATCGTCGTCCTCGACGAGGATCTCCCTCTCCAACTCCGGCAACGGCATCTCCTCGACGGCCTCGGTACTTTTCCGTTCGTCCACCTCCGCGATCGCCTCCATCGATTCATACACTTGGATCGTCTCGTCGGAGGTCGAACCCTGCAATAGAGCTTCTACCGTGGCCTCCGCGGTCGCGAGCTCGCCCTCATGCACATCGGGGGGTTGCTCGACGAACTCAAAGGCCGTATCTGTCGTCGTGACGGCGGCGCCCTGCAGTAGAGCTTCGATGGCCGTCTCTACTTCTTCGGGCGGGTCCGCGAGCACGTTCCTTGCTGTGCTGCGGCGGTGCAAGAGGCGCGGCGGCGCGAGCAGCGCCGCCGCGGGGCGCAGGGATGCCGCGACGATGGCCGCGGCGGCGCAGCGATGCCGCCTGCGCACCATGGTGGGAAGCAGAGGCCCAATAGGCTCGAGTTTATGCGACTTTCGCGCGCTTTGGGTAAGCAGCTGCTCGGGAGTGTGGTGGTTAAGGGCCTTACTCGTGGCGCAAGCCTCAGTGCTGCTTGGTAGAGCTAACTGGCAACTCACTGGGACGTACGGCTGCCTTTATAGTTTGGTTCGCCTCCTGCGCGTTCTCAGCAGGCATTTGGCGTGCAATATTAGCCGCCGCCAAAGGCGCCCCGTGATCTCGCCAGACAAAGAGTCGTCGGCCGAATTGTCTTCCCATAGGCTCCCTGACCGCGACAGACGGACAAAGGGCGCGAAAAAAAGCCGCGCGCGCGGCGATGGCCGGCCGCGGGCCAGATTGCACAGCCACCCGGCCTCGTCGCTTAGAGAAAGCTCGGCCTACTCCTCTGATAGAATCGAAACGCGGGCGGCGGCCGGGCCGGCCCGCCACGCACCGGCGCGCGAGATCCGCCCCACGAGTCCTAGCACACTTCGATAAAAGCGACTTAGCAGGGGAAGACTAACCTACCACGCCCGCGACCCGTCGACGCCCTTGGATAGCGCGACCTTCGACCCGCCCGTGAGCTCCATGGCCTTTTTGGTCTCGGCCTTCTGGAAGACCGTGTAGAGCAGGTATCTATCAGTCTCCCCAGTGTTCGGCAGGCCGCGGTGCCACAGCCGGTAGTCCATGACGACGGGCGTGCCCGCATGGAGGTAATGTCTCGCGCGCGGCATCGACGCCACTTGCTCGAACTTGTATTTTCCTCTAGACTTGTAGTGGGACGTCGGGATGAACTCCGTGCACCCCGTCTTCTCCGTCAGGTCCGTCAAAGGACAAAACACGATCACCCGGTCCGCTCGAGCGTGGTACTCCTCCACACTATGAACGCCGTCGATGTGCCAGTTCTGCGTCGCGTCGCCCGGCCGCGCGACCACACACCCCACGTAGTTCAGGGACGAGGAAGGACCCAGAATAGCTTTCACAGCAGGAGCCCAGGGCCAGTCAAACCCCTGAACAGCTTGTAAATCGTCGAGCACCATGTCCACGCGCCCGCCCGGTCGCTGGTTGAAGCCCGCCAAGGTCTCGGTCTCGGCGTCCTTCAACAAGTCTTTGCGCTTCTTCGTCACGAGGCCCTCTTCTTGCGCCTCGGCGAGTTTTGAAGCGTACCGTGCCGAAATGGCATCTTTCAAACTCTTCAGGGCTTCTCTTGACAGAATCCACTTCGAACTTTCCAGTAACAGTAGCCCGGCCGCGTCGAACTTCTGCGCCAGTGCCTTCGGACTCAGGGCCTGCACGACGTTGACGACCGCACACCCGTCGTCGTCCTCGTCGACCTTGTTCCACTGATCGCCTTTGGCGTCGCCTTCATCAGGCTTCGTCGTCTTCTCGGAGAAGGCCGACCACGCCCGCGCCGCGCCGCCCGCCGTGGACAGCGCGGGCGCCTCCGCCGTCTCCACCACTTCTTCCACTTCTTCCTCCTTCTCTGGGGCGTCGAAGTCCATTTCCTCCTCCGAGTCCTCGTCCGTCCGCTTTTGTTCAGGCAGCGACTCGTCGTCGGACTCCTCCACGACGACGCGCTTCTTCTTCCGGGGCTTCACCTGCGGCGAGTGGACCTCCCGCTCCATTTCCACGGGCGGCTTGCCGCTCTTCATCTTCATGCTCAACAGCATCGACGGCGTGCAGGTTTTTTTGGGCGGGCTCGACGCAGCTTCGTCAGTTGAGGCGGGCGGCGTCCAGCCCGCCTCGCTCGGCTTGGGCTTCTCGGCCGTCGCGGCCTTTTTGGCGGCGGGCTTCGGCGCGCGCGGCGTGCCGCCGGCGGCGCGCTTCTTGCCCTTTTTTTGTTCGGGGTGCGTCAGCTTCGCGACGCCGTCGACGAGCAACACGAGCGTGTGGCCGTCCGCTAATTTAACGTTCTTGTCGAACTTCTTGGCCGCGAAGGCCCGGCGCGCGCCGCTGTAGCCGCCTTTTGCAAATTCCTTGTCCGCGGCGCTGTCGTGGCACGTCTCTACTGTAGTACCGTCGGCGTCGCGGACGACGATGGAGATGCTGGCCATGGCTGCTATCTGTGGCTGTGTGTGGCTTGGCGGGGCCTAGTTGCTGCGCGTCGCGTGACGCAGCAAGCTGCTCTTGGCTGGCCAGCTCTTGGCGCGCGCTTATTTCTCGCTCGCCGGTGATGCAAGCGCAGCCTACGGCAGCAGGCACGTTCACAGGAGACGGGAGACGAACGCTGCTCCTTTGCTTCAGCGGTGAAGCCCGTATGCAGGAGCAACGAGCGTCTGAGAGATTTTGAATGCAAAGAGAGCTTGCTAGTGTCTTACATGCCGCTAGCAAAAAAGAATAATCGGCAATTTTGACGAGAACGGCGGGTGCATGCGAATTACGAAGGTTCACGACGCGCAGCGCGCTTACTCCATCAGTCAAAAGCACCCCCGACGTCTGACGCCCCAGCCGAAGGTTCACGACGTACAGCACCCTTCATCTATCATTCATAAGGCACTAACGCGCAGCCGACGCGTTCCCGCAGAGAGCTACAGCCACCAAGACAATGCTGCGCGCCCTCCTCTCCCTCCACGCCGCGACGGCGCTTAAAGTAGCCATCACGGGCGCGACCGGCCGCCTCGGCCGCCGCGCCGTCGAGAAGCTCGTCGCGCAGGGCGCCGCCGTGCGCTGCCTCGTGCGCCACGAGCCGGCGGCGGTCGGCGACGACGCGGGCTCGGGGCCCGAGGTCGCCAGGTGGCTGCAGGACCTGTCGCCGTCCGTGGAGCTGCTCATGGGCGACGTCGTCGACGCGGGCGCGGTGGCGGAGCTGGTAAGGGGCTGCGACGCCGTGCTCGCGCTCCACGGCGCGACGCGGCGGCGGCGGCTCGCGGACCTCTGGGAGGACGCGACGGCGGACCCGAACCACGCCAAGAACGTGAACTGCGACGCCGTCGACCGCCTCGCCCGGGAGGCGGCGAAGGCCGGCTGCCGGCGCGTCGTCCGCGTGACGGGCAAGGGCGAGGCGCCGTGGTCCTTCTTCTCCGTGCTCATCAACCTGCTGGGCTGCCACGCCAAAACCTGGAACTACGAGGGCGAGCGGCGGCTCCGCGCGAACGCGGCCATCGACTACACGATCGTCCGGCCGGGCGTCATGGGCGTCGAGACGGAGCTCGCGCCGGACGCGCTCGCGCTCGCCGACGACGGCGGCGACCTCAAGGTCTCGGCGATCCCGCACGCCGCCGTCGCCGACCTCTGCGTCGAGGTGCTGGGCTACCCGAACGCCGCGCGCGCGACGCTCTGCGCGATGACGGTAGATCAAGGAGAGGGCGCGGCGTCGTACGCCGACCTCCTGCCGGCCGTCCGGCCGGACCGGCGGGCCTTCCCGGGCGACGAGCTCCGCCGCGCCAGCTTCCGCGCCGTGCGCGTCGGCGGCGCCGCGCTCGCCATCTTTTTTGGTGCCACGGCGTGGGGCGCGCTGTCGGCGGCGCGGGCGCTCGTGCGCGTCGCGACGCCGCTCGTGCGCGGGGCGCTGGGTGTATAGTGCTTTTGATACCCAGCTTGTTATACTTCTGTTACGGCGGCAGAGAGCCGTTATTGGGGCGAAACCTGCTTGCTAGTGTCTTACAGGCCGCTAGCGCGGATTTGCTGCCGGAGCTCTGCTCGAGCTCTGCTCCGCACTGAGAGGCTCCGGACGCTCCGGACGCCGCGCGAGGACAGGCCGCGTTTTTGGAGATCGCACTACATTCAGAACGATGCGTCAGTCATGGTTATTCATGATTCCGGCGGTGGCAGCCCTCAGCGCCCACACCAGGCGGCGGCAGCAAACAGCTTGGATTAGCACCCACACCAAATGGCAGCATTGTATCAGCCGCCGCGGTCTGGCTGGCGCCGTCGTCGCGACCGCCGGCATCGTGCCGAAGCCATGCGCTGCAAGCGTCGACGACCTTCCGCCGGACGCTCTGAAGGCTCTTGCACGCTATCAGGGGACGCTGCAGATCGCGGCCGACACGTTTGTCTTCGGGATCGGCGAGCAGGCCAAGGACCCGAAGCTGTGGGACGCTCTACCCAAGGCCATCGCGCCGGGGGCGAGGCGCAGTGCATAACTCAAATGTCGGCGCGGTGCACCCGAATCACTGGTTGATTTGCGCGCAGGCACAGGCGGCCGAGCGTACGCTGTGGGCTCCGCTCAACGGGCTCGCACTCACCTTCCTCGACGACGATTTGGTGGACCGCATCCGGACGTTCGAGCTTGCAGTGAAGGACCTCGCGTCTACGGCAGTCAATTCACGGGGCGCGGATCCGTCCCAAGTGAACGCGAAGGCCATCGCCCGTGTCACGAAACTCCACGCCGAGTGCGTCGCCGGGCTAGACAAAGTCTTCAAGCGGGTCAACGCCCTGGCGGCGCCGGACAGGCCGCTCGTGGCGTCGGCGACGGCCCGGTCGGGGGCGCTCTACACGGACTACGTCAAGAACGTGGCCCAATGCCAACAGGCAGGCGGCCCCATGGTCTCGGTGCAGACGGGCGGACTCGCTCGAGGCGCAGTACCTCGCCGGGCAGCGGTAGTAGTAATGTCGTTTCGGTTAGTTCGTTCGGTGCAGGGGGCTGTTACGGTGCTAGGGAGGTGCTAGGGAGGTGCTAGGAGGACTAGTAGGCAGGCCCCTGGGGGGAGACACCGCGTGTCGCCGATTCGTCGGCGGCGGGCGCGGGCCGCTTGGATGTCATCCATTGTTACGGTGCTGGAACTAGTGGGCGGAGCCCCTGCCCAGGGCTGGGACCGCGTCGCCGTGCTAGCGGCACGTAAGACACTAGCAAGCCCATTCGATCAGTTGGCACCGGGGCAGCCATGCAAGTGGTCTGGCAGATGGAACCATGATGCGGCGGGCCGTCGTCGCCGTCCTGGCGCTGGCGCGGGCGGACGAAGTGCGCTTCGCCGCCAAGGTCAGCAGCTGGTGGCACAGCGATGTCGCGCCGACGTTCGAGACCCTCGAGGCCGTCGCCCGCCAGCACCTCCGGAAGAAGGACTACGGCGCGTTCCAGCGGGCGACGGGCACGTCCGTCGGCGAACTGCTGGCGGGCCTCCGCAGTTGCGACGCGAACGCGACCCGCGACGGCGCGACGCTGCCGCACGAGGCGCTGCCGGTGGTCATGAGCACGAAGAAGGTCGTGCCACACCCCCTCAACGCGCGCGGCTTGCAGGCCTTCCGCGCGTTGCTGGCGATCCGAATTATGGCCGACGCCGTCCGGGACAGCGCGCCGCCCGGCGACGCGGCGGCCGCCTGGCGGGCGGCGCTCCTCCGCGACGGCGTCGTCGCGGAGGCCTACGACCCGCCGGGCGGCCGGCTCCTGCCCGCGGCCATCGCGGCGAAGTTCGAGGCGCTGTTCCGGCGCAACTTCTCGACGGCGACGGCCGGCGGCTGGGAGCGCGCCGTCACGGCGCCGAACGACAAGCAGCACTACCTGCACGTCGACACGTACCTACCGACCTACAAGGCGTGGATCTTCCTCAACGTGACCGTCGAGGACGGCCCCTTCGCTTATGTTCGCGGCTCGCACCACGCGTCCGTCCCCAAGCTCCGCTGGCTCTTCGAGCGGACGCGGCATCTCACGTCGACGCGGGCGATGCCGCGCGCGTCGCCGCACTTTTACGCCGCGCGCGGCCCATTTGAGGAGGCGACGTTCGGCTACGAAGCGTCCTTGCGCTTCCCCGGCGCCGACCCGGACGACGCCGCCGCGACCGCGGCCGCGCTGCGCGCCGCCAACTTAGAGCGGCCGACGCTCCTCACGGGCTCGCGGGCGCTAGCCGTCGTCGCCGACACGTCGGGCCTGCATATGCGCGCGCGTCAGGCGCCCGGCCGCGTCCGGACGCAGATCCTACCGCCCATACCGCTCCTCCCGCGACTACCTCCGGCCGACCCGCTGCCCAAACTCGCCGGCGAGGCCGTGGGCGGCGGGCGCAACTGCGCGCCGCGGCGCAACGTGTTCCACTGCGCGAGCCACACGCTGCAGTGCGCGCTGCCCTAATTGTTTGTTCTCGTGTACACAGACCTACTCCTCGACCCCGAGCAGCCGATCGATCAGCACCGCCTTCGTCCCGCCGACCCGCAGGTCGCGCGCCCGGCACCGGTCCTTGAGCTCGGGCACGCGGAGGGCCTCGAGCGCGTCGCGGTCCTCGGCGGAGGCGTCGGGCGCCGCGAGCGCGGCGCGCATGGCGTCGCCGTGTTTTGCAAGAATGCTGTCGAGGTCGATGTCGGCGACGTCGAATGTCGCATCCTCGGCCGGCGCGTCAAGGAAGGAGACGTCACCAGCGAGCGCGGCCACGACGGCCTCGTCGCTTTCGGCCTTGACCGTCGCCGTGGGCGGCGCGCGCGGCGCGACCGGCGGCGCGTGCGGCAGGCAACGCCGGTTCCGGTCGTCGATCCGCAGCTCGTAGAGGTCGCGGACGTCGTCGCGGATCGCGTCGGCCGCCGCGTAGTCCTTGGCGTCGCGCGCGTCGTCGCGGTCGGCGAGGAGGGCCAGCACCTCGGCGGGCAGCGGCCCGTTTTCGGCGCCGACCCAGGGCAGGAGGCCGCCGAACTCGTCGAAGGCGCCGCGGCGGTCGCTGAACGCGTCGCGCGCCGCGGCGCGCGGCGGCGCCTCGCCGCGGCCGCGCCGGCGCCGCTCCTGGCGGTCCTCGCGGACGGCGATCGCGGCGCCGCGGAGCGCCGCGCCGTTGAGGTCCCGGATGGCCGCGTCGCAGGCCTCGGCCGACGCGAGCTGCACGACGCCGCAGCCCTTGGAGCTGCCGTCGGCGTGGGCCGACACGCTCGCGTAGACGACGTCGAAGCCGGCCTCGCGGAAGAAGTCCTTCAGGTCGTACCACTGCACGGCCGGGTCGAGGCCCGCGACGAAGACGCGCGTCCGCTGGAAGTCGCCGCCGCCGGCGTCGCTCGGGCAGTCGCGCGCGAGGTGGCCCGGCTCGCCGCACTTGTAGCAGAGCTTCTGGGTCTCCCGCCGCCGCGGCGGCGGCCGCTCCCCGAAGCCGTCGCCGTCGCGGTCGCGGTCGGGCAGCAGGAAGTCCTCGTCGAGCGGGCTCGGCGCAAGGCGCGCGGGCGTCGCGAGGCGCCGCGCCGAGCGGAGGCGCGGCGCCAGCGCCGCGCACCGCATACCCAAGGCAGCCAGCATGGCGCGGCGCATCGACTGCAGCGACAGTGCTCTCGATTGCACGCTGCTGAGTGCAATGACAAATGCCGAGCGCCAAGCGAGAAGCGAGAAGCAAACCTAGCTAGCGTATCAACACACTAGCAAACAAGTTCATTTTAAAGCCTCGTTCCCCGAACGAAACGGACTCATGGGACAGGTCCTAGGCATAACTCCACCCCGGCTCCGACTCGTTTCGTGCGAGGCAGCGGCACTCCCGAGGGGCAGCCATCGATCCCAAGGGATAGCAAACGGCTTCAGTGCATCGGCGGGCCACACGAGCCGAACTCCGCCCAAAACTGAGCTGCCCCAAAGATGGCTGGAGCTGCCTAGGGGCACGAGGCAACGATGCGTCCGGGGCTGTGCCTGCTCCTGCTGGGCGCGGCCGCGGATGACCGCGTCGTGCTGAGGCGAGGGGACGCCGCGCCGGTGTCCGTGCCGCCGCAGGAGCCCGGCACGCGCCGCGCGCTGCGGAGAGAGGACGCCGCGGTGCCGCCGCGGCGCGGACGCGCGGACCCCGCGGGGGTGCCCGCGCCGCCCCAGGACGTCGCGGTGCCGCCGCGGCGCGGACGCGCGGACCCCGCGGGGGTGCCCGCGCCGCCCCCGGACCCCGGCCGCGCGCGCCGGGACCTGCAGGCCTCCGACGACGACGAGGCCTGCCAATACGTCTCCGTATCGGGCACGACCGGCCAAACCAGCCGGGAGGGCACGTACGAGCGCGTCGGCGAGTGCGCGGCGCGGCCCTACTACGAGTGTTTGGACTGCAGCGCCAGCGACCCCCAGTTCATCTGGTACACGGGGTCCCAGTGGTTCATCGGGCCCGGCGGCTGCGGCGCGACCGTCGCCGGCATCTATATTAACGATGCGACCGGGGACCTCGCGGCCCTGACGGGGAACTGGGCCGAGTCTCCCTTCACGGAGGAGAACCCGGCGATCGCCGTCGAGTGCTTCGCGCCGACCGAGGCGCCGACGCCGCTGGCGCAGCATGCCTCCGACGACGACGACGCCTGCCAATACGTCTCCGTATCGGGCACGACCGGCCAAACCAGCCGGGAGGGCACGTACGAGCGCGTCGGCGAGTGCGCGGCGCGGCCCTACTACGAGTGTTTGGACTGCAGCGCCAGCGACCCCCAGTTCATCTGGTACACGGGGTCCCAGTGGTTCATCGGGCCCGGCGGCTGCGGCGCGACCGTCGCCGGCATCTATATTAACGATGCGGTCGGGGACCTCGCGGCCCTGACGGGGAACTGGGCCGAGTCGCCCTTCACGGAGGAGAACCCGGCGATCGCCGTCGAGTGCGCGACGACCGAGGGCGCGCCGACCGAGGCGCCGACGCCGCTGGCGCGGACCGGCCGCTGGCTGGAGGGGTTGCCCTGCAACTACGTCTCCGTGTCGGGCTCCACCTATCAAAGCGGCAGGCACGGCCTGTATGAAGCGAGCCTTTGCGACGACGGGACTCCTCTTTACACCTGTCTCGACTGCAGCAGTTCGGAACAGAAAATTTGGTTAAACGGTAATGGCTGGGTTATCGGCTCTGCTGGCTGCGGAAGTGGTTCTGGTGGAATATTTTCCCCCTCCGACCCGGGCGGAGACCTCGCGGCTTTATCTGGAGATTGGAGCGAGTGGGACGGGAGTGCAACCGTTCCCAACTCTGCCATCGCGGTCACGTGCGCGGTGAGTCTCCCGCCGACGATGGCCCCGGTGCCCTGCGACTGGGCCCGCGTCTCGGGCGCCGCCGTTCAAACCTCCTATCACGGCTTTTACGAAGCGACCGGAACGTGCACTGACAGTTCTCAGCCTTACTTTTCGTGCCTCGACTGCGGAAGCACGAAACACATCTGGTATCACGATTATGGATACTGGTTCATGGGCCCAGACGCAGACGGCTGCGCCTCGACCTCTTCGGGCATTAGTATCGTCACAAACGAAGACCTCCCGGACGTGTCCGGAGATTGGAGCGAGTGGACCGGGTCCGCGTGGTCAGTCAACTCCGCCATCACGGTCGAGTGCTACGCGGCCGCGGGCTGTCAGCAGGTCCCCGGCACGACGGCCAAGTACAAGTGCTTCGACTGCGGCGGCGCGAGCGCCCTGGCGAGCGTCGGCGACGGCCACTGCGACGCCGAGAACAACGTCGATCCGTGCTACGACGGCGGCGACTGCTGCGAAACAACTTGCGTCGACGGCACCTCCACGTGCGGAAACTACGACTGCGCGGACCCCGACGCGCCCCCGGTGCCGGACCCGTACTACGCCGACGCCGCGTGGTACCTCGAAGCGATCCGCGCGCCCGAGGCGTGGGCCGCGGGCTATAACGGAAGCGGCGTGCAGATTCTCATCAACGATAACGGCGTCGACAACACGCATCCGGACCTGGCGAAGCTCGACCTGGCCAACTCGTGCGGCGTTTATGCCCCATGCGCGGACAGTGACGGCGTCATGGACTCGCACGGCACGGTCTGCGCGTCGCTGGCGGCCGGCGACTCGAACTCGGCTTGCGGCGTCGGCGTCGCACCGGGCGCCGGCATCGCGTCGTGCGTAATGCTGGGCGAATGCTCCACAAGCGAGGACTTCCTCACGCACAATTACGATGTGAACGACATCTCGTCGAACAGCTGGGGCACCAACGCGTGCGAGCGCTACGCCACTTCGGCGACAGACTGCCCGTTTGAGTGTCCTTCGGCGAGCTCGGCCGACTGCCCGTGCGACGCGTGCGATGGCGACGACTGGGCGTCAGGGGACCTCTCGGCAACGTGCGAGGATGCTGTCGTGGATTACTGCACCAATTACTTCCACGACGACGTGACGCCCTGTTTGGAGCTCGACCATTACTTCGTCCAGTGCGGCTACGGCCAGATCTCGAGCAGCAGGCACAACAGTTTTGTCGATGGCACGACAAACGGTCGAGGCGGCCTGGGCACGGTGTACGTCTTCTCGGCAGGCAACTCGTACGAAATCGGCCAGGACGTGAACTACGAGGGCCACAAAAAGAGCCGCTTCACCATTTCGGTGGGCGCGCTCGGCCTTGACCTCAAGCACGCGTCCTATTCGTCTTCTGGAGCACCGGTCTTCACCAGCGCGCCCGGCGGCGACACCGACCACGGCATGTTCGCCGCGCAGCCGCTCGCCCTCGGCGCCGTCGACAACTGCGCTGACGCCGGCATGGGCACGTCCTACGCGGCCCCGCTCGTCTCCGGCGTCGCGGCTCTGGTCTTGGAAGCGAACCCCAATTTGACATGGCGTGACGTTCAGGGAGTGCTCGCCGCGACCGCGCGGACCGACTTCAACGACGAGGACGACGAGACCGGCCAGTGGACCACGAACCAGGCCGGTGTGAAACATAGCTACAAGTACGGTTTCGGTTTAGTGGACGCGCTGGCCGCGACCACGGCGGCGAAGACCTGGACGACCCTGGGCGCCGAGATCACGCTCGTGACGGCGACGACCAGTGGCGCGGCCCTGCTCGACTTCGACGGCACCGAGCACTGGGTCGAGTCGGAAGCGGCGGAGTTCGGTTCGTCGGACTTTATCATCGAAGGCGTCTCGGTCTACGTGACCATTGAGCATCCAAGGAGAGGCGACCTGAGGATCGAACTCGAGCGGAACGGCGTCACTTCGCTCCTGACAGACGACAAGCTCGAGCAAGGTACTAGCTACACGCACTGGAAGTTCTTTACGCTTCGGCACTGGGGAGAGACCGCGGACAGCGGTGCATTTACGCTCCGCGTGGCGGACCGGAGAGCCGGGAGCGGTGACGACGACGACCTCGGATCGCGGCGACGGCTCGACGACGACGACGGCGTCCTGGTGAAGTGGACGCTGCAGCTCTACGGTCACGATAGCGACACGTCGACGCCGTGGACGCCGCAGCCGACACCTCGGGGCGGCTGTGATTCCGTCGCCGTGTCGGGCTCCAACGATCAAAGCAGCAGCCACGGAACGTACTTATTTAGCGGCAGATGCGAGGATAAGGTCTACTATCAGTGCTCCGACTGCAGCTTCACGCGATACCTCTGGTATAAGAATGGTGGCTACTGGGTCATCGGCCAAGACCCAGACGGCTGCGATTCGCTCAATGGGTACATATATATCAACTCAGACGATGACCTCGCGGACGTGTCCGGAAATTGGATAGAGTCTACCAGCTCCGGGTGGACGCCCAACCCGGACATCGTTGTTGAATGCAATTTTGACCCGACGCCGCGGCCATCGCCTTCGCCGTCCACATTGCCGGCGGCCACCCTGCCGTCCCGCACGGACCACAGCTACTCGTACAGCTACTCGCACAGCTACTCGCACAGCTATCCCCCGGAAAACATGCCGGCGGCCGCCCTGCCGTCCCGCACGGACCACAGCTACTCGTACAGCTACTCGCACAGCTACTCGCACAGCTATCCCCCGGAAAACATGCCGGCGGCCGCCCTGCCGTCCCGCACGGACCACAGCTACTCGCACAGCTACTCGCACAGCTACTCGCACAGCTATCCCCCGGAAAACAGTCCGTGCGCATCCCCGGACTTTGCTGCCTGCAACGGAGAGATAGGTACTAATGCGTGTGGCTACACTTCGACGTGCACATATCACGCAGGGCTGACCAAGTGCACCGTGGCCGAAGGAGGCATATGTTCGGCGTGCTCTCCCTGCGACAAGGACTTTAGTGCGACCGCCCTGCCGTCCCGCACGGACCACAGCTACTCGTACAGCTACTCGCACAGCTATCACCCGGACGAATGGATCACGTACACCCTGTTCGAGGGCGCGACCCCGTCGGCTTCCGGCGCGGACCTGGACGTGGTCCTTGAGCAGACATTTTGGGAAGGCGAGTATAAACTCGGTATATGGTTCACAATGCCAACTGACCTTGGATCCATCGGTGACTGGAATGGCCTCCTGGGTCGCGACGATGGGGGACACCCGTACCCGTACTTCAACCGGGACGGCCTCTGGTTCGAGAAGCAAAACGGACCGCACCCGCAGGCCGCGGGCCTGGAGCTGAGTTGCTTCGAGGGGGGCGCCAGCTACACCGCGTCGGTGTATCACTATCTGGAAGGCGGCGGCGACTGCTTCGACATGAGCGTCGAAAGAATCGGAGCGGAGGCGCCCTGCTCTCCGGTGTCCTGGTGCTACGACTACGACTATGACAACGTACCGCTGTACGCGGGATGCGGCTACGGAAAGGAGGATGAGGTCTTTCCCGGTTCGGTGACGAAAGTCGTCTTTCTCTTCAAGCCTGGGTCCAGTCCAGCGCCCGACGACGAGGACGACTGCACCCCGGGGTGGCACTCCATGAAGTGCCTCGACGACGGGACAGTGATGCGCGGCGACGGCTGCGCCTCGTGCGGCGACTGCGCGATGTACGACTTCACGGCGGCCACTGGCGGCCGAGCCACCTGCAAGCTACACGGCCCGGATGGTTCGTACTCGTACTCGTACTCGCACAGCTACTCGTACAGCTACGGCCAGGGCGTCACGGCGACCTACTACTTCGACGGCGTCGAGCAAGCGGTGGAGGAGTGCTGGTACGACGACTGCTCGGAGGACGAGGACGAGGACTGGAGGTGGGCGAACAGCTGTCGCCAGGACTACTGCACGTCCATGGGCGACGACTGCTACGCCTCGATGGACTGGGGCGAGCCGGCGACCTGCTCAAACGGCTACTTTCCGTCGCCGCCGAACCCGCCTGAGCACGACCCCGAGTACACGTGCTGCCCGAGCGCGACCAGTTATCGCTCCGGTTCGTGCGGGGACCACGCCTGGGGCGCCTATCGCGACGGATACTCCAAGTGCGCCTCGGTGGGTAGAGAACCCTATCCCGAGGGCGACGCCGCCCTCCACGCAATGGGGGACGACGCGGAGACGTGCTGCCCGACTGGCCACGACGACGGCACAGACATCTGCGCGATACTGTGGGACCACGGCCTCGGTCCGGAGTACGCCAAAGCAAGACCTGACGGGACGCCGTGCGACCCGGGGTGCGAGTGCTGCCGCGCCGACGGCGGCTGCGGCGAGTGCGCCGGCGACCACGTCTGTGAATTCGCCGGCGACTACGGCTATTGCACGTCCTGCGAACTTAAGTTCGCTGGCGACGACGGCCTGATCGAGTATTGCCGGACCGAGGCCGGTGCCGGTTTCGATTGGGCCGGGACGCACTACGATAATACCTGTACACCGGGCGACGACTGCACCCCGGGCTATTTGGCGATGGAGTGCCGAGACGACGGGCACCTGTGGTCCGGGCATTGTGGCGCGGTTCCCTGCGGCGAGGACTGCCAAATGACAAACGACCTAACGATGGAGACGGGCTACCAATACACCTGCGAGCCGGGCACGAATACCTATTACTACGACGAAGACATTGACGGCAACATCGAGCTCGAGGCGCAGTTCGAGGCGTGCGGGTACGACGACTGCTCGGAGGACGACGACGACGACGACGACGACGACGACGACTGCGCAGAGGGCTGGCGCGTGTTTGATTGCCTCGACGACGGGACGGTGATGCACGGCGAGGGCTGCACCTCGTGCGAAGGCTGCGACCTGTGGGATTTCACGGCGGCATCGGAAGGCCGCGTGACCTGCAAGCGAGACGGCCACGGCTCGTACTCGTACAGCTACTCGCACAGCTACTCGTACTCGTATCGCACGGCGACCTATTTCTACGACGAGGACCTCGACGGCCGCGTCGACGAGGAACGCGTCTTCGAGTCCTGCTCGTACCAAAGCTGCGAGGGCGGCTCGGGGGATTTTGCCAGATACGAGGTCAGCGGCGGACCAATGACGTTTAGTTCCTGCGAGGATCACTGCGCGAGTCTGGGCGGCACGGTGGCCTGCGTGACGTCGGACGCCGACGAGACCGCGCTCGACGCGCTTCGGGCCGGAGCCATGTGCGACGAAGTCTGGGTCGGATTCAACGACGCCGACGGCGACGGGGCGTGGGTTTGGCCGGCCGGCTGTTCGTCGGCGCGCGAGTACGGCGAGTGCGACGGCGGGCCGTGTGAGGACCACGCCGGCCACTGCGTCACCCTCAACAGGAATGTGAATATGTGCTCCGAGAGTTCCCAGTGTTGCGCCTGCTCGATATCTGGCTCCTGCACGGAACTGAGTGGTGTCCAGCGCGACCTCTGCGAGTGGCACGACGTCGCCGGCATGGGCAGCGACGCGGCGGGGCTCAACGCCTGCCGCGCGTGGTGCGACGCCGAGGCGAGTTGCTTCGCCATCCAGTGGGTTCCCGGCGAAGGCTGGTGCAACCCGTGCACCGGCTGGGCCAACGACCAGGGCGTCGACTCGCTGGGCGCCTGGGCGGCGACGTCGGGCGACGCCGAGGTGCAGAGCAAGGAGTGCTGGCAGAGCGGGCATGACCACGACGATGGCGACGAGGACGACTGCACGCCGGGCTGGCACTCCATGAATTGTCTGGACGGGACGGTGATGTACGGCGAGGGCTGCACCTCTTGCGGCGACTGCGCGATGTACGACCTCACGGCGGCCACCTTGGGCTTAATCACGTGCAAACGAGACGCTTCGTACTCGTACTCGTACAGCTACGGTCGCGACCACGCAGCGACCTATTTCGAGGGCGGCGTCGAGTTTCCGGTTCCAGGGGAGTGCTGGTACGACGACTGCAGCGCCTCCACGGATTACGAAGGTCCGTGCACCGAGAACTGCGTCGCGTGCGACGGCCCGGGATACGAAGACTGTCTGGAGTGCGAACCGGGTTACGCACACTACGACGAGGACGGCGACGGCGGGGGTTCGTGCTGCACGCCGGGCTACGAGGTCATTGAGTGCCGCGACGATGGCACGCCGATGCGCGGGGTTGGCTGCGCCTCGTGCGACGCGACGGCCTGCGCGCTGCACGACGCGACGTTCGACTTCGGTGGCCGCGTGACCTGCGAGCCCGGCACGTCGCCGATCGTCTATTATCACGACTACGACGACGACGGCATCGTCGACGAAGAGGGGACGCGCGAGCCGTGCTCCTACGACGACTGCGGCGGCGGGGCTGCGGACGAAGACGAGGACCACTGCACCCCGGGCTGGCATTCCGTGAAGTGCCTCGACGACGGGACGGTGATGCGCGGCGAGGGCTGCACCTCGTGCGGCGACTGCGCGATGTACGACTACACGGCGGCCACTGGCGGCCGAGCCACCTGCAAGCTACACGGCCCGGATGGTTCGTACTCGTACTCGTACTCGCACAGCTACTCGTACAGCTACGGCCAGGGCGTCACGGCGACCTACTACTACGACGGCGTCGAGCAGGCGATGGAGGAGTGCTGGTACGACGACTGCTCGGAGGACGAGGACGAGGACTGGATGTGGGAGAATGACTGTCGCCCGGACTACTGCACGTCATTGGGCGGTGACTGCTGCGCCTCGATGGATTGGGGCGAACCGGCGACATGCGCGAACGGCTACACTCCGATGCCGCCAAACCCGTCCGGGGACGACTGCCGGTACACGTGCTGTCCTGCGGGTCCATCTCATGCGCCGACGACGGCCGTCCCCACGATCAGTGTCGCGCCCACGATCGACGTGTGTTCGACGGTCGGCGAATTCGACTACGAGGGCCGCACGCTCTACTGCGTCGAGGCCGAGGGCGAGCTCCACAACGTCCTGCGCGTCGAGGACGGCCACAGTACGTGCCGCCACACGGACGAGAACAGCTGCCCCGCCGGCTTCGACATCTGGGTGCCGCGCAGCTACGCGCACGCGCTCGCCGTCCTCGAGGCGACGGGCGGGCAAGACCTCCAGCATCACCACTTCCTCGTCGGCATTTACCGCGACGAGGACGGCTGCGGCTCGTGCGGCGACTACCCGATGAACAGCGACGCCATGGCCACGTACAGCGGCGTCGGCTGGCGGGGCGTCGCAAGAGGCGATTGGTTCATGCGGTCGTCGGCCTATCACGAGCCAAACGGCGACTACGAAGCCGGCTGCTGGCTTGGTACGTACGGCTGGTCGACCGAAGGCTTCGAGTTCCACGACAACTATTGCCATCAGTGCTTCTCGACGTACCTATGCTCGACGAATACCGCAAAGGCCGCGCCCAGTCCCGCGCCGACCATCACGGCGGCGCCGACGGTCACCGCCATACCCACGGCGGCCGAGCACTGGCGGACCGGCCCCGCGGGCGCCTGCGACGCAGATGACGAACATTGGCTCGGTTACATGCCCTCGCGCGAGGCGTGCATCGAGGCCTGCGACGCGGCGGGCTACGACGCCATGGCCTGGGACACGAACGAGAAGAATTGCGTTTGTTTCATGCAGGACCAGTGCGAGTGCGTCTACACAGACGAGTGCTGGTGCGAAGGCAAGGACGGGTTCGAGCCCTGGATGATGTCCGAGAGCGAGTGCGCCGCGCACGGATGCGATTACTACTCGGAATGGAGCTACTGCAGTTGCGAAGACCCCGACTCGTGCGCGTCCGCCGGAGGAGAGCCGAATTGCCAGTCCTTCGCACCGATGGCGTTCAAGGGCAACTTCATGGTAGAAATGTGCATCGACTGCAGCGACGTCACGGTGGCGGACGACCTCGGCTGGGCGCCGGACGGAACCACTTACCACAGCGATCACTCGATGGGCTGGTGCTACAGTGATCTTGATGAGCTCATTGGCTGCACGGCGTCGCCGGGCGAGTGCTGGACGATCTGTGAGGACGCGCACGGCGACGACCTCGTGGCCATCGACTGGGAGGACGGCGAGTGCTACTGCCGGGACGACTGCCTGTGCATGGCGGAAGCCGGCCAAGAAGAAACCTACCTGATCACGCGCGAAGGGACGGCGTTACCCCAGGAGTGCGAAGGCGACGAGGACGAGGACGCGGACGAAGACGAGGATGGCTGCACCCCGGGCTGGCACTCCATGAAGTGCCTCGACGACGGGACGGTGATGCGCGGCGAGGGCTGCGCCTCGTGCGGCGACTGCGCGATGTACGACTTCACGGCGGCCACTGGCGGCCGAGCCACCTGCGAGCTACACGGCCCCGATGGTTCGTACTCGTACTCGTACTCGCACAGCTACTCTTACAGCTACGGCCAGGGCGTCACGGCGACCTACTACTACGACGGCGTCGAGCAGGTGGTGGAGGAATGCGGGTACGAAGACTGCCTTATTGCCTATTATCCCTTCGTCGACGGGACGACGCAGGACGCCCATAACAGCTGGAATGGCATGCCCGAGACCATGGCCACGACCGAGGGCCGAGACGGTGGTACGGCAATAACGCTGGCCGGCATGCGCTGGGAGTCTGTCTGGCTTCCCTGGGAGGTGGTGCGAGACCTCGACGGCGACGCCGATCGAACCGTCTGTCTCTGGGCGCGCATCGACTTGTGGAACGGCGGCTACCTGTTCCACTACGGCGGCTCGTCCGACCCCGGGTCGTACGCGCCGACGCTCCAAGATACCTACGATCCGACGTACGCGCCGACGCTCCAAGATACCTACGATCCGACGTCCGCGCCGACCGCGGCACCGAGCCCGTTCACACGGGTTCCCACGACCGCGCCGCCGAGTTACGTACCGTCGAGCGCCCCAAGCGCTACGCCGACAGTGCCCAGGCCGTCTTATCGGCCGACGACGGAGCGGACGTTCGAGCCCACGAGCGAGCCTACTTCGGGGCCCACGGCCGAGCCGACGACGGAGACCGACGCGCCTTCCTCGGTGCCGACCGGCGCGCCGACGTCCTGGACGCCGGCGCCGTTCGCAGCGCCGCCGGACGATGATGAGATTCGGCGGCGGCGGCTCACGCACGACGAACTCTCGGCGTCCTTTGGCCTGCGCGTCGGCACCGAGGAAGGCGACCTAGTGATCATCGCCGACAGCACGCAGGCGGCAGTGAGCCTCGGCCGCCACATCGACTGGCGAGACTTTCATCACTTTTGTCTCACGTACGACGGCCCGAGCCGCGGCGGCAACTCGGCGCTGGCCTTGTACTTCGACGGCGAGCGCAGCTGGCAGGAGACTATAGGCCTCGACACGAAGATAGAGGAGGGGCGCTGGATGTCGCTCGGCATGGACCAGATGATGAGCTATCCCCTGACCGCCGCGCTGGACGAGGTCTACATCTACGCCCGCGCCCTCGACGCGTCGGCCGTCGCCGTGCTCTACGGCAGCGTGAGCGCGGCGCCGACCGTCACGCCGGTGCCTACGACGACCGAGCACTGGCGGACCGGTCCCGTGGGCGCCTGCGACGCAGATGACGAACATTGGCTCGGTTACATGCCCTCGCGCGAGGCGTGCATCGAGGCCTGCGACATGCATGGCTACGACGCCATGGCCTGGGACACGAACGAGAAGAATTGCATATGTTTCATGCAGGACCAGTGCGAGTGCGTCTACACAGACGAGTGCTGGTGCGAAGGCAAGGACGGGTTCGAGCCCTGGATGATGTCCGAGAGCGAGTGCGCCACGCACGGATGCGAGTACGAGGTTGAGGATTATTGGAGCTGGTGCGAGTGCGAAGACCCCGACTCGTGCGCGTCCGCCGGGGGAGAGCCACAATGCCGTTCCTTCGGACCGATGGCGTTCAAGGGCAACTTCACGGTAGAAATGTGCCCTGACTGCAGCAACGTCACGGTGGCGGACGACCTCAACTGGGCGCCGGACGGATCCATGGCTCATGGTCACTCGATGGGCTATTGCGACAGCGATCTGGATAGGCGCATTGGCTGCACGGCGTCGCCGGGCGAGTGCTGGACGATGTGTGAGGACGCGTACGGCGATGGTTTGGTGGCCATCGACTGGGGGGACGGCGATTGCTACTGTCAGAACGACTGCCCGTGCATGGATGACGTCGGCAACGAAGAAAGCTACCTGATCACGCGCGACTCGTTCGCCGCGCTGCCGCAGGAGTGCGAAGGCGACGAGGACGAGGACGCGGACGAGGACGAGGACGGGGACGAAGATGAGGATGGCTGCACCCCGGGCTGGCACTCCATGAAGTGCCTCGACGACGGGACGGTGATGCGCGGCGAGGGCTGCGCCTCGTGCGGCGACTGCGCGATGTACGACTACACGGCGGCCACTGGCGGCCTGATCACTTGCAAGCTGCACGGCCCCGAGGGTTCGTACTCGTACTCGTACTCTTATAGCTACCAGGGCGGCATGGCGACCTACCTCTACGATAGTGCCACCGTCGGGAGCAGACAACTGGTCCTGCCTTTTAACCCACATGGCGCCGAGCTCCGGTTCCGAGCTCAAGACCTGAATGATGGAATGACTACTAACGGTTGGTCGTTATACGACGGCGACAACGTCGTGGCGTGGCTCACGCTTGGCGACAGCGATCAACACACGACGCACGTGTGCCTCAATAGCGTGGTCTCTGACAATATGGATGCAGGCTACCCATGCCTGGAACTTCTGGGACCGGACACGCACGCGCGGCTCGCACCGACCGACTGGGTGACGGTCGTGTTCTCGGCGTCGACCGACGCGCCGGCGGTGTCGATCTACATCAACGGAGTCGTCGCGGCGACGTCGAGCCAGACCGGAAGCACGTATCATGCCGAGAGTGGCAACTCCCTCGACGCGCCGCTCCAACTGCGAGTCGAGGGAGAGTGGATACATGAGCTACAGGTTGACTGGTCTTCAGAGGAGTGCTGGTACGAAGACTGCCTCATTGCCTATTATCCCTTCGTCGACGGGACGACGCAGGACGCCCATAACAGCTGGAATGGCATGCCCGAGACCATGGCCACGACCGAGGGCCGAGACGGCGGTACGGCAATAACGCTGGCCGGCATGCGCTGGGAGTCCGTCTGGCTTCCCTGGGAGGTGGTGCGAGACCTCGACGGCGACGCCGATCGAACCGTCTGTCTCTGGGCGCGCATCGACTTGTGGAACGGCGGCTACCTGTTCCACTACGGCGGCTCGTCCGACCCCGGGTCGTACGCGCCGACGCTCCAAGATACCTACGCGCCGACGTACGCGCCGACGCTCCAAGATACCTACGATCCGACGTCCGCGCCGACCGCGGCACCGAGCCCGTTCACACGGGTTCCCACGACCGCGCCGCCGAGTTACGTACCGTCGAGCGCCCCAAGCGCTACGCCGACAGTGACCAGGCCGCCGAGTTACGTACCCTCGAGCGCCCCAAGCGCTACGCCGACAATGCCCAGGCCGTCGTACCGGCCGACGACCGGCGCGCCGACGTCCTGGACGCCGGCGCCGTTCGCAGCGCCGCCGGACGACGATGAGATCCGGCGGCGGCGGCTCACGCACGACGAACTCTCGGCGTCCTTTGGCCTGCGCGTCGGCACCGAGGAAGGCGACCTAGTGATCATCGCCGACAGCACGCAGGCGGCAGTGAGCCTCGGCCGCCACATCGACTGGCGAGACTTTCATCACTTTTGTCTCACGTACGACGGCCCGAGCCGCGGCGGCAACTCGGCGCTGGCCTTGTACTTCGACGGCGAGCGCAGCTGGCAGGAGACTATAGGCCTCGACACGAAGATAGAGGAGGGGCGCTGGATGTCGCTCGGCATGGACCAGATGATGAGCTATCCCCTGACCGCCGCGCTGGACGAGGTCTACATCTACGCCCGCGCCCTCGACGCGTCGGCCGTCGCCGTGCTCTACGGCAGCGTGAGCGCGGCGCCGACCGTCACGCCGGTGCCTACGACGGCCGAGCACTGGCGGACCGGTCCCGTGGGCGCCTGCGAGTCAGATGACGAACATTGGCTCGGTTACATGCCCTCGCGCGAGGCGTGCATCGAGGCCTGCGACGCGGCGGGCTACGACGCCATGGCCTGGGACATGAGCGAGGGGGAATGCGTTTGTTTCATGCAGGACCAGTGCGGCTGCGTCTACACAGACGATTGCTGGTGCGAAGGCAAGGACGGGTTCGAGCCCTGGATGATGTCCGAGAGCGAGTGCGCCGCGCACGGATGCGAGTACGAGGTTGAGGATGATTGGAGCGGGTGCGAGTGTGATGAAGCCATGTGCGCGTCGGCCGGGGGGCAGTGGCACTGCCATTCCTTCGGACCGATGGCGTTCAAGGGCAATTTCACGGTAGAAATGTGCCCTGACTGCAGCAACGTCACCATGGCGGACGACCTCGGCTGGGCACCCGACGGATCGATTCCGCATGGTTCGTCGATGGGCTGGTGCTACAGCGAGCTGGATAAGCTCATTGGCTGCACGGCGTCGCCGGGCGACTGCTGGGCGATGTGCGAGGACGATCCCTACATCGACGACCTCGTGGCCATCGACTGGAACGAGGATGGCGAGTGCTATTGTCAGAACGACTGCCTGTGCATGGCGGAAGTTGGTGACGAAGAAAGCTACCTGATCACGCGCGACTCGTTCGCCGCGCTGCCGCAGGAGTGCGAAGGCGACGAGGACGAGGACGCGGACGAAGACGAGGACCACTGCACCCCGGGCTGGCACTCCGTGAAGTGCCTCGACGACGGGACGGTGATGCGTGGCGAGGGCTGCACCTCGTGCGGCGACTGCGCGATGTACGACTACACTACGGCCACTGGCGGCCGAGCCACCTGCGAGCTGCACGGCCCCGATGGTTCGTACTCGTACTCGCACTCGCACAGCTTCTCGTACAGCTACGGCCAGGGCGTCATGGCGACCTACTACTACGACGGCGCCGAGCAGGCGGTGGAGGAGTGCTGGTACGACGACTGCTCGGAGGACGAGGACGAGGACTGGAGGTGGGCGAACGGCTGTCGCCAGGACTACTGCACGTCCATGGGCGACGACTGCTACGCCTCGATGGACTGGGGCGAGCCGGCGACCTGCTCAAACGGCTACTTTCCGTCGCCGCCGAACCCGCCTGAGCATGACTCCGAGTACACGTGCTGCCCGAGCGCGACCAGTTATCGCTCCGGTTCGTGCGGGGACCACGCCTGGGGCGCCGATCGCGACGGATACTCCAAGTGCGCCTCGGTGGGTAGAGAACCCTATCCCGAGGGCGACGCCGCCCTCCACGCAATGGGCGACGACGCGGAGACGTGCTGCCCGGGCGGGATGTATCCCAGTCCCGCGCCGACGATCACAGCGGCGCCGACGGTCACCGCCATACCCACGGCGGCCGAGCACTGGCGGACCGGCCCCGCGGGCGCCTGCGACGCAGATGACGAACATTGGCTCGGTTACATGCCCTCGCGCGAGGCGTGCATCGAGGCCTGCGACGCGGCGGGCTACGACGCCATGGCCTGGGACACGAACGAGAAGAATTGCGTTTGCTTCATGCAGGACCAGTGCGAGTGCGTCTACACAGACGAGTGCTGGTGCGAAGGCAAGGACGGGTTCGAGCCCTGGATGATGTCCGAGAGCGAGTGCGCCGCGCACGGATGCGAATACGAGGTTGAGGATTATTGGAGCTGGTGCGAGTGCGAAGACCCCGACTCGTGCGCGTCCGCCGGGGGAGAGCCACAATGCCATTCCTTCGCACCGATGGCGTTCAAGGGCAATTTCACGGTAGAAATGTGCATCGACTGCAGCAACTTCACGGTGGCGGACGACCTCGGCTGGGCACCCGACGGATCGATTCCGCATGGTTCGTCGATGGGCTGGTGCTACAGCGAGCTGGATGATGACATTGGCTGCACGGCGTCGCCGGGCGACTGCTGGGCGATGTGCGAGGACGCGTACGGCGACGATCTTGTGGCCATCGACTGGGGGGACGGCGAGTGCTATTGTCAGAACGACTGCCAGTGCATGGAGGACGTCGGCGACGACGAAAGCTACCTTATCACGCGCGACTCGTTCGCCGCGCTGCCGCAGGAGTGCGAAGGCGACGAGGACGAGGACGGGGACGACGACGCCCCCGGCGACAACTGCGCGGCGGCGATGGCCTGTTCCGCGTGCGGCGATGGCTGCGCTTGGTGCGCTGCGGATCTGATCTGTGCCGCTGCCGACAACATTCCAACGAAAAGCGACCTTTGGGACCAGGGACACACCGCAGTGACCTGTGACGTCGATGATTACGTAACGACGTGTCCGCCGCGCGACGACCCCGTGCCGGACCCGTATTACGAGGCCCAGTGGTACCTCGGAGCAATCCGCGCGCCCGAGGCATGGGCCGCGGGCTACACGGGTACCGGGGTCCAGATCCTCATCAACGACGAAGGCGTCGACAACACGCACCCGGACCTGGCGAAGCTCGACGTGGCCAACTCGTGTGACGTCTACAAGCCCTCCGGCGGGGACGCGCACGGGACGGTCTGCGCGTCGCTGGCGGCCGGCGACTCGAACTCGCATTGTGGAGTAGGTGCGGCGCCAAATGCGGGCCTGGCGTCGTGCGTCCTCTTTTCGAGCTCGGGCGGTCCAGTCGCGTCCCAGGCCTACGGCGAGGACTACCTCGCCTGGGCCTCCGACGCCAACGACATCTCGTCGAACAGCTGGGGCATCGACCATTGCTGGCGCACCGCCTACTCGGCGGACTGCCCGTTCGCGTGCCCCGCGGCGAACGAGTACTGCCCGTGCGCCACGTGCGCCGCTGACGAATGGGCGTCGCGGGACCTCTCGGCATCGTGCGAGCAGGCCGTCGTCACCTACTGCGCCGACTTCTTCGAGGACGACGTGACGCCCTGTCTAGAATTAGATCACTACTTCGTCCAGTGCGGCTACGGCCAGCTCTCGACCGCGGCGCACGACAAGCTCGTCGAGGGCGCGACGGCGGGCCGCAAGGGTCTAGGTATGGTCTTTGTGTTCGCCGCGGGCAACGAGTACCAAATCGGCGACGACGTGAACTACGAAGGTTACCTGAATTCCCGATTCACCATTTCGGTGGGCGCGCTCGGCCGTGACCTCAAGCACGCGCGATACTCGTCGAGCGGCGCGCCCGTCTTCATCAGCGCGCCCGGCGGCGACTGGGAGAACTACCACGGGCTGTTCGCCGCGCTGCCGCTCGCCCACGGCGCCGTCGACAACTGCGGCGACGCCGGAGTCGGCACGTCGTACGCGTGTCCGCTGGTCTCCGGCGTCGTCGCGCTGGTGCTGGAGGCGAACCCTAGCCTATCTTGGCGCGACGTCCAGGGGGTCCTGGCCGCGACCGCGCGGATTGACTTCAACGACGAGGACGACGAGACCGGCCAGTGGACCACGAACGTGGCGGGCGTCAAGCACAGCTACAAGTACGGCTTTGGGCTCGTCGACGCGCTTGCCGCCGTCGAGCGCGCGGCGACCTGGGCGACGTGGGGCGCCGAGAGGAGCGTGATCAACGCGACGACGAGCGGCGAGGCGTTGCTCGATTACGACGGCGCCGAGCACTGGGTCGAGTCGACGGCCGCGGAGTTTTCCGGCGCGGTGGACTTCGTGATCGAAACGATCGCGGTCTACGTGACTATAGAACACCCGCGCCGCGGCGACCTGAGGATCGAGCTCGAGCGGAACGGCGTTTCGTCGTTACTCACGGACGACAAGCTCGAGCACGGCACGAGCTATACGCATCACAAGTACACGACATTGCGCCACTGGGGCGAATCCGCAGACGCCGGGGCGTTCACGCTCCGCGTAGCGGATCGACGGTCGGGCGATGGCGGACGACGACGACTCGACGGGCAGGACTCGTACTCGTACTCGTACTCGTACTCGGACCATTCCCACGAGACGAGTCCAGCGGGCATTTTGGTGTCGTGGACGCTCCAGCTCTACGGCCACGCCACCCCGACGGACGCGCCGTCGCCCGCACCGACGGTCTCGGCGGCGCCGACGGTCACGCCGGCGCCAACGCTGACCCCCACGACCGCGCTACCCACGACATCCCTGCCGTCGGTCCCGCCAACGCTCACCGGCGCCGTCGTCGTCGACAATATCGCGTGCGGTGAGACTAAATATGGGTCCACGAGGAACGCGGTGCACTGGCTCTCGGGCAACGACGCGCCCGACCACTTCTATTTGATCACGCCCTCCGAGACGGCCTACTACCACTTTTCGACCTGCGGCTCCGACTACGACACCATGCTCTACCTCTACGACGTCGTCGACCACGAGGCGGACACCTGCCTCCGATCGCCCGCGCCGCACGCTGGCGAAGTGGAGCTCATCGGCGATTGGGACGACCCTGGCCAGGAAATCTGCGAGAGCACCGGTAGCCGCGGGAACCTCGAGGACGTCTGGACCTCCCAGCGGCTCCAGGCCGGCGAAACGTACGTGCTTCAGGTCACCGGCTACTCAGACAGGGGGGACTGCGACACCGACCAAGAGCGCGACGCGGGCGCGGCGGGCAACTACGCGCTTGCCGTCGACTGCGACGTGGACGTGGACGAGGACGATGAGTGTACCCCGGGCTGGCACTCCGTGAAGTGCCTCGACGACGGGACGGTGATGAGCGGCGAGGGCTGCGCCTCGTGCGGCGACTGCGCGATGTACGACCTCACGGCGGCCACGGGCGGCCTGATCACTTGCAAGCTACACGGTCCTGATGGTTCGTACTCGTACTCGTACTCGCACAGCTACTCGTACAGCTACGGCCAGGGCGTCACGGCGACCTACTACTACGACGGCGTCGAGCAGGCGGTGGAGGAGTGCTGGTACGACGACTGCGGCGACGGCATGCCCGCTCACTGCCAGTACATCGCCGGCCAGGAGTTCTACCTGGTGGCGGAGTCAAATGGCGTGGAGTTCTCGGTGGGCTTGAATGATGCCGACAGAAACTACCACCCCGATGAGGGCGGAAACGTGCACAGCAACCACTTCTTCGCCGTGGACCCGACGGAGGGCACGAAGATGCTTCATAGCAGCACGGACGGGGGCATAAGTTTCCCGGAGATGCCGGACGAGTGGACTACGGACGCGACGCGGCCACCGCACATCGAGGAGGATTTCCTCATCAACGTCGGTCTGCACGTGAACTGCCAAGACTATGCGCCGGGGGCCAGAGCGATAGCGCTCGGGAATGTGGGCTCCCCCGGGAGCTGGGTCGTCAACGGCGACGGGACAATTTCGCCGCATGATGCCCCGCACCTCGTTCTTGGCTGGGGCGACTTCACCACGGCCACTTGCTGGGACTGGTTCGTGGGCCCGGAACCGAATATGCTCGTCCTTCTGGACCCCGCGAGCCCGGCCGGCCCGGTCTTCCGCGCGTGCGGTGGGGCCACGCCGTCGACCGCGCCCACGGTCTCGACAGCGCCGACCGTCACGCCTGCGCCCACGGCGGCCGATCACTGGCGAACCGGCCCCGCGGGCGCCTGCGACGACTCAAAAGACGATCATGAGGTCGGTTACATGCCCTCGCGCGAGGCGTGCATCGAGGCCTGCGACGCTGCGGGCTACGACGCCATGGCCTGGGACACCGACCACGGAGCTTGCATATGTTTCGAGCAGTGCGAATGCGTCGATGACGCAGACGATTGGTGCTGGTGCGGAGACACGGACAATTTCCAGCCCTGGTTGATGTCCGAGGAGGATTGCGCCGCGCACGGATGCGATTACTACTCGGGCTCCGACTGGAGCCATTGCGAGTGCGAAGACCCCGACTCGTGCGCGTCTGCGGGGGGAGAGATACAGTGCCATTCCTTCGGACCGATGGCGTTCAAGGGCAATTTCACGGTAGAAATGTGCCCTGACTGCAGCAACGTCACGGTGGCGGACGACCTCGGCTGGGCAACCGACGGATCGATTCCGCATGGTTCGTCGATGGGCTGGTGCTACAGCGATCTGGATAGGCTCATTGGTTGTTCCACCTCGCCGGGCGACTGCTGGACGATGTGTGAGGACGCGCACGGCGACGATCTTGTGGCCATCGACTGGGGGGACGGCGAGTGCTATTGTCAGAACGACTGCCAGTGCATGGAGGACGTCGGCGACGACGAAAGCTACCTGATCACACGCGAAGGGACGGCGGTACCGGAGGAGTGCCCGTCGTTCAGCTATTCGTACAGCTACGCGAACTTTCCCGGCTTCGACGACGACACGGGCTCGCCGTCCCGCGCGCCATCGCCGGCGCCCACGGTCACGGCGGCGCCCACGGTGCTGGACTGCAGCGGCGTCGCGCACCTCGGGCCGGTGATGAACGACACGAGCCTCCGCGCGGCCGTCGCGGCCTGGTTGACCGAGGCCCGCCGCGTCGCCGTCTGCCGGTACGGCGACATCGCGACGTGGGACACGCACCTGGTCACGGACATGAGCGAGCTGTTCTGCGCGTCGTGGTGCGACCACCGCCATGCCCAGGCCGCTCTTTTCAACGACGACGTCGGCGCGTGGGACACCTCCGCCGTCACGGCCATGCAGAACATGTTCGACGGCGCCGCGGCCTTCAACCGCGACGTCGGCGCCTGGCGCGTGGACCGCGTCGCGAGCACGCGCTCGATGTTCACCGGCGCCCTGGCCTTCGACCGGCCCCTCGACGGCTGGGCCGTCGGCGCGGTCACGGACATGGAGCGCATGTTCGCCGGCGCCGCGGCGTTCAACCAGCCGCTCAACGGCTGGCGAGTTGACAAAGTCACGAGCACGGCGCGCATGTTCGCGGCGGCGACGAGCTTCAACCAGCCCCTCGACCGCTGGCGCGTGGAGAACGTCACGGACATGTCGTGGATGTTCCGCGGCGCGGACGCCTTCGACGGGGAGCTCGACGGCTGGGCCCCGACGCGCGTCGAGACGACGGCGGGCATGTTCATGAAGGCCGCCAGCTTCAACCGGCCGCTGGGGAACTGGTCGCTCGACGCGCTGACGAAGATGCCGCTCATGTTCCGCGACGCCGCGGCCTTCGACCAGGACCTCGGCTGGTGCTTCGACACGCACGTCCGGCTGAACCTCGCGTTCGACGGCACGCCCTGCGAGGCGACGTCCTGCGGCGTCGCGCAGGGCCCCGGCGGCTGCGCGCCGTCGGCGCGGCCCTCCGCGGCGCCGACGGCCGAGCCGACGCTCGCGCCGTCGCTGCTCCCGACGCCCGGGCCCACGACCGCCGCGCCGACGACCGCCGCGCCGAGCCCGCAGCCGACGCTCGTGCCGACGCCGTCGCCGACCACGGCGGTGCCTACGTCCCACCCGACGCTGGTCCCGACGCCGTCGCCGACCACGGCGGCTCCCTCGCCCGTGCCGACGATGGTGCCGTCGCCCCTCCCGTCGCCGCTGCCGACGCCGATCCAGACCGTGGTCCAGGTCGCCTCGGGCGTGCGGCTCCTCGGCTTGAACTCGGGCGCGTTCAACGCGAACGAAATGCTCAGGAGGGCCTTCGCCCTGACCATCCTTCGGCTCTGCCCGCACCTGACCGACGTGACCGATATTGAAGCTGGGGCCGCCGGGCGCCGGCGCGCGACGGAGTGGCCGCCGCCCGGGTGGACCGTGCGGCGCCTCGGCGAGGCAAAGCGGGCGGCCGTGCGCGCGCTGCGCGGGAAGGCGCAGACTGCTAGCAGCGCCGGGCGGCGCCTGGACGAGGATGAAGGCAGTGGGATCTCCTATACCGGAGTCGCTCGCATTGACGGCACCGAAAACGCGTCCGCGGTGGCTGCCGGAGTTTTGGACGAGGCGGCGGACTACCTGACCACGGCGGTGAGCAACGGGAAATTCCTAGAGACGCTGGTGTCTGCTGTGGCCAACGAGACGGCCGCGACAACGTCTGGCCGACGTCTCGATGCGCTGGACGGCGTATCCGTAGACGTCAATGCCTGTGTGGAAATCAAAATTTTACGACGCGTTCGTGCTGAATCACATCGTCGTCCTCCACGCCATCGACGCGACGCCTGCTCGATGGCGTGGGCATCCCAGTTCCTCACCGCCCGACGGAGCAAGCGCGGCCACGCCATCGCTGAGAAATGACTTAGTGAAGAATTGTCGGGTGCACCTGACGCACTGGTTGATTTCCACACAGGTCAATGCTACGCTGGAGGAGGTCGCGGAGGCGGAGGTGGCTTTTTTCATCTCGACGCCCGTTCCAACTTCAGTGCCCAGCCCGGTCCCAACGACGCCGCCGAGTCCGGCACCATCAGCGCTCCCCACTACCGCGGTTCCGACGACACCGCCCAGCGAAGTACCATCTCCGGTCCCGACCTCGAAACCGTCCGCGATGCCCACGGCGGTGCCGATACCCGCTCCTTCGGGTCAACCGACCCCACGGCCGACGCCGAAGCCCACGCCCGCGCCGACGGCGATTCCTGGCAACCCCACGGCTTCGCCGGTGTTCTCGCCGACGCCGCGACCCACGCCAACGCCGACACCTCGACCGAGCGATTCACCAACGCCCGGGCCATCACCTCGGCCGACGCCTAGCCCGTCGACGGCATTACCGTCATCCGTACCGACGACATCGATGCCGTCGGCGGTACCTACGTCCTATCCGACTGCAGTCTACGTCAGCGGCCAGCTCAAAGTGGAAGGTATAAGCCTCGACGTGGCGCTCGAATACAAAGACGTCTTCGTGGTTGCGATTGCGGCGATTGCAGGGGTTTCCGAGGAAAAGGTCACTGTTCTCATCACGGCGGCGAGGCGCCGACTCGCTGTGGAGATAGCCGCGGCGATGGCTGTCGCGGCCGACAGCCGCCGCGGTTTGGCGGAGGACGTTGCGAGCGGTCGGCGCCGGCTCTCTGGAGGCGTCAACGTGGAGTACACGATCACGGTCGACGCGGCGAGCGCGACGTGGGCGAGCGAAAGCCTCTCGGAGGCGACGCCCACCGACGTGGACAGTGCCATAGAAAGTGCTGCCGCCAACTTTACCGGGAACGGGACGAATTCAAGCTCCGCCTTCTCGACCATCCAGACCAACTCTATCACGGCGGAGGTCGTCGTCGAGGGCGGGCCGCCGCCCGAGCCCCCAAACGTCACCGCCGCCGTGCCGCGCTCGGCCTCGAAGCCGAGGATCATTTTCCAGCGCCGGTCAAGGGCAGTCGGGGCGTTCTGGAACGCCACCGCGCGCGTGCACCGGCGCATCGCCTGGCACACCGAGCGAGCCGCGGAGAGACGCAAGAAGGACATATCCGACGCAAAAGACCACATTGCCCGCTCGGATGAAAAGACGCGAGAGGCGAAGAAGCGCGCCGAGCACGGCTATGCGCACGCGCGGCACGAGCTCTGAGCCTAAACCTACTACTAGTAAACAGTGCTAGTGGACTTGCCAGTAGTGCCCGCCACGCAGGGGAGCGCCAATAAATCTTTGCTTAAAGCTAGGCCGCCTAGCCGCGGGGGCTAAATCTACTGTAGTATTTTATTTCAGGAACCGCTGCCCCGTGACGCAGAGAAACACGACGCCGAGGAGGTCGACCGCCGTCGCCAGCGCCGGCGAAGCACAGTTGCAAGGGTCTACGCCGACCGCGTCCAGGAGCAGCGGCGCCCCGACGCCCACCAAAATCGCGGCGAGGATCGTCGACGTCGTGGCAAAAGCGACGACGCCAGCCGTCCGTACCGCCATTCTTCCCGGTACGGCGGCCACAACCCGGCCGAACGCCGCGAGGCCGAGCGCGATCGAGAGGGGCAGCGCCACTCGCGTCTCCCGCCAGAGCACCCGCCGCCAGTCGCGCCCGGCGCGAATTTCGCCCGTCGCGAGGCCCCGGATAACCAACGCCGAGGTCTGGTTGCCCGCGTTGCCCGCGGTGCCCGTCAGCATCGTCAGGAACAGGGCCAGGGCGAGGTGCCGCTGCAGCAGGCCCTCGAACTTGCCCAGGACCACGGACGAGGCCGACTGCAGCACGAGCAGCGCCGCGAGCCACGCGCCGCGCGCGCAGACCAGGTCTTGGATGCGCGACCCGAAGTACGACTCGCCCGCGCCCGTGGCGGCGTAGCGAGCGACGTCTTCGGTCACCGCCTGCTCGAGCTCGACCATGACCTCGCCCGGCGCGAGCGCGCCGACGAGCGCGCCGTTCGAGTCGACGACGGGCAACGCGCCGCTACCGCCCCGGTTTACGACCCTTGCCAGCGCATCATCTAAATCCTCGTCCGCGCGCAGCACGGCTTCCGGCGGCTTCGCGAGAAACGCGAGCGACGCGTCCGGCTCGGCCAGCAAGAGCTGCGACGCGCCGACGTAGCCGGCGAAGCGCCCGTCCTGGCCGTTCACCCAGACGCGGCCCGACCGGCCCCAGCTCGCCGGCGCTTCCCGCACGCGCCGTACGCACTCGCGCGCCGTCATCGCCGACGACACGACGACCTCCTCGCGCATCGCCTCTGTGTGCCGCGGGTCCTCGGCGATGTGTTCAGCCACCGTCTCGGCGCCGGCCCGCGGGATCGACGGAGGCGGCCGCGGCCGGCGCAGCCCGCCGAGGCGCAACGCCTTGGTCGTCGGCGCGGCGGCGGCGAGGCATGCGATGGCGCGTCTCCTCCGCCCCTTTGCTGGCATTGTGGTTTTTGTGCTTCTTGCTGTGTGTTGGTCCTCCTGTGCTGCTGCACGCGTGTTTAAGCTGTGTTGTTCCACCTGTGCTGCTGCACGCGTGCTTAAGCTGTGTTGCTCCTCCCGTCCTGCCGCAGCTGTGTGCGCCGAGCACTTTTTGCCGCACGGATGGATGCGGTTGAAGAAACTGATTGAAGGACAAGATGCGAAACTCGCGCAACCATACGAATGCTTGAGTCCAGTTATAGCGGCTGAAGTCGGCTCGCGGATTGGCAGGCATCAACTCTGGAGCTCGAGCTCTAGCAAAAGCTTGCTGCCCAAACGAGGGACTGGTCGTCCCGTTCAGTTTATCCTCTGCTAAGCAATAAAAGGATAACGGGTTGGGGGCTAAACGCTAGATAACTGCTCTAGCCCAAAGGAGGTGCAGCACTCTGCTGAGCTGAGGGAGAGCGATTCTTATTTGCAAAAGAACAGCCGAACCAGCCGAACGAGGCTTCGAGCTAACGCTGCGAGCGGTGCTGCAACTGCTGCAACAATGCGCCGCCGCCACTTCGTCTTCGCCTGCCTTGCGCACGCATCCGCAGCAAAAACATCATCAAAAGCCAAGCCGCCACCCAGAGCCATCGATGTTCTCCCACCTTTGCTGGTCGCGAGCGCCATCACGGCGACGGCGACGTACCCGCTCGACTTCCTCCGCGCGGCGCGCATGTCGTCCGCAGCGAGTGCCGACGCGGCGAAGCTGGGCCTGCGGGCCGCCGTGGCCAAGTTCTCCCAGGGCCTGGCGCCCGAGGTCGCCAAGGGCACGCTCTCGCGCGTGCTCAAGTTCGGCGGCTTCCCCGTGGCGCACCGGCTGCTCTACGACCGCGCGCCGGCGGCCGGCTCGGCGGCGTCGCGGGCCGCGGCGGGCGCGCTGGCGACGTTCCCCGAGATGGCGCTCTGCACGCCCCTCGAGACGGGCAAGCTCGCGCTGCAGCTCGACGCGCTCAAGGCCGCGCCGGCCTTCGACAACCAGTTGCAAAAGGCGGCGGCGGCGCTGACGGCGGCGGCGGGCCCGGCGGCGCTCTACGCGGGCTACTGCGCGCTGCAGTGCCGCCAGGCCGTCTGGACGGCCGTCTACTTCGCGTCGCGCCCGGCGTTCGCGGAGGCCTTCGGCGCGCTGCCGGGGGCCACGTTCTGCGCGGGCCTCGGGGCCGGCGTCCTCGGCGCCGTGGCGAACTGCCCCTTCGACGTCTGCCGCTCCGTCGCGCAGAAGGAGCTCATCGGTGCCTGGGTCTCGGGCGGCGAAGCGGTCACGCGCGCGCCGGGCCTCGCGCACGCTTTGGCGGCCGGACGATCCGTCGTGTCGGCGCGCGGCGCGCGGGGCCTCTGGGCGGGCGTCGGCTTCAAGTCGCTCCACCTCGGCTGCGGCGGCGCGCTCATGGCCGTGCTCCAACCAGCGTGTGAGAGGGCGTGGGCCAAGGCGCGGGCGTGATTCGACATTATCCAAGTTTTAACAGACACATCATTAGGGCTTCTTGAGGTACTTCTTGTAGCTGCGCGCGCGCCAGGTCGCGTACGTCGGCGCGTCGGACGTGTCGCCGGCGACGTCGGCCATGCGCGCGTCCGGCCGGGGCTCGCAGAAGAACGTCGCCGCGAGGCGGGGGCTCCGGTCGTCCTCTTCCCAGTCCGCGACGACGCGGTGCGTCGGCGCCGGGATCTGTGTGGAAACCAATCAGTGCGAGCGGCGAGGTATCGGCGCCGCCACGCCATCGAGTAGGCGCTGTGAAATTTTGATTCCACGCAGGCCGGGACCCCGGGCAGCGCCGCCGCGAGGACGGAGCCCGCGAGGACCGTGACGACGCCGGGCCCCGTGCGCGCGCAGCGCGCCCAGCCGCGCGGCGTCCGCACCTCGAGGCCCGTCGGCGGCGCCGAGAAGTGCACAATAAGGCTCAGCGTGCTCGGGTCGCGGTGCGCCGGCAGCAGCACGCGCGCGGCGCCGGCGTGCGTCCTCTTGACATGAAACCGCCCCGCCGCGCGCGCGTCGAAGGCGCCGCCCGCCGCGAACATATCGGCCGGCGCTCCGCGCCGCGCGGCGACGGCCCCGAGCACGTCGCGCGCGAGCGCCGTCACGGCCCCGCGCCAGGCCTCGACGCGCTCGACGAAGGCCACGCCCTCAACGAGCTGAGGCACCGCCTCATCATGTTCGTAGATGACGCCCGACCGGTGCGCGTTGTAGCGGCCGAGCATTCCAGAAGAGTGGTAGCCGCCGCTGTCCGCGCCATCGGCCAGCGCGAATTGGCGGCGGTGCGCCTCGTCCGCGGCAAAGAACGCGTGCCACAGCTCTGATGCCGCGGCGTTGTGTGCGCGCAGGTCGTCGTCCACGAGGAGCTGGGCGCAGCCGATCGTTGATAGAGCGTCGGCGACCCCGTCGAGGGACGCGACCACGGGCACCGCCTCCTCGAAGCCGATGTACACCGTCTTCGCCTTGAGCTTGTCATTGAGGTACTGGCTCTCGACCTCGACGATGGGCGCGAGGCGCGCCGCCTCCTTCACGGACAGCGTCCGCGGCAGGTAGTAGGCCACGCGCGGGGCGCACGCCGCCGCCAGCCGCAGTAATCCAAACCCATCGACGCCCTGGACGTCGATCGCCTCGAGCCGGAAGTCTTCGCCGTAGCCGGGCCCGCCCCACGGCGGGCTCAGGAAGCACACGTCCGCCCGGAGCGTCTTCAACAGTACCAAAGCGTCGCCGACCACGAAGTCCACGGCCACGCCGTAGATGCGCGCGTTGCGCCGCGCCTTCTCGACCTTCGCCGCGTCGATGTCGATGGCGATCACGTGGCGGCAGCGCCGCGCGAGCGCGATGGCGTTGCCGCCGCAGCCGCAGAACGCGTCCACCACCACGTCCGTCGGCCGGCACCGCGCCGCGATGGCCAGCGCGATCTTCTCGGGCGTGACCGAGTACCAGCTCTCGGCATCCAACTGAATGCCGCAGTCGTAGAGCGAGAAGTAGTGGAAGCGCTGGGCCCAGTACTTGTCGTCGACGCCGCGCTGCGGGTTCGGCGCGTCGGCGAGGCGCGACGGGCCCGGCGCCTTCTTGCGCTTCTTCTTCTTGGGCTGGCGCCGCGGCCGGCGCGACGACCCGAACGCGAGGGGCAGCTCGCCCTCGGCGAGGCCGCAGGCCGCCATCTCGTCCTTGAGCCCGAGCCGCGCGTCGAGGGCGTCGCGCAGCGATTCGTCGAGCGCCGCGTCGACGGCAGCGTTCGCGCAGCGCCGCACGGCGTCCTCGCACGCCCACGCGACGGCGCGCCGCTCGAGGCGGTAGTTGCGCGTGCCGTCGTCCCTGGCGCGCAGCTCCGTCTCGACGACGCGTGCTGGTGCTGCCAGCGGCTGGGGCGCGGGCGCCTCGCACGCGTCGCCGTCGCTGGAGCCGTCGAGGCAACCGAGGCAGCCGAGCCCTTGCATCAGGGCATTCATGCGCAAACAGCGTAGTGCTTGAAGGTAGTGCTTTGAAATGACCAGTGATCGAGTTCAGATCATTCTGCATGCATTTATGCGAATATGCAGCCGCCGCTGTTCAGCTTATTTTTATGCTAGTATGTCTTACAGGCCGCTAGCTTTCCCGAACGGCTCGCTGCGGAGGGGTATCCTCGTGGTAAGAAGAATAATTAGAACGTCGGCGGCGGCAGCGGCGGCGGCGCCACGGGCTGCGCCGGCGGGGCCGCGCCCGGCGGCGGCGCGGGCGGCCGCCGCGCGGGCGGCGGCGGCCGCGCCGGCGAGCCCTTGGGCGGCGACCGCGGCGCGACGAACTGGCCGCCCGGCAGCTCGACGGGCGGCGGCGCTCCCCCGGGCGGCGGCGGCGGCGCGTCCGTGATGTCCGCGCCCCGCTGGTAGAACCGCACGTAGTCGACCTCCATGCATGTCGGTAAGCACGTGTCGTCCAAGCCGCGAGCCGCGCCCCAATTTCCGCCGACGGCCACATTGAGAATGAGATGGAAGCGCTGCGAGAACGGCCACTCGGCGGGGTTCCCGCTCTTCGTATTGACAAATTCAAAGGTCTGCTGGCCGTCTATGCTATATTTGATCGAGTCCTCGTCCCACTCGACGCCGTAGACGTGGAAGGCGCTGTGCGCATCATCAACAACAACTTCAGCGTGCTTATGCGACCGCAGCCGATGGTTGAAGGCGCCCGTGTGCACCGAATTGTGGATCACCCCGGGCGCCCAGCCCACGTTCTCCATGACGTCGATCTCGCCGCTGTTCGGCCAGCTCCCGTATTTTTGATCGGTGGGCATCATCCAGATGGCCGGCCAGATGCCCGGCTTGCCCGCCGGGAGTTTGGCTCTCACCAAAAGCTTGCCGTAGACCCAATCTCCCTTGCCCCGCGTCCGTATTCTAGCGGAGGTATAGGGTTTCCCGATCCAGTCCTCCCGTCTGGCGATGATTTTGAGCGTGCCACCGCTCACGTAGGAGTTCTCCCTGCGAGACGCCATGTACCACTGTTGTTCATTATGGTTCCGGTCGTGGACCCAGTTGTTCGCCTCGACCTGGTAGCCCCAGCGCTTGGGATGGGGGAGCCCTTCGTAATCGAACTCGTCGGCCCAGACCAGCTTGTAATCGTTCTTGACGGGGCTCGGCGGCGGCGGCCGCGTCGGCTTCTCCAGCGGTTCCTCGGTCGCCTGGATTTTTGTCGGTGGCTCGTTGTTCGTGCTGAGGAGCTGGGCGGCCATGGTTCTTGTGTTTGGTGCTGGGCGGATCGCGGGCAGCCTTTGCTTGTTGCCACGGCGGCTGGCGTTGCACCTGGTTTGGCAGCCACGGCTTGGGATTGCAAGGCGCGACTCGCACCGGCTGGAAGTTGCGGCAGGTGTCAGGGGGCAGCTTTTTCGGCCGCGCGCGCCAAGCCAAGCTTGGGTGACCCCGTACCTAACATGGTCCGCCATCACGCTTCCCCCAGGTCCTAGAGAAGTCTCGCAGGGATCGATCGACCGGCGAGAGCGATGCGCGGTCGATCGGCCGCTGCGCAGCGCAGCGCCAAACTGGCGGCGCTGCGCGACGGCTTGGCAGACAAACGCGGCGCGCCTCACGAGCAGGCAGCCCGCGTGGACTCCACGCAGCCCGCGAGCCGCGCGGCAGCAGCAAGCGCAGCCCGCGGCCGCGCACACAAGCTGCCATGGAGGTCGCGGACAGCCCCGTGCAAGACGACGACTACAGCGACGTAGACAGTGACGACAATTACGACGACGACTTCGGCGAGGCCGAGGCGCCGCCGGACCCCATCGCGACGCCCGTCGCCGACAACGATGAGTATGAGGACGACTTCGGGGTTAGTGATAGGCCCTACGACGCGAAAAAGGAAGACCAATATGCGGATGACTTTGTAGCAGATGACAAAGACGACCTGTCCATCGTCGACGACGACGCGGACAGCGAAGAGGACGAGTTCGAGAAGGGCCTGCAGGCCGCCGAGGCCGCGGCGCAGCAAAAAAAAATGGAGGCTGCGGCCCAGCAGGAGGAGGAGGCCTCTCAATCGGATTATGGGGACGACTTCGCTTCCTTAAATCCGTCGGAGAAGTCGGAACCCCAGAAACGGCCGCCGTCGGCCGTCGTGAAGCGGAAGCCCAAGCGCCCGACGGTCGACAAGGCGCCGTCGCCGCAGGCCCTCGCGAAGGCCCGGGCGACGCCGGCGTCGACGTTCGTGAAGCGGTCGTCGCAACACTCGTATACCAAACAGAGGGAAGTCGTGGAGGAAGACCGGCACCGGGACAAAAGGCGCATCGCGGCGCTCATGAGAAAAGTAGCCACGCTGGAGCACCAGCTCGAGAAGATTGCGCCGAAACGTGTGAAATCTAAGAGGAAAAGGAAGGTGCGCCGGCCGGCCTCGGCGATCCCGAAGGCCTCGGCCTCACCCACAATGAAAACGCGGCCCCACAGCGCCGGGGCGTCGTCGCGGCGCAAGGCCTGGGACGACCGCTTCAATGCGCCTTCCAGAGGCCCGGTCTGGCCCGTCCGGCCGCCGTCCGTCGGAAGTGCGTTGCGACACGTAAGGCAAGCAGTGGAGGACGGCCATCGGCGCGAGGCGCCGCTCAAACCCGTGTTCAAGGTGGTCGTGCGAGGCGACACTCGTAAGAGATCATCGAAGCATGTGATAGACGCGGCGACGGGGCGACGGGTCTCGCCCGACGAGTATTTAGAATTACAAAAAAGGAGAGGCGTGCAGAACGAGACACACGCGTCGCGCTGGGCGACCACCAATGCGGGCCTGGGCATGATGGGCTCGCCCAAGGGTCTGACACGCACGGCGACGAAATGGACAAAAAAGGCGCAACGCGAGTCCGGCGCTCGATTGGCGACGAGCGGCGCGAAAGTTCCAAGACCGAAGTACGCGAACACCTACTCGCCCACCGAACGGAATAGTGAGAGACGAACGAGGTTCCTCGTGAAGTACGACTCGCGGCACAAGTTCGGTGATTTTAAGGAACAAGTCAAAAGGAAGACTTATCGGGACGAGCCGGGCTACCCTACTACAAGCATCAAGCGACATGTCAGGGACTACGAACAGAAGGTGTCGCAAACGCTCAAGGACCTCGAGAAGGAAAGATATGTTAGACTGATAGAAAAAGGCCACTTCAGCGAAGCGCGGCCCCACGAGCCGCCCAGGCAGAAGTTTTCCGAGTTGCCCAAACCGCCTGTGCGGTTATGGGCAGAATATGATCAGCTTCATGCGTGGGACTGTCTGGTTTCTGTCGAGGCGGCGCCCAACCAAGGCGAGCAGATGTCTACTAGACATGATCCCAATAAGTACAGAGCAGAAGCGGACAAGGCCGCGAATGCCGCCGTCGAAGCTCTAGAAGGGTGGGGCGTGCGCTGCGGTTCAATGGTCAAGATCGTCGAGGGCGCGAAGACGGAAAAAGAAAGGAAAGCTGGCGTCAAGGTGGGCATGGGCGCCTTGGAGGTGCAGATCGCCGTGCGCTTCTTCGACGACGTGCCGGCCAAGGTCGGGGTCATCTTCTCGAAGCTGCAGTTGCGAACGTTTCCTTCTTCCCAGAAAATACAACGAGCGGTCGTCGACTTTGTTAAAAGAGCAGGCGTGCCTACTGCCGAATTGGCAGACGAGGAACGCGAGAATGGTGCGCCGTGGGCCTCAGATTCGGCGGACGTGCCGTGGGCGTGGGCATCGGACCACCGGCCGGCGCCCGATCATGAATTGGTGGTGCCGACCTTCGACGAGTTCGTCGATAAACAACGGGAGGCGGGCAACGAGACCTTCGCTAATGCTTTTACCTTCGAAGAGTCTGCGCCGCGCGCGCCGACGCCGGAGCCCGAGCCTGATCCCGAGCCCGAGCCGGAGCCGGAGCCTGAACCCGAGCCCGAACCGGAAGCAGAGCCCGAGGAGCCTGAAGCCGAGGAGGAGGAGGACGCCGCGTCCTACGGCGACGACTTCGCCGGCGAGGACGACGCCGCTGCGCCAGACGCCGAGGAGGCCGAGGAGGACGATGATGATGCGGCGGAGCGCGAGGCGGCGGCGGAGCGCGAGCGCGCGGAGCAGGAGGAGAAGGAGCGCGCGGCCGCCGCGGCCGCCGAGCGCGCCGAGCAGGAACGGCTGGAAAAAGAAATCGCGGACGCCCGCGCGGCGAACATGGCCAAGGCAGCTGAAGAGGAGGAGCCCGCGCCGGCGCGCGAGGAGTTCCAGCCGGCGTCGACGCAACAGAAGCGGCCCATGTCCGGGCGGCCCCAGTCGGGCCGGCCGGGCAGCGCGCGCGAGCGGCCCGGGAGCGCCCGGACGCGGCCCGAGTCGGCGTCGAACAAGGGCGGGTCGCGGCCGGGGTCCGCGCGGCCGGCGACCGAGACGATGGACGGCGCCACGAGCGACGCGGCCGTCGAGGGCTTCCGGGCCGCGCTCGGTAGTGTCGAGCAGTTGGAAGATTTGCTGGCCAAGGTCGCGGAGGAGGAACTCGGGGGGAGGGTGTCCGCGACTGGTCTCAGAAAGCTGGCGAAGAAGATCGGCCACCCGGACCCGGCTCCCCAAGTCCTCGCGGCGATTCTGACGGCCGTCGACATCGACGGGGACGGCGCCGTGCCGCCGCAGGACGCCGTGGTCTTCGCGCGCGGTTTAGTTCCTGGCGGCGAGCGACTTGGAAGTTTGTGGCGCGACGTCCGCGGCGTCGTCCAGGCGACGCGCTACGACGTGACGCAGCTCGACGAGCAATTGTTTCGGAAATACGACACGAACGGCGACGGGTCCATCAGTCTGCGGAAGTTCCGAGCGACGCTCGAAAAGGTGGCGCAGAAAACGGGCAGCACCTTGGACGTGCCCTGGGAGCTGGTCCAGGCCATCTGGGGCGTGCCCGAGCGCGTGGACTACGTGACCTTCTGTTCCTGGCTCAACCCGACGAAGCTGCACCGCCTGAAACAGAAGGCTTCCAAGCTCGCCGCGCGGGCCGTCAAGGCCTCGGGCGAGGACGACGCCTCCTTCTGGCAGGGGTTGTGTCTGAAGCACGCGCCGCCGGCCGAGGGCGGCGTCGCTTCCTCGCTGACGCAGCCGCAGCTGCGGGCAGCATTGCAGGGCCTGGGTTACGAGGATTTGGACGACGCGGCGGCGCGGGCGATCCGCGTCGCCTACGCGCGGACGGAGCCCGCCTTCGACGCCGACGCGTTTTCGCGGTTGCTGGCGGACGGGCGCGGAGGCAAGTCGAAAAAATCCTCAAAGGGTCGTGCGAAGGAGAACAAACCGCCGCGGCACTCATAGGGGTGTAAAAAAATCTGACAAAACCCGAGCCCTGGTGATCGGAGCGCGGCGCGCGGCACCGGCGCACGCAGCCCATAGTTGACGCCGCAGCAGAATTTGCAGCGCTCAGCCATGCTGCGCTTCGTGCGCTTCCATCGATGCGAAAGAATGCGGCCCTGCCATCGGTAGTAAAGCTGTAGCACTCTTGGGGCAGCCCCATACGCCGTCGACGCGACGCGACGCCATGCCTTCGCACAAGGCGTTGCTCGCGCTTTGGCTGGCGGCCGGTACCGGTGCGAAACAACGCGCCGAGAACGTCGTCATGCTGCTCGCTGATGATTTGGGCTGGGCCGACGTGTCCGTACCGCCGCATAAAAAAGCCGCGCTCTGGGTCACGGAGACACCAAACCTAGAACGCATGGCGCGCGAGGGCCTCACGCTCACCGGCTACCGCAACGCCGCGAGCGTCTGCTCGCCGTCACGCTTGGCTATTGCCACGGGCGTTTTCCCCTGGCGCTACCGCCTCAGCGGCCTGCTCAAGGACGGCTTCCGCGGTCTGCCCCGCGCGCCGACGACGGCGCGGTCGCTGCAGGCCGCCGGCTTCGCGACGGCGCATTTCGGGAAGTGGCATCTCGGCGGCGTCTCGCAGCGCGCGCGTGCGGACCGGGCCGCGGGCCGGTGCCATCGGGGTGCCGGCCCACCTGGGCCGAACGAGCATGGCTACGACGTCCATCTCGACCAGGTCGAGGCGTCCATCCGTGACCCGCCGGTCTGTTGTTCGTGCTGCGCACCTAACCCCTGGGACAACGCGACGCACGTCGATCCCGAGTACCGGGACCCGACTACGGGCCGCCGCACCTGTCGCATGTGCGGGAACATGTACAGCCGCCAGAGCGAGTGGTGGCACGAATTTCGGCCGGGGCATATGAAACCGGTGCCGAGGGCCATGGATCTGACGAAGCGGACGGCGGACGAGGCGGTGGCGTGGATCCGCCAGCAGAAACAACGCTTCTTCGCCGACGTCTGGTTCAACGCGCCGCACCTGCCAGTAGAGCCCATCGCGCCGTTCTTCGATGGTGAGCGGGCGCCGCGCGACCGGTCGGGCCGCGTCTTCCGGTGGCCCGGCGGCGACGTCGTCAAATATTCACCAGAGTACGACTCGGTCGTCCAGGCCAGTGCACAAATCAAATTCATGGCTCCCTCCTGACGCCATCGAGCACCCGACTCACGGTTGATTTACGCACAGGTCCGGGCGTTGGACGCCGGCGTCGGCGCAGTCCTTGACGAGCTGGATGGTTCAACACTCGCAGTCTTCACCTCTGACAACGGGCCCGAGGAGGGCGTCGGGCACGCGCGGCCGTTCCGCGGCCGCAAGCGGTCGCCCTACGAGGGCGGGACCGCCGTGCCTTGCATCTTCTGGATGCCGGGCACGATCCCGGCGAACAAGCGGGAGGATGTGTTTTTTAACGGCGCAGACTTCCATGCGACTTTTCTGAGCGCGGCAATGGTGCCCTATCCCGAAGCGGGGCGCGCGTGGCCGCCGCTGCAGCCGTCGTGGGACGCGGCCGGTCGCGACGTACCGGGCGCCAGGCTCTTCGACGGCGTCGACCACTGGCCCACGTTGACTGGAGATAATTCACAACGACGGATCGCGCACGAGCGCGTCGCTGCCTGGGTCACGCAGCGCGGCCACGGCATCGTCCGCACGGAGGGCCTCAAATATATCGACTTCCTGAAGGTCCAGAGCCAGCGCACGAAGCCGGCGCTCTATAACCTGACGCGCGACCCGCATGAGCGCAACGATCTCAGCGAGAAGCTCGTCGACGCGCTGCCCCGGTTCCAGGGACTCGTCGACGCGTTCCTCGCCGCGCCGCCGCGGGACTACTCGAAGGGCGATTGTGTGCAGGAGGGCGGCTCGTGCGAGGGAAGCGCGACGCCCTACGCGCCGTTCCCGCATATGCCAGTGTGCATGCATGCCACGCCGCCGCCGCGACGGAAGGGGCCTCGGCTCGCGGCGCCTTGGAAAGTGAAGGGTGGTAAGGAGTTTTGACTGTGAACACAAACACATCCGAGTCACTCTAGAATTGAACTTTAGAAATTTCCCCAACAATTCCTAGGGCGGCCCGGGACATTAAACTTACCCACACGCATGCCGCGACCGTATCACATCTCTCAGCCTCCAGCCTAGACGGTATATAAAGCGCCACCGTTTGACAGTGGGCGGGTTCCCGCCGGCTTTAAAGCCGAGGGCGCAGCGGGGATCCTGCCAGAACCCAACCGAACCCGGGTTCCCGCCGGCTTTGGAACCCTTGCCGTCTCCCTTTTGTCGACCCCCCCTTGTATTCCCCGTCGGCGGAAATTCATGCTCCTCCGTGAGATGTCGACTGAAGGTCGGTGCATGCCAGTGCGGCTGCAAGCGACCAGTAGGAATGTGCCGTGCCTTGCCCCTTCCATCCTCAACGTAAGGCTTCGGCTTCGCCCGAGGTATCTTGTAACAGAGCTTTTTCGCCTGGTTCAAGCAGAATGGGCACCATAAATCGCCGTTCCACTCAACCGGCTCGAGGGGCCGCGGCGGCGTCAGCGTCTTCGGCCCATTCGGGAAGAGCTTGAGCGTTTCCTCGTCCCGAGACAAGGGCGTCTTCTTCTTCGGCGCGCGGCGGCAGCTGGCGGGCGTGCCCGCGCCGCGTTTCCGCCGCGGCGGCGCCGCCGCCTCGATCTCGCGCTGCGCGCCCGCGCTGCGGCCCTGCAATGCTTGGATGGCGGCCATCGTCGGCCGCTTCGGGTTCGCGCTTTTCACGCGCTGGGCGACCGAGTCGCCGCCGTGGCTCGGGACCGCGATGGTGGAATCAGTCGAGTGCACCATGATGGCGCCGTCCGGGATCTCCGTGGGGACTGGGCTCAGGACCGTCTTGGACCTTCTGGTCTTGCGCGGCGCCGGCGGAGGCTGGGTCGCCATTTTGGCGCGCCTTGCTTATTTATCACGTCGGAGCGAGGGCCCGCGAGCTTCACCGCGTCGCGCTTGGCAATAGATTTAGTGAGACGTGTCTGTGAGAGTAGCGGGGACTCCCTAGGAGAGCACGCTTTTAGCTTGGCTCGATAATCCCGCCGCCGCCTCTCCTCTGTGCAGGTCTAGAGGCCCAAATTTAAATGTCGCGCCGAACACCAGTCGCTCCGCGCTTCAAATTGAGTTCCCCAAACGAATTAACCCGGCCCTGCGCTGAAAACACGATGTGCTAGTGTCTTACAGACCGCTAGCTTTTGTTTTTCACGCTTTGCGGGCCCAGCGTTTGCCGCATCGATTGCGATTGCAGCAGCAGCGCTGCTTAGAGACCTCATCAATTGCAGACACAACAATTGACAGCGACTGATGAAGCGTATCACACGAAATGGTGCAAGCCTTTAAAGCCATCCGGCTCGCGCTCAACGCGTTACGTCCGGCGGTCCCTGGCGGCGGAAGAAACACTGATTACAACGTCACCAATGACGCGTTCGCCTGCGACGCGCGGCTGAAGGGCTTCTTCACAAGCCGCGCGGGCGTCTACGAGTGCCCGATCGTGTCCAAGGACTTCTGGCTTTTCTTCGCGTTCTTCGTGGGCTGCGAACCGGGCGGCCCCTACGACGGCCCGAGCCCCGGCAGCGCCTCTGGTGGTGCGGTCTGGCGCGAAGGGTATGTGTCGGTTCAGTGGGGCGCCGCTGATGGAGGCCTGCGCGCGGACGTGGAGCGGCAGATGCGGCGCTGGCGCCGGGCCACGGACCGCGGCAAGAACATGGACGAGCTCGACGAGACGGAGCAGTGGTTGTACAAGACCGGCACGGTCGTGACGGAGTGGCTCGATACTGTCGTGGCTACTTCCAAGCGCGTCGACGACCTGAGCCCCTCGTGCATCCACTTCATGATCTACGGCTACGACGGCACGAACTTCAAGGGCGGTTTGCACGTGGACTCTCGCTTGCGGGCCGTCGCGCGCGCCCGAGTCAAGCGCCTGATAGTCCCGGCCGCCGACTGCAACGACCGCGACCTGCTCTTCGTCGCGGCGAACGGGCACATGGGGCGCGGGCGGTTCAAGGGCTTCTTCAGCTTCAAGCGCCGCTGGACGCGCATCGTGGGCGTCGCGCGCGGCGCCGTCTTAATGGACGCCGTCGGCGCCGGCGCCCTCCCCCTCCTCCCCGCGGGCTGCGCCGACCTCTCCGGCGACGAGAACCACCTGTCCGCCGAGGAGGTCCGCTTCCTGCACGCGGCGTTCGCCACGGTCAATGCCTCGGGCGGGCGCGGCCTCGAGGCGGGCAAGATTGCCGTCTCGATCGTGTTCTCCGGGCACCCCAAGCGGCGCCGCGGCGACGAGGGCATGCGTCTTCTTTAGACGTGAGTAAGAATTATTCTTAAGCAAGCAAGAATTTCACATATTGCTAGCGTAGTACTATACTAGCCTGAAAAAAATCATCGTTTTTGCCCAGGCTGCTAAAAAACAGGGCAACCGTGCATAGTCACGATCGTGTGGGGGTAAGCGGCACGCCACCTAAGCTGCCAACAACGGCTCGCAGGTTTTAAGCGCGAACCGACGGCGTGTGCCGGCAAACAACTCTGATCGGCATCGGGCTGCATCGAGGCCGCGACAATGTCGGACGACGCCAAGGGCCGCTACGCCGATAAAGAAACGCCGCCCGAGCAGGCAGAAGAGGAGGGTCCCCCGGAAGAGTACCGCGTCCTCTTCGCGGCCGCCGAGTACGGCCGCGCGGACATCGTCGCGTCCGCGGCCGCCGCGCTGAAAGAAAAACTCGCGCCGGGCGAGGACCTGGCCGAAGCCTTGGGCGCGGCGCGGAACGACGACGACGCGTCGCTCCTCGAAAAGGCCTGCAGTAGCAACAAGGTCGACGCCGTGCGGGCCTTGCTCAGAGTCGGCGCCATACCTGCCGCATCAACTCCCGTAGCGTGGCTCGAGGAGGGCTCGGCCTGTAGAGCTGCGGCGCACGCCGAGCTCATGCAGCAGGTCGCGTTAGGAGATGCTGGAAGGGTGACCAAGCTCTTGAGGCTGCTCGGTCCCATCCCGCGCCTCTCCGACGCGGCGACGTTTGGGGGAGACTCGCCTCTACACTGGGCGGCGTCCTTCGGCCAGGAAACGGCCCTGGAAGCCTTATTGGCGGCCGGCGCCGACGCCAACGCCGGGAACGACGACGGCGTTACACCCTTGCATGAAGCCGCGCGCGCCGGTCATGTTGATTGCGTCTCCCTACTGTTAAAGGGCGGCGCCGACGCCGCCCTGCGCATTTCGGACGGCCCCGACGCCGGGAAGCTGCCGGCCGACCTCGCGAAGGGCGACATGCCCGAGCTCGCCGTCGCCGCACCCGCACAGCAGGTCAAGACGATCACGACAGCGACTGCGTTTCACGGGCGCGGAGTGCGGCTCGCGCGTCTCGCAGCGCGACCTCAAAATCCGCGACGAGCGGGTGCGCGCCGAGCACGCATCGCGCGATCCGGTCCGCGTCTTCGAGCGTCTTCACGGCCTCGCGGAGGTCGTCGAGCGTCCCTGCTCGTTTGACACCAGGATACATGTTATGTGTAGTAGAAGTAATAGAAGTAGATAGTAAGAGAAGACAAAGCAACTTATGCTTCGCGTGTCAGAGGAAGAGCTCAGGCCGCGTCCGCGTAGGCCTTGAGGAGCTCGAGGAGGAAGAGCCGCTTGTCGAGCACGCGGCCGTCCGGCAGCAAGATGACGAAGTCGACGCCGGCCCAGATCGTGTAGGTGTAGTTGTGTTTGCACTCGATCGTCGGATCGAAGACCTCCAGGAGCGATTGAGGCGACGTCGCGACCTCGCGGACGTCCATCCCGCGGAAGATCAGGGCCGCGCCGGCCGCGAGCGCGCGCAGCGTCTTGGATGAGAGGACCCAGGCGGGCATGGTGTCCCAGACCCGATGGCGGTTGAGCTCCGGCGCGACAGACCCCAGGTCGTCGACGAGGAACCACTCCGTGAGCTTCGAAGAGTTCGGCTTGTGGAAGCGGATGTAGAAGAAAGGCACCGACGCCGAGAGCGGGAACCCGAGCTGCGAAGACAGGAGCGCCGAGCCGCGCCGCGCGCACGTCGGGAGCGAGGAGAAATCGATGGCCGCGTAGTCGACGCCCGCCGAAAAGAGCGACGACACCGCATCAGAAGAGCCGCCCGGCGCCGAAGACGACACGAGCGCCCGCGAGCGCTTCGCGCGGCGCGGCGCGACGCAGGCCGTTGTGAGCGCGAGCGCCGTGCCCGAGGCGGCGACGCCGGCGACGCTGGACCAGAGCAAGCACTTGCAGTCGAAGAACAAGCCGTTCGACCGCTGCAGGAGCGCCTTGATCACCGCGATCGAGTCGAAGCGCAGGCCCCGCGGGAACGCGACGCGGACCCACGACGGCAGCAGGTGCAGGTCCTCGGCTCGCACCTCCAGAGGCACCCAGAGCAGCGGCACCTGCATCTTTATCGCGTCCAGCATCGTCTTTTTGCCCACCCACAAGATCTTTGCGAGGCAATAGCGGCCGAAGACGCACCGGAAGATGCTGATGCCCATGTCCCCGAAGCGGACGTCCCCGTAGATGAGAGCCATCTGCGCCGCGAACAAGACGATCTTGTAGATGTAGAATTTAATGGGCCAGCCGCCACCTCCTCTCTCCTTCCGCTTCTCCTGGTCTAACTCCTCCAAATCGTCAATCAGAGAACCGCCGACGACCGAGCACGTCTCCTTGATGACCGCAAATAAATTGAAGCGCAGTAACAGGGCCGCGAGGCCGCTCGAAGGCGTCTTCCCCGGCGGTAGATCGTTCAGAGCCTCCCGAGCCTCTGGAGTTTCGGGCTTCGCTTCGGCTTTGCGCACCGCCGCCGTGAGGGGGTCGTCGTCGTCGTCATCATCATCGTCGTCGGCGCGCCGCAGTGGAGGCATGAGCGCGTCCGAGCCGCCGAAGGCCGCCGATTCAGGCGCTCCGCGCGTCAGGGAAGGCCCATCTAACGAAGCGACGGGCGCGCCGCGCTGAGAAGACGCCGAGGCGTCCGAAGCAGCGAGCGCCTGGAGCGCGGGCGACGGCAATAAGCGCAACGTCTCGTCAGAGGCGCCCGCCGTCGGATCATCTAAAGCGTCGAGCGCGCGGGCACCATCGAGTAGATCGGCGCGGGGCTTCTCGGGCGGCACGTCGCCGCCCGCAGCACCGCCAAACGCCGAAGCCGCGACGACGCGCGGCGCCGCGCGCGCCGCGACGCGCATCGGCGGGTCACCATCTAAAGCGTCGGCCGGCGCCGCGACGTCGTCGACGGGCAGCGCGCCGCGCGCGTCGCCGCAGGTCGCCGCGACCGACGCGGCGACGGCGTTCACGTCGCCGAGCGGCGTGCGCCGCGCCGCCGCCTCGGCGGCGAGCCGCGCCGCGCGCTCCTTCCGCAGCTCGGCCTCGAGCTTCTCCTTGGCCTGCGCGGAGAACCGTCGGCGTGAACGCGTCGCGTCGATGGCGTGAAGGTCGACGCGCCGCTACCGTTCCAGGCTGAAGAGTTCGGACTCGGAAGCACACGATCATAATGTGCACGCGCGTCGTCTCCGCGGCGACCGTCAGACACCGACTCAGAACCCGCATGAAGCCCCGCAGCTTCATCTCCTCGGACATTTCGGGCGTCCAGGCGATCTTGATGAACTCCGTCCCGAACTGGGCCCACTCCTCCTTCGACATCTTCTCCAACAAGAGGGCGATGATGGCGTCGAAGCGGGGGTCGCCGCAGCCCCAGTAGTCGGGGCTCACGCCGCCGGGGTTGCCGAAGGGCACCTGGCCGTCGTCCTTGTTGTAGTCCTCTGGATCATAGAAGTCCGTATCCGTGCCTGCGGGGACGTCGACCAGTGGACGAGGGCCACGCCGTCGAGCGGACGTCGCGTCGATGGCGTGGAGGTCGACGCTATGCTTCAAAGACCGTAATTCTAGGACGCCGTATGAGTACGCTCGCGCGTCGACCTCCACAATTCGCCGCGCCCCCGGGCCTCGTCGGCCATCGCTGCGGCCCGCTCCCTCGAGAGGCGGTCCCAGAAATGACTTCCAGAGCCGCCGGTGCGCTCGAGGAACTTGCTCCTGGGGAGCTTCAACTCGAACGACGCCGGGTCCACGAGCGCCGTGCGCCACGCGGCCTCCTTCTCCGCCCGGCCGAGGTCCGGGAGCTCGAGGTCTAACGCGCCCTCCTCCCGTAACTTGGCGCGCTTCTCTTCCTTGGCGCCGGCCTCGTCCGGCTGCGCGGCGCGCGCGAGCCGGTCCCGGACGTACTGTTGCACGGCCCTCCGGCTCGTGCCGCGGCCGCCGTCGTCCGGACCGAGGCCCTTCAAATCTTCTTGCGAGAGGCTCGCGAGCCGCTCATCGTCGACGTTCGTCGCGTCGATGCTCGCCAAGAAGCCCTCGTCCTCGCGGGACAGCAGCTCCGTCGCCTTGCCGTGCTCCGCCAGGAGCGCCTCGCGTTGGGCCGTGATGCTTCGTTCGACTTTGGCTTTTTGTTCCGCACTCAGCATGCCCGGCGGCCGCGTCGAGGCGCGCTTTTGGCCGCGAGACATGGCGTCGACGGACGCGCGCGTGACCGCTGAAGTGTTTTTGTGAGCGGCGGCGGCGTCGAGCGGCTGCGTCTCGACACCTGCGGCACAACACGACGTGTCGTCCGCAGCGCAGCAGCAGTGGTTCAGCGTCCTACTGTCAGCGGGAGCTTGGCGCGCAGCGACCGCGTGCGCCCGCGCTAGAGCACTGGCACACAAGGGCCAAATGTGCTGTAAAATGCGGCTACAGGTCCCTTCGGCCCGTACTGCTCGCTCACGATTTCGCCAGGTATCCGAACAGATGTATCGTTGCCTCACCAGACGCAGCTGCGATCTGTGTGGCTTGCGCACTGTGTTCTTGTTGACAGGGAATGGTTCAGGTCTTTTGTGTCGGGTTTTTCGAGTTTTCGAGCAAGACGAGCGAAATTCGGCGAGAACGGCATTTACGGAAACGACATCACAATAAAACACAGCAACCGCGGCTTGGCTGTCAGAGTCAAGCCGCGGCGGCGCGCTATCGATGTGCGCGCCGACAAGCCGCGTCCATCTTCTGCGCCCGGCGTAAGCCCGCGACGTCGTGGCCCACCGCGCGCGGCCGCTGCGCTGTCTATCGTGACCCCAGCGCGCGGCTCTGCCGCTGCTCCAGCGGGAGCCCATGGGGCAGCATCTGAAGAGACAGCACGCCAGGACTAGGAGCGCCCGCGCTCGCGGCGCCGTGGCGATGGCGTCGAGGCGTTGCCGCACTGCCATTGCGTCCACGCCACGCCGGCTGCGCGCAGGCGCTGCGTGTTGCCGCAGCAACGATTCTGCAGCTGCCTGAATTGTTTTTTAGTGCACACTGTTTGAGTTGAATTGACACTTGTGACGTGCCCGAGCGCTACCTGGGGATCTCTGAAATGCCAAAAGCGGAGCGGCCGCCGTCGCGACACCTCCGCGGCTGCGCCGACGCGAGAAGGGAACTACTCAGGAGACTCCTCCCGGAAACCACGAAGGATCTCGTAGGATGAAGACGGAAGTGCTTATTCAGATACACGGGTTGTTGAACAAGAATTTGAGTGATATGGTCCTCGTCTTATGGGTGCGGCAATTGCTACGAGCTCGTACCAGGCGGGCAAGATTGCCGTCTCGATCGTCCGGGCACCCCAAGCGGCGCCGCGGCGACGAGGGCATGCGTCTTATTTGATGTAAGTAAGAATTTCATACGATGCCTATACCTCCTAGGGTTCGGTGCTAGCGTAGTACTATACTAGCCTCAGCCCAAAAAAATTAATAGTTCACCACAAGCCTGCCAAAACGAACAGGCAACGGACGTGCTTTGCACGATCCTGTGGGCCAGTGGCGACCCACGTAAGCTGCCAGGGACGGGGGATATCCGTTGCTAGCGCACCGGCGGCGCGTGCCGGCAAACAACTGCGATCGGCGTCGGGCTGCATCGAGGCCCGCGACAGCCAGTGCTAAGACCAGGCAGCGCGTGAATCCTCTCCGGCGTCGCGCCGACGCATCAAACTGCACGTAAACAGCTCCTGCTACGCGTACGATGTCGGACGAGGCCAAGGGACGCTACGCCGACGAGGCGGAGCCGCCGCAGGAAGGCGAGGAGGAGGGTCCCCCGGAAGAATACCGTGTGTTATTTGCGGCCGCCGAGTATGGTAGGGCGGACATCGTCGCGTCCGCGGCCGCCGCGCTCAAAGAAAAGCTCGCGCCGGGCGAGGACCTGGCCGAAGCGCTGGGCGCGGCGCGGAACGACGACGACGCTTCGTTACTCGAGAAGGCCTGCAGTTCTAACAAGGTAGACGCCGTCCGCGCTTTGCTCAGAGTAGGTGCGATCCCCGCGGCGGCGAGTCCCGTATCGTGGCTCGAGGAGGGCTCGGCCTGTAGAGCTGCAGCCCACGCCGAGCTTATGCAGCAGGTCGCATTAGGGGACGCGGGAAGGGTCACGAACTGTGTGGAAATCAACCAGTGCGTCGGGTGCGTCTGGCTCGTTCGAGCAGCGAGGAACCGGCATCGCCACGACATCGAGCAGGCGTCGCGTCGATGGCGTGGAGGACGACGCAGGCGTCGCGTCGATGGCGTGGAGGACGACGCGACGAATCAGCGCGAACGCGCCGTAAAATTTTGATTGCCACACAGGTCACGAAACTACTGGCTTTGTTAGGTTCGATACCGCGCCTCTCCGACGCAGCAACTTTTGGAGGGGACTCACCTCTACACTGGGCGGCGTCCTTCGGCCAGGAAGCGGCCCTGGAGGCGCTGCTCGCGGCCGGCGCCGAGCCCTGCGCCACGAACGACGACGGCGTCACGCCGCTCCACGAGGCGGCGCGCGCCGGTCATGTTGATTGCGTCTCAATATTGTTAAGGGGCGGCGCCGACGCGTCCCTCAGAATTTCGGACGGGCCTGACGCGGGGAAACTGCCGGCCGATCTTGCTAAAAACGACGCGCTCCAGAAGACGCTCGCCGTGTCGACGCCCGCGAAGGAGGTGAAAACGATCACGCCCCCCCCCTCCCCCAAGCGAAGCGTCGACGTGGAAGACCAGGGCGCTGCGAGATGCAGAGCCCCATTGGTCTGGCCGCCGCCGCGGCGGTGCCGGTTATTGCGAGGCGCCCCTGAATTAGAATTCAGAGGTGCGGAGATTTCGGTAGGTGTCCACTCTTCCATAGATGATGCGCGGTTCGACGCGGCTTTGCGGACTTTGAGAGTGGAGGTCGGCGCGAGATTTGGGGTGAAAGTCGTCACCGCTAATGAAGAGCACTCCGTGTCGTTGCGAGTCTGCGCGAAGACGACGGGCGGGCCCGAGGGCTATCGCGTTTTAGTTAGAGATGGTGTAGCTGCAGTTGTGGGCCACGACGCTGCTGGATTAAAACATGGCGCCTCTACGCTAGCACAACTACTTAGATTCCACGCGTCGTGCGGCAAGGACGAGGACGACGCCCTGCCGGCCTTTCGGTTGCCGGCGTTAGCGGTCGACGACGGCCCCGACGCTCTAGTCAGGGCGGCGTGTCTCGATTGCCGGGGGGCCGCGGCCCCGCGGAACGCCCAGATCGACGACGACGCGCGGCGCTTGGCGTCGTGGCGCTGCAACGCGTTATTTATTTTAGCTGACGACGCGGGCTGCGACCAGTTGGACCGGGAAGCAAGGCCCCGGCAAGAGGAGGAGGAGGTGGCGGAACCTGTTCAGAGGGGCTGGTTCTCTAGGGCGCCCGTACCAGTACAGGAGGAGGCGGACGAGGACCCTCCCTTACCGTGGCACTCGTGCGACGGCGGTGATGGGTATGTGGATTGCGACCCGGATCCAGGTATGGGTTTAGACGCGTGCGCGGCGCTGAGTGCGCGGTGCCGCGCGCGCCACGTTGCTTGCATTCCCACGGTCTGCGTGTATACGGATAACGTGGACGAAGCAGTTGCCTGCGCAAAGTCCCTCACGGAACGGTATCGGGCGACGCAGCTCGGGGTGCGCGTGTCTTCGTCATTATCGGCGTCGAAGGCTACGAAGGTGTGCGAAGCTCTCTCAAGTAATTTACCGGCCGCGGTCGAGACGCTCTGGCTGTGGGGCGCTCCCTCAAACGCCGAGGCCGCGTGCTCGCGGGCATCGAAACGAGCGTCTATTGCAGTAATTCTCGACGGCCCGCCGGGCGACGGCACGGGCGGGGCTAAATTAGCAAGGCGCCGCGCGACGGCGGCCGATGCTTTAATATGCGGCGGCGCGGACGCGGTCTACGCGACGGCTCTGCGGCAGGCGCCGGCCGTCGCTTCCTTAGTAGCGGCGGCGCGCGCCTGCCGGGCGGAGCGGGGTGCCGGTGTGGTTATAAGAAGCGCGCCGCTCGGCGACCGGGCGCCTTCACCAGCATTCCCGAAGCCGTTCGCGGATGCGACAGCGCTGCTCGGGGCGGGTTTAGCTTGGCGCGCGGACGCGGGCGCCGACGCCCCGGCGGCGGGCGGCGGGCGGTCGCTGGGCCAGGCGGAGCTCGAGGCGCTGACGGCCGCTCATTTGTGGAGGTTGGACCCTCCCAGGAGAGAAACGTCGGCCGCCGACGCGCACGACGCCGACGCGCCTCGTAGAAGGCTGGCGGCGGCTGCTGCTGGAGTAGTGTGCGGCAGAAATGAAAGGAGAGATAATAACGGCGACGGGCGGGGCACGTCACTATTAGCGGAGTGCCAAAGAGGCGAGCACTTCCCGGGATCGGAGGGCGAGGCCCTGTACGCGCAGGACGCGTACGACGAAGCTCTACTCTGGCCGCCGTGCGCCGGCGGGGCCGCGGCCGCGACGCGCGCTTTGACAATTTTAGCGGAGGAGGCCTTCCGCGCGGCCCACGACGACCACCGAGCCGCGACTTTGAGAGCGCACCACCGGCGGCTGTCCGAGCTTTTGAGGACGAGGTACTGGGACGGGGCGGCGCCGGTCGACCCGGCGTCGGTCTGGAAGTGGCATCATGATGAATTGGGGTTCTTCGTCGACTTCGAGCGCGTCGCGGGCGACGACGACGGCGGCCTGCCGCCGCCTCCCTCCAGGTCGGCTTCTGCCGAAGCGATGGATTCCAATGATGACGGCGACTCCGCGACGGCGCGGCTGCGGCGCGTCGTGGACGAGCTGCATGTTGCGGTGGATTTATGTAGGTGGATGGCGCGGTTGCGGCAATTGCTGCTGGCGCGGGCGCGGGCCGAGGCCGCGGACCCGGACGACGCGCGGGCCTTGCTGGCGTCCGTGCCGTCTACAACTAGATCTGACGTGGCCAATAGGTTGTTGGAGTTGTTGCAGAGAGCTGCGGCGCTCTACGCGCGGCGGCATTCTCCGAGGGACGCGGCGCGGCGCGCCTTCGACGCGTCCCCGCCGTTCCTCGACGACCTGACCTTCGACCTGGCGAACTTTAGCTACGAGGCCATCGAGCGGCTCGTGCTCGCGGCGACGACGGTGGACCGGTAGTCTATTCCCCCTTTCCCCTTTAAGGTCTCCAGTCTATTTCCTGCTTTTATTGACGGTGCTAGGACTCGCGGGCGGAGTCCCTTGTGTGGGGAGACACCGCGCGTCACCGATTCATCGGCGGCGGGCGCGAGCCGCTTGAAACCTACTAGGACATCACGCTAGCGGATTATATCGGCGAATTGCCAAACACAGCAAAAAAGGCTGTAAAATCGCACCGTCCAGCGTCTCACACGCAACTTAAGCACTTCAGAGGTCACATGGGTCCTAGATCTCGGCAGCGCGGGCAGCGATCGTGCCGTCGCTCGCCCAAGCGCCGCCAATGCAGCACCTGCTCGCCGCGGGCGTAAAAACGCCGCCGCTAGCCCAAAACGCCGCCGCCGCGCGATAAACTCACAGACCGCTCCACGCAGGCCACCATGTCGGAAGCACTCACCTTACGCGGCGTCCTCAAGGGCCACAGCGACTGGGTCACGGCCCTCGCGACGACGTCCGAGGACCCGGGGATGATCATCTCCGCGTCGCGCGACAAGACCTGCCTCGTCTGGACGCTGACGAACGCCGGCGGCGACGGCGAGGCTTATGGCTACCCGCGCCGCGCGCTGAAGGGCCACAGCCACTTCGTGTCTGATGTGGTCATCTCTTCCGACGGCCAGTTCGCGCTGTCGGGCTCCTGGGACGGCACCTTGAGGCTCTGGGAGCTCGCGACGGGCAAGACGACGCGCCGCTTCGTCGGCCACTCGAAGGACGTTTTGAGCGTTGCCTTCTCGACGGACAACCGCCAGATCGTGTCTGGAGCTAGAGACAAAACGGTCAAATTGTGGAACACGCTGGGCGAGTGCAAGTACACGATCAGCGACGAGGGGCACACGGAGTGGGTGTCTTGTGTTAGATTCTCGCCCTCCGTGCAAGCTCCCGTCATCGTCTCCTGCGGCTGGGACAAGCTCGTGAAAGTGTGGTCCCTGACGAACTGCAAGCTGCGCACGAACTTGTACGGCCACGCGGGTTACCTGAACACCGTCACCGTCTCGCCCGACGGCTCGCTCTGCGCTTCTGGTGGTAAAGATGGCACGGCCATGTTGTGGGACCTCAACGAGGGCAAGCGCCTCTACTCGCTCGACGCCGGCGACATCATCCACTCGCTCGTCTTCTCGCCGAACCGCTACTGGCTCTGCGCGGCGACGACGCTCGCGATCAAGATCTGGGATTTGGAGAGCAAGGTCGTCGTCGACGAGCTCAAGCCCGAGTTCCCGGCCATGGGCAAGAACGCGACGGCGCCCTACTGCACGTCGATCTGCTGGTCCGCGGACGGCGCGGTGCTCTACTCGGGCTACACGGACGGTTTGATTCGCGCGTGGCACGTGGGCGCCTAGGGCGTGTAAGTTTCACGCATCATACACGCCGTCGACGCGAGAGACAGGCTGCTGTACGGTACACATTACCCGACTACTACTGCGAGCCCGCGCGGAGCTTCTTGGCGGCGGGCTCCGACGAGGGCGACGCGGGCTCGTCGCGCGCTGCCGCCGCCTCGTCGTCGCTCTCGAAGGTGATGGGCTCCTCGGCCGAGCCCTCGCGCTCGTCGTTTGATTCGGTCTCGTCGCCGCGGTCGTCGCCCGCCTCCGAGTCCTCGAGCGACGAGTCGTCCGAGTCCTCGTCGCTCGAGGACTGCGCCTCGTAGTCGTCATCCTCATCATCCGAGTCCTCCTCGATCGCCTGGGGCTCGCCCTTCTTCTCCGCCAATTCCCTTCGTAATTTGGCCCGGCACGGCAGCAGCACATCTCTGATGAATTTCTGCACTCCTTCCAACTCGTCCTTCCGGATGTTCGAGAACTCGAAGGCCGGCGGTTTCGCCGGCTTGTCGTCATCAGAAGTGTCCCAAGGGCGTTCCATCTCGACCATGAGATCGAAGGACGAGCAGTTCCCGGCTCCTGCTCTCCCACAATCGATGGACGCGATAGCTTCGCAGGGTAGAAATACTAACGGTTTCAAGAAGAGAATACCAAGGTCAACTAAATGGAGGTTGCCCTGCGCCGCGCCTAGTGTCGCTTTCACATACGGTAATGACGATATCGCGCTCTTGAAGCTCATGGGATCCTTGCCGCCCTTCAGTAAGGATCTATTGGCGACCTTTGTTAAGGAGGCGAGATGTGGTGCAACGTTTGCTAGTGTCGTGGTGGTGCCGGGGCACGGCGTAGCCTTCGAGTACTTGTCGTTCACCGTCAATGCGAGCGACGCCTTCTTGAAGGCGTCCTGCATGAGTTTCGACGTGATTTTGGTAGCAGGCTTTGGAGTGGTGACGGAGGCGGCTAGGAGTAGCGTGGCCGCTTCGGACGGCTGCGACTTCTCGGTCGGCGGTAATGTAAAAGCAGCCTTCATCGACATGAAGGGGAACTCGCCCTTGACCGCGCCGTCCTTCGGGTTGACCACCACGATAGCGTGGTCTCCTACTCTGAGAGTTGCCTTGCCCCTCGGTTGCAAACACGTCGCGTCGCACGTCCAGCGCACCTCGCCCAAATTCGTTTCCGAGGCGGCCTTGCGCGCGTCTACGATTCGTTGCTCGCACTGCTTCACCAAGGCCTTGAGCTCCGTGGAGAGCGTTTGGGCTTGATCAGCGTCGGCCGTCGCGACGAGTTGCTTGAGCGCCGCGAGCGGGCCGTTGATGGGCTTCTCGGGCGAGACGCTCTTGGGCGGCGCGGGCGGCGCCGGTGAGGTGATCTTCATGTCAGTGGCTGCTGGCGGCGCCGTGGGCGGCGCTACGACCTCCATAATTTTCAAACATCTGTGAGAGCGCGGGAGTTTTGGGGTTTCACAGCGCGTCTTGTGGCGCAAGAATGCAAGCGCGATAATAACGCAGCGCACCGAAAGCGCTGTGTGTAATAGATGCGCCAATGTGGTGAACACAGGCACGTCCGCAAAGCAAACCAAATGCTGCAGCGGCGCCGAGCGCTGCTGAAAATCGGCAAGCATGCACGTTGCCAAGCCTCGGAGGCGTCTGAGATGAAGAATCAACAGACTAGTCGCCGCCGGGAAAATAATACCTAGCGTCGACATACTAGCCCGGTTCGGCTGCGACTTGGCTTTGAGGCCGCTACCGCATCAAAGATGGACCCGCTGGGCCGCCCGGCACGCTTTTATATCTCTAGATAGGCCTAGCCTCAAAGCGTGCGCTCTCACAGCGCGTGACGAGGCGCACAAGACAAAACTAGTTTGACCCAAGCCACGCGAGCGCCGCAGCGCAACAAAAACCATGCGCGACGCCCTCCCGTCCCTGCGGACGCCGACGCTGCTGCGCCGGCGCACGGGCAGCGGCTTCGTCGCGACGACGCACTCGAGCGCGCTCGCCTTTTTAGGAGCTATGATCATGATCGCGGTCTTCGCCTGCAATTTGAGGTTTTTCACGCGCGCCTTCATGTCGTCCGTCCCGCGCGGCGTCTACCGGAGGCCGCGCAAGCCGATGACGACGAACACGACAGCACCCGTGGTGGTGTCCTCGCGGCACTGCCGCTTTTTGCGCGACGCGACCCTCAAGATGGTGCCGCCGGCCTGCGGCCGCTCGAAGAAGACCGTCTACTCGCGGAAAGTTCGATTGCCTTTACTGGTTACTTCGCTGGGCGGAGCGGGCTCGTGGCACGCTTCTTTGAGGTTGCGTGACGCGGGCTTACGAGTGGAGCACGAGCGCCTCGGGAGGGATGGCAGTGTGTGTTGGTTGTACGCCGTGCGCGACTCCACGCAAAGGCCGTACCCGGTGCCCCCCGCGGCGGCGGCCGTCCGCGACTTGGACGTGAGGTTTCGGAGGGTTTTGCAGATCATAAGGTGTCCCGTCGGCAACGTCGCGGCACTATCGACGCATAAGCGGTCTACCCTGGCTTTCGCCGCTCGAGCCTTAGCGCTGCCGCCGCCGCCCCCGGAGGACGCACCTACGGGAGCGACGCAGCTCGAGCGGTCCCTCTACCGCCTCACCCTGAGCGAGAAGGAGTCGAGGAGGAGAGATCGGTGGCTGCTCTTTTTATCGAACGTGTGGCTCGGCTGGAACGAGAGGATCGAGCGCTTCGCGGACGCGAGGGCGCGCATCGAGGACGATTTGAGTGGGGCGGCGTTGTGTGATTTGGTGGAACTGGCGCGCGACGACGAGAAGAGTGGGGAGAGGGTGTGTGTGTCGTCGACGGAAGCCTTCCAGGCCGGCCTTGATACGGCCGGGACACTCGCGCGGGCCTGGTCGCACTGGATCGCGAACCGCGGCATCTTCGACCCGAAACGCTGTTTGAGAGGTGCGTGTGCTGATGGTCCTAGGATTCCCCACCACCGGCGGCACGCGAACGTGAGCTGGAGTGATTTGGTCTCGGCGCTGCCTCCTCCAAAATTGCGGGAGGTCGCGGCGGCGGCGGCGCGGTACGGGTACGGTCCGAACGGCGACTGTAAGGGGCGCGAGGAGGAGCCCGTGTAAGGTGTCTCGAGTGTTCTCTTGCGTTTTGCGGGCCGCGTCTCGGATTCGTCGGCGGTCGCGGGCCGGGGCTTATTGTAGCTGTCTCCAAGGAGTCTCCAGGCCTCGCCTTCTCGCCTCGTTTCTGGCTGCCCGAACCCGCAAGAAAGCTCTCAGCTCGATCCACAGAGCACAGCTTGAAATGGGCTCTGGTGCCTCCGCAGGCCAATGCCCCGCTGCGGCTGCCGGTCAGTGCGTTTTTGGCTCTTTTTCTGCAGACATGGCCTGTGGCGTGCCTGATGCTCCCCCCTTGCTGTGGCCATGCCTCCTGCTCCCCATGGTTAAGGGCATGGCCGCCGGGCACCAGCAGGCCCTGGCAGCCCAGGCCGAGCAACGGCGCATACGAGGAGGCCGCTGAAGGCATGCGCGGGCTGCCCCTCAGTCGGACGACACTGAAGGCTCGCTATGACGCCGGCGAGCTTGTGTCTCCAACCGCGTGGGCCAAGCGCCAGCCCATCTTGATCCTGCCGCTGGGCTACAACCCGCGGAAGCGCGCGGCGCCCGAGCCCGAGCCCGCGCCGACAAAGAAACGCCCACCATCTGTGGCAGCGAGCCCAGCGGCGCCGGCACCGGCCGAGACAGCAAAATTCCTACGCATGCTCAAGACCCGCGAACAGATCCGCCTGGCGAAGGCCGCTGGCGCACCGTGGCCGTGGTCCGACGACGACGTCCTGAATCGATATAAATTCACGAACGTAAAGCGCGAGCATGATCGCACGACGGCGTGGCTCCGCGCCCACTGGACCGCGAAGCACGGTAACGCCGACGCCGCGACCGTGTTGTTCAATTGCGGTGTTTTTCGCGTGTTTGGGACGGTGGCGTTCGCGGAACAAACGGGCTGGACGGCGGACATGAGCGCTTGGAACGCTTTCCTGGAACGATGCAATGCCGTCGCGTGCTGGAACGCCGGCAATCACGCCTTCACGAGCGCCTACAACCGGGTCCGTTTCAACGCTGAGCGGTCGCGTTTACCTCTCGACGTTTATGACAAGGAACTGTCGACGCTGGAAGGGTTGCGACTCGCCGTCGATGATATTGTCGCCGCGCCGGCCGGCGGCCGCCTGTCGTGGCGGGCGGTCTGCACGCGGCTTCGACGAGTCAGTGGCTTCGGCGGCTCGGGCTTTATGGCGAAGGAGGTGCTCCTCGATGCCATGGGCTGGCCGTCGGTGCGGGCCTTAGTCCGCGACGAGGGCGACTGGACGCCGCCGGGGCCCGGCGCGCGGCGGGGCCTGAACCGGCTCCACGGGCGCGCGCTCAATTTTGACGGAGGTGAGGCGCGCTTCATAACGGAGATGCGGCTCCTCCTGCGAACGCTCCTGAGCCTGGACCCGGAGTTCTGCAAGGGCGTCTCTCTAGATATCCACGACGTCCAGTTCCAGCTCTGCGAGTACGACAAGTATTGCCGCGTCGGCGACGGCGGCCACGTCCATCCGTACCGGCCCCACGTTTCCATGAACATTCCTGATCTCCCCGCACGCCCCCACCCCCACCGCGCACTACTCATATGAAAAAGATTAAGACACTAGCCTCATTGGTCGAGGTTGAGCCGGGACTTGATGTTCTTGAAGCGCTTCATGCAGAAGTGTTTTTTCGGAGGGGACTCCTCCTTGGCCTTGACGGCGTGGCCCTGGCTCGCTTTGGTCGGCTTGGGCCCGGGCAGCTTGTTCGCCTTCTTGATGGAGATGATGTCCGGGTAGTCGGCGTCGTCGTCGCCCTGGCCCATGTAGCGGCCCTCGATGGTATGTGTCAAAGGCTCGGTGCCCGTCTTCGGCACGAAGCCGTAGGGCCCGTCGAAGGGCGGCTTGTTGTGCCGATCCGGCTTGTGGCCGGGCTTGGCTTGCGCACTGAAAATGTTCGGGTTCGCGATCTGGTACTCCCTCTGGCTTTTGGCCGTGATGTTCCCCGCCTTCAAGGCCTCGAGGTTCGTCTTCACGAAGCTCCGCTGGGCCGACGAGCAGGCCGACGGCGTGAACTGGTCCCAGCCCCCAATGCATTCGCGGGCGTCGGCCTTGTCCTTCTCCTGGATGTAGCCGTAGACGTGCATGACGTCCTTGGGCAAATCGTAGGACGTCGCGCGGCACCGCCCGATGCAGTCCTTGATCATCGTGCGCTTCAGGAGGTGGGCCGGCGGCGCGCCCGGCAGCACGATGTGCTGCTCGTCCTCGACGTTGGGCATCTTTGGGGGTGGGGCTGCCTCGCCCGGTTTATTTGGAAGCTAATACGACCGAAAAAGCGCCGGGGGCTGCCTCGCCTTGCCTCTCCCGCGCGGCAGAGGCGCTCGATGCGAGCGCGCTGTGGCGGCGGACTTACATTAGTTAGGCTATCTGAGCCTGCATCGCGACGATACAGGACTCCCCAGGCTCTGGTTGACGCTCCCGGGGCGCCGGCGACGTCTCGAGGCACCGGCGCGGACCCCTAGGTTCGAGTGTGGTGAGGTGCCATTCTGCTCGCGTACGCCTCGCTGCGCTGAAATGCGGGCTCTGGCAGTTAAGGGGACACCATCGCACGCGCCCGGGCACGGAGGGACCGCGTCGACGACGTCGCCGCGCTTGTAAAAGAAAGACCCGAATACGCCGCGCGACGCGACAGCCTATCTGAGCGGTCCACTGGCAGGATATCTATACTCATCTTACTCACATGTCACAGGTGCACTGGGGGCACGTCGGCACGCGGCCCGACTCCGTCCGCGTGTTCACCCACTGGACCACGCAGTCGCGGTGGAAGACGTGCCCGCAGAGGAGGCGCACGCACTCGTCGCCGGCTTCAAACTGAGCGAAGCACACGGTGCAGGCGCCATAGGCGTCGTCGTAGGCCGCCTCGAGCTCGGCGCGGCTCGGCGTCGCGGCGCCGTCGCGGCGCGAGAAGCCGGCTCGTTCGAGCTTGGCCTTGACTTGCGCGTCGTCCAGGACGTTGATCGGAACGTATAGTTCCACGGGTAAAGTGGCGAGGCGCTGCAAGGCTTCGAGGATGCGCGGCGCCTCGCTCGGCGGCTGAGTGACGCCCGTGTCGGCCAGCGCCTGGCCGAGGTAGCGGAACGCGCGGCTCCGCAGCGGCTTCACCGCCATGATGACAACGACGCCTCCCGCTAAAGCCGTGAGCAGGTGCGTCTCGAGCTCCACCTCGAACATCGAGTAGACCAGTCCCAGGGCCGCACCCGGCACCAAAACCTTCCCGACGCCCCAGGCCTCTCTACCGAGGCCGCGCAGGCCCTGGACGAGGCGTCTCACATGTTCCCGTGGGCGCGTCAGCACATTTTTTACGGCCGGTACCTGTGTGGAAATCAAAATTTTACGGCGCGTTCCGCGTCGACCTCCACGCCATCGATGCGACGCCTGCTCGATGGCGTGGCAGCACCCGACGCACTGGTTGATTTCCACACAGGCCGGTACGAGCCACGCGAGCAGTGCGGCAATGATCAAGGCGCAAAGCCCCCTCTGAAGAACGACGGGCGTCTTCGCGAGCAGACTAAAGAGGAACAAGAATACCGCAAAAGCTGACAACATCGCCGCGAGGACCGTACTCGGCGCGCAAAACGCGAGTGTGCACACCGTACTCCACCCTGGGTTAATCCAAATCAAGACGCTTCCGCAGCGGTCGGCGCACCGCCCGAACAGAGGCGGCGCGTTCGGTATGGACGCGAGCGCTTTGCAAGCCACGTACGCCAGACACGCAATGACCGCTACAATTGTCCACACTACAATGCCGCCATAGATCCCGTAGTAGATGACGCCAAAAACTTTGCGCTTCGCGGCGCCCAGGTACGTATTGTCGTCGTCGACGTCTTCAGCATACTCCCGCGCTTTGATGCGCTCCTGCTCATCATACTTAGTCCGCATCTCCGCATCACCGAGCGTCACGCGCGCCGTGCGCAGCGAGGCGTAGGTCGCCACAATCATGAGGTGTTCCTTTGAACTAAATACAGCGTCTTTGTCCGTGCAGGTCCTCCTCCGGAACTTGGCGACGGACTCTTGCACATGATCGTCCTCCTCATCGAATCGTAGACCCAACGCCTCCACGAGACTCTCACTTTCTTCTGCACTCAACAAGCCGTCCTCGTCCTCATCCAAGGACTTGTAGATCAGCCCATAGATCTGGACGTTCTTCTTGTTTTTCCTGTTCCTCTCTAAATCGTTCTTGTGCTTGACGAAGGCCCGGTCGATCTCGGTCAACGTCGCATTTGTCGGCACTCCTAACAGAGTATATAATGCGAACGTCTGCGCGGCCGGGTCGTAGTAGGTCTGGGCCTCGTGGCTGAGCTTTTCGTCGGACTTGCCGTCGTTGCGCGGTAAGGCGCGTGCCATCGCTGCGACGGCGAGGAGGCGCAGCATCTTGTGTCGGTGCGTTATCTGTGTGCGTTCTTCACACCGGTGTTCGCGGGCGCTATCTCGCAGCCACCTGGCAGAGAGCGCTCTCTGTGTGGATCTGAGAGCTTCGTTCCGGCCAGTCTTGCGCTGCTCGCTGGGAGCGCGAAGAGAGCAGTGTATTTATGCGCTGTCAGTGCCCCCTGCAGGTTGCGGGGACCCGTAGCGTCGAGCTGGGCTGCGCGATATTGGCTGAGTGCGGGTTTTTCAGCTTTTCGCCCCAGGGCTCTGGCTCTCCGTATGAGACTGTCCGCGACCACCGCTGGACCCGAGAGAGAGAGGCTGACCCAGGAGCGCGAGCCCGCGTCGAACGTCCCGCGCGCCCTGGAGGCGCGGCTACGTTGGTAGTGTGTTATAAGATAATAGCAGGGGGGAGGGAAGGGGAAGGAGTCAAAACTGCAACAACAAAACTCCGCAAGAAGGCCCGCGTCCCTACTCCTCGTCCACCACGGAGGCGTTGGCGCGAGATAGGACCCGAGGGAGCGTCGGCTTGAGCTCTCGCCCGAGCGGCCTATTCTTGCCCGTCGACCTGCGCGAAGAACGCCATCGAGCAGAAGCGGATACAGCGACGACGGCGTTGCGACGCTTCGACGTGGCGTCGACGGCGTCCGCGGGAATACGCCTCTTTCTCTCCTGATGATATCGGCACCGCTCGCAGACCCGCCGCTGTTGTCCAACTCGCCGCTATTCGCCTTCTCGGTATCATGATAGGTCGACGCGCGGCGCGGCATCGCGGGCGGCGCGAGGAGCGCGTTCAGGTTCGCCGGCGTGTTAGTTGGCGTGAGCGTGGGCCGGGGCGTGAGAGGACCCCCGCTCGGTCTGCGTTCATACGGTATCGTCGGCGAGAGGCTCAACGACTCGACTGACAGGCGACGAGCTGCAGTGTCTGAGAGTTGACTGCTTGAGAGGCGGCGCGTCGTCAGCGCGGCGCCCGCAGGGATCTTCGCGGAAGAGAGACGGCGTAACGCGGCCATCTATATGTGGACCTCGAGGCGTCGAGGCGCATATAAATGGTTCTGAAGTGCTGAATGTCGAGCAATGCTCTCCTGAAGTTCGAACTGTGCGGGTTGGCGAACGACCGGTCGCGACGCGCCCCGAGCCCTCTCGACGCCTCTGTATGCCTCAAGGCGCCGCCGCCACCGCTGCGCCCGAGGTCGGCGGCGCGGAGCCGCCGTGGCGGACGCGCGGCCCCGGCGCGGGGCGGCGGGGGGCGAGCGGCGCGAGCCCGAGGCCTTTTTTTGCCTTCTCCATCGTCGGCATCATATTGACATAATGGTAGTGCTGGTCGATGGCGCGTCTCACGGAATCCTGGCCGAAGAACTGGTAGAAGCCGTCCCGCGCGATGCTATCGTCGATCGCGTAGTTCGGCTGGAAGTAGACCTGCCCGGCGGCGCACCTGTGTAGCCTCCGCCATCGAGGCGCGGCGAGCGCCTTTCTTGTTTGGCTTTTTACCACCGAGGAGCATGCACAGCAACGCCGTGATGGCACCGCCGAGGAACCCTGGGCCGTGCTGCGCCGCGAAGGCCTTCGCCGCCGGGGCGTGCGCGCCGCATTGCGCTGCGATTTGGCTCTTCGTCGTCACGAGCCAGTCGTAGGACTGGGCCGCCAAGGCCCGGGCCCGGCTTTCGCTCGCGGCGGTCTCGTTCACGTCGGCGGACGCCGTCGCGGCCGCGGCGAGAAGGAGGGCGCAGATGCGCCGGCGAGCCATGATCCGATGTCGTCTCGACTCTCGACGCCCGCGGCGCGTGGTCAAACCGTGCTGATGTCGACGCCTCTTTTACCTCGGGCCTTTTCGTCGCCGTCGGCGAGTGTGTTTGAGAGCGATGGTGTGCGCGCGCGTCTGCGATTGCCTTCTCAGATCGCAGCCTGGCGAGAAATTTTGGGTTTCACGCACGACGAGGCCTGAATTTCGAGATCTGGGACCCCTGTGCGCGACACGAGCCTACGCGCAGAGTCTAGCGTCGACAGAGCCGCTCGAGAGCCACAGGAACTGGCCAAAGATAAAGCTGGGAATGGGCTAGTGGGCGAGCACGCTAGTCATTATGCTGCTCACAAGCATTTTGCTTGGCGATTTGCAGAAACACTGGTCCTGTCGCAGTCAGTGAGGCAGCAAAGGTTGCGACAACGCTGCTGCAACCGGACCACACGCGTGCGATCAGATAACCAAGCAAACGCATACTAGCGAGAGCTGCAGCCTGCACGCTGCACAACACCATGGCGCAGCAACCGAACCCCGAAGCCGTCATAAACACGCTAATCCACACGTTTTCGGCAGACGCCGCAACCAGAAAGGCCGCAGAAGAAGGCATAGCACAACTCACGTCGATGCGCGGTTCGCTATTCCTCCTCGTGCAGGTCGCGGCGGCGCCGGTCCGCGAGGACGCGCGCCAGGCCGCGGCCATTACCGTCAAGAATCTAATTAAGAGAAAGTGGGGCGAGGACGACATTTTTGGGAGCGAGCCGGACCGCGCGCAAGCGCGGACGGCGGTGCTCGACGCGCTCATGCGGCCCGACGTGACCGGGCCGGTGCGGGACCAGCTCGCTGAAGCTGTTAATGAATTGGCGACGCGCGACTTTCCGGAGCGGTGGCCCGATCTCCTTCCTGCACTACTAAGAGTGATCCACGCCAAACCCGATCCTACTTCGGTACATAACGCGTTGTTGGCTCTGAGAAAAGTGGCCAAGCGCTACGAGTACAAGTCCTTCGATCCTAATTCTCCTGATGATGCCGACAATAGCACAAGAGGGCCTTTGGAACATTTGGTAAGGCAGGCCTTCCCTTTGTTGCGAGATTTGTTAAGGACCGTATTACCGTCAACAGGCCAGCACGCCGACGCGGCATCATTAGCAAAACTCATCCTCAAGATCTTCTGGTCTTGTACGCAGTTCGCGCTACCGAGAGTGGCCTTAAACGACGACACCGTCGTGCTAGGGTGGTTCGAGGACGTACGGATGGTCCTCGAGTCGGACGCGCCGGCGCCGTCCGCCCAACACCCGGAGGAGGACGACGCCGTGGAGACGCAGCCGGCCTGGAAGCTCAAGAAGTGGGCGGCGCAAATTGCCACTAGATTCTTAACGCGATATGGGAGGCCGAAGTTCGCCGAAGACGGCGCGAAGCAGTTCGCGCGGAGGTTCGCGGCCGACGTGGCTCCACTACTTTTGAATAGTATGCTCGGGTTGTTAGCTGCTTCCGCTCGTGGTAGGTGGGTGTCTCGACGGGTGAGACAGCTAGCTTTCACCTACGTCTGTTCAGCCGTCGAAGTCGGATCGTTGTACAAATTACTCAAACCTCATTTGGAGTTCGTGTTGTTCGAGTGCACGTTACCGACGATGTGTCCCACGCCCTTGGATATAAAACGCTTTACTGAGGATCCCCAAGAATTTGTCAGGAGGGCCCACGACCCGCTCGAGGACTTTTATGAACCTCGAGCGGCGGCGACGGCGTTAGTCGGTGATCTCGTGCGGTGCAAGGGCAAGGTGGTGTTGGATCCGTTATTGCAGAGAATCGCATCCGTACTGGAAGCCTACCAGCAGGCACCGTCCCTAGAAACGGCGAGACAGAAGGACGGCGCGTTATGTGCCTTAGGTGCGATTGCGGACGAGTTGCAGTCGCGAAACAACTGGGCGCCTTTGATTGCTGCCTTGCTAGCTACGCATGTGTTACCAGACCTCGAACAGGGCTCGCCGTTCGGGATTTTGCGATGTCGCGCGTGTGAAACGCTACAACGCTTCTCGGAGCATACTGCAGTGACAGAAATAAATCAGAGGGTATGTGCTGCTTTATTGAGATCGTTAGACGACCCGGACCTACCAGTACGCGTCGAAGCGTTTGGTCTCGTGAGAAGTTTACTCGCGTCGGACGTCGGGCAATTCGATCAGTTACTCAGACCACATTTGGGCACGTTGTTGGATGCCTGCTTCCGAGTGATGCGAGAAGCGGCTTCTGATGACGTCGTCCAAGCTCTGGAGATAGTCGTAGATAGGTATGGCAAAGATATAGCCCCCTACGCGGTAGCGCTAGCCCAGAAACTCGCCGAGGCCTTCCACGCGTATGCGGGGGAAGACGACGACGAGGAGGCGTCCATGGCGGCGGTCCAGTGCGTGGAAGCGATGGCCGCTGTACTTGCGTCACTAGATGATAACGAGAACAACGTCTACGCGCAGCTCGAACCGTATCTGAGGCCCGTACTACACAGAGTTTTTGAGGAGTCGGGGGAGTTTCTGGAGTACTTCGAGAACGGCATCGAAGTGGTATCTTATCTCACGTACCACGGTTCGACGCCCTTCTCGGACGAGTTGTGGAGCTTGTTCGACCAGATGATCCGGGCGTTCCACGGGTTCGCGTGCGATTCTGTGTGGAAATCAGTGTGTCGGGACGCCATCGAGCAGGCGTCGCGTCGATGGCGTGGAACGCGCCGTAAAATTTTGATTTCCACACAGGTGCGATTACATCGCGGAGCTCGTGCCGTCTCTAGACAACTTTGTGTCGAGAGACACGGAGAAGTTTTTGGCATCGTCACGGTTGGAGAGTTTGGTGGGTGTTCCTGAGAGGTTTTTGTGGCCTGATAACCAGACGAGAGGTGGGGAAGAAGACTGCCGGAAGGCTACTCATGTTTTACTGTCGGTGCTGCACAACTGTCGAGGTCGGGTCGATGAATATGTCAGACAAAGGTGCACGCCTTTGGTCGCGGCCGCTTTGGAACGAGCGTTGGGCCCGCCTCGAGCAGATGAAATAGGCACGAAGCCCGACGGTGTGGTTGGCCTGTCGCCGGATGCCGTCTGGCGGCCGCGGTTAGGTGCGGCTTTACTAGATGTGTGGAACTCCTTACTGATCTACAACCCTCAATTAGCGTTACATGCATTAGATGAGGGCAAAGTAACACCAGCTCAGACGCAACTGCTCCTGACGAAGTGGCTCGAATTAGCACCAGACGCAAAAGGCATGCTCTCTCGTAAACTATATGCTTTAGGATTGTCTGCTGTATTATCCGTAGAGCCGTGCCCGCCAAAAGTACAACAAGCAAGACCCCAGATGCTTTCGGCGTTAGTCGACGTCCTCGCCAACATGAGGAAGAACAAGGAGGACAAGATCTACGGGAAGGAGGATGATGATGATGACGACGCCGTCGCGTCGGCCGAGGACGAGTGGGTCGAGGACGACGACGACGACGACGAGGACGATGATGATGACGACGATCGGGAGGCCGTCCAGAACGGCATGGGCGCGCAGCAGCTCGCTGGAATTAGGGCAAGATTAGCTGAATTTGACGCGGCCGAGGCGTGGCTCCACGACGACGACGATGATGATGATGGGGACAACTACCTGTACGAGTCGCCTCTTGATGACGAGGACCCGAACCAGCATTTTGTCCGGGCGCTCCACGCGTGCAAGCGCGCGGGCGACTTCGAGGCCCTATGCGCGCAGCTCGGGGCCGAGCGGCTCGCGACGCTCCAGGAGGTGGCGGTTGAGGTGGAGCAGCAGGCGTCGCAGGCGCTAGTGTAATCTTATTGTGGTGTTTATTGTTAAAACATACAGTTAGATTCTACAACTATCTTCCATATTTCTCTCTGAACCGCTCTCGCGCTCTTATGCTCTCTCTCTCAAACCTCTCTCTTTCTTCTTCCGAATAGCTCCTATGTTTCTCGACAGTTATTTCGCTGTATACCAGCTCCCGATTCAACATCGCGCAGCAAGTCTGATGATGATCCCAATCCTTGATTTGGCACTTCTTAGAACAGTACCGCGCCACGCCGCACGCGCTGCACACGAGGTATCGCGGTTTGGAAAGATCGGTTCTCGCACAGCAATGATCACAGATGCGCCGCCTGATGCGGAGCCAATGCGGCCTTATGCGATACCAACGATTCATAGCCTTTATTGCACTGTCCGTGCCCTTGGTAACGGCCCGCAAATAAATCACCAGGTTCAAGTATTCATCAAAGTAACCAGAATCGTCTGGCATCATCGTCATCGCGTAAGCCCATTGATTGTAACCCGGGGGGCATTCTTTCTTCAATCGCTTAGTTTTATCAATCAGGATAGCTCTCGTCGATTCCTCTTTAATGAGCCTGAGGTCGGCATCCGAAATTTGTGAAGCGAATCTCACAGCATGTCGGAAGCGAGCACCGATTCTCATATCGGTGAGCACAACATCTCTGTCGGGGTCTCTGGTATCAATGCTAGCCTGCTGGGCTAGCCCCTCTTCTCTTGCAAAGTTGCGAATGAAATGGCGCCGTTTGCCTTGAAGACGCTTCCGGCCCATGATGTAGGCTCTTTTTGTGATGCCGATCCACGCACGCGCTCGACTGAATGAGGCGTAACCCCGTTTGCCCTGACGAAGCTAGCGGCCTGTAAGACACTAGCAAGTTGATATATTCTACACATTACAACATGTCTTCCCGGGGATCAGGCGTAGGCAGGCCGAGCCCTCCGACGCGGAACCAGTGGTTCGCCACCCACTTCTCGCCGGTCGAGGGTAAAGCTCGATGCACGGCGGACCAGTCGTAGGAACCGTCGCTGTCGTCGAGCGAGAAGAACGCTAGTGCGTCGCCCGCGGCCGGCGCCGTGACGCGGACACCGTCTGTATCCGGGTCGAGCTTCGCGGCGCGGGCCATCGCGTCCTCGCCGTTCTTCGGCCGTGGCGGCGCGTCGGCGAGGGGCAGCCACGTCTCACCGACGCCATTCAGGTAGTAGAGCACGGTCAACGCGCGCGCGTTCCCGTCGTGGTGCATCGAATATCCACCCCCCTCGGCGTACCGCAGCACCTGGAGGTCTTCGCCTGTGGAAATCAAATTTCAGGCGCGGCGGCGTTTCGCGAGCGGCGGGCGTATGATGACCGTATGCACCTCGTGTCACGCCATCGACGCGATATTTTCTCCACACAGGCGCATCACAGCCGCCGCCCGGCCGCTCGAGCGCTTCCGGGCTGAAGAACATCACGGCGACGTCGGCTGTTAAAGCAGGGGGCGGTGAGATCCACGAGACCTCGCATTTCGTCCGCGCGGTCGTGCCGCCGCCATAGGTCCTCGCTTGGGTCATGTTCGCCACTTGCGCCATCGCTTTGATCGCGCCGCAGTCCCTCTCGCTAAGCAGCGACCGCACGTAGAAGGCCGACGGTTTGGATGACAGGCGCCTTATGTTCCCGACCTCCTCGCCGACCGCGAGGCGTCTTAATAAAGGATGCTCTATGCTCGGCCGCAGCGCGTCATTCTGATGCGCGGCGTCCAGCGCCGCGGCGAACGTCGACACGAGCTCGTCTCCGGAGGTGTCGAGCACGACGCCGTCGACGCTCTGTACGGCAACGCAGCCGACGCCGCTGCCGAGGAGCACGACCTCCCTCGCATTCAAGATCATTTCCATTGAAAGGCGTTCCTCGCGGACCTCGCACGGCGGCGCCTCTTTCAGCACGGCGGCGAGCGTCGCGCTCGCGACGGCGCCGTCCGCCGGCCCGGGGTGCCTTATAATACCGTCGGCGCCGAGAATTACTGGAAGAGCCCGGTCGCCGTCGACGATGCAACCGTCGGCATCCACCAAGAGCGCCGCGTCGGCGCCGTGCGCCATCGCCTCGGCGATCGCTGCCCGGTAGCCGCCCCACGCGCCGTGCTTGACGCCCGGCGGCACGCCCGGCGGCCGCGGCGGGCAGGGCAGCGTGATGAGGTCCATACGTTCGCACGTCCGCCGCTCCCTATAAGCTGCGACGATGCTCCCGTCCGACTTTTTGGAGAGCCGGACGAGGCCGTCGCTGCGGCCGAACGCGGCCAGGAGCGCCTCGACCTCGCCCCCTCCGATCCGCTCCTTATGATGGCTCCACAACCCCACACAGCCGCCCGGCAGCACGCGCGCCGTCGTGAAGACCTCGTCGTCCGCGCCAGCGAAGTCAAGCATCAAAACGTCGACGTGCGCGTCGTAGGTCTGGTCCCCTTCCACCAAGAGTCCACTCCCGACGAAGTCCGGGAGCGTCGTTCGTTCGAACCTCGCCAAGTCGACGTCTAAGGCTTGGAGGAACGCGGCCGTGTGGCCCGCGTACCGCTGCGAGTCCGTGCTGATCAGGACCGGCCTTTTATTTGTACGTAAAGCAGCGCCGCAGGCCCGGCCGCAGGCTATTGATAAATCCTTGCTGTAGAAGACGTCGGCCGCTACCAACACGTCGCACGCTGGTATGGTATCGCGGCGCACGTCAAAATGACAAGTCTCGACGCAGGTGTAGTTCTCCGCGCCCTTCTCACAAAGCTCGAGGGCTTCATCAGAATAGTCCAGGGCAATCACTCGCGACGCGTTGAGCGATGCTGCGGCGAGCACTTCAACCCCGGTTCCGCAGCCGAGGCAGCACACGACCTTGCCCGCGACGCCGTGGTTGCGCAGTTTTCTTGCTGCTACTACAGCTCCCGGCCAGGCGACGCCGCCGAAGGGGTCAACTACGTTATCGTCGGTCGCCATCCAGGCCTCGACGCTGGCCGCGATGTCGTCGCGTTCGTAGATCGTGGCGTGCCAGTCCGTGTCGAGTTGCACGGTGCGCGGCCGCAGGTGTTGTTGCACGGTGCGCGGGCGCAGGTTTGGTGCGGATAGGGCATTCGTGCGGCGCAGTGCTGCTGCTGCGACGAGGGCAAGCAGGTGCATGGTGGTGCTTCTGATGGCTGCGGCAGCAGCGATGACGAAACTAGGAGAGCGATGAGTCTGTGAGGTGTGTCGAACTATGCGAGCATCAACAGGTAAGTAGCGTCCGTTGATGCTGCGTGCGCGACGACGCAAAGTGCAGCCTGCAGTCTGCAAATCGGGTTTTCGATCATGCGGGGAGTCAATTGACAGTGAAATCAATGCGTATTGGACGCCTCCTGACACGATTGTAGTGGGGCAGGGAGATATTCCCAGCCGCGGGCGCGTCGTCGACGACGTTCGTGCTGCTTTCAGCAAAAGCTCGGCCATCTCGTTTGGGAGGCGGAAGGGGGTCTCTTGGAAGCGTCGTGCGTCCTTCTCGAATTTTGCCGTTTAGGGAGAGGCATTTAGCAAACAAAGGCAGAGCTCGACCTTTTACTGCCCCAATCACCGCCAGCAGTGGCCCCGAGACCAGAAATGCCGCGGCCCAAGAGCTATCAGACGGCCCAGACCGCGACGGGCGCGGCGCCGCGTCGAAAAAGGCCGCCCTCGCGCCGCGCGAGACCGTTTGGAAGATAGCATAAAAAAGCGGCCCAAATTCAAAGCGCCGACACCCGCGGCCCCCGCGCGCAGGCGAGGCGGCCGCCGACCCCTTCAGCTCGGACGACGACTCGCAGAAGGACGACGAGGAAGCCGTCCTCGAGCGCCTCGCGCGGCCGCCCCTCCGCGTCCTCGTGTCATTGTTACGGACTCGTCAGCTCAAGGTGCCGCGCAAGGGCGGGCCGGGCATCACGCAGGCCGACGTCCTCGTGGTCAACAAGTTCGACCTCGCGCCGGCCGTCGGCGCGGACCTGGACGTGATGCGCCGCGACGCGCTCAAGATGCGCGGCGCCGGGCCGACCGTCTTCCGCCGTGAAGCACGGCGACGGCCTCGACGCGATCATCGGCGAGATCTTCGCCGCGCAGCGGCGCGCGCTGGCGGCGGCGGCGGAGTAGGCACACGCGATTACTTTTGTACATAGCGTCTTACTCGGGGCCTGAGGACCCCTCGGATGGAAAAAAAGGGGGGGGAGGTGATATCAGGAAGAAACGGAACGGCCGCACGCCATGCAGAAGTTCGCGCCGTCCGCGAGCCGGTTGCCGCAGGTCGGGCAGAAGTTTCGGGGTGCCGATGACGCGACGACCGATGCCGTGACGGGAACTGCCGTCGGCGGTGTGACGAGGACACCTTCGAGCGGCGGCGACGGAGAAGCGGGGTCGCCGCCCGCGCCCCAGCCGAACCAGCCGCGCGCCTCCGGCGCGGGGGGCGCCCAGGGCGCCGTCACTGGCGCGGCGGCCGGCGGCGCCGCGGCCGGGGGCTCCGCGGCCGACGCTGCGGGCGCGCCTGTTGACGCGACGTCCTGATCGTCGAGGAACGCCGTCGTCACAGCGCCGAACGACTTCCAGTTTGCGAGCGCCTCCGGCGTCGCCGGGTACGTTCCGTGCCGCTGGCGCAGCGCGCGCCGCGCCGGTGCTCCGTACCACGTCCGCATCGGCGCGTAGACCATGCGGATCTTGCTGTCCGCCTTTGCTGTCGCCCCCTTAACCGGTCCGCGCTTCTTCTTGCCGCGAACGGTAGTGGTGGGCGCGGCCGCGGCAGCGTCGCTCCCGCGGCGACTCAGGGCCCGGGCAAGCAGCCCCGGCGCGGGCGGCGGCGGCGGCTCGTCGACCTTGGAGGTGATGAGGGCTGTTTGAGGTGGCGCCTCCAATCCGCCGGCCTCGTCGCATACCCCGTTCGCGTTGGCCTCAACGTCCTGCGACTTCTTAGCAGCAGTGTTTCGACGGTAGAAGAAGAAGGCTCCGGCGGCGGCCAGGAGCAACACGAGCGCGCCGGCGGCCGCGCCGCCCGCCGTCGCCGCGTCCGGGCCCGCTGCGCCAGATCCGGAGCCAGAGCCGCCGCCTGAGACCAAAGATACGGGCGACATCGTGAGGGACGGCCGCGGCGTCGGTGCTGGGGTCGGTTTTGGCGTCGGCAGAGACAATGGCTTTGGCGTCGGCGCCGCGGTCGGCTCCGGTGTCGTGACGACAAACACGCGGCTTGCTCGCCCGATGTGAGCTCGCGTCGCCGTCTCGTCGAGGGTGATGGCGTTGAACGCGGCGGCGGCTTCGGGCGAGCGTTCCGCGGCGTTGGTCCGAAGCTTGGTCAGAAAGCTCCCGTCGTCGACCGCGGTCGTCAGGGCGGCCGCGGCCTTCTCCAATAAATCCGTCGATACGGCCTCGGCGTCCTCGGTGCCGTCGACGCGCGCGACGCCCGTGTAAGAGACGTCCGCGAGGCCCGCGGCCGCCCGCGTCGGCGCCAGAGTACGATCTGCCTCCCGCGTTGGCGCCGGAGAAGGCGGATACTCCGCCTGCAGGCGCCGCCGGCGGACGACGGCCTCCACATCAACCACTTCGTCGAAGACACCGTCCGAACTGTCGATGATGGACTGCGCGAACGCCTCCTTCATGTCCTCGTCCGCATTAAATTCGTCGGCCACCACGCCTTCGAGACTGACCGACGAGGCGACCTCGACCACCGTCTGGGCCGGCGACGGCGACGGCGTGGGGGCCGGCGTCGGCGCGGGCGACGGCCTAGGACTCGGTGGCTGCGAGGGCCTGGGAGTCGGGCGCTGCGTCGGCCGCTGAGTCGGGCGCGGCGTAGGCCTGGGAGTCGGTTGTGGGGTAGGCCGTTGAGTAGGATTTCCCGGCAGCGGCGTCGGTCCGGGCGTGGGACGCAACGTCGGGCGCGATGTCGGTAGTGGCGAGGGAATAGGCGTCGGCCGAGGAGTGGGTCTCTGCGTCGGTCTCGCGCTAGGCCGCGGCGTAGGTCGGGGGCTCGGCGCTGGCGTGGGGCGCAGCGTCGGTCTGGCCGACGGCCGCGGCGTAGGTCGGGGGCTCGGCGCTGGCGTGGGGCGCAGCGTCGGTCTTGCCGACGGCCGCGGGGTCGGGCGGCGGCTTGGTACCGGCGTGGGGCGGGGCGTCGCTCTGACCGACGGCCGCGGGGTCGGGCGGCGGCTTGGTACCGGCGTGGGGCGGGGCGTCGGTCTGACCGACGGCGGCGGGGTCGGGTGGTGGCTTGGCGCTGGTGTCGGGTCCAGCGTGCAGCTGAGGTCGCAGTTCAGCGGAGCCGCCCCAGTGAGATCCCCATTTATCACGTCGACGACTTCCGCGTACACGCACTCGATGTAGGTCGACCATTCCGCCGCGCACTCCGGGGCCGGATCGCCGCACGCGTCCTGGAACTCGGAGTACGTTTGCATGCCGACGCAAGTGCTCGGAAAGGATCCACCGTCGACGGCGTCCTGGTCGCAGCAACCCCATCCGAGGCCGGCCGACGCGTCAACCCCGTTTTGGGCCGCCGCATTCACGCACGTCAGGTAAGCGCTCTCTTCGTCGGGGCAGGGCATTAACGTCGTAGGCCGGAAGGTCGGTTGAAGGTCGTCCAGTGTCTCGTAGCACTGCTCGGAGGCGCCCTGGACCTCGCCGTCGTCGTCGAGGCACGCGTCGCCCCAGATTGAGGCGAAGGACCCGTCGCCGTAGGTGTCGGCGCAGCCATCCGCAGACGAGGTCGTGTCCCAACTGACGTCGGAGCCGCTGCAGACGGTATTCGGAGAGGCGTATTCCTGCGCGACGTTGACGCACGAGTCGGACGAGCACGTGGAGAGGTCTCTCCGAAGAAAGTCCGCGCAGTCGCAGCCGCAGCCGGGGTAGTTCGGCGGCAGCGGCAGCGAGTCGTCGTCCCCCGGCGGGTCTTCCGAGTTGCACGGGCCATCCCACAGACCCTTTAGGATGTCCTCCTTGGCCTCGAACATCGACGAGCACTCGTCGCAGAGCGGCGCGTCCGGCAGGTAGCCGTAGTACGGGTACCGGCAGCCCTCGGGGCCCCAGAGGCTCATCACGTCGAACAGTCCGTTGTCGCCGTAGGGGAATCGCACTTTCATGTCGTCCGGGACTAATTCGCTGTCGAGGTCGCTGTACTTCGAATTCGTGGGCGAGCCGGACGCCCCGCCCAGCGCCACCAGGGACGCGCTGGCGTCGAAGCTGCACGGGCCGCCCGTGCTCGCGACGAGATTCTGGAAGAACGTCGCCATCGCAGCCTCGAAGCCGGATTGTGTCCCGTCCGACGAACAGCCTTCGCAGCCGATCGTGGCCGTGCCGTCGCCGTTTTCGTGGTCTTCGACCCAGCAGTCGAAGTCCGGCTCGTCCCGGTCGAGGCACTGCATGTCGTCCTCGAGCTGGCCCTCGAGGCCTTCCTCGTCCTCGTTCTCGTCTAGGTACTTATAACAGTCGTCGTCCATGTCGCCGCCGGCCATGACCACGGGCGCCTTGTACTCGAACCGCAGCTCCCCGGCCAGACTGGGGTACAAGTCGGTGTCCACGGTCGCGTCGCAGACGGCGTCCGTGAGGGCGCACTCGTCGCACGCAGCGATGAGATCTTCGATGTCGGCCTGGCACGACGCCGGACACATGCCGGGGAACGCCTCCTTGTCGTCCTTGCACTCGCTTTCCCCTCCCCAAATCATGTTGTCCATAAAGGTCTCCTCCGCCAGGTCGCACGCCGTCATGTCGTCGAGCCGCCGCCGTGTCGCGCGCGTCCTCTTGGCGAGCGCGTTTCTCAGCGCGAGGTGTTGCGGCGACGAGGACGGGTCCACGAAGCCGAACACCGTCGGGTGTCTGTACAACGTAACAAAGCCCTCGCCGAACTGGACGTTCGAGACCGCATGTCGTACGACGCGCGACCGGGCGAGCCACGCTTCGGCGCCCGGTGCGTTGTTCAGCAGGGCCGCCAGCTTTGCGTCGGCATCCGCGTTCGCGTCGAGGTCGCCGCCGTTCTTCAGCTTGAGGCCCGACTTCGCGAGCGGCGCGGCGGCGACCGGCGGCGTCGTGGCCTTGTCGTATTGAAACGGCGCCGTCACGGCGATGTCCTCGCTCTGCTTGACCCCGAACGCGCGGTCGAGCGCCGCCACGAGCTCGTCGCCGGCGAAGCGCTCGCCCTGCGTGTGGCGCGCGACGGAGACGTCATCCGCGGACGCCTCGACGGCGTACTGGCGCAGCTGCGTCTTCGCGTCGCCGAACTTCCACTCGACCGAGACCATGACCGAGGAGGCCCGGTCCGGCTTGCGCGCGGTCGGCGGTAACGAATCGACGAGCGGTAAGGTAGGGAGCTCGTGGCCGCCAAAATTCAGGACGTAGAGCTTGCACGCGCCGTCGTCCGCGCTCACGCCAAACCCAATGCTCGGCAGCTTCCCGGTGTCGTCGGCCGCGATGGCATCGAGCCAGGTGTCGACGAGCGGCGGCGCTTTCAGGGATTCGGCGACGCCTCTCGCTTGCTCAACAACAGCGGCGCGCCCAAACGTCCAGCAGTCGCACGGCGGCTGGAGCGCGACGTGGTACCGCTTCGTCAGAGACCTTCCATCTTCGAAGAACTTGGCCGAAACGCCGAGCGCCTCCATCGGCGCGTGGCCATCGCCGAACAGCGCTTCGAGCGCCCGGAACGGCGCGCCCCAGACCGGTTCCTCGGCGTCGATGCCCGTCGCCTCTCGGAGCACCACGCGCGTCGCGCGGAACTTCGTGCGCTCGTCGTCTTTCGGCAGCTTGCGGGCCTTCGACACCGCGTTGTCGCCTCCGAGCTTCGCAAAGGCCTTGAGGTACCCCGATTCCTTCTTCTCGATGGCCGCGAGCGCCAGGCCCGGGTTCGCGCTGTCGAGGGCCACGTGCAGACGGAACTCGTGCTCGTTCAGAATGTCCTGGCCCTTCTGCCGCAGCGCCGGGGGGAGCAGGTGGCCGTGATCCGCGAGGAGCCGCGACGCTTTGGCCGCCCTCTCCGCGCTGCGCTTGACGGCGGGACGGTGCTCTTCTCTCGTGGCTGGGGCGAGGGCGTGGAGGTCCGCCAGGGCCGCGCGCGCTACGGCGGCGGCTAGGACGGTGCGGATCATGATAATGCTGCCCCGAGCTCCTTTCTTTTACGCCAACGCCCCCTGCCACCCAGGTGATGCCGCAGTTTGGCTGAGTAGTGACGAATTAAACTTACACTTACAAGCACGACGCTGCCAAAGATAAGAGCCACGGAGTCCTGGTACGGATAGCTAGGAAAAACGCCGGCTAGCGTAGCAACGTACTAGCCCAAAATCGAGTGCTTAAAAGTCTTCGGAGCCAAGCCTGCATACGCCACCTGGCGCTGTGCGCTGCGAATTGACATAGTCAAATCGTTCCTACGTTGTCGCTGCGTCTTTGCTGCAGCAGCTTAGCGCGAGATCTGCGGTCTAGGAGAGCACCCAGCCAAAAAGAAGACTCTGAAGCCGCACAACGTTCGCGAGAACACCGGCTAGAACTTCGCAAGAACACCGGCTAGAACTTCGCAGCCATGCGTTCCGTCGTCGCCGCCGCGCTGCTCGGCGCCACGGTCTGCGCCTACGTCGCCCCCACACCACAAAGGACACGTCCCGCCTTAAGAGCCTCGGCGTTCAAAGATAACCTGGGACGAGAGGTCTCCGAGGAGCGCATCGAGATGCTGAAGAAGATGGGCTACGTCTATGACGAGGAGCGGGGCTCGTGGACGAAGCCGCCGCGGGGCCGACCTAGAAGAAGACCGGCGCTCGCGAGGGCCCTGTCCGCGCGCATCCTCGAGGTGCGCATCGCCGACGAGGCGTCCGATACGGAAGCGCAAGCGGCCCGGGACGCCGCCTCGAAGCTCCAGGAGGTCGTGCGCGAAGCGGACACCGAGGCGGAAGCCGGGGACAAATCGCCGCGGGAGGCCCTCGAGTCGCTCGGCCGCGAGCTCGCCTTCCGACCGGTCATCGGCCCGCTCGTGCTCGCGGCCGCGCAAGTCGCGTTGTGGGCGGCGTGCCGCTCGGACGATGTCCTGGGCGACGCGTTCGTCGACCGGTTTGAGGTGTGGTCCAACGCGCCGGGCGGCTCCTTTGGACTTGCGACGTGCGCTTTGTTGTTCACCTGGGCCGCGGCTGATGTCAGAGCCTCGGCGACGCCGTGGTTTGGTAGGGTGGCGGGCGCGCTCGAGGCCACGGCGGCCGACGGCGCGGCCGGCGCGCTCGGCCCCAAGGCTCCAAGGGCGTGGCGCGCCTCGGATCTGAAGTGGCGGAGCGTCGCGCAAGCGCTCGAGTTCGCGGCGTCGGGGCCTAGGGTGGCTGCTTTACATGGTGGGCTGCAGGTGGCAATTGTCGAGACAGCACGCTCGCTCCAGCCCGCGCCGATCGATTCGACGGGCGAGGGCCTCGCGGCCGTTTCCGGAATTGCCCTCGTGGCCCTCTTTGCGTTCGCCGCGGAAACGCTGAGAACGTCGAACGACGACGACGTCTTGCGGGCGGAGAACGCCGCGGTCCGCGCGTCCCTGAAGTCCGACGACGGCGCCGAGGTTTTACATCGCACGATCTGCCTCGCCTGGCTCGACGCCTTCCCGGACCCCCCCTCATCGGGTCGTGCCTTGCCGCCGCTCGGCGCCATGGTAAGGGCTGCTTCGGCGGGGTCGGCCTTCGCCCTCACGAACGGCGACCTCCTCGCTCCTATATTGCTGCACGCCGTCGCCGGCGCGCTCGCGGCCGCCGCGCCGCTGAGCCCGGACCCCGACGACGTCCAGGACCCGGACCGGGCGGTGGTCACGGTCGGGGCGGCGCCTTGACTTCCCTGTTCACATACATGCCCCTTCTAACTATATATTAAACCTCCTGGGAGTCCTCAGGGTAACCCGCGGGCGTAGAGCGCGTCTTGCGCGTCTTGCAATTCGTCCTCCATCCCTTCTGTGATTGGGTGCACGTCACCGAGCACGCGCCGCGCGGTCCGTTCCAACTCCTCGAGCGTATTCACGGCCTCACGGAGATCGTCGAGCGTCGCGTCGTCGTCCTTGTGGAGCACCATCGCGTAAATTTTCCTCATCGTGAGCTTGAGTGTATCACTCTCTCCGAGAACACGCCGCGCCACGGGTAATATTTTGCGCAACAGAGCCTTTGCTTCTTCGAACCGCCGTAGCACGAGAAGGCCATTCGCGTAGTTGTTGGCTGCCACCATGGTGTTTCTACTTTCCTCGCCCTTGAGCTTCACATATCCAGAGTATACGTCTCGCTTCAGCTGCAGGGCCTGTTCGGACTGTCCGAGATATTGATACGTGCCCGCAAGATTGTTCTGCACTGCGAGAATATTGACGAAGTCTGTATCGTCAAGGCGCCGCAGCATAGACAACTCGGCCTCCTGCACGACTAACGCGTCCGCGTAGTGACCTTCATGGTATAAACCGTTTCCTACCACGCTCATGGCCATGCGCCGGGCCCAGTCTTCCTCTGGCCGGCCCACGTACGTCTTCCAGCACGCCCACCCGAGCGCGCACCGCACGACGCCGTGGTATTTTTGCTCGCACAGGCCGCACTTCTCCCACCGCCGCCACCTCGCATTGAACGCGTCGTCGTCCAAATCCCTCTCCTCGGCCTCCGCGACCAAAACCTGCGCCTGCCGCGCCAAGCACGACACGTGCACGAAACCCGCCGCCCCACGGCACGCGCAGCCGCGAACGAGACCTTCCTCAGCATCGCCGTCCATACAAATAAAGCAAGTCTGGCCTTCCGTGTCGTACGCACATATCTCGACAGCGTCCGCGACGGCCTCATCGTATTTCTGGTTAGCGTGGTGTTGTTCGGCGCCGCCGCCGCTCGCGATCGCGCCGCATATTTTGCCGTGCCCGCCGCGGCGCCGGTCGTAGCGCTCGCACCGGTCACTGCAGTATCTAGTTTGACAATTCACACAGTGCGCGGGGGCGTCGTGGTCGATTGACTTGGCGCAGGCGGCGCACGTCGTTAGGATCATCGCTTGCGGCCGACGCGGGTCCGCGTGACCTAGCCGGCTAGCCAGGTGTCAATAATGAAAACCTGCTTTGATGGACGGCTTGTGCGCGCCGGGCTTACGGACGCACTCGGCCGCTCCGTGGCTACAGCGACTCAAGAAGTGCGCCGGTGCCCTAAGGGACGGGGCTTCGGGACGCGTGCGCACGCGTAGTGTGTGAGGCCCACAAGGCTTCATTTTTGTACATTGACCCGCAGCTGGCATAAGCCCCATGGCCGCCAATGGTACGCCTGGTAACGAGAAAATCGTGGAGCAGACTACAACTTTGAGCTGCGGGTCCTTCGACGCTCTCCGCGTATTTGGCCACGAGACCATCGACGGACAAGTGGTGGCGCAAGCAGCAATCGATGATGAAGGTGATGGGGTTGGCACGGTCGCCGTCGCCGGAGAGCACGTCACTCGGATCGAGTCCGACGAGCCCTACGACGAGGTCAGCTACGGCACAGTCGTAAAAGAAGAAGTGTCAGGCGGCGAGACCATCTACTATGTCGAATTCGGCGACGCCCGTGGTGTCCGTCCGTGCAAGATGGGCGAAGATGGTTGCCGCATTGTCACGAAGCCACCGTCTTGGGTGCCGAAGCCAACTAGACACCCGAACGCCGGTGCATTATTTAGTCACGCAGATGCAGAGGCTTATGACTTAATGGTGTCCATTGAGGCCGCTAGTCGCCCAGATGCGTACTAGTAGTCTAGCCCGCGCCTATAACGTCAAGGCGAGACCCGCGCCAACTACTAATGTACCTGCGTAAGTAGCCACACTAACTACTTAGTCACTTCTACTCCTCGTCGTCCCGCGCCTTCTTCGCCGCGGGCTCCTCCTCGCCGGCCGACGACGCCGCGCGCTTCGCGGCCAGGGGATTCGCCGCCGCCAGCGCGAGCTCGTAGAGCAGGTGCTCGACCTTGCGCACGCACATTTCCAAGGGGCCGATCTTCTTCGCTAATTTGGGAGGCAAGTTCAAACCCGAGACGGCCTCCATGACGGCCACGTCCGTCTCGAAGACGCGCCGCACCGTGCCAAGGTCGCGAGCCGTCGCCGCGGCGACCGCGACGCGGCCGACCTCGCCCGTCAAGTCACACACCCCACCGAGATACTCTTCGTCCGACAAGGGTAGGCCCAGCGCGTGCTGCGACGCAACCAAGGGCGCCGAAGGGTCTTTCTTCGCCTCGAGCCACTTCATAAATAATGCAGCTTCCGCGTACTCCTCGAGAGCGGCAGCTAAGGAACCGAAACGCAACGCGGGCCACTTCTTCACCAACGTCTCATCATTAAGGATGGCCTCGGCGGCGGTCTTTGCGGTTTCCAGTAGTTTCGCAGCTTTCGCGGCATCCCCCCGATGGCACGCGAAGATGGCCTGCTTCGAGGCCTTCTGGACGTCCCGCGACTTCTTGATGACGTTCTCCCTAGCTTGGTCCGCCTCGTCGAACCTAATCTTGATCTCGGCCAGTGCTTTCAGGCAGGGGTCGTCCTCGTCGACTTGTGTGACACTATCGATAGTTTTACCAATCAACGACTGCTCGTACAGGAGGTCTTCCAACCGTTTCACCTGATATTTCAGACCGTCGAACCTCCTTCGTAGGGGCCCGTTGCGGAAGTCGAACGCGAGCAAAGCACCTTGCAAGGCCTTCACGCCATCTCGACACACAGCAATACTGGAAGCATCGCCGGCCGTGGCGCGGCCGACGGCGTACTTCGCGAGATTCTCCGCACCGCCCAATAAGCCTTGTATGTACTCAGAGTCGTCGAGGCCTTCCGACGGCGGCGGGAATCGACCGGTCTCTAAAAAGTGCAGCGTCGACTCCACGGTCTGGATCTGCTCGGCGATGGGTTTCAAGGCGTAAGCTCGCTGCTTCGTCTCCTGGTTGAAGCCGTCTTCACCAGCTCCGTCTAGAGCTTTTCTAGCTTGTTCTGTACATGCCTTCGCGTCATTTGTTCTTCCTAGTTGCAGCTCTAAGGCCGCCTTCTTCGCTAACCTACCGGAGGCATTCGCCGCGTCGCCGGCGGCCTTGTGGCGTCGTCGTTCTTCCTCCTGCCTGACGCCGAGCGCGTCCCAGTCAGGTAAACGGTGCCGCGGCGTCGGCGTCGGCGGGGCGGGTTTCGGCATGAGGCTGATGCTGCGTCGCGCGAGGCGGCGGAGCAGCGCCAGCGCTACGCGGTGACCTTTTGCCTTCCGCGAGCGGTTGCACAGCGGTGCTGTGCAGTGCTTTGGCGAGGTGAGTGTTTTGTGCCCGTCAAGCACGCACAAATGCACAGTTCTTGAGTGCAGCAGCTACGTGCTGGTGCAACACTTTCTCAGCGTGTAAGCTGTACAACGTGCAGTGTTGCAGCGATAACAGGCTGTCAAAAGCTGGAGTCCGTGCTTGCTAGTGTCTTTATCGACGCTAGTTGCATACGGTGCTTGGGCAAAGAACAAGCAGTGCGTGGCGCTGCGGCGCGCGCTGGCCGGCTCAGCGCGTCACGGGATCGCCACAGTCTGCAAAAGTGCCTCGAAGCGGTCAGCGCCCGCGGAGACGCCGGGGATAAGTAAACGCCATGCAGGGCCCTTGGGCGGTGCTGGCCTTGTACGTGGCCACCGCTGCGGCCATCAATGGTCTCGACGCGATCGATGGCAAGCCCACGCCATCGCCGCCGCCGACGTACAACCTGACAAGAGCGCTCCTGCTCGCAGAAGCCTCGTACTGCACCGCGACCGAGGACCAGCCCCTATTACCGGCCGAACTAAGGAAGACCATCATCGTCACGAAGGTGGTGGACAACCACGCCACGCGCGCCGTTATAGGCTGGGACGCGTCGGACCGATCGCTCTTCGTCTCGTTCCGAGGCACCGAGAACGACCGGAACTGGTGGCAAGACGCGAAATTCGTCAAGATACGGCCCTACGCCGATTACAAGGACGTGGCCGTCGAGCGGGGTTTCTGGCGGTGGTACAACTTCCTCAAGGAGGACGTCGCCCACCAACTCACGAAGGCGAAGGCGAAATTCGATCCTACGACTCTGTTCACCCCTGTGAGGTTCTACGGCCACTCGGCGGGCGGCGCCGTGGCTGTCCTTGCTGCGTTTGACCAATTGAGGGGCTCGGTGTACAACGGTACTCAACTAAAAGGGTCGTACACGTTCGGCTGCCCGCGCGTCGGGTCAGCAAGTTTCGCCAAGGCGTTCACGTCCCTGTTGGGCGATGCGGAGAACTGGCGCGTGACGCACCGGGACGACGTCGTGCCCCACCTTCCCCAAGAGGATTTGGGCTACCTACACACGCCGCACGAGGCCTACCAGAAGGATGAAGTCAAGCCCGATCTGATCTACTGCGCCGACTCGGCCTCTCATGAAGACGACGCTTGTAGCAATTCGTGCTACCCGCTCGGCTGCACGTCGGTCGTCGACCACCTCAGTTATTTGGGCCTGGTCCAGGGCATCGGCGGGTGCATCGAGCTTTGAGCCTCCACCGGTACGCCGCCGCGGCGATAGCGTCGCATGGCCCCTTGTCTGTTTCCCCCCGCCCACGTCTACCTATCTGTTAATTGTCACATTAGTCTCTGCTCGCCCGCGACCCGGGCATCCGCTTCACGGGCCCGGCCGCCGCTTCTTCAATTTTGCCGCCGAAGATCGGCTGCCGCTTCGTTGTTTTCAACAACTCAATCAGATCCTCCTTGTTCTCCTCGGAAGCATCCTGCGACCCCCGCAGCAACCTATAGCTTGTTTCCGCGTAGATGCGGCCCGGCCCGTAGACCTTCATCGGTGAAAGATCCTCTTCTTCAGCAAAAGCCGTGCCGCGGTACGGCGCCGCCGTCAATCCAAAAGACGCCTCGTCGTCCTCCTTATCCTCCTTCTGGGACGGCACGAAGGAGAAGTGCTCGTTCTGGGCCGCGTACCAGCAGTCCAGGCCGTCGTCGTGGTCACTTTTTAACCCTTGCCGCACTTCCAAGGTCGCGAAGCGTTGCCTTAGTTTTTCGAGCGTCGTATCGGAGAAGTCGCCCGTGATGACGCAGCGCGGCACTTCGACCACGACCCTTTGCAGGAGGAAATCGTCCACCACGGAATTCGCACTCGTCTCCGTAAAGGCTTCGACGGCCTTCTGTTTATTATCTTTCTGATCCGTGGCGTCGATCAACAGCACCAACCGGTTCGTGTGCAGGGCTTGTAGTAAAAACCTATATCTAGGTCGATACGACTGGCCGTAGCACGTCTCGAAGTAGTGTTCTAACACACTACCTTTGCCTGATTTTCGTGCCACGCGATGCAAGCTACCAGCCTTCACGAGGTAAGGTATGAAATGCGTCGACGGGTCGCCGAACTGCCGCGTCGCAGACAACGCCATCATCAAACTCCTAAGATGGCCTTTTGACGTCCTTACATCAGCATACATCTGCATGCTGCGCTTGCGCCAGTTCGCGCAGAGCTGGCGCACGGCCTGCTTGACGGCCATCTCGGCCATGAGCTTTTTGGTTTCCACGCCCCCGATCTCGTTCAGGGGGATGGCCTCAATCAACTCGTCGGCGCGAGCTGCGCGCCGCTGCTGCTCCTCGAAGAAGCTCGGTTCCTTGGGCGTTGTCGTTCCCGAGTTGTGTTTTGGTGTCGCGGGCGGCGTCTGGTCAAATGAACCTCGCTTCGAGGTTACGGGCGTATGGGAAGGCGTCAAGGAGGATTGGCTCCGTCGGAACGAGGCTCGTTGTTCTAACAACATGCGGCGTTGCCTCGAGAGGGCCGCGGTGTCCTCCTGCGGCCCATTGACGAGTAGGACGCGGCACTGCGATTGCGAACCCCGGTTGTGATCGTCGCCTTTCCTCGACAATAAAACTTTGACTAGGGAAGGGAGGTCTGCTATAGACTCCCACAGCGTCCCGTCCGTCGCACACGGCGCCGCTTCCGTGTAGCCCCAGCCCGACGGCCGCTTCCACGTGTAGACGCGCGGCGCCGTCTTCGAGAACGACTCCGCTTGATACTTCGGGCCGTCGTAATTATCAGAGGCCCACTTCGGCCGACCCGTTAGACCATTGACCAGAGCGTGGTAGGACTGCCTCCGTTTGCCCCGCTTCTCCCTTGACAAGCATCTACTGCGCACGGCGTCGAACATGTCGCCCCATTCTGGGCGTTCTTCCTTCCACGCCTGATACGCATTTTCATTATCCGGCGCTTCCCCGAACAGGATCGCGTGGTTCATATGATTCAAACCGAGGACGCAGGTTTCTACGTGTGATTGGTTCATGAAGACCCTCAAGCGATGCCGGTGCCGCTCCTCGACTCGAGGATGCTCTTCCCACGGCTTCTTCAGCGTCATGGCGTCGCGCCATCGCCCATGGTACAGCACCGTTAGTCTTTGTCCGGTATGATATTCAACTGATGGTTTACACAGTTCGAACGACGGGACCTCGAAGTCCAATTGGACCGAGCCTTTCCTCCTCACCTTGGCGATGGTCAGCGCCGCATCGACGAACGACTGGTGGTCCGCGATGCGGTTCTTGTCCACGGATTTCAGGACCCAGCCGTGGGCGATGCCCAGTTCTTCCGCCCATGAGCCAGGATCCACCCGCGCGACTTCTCTGGATTCATCGATGTCGAAGCCGAGGGACGGTTCTGAAGCGGACGGCGCCGGCGCCGGCGCCTCCGCTATCCTATGCGTTCTTTGTAAACCTCGGACCTCCCGTTTTTTGTCTAGCGGAATCTCAAGAGTCCTCGTGCGATGCCCGGTCGGGTCCAGGGTAATCCCCTCGCCGTCGTCACAAACACAGGAATAGGTACCATTCGCATACGCCACGACCGTACACATGGCCCGCACTTTCTCGTGGGGCATGCGACCCATGACCAGTGCCAACCGTTGACCCTTGCGGAAGCACCACACTAACTCCTCAGACGACGCCTTGGACCCGTCGACCAAATACCCATCTCTCGGGTGGTACGTCGCCGCGCGCAACTCCTCCTGTACATCATCAGGTTCGTCCGCTTGCGGCGTCGGCGGCGCGCGGGCCTCCGGCGGCGCCTTCTTCTTTGAAGGTGAAGAGCCCCAGCCTTGATTGTACCGCGCCTTCTGCTTCTTCTTCCGTTCCTTGACGGCTGGAGTGAGAGAAGGTGGTCGCGCATAGGCATAGACACCCGACAAGAGCCCTTTCTCCCAGTGCTCGGTCCGCATCTCATCCCTAGGAGCATCCACGCCGGAACAGGGCGGCAGCCTTTCTCTCAACTCACACCCGCGACCATCACGATCACCGCGACCAGGTAGAGACTCGAGGTCGAAGTGCTTCTGGGGCTCGTCGAGCCTCAGGTCCAGGTAGTCTATCTGTCGACGGACCACGTCATCTTCCACCTTGAACTGCGACGAAAAGCGCTTGTTATCATCAAATTCAAGGCAGGTAAGAGCCGCACCGCCCCGCGCCAGTTGTTTTCGCTTCAACGCATGCGCGGCCTTTTTCGCGTGCGCGATCTCCGTCAATCTTTTATCTCTTCTAAGTCTAAAGGACAGCTGGAGCTTCCTCAAGCCCAACTGGTCCTTCTTCGCGAAGATGTTCGCGGCCATCGTCGCGTGTTGCGCCGTTTGGAACGTCACTTGTTTCAGAGGCGCCGGGGCCGGCGCGTCCACGGATTTCCGTCGTCGGCGCCGGCGCTTCTTCTTCTTGAAGGCGTCCGGGTCGGTCGCGGCCCGTTCTTTGAGTCTTCTCGTAAATTCGCCCTCACAGCGTACTCGTAATTGCCGCTCGGCCGTCTGGAGCTGCTGGTACGACTTGGCGCCGTGGAAGACGTTGGCCGCCGCTAGTACTGCTGGAGCATCGACACAAGGTGGCAGCCACCTCAAACAAGGCAAAGGCACCTTGGCTCTAGCCATCCTGACTCGTTCCTTCTCGACGCCGCTCCGCAGCCACGGCTCGTCCAGCAATAAAGTTCTCGCTGAGCTTAGGTCCGGGAGATCCCCTTTGCCAGGAGCGTACAACTTCAGACACGCTCTAGCTGCAGCGTCCGCAGCGGCAGTCCGGTCCTCCTCCCGAGAAGCCGCAGCAACGTCCAACGTGTGGCGGATCCACCTCCTCAGCGAGTCCCGGCCCCGTAACTCCGCGTTTTTCTGCGCCTCGCGCGCGGATTCGGACTTGGTCCGCTCGTGCCACCAGACGCAGTTCGTGGCCGGATGCGACGCCCAGGGCCCTAACGCGGCAGCTAGTCTTCTATCGGGTTTCCGCACGCCCTCGGGCGCGGCGCACTCGCCGAGAAAATGGAGATCCGTCGTACATTTCTCGAGGTAGTCCCGGCCCTTCCAGAGGAAGGGCTCGGGCCGCCACTGGTAGCAGCGCCACGCCGCGACGGCGGCGACGACGCGCGCCGTGGCTTCGTTCAACGGTCGCAAGGTCGCTTTCAGGTCGGCCAGCGCCTCCTTGATCTGCGTTTCGGATGAGGGCGGCTGGGCCTCGTCGTCGTCGTCGTAAATCGTCGACGTGCGCTTCTTCCTTCTTGGGACAGGTGGTGCGCCCCGATACCTTCGAAAGCAGTCCTTGACTCGTTTGACGAGCTTCTCTCGGGACTCGATCTCCCGCAACGCGCGTAGCGTAGCCCTCCGGAAGCGTAGTAGCAACCTCGCGTGCGCGGCGAGCGGCGCGCACCGTTGGTCGACGTCCTTCTGGCGCCTTGCATCGGGGAAGGGCGCCGTTTTGGGTCTGGAAGAAGACGCGGACTTCGGCCGCTTTGTCGGTTCAGACACCAGCTCCGCATAAACGGTGCGCTGGAGCCTATCCACTAAATTTCTGGAAGGTAGGTTGTTCGCTTCGAGGAATAACGATCTATCTTCCTCCTTGATCTTGAGCTCCCTCCATAAATTCTCGACCCAGGTCAGCAGCGCGTCGACCTGCTGCGGCTCGTCGCTCGTGGCGGGCCGGGCCCACAATCTCGCGCGGTGGGCCGGGTCCTTGACGGCGTCGCGGTGGCCCTGGAGCGTGGCGACCATCTTTCTTGGTTGTTTTGTGGCTCCGCGCCGGCAGCAGCGTATCGGTGGCGCCCAAGCACTGAGCCTTAGGGCTGCCCCGTCGGCTGCGCGCGCGTCCTCGCGTCCTCGCGTTGGACGCCACTCGTGCGATGTGTTCCAGACTGCACCGCCGTGTCGCTCGCCTCGACGGGGCTTGCGTCTGGGCGCAGCGTCGTTGCGCTTTGCGCTGTGGATGGGCAGCCCCTAGTGGGCCTAGAGTAGCGCGAAAGCTCCCCGCATGTGCATTGGGCACGTGGTCTGAAGGCTGCTGAAAGACCTAGTGGAGCGGTGGCCGGGCGATCAAGTCGCAGTCCGCAGGTCGCAGAGCTTGCTCGAGCCAGCGATTTAGCCACTGGCGTGCACGCTCGCAGCAGCCGTACACGACACGGTAGCATTCGACATTACATTCCGCACCTTACAACCTGCAGAGCTTGCAATCGCTTCGCAGGGCCACAAAAAAACAAGCACTGCAATCACTGGCAGGCTGCAAACCCAAATCACACACACGCCATCGCCGCGACAGTACACAAAGAATGATGCGCGCCGCGACGACGATCGCACGCAGACAGGCAAGAACCTTGTCCGCCTTCGCGCCCCAACCACTAGGACCGAAGTCCGCCTCGTTAGTAGCCAGAGAAAGCAAGGTAGGAGCTGAAAATTATGCCCCATTACCGGTAGTGCTAGCGAAGGGCGACGGCTGCCGCGTCTGGGATGCTGATGGAGAGGAGTACCTGGATTTTTTATCAGCTTATAGTGCCGTCAACCAAGGCCACTGCCACCCAAAAATCGTCCAGGCTCTGTCGGACCAGGCGGGCACGCTCGGCTTGACGTCGCGAGCTTTCTACAATGATGTGCTCGGGGAGTACTGCGAGTTCATGACGTCATTGTTTGGCTACGAGCGCTTGCTGCCCATGAACAGTGGAGTAGAAGGCTCGGAAACGGCAGTCAAACTCGCACGAAGGTGGGCCTACGACGTCAAGGGCGTGAAAGGCGACGCCGTCGTCATCATGGCGGAGAACAATTTTTGGGGTAGAAGCATCGCGGCTCTGTCGTCGTCCTCGGACCCGACGTGCAAGGAGGGCTTCGGTCCGTACGCGCCGGGCTTCGACTTGGTGCCCTACGAAGACCTTGCTAAGCTGGAAGCTGCATTGAAGAAGCACGGTGCGAACGTGGCCGCGGTGATGCTCGAGCCGATCCAGGGCGAGGCGGGGGTAGTGGTGCCGCCCGACGACTACTTGCCCGGCGTGAAAGCTCTGTGCGAGAAGTACAATTGTCTGATGGTGGCCGACGAGGTCCAGACGGGCATTGGACGTACTGGTAAATTACTCGCGGTCGACCACGTTAATGTCAGACCGGACATCCTCGTGCTGGGCAAGGCTCTGAGCGGTGGCGCCTATCCCGTGTCAGCGGTCTTGTGCGATTCCGAGATCATGCTCAACGTGAGACCGGGCGAGCACGGTTCCACCTACGGCGGGAACCCCGTCGCCGCGCGCGTCGCGATGGCCGCCCTCAACGCGTTGATCGACGAGGGCATGGTCGAGAACGCCCAGCGGATGGGTGATATATTGGACGGGGAGCTCAAGAGGTTGGTCAGTAAGCGGAAGATCGCCCTCGACACGCGCGGACGGGGCTTACTCCGGGCGTTAATTATCGACGACGCCCAGAAGCCCGGGGAATTGGCCTACGACGTCTGCCTGGCCATGCGCGACCGCGGGGTGTTGGCCAAGCCGACGCACGGCAACATCATTCGTCTCGCGCCTCCTCTCGTGATCGACGAGGCGCAGCTCGACGCGGCGGTGTCGTCCCTGGATGAGGCTTTGGCGCTCTGGGACTAAGTATTTTCTCCATTTTTTGGTTGCGTCGTTGGCGTTCTGACTCCTCCGCCAATGGACCTCAGCAGCGAGGAGGTGGACGGAGGGGAACGGTAGATTGCGGTGCCGATGGGAGTGGGGGATGCACGTGCTGCTACAGGGATCAAGAGTCCCTCGCTGCTGCGGAAGGTCCCTCGACTCGCTTGCAAGGCCTCAGGAGGTGGCGGCCACTGTTCCCGACGACACGCGGAAACTGGTCCCTGGGCAACAACACGCCGTCGACGCAAATAAAAACACATTCAAAGTTAATCGTCGCCCTTCCCCTTCATGAGCATCTCCTTCGCCTCGTTGACCTTCGCGGTCAGGAAGGCCGAGCCCCCCAAATCGGGGTGGTTGATGCGCGTCATGCGCCGGTGCGCGTCCTTGATCCGTTTCGCGGTGGCCGTCTCGCGCACGCCGAGGATGAGCGCCGCCTCGCGCCGCGTCATAGGCGACTCGAAGGGGCCCTCGTAGTGGCGCCGGCCCGCGCTGTCGAACCACGTCGCGAAGCTCGACTTCTCGCCATCCTTCTTTTTAGGTTCGGGGTTCTGCTTGCGCTCCTCGGCTGCCTTTTGTGCTGCTTCGCGCGCGGCCTTTAGGGACTCCTCGGCTTGGCCTGAGAGGTGCACGGCCGCCTTGTACGCAATGCCGCCGGCCCCGACGGCGATGCCCGCTACCACCAGGGCCGTCGTGCTGTCGTGCCGCGTGGGTGGTGTGGGGAGTGGTCTCCTCCGGAGCGTCGCGCGCGGGCCCGCTGCTCTCGCTAGCGCGTGCGGGCCCGCGGCGCGCCTCGCTGTGCGTAGGAGGAGCGAGGACATGGTTGCTCTTGCGGCGTGCGCTGATTGACGTGCAGGTGTGGCTCCTGAGATTGGCACGGCGTGCCGGTTCCAATTTCGTTCGCGAGGCAGAACCGTATCGAATCAGCGATGCGTTATGATACGCTAATACAGCGATGGCTCCAACGTGATAAGGCCTCCGCTGAGACAAGCGTCGAGTTTGACTAGTGTGTTACATACCGCTAGCAAGCTCGACTCGCGGCCGCGCGTCGTTGTGGTGCTCGTACTACTCTTCTTGCATGGCTTTTTCATTCGGCGCGCCCGCACCCGCCGGGGCCCCTGCGCCGGCGGCGGCGACCTTCTCCTTTGGCGCCCCTGCGGGAGGTGCCGCTCCAGCCTTTGGCGCGCCAGCGGCGACGCCTGCGCCCGCGGGCGGATTTAGCTTTGGAGCGCCAGCTGGTGGCACGACGGCGCCAGCATTTGGCGCTCCGGCCGCCGCCGCGCCCGCACCCGCCGCGGCGGCTGGCGGTGGTTTTTCATTCGGCGCTCCGGCCGCCCCGCCCGCGGCGGCCCCCGCTGGGGGGTTATTTGGCGCACCTTCTGCGGCCACGCCAGCCGCGGCGGCGCCCGCACCGGCCGCCGCGGGCGGCTTCTCCTTCGGCGCGCCGGCGTCCGCGACGCCCGCGGCCTTCGGCGCCGCCGCGGCGCCCGCTCCCGCTGCTGCGGGCGGCCTGTTTGGGGCGCCCGCGGCGGCCACACCCGCTGCGGCTCCGGCGCCCGCGGCGGCAGGAGGGTTCTCCTTTGGAGCGCCGGCCGCCGCCGCGCCCGCGCCGCTGTTCGGTGCAACTCCCGCCGCCGCGCCGGCGCCCGCAGCTGCCGCCGGAGGGCTCTTCGGGGCCGCCGCGGCGCCCGCGCCGGCCGCCGCCGCGCCGACGCTGTCGTTCGGCGCACCGGCACCCGCGCCCGCCGCCGCGCTGTCATTCGGTGCCGCCGCACCAGCCCCTGCCACAACAGCACCCACACTCTCCTTCGGCGCCGCCGCGCCGCAACAGCAACAGCAACCGCTCGCCGCCGTGCCGGCGCCGCCCGCCGACGTGCGCAACAAGTCGGTAGAGGAGATCGTCCAGGGCTGGAAGGCGAGTTTGGAGGCCGACGTGGCGGAGTTCACGAAGCAGACGGAGCAGCTACGGGAGTGGGAGAACGAGATCCGGGCGTCGCAGCGGGAAATCGTCGAGGTGTCGGCGTACGCGGAGAAGCTGGTGGTCGCGCAGCAGCGCACGGAGAAAGTGCTGGACGAGGTGCGGGCCTACCAGGACGACCTGGACGGGGATTTAGATGCGATGGAGCGCCACGTCGACGACCTGTTCGCGAGAAGTGCCGTGCGGCCGCCGCTCGACGCCGACGTCGAGCGGGAGCACGCTTATGATTTGAGCGTGCGCCTCGAGACGCAGCTCGGGGGCATGCTCGACCAGCTCAAGGACGTCGTGACGAAGTTGAACCTGTCGCACGACGAGAATGGCGACGAGAAATCCAGAGATATTATGAAGATCGTGAACGCGCATCACCAGTCCCTCGCCTACCTCTCGGCCCAGGCGTCGAAGATCGAGGCCGAGGTCGTCAAGCTCGAGCGCGCGAACGAGGCCGAGCGGCGCGCGCAGGCGGTCTAGGAGCGTAAGTGGTTCTAATATCTGCTGGACCAGGCGCGCGCTTTATTTAGGATGTATATTGTTATTCGAGTCCCTATCTGAGTTCGGGAAGGAAACAGCAAAAAGCTCTCGCAAAGAAGGTAGAAGAGGCGCTTCGGAAAGCTACGAGCAGCTGTACGCACACCCCCGCAGGAGCCCGCAGCCCTCGAACCAAAACCATCTGCCGATGTCCGAGTCCGAGTCGTCATCGAAGTAGTCGCAGCCGCCGCTCACGAAGGCCTCGAGGTCGTCCGCGCCAAAGGCTAACTTGCACGCATTGCACTCCTCGCCGAGGCAGCCGCTGCATATAGTCTCGTACGTCGCGTCTTCCTCGCATTCTTCGCTCACGCACTCGAAGCATTGAGCAAGGTCCGACTCGTCGAACGGATTTACGTAGCTGCCGGGGTTTTCCCGGGGGAAACAACACGAAGAACAATCGACCTTGCCGTCTCTCGGCATGTCGTTGCCGTAGTAGCACTCCGACACGCTGTCGAAGTCGGAGCATGCCTCGCATCCCCCGCTGTCTCCGTCGACGAAATTACAGAAGGAGTCCTCTCCGCAGCCGCAAGCGGAAGGACCTCGGCAGGAGTTACCACCGTACGAGTGAGTATAGTCGTAGTCGCAAACCATGTCGTCCTCGTCCCCGTCCTCGTCGCCGTCCTCGTCGTCACACACCCCTCGCGTAAAGCCCTTGAAAGCCATCGGCCCAAAGGCCTCGCACTGCCACTGCCCCCCGGCCGACGCGCACATGGCTTCCTCACATTCGCACCAGGCCCCCCCTAATTCAGAATAGTGGTCACATCCCGCCGCGGCGCACTCGCTCTCGGACATGCCTTCGGGGTCGAACCCGTCGTCGGTCTCGCCGCACCAGCAGTCCTCGTAGTCCACGGCGTACTCCTCGACGCAGTCGCACCACTCCTCTATGAAGCAGTAGCACTCCCCCCCGATTGTGTCCCACGCCATGGCTTCGTATCCTGCCTCTTCGCAGGCGTCGATGCACTCCTCGCGCGAGGCCGTCTCGCCTAGCTCGACCTCTTGATCGCCATCGCAATAGCCAGCTGGGCCGTCGGTCCAATCGTCCTCGTCGCCATCCTCGTCCAAATGTGACTCGCAATTGCCGCCGTCTTCGGCATCCTCGTAGAGGGCGTCCACCACCCAGTCGGGGCACGATGCGTAGCCGACAAACGACCAGTACTGGCCCGTGGGAACGCCATAGTCGGCGCACGTCGCGCAGATGTGCCCCGTTCCGCAGCTCCCCGCGTCGATCGCCTCCTGCCTGCAATCGAGGAAGGGTGGTGCCACCTCACCGGCATCGGAATAGCCCGTACAGCCCGCATTTCCGATGCTGCTCATCGTAGAGGCGTCGAATGGCGAACAGCATTGAGGGCACGTAGTCCCGGCCAACGAGCCGTCGGCCCAGTAAGTGTGATGGACGCAGCACTCCTCGTCTTCGTCGCCGTCCTCGTCCTCATCCGCGTTTTCACCTTCGCCGGGGCCACACTCGTGCGGCAGCGCGGCGACGGCTGAGTCGCGCGTGATGAGGTAGGTATCCTCCGAGTCACCAACGTCCTCCATGCACTCGCAGTCGTGTTGGCAGTAGCAGTCGCCTTCGTCCCCCCAGTCAATGGCCACGAGATCGTCGCCGAAAGAGTCCTCACACATACTAAAGCAATCGCCCGGCGACGCCGCGCAGCCCAATAAGTCGTCCAGTTCGCTGTAGCACCATCCATTCCCGGCGCCGTGGTTCGTGGTGCCGCTCGGAGAGGAGCTGAGGTCGTCGGACGTCTCGATGTAACATTCCTCGTCGTCGTCGTCGTCGTCGTCGTCGCACATATCCGGCAGCTGCGCGACCGCCGAGTCGCGCGTGATGAGGTAGAGTTCGTCGTCGCCGATGTCCTTCATGCACTGGCAGCCGGTCTGGCAGTAGCACGAGTCGTCGTCCTTCTCCCAGTTGATGGCCACGAGGTCGTCGAGGTGGTCGCTCACGCACAGTTCCCAGCAATCCGCCGGCGATTTGGCGCAGCCCATCCATTCTTCCAGGCCGCCGGAGCAATACCCGTTCCCGGTGCCGCGGTTCGTCGTGCCGCTAGGAGAGGAAGTGACGTCGCCAGAGGGCTCGCATTCCGCCCGTTCGCACCATTCATCATACGAGCATGGCATAATATAACCGGACACCCAGTCGAGCACACCGTTGAAATCATTGTCAAAGCCCCACGCATTTGTGGCCGGATCACATACCACCCAGCCTCCCCACTGCGCCGTCAGGTCGTATGGCTCACAGCCTGAGGAGTCGCAGGAGTCGCACTGTTCCCCCTGCCAGATATGTCCGTTTCCGTCGCACTGCATCGTAGTGTAGCTGCTATGACACCTGCCCTCGCACGGGTAGTCGTAGCTACAAACGTCTTTGTACTCGGCGCCGCCGAGGTCAACGTCTCTCGTGTGACACACACGTTTTTTTCCAGCGAGCGCGTCAATCGTACTCGTATCTGGCGTGCCAGCTGCCCGGAGATAACACTTTAGCACTTCTCCGCCGACGCATTCGCAAAGACTGCCGTCGGCCGATATGATGGCGGCCGTTGACCACTCCTCGTCCGCGCACTGATCGAGGCAGTCCTGGGGTGTGATAGCAGGCAGGAACATTGTTGTCCGGTACTCCACCTGCGGGCCCTCCGTGTACTCATAGCAATCTCTTGCCCGGAAGGCTAGGTCCAGGGAGGAGTAATCTGGAGGATCCATCCGCGCAAACATGGAGCAATGGGCCTCGCGCCAACCGGTGCCCTCATCATCCGACCAACACGAATAACCATCACCTAGGTCAAAGTCGTCATCTTGACCGTCGCACCGTTCGTCTAAAATGTATGAGTGGCAGACGCCCTCGTCACACATAAGGAAAGGCTGGTCGCAGCCCGGTGTAGCCGCGCAGTCCGCGTAGCAGCTCGATTTTGCCTCACAGTCCGCGTCGGTCACGCAGTAGCCGTCCAAGTCATTTCGCACCTCGTTGCAAAATCCAGTTCCGTCCTCCCCTAATTGTTTATCCGTGCACCACTCAAAACCGAGACACCAAGTGTCGACGGGTTCATCGGCGCACTCGACCGACAGGACGTAATCCCCGGCGGCCGACGCATCGCGCTCGTTGTCCTCCCAGCACTCTTGGTCCGCATGTCCGGTGACCTGCAGTACATACGTCTCGCCGGCCTCTAACTCCTGCTTGGTCCAGAAATCCTCAAGGTCATCCCTAGACGAACTTGGCATTTTGAAGACGCAGTTTTGCCATCCTTCATCGTCCATATTCTTCTCGATATTCTCCACAAAGCCCGCGTGCGGTGCCGGTTCCCGGAGGCAGCTGTCAAAGCTACTGGAATTCTGCACATGATATAGGTATAGCGTCGTGTCAAAACTCGATCCGCAGGTCGAGAAGTGATAGTACGCAGTCTCGGAAGGCGTGATCAAATAGAAGTGGTCGGGCGCGTCGTTGCCTGACAGCCAATGCGCTTCGTTGACCGTGGAACCAGTCCGAGTCTCTCCGCACGCGATAGTCGGGACAGGAAGTGACGACGTCGGGGCCAGCGACGACGTCGGAACGGCGGTGGTCGGGGCTCGGGACGGCTCTGGCGAGAAGGTCGGCGGTGCCGTTACACCGCCTACATAGATGCGCGTAAACGAAGGCACGTTGAGGCATTGGCCCTCGTCCGCCTCTTCGCAGACCGACCCCGACGACCACTCGGTCGCGCCGAGGCCTACGAAGCTATCTGATGACCGACAGTCGTTTTGCTCGTTGAACCAGATCCCGAGGCGCAGTCTACACTTCCAGTCCGAAAAGTCGTCAACATAGCAGTTGTCCGCGGCCACGTTGAAGCCCTGGTGGTTGCAGTTTTCTTGGTACCCCGCGTTCGGCACGAGGCCGCGCCACTCGTCTAAACTGGCCGACGTTTTCGTGTAGCCACCGCTAAATAATTCTTTCAGGCTCTTCGGGTGACTGAGCTCGATGATAAGCGTCCTATCCTCAGACCCCGTCCGCATCACGACCGTAAACGTGGTCGAGGGCGTGAAGAATTCGTCTGTCTTCGACTCTCCGCCCTCGTCCAAAAGCTCATCGTTTGTCCAGAGCGGCGCATCGTAGTAGAAAGTGTCTTTCGTGCCATCGATTGCCAGAGCTAGGGGCAGGTCCAGGTCCATGGTCGGCTTTGGCGAAACAGAGGGCGCGATCGTTGTCGGCGCTGCCGTAGGCCACGTCCAGGCGGAGCCCTCGGCCAGCTCGCAGACGAAGGGATACCGGACTGGTAGCTCGCACAACATGGGGTACCATTCCCCGAGGTTGGACTGGGTGGCGCAATCGAAACCGCCCCGAGAGGCGCCCGGCCCGCGTCCGCCCCACTCCTCGAACGTGCTCGCGTCGCCGGAGGTCCACTTCCAGGACGTGTCATTTCCCTGCCTGTCGTAGCCAATCCAGAAGTCTCGACACCCCATGAGTTCGTTCATCGCGTCCAGGTCCGCCTCAGATCTAATGGTCACTAGGTGCGCGCTGCCGGACGCCATCACCCACGGGCTCTCGCAGTACCGCTCCGCATCTCTCCACGAGAGCGCGATGAACGAATCATCGGAAAGCTTGGGGACGTAGTACGAATCCAGCTGTTCCTGGGTGGCCGTTGTGCATTGGTCCGGGATGTCATAGCACGAACACGGCGTGATGTGGGAGATGTGTCGATATTCGCTGCAGAAGAGTTCGTCTCGGTCAACCCTCACGTTGATGCCAGCATCGTCGCGGCGGGCACCGTCGAGCGCGCCGCACTTTACTTTTGCTTTTGATGTGATGTCGTTTCGCTGGAGCTCGATGCGATGGATCGAGTGGAGGCCCTCGAAGGTCCGAGGCTCGAGTCCGTCGATCTTATTGTTCTTCAGAACGAGCTTTTCAAGGTTCGGGAGCCCTTTGAACGCGCCCGGGCGGATTTCGGTGATGCCCTTGTTAGTAAGGTAGAGTTCTTTGACGAACGCATTCACGTTCAGTCCTTTCACCAACGTCAACGACTCCGCCTCGGCGAACACGTCGCAATTGAGGAGGACGCCTTTCGCATCGCATTCACACGGCTGACACGTCGAGTATACAGCGTTACCGGAAAGGTAGAGCATTGTCGCGGTGACGACGCTTCCGGCCGTAATGAGAAAGTACGCGGCAGCGCCCCAGCGCGGCAGGCGGCCCTGCCCGGCCGCCATGGACGCGCGCGTTTGCGGCCCAGTATCCGTCTCCGGCGCCGAGAAAAGGACTAGGGCTCCGTGCGCGACGAGAGCCCAGCACAAGAACACGGGGCTGGCGCGGGCCCAGAATATCGCTATGTAAACCGGACCGAGGCCGAGCGCCGGCATCCACGTCGAGAACGACGGCCGCCCGGCGGCGCGCGCGGCCAGTGGAAGCGCTAGACTTGTCACAAAGAAGAACGCGGTAGTAGTGATCTGCAGCTCGAGGCCAATCGCGCAGAAAGCGACGCACCACGAGGCGACGCATGCGACGACGAGCGCCACATACAGCTGCGGCGCGTATTTGCTGGTTGATACGGCCCCGTCGCCGGCCGCGCCCGGCGCCGCGGTCGCGCCTTCCTCATCGTCACCGCCACTCAACTTATCCGACACGCCCGACGCCGTCACGACGGCTTCTTTTCGCAGCGCCCGCCGCTCTTCCGCCGCTCTCTCCAGGACTGATATCACAAAATGAGCGTGAAGCATGGGAAACAGGTTGGAAGTGTATTCTATTGGGTCGTGGGGGATGATCATCGGCTGGGAGCGCACTCCGAGCCCGAGAAAAATAAAGGGCACGAGGGCGTATATGACGTCGAGCACCGTGTCAGCAATAAAGGAGAAGTTCCGCTGATAGAAGACGTGCCGCGTCCGCAGAAGGAAGGTCGGATAGAGGACGTTGACCAGGAGCGCCGCGAAGAAAAATATCACGAACGCGTGTAGGAAGGAGGCGCTCCGGCCCTCGCTCATGGCCTTCCCGAAGCTTTTCGATTTTATCCTATTTCTACAGGTCGCACGCAGGCAGTCGAAGGGCGACGACCAAATGAGGAATAGCGGTAGTTTCCCGAAGGACTGCAGGGCCACCTCGCAGATTTGGAAGCAGAAGATCTTCCAGACAAACAGCGTGCCGTCGTAGCCAAAGTAGCGCTCGTAGAGCATCGCGACGCGCGTCTTCTCGTGCCGCTGCTGCCGCGCCTTTTCGCCAAAGAAACCGGCGGCGCGACACAGTAGAAAGGCGTTCGCCCAGTACGGCGCGGCCAAGATGAGGCCGTACACTCGCAGCAAGACGTAGGGTGGACTGGATTTGCGCGTCGGTAACAGATCCGCCCGCTTGACGATGAGATTGGCGCCCCTGAGGCAGAAGGCGTCGACGTAGAGCCAGCCGATCACGACGCTCAGCGTCGCGGGCACCATCCTCGCGACGAGGTAGGTGATGCCCTGGCGGCGCACCGAGGCCATGCAGTTTGTGTCTTCGACCGGCTTCTCGAGCACGCCCATCAAGTCCATCTCTCGAGCGTACTCATAGGCGACGTGCTGCCTTTCCGCGATGGACATGATCGCCCGGAGGTGAATCTGCAGCTCGGCGATGAAGCCGTGGTAGAGGAGGCTGACGTTGACGTCGCGATACCCCGACGGCGTCGGATGCCCCCGAAACCGGTTCTTTATCTGCAGCACGCGCACGGTTCCGGCCGCTTCGAGAGCCCTCAGCGCGTCCCCGAGCGTCTGTAACTCGCCCACCGTCTCGCACACGATCGAAGCCCGCAACACGTCGCGCAGGCGCTCCCCTCTGCCGCCGTAATCCACGGCGACCTTCTCCCGCGCGCGGAACAATTGTTTGAGCTGCGCCGCCTTGGTCTCGCGCGGCTCCGTCGGCTCGCGGTCCGCGCGCGCCAGGCACTCGACGACTTCCACCTCGAAGCCCGCGAGCCGCGCGCGCGCCAGGACGTAGAGGCGCCGCAGCTCGGAAGTCGGCTGCACAAGTTGTTCGCCTTCACATTTGTGAGGCTCCGGCCCCGCGTCAGTTTCCGCCACACCATCGAGGCACGTTTTGGTGGCCGCGTCGAATAGCGCGCTGATCTTGTCGACGTCCTCGATCGTGACCACGGTGCCGCGGATCGTCGGGATCAAGTAGAGCACCGCGACGACGTAGAGCACGAGCGCGGCGATCCAGGCCGGCGCCGCGGTGGCGATACTCTTGGTGAGGAACCAGAAGAACACGATGAGCCCCGTCGAGCCGACGAACACCGAGAGTACGAGCCGGTCGCTGGTCTCGAAGTAGCTCATCACGAGCGTCACGAGCGCGAGGTACGATCGCCGCTGGAGCCGACCGGTCTTCGCGACGAGGGAATAGTTGAACCAGCCGGCGGAGCAGGCCGAGCAGTAGCCGCTCTCGTTGCCGTGGAACGCTCCGCAGCGGCCGCAAGGGTAGGGCGCCTCGGCAGCCATCGCCTCGTCCAGCAGCAGGGACGAGAGCCCTCCAACGGGCTCCGCTTTCACGATGGCTTTCACGCTGCCCCCTCCGTCGTGCTGCGCCATAAGGGTTTGGCAGGTCCTGGCTCACTAGTTGATTGATTCAGCCGGCACGCTGTCGCTCGCTGCCCGGGCAGCGAGCAGACGTCGCAAGGCACAATTCTCAGTGCTGCAATGCCTAGTCCTTAGCATAAGCTTTCCCTCCCTGCCCATGCCAGGCGTGTCTTCAAATCTCATGCTAGTATGTATGTTGTTATAGCCCCCCTCGCCTAGCGGTTGCAAAAAACGAGACTTGCTGCCCCTCAAAGCCCCAAGGAGAGCGCCAACTAGTGTCTTACCGGCCGCTGGCGACGCGCGTTCCCCTCCGAGAGCAGCCGTGCTCTGCCGGGCAGCCTGTGCGATGCCGTCGAACTGGGCAGCCTTCGCATGCGCATCGCGTCGTGCGAATGCATGATTGAGAGAATGCCTGAGAGGCTCTGCAGAGGCTCTGCAGAGTGTGTCGACGCGGCCCGGAACTCGGCGTGAGTGCGGATGCGCCGGATCGCGGCGCTCGCCTGCCTCGCCGCCGCGCAGCCGCTCGCGCCCGCGTTCCCGCCCGAATGGAGTGCCGGATCGCGGCCCTGCCGCAGGGCCCGCGGCCTCTGGCACGCGTCCATCATTTGGCAGCACGGCATGCGGCACGTCGAGGCCGCGCTGGACGCCTTCCGCGGCGCGGGCGTCCACGTGCTGCGCGTCGAGCCCTTCGCGATGCGCAACGTGACCGAGTTCGCCCGGCGCGTGTACCGAAAGCTGCCCAACACGAATCCGGGAAAATTCGTGGAGTGCATGCGCGTCAAAGCTGCGCACCTGGAAGCGCTCGACTACCGCAAGGCGTACGTGCTCACCGCCTACGCCCCCGCCGGCTCGACGTCCATGCACGCCGTCAAGCATGCGCTCCGGTCGCGGTACGACCCGCCTGTGTCGAAGGACCTCGCGCGCTGCGGCGCGAACTTCATCGTACACGTCACGGACGACGCGGAGGACGCCGACGACGTGCTGAACATGACGGGGCAGCCCCCGCGGGCCTCCTACGCGCTCCCGGCCGGCGCACCGTGGTTCGCGGCCGGGCGCGCCGCGGTCGTGAACGTCGGCTCGCTGCGCGTGCCGTGCCCCGCCCACGCGCCGCGCTGCGCCGCGCCCGTGCCCCTCGGCTCGTCCCCGGCCGCCCGCGGCGCTGACGCGTACGAGGACTCCTTCCGCAAAGCGGTCGAAGCGGGCGCGGTCGAGGACGCCACGACGCCCCGCGCGTTCGGCCTGCTCGCCGCGGCCGTCGTTAACGCGAGTTACGTGGACGATGCGTGCGGCTGCGACGGCGTCGTAAGACGGCGGCCCGTCGTCGTGCGCGGCGACGTGATCGTCGCGCGCCCGCACCGCGCGGCGCTCGTCCTCCGCGCCCGCGGGCCGGGCGCGCGCGTCGAGGTCCTCGACCTTGCCGCCGCGTCGCATCGCGTGCGGCGCACACTCCTGGCCGCCGCCGTCGCAAGCGACGAGCGCCTCGACCGCTTCTGCGACGCGCCCTTCGACGAGGCGCGCTTCGTCGATCGCGCGCGGTTGTCGCCCCTGGGGCCCCGCACGGGCGTCGTCTTGACCGTCGACGCCGCCACGGACACGCGCACGCGGCGACGCGTGGTCCTGAAGGCGGGCGCGACCTTCGCGGATCATCTGGCCGGCGACCTCCTGCCGGCGCTGCTGAACGTCTCCGGCGAGCACGTGCTGACGGCGGAGGCGTGCTTTCGCCGCGGCGCGCGCGACCGCGTCGCCGCCTACGGAAAAATGGACGGCAATCTGCTGCAGCTCCTCGTCGCGAACGACACCGGCCCGCTCCGCCAGTACGTGCCGCGCCGCCGCTACCGGTCGTGCTTTGCGCTGCGCGCGGCGCACGACCTGCTGCGGGGCCTGGCGGCGGCGCACGCCGCCGGCATCGTCAACCAGGACGTCCACGCCGGCAATCTGCTGTTCGCGGGCGCGGGGCCGGCCATGCGGTGGAAAATCTCGGACTTTGGGCGGGCGTGCGTCGTCGGCGCGGGACGGTGTCCGCACGTGGCGGGCTCGCGAGTGCTAGCACCCGAGGCGGGCCACGTGCGGAAGACGCCGGCGAGCGACGTCTGGAGCGCCGGGTTCGTGTTCCTGCTCTTGCGGTGCGGTGGCGATTGGGGAGATCGAAGAGCTCTTCGCGAGTGGTTGCTGCGGTTAAATGAAGAGTACGGCGCCACGAGAAAACGGCTCGGCGGTCGCGACACGACGGCCGTACCGATCAAAGCCTGGAACGCGACGAGCTTCGGCGGGCTCCTCCGCGCGGCGCCCCCGGCGATACGAAATCCCGCCGCGCAGTGCCGGCTCCTCGCCAGGCAGGCGCGGGAAAAAGCGCTGCCGGCGGCGCGGGAACGGGCGTTGCTGGCGGCGATGCTGGACCCGCGCTGGGAGAAGAGGCCGGCCGCGGGGGAGCTCGCGCGCGACCTCGGCGACCTGGTATCGGGGCGGTGTGGTCGCCTCGCGGGGCCCGTCTAGCACCGTAACATGAGGATCGCAACAAATATACCTTATAGAATTACGTCACTTCCGCCCTTTGGAGAACCGCGTCGCGCCCTTCATGACGACGACCATGAGCTTGTCCTTCGGGCGGACGCCCGCGGCGCCCAGCGTCTGCGCGTCGTCGCGCAGAATATTCCCGCGGCTCACGAGCCGGATGCGCTTCGGCTCGCTGTCGTAGTGCTTCGCCACGAGCGCCCGCAGCTCCCCGACGGCGCTCGCCTCCGTGACCTCGGCCCCGAGGTCGCCCGCGGAAAAGGTCTGGCCGCCGTTCGTGCGGAACGAGACCTCGAGCGGCGGCGGCGGCGGCGGCTTCGGCGAGCCCTGGCCCTCGAAGAAGGCGCGGATCGCGTCGCGGAGGCTCAGGCCGCGGCCGAGCGCGCCGTCGACGAAGCGCTCCGCCGTCGCGCGGTCGACGCCCGTGAAGGCCATGAACTCGTCGTAGTCCTCGGCGCGCGCGCGCCGCGGCTGCGGCTGCGGCGGCCGGGCGCTCGGCCGCTGCGGCGCCGGCGCCGGCGGCGCCCGCGCCGCCATCCGCGCGGCCTCGGCGCCCGAGACGTGGCCCGGGGGCACGAGCCGGGCCGCGCCTCGGCCGGAAACAACCGCCATGTAGTAGTCGATGCGCTTCCCGGCGGTCTCGGCGTTGCCGTAGTCGGCGACCATCCAGCCATGGTTCCGGTGGGAAATGTACCTATTGTTGTCGACGCACAGGAGCGTCACCCGCCCCGTCTGCCGGAAGCGCCGCAGGTTGACGCGCACGCGCGCGGCGCGCTCCCGCGGCTGGTTGGCCATCATTTGTATGCTCTCGCTATCCACTCGCCCGAGCCAGCCGCCCTCGCTCTCGAGCGTGTAGGTGTGCTGCTGCCGCGCGTTCACCGCGTGCAGCGTGAACGCGACGGCGCGCTCGCGAATCTTCATCGCGCGCATGCAGTTGCTTTCGTCGAAGCCGAGCCAGTTGTCCCTGCGTCGTCTCCAATGTTGCGTCATGCACGCCAGCAGGACCTTCGTGCCGTCTCCAACATTGGTTCCTGCCGGGGGCGGCGGGAGATCAGGAGCCGCCTCGGCGGACGCGGAGCAGCCCATGCTTGATGGGTTTTTCCTGGTGCTACGGCACTCGTATCGCACTCCTCCCGCGGGCAGCTTGCAGCCTCCATGAGGTCCAGCCCAGTTCCAACCCCGCACGCTCTGGCCCCCCGCCGCGGTAGTCAGATGGTCTTTCCCGACGCGTCGCGTGCCAGAGAGACGGGTCTGTGGTTGGTCGCGCCAGCTCGCACCGTTTGACAAGCTGTGCCAAACAGAGCTTTTTCAAAACGCCGACACGCAAACGAACGCGATTCAAAAACCAAGCTGTGCAGTAGGCCGGCGACAGTCTCGACACGAAACGCTGCCAAGAAAACGCCGCGCCACCGTCGCGCAGCCGAGATAGACAGCCAAGCCAGAGGTGTGTGCCCAGCGCTTGACGCCGCCGCCGCTGTGAACGCTGTGAACAACCATGGCCGCCGCCGGCCCCACGCCCCTCCAGGGCATCCTGAACCTGCCGCGCCTCGAGCAGCTCTTCGGCCAGCTCATGGCGCGCCTCGCGCACCAGGAGACGGAGATCGCCGCGCTCCAGACGGCCGCGCGCCACAACGCGACGCTCGAGGCGCGCTGCGCCGGCCTCGAGGCGCAGCTCGCGCGGCTCGAGGCCGCGACGTCGCTCGACGCGGAGTCGATCAACGAGACGGCGTCCGAGGCGCCGTCGACGGCGCCGTCGGCGACGGCGGCGACACAACAGCAGCCGCACCAGCACCACCACCACGTGCCCCTGAACCGCCAGGTCGCCGAGAATGCGGCCGCCATCGCGCGCCTAGCTGACTTGATTGATGGCCGGCACGCGGAGCACTCCGGGCGCCACGACCACGCATTGGAATCCCATAGAACGCTCACGGAGCGCCTCGACGCGCTCGAGTTGCGCGGGGCCGCGAAGGACCACGCGCTCGCGCTGGAGGACGAGCTCGCGGCGTTCGGGCGTCGTTTAGATGCCACGGACGCCGTCGTCGCTACTAAGGTCGATGGAGTGGACGAGGCGGCCTTCCGCGCGACGTGCATTCGGTTGCGGGACGTCGATTCGTTCATCGACCGGACGAACGCTACTGTAAAAGCGTTGGAGGAGCGTGCCTCCAAGGCGTCGGATGAACGGTCGCATATTCATGAGCAGCTGGAGGCCTCCTCCGTGGTCACGGCGGCGCTGCAGCGCGAGGTCGACGCGATCGTCGCCGTGGTTGGGGAAGAAGCGGTGAAGCGGGAAGAAAGGGACCAGGCCCTCGACGAGGCCCTGGCGAACACGACGCACCGCGACGCGCACGCCCAGCACGTGGCGCACCACGCGTCGACGCTCGAGCAGCTCCAGCAGCTCAAGCGCGAGGTCGAGCAGGGCTTCGCGCGCGTGTCGGCCGACCTCGCCGCCGAAGAATCTAGGGCGAGTTCGCAGAGCAGCGAGGACCGCGCGGCGGCGCGGCGCGGCGCCGAGGCCGCGGCGGCGCTCGCGCGGCGATTGGTCGACGGTGCGGTGCGCGACCTGCTCGCGGCGCCGCACGGCGCCGTCGCCGAGTGCCGCGGCCGCGTGGCGCGCCTCGAGGAGACTTCCGCTAAAGCGCGCGCGGAGCTGGACATTGCGCTGAAGTTCGTCGACTGGTTCTCGAACAGGGGAGAGGGCTACGAGCACAACATGACGGCGCTCGATCGAAGGTTGGACGGCATGGTGCGGTCCGCGCGCGAGGCGTCGGCGGAGCCGTTTTCGCCGAGCGTGCGGCTGGCGGCTTAGGCTTCGTAGCGATCATAACATGGTTCCTTTGACCTCCTCATCGGCGAGTGGCGGGTTTTTCTCCGGAATTAGCTTTTGCAGCCACCGATTCCTGCGTTGCGCGTGCTGTGTCTCAGACTAGAGATATAGCGCGTAAAGACCACTACATTACTGACAAGACCCATACACTCTACAAGCCGGCGCGTTGCCGCGTTTTTTTTCTCACAAATTCCCTCTGCTTCAATGCATCTTGACCAGTGCGGGCCGCGCCTCGCCAGGCCGCCCGCGGCGCCGCGATAAGCCCTCGCCGCAACGCGACAGCGCCCGCGGACCGCGAGCGCCGCCGCAGCGGTCGCTCGGTCGCGCTCGCCGCTCGCGCCGCGGTCTCGACCTGTTCACGGCTAACCTCCGCGCAGGAAGGATGGCGCTTTACAACACGGTGCCCGCCGAGGAGTCGACGCTCCTCGCGCCGAAGAAAAACAACAAGATCAAGGGCCTCGTCGCCGTCGCCGCTATCGCCGCGTTCGCGCTCGGGGCTGTCGCCGCGACGGCGACGCAGATGACGCCCGCCAAGGAGGTCGTCAACCTCTCGAAAGGAGGCACGTGCAACTGCGACGGCGGGGCGGCTCCTAATTACAAGGACCTCAGAACGTGCCTCGACGGCTGCGCCGGCTACGCGACGGTGAAGCTCGGGTCGGGCGATTTCGCCTTAGGCCCCCCGCAGTACGCGGTCCCCAGCGGCATGTCCATCGTCGGGTCGGGCGTGGCTAACACCGTCATCACGGCCTACGGTCCTGTCAATGAAGAGACAAACTGTTTGAGCATGGACAAGTCGAAGAAGATCGGGTTCATCCTCGGCGACAACACTAACTTCCAGGACTTCACGTACGTCTCGTTGGACAATAACCGGCTTGTTATGGACGCTTCGACGACGGGGCTCTGCGGCGGTGCCGTATTCGAGGCGCCGGGCTGCACGGCGTCGGATTGCGGCGAAGGCGGACATGGTAACGACTACGTCCTCAGCGCCGATAAGACGAAGTCTATCTCGAACGCGCAGATATCTAATATCTTCATTACCGGTAAAAACAGCAAGGACGACAAGTCCCCGTGCTGGTGGGACGACTGGGGAAATGATGATTGCTACTCGGCGCCGCAGTCCGCGCTCTTCATCCCGACCCTCCGTTCCTTAACTACTACTATGGCTACTTTGAGGATACCGGGAATAACGGAGACCCGAATGATTACAAGCTCGTTCTCAATCTCCGGCAGTGGGGGCCGGACGGCCAACTGACCGACTTGAGGTATGACGAGAAGGAGTTCTACCCCGTGACGGAAGACGGTGATCCTCGCGTGTGGTAGACACTCCAACAACAAGCTCTGCAGCGGATCCCCTTTTGTCCTATCCCGGACTGCAACGCTGCCCTAAGTATATAGAAACGACTAGTTAATCGACGCCCCGTCCGCGACCGCCGCCGTGCACGGCGCCCCGTTTATATCAAACGGCTTGTCCTTGTAGTAGCACACGTTCCCGCGGACGACGAAGTGCGGCTGCGCCTTGGCGAAGAGCTTCTTCTTGTCGACCTGGGACTCCGACGCGGGCGGGTTCTTGAGGCCCGCGAGCGCGACGACGTCGCCCGGCTTGGCGGATTTTGGAGGGTCGACGCAGGACAGCGAGCCGTCCGGCGCCGTCGCGCAGAGCACCATGCCGTGCGACGGGAAGCCGGCGAGCTTCTTGGCCTTGAGGTTCGCCGCGACGAGTACCACCCGATCTTTCAAGTCGTCGACCTTGTAGTGCTTCTGCAGGCCCGACGCGACCTCCCGCACGCCGCCGAACGCCTCCCCACAGTCGATCTTCTCGCAGAACAGTTTGTCACTATCAGGATGCGGCCACACCTCCACGATCTTCCCCACGACGAGCGCCAACCGCGACGCGGCCGTGTCGTCGGCATCCGTATAGTCGACGAAGGCCTCGGGCTTCTTCGACACGACCTTCTTCTTTTTCTCCTTTGCGAGAGCCGCCGACGCGCCGCCGTCGACTTCAATTTGCGCAAATAACGGCGCGCCGGGCGTGACACGAGCTCCCGTCTGCAGGTTCGAGAAGTCCGCTTTGAGTTTTGACGTTGCCATGGGTTGACCGCCGACTCGGCGCAACGCGAACGTCGCCGCGCGAGGCGCGAGCGGCGCCAGGAACAACGAGAGAGCGTAGCACGCTTCGAGTAGCAACCGCAAGACCTCCTGCCTCTTGTCCGCAGCATCGTCCTTCATCTTCCAGGGCTCCAGGTCGGCGACCCACTTGTTCGCGTCTCTGCAGCACGCCATCACCCGTTTCGCATACGCACCGACGTCTAACGAAGCCATGGCTTTGACTGAGTCGTTTCGTAACGATGCCAGATCAAAAGGTTTACCTACCTCTACCTTGACAGGGGCAGGAACTTGTCCATTACATTTTGAGGAGGCTAACGCCGTCGCGCGATGAAGCAAGTTGCCGAACGCGTCCGCGAGCTCCGTGTTGTGGGCTAGGACTAATGCTGGTCTGGAGAACTTCACATCCGCACCCGGCGACGCATCTTTCACACAAAAGTACCTGAAGCTATCCGGTTGTACGCCGTCATCTAGCAGCGCATTGGGATCCACGACGTTCCCTAAGGTCTTGGACATCTTCGCACCGACACTGTCAAGCACAAATCCATGGCAAAATACCGACTTAGGTAGAGGTAGCTCCGCACTCATGAGAAACGCCGGCCAGTAGATCGCATGAAATCTAACAATGTCTTTGCCTATAATATGACAATCCGCGGGCCACCTTCCGCCTCCCTTCGTGAAGTCCTTGCCATTATGCTCGCCCAACCCGCCCGCACCAGTAACATAGTTCGTCAGCGCGTCGATCCAGACGTACATGACCTGCGTTCGGTGTCGCGTCGCGTCGACGGCGTCATGCGAGGCGCCATCGACGCGGCGACGGCGAACGGAGGTGCCCCGTTCGCGGCGGCTTCCTCGCGCGCGTCGATCCCCCGCGGTGATGGCGCCTTGACGCCGTCGTCGCGTCGGAGGCGCCCCGGTCGCGCGCGTCGCGTCGACGCCATCGCCGCGCAAAGACAGACACTGCACGCGCACGTGCCCCTCGTCGAAGCCCTCGGGCAGGCCCACGCCCCAGTCGAAGGTTGTGCGAGATATAGATAACTTCTCGATCTCCTCGGCATCATCCAACATCTTCAACACATCTTTTCTTCGCGCCTCGGGCTGGACGAACTCCGGGTTCGCCTCGATGTGCTTCCGCACGGCCGGGGCATATTTACCTAACCTAAAAAAGTAGCACTCCTCCGTCGTCCGCTTCAGAGGAATGCCGTCGGCGTCCTTGTAGTTCTGGAGCTTCGCGTCGCTTGCTTTTACGAACTGTTCGGCCCGCTCGTCGTACCAGCCATCATATCTCTCTAAAAAGACATCACCCTTGCTAGCGCACCGCCGCCACAGCTCCCGGCAGCACGCCTTGTGCCTTTCACTGGTCGTTCGTAAGTAGTCGTCGTAAGCGACGTCGAGCCGCTCGTCCAAGGCCTTGAAGCGAGCCACGCACGTATCTACCAACTCTTGCGGTGTTATATTTTGTGCAGCAGCGGTGTTCGCGATCTTTTGGCCGTGCTCGTCCGCGCCCGTGAGCATGAAGGTCTTCTTGCCTGTGTGAAAATCAAGTTTTGGACGCCCCACGCCATCGCCGCGACGTCGTCGTCCCCGTAACTGCTCGAAACTCACTGTTTGATTTCCACACAGCTTTTTTCCGCTCAAGCGGTGGTAGCGCGCGACCACATCAGTAACTAAAGCTTCGTAGGCGTGGCCCATGTGCGGGGCACCATTAGCATAATTGATCGCCGTCGTCACGTAGTACTCTCCCTCAGTCTGCGGGAAGTTCGTCGAGCCGAGCAGGTCGGCCAGGGGCAGGGCCGGCTCCATGGCTATGTCCACTTTTTCCTTCTTCTTGCCCTTGCCCTTTTTCGCGGCGGCAGGCGGTTTCGGCGGGGCCGCGGCTTTCGGCGCCTTGGGAGCCTTTGGCGGTTTCGGCGCGCCGCCGCCCGCGGCACCCACGAGTGCTAGGGTGCTGCTGCGCTCATCTATCGCTGCGTCGGAGGCGCGTGCGCTCATGATCGCTTGGTGGCTCTCACTGCTTACGGAGCTGCTACTGCTCTGTCGTTCGTGCTGAGTGCTGTGACCGCTAGCGCTGCGTGCTGGGAGTGCTATTGTCACTCGCGCACTGCAACTACTGCTGGAATGCCCTTGTTCGCGCGATTCCAAGCTGCGGATTGTGCTTTTTCTAGAGGCTTTCGGTACGCTAGCTAGCCAGCTCTGCCTCCCACCGAGTTCCCGCCGCTCTGCGTGGTGACAGGTGTGATCAGGCGCGGCAGTTTGCTTTCCAACCTCTCACAAGCTCATAGCGCAAGCACAGCAACACCGCACGACGCGCTGCACTGCTTTGGCTGAATCAGCCTCTGACACTGTGCTGCTCAACGCGCAGTAAGCAAGCCGATTACTGTATCAACCCTCTCAGAGATGCTGTCGCGAGTCCTCCTCGCGGCCTGCGCGCTGCAGACGGTCAACGCCGGTGTCATGCCCAAAACCAGATTCGCCGACATGCACGACGGCGACGCGAAGGACGTGAGCATCTCGACGAAGGACGGCAAATGGTACCTGACGCTCTCGCAGGAAACGCCGCGCTGGCACTTGACCACGGAGCTCGACGCGACGACGTCGACGGCCACCGTCGACTTCTCCAAAAGTGCCAAACCGGACAAGCCCCCGGTGCCCCTCCAGGCGACGGTCCGGATGGCGTCGGGCGGCCGCGTTTTGATAGAGTGGACGGACCCGTCGGCGACGCTCAACCCGGACCCCGCGTACCCGCTCAACGTCTGGTTGAGTGTGGGCGCGTGGGACAAGGCGAAGCTTGCTAGCGGACGAGTGACGGCCAAGAGTGTGTAACTGAAAATCCCTGTGTTTTACTTAGGAACCGCTGGGCTCTAGTAGGAAGAGTCCCGGTCTCCGAAGCGCTTGGGCCTTGGCTGCCACAGAGAGCGCTTTGCATAGCTTGGGCACCTGCATAAGGCAGCCCGCGCGTACGGCGAAGAGACTCTTCCAACAAGATCAACACACTCGGTGCCAAGGCCCGAGCAGCCCGCGCAATCGCTGCGGCCCAGGCAAGCAGCCACAGCAGACAAGCAACCACAGACGGTACGGAATGCCGCGCGCGAAGACGCCAAAGGGGTCCAAGCGTGCGAAGGAAGGGGCGAGCAAGCTCAAGGCGGACGCCGCGCAGAACCGGAAGGCTGCCCTGGAGGAACGGGACCGGCGGGAGGAGGAAGCGGAGCGCCGGGCGGAGGAGGCGCGGGCGGAACGCGAGCGGAATCCGCACGTGTTTACGTTCGACCACTCAAAAATCCAATGCGACGAGGATTTTGCCAGGTCGCTATACGAGCAGGGTTTTGGGTATGAAGGTTGGTGGACGGGCGCGAGGGGTGATCGGCTGAATGACATGTTGGAAGAACCCATGATCATAAAAATATTCAACTACGGCAAAGCCCAGCAGGACCCCGACGAATTCGCGGTCGGAGCCGAGCTGCTCGCCTCCGATGCCCCGTACCGCGGGGGCTACGCCGATTACGAAGGCTGCGTCGTCGAAGAGGTGACGGAAACGGGATACAAAGTCTTGTTTACTGAGCACGGGCCGGACTGCGACAGGCGGGGTAAACGAGAAGAACTCCCGAGGGAGCGCCTGCGATCTCGGATTGATTTAGAAAGGTTTCGGGTTAACGGTTTTACGAAGGCACTTTTACTCAAACACAGCTCCATCCGTAGCATAGCAACGTATGAAAATCTGATTTGACATTCTGGTTCGTTTGCTTTGCTTAGGGCTAGGCCGCCTAGCCACGACCCGTTTCATTCGGGAATTTAGCTCCGACCCCCATCACACCCTTTTAGTCCTTAACTGCATTTCCTTGTTTTTTCTCATTTATCGTGATGTGACTTCATGTTGTTACGGTGCTAGGACTAGTGGGCGCAAAATGAGAGCTAGCGTATCGACATACTAGGAAACAACCCAAAGCCGTCGAACTTGTGCAGCCTGACTAGCACTACACAGGACGTATCTCACGTTTCTGTAGCAGTTTTTACGTCTCATACTCCCAGCGATTTCACGCGAGCGCCGTTGGGCATCAGGAACCACTCATCAGCAACCACTCCACTCAGAGAGCACATGATGGTACGCGTACTCATCGCAGCCATCGTGGCGCGGTCGAGCAATGCGTTTCTCCAGAGTGCAACACGAACCGCTCGCCGAGGCCTCGCCGCGCGGGTGCTGCCGCCGCACCTCGAGACGGTCAAGGCCGACGTGGCCGGCGGCGACGCGCTCCTGCTCGACGTGCGCGAGCCCCACGAGTGGGCCGCCGCCCACTTCGCGTCCGCGACTTTCAGTGCCGCAATCAAAGTTGCAAGCGATGTCGCTGCCATCGGGTGGGCGCATCTCGTCTGCTGCAACTCTTTCACTTGCGAGTGTCGCGGCGATGGCGTGTTGGGCGTACGCTATCCACGAGAACACGTCTGTCCCAGCACTTGAAGAGTTCATGCGCCATCGATGCGACTTCATCACTCACCGCCCCCCCGACTCCTCGCGACGTGACCGAATACCGCACGCAGGCGACCTCCGCGCCGCTCTCGGCGCTGCAGCAGGGCGCCTGCCCAAAGGAGGCCCTCGACGCGACGAAGCGGCTCTACCTGCACTGCGCGGCCGGCATCCGCGTCCACCCGGCGAAGGCGGCCCTGGAGGCGCTCGGCTGCGACGATGTCGTCGCGCTCCAGGAGGGGATCTCGGAGCTCTACGAGTTGGGGTTCGACGACCTCGCCGAGTAACTTAACTTATAATAACTTAGCCCGGCAGATATTGGTGACCGGCACGCCGACGGCGTCCAACGGCTGGTTCAGCGTGCAGGCGACATCCACTCGTCCCGCGGGCCAGGGCTTGATGAAGCCCTCCAACGGCACGTTCAGCACCGGCCGCCGGCCCGCGCGGAAAGCGTAGAAGATTTCCGATAGGACGTCCACGAAGATTGCGGGAAACATGAACAACCGCAGCCCGTAAATAACAAGTTGCGCGGGCACGTCCGCGTGCCCTTTCGGCGGCACCTTGATGCGCGTCGCCGTCTTGTACCCGACGGCGTAGCGCTCCTCGGAAAATAACGATCGCAAGAGTATCGTCGTGTTCAGCGCGCGGATTTTGAGGGGAACGGGGTGGTCGTTCCACATGCGCATGATCACGTTCGCCTCGAGCTCGATGGCACCATTTCTCCGCCATCGGAAGCGCGTCGGCCGCGCGGTGAGGATCTGAAGCTTCTGGGGGATCTTCGGGGATTTCAGGCGCAGTCGCATCCGCTTCACCGGCGGCGCGCTCTGCAGCGGCCAGAAGTAGGCTACTACTGCCATTGATAAGAAGAGCAGGCCGTAGCGCCGCCGTCGTGGCTTCTGCGGCGCGTCCTGGTGCGGGCCGTCCACCTCGAAATGGACCTCGCGCTCGCGCGGCACGCGGAGCGCCTCCTCGGGCACGCGGCCGGACTCGCTGAAGGAGCGGGCGACCTTTGGTGTGGGTGGGGCGAGCGGCATTCTCTTGGTTGCTGCTGCTGTTGCAATCGCGCCTCGTTTTGCTGCTGCAGGATGGCTTGCTGTGCAATGCAAGGTATGCAACTATTATTGCGCCTCACCGCAGCTGCGAAGCGTTTCGGTTTGCAACAAGTGGTAGTTAAGAGTAGCAGAAACGTGTGTTGCTGTCACGAATGCCGGTCGTTGCGTCGAGTTATTTGCATCCACAGTCGTGATGACAGGATGCACCCGCACGCAGTTTCCCGAGCCTAAAAACGCGTCGTTTTACTTTCACGGTTGAAAGAAGGCCTTGGGGACGCCTGCGAGCTTTGTTACGGCGGTTTCGAAGAAAGAGATTTGAGGAGCTTGAGCGCAGACAGCGGCCCAAGAATCAGCGCTGGCGCTTGATATCGGTCGCGCAGAACGGATACACGACCTCTAACGACACACTGCGTGGTGCTGCTTTCGCGAAACGCAGCGAACCGCACCAGCAAGCGAGTTGGAAGTGAGCAACAGCACAGCAGGGAATCAGAGCTATTCTCCAGCGCGGATACGCCACGACAAAATGGGCGCCGAAGAGAGGATACGACCCCCATCGCCGGGAACATCAAACCGGGTGACGCCCGAGAACAGCTTGGACAACCTGAAAAGTATAGAAGCGAAGCTCCCGGTCGCGGACTCGCTCTTCGGGGGCCCCGCCGAGCAGCTCGCGCCGGAGTGCGACGAGGGCAACATCGAATACAAACTGAAGCTCGTGGACGTGGACGACGACCGCTTCGATCGGTTGGTGACGCAACTGCGATACCGGCTCACGGAGGGCCTCGGCGAGGCTTTGTATGAACTAGGTGTAGGGGACGACGGCAAGCCCCACGGCCTAGATGAGAATGATTTAAATGAGTCGCTGTCGACTCTAAGGAGGATGGCCGCGGCCGTCGGCGCCGAGGTCACGGTCCTACATTGTCGGGAAGGGCGGAGCGTCGGGCACGTCATCGAGGCCATCGTAAGGGAGCGGCCTTTAGACGGCGGTGCCGGCCTCATCGAACTGCGAGTAGCCGTGGTCGGGAACGTTGACTCGGGGAAGTCGACGCTCGTCGGCGCGTTGTCGGAGTCCGGCGGTGCCTTCCGCGTGGCGCCGTCGCCACGCCGTCGCGCAGACGAGAGAGACAACGTCGCGTCGATGGCGTACCGTCGCCCTCGACGCTGTCGAGCAGCCGAGAGAAACAACGTCGCGTACCGTCGCCCTCCACGCCGTCGCGCAGCCGAGAGAAACAACGTCGCGACGCGCAGGCGTCTTAACAAGGGGCCAGCTCGACAACGGCCGCGGATTGGCGCGGGGCCACTGCTTCCGCCACAAGCACGAGGTCGACAACGGCCGGACGTCTTCTGTGTCGCAACTGACCCTAGGTTTTGGCACCAATGGTAGTGTAACGAACTACTCGAGCGTAAGGCCGCACACGCAGGAGGAGGTCCTCAAAGAAAGCTCGAAACTCGTCACGTTCGTCGATCTGTGCGGCCACGAGCGCTACCTCAAGACGACGGTCTTCGGGCTGACCGGCGCCGTGCCCGACTTCGGCGCCGTCGTCCTGGGCGCGAACGCGGGCGTGCAGAAGATGACGCGGGAGCACATCGGACTCCTACTCGCTCTACGCCTACCGTTCTTCGCGGTCATCACAAAAATCGATCTCGCGCCAGCCAACGTCCTCCAGGAGACGGTCGACGGTCTTTGTAAATTGCTCAAAGGCCGGAACGTGCGCAAGATGCCTTATTTAGTGAAGGATGCGGGCGGGTGCCTCTCTTGTGCTCGCCAACTCGCCGAAGGCGCTCGACTCGTACCCGTATTTCAAGTATCAAATGTAAATGGAGAGAATTTGGATCTTTTGAGGCTATTCTTAAATGCCTTGCCAGCGAGAAGGGACTGGGTCGACAAGCGCAACGATCGTGTAGAGTTCTGTATTGACGACGCGTTTAATGTTCCGGGCGTTGGGGTAGTGGTGGCTGGTACCGTACTGAAGGGCTCCGTACGTCTAACGCATGGCCAAGGGCCCGTCTTGTTGCTAGGACCGGACACGACGGGACAGTTCAAGAGGGTACAAGTGAAGGGTATTCACACGAAAGCGGTTGCCGTCGATGAAGTGCGAGCGGGACAATCGGCTTCTTTTGCGGTGAAAGTGGTAGACGGCAACAAGACGGATAGGCAACTGAAACGAGCTCATGTGAGGAAGGGCATGGTGTTGTTGGATCCTGAATTGAAACCAAGGGCAACACGCGCCTTCGCCGCGGAGGTCTTTGTCTTGCACCACCCAACAACAATCAAACGAGGCTACCAGCCCGTCGTCCACGCTCGCACGGTACGGCAAGTCGCCGCCGTCCAGGACATGAACGTCGAGTTATTACGTTCAGGAACGAGGGCACGAGTACGGTTCCGGTTCCAGCACTATCCTGAATACTTGTCGCCAGGGACACCTATAATATTCAGAGAAGGAAATACAAGAGGGATTGGGGTCGTGAAAAGGGTACTCTACGACGACGTCGACGTGAAGCCCATGCAAGTGAAGAAGGAGGCGCTCGAGGAGGCGGCGCCGGTCGTGACGCCGCTCGGGACGTGACTTCTCTTCTTTTCTCCTGCGCGTAAGGAGTGCTGAATCATAGTTTTCAGGAGGCTCGCGTCGACGGCGCAGCTAGCGGTGTGAGACACTAGCAAACAGGTCGTCGAGACGACCCGCCCCACGGAGGCGCCTGTCGTCGCGCAAGACTCAGCGCGGCGTATTTGTCGTTCACTTTTGAGCGCTGCGTGCTGCAAACCCGTCTTTTTGGTATCGATAACCGCCGCAAGAGGCATTTTGCTGGGGGCCTCCAAAAGGCACAACTTGCTCTGCGTCGTACGCGCTGCTACCCGCGCATCGCTACTTCGCGTCGCGCGTCAAAACAAGTCGGCGGAAAATGCGGCTCCTCGTCTGGGCCGCGGCCGCCGTCTACGTGCGCGCGCTGCAAGTCGACGACGCGCCTCCCCGCCTGCACGAGTTGGATTTTACTAAAGACGATCCCCTCCCTCCGGCACAGCAGAAGTTCCTCGATGAGGCCCGTACAAGCGCCAGGAGCCAGCTTGCTCGGGCGATCAACTACAAGGACTTGGAATTTCACATCGATCACCAGGGCTACCGACCGCTGCACCTGGCCGCGCAGCAAGGGGAAGCCGGCGCGGTCCGAGACCTTTTGCGACTGGGTGCGGACGCGAACGCCCGACTTTTACCCAGCGCGCCAACGGGCCCGGTGACGGTGCTACACGTCGCGGCGCAATGGGGCCGCGTGGACATTGTGCGGCAGTTGGTTCGCGACGGAGGGGCTAAGATCGACCCAGTTGAAGGCCCTTCTTCGGACGATGTGAAGACTCCGTTGGTGCTGGCTTTGCGTCATGGCCACAGCAATACCGCACGCGCCCTGATTGACCTCGGTGCGGACCTGAGTATCATCAGCACCGGGGGTTGGACCCCACTCGCGACCGCTGCGAATCAAGGTAACGTCGAATTGGTAAAAAAGCTCATAAAAGCAGGAGCGAAGCCGTCCAAGCCGTCTCAGCGGGTGGGCGGAGGATTTACGGCGCTTCACTGTTTAACTGTTGGACTACCCGTCGCTGAATGGTCAGCGGGCTGCCTTGTGGCTTTGTACCAAGGGGGAGCGGACCTCGACGCGCGAGACCACAACGGGCGGACCTTACTATTTATAGCTGCTTCACGCGGTAGTCACGCCTTCGTCGAGTTCCTGACTTGGCTGGGCGCCGACGCCACGATCGGGAACAAGGACGGCGTCCTCCCCGCGGAAATCGCAGAGGAGAACGGCCACGCTTTTACCGTAGGAGAGATTGACTTTCGGCACGTGTATTCAAGATTAATAGAGGAAGGGCATGACGGCTTAACCGCGCTTACTCTCGCCGATTCGTTCCTCGACCGAGGCGCCAACATTGACGAGCCTACCGGCGAAGACGCAATGACCTCCCTTGCGTTCGCATGCGCCGAGGATAGAAGGGACCTCATCGGCCTGTTCGTGAGTCACGGCGCCGACAAAAGACTCGCGAAAGGCTGCGAGCCGTACCTCGACTTCATCGGCCGCCTCGAGAAAGTCGTCGCGGAGGGCCGCTTTTCCCGCGAGCGCCTCGACGCAGCTCTTGAGACATTGCGCCTGCACCCATTTCCCCTCCACTATATCGGCGAACTCGGCGACGAGGCCGGAGTGGTCGAGCCTTTGGTGGCGCTGGGCTACGACGTCAACGCCTTGTCCGATGGTGGGACGCATCCGCTGCACATCCCTGCGCTTTACGGCCGGACGGAACTCGTTCGCGCGCTCATCCGCGCCGGCGCGGACCCGGACGGCGGGTCGAGTGAGACAAAAACCGCGCTCTACTACGCCGCCGGTGAAGGACACGAGGACATTGTTCGACTCCTTATCGACGCCGGCGCCGACGTCAGAGCCCCCCTCAACGGAGGCGGGTCCATTTTTGACCTCGCCAAGATGAAAGGGCATACTAGAGTGGCGGAGCTCCTCGCCCGCCACGATCGGATTAAGAAGGGCCGGACCATGTTACTGGTCACCTTCGGCGTCGTGCTCTTGGGCGTGCTCTCCGTCGCTTATCTGTTCGTCAGCAAACCGGCCGCCGAGCGTGCCGCCAGAGAACTCGAGCGCGAGCTGGAGTTGGAGGCCGAACGCGAAGCGGCGGCCCGCGCGCGGGCGTCGAAGCGCGACGAACGCTCGGGAGTCCGCCGGCGAGCCCATCGCGGCCGGCGACGCGACGCGACGCGCGCACGCGACGTGCAGGAGCCGGCGCTGGAATCAACGGCGCCGGAGCCCGAGGCCGCGGTGCGCGAGCAAGTGAGGCTGGATCGCAAGGCCGCTGCGGAAGCCGCGGAAGCCGCGCGGAGTCGCGAGGCGGCCGCCGCACGCGCGCGCGAAGACGAAAAGCGGGAGCGCGAGGCCGCGGCGGCGCGCGAGCAGGAAGTGCGGGACCGTGAGGCCGCGGCGGAAGCGGCGCGAGCGGCGCTCGATCGCGAAGCGGCGGCGGCGCGCGAGCGGGAAGCGCGCGAGCGGGAATCGTGGGAGCGCGAGAACCTGGATTCCCTACAAGCAATGGCGGCCTGGGCAGCGGCGTCCGAGGAAAAAACGGAGGAGCCCGTGGGCCGCGAGGAGTCGAAGGAGGAGCCGCCCGCCGCGCCCGAGGGCTTCGAGATCGTCGCGCGCGTCCTCGAGCACCTCGGCGAGCCTCATCTCTTACCAATCTTCGAAGCGGAGGAGATCAACGATGAGTATCTCCCCGACCTCGACCCTGCGGACCTCATTGGCTTAGGCGTCTCGCAAATGACGTGCCTGACCATACTGGGAGCGGCGCACTCCGCGGCGAAGACGAAGAAGCTCGAGGCCGAAGAAGTTTTGGATAACGTCGCGAAGCACCAGTCCGTTCTAGAGGAAGAGTTGCGGGAACACCGGGCTGAGATATCCCGTTTGCGAATTAGGGAGCTGCCGGAAGATCTCTGCTGCAGCATCACTTGCGAAATAATGAAGGATCCGGTTATGTGCGTCGGCGACGGCCATACCTACGAGCGCGTGGCGATCGAACAGTGGCTCGCGACGGGCCGAGGGACCTCGCCCGCGACGAACGAGCCGCTCGAGACCACGCAACTCGTGCCAAACCACATGGCGAAGAAGCTGATCGCGGCGCTGCTCGAGGAGCACCGCGGGCGCGCCGCGGACTGATGTCCTAAGTGTATTATATTGTCACACACTAATACTTGTTAATCATAATACCTCTCGTCCGCCTCGTCGCCGCGCGGCGGCGGCGGCCTCCGCACGCCCGCGACCGTCGGCAGGAACCAGCGCGCGACGCGGTACGCGAAGTAGCCCCACGCGGCGAAGGAGAAGAACTGGCTGAAGGCCGACAGGAACTCGACGACCGAGTGGTCGCCGAGGCCCGTCGACGCCGCGAGGATCGCGACGGCGCCGAACGTGTAGAGCCAGGCCGCGAGGTTCGCGCCGCGGCTCGTGCTTCGGCGGCGCATCGCTCGCGCCATCGCTGCGAGCGCTTCGAGCGCTGCGGCCGGCGTCTGGTGGTGTGTGCCACACACAAGGGCCTCCCTGGCAGAATTGGAGCAAGAGCGGTCGTCGCGCCGGCTCCTGCGGCTGGAAACCGATCGTGCGCGTGGCCGGCGCGCCGCGGGGCTGCCCGAACAGCCCGGGGGGGCTGCAGACTTGCGCAGCTAGCGGCCCGTAAAGACTCTAGCAAAGCGCCGGTGGGCTGCCAGATTGGGCTGCCCAAGAAGGCGTCGTTGGCGCCTCGTGGACGCAAGGAACTTTCCCGGGAGCCGCCCGGCGCCCCCGCCCATCGCTCCGGCAGGCATTATGGCCAGCGACCCCCGCTACAAGCTCGCCCGCCTGGCCGAGGCCCACGGCATCCTGCAGAGGGACCACGCGACCGCGCTCGAGCGCACGAATAGCGCCGAGGCGGCCCAGCGCAAACTAGAGTCGGCGGTGGAGGCAAGAGACATACGAATAGAGGAGCTCGAGGACGCCCTCACGACGCTGTCCGCGCAAGCGCGGGCCTTCGAAGCTTCAGCAAAAGAACAGCGGGCCAAGGCGGAAGGTCGCGTCGCGAACGAAACTCTCGAAGCGGAGCGGCAGGCTCGGTTAAGCGCCGAGGACCAGAGGAGGGAGGCGGCCGACGCGCTGGCCCGAGCGGGCGCCGAATGTGCCGCGGCCGTCGCGAGCGCGGGCGCGGCCGCCGAGGCGGCGCGCGCCGAGGCCATGAAATTACAGAGACGGGCCGACCACGAGCGGAGTGAATTGAACGAGAAATTGCGCGAGTTGGAACTGCGCGCCGAGGCTTCCGAAAGACGAGAAGCGCAATACTGTCGGGACGCGGCGGCGCAGAAGAAAAGACGGGAGAAGGCCGAGGCCGCGCTGTCGAAGCTGAACGGGCAGAGTGGAGAGGCCGAGGCCAAGGCGCTACAAGCAAAGCGGCTCGCCGACCAGTTTCGCAAGGCCGCCGACGAAGCTAAAAAAGCAGCAGAGGAGCGCGACGCGGCCGCTGCTTTGGAACAGCGGAAGAAGATGGGCCTGGCCGAGCGGTTGCGGCTCGCCGTTGCTGCCGCTGAATTGTCCAACAAGGAGGCATCATTGAGACTGAGCGCGTCCGAGGCGCGCGTTGCTGAACTCGAGAGGCGGAACGCGGAACTTGCCGAGGAAGTCGCCCGTCTTACTGAGGAGATGGAGGCGCTGCGGGCCCTGCCGCGGGGCCCGCGCTTCCAGCAGTTCGTCAAGCTCAAGGAGAACAATATTCAATTGAAAGAGCGACTAGAGACCCACGGCATCGCCGCGTCGCCGCCGCCCGTGCCGTCGCGGCGGCGGAAGCCCGGCAAGCTTGATCAGAGGCGGAAATCGTCGGCCCAAACGCAGGCCATGCTCGACATGATAAGTTAGTTTACAGTTACTCCTCCTCGCGGACCGGCGCCTGGCCGATCTCCTTGGTCAGCGACTTCTGGAGGTTGTCGAAGGCGCCGCCGACCGTCGGCGAGTAGGCGCGCACGCGGCCGCCGGCGTACGACTCCCAGCCCAGGCCCCGCGACGCGTCCGCGTAGTGCTTGCCGTACTCGACGTCTTCCCCGTCGGCCTTGCGCTTCAAACGGACGGCCGCTTCCTCTTTGGCCCAGGAGTTGATCGAGGTCGTCGGCTTGTTCGCGAGGCCCACGCCGAGCAAGATGGCGCAGGCCGCGTAGCAAGAATAGATGATGGGCTCCCAGCCTTGGGGGGCGTCGCCGGGCTTTTCGCCGAAGAGCGTGCCCGGTTCTCCTCCTCCTCCCATCCTTCGCCGTTGTTGAGGGGCGCGGCGCGTCGATGGCGCCAGGGCGGCGGCGCGCGCCGGTCTCAAAGCATGGCGCCACATCCTGGCTTTGCCTCTGGTCCTCGCCCTTTGCCTCTTTGCTGCTTGTCTGGTTTCAGTGGTTTGCGAGGCCGCGGGGGCTTCGGGCCGCGGTTTTTCGCTCGAGCTGGCTGCTGGCCTGGCTTGGGCGTCTCGTGGAGTCAATTAGGCCGCTGCGCGACGCGTTTTTAGCTCGATTGCACGCCGATGGGGAAAATGGCGAGCTAGCGGCTTGTAAGACACTAGCCTGCAAGCCAGCACCAAAAGCGACGGCGCGGCCGTGCCAATCGCCATACGTACCGTGTTACCAACGCATAGTAGCTCATCGATCGAGCACGCGGCGCTGCTTCGCTCCGAGCGCTCAAGACACTGCTAAAAGCTAGCACTGCACACTGCACTGCTGAGGCAAGCGATAAAAGACTACAGCTCGACGTCGTCAAAAAATGGCCAAATCCAAGCGCTCCAAGACCCAGCGCCACAAAGCGAAACAAAACTGGAAGACGCCGAAGCGCATGAACGCGTGCGGCCCCGAAACCGTGGACAGGGAGGAGATCGAAGAAATACAAAATGAAGCGCCGAAGACGCGCTACGGCCACGTTCTATTAACAAGGGACACGCTCGAGAGCCGCGCGAAGCGCTTGGATCGCATGCAGCGCGTGCGGTGCGAGCGCGCCGTGCAACGAGGCAGGGACCGGCTCCGGAATTACATCCCGCCGCCGCCGGAGCGGACGGAGGAAGAAAAGGCCGCATATCGTAGGTCGGACCCGTCGACCTGGAAGCTGCGCGGGGCGGCGCGGCCCTGGGAGGAAGTAGAAGCCGCGAAAACGCGGGACCACCACGACGTCGGCTTCGACGCCCTTGAGCGCTATGGCGGCGAGTTAGCTTCGCAAGTGGAGGAGGGCGCGAAGTGGGTGCAATCATTAGTTGATTTGGCGCGAGATGAGTTAGAAAGAGGCAGGGGGCGCGCGGCTCTGGATCTGTGCTGCGAGGCCTTGACGTACGACTCGCGCGACTTGTCGGGGGCGGCCTTCTGCGCCGTTGAAGTGGGAGAGGACGTCGTACAACGATTGGCGCCGTTTCGTCGCGGCGTGCCGGCGTGGGCGCGCGCGGTTGCTGCCGTTCTTTCCAAAAGTGACGATGCGGACGCGGTCGTGGCTCGAGCGTGCGCGGCGAACGCGGCCGCGGCTCACTGCGCCGCGCACTGGCGCGCCTTCGACGCTGCTATCGAAAACGAGGACGCGCTCCAGGGCCTCGACGATATGTGTGCGGGCAGCGCGCTCGAGGCTTTGGTAGTACACTGCCAGCTGCGGTTCCTGCTGGAGGACCGGCCCGGGGATCGGGACGCGGTCGCGGCGGCCGTGCGACGGGCGGGCGTGCCGCCGCTGCCTTCTCCTGACATCCTCGAGGCTTCAGCTGGTTTCGCCGAGGCGGGCATGTTCCTGGGTATGTTCCGGACGGCGTGCGAGATGGCGGAGGAAGCCATTGCCGGGCCGGCGGCAGAGCCTCCTTCGGAACCGACCCCAGCGCCTACTGCGGAGCAAGGAGTGTAATGTGGTTGTCTTATACCTCGCGTCGATGGCGTGTGGTGTGGTAGGTCTCAACACATGCCCGCGAGGCCATTCGTTGACGGGCAGGGGCCAGGAACATATCCTCGCCGGCGTGAGATGCGTCCTAGTATGTCGATGCGCTAGATGACTATGTCTTGCGGCTCGCCAAAATACACCAGCGATCGACGGCGCCATCTACCGTCCAAATGGTACATCATATCAACTCCAGCCCAGTTTTCATACACAATCGACGGAACCGGAGCCGACGGCCCGCGCTCGGAGGGCGGGAGAAGAATTCTACTAGACGACTCTCGAATTTATGTTCGTTTCCATCCGTTTATTGTTGGTAGATTCCATCTAGAGCGCTAGTACAGTTGCCTATATATATAACGGGCGCCAAAAGCTCCGCGCGATTCGTCGACTTCACGCCCTCATGTTTTTGCGAAAACGACATCAGAACCTAGACCCGCGAGTATCAGCGACGCCACCATCCAGATGGACCATAACGCCGTTGTTCTATTCACAATCGACCGACTTGCCCGTTCTCCGCGGGCGACGGTGCGTACGCGGGGCACTGAATTGGCCCCAGACCGGTGAGTTGTGAAATACATTTGCTTTCTAGGCGCTTCGGGTATGGGACAGGCCAGATAACCGGCCTGATTGGCTACTACATTGCTCCGAGACCCAAAGATGCTCGGCGCGGGTCGACTGTCTCGCGGGCCCAACATCTCGCCAATTCGAGCTTCAGACCTGGACCTGCGACCAGCAGCCCGTGTACCTTCACCATGGATCATAACGCGATCATTTGTTCCATGATCGACCGACTTGCGCGAGGTCCAGATCAAGATGTTCACGTCCCGAGCCTGGGCAACCAAAAGTACCCTTCTCGTGGTGTAGATGTCATATACTTGTAATTGACTATCGCTGGGGTAGTATGGGGTCCAACGAGACCGCTACGGCGACTACTGGGGGCCCTCGGGTAATTGACGTTTTTTACGGGGACGGGGCGCCATCGGGCCCAAATTACACACTTTTTTCGGGGGCAGATCGGCTCCTGGAGGCCTCTCGGGGTAGGTCTGGTAGTGGGTAGTAGCCTGCGCCGCATACGCCGGCGCTTGGGCCCCCCGAGGGCTCTGGAAGCCATTGCCAAGTAATTCATGCTCGAATGGCTTGGAGTGTTGAGAGAATTGGCCGATAATCCCTCGAAGCGGCGGCGCATGCGGCGTAGGCGACTAACCATGTATAGTACCACCTTAAACGACCCCAGGGAGATCTCAGGACCACGGATTGACAGGATTAAACCGGCGCGGCCGCCATAGACTGTAGGGCGCCCTCGGCCGCGAATTAAAAAATTTCCTTTTTCGGCCCCCGGTACGTGTCCCATTGATCTCTTTGGACCATTAGCGAACCGAACGGTACTCAAATGGCTGCATGTGCGTTCCGATTCTGCTAGTGTCTTACATGCCGCTAGCTCGGTGCGGCGTGGGCAATTGGCAATTGGAGCTGCATAGCTGCATAAAATACCCGTTACGCACTAGCCCCGTGCTGTTCAAGACCACAGCTTCACGCCGGCGACGTGTGTCAGCACACTTGCACGCCTTCGACGCTGCAGACGCAGCCTTTTGCCATGCAGCTTGCAATAGCAATAGCGCTGGCCGCGAGCCATGCATCGGCGCTCGACGTCGGCGCATCGATGCGTGCCACCATGCACAAGCTGCACACCGCCCTGCAGCCCGCGACGCCGCTGCAGGAAGACGTGATCGATCTCGGCGACGGGGCTCAAGGGACAGTAGTCAGCTTCGAGGCGACGGACCGGGACTGCGCCTGGTGCGCGGCCACGTCGATCATCGACGGCACGTCGACGTCGTGGGAGCTCGAGGCCTGGAACGGCCCGAGCGTCGAGGCGCCGCACTTCTACGCGTCCCTCGAGGACGACGGTGAGAATATAGAGGTCGAGGTCGACTTCAGGCCGCGGCTCGATGCTGGCTACGATCTCGCGGTGGAGGCGACGGACGCGCGAGAGTACCCAGCGCCGACGTCGCGCGCGGGCTTCTCCCAGAAGGCTCTGCGCGTTGATTATGACGAGCTCTTCTTCTCGGCCGAGGCGCGGGCCTGGCGGGCCACGAAGCTGGTGGACGCCGAATCTGTGACGCCGCGGTGGGCGACGCTCGTGGTCGAGGGAAGACGCCAGTACGGCGACGACGACGCGGGCTCTGTTGGCGGGCCGCTCGCGCTGCGGGCGCGGTATCCGCGCGACGCCGTCGAGGCCGCCGTCGCGGCGTGCGACGAGGCCGCCGATAGGTATATCAATTGGATGACCAATCCAGCGGAAGCATCTTGGATGCGCACGCGGCTCATCTTCGCGCGGGACTCGCAGGTGCGCCAGGCCGTCGCCGCGAAGCGCGTTTCTATACTGGGGGAGCGGTACGGCGCCACGGGCCGCGAGCTGGCCAAGGCGATGAATGGGCGGCTGGACATGCAGGGGCACAACATGATGCAGGAGCAGGTCGCGTTCGGCGACGACGCGGATGATGGGAGGGACTAATATATCTAGTTGTTTACTCGCGTCGAGCGCGGGCCCCGCGACGGTGGTCATCTTGATCACGGCGTAGTATGCAGTCACCCAGGCAGGAGAAGGGTACGGAACGGAAACAGAGGGCGTGCGAGAGCTCCGTGTTTGAAGCCCGACGGTTACAGAGACTCGTGCTGCTCCGATGACGCCGCTCGCAGTGCGCAGCCTTGTACGCGGTCGACGCGGCTTGAAATACGATATCCAACCAGCCGCAGTACCACGCGGTATATTCCAATTGCCTGTGCAAGTGCCGCAACAAATAGCGCACGAGAAGCCGCGCAAATAGCTGTACACAACCATGCTGCGCTCTGTCGTGGGCACGCTCGTGGCTCCGCAAGTAGAAAAGTTCGTCTTCCAGCACGCGCTGAAGACGACACCCGAGGAGCTGCTGCGCGGCGCGACGCACGCTGCCAACACGATCTCGGATGAATTGAAAAATGGACGCCACGACCTGCAGGCGCGCAAGTTCGTCGACGCGACCTGCCAGAAATCGCTCATGCGCGACCTCGCTGCACAGCGGGAGGCGCGAACACCGAACGCCTACGATGCGACCGGCGCGGCCAGGCTCCACAACGTTCGGATGGTCGTCGGGCCGGACCGCGCCGCCTGCGCGAAGGCGCGCGAGCCGCTGCAGCGAATCGAATTGGGTGATTGTTTGGTCGTCGTGGGCGGCGTCGACGAGTTCCTGTACTCGCAGAGCACTCAGGAGCGGTTATTGGCCGAGTACGGCGCGACGGTCCAGGCGGAGGTCGTCTTTGACGAGGGGTTTCCCGTCGACTCGAAGCACCACGCCTCGTACGTCTTCGAGACGTTCATCCCGGGCGCCCGGTTATTAAATCCGGACTTCGACCACGACTATTCGTTCACCGTCGTCGACATCAACGGCGTCGCCGCGGGCAACGCGTTCTGGACGCGCGCAGCGCCGCACTCGCGACCATTCTCGATCAAGGACGCCGCGCGCCTCTTCACGGAGTAGTAGAAGCCCGTCCGCCTCGCACAAGTCTATTGTTATCCCTATCCTCTAAGTTGCTTACACGTTTAAATAGCTCGTGGCGGTCTCGCTCGAGAGGGGGTCGCGGCGATGGCGTGCGTCGGGGATGCCGAAACCTAGTTGGCCGCGGTGTGGTGTGTGTCTACAGTGTGTGCTTTTGCATGGGGAGTCACGCGCGTCGTCGATCGCGGTGACCCCAGGCTCGGCGCCGGTTGCGAGAGGAGTACAATTCGATGTCCGGGAGTAGCCACGGCTGCGAAAAGACTAATTTCGTGGGCGATAGAAAAAAAATTCTAGTATGTCTCGCCTAGATGATTAACAATTCTTAGCAAGACGGCGCTCTGACGCCCTGTTACGCCCACCATGAAACTCCCAGCCCTCATTACCGCGTGTTCAGCTGTTGCTGTTAATACATTAGCACCGACGAAGGTTCTGCGCTGTGTCGAAAAGGTCATGCCCATAATGGAGCTTCCAAACAACTTGCTTGAACAAACGCCCAAAACACACGATCGAAACGTCGCCCACGCCCGAAAAGCTGCCGACGCACCGCCCGGAACGCCTACACCGCGCGCACTACCTGCTTGAACACAACGCCGAACACGCAGGTCGCCCCGAAGGCCCCGGCGCCGCCGCCGGACTGCCACGACGCCGAGTCGTGCGCCGCGCTCGCCGAGGAGTACGCTCACGAGGCCGACGCGCTGCGCGCGTCCATCGCCGAGCTGTCCGACGAGCTCCAGCAGGCCAAGCTCGAGCGCATCGAGAACAACATCCTTGAATTTGTCGAAGAGGCACCCTCGGCGTTGCCCGGAATCAAGTTCCGCACGACTTTACGGGGCCTGGACGGCGGCGACGCGGCGTTCCTCCGGGCGCAGTGGAGCTTCCTCGAGTCAGGTGGTTGTATTGTGACGCCGGCGTCGGGCCGCGACTCGTCTTGCACATTAGAAGCCGGTGGCGCCGGCTGGCGGCTCATGCCAGCCAAGGTCCAGGGCCCGCAGCGGGATACGCCGGACATTTTTGAATGCTGGTGCTTCGTGAAAGATGGCGACGGTCAGATGACGAAGGTGACGCTGCGCACGACGTCGCTGCCATATGACGACGCCGCATCCCTGAGAGAGGAGGCCGCGAAGGCGGCGACGCGCCACAAGGCCCAGGCGGCCAAGTTCGCGGACGCGCAGCAGCAGTACAAAGACAAGCACGCAGGCCGGTCGTTCCTCGACACGCTGCTGGACTACCGCGAGCTCATCAAGGCGCACGAGGCGTCGTCGGTCGCGGCGGGCGCGCGCGAGACGGTGGACTCCTTTGCGCGCGGCGCCGACGGCGCTGAAGTTACATTAGGTGATCAGCGCGTCGTGCTGGGCAAGCGCGGCCACTATTTAGTGGGCGAGCTGCCGCCGGCGCCCGTCGAGCTCGCGGCGCGCCTCTTGCCGTTCCTCAAGGACCAGCGGTCCGTCTGGGGCACGTTCACCGCCTGGTGATCTACTGTGACGACCAAATTCATCCCTCGACTCGTGTAAGAAATACATGTCCGACTCCGATGGTTCGACGGACTCGGATAGATATACTTAGCGCTTGGCCCGCCCCGTGTTCCCGGCGGCGGAGCCCGTCGGCCGCATCTCAGGCGTCAAATCGGAGGCCGACTGGCCCCGCGTGCGCCACCTTTTAACAAGATTGCCCAGGGTCGTGGGAGGCAGCGGGCTTTTGGCGGCCAGAAAACCCACCTTGTCCGCCGTCCTCACTGATAAGTCCGCATCGACGGCGTCTGAAGGCGCTTTCAACGAAGAGGGCTGGGCCTCGCGGTTCGGTGTCGCCTCCCACGCCGCGACGTCCGCCCGCTCTACATCCTTCGCGATCAGATAAGCCACTTTCCGAGACGCGCCGAGCGGCAGGTGCAGCTCCTTCGCCGACCAATCTATCAAATCGAACTGCATCGCAAATGCCGCATTTCCACCTTTCACGCGGCCGACGAAGAAGTCCCGACCCTTCGCGCGGGCCCAGACTTGCGTGATTTCACCATCTAACGCGAAATACGCCTTGCGCTGCGCGGCCAGAGCTTTCCGACCTCTCGGAATGCGCCGCCGCTCCCACTCGGCGTCCTCGTCGATTATTCCAAATCCTCCACTGGTGGGCCCGTCGTAGACCGGGATCGGTACTTGTTCAGGCTCCGGCGGCGCGCCGGCGCGCCACTCTCTCAACGCGTCGTCGACGTAGACGTCGTAGCATCCGCTCAATTCTTCTCGCAGCGCGTCCGCTTGCTTGTAGTTTTTATTCTTTTTCGCGTCGCTCCGCAGCGCGATGAGCTCGTCGATCTCTTCTATAACATCGTCGGAGAAGCTGCCGGGGTGGTCCGTGCTTCGTTTGTAGTCGTGCTCCAGCACCATGTCGTCGTCGACCGCTCGAAGGGCCGTGCGGCGGCTTGCATGCGGCAGGGGCTGCAGTGCTGCCGTGAGGGCGCCGAGCGACAGCAGTGCTCTTGCGCGTCGCATTTTGTGTTACTGCTCGCCTTTTGAAGGCGTAATTCAATCGGTGAGGCTGCGCGCGGCGCAAACAGCAACTGCTACCTCGGAGCGATGCGCTGCTGCCTGCAGCCTGAAGTCTGGCTGGGCGCGCGCCTGGGCAAGCAAGGTATCGAAACAACCGCTGCAGTCGCCCTACAGACGCGATCCAACACGCGCAAGACCACTTGTCTGCGCGCGCGACGCCGCGGCAATACCAAACAGAGCAGTGCTTTGCACAGGCTCAGGCTCAGGCTATTACGTCGCGGGCACAACAGACCTCGCCCTGCGGACATTCACGGCAGGGTAGCAGCCCGATCACGCTGTCGACGATGCGTCTCCACGTCTGGGCCCTCATAGCGATCGCTGCCGCCTTCACGCCGCCGCAGCCACAAAAAGCACAACACACCGTCTGCTTCGGCGGCCGCCCGAAGAACAAGGCCGCCAAGGCCGCCCGGAAGCGCCTCGACGAGGCCGCGAAGGAGGAGGCCAAGGCCGCGAAGACCTACGAAGCGCTGCAGAAGAAGAGGCGGGAGAGCAAGGCGCGGCGCACGGAACGGTTGAGAGGACGGGACACGCGGGGCGGCACGCCCGATGTGGTTGAAATTACAGAGAAGAAGGCGCGGCGACCACCTCCTACAACACCACGAGCCGAGCCCACAAAAGGTCAAGCGAAGCGGCCGATCCAAAGCAACCGACAGTTAGAAGCTAGCTTCCTAGGTTCGTATACTACCCCGGACGAGATGCCGCGCGACCCGCTGCCGGAGATTGCCTTCGTCGGAAGAAGTAACGTGGGCAAGTCCTCGATGCTCAACGCGCTCGTAGGCGCTCGAAAAGGCGTGGCCGTCACGGGCCGGACGCCGGGCCGGACGCGATTACTCAATTTATTCGAGATTGAAGATTCGGGAGGTGGACGAGCTCGAGTTGTTGATTTGCCCGGCTACGGCTTCGCGAAGATTGCGGACGCGCAGCAGGCCGACATCTCGCGGTTCTTGGAGGCGTATCTCGATGGGAGGCGGCAGTTACGCGGTATTGTTTTTTTGGTGGACTGTAGAAGGGACCCGAACCCTGAAGATATGGAGATTATACAAGTGCTGCGGTCCAAGAACCTGCCCGTGGTGCTCGTGGCGACCAAAATAGACAAACTAAAAAGCTCGGCGGAGTTCGCTAACTCACTAAACGCGCTCGAGGACTTTTACGCGACCGAGCCGCTCTTCTTCTCGTCGACGACGCGCCAGGGCCGTCCGGAGCTCTGGGCGCGCGTGAACGAGTTGCTCTTTTCGGAGAGTGAGGAGGAGGAGGAGGAAGTCGAGTGGGTCATCGATGAGCCCGAGGAGGAGCTCTCGGACGCCTCCTCGGACCCTGTGCCGCTCTCAGACGACGACCTACTGGTGTTCTAGAGCCAAGTGTGTCGCGTCGATGGCGTCGAGGGCGTCTGCCTCGCCTGTATCTAGTAAATACTGTCTGTTGTCTTTATCAGGGAGGGCGCCTGCGGCCCCTCACTTGTTGACGTAGACGTTGGCCTTGTTCAGGTCGAACGCGGCCTTGACGGCAAGGACTACGGGGTTGGGGTCGGCCGGGCCTGCGCGGGCACGTGTCGATGGCGTCGGAATTCTACCCTACCGCAACGCCATCCCCCCGCCGCGTCGATGGCGTGAAAATAGCGAGGACGCCGCGTCGGCGCCTTCAAGGTCGTGGATCATCGTGCGCACGCCCGCGAGTGCGGCCTCGCGCTCGTAGTCGACGATGCGGCCCTTCTTCGCGAGCTCCTGCTCGCGCGTCTTGAGCTGGCCCACGAGCATCTGGACCGTGTCGACGGAGCACTCCTCCTGCAAGCAGTCCTCGGCCGCGCCTGCGCGCGGGAATCGATCCTCTATCGGCCTCAGAGCGCGGTGGCGTCACGTCGCTAACTTTGATGTCCGGGCTTCCGGCAGCGCGACGATTGGCAGCGCGAAGTAGTCCAATTGCTGCCGCTCCCACGAATGTACGAAGTCGCGATTCCGCGCCGCAGGACTGCTGTAGATGTCGATGGGATTGGCCTGCAGCCTAACAAGGCTGTTCGTCGTCGAAACTTGCGGCGCGAACGCCGACGCGGCGCCGAGGCAAAGAGTGACAAGTAATCGCTGCATGATTGTGTTTTGGTGCGGTAGAGGTGCCTGAAAACGCGTGAATTCCGCCTTCTGTGAGATCTGCGGAGAGCTGTTGTGTTCGGCGCGACGCCGCCATCATTGCTCGGCGGGCACTCCTCCTTACGCCTTATGACCGATGGGCGGGGCCGAGGACCCACGGCGGGCTTTGCCTCTCGACGCAAGAAACACGCGAAAGAGCAAATACAAACAAAAAACACTAACTCACCCCAAGCCCCGCCTTCGCGGACTCATAAACCTGCATCGTGATCCCACAAGAAGCCCCGAGCCAGAACGCGCGCGCCGCCGCGCCCCGGAATAATGCGGAGACGCCCTCGTCGCGGATCGCATCAAAAACAATACGCGATGAGGACCCGCCGACGTCGGCGGACACCTGGACCCGCGTCTTCAGCCAGTCCACGGGCTGCGTCGCGACGCCGGCCACCGCGCCGGCGAGCGTGCCGTTTATGAGCGGATACTGTCCCATGCGTCGCGTAAATAAGTCGTAGCTCCAGAAGTAGATCGCACTAAAAGGACCGTAGGTGGCGAACGTCAGCAGGAAGCCCCTATATAAACCGCGCAGGCCGTCCCGCCTCAAAATGAGTCGCGTCGCGGTGACGACGGTGCCGCGCGCGCGGCCGACCATGTACCGCTGCTTCACGACGTCATAGGGAATGTAGCAGGGATTTGCACAAGCTTCAGCACATAACCCCGCGGCCAGCTCGGACTCCGTTTTCCGGGAGGCGACCTCGTACGCGGAAAAATAGAGCCCGTACGCCGCCGGCGCGAAGAATGGCACACAGAGGAGCCCTCGATAGAGCGCCCGCGGCTTCGGCCGCAGCTCCCTGCTTATAGCCAGCAGCGCCCTTAATGGATCTGACGGGAGCGTCGGCGCGCCGCGCGGCCGCGGCGCGTTGAGTCGCGCTCTGCAAAGATCCAGCGGGTACAGCAGCGAGTCGCAGACGACGCCGGCGACGGCGCCGCTCGAGAAGCACTTCGCGACGTCGATCAGTGAGAGCTGGGCTTTGGTGCTGCTTGCCATTTCTGACCGTAGCGATGGATTCGTTGCAAATTACGGTCTCGGCCGTCGCAGCGATGGCGTAAAGTGTCGACTGATCCAAGTGCACGTAATTCAATGCATCGCTTTGCGAGCTGCGGCTTTGGTGGTGCACCCGGGTGGTACTGAGCTAGACCGCTAAGACACTAGCAAGCAGATACGTATAAACAACTTACACAGAAAAGCTCACGCCGACCCCCAGCTCTCCAGCTTCGAAGCCCACGCCGCCGCGTCCGGGATCGCGTCCGTTCTCATTGATGAAGACGGCTTCCCGCGGTCCGCGACGACGAGTATAGGTCTCCGAGAAGCACCAGTACGAGCAAGCGAAAGATAGAACAGGTCGCGCACGTCACCAACAGATAACTTCCGCAACGCCGCCGCCTCGCGGGCCCGCCGGTCCCAGTCGTAGCGCCGCGACACGATCTCGTCCCAGTGCGGGGCCACCGCGCCGCCCAGCGCCTTCGGGAGCTCGTCTAACCGCCGCGCGAGGCCGTCGACGATGTCCGCGAGCTGGGCTGCGTCCAACTTATCTAGTAATTGAGGCGCTTCAGTATCTAAAAATTCGTCGATATATCGGACCAAATCCGACGGTCCTCTACACACGTCATCATCCTTCGCCGACTGCGCCAGGAAGACCATAGACGACACACCTTCTCGGTAGCGCGACGCGGCCTGGACCACATAACCCAATTGCCGTTTCGTCCGCAACGCTTCGTAGAAGGGCGCCTCTAGCACTGATGAAAGTACCAAGGTAGCCGCCCGCACGTCAGACCCGCTTCCCGTTTGGTAGGAATAAATGGCGGCGTAGTTGACCTCGTCACTTGCAGAGGGTTTCGCCGCATATCTGATAGGTACTTTGGTAGAGAGAGGCACTTGGAGCACCGAGGGCTCCGCCGGGATGGTCGAACCGCCTGATAAACCACTTCGGACGCTTTTCTCGATGCGCCTCGCATAAGTCTCGTCGCAGTTGCCCTCGACCAGGACATCCGTCGCGGCCACAGAACCAAACACGTTCGCGTTCTCAGTCAACCATTTCCGCAGGGACTCGACGTTCGTCTTCTTGAGGGCGTTCTCGGCCTCGATCAAAGGGAACTTCGGTCGCTCTGTGAGCACCCCGAGCTCCTCGATGCATCGCGACGAGGCCGGCGCCGCCCGGGCCGCTCTTATGTCTCTTCTCGTACCATCGAGCACGCGCTCGAGATTATCATTTTTCAGAGCGTACTGTACGGCATCAAAGCCCTTCACCGCACTCACCACTGCCTCCGCAAGCTCGGGAAGCTTAGCATCGTAGCCCCCAAACGACAACTGCACGCCGCGCGGCCCGGCCCCTAATGTCCATTCTAAGCCAGCTAAAGAAGCATCATAAGAATCAAACTCTCGTTGATAGTCCGCATCTCTCAAGGCATCGGCAGCGAGGCGCGTCCAGATCCGCGCGTGAATCGCGTCGGCCGCACTTCTCGAACCGGTGGCCTCCGTCCTCAACAAAACTAAAACGGCCGCGCGCGGCACGCCGAAGATCCTATCCTCCTTGAACCACAGCTTGCCGAAGCCGTCGTCTAGTAACTTGGTCGGCGGCCCGAAGTCCTTGAGCGTAGGCTTAGCTTTCTTGGCGTACTTGGGCTTTGGGTCTGTATCGGGTATGTACGGGTTCACCGGCGGAAATTTTATCTGAGACGAGGTCACTTTTTCAGAGAGCTTCTCGGCGAAATAGGGCGTCTTGTAGATGGGTTCTACCTTTTTAGCACCCTTGGCGGCTACTTGTAACTCATCTTGAGGCGCCACTACGGTCACCAATGGCACGTTAGTGTTCATCTCCCTCAATAACTCGGAGACCGCCCGTCTTCTCTCATCCGTCGACGCGTCGCGCGGCGTCCTATCTAAAGCCAATAGATCCCTCAAATCTTCGGACGCGCCCCAGCCCACCACTTGTAATTTACCAGCTAAAGCGGTCGCGAGGTTCGCCACGTCGGGCGTCTCGCCCCACCTGCGCGGACATCAACGTCACTGGGCCCCGCTCGATGGCGTAGCGCTCCCACGCCATCGACGCGACGATAACTGCGGGACGCCGAGACCGCACTGGAACCCGAGCCGCGCCATCCGCGCCGTCTCCTCGAAGCAGTTGGAGGGCCACTCCGCCGTTTGTAAACCAAGCGCCGCGCCCCGTATCGTCGCCAAGACGCTGCGCCACTCCTTTAAACCTTTCTGTGTTAATTGTACAGAAACATCAAAAGTTCGGAACTGATCGGTGTCTTCACCACTACCAGCACCGAGCCCCGTGGCGAGGCCTCGCCTCCTTAGGTCCGCTAGGATTGAATCAGGCCCTTCGTGCCCCAAAATATGAGACAGAAACAGGTCATCTCGGAAGTAGCGTTTTTGTATCCTATCGGCAAAGGCACTGTCTGGATCACTACGGTCATACGGTAAGACCCACTGCACACTGAGCTCTCGTTGCGACTGCAGGGATGCCAGGACATAGGCATCTGAATCTTTTGGTAGCGGCTCTTCGTCGAAGTACAATGTGGACGGAGGCCTTCGCTCAGTAGTACTTCTGACATCTACCAAAGCATTCTCGGTGAGCTTCTGGAGCACGTCCAAGGATTGCGTCGAGCAGACGACGCAGGCCATATTACTACCAACGTAGTTCGTACCGTAAAATTCTCGCAACTTGTCGACGGGCGGGTCGCCGTCGCCGTTCGGAGGCCTCAGGGTCTTCCGCGTCCCCGTGCCGAACTTCGAGAAGGGGTGCGTGGAAGGAAAGCGCGACTTCGTCAGCTGGAAGAGCCGAAACCCGTCGCTCTTCAGATTTTTTGAGTGTTCACTATCAATCGCCTCGACCTCTCGACGAGTCGCATCTTGCGCGAATCTGGGGGCCGAGAAGAAGGGCCCCCACCGCTCTAGAGCGGAGCCGACCTTCGCCGGATCAGGCAGCTCGAAGAAGTAGCACGTGTCCTCGGTGTCCGTGAACGCGTTCGAGGAGCCGCCGACTCTCGAGATGTACTGTTCGAACTCGTCCTCACCCGGGTACTTGTCGTTTCCCAGAAACAACATGTGCTCGCAGAAGTGGGCGAGGCCCGGGCGGTCGATTGGATCGGACATATGGCCCACATGTACATCTAGCGCCGCGGCGCACTTCTCGGCTCTCGGGTCCTGCACGAGTAAACAGCGGACGCCGCTCGCTAATTCTACGAGTCGGTAGCTTTTGGAGTCTGTTTGCGGCTTCGCGAAGGTCTCTTGTAGTATTCTTGTCGTCTTCGATGCTGCGGGTGCTTCGTAGGCTCGGAAAGTTATCAATGCTGCGGCGCCTTGGAAGAGGCGTCTTCGTTGTGGATCCGCGACGCTCATACGCAGCGACGGCGTGCGGAGAGCATTGGCTGTCAGCAGCAGCGTCAGCACGCACATTGATGCACGCATGCTGCTGCGCTGTCAGCGCGCGTAGCGGCTGGCCTTATTGATGCAATTTTGCAGCGCGGGTGTGTATTTCCAGTGCTTCGTGGCTGCACGAGTTGATTGATGTTTTGCGGGCTAGTGTCTTACACGACGCTAGCTGCAACACTCAGTGTAAACAGCCCTAGCGAGCCACAGCGCTCTAAGAAAAGCGGCCTGTATAGCTCACAGCCCATAGCTGCGAAATCAGTCCATCAATCAACGTGTAAGGCGTCGAGAAAGGTGTTTGCAGCAGCTGCAGCAAAGGCAGCACTAAGTGCCGACGCGAGCGAACAAAAAAGCTCAGGCACGCCGTCGCCGCATAGATGCTAGGAAAACCGGCAACCGAGGCTGACATCCTCAACCGCTGGTCCAATCCCGCCGCACGCCTGCGAACGGCAGCGTTCGCCTCCGTGCTCTTTGCTGTAGCCTTTCTAATAATCTACGCCCTGGCGCGCCTGCTCGAGGCGGTCTTCGAGCGTGTTCAGCGAAGGAAGCAGCGATGAGGCTTTTGCTCCTCCTGAGGGTGGCCGCGGCGCTCTCGTCGGGGGCGCTGCCGCCTTCAGCAGTATACAAGCCGACTGAAACCGGCGACCGCGCCTTATCGTGGCTCGCGGCCCTCGGCGTCTTCGCCAAGTTAGTAAAAAGACGCCCGGCGGCCGCGGTTGTCGCGGGGTTATTAACTCAACCACTGGCGGCCGGCATAACGCGAGACCTGCTACGAGCGCCTGTTCTTGCCGAACCTGTAACATTACTGCCGGATGCCAACTCGAGAATCGTCTCCACAAAACCTTTAGAAGGCGTGCGCATCGTCGCCTACGAAGGCAGAGGCGCCGTGGCGGTCCACGCGTCGCACGGCTTCGGGAGCACGGCCGAGAGCTTCCAGGAGTTGTTGGAGGCGCTCTCTGTACAATTGAATGTAGCTTCTGTCATCGCGCACGACCACCCGGGCTTTGGATTAACAAAGAGGCCGTCGCAGCGACATAAGTACATGCTCGGCGGCGACGTCGCGCTCGCATTGACGCGGAACGCGTCCTCTGTTGTTTTTATAGGCCACTCCATGGGCGCGGTCTCGGCGACGGACGCGGCGGTGCGCGCGGCCGAGGCCGGGACGCGGACTGCATTAGTGTTAATTGCGCCGGCGATCGTCGCGGGACGATCAATCGGTCCCCCCTCTGTCAAGAGACGATCAGTCATAGCGCGCGCCGTCGGCGCTCTTACAAAATTAGTAGTGACGCGCTGGCCCTTCCGCATTCTAGTGAGGCGCCTCGTCCTCGCAAAGGACTTCTGGCCGCGCGGCCTCGGGGCTACTTATGGAGAGCGCGCACGCCAGGACACTGATCAATTAAACGCCTACGCAAAGCGCTACGCGCGCGCGGCCGGCGTCGTCGGCTGGGAGCGCGGCCTCCTCGCGTTCTGCGCGGCGCGCCTCGAGCAGGTGTTGAATGCTCTGCTGACGGGTGATAGTATCGAAGCGCGGCTCGCCCGCGCCCTCAGGTCAGCCTACATACCTCTGGACCGCGTTCTGGTCATTAATGGTGAAGATGACGCTCTCGTGCCGGTGGCGAACGCCCGTCGATTAGTGGAGAACTTGCGGACGAGCGCCCCGGCGGCGTCGGTCGAGTTGGTGGAGATTGCTGGAGCGGGCCACTGCCCCCACGAGGAGGGCGACGTATCTGAAATAGTCGGTAACTTCATTAAGTAACTTACCCCTCCGCCACGTTGTACTTCGCGAATAAATTCTGGGGCTTCGACATGTGCTTGAACTCCAAATTGTTGCCCGAGGGGTCCTTGAAGAAGCACGTCCACTGCTCGCCCGGCGCGCCCTCGAAGCGCAAAGTCGGTTCAATAATAAAAGGAATGCCCGCAGCCTTCACCCTATCGACGACGTCCTTCCACAATTCATAGGTCGGCATCTGCAGCCCAAAGTGCGGCACGGGCACCTCGTCGCCGTCGACGGGGTTCACGTAGTCCTGGGCGCGGTACTCCTCGCCGACCCAATGAACCACAACCTGGTGGCCGTGCATCGCGTAGTCCTGCCACTTTGTGGAGGACCGGCCCTCTTCCAAACCGAGCGTCTCGCCGTAGAACTGCTTGGCGACGTCGATGTTGTGCACAGGAATGGCCACGTGGAAGGGCACGCCGGGCGCCGGCTGGGCGCGCGTCTCGTAGGCCGTGGCGTTGCTGCTTCGCCTCAATCCGAGCCGCGGCAGCCTCGCGGCCTGGCTTGCGATGCTCGCAGTCAAACGCCTTAAAAAGAGCACCATCGTGCAGCGAAGCTGAGCAGTTTTCGTAAACAAGTTTGGCAATGTGTGCGTCTGATCCTATGAGCAGTGGTGCTCGGAGACTCTCTGTGTCGCGTATGGGAGCCTCGAAAAAAAATGACGTCGCGCTGTGGTAGCGTTCACAGACATACTAGGATCGAAGCAAAAGGCGCTGTGTTCGCCTCCTGAGGCACTCCCTCGAGACAGAGAGGCCTAAGGGCTGCCGCACGCATCCCAAACGAAGGGCTCAGCACCTTTGGGCAGCCTCCCCACGCCGCCGACGCGCCCCAAGCAGCTACCCTACCAAGAGCACATAAAAGATGAGCGCCACCCTCAACAAGGACCTCGACGAAGCGCGCTTAGAATTGGCCAAGGCCCAGGCCCAGAAGAAGCGCGAACTCCGTAAATTAGAGAGTGGCAACAAGGGCGTCCTCGCGGCATTAGGCGTCGGCGCCGTGCAGCAGCACGCCGGGGCGAATTTCGTGAGCGTCGAGGCGTCGGCGGAATACGCCAAGGAGAAGGAGGCCCAGCGCGCGGCGAGGTACGCCGCGCATCGGGCGGAACGGGAAGCCGCAAAAGAAAAACTAAGGGAGGAGGAGGCCGCGCGCAAAAAAAAGGAGAAAAAAAGGGGCTGGTTCGCCGCGAAGAAGAAGAAGAAGAAGCCGAAGCCTGGTCCTAGACAGGTATTGATGGAGAAGACGTTGCGGGCGGCCTACGCACCTACCTATCTGCGCATCGAGAACACCGGCGAAGTGTGGAAAGATGAATCCGAGTTCCGGCTACTCGTTGTCAGTAAAGCCTTCGAGGATCTGAAGGGGACGCGACGGAAGCCGGGCGGTCGGGAGCCCGAGTCGATGGACTGGCTGCTGCGCTGGCGGAAGGTGCTCGACACGATCGAAGCCGCCTTCATCGCGCATAAGAAGGACATCGACGTGTCTACGCTGTACCCCGTACCGCTCACGCCAGCCGAGTGGGACGGCGAGGCCACCGTGCCCGTCGAGCCTTCACAGGTAGGTGAATTAGGTATTGGGGCGTGGGGATCCTCGTCTTCCGAAGATTCGGATTCGGATGCTCCACCAAAAGTCAATCCAAGAGACCAGTGGAGCTGTTTAAATGACCCGGCGAACATCTGGTTGCTGTCGCGGCCCGAGAGTGAAGTGTTAGGTCCCCAGAACCACGGCGAATCGAGGGAGGCCACGCTACCGCAGTGGGTCAAGGACTACGGCACGGAAAAGTGGACTCGTGAATATGGTCCATTAAATAAAAAGGCCTCGGCCAAGGACTACTGTACAGCACCGGTGACGGATTTTACTACCGATAATTTTCCAGGGGTGGTGGATGCCAACCAGTGGGTCGAGGACGCGCGCTGGGACGTGGCCGGGCCTACCTCAGCTAGGTTCCAGCGGGACAAGATTTCTTCCGCGGCGGCGTCGGCGAACAACATAAGGTTTCACTAGTTGTGTATTAAACCTGCACGCACCCATCCCTAGACGCGCGGAGACATATTCTTACTCAGCAGCGCACTAATCAATAGTCGCCCACGTGGAACGCGTACTCGACGACTCGCCGGACCATCTCCGGCGGGAGACTAGGGAGCTTTTGGAGGAACGTCGCGGTGATGGCGTTGAGGTGGGCGCGCTCGTAATTTTGGAAGCTGCCCGCCGCGCGCACTTTTCGTATGTACGCGTCGTCCGTTTCTGCGGGGAGGGCGGCGCCGGCGCGGAGCAAAATCGGGTAGAGGCGGCGTTGTCTCTCCGAGTTAACGGCATCGCCGGCGGAAATGCTTCGGAGAAACCTCTGACGCCGCGATATGCAGAGCTCCAGGGGCGTCATTCCGTCTCTACACCTCGCGTTCAACGCGGCACCTGCATTAATGAGAATGCGGATGGAGTCGGCACCACGATCGCTATAGATTGCGTAGTGAAGAGGCGTCCAATTGTCGGCATCGCGTTGGTTCACGTCCGAACCGGCGTCGAGCAGGGCGGCCATAACTGTCGGATTACAGTCCCTGGCAGCATACAGAAGCGCCGTCATCTTCCCGTCGGGGGTGGCCGATGACATATTCGCTCCCGCGGCTGCGAGTAGTCTGACGCAGGCGACTCGATCATGGTCGGCCCAAGCTACGACATAGTGGAGAGGCACTAAGCCCTGCGGAGATACTACGTCGGGCGAGACACCGCTCTCGAGTTCTCGTCGCAACGCGTCCACGTCGCCCTCGCGGGCGGCCCTGTGTATTGGTTCCATGTCTGTCATCATCAATTTTGATGATCCGGCACTGTCTGCCGTCGACCGCTCTCCACCGAATTTCCACGGCCGTGATCTCGCCCTCCCGACGCTCGACTAGCCCACGCCGCGGCTTGAGCCCTGGGGTTATGACCTAGCGGCCTGTAAGACACTAGGCATCCAAGCAACAAGCACATCTTAGCCGCTGCCGCGCGTGCTTGCTACTATTTTATACTAAGGACTGCGTTTTTACATATAACGGTACCGTGAACTCCTGCACAACCGTGGAAGCATCGAACGCGTGCTCACAGACCTACAACAAGGACTGCCCCCTGGCTGGCTGCTTTGAGTCGCAAAGGTATCATCATGCGCATTGTCGCTGCGTACTTGCTGTGCGCCACGCATGCATTCGCACCGTCGACGCCATCGCTGCGCGCGCCGACCGCGCTGCACGCCGAAAACCCCATTCGCAAGTATGGCGGCAGCGTCGTGCTAGGACTGCTTGGCATCCAGAGCATACGTGACCTCATACTGGAAGTCCCGAAGCTCGGCTCCGACCAGGCGGACTACTTCGGTACGGCAATAGACGTCGCGTTCACCGCCTTCGTCGCGACGCAGCTCGCGACCCAAAGCGGAGTGGCGCAGCCCGACGGCGGCGAGCCGTCGGCGGATTTGGCGGGCCTCGACTTTAAGATCACGATGTCCGTCGGCCGCGAGAGCGGAACCTGGATGGACAAGTCCTGGGCGGCGAGCGGCGCGCGGCTGTTGCTGCCCTTGCAGTGCAGCTTTACGGGCGACGAGTTGGATCTAGGCTTCCCGGGCGAGGAGGCGCTCGCGGGCCGCTACTGCCGGCGGCTCGACTGCGAAGGCGGCTCCTTTGTCGGGCCGGGCGGCACTGTTACTGTTGCGTGTGATGGAGGCGGCTGGTGGGCCGCGCCGACGGGGCGGCCCGGCGAGCAGAGCCTGAGGTTCTTTCTGGATTTTCCCGCGGGCGCCGAGCGGAACGACGTGAGCATACCTCCGGGTCGGGTCTTCTTCTCGTCGGCACTTTTGAACGGTGACGCGGATGACGCGTACGACGTGCCCGCCTCGGAAATTTACGAGGCGCGGGGCGGCCTCAAGCTGCTCAATTCCGGTGGGTTGACCATCAAGAAGAATACTTTACTGAATCTGTGGGGCGCGCTCGGCGACGTGAACCTGATCCTGGGGAGGTACTCGCTGAGCGGCGGTAAAACCGCGGAGGCCGCGGAGCGGACCGCGTCGGAAGCGTCACCGGAATAAGAGTAGTACCAAATCCGGGAGGTTTAGGAAATGCTACCGGAATTGTGACACACTAGCATCCCGAACATCATCTCGCGGGCGCGCGCACTAGCTCAAACTGCTGCCCCCGGGCTGCAAAGATGGAGGCAGCAAAGGACGCTGCTTCCCGCCGACGAGTCGACCAGGCGGCGCGCTTTCCCGACGCAAATGACGTGCTCACAGCAATCATGGCGTTCCTCGATGTGCGCACCGTCGGCGGCGTCGCCGCACAAATGAGTCGGCGGTGGCGTCGGGCCGCGGTCACGCCCGCGCTCTGGCAAGGCTTCGTCCAGCGGCGCTGGCCCGACGTCTGGTCTGGACTCGCGGCGCGAAAGGCTCTCGACGCGCGCGCGCTGTACGCCCGGCTGGCCTGTCCCCAGCCGCGGAGGGAGACGACGCCCGAGGGAGTCTTGGTTCTCTTCGAGCTCAAAGTAGACGGGAAGACGTTGATTTCGGCGACGGCGCCGCTCGATGAAATGCAACGGCAAAGCGCGGCGGCTAGCTCTAGCTACTACGAAAACACACTTCGGCTGCGGCCGGCGCCGTCCGCGGCATACGATGTTCTGGTCGCCCAGGTCGCCGCGGAAGACCCGATTCGCAATCGCGCTCGTGAAATCAGCATGGGCAAACGAAACATTAGCTGGAAGGAGGCGCTAGAGCAAGCCGGCGGCGTGCCTTCGAGGATGACAGAAGGGACTGTGCGGGCGTCGTTATCTCTCATCCGGCGCGCAGACGGCGCCGTCGTACGCACGGAACTGGAGCTCATGGCCACATGCAATCAGGGCATCGAATTCAACGGCACTTTATACCCGATCCAGCCCGAACGCTCCTGGGTGCGGCGACGGGCGATGGCTCGCCAGGACAAGCACGAGGCGACTCTCCGCGCGGCAGGCGCCACGCCGGAAGAGGTGGAGAGGAAGCGCCGCGGGGGCGATGTGCGCGAGCTCGGCCTAGACCTCTATCTCACGTTCGACGGCCGACCGGCCGATTTTCCCATGGGTTTCAGCGAGATGATCGCCGAGGCTTGGCAGCCTGGCGACGTTGCGATGATATTCAGGGAAGACACATTCGACGGATTCTGCGAGCTCCCGGACGGTGACAAGGACCAAGGTTGCGTGGGAATATCGGCGGGCTACAGCAGTAGCATGAAGCTCGACACATGCGCCCTCGACGGCCTCGAGTGGACCGGCGTATAAGATACAATAGCATATTACACGCGCGCGTTCGCCGACACCGCCTCAAATTCCAGATACCCGGTAGGCACCAAACCCGAGGCGCCGTCGTCGAGGCGCTTCACCTCGGACCAGCCGTCCTCGAGCGTTTTGGTGACGGCGACGCGCGCGCCCGCGGCCAACGCCACCTGCCACGGCTCCGCGGCCTCCCAGGCGTGCGTCGCCACGGCCGTGCGCGTCGATGGCGCGGGCCCAACCAACCGATCATACAAAGCGGCGAGGTCCAAACCGGGGGCCGCCGCGGCGAGGCGTTGCCTAGCCTCTTCGGACCTCAACATCGGCGCGGCCCTATCAAGCATCCCGCGCGCCTCCGCTTTCAGAGAGGCGGCCTTTCCTGGATCAAAGACTGCGTCGGCCTCCTCGGCCTTGCGCGCCGCAGATAATGCGTCCGTGACGGCCGCGTCCACCGCATCATTACGAGAGACGCGCGCGGACCGCTGCGCCTCGTCCGCCAGAGAAGCCCGACGCGCCGCCTCCAACCTAGAAGCTTCCTCGGCCTGGCGTTGCGCTGCATCACTCCTAGCTTGCTGGTCCGCCCGTAAAGCCGCGCCGACCTCGAGCGACTGCTTGTGGAGCGCGTCTCGCGATTGGACGATCGACGCGACGGACCGCAGCGCGTTTCGCGCGAGGTCGCGCCGCGTCCGTTGGTTGATCTGCGACGTGCACCGTCTCAATCGCAAGTCGAGGGGCTTCGCCGACGCCTGTAAGATCTTATTCAAAGTAGGCGCGTCGGCCGGCGGCACGTTGACGCCGTTAATTTGCACGAGCTCGTCGCCCGCTCGCAGCCCGGCGGCGTGGGCCGCGCCGTTCTTTTCGATAGTTGCTATCAATGGACGATGGTCCGCTGAGACCGCCTCGAGGCCTAACGGCTCGGCCAGTATCGCCCTAAGATCTATGTGAGAAGCGTCCTCGCCTATCACGATCCCAACGCCCCTTCTGCCAGCCGCGGCCATCAGACTCAAAGTCCACTGGCGCGCTTCCAGATCAGAATCCGCCGCAACGAGCAAAATCTGGTCCCGCGCCGTCGCGTCTCTGTCTGATAGAGCCGCCGCACTTCTTCTTTTATCCGCACCGGATCGAGGCCCCGCGATGACGTCCTCGTCGCCGCGATACACCGCAATAGCGTGCTGCCGCCCGGCAGCTCGATCCGCCGCTTCCGGGACGACGTACGAGCCCCAGATGTTAAATTTTTTTTTCGCCTCCCAGAGCCCTTCGCCCGGCGTCTCGCCGTAGGCCAACGACCTATGACCTAACGAGAAGTGGCGGCCCTGCCAGCGGACGGCCTTCTTGCCGATGAGGCCGCCCGAGGACAACTTGGACAAGGCTCCGGCCTTCTGTACTAAGCCTGCGGCATTCCTTGCTTTCTGGGCTTCGAAGGCGCCATCCGCAACACCAGCCGCAGGCGTACTAATGATCTTGAGAGGCGCGTGGCCGTAGGGGTTCGTGCCGGCCACGATCGCGGGCGGCAGGTCGGACCAGGGCGCCTCCGGCTTCTTTGCGGGTGGCGGCGCCGTGGTTACGGGTGCGGGCCGCGGCGGTGGTCTTGGAGGTCGCGGCGGCGGCGCGGGCGCCGGCGCTTTCATGGAACCGAACAGCGCGAAGTCGGCGTCGGACGCTTGCGGTACAGGCGGTCGCTGGGCCAGGCACCAGGCCGCGCACTGTTCAATATTGTCTCCATGAATATCGAAGGCGCGCCCCGCTAAGTCCGTGGAGAAGCCCATGCCTACTAATTCGGCGATCACCGCGTCGCGCCGCGCCTTGCACCACGCGGCGCATCTCGGAACGTCGTCACCGCACGCGTCGAATGCGCGACCTGCCAAATCAGCGTCAAAACCCATCCCGACCAACTCGGCAATCACAGCATCTCTCCGGTCCTTCTTCATTTGATCTAAACTCTCGAGGTACTCGCGGATGGCCTGCCTTAATGACTTGCCTTGCGCGAAGGCGTCCTCGACGAGGCGTGCGGCCAAGGCGCGGTCGGTGACGCCCGTAAAGCTCATGAACTCGTCAACATCGTCGTCGCGCGTCCTTCTCGGTGGTGAGGGAGGCGGCGTCGGCGGGTCTTCTCTCGGGGGCGGCGGCTGCGGCTTGTTGAAATGCTGCGGCACCGCCTGTCTACTCTGATACATCGTGTGCCAGCCGGAGCGGTGGTGGTCGTGAAGGTCGCTTTCCTTCTTCTCCATTTTTTGCGCTTGCAAACTGCTGCGCAGCAGTCTCCTGGTGGGTGCTGTTTGTGAGCGGTGCCGGCGTTTGTGGTTCGGTTGCGGCTGCGGGATCACGTTCTGGGTATCGATGTGTGTTCCTCCACTGTGAGTAGCGCGTCGATCGCCGCGAAGGAACAATATTTTGCCGATTTTGCAGGAGTCCAAGTGTGTCTCTCGACGCTAGCTAATCCTGCTGCGTCGCGCGTCTGCTGGATATCACGCGAGCCGCGCGGCGACAGTGGTTGCTCTAAAAGCATCAACGACGCAGCGGCAACCATGGTCTTCCTCCTCTCCGCACTGGCGTCACTGCCCAAATGGCTCTACATGCTGCTCGCGGCGCCGACCTGCCTCTGGCTCGCCGCCTACGTCCTCCCCCTGTTATACATTCGGTTGCGAGGCACGCAGGACCTCAAGAAGAAGTATGGTGCGGAGTGGGCCCTCGTGACCGGCGGCTCGACGGGAATAGGGAGAGCCATCGCCGAGGCGCTGGCCCAGCAGGGTTTAAATGTGGTCGTCCAAGGTTTAGAACCTGAATTAACCCCGGCCATCAAGGAACTGCAGACGAGGTACGCCTCCCAACAGTTCGTGGGCGTCGCATGTAGCTTTGCCCCGGGCGGCGATTATCTGGACAAGATCAAGCAAGCGACCGCCGGAAAAGACATTCAACTGGTCTTCAACAACGCGGGATTTATTGTCACGGGTTTCTTCGACTCCCAGCCCCTCGGCAAGCATCTGGTGAACATGGAGTGCAACGCTACGGCAGCCGTAGCTATTACCCATCATTTCGCCTCGCTCATGGTCAAGAACAACAAAAAAGGATGCATTGTATTTACCTCGAGCGCCTCGGCCTACATCCCGAACCCCTTCGCTATTATATATGGTGCCACAAAAGCGTTCATGTCGCAGTTCGCCGCGTCGATCGCGGTGGAATTGCAGTGCAAGGGCATTGATGTTTGTGTGGTCCATCCTTCACCGGTCGCGTCGCACTTCTACAATAAAGTGGAGCACAAGATCGACTCGATGGAGTCCTTTAAAAAAGTGGCCGTGGCGCCGTCCGAACTGCCGGGAGATATTTTTGCTTCGGTCGGAAGATGTGTGCTGCGGGATGTTGGTGGGACGGCGATTGGGATGCGCCTGGGCGTGTCGTTGTTGCCCTACAACGCTCTCGCGCATTTGATTGCTGTGGTCGCGCCGTTCCTGCCCGACTACAAGCAGAACGACAAGGGGCGCGGGATGGCGTCGAGCTGAGGGCTCGCGGCGACGGCGTGTTTATCGGGTAAATTTCCCATTTACTAGGTTATATACTTACTCGAATGGCTAGGCACAGGCCGTGAAGAGGTGGATGCAGGAATTCGAGGTCCACACGGTTCCATTGACACCAGCGACAAGAGACGGGACCCACCGTACGGACCCACCATTACCCCCCATGCACCACAAGCGGTCGCCGCTCAAGCACAGGCCGGCGAGCTCCAGCCCGTTGGGCGACGGAATAATCTGCAAACACTCCACCGCCCCGTGGATACCGTTGGCAAACCGCAGGATTTGAATCCGCTGGCCGTCCCATTCGCTGACATAAAGACGTCCGTCGCGAAAGGCGACGCCGGCGGGCTCATCGAATTCGCAGGGCAGATCGCTGGCGGCAGCGCTACCGATTGTCCTCACGAGCACCCGTTGGCGAAAATTGAAAATCTTGATCACGTGGTTGTAGGTATCTGCAACGAAGCACAGGTCTTGATGCGCCGTAAGGGCCTTTGGGTTGCTTAGCGCATCAGCCTCTCCGGCGCTTCTCCCCCGACCGATGTGATAGAGAAACGCGCCGGTCTGACTGTCGAACACGCAGATTCGCGCACACGTGAACCCACTACACAGCACAAGCAGCCTATCACCAGAAACCGCAAGATCATAAGGATGCAAGTAGCCGCTCAGTTCTTCCGACGCGAACAACGCACCAAAGTCGACGTGCTGCAAGGTTCTTCTGTATGGGTCCCCAAAATCTCCTCCCTGGTTGAGATGCGGCCACCTAAATTGAGCCGGTTCGGCTCCTATTTCGTCCTGCCACCGTACGCGACAGACACGGGCTCTGTCCCTCGCCAACATCCACGCCGTACCGTCTCCGAGAAGCGCTATCGCCCCCGGCGTTTCAAAATTCTCGCAGTAGATGCCTTGCGAGTCACCATCTGGCGAATATGCTTCGAGTCGAAAATGACCGTAATCCGGGACGATAGCGCCGCCGCCAGGTAGCGCCGAAACCTGCTTCGCGTACTGAAATTCACCGATGCCCGCGCGCAGCAGTCGGCACCGGCCCGAGCACCTTCGCCGCCACGCGTTGCGCCACGCCTTGTTGACTGACGCCACGCTGCGTATGCATCCTTCACGCACATCGAGCTGTGAGACCACACACAGCAGCACGTCGTCCGACTGGATTGCGCGCCGCACGGATGCTGGCGGCACTGGCGCGGCCGCTCCCCAGGGTCGTGTGCGCGTGGCAACCATGCGTAACAGTCACAAAATGGGCCCGTCTCGTTTGGACCTGGCTTGCTATTGTATTGCTAGTGTCTTACTGGCCGCTAGCTCGAAGGGACGCGTCGCACACCGCAACACACGGTTTCGACGACTAATAGACGTCTCCGCGAAGAACAACGGGCACCAGGCTAGTGCGATTTGCAAAACAAAGCCTTGGCAGCCGCTCGGCGCTGCACAAAAAGCGCCTGGTAGGCAGCCGCGCGGGCGCCGCTGGCTGCGCAGAAATCGAAAACGCATAGGACCCGGCCCGCCGCGCGCCGCCGGGCAGCCATTTGGACGCGCCTGACAGACACAAGAGCACCACTGGTCTGGGCCACCGGTAGCCATGTTCAGCGCCGCGGAGCTCAAAGCGGCCAAGGACAAAGCGAGGGAGGAGGCCCGCCTCAACAAGGCCCGCGGCCAGCAGCAGGAGAAGCACTGGTCCTGGCTGTTTTCCACGTTGTGGACGGGACTCCGGCGGAGCCCGCGACTCCACTTGAGTGTGCCAGAAACGGTGCTCTTCGAGGACGGCACGCCCACGAAATGGTTAGGAACAGATGACGACGGCTATCTGATAAGGAGGGACTTAGAACCCCCGGCCCTGAAGGCCGTGCGCGGGTCCATGAGCGTCCCGAACGACGTGAGAGACGAGTTCTTCGCGTCGGAGCGCATCAAGATGTTCGCTCAGAAATTTACCGAGGCCTGGAGGAGGGGAGGGGGCACCACGGAGCTGCATATGGAGGACGAAAGCGCCCCGGCCGTGTGCGTCGCCGAGTACTACGATGGTGTTAGGGAAGATTTAAATGTGAAGCAGCTCTTGTACCTCGGTTCGCACGCGCGCTGGCGCATCCAAGTCGCCTCCTTGCAGTCGAAGGTCACGGCGCGACGGACCGCCTCCGGATCATTCAGGAGGAATGCGAAACAATCGCTCGCCCCGAGAGCCGAAGCCGCGGCACGAGCGGCGGCAGCCTTGGCCGCGGGCCAGCCCGAGCACGCGTCGCGGGACGACCTCGCCCACCTCGCACGAGCGCTCGCAAAATTCGCCGAGTCGACTTATGCTCCGGCCAAGTCCCGACTGACGGAGCTCGACGACGAGGACATCGGTCAAGCGACGGTCGAAGATTTGGGGTTGGAGGTCGACGCGCTGGACGTCGAAGCCTCCGTTGATGGACGAGGCACGTTGTGGTTGGTGCGGTGCCCCGTCTGCCACATCCGCTTCGTGAACCGAGCGCCCGCGCGCGTCGACGCCGAAGCGTTCGAGGCGCACGAGGCGACGAGGGAAGAAGCTAAAAATGCAGGAAAGGAATTGATGAGATTGCTCGCACTGGCAGCTAAAAGAGGCGTCGACAGTCGGGCCTCGTTCAAGCACTTCGATCCCCAAGGGTTAGGAAGAGTCGACGTGGCTGGATTGATCACTGGATTAGACTTACTAGGAACGAAGATCTCGGACGACGCGGCAGCCTTACTCCAGGAGGACCTATCTGGTTCTTCGATACGAGGCTTCTCCGTGCAAGATTTACATAGATTCAGTACGGACGGCCCGCGGCCGCGCAAGGAACCGAGTCGCGCGGAGCGGGAAGATCTGCGGGCGACGCATCAGCAAGAGGTTTCAGAAGGTTTGCGATCTGTCCAAACTGCCGAGGACGTCGCTCTCCAGCGGGAGCGGACCAAAAGGTTACTAAACCCTCCAGTACAAGCGCCGATGACTACTGGTTATATGGCCCGTTCTCAGGCGAAACAAGAGCTGTCGGATAGTGAGTCGGAACTGAAGACAAGGAAGCGAGCACCACTAGCCCTCTCGAAGAAGGAGATAAGGGAGCGCTGGGGCGGCGACTTCCTCTCTCTCCCGGATACGAGGAACCAGTCGCGGAAAGCTCTGGCGGAATTGCGGAACGCGGCGAAACGACGACGGAAACGATTAGCGGAAGAGCGCGAGGAGGAGGAGGTGCGGCTGGCCGAGGAGCAACGACGCCTCGAGAAGCGCGGTCCCCAGGTCGAGGGCCCGGCCCCCGCGCCCGACGACGAGAGTGTGGATGAGTCCGAAGAAGACGAAGATTCCTCCGAGGACGAGCAGACGAAGAAGTCGGCGTTAGCTGAATCAGTATTCCCTTTACCAGACATGTTAAGTAACGAGGACGAGTTCTACCACGTGCAACAGGGCGTCGTGTGTACCTACAGGTACTTGGTGGGAGCGAAGCACCCAGCTCCCTCAAATCTGGGCACGGCTACGTATCTAGAGCAGGCGAAAGCATTAATTGACTCCGAAGCGATCATGGATCGAAATAATAGGCCCAAAAATCTTCCCAGCGTGACGAATAAACCGATGCGCTTTTTACTGGTCGTAGCTCCGGACATCTTCATGACGCTCGACGCGTTGCAGCGAGATTTACGACCGTTGCTGTCAAGACCCGACGCGGTCGGCGACGCTCTGTTAGTGGGTACGCCCGGCTTGCCGCATACGGTCTGGCCCGCTGGGAGATTCGGTGCTAGAAAGTTGGGGAATGTGAACAATTCGTTACAAGCGACTTGTGTGGAACAGTTGCTCGTGCATCTGAAGAACCGCGACCGCCTCCCGCGAGACAAGGACCTGCGAATTATTTTCCTGGGCTTTGGGAACGGCGCGTGTTGCTTGGCGAAGTTCGCTTCTCGTCATTTGACGGAACGGGCCCAAGCCCTGGCAGATGTGAAGTCAAGTACTGTAGCGATGATTCTGGTCAATGCTTATTTCAGCGCGAACGGCCTCAAGAAGAAGGCCAAGACCCTCCATCGCGTGCTCGCGTCGGCCGTGAAGGCGGAACGCGTCATGGCTATCGAGTCTATGCACCTCTCCCCAGAGTTTATAAATGAGCACGGTCGCGAGAAGGTCTGCAAAGAGTTCTGGCAGGCGCGCAAATTCGTCATCGTCGGCGAGGCTCCTGAGGAACTCATAAAATCAGCAAGAAGACCGGCCAAGGAGACGGGCCCCCAGGGCGCCATGGCGCAGCTGCGAGGCATCCTAGATCACGACGATGTGCGACCTGTGTTAAACCGTATTGTCGTGCCTCTCGTGCTGTTACAGTCGTCTCACTCAACCTTTGTCGATAGTGATCTAGCGGTCAATGCCTTAGAGAAGGCGCGCGTCGACCGGGCTCCGTCGGCGGCGTCTGCCGTCAGGACGGGAGGCACCATCTACTCTTACGAGGAAGTGGACTGCGGCCACGAGATGAACCAGGAGAACCGGAAAATCATCGCGACGACGGTCTTTGACGTCCTCAGGGCGTCCGTCGACGAAGAAGAGGAGACTACCGTAGTCTCCCTTGACGACCCGCCAAAGTCCTTCCTGAGCTACGCGTCGGCGCCGGCGCCCGCCGCGCAGGACCAGGAGGTCGTGGCCGCCTTACGGCGAGCTCGAGAGCGCGAAGAATTGGAGAAGTCCATGGCCGCGGCTTTGGATGCCGAGGATTCGCGCGTCTCGACGGCCCAACCTGTTGAGTCGTCGTCCAGTAGTTCGGACGAGGAGTACGTCGATTCCGACGCACTAAGTGAAGATGAAATGACCGTCGACTCGCAGGGCGTCGAGAAGAAAAAACGGCGGAGACGAGCCAACAAAGGTTCGAGCGAGAAGCGTCGGAAGCGCGCCGAGAAGCGGCGACTGGCGGCCTTACGGAAAGCCGAAGCGGCCGAGAACATCAAGACCGCGGAACGGGAAGAACGTTTTTCGATGCGGTACGAGGACTTTCGGAGCCGCGAGGTGCGGAAGGACGAGCATCGCTTAGCTGTATACTTGGAGGGCGCCGATCGCGCGTTAGACAAGGCGGACTACATCCTGGAGCAGCGCGACGAGGAGGAAGCCGTGAAGCTGAGACACGAGCAGGGCGTGGTTCGCACTTCACTCAAAATGGAACGGCGGGAACGGGAGCGGCAGGAGGAGGAACAAATGCTCGTCGAATGTGTGAAACTCGATGGGGAGGCTTCTGGCGGGTATTTGAGCGGTGGTCTGGATCGGTTTGTAAGAGGTTCGACCGCGAAAAAGGACTCGCGGTGCCCGCCGATGCGGGAGATCCGCGAAAGCGCCATGCGCATGACGCAAGATTTGTTTGAGGCTCGTTCTCGGTTAGTGTTGGCCTTGCAACAGTGTCTACAGCTCGAAGACGTGGTCAAACAATTTAGTAAGTCCGCGGAGCGGGCGGACCACGAGGCGCGAAAACTGCAGAGAACGCTGCGATTGCTAGAGTCGAATCGGGGCCTGAAAGGCGCACTGGCGCCGAAACAGACCGAAATAGACGAGATGCGCCGCGCCCACGAGCTCAAGGTAGCTGAGTATCAGTCTACAAGTGATGTGCTCGCCAGTCGCGAGAGGAAGTTGCGACTGGCGAATCGCATCGCCCAAGCCTTGAAGGTAGTGGTAGAGAAGAAGGAGCAGGCCGCGCAAATCTTAGTGGCGGCTTTGGATCGACTGGGCCGGATGTTACGAACAAGAAGGGGCCAGAAGCGCCTGGAGAAAACGGAAAAGGAGAGAAACGCCGTGGAGCAGCGCAAGACCATCAAGCAAGCGAAGGATCGCTTGGCCAAAGTCGACATCGAAATTGGAAGGGTCAAGGGTCACACGGCCGAGTTCGTGAATTCGGATCTGTGGAACCCCGGCGTCCTGCAGCGCATGGCCACGAAAGATCTGAAGCATTCGCTCAATAAGGAACAGTTGGCGTTGGAGCGACGTGTCAGGGATCTCGATCGCACGTTAAAACAGTCGGAGCGAGATCTGCGAGCTTCCAATAGAGATCTGAGGGCCTTGGACGGCGAGGCCGCGACCGTCGAGGACGTCATGAATGCGGTGGTGGACGCCCACAAGGAAGCGACCGGAAGATCCGTCATGCAGGAATTAAAAGATATGATCCAGGAGCAGGAACGCGCCGCAAAGCTCGACGAAGAAAGGGCAGCAGAGGAGAATTTGCAGAACAAGGCCAACAAAACAGGGCAAGGTGATTGTGTGGCGATGCGTGTGAGGCATATGAAACCAGCAGAACGTTCGAAAGATGAAAAAAAATGGGTTGCTTTAGATGTGCTGATTAATCCGATCGCGTACGGCCACGTGTCCGAGCAGGAGGCCGAGGAGATGAAGTACGATGCGGACTACGCGCCGACGCTGCCGCCCGAGGACATCGAGCGGATCCTGGCGCTACCGAGGGTGTTGCAGTTAGCCTTACCGTTTCTTTTTTCTGACCAGGAGATCGAAGCTCACCGACTGCTGTGCATGTATACCCACGAAGAGGGGGAGGCGCACTTTAGAAGCTTAGATAAGACGGGGCGCGTGTTGGAGGGCGGTTTGCATCAACGTAGAGTTACGTCTGTGGACCACGAGGACCCGCTGCGACGCGAGTCGACGCAAACACCATCGAACAGATCCTTTGGGGCACAACAAAAAACTGCGGCATTGCTCGACATTGTACTAAGGGAGAGGCGTCTGGCACGGCTACGGTCGATGCAGGCGATCGAGCTGAGTGAGGACGAGGCCCGCTACTTAGTACTTGACAGATTGTTACATCCTGAGTTGAATTTCGCGCCCCAAGCCAGTGATAAGGATGCGGACGACGACGCGCGGGCCTTGGAGCTGCTCGAAGAGGCCCATTCTTCAGCTGGAATGGACGCTACCGTAGGCCTGAACCAGGGAGATGAATATGTCGCACAGCGTAAAATGTACGAGCAGGGCGCCACGGACGTCGAGTTACATTTCGCGACGAAGTGGTTCCCCTACCGCATCAACGGCGAAGCACACACTAGAGAAACGTTACTAGAGTTGGTCGACGCCGTGCCACCGCTGGCGTTCGAGCCGGACGAAGAAGTTAGATTGCTACTCGAGGAGTTTTACGTCGACGGTCGGGTCGACACGCACGGGCGGCGCAGGAAAGGCGCGCAGAAACAGCTCGACAAGCAGTTCAATAGGATCGCCCAAGATAGATATGATAGGAAACAGCGCGATTTAACGGACTTTCCCGAGGAAAGTTCGCTGGAATCGCGACGGTCTCGAGGTAGTTTTGATGATGACGGGACGCTCGAAGATGGTCTTGTTGGTGGTGATCCGCTACAGAATGTAGCTATAGCTCGAGCGGAGCGCTTTGGCTCTGACGACGATGAGTCGACGGTGACCATTGCCAAACCACCAGTGACTGTTGTAGAGAGTGTAGAAAAGTTGAACGAACTAAGACCGAAGCCGAAAGACCCCCAAGCTGTCTTATTTGAATACGAGGGCAAACGCGCGTCGTTGTTAGATGAAAATGAAAGTCTCGAAACGCGAGAATCGCGGACGCATCGGTTCGTCGTACCCGAGGAAACGGATAGGAAGTTCCTATCACTTACCATAACTGTTGTTTACAGGGGAGTTTTTACAGCAAGAGGCTATCGACTCGGAAGGATTGCCGCTACGTTGTTTCGCCTACCTACGAAGGGCCAATTATCGCCACCGATACCTATCGGGTATGCGCCCTACTCCTCGCAACAGTTGAACACGGGCACGACCTTCGGCAAGACCGTGCTCGTGCATGATCCGAGTGAAAAGCCTCTGAAAAGTGGAGTCTACAACGTCGTGTTAGGTGCAGCTTCAGCAACTAAATACAGTATTACCGTCGAAGCCCACGCCGTGCGGACGGCGAATGCGGAATTAGATGCACAACACAAGCGCGGTGTGGAGATCCAAGAGAGGTTGAAAGTTTGTAGGGTCGCGACCGACGATCTCTGGACGTCGATGCGCCTCGGCGAGCGGAAAGTGCTCGTAGTGCAAGGCTTGATGGACGAGGCCGAGGTCGAGTCCAGTCGTTGTGAAGGCGAGACGGAGCGGTGCAACCAGGAGCTGCAGATCGACGACGAGCGCATGGAGATGACGGACGAGCAGTCGCGGGCCGTGTCTTCAAGTTGTACTTCAATTTGCGGTGTGTCGGGGTTTGGGGGAGGTGTTACGCTCTCAATACGGTCGCGTGGGGCGCTCGGCGGTCGTGTCCGAGTTTGAGCTGAAGACATCGGTGCCGAGACAGCGAGGAACGCGTCGCGTCGATGGCGTGGGACGACGCGCTCCGACGCCGTCGACGTCCACACAGGCGCAAGGCCCTCTACACGCAAGTAAGAACTCTAGAAGTGGAGTTCGCGCACTGGTGCCGCCTCTTCGCGTCTCGTTCTCAAGAACGCGTCGACCTGCTGAAGGGTTTAAGGGTATTGAGAGAGGAACGCCGGAAACGCTTGGAAGAAATCGAAACGCTGAGCAAAGAGCTGACCTGGCTCCAGAAGCACGCGCCGAGCGCGGCGGGCCTCGTGCAGGGCATCGACGCGGCGACCAAATCAGCGCTGTTATTGAATACGACGTTCGAGAACATCAAGTCCGACGCCGCGACGAAGGCGAAGTGGAAGAAACTGGCCTCCGTCAAGGGCCTCGTGACGTCGATGATGACGCCCGCCGAGGAAGTCCGTAGAAGGCACCGCCAGGAGGGCTGGAACGCCCTCACTTTACCGGAGCAGCAGTGGGCCGTCTTGGACCGCATCCGCGAGCCGCTGAAGTACGGCTGGTTAGCTGATCAAGAAGCAGCTGAGGACTTAGATCGAGAGCGGAAGAACCTGAAGCCGCTGAAGCGGAAGCTGCCCCGCGCGTGTCGCGGCATGGCGGGCTACGCTAAAGGAGAATTAGATAGGGTGGCAGCATGCACCTTTGACAAGCTCACAAGACAAGAGAGAGGTGTCTGGAAGCTCATGAAGCGGTTCCACAACGACCCCCAACTACTGGTGGATCGGAGGAAGGTCGGCCCCGAGGGCTTTGACCCCGAACTGGCCGGTAACTGTAGGTTCAAGCACCCGCGGTCCTGGACGAAAGAAGAAAGGGAGTGGGCGTCGCTGGACAAGATCCTGAACCCGGAGCTCTGGCACGGCCTCAAACTAAGATCTATGAAGGACCAGTCGCAGGAGACCGCGGACCAGCTGCAGTCGTATCTGAAGCCCGCCGACTGCATCAAGGAGACCATTGACCCGGAGGACGTGCCCCCGCCCTCCGTCGCGAAGAAGAAGTCCATGTTCGGGCGCATGGGCAACTTGTTCGGGCAGGTCGTTTCCTCTGCGTTAACTACTACTGTTGACGATGCTGCCAGACTAGCGACGGAGGAGGGTCGCGATTGGAATTGTCCCCTCTCGAGACCGCAGATCATGGAGGTCTGGGCGGCCGCTCGGCCGCAGGCCGCCTGGGACGCGGACCGCTGCAAGGCCCACGTGTTGCTGAAGAAGTATAATGGGGATTTTGCGGAGTTTTTTGCTATTCAAAAACAGCAGCTCCAACAGCGGTCTCGCGAGGCCGCCGTCGGCCAGCAGAACCGCCTCGCGCGGGACTTTGAAAAAGTAAGTGTCGAAACGGACCTTGATGCTCGCTGTCGCCAGCTCCAGTCGGAGATGGACAAAGCTGTGCACAATTCGAACCCGGAGATGAACTCGTCGGTCTTGCACGGCGGCGTGCCGCAGCGCTATCCTACGACGGTGCTGCGGTTGGAGCTCGAGAGAGAACTGGATAGTCTACTGAGAGAGCAGGTCTACGAGCGAGAGAGAGCTACTCGCTTCTTACTGGAGCAGGAGGACCCCGACGCGGCCTTCGAGACCGATAGCAGCGACGAGGAAGAGAAGGAGAAGAGGACTGGAATTAGAAAACCTGATCATGTGAGCAAGAACGTCTTCCAGCAGCGCAAGGCGGCTCTCGCCGAGGCCGGCAAGGACGAAGCGACCAAAATGCTCGAAGCCGAGCTACAAGCTCTAGGACCCAAGGCTTGTTTAGGCTGTCGCAAGCCCGTGTGCGAGTGGACCTCGTCCGTCGACTGGGACCATGTGAAGCAGCGACGACAACAAATTAGTGATGAGCTGGTTTACGTGAGGATGCACCCCGACGTGAAGGTGCTCGAGAGTTACGTGCCTCTGTCGGCGGCTCGCGGGGGTAATCCGAACTTTCGGCGGGACGATTTGCTGTATGAGTTGACCTGGGAGGACAAGCAGCTGGCCATGCGGTCTCGCTTGGATGCTCTCGACAGGGAGTTACATGACGCCCACGCGACGAACAAGGAGTACATGGAGGTCAAGGCCTTACATGGCTACGCGACGATGATGTGGACGAACAACGTGAGTGCCGCCGTCCGGACATGGCCCTTCAACTTGTCTCGCGGCGATGGCGTCTTGGTGAGGCCGCGTCGCCGCGAAGCCGTCGCCGCGACGCCGTCGACGCGGCCGCATGAGAGTGCGGCAGTTTCGCGACGGTATCGTTCACACGCAGGCGCGCCGCGCGCTAGAAAGGGAACGTAATCGCTACGTGGCCATGGTCGTGGCCTCCGATATAGTAGATGATGCTTTAGAATGGATGTTGGAGGGCTGGCACTTTGGGGAGCGGGAGTCGCGGTATTCCGTGGCGGGCTACGTGCCATCGCTCAAGTCCGACGGGTTCGTGCGGGCCGGGAGTGACCAGGTCCTAGCCCAGGCCGACGCCGAAGATCGAGCCGCCAAACGATCAAATGAACAGCGAGACGAAGCGGTCACAGGTTCGCCGCGAACGAAGGCCGAGAAGATCGAGCGGAACGCGCAATTCAGACTAGGCACGGAGAAAGTGGCGAAAGATGGGAACGACCACGAGAAGCACCTGGATTTTACGGAGACGACGCTCAAATTCGGGCTGTTCTGTATTACTCTGATGTTCTTTAGAGCGATGTCTCTGGTCAGACGAGAACGCGACACCTTCAGTGGCACGCACGACGCGATTACGTCGGAAGGCAACCCCCAGAAACCGACCGAAGAACGACGCAAGATGCGCCGCGAAAAGGCCCTGCTCGAAGAACGGCAAAAGAAGATGCAGCACGTGCTGAATCGGGCCAAAGTCGGCGAGGAGCGCACTAGAAAACGCTTGGCCAAGGAGCGGGCGGAAGCAGCCTCGAAACTCCATGAGAAGGTCCGGCGCGAGAAGCGCGAGCTCCAAGCCTGTGCCAAGCTCCAGGCCTTCTACCGCGGCCATCTCGGCCGGAAGGCGGCGCGGCGATGGGCCGTGAAGCGCGCGGAATTGGAGGCGATGAACGCCTTGATGACGGCGTCCGCGATTACGATCGAACGTGTTTTCAGAGGCTACATGGGCCGCATCGCGGCTTCTGTTGCGCGCATGGAGATGGCCGAGTTCATCAGTATGATCCGGCTGGAGGAGGCCCAGGCCGACGAGGACGAGTACTGGCGGACGCACGGCTGGGCGCGCTTGAAGCGGAACGTCATGATGTTCGTGCGCGCGACGTTCGAGCGCAAGGCGGACGTGGCCGAGGAGGACATGAAGATGATCCAGTCGCTTACCGCCGCCATGGACGAGGACTAGTTGTTCTCTGCCGCAGACTCACTTGCTGCCTCGCCGGCGTCGTCGTCGCCGCGATGATGCTTCGTCGACGTCTCGCGGGGGCTGGGATTAACCGCACTGTTTGTTTACTTTCCCCGGGTTGCTCGGCGACGTCGTGTTCATTCAGTTTTCTTAGTAGTCCTACTAGTCGGTCTTGTTCGTCGCCGTCGCTCGCGTCGCGCCCAGTTCGAGGAGCTTGGCCTCGATGTCGCTCGATCGGAACCCCGTGCACGTCCAGGCGCATTTCCCACCCTTGTAGATCTTGAATGTGGGCATGGCCGAGACGCCCTCGCGCTGCGCGACCTCTCGACACTCGTCGACGTCGCATTTCACAAATTCCGCGCCGGCCAATTTCATGCTCATCGCGCCGAACGCTGGTGTACAGGCGCGGCAAGGAGGACACCACGTCGCGTAGAAGTCGACGAGCGTCAGGCCGTCCTTCACGAGGCCGTCGAACTCGGCCGTCGAGTGGGCGCCCTTCGTGCGGCCGCCGGCTTCGGGGAACGGTTGTCGGCTCTGGATCATACTTCTGATGAACATGAATATAAGTAAGCACAGGACCGGTCTCGCCACGAGCCAATTGATTGCATCCATGACAAACATTTTTGGCGGTGATTTATTCGCTGCGACGTATGCGCTGTTTTTGCTGCAATGGAGTAGAGCTCCTTGTGATGCTGCTACGGGCTGTGTTGGACGGACAGCGAGGGAGCTGTCGTGTATGCTTCTTAAGGTCACTGATGAGTATTTTGCGGGCCACAAGACGACGCCTAACGGGCCGACCCGTGCGGTCAGTCCTTTTTTTGTCTTTGCTTGCTAAGGGATGCCTAGTGTCTTACAGGCCGCTAGCTGCAGGACAACTTGGGCTTACGAGGAGCGTCGCGCTACCGTAAGCTCGCATTTAGAGGACGCGTTATATGCTTGAGAGCATTTGTGACTAATTCTTTCTTCGTCGGCTGGGAGTCTAAGTCTCGCGACGTTTTTGACTCCAGACTGACTGACCCAACTCTTATGGACGGCGACAGTGCGGACGCGTCGGACGCCGGTGATCCGCGTCTGATCCTAGGCTCGCACCGGGCCCTTGACGCCATCGGCGGCTTCGTGCCCCCGACCGACCTGCAGGCGCTGCGTGTCGTGAGCAAAACGGCGAGCGACTCGCGAGTGCTTATTGCTACGAAACGGGTTGTGTTTCGCGGTTATTTTTACACTGGTGGCCTCCATCGGGTGCACTTCAAGCTCGAGCGGGGCGGCGACGACTCCGTGAAGCTGGCCTTCGCGAACCCGCTCGAGCGGTCCGTGCTGCTGCGGCGTTATGAGAGCCGCGGGTTGTGTGGAGACCAAAAGCTCGAGTTTGTGGAAATTCCTCCGCAATCGGTGCGGCATTTCGCGACTAAGTTCGTCGTCGACGGCCGCCGGCGCGTTGCGCATCCTCAAGTCCTGCTCGAAGTCGTTGGTCATGGACCTCGCCTTCGTCCTCGAGGGTCAATCCGAAGAAGCGCTGCCCGAGAAGATCCTGGGCACGGTGGAATGGAACCACTTCGACCTCGACCCCGACAACTCGCCGGTCATCAAGGTCTGTGGCGAGGACAACTAGGCCGCGCCGGCGGGTCGCGCGAAGAAATCCCCCCTTCCATCCCCTCCCCCTTAAATCTTGAATCATCCTCCTGTTATACTCGTTAGCGTCGCGTCGACCAGCGTGATGGTCTCTAGTGTTTGCCTCCAGCACTCATGCTCGCACTGCGTCGCTTGGTGATAGCCTTTGCAAGCGTGCGCCGTCATTTCGTAGTCTCTCTGGCACCACAACGCGCTTCGCTAACGCTGTGGCTGCTGCGTGACGCTGAAGGCAAGCTCTCTGCACTGCCTCACACACTGCACTGCTTCAACACACCTAGCGCTGCGAGATCGCATAGATAACAAGTACAATGCCGCATCGATGCATCGCAGTCGCGCTGCACGCCGTCGCCGCGTCGGCATTGGTCGCGCGGCCGAAGCTCATCGTCTTCGACCTCGACGCGACGCTCTGGACGCCTGAGTTGTATAAATTAAGACGGCTGCCCAACTATGCATCGGCCGGTCCGCCCGGGCCCATGGCTGATCAAGACGTGAAGCTGTACGCCGGGGCGCGCGCCGCGCTCGAGGAGCTGGCCACGGACGAGGCGTGGAAAGACACGGCGCTTGCCTGCGCCTCGCGGACCAATAAAGGACCGTGGGCGCGCCAGCTGCTCCGGGACTTCACCGTGGCTGGCCGATCGTTAGATGACTTGCTAGAGTACAAGGAGATCTTCACGGGCGACAAAATTGCACATTTCAACAACCTCGAGCAGAAGTCGGAGATTGATTTTGGCGACATGCTCTTCTTTGATGATGCGCGCGATGGGAAGTACGGGAATTGTGCAAAAGTGGCCCAGATGGGCGTGTGCAGCGCCCACTGCCCGGATGGCATTACGACCGAGGTGTGGACGAACGCCCTCGCCGAGTTCTCGCGGCTGAAGGAGGCCGGGGAGGGCATGGGAACCGTAGTGGACGCCCCGGGACGCGTGCCGGAGGCACTGCCCGAGGGACTTGTTGCGGCGTCGATCAAGATGTTCAGGGACGAGAAGAACTTTGGCTTCGTGCGCGTCGATGGCGTGAAGGGCGACGTGTTCTTCCACGGCTCTAGTGTAGCATCGAACGTGGCATTGGCGCCGGGAATGAAGGTAAAAGTCAGGATCGGCGTGGACAGCCGTGGGCGCCGCCAGTGCGACGCCGTCGAAGCCGTCGACGGGGCCGGCGACACGCTCGACGAGGTCGAAAGGCCTATCTTCTCGATGAATATGCCCTTCGCTGGACTCGTGGCCCATGGCGTGAAAACTCTCGAGACGCGGAACCATACTATGTTTGTTCCTTATGAGGGTCAAGAGGTGTTGTTACACGTCGGGCGACGAACGTATCCAGACGGAGGCGTGCATCGAGAGATCCTCGGACGTAGCCTTGATGAGGCGGAAATTGACCGCGTGACGTCATTACCCTCAGGATTCTCGCGCGGCCAGGCTGTAGCCGTCGTCCGCGTCGGGAAGACGGAATTGATTGCGGACGAGAGCGATCGCTGCGCGCCCGAGGTCGAAGCCGGGGCGTGCGCGACGGGACAGGCGATGGGCCGATACGTCACGACGATCACCGACGCGCGATGGCTGGGCCGGGGCGTGCCAATGCGTGGGCAGCCCGGGGTGTTCGCGGCGCGGGTGCCGAGGAGTGTTCTGTGAGACTAAACAGTAAGTTATTTAAAAAAGAAATCCTGCGCTCGCTCGAATTGCCCGAAGTACGTCAGGCTATCCTGAATCCACTTCGTCGTAGGATATTTGGCGCCTAGAACGCGACGCGATATCTTTAAGACGGCCTCTAGCATCGAAATTGCCTCGCGGAGGGCGTTCGGATCACACAAAGAGCACTCACCGATCGCACACGCGTATTTCCAGCGGAGGGTCAACGTGACTTCGTGCTCGGGTCCATGTTTCGCAACGCGTCCTCGGAGAGTCTCATCGCCTCACGATCTTGATCAAGTTCAATTACGCCTTCGCGCTCTATATGGACACTACCCTGACGCTCGATGATCTCCGCGAGGCCGTGACGCTGCTCGAGGAGTTGGCACCGAATGCACGACGCGTGCTCGGAAGTACACACCCACTCGCCTCGTCGATCGAGAAATCCCTCGAAGTGGCACGAATGCGATTGAGGAGTCCCTCGGAGACCGGAGAATTCGTGAGATTAGTTAAGAAGAACACATAATCATTAACCAACCACCATCCGAACTAAATACGCCTCCGCCCGCGCCCGGCAAACTACTCCCGCCGCAAATACCGATACAAGTGCCCCACGAGGTCGTCCACGTCACCCCGCCGCAGCGGCAGCGAGATGTCCCGCACGTCGTAGGCGCGCGCCTCGAGGAACGCGAGGACCTCGGCGCGATCCGTCGGTGGTCCCCCCTGCCATTTGCTCTCGAGCTCCGCGAGCTCCGTCCACGCCGCGTCGCGGATCGACGCGGCCTTTTTCGACGCCGCGCGGTCGGAGACCACGTCGGCGAGCGCACTCCTCACGTCGCTCGCCGTCACCACAGCATCGGCTCCGGCACTCGCTCGTTCGAGTGCGTAGGACGCCAAAGCGCGCACCAAACCCTCGATCTCGGCGCCCGAGAAGCCGTCGGTCGCACCATCGTCCGCGAAGAACGAGGGATCATCAACAAACCGCTGCGCACCATCGTCAAGCGCGCCAGCCGCCACAAGGCGCGACGCGTGCACGTCCCAGACCGCGCGCCGACCCGAGGCGTCCGGAGGCGGGACGAAGATCTGGATCTCCAATCGCCCTGGTCTCAGCAGCGCACGATCCAGCAACTCCGGCCGATTCGTCGTGGCCACGACCACAACATTGCCCGCGTCCTCGACGCCGTCCAAGCAAGCCAGCAACTGCGCCGTCACGCCGTCGCGCACGCCGGTCGTATCCCCGGTAAGTGTCCCGCGCTCGCGACAGACCGCGTCGATCTCATCGAAGATGACCACGTTCAGCGGCGGCGGCGGCGTTAAAGTTGAGTCGACTTGGCGCGTATCCCGCGAAAAGGCGCCTCCATCCAATTTCAGGCGGTAGCGTGCCCACTCCTGCTGCGACCGCTCGAAGAGGCCCCGCACTCGAGCTTCGGCCACGCCGACAAATTTGTCGAGCAGCTCCGGGCCGTTCACTATTGTTATACGGTCGTCCTCGACGCCCAGGGCGCGGCCCAATTCCCGTGCGAGGAGCGTCTTGCCGCAGCCCGGAGGACCGTGTAGCAACGCGCCGCGCGCGTGTTTGACGCCCAAGCGCCGGCCCGCCTCGCCCGCTAATCGCGAAGCTAACAATCGACGCGACAGCTCCGCGACGACGGCGTCGAGCCCGCCGACGCGATCGGCGACGGACCGCGCCAGAGGCGACGGCGGCGGCGCGTCGTCGTCGTCGTCGTCATCCGTCGCGACGACAAACGCAGCAGCGTCGTCGTCCGCTAGAACGCCTCGTCGCGCCGCGTCGTCGCCGCCGTCCAATGCGATACTCTGCTCGACTGGCGGCTTCAGGGCCACAGATAGCACAAGAGCGGGCCGCGCCCCGGAGCACGACACCTCGCGCGGCGGCCCACCTAAACTCGTCCAGCACCCGTCGTTCCGGCGCCGCGTGCGCGCCGAGGTCACCCGAGGCTCCCACGGCTGGTCGTACCGGATGCGCCGCAGCGGCACTGCGCTGCAGCGGCCCGCGACGCACCGGCTCATCACGACCGTGCCCGACGGGTGCGTCTCGCGCACGGCCGCGCCACCCGCTTCCAGCGCCAGCACGCGCACGCAGTATCGCTCGCCGCTCGCGACCTCGAGCGAAGCCGAGCCTCGGTCAGTGAGCTTTTTCGCCAGACCATGCCGGTCGCGGGCCGCGAGGCCGTCGAGTGCCGCCTTGATCGCGGCGCGCGTGTCTTGATCCAGCCAGCTACCATCGCGTTCGGCCGCGCCGCCGACGGGATTGTCCCCCCACGTGCCGTCGCGCGGGTCCCTATACTCCGGCGCGGCCACGGCGCGCTGCGCGAGCTGCGCGAGGCCGTCGAGGACAGAGGGTGGCGCGAGCGTCGGCGCCGTGAGCGCTGCTGCACCACCTAGGAGCAGCACTGCCAGGCTGTAGCGCATCGTGCCGCGGCGCATTCGTGCCGAGGGGCTCGCAAAGGCTTGAGGTGATGCGTCCGTCGCTTATCAACTAACCGCCGGTCTGTGTTTCGCACCCGTGCGCCAGCTGCACATCGAGAGCTGGTGCAGCGCCAAGAGAGCAGGGCTCTTAGACGGCTCAGTACGGCCACCCCGCGGACGCAGCTATCGCGGCGAAAGCGTCACGCGACAGATCTGGCAGGCTGCACGAGATCTAGCGCATTTTGACGCCGCCGACGCGCGCGGCCAAGCACTGCAAGCCACACCTGCTCAGAGCCCCATCTGGCCAGACGAGAGCGATGACAGACACGCCGCCGCCACCCCCCGACACGCCGCCGCCGCTGATCATGGGCCGGAGCGGTCTGGTGGAGCTCAATATAGGCGGCAAGCCGTACACGACGACGCGCCAGACGCTCGAGAACAGCGGCTTCCTGCGAGCATTGACGTCCGGAAGTTTCGCCGCGCCGCGCGACGCCCAGGGCCGCATCTTCGTCGACCGCGACGCCACACAAGCGTTCGACACGATGCTCACTTTTTTGAGGGGCGCTTTGGGCCGCACGGTTCTAGATAGGATGGATCTGACGACACGAGCAGAATTAGTGGCCGAGGCCGAATTTTATGACGTCCCCGCGCTCATCGAGGGCGCGGTCTTACCGCCCGTCGGCGCGCTCGTGCGCTACTCGCAGCACACGCCGCCGCACCCGGGCGCGCAGGGCGGCTACGGCGCGCGCCAGGGCAGGCACACTTTGTCGGTCGGGCGTGTTGTTGCTTATGAGCACGCAACCCGACAGTGGACCATCGAGGTCGATAGCGAGGGCGTGATACAGATGAAGCAGTCGATGCCGGCCTCTACTGTTCGACTCGCCGAGCGGCGCTTGGACAGCTTCCGGTGGCCTCGGAGGGATGTAGATTGCGCCGCGCGCTTCTTACTGATGCCGTGGGAGCGCCAGGCCACGTCGGACGGGCGGGCCCTGGCGCCGTTCTCGCGGTTCGACGCCGGGTGGCAGTGGTTGACTTGCTACGGAACGTGGATCGACGGCGAGGCGGTGGCGCGTGCGCCCGCGATGGGCGACGCGTTCTGGGAGCGCTCTATCCCTGCATCGCCGCCGCTCGACGAGGACGACGAATTGACGCCCGAGGCGATCGCTCGGGCGGCGCTCGAGGATCTCTTGCCCGGGCGGCCTCGCGTAAGCATCTGATAAAAAGTCTTCTAATTAAGGTCGCGCGGCCCCGGGACGTCAGCGCTTGGACTTCTTCTTGTGCTTCTTCTTGGACTTGGACTTCTTCTTCGAGGGCGCCTTGGGCGAGTCGTTCGCGCGCGACGCGCCCGGTATCTCGGCCAGCCAGTCGTCGTCGGTGGCGGCCGCCTCGGCGTCGGCGGCACTCTCCGCCGCGGTCCGCTCCTTGAGCGTGTTGCGCTCCTTCAGCTGTCCGTTCTTCACGCGACACAGATCGACGGTGCGGAAGCGCTGGCGGAAGTCGGGCAGTTGGATCCAGAAGCGCCCATCGTCGTCGTGCGAGCGCTTGTTCCCGACGGCGGCTGCGACGTCGGGCCGCTTGCGCCAGCAGGACGACGAGTCGCTCCAGTCGCCTTTCCACTCGCTCTTCCCCCACGGATTGCGTAGTAGTAATAAACGCACGCGGTCGGCGTCGGCGCCAACGTCGACCACGTGTAAAATCGAGTAGGCGTGGCCGCCGACGACACCCTCAAGTTCTCTTTCAGATAGGTTGTGCTCCGAGCCGGCGCCGACGAACACATCATTGTCCTCGACCGCGCGCCGGAGGTCCTTCCACGGGATGGTCATCGCGTCCACGGACCAGGCCGCGCCGCCGGTCAGCGTCTCGAGCGCTGGCGCGACGCGACCGCCGCGGCCGATGGCCTCGTAGGAGCCCGCTACCTTCGCGTACGCTTTTTCGACCACCATCGGCCAAATTTCCCTATGGTCCGTGCTCGTCGCATAGATTGGTTTAGGTCGGCGGTGCTTGCCGTGCGCATTTGCAGGCCGCCAGCACGGGAAATGCGCGTCGACCCACACCATTGTGAATCTGCCGCGCACGCAGAGCGTGACGCCATAGATCCCCACGTCTTCATAGGTATCGTCGATGAGGTCGTCGCACCTGTGTGGGCATCAAATTACGCGCCCCCCACGCCATCGACGCGACGTCGTCCCCGTAACATGATTTCCACACAGCGTCTCACACGGCGCTGTCCCGCGTCGCCAGCGCCAGGGCCGACAACAAGTAACAATCTCCGAGCGAGCCCTGCGCGACGTCGTCGGCGTTCTGGCTCGCGCCCGCCGAGACCGCACCCGTCTCATCCGCGTCCCCGTACAGCCACGTGGCGCCGCCGTCGCGCGCGCGCTTGCCCAGAGGTCGCGAGGCCGTGCAGAATTTCGGCGGCGGACACCACACGACCTCGGCCCCTTTGATGACCTTCCCGCGCTCGCCGTCGCGGAGCCAGTCTTCCGGCGGGCGGCTTGGGTCCATAAATAGCGAGGAGTCGTCATGCGTGAAGAGCGGATCCGACCAGAAGGCGCCTCTCGCCGAGAGCTCCGCCGCCTCCGCCGTGAGCTTCTCGAACGTCTGCCGGCCGAAGCAGTTGGCGCGCGCCTTCGCGATGCGTTGCGACACACCGCCTGCCGTCGCCGGCCTCGTGAATTGCTGGTCGTCTGCGGCGAGCGCGGCGCGGCCGTGCTTCCTAGAGCTCTTGTTGCGGCGGAGGAACGCGTACGCTACATAGCCGAGCAGCGCGGTGCTCACGCTGGCGAGGAGGAGGCGTTCCATGGCTCGCCTGGCTACCGTGGGCAACTGATGCGTGGATGCAGCGACGGCGCGTGCGAGATGAGTTGCAGGACTTGCTGCAAGGGGGATGGCGAGTGGTCCAAGGGGCTGCCCGGTGCAGTCGTAATGCTGCAGACGAGCGGTTGGATAGTGCGCGGTCGTGATGCGAGCGAAGACAACTGGTGGAGGCAGCGCTGGGCGCGGATAGAGGCAGTCGAGGCAGTCGAGGCGATCGAGAAGCTTTTTTAAGTGCCTTACTGGACGCTAGCAGCTAAAACATAATCGGTGATCTTGAGGCGTCAGACGCTCCTGAGCGCGCAGCAATTGACATCGCTGCAAAAACACGTGGGCGGAGCAACGGACTCGCACTGGACGACGACGGCGTGCACAAAAAACAGCGATTCAGGATGATCCTCAGGTCAAAGCAAGCATTGCTGTGGCTGGCGCTGCTTTTGGCACGCGGCAGCGCCTTTGTGCCGGTGTCGCCACTGCACAACAAACCCACGCTCTTGCACGCCAAAAAGAAGAAAAAGAGCAAGCGCGTGCAAAAGAAACAAGCGGCCAAGGCGGCGCCAGCACCGCCGCCCGCGCCGGCACCGGCACCGCCGCCCGTCGCCACACCGCCGCCCGTCACGTTTGACGCGGCGATAGCGCCCGAGGCACCCGCCGCGCCGGCCGCGCCGCCGCCCGTCGCGTTCGACGCGCCGGCACCTCCGCCAGTCGCGTTCGACGCGCCGCCGCCGGCGCCCGCGCCACCGATGACGCCCGCCGCCGCGCCCTTCGACGAGGACCTCAAGTCATTGATCGTCGACGAGCCCGGGAAGCTGTTTGGTCAGACCGCCGACGAGCAGCTGTTCGGCAGCCGGCCCAAGGGCGCGCCGGCACCGAAGCTGCGCGCAAAACAACCAGTGGTAGAGGAGGACGACGTCGACTCGAAGTGGCCGCTGCCGCGCTTGGAGCTGCCGGACTTCGGCGGCGTCGAGAAGATCGGCGGCGAGCGGCCGGCGGACCCGACGGATTCGTTTGATTACGGCGTCGGCGGCATCGTCAAGAAGGCGGTCTACGCGACGGCCTTCGCGGCCGTCGTCTGGGAGGTCTACATCAACTCGCCGTTCTTCGAAAGGGCGGCGCCGCCGCCGGCCGTCACGGCCGTCCAGGAGGAGATGAGCAAGTACCAGCCGCCCGTAGAGGTCGAGGACCCGCCGCAGCCGCCGCCCGAGCCGATCGTCCCACCCCCGCCGGCGACCTTTGAATAATGGTTGTGCGTCACTTAGCTTCCTACCGGTCGGTCGAAACCCACACAAGCCCGGTGCCAAGTCCGGTGCTGACATATCCCGTCGACGGGATATGTTATAGGCGGCCTATCTGGTAAGCAAGCAAAAAAATAAGATGTCCGGACCAATCTCGGAAAAAAACGAGAAACCGTAGAATATCAATGCCGCATTGAACAAGAGCCGGACTATGCACGCGCCGCCCCACTCCTCGCTCCACGCGTCCTGCCAGCGTCCCCAGTAATCTTCGCACTTGGCCTGGCTCGTGAAGAGCGGCCGGCAGTCACCCGTTTCTTTGGCCGCCTCCCACCGGCGTTTCTGTTCGGTATTTCCGCTCGCACCGAACGAGCCATCTGGGATCCCGAGCCGTTCGGAGGGTTTTTGTGGGATCCCGCACCCGTTCAGGCGTCTTGTCCTTCCCCAGCCCCAGTATCTGCCATATTTTTCCGATGCCGGGAAGTACCGGGCGCCCCTCTCGGACCACCAGAGCCCGGCCGCGGACACGTCCACGCACGAGACCTCGTCGGAGCAGTCGGAGCACTCGGTGCGCCCGTCGGAGCGCTGGCCGCCCTCTTGGCAGGAGCCCGCCCAGGGCTCGCACGTCGGATCTGGAGTTAGCGACATCACGCGGTGCGTTTTCATGGCGAGCAGGACCATGGCCACGACCAGGAGGAGCAGTCCTAGTACATGTATCACGAGGGCGGCGCGCAGGCGGCAACGGTTTTCTTTTTCCCCGCTTTTGAACGATAAAGCGAACGCGACCATGATGAGGGCGACCGCGCAGCCCGAGGGAACGTCGGCGAGCGCAGCAAACGCCACGACCACGCAGCAGAAGTAGAGCAGGATACCTAAGACGAGACAGCACAGCACTGTTCGCTCCTCTTTATTGAGGCGCTGGGCCGGCCTTCGCTCGGCCGCCTCTGCGTCGTAGTCCTCGTTGCGACGCACCTCTCGTTCGCGCGCGCGCTCGCGCGCCCGCCGCCGATACCAATCGAACGGCTCCCTCGGGACGTCCGCCTCGGCCTCGGTGGTCCACCGCTCGGACGCTTCGGGCGCCTCAAGATCCGACGAGACGCATTCCCAGCACCGCGAGACGCCTACTTGTTTCTTGTTCCACTGCGTCCTGCTGAAATTGAGCTTATCGAGGGAGCGCCGACAGGTGGCACAGACTCGGACTCGAGAGATTTCCGTTCGCTCGGCCGCGCGAACGCCCAATGAAAACAGGTTCGGCCGGCCTTCGGGCAGTGCTGAAAACAGGTTCGAGATCCACCGCTCGGACTCTTCGGACTCTGCGGGCAGCCCCTCCTCGCGCGGCAGCTCCTCGCTCATCGTTGTCTGTACCAGAGACTAAGCGCCTGGCTGGGCGCGTAGCGGCAGCGCGCGGTGGTTGATTGGTGCCAAGCCCCGTGATTATGGCTGCCCAGGTCCTTGCGCAGGCAGCTAATGCATCCGCGCCGGCACAGCTGGCACAGCTCGGCTGCGAGATCTAGATATCGATTCTGCTTCGGGTTCGGGTTTTACACGGCGCGCGACCCCCTAGTCGCTCCCGCTCCTCCGGGACCCATCCGTCGGGGCGTGGAGCCCAGTGACTGCTCTTGATAGCGAGAGCCAGGCCTGGTGCAGCGCCTCGTCGCGAAAGGAAGACTACTGATACTAGTTTTTTATAACCGGGGGACGATCGCGTTGCACAGGCGCACCCCCTCTTTAGAGCTCGCCGCCGCCGCCGTACTTGGCCAGGAACGACTCGTGGAAGCCCGCGAGCTTCTGGACGACGTTGTCGATCTGCTTCTCCGCCGGTAAAAACGTCGTACGGAAGTGCCAGGTCCCGTTCTTCTGGCCGAAGCCGCTGCCGGGCACCGTGACGAGGCCCGTGCCTTCGAGCAACCGGAGCGCGTAGAACGCGTCGGGCGCCATCGACGACCGCTTGGCGGCCTTGACCGCCGCATCCGGCAGCGTGATGGACGGGAAGAGGTACATGGCGCCCTGCGGGCGGACGCAGGAGACGCCTTCCAAAGCGTCGAGGGCCGCGGCCACCTTGTTCGCGCGGCGCTCGAGGGAAGCTAGTTTCTCCTTCTTCTCCTTTTCATAAGCTTTGAGCTCGGGACCGGACGTGGGCGGGTTGACCATGAGGCCGACCGCGACCTGGCCCATGGTGTTCGAGCACAAGCTCACGGAGGCTAATTTGGTGAGTTGCGCCTTCACCGCGGTATCGATGTTCGTCAGTTCGAAATACCCCCCGCGCAGCCCGCACTCGCCCGTGAAGCCCTTGGAGATGGAGTGGAAGCTCACGAGCGGGATCTTCGAGTCCAAATCCCGCACGATCTTCTTGAAGGAAATGAACGGAGGGGCGTCCCCGTAGACGTTCTCCTGGTAGACCTCGTCCGCGGCTAACACTAACCCAGGTCTCTCTTCCACAAAACGCACGATGGCCTCCAGCGACGCTCTAGGTAGCGAGGCCCCCGTCGGGTTGCCGGGGTTGATGATCACCAGTAATTTCGGCGTGGCGCCCTTCTCAACAACGTCGTCGTAGGCCTTCTTCAATTCCTGGACGGGCGCGGCCCAGTCCGCGGCCTCGTCGAGGTAGTACGAGCCGAGCGTGCCATCAAATAATGTGGTGGTGGCCGAATACAACGGGTACTGGGGCGCTGGTGCTAACACACCGTCTTGCGGTCCCGAGACGAGTAATTGTGTCAAGTGTCTGACACCAGCGGAGGCACCATCGGTGAGGAAGATGTCAGCCGGGGAGGCAGGATAACCATCGCGGTCGGAGATGAACTTCGCGACCTCCTCTCGTACTAATGACACGCCCTGGGAGTCGGAGTAGGCGCCCACACCACCTCGTAAAGCGGCTCTATACGCGTCGGCGCGCTCTTTTACCTGCTTCGAGCCTTTACTTTTAGGTAATACAACTTGCGAGAGGACCGCTCTCGCAAAAGCAGGAGGAGCTTGCCCTAAAGCCTGGGGGTTGCCGATGTTGCAGCGCACGATCTCCTTGAAGGGCCACTTGTCCGGGTTCTCGGCCATGTCCCGCTCGATCTCGCCCGCGCGGTCGAGGATCTTGCCGCGGACCGCGTACTCGGCCTCAACCACTTTAGGATTGACGGCGTCGATCGTCAATTGCGCGGCGGCGCCGCCGAGCAATGCGAGCGCGACGATGATGCGCGCCATGCTTTTTTTGCAATATCGCCACGTGCACGGCGTTTGATGCACAGTTTCTTGCGTAGCCGCTGTCGGACGTGTCTTCGTGCTCTCTACGCTTGGCAGCGAGCTGGATGAGATTGTTTACAACGCGTACGCTGGTGCCAAAACACCACACAATCAGCCTGAAATCTCTGTTGCCCACAAATCGACAGGCCGCTCGACGCCAGTTCCGCGCCCGCACGGCTCCCGCGGATGGCTGTGGAAAGATGGGAAAGGACCAAGGCACCGGTCGCTAGCGGCAGTAAGACACTAGCAAGCAAGCAAGCTGCAGTGCGGCGCGCAGAGCAGTGCGCAACCGGCATACGGCTGCAGGACATTGCTGCAAATTATAGATACATCGATATCAGTACGAGTGCAATCGCTTTCGCGACTCGATTGCACAGCGCAGCACTGGTGCAGCGGAGCACACCTGAAGCGAGCGCATTGCGCAGCGCGGTTCGGACAGCATGGCTCCAGCCAACATCTTCCTAGCGCTCCTGGACAGCGCATCGATCGCCCACGACGTCGCCAAGCTCGAAGCGCTCAAAGCGAATGCGAAAACAGAAGACGTGCGAGCGCCATCGTCCAGTGCTGGCGAAGAATGGCGCCACGCGATCCCTTATGGTGCACAGACGGCGCCCGAACCAGAACCAGAGGCGCCACCACCACCACCCCCCACGGAGACGGTGGGCGCCGGCTGGCTCCTCGAGCGGTGCCGCGCCTTGGATTCCGCGGTCGGCGCGGCGGAGCTCGCGTGCGGCTGCGTCGACGCGGCGAAAAGAGATGATGCCTCGATGCAGCAGGCGCTCATGGAGTTGCTGGGGTTTGGTGATAAAGCTTTGGCATTGATGGGCGAGCTGTGTGCAAAGAAGGCCGCGGTTGCTGCTGTCGATGCGCGGGACATCCGGGCCATCGCGACCGCGTCTGGCGTCGCGGCCTGCGTGGAAATCAACCAGTGAGTTACGGGGACGCCCGACATTTTGATTTCACACAGGTCGCGGGACCACCACCTCCACAGCAACAGCAGTTCAGGGGCGGCGCCGTGCGCAGTGCTCCTAAGAAGCAGTCCCAGCGGCGCCAGAAGCAATTACGGAAGCAACGACGGGAGGCCGAGGCCAAAGGTATCGACGAGGGCGCCGACTACCTGGCTGCTCTAGGCTTCGACGAGCACTACCTCGCGCAGGAGCGCGCGCTAGGTCTATCACAACCGCCGCAGAAGAAGCACGCGGCGTTTCTGGACGAAGCCCAACGAGAATATAGGGCTGAAAGAGCAGGCTTACCGTCGGGCGCGGAAAAATTCTACGGCGACGGCTACGAGGAGGTCGAGATCCCGCCGCCGCGGGCGCTGCCGCCACCTATCGAAGGAGAGTTGTTGCGCGTCGATTCTGCCTTGCCGGCGTGGGCGCGGCGCTGCTTCCGGGGCACGCAGACGCTGAATCGGTTGCAGTCGGCCGTCTACCCCTGTGCGTTCTCGTCGCGGAAGAACATGCTCGTCTGCGCGCCGACGGGTGCTGGTAAAACCAACGTCGCTCTACTGACGGTGCTGGAGCTCGTCGCGAGCCGTGTGGAATTTTGCTGCGCTTCCGCCCACGGTTAATCATGACCAGCACGCCATCGACGCGACGCCTGCTCGACAGCGTGGCGGGAGCACCCGACTCACTGATTGTCCACGCAGGTCGCGCGGGTCCGCGCATCTCATGAAGACGACTTCCTCGCCCAACTCGCGAACCACAAAGCTGTGTATGTTGCCCCCCTGAAAGCGCTAGCGCAAGAGGTCGTCTCCAAGTTCTCCGAGCGGCTCGGAAATCTAGGAATTCAAGTGAGGGAACTCACAGGCGACGTCCAGCTCACAAGACGAGAAGCGGACGCCGCCCATATACTAGTTGTGACGCCCGAAAAGTGGGACGTCGTGACGAGGAAGCAAGGGGGAGGTTCGGGAGACGCCATGGGCTCGTTGGCCTCGCGCTGCCGACTGCTGATTGTCGACGAGATCCATTTGTTGGCCGAGGAGCGGGGTGCCGTGCTGGAGTGCGTCGTGGCGAGAACGACGCGATTGGTCGAATCGACGCAGTCCCAAATACGACTCGTGGGTCTCTCAGCCACTCTACCCAATTACGAGGATGTGGGACAGTTCTTAGGCTGTTCCGACGATAGCGTCTTCTTCTTCGGTCCCGAATACCGGCCCGTGCCGCTGAAACAGACGTTTGTGGGCGTGACGGCCGTGAAGAACCACGAGCGGCGCATGAAGCTCGACGAGCTGGCGTATGATGTTGCTCTGTCCGCTGTTAACCGTGGTCACCAGGTCATGGTCTTTGTGCATTCTCGAAAAGAAACGCTGAAGACAGCTCGGAACTTGCGGGATCGGGCCGCGCGGAACGACGCCTCATTTGCCAATACGGAGGGCGACCCCTTGAAGCCCTTTCGATCGCAGTTAAAATCTTGTAGACATCGCGAACTGGCGGAAGTCGTGGAGTCGGGTTTTGCTCTCCATCACGCGGGCATGAGTCGTAGTGACAGAGGCCTCTCGGAGCGGTTATTCGCGGCGGGAGCAGTCAGGGTATTATGTTGTACGGCAACGCTCGCCTGGGGCGTCAATTTACCCGCACATGCGGTCATATGTAAGGGTACGGACGTCTATGACCCCCAACGGGGCGGCAACGTGGACCTGTCGATGTTAGATGTACTGCAGATTTTTGGGAGGGCCGGACGACCGCAGTTCGACGACTTCGGCGAGGCTACACTGTTAACTTCGTCCAAAGCGCTACCGGACTACTTACGTAAATTAGCGCGAGCGGCGCCGATCGAGAGTTGCTTGGTGCCTCGCTTGGCCGACGCCGTGAACGCGGAAGTCGCTGCCGGCACGGTCGCTTCCATCAAAGACGCGGACAGATGGTTAGATCACACTTTTTTAGCGGTAAGACTACGTCGAAACCCATTAGCGTACGGCTGCTCGTACGACCAGGCCCAAGAGGACCCAAGGATGGGGCGATATAGGGATACTTTACTACGTCAAGCTGCTCGAAAGTTGGACGAGGCGCGCATGTGTAGATATGATAAGCGTTCAGGCGCCTTAGCCGGGACCGACGTTGGTCGAGTAGGTTCGCACTACTACCTGCGACATGAAAGTATCAGGGAGTTCAATGAGACGTTGAGGCAGCACGCCTCCGACGCCGACATACTTGTAGTGGTCTGTGGCGCCCATGAGTTCGAACAGCTGAAACCGCGCAACGAAGAAATGGCCGAGCTCGATCGACTTAGAAGTAGTGAGGCGTGCTGCCCGCTCCGCTCGGAAAAACTGCGAGCCATCCAGGACGAGCCCGCGGGCAAGGCCGCCACGTTACTCCAAGCGCATATTTCGAGGGCGCCCTTCGCCGCGTTTACTTTAGCCTCAGATGCGACTTACGTCGCGAAAAATGCAGCTAGGGTCTGTCGCGCTTTATTTGAAATGGCTCTACGAGCCCATTGGCCGTCATTAGCTGAGCGGTTGTTGGCTTTAGCGAAGGCTGTGGAGCGAAGGTTGTGGTGGTTCCAGCACCCGATTCGGCAAATTGCGGATTTGGAGCCGAATCAGAACGTGCGAAGGCAGCGCTTCCCGGAAGATGCCCTCAGGCAGCTCGAGGCGCAACGGTTGTCTCCTGATAGGATCTTGAACGATATCGATGATGTTGCTGAGATCGGGGCACTGGTACGTAATAGTAGGGCGGCGCCGTTCCTGGTGCGGGCTTGTAGAAGTTTGCCCGCCGTTACGTTAGAGTGCTCGTTAAAGCCGATCACGCGGTCCGTGCTGCGCGTATCATTAACACTGACGCCGCTGTACGACTGGGCCGCGCGGGTCCACGGATTGGGGCCGGAGCCGCGCGTATGCAGCGTCCTTCTTTTGAGGCCGTCGTCGTGATCATCTCCCAACGCAGGTGGTGGGTCTGGGTCGAGGACGCCGCCGAGGAGCGCATCCACCATTGTGAATTGGCCTTGTTCCCCGTCGACCGGCGGCGCAAAACGCTCGATGCTATCGTGCTCAGCTTCACGATGGCCGTGCGAGATCCCCTGCCGCCCCAGTTCTACGTCCGAGCTATAAGTGATCGCTGGTCCGCCTGCTCGCATTTACTGGAGTTGTCCACGAATACGTTGGAATTACCTCCACCGGCTCCACCACCGACGGAATTGCTCCCATTACGGCCGTTACCCATCGAAGCCTTGCAGGACGACCGCTTCCAGCAGTTCTATGGGTATTCCCACTTCAACCCCGTCCAGACGCAAGTGTTTCATGCGTTGTTTCGGACGGACGGAAATGTATTGGTAGGGGCTCCTACTGGAAGCGGAAAAACCTGTTTAGCAGAGTTGGCGATCTTCCGATTGCTCCGAAGGAGAGGTGACGAGAAGCTGAAGGCCGTGTACGTGGCTCCATTGAAGGCATTAGCTAGGGAAAGGGTCCGAGACTGGACGCCGAAGTTCCGAGCTATTGGTCTCTCGGTGGAAGAATTGACGGGCGATTCCGCACCGGATCAAAGAGCTCTGAAGAAGGCTGATGTGTTAATAACAACGCCCGAGAAGTGGGACGGCGTCACGCGCCAGTTCCAACGGAGAGACTACGCGAGACATGCCGCTCTGATGATCCTGGACGAGGTCCACCTGCTCGGGGAAGATCGCGGGCCTGTTTTGGAAGCGTTGGTTTCTAGAGCTAGATATACATCTACCACAAGGGTGGTGGCTTTATCAACAGCGTTGGCGAACGCCCACGACCTCGGTACCTGGCTCGGCTGTGCTTGCCTGCGTGGAAATCCACCTCCACGCCATCGAGCCGACGCAGCTACGGAGACGACATCGCGTCGACGGCGTGGGGCGCCCGAAATTTGATGTCCACGTAGGTTCTCGCGAGCACGTTTTTAATTTCCGCGCGTCGGTGCGGCCCGTCGCCATGGAGGCGCACATCCAGGGCTTCACGGGCAAGCACTACTGCCCGCGCATGGCGACGATGAACAAGCCGTGTTACGCCGCTTTGCGCGAGCACGCGTTGCGACCTGTGTGGAAATCAAATGTCGCGGCGCATCTCACGCCATCGACGCGACGCCTGCTCGACGGCGTGGCGGTGTCAATTCCTCACCGCTCGACGCACGCGACACACTGGTTGATTTCCACACAGGTCGGGCCGGCCCGCTCTCATTTTTGTGGCGTCGAGAAGACAAACTAGGCTGACCGCGCTGGACTTAATAGCGCTCGCGGCGTCTGATGATGACACCCAGTCCTGGGTCGGTACTGACGACGATCTGGATTCCATAGCGAAAACGTGCCACGACCCCGCACTGAGGCACTGCCTCCCTTTTGGCGTCGGCGTGCACCACGGCGGCCTGGACGAGGCCGACCGTAAAATAGTGGAGAACTTGTTTGAGAGGGGCGCGATCCAAGTTTTAGTGTGTACTTCCACACTAGCCTGGGGCGTGAACTTTCCCGCAAGATTAGTTATAGTGAAAGGCACGGAGTTTTTTGACGGGAAGCTCGGTCGGTACGTGGACTTTCCGGTGACGGACGTGTTGCAGATGATGGGACGAGCGGGAAGACCCCAATTTGATAGTGTTGGTGTGGCTTGTATATTTGTCCACCAGCCGAAGAAGGAATTTTACAAAAAGTTCCTGTACGAACCTTTTCCGGTGGAAAGTAGATTGCTATCCTCGTTACATAACTTCGTGTGTGCCGAGGTTTGTTTATGTGGTAGAATCAAGTCAATTAATGACTGCGTGGCGTGGCTCAAGTGGACTTACTTGTATAGACGCTTACGGAGGAACCCGTCGTTCTACGAATGTGAAGGTAGCGATGATAAAACTATCTCCACATTTTTGGAGACGCTCTCTCGTAAAGTATTGATTGATTTGGATGAAGCCGGCGTCGTCGAGTTGGACGGGGATGACGTATCCTCGGCTACATTGGGTAGCGTCGCGGCCTACTACTACTTAGATTATAGGACGACGTCCGAAGCTTCTATAAACGTAGATGACTTCGAGGCCGAGGTCTTGGACGCTACGCAACGCCGTAGAGAAGCGTTGGCCGTGGCGTTTTTGTGTTCCGCAAGGGAGTTCGACGAGCTGCCCGTGCGCCACAACGAGGACATTGAGAACTCTGACTTAGCGTCGCAGCTCCTCGATGATGATGCTGAGACTATCCAGGGGTTACTCGAGCTCGGCTACGACTCGCCCCACGCCAAGGCCCAGTTGTTAATCCATGCGAAACTAAGGGATGGCAAGTTGCCGATCGCCGACTACGCGACGGACCAGAGGAGCGTCCTCGAGCAGGCGCCGCGCGTGCTGGCGGCCCTGATCGACGTCGCGGCCGACGCCGGTTGTGTAAATGCGACGCTCGCGCTGCTCGAGCTCTCGCAGGCGATACGGTCCAAGTGCTCGCGCGAGGCGCTGCCGCGCGGCCGGACGAAGCTGACCGCTAAAACGGTAGCGGACGTGGGGGCCGGAGGCGAGTTCTCCGTCGAGGTGACGCTGGGGAGCAACGGCCGCGGCGCGCGCGCCTTCTACCTCGTCCTGAGCGACGACGAGGAGCTGGTGGCTCTGAAAAAGGTCGTCGTGGGCGGCGCGACGTGCGAGGCCTCGTTGGCCGTCGAGGCGCCCGACGAGGCGTGCGAGTGGCGCCTCGTGCTGCGCGCGGTCTACGAGGGCGCGCGGGGCTTCGACGCGGCCGTGGAGCTGCCGCCGATCACCGTCGTGGGCAAGGCGTTGGACGCGGGGGCGGCGGAGTTCGTCATGCCTGGCTCCTAGTGTTGTGTGTAAGAGTGCTGTTTATCCGAACGCCGTCGCCGCGACCACCAAACAGAATACATATATGGTACGTTACATTCCCCCGCAGACGCGGGTTCGCGCTACCAAATCCAAAGCAGGGAACGGAAACAGGAGCACGCCTGGCCGAAGAGCCATACTAGTCCTGCAGAGAGGCGCGTCGGACCGATCTGAGGCACGCGCCCGACCCGATCTGCCCGGGCAGTTTCATCACCGGGATCTGCCCGGGCGCGCGCGGCGCTGCCCAGACCACTATTTTTGCTGCACATAGCCAAGATGAAGTCCATTGCCCTTCTGCTGTGCCTCGGGGCAGCCCGGGCCGCGGACCTCGACGGCGACGGCGTGGCGGACGCCGCCGCGGCCGATACCTGCTGCGCTCTCAAGTACGGCAACGCGCTCAGTGAGTGTAGCAGCGCGACGGACCTGGCGGGGACCGCGGGCTGCTGCCCGGCCGGCTTCCTCCACCGCTACTCCATCGGGTCCGACGGCAACGAAGACACCACCAAGTGGGACTGCATCTCGTTCATGTCCCAGACCGACTGCACCGCGTACTCGTGGAGCGCCCCCTGGGGCACCGAGACGCCCATCTGGATGTCCTTTCAGTGTCCGCACTTTCTGCCGACGCCGGCTCCGACGCCGGCCCCTCAGCTGACGCCGCCGCCGACCCCCAAAGGCTTCCGCGACAACGACCAGGACGGCGTCGCGGACGCGGCCGCGGACGGCACCTGCTGCGCCTTCGTGTACGGCAACGCGTTCGCCGGTTGTAGCGGCGCGACGGACCTGGCGGGGGCCGCGGGCTGCTGCCCGTCCGACTTTTTGCTCCGCCACTCCATCCAGGCGACCGGAGAAGACACCACCAGCTACGACTGCGTCTCGTTCATATCCCAGACCGACTGCGCAGCGTATTCGTGGAGCGGCCTGACGCCCCAGTGGCTGCCCGCGAACTGCCCGCACACCACGTCGTCGACCGTCGTCGACGCCGCCGCGCCCCGCGCCGTCGGCCTCCTGGCGCTCGTCGCCCTCCTTTTCTCCGCTTGATCGCGCCGTCGCGGTCGCTCTCCATCGCCGTCGCGCGCTTCCTGTCCCTGCTTTGGATTTGGAAGCGCTGCATGCGCCCCCCCCCCCTTGATAATTAGCTCCCTCTTGAACGTCCGTAGGCGGTGGACCCGTCCCTCGCCCCCCCTGTACTAGAGAATTGATTGGCATACTCGTGCCGCCTCCGAGCTAGTTACACTCGGGGCGGCGACGGCGTACGAGGGCCGGGGGCGGTTGGGGGCGGGCGTGCGGTTGTGGTGGCTAGGCGGCCTAGCTCTAACTTCGGACCCCCAAACAGAATACATATATGGTACGTTACATTCTTCTTCCCCGCAACGCGACGCGGGGCTCGAGGGGAGGACTTCTTGCGGATATCGACATGCGGTGGTCTGTTCAGCGGTGGTCTGTTCAACAAATGACAGGAGGCGGCGAGGTTCATCATACCACGTCGGCGACGCGGCCCGCCGAGGCGAGCTTGTACGCGCGGTGCGCCGCCGAGCCGTGGATCGCGACGTTGTCCATGGCCCGCGTCCGCACCTGGATCTCGAAGCGAGGTAACCGGGACGACGTGGGTACGATCGTCGCGTGGAGCGACCGGTAGCCGTTCGGCTTCGGCGCCCGGACGTAGTCCTTCAGATCCGTCACTTCTCGCACGTACGGCGACGTCGCCAACCTCCTCAGCACGCGGTAGCACAGCGCGTAGCCGGCCTCCTCATCTATGAGTTGCGGGCCCTCGTCGACGACGACGCGCACGCCCGCGATGTCCCTTAACGAATTGACATGATCCAGACCCTTCGCCGTGAGCTTCTCGTTCGCCGACCAGGCGGACTTGATGCGAGTGAGGATCGAGAAGGACGCCGCCGTGGCGAGCACCTCGTCCTCCGCGAAGAGGTCGTTGACGTGGCGCGTCACCCGATCTAGGACGACGACGTCGCCCGCGCGGCGCGCGGCCAAGTCCTGGGCCACCGCTACCAAGCCCTTGGCGCCGACGGCCGCGGCGACCGGCGCCGTGACGCTCGTCGTCAGGTGCGAGCGGCGGCTCACGGCGGCCGGGACTTCGTCGGAGTTCTTCACCGGCGCCGCCCGCCTCACGGGCGCGGCCGAGAGGGCGGACGCGCTCGTGAGCGCGTAGGCGGCCACAACAGCCTTGATGGGCCCGCCGCGGCGGCCTTTACCGCTGCGGCCGAGTCTACTGGCCCTTTTTGGCCTCGTCTGTACGCGCGCGCAGACGGCGCAGGTCATGCTGGGCGCTGCGGGTGGGTTTCTGGAGTGTTTTGAGATGTGTTTCAGGGGTCGCACGGCCAAGACGACTTTTGGCGCGCACGGCTGGTTCTTGAGCGCAGGCGCAGGTAATGGCGTCGTAGGCGCTGGAGCGTTCCTCTAGGGCTCGTGGAGTGTTTTGAAGCCGGTTTCAGCGGCCAGCTAGGGTTTGGCGTTTTGGGCGCAGCGGTTATACGACACACAGCGCAAAGTTATTTGAGCGGCTCGGAACAAAGTAGGGGGTACTTTTTTGGTCATCTGACGGCCGGAAGGGTCGCGCGGCGCTTTGAATGCAGGTTCAGTCCACGCGGCGTCCCATCCGGGGTCCTCGGAGACCTGCCGGAGGTTAAACCAGGGCAGCCCCATCTGGCTGCCCAGCACCCGTACCTCGCCGTAAAACTGGCGGTTACATGCCCGCAGGGCCGGACGGGACGCCTCTAGGACCCTCCCGCGCTTTGGGCAGCCCATGGCCCCATTATAAGCCGCGACGCGGGGCCAGGCGCCGCGTCCTGCTACCAGGCGCCGTACGGTCAATCCCGCCCCCGACGCCATAGACGCGACCCCGCCGCGTCCCCGCACGCCGCCTCGACTCCGGATCCGCGCCAACATACGTACGCCCGGCCCGCCCCGGCCCTCGCACACCTATCACACGCCGTCGCCCCAAGGCAAGCGACGTCGTCGGCGAGGGGGAGGCATGACCGACAGGAACGGAGTAGTGTTATTTTTTTTTTACGACAAGACCTAGTTGTACTTCACGAAGCCGATGTCCTTCGCGTACGTCCGGAAGCACTGCCGGCAGATGTTCATGTTGTATTTGCGGATGATGGCCTGCTGGTTGCCGCAGACGCGGCACCGGCGGCCGCCCTTGCCGAACTTCTTCGGGTGGCTGTTGATGAGAGCCTTGGCGCCCATCTTTCGTCAGCACACTCGAAACGGATGCGGTGAACGAAGGCCTGTGGGGGGACAACCGGGTGAGCGTCGACGTTCTGTGCGAGCGGTCTGTGTGTGGTCGCTTGCGGCGACGGCGTCAACGCATCGACGGCGTGTCGCGGCTCCCGCCTCGCGGCGGTCGCCGCGTGCGCCGTTGCCCGGCGTTGCGTCGTGTCGAGCCTTGGCTGCTCGCGCAGCGGCCCTTGACGACTTGTCTCTCGGCCGCGCGTCGCGGCTCTACCGCTGTCAAACGCGATTTTGAGCGCATTTGCATTTTGCCTCGCCAACACGCCAGGGGGCCGCCGCGCGCAGCAGGAGCTGAAGCTAGGCATCGATGAAGCAGGAATTGAGCTTGGACGCAGCTGTGAACGTCTATTTAGGCTAGACGGCGGGCTGTTTTGCAAAATCGCTGTCTTTAGCTGAATTGCTAGTGGTTCTATCTAGCGATTCGAAGCGTCCCGGAAGCTCTCACGCCGCGAGGCGGTCGAAGACGACGTCGGCAACGAGCGCGAGCGACGCTTGCGGTGGTCTGAGGCTGGAGGCTCTAGACCGCCAAAGTCAGCGAGGACAAAAATAGACACCCGCTCTACGCAGTCAAGGTGGACACCTGAGCTAATATCAACCGCGCATCGCTTCGAACTTCAGCCGAACGGACTGCTGGCGCAAGCGCGGACTCTGCCGTCGTCGCACCGGCGAGCACCAGCTTTTGGAGACAGCTCTTCAGCAGCTCAAAAAAGGCGGCGCGCGGGCGCCCGCGGCCCAGAGGCCGTGCCCCACGGCGAGCGCTGGCCGCCGCAAAGACGCAAAAGCGTCGGAGCGCGCCGCGGCCCGCGGCTTCAGTCTCGAGAGACTTCTCCGCCCGCCGAGCCGCCAAGAGCAGCCAGGAAGACGCCCGAGAGACCGCGCCGCCCGCCCGAGCCGCCAGCAGACCCGTATCTCCCACACAGGTCCCCAGGAGCGCATCGCCACCAAAAACCATGGTGCGCGACCTCCTCCACCCCTCGGCGAGCGAGGAAAAACGGAAGCACAAGCTCAAGCGCTTAGTACAATCCCCCAACTCTTTTTTCATGGACGTGAAGTGCCCGGGCTGCTTCAACATCACGACGGTCTTCAGCCACGCGCAGACGACGGTGCTGTGCGGCTCGTGCTCGATGATGCTCTGCCAGCCGACGGGCGGCAAAGCCAGACTCACGGAGGGCTGCTCCTTCCGAAAGAAGCTAGACTAAGTATGTTCCTTTAAGTTGTCGCGGCGACGGCGTATGGCGAGGGGTTTTGCGCCGTTGCCGCGACGTCGTGGACCTTCGGTCTCGCGTCTGCTCGCTTAGGCCACCTAGCCGCGGAGCCGACGCGGGGTCCGCGTGATCTCGCCGCCGCGCCCGTACGCCCCCGGCCCTACGCAGCACGCTACGCGTCGAGCCCCAGGAGAGTAGTAGTAGGAACGATGGACACACCTAGTCCTCCGCCCCCGCCATGACCTTCTGGAGGCGCTCGGCCTCCGCGACGTCCTTTTCCGTCGGCCGCGCCGTCATGCGCGCGAGGATGGCCTCGAGCGTGGACATGTGCGCCGGCGTCTGCGCCGCGCGCTGCGACAGCTCCTGCATCTGGCCCTTGGCCTCCTCGGACCATTCTTTCATGGCCTCGATTTCCTTCTGGTGCGCGACGACCTGGTTGTGGTCCTCGGAGTGGTCGGCGCGGAGCTTCTGGAGCTCCGCGTTGCGCGTGTCGAACATGTCCTGGCACTTCCTGAGGAGCCCGCGCGCCTTGTCGAGCTCCGCCTGGAGGTTCTCGACCTGTGTGGAAACCAATCAGTCATTTCTCGGCGACGACGCGGCCGTGCTGGCTCCGTCGAGCGGTGGGGAACCGGCATCGCCACGCCGTCGAGCTGGCGGCGCGCCGATGGCGTGGAGGTCGACGCGACGATTCAGCACGAACACGCCGTACAATTTTGATTTCCACACGGTTCTCGACCTTCCGCTCGGCCGCGGCCGCGCGGGCCTCGGCCGCGTTCTTCTCCGCCGCAACGGCGGCTTTGTTGAGCTCTGCCTCCCCCAGCTTCGCCGCCGCGGCGCTCGCGGCCGTCTCGGCGGCTTGCTTATGCTCGTTATCCTGCCGCACCGCGAGCTGGGCCCGGTTTTTCCATTTTTGGACCTCCTCCTTCACCATTTCGATGTCGTACTCCAATTTGCCCTTGACGGCGAGCGCGTCCTTCCTCGCGGCCTGCGTGCGAATCACGCGTCGATGGCGTGGCGTCCGACGCGTCGATGGCGTCGCGTCGACGGCGTGGCGATTCTCACGCCGCTCACGACGTCGCGCTCGAGCCGCGCCGTGTCGCGCTCCGCCTTGAGCGTGTCGCGCGCCTGCCGGATCGTCTCGGCCGTCTCGCGCGCCTGCTGGTAGTACCGCTTCCCTTCCGCGGCCTCCTTCTTGGCCGCTTCAGCCGAGGCCTGGGCCTCTTCTTTGGCCTGAGCCTCGGCGGAGAGCTGGCCGCGCAGGCGCGTTTTCAGGGTCGCGATCTGCTCGTTCGCGCGCGCGTGCTTCTCGTGGAGGTGGCCGCGCAAATTGGCCGTCCGGCTCGAGTGGTCGACGAGCACGAAGCCGAGCGTGCCCAGCAACAGCGCGACGGAGAGGAACCACGCGCGGCCGGTATTGAACTGCGTTTCCATCTTGAACGCCTTCGAGTCGCGGCGCTCCGGCTTGCGGTGGGCGCTCGGGAGCATGGCGAAGCCGGTGCCGCCTGAAGCGGCTTTCGGTGACGTTTGGCGCAACATCTCGGAGATGCTTCGCGTCGTCGGCGTCGCGTCGGTAAGCTCTCTTTTTTGTCCGAGAGCAATTCCAAGAAATCGATGTAGTGTCGCGCGCGTGGCACGCTAGAAACGAACTGGTGGCAGACGTGTCGACCCGGTGTGTCGCCGACGCGGCCGAAGGACGGCGAAACTGCTCGACGTGTCCAAAGCAAGCCCGATAAGCTTCCCTGCTAGTGTGTTACGTGACGCTAGCTAACTTTTACGCGGCCGCGCGTTTCGACCTCATCGGTGCTGTAGAAGTGTGGTGGCAGCGACGGCATAGCCAGTGTGCGATTTTTCCAGCACCGCAGCCATACGGCTGAAGAGATCAACAACTCGGCCACCATACTGGCAGCCATGAGCGCCCAAGCAGAGAATGAAGACGCCGACATGCCCCCGCTGGCCGATGCCCCACCCGTGCAGCCTGCGGAGGAGTCCAAGCAACCAGAGACAAACAAAGAGGAGGACGAGGGCTCGGACGAGGACGCGCCGCTCATCGAGCCGCTCACGATCCTGAAATTGTTGCATGGCTTCTGCGGCGACGGCACGACGCCACCCGAAGCCGACAAGCGCGAGAAGGCGGGCCAACTGCTGTGGGACCTATCGGCGACGAAGGCGCACGCTTGCGTCATTGGTCCCCACGCGTCGACGCTGTTGGATACGGCGCGAGGCGCTCCAGACAGGGTCGCGGAAGTAGCTCTGGGCATCTACACGAACGTCTGCGGCTGGCTCCCAGAACTAGCGAAGAGCGAGGACGCGCGGGAGCTCGTGGCCACGGCGTTGGTGGGCAGCGAGGACCCCGGCCTGCTGACGGAGTCGTTACGGCTCATGCAGACGTGCTTTCTCGTGCTGCGGGAAGAACGGGATCGGAGCAAATTGCTCAAACCGTTCGCGGACGCCTGGGCGTCCCTGGCCATCTCTCTGAAAACGAGAGTCCTTTTTTGCATCGAGAACTCGCTCGACGCGAGGCTCGTGGCGCGGGCTTTGGAGCTCGCCTTCGCGGCGCGGTTCTTTCCGGACCACGACGGCGACTGCGACGTCTTCGACGCTTTGTGCGTCGAGGACGCGCTGCTCAAGGCCGTCTTGGACGCCTTACAAGACGTCGGCTCCGAGGACCTGCACGCGACGAAGCTCGACGAGCACGGCGACGGCCTCGACTCGGCGCTGCGCGTGTGGCGCGGCGTCCCTTTTCGTTGGTGGGAAGCGACGCGTTGCCGCGACGGCGTGGAGGGCACGCCATCGCCGCGACGACGTCCACGGGATGCGCCGTCGACGCGAGAAACGCGCAGGTCGTCGAGCTCTGCGCGCTGCGGCCGCGCGAGCTCAGCAAAGAGCAACTAATAAAGCAGCGCGAGGCGCGGCCGGAGATACGAGCACGGGCCGTCGAGCGCCTCCGCGACGCGCACGTGAGCGACCCGGACGCGATTCCACGGGACGCGGCGACGGCGACGGTCGCGCTCGCGAACTTCGGCGCCGACACGAAAGAATTACGGGACGCGCGGTCGCCCGCGCGCCTCGTGCAGGGTTTTTGTACGGCGCTCGAGGTCGCGCTGTCGACGGGCCCCGCGTCGAAAGGCAACGTGAACCCGGCGGCGGCGGCGGCGTGTTTTATGCTGTGCCGCGTCTTCTCGCAGAAAGACCAAGGTTATGACATGGGCGAGGGCATCATCCTGGACGAGGCCCAGATGAAGCGCCTCGAGCACGCGCTGGGCTGGGCCAGGGATATTGGGTTGGAGATTCCCGAGTTGTTGCGGGGGGAGCTTGATTCTTAATTTTGTATTGTATCTATCTTAATTACACACGAGAGCTTGTTTGTGCGAGGAGCGGGAACGAAGGACGGACCACTAGCACGTGCACGGGTCGCGCATCGAGTAGTTGATGAGGCCCATGACCAGCAGCGCGAGCATCACGACGCCGAGGTTCGTGTCTGCGGTGGGGGGGCGCGCGGTGCGAGCCGGCCTGTATACGGCGCGCGCGGGGAACGCAGGGAGACTCACCACCAACAACGCCGACCTCCTCGGTCGGCTGCTGTTCGTCGTCCGCGAGGTTCACCGGGCCATCCGGCGAGCAGTCTGGCGCATCGGCCATTTTTGTTTGTTTTGTGGTCTAAACTTCACTGCCTTCAAGCTCTGGCTGGGCGGCGCCGCGCGAGGTCGTACCGCCTCCAGCCAAAGATCTTGCTGGAGTGAACCTGTATCTACTGTGGCACCAGCTGTGGAACCGTAGCGGTCGAGTAATGTGGTCTCCGAGCCGACACTTGGCAAGCTCACTCTGAGGGTACGGGGTGCGAGCCCCAGCAAATTACACCATGATGCCCTTCCACGTGCCCGGAAGTCTGCACGAGTCCCCCTGCGGCCTTAAACTCCAGGTCTAGTGGTCTTGTCTGCCACAAAAAGGCAGGGCCTCTGCAGATGGCCTCTGCCGCCTCTCTGATGTCGGTGTAGAGGCCAGGACTGGGCATTGATGCTCATCTGCCTCCTCGCATCCATGGCCACCTTTGCGCAGCCAGCCTCGCCGGGGCAGCCCCGCCGCCGCACCATTGCCCTGCTCCATGGCACCGCCGGCTCGGCCAAAACACTTACCATCCAGCTGGGTCCGCTCCTGCCGAAGCTGCGGGAGACGTGGGACGTGACCTTCGTCGAGGGCCCCAAGCGCTGCGCCGAGGACAACCCGCATGTCAAAATGATGCGGCGCTTCTACGGGCCGTCGGCGGAGCTGCGCGAGTACGCCGAGGCGACGGCCGACGACCGCGGCTGGCGGACCTATAACGAGCTCGACGAAGCCGTCGAGGCGCTCGAAGGCCGAGTTTCGGGGGCTGACTGCTTGCTCGGCTTCTCGCAGGGGGCCAACTTCGCGTCGATGCTCGCGGCGCGGGCGGAACGGCGGGGCGCGCCGTTCCGCGCCGTGGTGCTGCTTTGTCCGGCGCGACCCGGCTGGGCGCGCCAACTACCTGGCGCGTTCGAGCGACCGCTGACTACGCCGGCGTTGATTGGTGCCGGCGCGCAAGACGCAGTCGTCGGTAACGGCGACGAGCTAGCAACTCTGTTCGCACGACCGGAGCGCCGGACGCATGCGGAGGGCCACCGGCCGCTGCCCGCGGCGGACGCGGCCGCCTACGCGGATTCCGTGGCGCGGTTCCTGGATTGGCACGGGCGCGCGGACGAGTAGTTGGGACGGCGTTGTGAGTTTTGTATTAAGAAAGTTCGTTTTTACTTCACGCGGTGAGTAATTCGACCGCCGTTCGCGCTGTAGTCTATTTCAATGCGATTCTTTTGGGTCCACGCTTCGATTATACGAGCCTGGCGCCTCAGGGGCGTCGCGCGGCTCTGCTGGCGCGCACGGCCACGCATATTAGCCAACTAGGGTAAAATTTCATTGGGGGTAAATTTTACTCGTCGCCAGCGCAAATGCGGAGCGATGAGTCCTGTCCCCGACCCCTCGCCGCTCCAGACAGGTGGGCAGGCTGGCAATTTTGCGCCCCGACGCGGCTCATGGTCAGCTTGTAGAGGGATCCACCAAAAAACGCGCGATTGCGGAGCCGCTGATGCTTTATCCTTCGATGTGCGATTCTGGCACTTGCCTATGTCTTTCAGACGCCACGTGTGCGCAGTTTCACAGCCTGCGGTTGCGTTACTGAGCCGCTTGGTGCCGGCTACTGCTCGGCAGTCTTCGGAGGCCGCGGCTGCGCGCGATGCCCACGCCAGCTCAAAGTGGCTGTCGCGGCGCGTTGACGTGCGTATACACACGCACGAACGAGCGTACCGCTGCGAGTGCTCTCGTGTGGTCCGAGAACGCCGCTCGTCCGACATCGACGTCGAGAGAAACTCGAGATTACGTCGAGAGAAACTCGAAATTAACCCCATCCCGCCCGCAGTTTAAAGATGAAGCTCATCCTCGCCCTGTGCCTCGCGCCGGCCGCCGCCCTCGTGGCGCCCGTGGCGCCGGCCGCGGCGCAGACGAAGATGTCGGAGACGAAGGCGGACCTCGAGGCGCTCCAGAACTCGATGCCCGGCCCGCCCGGCTACTGGGACCCGCTCGACCTCGCGGGCTCCACGATCCTCGCCCAGTACGGCGTCGACACCGTCGAGGCGAACATCGGCTGGTTCCGGCACGCGGAGATCAAGCACGGCCGCGTCGCCATGGCCGCGTTCCTCGGCTTCATCGCGGGCTGCACGCCCCTCGTTTCCGGCGAGCACGCCGTCGCGCCCTACCGGGGCTACGTCGCGGGCGGCACGCCCTTCGAGCAGTGGGACAACATGCCCCTCCTCGCCAAGGCGCAGATCTTCATCGCCGTCGGCATGCTCGAGTCCTACGGCGAGGGCGCCGGCAACCCGGCGGGCTACGTCCCTTACCGTGTGGAAATCGCACCCGACAATTCTTCACGTCGCGTCCATGGCGTGAGGTCACGATTCAGCCGAGAAGCGCCGCGACATTGATTTCTTCACAGGTCCACTACACCAAGGGCGGCAAGCCGGGCTACTACCCGCCCATCAAGGGCCGCGTTGGTGGCCAGATCCAGTTCAACCTGTACGACCCCTTCAACTGGTTCCCCGAGCAGGGCGCGGAGTCCAAGGCCCGCGGCCTCAAGTCCGAGATCCTTAACGGCCGCGCGGCGATGATCGGCATCATGGGCTTCTGCTCCGAGGCGAAGGTCCCGGGCTCCGTGCCGTTCCTCCACGGGATTGAGGGCTTCCCGCACTACGACGGCAACGTCATGATCCCGTTCTCGAACGACTTCTCGCTCTTCGCGTAGAGAGTGGACGGTGAAAAAATTTGGGATGTTGGGATGTGGCGACAGGTGCCGCACGCGCGCGCGCGGTGGCGCGGCGCGGGGGTGCGAACCTTTGTTGGGATGGCGACGTGATAAAACACACTTTCTAGTAATACATTTGACAACCGCCGTTCCCGCGTCGATGGTCCGGCCGTCGTCTTGGCTACAAGCCCGTACGACGGACCTCGGCCCGGGCCCGGGCCCGCTCCGACTCGAGTCGGCGCTTCCACACGACGCCATCGACGACTGCGAAGACGGGAGAATGCCAGTACACAAAGAGGCTTACACTCACTTCTTCTTCGCCGACCGCTTCCGCCGCCTCTTCGGCACGGGCGTCCGATCATCAAAATGCCGCGACACGGTAGGCGTGAAGTGCTCCGACGTGACTGGCAACAGAGCGGAGTCGCACCCTGCACGACCCTTGTTGTGCGCGAAGGGCCCGTTGGCGACGCGCTTCGGCGCGTCCTTCCCGAAGGTCCGGTCCCAGCCCGTGATCGGCGCGCACGCCGCCCAGGCTCTGTGTAATGCACACAATATGTCAGAGGACGGCGTCGACAGGTCCACGGGGATCTCGTCCTCGATCGTCGTCGCGGCCGTCGTGTGCGAGGCCCGCAGCCCCCGGAAGACGACGCCCGCCTTTTGCGCCTCGCGAGCGGCGGCGCAGAAACCGGGGTCGTGGTAGTCCGACGGTCGTATGCCCTTCGTGGCGTCCGCCCGGGACGCGACGATGATCACGGTGCACTTCGTCTTCGGCTTTGACGCTAAAGCAGCGAGCTCGCGGCAGTGCCGCGCCGCTCTTTCAGACACCGAGTCGGGAAAGTAGCCCCAGCCCCTCAACACATCCTCGTCGGGGTAGGTCGCGTGGCAGTTCTTCACCTCTACATAATGATGAGTGCCGTCTAGTTCCTCCACGAAAAAATCACACCTAGATTTGGTGCCCGGGCCCTCGTGCGGCAGCACGTGCTCGGCCTTGACGGACTTGTAGTCCGTGAAGCCTGTGAGTGCTTTTTCTCGCAGCACGGCCGCTATCAGGGCATTGGGGCGCTGCGTGTTCGTGCTGCAGATCACGCCGTCGCGCTCGATGAGCTCCCACGTCCAGTCCGTCTTGCGCTTGGGCCCGTTCTCGGGGGCCCGCCGCGCCCAGATCGTGGCGCCCGGGTCGACGAAGGCCTCCATGCGGCCGGGATTGATGCAGTGGGCTTTCACTTCTCCATTTTCTCCGTCATGGACCTCGACGCCGTCCAGCACCAAGTGCGCGGTGAACCGGTCCGTGCGCCGCACGAAGTTGCCCTTCGTCAGCGGGCCCTCGAAAGGTACTACTACTGGTTTGGTTAGAGTCATTGCGTTCGCCGCGGCGGCGACCCACCGGAGGGCGTGGCGCGCCAGCGTGCCCGCCGCGTCGATTGGCGTCGAGGCGCGGACTGGTCGTAGGGTGCCCGAGAGCGTGGTGTTGGCACCAATGCGCCGCCGACGCCGCTTTCTGCTCCGGAGAGCGCTGCAGCCGAAAGTCTGCTTTTGCGGAAACTGCGCCTACAGCTGCGAAACGACAGCGTGCGACACGGCAGTAGTACTTTAGCGATGCCCCACACGGCTCTCTAATCCCAGGCCGAGCGATTTGCGCCGCCAGCCGCTTAAGTTAGGCCAGCCCTAGCGTGCAGTAAGACACTAGGAACAAGCAAGCAACAAGCAGACGAGCTCAACAAACGTCATATCGCGCTGCAGTACAACATAGAGTGCGTCAAGGTTCGCACTGCTGCACCGATATAACGCACTGCAAACGATAGGACGCATCGCTACGACAGCAAGCCATGCTCCTCTCGGCCCTGCGCCGAGGCGCCATACGCGCAACATGCGTCGTAGCCGGCGGCGTTTCATTGAGTGAGGAGTACCCCGTCTTCACGAGGGAAGAAATCAGCAAGCGGGACGGCAAGAGGGGCGCGACCTGGGTTACGTACAAGGACCAAGTGTACGACATTACGGAGTTCGTGAACGCGCACCCGGGCGGCGCCCAGAAGATCAAATTGGCCGCCGGCGCTTCGGTGGAGCCCTTCTGGCGCATCTACAAGCAGCACCTGGATCCTGCCGTGGACATTCAGGAGATCCTGGCCCCGATGCGGGTCGGCACGTTGGATGCATCTGATTTCGCCAAAGAGACTACCATGACGAAGGAGAAGAAGGAGGACGACCCTTATAGAGATGAGCCGGAGCGACATCCCGCTCTGACGGTGCACACGGCCGAGCCGTGCAACGCCGAGGCGCCGGTGGCCATGCTCGGCGATCCTTATATCACACCTACGGAGTTGTGGTACGTGCGGAACCACCACCCCGTTCCACTTGATGACGGAGACGCCCACAAGTTCTCCGTCACTACCGATAACGGAGCGGAGGTCTCGCTAAGCGTCGCGGACCTCAAAAAGAACTACTCAAAAACAACAGTAACAGCGACGATGCAGTGTAGTGGAAATCGACGGGGCCACATGAACCAATATGGGAAGACGTCGGGCACGGCCTGGGGGTCCGGGGCGGCCTCCACGGCCGAGTGGGCCGGCGTGCCTCTGCGAGTAGTCGTCGCGGACCTACTCTTCAAAGATAAATCAGCACCATTAACAGCAGCAAAAGCACTAGGTGCGAAACACGTCATCTTCGAGGCCAAGGACGACATGCAGGCGTCGGTACCCGTCGAGAAGGCTCTGTCGGAACTCGGTGATTGTATGCTAGCCTACGAGATGAACGGTCAGCCCATCCCCAGAGACCACGGCGGTCCGCTCAGAGCCATCGTGCCGGGCTACGCCGGTGTGAGGAACGTGAAGTGGGTCCAGCGCGTCAAGTTGTCGTCGGACGAGGCGGAAGGAGCGTGGCAGCGCGGCATGAATTACAAGGCCATGCCCTCGCACTGGCGGACGAAACAGGATCTGCAGGGCGTCGACTTTTCGGCGTTACCTTCCATCCACGAGCTGCCCGTGCAGTGCGCCTTTTCGTCGCCGGCGCCCGGCGATGCGTTACCGATTGATGAGGACTCTGTGGAGGTTAAGGGATGGGCCCTCGGCAGCGCCGGCCGGTCGATCCATCGGGTGGAGGTGTCGGCGGACGGCGGCGAAACGTGGGTCGAGGCCGACTTGGAGGAGGGCCTGGACCAACCTTATGGGAGAGCGTGGGCCTGGACGACTTGGTCTGCCGAAGTACCGGTCGGCGAGGGTCCGGTGGAGCTCGTAGCGAGAGCGCATGATTTGGGGGGAGGGGCGATGCCGCGGACGCCGGCGGACGTCTGGAATATCCGCGGGCTGAACAACAACAGCTGGCCGGTCGCGCGGCTCGAGCGGTCGAACAATGTCTAACAGTTTGTGATTGATATACATGAACAGTTTGTGATTGATATACATGCTTCTTATCACACCAGGTGGACACACTCAGGGACTCGTCGGCGCGTTGCGCTGGGTAGGCGTCGTCGTGAGCGCGGGCGACGCCGCGAACGGGTCGACGACGTCTTTATGGTTGCGCGCCGCGACGCCCCACCACTCGAGCTGACTCACGCCGCGGTCGAAGTAGCCCGCCCACTCGTCGTGGTCCTCGAGGCATTTCCCAGCTTCGTCGAAGACTTCGGCCGCCTTCGGCACGTGGATCATGGCGCTCACCGGGATGCATCCCATCTCGCTGAGAGCCGGGCGCAGTAGGACCGCGGCCCGCGCGCCGCCCCACTGTCCGGCACTGTAGCTGCAAATCAACGACGGCTTATAGGACATCACGCTCGAGCCGATATGATTTATCGTGTTCAAAAGCGCGGGCGACGGGGCGTGATTGTACTCGGGCGTGACGGCCACGTACGCGTCCGCATTAAGCAGACGCTCGTTGAGCTTCTCGAGCTTGGGCGGCGCCTGACCCGGCGCGTACGCGAAGTAGGGCTTGACGAGCGACGGTAACGCCTCGTCAACCGGATCGACGACGTCGACCTCGTGGCCGCGCGCGTTCAGCACGCCGCAGAGGAACTTGCCAACACGGCGGCCGAGATTCGCCGGGCGCGGCGGACCGTCTCTCGTGCTTCCAAGGAGCACGGCTACGCGCAGTGGACGCATTGTTGGCGCCGTAAAGGCAGTGCTCTGCAATGCACCACAAAAGTGTGTGGAGGTTTGCTCCGCGAGAGCTGGCGCAATGGTAAGCAAACTTTTGCAGCCACTTTCTTAGCTATCAGCGCCTTCGCAGCGCGAGTCCTGTCGTCGTAAACAATTTATGCGGTGAGCTTGGCCGCTGCCAGTTTTGTGGTCCAGCACCTGCGCGCAGCCTGCTTGGCTGGCGCGCCGTCTGCCTGCGCACAGATTGATCGGACCTCTACAAAACGATCAGCGGACCGCGAAATAGCTCACCAATTGCTAACTTGACGAATTACACGGCGGCGGACACGTAGCAGGCGCCAGACCACCACACCTCTGTGCTGCACGCCATCGACGCGACTGCTCGACGGCGTGGCGGAGTAAGCAGACAACACGCCATGTTACTGCGGTCTCTGCTTTTGGTCGTGGCATCATACACGTACGACGCGAGTGCCGCATTGCTCGGCGACCGAATCTCGTATCTCGCGTACGGCTCCAACCTCCACCCAGCCGTGTTCGAACGCCGACGAGGCATCAAACCCCTCGCGATGTCGCCGGCCGTCGCGCCCGGCTGGCGCCTCGCGTTTGATTTGAGAGGCGGCGGCGCAGAACCGTCATTCGCGTCAGCGAGACCGGACGCGCGGCGAGAGCTCTACGGCGCGCTCTACGATCTGACGCCGTCTGACTGGGCGCGCGTTTGTGCGTCGGAGGGCGTCCCGTTCGGCTACGTCGTATGCCCTGTCCGCTGTCGGAAACTCGACGACGGCGAGTACGAATGGGGTTACACGCTCGCCGCCGCGCCGGGACCAATGCGAATTGCGAACGAGGCCGACGAGCCGGTACCGAGCGAAAGGTACCTCGGCTACCTCCGCGAAGGCGCGCGATTGTCTGGCCTGCCCGACTCCTGGTGCAGCTATCTCGATGACATGTCGCGCGACCCCACAGCACCGCTGCCCATCCCGGCGGAGGATACGGCCTGGGCGAAGGGGCGAAAGTAATTGTTTTGTGAGACGAATGCTCCTTATATCCAGGGAATAGGGGAGGATCCAAAGAAAGGGGATGGACGTATCAAGGTCACTTCTTCGACCAGCCCGGCCACCCGCTCGCCCGGTTTTGGGGAGTGGGCGGCGCCGCGGCGGCGTCCGGCATCATGCCCGCCCACGCCGACTGGCCCGACGACCCCTTGGCGTCGAATTCCGTGGGCGTGTGGTGCGCGGGCATCGCGCGGTAGGCCGCGTCGACGCTCACGGACCCCTGGCGCTTCATCTGCGGCCGCGCCCCCGTCTCAGACACGGGAGGCGCCTCCACATCCAAGGCGTGCGTGCCGTCGCTCGCCGCGAGCGCGTCCATGACGAGCTTCTTGCCCGCGACGTCCTGCTGCAGCGACGTGAGCTCGGGCAGGCCGTCTCCATCACTTGGCCGCTGCGTCGTCACCGGGGGCAGGCTCAGCGAGCTCCGCGCGGACGACGGCGTCGACGACCGCCGCGTCGAGGACGCCGGGGCCGACGAGGACCGCGTCGTCGACCGAAACGACAGGCCCCGCGACAATATTGAGGACAGCGGCGTCGGCGGCGACCCGCGGCGGCGGCGCCGCCGGTGCATGCTCCGGTGGCTCTGGTGCTGCATGTGGTGCGGCTGGGACGACAGGGGGTCCGCGGCCGGCAGGAAGAACCGGTCGACGCCCGGCGACGCCAGGCCCTGGTCCCGGTCGATGCGCGCCATGATCGCCCGGGGCAAATCGCCGAACAGGGGCTTCCGTATCGTCCCGTTCCGGGTCTCGTAGTCGAAATACCGCGGGAAGAAGTCCTCGACGCTCCCGCGCGAGACGAGGGCCTCCGCGGGCCCCGCGCCGTTGAACGAACAAATTCCGAAGTCCGGCGTGCCGTCCGCGTTGATGTCCGTGCCATACCAGAACTCCGCGAAGTCCGCCAGATCTTCGAACGTCCTAGGCTCGCGCCTACCGGTCTCCTCCTCGTACTTTGCTACCAGATCGTCCCTCAGCAACAAGTTCAGAAAATCGAAGTCGAACGGCAGGGCTTTCAGGGAACCGTTCACACTATGTGTGCGTCTGACATCTCGTAAAACATCAGTCCAGGCGATCTGCGGCGTGTCGTGGATATACGAAGATAAATCCTCGACGTAGGGCGCCAGCAACGGCACGTCGGGCGCCTGGGTCATGTACGCATCATAAATGTTCGGGCCGCGCGCGTCGTTCAACGCCGCGGCGCCGATCTCGAACAAGTCCGAGAAGCCGCCACACGACAGCCCCGTACAAGCTCCCACGAAGGGCACGAGCTCGACGTGGCCGCCCGTGCATTCTTCAAAACGCTCTACTCTCGGCGTGATCGCGCGGCTCTGCGCCTCCATCGCCACAGTTAACAATGTGGCGACCTCGCCTTCATGAATGCAGCACTTGTCTCTCAGAGTATCGGCGTCGCACGCCACGGGACACACGGTGCTGCGGTATTCTTCGTCGCACACCGGGTGATCGTGGTCGTGGCCCGCCAGCGCGCGCGAGGGCCTCGGCGCGCTCCCGCGCGCTGTCGCGCTCGCGCGCGCCGCCTCTGAGGGCCTGAACTCGCCCGCGCGCGCTGTGGCCGGCCGCGCGCTCGCGCGCGCCGCCTCCGAGGACCTCAAACCGCTCGCGCGCGCCGGCGCCGCCGGCGCGAGCCGGATACATAGAAAGAGCAGTAATCGATTTGGTCGCATTTTCCACCGTCGCGCCGTTCGCTTTTAGGCCGACCAAGGCCGATATCTGGGTCGTTTCACTACTCAAAACTCTGGTATTAGGCCTATTTGCCCTCAAGCGTACCTCGGTATCATACCTGGCCCAGCCTTTGAGGCAGCTAGAGTGTTTCATTACGCTAGCATTTTACACAAAGACTCAAGCGTAGTGCGACGCATACAGCTCCCGCCGCGGCGCCGGGCACGCCGGCACGCCGTCGGGGCAGCAGTCCTCGCAGTCCGCTTGCCCGGCGCGCCGCGTCTCGCCGCCGCCCGCGACGCCGACCATGCCCTCGTCGGGCGTCATCGGTGCGCCGGACCCGCGCGGGCAGTACATGCCCTCGCCACATTCACGCTCTCTCCCATGCGTCGAACCGGGGGGACAGTAGTACCCCTCCTCGCACTGAGAAGGGCTACATTCCCCCGTCGAGTCTGGAAAACACGCCGCCGAGCACGCCGCCGTCGTGAGCCCCGTCTGGTTGCCATAGGTACCAGCCGGACACGGAGTGGGCAGCACGGAGCCTTCCGGGCAGTAGTGGCCGCGGAAGCACGGGCCCGAGCACGCGGCGTCGGTGAGTCCAGTCTCGTTGCCAATGACGTTGCCATAGGTGCCAGCGGGACAGGGAAGCGCGGCGCCCGTCGCCCGCGGACAATAGTGACCGGGAGGGCAGGGCCTGCACTGCGCCGCGTCGACCTGCGTCGCCTCCACGCCCGTCGCAGGTTCGTGGGTGCCCGGCGCGCACGCATGCCGCACGCCGAGGTGGCAGCGGTAGCCCGGCTCGCACGGCGCCTCCCGCGACCGCGCGCCTTCCACGCCGCCAGTAGCGTAGTAGCCTGCTCGTGTCGCTTGCGGGGCTCCCACGCCAGCCGGGCAGAACGGCCTCCGGGCGAAGCCCTCCGAGGCCGCCATCATGCCTTCGCACGGCACGGGCGAAGTGCTGTTCGCGGGACAATAGCGGCCCTCGGGACAGGGCGCCGTGCAGGCCGCGTCTTTTAAGCGTTGAGATGCGCCGTAGGTTCCCGGAGGACAAGCCATCGGTAACACAGAGCCCGCGGGACAATACGACCCGGGCGGACACGGCCCGCTGCAGCGCGCGTCGCCCAGGCCCCGCGTCCGACCGTAAGTGCCTGTGCGCAAATCAATCAGTGAGTCGCGTGCGTCAGCGGATGCGCCGCGACAATTTGACTTATGCACTGGTAGGTGCCGGGTGGACAAGGGCTAGCGGGCGCGGCGCCGCCGGTGCAGAACGAGCCCGGCGGACACTTCAAGGGCACCAAACTCCCCTCGGGACAGTACTCGCCGGCGCCGCCACAGGCGGCCGAACAGCCGGCCGTCGAGAGAGCGGTCACGTTGCCGTACGTCCCCGCCGGACAAGGCAACCTCTTCCCGGCCGCGCAGTAGCTGCCCCGCGGGCACGCGGCCTCGCCCACCGGGAGCGCGCCGTCGTAGAGAGCGTAGAAGCCCGCCGCGACCGGCCGCGGCCGCTCCGAGCCGGGCGGACAGAAGACGTCGCCGCTTCGCGGACAGGGCGCGTCCCGCGCCGACCGCGCGCCGGGCGCGCAGTAGAACCCGGCCTCGCACGTGCCGTCGCAGCTACCGTCGACCGTCGCCGAGAACCGGCCCGCTTGGCACAATTGACAGCCGAAGTCGTCGGGCGACCGGCTGACCATTTCCGAACCCAGGCCGCAGGTCGGCTTAGAAGCGGCGCACGTCCCGTCGGCGCCACAGTACGCGCTTTCACAAGTCCGGTCTGGCCCGTTGCGCGCGCAGCCGCTCCGAGACGCGCACGAGCCGCAGCTCGCCCCCGCGGGCCGGCCCCGCCACGCCGTCGAGGCCACGTCGATCAAAAGGCCGCTGCCGCCATACGCCGCGGGCGGCGCGCCGGGTTCGTTCGGGACGCGGTGCGCCACGATAAATTCATACCTCCCAGTCAGAGGATCTTCGCCGTCGACCGCGCCCTCCAAGACTACGAAGCGCGGGCAGTCGAACGATCCGACGTTTCTGGATGCCTGCCGCGCGCTTACGCCACATTTCACTCGCAGCTTGGTCGGCGCGAGCTGGTGGCCGTCTCCCACATCTAGCGTGAGCACCTGGGTCTGCGCGAGCGCGCCGGCCCAGCCCCCCACGTCGGCGGACCGCCAGGGCGCGTTCTCCCGTTTGTCGAAGGCCTTGAAGCAGTCCTCGGTGTTCGTCGTCGCCCAGCACCGGAACGGCCGCGGCAGCTCGCGGCCCTCGAGCGGGACGGGCGGCACCTTGTCCTCGTGATTGGCGACGCCGCCATAAATCTCGATGTCATCGACCTCCACGATGCGCCCCGCCCTTTGCCGGAACGTTTCGTTGATCGAGATCCGGAGGTAGCGGTACCGCCTCACGCTCGCGTCGTCGTAGCGGCGCCAGGTGTCGCCGGAACTCCACCTTATAAGATCGGTAGCGCCCTTGAAGAGCTCGCCCGTGACCGCTCCCGACACGCGGAACGTCGCGTCGCCCAACGCATAGGCGGTCGTGTGCGTCGCCCCGAGCGCGCCCCATTTACGAGGAGACGGGTACTCCGACGCGAGGAGTCGGACGCCGTTGCTCGCGACGCGAATCAATCCGAGACCGTCGGACCAGGTCCCCGCGAAATCCTTGCTCGACGCGGGCGCCGTCTGGAGGACGACGTCGACGTCCAGAGTAGCGTTCTGCGAGTCGAAGGCGTGGCGGGCGACGCCCGTGTCGATGGTGGGCGTTGACGTGGGCGCCTTCGACTCGGCCGTCGGCGCCGCCGTGTCGGGGGTCGGCGACTGCGATGGCTGCGCCGTCGGCTTCAAGGAGAATTGCGGCGTGACGACGCGCCGGTCCCGCAGCAAGGACGCGACATTGTCCTTGCCTAACGTTCTGAGGTGGGGGTCGTCGCCCAGGTAGACCTTGGTGTAGAGCGGCGCGAAGCCCTCCGCACCATAAATATACATCTCGAAGTGCTGCGGCGGGCCGTAGGCACCCGGCGCCGTTGTAGTGATGGAGAAGCGTCCCGCGGCATTCGTTCTTACGACGACGTGGCAGCCTCCACCACCAAGCGAGTAGCGGTCCATCGGCAGCGTGCCTCGCTCATCATGGGCCTCGGCCAGCGGCGTGAGGCCGCCGAAGGGCGCTCGTCCGAACGGGTCCGCGTGCCAGAGTTCTATTAGTGCATGCTTTGCGGGCGTGCCGTCGGGACCCCTTACTAATCCGCGGATCAGTAACGTGCCGTCGACGTCGTACTCATAACCCGTGACGGGGTTCTCTTCAGTAAGGCGTCGGTTCGTCGCTTTGCAGGCGATACCGTGAGACGCGAGCACGGGCGGCACTGCCATTTTCCGGTAGTAGGGACTCGGCACGTCAATCGGCCACGGCGCATCCGCTGAGACACAGAGCGCGTCCGGGCAGGGCCCCCCGCTACTAATGTCGACCTCTCCGATACATACTGGGTGGATCGAGACGTCGAGGGCGTCCTCCACGCCGTCTCCATCATAATCACCGCCATCCCGGTGCCTTGTGAGCTTGAGCTCGTCCGTCGTGTGCACCGCGGCCATGGGGTTCGCCCCGTCGCGCATCGTCGTTTCGACATGGGCGCCGGATTGTGTAGAACCTTCGCGCTGGTACGCGCATTGAGAGCGCGTGAGCCACTTGGCGTGCGTCGCGACCCAGCCTTCTTCCGAAATCTGGGACCGCCGGAGCGCGTGGTCCGTCGGGAGCGTGTCCAGGTCGAAATTAATCGCTTGATCGAGGTCCGCGAGCCAGTGAGCCGCTCGGCGCTGCTCCTGACCGGTCTTGTGGAGGCCTAGGTCCTCGCGCCAGCTCTCCTCCGCGAGGGCGGGCAGCAGCAGGACTATTATGCTGCCCCTCGGCATCATCTCTCTGTCGTCTTACGGCTGCCTTTCGGTCTAGCTTTCGTCAGACCGGTTGCATAGCTTTCTCCTGCGTTTCCCTCCGGTCCGCTCGGGGCTCAAGGCTGCCTCTCCAGCATCCAGCGCCCATGAATGCCGCTGGGCTCTCTGGCTTGCTGGACCCGCACGATTTTCCCGGATCGTCATCTATCGCTGAGAAGCGGCGCCTTGCCGTCGTTCGGTGACGCCTCGCCGAAATCGCGGGAAAACCCGCGCATTTGGCCGATTTTTTGGTGTCCAGGCTCAGCACGCGCTACGCGGGCCGATTTGCACATCGGGCCGACGTGACTACAGCACAGTGCTCTACGCACTGCTGGACACAATTGCCGAGCCGCGCAACCACTGATTCGCAGTGGTTGGCCAAGACCAGTAGAGGCCACATTTGTATTTTTTTGCTGCACGCGCGCATCTGTCGTCGCAGCGTGCCGCGCACGCCTGATTCAAGCTCAAAAACCGCGCCGAAGAACTTGCCGCAGCGCGCCGGCACCGGAAAGCGATGATGCCGCCGTCGCCGCCGCCTCCGCCGGGCGAGGAGTCCAAGGCACCCCTGGAGATCGACACCGAGCGAACGATACAACGACGCAATTCTTCGTTGGACGAGGACACGACGGACGTCTTAGCGCATCTCGAGGCGTCGCCGTCGCCGAAGGGGAAAAGTAGAGCGTTCCCGTTTCCGAGTCCTCGACGGAATAGACTTTCGAGTGATGACATCGCGCCGCCGGACGACGACGTGGAAGCGATCATCGAGGGGGCGGAGGAAGGTCGGCTGCCGCGATTATTACCGGAGGGCGACCGAGCCGCGTTAATTGAAAGACTGAGAACCGACTTGTTTGAAGTGCAACGGGATTCCGAGTTATCAGCATCGCAACGGCGACCGGCCTCACCCCTCCCGCCGACGCCTGTCTCTATCACCGATAGTACAGATACTCAAAAATTAGGAACGTTCAAAGGCGTGTTCCTACCTTGCTTGCAGAACATCCTGGGCATTATTTTATACCTACGATTGACGTGGATCACGGGCCAGGCCGGCACCTTCGGCACGTCTGGAATTGTCCTCATTTGTGCCTGTTCTACGTTCCTCACAGCTCTATCTTTATCTGCGATAGCCACCAATGGCAGAGTCGAAGCCGGAGGACCCTACTTCGTGATTTCTCGAAATCTGGGACCGGAGGTAGGTGTCGCTGTCGGTATCTTATTCTACCTGGGCACGACCATAGCCGCGTCGATGTACGTCCTCGGGGCCGTCGAAATGCTCTTCGAGGGCTTTTCAGTAGTGAGCAACACCATTGATATCAAAGGGTCGTGGGACTGGGCCATCTCGGCACTGGTGTTGATGCTTGCTTTAGCATTAATTGTGCGAGGCGGCGTGAGACACGTCAACCGGGCGGCACCCATCTTTTTGTCGGTTGTCATACTCTCAATCATCCTGCTACTGCTGGGCATCTTCCTGTTTGCGGGAGGCGTCTACAAAGGCGCGTTATCGTGGAGTGATAGAGATTTCGGCGACAACGTCAAGCCGGACTTCGAGAAGACGGACGTGCGTTGCGGCGTCCCGCGGTGCCTTCACGCCATCTTCATGAACTCGTATCCGTCAGACGACGTCGTGGGTGGTCTCGTTTTCGAGTTTGAGCCGTTTCGGACCGAGTCGATACCGCACAGGACCCCCCACAACCGAAACCCGACTTCCAGTCCTTGATCGCGCTCTTCTATCCGTCCGTGACGGGCATCATGGCCGGCTGCAATCGCTCGGGTGTCTTGGCGCAGCCCAGTCGTAGTATACCGATCGGGACCTTATCCGCGATCCTATGTACGACGTCCCTCTACTTGTTAGTAGTGTGGGTGTTTGGTTCCGTGCTCTCGCACGAAACGTTACTAGATAACCCCTACGTGACGGCGGACGTGGCCTGGCCCCACCCCGTCGTGGTCAAAGTGGGCATAATTATGTCGTCGCTCGGGGCTGCGTTGCAGTCGTTGACGGGGGCACCTAGATTACTATCAGCGATAGCCGGAGACAATTTGGTACCGTTCTTAGAACCGTTCGCGCCCCACAAAGAAGAAGAACATAAACCGCCGCCGCCACCTGTTGCGGATTCGCCGCGACGCGTGCAATCTCGCAATAGGTTGTCGACACCGGCCGACCTGGAGACCGCCGGTGGAGCACCTTCAGCACCAGATGAGACGCCCTCGCCCGTTTCATCACCCTCAAGGAAGTCCTTCTTCGAACTCAGCAATGCGTCGGTGCAAGTCGGCCGATCAAGCGCCCCGAAGAATAGCGCGGAGTTGAGGCCCACGGCCTTACTCTTAACGTGGTTCGTGGCCAGCGTCCCATGCCTCGCGGGGAACCTGGACGCCATAACCCCAATAATCACGATGTTCTTCCTGCTCATGTACGCGACGATCAATGTCTCATGCTTCGCGGTCGCGTTTCTGGGGACTCCTGGGTTCCGACCGACGTGGCGGTGCTTCCACTGGTCCTCGGCGCTGTTAGGCTGCTTACTGTGTCTGGGACTCATGTTCGCGATATCCTGGCTGTATTCTCTCGTTGCGTTGGCGTTCGGCGCCGGTGTCGGCTTCTATGTGCGATCACGACGCGTCAGCACGGACTGGGGCGACGCGGGAGCGGGCTTTCGGTTCCAAGTGGCTCGAGACCAACTACTGGCACTGACGGAGCGATCAACGTTTCACCACGCGAAGAACTGGCGGCCGCAGATTTTGGTGCTGTGCCGGTGCGACGGCCGCTTCAACCCCGTCAAGCCCGAGCTGTTGGCTTTGGCCGGTTTGCTGAAGAAGGGTAGGGGGTTACTGATGGCTCATGCCCTGATCGACGCCCAAGATCAACCAAGAGCGTTGGTGGCGGAGGCCGCTACTGAAGTTCTGAGGTTACACTTACACGCGCAGCAGATCCAGGGCTTTCCTAGAGCTATTGTTCATAGATCCGGTTCTAGAGATGTGACAGAATCCCTATTAGCGACGGCCCAGTCCTGCGGCGTCGGCGCCTTACGGCCGAACTCCGTTTTACTGGGCTGGCCCCACGCCGAGGAACACTCCGAGAAAAGACGTAGAAGGTTCATCCAGTTTCTCAGAGATCTATCAGCTCTCAGAAAAGCCCTGATGGTCCTGAAGGACGGGCAAGCTCTACAGTCCGGACGACCCTTCGGCGAGGGTCGGACGCTAGACGTGTGGTGGGTCGTGCAGGACGGTGGACTACTGTTATTGATACCGTTTTTACTTAAGCGATCTAAGGTCTTCGCGGGGTGTCAACTAAGGTTGTTCGCGGTGATGACGGGGCTGTTCGCCCATCACTGGAACGCGGACCATGGTGGCGCTTCAGCTATACCACAAGCAACACCGGGGGACGAACGAGCTCTAGAGCAGGAGCAGACGTTGTTGGATAGATGGCAGCGGTTCATTGAAAGGATGTTGGCTGATCTAAGGATTGACGCGGAAGTCCATCCCATCGCCGGTCTCGACTTCGTCTGGGCGGCAGCGCACGTCTACCGGGACACGCTTGGACTTAGGGGAAGGACGACCTACGCCCAGCAGCTCGAGAGACGTACGACGACGCCATCACATCGACCGAAGCCGCCGGCGTCTCCAGTCAGTCCTGGTCGGCAGCACCAGTCTCCGTTAATACCGGACGACAACCGGTTGACGCCTTTGAGGGGCTTTGCCCAAGCTTTGAATGCGAAGATGCGTCGGCATTCCAGTGGCGCGGCGTTGGTCGTCACAAATTTACCGTACATGACCCATTTGCCGCCGGCCTTCTTCGTGGACTACGTCGACGCGATGACCGATGGACTAGGGGCCGTATTATTGGTCCGCGGGTCGGGGCAGGAGGTCGTGACGAAGTACGGCTAATTTACTCTTGTGTGACTTCTGTGTCTCGCTGATTCTCCCTGCCGGGCCGTTCGAGAAACGCGAAAACCCGATCTGCACTAGCGGTGTAAGACACTAGCAGGCCATTTATTTTGCGGCCAGACAAACGCGACGTCGTGTCGTCGTCGTGCGCGTCGGATGCTCCGGTGTCATTTATACACCTCTGTCGCTGGCATTCATCCATCTCCGTTCACCTCTGGCGCTGCTGTGGCTCGCATCTGAAATCGCTGCTGAACTCTAATTTGCAGGCCGTAGAGCCGGTGCGCATCCATGGGGGAGCGCAACTGCCCGCGCTGCACTCTATTTAATCCAGCCGACGCTACGAACTGCGCGGCGTGCGATATGAAACTCCCACCGGCGCCGGCTGCTCCGCTGTCGCCGGCTGGCGGTGAGGACTTCTCGGATTTTGACGCCGTGCCGGTGGCGGCGCTCGACGTTAACGCGATCGCCGCGCCGCCGCCGGCCGTGCCGCTGGCCGTGCCGCCGCCGGCCGATGATGGGTGGGCGAGCTTCGAGAGCGCGCCTACCGGCGCCAGCGATGGCGGCTTCGGCGCCTTTGACGCGCCTGAGACCGCTGCCCGCGACGTCGGCAGCTTTGACGCGGGTTTCGGCGCCAATTTCGCCGCCTTCGAGTCGGCGCCGGGCGCCGCCGCCGCGCCGGCCGCGGACGAAGGCTTCGCAGCCTTCGATGACGCGGCGCCCACCGCGCCGGCCGGTGCAGCCGCGCCGGACGAGGGCTTTGCCGACTTCGGCGCCTTCGCGGGCGCGCCCGCCGAGCCAGCGCCCGCGGCGGAGGACCGCTTCGCGGCCTTCGACGCACTGGCGGAGCCGGAGCCGGAGCCCGAGCCGGTGCCCGGGCCTGATGAAGATCCCGGCTTCGCGGCGTTCGACGTCGACGAGGCGCCTCTGGCTGCGCCGGCGGACGTCACCGCGCCACCAGCGGAACCTGACGTAGGCTTCGCCGCTTTCTCGGAAGCACCACCGGCGCCCCCAGCAGATGACGCGGCCGCGGCACCGGTAGCTGACGACTCAGGCTTCGCAGCCTTCGAGCAGGCACCACCGGTGGCGCCAGCAGACGCCCCTGCAGCGCCGACGGAAGCTGGCGATGGGTTCGCGGCCTTCGAAGCTCTGGCGGAGCCCGAGCCCGAGCCCGAGCCGGCGCCCGCGGCGGCGGAAGATGAGGGCTTCGCTGCGTTCGAGCAGGCCCCAGGGGCGGACAGCGACGCACCGGAGGACTTCGGCGACTTTGACGCCGCGCCGGCAGAACCCAGCGACGCCACACCCGACCCCTTCGACGCCTTCGACGACCTGGACGCGCCAGCCGCGCCGGCGGCGCCACCGCCAGCCGCGACGGAGCCGCCGCCGGCCGAGTCCATTCCCTCACCCCCGCCGGCCGACACCGACCCCGCCGTGACGCCCGGCGCCGCCGCGCCGAAGGAAGATTTCAAAGCGTACGATGTCGACACGCCGGCCAGGGCGCCGGCGGAGGCGGCACCCACGGAAACGCCCGCGGCGGACGAGTGGTCTGCGTTCGCGGACGCCCCCGAGGAGCCGCCCGCCGACGCGCCGGCCGCTGAGGCGGAGGACTTTGGCGATTTTGACACCGCACCTGCGGACGCGCCGCCGCCCGAGCCGGCGCCGGCAACCTCGGAGGACCCTTGGTCCGCCTTCGACGCCATCGCGCCGCCCGATTCTGCGGCACCGGTCGAGAGCGCACCCGCGGCACCTACGCTCGACGACGCCGCCGCGGACGGTGACGAGGGCTTCGCCACGTTCGACTCTGCCGCCGCGCCCACCGCGGACAATGTCGATGAGGGCTTTGGTGCATTTGACGCCGCGGACGGCGTGGCAGACGCGACGGAGCCAGCGGCGGAAGAAGCCGCCGCCGCCGCGCCCGCCACCGACAACGTAGAGGAACTAGCTGCCGACGGCGACGACGATGACAGCTTCGGCGACTTCGCCACGCCCGCAGCCGATGCGGCACCCGAGCCGGCCGCCGCCCCCGCAACCACGGAGGACGCCGACGATCCCTGGTCCGCCTTCGACGCGATCGCGCCGCCGGCGCCCGCGGGCGACGCCCCTGCGGTGGCAGCGGAAGCCGACGATTTGTCCTTCGCGGCTGTGGCGGAGGCACCACTGGCGGCGCCCGCAGACGACGCGGCGGCCGGAGCCGACAACGTAGGCTTCACGGCCTTCGCGGAGGCGCCGACAGACGGCGGCGAGCTCGCTGCGCCGGTCGAGGACGGCGTGCCGGACGCAACGGAGCCCGCGGCCGACGAATCCGCCGCCGTGCCCGCCGCGCTTGACGCGGACGAGGGCTTTGGCGCATTTGATGCTGCCGAGCCCGCGGCCGACGCGACGCCCGACGAGCCGGCCGCCGAACCCGCGAGCACCGAGGCCGCTGACGATCCGTGGGCGGCCTTCGACGAGCTGGCGCCGCCGAGTGGCGCAGCGGCCGCGCCAGTCAGCGAGGCCGACGCGGCGGCGACCGCGGATGGCCCCGATGATACTGACAGCCCTGCTGCGCTGACAGAAGCTGATGCCGACGCCCCGGCGCCTACAGCGGCTGACGATGGGTTTGCTGCGTTCGAGGAGGCGCCAATGGCGGCGGAAGCTGCAGCAGCGGATGCTGACGACGGAGGCTTCGAGGCGTTCGCTGAAGCACCGCTGACGGCCTTGGCAGACGCCGACGCCGCCACGACGCCGGCGGAAGCGGACGACCCGAGCTTTACAGCGTTCGAGGAGGCGCCCGCAGAGACCGACGCGGCGCCGAGCGACCCTCCACCGGCGGTGGCGGAGGAGGACCCTTGGGCCTCATTTCCGGAGCCGGTCGCGGCCGACGACGCCCCCGCGGCGGCGGCGCCGACGGCCGACGCCTTCGAGGCGGCGACGGACGTGCCCGCCGGCGACGCCGCCCTCGCGCCGGAGCCGACCGAGGGCGACGCGTGGGCCGCGTTCGACGGCGCCGCCGCATCAGCCGAAGACGCCAGCCCCGGCGCGCCGTCCGGCGACGGGTCCCTCCAGACGTCGTCGTTCGAAAACGTGTCGGCGCCGGGCGATGCGACCGAGGCGCCCCCGACAGCCTTCGCCGCGTTCCAGGAACCCACGGCCGACGGCGACGCGGAGTCCCCGGGTACGATGGAGCCCGCCGTCGACGACGACGCGCCGGCTGCGTCCGGGGATGCGAGCCGCCCACCACCGCCGACGGCGATCGTGTGCAAGCCCTGCGCGCCGGCGGCGACAGAAGCAGACGACGGTTTCACGGCTTTTGAGGCGGCCCCAACGGACACTCCGGCGCGCGCCGACGCACCGACACCTGCTGCCGACGTCGACGCGACCATCACGCCCAACGGCGGCCTTGCGACGTCACCCGAGCCCGTCGAGGCAGATACAGCGCGGAAGCGGTTCCCGAAGTCTGCCGCGAAGCCGGCCGCCACCGAGGCGGTAGAGGAGGAGGACGAGCTCGGCTTCGGCGCCTTTGAAGATGCTGTCTACGGTACTCCACCGGACGCCGGCTTCGCAGCCTTCGAGTCTGCCGCGGACGGCGACGCCGACGGCTTCGGCGCATTTGACGCCGCCCCAGACGATAACGACGCCTCTGAAGGCGAAGACGAGGGCTTTGCAGCGTTCGAGGCAGCGGAGGAGGCCCCAGCAGACGCCGACGACGACGACGGCTTCGGCGACTTCGCCACAAGCACCGGCGACGACGACGGTTGGGGCGCCTTCGAGGACGCGCCGACCGCGCCGCCTGCACCAACGAAGCAGACCCTGTTCGCGGCGGCGTTTGGCGTCGCAGCTGCTGCCGTAGCGCCGGCGACGCCGCTCGAGGAACGTCTCACCGCTCTCGACGCGGCCCTATCCAAAGGTGCCGCGGCGCCATCCGCCACACCAATTAACCTCGCGCTGCTCCACGCGCCGCTGGAGAAGGCGATTGCCGCGGCGCGCGCCGCGCAAGCTGAAGAGCACGACGACGGATACGGCGCGAGCCCCGCTGTCGCCGAAGAGGTGGCGCCGCCTGCGGAAGAAGAGTCGGCGCCGCTTCCGCAGCCGGACCTGGCGCGCTCGGACTCGGCGACGTGGGACATCTTCGGCGCGCTGCCGACGCCGAACCAGAGCTCGGGAGACCTGGCCGCGCAGGGCCGGGGCGCTTCGCCGCCGCCGCCTCCGCAAGAAATCTCGCAGGAGGACATCCTCGCCGGCCTGTCGGCTGCGAGCCCGGCGCCGCCTGTGGCGCCCGCCGCAGCGGTGTCCTTCGACCCCTTCGGTTAACATGTGATCAGATTAAACAACACTAGGGCGGCAGCTCCGCGCCGCACCGGAAGCAAAACCGCGCGTCCCGCCGGTGAGCCTTCTCCGAGCAGACCTCACACCTCCGCGCGAGGCGATCCACCCTATACCCCATGGGCTTCTTCTGCTGGGCTTCCCGCGCGCGCGTCTCCTTGAGGAGCGTCTCCGCGAGGCCCGTCAATTGTAAAGGTACGAGCGCGATGCCGACGACGGTGGAGGCGGACACGATAAGACGACCGACGGGTGTCACGGGCGTGATGTCGCCGAACCCGACGGTCGTTAAAGTAGTCAGCCCGAAGTACAATGCATCAAAAAAGTCCGAGATCTGCGCGTTCGAGCCGGACTCGGCGGCGTAGATGAGCCCCGACGCCTGTGCGGAACATAGTGTTGTCGCGAAATAACGGGAGGAGACATATGTCGTGAAGCGAAGCGTGACCTCGGACGGTAATTCCAATAAGTGTGTGTCTCCGCACGTGTGGTGGACGGGGCAAACCGTCCGCTAGGACTGGTGCCAGCATGGTTCTCGTCATCGGTCTTTGACGTGATTGTATAGGGACGCCGGCGCGCGGACCACGAAAAGTAATGTAAACAGCGAGGAGAAGACGCGCGCGAGCTGCAGCGTCACCTCGACCCTGGACCTGTCGAACGTCGACGACAGGCCCAGCGCCTCCCGGACCTCCGCGAAGGTTTCCACATCTGTCAGCAACCGTTGCAAGCGCAGCACGCGCAACAACCGCAAGAACGAGTAAGTATCTGCCGACGACGACACGAACAGCGGCAGGAAACTCACAAAATCCACAACGTTCAGCGCCTCGAGCGGGAACCTGTGAGAAAGCGGACCAGTCTACTCACGACGGGACTCGAACCCGCAATCTTCGCCTTAGGAGGGCGACGCCTTGTCCATTAGGCCACGAGAGCTTTTTTTGTACGCTGGTCCGCGCCGCGCGTCGAAGCCCCTGGAGTAAAACCTGGCCAGGTACTCGGCCAAGAAGAACGCGGACGCCCCCTTTTCCAGTACTGGTAAAGCCGTCGCGACGGTCTCGGGCAGGTCATTCAACGTGTTGAACGCGTAGGCGGCGCACGAGAGCAACGTGATCGCGGCCGAGAGCACTTCAAATCTAGGGTTCGCGAGGTACTCGGCCGCGCGGCGCGCGCCAGCGGCGGCCGTCGGCGACGGCGCGGGCGCGAGGAAGCCCTTCTTCTTGGTTTCGTCGAGTATCTCCGTGGACGGGTTGTAGGCGGTTTGTGCCTCGTCGTCGACGGCGCGCAAGGGTGTGCGCCGCCGGGCGTGCGGCAGCGCTTGCAGTGCGCTGCTCACGGCCACCGCTGCGCATAGCGCAGGTCGCCGCATTCGTGCGCGAGCTGCAAGCTCACCCTGCGCCCGATGCCGAGCGATGCGTTGGCGCAGGGTGGTTGATTGCAATGCCCATCGATCACAGCGATTATACTCGGTTGAAGCTCCGCGCTAGCGGTCTGTAAAGACACTAGCAACACCAGCCCTTGTCCTAGTCCAGCCGGACGGGTGGGCCCGGGGGGAGCGGGAGGGGTACGGGGGACCCCGCGATGTAACTAGCCTGAGCTTGAGCCTACTTCTAGAGTTATTCTCTTACGAAGACTACTTTCTGCCCGGCTTCGCGCGCGCGGAGCACGGCTCTTGCCTTTTGCAATCCATCCTCTATTCCAACTGTGCCCGGGTTCGCGCCGCCGAGGACACGCCGTGCAATCCGTTCCGTGTCCTCGAGCGTCGTCACGGCCTCGCGGAGATCGTCGAGCGTGGCGCCGCAGTCCTTGTAGATCGACCGCGCGTAATTCAAGCGCATCATGAGCGTGAGTTCATGACTCTCGCCGAGAACGCGTCGCGCCACGGGCATCATTTTGCGCATCAGCGACTTGGCCTCTTCGAAGCGCTCGAGAACACCAAGGGAGAACGCGCAGTTGTTGGCCGCTAGGAGGGTCTCTCTATGTTCTTCGCCGCTGAGCTTCAAACGCTCAGAGTATACACCGAGCCGCATCCGCAGAGCCTGATCGTGTTGTCCGAGTTTATCATACGTGGTCGCAAGATTGCTCTGCGCTCCGAGAATGCTGTATGCTGACGCGCCAACACGCCGCTCCATAGCCAACTTGGCCTCTTCCACAGACAACGCGTCCTCGTGGTGTTCTGCCTCGGCTAAACCGTTCCCAAGAACGCCCATCGCAGGGCGACGAAGCTGGTCCCTCTCCGGCCGCCCGACGTACGTCTTCCAACACGCCCATCCGAGCGCGCACGAGACGACGCCATGGTACCGTTGCTCGCACAGGCTACACGTATCCCAACGGCGGAACCTCTCAGTCTTCGCCTTGATGTCCAAATTGTTCTCCTCGGCCTCCGCGAGCAACAGGGCAGCAGAAGGGCAAGGGCGACACCCTTTTACCCGTGTTTACCCGTCGAGGGTAAGGGTGAAGGGTGTCCAGTTCGGGGGAAGGGTGCGGGTGAGGGTAAGGGTGCGGGTGAGTCAAGGGTGTAGGCGTTTCGCGAAGGGCGAGGGTAAGGGCGCGCGGGAAACTCCATCAACCCTTTTCCCCGAAGGGCCATTTCTCGAAAGACCTCTGGAGCGGTGCCTCGAACAACGCTGGACTCGTTTCGGGCGGGCCCGCCCGGGTGTGCATTTCCACGGCTCCATGCGGAGCTCGCCGCTCCATCCGAGAATCGCTGCTGCGATCGAGTACCCGTGCCACGTACAGTGAGTAGTTGCTCTGCTGCGCTGCGAGATCCAAACCAGCCGCGCGCTACACCACGACCACGACCACCAGCACCACTACAGACCACCGCCAGCAGCACCACTAAACCATGCCGCCGCAACTATACTACAAGAAGGTGAAAAAGACCGACATGCAGCAGCACATCGGCAAGGAATTTAGCATCCCGGGCTCGTTCTGGGAAGGCAGCACTCCAGAAGAGGAGAAGCAGCTCTACCCGATCGAGGTCGTGAAAATAGATGGGGCGCACAAGTTCAAAGGGATAAGGAATGCGCAGCCGGCGTTTGGCTTCGTCTTAACGCGCCCGGAAGATCAAGAGCATAATCCGACGGGGGGCGACTGCGAGTGGATCGGGCTCTCGGAATACAGCAAGTTCCTCGCCGCGTGGGAGGAGGATCACCCGCCGCCGCCGCCGCCGGCGCCGGCGCCCGCACCCGTGCCCGCGCTCGAGACGGCCGAAGCTGCTGATGCGGACCTAGATGCCGACGACGAAGGGCCCAATTTCTTCGAAAACTCCAGGGCCGCCATCCGCAAGTGTTTTAGAAAAGCTGAGTTAGTGGAGACGAAAACGAATGGAAAAGGCAGGACGACGCGCAAATTCAAATTCGTCTGTAGGGATGAATTCCACGGCGACCCGAAGTGCAATAATCATCCAGCCGCAACCGGTGCATCAATCAGTTTCCACTGCGTTCTTCGTGCTGAATCATCACGTCGACCGTCACGCCATCGCCGCGACGTCTTCTCGATGGCGTGGTGATGGCCTCGCGTATATCCGGTGCGAAGCGCGTCGCCGTGAAATACGCGCGCGAACTGTTGGGTGACTGGGGACCTATTGGGTGCTTGTGCACAGGTAACCGTGTGGGACGGAAGTACTGGTGCGCTCATCAACCACATGAGGGATAATCACTCGACGGAGTTTAAGAAGATGGTCGAACGAGGCGACATCAAGGGCACTAGTAAACGCATGGTGGTCGACGGCAACGTTGTAGAACGCCTCTCGTTCGAGGAGGCGTTTACTCATCACGTGGACTTCGTGGTCATGTGCTGCGTGGACGGCATCCCGTTCTACAGCTCGAGAAAGAAGGGCATGCGCAAGTACTCTGGAAGGCTCAAGCCGGGCTACGTCCCTCCAGATCGCAAGACGTGCGTGCGCATCCTGGAGGCCCTCGACGCCCTCTGCGACGACGAGAAGGCCGTGCGCCTGCAGCGGCACGTCCGGGAGGTCGGCGGCCAGTGTATCGGCATGCAGTTCGACATGATGACGAAGCACGGCGTCACGTACATCTCGGTGAACGGCAGCATCATCATTGTGGTCGAAGGGTGCCTCCAGATGCAGCCCTTCCAGTTCGGCTACAAAAATTGGCCCGCCAAGCTAGCGAAGGACGGCCAGGCCATCAACTCGTTTGTAGACTCGTTGTGCGTGCGGCACGGCGTCGACTACCGGAAGGACGTCGGGTCGCCGACGATAGACGGCGGCTCGGCGAACTGGAAGGCCATGCGCCTCGGCAAGAAGGACGGTCGATACTGTGGTGCCCACAAAATGGGCCGCAAAGTGCTCTACGCCCTGGGCATGACCAAGACATCGCAGCATCTGAATCCAGAGGGGCCCGGTTTAGTGAAGACGTTCAAACGATGGGCGGCGTTCGTGAAGAAGTGTCGCCAGTTCGACAATTCGCAGAAGGACTTCCAGGTCAAGCTCGGCCTGGCCCAGGACTTCGCCTCGGCCAAGACCACTGTTGTAGCGAACGAGACGCGCTGGGACGGCATCCACCACACTATTGAACGTTCGACGGACCTCGAGATACCTATGTACAAGGCGAAATCCCTACTCATCAATGGCAACGTGCTCGATATGATGGATTTGGACGACGACGAGAGCTCCGTCGACGCCGACGCGGAGCTACCGCTCGAGGAGGACTCGCTCTCGGACGCTTCTTCAGACTCAGACGTGCGCCACGCGACGCCGTCGCGGGAAAAGAAGTGGGAGGATCGCGCGGCGGAGCGCTTCCCTGATAAAAAGGCTTGGAACGGCGGGCATGGGCTGCGGACCGCGCTGGGCGCCCCCCGTGCCTTTAACAAGCTCATCCAACATTCGACGGAACCGACGGTGCACCTCACGTTAAAGTTAGCCCGCGGCGTGATCAACGCGTCCTCAAGGACCCCTGTAACGATGACGAAATGGGTCACGTCAGGCGAGAGCATGGTTCTAGGAAGAGAGAGAGTGATGGCGGCGGACCTGCCCCCGGTGGCGCGGATTACCCGCACGTTGCTCGCGGAGCAGGTCGAGAAGGGCTTCTTCGAAGATGATATCTGCGAGCGGGACCTCGTTGCACTACATATGGACGTTACTACAGACCCTCGAAAGATCCTGAAAAGCAAGCCCCTCGAAACACGCATGATCAAGGCCTATCAGAAATTATATCGGGAGACGGAGCGGTTCCTCGGTGTTGCGCCGCCGAGCCTCCGCCGAGGCCAGAAGAAGAAGCAGCAGCGACGCAGCGGGGATGATGGTTTTGACAGTCTGATGGCCGAGGTGGAGGACCCATTGAGTTCTGATGAAGAGAACGACGACGAAGTGCCTGCGACGGACGAGATGAATCAAATTCACGACATTCGCCAGCGAAAGGGAGACCACCCGGACGTGCAGCGCGCCATCGTCAACGGGAAGTTCGAGATTTTGCTTTTCTACTCCCAGGGCCAGTCCCTGCGTCCCGTCCACTACAACATGGCCCGGCAAGTCTTCGCCGACCAGTCGACTGAGGGTGTGAGTGAGAGTAGCTTTTCGACGCATGGAATGTTGGCCTCGAAGCTTAGAAAGGTGTTGGGTCCAGAGATTGCTGCGATGATGGTTAAGGTAGCCAGAAACATCGAATGGTTGGGTCCCGACGTGTTGAAGAAGGTGTTCGCCAAGTACAAGGAAATGTTCCGAGCCGATCCGGAAGCATTCAGAGACGAAGGGTAAACCGCACCGTTCATCACGGATGCCTGCCACTTCGCGTCGGCGAGTCCGACAAGCCCCGCGCGCGCTGCAGTCGTCGTCGTGCAGCGCAGCCCTCCATCGACCCCCCCCTATAAAATAGCGCGTTCTAATACGTCGAAAAACACTAAATTCGCCGACCCCCAAATAAGGGTGAGGTAAGGGTAAGGGTGCCCGTCCCGCGCCAAGGGTAAGGGTGCAGGTAAGGGTGCGGGTAATGAAGGGTGTCGGGAGGGAAACGACCCGTGCGGGTGACGGGTGGTATTTCTCCATCCACCCTCGCCCTTGCCCTTCTTGCCCTTCTGCTGCCCTGGCGAGCAAAATCTTCGCCTGCTCCGCCAGGCACGACACGTGGGCAAATCCCGCCGTCCCACGGCACGAACATCCGCGCACAAGACCCTCCTTCGTTTTCCAGTGGAGGGCTTGCGTGCAGATGTAGCACGTCTGCCCCTTGGTGTCGGCCGCGCACGCCTCGACAGCCTCCGCGACGGCCTCCTTGTATTTTTTGTCGGCGTGGTATTGCTCAGCGTTACCGCCGCGGTGTATCTTCTTACAGATCTGCTTGTGGCCGCGGCGCCAGTGGTCCATCTGGCAAGTTTTGTTACAATATCTTGTGTGACATCTCACACATCGCGGCGCGTCGTGGGCCAGTGGGGCGGCGCAGGCGGCGCAATTTGTGAGGATCATCTTGCGTGGCGGGGCGTCTGTAGAGCGTTCGCGTCGCGCGGCGTGTTTTTGCCTAGAGAAGCCGGCAATTACGCTTCGCTGCTTATTGAACTACAGCGCTTCAAAGAAGCCGAGGCACTGTTGCGCAAATTAATACCCGTGGCTCAACGTGTTCTCGGAGATAATAATATGGAGACGCTCAGGATGGAGTGGATTTACGCGGAGGCCCTCTACAAGGACGCCAGCGCCTCGCTCGACGATCTCCGTGAGGCCGTGACGACGCTTGAGGAGACGGCACGGATTGCGCGGCGCGTCATGGGTGGCGCGCACCCGCTCACAGCAGCGATTGGAGACAAATTGCGATACGCGCGAGCCATCCTCCGCGCCCGCGAAGCGCAAGTATAACTATTTAAACTTAATATCACCTATCCGTCGCCGCGACCTCCTCCTCGATGAATTCGGCGAGCTCGGTAGCGTTCTCAGCACTATCGCCATTGCTCATGACCGTGCACTGGTCGTCGTCGAGTCCCGCGAGGATCTCCGAGGTTTCGATGACCGCGCGCGTCGCGTTCAGGACCGTCGAGTTCGCATCCAGCAGCTCTTCAGCCCGAGCGTCGGCCGCGAAGAACGCCTCGCGCTGCAGCTCCGCGATCGTCGACAGCGCCGCGCGTTGCGCCTCGAGGGAACCGGGCTTCTTCTCCACCGGCGCCTCCACGACGGGCTCCGGCTCCGGATCCTCCGCGACGACAGTAGCGTTCTTGGGCTCCTCTCGCACGACCGTCTCCTCGACGCCGACCTCCTCCATGAGGCTCTTCGGCTCGTCCTGCACGGGCTCCTCCTCCTCCTCGGGTTCCTCCTCGGCCACGGCCTCCTCCACCGGCGCGGGCTCCTTCTCCGGAGCCTTCTTGGGCTTGGCCGGCGTGCTCACGCCCTCGTCGAAGAAGCCGAGGGCCGTCCGCCGGTTCTCCTCGATGAGCATATCGACGTCATCCGCTCTGAAGCCTAGGCCCCTCAAAACGGCGCCGCCGAACGGTAGCGAGAGTAGTTTCGAGTCGCTTTGTATGGTCGGGACGACCGCTTGGACGTTCGGCAACCTTGCCAGTCGTCGTCGGTGCTGCGCGTCCGCCGCCCGCGCCAGGATGGGCAATCGCGCGTTCTTCCGCTTCAGAGCGACGACGGCGGCCGTACACGCCCTCGCATCGGCGATGGCAGCGACCACAAGTCGAGCGTCGCCCGCCATGTACGAATCAAGGACGTCCGCGTCCGTCGCATCACCCTGGAACACGGGCCTACCCGCCGAGCGCGCCTGCTCCGCCTTCTGCGCGTCCTTCTCGAGGACGACGTACCTCGTTAATTTAGCGTCCAGCATCTCACAAACTACCTTACCTATAGCTCCATACCCCAACACGACGACGACGTCCTTCATCTTCACTCGTCTCGCCAGATCCTGGGCGAACTCGTCATCCGCAGAAGTAGGTACGTTCAAAACAGCATCCCGGAACCGGTCCAGGTCTGCCGTCGAGTTATCTGCGACCGGCGAGGCTTGTGACTTGGCGATCGTATCTCCCAGCTGGGCCACAAAGGGCGTCGCGGCCATGGACATGGCCACGGTCGTCAACAGGACCCGATTCTGGCCCGCACTGATCAGATTAAGTTTTTTTGCGAGGCCAAAGGCCACAAACGCGAATTCGCCGCTCTGGGCACATAGAGCACCTGTCCTTAAAGCTGTTGGTGTCGACAGTTTCAGGAGTTTGCCTAGAGCTGTTAGCGTGACGGCTTTCAAGGCTACTAGTCCTCCAGCTAGTCCCAACATCCTTAGAGGCTGTGCCGCTAACAATGAGACGTCTATGCTGAATCCTACAGTAACGAAGAACAATCCCAGTAACAGCCCTCGTAACGGCGCCACGGACGCCTCGACTTGATTGGCGTAGGCCGTCTCCGCGAGCGAGACACCGGCCAGGAAGGCTCCGAGAGTCGCGCTGAGTCCGACAGCCTCCGTAAAAGCTGAGATGCCGAGCACACTCAGCAAAACGACAGATAAGAAGGCTTCTTGCGATCTAGAGCGCTTGGCCCTATCAAACAACATGTTGCACAGGCGCTTTCCGACGACCTCGACCGAGGCGACCGCGAAGACGGCTTTGCCTAATGATGCAGCTAATGCTCCTGCTAATTTGAGACCACCGTCGCCCGACGCCAACAACGGTACGAGTACGAGGAGAGGCACGACCGCCAAGTCCTGGAGTAGGAGGACACCGAGCGACGCGCGGCCGTGAGAAGTCCCTGAATCTTCATTATCTTTGAGGAGCTGCAGCACGAAGGCCGACGAAGATAAAGCTAGGGCACCGCCGACGGCGATGGACGCCGGCGTGGAGAAGGGCGACGCTACACAATTACCGACAACCTGCGCGCCCTTGGCGAGCACCGCCGTAGTAGCCAGGAACTGGGCCAAGCCTAATCCAAAAATCTCGGTCCGCATGGCGCCGATCTTCGCTACGGACAATTCCAAACCCATCTCGAACAGGAAGAAGACCACTCCTAACTCTCCGAGGATTTCCGTCTGGTGCATACTCGAGATGAAGTTCCGCCCCGACGGTCCCAGGTAGACGCCCGTCGCCAGGAAGCCCAGGATCGGTGATAAACCGACAAGTTTGGCCAGTGGCACTACTGTCGCCGTCGCGAGTAGTAATGCGAGGGCGTCGCGTCGCGGCCCGGCGATAGCCAGAGCCTTCAAAGATTCACCTAACCCCACGTCCGACGCCGTCTTCTCGATTAACGTTTTTGCTCCTTCGACCGTCGCGGCTGCTGCCGTTCCTCTAAAGCACCACAATGCGGAAAGGGCCGCGAGGGCCGCGGCGGCGGCTTTGCGGCGTTTTCGCCGCGGCCGCTCGTTACTAGCGGCGGCGGCGCGCGGCGCGGTGGTTCGCGGCGCGGTGTTTCGTCGCCAGGGCACGAGGCGCCGCCGCAGGCCCGACGCGGCCGCGGCGGCGCGGCCACCGATCATCGTCGGCGGCAGTTTTTGCGGCCGTCGCGGCGCGGTGACGAATGCGCTGCTCGTGGCAGCGAGCGCGGCCAGCAACGTGGCCGCGCGCCGCCGCTTCCTGAGCGTCATGCTTACCCACTGACAAGTTTCAGTTGGCTTGCGCGCGTTATCACTTATCGCTCCGTTTCACAACGCTTGCGCTGCTTATTTGTGATCCATCTGGAGACTGCGCTGCATAGCTATGGCCGCTGCGCTTGCTGTGGGTGCTGTCAAAAAGTGGGCTCACCTAGCTGCGAGATACTAGAATCCCTGCCCGCGCGCGCGTAGCACGACGTCACACGCCTCCGCGGCCGCGGGGAGTCGCTGGCGACGCGCCCGCGGCCGCTGCCGAGGTTGCCGTCAACCAAATTCCTGCCCTCTCTCACAAAAGAGCCATTGACGCACGCCGACGCTGCCCCGAGCGGTCACGCAGCGCGTGCACACGGCGCAGCATACGACGCAGCGGTGCCGCGGTCCGCCGAGCGAGCAAGTGCCGCGCCCCACAGGAAATAGCCACCACAGCCCATAGCACACAGCTCATAGCATTCCGCAGCAGCGGTGCCGCGACGAGCCGAAGAAAGAGCAAGCCCACAGCTGCCTTAGCTCAGAGAATACCAGGGGCGAGCCATGGAGGAGACCAAGGCCCCGCACCACGGCCGCCCGCCGCTCTACGTCCGGCCGCCGACGCCGCCGCCCGGCAGCACGCCGCCGCCGGCGGACAACATCATGGATTCGAGGCCGCCGCCGCCACCCTTGCCGGCATTGACACTAGGACCGTCCGTGGAGTCGGAAGAAATACGGGAGGACAAAGAAAAAGAACTGAACCTCACAATGTTCAAGAAAAAGCATTTATTTGTGGAGTTACATGAACTAAGGGGCGACGAGTGGCACGAGACGAAGCGGTACAACTACGGGCTAGAGGAAGATTTGATCACGGGCAAGGAGCGCAAGTGGACGAAGGCCCACTTGCCCTCGATCTCGATTTTCGGCATGCTCGCGTTCCGGGACTGCTTGCACGAGGATCTAGTTATCCTAGATGTTGGTTCGCAAGATGATGATTCACGACGCGCATTGGAACCGGTAGCTCTGGAGATCGTCGAGCATCTGATCCGGGACGGTGCCTTGCACGAGCAGGACCGGGACGGGGCTCTACGAACCCTCACGAACCATCTCAACAGAAGAAAATGTGTGGAACATGACGATGAATTGAAGGCCCTGAAGGAGAAGGAACGGAAGCTACGAGAGGCCGAGAAGGAGGGCGAGTTGCAAAAACTGCCGCGGGGGCCGCTCGAGACGTTGGGGGAAGACGACGAAGTGGCTTCCCAATCTTCATTCAGACGATCGCGTTCTCGGAACCGGTCTTTGACGAACCTCTTCGGCGCGGGCAAGTCGAACAAGTCCCTCAAGTCACTAGATGATTCAGAACATGATTCCTGCCCTCCAGTCGTGAGCTGCGCGGAAATCACCCCCGCGACTGCGCCTGCTCGATGGCAACTCACGCGTCGCTCGCCGCGCAGGCTTCTAGAGATCTCGACAAGGTGAAGAAGCAGAAGTCCGACCGACTGAAGGCCGCCCTGGTGCAAGCCGAGGACACGCTGAAGCCCGACGCCGAGGAAGAGGCCGTCCACATTCTTATTGATGACGACTTCGCGTTCACGACCCAAGACGTTGTGGCGTTGGTGCGGTTGCGACAGCCGACGAACACGGGCCTGGAGGAGCACGTCGATATAGATGAATTGGAGGCCGACTCGTCTCCCCTCAACTCGCCTCTCAATTCGCCGGCGCGGCCGGGCCTTAAACCCCGTAGGAAGAACAGGCACCAGCAATTGCACGCTCGGTTTATCGTGCTCGTCCTTGGGAGGAGAGAGGGCGTCATCACGTCGGAGTACAAGCGCAAGCAGCACGACCAGCACGTCGACATCTGCGTGGAAATCAACCAGTGTGTCGGGTGCACCTGGCTCTGTCGAGCGGTGAGGAACCGGCACCGCCACGCCATCGAGCAGGCGTCGCGTCGATGGCGTACGAACGCGCCGTAAATTTGATTCCCACACAGGTCGAGATGGGCGCCGCGGCCGCCGCGATGCTCCAGGACGACTCCGTCGTGCAGGTGGCCTATAATTGTAGTCGAGCGAAGGACCTGTTGGATGCCATCGACCACCGCCTGAAAGCTTTAAGGGTGTTACCTCAGACAAGTCGACCTTCTAGCAAAACCGTCGACCGACGGGCGAAGCGCATCTTCGACCAATTGGCCAAATTGAAAGAGGAGGAGGAGAACGAGAAACGGCGCCAGGAGCAGGAGAAGAAGGAGCGCGAAGCCATCGCGAGGGGGGAAATACTGGATGAGAACCACGGCGAGATCGTGAGCAGGAGGGGCGGCGTTTTCCTGAGGGTGGCCTTCCCGGACCAGAAACAGAAGTTTTTACAAAGGCAGCAGGACGTGTTCACGCGCGGCGTATCGTTGGCCTCGATCCTCGTGTTTGTCCAGAAATACGCGTTACCACTCATCCTGGGCATCTGCGTGGCATTAGTGGCGAAGAACACGTCGCCGAACCAGTACGAGCGGTGGGCCGGTGCTGCGTCGCATCGTCGTAGGTTGTTTGAGGGCGAGCCCCATCCTACCTTGTTTGGCCTGTCGGTGCACGGCCACGACGTCACGCTGCATTTTTTAATAAACGATGTCTTAATGACGTTGTTCTTCGGGTTGGCCGTGAAGGAAATCGCTGAAGCGTTTCAACCGGGTGGTTCATTATACCCACCGGGTCGGCGAGCGGTGAACCCTTTATGTGGCACGGTCGGTGGTGTAGTAGGTCCAATCCTAGCCTACTTCGTGATCCTGTGGGTCTTTACATCTTCTGGAATGATAGCAGAAGACTTTGAACCACTCTCGAAAGGCTGGGGCATCCCGACGGCGACGGACATCTCAATAGCGTGGGTGGCCGCGGTTTGTGTTTTCGGCGTCGGCCACGCGGCGATCAACTACTTGCTGCTTTGTGCCGTTGTGGATGATGGCATCGGCCTCATCATCATCGCGGTGGCCTATCCTAGTGAGGGGGGCGGCTGCGAGTACGGCTACCTCGGGTTAGTCCTGGCGGCGATGGTCGTCGCGTACGTCCTGAGGCGGTTCAAGTGCTCGCGGTGGGAGGCTTACGTGGTACTCGCGGGACCCTTGGCCTGGTGCGGGTTACTGTGGTCCTGCGTCCACCCCTCATTGGCCTTAGTTTTCGTCGTCCCGTTCATGCCGATCGAGATCGAGCCCGACGAGGAGGAGGACGCGATCATGAAGATGGCGCGCTCGCGGCGTCCCGTGGTGATTTTGAGTGAATTCGGACCGCGTCGGGGCCGTCGCGGCGTGTCAGAGAGACAGCGGTCGCGTCGATGGCGTCGCCACGGGACCGCGGCGCCTCCACGCCATCGTCGCGATCCCACGAGAGTCTACGTGGTCATCAGGACGCCGTCGACGCGATGCCACATCGGACCGCGTCGAGCGACCGCGATGCTCCGCGCAGGTCAACTCCTTCGCCAAGCCCCAGGCGGCCCTGTCGCCGGGCAACCTCGCCTACCACGAGACCAAGGACGAGGAGCACTCGCACCTGAGTCCGCTGCACGACTTCGAGGAAAGCGTGAAGGGCTTCGTGGATTTTTTCGTGTTATTCGCGTTCGGGGCGGTGAATGCCGGGGTTGATGTCGGCGAGACCGGTGGGTTTAGTTTTGTAGTGCTGCTGGGTTTACTCATTGGCAAGACGTTGGGGATGACCGCTGGAAGTCTCATTGCTTCATACCTCGGCTTCGACCGCCCGGAAGGCATGCAATTGCGACACTTGGTGCTGGCTGGTGTCATTTCTTCTGTCGGTCTTACGGTGTCGTTATTCATTGCGGGCGAGGCCTTCCCAGACGATGCAAAGTGGGAGAGTCAGGCCAAGATGGGCGCCCTTCTCTCGGCAGCCCCGGTGTTCGTTCTAGGTGCCTTGGCGTCGTGTTCGCACAGTTTCAGAGATCTAGTAAGAGGTCTAGACGAGAAGAAGGACGACGATATCGAGAAGCAGTCGACGGTACGAGCGCCGTCGGAGCACAGTGATAGCGAGTCGCGGTCGGAGTCCATGTCCCTGGGCACGAACGTCATGCCGGAGGTCGACGAGCAGGACGAGGACCTGGAGGCCGTCGTGGTTTCGAATATTGAGGCTTCTTTACTACGTATCCAGCGGTTGGAGTCGAAGATCGAGGAGCGCATTGGGTTGAGTCGCTCCGTGTCCATTGATAAATTACACGAGCACCAGGACGAGGTGCGGAGGCGGAGCTTCGGCCACGCGCTTGGCAGCGCGTCGATGACGGTCCCGGAAGCGAGACGGGTCAAGTCCGCGGGGAGCCTCTAGTCATTGTATAAATATATGTCGTCGTACTTTTCTTTTGGTCCTAGTCCCCGTCGACGACCGCAGAACACGCAACACTCGGGGCGACGTCGTATGGGCCGCGTCGGCTTGTGGCACAGGCAGCCTAGCTCCAAGCAAAGCAACGCGGCTAGTACACGCAGCACTTGCGCCAAGACGCAGCCCTTCACGCCATCGACGCGACAAAGTATTCTACGCACAGTTACACAACTCACAGTCACACGTGGATCGCCGGCGCCGCCGCCGCCGCTCTAGCTTTTTCCTTCTCGAGCTCATCTTCCCCGAGCTCCTCGAAGAGCCGCTCGCGCGTCAATTCGTCGTCATCGTCGAGCAGGCCGCGCAGCTCCGCGTCGTCGCGCCGCCGCCGCCGCTCCCTCTCCCTCGAAATGTGCACGACGATGTAGGCCGCGATCGGGAGTTTTATTGGTACTAACAATTTTGTGAGGGCGATGGCGAGCACGAAGGTCGTGCCCTTGGACGCCGCCTCCGAGAAGCCAAAATAGCGCAGGACCGGGCCCGCGTCGGCGCCGAAGACCAAGGCCGCATAAATGGCGCAAAAAACACTAAGACTGATGCAGCCGTAAACGATGATCGCGAGCATTCCATACCGCTCGAGGAACGCTTGTAAATTTGACGTGGCGCAGGGGTTCGCATCAGCGCCGGACTCGGGGTCATCATTTAAAGCGTCGTCGTCGGCCATTTCTTTTGTTTCCGGGCGTCGCGCAGCACTGTTTAGGGGCTGCAGCTGCCTACCTAGGTAGCTTTGTAGCTTTGTTTCACGTGGGCACTCGCTGGCGCGTTGGCCAGCGGTGATTATGCTGCGTGCAGCGATGCGCTGGTGCTTTGCCCAATGTATACGTGCCACAGCTGGTGCGATGCACGGCTCAAAAGCTGTGCCTCGATTGCTGCTTCCTAGGGACGCCTAGTGTGTTACAGTCCGCTAGCCTCAAGCAAGGTTCCAGTCTAAAAAAAGTCCTGTAGGTCCCGCTCAAGCCCTCTGTTTAGCCCGCAATTCACTAGCTTCTTGTGGCGACCATGGGGAAGAAGTCTAGGCGAAAGCGGACGGACAAGTGGGCGCATATAGACACCAGAGAGGCCGACGCCGCCAAGCGCGACGCGCTTGATTTTCTCAAGGGCTACGCCTTTAAGGAAGAAGAGGGCGAGGCGAGGCCCTGGATTTGTGCGGCGACGCACGAGCGACGACGCCGACGAGCCGTCATCGCGGCCGCCGAGGCGGAGTTCCGGGCCGCCATCGCGGCCGTACCGCCAAGGGACGACAATGAAGAAGTGAAAATCTACGAAGACGCGCGATGCATCCAGGCACTCGCGGCTTTAACGAGACAAGTTACAATAGACGAAGACGACAAGAAAACCATGGGCGAGTATTTGACGAAAAGCGCTGCCGGAGACGGCATTGGGAATGAAGAGCTCATTAAGCTCGTCAAGCGATGGCCCCGCGTCCGAAAGTACTGGCCGCGCCTCCGGCGGCGCCTTTGTTGGGGCTGCGGAAAGCAATATGATCTTTCGGAACCGCGGCTTTGGGTTTGCTCTGGGTGCGAAGATGCGCGGTACTGCGATGAGACGTGCCAGCGCGAGCACTGGCGCGCGCACAAGGGCGAGTGCCTGCAAACATGGCACGGAAAAGCCCAGGAGCGCCAGTCGCGAGGCGAATCCGACTGGGCAGAACTGCAACAGGAGTTCTACGAGTTGTATCCGAGTCGCGATGGATAGGTGTTTATAAGAAAATTGAGTCTCTCTTCTTACGCACTTCTAGAGGCGGCGGACTCGGCAACAAACAAATAATCAGGGAAACGCCCCGTCCAGAAACCCGAACCGCAGGTCCAGGATCCAGAACGCCGCCGACGCGTCCAAGCCGGCATGTAGAGCCACACAAGCATCGACGCCCAGTCGCGGGCTATCGGCGACCCTGTTGAGGACATGCGCCAGCCCGGCCAAGAAGGGGAAGGCCACTCCCAGGTTGAACCACGCCGGCATCAATTGACTGATAATAACTGAGTGGTACGCCGAGTAGGCTACAGCCGAAAAAACATCCGCGTGGCGACACGCCGACTTGACTCGGGATTGGGGACAGTCCTTCCCACACACAGAAGCAGCAGCTAGCCGTAAGCGCCACCGGACCACTTGCCGCCAGAACACCTCTTCCAGCCACGGGTTCAGGAAGCTAAAGTAGAGGGAGAAGACGAGCATCCGATCTAGTCGGTCGACGCCGAATTCATCCAGCGTCTGCCGCAGCTCCAAGCGGTTCACCCCAAGGTACTCGCCCGGCGCGCTCAGGAAGCGGCAGACGAAGTACAGTGACACACCAACGGAAAACATGGCAAAACCGTATCTACGAGCTCGATGCTTTTCCTGCGGCATTGGGAGCTCCGCGAAGGACCCTTCCCGGTGTAGTATTCTGTTTTTTGGCCCTGATAAGGACCATCCACTTGTGAGTATGGCGAATAACATGAACGCGTGGAAACATAGGTTGGCGGTGATGGCCTGCCGTAGGTAGAGACAAGTCAAGCCCATGATGACACTGGGACCGATGGTCATGATACTGCCCACAACGTCGAGCTCGTCCATACTGGACGCTCTCGCATAACCCTTGATGACCGAGGCCGACATGGTGACGAGGGCGCGAGAATATCTTCGGCCGTACGAGTGGTAATTGAGCTCGTTTGCAGCACAAGTCAGGCGGGTCGCTGGCCAGGGGTGCTGCGACAGCGAATCGGTGGCAGCGTCACCGCAGACCTAGGGCTCGCCGACGTACTGGAGGCTGGATTTGCTTGAACAGCAAAACCCAGCTCTGCGAAGCGTATAGCAGCGTATAGCTGGATTTCGACCTATCGCTGGCGTAAGACGATCGTACTGAGCTACTCCGAGCACCACTTAGGCGCAGGATTGCGGCGACGGCGCGAGGCAAAGCACTCTGACAGCGGCCACGGTGGATGCGCCCCAGCGGCGGCCGCCGCGGGCCCGCGCGGACCCGCGCCGACCATCTGTCTCGGGATGTTTACAAGGCCACGTAGCACGATTTTCAGCCAGAATGCTGCTCAAAGCAAAAACGCGCGGGACGGCGGACCACGAGCATCCCTCCGCACGCCATCGCCGCGCCCTCCTCGTGAAATAACAAGAACCACATCTATACTCGGTGGGGGCGCGCTCGCGCGCGGGGATGGGATCACGGCGCCGGACCGTGCTTGAACGACGTCGGGTTCGTGGGCGGCGTCGGCGCGAAGACGTCGGCCATCTTCGGCGACCGCAGCGAGAGGGCCGAACTTCGAGACGCGCGGACCATGGCTAGCGTAGGGATCGAGGGGTGCGTCGGCTTTTCTCGAACCGTTTCCACAAAGCCCTGTAACACATCCCTCTGCAATTTGCCGGCTCGCGCTTCGCCTACGGGTGAAGGCGGCCGTTCCGAAGCCGACCGCTCCAGCAAACAAAGGTCATCAAAAGATCTGGACGTGATCCTCGGCCGCAAGGTAGAAGGATTCGACCGACCGACCGTATGGGCTCGATCGCGCCCGTTCCCTCTGCTTTGACGGGCAGCCCGGAACAGCGTAAGCAATTCCGGATCGAGCATCTGTTCTCTATCTTTGCGACGCGCCGCCGCCATCAACCGTCGCTCCATCGCCGCCCGCGCGATGCACTCCGGCGTCTCGCCGACGTGCGGATGCGCTTCTCGGTACCATTCCACGAGCTTCCGGATCCCGTCGGCGAACGGCGTCTTCGGGTCATACCCCAGCATCTTTCTGGCTTTCGAGATGTCCGCGCAGGTCCTGGGGACGTCGCCGGGCTGCTCCGGGAGTAACTCGATCGAAGCCTTCTTTCCTGTTTCCTTTTCTACTAACGATATAAAATCCGTGAGCTTCGTGGGAGAGCCGTTCCCGAGGTTGTAGACCTGATAACCAGCAGGAGTATCTAGGGCTAGGATGATGCCCTGCACCACGTCGTCGACATAGGTATAGTCCCTCGAAGAGGTACCGTCGCCGAACTGCTGGATGGGTACGCCTCTCGAGATTTTATCGACAAATTTCAGAGGGGCCATGTCCGGCCGGCCGCGCGGCCCGAACACCGTGAAGAACCGCAAAGCCGCAATGTGCAAGTTGTACAAGTGGTGGTACGTATAGGCGAGTAACTCACAAGCCTTCTTCGTCGCCGCGTACGGGGAGACGGGATGATCAACAGCATCAGCCTCCGAGAAGGTCGTTGCTGTCGAGCCACCATAGACACTGCTGGATGAAGCAAACACGAAGGAGTCACTCCCGTATTTGGCCGCGATTTCCAGTAACCTAGTCGTCCCTTCGACATTCGAATGGACATACACGAAGGGATCATCGATCGAAGGCCGCACGCCCGCCCGCGCGGCCATGTGGACGACCCTCCGGGGCTTGCCGTGCGTCGCCCAGATCGTTTCCAATAGTTTTTTGTCGCAGATGTCGCCGCGGTAGAAGGCGAACTTGCTAGAGCCTTTCTTCCGTAGGAGAGCGACATTCTGCTCCTTGACCTTGACGTCGTAGTAATCATTAACTTCATCGATGCCGATGACCGTTTCTCCTCTCTCGAGTAAGCGCTCGGCGCAGTGCGAGCCGATGAAGCCCGCCACTCCCGTGACGACGATGGGTGTCTTTTCGGCGGTGGCGTCGGGGGTGCTGGCGTCGAGCGCGGACATAGTTTACTAAGGCTGCGGCGACAGCGTCGGTGTTGCAGTCGGTGTTGAGGGCCTGACTCGCTCTCCCAGGTTGACGTGCTCTGAACGCGAGAGCACGGGCCGTGCGCGCTAGGCGTGGTATCTATGGTACAAAGGCTTGTGAAAAATGCCACCAGACCACTTGTACGAGCTATGTGTGCCGGCTGCGACGGCTGAAGAGCGACGCTTTATGCGAATGGGGCTAGCGTGACATACTAGCACTTGAGTTATCATACACATACTTAGCTCAGCGCCGCCCGGTGTGGAACTTGTACAAGACCACAGCGAAGCACAACTGAAAGAATACGGCGAAGCCGATGAGCACGCCGAAGTCCGCGGCCACGTCGACGTCGCCCATATCGTAGAAGCGTAGTACCTCTTCCCCGTCGCAGAACGGCTTGCAGTCGAGGTTGTTGATCGGGTTGAACTCGTTGTGCATAAATATACGGAACGTGTACGAGTGGAAGGCGATGTAGTAGCCCCACCTGCGCGGACGTGGGCGGTGAGCGACGAGCCGCGTCGATGGCACTTACTTGAGGTAGTCTGGAATCTCTGACTTGACCTTGAAGAACCCTTCACACAGCATGTGAAACCCGAAGATGCCTGCCGCTAACGCGATGCCGATAATGTAGTGGGGGACACAAGCGGCGACAAGGGACATAAACCCTTCGGCTACGAGTAGTGAAACGAACAGGTCGAGGCCGTAGATCACCGGACCGTTCAGCTTGGCGGGAAAGACGACGAGCAGCGTCGTGACGATGGCCAGCAAAGCCACCCCAGGAACAGCCACGACGAAGCGCGCCAGCACGTACTCCATTACCCCATAATGGCCATTCATCCGCTCCTTCACGAACACATCCCGCTGGAGCATGACGAACGGCAGCACCGCGACGCTCATGAACACCATAAACGCCGCCACGTAGAACAAGACGGAGACGCGCGCCACGACGGACTCCTGGTCCTTGTCGTCTCCCACGTTCGCGTACATCGCTCCGATCAACGCAGACAGCATCGCGTACATCGCCAAGCGGACCATGATGACCCCCGGGTCTCGGATCAGCTCGCGGAAGCCGCGGCCGCACAGCACGGCAAAGCGTGTCAAGAAACCGGCGCGGCGGCGCGGCGGCGCCGCGGAGCCTTCGACAACGCCATCGCCTTCTCGCGTCTCCCGAAATTTGGCCACAATCGAATCCACATCCCCGTGGCCGGGAAAGTCCTCGTTCGTCAGCGACAGCACGTACTCGGCGACGTCGCGGTTACCGGGCACCGGGGAATCAGCGGAAGCTAGGAACGTTTTGAGGCCGGCATCATCCCCAAAGTAGCAGACTCGCCCTCTCGCCATGAACGAGACGCGATCCAACGTCTGCCACGCCGCGTGCGACGGCTGATGCAGCGTGAGCACGACGGCGACCGCCGACGACGACGCGACGGCCTTGACCTTCTCCAGGACGGCGAGCGCCGAGGCGGAATCCAGTCCCGAAGTAGGTTCGTCGAGGAGCAGCGTCTTGGGTTCGGCCACGAGCTCTACCGCGATAGACAGGCGGCGCTTCTGGCCTCCACTGAGACCCTTCAACAGGATCGTGCCGACGATGACGTCCGCACAGCTCGTCAGCCCGAGCTCGTCGAGCAGCGCGTCGGCTCGTTGGCGCGCCGCGGCGCCGCCGACCAACGCCGCGGCCGTGTGCAGCGTCTCCTTCGTCGTGAGCACTCCGACTAAGGCCTCCTCTTGCTGGACGTACGCGCAGCGCTCGCAGCCCGCGATGTCTCCCTCTAACACCCGTCCTTTGCGGGATCCGTCGATGCGGCCCGCCAGGGCATCGAGCAGCGTCGTCTTGCCGCTGCCGGACGGCCCGAGGACGCCGCAGACCTGCCCGCCGCGCACGGCGCCCGAACAATCGTCCAGGATCGTCTTCTGCCCATTGGTTTTGTCCGGTACTTTGAACGTTAGACCCTTCCAGCGCACCTCCCAGCTCGACGGCTGTTCTACGTCGACGCGGCTGTCCGACATTTTGTTTGCTGGCCTCTGTGCTCTGCGGCTCTAGCTCTTGTTTGGCGGCCGTACGGATGCGAATTTCGGTGCGACGCTATCGAAGGTGTGTCTGATGATCTACCCACCAACAGCTAGCGAAGAATGACCACCAATGAGCACAAAAAGGGCGCACTCGATGGGCTGAGCTAGGTGTAAGACACTAGGAATCAGCCTCAGCGCGGCCTGTTGCTTTGCCGCGAGGCGGCGGCGGCGGCGCGACGGCGGTCTCTACTCGAAGCATGCTGTTATGAAAGACGCGGTACGCGCCCGCCGCCGATGAATCGGCGACGCGCGGTGTCTCCCCCCAACCCGTGGAACGGGCGCCGCCCACTAGTCCTAGCATCGTAACGGAAACCAGAGACCATCGCGCCGCGCACACGCGAGACGCCATCGACGCGACGCGCCGCGATCAAGCCACGACGACACAAAGCAATTCCCAAAATGAGAAGTTATTCTATCGCACCCCGTAGGCGCGTTGCGTCCGCGGCTCGCTCGCGGGATTTTTGTTTGTTTTTGTACTTGAGGGGAAAATGGGGGAACAGGGAGGTGAGGGATGTGCTGGTGTTTCGGGGGTGCCCGACTTTCGCGTCACCGCGTGTGCCGGGTCGGTCGTAGATCACAGATCAGGTTCGGTTCGTCAGCAGTTCACTCGCCCTCCTCGCGCGCGGTCGTCGCGCGCGGCAAGGTGAATTTTTTTTTTTTGTGGTCTCTGAAACGAGCAACCGCGTGCTCGCCAGGTGATTTTTTTTGTGGGCGTACGACAAGTACACCTATTCCGCCGGCAGGTCCTCCTCGGGGAACGCCCAGAGCGGCGACGTGCTACCAGCCTGTGGCAGCGGGTCGAGCGAGTACTCCGAGCCGCTCCGTAAAGTATCGGGTCGAGGCAGGTCCAAGGCCGCCGGCGACATGGAGTAGCGGTGCTTTTTCGGCGGCGGCGCGTCGGGCGGCGTCCGCGTCGCCAACGCGACTTCGTTGTCATCTCCGATCTCGACCATTGCACTTCTGAGTCTAGCGACGTCGTCCGCGTCGAGGCCGTCGAGCGACGCGTCCGGATCATACGTGCCTAGCGGTGACGTTGCCACGGAGACAGTACCCAACGTGTCCGTGCTATGAGAAGTGGCGATGCCGTCATCTCTCGATGACACTCTGAACCGTAATTTGGCGAGAGGTCGCCGCGGTTTGAGAGAACCGTCGTTCGAGGACTCGTCGGAGTCGTCCGTAGATGAGGGTTCCGAGACCTCGACCGAGCTATTCTGCCGCTTCAGCCGCTCGACCTCCTTGCGCATGAGCTCCATGTCCGCCCGGAGCTTCTCGACGACGCTGGCCGGAACCATGCCCTCCGGGACTTCTTGCTTGCGCTTCTGCTGCCGCGAGGCGCCGCGCGTCGTCGCCGGCGCCAAGAAGGCCGCTCGAGGCTGCGACGCGAAGGCGCCATGAGGTCTGGGAGGAGGTCGATCCCTCCGCCCCGGCGCGTCGCGCTTCTCGCGCTGGTGGCCTCGTTTCAGCTCCTCGTATTTCAGCTCAAAAAAAGTTGATAATTTGCGAGCAGCAATGTGGACCTGGTGCTGCTCGTTCTTGTTGAAGAGCATGGCGTTGCTAAACACTAATCGCACGTCCGTGGCGAAGTCGTCGAGCTCGGCATATTCATTTGCGGCGAGCTTCCTTTCTATGGTCTGGAGGTCCATGGGAGTCTTCACGATGGTAGGATACAACGGAATATTCAACGCGACGTGGTCTACCGGTTTGGCGAAGTAGAAGGCTAGTTTGGGCTTCGCTTTTATGGATTTCAAGACGTCGCGCCATAATGGGGCGTCCGGGTTGCGCCGGAGCGACTTGATGGTCTTGCCCATGGTGTATACCTGCGTTGCGTCGTGGGTGAGTGTCTTGCGCGGTCGCGGCGGCGGCGTGAAGGGTGTGTGAGGCCGGCAGGCCCGCGGTTCGGGTCACCGCGGCCTTGTGGAGGCTGCTGCGGCGAGCCTGAGGCGTTCGCCCGCCTTACGGCTGCCGTACGACGCCGCGGTGACACGCAGTACTTCGGGCGGCGACCTGGCGCCACTGTGGGCAACCAGGTCAGCGGAGTTCCTACGGTGACTTTTTTTTGTATCAGGTCACCGTGAGGACCCAGCCGCCTTTTGAAGCGCTGCAGGGCCGCCGCGTGGTCCAAGGCGTTGGTCCAAAACGTAAGGGGCGCCCCAGCGGGGCGCCCGCCGTGTAAAAAGAGAGCGCGGGCCCTCCGCAGATGTTTGTGCTCTCTCTCCGCCAAAATGGGCTCTTTCGACGCAGTCTTTTCACCAGTGCCCACTCACCCAAAAATGGGTGCGTCTGGTGGGGCGGGGCCAGACGCAGCAGCGGCAGGCGGTTCTCAAATTAGCACGCCATCGCTCAGCCCTGGGCAACTTCCTATGTATACTTTTTAATTTCCCGGGGGGTCTTATAAAAAGGTACCATTGGCCTAGGCCGATATATGTATATATGGGGCAGTTCTCTATAGCTCTATGGGGGCCAAAGCCAATATGAACGGCTCGTGCCCCGGCCAGGACGCGTACGTCAGTCTACGTTAAGCCAGCACAGGCACAAAACTGGTCCAGGGTACGAGTCGCTGGCGCGGCCGCAGCCGCGCGCGCCACCAAAGTACACATAGAAAAACGTTAGAGTCGTGGGGCGGGAGGAAGAGGATAAGGAGAGGGGTACGTACATCAGGGTCACTTCTTCCGCATGTCGTCCCACGACGTCACGAACGTGTTGCCCTGGCCGAGGCCTGGCTGCGTGACTTCGGAGAGATCTGGACCCACCTGCAGGACGGGCCGGAAGCCGCCGTCGACGTTATGTCCAGGCATCGTTTGCCCATAGCCGGGCCCCTTGACCGTCGGCGCGACGCCGCCCGCCACGCCTCCGCCGGCGCCGGGCTGCGACGCGCCGTCGTCGTTATCCTCGGGCAGGACGCCGTCGCCGCCGTTCGCGCCGCCGTTGTCGTCGGGCGTCGTCGACGCGTCGCCGGCGTCGGGCTCGTCGCCACCGTCGTCGTCTTTGAGTAGCGGTACGTCGGGCTCGTCGCCGCCGTCGTCGTCTTTGAGTAGCGGCACGTTGGGCTCGTCGCCGCTGTCGTCATCTTTGAGTAGCGGCACGACGGTACCGCCACTGGTGTCCTCGCCGTCGCCGTCGCCGTCACCGCCTCCAGACTCCACGGGCAGGAGGTCGGGCTCGTCGCCCTCGCAGTCCTCGTCGCAGAGCAGCGGCACGTGCGTACCGCCACCGCCGGAGTCTTCGCCGTCGCCGTCGCCGTCGCCGCCGTCTCCGGACTTCACGGGCAGGAGATCGGGCTCGTCCTCGCCGTCTCCAGTATCAATCGGCAGGAGATCGAACTCGCCATCCTCCCACTGCGCGACGAGCTCCTCGGGGAACGCGTTATGCCATTCCTTCTCAAATTCTTCTAACGAAGTCTGGAGCTCGGCGAAGGCCTGGCCGTCCGCGTAGTAGAGGCGACCCGCGGGCCGCGGCGCCGACGGCGTGAACGCGCCGCGGATCGCCGCGAGCGCCAAAACGGACACGGCGAGGACGCTCGCCACGACGGCGCGGGCGCCGCGCCGCGGCTTCTGCGGCGAGGCCAGGAGCCACGCCTCCTCGTCGACGACCGTTTCAGTCATCGTTCGCGCTTAGCCTAGAGCAAAGGTAGGCCTGCAAACAAGAATTTTGCTCTCGTTGATTTGGCACGAGTTCGTCGGGCGGTGGCGATCTATACGATCTGAGTAGACGACAAACGAGTATCAACGCGTTGCTCACGCGTCCTGCGCGGCTGTTAGCGCCGTGCCCCAAGGATGAGGCTGAGAGCCTAGTATGCTTTCCTAAATTCCTACAAGGGAACATGCTTTGAGGCATTCGGGGAGGCCTGCGGACGCATAGAGCCCCGCAACGAAGGGTACGACCCGGCCGCAGGACGTGCGTCGTCCTCAGACGCGCGGCGGACGACGGCGGACGGCCGGGGGCAAACAATCAGACGCAGTAAATCAACACCACAACTTACGCGCCACCGCTCAAAGGTTCCACCGCGGCGGCGACAGCTCCACGCGAGACACGAAGTCCCCGTTCAGGTTCCCCAGATATAGAGCGTCGCCGTCCTGCGCGACGGCGCTCACGGACGACACGTACGCACCTGACAAATCATACAAGGCGTCCGCCGGCTTTCCGGTAGAATCGACCTTGAAGACGAGGCCCGCGGGCTTAGCCACCACCGGCAATAGCGGCCCGACAATATGAGACACCAAGGTCCGCAGCTTTGGATAGGGCGCCAGCAGCCGCGGCAAAGGAGATAACCGCACGACGCCGCCGATCCAGAAGCCGCCATCAGCACTGCGGGAAATCCCGTCCGGCATCGCCGGTATTTTGTCCACAAAAACCTCGGTTTTCCCTGTTGTCAGCGAGTAGCGGTGCACGCGATTCAAGTTCGTCTCGACCACCATAACATCTCGGTAGTCCGCACTCAACGCCACACCATTAGCGTACCACAGACCAGATAATAAAGTACTGGTCGTTCGCGTCGCCGCGTCGTATTTCAGCAACCTCCCGGTATTGTCGCCCTTGCAGAGGTTCTGGAGGTAGGAGTGCAGCGTGTCGTAGAAGCCCTTCCGCGCGTTGTACAACACTCCTCGTTCCGTCGACGACGTAAAATATATATCACCATTGGGAGCCACGTCGAGGTCGTTCACGTAGTTTAGGGGAAGATTCGTGTCTTCGGCAAGATTGGCGAGGACCTCCAGGGTGCCTTTACTCATATCGAGCTTGAGGAGGCCCTTGAGCGAGCACGCGACGTAAAGAGCATCGGCAACAGCGTGAAATCCCAAAGGTCGCCCGGGCCCGACGTACCATTTCTTGGTGGCTTTCGTGGCCCCGCGCGGCGCCGTCCAGACCCAGCCGTACTTGTCGACGGTGAGTAACGTCCCATCACTTAGCGTCGCGACGGACTCGCTGCCCTCGACCTGTCCCTCGTAGAGCCGCGTCGCTTTGGTTAGCCGGTCGTTCAGCGCCCATTTGCCTTTATAGACCGGCGGGAAGGGCGCGCCGTGGGCGTTGCCCGCCAAGAGCCGCGCGTCGACCTTGATGAGTGATGCGGCGCCGTCGTCGTAAGGTGGGGGCTGGCTTGTATATTTGCTGCCGAGGATCGCTGCGATCGCTGCGGCGGCGGCGTATTTGAGCATCTTTGTGCTGCTCTCTGGTTGAGATGTGCTCTGCTACCGGTCGCTGTGTGGCAGCGCGAGCAAAGGCGCAGTGATTTTTGGATGCGAGACCAAGCTGCGGTCGAGCTCGCAGCGCGAGAAGCTCTGCGATGAGCCGATGCGACAGCTTTGCTCTCCGTTTGCTAGTGTCTTACACGACGCTAGCTCTGGCAGCTTTTGGACGCGCGCGTTTTTGGGAGAATCTGGGGCATAGCGCTGCAATTCTGCGAGCCGCGCAGCTGCTAGCGCCTCAGTGAACTGCCACAGCGCTGCTCGCCAGCGCGCGCCGCAGCTGACCCGCCTTGCCACACAAAAGCTTTTTAAGTCGCAGCGTGCGGCGTTGCGAGCGCACACTGGTGAGGATGAAGCAGTTCGACAAACAGTTTGCAGCGAGATGGGTCGACAACTTCTCCGCAGCCTTCGGAGCAGAAGATTGGGCGGCGACCAACAAGATGTTGAGCGACATGTCTGGTTGGGGCCAGCAAATTTATGCCGATCACATAAACGCGTCCGAGGCTCTAGACGTGATTATCATTGGCTTGAACCGCTTGAACGTCGCCGTCCCGGCTGGTGTGAAAGTGGCGCGCGATGCATTCACTGGGATCGACTGGCGCGTCGCGACTATCAGGCAGGCATCAGTGGCGCCGTCCCTCTCGCGCCGCACCCGCTTGATCATCATAGGCGGCGCCGCCGTCGCGGTCGCGGCGTATGTCTACCACCGGCGCCGCCGCGCGGCCAAGCGCGCCGATCTGGAGGCAGTGAAAAGTCTCCTGGCGGGCGGCGATTCGGCCGTGAGCCTCGACGACGCGGCGGTGACGCCGCAGCGTCGAACGCCGCAGTCGCGGCCTTCGGCCAAGGAGCGGTCCAAGGTGATGGAGCGGAACAAGAAGCTGCAGGCGCAGAAGCGCGCGGCCGAGCAGGCGCGCGACGCGGCGACGGCCGACGCGGCGCGGGCCCGGGCAGACAACGACCGGCTCAGGGCGGAAAATGCGCGCCTCGCCTCAAACGCGACGGCGGGCGACGAGCGCGACGCGGCGCGGGCGGAGAGCGAGCGACTCCGGACGGAGGTTGATAGACTGGGCGCTGATATCGCACGCCTTTCTGAAAACGCCGACCAGGCGAGGGTGCGGATGCAGCGCGCCGACGAAGAGGCCATCGCCGACCTTCGACGCGAAAACGACGCCTTGCTCGCAGCGAAAGCGGAGCTCGAGAAGCACTCGTGGGACGTTGCACAGATCGAGAGTGAAAGGGCGGAAAATTTGGCTAAAGTCATCGCTCGTGATGTGCAAATCGAGCGTCTCCAGGCGGACAATGCTTCCCTCGTGATCGAGGCACGCACTCTCGCGGCCGAGCGGGACCTCCTGCACAGGGAGAATACCTCGCTACTCGCCGAACGCGACGCCCTCGAAGAGAGCGCGCGGCTCGTGCCGGCACCGTCGGCCGGCGACCTGGCCGCGCTGTCTGATGAGGCGCTCGCGGCCTTCTCCGCTGAGGCCGCGGCTTTGTCGCACGCGCTCGTGAGCGAAGACGCGCGCCGCGCGGCCATCGCCACGACGTCGACGAACGAGTGCGTCGTTTGCCACGAGCGACCGCTCGAGGTCGCGTTCGGCTGCGGCCATTTCTGCGCCTGCGACGCCTGCGCGCGCGGGCTCAGCAAGTGCCCAATCTGTCGCGCGCCCGTGACGGAGCGGCGGCGCATCTATGCGTCGTAGATGATGTGACCGCGCACCTGTGTAAGTGATGTAACTACTAGTTATGATAACAGTTAACTGTCAGCAACGATCCGCGAGAGCTGATACACCGCGTCTGCCCGCAGGATCCACTTTTGATCGCCCATGCGTCCGTGGCTGATACGCACCGCCTCAGCCTCGTGTGCAATGCCGCCCAGCCGTCCCTGCCCAAAGATGAGCATGCGGCCGGCCACGGGCGGGACGGCAAAAGACTCGAGGTTGTGGAAGGTCTGCGAGTTGTCGGCGGGGCAACCGCACGCACGCCACTCTGCGCTGGTCATGGTGTCCTCACCATCCTCCCACTGCGCCGTCGAGGGCGCCCCCGTGTCCGCGCACGGGCCTCGCGCCACCTGGTGAATGATAATGCGGCCACCTCCAAAGCTCTCGCTCGGCTCGGAGGGCGTGTTCAGGTACAGATTGAGGGTGATGAGCGCATGCTGGCCCTCCTCCTCGGCGTCCGGCGCGTTCAGGCGCGCCGGGTCGGTGATCGGCACGCCATTTTCGTCGACTGCTGAATCGATGCCCCACCTCCTCAGATCAAAATGCATGCCAAAGCGATTGCCGTCCTCGTAATTCACCAAGCGAATGCGCGGGTTGAGCCCGTGCAGCACCCATCGCCGATCCGGGCCCTCGTGGATCTCCACCGGCAGCCAAGGGCGCGCACGCCGCAGAAGCGCCCAACCGAAGGCATACGCATGGTCGAAGGCGATCGTGCCCGAACGACCCGTGTAGGAGACGTCCCCCACACGCTCGTCAGCAGCCGCCACGTCGCTCGAGGCACCGTGACGACCGAGGGCCTTGGAGTGAGGCTTGTCTGGCGCTCTGGTCGCCAGCGCTGTTACAGCGTAGCGCCAGCGCCACCGAGCTACTGCCCGTGAAGATGGCGTCCCTCTGGACTTGATCAGGCAACCCCTCGCGATGATTCGCCGCGCCTCCTCGGGCGTCACAAAGCCGTCCACGCAGGTGAGGAAATTGCCTCGCTCGGTGCCGTCGGGAAACACGTACCGCAGCGAGTGCTCAGGGAAAGCAAACCATTCTGGTGCTGCCTCCAGGGTGAGCAGATCGCGTGCTCTCATCTGCCCAATGACAGCCTCGTGGTCGTCTTCGTTGAGGCATTTTTGCAGATAGCGGTTGTGTGCCAGGAATCGAACCGCCCCGTACGCCCCGAGCTTTGTGTCGCTCAGGTGCACGACGTCGTCATCGACGTCCGCGAGTCCAGGAGGCGAGCGGTTGAGGCGCGAGAGCCACGCGACGAAGGATGACTTGTCGATCTTGGCTTGGTCATTGCCGCCCACGAGCGCCGCGAAAACAGACTCTACGCCACGGATGCCGTGCGATGCTGCCCACGTCGGACGCTTGCGCAGCCAGACGTCAAGTTGCTCGCGCGAGATTGTGCCATCGTCGACGTCAATCTGGTCAAAGAGACTGTGAGCGGCTTCCAACCCGACACGGGCAGCAAGAGCACGCTGCCCCCGGTACCGCAGGTACCAGAGAGCACATGCGCCTGCCGCCGCAGCCGCCGCTGCCAGCCCAGCGACGGATTGGGGAGTCGCGCCTCTCATATACATGTCGATCCGCTCTGGCCCAGCACTTGGTGCGACCACGACCTCGCAGAGGCAAGCTGTGCGTCAAACTAGGAGGCACAGCCGCGGTGTCGATCGGGCAAGGGCAGCCCCGGTTGCGCACCACGAGGTGTGCGGTGGGTCGATCGTTCACGGGCTGCCAAAGCCACAAATCCAGAATATAATTAGCTAGCGTCCTTTAAGACACTAGGGAGGCGGCCCGCGAGAGTACATCGCCATACCACCAGAGAAGGAGGGGTAAGGACCCTGCGACGTAACTAGCCTGAGCACACGAGAAGCGCCTCTTACGCCCCACCCGCTCCGGAGCGGGGACTCGGCCTTGTGCCGCAGAGGGAAGGGGAAAGGGGATTGATCAGGCCGAAGTGGACGAGTTCTCCTTGTCGAACTCGCGCACGGGCACCTGGTTCTTCTGGGCCGCGCGGCGCACACCTTCATTGGACGACTTGCGGCGCGCGGCGCGGTCCGCCGCCGACGTCGCGTGGATGACCTCGCCGTCCGACGAATCGTCGGAGGAGTCGCGGGCCCGCTTCGCGGCGGGCTTCCGGGCCGGCTTCTTGGCCGCCGGCTTCCGTCCTTTCTTCACCGAAGACGGCTCGGACGACTTGCGCCGCGCCTCGATCAGCGCGTGCGGATCGCTCGACTCCTTGTAGAGCTGCGTCGGCAGGTAGACGGCGCCGTGGTGCTCGCCCAGGGCGTCGACGTTCTTGACGAAGTGCTTCTTCACGACCTCGGCGCCGAGCGACGCCGTGGCTCTTAATCTACGAGTGTTGTCGCCGCCTGCGTGGACGCAAACCCGTAAGGTGTCGCGTCGATGGCGCGACGTGGGCTCATGAAGAGACACGAATATGATCAAAAGGACACGGGCCCGAACCGGACGCGTCGTCGTGGCCGGACATGTCCGCGCACGCCGCGAGCAGAAACGCGACGCCCTTGTCGCCCGCTGTAGCTACTAACGGCTCCAACAGTAACAACAAGGCCTTGGAGACCTTGGCGTCGTCTCTTGTAGTTCGAGCGATGTTGTGCACCGCGTAGGGCAACGCGTAGTCCGGCAGGTACCGCGTCGCCAGACGATCGACCTCGTTCGTGCCGGCCCCTGGCGGCAGTCTTCGGATCGCTTGCGCATGACTTCTACGTTGGCGCGCGACGGCGACTCTCAAAGCTCGAGAAGCCATGGCGACGGCCTTGCGTTTTTCTTCCTTCTCGTCACTTCCAGACGCGGGCGCCAACGCAACTAACACTAACGCGCCGGCCCATTTCGCGAAACTAGCCTGTCCACTAGATACGGCCTGCGAGAGTTTCCGTGCGAACTTGTTGCGCACCACATCGTCCCTATCGACGAGCACCGAAGCTAACGACGCATACCTTGATGCAGATAACTCCCTATTGGCCTCCTTGTTGGCGCAACATAAAGCTAGGGCATTGGACGCCGCCGTCAGGCGTAACTCGGCTCGCTCCTCCGAAGTACACTGCGCGCCCGAGGGCGGCTCGCCGTCGCTTTCAATAACTTTGAAGCACAGGTCGAACGCATCTTGCCTTGCTGCTTTCTCGCGGCCGCATTCCTTGTCTTGTAGAGGTCTCGCGCACGCCGTAACGACTTTCAGGGCCGCTCGTAACGCCAGGAACGCCTCGGCGAAAGCCTGATCATTCTTCGGCCGGCCGAAGTCGGAACCACTTAACGAAGATCTACCCTCATTCTCATCGAAGGCGAGGTCCGGCGGCGGCCGCTGGTCGATGAGAGACGTTTTTACGCGAGTAACAACATCAGACGTCGCGATGTCTTCCGGGAAGAGTTCCACAACTCGTGTCAGAGCTCGCAACCTCGCCAGCAACCGAGACGCACCGTAGATCCAGCAGTCGTCGCTCTTGTCGTCCAACGCGTCGAGAATCGTAGAACCTCCGGTCTCGTCATGTAGTGAAGCTAAGGCCGCCACACCTTCTTTGGCGCACGCCGCGAGGAAGCCGTCCTCATCATCATCGTCGTCGCCGCGCCAACTTCCTTGCGCCGTCGCGACCTTTCTTAGAGATGAATCGGCGTCTTTGGCCTTCGAACCGATGGCCTGGCACGCCCTTGCCGCAGCCGTGAAGGCTTGTGGATGACGAGCGTCCGCGGACGCAGTAGTAAAAGCGACCACAGCCTCTGACGAAGCCGCTAGTAATGAAGGGTGCCTTTGAGCTAGCAACGTGCAGGCTAAGGTAGCGCCTCGGAGCACGACTTTGTCAGCATCGCTTCGGGAAGCTCTCTGTAATATTGCAGAGAACGACTGCGCGTCGAGGACGGCGTCGCCCGTCTTCTTCAGCAGCTTGGACACGTACGACGCGCAGTCGCGCTTGCCGGACGCCGCGATCCTCTTCACAGCATCATCGCGAGCGGCTCGTCGCACGTCCCTACTTTTCGTGAGGTCATTCGACGTAGCTAAACTGCGAAAGATCTTCCGGTCGCGCGCTTGGGTTAACTGTTGCACTAAGGTCCTTGCGTTCTGACCCGGAAGGCAGCGCACCACGTCCTCCACCGCAGTTTTCACGACTTGGTTGGCCCTCGTTTTGTCTTCCGACGCTCGCGCCGACTCGATAGCATCTAACAGCGCAGAAAGGGCCCGCTGCGACACGGCCGTCCGCGCAAATAACGCCCCCAGCGAACTTTCCACACTATCCTCAATCACTGATGAAGCCACAGTGGAAACGAACGCGCAGCCCCGCATATCATCATCAGACTTACTATCCAACATGTGGTCGTCCAAGAGTAACCGAGCCCGCTCCGACACCTCTCCCACATTTACGGAAGACGCGTAGCTTTGGACTAGTAGAGAAGGAACGAATCCCAAGCGCTTCAGACCGTTTGAACATGTAGCGTTCAACGCCTCTTCACTATCTTCCCAATTATCGGAAACATGAGCCCTGAATAGAGTAGCCAGTCCCGTCAAACACTCCTTCCGGATCTCCGGTCTTTTATCTTTGGCGACTCGTCTCAACGACTCGCAAGCGACGTCCCAGTCCTTGCCTCCAGATGAATCCTTCAGGCCGGACGGGGCCGTGTCGAGCATCGCGTCGGCTAGGGATCGCGTGGCCGCTCGTCGCACCTCCCAATCTTTGTCTTGTGTACGTTCTGCGCATTGCTCTATCAATGCGGCTCTTAGCTGAGGTTTCGCGGCGGCCACTCTGAGAGAAACGCGGACCATGGCGCATCTCACCTCACTACACTTGTCGTGGAACCGTCTCAACCACTCCTGATAGATGCCCGGGTAGCTCGACGCGTAGTCCTCCTTCGGCGAGGCGAACAGTCTTCCGAGTAAGGTGAGCGTCGCTTCTCGCGTCCGGTCGTCCTCCGCGAGTAACCTTTCTGACACTTTCGGTAAAGTATACAGTAACATGCGCGGCTCCGCGAGGTGGACCTCAAAAACCAACGCGTAGGCGTTCGCGCCGGACGCGTCGGACTTAGCCAGCGTGTCCTGGCCGATGCGCTTGAGCGGCGTTTCTTCGTCTTCCTCTGAGGACGACGACGAGTCGTCCGAGCGCCTTCTTCTTTTTTTTTTCTTTTCGTTTTCCGGCGTGACGATGCCCTCCGTCGGGGACAATGAGAGGCAACCATTCAACCAGGCGGCCACGGGTCGCGTCAGGGCGTCGGCGCCTCTCCTCACCACTGCTTGCGCGAGCCAATGCGTCGTCGGGGCGGCCTTTCGGCCCGACGGGAGTAACGATACTAATAGTAGTTCCACGAGACCGTCGGGGATGGCGTCCAATTGCGCCACCACCCCACTCATGACGTCTAACGTAGCATCCCGTAACTCGGACGACGTCTCGCCCGAGACGCTTCGTAGTAGAGCATCGCAGAAATCTAATAAACCGTTCTGGGACCCCTCCGCGCCGGACGCGTAGAGCTCCGTCAATGCACAAGCGGACTGGAACTGTCTGAGCGACTCGATAACATGTCTAGCTTGCCTCCGGGCGAGATCGCCGTCGCGCCCGTTCGAGGCGGCGCCCGCCGCTTTCAAAGCAGCTCCCAATAATCGGAACGCAGCTAGTAATTCGCCGTCCCCATAGGGCGCGTTCGGCGCGAAGATTCTAAGGACTTCACACACGCACGTTGCCGCCCACAACCGTACCGAGGTAGAACGGTGCTCCGAGATCTCCGGCGTCGCGAGCTGTCTTGCTAATTTGGCGAGACCGCGCGGCCGCGCGTCCTCCTGGCGCGTGTGGCCGAGGGCGGTCTGGGCCTGCTCCAGTCGTTTTGCCAGTTCCCGCGGCTCTAAGGATACGAGGTCCGCGAAGGGGGCGAAGTCCTGGGACGCTCTACGTTTGGCCGCCGCTTGAGCGCTTTCTTTGGCCGACTTCTTGCGCGGCGGCTGCTGGGGCGCGTCGTCGCCGCTCGCCGGGCGCTTCTTCTGCTGCGCGTCGCTCGCCGCGCGCCGGGCCGGGGCGCCTGTCGTGGCGGCGGCGGCGCTGGACTTCTTTTTGGCCATTTCTTTGGCTGCTTTTGGGTTGGCGCGCGCCCTGGCTCTGTGGCTTCGTTTGGCCGTGCGCGCGCGCGGTTCAAATTTTTGGGCCGCAGGCGTTATCTATATGCCTGGTGGGCAGCGCACACGCACGCGCGGCACCGGTGGCTGTCTTGGGCGTGAGATTTCAAAGAGAGCGCGTCTCTCTTTGTATCGAGCTAGAGGGCGTATCGACTAGCCCCGTCGGATGCGGATGGCTGCAAGCGACGGGTCGGGAGCTCTCTGGTCTTTTTCTCGAGAGATAAGGCCGGTTTGTCAGTAGCTCCGCAGCTTTTCTCAGTCCGCGACACGCGCGGCTTGGCGGATAGCCCGTCAGGGGCTAGGCTGGAGCACGCCATCGACGCGTGCGTGACGGGACGAATAACACATCTATTTTTACAGTTCCTCCTCGTACCGCAACGCCCCACCCCAGAGCTCGTCGACCGCCTCGGCGATCCGCGTCGGGTGGCTGAAGATCGTCATCACGCAGCGCGTCTGCGCCACGGCCGGCGCGCCCTGGACGACGCTGCCGTGCACTCTATAAAATATCCCGTTCACCATGGCCTCCACACACCTGCTCGTGGGAAACTGGCCGTAGAAGCGGCGGACGCGATCGAGGTGCTTCGGCGGCGCCTTCGTCGGCCGCGCGCGCTTCGGGGCCTCCAGGAACCCGCCCTCGCCCTCGAAGTCGATGGCGAGCGAGCTCTTGTCGTCGACGGAGGCCTCGGTGCGCACGGCCCGGTCCGTGTGCGTCGAGCTCTCATGCGGCGGCACCAGTCCCGTCGATGCCGTCTCGGCGCGCGTCTTCGGCGACACCGCGGCGTGCGTGGTGTTCGTCGAGGCCTCGGCGGTTTCTTCCCGCGCGATCGAGGCCAACGCCTCGGGCCGGAGCTCGTGCTCTAGGTCTTCCCGCTTGTCGGGACTGAGGCTCTGCAGTGTCTGGGAGCTATTATTTGTCCCATCCATAGCCCGAGAACGGCGTTCTTGTGTCAGCGTGAAAGATAAGAAATACAAGGTCCTAAAAAATTGGCTAAGCCGGCCGAGACTACCGAGCCACTGGCAAAAGTGCCCAATGCGCCGATTACTAGTGCGTTACAGGCCGCTAGCTAATCTTCCCGGCGGCGGAGTGTGTGTTGAGCCGGCTGCCTGAGGCCAGGGCTGCCCTGCTTGGGCCATTAACGCGTCATTTCAGACCAAGAGATTGTCTTGCCGTGAGCCGGGGCAGCCTGCAAGTCACACTGATCGACCATGCACAGCCTTTGCGTACTGCTGCCGACCGCGGCATTAGCTGCGGTCACGTCCCACACGACCATAGACTCCTCCGCCCCTGCAATTCTCACGCAGCAGCTGTCATCGTTTGGCGTCGATCTCTTCGCCACAGAAAATACTCCAGCGGCCGCGCTGCAGCACGCTGCCTGCGTGATGGATCAGTACCTAGACCAGGACCGCGACGGCGTCGCCGACGACCCAAACGTCGTGTCCGCGCTCACGTCTCTGAGCGCGGCGATGATCATGGGAGCGACGGAGAGCGACGTCGAAGACGTCTTTGACGCCATCGACGATAGCGGTGGCTCTTTCGGCGACCGCGCGCTGCAAGATGTCTACGCGAGCGAGACGGCGTACTTCGACGGAGCCAGTTACTTCGACGCCTCGCTGGAAGAAGTCCTGCACCTCATCACGCAGCACGGGTACGCCAATGCCTATCCGAGCGACTTTGGGGAGTATTCGGGAACGACGCTGGCGGACGCAGTCGACGCCGTGATAGGGGATTGCGAGATGTCGTGGGAGTGCGGCAGTGGCGACGAGGACGAAGACGGCGACGACGCTCACAATACCGACGACGCCAACGTTGCCTCCGGAGAGGCGTTCTGCGAGGAATCCGGCTTCTCCGAGGATCAGTGCAAGAGCTACGACTCGGCGGCGTGCGAGTGCGACTGGGACGGGGGCCAGTGTTGGTGGCAGGGTGGCGCCTGCGGCGGCCGGCGGCTGGACGAGGGCTGCGAGGACTACAGCGACGGTTCGTTCGTGCAGGGCTCGTGCACCGGAAAATTTCACTACTCCGACACGACCTGCGACTACGGCTGCCTCATCACGGAGGGCCTCTACTGGGGCGTTACGTCGCTGCTCGGCGCGCAGGAAGACCGTTGCGCCAACATCGACGACGAGTGGGAGCCGTGCACGCCGGCGCTGATGCGGAGCGACGCGCCGGCTCTCTCCACGTTGATCGATACGATGGGCATCACAGTCCTCCCGGACGGGAACTGCGACGTTACCAACGATCTCGCTCCGACGCCGCGCCCGACGAGCAGTCCGTCGGCAGCTCCGGGCTACTGCTGCTCGGCCGGAGACTGCGGCGTCTGCACGGCGCAGTCGACGGTCCAGGCCTGTTGGAACGGAAGAGATCAGTGCGAGACTTACTGCGGAGTATGGTGTATTGGCGCCTGGCAAGAACCGCTGCAAGAACCGCTGCCTCCGACGCCATCGCCCGTGGGCACGCCGGCACTAGAGGCGTCCCCGGACGCCGACGGCGCAGCTGGCCACCGGGTCAGCCTCTGCCTTGTCTTTGCCGCATTGTTTGTCCTTATTGCTACAGCTGACGCCCTCACCAACGACCTCGACGGCGACGGCGTCGAGGACGTGGCGCCAGAGGGCTCCTGCTGCATCAGCCAATACGGCGTCGGCTTCGATACCGCGTGTGGTAGTACCCTGGCGGAGGTCACGGCGAATTGCTGCCCGAGCCCCTTCGTCGCGCGCTACCATCTCGGGTTCAGCGGCGAAGAGACGACACACTACGACTGCGTCTCCTTCATCAGCAAGGAGGACTGCAACTCCTACGGGGCGACTTGGAGCGGGGGCGACGACGACCCGATTGGCCTCGGCCAGATGGGGGGCTGCCCCCACTCCGTCGCGTTCTATGCCACCCCGGAAAATGATCTCGACGGCGACGGCGTCGAGGACGCGGCGGCCGAGGGCGATTGCTGCATCAACGGCTACGGCGCGAGCTTCGCTGACTCGTCGTGCGGCAATACCCTGGCGGAGGTCACGGCGAATTGCTGCTGGAGCCCGTTCGTCGCGCGGTATTCGATCCAGCCCGACGGCGAGAACCAGAACGCGTTCGACTGCGTCTCTTTTATCAGCGAGGAGGACTGCAATGCGCTCGGCGCGCTCTGGAGCGACGATTCTCAAATGGCGGGGCAGTGCCAACACAGCGCCGACGCCACCACGGACGACAACAGTGCTGCGACGGACGACAACGTGCCCGCCACGACGACGAACTGGGGCAGCGGCGCGGGCTGGTGCTACTCGTCGCTCGACCGCGAGATCGGCTCCGCGACCGGCGACGACTGCTGGGCGCTCTGCGAGGCCACGTATGGTGCCAGCCTCGTGGCCGTCGACTGGAACGGCGCGAGCGAGTGCTACTGCCAGTCCGCCTGCGAGTGCCTGATGGACGTCGGCGACAGCGACGGCTATCTGATGACGGTCGACTCCATAACGGCGCTCCCGGACGAGTGCCCGGCGTCGTATAACGACGAAGACGACGGATCGTCGTGGTGCGGCGACCGGCGCGACTGCAACGCGCCGGCCGCCTACTCCTCGCTCACGGTCAACGACGACAACGAACCCCTCTACGTGCAGTCGACGGGTTTCCCCGCGGCGCTGCGGGCCGGCGCCGAGACCGGCGTCGACCTCACGCGAAGCATGCTCGGGACGGCGTCGGACACGCGCATCTACCTGCTCGAGCCGAACGGCGCTGACGATGTATATAGCGCTCTCATCGACGATTATTGTCAGTTCGTCGGCTATGATTGGAGCGAGTGCGGCGACTCCGAGCGCTCGGCGGCGCAAAGTGGGGGCGGGCAGTACTATCTGAGCGGCAAGGAGAGCTGCGTGTGCGGCGAGTATACGTACGCCGGAGCCCCCATGTTTATGATGCCGAGCACGTCCGACGACGCGACCATGGTGGCGGAGCGAGCTATACACGAGTACACGCACGTCGTCCAGAAGGCGAGCGGCGGCCCCATGGCGGACTGGTCGGTCGCGCGGCGTTCGAATCATCACGCCGTCGCGGCGGCCTCTCCTACGCGTCGAATTGTCATCGGCTCATGTTTCCGCGCAGGCTCATGGAGGGGGGCGCCGTCTTCAACGAGTGCTGGCTCGGCCCGGAGCTCACCGGCTCGTACTACTCTTCCTTCTCCCAGTGCTTCCAGTACGGCGGCGGGGGCGGCGGCATTCTCAACAATGTGCGCCAGCTCTACCTCGACGACCCGACCGTGCCCTGGTTTACTCTTTGGGCCAACGACCGCTGCTGCGGCGACGACTGCCCGTCGACGCACGGCGAGGGCCAAGGCATGCAGGACCGCTACATCTACTACGACCTCGGCGCGTTTGCCGTGGCGATGGCAATTACCCGCGCGGACGCCAAGTTCGGCCGCGGCGGCGCGGCGACGATCCACGACTTCTGGACGTCGGCCGAGCGCGGCTTCTGGCGGCGCACGGATATCCCCTACGGTCCAATCGACCACGTCAACGGCTGGCCGAGCGACGTGCCCGAGGGCTCCGGCTGGCGCGGGGCCCTCGCCGCGTTTCTAGGGGACGCGACGACGGCCGACTTCTATGCGTCAGTCGAGGCGACCATCGTGTCGGACGGCGTCGTCGCGACGACGGCCGAGCTCCTGGCCGCGATTAGCGGCACGCTCTCGGACGCCGCGGTCGCGGCGGCGGCGCAGACCCAAACCGATTTCACGACGTGCGAGTGGAGCACGGCAGCACGCACGGCCTGCAACGAGGGTCTGGGCTGCGGCGTCGCCGCCACCGCGCCACCGACGCCGACCCCGGCGGCGTCGGACGCCGCCACGGCCCCGGCTCTCGCGCTCGGCGCCGCGGCGGCCGCCGCCGGTGCGCTTCTCCTCTGAGCATCGCCCTCCTCACTCTCTCGAACCATCCTTTCCATTTTTGTAAGCACCCTTTCTTTTGCAAGTACTTGTAGTATGTTACACAACCCCCGGCACGGCAGAGTAGGCGGTAGGGGCTTTGACGACGACTCACCCGCGCTCCGAGAACCCGATGTCGTCGATGCTCATCGACATGGGCTGGTCGCCCAACGCGTGCGAGAGCCCCCGGCCCATGACCGCCATGTCCAATGAATCAATCCCGGCGATTCCGTCCCCTTGTACCGCGCCGAGGTTCGTCATGCCCCCGCCGCTGAGGCTCGAGGTTCGGATGCGATTGAGCGGCGTCGGGTCCGACGGCAGCGAGTCGAGGCTGCTCCGCCGCGACTGGAGCGACGCGACCGAACCAGGCGTGAACGTGATGTTGAGCATCCTATCTCTAGCGACGAGCGCGAGGACCGCCGCCTTGAACTTGCGCTTGAGGCGGTACTTGCGCCAGTTCGCCGAGAACGACGGGATGTGCACGTCGCACGTCGGGTCGCGGAGCCACGGGTCCTCGAAGACCTTCTCGGCGGACGGGCGCAGCTGCGGGTCCAGCACGAGCAGTTTTCTGATGAGTAGTTTGGCCTCGTCCGAGATGTCGTCCCACCAGGGGCTCTGGAATTCGAACGCGCCCGCCAATATCTTATTGTTCACCGCCCGCCTCGAGCCTCGTTCGTCGTAGAAGGGCGCATATCCACAAAGCATGACGTACAACACCACTCCCAGCGACCACAGGTCCGCGCCGTAGCCGTAACCGTTCCTCGACAGCACGTCCGCCGACACGTAGCCCGGCGAGCCGCACACATGATAGAGCTTTCTTCCAGGCGTACAGCACGTCGCGAGGCCGAAGTCTACGAGCTTCAAGAGTTCGCCTTGCGGCGCGCCGGCGACGTCGGCGTAGAGCGCGTTCTCGGGTTTGACGTCGCGGTGGACGACTTCATGCCTATGACAGTGGCCGACGGCCTCGCAGAGCTGCGCGAAGGCGATTCTCGCTTGTCGTTCGCTGTAGTGCTCCCGTGCCAATATGCGATCAAAGAGTTCGCCGCCGCGGCACCTGTGTGGAATCAGCCAGTGAGTTAGGTTCTGACGCGGTCACGGGGACAACGTCGCGTCGATGGCGTGGAACTCGACGCCATCGAGCAGACGCAGCTACGGAAGCACGTCGCGTCGATGGCGTGGGGCGCCCGAAAGTTGATTGCCACACCGCGCGGCACAGATCCAGCACCATGAAGAAGTCGTCGGTCGTCAGGTAGCAGTCGTAGAGGCGCACGACGTTCGGGTGGTCGAGGCGCCGCAACGTCTTTATCTCGTCCTCGAGCGCGGCGATGTCATTCACGCGCTTCAGGTTCAGTTCTTTGACGGCGCGCGGCGCGGCGCCCGGGGCCGTCGGCGTCGCGAGGAACACGGTCGCGTAGCCTGCGCGCAAATCCATCGGTGAGTCGGGTGCTCGCGGTGAGGTCATGATTCGGCGCTGCGCGTTGCCGCCTCTTCCTAACTCGTCGCCGAGCGCAAACTCCCTCAAGACAGAGTATTTCTTCAGAGTCGAGCCGGCCTTGTGGTGCATGGTGGTTCTGAACGAGGCCGAGAGCCGCAGGCGGTTTTGCTCGGCGGTTTCTTCCGCTGATAGAGAGGGGCGGCCGCGCTTCTCGCCCGAGACTTTTTTCGTGGTATGCTGCTCCATGTCCGCTTGGGCCGGAAATATCTGGCGCATGCGGCTCCGCGGCGCCGGCAAAGCGAGAAAAAACCGGGCAAGTGAGAAACACTCAAAGCTGAGCGGCCGGCGCGCTAGAAATCGTCACCGGACAATCGCCGGCTATCTGATAAGGCGAGGGGCAAGTTTGATCGGCCCGCGAGGCGCCACGGCAGATAATCTTGGCTCCGAGCTCGCGTGGGCTAGCGGCCTGTAAGACACTAGCAAGCACACCTTCGTGCTGAATCGTTGCGCCCACCTCCACGCCATCGACGCGACGTCCGCTCGATGACGTGGCACGCAGATGGACCGAAAAAAACCACGTACTCAGTGCACTCAGTACAAACAGCACAGTACTTACTCCGAAGAAGAAGCCACGCGGTCCGCGATCGACATGCGCGACCCGTCCGTGTAGCGCCCCGAGGCCGTCTCCTCGTCCGTGGTCTCGGGCTGCGTCAGCGCGAAGGCCCGCGACCGCGCGCCGCGGTGGCCCCGGTCGCCCGCAAAAACAAACCAGCGCAGCGCTCGGTCCGCGTCCTTCGGCACCGCGAGGCCCTCCAGATACACATCTCCCAGCATGAACGCCGCCGCCGGGTGCCCTTGGGCCGCCGCCTTGGCCCAGTGCGCGAAGGCCAGCGACTCATCCTCGTCCATACCCTGGCCCACGTAGGCCATCGCCCCAAGCTCGTAGTGACTCTGGGCGTGGTTCTGCCTCGCCACGGCCGCGCGGAAGAGCTCGAGGGCCCTGGTCTCGTCGAGGTCGACGCCCGTCCCGCCTTGGTAGCAGATGCCCAACGCACATGCCGCGTCGGCGTCATTATTGGCGTCGACGGCGTACAGGGCCGCGCCCTCGGCCTGGTCATCCTTTGACCCGATGAGAGCTGTGGCGAGCACGAAGCGTTCGGCCGAGCACGTCTCACCCTTGGCCTCGCACGCTCGTAAGAGTTCGCGCAACGCCGGGGCCTCTTCGATCTCCGGCTGGCGCTCCGGCCACGCGCGCTTCGGGATGCCTACCATGCCAGCCGTGTCGCGCGGCCACCGCTCTCCGAGCGCGTCGTGCCCGAGCGCTGCGCGGCTGTAGGCTGGCGGCGGGGGCGCGTCGGCGGCGTCGTTTCTCGCGCTTTTTGCTACTGCAGCTATGCAGCCGAGGGCTGCAGCGGGGAGTGCGCGATGCATGAGTGCGTCTGCAGCCACGTGCTTTATCAATCTACTTTTACAGGGTTGCAAATTGCAAAATCGGCGAGCTCACCGCTTTGTGCACACCACTGTCACGCTCGATCGACTATGGTACGACGGCTTGGCGCCAGCGTCAACTGCGACCTTGCGTGTGGCTTTTATATTTTTCAGCTAGCGGCCTGTAAGATACTAGCAAACATACGGGTGGGCCCGGGGGGAGCGGGAGGGGTACGGGGGACCCCGCGACGTAACTAGCCTGAGCCTGACATAACTCACTAAAACGTAACAACACACTCATAACTCAAACGCCTCCTCCCCGCCGCGTTCAGCCGTCACCGTAAAGCTCCGCACGAGCTCGTCGCCGCGGTAGGCCCGGAACGTATGGCCTGGGTGGGTGTGGATCCGCAGGCCGTCGCCCCCGCTGACTTCACCGTTGAGCACCTCCTCGCCGGTGTCCGGGTTCCTCCAGAAGAGCCGGACCGCGGCGTCCAGCGAGGACGTGAACGTGGCGACCACCGGCTGTTCCGGCGGGAGGTCGCGGCCGCTCATGAGCGCCTTCATGGCGGCATCAATTGTGTCTGCCTCGCCGTCGTCGAGAGCTATCGAGGCGACGGCTTGCGGCGCGTTCGCCGCCAGATGGTTCGGAGACGACGCGCGGGGGATAGTGGCGACCCCTCTACGTTTCAGAGCCGCGAGGACCACGGTGCCGACGTCTGCATTCTTCGCCCGCGCGACGTCCGCCAGCACCCGGTAGGCGCGCGGCGCGGCGCTTTCTCGCGTCACGATGCCGTTCACGACGTTGTAGGCCTGATACACGACGCGTTCCTCACCGAGTCTTTGCAAGACTTCGGGCCGGAACCAGAGTTGCCAGGCGTTGCCCTGGTAAATTTGCGGGACGACCTTGCAGGACGAGAGCAGTTCGTTCAGGTCATCTAGCTCGAAATTGCTCACGCCAATATTCTTAAGACGCCCAGCGGCGTAGAACTCCTCCAAGGCCCGCCACGAGCCCTTCCACGCGTCCTCGGCTGGGGCAGGTCCGGCGTCCTTGACGCGCTGCGGGAGGGCCCGCTCTTCTTCTGCGCAGTGCATCCAGCTGATGTCGTCGCGGCAGCGCGGCCAGTGGATCAGCATGGTCACCGCGCAGCAGCCATTTAACCCGTCGAGCATGTCTTCCACTGCCAGTTTTGTGCGCCCGTAGCCTAAATGAGTGTACCAGACCTTCGTGACCACTTGCAGTCCGCGCGTATCCCGCAGTGCGGCATCTGTATTTGACGCCATCGCGGTATCCACGAGTTGTACGCCGTGCTGCAGCATCGCGGTCCCGAGCACGTTGGGAATTCGGTCGCGCTGCATGTTTCCTATTCCCAGTCCGACCGCTGGAAATAGGTTACCATTATTGAGCTTGAAATCGAGTTGTAACTCGTCTGCGGCGTGGGCAGCGGCTGCCAAGAGCAGAGCTCCGGAGCAAAAGCGGTGCATGGCTCGCATGGCGTTTTCGCGAGGCGCCACCGACCAGATATGGTGACGCAGGGATGGAAAGTCGCCTTGAACCAGCGAAATCGCGGCTGTGCAGCGAGTCCGACAGCAAAATCTGTGGCTTGGGGAAATCCTAGTGTGTCCATAAGCTAGCCCATGGAATCGAGTTAAAGCTCGGTTTTGCTCGGTTTTTGCCGCACGACGTGCTCAAGTATCCGCAAATTAATCACATCAATCGCCTGTGAACGCGGCCAAGCTCTACGAGCACGCAGACCTGCTTGTTGTGGCCAGCAGCTCTTTTTACTCCCTCCTACGCTAGCCGACGCGCGGCTCCAGGGAGACGATGGCAGCCCTAGACACACCCCTAGAACGAGGCCAAGCCCTAGCCATCGAGGGCGACTTTGCAGGAGCACTAGAAGCTTTAACGGAAGCGACGACCGAAGACGCATCAAATGCAAAAGCCTGGGAGGCGACGGCCCAGGTCCTGCTGGCCGCGAGCGACGATCAGGACGAGCGGTCGGCGGCAAAGGCTCTGGTCGCCGCGCAGAAAGCTACAGAGGCCGCCCCGCACTGGGCGCCGGCCGCCGTGACGCGCGGCCGCGCCTTGCTCGCGGCGCGGCGCTGGCGCGAGGCGGCGGCGGCGTTATCCACAGCTATTGAGATGGATTTCGAGGACCTGTCGTTGCGCGACGAGGCCCGCGCCGACTTACAGGAGGCGAATGAATTAAGAGACAACGAGAGCACGGGCCCCCAGGAGCGGACGCTCCAGATAAATGGACGGCCCCTCCTGACGACGTCGGCCATGCCCACTCAAGGTGAATGTGGTACCTGCGGCGCGGGCCAGGGCCCGGCCGCCGGCGTCTGGGAGGCGTCCGTCGTCCTGGCGATGGCCCTCGAGTGGAATCAAACAACACCAAAAAACGTCCTGGAATTGGGCAGCGGTTTGGGAGTGGCCGGTTTAGCTGCAGCTCTTCGGGGCGGCGACGTCGTGCTCACGGATTTGAGCGACGTGGTACCGCGCACCTTACAACGGTGCGCGACGCACCGGTCGCTCGTCGACGCGGCGGGCGGCTCAGTCATGACTATGGCCTACGACTGGAGGAAAGCAGTGCCGGCGGACATTATGGACATGCGGCCCTACGACCTCGTGCTGTCGGCCGACGCGATCTACCGCGCGGATTTATTGGAGCCGTTCCTGCGGGCGCTCGACGCGGTCGTCGGTGCGGAGCTGTTGATCGCTCATAAAAAACGCCACCGAGAGCTCGACGACAGGCTCGAGGAGGCGCTTAATCAACGCTTCGACGTCGCCGAGGCCGAGTGCCACCCGCTGTACGCGTCTTCGTCGATAGTGCTCTGGCGGTGTACTAGACGTAGACAACAGTAAAACTTAACTTCAACGATAGACAATGTGTAGGGCCCAGACCGTAAAGGCCGTCAGCGTGACGATCGCCGTCGCGTACTGGAGGAAGTACCAGGGCGCGATTTCCTCGGCGACGTGCCCGCTTCCAACCGCGTTGAGCGTCACGAGGACCGTCTGCGCGCCGGGCATTGCGAGCTCCAGCAGGATGATCAGCGTCGTCATCCTGCCGCCCGGAAGATTTATCACAGAGAAGATGGGATATGCAATGACGGGCACGATCACTAAACGCGCGAGGATGAACCAGACGGCCGTCGCGACGTCGCGCGTGTCCTCTTTCGATGCATGACTATTATTCTCGACGACAGATGAAAACTCGCGCTTCGTCCTTCTACGCCGCGCGTGGCCGTTCGCGAGGGCCGCCGCCATGATCATCACCGTGACCGCCACGACGGGCGCGCCCAGCGTCTCGAGGGCCAGGCCGATCGGTCTTAACGGCGTGTCGCCCCGGAATAATAGTCGCCGCAAGGGCGTCGCGCCGATAATAACCCCGGCGTACATCCCGATCATGTTCGGTTGCAAAAACAGCCGCTTGCACCACAACTTCGCCGTCTCTGCTTTTGATCGATCCTCCCTCTGGGTTTTCGCGGCGTCCTCGAGCGTGCCATACGCATAACTCCAGAAGACAAAGTGCCACGCCGTCAGGTAGAGGCACAGAGACGCCGCGGCTTCGGCCGTGCAGGCGGCTTCGTCGTTGTCGAACTCTTCTTTGACACTTGGACGCTCGCAGAGGTACTGGAGAATCAGTAGAGGTAGGGCGAACGCGTTCGGGTGGGCTATGGCGACCCGCAACGCCGGCTTCAGCGCGGGCGTCGGTCGTAGTATTGCTGCGGTAAGGTCCGCGACGGCGTAACCGAGTGCTGTAGCGGCGACGCCGGCGGGCAGCAGCACCCAGTCGCCTTTGAGATTGGCCACGTTAATGCGCGCGCCGAGCACCGCCGCGCTCAGGCACGGCAGGAACACGTCGTTCGCCACGCGACTGATCACTTTGAGGGCGTCTGGTGTCAGCAGCGGCGCCGGGTCCTTTGGGCGCTTTGCACAAATGTAGCCCACAGTAGCGATTATAAGCACCTGCACCATGGCACCGGCGGCCGCACCAAGGAGTGGTAGCAGCGATTGCGTCATTTTGTCCACCGCCGCGAGCAATGCGACTCAGCTGGCAGCACTTTGGGCTGATGGTGCTCAGCGCCAGGTCACTAATTGGTTCAGCGCTTTTGCACAGCGTACGAGCACTCGAAATGTGTTCCCTCACGAATGCCGAGACGTATCGCAGTTGACAAAGGCAAAAAAGCGATGCCGAGCCTATGAGCTCGCATGGTGATAGACACACTAGCCTCAGGAACGTTGCGCACCCGTGCGCGCCCCCGCGAGGCCCTTGCAGGTCTCCCGGAACCGCATCGACGACTGCGAGCAGCACGGGCGCCCGTCGAAGCCCCATACTGAAGCCCCTACAGGTAGTTGGAGCCATATCACCAGAAGTGTCGGACGACCGCTCCGCGGCGAGCGGTGCGACCACTCCCCGCGCGGGAGCCGCCGCGGGGAGGGCGTGCCAGCTACTAGCGAAGGCTAGTGTCCACAACGCCTTTTTGCTCAGCTCGCTTCGTCAACGCGAAGCAGCGCTACGAGCGAGCAGACGCCAAAGGGCAGCCAGCAGCGCACACGCAGACACACGCTACGCGACGCTACGCGCTAACAAGGCAGCGCGCACAACCACAAGATGGCCGGCGGCAACAAGACGTCGAGCCGCAGCGGCCTCGGGCAGCGCGAGTCCATCGGCAACCCCCTCAACCTGACCTTGGGGAGACGACCCGTCTCCGCCGCGAGTACGAGACGCGGCTTCAAGGGCTCGGCGCGCGTCGTCCCCCAGCCCCAACAACCAGAAGAAGACGAAGCAGTCACGAAGCAACCGAACGCCCTCGGCTTCACGGCCTGGTTCGAGGAGAAGATCGTCGAGTACTCGTCGAAGTCGCGGCCCTACGCCATCACGCGCTTCCGCAAGTGCATCATGACCTACTTCCCCGAGGACGCGTCGCTCGGCATCGAAGAGCCCAAAATTAAGAACTCCGGCTACATGGGCGGCACCTACCTCAAGCGCTCAAAGTGCAAGCACGAATCGGGAAGAGCCTTCACGCCCGGCGACTTCGTCGTCGGCCAGGACATCAACGTCTACGGCCAGATCTTCACCATTGCCGATGCCGACACGACGACGCGCCGAAACTACCGGAACATCTACGGCTTCCAGCAGCCCGCCGCGGTCGACATTCCGGATGACGGCTTCGCCGAAGAGCGCGCGAGGAAGGGCATCCCCAAGCCGAGGCACGACCCAAAGCCGAAGCGCGTCGACCACTTGGCCGGCATGCCGCCGGGCACGCACGACGTGTTGAGATTCTTCTGCGCCTACCAAGATGACCGGACGGACGGCGACGAGGACCGGAGGTACGTCCTCCACTTCTTCTTGCGCGACGGGACCGTCGAAGTCAAGGAGTGCAAGACGGAAGGCGTCCAGCCCTTCCCGAACCTGCTGAACCGCTCGAAACTCCCGAAGGACACGTTCTTCAACCCGGACACGCCCATGTACGACGCGAACCAGCCCAAGCAGGTGTCGTGGGAGGATCTCAGATGTGGTTCCACCATTATGGTCTGGGGGAGAAGCTTACTACTACTATCCTGCGACCGCACGACGGAGCTCTTCTACCAGCGCAAGGGCATCGCCCAGAACCCCATGCAGGTCGAGGAGGACAAGGGGCCGGCCTTTCCGAAAACTTTACCTCCTTACAACGGTGTGGGAGCGGAGAACGACTTGTACTCCATGGGTTTGAGCTTACAACCGAAGATCGTCAAGAGCACGACGGACGAGTTCAAGCGCTGGCAGATGGCCGACAATAAAGTACTACGCTTCGAAATGGAGTTTGCGCACAACGACGTCTCGGACATGGATAAACAACGGCGCTTCGTGACGAACTATAATCTCGGCGACGACACGATCATGGTCTTCGAGCCGCCGATCCGCAATTCCGGTCTAGAAGCGGGCGTGTTTTTGGGGAGACAACGATACAAGAAATACGTCCCCGACCAGCGCGAGGGCAAGGGCCTGAAGAACCACGGGAGTGTGCTGTCGCGGTGGTTGCGGCCGGCGGACTTCTATGACGGTGCCATCGTGCCCTTCGAGCATCCTTCCACGGGTCGATTGTTACAAACTTTTAGAGTGATCGGCGCCGACGGCTTCACGCGTCGCATCGAGGCCGAGAAAAAGCAGAACGCGGGCGGGCACCTGAATGTCGTCATCGAGCAATTAGCTGAAAGGTTATGTGCGGCGCGCGTGCAAGTGCGAGAGATCCTCAAAGCAAATGACGCTTCCGGACGAGGCTTGCCTTCAGAGGAGTTCAAGCTCATCCTCAAAGATTTGGAGCACGCGTCGCAGAAGGACTCCCATGGTGTCTCGGCCAATGTCCTGGATGAGGACGTGCTCGAGCAGATCTGCTGGACTTATGCCGATCCTGATGAGAAGGATCTGGTGAGATATAATGACTTTGTGGACGCTCTCGTGTTGAGCGCACCCATGCCGAAGATCCCCAAATTGTCGGCGTGCGGCGTGGCCGGTTCCGCGGCGGTCGCGGCGGCCGGCAAGAACCTCGAGAAGCAGCTCATCGAGGCGCTGCGGATGCAGGTCGGCAACGGCGACTGTAACGGGGGCAACATGAGGCAGTCGTTTCGAAGGGAGGATCACCAACGACGAGGTTGTGTCGATGAGGAGTCCTGGTTCCGGGTGTTGAAGAAGCATAAGGTCCATGGCGCCTTGACGATGGACGACACGCGGCAACTGCAGATGAAGTACACTGAGGTCAGTCGTATTACGGCGGGCATCGAGTACGAGCGGTTATGCGATAAAATATATGAAGGCGATTTTGGAGATTACATGAAGAAGCTCCTGATGTCTCTGCCGGAGCGGGGCGACCTGCAAGCCGTGGATAGGGACGAGTACCGCGCCGCGATCGCGGGCGGCAACAAGATCCCGACGGTCAAGGAGTGCCTGAAGAAGACGACGCATGCTGTTCGACTCTGTGAAGTGACCGGGAGTGGTGTGCCCATCGAGAACCAGTTGAATGAACGACTCAAATTGTGTCTGCGGTCCTTCGCGTCGGCGTTCGGCCGGAACCACCGGAAGAAGAAGCTACGACGTAATCTCATGGCCTTCGACACGGCCAATGCCGGTTCGTGCACGCGCGAGGCCTTCGAGAAGAGCGTCGACGCGATCATCGCCGCGGGCTGGTGCGACATCGACGCCAGGGATTTAGATTTGCTCTACAACTACCTCTTCCCGCGGCCGTGGACGCGGCTCGACAACAACGCGCTGCTCGACGCGCTGTGCTCGCGCGACGTCAAGGGCGTCATGCGCATGCACCGAAACGCGGAACAACAGGAGGAGGACCCGCGCTTCCTCTTCAAGGGCTACGGCGGTTAGGATACTGCCGGCCCTCCCTCCCTCCCCCCTGCCCCCGCGGCGTAAGCGTCGCACCTGAGATTTTGACTGGTAGCGGTAGGGGTCGTCGATTCGTTGAGCACTCGCCTCGACGACCACTATCCGCCCAGGGCTGGGGGAGGAGGCGCTGCTGATTGCTAGTGTCTTACAGCCGCTAGCCTCGGTTTGCGGCCCAAGCCATAAATTCGCAGTAAACTCGCAACACAGCAGCTCTGAGCCGATTATTTTGATCGGTTCGACAACTTGTGACACCGCCGCTTGCAGCCTAAGGAGGACAGGGCTGTAAAACAGACAGCAGCTCTCCAGCAGCACAGCTCTCCACAGCATATGCTAATGATCGATGCGACGACGACTCATCCCCGCTTGCGTGCTCGGTGGCACGATGGGCCTGCAGCTCACAGACACCTACCACAGCTTGCTGAAGGCTGTCCCGCGGCCGCCACCGCTCACGTCTGCTTTACCGATGTGCTATAGTAGCCCGCTCACCGACGCGCACAAGGCACTACGACCCGCGGCTACGCAAGACGTGCGGACGTCCTGTGCACTATTTGCGGCAAAGGCGACGGCCGACGAGGCGCCGAAACGCCGCGCGTGCCTCGCGTCGCTGTGGCTTGCCTACGGGATGCTCGACGAGTGCCACGCGCTCGTGGTCGCCGAGTCGTACTCGGGGAGCGACGCGGCCTACATTCACGCTTTACTCCACCGCAAGGAAGGGGCGTTCGTGGGCGAATTTTCCATGACTGGCTGGGCGAACAGCAAGTACTGGTGGGGCGTCCTCGGCGCGCATCCTCTTTTTGAAGCCGTAGCCGTCGCCGCGGCAGAAATGCCCCGCGAGCCGTCGCCACTACTGGAAGATTGGCATCTGGACGGCTGGGACCCCTACGCCTTCGTGGACCTCTGCGCGGCGGCCCACGCTTCGGGCGACGAGACCGCGATGGCGTACTGCCGCGCCGTCGCCGAAGTCGAGTGGGACCTGCTGCACGGGCACATCCTCGCCGGCCTCGAGTAGTTGTTTTTGTTAATCTTGTATGGCTTACTCCGCTCGAAGCGAGGGAAAGGTTTCTGAATTTGGTGGCGTCCGAATTTGGCGGGACGGCCTGTATACACAATTTTGGGACAACGTCAGTGCGTCAAAGGTCGAACGCAAAGAGCGTGTCCGGCGGTTTGGACAAAGCGCGTCTGTAGGACGAGCTCAAGGGCGGCGACCGCGACCGGCGCGGCGGCGGGTCGCCGTTCTCCGCCTCGTAGTCGTTTCCGGCGATGCCGCCTCTCCTTAACCGCAGCCAGAACAAGTAGCGTCTATATTCGTACAGCGAGTCCTGCTGCGACACGGCCGCCGCCTCGTCGTCGTCGTCATCGTCGGGCCGCGGGACGTTGATGGGCGGCGACGAGCGCGTCCCCGACGACGAGGCGTCGCTCCAGGAGCCGAAGACGCCGCGCGTCTTCTCGCCGGGCCGGATCGTCATCGGGGCGGCGATCAGCGGCGGCGTGTGCGGCCTCAGGGCCGTCACCGGCTGCGTCGCGGCGAGCTGCGCCATCGCGGTGCGCCTCCCGGGAGGTGGAGCCCAAAAATCCAAAGGCAGAGCCTGCCCCGATCTTGGCCGTCCCGGCGCCGCCGCGCGTCCGGAGCGCTGCGGGAGGTCGAGCTGACCTGGAGGGCCAAGACCAAGCCCCCCCGGCGCCAGCGACGGGCCTCCGGCAGCCCCTTGCGGCCCTTTTCCGAGCCCCTTGAGCGATGCAGGCGTTGATAGATTTTAGCGGCACGCTCTGGTTCAGAATCCCCCCGTTCGGAAGGCTCGCTCCGTTCAGAATGCCGTTGTGAGGTAATGATTGAGCTGTCCACGGATGCGCGGCGGTGCCTAGGCCATAGGTGCCTCCGCGGCACCGAACTTGAGACATTTAAAGATATACACAAGACCCTTACGTCTCCCCGGCCGCGGCGCGCGACGCCGGCGCCCGGCCCCTTCTCATAGACATGGACCCGTTGTCCGGAGGAAGCCCAGACGTCCGCCGCCGGCCGATCGACGGCGTAGACTCCTCATCCAACAAAGCTTTCGTAAAGCGCTCTTCGCCCGGCGTCTGGGGCGTGGACACGTCGGAATCGCCCTCCTCCAAGAACGCCTGGAAGTCGCGGTGGCCGTCGGGAGCGGCCAAAGACGACTTGTAGCGCTTCGCGGTCCTTCTTCTGTGGCTGGGAGATAAGATATCAAACGCGGACTTCACGCGCGGCACCAACCCTTCGGCTCCTCGATGTTTCGGGTCGTGGTGGAAGCGGATGGGCGCGACGGGCGCATCCTTCGAAGTTGCGGACGGCAGTCCCTCGGTGCTATCTCGTCGCGCCAGGGGCGTTTTCAGGAGCTGCAACGACGATAGCAGTCTACCGGCGATGGTCTTCTCGCCGTTGTCCGCGAGTTTGGTTCCGGAGCCGTGGACCGGCTCCGACGCCGGCAATGCTTGTCTTTTCCACTCTTGCGCCTCTGCTCGGTGTTTTTTTAGTTTGGCATTCTTCCACGACGTCAATGAGATGAGGCAGAACACCATTATTATGAACATGAGTACATTGGCGAGTTCCACATAGCGTACCGTACCCAGACCTAGTGCCGATGTCCACCGCGCCTTCTTGCCGCCTCCTAATCTCCATCCCAGATACAGCAACGGATTCGACACCAATCCAATAAACTGGAAGAAGAAGCACCAGTCCAGAATTTCGTCGCAGAGCGTACTATAGGGTACTTTTGGCATGTAGTCTGAGGTAGTGAATCGCGTCGCGACATTCGTCAACAATAAAGCAACGGAGGTCTCCATCCTCCCCGCAAGGTCCTCCAGCGGAAAGGCATAGACCGACCAAGCACAGATGTTGATCAGGAAGATCGGCCACATGATCATGCGCACGTGCCAGTCGGACTCGCGCTCGACCAACACGATGACATGCAACGCGGAGTAGACCTTGGCCGTCGTACTATGTTCCGGGTTCGTCGCGTACATGGCCGTCCTCGACCCAATCACGTTCCACTCGTGGCGCGCGTGGTGCTCGATCGCGCACTCATCTGGTAAGGGGTGGAGTTCTACCTCGTCAATCGTCTTCTTGTGCGGTTTTATACATATACGTAAATTTTGAAAATCAAAGGGGAACATATCTAAGCTCATATTCGGTATCATGAGTTTACCCCGGTAGTACTCGGACAGCTTGACCAGGCCAGTCTTCGAATCCTTGACCTGGAACTCCCAGTGCGTCAATTGGAGGCCGGCGTCGTTATCTATCACTAGTTCGGGGTTGAATAATCCTGGTTCATTTAACTCTAATCTGCCTTTTCTTCCTTTGCACTTGTCGTCGGTCCAGTAGTAGAACACTTTAAAGTCCACCGTGAACATGCAGTCGATGCTATGGACATTCCTGATCCCGTTGATCTTGTAGCCTACTTGTACTTTCTTGCCTCGTCGTCGTCGTCGTGCTCGGATGATGCCCTTCACGGCACTTCGAAACTTGGAGTTCTTCTCCAGACAGGCGTCGGCGGCCGCTCTGTCCAAACCGGAGAGCTGCTTCGTGGGGGCGTCGAATCTGTTTTGTGGGCTCGGCGGCAGGTGGTCCGGGGATAGAGCCGCATGGCGATCTAGTTTTTCTTCTTCATGGTTCGGGCGGCTCTGGGGCGGCGACCCGGCGCTCTCGCGGCGGAACGACATCACACGGTGGCTGCCCAGCCGTCGACGGCGTGTCTACTCTTTTACACAAGTGCAGCCTGGCAGACTCTGGGGCTGCCCAGTCGCGCAGCGACGTCGATTGGGTAGCGCGCGCTGGTATATAGGCGCGGCGCGACCAATGACGCCAGCTGCACGTCGTCAGTGTCGATCGCACCCGTTTGACAGCCGGGCAAAAAATGAGAGAGCCCGTACGAACGTCGGAACGCGCGGGCGCCATCGCCGCGACGCAACACTGCACGGAGACGCCATCGCCGCGACGCACACAAACATCTACTTAGGCGGCGACCAGCTATCGGCGTACGCCGCCGCCGCCGCCGCGAAGCTCTCGTCCGCTTCGCCCTCGTCCACGTCGAGCCGCCTCAAAATGTCCTGGCGCACCTCGTACGCGTCGTCGTCGTCGCCCCGCGCGTCGAGGTGCTCCGCGATGTTGTGGAGCGTCTGGATGACGAGAGGATGCTGTTCGCCCAAAACGCCCTCGCGTAATTGCAAAGCTTCGGCGTACCAGTGGCCGGCCTTTTCTTCCGGATCTCCATCTCGTTTGGCGTGGAGCGCGCGGTTGTTCAACGCCGCGGCGAGGGCCGTGGCGACGCCCGGTATTGATGGACTTTCCTCAAACACTTTCCTCAAATCAACGATGGCCTCATCTAACTCGCGCGCGGCACCCTCTCGATCATCGTCCAACCTCTTGACCGAGGCCAGGACGACCTTCGTCGAGGCCAGGGCCGGTAGGTCGCGCTGGTCATGGGCCGGCGAGTGGATTCTCCGAGAGACGGACTCGTCGAGCGCCTCCTTCGCTCTGTCAAGTAACATCATGCGGTCCATTTTTTTTCGCCCTGGTTGACTTGCGTCGTCCTTGTAGCACGCCCCGAGGTTGTGGAGGGCCGTCGCGCAGGAGGCCGAATTGCTCATGCCGCACGCTTCATAAAGTTGCGCGCTTTTCGCGAAGAGCTCCGCGGCTCGTTCAAAGTCGCCCGCCGCCTTCCTACATAAAGCTTCGTCGTTCCGCGCCGCCGCTAGCACGGGGTTGCCCTGCTCGCGGCCGTCGCCGTAGGCCTCCGTCGACGTCCTCACGAGCTCCTCGGCGGCGGCGACGGCCTCGGCGACGTCCTGCCTGGCTAGGTGGTCTCTCACGCATCGTTGCAGTTCTCCTATACGTTTTTCCGTGGCGGCGGCGTCGAAGTGATCCGTGCTCTTGTGTCGTCGGCGGATGGCTGCAGAGGCTGCAGTGTTTATAGTTGGCTGGGTGCGGCGCATCGCTACGATGAGTCGCCGCATTGTTGTTGTTGCCACGTTTTTGATTTATAATCTCGATGCAATGCCTGTTCCTATCCTTTGTTTCGCGCGACGCGCACGGCGCTTGGCTGGCTGCCCGCCTTATTATACCATAGCATAAGCACCCCCCCTCTCAGAGTATTGTACCATATGGTCAAGCATATTCCAGCCAGACACATTAGACGCGGTTTTTGACGCCCCTCGCGGTCCCTTGACGCAACCGGGAGGCTCAATAGCATCTCGTGTAACCTCAAGAGCGGCTCCAGCGAAGACCGAGGCCCTACTGAAGAGCAAGAGCTAATCCGGCCAGAGCTCATTTCAGCGCTCACCCGGAGCCGCCGCGCGCCCGAGATATTAAACGACGCTCCCGATACCCTCGGCGACGCCACCGCAGCGTTTTTTAAACCGGGACATAACCATGTCGACCGAGAAGGGCACCTACCAGGCGCCCGCCGGGGCCGCCGTGCCCGTCAAGGGCGAGGTCATCGCCACCCAGCCCGCGTCCGCCCCCATCGCGGCGACCGTCGTCGCCGGCACGCCGTGGCCCGTCCAGCTCTGCTGCTACGACAACTGTAACTGCTGCGCCGACCTTCCGTTGTGCTGCTACGCCGCCTGGTGCGCCCCGTGCTTGTGGGCGGAGGCGGCCGAGTACCTCCAGGTGGACACGTTGCGATCGCCGCAGGACGCCGAGTGCTGCCAGCCCTGCTGCTGCTGCACGAGTGCCCGCTGCGCCACGAATTATTGGGCTCTGATGGGCTACAGCTGCGCGACGTCCCTGGCCCAGAGCCTGTGCAACGCCATGGGCTGCCAGTCGATCAGCGGATTCATCAACCTCGCGCCGGTCCTGACGATGCGGTCGCGCCAGCAGCTCGAGCAGCAGGGCCTCGCGGTCGAGTGCGGCCACGCCTACTGCGCCGACTACTGGTGCCCTTCTTGCTCCGCGTACCAGCAGGGCGTCTACGTGAAGCACGTGCTCAAGCAGGACTTCGTGTGCTGCACGTACCAGAGCTGCTGCAAGCAGACGTGCGGCCGGGGCCCGGCGCCGGGAGAGATGCAGCTGACTCTGCCGCGCTACGCCGCCGTGACGGCTCAGCCCGGCGCGGCCGTCGTCTGAGGCTTCCCTCCCTGTCCCCCCTGTAAGAAACCAGTAAATTACGCAACTCACGCGTCCCGCCGCTGGTAGATCGTCAGCAGCGACTCACTCAATCCAATCAGCTGCGGCATCGTCTCACTAACATGAAGATCCTGGATCTCGTACCACTGGTCCGACGACTGCTGCTTCACATGGACCCTATACGTGCCGTGCTGCAGGGGTTCCTTCCGCCCGTCTTTATCAAGGCCAGCCGGCAGGTCGTGGCACGCGTTCGCGAGTAAGTCATACTTCGTCGCTTCTTGAGAGGCAATACCCTCAAGCGCGAACTGGTCCTTCAGCTCCAAGTCCTTGACGGGAATGTGCACAATAGTAGGGTTCTTCTCGGCCGTAAAATTATTTTTGGAAAACCGCGCAAAGTGAAACACGAGGAACTTCGGGAGTTTCGTGATCACATATCGTCTACGAGATTGCACGCCTGCCCGGACCGTGTCCGTCAGTCGCACGCCGTTGTACTTCGTTAATACATCAAATAAAGGAATCTGCGGCACGATGTTGCCGCCCTGCGTGTCTTTGAAGAGCGGTGTCGGCGGCACGTCTAGCGTGAGATATAAAAAGTTGAGGTCCTTTTCGTCGCGCTTCCATCCCGCACTTTCGGCGGAGGTGGCGGTCGCATCCACATCCGCGTCGTCGCGTTTTGTCAAGTGCGTCTTCCTCGATAGCGTTTCGACGCGAATAGAACCTTGGAAGACGTCGTGGATTATGGACGAACCCGGTCGCTTCGTGCCGCCCAAATCGCGGTGGAGCTGGTTGAGGAGCCAGCCCAAGAAGTCAGCCGCGTCCGCGGACGTCCCGATCTTGAACCGGAGTTTGGAGGCCCTCGTAACTTCTTGGACGAGCTCGTGGGGAGACACCACGCTCTTAAAATTGTCCCGCGACCAGATCTTGCGCAGGAGCGCGCCGAACTCCCTTACGAGAGGCGAGGGCCGGTCCTTGTAGTTTCTTGGGTCCAGAAAAAAGTCTCGCAGCGGCCGCACGTGCGCCAGCTGGTGCACGACGACATTGATGTAGTCCGTCTTCTTGAGGTTGTTCAGCCCACAGAAGCCCGGTAGATAGGCGACGCCGTGCACGTCTCTGGCTAGCGTCGCGACTTTGTCGAGTTGTTCGATGCGTTCCGGCGTAAATGAAGGTCGTAGACACCGTATCACATCATCTAAGGAAGAATCGACAACCTCATAATTGTCCGGCAGGCAGTAGATTTTACATGTATCGAGGTGCGCAAACATGTGGTGGCCGCATAACGTCGCGTGCGTGTACGCGTGGGTCTTCGGGCCCCGGCCCTGGAAGAACTTGCCACATACCAAACATGAATAAACGTTCTGCGTCGACAGCGACTGCGAGCAGACCTTCTCAAAGTCGAAGTCCAGCAAGTGCCGGTTGATCGTGTCGAGGTAGGGGCACTGGACCTCGTTCGTCCTACTGCGCTTCGCCGGCGGGGCGAGGCCCGGTGGTGGGGCTGACATCTTCTCGCTTTCGCGCGTCGACTGCGTCGCTGTGAGAGGAGCTACACAGCTGGGTTGCTTGTGCGGCGTCTGCTCGCGCCGCGGCGGGGTTGTCGCGGTTGGTAGCGAAGCTGTGATGTATGAACGTTCACTGGCGTGACCGATGTCCACCGGTTCACGCGTACGAGTATTTTTGGGCCAAAAATCGAATGTGCCCGTCGCAGAGCTAGTATGTATGTTGACGCTAGGTCGCTTGCTTTTTGCCAGGTCTTTGGCGTCCTCTAGCGCTGTGAGGTTGGGTACGGAGCAAGATTGGAGTGCTCCAGGCATCGACTCTTGTGTCGCCGAGCAATCCTGGGTGAAGCGCATCGCCGGAAGGGCTCTAAAAGTAGCGTGAGCTCAGCCTCCACGGCCAGCGAGCAGCGCGAGCGTATTGCGCGTCGCCCCAGGGTGCAAAAACAGCTGCGAACTGCTCAAATTATGCTGCGCGCCGCACTACAAACATCGCGTCGGCCGCTCGCCCGCGCCGCGAGTGGCCGCTGGGCGCCGCGCGCGACGCCGCCCGCGCCCGCGTCGAAGCGCCTCGACGCCATCGGGCGGGCCATCTTCGGGACGCTCGAGGGCAACAACGAGCGGAGCGGGAACAAGGTCCTGCGCAAGAAGCTCAAGGGCCCGCTGCTCGCGGACTATTACTTCGACCAGTCTGGCCAGAGCGTGGACGAAGTGGGCCGAGAAATCGTCAAGGGCTGGATGAACGACGTCGAGGCGCGGCGCAAGAGTCAATTGGAAGTGCTGCGGCGGCGCGGCAAGGGCCCGCCCAAAAAGGGGCAGGGCAAGCGGAGTAAGCGATGATGTACGTGTATCTACAAGTTTACAGGAGAGAGGGAAACGTGAGGGAGAGAAGAGGAGGGGGAAAAGCGTCCGATCGATAAAGAGCCCATCAGAGTGCCGCCGCGTAGTTCGCGAGCGCGACCGAGTTCTCGCCCGTCGTCTGGCCGTTGCCGTTCGGACCACCGGACGCGCCCTCGTTGACGGCCCAGAACATGATGCCGCCCACCTTTCCGTTGAGGTAGGAGATGATGCCCTTCTCGTGCTCGACGCCGCCGCTGACGCCCGTGTAGGCCTGCGGCCCCGGCTCGAAGCCGATGACCATCTTGGAGGCCGGGATGTATTGTAGGGACGAGTCGATGACCTGTGTGGGCGACCGTCGGGCTCTGTTCTCTCGAGAAAGTTTCTGACTCAGAAACGCACCGCGTCGTAGTGCTCCTGGACGAAGTACTGCTCCGGCGCGCCGGGGAAGCCCTCCTGGGCGTTGATGTCATCTGCGCGGGAATTGAGCGGTGACGAGTCGCGTCGAGATCATACGCCATCGCCGCGCGTCTAAACGACGCCGATCGCCGACACATCATGAAATGGACGTAGTCGATCGCGTCGACGCCGTACGGAGAATTTTCCGACACATATCCGACGACGTCGATGCCCTCACCGTCCGTGCGGAACTGGGCCGAGCCGTATGCACCCCCGTCCCAGAACGCGTTGTAGCGCGGCGTGAAGGAGATGATGCGGTCGCCCAGGCCCTTGGCGACGAGCGCGTCCTTGAGCGCGACGATGACCTTGCCGACGATGAGGCGCTGCTGCGCGTGGAGGCCCGGGTCGATGTCTTTGTACTCCGAGAGGTGCTCCCAGTCGAAGTCGATGCCGTCGCCACCGACCGTCTCGAGGAGCTCTACCAACATGGCCACGACGTCGTCGACCTGGCCGTCGCTGATAGGCCCTCGTCGTCGCACAAGCGAAATTGCGGGACTCCACCGTGGTCTGCCGAGACGCACCAGGCCACATCTATCACGTCGCCGGCCTTGTAGGTGGTCTTGGCCTCGGTGCCCCAATGGCCCGGGAGAGGCTGGTTGTAGTCGTTGTCGCGGCTCGGCGACGCGCCGCAGACGCCGAGGATGTTGTCGCCCGCGCCGCCCATGACGAAGTCGACCGCGCGAGCGGTTCCAGGGGCGGACCAGGGGTTCGGGCCGTACCACTCGCGCGACGAGCAGCCGTCGCACTGGCTGTACATACCACCGGCGGCGACGCCGTGGGGGTCGTACCTGAGTGACAAGTCCCGTCGATGGCGTTTATTGGCGTAGAGGCGAGGACGCGGCGCGCGCACTCGGCCACCTCGTTAGGCCAGCCGTTCGCCTCGTAGGCCTCGAACTGGCGCGAGGGCGGCTCGGTCATGTAACCATGGCCGTTGGCGCCTGCGCGCGGTACGGTTGATGCGTTTCGACCGAGCAGTAACGGTGTCGACGAGCGCTAACAACGAGCGCTAACAATAGATGGCCTCTCATTCTGTGAGGTTGCCGCGCGCCGCGAACGAGAGGCGAGGCGTATCGAGCTCACCGAATATGTGATTACGGGGAGTGTGTGTCCGCCAGGGGTACCGCGGTACTGCGTCGCGTCGCGCGCGCGATCCTTTGGCATCGATGATAGCGCAGGTGACGAGAGCAAACAGTTGCACGCGAAGTGCGCATGTGCAGCGTTTGGACGCAGTGGTGTACCGATTGCGAGAGAAATCAGCAGACCGGTAGTTATCATAGTGCCGGTGCAGTACGTAGCGTTATAGGAGCAATGGTTATTCCTGTAAAAAACTGAACACGAAAGCAATTCGCAGCAAGCACCGCACATTTTGAGACCAAAGCAAGTGCCGGGTACAGGGTTCACGCGCACGGTCAAAACAGGTGACAATAGAGAGTTGGGCATCATGTATCGACTCCTGAAGCACCTACACTGAGCTATGTGGTCCATGGCTCTGCGGCCGCGGTAACAGTCTAACTCACTTTACTCCAACAAAGCCACCTCCGCCCTAAGCGTCTCCAACCAAGCCCTCTCCACGCGCGAGGGCGCCCGCCGCTCGCCGCGCGCACGCGACACCAGTTCGCCACGCCGCGCGGCCAGGACCTCGAGCGCCTCCAGCAGCGTCGACGCGGTGAACGGCGCATCATCGTCACCACCACCCTCGTCAGGCACGTCGGCAGACGCAACAGCGTCCAGCCGCGCGGAGAGGGCCCGCTCGGCGTCGGCGAGCTGCGCGGCGCGCGCGGCGACGTCGCGCGCCGCCGCCTCGGTGCGCGCGCAGAGGGCCGCCGCCGCCGCGACGTCGGCGGCGCGCTCTGCCTCGCCGTCTTCAGGCGGCGCCGGTGGCTGGGCCGGCGTGGCGACGACGTAGCCGGGCGGCTCGGGCAGCGACGCCTTCCGCGGCGACGAAGCCGGCGACACCACGTCGCGCAGCGCCCGCACGCGCCGGTCCAGCCGGTCCGACTTGGCCCGCAGCGCCGCGTCGACGCGCTCCATCTCGCGCCGCCGCGCCGAGAGCCGCGCCAGTTCCCCGTCGACGTCCGACGCGCGCCGTGTTGTTGATGGAGACGCCACGACCTCCGCCGCCGCTTCACCAACAGCCGCGATCCAGCCCTCCGCCGCGCTCTCGGACGACGCCCGCGCGAGCCGCGTCACGCCGCCGACGCTAAACCGGAGCACGACGCCCGCGGGGCAGTTCCTTCCATTGGCCGCGCGGCGCGCGTCGGCGCCGACGAGTCTGATACATTCGCTCGACGGCGTCAGGGCGAGCCGCGCGAGCGGCTTCGGGGAGGTCTGCGCTGCTCTAAACTCGAGGACGGCGCGGCGCCCTTCGTTCACGAGCGTGAACCAGCGCCGCCGCCAGGTCTCGCCGCGGGGCGACGCGCCGCCGCCGCGCGTCCAGAGCCAGCCGCCGTGGAGCTCCGCCGCCCTGTCCGCCATGGGTGTGAGAGGGCAGCCCCAATTAAGTCGTAGCGGTCGCGACGGATGGTGAACCCAACGCGGACGGCTGCAGGCCTCACGATGGACCACCGGCAGCGAGCTAGCCGAGTTCTTGCCGCGCCTTCCGCTCCAGCCACCAAGCTCTGCTGCCTTCAAAATTCCTAAACATTGTGCTTCCGCACCGACTTTGATCCTTCGCCACGGCGCCTGGAGTCTTCGTTTCACTCGCCACAGTTCGGAAGAGGACCTAGCGTCGTGCACACACTAGCTCTCAATAGAGCCGGCGCTGGGAGCCAAAGCCACCGGTTGTGGCGCGCCAGTGGACGCCGGGTCCTTGGTCGGGGCCGTTCGGACGCGTTTGGACGTGTCCGGACGCGCTGGTAGAGGACCAGCGGCTGCCCCTCCACCCAGCATGATGAGGAGTCTAGCAGCCCTCACAGTACTCCTCGGCGGCGCGCGGGCGGACACGTGTGCCGAGGGCAGCTACGCCACGACGAACGAGAGCGCCTGGGGGAGCGCTTGTGCGGGCTGGGCGCCCTGCCCGGTTGGCCATTACTGCGTCGACGGCGCGCGGCACGCGTGCCCCGCCGGCACCTACGGCTCATCGGAGAAGGAGACGTCATCAAAATGCACGGCTACGTGTAAGGCGGGCGCCTACTGCCCCGCCGGCTCCTCTACTGAAACGCCGTGCCCAGCCGGCACGTTTTGCCCCCGCGGCGCCGAGGCGCCCACACTCGTACAGATGGGCTTCTACGCCGACGATAGAAGAACACAGGAGCACCGCTGCCCGCGCGGGAGTTATTGTATCCAGGGAATACGCAAGGAGTGTGAACCGGGCACGTACGGTTCCCAGACGGGCCTCTCCTCATCGACGTGCTCCGGTAACTGTTCAAAGGGCTACTACTGCCCCGCCGGGAGCACGTCGGCCCAGGAGAAGACGTGTGGCGGCCCCTCGTACATCTGTCCGGAAGGTTCGGTCTCACCCACTCCTGTCAGAAGCGGCCACGTCGCCGTCAATAGAGGAGAGGGCGCGCGCGCGGGCTTCTCGAAAGAAATTCTGGGCGTCGAGGGCGGCTGGGCCGACAAAGGCGTACAATACTACTGTCCACCTGGAAAGTTCGGGAACACGTCCGGCGTGCAAGCTCTAAATGAATCAGCGTGCTTCGACTGCTACCCCGGCTACCGGTGCCCGCACGAGGGCCACACCACAAACACCCAAAAGAGCTGCGGCGCGTCTGATCTATTTTGTCCCGCGGGCACCGCGACGCCCAAACGAATACGAAGAGGCTACTACGGCGTCTTCACCAAGAATTTGATGGGCACGGAGACTTATGTCCCAAGAATCGGTTTGGAAGCCCACACGGTGAGCGGCCGCGGTTCATCACAAACGCGGAACTACTCGTACGATGAAAGGCCATGCCCGCCGGGGACGTACTGTCGCGAGGGTTTGGTGTATGACTGCCCCGCGGGGCGCTTTGGTAAGAAAGAGGCCTCCGACGACGCGGAATGCGACGGCCCTTGTGCTGCTGGGAGGTACTGTCCTGATCAAAGAAGGACGCAGCCTTATGGGTTTGAGTGCGGCGACGTCACCAAGATCTGCCCTTTGGGCTCGTCGCAGCCGCAATTGGCCCGAGCTGAAGGCTGGTACACGGTCGGTGGAGTAGACGATGCTACAAGGACTCACGAGATCCGGTGCGAGCCCGGGGGCTGGTGTTCGAACTCGAGGCGGTTCCTGTGTACGCGAGGAAGTTATGGCGACGAGTACGGTTTTAGTTCACCGTCGCAGTGCAAGAATTCGACACCTGGCTACTACATTCCCTCGGACGGAGCTGTTAGGGGCGACGCCGTGCCCTGCGGCGCGCATACTCTATATTGCCCCGACTATGGCATGAACAAGCCCCTGCCCGTCCAGCCGGGCTACTATTCTGTTGGAGGTGACGACGGTACGAAGAGAACAGGCGTGAGGATAGCGCCTCCGGGCACGTACGCGGAGGACGCGAGACTCTTCGCCTGCCCGGCGGGGCGCTACGGCGCGCGCAAAGGATCTATAGATCCGCAGTGCGACGGCTATTGCAAGGCGGGCTACTACTGCGACGCTGGAAGTACACGACCGACGATGCGCGCTTGTGGCGGGCCAGAATATATATGTCCTCGGAGAGGTTTGATGAACCCCATGCGCATCTCGGAAGGCTACTACACGACGATAGCCCTCAATCCCTCGGACGACGGCGCGTTCTCGGACCCGTGCCCGCCGGGCCGGTGGCGCAACGCCACCGAGACAAAAGACTACACTTTGAAAACTCCCTCAAAACACGACGGTGTGAGTAGGGCGTCATATCCGGAATGCCAGCTCTGCCCCTCCGGCACGTTCAAGCAAGTGAACGGTGATTCTCTCTCGCTATGCCGACCGTGCGACAACATGACCATGGCTGACGAGGACGATCGCGTCGCGTGTACGTGCTTACGGGAGCCGGGCGGCCGCACTTTAGAGGATGATGAAGTGTTAGTGTTCAACTACACTCGTTCATCAAATAAAGCCGTCTGTTCGGCCGTCAATCACTCGAGGGTCGACGAAGTGCTCGCGAAGTTCGCGAAACTCTTCAACGGGACGCAATTTACAAAACGATCGCAGACGGCCTGCGAGCCGGGCTACTGGTGTCGCGGCGGCGTGCGGAGGCCTTGTGCTCCTGGTAGGTATGGAGATTCTAGGAGAGAGACCCGTTCTGAGTGTGCCGGTGAATGTTCCCCAGGTTTCTACTGCCCCGAGGCGTCCATATCAAGCACGCAAGTGCGGTGCGGCCCGGATAGGTACTGCCCCGCGGGGTCGGCCGTGCCGCGGCCCTTCGGCCGCGGCTCGTACGCTGTGGAGGTTGAGCACGGCGTGCCGGCGGACGTCTACACGCGCCAGGCGCCGTGTCCGGCGGGGAGCTATTGTGTTGATGCCGTCAGATACCCCTGCGCGGCCGGACGGTACGGCAGTCAGACGCACGCGAACTACACCAATCCAGACTGCGAGGGCCCGTGCGAGCGCGGCTACTTGTGTCCCCTGGAATCAACATCACCGCGCCAAAAACCCTGCGGCCACCCGGCCGTCGTCTGCCCCACCGGAAGTTACGAACCTATTGAAGTCCCCGACGGCTACTACTCGATCCACACGGGCGCCGACGCGGATGAAAGAGCATATCACGATCCTCATGGAGCACACATGGACGCGTTTTTGCCCTGCGAGCCGGGCTACTACTGTCAGAAGGGCATCAAGTACGCGTGTCCTCCCTTTAGGTACGGCTGGCGCTACATGCAGACTTCAGCAGAGTGTGACGGCGCGGTCGCGCCGGGCTGCTACGCGCCGCAGCCCCAGGGCGGTCCCCTACTGTCCGATTGCCCGGAGCAGTGCGGGGGCATCGACGTGTACTGCCCGCCGACGGGCCGCGAGAAGCGGCCGACGCTCGTGTCGCCGGGCTACTACGCCGTCGGCGGCACGAACACGACGCGGACGGGCCAGGAGCCCTGCCCGCCGGGGACGTCCTGCGCCAACGGCGTTATCACCGACTGCCCCGCGGGCCGCTACCAGCCCTTGTCGGGGCAAGTCCGGTGCGACAACGCCTGCCCGCCGGGCGCGTACTGCCCCGAGGGCAGCGCCGAGCCGGCGCCGTGCCCCGTGGGCACGTTCTCGCTGGGGCTCGTCGAAGCTTGTACTGCGTGCCCCTACTTCGACGGGCAGACGGAGCAGACCTGCTTCGACGACCGGTACTGCTGCCCAGAGTTTACCACATAAGTACATTTACTCACCTCGGTACGAGCGCCCGGTCGTCCTGCAGCTCCCCAAACAACCGCAATAAATAGAGGAAGAGGTTCACGATGTCCATGTACAACGACATCGCGCCCAGGACATAATCATTTGTGTCGAACTGGCGCTTCTTCCCGCCGACGATAAGTTGCGTGTCGTGGACGATGAAGGCCGAAAACAGTAACGCGCCGACCGTACTTCCAACAAGACTGTTTTGCGGGACGTGCATCATTGTACCCATGACCGCACTTACTAATAGGACCATGAGCCCCGCGAACAGCATGCTCCCGAACTGCGTCAGGTCGTACTTCTGGTTGGGTTGGAGTGTCCACGCTGTTAATGCTGCCGTCGCCGTGCCCGTCTGCGCGAGGGCTAATAACACACTTCTTGCCTTGAAGGCCGAGGCGGCGACGCCCACCAAGACACTCTCGGCGCACGCGAAGAGCGTGAAGAGCGGTATGGAGCTCCGCAATTTCGTCGAGAAGGAGACAGCTAAAGAAGCGCCGAGGCCCGTGGCGACGCATAACCCCATGAGCAGCGGGCCGCTCGGGCCTAACAGTATATTCCTTATTAAATTGTGGTGCGTCGAGCAGTAGAGGCAGCTTATGGCCGTCAGGGCGAGGTTCGCCGTCAGTAAACCATACACGCGTCTCACAAAAACGACGCGGCTATCTCTATCTAATAGTTCGTCGAGCGGCTTCGCGTCGACGACGTCCTCGTAGGACTGCTGCCGCAGCGTCGGCTTCTTCGGGCGCCCGATTTCGCGTCCGGCGGCCCGCTGCTTGGACCAGGCATCATTTGAGGTGATGGGCCAGCGCGCTGTGTTTCCGCCGCGTAGTGAGATAGCGCTCTGTCCGCCTCGTGGGAGCTGCAGGAGAGTGCTCTGCTTGCTGCCGCTCGGGAGCTGCGGGAGAGCGCTGCTGGCAGCGATTATTGCTAACAGGCATTGGTATTGGCGCATGGTAGCGCCGACAGTGGTCGTTCTAAAGGCTGACTGAAGTGGCAATAGGCCAACAGTGTCGTTTTTGAGCCGCTGGAGCGGAACGCGGAAAAGAGGCACCTAGCGTACTGTAAGACACTAGCCAGTACAAATCGGTTTGCGAATCACAGCTGCCGAATTTGCTGCCCCGGCCGACCCAGGCCAGCAGCGAGGGCAGGAGATCGCCAACTCGTGCCCACAGACACGAGCGCCGCTCTCGCGCCGTCGCGCAGGCGTCATTTTTCGAAACAGTTTGCTGCGCCATTAATACGCTGCCCGCGGCCGACCGAAGACAAGAAAATGGAAGACTTCCCGAGCATGGACGCCTACCTCGCCCAGGCGCCGGCGCCCAGCTTAACAGGGCAGCCCCCCCATTCCATGTCCGAGCGGGAGATCGAAGCCCTCGATGCGGAGGCCCTCGCGCGCAAGGAGGAGGCCCTGCGGCGGATGAACGCGGCCCTCGACGCCGAAATGCCAGACCTAGCCGAGGTCGACGCGGTCATCGCGCGCGCGGCGCGCGACGAGGCCATCCTGGCGGCGCCGAAGCCCAGAGCAGCGCCGCCGCGCAGCCCCTCTCGAAGAGAGCAGTGGCTCGACACGGCCGCGCGCGTCGCGTCGCCGCCGCGCGCGCCGCGGCCGCGCACGGGCGAGACGCGCTGGCGGTCCGCGCGGCCCGACGAGGCGCCCCTGTCCACGGAGTCGCCTCCTAGAACGGCAGACTTCGCCTGGCTCGGCGGCGAGCGCGGCGCGACGCCGGACGATTCGAAATTACCGGAAGACGCCCGGAAACGCCTACGCCAGGCCGAGCACAAAGCTTTGAAGTCTGACCTCGAGGCCGCCCACAAGCGTATTGCTTCTTTACAACGGGAGCTCGCCGCGTCGGAAAAGGAGAACGGAACACTTGAGAGGTCTCTGAAGGACGTGCAGCGCGACCGGGACCGATGCCGGGACAAGGGTCAAACTGATGCTGCTGCCAGGGAAAAGGCCGAGGAGGCCTGTGCTGCCGCGAAGAAGGAGCTTATTGACTTAAAAAGGGAGCTCCGCGACATGAACAAAAAAGGCCAGACGCAGCAGCGCGCGGCGTCGTCCGAGAGCGTGCGTTTACAGAGAGCGCTCGAGGACGTCGACAAGCTCAAGGCGACGATCACGAAACTCAAGACCGAGCTTAGGGATGGCGAGAAGGACCGACGGACGGAGCGCGACAAGCTCGACCAGCGCTGTAAGAGATTAGAAAGACAAAAGGCCGAGGTCCTGGCCGCCTTCCGCAAGCAGATGAAGTTGATAGATATTCTGAAGCGGCAGAAGGTGCACATGGAGGCGGCGCGGCTACTCAATTTCACGGAGGAGGAGTTCATGCGCGTCGTGAATTGGGACGACGGCGCCGAGAAGGCTCCCGTCGACACGGCGGCCCGGAACCGGGCGGCGAAGAAGCCCGCGGTTCAGTGAGTAGGGTAATTACTTCAGGGGAACTACATACATAAGAACAGGAGTCAGTGGTCGTGGAGCACGGGAGACGCGGGCTCCGTGAATTTGTCGCCGTCGACGCGATCGCCGCGCACGTGCGTCGGGATCTTTGTTGTGGCGCCGTCGGCGTCGTAGGCGTTGGCGCTCTTGTAGGGTGGAGAGTACACCTGCAGCGTGAAACACCGCGTCGACGCGACGCAGCCGTGAATGAAGCCCTCGTGGGCATACGTGACTCCCGCCGACATGGGCCCGGAGCGCTCGAGCCGCAGCTCTCCCGACGGCGCCACGCCGTAGACGGCCTCGTCGAGTTCGCCCTCGAGCACCTTCGTCCAGGACGCGCTGCCGGCGTGGTCGTGCACGGGCGAGAAGTTGCCGCGCTCCCACGCTACTAGAAACATGTTGTAGTCCTCGCGGTCGGCAACCAATACCCGTGAAAACGTGTCCTTGTTCCAGCGCGCGTAATTGCGCCACTCGCGCTCGTTGAGGCGAGCGTTGGCCAGAACGTTCGTCACGTCAGCGACATCACCGCCGGCCGCGAACGCCTCGTCCAGTAGATTCGTGAGGCCTCCGACACTCGTGTACAGGTTGTTGCCTCGCACGCGCGCCGCGGCGAGCGCGTCGGGCGCCGCCGCCGCGTGCCGGACCGCATCGCGCGCACCGATTCGGTCGAAGCCTTGGGTCGTGAGTGGCGGGCTCCGGACGTGGAGCGAGACGCAGACCGAGTCGCTCGACGGGTTGCGCGCGATTCTTGATTCTGTTTTCATCCAGTGCTCTTCGCCGAAGACCCGGCCTGGCTCGAGGACAACGTGCGCGGCATGACCTTCCTCCCCAGCATCTGGAAACGCGTATTCGAGCCGGCCATGCAACACTTTCGTCCAAGAACGCTGATCTTCACCGTGCACGTGGCGGTCCGAGGCCTGGCCCGCGAGCCAGCAACAGACAACAACCGAGTAGTCCGCCGAGATATGAGCGAGATGTCTCGCATAGCCGAACTCCGAGAAGCACGCGCCAGAGCAGTACTCGCGCTGTTCCGCGGGCGTCAGCTCGAGGCGTGCGAGCAGCGCGTCGACGTCCGCGGCGCCGCCGGCGAGCTCGTCGCCGAGGGTGGCAAGCGATAATTTTCCCTGATCGAGGGTCGCTTCATCTGACGCCACGCCCATCGCCGACACCATGCTGCCGGTAGTCACGTCACCGTCGTCGCCGTAAATACCACATTCCTCAAATCCGGGGGCGTAGATGTGTAGGGAGACGGCCGGCGTCTCCGTATTTGGATTTGAGATGCGGTGCAGGCCACGCGAGTCGTCCATGTACGTCGCTTGGCCAGTCGCGACGGCCTCGGGCCCACCGAGCTCGCGCCAGGTGCCGTCCGCGTAGCGCGCGGCGTACTTCTGCTCCTCGAGGTCGCCAGATAACAGCTTGACAAAGCACGATGATCCAGCGTGGTCGTGGATTTTGGAAGCCTGGCCCGCGTCCCAAGTCAGGCACAGCGCCACGAAGCGCTCGTCGACGGCCACGACGTTGCGCGTGTAGCGGTCGCTCCGCTGCTCCGAGAACTGCTCCCACTCGACAGGGTTGAGCTCGGCGCGGCCGAGCAGCGCCAGGACGTCTTTGATCGTGGCCGCGTCGTACGGCGCTTCGGTCTGGCGCAGCCGTGCGCCGATCTGCGAGAAGAGGGACGAGAGCGAGAGGTAGAGCGGGCCGGCGTCGTCCAAGCTGCCCGTCTCCGGCGGCGCGAGCGAGGGCGGGAGGGCCGGCGGCTTCGGTGGCGCCGGCCGCGGCCTCGCGACCGGCCGCGCTCGTTCCAGCACCATGGCTGTGGCGATGGAACAGCACGCGAAGATGACTTTGGCGCGCATTGTTGTTTCTCCTCGTCGTAGCTCCTTGAATTTAAACTATAACACCTTCCTGGTGAGGGGGCGTGTTCAGCTGTCCTTGACACTCAAGCGTGCGGCTTTTTTCGCCCTGGTACTCCTTGCTATTTGATTTGGGGCCCCTTGTTGTTTGGCTGTTCGGCACACTAAAGCGCTGGCTCTTTTCGCCGCAAGTCTAAGCGTGGATGACGTTGGCACTTGTTAACTTGTCAATTCGTAGCGCAGACCAGTTATACGTACACAGTGAGCCGTCAAAGTTTGTTCCGCAGACTGCTTGCTAGAGTCTTACAGCCCGCTAGGTCGCGTTCGCGCAGCCCTCATCGAGGCCATATTGCTGTAGTTACGGGCCATTGAAAGGCAGCAAAAAGCCGGCAACCAACTACTGCTTGCGCTGCGGACGTGAAAAAGGCACCTCTACGGGTCGGGACACACTCACAGCTGCAAAGACCTCGGTGCGCCCGCGCAGTCGACGCGACCTAGGCGTCATTAATCCACAACACATACGTCTAGGGCATAGCAGCCTGAAAAGCAAGCTCCGCTATGCCAAGACGCGTCACGGATGCGTCGCGGCGCAACGACGATGATTCCGACAGCGACGACTGGCGCACCTCCACAACGCAGCGCACGCCCAAGCGGAGAGCCGTCTCGACCGCGTCCTTCTACGAGACGTCCGACGGCCGCAACCTCGGCGCGGAATACAAAAAGATCGACGAGGCGCGTTTGGTGGACACTCGCAAGCGCCAAGCGAAGGGCGCCTACCGTATCTTTCGGAAGCAGGCCTGGTTATTGGAGCATGCAGATGTGATGAATGGTCATGCACCAGGACCGCTCACAAATGACGACGCCGCGGACGCTCTGGAACGGCGCCTCGACGCTAGATCGGACCTCGAGTTCTACGGCGTGCCCAACGTCCAGAATCCGGGCCGGCTCTGGAGCGAGGAGGTCGGGGGCGAGGGCCAGCGGCGCTACGTCTACGCTCATTTGAATGCCTTTCGCGAGGTCTATGAGGCGATGACGTCTGAAAAAAGGCACTTCTATGAGTTAATAAGGGAGGGCGCGCCGGTGCGGCCGTATTTCGACCTCGAGTTTGCGAGGGACGATGCTTCTATTAATGGAGACGACCTCACGAGGCGCTGGCTCGCCGTCTTCGCGGGGGCGTTGGAGGAGGCCTTCTACGCGCCGACGGCGTTATTCGAGTCCCATCGCAACGCCGCGCTCTGCCACGGGTTGTATGATGCGTGCCCGGACCTCGACGAGCAGCTTAGGGTAGAACTCGACGGCGTGTCCAGGGAGACGGCGCTGCGCGCGGCGGAGGCGGCGTCGGAAGCTTCAAGGAACGAGCCCGACGCCGCCAAAGCGGCGGTCTACGACCACGTCGCCGCCGTGGCACGGCGTGCTGCTACAGAGCCGTTCTGCGCCATCAGCGTCAAGGACCACGTCCTGCAGCTCGACGCGTCGACTTCAACGAAATTCTCGCGCCACGCGACGTTCTGCCTGCCCGACGGCGCGGCCTTTGTGGATGCGGCGGCGTTAGGAAGTTTCGTGCGCCGCGTCCTCGCGTCCACGAACGACGCGTTCGTGATAAATGGAGAGTCCTTCGTGGACGCGTCGGTCTACTCGCGGAACCGGTGCTTCCGACTGTGCGGGAGTTCCAAGAAGACGAAGCGCGCCCCTCTTGTTGTCGTGGGTGACGGGCGCCTGGCGTCTGAGGACGCATTGCCCGAGGCGTCGCTCGTCGTCCCCGTCGCGGCGCCGTCGCGCTTGTTGGGCTCGCATGAATCGCGGCATGATGTCGTGACGCCCTCTGAAGTGATGGCGTCACCAATGGCCCCGCGGCCACAAGCGCTCGCAGAGGGCTCGCTGCCGTCGCCCTTCCCGCGCGTCGACGCGTGCATCCTCGCGGCGCGGCCCGGCGCGACGGTGCGGGCGTGGCGGCGCACGCCCCACACGCTCACGTACCACCTCGCGAAGAACCGCTTCTGCGAGCGCATCGGCCGGCCCCACAAGTCGAACAACATATTTTTCGTTGTGGATTTGAACCAGGCCGTGTTTCGGCAAAGATGCTTCGACGAGGGCTGCCGCGGCTTCGTCGGCGCGCCCCACGCTCTATCGCCCGAAGCCGCCGAGGAAGTCTTCGACGTCCTCGCGACCGAGGCGTGCGCCGACGCGGAGAAGCGGGCGTGATGTTGTAAGTTGCTTTTGTTTTACGCGAGCGGTTTCTATCAAACGCCATCGACGCGAAATAGATACTTGACACACAAATTACACAAAAAAATCAACCGCTGCGAAAACGCCGCAGCGCCGCGAGACCGACCACAACGCACGCGATCGCGGCCTTGCGCCGCCGCAGCGCCCGCCGCTCCGCACCCTCACGCCGCGCGACCACAACTGCCGCCTCGGCCCGCGCCAGGAGCGCCGCCGTCGCGTCGTGCCCCGCGGCCGCCGCGATTTCTGAGGGAGTCCGCCCCGCGTCGTCCTCTGATAGAGCAGCCATCAACGCGTCCGCGTCGTCCTCGAACTCCATCAATAGACGTGAAATCGCCTCGCGCCGCCCGCGCTGCGCGGCCTTGTGAAACACCGTGTGGCCTTGGGCTTGCGGCTCCGTCACGGCATCGCGCCACGCCCGCTTCGACACATAACGCCGCAGCCAGGCCAGCGCCACGCCGGCGTCGGCGCCCATGGCCGCCCAGTGCGCGTCGCGGCAGCCCCACGCGTTCCGGTGCTTCTGGATCCGCGCGCCCGCTTGGTAGAGGAGGTCGCACGACTCGATGGACGCGGCATACAGAGCGAGCATGAGAGGCGTCGTGCCGTCGGCCGTCGGGAGCTCCGTTGACGCGGGGTCCTCTCTCAGTAGCAGCGCAACGTTTTGATGAACGCCGTTGCGGCAGGCCCAGTGCAGCACCGTCCGGCCGCCGCGCTTCCGGTCGATGCGCTCGCCTCTCGTGATTGCGTCGACGCGCCGCGCCGGCATCAGGTCCAGCAGCGCCTCCAAACAACCATGTTTCGACCCGGCCGCCCAGTGGTGCGGCCGGTAACCGTGCGCGTCGCGGTGGCGCGGGTCCAGGGGGCCCTTCGTCGCTTCGAGAAGTTCGATCAATGCCACGGCGTCGCCGTCCCGCGCCAAGCGGCAGGCCAGCGGCGGCTCGGTCGTGGCAACAAACCCGTCCCCTCTTCTATCCGACGTGCGCGGGGCCGTCTCCGCCCGGGCGATGGCGCTCGTCTTCTCTTGGAGCGATGCGCTTCCGTGCACGGCCTCGAGGTGCGCCGTGAGGCCGCGGCCGCGCGCGTAGCGCTTCATGCGCCGCGGCGGGCAGAGCGGGCACTTGACCCATCCCGCCGTTGCTCCTCGGCCCATGTCCTTTTGCGTTGTTGTGGACCGCTGCGCGGCCATGCCGGCATAGCTGTCCAGCTTTTGATGGGGCGGCATGCTGATTGTGTCCTTTACGGCTGCTCCCATGATCGCATAGCTTCAGGATTGCAAGATGTGGTTAAGAATCAATCACACGCGTGCTCCTGGCGTCGTACAAGCGCGTAGCGGCCGTAATCGATGTAAATCGATTTTTGGGCGAAACCCGCGCGTTACAGCCCCAAGTTACTTGTTTTTGAGCTTAGAGACGTCCAGGAGCCGTCTCACAGGACTCGGGACGGCTCAAAACGGCCGCGGACCAACCTCAAACCTCAAAGAGCAGACGCAGACAGCGGCGATTGCAGTGCGCGTTACTCCAAAATGGCGCGGCTAGCGCTGTTAGCGACGGCCGGCCTGGCCACCGCCTTCGTCAGCAAGAGCGGCCCCGCGCCGGCGGTCGTCCGCGCGCCGGCACAGACCGCGATGCAGATGAAGCTGTATGACTGGAAGAGGCGAGAGGCCGCCGAGGACGCCAGCGTCGGCGCGACGGAGTTTAGAGTGGACAATATCAAGCCCGCGCCGGGCGCGACCAAGAGAAAAATGCGCAAGGGCCGCGGCATCTCCGCCGGCCAGGGCGCGACGTGCGGCTTCGGCATGCGCGGCCAGAAGTCCCGCTCGGGCCGGCCCATGCGCGCGGGCTTCGAGGGCGGCCAGACGCCGCTCTACCGGCGGCTGCCCAAGCTCGTGGGCCGCCCGACGGGCCCGGGCCACCAGAACGAGGTCTTCTCGCTGATCAAGCTCGAGCAGCTGGCTGGGTCTTCCCCCAACTCCGAGGTCGACTTCGCGAGCCTGCTCGAGGCGGGCCAGGTGACCAAGAAGAAGTACGACGTCGTCAAGGTCGTCGGCTCGGCGGGCGACGTCTCCGTGCCGGCCGGCCTCACGGTCAAGGCGCACGCCTTCACGGGCTCGGCGCGCGCGGCCATCGAGGGCGCCGGCGGCAAGTGCGTCGAGCTCTCCAAGACGACGCAGGAGCCCGTCGAGGCGTAGGCGCCGCGGGCGGCCGCGTCATGTTATAAAGTACCGTTGCCCTTTAGACTCGTACTAGAAAAACACACTATTAGTCAAAACCACCCCTCCGGCGCGAAGAGCTGCGTCGCCGCCGTCCCGACGTGGTACCACATGCCCTCGCCGCGCTCGCCCCGCGTGAGCAGCCAGCCGTTGACCACTCGGGGCGATCCGTCGTCCTCGACGGCGTCGAGGCGCGGGCCGAGCTCCTCGCGCCGCATCTCGTCGCAGCCCGCCGGCGACGCGACGCGTATGTGGTACACGCACATGGAGACCTCGTCGACGGACAGGATCTCGTAATCCGCTGGCCCGGCGCCTGTGTGGAGATCAACCAGTGAGCTAGGTTCGCGTCGATGGCGTGGGGCGCCCGAAGTCTGATTTCCACACAGCCCCGCACTACACTCAATTTCCACGGTGGCCGTCCGAGCCACGTCCCCCGGGCAGGCGTCGCCGCCCTCGTGGCGCCACGTCCGCGAGACCGCGTCGAAGGCCCGGGCGTCGCCGAGCGACCGCCGCTCGCCGCCCTCCCTCTGCTCCGCACGGCTCCCGAAGCATAGGACGTAGGTGAAGGGCACCAGGGTCTTCTCGACGCACTGGCCACTCAAAGCGTCACTAATCGTCCGCCCGCCGAAGCGCTCGCGCCGCCGCGCCGCGCCCTTTTGAAAGGTGGCGACCTCGTCGTGCGACGACGGGCAGCGCGGCATGAGCCGCGGGCCCGTCGGCGGCGCCGTCCGCATGGCCTCGTCGGCGCCGTCGCAGCAGTCAACAACACCGTCTCCAACTCTGCTGCTCGGAATGAAGCGCCGATCTGCCGCGCACCAGAAGAATTGCTGACGACCGGCGCACGCGGAGGTGCCGGGCTCGTCGCCTCCACTGACACAGTCGCAGGCGTCGTCGTTGACGCGCGCGCGTGGAATGATTGTGCCGTCGGCGCAGCGGTAGCCGTTCACGTAGTGCTGCTGGCCCCAGAGCGGCACCCCAGTTATATTGGCGTAGCTGTCTGCTGTTTTTGGCTTTGCGTACGCGGCGATGGCGTGCAGGAGTGGTAGCACTGTTCGAACGCGCATTTTCGCAGCGGTTGCGCGCCTTATTATGGGGCGCTTGGCTGCCCCTCTGCAGTCGATGGCGGCATCGATGAGTGGAGATGGACTTTGCTCGAATTCACTTCCGGCGGGACCGGTCCCGGTCCGCCCGAGGGAGTGCTGGCCCGGGCCCTGGGCACGGACAGCTCGCCCGACCTCCGAAAGCCCGCACGCAGAGGATTTCTGCTCGAGCGCTCGAGCGCTCCCGAGCTTGGCAGCTTAATAACTTGGCAGGCACGCGGAAGCGGCTCGCGTCGACGCCGCGGAAGCCGTACACGCAGTGCAGCTGGCAGACGGTCAGGGCTGCCCAAGCACCGCCCAAGATCGTGCACCGCTTGCAAGGGCAGCACCAAGATGGCTAAGCCGGTGGTCCTCACGCACCTCGCCCACGTCCCGGCCTTCGTGCCGCCCAAGGCGCGCCTGCCCAACTCGACGCGGCCCGCCGACTGCGAGGGCCTGCCCGAGCTCGACGGCGCCGTCGCGGCATGCAACGAGCTGCCGCGCCGCAACCCCGTCGCGGTCCTCGACGCGGCGCACGTCAAGAGTGAATGCATCAAGGCCGCCGAAGCGACGCTGCCGCCGACGGAGCTCGACGAAGTAAGGCGGACGTGGCGCTCGAACGGCCGGCTGCTGAGCTGGGCGCATATGGCCGTCGCCAAGGGTACTAACATCGAGCTCCACTGCCACCCGAACGTCGAGGTCGTCTACGTGATCAGCGGCGCGCTGTCCGAGGACCGCCTCAAGCGGACGGAGGAGCCGGAGAACGACCGCTTCCTCGAGGGCTGCGCCGCGGTGCTCGACGCGGACCTCTCGCAGACGACGAAGGACGACTTCGAGACGCGGACGCATCGCGCGGGCTCCGCGTTCGCCAACGAGATCGGCTCCGTCCACCGGTCCTACACGGACGAGGGCTGCGAGCTCCTCGTGCTCTGGGGCGGCTGCCACGCGCGCGTCTCCAAGCCGCCTCCATTTATGGTGGAAGGCGTACGAGAATTCGCGCCCGTCGAGGCGTTCCGGCGCGACTGCAGCGACTGGATCATGAACGCCCTCGCCGACGCCGGCTGCACGAACGTGTACGGCGGGCACGGCGGCGCGCTCGTGCCGCTCGTGAACGCGGTCTGCGCGAACCCGCGCCTGAACTGGATCTGCGTCCGCAACGAGGCGAACGCGTCGCTCATGGCTGCTGCCGAGGCGAAGCTGACGGGCCGACTGGCCTGCTGCATCGCGACGTCGGGGCCCGGGGCCACGAATCTGACGACGGGGCTGGTAGAGGCGTGCCAGGACCGCCTGCCCGTCGTCTGTCTGACGGGCCTCAAGCCGCGCCAGTCGCTGCACTTCGCGGAATTTCAGGACGTCGACCAGAGCCGGCTCTTCGCGGGCGGCGGCGTCAGCTTCTCGGTGGACGTGGCCTCACCGGAATCGTTGATTCCGCTGCTGCGCGACGCTGTCTCGACGGCCGTGACGCAGCGCACGTGCGTCCACCTCGCGATCCCCGTCGACGTCCAGGCCGCCCCGGCGCCCCTGCCGTTCAAGCGCTTCTGTGCCGCCGCGGCCCAGGAGCGAGTGATGCGGCGCTGGGGCCCGGATGCCGAGGCCGTCGCCAATGTCGCGACTTTGGTTCGGGCATCGCCGCGCATCGTCATCGCGCTGGGCGCGAAGGCGGCGCTCTGCTGCGGATCGAGCTTCGCGCGGCTGGCCCGACAGGCCTGCGCCCCGATCCTCTACCGCCTGGACGCGAAGGGCTTAGTTGATGAGCATGACCCCCTCGCGTTCGGCGTTGTCGGCGTGCACGGGAAGCCGGGCCTCGAGCATGCGGCAGCCCTCGTCTCGACGGCGGAGCTGGTCCTGGCGTTCGGCGTCGAGGACCATTCGCTCCTCCTCTGCAACAACGCTGGGTTCCAGATCCACAAGATGGTCGAGTTCGCGGAGACGGCGCTGGACGTGAAGGGCCGCTTCCGCGCCGTCGAGACCGTCATCGGCGACCTTGCCACTGCCGCCGAGGCGCTCGCCGACATCCTCGAGACGACGAAGCGCCCCCAGCTCCTCCGAAGGCAGTCGACGTCGTCGGAGAAGGCGATCGGCGTGGATCACACCACGCGGCAAGTGAGTGAACGCACCCTCGAACTCGCGAACCGGCTCTGGGACGAGATCCCCAAGCTTGTGAAGGCGGGGCGGCGGTCCAAGCCGCGCTACACCGTCGACCTGATGGCGCCGGTGCAGCAGAAGCCCGTCGACCCGGACGCGCCGCTGGTCACGCCCAAGTTGGGGAAGAAAGTGATGTCGGTGCACATGCAGATGGCCGCGACGGGGCGCCCGCATCCGGCGACGGCGCTCGAATCCCTCGCAAAGGCATTAAGCGACGAGCACCCGCGGCCCGTGCTTTGTATCGATACCGGAGATATAACCCTGTGGGCCTCGCTCTGCTACCCGCACTTCGGCCGCACGCTCTCGTCCGAGCGGCTCGGGACGATGGGGTACGGTCTCTGCGCGGGCATCGCCGCCCTCCAGACGCTGCCCGCGCCGCAGCGGGCGGTCGTCGTCGTGGGCGACGGCGGCTTCCAGATGACGCTGCAGGAGCTCGCGACCTTCAAGCAGCACTGCCGGCCCGGGCAGCGGCTCCTCGTCATCGTCTTCGACAACGCGCTCCTCGGTCGCGTCCTGTGTGGAAATCAAATATCGGGCGCCCCACGCCATCGACGCGAACCTAACTCACTCACTGGTTGATTTCCACACAGGCCGCGTCATCTTCGGTTTCCAGGGCGCGGCCGGCTGCGAAATCGACGGTCCCGACTGCGTCGCGCTCGCCAAGGCCTACGGCGGCGACGGTATCCGCGTCGAGAAGGCAGGCGAACTACCGGCAGCGATTGATGCAGCCGTCGCGTCGTCCTCGGGACTTTTCCTCCTCCATGTCCTCATCGACCCCCTCCTCAAGGCTGACATGGCTGCCTTCATCGATAAGGCCGCCATGAACTGCGGCTGAGCTCTTTCGAACTCTCCCTCCCTCCGCTCCCATCATGATTCTCTAAGAATTCATTTTTGAACAACAGTATTATTAAAACGCCATCTTCACGGCCTCGACGGCGCGCAGCTCCGCGAAGACGCGCTGGATCATCTCCGGCGACTGGACGTCGGTCGTGAGCCGCACGGACGCGAACTTGCCGCCGATCCGCGGCGTCGCGACGACGTCCACGAAAGCACCGTCGCAGGAGTCGCTCACGACCTTGGTCAGCGCGTCGACGAGCGATCGCACGCCCTCGTCGTCGCCGCCGCTCCGCCCGACGGCCGTGAAGGAAAAGGGAGCCGGATAATTCTCGATGATCGCGCCGAGCAGCTGCGAGTTCTCTTCCGTGTCGTCGTCGGTCGCCTCCGGGTCGAACTCCCCGCGCAGCGCTCGCGCCGCCATGAGGAACCGATCCGTGAGCGGCGCTTCGCCCTCTTTGCTGGCGGGGTCTTTGTGTTTCTTCTCACCGCACGCACCGAGCTCCGGCAGATCCTCTATGTTGATGATTTTCTCGTCGTCGTCGGCCGCGTAGCGTCGCGAGGGCGTGCGCAGCGCCGCTGGGCGCCCATCCGCTGCGAGCGTGCGCATCGCCCCTGGTCGCCCAGCTGCTGCGACGCGCGGCGCCGCACGCGGCAGCAGGGAGAGCACCCTAACCGGAGAGCAACACACCAAAAGCTGGAGCCACCGCAACCAGACCATCGTGAGCGTTGCTCAAGACAAATATAGATCCCTCGTGCACGAATACGGGCGCAATCGATGGCCACCTCTGCGACCCAGCCGATTTGGCTAAGCTGGCTTTTTGCTAGTGTCTTACAGACCGCTAGGTCGCTCGAGAGCTCTCGAGAGCCTCAGCCCACCCATAAGAGGCCTCGCGAAGCAAGAAGTAAACAGACAACCAACATTAGCGGCCCTCGAGCGCCGCGACGTGCGCCTCGACGGCCTCGTAGGCCCGCTGGACCGCGTGGAAGCGGCCCGTCCACTCGCGCCGTTTCTCCGGCGCCCACGCGTCGAAATCATGCGGCCGCTTGTCCGGATGATATTCGAGCACGAGGCGGCGCCACGCCTGGCGCGCGGCCGCGGCGTCGAAGTCGCCCGCGCAGCCCAGAATCGCGAGCGCGTCCGCCAGCGACTCGCGCCGCCACGCGAAGGCGCGCGGCGCCGCGGGCTCCGGCCGCACGAAGGCCGGCGCGGCACTCTGGGAGAGGAACTTGCCCTCCATGAGGCCCCAGAGGAACTCCGCCGTCGCCGGGTGCTTGCAATGATCCACCGCCATGCGCAGGTCGCCGTCGCGGAGCATCGGGTCCGCGCCGAGGTTTATGAGCTCCTCGACGAGCTCCGCGTGCTGGTTCAAGCACGCGAGCATGAGCGGCGTCTTGTCCCAGCAGACCGCGTCGACGTCGGCGCCGCGCTCTACCAAAACGCGCGCCGCCGCCGGCGAGCCCGCGGCGTCGTCGCCGCAGCACAATTGGAGGGGCGACAGGAGGTTTTTGTTGCGCTCGTTTACTAGTTCGGGCGTCGCGAAGCGGCAGAGCTCCCGTAGGACCAGCGCGCGGCCGCACAGAGATGCCGCATGAATGGGCGTCTCGTGGTTGTCGTCGAGCGCCCTTACTAAAACGCCGCCGTGGAGCTTCGCGAGGTCGGCGCAGAGCCGCGCGTCGCCGCGCGTCGCCGCGGCGTGGAGCAGCGTCCTTTTTTTGCCGTCGACGCAGGCGAGCGCGTCCGCCTCAGACGGGCCGCAGTTCAGCCACCGCGACGCCGCGGCGCGGACCTGGACGAAGCTCGCGTCCGGGTCCGCGAGGAGGTCGTGCGCGCGCTCTCCGAGTGGCAGCAACGCCGCGTTCGCCGCGGCCGGCGGCTCCCTATACCTATCGGAGGCGTAGACCAGGAGGCCCGCCGGCGTCCGCAGGGCGAGCTCCGACGACGGTCGCCCACAAATCGCGAGGTCGCGGTCGCGCCAGGTGCGGTGGAAGCAGTAGTCGCGGCCCACGACGAAGAGCTCCTGGACCGCTTGCACGACGGCGCCGACGCCCTCGCCACCGCCGACGATAGAACCGTCTACCATCACCATGCGCGCGGCGAAGGGGTCCAGCGCCGGGCCGCCTTTCACCTTCCGGTTGTAGGCGTCGCAGAACGGGCCGAGGAGCGCCGCGCGCGTCGTCCGGGCGAACCAGCTCGGCCGGACCGTGATGCGCAGCGAGAGGTCGTAGGCTTGCGCGTCGCCGCGGTAGTGGACGAGGCAACTGATGGCCTCGTCGGCGACGGCTTGCGTCGTCATCCGTGGCGGTGTCGCCGAGGCTTGCTTCGTCACAGGGACCACACCGCGACCGCCGTACCCTGCCACGAGGCTGCCAAAGGTGTGGCTGCTGTATAATGATTCACCGGTGCGCCAGCTGTCAAAGTCGTCGCAGGCGCAGTAGTGCGAATGTTTTATGCTACTCAGAATGCATGCCTACGGGTGCATCGCATCTCTATGGGCTGCTGCGATGCAGTCAAAGAGATACCCACTTACACCCTAGTGACCCCCCCCATGGAGGGTAAGGTACCTTGGTAAGGCAGCCCATCGAAAAGGACGGCGTCGCCGCGCACCCGCAGGGCTGCCCACAAAAAAGACGATGGCCCGCAAGCGCAAAACGAAAAAAGACGAGGACGAGGGCGCCCTCAGCCCGCGCACCGTCCTCGTCGCGCTGCTCATCGCAGCAATAGCAGCAGGAGCCGCGCACCTGCTCAAGCACCCGGCCATCGTCGAGGAGTGGGCCGAAGCGTCATCGAACCTCAACGCCACGGCGCGAGCGCGGAGGCGCGATAGTGAACTGATGAAGCTCGTCCCGGCCACGCCACACGACAAGTCCGCCTTCGACCGGGCCGTGGCCTGGTGCGCGCGGAACTGGGACGACGAGTCGAAGCGCGTCGCCGAATTCACGCTCGAACGATTGTCGGGCGAGCCGAGCGACGCGGGCGCGGCGACGACGGTCGCCAATTTGATGATCCGTGCGGTCGAGGCGCACATGCGGGCCTCGAACTGGTCGGCCACGGCGGCGATTTCGGCACCTTCTCCGTTACGGCAGCAGTACGGCGATGTCTTGGGGAGTGCCGGTTCGTTGTTGAGGCAGGCCGCCGACGACGAGGACCACCACGGCGCGCACTACTCCTTGGCTTTATTATACAAGCTCTATCCGGGCTTGATGGCGTCAAATGTGAAGGTGGAAGATGCGGCGAAGGCTGGGGCAGCTAGAGCGTGTGCTGCCGAGCGGGCGACCATAAGATGGCTCAAGCAGGGCTCCGCGGGGAGATATGGCGTGGCCGCCGCTTTAGGATGTCTCCACGTTCGGGTCGAAAGAAAATGGAGCCGGCGGCCGAATGTTGAGATAACAAACTACGACGGCGCGTCCGTCGGCGAGATCCGGCCGCCCGACAATCATTCGAAAATTGTCATCCAGGGCCTCGACAGTGTAATCCACGACCTGCCGTTATCTCCCCTCGCGGACGACCGCAAGTCGATCCCGCCGCCGATCATAAGGCCGGAGTACTACGCCCCGGACCGAAGTTGCACGATTTATTCAAGGAGCTGCTACCCGGCCTTGTGGCGGCAGTTCGACCCGCGCAATCCTATTGATCATTCTAGACCTCGAGAATTGGAGTTGGAGGAGGCGGCCGTCGTCGACGGGTTTTCGGGCGCGAGTTACTATCACTGGCTCTGTGAGACCGTGCCGCGCTTGCTGATCCTAGGCGAGCACTTGGAAAAGACGCGATCCAACAACGCGCCGCGCGTGCCCGTGTTATTGCCGGCGGGCGGGCCGCACGTCGAGGCAACTTTAAGGTTGCTCGGCCGCGCGGCCTTCTCGGCCTTCGGCGTGCTGCACAAGCGCGAGCACGGCACCGTCGTGCGCGTGTCCCAGAAGGTTTTTGCGTTGACGTGGGGCAACGAGGACCACCCCGGCGCCGCCTCCGCCTTGCTCCCCGCTCCCTCAATGCTGCGGAAGGCCCGCGAGGCCATCGTCGCCGCAGCTTTGGCGGGCCCGCCGCCCGACGCGGGACGCCACGCGCGCGGCCGCACGACCGTGGTATTGGCGTCGCGGCACGCCGACGAGAGCAGAGCATTGGGCAACCAGGAGGCGATCGCCGCGGCGCTCGCGCACGTCGCCGCGCAGCGCAATTTGGAATTTGCGCTGTTCGACGGGCGGGTCACGACGCTGCCGGAGACCGTGGATTTGTTTGGGAGCGCGGCGCTGGTCGTGGGCGTCCACGGCGCGGGCCTCGCGAACGCGCTCTTCTGCGTCGAGGGCGCGGCGCTATTGGAGCTGAGCCTGCCCGAGCCGGAGTTCGGGGAATACGCGCACCTCGCGGGGGCCCTCGGGTTGCACTACGCGAGCGTGCCGCTGCCGCACTCGAACTTCGAGGCGCGCGCGTGGCCGAAGCCGTCGGCGGTCGCGGCGGCGGCGGCGGCGCTGCTCGACGCGTAACTTGCTCAGTGTGACCTTCGTGCCCTTTCCCTTTGTTGCTTTGCTTAGAGCTAGGCTGCCTAGCCACGCCGACGCGGCACCCATACGCCGTCGCCCCAAGCTCCAGGATAGTTCCGCCACCGGACGCCGCGGGCTTTGGTATAAATTTTTAGACGGGGAGAGGGGGGAGAGAGACTCAGACGTCGCCGACCTGCGAGTCCGCCGGCGCGGACGTTTCCGCGGCGTCGGCCGCATCACTCGTCCAGAGCGTCAGGTTGTCGCGGAGGAGCTGCATGATGAGCGTGGAGTCCTTGTACGACTGCTCGGAGAGCGTGTCGAGCTCCGCGATCGCATCATCAAAAGCCTGCTTCGCGATGTGGCAGGCGCGATCCGGGGAGTTGAGGATCTCGTAGTAGAAGACCGAGAAGTTCAGCGCCAGACCCAAGCGGATCGGGTGCGTCGGCGGGAGCTCCTTGTTCGCGATCGTCGAGGCCTGCTGGTAGGAGTCGAGGGCGTCCGTCGAGGACGTCTTGCGTAAATCGCCGGCCTGGAACTCGGCCAAATAACGGTGGTAGTCGCCTTTCATCTTGTAGTAGAAGACCTTGCCCTCGTCGCCCGCACTGTGGGGAATGAGCTGGTCCTGGATGATGGTCAGGATGTCGCCGCAGATCGTCTCGAGCTCCGTCTCGATCTTCTTCTTGTAGGCCACGATGAGGGAAGCTTTGGCGGTTTCCGACTTCTGCTCGATGCTCGAGATGACGCGCCACGACGCGCGTCTGCTCCCAATCACGTTCTTGTAGGCCACGCTCAGTAAGTTGCGCTCCTCGACGGACAGCTCCGTCGGCATGCGCGCGACGACCTTCATGTGCTCGACCTGCGTTTTGGCGTCGGTTCGCGGACGCGGCGCGGGCCGCGTCTCTCTCGCGCGGCGCCGCCTTATCAATTCGTCTCCTCTATGATAAATAAACGAAGGGGGTAATAATACCGCCGCGCCGGCGCCGCGCCATCTCGTCGAAGCGCTCGGCCTGCTCCGCCAATTTTGCCAGGTAGACGAGGTCGTCCCGTTCCTGCGCCATTTTTACAGTCCGCGGCGTCCCGCCCGTCGTTTGTTGACCCTCGTCGTCGTCTCGGACGTCGAGTAAGGGCAGGCGCGCACTAAATGTCTTTGGCTGGCGCCCTGGAAAACCCGAATTTTTTAGTGACGCTCCTATAACTCAAGACAGTTCGTCAGCGGCATGACGCGTGAATCTTCTGACGGTTCTGTTGTGATTGTTTCTCCTGGGTTCCAAGCAACAAAAATAAGGCATAGCCTCCGTCGCCGCCGTCGGCACAGCGTGCGCCATTTGCGCCATTTGCATAAAAACGCGTTGCAGCCGACGCTACGCAGCCGACGCTACGTCTAAAAACTGTAATCCGTGCGAGCGACAGCGCTCTCCGCATCCGGAAACCCCCAAAACACTTGCAACCCTGCGGCAGTGATAAAACAATAAAACAATTGCAACCCTGCTCCAGCGATGCGCCGCTTGCTCCTCCTCGCCGCCGCGGCGCGCGCCTATAGAGAAGAGATCCAGGAGGCCCTGACGGGCAACCTCCTCATCAACGGCGGCCCCGACGAGGCCTCGATGAACGGCTGGCGCGACGTCGTGCCCGGCTTGTATAATGCGACGCCGCCCGTGACCGCCGGCTGGGCGCCGCACATCCAGACGGAGGGCTGCGAGACGCCCGAGAACCCCCAGCCCTGCGAGCACGTCTTCAAGACGTCGTACCAGGCCTGCACGCGGCGCCAGACGGTGCCGCTCGTCGGCGGCCGCGTCACCGAGCAGATGATCGACGCCGGCGAGGTCGCGGTAGTTGTGTCCGAGGACGTCAAGGAGTTCTACAGCGTCGACAAGTTTTTCATGCGGGCAGCATTATGCAGCGACGAGAAGTGTACGCATAAGTTGAGGCGGTGGGCACCGTGTAGAAAACACTCGGAGGTGACCACGGAGGAGGCCTACCAGTGGTGCGAGACGAAGGGCGGCGCGGGCTACGGGAATGATGTGTGGGAGAACCACAACCACACCTTTGGTGGGGGCGACATGGTCGGCGCGCGCTATTTGTTATTTGAGGACGGTGGCGTCGACTCGGAGTACTACAAGGGCCTCTACGGGCCCTGGTTCAAGGACGCGTCCGTCGTCATCCACAAGACGACTTTTACGTTTGCGCCGACGGCGACGCCGGCGCCGTCGGCGCCGACGCTCAAACCGACGTTCCAACCCACCACCAAATACAAGTCCGAGTTCTGGGACGACGACTACTACTACTCCTATTATGGCGGTGGTGATAAAGAGGCGGCCGCAGCGACGCCGGCGCCAAAGCCGCGGCCGCGGCCGCACACGCGGCGCCCGACGCCGCCGCTTTCTCCGGACGAGGCGCCGTCCGGTGACGACCTGTGTGGAAATCAACCAGTGCGTCGGGTGCACTAAGTCATTTCCCGGCGATGACGCGGCCGTCCTGGCTCGGTCGAGCGATGAGGAATTCACATCGCCACGCCTTCGAGCAGGCGTCGCGTCGATGGCGTGGAGGACGACGCGACGATTCAGCACGAACGCGCCGTGAAATTTTGATTTCCACACAGGTGACGACGGCTGGATGTACGTCGCCGCGGCTTTATTGGCCGTCGTGATCGGCTTCGGCGTGGGGTTCTGCATCCGGGCCCGGCGCGCGGCGCCGGCGAACCCGTACGCCATCGCCGGCACGCAGCTCGACGACGACGACGAGGGCGTCGAGATGGCGGCGACGGCGGGGAACAAGGGCTGGGCTTAGGTCTTGAGCTGGGTAAGTGCGGTTGGTGTACCTTTTGTTGCTTGCACTGCCTCCGGGTTTCGCCTCCGTCCTCCGCGCGTTGAATCCTGGCGCGCACGCCAGGCGAGAGTACTTAACACGCCAGGGCCTAGAAGGTGCGGGTAAGAGTGGGGTAAACTTGAAATCGCGCGCGCGTCCGTCCTCGCTCTGGTGCGAGAGCCCCACGGCCGTGTTTGCCCGTCTGTATATCTCACTCGGTACCTAGCGCAAGCACTTGGTTTGAGGACAACAGCTCTGAGAGTAATCATTGATCATGGCAACACCGCCAATACTAGACGACGCCGCGCCGGGCGACGCTCCCGACGAGGACGCCGCCGCGCTCCTCGCCTGGCCCGAGATCTGCGACCTCATGAATCTGCAGGCGCCGGACGCCTGGCGGCCGCGGCACGCGGCGGTCCTGGCCGTCCGGCGCCGGGCCCGCGACGAGGGCGGCCTCGACGGCCGGCCGCCGGACCTCTTCTCGTTCCTCGCGAAGGAGTCGCGCGACCTGCGATCCGCCTCGGCGCGCGCCGCGCTCGAGGCGCTCGGCGACCTGCTCCTCGCGGGAGTGCCGCCCGCCACGGCGGAAGACGCTGAGGCCGTCGTCGCGAGCCTCCTGGCCCGCGCGACGCACGAGCTCAAGTTCCTCGCCGCGGCCGCGCGGCGCGCGCTCCACGCCCTCGCGGCGACCGGCGACGCGGCCGCGCTCGACGCCGTCGTCAAACACTGCGCGGCCGGCTCGAAGGCGCGCAAGACGCTCGCCGCTGAGACCGCCACGCGCCTCCTTCTCGCCGGCGCCGACCCGTGTGGAAATCACGCAGTGAGTTAGGTCATCTCGCGGACCAAATTTTCATTTCCCACACAGGCGCCGACGCGCCGCCTGGCGGCGCACGCTTCACCGCCACCTGCGGGGCGGCCCTGCAAGTGGCGACGCGCGACCGCGCCGCGGCCACCGCCCTCCTCCGCGCGCTCGCGCCGGCGCCGGACCGGGACGCGTTCGCGGAGGCCTCGGCGGAGGCGCTCGGGGCAGGCGACTCGTCGGCGCTCGTCGCGCTCCGCTTCCCCGCCAAGCCCAAGCGCGCCGCCGGCGACAGGAAGCGCGTGCCGCTCCGCGAGCGCATGGCCGCCGCCCGGGGCAACTAAAAGTACTCACTACTTCACCTTACCCAGGTCGACGAGAATGTCGAGGGCCTTCGTGGACGCTGCGAGCTCCTGCGCCGGCAGCTCGACGTACTGCCGGACGAGGTCCTTCGACGCGCTCACGGCCGCGTCGCCGCCGGCCGGGCTGAAGACGTTGTTGTAGACGGCCATATCCAGATACCGCAGGTGGCTCATCGCGTCCTCGCGCGCCTCGAGCGCGGCCAGCTCGTCGCCACCGCTGTCACCAAGCGCCGCCGCGAAGTCGCGCAGCAGCGGCCGCGCGTTCTTGCCCCAGCAGTCCGAGAGGGGCGGCGTGATGAGGATCGCGCGCACGGAGTCCCACTTGCGCGCCTCGAGGAGCCCGGGCACCTGAGCACAAAATCAACCAGTGACATCGACGCGACGCCGTCGTGCTGACGTCGCGTCGACCATTTGATTTATGCACCGCCGGGCACGGGGTCGAGCTGCCGCCGCGCGTCGGCGCTGCGCGCGGCGACGTGTGAATCGGGAGAGGGAGGCAGCGCGGCGGCGGGCGAGAAGCGGCGCGGGGGTCTCAGGCGGCGCCGGCGAAGGCGCCAGAACGCGAAGCAATGGTCGTTTCACTCGTGTCGTCAATAGGAAGGCAGCATCGCCGTCATCAGCGACCCCCCGCGGCTCGATTGAGTACCCACGCGGCGGCGCACACGAGCGCGTAGAGCTCCTTGCGGCCCGAGGGCAGCGGCTCCGCGCGCACGGCAAGCGGGTAGAGAGACGCGGGGCTCAGCAGCAGCGCTCGTCGGTGCGTCGTCCGCAGTGCTGCGGCGATGCTGGCGAACGCTGCGCACAACGTTGTCCGCATCTGTCCTTTATGAGTCGTTGCCACAGTGCTGCAGTTGTTCTCTCAGCGTGTCGCTTGCTGCACCTAGCAGAGAGCAAAATGAGACCATACCCGCACGAAAAGACGACCCGTCTCGACTGCCAGACCCAGAGCTAAACGTGGTGCGCCAAGGAGTTGCCCGTGCGGAGGACCAAGAAAAGCAACAAGGGCTCTCCGGTTGATGGGGAGGGCTCAACGAGGTATTGCGGGGAGCAGCAACGAGCGCACGAGGGCTGCCCATTCAGGTTAGACAAATTCGAGGACACGACCAAGGCAGCACTCAGCGACGGGGGCACGATGACGATGGGCAGCTGCCCCGATGTAAAGACCGCTGCCATGGCACAGGTGGGGGGTGAAGACAGGGCAGCACCTCCCGGCGCGATGGCGCCTCCTCAAAAGAAGCGCAGCTCCCATCAAAAGGCACTCGTCGCGCACTCGTCGCGGAGCGTCGTCGGCGTGCTGCTGCTGGCGTTGACGGGCCTGGGCGCCGCGGCTGAGCGCGCGCCCGGGCACGAGCGCCCCTCCGTCGCGGTCAAACGCAACGATAACGCTGTCGTGCCGGCCGCGGCGGAGCGCCCTTCCGCGGTCGAGCACAGCGCAGTCGCTGCCGAGCCCGAGTTTATGAGGAGCGTGCGCCCGGCGCAGTCGTTCGCGTCCCGCGTCGACTTTTGAACTCGTATTTTTGATGACCCTTGTTTTGTCGCAGGCGGCGGCGCCTTGACACGTGCGTGAACGACGATTCGACCAGCGATGACTTTGGCGATACGTGCTCCGGTTGGTACGACAATAATGACAACTGTAGCGGAGATTATGACGACGCGGATTTCTCGTCGAACGTCCAGTGCTGCAAGTGTGGTGGCAGCAAGAGGTGTGACATCGTCGTGTCCGGAACCAGCTATCAAAGCGGCAGGCATGGGACCTATGAACAAAGTGGGTCGTGCGACGGCCACCCCAGCTGGAAGTGCGACGACTGTAGCAGCACGCAATACCTCTGGTATCACACTGGCGGGTACTGGGCCATTGGCTCGGGGGGCTGCGGCACAGACTCTATAGGCATGTATATCTTCACAGATGCAGACCTCGCGGACGTGTCCGGAGATTGGACCGAGTGGACCGGGTCCGAGTGGCAAACGAACTCCGCCATCTCGGTCACGTGTGCCGTATCTTGTGCGTACCCATCGTATCAAGGCAACGGCTATTGCACCCCAAGCAACAACGTGGCTTCCTGCGAGTACGACGGTGGGGACTGCTGCGAGTCGACGTGCATTTCAACCGACGTCTATGACTGCGGAGTGAACGGGTACAGCTGTAATGATCCAGACGCCTGCACAGCCTCGGAATCCGACGACTGGTGTTCCTGTGGGATCAGCACCTCGACTTCGTACTCAGACAACGACATTTGCTGCGATGAAAGATGCGGAGCATGCGGTGGAACGGACTGTAACAGTTACGCTGACGGCATCTCGTGCTGCACGTCCACTATAGTTAATGCCGAGGTCTACTGCGAATCCCCTTCGGACGCCAGTTGCATCATCCCTGGGGACCCAACGGCACGGCCGACGCCTCAGCCAGTCCCAAATCCGACGCCGCGCCCGGTGCAGCTGACGAACTATGTCATGACCGACAGCAACATCAAAACGGCCGTCACGGCGTGGCTCGCGGACGCGACGGCAGCCGAGGCGACGTACGGCCTCATTTCCACGTGGGAGACTTCAGGGGTGACTGACATGGATGAGTTGTTTTGCGCCGGGGACTATTGTGACTACTTCAACTCGGGGGCAGCGTCCTTCAACGAGGACATTAGCTCGTGGGATACCTCCGGCGTCACGTCGATGGAGTCGATGTTCGACGGCGCCGCTGCATTTAACCGAGACATCGGTGATTGGGCGGTCCACAGCGTCACAAGCATGGACTACATGTTTTCTGGCTCGTCGTTTAACCAGGAAATTGGTGATTGGGACACCTCTGGCGTCAAAAGCATGGAGGGCATGTTCGCGGTGAACACGGCCTTCGACCAGGACCTCGGCGCGTGGGACACCTCCGGCGTCACGTCGATGGAGTACATGTTCTACGGCGCCATGTCGTTTGACCAGGACATCGGCGCGTGGGACACCTCCGGCGTCACGTCGATGAACTCCATGTTCTACTACGCGTCGGCCTTCGACCAGGACCTCGGCTGGTGCGTGGACGACAGCGTGAGCCTGAGCTCCGCGTTCATCATAAGCGGGTGCTCCTCGACGTCGTGTGGCGTCCTGCAGGGCGACGCCTGCGCTCCGACGCCGCGGCCAGTGCCAAATCCGACGCCGCGGCCAGCACCTGCCCCCACACTGCTGCCAATTCCGAATCCGACGCCGCGCCCGACCGAAGTACCGACGTCAGCGCCATCTCCGCGCCCGACGCCGGAGCCTTCGCCCAAAGCTGGAGATCCGACGGCACGACCAGTCCCAAATCCGACGCCTCAGCCAGCACCTGCCCCCACACTGCTGCCAATTCCGAATCCGACGCCGCGCCCGGTACAGCAGACGAACAATGTCATGACCGACAGCAACATCAAAACGGCCGTCGCTGCGTGGCTTTCGGATCCGACGGCCGCCGAGGCTTCGTACGGCCACATTTCTACGTGGGAGACTTCGGGGGTGACTAGCATGCAATTTTTGTTTTGCGGAAGTACAGGATCTTTTTGCAACACAGCAGCGGCGTCCTTTAACGAGGACATCAGCGCGTGGGATACCTCCGGTGTCACGAGCATGTACTTTATGTTCTGCGACGCCTCGGCCTTTAACCAGAACATTGGTGGTTGGGCAGTTCACAGCGTCATGAATATGCTAGCGATGTTCCAACGCGCGTCGGCCTTCAACCAAGACATCAGTGGTTGGGCAGTCGACAGCGTCACGGACATGCAACAGATGTTCAGCGGTGCCTCGGCCTTCGACCAGGACCTCAGCGACTGGAGTATCGACAGCGTCACGAGTATGCATAAGATTTTCAACGAAGCCTCGGCCTTCGACCAGGACCTCGGCTGGTGCGTGGACAACGATGTGAGCCTGTACGAGGCGTTCTCCAACACCCCATGCGCGTCGATGTCGTGCGGCGTCTTGCAAAAGGACGAGAACGGCGACTGCTCGGCGTCCTGTGCAGGCACTCCGAACTGGATCGGCGACGGCATGTGCGACTCGTCAAACAACAACGCTGCGTGCTCGTACGACGGCGGAGATTGCTGCGAGGCGACGTGCGTTTCGTCGACCTCTTATACCTGTGGGAACTACGACTGCGTTGACCCAGATGTTCCCGTCAACCCGCCGACGCCGCGCCCGACCGAAGTACCGACGTCAGTACCATCTCCGCGCCCGACGCCGGAGCCTTCGCCCAAAGCTGGAGATCCGACGGCACGACCAGTGCCGAGACCGACGCCGTTCCCGACCGAAGTACCCCATCCGCACCCGTCTTATGTACCGACGTCAGCGCCATCTCCGCGCCCGACGCCGCGCCCGACGCCGGTGCCGACGGTGGCACCCGGTGATCCGACCGCGCGCCCATTGCCGAGACCGACGCCGTTCCCGACCGAAGTACCCCATCCGCTGCCGACGCCACGCCCAACGCCAGTGCCGACGGTGGCGCCCGGCGATCCGACTGCGCGCCCGTCGCCGCGACCGACTGCGCGTCCAACCGCGCGCCCGACGCCGGCGCCATCGGTGGCGCCCGGCGAACCTACTGCGCGGCCGACACCGGCGCCGACGCAGCGACCGACGCCGCGCCCGACGCCTCGGCCGACGCCCGCGCCGACGCCTGAGACCTCGGACGCCGTCGAGGGCACGATTACTTGCGAGGGCATCACGCTGGCAGAAGCCGAGGCGAATGCGAACGTCTACGCGTCGGCGGTCGCCGACCTCTACAACGTCGCCGCCAGCAAAGTTATTGTGACGTTTTCATCTGGCCGAAGGCGTCTCCAAAGCGGGAGCGTCGTCGTCAGCTACGTAGTCCTCTACGATTCTCCCGCAGCCGCTGCCGCCGCGGTCGACGCGGCCGCGAGCCACACCGCCTCAGACTTCCTCTCGGCCGTACAGGGCGCTGCTGCCGACGCTGGCGTGGCCGACGTATTCGCCGCGGCTTCGGTCGAGGACGTGGGTGCTCCCGAGGCGGCGACGACCGGGCTCGACTGCTATTACTTAGATTGGGCCGGCGACGGTTATTGTGACTCCCAGAACAACGTCGAGTCTTGCAATTACGACAAGGGAGACTGCTGCGCGTCGACGTGCGTCTCCACTTCCACAAATACGTGTGGGGAGAGTGGCTACGACTGCGTCGACCCCGACGTCGCCGCGCTCTGGAACGGCTGCGGCTGGGTCGAGAGCAATAGTAACACGGACGGCGAGCAATCGGTCGGCCAGGTGTCTTCGCCCGACGAGTGTATTGAGAAAGTAATGGATCAGTGCCCTGACTTCGAGATCGCGAACTTGCCTGAATCCGGCGTGGGCGAGTGCTGGTGCCAGCAGGGGGCCTCCCCCGTGCCCGACAGCAGCGGCTACCAGTGCATAAATCAAATTGTCGCGGCGCGTCTCGTTCCAGCCAGCACGGCCGCTATTGTGCACCCGACTCACTGGTTAATTTATGCACAGGCGGCTTCATGTCGTGCGTGCTGGCCATGCAGCCGACGCCACGCCCCACAACGGAGCCGGGCAGCCCTACGCACCAGCCGACGCCCAAGCCTACGCCGAATCCGTCTCAACACCCCACGCTGCGGCCGACTCTCTCGCCGGACGCCACTCCGGCGCCGGCCCTGCCCTACGAGTACGCGCCGACGGCCGACGCAACGCCGTACTGCAGGCTCCGCGACGCTGAAGTTTGCTGGGGCAACACGCATAGATTCTCGGAAGTGGTCGCGAACGCCCCCTTCGAGGGCATCGACGGCGGCGCGTACGCAAGCCCGGCGTTCGGAGATCTTGATGGAGACGGGGACCTGGATCTAGTTCTGGGCGTCGAGAGTGGCGGCAAGCTGCTCTACTTCGAGAACGTGGAAGGAAGATTCGAGAGACGAACCCAAGGCGCGAACCCGTTCGACGGCATCGACGCCGGCTCGAAGAGCGCTCCGGCGCTGGCTGACCTAGACGCGGACGGTCGGTCCGGCGTCCGCGGCTTCCACCTCGCCACGACCTACGTCCCGCCGCGCAGGTGATCTGGACGTCGTGATCGGAAGCTACGACGGCACCGTCGCGTTTCTGGAAAACACGGGGAGCCGAGAGGCGCCGACGTTCGAGAAAAACGATAATCTGCTCGCGGCTGTTACCGGCAAGGGATACACGCACCCGAAGCCGACGCTCGCCGACGTGGACAACGACGGCGCTGTAGATTTGATCCTGGGCCAGCTCCAGTGTGGGTATCAACCAGCCCGTCTTGCTTGCGCCGCGAAATTTGATTTCTGCACAGGCCACCTCGACGACAGGCTCGCCTTCTTCCAAAACACGGGCAACGCGACGGTGCCGCGGTTCGAGGAGCGGACGGACGAGGCGGACCCGTTCAGCAGCATCGACGTCGGCCGCGACAGCAGCGTGCCGACGCTCGCGGACGTCGAGGGAGACGGCGACCTGGACCTGGTCGTCGTCCTTAGGGAAGGCCAGGTCTGGAAGATGCGCTACTTCGAGAACGTGGGCTTCACCGGTCAGCCGCTCTTCATGGCCCGGACCGAGAGCGACAATCCCTTCGATGGCATTTCCGAGACCTACGGCTCCCCGGTGTTCGTGGATCTTGACGACGACAGCGACGTGGACCTCGTGTTGGGACGTCAAGACGGCGCGCTCGGCCTCTACGTAAACAGGGGAACATCTACGGCCCCAGAGTTGATAGCTCGGGCCGACGCGATAAGCCCACTCGAATCCGTCGAGGGAGCCGGAGGGAACGGCGCTCCGGCATTTGCGGATGTGGACGGGGACGGTGACGAGGACATCATCATGGGTTCGGCGGACGGCGGGCTCGTCTTGTACGAGAACGTCGGCGACGCGGGGAAGCCCCTCTTCGAAAGGACGGATCTGCTCGACGGCGTTGTCGTGGGCGACGCCGATAGCACGCCGAGTTTGGTGGACATTCACGGCGACGGCGCCATCGATCTGGTAGTGGGAAGTTCGGGCGGCAAACTCGTCTACTACCGCAACGTGGGCTCGATGGGCTTCGAGAAGGTCGAGGGCGCGGCGGACGACCCCTTTGCCGGCATAGACGTCGGGAAGAATAGCGCCCCGCACTTTTCAGACTTGGACGACGACGGCGATGTCGACCTCGTCATCGGGGCGGAGGACGGCAAGCTCTACTATTACCAGAACGTGGGGTCATCGACGGAGCCAGTGTTTGTGAACACGACGGTGAACCCCTTCGCGAACGTCAGCGTCGGCTATTACAGCTCACCCGCGCTCGCCGATCTCGACGGAGATGGCGACCTCGACCTATTCCTCGGGGAGCGCGGCGGGACGCTCATGCAATACGAGAACGTGGGAAGCGCGCTGGCGCCTCGATTCGTGGCCGAGAGCGAGGCGTGGCTCGAAGTCGGCGACGACACGGACGGGATAGCTCGGAAGCCCGCGTTCGTGGATCTCGACGGCGACGGTGATCTCGATCTCGTCGTGGGAAACGGAGCCGCCGTCGCGTACTACGCGAACGGCCATTGCATCAGCAGTCCCACGTCGTGCAACGGTCGGGGAATCTGCGACGACAACGTGATGCTTCTGCCGTCGTGCAACTGCCTCACGGGCATCGCTGGCGAGCAGTGCGAGCGGTGTCAGACGGGCTACTTCGGGGCTACGTGCGACCTCTGCCCCGAGGGCGGCAACGAGACCAACAACATGCCCCGCATCACTGACACGTGCGGCGTCGCCGGCAGCGGCCGGAGCCGGGGCACCTGCGACGACGGGGTCGCCGGGACGGGCAAGTGCACGTGCTTCGCCGGGTTTAGCGGCGAAAGCTGCACCAAGGGCGTGTGTCCCGCGGGTACCGTCGAGAACGCGAGGAAGAGTGGCGTGTTCTACGAGGCCTTCTGCGAGCCGTGTGCGAGGGGCGAGTACCAGGTCGACGACCAATGCGTCAAGTGCCCGTCGCCCAGCACGACGATGGCGGCGGGCGCGACGGGCTGCTACACGTGCAGCGCCGGCTCCTTCTTCTCGCCTTTCCCGATCTACGACGGCCGCGACGGCAAGGACCCGGTGCGCTGCGACGACGCGGCCGCGCTCGAGGCCCAGTGCCAAGACAAGGACGACACCGCGTGCTTCGATAAGTGCTGCCTTCCCTGCGAGCGCGGAATGGATTGCGATAATCCAGCAAACAACACGCTGCGGGGCGTCGTGATCGACGACGGCTGGTGGCGGGAATCGGAATTCTCGAAGGACATATACAAATGCGAGTCTGCGGTCAGCTGCAAGGGTGGCCTCTGCACCGAGGGGCACAAGGGCGTGACGTGCCGTGTGTGCGCGTCCGGCTTCTACTATTCGGCGATCGGTTCGCGATGTCTCAAATGCGGGTCCTTCCGCGCCCACCCGATTGCCATCGTGTCCGGAATTTGCCTCCTCCTCCTCATCGTCGGCTCGTTATACGTCTTCAAGCAGCGGCGGCCCGAGCTTTTCGCCAAGACGTTCGGCGCGGCCGAGGAGAAACTCCGGAGCATGGCAATCGACGCCGGGCGCAAAGACATCGACATCCTAGGCGAGGGCAACGAAGTCGCGAAGCGGCTGGCGGAAGCAAACGCTTTGTCCGTGGCTACGGACGGCCTCGACGGCGTCGCCGCGGTCGGGAGGGGTGCCAACAGCGTGTTATCCAAGGCGCCGACCGAGATCAACGAGATGGTCGTGGGAGCTGCGACGGGCGCGGCGACGGACATACTCGCGAAGAAGGACGAGGAGGAGGACGAAGGGAGCTCCACTAAGGAAGTCGACGAGGAGGAAGACGCAGAAAAGGCGGCAGAGGAAGAGGAGGAGGAGCGCCGCAAGACGTTCTGGGAGAGCGTGCAGACGAAGCTTAAAATTTTGATCGCAGTGTATCAAATACAGAACGCGTTGCCGTGGACACTGCCCTTCGTGTCGTACCCGGACGCCTTCGAGGCACTTGTGAACTGGCTGTCGTTCATCGAACTCGATCTCGTGCGAATCATTCCCATGGAGTGCGCGATGCCGCACAATTTCTTCGACAAGCTCTTCGCGTCAACGATGATTCCGCTAGTCCTGGCCGGCATCATTCTCGTGTTCGGTAAGCTTGCGTCCTTGGCGCGACGGGACCCGGCCGAACGGCGAGCCGCCTGGATCTACGCGTACAGCTGGTTCCTTCTACTCACGTACGTTGTGTTTACTGGCGTCTCGACGACGGTACTGCGCTTCTTCAACTGCGTCGAGTATCAGAGCAGAGACGGGGACGGCGCGAGCGTCAAGTTCAAGGTGATGCAGGCGGACCACAGCATCTCATGCGAGAGTCCGACGTACGAGAAGTGGAAGGGCTACGCCTGGATCATGGTTTTCATTTACCCCATTGGCATTCCGTCGTGGTATCTACTTGAGCTGCTGTGGTGGCGCAAGGGCATCAATCCTGACGTCGACGAGCGGCGCCACAACCTCACGTCCAAATACCGGCTAGGCATGGCTCCGGAGACGCCGCAGGAACAGGCCTACTTCAAGTTTCGCGAGAAGGAGTCGGAGTCGATGCGCGATTTGCGCCACAAGGCCTTCGAGCACGTCGAGATGGTCGCCCTCAGTCTGGACGAAATCCAAGAGCGGAAAATGGAGTTGCGCGCCGACGACCACGACATACAGCACCTCGCTTTTCTCTTCGGGGAGTTCGAGCCGCGCTGTTACTTATTTGTCGTCTTCGAGTGTTTGCGGCGCCTCGCGCTCACGGGATTGTTGATTTTTGTTTACAATGGCTCGGCGACGCAAGTCGTCGTCGGTCTGTTTATTGCCATCATCTCGAGCCACGTCATGAGCGAGTATAACCCCTACATCGAGGATAGCGACGACCGCCTCGCGAAGCTGGGCCAGCTGCAGATATTGCTCCTGTTCGTCGCGTCGCTCGTGCTGTTCGTCAAGACCATGCCGGAGCAGGACGGCGCGCCGGGAAATCTGTTCAAGGGACCGCTCTTCGCGGCGCTGATGGTAATCATCGGGACGATGACGCTCACGGTGACGTTCTACACGCTCGCGGTCGAGAACCTCAACATCAAGAGCGCTAAGGACGTGCAAGATAAGGCAAAGGAGCTGCAGGCCAAGGCCAAGGCCGCCGCCAAGACCGCCAAAGACAAGCTCACAGGCAGGGGCAAGAAGAAGGCGTTCTTTGGCGGTGATGAGGATGGTGGTGACGACGAGGACGACGACGACGACGACGCTGCGGCGCAGGTCGTCGTGACGCCGCACGGCGACGAGGGGCCGTCGCTCCTGGATCAAAAGGAGGGCTGGCTGGCGCCGCCCGCGCGCGAGTGGGGGCGCACCGCGGATGGAAAGATGGGCTGGCTGCCGCGGCCCGCGCCGGCATCCGCACCGCTCGTGCGCGAGATGCCGCTCCAGCAGGAGGCGCGCGTCGACGTCGAGGCGCCGGCGGTTCATAAGAAGCACCACCATCACCACAAGAAGACGTCGCCCGCGGACGCAGACGTCGAGGCGCCGCCGCCGCCTCCTAGTGACGACGAGGAGGCGCCACCGCCTCCGCCCGATGAGGACGACGACGAGGAAGCGCCGCCTCCGCCCGATGAGGACGAGGAAGAAGCGCTGCCCCCGCCTCCCGGTGACGACGACGACGATGCGCCGCCACCGCCGGAGGCCGACAATAAGACGAAGGGGAACTGGCTCTTGTCGATCATAGGTGCCAAGAAAGTGGTGGCCGCTCGGCAAACGCGCAGCGTCGAAGCCGCATCCGACGGCGGCGTCCCGGAAGCCAAGGCCGAGGAGCCCGCCGCGGAGGAAGAGCCCGAGGCGCGGCGCAAGAAAGCGCCGCCCAAGAAGGCGCCGGCCAAACAGGCTGTGCCCAAGAAGCAGCCGCCCAAGAAAGCGCCGCCTGCGAAAAAGCCAGACGCTCGCAAACCACCGACGCCGGCGACCAAGAAGCGCAGCTGGTTCCCCAAGGGCCGCGCCGCGCAGAAACCCGCCGCCCGGCCCGCACCGGCGCCAGCGGCACCGACGACGCCACCGGGGCAGGCACCGGCGCCGGCGGCCCAAGCGGCGCGGGCGGAGATAGGGCGAGGGACGGCGCCGCCGGCGCCTGCACCCGCACCTGCAACGACGGCGGCGGCGCCCGCACCCGGGCCGGCGAGCGGTGTGGCCGAGGCAAAAACGGAGCGCGGTGTCGCCGAGGCGAAGGCGGAGTCCGCCGAAAGAACGTCCGAAGCGCAGCCGAAGCAAGCGCCACCCGCGAAGCCCGAGGCGAAGCCCGCGGCGAAGCCGACGACCGCGCCAGCCCCCGTGCCCGCGGCCAAGAAGCGCGGTTGGTTCCCGATGCGCACTGCGAAACCCAAACAGGTCGCCCAGTCCGCTTCGGCGCCGGCGGCCAAGCCGACCACGCGCGCCGCGATAGGGCAAGGAGCGGCGCCGCCGGCAACACCTGCGCCAGCCGGGGCGCCCGACGTCAAGGGCGAGCCTGTCCTGGCACCGGCGCCAGCGGCTCAGGCGACGACGCGCGCGGAGATAGGGCGAGGGACGGCGCCGCCGGCCGACGCACCCGCAGCCGCGCCCGCGACGACGACAGCTGTTGCCGAGGCGAAGGTGGAGCCCGGTGTTGCCGAGGCGAAGGCGGAGCCCGGTGCTGCCGAGGCGAAAACGGAGCGCGGCGTCGCCGAGTCGAAGGCCGGTCCACATGATGGAGAAGCCGGAGCGCCGCCGAAGAAAACGCCACCCGCGAAGCCATCGGCGAAGCCAGCGACCGCACCATCACCCGCGCCCGCGGCCAAGAAGAAGCGCAGTTGGTTTCCCACGAGTCGCGCTGCGCAACATAAACCCGTGGCTCAGCCCGAGCCAGCGCCGACGCCTGCGAAGAACGTGGTCAAGGGCCAACCTGCTCCGGCACCAGCGCCGGCACCCCCCACGACGACGCGCCCCGCAATAGGGCGAGGAGCGGCGCCCCCGGCGGAGGAGGAGAAGGCTGCCGACCAGGTGGCGGACATCCAATACAAAAGCGAAGGCAGCTCTTCTGAAGACGAAGACCACGCGTCGACGCTCGAGCGACCGACGACCCCTCCGACCAAGGGGACCAAAGCGGACGCGGCGGCCGCGCCAGCGCCCGCGCCGGCCGCCGCGCCTGCACCGGCGACGAATACGCGCGCTGCACCGCCGCGGGCATTGGCGCCGGCGCCGGCTCCAGTTGCGCAAAAGCCGAAGCCGAAGCCCAGGTGGTTCCAGCGCCCAGCTCCGGCGCCGGCACCGGCGCCCCAGCCCGCGCGCGGGCCCCACCACCGGCCCGCCGCTGTGCCTGCTGCGGCACCGGCACCTTCAGCTCGACACGAGTTTCAGTCGCGCCTGGCGTCGCTCAAGCGCGTTGTTCGTGAAGATGCGCCGACGCCGGCGGCCCAGGCGATCACGCGTGAAGTGATAGGGAGAGGGGCGGCGCCGCAAGCGGCGACGCGCCCCCCGCCACCACCGGCTGCGGCATCTACTCCATCGCCCGCCGCCGCTGCGCCCGCCGCCGCCGCGCCTGCTCCGCCGGCAGCGGCGCCCCGTGTTATCACGCGCTCGGCGATGGCGCCGCAGGCGCTGCGCCCCGCGGCACCGTCGATATTTACCGTCGTGGGCCGGGCGGGTGGCCGCCTGCGAGCGGGCGTCGAGATGGACTCGCCGCACGTCGGCGACTTGCCCCGGGGCTCACACGTCGTCGTGTATGAACGCGGCGTGACGAGGACGGGCGCGGCGCGCTGCCGCGTCGTGGCCGGCGATGCGCAGGGATGGCTCAGCGAGAAGGTCCTCGCGCCCGCCGACGGCGTGGCGGCGGAGGAGAAGGCGCGGGTGATCGATTCCGCTCTCCGCCTCCTGGCCACGTCCGCTATGGCGGCCGACTGGGCGCCGGAAGACGGACCGCCCACAACCGGCTCGCGCAGTCGCGCGTCGGACACGGCGCGCTCCGCTCTTCACGCAGTGACGACGACGGCCACGTTCCGTGCGGCGGTGCGTGCTGACGCGGAAGATGGACCAGTTGCGACGCCGGCGGGCACCCAGAGCCGCGCCACGACCGCGGCGCGCTCCGCCCTTCGTGCCGCGACAACATCTGCCGCATTCCGAGCACCGGCCGCTGTATGGCCGGAAGACGGACCGGCATCGACGCCGCCTGGCGCGCCCGGATTATTTCGCCCCACTCTGCAACCACCACTGCACTGCCGAGTATGCCTCCAACGGCTGCCGTGCGAGTGCCCGACGCCGGTCCCGGCGGCGTCGACTTCGTCGTTGGAGGATGGTCCGCCGTGAAGTGGCCCCTGACCGCCCGCGCCCGGACTCTGTACATAACCACCCCTGCCCCCCATCCACTGCAGTAATGCTTGACACCAGAAATCATTGAATCATGGTGATGTTACACTAGAGGAGCGTTGCGCGCTCGCGCAAGCGAGACCGGAGCGCGTCGTTCGGAGTCAGGGACTTGGTCGCCAGCGGCTCGTTCGTGAGGGGACTCGTGTCGTGCGTCTCGAGGAAGGACTCGATCGACGCCCGGTCGTACACGTGGCCGTCGGCCGCAAAGACCGGGTCGGTCATCGCTTCCATCGTGAGGGGGCACAGAAACTCTGGCGGCGAGCCGTCCTGGGCCGACCTGTGTGGAAATCAACCAGTGAGTTAGGTTCTGAGAAATATTGCATGGACCTTCGTGAGCCTCCATGCCATCGAGCCGATGCGCCCACGGGGACAACGCCGCGTCGATGGCGTGGAATCGCCACGCCATCGCGCAGACGCAGCTACTGAAAGCATGTCGCGTCGATGGCGTGCAGCGCCCAAAATTTGATTTCCACACACAGGGGCCGAGAAGCGCGGCTCGAGCTTCGACGCGTCCCCTTCGTAGAAGAACTCCAGGGCGTCGGCGTCGCGGGCCGCCTCGGCGCTCGACCACCGCGGGGCCGGCTTGTCGGCGACGGGCTTGACCGCCGCGGGCGCCGGCGCGGGGACGGGCGCCGGCCGTGGTGCCGCGCCGACCGCCGCGCGCGGCAGGATCGTCACGTTTCCCGCCTTGTGCGCGCTACGGCCCTCATTCGGCACGAGGTCGTACTCGAGGCGGTCGCCGGCCGCGATCGTGTCGTTCAGCCGCGTCGAGCAGAAGACGTCGGGCCCGCCGGCGTCGGGCACCACGAAACAATAGCCCGGCTTGACGACCTTGACGGTGCCGCGGCGGCGCCCCGTCGGGGGCTTTGGCTCGGTGGGTTCGCGCGCCGCCCGCGAACGCCGGCGCGCGGGCTGCGCCGGCTGCCACGGCTCCTCGACCGGCGCCGGCGCCGGCGCGTAGGTCGGAGAGACGACGCGAGGAAAAAAAAACAAGACACTCGCCGGGGCTAGCGGCCTGTAAGACACTAGCAAACGAATACACACACTCCCCTTTTATTACAACGCCGTCCTAGAACGGCATGTGCACCACCGCCGCCGCCGCGCCAGCGTTCTGATTCGCCCTATAATTCGCCGCGACGTCAGCAGGCGTCCGTTGATAGGGTCGCTGCAGACCGGTTCGGTTCAGCGTGACCCCGAAGCCTGGTCTATCTGGAAGGTCGATGCGGCCGTTCGCCGGAAGAGGCTCGTCCGGGAACAGCCCCCCGAAGTAGGGCACGATCGCATCACCCCGCGGCGACAGGTTGATGAACTCGGCCACCGGACAGTTCGGGAAAGCGTACTGGAGGTGGTACGCGTAGACGGAAGACCCGTGCGGGACGACGAGGACGTCGTCCGCCGCGGCCATCGCGACGACGCGCCGCGCCTCCGTGAGGCCGCCGCACCACGTCACGTCCGGCTGCAAAATATCCACGCTTCGATCGCGTAGAAGCCGTCGAAACCCGTAGCGCGTGTACTCGTGCTCGGCCGTCGAGAGCAGCACGCCCGGCAGCGCCGCCTTGACGTCCTTATAGCCTTCGTAGTCGTCGGGCGGCAGGAACTCCTCGAGCCACTTCAGCCCGTAGGGCTCGAGGGCCCTTCCCAGTTTGATGGCGTAGGGCTTCGTCAGGGCCATATAACAATCGAGCGCCAGCGGGTAGTCCGGGCCGACCTTCTCGCGCCACTGCCGGAAGAACGCCACGTTCTTCGCAAACCCCGCATCGCCGGCGGACGGCCCGTAGGGACAGGGAATTTTCGCGCCCACGAATCCGAGCTGCTTGGCCAGGTCCGGCCGCGCCGTCGTGCAGTAGACGGGCAGCGTCGCCTTCGTCCGGCCGCCCAGCAGCGCGTAGACGGGCTCTTTCCTCAATTTTCCCACCAAGTCCCAGAGCGCGAGGTCCACGGCCGACAGGCACTGCACGGCGAGGCCTTTGCGGCCGTAGTTGAGCGTGGCCCGGAACATCTGGTCCCAGATCGACTCGACGTCGCGCGGGTCCCTTCCTTCCACAAAGCGCGCCAGGTGTCTCTCTACAATCTGCGCGCCGGCGGCGCCGCCGATCGTAACCCCTACACCCATCGTCCCGTCGTCGGCCTCGACCTCCACCACCAGACCGCCTAGAGCGTTGATGCCCCAGGACTTGCGCGCGCCGGCGTACTGCGCGTAGCCGCTCATGGGGTTCGCTATTGGGGTGTTACCCGTCGACGGATCGGTGCCGTTGATCCAGTGCTCGTCGGCGACGTCATGACAGTCGGCGCCCTGGTCTCCGTCTCCCTCTTTTACATAAGCTCTTACCTCTTTGACGAGCGGGAAGACCTTGCAGCCCCGGTGAGCCATTATTGCTGGTGTCGCTGCGATGGCGTTTGACCACTCCTAGCACCTGCTGATTGTGTACCCGCTCGTTTTGTGTGGCTCTGCCTGAGCTAGCGGTCTGTAAGACACTAGGAATGCAGAGTCCAGCCGGACGGGTGGGCCCGGGGGGAGCGGGAGGGGTACGGGGGACCCTGCGACGTAACTAGCCTGAGCCTGCAACGCTCGTCGCTGACTAGTCCTAGCACCGTAACAATATATCACTCGTCGCCGAGTTATCTGGCTTTAGCCTCAGCTTAAACTCTGGGCCAGAAGTGCAACACCCGCGCGGCAGGCCTAGCTCTAAGCAAAGCAAGATAAAGAAAACACCTTATCCCGCGCCGCCACCACCGGTCACGCTCGCCTCCAGCGCCGCCGCGCGCCGCTCGCGCTTGATGCGGAGCGCCTCCCGCGCGACGGCGCGCCGCGCGTGGCCGTCCTGGGGACCTGTCCGCTTCGCCAGAAACGTGTCCAGCGTCGGCAGCCAGTCGTAGCTGAAACATAAAGCGATGGGGTCGAAGCCGTCGGCGGGCTCGCGCAGCGACTTCTCGTGCAGGCGGGCTCTTGCCGCTTTCGCGGCCATCAGGGCATGATTTTTGGACATCTCGTGGGGCTTCGGGTGGGCGTGCTCCTCGCTGAAGTCGCGGCGCCACTGGCGGAGGGCGTTCTCGAGTTCTTTCGCGTCGATCTCGCCGGAATTGTCATCATCCAAGTACTCGATCAGCGCCCGCGCTTCGATGCGATTCAGCTTCAACCCCGCCTTCGCGAGCGCGCCCCGCATCTCCTCGGCGCTCAGCAACCCGTCCCCGGACGTGTCGAAGCCCGACGCGCTGAACAGGTCGATGATTCTGAGGTCCTTTTGTTTGAGAATCGCGTCGATGCGACCCAACACTCGAGGCGCGCCGGCGGCCTCGGCCTTGGCCTTCCGCGCTTCTCTCGCAAGTCGATCGGCTTCCTCCTTCCGCTGGCGCTCGCGCTCCTGGCGCTCCCGCTTTTCAGCGAGCTTTTTCAGCGCCCGCTCTCGGGCAGAAGGCCCCGCGAGCGCATCTAAGGCCACCCCGAGCTCCCTAATATCGAGCTTGCCGCTGCGGTCGGCGTCGATCTCGTGGAACAATCTAACCACAGTTTGTGCTTTTTTCTTCATCGACGCTTCGAACTTGTTCATCAGGACGAAGGAGTCGTCACAAAAACTCTGTTGCGGGGGCGGCGCTTTGGCCAGGTCCAAGCCTGCTTGGAGTTCCGTCGCGGAGACGTCGCCGTCGGCGTTCGGGTCTAAGAAGCGAATCAAGTCGGTGATGTCCTGGCCCGAGAACGTTATTTTCCCTTTGAGGTTTTGCGTCGTGGCGTCGGACACGCCGAAGGAGTCATCTAGAACAGCGGACTGTTCTAAAGCTATCAACGCGGCGGCGTCATCTTTGATACGGTCGCGCATCTCCCTTCTGTGTTGGGCGATGACCGCGCGCGACGTCGAGTCCAACCCAAGATCCGCACTTCCAGCCGCACCGAGCGCGCCCGACGAGACCATCTGCTTGTCCTCGTCGACGTACTTCTTGATACCTCTTTCCAACTCGACCGGTGTGAGTTTCCCATCCTTCGAACCAGCATCGACGCACTTCACGAAGGACACGCAGTCGTGGCCCCTTCTTCTTAACAAAACAGCTAGGCGTCGGCCGAGAGCTCTGCCGCGCTCCCGCAGCCGAACCGCCGCCCGTTCCCTCCTCATTCGTCGAAAAGCCGCCTCGAGCTCCGGCAAGGAGATCTCGCCGTCGCCGTCGCCAAAGGTCTGGTCAATGAACTCGCAGCACTTCTTTATCTGGGCTATCTGTATACCAGTACTGGTAGAAAAGGCCGTCGACTGGCTCTCGACGTCCTCCGTGCTCCGCTTGACCGGTAAAGCTTTGCGCTTCTTGCGCTTCGCGCAGGCCCAGTTCTGGCGCCGGACGGCCTCGACGAGGGCGTCGTACCTCAAATCCTTTCGGCCGATGTTCGCGTCGACGTCTGGGACGCTGGGGGCCGGTCCCAAATCGGGCGCGTGCATGAGGCGCCGCGGCGGTGATGCGCTGTCGCGGGCGAGGGGGGGGAGCTCGTCGTCCATCTTGTGTGCGCGGGGCAGCCTCGCCGGCACCGCTGCGGCACCGCTGCCTTTGGTAGTGGCCGCCTGCCTAGCGCGGCTCCTGGCAGCTTCTTCGTGCGCCGGGCGCGTCCTGGCGTCTCCGGAGAGTCGTGGAGGTTTGCCTCTTGCTGCCCCGGCGCCCTGGCCACAGCGCTGCTTCGTATTTGCGAGGGCGCCGCTCTCGGCGCTGCCCTTATCCGTTGAGGGGGAAATGGCGGCAGGCCGTGAGGCCGTGAGCTTGCGGGTCGCGGCGACGGCGTACCGGTGGGTATGGTGTACTCGCAAAGAACCTTCCCGCCGACGGGGACCTCGGCATCGGCCGGGCCGCCGTGGCGGCGCGTCGTCAGCACCGCGAACCAAGCAATGACTCTGGAGCCGGCGCAAGGAGCCTGGCCGCGTGCGCGAACCCCCGATCGCCACGCCGTCGACGCGAAGAATAACCTACGATTCTTAGTACTTCATGTCGTAGCGCAGGTCCGCGCGGTGCTTCCCGCCCCCCGAACCAGGCGCCGGCGTAGTCTTCCGCAAATCCTCGTCGGCGAACTGCAAGGACAGCGTAAACTTCTTCCCCACCACGTCCCAGTTCGTGAAGAAGCGGTCCTCGCCCTTGTCGACGGCGTCATTTGGCACTTTAAAACCGATCGTTTCATACGGCTCGCAGGCGAAGAGTAGATACTGGTAGTTCTTGTCCGGCGGCTCGACGCGCTGCTCGTACGCGGACATGAAGCGGTGGCGCGGCTGCACCGTCGCATCCGCTTCCGGATAGTCGACCTCAAAGAGCAACGCGCGCTGGCCACTCGACGCATCCCGCGACTTCGTGACCTTGTAGCCCGGCCGCCCGATCTTGATGGCGTGTCTCTTCTCAACGTACTTGGCCGGGGTTGGTAAGATAGGCGCGTCGCGCGCGTCTTTAAATGCTCTTCTCGCCAAGTTTTGCTGGTGGCGTTTCCCTTGCGTATGCGCCAAGTAATTCCCCTCCGTGTTGTGCAAGGTCAAGCACAATTTACATTCGTAACTCCCGAGGTGGTTCTTCATAAAGTACGGGTCTTTATTCAAATCCACCGTTTCTAGCGCTAATTTCCTCAATCTCTCTCGTCTATCCAAGTTCGCCTGCTCGGAAGACTGCAAGCCGCCGCCGCCATGCTTACTATTGACGCGATCTTGGTCGAACATCGTGGCTTGTGCTCTCGCGGGTTAGGCAGTTGCGCGCTGCGTCGGCGCGCTGGCCGGCGTCTTGTCGCGGCGCTGGTGAGTGCGTCCGTGCGGTGGCGCGTGCGCCGGGCGCGGCGATGCGAGGGGCTGGCTGGCCTGTCAGCTGGCTAGGGCAGCGGCGCGTCTCGGAGCTACGGGCTCGACGCGTAACGTGTCAAGAGATGTGTGGAGCCTATCAGAGCTGTTCGCTAGTGATCTATAGGCGAGCGGGCTGCAAAAAGCTGATTATTGACTGCTTGCTAGTGCCTTACAGCCGCTAGCTAAAAGTCGTTTTGCGGGCGCGCTGTGGGCAGCCTGTCACCTAAGAAGCAGCTCCGTCCGAAGCTCAGAGCGCATAATTCGCGCACAATTCGTACGCGGGGCAGCCCCGGACGCCGGAGACGCGCGTCACAATTCACAACGCCTACGAAATGGAGCTACCCCAGGTCCTCGAACCGTATATTAAACAAGGCGTCCACAGTTGGACGGGCGAAGCACTCGCCGAGCTCGGCTACGACAATTTCGAAGCGTTCCAGGCGTTCAGTCAAATCCTAGACACGTTGGGTGCGGAGAGCGGCGACGCGCAAAATCTCAAGGGCCCCCTGACGAGCGTAAAGATCCTCAGGCAAGAACGGAGCCTCGGAGAGCAAAGAAGGTGTTACGTTCTAAGGGAACGATCAAAAGTGCTTGGGTTGCTGACCGTGGGCCGGAAGCATTTGTACTACTGGCACCGCGGGGGGGGCACAAAACAACTAGACCCGCTGTGTGTGCTGGATTTTTATGTGAGTGACCGGGCGCAGCGGTCCGGCCATGGCTTTACCTTATTCGACGCGATGCTCGCGGCCGAAGGGAGGGAAGCGAGGTCGCTCGCGTACGACCGCCCGTCGCCCAAGATGCTGCCCTTCCTGCGCAAACATTATGGTTTACAAGACTACAACGAGCAGCCGAACAACTTCGTGGTTTTTGATGACTACTTTGAGAATGGCGCGCCTTGTAGGCGCACGGAGGTCAAGTCTCCGTCAAAATCGGACGTGATTCAGGCGGACGCGGGGCGGGTCGTGGACATCTTCTAGGTCTCTTGGCGTATCTTTGTAGTTCTTACTCTTCGTAACGACAGCACATGTGTCACACCTTGTACGCATGAGCGTAGTAGATCGCGTCGTGGTCGGCGTCGCGGACGTTGAGGTACTCCCTCTGGTTGCGGCTGTCGTCCCACGCGATGCGCCGCGGCAAGTCGAGGTGGTCGTGGCCGGCGTCGACGATGCCCCGCCACGCCGCGGCGCGCGACTCGGTGTCAGCCTCGATCAGCCGCCCGTACTGTCGATCTCCCCCTTGGAAATTCTCAGCGGGGGTCAGCACCCTCCAAGCCGTGTCGCGCGGGTACCGGCGACGCAACGCGGCGACCTGTTCCGCGGTGGAATCGGGGTGCAGCGCTGACGCAACCTCCGAGAATTCATTGCCCGAAGGAACGGTCGCGCCGGCCAATTCCTCCCCGGGGAGAAGGTGCACTGGAACATCGTAAATCCCGCTCAGCGCAAACGTCACGCTCATCCCGAAGCGTTGGATCATGAGCTTCTTGGCGGCTTCGAAGGTCGTGGGCTGCGCGAGCTCAACCAAGTTCGCGACGCGCAGGAGCCGCGCGATGCCGGACAGCGCGTCGAAGGGTGTGGCGCGGATCCTGGATTCGTCGACGCTCGCCGGGTCGAGGCCGGGGCAGAGCACGGCGAAGCCGCGGCAGGCATACTTGGTCAAGCGCATCTCATAGGCCGGACTCCGCGGCCACGCGTGAATCGCGTTAACTACATTTCTCCCGGACTGCAGCGCGCGCACGGCTCGCGGCAAAGCCCACACGCGCCAGTTCTTCACGTCGCGCCAGTCACGTTTCAAGGAGAGACCGACGCAGCAGCAATCGACGTCAAAGCACGTCAGCACCTCCGTCAGCGACGCGTACTGCCGCAGCACGACCTGGACGACGAGCTCTGCATCCCCATAGCAGTAATGGGTCCGATGCTTCGTCATATTGATCACGCCGCGGTTGCGTTCGCATTTCCAGAACTCGCCGTCGACGGCAAGCGCGTTCCAGATTCGCTCGGCCAGTATCGAGCATTCCTCAGGACTACTGGCGCACACGAAGACGTCCACGTCACCCACTTGCTTAGAGCTTGCCTTCCAGAACGCCGTGTGCCGCGTCCGTAGCGGCATGTTGCTGAGCCGGGCGACCGCTGGATCTAGCGCGGTCAGCCCCAGCAGAACCGACCCGCCGGCGATGAAGACTTGGCCGCTCTTCATGACCTTGCTCAGTCGAGTCAGCACTTGCGGGTACAAGGCGTCGAAGTTCTCCTTGAATTGATCAATATACTGACACGTCGCCGGTGAGCCCTCGCGGCCGAGCGGCGGCTTGGGCTCCAACGCGTCGTAAAGCAGCGTGCTGCCGGCGTCGACGGCCGGCGGCGCGGCGAACGCGACGCCCCCGGGGTACGTACTGTAGAAGTCCACGAGGCCCTCGTACCGGTCGAGCCGCCCGATCGCCCCGGCGTCGCCCGACGCGAAGACGTCGCGCAGGCGGGCCTCGTCGGCCCGGTCCGCCAGCACGCCGGCCGCGTCGAGGTGCTTCGTCAAATCGAGCACGGGCCCGCACAGCCCTCGGGCGAAGTCGTGCAGCGCGTAGAACTCGAGCTCGAGCAGAAGCTCCGCCTTGGCGTCGTCGTCCGCCGGCGCCGTGACGACGCCACTTCGCAGGTAGTTGAGTACATGTCTAAAATGCGTCGGATCGCGGTCGACGAAGAGGCGCGTCGCGGCGCCGCGGTTCCGCGCGAGCGCGCCGAAGAAGGTCGCCGGGTGGCGCGCGAGCGTCGACTCCGTCGTCTCGAAAATCGTGCCGCCCACGTTCAGTTGGATCGTCGGCGTCGCCGCGGACAGCGTCGCCGTCGCGAAGGTCGCCTCGACCTCTTCGACGGTGGGCGGCGGCGGCGGCGATGGCGCCGGCTGGACGGCGTCGGCCGGCAGCGCCGCGCCGTTACGGTACTGAGTCGGCGTCCCGACGCGCGGCTGCGCCGGGCTGACGATCTCCATGTCCGTCGCGTGAATCGGCTCCTCGCCTTCGTACTTAATCAGGCGGACGAAGCAGCCGGGCGTGAGGACGCGGCCCTCTTGCGGCACCGCCATCGCCAGGACCCAGCGGTCCCCGTCGCTGAGCCACAGCTTCTCGCGTGTGAGGCCTTGGGCATTCGTGATCATGCCGAACTTGACGACCTGGAGCACGGGCCGGTGGCCGCCGGCGACCGTCATCTTCTCGTTGACGATATAATCGACCGCGCCGGGCGTGAGGGACGCCATCGACGCTGCTACAGGCTGATTCGGTTCGAGGCAGCTGACCCTTTGGAGAGCCTGGTGTGCGGTGCGCGGTGGCCCGAGCTCGCGCTGCTGGCTGTTTTAGAATCGATCTATGGGACACCTCTGCAGCGCGCCTGAACGATTCTGGCCTCTAAGCACCCTCGCGCCGCGGACGAGGCGCCTTGGCTTCTTGCTAGCGTGAGTAGAGTTACTAGGGCTGAAAAATGCGACTTGTCCTCTGAGGTCAGACCCTTCTGCTGCAGCATCTCAAAAAAACAAGCCTGGCAAACAACAACAACCTTAGAGAGAGAGCTAGAGCTGGCTCCCCCCCTTGTTCCCGGCGCCGCGCGGGTGCTCCTCGAGCCAGTTCGCCCAGGCCTCGCTCCGCGCGCGCGCGTGGTCGTAGCGCTCCGTGTCCTCCTCGTCGGACTCCTCCTCGAGCTGGTCGCGCCTCCTCATATCTTCTTCTATCGTCGGTTTATGCGCCGCCGCCGCCTTCTCCCGTTCACTCCTCTCTTGCGCGTCGGCGATCTCCAAATCCGCGAACTCCTCGATGGTCATCGTCGGTAAGCGATGCGACGGCCGGAAGACGCCCGAGCGGACCGTCTCGCGCCGCGCGCGCACGGTACCCGCGTCGTCGCGGTCCATGCGCAGCACCCTCAGCCCGCCGTTCTGGCCGCCGGGCCGCGCGCCCAGCAACCAGGCCGCATCCGCGTTCTGCGGCGGCCGCACGCGCTGCGGCGGCGCGTTCGACGCCATCCTTCTGAGCATGTCGAGCTCGCGATCATCACTAGTAATGGCCTCTTCGCAGGTCGCGGCATGACTTCGTAGCTCCGCTATAATAACATCCCTCTCCAGTTCGTCGCGCTCCTCGGGCGTCTGCGCGTCCTTTAACGCTCTCTGCGCTTCTGCGAGCGCCTCTGCACAGCGTTTCTTGGCCTCGTGGCGTTCGATGGCTTTCCGGCGCACGTCCAGCGCCGACGGGGCACGCGCCGCGCCGTCGTCCGTGTCGTCGTCGTCACGTTCCGCGACCTCGGGATCCAACGCCGCCGCGAGCTCCAGGAAGCGCGCCCGGTCCTTCCGGCAGCGCTCCACGAGCGCCAGGCGCCCGGCGGGCCCGTCCGTGCATCGGACGCGCGACCGCGCGCGCGCGCGCAGGTCCGGGATGAGCGCGTACCGCAAATCCGCGGTCGCGACGTCGTCTCCAGTACACCCCGCGGGGAAGAGGTCGAGCGCCGCCGCCGCGGCCCATGCGTCATCCAACAGACTCACACACGTTGACGCGTCGTCGGCGTCGCCGCCGTCCTCCAGTTTGCGCAGGAGCGCCTCGGCCTCGGCGAAGAGGGCTTTGATGGGCTTTGGTGCTGCTGCTGCTAGGGCGGCCATGCTGAGCGATGCTGAGGCGCAGCGATGCAACTACGTGCGCGCCGCGTCGATGGCGTATCTGGACGAGTCTCTCAAGTACCGTTGCAGTGCGTCGCGCGTCGTCGAGAGCGATATTGTGCGCGAGCCGCGCCTAATTGCTAGCGTCCTGTAAGACACTAGCAGTTTTGATCCAGGCCTCCCTGGGACTGCTCCGAAGCTGTCGCACAAGCCAGGGCGATTGCGTGCGGGACTCGGTGGGAGCGCGGCGGGTGATCGACGACGCGCGGTGCCCACTAGTCCTAGCTCCGTAACGCCGGGACACGCCATCGCCGCAGGGTATTAAGAAAGCACGTTATATTAAAGACACACAGGGTAGTCAAGACGAGCTGTCGGCGACCGACGAGCCACCGGAGACAGGCTCGAACAACAGGTCGCCGCGCGCCGCGATCGCGGAGAAGGCCTGCTCGAAGGCCGCCGCGCCGGCCCGCGCGGCCCGGGCGGGATCCGCGCCCGCGAAGGCTGATAGAATAGCCGCCTCGGCGGCGTCGGCCGCGGCTCTTCCCGCGGCGGCGAGCGTCGCGGGCGGTAGCTTCAGGGCCGGCTGCGGCGCGCGCGCCGCCGCGAGCGACGCCACGGCGTCGGCCACGGACGCCTCCGCGCGCGACACCGAGCACTCCGAGTCCGAGTCCGACTCCGCCGGCGACGCGCACAATCCTAGTAAGAGGGAAGCACCTTCCTCGGGCGGCGAGGGCGACCGCTCCTCCCAGGCCTTGTCGTCATAACTTCGGGGCGCCGTCCGCCCAGAACGCCGCGGCGGCGGCAATAGTTTAGGTTCGTCGAGCGACTTTTTCGTCGCGGCCCGGCCCACTTTTTTGGGAGGCCGCGTCTTTTTTTCGGCTCGCCGCGCCGCGGGCGTCCTCTGGCCTCTCTCTTCATTATGTTGCACAATTAAATCCCGCACCTTCTGCTGGTCACTCGGCAATAAGCTCTCGAAGCCTTCGAGGTCCGCGACGGACGTGATGGTCTTTGATTTCTTGCAGGTGCGTCTGAACGAGGCGAAGATGCACTCGATGTGGTACCACTTCGTCTTGCGCGAGTGGCCGTGCCTCACGGAAGGCGCCCGCTTGCCGATGCGCGGTTCTCCTGGCGCTAAATACGCTCGACACAAAATAGACTGGCACTTGCTCCGTCCGTCTTCGGCCAAGCCAGCAACGTACCTGTTCTCGCCGATATGGCCCGCGAGTTTGCCTCCGACTCTACCTAAGCTTTGCTGCGAGGCCTCGATGCCAAGCTGAGCACATAAGTTCGTCTTCTTCGAGTCGTGGCGCTTCGCCGGGCAGGCGTGCGCCTCGAGCAGCCCCTCGAGGGACGGGTCGCGCAACTCGGACGCGGGGCGCTTTTTTTGTTCCGGCAAAGCGCTGCTCGGCGGCTGCTCGGCGGGGTGCGGGCTCATCGGCGCTTGGTCCGTGGTCGGCGGCGTCACGGCCGGCGCAGGCGCGGGCGGGTCGCGCGGTCGCTCGGTCAAGCCCGCCTGCTGCCACGCGACCGGCAGTGACGATTGCTGCGTCGCCGATGTGCTGATCGGCGCCGCGGCCTCCTCGTCGGCGGGCGCCGCGCGGCTCTGCGGCGCCGGCGCCTCAGTGTATGCCGTGTCCAGTGCCGCGGGTGGCGTCGAACGAGACGCGGCGGCCGCGGCGGCCGCATACGGAGTCACTGAGGCCGGCTGCGCTGCGAGCGGGGCCGGGAGCACTGGCGCTGTCGCCGTCGCAGGTTCCTGGGGCGTCTGCATCGGCGTCGCGGCGGGAAGCTACAAAAAGCAATCAGCTGGCTACTTCGCGCTCTCTCCGGCGCCGTCGCGGATCGGCCCAGGAACGTGGCCAGCGCTTTGATGTTGCCTTAGGGCAAATTCAAGCACGCTGGGGCGACCGTACGGGGCGAAGCGGCGTCGCTCCTATTTAGGGGCCTGCTCTTTGTATGCCTCTTTGTCAGAGGTGCCTGGGGGTCGAGAAAAAGTCCGCAGGACGCGGATCACTCGCGCATTGCCGTTCAGAGAGCTCTGGGGTACCTCTATCCGCCGGGCGCGCGCAAAAAAATGAAAACGAACGCCGCGCGACGAGGCGCGTCGATTGATAGTGCTGGCCAACTCCACGGTACATTGCCAGCGCACCACGCGGCGGGCTTTTGGTTTAACTGTTTTATCGCGCGTGTTGAAGGGTGATGAAAGTGGCGCGTGATGGTTTTATAGGGTGCGGGATAGGGGGCTATTTCGCCCTGGCCCATCGCGCCCGCGCGGGCCGCGGCGTAGGACTGTTGGGAGGGCACGTTCAGCGCCAGGTAGTAGGTCAGCGTGTGGCACGAGAGCACGCCGCAGTGGTAGATGAGGCCGACGCGGTTCCGGCTGTAGACCTCCGTCGTGTCCAGGCCGCGGGACGTCGAATACACGAAGACGTAGATGATGAGGAACGGCCCGTACGTGCAAAGCGCGGCGGGCGCGAGGACGTTGGCGACGTGCAGGAGTCGGAAGCGCGTCGCGCGGCGCACATTGAGGTCGAAGAAAAAGAAGTGCACGACGGCCGCGTCGCTCCTCGGGGAGTCGCGCTGGCGGTCGCGGAGCAGGAGATATACCCGCGTCGCGACGATGGCCCAGGCCCAGCCCCAGCACAAATAGAAGAGGCCTTCCGCGTGCATGACGAGCGTGTCGCACGCAGGCGGTCCGCTCCCGTCGCAGGACGCGCTCCCGGGCGCCGCGACGGCCAGCGCGCAGGCGACGCAGCCGCCGGCGATCACGAGGCTGACGAGCGTCGTGAGGCCGCAGCAGACCAGCATGGGCACGCGCGTCGAGTGCCACGCGAGCTCGGTGTCGCACCACAGGCACCAGGACACGCACGACGCGCACTGCGACGCGTAGGCCAGCAGCCAGACCGCGTAGAAAGAGCGCAGGCCGCAGAGGTCCGTGGAGGCGCGGTACCTGCGTGTTGGAGGTCTCCCGCGGAGACGGGATGTTTTCGGCGCCGCCGCGAGGACGGAAAGGCGTGGTGCCCGAGGGCTCCGAACAAGTAGCCGCATGCCATGAAGGCCTGCGTCCGGACCGCCCACGGCGCGGCGCCGCGCTTTCGCAGGCTCGCGGCGAACACAAACAGGGACGCCATGAGCGCGTAGTCCGTCACCCATCCCGACGGCTCCGAGTCGACGCCGTGGCCCATGGCTCCGCGCGCCGTCGGGCAGCGGTCGCGCCGACGCCTCTAGATGATGCCAGTCGCGGGTCGAGCGGTGGCGCTACCGCCGCGCAGCGTGCGCGCGCGAGGATTTCTTCGATTTGGCTGAGTGGCAGCGCGCAAATTGCTCCAGAGCAGGCAAAAGGGCAGCCTTCCTGGTATCCTGGGCCCCTGCCCAGCAAAATCTAGTGTGTTGCAACAAGCCACCGCACATACCGCACGCGCGCTCAGCGAGGCATCGCATCTCAACAGCGCGCAAACGCGCCGAGGCCTGCCCTCAAAAACAGCAGGCCAAAAAGCACCAACTTTAAAGTCCGCGAAAGGGCCCAAGGGCAGCCCAAAACGCAGGACGTCGCGAGGATGAGTGCGTCGCGCAACGAGAAGTACGCGCTCAAGCACGCCTCGCCGTCGCGCGTCGAAAGCGTCAGGCGGGCGCTCGACGAAGCCGAAGATAAAGCGGGCGTGAGGCTGCGGCAGGCCACGGAGACGCTGACGATCGCGGCCTCGGCGCTCCTGGGCCTCGTGTGGGTCTCCATCGTGGCGCTCTTTGGGCTCAAGCTCAAGACCGCGTACGACATAGAAACGTTCTGGGTCGCGGTGCCGCTCGTCTGCGTCGCCGTCGCGGTCTGGTTTGCCCTCGTCTTCGTCGACGTCTTCGGCCCCGCCTGGCTGGACGCGAGCGCGGCGCGCGGCGTGGCGCCCGAAGACGACTCCGACGCGCGGCGCGCGTGGCGCGCGGAGGCGCCGACGCCCGCGCGCCTCGTGGAGGCCATCGCGTTCGCGGAGCTGCCCTACTGGGCGCCCTGGTTCGACGGCCCTACTGAGTGCCCTGGTTCGTGGAGGCGCGACGTCGCGGCGCTGCGCCGTCGGGCGGCCCAGGAAGACGCCTCCGAGCTCGGGCCAGAAACAAGGAACTACCGGTCGCTGGGCGAGCGCGTCCTGATGCTTCCGACGGGCGAGTCCGTCCGCGACGTCCTGCGGAGGTGCTTCCTCGGCGGCCTCCTCGGGCCCGACGCGGAGCTGCTGCTGCACCTGGAGGGCGCGCGCGCCGGCCTCTTTGCGTCTCGGGAGACGCGGACCTTGGTCGCGTTCTTCCGCGGCACCAAAGACGGCGTCGACGCGATGGACGACCTCGCGGCAATCCGGCTCGGGCCGGCGCCCGGCGGGGCGGGCGCCGGCGCCGTCGGCCGAGGCTTCGCGGCCAGGGCCACGCGCGACGGCGCGCTGGCCCGCATCGTCGCGGCGGCGAGGAACTTCGTCGAGGCGCACGGCGAGGCGGACGTCTACGCGATCGGCCACTCGCTCGGCGCGGCGGTCGCGAGCGTCGTCGCCGCTGCGCTCGCGGCCGAGCTGCCGGCGGCGCGCGTGACTAACGCGACGTTCGGGAGCCCGCGCGTCGGCGACCTCGCGTTCGCGCGACACTGCGCGTCGCTTGCGAACCTCCGCGTCTGGCGCGTGCAGAACGAGCTGGACCCCGTGACGAGGCTCGCGTGGTGGTTCCCGCGACCCGCGCGCTACCGGCACCTCGCGGGCCACTACGTGCTTCTGGAGCGGGGCCTCGGCTGGTGCTTCCCGCCTGGCGCGCTCGCGCCCTTCGTCGCCGCGAAGACCACCGGCTTGCTTAACTGGCCGGGCATCGTCATCCAGCTCGTCGGCCGGTGGCGCGTCGACGGCCGCTTCCACATGACGGGCCACCGCCACGGCTACACGGCCGCGCTGCGCCGCTGCGTCGGCTGGTGCGACGAGACGGACTGGTCCTGGAACGGCTTCGACTACTGGTGCAACATCTGTGCCCTCTGCGTCGTGGCCAACGCCGTCATCTTCCTGCTCGTCGGCGGCGTGTACGCCTACTCCGGGCCGGGCTGGGACGACGCGTGCGTGCGGGGCCGCCGGGCGCGGCACGTCGTCGAAATCCTCGGGACCATCAACTGCCTCTGCTTGGCGTTCATGCTCGTCTCGCTGGGCATGGCCAAGCTGGTGAGCCGCGACCACGTCGTCCGCGCGGGCCTCACGACGGGCCGCGTGCTCGCGCCCGCGCCGACGCCCGCGCCCAACACGGCGTCGCCGCGCCTCGTCGAAGGCGCCGCGGCGTCGGAGGAGTCCGACGAAGCAGCAAACTGCTTATTGAGTTAGGCCCTCAATAACATCGCTGCCTGGTTTCCCCCCCCATCTGTGCCGCTTTTGTGCTGGCCAACTCTACAGATAACAAGAAAACAACTTAACTCACAAGCGCGAGCCGCCCACGCATATAATCGACGTCGAAGAAGCTCTCGCTCGGCGCCATCGCCGCCGCGTCCGCGACGACGTCGACGACGAGCGGCGGCTTGCACAGCGCAAAGAGCCCGTCGGTCGACGACGCGTTGACGAAGCACGTGCGCCCCTTTACGATCGTCCCGAAGCAGTTGTGCTGGTGGCCGAAGATGTGGTAGCGCGGTTTTGTGTCGCGGACGAGCTCCGCCAAAGCGTCCGAGCCGGCACCTTTGTCCAGTATGCCGGCCGGCGGGCCGTGGCTCACGAAGACGTCGAGCCCGTCCTTTGCGAAGGCCGGCAGCGTCGCACGGAGTTCCTCGAGCACGTCGTCGCCCTGGAACGCCCTATTTGGCGACCGCGCGCTGTTGGCGTTCGAGTAGGGCGACACGAAGATGCGTATGCCTTCAACCTTGACGCCCTCGTTCACCGCAAAATGCACACCAGTGCCGAGCAGCTCGGCGACGCGTTCGCGCGACAGCCGTTCCAGCGTCGCGTCGTGGTTGCCGCCCGTCACGACCTTGACGGCGTGGGGCTGCGACGCGAGCCAGCGCCCCAGCGCCCGGACGGCGTCCTCGTCGCCGCCGCGGCGCAGGCCGTCGCCGCAGTGTATTAATACGTCGCCGTCCGGCACTTGTCGCAGGTCGCCGTGCAAGTTATGCGTGTCGCTGATCGCCACGATGCGCACGCCACGTCTCGGCGGCAGCGCGTCCCGTGGCGTCGCCGTCGCGCGGCCGTCGGCAGCCACGTGCACGCACGACGTCGTGACGAGCGATCGCAACCACGGCCTGAGAGCTTGCCGGCGGCCGAAACTGTGCGGATGCCAGCACAGCGCGTTGTAGGCTCTTCGCCCCAGCGAGTGAGCTTTGATCGTGCTCAAGATCGCTCGTTCGAGGCGTTGCGGTAGCAGTGACAGTAAGCTTGGCATGATCGGCAGAGTTGTGAGTGTGATTGCTGCGGCTGTAGCTGACGTCCGCCCGGGAGAGCATGCTCTCCGGCAGGCACTCAAGCTTGTGCGGGCGAACCGCAGCATTGCTCGCTGGGCCGACGACGAGGCGTCGCGGCGATGGCGTCAGCGTCTGTCCCGTTCGCTCAGCCACGCGGCTGCTCGATTAAGCTCGATCAGCTCGATGCTGGCCGAGCTAGCGGGCCTGTAAGTCACTAGCAAACACCAGATCTCGATCGGTCCTCTTGATTCTTCCAAAGCAGCCTCTTTGCGCGTTGTAGACGCCTGAAGAACGCTCCCGCCGAGCGGCACAAGGCTGCAGACTAGACTGCACGGCGAGGCCAATAGCACCGCAGAACGCAAGGACACAACGTCAGCGCAGTGAAGCCACCGATATAGTGCTGCAACGTAGCGATCAAATTTGCAATCGCTGCCTGCGCCACAACGCCACAAATTGCAAGAGAGCAGCAGAGCACAGCAGCAAGAAGCGCGACGCACAAGAAAGATGGGCAAGCGCAAGAAGACCCCTTCGAAAAGCAGCCAGCCGTCGTCCATCAAGAGCCAAGCCATGACTGATGCGAATGCATTAAAACTGACGCGCTGCCATACTGAGGAATACGACTCGCAGCTCCAACAAAAGGTCGACGCCGTCAAAGCATTGATACCGCAAGCAAAAGATGCGGCCTGGGAGGTCCACGCCTCGCCGAAGACGGCGTTTCGATTGAGGTGCAACTTTCAGGTCTGGCACGAGGCCGAGGGCGAGAAATTACATTATGTCATGTATGATGGAGATAATGAGAAGCGGACGCCGTTGCGGGTCGTCGACTTTCCGAGGGGCTGTGCGGAGACGCAGCGGCTGATGCCTTTAGTGTTAGATGCTCTGCGCGGGGATGACGTGTTGCGAGATAAATGTCACGAGGTGCGGTTCCACACGACGCTGCGAGGGTCTTCTGTTGTGGTACTAGTGTACAACAGACCCATTGATAACGATAAGAATTGGAAGACGAAGGCCGAGAAATTAGCTAAAGAATTGAAAGTAGTGTTGGTCGGAAGGTCGAGCAAGTTCCGGATTACGCTGAACGGCGACGCGCCTCGGGTACGAGAGAAATTACGTATAGCCGGGAAGGATGTGAACTTGTACCAGCTCGAGGGCGAGTTCTCGCAGCCGAACGGAAGGGTTTGTGAAAAAATGGTCACGTGGGCGGCGCGAGGCGGCGTCCGTGCGTCATCGCCACATAACGCCGTCGACGCGCAGGTCGAGCGCACGCAAAGCTCCAAGAACGACCTCCTCGAGTTGTATTGTGGCAACGGCAACTTCACCATACCTATGTCGAGAAATTTTCGCAAAGTCCTCGCGACGGAAGTGAGCAAGGCGAACACGGAGTGCGCCAGGGAGAACCTCACTGCTAATCAAGTAAAAAATGTCCAGTTCGCGCGGTTAAATGCCAAGGAGACCGCGGACGCGCTCCAGCCCGATGCGAGGCCGTTCAAGCGCCTCACGGAAGCTGCGGTTGATTTGTCTTCATTAAAACTCGAGACGCTGTTCGTCGATCCCCCGCGCGCGGGCCTGGAGCCGGCGGCCATTGGGTTGGCCCGTAGTTTCGACACGGTCGTCTACGTGTCATGTAATCCCGAGACTTTGGCGGACGATGTCGAGCAGTTGAGCCATACTCATGATATAACGCATGCGGCGGTCTTCGACCAGTTCCCCTACACGCGACACTGCGAGGCTGGTGTTTTGTTGAAGAAACGGTCGGGCGTCGATCTGTCGACGGTGCCGGAGCCGCGCGCGCGGGAGAAGAAAAAATCCAAACGCTACGCGGGCAAGCGCAAGGGCAAAGGGAAGGGTGGTGGGCAGGCGAAGAAGGGAAAGGTGGAGGAGGCAGCGAGCGGCGGGGACTCGGGGTGCGCCGTGAGCTAAGTTTCGTGCTAGGTTCTTTTTGTCCTGCGCGGCGATGGCCTCTAGGGGGGCGGGTTTTTGACTTTGTGGGCACGTTCGGAGAGGCGTTGCGAGTGCTGTCCCTCCTGAGCCTCACAGCGCGGCGCATTTTCAATTTTTGCGCCTCACCCGTGGCTCTTTGCCCTTGTCCGCAAAACTAGGACGCACAGAGAGGCTGCACAGGTTAATCTGTACGCGTCCGCGCCTACGAAAAAAACCCGGGCCTCGATCTTGCAATTACAATTGGGCTGTGTACGACGTCCACCGTCCCTCCCTGTGCAAGTCTACCTTCGCCAGCACTTCATCTGACCATACAGCAGTCGCACGCAAAATTCTAACGGAAGAGATTGCGTTCCGGCGCCGCACAAGGCGAGAGTCTGCAGCAGCTGGCCGGAGCGCCGCGCGGCCGTGCCGCGCGGGCCTCCGAGCGCGCGCCTGGAGCGAGCCATGTGGACGTGAGCTCAGCAGCCCAGCTGCTAGGCAGCGACGCGTGGGCTCGGCTCCACGCGCGGACGCGCTCTGCCGACTCGGACGGGCGGCGCTCTGCTCTCGGCTAGCGCTGCACGCTGGCTGTTTCGCGACGAGAGGACTACGAGACGAGACGGGACGCTAATAGCACCGCGCAAACGCACCTCCCGCGCAGGTTGTAAGATGGTGCGCAGATTAGCTCTGCTCGCCGTCGGCGCCTCGGCGCTCGTCGCGCCCGTCGCGCCGGGCGCGCGGCGGACGGCGCTGAAGGCGGCCGACGCGCAGCTCGACGGCATGATCGGCACGTCGATCGAGTGCGGCGACCAGGTCTGGGACCCGCTCGAGCTCTCGCAGTGGCGCGACGCCGGCGAGATGCGCGCCTGCGAGCTCGCGAACGGCCGCGCGGCCATGCTCGGCTGGGTGGGGTGGCTCTGGCCCCAGGTCTTCGGCCTCTGGAAGGGCGGCCCGGTGACGACGACGGACCCCATCGACGCCATCATGCAGGTGCCGACGGTCGCGTGGGCGCAGTTCATCGTCTTCTGCGGCGCGATCGAGGCGAACAAATACAACTGGGCCAAGGGCGAGGGCCCGATGACGGACCCGTCCAAGCCCTTCTTCGACCCCCTCGGCCTCTACCCCACGGACGCGGCGGGCCAGGAGAAGATGCAGCTCCGCGAGCTGAAGAACGCGCGCGTCGCGATGATCGGCTTCGCGGGCCTCTTCGTCAACCACTTCATGCCCGGCGCCGTGCCGGGCCTCGGCGGCTTCCACTGAGGAGCGTGTTTAGTCTAGGCGCGTAAGGGCGGGTGCGCAGTATTCTTCGTCGAGACGATAGACTCGAACATTACAACGTAGGGGCGCGTTACGCAGCACCTACCGGGGCGCCGGCGGCGGCTTGGCGGGCTTGCACGGTGCGCAGATCGGTGCCGGCCGCGGCACGCCGGAAACCAGCCCCGGCGCCGGCACCTTCTGGCACCACTGCTCGATGAGCGCCTTCTCCTCGGCCTCCGTGACACGCGCGAGCTTCGGGCAGACTCGTACCGGTTCCGAGTCGAAGGCCGCGCCGGGGAGCCGCATCTGCAGCCACTCGAGCTCGACGCGGTCGCCTATTGTAAGCGAGGCGACGACGGAGGAAATGGCCCCCTCCGCGCTCTCGCTCAGCAGGGCCGTGTGCGCGTCGGCCTCCGCGAGCGGCAGGGACAGGTCGTGCCGCGGCTCCTCGGCTTTGCTGGCGTCGGCCTTGGCGTAGCGCAAATACGTCGCCACGCCGAACGTGGCCACGCCGTCTTCCGTGCCCTGGTAGACGGCGATGGTCTTGTGCGCGCTGTAGATCTGCGCGCTTTCTATGGGCACGGCCGTCGGGCCGGCCGCCGCGGCTGCCTTGGGCTTGGGCGCCTGCTTGCTCGGCTTTTTGGACTTCTTGCCCATCGGTCACTGCTTACGCGCTGCTCACGCGCTGCTTGCGCGATGCGACAGCGGATGGCGGAGGGCTGTAGGCTCTCTGAGGCTATGAGGCTCTCCGAGTCTGCGGAGCCTACAACGCTTGCGGCGAGCCACGAGAGCTGGACTGCGCAATGTCTGAGATGAAGATCGATCGCCACGCGTGCGGATATCGGCTAAGCAGCGCGCGTGGAGCCAAGCAGCACATGCCGCATGACTCCAGGGGGTACGGGTTTTGTGGGGACCGCAGGACCAGTCGACGCCTCAGCGCACCCCTGCCACCCCGCCGGACGGCTGGAGACAGGTCAGCGGCACCCCTCCCACCCCTCTGCCGAGGCATTTGCAGCGCACTCTCAAAAGGCATACGAGCTTGTCGAGCTTGTAGGGCTGTACCGCAGCGCAGACAACGCAAGAGGGCAGCCACGCCCACAACACGACCATGGACGTCTCCCACGGCCGCTCCGCGCGCATGTCTTTTGATACCGCGCGCGAGATGGCCAAGACCCTGACACCAGCCCAGGAGATCGCGCACATCGAGAACGAACTCCGGGCCCTGGGCTACACGAAGACGCACGAGGCCCGTCAAACAAAAGTGACGATGAAAAACCCCCAGTACAACCCCTCGACCAAAACGCTCGAGGAATTAAGACTGCAGCGGCGGACGGCCACGGGCGTGCTGCCCAAGTCCATGGAGGAAACGATGATAGAGAAGGAGGTCCAGGAAGATGGCAAAGTATATAGGAACGCGAGGGCTTGTACCGGTGGAGATCTAAAAATGAGGTATCCCGGGCCTCATGATCGGCCGAAGAAGGATGATATAATACCACACTACGAGACACCTACCAAAACTAAACATGTGAAGGGCTCTGGTAGAAGAGCTTCAGGGAATAACGACGACGCGGAGTACTGGAGTGATGACGGCGGGAGCTGGCAGCGGTCGAACAAAGATAGTCCTGGGGCGCGGCGCGTCGGCAGGTCTCAAGGAAGCCCCGAGTCCATCTCGAAATCGTCCCTCAAAAAGTTCCAGTGGCGCCGGAAACGTCGAGAGTGGTCGGCCGAGCGCGGCGACGAGCGGGGCGACAACTGGCGCGGCTCGGACGCGTACGGCAACGACCCCGATTTCAGTGGCGGGAAGTACCGGCGGGGCGGCGAGTACGCGAAGGACATCGTCGGGTTCTAGGGCTAAGTTGGCATTCCTCTAGGCGTAAGCGTCGGCATCGTGCGGGTGCCTCGCGGCGTCGGCCGGCGTCGAGGGCTTTTGCCACGCGCTAGTGGTCGCATCGCTGCAGCCGGCGCCGCGCCGCAGTCGCTGTCAGCTCCTGGACGCCATGGCTGCCCCGGAAACGATGCGTACACAACACTTGGGCAGCCTCGCCTAGCAATCGGGCAGCCATGCGGCGCCTCCTCGCGCTGCTCTGCGTCATACATGCCGAGGAGGAGATTGTTTCGATAGTAACAACAGCAGAAGGATTTGAAAGAGGCGCCACGGCCCGTCAGCTCCCGGCCTACGATCTCTACAACCGAGCCGTCCACGCCGCTTCCATAAATGACATGGCGCCGGCCGTGCAGATGCTCGAGGAGGCTCTTACCATCTTCCCGGAGATGCCCGAAGCTCTGATTAATCTGGGCAACTTCTACGGTGACCTCAGTGGAGACGGTAAGATGGAGCTGAGCCATGCCATCGACTTGTATCAAAAAGCTATTCAGTACGCTGATTTCCCGCGCATCACGGCCCAGGCCGAGTCGAATTTGGGTAATCTGTTGCAGCGACGCGCGGGCAAAGACCTCCAAGGACTCGCGGAAGCGGCCGAGCATCTGGAGAAAGCTGTTCAAGCGGACCCGACCTTCATGGACGCTAGGTTTAACCTCGCTACTTTATTACAAGATTTGAACCGCATCCCGGAGGCGAGGGCGCAATATCGGGCCGTTCTCGAGCTAGATCCGACCCATGGCAACGCGCGACTCAACCTCGCGAACACGTACTTTGAAGCGGGTGCAAGTGATGAGGCCGCCAAGATCCAGTGGACTTTGGTAGATGACGATAGTATAGCCGAATCTGTGAGATTGAACGCCTTGAATAATTTAGGCCAAACGTATCGCGACGCGAACCGCCACGGTATGGCGGAGGAGGTCTTTCAGCGGGCCGTGGAGCTGTTCCCCGAGGACTTCACTTCTCTCGCAAATCTGTTGATTGCAAGGCGTACTCTATGCAACTGGTGGATGTACGAGGACACGCAACGGTTGTTGGTGGACGCCGCGCGGAAGGCCTGCGATTTACTAGATGAGCGGTTGGCTCGGAACGCGTCGATCCATCGGCGAGACGTCCAATTACCGTTGATGCCCTACGACGCGTCGCTCTTACAGTACGTCGATCTGGTGCTAGGACGAAGGGTCGCAGCGGCTCGGACGTTACAGAGCTTCGGTAAACGCAAGGCCGGGCCACCACAACTCAAAAGGAGAACTCAATTAAGGGTGGGCTACCTCTCGTTTGATTTTAGGGAGCACCCCATGGGCTACCTCACGAGGCGACTCGTGTCGGATCCCGTTTATGTCCAAGCCGTCGCTTTATCATATGGTGAAGACGACGCGTCGAATAATCGGGCACGAGCGAAAAGGGGAGAGTTCGTCGAGCTGTTTGACGTGGACGCTACAAAAGCTCACGCGTTGATGCAACACGCTGACCTCGACGTTATCGTGGACCTGATGACGCACACGAGGGGCGCTCGACTTGAGTTAGCGTCTGAAAGTGTCGCACCGTCCGGTTCAAGTTTGATGGTCTCCTATTTAGGATACCCCGGCGTCGCGGGCGGCGTGCACTGGGACTACACCTTGGCAGATCGTGTCGTGCTGCCGCCGGAACATGCAAAAGGTATCGAAGAGCCGCTGATCTATCTCCCTTTCTCCTACCAGGCGAACGACTACGCTCCATCATCTCCAGCTATTCTCGAACAAGATTTAGTACCTCAAAAATATATAAGGTACTGCAACATCAACCAGGTCGATAAATATGAACCGGTCTCCTGGGGATTGTGGATGAATATCCTACGAAAAACACCAGGAAGCACGCTAGCTCTGTATCGCATGCGGGACCCGCTCGGCGCGCACGTCGTGCGACACCTGTCCGAGGAGGCCGAAGTGCGGGGTATTCATCCTCACAGAATAAAGTGGTTCGAGCGACTACCGAGGAAGCAGCACGCCCAGAGGATCGCGTCGCAGTGCGACCTATTCCTGGACCACCTGCTGTACGGGGCGCACACGACGGGGGCCGACGCGCTGTGGGCGGCCGTGCCTCTGCTCACTATTAGTGGATGGGGCGGTTCATTGAAAGATCAGGCGGGTCGGTTTTCCTCTCGAGTCGGGGCGTCGCTCGTACGCTCCTTGGGTATGGACAAGTACGTGCTGATGGATACGTTAAGGGACTTTGAAGATGTTGCTGTAACCGTGCCTCGTCATAAACTTAGAGAGGTAACATTCGCAGCGACTGCGAGGGAGCCGCTCTTCGACGCGGGCAATAGCGTGAGCAACGTGGAACGGGCGCTCCAGGCTGTTTACGAAGTGACGCTCGCCGGAGCTTATGGGTTCCACGTCGTCTCGGACCCGCGCCAAAAGCGCCAGAGTGATCGTCGACGAGACTGCTGGCGGCGCCAGGCTGCTCATGCCTTGGGGGGGAATGAAGAGACGCCATGCCTAGACGACGCCGACTATGCTGTAAACATAGACTACAAGAACGAGAGCGACCCCGGGCCGTCCCTCGAACGTATTAGGGAGGGCACTTCACACCGATTCGTGGCCGCCTACCCCCAGGATCCGAATGCGCTGGCGTTCCGCGGGTTGTCATATCATTTGAACGGAGATAATGAGGCGGCAGTACCTTACTTGCGAAAGGCCTGCGGCGAGGCCCCGTGGACGTCGCACTTCTGGTTCAACTACGCGCACGTCTTAAGGCAATTGGAAAGACCCCACGACGCGGCGGCGGCGTATCTTACTGGGTATCGCGTCGCGGGCCGCGGCTTTGCGGACGATGCTATCAGAAGCAATTTGGAGGAGGCCATACGAGCGTCGTGTAAAGTTGAGAAACGGTCTGAGCTCGACGCGTTGTTTACGTTATCGGCGCTCGAGCCGGAGAATGACAACAGAAGGTTAGGCGTCGGCGCGGCCCTGGACGATCTAGGGAGAGGTAGTGAGGCTCTAGAAGAGTGGTTCCACGCCGTGCGTCTGAGGCATGCCACGCTGCAGCAACAGCATACTGCAGCAAATGAACTGCGAGCGAGAACAGAAGCGTACCATGCACGCATCGCAGCGAGACAACGAAACAAGTTAGTTATCGCCATTTTCTGCGACGAGTACGGCCAGACCTGGTGGCCGGCCTGGGGGCCCTCGTCACTGGCGACGAACGGTCTGGGTGGGTCCGAGGAGGCTGTGGTTTTTGTAGCGAGGGAGCTCGTCAAGTTAGGTCATTCCGTCGAGGTCTACAACGAGTGTGCCGATGACGATCTAGGTTTGGATTCTTATGGTATCAGATGGCTGCGGCACGCGACCTACCAGGACGAAGAACCGCCGGACGTCTTCGTGGCGTGGAGGTACCACGTCTCCACGGCCGTCGTATCACCAACTTCGAACGTGAAGGTCTACGCGTGGCTCCAGGACCTGCCCGGTTATAATTCCTGGACGCCGACGTTTTGTGATGGGTTAAGCGGCATCTTCACGCTGTCGCAGTTCCACACCCGCTCTCTGCCTTCTCACGCCCAGTCAAAGGCCTACGAGACGCCGAACGGCATCGATCCGACGTTTCTGAGAGATGGTATGAACAAATGGGACTTGTTTGTGTACGGCTCGGCCCCCAATAGGGGCTTGTACGATTTGCTGTTGGTCTGGCCTCGCGTCAAAGCAGCAATACCCTCTGCTGTGTTAAAAGTCTACTACGGCTTTTCGAAGGCCGTCGTCAAGTGGGGCAAGCAGCACGTTCCCATGTTCGACGAGTGGCGAAACGAAGTTGAGAGATTACTGGAGCAGGATGGTGTGATTCTGGAGGGCATGGTACCCCACGATACGCTGGCCCAAGCCTACGCGTCGGCGGGCTTTTATTTGTATCCGACGACCTACCCGGAGACGGGCTGCGTGTCCGTGATGAAGGCCATGGCCATGGGCGCCATTCCCATCACGTCTCGATATGCGGAGTCCGTCGTGCCCGAGCTCACGGACGTGTATGATCTCGGTCCGGCATCTCCCAGAGTCGCCGGGACGCAGGTGCCGGTCACGCTGCTGAACTGGCGGCCGCCGGACCCGGTCGATGACGCGTGGCGCGACGCGTACGCGTCGTCCATCGTCGACGCGGCGCGGAAGGCGCGCGACGGCGCGTTAGACGGACATCGGCGCGACATGAAGGCCTACGCGCGCGAGCGGTTCCTCTGGAAGCACGTGGCGAAGCGGTGGGAGGACCACTTTCTCGGGAAGGTTGTTTAAGTTTATCCATGTTTTAGTCGGTGGCGTGCCAGTTTTCGACGCTACCTAGGCGCGGCGTGTACTTGGCCCCCCACCGCGACGTGGATATCGTTACCTTGCAGAGTCGGCGCTTCGTGCCCGGGCCCCATTCGTCCGTTCGTTCCATCGGGCCTCCGAGTATAGTGAGCACGTGCGCGACAATCGCCTTGCCGAGGTGGCCCTTACCCTGGAGTCGAGTCAGCAGGTACAGCGCCTTATACAAGTGCAAGCTTCTCGGCAAGGCACTTTGTTTGAATGTTTTTACCGCGAAACGCACTGCGGGTTCACGCGGCACAAACACGCCGCGACCCGTCTCCAAGAGTAGCAGGTATCGTTCAACTTCGCGAACCGTCTTCGGTATGAGCATCAGCTCCTTGACTTGGCACCACAGGCATGATCCCCGCGCGTCGTGGAGGTAAATACGCACTGAGTCAAAAGCGTCAGCATCAAAGGTGAGCCGGTGACGGGTGCTCGTATGGAGACTGACCCCAGGCCTGAACATCTCAAATGATCCGTAGAATACAAAACTCACGCGCTCGGTCCAATCGTACTGGAAAGGGGCAGTATCGCGCATGCCGCCTCCGCTCGCGCAGTCTCGTTAACGCCTCGCTCAAGCGCAGGGGATGTGACCCATTGCTAGTGTCTTACAGGCCGCTAGCAACGCAGCCTGCCGACGAAAAGGCTGCCCAATCGATGCGCAGCATGCACGGTCGCATCGATTAAACATCGCTCCCGTTGCGACGATGGACGCCGTCCAGCTCTACCGGGCAGGCAAGTACGCAGAGGCTGCGGCCGCATGGAGCGAACTCGCACAGACTGCAGACGACGCCGCGAGCCACCTGACGAATGCCGCAACCTGCAAGATGGAACTCGGTCTATACCGAGGCGCTTTGAAGCAGGCCGAAAGCGCCGTCGCGCGCGCGCCGCACCACCTCCGCGCGCACGTCGTCAAGGGCCGCGCGCTCGCCGCTCTGAAGAAGCCCGCGAAAGCCCAGAATGCATGGAGGGCCGGCGTCGACGCCGCGACGGCCGGCTCCGACGTCGTCGTGTTGCGGGAGCTCGAGCAGTTACTGACCGACGATGCACCGCCGCCACCGAAGCCGTCGGTCGCGCGGGGCCCGCGCAGCCCGCAGGCCGACCTGGCCATGGTCGTCGCCGCGGCGCCCGTCCGCGAAACCAGCAAGGAGGCCGAGCGCTGGGTTGATAAGGGCGTGCCTCAAGACGTACTGGCGCAAGCGCGCGGCGCCGTCGAGCACCGTACCGGTCAAGATGATGTCGACGACGCCATCGCGACGGGCTATCTACTGGTGAACACGAATCGACTGGACCAGGCCATCGCCGCCTTCGACGACCTTCTATCGAAGCACCCGCGGCTCGTCGCCGCTCGGTTAGGAAGGGGGTCGGCGCGTGCGCTGCAGGACGACTTACAAGGGGCGCTCGAGGACTTTGACGTGGCCGTGGAAGTAGCACCGCACGTCACGGACTGCTTGAAGCGGAGAGGACAATCATTGGCGGCCCTCGGGAGGTTAGACGACGCGCTGCGAGACTTGAACGCGGCCGTAACCCTAGAAGAGAAAAGTTCTTCGAGTGAGTTCGACGCGGACCTCTACCACCAGCGCGGCGCCGTGCAACACCGGCTCCAGGACTACAGGACCGCGGCGCGGGACTTCGCTCTAGCTCTCGAAAAGGATGAAGAGGGATCGCAGCGGCCTCGGCAAGAAGCAGCGAGAACCTGGAACATGTTAGGATTGTGCGAGGCGCAGCTCGGGCTCGTCGCCCACGAGTCCTTCGTGAAGAGCCTCGAGCTAGATGCGACATCTCGAGAAACGTGGCTCAACCTTGGGCAAGCTGCAAGGGACCGCGGCGACGCGGACGCGGCGAAACGGGCCTTTATGAGATGCATCGCGACGGACCCGGCGTTCTGTCGCGGGCACCACGCCCTCGGTTTGCTCATGTACGGGACTGGCGATTTCCTGAAGGCGACGGCATCCTTCAAAAGGTGCGTGGCGCTTGCACAGAAGGAAGACGCCGACGCGGCCGTGGGAGCCCTGTACTACGCCGGGCTCTGCTGGAGCGCGCTCGGTGTGTTTGAGAAGGCCGAGGAGTACTTTGTGCGGGCGCTGGCGCGCGACCCCGGGCACGTCTGCTGGTACGCGCGGCAGCTGGGGCGCTTCTACGGCGCGGCGTTAGACAATGCGACGGCCGACGCGGAGAAGGACATCCTCGGCGTGTTCAAGGAGGGCCACTGCAAGCGCCACGCCATCGCGCTCGTCGCGTCCGCGGCGCCGCGAAAGGGCAAGTGCCGTCCGTCCGTGGCCGCGAAAGACGTCAAGGCCGCGACCAGGAAGTGGGTCAACGCGGCCGCACCGTACGAGGGCCTCGTCCAATTAGAGAACTGCCCCGGCTTCCTTCCCAATACAAGGCACCACCGCATGTTCGGTTTCATGGTGTTACACGCGGCATACGTCGCGCGGCGCGCGTTTGCTGGAAACGCCGTGAACTGGCGCGAAGTCTATGAGGTTGTGGTGCGGTGGCGCCGCGAGGCGGAGCCGGGCGACGCCGTCTGGTGGATCGACGGGCTCCCCGAGAAGGCCTTTGCCGAGGGTTTTGGATTGCATACGCCGATGCAGAGCGGTCAGCTAAAGGTCGTGCGGTACGCCAAGTACATTCCCGATGCGTTGGAGGTCGTCAAGGAGACGCTGCGACGGAACGTGCCTCCTGGCGAAGATGATTTCGTGGAGCGGATCAATGAAGCTATAACACTAGCCGAGGTCCACGAGCTATGCGGCAAGCGCGACTTCTGGTGCACGGCGCCCTGCGCTTCCGAAAAAACGGGCGAAGATTTAGGAGGTACACGTATTACGTTGCAAGCTACGAAACATGGGGGCTTCGACTTTTCGATCCGGACGCCCGGCACGCCGAAACGATGGAAGCTCTATGATCGCGAACTGCAGTACCACTGGGAGAAGTTAATCGAAGAAGTCCACGACAAAGATAGAGTAAGGGAGCGGGCCGCGATGATGTTCTACTACTGGTGCGCCTTCGGGCCCCTGTCTCGCGGCTCGGCCTGCTGCGGCTACGCCGTGCTCTTCGGCATCTTGCTGGCGGCTGACTGCGGAGTGCCCTCTTCACTCCCTTCGGAACGCCAAATCGACTGGGAGGCCATCCTCGCGCCGGATGCATCGACCTTCGTCGCCGGCGTCCGGCCGTGGCTCGCGGATTCGGTGGAGGCGGCGCTGCCCGACCTCCCGCCGCCGGACGAGGCTTTTTCTACGCTCCGGGACCGGTTGGGGGCGCTGCTGTAATGTCTTTTTGTGAGTTTTTTTCTTTCCGCGTCCGGTCGCGACGGGGCTCAGCTCGGTCTGCGATGCGTGCGGTTACGCACGTATTGGCATCGACGCGTGTAGTGCCGTGCCCTACAAACCCCGCGCGCAGCAGGACAGCAATCCCGCGCTAGCGGCTGTAAGACACTAGCTGGCACACCTTTTTTTGAGGCTGCCTTTGGCTCGGCACCCGTGCTATCGGCCGGGGTAATATCGAGCTGTAGCTACATATCGTGACCCCCTGACGGTCATTGGCAAGCTTTAGGCCGCAAAACGCCCCGCCGCTCGCGTAACCGAGTCTTCTTGAGCAGGCCTCATATTTTTTGCCCGATTCGGCTCGGCGCCAGCGACCGCGGCGCGTCGGAAACTCGGACCATAGTCACGCGACGGGCGCCAGGAACACGCGTCACGCGACGGGCGAGCTATTTTAGTCGCCGCGCGGGCGCCGGCCGCGATGAGCTATGACTCGGGCAACCGGCCATACGACCTCCAGATCAAGCTGCTGATGATCGGCGACAGCGCCGTTGGCAAGACGAGCCTATTGTTGAGGTACGCCAACGACACCTTCAGTTCGACGTTCATCACGACGATCGGTATTGATTTTAAGATCAAGACCGTGCACCTAGGAGGCAAGAAGGTCAAGCTCCAGATTTGGGACACGGCGGGCCAGGAGCAGTTCCGCACGATCACGCGGTCCTACTTCCGGGGAGCGCAGGGCATCGTGTTGGTCTACGACATCACGGACCGGCGGACGTTTAACTCCGTAAGAAGCTGGATGGCGCAGATCACGGACCACGCGGACCAGCAGGTGCGCGCCGGTGCCGCTCGTCGCCCTTCACGCCATCGCCGCGAGACACTCCCGCGCGCAGGTCAACAAGGTCCTCGTCGGGAACAAGTCCGACAACCAGAGCGCGCGCCAGGTGTCGACGCAGGAGGGCCAGGCGCTCGCGGCGGAGTACGACGTCCGCTTCATCGAGGCGTCGGCCAAGGCCGACGTGAACGTCACGGAGGCCTTCCAGGCCATCGCGCAGCAGGTCATCGACCGCATCCCGCGCGGCGCGTCGCGGCCGGCGTCGCGCCAGCTCTCCTCGAAGAAGTCGTCGAAGAAGAGCTGCTCCTGCTGAGACGGGTAACATAGACTTACACTCTACTAGAACGGGGTCTCGACGTCTCAGCTCACCGCCCGAACGGGGGCTTCGCGCCCTTGCGCCGCTGCTTCTTCGGCGGCGGCGCGTCCGAGTCGTCGTCGGCGAAGAGGTCGTCCCCGGACGCCTCGCCGCCGTCGTCGCTCTCGTCAGCATCGCTCCCGCCAGCGTCGCTCTCGCCGCCGCCGCTCGCGCCGTCGTCGTCGTCCCCGGAAGCCTCGCCGGGGTCCTCGCGGAACGCGTGGTATAAGACGTCGCCCGCACACACGCCGCGCTCGACCTTGTAGAGGCGCAGCCGCAGCCGCGGCCCCAATTCCACGAGCTTTATTTTGGATTCGCGCTTCGCGACGTTGCCTCGCCCGCCAAACTTGCCGGCCATGGGCGCGACGGCGTCCTCGCCCTCGCTGTCGCTACCTGGATCGATGCGCGTGACGTACTCCGATATATCTTTGAGCTTCGACAAATCGGGGATGTTTTTTACTTCCACCACTCGTTTGACCGGCTTCGACACGTTTGCAGCGGAAGCTTGGACCGCATAATGGCGCATTTCCACGCCGTCGCCGTCCCTGTGGAATAACACAACCCGGCGCATGTCCGCCACTTTTACCGTCGACACGTCGATCGGGGCGAACAGAGCCTCGAACGTGACGCGCTGCAGAGCGACGTGCTTCTCCTTGCTGCCAAAGCTGTCCAACACGACTAACGGTGCCGTCGCATACGCCGCCATGCTCTCGAAGGGCCGCTTCTGCTGCGCGCGGACCTCCCTCACCAAAGAAAAGCTTCTGATTTTAAAAGATAAAGTGGGCCCGCCGGGCAATCTTGCCACTCTTAGATTGACCTGGTCCTTCTGCTGTCCCAGTACCAACAAATGAGACACTCCCAACGGTTGTGCGGCATGGACAAAGTCCTTCAGACTATTTCCCGGCCTTTCCTTCAACCGCTCCGCGGTGTGCGGCGCCATCACTCTTCTCAATTCCCGCACGAGCTCCTGGACCCGCTTGTCCGTGGCACCTCTCCGCACAATCATGGTCCGAGGCACGCGTTTCTCGTCCGGGTCCGCGGCCTGCGGCGGCGGCGCGTGGCCCTTCTTGCGCTTCGGCTGGACCTGCTGCTTCTTCGGCTCGTCTTTCGTGGGCGCGGCGGGGCGGTCGGGCTGGGCTTGGGTCCGCGACTTTTTTCGGCGTCCTCCTCGCCGCGGCATTTTTGCAGCTCTGTGCAGAGTGCAGCCTGCAGGGCTGCTGTGCGGCTCACTAGATGCCGGATGGCGCGCTTGCACCAATTGCTGCAGCAATGCGGCAGTGCGCGAGTGCACGGAGTGATTTATACGTGCTCAGCGGCGGCGTACGGAGGGCCAATTGCTGCTTCGCCCTGCCTACCCCAAGTCCTCGACGGGTCAGCGCCATTTGTCTTCAAAAGCTGTCTGGGGGTCCGCATAGACGAGTAGTACCGGGTGGCGAGCGTGCGCGGATCCGTCTATTTTTATCGATTTCTCAAATCGGGTTTGGCTGCTGGCTGACTGGCTTTGGACCGCGCTATCCTAATCCGCGAGGACCTTAGCGGACGCAAAACCGCGCTCAGAGGCTTCGCATTGGTGTGCACTACTGCCCCAGCGCGTGCCAGCTCTTCTGGAGGCCGCGCGGCGACGACAGGAGGCATCCTATCTTTAGCGCCAAACCGACGCTAAGATGACCGCGGACACCCAGGAGCCGGAAGAACCGGCTCCAAGCACCCATACGGGCTGCGAAAAGCCCCTCCCGGCGTTTAGCGGCGGCCTCTTCGGCGGCACACAAATAGTTTCCGCGCCGCCGCCGCCCCTTCGGGTCACCGCCCCCAAGACGCCCGCGCCGCCGGAAAAGGAGGACGCGCCCTGCGCCTCGGTCACGTCCGGGAGCTCCGAGGGCAGTGCGACGCCGGACGGCGCCTCGGACGAGGAAAATATTAGCGCGCCGAAGCTGCCGGCGCTCGAAACAAAGGCGGACGAGGCGCCGGCCGACGACGCGACGCCCGAGCAGGACGACGTCGCCGCCGCGTCTGATGATGATGATAAGATGGTCGAAAAGGCCGCCACCGATGAGGACGGGCCTACCGTCGAGCTCGCGCCGGCCGCGGCGGAAGACGGCGACGACGCCGCCGACGAGAAGGAGGCCGCCGACGCCGCGTCCGACGACGACGTGGCGGAAGACGCCGACGACGCCACGCCCGAGAAGGCGGCGGAAGAAGAAGCGTCGCACGACGACGCGACGCCCGAGAAGGCCGCGTCCGATGACGACGCTTCGTCAAAACCAACAAAAATCCCCAAGCCCCGCGGCCGCGCGCCCCAAGGCAAGGCCTGGGACCCCGACCAAGGCCGGTGGGCGACACAAGTCGACGAGTCGGACGATGACGAGACGCTGGACGTGATGCGACAGCGGGCGTCGCGGAGCGCTTCCGTCGAGGAAGATGTAGTAAGGCCCGCGCGCACGGAGTCTCTGGAAGATGTTGAGTCCCGGTTCCTTTGTGGGGGCGCGACGCCGCCGCAGAAGGAGCAGGAAGATGAACCGACGCCCGAGAAGGCGTCTGATGAGGAGCCACAACCAGAGAAGAACGAGAACACGGGTCGCTGGACCGACGACGAGCACGCGCGGTTCCTCCGAGGGTTGGAGCTGTTCGGGAAGAAGTGGTCCAAGGTCGCCGACGTCGTCCAGTCGCGCACGACGATCCAGGTCCGGAGCCACGCCCAGAAGTACCTCAAAAAGTTCGAAGAGGACAGCGACGATGATGAAGAAACTTTGGAGGCGATGCGCCTCAAGTCGCAGGACCGCGACTACCAGTTGAAGAGGGACGAAGAGCGCGAGAAGAAGGCGCAACTGCGCGCGAGGCAGGACTTAGATCAGCTTTCTGTGAAGGAGTTCGCAGCTGGTGAGAAAGTAGAAGCTAGATTTGGCCGGGGCTGGTTCCCTGGGGTTATTGACAAGTGTATCGAGGGCGGCTACTCGATCAAATGGGACGAGGACTCTACGTACAATGACGTGCTGGCGAGAGACGTCCGGAAACGAACCGCGGACGACGACGTGTCTCAAGCGGCTCGGGCCTTGCTCGCGGCGAAGGACGACACGATCCTACCTTCTTCCCACAAAGTTTCTGCAGAAACTTCGTCAGAAGAAACTTTACGGTGGCTCGACGGCTTTGAAACGAGACGCTGGGTCGAGAGGCTCGTATCAAGTATAGACGACGCGTCCCAGCAACCGAAGGACGAGTACGCCGAACTCAGCAACTCGCAGCTACGAGCCTTGATGCGGAAGAACGGCATCGGGCGCGGGTCCTATGATACGCGAGGCGATTTTGTCAGGAAGCTGCGGAAGCATGGCGTGCCCCCGAAGGAAGAACCTAAAGAGGTTGTGGTCAAGCCCGTCCTGTTGGATACGTCGAAGGTCCAGGTCGGGGCTTCTGTTGCCAAGCGCTTCCCGGGCTACGGCGTGTATCGGGGTGCCATCGAGGCGATCGACGGAGATGATGTTACCGTAAGGTGGGACGATGGGGATAGCGTTACTTGGTCTAGGAAAGAAGCCGCTCGTCGAGTGGTCAAGGAGGCGCCTTCACAGAAAGTCGTGAAGAAGAAGCCGGCGCGGCGGCAGCCCGTGGTGCGACCGGCTCTCGTGGACGTCGACGACCTGCTGGAGCGAGACGTGCGCATCCAGCGAACGTCGAAGCCGCGGCAAGCGAGATTCGAGCGGTGTACGGGCGCGACCTCAGCTAGGGAATATCTGAGGTTAGGTGGCCAGAAGAAGGACCTGCGCTACGACGTCTCGAACGGGTTCTTCGTGGAGGTCGACGTATGCTCCGGCGTCTTTTGTACCTTCAAATTTCGTCTTCGTGAGACCGCGTCGACGGCGTCGCCGTGGTCGCGCGAGAGTCCCCGCGGCCACGTCGCGCCACGCCATTCCACGCAGGGCGACTCCATCCCCTTCCGCGTCAAGAAGGACGATAATCAACTGACCATGGATCCAGTAGTAGAAGATGAAGCCAGCGAAGCGGAGGAGGAAGAGCGGCACTGGGTCACGGGCATCGGCTGGAAGCCCGGTCCCGCGCCGGCCAAGACCGCCAGTCGTGCGGAGCGCATGGCCATCTCGCCCTCGTCTCCGACGTCTGCGAAGAACTGCGCGGAGTACGTGCCGCGGTCGTCTACTCACTTCGGGCCCAGATTTGAGTGTCCCGCCGGTTGCGGTCGCGCCTTCGACCACGCGCCGGCGGCCGCGGCGCATGGGAAGGCTTGCACGGGGGAGGATGATGGCAGGCGACGCTCACCTGTTTCTAGGGGAGACAATAAGCGCTTCCCCTGCCCCGCGGGCTGCGCTCGGACCTTCGACCATGCTCCGGCCGCGGCGGCCCACGGCAAGACGTGTTCCGGTTCGTCTGTGATACCGGACGACGACTGGGCGGCGACGGCTCGCTCGTTACTGAGGGAGATCCGTGGTGAACGGGAACGAAACCGGTACGCGAATCTGGAGGAGTTGAGGCCCGCTCTGACAAGATGCGGTTTTAGTGGAACGCCGCCGCCGTGGCGCGCGGGCTACTGCGGCGTGTCGACGCCGGCGAACTTCCCCGAATCTTCTCGGATTCGATCCCTAGCTCAACTCGTGAACTACCTCGAGGGCGCTCTGTCCAAGGGCGGCAAGGCCCCCCCTCCAGAAAAAGTACAAGAGGCCGACGACGACGTCGACGACCAATTCGCGGCCATGTCGTCGTCGCAGCTGCGCAGCGCCATGCAGTCTAGAGGTATTGGGCGCGGGGCCTACGACACGCCCGTGGATTTTAGGAGGAAGCTGCGGGCCTACGAGGCCAAGAGACCCCGTAGTAGTGACGAGGATGACCGAGAGGTGAAGCGAGCGAAGACTGATGACTCCTCGTCGCGGTTCACGGGCGTCTCGCACGACAAGCGCAACGGCAAGTGGTACGCGAGTATCTGTCATCGAGGGGCCAAGGAGCAACTAGGCGCCTTTGAGCAAGAAGAGGAAGCTGCTCGAGCTCATGACGAGGCGAGAGTCAGGTACGGGAAGAAGGCCGTGAACTTTCCGTCGTCTGACGATGACGAGGCCGAGTTCTCTGTTGGCGCTAGAGTCGAAGTGCGGTGGCGCAAGAAGTGGTATCCCGCGGTCATAGATGCTATTTACGACGGTGGTGGTTCCTATGAAGTGGAGTGGATTGGAGATGGGCGGTTCAATCGCGTGACCGCTGCTTCTGTTAGAGGAGTGCCAGCTTCTCCTCGATCGGTCGTGGAGAAAAGAGGTCGGGCGTCGTCGGAGTTCTGCGATTCAGATGACGAAGTGATGCCGGCGAAGAAAATAAGAGGGTCGCCGGAGGGCACGGAGAAGCTCAAGGCGGAGCCGCTCGTTGCGCAGGAGTTCGAGCTCGGCGTGCGCGTCGAGGCCAAGTGGAACGGGCGCTACTATCCGGCATCGGTCCACCGCTTCGACAAGGGCCGGTACGAAGTCATGTGGGACGACGACGAGGGGTACAACTGGGTGCCGGCGAAGGCTCTTAGGGCGGCGAAGTAGTTCTTGGGGGTGTGGTAATGTGAGCATATGAATTCTTTGTGCGGTCCGTGCTATCTCTGTTGCGGTGCTGGGACTAGTGTAGAGGACTAGTGGGCGTCTTTCATCCGAGTGGCTGAGGCTGAGGCTAGTTACGTCGCAGGGTGCTGAGGCTGAGGCTAGTTACGTCGCAGGGTTCCCCGTACCCCTCCAGCTTGCTAGTGTCTTACCGACCGCGCTAGCCGCCGTGAATCCGAGTTGCGGAACGTCCGAACGATACGAGCTTGTACGTCGATGGAGACGCTGCCCCCATCATGAACCCGGCCGAGGTCGCCCTCGCGCAGCTCGACGTCCTCTTGGATGAGCAGGAGGCGGTCGCCCCAGCAGCCGCCTGCCCCACGCGCCGCCGCGTCGGCAACCCCACGAACGAAGCACCGGCTAGCCTCCCGGAGGCGGTCGCCGCGGCGCTGAAACGGCGGCGCGAGCAGCAGCCGGACGCCACAATTATTGTGCCTGAGGGGCCCCGAACGCGCAAGCGCGTCCGCGTCGCGCCGCCGCCAGTCGCGGAGTTCGCAGTGGGTGCCGAGGTCGAGGCGCTGTGGGAGGGGAAATGGTATCCCGGCGTCGTCGCTGAAGTTGTTGTCGAACTAGAAGTCTACTACGAGATTGCGTGGGCCGACGGCTACTACCAAAATAGGATTCGTGCCGTGAGCAGGTCGGGCGAGAAGCTTGTCCGGAGGCGGGCCCCTGCGGCGGCCGTTAGTCTCCCGGCGGCGGCCGCCCCCGCGCTGAAACGGCGGCGCCAGCAGCCCACGAGCGCCGTTGTCGCTGCGGCACCGCCACCGCTGCGTGCCGCTGCTGTGACCGGCGACTGGTGCGTCGTCGGAACACATGTAGAGGATTCCGACGATGCGACGGTCCGCGGCGTCATCACTGGCTACACTACGGGCTGGAGGGAAGTTGCGACGACGACCGGCTCCGTGGTGATGATACGACCCTCAAAGTTGACGCGAACGACGCTGACGGACGAGGAGACCGCGCGATGCGTCCGCCCGGCCTCGCACAAGGACTACGTTCAAGCACGGATCGACGGCTTGGTACGGTTCAGCCACGGCGGCCGCGAATTCAAGAACCGCTTCACGTGTGCGGACGGCACGGAGCGGCGGCAGTTTGTGGTGACGGCGACTCATGTTCGGTGCGCCCTCTGCCCTGATGGGTGGTCATGGTCTTTGGAGACCGATATTTTGGTGCTTTTGGGAAACCTCAAGAATCACTGCGGACAAACGTCAGGTCAGAGGCCCTCGGCTCAATTGCACCGCGAGCGCCTCGCCTCGGCCGCGGCCGCGCCGCCCGTCGCAACCACCGACGAGGCCGGAACGGTGCTGGGCATCTCGCATGCCCAGGCGCGCCAGCTTGCGACAGCTGCCGCGGCCGGCTGCCTCATCGTCCGAGATACCTCTCAAGCTTTGAGTGCCGTCGAGTCTCCATTCTGGAGGGCAATGCGGACGACGCAGCGGCTCCCCTCCGACGCCGCGCTTGAGGCCATGACCGGGACGCAGCTGAGAAAGCTCATGGCGCGGCGCGGCGTGGGCCGCGGCCCGCAGGACCGCAAGGCGGACTTTATCGACAAGCTCAAGGCCCGCGCCGCCGGCGAGACCTACGTCAACAAGCCGTACCCTGTAACTGGTGACTGGTGCATCGTCGGCGCACAGGTAGCACAAATCGATGATTCGACGGTGCGCGGAGTGATTATCGATTGTCCTAAGGGCTGGAGGGAAGTGACGACGACGACCGGCGCCGTGGTGATGCTTAACCCCCGACAATTGACGGAAGCGACACTGACGGAGGAGGAAGCCGCGCTGTGCGTCCGCCCGGCCTCGCAGAAGGACTACGTGCAAGCGCGAATCGACGGCATAATACGCTTCAGCCGCGGCGGCCGAGAATTCAAGAACCGCTTCACGTGTGCGGACGGCACGGAGCGGCGCCAGTTCGTGGTGACTGCGACTCATGTTCGGTGCGCCCTCTGCCCTGATGGGTGGTCATGGTCTTTGGAGACCGATATTTTGATGCTTTTGGAAAACCTCAAGAATCACTGCGGACAAACCTCAAGAATCACTGCGGCTCGATTGCACCGCGAGCGCCTCGCCTCGGCCGCGGCCGGGATTGTGCTGGGAGTCTCTCGTGCCCAGGCGCACCGGCTCCTCCCGCGCGACGCACGGGGCTGCTTCCCGTGTCCTGCGGGCTGCCCGCGAACGTTCCAGCACGCGCCGGCGGCGGTGCAGCACGCCAAGTCGTGCGCGGCGGGCAAGCGGTCGAGCCGCCTGAATCCTCCCGTACCCCGGAGTGTAGCTAGGCGCTCGGGTCGCGCTAGGCCACCCGACGCCATCGTCGAAACCAAGACGGACGACGACGACGTCGATGATGCCACGGCCAAGGAGCGGAACAGGCGGTTGGCGGAGGAGATCGGCGCGCCGGTTTGCTTGTGGGGGGGCGCGGACGTGCGGCGCGAGCGCGAAGAGGCGATGGATCCGGAAGCGAAAAGGCCGCGGACAGAAGCGCCCTGGGCGCGGTGGGATCAGTCCTCTGAGAACGACTCGGCGTCTCCGCGGCCATCGCTCCCGCCGCCACCTCGTGCTCCCGCCGATAGTGAGGCGGTCACCGCCGCTGCGCCGCCGCCCCCTCGACCGCCGGCGCCGCGCGCCGCGCCGCAGTGCATCGACCTGACGCGGGAGGACTCGGAGGACGGCACGGACCCGCCGACGCCGCCAGGTGACGACGGCTACTCGTCGTCGTCCTCGGAGTGCTCGGTCGAGTCCGTCGGCGGGCAGTATGTACCGGAGCCGCCCGGCCCCGCCCCTCCGAATCGCACCTGGGACACTCGCCGAGGCGCGTGGGTCGACGCCGCGGAAGAATTCGAGGCGTGGATGGCGCAACACGTGCCTGTCGCCCGGCACGCGCGATTGCGAGACGTGGCCGACTCGCTCGCGGACCTTCGATGCTGCGACATCGACGACCTCGACGACGCTCTAGAATTATCGCAATGGTCCGAGCCGGAGCGGCGGCGATTTATGGACGCGTGTTCGTCACTCTAGAAGAATAACCTGTATGTTTACGAACCTAGAGGTACGCCGCGCTCTCGAGCGCGTCCTCCTCGACGTCGTGCGCCGAGTTGGCCGTGTCCGGTGCTTCCTCATCATCACAGGAGTCGTGCTCGTCGCTCAGGTCCGGGTCGACGCCGGCCATGAGCTTTTCCAGCCGGTCCAGTCCCGTGAGCGCGGCGTCCGACGCCGGGTTCAGGGAGAGGGCGGCGTGGTAGCTCGCGAGGGCTTCCGGGTAGCGCTCCTCGCCCGCGATGACGTAGACGTCGCCTAACTTGCTATGCAACGTATCCTGCTCGTTCTCCGACAAGGCCCTCGTGAGTAACTCAGCAGCGGCGTCGCACTCCCCTCGTTGGGCATGCAAGTCAGCTAAGGCGAGGGCCGCATCAGCGCAAGACGCGTCGAGCTGCAAGGCCTTCTGGAAGGCCCGTCGCGCCTTGTCCGCACCTTCTGGAGAGGTAGCCAACACTCTACCGACCAGCGCTATCGCTTTCGCATTTCTCGGTAATGTCGCGACGGCCTCCTTCGCCGTGCAAAGGGCCTCCTTATACTTTCGCGTCGACAGGTATGCCAGCACTAGTCCTCTATAAGAAGCCAGGTCCTTCGCCACATTATTTGCTTGGAAGTAGGCCACGATCGAGTGCTCGGCCTTGCCTTGCGCTAATAGGAGCTCCCCTCGTAACCTGAAAGCGAGAGCGTGCCTCGCATCTAAAGCTATAGCCTTGTCCACGAACTGGAGAGCAGCGTCCCGGTCGCCGGCGCAGTCGAACTTCGCAGCAACGGCCAACCAGGCCTCCGGGCGCTTCCGGTCGGTCGCGACTAAATCCCTCGCCAGAGCCGTGAGCTCGTCCTCGGCGTTTCGCCTCTTTAGTAGCAAAGCGCAGTGGTCCATGCTATCGACATTCAACGGGTCGGCAGCTCTAGCTCGCGCAAACGCCACCCTAGCTTCCGCATCATCCCCCGCCTCCGCGCGAGCCACCGCCCTCCTACACAGCCCATACAAGTTCCCGTGGAAGTCGCCCCTCTGTTCAACGTCGCTCCAGGCGTTCGCGGCGCGCGTCGGGTCGTGCTGGGCCAGGGCTTGGTGGGCCTCGGCAAAGGCTGTTAACCAAGGGTACTTTTCGTTCGTAGAATCCATCGCGTCGTCTTCCTCGAAGTCCTGCTGCGAGGCCTTGAGGCGTTGCAGCGGTTCGACGACTTCCAGGCATAGTGGGTCCTTGTCGAGGGCGCTCTCGAAGGCCGTAATGGCGTTCCTTTTGAGGCCTGACTGTAAGTAGAGCTTGCCGAGTAACGCTCTAGCTTTCGCGGGTCGCAATTCCACAGGAACAGCTTCGATCGACCCAATCGCCGCGGCGTGTTCATCCAGCACGACGCCGCACTCGGCCTCCCTCAGTCGTAGGCGCGCTTCGGCCTCGTCCCTCGCTCTCGCGCCATCCCCGTCTCCTTGCCATGGGCCGGCGCCGCGTCTTCGCTCGATAGCTCTCCGGTAGTAGGACCTCGCGCGCTTGTGCTCGCCCTTGCCGAACAGGGCGTCGGCGTAGAGGCTCAAGGCGTCGCCCCGTTCGCGCGCGGGGTGAGCTTCGGTGTCGCACCTGGCTAACAGCAACGATCCGAGGATTTCGGCGGACGCGAAGAGGCCGTCGTCAATTAAGCGTTTGAGGTCGGCGAGGAGCTCGTCCGTTGACGCTTCGGCCATCGCTGCGCGCCGCTGGCGGTGCGAAACCGGTGTAGTGCCCAGGTGTCTATTGGCTGATTTATGCGCTACCGCAGCCAAATCGCTGGAAGCGGTGCTCGCAGCACAAATGGAGACCACGTTCCGCTAGCCTGCTGCTGTGCTGAGCCCGCAGCGGCGGCGTCTTGCTAGTTTTTGCGCCCGGGCTTGAAACGCTAGAGCTTGTATGACGCTAGATGTTTAGCCGGTATTTCTCTTAGATTCGCGTGGAATGAGGCCTCCACAAATGTCTTCGACGACCATCGGTCGCGGAGACGACCCGCTCAACTACCAGGCTGGCACAGCCTCTGTTTTGCCCGCGTGTTCGTCGACGCGCTGGTGCATTATACCTGCACAGGAGTTGCTCAAGAGACAGCTCTAACAGCTCACAAGAGCTGCACGCAGCGCGAGGCAACGCCGTCGCGCAGCAGCAAAGCAAGGAACAAATGCGCTGGCTCCTAGGGTCAGCCTTCCTGCTCAAGATGTCCCTCTTAGCACGAGGTGGCTTGCGCGTGACCGGCGCGCGGCCCGTCATGTCCCGCCAGACGTCGAGGATGTCGAGCATCGCGCTCACCACCAAACGCGCCGCGCCCGTCGCGCTGCTCGGTGGCACCTTCCTAGCTACTGGGAGAGAAGCGTTACGAGGCTGGCGCACTTTGAGACGCCCTAGATGGGGGTTCAAAGCACAAAAAATGACCTCGACGCTCACACCGCCTTCATCGACCGAAGCGCCCCAACACGAGGCCTTCACCTTACTAAAGACGGAGACGCTCGACGAGTACGGCGCGACCTGCCACCTCTACGAGCACAAGAAGTCCAAGGCCCAAGTTTTGTCCGTCATCAAGCCCGACGACGACAACAAGGTCTTCGGCGTGACATTTCGCACGCCGCCCCGCGACAGTACGGGTTTACCTCATATCTTGGAGCATTCCGTGCTGTGTGGTTCGAGGCAGTACCCCACCAAAGAACCCTTCGTCGAACTGCTCAAAGGTAGTCTGCAGACCTTCTTAAACGCCTTTACGTATCCGGATAGGACGTGCTACCCCGTCGCTTCCCAGAACTTGGAGGACTTCCGGAATTTAGCGAGAGTGTATTTAGATGCGGTCTTCCACCCTCGAGCGGCGCAAGACCCGACGGTCCTCGAACAGGAGGGCTGGCACTACGAACTTGAGGGAGACAAATTAACATACAGTGGAGTCGTGTACAACGAGATGAAAGGAGTTTATAGCTCGCCGGACTCGTTGATGGCTCGGGCCTCGCAGCAGGCCCTGTTCCCGGACAACGCTTATGCTGTGGATTCGGGAGGCGACCCCGCGGCGATCCCGCAACTAGGTTTCGATCAATTCCGTGACTTCCACGGCGAGTTCTACCACCCCGGGAACGCTCGCGTGTATTTTTACGGGGACGACGATCCCGCGGCGCGCTTGGATCTGTTGGAGGAGTACCTATCAGAGTTCTCGGAGCGCGACATTTCCACGCAGATCAAAACGCAGAAACTAACCATCAAGGAGCCGAAGCACGTGAAATTGGGCTTCCCCGCGTCGTCCAGTGACGACGAGGAGGGCGGCCAGCACATGGTGTCCGTGAACTGGCTGCTGACGGAGACCCCACCGTCGCCGAAGGACGAACTCGGGTTGGCCGTCCTGGACCATTTGTTGCTGGGCACCTCTACCAGTCGCTTACGGAAGGCCTTAACTGATAGCGGATTGGGTGAGAGCGTCGTCGGTGGTGGGTTGTCTGATGAGTTGGTCCAGCCGACGTATTCCGTAGGATTGAAGGGCGTGGCCAAGGACGACGTCCCGAAGGTCGAAGCGTTAGTTGTAGACACTCTATCGACCTTAGCGTCCGAGGGCTTCGCGGCCGACGACTTGGAGGCCTCGCTCAACACGATCGAGTTTAGTCTGAGGGAGTTCAACACGGGCTCGTTCCCCAAAGGTCTATCCTTCATGCTCGGCATGATGCGGAACTGGATTTATGAAAGGGATCCGGTGGACGCGCTGCGCTTCGAGCAGCCTCTTGCTGATTTGAAAAAGGAGCTGTCTGTAGATGCGAACGCCTACTTCGCGCGTTTACTGAAGACATTGCTCGTGGACAACACGCACCGCGTGACCATCGAGATGACGCCCGACGAGGGCCTCGAGGAGTCGCAGAAGCAGGAGGAGGCGTCGCGACTCGCGGCGCTGCGCGACGAGATGTCTCCGGACCAGCTCGACGCCGTAGCAAAGAAGGCGGCGCGCCTCAAGGAGATCCAGTCGACGCCCGACTCTCCGGAGGCACTGGCGACGATCCCTTCCCTAGGATTGAAGGATCTATCGTCTGAGCCGCAAACCTTGCCTCGCGACGAGTCTACGGTCGCTGGCTATGACAATACGGTGTTACTCACCAGAGAATTGCCTACGGCCGGTATCATCTACGCTGATGTTGCGCTGGATTTGAGAGGTGCATTGGACCCGGAGGACTTACCGCTCGTACCGCTATTTGGTCGGATGATGCAGGAGACGGGTATTAAGGGTAAGCTCGATCCCACACAACTACAGAGGCAGCTCGGCGCGAAGACCGGCGGCGTCGGCGGGAGCGTGTTGTGCACGCTGAGAGTGCCGGAGGACGGCACCGTGGCCCAGCCGGACGATATCGTGTACCGATACATCCTGAGGGGCAAGGCGACGCATGAACGCGCCTCGGATTTATTCTCGCTGATGGGTGATATTCTTACAAACGCAGACTTCGGCTATTCCCAAACTCGGGTTGTGGAGATGCTCAAGGAGTCGAAAGCTAGATATGAGTCCGCATTCAGGACGTCGGGCCAGGCCTACGCTTCCCTACGGATCTCTGCCGGCCTGAACTCCGCGGGATTGGTGAACGAGGCGACGGGCGGTGTCAGCCACTACTTTAAGGTGCTCGAGCTCCTCGACACGGCGCAGAACGACTGGCCTGCTCTACTGTCACGTTTAGAGGCCATGCGCTCGAAGATCCTGCAGCGGGCGTCGTCCGCGACCGTGGTCAATTTGACCGGAGACAAGAAGGCCCTGGACGCGGCCTCTGCACAGCTCGGAAGCTTCTGCGCCCAGTTATTCGGTCAAGGAACATCCTCGGACGTCCCGGACTGGTCCTCGCTATCTTCGCTCGTCGCCGTAAAGCCGAACGAGGCATTCTCCGTGCCGACGCAAGTGAACTACGTGGCCAAGGGCGGCTCTTTATATAAGCCTGGTGAGACGACGTCGGGTGCCGACTCTGTGGTGCGACGCTTCCTGTCGCTCGACTACCTCTGGAATCAAGTTAGGGTGCAGGGCGGCGCGTATGGCTCGTCGGCCTCCTCGAACCCGATCTCGGGGTCCTTCGTCTTCTCTTCGTACAGAGATCCTAATTTGAAAAAGACGCTTGATACGTATGATGGCGCTGCGACGTATTTGAAGGACCTCAAAGTCGACGACGCGGAGCTGACGAAGGCCATCGTGGCGGCCATCGGGGATTTAGATTCTCCCTTGGGTCCGGACCAGAAGGGCATGGCGTCCTTGAGACATTATTTACAAGGCACGACTCTGGAACAGCGGAAGAAGTGGCGGTCGCAAGTCTTGAATGCGTCGCCTAGTGATTTCCAGCGGTTCGGTGATAGGTTGGCTGCTTTAGATGCGACTGCTGCCTGCTTCGCGTCGGCCGGCGGCATCGACGAGGCGAACGCGGACGGCGCGGCGCTGACGGCGGAGAAGCTGCTCTAGGGTGGCGGTCGGTCGTTGGCCCGGGAGTAGTAACTATGTTATATAGTATATTTCGTTCTCGCAGCCAGCTCGAGTCCCAAGAGATACGTCGGCCAGGCGGCTAGGCGGCCTAGCTAGCAAAGCACACGTAAAAAACAGCTAGCGTAGTAGGACACTAGCAAGCCAAAAAAAAGTGAGGAGGCCGACGTGATTAGGTCTATCGGGTGGCGTCCACACGCTCTATACGCCGCGCGCGGCTCTTATCATTGCTTGCAAGCCAGCGCGCTGCGACTGCGCCAGGCCTCTTGCCCTCTACTGCGTCGGCCGAATATCGCTTGGGTGACCCAGCTCGTTGCCCGGCCCATCAACGCCGTCGACGCGGGACCACAACGCGCGCGGGACCATGGCTGTCCGCGCCGCCATCGCTGTCGCTCTCCTAGCCGGCACGGCCGAACCCCTGACGCGCGAAGACCGGAGCCTCCCGCCAGCCCTGCCCATCCCGGAGAACTACAACAGCACGCTGGGCTGGCCCGTCCTCGACTTCAGCGGCGCCGAGCTCGACGCGCCCTTACCGAAGGCGCACTCCTCCACACGGCTCCACAAGCGCAACATTTCGACAGTCATAAGGAGAAGAAGACTCCAGGCCCCCGACGCGCACCAAGGCGGCCTCACCCCGTTATTCATGGGCATCGGCACGCACTACGCGCATGTCTACGTGGGCACGCCGGCCCAACGTGTCTCTGTAATAGTAGACACCGGTTCTCATCATACGGCCTTCCCGTGCGCCGGCTGCAAGTCGTGCGGCAAGCACACGGACCCCTACTTCGAACCAAGTAGATCCTCTACGTTAGTTAGATTGGACTGCAGCAAGTGCGTCGCGGCAGCGAGATGTGTGGCCAAAACCTGCCAAGTGTCCCAAAGTTATACGGAAGGCTCGAGCTGGAAAGCCGTCCAGATGAAGGACAACTACTACGTGGGCGGCGACGACGCCTCGGCCCCGCCTAGAGCGGGAGAGAAGTGGATCGCGACGCCGTTCGTCTTCGGCTGCCAGACCTATGAAACAGGGTTATTCAGGACCCAGAAGGCTGATGGGATCATGGGCATGTCCATGCACGCCCAGACGCTCGTGCCGACGATGCGGTCCGCCAATAAGTTAGGCCACAACTCGTTTGCCATGTGCTTCATGCAGGGCGGCGGGACCATGGCCCTTGGGGGGGTCGACACGCGCATCCACAAGGAGCCGATGCAATTTGTACCTCTCGCGAAGAATTCGGGCTGGTTCACGGTGCAGCTGAAAGATGTGCTCTTGAATGGGAAGTCCATCGGCGTTCCTGAAAGTACGTGGAACACGGGCAAAGGTACCATCGTCGATAGCGGTACGACGGACACGTATCTCCCTCGCCGTGCGGCGGAACAGTTCAAGCGGGCCTGGCACGCGGCCATGGGCCCCTCACCCAAGTACGCCAATTCTAAACTGGCATATACGGCGGCCCAGGCCGCGAAGTTTCCTACGATAACTTACGTCTTCGCGGGCGGCGTCAAGGTCGACGTCGAGGGCAAGGCCTACATGGAGAAGGCCGGGGCCGGGCGGTGGGTGCCCCGAGTGTACCTCACGGAGGCGTCCGGTACCGTATTAGGGGCGAACTTCATGGAGGACCACGACTGCTTCTTCGACGCGGAGCGCCGCCGCGTCGGCTTCGCGCGGGCCGACTGCGACTACCACTCGTTGAAATAGGTGGTCTCTCCCTTCCTGGCGCGTGGGTAACAAGTGTGTGACTGACGTTTGTCGCGTGAGGGCACTCGTTCGCATCGATGGCGTACGATCCCTCGACCTTTGTTGGGAGATACGTCTCCTCCCGCGCGCCATCGCCGCGACGCTCGCAAGTTGGAGCGCTGCGCCGCTGCAGACGAGACGAGACGCGCCCCCCGTGCCGTAGTAGGGCTGGTGGCTAGGTAGCCTAGCTCTAAGCAAAGCAGGGCAAAAAAAAAAACAATCTACTTCTTATCCAACCGGCCCCGCCTCGATTCGACCCACTCCTCGTGCTTTTTGGTGGCATCTTTTTTCTTTATTGCTGCTGCCCGTTTCGCGTCGCTCTTCGCGTCGCCCTTACTCCGCCGCCGCTCCTTCCGCTTCTCGCGCGCCATCGCCGCCACGTCGGGCACGGGCTCCGCCACCAACGCCGCGCGGCCCCAGGCCTCGGCGTCCTTGACCGCGAGGGCCCAGCCGTTGCCGTTCTTTTTTGGTAACAACGCCTCGGTCTTCGCGCAGGACACGATGCCCTCGATGGTGGTCTGGAGGGACTGCCGTCGTTCGAGCCGATGGTGGGCTTTGGTCAACAGCTTATCCTCGCCGGCGAGTGTATTGTCGCCGGCCTCCGCGAGTTTGTGGTCGGCGAAGGCCTTTGATGCCTCGCCGATCGGAACGCGCGCCGCAGCCACTTCCTCGCCAACGTCCTCTCCGAAGCGCGCCAGACCGCTTCTAATACGTTCGCCGCGCGCCGCCGCCTCCTTTCGCAATCGGTGGTTCGCCCGCGTCTCCCGCGCAACCAACACTTCCAGGTCGTCGAGGCAGGCCGTCACCTGCTCCACGCTCGGGATCTCGCTCGCGTCGAGGGCGTCGGGCGCGGGCGCCGCCGGGTCGAGGTGCCGCAGGAGCCGCGACGTGCCCTCGCCGCCCTGGTCGGGCAGCGTGGTCACATGTTTTGTATATATTGGTTCCATCCGTGTATCCGATCGCGGCCGGTGGGGCAGCAGCTAGGTGTCCACGGCGGAGGCAGCCCTCCTCTGCCTGGCTGTGTGCTCTGCTGCCAAAATACAAAATGCTGGCACGCCGACGGCGTAGTCGCTGGGCGCAGCAAATGATGGGGATGCCGCCGACGGAGCGATAAGCGATCGCCGCCGAGCGACTGGCGTGCGGGAAGCGCTGCCCTGTTCCAAACCACCGCTTGCTACCTACTGCACCGCAGCGCCGAGCGATGCGCTGGCTCGACGCCGACGGAACAGAGAGAGAGGCGGAGTGGCAGGAGCCCGCGGACCCCAAGCAGCCCAATGAAGACGTGTGCGCCGCCGGTCAAGAAGAAAAGTACGTCTGGGCCGTCCCGACGCAGGAGGGCTTCGCGCTGCAGCTCAACAGTTTGCTGTCTGTATTAACTTTGGCAAGACGGTTAAAAAGGACCGCCGTGCTCATGCCTTTACTTTTTACGGGGCCGCACTACCGACGAGACGTGGCGTTACGGCGCCTGCCGCCAACCCAAAGAATTGATGCCTACATAAATATCAGCGCCACGCTCGCGCACGCTCCCGTACGATTCGCGCATTTTGATGATGTGTATCGTAAAATGCCTCGGAGCGCGAAGTGCGTGTCGTGCGCGATGACACCCCCGCCACATGTAAGGTGCGCTAGAGGTTGGGACTACGCCTGGTGCGACCGTGAAAAGGTGCTACGGACAAGGCGGCCGCGCTGCGCCGCGTACTACGGGGAAGTTCGGTGGCCGCGCGAGTGCGCTCTTTGTATTTACTCGGCGGGCTTCACGCCCGGCGTCCAGTTGAAGGACGGCGACGCCTGGAAATTATTAAGGGCGTCCGTCGTGCTCTCCGATATCTATGAAGCGGGCGCTCTGAACGTCGCGGCGGATTTAGTTGGGTCCAGCTACGTGGCTTTGCATTTACGGAGAGGCGACAAGAAGCACACGATGGAGAAGTACGGGTTGACCGTGCCGGCTGTTTTAGATAGAGTCTCACTGATCGCGCGGGGCCGGTCCGTAATCGTCGCGACGGACGACCGGTCGCCCGCGACTTTGAACGAGGTCTCGAAGCGGGGCTTCCGCCTGGCCGACCGCGCCCATCTGGAGCGGCACGCGATACCGTCCGATTCTCTCTCGGCGTACTTGGTGGATCTGCTGATTTGCGCGAACGCCGACGTTTGGGTAGGCACGATGACGGGCGACAACAAGTCCAAGCAGACCGCCCTCATCAGGTCGCTCCGCAAGGGCCGCGGGCGGGATGTGGTGAAGGACGTGGTCCTGACGCGGCTACCCTGAAGTAATCACTGTTGTTCTACTACTCCTCAGTTCCGAATTATTTAAATTTATACACAGAAGTGCGTCTGAGACGCGCCAACGCCTCTCAGACCAAGAAGCCCAGCGTGTCGCCGTTCGTTTTGGCTTTTTTGATGAGCAGGCCGCGCATCTTCGGCGTCGCCCCGACAAAAACGCAGAACTCCGTGATCGCCTGGGAGTGCAACGAAATGCCCTGGCCCCTCACCTTCTCGAGACGCTTGTCTCCCAAGATGATGCGGCCCGCGTAGACCGCCGGCGAGAAGACGCCGAACTTGGCCATCGAGGCCATGCGGATGGTCTGGGCGACCTGTGGCCGCTGCCTCCTTTGTGCTTGCAAGGGCGCGGTCCGCGCCGGTGCGAAAGCGCTCGCGCCAGCAAGAAGTGAGACGACGAGCCACCTGAGCATTGTTGTAGCCCCCCTGTTGTTGGCAATGCTGTGTGCGGCGCTGCTACGGCGTCGAGAGCAGCGTTTTGCGGTACGTCGAAAGCAGTCGATGCAGCTGCTGCGACAAGTTACCGTGTTGCAAAATAGTCCGGAGAGACGTCTGTTTCGGCAGTCAAAAAACACGCCAGCCTATCGAGTTGGCTGGAAAAAAAGCCCACCTCTTTTTACCTTCCATCCTTCCCGGCTATGCATGATAAGGCGCAAGAAACCTGCGGTGAGGCCTCCGGCCGGGCTCGCTGCTAGCGTCCTGTGAGGCACTAGCATGCTATGCTGGGAGGCAAAGCAGCTGCGGCACGGCCCTGCTGCTGTGCGGTTACTTCTGTGCACGCTGAATTATCATCGCTGACACACCGTAATACGCACGCATCGCTGCGCAAGCAGACGCCGTCGCAGACGCCGCCACGCACAACACAACAGAGAGCACCAAGCAGCGAGACGATGGCCGAGGGCACGGAGATCTTCGTGAGGAACGACAAGGGCACGGAATATGTGGGAACGGTCTCATGTGAAACGGCACCGTTACCACCTTCCCTAGTCTTTACGGACTACACGCGCGAGCCGACCGTGCTAGACGGCACGCAAGACCCGAAGCACCCGGCCTGGGCCGCACGAAAAGCGTCGCTCCAGGAGACGAAGGAGGGCGTTTCTAAATTTGTCGGGTTTCTCCGAGGGCGGAAGAAGGCGGCCATAGCACAGTTGGATAGTATGGTCGTCGCGCTCCTGCCTTCCGAGACCCTGGAGATCGCCTGCTTCTTCGACGAGAATGCTTCGCAGAAGAGACCGCGGGACGACGAGAGCGACGTGGGCTTCGGGGCCTTTCCTTCATTTGACGTCGTCGATGACAATGCGAGGAAAGCCTTCTCTGCACAATTGCCGCTCTGGAACAAGAAGACGGCGCGGCGCGACCATAGCGAAGCCATGGTGTTTAGGGATGATAAAGGTGGCGCAGTCTTCTTCCAGGACGCGCGACGACGGTACGAGTTCTTTTGTGGAGAAAAAGGGCTGCTGTTGTTGAGTGGCTTGCTAGCTAGGACGGCTCTGGTCCTGAAAAAGAACGAGGAGGAACTGAAGAAGCTCGGTCCGAAGGCCGCCGCAATTGTCGAGGAAGGTCGGCGCATCTACGGCGAGAAGCCGTCCTTACGCAAGTTCGGCTCCGAGGCCGAAGGCAAGAACGTGACCTGGTCCGACGGCGAGTACGCCCACGTGGGGTTGCAGACGCAGTATCTCAAATTGAAATCACTGCATTACACAGCGTCCGTTTCCGTCGCCTCGATGGCGTGAGGTGGGCGCTGTCCGTACGCCGTCGCCGCGACGTACTTAGAAATGGGAGCGTCGTCGCGTCGACGGCGTAGAGCGGAGCGAGAGCATCGATGGCAACGCCGCTTAGCCGGACGCACTCGCAACGCAGGCAGCGCTTCACGGAGACGTACAACCTGTGTGCGCGGGCCTGCGACGCCGACGCCGGCGTTCAACAACTTCTCTGCACCTCGTCTCGGTTGAGATGCGCGTCGCTGGGCGGCGGCCCCGCGTTCGAGCTCGACGCGGTCCGCGAGTTCTGCAGAGCGAAAAACGACAGTGTAGAGTTCGCGTTCTACTCGCTAGACCTGCAGCCGGGCTGGCGGCCCTACGCCGAAGCGTTAGGGTGTCATTTCGTCGCACCCTTTGACGTGTCAAAAATAACACCTAGAGATGTGGTGCAAGCCTGCCAGGGTCCCATCGACATCTTGGTCATTTCTTATTTATTTATCTACTGCACGACGCCCAGGACCGCGGATTTATTGCAGCATTTGCTGGTCAAGGGTCTGGTCAAGTGCCTATTTGTCTCGGAGCGGACGCACGACCAGGACATCGTCCAGCTGCTCGTGGAGCGCGGGTTAAGTGTGACGCCTTTGATGCCGCAGTCGGGCGGCAAGGACCAGCGCCAGCTGCTCGTCCTGGACCGGTCCCGGGTCCAGGCGACGAACGCGACTTCGTTGGATGAAGACTCGGCGTTCCCCAACGTGCCCTTCGCGCGGGGCACCTAGGACTACTAAGTTTTGTCGAGAAAATTATATACGGGCGGCGGCAGAGTCCGCCCCTCGCTAGTTCTAGCCGCAGCAGGACGACTTCTTTTTGCCGCTCGTCCCCGAGAGCCGTGTCGCGCCTCGCGTCGACGCCGCGCCCTCGGCCGGAATCCTCGCGACGACTTCCCGAGCAATAGCCGTGAACGTCTCCGACACGTTGATGTCGTGCTTCGCGGACCTGTGTGGCCACCGTCAGTCACGCCGTCGAGCCGACCCCGAGCGACGAACAAATTCCCACGCGGCCGCGGACGTCTCCAGGAACTTGACCTCGTACTCGGCCGCGAGCGCGGCGCCCTCCGCGCTCGAGACGCGCCGCTCGGCCTCGTTGTCGCTCTTGTTCGCCACGAGCACCCGATTGACTTGCGCGTCCGCGTGGTCCGCGATCTGCGCCATCCAGCTCCTTACCGAATTAAACGTCCCCCGGTCCGTGATGTCGTAGACGAGCACGATGCCCTGCGCGCCCCGAAAATAGGACCGCGTGATGGTCCGGAACTGCTCCTGGCCCGCCGTGTCCCAGATCTGCAGCTTCACCCGCCGCCCGTCCAGATCCACGGTCTTGATCTTGAAATCGATGCCGATCGTCGTGATGAACGTCGAACTGAACGTGTCGTTCGCGTAGCGCAGCAGCAGCGAGGTCTTGCCGACGGCGCTGTCGCCGATCATCAGCAGCTTGATCTGCAAATCAAAAGGCCGCGCCGCCGCCATGGTCGCGCGACCAGAGGGAATGCGCCTAAGGAGTAGCGGCTGCCCCTTCGCAAAGACCGCTCGCGCAACGTTTCTAAGGCGACGCCGTCGTCGCGTTCGCCGCCGGCCGCTGCAGCGCCGTCCCGCAAATATTACGGCGCGCGCGTCTGCTCGACTCCCCGTCGTCTTCCTGTGTGTTTGGGCCGGAGGGCCGGAGGGCGTCCTGTGTGTTTGTATTCGTGCGCGAGCCGGTAGGAGCCCTGGTTTCCTGCGAATCTTGCGATTCGGAAACCCGACACTGGCTACTAGCTTTGGAGACCATCCTCTGCACTCCGTGCTTTTTGGCGCGGACGCGGCACTCGGGCAGCTTTCCGACGCTTGGTGTCGCACGATTACGCGCTACAGCAGCCATTGATCCGCGCGGGCTGCAAACGACCAGCCCCACAGCACAGAGCCGGCAGCCAGGCAGCCTGGGCCAGCCTCTGGCCGCAATCGCACAGACGAAGACAAACGGGACACGTGTTGACACAGCATGGCGAAGCTAAAATATAGAATCCGCGTCCTGCTGGGCGACCAAGAGCTCGTCCTGCTCGTGCCCGCGGCGCCGGAGACGACCGTCGGCGAGTTGCAGACCGAGGTCTTGGCACGCGCGCGCAGGCAGGGCATCATTGGATCTGCCTGCGCATTCTCCGTCGACGGCGCGTTACTCGATGAATTGGATTCCGTAGAGGACGTTCTCGAGGTCGAGCAGACGATCGATGCCAGACTATCACCGCCGCGCGAGTGCAGCTGGTCCGCGGCCGATTTGGCTGCATTGGTAGGCTTCAGCGACTTGCTCCGCGACACGATCGTCGAGAACCACGCGAGTCTCGCCGCGTTCCGGCGGTCGCCGGACGGCTACCTCCTGTCTGCGTCTTCGCGAGTCACGCCGGCGAAGCGCTCCGCTCCTGACGCCGACGAGAATTGTGTCGCGGCGCCTGCTCCGGCGGACGAAGACGAGAGCGACGCTGGGGAGCCGGCCGACGAGGACTCTGTCGCGGCGCCGGCTCCGGCTCCGGCGGACGCCGACGAGAGCGACGACGAGCAATACGTCTGGCCCGCGGGTGCGCCGCGCGGCGACGCGCTAGTCGGGTCCCGCATCCGCATTTGGTGGCCCCACGATCGAGCCTGGTTCTCTGGATCTGTCAACGCGTTCGACGGGAGCCGGCTCTACGAGATCACATACACGGACGGTTCCCTGTGGGACGAGGACCTCGCGGAGAGGAGGTGGGAGCTCCTCGACGAGCGCGGTCTCGCGCCACACGAGCAAGAGTTTTTGCGGGTTGAGCGCTTGAGACTGGCGGGAAAGGCGAGCCACAAGAGTTCGATGGACGGCGGTATATATCGGCATTTCTACGAGCTCTGCGGCGCGGTGAATCCTGATAAGGAGCAAAAGAAGTCGTTGCGAGAACGAACCCGCCTGATTATTGATCCCTTCCTTGGCGCGCCCGTGGCGGATGCTGCTGACGAGGAGTCCGACGGCGAGGAGTCTGAGGAACGCCGTCTCGCGCCGCACGAGAGGGAGTTTTTACGGGTCGAGCGCCTGATTGCGGCGGGCGAGGCGAGCAGACAACAAGGCGGCGCGGCAGGCTCGGTATACTCGCGCTTCTACGAACTCTGCGGCGTGGTGAATCCTAGCCACCAGCAAAAGAAGACCTTGAGGTTGCGGGCTCGCGACGCCGTCGCGCAGTTCCTTGACGCACCCGTGGCGGATCCTGGTGGCGCTGCTGACGAAGAGTCCGATGACGCGCCTCCGCCGCGAAAGCGCGCAGCGCCGGCCAGCGCCGAGACTTCGGAGAGGACATCGCGGCCGCGGCGCGGCCATGGGTCGGCGGAGGTCGTGTCGGAGAAGGACTTTGGTGGACTGTGGGCGCAGCTCACGGCGAAGGGCTGGAAGGTATTGACGAAGCCGGGGTATATTGCCCCGGGCGACCCGCGTACCTGGATGTGGTGCGCCCCAGACATCGTCGAGCCCCAGGCCACTTCTGGTGTGTTTCAACTACGTTCCCGGGACGCGGGCAAGATAGGGGAAAGCATCTTCCTCGACAAGGACGACCTCTGGGTCTGGGCGGTGCGCAAGGGCCTCGTCGCTGCTGCGCCGCGGCGCCGCGCACGCGTGGACTCTAGCGATGACGAATCCGCGCCGCCGCCGCGCCGCCGCGCGCGCACCGAGGGAACAGCGCCGGACTATCGCGATCCAGACTCCAGCGATAACGAATTGGCGCCGCGCCCCGTGCGCACCGAGGCGCCGGACTACCGGGAATCGAAGGGTACCAGCGGTCGGCTCACGTTCCGCTACGAAACACCCATGTGTGGAAAATGTCGAAATTGTCTCGACAAACCCAAATTTGGCGGCTCGGGAAAGGGCAAACAGGCATGTGTGCTACGGTTGCGAGAGCGGGCCGAGCTCTTGGAAGCTGGAAGCACGCACCCGCCGCCGGTGCGCCGCCGGCGGGACCCCAACGAACCGTGCACGATCTGCTTCTCCGTCGTGGCCGAAGCCGATGCGGTATATGGCTCGGACGTCTGCTCGCACGTGTTCCATCGCGAGTGCATCGAAGGCTGGGCGCGGGAATGCGCTGAGCGGCCGCACAACGTCGCGACGCGGCGCGGCGTGCGAGTGCCGTGTCCGAACTGCAAGAAAGGACAGCGCGTCGTGGCGAGTACTATGAGCGACGAAGACGGCGGTAGTGATAGTGATGCGTCCGACGGCGACGGTTGCGAGGGCGAAACAACGGAGCTGATGGCTGAGGCGCCTGCTTTGGTTGGCGGAGCGACGCGGTCCGGCCAGTTTGGCGTCGGCGCTCAGGTAGAGGTTGTTGATGATGCTACGGTCCGCGGAGTTATTGTCGATTGCCGGCAGTCCTGGAAGGAAGTTGCGACGACGAGCGGCTCCATAGTGCTAATAAGATCCCCTCAGCTCGCGCGAGCGACGCTCACGGACGAGGAGGCAGCGCGCTGCACTCGCCCAATCTCGCGGAAGGACTACGTACAAGCTCGCATCGACGGCGTGATTCGATTTAGCCACGGCGGTAACGACTTCAGGAACTGCTATACGTGTGCGGACGGCACGGAGCGGCGACAGTTCGAGGTCTCTGGAAATCATGTGAGGTGCGCCCTCTGCCCTGAAGCACGGTGGCCATTGGGTATCGATTGTAGCGAACTCATGAGGAATTTCAAGCGCCACTGTGGCCAATTGTCAGACGGTGAACGGAGACCCGCGGCTCCATTGCACCTCGAGCGCCTTGTCTCGGCCGCCGCCGCGCCCGGTACGCCGCCCGTCGCATCCGCAGACGAGGCCAAGATGGTGCTCGGAATCTCCTTAGCCCAGGCGGTCCGGCTCGCGGAAGCCGCCGCTGCCGGCCGCCTCATCCCGATCCGAGGGGAGTCTTCTTCCGCGCCCGATTAGTAGTAAGTTCTTGTTTTATGGAAACCGTCTGCACGTTTGCGCAACCCGCGCGCGCGTCGTTCCTGTCCATTCACCTTTGCTGGGCCAAAAATCGAGCGTACAAAGCCGCGTCCACAATTGACTGTCGCCAATGGGCCGAACTAACCTACTTTTGACGCATGCGTCGTAACGCGAACCGTGGCGCGATCGTGAGCCAAAAACTTGCAAAACCAATGAGAGTGGCCAGTAACTGAGGCGACCGAGGACAGCGCGCGTGAAACTGTCGGCCGCGGCTGCACGCGAACAGAACGCGCATCCCGCGCAGGCTAAATTCATCAACGATGGAAGGTCTCATGGGCGCGGCGAAGGAGGCGATGGGCGGCGGCGAGGCGCCGCCCCACGACCCGGCCGAGGCCGAGGTGCCGGCCGTGTCGATAATCACAGACGACAGCAGACCCGACGCTGATCGATTGTCACGCAGGCCGCGATCAACGCCGAGGCCGACAAGGCCGGCGCCGCGGGCAACAGCGACCTCATGGCCAAGCTCAAGGCCGCGGCGACGAACAAGAAGATCCAAGGGGCCTTCATGGACGTGAAGAACAACGGCGTCTCCGCAGCGATGAAGTACAAGGACGACGGTCGCGCGCTGCGTAGAAATCAATTGCAACGCGCTACACGCCATCGACGCGATGTTGGCCCCGTGAATGCGTCGGCTCGATGGCGTGGGACTCACTGGTTTATCTCCGCACAGCCGAGGTGACGGGCATCCTCAAGGACGTCTTCATGTCGTGAACTCGTGAACGCGGCACACACGACGCGTACGCACGGCGACGGATGGCGACCACGAGTCGTCCGCCTGAAGTAAGCACGAGTCAAGTACCTCGTAGTACCGCGACGAGCGCTCGGCTTTCTAGTGTCTTACCGCTAGCTCAGCCCTGCTGCCTTCTTCTACGAGGCCCGTACACGCGCTGTAGGCAAGCATTCATTGCAGCGCGCCTGCTACAGACCAACCAGTACCGCAACTATTGCCCTGCCAAGCGATTTTGCACGAGGATGCGCGTAACACTCGTAGCAGCAGCTGTCTCTGCAGCAGCTGCATTAAGGGCGCCCTTGTTCGACACCCAGGGCCGCTTACAGCGCACGGCCAACCCCCCGGCCCCGCTGCCCGACGCCAACCACCGATACGTCGTCGTGCACAAGGGCGACGTCCTCGTCGAGAGCACGAACGATGTGGTGGACGCGCGGTTCCTCGACCAGAAGGAAGCCGCGCCGCTGGTGGACGAACATGCAATAGTGGCCTGGCTCGGGACGCTCCAGAGCAAGGGCTACTGGATGCTCGACGTCTCTCATAAAAAACAACCACCAATTGTGAAGGGAGCGGCCTTCGCGCCGTTGCGCAGCCCGAAAGGCGATAAACCCGCGGTGTTGAACCGACCGGCGGACCAGCTGCCCTACGAGGACGCCTGCGCGTTACTGGTCACGGCGTCGGGCCTAGGCCGCTGGCACCGGTCGCACATGTTCTGCGCGGCGTGTGGCTCTAAAACAGTATCAGCAAGACACGGAAGGCAGCGAAAATGCGAAGCGTGCCACACGAAGTCCCGACCTCGAGTCGATCCTTCGTCTATTGTGTTAGTGGCGTCGCCCGACAATAGCAAGGTGCTATTGGGAAGAAAAGCCGCCTGGCCCGAGGGCAAGTGGAGCACGCTGGCGGGCTTCGTCGAGTTCGGCGAGAGCCTCGAGGAGTGCGTTTGCAGAGAGGTCCTCGAGGAGTCCGGCGTGGAGGTTGATCGAAGCACGCTGAGACACGTCGCGTCGCAGCCCTGGCCGTTTCCCTCTTCATTGATGGTGGGCTATGCGTGTCGCGCGTCCACGGAAGCGATCACGGTCGACGACGAGCTCGAGGACGTCGCCTGGTTTGATCGCGCCTTCGTAGCCAAAGCTTTGCGGGAGCAAGGTGAAAATGATACACCAAAAACGCCGGGCGGCTTCCACGTCCCGACGAACGCGTCCTTAGCGCGGGTCCTCATCGAGGGCTGGGTCCAGGAACAGAGTGACGTGACTACTGTGGAGGCCGAGGTCACGTCCCTCGAAGAAGCGCGGGACGCGGCTTTGGGCAGCGGCTCGGCGCAGGCCTGGGAGCTCGTCGAGGAATTAGAAAGGGCCGAGAAGCGCAAGGCGTCTACGTCGTCCCTGGAGGACGAGTGCGCCGTCGACGACGCCGACGAGCGGTGCCAGAAGATGGCCAAGGACCTCGCCGAGCTCGACGAGCTCATGGCGCGCGGGCCCGGCGAGGCGCGCATCCGCGAGGCCGCGCGGTCCATGCTCCGCGAGCTCGAGGCGCGCTACGACAACAAGATGTTCGACAAGTAGCCGCACGCCCGCCCGCCCCCGTAGTTTATATATCTAAGTGACATAGGAACCGAGTTCGCCAAGTAGCGCGCCGATGGCGTGCGGGGTGGACACCTCGCATTCGCGTCCCGCCCATTTTTTTTAGCCTTCGAGTCTTAGGCGTCAGTACTATCGTGACGGTGCTAGGACTAGTGGGCGGAGCCCCTGGGGGGGAGATATCTCTGCGGACCTGCACCTAGGTTGTGAGACACACTAGTCTTCTTCGAGCTCAGCGGACCTCGAGGCTGCCTGCGTGCTTGTTGCGCCACGAGGCGGCGCTCTCGCGTCCCACTGGTGCTTGTGCGAAAGCTGGGCAGCCCGAACCGATGGCGGCGCCGCCATGGGCCACCCTCGCGCTCCTCGCAACAACCGCCAGAGCCTGCGTCCTCCACGGCACGGACAGTGGGGTCTGCGACTTTAAGTTGGACCCGGCCTATGCCGACCCAGCTAGAGGCTGGACGACAGAGGACACGCGGGCGTACCGGTTCTACCACATGCCCTACTGCGGGCGGTATGTCAGGTACCCCGCCTGCGTGCCGGCCATGGAGCCCGTGAACCGCACGAGCCCCGACGGCAAATTGACGCGGCGCATGGAGTACGAGGCCGGCGGGTCGCAGCCGAATGATAAGGCGTACGAGTGGCTCATGGGCGACGAAGGGACGCGGGCCGAGGCCGAAATTTACGGGCAGGCCGTGGGCGCGCCGGAGATCACGGCGGAGTCTGAGGGAAAGGTTGTGGGCGACGACGTCATCTATGCCTATGAGGGCCGAATACCCCCGGACATGGAGCACCCCGAGGGTAGATTTTATGGCCACACGACGCGGAACAAGGACTTCTGGGTGCGGCGGGCGACGTTCCACATCATCGATGACAGGTTGAACGAGGAGTCGACGATCCGCTGCCGGGTGCGGGAGGGCACGGACGTCAAGTTCGACATGAGCGGCCAGAGGATGGCGCGCGGCAAGGACTGCAATAGGATGTACGAGACGGCGGACCCCTGCGAGCACAACTTGTCGCCGTGCGTGAATAAATACGGCGAAGGCTCGTGCGAGGGCGTCGACGCGGACCGGTGCGAGGGCAAGGACCCCTTCAACCCGAACGGGGGCCCGACGTGCGGCCGGGGCGGGCGGAATTCGGGCTGCCGGGGCTGGCCCATCGAGCCGCGCATGTCGCTGGTCGTGGCCAAGGGTCACGGCGAAGCGGATACGGACGAACGGTGTCGGGGCGAGGCCGGCGAGCGGTCCAGGAGTAACCCGGACAAGGTGAACAAGGACAAGGAGCCGATGGAGAAGGGTTCGATACAATGCCCCGGCGGGAACACGTGCCAAAAGGCCTTCCGGGCCTATTTTTGTTATCTCAATTTCCCGCGGTGCTACTGGGACGACCGGACGGACGAGATGAAGAGCGTGCCGTTGTGTCGCAGCGCGTGCAAGAACTTCTTCAAGGCGTGCAACTACGATAAGAGTTTGTGGAGATGCGGTCGTTCAGAATGGATGAACGGGAACGAGCCCGAGGACTTCGCGGCGTATGGAAGGTACATGCGCGACTTCTTCCCGGGCCAGCCCTTCCGCAACTCCTACAAGTCGAGAGGGTATCGGAATATTCATGGGCGGTGCACGCCCGGCGTGCCCGACGACGAATTAGGTTATAGGGGTCCCTTCGAGGTGCGGAAGGACGAGGACAAGGAGGACGTCGAGGAGCAGCGTAGGTTAGGGGAGGCGAACGAGACGGCGCTGGACCGGCGGCGGGGGCGCTTTTATGCTTGGCTCGAGGGGATGGGGGTGGTGTAAGCACCTTGTATCTTACTCCATCACGACGCCGCATCTGACATCGTTCACCACGATGGAAAGGTCCTCGTCGTCGTCGGGCGCGACCTCGACAAGCGGCGACTCGTCGTCCGCCGCGAAGGTTTCTCCGTTGACCGTCCTCATGAACTCGAGCGACTCGACGGGGTCGGGCCACATCTTCCGGATGATTGGGCCTGTGTGAGACCTCCCTTGCCGTCGATCATCTTGCGTTGGCGGGGCGTCTGTAGAGCGTCGTCGCGGCGTTTTAGGTCCGGGCCGCGGGCGAGTACGTCGAGTCGGGCAACGCCGACATCCGCTACGCGATCAAGTACCAGACGGAGTTGAGGAGAAGGTACTGCTGCTGCTGCGTCATCGTGCTGGTGGTGTTGGCCGTCATACTCATCTACCTCGCGGTCACGAACCCGCGGCTCTTTAAGAAGATTAAATAAGCTACTTAGGGCAGCCGGAAGAGCCGCCGCGCCGTCCCTCCCAATAAGGCGTCCTGCGCCGCCTTGGGTAGATTTCGCGAGAAGCCCCGGACGGCCTCGAGCGACGCTTTCTGGCCGCCGTTCAGCTGCACGAAGGGAAAGTCCGAACCCCACATGAGCCGGTCCGCGCCGAACGCGTCTACGGCGGCGTCGAAGCGCGGCTGCAGATCGGAATGAGGTGCTTCTTGCGAAGACACGCGGAAGTGCGCCGAGAGCTTGAGGTGCAAGTTCTTGTGCTTGCGGCCGAGCGCGCAGAGCTCCTGTGTAAAACGGACACGTCGCGAGACGCGTAGACTCTCATGCGGCCGCGTCGTCACTTGAAGTCCAATTCCCACGCTGAGTCACGGACCGCGAACGCCGCGTCGTCGAATTTCAGAGCAGACGACGGCGCGCCCCCTGGCTCCGCCCGCGGGAAGCCCCAGTGGTCGATCACGACGTCCACGTCGCCTCTCGCACATAGCGCTTCGATGGACGGCACGAGAGGTGAAAATCCACCAAAAGCCATGACGCCGATCGGTAATTTCAGCTCCGCACACACGTCCGCCAGACTCGTGCCCACGTCGTCGGCGAGCCAGGCGCCGCCTCTGGCAGACTCGGGCCAGAGGTAGGGGTTGAAGCGCACGCCCGTCCACAGGTTTGGTGCCGTGGCGCAGGCCGCGCGGAGCGCCTCCGCCGCGGCCTTCGCTGGTTGTGAGGGGTCCGCGAGGGCCATGCCTCGGTATTTGTCTTTGTTGTCCGTGAGGACGCCCGCCACCTGCGTGGAAAGATGCCTAGACTCTCTCGCGGCCACGTCGATGGCGTCGAGGCGGCGTGGTCTCAAGAAGACGCCATCGCCGCAAGTTCATTTTCTACTCTGCGTCACTGACGTAAGTGTGGTCGAAGAGATAATTGATCGGCTGCACGATCAGCGCGCGGTCCACGCCCGACTCTTTGCAGGCCGCGGCGAACGCTTCGGCGGAGGCCACCGAATCTCCCAAATTCGCGGGAGGCTCCTTGCCCGGCGCAAATTTGGAAGTGCTGCTCCAGACGTGGAGGTGGCTGTCGACCACGAGGGCTCTTGTGGGTGTTGTCATTGTGGAGGCCATGCTTGCCAGCAATGCGCGCCGCGGGAGCCGCATCGATGGCGTGTAGGGCAGTGCTCTCCTTAGGTAGCGCTCTGCGGAGCCAATCGACGCGCCGAAAAAAGGTGCGAGCTAGCACAACGATGTCTTTTAAGAGATTATGCGACGACAAGCGCAGTTATAAGTGCACGCGCGCCCAGCACAGTCTGCACTCGAGCAGCTCTGCCTGGGGGTCGGGTTTTTCGAGGAGACAGAGCTCTCTCTTTCTTATCATAATACCCTTCGTGGTTAATAATGAATGCGCGCGTCGTCAATACCTCACGCGTGGACCGCCGCCCGCGTCGGCGCCGCCGCCGCGAGGAGCATCCCGCCGCCGCACATCTCGCACCCGAGGCCTCCGCAGCCGCAGTAGGACGAGGCGTGGACCGGAACCTCCAACGACGACACGGGCTTCTGCGCGCCGAGGAGGCCTCCGCCGCACACGCCGCACCCGTCGCCGCCGCACGCGGGACAGCCGAAGTTGCACGCCTCTTCTAGTGCTGACGGCGTCCAGAACTTGCCCTCGCGCTGGAGCATGCGGCTTCCCTTCGTCACCTTCATCATACGTGTCCCCGTCGGTCGCAGCGCGGTTGACGAGGTCGCCAGTAAAGCCATCATGAGTCTGTTGATCGGCGCCATCGTACTTTTGGACCTGTGTGCGTATAACGGTTTTAATGATACATTATGTCCTCACGCTAGCGAATCGTTTGAATGTTCGCAGCGCCATTTTTGCCGCAGTCCGAGGCGTTTTAAACGGTTCCAGCGCTCGCAGCGCAAAGCGACGTTGCCAATCTACCATCCAACAACAGCATTACACGGATGCGCGCAGATTGACGGAGTTTGACAAGGCTACCGCTATTAATCAGATGCTCCAGCCGCTCGACGAGAGCCGCGCCGCGCCAAACGCTCATGAAACAAGCACGGCACGTCTACAGAGACATCTCTGAGACGTCCGAGACCCCTTCGAAGTCGAAACGGGGTGAGGCCCTCTGGAGGAGCGCCTCTGCAACGCGCGTGAGAGCCATCTCCGCGCAGCATCGGTGGGGGTTGACGAAAGACCGACGCGACGCCGGGAGGACGCGACCGCCGCCCCAATCGCGGGGCAGCCCCTCGCACAGCCCACGCCGTCGCCACAAGCAGAAACAGCATGCCTCTCCAGCGCCCCCAGTCCGCCGCCTCGACGCGGTCGGCCCGCAGCGCCTCGGGCGACTCGCACCGCTCCACGAGCACGGGGGCGTCGCGCCTGCGCGCCGACCACGTCTGGCTCCAGCCTTTGCCTGGGGTCGGCAACGCCGAGCAGATCGCGGCGATCCAAGATGCTTTATCGCCGTCCAAGGCGGACGCTCGTTTGTCCACAGCGACGCCGGTGAAGCCGACGCGGAGCCAACGACGTAGTTCCAATGAAACACCTCGACAAAGGCGCCCGGCGACGGCGCCGTCCAGAAGAGGCCCGCCCTCGCCCGAGTGCCTGTCTCCTGAGAAGTTCGCATTATTATCTCATCCGAGTTCCGGCGCTCCAGAAGTCGACGCCTTCACGATGAAGCGCATGCAGTCTCCTTTGAGGGATCGCGACGTGAAAGGAAGACAGCGGCGGGCGGAGGCGACGCCATCACCAGTCATACAACAGAAGAAGCTGCGCGAGGAGGCCATTGCCCGGCGGCCGTCCCAGATCCAACAAAGACAACTGCGCGAGCAGTCCCAGCAGATGAGGCGGGCGTCGCGCGACGACGCCACGCAGACCGAGCCGGCCAAAAAAAAGACGCGCAAGAAGCCGGTCCCCGAGCTGCAGCTGGAGTCGCCAGCGACGGAGGACCCGCTCCAGTCGGTCGTCGCGGGCCGCGAGGAGCCCACCAGGACATCAGTCAATCTGACGCGGCCCCGGACCGCGTCGGTAGAAACACCCCCACAAGGCTACACGTCCTGGGAGACGCTGGTCGGCAAGGACGACCTCGGGTCGTTGTACGAGGCGAACCGTCGACTCTCATCAGAAGATCTGATCAAGACGTATAGGGCGCGGCCGTCGACGGCGCCGCGGCCGGGCTCGCGCTACGCCTATTTGAAGAAGAAGGGCTCCATACATACGCCGGGGCGCATCTTCCACGGCAACCACTGGCTGCGCGGGCGCCACGTCGAGGCCGTCGCCGAGGGCGACCCGTCCGTTCCTGCGTCCTTTTTTTTCGTCGCGACCACGCGGCGATGGCGTGCTGCTGCGGGAGACGTACTCTCCAAGAAGACTTCTACGCCGCCAGCACGCCGTCGACGCGGCATCTACTCACCGTAACCACGCAGGCGCGGCCAGAAGAAGGTGCTGGAAGTCAACCCCGGGCGCCTCATGTTCGACAAGGCCGTGCAGGACGCGGAGCTCGAGGACGAGCTCCTGACGCGCCACGAGCAGCGGAGCTTGGGCATCAACGAGAAGCGGCACATCGTCAACTTGCACCGGACGCACAACTATAACGTGGCGAACATCGAGGCGGCGACGTCGCACCATCGCGACCGGCACTGCGACGAGTATTTTGATTATAGGAAGGAGATGCGGCGCAAGATGATCGCGCGCACGACGAAGCGGACGCCGACGCCGTATACGGTCAGGAGGGCCACGCGCGCGGAGATCGTGGACCATCAAGAAAGAAATGTATTGATACTAAACCACTGCGTGCGCAACGCGACGGCGAAGACGGTCTGCCATCTCGACGACAAGGTGAACAACGCGCGGAAGCTGCGGAGGACGAAGCATCGGCGCGAGGCGGCGGGCCCCGTCGCGCACGTGCTCGGCATCCTACGTAAAAGGGAAGCGCGACAGCGGAAGTCGCACGCCGTCTTCGTCGCCTCGTCCAAGGACCCGTTCGTCGGCGCCGGCGAGGAGGCGCCGGGGGCGGCGCCGGCCTTTGACACGTTCGCGCGATCTCAGACGTGCGCGCCTCGTTCCAAAACCGAGGCGCTCATGCTGGCGCAGGAGCGGCGGGATTTGGCGGCTGTGTGTGGGAGGGACCAGGTCTCGACGGTGATGGCGCTCAACCCGGGCGACGCTACTTTATTTGACAAGAGGTTTCGGAAGAGCATGGAGAAGCGGGGGTTGTACTTTTAAGGGTTGGGGTGTCTATAGATTTGGCCCCGCGTCGGCTCCGCGGCTAGGCGGCCTAGCTCCAAGCAAAGCAGGCTTCTGGGCCGCGTCGATGGCGTCGAAGCCTGCGTGGTCTACGCCGCCAACGCGAGGCTGAACCACCGTAGTACTAGTACGGCGCCTCCGCGTTCGCGGCGGGGAGGAGTAATTGCACCTATCTAGTTTTTGCCCGCGGTCCCTGGAGGCTTCGAGTTTGGAAGACGAACAAATTACACGCCGCGCCTACCCTGCCTGGATTTAAAGAAAGCGCCAAGGCGCCGTTGCGAGCGTGTGGCAGCGCGCGCCCGGGCCCGGGCGAGCACCTCCTGATGTGACATCCCTGCTGCTAAATCGGCATGGAATCTGGCACCATCCAAATCACCGCAAGCGCGCGCCGTTCGTTCTGACTCGCGGTGGAAGAATCTCATGAGATCTTCTACGTCTTCGTCTTCCGTCTTATCCACGCTCGACACGGGCACCGACGCCGTGTCGTCGACGTCATCGCGAAGCCGCGAGTCCTCCCAATCGCGCCGCGGCGACAAAAGCCGCTCGTCGCGGCGCCGCGGCGGCGACCGTTCGAACTGTCTTCTCAGCTCGTCGGCGTAGTAGCGGCGATACGGCGGCGGCGACCGCCCGCGGTACCCGCTGCGCCCCCCGTAAGAATCCTCGGACGGCCAGCGGTACGAGCTTCTTTCATATGAAGGCGAGCGGCTGTAGCGACGGCGGCGCCCGTACGACGGCGACCGGCTGTAGCGCGGGCGGTCGTAGGAAGGCGATCGGCGCCACCGCGGCGCCCGCCGGTGTTCGTCGCCGGGCGAGAAACGAGGCCGCCGTTTTGGTGACTCGTCTTCGGAATCGGACCGCGTCAAATCGACCGCTTTGCGCTGGTCGGGCAAGTAAGCTTCTTCTTGTGACGCCTGGCTTTTATACCATTGTGCGGTTTCAGGGTCTCCGCGCGCTTACCTATGAGCCCGCGTCGCAGCTCCCGGCGCCCAAGTTCAATCTCGAGCTCGGCCCGTTCTACCTCTCGGGCAACGGGGTCTACGACGCCTCCAACGAGTGCAATTGGGTCAATAACGGCAAGGGCGATTGGAATATCAAGTTCGACAATTCGGGCGAAGATCTCAAGGGCGCTTTGGCCAACCCGGCCTGCCCGTACTAAGCCTGGGCCACGCTACCACGACTACTCCCCTCCTTCCCCCTACGAAATAAGTACCAAGGTACACAAAAGTACAACACTAGCGAAGCCGCAATTCGCCCCGAATCAACACCTTCGGCGCCCGCACCACACCCGCCGCCTCGTGGGGACACGCGTTCGGCATCAGAAATAAGCGGCCGGCTTTGGGATGCACCGCGTAGAGCGTCGTCCGCGCGCCGTCGACGAGGCCTCCCGACAGCGCGAGCGCGTCGTCGCCGGGAAGCGCACTCAGCAGCGACGTTGATCCGCCCTCGGGATCGTCGCTGAGGTAAAGAAGGAAGGTGTGCGTCGTCGGCGGGCCGCCATCACCTAAATCGCGGTGCAAGTCCACGTGCGCGGGAAGACACCCGCCCGCCCGCGCATAAGTCAGCACGCGGTAACATTTGTTCACTCTAATACGAGTGACGGAAACGCCCCACGCCGCCGCGGCGACGCCCGCAAAGCGCCGCCCGAACGCGCCGTCGGCATCATAAAAATAGCTCCGGTCCGCGCACGCGGCCTTCTCCGCCGGCGCGACGGGCAACCCCCGCGCCAGCTCCAGGAACGCGGCGACCTCGTCGGCCGTCGCTGCGCCGTCGACGATCACGCTGCCGGCGCCGGGGTGGGCGAGGCCGCGCAGCGGTCGCGTCGTCGCGGTCGGCGCCGGCGGGTCCCGCGCAATCATCAGCCGCCACGCGGGCGGCGTCGGGCCGAGCAGCGGAAGTGGCTCTCGGGGTATGAAGTGGCTGGGCTTCCAGCCGCCGTGCGCCTGACGCGTGGGGTCCGCGCCGGCCGCGAGCAACCGGTCGACGCGCTGCCCCGCGGCCGCCGCGAGGAACAGCGCCGTGCGACCGTACTCGTCGGCCGCGTCGACGCGCGCCCTTCCTGCCTCCAGCAGCGCGGCCACTTCCTCGCCGTCGCCCCGCGCCGCCGCGGCGCGCAACGCCGCGTCGTCAGCGTTGCGCGTGGCGCCGCCATCGATATCGCGAATGACTCGGCGCCAGGCGTCCCGCGCGGCGTCGTTCGTCGCGGCGGCCACGACGAGGGCGCGCGCCCGCCGCCGCGCCTCCGCCGGCGCATTTTCATCAACGTCGGCGCAGCGCGCGTCGCTCTTCGCGAGGTAGAGCGCGAAGCCCTCGAGGTAGAGCGCGCGCGCCGGCGCGGCCGGCCCGGTGGTATCATCGGCGCCGCGCGTCGCGAGCCAGGCCGCGCCCTCGGCGCCGCGGCAGACCGCCACGGCCGCGCCGAGGCAGAGGCGCGCCGTCCGCGTGCCGCCCCGCGGCGGGCCGCCCTTGCCCGTGTCGCCCGCGCCGCCTGTGCCAAATCAACCAGTGAGTCATTTCTCGACGACGACGCAGCCGTACTGCCCATGGGCGGAAATTTGATTAGGGCACTGCGCAAAACCGCGGACGCGGACGAGCAGCCAGTCGTCGCGCCAGTCGCCGCCGACCGTGCGGACGTCGCGCGCGAGCGACGCGGGCCGCAGCACGGACGCCGCGCCGCTGAAGACCGCGCGGCTCGCGGCGGCGAGTGCGTCCTTGAGGCGCTTGTGCGCGTCGAGCTTGGCCCGGGCCTCGCGCCACGGCATCACCTGGAGAACGACGTCGCCTCGCGCGAGGCCGTCGAGCTTTGAAACCGCATTCTTCGCAAGCTCCGCGTCGCCGTACGAGAGCTTCGCGAAGGCGTCGCCGCCGCAGACGCCCTCCACCGCGTCCGGCGGCGGCGCGTCCGCCATTCGTGCTACGTCGCGGATCCAGGCCTCGTCCACGGCCGGGTCGCGCCCGCCCGGCCGCGTCGCCACCACAAATACGGACCGGCCATCGTCGCGCTCGTCCTCGTCTACAACGACGGCGGCGTAGGGCACCGCAATCACGTGCGCGCAGCGGCGGATGCGCTTCGTCAGCCGCCCCGCGAGCGCCTGGTCCGCCGCGCTGTTTGTGAGGAACCTAGCCGCGAGCACGCGCAGGCCGTCGGGCAGGCGCTCGTCGAGCGTCGTGGCGGTGAGCCGCGCGCCGGCTTGGATGTTGCGCAGCGCCACAAGCACAATATTCGCGCGCGCGCCGGCGTGCTTCTCCGTGCTGACAGCGGCGTGCGTCGACTGGACGACCGCGCCGCCCCCAGCCGCGCCTGCGCACGCGTTCCCAACAGCTTTCACGACTAGCTGCGTCGTCGCCGCCGGGCCGCCATTTCTCGCGTCGGCGCCGAGCTGCGCGTCGCCGGCGTAGGCGACGACCACGGCGAGCTTCGCCACATTCTCCTTGTTGAGCGTCGGGTCGCACTGGGCCCTTAAATGGCGGAAGAGAGCGGAGCGCGAGGCGTGCTGGGCGCCGCAGTGTGTGCAGACGTGTTGTTTCTTTTCCGCTGCAGTGCTTGCTTGGACGTCTCTGCTCGCCCCTCCTTTTCCAGCCTCCATCTCGACAGCTTTCGCCGCAGCGGCATGGGAGATAATGCCTGCCATGCTGTGTCCTCGCCACACCTAGCCCTGCAGCCCAGGAAGCCGCAGCTTCCAGCACGAATCCAAAAAACGTGTCTTATGCGTGCAACAGCAGGCGCACCAGTCGTGCGCTAGATGCGCGTGCAAAGCCAAAAACTCAAACCAATGCTTTTAGCTAGCGACTGTAAGACACACTAGCAAGACGAAAAGCTGCCGGGAGGGTTGCCGAGTCCTCCAGACGCGTCACGACGAATGCACGAGCCAAGGAGCAATCAATTTTGCAGACGCAGGCTGAAGCCCAGCCAAGGTAGCAGTAGAGCGAGACACTGCTGGCGGCCGTGACATCGCTCAAAGGAGTGAAGCAGCGTGCTCTTCCGATTGATTGCTGACCGCTATCAACGCCTCGCCAGTGCTCGTCACCCTTAACAGCAGAGCAACGCAAAGCCATGGCATCGTCAACCAGGCTGGCGCTGCTCGCGCTGGCCATGAGCGCATCGGGACTGGTCGCGCCGGGGCGCCAGAGGGCCCAAATAAGGATGGGCATGGGCAATTCCTTTGGACGGTGCTTCCGCATCTCGACGTGGGGCGAGTCGCACGGCGGCGGCGTCGGCGTGGTGGTGGACGGCTGCCCGCCGCGCGTGCCGCTGACCGAGGAGCCCGTGCAGTTCGAGTTGAATAGGAGAAGGCCCGGCCAGTCGCGACTGACGACGCCCAGGAACGAGTCCGACACCGTCGAGATTTTGAGCGGCGTCGACAAAGAAAGTGGAGTGACCCTGGGCACGCCCATCGCCATGTTGGTGAGAAATAAAGATCAAAAGTCGAACGACTACGACACGATGGCCAAGGCCTATCGACCGTCGCACGCGGACGCGACTTATGATGCGAAGTACGGTGTTCGTGCCGTCGCGGGCGGCGGCCGGTCCTCGGCACGAGAGACCATCGGGCGAGTGGCCGGCGGCGCCGTCGCGCGGGAGGTGCTCAAGCTCTACTCGGGCGTCGAAGTTTTAGCTTATGTCCAGGCTGTGCAAGACGTGCGCATGCCCGAGGACTTCGACCGCGACTCCGTCACGCTCGAGGACGTCGAGGCGTCCATGGTGCGCTGCCCGCACGCGGAGACGGCGGAGAAGATGATCGAGCGCATCGACCAGATCCGGAGGGGGGGCAACTCCATCGGCGGCGTCGTCGAGTGCGTGGCCTACAACGTACCTGCTGGGTTAGGCGCGCCGGTCTTCGACAAGCTCGAGGCGGAGCTCGCCAAGGCCTGCATGTCGCTGCCCGCCTCGAAAGGTTTTGAAATTGGTTCGGGCTTCGGCGGCACTTTACTAGCTGGCAAAGACCACAACGACGAGTTCTACGTCGACGCCAACGGCCGGACGCGGACGCGGTCGAACCGCAGCGGCGGCGTCCAGGGCGGCATTTCCAATGGCGAGACGATCTGGGTCCGCGTCGCGTTCAAGCCGACGTCGACGATCGGCCAGCTCCAGAACACGGTGACGCGCGACGGCCAGGAGACCGAATTAAGGGGCAAGGGCCGCCACGACCCGTGCGTGCTGCCGCGCGCGGCGCCGATGGTCGAGTCCATGGTCGCACTGGTCTTGGCCGACGCGCTCATGCAGCAGAAGGCGCAGTGCGACCTCCTGGAGTTCCAGGAGCCGTCGGGCTTCAACGCGCTGGGGGCGACCCCGCCGAAGGAGGTCGGCGTCGTGGCGGCGCCTTAGGTGCTTGTGGGGTAAGTTGCTCTCTTTATGACTCGTCGATAGCTAGCGTAATCGACTTACTAGCAAATCCAAAGATGCGCTTCGATAGCGTCAAAAGAATAGCCAAAATTCAGAATACATCCTAGTCCTTCGCCGAGACCAAATATTTCAGAGTAGCGGCCCGGGAACATACCCTCGCGCCTCCCGGAAGGCACCGCCCGCGACATTCGCGGATGAGTCTTCCGGCTTGCCAAAGTAGACCAGCGATTGATGCCGCGATCTATCGTCCAAATGGTACATTATATCAACTCCAGCCCAGTTTTCATACAAGTTCGACGGAACCAGAGCCGACGGCCCGCGCTCGGAGGGCGGGAGAAGAGTTCTACTAGACAACTCCCGAGTTTATGTTCGTTTCCTTCCGTTTGTTAGTGGTAGAGTCCATCCAAACCGCATCAGCGTCCACTGAGCTATTTTAGATCTTCCATTAGAGCCGCGGGATTCGACGACTTCGGTACCGCGTGTTTATATGAAAACCAGCCCAGAAACCAAACCTGCGAGTATCAGCGACGGCACCATCCAGATGGACCATAACGCCGTTGTTCTATTCACAATCGACCGACTTGCCCGTTCTCCGCGGGCGACGGTGCGGAGACGGAGCACCGGAAAGGCCCCAGACCGGTGGTTTATAAAATAAATTCGCGTTTGAGGCGCTTCGGTTACGGGATGGGCCAGATAACCGGCCTGGGCGTGAACTACATTGGACGAAAGGTCCCGTTTACTCCGCGCGGATCTTCGGTCTCGCGACCCCACGATCTCAATTAGATGGGCTTTAAACCCGGACCTGCGACCATCAGCCCGTGTACCATCACCATGGACCATGACGCGAACATTTGTTCCATGATAAATTGACTTGCGCGAGGTCCAGATCAAGATGTTCACGTCCCGAGTGTGGGCAGCCAAAAGTACCCTTCTTATAATGTAGATGTCATATACTCGTAATTGACTATCGCTGGGGTAGTATAGGGTTCAACGAGACCGCTACGGCGACTACTGGGGGCCCTCGGGTAATTGACGTTTTTGACGGGAACGAGGCGCCATCGGGTCCAAATTGCGCACTTTTTTCGGATGTAGATCGGCTCCTGGAGGTCTCTCGGGGTAGGTCTGGTAGTGGGTAAGCGCCTGCACCGCTTACGCCATCGATGCAGCGGTCTAGTGCTCTCGGAGAGCCCTGGAAGCAACAAAGGCATAAAAGTTGCTATTCCTCTGTGGCCTGCTGAGAGAAATCGACCAAAAATGATTGAAGCGGCGGCGCATGCGGTGTAGGCGCTTGCGCGTGTAGAGTACCGACCCTAGGCAACCCCAGGGACACCTCTTGGGCAGGGATTGACAGGATTAAACCGGCGCGCCCGCCATAGACCGAGGGGCGCCCTCGGCCGCGAATTAAAAAATTTCCTTTTTCGCCCCCCAGTACGTGTCCAATTGATCTCTTTGGACCATTAGCGAACTGATCGATACTCAAACAGCTGCATGCTGCGTTCCGAGTTTGTGCTTGCTAGTGTCTTTACAGACCGCTAGCTCGAAGTGCGGCGCTCTTTTTTGCTTGCAGCGGCAAGCACGAGGTTGGCTTTTGCTGCGAAGCAGCACAATTACTTCAGAATCATTGCAGATTCGTTATGGATCAAAATCTCGGGCAACGGTCAAGCGCTAGACGCCTGCAAAGGTGAGAGCCGCGCAGCGCAGATGTCGGCCACGGATCGTTGCAAAGCGTTCGAGCATGCAGCACGGCAAGAGGCCGCACTCCAAGCGGTGCAAGACGGCACGGATGCCTCGGACGCCGGCTACATCGAACGATTCGTGCGCGTCGCGACGTTGCAAGAACGGCACCGCGCCGCCCAAACGCTCGCCGGCGCTGCCGCGCCCGCACCGCTGCCGCCGCCGCCGCCACCACCGCCTACCAGCGAAAGGCCCTTCTACGAGGCGCGGGCGGAGGCCGCGTACGCGAAACGGCCGCCGACGAGGGGCGAAGAGCCCCTCGTCGACGTGCGCGGCGAGTCGTACCGTCGGGTCCTGCGCGACTGCCCCATCTTAGCCCGCAGCCAGGCCCAAGCTCTTGCGCGAGCCGCCGCGCGGGGCATGGTCGGGGCGTTCCGCAACAACGGCAGCACGACGCTCGGCTGCGCCGCGCCGGAAGCCCTTCAAGGTCGTCTGGACGACGAGAGCATCGCCACGATCCGCCGCTGCGTCGTCGAGCTGCGGCGGCTCGCCGCCGAGTCGGCGGGCGTCGACGAGCGGCGGCTGGCGCTGTCCGGCGCCTTCCTCGCGCGGCTCCAGCCGCCGGGCGCGTCGTCGCGGCGGCGGGCCCTCGAGTCGAAGCCGCGCTGCTACTGGAACGTGCACGTTGACGAGTACAACGTCGAGACCTACGAGCACACGACGCTGCTCTACCTGTCGGATCATGGGAGCGATTTCACGGGCGGCCGCTTCGTCTTCTACGACGGCGACGGCGTGGACCGCTACCTCGAGCCGTCCGCGGGGACGGTCATCTGCTTCCGCGGCGACGCGACGAACCTGCACGCCGTCGAGAAGGTATCTTCTGGGTGCCGTTTTGCGCTGACGGCCCTGTTTCACGCGACAAGTGATCCCGGGCCGCTCTTCGAGGCCGGAGGCGGCGGCGGCGACCCCTACGCGTCCTGGGACGCGCTGCTGCGGTCCGCGGCCGAGACGTCGCTCATGGCGCAAGATCAAAGGCGCCGCGACCTACTGGACGACGCGTCCTCGACGCCCGTCGCCGCGCGCCTCGCGACGGACCTGCGCGGCGACTGGTGCGACGCGCGCGTGGCCTATGATGGGGAGGTGGTCTCTGCCACCGGCCCGGCGCCGGATGCTGTATTGGTGGACCTCGTCGCGGCGGCGCTGCGGACGGACGACGACGGGGGCGCCTTCGACGTCTTTGGCGAAGAGAGCAGTGACGACGGCGCGCCTCCGCGCCTGCTGACCTACGCCGCCGCTGGTGGAGCGCATGGTCCGTCAGGCACGCTCTCGTGGCGGCGCGCGCGCTACACTCTATCGGACGGGGGCGAGGAGGTCGCTTCATGTGAGTGCGAAGTGACTTTTACGCGTGACGGCGCGCAGAAACGCCTGGTGTTTGGGGGTGATATCACCGTGGTCGTCGACGAGCTCGCGGCTACGGCGTCGAATTCCGGGACGGGCCACGCGCTCTGGCCCGGCGCCGTGGCGCTGACGCTATTCGTCGTGGGGCGAGAAACACTGACGCGCGCTCGCGTCGTCGAGCTCGGCTGCGGCGCGTGTGCGCTGCCGGGCCGCGCAGCCGCCGCCCTGGGCGGGCGTGTCACGTTGACCGACGGCGCGCCGGCGCTCCTGCCCGTCCTCCGGAAGCTCGACGGCGTCGAGGTTTGTTTGTACAACTTCGCGGGTGGGGGGACTTTCGACGGCCTGGACGCGTCCGCGGAGCCGTCGGAGCCGCCGGCACCGGCGGACCTCGTGCTCGGCGCGGAGATCGCGTACCGGGCCGCGGACGCCGAGGCGCTGGCTGCGTGTATCCCGCTCCGTCTTGCGCCCGGCGGCACCGCCGTCCTGTGCTCGGACGAGAAGCGGGCGCCCTTGAAGCTGTGCGGGGAGCTGCTGCGGAAACGCGGCTTTGTCGTCGAGGACTCCGTGCTCGCGCTGACCGTCACGCCGGACGTCGATGCGGCGGCGACGCATCGCGTGCGCGTCGTGCGGGCGCGGTGGGGTTCATCTTCTTCTGGTGTGGGGGCGAGTTAGTTCTTGTTGTTTGTATGTACGTGGATGACTAGTCCCGAGATATTTTGGTGCTAGGACTGGTGGGCGGATGACTTCTTAAATGCTAGTGTCTTACTACGCTAGCGCGATCCTATGCAAAATCTGCGCGTGCTTGCCACGTGTGACTTCGTAGCAACGTTGCGACACTGTGTGCAGCTGCGAGACGCGCGAGAAGATGAACGCACGAGGCTTGCAACTGTTGGCCATCGCTGGGGCTTGTAATGCCTTGGTGCCTCATCTGAGAGCTGCTGCCCGCAGCAGCCCTCTCGGTGCGTTCAAGTCCAATTTCCCGCCGGTCGACGGCCCGGAGACGGACAATCCGGCTGCGGCAAAGACTGAATCGGACGCGGCGACCGACGCCTCCCGCGCGGCGCTGGAAGCATCGTTCGCAGTAGAGGCGGCACCTGTAGCCGATCCGACCGCGGGGGCGGAGCTCCTCGAGGCGCTCACGGGCAAGACGAAGGGCGCGGACCTCGGCCCATTAATCGACGCCTGCGAGGAAAGCTACGACAGGCGGTCCTTCGCCGAGGCCAAAATACAAGGCCCCTGGCGCCTGAAATATCAATTGGATGGAAAGAAAGCCCAGCGGTCGCAGAAGGCGCTCGCGCCCGACAAGACGGGTCATCCCGCCGACAGCGACTTTATTACTGATGACAAGGGCCGCAAGGTCTTCCGCAACGTCGCGCGACTCAGCAAGAAGCGCGTCGCGGTCGTCGCGGACGTCGCGTACGAGGTCTCCGAGGGCATCCCGAACCGCCTCCTGAGCGACATCGTCGCAGCGTCGATACAAATCCAGGTCGGCAAGCGGTTTGGCATTCCAACGCTCCGCATCCCGCTCCCGTTGAAGGGCCTCGGGTGGCTCGACGTCACTTACTTAGACGACAAGCTCCGCGTCACGCGCGGCAACCGGGGAGGCCTCTTCGTCCACGTGCGGCCGGAGCTAGACAAGTAATCATCCTGAGAAATTACCCGGCCCCGCTCATCGCACGCATCAGCATGGCCGTCAGCTCGTCCTCGCGGTCCTGCTCGGACGCGGCGTTCGCGGCCCGCGCGGCCCGCTTCCCGAACGGCGTCTCGGTCGAGAGCAGGCTGCCGCCGCCGGCGGACCCGTCGTCGCTCCATTCTGAGGAAGGCGACCGGCCCTTGTCCCCCCCGCGCCCCTTCCGCCGCCGCGCGCCCCGCGCCGGCGGCGGCGTCGTGTCATGTTGACCGAACTGCGACGCCGGGCTCCCGCCGCCCGTCGCGACCTGGCTCAGCATGGCCACGAGCTGCCGCTCCTGGGCGTCGTCGTCCCGGTAGGCGTCCTCGGGGTCGTCATGATCCCCGTTCAGGCCGTGGTCGCCGTTGAGGCTGCCCAGCGCGTACGCGTCGTCCGCGTCGTCGCGCCGTCGCGGCCGTCGTCGCCCGCGCCGCCTCCTATTCTTTTTGGGGGACACGCTCGGCAGCATGTCGATGGGCGACCGCTGCCAGGGCGTCTTCGCGCGCATGCCCGGCGCCCGCTCGGGGCTCCTCCCGGATCTCGTCGACCGCCTTCTACGTCTTCGCCGCGGCTCGCGCTTTTTGGAGGGCACGTCGGGAAAAAACTCCTGGTCATTTAATGAATTGCGCGACATCGATAATGGAGACACGGCCGCGGGGCGACCTCGCGACGACGTCCAGGTCGGGAGCATCGCGTCGTCCGGAGCTTGATCGACGTCGAGCTCCGTCGCGCCACCGCGGCTCACCGCGAGCTGCGACCGCAGCTCCGCGTTCTCCTGCTTCAGCCGCGCGATCTCCTCCCGCAACCGCTGGACCAAGTTCTGGTGCTCGGCCACATGAACTCTAGGTAAGTTCTTGATCCCGCGGACCCGCGCCGCGAAGTCCACGGTCCTCAGCGTCTCGGGGATGGCCTTGTCCGACGACGCGCAGCAGCCGACCATTAATGTTTTTGACGAGCCTCCCAGGGAACTGATCAGTAGTTTCGTCAGGGCCGAGTCGCGATACGGCACGCGCGGCGCCGTCGACGGGTCCCTTGCTAACCGCTCCAAGCCCCGGATGACCTTGCCCAGCGTATAGAGCGACTTGTTGATGTGGCCCGCGTCGGCGAGCATCCGCTTGTCTCTGCCAGAACCCGTCTCCTTGAGTCGTTCGGACCCTGCGAGGTCGACGAAGGACACGCTCCCGTACGTCGTTCTTCCTCCGTTCTTCGGCTCGCTATCGACATATAACGTGACGACGCAGTGCGACCGCGAGGAACGCGCATTCAATTTGTGCGCTCCCACTCGTCGACAAGCCAGGGCCTTGCCCAGGACGCCGGCGCACTGCGCCGCACTCGTACCATCACACGCTCGTAAGCCTTCGACGAAGAACCCGTGCGACGCGTGCTCGCGGATCTTGAGGGCCGGCCTGTTTTGGGCGGATTCGGGCGCGAGCATATCTGTCACGACATCTCGATAGATCTCCAGGCAGGTCATCCTGACTCTCGTTTTTTGTTTTCTACGTAATGCGTCCACTCTCGCAAAAACATGCGCAAGGGCCCGTGGCAACAAACCGTCGTCCTCGTCCGTCCCCGGCGTTTCGGCTCTTCGCCTACGACCGCGTCTCGACTGGACCAACCCACCAAGAGCGTCGTCCCCGCCGACCATCGTGTACGTCTTGCCTGCTCCTGTTTGTCCATATGCAAATGCTGTGGACCGGAAGCCCTCAAAACTACTATCAATCAACGGCACGACGCCCGAGTCGCGGAAGAACTCCCGCTGGCCCGTATCCCCATCAAACGCCTTGTCGCAGCGACATAGTTTCGGTTGCGGACCGTCGACCTGCAAAGCGGCATCGGCATACTTCGCGACGGCCTCGCGGAAGCCCTCGCGCCGCTCCCACCGCAAGAGCGGCCGCAGCCGGAGCACCACCCCAATGTGCTCGTAGTCCGCGGCCGGCTCCGGCGGCTGCGGCTGGCGCTGCTTCGCGCGCTGGCGGCGCGTCGCCATCTTGTCGTGTGGGGCTGCCCCCAACCGACGGTCCCGACGCGACGGTCGGTGCCGGCCGCCGGCGCCGCGGTCCCGGGGCTGCCCGTGCGCGGCACGATCGCCAGGCAGCCGCCGCGCTCGTTCGTAGCGCCCTGCAGCGCTTTACGACCAGCGCCAAACCGACTGCGCTGCGCATCACCCCCTACTATCGGGAAGGCGGCCAGAATCGTCCGCTACGGCTCTTCTGCGACAGCTTGAGGCGTCCGTCGAGGGGTGTTCTGGCACGAGTCGTATTTCTGTGGTAGTAGTCCTCGCAGGGGTACTGGTACCATACGAGGTACCGAGGTACCGGTACCGCAAAGCGGCCATCATCGCGCGGCCGTGGGCGGCGCACGCCACGCTATATCACTAACACGAGCTATTATGGTTAGAATACGATAGAAAATGCTGTTAACACGAGCGCTGCGGCGCGTCGCATCTGTGCGGCCAGCAGCACTGCGCAGCGCATCGACGGCCGCCGCGGTGCAAGACGCCACCGCCGCCGTGGTGCCAAAGCCGCCGCCGGACCCAAAAACCGTCGCGGACATGCGGCGGCCCGAGTGGTGGTACCCGAAGGCGCGCCTGTCGAAGCGCACGATCATCTACCACGGCGGCCCCACAAATTCGGGCAAGACCTACCACGCCCTCGAAGCACTGAAGCGGGCCGAGAACGGCGTGTATGCGGGACCATTACGTTTACTAGCGTTGGAGGTCCACGAGCGGCTGAACGACGCCGGCGTGTATTGCTCTTTATTTACGGGTCAAGAAAGACGAGAAGTGCCCTTCGCCACGCACGCGTCCTCCACGATCGAGATGGTGTCGTTGCAGGAGCGCTACGACGTCGCCGTCATCGACGAGATCCAGCTGATTGGGTCGAGCGAGAGGGGCCACTCGTGGACAAGGGCGTTACTAGGCCTCGACGCGCGGGAGATCCACGTCTGCGGCGCTTTGGATGCGTCCGAGCTCGTGGAGGATTTGGCGAAAAAATGTGGAGACGATTTTGTGCTCAAGACGTACGAGCGACTGACGCCCCTGAAGCCGCTACCCGTACTAAAAGGCTGGCGCGACGTGCGAGCCGGCGACTGCGTGGTGACCTTCTCGCGAGATGATATTCATGCGGTGAAACGACTCATAGAAGAGGCGAAGCCAGGTACCAAATGTTGTGTCGTGTACGGTACGCTACCGCCCGAGACGCGGGCGGAGCAAGCCCGGCTGTTCAACACGGAGGGCAACGGGTACGATGTGCTCGTGGCCTCGGACGCGATTGGCATGGGGTTGAATCTGAATATCGGACGAGTGTTGTTCCGACGCGTGCTCAAGTACGCCGGGAACGCTCCTTCCGAAGCTCGGTTGGCGAGTGTGGCGCCGGAGTACCGGGACGATGCGCGACGGCTGGGCCAGTTGCCCGCGGATCGGGCACTCGTAAAACAGATCGCGGGAAGAGCGGGAAGGATGTCCACGGCCTTCGGCGAAGGCGGTGGCGGCGTGGCGGCCATGGACGAGCGCGACGCCCAATACGTCCGCAAGGCGTTAAATGCCAAACCAGATAAAGTCACAAAGGCGGGCCTCTTCCCTCCCTCGGAATTATTGGCGGCCTTCGCGCGCGAGACGAAGATAGCGTCAAAAACGGATATAACGGCCGTCGTCGACGCCTTTGTGAATGTTTGCCAGATCGACGCGGCGCGCTACGCTTTAGCGGGTCATGTCGAGCTCAAGAAGGTGGCGACGCAGCTCGACGTGCCGTTGCCGTTGGAAGACATGGTCACGTTCTGCGCGGCGCCCTGCAACTCCTCGGATCGGCTGGCCGTGGCCATGCTGACGGAGTACGCGCGAGCTAGAGCGCGGGGCGAGCGCGCCGGGCCGAACGTGCGCCTGCCGAAGCACAAGCCGCGCACGTTGCGGGACCTGCACGACATGTGCGGCAAGCACAACGTGCTGGACTGCTACCTGTGGCTCGCGCACCGGTTCCCCGAGACGTTTCCCGAGAGCGACGCCGCGATGGCGCAGAAGCGGCGGTGCATCGGCCTGGTCGCCGCGGGGCTGGCGTCGCGGCGGCTGCAGCTTCCCGAGAAGAAGGAGGCCGACGCGAAGAGTGTCGCGGCGAAGCTCGTCGCCGCGAAGAAAAAGAAGCCCTCCGCGAAGAAGCGGGGGCGTGTTGTGAGGGGTAAACGAAGTAAATAATCACATGGTCCTCGTGGGTCGTTATTCGGATAAGGTTACTATACACATGGGACTAAGATTCGGTTTCTGATTGGATTTCCGGGGTGGGGGATAGGATTCTCGGAGCGCTGCGCGCTCAACGACATATGTACAAAAAAGCCAGCTCAGAGCTGGTCGTGGCCCGACGACGCCGCGGCTCGGACAATGGTCGACAACACGTGCGCGTCGCGGCGGCCGATCGCGTCCAGGGTCCGCTGGTTGAAGATGACGGCGACGACTCGATCTAGAGCCACGACCGCCGCGTGCCGCGGGCGCGTGAGCGAGTAGTCGTCGAAGCCTAAAACTTCTCCGTCGGACTTGATGACGCCGTTGCCGAGGTCCTTGAGGCTGCCGCTCAGGACGACGTAGAAGGCGCTCGAGTCTTCGCCCTCGTCGTAGAGGTAGTCGCCCCGCCGGATGGTCTGCATCGAGCCTGTGCGTAAATCAAATTTCAAGCGCCCCACGCCATCGACGCGACGTTGGTTGATTTCTACACTGCATCGAACAGCACGCCGACAGCGAGTAGACGACCGAACCAAGCTCGCGGCCCGCGAAGCCTAGGACCCGCGTGGCTAGGTACTTGGCGCCGCTGAGAGACAACGGCAGCGGGAGGCTCCGCGGCGTCGCCGGCGGCGTGACGAGGGCTGGCGCCTCCGTGAGCACGAGGGCCTCAACGCCCTTGACGCTCTCGTCCTGGGGGAAGATGTCTTCTCCGTCGTCTTCGAGTGCCTTGCGGTTGTTCTCGAACGAGCCCTCGACCTCGCCCTCGTCGTAGGCGTCTTCCTCGTCGAAGCCGAGGTCGTCGATGCTTGGAGCCGTACTGGGTTGCAGGCACATGCGAGTCTCCCACACGAGGTCGTCGCGCGACAGCGAACGATCCGAGACCTCGTCGAGCGAGACGGCTCGGGCGCGGCCCGGCGCGGCGACGCGGGTGCGGGAACGGGAGCGTTGCAGGCTCGGGAGGCACGGGCGCGGCTTCGAGGTCGCCTTGGCGTAGCGGGTCGTGTCCATCGTCTTGATTTGATTCTCACTAATACTAAATATCTTTTTCTGGGGGGAGGAGGGGCTCAGAGGAGCGGATCAGTTTTGTGATGTAACTGAGAGAGTCAGATTGAGCGGGCACTCGTGAGGCTTGAGCCTTGATGTATCTCACCGGCCCTGATGAATGTCCTGTATCTCCGCGCCGAGGAGGAGTCTCGACCTGGCGTCTTCACAGATCACGGCCGCGCTGTGAAGGATGAGGATAAGCAAGTCGGGCGGCCGCGGTGGAGCTTGAGCGCGTCGCGCAGAGCGTTTTATCTCGAGCGTGTAAGTGTTGAGGAGGCGCCCCTCAACCCCGCAAACGAAGCTCGAAGGACTTGTCCCAGGCTTCAGAGGCCTACGTTGATCAGCCAGACAGGTTTTTTTGCTGTTTTGGCTCCGGCCACGGAAACCCGCAAGACTTCGAGAGGCTGCCGGCATGCCCAAAGCACGCAAAGCAAACGAAACACGCTGTAGATAACTCGTGCGAAGCAATCCAGGCCCAAACGCCATCGCTGCGCCGCAGTTGTGCGCTGCAGAGCGTGCTAGCAAGACCCCACCACTATGATCAGGGCAGCCCTGCTCCTCCACCTCTGCACGGCAGCAGACCCCTACTACGAGCGAGGCCTGGCAGCCGCACGAGCAGCCGACCTTGCGCGAGCCAAAGCTTCATTTACGGAAGCTGGAGAAACGGCGAGCGCCCTGCAAGCGCTCGCGACGCTATACTTGATCGACGGCGACGTCGCAAAAGCGGTCGCGGCGCGACGCAAGGCCAAAACGATTGACCCCCAAGCATTACCACCGCTCGCGGTCTTGTTTAGAGACGGCGACGCGTGCGGAGGTCTGGGCGACGTCTACTGGTCGGGCGCGTTCCTGCTGAAGAAACTCGACGAGACGAATGTGAGCGACGACGTGGCCTTCGAGGGCCACCTCCAGCTGAGTACGGTCTTGGAGGATTCCGGGGCCTTGGTCGAAGCGTCGGAACACGTGCGGCGAGCGTCCTTGCTAAAACCGGACGACGCGCGGCTGCGGTTCCGGAGCGCGCTGCTCGTGCCGGCCGTCTCTTCTAGTCAAGAGGCGGTGAACACGACGTATCGTGAGCTCGAGAATAGAATAGCCCTTTTACCGGAGACGCTGGAGACGTTGGACGGCATCTCGATGCCCGGAACTTTCTACATCGTCTACCTCGGTTTTGAGGATGCGTCGTTGATGACGTCGATCCAACGCGCGTATCAACGGGCCCACCCTCCACTAAAAAAGCAGCTCGTCGCCACGACCAAGAAAGAACGGTTGAGGATAGGGTTTGCCGGTGCCTATTGGAAGCGCCACAGCGTCTGCAAATTGTTGTGCGGCATTGTGCGGGGCCTCGCGGCTTTGCCGGACTTCGAGGTCGTCCTCTTCGACGCGACGGAGGAGTCCGACGACTGGTTAACGTGGACGTTGGGGACGGGCGCTTTGCATAGACCAATGGACATGACGCTGTCGTCGCGAACCCAGGTGCAGGACGTTGATGTCTTGGTGTATGCTGAATTAGGAATGCGAGCTCGAGCGCTGACCTGGGCCCACGCGCGCCTCGCGCCCGTCCAGGTGTTGTTCTGGGGCCACCCGCACACGTCCGGCCTGCCGGACTCGATCGACTACTTCGTGTCGTCGGACGGCTTCGAGCCGCCGAATGATGATCTCTCCAGAAGATACGCGGAGCAGGCCGTGCGCTTCGCGACGCCCGGGATTTATTTTCGAAGGCCTCAAAATCTCTACGCGCCTCCGATAAGCGACGGGGCCGCGTTCCGACGCCAACTGAACATGACGGATACAGATCCTTTATATCTCTGTCCTCAATCTTTACCAAAGTTCCACCCGGCCTTCGACGAGGTTTTACTGAGGCTCGTCTCGGAGGATGCGAGGGCCAAAGTAGTGGTCACCTACGACCCGAAGAAGGCGCTGTGGCTGCACGTCTTACAAGGGCGGCTCGGGCACCATCCCCGGATCGTGTTCCTGCCGCTGGCTTTGGGCGACAAGTTCTTCGGGCTGCTGCGCGCGGCGACGCTGCTGCTCGACCCGTTTCCCTTTGGGGGCGGCGTGACGACGCTCGAGGCGTTCTCCGTGTGTCGGCTAGCGGTCACGGCTCCATCATTACAGAGCGTCGTCGCGCTCGCGGCGGGCTTCTACCGACGGTTAAATATAGCGGACGCGCCGATCGTCGATAGCGTCGACGCGTACGTGAAGCGGGCCCAGGAGCTCGCCGCCGACGCCGCGAAACGGGGGGCGCTCGAGGCCGCCGTCTGCCGCGCCGACGGGAATCTATTCAATGATGACGAGTCCGTGGAGGAGTGGGCGGCGTTCCTGCGGCGGGCGAGCTCCGGGGCAGCACCAGCTCCGTTCAGCAACACGGGGTCCACCACGGTCTCGGGGATATCGTTGGCGGCGGCGTCGACGCCCGCGGTCCAAGCCGTCCTCCAGGACGCGATCTGGCGCGTGGCCGGAGGCACGGACGTAGAAATACTGGGCGTCACGGCGGCGGCGCGCGGAAGTGGCGTCGACGTCAGCTATCGCATCACGTCGCCCGACCTCGCGGCGTCGCGGGACGTCGCCGAGAGGCTCGCCGACGTCGCGGCCAATCCCGCGCTGTTTGATCGAGCGATCGCGGAGGCGGCGGCCGCGGCGTCTTGATTTTTTAGCGTCGATGGCGTCCGCGACGGTCCAGCTGGGACATGTTAAAATGTAGTAAACTTAGTCAATAGAAATGAGGACCGAGGGCTTGCTTTCCGAGGCTCACGAAAGGGCCCTCGTTTTGCGAGGCGCGCCCCCATCCTCGCGGAGCCAGGTTCGCTCTAGTATCGCGCATAGCAGCCCTTCGTCAAAGACACCGTCGCGTTCGAGCGCCGAGAGCTTAAGCCGCGCATAAGTAAGCGATCGCCGGCTGGCATTCGCAAATGGGTGTTCTTTTCCGTAGCCGCGCTCCGCGCCCGCGAGACGCCGTCGCCGGGGTAAGGCTATCATCTACCTGATATTACAACCCCTAGCCCAAACGCCGCAGCTTCTTGTCGTACTCGTCCCGCTGCGTGCCCACCAGGATGATGTCTGTAGCGTTCGGGTCCGTCGCGACCAATTTCCCGCAGACCCACGTGAACTTCGCGTCCTCCTCGCCCCAGCTGCATAGTTTATCGAGAGCGACGACTGTTCTAGCCGGCAGGGATGTTTTCGCCGCCTCCGTGATGTCGGCGTAGGTCAAGTGCGGTCCCATTTGTTTCGACAGCCACTCGGAGCGAGCGATGGAAGGGTCCTTGCAGACGACCCGATCTTCATTGGCCGTCGCTTCACCGTCTCCATTAAAACAAGACACGACGAACGACGCGTGCGACCGGAACGCGAGAGCCAACGCGGCGTCGCCCGCGCTCGCACAATCGCACACCACAGCAATACAGGGCCCTCCGTATGAGTCGACTTGAGTCGACGACACCTCGACCACACACAGCGCCGGGAAGTGCTGCCTGATCTGAGCGGACGCCTCGGCACCGACACATACGACCGTGCGGAGCATTTCGTGGTCCATGTTGATCTCGCCGATGAGCACCGGTAGCGCACTCCGCGCGATCGTCAAACACGTCTTCGCGCCGCCCCACTTATCACTCGTTATTTGCTCCGTGCATTCGAAGAGAGCGGTAGGTAACCAAGTCCCTTTTTCCGGCGGGAGTTTCTCGAACGAGCCAAAACCATGTTCGTGCAAGCCGCGCGGGCACTGTAGACCCTGTAACAACTCGTCGATAGTCTTCGGTTCGAAGGGCGGCTCCGTCTCGGGCTCGGGCTCGGGCGTCCAGTCCTTGCCGGACGGGTCGTACCAATCGGGAACGACCCACGGTTCATCTCCATCAAAATCTTTTCCTTTTCGGACGCGCTTCGTCCCCAACCCATCATCCACGAGATCCTTCTCCTCGGCCTGCTCCGGCGGCGTCGCGCCCAAAGCCGCCCACATCTGTTTTTTGGCCGACTCAAGGTCCTTCGGTTTCTCCGTGTTCGTGACCAGAGGTGGTGGTGGTGGTTCACAAACATCAACCTTCGGCGCTATCCTAGCTGATTCTTTGAGGGCCCTTTGGAGCTGCGGGTCTTCCGCGTCTTCGCGCTGCTTCCTATCCCAGGCGGTCTCCCACGCGGAGCCGGGCGGCGGGTAGTCGTCGCAGCCTTCCGGGATGTCGTCAAAAGGTAGTTTCGTAATATCTATATCCCCGAAGATCTTTTTTAAGCCTTGTCTGGTCTCTTCTAAGTACTCTTCCGGTATTTGCCAGCCGTTCAAAGCCTCCTCGACGTCTACTTCATCAAAAGTTTTGAGGGACGTGTCCGTGTCTTTCGGTAAGGGATTTTGTAAAGGCGGGGTCGTGGACTTGGACTCCTCGGCCATCGGTTTTGCTGCGGCGGCGGCGTCTCCTTGGGCTTTGAGTGTGCAGCGGTTCTAGGGCTTTGCGAGTGCGCAGGGCGTGCGGTCTTCAACGTCGCGTTGGCGAGCGACCAGTTGGTGATCGATGCGGCCGTCAAACCAGGGCCAGGCGCAGCAGCGGCTTCGTTCGCGAGCTGCGGGCCTGCGGCGGCTTTTTGCTTGCTTCCTAGTGTCTTACTAGACGCTAGCTATCCCAGCCCCGCCGCGCTCGCGCACGCTGCGTTGCTGCGTGCAACTTAGCGGTACCACATACAGACCTCACGGTCTTTATCTGACAGCGCGGCGGCAATACAGTCAGCACTCGCGTGCCTAACAGCACAACAGGAGGAGGCCGCGACTCGCCGTCGCCGCGCGCGCGCACCAATGACGACCCAGACCCTCGTCCTCCAGGGCGAGAGCGAACTAAGGTTAGAGGTCGACTTCGACAAGATTGTTGTGGTGACGGTCAAGGAGGGCATCGCGGAAGTGCTGGGCCTGGAGCTCGCCCAAGGCAAGGAGTACGCTTTTGCTGGTGCGAAGGTCGCGATCTACACCTGGTTCGGCGCGCGCGTGGAAGTCGTCGGCGAGACGACGAGCTGCTACGCTACCGGTAGAGGCGAAACGACGCAGCACGCGACGTTAAATGCGCATTCGTACTTGGAGACCAGGAGGGACGAGGCGGCGCGCAAGGTCTCGGAGTCCATCGCGGGCGCGTCCTACAAGGCCTGCGAGACCGGTTTGGGTATTGCGAAGGGCGAGACGGCCATGCCGGCCGACGAGAGCACCTCTGCATTGAGTGGTGTCTGTGCTGAGTACTCCAAAGCCTGCGCACCTACGTCGGAGTGTCGCGGGCCTAGGGTATTGGTGTGTGGCCCGACGGACTCCGGCAAGTCGACGCTCTGCGCGACGCTGTGCGCATATGCAGCGAGGTTAGGCCGAGAGCCGGTCTTCGTCGACCTGGATCCCGGTTTAGGGGACTGCGGCGCGCCGCCCGGCGCCATCGCGGCTTGTAGAGTTGATAGAGATCGAGCAACAGTACAAGAAGGTGTTGTGGGTGGGGTTGATGATGCTCCGCTGGCATTTTGGGTCGGCTCCACGGAACCGCAGGAAAACTCGGCGTTGTACGATCATGTGGTGGAACAATTAGCCAAGGCCTGTGCTGAGAGATTACACGCGGACCGAACGCTAGACGTGTCGGGGCTCATCATCAACTCGTCGGGCTGGGTCGACGGCGACGGCTTCCAGTCCTTATTAAGGATCGCGTCGGCGTTTTCCGTGGACTGCGTGCTGGTGCTGGCGCATGATCGGTTGTTCGCGGATCTGCGGGCGGCGTTGCCACGGACCGTGGCCGTGGCCAAGCTCGCAAGGTCGGGCGGCGTCGTGCAGCGGGAACCGGCGCATCGACGGCGCGCGAGGAACAAGAAGGTCCACGAGTATTTTTATGGCCCCCAGAGTCACGTAAGAGGGATCTACAAGAACGCGGACAAGGAGACTATTCTGGAAAAGGTCCTGCCGCCGCTCGCCCCCGCGACGCATGAATTGCCCTTCAAGAAGGTGAAAGTGTATCAGGTCATGGCCGGCGCCGCGCGGGACGACGCCATGCTCCCCGTCGGTCAGGCATCTCTCTTAGAACCTTTACAGGTCGTGGCGGTGCCGATCTCCGCGGCATTAGTGCACACGGTCATGGCGGTCTGCCACGTCGACGAGGACGAAGGGGAGGAGGCGCCGGCCGCGTCGTCGACGACGTCGCCGCACCAGCACTTGCTGAACCGGGCGGCGGCGGGGTTTGTGGTCGTCACGAACGTGTCCATGGACGCGCAGACCCTAACGCTGCTGGCGCCGTGCTCGGGTGGCCTGCCGTCGTGCCATTTGTTGATGGGCAAGCTCGAGTGGATGGAGTCGTCTTATACGTAATATTTTTAGCATTACCTGATCTGCGTCCGGACGGCCCTCACCCCCCGGCAGCGTAATTTGGTTCCAGGACAGCCTGGGCTTATTCTAGCTAGCCCCTCTAGCACACGGGGACCCCGCGGAACGCGTTCCTCAAAAACTTGTAAAACCCGTTTTAGAACCCATTTTTAGGCCGGCCGCACGCACAAACTCGCGACGGCGCGGTACTGTGCTCGTTTCACCGACATAGGACTGCGTGTGGCATTCATCTCCAGCGCTTGCAGCCGTCCAGCAACCACTGCGCTCGGCAGCCGCTGCGCAAGCCTGTGCTCCCTCGCCGCCACACGGGTCCAAGTCGCCGCGCGATAGCCCTAAAGCTCGACGCCGGTCGCCGAGCGGCTACCAAATAGGCGGCTACCAAATAGATCATGGCGAGCCCGCAGCAGCCGCCGCCGCCGCCGCCGCCGACGCTACGCGTGATGCGCCTCTACCGGCCGTCGGCGCCGCGGCCCGGGAGCTCGGCCCTCATCCTGCCGGAGTCGTTCGGCAACATCTACGCGGGCGAGCCGTTTGTCGCCTACGTGGCCGTGACGAACGGCGGCCCGCGGCCGTTGAGGGACGTGCTCGTGACCGCGAAGCTCCAGGCGCCCTCCGCGAAGCGCGCCGTAGATTTACCGGACACCTTCACTTCAAAGCGGGACGCCGCCGAGGCCGCGGGTCTAGATGTCGACGGCTGGCGCACGAGCGACGTGCCGCGGCCAAATGACGCCGTCGCCGAGAATCCCGCGTCGCTGCTGGACGAGCACCGCCACACGGAACAGATCGTCGAGAAGACGCTGGATGAAGTTGGTACCCATACATTACGAGTGAGCGTGGCTTATAGGGGAGAGGGCGACGCGCCGGACGCGGAGCCGCGGTCTCTCCGAAAATTTTATAGATTTAACGTGCTCGCGCCGCTGCAGATCCGGACCGCGGCGTGGTTACTACCAAGGCCGCCGCCGGGCGTGTTTGATGATGACGAGCCCGAGTTGTTGGGCGTCGTCGAGTGCGACATCGAAAACCTCGCGCACGACACGTGCCACTTGATCGCGACGGTGCTGCGGCCGCCGCAGGGGTTTCAGAGTAGGGAGCCCGCGCCGTCGCCGCCGGAGGAGGGCGTCCCGTTGAAGAGCGACGGTATCGACGTCATGCCGGCGGGCGGGAGCTGTCGACGGCTGTTCGTCGTGTCGCGCGTCCGGGCGTCGTCCTTTTTGACGGGCGAGGCGCCGGACCACGACCTCGACCCGCCGGCCTACCCGGCGCGCGCGGGCGTCGTCCGCGTCGCCTGGCGCGTGGGCGACGGCGAGGGCGGCGCCACGGCGACGTCTCCGATCGACTGGGCGCCGCGGCCCGGCGCCGGGGTTGCGTCGCCGAATAGTGAAAGAAGGCGGCCGGCCGACGCGCGGGACACGGATCGCATGAAAATTCGGGTGGAAGTGCGGGGTCTACCGGCGCAGCTCCAGTTGAACGAGGAGTACGAGGCCACGTGCGTCGTCGTGAACCGTTTAACCGAGCCGCGGAACCTGCAGTTGCAGTGGCGCATGAATGACATGCCGCCGGGCGTCTTGGCTGCTGGGAAAATTTATACGAACATCGGCAAGGTCGCGGGCCGGTCGCGCACAAATATCAAACAAAAGTTCTACGCGCAGCAAACGGGCATGTGGCAATTGACGGGCTGCGCCGTCGTCGAGCTCGACACGGACGAGGAGTGGGTAATGCCGAACTTATTGGATGTGGTGGTCGCCGAGACGGGCGTTTCGACGCCGCTGCCCGCCGTCCCGGAGCGGTCGAACTCAACGGTCTTCACGCGCGAGGCGTCGCCGAAACCCGCCCAGCCCGACGTCTTCGCGTCGCCTACTGATGCACCACCCTCCACAAATTCGTCGGCGTCGAACTTGCTAGATATGTCCTCGGCCGGCATCGCCCCCCAGGAGGCGGTCTTCGCGGCGCCGCCGCCCGCGGACCGGCTCTACGTCGACGTGACGACGACGCCGCCCCCCGGCGCCGTCGACACGGGCGCGGGGCTGCCCGCGGAGCCGGCCACGCCGCCGCCGGCCGACACACCGCCGCCGCCGCAGCCGGAGATCGCGCGCGCGCCGATGCCGTCGCCAGACCCGCTGCTGCGACCGCCGCCGGCGGAACCGCGTACGGCGCCGCCGCCGCCGCCGCCGCCCGCGGGCGACGCGTTCGACCTCTTCGGGAGCGATATTGCGGACCACAGCTTCATGGCCGAAAGTGCGGTGAGCGAAATTTCTGCGGTTTCACCGGTGCCGACGCCGCCGCGGACGTTGCCGGCGCCGCCCTTCGCGGCGCCGCCCATTCCGGAGGGCCAGACGATTATTCCGCCGGCCGCGGCCGCGCCGCCGCAGACGCCTCCTGCGGCGGCCGCCGACTTGTTCCCCGACGATCCTCTGTCGGGAGGCGGCTTTGGGGCCGCGCCGGCGCCGGCCGCGGCGGACTTGTTCGGGCCGGCGCCAACATAGATAGTACTGTTTTAATTATTACAAATGCCACTGCCGATGAAAATGGCAGATGTTCGCCCGCCGCAGATCCTCGTCCGAGGGCCGAAACCTCAACCTCAGGTCGATCGCGGCCGCCCGCTTCTGCAAATCACCCCGCTCCACGAAGGACTCGCGACGCACCCGTGCCTGGCGGTCCGGGACCGGTTTCGTGTTCATCGCGCCGAGCCGCTTCTTGAACCGCTCGAGGCGCCGCGCAATGTCCGCGCTCGCGGCCGGGGCCGGCTCCGGGGCGTTGCGCGCCGCCAGCGGCGTACGCGGCGGCGCGGCGGCCGCCGCGTCCTCGCGCGCGTCGCGCAGCTCGCGCTCGGCCGTCGCCCGTTTTGCGTCCGCGAGGGCCAGCGACTCGCGGAGCCGCAGCACCTCGCTCCGCAGCTCGTCGTTCTCCCGCCGGAGCTCCGCGTCGGGCTCGCTCGCCACGCTCACGGCCGCGCTCGACCGCCGCCTCGCAGGTCGCTCGGGCGGACCGCTCGCGGCCGCGGGGCCGTCGTCCGGCGGTGGTGGCGGCGGGGGCGACACCGCCGCGCCGTCATCCTCGCGGGAAGGCCGGGGCTCCACGCCGTCATCGCGGGCAGACCGAGGCTCCGCGCCGTCGTCACGGGAAGGCTCCGCGCCGCCGTCGCGGGACGGGCGCGGCGACGGCTCCGCGCGGGACGGGCGCCGCGGCTCCGCGTGGACGTCCAGGAGCACGGGCCGCGCCACGCGTAACAATATAGACGCCTCGGCGGGGACCCGGAAGTTGTCCAGCCGCTGGATCAAGCGCGTCACGGACCAGCGCCGCGTGTCGTCGCCCTCGACGCCGACCTGTGTGGAAATCAACCAGTGCGTCGGGTGCACCCGACAATTCTTCACTAAGTCATTTCTCGGCGATGACGTGGCCGTGATGGCTCCGTCGAGCGGTGAGGAAGCGGCACCGCCACGCCGTCGAGCAGGCGCTGCGTCGATGGCGTGGAGGACGACGCGATGATTCAGCACGACCGCGCCGTGGAATTTGATTTCAGCACAGACGCCAACGATGCGGTCCCCGGCTCGAAAAGACAATTCGGACGACGGCAGCTCCCGTGCAATACCCTCGGGGCGCTCGACGCATGTGGTAGCACACGACCAGAACACGACGCGCTTGATGGCGACGCCGCCCTCCTTCCGCTCGCAGACCGTCAATCCAAAACCGCCCTTCGGCTCCTTCTTGATCCGACCCTCGAAGACGCACTCGCCGTAACGCAGGGCCTCGCGCCGCGCCGCCCTTGCATTGATAATCACCTCATAGGCCTCGTGCAGCGCGATGAAGGCTTCAGGGTCGCCGCCGCGGTCCGGGTGCCGCGCCACGGCGACGCGCCGGTAGGCCTTGCGAATGTCCTTGTCCGTCAGATCGTCACGTTTCTCGAGGCCTAACCGCTGATAATGTTCCGGTTGATCCACATCCTGGGCCGCCCGGAGGGACGCGCGCCGCCCTTCCTTGGACATGGATTTGGCGATGGCGTCCTCCAACGCGCGCAGCCAGGCGAACTTGAGCTTCTCGGCCATCGGGCCCGTGGCCTCCATGAGGAGCCGCTCGCCCTTGGGTTTTTCTATACTAAAAGTGTGGACGCGCGGCGTGCCCTTCCGCGGCTTGTGGGGGCACAGTTTTGCTTGACAACCTCTTAGGTCGACGCAGCCCTTCGCCGCGCCCACGGGCGCGTTCGTCGCCGGGTCGAAGTCTTCGTAATAGGTCAGGACGGCCCCTTCGAGCACGAACCACCGCCGCTTCCAGTTGCGGCGCCCGACGGGGAGGAAACCCAGGCCGCTGTGGGAGCCGCCCTTCTTCTCGAGGAAGCCCTCCATTATTATACGTCGCGTCGACGGCGTCCGCTGCGGTGTGGGGGGCAAGGGTCAAACTGTGCTTTGTTGAGAGCCCGATGCGGATGCTTAGCGAATGCTGCCCGGAGCGCTTAGGCTGACGAGGCGGCTGCCCGCGTGCGTGACGTAGTCGATGCCAACGCGGTAGGCACAAATCTCCCCAACGTTGGGACCCCAAACAAACCTAGCGTCCTGTAAGACACTAGCATTCCAGCTCTACAAAACACAAAGGGTGTGATCTAGGCCTTCTCGAGCTCTGATAACAAAGTCGCTGCAGCAGTGGTCGCACGGCTGGCTGAACTCAGCGACTGCAAGGTATCATAACGATCGGACCGGCACAAGACGCACAACAATGATCTCAGCCTTGCGTCGCGTCGCAACGCGTCCGCACGCCATCCAACGACCGAGGCGAAACTTCTCCGTCTTCGACTGGTGGCGCGAGAACGTCATCAAGCCGATCCACGGGGCGCGGATAAAATTGCCGGACGTCCTCGGCGTGCCGGCCGCGACGTACATGCAGTTCGTCTACCCCGTGCCCGTCGTCGTCGGCGGTTACTACGTCATGCAGTGGGCCATCGGCCGCTCGCACGCGAGCATCGGCCCGCGGGGCGAGCGGCTGCGGGAGCGGCCGGGGTTCCGGCCCGACGCCGGCGCGGACGAACAACGAGCGCAGCTCCAGCGGATACTGGATGAGGCGAGGCGGCGGAAGGCCGGGGACTAACCTATCAACTTTTAATTCTACCGCGGCGAACGTCGCCGCGCACGGCTGCTCTCGTAGTCCGGGGGGCCGCGAGAACCGGCGCGCATGGACTGCACGGCGGGACCGAGGTGCGCCGGCGGCCCCGAGGCGCTCGATGGTCCTTCTTCGCGGCGGGCGCGACCGAGGGGATCCCGTCTCCGCGGCGGCGTCGGCGTTTCCGCTGGCTTCGACGACGACGAGCTTCGCCGGGCGCCGAGGGGATCTCGTCGCCGCGGCGGCGTCGGTGCCGCGGCTGTCGCGGGCGTCAGCGTCGGTGCCGCGACCGGGAGCCGCGGTTCCGTCAGGTCGCTCTCCGCGAGCCGGTCGAGGTCCAGCTCGACCGCGGGCGAGTACTCGGACGCCTCGGACGCGCGCCCCCGTCGCGGCCGCGGCGGCGACCACGCCACGTCCGACGAAACCACGCGGACGGTGGCCTCGTCGCCCTTCTCCTCTTCAACGCCTGAAGGAGCCGGCGGTGGGCGCCGCGGCGACGTCGACGCTGGGGCCGGTGCCGCCGCTGCGGGTGGCGCCGCGGCCTTGCCGTCGGCGCTGGCGGGCGGCGACACGCCTGAATCAACCGGCGGTCGGCGCGGCGAGGGCGCGGCGACCTTGCCATCAGGGCTGGGGGAAGAGGACACCTCCTCGTAGAACTCCTCGAACTCCTCGTCGGAGCCGCTGCCCTCGCTGTCGGTCCGCTCCTCGACGATGACGAACTCGTACTCGTCGGGGCTCATCGGCCGCGGCGAGAAGAGTGCAGGATTCGCGGGGACCGTCGGCTCGGGCGTCGACGGCCGCGGCTCGGGTACCGTCGACGGTTGCCGGCTCGTCGGCGGCGACAGCCACGCGTCCAGCTCCGTCGCCTCGCGCGCGGCCCGCTCCCAGCCCAGCTGCTCCTCCTTGCGCCTCGCTTCCTCTCGGCTCTTGGCTTCCAACTCCTCGGAAATGGCGCGCGCGAGCGCCGCCGACCTTAGGTTCGCGGCCGCCTCCTCGCGCTCGGCCTCCTGGGCGCGCCGCGCCGCCTCCTCCGCGGCTAACGCCTCCGCCTGCGCTCGCGCCGCGGCGGCCTGCTCCGCCGCTAATCGTTCAGCCTCGATTCGTTCAGCCTCGACGCGTTCGGCCTCGACGCGTTCGGCCTCTACCCGAGCGAGCTCGGCTTTCTCCGCAGCCAACCGCTCGGCCTCCGCTCGTTCAGCGGCAATGCGCTCCGCCACCAACCGCTCGGCCTCGGCCTTCTCGGCCAGAATCCGCTCAGCCGCGACGCGTTCCGCCTCGATGCGTTCAGCTTCTAACCGAGCTCGTTCCGCCTCTTCCGCGGCGACGCGCTCAGCCGCGGCGCGCTCGGCCTTGGCGGCGGCCACAGCCTCTCGGAGCCGGGCCTCGCCGCGCTCACGCGCCACTTCGGCCTCCATCTCGTCGAGGCTGGGCGCGGTGGGACGCGTCGGCGGCGGCGCCGTCCCTTTTCCGATCGCCCGGCGCGGGATCGGAGACGTCTCTGGCGCAGAAACCGGCGCATCTTCACGAACCACGCGCTTGAGCGACGCGCGCCGCGCCAGGAACTCCGGCTGCAACTCGGCCGGCGCCGCCCCGTCCCCGATCGCCTCGCGCAGGATCGCCCGGGGGGCCGGCGCCTCGTCGCGGGCCACGCGCTTGAGCGACGCGCGGCGCGACTGGAACTCGTGCGGCGCCGACGGCGAGGGCGTAAAGAAGGCCGAGTCCGGGCCGCCGACGCTGCGCCGCTTCTTGCGCGGCGAGATTGTCGATAGTGGCACGCCGTCGACGGGCTTCAGGGACGTCCGCCGCTCCTCGACTTCCGGGCTCAGCTTCGTGGGCGCCGCCGGGGGCGTCTCCCGCGGCGGCGGCGGCACGAGGGCCGCCTTCGTCTCCACGTACTTCTGCGGCGCGACGACGCCGCCCGTGCCCTCGAAGACCAGTTCCGCGGATGGCGACGCCGCCCTACCAGCGAGCATCGTGGCCGCGGCGGACGGCGACGTCGGTCGGCTCCCGAGGTCGCGGAGCAACGCCTGGCGCTGGGGGTCGCTCGCGCGCCGGACGGCGCTCGCGACGGCGGCCGCCGCCCGGCGCGCCGTCGGTTCGTCCGTGGCGCGGATCGCGGCGAGCGTCGCGGCCGCGCCGGGCACGAGGTCCGCCTTGAGCTTCGCGTCGACCACGGCGCTCTGGCTGAGGCGCGACCGCAGGCACCCGTCGGCGACCGCCGGCGACGGCGCCCGCGGCGGCGCCGCGGCGGCCGCGACGGGCGGCGCGCTGCGGAGCGCGTGCCCGCGCTCGACCTCGGCCAGGACGCGCCGCATGGCCTCCGAGGGCTTGCGGCGGCGCATGCGACGCACGCGCGCCGCGGCGGTGCCGAGGCGCGCGACGGCGCCGAGGCTGAGCTTCGCGGCCGCCTCGTCGACCGTCGCGTCGGCCTCCGCCGCGGCGACCGGGTCAGACGGGTCTGAAGGTTCCGTTGCCCTGGTCGGTGGCGGCGCCGCACCTACTATGGCCTCTGCGACCGGCGCGGGCTCCACGTCATGCGGCGCGGCCGCGGCCGCGGCGACCGCGTCGTCTGTCGGGTACGAGCCCACTCCGGGGTCTGTGGCCTCGTCGTCGGCCAGGTCCGAGCGCGAGTTGTGGGGCGTCGGCGGCACCGCGAAGGCATCGCTCGCTTCCGGCGGTGCAGCAGCTGGTGCGGCCGCCACGGCCTTGTCCGGCCTAAAGTCGAGCTCGTCCACATTTCCCGGCGACAACGTCGCCCTCTTGCCGGTGAGCGGCGGCCGCGGTGAAGTCTCGGCAACCGCGGGCGCGCGGGCCGCGCCCCTCGCGCGCTCGTAGATGCTCGGCGGCTTGAGCGGCGTCGAAAGGTCCACGGCGGCGCGGGAGAACGCCGCGGGCTCGTACGGCTCGCGCGGCGTGGCGAACGGCGGCGACGGCTCGTCTTCCAGAGACACTGAGACGCCCGCGGGCGCCGGCCGCTCGACGGCGGGCGAGGACGAACGCACGGGCCAGTCGTCGGCGTCGTCCGAGGCGTCGTCCGCGTAGAGGCTCAGGTCCGCCGCCGCGGCGCCGTCGTCCTCGGGAGCGCTCGGGTCCGCCGCCGGCGCCTCGGAGCCGTCGTCCTCGTAGGCGCCCATGTCGGCCGCGGCTCCGTCGTCCCTTGTAAGCGTCGGCGCCTCGGACCCGTCGTCGTCGTAGGCTGTCATGTCTGCCGCTTCAGGAGTAGGCGCCGCGGCGGCGTCGTCGTCGTCGTCGTCGTAGGCGCTCATGTCGGCCGGGGCGGCCGCGGGCGCCGGCGCCGGCGCGGGGTCGGCGCGGAGGTGCTCGGGCACGGGGAAGATGATCGCCTTCAGCTCCTGCGCCACCTTCTGCGTGAGCGGGTACTGCGGAGGCGCCTCCGGGGGCGACAGGCCGACCAGGGGGTCCTCGGCGAAGATGCCCGACGACCCCTTGCGCAGGCCGGGGCCCTCGGGCGTCAGGAGCGTCGGCCGCCGGGGCGGCGGCGGCGGCGCCGGCGGCGGGAGGGGCGGCGTGGGCACGCGCGCCGCGGCGACCGCGGGTGGCGGCGGCACGCGCGCCGCGTGTGGCGGCTGCGGTGGTCGCGCCATTGGCGCGGCGCGGGCGGGCGGTGGTGGCCGCGCAGGCTCGACGGAACTGTCGTCACGCGGCGCGCGGCCCCGGAGCCGGCGCCGCACGTCCGCAAGCTCCGAGCGCTTCGAGACCGGCGCCGCAGCGTCGCGTTTCCGCGCGTCGAGGAGGCCCGCGAAGGCGCGCGCCGCGCCCTCGCCGTAGCCGCCGCTCGCCTCAGCTGCGGGAGACGGCGTCGCCAGGGCCCGCCGCCACGCCCGGAAGGCGCGCCGCGCGGCGCCGCTCCGCGCCGCCTCGTGCGCCTCGACGGCGCGCTCCTGGCGCCGGATGGTCTCGAGGCGCTGCTTGACGCGCTGCTCGGCGGCGTAGACGCGCGCGCGCTCACGGTTCAGCTCGCCTTCGCGCTGCCGGGCCTCGCGCTGGGCGTCTTCGCCGTTTTCCTTGGCCTTCGCGGCCTTGCGCCGGAAGCGCTCCGTCGCGCCGGCGTCGCGGCGCTCCTGGCGTACCGGCGACGGGGCGCGGTCGTCGTACCAGCGCACCTCCGGCGACGGTGACGGCGCCTCGCGCACCGCCGGTGGCGTCTCTGCCGGTTCAACAACGGCCGCGAACGCGTCGTCGGCGAGCGACCGCGCGGCCTCGTCGAGCGCGGTCCAGGACCTCTCCGCGCCCGGCGTCTTGAGCAGCGCCGGGGACGCGGGCGACAGGAGGCCCGCGAAGGCCAGCGCGGCGCCGCGCCCGTAGCCGCGCTGCTCCGCGCGCCGCCTCAGTTCGTCGAGCTTCGACGGCGAGCCGTCCGCCACGTGGGCCACGGCCTCGTCGATCGGAGCAATCGTTGCCTCGACGGGCTCGCGGACGGCCCCGCGCGGCCCCTCGACGCCGTCGAGGCGGCCGGCGTCGGGGCTGTTCCGCGGGTTCAGGAAGCCGGCGAACGCGCGCGCGGCGCCGCGGCCGTAGCCCTGGGCCTCGGCTTTCGCGCGCGCCGTCTTCGGGTCGCAGGCCGGCGTCGGCGCCATGAGGACGGAGGTGGCCTGCTTGCGGGCCGTGGGCCATGATGTCCGACTCCGGCCCGGCGTCCAGCCTGCTCCGGCACCACTGCTGCCGGCGGGGGTCAGCACGGCTGTCATCCTATGGACCGATGGGGCTGCCCAAAGAGTGCTCGTGTGGCGCAGCCCCAAAGATTGCTTGATGTAGCTGCCCGACGGCGTTTCCGTGCGTGCAGATCTCAACTACTGGGGCAGCACGGGCCCATTTCAAAGGCCGCGAGAGAAAAAACCCGAACCCGAACCAAATCGATCTGATCTGCGCAAAAAATATCGAAACAGGCGCGACTAGGACACGCCAGGGGCTGCTACGCAATTCAGTGGGGCAGCCCAAGCCATCGACGGTTGGCAGTATGTCCAAGTCCCCGGCGAAGCTGCCGACAAGCAGCATCCCAAAATCCCCAATTACACCCTCGAAGCTCTCGAAGGAGCTCTGGCCGCCGCCGAGCCCCCCTCAAACCGGCGACGCGGCGCTCCTCGCGCGCTGCCGCAAATTGGAAGTAGAGAACGGGAAGCTCAAGTCGGCGCAGTGCGTCTGGGACTCCGAGTGGACGGCGTTCACGCGGAAGCTCGAGGCCGCGGAGCACCGGGCGCGCGACGCCGAGGCGGAAATTGCGCGGCTCCGGGCGGAGAGCAGCCCCAGGAGCCGCGCGTCGACGCTCGACGAGGAGGACGACGACGTCGACGAGCTCGAGCGCCAGCTCGACACTGTGGGAGAGAACGAGCGCCTCACGAGGGAGCTCGCGGCCGCGCGCGCGCGCATCGCGGAGCTCGAGCGCCAGCTCGACCGGCGGACGGTCGAGAACTGGCCCCGGGAGCGCCGCGGGACCCGCTCGCCCGCGGATGCGCGTGCGCCCATCGAACTCGAGATTTCGACGCCGCCGCCGCCGCCGTCCTCACCTCTTTCGTCGCAGTCGTGCCCGACGCCCGTCGTGTCCGGCGCCTTTAGCGGCCCCGGGTCCCGCCTCTGGTCCATGATCGCGCGGCCAGGGTTGTTGTGGCTGCCGCCGGAGTTGCAGGAGATCGCCCTGTCGCGGGAAGCAAGTAAATAAACACATATGTCATTAACTCCGCCGGGGCTGCACGACGACGCCCTCGGGACTAAAAACGTGGGGCGACCCCGGTTCCCGCCGCTCGACCCTTAAAACGGCGGAGATGGGCGCCCGGCAGATCGGGCAGTTCCGCGGATGTCTGGAGGCGAGCGACTTCCCGCACTCGAAGCAGATGCCGCCGTGGCCGCACTCCATGATGACCGCGTTTTTTCGGGAGACGCAGCAGACGTAGCAGAGGTGGCTCGGCGACGGCGCGGGCGCCTCCGCGATTTCCAAGTCGTCGTCGCCGAACCGGGACGAGCCCATACTACAGTCGTCGTCGTCCCAAGCCGCCGGCGCCGGCGCGCAGTGCGCGATCTGGGTCTGCTTCGGGGAGTCGGCCTCCATGCGCTCGTATAATGTGGAAGACGTCTTGAGGAGCCGCGTCGGGTTCTCCAAAGCTTCGATGATCACGGAGTTGTCCTGGACGCCGACGAGCGACGCCGGCGCGCCCAAAAACACGTCGAAGCCCGCGCCGCGCGCGCGCCGTTGCGCCTCGAGGTCGTCCGCGTCGACCACGACGATCTGGACGACGCGCTGGAAGCGCCGGCTGTCCCGCAGCACGATCGGGTGCAGAATAAATAAAAGCGCGTACATGAGGATGAGGGGCCCGAGGATGTCCAGCGGCGTCGGTGAACGCGGCCCGTCCTTCGACAGCGGGGCGCACAGACTTTCATAAGTTGTCACGTTTGATGAAGAGATCAACGCGTCGCAGTCCCGCCGGTCCCACCTATCATGGAAGCGCCGGGCCGCGGCCTCGTCCGCGTCTAACCTCTTGGAGAGCCTGAGCAGACAGAGGAACGTGCATCCGCTCAAGACTAATAACTGGGTGGCACAAAGACTCACGAGCCGCACGGCCCTTCTCCTCACGCGCGGCGGCATGCCCGCCGACAAGACGGGCGCGCAGTTGCAGAGCGTCGCCGCGACGCCGGCGAGCGCGGCCAGCAACGCCCACGCCGGCGCGAAGATCAAGCCCCAGCGCGCCTCGAGCGCCCCGTCGAGCTTCGCGGCCACGAGCGCCGGCTGCAGCGCGCGGCCGACGCCGTGGAGGAACGCGCCCTGCGTGAACGCGCACGCGCGCGCCCACGCCTCGCAGGGCCCGTCCAGGACCTCGTCTAGCGTGGGCACGTGCGCCTGTGCGTCGGCCGCCGGCGGCATGCCCACCGGACCATGTAAATTATGCCCGTGCCGCCGCGCGCGGCGCCCGAGCTCGGCCTGGCGTGCCGCGCGGTCGACGTCCCTTCGCAGCACGAAGCACCGCCCCCTTAATAGCGCGGAGACGACCGTCGCGGCCCAGAATGGTATTAGAATTGTAGCCACGGTCCAGTCCACCTCCTCGCATAGAAGGAGGACGATCAACGCCTTCGCGGCACAGGCGCCGACCGCGTCGACGGCCGCGCACGTCGGTCTTAGTTTGTCGAGCGTCTTGGCCGCGAGGGCGGCGCCCGTCGCATCCGAAGAGGCGAGCGTGACCGACGCCTGGCGCGCGTCGAGCAGCCTTCGTCCAAACGTGATCGCGTCGGCGGCGAAGAGCGGCGCGAAGACGACCGGCCACGCCAATTCTTTTTCATTCAGGCGGTGCAGCAACAGGCCAAAAAAGACGCAGCCCAGCGCGTGGGGGGCCACGGCCACGGCGGCGTCGGCGTGCGTCGGCGCGGGCGGTTGTTGGGAGCCGGGCGCCGGCGCCGGGCCGCCGGCCTCCTCCTCCGGAGTGGCGGCGGCCTCGGGGGTCGGCGGGGCCGCGGCCTCCGTGGGCTCGGCCGCGGGCTCGGCCGTCGGCTCCGGCGGCAGCTCAGTGGCAGCCTCCTCCATGATGAATCCCCTGGTGCTGCGGGCGCCAGCAAACTCGGGGCGGGCACTTGGCCTTTCGGTCGCGTATTATTTGTGCTGATTGCCGTCTCGAACGTCTGTCGAGGGGCAGCTCACTCGCTCTGCGGGCAGCGCCTCCACCAGGAGCTGCTCTGCGAGTGCGTGGGAGGAGCCGCACTTAGAGCCGGTACTGGGGCGCGAGCGGCCTTGGATCGGTGCGGTAAGACTCCTCACCGGAGAAACGCGATTGACACCAAGGTGCGGGGCAAGACCGGGACGGCGGACAACGCGCCGGGGATTGACGTCCGCCCCGAGGCACCAACCGCCCCTACGAGGCGTGCCCCGCGTCCGACGCAGCCGAGGCGCTCCGGCGAGCACACCAAAAGCCCGCGAGGCAGCCCCGCCCCACCCCTACAAAACCTGAGGGGCAGCACCTCAAAACAGCAAAAAGATGGCCGGCGCCTGGGGCGTCATCGCCTCGCTCGTCCCGGCCGCCGAGTTACCCGCATTAGAAATAGCCGTCGGCTGCTCCTTGATCGAGAAGTGCACCGATCTCAGGAATGAGGCCGACGCGCTCCGCGACATCGTGGAGGACTACGCCCAGCAGAACGCGCGGGACGCCGAGCTGGACGAATCTCGAGCCCAGAAGCGCGCCCAGGCCGATCGGCTCGGCGACGGCCCCGAGCGCGAGATGCTCGAGCGCAAGGTCTCCATGCTCTTGGACTACCTGGGCGGCGCGGGGTCGGAGCCGGAGCGGCGCGTCGCGGCCTATGTGCGCAAGGCCGCCGCGGAACGAGCGAGGCAAATCGCGACGCCTCCAAAAAAGCCGAACCCGGAGAAGCGAACGCCGCCACCCGCACCGAAAAGGCCGATGGACGCGCTCGCCGACTTATTCATTGATAGGGGAGACAGCTCCGACGTCGTGGCGGAGGCGCGGCGCCTGCTCGAGCGGGAAGCCGAGGATTTGGTGGAGGAGATCGCGCGCCTCACGAATTTTTTTGACGAGGAGGAAAGAGCTGTCTGCGAGCGGCATCGGCGGACGCCCACGAAAACAAGTGAGGACAAGCCGTCGCTGCAGGATTTGCGGAGGGTTTCTCAAAAACTTGAAAAAAGGTGGCTCCAGCAGGAGCACGCGCGGGACGTCAAAGGCTTGTTGAAGCGCGTGCCGGGCGGCGCCATCGTCGACTCGCCCATTTCCTTCGGCAAGTCGAAACTCGTCGGCGAGCTGCTCGAGTCGCCGGCGACGGTCCGCAAGACGGCGTCGCCCGAGGGCGGCCGTTTGGTGGCCGCGCCGCCGCGGCGGACAAAGCCCAAGAACCGGTTGCGGGAGAAGATGACGCAGGCGCGCGAGGAAAAGTTCCTCCAGGAGTGGTAAGAGACACGTTTGTGACCTCTTGTTCCTACGCCGTCGCCGCGACGAGGACACAACCGAGTCACACGAGACGGTCCCTTACGCGAGCCTAGGGTCTAAACCGCCTCCGCTCCTCCTCCGCTTTCTTGGCCCCACCAAAATAGGGCTGGTCCGCCAGGCCCGCGGGCAGGGCCTTGCCCCGCTTCAGTAACTGCGAGGCCATCTCGTTGATGTACGCGGCCATCTCCGTTTCTAGATCTTCCGTGTTCACTAACCGCTCCTCCTGGTACTCGAGCAGCCCCTCCTTCTCCCACAATTGAAACTCCTTCTCCTCCAACAGATCCTGCATGGATTGCAGACCTTCCATCAACCGCTGCGCGAGCTGGTGGAACCCGCCCGACTCCTCCTGCGTGATCTTGCCGTCCTTGGCGTCCTCGTCCATTTGGACCGTGAGTTTGTTGAACAGCGCCCTATAATCATCCTTCTCTCCAGTTAATTGCGTGTTCGCGCGCTTCGCCGCGGACGTCTTCTCGTGGAGGAACTGCTCTACTTGTCTATTGTAGAGGTGGTTCGACACGAGGACTCCGCTCAATCCACCTAACGCGCCGAGCGTGACCACGGCGAAGATGCGCTTCGGGATGATGAGGTGGCTCGAGCCGGACTGGATGCCGGACATTTTTGTGGTGGCGGCGGGCGTCGACGGGGTCTGACGCCTTTGTTGTGACGCGGCGCGGCTTTTTGGCGTTGATAGGCTCGAGCACCTCTACACGCGGCGCCGGGCGTCGTATTGTTTCCTCCTGACTGCTGGGAGATGTGTTTGCTAAGCGCCCGGGCGCGCCTCGCGTTTCTTGCAAGCTGGCCACCGGCTGGGGCTCGGGAGCAGTCCACGCGTGGCTGGCTGTGATTTTTTGTGGCAGCTCAGGACTCGCGGGCCCAGCCAAGCCGACGCCTTTTTTGCTGAATTATTTAAGAGGCAAAAACAGCTCGGCCAAATCACGTCGGCAGCGGACTGCGACACGCCCGCTGGCGCTAGGAACGTCGTCGACAGCCCAAACGGGTCCGCAATCCAATTTGTGCTGCGCCGCGCGCGCGGCCAACACGAATTAGCCTCTCCCTGAGACAGCTCCTTTTTGCAGCCAACACGCCGCCGCCGCGCGCGCGTACCAACAACCATGGGCGAGGACGACAAGAAGGCTGCGGCGCCGTCGAAATTCAACATCATTTCTGGGAGCCAGCACGTCATCGTGAGCAAGGCCGGGTTGTTCCAGGTCGTCTTACTACTCCTAGCAGCCTTAGGAGGTACTGTAATAGCCGAGAAGCTACGCTTACAGAGAAACAAGGCGAGACAGCGGGATCTCCACTCGGGGATCAAAGAAACGAACAAGCGATTGGGTGCCGAAAAAGAGGACTACAAAAATATCTTCGGCCAGATGTCCAAGCAGCTCGACGACTGGCGGTCGGCGCACGACTTGAACGTCGATAGCAACAGGGAGCGGCTGGCGTCGTTCAAGGAGTCGTCCGAAGCACTCATGAATGGCCTCGACGACGTGAGGACAGTACTAGAAGAAAAGGAGTTCCAGCTCTGGGAGAAAGAAGGTTTATTGGAGTATCAGGAAGAAAGATTATTAGATAGCGAGGACCAGGAGGTGCAGATGGCGCTGTACATCAACATCCTGGCGCGGTCGGTGCTGGCTCTCAACTTAACTTTGCCGGAAGGGCTCGAGGAGCAGCCGTACTACGGCGAGAGTCGCGCGCGGGCGCCGGGCGACGACGACGCCCAGCGGCGCCGGAGGTTGCGGGCCGTCGCGGCCACGCCGGCGACGAGCGCGTACCGGGAGTTCCTGCTGGCGCAGCAGGCTTCGCGGCAAAAGAAGTGAGGCTCGGCCTAAGTATGTACTTGATCATAGCCCTCGTGTCTTCAGAGCTCGGCGTTGGTTTTTTCGAGGTTGCCTAGCCACCAAGCCGCCACGGGGTCTGCGTGACCGCACGCCCGTCACGGTCCGAGGAGTGGGCACCCCCCCGGAGGCAGGGAGACATCGAGCGTCGCCGGTTCCTTGCGGCGGTGGGCAATAGCAAGCATACTTCCGTCCGTCGTCGTCGGGATGTCGCGCGGGGTTGGTGGCCGACGCGCGTCGCGCCCGGCAGTCGGAACGGTCACATACGTCCACCTACGTGCACAGAACGGTGGAAACCGGACCCATACGCGGGACCCCCCCCTCTCGCTCCGAGATGCTGCTCCCGCAGCGCTAATTTGCACGACCAGCGTGCACCAGAGGCAGCCCGCATAGCACCATGGCCGAGTCCACGAAGGAGCTGACCGAAGACGGCGCGAAGGTCACGACCGTAGCCGAGGGCGCCGAGGCTACCGCCGCGCCTCCGGCGGAACCGGGCCGCACCATCATCATCCTCTTCGGCCCGCCGGGCTCGGGCAAGGGCACACAAGCTCCCAGGATCGTGGACGCGTTAGGTACGCCCCAGTTATCCACGGGGGACATGCTGCGCGCGGCCGTCGCGGCCGGGACGGAAGTAGGAAAAAAAGCTGATGAAGTGATGAAGAGCGGCGCGTTGGTCGATGACGACCTCGTGGCGGCGATCATCAAGGATAGGATCGCTGCTGATGATTGCAAGGGCGGGTTTTTGCTCGACGGCTTCCCGCGGACCGTCGGCCAGGCGGAGAAGCTAGATGCCATCCTCAAGGAGACGAACGAAAGCGTGAGCATGGTTTTGAGACTATGTGTCCCGGACGAAGACTTGGAGGCTCGCATCTGCGGCCGCTGGATCCACCAGGCTTCTGGCAGGTCGTACCACGCGACCAATAAAAAGCCCAAGTCCCTGCCCGACGGCGCGGAGCCCAGCGCCGAGAACATGCTGGATGATGAGACGAACGAGCCGCTCATGCAGCGCAAGGACGACACGAAGGAAGCGCTCGTCGAGCGCCTCAAGGGCTACCACGAGATGACGACGCCTTTACTCGACCACTACAAGGCCGTCGTCAAGGAGGTCGACGCGGCGAAAGCTCCCGCCGAGATCGGGCCCCAGATCGACGAGCTCGTCGCGCCGTACAAGAAGTGAGATCCTATCCGCCTAAGTTCTTGAGCCTTACTTCTTCGCGGCGGCGGCGTCAGGTGGCGCCTCCTCTCTGGACTCTTTTCATAACATATCAGTACGCGTTAAGAGAGAGAGAGCGACGCGTTTCTGCTGCTAGTGCCTTACAGGACGCTAGCCGCCGAGGCGCGCTCACCAAACTCGCGATAACGAGACCAAAAATAAGTGCTGCACGCATCAGGGGGTTCAGAGCCGCATTGCTCTGACAGCGGCGATTGCTGTCGCCCGCGCGCGCTCGACAGACTGCCATACCACACCCAGCATCAAACTACAGTAATCACCGCGCGCCGACGCCGCGAAGCGATACGAGTCGCACGCCTGCTCAGAACAAGCCGAAGCCACCATCCCAGCACGCGCGCGAAGCAATAACATGTCGTCGCCGCGCAGCGTCATAGCCCAGGCCGCGACCGAAAAAAGACACGCGACGTGGCAAGAAACCCTACAGCAAGCGAAGAAGAAGCACCGCCCGAAACTCGCCGACTGGACCCGCGACGGCTTCGCGACGCGGCGGCGCACCGAGGTTGAAAGACTTGACGCGGTCCCCAAGTGCGCTTCACCAATAACGCGCGTCGACGCGGGCATCGCGCCCGCCGACTTCGCGACGCGCTTCGAGCGTCGAAGCGAGCCTTGTTTAGTGACGAACGTGCCCGAGCGAGAAGGCTGGGCGCTCCGGAACTGGACATCAATAAACGGACGACCTACGAACCGCGGCGACCTCGACGTATTCCGGATGAAGGTCGGGGAGGACGACGACGGGAAGACGGTCCGCGTTTCACTGAGAGACTTTGTGAGCTATGCGCGGTTCAACCGGGACGATAGTCCGCTGTACGTCTTCGACCAGGCCTTCTGCGAGAAGCACGGCCGGGATTTCTACAGCATACCGAAATTCTGCGCGAGGGACGACCTCTTCGAGCTCGTGGGTGAAAACAGAAGGCCGCCGTACCAGTGGTTTCTCCTGGGACCGCAGCGGAGCGGCACGTGCGTCCACATCGATCCGCTCGGCACGGCGGCCTGGAACACGCTCCTCGCGGGGCGGAAGCGCTGGGTCCTCTTCGAGCCCGGCACGTCCAAGAAAGTCGCGACGGGGTCGCACTTAGTCAAGGCGGGCGAGGACGACGAGGCCGTGAACTACTTCGTGGACATCCTGCCAAGGATCAGACAAACGTACCCCCACGCGCGGCGCATCGAGGTCGTGCAGCGGCCCGGGGATACATTATATGTGCCGGCAGGGTGGTGGCACGCGGTTCTCAACTTGGACGACACGGTCGCCGTGACGCAGAACTTCGTGTCTCGAAGTTCGTTCGACGGCGCCTGGGACCGGACGCGGTCCGGTCGCAAGGGCATGGCGCGTGCGTGGCTGGCGAAGCTCGAAGCGTCGGACGACCCGGAGCTCCGGGCGCTGGCCGCCCGGGCGAGGCTGCAGCCGCCGGTGCCCCGCATTGTCTAAGAAGCTTTGTTTGTGAATGTTCGCGTCGACTAGGCGTCGGGCGCGTCTATCTGTCACGTTGCTAGGACTAGTGGGCGGCGTTTAGGAAATCCGCAATGCTAGCGGCCTGTAAAGACACTAGCATGAGCAAAAGCACCGCGCTGCGATGCGCGGCGCAATCGACACCGCTCGCGCACCACAACACACGAGCTTCAGCCGGGGCTCCCTCTCATCGTCCTGCGCCGTTCCAGGCCTCAAAGGGCAGCCATTACCGGAGCTCACTCACAGGGCAGCATTTCGGCAGTAGAGCAGGACAATGGAGGAAGCCGTGCGCAGCGGCTACGGCGCGCTGGGCGCGGCCATCGAGCTGGAGCACAAGCGGGCGGCCGCGCGCATGCGCAAGCCGCGCAAGCGGCTGCAGCGCGCCGCGCGGAGCCTCGCGGAGCGGCTGCCGCAGAGGCTGCTGCCTTTGGTCTGCGCGGTCGTTCTGGTGGTTGCGATGGCGTCGTACCGCGCGACGCGGGCGTCGCCGCATGAAGTGGCCGTGGCGAGCCTAGCGGAGCGAGAAGCGGCGCTCGCGGCACGAGAAGCGGCGCTCGAAGAGCGAGAAGAGCAGCAGGACGAGGAGGAGGAGCCGCGACCGAAGCCGATGGCACGCCGCCCAGTTATTACAGATCGGCGCGCGCTCATCGCCAAGGCCGTGAAGCGCGCGCAGCAGGGCATCGACGGGCGCCTGCCCTACTTCCTGCACCTGCACAAGGCCGGCGGCACGACGGTCTGCCACGTGGCCCGCATGTCGAACGAACTGAACGCCGCGAAGCGCAACTGCAACGCTCCCGGCGACGGGCCTCGAACCTTAAGCAGCGCGCCGTTCGGCTACGCCAACAAGAAGTTAGACGGCCACTGCAAGCTGCGGCGGCAGGAGGCCCTGAAGCGCCAGGTCGACTTCCTGGCCGTGGAGCGGTGGCTCGACACCAGGACCTTCGCGTCGTGTCATACGTCTTTTTTCTTCGTTACGGTCCTCCGAGAGCCGGTGCAGCGCATCGTCAGCCATTGTCGGTTCGAGCACATCTCGGCGAAGGAGGCGCTGGCCTGGACGCGGCTGCCGTCCGTCGCGGCGGGCGCGGCCGGGACGCCGATTCAAAGAGGAGCCGCGGTCGTGGACAACTTCTACGTGCGAAGTTTGCTGGGCGGCGACGTCTACGAGACGACGCCGCCCGGGAAGATCACGGCGGCACACGCGTCGCAGGCCATCGAGGTCCTCTCCGACTTCGACGCCGTCTTGATCTTGGAGAACCTGGACCGGGGCTTCGACCAGCTCTTCCACCGGCTGGGCTGGTGCCGTCCAAATAATGCGGAATTGAGGCAGTCCTTCGGGCCCGGCGACGAGACGATCCACTTCTCCGCGGAGGATCGAAGAAAGTTGGCGAGGCTCAACGTGCACGACCACGGCGTCTACAACTTCGCGCGGGAGCTCGCCGCGGCGCTGGAGCGGGACCTGCCGCCCGCGGACGTCGGCCAGCCCTACCGCGCGTGCCGCGCGAAGCGGCTGCGGAGCCGCGGCGGCTACGCGCGGCACCAGCCCTACCAGCACGAGTACCCCGCGACCTAACCTACTTCTAGTACCCTGGCGTCGTCGGTGGTGTCTACCCCCAGGGGCCCCGCCAGCTGCCCCGCCCACTAGTCCTAGCACTGGCACCTAACAAAAGATCCACCGTGACGCCATCGACCCAAAGCCGCTCGACAATAGATAAGCGAACCTTCTTAGTTCGTCTTCCCCAGCGAGTCGATGAGGTCCAGGTACCCCTTCCCGACGATCTCCCGCGCCGCGTCGCAGAACGCCTGGTCGTCCGCGTAGTCCGCCCCGTTGATGGGCGCGTGGATGTGGACGGTCACCCTGCCCGGGCGCATCGACAGCGTCTTGACGGGCCAGACCGCGTCGGTCCCCGCCATGCTCACGCAGACGACCGGGACCCCGTTCTTCCGCGCGCAGTCGAAGAACGGCGGCTTGAAGGGCATGAGTTTTGTGGGGTGCTTGCCCGCTTCAATAGTTTTGTCGACGTAGGCGCCGAGTCGATTCCCCTCGGGAAAGATGGCGATGGAGTTGCCGGCCTGGAAGTGCGCCGCCGCGTCCGCTAATAACTGGCCCGTCGACCCCTTGACCGTGCCCCAGCCGCCGGCCCGCTTCGGGTCGAAGCGCACGGCGAGGTCGCCCGCGCGCTGCATCGCCCAGCCGCCGAAGGGCACCTTGAACAAATCGGACTTCGCGACGTATTTGGTTTCTAGAGGTAGAATCGCGGCAGCTAGCGCGAACGGATCAAAATCCGAGCGGTGGTTGCAGACGACCATGACGGCGCTCTTGCCGTTGATTTGATCGGGGGTGAACTCGTACGAGTCCTTCGTCTTTTCTACTTTAATTCCTGGCGTCAAGCGCGCGACCGGCGCCGCGCTCAGCAGTCGAAACAGGTAGCCGTTCCAGTACTGCTTGCGCTTCTTCGACATGGTGAGGCCGACCGTGCACGAAAAGATGATCTGCGCGCACCACGTGACGACCCAGCCGCTGACGGCGACGACGAGGAGGCACGCCGTCGTGATTTTGGAAGGAGGGTCGTAGTCCTCGAGCTTCGGGGGGAAGGCTAACGCGTTTTTTGGCGCACCCATGCTTGGATGTGCTGGGGAACCAGGTGCCTGGATCTCGCCTGCCGTGCAAGCGCGTGCTCCGATGATTCGGCGATGGATGGTGGTTGCTGCGGCTTGCTGCTCGAGCGCTGTCGGCTGCTAGGTCGCTGTGGCAGGCTCGCGCGGCGACGATGCGTGTGTGGCTGGTGTCTCGTACGAGGTATGGTATCTCTATCTGGTTGGCCCAAGGCCAGTCCTGTTTGGACACTCTTTGTGCTACGAACGGAGGCTCACCGGCCGCGGCTCCATGGCTCGCAGGCGATCGAACCGCGGCTCTAGGGCCCTAGGGAGAGGGGGGGGATCAGAGAGCAGATAGGCAGATGATGTTGTTGTCATGCGCGGCGCTGATCCGGGGCTGCGTAGTAGAGTCTATTTGATATTTTTTTATCGATTCCGGAACGCCACGGTCGCCGCAGCGTAACGCGCACGTACCGAGTCCCCGCGAGGGGCAGCCGATTTGACATTGTTTGCTGCATTGCATCCCAAGCTCGTACCCGAGCTCCAGCGACCCACGAAGCGCGGCATCAGCCCCATCGACCGTAGATTATGAGCAGCGCCCACATGCGCCCACGCCGCATCGCGCAAAGGAAGAAGGAGTCGCCCATCTCCGTGGCGCCGCCGCCCACGCTGACGACGCCGGTCTGCAGCACGGTCGCGCCCGTCGTGGACGACGAGTCCCCTCGTTCGCCATCGTTCGCGGAACAGATCGCCCTGGCCGCCGACGAGCTGCAGTCGCCACCGACCTTCGAGGAGCAGATCACCGAGTGCCGACGGACGCTCAAGCCGACGCCGCCGCCCTCGCCGCCCGACTCCCCACCCTCGCCGCCCGACTTTCGACAGCTCGCGACGACGACGACGACAGACGCCGCGGACGACGCCGAGCCCCCGCCCACGTGGTGCTTCGGCGGCCTCGGCGACGACGGCTCCGACGAGGAGTGGACGCCGACCTGCACGGACATGGTGTCCGTGAGTTGTTTCTAAGAGAGTGATTGATAATTACGGCCAAGCGTGTACGGGTAGACGCTCGTCCAGCGCTGCCGCGGTGGCGCGGAGGGCTCGCTGTTCAGCGTCGCCGACGATATTACGGCCACGCGTGTACGGGCAGACCGCACGCGCGGAGCTGGCGTAGCACGTCGAAGGCCTGCTTCATCGAGTGCGTCGGGTGCACCCAGCGGAGCGACGGCGCGTAAAAGTGGAGCTCGACGAACAACTCGTCGACGAGGGCGAGCGCTTCCGGACGCCGCAACAGGTCCGCGAGGAAGCCCCACTCCATGGTCGGCCCGAGCGAGAAGTCGTTGTCGACGTCGAACTTGAGCGCGACGAAGTCTTCGCGGGCGGTGTTTTGGAGCCACTGGAGGATGTCGTTTTCATCGCGAGTGCCGACGTCGACGGCGGTTCGGTGAACGTGTATCGTGGTGTTGTAGTATGTCGAGGGAGCGCCGTCCAAGCCGTTCGGTTCGAAGATGTGGGCTTCGTCGAACGGCGCGCCGGCCGCGAGATAGTGGTCGAGGAGAGCCTTCGGCGAGCCAAGCCATTGATTGCCGCCGACGTCTACTAAGATGCGGCGCCGCGCCGGCATCGCTTTGATCTGCGGCAGCACGCGGTAGGGATGGAAGCTTATACCCAGGCCGATCTCTCGAAAGTCGAGGTTTCGGCCATTCGGGATGCTGCAGAAATGACGCCGCGCATCGATTCCTCCTCGGATAGGGGGCGCAGGGCCGGATCGCCGTGCGCGAGGTTCAATCTCTCAGCTGCGCAGGCTCGTATCGCGTATGCGCTTGCGGGTACCGTGCAGTCGCTCACGAGCGAGGGCGGCGCGTTCGCGTCAAGTGCGGCGACGACGCTCGCCGCCAGGAGGAGCAGCCGTTTCGGCGCCATCGTCAATCACATTTCGACGAGTCGTCGACGTCTATCCTCAATGCAGCATGCTCACGAAGAGTCTCAAGATGTTCAGCGCATTGAACCAAAGGACCAAGGACAAAGCAGAGCCTCCCGAAACGAGAAGGCCAACGCGAAGTCCGCGAAGCATTGTGTACGTCGAAATATATCGTTCTAAAGCCCTGATGCAAGCACGAGCATCTATGCTCTCGATTTAGCCTCGCGTCGGCGGTTTTTTTGCTCAGCATCAGGGGTGAAATTGAACTGAGAAGCAAGGAGCACGCATGTGAGTGATACTAGGACGATTGCATCGCGTGCGGGATAACTCATGACAGGGAACGCTAGCGGCCTGTAAAGACACTAGCAAAGCATGGCTTTTGCCAAGGCAGTCAAAGGGCTGCCCACTTGCCGCAGCGATGGAGCAGGCATCGGCACAACAGCCGGGTCCACCGATAACCACAGTATGGCCCAAGCTAGCACAGTACCTAAGCGTCGTCGACGCGCTCGCGGCGGCGCAGGCGTCGAAGGCCTGGCATCACGCGGTAACGGACGCGAGCCCCTGGGCGCCCCGACGCATTGATGGCGCGAAAGCCGCCGTCGCGGCCTGCGAGGCCGCCGCGGCCGCCGCGCGCGCGACGGCGAACGTACCACACAAGTACCGCCGGTCGCGCCTCATGGACCTCGAGGACCGGCCGGCGTACCGCAACTTCGTGTCCGGCGAGGTCGGCGCGCTGTCGCTGGCGCGCATCCTCGGCGCCTGCTCCCTGAAGGGTAAATTTGTCGACCTCGGCAGCGGCACCGGACGGCCCCTGGTCTACGCCGCGACGCTCGGTTCGTTCGCGGAAGTCATAGGACTCGAGTTGTTAGATGGCTACGTGCGGTCCTCGCGCGAGACGCTGGCGCACGTTGAGTGCAAATGGAGCATCCATCAGCGGGACTTCGTTTCTGATGAGGGCGCCGCCGTCTGGCGGGACGCGGACGTCGTCTTCGCGGCGTCGACGGTCTTCGACGAGGCGCAGATGGCGCGCATCGCGGCGCGCGCAGTGGCGCTGAAACGGGGCGCTTGGGTCGTGACGCTCGACGTCGCATTGCCCTCGCCGCACTTTGTTGTGGAGTGGCTCATAAAGTGCCCGGACTGCAGCTGGGGCGCGGCGCGGGCTTTTGTGCAGCGGCGGGTCTGATCTCGCGGCGACGGCGTGCCGACGGAGTTTCTGCTTACGAAGGCTCGTCGAGCGTGTCGTGGCTGCCCCGACTGCAGCTGGGGCGGTCGTGCAGCGTGTAGTAAACTTGTAAAAACTTAGGAGTGCGGCGAAGGCGAGTCACCGCACGTAGTTCGACGGGAACTCGCCGGCCGTGGCCGGGTCGCGGCCGCGGACGTGGCCGACCCACCAGCCGTTGGCCTTCTTCCGCGTGACGACGATGACGTCGCCCGCGGCGAAGGACAGGTCGGACGCGCGCTGGCCCTGGTAGGCGTAGGCCGCCGTCACCTCCTGCGTTGGCCTCGCCGGCAGGACCGGCGGCGCGACGCGGGCGGCGGGCGGCGGCGGCGCCGCGGCGAACGCGTGCGCGACGGGCTGCGCCGCGGGCGGCGGCGTCGCGGTCCCGAGCCCGAGGAGGTCGTCCGGCGCGGGCGCCGCGACGGCGGGAGGAGCGACCGGCGGCCCGTGTTCCAATGCCGCGGCGTTCGCCGCGCATAATCCTAATGCTGCCGCGGCGTGCGTCGCGAGTCTGGACGAAGGCGCGCTTTCACATCTCGCACAAGCGGCGTCGGCGACGCCGCAGTGGAAGTGCGCGACGACGCCGGACAGCGCGCCCGCGCAGCGCGCCGTCGCGTCGCCCACGGCCTCAGAAAACGCGACGAACGCCGCCTCGCACGACGCGGTCAGGTGCTGCAGGTCGCGCCGCGCCGCCTCGAGGCGCTCGTCGCCGCGCGCCGCGAAGGAGTCGCAGTCCAGCAATTTGTCCCTTCTAGCTTTCGTGAGGCGCTCGACGTCCTTGGACCCGGCCGCGGCGCCGTCGAGCGGCGCGCCCACGAGCTCCTGCAGCGCGTGTAAAGCCGCCGGCGCGTGCGTCCTCCTCAGCTTGATCTCGTGGGTTTGTAGTTCATTGAGCGCCTGCTGCGCGTCGCCGTGGGCGTCGTCACTGAGAGCCGCTAACGCCGTCGCCAGCGACGCGCTCTTGTCCGACAAAGCGTGGAGCGCGAGCGAGTACTCGTAGACGCACCGTCTAGCGTCATCTAAGCGCTTCTCGAGGTTCTTCGACGCGTCGAGCTTCGCGACGAAGGCCTCGTCGTCTTTGGTCACTTGATGAATGCCGGCCGCCTGGAGGAGGCGCTCCCTGTTGCGGCGGCGGTTCTCGCGGCTGAACATTTTCTTTTTGTGGTTGTGGTTTATCTTTTGCTGCCGGCACTGAGAGTGAGTGCTCTGCGCGTGCGTGCGGTCCGATGCCAAAAGTATCAAATATGAGCACTCCTCCTTCTATAGGTTACGGCACGACGAGGGCTGTGTGGCAGCCGCTGCCGCGTGTGCTTGGCAGGCCAGCGCTTCTCTGGATGTACAGTTCTGCACAGATGCGGATGGGACCCGCTGATCCCGCGCCAAAAATCACAGAGCTAGCGTTTTTAGACACACTAGCCGCTCTCCGACACCCGACACTTTTTGGCCCTCCACTGCGGCATCCAAGCCCTAACAGACACGCGTGCACTCAGAAGAGATTCGCGGCACTACTAGCTTGCGGCACAAGCACGAACCTCGACCCACAAGGCACCCCAAGATGCTGTACAGCCAGCTCCTCACCTTGACGGCTGCCGTGGCATTTATGACGCCGCGCGGCGTACCGGGCGGCATCGCGGTGCGATCGCAGGGCGCCGCCGCCGCGACACAAATGCGCCAACGAAAAGGCGCCGCCGCCGCGACGCAGCTGCGCTCCATGGCCGAGGACGCCGACGACTTCCCGTCGGACAGCGCCGTGCCCGACGAGCCCGAGCCGGAGCCGACCGGCGAGGAGGCGGACGCGCCCTCCGACGTCGAGGGTGACACTGGCGAGGACTGCGCCGCGCCGGCCGTGGAGGCGTGGAACGAGGAGCTCGCGCTGGACGCGGAGACGGCGCTGCTCGACCGGTGCCTCGGCGTGGACCGGGGTGCGTCGGCGTCGGAAGCCGATAGAAACGACGTCGAGCGGCTGGCGCGCTCCCTCGAGGCGCTCGCGCCGCCGCTCGACCCGTGCCGCCTCGAGGGCGTCTGGAGCCTGGTCTACTCGTCGGAGCCGGGCTTGTATAGATCATCGCCGTTCTTCTGGAGCTTTTCGCGGTTGTTGGAGGGCAAGACGTCGCCGACGCCCGTGCCGGGCGCCAAGAATTCGGAGCTCGCCGAGGCCGTGTACGCGGTGACCGACGCGCTGGGGCCCTTTTATACGGTGGGCGACGCCACGCAAACGATCACCGCGACGCAACTCGTGTCGGAGGTCGAGCTGTCCATCGAGCCCCTGCCGAATTTACCTCCCGTCGGTCGCTCGTTAATGACGTCGACGGCGTCGGCCGTGCCGACCGCGACGGGCCTGGAACTCACGCTCGAGAAGACCGAGGTCCGCGACTCGACGCTCTCGCAGCTGCCCGGTCTGGGCTTCGTGTCGGACCTGGCCTTCCCGACGAAAAATGCGTTTGATGCGTTGTCGAACGCGCTGCAGCTGACGCCCGACGCCTCGACCGTGCAGCTCCTCGCGACGTACGTGAGCGATGGCGTGCGCGTGACGCGGACTGAGGGCGGGTACCTGTTCGTGCACGAGCGGGCATACTAGTAGTAACTGTGCTCATATTAGTCACTCATAAGCTCCTTATCTGTCGCGTTTAGACCACGCCTCCCGAGCCGCTGACGCGTCTAGGTTTACTACTCGACAGGCTCCTTATGTTCGTGCGTGTGCGGCGGAGGGTAGGAAAGCCCTGCTAAGTCACGACCGGGCTCGGTGAACAGTATGAACGACTCGTTCTCGTTCATGGGCGTGATGTACCTGGACGTCTTCTTTATGGCGATCATTTTCTACTCAAGTGCCATCCCGAACATGGTCAGCCAGCGCGACTCATACTACCGCGAGAAGGCGTCCCGCATGTACCAGTCGGCCCCGTACGCGCTGACGTTTGGGATTTCTGAATTCCCATACCTCGTAGCGTACACCCTGTTACACTGCGGCATCCTCTGGGGCCTTGTGGACTTCTTCCCGCAGGACGGTTACGGTTTCTGGTACTACGCGTGCTACTTCTTCCTGTTCATATCCCTCCTCACATACATGGCGCAATTCCTCGCGGCAGCGATGCCGAACCAGCAGGTGGCGTCGTCGCTCGGCATGGCCTACCTGAGCATGACAGCGAACGTCTCGGGATTCGCCATCAGACCGCAAGACATCCCGGGCGGCTGGATGTTCATGTCTGTGTGGAAATCAACCAGTGTGTCGGGTGCACCCGACAATTCTTCACTAAGTCACCTCGCGGCGATGGCGCGGCTGTCCTGGCTCGGTCGAGCGGCGAGGAACCGGCATCGCCACGCCATCGAGCAGGCGTCGCGTCGATGGCGTGGAGGACGACGCGGCGATTCAGCACGAACGCGCCGTAAAATTTTGATTTCCACACAGGTTCATGTACTGGCTTGCGCCTATTCATTATGTCCTCGAGGGATTGGTAGTGACGCAGTTCCACGGCGCAAAAACGAAGGTGAAAGGCGCCCCGGGGTTTCCGCCGGGCAACGAGCCGACGCTGAGCCGCTTCTACACGTCGCACTGGGACGATTCCTTCTTCGGCGGCAAGTTCGTCTGGTCGCACCGGTTCCAGAACATGATCATCTTGGTCCGTTTCTGTGTGGAAATCAACAGTAAGCTAGGTCATGTCAACCTAAACGCCATCGAGCAGACCAGGAATGGAGGCAACCTCGCGTCGATGGCGTGTGGCGTCCGAAATTCGATGTCCACACAGGTTGCGTTCATCCTGTTCTTCCGGTTCGCCACGTTCTACGCGCTCGAGCGCATCAACTACTCGACGCGCTAGGAGACATATAATTACCCGTACCCCGCAGACCTCTGCTCCCGCTTGAAGCGCTTCCCGGCCTTCGTCTTGGCCCACGGCTGCCCCGTCGCCGCGCGGAAGGACGCCTTGGGCCCGCCCCCCGGCGCGTCGTAGTCGACGTAGACGGCCCGCCCCCGCACCGTCACCCCGCCCTGGCCGCGCACGGCCGCCTCGGCCGACGTCTCCTTGACGAAGGTCACGTAGCCAAAGCCCTTCTGGCGCTGCGTGTGGTTGTGCACGGCCAAGCGCACGTCGTTGATCTTGCCGAACTTCTCGAAGGAGCGGCGCAGGGCGTCGCTGGGAATATCGTAAGGCAGGTTTTTCACGAAGACCGTCCGACAGCCGTCGGGCCGCGGCCGCGGCGTCCAGGTCGCCTGGTCCTTGGCCTTGGACGGCTGGATCGTCACGTAGCGGCCGCCGAGGCTCGATCCGGACGCCTTGAGTGCGGCGGTGGCGCTGTTTGCTGATTCATATTCGATATGGCCATAGCCCCTGAGCCGACCCGAGTCCTGGTACCTGGGCAAACGCAGCTCCTTGATCGCACCGTGCGCCGCGAAGAAGGCCCGCACGTCGTCCTCGGCCTCGTCGTACCGCAGCCCCTCGCAGTAGACGGTCCGGGCGGCCTCGTCGTCGAACGGTGCCGGCGCCGGCGCGGCGGCCGGCGTCGCTTCGGCAGCCGCGGCCTTAGCTTTTTGCCGCTCCTTCTTTTCCTTCTTGCGTCGCTTGCGCGCCGCCGCGTCGTCCTTGGCGGGCGGCGCGGCGTCCGCGGCGGCGGCGAGGCGCTTTTTCTCCTTCTTCTGACGTTTGCGTTCGGCGCGTTCGGCGTCGTCCTCGGTTGCTACTGCCGCGTCGGCGTCCTTGCGCTTCTTTTTGCGCACTTTGTCCTTGAGTGAGCCCATGCTCTCACAGCGGTCGCAGCGCGCGGAGGCAGCGCAGACGCTGTGACGCGATCGGCAGAGGTCGCGGTGGTCTACTGCGCCGGCCTATATGCCTGGACGGTGATGTATGCGTGCGTGTGAGCGGTCACAAGAGCAAAATCGCCCTGTTGCTGCTCTCCGGCAGGGCCAGAGCTATTTTAGAGCCGTGCGCGACAGCCCCCCACTTGCGAAACGCATTGCACGCCGCAGGACTGCTCGAAAATGGCTCTGGCGGCCGTTCGTCCAGTGTTCGTGTCCGTAACGCGGTCGACGGCAGCCCTCAGCAGGGCCTGCACGACTCCTGCACTCGGGACTTGGGCAGGCAGGACGGTCAGCAGGGCGGCCTGCTCCTCAGGTGCACTCGGAAGGACGGGCTGCGTCCGAGCACTGGCAACAAAGCCGCCCGACAACGGGGACGCGGAGGAACAAAGCCGCCCGACGCCGGAGCCCGAGTACGGCCTCGGCCCGCCGGAGGGCCTATTGCGCAACGTGGGCCAGGTCATCTTCATGGACAAGCCCGCGGCCGGGTCCCTCGCGCTTATCGGCTTAGCAATAGGCGACCCGTACCTCGCGGGCCTCGGCTTCGCGGGCGGCGCCACCGCCACCGTAACGGCGCGGGCCGTCGGTTTCGATGAGGAGGCGACAGATAATGGATTGATGGGCTACAACGGCGTTTTAGTCGGCTGCGCCTTCTCGCAGTTCCTCGCCGTGAGTCCTCCGGTAGCTTTGGCGGCCACGGTCGCGGGCGCGGCCGCCACGGCGCCGCTCGCCGCCGTGCTCAAACCGCTCTGCGGCAAAGTGCCGCAGTGGACGCTCGCCTTCAACGCGGCGACGCTGTCGGCGTTGTTGTATACGAGACCGTTCGCCGATTCCGTACCGGGACCGCCCGCTTCCATTGATTCGAACTACGAGTTGTTGAATGCCGTCTTAGACACGCCCTTCGTGGGCATCTCCCAGATTTTTGTCGTGGACAACGTCGTGAGCGGCAACGTCATCGCGCTTGGTTTATTAGTACAGCAGCCGTCGTGGGCGTTCCACGCCGTCGGCGGCTCCGCGGTCGGGGCGCTGACCGGTTTGATGATGGGCGCGCCGCTGGACGAAGTATTGCATGGGCTGTGGGGTTTTAATTCGGCGCTGACGGCGCTGTCCGTCGCCGTGTTCTACGAGCCGTCGCGGCAGACGTACGTGCTCGCGGGCGCCGGCGCGGCCGTAACCGCCGTCGTCTTCGGGGGCCTGAAGACGGCCCTCGGGGCGTTCGCCGTGCCCGCGCTGACGCTACCCTTCTGCGCCGTCGCGACGGGCTGCTACCTCCTCGGGGACCACGTGCCGGGCCTCAAGCTCCGCTGACCAGTTTTGTATATAACCATCATCACAACATATTACCTCGCTTCTTTTTGGCGGGCCGTCGCTCGAGGGCGTCGGTCAGGAGCGCCTCGAAGTGGGCCAGGCGCCGCGGGAGCACGTCCGCGCCGCCGACGCCGTCGTCGTACGCGGGCTCCACGGCGGCGGCGGCGTCGTCGGCGCTGTCGTCGTCTGAAGATGAGGAGGATGAGGCCTTCCGCTTCTTTTTCTTTTTGTCCTGCGTGGGCAGCGACGGGTAAGTGGCGCGTCGATGGCGTAGGACGCGGCCGACGCGCCTTCTTCTTCTTGTGCTTCTTTTTGGACTTCTTATCCTTCGGTTTTTTGCGCTTCTTGGCGTCCCGGGCGTCCGGCGCCGCGCGCTTCGGCGGCGCCGCGGGCGCCGCGCCGGGCTGCCTTACCACGAAGGACGCCTGGTAGCCGGAGCCGACCTGCGTATTCCTGAATTGATTCGTGTCGACGACCGAGTAGCCCTTCTCGCCGGTGCGCCCGCGCTCGTCCTCGCCGGCGCGCGCCTCCGCGACGAGACGCACGCCCGTGCGGCCGAGGCAGCCTGCCGGCACGGCGCGCATCGCCTCGTCGTCGCTCGAGTCCGTGCTTTCGTAGCGGTGGCCGTCGAGCGCGCTGTCGGCCTTGGAACGGACTCTCGCCAGTCGGCCCGCCATTTTTGTCGCTGGTGCGCGCTCGTGTTGCGCTGGCAGCCTTGCAGCCTAGCCTGCAGTCACGCACCGCACGAGCAGCACAGATGCCAGCTGGACTGCAGCGAGTAGTAGGCACGTTTGAAAAAAGTTTCAACGACCACCACGTCTCTTGCGCAGCCGTGCAGAGCAGCCGGGCACCGCGTCCAAGCAGCATTTTGCTAGTGTCTTACGGCCGCTAGACATGCGCCTGTTTTGCGAGCAGTCGTCGGAACGGCCTGCAGGAGTGCCCACACGGGACAGATAGCTGGTACGTAGCATGCTGCCTATGGGCCGGCCAGGGTGTTGGGAGCAACGCCAAAGCCAGACACTGGAGGGTGCGCAGCGTGGCGCCGCCCCTTCCACGCCGTCGTACGAATCAATTCCTGCGCGGACGGATTGCGTCGCAAGCGGGCTGCCCAACGCTCGTGGACGTATAACCAAGGAGGCAGCTGAGAGGTGCTAAACAAGGAGCCAGTATAGCATGGGCGACAAGCTCACGCCCGAGGAGCTCGCCGAGTTTAGGGAAATTTTCAACCTAGTGGACAAGGACGGCGGCGGCACGATCAGCAAGGAGGAGCTCGGGGAGCTCATGGAAACGCTTGGAATTGACGCGACGCCGGAAGAAATTGATTTGATGATCGCGGAGATCGACGAGGACAACAATGGTGTGATTGATTTTGATGAGTTCGTCGCTGTGATGTCTAGGAAGGTCTCTGCGACGTACACGGCGGAGCAGGTCCGCGGCGCGTTCCGCGTCTTCGAGAGCGGCGCGCCGCCGGGCCACATCAAGGTCGAGTCGCTGGTGCGCGCGTTGACTACCGACGGCTCGGACAAGCTCAGCGAGGAGCAGGCTCGGGATTTGGTCGCGCAGCTCGAGCCGGACCGGGACGGCCTCGTCAACTACAAGGAGTACGTGAACATGATGATGAGCGACTCGTAAGGGCCCGGTGTGTTTCTTCTTAGCCGCTTCCCCGCGCACGAACCCGCACCCAGGGCCTCTCTGCGCATGCTGCGCTGCGGCGCTCTCACGCGACCACTGCACGCCGTCGACGCGACGTTAACCTCTCCGTGACGCGTCCGAGCTGCTGCGGTCGCTCCGTCGGCTGCCCGAAGCCGTGAGAGCCAACACACAGAGGAGGCTGCCATGGGGGAGTGGGAGCGGCGCTGGCGGGGGCCGCCCCACGACAAATCTCTGGACGAGCTGCCCATGGCCACGGTCCGGTTCCTCGATAGCTTGCGAGTGATGGTCGCGGACACCTACCCGGGCGGCCCGGGCGACGTCGTCGCGATCCGGCCCGGCGACGACTCTGAGGAAGACGACGACTGCGACGACTGGGAGGGGAAGATGCTCACGGCACGAGACGTGTGCGACCACGTGCGTGAGACGCTCGGGTGGTCGTCGAAGAACCTGCGCGTGACGTGGAACGGTCGCGCGCTGCGCGACAAGGAGACGCTCTACGCGGCCGGCGTGCGCTTCGACTCGACGATCCACGTCGTCGATGCGGCCCGCGTCAAGGAGGAAGGCGAGCTGCCCGGTAAAAGCGCGGCGCCGGTCGCGGGCGCGGAACCGGGCGAGGTCTCGCCCGTCAAGCGCGAGTTCCCCGTCGAGGCCGCCGAGGAGGTCCTCGAGGCGCCGAACCCCTACGCGCCGGCGCCCGCCGAGCCCGACGACGACTGGCGGGCCCGGACGCGGTTGGTGTGTTCGCCCCAGGGGCCGGTGCGATATTAATTCACATATGTTTACTTGGGAATAGCCTGCACTCCGGCGCCGTACCGCCGCGCGGGCAGCGTGTCGGACGCCGCGACCGTCAATAGGGTCGCGGCGTCGTCATCTCGCGTGCGCGCGCGCGTCTGGCGCCGTGGCGGCGTGGGAGGGGCGCAGCCTACTCCTCTTCTTTCTTCAGCTCCTCGGGACGCTTGCCACTTCCGTTGAAGTACCATTCGCCATCCTCGTCGATGCCGTACACTAACCCGCCGAGCATGCCAGCCTGTGTGGGAATCAAATTTCGGGCGCCCACGCCATCGACACGATGTTGTCTCCGTAGCTGCGTCTGCTCGATGACGTGGAGTTTTCAGGCCATCGACGCGATGTTGTCTCCGTGACCGCGTCGGTTCGATGGCGTGGGGATTCACAAAGGTCCACGCATAAGCTAACTCACTGACTGATTTCCACACTGATCCCGGCGCCCTGCACGATGGTGTTCGGCTTTTGCTGGATGAAATCCGGCGTGGCGGCTATCGTCTTGCCGATAGTCATTATCGATCATCCGATAACCATCCTGGCGGTCTGACGCGTCGGCGAGCGGCGAGCAGTGACCGGCAGGGCGTTGCGGGGAGCAAAAGCTGCGGCTCCACTAAGGATGAGTGTGACAGCACGCATAACTCGTGCCTTACGATGCAGCCAAGCCTGCACTTTTGTGCACGAGCAGCTGTGACCTTGAGACGGTGGTCGACCACAGTACAGTGCCCTTGCAGCCTGTGTGCGACCGCGAATTGCACGCTGACTGTGCGCCGATATATAATGAACTAGCGTACACTCATGCTAGGATTTCCGCAACTCTAGCTCACCGGGCCCCTCCCACTTACTAGCCCAGACTACGACGCGAGCGATCAGAAACCCGTAGAACGTCCCGGCGCGCCCGCCGCGGCGTGCACGGAAGAAGTTCGAGCGGCTCATCAATGCCCCGTACCGATAATGGTACGGGGCATCAAAAGCCGCTATGACAACGAATTTAACAACGTGCGGCAGCTGGAGGTGTCCGGGGAATTAGCACCACGCCTTTTAGTTAACGGGACTAAACCTAAACCCACGCACGTCGGAGGTCAGTCGGCGATATGTCCCGAGCCGACCCCGTGCGATAGCTAGTTCGTGTCTGGCCGAAGTGAGTGCGCATAGATACCTCAACTTACACGCCGCGGCCGCTCAAGCGCGCTTTCTTTGGGGCTGGCTCCGCCGCCGCCGTCGTCGACGCGCTGGCCTCGGCCTCGTCGATCGCGCCTTTGGGTAAATGCGGCGGCGTCCAGTTCAGCCTTCTTCCGTACATGCAGGCGAGGTCACGCATCTCGTCGACGCCCATCCAGTATAGCTCATCCAGGGCTTTGATTACAATTTCACGGCTGTATTCGCCTGTGTACGGCGGGAGACGCTTGTCCGGCGCTTGTGTGGCCTCGAATGGTGCTATTCCTGCGTTATTTGGCGTAGACGTCATACCTGAACTCGTTGCCCTCGCAATTGAAATTGTGTCATGGTGCTGAAGCCGGCTCGCGAGCCCCAGCCGTAAAACGGCCCAGGAACGAGTCTAAGTAATACAACAATGCCTAATTCACACGCCCGGCCTAGAACCCGCACGAGCAGCGCGACAGCCCCGGTCCACGGCTCGCCGTGCACCCCACACCGCACCGCCCCTTGCTTCCTCGGGCGCCCCCCCTCTTTTAGTAGCAGCCTCCGGGCACCCTTTCTTCTGGTGGGCGCTCCGCGACCCAGTCGCCGTAGGCCCCGACCGCGACGGTGTCGCAGTCGATCGCCACGGAACCGCAACAACCCGTGTGGAAATCAACCAGTGCGTCGGGTGCACCCGACGATTCTTCACTAAGTCATTTCTCGGTGATAACGTGGCCGCTGGCTCCGTCGAGCGGTGATGAACCGGCATCGCCGCGCCATCGAGCAGTCGCGTCGATGGCGTTTCTTCACTAAGTCATTTCTCGGTGATGACGTGGCCGTGCTGGCTCCGTCGAGCGGTGATGAACCGGCATCGCCACGCCATCGAGCAGGCGTCGCGTCGATGGCGTCGAGGACGACGCGATGATTCAGCACGAAGGCGCCGTAAAATTTTGATTTCCACACAGGCAACAACACATCACTGACGACGATCTCGGAGGGCAGCCGTCGAGGCGATCCACGTCGCGGTGATGGCCAGCGACCCTCGTAACGATGCTGCATTCGACGGTTTATTCTATGCAGCCTTGCAAGGAATGCGCCAGGCCGACAACATTGTCAACATCGACGATCGGGAAAGAGCCCACGGGCAACAAGTCATGGCGACCCTCGCTGCCGCGCGCGAAATCGCGCTTAGGCGGCAGACCGAGATGGAGGCCGAACCGACCGCGCCCCAGCAGCCCGAGATGCAGCCCTCCTCCGTAGCCGCCGACCCGACGCGCTTCGAACCCGCGGTGCCGCCGACGCCCCCGAACGCGCCGGTCGCGCCGCCGATGCAGGCCGAATCGACAGCGCCGGCGCCGGCGCCATCCGCGGCGGACCCTTTATCTAGCACCGTCGGCGCGGCCGCCGAGCCGCAAGCGGCGCCGGAAGCGGCCCCAGACGTCGCCGACGCACCCGTGGTCGCGACGGTGGTGGAACCGTTCGACCCCGCGTCGCTCGATCCCAATGATGAGAACTATCTGGAGAAGCTAAAGGCCGAGTGCAAGCTGCGGGGGATTCCGGTCACATGCAAGGGCCGAAACTGTTCCAGGAGTGTTCTATTATTGAAATTGACGAGACCGCCACCTGCTCCGCCGCCGCCGAGAAACTGGACGTGTGCGGACTGCGACCAACCCGAGTCCGAGTGTGGAACCCCGCGTCCCGCTCTTAGAACCGACGAAGGGCCAATATGTAGGAGATGTTTTGACCGGCGACGTGCGTCACGACCGAAGCTCAAAAATTTGCCACGCCTCGAGAACTGCTTGTCGTGCGCCGTGGCTTTGGGCGGCTGGCGCTACGATGGACCGTACGGCATGAGGACGGCCTGTAGATCGTGCTGCGGACGTTTTAGATCTGGGCGACCTCCATTACCGCCGCTCGATGAGTGGTTCTGCACAAACTGCGGCCGCAACCATGACGAAGCCGGTGGGATAAAAGACGGTCCAGATGGCCAGTCGACGCTCTGCGAAGCCTGTGGCTCCGCGACTGCAAATTTTGAGGCACGGCGAAACAAGCAGCGCGTGGTGACGTCCGAGATGTACCGCGACCTACAAATAGCCATCGACGAGCGCGAGCTCAAACTCGCCGAGCTCCGCGCCAATCATTCCGCTTTGAGCCAGGAAGACGCCGTTGCGGCCGCGGCCCTCGTGGACGCCGAGGCCGCCAACAACGAAGAGCTCGCACGCTTATCCCTCGACGAAGATATAGCTCGGGCGTCAAGAGCAGCCAAAGCTTCTGAACTAAAAAAGCAGGGCGAGGGCAGCGATTTGGAAGGAGCGGTGGAGCCTCAGACCGAGATTGATCATCCCCAGTTCCGGAACGTGGTGGAGCAGCACTTCATGCTGAAACAGATAGCAGACTCAGATGTGGCAAAGCTTCCGAAAGCCATTATAAGCCGCCTCGACTTCCGAGACCCGGAAAACAGCTTGTTTGACGAGTGGGTGTGCCCGAGCTGCCTCGACCGCGACTGCAAAGGGCCACAGCGCGTGTTCGTCGAAGGCTTGCTTATACCTATCTGCGAGAAGTGCGCGTCCGCGGCAGCGCACTAATCAGATTTCGCGGCACCTTCGCGCGTCGACGCCCACGCCATCGCGGCGACGTTTTTACCGCGTCGACGCCCACGCCATCGCCGCGACGTCTGCTCGATGGCGAGGCGATGCGAGGCTCGCGCCGTTCGATTCAGTCACGCACGACCGCGTCGTCGCCGAGGTATGAGATTCAACGGTACCGCACAGGCTCACCGATCGACGGTCCAAGGAAGCGCTGCGGCCGGTGCCCACCGAAGGTAGTACTTTGCGCCTCGAACCTCTAGACGACGGCAACACGTTCCACGACAGAGGTATGCTCGTTGCTGCGCTTGAAGAAATCTCGACAGACACAGATAGGCCGGCCGATGAACTCTCGAAGCGCGCTGTGGAGCTGTACCGTGCTACGTAGTGTAGAACTCAACCAGTGACGGACGTACAATACTTTTCACCTCGCAGGCGGCGCGCCCCTCGCCAAATCCCAAAACAGAATGCGTACTAAAATCATCAACACCATGAATTTGCCGAAGCTCAATCTGAAGGCTGAGAATGAGACCATTGCGTTCGCGAAGCCCTTGGACGGCGTCGACACCTCGGTCGTCTCCGCGACGTCCGCGGACAAGGGCGTGATGGCGAACGTGGCTTATGCTTTTCTGCTGGCGGGCGCGAATGCGTGCAGCATGTGTGAGGTGACGTCCGAATCGTACGGCTGCGGGCGGGTGCGCGAGGTGCAGCTCGACGAAGGCCGAGTGCTCGATAGTTTTGACACCATCTTCGGCGCCGCCGGATGCATTGGCAGAGACGAGCTCAATGAATTCGGCGACTTGAAGAAGGTCGCAGCAGTCATCACCAAATGGGCCAAGGTCTCCGTGAAACGACGTAAGCGTCCCGCGTCCTCATCCGTACTTTTCGGTAAGTCGTCTTCGCGCAGGCGGCCCCCATGTTGCGCAGCGCGCCTGGGCTGAGGCAGCGCGTCATGCCGCGCACCACGGCGAAGAACAGGCCATTATCAAGGTCTTGCTACGTGGCGTCGATACTTACATCGCCGCGTCTTTGTACCACCCCGCCTGCAAATATTGTTTGAACCTCCTCTCTGTTCTCGGCGTCGTCTCCAACGATACACCTATACCAGTGCCTCTCCTGCCGCCGGGCCTCGCGCCATCCATGTCCGGCAGCGTGTACCACGGGCGAGTTGAGGGCTGCGCCGAGCAGATGTTATGCGACGAGTGCGGCGCGTGGCGCTTTGTTCCACGCAATCTGGAAGCGACACTTAAAGCTAAGGATCAGTTCTTCTGCAGAGACGTGTCCGACCTCGCGTGCGCGGAGCCGAGCCACGCTTATGATGAAGACATTCGCTCGAAACACAAAGCAAAGCCCCAGGAGTCCTGCCTCCATTTTTACCTGGAAATGCTCCCGGACGGCTGGCGCAATAAGCTCAAACCTGTGATCCGCGACCAGAGGGATGTCTTCTATACCATCGACGACATGTATAGGCAGCGCACCACACAATACAGCATCTTCCCGGAGAAGCGCTTCATTTTCAGGTGCTTTCAAGAGACGCCATTAGAACAGGCTAGAGCGATCATGATTGGCCAGGACCCTTATTACAATAAAGGCGAAGCGAACGGCCTCGCCTTCTCCGTCGACGAGCACACGAGCATCCCACCTTCACTGGGCAACATGTTCGCGTTGTTGGAGACGGACGTGCCCGAGGCGAACGTTGACATCCACATGACGAACGGTGACCTTACCAAATGGGCGCAGCGCGGCGTCTTGTTGTTGAATAGTGCACTTACGGTGAAGAGTGGCGATCCAGGGTCGCACAGCGACATGTGGCGCATCTTCACGAAGGAAGTCATCAAGATCATCTGCAAATTCAGGAAGAAGCAGGGCATCGTGTTCATCGCGTTGGGCAAGAACGCTCAGGAACACATCAAAGACATCGACACGACGGTCCACCGCGTCATCACGGCGTCGCACCCGTCGTCTAGAGCGCGGTTCTCGGGGGCCGAGCCGTTCGCCGCGTCGAACATCTTCTCCAAGACGAACGAAGCCCTCAAAGAGCTCGAGCTCGAGCCCATCGACTGGAGCTTGTAGGGCCCGGTTCCGTCGACGACGCGTCGCCTCTAGGCGCGTGTTTAACGGATGTCATGAATATAATAGCTTCGGGGCGGGGTTTCGCCGCGGACGCCCTCCCGTCGTCTTCGAAGGCTGGGCTTCCGGTTTCGGGCCATCGACGCGTCGGCTCCCGCGCCCGCGCACCACTCGTCGTCAGTAATGATTGCCACTGCGCGTGCGCGATCCTCGTCTGGCTTAGCAGACGTCTCGTTCCTCATAATAAAGTGGCGACTGAGCGGAAGGCTGTGCCGCGCGGTAATTGATCGTGACCGTGATGGGGATATCTCGCCGGCCGGCGTCGGCTTCGTAGATGGTGGTCGTCGGTCGGCTTTCTGTGGCTGAGGTGCGCGCGCCTACCGGCGAGGGACCGCGTCACGAAATTGTGCTGGCGCAGCGCGGTCTGGTCGAAACAGTATTCTACCAGCAATGAGCAGCTCCTCAAGGACGGCACTGATGCCCGTCGGGCGTCGCGGTGTCTGGTGCTAGCGGCATGTAAGACACTAGAAAGCCCCTGGCATCTTCTCCGGCAGGGAGGAGTCTACGCGGTTCTACCGCTTGGCCTTACGACAGCATACTCTCAGAGCAATAATTTTTGCAGAGAAGGCAAAGCGCAACGATCGGAACCCGCTGCGCTTCTCTCCCAGCCAAGTGACCCAGCAGCTGTGAGGCCTCGAGGGAGCAATAACAATTTGGCGTCGCCCCGGATCAACAGCGCGTAGCGCCGCGCGAGCCGTTTTAAAAGAAAACAGAAGGATGGACCAGCTCGTCGAGGCCGCGACGGCCGAGATCCGCCAGGGCGCCGTCGACTACGGCAAGAACCTCGAGATCTGCGACTGCGTAGGAAGAGACCCGAGCGAAGCCTTGGCGTTGGTGGCGGCGGTCAAACGTAGACTGGGCAAGAACGACGCGCACGTGCAGTTACTATCACTAACTCTACTAGAAATGTGCGTCAAGAACTGCGAGAACTGCCACGGCGCCGTCGAGCAGGGGGCCCTACCGTCCGTCGCGAACCTCGCGCAGGCGCCGTCAAATATCGAAGTCCAGACGCGAGCTTTGGAGTTAATTCAGCAGTGGGGCGTCGCCTTCGAGCCCCTGAAGCAGAGCTACCCGAAGTTCTGCGAGACGTACTACGCGTTAAGGGTCAAGGGTTTACCGTTCGGCGAGCCGACGGACGTGCCCGTGTTCACGCCGCCTCGAACCCAGCCATCTTTGTCAAATGCGTCGGAGAGCGACGCGGCCCTCGCGGCCGCGCTCGCGGACGGGTCGCTGGAACGAGCCAACGCGATCGTGAAGGTGCGCACGGATTTGGACGTCGTCGCGGAGCACGTGTCCCTGCTCGAGTCGATGCTGCCGAACAGCCCTGGTATTAAGGAGGACGAGGCCATGTCGGAGGTTGTTGGTTTTTTGGAGGCGTGCCGGCCGCGCCTCGCGAATTTGGTCGAGGTGGGCCTGGCGGGCGGTCTGGGCGACGCGGACACGGTGGCGCACCTGCTGGCCGTGAACGACGCCGTGCAGCAGGTGTTGGCGGACGAGGCGGCGTCGGAGAACCGGCCCACACCGCCGCCGCCGCCCGCGCAGGAGGAGACGCTCCTGGACCTGTCGGCGCCGCCTCCTGCTCCTCCTGCAGCCGAGGGATCGTTATTAGACTTCTCGGCGCCGCCCGCGGCCGCGCCGGCGGCGGCGGCGGAGGGCTCCTTGCTCGACCTGTCGGCGCCGCCGACGAACCCCACTGTTTAATACTTCACACACTTACTACTTCCACTTCGTATTTTTGTGCGGGATCGCCGACCACGTCGTCCGGCACGTGTCCGGTAAGGACGAGGGCCCGACGGAGATGGCGATCTTCTGGCCGTGCATACTCTGGCGCTCGTAGGCCGGCCGGGCCTCGTTCTGCTCGGCTTTTTCCCTCGCCCGTTTTCGCTGGCGCGCCCGCCCCTGCTTCTTGAGGGCCTCGTGCTGGGCCTTCATGATGCGCTCTTCCTCGGCCTCTTTTTCGCCGGTGTCGCGGATCGGCGTCGGCGTCGGGACAACCGCGGGCGTTGCGGTTTCCTGGATGGGCTCGAGGCCGTTGACGCTCGGCTGGGTGACGACGTAGGCCGGCGTGGCCTCGGCGTCGAGGATGCTCGCGGCCGACGGGAGGTCGCTCTCGGGCGCCGGGGCCGGCGCCGGCGGCGCGACCGGTTCCTGCGGTTGCTGTGGCTCGTCGTCCTCGCTCTCGGTGTCGTCGAAATTCATTTTTGTATCGCGGCGATGGCGTAAGGCGCCAAAAGCAGCTGATCTTGTCACCTCTACGGGGTCGGCTCGGCTGGGCCCGATCGCTTCGCGGCGCTAGCGCGGGCGACGCGCACAGCAGCAGGCTGTGAGTGGCTCTGCTGAGATGGTTCTCGCTACGACAGCGCTCTGAGCGGATGCAGGATGTCGAACGTGATCTATGAACAGCCCCTACGTCACTATTGCGCGGAAGCGGGCTAAATTGCGTCGATTGGCCAAAAAGTAGGTGCTTGCTAGTGTGTCACAGGCCGCTAGCTAAAATTTGGGTCGCTGCCATTTTACGCATAACGTGCGCAATCATTGCGTGTAGGCCGTATTCTTACTGCTTTTGTAAAGCTAAGATAGCCGCCCAAGCATCGCTGCCGCAGCGAATGCGACTCTAGATCAAAATGGTCCACAAGCTGTGCAGCACCAATTAAGCCCTCGTCGGCCGCAGCACTCATAAAAACAGGATGGCACGACGCCGCCCGAACAGCGGCGGCGGCGCCGCAGCATTAGCCAAGTACTTCCTCCTCGTCTGGGCCGTCGCGCTCGGCGCGCTCGTCGTGCTGCACGAGCGCAGCATCGCGGACGAGGTGCGCCGGGACTGGGCCGCGGTCGAAGGCGAGGTCCGCAAGGACTGGGCCGTGGTAGAAGGTGAAGTGCGCAAGGAGTGGGCTGTGGTCGAAGGCGCGGTGGAACGGGAAGCTCACTACCTCCTCGACGGGATGAAGGCGCCGCCGTCGCCGGCGGCGGCGCCCGAGAAGCGCGACCATGCGCCTGACCACCATACGTTCGCGACGCCAGCGGCGCCCGACGAGCACCGCGCGCGCAAGCGCATGTTCGCGACGCCGCCGCCGCGCGTCGCGACCGCGCCGCCGCGCGAATCCTGCTCTTCCATAATCGAGAGGATGCGCTACTGGTCGCGCGGCGAGACGCACGCGTCGCCGTACGCTGGTTATGGCCCGAAGCGCAAATATTTAACCTTTGAACCGGACGCGGGCGGCTGGAACAACATCCGCATGGCCTTTGAGACGTTGGCCGTCTTGGCGCACGCGACGGGTCGAGTTCTCGTGATGCCCCCGCCCCAGCGCTTGTATCTCTTGAAAGTCACACATGCCGGCAACACGCGGGCCCACCACGGCGTCGACGCGTTCCTGGACTTCGACGCCTTACGAGGCGCGCTCGAGGTCATTTCCATCTCTCAATTCCTCAACGAAACGATAAAAAATGATAATACGAGGCGGCACCTGAAGGGCCTCGCGGAGCGCGCGACGAACGGTGGTGTCATAGCGCGGCGGCAGCTGCGCGAGTGGATGCGTAGGCATGCGGACGTCGAGCCGCGCTGGGCACCATTAAAGGAATGCGTCGCCTTCGGGCCCTGCTCTACTCACAACAAATACCGGCATTTGACCGCGGATAAATTCTGTACGCACACGCGACGCGTGCGCTATGTCGATCAACGCTTCGCGGGCGCGCCGTGGGTCCACATGACGACGAACGCGTCCCATGGGTATAGGATGTTCACGCACTGGTATACGTTTCTGTTGTTCGACGATGGTGTCACGGACCTCTACTACAAGCGCTTCGGGCGCGATAGACTCAAATACAAGGATGAAGTGTTCTGCGCGGCCGGGAGGGTGGTCGACGCGTTAACGCGTCACGGTGAAACGTACCAGGCGGCGCATATAAGGAGAGGTGAATTGCAGTTCGTCTCCGTGAGGATATCGTGCGAAGAGTGGCGTGATGCCTTACTGAGTTTCGGCTATGACAAGGACGAGGTGCTGTTTGTTTTGACCGATGAAAAAGATAAAACTTGGTTCGCGCCGCTCGAGGAAGCCTTCGCGAAGATTTACTATCTGCGCGATTTTCAGGAGGAAGTGTCCGATCTATACGACCCGAACGCGCTGGGCATGGTCGAGCAGGTCGTGGCCTCGGCGAAGCCGTGTCGGCTGTTCACGGGGACCTTCTTTAGCACCTTCTCCGGTTATGTGGCACGCTTAAGGGCCTACTACGGCCATGCCGCCGACACGTTCTTCTACGCGGCGCCGAAGGCGAAGCATCGGGTCTTGCACGACACGTCGGATACAATTCATGCGCCCTTCTACAACCGCGAGTGGGCGCTGGCGTGGAACAACCTCGAGGAGCCGCTGCCGAAGGACCGGCCGCCGGTCTGGCCGCTCCCGGCCGTCGTGAACGTGACGGACATCAAAGCGCGCAAGGAAAGGTACCCGAAGGACACGGTGGCGCGCATCAAGGCCGCCGACGCTGCTGCCAAAAAGGCGAAGTTCCGGCCTCCGCCGTGATTAGGTTAGTTAACATTTTTTACTGTGCAACAGCTAGTGATAACGCCGACGATAAGATTTTCCGGATGGGCGGGGGCAGTGTCGCAGCGACGGCGTGGCGGTAGGATATGCACAACCTCCACGCTGTCGATGCGGCGGGATATCACAACGTTGTCAAGAGGACGACGCCTCCGACGAGCGTTCTTCCGGGAGCGGCATGGACACGTCGCGGCACGCGACGCGGAAGTCGTCGGGGCTGTCCGGGCGGTAGTGGTCGGGGCCGTCGCCCTGTGCGGGCGCGGCGGCGAAGGAGAGGAGGGAGGACGCAGAGGAGGAGGAGGCCCAGGACCTCAGGGAGGACGTCGTCGACGAGAACATCGACGTCGTCGACGACCAGAGCGAGGTCTTCGACGACCAGAAGGACGACGAGGAGCCGCCGGAGTCGCCGCGCCGGGGGAAGTGGTGGGGGTTCTCGTGCCGCGGCGAGCTCCAGGGCGACGACAGGGCCGACGCGATCGACGACGTCGGCGAGGCCCAGTCCGGGAAGCTCATCGACGACGTGGGCGAGGCCAGCGGCGAGACGCCCTGGGGCTTGCGCCGGCGGCGCCGGCGGCGGTCGCGGCGGCGCCGCTCGTCGCCAGGGGCCGGGTCCTCCGCCGCGTGGGCGCGCCGCCTCCGCCGCCGTCGATGCGGAGTCGGCGACGGGGGGACCAGGACGCTCGCGCCGCTGACGAAGACGAACTCCGCCGGCGGCGACGCCCTGGGGGTGCTCACCGTCCGCGGGAGCCGGCCCAGCCGGGGCCATCGCTCCTCGACGTCTAGGGCCGTCACCGCGGTCTCCTCGACGAACGCGGTTGTGGCACTATCGCCCGGCATCGCGGCGACGGGCGTCTCTTCGACGATGGCGTGCTCGACGTCCATCGAAACGAGATGAAGAGCCTCAAGGCCAGGTATAGTAAGTTGCCATCTCGCGGTGCGCTGGCCTCGAGGATTCGTATTCACGAGTACATCCCAAATGTCTTGAGCGAGGTAATGATAACACCAATTTTCATGGCTGGCGTTCGCGTCAATTGCTCGGTCACCCACTTTGGCTAGTGTCTTACAGCCGCTAGACAAAGGTGCCACGAACTCAAAGTCGCACGTTTCCTCTAGAATAATGAAGCCTAAAGCACGGATCCAAGAGCTGCCCCAACGCACGTGAGCTAGCGGGCGTAAGACACTAGCAATTTACATCAAGCCTGGCAGCAGATCAGTGGGCTCAGTGCGGCAAGCGGGACGGTGCCGGGCTTTGTGACGCGATTGCAAGTGCCACCGCACTCGTTGCCGACGCGCGAGCGCCCAGAATTTCCTGACTCGGCGCGAGCTGTGCAGCTGTGCTCTGCTTGAGTGCCACCGCAGTCGCACTGCGAGCGCGCAGCAGAGCGATCGCAGAAATCCGAGGCGAGTTTCGAGATGCCCGCCATGCAGTGCCTCCTGCTCGCCGCCGCCGCGACGGCTTTCAGGATAGCACCAACAATACTACACCCCAAGCCGCTCGCGTCGACGACAAACGATTGGCAGCAGTTCGAGGTCGACGCGTGGCGCGACGCCGTCGTGGCCTTTGACGACGACGAGGACGAGGACTTTGAGTTGTTTCTGGATGACTTGGACGGGGACCTGGAGGAGACGCCGCCGCCGCGCGACGACGCGCCGCGCTACCTCAGAGAGGCCGTCGAGGTGTGTGGTGCTGATGTCGCTTTGGAGGGCCTCACAGCGAGAGAGCGCGACGTGTTGGAAGCAAGGTACTGGTCCGAGGCGCCGCGCACCCAATTGGACGCCGCGAATGAATTGGACGTGAGCCTCACGCGGGTCAACAATTTGGAAAGGAGTGCGAGGAAGAAGCTCGAGAGATTATTGGAAGAACGGCGGTCGATGGCCCAGACGGATGCTGACGTTTCGGACGACGACGGTTTGAGCGACGCGGCTCAAAGGGCATTAGCAGAGGGCCGGTTGATGCTGGGCGTCATGGAGCGGCGCGTGGGCTACTTCTATTTTCGCGACGAATTGGGTCTGGACGAGGCGACGCTCGGGCGGTTGCTCGCGCACCACGGCGCCGTGCTGTCGCAGCGGCGCGACACGCTCGCCGAGAAGGGCGCGTCCCTCAGGAGGCACCTGAACCTCGACGAGAGCGAGCTCAAGAAGCTCATCCGCGTGCAGCCCACGTTGCTGGGCCACAACGCGACGCAGCTGCGGCGGAAGATCGAGTGGCTCCGGACGGCCTGCGACTGCGCGCACGAGCGCGAGCTCGGCCAGGCCTGCCTCAAGTGCCCGCCGCTCCTCGCGACGTCGGCGCGGCGCGTCCTGGCGCCGGCCATCACGCAGCTGCGCGCGCTCGACCCGTCCGGGGCATTAGCCAGGCGCATCCTCGAGCAGCACCCGAACGCGTTGCGGGCGCGCGACGTCGGCGCTAGGTTGAAGGCCCTCGCGGACGCCGTCGACGGCGACGCGCAGGACGCCGCGCGCATGGCCTGGAAGGAGCCGCGGGCCCTGGCCATCGACGCGCGGTCGCTCGACGAGCGCGCGGCCGCGTTAAGGCAGGCCCTCGGCGAGCGCGAGGCGAACGCGCTGATCGGCAAGCGGCCGGACGTGCTGTTAGCGTCGACGTCGAAGCTCAGCGACGTCGCCGCGGCGCTAGAGCTGTCGCTCGGCCTGACGCGCGCGAACGCGACGCGCCTCGCGGCTCGCGTCGCGTCGACGGCGCCGCGCGTCGTGGCCTCGACGGCGTCGGCAAAAGTGCACCAGCGGGCGACCTTCCTCTGCAAGGAGCTCGGGCTCTCTCCAGAAAGAGCCGCGGCGGTCGTCTACCGCCGGCCGCAGTGCCTGGGGCTGTCGGTCGAGAAGAACCTCCGGCCGGCCTGCGCGTGGTTGGCGTCGGAGCTGCTCGGTGGGTCGGAGAAGGTCGCCTCGCTGCAGGAGATCGACGCGGACAAACTCGACGCGCTGCGGAATCTGGTCGACGCGTACCCGACGGTGCTCGGGTTGTCCGTCGAGAAAAACCTCAAGCCGAAGCTCCACGCGCTCCGGACGGAGCTCAAGCCGAGCGAGCTGCGCGACCGGGGCAAGCACCCGCTCGCGCGCGACGGCGCCGCCGCGGCGGTCTTGCAGTGCCCGGCGCTCCTCGGCTACTCGCTCGACGGGCGCCTGCGGCCGCGGCTGCGGCGCATCCGCCAGGCGGGATTGCCCCTGGCGGACATCGCGACGCTCGCGCAGTGTCCCGAGGCGCAGTTTGAGAAGCGGTTGCAGGGGCGGCTCGCGCGGGCTTGATTCTTATAATGATGAATTGTTACTCCGGATCCCTCCGCAGCGCCACGTCCATGTCGACGTCCAAGACGGAAAGCGACACATCGGCCAGGACGTAGTCCAAGACCACGGAGTAGAAGCCGAAGACCCGCCGATAAAAAGTCCGCTCGACGACGTCCGGCACGTAGGACACGTTCACGGACTCGTCCTGGAGGATCTCCTCGACCAACGCGTCGACGTGCGCCTCGCCGAAGAGTTGCGGCAGGCCCGCGCGCCGCCTGCGTCTCAACTCGTCGGTGGTGAGCGTGTCAAGCCATCCCACAAAAGGCCGCACGTCGAGCGTCAGGTCGTGGCCGAAGCAGCCGAGGCGGATCGTCGACGCGACGTCCGCGGCGAGGTTGACCACGACGGCGCACACGTTGTGGTGCAGCGACCGCTCGAAGTCGCCGATGGCGCCGCCGCCGGAAGCTTCCCGCTCGACCTCGAGCACGCGGTCGACGAACGCGCGCACGCGCTCCTCGTCGACGCGCACCTTTCCGTGCGCGTCGTCCTCGCCGCGCCGCCGCCGCAGCGCCTCGACCAAGTCGAGCCCGCGCCGCTTCTGCGGCGCGACGTCCAGGCGCAGCCCGAGCACGCCGACCGCCGGCAGCGCGTCGAGCGCCTCGTGGACCAGGGACAGCACGATCTTCACGCAGTGGCCGTACACTAACGCCTCAACGCCGGGCATGACGCTCCCCTCGAACTGGATCGTGTCCGCCACTTCCGAGACGTAGGCGGCGATCTCGGCGTCGCTCATGTAGCGCAGGGCGCGCTTCGCGTGCTTTTGGGGCGGCGGCGTCGCGGCTGTTGGCGGCGTCGGGGCCGGCGCCTCGGCGCTCGAGATGTGCACGCGGTGCGACACGCCGAGCAGACGCGCCGTCGCGTTCATCGACGCCGCCATCTGCTCGTGTAGGCGCAGGAGCGGGTCTGATGATGCGTGACGCCGTGTTGGTTGCCTTGCTCTCCCAGCTCTCACAGCAATGCGGCGCAGCATTGGTGCGCGTTCGCGATAAGGTATCGCGGTCTACCAGCTTCTCACGAGTAGTTGTACGTCGCGCACTCGTTCCTTCGTGTGTCGTCGCGCAGGCGTCCGCGCACAGTGTTGTGCTGGGCCAGGCTCACACTCTGAGAGCCAGACGTGCGGGGTGGGAGCGATGCGTAATAAACAATACCGGTCTTAGCAGAAAGGGGGAGGCCTCTACCGCGACGCGGCCGGCTCGATGCCGGCGATCTCCACGATGATGGGCGACTCCTCGAACTGATGGAGCGGCGGCGGCGAGTCAAGCACCCACTCGAGCGTCTCTACCAGCTCCGGCACGACGACGCCGTCCTCCCGCACCTCGACGACCTCCGACTCCGTCGCGAGCGGCCGCGCGGCGACGAGGCGCGGCGCGGCGGCCCGGGCGCGCGCGGGCGCGGCGAAGCGCGGCGCGGCGAGCCTGCGGGCGCGGGGCGGGTGAGATACACGGTTGAGACCGGGCGCGCGTCAGCCTCGGTGGCGGCGAGAGATTCGCGCGCGTGCGCTGGCGCTCCGCGGCGGTTCATGTGGTTGATGCAAGACTGCTGATTGCTCGGCGAAGGGCGCGCGGCGGCGCCCAGTTCTCGCAGACGTGATTCTATGACACCGTATGCGTACCGCGCTGCTCTAAGTAGTGCGCTCATCGGTCTCAGCGCGTAAAACGGAGACAATCAAGCTGGCTGTGGGCAGGCCGAACCCGTTTTGTCAGTCTTGGAGTCCCGAATTTGCGTTCTATTCCTCTCGGCGGGTGGTCAGCGGTCGCCGTGGCCCTTCGCGACCCGTAGAAAAGTGGAGAAGCCGTAGCCCAGCTTCGAGTTTTTTGAGTTGTGCCTGCCAAATATAGGTGCACCGCGGGGCCCCTGACAAGCGTGCGAGTCGCAGTCGTGGTCCTTTCAATCATTTCTGAAGCGCTGTGCAGTTTTTGAGCCGCGCAAATCGGTGCGCGTAGCAAAAGCTGCAAAGACAGCCTGCCCATTCCTGCAGCAAAACACTGCGCGCGACAGCAGCAGCCGTCCAAGCCGACGCGCGAACCCCGCGCCAGCACCGCGCGAGCCGCGCACGAGCACCGCGGAGCACCCAGACAACGATGGACTCCTCCGACGAGAAGGTCGACTCGTCCGAGGAGCGGCTGTCGAGCGAGGAGGACCCGGTGGACGACCCCAAGGACGCTGACTTCGAGGTCCCGGACGACGACGAGGAGGAGGAGGAAGAGGACGAGTTTATGGAGGAGGACGAGGCGCCGCCGCGGCGTCGACGGAGCCTGCCGCGCGGCCAGCCCGAAGAGGAGGAGGACGCGCCGCCGCGCCGCCGCCGGAGCGCGACGAAGCTTAACGAAGATGAGGTGGATGAGTCCACGGAGGAGCCGCCGCCGCGCCGCCGGAGCTCCACCAAGCTCGCGGAGGACGAAGACGAGCCCACGGAGGAGTCTCCTCCAAAAAAGCGCGCCACCCAGTTAGAAGAAGATGATGAGCCGCCAGTGCCAGCTTCCATAAGGAACCACAACACGGCGCCAGAAACACAAGTAGAGGAACCGGTCTACACCGACACGGGCCGAAGGAAACGCAGTGCCGCCAAGAAGGTCAACTACGACGATTCCGTAAGGGACAAGGACTTCTTCCGCGCGGTCAACAAGCACGACGCCGACAAGTACCCCGACAACGGCCATTTGTCCGAGGGCGACGACGAGATCCTAAGTGATGACGAGTCGGATAGTGACGGCCCTCGCAAGGCCACGGCGAAGAAGTGGAAGGAGCCCGTCGAAAAGAAGAAGAAGCGGGGGCGGCCCCGCAAGCAGGACAAGGACGAAGCGCCTCCTCCGGTACTGGACCCGTCCGACGGCGCCGCGGCCATGGTGCTGCGGATGCAGAAGCCTCCGTATGATGTGCTGAAGACGCCCTGGGCGAACCGGGATCCTGAAATTTTTGCTACGTCTTCTACCATCGAGACCGTGGAAGGTAGAGATACCTGGAAAGAATTATTACCGGAGATGATGTGGGTCTGCAACGAGGCCGCGCGAAGACAAGCAGTCTCGAAGAACAGAGGCGCGCGCTACTTCGACAAGCCTTTAGCTGCCGATTATATGTATGACAGAGTAGCGCTCGCGGCGGACGAGCCCTGGGGCTTGGTCTGCAGGGACAACGAAAGCAAACAGATGCAGGGCTTTTGCATGTTAGGGACCTTTGCGTCCTGGGATAAAACCTTGAGATGGGCGTCGAGAGACCCGCGAGCCTGGGGCGTCGCCGACTACGACCCCAATTGTGGTAGGAGGATTAGGGTCAACGCGAGGCACAACTCTGACGACGAATTCGACGACGCCGATTTGGCGGACATTTCCGATCCAAGGGCCAGGGCCGACGAGAAGAAGCTGCGCGCGTACATCGCTGCGGCGACGCAAGCGGCTAAAAGTGCTGCTGACTTGGCCATGGCCGAGAAGCGCGACACCGACGGCGTTTTGTCTGATGCCCTCGAGGCGACGGCGTGCCAAGTCTGTTCGTCGGACGCGCGCATGACCGAGTGGCCCGACGTCCTCGAGGTGTCGTTGTTGGGTGGACTTGGTTGTGGTGGACTACTCCTCAAGCAATGTCTGGAACAGGCTTCTACTCGTACCTATACTACCACCAACTTCGACAATCGGCAAGATGACGATGATTTACAGGCTACGGATGTGGAAACGAGGCCCGTACCTACCTACGTGGCCCTGCAGGCGACGGAGAGTGCGGTGCCTTTCTATGAACGACATGGCTTCCGACGAGTAGGCGCACTGGCCAAGTATCGGGATCGAAGGGACATGCCCGAATTAGCGTACCGGCACTGGAACGACCGGATCATGGTCTCGCAGACGCACGGCGCGTCGCACATGATGGCCCTCGAACTGGCAAAGTACGCCGGTCCACTCGAGAAATGTGACCATTCGCAAGCGCCCAAAGCTTCGAAGCCCGACCCCGCCGACACGGCGTTCCGAGAGAAGGCTCGCGAGGAGGTCATGGACGTCGCGCGGTCCGCCATAGGCTGCAACACGAACGTGATTGGCGGGTCGGGCGTGTTTCGTGAATTAGTAGTACTCGCGCAAGGCCGGGCGGGCCCCTGGGGCGCAAACGATGATGATTTATCTCGATCATTAGCTAGAGTGCTCGTAGTGTTCAAGTCCAACGCCTGTGGCAGCGCGAAGTCCGTGCTGCGAGATGAAGTTTTAGGTGGCGAAGACTGCGGCTTTTCTCGTCGGAGAAGTTCGAGACCTAGAGCGCCGAAGAAATTTGAGGCGTACGAGGACCCGGACCACGCACCCTTACACATGCGTACTCAAGCACTCTCTGTGAGAGTTAGGTGCCCGGTCACGGAGACACCTGTGGAAGTAGAGGTACCTCCAGTGGAAGAAGAGGAGGAGGAACCCGAGGAGGAATTGACCAAGGAAGAGCTGAGTTGCGAGGCCTGCCGCGGCCGCCACGTCAAGCACACGTGCGGCACGGATCCCGAGGAGCGCAAGGCAAAAAAACGGGCCCAGGCCGAGGCTCGGCGCGCGAAAGCGCAAAAAGCTGCAGAAAGGAGGCAGGCGATGGAAGAAGCGAGGCAGGCCGCGTTGGAGGCCGCGAAGCCGCCCTACGCGACGCCTCCCGAGCTCATCGCGGTCATCGGCACCAAACAGTCGTCCACCCGAGATTCGACGGTTCAGATACGCGTCAAATTAAGGGCCGAGGGTTTGTCGCTAGTTCCCGTGGCCCTCTTCCCGAAGAAGCTGAAGAAGAAGGCTCGATCTACACACTTAGCAGGTGCTCTGGCGTCGGTGCGGAGGAAACGTCGGGAGTCGGAGCCGCCGTCACCGAGGAAGAAACCGTCCAGCAAGAAGCGCGCCTTGGATGATGACGATGTACAGGCGTCGTCTCCGAAAAAAATGCGGAAGCCGCCCAAAGATGATGGTGATCAATACGAGGCGCCTCCGCTCCAGCCCTCGGAGGTCCTATCGGACTGCCCCTCGGACGTCGAGGAGGACATCCTGTCGAGGCCGGACAACGGCCTGCGAATACGCTTCAAGTGGGACGCGCCCTACGGCTGGGGCGAGGCCAAGATTAGGAGAAATGCCTTCAAGAAGGAGGTCCTTAGAGATGATAGGGGTGTGCAGGTCCCGAAGGAGCGGACCTGGCTCATCACGTGCGAGGACGGCGAGCAGATGCTCGTGGCGCTGAATCCTGAGTTTAGGGGGACTTCCCGGAGACACAACTGGTACGCGGCGCGGCCGCGGTCGAAGGCGCCGAAGCGACGGGGGCCGCCGCGGAGCCGCTAAGTACATAGACTATTCCTCTTTGTTTATATTTGCTAGGACTGCCGCTAGCCCGAGGATGGCCGGCGTGACGATGAATTCGGACACGCCGAAGCCCTTCACGAAGTTCTCGTTGCAGTCCAAGTTCGCGTTGATGAGCTTGACGTCCTGGCCCGACTTGCGGCCGGGGTATTCGCCTGCGTGCGTTGAGAGCGATGAAAGTCGCGTCGATAGCGTGATGCGGCGCCGATTCGTACCTTCCCCTATCCATTTACAGCCTTCCGGCGGAGGGAGCGCTGTCGCCGCGGGAGCCGCGACCGCCGCGAGGAATGCCAGCGACGGCGCGGCAATGGCGCGGCGTTGGAGGGCGTGTTGTCGCGGTAGCTGACGCAGCGATGTGCATACATGCGCCGTCAAGAGAGTCGCGATGAGCATGTGTCGAGGCATTGCACAAGCAGAATCTGATGGGGTTGTTGTGCACTGAATGCAAGCAAAGTCGTGCAAGTCTTGCTTCTGCTGGTGAACGCACTATTTGAGAAGTGCTGCTCTGTGCCTGGCTAGCCTTATGGGCCCCTGTAGAGCTTGCAATGAGCCACAAAAAGTGCGGTGCTCTGCCTAATGCTAGCGGCCAGTAAGACACTAGCAATCGGAGCTCATAAAAAACGCGGCACGCGCCAGGGTAGATCACCAGGGACATCGCCAACCGGTCCTAGGTTCGATGTTTACTAATTTATGCACGGGGGCGGGGAATTCTAAAAGCTAGGCTGCTGCGCAGTCGAGTCGCCGCCTTGTGGCGTACGGCTTGAACGCGCCCTGGGGCGGACGCGTAGACCGGAGCGCGATGTGGAAAAAGAGTGGGGCGCGGGGTTAGGCTCTCCTCGTTTCGTCGAGAGGGAGTCCCGCGGCGATGTTCAGTAGGCGCTACCATTCTTGGGGAAGAAGTGCGCGCCCGCGCGGAGGTCCGGGCCCTGCCAGTTGGCCGAGTCGATCTCCATGACACTGGACGGCGAATTGCGGTCCGAGAGGTCATCCAATGAGGACGACGCGTCGGAGGCCTCCGTGAACTCGGACTGCATGGCCGCCTCGACCTCGGCGTCGGCCGCGCACGCGTCGACGTCCCGCAGCTCGTCGCCCAAGCCGTTGAGCTCGAGAATCCTCAAACCGCACTTCATGACTCTCGCGGAAGCGTCGGGCGCGTCGGCGTAGGGGAGGCGGACCTGCTCGACGCGCGCCATCCAGGCCTGGACGACGTCGATGGGCGCGTCCGTGGCCTTCAAAGCGCAGATGACCGTCGCGACGGCGACCATGGACGGCGGGTACTCGAGGAAGGCGGCGTCGGCGCGCACCTTGTCGGCGTAGGCGCAGGCGCGGTCCGCGACCTCCTCGTGGTCGACGCACGGGCCCGCCGCCTCGGGGATGTCTTCTAAGAGTCCGGCGAGGAGGTGCGCGGCCGCGTGGACGGTCGGGGGGTTCAGGTGCCACTTGAGCGTGCAGAGGAGCTCGAGCTCCATGAGCCGCAGGTCCGAGGCCGTGAAGAGGCCGTCGCTCAGCGTCACGAAGTCCGACGTGCGGAACGGTCTCGTTTCCTCGATCTTCGACGCGAGGAAGATGGACGCGATCGACGCGAGCTGGAAGGACACGTTGCCGCAGGACCGCCGCGACAAGTATCTATCTAAGTAGTTCGTGGCCATGGCCAGCGTCTCGGCCTTGAGCTGGAACGAGTCGCCCAATTGATCGAACCAGGCCATGATCTTGGGCCGCCACTGCGGGCTCATGCCGTCGCGCTGGACCGCCTCGAGGTAGTCGGGCCGAGGCCGATAGAGGTCCTCCTGCGGCGGAATTCAAATGTTGAACAGTGTTCCGGGGCGCGGGGGTTCATATAAGAGTGTGTGGGCCGGGCGAGCGCATCGGGGGCGCGTTCCCGGCTTTCTCCACTTTCCGGAGAAGCCTCCCGATATCGGACATGCGCGCCTCGGGGGCGGGGCTGCCCCTGCACGCCAAATTCGGGGGAGGGCCTCTCTATGTCATGGGAAAGGCCCCGAGGGCAGCCCCGGGGCCGCGCGGTGCCCCCGGGGGGTTTTAAGAGGGCAGGAGCGAAGTCGTGTTTTGTGGCTCTGGCGACGGACGTGCTGCACGAGGGCGCGGAGGCGAGTCGCGGCGATGACCGAGCTCGGCGGCTCGCCGCAGGCGAGGGGCTGCCCGGCGGCCGCCATGAGCGCCTCGCGAGGGCTTTGCCTGCTTCCCGCGCCTCCACGAGCTTGTGTCTTGAGATTTTAGGCGAACCCCCCTACTATTCTCCGGGCACGTTCCGCGTCCTATGCTTCGGGGGCGCCCCGGTGCTTGCCGGGGGACGCTTCCCGGCCGGAGGCACGCGTCCGTTTGCGTGTCAATTTGAGTTTCCATCCTCGTTTTGTTGCATGCGGCGCCGTGAGCTCTCCCGCGCTGCTGTAGCCGTCGCCGCGAGGAGCCGTCGCCGACCCCACGCGTGCGCGGCTGCAGAACCCCGCACGATGCCGGTGAAATCTCGGCGGCGTGCCGGCCTGATGCACCTTGTGGGGCTTCGCCCGCGGCGCGCGAGGACCACCCTAGCCATCGTTGGACGTCTTTGAACAGGGAGGCTGCCCCCGTGCCCCGCGCGCCGGCGGAACCCCCGATATCCGGCCGGCCCCAGCCGGCAGCCGCACGGACCGTGCCCCGGTATCCGACGGCAGCGGCCGCTATCCAGCATGCTGGACCCCGAGCTCGCCTGTCCGCGGGAGGAGGACCGCACGCCGCCCCAGTCGCCCGCGTCGAACCCGCCGCCCACTCCATCGCTGGAACGTGTGACGCGGCGGGACCTGCTGCGCCTCAAGTTCCATCATCGAAGAGCCATTAGAGTAGTGAACGTCAGACGGGGCGAGAGCGTGTCGTTTCGTGCGCTCAAACAAAGGCTCACGTCGGATTACGGGTTCGAGCTCGCTCTAGCGTATCAGGACGCCGACGGGGATTTGATCACCCTGGCCTCGCAGAACGACCTGAACGAGTTGCTGGATGGGTTCTCCTCGACGAATTCCCAGAACGTGCGCGTCATGAAGCTCGAAGAAGATAGGGTCTACGAGGACGACTTTGAGAGACCTGAGAGAGGTCGAGTGTCGCCGCTGACGGATGCTCGATCAGCAGCTCTGGAAGACGAGGACGACGTGGTTACGGCTTCCAGAGATGTTTCGCCGCCTCCCACGTCGCCCGTGACTCCCCGAAGATTGCACGCTCTGATTTCTTCACCGACGCCGCATGCGCGCGAGCGCGTGCTGGATCCCCTGCGGGCGCCGGCGTCGCCCCTACCGCCGCAGACCGAAGCGGAGACGCAAGTGACGCCCCGAAGACACGTGTCACCGATCAAGGAACGGCGATTGGACCCGCTGGAGCAGCGGCCTCGAGCGACCTCGATCGTCGACGACGGCTCGTTGGCCGAGTCGTTGTCCGACGACAACCAGCCTCCCGACTTAAGGCCCAGAAGTGCGAAGGTGGCCCCGCAACCCACGGAGCGACGGATACGGTGGCAGCGCGGCGAGCTCGTCGGCAAGGGCGCTTTTGGGACTGTGTATCTGGGTCTGAACTTAGACACGGGCGAGCTGATGGCCGTGAAGATGCTCGAGGCTGAAGAAGTGAGTTCTCGAGAACGGCACGCGTTGGAGAACGAGGTCCGCACTTTGAAGAACCTCGGCCATCCCAACATTGTGCGGTATCTCGGTGTCGATTCGCGGTCGGACACGCTAGCCATCTTCCTGGAGTACGTCTCGGGCGGCTCCCTCCGTTCATTATTAGATAGGTTCGGGAGGTTAGAAGAACGCGTTGTCAGGTTGTACGCTAGACAGATCCTGCTGGGACTCGAGTACCTGCACGCGAACGGCATCGCGCATCGAGATGTGAAAGCGGCCAACGCCCTCCTGTCGCAAGATGGGATCGTAAAGCTCGCCGACTTTGGGGCGTCGAAGCGCACAAGGGAGGTCTCGGGCAGCACTTTACATGCCACAGGAGGCCACGCGAAGGGCACGCCGCTCTGGATGGCTCCAGAAGTCATCAAGTCGACGGGCCCCCAGAACTCCTGGCGCAAGGCCGACGTCTGGTCCGTCGGCTGCACCATCATCGAGATGGCGACGGGCCGGCCGCCCTGGTCCCAATACAGCAACCCCGTCACGGCGATGTACCACATCGCCTGCGTCGAAGAATTGCCGGAGATGCCTTCCTCACTGGGTACTGCCGGCCACGACTTTCTGGTCTTGTGCTTTGATCGGGATCCGAAACTGCGGCCGGAGGTCTCCGCCTTACTGTTGCAGCGGTTCGTCGCGGCGGCGCCGCGGCCGTTGTTGAACCAGTTCGTGACGTCGCCGCGCGAGAATGTTTTGAGGCCGTCGACGGCGTCGGCCACGGAGGGTCTGGACGCGATGCGCCGGAGCCACTCGTTGCGGGTCGTGACGGACGCGACCGTCTTTGAACGAAGACTCGTCGCGTCCGACGACGAAGACGTCTCGCCGGCAAAAGTTTTGAGGAGGCAGCGCGACGAGCAGCGGCCGCCACCAGATCAGATGCGGTCTCCCTCAACTCTAAGACGGCGCGGCCCGTCGTCCGAAGATTTGAAACCCATGGCGTCTCCACAAAAGCGCCTGCCGCCGACGGCGGCGGAGACTTATCGGGAGGAGAAGAACCAGCGGGGCCCGCGGACCATGCTCAAGCAGCGCCGCGTGCAGATCAGCGCGCCGGGCGACCCGCCGTTACGACGCGACGACTTGGATGGGGAGCTGCGGCAGCTGCAGCGGCGCGAGAAGGATTTGCGAAGTTCGCCGGACCCGCGGTCGCCGCGGCCGCCGCGGGACCCGAGGCCGCGGGCCGATAGTCTCCAGGTGCCGTTGTTCGACGAACCGCGCGGCGGCGTGCGGCGCATGTCGCCGCGCGTTTTAGATGATGACGTCGCGCGGCCGACGGACGACGTCGTCGGCGCGCACGACGCTGAAATTGCAAGGCGCACGCTCCGCACCGCTATCGGTGGAGAGGACGCGGCGTCGCCGCGGCGGGGCCCGCAGCGCCAGGTGCCGCGCCTGGAGGACGACGGCCCCCCGCAGTTCACGGCCACGCCGCCGCGGGGCCGCATCCCGCCGCTCGAGGCCAATCAAACGCCGAAGGCGGCCTCGCCGGAGCCAAGGCGCGTGAACGACGCGTCGCCGGAGCCGCGCGCCAAGGAAGCATTAAGACGGGCGGCGGCGCTCCACGGCATGCCGAGCGCCGAGCGCCGATTGCATGATGCGGCCGCCATCCAGAGCGAGTTCCTCGACACGATGAAGGACCGCGCCTACGACCCGGCGATTATCGGGAAGCGGCCCGAGCAGCGCCGGCCGGCGACGGAGGGCGATTCACTAAGGGGGCGCGAGGTGCCGCGGCCGCCTCTCCTCGAATGTTCGTCCGACGACGACCTGGAGTCAGTACCACCACCAGCGCCGGAGGTCAAGGAAGACTTGGTGCATCGCGGCGCGCCCATTACCTGTTTAGCCGCCGCTCCGTCGGGCGGGTTGCTCGCGTGTGCGTCCAACGATGGTAGAGTGGTTGTCGTGGACCATCGCGACGAGGACTGTAAGATCGCCGCAACTTTACGACCGGCCCTCGACTCGCTGAAGAGCGCTCGCTCTCCACATTCTCGGATTAGATCAAGGACGGCGCCGGCCGGGGTCCTAGATAGGGCGGCGCTCGCCGACGCGACGCCGTCCGTGGCGACGTGCGTGCTCACGACGAACGGCGCGCGCTGCGTCACGGGGAGCGACGACGGCGTCGGGCGGGTCTGGTGCGTCGAGACGGAGTGTTTGCTGCACGCGTTGGAAGGTCATGACGGGCGCGTGACGAAGGTCCAGGTGCTGGGCGGGCCCGAGTCGCGAGACCAAAGAAGAGGCACGCCCTGGGCGGGTTGTGTGGTTACCGCTTCTTCCGATCATACGGTGCGACTCTGGGACGTGCGGTTGCGACGGCCGCAGACCATGGTTCTACGGGGCCACGCCGACGCGGTCAACGCGTTATGCGTGGACCAGGACCACGTCGTCTGGTCTGCTTCGAGAGATACGTCCATCAGGGCCTGGGACTTGAGATGTGGAAGACAAAAATATGCGATGACGCAGCACTTCGGGGCGGTGACTACTCTCGTGCAGGACCCCTCGCTGGACAACGCCAAGGGCGGCGTCTTATCTGGCGCTCGAGATACGACGGTCCATGTGTGGGCTCGAACGTCGGGAGCCTGCATGCGCGCCTTACGCTCCCAAAGAGGCTTCGTCCAAGCGTTAGCCGTCATCCCGAAGCCGCGCTCCGCTCAAACGCCGACGCAGCCCGGGAGTACGTTAGCCTGCGGCGCGACGAACGGCAAGGTTAGGTTGTGGGACCACCACCGCGGGAAACAATTGAGAGCGTGGGAGGCGCACGCCCTGGCCGTCACGGCCGTCGCCTTCACTTCATCAAAAGGCAGCGGGCTCCTCGTCACGGGCGGCGCCGACGGCCTCGTCAAGGCCTGGGACGCGCGGACGGGCGCCTGCCGCGCGCGGTGCCTCGCGAACCACTCATCCTCCGTCGTGGCGCTGGCCGTCGTCGACGACGGAAAGGTCTTTTCGGCGGCCAAGGACGGGTGTCTGAGGTTGGCGGAGTTGTAAGAAGATTGCTTTGTTAGTTTTTTGTTCGCTAGTGCCTCATACGCTACCTAACAACCAGCAGAGACACGCTCTGACCGCGCAGCGGTGCTTTTGCGCTGTCAAATTCTCATGGGAATGCATTTCCGTATGCAATTGTTGCTCTGCTGGGGCTCGGTCGCTGCGTTCACGACGCCTGCGCTTCGTGCCACCCTGAGGCCAACAAGCTCTCTGGCAGCACAGAACGATGACGAGCGGATGTATGAATACTACAAGAAGAAGTGGTCGAAAGCGGCCGCCGACGACTGGCTTGCGGGACGCCAACGAGATCGCGGGGCTTACTCGGAGAAGAACGCGAAACGCTTGGGCGCGCGACCAGGCGAGGAATACGACTTAGGCTCTGCGATGGACGCGAACACCGACGACACCATCACGAAGATCATTGCTGGCGCCGCGATTGTCTCGATCATCACGGGGCTCTTCTTCGGCGTGTTGCAGCCGCTTCTCGCGCCGCCGACATTCACCGGCGACGACGGCACCGTATACATGAAGAGCGCGGACGGGTCTTTTGTAGAAAAGTAACATAGAGGAAAATAGTACCCTTGAGGACTCGTTGGAAAATCAAAGCTAGCGGTGTAAGACACTAGCAAGCCGAGGAGGCAGCAGTCTACGTCAATCGGCTCTGTTGCCGTCGCTAGCCCTTCCTAGACCTAGTGGACGCTGTCAGCCTTCCCAGGACATTGGCAAACGCTGTCACTCCGGCGTCGACCACCTCTGGCGAGCAACGACGCGAGACTGCCTTGGCAGACGCACTTGCCTGCAACCAGCCCCGCGGCGCGTCGGAGCGCGGTACCGGGACACGGGTGAGCTGCGGTATTCGCTGCGGTCGCTGAGATGATAAGACGACGACCAGCGATGAGTGTTAATTTGTTAGTGTTGCTGGCCGCGCTCCTGCCGTCCGTGCAGCCCTTCGTGGCCGGCCCCGCGCCCGCTCTCGGGCCGGCGCGGCACGCGCGCGCGGCGCAACCGCCGCGCTGCGTCGCCCTGAGCGCGAAGAAGGCGAAGAAGGGCCCCAAGGGCGCCGCCGGCGCCGCGGCGTTGGCCGGCCTCGAGGCCCTCGAAGCGCTCGAGGCCGCCGAAGCGGCCGTCGCTGAACCCGAGGAGCCCGCCGCGCCGCCGCCCGCACCGAAGCTCAAGAAGAAGAAGGCCAAGAAGTCCGCCGGCAAGGGCGCCGGCGCCGGCGCCGCGGCCGACGCGCTCGCGGCGCTCGAGGCCCTCGAGGCCGCCGAGGCCCCGGAGCCCGAGCCTGTGGTTGCGGCGGCGCCCCCGAAGAAGGCCAAGAAGGCCAAGAAGGGCCCGAAGGGCGCTGCCGGCGCCGCGGCCGCCGCGGGCCTCGAGGCCCTTGAGGCCCTCGAGGCCGCCGAGGCCGCCGCCGAGCCGGAACCGGAACCGGAACCGGAACCGGAGCCCGAGCCCGAGCCCGAGAAGAAGCTCTCGCCCAAGGAGGCCAAACGACTCGCTCTGTTAGCGGAGCTCGAGGCCCTCGATGATGATTTTGACGACATACCCGTAAAGCCGAAGAAGCAGAAGAAGGACAAGAAGGACAAGAAAAAGAAGGGCAAGAAGCAGGAGGAGCCCGTCGCCGTCGAAGAGGAGGAAGAGTCGTTCGCGCCACCCACAGTAGCCGCCGAGGAGGCCGAGGAAGAGGTCACGCTCGAAGAGAAGATGAAGCGGCAACGGGGCTCGGCTCGCGTGCGGCGCATCGAGCAGTCTTCAAGTGGTGCGGCTACCGTACGGCTAGAGAAGGTCAGTGTGGTGTTCAAGAACACGGAGGTCCTGAAGGACGCGTCGTGGTCCGTGACGACGGGCGATCGGGTCGGGTTAGTGGGCGCGAACGGCGGCGGCAAGACGACGCAACTCAAGGTGCTGGCGGGCGAGTTGGAGCCGACGTCGGGTGATGTTGTCCTCTCGTCAGAAGGCGTGAAGATCGCTTATTTGAAACAGGAGTTTTCCGAGAGTCTGGACCCGTCGAAGACGTTACGCGAAGAACTCGCGTCGGTGTTCGTCAAGGAGGCCGAACTCCTGAAAGAGTTAGCGGAGGCGGAGGAAGCGTTAACTTCCGGTGAAGACGGCGCCCTCGAGAAGTTCGAGGAGCTCCAGCAAAAAGCCCAAGACGGCGACGCGCTGAACATCGAAGCGTTGGTCGATAGGGTCGCGCAGCAGATGGGCTTTGGGGAAGCTGATCTAGACGCCTTAGTTGCATCGTTTTCAGGCGGGTGGAAGATGCGCATCGGGCTGGCCAAAGTTTTGCTCGAGCGGCCGGATGTACTACTGTTAGATGAGCCGACCAACCACTTGGACCTAGAAAGTGTAGAATGGCTGGAAGCGTTCCTACGAGAACAAACGTTGGCCATGGTCATCGTGTCCCACGACCGGGAATTCTTGGATCAAGTGTGTACTAGGATAGTGGATACCGATAGGGGTATATGTACCTCCTATAATGGTAACTACTCAAAATTCCTACGAGCGAAACGCGAGCGCATGAAGCAGTGGGAGGCCGCCTACAAGCGGCAGCAGGCCAAGATCAAGACCGACAAGGACTTCATCAATAAGAACCGGGCCGGGAGCAAGGCGGCGCAGGCGAAGTCGCGCGAGAAGGCCCTGGAGAAATTGCTAGCGTCGCCCGACTTGGTGGAGAGACCACCTTCTGATGGTAAAGGGTTGCGGTTTAGATTCCCGGAACCGCCTCGCTGCGGCAACGACGTCTTAGCTGTGAATGATGTTACCCATGGTTATGGCGACGTTACCTTATTCGAGGACGTGTCCTTCGACTTGCGGAGGCGGGACCGGGTGGCCATCTTGGGGGCGAACGGTGCCGGTAAGTCGACACTGTTACGCGTCGTGAGCGGCAAGGAGGACGCACGGGAAGGAGACGCGTCGTTCGGCAGCGCAAATGTTAGGATGCAGTACTTCGCCCAGAACCAGGCCGACGCCATGGATTTGACCAAGACTGTTATGAGAACAATAGAAGATGCTTCCGCCGAAGGGGCTGAAAGATCTTACAATGAGCTCCGAGCTCTGTTAGGACAGTTCCTGTTCAAGGGCGACGACGTGCAGAAGAAGCTCGAATCGCTGTCCGGTGGCGAGAAGGCTCGCGTGGCCTTGTGCGCCATGATGCTTAGTCCGTCGAACGTATTGTTCTTGGACGAGCCGACGAATCACTTGGACATCCCCGCGAAGGAGATGCTCGAGGACGCCTTGCGGCACTTTGATGGTACTGTGGTGGTGGTTTCGCATGATAGGTACTTCGTCAGCCAAGTAGCCAACACCATCTTCAATATTGAAGATCAAAAATTGCACCGTTGGGATGGGGACTATGCCTCTTACATGGAGAACAAGGACGACCTGCGGGAGAGAGTAGAGGGACGGTACATCAAGGGCTCGCAGTCCATCAAGAAGGCGCGCTTCGTCGACCTGGATGCCGTCGCCGAGGAGAGCAAGGGGGGCAAGAAAAAATTTGGAGGAGGTTTGCACGGCGGTTCCGGGCGCAAGGACAAGGGCGTGAAGAACGCGAAGCGCATGGCGTAGTTCTCGGCGGGGACTAGGAGTTTGTGCATTTATCTCTTACTAGTACTTCGGCGTCGAGCGGCGGCAACGCTAGACGATTTCCGCGAGGCCGTGGAGACGCTCGTTGACGCGGAACGGATCGCGCGGCGCGTGCTGGGTGGCGCGCACCCGACCACAGAGACCATTGAGGGCAACCTCCAAAGCGCACGAGCCAAGCTCCGCGCCCGCGAGACGCCGCCGCCCGCCGGCAGGGAGCTTGGCCGAGGAAGTCGACTAGATTCATAATAGCTACTAACTCATATAATATAGCGAAAATGCCGTGTGGAAACGCCTCCCCCAGGCCTCAGACTACTACATCAAAAACTGCTTACCTTCTTTTTTTGCCGGTCCGTCCCCTTCTTCACCTGGTACCGCGACTTCTTTGCCATCATTTTGGCTCGCGACGGATCTCTGCTATTGGCGCGCGGGAACTTCTTTTCGCGGTACAGCTGGTGCGCGAAGGGCAGCGGCGGCCGCGCGCGCTTGACGGCGTCGTGCACGACCTGGCGGACGTAGGCCGACGCGGCGCATTTTCGGGCCCGAACCAGAGCCCGCTCGGGCCCAATCACAGAATCGATGGCCGCCGCGACCTCGAGCGCGTGGGGCCTCTGTGTTTTCCCCTCGCTCTCCGACGTCGGCACGCGCTGGTTCGCATCCACCACGTTTTCGTCGGCGCCGTGCTCAAGCAAAACCTTGCATAATAAAGCGTCGCCCTGGTAGCAGGCCTTGTGGAGCGGGGTGCACCCCCGCTCGTCCCGCGCGTTCACGTCCGCGCCATTCGCCAAGCAAAGTCTAGCGATGTCGCACCGCCCCGTCGCACCCGCAAAAAACGGTCGCGAGCCGTCGCAGCATAGGTGGAGCGGCGTGGCCCCTATTTTATTCGACGCCGTCACGAGCTTCGCACGCATCGACGCGTGGCAGCCCGTGACCAATTTTCGAACTATATCAATGTCGCCGCGCCAGCACGCCTTGTGCAGCGGCGTATGCGTCGGGTCGTGCGTCGTCTGGGGTCTCTCACTTGATTTCACGTCGCCCGCCTCGAGCACTTGCCTGATATCCTTCCAGCAGTACTTGTCGAGGTCCTCGCTGTCGCCCTGCTGGTGCTTGGCCAGGGCCTTCTGGAGGTTGCGCATTTTTTTACCTTGTGTCGAGTCCGGTGTGATCGACTGCCAGGCCAACCTATAGGGTTTGGGAACCTTCAGGAAGTCGCCCTGGCCCAGCGGCCGCGTCCTCTTATGCGTCTGCTGGAAGCCGTCCATGATGTCCATGGGCTTCCCATCAAAATTTGGATTCCGCGACCGCATGAACGCGAGGACGCTCGACTCGCCGTGGGGGAACACTACCGGCCTTCTAGCCCCGGGCGGCACGCAGTCGTAGGGGTGCGGGCCGGGCTTGCGTCTGGGATACCACTCGCCGCTCGGGTAGGCCTTGCCGGCCACCGGGCCGTCATCTAGATGTGCGTCGAAGTTTATGGGCGGCGGCGCGGGCGCCCTCGCGGCCTCGGCGGCGGCGTGGCCCCGCCGCTTCGTCTTGGCGAGGGCGGACGCGATGGCCGCGGCGTCGCCCATGCCGCCCATCATGGTTTAGCGCCGCGGCGGCGTCCGGGCAGCTCGTTGAACGCTGTGGCGGCGTCGGGGCAGCTCGTTTAGCGCCGCAGCGGCGTCTGCAGCTTGTTTAGCGCCTCTGGGCTGCTGGTGTTTGCTCGCTCCGACGGGACGCTGCTGGCCCGATGGATGGTAGAGCCGTATTTAAGCAGTCCTCTCAGCCTCCAATGGTGTTTGATGGGCGAGTGGCAGGGCTTAAAAGCCGGGGGCAGCCGAGGCGAGTTAGCTAGCGTCTTGTAAGACACTAGCAACCGTGCATCGATCGATCTGGGCTCCGCCCACCTAGTTCTAGCACCGTAACATTTCGATCTCGAGCTTCATGGCTTCCGGAAATGAGGTCGTATGACACAATTCACTTTAAACAGTCCGCTCGGCCTGGCCCAGGTCCTCGGACGAGACGCTCGGCAGCACGGGAGGCGGCGCGACGGGAGCTCCACCGCTTCGTAGCTCGACGGCTTGCAGGGCAGTATCGACGGCGTCCGTCAACGTTCGAGACGAGGCGTCCTCTTCGGGTCGCGGCGCGGAGTGCGTGTCGCGCGGTCGCTCGGTCAAGCCAGCCTTCTGCCACGCGACCGGCAGTGAAGTCGGGGGCGACACGACGGCCGCAGGCAAAGGAGGAGGCGCGCTGCGGCTCTGCGACGGCAAAGGAGGCGCGTCGCGGCTCTGCCGCCGCGCCGCCTCCGCCACGGCGAACGACCAGCGCTCCGACCCCACGAGCGCCACGGTCTCCCTGACGAGGTCGGGCAGCGGCGCGCGGCCGCCGTTGGCGCCCTTGAGGCGCTGGCCGACGGCGCGGAGCTCGCGCTTCTTCTCGTCGTCGAGCAGGTTCACGACGACCTCGAACACGCGCCGGACGTCGAGACTCCCCGTGCCCACGACGGCCGCGGTCCCTTCGAGCGGCCCCCACGACGCCTCGGCCGTCGCGACCTCGTCGAGGACGTCGACGCTCGCGAGCCGCTCGCGCAGCTTCTTGATGGGCGGCTTCTGGCCCCGCGGCGACCCGTCGTCGTCGGCCGCCCACGCTTCGTACGTCGCGGCGGCCTCGAGGCGCGGGCTCGGGGCCTTGCGCTTCATCTTGCCGAGCGGCGGCTTGCCCCGCCCGCGCCCGGGCTCGGGTACCATAATAGGCGGCGGCCGCGGCGGCGGCAGCTCGCCGTCGGAGTCCGGGTGGCACTCCTGCCACCGCGTCGCCGGCCGCTCGACGGCCGCCAAATCAACAGCCCGGTCGTCGTCCTCGGGCGGCGGCCGCGCCGTCGCGCGCGCCGCGGCGAGCTCGCGCTCGAGGTCGGCCTTGACCTTCGCCTCCCGCGCCGCCTCCTCCGCGGCGCGGTCCCGCGGCGCCGCGCGCGGCCGCTTTGGCGCCGGCCGCGGCGCTGAGGCGCCGCCGCGCCGCCTCCGCTTCCGGAGGTCCTGGACGCACTTCGTGCCGTGCTTGATCGCCGCGCCCGCGAACTTAAAGGTCTTGTCGCAGCCCGCCGGGCACATGAACCGCCCGAACTCGTTCTTCTCCAAGTGACCCTCCTCGATGACCGCGCCCTCCTGCTCCGCGAGCTGCCTTGCTAATAACTCGTCCTGCGACGTGTCGGGCGGCGGCGGCGCCGCGGTTGTATCACTGGGCCCGATCGTCTGCTGCTTCCTGCGGCGCTCCGGGGCCGGCTCGGCCGTGGGCGGCGGCGCCGGCGCCGTGGGCGTGTTGGCGGCCGCGAGCAGGCGCACGCGGTGGCGCCGCGCCTCCTGCGACAGGCCGGCGTCTCCCATGCCGCAGTGCGCCTGGAGCGTCTGCCACAGGCTCGAGTAGTGCCAGGCCGTCGTCGGCCGCGCCGCGAGGTCGCGCTCGAGGTCCTCGACGTGGTGCCGCGGCAGCTCCCAGTCGCACAGCGCGCAGCGCACGCGCCGCGTCGCGGCGTCGGCCACGATCTGACACTCCGACGAGCCGTCCGCGCGCGGTCTATATCTGTTCCGGTAGACCGTGTTCCCGACCTCGACCTCTATCTCCTCGTCAAGCCGCGCCTGGAGCCACTCGCGCGCCGGGCGCAGGTCCTTCCGGGCGCACGCCTCGGCCTCGGCCGCCGTCAGCGTCGTCGCCGTGACGCGAGTGAGTGGAAACATGGCGAAGTAGCCCAAGGGCGTTAACACGACCATCCAGCCCGAGCTGTGCCCCTTGGCGACGCCGCGGACGGTAGGTTTCTCCACGTCGGCGACGTGCGCCCCTCGCTCGCACATCGCCGTCGCCGTGGCGGCCGACACCGCGGCCGGCGGCGGCGCGGCGGCGCGCTGGGCCGGCGGCGGCGGCCGCGCGGGCGGCGCCGTCGTCGGCACGCGCGCGGCCTTCTTCGTCCGCGGCGACGACGGCCGCGGCTGCTCCTCCTCCTCGCCCGCGGCGTCCCCGGGCAGGCGCCGCTCCGCGGCGCGCGCGGCCTCCGTCAGGCTGTGGTACTGCTCGCCGTCCGGGTCCGTGAAGGTGTACGCGTAGCCGTTGCTGTGTCCGCCCACTCTAGTAAGTTTTTTCCTGGAACCGGTCCAGCCGGCGAGGACGTCCCGCCCGGCGCGCCCGCGGCCGCCCAACCGCGTCCGCAGCGCGTCCAAGGCGGCCGCCTGGTCGTCCGGCTCCGCGGCCGGCGCGTAAGGCGAGCCGACGCGCGCGCGCGGCGCGGGCGGCGGCGCGGCCACGATGGCGGCCCCCCGCGGCGCCGGGCAGAGCTCGGGCCGCGCCCAGCAGCTCGCCTCAGATAAGTGGGAGAGCTGGAACTGGTCGTCCTCGCTCTCGTCCCTCATATCCTCGCGTCGTAAGGTAAGGATGACGCCGTCCCAGGCCTCGACCATGCTGATCTCGACGTTGACGACGCGGCACCAGAGGCGGTAGCCGCGCGGCCGCACGCGCGCGTTCATGTATTTTTCTTTCGAAGCGGCCTCGTCCGGCGACTTCAGCGGCAGCGAGCCGTCCGTCGGCAGGATCACGAGGTCCTCGGAGGGCCACGTTTCGTCGATGTGACCTTCCTCGCCGTCGTAATTCACTTTCAGCGCCAGCTCTCCATTTTCCTTCTCCTCCAAACCAACGACGGACCCAAAGAACCAGGCGAAGGCCTGCGAGTCCTCCGCATCGCGCCCGTCGTCGACCTGGTAGCGCACGCGCACGCGCGTGTCCATTTGGGGTCGGGGCTCGTCGTAGTTCGGCGCCGCGTGCCTATCTTGCTTCCGACAAAATATCGCGCCCGTGTCTCCTTCTAACCGGCACGCCGCGCAGGGCTTCGCGCGCCGCTGGGCCTGGATTGCCGCGTCCGATTGTAGGCACTGCACCGGCAGCACCACCATCGTCTCATCTTTCAAGCGGTCACTGCGGAGCGGCTTGCTTCCCGCAAAGTTGTCCAACCGCAACGTGTCGTAGGCCAGGTGGTCCACCCCGAAAAGCCGACAGATCTGCTGGGGCGTGTCGTTGTCGTGGCACTTGTAGTAGCAGCGCCCGTCGTGGCCGTCGTCGTCGGCCTCGCGGTGGTACAACTCGCCGGCGAGCATCTGCGTCGCGGCCTTCGGCGGTAGTAACGGAGGCACGCGCCACGGCTCGCGCGGCGCCGGCAGCGCGAGCCGCGCGCCGCACTGGAGCCCCGAGACCTCCTGGAGGTCGCGGCCGTGCCGTCGCTTCGTCAGGTCGAGGATGTAGTCCGGGGCGACGTGGAGCAGGTTGCCGACGTGGCCCGGCGTCTCGCCGAGCCGACAAATGTAGTCCGGGCCTGCCCGCGAGAGGACGACGTCGCCGGGGCCGCGCGTCGCCGCGCCCTCTCCCACAATCGACGGCGGCGCCCGCCGGGGCCGCGGCGGCGCGTCGCGCTCGCGCGGCGGCTCGACGCGCCGCTGCTCGTCCGTCTTCCGCACGGCGGACTTGGGCCGCGGCGGCGGCCAGACCTCGACGCCGTTCAGCGCCGCGCGCAGCGAGCGCTCCGGCACGTGCTGGCGGCACCAGTAGCACTTCCAGTCGTGGTCCTTGAGCCGCCCGAGGCACGACGCGCAGGCCTTGTTGCCGCAGCACTTGAGCGTCGCCACCTTCACGCCGTCGTCGTAGCAAATGGTGCACTCGCCCGTCTCGTCCGTGAGCGCCGTCGTCGGCAGCGCCGATGACAGGGGCGGCGGCCGCCGCGTCGGCGCCGGCAGCGGCAGGCCGTCGTCGCCGCCCAGGAGCGGGTGCACGGCGGCCCAGGCGACGGCGCGGCTGCGGGGCGACGTCGACCTGGCGGGCTGCGGGGCGGGCTGATCGCCCAGCTGGTCCCACCGGGCCCGCAGCGCCGCCTCGGTGCGCCGCGTCTCGCCCAGCAGCTGGCCGAGGACGCTCGTCCAGTTGACGCGGCCGCTCACGCGCGCCGCCGCGACGGCCCGGCGCAGCGCGGCGTCCTCGTCGGCCGTCCACGGCGACTCCGTCACGCCGGTCCGCGGCCGTTCACGCGAAGGGCGGGGCTGCTCCGAGCCGGCCTCGGCGAGCGCGAGCGCGCGCTCGAGGTAGCCGACGAGCGCCGGGACCGACGTGATTTTGCGTTGGCCCTTGGCCCCCTGCCCTGCGTTGTCCCGGCCCCAGACCTCGTAGTAGTCCGGGAAGGTCGCGGGCGGGGAGATGTACGCCTGACCCGAGACCCAGGGCGGGTCGCCGCGGAAGCCGCAACGCGTCAGCGCGGGCCGCATGGCCTCGAGCACCCCTTTTTGGTTCCGGTCCGACCGGTCCTGGGCCTCGCCCAGGAGCCGGCGCGCGTCGGCCACCCAGGCCGCCTCGGCCTCGTCCGGGGCCGCCGGCGCGTCGACCGCGGGCGGCTCGTCGGCCTCCGGCGGCGCGGCGGGCTCGGGCGCGGCGTCGTCGGCCGCGGCGGCCGCCGCCGCGTCTTCTCCTCGCGGCTTGGGCCGCGACTCCTCTTGGTGCTTCAGGAGGGCGCGGACGGCGCCTCGATCCCTCGCCGCCATCGCGGCCTGGACGTCGCCGCCGTACGGGAGCGACGACGCGGCTGCGGTGCTGCCGCCGTCGGCCGGCGCGGGCGCCGGCGCCGCCGGCGCGGCCTCGACCGCGTCGCCCGTGTCCATGGCGTCCTCGGCCTCGTCCGCGCCGTCCGCCGGCTCGGCCTCCTCGGCGGGCGTGGCGTCCTCGGCCTCGTCGTCGCCGTCGGCCGGCGCGGCAGCCGCGGCGGCGCCACGCGGCGGTGCCAAGTCCAGCAGATGATCCTGGCCTGGCTCGAAGAAGGACCTCTTCCTTTTGATGCGCTCATAGAAATTGCCCTGCTCGTCGAAGACGTCGACGAGGAACCTGCCGGCTGATAACTTCTCGACGATCTTGGCCGCGCGGCCGTCAGCGGTCCGGACGAAGCCGGGCGCCGACCTTGCCGCGCACGACTTGCCGTGCTGCACGGCCGCCGGCGCGTGCGCGAAAGTTCGCGGGCAGCCGGCCGGGCACGGGTAGCGGCCGCGCTCGTCGCGCGGGCCGAGCGACGGGCCCGGCGCCGGCGCCGCGTCGTCGGACGCACCGGCCTCGTCGTCGCTGGCCTCCGCCTCGTCGACGGCGTCCCGCGCCTCATACTGCTTGTTAGCAGTGCGGCCGCGGCCGGTGTTGTTAATGAGGTGCGTGATATCAGGTTTGGACAATTCTGGGAACGCCGCGGCGGCATCACTCCGAGAGGCGAAGCGCCGCCACTTCTTGTCGCCGACGCGGCGGACCTCGCAGGCCTTTGGCCCGGAACGCGGGGACGCGCTCTTGTCCGGACCGAACCGCGCCTCGACGGCCGCCGCCGAGCGGCCCGTGCCCAGCCGGTCCGCGATCGCCGCCCAGTCGCGGTCGGCGCCGGCCTCCGCGACGAGGCGCCGCAGGTCCGCCTCCTCCTCGGCCGTCCAGCGGGCCGGGCGCGGCGACGCCGGCTTCGCCTCCTCGACAGCGTCGGGCGGGTCGGGCGCGTCCTCGCCGAGCGCGCGCCGCGCGGCCCGCGCGGCGGCCAGGACGGCGTCGTCGCCGCGCGGCGCCGCGGCCGTGACGGCCGCGATGACCTCGGGCGGCCGCCGCGCGCAGTAGCGCGCCGCGTGCGCCTCGGCGGCGTGCCCGGTCGCGAAGGTCAGGCCGCAGCCGAAGGCGCAGGGGTGCCGCGCGTCGGGGGCCGTCGACACGCTCAGCACGGGCCGCGGCCGCTTGCGCGCGCCGCGGCTCCGCGGCGCGCGCGGCGGCCGCGCCGCCGACAGGACCATGACGAGCGGCGGCGCCGGCGCCGCGCCGGGCCCGACGCGCGTGACGCGGACGTCGGGGTCCGGGAAGCGGATGACGTCGCTCGTGCCGTCGTCGAACTGGCACGCGGCGCTGCGCTCGTCCAGCGCGTCCCCGATGGTGCCCTCGTAGTCCTCGCCGTCGTCGAAGCGCACGGCGACGCGGCTCCCGGGCGGCGGCGGCGGTGCGGGGTGGGCCTCGGCGTCGTCCTCGGCGTCGCTGGCTTCGCCGAGCGCGTGCTCGAGGTAGCGGACGAGATCCGGGATCGAGCGTATCTTGGTTCCGTGTTCAACACGCCTGGTATTTTGGTTCGAAGGGAAACCAGCGGGTACGGAGAGGCTGCAGAAGCCCGACTTCCAAGAGTCATTGGAGTTGCTAAATCCGTAGCTCGTCAGCTTGGGCCGCAGCGTCTCAAGAGAGGCGCGGACGTCGGATCGCTCATTCTCGGCCTTGATCTCGTCCAGGAGCTTGCGGCCGGCGGCCGGCCAGGGCGGCGCGTCCGTGTCCATGGCGTCCTCGGTCTCGTTGGCGCCGTCGGCCGGCGCGGCACCCACGCCGCTGGCTTCAACCGCTGGCGGAGCCGGCGCCGCGGCGCCCACGCCGCGCCGCGCCATGACTCGGCGGAGCTCGCTTTCCGTGAGCGCGGACAGGGCGGCATCGTCGTCCTCGGGCTCGTCCTCCTCGGAGAGCGCCGCCGCGGGCCGCGCCGGGCAGTCGTTGCGCGCGTGCTGGCGCATGTCCTGGGGCGTGGCGAAGGACCGGCCGCAGCCTTGCGTGCACGGGACCTGGGGCGCCCGGCGCCGCGCCGGCGCCCTGCGCGGCGACGGCGCCTTCTTCTTGGCGGCAGCCTTCGGCGACGCGAGGCGGCTCGAGTGGCGGCGGCCGCCCGCGTCCGTGACCCAGGTCCGCACCTCGGCCGGCGCGCGCGGCCGCGCCGGCCGCGGCCGGCGCCGCGGCGCCGCGGCCTCGCTGTCGCTGTCGCTGTCGCCGTCGCTCGCCGCGGCCGCGCGGAAGAACGCCGAGAGCGCGGGCCGGCGGCGGCCCGCGAGCGTGAGCGCGACGCGGCCGGCGTCGTAGCCCGCGGGCGGCGGCCGCAGCGCCGCGCCGAAGACGGCGCGGCGGCGGTCGTAGGCGCCGCGGCAGGGCGCCGTCGACGCCGCGAGCGCGACGGGGCCGCCGTCGCTTGAGGAAGACGAGTCGGCATTATCAAAGAGGGCGTCTCTATCGGAAGGCGGCGGCGACGTCGGCGTCGGCTGCAGGGCTCGCAACCAGCGCCGCGGCACGGATACATCAGAAGCCGAGTCGTCCAATTCATCGTAGTGGTCGCGCGGCGTGTATTGAGGACACGTGAAGGGCGGCGGCTTCGCCTTGCGCGCGGCCTTCTTCGCCGGCGCCTTTTTTGGTGCTGCGCGGCGCCCTCCACCTTTGTTGGAGGAGCCGCGTTTTGGCAAAGGCCGCACGCGCGACGGCGGCACGCGCGTCTCCTTGTCGCCGTCGACGTATTTCAGGTTGATGGTCCCGTCGGCGAAGACGCCCTCGACGACGGCCGTGTACCACCGCCCCTGGTCGTTCCAGTTCCCCTCGACGGTGTCCATCACCCCAAAGCTGCGCGGCGGCTCTTGGGGCCGTGGCGATGGTTTGCGCCGGCGCTTCTCCGGTTTTTTGTCCGCCGGCGGGCTCGGTGATCTTCGTCGCGGCGACGGCGCGTCCGCCGGCGGGCTCGGCGACGACCGGTGGCTGTCGTCGGACTGTTCTCGCGTGTGCGGGTGCTGGGGGAGCGCGTCCGCGTCCGGCGCGGCCGCGTCGGGCGGCACGTCGAAGCGCGAAGTCCGCGGCGGCGGCGGCGCGGCCGCGGCCGCGGCCTCCTCGCGCGCCGCGATCTCGGTCTTTGCAACTTCGTGCGCCGCTCCCATGATCTTCGACCGCTTCTCGCGCGGCATGTTCTGCCACTGGTCCTTGGTGAAGCCATCTTTCACTTTTTTGAACTCGGCGAGCGTCAGCTCCCGGATCGCTTGCTCGCGTGCGGCGGCGGCGTCCGCGCTGCTGGTGGTCGGCGCGGTTTCATGTGTTGTAGAGTTGGTCACTGCGGCTGTGGGGTCGTCCGCCATCGGTCCGCTTACCGGTTTGCCGGCTCGGGGCGCCGCGCTGGCGCCCGAGAGCCTGGCTGGTGTTGGTGCTTTCTGCAACGCGCCGGCGGCCGCTGCCGTTCGTTGCTTGTTGTTTTCCTGGAATCGGGGAAACTGAAGTGATTCGGGGCCGCTTTGGGCCGCCGCGGCGTCTCCCGCGACCAAATTGGCTTCAGTGCTCTCCGCTCTGGGGGCAGGCGGAGCGCCTTGATACAGGAGCAGTGCTCGCCCTAAACGGCCTGCCAGACTCAACCAAGCTTTGTTGGCGGTGATTGTACCATAACTTCGCGTCACGACGTCGGTTTTGACGCGATCGGTCCGGCAGCAGGCAGCAAGAGCGCCTGCAAAGCAGCACCCAATCTGAGGGCCGCTATGCGCGTCGTTGATTTTTTTCTCCTCCTACACGCTGTCGCCGCGCTCAAATGCAATGTTGGTCGCCGGCGGGCGCTGGCCGGGTGTTTTTCTGGTGCCGTAGGGCTGGTCGCGGTGCCGTCGCGGAGTCGAGCGACGGGCGCGGCGGACGAGTTGTACGAGTTGGTGCGCACGCGGCGGCCCTCGCAGTGGCAGGACTCGGAGCGCGCCCGCATCGATGCGCTCGTCTCAGAAGTCGTAGCACAGAATGCGCCGTGGCCTCGCGCGGGCCTCGTCGGCAAGTGGCGGCTCGCCTACCTGCAGCCGGGTCCGAAGGGTGAGGGCGTCGACCGCAGGATACCGTTCCCAGAGTTTGGCTTCAACGAGCAGTATCAAATATTTTCCTCGGGCAGGGTCACGAACGTCGGCGAGGTCCTGGGTCCAGCGGTGCGAGTGGAGGTGAAGGGAGGCCTCGAAGAGCTAGACTCGTCGGTGACCCGCTCGCCGAAGCGGTTTCGTGCGCTGATCGACGACGGGGCCCTCTGCGCCGGCAGCGCGTGCGCGCCCCTGCCCATAAGCGGCGAGGGCCTCTTCGACGGGGTATACCTCGACGACCGCCTACGCGTCGGCCAAAACTTGAACGGCGGCGGCGCGCGTATTGTGCAGGTCCGGGTGGAATAGCTCTGTGGCCTAATTGTTTTTGCAACCTCGTAGTACGTGGGCATAGAACGCGACGTTGTTCCGATGTCTCAAGAGAGAGAGAGAGAGAGCCACTTATTGAACCCACCCCCAGGTAGTACGGACCCCGAACGCTTCGCCACTGTGTCTATTGGGATTGGCGATAGGGTGTTGTTTCACCCTGCCCCCCTCAATGGCTAGCGGCCAGTAAGACACTAGCAACAACAAGCTACAACTCTTTTTGCGGCATTCCTGCGCGGCGCGTACCGCGCGCCAGAGACGAGTTTGGCGGCTCGAGGTCACGGCTCTTCACACGCGTGCCGCGCGGCTCTCAGAATCGAGCAAACTCTCGCGCGCAAAACCGCCGCGAGCCGGTAAACTGCTAACCGCGATCCCTGCGCGCGCGGCCGCGGCGGGCCCGCGCGCCGCCGACGAGCCGCCGGAAAAGCGGTGACGAACCGCCCGGAGCGACGAGCGACGCGCGACGCGCCGCAGTCGCCGGCGACGCATCGATGAGCGCCGCCGACAAGAAGGCCAGGCCGTGACGACACTCGAGGAGACAGCGCGGGCCGCGCGGCGCGTGCTGGGTGGCGCGAACCCTACCACAGTGGAAATTGAGCGGGCCCTGCGAAAGTCGCGAGCAGGGCTACGCGCCCGCGAGACGCCGTCGAGGAGTGCGTAAGTATATGAAAACTTATGAAGCCCGCGTCGCGCGAATCGTCGACGCCGTCGTCTCGAGCTTGCGCCGCTGCGCAGGACTTAGATAATGCGCGAGCGCCGTCTTCGCCGTTTGTAGTAAAGCGACGATCGACTCGCGCGGCGCATCGGGAGCACGGACCGTGCCCGCCAGCGCGAGTAGGACCTCGAGCCCGCGCGTCGCGAAGATCGAGGCGGGCGGCTCCAGCGCCTCGGGCGCGTCCACCCTCCGTTGCGCGTCGTCCCGCTTCGGGCGCTTTGTTTCCAGCAGGAAGAGGCATCTCCTCAATATATGTAGGGAGCCCGTCAAATCGGAAATCGTGAGGTCCTCGTGCAACGTCGTCTTCTCACTATCGCCTAATGCTGAATTGTAGGGACAGACGAGCGCCCAGAGCGCGACCTCGGCCTGGATGTTGTCCGGTAACTGGCCCGGCACGCACCGGTCGAGGGCGGCCTCGAATAGTGAAGCGTAGGTCGGTCGCAAGGGCTTGGCGTGGATAATGGCGGCGCGGCCGCCGTTCAACGACAACGCGATCGCGTCTCGCAAAGCCCCGCTCTCGGCCGATCTTAAAGCTTGGCACCGCGCGCGGTCCGCGGCCGTCCGGCCCGTGACTGCTAGAGGAGCCTGCTTGAGCACTTCCGTCAGGACCCTAGCCGCCTTCGCGAGCTTCTTTTCATTGGACAAGTGAGGTACCAGTCTAGATAACGTCGCCGTCGTCGTCTGGGTTGGAGGGCTCTTCGGGGAGCCGGGCGGCGCGGACGCGGGCGGCGACGGCAGCAGGCGACCTCTCCAGCGACTGAGGACACTGTCGACGTCCGCACTGCTCAACCCGGCCGTGATCGCCGGCCGCGATGTGTGGGGAGACGCATACCCTAAATCCTCGAGCTCCCAGGTCTCCACGTCATCCGAAAATCTAGCTCGTTTCTGCGCCGAAGTACTCTCAGAGGTCTTGCGCTTGAGGGCCGACCTTGGCGGTTTTTTGGTACTGTCGTAGGAGTGGGGGGACTCCGCAGTAGATCGTCTAGGTGTATCTAAAATCGGAGTGGGTGGAGGCAGGCCGTCGGCGTCGCGTAAGGCTGCTGGTAAGGGCGACTTCACTTCAAAGGAAGGTAGGGACGGCCGCGGTCCAACATTGTGAACCGGCGTCGAGGCTAACAGCGGCGTCAATGGAGGGCTCTTGATCGCCACCGGCGGCGAGACCGTCCTTTGATTCGAGGGCGAAGGTACGACCTTTTGGGCCAAAGCGTCCCGCAACTGCACCGAGACGCGGTTTTCCAGTTCCTCCACTTCTCGTAGCGAAGGCCGAGGCGCCCAGGCGCTCCCGACGTCGGGCGGCTCGCTCCCGTCGGTCAGTAGCCTTTTCAATGCAGCATAGTCGGGCCGCTCCGCGTGTTGCAGAGCGCGCGTCGCTTCCAAAAAAGCGCCGACCGTCGTCGACAAGGCCGGTCCCACGAGTTGTAAGGGCGGCACCCGGACCTTCGCTCGATGTATAGCTACGTCCGGTTCCGGGCCGGTCTTGGCCGGGAGGTCGGACCAGGGCAACCTCCCCTCGTGCAGGTACATGGCCACATACGCCACGGCCTCCAGGTCGCAGCGTCGCGACGTCGCGGCCCGTCTCGCGCGGCCGTATCGCTCGACGGCTTGATGAGCGTGCACCGACAAATACCGTACGGAACCGACGACGCGCCGCCGCGCGTTCGCCGCGGCTTTCGGCGCCACCTCCTCCAGCGGCTGGTGCTCATCATTGACGTTGAAGAGCGGCGACGCTAAACCAAAATCAATGAGATATAGAGTAGGGTCGTTGGCTTTTCGTGCCACACATATATTTTGGGGTTTTATGTCCCGGTGGGCATGTTTGGAATGCTCGTGGAGAAACTGCAAAGCATCAATCAATCTTCGACAGACCGCTAGCGTCGCTTGCTTCGACAGGGGGCCCCGTTCCTTGACCACTTCATCAAGATTGGGACCCAAAGCCTGCATGCACAGCAGGCGGCAGGGGCCCGTGCCGATATCTATCGTTTCCGTGAGGTTGCCCACGTGCCTTGCGAAGGACGCGCCTCTAGGTGGAGGGACGGGGGCCGCATCTAACAAACGGTAGACGTCGACCTCGCGCGCCATCTGCCTTTTTTGTGCGGAGGTGGATTCTAGTTTCAAAACGGCGTCGACCCAGGGCCTCGTGGGAGACTCCTTCCACCGGCCCCGATGGACGACGCCCGTCGCGCCTCGTCGTAGTAGCGGTCCCACTTCGAAGCGGCCCTCGCGCGTCTCGACGATCAAGCCGGTCGTGTCCTCGACTATTTCCTCGCCGTCGCTCTGGTCGGCCATGACTGCTTTGTGGAGACCGGCTCGCGCCGGCGTCGCGCACCGGTCGCCTTGAGAACGCTCTCTGCGGCTCCTGGCTGCGCTACTACGCGCGGAATCGCTCTCAGGCGTTGCGGCTGACTTCGGGTGCGACCTCTATGGGTCTGCCGAGAAGTTCTGGCTGCCTATAGACGCGTGGAGCGACCAAAATCTACTTTTTTTCATACTTCCTTGGTGCTAGTGTCTTATAGGCCGCTAGCACGAATTCCATAACTCCGCAGAGTGTGCGAGCTCGGATAAGCTGCCGTCTCACAAACCCAAGAGTGTTTCAAAGTACAGTTTCGGGTCGCTTGACCAGCCCAGCGCAACCATGGCTGAGCTCGCAGCCACCGCAGACGCCGTGCTGCTCCTGGTCACCAGCATGCCATCCACAACCATTGTAGAAGGCGCCCAAGCAAACCTCAGAAATATTTTTCGAGGCAAGAAGATTCAAGTGGAAGAGATCGACGGCGTCGACGCAAACAACAAAACCCTCCGCTCGGAGATGTTCGCGCTCTCGAACCTGCGGGGGCAATACCCACAGGTGTTCATCCGCAGCGGCGGCACTTTAAAATTCGTGGGCGACGCCGAGGCCGTCAAGTCGCTGAACGACTGCGAGGACATCCCTGCCGAGGTCCTGCGGGACCACCCGCACATCGAGACGTTCTCCAAGGTCTTCGCGGCGTTCCTGCCGCAGACGAGTGCACCACCGCCGCCGCCTCCAGCACCGTCGAAGCGCATCTTGGAGGGCATCGACAACGTCATGCCGTCGGCGCACCCGACGCACCACCCCTCGGACGGCGCGAACGCGACGGCGCGCGGCTACGTGATTCTGGGGAGGCACGACTCCTGGACGGCGTCGCCCCCTTTGACGATGGACATCAACGGCGCGCCCCACGCCGTCGTCCAGGAGGAGCACGACTACATGGTCCGGGGCCTGGCGCTCGCGCGGCTCTGCCCGACGGGCTCGCTGGACGTCGTCGTGACGTGCATGGACGGGTCGAAGGTCGAGTGCACGATCCGGGTGCAGCAGGTTCACTAGCACTAGGTTCTACTAACAGTTGTGATTTACATCCGAGGGGCCCCCACCGGTCAGGGGCCGGTCCGTCATCGATGGCGTCGGCGAGAAGGCGCCCTCATCGTCTAACGTCCGCCATGGGGGGCTATCGTCCTGCGCCTCCTGGGCAGCTGTCGCCATGCTATCGTCGTCGTCCTGCATTTCGTCCGGCGAGCACGCCATGGACGGTGTGGGTGTACCAGGCGTCGCCGCGCGCTTGAAGTCCGAAGCGCCAAACGACGCGCCGGGTACGTCATCGCTCCACCGGACACCAGGCGTGCCGGGCGTGCGACCAGGCGTATAAGCAGGCGCCGGCGCGGCATAGATGTCTCCAGTCAAGGGTCGATCGGCCATCGACGGCGTGGGCGTCCCTGGTGTTGCCGCGCGTGAGTACGCCATCGACGGCGTCGGAGTCGCCACGCCTCTGTCTGATGCGCCAAACGACGCGCCGGGCAAATCGTCACTCCACCTAACGCCAGGAGTGCCGGGCGTGCGCCCCGGCGTGTAAGCAGGCGCCGGCGCGGCATACATGTCTCCAGACGGCGAGAACGACATCGACGGCGTCGGGGTCCCCGCACCGGTCCAGGGGCGCGCACCGGTCCCGGGGCGGTCGGCCATGGACGGCGTCGGCGAGAAGGCGCCGCCGTCGGTGTCCGTAGGACTCCGCGGCTCGAAGAAGATGTGCCGCTTCGGTGTCTCCGGTGTCTCCGCGCCCCTGAACACGTCGGAGCCCCAAGTGACCCCAGGCGTGTGCCGAGGCGCGCTGGCGGCCGGCGCCGGCGCCGGCGCCGGCGCCTGAAACTTCCAGACGGCCGCGTCCGACAGGGGCAAGTACTCCTCGGGCGTCGAGGGCGTCGGCGACAGAGCTTCGTCCTCGCCGACGACAACGCCGTCGACGACGCCGTCGACCGGCGCGTCCGGCGGCCGCAGAGCCTCGCCGATCCAGTCCACCGACGCCTCGTCTTCGATATGGTCTATCTTCGCACAAGGCGCCCGCGGCAGCAGGGAAGGCAGCTTCTTGACGACGCGCGAGAACAAGGAGGGCGGGATGCGCTTCTGGGGGCGGTCGTGCCCCGTATGTAATCCAATAGCGTACTTGTCGGCCCGTGATAAGGAAGGTAATAACGTGCTCGGCTTTGTGAGCGAAGGCTTCTCGTAGTTGATCAGATCTTTACGAGCGGACTGTTTGCGCTGGAAGGACGGCTCGGGCCGCACCAACCGCGTCGGCCGTCCATAGATCTTGTCGCGGTTGTCCTCGAAGGACGACCGCCGCATGTCACTACCTCTATCTTGAGCCTTCTGCAGCGCCTCTGGCCGTTCGCCCAGCGAGCCCCTCGATCGTCTTCGACCCAGTACCCTTTCAATGGCCCGATCGAGGGTAGGCGTGTTGCTTCGACCAGGCACGTTCTCCCAGTACGAGCCCTTAAATCTAACCCACTCGTCGTAAATTTTGCCGTGTACTTCCTTATGGACCTCCTGGAGCTCCTTTAAGTGTTCCGTAGCCTTCTTAATCTCTTTCTTCGAGGCCTTCTGCTCCTTCAATTCTCGTATGAACTCAATCTGCCGCTGGCAATCCGCGGCCTCCTTGGACTGGACCGGACTGCACGGATCAATAGAGGCCGTCGGCGCCATCATCTCGCGCTCCTTCCTCAATCTTCTACGTTCCTCCTTCTCGAGGTTCCGCAACCGCTTGATCTCCAACGTTCTCTCGCGTTCAATGTTCGCCCTGATTCTCCGTGCTCGTGCCGGATCGACCCTTTCCAACTTGCGCAACGTCTCCTCGTCGAAGTCCGTGATCATGCTCATTTGCCGGCGCATGCGCCGCATCTTGGCCTCGGTCTTGCGGTTGCGCTCCTTCTCCTGGAGGACCTCCTGCTTCTTCGTTTCCTTCTCCTGTTCCTTGGCGATTATTTTCGCCTCCATCTCCTGCCTTATTGCAGAGGGAGAAGGGGGCGGGAAGAAGCCCCCTATCTCGACACCACATCCTTGTATATTCAGAGGTGGCACTGGATCATCCTCCGCATGTCGTTCGTACCACATCTCTGATAAGGGTGTTTCGTCGACGAACGTGTCCCCCGGCTCCGGTGCCACGGACTCATCTGATTCATCGTCCGAGTCGTCGTCGTCTGAGGAAGAAGGCATCGCATCAGGCATGTAGTTCTCGTCCCTCAGTCGCGCGAAGCGCCTGTTCAAGTTGTCGAGCTGCGACCGGCCTCGCTCCGACGCACAAGCATATATAGCAACGCACTGCCGCCACAGCACGTTCCGTCTCAGATCTTCTTGACTGTCAGGCGGCGGCCCGATGTCCTCGATGATCAGCAATTCGTTCGCGATGCACACAGCTAGTACCAGCATCGCGTCCTCGTGCCTTTCCACTTCTATGAGCGGTCGCTCCGGCTTTGTTTTTATGAAAGAATCAATCTCGAACTTCGAGTTCCAGCGCTGCTGCGTCATGCTCTCCAGGGACTTGGCTAGACTCTTCAGACGGTCCTCGATGATCGCTACTCGATCTTCGTCCTCGGTTTCTTCTTTTTGTAGTGAAGCCTGTTCCCGCTCTAACAGACTAATTTTAGCCTGCCTCTTATGATCTTGCTTCGCCTCGTTCGCGGCGAGGATCGCAAAGGCCTTGTCCCAGTCCAGTAAGGCTTGGTGGTAGATCTCGAAGAGGCACTTCGTCGAGGCGGCCTCGGCGCGGATCCGGTCCTCCAGGGCTCGTTCCGCCAATCCGATCGCAGCTTGGGCCTGCTCCACGGCTTCCTGTAATTGGAGCATGGACTTATTTGCGCGGCCTCGGATGGCGACTAGCACCGCTAGATTCGAGACACATACCGCGTGCGCGACACTTACATCACCCCTTCTTTCTTTCCTGACCTTGATGAGCTTCTGCCACAACTCCTCCGCCTCTAACCGTTTCCGGTCCGCTACACTATCAGTAGGTCCATATTTGGTCGCATAAAACAAGGCTTCGCGCATGTACTTTTCGCCCCGGCCGTATAACCTCACTTCTTCCACGAACCTTCTCCTCACTCTTCTTTTCTCGGCGGTGATCGCTCGTTGGGCCGCGACTTCCGCCGCCTTTCTCATGAGCTCCTTCTCGTGCAAAATACGCCTTTGAGCTTCGAGGAGGCGGTCCGTCGCTCTACGTTTTTCCTGCGCCTCGTGCAGTTCTAAGGCAGCGGCTTCGCCCATGCCCGCTGGAAGTAATCTGCCGAGTCTGACCGTATCCAGGAAGCCGTCCAATTCACCTCGTACTGTCCGCGTGTGAGTGCCAAAGCCAAAGGAGCACGGGCCCGCGGCAATGTCTCGGAGCCCGTCGTAAAACCTCAAAGCTCGTGCGAGTGCCAAAACCTCTCGCCGCTCGAACGCTTCACTATAACAAGCCAACTCGCGAACACGAGCGTCTCTTCTCCGCTCGAGCGACTCGCGCGCGTACGGAGGAATGTTTTCCCTTTGTAGAGCCGATTCGCAGTCGTCGACCTCGGTCTGCAAGTGAGCACAATGTTGTAGGGCCCCCTCGTCGCAGAAGGGGTTCGACCCGTGGGCCCTTAACTGTTCTTCCTTTTCGTCCGCCTCGGCCTCCTCCGCCGTCGGGTCGTTCGCGCTCAGACCGCCCACAACAACCACGTCATCTTCGTCCGGCTTCGGAGGGAACTTCTCCTCGCCTAATAACAACCGCTCGAAGGCTTCATCATATAGTGAAACGTCGTGCTCCTCGCCGAGGTCCGAAGCCTGGGAAGTTGTCGACTTGGCCGGCGAGATCGCGGCCTGCGCCGCTCGTATCTCGGCCTGCTCCTTTGCTCGTTCAGCCTCCTCCTCCGTCGGCTCCGGGATGCCTCGTAATTGTATCGATGACGCCTTCGCCGCGACGCGCATGACGTTCACATGAGAAAATCCAGTCAAATCCTGGACCTTTTCTCGCCTACTGTCGAAGCGCCCCACACCAGCCACTCCAGCCATGGCATTAAACACCTGGTCGTCCTCGGCCAGCTGCTTCTGTACTCCCAATGGATCTGTGACCATCTCTCTTACTGGTACTTGTTCGTGTAAACTACCGAGGTCTTCATGCAAGGAGGTCCATCTGGAACCGAATTGCTCTTGTAGAGCGTTCCTAAATAACGGGATGACGCCCTCGTTTCCTCTAGCTAGTGTTTCCCTCAATTGGTGGATGGCATAAAACAAGTAACCGGGGCTCGTGAGCCAGTCCGGTGCGGTATCTTTCCCTAGCACATCCGACAATCGGGAAGCGGTCCTTTCGACGAAACAGCCCTTCGAGAACTTCAGGAAGAAGGCGAGCCACTCTAGTAGAGCCGCGCGGCGCTGTTGACGAGGCTGCGGGAAGAACGTCCGCAACGGCCACCAGCTCCGTACCCTTTCAGTAGACATGGTCCGAGCGTGCGCCACGAGAGCCGCTTCGACGCGACCGGCCGCGTCCGCATCCAACTCCAGCTGCATCGAACTGATGAGTTGGATCTGGTCGTCGAGCGAGCCACACCCCAGCAGAGCCGCGTCCGTACCCAAAGAACCTTTCCGAGCATAGCGAGCCACGAAACCTTGAACAGACACGCCCATGACCTTGACGCGCTTCATGTGCGTGTTGGGGTCCACATGCTCCTCGGTCTTCAGATGCACGTCTGAAGCTGATAGAGACTTTTTATATTCGGCACTGTCCAAGGGCGCCAACTCACCCAACTCCCGACTCATGGCCGCGAACTCGTCGAAGTCCATGCCCCCACTCTTGTCCGGGTCGAAGCGTCTGAAAATGCTAGAAGCGACTTTCGCCCCAAAGTCGGACAGTTCCCCGTATCCCAATCGCGCCGCTTTCCGGTAGAGCACGGCTCGTAATCGCTCTCTCGCGACCTTGCCGGGCTGCTTCTCCTTGCCATCTTTGTCTCTACCCCTCGCGAAGGCGCCGGTCGACGCGTGACCTTCCCTTTCTAGCCTATCTCGGAGCTCGTCCTGGTCCATCCCATCCACGGCGTCGGCGTCGTCGTGCAACTGCTTCCTCAATAACCTGATTCGTTCTCGGAAGGACGTAGGACTCTCGTCACCTAGCTCGACTTCTTGCGGGCCCCAGAGCCGCGGCGCCAAGTCGTGGTACTTCGCCGCTTCATGCGCAAGCTCAGCCAACGTATGATTGAAATCACAGACACCTGTTATTGTACCTAGGATTTGCGACGGTCTCGCATCTTCCGGTAAAGCAGATTCGACGATCTGCAGGGGATCATGTCTGGAAAACACCTGCACCCTCAAAACGGGCTTCTCGACCTTCTGACCTGCTACATTTTTACGTTTGCCCTTACTTTTCATGGGGAGTTGCGCGACCACCACGTCACACCTCACCCGATCAAAGTAATGCTTCGCATAATCTCGAGGTATGATTCTGGCAGTAGCTTCGATCTCCCTCGAGACACTGACCACTTTCTCCACACTTACATCCTTGTCGATGGGCAGATCGACCCAAAACACGGATCTAGCAGGCTCGGGGCCCTCGGGATCCCAGTCGTCGATGCCGGTTCTAGGTCGTCTCGGTGAGGCTGCCGTCGTCGGCCGCGGCTGCTTGACTGGTGATTTCTGCTCTTTAGGTGCCGATGATTCACCTTGGAACGCTTGCAAGGCCCTTCGATAATCTACGGAGATCAATTCGGCAGCTGATACATCTAGCTTCCTTGTATCATTTAAACCCTGGTCGATGGCGTCGTTCAACGCGTCGGGGCCGCTCTTGCCACCCAGCCCGAGTTGCGGTCTTGATGTGCGCAACAAGGCGAATTTTAACGAAGCCTTCGGTTCTGTCAGTTTAGGGTCGTCCCCCTCGCCTATTTTGAGGGAAGCGTTCCCCGCGCAGGGCTGCGTCGGTTCGGGCTTGTAGGACTGTTCGGACTTGGCCGGTGATACTAATTGCTTTGGATCGTCAAACGTTGCTTGGGGCGCTTGGCCCCGGAGTCCCGGGACGATCTCCTGCGGTCCTTCAATCACAGGTAGTTTGACGGACTGCGACGCCGTCGTCGCCGTGTCTGCTTCCGATGCGTCGGAGTCCGACTCATCATCTTCATCTTCTTCTTCTTCTTGCACCGCTACTACACTACGAGCGAGCATCTCCTCGCGCTTCGCGGCTAACCGAGACCTCACATTCGTGGACCACCTCCTTAGGATAGAGCCGGCTCTGTTGACCCAATCCTTGATCGTCTCGAGCTTCGTCTTGGCCGCCTGGATGGCTTCGTTGCCCGTCGGCTCTTGTACGTGCCGATTGCGGTGCCATTGTAACACTGCATCCAATGAATAAGCACCAACAGCATTGCAGGGCATCACCCTCAACGCCTCCTGAGCCTCGTCGTCCGTAATAAACACCGCCAAAGCTTCAAATAAATCCTCGAACAAGTCGACATCGAGCCGCACGAGCTCGTCGATGCCCTGCTCGAAGGTCCGCCACTTATGTAACAGCATGGCTTTCTCCTTGTCGTCCTTGTCACTGCCCACCAAAGCTTTGGCCGGCTTTCGCGCGAGTCGTTTAAATATGTCCCCGCCGTCGTCGCCCGCCCGCGGCCCGAGGGCCTTCTTGCGCCGCGCTCGTCGCTCCATCTGGGCGTTGAGCTTCGACGCTTGCCTCGGGGGGCTTGTTGGTGTGTCAATCTTCTCCTTACGATTTTTCGAGTAGGCCAATCCGCCCTCGACTTTTAGAGCTCGTTCCCGCTCCAGCGCTTTCCGGCGCTTAGCCTCATTCTTGTAGTAGGTCGTGGTTTGTTTCGACGCGTATGCCTTGGCTAGTAATTTGTTGGAGATGTGCACGGGCTCTCCCGCAGTCACAAACGTCTTTTCCTGCTCGATCACCATCGCCCTCCCGCTCTCCTTGGCCTTCTTCCGCGCCGCACTCGCCAATCTAGCTTCGCCGTCGCCCAGCAACACCTCGACTTCATCGTCCGACGACGCTTCGTCGTATAAACCCCGTAAACCAACAACCAACTCTTTGCGCACGTCGCCGCCCCGCTCGTCCTCGTACAACCGCTTGTCGTGCTCCGCCCTGGCTCTCTCATCATCTATTTCATCGAGGCGCGCATCTAGTTTAGCTAACTCCAACAGTAAATCAGCTTGCTGCTTGTACAGCTCCTCACTGTCGCCGGAATCCTCTCGTTCCAGTGACGCTAGATATTTTTGGAGGTCATCGTCGCCCTTCAGGTACATGCCAAAATTATACAGGTCCATCTTGCCCTGCAATGCGAGCTCGTCTTCGGTCTTGATAGCTTGCTCAAAAGCTGCTTGCACCACAGTATCAATCAAGTCGGGCGGAGGCGCCCGGATCTGCTTGAGTCGAGCGACACCCGTCGAGACACTCGACAGCAGTAGTCTTAACTCAACTTCATTGAGCGCACCATCTTTATCGAGGTCCAGCAACTCCGAGAAGCAGAAATTGATCTTGAGCTCCTCGCGCTCCGCGCAGCACAACGCCATGGCGCCCCACAGCTCCACCGAACTAACACGACCGCGCCGCGCCCGATCCCAATATCCAAAATGGCGATGCGCCTCGTCGACGTCCATGTCGAAGACCCGCTGGAACTGGTCTCGGGTTATGAACATGCCGTTGTTCTGGAAGTCGTCCCGGCACAGTCTCTTGAAAGCATCAAACAAGACCTTGACTCGCGCCAAGGGTCTTTCCACATGCTGCCTCAATTCGGACGGCACGAAGCCGGACGAGAACTGGCTGCCCATGCTGCCTGGTTATGCGTGCTGGTGTTTATGCATGGTGGCTCGCAGTGGCGCCGTGCTGGGGTCTCGGAGCCCGTGCGACGGATGCCCTGCGGCCGTCTCGTGCCGCTCGGGCAGCGCGTTTAGTGGGCCACAGCCTGTGGCTGTCCCAGCGCCGAGTTAAATGCGAGCCTAGTGTGTCGGTGCGCTAGCCTCAGAAAGTAATTGCAGGCAGTCGATCGACGGGGAGGCCGCTGCACAACACCGTCCGGGACTGTTCCGAGGACCCTACGCTGGGCCCCGCGCGGCCTCGCCCGAGCACGGGCGGGCCACTCTTCACGCCAGTCGACGCGACTGCGTGTTGCCCGGAGCAATAAACAGGAAGCCGGAACGCCGTCGAAGCGACTACTCGAGAACGGATTCATCACATTAGTTGGAACGGCCCCGGCAGGTACGTCCGCCGCGTCACGGGCCCCTTCGCCGGCTTCGCGACGGGCGCGCCCGCCACGACGCCCACGCGCGCGCAGTAGCCCGCGAGAATTGTGAGCGCGGACTCGTACTGGACCAGCGCTTTTTCGAAGTCGCCGGTATTATAACTCTCGAGCGTCGCCGCCGTCGCCGCGAGGAAGGCGCCGCCGGCCTTGCGCACGGACTTGGGGTAGGCCTCCTTGTTCTGGGTGACGGCCTGTATCGAGTCGGCGAGCGCGTCGTAGCCGCCTCCATTTCGAAAGTAGGCCTGGACCTGCTGGGCCGCCGCGCCGTCCTCGGCAGCGAAGGCCTCGCCGATGCTCCCGTAGTCCGTGGCCGCCCGCGCCAGGGCCTCGGCCTGGTCGCGCGGCAGCCGCGCCTCGACCTGGCCTTCTCCACTGGATATGGATTCGGCGAGGCGGGCGCCGCCGATGACGTAGTCGGCGCCGCCGATGTTTGCGTATGCAGGTGCCGCGGCGGCTGCGAGCAAGGCTGCAGTGGTGTGCTGGAGGACTGCTCGGCGCGCCGTTGGTGCTTTTCGCAGCGGCATCGGTTCAAGTCCCAGCGTACGTGTCAAAACAAGTGCAGAGAGCAAGCGAAGCCATCGATTCGGTGTTGCTTGCGCCATTTTGGCTGCAGACTTGGCTTTGACAGCATTTGGCTCCCCTAAAATTTTTAAATTCAAGTGTCCTCTGTATCGCTCAAGACACGTCCCAGGACTAAGGTACGAGTGTAAATCGCGCGATTCGAGCGGGCCGAGCGGGGCCACTAAACTTGCTAAAACGAGTTTGCGAGTGGCGAGCAGCTCGGCTAAATTTGCCTTGTACGCATCGGTGCCGCAATAAATCGACGTGGAGAGACCACTGGACTTCTACAGACGACATCCAGCACGCGTGCTTCGAAGCAGCGGCTCGCGGGTTCGCCAGAGGCCGTGCTTAAGGCCGACCAAAGCGAGTTCCTCTGAGCCGCCGCGACAGCGACGCGCTGCGCAAGCAGAGCTGCGAGAGGCATCCGCCGCTGGCTGTCGCTGCAAAAGACCAAAGCAATCGCTACTAAGCGGCTGCTGTGGGCCGCGCGGCGACGCGCTACGCAACAGCGCGAGCGAGAGGCAATACGCCATCGACGCGCAAAGAGCTCACAAACGCCCCACACAGGCTCAACTCGCAACCATGGGCCGCCGCCCCGCGCGCTGCTCGCGCTTCCAGAAGAACAAGCCCTACATCAAGTCGCGGTACTGCCGCGGCGTGCCGGACCCGAAGATCCGCATTTTCGACTGCGGCAACAAAAAGGCGTCCGTCGACCAGTTCCCCTTCGTGGCCCATTTGGTCTCCGACGAGAAGGAGCAGATCTCCTCCAATGCTTTGGAGGCGGCGCGCGTCGCGTGCAACAAGTACCTCATCAAGATGTGCGGCAAGGAGGCGTACCACATTCGCACGCGGACGCACCCGTTCCACGTGATTAGGCAGAACAAGATGCTTTCCTGTGCTGGCGCGGATCGATTGTCGTCGGGCATGCGCCACTCGTACGGCAAGCCCATGGAGCGCGCGGCGCGCGTGTCCATCGGCCAGGCCATCCTGAGCGTGCGCGCGAAGGACGCGAACGGCGAGCACGTCATCGTCGGCCTCCGCCGCGCGAAGTTCAAGTTCCCGGGCCGCCAGAAGATCCTGAAGAGCGCGAAGTGGGGCTTCACGAATTATGATCGCGAGACGTACGTCAAGGGCCGCCAGGAGAAGTGGCTCGTCGCGACGGGGTCCATGGTCGAGTACCAGGACAAGCACGGCCGCCTGGGCCAGACGCGCGCGACGCGCTACAACAACGGCCACGTCGTGCCCTACTAGATGCTTCGGTTGGTAAGGTTTAGTACACAACATACTAGCAGTTCGGCTCGGAGTCGCGCGAGGCACGATGTCGCGTCGACAGCGTGGTGTGGACGGATAAGTTAGTACACAACATTATAGGCTAGGAGTCGCGCGAGTCGCGCGGCCACCCTCGCGCGGCCACCCTCGCGCCGTCAGGCGGGCACGATGTCGCGTCGATGGCGTGCCGTGGACGAGGAGACCGTGCCGACGCAGACCACCGCGAGCCAGGCCAGGAGCAGTCGCGCGACGGGCGCTACATACGTCGCCCCGACGAGTCGCGTCGACGGCGTCGGGGGGGTCCCCACGCCATCGCGCAAGCACGCACCCGCCGCGTGGCGGCTACATCTGCATGCAGTGCCTATAATAATGCTTGTCCTGCGTCGCGCAGGCCTCCTGCATGCGCTTCTTCTGGTGCGGCGTTAAACTATGACCATCAATGAGCAGCAGCTCCGCGATCTCATTTTTCAAGGGGTTCGTCCGCGCCAGGAACAGGTTCGACTCGACCTTGTCGATCAACCCGTAGAATTTCAAGGAACGGTGGTCCTCCAGTAAAACGCCCTGCATGTGCGCGTCCCGGAATTTGCGAATCAACAGAATCTGGTCGTGCGGCTCGAGCGCCACCGGCGAGTCCTCCTTCGGCAGCTTCCTATCTTCCCCCGTCGAGAGCATGAGCTGGCGCTTGTAGATCATGTTCTTGAGCTCGCTCACGAGCAAGTCTTCGCTCTTGTACTCGACGTCCAAGGGCTCGTAGACGGCCGTGCTGTCGTACTGGATGCGCGGCCGCGTGATGAGGAGGCGCATTCTGCTCGTTGCTTCCGGCGCGGCGGCGGCGTGGGGGGCAGCTTTCGTGGGGCAGCCCCCAGAGCGCGGCCGCGGCGCCGGTGTCGGCCCTGCGCCGGCCGCGGGGTCCGCCTCGGTCCGCCGCGTGCCCACGCGATGGGAGACGACCGCCTGGGCGCGGCGTTCGCTTGCCAAGCACGGCTTTTTGGCGCTGGGCAGCCTCTCGAGTCCGAGAGTCCTGGACTCTGGACTGGTTCCACCGAGGAGCTAGACTGGTTTTACCGGAAGGAGCCTTGATGGGGCGGTGGACGGCGCCGGCCCGAGACCTGTCGTTGCGGGACGCGTCTCCGATGCTTGTGGGGCAGCCACGTCCTACAGACGCAGGATCCGACCGCCGGAGGCGACGCGGTAAATTCTAACTCGCTTTACGTTGAGCTCAAAGTCAATCTGACAGCAACTCGAGGCTAGCGCGCCAGTAAGACACTAGTAAATTCGGCACCGAGGCGACGTACGCGCCCTGCTACCTCTCGAACACCCGCTTATTGTCTTGCGTGGCAGCGTTGGGAGCCTCACCTATCGGCGCCGGGCTGCTGGTCGCAATTTCAAGCGCCGCGCTTGTCGCGGCGCTGAGAGGTAGGATACAATAAAGGGGGAAAAGCGATAGGCGCTAAACGAAAAAAAAGCCATTCGGAGATGGCGGTACTCGTGAGAGTGAAGCGCAAGCGCGACGAGCTCCCGTCCGAGCGATTAATATTAGCTGCGCCGCGCGCCAAGCGCGAACGCTCCGCGCGCGAATTACTGAGGAGCACCTTCCAGGGCCTGGGGTTGCACCAGCCGCCGCCCACGCCGGAACAGAACCTGCCCGTCGAGAGGAGGTGCTTCCGGCGCCTCGACACCTTGGACGCGGCCGCCGCGCGCGATTTGGAAGAGAGAACTAGAGGCGAAACCGCGCAAAGGCTACTCCGGGAGGCCCTGCGGTTACGGCGGAAGCGGCGGCCGTCTCCTGAACACAACGAGGAGGCCTCGCCGACGACGACGCAGTCGTCGCCGAAACGGCGCCAGCGGCCCCCACAACAAGCTATTTGTGTGGATTTGAAGGACGGGGCCCTCGAGCGGTCCTCTCCGATACCGTTCGAGAAGTCCTCGGAGAAGAAGTGTTCTCGTTCCTTGACGGATCTGACGGCCTTCGCGGGCGTCGAGCGGTCGCCGACCAATAGCTCCTTAGATATGCTCGCGCCGGGCGGCGCGCGCGAGACGGCACGCGACGAGAATTCCGAGAGGAGGCGCCTCGCCGCGGCCGTCTCCACAGCTATGGCGAGCGAGGACCCCGCTTCATTGGTCGAGCTGCGCGCCGCTTGTGGCACGCCTTTGGCTATTTCCCTCGTTTGTAGAGATGGAGCGACACCCTTGATGGCCTTCGCGCGGCACGGTTGCCAGGACGACGTCGCGCGCTTGGTGGCTCTAGGAGCGGACTCGCGAAGAGTCGATGCTCGGGGCCGCGACGCGGCGATGCACGCCCACGCGCGCGGCCACGCGGCCGTGCGCGACCGGCTGCTCGCCGCGACGCCGCCGAATCCGCCGAAACGCGTCGCGAGCGAGGTGCACCCGAAGCGGAGTTTCCTCGACGGCGTGTCCGCGTACTACGAGGACGACCAGGACGTGTCGCACGGCGACGACGCGGAGATGGTCGGCCTGCCTTTAGATGATTTCGTCTACGACGTCTACGCCTACGACGCGACGGCGGACGTCGAGCCGCGACGGGTGTCGACGTCGCGCGACCACGACGGCGCGCAGTCGCTGCCCGACGACCTGTCGAGGACGGTGGACTGCGAGTCGCTCGCGTCGCGCGCGATGACGCCCGGCGGCGACACGCTGAGTTCTTCTGGAGAGAGCGAGGACGACGACGGCCTGTCGACGCGCTGCGTCGTGTCGCCGCGACGGCGTAGTCGAGCGGCGCCGCTGGTCGTCGGCATCCGCCATCCTTTGAGAGACGTTCTTGCGTTGCCGCGGACGAACGAGGACGACCCGGCGGGCACGGACGGCGACGACGACGTGTCGAGCCTGGGCGCCGACGACAACGACCGGAACAAGTCGGCGGACGACCGGTCGCTCTCGAACGGGTCGCTCGAGGACGACGACCGCAGCTTCCGGTCACATCCCATGGCGGCCTGGGACTCGGCGCCGCCCTTCTTTTCTGTTGGAGGAAATGGCCCACCGGCCGCCGCCTTCCCGTCTCATAGTCGAGACGATGCGAGTCTCTGACCCGCCTTGCTGGATATATCGCCGCGCCGCTAAGAAGGCGGCCGCTGGCGGTCCCCCCTGTTTGCTGCTGAATCTAACAATTATCTTCCCCTTGACCAGTCTTGTTTTTTTGTTGTCCTGAGGCTTCTTTGTTTCGTGTACCCATTATTCTCATTCCCTATATTTTATTTAGAGCGCTAGGCGGCCTAGGCCGCCTAGCCGCGGAGCTGACGCGGAGCCGGCACCGGGAATCCGATCGATATATATACCTATACTTACTGAAAATATTTATTTATATTTTTCGAGGGCGCTCGGGACTAAACGGGACAGCTCCGGGTGTCTCTGGGAGTAGGTCCAATAATAGGGGGGTCTCTTAGATGTTTACCTACTTCAATGCTATAGTACCACCTCTTACGCTAGACAGAGCGAGGCTCGCGGCGCGACTCTGGAAGGCGCGCGCGCGGTTGGCGTAAGCCCTGGGAGCTCAGACGAAGCGCGATCGCCGCGCGGCGCCGAACTGGTGGTCTGTGGTAGAGCGAGCGCTATTCAGGGCGCTGCGCGAAATTTCGTCGCCGCGGCGGCGGGCGCGCGCGCGAGCGAGTAGGGCGAGAAAAATCACGAAAGCCCTCGCGTGACGTGGTCGCGATCCTCCCACTAAAAAAAAATATCACCGCGCACGGACCGACCACGAGAAAAGAAGAACCATGGCGACGTTGGGGCTCGGCGACGTCGCCTGCGCGTCGACGAAGGCTGCGGTGCGCGCCTTCGTCTTCGGCGTGGCGGAGTCGATCGGCGTCGCGCGGGCCGCTTGAATTTGGCGTGTGTGAACCCCTGTGCAGTCGTGTCCATACGCACACACAAGCCACCCTGTTGTCCATGCTCTCCCGGTCGCTCGCGCGGTAGTAGCTTGCTAGAGATAATCATACCCCTTAGTCGTCTTGCTCGTTCCTACTGTTGAGTTCACGTTGTTTTGTTTGGTATTTACTAACGGGGAGCTCAGTCGAACCCGGGGATGCGAGCTTGTATCTTCACTGAGAAATAGCCGGGCCCCACGTCCTGGTTGTCCGGGGTTGGCCCAAAGGGAACCAGTTCGAGGGGGACGTAAAGATCAATGTGCTCGATGGGCGCGGGCGGAACTTCGGGCCCCATCCTGAAAAAGCTGAGGTTGTTCGCCACCGTGCCCGAGTGGGCTTTTACCGAAGCCAGATGCACCTTGTGCGCGTTCAGGTCCGGTTCGTAGGCTCCAGAGTACTCCCCTGAATGGAACGCGATGTCGATGAGCGCCGAGAAGGTCGTGCCTTGCCTCGTGAGCGGGACCTCCTTCCGATTGCCATTAAACGGAGGCCAGAGCTCCGCAAGGGACGATAAGGGGGGCCTCGCATCGTCGTGGCACGACGTCCAATATTTTGGGTGACGTCTCAGCGAGGCCGATTGAGTGTCGTAGCAGCCGCAACCTTTGTTCGTCCACCGCTCGATCCAACCACAGCGGCCGTCGCCGACGCGGCCGCCGAAAAAGTGGCGAAGCTTTTCCTCGAGCAGAGGGAAGCAGTCCGGCGGCGGATGCTCGCTGCTGCCCGGCGCCCACGCGAGCGTTACGGCCGACGCCACGACCGTCATTGTCGTCCCGCGCAAAGATGTTATCGTCGAAGAGATAGCAGTACGAGACATTTCTCGAAGCAGAGCCTCGTCGACGGGCGCGTTGCGGTTCGCCTCGTCGACCGTCAGACATCGAGTGCACGCGTGGACATGTTCTCCGAACGAATTTCTACCAAACGTGAGCATCTGCGCCATGCGGCGGCGCTTCTCCGACCAACCTGGCGTGGACTTGAAAAACACGCGACGACGACCGTTATCCCGGGGCCAGGTTGCGTCGTTCGTGACGAATCCAGCGCCGTCGGTACGCACAACGCAACGACGGGCCTTCCCACCCAACTCTTGCGGCACGAAATACGTCGCGGCGTCCTGTCGCGCCGCCATCTCTCGGGCCAGGTTCGCGCGCCGCCCCGTCAGCATCCGGGCGCGCAGCTCGCGGATCACGGCGGCGTCGTCGAGTTGCGCGTCGTGGCGGCAGTAGAGGTTCCCGAGCCAGGCTCGCGGCGTCGCCGTCGATCGAGGCGCTCTCGCCAGTGCGTCCACGTCCGAGCATGTCGTCTGGCACACAAGTCGCAGCGCCGCGGCGTGATGGAAGAGCGTGGCGACCAACGCCGCGGTCGAGGCCGGGAGGTCGCCGCGCAGGACGGTAGTTAGGGCCATCGCGGAGCCGCCGATGTCGACGGCCCTCGGCGGTCGCGGTTTCTCGTAGAACCTCCGTTTGCCTAGTGGGTCTTCATACACCGCTTTCCGTTCGTCGTTGATGGCCCGCAGCGCGCGGTCCTGCGAGGCGCAGACCAAGAAGCCGAGCAGCTTGCCTCGCACGTCCGAGTTGAGCCGCAACAGAGCGAAGGGTGGAATTATTTTGCGCACGACTGCGGGATCGGAGAAATATCTTTGTTCATCATCGCCTTCTGGTTCGGCCATCGTGCGCGGCGCTTTGGGCAGCCCGGTGGTTGGCAGCAGCGCAGAAACGCGGGGGGCAGCGGGTGGAGCGCGCGGAGTGTGTGTGCATGGTGTAAGCCAGCTGTTAAATCAGAGCCCCCACGGAGCGTCGGAGGTCTAATAAAGCAGCGCTCACATCAGCGCTCTCAGGGGTCGAACCCGCACGACACCATTAGCGGGGCTGTATTGCTATGATTACTGTACTTACTTGCTTGAAGGGGAATATGTGGGTTGATGGTGATATCAATGCGCCACGGCGCCGCGCGAGACCGCGGGCAAGTCACCACGCATGGGCGGCATGGCGCCCTCCGAGCGCACGACTGCCCGAAAGGCGCGGCGCATCGCGAGCCAGAGCTGCTTGACCGGGCGCGGCGGCGGCCGGAGGTCGTCCGCGTCGACGGCGTAGTCGCGCCGCACGAGCCGCTCCCAGTAGCAGTCGCGCGCCGCGATCTCGGTCCAGTCCTTGCAGACGCAGGCCGACTTCAAGAGCTGCAGGGGCTGCATGTACGAGTGCACGATGGGCACGCAGTCCGTCACGACGCGCGGCTCGACGGCCAGCGTGAGGAAGTACGAGCTCAGCAAGGGGTGCCGCGGCAGCAGGCCGCACCAGGGGTCGTAGAGCACGAGCTCCGTCGAGTCGGAGCGCTCGCGCGTGTCGGGCGCTTGCGGCATCGTTTTACGGTTTCGCAGGTTGTGCGGACTTCACGACGACGACGACACCTCGACGGCGTCCAGGCGGTGCAGAACCGCTCCGCAGCCCTGTTGGACGCTTGCGTCAAGGCGGACGCCACTTGAGGCTGCAGGCTGGACCAACTGCAGCCTGGCTCTCCTACTGTGAGCGCCCTGGAGCCGCGCCAAGTTTTCGGCCAAGTCTTTATGGCTCGATAGGCCGTAAGAAAAAATTTCAGGATGATTGCCACTGGGAAGAACAACTTTTTAGGCCGCTTAAGTGCTGGCGTTGGCACTTGTGAGTTTGGGTTCAAGTCCCGACCTCGGGAGACGAGTCTCCAGGACTGCTAGCACGCCGTTGGATGCTCTTCATACCGATACCGGTTTAAATTGGCAGATTTTTGCTCCTCGTATGACACCGCGCTCGAACGCGCTCGAACGCCCGCGGTCTGAAGCTAGAGCTCCCAATCGCGCCCTCGACGCGTGCCCCACGGCGTTAAAGGCGCGCCGTCTGTTTTTCATTTGGGCACGCCGCGGCCACGGATTTTAGGTTTGTCTTTTTTTTCTGGGCTCGTCGGGAGCACGAGTTACCCCGATTAATTGTGATTCAGCGGAGAAAACACGCCGGAGCATCGCCGCGATCCGGCAGTAACGTTGAGAGGGCGTCCGGTGCGCAACAAGGCCCAGAGAGCTCTCACTGGTGTGAGAGCACCTACTCTTCGCGTCGTTCTCCCTCAACTTCTGAGACGACTCTGGTCACAGAGCGTCTACCCCGTCCACTGAACATCACATGTCGGGTAGTAGGCATACAAGCCACGCCTCCCCCTTGTGTAACTATCACGCATGTTCCGTAAACGAAACGTCTCCTCTGGCTTTCCATGAGAGACATGAGCAATTTATCGTCAGCTTCGCGATATACAAAAGACGGCGGAATTACTGTTTGCATGGACGCACGGCCGCCGCCGCTCGACGACGCGGCGCTCCCGTTGCCGAGACTTTGGCCGCCGCCGCCGCGAAGTTTCGGCGGTGTCCGCAGGGTTGTGACGGGTTCCGCGGGATCCTGAAGCTCTACCTCTAATGTTGTGCCTTGTACTAGTATTAGCAGCAATAGGTGGTTGGTGGTTAAGGAAGGAAGCAAGGGGTACGCAGAGGCGGCGCGGCGGCGCCTCTGCTTTCTCGGCCCGGGCGGGGGGGGCGCGGTCAGACGTCCCAGCATTCCTCGAGGCCGAGGCTCGGGAGGTCGAAGTCGAAGCCGATCTCGTTGCCGCAGATGTCCCAGCTCGGCAGCTCGAAGTCGGGGAACTTGAGCTCGGCGAACGCGCAGATCTCCATGTCGGGGTAGGAGCAGCTGGACGTGTCGCATTCCGTCGAGATCTTGCCCTCGACGCCGGCGGCCATGACCTCGATGGCCTCGGCCGTCACGCCCGCGTTGGCGCTGAACTCGATGTCGATGGCGCCGAAGCCAGACTCCAGCGTGGGCGTCCCGACGGACAGCTCGCCGCTCCCGTAGGCATCGACCTGGGCGATGACGGGGATGCGCACCTCGACCTTGGCCAGGCCGTTCGGGCAGTAGTCCTCGGGGTCCTGCCCCGGCGGGGCGCCGCAGTAGGGGTACTGCTCGCACTTGAGCGTGGTGTCGAACCAGTCGTCGATGGAGATCTCCCAGTCGTCCCAGAACCAGCTCCCGCCGTCGTCCCAGAGCCCGATGACGTCGTCGCCCCAGAAGAACTCGGGCTTGTCCGCCTTCGTAGCGACGGTGGCGCCGGCCGCCGCCTTCTTCGCCCGCGCGGCCCCGAGCTTCGCGGCGAACTCGGCGGTGGCCCCGGGCCGCTCCGCCTCCGTGGGGGCCCGGCCCTTCGCTCGCCGAAAGAACGCGTCGGCGAGTTGTCCGAACTTGGCGGCGTCGTGGCCGTCCGCCGTGAGTCTCGCCATGGCCGCGTCGTACGCCGCCCGGTCCCGCACCGCCTTCTGGCGGAGACTCTCCTCCAGATCGAAGCTGAAGACCTGCGCCGAGACACCGACTTCGAGAAGTGCCGCCGTGAAGCCCGTGTGGTAGAGCGTGACCTCCTTGCCGTACTCCATGTCGTCCGCCGGGATGCCCGACAGGCACACGCCTGTGTGGACATCAAATTTACGGCGCGTCCGTGATGGCGTGGCGATCACGTCGTCGCCGAGAAATGACTTCGTGACACAGGTCCTCGCCGGCGGTGATGTCGAAGGAGAAGTCTATGTCCACGCCGACGAACAGCGTGTAGCAGAAGCCGGCGTCGTGGTCGAAGTCCAGGCCGAACCACAGGTACAGCTCGGGGTAGTCGGAGAGCTCCTTCGTGCAGACGAAGTCGCCGCGGAGCGTGATGCAGGCGGAGACGATGTCCGGGCTCACGAGGTCCGGGTTGGCCTCGACGAGTTCGGGGTGGTTCTTCCGGACGCCGCCGTCCGGGTCCTCCACGAGGGCCCGGAGCTCGTCGGCCGTCGGCGCGCGGCCGTGCACCTTCTCGAACGCCACGCGGATGGCGGCCTCGAGCTTGGTGCGCTTGCGCAGGTAATTGTTCTCGATCGGAGCGGCATTCTCAAAGTCCTTGTGGACCAGCTCGCCCGTCTTCGTGTTGAACGCCGCGCGCTTGCCGGCCGGCGTGGCCGCGGCCGGCGCATTCCGCGCCGAGACCGCGGCGCCCAGGAGCAGGGACGCGCCGAAGAGGGCGCCCAGGGCCAGCGTCCTGCGGGACCACGTAGTTTGCTTCCCGACGAGGGGCTGCTGCTCCGTCGGCGCCATGAGGGGCTGCTCGTCGTCCATGTTCATTGCTATTGCTCTCTGCTATTTACAGTTTTAATAGCCAGTTTCTTGGGAGGAAGTGAATCCTCTCTGCTATTGCTCTCTACGAGTGCTGGGAGTGCTGAAGCGCAGCTTTTTGGAAACGCCGTGGTGGTGCCGATTCGCTTTCCCGTCTCCAAGCTCTGCTGCTCCCTACGAGTGCCGGCGGCAGCCTTTCGGAGGCGGCCGGTTGGTCTCTGCTCTCCAAACAAGATCGAGAGAAGATACCTAGTTCTTCCCCAGGCTTGGCTTGCCAGAACTGTCATATAGCATTCGCCCGGCGGCCGACATGATGGTAGGGGAACGCGGACGCGTGCGGAAGCCTCGAAAACCCGCTCTCTCGCAAATTTGTCTCCATTTGGCTGCCCGCGGGGCAGCGACCACACACGATGAACGGCAGCGATGCGTAGCGTCGCGACCGCGGCCGTCCTCTGCGCCGCCGCCGCCGCCGGGACCGCGCCGTCGTACGGCGTGTGCTGGACGCGCAACAAGTTAAATGCTAGTGGCGCAAAACTCACTAGGGCCTGTGTGCCCCGTACCGTTAACGGTACGGGGCAGCTTTCTTGTGTAACTGACCACGCTTTCCCCGAAGTCGGCTCCGCGGCTAGGCGGCCTAGCTCTAAGCAAAGCAACTCCAAGGCCCTATAAACGAAAGACGTTAAAAACTCCCCCTCAAGGAAGCGAAGAACTACTCGCGCATGCACTTCCACTCGTCGGCGAGCTTCGGCTCCGCGTCCGGCCGCGCCGCGAGGTCGTCGCCCGCCTGCACGAGCTCGTAGAGCGACGGCGCCGCCAATAACCCGTCGACCAGCGCCACGAGCGTCTTGAACGGCACGCGCGCCGCGAAGGCGTCCGCCCGCAAGGCCGCGTGCAATTCCTCGTCGTGGTCGACGAAGTAGAGGTCGTTCAGCGCGCGCGGCGTTTCCAGCACCGCCCGCAGCAGAGGCGACGCCGCGGCCGTCGCCGGCATGGCTCTCGCAAATCGGGCCAGCAGCTTGACGCCCTTGGGCAGCGACATCAATGCCGAAAACACGGCGGCTGTCTTCGTGCTGTGTTCGACGGGTTCGGACGCGTCGATGGTCGGCGGCGGCCCCGCTCCTAATAAAAACATGACGTTCGCATCACATAAGTCAAAGGCGTGCGCGTCGCAGTGGGCGATCGCTCTAGCAACGTTCTCGAGCTTCTCGCGACACGCCGAAAAGACCTCGCCGAACCGCTCCGAGTTATTGGGCGTCGCGTGGCCCAGGGCCCGCACTTCCAATAACTCCAACAGAGCTTGAGACCCGGAATCGCAGGCCCGCCGCGCGACCCACATGGCGCTCGTGAAGGGCATCTTCTGGTCGACGTCCCTCGCGCTCGTCGCGTCTCCCACGGTCAATAAAGCTCTAGGCCGCGCCACGTTCGTCTTCTGGACGTGTCCTAATACTTTGTTGCCCTCCTCCCACTTGCGCGTGACGTTTTTCAGGTCCGAAGCCATGTGGGCCGCGCGCGCGGCGGCGTGCTCCTTCGTCTCGGTCCAGACAGGCGCCACGAGCGACGACCCCGCGTCGCCGACGCTCTGACCGCCGACTAATCTCCTTTGATTCCACTTGTGGCAATAATAATCATCCGTGTACGAGTCCATCGTTTCTAAGGGACGCATCTGCGACCGAATCACGTAGGCAATATCGGAACCGCTCATGCACGACGTCGCGTCGAAGCGCGGTAACGCCGCGCCGCGCGTCCGCGGCCGCTCGCCCATGGACGCCGACCGCGACTCCCTCCGTTCAACTCGCTCCTTCACGTCGGGCATGTCCCGCAAAATCTCCGCTTCTAACGCTAACGACGCGGCGACGGGGTCCTCGCCGTCGTAGACGGGCCGGTTGGCATTTCTCGCATCCGCCATCGCGCGACCGACGGTAATGGTCCTGGGCTTGGGCTTGTGGAGCTGGCAGTAGAAAGTGCGACCGAGTACCTCGCTCTCGTTCTTGAGCTCGACGGCCTTCAATGCGGTAGCATGATCCGCGAAGGCCACTACGCCCATGCCTCTGAATTTACCGGTATCTCGATCTTCGAGCCACCTGATGTTTGTGATATCACCAACATCTTTAAAGTGGTCGCGCATCGTATCATCATCAATAGCCCATGCTAAGTTGGTGCAGAAGACGCTCTTGACGGCTTCCGGTTGCTCCGCGGGCGGCTCGACCGCAGGAGGTGCCTGTTGGGTCTGGAAGCTTGGTTTGGGCGGCGGCGGCGGCGCCGTCGCCGCGGCCCAGCTCGTAGGCTTCGTCTGCGTCGGCTTCGGCTTCGGCGCTACGGGAGGCGGTTTCGGCGCCTGGCTCCGTAATTCGTCGGGCGGCGGCGGCGCCGCGCCGTGGAATTGAGCTTTGGGCGGCGCGCCGAAGCCCGCCGGCGGCTTCTTGAGGAAGCTCGGCTTGGGCGGTGGGGCCGAGACGAATTTCGGCATCGGCGGCGGCGCGGGGCCGTCGGGGTCCGCGTACTGCGCCAGCAAGGAGCCGTGGCCGCCGGCTCTCGACAGAGCGCCCGGCAGGACGGACGGCGCTGCGCCTCTTCTGTTGAACTGCGCTTGCGCGGCGAGCTGCTCTCTTGACACATTAACGCCGGGCGGCGGCGCGCCCGGCCCCGTGCGCGGGCGGCCCGCGAAGATGCCGGGCGGCGGCGCCATGCCTGGTGGGGGCGGCGGCGGCGCGGCGCCGGGTCTCAGGCCAGGAGGCAGGGCGCCGCGGAGGTGCGCCATGTTGTTCATGATTGCTGCACGCTCGGCGCCCGCCGGCTGCTCCGCGCGTTTGGGGCCTACGGCGCAAGAATTCTACGGTCTTCCTGGCTTGTCGGCGATGCACTGGGCACGCTGCACGGCCGCCGTCTTCCACGGAGCCGGCGCCCGGGAGTTATCTAGCGTGCAGAGACACACTAGCGGTTCGGGTTTTGCGGGCGAATTGCCATTTGTTTTAGCCTTATACTCCGCGTACGTAACCTTACACTGTTGCGCAATCGCTGTGTAGCCTCCTATATCTGCTGCCGAGCCGCAGCAGCGTGAAACGAGGCGCTCGCGGAGCCCCAGTAGCCGCTGCAGTCTCCATCGCTCTCCAGAAGAACCAGCAGCACGTGACTGCTGCGCGACCCCATAACGCCGCCGCCGCACACCCGTGAACGACAGCAACATGAACGCCATCAAAAAAGCCCTGGGCCTGAGCACGGAGCCCGCGTCCGAGAGGTTCGCGAAGGACGACATCGCCGAAGTTAAGAAGTGTGAACAGAAGACGCGAGACGCTTGTTTGAGGCAGCTCGAGTTCTACTTTTCGGATGTGAACCTGCCCTACGACGACTTCTACCTCAAGGCCAGGAACAAGGCGGGCGAGATCGACTGTGAGGTGCTCGCGAACAGTGCGAGAATTAAGCAGTTCACTAAAAAACTGACACCGATCCAACGAGCGTATCTATTATGGGACGTCGCGTCTGCCTCGGACTCCGTGGTGCGCGGTGCTGAAGGTTTTCTCAAAAGACGTTGGCCGATGCCGAAGGAGGATAAGAGCAACAAGAACATGGCTTTTTTGGAGTTGAAGGTCGACGAGGGCGGGCCTGAATTATCTTCTATACTAGATGAGAAAGCGTTTCAGACAGCACTGGAGAAGCGGGGTGATGCTGCCTCTTTCAAGCCTGTGTTGAGCGTGCGACCGCGGCGAGACCTGCGGAAGACTCGGACACTCACTGGAGGCGTGCTCGTAGAATTGGAGTCCAAGGCCAAGGCCGACGCTTTGTTGAAAGCTTCGAAAGACGAGCCGTTGCTGCCCAAACAGCCAAAAGTCAAAGTCGTCACCTCGTCCGACGGGCTGTCGTTTTTTGATCGCTTGGAGGCCGACTGTTTGGCGTTCCGGGAGGAGGGCGAGAAGCGCAAGGCCAAGCGCAAGGCCGAGAAGGAGGAGAAGAAGAAGAGGAAGGCTGAAGAAGCCGAGAAGGGCGAGGGCGATGCCAAGCCGTCGGCGAAGAAGGCGAAGAAGGGCGGCAAGAAGGGTAAGGGTGGTGGCCGCGGGCGCGGGCGCGGCGGCGGGCGCGGGCGCGGCGGCGGCCGGGGCATTTCGCCCAAATCGCCCAAAAAGCGCAAGAGCGGTGACGGTGGCGACGACGAGAAGAAGCCGGCCAAGAAGGCGAAGGCGAAGAAGGAGGAGTAGATTCGTCTAAGACAATCACAAGAACACTTACTAGATCCACGACGACGCGTTCGCCCCCGGCGGAGGCGGAGGAGGAGCACCTCCCCGCCGGCCGCCGTTCCAGTTGTTGCGCCGCGCGGCCGGTCCGTCCCACCCACCCCACCCCCTGCCCTGGTTGTCGCCGCCGGCGCGGCACGCGGCCCAGGGCGGCTCGACGGGCGGGGCCCGGAGCAGCGCCGCGATCTCCTCGTAGAGCTGGGCGTCGACCGCGCCCACCGTCAGTCCCGCACTACTAGGCCGGAACCCAAGCGCGTAGAGTAAAGCCCCCGCGGCTGGCGACGGCGCGACGGCCCTCCGAAACGTCGCGTTGTTGCAATTGATGGTCCGCCGTTGCGGGTTGCGGGCCGCGTTCGCGACGTACCTGGCCAGGATCGACGCATCGCACAGACCGACTTCATCGTCGAAGAGCCACGAGAGCGCCCCCATGGCGCCCGAGCGCGGCGACTGCTGCGCCGTCACGTGCACGCCCTCGCCGCCTCTCAGGCCGGCTAGCGCCGCGACCGCGGGGGTAGTCATCGATACAGAAAGGAGCACCGGCGCGTCCTCCCCATTCTTCCTCATAGGTGTAAACGAAGCCAGGACCGCCGTCACAGGTAGCGCACCCGTGGGGATGTCGGCGCCGCCCGTCGCGCCCACTTGCTCCATGTCGAGCAGCGCGAAGGTGTGGCCCTTTCGGGCCCACTGCTGGAAGGCCGTCGTCGGCCGCAGCGGCCAGATGTGCGTTGCTGGAATCATACCCGCTGGGCTGACCCAGGCGAACGCGAGGCTCCTCGCCGATTGACCCAGGCGCTGCGACAGGGCCTCGTCGACCTGCACGCACGTCGCCGCGATCGGGATTTCGCCGCCGCCGTCCTCTCTCCCGCGAGCCACGACTGCATTGTACGCGGCGGCGCCGTGCCGCAGCTCGCCGAAGGGGCAGGTTTCTAGCTCCATACCGTGCAGCAGCACGCCGCTTGCGCGACCGGACATGTGGCGCGCCGCGCTACGACTAAGACTAGTCCGATGCGGCGAATCTCAGCTATGCGCCGCTCCGACGGCCTCTCTCCGCAGCGCTCTACGGGGTACCGAGCGCTCCGACTGCGTCTCCGCAGAGCTCTCCGGAGCCCGAGCTGTGTGTCTCCACGCTGTCTTGCACTGCTTCCGGCAGCAGTTATCGTCGCAGCGCTGCCGCTGGCGTACAGATGACAGCAGTCCGGCTTCTGAGACTCGCACGGACGCGACAAGGCCTTTTGGCTTTTGCAGAGCGTAATGCTAGCGTGCAGACACACTCTAGAGGCACGCAGCGGCAGGCAAAACGCACGGCGCATGTTGCGCGCCCCAGCAGCCACTCAGGCGACTGGCGTGAACGCGTAACGCCACACAGACACGCAGGGCAACGACGCACGCGCGGGGGCAGCCCGAGGACAACCTAAAGACTGGCCCACAGCGCACAGCGCACGCACCTCCGAGACTCACGCGCCGCGCCGAACAGCATCGACACGACAACACAATGGCCTACGACCAGACCGACGAGGCGAGCGTCGCCGCCCTCGATAGGATCATCGGCGCGGACCCCGACAACGCCGGCGTCCGCGCCCAATTGCAAGAAACAATATGGTCCTCCCCTAAGTTATTATTGACGGGCATCGAGGAGCAGGCCCAAACTCTAGGTATTACGGACCCCAACTACCTCTGGATCGCCGCCCGGTCGCTCCTGTCGCCGTTACCGGAAGGTTGGGCGCAGTACAAGGACCAGAACGGGAGCCCCTACTACCTGAACGAGCGCACGGGCGAAAGTAGGTGGGAGCACCCCCTCGACGACCACTACGTGGCCATGTACCGGTCGTATGTTGATAGGCCGCGCGACGCGCCGCCGACGCCGCGCTTAGGCTACGAGGGGCCGACGCCTCGAGGGCCGGTACCGGAGGAGAATGGGCGGTTGGTCGACTCGTCGCCGGAGCGCAGCCGCTTCACGGGCCGCGGGCCGAAGGACGCGTCCGCGACGGTCGGCGGCGCGCGGCGCGTCTCCAGTAGTACGCGGCGCGCGCGGCGGGAGGGCTCGTCCGGCGCGTCCGCGTCGCCGGAGCCCCGGATCCGGCGCCGAGGCGACGCGTCGTCGCCCGAGCCGCGCCAAGGGCGCCGCGGCCGCCAAGGGAGCGGGAGCGAGCGGGACGAGCCTCGGAGCGCCCGCAAGGGACGCCAGGGCTGGGGGGCGCCGACGAGCGGGAGCGAGCCGGACGAACGCGGCGAGCGCCGCGGGAGCGCCACCAAGGGAGAAGCGCCGCGAACGGGCCGCCTCTTCGCGCTGCCGTCCGAGAGGCGCGCCGCGGCGGCGGGCCGCGTCCGGTCGGGCCTCACGTCGTCGTCGTCCTCCGGGGAGGATGAAGAGCCGTCCGGGCGGCGGCGGCCCGCAGCACGCGGACGGGAGGCGACGCAGAGGACGCCGCGCCGGCACTCGTCATCGTCCGAGGGCGAGGAGCGCACGGCGACCGCGTCGGCGGCGCGGCGCGACGCGCACGCGTCGGCGCGGGCCGCGGACGACCGCGGAACGGCGTCGTCCGAGGCGCGTCGGAGCGCCCCAAAAGCACCGGCGGACGACCCCGACGCCGTCCTCGACCGCCTCGACGAGGTCCTCGCGAGCGACGTGAGGGACGGGAAGTGGACCGACCGCCTCCTGGGCGTCCTCGAATTGCATTCTGTCTTCTCGGAGCATAATTCTCAGGTCCGCCAGGCCACCGAGAAGCTGAAACGCAATGATCGGGCCGTCGCCGACGCGGAGCGCCGCGCGGACAAGCTCAAGGACAAGCTCAAGCACATGAGGGACGAGGTCGAGGCTGAAACGAGACGGCGCGAGGACGTCGAGAGGCGATTGAGCGAGGCGCTCTCCAAAGGTTCCGGCGACGACGTTGCTGCTTTACAAGAGCAGCTCCGCAAGGCCGAACAGCGGGCGCAGCGCGCCGCCGAGGAGTTAGGAAGGAGGGTGCGGACGAAATCACAAAGAGAGGACTCGGACCAGTTGGTAGACGCGCTCCGGACGATCGACGACCTCGAGGACAAGCTGGCGGGAGCGCTGTTGGCGGGCGAGGCGCTGCAGCGGCAATGTGACGCTTCATCAAAACCGGTCGAGTGCGACGCTGATCTTGTGAGGGCGCGCGACGAAGCGTTGGATAGGATCGCGTCGCTCGAGAGCGCCCTCTCTTTGTCAAAAACTGAAAGGGACGCCGCCAAGGCCTCACTCTCGGATCGCGTCGAGGAGACGCGGACGCAGCACCAGCGGTTGTTGGACGCCGAGGGTCGCTGCGACGCGCTGATCGCGGAGAAGGCCGACGAGGCGCGTCGGCGGCGCCGAGATGTGGACGAAGCCCGGGCCGAGGCCTTCGAGGCGGAGCAGCGGTGCACGGCGCTCAAAAATCAACTAAGACGGCTCGAGGAGCGGCCTGGACAGGACGATGCGCGGCTGAAGCGACTGGAGAAGCGAGCGGAGGAGCTCGACGCGGCGCGGGCCCGCGAAGCAGCGAGAGCTGACGAAGCCTTGAAGCGGGAGGACGACCTACGGTCGGCGCGGGATGCGGCGCGGGCCCAGGCCGCCGCCGCGGAGGCGGCGGCGGATGCCAGGAGAGCGGACGTCCAGGCCATCTCGCTGAGCCGCGACGCCGCCGAGGCCGAGGCCGAGGAGAAGGGCGCGGCCGACGCCCGTAAATTAAGACAGGAACTGGAGAGCGTGCGCGAGGCGAACGCGCGGTTCGTCGACGCGTCGCGCACGCGTTGTGAAAGAGCAGAGTTCCACGCGAGTGAAGCGGCGCGGTCGGAGCAGGAAGCTAGAAGGGACGCCGATGCGTTACGGGAGAAGTGCGATTCACTGATAGAGGAGAATCGGCGGCTCGACCAACGGCTGGACGCCAAAGACGACCAAATGAAACTGTGGAGGAGGGACGCGGACGAACGTTGTGTAGCGGACCTGACGGCCTTCGCCGCCTGCGCGCGGCTCTGGCGCGTATCATTACAACAGAGCGAGGTCGACCGCCACGCGTTGCAACGCATGGAGGCGGATGTCCTCAGCGCGAGGTCCGTGGCCGAGGCCGAGGTCATGTCCGCGCGGCACGACGCGGAGCGAGCGTCGAAGCAGCGCGAGGACGCGCTCCTTGAGGTGTCTGAGCTGCGCAAACGATTAGAAGATCAACGCGATAGAAACGAGGAGGCCGCCAAGGCCTCGCTGACGCAAGTTGCTTCCAGTGAAGCCCACGTCGCTAAATTAGATGCGCAGCTGTCGACTGCGACGGCGCGCAACAAGACGCTGGAAGACGAGGTTGAGACTTTGGAACGGAAGGGTTTGGAGCTCACGAAGCAGCTTGACGAGGCGACGGCGCGCGTCGAGCGGGACGCGGAAAAAAGAATCCGCGACGAAGGCACGCTACGGAACGACGTCGACGAGGCTAATAATCTACGCATCCAGGCGGAAACTTTGAGAGATGACTATGAACGGCAGTGTAGAGAGCACGAGGTGGAAATTGAACATCTTAGGTCCAGACTCGACCAATCGGAGGCGGATCTGGAGAGGTTAAGGAGCGTGAACGAGCGGACGGAGGAAAGGTTAAGGGGCGAGTTACATGAAGCGCGAGCCGAGAGCCGGGACGTGTCTTCCAAACGTAGTCAAGAGCTGAATGAAGCGGTGGAAGCATTACAATTGAGACTCGAGCAGGCCGAGGCGGCCAAGCAGACGGCGGTGGCGGAGCTCGAGAAAAGTAGGGGCGACGCGCAAAGCGAGCTCGACAAGGAGCAGATGAAGGCCGAGGCCGAGCTGAAAATCGCGCTGGCGGACTCGGAGGCTCTGCGAACGAAGCTGGGCGAGGTCGGGCCGAGTCGAGAAGAGCTGAACGAGGCCAGGGCCAGGGCCAAGGACTTTAGAGAAAGGTACATGAATGAAAGGAAGTTGAGGCGGAAGCTCACGGACGAACTCGCGGAGCTCAAGGGCAACATCAGGGTCGTCGCGCGGTGCCGGCCCCCGAATGATGATGGCAGTTCGGTCGTAGAGTTCCCGAGCGGGGCTGACGGCGCGTTAGAGGTCGTCAACGACCACGGCCTGACGCAGCGCTTCGAGTTCGATCGCGTGTTTAGGCCTGGTTCGACGCAATCGGACATCTTTGATCATGTCGCTCCCGTGATCCAGGGCTGTTTTGATGGGGTCCACGCGTGCATCTTCGCCTATGGCCAGACGGGGAGTGGGAAGACGCATACGATGGAGGGGCCTCCGTCGGACCGAGGCGTGTACTTTCGCGCGCTTTCCGAGTTATTTCATGGGAAGCCTGCAGATATGGAATTATGCGTGAAGCTCAGTATGCTGGAAATATATAATGAAACGCTGATAGATTTACTGACGGACAAGCGCATGAAGCTGGAAGTCAAGAGGTGTTCAGATGGTACTCATGAAGTGCAAGGGCTTCATCGGGTATCCGTCGCGTCTCTCGAAGAAGTGCAGCGCCACGTCGAGAGCGGTTCCAAAAGAAGACAGACGGGCGCCCACGACCTCAACGATCGATCATCAAGATCCCACCTCATTTTAAGTCTGGACGTCGAGTGCAAGAGGCAAGGCGAGGTCCTTTCCTCGAGATTGAATCTCGTGGATTTGGCCGGGTCGGAACGTTTATCAAGGACGGGCGCCACGGGGGATCGGTTGAAGGAGGCCCAGTCGATCAACAAGTCGCTGTCGTCGCTCGGAGACGTCGTCAATGCTCTAGCCAAGAAGACGCAATGTCACGTGCCCTACCGCAATTCGAAGCTCACCTACCTACTGCAGGACTCTTTATCACGAGCCGCCCGGGTGCTCATGGTCGTGAACATCTCGCCGCTGGAAGCGGACGCGTCCGAGACGATCTGCTCGCTCGCCTTCGCGGCGCGGTGCCGCGACGTGGAGCTGGGGGCGGCGCTCGCGCGGCCCGAGGCCGCGGAGCTCATGCGGGCGAAGCAGGAGATCCGGGCGCTCAAGGCGCGGCTGGATCGGTTGGCGCTCGCGGCGAAGTAGTTCCTTCGTGGCCTTAGCTGCTGCGCGGAGGCGTCCCGACGACGCCGCCGCGGTTGGTGCGGGCGCGGCTCAGCATGTAAAGATTGTGTGCTATTTGAACACAGTACTCTTAGGCGCGCGGTGCGTCTCTAGCAGTCCGCCTCCTCGTAGCGCTCGTCCTCGTTCGCGTCCAATAACGCCTTGTGGTAGGCCTCGTCGAGCAACTCGGCGCCCTCGATCGAGGACGGGTGCACGCCCGTCGCCTCGTGGAACGCCTTCCAGAAGGGCCGGATCGCCATGGGGTTGTAGAACATCTTGTTGATCTCGTCGTTCGCCTCGAGCTGGGCGAACGTGCCGACGCGCGCGCAGAGGCGAATCTCGCCCTTTGTGATCTTTTCCTTCGAGGCTTTACATTTGGAGCGGTTGTCCGGCGCGGTTTCGAAGCGCAGCGCCTTGGAGAAGTGCGCGGCCTTCTGCCACGCCGTGACTTGTTGCCCTCTGCAGAAGACGGGCAGCCCCACGCGCAGCTCGCCCGCGTCGATCTTCTCGCCCGTCATCTTGCACGTCGCGCGGGAGCTCTTTGCCTGCTCGACCTTCGGCGCGAACCTGCGCGTCAGCGAGACGTCGCGCAGACGTCGTCGCGCAGACGCCATCGCGGCGATCGCGACGTGAAGTCATGTGGACGCCGCGCCAACTTTTCCGGATCGACGTCCTTCTGGACCTTCTTCACGGGCGCGGACGGGTCGTAGTCCGGCACGAGGCGCTTCTTGTACGCGACGACGAAGTCATACAAAGCCTCAACGTGCGACAACATCTCGTCGTCCTCGCTGCACTTGAAGATGCCGCGGAGCGTGCCGCCCGGCCGCGTCTTCGCGATGGCGTGGTCGAGCGAGAGCTTGCCGGACTCGATCATGTCGTTCAGGATCTTCAAATTCTCTTCGACGCTGTTCTTCTTCTTGACGCCGAGCTTCGGGTGGGCCGAGCCCTCGCCGGAGATGACGATCTTGTGCTCCATGAGTTCTCTAGCGCCTCTTCGGGTCTTTCTATACCGCGCGCGTGTCGCGAAACTCTGTGGTCTGTTTAGCTGACCCTTGCTGGAACTCGCAGCGCCGGCAATGATCTGGCTTATATGGTAGGCGACCGGCTGCGCGGACTCGCTTCAAGCGCGTGACAGCGTTGTAGCCCCAGCAAACACGCTGCGGGACACGTATGGCGCCCACAAAGTCGCGCTCTCCGACACCTAGCGGGGGTTAAAGACACTAGGAAACAGCGTGCTTTGCAGTGGCGGCGTAACTGCCTTAATCACAGGAACGCGTCATAAATATTACTCTGATTACATCTCTTTGACTGGTGGCCATGGCCACCACCGCCACCTTCAGCCGCCTCGTGCGCCGCTGCACCCGCTACGCCCTGGGCGGGCTGGCCGCTCTCGCAGCACCGCTCGCACGCTGCGAAGAGCGAAAGGAAGAGCCCTTCTCGAAAATCCTCGACGACGCCGCCGCCGGAAAAGTGCAAGCGGTCCGCGTCGGCGCGGACCGCTGCGAGATCACGCTGAAGAGCGGCCGCAGCTACGACGCCAAGCACGTCCCGTGGCTGGGCACGGACTGGCTCGCGACGCGTCTGCGGGAACACGGCGTCCGGTTCGGCGCGCTGACGGTGCCGGAGCTGACGCGCGACGAGAAGCGCCGCGCGGTCGCCAAGGGCTTGTTCGCGGTGCTCGCGCCGGTCGCCTATTTGTATTTTGCCTACCGGATCCTCATGAAGGCCTCGCGGGGCCCGCACCAGGACGAATCTGTCGCGAACCAGTACGAGCGGAAGAAGCAGCGGAAGCGGGGCTTCGCGGGCGTCGCGGGCGTCGACAAGGCCCTGCGCGAGCTGCGGGAGGTCGTGGCCTGTCTGCGGGACCCGGCGGCCTTCGCGCGCATCGGCGCGCGGTGCCCGCGCGGCATTTTATTAACGGGGCCGTCGGGCACGGGCAAGACGCTGCTCGCGCGCTGCGTCGCCGAGGAGGCCGACTGCGAGTTCCTGTCGTGCTCGGGCTCGGCCTTCGTCGAGTTGTTTGTAGGGCGGGGCTCGGCGCGCGTCCGCAACCTGTTCGCGAAGGCGCGGTCGCTCGCGCCGTGCGTCGTGTTCATCGACGAGATCGACGCCATCGCCAAGGCGCGCGGCATGCTCTCGCACAACGACGAGCGCGAGCAGACACTGAACCAGATCCTCTGCGAGCTCGACGGCTTCGAGGCGAAGGACGACGACGCCGCGGCCGCGCCGCTCGTCGTGCTCCTCGCGGCGACGAACCGGCCCGAGATCTTGGATGATGCGCTCGTGCGGCCGGGTCGCCTCGACCGCTGCGTCGTCGTGCCGCTGCCCGACGAAGCCGGGCGGCGGGAGATATTGAAAGTGCACGCCGCGCGCGTGCGCCTCGCGCCCGGCGTTTCTCTGGACCGCGTCGCGGCGCGCGCGGACGGCTTCTCGGGCGCGGACCTCGCGAATGTGGTGAATGAGGGCGCGCTGCTGGCCGTGCGCGGCAGCGCCGACGCCGTCACCACAGAACACCTCCTCGACGCCGTCGCCAAGGCGCAGGAGGCGAAGCGGGCGACGCGTCGGCGCGGGTTCGAACTCGTTCCTGAAGCCGATTAGATTGTAACACAGGATTCTTATACGGGAAACTACTTGGTCCGGGCTTTTTTCTTCGGCGGCGCCGATTCGCGCGCGAACACCATGACGTCGTCGCTCGAGTGCTCGCCGTCGTACTCGTAGCCCTCCAGATCAAAGCCCTTGAGCGCGTCCAGGCTGTCGCAGTCGTGCGTGAACACATACCTCGCCACGAGACCTCTCCCATGCTTCAAATGCACGGTCGGCGCCTTCTTGCCTCCTTGCCAGAAGTCGACCTTGACGACGCGCACGCCGGCCTTCTTCACCGCCGCGAAGTCTATCGCCGACGCGTACTCGTCCGAGGCGACGTTTACCAGGACGCGGTCACCACTACCATACCCCTCGAGAAGCGTCTCCGTCGACAGGTCGCGCCAGTACAGCGCCAGCTTGTTGTAGGGCGGCGCGAGCTTCTTGCACGCCATTTCGAGGCGATAGGGCTTGATCTGGTCCAATGGGCGCACCGGGCCCCACATGCCGCTCAGGATGAGGAGCCGCTTCTGGCCGACGCGGAGCTGGTCCTCAGTCAGCGTGCGGGCGTCGAGTTTCGCGTACGCGAACCCGCTGTACGCGACGACGGCCTGCCGCGGTTCCGCGCTCGCCCAGCCCTGGAAGCGGTCGTAGTTCTCCGAGGCGATGGCGTCCGAGACACCTAAGCAGTCCTTGAGCTGGGCTTTCGATTGCTTGGCCATGACGCTCGCCAGCTCGTCGACGCGCTGCAAGCCGACCGCTTCACTGGTGCCGGCCTTGTCCGCGACCGCGCAAGGATCAAAGCACATTGTCTTGGCAGGGGAGAGGATCAATTGGAGGCGGGGCTTAGACATGGCCGCAGCTGTTGCGACCGTCGAGAGGACGCGGCGGAGAGCCAGCGTGGCTGGCTTGCAGGCAGGATTGATGCCGAATGCAGCAATGCCTGGCAAGGAGCACCGCGAAAGCTAGCGGCCTGTAAGACACTAGCAAGCATACTTCAGATATATATACGGGGAAGATGGGCAGAGAAGCTAATCCCTAGCAGGCGACATGTCATGCGCCGCGAAGAGCGCCTCGGCGTGCCTGGCGGCTTCGTCGAAGGTACGACGCGTCGCGTTGTCGTGATCGTAGAGCCTCTCGGCCGTAGATCGCGAGTACTTCGCGTAGTAGTCGTCGATCGTCGGCGTCGTCCCGCGGCGCCGCGGCGTTCGCGCGGCGGACCGCGGCGCGCGCGTTTTGTGCACCGGTCCCACGTCGACGAAGGACGAGCCGGACGCGGACCGCCGCCGCGGCGACCGCGGGACGGCGGAGCGGCCGCGCAGCGACGAGATCGGGTCCTCATCACCGAAGAGCGACGCCGACGAGGACCGGCGCCGCCTCGGCGGTGGTGCCGGGACCGGCGCCAGGCTGTCGCTGTCTTCGACGTCCTCGAGGAGCACCGTCCGTCGCACCGACGCGCTCGAGTCCGAGAGGCGCGCCCGCAGTTCGGAGTTTTCTCGCAACGCGTTGACGAGGCGTTTCTGATTGTCCCGGGCCGCGGTCTGCTCCTGTTCGACGCGTAGCATGAGCGCCGCCTCGAGCCGCTCGAGGTCGGCGACGCGGCGCTCCAGCGCGCTTTCGTCGCGCGGCGACGGCGGGGCGGCCCGCGCCTCGGCCAGGCTCCGCTCGAGTTCTGCGGTCCTCGCGCGCTCGGCCTCGAGGGCGTTCTCGAGCGACGAGTCCTTCGTCCCGCGCAGCGCCAAGACTTCGCCCTCGAGGTCCCGCCGGCGGACGGCCTCGGTCTCGAGTTTTTGCGCCAGGGACGCGCTCGCGCGCGAGTCGTCCTTGGCCGCCGCGAGGTCCAGCTCCAACCTGTGTGGAAATAAAATTTCGGGCTGAAGTAGGTCTCCGCAATAATTCTCCACACAGGATCCAACGACCGCGCCTCGTTCCGCGCCTTGCGCAGGGCCTCCGCCAGGTCCGACCGCTCGCGCACCGCGACGTCGGCGGCCTGCTCCGCGTCCCGCAGTTTCGTTTCCAGCGCGACGCGCTCGCGCACCCAGTCCTCGCGCGCGCCCGCGTCGGCCGTCGCCCAAGATACGCCTCGATAGCCTCAAAAGAATGACCAAAATTCAGAATACATCCTAGTCGTTCGCCGCGACCAAATATTTCACAGTAGCGGCCGAGGAACATACCCTCGCGCCTCCCGGAAGGCACCGCCCGCGACATTCGCGGACGAGACTTACGGCTCGCCAAATTACACCAGCGATTGACGCCGCCATCTACCGTCCAGATAGAACATTATATCAACTCCAGCCCAGTTTTCATCCACAATCGACGGAACCGGAGCCGACGGCCCGCGCTCGGAGGGCGGGAGAAGAATTCTACTAGACAACTCCCGAGTTTATGTTCGTTTCCTTCCGTTTGTTAGTGGTAGAGTCCATCTAACCCGCATCAGCGCCCACTGAGCTATTTTAGATATTCCGTTAGAGCCGCGCGAAACGACGATTTCGCGACCCGCATTTGCATAAAAGATAGACATCAAACCTGAACCCGCGAGTATCAGCGACGCCACTATCCAGATGGACCAAAATCCCGTTGTTCTATTCACAATCGATCGACTTGCCCGTTCTCCGCGGACGACGGTGCGTACGCGGGGCACCGGAAAGGTCCCAGACCGGCGGTTTATAAAATAAATTTGCGTTTCAGGCGCTTTAGTTCTAGGACGGGCCAGATAACCGGCTTGATTGTGTACTACATTGCTCCGAGACCCCAAGATGCTCGGCGCGGATCGTCGGTCTCGCGGCCCCACGATCGCGGCTTAAATGGGCACAAGACATAGACCTGCGGCCATCAGCCCGTGTACCATCACCATGGACCATGACGCGATCATTTGTTTCGTGACCGACCGACCTGCGCGAGCTCCAGATGCAGATGTTCACGTCCCGAGCGTGGTCGGCCCGAAGTACCCTTCTCGGCGTGTAGATGTCATATACTTTTAGTTGACTATCGTTGGGGTAGTATGGGACCCAGCGAGACCGCTACGGCGACTCCTGGGGGGCCTCGGGTAATTGACGTTTTTTACGCGGACGGGGCGCCATCGGGCCCAAATAACTTACTTTTTCCAGATATGTATCGGCTCTCAGACGCCCTCTGGGATAGGTCTAAGATCGGGTGGTCCCCTACGCCGCATGCGCCGGTGCTTGGGGCTCTCGAGAGAGCTCTGGATCGAAATCTTTGGCAAATCATGGTCCAGTGCGTTGGAGCGCCAAGGACCTTGGGAGATGTATCTTACACTGGAAGCGGCGGAATAGGCGGCGTAGGAGATTGCACGCGACCACTACTGACCCAAAAGTGACCCCAGGGAGACCTCAGGACCACGAATCGACAGGATTCACCGACGCGGCCGCCATGGTGGCGTCGTCAGTATCGCGACATCAAGAAATTACTTTTTTTGGCCCCTGGTATGTGTCCCATTGATCTCTTTGGACCATTAGCGAACCGAAGGATAGTCAAATAGATACATGCAGATTTCCAGCCAAGTGCTAGTGTGTCTCGCCACGCTAAGGTGGGTCCACGTCGATCCGCACAGCGGCTGGTTCAGGCTGTGTGGCGCTGCAAGAGGCCACACAAAATGGCGGCAGCAATCGAGCGCCTTCAAAAAACTGCGAGGGACAACCCCTTGGCCGCCGTCGCCGCCGCCGCGACAGCGGCCGTCGCCGCGCCGGCGGTCGCGCGCGGCCTCAAGCTCACCACCGCCTTCCTCGCGTCGCTGCGAACGAGCAAGCGCCACGGCCGCATTGATGGATACAACGACCTCCATAACAAGGACGAGGCCGACGACCGCAACGACCAGTACGCCGACTTAGTGGACTCGTACTACGATCTAGCGACGGAGTTTTATGAATGGGGCTGGGGCGCCTGCTTCCATTTTGCAGACAGGAGGGGGAGGGAGACGTTCGCCCAGTCGTTACTACGACACGAGTACTACCTCGCCTCAAGACTAGCATTAAAAGCAGGCGACTGCGTGCTGGACTGCGGGTGTGGCATTGGGGGACCGGCGAGGAACATCGCGCGGTTCACGCGCGCGCAAGTCACGGGCATCACGATCAACCAGTTCCAGGTGGATAGAGGTAATGCGCTGTGCAAGCAGGAGGGCGTGTCCCATTTGGCGAAGCTCGTCCAGGGCGATTTCATGAACCTGCCCTTCAAGGACAACAGCTTTGATGGCGTGTATGCGATCGAAGCGACGTGCCACGCCCCAGATAGGGCTAAATGTTACGGAGAGATCTTGAGGGTGCTGAAGCCGGGCGCGACCTTCGCGTGCTACGAGTGGTGCCTGACGGACGCCTACGACGGTTCGGAACGCCACAAGAAGCTCAAGAAGGACATCGAGGTGGGGGATGGATTACCGGATCTCGTACACACTTCTGTGTGCACGAAGGCCCTAGCTGACGCGGGTTTCGACATTGTGGAAGCGAGAGACTGCGCTCTGGATGGACTGCTCGATGGCGGCGACCCCTGGCACACGCCGCTCACGCCGTCGTGGAATCCCTTGAGCTGGCCCCGGTTCCAGTTCAATCCCGTCATGTTCTTCCTCATGCCGCGCATCCTCACGTTCCTCGAGCTCATTAGATTGGTGCCGGCCGGAACCTCAAAGACGCAGGTCATGCTCCAGGCCGGCGGCGTGGGCTGCGCCGACGGCGGCGTGACCGGCGCGTTTACGCCGATGTGGCTCATGGTCGCGCGGAAGCCGCTGAAGTAGCTTTTCTAGTGTTGGTGGGGGCGACTAATGATCTATCACGAGTAGTTTTCGGAGACGAGTAGCACAAGACAACTTACATCCCTAGATTCTCCGGCGCCGGCGGCGACTCGATAACCGGCGCTACATTCTCGACCTTCTTCTCCACCCTCAACTTCATGTACCGGCGCGGCGTCGCGAAGGGCGCCTCGCGGAAGTAGTTATGTGAAGACGCCTGCGCCGCGCCCAACCGCGACGCCGGATCGTACGCGAATAATCTTTGGAGCAGATCCAAACCGGATGCCGTCAGCGGGGTAGTGGCCGTGCTTCCAAAAGTAGCCGTGGGAAACTTCTCCCTTAACCGATTCTTCGGTCGGCGCTTGCCGAAATTGAGCAGCGTGTCCGCGAGGGGCAGCTCCGTGAGATAGCCGTCCGCGGGCGCTCCCAACACCTTGAAGATCGCGTGGAGCTGCTCGACCTCCGACCGCCCCGCAAAGACGGGCTGCTTCAGTAACAACTCGGCCAGCACGCATCCCACCGACCAATTGTCGACAGCAGTACTATAAGAGGTAGCCCCCAGCAGAAGTTCGGGGCACCGGTACCACAGCGTGACCACATTGGTCGTCATGGGCTCCACGGGGTCGCCGAAGCGCCGCGCGAGCCCAAAATCACATAACGCCAACCGCCCGTCGTCGTTATACAAGACGTTGCTGGTCTTGATGTCCCGATGGATGTACCAGCGTGAATGCATGTGCGCCACGGCCGCGAAGAGTTGGGACGCGAGGCACTTCATGTCCGCCTGAGCCAAGGGTCCCTCGTGGTCCCTCAGACAAGATTTGAGGTCCCGGTCAAAACACGTCATGACCATGAAGACCTGATCACTTGCGTCGCCGACGACCATCTCCTTCACTCTGACAATGTTCTCGTGGGCTAATGTTAACAGTACATTGGCTTCCCTCAGGGCCGTGACTGGAAACCCGTTAACGCAGGCCTCCCTTGTCAATTTGACGCGTTTCAGGGCCACGATCTCCCTGGTCTCAATATCTCGCGCTCGATAGACGACGCCGTAGGAGCCCTCCTCAATCCGATCAAGCCGCTCGAAGCAGTCGACGCGTCTACAGCCGTGGATCAGCGGGTGCCGTCTCTGTTTAACCGGCCGCCGCTGGAGTTGTTGCGGCGGTTGCCGCGGTGCCGCGGCGCGCGGCGGCGCAGGCGGCGCGGCCGGCGCTTCGGCTTCTTCGCCGTCGCTCCGGTCGGACTCGTCGCTGTCGCTGGCCCAGCGGTCGCGCTTTTTGGCCATGCTTTTTTGTTGTTGAGCTGCCTCTATGAGCTCGTTGTATGGTGCGCGTACAGACAGCGAACGCTTTACGTGCTGCGCGTAACCGCAGCGAGGCGGCGAGGGGTGTGCTTGCGGAACAACTAAGGCTTAGCGATGCCGGTCAACGGGCAGATGCTACGCGCCGTCCTATGAGCGCTCGCAACGGAGCCTTTACAGCCGTACGGTCCTCCCCAGCGTCCACACGCGCTCGCGTCCGCATTGGCAGCTAGCGTCCAGTAACGCACTAGCAAAGAATAGCTCTCGAGTATTTACACGCGCCGCCTCAACGACCGAAAAAACACCTCACCCGTAGAAGGCGAGGCGGCGGTCGGCGCTCCCGTCGTCCGCGCCCTTCACGAGCGCCGCGGCGTCGAAGCCGTCGCCGGCCGCGACGGGCTCGCCGTTGATCGACGTGAGCACATCCCCAACAGCGACCTGGCCGCTCAGCGGCGACCACGACCGTAAAGCGGTCACGCGCGGGCCGTGGCTCTCGAAGATGAGTCCCAAAGCCCCGGGCGGCGCCGCGACCTCGAAGGCTGCCGGCTTTTTAAACGTGAGGACGCGGTCGCCCGTGTTCTCCGCCGCTCTCAGTTCGCCGACGACCTCGCTACCGGTACTCCCACCACATCTAAACGGCGCGCGGCCCGGTCCGCTGATCGACACGAGCTTGTCTCCGACAGCGACCGAGCCGGCCAGCGGGCTCGTCGGCCGCACGGCGATGATGACATTCGACGTGTCGTCGGACCCGAAGGAGATGCCTAGGGTGCCGGCGGGCGCTTGAATGGTCGTCTCGGGCCCCCTCGTTTCGTCGCTGTTGACGTCGTCGCCGAAGCAGCCGTCGATGCCCACGCAGGCGAGCGCCATGGTGGTGCGAGGGCAGCCCTTCCGACCCACGGGCGTGCGCGGATGGCAGCCCTGCACTGTTTGTGAAATGCTTGCAAGTTTAGCCCAGGCGGCACCCGCACGCAACTGGCGCTCGCTCCGGACCCGTCCGGGCGCGCGCTGGGATGGGTCGAGCCGGCACGCATACCTCCGCGCCAAAAAGTGAAAAACCCGTGCACTTGCAAAATCAGCCTGCCAAGCCATTCACGGCCGCATCGGTGCCAGATCGGTGCCAGTCGATCCATTTTGGGCCGCATCGGTCAAATGTCATCGATCGCTGCATTGGAGAAGCGTGTCAAAGCGCTCGAGGACGACGAGGACTTTGCCAAGCCATCCTACGTGCCGCCGCCGCCTCCAGTGGCGAGCAGCGCGGGCGCGAGCAGCTCGGAGGTCGACGAGCTGCGCAAAGAGAACGCGAAGCTGCAGGATCTGCTCGCGAAGGAGCGCTACCGCATCAAGCACCTCATTCGCGCCATCGAAGCTAAATCGTGATGAGGGCACTCGTTGTGCTGTGCGCGGCGGGCGCAAGCGCGCTGCAGTACGAGGCCGCCGCGCTGCGCCGAGCCCTAGGCGCGGCGAAACCGTTGCGAAACGGCGCCGTCGTCTTCAGGCGCGAGTGGAGAGAAAAAGCCGGCGACGGCGCCGCATCCGATGCGGTCTATGATGCCTTAACGCGTGGCCGCGGCCCGGAGGTCGTCGCCGCGGCCGACGTCGATCGCTGGTCGAACGACCCAAAAGCGCTCGATGCCGCCGTGACATCGGCGCGTCTTTACGTGACCACGATCGCCCTTGTATTCAATATCTTACAGACGTCGGCGTACTACGTGCTCTTCGTCGCCTCGGCGGCAAGGGAGCTGCTCGGCAAGGAGCTGCTCTGGAACCGGGGCGCGGTCGATATGACTGATGCGGGTATCGGCATCGCCGTCGCCGCGGCGGCCGCGGTCGCGACTACGGCGTCGCTGCGGGGAGACTCGTAATTCACACAACACTTAGTTCCCAGCACCCTTGCTCGCGCCGCCCGTGGTAATATTGCAATACTCGACGAGCGGCGCCGCGTGGCCGACGCGACACCGATGCCCGAAGTGACACCGCGTCGACTTGATGTGCGCGTGTTCACAGCGCTCACCGAACGTGCAGATGCCCTGCAGGAAATAGCAGCACGAAGGCCGTACGGACAACACGGCAGTCATGACCGCGCCTTTCCTATCCGTGGGCTCCTCCGTGAAGATGCGCTTGCCCTCGCGTCCGTGGTGTTCCAAGGCCTTGTCGGCCGCGCTGCCCGTCTTCCGCGCGAGGATTTCGAGCGCGTCGGTGACCGAGAGCCCCGGGTGCGCGCGCATCACCGAGTCGAGCGTCGGACCGGCGTCGGCCACGGTGGCCGTCGACTCGGCCGTGACCACCGGCGACACGGACCGGCTCTGCGGCTTGCGCCGCGGCGGCGGGGGCGAGCGCTGTCGGTATCGTGGTGGTGGAGAGCGCTGTCGGCGTGGTGAGCGTGAGCGCCGTCGTTCGTAGCGCCGCGGCGGTGAGCGCGGCCGCGGTGGCGATCGCTGCCAGCGTGGTGATCGTGAACGGCGCCGCTCATCGCGCCGCGGCGGCGAGCGGTGCCGTGATCGCGAGCGGCGTCGCGGCGGCGGTCGCCATCGATCAGTGCGTTCTCGTGGCGACCAACTCCTCGACCTATGCCGGCGCTCTCGCGACCTGGACCGATCTCTGGGCCTGTACCGCGACGTGTGCGATCTGTCACTGAACCTGGACTCCGATTGCTTGCTGGACCGGGACTGCCAGTCCTTCCCAGCCGGCAGCCCCCTGCTGCTGGAATACATCTGTGAGAGTAAAACGCAGCCCTACAGTCCAAGTCGCAGCGCTCGCCGCGCTGGACTGCAGAGCCTTGGACAGTGGGGCTCCAAACCCGCGCCGCGTAGCCCAAGGGTCAGCCACGGCCCAGAGGCGTCACATAGCAATCCAACCGCACATTATCGTGCGCCGGAGGACGCGTTCCGCTAACGTGCGGGGAGACGCCCCTACGTAACACCGAGCCAGAGAGCTCGATTTTTATACGCTGCTACCGTGGACGCCGCCGACTAGCACTTGTTTACTCAGTCTAGACAGCTGCCGAACGGAACCGGGCGACGTTTATTTCCGCCCTTCAAACAGTTCCACAAGGCCGCACAAGAAGCTGCACACAAGCGCACACCGCGTTGCGCTCTAACAAACTCACGCCACACGAGCGGCACCGGGCGAGGTTATTTACCGCCCCTCACAGCGTCTCGCTCTAACAACCTCACTGACCACCGGCACGACCGGGCGAGGTTACTTACCGCCCGCACGACAAGATGGGCAAGACCGTCATCACCTTCGGCACCTACGACCTCTTCCACTACGGCCACCTGCGCATTATACAACGGGCGAGGCAGCTCGGCGACCGACTAGTCGTGGGCGTCTCCAGCGACGCGCTGAACTACAGCAAGAAGGCCGAGTACCCGGCCGTGCCGCAAGACCACCGCATGGCGGTCGTCAAAGCGATCAATGGTGTGGATGAAGTATTTCTGGAAGAATCGCTCGAGAAGAAGCCCGAGTATTGCAGAAGGTACAACGCGGACGTCATGGTCATGGGCGATGATCATTTGGGGAGATTTGATGACATTTTGAGAGGTATCTGCGAGTGCCGCTACCTGCCTCGCACGCAGGACGTGTCGTCAACAGGCCTGAAGAAGTCCATTTCCAACGACATGCTATTGAAGGAGGCCTCGCCCCAAAAGGCGCGACCCATCGACCAGGCCTACTCCGCCGCGGGCAAGAATTTAGTGCATGCGACGCAGCACAACATTGTTTTTGATCTACTGATTAGGGCCCACGACGCGTACTACGACTTCGTCATGGTCGCGTGCACGCCGTTCTGTCGCGTCATGCCCCGCACTATTGGTGGTGTCACGGTGTTTACCGCAAACATCGTTACGTATGGGAGAGGACTACTGGTTATCCCCATAGCATTATGCATGAAGTACTCCTATTTAGGCTGGGCGTCGTTCTTGATCATGTGGCACGATTTCTTAGATCATCTTGATGGTGTGGTGGCCAAGCAGCACGCGCGGGACGGCCGCAATATACAAGATGTGAAGCGGGGCTACGACGGCGCGCTCGGCGCGTTCTTAGACGCGCAGATGGATAAAGTGGTGTTCTGCCTTTGCTTGTGGTCCTACCTGCTCCTCTGCGCGTACGACACGTCAGAACTAGGTTTAAGGGCCGTCGTCGTCGTCTGTTCGCTAGCTTTATTCGCTCTCGAATTCACGATCGGCTGCGTCCGCTTCGGCGACTACTACCGGGCCAAGTTCGCACCGCCGTCCGATAGCAAGAGCCCCGCCCTACGGGCCGTCTCCGAGGGCAAGCTCAAGCAGAAGTTCGAGTCCGTGGGGCTCGCGCTCTACGCCCTGACGCTGCCGGACCCGGCTCGACCGGAGGTGCGGACCTACGTCTACTCAGGAACAATTTGTCTGCTCTTCGCGGTCTACTTCTCCTGGCAGAGCCTCCAGCACAAGCTGCGCGCGCGGGGGGCGCGCGCGCAGTGACCCGATTTTTGTGCCCATGCCATATGCGGTCACACGGGTATAACTTGCTATTTTACACTCGTAGGACGCCCGACGGCTTCCCGAGCCACTTCGTCGCCACGGCGTACATGCGTGACAGCGGCCAGGCCCGGCGCCGCCGCCAGACGCGGGGCACAAGCCGCGTCAGCGCGTGCGGCGGCGCGCCGTCCGTCGGCCGCGCGGGCACCTCGACCTCTATCCCATGGTCGCGGAGGCGCAGGTAGACCTCAACGCGCGTCGCCGGCGCGCGCGGCCGCATGCTCGCGAGCTCGACGCGTCTCTGGTTAATACCGAGGCGCGCGAAGGCCGCGACGAGCCGGTCGCGCACGAGGCGTGCCCGCGCCGTCGCCAGCGCGAACGCTAAAACGGGCGGCTGGAGATCCGCGCCGGCGTGCGCCTCGACGCGGCACGTCGCCCGCGGGTGGCGCCGCAGTAAGGAGGCGACCTCGGCGCAGCGCGCATTTACTTCACGCGCGTCGTTGTCCACGACCAAGTGGGCCACCCGTCTTCGATTAGCACCTACGGGCCGCCACGCGCGCGTCGCCTCGGCGAGGGCCGCGTGCTCGAGCGACGCCGCGGCGCGCACCTCGGCCGTGCCCAGGTGCGCGAGGACGGCGGCGCGCTCGTCGGGCTGGCGCAGCGCCTCATCAATATCCCGGGACGCAACAGCGAAGCGGCCTATGTCTTCCAGTTTTACGAACGGCGCGACCACGCCGAGGAGATCGGGGTTCCACCGCATGGTGCAGTGTCGGTTCTCTGTTGGCTCTGTTGCGCGGCGAAGGGGAGCCTTCCCGTGAGCAGCGCGTCGTCGCGGCGTTGGCCCCAGGTCTTCAACACCCTTGCATGCTGGACAGCCGGCTGCGGTCCTCCAAGGCGGAGCAAAACCGGTGGCAAAGTGCATGCATGCAGCTAGTGTCTTACACCGCTAGCTCGCGACGAAGTTTCGCAGCGCACGGGTCGGGGATTCCTAGGACCGAGGTAATACACATGCAACCCCACTTATATGGTCGTCCCCGGCACCTCCGGCGCCCCGTCGTCGTCGTCGTCCTCCTCTTCTTCTGCAATAGGCTTCATTTTCTTGGAAGCACCGGGCGAATCAGCACTTTTCCGCTTCTTTTGACCGCCGAAGATACCTTGTAAGACCGTATAATTGATCTTCTTCGAGAAGCGCTTCTTCTCGACGACGTCGAGGACGGCTTCAGCAGCCGTCTGATTGCCTAAACGAGCCATCTTCTTCGACGACTTCTTTCTGGGTTTTGGTTTTTTACCGGGCGGCGGCTGGCCTTGCGCTTGAGCTTGTTCTCTCGCTTCCCGTAACTTGTTCTTCTCCTCTTGTCTGTGGATGTAGTCCTCGTTCATGCGCTCCCACATCTCGGCCTTCTTTCGCGCTTCCTCGGCACTCAGCACGAAGGCGTCCACATCCGCATCGGCGACATCACTGAAATCGCTCGGGTCCTCCTCCCCATTCTCAATTGTTTTTCGTTGAATCACGGGCCTCGCGGGCGCCTCGGCCTTTTGGATCTCGAAGGCCTCCCTGATCTCGTCGTACATCTCCGACTTCGCTGACTCAAATTGTTTTTGCCGTCGATGGGATGTTATCGATCGAGGTTGAGGGGGCTTCCGTCGAGCGGCGTGCACGCGCGCGTGCTGGACCAGCGCCGTTGCCGTTTGTGCCAAGGCTCCTGGAGCCGGTAGACATAATTGTTGATCTGTTCTAGGATCTTTGGGTAACAATGGTAAGCCCTTCCTCGCCCGTTCCTCGTTCTCCGTCCGCCTTTGACTAAGTTGGAAGGAAGGAGGGTCCTGTTCCTCGGTACTGTCCGCTTGCGCGTGGAACTCTCTCAATGTTAATTGTGCTGCTGGTGTTGCTTGGAAGTCGGCCAGTCTTTTGGACACGGTCATGCCGCAGACTCGCAAAGCTGAAACGACGTCCTGTTGCGTCCTATGAAAGCCGTGGGCTCTTGCAGACACAAGTAAAGCCGCGGCACACACACCGGCCGGTCGCCGGCCGGTCTCGATCCAGTCCCGCTTCATCCTTTGCACTACTTTCAGCGCCGTCGCGCCTACCGCAGAAGCCGCGTCGCCTAGTTCCAGCTTGGCGGCAAATCTATGAATATACAACGACGGGTCGACCAGGGGTAATTCCAAGTTGAGGACGCGTCGAAACTTCAGGAACGTCGCACCCAGACTATAAACGTTGACTTGTAAGACATCCGAGAAGTCGACGAGCATGTGTGCGGATTTCTCCCGACGACACATGACGTAGAGACACGCACACACAACGTGTAAAGTTTTTCTCCCTTGCGTGAAGTTCCTTTGAGCTGCCAACTTGAAAATGCGATCCGCGCCGTCGACGTAGTGCTGGCCCAACCTCAGACTATTCGCGACCTGCTCGATTTTTCGTTTGCCGGCCGCGAGCGTCGTTTCTCTAGAACTACGTAGAAAGCCGTACTTCGGTCTCCCAGAGGACCCGTAGTTCGCGCCGAGCGTGCCGAAGGGCTTCGTGCACTGCGCTGAGACGAACTGGCCGACGACGCCGGAACCGCCCGCTCCTTCGGTAAATTCTACTGACGCTACAATTGTGGATTCTTCACAAACCGTACCGCAGCGGACACAAACGGCATCACCGGAACTCTCGTTCCAGTCGATGTCCGTCGAACGGCACTCGGGGTTCGAGCAGCGCATTTGCGACATCGTTTCGGCCGCGCCGTTCAGAAAAAAGGAGCCAACGGTGCGCTCTGGCGCGGCGCGTGATCAGTGCGCTGGGAGGGCTCGTTTCGGCCGGTCTCCGCTTTTTTTTTCGCCCGCGCGGAACGCTCTGGGCTCTACTGCAGCACAACGCTGTTTCTCGCTTGCGCTAGGCCTGCTGGACTCGCAGGAAAGCGGAGAGCTGGCGCGCTGGCCGAGAGTGCACTGGCGTCGACTGCGTAAACGCTACGTGCCCCGCGCTCGCTGTATACGTCGGTAACAGGGCGCTTTTGTTGCGGCTCAGCTGATTTCTAGTATGTTACAGGCCGCTAGCTTGGAGTTCCGCGCGGGAGCCCTGGAAGCCGCGCCCCGGGGCGGTACCCCCTCCTAGACGGACTCATCGCCGAACTGACCCATCGCCGATCCACCCCCTGTTCCTGCCCAGCCAAAAACAGGAGGAAGCGTCCGCAGACGTCTGCTCGGATACCGGAGAGCGATGCGACACAAACGCGACGCGCGCGAGAAGGACACACAGAACAACAAGATTACGAACCCCCGACGTCCACGCAACAGCACCACATCCCGAGCTCGTCCCTCACGTACGACGCCGCGCGGTCGCGCGCCTCTTTTGATCTACAAACGAGCTGCGCGGAGCCCTCGCCGCCGCAGCCGATGCCCTTGCCGCCCCAGCACAACTCAGCCAACTTCTCGTCCCCCAAAACGGCATGCAGCGTCGGCGCCGCGAATTGAGACGGGCACTCGGGAATCGCGCTCCGATCAAAATCTTTTTGCGCCGCCGTCATCAGCGCCCCCAATGTTTCGGCGTCGCCCGCGCGCACGGCCTTGACCGCCTCCGCGACGCGTCTCTGGTTCTCTTCACCTAACCAAGCATGGACGCACCGCCCACGGTCATCCTCACAATGAGGAAAGGACCGCTGCAGGCTCTTCAGCATCAACGGCGTGTCCTTGTCGCAGCCCAGGTCCACGACCAATAGACGCAGAGGCGTCTTCGGCAAGGCAATGGGCTCAGCTTCGAGGTGGTCGCCGTCGTGGGTCAGTAAAGTGGGCCTAGACCCAAAGGCGCAGGCCTGGTCCATGCGGCCACAACAACTCCCGGTGGCGACCTCGCCGAGGTAGGCGTACTCCATCTCGCCCCTTGTCGTGAGCTTCAACCCATAACACTCGGAAAAGGCCCTTGCCGTTAACACGCAGATCGCCGCCGACGAGGACAGGCCCTTCTTGAGGGGTAGGGTGGAGGTGTGCTGGTCAATCTCGACACCCCTCACCCTATGGTTCGTCAGCACGACCAGCGCGACGCCAGCCACGTACGAAAAAAAACTGTCGCCTTCCGCGGCCAGCCTCAGCTCCTCGCGGTCCATGGCGCAGCGCCAGGGCCCGATTTTCTCCCCCGCATTGTTCGTCGCCGTCACGACCAATTCGTCGCATATTTTAACACGCGCCGCGAGGCCCTGCGGCGTCCCGAGGACCAGAGTTTTACCAGGCACGATCTCTCTGTTAAATCTCCGGAAGCCGCCGGCCCAGTCCGAGTGCTCGCCAAACAAACAGAGGCGCCCGGGCACGAACAAATCAATCGTCGGGCTCGCGTCCGCTTGTATAGCATTTGCGGCCCGCTCGTACATCCTCGCCGCCGCCTCGTTCTCGCCGTTGCTGGCGAGGGCGTCGGCCTCCTTCGCGTACATTTCTGCCGCTTTGCCCCGTAGCTCGGCTTTGGCTGCGGCCTTTTGGCTCAGGACTGCGGCCATGGTTTTGATGCCCTCGCGGCGACTGCGTTAGCGCTGTACTGCGTGCACGCTTGAGGGTTAGAGTGCTGTGGCTCGTGACGCGTCCAGAAACGTGCAAAAGCGATCAATGCTATGCGCAAAGCTTTTTGCAGAGCTGGCTAGTGTCTTACAGGACGCTAGCTAAGTTATGGCGTCGTGGCGCAAGTCAAATACTGCCTCTGTTATTAATTCGATCACTGATTGCGAACTACGACACGCACGACCGACGTACGACCACTCTGATACAACTGACCATGGTACCACGTCGGGACGGGGGCGACGTCGCTCGTGGCGCCGAGGGGTGGTTGTGAGGTGACCTGGGGGACTCTTTTGGGGGGTTATTTCTCTGTTGAGTTTACTTTGTGCTGTGCGTTGTATGGCTCTAGTTTATGGCGTGCACGTTCGAGGGACGCGCCCGTCGCTGGGGACGAAGAGCGTCAGGTACTGCGTTGTCTAGGCGTCCCATTGGTCATGTGCAGCTCGCATACCGTACAATGGCGTACGGAGTCGTGCTGAGCGTAACCGATGAAACGCCCAGCCTCTCGCAAAGCCAGCAGAGACAAACTAGCACCATGGCGCTCAAATCGCGCGCGTTGGGCGTGCTTATTGCGGTGCTAGCATCGCTGAGTCCGCAAGGAGCTGTGCATCATGGTGAAGACCCGAGGCGGCAACGATACGAAGCCGCAGAGCACGCCGCAGCTGTGCAGCGCCGCGCACAACGCCGAAGCGCAGGAGTCGCCCTACGTCTCGACGACGCCGCTAGAAGCGAAGACCTGCGAGGCCGCGCGACACCCGTCGACGCTGAGCGTCGAGGCGGCGCTCGCAAGAATTCCAAAGCAGCCGAACTCGAGCTGCGCGTGCGAGGAGGCGTACAACTGGCTGGTGCTCGTCGCGTACGCGGAGTACCGCCGGGCGCTGGAGAACGGCGACGACACGACCGAGCAGTGGGCCTGGCTCGAATACTGCATCTCGGTGTTCCTCTTCCACTACTCGCGCCGGTTCTTCGGCGCCAAGCTCACGCTTTCGTACCTGGCGGCCATGGAGGCGACGACGAGCATGAGCTGGCAGAAAAATGGCATCGCGTCGCGCGACCACTGCGACATGCTGGCGCTCCAGGAGGAGGCGGGCTGCTCGTTCCACGCCGACGACTGGGTCACCGACCGCAACATCCCGCGCTACGACGCCGAGGTCCTGTTGTACTCGCCGTGGGCGCTCCAGTTCGAGTCCTGCCTAGCGCTGGGCTACAACATCCACAACGGCACGAGCGCCGTTGTTGTAGCCCGGCGAAGGGCTCGACGTACGATGCGCGGGATTCTGCAGACGGCGGGCCTCCAAGCCGGGAACCAGCAGCATCACGCCCAGGTCGTGCAGCAGCTGGTGCAGCAGAACGTGGGCGTGCTGCGCCACGGAAGCGGGAACGTGCGAGCCTGGGCCGGGAATGCGTTGCGGTTGCAGGGCGGCTCCTGGAGCCCGAACGCCGCCAACGACCCGCGCGCGCTCCCGTGGTTCGAGCGCGACGCGGCGGTCGCCGCCGTCGCCGCGGACGACGACGAGGCCGCGCCGCTCATGATCGAGCCGCCGACGGAAGCGTTGGACGTCGTCGAGGGCGACGGCGCCATGGATCTCGAGGAGCTCGCGGCGCCGAGCGAGCCCGGGCACGTCGGCGTCGTCGCCGATCCCTTGGTCACGGGCGTGGCGGCGACGGCGCCCCGCGCCGCCTTAGCTTTATTAGATACGTCGGCGCACGTTTTTGACGGCCCCTACGCGCCGAGCGCCGGGCTTCACGCGCTGTCGCCTCCTCAACTAGATGGTCGCGTGGTGCGCTCCTTCGAGACGGGCGAGCCGCTGATGGACGCGCTCTTGGGTCTAGGACGCGGGGCGGGTGCGTCGTTATCTGCGGTTTCTCGCGGCCGCGGTGCGTCACTGAGCCGGCTCATGTCGGCTTGCGGCGACGGTTCGTGTGATACCGCGACGCTGTGTTTCCTGACGTGTAGCCCGAGCACCGCGCTCGGAGGTCTACGTGCCTCGTCCTCCGAGGTACAGCAGCCGCGGGCCTGGGGAGCGTTCGGCGGGGCGCGGTCCGGTGCGGCGTTGGGCCTCGTCGGTGGTTGCTCTGGTCCTGGTTCTACCGACACGGAGCCCGGCGCCGCGGTCTTAGCTCCCAGCATGCCCACGGTGTCGGACAACTGTAGAGCCGTTGCGCGCGCGTGGCGGGAGCTCGCCCAGCGCGATCACAAAAACGAGTGCGACCGGCTGGTCTTCCAGATGGAGCCATTCGACGAGGAGGAAGGCGCGCCGGCCTTCGTGGAGAGGGTCTTTGCCGGTGCATCCTCGAGAGGCAAAAGTTTGTACAGGACTCTCTCCTACGCCCTCGATGACGTAGGGTCCAAATTAATCGATCGGAAGACGGCCGTCTTCGCCGCGCTGGATGGTGTTACTGCCGCCGACTTCCTCAAGACTAGCCGATTGCTCGAGTCGTCGGACACTTCTGGCGGCAGCGACGCGTTAGTGAGTGGGCTCTCAGCGGGAGCTGGCGACGCCATCGACGCGACGACGGGCTTTACGGAGCAGGACCGCCTCGATTTGCAGAGGATTATTAAGGGTGGGGGAACCTTATCAAAGCCGAGGCTCGAGGCCGCCTTCAAACGGCACGGGCTGCCTCCGTGGGACAAATTCACGGCGTGTGTGGAATCTAATAAATTGAGAGCGCACCTAGAAAAGCTACTGGCGGACGCCGCCGATAGTGATAGTGAGGACGACGATAGTGAAGACGAGGACGACTGCACGAGGGGCTCTGGTGCGGACGCTTCTGTGGAAGAGTTCGTCCGTGTTGTGGGGAAGTACGTGGATTTCAAAGGGGCCGGCGACATTGTTATTGGCGAAGACTTCTTATCTGTGGCGCTATCCTTATGCGTCCCGACGGAGGTGCGGGATTTGGAGGAGGAGGTCACGGAGACGCCGACGCAGCGCTACAAGGCCTCGGATTTGAAGAGCGCGTCGGAGGTGCTGGCCAAGAACTTTGATGATATTGTAGCGTTATTGAACGTCGCGAGCCTCCAAGCGCTCGCGTGCGTATCGCACGCCGGTGCTGCTGTCGTACCGTTCCGCGGCGCGGCCTCGTTCTGGATTCGACGCGGCTCGACCACGGACGATGAGGTGACTCCGAGCACCTTCCGGTCGTGTTTACTCCCGGAGTTCCTGCCCTTCGGCGCGGCCGACGCCCCCCAAAAAGAGCGGGTCGAGAAGGCCCACGAGCTCGTTGTTAAGATGTTGCTCCGAGCGGAAGAGATCACGGTCAAGCAGGATATAGGGGTGGGTGAGACGCCGTGGGAGATATTACGCGACGCTGCAGCCAACTCGCGTTTCTCGTTTGTCGAGTTCCACCAGCTCCGCAAGGCCGTGGGCGAGCGGGACGAGTGGTTCCAGGACTACAAGGCGTCGCACGCCGGTTGTACCGTGAACACAAATATCAAGATCGCGCTCACGAAGAAGCTTTTGGATCAGTACCTCAGACGGCTCCTGCGGGACCCGGCGCGGAAGCAGGAACTGGAGACGGTTGCGTCGAAGCCGTCGGCGCATCTTGCGGTCACGCTCGAGACGTCGCTGTCGACTTTTCTAGTTTTGTCCAAAAAGCGCCGCGAGGCTTTTCTCGACCAGAGCGTGAAGCTCAAGAACTACGGCTACGCGCGCGTGCACTCGACGCCGGTGGCGATCAAAATTATTAGAGATGCGACCGAGAAGATCGAGGCGACGCTCGAGGAGCTTTCGACGGACTTCCCGGCCCGGCGCGACGCCGCCGTCGAGTACTTGCTCTCGCTCCCGGACTTCCAGCCTACGACCGATCCCGAGCGCGAGCAGGTCGCGGCGTGGCGCTCGTGGATGTCTGATCCGCTGCACGTCGCCTAGGCCGGGCGGCGGCGCGGCGAGGACGCTAGGGACTCGGGCGCGTCCAACTCCCCAAGGGGGTGATAAGCATGCTGTGTGAATTTTTCAGTTCCGGTTCAAGTTTTACACTCAGGCTGGCAGCTTTAAAACTACTATTAGCTATAGGGCAATCAAAAAAGTTCGCTAGTGTCTTACAGGCCGCTAGCTCGCCGCATTTGCCGCACGCGAGTTGAGCGTCGTGGCGCAACCTCATTGCTCTAGCTATTGATTTCGATCACTGATCGCGGACTACGACACGCACGACCGACGCACGACCACTCTGACAATTGATTGATCCCGAGGGCGTCGACGAGTACCGGCACGGCCTCTGGCAGCGGGTGAATGCGGCGTCGGTCGCGGCGTTCTCGGCCGTCGGCCACGGAATTATCGACGACGTGGAGATGCTTGGTAGGAGGCAGGATGCGCATCCCGGCTCGCACAACGGCGAGGGCGACACGGTCCACTACTGTCTGCCTGGGCCTATTGACTACGCGCTCGACGAGGTCATACGCGTACTGCGCCGATCCTTCGATCAGGCGCCGCGATTTTACGGGGTGTAACAACAACAACACTTCGTCCATCTATATAGATCAATCAAAAAGTTAGGAAAAGGGGGGAAAAAGGGGATCGGGGAGACGATACGACAATCTCTAGTTCACCTCGACCTCCGACGCCGGCGACACGGGCTCCGTGAGCGGCTCCGCGAGCTCGGCGAGGGCGTCGTCGTCGTCCACGCGGCGCGCCGGCGGCGTCGCGAGTCTCTTGCGCAGGAGCATCACCAAGTTGTGGAACGGCAGCTCCACGAACAGATACAGAACCACGGACACGAATCCTGTCGCGCTCGCCACGCCCAGGAACGCGAAACACCACCAGGGCACCGAGAAGTAGATGCGGCCGCCGCGCCGGGCCCAATAAAAGATCTCGATCAGGGGCATGTGGATGAGGTACATGGCGTAGGTAAGCTTCGCCAAAGGTTCCCACAGCGGCAGCTCCAAAAGCCGCCCGATCATCCCGCGGTGGCCGCGGAACGACGGCCAGCATAGCAGCGACAACGCCACGGCCCAGGCCGGCTTCGTCAGCGCCACGTACGAATGATTCAGGCGCTTGAGGCCGTGCTTCATGGGCGATTGCCAGAAGGGGTAAGCCCCGAAGTAGCACAGCCCCAGGATCAGCAGCGCCACGAGCCTCATCGCTTCACATATTATCCGAGACGGCTTGGACGACACGTCGTTCAAGAGAAGAGCCGTTGCCGAACCAACAAGGTAGGGTGGGATGCGCGTCCAGGGCCGCACGTAATAGTATGTTTGCTGGTCGGGGGGGGCGCCAACTCCGGCAGAGAAGCCGAAGTGGCCGGCGGCCCAGAGCGAGTAGATGATCGAGGCCCAGAACCCGACGAATAAGGATGCATACCCCGCCCTCCGGTTAAACGTATACGCCACGATAAACAGAGGCAGGATGATAAAAAACTGCATATCGTTGCCTAGGTACCAGGCGTGGCCGAAGCATTGCTCGGTAAACGTGTCCTTGAACGGTACCAAGTTGTTGACGTAGAGCATGTTCGTCCACCAGTACCGCTTGCACCTCCGGTAGCCCCCCCTTTGGTTGAGCCACAGCGGGCCGAGGCCCACGATTCGCAAAGCTTTCCACCAGAAGAGCAATACAAAAAAGTATAAAGGCGTCAGGCGCAGGTAGCGAAACAAATATGTCTGGGGAATCCACTTCCATCCCCTACCCTGCGCGTATTTGACGAGCGCCCTCGTGGCAAGCAAACCGCTCAGCCAGAAGAACGAGTCGACGGCGAACTCGTCGCTTGGTAATGACTGGCCCCGCGCGGTGCTCACGAGCCCATCCGGGGGGTAGAGCGCGCTGAAGACATTCGTGTACATCCCATAAATACCGATTAATAGCGTGTGGCCGTGGATCACCATCAGCATCGACACCACCCGGACGCCGTCCAGGCAGCTCAGCGGATTATCTTCTCTTCTCGACAACCACTGATCGTAATTCCTCACGAGCGAGAAGCACTGGAGCCACGCCGGGCCCCGGTAGACTTCGGTCACGAGGGCGTAATCCTCCTTGTACACGATGCCCTTGACGTGCGCGACGATTCGCGGCTCGAACGCAGTCGCTACCAATGCAGCCACGACCAGTATCACAAAGAGGGCGACCATGAACCCGCCGCCGGCACCCATTCTAAAGCGGAAGCGACCGGACACGACCTTCGTCGCCCCCGTCAACCCCTGTCCCATCTTAAGGAGCTCGTTTAGATTCTCCGCGTCGCATTCACGTGGCACACATAAACCCCACTGTCCGAACGGGTACTGGACACCGACGTAGCGGAATCCTCCAATAGATTCGCAGGCGTCGGGGTCGCCAAAATCAGACATGTGCTGCCTAGCAGCAAAGGCGTAAGTGTCCCCGGACGTCCAACTAAACCCGGCGGCGGCTAAGACGTTCGGGCACGTGAACGAGGCGAGCGCGTTCTTGGCCGCGTTCTTCGACTGCGGGTTGGTCATGTCCGCGAGCGCGGCGGCGCAGGCGCTGGCGTCCGCCGCGGCTTGCGTTGTGAGAGCTGCTAGCAGGAGGTACCGCAACATTTTGGCCTGCCCTTTCGAAGCGATGCCGCGTCGACTCGCGGCAAACACAGTTGGACTCCAAGTAGGAGTTTGTCGTCCAGGGGAGTTTCGTGCGCCCCCAGCGATGGCGTGGTCCTCTTCGATGGCTACCTCTAATGTGGAGAGAGGTCGGAACACGCTGCGCCGGGTCAGGGAAGTACTGCAACGCTCACAACCCGGAGGTCCAAAGAAGCTGCCGCAAAAAAATAAAGACCAGCGACATCCATACTAGCACACTCGGCGCGATTTCGGGGAGCGTGGCAGGGCAGCCTCCATCGCGGGACGCGCGCATCCGTGCGGCAAACTCCCACGCCATCAAGCGGACACACGCTGTAAGCCTTGTCCGACGACAGCTGTGAGCAGCCCAACAAATCGAACACCCCAACACCCACCCAACCATGGGCAAGTACACGGCCAGCGACGGCAAGGAATTTGAGACCAAACGAGAATGGCGCAAGTACGAGTTCGAGCTCTCCTTCACCTTCAAGAACAAGAAGAATGAGCAGCTGAGTAAAGAGGCCGGCAAGATCGAGGGGCAGCCCTTCGACATCGCGGAGTGCGAGGGCTGCGAGATCGTGATCACGGATCATTGTGATCAGGTGCAGATCGACCAGCTGAAGACGTGCCGCGTGTTTCTGGGAGCGTCGTCGGAGAGCGTGTTTGTTCGTGATTGCTCCGATTGCACGTTTTATCTCGCGTGCAAGCAATTAAGGACCAGGGACTGCCACAACTGTACCTTCTATTTGTACGCGAAGACGGAGCCCATCATCGAGTTGAGTGATGGGATTTGTTTTGCGCCGTTCCTGGGAGGCTACCCGGAGCAAGCGCAACATATGAAAAGTGCCAACCTCGACCCGTCCTACAACCTGTGGTGGGGCGTGTTTGATTTCAACGACGAGTTCAAGACCTTAAATCATTGGAAATATCTGGACGAGAGCGAGCGGAAGCCGTGGTTTCCCCGGGGCGGTACGGATCAGATCTGCGCGTGTCCGCCGCCCGGCGACGCCGCGGCCTTGCCTTCACAAACCGGCGGCAACTTCGGCAGTTCCGGAGGCATGATGAGCTTCGGGTTCAACACGTCGCTCGAACAGGCCGAGCAGGCCCACCTCGAGATGGAGGCCACGACGGCGCCTCCACCATTACCGCCCGGCGCGCCGGCGACGGCCGTCGCGCCGCCCGTGGCCGTGCCCGCGCCGGCGCCCGCGGCCGCCGCGCCGAAAAAACAGCAATCCTTCAAGGCCCTCGACCGGGTCGACGCGAGGTTCCAGGGCGATGTGACGTGGTATCCCGGCACCATCGCGACGGCGCTGCCGGGAGACAAATACGACATCGCCTATGTCCGAGCCTGTGTAGAAAATCAACCTCCACGCCATCATCGCGTCGACGGCGTGGGGGGTCTGAAATTTGATTTCCACACAGGACGACGGCGACCGCGAGTACGCCGTCCCTGCGGCGCTGATCCGCAAGGCGACCGTCGCGCCCGTCGACATCACCTCCCTCGCCGTCGGCGAGGCCGCGGCGGCACCCGCGCCGGCCGCGCCGGCGCCGGCGCCCGCGGCGAAGAAGCCGTCGAGCCTGCTGGCCGCGGCGCGAAACCTGGCCGCACCGCCGCCGCCGCCTTCTGGTTAACCCTTCACGGAGCACTAACAACAAGGTTACAATAATGACTACGTTTGAAGCGCGTCGCGCCGGTCCAGGAGCGTCAGGCCGTCCTTTCGCAACGGCGCGCGCGTCGACGGCATTTCAGGCCGCAGCACGACCCGCTGCTCCTCCCGTGCGATCCGCGCCCGCGACCCGAAGCCACACCACGCGCCGAACATGCGCCGGTCGTCGCGCCGGACGCCGTCACACAAATTACGGTGCCGCGGCGACCAGCGAGCCCCGTTCCCGGGATCGGGCGACGCATCAATAGCATCGAGCATCTCGTAGTCCATGGCGTAGATCTCTCTCAGCTTGGATAAAATAGACGGCGTCAAGTACGAAGCTTTCCGCGCGTCGGCGTTAGTGGAATGTTTCGCCTTCTGCGCAAAGAGTGAATCCCGGACCGGTATACTATCACTTGGTTTGGGCATGAGCCGCTGGCGCTTGTCGCGGTGGCCCCAACCTTTTGAACCGTACGCGTCCCACAGATTTAAAGATCTAAGGAGCATCTCCGCGTGGTCGCGCAGCGACTCGTACCTCCCAATAAACTGATACTTCGTCAGAAACTTTTCCAGCGAACAGTGAAACCGCTGGGGCTTCCAGTGCGCATTCGAACCAACATGTAAACCCTCGGGCTTGTACCTATCGGTATTCTCACTCCCAAGCGTATCGACAAACTCCGTCCAGTTCAGCTCCCGCCCAAAGTGCCTCAAACCATAATTGCCGTGGATGCCCCGCGAAGGCGAGTCCACAAATTTGTCCAAGTAGGCGGATAACGCCCGCGTCGCCGGATCTCTCAAAAATGCTACTTTCGTCCAGTTCGCGTCGTTCAGTATGTGCTCTGCTTCCCTTTCATCGCCTCTCTTCAGTAAAGTAGAAGCGTCCGTGCGGAAGTGGGGGTCCTTCCACCAATGAACATCACCTTCTAACCGGTACATGAGGCGGATGAACTCCGTGCAGGCGACCTTCGGGATCGCGCAGAACGCAATTTTATGTTTTCGCGACACGTAGAAACTTCGCAGCGCGAAGCGCGGCTCGCGCGGGCCGAGCGGGATGTGGTCCGTTGGCGGGAGGTGCGGCAGGCGCCATAGTGACGCGCGGCGCGTCCTCGCGGCGTCCCTCGCAATTTCCTCCGACGTGAGCGGTTGTGTCGCTTCCCTTTCAGCTTGGCGCCGCTGCTGCACCTCCCAGCGCATGCGTTTTAATTGCCGAGCGCGTTTAACTTTCTTGTCCGCGATGTACTGCTGGCGGCGGCGCTTCTGCTCCTCCGTCAAGGGTGGCTTGGGCTGGCGGCCGATCTCTCCAGCTGTTAAACAGCAGAGCCATAGGAGGCTGCCCCACTTCATCGCATTGTTTTCCGCATCGATGCGGCAGCGACGGCGTCTTGTGCTGCCATGGCCATGCTGCCAATTTCCAGAGGGTGATAAAAATGCCGTCATTCGTCCACGCGCCCAAGGGCCGATGCGAGCTCTCCTCGGACGCGTGGGATAGGCCCGGCAGCGGTCCACCATCGTGCGGGTCGCGCCCAGCAATTGCCCATCACATTTTCCTGTTGGGCAAGCAATACAAAAAAGGAGCGGCACCAGACGGTCCGCAGCTCGTCGCATAGCTGCCAGATCCCAGCACACCCTGCCGAACCGACGCACGGTGCGACAGCGGCGCGCCACGACGTAAAGGGCAGCAGGTTGCAAGCACATCGGAACTGACGCGACGGCAGCAGCACACAAGTAGGGGGCAGCATGGCCCAGCTCCTCCAGAATAAGGTGCGGGCCCTCGTCTCGAAGAAGAAGCATAGGATGAGAGAGGACGGCTTCGATCTGGATCTGACCTACGTCACACCACGTATAATAGCCATGGGCATCCCGTCCGTCGACTACCAGAAGATGTACCGGAATCGCATCGAAGACGTGGAACGCTTTCTGGAGACGAGGCACTCCACAAATTACAAGGTGTACAACCTGTGCTCGGAAACACGCAATACGTACGCCATGACGCGGTTTGGTGGACGGTTCGAGCGGTTTCCGTTCGACGACCATAGCCCGCCGCCCTTAGGATTGCTCTACTACTTTTGTGAAAGCGCACACGAGTGGCTGTCTTCACATAAGGAGCATGTGATCGCGGTGCACTGCAAGGCGGGCAAGGGGCGGACGGGTACTTGTATATCAGCATACTTCTTGTATGCTCGTCTGTACCGGACACCCGCAGAGGCTATGGCGGCCTACGGTAGTGCTCGAACGAAGAACCGGAAGGGCGTCACGATTCCCTCCCAAAGACGGTTTGTGGAGTATTTTGGGCACTGCTGCGAGCGGAGGCACGTCGTGGACCTGGATTCGGTATATACGACGCATCGCTTCCGCGACGAGGACCTCGGTGGAAGGGGCTGGGGAACGCCTTGTGAACATTTACTTGATCAAGCGTGGAACGCGCGCTGGCGTAAACAAGCGACGGACTGCCCGGCGCCGCCGCGGCGCGTGCTGATACTCAACGGCGTGCGGTCCACCATCGGGTTAGTGGACGTCACCTGCGGTTCATATGTTTATAGCGGCTTGGGCGGCCGCCTTATGAAAAGAGTGCCCCTCACGGAGGAGGTCCATGTGTCCATCAAGGGCAAGAAGAAGGGTTATGGGTTTTGGTTCCACTGTTCGTTTGTAGAGGGCTCTATTTTGCGTATTACGAAGGCGGGGCTGGACAAGGCCTGGAAGGACAAGGCCTTCCCGGACGACGCCGCGGTCGAGTTAATGTTTGGGCCGCTCACGACAAGATAAGTATTATGTCCGTACAAAATACATGTTAGTAACCGTGACGCGGCCACACGACCTCCCCCGCGGCGACGCGCTCGAGGAACGAGAACCAGTCAGCGGCGCGGGCGCGTCGTCGACTAGGCGAGTAGCGTGTACCCCGTTTCCGTGTCCTTCAGCGAGCGTAGGCGCAAAAACCCGGCGCCGATCAACAGACCGAAGCCGACCATCGCATACCCAATACCTCTATAAGGATTCGCCGGGATCAACAGACAGAGGAAGGTGATTGTGGACGCGCTGCCGTTGTGGAAATACATCGCCGCCATGGCTCTATTCACTAGTGAAGGCGCGTCGTCCAAAAACTCGACGACCAACATCTTCGACGTGTTCTCGTAGAACGACCGGACCGCCCCAATAAAGAAGCAGTAGACCCACAACGACCCATTGTCCGTCAAATTTTGCTCCATACCAGCTACGGCCATGATGATGCCTAGGACGGCGTAGGACGCCGCGCCCAACAAAACGGGCGCCCGCAACCCAAACCGCGCCGCGAGCCACCCAAACAAGGGCGCCAATGCGCCGGCCACTAAAGCAACTTCAGCGGCCGCGAAGCCCACCAAAGCGTTCGGCCGGTAGGTCGAGACCACCCCGGCGTACCACGACGTGAACGCCGCCGACGAGAAGCCGAACGCGAGCCAGGGCGGCGAGAGCGGTATGATGCGGGGGTCCTCGGCGTGGGCCTTGGCGACACTGCCGATTGATGATAGTGAGACGCTTCGCATCGTGTTCATGATATCACCTTCATCATCGGTCGCGAAGCCGCAGGACTCGGGTCTTAAAACCATCGCACCATAAGCCGCGACCAGTAGAATGAATAGGGTCGTGCATGCCACAGTTAAATCATCAACAAGCGTCAAGAATGACGCCGTCGCGAGTTTCACCACACCTTCCGTGCCGATGTACCAGAAGGCAAAACTGGAAGCGAAGTTGTTGGGCGCGGGCCCCGCCGCGTCCTTGCACATGGCGGCGTAGTGCCGCGACTGCGAGACCCAGATCAGGCCGCCTCCGATACCACCGCCGGCCGAGGCGATAATCACAATGGCGAACGTGACGGCATTTTGGGAAAGCGAGTAGAGCGCGTAGGAGAACGCGAGGACGCAGTACGCGCCAAATCCAATAAGCATCGACCGTCTAGGTCCTTCTCTATCGACGAACACCGTCGCTAATGTCAGCGCACTCAACGTATAGCAGGCGTAGAAGGCCGCCAAGCCACAATTGGCCAGCTCCGGGCCCTGCACCGTGGAAGCATAAGTGATCAACGTGACGACGCAGCCGTGCGCGATCGAGAAAGGTACGGTAAATGCGAACCAGCGGTCCCTTACACGCTCATATTCGATCACTCGGGCTTCATCGTTGTCCAAGTCTTTCAGGAGAGCGGGGCGGTCCGCGAAGAGGAAGGCCATGGCGTCGACAGCGTGCCGTCGTGACGCGTCGAGCTAGAGAGTCTCCCCGCCTCGCAAGGGACTGGAGCAGCTTTGATGCTGCCCTTGTGTATTGTGCGACCTTAGCGATGCGACAGGCAGCCCCAACGCGTCGGAGGCGATGCAAGCGGTGACGTAAAGCCCAAATCGATGAATCGATGCAGCGCTGGCTGCCCTTTTGGCTTCCACTCTCGATGCAAAGAGATGGTCACAGCTCCCGAAAGGCTCGGTTCCAAATCACGGAGTCCCGCGCGAGACTGCTCGATCCGCGCAGATGGCTCCGTGTAGACGGCGTTGAGGAGTGCCGCAGGATTCGCGCTAGCGGCCTGACACACTAGCATGCATCTCAGCCAAACTCAGTGGGGCCAAGCTCGCTGTGTGTGCAGCCGCAGTCGCCATGCGTGTTTTAGCATTGCTCGCAGTCGCCCTGCGCACCACCTCGCTGCGAGTGAGCAGGCGTCGCTTAGCGGTCGCCGCGCCAGCACCCCTTGCAGCCCTGGCAACCCCTGCAGTGGCCAGCGACGCGCGCACGTATGCCCGCCAAGGCATGACGGCGTTCGAGAAGGGCGACGTCGAAGAGTCCATCAAGCTTTTTGACGCTGCGGAAGAGGCGGACCCGCGGTACGCGACGCGGCTGTGGCAGCGCGGATTGAGTTATTACTACGCTGACAGATTCAAAGATGCGAGGAAGCAATTCCTGATGGACGTCGCCGAGAACCCGAACGACACGGAGGAGGCCGTCTGGCACTTGTTGGCGATGGCGCGCACCGAAGGCCTGGCGAAGGCGCGGCCGCAGATGATCAAGATGGGCCGGGACCCGCGGAGAGTAATGCGCACCGTTGAAGAGGCCTTTAGAAATGGCGACGCGGAGTCGATCGGTGCTCTCGAACAAATCGCGACCGACGGCGGCGCGGGCGACCGGTTCTACGCTTCGCTATATCGAGGGCTACTGGCGGAGGCCGCCGGGCAGCCCAAGGTGTCGGCGGACTGGATCTCGAGGGCGGTCGACAACCGCGAGTACGCCTCGAGTGGCGACTACATGTACGCGCTCGCGAAGGTGCACCAATCTAGGAGAAAGAAGTAACTATTACTGTTGTTTGCAGGCCTCGCACGTGCGGAGCTGGTAGTCCTTTGCGGCCTTCAGCGCGATATCCACTTCCTTGTGCTTGTTTTCTGGTAAAGAAGGCGCCGCGCGGCACGCCTTCAGGGAGGCGATGGCCTGCTCTAATCGTTCACCCATGGCGAGTGAGGGGGGCTTGTTTCGCACCATCTTCTGCAAAGCCTGCCCGCGGTACCAGTGGCCCTTCCACCAGTCGGGGTCCGCATCCACAGATTCTGCGGCGTGGTGCGCCGCGGCGACGAACTTGTCTCCAGCTAGGTGGGCGGCGGCAATGTTCGACAGAAGCTTGGCGTCCGGTTTCCCGGCGGCCTTGAGCATCGCCGCGGCCTTGGACCAGGACCTCGCGGCGTCTACGGTATCCTTTGCTTTAAACGATGCGTTGCCCGCCTCCCGCAGCTCGTCGACGGCGGCCTGGTCGAGCGTCGTCGCGGCGTCGTCGTCGCTTGAGTCGTCGCTCGAGCTCATGTGCACGGCCTGCTTGAATAATTTGTTGGCCGCCTGCGCCTCGGCCCGAGAGTACTGCTTATCCTCAAACGCTTGCAAACGGCTCGCGGCCCTATGTGCGGAGGAGGCCAGAGACCGGAGCTTTCCTGCCGTAATATTTCCTGGCGCGGCGCCGCCGGCTATGCCGTCTAGGACAGCGGTAAGCTCCTCAAGCTGGTTCTCAGCCAGGAGCAGGCTCGCCATGCGTAAATGGGCAGCCTTTACCTGCCAGTTGGCTGGACACGAAAAAGGACTTGATAGTAGAGAACCCGAACTCACCCTAGGGGGTCCGAGCCTCAATCTACCAGACCGCGCGAGCGCGCGATACGGTAGGGAAGTGTCTTCCGGAAGCAGAGCTAGCTAGCGTTGAGATGTTACTGCTGCTCCACACGAAAGGTGACGATTGGGACGCGGGGGAAGAATCGAGCAAATAACACAGCTAGCGGTCGTAAGATACTAGCAAGCAAATTGTGGGCAATAAACTCGACTTAAACGCGCTAAGCTCGACACCAACGCGTCTCAGCGAGAAGACTCGGCCTTTTTTGTCGCTCATTAATCATGGTTCGCACGCGCCGCGGCGCCACGACTGGCGAGGAGGATGCCCCAAGCCCAAGCCACATCCCAAGCCCACCCAGTCCCGCGCCGGTTATTGCTCCGCGGTCTCGAGCGAAGATTCCCCGAATGGCTGGAACTGGACCGGAGCATTATCGGCGACGCCGTTTTAGCCACGAATGGCGACGTTGAACGGGTGGAGGCGTCGTTCCTCGCGACGGGGTCGCCCGAAGCCTGGCGCGCGTGGCAGAAAACGTGGCGCTATCCATATAGAATGCCCGATCCACCCTGGCAGTTTTCTGACTAACTTTCTGAATACATATCACACAACTAATCCCCAAAGTCCGAAAACGAACTCACGAGCTTCGGCCGCTCGTCGGGCGTCGGCATCGGAGAAACAGAGGCAGGCGCGTCAGCGAGCTCACAAAGCACGAAGGCCAGCGTCACGCGGACGCGCAAAAACCAGTGCTGGCCCTTGCCCCCGTTCAGGGGCAGCCACTGTGTAAGTGGTTGGTCCTCCGTCAGGTTGTCGAGCGGTACTTCCACGTCGCCCAAATAGGTCTCCTGAGCCGGCACGCCGAGCGCGGCCAGCGCGTGCTTCTCGCGGCGGTAGACGCAGACGTAGGCGACGGTCGGCGGCCCCCGCGTCGGCAATCTTACAGAATTTTGCGGCGGGAGCGCCTCGTCCGGCAGCGCAAATCTAAACGCGGCCGCGGCGCCCCAGGTCGCACCACCACCAACATGAACCTTGCCCCGTCTTTTGGCGATGCACGAGTCCCGCGTCCGCAGCTTCTCCGATAAAGGAGGAGGCGCCTGCGAGCCCTTCGGCCGGGCGTGCCTTAGTCTTAACACAGCGAAGGCGTCGTCGACCGGCGGCGCGCGTTGTGCCGCTTGCGCGGCCTCCGCCGCTCCAGGGGATAAGGCCCCGGCCATGGTCTCCAGCGCCTCGAGATCCACCCTAACAGAAGCCGAAAAACGCCTTTTCAACCCGTGCCGCCGGAACCAGGCGTTGCGAAGCAAAAAGCCCCGCACGTGTCTCTTGTAAGACGAATCAACATCGATCGAAGTGGGCTGCGGCGGCCACGGCGTCGTCAGATCGTCATCATCTACGTCCACATGAGCATTCCTAATAACTGAAGACACCCACTCGTCCACGTCTAACAAACGACTTAAATCACCTTTGGTCGGCTGCGGTCGTTGATAGTAGTTCCGTCCGATGGCCACCGTACCTTCAATACATAGCTCGTCCTCGTCGTCTCCGACGGGCTCGCACTCCCACGCATCCACATAACGCAATTGCGGCTCATGCGACGGCGCATCTACGAGAATGCGCAGACCCTTCCACGCGTCTAACTTGCGGGCCGCGTCCTCTTCGTCCGTCGCGTGAGCATGTTGCGCGAGCCACTGGGCCGCCTCGTCGGGCGCGAAGCAGGCCGAGACCACGGCATTTACACTTGGAGTGAGGAAGCCGACGGCCGTGCGCGGCGCTCGTAGGGACACGCCCGACCGCGGATGCAATAATTGCGCCAGGACGTGGCCGTCCTCCGCAGCAATTGGCTTCTGCCGCGGCGGCGACGTGGGAGGCGACGCCACGGGCGAGCCCCGCCGCAAAGGAGCGGGCGATCTATGCCTTCTACCATCACTAATACCGTGGTGGAGGTCTTGGAGAGGAGGCGTGAGCTGCCGGAGTATTTCTTTTCTTAAAGCGGAGGCGCGTCGCTCCAACGGTGGCGACAAAGCCCCGAGGTCCCGAAGTTGCTTCCTCAACTCGTCACACGCCAACACATCCACAATGCGCTTCCTTCGCTCGCCCGCGGACCAGTAGATTCCGGGTAATGAAGCAGAAGAGGCCCAGTGCCCGCCCAGATCATCTAAATCACCACCAACATCAGGAGGCAAATGTTGATCAAGTGCTTCCGAGGGCCACGTCGTCGCCGCTTCCGTCAGATCCAGGCCCGCGCCGCCGAGTCGCTCCGAAATCTCCTCCAATACTAACCATAATGACGAAGCGGGGCCCAGGCGCCCCGACCGGTACTCTAATCCCCCGTCATTTTCTGAGACGCGAATAATGGCGTGCTGCACCTGATTCCCTTCCACCACAAAAGATATGGCCACCGCGGCGTCGCCGCTCGACCCCTGCTGGGGCCTCAACAGAAATGAACCAGGTGCTTTGTCTTGCAGCGCGTCCTCGGCGCCTCTCCTGTCTAAAGCTCGGAGCCGGTCCCAGCCTCTCGAGTCGTCGAAGCGCTTTGCTAAGTCAAGAGCCGCGCCGGCCGCGCCGTTGACCTCGTCGCTTGATTGCTGGGGGGGGTGCTCCAATAAACAACGGTAGACCCTTCTGCGCCGTTCGGGCGGCGCTTTCGTCGAAGCACATCGTGCGCCGGCCGCCGCCCGCTGCGCGAGCTTTTGGGAGGCGAAGTTCTCCAAGGATTCGGAGAGTGTCACGCAGGCGCGCAGGTCGTCCGCCGTCTGATTGGCTTCGGCGCGCGCTTGTGAAGAGGGCGCCGCGTCGTTCGGGAGGGAGGCGAATCGCAGCGCGTCCGTCGCGGCCTTTGTCAAGACGCGCCGGGCCGCGGCCGTCGGATCATTTGATGTCGCCGCGTGGATGATCGTATAAGCCGTCGCGGGCCGCGGTCCGGGTTCTGCCGCGAGGGTCGCGAGGGCCGCTTCACTAAGTTCCGTCGCTGCGAGGCCGTGCGTCGCCCGGAGCTCCTTCGCTTCGGTCTTCAGCGCGGCGAGGCGCGCTTTTACATCATCGCCGCCGACCTGGCGCGCGCAGGCCCGCGCGCGTGCCGCGAGCCGCGCCGCCGCGGCCTCCAGGGCCACCTCGCGCGCGCGCTCCCGTGGTGGCGGCGGCGCCTCCGGGGTGTCGTCGTCGCCGGACGACGCCGCTTCCGTCGGGGCGTCCTCGCGCGCGGGCGGCGTATCGGCGGCCGGCGCCCGCCGCTGCGGCGCGGCGTCAAAACCGTCGAGCATCGACGGCGGCGCTGCTGGCCGCTGCGGCGCGGCGTCGAAGCCGTCGAGCATGGAAGGCGGGGCTTGGCGCTGCTGTGGTGCCGCGTCGAACTCGTCGAAGATGGAGCTTTGCGGAGGCGGCGGCGGCGCTACTTGCCGTTGTGGTGCCGCGTCGAAGCCGTCGAAGATGGAGGATTCCGCCTGGGGCGGCGGCGGGGCCTTGCGGGGCGGCGCCGCGTCGAAGTCGTCGAATATGGACGACGCCGCCGGCGCCGCGGGCGCCGGCCGCTGCGGCGCGGCGGCGAAGTCGTCGAAGATCGAGGACGCCGGCGGCGGCGCCGGCGGCGCCGCGCCGGCGGCCGCGAAGCGGCGCACGGGACTGGAGAACGGCGCGACCTCCGCATCCAGCGCCGCGAGCGCCGCGAGGGCAGCGGTCGGCGCGCCGCGGTTCAGGCAGGCCCGGGCGCCGTCCAGCGCGACGCGCCGCGCGCCCGCCGTCCCGACCAAGCGCCGGACGAGGCCCGGACCGTGGATTGTGTTGAACGCGGCCTCGAAGGCTTCAAGCGGAGACGTTTCGCTGGGCGTCCGCGCGGCGGCGACGATGGACGCGACGTGGCGCGCGGCCCGCTGCGGCCGCCCGAGCCAGACCGACGCGAGCGCGGCCGTCTCGGGAGAGCAGTCGTACGCGCGGAGGATGCCTCGTAGGGCCTTGCGCGCCAGAGGCCCACAGACCAAGCCATCGTGGCCGTCGGCCAGCCGCGCAATCATCAACGAAAGCTCCGGATCTTGCAGCTTCGACAGCGCGACGCTACACGCGTCGGGCACGTCGCCAGCCAGCAGGAACGCCGCGCAGGCCAAGGCCGGTTCGTGCTTCGCTAATAAAGCGTAGGCGTTCTTGCGGCCCGCAATTTGCCCCCGCTCGGTCCCAAAGTCGAATTGTAGAAGCTTGCCGAGTTTCCGACCCCAGTCGCCGCACAAACCTCCTCGCGACGAGTCGGACCGCGCCAGCGTTTTTAGGGTCGCGACGCGCCCGCAGGCCACGTATAGCAACGCGGAGGAGGCCGCGCTGCCGGGGACGTCGCGGCCGCCCTTGGCCGCGAGGCGCGCGCACGCGGCCGCGGCCTCCTCCACCGTCTTCTTGAGCGTCCGCGTGGGCGCCCACCAGCTCAGGCGGTCCCTCCTTAAAACTTGTAATGCGACGGGGCCCGCTTGCTTAGCATCTCCCTGTTGAATCCGCGAGAGGTCGACCTCCCGTTCGTCAGCCGCGAGCAGCAAATGTACGACCGCCAGGCCGAAGAGCGGCTCGTCACCGTCGCTGCGCGCCCTCGCGGCAATCTCTACTAACGTGCTCCCCTGTGCTGCGCCGGCGACGATCGCCGCGAGTTGGTCGTCCTCTTCGTCGTCCGAACCTTCGTCGTCCTCCACCCCAGCGCAGACCGCGCACGCTCGCGCGAGCGCTCGTCGTCTAGGAGGGCGCTCCGCCTCGACCAAATCCGCGACGCCCGCGAAGGCCCGCCCCGCGACGCCGCTGACGGGCTCGAGGCGCCTCCACAGCGCCCAGGCGTCTCCTCTCTGCACGTAGACGCGGACGACGCCGTTTCGATGGGACGTGGCCAGGTGTGAGGGAGGGGCGGCCCAGGGTTTTTCGATTGACGCGTGCGCGCAGCGCGTCCGCGACGAGGCGTCGTCGGGAAACCGCATCGCGACGACGGGGTCGGACGCTTGAATTGTTGAAAGTTTCTCCAGGCGGAAGGCGTCCGTCGCGTCACCGCGCCGGTAGAGGGTGATCTCAGTAGTGTATGACGCGACGCGCGCGCCGGCCGCCGCCGTACATAGTAAAGAGGGCGCCGCACAAGCGACGGCGGTCTCCAGGACCCAGCGGTCCGCGCGCAGCTCCGCTATCTTAATGCCGTCTCCATCACCGACGAGGACCGCCGCGGCGCTCGCCGGTAAAAGCCACGCGTGCGTCGCCGCGCACGTCGGCGCCATCGACACTTCATCCACGAGTTTTCCGGCGCGCCAAGCTGTTAAGCTCGTGTTCGAGACGCGCGCGACCACGTCGCCGCGAGCTAGTAAAGCGTGCACTTGAGTAACGGGCGCCGACGCCGCGAGCGTTCTGTCGTCCGAGACAATTTCACCAGTCTCCAACGCTACAATAAGGTCATCGCCGCGCCAGCACGCCCCCAGAGCGTTTCCACTTAGCTCCACGGATTTTGTGAAAAAGGGGAACGCGCCGCTGTACCGGGTCGCGGCCTCGTCCTCGCTCTGCAATCGTAGAGGATCGTCATTTCGGGCCCAGCCGCCTTGGCTCGAAGCATCCCACGTAGACATGCGGCACCGCTTCCCTTCGAGGACCGCCAGCTCATTACGAAAGGGGTGCGCTATGATAGTAGAAGACGGCGTCTCCAGTAAATCGCGGAGCGGCCGCGGCGCGCCATCGTGATAGACGGACTCCGCCTCCACCTTACTAACAACAACGACCCTTTCAGAGTCCAGGGCGACGACCGTCTTTATCCCACTTGATGGACTAGCCAAGGTAAACGCCGCGTCGGCCTCTACACTATCGCCGGGCCGCACGCGCGCGGCGAAGGCGTCGTCCGACGGCGCGCCGTGGACGCGTCTTAGTTCAACGTCGAGGCCGTCATCTGTTTCTCGCGTTACACAAACGCGCGCCGTCCCATCATCAGCTGATGGAGCCCACGTCGCCGCTACCAAATCAGGCCCGGGCTCGCGCATTTGACAGAAGGGCTCGAGCGCGAGGGGCCCGTCGCGGCCCTTCCGTTCCAATGCAAGGACGCGGACCGCGCCGTCCTCCGATACACAAAGCAGGCGCTCCCGGCCTTCGTCCGCCCACCTTAGGTCGGTGTAGCCGCGGTTGCAGTCGTGGTGCAGCGCCACGTTGATCCACCGCTCTTCTGTGCGATGCCAGGCCACGAGGCGATTTTCGCTTGATGCAGCGAGGCACGCGCCGGAATTGGATAGTGCCGCCGCGTTGAGCGTGAGGCCGTGGTCCTCGACGGCCTCTTCATTAGCTAGGGACGGCGCGAAGACATTTAAACCGTGCGCCGTCGCGACCAGTACCCTACCGTCCCGGGCGCAGTCGAAGGCGAGCCACGTTTCAACAGAGGGCACGTCCGTCTTCGTTTGAGCGACGCAGCGCCACTCGCGCGCCGCGCCGCGCAGATGCGGCGCCAGCGCATGTATAACACCGTCGGCCGCGGCGCAGGCCGCGCGGCCGCCGCGGTCCAGCGCCACGCGCACGATTTTGGAAGAAGCCTGCGCCAGGCCGCCGTCGCGGCACCACCAGAGTGTTTTCTGCTCCTCGAGCGACGCGAAGACGACGCCGTCGGACTCGTGTGGCCAGGCGGCGGTGGTGCTGGTCACGGCTAAAGCCATACTGGTGCGGCGCTTCGCCTGCGCCAGTCGCAGCAATGCAAGATAAACGTCTCGACACGTTTGCCCTTGGCAGAAACGCCGCGTCGGTCCTGTTAAAAGCTCCAGACCGAGACTTTCTAGTGTCTTACAGGCGCTAGCTATCGCTTTTGCTCTAGAAGTGGCTGGCGGCTTAGACGCACGTATACTTGTCGAAACGCCGCTTCACTTGCTGCGCCAGTACAACATCGCTGCTCGCAGACGCTTCGTTCGCGTGGCGTGGGCGTCCAGAGTACTTCTAGCCCACTGCACGCCATCGCCGCGTCGTCACACCTCGCCGGCGCATGCGAACACTGCTCAGCGCTCTCTGCTGCATCGCTATCGTCCAAAGCACCGCATCGATAAGGAACAAAATGGCCGCGCTCATCACCGGCGACTGGTTCGCCGAGTCCGAAGTGATGTGGCCCGGCCAGCGTTTTTCGTTGAAAGTCAAGAAGGACGGCGTCCTGCACCGCTCCCGCTCGAAATTCCAGGACATTCTCGTCTTCCAGTCCGAGACGTATGGGAAAGTTTTAGTGTTAGATGGCGTGATCCAATTAACTGAAAGAGATGAATTTGCTTATCAGGAGATGATCGCCCATCTGCCGTTGTTCGCCCACGCGGAACCCAAACGAGTGTGCATCGTGGGCGGCGGCGACGGCGGTGTCCTGCGGGAGGTCGCGCGGCACTCGTGCGTCGAAGTGATCGACATGTGCGAGATCGACGAGCAGGTCGTCGCAGTGGCGAAGGAGCACTTCTCGGATTCTACGGCTACGTCCTTCGACGATCCTCGCTTGACCCTGGTGCATGCGGACGCTGCCGCGTATCTCAAGGCGATTGTGGATGGAAAGGGTGATTCTAGCGACCCGGCCATCGCGGCGGCGTTGAAACGACGCTCGAGTCAGTGGCCGGGCTACGATGTGATTATTGTGGACTCTTCGGATCCAGTCGGACCGGCCGAGACGCTCTTCGCGCCGGCCTTCTACGACTCCATGAAGGCCGCATTGGCACCAAATGGCATCGTCTGCACGCAGGGCGAGTGCTTGTGGCTGCATCTACCTCTTATAGCGAAGGTCGTGACCGCCTGCCGCGCGACGTTTCCCTCGGTAGAATACGCGTACACCACGGTGCCGACGTACCCTTCCGGCCAGATCGGCTTCGTGCTCTGTTCGCTGGACGACGGCGAGCGGGCGCTCATCCGGCCGACGCGCGCACCAACAACATCGCTCCAAAAGCTATTGAGGTACTACAATCCCGACGTCCACGCGGCGTCCTTCATCCTGCCGGAGTTCGCGGCGCGCGAGCTGAAGAAGTCCCGGTGATGGGCGGCGGGGTCTAACCTTATTATTGCTTTGCTTAGAGCTCGGCCGGCTAGCCGGCTAGCCGCGGACCGCGGGTCTGCGTGACCGCACGCCCGCCCGAGGACATGTTGACCAGTGCTAGCTAGACATAGTAATACATATATGGCCTCGGAATACCATAGCCCGAAACCCCCGACCTCGGCGGGTCTCGATCGTTTGGCTGGTGCGAGTCGCGGTGCGAGTCGCGTGAGGCCGCAGGAACGCACAGGACATCGTCTTGTTCCCTTTGCGTCACATTTTGCGTCCACGGGACGCTGCCCGCACCGAATCGGACGACACGCGCTGGTGCCTCGAGGCAAGAGTCAATGGCTGACCAGCCTGCCCCAGTAGCCGTCGACCTGCGCGGCGCCGCGCCAGGACCAGCACCAGCACCGGCGCGGCGCGTCGTGGTCCGCCGCGGCCGCCAGACGCGGAGGCCCCAGGAGGACGCAGCTCCGGCGCAACCACCTCCCGAAGCCGACGACGAGGAGGCCCCGCCGCCCGTTCAGACAGAGCGCCAGAGCGGCGGCGACGGCACAAGGCGCAAGCGCCTGACCCGCTTCATCACTCTTATAGTATTAACATGCCTCGCGGCGGCCGTCGCGACGACGTGGTACCGGGCCGCCACATATTTAGTGGATGAGGTCGCCTTCTCGGCCGGCTGGCCCCTCTATATAAGGGTCGGCGGCTGCGACGTCGACGTCAGGCCGGGCGGCTCCAATAGCGTCGAGACGCGGACCTGGGTCTCGCGCTGGGTCTACCCGCGCTACGACTACCGGTCGGGCTCGAACCGGCCCTGGCGTATTGATGTGGCGAACGCGGAGGGCTGCCACAACGCGCCCGGCTTTGCATGTCGGGACACGTGCCTCGTGACCATCAAAGTGGCCACGCCGCCGTCGACGCTCACGTTTAGGAGTGGCGCGGACGTCGGCCACCCGCAACGACTTAGAATAGAGGGCGTGGCGCTCGATGTTTTAGATGTCGCGGGGTCGTTCGATGTGCAGATAACCGACGCTTTGCTAACGGGCAAGACCCGCGTCACGTCGTCGCGCGGCGACGTCCGTATGAGCGACACGAGCTGCGGCGACTTTGAGCAGGACTGCTGGCTCAAGGCCACGACCGGATCTGTGTATTATTACGAGGGGCGGGACGTCCTCAATGCCCTGGACATACAGTACCGCTCGGTCAACATGCGCTCCTGCTTCGCGCTGCCCGATCGAATGCATCATACCTCGGGCGCGCTGCCCCACACGACGGCCTTCAAGGTCGCCAAGCACTACGACCGGGACGGCAACGGCAAGGTCACGCAGGAGGAGTTCGACGTCGGTATCAAGAAGCTGGGAGCTTGTTTAGGAGGCAGCTGCCCGTTGTACTCGTGGTCGGCCGCGGCCAAGGCGTCGGTGTTTGCCTCGCCCGATCCGTCGATCACGACGCTGTTTCCCGCCCTGAGCACCGCGGCCTTCCACGCGGCGCTCGTAAGCGCGAACTACTCGGAGCTGCAGCCCTCAACATATCGCACGCTGTCGATCGCACGCAACAAGCGTTCTACTGGAGCCGTCCAGAACCGCTCGATCCGCCTCGAGGCGTCCGCGGGCGAGATCCGCCTCGAGCTGTCGAATGCCTCCAATCTCACATACGTTGCGCCCCAGGACGCCGCGCCGCTGGGCGCGCGACTCCTGCCGACGGATGCTGAAAGTCTAATGCCGCTGCGGGATGCGTACGGCGACGCGTCTTTACTAACAAACCGCGACGTCTTCGCGGTCATTGATGTCATGAGTTCTCCCGGAGTCCCTGCGGACCGCTGGCTCTACACGTCGAACGAGGTCTACTTCGAACTGCAACCTCCGTTGCTCGACCTGATCTCCTACGGTACCGTCCGACCCAGAGTCGCGCGCTTCGAGGTGCGACTCACTGACGGCGAGGCCTGCGCCCCGGGGGCCGCCGCGCTGGACACGGACGCAAAAATGGCGGCGGCGCGGGCGCGCGTCTACGAGGAATTGAGGCGGACGCTCAAACCGCGCCTCCAGGCGGAACTGGGCGGCGCCCTTGCGCGCGTCAAGCCGCGCAATTCACGTGACTCGTTCCCCCGCCTCGCTTCGTACTCTCGCTACTCGCCCACGGATCCGTTCCACGAGGAGGACTACCGCCAGGTCATGATGCGGGGCCGCGGCCGGCGCGCTTTTAACATTTCGCTGGCGCTCGCGGCGCTGGCGACGGTCTGGGCGCTCGTCGTGGGCGCTCGGTACCTCGGGGCGCTGCACGCGCTGGCGGATCGAAACGCCGTGATCCAGATGCGACTGCGGAACGCGGAGTCGGAGAGGCGGTCCCGAGCGGTCGCTTCGAAGGAGATCATCTCGGAGGAGGTCGACGAGGAGGGCCTGGGCATCGATTCCGACGCGCTCGCGTGGGATTCGCGTGGACGATTCGCGAACTTCTGGAACGCGCCTCAATGGTTTTGCGGCGTCGTCAATGGCTGCACCGAGCTGGCCACGCCTCTCTTGAGACCGATCGCGACGATCGACGCGATGGTGGTCGCTCCCATAAGACGGCATTTCGTCGACGGTCGGTCCAAGTTCTTCCGCATGCGGTGCAAGGCCGCCCATACACGCGGCGTCGCGCCCACGGAGACGACCGAATGCGACCTAAAAATATTCACGCAAGCCTATCGTGTCTTCTGCCCGAAGAAGAGGCTGAAGGCGGACGCGTTTACTACGATCGGCGATACGCAGAGATATCTCGTGGCGACGCATAATTTGCGCCTACGGACCCACAAGCTCCCGCGCCTTGCGGGACGCGTTTGGACCCAGGTCCCGGCGTTCATCGGCGACGCGCGGCCCCTCGTCGAGCACGCCCGCTGCTTCGCGGCGGCCGCCGAGGTGAACCGGATCCTCGAAACAGCCACGGAAGGCACTGGTGACCTGACGTCGTTCCTGAGCGAGCGGACACGGCCGGCGGGCGCAGGAATACACGACGAGGACGTCGTGATCGGTCTAGTAGATGAGCCAGTGGTCCTCGGCGAGGGCGCGTACGGCTGGAAGCCTGGTTTGCTGCGCGTTTACGACGAGTGGTGCCTCGCGACGGGCCGACCGGCTGTTTCGCGGGACATTTTGGCGGGGGAAATTGCAGCGCAGGGCGTCGCGCAGAGCTATCGCGTCGCGGCGCTCGGTCTCGAGCTGAGAAACTTCCCGGGCGGCGGCGGAAAGGGACTCCGGCTGCCTTTATCCTTCTATTTCGAGCATGTCGTGAGCGTACTCTTACACGTCACCGTGTTCGTATTACCGGCAATCTGGGTCATCTGGATTTGTATGATGTTCCAGTTTCGGCACGCGAAGCTCGGAGGCTATGTTGTTGCCGACGACGCGCGGCGCGAGCACGCGTGGAGTCCCTACGACACGGACATCGTCAGGCGCTACTTCGCGGGTACCGGCATCCAGGGCGGCGTCGTGGCGGGCGTCGTGTTGGCCTACCTCGTCGTCGCGTGGGTCGTTCTTGTGGTTGAATACATCGGAGACGGCGTACCACCCGGCCACGATTGGCACACGTGCTGGGCGCGGTCGCCGCCTTTACCTCGGCCACTCCAACAAGTGATCAAGTGGTGTTTTGTTCTGGTCACGCTGCCGTTTGCGCTGCTACCCTTTTCCCTGATACTGGCGGCGATTTGGGTACTCGGCTCTGCTATTTTAGATCCGAACCAGTTCCTCGCCCGGACGGCGGCGTTCGCCGCGCTTGTGACTACTTTGACGAGCATCGGCAATCAGCTCCGGGGCGCCGCGTCAGCAAAGGCGGCCTCGGTCCGGGATCAACTGCGCGGGCGCCTGAGCGCCGTTTTGGAGACGTGGCTCCGGGAGCACCGCGACGCCACTTCTGGCAAGAAGGCGGACGACGTCGCGGCGCGAGCGAAGGAGCAGGTCGCCTTCGCTAAGCAAGTGGCCGGCGCGAACGACGACGTCCAGGCGCTGTGTGCGGTGCTCGACGCCGACGGAAGCGGGGGTATCTCGCGCCGGGAGCTCGGCGCGCTTGTTGCGCTGCTGGACGTGCCGACGTTCGATCACGCCAAGGTAGACCAGGTCTTTGCGTATGCCAACGAGAACCTCGACGCGGTGATCTCTCCCGCGGAGTTCGAAGCGGCCTGGACATGGGTCGAGAATGAGGTCGTGGACGCGGCGCTGGAGGCGGCGGGACTCACGGACCGTTTCATCACTGCCGCAATTGGAACAGCGCTCGTACTCCTGCTGGGGTTGTTCATTTTCATCTTTCAGCTTGTGTACGCGTGGTCGGAAGGCGGCACGTTCGGCGCCGTCGTCGAGTCGCTCCTCATCGCGGCGACGGCGTTCTCGGTGCGGTATCTGCCCTCCTCAAGGAAAGTATTACCGGAGGCCATGGTGCGGAAGGCTGAGGCGAAGGACGTTTGATTTTTGTCAGGCGCGTAAGTTTGTGTGTTAAGTCAACTTAGAGAAGCTAGCGCGCCACCGACACCCCTAGAGCCCCGCGAGGCACTCCGCCAGGACCGCCGGCCGGTCGACGGCCGCCGACGCCGCCTGGAAATCGAAGGTCTCGCCCGTGATCAGCTCGTAGAGCAGGATGTAGCGCCGCGACAGCTCGCACACCAGCTCGTCGGGCGCCGCGGGAATGACCTCGTCCTTATAAGGGTCGCAGCGCTCGCGGTACCACAGCCGCAGGAATTCCTTGTCGATGTTCTCGGGCTCCTGGCCCGCGGCGTGCCGCGCCTCGTAGGAGTGCGCGAGCCAGTAGCGCGACGAGTCCGGCGTCAGCACCTCATCTATCAAAACGCAGGTCCCGTCGTCCGCCAATCCGAACTCGAACTTCGTGTCCACGAGCACCAGACCGCGCGACGCCGCGATCTCTTGCCCCCGCGCGAAGATGGCCAGGGCCTTGCCCCGGCACTCGTCCCACTGCGCTTGCGTCATCCGACCTGACGCGACGATGTCCTCGCCGGAAATGGGCTCGTCGTGCTCCGCGTCTTTTGTGGTCGGCGTGCAGACGTTCTCCGCCAACTTCTGGTTTTTGACCAATCCATCAGGAAAGTCGAGGCCGCAGTACTTCCGCTCACCGTTCTTGTAGTGCGTCCAGAGCGAGGTCGAGGTCGACCCCGTGATGTAGCCCCGTACGACGAACTCGACGGGGAAGGCCTGGCATCTAGCCGCGACCAACACGTCAGGTAACGGCGACGCCCGCACGTGGTTCTCACATATATCTTTCGTCGTCTCGAACCACCACCGCGACACTTGATTTAGAACAGCTCCTTTGAAGGGCACGGTCGCGAGCGCGCGGTCGAAGGCCGACTGCCTCCCGGTGGCCGCCAGTACCACGTGCTGCGGGAATTTATTTGGTTTGTAGACGTCTCTTACTTTACCCGTGTAGAGCTCGGCGTCCGCTATTAAAGGAGGCGGCTTCTCGCTTTGGCTCTTGAGCTGGTCGAGGGCGGCCTGTATTTGGGGCAGGTAGGCCTTGGTCCTTTCTTGCGCTGCATCGACGGCGGCTTTGGTGTCCGCCATGGATCGAGTTTCGCTAGCGCGCAGCCCAAGGCTGGTGAGATATGAAGTCCTGCGTGCGAATTTGCAGCGCACGACGATTTATGGGCTAGCGCGACGCCGCCAATGCGCCCTGAAAATCAAATCGGGTTTTGAATTTAGACGCGTCTGTTTTCGTTACATCCGTCCAGGAACGCGTCTCATAAGGCCCATAGAGACGCGTGCAAGACCTATTTCGAGGGGTATTTTTGGACAGCTTTTGGGGCTGCCGGCCGGCCGCCGCGCGCCAAACGGGCAACCACAGGGTTCGAAGCTGGCGCAGGGCTGCAGAAATATAGCGCTTTTGCAAGTCGTGCATAGTTCTCTCGCAGAGCGGTAGCCGCTGGGCCACAAAAATACAGACTGCTCAGGCAGGGCTCCACCACAAAGCAAGCGATGCCGCCCAGCTTCAAAAGCAAACACCCGCCCCCCGAGCCATCACCCTGGATCACCTCCGCGCTCATCGAGGAGACGACGGGCGTCGGCGTCGACGAGCACAACTGCCTCGACGACCTCGAGATCTTGTTTGCTCCGTTAAACCAGGCCGCGCCTTCCGCGAACGACCACTCCAACGGCCACACGGTCGGTCTCGCGAGATGCGCTCGGTTAAGGCGGTTATCACTGGTCGACTGTGGGTTGGTGAAACTCGGTTGTTTGCAACCAATAGCCCACACTTTGGAAAGGCTGTGCGTTGCAGATCAAAAACTAACATCCCTCAAAGACCTCGGGAGTCTCCCGCAATTACGATGGCTCTACGCCCAACAGAATAACATATCGAGAATCGAAGGATTAGACGAATGTCCTCGCCTAAGGGCTCTATGGTTATTTGATAACTCCATACAGCGCTGCGAGGGCTTAACTGAACTTGCTGAATTGAGAGAATTATGGTTACAAAATAACAAGATGAAGCGATTGGGTGGCTTGGAAGCGTTGACGGCGTTGAGAGATCTCCAGCTAGCCGGCAACCCGATTTCCGACTATCGAGACCTACCGAGACTGGCGCGCTTACCTTCCCTAGAGAGTGTGGGTTTCCGGGACGCGCATTTTGGAAGTTGTCCCATCGCGGAACGGGAAGGGTATCGGGACGCGGTGTTGGGTGCTCTGCGACACGTCACTTCATTAGATGCCTCGGAAGTGACGAGACAAGACAGGCACCGCGCGAGAGACGCGCACTTGGAGAACGTCCTCGAGTTCCACGAGAAGGTCGACGCGCTGCAGCGGGAACATAGGGACGATGCTGCGGCCATCGAGGCGCGAAGACGGCGTTCGTCAGCACACGCTCGTTCGCTGGATGGGGAGATGCGCCTGGCCTTTGCGGAGTTGGAAAGGTTGGTCGACGAAGGGAGGCAAGCGGTCAAAGCCGAGCACGCGAAACATAGGCGGGCTAGAGCTCTTGCGCAGCGGTCCCTGGATGCGGCGTTGGCTGCGGCCTTGGCGGAGCACGCTCTGGCCTGCGACGACGCGTCGCACAAGGCTGATCGTCGCGAGAGACGAGACGAATGTGCTCTGTTAGCTCTGGAGCGTCGAGCAAAAGGTGAACGTAGAATAGCTTTAGTGATCGCGTCATTACAGTACGGCGGGCCGCGCTTTACTTCTAACAGAGGAGACCCTCCGCAACAATTGCCTCCCGCAAAAGTGGCCTGCCAGCTGCTCGGAGAGCACTCGCCGGATTTCCGCTGGCTCGACGCGAGGTTACGAGAACAGCCGAAGGGCGACGCCGACCCCTTGTGTCTGTTGCGGGCCTATCGCGTTTCTAGAAGGGACGAGGCGTTGCCCGACGGCAAGTGCTGGTTTTTGAGGGGCGACGCGGCACTAATTGAGGACGCCGTCCGAGGAGATGTGAAGGACGGACTCGTGTTGTACGCGTCGGCCTCCCAGGCCTGCGCTGCGTTCCGTTCATCGTCTTCATCAGTATCGGCGCCGCAGAAAGGTGGCGACGCCGTCGACCTCCTCGAAGGGTCTTCTGACGACGAGTCCGACGACGAGTCGCCCGAGACGCTCTGGGACGAATGTAAAGAGGACGATGCTGCACTATCATCGAGCGACGCGGCCGGGTCCCTCGCATTGCTCCTGCTGTGTCGGGAGGTCGACGCCGCGTCGGGCGGCGACAATGCGACGAAGCGGAATCTGCTCATGGCCGCGGAAGCTTCCGCCCAGAAGTTCGTCGGCGGCCAGGCCTACAAGTCGTCGGACTTACTCGCGACGCCTGCCGGTTTGACGGGTGTGGCCGTCGAGCACGTCCTGCTGTGCGGCTCGGGTTTATGTAGTAGAGATCAAAGAGCTCTAGAAGCGGATTTACATGATGACGGCGCCGTCGGCGGGCCGACCGACGCGCTACTCGATGCTTTAGCGGCGCGCGTGCGAGCCGAGGTCGAGGGCCACCGGCAGCGCGTCGCGCGCGACCTCGAGCCGGCGGCCGTCGACCAGTTGAGGGAGGCGGACGCGGATTTAGCTGATCGCGAGGACCAGCTCCGGAAGACGCGCGCGCGGATCCAGTCGGAGCGTTCCGCGCAGGAGACGATCCTGCGCTCGTTTAGGGAGCCGGCCTAACGATATTTTGACTTATTTGCTCGCTCTCTCGTGGGCCATTCGGCGACGTCGCGAAGCTCCGCGCTCCCGTGACGCCATCGACGCGACGTTTCTCGCGGTCATGCTAGTTTATATTTTCTTAGTCCTACTAGTTCCGCTCGCGGAACGTGATGCGCCCCCGCGTCAGGTCGTAGGGCGACAGCTCGACCTTCACGCTGTCGCCGACCAAAATCTTGACGAAGTTCTTGCGGATCTTCCCCGAGATCGTGCAGAGCAGGACTTGTTTCGTCGCGCCGATCTCGACCCTAAAGTTCGCGGACGGCAGCGCCTCGGTGACGACGCCATCCACTTCAATTTTGTCGTCCTTGACCTTGCGCTCGCGCACGGGCTTTGGCGCCTGGAGGTCCTTCTTCTTCTTTTTGGCGTCCAGTTGTGTCCTGCCGGGCGCGCGCCGCGCGACTGCAGCGGTGCTCCGGGCTGGGGGCGCAAATGCTGCCGCGAGGGATGCGCAGGCACAGATGAGCAACGCCGTCCGTCGCATCGTTGTCAACTACGTTCTATCTATATGTGCAGAGCTTCTGGCGATTCCTGTCGGCGGTCCCTAGTCGTATTGCCTCGCTCTGTCTGCCACTGCTGCATGCAAGCAGGTCGCAACTCCAAGACTTCGGACGCGCCAGGCTTCCCTCCGACGCTTGCGGATAGTGGTCTTTCGCTCCTTTTCAAGCGCAAACGTCTCGCTTGTTTGCTAGCGTCGTATAGGCGCTAGCCCCCACGAGGCAAAATTCACAAAAGCTTAAGTCGCGGCGGCTTACACTGCTAGCTCGCCTGCGTGCGCGACGATACATTTATCAGACCGCTGCTGTCTTGGGCTGTGACGAGGAATCCCGGACCCGCGCAGCACCTAGCACGCCCACAAACAACTGCTGGGTCGCGCAGTTTCCCGACGCCGTCGCGCCGCCATGGCAGACGCGGAGTACGACTACCTCTTCAAAGTAGTATTAATAGGTGATTCTGGAGTGGGCAAGTCGAATTTGCTGAGCCGCTTCACGAGGAACGAGTTCAGCTTGGACTCGAAGTCAACAATTGGTGTCGAGTTCGCCACGAAGTCCATCCAGGCCGAGGGCAAGACCATCAAGGCCCAGATCTGGGACACGGCGGGGCAAGAACGATACCGAGCAATAACGTCGGCCTACTACCGAGGGGCTGTGGGCGCTTTACTAGTATATGACTTGACCAAGCACGGGACCTTTGAAAATGTGGACCGCTGGCTGCGGGAATTGAGAGATCACGCGGAGGCGAACATCGTGGTGATGCTCGTGGGCAACAAGTCGGACCTGAAGACGCAGCGGGCCGTCGAGACGAGTGAAGCGATGGCCTTTGCAGAACAGCACAACCTCGCCTTCATCGAGACGAGTGCGCTCGACGCGTCGGGCGTCGACGTCGCCTTCCAGAACATCCTGACCGAGATCTACCGTCTGATGAACAAGAAGCAGATGCAGGAAGGCTCCGCCAAACAGTCCGTCGCTTCCAAGGGCGAGAAGATCAGCATCACTTCTGGTGAGGACAAGAAGAAGAAGAAGTGCTGCTAGTAGTGGGTGGGGGCGTGTGCGTTAAAACCAAGCTGATATATACTCTTCAGTTATCCGGGCGCGCGCGCGGACGCTTCCCTGGCTGCGGCTCGCTGACCGCGTCCTCGGGTAGGCGGTCGACGCGGCGGACGGGCTCCGCGACGACCGGCGTCGGGGGCGACACGTCTTGCTACATTTTGCTAGTACGTCTTTGATATAGCCTGTAAAAAAGCCGACGCAATCACGGCCGCGACGACAGCCCTCAGACACTAGCAAGCAAGCAAGCGGGACTAACTGGTCATCCCACCCGCCGCAACTGGAGTCCTTCGGGCTGCCCCGCACCATGGAAGAGACCAAGGCGGAGCCTGCCCCAAAAACGACGCCGCTAGCTGCCCAGCCGGACCACCACCACAAATGGAACCCGTTTGTGGCGAAACGCGTGGCGATGAAACTGGCCAGCCCGGCGCACGCCGCGCCGGCGCCGGTGGCTGCGCCGGCCGCGGCGCCGGCCGCGGCGCCGGCCGCGGCGCCGGAGGCTGCGCCGGTAGCTGCGCCGGTAGCGGCGCCTGCACCCGTCGAAGCCGCTCCGCCGCCACCGCGGCCCGCACCCGCGGCCGTCGCGAGCCCCGCCCGGGCGAAGCCGCCGCCGCCACCGTTCCCCAAGCCCACGGCCGCACCCGTGCCCGCGCCCCCGACGCGCGACGCGCTCGCCGGCGCCTTCGGCGCGCCGGCCGCGCCGGCGACGCGCGACCCGCTCGCTGGGACGCGCGCGGCGGCGGACGGGAGCGCCGCGCCGAAGCCGCCGGCCAAGGCGCCGGCCGAAGAAACGAAGCAGGTGCCGTCGCCCGAGGCCCTCTATCTGCGCCGCGCGCTGCCGGCGGCGAGCCCCGCGAAGCCGCCCCCTCCCAAACCGACCGTGAGCCCCGCCAAACCCAAGCCGCGACCGCCGCCGCCGAGCCCCGCGCGGTCGTCGGTGTCGTGGTCGGCCACGCCTCCGAGAAAACCCAAGGCCGCGGAGTTTTTGGGAAATGCCTTCGACCAGAAGCACGAGCAGCCCGAGGTCGCGGTACTGCGACACGCGCGCGATGTGATACGGGAGGCCGCGTCATCATTGGAAATCAGCATCACGGGCAAGAAAGGCCCGACGACGCCCCGGGCCGCTTCCGTATTAAGACCGGCCTGGGCCTCGCTCATCAAGGCGACGCGCGGCGCGCTCGACGAGTTAATAAACGCGACGCGCGACGAGGACGCGGCCCACGTCGCGGACGGGTTGCTGCGGGATTTGGGCGACTACCTCGAGCTCGAGGCCAAGGCGAAGGATCGAGATGTCGTCTCGGAGAAGAAGGTGAAGGTCAAGGAGTATTTTGATCCGAAGAAGTTGGACGTGGTACGAGGGCTAGACGACGTCCAGACGGAGAGTCGGCTACGGACGCTGTTTGCGATGTACTCGCTGCCCTGCGGCGGCCAGGAAATCAAGATTGATGGTTTGGGTGCTCACGAGCTCGGCGCGCCGCTGGACGATGCGACGGCGGCCGCGATCGAAGCGTACGCGGCAGCTTTGGAGGGCGCGAAGGCCCTGGCGCCCTTGCCGTCGGCCCACTTGTTGGTGGATATCGCTTTAGATGCGCGGCTCGAGGCGCTGCGGGGCCGCGTCGCGCGGCGCATGAAGCAGCTCAATTTGTGTTTTGCGCTGGGGCCGTCGCTGACGGGCGTCGCGAACGCCTTGGTGCAGTCGGATCGGCCGCGGTCTTCAATACTAGCGCACACGGCGGCGCTGGCGGATAAAAGAAGGGCGGCTCGTAGGGCCCGGGGCGCCCTGAAGGCCGCGGCGCGGCGCGGCATTGGTGGAGACGATCCGAGAGTCCGGGAGCTCGAGCGACGAGCAAGGCAAGCGGAGCGCGCGGCGCCCGCATCATTATTTAACTTGGGCGCGGCGCACCGTTTGGTTGGCGAGGACCGGCGCGCGTCGGAGTGTTATAATGCCGTCGTGACGGCCGCGAAAGCTATAGGAGGCAAGGAGGGCACCGCACTCGTTGGGCGAGCTTTACACGAGCGCGCCGTGACGGCGGAAGCGGCGTCGGGCTACCACGAGGGCGCGGCCGCGGCCTACTCGCAGGCTTTGAGGCTGCGGAGGGAGGCGCTCGGGGCGACGCACGCGGACGTCGCCGAGACCTTGTGGCGCCGGGGCCGCGCGCGCTGGAAGTCCGGCGATTGTAGTGGAGCGCGCGAGGACTTCGAGGAGGTGCTGCGGATTCGCGAGGCGTTGAATGAGGACGAGGAGGTCTTGGCGATTGTCCTCGTCGAGCTCGGCGGCGCGGCGCAGGCCGATTCCAGGTTGCCGCTCGCGGCGGCGAGCTTCGACCGCGCGCGGAGGATACGAGAAAAACAGTGGGGCCCGACGCACGTGCTGAGCGGCGAGTGCGCGAAGTTGGGGGCGCGCGTCCACGCGCAGCTGGGGGACCACGAGAAGGCGTCCATGCTCTACGCGCGGGCCTACCACGCCTTCGCCAAGACCAAGGACCGGCGCAAGGCCGCTCGCAAAGCCTGGCTCGCCTGCCGGCGCGAGTCGCTCCGCGGCGCGCTCTCGTCTCGGAAAACCGGGGACGCGCTGCCCGCGTCGTCCAAGACGCTCTCGGAGACCGTGACGCCGCCGGCCGCGACGCTCAGCTTCGCGCCGCCGACGCCCGCCGGGGACCCCGACGCGCCGCCGCGCGTCGCGAGCTCGTCGTCGTCGGACGGCTCCATGGACTGCGCCGTGAACGCGTCCTGGGAGCGGCCCGCTTCCTTGGCGGCGCGTTCTCATAGTCCTATCTTGGTAACGTAGTGCAGTGTTTTTCACTATAGACATTCTTTTAGTTACTAGTCACGGGAGAACGGCCGCGGGAGTCGGATTTGCAAGCTCCAGTTGTCGAACGCGAAGCGACTGCGCAGACGCGTCTTCCGGTACCGCGTCTCGAGCATGTCGAGCGGCGAGACGCCGCGGTTGTCCCGCTCGTCGAGCAGGCCCGTGTCGCGCTTCGCGAGCTGGTCCAGCCACGCGTCGGCTCCCAATCGTGCAGCCGCGTGGGCCGGCGTCGCGCCCGTCCGGTCGCGGGCTCTGGGTGAAGCCCCAGCCGCCAGCAATTCGTCGGCGACGCGCAGCGAGCCCTGCGACGCCCAGGGCCGGTGCGCCGAGAGTGCGGACCAGTGCAGCGGCGACCGGCCTAATCGGTCGCGCGCGTCCCGCACGGCCTTGGCGTCGTGCGCGCAGAGCATCGCCATCGCGTCGACGCGCGCAAAGGCGGCGGCGTAATGCGCCGGCGTGGCCCCTCGCCGCGCGTCGACGCGGCGCGGGTCCGCGCCCCGCTGCAGCAGGACGCGCGTCGTCGCCGGATTGCCGGCCAGCGCGGCCAGGTGCAGCGCGCCCCGCCCCAACCGGTCGATGTCGTCGACGGAGGCGCCGGCGTCGGTGAGGAGGCGAATAATCTCCGCCGCCTCGTGTTCCCGCAGCCGCGCCGCCACTAAAAGGGCGGTGAGGCCGTCGCCGTTCCGCGCCGCGAGGTTCACGTGCCCGTCGCGCAGCAACGACCGGAGGCCCTCGACGTCGCGCGTCTCGACGAGGCCGTGGAGGCGCGTCGACGCCGTGGAGGCGGGTGTGGAGGGCGGCTCGGGGAGGTCGGCGTCCTTTGACGGGAGGCGCTGCAGCTTGGGCGCCTCGCCGGTCTTCGTCGGGAGCCGGTTCAGCTCGCGCGTGCCCGGCGGCTTTGTGCCGTCGCAATTCGCAGCGAGCAGCGTGGTTGCGCCCGTTGCGGCGGTTGCTCGCACGGCCAATTGACGGAATAGTCTTGCGCTCGCGGCCATGTTTGATGCAGGCTCAGGCTCTGGGTGCACCAAAGTGTTCTTGTATGTGTCGACAGTTGCCGTCGCTTGGAGCAGCGATGAAGTGGGACTTAGAGGTATCGATCCGCTTCCTCAACGCCTATGAGACCCAATGTGCGTCGCACAAGCGGGCGCAGCTTCGCGGTGACGTCCCATGGAGCTGAGCCTCCACCGAATTGTTTTTAGCGCTCAGAACAACAGAAGGCTCTCCTCCAGGCGATTATTTCCAGCAGAAGACCCCTGGCGGGCGTCGCTGCTAGCGGCCTAAGACACTAGCCAGGAAGCAGCCAAAGTAGCTGCCAAAGTGCTGGGCCAAAAAGCAGCACCGCCGCGGTCTGCGTTTGGGCTCAGGTGTAGATTTGTCATCTAACGAGTGCGCGCCGTACTGCCACAACTCAATTTTTTAATTGATTGCGCTGACACTGCAGTAAAGCCAGCCAAGCAGCCATGGCCTGCGTCCTAGAAGAACAAGACGAGTTCGCAACGCCGACGAAAACAGACGAGACTGAGCGCGTCGACGTCGTCATAGTGGGCGCGGGCCTCTCGGGCCTCTGGTGCGCGACGCAACTACACAAACACAACTACGACGTCGTGCTGCTCGAAGCGCGGGACCGCGTCGGCGGCCGCGTGCTCACAACCGCCGAAGGAGCCGACCTCGGCGGCAGCTGGGCCTGGGGCGAAGATAAAGTGAAGGCGCTCGGCGCGGCGACGCGCGCCGAGAGCGTGCCGCAGCGCAGCGAGGCGCAGGACGAGATCCCGTGCGGGCCGGGCGCGACGCGCTGGCGGGGCGGCTACGCGCCCCTCGCCTCAAAGTTAGCATCCAATCTCGACGTGCGCCTCGATCGCAAGGTCGCCACCATCCGCCGCGAGGCGCCGGACGCCACGGACGAGGGGGACGACGACGAAGTGGTCGTCACGCGCGGCTTCTACCGTATTGATGAAACGATCCAGTGCCGGGCCGTCGTCGTCGCGGCGCCGCCCTGCGTCTTCGTCGACGACGTCGTGATCGAGCCGCCCCTATCCGAGGAGCGAAAGACAAAGATGCGCGCGACGGCGACGTGGTGCGGCGACTGGGTCAAGGTCGCGGCGACCTTCTCCGAGCCGTTCTGGCGGAAGGCGAACGCGTCGGGCGTCGTCTGCACGAAGGGGCCGCTCCAAGTCTGGTGGGAGGCCTGCTCGCCGGAGACGGACGGCGCGACGGTGTTGGTGGGCCTGGGCGTGGGCGTCGATATTGATCAGAAGAACCTGCGCCGCGTCGTCGTCGACGCGCTCGGGCCGCCCTTCGGCGCGAAGGCCGTCGAGGCGCACCTTATTAGTGTAGAGTGCAAGGCCTGGATGACGGACGATCTGACGTACCGGGCGGGCACGGAGCGCGACTACGGCCACGAGCTGCTCCAGGCGCCGCACGACGGGCGCATATTCTTCGCGGGCACGGAGACGGCGCCCGCGCACGGGCACGTTTATGGTGCGCTGTTTGCGGGCGAGCGAGCAGCGCTGCAGGTGCGCGTGGCGCTCCAACCGTGCCCGCCGCCGGGGGGCGAGCGCGAGAGCCTCGGGTGAAGGCGTGGCTTTGTTGCTTTGCTCCTAGCCACCACGACCGACGCCTCCCTGCGTGACCGCCCGCCCGCCCCGCCCCCGGCCCTCATACGCCGTTGTTAAGTGAAATGTATACCCCCTCGACGCCATCGCCGCGACTACCAGTCGTGCGGCCGCCACGGCGTCACGTCGACCATCGCGCAGCGCGGCTCCAGGTCGCGCCCGAGGCAGAGCTCCTCCATGAGCCGCGACCAGTTCGAGCCCGACGTGATCACGAACGCGTCGGCCTGCATGGCCAGCACGAGCGCGACCAGCGAGTGGTAGCCCGACTCGCGGTGGTTCCGCGCCTGGTCCGCCATCCCGTGGCGGCCGTACAGGACTTTGTCGGAGGACACCGCCGCCTCGTAGACGACGACATTCCAATTGCGAGGCACCGCCTTCCTAAAAGCGGCGACGGCCTTGGCGTCCTCCGTCGTCAGGAACACGTCCAGGGCCTCGCCGCTGTACTTCGTTACATTTTTAACTGCCTCGACGTATTCATCGATGGGCCTCAACGCCATCTCGCGGCCCTTGTCGCCCCAGCGCACGTGCACGCTCACGACGCGCCTCGCGCTTCCCGTGAAGGCGCGGTAGGCCGCCGTCTTCATTGCATCCGCGTAGATCGATGAATTCATGTGCGCCATCAAGTACTGCGTCGTCGCGGCGCGCCGCAGCCGCTTGTCGACGCCCCAGCCTTTCGGACCGTGCTTGCCCTTCCAACTCACGAGGTGCTTCGCACAGGACTTGTCGCGCGGCAAATCAAATAAAGTCTCGTCCGGATCCCAGATCCAATTCCGGGACACGGCGACGCACGCGTTTCCCCCCGTGGCGTTCTTCGCGTTCCAGAGGGCCTGGCCGTAGGTGTGCAACTCCATGCCGAAGCCGCCGCTCCGGAACTTGTGGCACCGGCACGCGCCGCGCGCCGCGAGCTCGTTTTGTGTGAGGTCGCTCACGAGGTAGCCCAGGAGATTGAGGAGGCGCTTCATTTTTTGTGGCGCGCGTCGACGATCGACGCGTCACGCGTCACGCCGTGGCGCCGCGTCGACGGCCGCGCGTCAGGTCTTGGAGATGACCAATTTTGGACTTGAGCCACCGCGAGCCACGCGTTCAAAATTGGCGCATGGTGAATCGTGGGATGAGGAGAGCTTGTTAAAAGTAATGATATTTGCGAGCTTAATCTGCGCGAGCTCTATCACATTGGCTTCATGTCGACTTGGTGTCGACCAGTGCTAGTGTGTTGCTACGCTAGCAAGCAGCGCTGAAGTTCTCAGTTCTGGCTTTTTTGCGAGCTGAGGCTTATCATTTGTCGTCGGAAATACTTATTTGCAGCTGTGAGACACTGCCGATCAGTCCTGCGCGCGCTCGTTTAAGACCTGTAGACCAGCATCACAATGAGGCACTGCTACCTGCTCTCAGTGCTCTGGTGCGGCCTGCTGCTGCGATGGACGCACGCCTGCACCACGGTCGTGGTCAATTCAACGGATGGTGGCACAGTGATCGGACGCACGATGGAGCTCGGGATTCCGCTGCCGGACCGCGCCTCGAACGAGATCTGGTCGCTCGTGGCAAGTCAGCGCGACGAAAAGCGATTCGGCTACGCGGCCATCTCGGCAGCGCTCGGCGGCGCCACGTCCGACGCCTTCGTCGTCGAAGGCATGAACGAGAAAGGCTTTACGGTGAGTGTCCAGACGCTGCAGCAGTCGGTCTACGAGAACCACACGACGCCCGCGCCGCAACCAGTTACGTTCGACAGGGTGGCGGCGTATTTACTGCAGCGCTGCGCGTCCGTGGCTGACGTCGCAGCGGCGCTGCGTGCCATTATCGTGGTAGACAATCCGCTCTTCGCAAAGCTCTTCGGGCGCTGCCACTGGTCCGTGGCCGACGCGAGCGGCACGAGCGCCGTGATTGAGTATCTTGACGGCCGCCTCTCGATGCACGACAACAGTCGCATCGGCGTCATGACGAACGACCCGCATTACGAGTGGCATCTTCACAACCTGAACGGATACGCCGCGTATCCTACGACGAGGAACCAAGCGCCGTGGGGTCTCACATCGGTCGAGACGGCCGTAGGAACTGTTCCCGGCGGTCCTCCGGGCCACGGCTTGAACACGCGAGGCCTTCCGGGCGGAACGACACCACCGGATCGATTCGTGAAGATGTTCCTGCTCCGCGAGATGGCTCAAGCTCACGCCCCAGCCGCGAGCGTCGACGACGCCATCGTCGTCGCCCAGGGGCTCCTGAACACGGTTCACCTCGTTAGAGGCACCATCGCCTCGCTGGGAGGATTGGATGGGCTCGAATGGACGAACTGGGCCGTCGTGAAGATCCCCGCGCAACGACGATTTTTGTTGAGAACGTACTCGGACCATGCCTGGCGCGACGTCGATCTCTCGAAGATCGACTTTGCGAAGGCGCACGCGCCGCGGCCACTCTACGACGGGCTCGGAACCCATCGCAGTTTCCTGCCGCCGGCACTCGTAACACAGTAATTCTACTTAAACACAATAATCACCCCAGGCGCGCCATCGCGTCCAATTCATCGGCCGTCGCCGCGTCGAACGCGGCCCAGGGCCGGTCGCTGTCGAAGCGCGCGAAGGTCGAGACGGCGGCGCGCACGGAGCCGCCTCCATTAAACCGCGCATTAAAACCACTCAAGACGTCGGCCCACCGCTTCGACGCCATCTCCGGCGTCAGAACTTGATCATAGAACAGTCGCGCATTCCGCGCTAATAAGGAAGCGGTCTTGTCGTGCTTCTGGAGCTGGTCGGCCATGGGTGAAGCGGTACGAACGTTCACGTCGAGATGCGTCGCCGCGTGCTTCGCCGCAGCGTCGTACCATCGCACACAGTTCCGCTCCCATTTTACCACCACGGCGCCGACGCCCCACAGCACCGCATCTTGCGCCGCATCACTACAACCTCCACTCTTCTGAATCTGTAACACATACCTATAATCCGCCACCCATTTGAGCACCGGAGCGGCTCGTGACGTCCCCGCGCCAATCTTGAAGATGCGCCGCAGGAATCGTATGATCGTCGGCGACCGCGGCGCCCGGTCCAAACAAACCCGCTGGTCGATCTTCTTGACCTCGTGCTCCATGCGCACGTCGTAGGAGTACGGCTTGTACATCGACAGCGCCACAGCTTGTAATCTAGCCCACTGGCCGTCGTCGCTACAATCCAGGGGCTTCGCGATCCTCCCGCGCCACCAGATCTTCTTCTGACTCCTAGCGTCGCCGACCTCAAATCTCGCTTTTAATGATGAATGCGCGGCGCCCCAGCGGCGCACGCGGTCGGCATTCGAAACTTCCATCTTAAACTTTGTCGGGATGTGCCGTTCACCTTTGATAGGAGTATGAAGCTCAAGTATTTCGTCGCCGGGGCCCGGCGCGAGGATACCTCTCGCTGCACGCGACCGGGCGTGCGTGACGAAGGGAATAGAAAAGGGCTCGTCAGAAGTGTCGCTCACGTCCTCGGGCGCGTACAACACCGCGCAGCCCTCTCCCTTATAAGTAGATAGGGCAATGGAGAGGAACTCCAAGGACTTCGTCAGAGCCGTGGCCGGCGCCCGGCCGCACGGCTTCGACGGGCCGTGGTTCTCGCTGTCGACGTGGACCTGGCCGTCGACGACGCAGAAGAGCACGGCCTCGCACTTGTAGAGTGACGCCGCCTCCCGCAGCTCCTTTCTCGAGGTCTCCATGAATGATGATAAGGATAACGGGGCCCACGCGTTTATCTGCCTTGTTAAATCGGCGTCGAGCCGGTCCTGGAACCCACTCGCACCTTCTACGACCGTCCCGGGCTCGTCTAACTTTTGACCGAGCTCGTAGGCCTCCCACAGCTTGTCCCTGTCGTCTTTGTTCAACTCAGCATTCTTCCGGAAGCAATGTGGTGAGGTACATTCCGTCCGATTCGGTCTAGGACCAGTCACCTTGGGCTTGCAGGCGTTGCGCTTCGTCTGCATCGCACCTTCGATCTTCGGCGTCACACCTAGATCCGACGCGAAGGGCCCGAGGCACTTCTCGTGTAGAAAAGGCCGCCAATCGTGATTGTCGCGCGCAAAGGCAAGATACCAGGGCTTCGCCGCCCCGGACCAATGTAAGAGTCCAGCATCACCTCGATCCCAGCACGCGTGTCCTCTTTGACAATTCCACCTATTATCGAGTCGCTGGAAGTCCTGCCTTACAGTGAGAATGAGTGGCGGATTCGAACCGAGTTTATACAACCCCCAATTGGTGCAAGGGTCTCGTAAGTCCGTATTCCACTTCATCCAGAACTCGATGCGCCGCGTGTAATCGAGCACGCGCCACCTTTTTAAGTGTAAGACCAACACGCCAGCATTGAACGTATCCAATTGCGCCGCGGGGTCATTAATGCCCTGGGATCTTAACAGACTTTGGACCTGCGTGCTCCGACAGGCCAGCCACGACCCGCACATGGGCTTGTACCTTCTAGATACCGCGGCCACGGCCATGCTTTGCGAGGTCGCTTGGGTCAGTGAGGTATCATATAAATGGGTCACATCTTTTCTCACTACAGTGTCGGCATCCAAGTACACGACCTTCTCCACATCTGAAGGGAGCATCTCCGTTAAATAGAAGCGCGCGAAGTTCGCCTCCGCCGAGAGGTTGCCCTTCCGACTGTTCACGGGCGCGCTGATCGTCAATTCCGGATTTCGTTTGTACTTCGACCACTCGAAGCCGTAGACGGCGACGGACGCACCCGAACCTTGTACGGAACACTTCGTGGCCTCTTCGATGACTTTTACGGAAGGCGGGTCGACGATGAGGTGGAACCGCAATCGGTGCGGTTTCCTCGTCGAATCCACACAAGATTTGGCACAGGCAATCAGCCCAAGCGCCTGGACGCGGTCGCCCGCGATGACGACATCTACCTTAGTTTCTTCAGCATCTTTGCGCGCGCCCTTGAAGTCCGTCAAATCGAGTTCCGGTCTCGGACCCTGGCAATTGACGTCAGTAGGCGTCGAGCACTGCTTCTCAAACAACGAACCGCAGCACTCGCCGGGGCACGCGTCGCACCTTGTACAGGAAGACGGGCAGCACGTCGCCCTATGACCAGACGTGCCGCGCACGCCTTCCCTACAAAAATGGCCGACGAGGCCGCGGACCGCCCTCGCCGTATTTAATTTATCAAGATTCTGCGCGAAGACGCAGCCCACGTCCTCGGGTGCCTCGCAGGGCACTCTTCTTTTGAGGATCTGGGCGGGGCAGCACCGGTCGTTGCCCAGCTGGCACTGCTGCTCGTCGCACGTCCCGCCCTGGTTTTCAATACCTGTATATTTGCACATGCGCGGGCAGCAGATATTTTTGTCGTTGAGCGAGGCGGTGAGGCCGCGGGCGCAGAGGTCCGCCCTAGCGGCGCCGGCGCATAGCAGTGCGAGAACTGCGCGCATTTTACGGCCGCCGCGGCGTGCTGCAAATATTGACGCTATTTATGAGGAGCACTGCTGCGTTACGGATTACCTCACGCTGTCGCTCAGCTTCAAAGCAATGCGACGAACTGCTAACCTGCGTTTCAACCGCACTGCGCGCGGAGTTTGCGGCGCCTCGATATGGACTTTTGCCAGCTCGCTAGTGTCTTACGGCCGCTAGCTATCGTAGCGCTCATCCGTGTGCACGACGAGGCAAAGCATATATTACCCTGCAGAGCTTCCGCAGGGAAGCGTGCGGCTCGATCCTAGTGTGTTATCCACGAAGCCGGTTGTGTTAACCGCCTCGTAGCAGAGAGCACACGCAAAAACAGCCGACGCTGACTGTGCAACGGGCCGCAAAGGCGCCGCGCGCAGCCCCCACCACCAACCAACGCACCACGGGCAGCCCCACCGCAAGGAAGCATGGGCTACCCTGACAACGACCTCGAGCGCCCCACCTACCGGAGCGAGCGCCGCGGCGCGCCGCCTCCACCATCGCACAGCCCCTCCCAGGAGTATAGGAGCCGCAAGGGCCGCGATGACTATGAGCGCGAGAACCGCCACCCGAACGGCGACACGAGAAGACGCAACAAACGTCGCTCGCCCCCGCCGCTGGGCGACGCGCGGCGCCGGCGCATGGCTCCGCCCGCGGACTCGCCTCCTCCTCGCGGCCGCGACACCCGGCCCACGCCCGAGCGTGAGGACTACCGCAAGGGCTACGAGGCCGCCAAGAAGGAGATGCTGCGGAACCTGTCGGGCGCGACCGACGAGGGCCCGTCGCGCGAGACCTCGCGTGCGCGCGACACCTCACGTGGGCGCCGCCGCGACGACTCGCCGGTACGACGGGAGCGCCGCCGCGATTCTCCCCAGCGCCGCGAGCGCCGGCGCTCGCCTGAGCGCCGCGAACGCCGGCGCGACTCGCCCGAGCGCCGCGAGCGCCGCCGGGACTCGCCCGAGCGGCGCTCGCGCGAGCGCCGCCGGGACGATTCGCGCGAGGGCCGCCGCGAGCAGTCGCGGAACCGCGCCGAGTCGCGCGAAGGCCGCCGGGACGATTCCAGGGACGGTCGTCGCCGCGACGAGCCGTCGCGCGAGCGCGGGGCCGTCTGGCGGGAGCGCGACGAGGCCCTGCGCCGGTCCGAGGAGACGTGGCAGCGGTCCGAGGCCCGGGCCCAAGCCGCGGCGCCGCGGCGCCGGAGCCCGACGCCCGATAATAGAAGAAGGCGGAGCCCGTCCCCGGAGTGCAAGGAGGCGGACGACGACTACTCCCTGGCACCGGCGACGCGCGGCGTGCTGATGGACGACGACGCCGTGTCCGAGGCGTCCGAGGCGGCGTCTGAGCTGACGGCCGACGACGATGCGCTGTCGCCCGTCAAGCCCTTGCGAGCCATGTCGAAGACGTCTACGCGAGGGCGGTTACAGCCGATGGCCTTCGAGGATGTATTATCAGTGCCGACGCCGCTCGAGCCGCCTTCGATACGGAAAATCCCGCTGCTCCAGTGCGTCTTAGAACGGAAGAAGTCGACGTTCGGCTCGGGCGAGCTCACGCTCAAGTTCGAGGACAAGACTTTACTGGTAGCGAAGAAGACGTCGCGGAGCGGCAACTACCACATCTTCGACGCCACATGCGGGCGCATCGGCGGTGGCTTCTCCAAGAAGGGCGGCAATTATCTGGGAAAGATCATGGCGCCGAAAGGCACTGGCGTGGATCTGGGCGGTGGTTCGGCGCACCACCGCGTGCTGGTCGACGGCTCTCAACAAAAGAATGAGCACGCGCTCTTCATCCACAAGCGCACTTCGACATTGACGTCCTTCGTTGACGGGGCGAAGCCGCGGCAGGTGTCGGTAGCGCTGCCCGGTAGCTCAGCAAAGTCTGAGCTACTGACGCGGTTCTCGCACTCCGACGACAAGTTGACCGTGTTGGAGCAACGGCAACCGAAGCTCGTGGACGGCCAGTACTCGCTGAACTTTTACGGGCGCGCGACCGTCGCGTCGGTGAAGAACTTCCAGCTCGTGCCCGGATTGAGCGACGACACGGTCGTGTTCCAGCTGGGCAAGATCGGCGACCACGACTTCAACCTCGACTTCGCGCCGCCGTTCACGCCGTTCTCGGCCTTCGCGCTCGCCGTGTCGCAGTTCTAGGCACAAGGCCTTTGAACCCTCTCCCCCTCCCCCCCGGTAACAAGACTACCACGAGACGGTTCGTCGCCCGCGCCGGGGGTTGCCTTCGCCGACCGAAGGATGCAGATGTGTCCATACTCGTCTCGGGGCATATGATGGCTGTGTTTAACGCTCGATACGCGTGCGCGGCGGTGCGCCCCGGGCCCCGCACCTTGGCCGCAGAGCGGCGCGGCCTGGACACTCGCAGAGCAATTGTACTCCGACGACAGCGCGCGACACGCGCAGGGCAGCCCCGGAACGCTGCCCGGGCATCGCGCTACATGCCCAAGATCATCAAACGCCTCCGCAACTTCGGCTACCGTGTGCCATTCCTGCGCCGGCGCTTCGAGCTAGAAGACATTCTGCTTGTGGGGGTGGCTGTCGGTGGCTCGTTTGCCGTCGTGCTGGGCTGGATTTTGTGGGTCCACTGGCGTATCCTATAGAGAAATGACGCCGGCGCTCGAGAAATGGCTCCGCGAGCACGTTACGGACACGGCGCGCCGCGCGGCGCTTGCCGACGCCGCCGACGGTCTCGTGGACCTCTACAATGCGGAACGAATCGACTTGGAGGATGTGCTGACGATTTCTGAGTGGCCTGCCTTTGCGCGCAATCGGTTTCTCCGTGCGTGGCAATCGCTCAGAGACGCCGGCCGCGCGGCGGCACTCGCGGCTGACGAAGGGACGGGGGAGCTCGTGCTGCCTGCGGGGCCTGGCAATCCACCGACGGTCGCGACGCGAGCGACGCAGACACCGGGAGTCATCATGGCGCCCGCGCGACCCGCGTCTGCCGCCGCGCGCGCAGCGCTCAAGCGACGCGACCGCAATCATCGTGGTGGCCCGTCGCTCGGCCCGCGCGACGCGCGGGGCTGCTTCCCGTGCCCGGCCGGTTGCCCGAGGACCTTCACGCACGCGCCGGCGGCCGTGCATCACGGCAAGTCCTGCACTGCGGGCGGCGCGCGACCTCCCGAGACAAACCGTGACGACGAGACGGCTGAGGAAGCTGCCGCGCCGCCACCACCACCTCCCGATACGAGCCGTGACGAGGAGTTGGCCCGGCAACTCGCCGGCTTGCCGGGCCGCGCGCGACAGGCGACACAACGGTTCTCAAGCCTCGAGGACGCCGGCCAGTCCTACGCGTCGCCCGAGCGCGCTGCCGACCCAAGAAGGCCCAAGCGCCCCAAGAAGGCCAAGTCGCCCGTCGCTGCATCGGCGGAGTCCTCTGACGCGGCCGAAGCGCGGGAGCTTGCGACCGACCAGGCGGCGATCCGTGAGGCCTACGCCAGGGAACAGGCCCGCGCGACGGAGGAGGCCAGGGAACAGGCCCGTGCGACGGAGGAGCGGATCCTGCGCATAGCGAACGCAGCACTCACGCGGCGCCTCGGCACGGAGGAGGAGATCCCGCGCGGGCGCGAGAAGAAGCGGTGCGCCGCTACGCGCGCGCCCGCGGAGACGCCTTCGACAGCACCACGCATCGAAGGAATCGCGGCGGAGACGACCGACGACGATTCGGACGCCGAGGTCCTCCCTGCCAAGAGGGTGCGCGGCTCAGCCGCTGCGACGCCGGCGCGGCCAACCCTGCCGTCTACTTTCGCTCCCGCCGCGGCGGACACGGCCCCCGTGACACCGGAGATTCCCAGTGACAAGGCGCTGACAAGCCCGGTACGCCCGGAATACGCCGTCACGCCGACGCGGAAACAGATAACACAACAAATGTGCGGCGAAAGCACCGCGTCTTCCTCGTCGGACAGTGACACCGACGAGGACTTCTCTCCGGACGGGGCGCCGGTGCGGAGTGTTGAATCCGACGCGGAAGACGACGCGCGACCGCCACCCAACGACGACACGGACGACGACCTGCCTCTGCCGCCGCCTGTGGTGAAACAGGAGCCCGTGCCGCCGGAGGAGCAGCGCGCCGCAATCGAGTCGGGTGGCCCAGGCGAGGAGGTCGCGCCCGACGACGACGACGACGAACCCGAGTTCTACACGTGTAGCTTTTGACACGATACAAAGACGAATAAATAAAAACAGAATCGTTATATAGATAGGGGGACCCGCCGACAGCGACGCGGGGGGAGAGGAGGCTATGCCGACGGCGGCGAGCCCGACTGCAGCGAACCGACCGACCGCGCGCGCGGCGGTCGCGGCGGTCGCCCGGCGATGCGCGGCGTGTCCGTGGGCGGCGGCGGCGGCGTCGACGACCGCGTGATGTGCTTCTCGATCAGCTGATCAATCAGCGCCTCCGAGGACTGGTTCCGCTTCAGACCCTGCGTCGGGAGCGGCTGGGGCGACGGCGACCGCTTTCGGGGCTTCACTTGGAGCTTCGAGTCCGACGAGGTCTTGGGCAGGCCGTTCATGATCACTAGCGATTGATGTCTCGAAATGCCGTGCTTCCGTTCGCAGCGATGCTCCACCCGATGAATGCGCCGCAACGCGTGCTCCATGTTCTGGACGATGACCTCCTCCAAATCTTCTTCTTCGGGATCCACGGCCGCTCAAAATGCGATTTTGTCGCTCGTCAACCTTGCACGCCAAACGCCATCACCGTCGCGCCGCATCCCTCCAGCCACCAACAGGACATCTCCGGAGGACTCGCTCTTAGTCGGGTCTCGGCTGGGGACCAAAATAAAACCCGCCGCCGCGACCGCCGCGACCGCCCGCGACCATCACTACGCCGGCTGCGCAAACGCGCACGCACTACGCCGTCGAGGCGCAAAAAAAACTACTCGAACGGGTTCTTAAACGTCGGCAACTCCGGCATGGAGAACCCCGTCTCCTTCTCGACGGCGACGGGCTCCTCCTCGACCACCGCCTCGACATCAACCGAATCCCCGCCGAAGCGCTGCACGATGTTCTCGTCGACCCACGGCGCCGCAGCTAAAGCGACCCCAAACCGTAAAGGTACGGCCAACCGCGCCACGTTCGCCCCAACAAATATAGAAGCAATCACGGCAGCTCTATCTTCTCCCGAGTTGAACAGGTCCGGCGCGTGGCCGTTCGCCTGCGTAAACAAAGCAGCAGCTACCGGGAAGGCCACGGCCCAGAAGGCGAGCTCCGTGAGGACGTAGGCGATGGTCCCCGAGACACCGAACTTCTTCACATCATCATAGGTAATAGCGTTCTCCCCGTCGCCTCCAAATGAAGGTAAGGAGAAGCCCTCGAACTCGCCCACGCCGGACGCGAAGGCCGGTCTCGGTAGGATCGTGTAGGCTACGGTAGCTGGTACGGCTAAGAGTATGAGAGCCGCCAAGATGCTATTAGGCTGAGTTAAGATAGGTAGCGCTACGAGAGAACCGTATTTTGTCAAATAAGCCGCCCCGACGGCCACGGCTACTATTTCTCCTGTTAGTACTAAGTCGGGAGTCAGGTCAGCAACGGGCTCCACTCTTTGTACATCTAATTTGTAATCACCGGTCGTCGGGTTCACATCATCCAAAGATTTCGGGATGGCATCAGACAAGGTCCAGCCGTTCGCTAGAGCTAGTCTCAAGGCAGCGATGAATAACGTCGTGTTGCCTAGGAAGGTTAATCCGGCTTGCGCCGTGACCAACCACGACAAGGCCGCCTGGTTGTAGAACAAATGATACGTACACGCACAGACCCCAGACGCATGCGAAGGCAGCATGCCCCAGGCCACGCCGTTCCACTTCTCGTCGCCGCTTTGTTTCGCGTACACGGTAGCTAACTTCATCGCTAAGATGAATTCGCACACGCTCGAGAAGTGGACGATCCAGGTCGGTATACTCAAAGCGTTGACCGGTTCTACATCTTGACCGATGCCTAGCGCTCCGAGGCCGCCTAGGAACGGTTCGTGCGCCTCGAAATGAAATAAAGGTACGCCCGTCGCGATGAGGATGGTGGCTGCGATAGCACAAGCCGCCGAGGCCAAGCGAGCCCACTCGGCGTCCGAACCGTCCACGTCGTTCTTCAGCGCGTTGCGGAAGCCGAGTAGAAGCATGATATTCGTCACCGTTAATAAAGCTTCGGCGCCGCCGTGGAGCCAGTCCGCGTCCGCTAATGAGACGCCCCAGGTCGTCTTCGAGATGATTCCTGTTGGTATGGTCGCTAAAACGAATAATAAAAGGTAGGCGAAGCCGAACCTTACTAGAGGTGGCGCGTTGTTCTTCTCATAGTTCAAAAAGTAGAGGAAGAGGACGTAGGGCGGCAGGGAGCCCATGAAGAACTTGCCCGCTAAGTTGCCGCCTTGATCCGCAAATGCTGTGAGCGTCGTGGGGAGGTCCTGGAGCGCTGACAGCGTCTCGGGGACCGCTCTTAATGAAGTGCGCGGCGCGGCCGGGACGTGCGAGATTGGCGTCACGAAGGCGCTCGCGCAGCGGCTTAGCGCCAGCGCTATTGCGACGCGCAGCATCGTAGTTGATTGCTTGAGGTCTTTTTACTGCTATCTGAGCGACTGCGGTGCAATCGCTTTGCAACGACGGCGTCGATTGACGTGCTATGATGTCGAGCTGCGTTTTATTGCAATCTTGCAGCCTCAGCGTGAGCCACGCACACGCAAAGCAAGATCAACCTCCAGCAATCTTTGCAACTCTCGGGTTTTACGCGATTTTTGGCACCCCTCTCGCAGCGTACTTGCCAGTCCGATGGCTCGCCACAACAGGCACCAAGAGGTCGGCGTGCTAGCGGCTGTAAGACACTAGGCATCACAAAAAGCAAGCTCGTTGTTGAAACGGGTCATTTTGGAGGCCTTTTGCCGCGTTAGTGATCGAAATTTACGTAACATATCACCGCAGCAGTCATGCGGCGGCACCAGCTGCGACGGCGGCACCACTGGGCCCTCCTATCAGCAGCTGCAGCTCCGGGGTGCAGCGCTCTGATACCCTTGACGTCGCGCTACGCGCTCCGCGGCGGTCACGCGACCGCAAGGTCACGCAGCCGCCGCTACGCCGCCCCAGTAACGCCGCGTATCGACGGCACAGACGGTACCGAAGACGACGCGCCGCGCACGAGCGCGCCGCACTACCCGCTCGCACCACCACCGGTAATCGAAGAGGGCGCGACGCACCCGGCCTTTGCTGTAGATGCCCCCATCCAAAGGCGAAGGCCCTTCGGCATCCCGTTGATAGGGAGGTATGTCTCATACCTCGAGGAGCTGTGGCGGGCGGACACGGTGGTCAAGGCTCATGATAATGTCGAGGAGGTCGGCCAGACGACGCTAGGGACAAGGGTCGCCACGGGTGTCGCTTTGGGCTTCATCTTCAGCGCCTGGGTCTTTTCCACGCCATCATTATTTGCGGCGGGCCACGCACTCCAGGCTATTGCTGCGGGGCTGGAGTATTTTCGCGTCGCGATCATCCAGGGCGCCGCGCCGGCGAGAAAAATAGCGTGCACGACAACCTGCGTATTGATGGCCGTCGCCTGCCACGCCCCATCAATGCACGAACTAGTGTTCCCTCTGGCCACGACGTGGATGATGGTGTGGTTGTTACTTGCGAGAAGAGCTTGTAGCACAATCCAAGACATCTCGACAACCTTGATGGGTTTAGTATATACGGCTTATTTGCCGTCGTGGTGGGTGCGTTTGAGGTGCGCGCCGAACTGGGCAGTTGTCAAAGGTACAACTTTTTGGTTTGCCCCGCAATTGTGTCATAGGGGCGCGCAGCACGTCTGGTGGACCTGTTTGTCGATAGCGTGCGCGGACATCGGGGCCTATTTTGGGGGGAAGAGGTTCGGGAGGCATTCCCTGGACAAGGTTGGATTGGGCGCAGCTGCAAAGGCCTCGCCGAACAAAACGACTGAAGGCGCCGTGAGTGGTCTCGTGAGCGCGGGCCTGTGCTCCTACGTCGGGGCGTTCTTTTTGAGATGGCCGAGACCGTGGCTCGGCTTCGTCTACGGCGCGGGGGTCGCCACCATAGCATTGGTAGGCGACCTCACGGCGTCGATGCTGAAGCGCGACGCGGACGTCAAGGACTTTGGGCATCTCTTCCCGGGCCACGGCGGCATCTTGGATCGGTTGGATAGCTTCTTCTTCGTCGCGCCGCTGGCCTTCTGCGTGCTGCCTAGGTTGGCGCCGCCGGGGGCCTGGGTCGCGTAGCTGCTCATTGTAATAGTCGTCGTTGATCTTTTTGCTTATTCGCGGCGGTGGCGTATCTCCAAAACCGCACAAAACCCGTGCGATAATCCGTGCTGGGCTTTTGCTGGGCAGCAGCCACGCGTATTTTGCTCCTAGTATCTGTGTACGCTAGCCCGCTTGTGGCACCATTGCGAGCGAAGCGGCGTGCTGAGCCTCTCACAGCCTCCAAGCTGCGAGCAGTAGATTAATTTTAATCTATTCGTCACCGCTGAGAGCCATCGCTTGCGAGCCACCGCCTCTCGTGCGCCAAAACGAGGAATCGCTGCCTTGCTGCCGGCGTCGAGCAAAGCGGATAGGCGAGGAGCAAGGATGGCCGACGACCAGCCCCAAGTGCCCGGAAGTAATGACGAACTCGACAAGCTCGTGAAGCAGTGCGAGGCCGCCGCCGAGGCCGTGACGGTCGCGAAACGTAATGGCGACAAGCCGCGCATCGACGCGGACGTCAAGGCCCTCGTCGCGCTGAAGGAGCAGATCACGGCGATCGCTCCCGACCACCCTTTAGCTCTCAAGGACAAGAAGAAGGCCAAAAAAGGTGGCACCAATCAACCCGCAAATGACCCGAACAAGCCCCTGTCCAAGAACGCGCAGAAAGCCCTCGCCAAGAAGCAGGCCAAGGAAGCAAGGAAAGCCAAGGCCGCCGCCGAGGCCGAGAAGGACAAGAAACCAGAGAAGACCGTCGCGAAGCGCATCGCGCCGCCGCTACCGCAAGAACCGGCGCAGAAGGACGTCGTAAGCTACGGCCCCGATCGTATACCGCTGGCGGCCATGGCGGCCAATGCACTGTGCGGCGGGCCCCTCACGTTCTGCTGTGATGAACAAATGAAGGGGTCCGAACCGTCGTTTGTCGTTGACGGCGTGACGGTGCATGGTAGTACCACAGCGGCGCGCTACGCGTTTACTACGTCGCTATCACCTCTCGAAACAGCTCTGGTGGACCAGTGGACGGAACTAGTCAACAAAGGTTCTGTGGAAACTGCGCTCGAGGAGCGACTGGCGGACGCGACGTATGTCGTGGGCGAGACTTGTACTATTGCTGATTGCCTCTGCTGGCAATCAGTACAATCATCAGACAAGCAACACGTGAAGCGGTGGCTCCGACTCCTCGAAGCGAACCCGGCCTTCGTCAAGGCTCGCCAGATCGCCAAGAGCGGTGGCGACGCGAAGAAAAGTTCCGGTGGCAACTGCCCGCCCCTGGAAGGTGCGGTGGTGGGCGAGGTCGTCACGCGCTTCCCCCCGGAACCGAGTGGGTACCTCCACATCGGCCATGCCAAAGCGGTACTCTTGAACGATTATTATGCACGGAGGTACGGTGGGAGGTTGTTAGTGAGATTTGATGATACGAACCCGAGCAAGGAGAAGGGCGAGTACGCCGACAACATTTTGAAGGATTTAAAAACGCTGGGTGTCGACGTCGAGGCGGATAAAAAAGATGGGTACGTTACTTTGTCTCATACATCGGACCACTTCGACAAGATCAAGAAGGAAGCTATAAAACTCATAAAGGAGGGCAAGGCCTTCATGGACGACACGCCGCAAGAACAAATGAAGGTCGAGCGGGAGGGTCGAGTACATAGCAAGCATCGCGACGACGACGTCGATACGAATCTCAAGAATTTCAAGGACATGTGTGCGGGCACGGCGCCGCAGTGGTGTCTGCGGGCGAAGATTGATATGTCGTCGGATAACGGCACTCTCAGGGATCCGGTCATCTATCGCGCGAACGCGACGCCGCATCATAGAACAGGCACAAAATATCAAGCGTATCCGACCTATGACTTGGCGTGTCCTATCGTTGATAGTTTGGAAGGTGTGACCCATGCCTTGCGGACGACGGAGTACAACGATCGCGACGCGCAGTACAAGTGGTTCCTACAGGCTCTGAAGTTACGACCGGTCAAGATCCACACGTTTGGCCGCGTGAACTTTGTCAGAACATTGATGTCTAAAAGAAAGCTAGCTTGGTTGGTTGATGAAAAAAAAGTGGAAAACTGGAGCGACCCCCGCTTTCCTACCATACAGGGTGTGGTCCGGCGAGGCGTGTCGATCAAGGCTTTGCGGGAATTTATTTTGTCGCAAGGAGCTTCTAGAAACGTGGTCAACATGGAGTGGGACTCGTTCTGGGCCACCAATAAATCAGCCTACGAGCCGACGGCGCTGCGGCTGATGGCTATTGAGGCAGCAGGTTGCGTCGAGCTCGAGGTGACGAACGTGCCGCAGTACGACGATGGGGGCATTCACGCTCTCATAACACAACAACATCCGAAAGATGAATCGATGGGGATGCGGCCCATCCGAGTCTCGAGGAAGCTTTTGTTGGAGGGCGAGGACGCCGCGACCATCAAGGACGGCGAGGAAATCGTATTAGTGAGGTGGGGCTTGTTTAAGGTAACGAGGAAGGGAGATAAGCTCACGGGAGCGTTCCAAGAAGGTGCTGATAGGAGCACCTTCAAGAAGAAGAAGGCTATCCACTGGTTAGCTGCTTCTCCCGTCCAGGTCGCGACCGACATCGTCGAGGGCCAGTGCGGCCACTCGCAGTACGGCGACGTCGTGCCTTGCACGCTGATCGAGTACGACTACTTGTTGGCGAAAAATAAACTAGATGAAAATGATGAATTGGACACGCCTGGTGTGATGACGCCGGTGAGCAAGGTCGAAACTCAAGCATGGGCTGATCCAATGTTGAAATTGATCTCCCAAGGTGCGTCCCAGTGCCTGAATCAATTGTCGCGGCGCGTGCTCACCGGTTGATTTGCGCACAGGCGACGTGATCCAGTTTGAAAGGCGGGGCTTCTACCGCGTGGACGTCGCGTTCCGGCCGCCGATCTGCAACAACGGCAAGACGACGTATCCGCGACTGGTATACGTGCCCGACGGGAAGCCTCAGCACAAGGTGCCGTTTTCTCGCTTGCCTTCGGCGGCGAAGAAATAGGGTAAGGGTTTGGATCTTATCTTTTCTCCCAGTTTCTACACGTTATCTACACGTGTTCTACCGAGTACTTTTGTTACGTGGTTAGCTAGCGGCAGTAAGACACTAGCAAGCACAAAAAGCAGCACGCTTGCTTGCTTAAAGCTGAGTAGCATTGCAGCGACTGCAGCTGGCATTTGGAGTCGCGGAGCGCAAGTTTCCTACCTTCGCAACGGTCTGAGCGATCAGCCTACATCGATTGAGCCGTGCATCTAGCGCAACCCCATCATTTGGAGTCTGGTGGTGTCAGCACAATCAACCTTGCCGCCGCGAGCCCCGCGTGTCGATTAAGCGCGACGCGTGAGGCTTCACTGCGCACGCGTCGATTGCGTGCAGCACCGGCTTTTGCAGACAGCCCGACAAAAAACATGGCGCCGCCGCCGCAAGGCGACTACCGCACCGTGGAACCAGGCATCGAGGAGGCCAAGCTGAACGACGCGCCGCCGCCGCGCCGGCCGCTGCGAGCGTTGCCCTTCGTGTTGTTGGCCCTGGTGCCCTTCGGCGCCCACTTCTTCAAGGGCGCGCTGTCTGCTTTACAACTGCTCCTCCCGCTGTCGAAGGGCGAGTACGGTTTGTTGCACTCGATGTTCGCGCTGCCCAATGCTACTATTGCGCCCGTGCTCGGCGGTCTTTTGTATGACGCGCCGCGACTGCGGAAGCACGCTCTGACCCTCTTCGCGGCCGTATGTTTACTGGGTGGTGCGTTGTGCGCCTGGGGCCTATCGCAAGAACCAGAAAGTATAACGCTCGCGGCGATCTACACGGGCGGTGTCGTGCTAGGCCTGGGCCAGGGCGGCGCCGTCGTGTCGTGTCGCGCCGCCGCGTCGCGCGTCGGCGACGACGAGGCCTTCGCGCAGGGCGTCTTGGCGGCGGCAGCTAATCTGGCGGCCTTCGGGGCCAAGAGCCTGAGCGCGCCGGTGGCGTTGTACTTCGGGGACTACCGCGCGGCGTTGGCGATGCTGCTCGTGGTCCAGGCTTTTTCGTTGTTGGCGGCGGCGACCGTGGCGCCGGCCCCGACCAACGCGCCGCCGTCGCCGATAATCCGGCGCGCGTCGTCCGGGAGCTGCTTCTCGACCTGGGGCTGCCAGTTTTTGAGAAGTGAGCGGTTCTGGCTCGTGGCCTTGTGTCATGCGATCTTTGTCGTCGTCTTCAAGGTCTTCGAGAACTTTTCGTCCGCGATCCTCAAGACCATCTACGGCTACGACGTCGAGAAGGCGGGGTTCGTGGCGTCGTTGGTCCCGCTCGCTTCGGTACTATTGGCGCCGGCCGTCGGCCTCGCGTCGGACCGAGCGCCGTCCGCGGCCGCGCCGATCCTCCTGGCGGCGGTCGCGGCCGTCGCGGGCTTTACGTCCCTCGCCTTCGGCGCCACGACGGTGCCAGCTCCTTTATGTGTCGGGCTCATCGCCATCTCCCACGCGTGCCTGCCCACGTTGTTACTGGCGCTGGTCCGCGACATCGTGAAGGTGTCTTCGCGAGGCGCGGCGTTTGGTGTGCTCGAGACCGTGGTGGCCGTGGGCAACGTCGTCGCCCACGCGGTGTTTGGGTACCTGGCCCAACAGGGACTGCATCCCATAAAGCTCCTCGTCGGCCTCGCCGTGATCGGGATCAGTCTTTTCATGAGACTCGTCTACATCCCGACGCCGCCCGACGCGCGGCTCTCATTATCGTCCGAGAACCTCATGAGATTAGGAGGCTCGCCCGGAAGACTACTAGGCAATGTTGTGTAATCCTATTTAACCTTAGATTTCTTCCTTGGTGCCCGGAGCACGCCGACGAAGAGCAGGAGGAGCACGGCGTTGAACGCAGCGTTACCAATCAAAGCGGCAACGCCCGAGCACGTTCCTAGTTCTCCGTAGCGCCCCGACAGCGTGACGCAGAGCAGTAAAAAGGACACAGAGAACTGGAGGATCTGCAGCCGCGTCACCCAGGCCTTCCACGGCGTCGCCCACTTAAGCGCTGCGCGGAAGTAGTAGTAGTACATGACGACGTGGACAAACGTGTTCGCGACGAGGCCGCCGAAACATAAAGTCTGGCGGTACTCGACGTAGCCCCAGGCCATCAATAACACACACGCGTGGTGGAAGACGTGCAGCCCAAAGTGGTTCGGCGGCCGGCCCTTGATGACCATCGGGAGGAACGTGTCGAGGAGTTCGTAGTACTTCGAGAGGTAGTAGGCGTAGGCCCAGGCGTAGAGCCTCGGCGGTGGATCCTGACTTTCGCAGAAGAACCAGGCGAGACCCTCACTTGCGATGCGGCTTCGTATCTCGCCGATCGCGCCGGCGCACATCCATAACGAGCCCACGCAGAGCACGAGGGAGTGCGCGGCCAAGACGCGGGACGTGCCGCTCGTCGGCGGCACCTTGTGCTTCCACAGATACAGCTTCGCCGTGAGCGCGGCCCAGACGTAGAGCACCCCCGTCGTGACCACGACCTCGATGCGGTGCAGCGGCGCCGTCGCCCAGTCGAAGGTGCTGAAATCTAACATCTTGCGCGTCGGCGGCGTGGGAATGGCTCGCTGTCGCGCGCACGGGTCTCGTGCAGTATGCTGCCTTGTCTATGGCGGCCTGGGTGCTCGGCGCGCGGAGATATCGATGGGGGCTCTCCCTTACAGGCAGAGCTGTGGCAGCCGCTGCGCGTGCGCTGATGCAACTATTATTCTCTTGAATGCTTCTGTGACCTACCACGAGCCCAGGCTCGCACACCTTGCTGTCTAGTTCCGCTGACGCCGCGTGAGCAGCACTCCAAATAGCCAGCTTTTGGCAGCTCCCTCGCTGTCTGCCCAAAAGCCCTCGCACAGGGACCCTGGAGCCGGCACATTGCACACGGCTCGCCAGGACACGCTGAAGGACAAGGGCGACCACCTCGGACGGCCGCCGCCCACCGCGCTCGCCCTCGCACCCAAGTAACAGAGGGCCAAGGAGCAAAAGCCATGGGCAGCGAGAGCGGAGAAGAGGGCGCTATCGACGAGTCGCCTCCGAAAAAACGCGCGCCGCCCAAGAAGGACAAGGCGCCGGCGCGGAAGGCGCCGCCGCCGCGCCCGCCGCCGCCGCAGCGCCCGCCGCCGCAGCGGCCGCCGCCGCCGCTGCCGCGGTCGCCGCCGCCGCCGCCGATGAATAGAAGGCCGCCGCCCTGGGAGGATCGAAGGTTAGGCGCGGAGTGCCGCGCGATTTTACGAGATTTGGCCCGAGACGGTCGGCTCCGGGAAAACGATGTGGACGAGGGCGCGCTTGCGAAGCTAAGCGCCTTGCAGCCCGAGGCCGCGGCGCGCGTCGCGCGGCACCTCGCCGCGCAGCCGCGGGCCAAAGTAAGGAACGTGTCGGCGTGGATCGCGCGCGGCTGCGCCGCCGAGGCCCGGCCGGGGCCGCCGCCCCCAAACTACGACCAACCGGGCCCGCCGCCGCCGCCTGTACCACCACGCGCGCCGAGCCTGCCTCCACAAAACGGTCCCGACGACCCCGACGCCGACCCGGAAATCTTCGCGTTCTTCGGACGGCTCGGTGGCCGATTGGCGAGGAGGGATGTGGATCCCGACGCGTTAGATAGGTTACGGCCGCGGGGGCGGACGGAGGCGGGGAAGATCGGGGACGACTGTAGGAGAGCGCTGCGCGGTGGTTTGCCTTTTGACGACGTGAGCGCGTGGCTCGTGGACCGGTGCCGGCCGCGGGATGTGCTGGGGGAGGCCTTTGCACCTTTACAAAGGGACTACGGTCTTGGATTGGATGCCGTCGATCCTCGGGTGAGGCGGAAGCTGCGCGATGCGCCGGAGGACTCGGTGCGGCGCGTCGTCGACGATTTACGTCGGATCATGCGAACCTCGCGCATCCAGAACCCGTCGCAGTGGCTCTCCGACGCTCTCGATAGGGACAAGCCTCCCAAAAAGGAAGAGGCGAAGTCGCGGAAGCGGAGCCGCAGTCGGTCGCGGTCGCGGGACCGGCCGAAGCGCCGCCACGCCAAGGAGAAGAAGGAGGAGAAGAAGAAGGCGCCCCCCGAGCCGCCCTCCTTCAAGAACTGCGGCCCGAAGCTGAAGACCGCCTTCGAGCCCTTGGAGCAGACGTACAACTTGGACCGCGAGGAGCTCGAGGACGACGTCAAGCAGTCTCTGTTGGATCTCAAGGACGAGAAGGCGGCGTCGTGCGTCCTGGCCTTGTTCGCGACGCTCCAACGGCAGCAGCTCGAGTCGCCGATCGATTGGTTGAAGGAGCGCATCGCCAAGGCGGCGAAGGAGTAGGCGCGCGTAATATTTATATTTGGAGTTGATCTGTGTGGTTCGCGCGCCGCGCCGCCGCCGATGTATGTACATATGCTTACTACTACTAGATTTTGATTGATAGAAAGGTAGAGAGAGACGAGAAAGGAGAAGCTTGCTGCGAGCTTGTGTGGCCGGGAGTTCGCCGCCGCCGAGGTCATTTATACCCTCCCGACCGTCGTTTCGCCTGCCGCGATGGTGTTCAGGCTGCTGTGGTGCGACGGCCCCCGGCCCGAGCGCGCGTCCATCTCGGCCGACACCACGGAGGACGACCCCCACGCCTCGCGCTCGTCCGCGAACGCGTCCTCGCACGTCGAGACGAGCGTCGTGACGCACGCCAGGCTAACCTTCTCTACGTTCGACAGGGAATCCCACCACATCTTGACGCTGTCGACGCGCGAGATCGCCTCGGAGTAGCGAACGAGCTTCCGCTCCGTGTCGTGGAACTCCGCGTACGCGGTGATGCAGATCGTCACGGCGATCGGGATGGGGCTCCAGCGCGCCTCCTGGAAGAACGAGAGCACGACGCCGCAGATCGAAGACGCCAAAAGCAACGATTCCCAGAGGCCCGCCAGGCGCTGGTAGGTCGGGAGGCGCCCCTGGTAGAACTGGAGCCGCGGCAGGACGCGCAGCTGCAGGTACTCCTCCGGCGTGCAGGGCGACTGGTGGTCGTCCCAGAGGCATCCATCATTGGGACCATACCCCGCGGCGACCGGGGTTTTCCGGCGGCACCCGCACCGCTTGTCCGAACGCGACGGCGGCGACCGGTACTGGCCGTGCCGGTAGAGGGCATTATCGCGCAGCGCCGCGCTCTCGGCGTCGGGCGTCGAGAGGCCCTTCGCACGGGCAAAGAACGCCGTGTTCGCGACCGTGGCGGACTTCATCACGTTCGTGGCTATATCGTCGACAAATTCCTTGAAGAGCTCGCTCGTCTGGTTGGGCGGGTCGCCGGGGTTCTGCTGATAGTGGCCGCTCCGCGTGCGGAACTTCCACATCTCGCCAATGAGCGCCTCTGAGGCCGCCCGAAGCTGCTTCCACTTCTCCTCGGGCTTGACGTACGTGATGAACGCGATGTTTACCGTCGTGAGGAGCGTGAGTACGAGCACGTACTGGTTGAGCCCCTTCGCCGACACGGTCTGCCGGGGCATGTACGCCGACGCCATGACGAGCGACGTCGACGCAAGCGAGAGCATGAGGAGGAGGGCGTAGCAGACCTTCGACATGATCTTGCACCGCTGCGCCACGTGTGCGTACATGTCGACCTTATTCCAGGCCGTCCGCAGGATGTGCATGCCTTGGATGGTGTTGCACTTGGGCAGGCGGTCGATCTCCGCGACGCTCTCGACGATTAGCTTCAGCCGCTCGGGCTCCGCCAGACTCCCTGCGTACGTGTGCTCGCTCCCGAGCACGTCCTGGAGGCCGCTGTAGGTGTCGAGCAACCAATCGTTCGCCATGTAGACCGCGTCCGGGTAGACGACCTTGGAGCGCTCCGCCGCCTGGAAGCCCGCCACGGCGTCAACCGCCGCCTCGATGGTCGCGCCTTCCCGGAGCCGCGGGACCTCCGCGAAACATTTGTGCGGCCCGCTGCTCACGACGGTCTGCTCGAAGACGTCCGGAAACATTCCGACGACGCGGGCGCAGCGCCCCTCGCGCCGCGGCGCCGCTTCAAGCGACGTCCGGACGAGCGTCCCGCACCACCTCGTGAACCAATCTGCGAGCGTCGCGTCGATGGTGTCCCGATTGGCACAGCTCGCGATCTCGGTACTGAACTCGTCGAGCTGCGCGGCGCGGTGCTTGTGCCACTTTTCCAGGTACGCTTTCGCCCTTCTACGGTCGAGCCACACCAACAGGTCCGCGCAGCGGCGAATGTTTTGCTTGAAGACGTCCGCGCGCTTGGCCGCGCCCTCCCTCCGCTCCCGGAGCACTTCCTCGTGCATGGCCATGACTTCGTGGATGTATTTACCGCGCGTGCTCGACGCGCCGAGCTTGCTGCTCGACCCGGGGGAGTTGTGCCCGCCGGAGTTCCTGTGCAGCATGTAGACGAGGTAGCTCACGTCGCCGGCGTGGTAGCCGTTGTAGCCCTGCGGGAGCGCCTCGAGCTCCGAGTCGCGCCGCAGCAGCTCGTACGCCGCCGTTCTCAGCCACTTCGCGTCCTTGTCGGACGCGCCCTCGAGCCACGCGGGCTCTTCGTCGCCACCGCCCAAGCGCGCCCGCCGCACCGCCCGCCGAGCCAGCTCGTCGCCGTCTCGGCCGCCCGAACTCGAGGCCTTCGCGCTGCTGAACGCCGCGAGCACGTCGTCCGTCTGCGGCCGCGTCGTGGCCTTCGGCACGATCTTCGTGTCGACGAGGAAGAGCGGGAGCCCCCGGCTGGTGTACTTCGAGAACCGCTGCATCTGCTCCCAGCCGTCCTTCGCCGCGAACGCCCCAAAGGCCAGCGACGGGAGCGTCTCGGCGAAGCGCGCCGTGATGTAGCTCCGGAGCGTCTTCGTGGGGAGGGTGTCGAACTTGTCCCTCGACTGGCCCGGCTGGCCCTCCTCGATGGCGTCGACGATGATGTAGTGCGTCGCGGGCGGCACGAAGGTGTTGCAGTAGCGGTTCTTCGCCGGCGCGCCCATCGACTCCAGGAGCATCGCCTCGAGCTTCGCCGCGTTCTTCTTCCAGCGGGGCATCACCTTGTGGAGCGTGTTGCTGTTCGTCCCGGCGACCTTGGTGTTCTCGTTGATGTGCATGGCGTCGACGACGCAGAGCGTGTAGAACGGCAGCCGCCCGCCGCACCGCGCCGCCTCGCGCTGCGACAGCGCCGAGAAGATGCTGCTGAAGCTGCAGTGGTTCGCGCCCATGATGATGACGGCGTTGGACTCGATGGCGATGGGCAGGAGCGAGTCCTTGATGAACTCGCCGAGGCGCCGCTCCGTCTCGGAGAGGCCGCGCTCGCCGGCCGGCTCGCCGTGCGCCACCGACGGGTCGCCGTCGATGTCGCCCTTGCGGTAGGACCAGTGGCCGTGGTCGTACGCGTTGTGGCCGAAGGACGCGAAGGCCTCGAAGAGGTTGATCACCAGCTTGGGCCGGGGCTCGAAGTCCATGGCCATCACGAACTTGTCCATGTTCTCGAGGTTCAGCATCCGGGCCTGGCGGTTCGTCAGGTAGAGGCACTTGGCCTGGATGCCCTTGATGGTGACCTCCTTGAGCAGCGAGAAGATGTTCTTCGACTGGAGGTCCTCCAGCTCGTGCTTCGCCTTGAGCTCCTCCTGAAGCTTCTTCACGGCCGCGGCGTCCGCCCGCGGCCCGCCGTCCCCGGCCTGCGAGGCTTCGATCAGCGCCTCGATCGGGACGTTGGCCGCTTCCTGCTGCCGGTTGTAGAGTCGGTACCATTCGTCAACGCAGGTCCGCGTCCACTCCACGAGGCCCTCCGGGAAGGCAGCGCCGCCCCCGGGCGCCGCCCGCGCTCGCGCGCGCTGCTGCTGCTCCATGATGCTCTGAAGACGCGAGTTAGGCTGCGTCATCCTGCGCTGCCCGGTTCCATTGCGCCCTTACTCCGCTCTGCGGCGCTGCATGCGCATGGCTCCCACAAACTGCACTCTAAGTCTGGCTCAAGTGGGGTCGGCGCTGCCCCGCTAATTTGAAACGTAAAATGGACGCCTCTGGATTCTAGGTACGATTGGAACCGCTGTGAGGGTTTTCCTCGCGCTAGCGTCCTGTAAGATACTAGCAAGCCGCAGTCGGCCGGCAGAGGCGCGCCGCGGCGTTCATACGCTAGCGCTGCACAATCTGGCCTGCGCACGCGTGCTGCGATCCGTTATCCATCTTAGCACTGCGCTCGCAGCAGTAACCCCAGCAATATGGCTAGCTACGCCTCCGACGGCCGCGCGACGCCCCCACCACCGCCGGCAACCAAACTACTAGTCGTCGTCACAGCGGCCAACGAGTTGCAAGCAACGAGCGCGCGGATCGAACTGGCGAAGCGCAGCCTGCCCGCCCATACCAAAACAATTGCCGTCGCGGACCCTGCGGGACGACGCATCGGTTCGGGCGGGGGCACGCTCAACGCCCTCAAGGCGGCCCACGATTTACTAGGAGACGCGTGGTTGGATAATAGGCTCATCTTGATAATTCACTCGGGCGGCGACTCGCAGCGTGCGCCGTCGCAGAGCGTGTGTGGTAAAGCGTGGTCGCTGCTTCCCACGGTGCCGCCTAAAGCGCCCGTCGATTTACTCATAGAGCAACTCCTCAAACTGTGCGCCGGTGCGCATGGTGTCGTCGTGGCCTGCGGCGACGTATTATTGAAACTGCCGGACGAGCCGGGCTCGCTCGCGAATCAAGGCGTCACGGGCCTCGCCGTGCCCGCGCCCAAGGACTACGGTACGAGACACGGCGTCTACGTGTCTCGTGAAGGAAGGTGCTCTCAATATTTACAGAAGGCGTCTCCTGCCGAACTCGAGAGGGCCGGCGCCGTCGTCGACGACAAGGTAGCCCTGGACTCGGGCGTCGTCTTCTTCGACGTCGCGACGTCCAGAAAACTGGTAGCCTTGGCCGACGCCGCGATACGACACCGCGTCGAGCTCTACGGGGATTTGATCCAGGCGCTTGATGGCGGCGGCGTCGCGTCGGAGGACGCTTTCTTAGCCCTCAAGTCGGACGCACCCTTATCACTGAGAAGGATTCTATATGAGCAGCTCCGCGACGTGCCGCTACATGTCCTGACGCCTCGTGACTCTGCCTTCGCCCACGTCGGGACGTCGCAGGAACTGCTCGATGTACTATGCAGACCGTCGCTCTTTCGAGAGGGCCTTGGCTTGCACGCTTTATCTCAATCGGTCGGTGCTTCCAGTGAAGATGATGGTGTCAGAGGCGTGCTCCTCAACTCGCTCGTCGCGTGTGGGGCGTCTTCATTAATTGCGGGAAGTTTCGTGGAGCACTCGCGCCTCGCATCGTTGGACGTCGTCGGCGCGAACTGCGTCGTGTCCTGTGTGAGAGGACTACCACCAGGATTTAGAATACCTCCTGATACCTTACTCCAACAGACGCAACTGAGCGACGGGCGTTTTGTGTGCGTTATGATGGGTGTCAAGGACGACGTCAAAGGTATGGATACGTTGCGCGGCGAGCCCTTCTCCCAAGTTCTGGAGCGCCTCCAGTCCGATGACGTCTGGCCCTCGGATACGACGAAGACGCTCTGGACCGCCCGGCTCTGGCCTATCAGGGAAACGCCGGAGGACGCGACGCGGGCCGCGTTGTTGACCGATGACTGGCTTGGTGAAAAGTTATCGCTCGCGGACATTCTGCAGCAGGCGGACCGCGGCGCCGAGCTCGCGTGGCGCGACGCCTTACGAGACCACATCTCACACACGGTGACGGCCACGGCACCTTTGAGGATAGATCTGGCCGGCGGCTGGTCCGACACGCCCCCCATCTGCCACGAGGCCGGCGGCGCCGTTTGTAACGTCGCTGTCACATTAGACGGGAAACGGCCCGTCGGCTGCCGCTGTTCTCCGCTTGCGAGGAAGGAGTTAATCCTCAGAATAGAGGACACGCAGACGTGCGTCGTCACGTCGTTGGAAGATTTAGGGGATAGAAGCGACCCGCGCGCGCCCTGCGCGTTGCTGAAGTGTGCCCTAGTCGTGGCGGGCGTCGTCGACGTCGATGGTCCACCTTTACAAGAGCAACTCCAGCACGGCCTGGAGCTCACGAGCTGGTCGCGCGTGCCTACGGGCTCTGGACTCGGCACGTCCAGCATATTAGCGGCGTGCGCCGTGGCCGTTCTCAGGGAGGGATCGCGGCAACAATTGGTCGAGGACGCGTTAAAAGTCGAGGCCGAGCTCACGACGAAGGGCGGCTGGCAGGATCAAATTGGCGGCGTCTACCCCGGTTTCAAGCTCGCCGTGTCGCAGAAAAGTGACAAGTTGATACTGAACGTGAAGGAGCTGTCTTCAGCATCTGATTTGCACTTCGTGCTGATCTACACGGGGACGGCGCGTTTGGCAAGGGACATCCTGGACCGCGTCCTGGAGCGGTGGCGCGCCAAAGAAGGAAGTGTTGTAGAGGACGTCGCGTCGCTCGTCGCGGGCGCGAAGCGGTCCGCCGCGGCCGTGGTCACGGGCGATGCGGTGGTTGTGGGCGAGGAATTGGACAAGTACTGGACGCTCAAGAAGCGCATGGCCGCGGGCGCGCAGCCGCCGCGCGTCGCGGCGATGCTCGCGGCATTGAAAAGGGCGGGCGTGCACGGCGCGGCTTTGTGTGGAGCGGGCGGCGGCGGGTTTCTGGTGGTCGTGACGAAGGAGGCTGACGACCGCGCGGGCGTGCTGGAAGCCTTAGGGGTCTGGAAGGCGGGCGCGTCGCTGCACCGCTGCGACGTAGACCGGGAGGGGCTCGTCGTGGCGCGCGGGGCGTCTTCTTCGTAGTGTAATATATGTGTTGTCGTGGAATTATCTTCCCCCCTCGCGCCGCCACCGCGACGTCGTTTCCCCTCACGCCGTCGCCGGCCGCCGCGGCGTCTAAGCGAAGAACGGCTGCATCGTCTCGGGATACAGTGCGCAGGCCGCGACCATTATCGTGGCCTGTGTGGAATCGATCCGTGGTCCTACTCGGCGAGCATAGGTTGATTTCTGCACGGACCGCGACGTAGAGGCCCGTGAGCCAGACTTGCGTGCGGACGAGGTCGACGTCCAGCGCGTAGGGCAGCGGGTAGACGAGGCGGCAGACGAGGAGGAGCGCCGCGAGCTCGGAAAAGAGCGAAGGCGTAAGTTTCTCCTCGATGCCGACGAAGAAGCAGCAGACGGCGAGGATGGCGGATTCCCATGTGTTATACTGCGAGGACTGGACGCGCTCGATCCAGCCCGAGCCCGGGAAGCCGAGCTCCTCGATGGCGCCGGGCGCCTTGGCCGCGCGGCCGATCTGGGACTGGTAACCTGAGTGGAATTGAGTCTCGATCTGGCTGTGTGGCACAATAGAATCTGAATGCTACGCGGTTGGCGAACCGTTGGGCGCGAGCGCCGCCAGGCCCTCTAGAGCTACGATGGACAGGAGGATGGCGTAGACGGGTAGTGCGAAGACGGTGAAGAGCGGGACCTTCTCGACGTCGGCGACGGGAATCGCGGCGACGACGGCCGCCGCGAGGCCCGAGCCGCACCAGAGCGCACACGTGGCGTGCGCGAGGCCCAGCATAATCGGGAACAGGGCATTTAACTTGAAAAACTTACAATCCGCGAGCGAAAAGCCCTGAGCTCTGATCTTGTCGGCAAAAGTCATCTTGTCTTGGGAGCGAGTGGTGACCATTGTGGCAATGTCGTTTATAATCTAGCGTTCGTGACCGCTAGTCCTCCCCTCTCGTCTAGATCAAGCGCTTTGCCAGAGTCCAGACTAGGCCGGCCGAGCTATAGCTAGCGTCATGTAAGACACTAGCAAGCGGAGAGGCGTCGCATCCTCTTGGGCCAGCGCTGCGCTGCTAGCGAGCCTAGCGGTGGCCTGACACCCGCAATCGACCACTGGCACTGTCGTCCATCGGCACGTAAATCCGCCGCATCGCTTTACGCCGCCTGAAGAGGCCACAGCATTTTTGCGAAGCTCCTCGGTAGGCGCGAGGGCGGCGCGCGGAAGCCATGGCCTTCCTCAACTCCGTCTTCCAGCGCGCCGACACGTTTATCCAGCGCATCGGCGAGGTCGTCGCGCCGGTCGAAGGCCCGGCGCAAGAATTGCAGATCGCGATCCGCAAGCACGACTGGCCGACGACGCAGCGGCTCCTCCAGGAGAATTTTTTTGGGGGCGACGCGCTGAACCAGCCGCTCGGCAGCGACTGTACACCTTTACATCTGGCCGCGGAGGCGGACTTCGTGCCCTGCGTCGAGTATTTGTTGGACGAGGGCGCCGACGTCGACGCGCGGACGCGGTCGACGCACGAGACGCCGCTGCACAAGGCCGGTCGGGCCGGCGCGATGCAGGCGGCCCAAATATTAGTGAACCGCGGCGCGTCGATCGTCGCCCGCGACAACATGCGGCGGACGGCCTACGACGTGTCCTCGAACCTGGCCCTGCGCCAGTGGCTGCTGCCGCTGCAGATGCGCGCCGAGGCCGAGGAGCCTTCTTCACAGGCGGCCGCGGCGCCGCCGCCTCCACAGCTAGGCGCGCCGCCGACGGGGGCCATGCCGGCGTACGGCGCGCCGCAGATGAGCGCGGCGAGCGCGAGCGGGAGGTACGTGGACCCGGGCTACTTCGCGGCGCCGCCGACGCCGCCGGCCGCGCGGCCCCCGCCGGTCGCCGCGGCCGCGCCGCACATGGCTGCTGCGCCGCCTATGGCCGCCGCGCCGCCGCCACCTCTGGCCTCGCCACCGCCGCCCGTGCCCGCAGCAGCGCCTATGGTCGCCGCCGCGCCGCCGCCACCGATGCCCGCCGCGCCGCAGCAACCGCCGTCGCCGCTGAGGCCCGCTTCGGCGCCGCTGCCCCAGTCGTCGCCCATGCGGCCCGCGGCGACGTCGGCGCAGTCGTCGCCGCTGCGGCCCGCGGGCCAGGCGCCGGCGCAGTTCCAGGCTTTTACGGCGTTCAAGGCCGGCGGGCCCCTCCGGCAGGCGGCCCCGCAGCCGCCGCCGCCGCCGCCGGCCCAGCAGCCGACGGTGTCGCCGCAGTTCGTGCCGCGTGCGGCGGCCCCGCCCGCGCCCGGCCCGCCGCTCCAGAGCGCGCCGCCGCCGCCGCCCCCAGCGCCGACGCCCCAGGCCGAGACGGGCGAGCGCTACGCCTTCTGCAACCGCCGCGTCGCCGCCTGTGTGGAAATCAAATTTTACGGCGCGTTCTCGTCGTCCTCCACGCCATCGACGCGACACCTGCTCGATGGCGTGCACCGACGCACTGGTTGATTTCCACACAGGTCGACGCGATCGGCCGGCGCTACGCGGACGGCTTCCACTCCTCGGCGTCGGACCCCTCGCTCAAGGCCAAGTACGGCAACGCGAAGGCCGACTACAGCCACCTGCCGCCGCCGCCGACCTTCGGCGCGCCGCCGCCGCCGCCGCCACCGGCTTCCTATTAGCGGCGCGCGCCAAGCGAGGCATATGTACAGAGCGAATGCTGAGGGGGAGTAGATGATAAAGCACGTTAAAAGAAGAGAAATCAGACGCTTAACAGGGGGCTCCGAAGCGGGCTGCGCTCCGTCGGCGCGACGTCGCCGCAGCACGGGTCCGGCCGCTCGGGCACGCCGCCGTCGTCGAACGCGAGGTGGCCCGCGCCCAGACCCACACAGACGGCGAACAAGAACTCGAACTGGTACGTCATCGCGCAGAGCATGAGCAGGTAGCCCAGCAGCACGTGCGCCATGAACAGTAACGACGCGATGACGCGGTCCCGCAACGACAGGCGCCCCTTGGCCGCGACGACGGCCGCGCGCCGTCTCCTTCTAACATACCCGAGGGCCTCGGAGCCCGCGCCGCCGGCCATGACGAGGACGAACGCGAGCAAAAAGTCCCATCGCGTCGCCAGGACCCAGGCCGCGTTGAAGAGGACGACGCAGGACGGCGTGCCCCAGACCGTGGCGAAGCCACTCATTTGCATGTCCATGGGCATCGCGTCGGAACAGAAATCACTGGAAGTCGTCGTCAGTAGTAACAAGCCCTCGACGAGGGCGCACGCACCAATCACGGCCGGGACGGCCCAGAGCAGGGGGCGGGCGAGCATCGTTATCGGCCGGGAGCGCGTCCGCGTGGTTTACTGGGCTCGGTGGGGCTGTAGTCTTGTTTGCGGGGCAGCCCGCGTCTGTGTCGTACTGGGAGAGCGCCCTCTGCGAGGCAGTATTTTTTTTGTGGGGCAACAATTACGCGAGACGGCAAGGATGCGGCCGCGGGGCGACTGCTTGAATCGCTACGCGTCCTGGGATCCTCGAGGGCGGCTGGTGGCCTCGTTTTGGCTGCTTTCACTGGATTTGTCGGGTTCAGCTAGTGTCTTATTACCTGTACAGGCCGCTAGCCCGCTAGAGCGGATTACTGCTGCTGTGCCACTACGCCTTGGCTGTCGCCGCGTGCACGACGCCTTGCAGCAGCAGGAAGCTGTAACAACTCTCTCAATTCACAGAATCGTTTCCGCGCGAGCGAGCGAGCAATAGCGAAGCACCACCATGCTGGCCGTCCTGCGCACGGCGAGGCGGCTGGCCCCGGCCGCCGCGCGGAGCGCGAGCCGACGACGGATGACCGCGCCGGCGGCGAGCGAAAAGGTCGAGAAGATCTGCGACGACGTCTGCCAGCTCAACGTTTTGGAGCTCAAGGAGTTCCTCGACCTCTTCAAGGAGCGCGCGGGCCTGAGCGACGCCGATTTACAAGGCGGCGGCGGCGGCGGCGGCGTGGTGCAGGTCGCCGCCGCGGCCGCGCCCGCGGCCGCGGCGCCGGCCGAGGCCGCCGCGGAGGAGAAGGAGTTCTTCGACATCAAGCTGACGAGCTTTGATGCGAAGGCCAAGATCAAGGTCATCAAGGAGGTGCGCGCGCTGACGGGCTTGGGGCTCAAGGAGGCGAAGGAGGTCGTCGAGGGCGCGCCGTCCGTGCTCAAGAAGGAGGTGAAGAAAGACGAGGCCGAGGAGATCGTCAAGAAGCTCACGGAGCTCGGCGCCGCGGCCGAGCTCGAATAAAAGTAGTGTTTATTTATTTTAGACCCCCTTCTCGGCGGCGCGTACGTGCACGTCGTGGTTCTCGCAGTACTGCTCGCGCTTGCCCCCGAAGAGCCCCTTGGGCATGGCCCAGCGCGGCCGCGCGACCACCACGGCCAGGAAGAAGAACGCCAATATCGCGAGGCACATGCCCAGCACGCGCGGCGGGTCCACTAGACAACAATCCTCCTCCTGCTCGGCGCAGCACATCTTCTTCGGGCACGTCCCGCCCGTGCGCAGACTGATGAGCGTCGGCGCCGCCGTCGGCGTCGTGGGGGCGCCGGTCGACGGCCGCGGCGTCGGCTCCGGCGTCGGCTCCACGGTCGGTGCCGGGGTGTCGGCTCCACGCGGCGTCGTGGGCGCCCACGAGGCGGTGGGCGCCGGGCTCGTCGTCGGCGCGCGCGTCGACTGCGGCACGGGGACGTGCCGCTCGTACCAGTTGCCCCAGCGATCCGTTTTCTTCGAGAAGCCGTCGCAGGTCGGCTCGAAGAGCTTTTTGGTGCAGCCTGCGCACTCGGCGCCGGCGCCGTAGGCATAGAGCACGATCCCCGCGGCGCTCCTCCTGAGGATCATCCTGGGAATGGCTGCCCCGCGACCGCAGGAGAGCTGTGTGGGCAGCGTTTCGATGCAATGCGCCGCGCTGCCGCGCAAATTACAAACAACCCCGGCACCAAACCGACGAAGACCAGGCATCCCGGCTGGGGGAGGGATCCGCGGGACGCACGAGTCGTCGGATGGACTCGAGCGACGCTTCACCGACCTGCGCGGGTACACGCTCGTATTTTCGTTAGCCGCATGATCAGGGCGCTTTATCGGCGCCTGCCCCCACCGTCGTGCGCTGCCCACACACGGTGCCATCCGTGCGCTGCCCTCGACGCCGCCGCCGCGCCGCACGGAGACCTCGAAGCTGCCCCAAGGAGCTTAGCCCATCGCACAGCGGTCCCACCGTCGCGCCGACTCGCGGCTGCCCCGGGGACCATGACCTCGCTCCAGACGACCCAGGCCTACCAGGTGACCTACGACTATGGGAAGGAGGGCGCTTTGGTGGACGCGCTGCTGGGCGGCGACGTCCCCGAGCGACGCACGCCGCGCAAGGCGAATCAAGCGCAGGTCGCGGCGTTACCGGATGACGACGACGACGGGTCGTTCGGGGAGTCGGACGACGACGAGGCCGAGCAGCGACTACAAACAATCCAGCAGAAGGTCTTCTCGCCCGAAAAGGCGCCGTCGCCGGTTCCGGAGCCTTCACCAGTCCAAGAGCCGGACATCCCGGACGAGCTCCGGCAGAAGCGCCAGCAAGTAAAGAACTACCAGGTCATGCTCGAGGCCTTAGCGCCCGTGCCCGGCGTAAATCCGGAAACGATCTACGCGGGCATTAATGGAGCGGAGGTCGATGTGAGGGACGCGAAGATCATCCAGCTCGCGAAGAAGGCCCGGAATTATACCGTAGCTTTGGCGTCGGAGCGCGAGAAGAACCGGAAGCTTGCGCTGGACTTCGAGCGGCTGAAGATCGACGCGACGGCCCTCGCGAAGGAGCTCAAGGCGCGCGGGCCGCTCGACCCCGACGCGGCGCGCTACCCGTTCCAGGAGAACCAGGCGCCCGCCAAGGAGGCGCCCGTGACGAAGGCCTCGCAGCGCGAGCGCCGCGCCGAGAAGCGGTCCGCGGAGTTGAGGCATAAGCTCGAGACGGAGCGCGCGGAGACCGATAAATTAAGACGCGCGTTGGTAAGGGAGGTCGGCGACAAGCTCGAGGACGCGCTGGCGAATGAGGGCGAGGGCTGGAAGGGCCGCGCGCAGCAGATCGTCATGCTGAAGAATAAAGTCAGACGCTTGGAACGGGAGGTCTCGGAGTCGGGCGTGCGGAAGCGGCCGCCGCGTAGAGATGTGGACGCCGTCGCTCAGAGAGAACTAGAAGAAGCGCGCAAGGAGCGGGAACGGGAGATCCAGGAGGTCTTCGAGCAGAAGGAGTCGCTGCAGCGCGAGGTCGTCAAGGTCAGGGAGACGCTCCAGGCGTCGCAGGCCCGCGTCGTCGCGCAGACGCAGGAAGTCCAGCGGAATAAAGACCACATCAAGAGCCTGCTGGAGAAGGGCGACGGCGACGACGAGCTCGTGGACGCGTTAAGGAGGGAGGTCGCGGCGCTGAAGGACGGCTTGAGGGAGCGCGACGCGAGGATCAAAGTACTTGAGCGGGAGAAGAGCACGGTCCGCGTCGCCCGCGGCGGCAAGACGACGCAGCAGAGCGGCACGCAGCAGGACGTGGCGAGGCTCGAGCGCGACAACGCGCGGCTCCAGAAGCAGGTCGAGCACCAGGCCAAACAATTAAAAAAGAGACGCCAGCCGGACAAGGCGCCGGTCTACGCCGGGCCCGAGCCCGTCATTAAACCTGCGACGCCGCCGCGCGCCGCGCGGCCCGCGACGCCTCCCCAAGAGCTGTCCTTCGCCGAGCGGTGGGCCGGCGCGGGCGACGACGCCGATATGCGCCGGCCGGGCGGCAGCCCGCCGCCGCAGCCCCTCCTTCCGCGGGACGACGACGCGGCCGGCGTCTTCTCGCCGTCGCGGACGCTGCCCGCGCGGCCGTCCGGCGTCGACCGCGGGCCCCAGTCTTCTCTGGACGCGCCGCGGGGCCGGCGGCCGGCACCGCGAAACGACGACGGCGCCGGCATCTTCTCGCCGAGCCGCCTGCCGCCGCAGCCGGACGTCGCGCAGCAGGCCGAGCGGGCCGCGTTCGAGGAGCTCCGGGCCGAGCGACGGCGGGAAGCGACGCTCAGAAGGCTCGTGGACGCCGAGGCGAATGCCCAGGCGCAGCGGGAGGAGGAGGAGCGGCTCTGGCGCGCCGACGCCGCGCGCCGGCCCGCGACGCCCGAGGGCTGGACGCCGCCCGTGGACGGGGGCGAGTCGGACGGGTGGTCGGACTAACTATACTTTCTGGTTATTTTCATCGATCGATCGGTCGGGTTAGAGGTCGGCGGCGCTGGCGGCGGACCGGGGGTAGAGTACAGCAGTGGGTCGGCGAAGGGGGTGTCGTCGCCGCGGGGTTAAACTACCGAGGCAGTCCCGCGGCGGACCGGGCCTAGGATCGCTCCTTGAGCTTGGCGTCCTTGTGCTCCGCGCGCTCGCGCCGGTTGCGCGCCGTCGGCGGCTCCTCCGCGAGCACGCCGAAGTGCGTCAGCAGCCGCGCAACGCGGTTCATCAGCGGGTTCGCCCAGCCATTAAGGATACAAAAGTTGCAGTTGAACTTCTCGTGGTGCTGCTGGTGCGCGTCCGGGTGCAGGATGATCCGCCAGTCCTGCAGCCGCTCGATCATCGGCCACTCCTTGAGGAGCCCACGCCTTCGGGCGTGCGCGAGGAAGTGCGTCTGCTGCGAGGGCAGGCCGACGATCAGCGCCACGAGCCAGACGCGCGACGTCGCCTCCGGGACATAACCATAATAGAAGCCGAGGTAGAACAGGGGCCAGACGACGCGCACGTACCAAAACAATTGCATGAAGAGCTCGAGCTGCGAGTCCGACGAGGGGTAGACGGCCTCGTGATGGCTGTGAAAGTTCCAGAGGTATTTGTCGCGCTCCGTCGCCTCCGTGAAGAGCTTGGTCTTTTCAAAGGCCTCGACGGCCTCGACCGAAGTCTCGATGTGCAGCCTTAGTTCGTCATCATCGACCGTCTGGAAGTCAAGGAGCATATGTATTAGACCCGTCACGAAGTCGGCCACGTACAGCGCCAGTAACAACCTGTGTGGAAATCAAAATTTTACGTCGCGTTCGTGCTGAATCGGCGCGTCGACTTCCACGCCATCGACGCGACGCCTGCTCGATGGCGTGGCGATGCCGGTTCCTCACCGCTCGACCGAGCCAGCACGGCCGCGCCAGTGCACCCGACACACTGGTTGATTTCCACACAGGTAACAACTCGACCAAAGTTCGCGTGACGAAGTAATTTTGGCTCTCACTGGATCCCGCTACCGTCTTGCCGACGGCGGTCCCGGCCGTCTCGATAACGACGCATGCCAGGGTGAAGCCGGCAAGGCCCGTGAAGGCCAGCTTCACCGTCGTCTCCACGGAGCCCCACATCCCGGCGTTCTGGTGCTCGGCGAGGGGGGACCCCAATCAAGGTGCTGTCCGCACTAGTTCCGGCGCGACGCGGGCAGCCGCTGCGGGGTGGGGTACACGAGGTCGCTGGGGCGCGTGGTGTTGGCACAGGCAGGTCGCGCCGCGGGGCGGCTGCAGTTCTGAATCGACGGAAGGTAAAGCAGCTCCTTCAGCGCCCGTCTGATGGGAGAAATGGCTCCACACGAGCCCGAGCCAAAACACGCGCCCGAGCCAAAACGGCGTTTGGGAAAAGGCGAGGACGTCTTGCGACTCCAAAGATAGGTCCGTCGCAAAATCGAATCGGCCCCGAGGCGCGGCCGGAGCGCCGCGACAAGGAGAGACGATGAATCGGAGACACGCGCTGTCTCTCCCCCCACACCGCGTAACAATATGTAACGAACGAGCGATTACTCCCCCGCCTCGCGCGCGGCGAGGGCCACGCCGTGCAGCGCGCCGCCGATCTTGTGGAAGTCCGCATGATCGAAAGCGCGTGTGGCGAAGAGGGCTCGGACGGCGTCCGTCAAATCGGACAGGTCCCTTCTAACTAACTTGAGCTCCTCGTGAACGTCCATCTCCGTGGCGACGGGCTCCGCGAAGGCCTTGCCCGGCGTATGAGGCGTAGCGGCGTAGTTCTTGGGCGTCGAGCAGACGCGGCCCTCCCACTCCTCCCTAATGTTGTAGAGGGCCTCGCGCCAGTTCGCGACGACCTTATACACTTTATGATGTCGCAATATGCGGATCGAGTCCTCGAAGCGCGCGGCCGGTGCACTCAAGTCCTCCTCCAACAACTCCGGTAAATGTAATTCCCTTAACACAATCATGAGCAGCCGCGGGTCGTGTATACACTTGATCGCGTGCTCGACGGTCCGCTGCAAGACGGTCCACCGCAGTCGAGGCGCCAGGTCCAAGGCACATCGCAAATCCGGGCCCGAGATGGTGAGTAACTCGGACGTCTTCCGAGCCACGGCCTCGTCGAAGCGCCGCGTCGACCCGAGCGCCGACGACTCGCCGAAGACGTCGCCGCCCCCAAGCTCCTTCTCGAGGCCGGCCTCGGCCATGACGTGCTTGGCCCGCGCCGACGTGCCGCCGCTCGTGCCGCCGATCTTCTTTCGCTTCGAGGGCGCCGCCGGAGACAAGAGTTGCACGGCGCCCGTCACGATCAAGTACGCACCTTCTTCCGCGAGGTCGCCGGCCCCATACACCATCTCGCTCACGGGTATGGTCAGCGGGATGACCTTCGTGCAGACATCACACACGAAGGCGTGGTGCGTGTACGAGTTCGCCGCGTGTGAAAAGAGAGGCACGCTCAGCATGAAGGCCTCGTAGAGGTGCAGGCAGATATCTGAACGTAATTGTCTAGGTAATTCCGTGAGCACGGCCCGATCCTCGGTCTGTCTTGAGTTTTGTTGCCGGACGTGTCTGACCACTCGCGCGGACAGTTGGGGAGGCAATCTATTAGCCCTTAAATAAGCCATCATGCGATCGATGCGAGCTTGCTGTTTCCGCTCGAACGTGTCCGGATCTAGGACGGAAATCACATACTGGATGAGCCAGCCAAAGATCAACCCCCCGATCGCCATGCCGGCTATAGCTACTAATCTTCCCCCATCAGCGGTAGGCACCATGTCGCCGTAACCGACGGTAGTGATCGTCTGCATGGCCCAGTAGATGGCGCCGATGTACTTACCTGTGTGGAAATCACAATCCTACGGCGCGTTCGTGCTGAATCTTCGCGTCGACCTCCACGCCACCGATGCGACGCATGCTCGATGGCGTGGCGATGCCGGTTCCTCACCGCTCGACGGAGCCAGCACGGCAGCGGCATCGCCAAAAATGACTTAGTGAAGAATTATCGGGTGCACCCGACGCACTGGTTGATTTCCACACAGATACTTACTGGACAGAGAGTTCATGGGCTTATCTTGTTCCTCGAAGGGAAAAACTAAAGCATAGGTACAGCCCATCCAGTGCGACATCCAGAGCATGGCAAACACCAGCTTCGTGGCGGATATGAAAGGCATCAGATACACAAAGTCGTCCTGGTATCTGTTAAATAACTTTTTGAGCTTCAGTAATCTAAACAGCTTCAAAATTCGGAACAACCGCAAGATCTTCACCAACTTGATCGTCGCACCCGTGCTATGAGTCTTGACGCTACAAGGATTCACGACCCGAAACGAACAGCCTAGCGACCCTTGTTCCAGCCGCATGAAGAATTCGATCGGCAACGAAGCAAAAAAATCAATCGCGAACCAGCCCCTCAAATAAGATAACGCGATGCGTTTCTTGTCGACGACGACGTAGTGGCCGCCGAACTCGAAATAATCACCTGAGGCATCGTCGTCTACTCGTGTATCTTCATGGAGATGCACGGCCGTGAAGAACCCAAGCACAAAGTCAAAAATGAAGTACAGATCAATGACCGAGTCAATGATGAACCACATGCCGACCGCCGGCCAGTCGAAGCCGATCCGCAAAGGCACGAAGATCGACACCCAGATCAATGAGACCATTTGCGCGAGATCCCAGTAAAATCTCACGTCGCCGTCCGGATGCAATACAGGTATACAACCGTCGGGCGGGTACACTAACGAAGGGGGCTTCAAGTTCTTTTCGTCGTCCTCATCGTCATTGACAGGACGTGGCGTCTCCGCGAAGTTATCATCACTCACCACGTGGTCCCGGACCTTGTTCCACAGCACGCCGGCCTTCTGCGTCGTCGCTTGGTCGATGGGGGGCACCGGTGGTGGTTGCTCGGTCATGGTGATGCTGTTCGGTGACCGCGCCGACGGCGTCGGGGGCAGCTTGCTGTCCGCTTCTACTACTGCTACGAGGCAGTAGTAGATGGCGCTGCGTTTTTACGCCGCCGACGCTCGTGCTCGGCGCTCCACAAAGCAGTTCCTTCCAGGTGCGAGGAGGGAGGTAGCGCGGAGCTACAGTCCCGAGGCGGCTGGAGGACTCGTAGCCGACGCCTCCACGCACGCGCATATAGATGGGTGCCCTTCCCTTGCTTGCTAGTATGTCTTACAGGCGCTAGCTCCGTTTTTTTGCTCGAGTAGCCCTTGCCAGCTCGCTCATAGTGCTGTGCATTCATACTCGGTCATTCGACAACTGCGTTGCAGAACTTGCGCCTGCCGCTGCAATACTCTACCACGCTGCCAAAGCTGCACTCAGCCAGGCAGCCTAGCAAGGCAAAATGCCAATAGTAGTCGCGCACGTCATCGTCGGCTACCTCGTCGCGACGACGGGCGCCGCGGTCTATCTCCACGCAAAAACACACGCCGTCAACACAACACAAATCTTCCTCGCCTTCTTCTGCTCTTTAAATGCGCTCATCTGCTTCTGGGAGCTGGCCCTAGCGTATAGGATCGACGTCATCAAACGGCTCGCGGGCGAATTAAGGAAAGGCACGAAGGACGCGCAAAGTGACCGGTTCAGAGTCGTCGGGCGCTTCTTCCTCCTGCCCTGTCCGGTGCGGCAGTGGTTTTCGTTAACTTTCTGGGCGCGGGTCTGGTGGACCTACGCGTTATATGATCCGAGCTATGCGGACCGGACGACCTTCGGCTTCTGGATCGACGTCTCCAACGGCCACGTGACCCTTTTACCTACATTACTATGCCTCGTCGGCATGACCTACGATGTGCTGGACGCGCGGACCTTTGGGATTATCAATCTCTTAGCCTTCTACCAGGAGTTCGTGGGCACCGTGATTTATTTTTGCACGTACTTCTTCAACGGCCGCCACAGAGGCAAGAGCGCCCTCGAGGTTGGAGTTTTTGTGGGCCTGACGAACGGGCTGTGGTTCGCGGGGCCGCTCGTCGGCATCTGGGCGGCGCTGCAGTGCGTCTACTCCGGGAGTTACGCGGTCTTCCGGTAGGTAGTGCGTGTAACACGCACTGAACTTATTTCTTCGAAGGCCGTCGCGCGGCGATGGCGTCGCTGCCGAGGACTCTTAGGAGCACCTGGCCGCCGCCGTCGCGGCCCCCTCGCCGTCGTCGCCTCCGAGCTCACACTCGGGGCGACGGCGTATGAGGACCAGGGGCGCCGGCGCCGCGGCTAGGCTGCCTAGCTCTAAGCAAAGCAACTACGAACCATCACATCTTATATCACGCGGCGTCGTCGTCCGGCCGGCAGCCGCACAAAAACCTTGATTTGAGGCCCCGCCGCGCGTTCTCGTCGGCTTCCGAGCGGCTCCCGCGCGACCCACGAGAACCTCTACTACCTCTACTACCTCGTGTATTGTAGCGCAGCTCCAAAATGCCCCAGTCATACACCTTCTCCTCCCACGTCGGCGGGCACGTCCAGCCGGGGCTCCACTCCTTGTTCGTCTCCTTCTGCTTGAAGCGCTCGCCGACCCAGTTCGTGCCCGGCTCCAAGATGGCTAATTTCACTAGAGCTTCGGCCATTTTATATTCATCTGGTATTTTGAGGTTGAGCTTGTAGACGCGGCCGCCCCACTCCATGGCCATCGGGTTGCCTGCATTAAGGTAGCCCAGCCTGTGTATTAATTCATCACCTTCGTCATGAGTCAGCTCCCGCCACAATTCATGAAATTTATCTAGGTCGACAATTCTCCCGAAGAGTGATATGATACCTTCGACCCTCAGTAAGTCAATGGAAGGTAACCTCTGGACAACCTGCAGGACTTGGGCTGTTGATAGGTACCTCCTACCGATCGTAGATTGCAATGACCGTATGGCCTCCCATCCTGATCGATAGTCAGCAGAGGGATTCAGGGGCTCGTCGTCGTCCTCGACCACCGAGCCCTTCTTCCGCTTCTTCTTCTTCTTGCGCCGCTTGACCTTCTTCTTCTTCTTCTTCGGCTCCTCGGTCCTCCCTTTCTGCCGCAACTTGATAGCGTAGGCCTCGGAATACAACGATGGTGTTAGCTTCGAAGAAGACGACTGCGTCATTTCGCGCCACCACTCGGCGCAACAGTCCGTCTCCCGGACCTCTTCATAGTCACTCTCTTCCGCTTCGCGCGCGGCCACCTCCTCGAGGAACTTGCGCTTGGCCTCCCTAGCCGCTTCCTTGCGCGCCTCCTCCCTAGCCTTCTTTTCTTGTTGAATGCGCGCCGCGTACTCGATGGGGTCCTCGCCCTCCCTGATCTGCTTCGCTTCTCTCTCAAGCTCCTCTTCGGCCCTGTGCGCGGCGGCCTCGGCTTCCGCTTCTCTTCTCCGTTCGCCCATGCGCGATTTCGTCGAGGGCGACAGGATCCCCCGGCTCTCTGTGGGGCTTTCTTCCTTGTCCTCCTGCTCCTCGAAGCGCACCTTGGGCGGAGCTGGTGTTTTTGGTCTTTGATAAGTAGTAGTAGTGAACCCCGCGCCTGTTAAGAGAGCGTCGAAGCGCCTCTCCGACAAAGTCGGTGTGGACTGGATACACCTTTCTGACGACACAAAGTCAAACCTCAGAATCCCATCCTTCTCCTCCAAACCAGTAAACCACTGCGGCGTCAACACGAGGGGATCGCCGTTGAACCGCTCGTTCCGGAAGCCGTAGCCGTTGCCGTGCTGGGCCCGATCGGACCTGTTCAATCGTTCATCTAACGACCTTTGCGCCGTAGCTAACCCGGCGATCTTCTTCCCTGCTAACCGATGCATCTCCAACCGGAAATCTAGACAGTAGTGGCCCGTCGGATTTCCAGTGAGGGGCCCCCACGCATAACTAAGCTTCTCGCGGAGCTGCCTTAGCTGTGCTGTATCCAAACATAGTTCCGCGAAGGTGCAGGCGTCTTGCACTTGCGCGACTTGCGGTAGTAGCTTCGCTACTTTATCTACAGGAGTATAATCACATACGGCAGCATGAAAGACCTTCCGCGCCTGTTCTCCAGTCAAGAAGATGTCCGTCTGCGAACACGACACGTCAAAAATAATCTGCCGTTCCGACGGCGTTTCGGCCTTCGCCAGTAACTTCAGGATGAGCTCCACGCCGTCGTCGCTACCAACCTCATCAACAGAGGCGGCACTTGGCGGGCACTCGAAGACAATGTCGAGAATACCGCTGTCGGGCGGCACCCAAGGTGATTTTTCTTTCTCGGCCACGAGGGGACCCTTGAACGTATCTGTTGATGGTTCAAAAACCTTCGCGCAGAGATCCGCGAATTCCAGTGCTTCCAGTAAATTAGAACCATCAAGGTCGTACTCCTTGAAGATGTCTTGTGCTTTTTCTGGAGTGCATTCTACCTGTAATACATCTTGAATGAGTTTTTGGAGCTCGTCCGGGTCGACGGCGCCCGACTCGTCCGCGTCGGCCACGGCAAAGACTGCAAGCCACAACTCTCTGAGTAAAGATTTTTTATCGGTGATGTCTTTCGGTAGACGCTTGTTGAACTGATCTAGTATCGGTTTGGTATCAGGCTCGAAGCCCATCCACAGGAAGATTGACGAGAGCTCTTTCCTGTCCAAGGATTTGGCGCACCTAGCGAAGAGTAAGGGCCACATCGGTTGTTGACCAGGTGCTTTCGGTGGTGTTAACATTCTACCAGGTAAGGGCTTGCCCTTCGCATCGGTCCTCGACAGCACAATTTCTTTGCCCGCCTTCTCTTCGGAATTGATGGGTGGCGGTTTGACACCCGGCGGGTAGTGTCGTAACTCCGTGAACTGGGAGAAGTCCCTCAAAGTAGCTACTTGTATCAACTCCATGCACACTACTTTGTCATAGGGTACACTCATGTCCAACCTATACTTCCCACCGGGTTCTTCAGAGTTGAATAACGTGCCATCTTCTAATTCTCTATCGCACTCTTTGAGCGTCAATTCCAAATCGTGGCCGCAGCCTTGCAGCGAGGACATGAGCGATCGAGCACCGACCCTGCCCACGGGATTCCCGTCGAGGTTCACAAATCTCAAATGCTCGTTCCTCTTCAAAGCCGCCGCTAGGCATAAGGCGGCCCGAGGCTTGACGTTGTTGTACGACAGATCTAGGACCCGTAGCATGCACTTGTCGGATTGTAAAGCCAATGCCAGTACTTGTGAAGGTCTATCCCCAAAAGTGTTGTAGGCCAGTACTAACTTTTGTAGGGATGCACACGTCGCTAAGGAAGCGCCTAACTGCTCCGCGCTATCACCCCGTATAAAGTTCCACGACAGATCCAGTGAGGTCAATGACAAAGTACCAGTACTGAGGCATGAGGCTATTTGCTCCGGACCCGTTATTGTATCGGGCTCCACCACATTTTTAGTTTCCCAGGCTCCCAGCATGTTATGGGACAGATCCAACGTCTGCAACACTTTATTATGCTCGAGCGTGGAGATGAGCGTCGCACATTCCCCATCGTCCACATCGGCGTCGGACATGACCAACTCCTTCAGTCCATGCTCGTGATTACCGATCAACGCCATGATCGCTTCACTCGCTTCATCGTCGATCTTATTTCTCGAGAGATCCAGGGATGTAATCGTAGAAGTAGTGTTGACGGCGTCGACGATTTCCTTGAGAGCGACATCACCGAGTCGATTGTCCGCAATATCCACTTTGTAAAGATGTGGTAAACGAGGTAGGACCTTCGCGATGGCTCGAGCGACGGCGTCGTTCGGACACAACGCTCTCAACGCTAGGACGCCGTCTCTCGTCTGTTTTAATAAAGCTGGCTTCGGGGCGACACCGAGGTCCACCAGTACTTTATTAAAGTCCCTCGCGATCTGTTGCGGGTGGTCCGACTCCTCTTCCAGATATTCATCGGCCTTTGAACTCCCAATCGTCAGCGCCTCCTGGTAGGCCTTAAAGAAGCGCATGCGCCCCCGCGTGCCGTCGAAGTACTCTAACCTCTCTTCCAGTAATTCCTGGCGCTCCTCGAGCGAGCCCTCCGCGTCCTTCGCCAGCGATGGGAGTGAGGGCACGTCGTCATTATCCGCAGCGCCCTTCAGTCGCAAGCGCAACGGTGAATGGTCGACCAGAAACTTGAAGCGCTTCGCCTCGAGTTCGTCGGCGATGCGCTTCGCCTCAGCTTCATCTAATACTCGTCGAGCCGTACCTGCCGCAAGAGAAGCAGCCGACGTGTCCGCGGCCGTGAACGCTGCCCGAGCCGCATTCCTCAGTGTCATGCGGTCGGGGTCGAGCATGGGGTGCGTGCCCTGATATCGCCGCCAGCTGTTGAGGAGTGATGATTTCTTTTCTGTATCACTCTTAATAAATTTCTTCTCGGCGTCCTTCGCGGCCTGCAGGTCCTCGGCGTCGCGCTTCTTCTGCTCCGCGTCGAGCACCGCTTGTAAATTAGCTAAACGGGTGCGCTCCCGGTCCCGCTCGTGGGCTCGTTGGGCGTTCACGAGGCTTTTATTCAAGGTCGTGTGCCTGTGCCGCGGGAACAGCAGGACGTCGCTGATTTGCTTTTTGCTGAGGCCGCCCTTGATCACTCTATGAGGTAAGGGCGCGGCGTTCTTTGCGAGCCAGTGCTTCCGGCGTTCGGCGCTTTTTTGCCGTTGCGCCTTTGTTAACGCGGCCTCGGCCGCCGCCGGGCGGGGCGCGTCGATGGCGCCTGGTGGGGCGTACATCGGTGTGCCTAGACAGCGCGCGTGTGATGGCCTCGGGGCAGCTCGCCGGCGCACTGGGATCCTCGGGGCAGCCTCGCCGGCGCACTGGGATTCGTGCCCAACCCCTTGCCCGTCCGTGCGGCCCGGCCTGCCTCCGCTGCCGCCGGAGAGCTAGCGCTCGAGCTTGGCGCTGGAGAGGCTTGCCCCGCACGCAAGTCCGAGACTACCGCACGCATCGCAGAGGAGGGCTCCTCCGACGACTCGGACGGAGGAACGGAGGGCTCGTGGAGGCCCGACCGCTTCCGCCTCGGGTCTGAGTTCAGCTCGGAGTCTGAGCAAGGCTGCATTGCGGCCTCCCCCGGCGCGGGCGCGCGCCCGGCCCAGTAAACCGCTGCCCCGCAATTCGACCGGCTGCCGGAACTCCGCCACGAGTAGCATGCGGCGGCTTCTCCTGGTTGCGCATGTCGCCTGCGGCAGCGCCTTCATGTCCAAGCCGAGATCGGCAGCCTCCGTGGCGCTGCGGGCAGCCAAGGCGAGGGCCAAGCGCAAGGGCTTCGGCGGCGCCGCGCCGCCCCCGGCACCGACCGCCGGCCCCCGCGCGCGCTGGGCCGAGGGTCCGCCGGACGCGGCGCTCGAGGCGCGGCTCGACGCCCTGGAGGATTCTTCGATCGTCGACGTGCTCAACCCCGCGGTCCTCGACGGCCTCGAGGACGTCCGGGAAAAGCTGCGGGCCGGCGAGGTGGTCATCCTGCGGGACGCCTTCCGGCCGGACTTCGCCGAGGCCTGCTACCGCGAGCTCGCGTCGAGGCACGCGCCGTGGTCCGCGAACGAGGATTATTTTGAGGACGGCTACGGCTACCGCCACCTCAACGTCTACGACCGGGCGCTCTGGAGCCGGCGCCTGAACGCGACCTTCGCCGTCTTCGACCACGCGGAGACGAAGGCCTGGGTCTCGGCGCTCGCGGAGCGCGACTGCGGCGGCGCGTGCACGGGCGCGCCGAGCAAGTACCGCGCGGGCGACCACTCGCTGCCGCACACGGACTGGGTCGGCCAACGGACGGTCGCCTACGTCTGGCACCTCTCCAAGGCGTGGCGGCCCGAGTGGGGCGGCGCGCTCTACTGGGCGCAGAACGACCACGACGAGGCGACGTACCCGGCGTCGTTCAACCAGCTCTGCCTCTTCAGCGTGACGACGACGTCGGCGCACTTTGTCACGACGGTCAGCCCGCGCGCGGAGCGGCTGAGATTAACGTTCAACGGCTGGTGGCAGTCGTCATGGTGGCCGCGGGATGAGTCGCACCCTGTGTGGAAATCAACCAGTGTGTCGGGTGCACGCGGCCGACCTGGCTCGGTCGAGCTGCGAGGAACCGGCATCGCCACGCCATCGAGCAGGCATCGTGTCGATGGCGTGGAGGTTGACGCGAAGATTCAGCGCGAACGCGCCGTAAAATTTTGATTTCCACACAGGCCCCGCCTCGATGCGACGCTGGAGGATCCGGTGGCGCGGAGCAAGCTGACGCACTCGCAGAAGCAGAGCATCGCGGACATGCTCGCCGACCCGTGGCAGAACCTCGGGCCGGAGCGCCACGCGCGCCTGCTGTCGTTGAGTGAAATGTGAACTCGCGTGTGTGTTGTTGTCCGTCGAACCCCCGTCGAACCTCCGTCGTCCCCCCGTCGCAACAATTCTTATCTCCATCGAATCATGATCGATCGCATGTATCCGTGTGTGCTTAACAACCGTTGAATCGAATGTACAACACACAGCCTTAGGAGACCCCATCCTCGACGACGCGCCACGCGCGGAACCGGTGGTTCGTCGACGATAGAGCGTGCACGCTCTCGACGGAACCAAGGCCCCCCATCTCAGAGTCCCTTCGCCGGTAAACGGCGCGCCGAACCCTGGAGTGGAGCAGCGCCATCGCGCACATGACGCACGGCTCGTCCGTCATGTATACATCCATGCCCGTGCAGAGGTAGGCTTCTGACGGAGGCGCACCTTCAGATCGTTTGCGGCGCTGGCGCCGCGCCTGCGCCCTGACCACCAACATCGGCGCGTGGAGGAGCGGGTGGTTCGCTGGCGTGCGCTCGTCCATTAATTGCCTCAATTCGTCGGCGGCGGTCAACGATTCACAGCCCGTCAAAGGGTCGTAGAGTACCGCGCCGCCGCCCGCGCACTTCGGAGTCGTACCGGGCGCGCGCAGACTTGAGAGCTGGACCCGGTCGCGTTCCGCCGCCTCGAGCCGTGGACGAGCTTCGGATAGGACGTCGTCGTGCGTCGGCGACGCGGTCCGGTCCGACGCCGGGGGGCGCGCGAGGGGCCAGAGCCGCGCGCCTTGCTCAAAATGTGCCCGTGTGACGGGCGGTTGTGCTGGTACAAGCACGACCTCCAATGCCTCCCGTGCGAGTTCCGAGCGCCGCGTCAGTAAAGCTCGGTAGGCGTCCTCGTTACTCACGTCGTCATAAACGGCTTCGGCGGCGAGCACGACCCTCAAAGAACCGTCATCGCCCTTCTTGACGCGCTTCACGTGGGCGACGCCACCGCTTGAAGCGGGGAGGGCGTCGTGCAGCTCCCGTATTAACGAAGAGGCTTGCTTCGGTTCGACCACACACGCGAGGCAGCGCATCGCGACGGGCGCATCGTCGGCGTTCCAGCCCGCGAGGCGCGGGTCGGGCGGGGTTATTTCCTCGAGCTGCATCCCATTGCTTGCCTCCTGTTGTGCTCTGCTCATCATCGAGCTGCAGCACTGCTTTTTGGCTTAGTGCTCTCCCATTTGTGCACGGTAGATTCTCGCTGCTTGAGGACCGTCAGGCCGGTGCTGGAGACAAAACTCGGCGAGGTCTGCACGCGCACAGGTACAGCAACTGCGGCGAAATTGCAGGCACAGCAACTCTCGGACCTAGCGCCACAAGGACACTAGCCCGCATCGAGCTCGGTTAACAAACTGGGCCCCCACGCTGCCTCAGCGCACCTATTTATTGGTCTGAAGTATTTTTCAGCCCCTGTGACTGCGTGAGCGGACACGCCATCGACGCGAGCTACAGCCTGCAGCCTGCCATAAAGCACCATGGCACCACAGATATTTTTTAGAACAAAAGAGCAGCACGCGGCGGTCACGGAGCGGCTCCAGATCATGAAAGACGACCACGCGGAGTGCGAGTACAGCGCCGAGGCTTTGGAAGGTAAGGGCAAGACCGTAACTAAATCTATAGAAGCCGGTTTGGTCGTCCTACGCTACCGGAGGACGCCCAAGTCCGTCTTCGCGCTGCCGCGGGAGGACACGGTGCAAATTGGAGAGCACGAGCACCTAAGGTGTCTCAATTTACCGGGTCGGTTGCGACTCTGTGGTGCTGATGCCACTCTGGAGGCAAGAATCGTGTCTGATGGGATAGACTTTGTGGCGCGGCGCTCTTTGAAGGCGAACGAGGAGCTCACGTTCGATTCCTGCACGACGGACTGGCGCGACTTCTCGGCGCTGCCTCGAGACGCGCAGAAAAATATGGAAGCCGCCGACCACCTTCGTCGAAGACTCGCGAGGATACAAGCGCCGCACGCGGCCATCCGCGACATCGTCAGGGACTGCGTCGCCAATTCCACAGATGAATGTGCGGATGGCGACCAATCACCTCTGAAAGGCCGCAGTTCGGAGTACGCCGCGGCCGAGGTCTACTGGAACCAGGGCGGCGACTACTTCAGTTCGCCGTCGTTTCTGTCGCCCTTCGCCCAGGCCTGTGCGTGTGCGGCGTCTGCTTATGTGCCTTCGCCTTTGGTTGCCTTGGACCTCTCGACGCCTGCTCGATGGCGTGGAGGGCTTCTCGTCTCGTCCGCGAGACGCCATCGACGCGACGCTTGATGCGACGCTGGACACCTCACACCGCGCAGGCGCGGCCGGCTCGCCGAAGGCCGTGAAAGCGCAGCTGCGCCAGGTCGACGCGCTCCAGCGGGAGTTCCTCGTGTCGCGGCGCGAGGGTGATTTGAGGAGGACGTGCCTCCACGCCGTGTGCGCCGGCGCCGTGCTCCTGAAGACGTCGGACGCGGACTACGCGGGCGTCATCAAGGAGCTTTGCGATAACGGAGCGGACCCGAACGCGAAGGACGTGCTCGGACGGGCGCCGGTTTTTTGTCTGGCGCGGTCGCCGTCTTCTGAGGCCCTCGAGCCCAAGGCCCTCGACCTCCTAGGCAAGTTGGTAGAAAGGGGCGCCGACATCAACACCGTCGACCGGGCGGGCATGAACCCGCTATTTGCGCCCTGCTTCTCCGACGACCTGCGGGCCGTCGACGCTTTATTAAAGTTGGGCGCGGACCCGCACCGGCCCTTCCTCTTTTTTGATGCGACCATGCAGGCGTCGCTGTCCCAAGTGGCCGCGACGATCCGCATGGCTCCTCGCGTCATTCAAGCTCTACGGGACGCGGAGGCTCAACCGTCGGACGACGCCGCGCCTTCGGCGCCGTTGCCGCAAATGGAAATTAAATGTCGGGCCTGCGGCACGAAGCAGGGCCGGTTCCGGAAATGTTCGAGGTGCAAGGCCGCCCACTACTGCTCCGTTGAGTGCCAGAAGTACGACTGGCAGTTTCATAAAAGGACGTGCAAGCCGTGCGTCGCGGCGGCGATGCCGGCGTCCCTTTCTGCTGGCCTGGCGTCGGGGCGGTTTTGATAAGCTTCTTGTGGTTTTTTGAGTTGATTGAAGCTTGATCCGGTGCTTCTCCCGGTCCTTGGACCCGAAGGATCGGAGTGCTCCCGCGTCGCCGCGTCGCGTTCGTTTCGTGCCGTCGCGGCTCGCGCGGTTGTATCCGTCGGCGACCGCTGCTAGGAGTCCTGGCAACGAAGATGACGCGTATTGGTCGCTCGTCTCCGGCGGGCGCATGCGTACAGCGGGATCTTTGGCTAGCTAAAATCGCCTCCGTATCGACCGTAAAAGGCTGTGCAATCTTACAGATTTTGCACAAACTCCTCATTTCTACTCCCTTTATCAATTCGTGCAGCATGAACCGCATTATCCTCGCTCTCGCAGCCCTCGTGGGCAGCGCCTCGGCCTTTGCGCCCGCCGTCGCGCCGCGCCCGGGGACGCAGCTGCAGGCCAGCAAGTTCGACGCCGGCGCGAAGGCCGCGGCGACGCTCGCCACGTCCCTGGCGCTCGCCGGCGCCGTGCTCACGCCCGAGGCCGCGTTCGCCGCCAAGGACACGGGCATCTGCGCCGCGGCCCCCACGTCCGAGGTCTGCCGCCAGAGCAAGCAGGTGCAATCTAAAGCCGCTGCCGCGCCCAAGAAGGCGGCTGCCGCGCCCGCGAAGGCCGCCGCGCCCGCGAAGGCCAAGCCGGCCGCGAAGAAGGCCGCGCCGAAAGCCAAAGCGCCGGCCAAGAAGAAGGTGTGTCGCGGCGTCCGGAGCCCCCTTCGCGTCGTCGGCGCGCCACGCAGACGTCCGATCCTACTCGCGGGGCCTTGTCGCACGTCGCGTCGATGGCGCGCTGCTTGAATCTACGCCAGCCCCACGCCATCACCTGGAGACGCCCTCGTCAGCTGAAGACGACCTATTCGCTCCTCTACTCGTTCCTAACGCGCAGGCCGCCCCGAAAAAAGCAAAGAAAGCGGCCCCGAAAAAGAAGGCCGCCAAAAAGGCCCCCGTGCGCGCCCGCGTCCGCCTCCACGCGTCTCCGCGACGGCGCCTGTTCGATGGCGTCTCCCTGCTGGCGTTCGCGCGTCCGGGACCTTGATTTGCGATGGTCGCGTCGATGGCGTGCTGCTGGAGTCTACGCCAGACCTACGCCAGACCTACGCCAGCCCCCCACCATCAACTGGAGACGCCCTCGTCCTACGTTCACATCTATTGTCCTCACACAGGCCAAGAAGAAGAGCGCGCCGAAGAAGAAGGCCGTACGCCTGCGGCGCACGAATCACTTTTAGACTCCCCGCCCCCCTCTACGCTTCGACTCATGATGTTTTATCCATCGTAGGCACCGAAAAAGGCCGCTAAAAAGTCGAAGCCCGCCGCCAAGCCTGCGGCCAAGAAGTCGTCGGCCATGGCCGCCGCGCCCAAGTCTAAGACGAAGGCCGCCGCCGCCGCCGCCGCGCCGGCGCCGGCGCCCGCGAAGAAGATGTAATAGGCTCGTAACATTCGCAAAGACCTACTAGAAGTACTTAATACCCTCTTGTCGGTTCTTCGCGACCTCGGGCTTCTCGTAGTGGAGCCGCGACTTCGTGGTAGACGTCGGCGCCGTCCCGACGGAGCCGTCCGGCGCAAGGGCGAATGTGGTCACCACTTCTTTTATGCCGAACATCTTCGCGAGGGGCGCCGGCTCGTACGCCCGCGCGACGGAGAAGGCCACGCCGTCCGCGACGAACAGTTCCTTGGTCCCGATCTGACCCCTCCCGATGTCCTCGATCTTCACACCAGCGCTTTTAAGGGAAGTGCTCTTGCCGCCGCGCGACGCGACCTCGACGCTCCGGTCGACGGCAACGGTGCCGGTGGCGGTCGACGCCCAGGTCGGAAACTTCTCGCTGTTGAACGACATCTTTTCGTTCGTCGGCTTGAAGCCTGCGGTGTACTTCTCCTTGTGCAACACCTCGAAGGCGCCCGCGCCGCCGAGCGCCCGCCAGGCCGTCTCCGCGGCGGCGGCGTCGCCCTCGATGATCGTGAGTTTTCGGTCCGCGATCCAGTCGTTGCCCGCGTAGATGGCTTCCGGGAGCAGCGCCTCCGTCGGGCCGTCGGCTGCTCGCGACAGCTGCGGCGCAAGGACGAGCGCAGGTGCAGCTCCACAGAGGCTACGCCGCGTCACCTGCGGCCGCAACGCAGCAGCTGTGCCGAGCAAGCAGGAGAGGTGTATCCTTGGCATGGTGGCTAGCTCAGAGCGTTTCTGTTCGATCGCTGCCGCGCGTAGGCGTGAGATATTTGCTCAAAAGCTACGGAGAGCGAGCTGCCACAGGCTTGCCTAGACCAGGCAAAAGCCGACGCGAGACGCTAGAGAACTCCGGACGCCCCAGACGTGACCGCTTCAGGCGAGCATAAATCGCTGTCAAACGCTCGGTACGGCTCCCGGCCGACGCGGCGCGTATCAGCTCTGCATTGCAGCACCATCACTCTGCTAGCAACCCGACGCCGTCGCGGTGCGCAGCGAAAGAGGAGCAGCCGCCTAGACGCCGCCGCCGCGCGCGCGTGAAACCAAGCGGAACAAAACGATGGCCAACTTCGCCCCCCTCGTCGGCGAGGCGCTCCCCGCGTACGGTCTACCAAGACCGGCCTTCCCCTACGAGGAGGGCGATGCCAACAAGTCGACGCCGCACATGAAGTGGCTGCCCGTCAACTACGCTAGACCGGCCAAATGTAATGATTTCCTGACGCTGCGGGGTGCCGGCGAGTGCTACCCTCGTTTGAGACCGCTCCTCGAAGGCTGTCAGCGTGTTTTAGAATTAGCGAACGGCGAGACGGTCGGTGTGGGTTCCGCGGCAGCACCGAAAGGCGCCGAGGCTCGCTCCATCAGATGTCGCTGGCCCGCGTTCAACTCTCAAAGGGAAAGGAAGCTGGAAATCGTCGACGACAAGGGCATGGCCGTGAGCGCGTTTGATGGTGATGAAGTCGAGAAGCTCTTCTCGTCGACGGAGCGGGACACGGTTGCAGTCGTCGACGCTATAGTGGACGTGGGCTGCTCCGACGAGATGCTGCGGGCGATGCACGAGAATCGTCAAGCCATTGATGCTTATTTTGAGAAAGTACGACGTTTACTAGCGCCGTCGGGCAAGCTGGTGGTCATTTCATGTAACAGGATCGAGGGCGTCGGCGGGCCTTCATTAGCGTGCGTGGCGGAGGCGCGCGGCTGGAACGTCGTGACCTCCTTCGCGCAGAACGACGTCATCGATGTGGTCATATATGAACCGCGGCCGGGCCCGACGCCGCCGGCGCCATTGCCGCCCGAACCGACGCCGTCGCAGGGCACGTTCGCGCAGCGGAATTTGCGGCTGAGGATCGCCCCGGAAGAGTACTGTCCGGCCTGGCCCGACGACGAGGAGGAGGACAATCCGCTACCGGGCTGGGTCGAGGGCGACAGCTTGGCGCCGTACGTCGGCTCCGATCCCAGTATGTTGAGCGAAGCCTTGACCTACGCCTGGCTGACGCCGCTAGATGTGGTCTGCGACGTGGGCTGCGGCGATGGTAGGTTTGTGACGACGGCCGTGCAGAAGCTCGGGGCTGAAAGAGGTTATGGATTGGATATCGACGCTGAGTTGGTGGCGCGCGCCCAGGATCTAGCTCGTAGAAGGGGTGTCGGTCATAGGACGACCTTTATCAGATGTGACTGTTCACAGCCGTCTCCGGACGTGTGGAAGATTTTAGATGAATGCACGCTACTGATCATGTACTTGCTACCGGAGGCTCTACAGCAAGTCCGGCCGATCATCGACAAGCATTTGTCGGGACCGATGCTCGGGCGCGTCGCCCAGCGTCCCTCGAAAGCATGGGGCCGATGATGACCAAACAAAAAGAAACTTGAAATCCGATTCCTAGTGAGGACGCCTATATCCTACATTCGCCGAGGCCCTTTCCCATCGCTCGCCTGCGATTCAATTCGCGGGGCGTCGCTCATCGTACATCACGCAGGCACGTCCCCCAGGACCAGCCCTGGCCGACGCGCCAGAAGCGCATTTTATGTGTTGGCTGGGCGCCGCCCGACCTGCGGTACGTCACGAAGAAGGAGATCCAGCTGAGGGGCGGCGGCACCGTCGAGCTGACGGTGCTGGACTCGTCGTCGCCGAAGCTTACGGACCCGCCGGAAGGGCGTCTGTGCAAGTTATGAGCGGCGGGTGAGTGACGAGTCGCGTCGACGGCGTATAGAAGGGGTAGAGTAAGTCTGATTGTTGTTATCACATGTCTACTAAGGGCGGCACCACCTCCACACGCCGTCGACGCGACGCCTGCTCGATACCTGCGCGCGCAATAATTAGGGGACGGGGGTGGGAAGAGGCCCCGGGCGTCTCACACCCATATGCGCGCCTCGTCCCTTTTGGACGGTGGCTCTGGCGTCCATATTGACCGGTACACGAGCATGAAACGCCCGGCACGGCTTCGATGAAAACGCGACGTCAAATAAAATAACACACTGAGACAGCACTACCGCACGAGCATGAGCCAGCGCATGGCCTGCTTCTTCCGTAGCGTGACCTGGAGCTCGGCCGTGCCCATGGCCGTCGCTTCCACGAAGTCCCATCGCGATTGAGTAGGATCGACCTCCTGAAATAAAACGCCGTCGACCAAACTCGCCAGTCTAAATTGACCAGAAGCGTCGACCTCGCCCACTTTAATGGAGAGGGACGTGGGTTCGATGACGACGCGGCAGTGGCCTCTTTTGGTCCCCGCCGGCAGTTGCGCGGCAACGTGGACGTCGTTCTTCGCGTTGGTCCACCGCACCCTTCCACCGGTGTTCTTGACGTCCTGTGGCGCATTGCCCGGTGCTGCCTTCCGTCTTTCTAATTCCGCCGCTCGCGCCGCGAGCAATTGGGCGAGGACCGCCTTTCGCGCATCCGCAGGGAAAGGCGATGGTACTTTTGGTTTCGTGTCACCCCGCGCTCGTTGCAACCAGCACCTCTCAGCTAGAAAGGCCGGCGCCGTCTCGTTTCCCAACGATACTGACAAAGGATTCGCGAGGTCATGCTTAAATCGCGCGACGCAGGCCGCTCCGGTCACCGCGGCGTCCTGCGCGCCGGTGGCCACCAGCAACGCCGTGGCCTTGGCGTTCGGCGCACCATCTTTGCCGTGAAAAAGCACGACGGCGTCGCCGCCCGCGACGGTCCCTTCGCCGTCGCCGCCGGGGAGCAGGACGTGGACCTTCAGGGCCGTGGGTGCGCAGTTTACGCATGCTGCAGCCGTTTCGAGCAGCCCGTCCACAGAGTCACTCTCTCTCGTCTCGGCTGGTCGCGTGGCGTCGCCTTCGAGCAGCAGCGTCCAGATCTGCTTTTGGCCGCTTGTAGATGCGGTGAGGACTTCCTGGAGGCCGGCCATTGGTGTGAATGCGTTATAGTTTGCTCGTCCGTGCGCGCGGCTGCAGTTGCAGAGCAGTGCAGCGCGAGGCTGCAAGGCTGGGTGGCGCAAGGTTGCCTAGGCGCGCACGGGCAGGAGTTGTGCGCGGCAATGTCACAGCTGCTGGTGCACTAATGCAGTGGTTTTGGCTCTTAACGCGTACTGCAATCTCTTTAAAACTAGCGATGCAGCTGCAGCCGAGGAGCTTGCTGGCTAGTGTCTTACAGGTGCTAGCAACCTGGAACCGCAGAGCTTTTGCCAGAGCCTTAACGAGCAGTAGAGGCGGGTGGATCAATTAAAAACGACCAAAAGCAGTCTGCCGCGTTGCAGGAAAGCCCGAGTTGACAACAATTTGCCCCAGGAATAACTAGGAATCTCTCGCCAAAGAAAGAACTGTGAAGCTTGCCGGAGCCACCAATCATGTCGTCGGCCGACATAGCCGCATGCTTCCCGTCGGAGCACGACTCGCTCCTCGGAACCGATGTGGAGTCGCGAAGGCGCTCGTCGAAACCCTTCTATTTATCGCGGTCGTCGCTCGAAACGCGCGAGAAGGCACAAGGCGGCTTAGCCGGCTGGTGGGCGCGCTTCGGCGAGGGCGGCACGATCTTCGACGCGTTCCTGATGGAGGCTTCGCAGCAGGTCGGCCAGTCGTTATTGACGCTGCCGTGGGCGTTTAGCCTGATGGGCTACGGGTGGGCCATAACGTCGCTGCTGGGGCTCTCATTAATCTCAATGTGGACGCAACATCTATTGATTGCGCTCCACGCCGAGTACCGCATGCGCCTGGCGCAGGACAAGGAGCACCCGCGCCACGGCGACGAGGACTACATCGCGTCCTACCACGAAGTATTTGGCTACCTCATGAATAAATGGTGGGGCCGCTTCTCGGTCGTCATCGTCTTCCTGGCTTTACTAGGCTTGACCGTCGCGCAGATCCTCTCGACGGCGTCCAATCTCTATTTATTGAACGAGTCGCTGCCGACGCGTACCTATGCGATCATCTGTGGCGCTGTGTTTTCTCTGCTCTCATTCCTGCCGACGTTCCGGCACTACCGCCTCTTCGTCCTCGTGGGCCTCATCGCCACGTTTTATACGGCTTGCGCGTTCGCGGTGTCACTGGGGGAATCGCGTCGACGTATTGGGGACGAGTCGACGCATCGCAGGCTTCCTCACGTTCAACGCCATCTCGCGCGGCCCGAACGGAGGCGTCTCGCACGACAGCCCGACGCGCAAGCAGAAGTTCTTCACGGGGTTCAGCGATTTACTGTTTATGTTCGGCGGCCACACGGCTGCCATCGAGAAGGCCGACGCGACTGGCAGTGCATAAATCAAACCGTCGCCGCGCGTCTCCGCCACGGCTGAATCACGGCCTCCACGCCATCTACGCGACGCCAGCTCGATGGCGTGGCGGTGCGGTCTCTCTCCGCTCGATTCAGCCTGCGCGATCACGTTCTCGCCGAGCACCCGACTTACTGGTTGATTTGTGCACAGGTGATGGACAACCCAAAGATCTATGACTACGCATACGCCCTCGCTACGATATACGTCTATGTCATCACGCTGCCGACGGGCATAACTGGCTTCCATACCTTCGGTCGCGAGGCGCAGCACCACGCGAACGGCTTCTACATGTACGCGAAGTCGCCCGCTAGAGACATCGGCGTCGGGCTCATGTGTTTCCACGAATTCGTGGCCTTCGGTTTGTTCGCCGGACCGCTCTGGCACATGTGGGAAAAATTCCTGCACGTCGATAAGTCGCACTACCTGGTCCGGACGGCGTCGCGCTACGTAGTCAACGCGTTCATGGTCTTATTCGCGGTCATGTTCCCGTTCTTCGGCGTCATCAACTCGGTGCGGCTCGGTGTAGAACCCGCAGACGTCGCATGGCGTGGGGGTGGACGCGTGTCCCACGCAGGTGCTCGGCGCCTTCACGACGACGTTTGGCAGCTTCCTCATCCCGGCGCTGGCCTGGAACCTCTATTATAATTCGGACGAGCGCATCAAACAGATGCCGAAGCCGATCGCCCTCGGCCTTAACGTGAGCACGGTCAAGGTCATGAACTGGGTCTTTATATTGATTATACTCGTCCTTGGGCTCGGCATGGGCGGCTGGGCGAGCATCAAGACCATGGACGAGAAGGTCAAGGAGTTCGAGCTCTTCGACCGGTGCAACGGGTGCTAGCTAGCGTCGAGGCACGTCGCGGCGATGGCGTGGGGGGCGCCGATGCCACGCCGTCGGCGAGGACTAATAAATATACAAAAGTTATGCCTCCAGAGAAGTCAGCGGAGGGGGCTCATCGCCGACGACGACGCCCTCCACGGCGTCAGATGCCGGGACGACGACGGCCTCCACCGGTTCGGACTTAGAGTCCTCGGACGACGACCGCTCCCGCGGCGTCTTCGTGAAGCCCATGGTGTTTAATAATCGCCGTTTGAGCGTGATCGGCTTCACGTCTTCTGTAGAGGGCTCCTCCGGCTTCACGGGCCGGGCAGAAGTAGAGCGAGACCGTCTTGATTTAGTGACACCAGCCAACAAGGCGGACACGTCAACCGAATCCTCCTCCCTACGTGGTAACGCCTCTCGAATCAACTCCGGAGAAGCCCCGCGTCGCAAATAAACCAAGACGTAGGCCGACGGAGCTACGACTTTGTCAGCATCTAAGGGCGATACGCACCGGTCGTCACACCGTACCCACGCGTCGCCCCGCGCACAGACGCCGTCTCGCGTCACGCGACACGCCGCCGTGTAGTGGCCCCCATTTAAGCCTCCTAAATGATCAACGGTAGCAACTAAGTCATACACACACGCCTCCTCGTCCTGCAGGTGCGATCCTGAAAAAGCTCCGAGATCCAAGTCATCCAGGGGAAAGTCGACCCTAGCTGTACGTTTAACTCGTCTCCCACCACCGGTCTCGCCGAAGCGTTTGAGGTGCACCACCAAGACAGGTGGTAAGGCACATAACGTACGAGACCCGCGCCAAGTTTCATCTTTTTCTGTCTTCTGCGATCGTCGTTGCACGTCCTGGGCGCCCAACGCTACTCTAAAGCAGTCTTTGAGCGACGAGTTGTCGCCGCGGTCCGCGTCGTCGCGCAACGCGCTCGTGGCGTCCTCGCCCTCCATGCTCGCGTGGGAGCGGGCGTAGGACACTACTCTGTCACCCTTCGCGAAGCGATCGCGCGCCGCATCCGCTAGATCGGCCACGAAGAGCTCGCCGTCTCGCAGCTCGGGGAACGGGATCTCTACACTCGCATCGTCCTCCTCCGTGATTATTTCACCACACCTCCTGTCTCGTCGCGGCGGCACGACCGGATCCTCGTCCGTGCTCAAACACCGTCTCAACAAAAAGGGGTACCTTCGTCGCCCCTCGACCTCGTCCGGGACGTCTGCTAGGTACCTCTTGATATGACTCCAGACCGCCTCGTAGAGCTTACAAGAGGACGCTCGACGAGACAACCGCACGGCGAAGGGCGCCCCGAGCAACTCGGGCGTCGCCGACGACAGAAAGTAGAGCCCGTCCTCCTCACTCATGTCAACTAAAGCTCGCAACGACACGCGCACGACGCACCGCTGGTCCGGATCGATGGATGCTTCGAGGTCTTCCGACGACCCGCGTGCCGTCAGATCCTCGGAAGTTGCGGGAGACGCCGCCCGCGCACACCTTGCTGGAATAGCATCTTCGACATCAGCAACCTCGTAAATGACCAGTCTCACGCCCGGCGCGCCCCTTCTTAAAGCTTGATCCAAGGCATCGCCGTCATCGAGAATCGCTTCTATCAAGGCCGGGTCGTCGTCATCGATGCGACACGCGACCAATCGCGACCGCTCTAATTTGTTCTCGGCAAGGTCCTCTAGATTAGCTAGGGCATCCAACACGTCCCCAATGACGGCGTGCTGCTTCTGTTGCAACTCCACGCGCACATCAATAGGCCAGGCGCGGTTCGCCGCGAAGGACACTCGACAAAAGACGTCGAGTCGAGGTTGCCCATGGGGTAAATTAACAGTGAGTGCCGTCCACTGCTCGTAGCACACTAAGGATTCATTCGTTTTTTCACACTCCAGTTGATAGCGAGTCTGGCCTAGCAACGAGTACGATACGAAGTGATCATGTCGTAACCTCTCATGTTCCAAGCACTTCGCAGCTATGAGTGCCTCCGTCTCCTCCACGGAAGCTGCTTTACGTAGTGATGGGTCATCTGATGAAATCACGGCATCGATATCACATTCCGAGTTCACGAGCTGAGGATTCTCGTAGTACGGCTTCGACTCACTCCCGCGGCCGCTCAGGTCGTCGCCGAGGCCCTCCACTAATTTAGCGAGAAATTCAAAGGCGTCCTGCTGGCGGTAGCCCGCGAACGTCGCGTCGTACCTACCGACGACGCGCCGGAACCGGTTCGGTCGGAACGCCCCACCTTTCTTTTCCTGTAAAGCGCTCACGAGGTCCCCAAAAGCAGCGGCTAAGACACCTTTCGGGCTGTATTTTGATTCGGTATTGAGGTCGAAGGCGTACTCGCCGGACGCGAAATAAGTTCTCAGAGGTGGCGCGGCGGCGAGCGCTTGCAGAGTAGCGTTCATGTAGCACGTATTACCTAAATTGCACAAGCCTCGCGCTTCGCCGTTGTCGTCCTTCTTCGACGACGACGAGGGCCAGAAGCGGTAGCGTCGTCTACTCTTCCTCGGGGATTTCCGCTTCTCGTCGTCGTCGACGCGCGCCCACGCGCGATCTTCATTTTCTACGATCGCCTCCAGCGTGTCTTCTAACCGAGCGGGGGACTTCGACCGACGTTTCGGTTCGCTCGTTACAGAACCTTCGTCGTCGACGCGGCGCTCGTCGTTGAGTTGGGCGGTCCGCAGGTACACAGGAGCGTGGGCCACGATGGACGTCCCGCGATGTTGTTCGACCGCTTCCCGCACCTTCCTCGCGACGCGTCGTAGAGGATCGCGCAGCGAACACTGCAGCGTCGTAAGGACCGTTTCGTCGTCGCCGTCGACCACATCGACAAAACAGGGATACAATTCGAGCATAGGCTCCGCCTCGTCGTCCACATAGAAGCGCTGTAACGTCGCGTCGGCGCCGTACCATCCTTTTAGCGCCTGCCACTCGTCTTGCGAGAGTAATTCGTAGTCGCGACCCTGTTGCAAGTGCCTCAGTAACCGAGCGGGACTCTCGGGTGAATCCGTGATCTCCTTGGCTTCGAGGAGATCCGCGTTCCGTATCGTGAACGGTCGGTCGGCGCCGCGTCGCGGTCTCGGAGATAGGGCGTCGTCGAGACCCCCAAAGGTGAGTTTGAGGGGCCGCTCCGCTTGTTTTAATGATGAAAGTAACGACGTAAATTCGTTTTCATCCTCACAGACCACCCTCACATCATTCAAATGCGTCAGGGCGGCACCGATCGACAGCGTTCTACTATGTGCACAGGACGGTTTCACACTGCGAACAACAAGAGCACCATTCGACAGACCGAGCGTGAATCCCAAAGTCTTCTCCGGAAAAATGAGAGTGGAAGGCCCCCGCGGTCGCCCCGTACTCACGCCCGCGTAGCTCTCCCAGTCGTCTAGCCATCTTCTGGAGATGACATAGCGGCAGTCGCCCGTGACTGGTGTAGAATCTGATGACAATGATTGGTAGACGTCGCGCTCCAGCAACGCGGAGCCGGGTCTCGCATCCCCAGGCTCGACGAACGCCGCCCGTCGCGCGTTGCTTCGTAGCGGTGCACTCGACGACAGTTTTAACAAAGGTGCGATGGTATCCACAAAATCTCTCCGATGGAGCACGTCCCGGTCCCCGAATAATTGGGACACGTCCTCGACTCGTAATGCTGATGCTACTACAGTAGCATCAACAGCCCCGGACGCGGACCGCTTCCTCAGCACCCTCCAGAGTCTATCCGCAGCGGCTCGCTCCGGTCTATATCGAGCCGTCTCGGGGTCCGGCTCGACCTGTGTATCGACCAGTGAGCTGGGTTTCTGATGGCGTGGAACCTCACGCCGTCGAGCAGGCGCAGTTTTGATTTCCACGCGGGGCGCGACCGGAAACCGCGACGACCGGAACGAGTCCGAGCGCTTCCGCACCGCGGGGACCACACCATCACCGCGAGCAGCAGGACATAGGACACGAGCACACGCCTCGGAAGCTCGTTCTCGATCCTCCTCCGGTAACTCATCCACGGCCTCGTCGAACTTTTTTCGAGATAAGCGACTGGACCCCTTGAAGGCCTCCCCTAGAGCAGCTGCGACGCGATCGGCCAACTCCGCGTCGTTGGCGCCTCTTCCCACGATCTGCTTCGCCAAGGCTACAATTTCAGACGCGTCCTTGTCTCTAGAACCGTCAAAGACCAGAGCTAACCGTTGCTTCGCGTCGCCCCGTCGCGCGATTTTTACGGCCTTCGCGAATTCAGATTTTGATATCAAGCCGTCCTTGTCCTTGTCGCAGGCCCTCACCACAACTTCCGCGAGCGATTTCGGTAGACCACCGTCGAACTCACCGAGCACACAGCTCGCGAACAAGTCCGAACTGAGTCGCGGTTCGTCCGTGGACAGATCGAATAGTGACCGGGGCTTCTGCTCGTTTCGCGAGGCCTCGACGGTGCACAGTCGCGCGAACGCCGCCACGAGCGCGGTCTCGGCGGCGTCCTTCTGCTTCTTTTTGGACGACCGGCGGCTGAACGGGCGCATCGACGCGGTGCGCGCGAGCTGCATCGCTTGGCTGTCTGAGGACGGTGGGATGACCAGTTAGTCCGTCCAGTTATTCGCTGCCGCGCATCCGCTGTTTGATTCAGCTCTGGTGGCTCTGGGGCTCTGGCTGTCTCTGGTGGCGTCGGCGGCTGGCAGGGCTCAAGCTAGCTGTTGCAGAGTTATAACTGATTGATAAATGCAACTGCTCGTGCCTAATAGCTCTCTGTCCCAGCCGCTCCTGGCTGCATGGCCGCGGTGCTGCTGCTTGTGCTCCTGAAGCTGCTAGACTTTATCGGGTAAGTTCGCAAAGCTCGCATCCGTCCGGCGAGCGGTCCATGGGGGCCTCCACGTTTGGTTTCCGCGTCTGCGACCCGCACCGAGAGGGGAACACTCTCTCACAGAGCAGCATTTGGCTGCCATCAGCGTCTCGCCTGTCCCACTGCCGCAAGCAGCCTGCACGCCGACGTGACACGCGAAGAATAACATGATCACCTGCCCCACCTGCCGCAGCACCCACGCGCGCGCCTGCGGGAACAGAGTCTTCGCATCGGTTTGTCTGCCTCGAGACGAGTGAGCCCGTCGTGGCCCTGCCCTGCGGCCACGCCGTCTGCGAGCCCTGCTTCGGGCGCCTGCCCGGCGGCGCCCTGCTCGTCGACGGCACGGCCAACGGTTCGTCCACGGCCACAGCAACCCTGCAGTGGCGCGAGAGTATGGCAGTGGGCGACGTCATCGACGCGAAGGACTCTGAAGGAAGATGGTTCGATTCTCGCATCGTTGCGATTGAAGGGGACCGCGTCAAGGTCCACTACAACGGCTGGTCGTCAAGGTGGGACTGCTCGTTCGATAGGAACGATGAAAGCATCCAGCCTCATTTAACACATACGGACGACTGGCGCCGCTTGCGCATCGGCGACGAGCTGGAGATACGGGGAACGGGCGAAAGGGCTTTGTGGTACAAGGGCTTCGTGAAAGAGGTCGACGGGTCTCGAGTCCTGGTGTCCTCGCACAAGCCGAACGTCGACAGGCAGTGGCTCGAGACGTCGTCGGAGCACATCTGCAAGCTGGGCTCGCACATCATGCCCCATAGGGATAATATACCCGGGGCCGGGCCCGCTTCGTAAGACAACGTTAGTTTAGCTCTACTTCCCCGCCGCCAGCCGCTGCAATAAAGTACGCGTATCAGAAAGGGGCAGCGGCCCCGACTTGTACTTCGTGTTCCGCAGCGTCGTCACTTTGTCGAGCTCCTCGCGGAAGCGCAGCTGCGCCGGGAAGCGGCCCCGCCAGGCGTCGCGGTCGATGTCGAGCGCCGGGGCCCCGTCGGGCGTGCACGGCCCGGTCAGCGTCTTCGCGTCGAAGTCGTAGAGGAAGAGCGGCGTCGAGGACGTGATGTGCTTCTCCATGTCGCGCAATTGGCCCTTGCCCAGGCCAAAGAGCTTGCGGTCGCGGACCTCGCCCCGCGACAGGCGGTTGCAGAGGAAGACGAAGCCCGGGGAATTGTTGGAGGTGGCCTTTTTCGGCGCGGCGGCGGCGGCCGCGCGGCGCTGCGCGCGGTTGCCTCCCGTAGCGGTGGCCCACTGTTGCTGGGGCGCCGGCGCCGGTTTCGGTTCGTCGTCGACGCGCGCGCGCCTTCTGGATTGAGTAGGAGGCGTATCATCAGAATCGTCGTCGCCCCACTTCGTTGAGGGAGCGGGCGCCGACAGCGCGGCGGCGAGCGCGTCGCGGTAGCGCGGAGGGACGCCCATCTGCTCGAGCGTGGCACTTGATAAACGCTTCACGGCGGCGACGTCGTTGCAGCCGCGGGCCTCGAGGACCTGGAGCACCGCCGGCGCGAGGGCCGCGTCCCGGAGCTGGGCCTGGCCCTGGAGCTTGCCCGTGCCCGCGGGCGGCGCCCAGGCCACTTCTCGGCTGTTGGCGACCATGGCGGGGAAGCGGGAGAGCGCGGCCATGCTTGCTGGTCAAATAGGAGGGTAGTGCTTTGCGGGCTCGCGGAGCAAGCTACGAGCGCGGCGGCGGCGTGGTGTTGCGCGCGACTATGCAGGTCAACACTGAACAATCGCTGATGCACAGCGGCTCGCGGATAGCGAACGCGGGCGCGGTAAATGGGAGAGACCTGTCTCTGCTGAGCTCTTTGGGAGCCGCCTGGACCTTGTCCTGCGGTCCCAGAGCCATGGCTGTTGAGAAGCAGGACAACCGAGAATGCACGGAAACGTATCTTTTAAGTTTTAAACCTAGCGTACAAGGACTCTAGCTCTCCTAGTATGGCGCCGCCTGTTTCAGCAGTCGCTCCCTGGTCATTAACGCCTGCTGTGGCAGACCAGAAGCTGCGGACGGCTGTGGAGACACATAGATCTACGTGAAGCGCCTGGGCGCGCCGGCAGCGCCGCCCTGCGCTGGGCTAGCGCACATGGCCGCAGAGGCTTCGGAAGACGGCAGCGCGGCCGTCGCGGCGGCACAAACGCGTGCCCAGACGCCGCCGCCGACACCTCCCCAAAACCAGAGCGAGGACGAGCGGCCCACGCCGCCGCCGACGCCGCCGCAGCCGAGCACGCCGGAAGCGCCGATCAAGCCGCCGGAAGACTGGCGCGTGAAGGTCTACCGGTTGAACGACGAGGGCCAGTGGGACGACCGTGGGACAGGACGGGTCTCTTTACAAGGCGCGCGCGTGTTGGTTGTGTCGGAAGGCGACCGGTCCGAGGTGTTGCTCGCTTCGGCACCGAGGGGCCCGAATCCCGTCTCGAGACAAGGCGAGAACATCCTGACCTGGGACGCCTGTCGGGGCGACGACGGTTCAGCGTTAGCCGACGACCAACCTAGTTTGCGGAGAGGCGAGACGGCCTGCGTCGCCCTCAGTTTCCAGGAGGCGCGAGGTTGTGACGCGGTCCTCGGCAAATTACGAGCAGCGATAGCCATCCGACCCTCATCACCTCCAAGAGACGATCCCGGCCCGCCCGGCGCCGATCCATCGTCCTTAGAACCGAGACCAAGTATAGTGGCCGAAGACGAGGGCGCGACGCACGCGCGAGCGTTCCTGGCGCATGTACTGGGTGCGAGAGGCGCCGGCGTGGCCTCGGCCCTAGAAACGGCGGCGCAGCGAGCCCCGCTGGAATGGCGAGCCCTACCGACGCCCGCACATGGCGTCGCGCTCGACGAATGGGCGTGTACGCTGGCGAGAGCCGCCACGTCCCTAGCAGCCAAAGAAAGGTACGCCGCGACCCTCCTCGCCGACGACGCGTTGTTACTGAGGCAGTTCGCCGCGTGTTTTGATGATGCGGAGGTCAGCGGCCCAGAGCAGAAACTGCCCTTGAACTTGATCTCGTGGCGGCGATGGCGTCGTCACGAGACCGCGTCGCCTCGAGAGAGTCCACGCGCCTCGCGAGAGCAGTTTCGCGACGCCGTCGTTCCGCGCAGGATGCTGATGATGTGGAGACGCTTCGCAAATTGGCGGATGTCGCGAAACTCGTCGTGCTGCTGAACGAGCCGCCCTTGGTCGAAGCGTTGCTGGACCAGCCGTTGTTCGAACCCTTCTTAGGGGCCCTTGAGTACGCCGCAGATTTGAAACAAAGGCCGGACGCGTCGGACGAAGAACCGCCCGAGAGTCCGTTGAAGAAGGATCGGCAAGCGGCGCGGGAAGCCGTGGCGAAGTGTAATGGTGAAGACGAATCTGATGATGGGTTACTTGAGAGGAGAAACACGCTCGATAGTAACGCTACTCGCGAGGCTCTGCCGGGCGAGCCTCGGACGGCGAAACAGGCTCGGCGCGTGCCTCTCAGACATCTGGCACTACGAGCGTCGGTCATGCGCGAGGTCCTGCCCATGACTGATAGTATACTGAAAGCGCGCGTCGTCCAGAACTTTCGAGCTACTGTATTGCGAGAAGCTGCTCTCAGACCGGGCATGGACGAGTCGCAGTTCGGGGCCTTGCACGCTTTGGTGTTTCACAACAACAACGACATCCTCAGACGTTTACATGTTGATACTGATTATCTACAGAGAATCGTTGACTTAGCTGGTGGGGCTCCATTGCCTGATGACTTACAAAACGACCTAGATGACGACGACGACGACGCGTTCCCGAAGCCTCGGTTGGACGCGTTGCGCTTTCTGCGGGAGATGGTTGGATTGAGTAGGAACGCGCAGCCTTCGGCTAGAGATGCCCTGTATAGACATTTATTTGTGGAGGCGGATTTGTACGGTGCTCTCGCGCAAGCCTTCGCCGACTGCGGGGCCGGTGCTTCTCTTTCTGTCTCCTCTGACAGACAAAGGCAAGCTCGATTGTGCAGTGTCGAAGTCGTCGCCACGGCTCTGAGAGTGGACGCGGCGTCGTTACGAAGGGATTCCGTCGCGAGACCGCCACCCGCGCCGCCGTCCTGGTTCACGAAACAATCAAGGCAAAAAGGTAATAACGACGACGAGGCGCCTCCGGGCCCCGTTAAGAAACGAGCACGGCTCCAGTCTGATACCTCCACTCCTTGTTTATTTGGTGTACTTAGATGTCTCGCCTTGACGGATGACGACGCGGCTACTCGGTTACATGCGGCAGATGCCTGCAGATTAGTGCTCGACGCCGGAGCCCCGGACGACTCGGAAGGCGATGAATTCTTAGCAGAATTCTACGAGCACTACATGCCCTGGCTGGTCGAGCCTCTTTATGATTGTGGCGTCGAAAATAATAAGGTCAAAAGGGGTCCGGCCTGCGCGTACGCTTGTGAGATACTGGCGCACTGCGTCCGCGCGCATCGCTACCGCATGAAGTACTTTGTGCTACGGCATAACGTCGCCGGGAGAGTTGTCACGTGCTTGGAATCAGCAGTGGAGGTCGGCGACAAGCCCCTGCAGTTGGCAGCTTTAAGGTTTGTCCGGGCTTGCGTCGGTGCCAAGGACGACTTCTACGCTCGCTATTTAGTGAAGAACGGGTCCCTGGCGCCCGTATTGAAGCTGCTGTCGTCGGACGTGCAGGTCTCGACCAATTCACGACTCCAACCGGGCGATTCTTTAGTTACTTCTGCGGTCGCGGAGCTTGCGGAGTTTGTCCGCTCGGAAAATGTGAAGGGTTTAGTTGCTCACTTGGTCGAGCAGCACGCCGGCGCGTTGTCGCGGAGCGCGACGCATCGACCGTTGCTGGAAGGTCTCGAGACCCGGCACGCTCAAAACAGGGATCTCGTAGCTAGAGCGGGTCGTTCAGCCACGGATGACGTCGGGTCGGAAGTCCAAAGAGAACGACGCGCCAGAATCGCGGAGCAGGACGGCGAGGAGGCCTACTTCGATGATGATGATGATGACGACCTTGATGAAAATTCTTCTGATGATGATGAAAGCGCGGCGTCGTCCTCCGACGGGTCGTCGTCCGTCGATTCCAATCGAAGTCCATTGCATGCGTCGGCCGCACCGCAGCGCCGAATAGACAAGATGCGCAGCGGCACGCCGCCGACCGAGGACGATTCGAGCGACGAGGCGTCCTCCGACGGGTCTCGAGGGACCTCACCTAGGCGGTCTCCGGGGCGACGACGAGCGAAGCGCAAGCCGCCCATCGTCGGCGTCGCGCCGCAGCAAAAGAAGCGGCGCGAGGACTCGTCAGCATCCTCGGACTCGAGCGACGACGACGACTCGTTCCGGCCGCCGCCGCGGCGCGAGGACGTGTCGGCGTCGCCGCCCCCCGTGTTTGGGGGCGGCGCGGGGCGGTTCGCCGCGCCGCCGTTTGGGAGACATGCGCCGGCTCCTTTAGTGGTGAAGAAGATCGAGTGGTCGCCGGACCGCGCGGCGGCGGCGGACGGGTTCGCGCGGGCGACTTCTCCGCCGCGGCCGCCGACCGAGGTCGAAAACAATAGTGGTGGTGGTACTTAAGATTCTTAGCCGGTCTCGCGCCAGTAGGAGAGGACGTGCCAGAAGACGCCGTTCGGCAGCGACGGGTCGAAGAGGCGCACGAGCGCGTGCGGCGTCGGCTGGTCCCAGAGCGGTCGGCGCCGGGCCCGACCGCGCGCGAGGAGCGAGCGGAAAACAACGAGGGATTTGTGGGGGGTCCTGCAGTAGCTCTTCCACGAGCCCGCGGCCCGGACGGCGGTGACGAGGCGTAGCCTTTCCTCGACCCTGTTAATGTCCTCCTCACCGTCACTGAATGCGAACCATCTTAGTTGCGACTGCATGAAAGCCTCTGCTCTATTTCTAGTGACGCCCGAAAGTACTTCACTGCACTCGGGGAAGTCCAAAGATGCGCCGCGGCGGAGTAGTAGTCTGATAAACTCCATGTTATTGTAAGGATAAAGATCCAGAGCTCTAGCGAGTGGCGTGTATCCATGTTCAGCTGCAGCTTCGAGATTGGCACCAGCGTCTATTAATAGTTCCCCTGCGATGAGCCTGAATTCTTCACACCATGATCCAGCAACCAGGTACATAGGTTTGCCAAAGTTTGGGTCTGCCCCGCGCGCTAACAAATACCGAATGAGCTCGAGGCGGTGCTCGAGACGGCGACGGTCCCGAAAAACGCGTACACGACTAACAATTGCCTTACCTTCGAGCCCAACACCGCCAATCGCGAGCGAAAGGAGCGGCTCTCCGCCAGGCTCTAAATGCCTGAGGCTCGGGTGACAACCCTCTCGACCCCCGGTGTGCGCGTCCGGATCAAAAATGCCGTTCACGTCGCCGCCAGACTCCACCCATGCTTTTACCGCGGGAAGGCCATGCGTCTCGGGAACCAGTGGCTCCAAGCGCATTGCGGCAATGGCCACATTGTGCGGCACATTGACCATCTGCCCAGGACCGCCCTGAGATCCGCGCAATTCAATGTACAATATGTACAATGTTATCTAAACTCTTCACGTTTGTCACGACCCAAATGCGAAAGACCCAAATCAGACTTCTTGTGTCTAACAAGGCGGGCGCGCGCGCATGAACGCGTTGCTTGCTTTGCTAGTGTCTTACATGCCGCTAGCTCTCTTGCCTTGCTCTTTTTGCTTCCAGAGCGCACAGCGACGGCGGTGCCAGCCCACCGTTTTGCGTCGTTTGAACTGTACTCCAGCGCCCCGCAGCGCTTGTGCACGCAGTCGCAACGCTTGAGCAAGACAGCTCTCTCACTGCAGCCACAGCTTTGCACTGGGCAGCATGCACAGGTTCCTGCTCGCAGCGCTCGCCGCCGCGACGCCGCAGCGCCACGAAATCGGCAAGTTGCCCGCATTAGGCTACAACACCTGGAACGACGTCCGCTGCGACGGCGTCGAAGCCACGACTATCTTAAGCTTAGCACAAGGCCTCGTGCAGTCGAACTTCTCGCAGAAGGGCTACACCTTTTTGAACGTCGACGACTGCTGGCAGGCGCCTTTGCTGAATGAAAAAGGAGAGCTCGTGCCCGATTCACTCAAATTCCCGGACGGTCTGAAAGTGGTCGTAGACAAGGTCCACGCGTTGGGTCTGAAATTTGGCCTCTACGCGGACCGCGGTTTTTATACCTGTGCGTTCCGCGCCGGGTCGAGACATCACGAACGTACACATGCGAAGCAGTTCCACGCATGGCAAATCGATTACTTGAAGTATGATAGTTGCTGGTCCCCCAATCTCCGAAGGAAGGGTGCGTTGGAGGATTACGCGCGGATGCGCGACGCGCTGGCACAACACGCGCCGGGCGTCCATTATTCTTTATGTGGCTGGTCGTCCTGGTACGCGCCAGCTGTCTCTGGCGAGGAGGGCTACCACTCGTGGCGCATCTCGGCCGACTGCGACGAGTTCGCGAACATTTATGAGGCGGCGCGGACCATGGAACAGTTATCGGACTACGCGGGTCCGACACGAGGCTACAACGACCCGGACATGCTCGTGGGCACGTCGACGGGCGCGGTCACGCTCACGCCAGCGCAGTCGCGGACGCAGTTCGACCTCTGGTGCGTCCTCGCCGCTCCGTTACTCCTCGGCACGAACCCGATGAACATGAATGCCTGGGACCTCGAGACCTATGGCGACACCGAAGTTATTGAAATTGACCAGGACCCGCTCGGCAAGCAAGGCACTCCTGTCTACTCGACCTGCCCGCCGCACGCCCCGAAGGACAACTGGTGGTGCTCGCCCTGGTCCATGCCGCGGGACGTCTTCGAGGTCTGGACGGGGTTATTAAGAGCGCTCGCGGCCGTGCTGTTGACGTCCGCCCTGCTATTACGCGGCGCCGGCCGGCCGCGCGGCGCCGCGACGGCGTTTATCCTCGCCGTCGGGAGCGTGGGCTACGTCCAGGTGCTGCACACGTACCGGCCGCGCGTCGCCGCGTGCCAGCAGGTCTGGGCGAAGCCGCTCGCCGGCGGCGACGCGGCTCTGCTGTTTGTGAACTGGGCGTCCGACGACGCGGCCGTCGCGTGCGACGCGGCCTGCCTCGACCGCGCCGGTCTTACCAGAAGACCGCTCTACGTGCGCGAGGTGCGCGCCCGGGCGAACCGCGCGCCGCTCGTCGACGGCGCGAGTGTTCTGGTCCAGCGGGTCGCCGGGGGCGGGGGGTCGGTGCTGTTTCGGGTAGGTTTGTGATTTAAGAATCGTTCGTTATTTCTTGCGGGGTGCGCGTGGTCTAGTAGTCATGATGGTACGGATCTTCCTTCCAAACGCGCTCAGCAAGCGCGTATTTCCCCGCCAGCATGGCCTCGTGATTTTTGTACCCCTTGAGACGGGCGTTGAGGCGAATCACATTCTTCTTCAACGCGAGTCGAAAGCACTTGGAGACTAGCTTTAGCGTCTTCGCGGTTTCGACGCGACTCTCCTCGCCCTTGATGCCCGAGAAGCCCCACAAATCGTTGCGACCGGTCAACCCTGAGTTGGTGTGACGTCCATTGAGGTAGTAACTCACCGCCTCGAGCACTTCACCTAGTTCCTCGCTCTCCAGGCGGCGCAACTCGTCGATGTCATCATAATGGGGGTTCTCGTCGCAGTGCTCCTGCGAGTCCTCGATGACGTCTTCGATGGCCCGGATGCAATCGACCGGGCTCGTCGGCGCGAGAAACTCGCCGACGCAGCGCAGGACGTCGTCGGGCAGGCCCGGGAACTGCTCCGAGGGCGCGCGGCCTTCGATGTATAACGACGACTCTCCGTTATGTAAAGCACCCCGCCACCATCGCGCGTGCTGCAGCGCTCCAGCCGGGGCTCGTCCCGCGTCGATGGCCAGGCGCGCCTCGTCCATCGCGCGGTAAAACGCGAAGCGGACATCTTCGGTGATGTCGGCTTTTAAAACTCTGGGGCGCGATTTCCAGTCTGGCGCGATTGGGGCCCGCCCTGAGTCCCACCTCAGCCACGACTCAATGTGACTAGGATGCATGCCAATGGCACCCTGGATCTTCTCGGCGACCGTGTAATCGATGCCATTATTCTTGAGCCAAGGCTCGATGGGGTACCTTTCGCCAACCTCGTACGAGTGGCACTTGACCCGTAGCTCGGTGGCGATGATCAGCTCCGCGCCCGTCAATAGTATACTGCCGGTGTCTTTTTTTGTGACGCCTTCGGGCCACACCGCGGGCCCGTACAAAGCGCGTGGCTTTAGGCTTCCCGTCGGCCCGACTTGCGGGAGGCCGAGGGCCACGCGGCGGGCTTGCGTGTAATCGGCCGCGGCGAGCTCGCCGTCGCGATGTTGCTGCTCGAGCTTGCGGACGGCGCCGGGGTCGCACGCGGGTCGGTCGCGTATCCTAGGCAAAGCATGATCGCCCCTGTAGCACTCAGGAGTGCCCTGGCAAGACATTTTTGACTGATTTTGTTAAATGCAGAGATTAAACTCTATGTCACAGCATGTACGGCTTGGATCTCGTATAGGCGCATTAAGCGAGGGTCGCACCCCCCTGGAAACCTGATTTGTTTTACAGGGCAAACTTATATATATATGTATACTTATATACATATATATATGTGCGATGTAAATAATAGCCCGAGAGCCTGAGCCTGAAAAAAACACTGATAGCACCCTCATGCTTAGAGAGGGATAGGTGCGGGGCGGGTCGGAGCGACGACGCGTCAAGGACGTCCGTCGCCGCTCGTCATGGGTGCCGCTCGCGGTGGCGTGAGTGCGTCGGCGCTCCGCCAAGGCGAGGACCAATTGGGGGCCTGTGAGCAGGCCGCCTTCTGGAGTCACGTGATACTCCTTATGTTTGTACTGTCCTTTGTCGCGCCCGTAGCGGTCCAGTAGTGGCCCGTAAAGAGCCATACAGTCTGAATTTTAATATAAATGGAATTATGGAATGCCAAGCGGTGACGGTGCGACTGTCCAAATACTGGACGTGGGCGCGTAACGTGAAAATTACCTGCGTCCCTAGCGGGCGCGACGACCCAGGCCGCGCGCGCTGTGAAGACCGAACTCTAGTGACTCTCAAACTCTAGCACCAAGGGCCAAAAAAAAGGCGTAGGCATCGATTGCAGGACCGACGCAGCCGCGCCAGCACCTCCCCGCAGCGATACTGACAAGCGCTGCCAGCCGTGCGCAACGCTGGCAGCCGTATCGCAACCCTGGCAGCCGTGCGCCGAGCCATGGTCCAGCGCCGCGCCTCCCACGACCTCCCACTCCACTTCGGCGAACCCGCATCGCCGACCCGGCGCCGCGCGTCGCCGTCGCGGCGCGCGCTCGGCTGGCTCGTGCGCGCATGCATCGGAGCGCTGGCCCTCAAAGGCCTCGTCACGCCTTTGAGCGAAGAGGCCGAGGTCGCCCCGATTAGAAACTCGAAGCGCTACAAGCAGACGCTCCCGCAACGACGTTCCGCCGCACTAGCGCCGAGAAAAGATGCCGATCACCTCGTGGTAGTAGCGGGTCACGCGGTGACCATGGCCGAAAGCTTGGACGGCGTCGACGCGTTGGACAGCAGCTGGTACCTGCTGGACTACCAGCGCCGCGCCGACGTGCCATCTGCTCTGGTGCAACACATCGAGGAGGGCGTGCGCATCACGGCGCGGGACCCGAAGTCAGTACTAGTTTTTAGTGGTGGGCAGACGCGGCGCGACGCGGGGCCGCGCAGCGAAGGCCAGAGCTACTGGCACGTCGCGGAGCACTTCGACTGGTGGGGCACGGGCGCCGGCGCGCGCGCGACGACGGAGGAGTTCGCGCGGGACTCGCTCGAGAACGTGCTGTTCGCGGCGTGCCGCTTCCAGGAAGTGGTCGGACGGTATCCCAAGCGCGTGACGGTCGTGTCCTACGACTTCAAGAGGAGGCGCTTCGTCGAGCTGCTGGGGCCCGCGCTCCATCTCCCGCTCGAGTTTGTCGGCGTCGCGCCCGGCGGCCGCTTCGACGCCCAGGCGGCGGCCCGGGGCGAGGCGAAGGCCGCCGAGGCGTTCGAGCGCGACCCCTACGGCTGCGAGGGCGAGCTCGCCTCGAAGCGGACGGCGCGGAACCCGTTCCGGCGCCGGGAGGGCTACGGCGCGAGTTGCCTCGCCCTGCGGCCGCTCCTGGACGCGTGCGCCAAGGAGACGGGCCCGGCCGCGGCGGCGACGTTCGCGTGGCCGTAGCTAGTGTTGTAACGTGATATGTGTACGCTATCGACGCGACGACGCGCAAGCGAACCAGTAGTACGGTAAAACTGTCGTTAGAAACACGCGCGCCCCGCCTTGCTGGGGCGGCACGGTGCGCCGAAGCGCGGTCGGGGGAAAAAACGGGGCGGCGCGATTTTGGGCGCCGCGGCAGCGCATCGCGCGCATGGCGGGGGTTGGGACCACGCGCGCGGCGGTCGTCGACCTTCACGGAGCGGGCTCCGTGCGCGCTGCATCACGAGGCCCCTTTCAGGGCCCGGCGGGCGGCGCCGCGCCGGCCGCGTCCTTCTGGATCGGCAGGAAGAGCTTGAACTCCGGCGGGAGCTCCTCTTCGGAGTAGAGGCGGTCCGAGAAGTAGATGCGGCGGATCCTACAGTTCGCGTGGATCTGCACGCGCAGCGTCTCGATGTAGTTCGTGCCGTAGGCCCTTCTCGTGAAGTCCGACAAGTTGAACTGGATCTGGTTCCAGCCCTCGTCGAGGCGCATGGGCATGGTGCAAATAAACGGCTTGACGCGCGTCGTCGACTGGTAGTTCGACGCGCGGAAGCGGCGCCTGACATTCTTATCGTCCAAAACCTGGACCTCGAAGGTGAAGTACTTCTTCAGGTTCTTGATGATCATCACCAGAAAAGGTAATTTGATGCCCAGCGTCTTCTTCGCGTCGGCCGGACACGTGATGTAGTTCGTCGACACGTTCGTGCCCATGATCTCGAGCACGGACGACTGAATGTCCTGGTCGGTGATGCGCTTGATGTGGCCATTTCGCACCTTCTTGTCCCAGATCTGGAGCGGCTTGCTCCCGATGGAGTAGAGCACGGACAAAAAGCCGCTCTGGAAGGTGTTGCGGAACATGGTGGCTGCTCCGCGGCGCTAGCTAGCTTCGCTCCGGCGCTACAGCTGTTTTTGTCCCGTCCCGCGCTCTACGCTGCGGCTCGATCGACGACCGCCTGGTAGCGTAAGCGCTGGCAGCTCTCTCAATAGCGAAGGATCGCTGCGTGCACAGCGGCGGAGTTGGAGACGATTTACCGCCGTCCGCGCCGAGGCTGTTGGCTGCTTTAGCCTATGTTTACCTTATACCCTAGTATACGCGACTCGTCATTCCGTCGATAGAGGACTCGGAACGTCCCCAGATGTATCGAGGCGAGGCGCGCGGACGCATCCTTGCGACTGCAAAACCGGCTGTCTGAGCAATGGCAGCACAGAGCAATTAGGGCAGGCTCCAGCGGTGCCAAAAGCCAGCATAACGGGGCAAAAATTAACGCGACGCTGCGAGAAATATCTCTATTTTAGTCGCAAGCTCGCGCGACAAGCAGTGAGCAGCTGTACCCCACTCTGGAGCTTTGCACTGCAGTGGCACACGATTAGACATGGCTTATTCGTGCCGCTGGACGCTCACACTACTCGCATCGGTCACAGCACTGCGCCAGTCGACGCGCCGCGACATCGGCGCCTTGACCGCCGGCGCGCTGCTAGTGCCAGCACGAGCCGTCGCCGCGTTGCCGTCCGCCGATCGCGTGCCACTCTTCGTCATCACGACCGCGGACGGCAGCACGCCCCTGTTCACCGACGCCGACGGGACGCGCGCGTCGTTCTTCGCGGAGCGACGAGACGCGGAAGCCAAGCTCAAGTCGTTGAAAGGCGCCGGCGACGCCGTCGTGATGAGCTTGCCGCTCTCCGAGGCGCTCGACCTCAAGAAGCAGCCCGCTTCGGAACTGGGGGGAGAGTTCACCCTTTCCGCCAGGAAAGGCGAGCGCGACGACGCGTCGGCCATCGCCGGCGCGCAGGCCGACCCCGACGACCTGCCCTTGTTCTTCGACCCGCGCCTCGCCGCGCCCTCCGGCGAGGTCTACCTCTTCCTCAAAAAGGGAGATGTGGACAAGTCGTGGGCCAAGGCCGTGGGCGGCAAGCCGTCGGCGAAGACGGGCTACCCGGCGTACCAGACGACGTCCGTGCGCGCGCTCGAGGGGGGCAAGCAGGGCGGCCCGAAATTCATCATCGTGAGTAGTGAGAAATTCTAATTTAGGCTCGTCCTCCGCATCGCCGCCGCAAGCGCCGGCCGCAGCGCCAGGATCGCGTCCACGTCCGCGCCCGGCGCCGCGACGACCGTCGCCGCGAAGGGCGGCGCGTCGAGGACCACCAGGCACAACCTATCATATAACGCCACGAGCGACTCCAGGTTGCCGAGGCGCATCTTTTGGGCCTGCGAGACGATGGCCGCTATCAATTGAGCCGGCGGCGCCGCGTCGCCGGCGCCGTCGCCCGCATAGGTGCCGAGCGTCGCGCCGTCGCGGCCCGTCACGACCAAATGCCGCAGGCCCTCGCGCCGGTGCGCGCGCCAGGCCTCGGCGAGCGCGGCGCCGTCGAAGTCGGCCTCGAAGTCGCTCATTTTTTTTGCAGGGTGTCGCGGCGGCGGGGTCCGGTGGCCGCACTGTTTGCTGCGCCGATTTCGCGCTGCGCCGGTGCGTCGTGCGCAGCCCAAACTCGATGGCAAAGAGGGGTGACCACTTTATGTCTTGGCGCCTGGAGCTGAAGCCGGCGGGCCTGGTCGCAGTGGTGGGAGTGCTCTGCGGCAACGACCTCGACAGGTGACGTCGCACGGCTTCGCGCGAAGGCCGCGCGCAGCCGGTTTATTTTTTCGATCTAGTGTAGTAATGACATACTAGACCGCATCGACGCGTCCGCGCATCATCGGGGATTTACCAGCGTAATATTGCACCGCTGCTAGTCAGGCGTCGTGTGTGACTCATCCCGGACACCCTCGAGGCATTCGAGGTCAGAAAGACCCGCCTCTGCACCTCTGCGCCGAGATCTGCGCCGACCAAGAGAGCGGCCTCTCTGAAAGACACAAAAAAACGATGGACGCCGCCTTCTACGACAGCGCCGCGAAGCTCGTCGACGCGCACGTCGTCGACCAAGCAAGACAAGTGGAAAAGACGAACCGCCGGCCCGTCCAGGAGCTCGTCGACCAGCGCCGCCTCCCCACGAAAGGCTGGTCCGACGACGCGGTCGAGAAGCTGCTGCGGGACTGCGCCGCGATGGACTCGAACAACTTCGAGGAGAACGTCGGCGTCGGCGAGCGGGAGGCGCGCGTCCTCAGCGGTGTTGTAAGGAGGAGGCACTTCGGGCTGGCGCACGGCGTCGGTCGCTCCGGCGACGTGGCGGCGGTGCAGCCCAAGGCGGCCGGTAGCTCGTTACTAGCTAAACTCGCAAATGCATTAGCGCTGGACGCGCTGAAAGAGGCGGGCCTGGTCGAGTTTCGGAGAGCTGTCGTCTTGCCCTGCGCGACGGGCCTATCGCTATCGTTATGCCTCCTCGCGCTGCGGAACCAGCTCCCGCCGACGGAACGAGCCAAGAAGTCGAAAGCGCTCTGGTGCCGCGTCGACCAGAAGTCGTGCTTTAAAGGTATACTGTTAGCCGGTCTGGAGGCGGAGGTCGTCGCACCCCGTACCGATGGGTCGGCCCCGATCCACAACCGAAAAACTCAACCACCTCCATCTTCTGATGAGCTGCGCACGAACCTCGAAGCACTTGAGCGGAGGCTGCAAAATAATGAAGATGTTTTTTGCATCGTGACGACGACCTCGTGCTTCGCGCCGCGCGCGCCGGACGACGTCGTCGGCGTGGCGCGCCTCTGCCTGAAGCACAATGTGAGACATGTCGTGAACAACGCCTATGGCGTGCAGTGCTCGAAGACTTGTGCCCAAATCGCGCGAGCATCGCGCGTCGGAAGGGTGGACGTCGTCGTGGCCTCCACCGATAAAAATTTTCTGGTGCCCGTCGGCGGCGCCGTCGTCGCCGGGAACGATGCTGATATAATCGATACGATTGGGAGGGCCTACCCCGGCCGCGCGTCGGCGACGCCCTGTGTTGATTTATTAGCAACTTTACTTGGTCTAGGGCGCAACGGCTGGCGATCTTTACTGGATGAGCGGGAAGCGCAATTGGAGGGCTTCCGTTCGTCACTAGAAGACGTCGCGCGGAAGCACGGCGAGCGTCTTCTGGACACGCCGCACAACCGCATCTCGTTCGGTGTGACGCTGTCGGCGTTGGCGGCGAAAGCTAGACGCGTGAAGGACGATGATAATGCCGTGCGGGACCGGTGCACGAAGTTCGGCTCGATGCTGTTTACGCGGTGCGTTTCCGGGACACGCGTCGTCGCCCGGGAAACGGACGCGAAGGACATCGCCGGCTATTCCTTTGTTGGGTGGGGCGCGTCGTGCGACGATTACCCAGAACCCTACTTCACGGCGGCCTGCGCCCTCGGTGCTTCTGGTCGAGAGCTCGCGGACTTCGTGGGGCGATTAGATCGGGCCTTCGGCCAGGCGCACAAGCAGCTGGACAAGGAGCTGCGGCGACGGAGCGACTCCCAGGATAGCCTTTCCACTAGTAATTTGTAGTAGTAGTCTTACCGTCGCCCCTCGATGCGTCTCTTTGTTGTAGTAGTCTTGCCCTTCGTGTGGAGCTTGTACGTGCACTCCTCCGCGAGGAAGTTGCCCGAGTGGTAGTCCTGGAAGGCCTGCATGATCTGGTCTTGCGTCGACATGACGAAGGGGCCGTGCTGCACGATGGGCTCTCGTAGTGGTTGCCCGGCGAGGAGCATGAAGCCCAATCTGGACGACGCTTTGACGTGCACGTCGCCCGAACTCGACAGGCGGAGGACCTCGCCCTTTTTCGCCGAGGTACCACAAAACGTGCCGGAGCCCTCGTACACATAAACGAAGAGCGTGCTCATGCCCGTCGCGCGGGGATGCGTCGCCTCGCTGCCGGCTTCTAGTTCATAGTCTACATATTGACAGCGGATGCCCTGCGTCTCGACCGGCGACGCCTGGCCGTTGAGCTCGCCGAGCAGGACCTTCGCCCGAACACCAGGAGCCACGTCGACCAGCGGCATGGCGTCGGCGCGCGCGTTCTGGAACTCCGGCGGGTCCAGTTTATTCGCAGACTTGAGATTGATCCAGAGCTGGAAGCCTTGCACGGGGCCGTCGTACGTTGGATCAAATTTCATGCCATGTTCGATGCCGCGGCCGCTCTTGCCCCACTGGAGTTGGCCCTCGGCGAACAACGCGTCCTGGCCTTCGCCGCGCATGTTCCAGGGATCCGTTCCCAGCCACCGACCCTGCTTCAGGTAGGGGCACTCGTTGAACCCACGATGCGGGTGCATCCCAAATTGCGGCATCGCACTGATATGGGCCGGCCCAAAATGATGTAACAACAGGAAGGGGTCCGACTGCTGTTGGGCGAACTTGTCCAGGCAGTCCGTGACGAGGATCTTTCCCGTGCCGAAGGGGTCGGTCTTCCCGGGCGTCACCTTCTTCTCGACCGTGGCCATTTTGTGGGCTCTGTGTGTCAGCTAACTTGAGCAGCAGTGGTGCAGCGGCCTGAGGGCAGCCTCTCGTGGGCGCACGCGTGACTTGGGGTCGAACACGAGCTGTTTAGAGCCTTTCCCTTGCCTGGCTCTGCGTGAAGAGCTAGCGTCGACACACTAGCTTGAGCCTCGAAAATTATTGTGCGCCTCGAAAAGCGATGGACGCAGCCGTCTGAGGCAGCCCGGGGCCGCAGCGCAGTCGCATCCATCTAAGGGCAGCCGTAGCGCAGTCGGGCAGCCATGCGCGCATGGCTGCTGGCCGCACTGCTCCAGCACGCCGCCGCGGAGCCCGTACGCGTCGTCGGCATCCTCAAAGATGCAGCGGCGCCGGATGCGGCCCAGCACCTCTACGCGTTCCTGCGCTCCGCCTCCTACGGCATGGTGCACGTCGGCCGCAGGGCGCGCGCCGAGATCGACGCGGTCATCAAATTGGACGCGCCCGCACCCCCGGAGCTCACGCGGGTGGCGGCGCTCTTCCCCTGGTGCGCGCTCACGCAGGACGCGTCGAAGGCCGGCCGCGGCGCCGTGGCCAGCATGCGGGGCGTCGTGGCGCCCGTCCGCGGCGTCGTCTTCCAGGGCAGTCTGTTGGACGCGTTCGAGCGCTCGGCGTCCGGCCCGCCCTGCGAGACCGTGGAGGGCCCCTGCGTCTCGCTCTACGCCCATGGTGCGGCCAAACATATTTCTACCAGACATACATGTGATGCGCTGTGCCAGGACGCGTTCGGCGATGTTATTCAAGGCAACACTTTAGTGCCAGTGGTGTTCGATGCGAAACGACTCACCGAAAGTGGCTGTACCAAAGCATCCAAAATTTATACCAGGTATCAACTCAGAAAAAATGACAATCGGGCGAGGAACACGTCGCCCAAAACCAAAAAGAAGTGGACGGCGTTAGGCCTAGGAAGAGAAAGGTGGTCGTCGCGCGAGACCATGGCCAAGCAGATGGTTTCGAGGAGACCAAAGCTCTTCCAGTCGAAACAGAAGTGCGGCGCGACGCGCGACGTGATTTTTTCGGTCTACAACTATGACGACGCTTCTACACTGTATGCGTTTATGAGGTCACTGAGGGAGGCGGGAAGTACGGCAGACGCAGTAGTGTTCACGCACCGCGCCCACGCCGCGTTATTGGCCGTGGGACGAAGGTACGGCGCTCGGATCCTGGAGTACTTTGCCTCATTAACAGGTAACACGAAGGTCGAGGAGATCATGCAACGGCCCCACATGCGTGAGTTGAAAAGAACGTTCCCCGGACCGCTCATCAAGAACTACAAGTTCACATTCATGTACTGTTACCTCCTGGAGTTCGGGTCGAGGTACGATCGGGCCATGTTCGCCGACGTGCGGGACTTGTACTTCCAGCGGGATCCGTTTGCGTATTCTGCTTGTTCAGGTTTGACAGCATCGACGGAGACGGCTTCTCTCACCATCGAAGATCGGAAACACATCCACGCGGACCATTATCCTAGACATTGTCCCACGGGCTGGGAACAGTTTCGGGACGTGCCGCCCATCAATTCCGGGGCTTTTCTGGCCGATGTTAGTACCATGCTCGAGATCGTGCGCAAGTCGGATGCCGTGGTGGAGGCGTGCGGCGCGGGCTACGACCAGGGGACCTTCACGGAGCTCATTTATTTGAATCGGCTGGACCACGCCGTCTCTTTATCGACCACAGAATTCGGCTCGACCTTCGGGATGATCTGCAACTCGTTAGATGTGGCCTACGATACCTTCGGGGAGGTGCGCGACGAGAGCGGGATGGTGTACCCGGTCGTGCACCAGTTCGACCGGTTTGGGGAGTTGCAGCGCGATCTGAATAGGCGGATGCCCCTCGATCCGCAGTTGCTCGTGGCTAATAAAACGACGTGCGCCCGGTAAGGATGTTTCTTTGTAGTCTTGGACACTCTATCCGGCGGTGAGTGATGAGCCGCGTCGGTGGCGTGCGTTCGCCCGGACGCCACCACCGCGACGTCCGGACGCCGCGGGCCCCCGGGTAGCAATAGTACACACAAACAGGAGCCTTACTACCCGCTCACGAGATCGGCGCTCTCCACCACCGCATCGTGGAGGAACGCGCACGAGTCGCCCCGCTTGCACGACGACAGATGGAACGCGATGCAGTGCTGGCGGTGCTTGGCGTTCCAAGCGGCAAGTCGCGCCTTTTCGTCCTTTATGGAGCGTAGCTTCCTTAAATCATCCGGCGACGGCTTGTCCAGACCTTGTTTGACATAAAAATCGAGCGCCTTGCCCTCGCGCTTCGCCTTGCGTATCATGCGGCCCTCGAAGCGTTTCCGGGCCTCGCGCGTTCTTAATCTATCGGCGGCGCGCTTTTTGGCTGATGCTTTCTTCGCGGCGTCCTCTTCATAATTTTTCTCCCCGGTACAGTACTGGCGGCACCGTTCGAGAACTTTTCTCGCCGCCGCGACATCGGGGCCGTCCAACAGCTCATCCAAGGCATCGTACGCGTCGAGCGCGTCCTTCGCTATTCTCCGACAGTGGAACGCTATGGATCGATAGCCGGCGGGGTTCCCGTGCGCGTCGACGAGGTCCAGGTATTCTAGCGCTAGCGCAATTTTCCGGAGGCGTTCTTCGTTTACATCAGTACAGACGGCGTCTTCAAATAAAGCGGGGTCGTTCAATAAACCTTCCGCCGACATAACACCTCCCGCCTTCGTCAGCTCCAACGCTTCCTCGGCCTCGCCGCAGTTCCTCACGTTCCCGTTCGATACAATGACCACGGAGTCTCCGACCGCCTCCTTGACCTGGCGGATGGCGTCCAAGTTCGCTGGTCCATCTCTAGCACCAGGACCTGTGTGAAAATCAAATTTTTGGGCGCCCCACGCGATCGACGCGACGTTGTCCTCGTAACAGCCTCTGCTCGATGGCATGGAGGATCATGATTTCCACACAGACCAGGACCGTCGCGGTGCCACGTCGCTCGTCGCCGCCCGTGCAAGGCCACGACCTGCGCGCCGCTATCGCGCAGGTCCTCGACCAATTGCAGCGTGTCCGGCTGCGTGTCCATGAGCCGTATCTTCACACACACCACAACTTCTTTAGGGGTGTCGCGCCGCATCGCCCGCACGATCGCCTTGACGAGCTCCCGATCTTCCTGCTTCATGAGGTACGACCCGTAGTGGCCCGCATAGGCGACGCGTTGCGGACAGCCGAGATTCAGGTCCACGGCGTCGGCGCCTAATCTCGCCGCTTCCTTGCAGGCCGCACCGACTATCTTCGGGTCGTTGCCGCAGAAGTGCGCCACGAGCGGCTTATCATCAACATGAGTCTGGAAGAATTGGGTTTTAAACTCGGCGTCGTCGAGGAATTTCGACGCTTCGAGCATGGGCGTGTACGCGACGTTGGCGCCGTGCCTCCTACATAAAAGCCGGAAGGCGAGCTCCGAGCCGCCGACCATGGGCGCGACGATCTTGGCGCCGCTGCGCATCGTCTCGAGGAAGCTCTTCGTGTCTTTCCTTACGAGGCGCCAGTCGAGGTGCGTCAATCGCGTTTTCCGGCTCCCGCCGCCCTCCAACTCAATACGGTAGACGCGGTCGCCGCGCTTGCTCTTCTTGTCGTCCCGCTTGGCGCGCTTAATTTTGGTGACCGTGCCTCGCGCTTCCGCGTCGTCGCCCTTGCGGAGGCCGCGCGCGGCGATGACGTCGCCGACGGCCGGCAGCGGCTCGGCGGCCTTCCGTTTTTTCTGTTTCTTTTTCTTCTCTACCTTCTTCTCTACTGGTGCAGTCGGTTCCTCTCGCGCGTAGGCGTCCGGGTGCAAGCGTCGTGCTGCTGCATCAAAGCTGGACATTGTCGCTGCACTGCTATCGTGCCGGCTTTGCCGACCCTGAAAATTGGCTCCTTCGAGAGTTCGATGATCTATGCGATCGAGCACAGCGCAGTCAGTGCCCACTTTCGCCAGTCGCCGCACAATCGGTTCTCAAACTTTGCTCGCTCTCACTGCCTCATCATCAAAGCTGGCACACTTTGACGCTCGCGTGTTGCGCATTACTGGACCCAGCGCTTGCGCGCAACTTTACAGATACTCTGGGCACCGAAACCGATGCGTGCGTCACTCCTCGGCATGTATCTCGTGCAAGCCGTGGCGTTTGGTGCCAAGCGCCTGGCACAGCGTCGTGGCCTCGCGCTGCGTTCGACTGCATACGACGCGCTGACAAAGGAGCTGCGCGAGGTGGCACGACTAGAAGAAGTGAGCGGAATCCTCTCCTACGATGAGCAATGCTTCATGAGCGAAGGTTCCGCGGCCTCTCGCGCGGCACAGAAGGAGGCGCTGGCGGGAGTCATTCACGAGAAGCGGACGAGCGCTCGCATGGCCGAAGTCATCGACGCGGCTCGCGGCTTGAAGCTCGACGACGCGCGCGAGAACGCGAACGTTAGGGATGCCATCGAGGGCTTCGACGTCGAGAGCCGCAAGAGCAAGGACCTGGCCGAGCGCGAGGCGCGCCTCGAGAGCGAGTGCTTCGTGCGACTCGGCGTCCCTTGGACGCCATCGCCGCGACACGACGGCATCGCCCGCGCAGGTCGCGTGGAAGAAGGCTCGCGAGGCCTCGGATTACCCGGCCTACGCACCCATCTTGCAGGATATGTTCGCCCTAAAGCGCGAGGTGGCCGCGACGACGCGGCCCGACGTTTGTGCGGCCGGCGAGCCGTATGACGGCGCGCTGGACGCCTTCGAGCGTGGAATGACCGCATCACGCCTCGACGCGATCTTCGCAAAAACGCGGGAAGGGCTCGAACCGCTGCTGAAAGCGGTGCTTGCCAAGAAGCGCGACGCGCCGGACGTCGACGCATTACCTCCAGCTTTGGCCTTTGATCACCCCGGGTGGAAGGGCTCCGTCGAGAAGCAGGCCGAGCTCTCGAAGAAGGTAGCGGCAGACCTCGGCTTCGATTTCACGAAGGGCCGCTTCGACGTCTCGACCCATCCTTTTACGGGGGGCGCGTGTCCGACGGACGTGCGCATCACGACGCGCTATAGCGACGGCAACTGGCTCGAGGGCTTCGCGGGCACCGTCCACGAGGTCGGCCACGCGCTCTACGAGCAGGGTAGAGCGGGCGACGCCGTCGGCGACGGATTACCGGTCTCCAAGGCCCTGTCCATGGGCACGCACGAGAGCCAAAGCCTGCTGTGGGAGCGCATGGTCCTGCAATCCAAAGCGTTTTGGGAGTACGCCGCGCCGCTCTTCCACGAGGCCTTTCCGCACACGAAAGAGGCGTCCCCCGAGGACTTCTACCGCGCCATCAACCGCGTGCAGCCGGGCCTGATCCGCGTGGAAGCGGACGAGCTCTCGTATCCGTTCCACGTGTTCCTGCGATATGATGTAGAAAGGGCTCTGTTCGCGGGAGAATTGGACGTCGCGACCATCCCGCAGCAGTGGAACGCGTACATGAAGGAGCGCCTTGATGTTGATGTGCCCGACGACGCGAGCGGGGTCGAGAGCTGTGTGGAAATCAACCAGCGGTCATGGCGATGGTCGCGTCGATGGCGTGGGGCGCCCGAAATTTGATTTCCACACAGGTCCTGCAGGACATCCACTGGTCCTTCGGCGCCGTGGGCTACTTTCCGTCGTACACGCTCGGCGCGATCATGGCGGCGCAGATCTTCGCCGCGGCCGAGGACGCATTACCAGACCTCTCGGACCAGATCCGCCGCGGCGAGTTCGCGCCGCTCCGCGAGTGGCTACGCACCGAGATCCACGAGGTCGGGAGCACCTACGCGTCTCCCGACGACTTGCTGCGAGCGGTTACGGGCGACGGCATCGATCCGGCGCCGTTCCTGGACTACTTGACGGCGAAGTACGGGGAGCTGTATGGGCTATAGTGGAGTTATTGTGTATTTTAGGCCGTGTCGATTTTATTAGGTCGCGTCGCTAGTATCTCTATATGCGCTAGTTCAAACTCGGAGCGCTTTTGATATCAGGCGCCTAGCTCCCTTGTTTTTGAGCCGGGAACTGCCAGACGCTGTACAGGAGCTCCTCCACTCTGACACTCGCGCGCGCCGGTCGAAAACCGCATCGTTTGCGCCCCCAAAACCGCCCAGACAAGCCGAAACCCTCAGGCAGCGCGCACCAATGATGTCCGAGACGAGCGCCAACGTGCAGCCCAGCGAAGCGCCCGAGACCAGCGCCAAGAAAGCGGAGCCCGAGGCGGACTCCAAGAAGCGCGCCCCAACACCGGAGAGCGACGACAACAGCGCCGAGCTGATTTGCAAGCCCCAACCGAAGAAGCCCAAGACCCAGAAGAAGCCGAAAGTACCGGTCACCAAGGAGTCGGTGATAGAAAACTGCAAGGAGGGCGACGCCTACGTGGCTAAAATTCTGGGAACCGATAAAGTGGATGCGTCCTCCCTACTCTTCTGCATCATTTCCAAGGGCCGCTGGGCGAACGCGCGCACCGTCGAAGCGCGCTTGATTGGGGGCGGCCTGCCCCCGGCGCAGATCCTTTGGTTGGTCGGCACCGGTGAAAGAGAAGAGTACGAGGCGAACTGCTCTGGTAGTGTGGTCGAGGGCGGCGGCCTCTGCCAGAGTCGTAATAGGGCCCTCGACGAGGCGCGCCAACGAAAGCTGGGCTGCGTCCAGATGTCCGACGACATGAAGCGCTGCGAGATCATTCGGTGCGGCGATTCTTTACAACAATTCCACGACAGGGACACGTGGCAGAAACCGAAGGACCTGAAGGCCGCGAACGCGCAAGGTGCCGATAAAGTAGAGGTCACGCCCGTCGCTGCGGCTTCCCTCTTACATGCTCTGTTGAAGGCCACGGACCACCGACTGGCGGGCTGCTTTCCGAACGCGAACCCGGGCTTGGCGGCCGGGGCCGCCCCGGTCCAGTCCCACCTGTTCATTGTTGGAGACTTCCTCGTGATTGACGTCCAGAGAACGTCATTAAGATTCGACGAGCGACTGATGCTCAAGGAGGACTACGACTATACGGCGCAACACTTACATGAACATGGTGGCGTGTGTCGCTCGAACCGCATCTTATGTCTATTTGAACATTATGACAATCCGGGCGGCGCCGTCGACGTCAGAAACGACGAGCGGGAACAGCACGCGATCCAGCTGCTGCACCACAAGTGGCCTGGGGCTTTTAGACAGCACGGCACGCGCGGGCCGAACGAGGTGCTGTTCAAGTGGGATCAAAGGGATGTCTCCTTAGGAGGCACGAAGAAACACAAAAGAGTCGATCCACCGGCGGGCATCGACCCCGTGGCCATCGAGCGCAAGCCCAAGGGCGGGCAACGTACCCTAACGTCCTTCTTCAAGAAGAAGCCGGCCGCGACGCCGCCTTTGCCTCCTACGTCGGCGGCCAAGCCCGTCGAGACGCCGCCGCCTCAGCCGTCCGTTGAGCCCGGCGAGGGCCCGTCGTCGTCGTAGGCGTCGTATATAGTGGATGTCGTTGAGTAGCTATGCGAGGGGAACATGATTTTTCCGGTGCTAGGACTAGTGGGCGGCGCCCCTGCCCAGGGCTGGGGGGGGGGAGACACCGCGCGTCGCCGATTCATCGGCGGCGGGCGAACCACGTTTCCATAACAGCATACCTCCTTCGAAGCAGAACCGCCTCGGAAAACCGTCCCGGACAACTGCTCGCGGGGCGCGCGCCTAAAAAACAATTCGGTGCGCCAGGAGCAAGAGCAAGGGGACCACTTGTTTTGCATGCCATTACGAGCGCCGTCACCCGCACAGCTCAAATCTAAGGCAGCCCGCGAGCCGCTCGCGTCGTAGAGAGGCAGCATGGCCGCCGCGGAGCTCGAGGAGGTCGACCTCGACGCCGCCGAGGCGGCCTGGGAGGAGGCCGAGCGTTTAACATTGGAGGCGGCCGAGGCGGAGGCCGAGGCGGAGGCTAGGGAGCTGAAACTGCGGGCGGAGCTCGAGGCGGAGCTGGCCCGCGCGTTACTGGTCGCCGAGGAGGCGCGGCAGCGCGCGCGCCGGGCGGAGCACGTCGCGGCCAAATTGAGACGCCGCGCCGCGCGCGCGTGGCAGCCCGACGAGGGTAAGAAACGCGATGAAGTCGTGGCGCTGTCGAAGGCCGCCGACCGCAAGGCCACGCGTTTGGTGAAAAGGGAGGCGGACGCGCGGCGCGCGGCCGAGGCCGCGGAAGAGGCGCTGAGAAATTGCCCGCCCCCGCTGAGTGCGCGGCAAAAGGCGATCATCAACATGGAGCGGAACTGGAAGGAGGCTTTGAAGCGAATAAAGGCGAGCGCGCGGCGCCGCAAGCGGGACAAGGCGAAAAGCCAGGCGCGGAGCAAGGAAAAACACGAGGCGTGGGTGGCGCGCTGCGAGCGATTTAAAGAAAAAAGCCGGCGCCTTCATTTGGGAGACGTCGTCGGGCGCCACGAGCGCATCAAAAAGGCGGAGCAAGAAAGGGCGGCGGACGAGCGGCGGACCGGCCTCCGCGTCCGCGCGGCGACGGCCGAGCTCGTCGCTAGAGCTGCGATGGACGCGTCCGTCAAGGCGATGCAATCCATGGAGCGGGCCGTCGCCGCCATTCATGCCGCGGACCGGAGCAAGGACCGCGCGGACCGGCGGCGCGACCGCCGCGAGGCGGCTTCCGCGGCGGCTTCAGCGTTGCGCGCGAATGTACAAAGGCAGCGCGCGGCGAAGAAGGCGGCGGTCCCCTTATCAAAGAGCAAGCCGCTGCGCGTCCAGATTTGTTATTTGAGCGAGCCGCGAGCGGCCATCGACGCGACCGTCCCGGCGGCGTGGGCGGACGCGCCGGTCCGGCGGTTGTTGATGGGTTTCCGGAAGGGCTACGCGGCGCAGACGCAATGCGCGCTCCCGGACGGCGCGGAGCTCTTCACGCTGAAGGGGGGCGTCTCGCTCGCGGGCGAGACCGTGCGCGAGGCCGTCGCGCTCGCGGACGGGATGATCGAAGTTCGAAGTGCGTGAGCCATGTTGTATTTAACTACACTAAGTTTAGTCTTCCTTCTTCGTCCCGGCTGGTCGTTTTTCGAACGCGAACAACGCAAGTATTGCGAACAAAGCCGCACCGTAGAACGTTGCGGCTACCAAAGGCTGCCTTGGAACCGGTACGCCGTCGAAGGCGAAGCCGCCGACAATCGGTGCGGCGACGCCGATCGCGCTCGATGCCACGTCGAGCGCCGCCAGCGCGCCGGCCGTATCTGATGCGGGCACGACCTCCGTGAAACGGGCGCGCAGCGCTATCGTGGCGACTTGCCCCGCAGCGGTCTTAAGCGGAAAAATCACACAAGCGTAGACGAGGAGCGACGGGTCCGCGAGCGCTTTGGCTGCGATGCCCTCGACGCCAGTGGGTGATCGTGGCCACGGCGCTGCCTCGGCCAGCGCCGCGACCACGGCGACAGCGGCGGCGCCCTTCACGAGGTGTTCCGTGCCGCAGCCCTGGCAGAACCGCCGCGAGAGCGGGCCGGCAAGGCCCCACGACGCGGCGATGCCCGTGATTGATTTAAACAGCCCAAAGCTCGCGTAGTCGGAGCGCGAGAGGTCCCACCTTTCCAGTTCATAGACCTGCCGCGTGACCATGGCCGCTCGCATGGCGAAGGCCACGGCGAGCCGTGCGCCCGCGGTGGCCGCGACGGCGCGCGACGCAGTGAGGACGGACGTCGTATCTTGCCGCTTCATCGTCTTTTTTTGTGTTATGTGCCCTGTGGGCAGCGTCGCCGACGCGACGACGAAACAGACGACGTAGAGGCCGACCGCGACCGCCGACGGGACTCGCGGGTCGCCGAACCGGTTGAGATACGCGCCTATGGATTGGCCCACGAGCCACGACGCCTGGGAGGCCGAAGATATCCTCCCGACCCACGTCGCGCGCTCGGGACCGGGCGCGGTCAGTTCCTGTGGGGAAATCAAATTTCCGGCGCCCCAGGTATACTTAACTCACTGGTTGAATTCCACACAGGTCAGCTCAGCAACCAGCGCCGTCGACGCCGTCATCGTCTGCTTGCACAGCCCCACGACGACGCGCGACCCCACGAGCGTATAGAACGTCGCGCCGGGCCAGCCAACGATGGCATACGCCGTGGCCGCGCCGACGAAGGAGAGCAATAAGAGGCCGCGGTGGCCGAGCGACCGGTCCGAGAGCGCCCCGAGTGCGAGGCCGCCGACGATTTGCGCCAATGAGTAGGCGGAGCTCGCGAATCCGAGCGCTTTCGCGCCGACGCCTAATTCTCGATACCGCGCTGGCAATAGCGGCACGACCAAGGAGACTGCGAGTAGATCGAGGAGGACTACGACCACCAGCACCCAGAGTTGTGCGTTTTTTTGTAGTTTGGCCATCGCTGCGGCAGCGTGCTGCTTGCAGAGATGCGTGGCTGCAGTATTTTGCCAGCTCTGCGCCTGCCACCAGCTAGCGTCGTGTAAGACACTAGATCGGGTTCCTGTTCCCAAGTTTCCGGCCTGTTCAGCCGTTCCAGTCGCAAGGAGATTCGCGAAGCTCTCGCGCCTTATCAAAGTATCAGTCGACAACACTGAGCGCGGCGGAGAGCGCAAGATTGAGACAAAAACAATGAACTACTCGACCATAACCCAAAAAGACGAGCCCATCCTCAATCGCGAGGTCAAACTCAGCCTCAAGACGATCCTCGGCGCGGCGGCCTTCGTGTCCTTCGTGATTGGCTCGCTCGCCGTGGTCGCGTTGGCGCCCTCTCGGCCGAGCAAGGACACTGCATTCTACAATCACCACGGCTGGAACGGCGACGCGACGTGCGACAAGAAGACGTGCGACCCCGACTCCACGAGCAACGCCAATTGTCCGTCCAAGCACTGCCCGCTCTGTCTGGACCAGGGCGACGGCTACCGGTGCACGTCCCATGGCGAGGTCCACCCCAAGGCGACGTCGCCGACATGCGAGGAGCTTTATGCTACCGCTCTGAAGAAGCTTGCAATCTCGCAAGAGCAGGACAAGCTCCATCAACTTGCTATGGGCGGCGAAAAATTTAGCGAAGCTGTATCGGACGAGCAGCTCGACGAGCAGCTGAAGACGCTCCGAAAGAAGGTCGAGATTGCGGAGCTGAGGGAGAAACTGGACCATCTCGGGGGCTAGACTAAGACAATCACCTACTCTTACAAGTCGCCGCCGCCGGGTCGCGGCACACGTCCCCCCGCGGAACGCCCACGAACAGCAGCCCCAACTTCCGGAGCTTCTCGCACTTCGCGCGCCAGCCGTAGAGAAAATTCGCGTGGAAGGCGAGGAGCTCGTTCCGATGCAAGGCCTCGCGCGCGAAGGCCGCGCGCCGCCCGGACACGAAGAGGTCCTGGTTGAGCACGACGAGGTCTGATGTTAAAGGCGCCGGCCAGGTCTTCGTCGTCGTATTTCTCATATCTTCGTCGTAGAGGCAGCCGTCTCGTGGTAACGTCCCCTTCAAAGCATGAACCAGAGAAGGTTGGTTCTCGCGGCCTTTGACGATCGACGCGCAGGACCCGGCCCAGGCCGCCAGCGCGTTCGACACGAGACCATTCCTATAGAAAAGGAAGCCGCCGTTCACACTATCAAAACAGCGGTGCCTCCTACAAGCCTCATCGTCGTAAACAAACTTGCCCTTCGCGAGGAGTGAAGCGTCGTGGTCCGCCCGCTGTTTATCCGTGGTTAAATACGCCCTCAGCAAATCCGCCTCCTTCCTTCTACATGGCCTTGTACGAGTGTCGACGCGCGGCGAGTCCGCCATCGATGCCGCATGGAACCGTCTGAGATAAGCGGGCACGTCGGCGAGCCAGACGACGTCGGCGTCCTGCGTCAGGGTTGAAAAGCCCAGCGCCGCCGCGGCGTGGGGCATGAGGGCCTTGACGGCCGCGAACTCGGCATAGGCCTCGCTCTGGAAAGGTGCATCTTCGCTGGAACCGAACGCACTCGACACGTCGACGACGCGTGCCGCTGGTAAATAGCGACGCATTCTCCCATTCGTTTCCGCGTCCGCGGCCCACACAACAACATGGTCCCGCAAGTCCTTCCTAGGTAGGCCACATAAAAAGTTCTCGAGAAGAATGGAGTGCGCGGCGTTGGCGAAGACCTGGACGGCCGGTGGCTTGGCCGCTTGTAATGCTTTTTCTAAACGAGGTACAAGGAAGCTGTCGTCGAGGCGTTTCGATAGTGATGCGCAGGTGCCGTTCAGGAGGTGCCGGGCTATCAGGGCTTGGGCAGCCCCTGCTACTAAAAGCAGCGCTCGCATCGCTCGTCAGGCCATCGTATGATGTTGTTTGGGTTGGTTGCGACGGTGTTGGGCAGCCGTACGGTGCTTATAAAGGCTACGCCGCGTAGACGAGTGAAGCTAGTAGCTCTCTACACTAGCTCGCTCCGCAGCGCGGCGCTTTTGCAGCGGTGCATCAGTCAGCCGTCAAGCGAACAGTGTTCGCGGGCGTAAGCTACAGTCCTCATCGCAATCCGAAAGCAATCGCTGCTCGCCGCAGTCCACGGGGAGCTGTGAGCCTCTCAAGCGTGCGCTACGCGTGCGGCGCTGTGGTGTAAGAATGGATGCGTGTGGCAGCACGCGACGCGGCAAGGGTGCGACGAAGTGTGACGCAAGGCTCACAAAGCTCTTTGCAGACATCGCGCCCGAAGACGCGTCGTCGTCGCGGATTAGCAGCGGCAAATCGGGCGCGCAATCGCACGCGCAGCGCCTCGACGACGTGTTCGGGTCGCTGAACCACACGCTCTCCGGCGCGGCCGTGCCGGCGCCACCGACGCTGGCCGCGCTCGAGGCGCCGGCGGCGGCACCAGCCGCGCCATCGTCGCGACGACCAGCAAAGAAGCCGCGTCGGAAGGGGAATGCGCCGCGCCGGCCGCCGCCCAAACCGGGATACACCATCGAGACGTTGGGCCAGCCGTCGTCCGCTGCCGCGGAGCGAGGGGCTGCGATGTCCTTCCTGCGAGAGCTGAGGGAGCGGAAAGGTGGCGGCGGCGAGGCGCCTGCCGACGACGTGCCCGACGACGCGGCGCCGAGGTTTCGGAAGCGACCGCGTCGCGCCGGCGGTGCCGCGCAGCCGAAGCAAGCTGCCGTGTCGCTCTCGCACCTCGACGATATGGATGACGGGTTGTAAGAATGCTTTGTACTAGTGCGCGTAGGCGTTGCGTGCGGGACAGGACAACAGCTCCTGAAGCAAGGAGGCACAAGGCCACCGCCGAGCGCTGGAACAGCACCCCACACGCCCGACGCTACACGCCAGACGCTGCACGGGCGCTGGAACGTTATCTGAACGCGCGCTGCACGCGTTCCTGTGACGTCTGCCGCCGTGCGCCGCAAACAGGTGTACTGTGCTCTGCCGCTCTCACTGCGAGAAAAACGCCGCGGCGCACGCCCCGTGTACCGACGCGACGTCAGCGCGTCCTCGGCACCTGCGCGGACGCCCTGCCACGCTTTAGAGTACAGCCCGTGCGCCCAAGGCCACACCAGGCGTGACGCGGTAACATGGGAGCAAACGAATGGGCAAAACGCCTAGGAATAAACGACGCCGCATCCTTAGAAACCTTCAAGCAAAAATTCAGCCAGCTCGAGGACGCCGCCAAGGAGTGCCCCGTGCCGCCCAAGGACGGCAGTCGCTGCGCGCTGTGCCGAAGGAAAGTGATGCTCGACACGCGGTTCAAGGAGCTGTGCAACGGCCTGTGTAGTGCGGGAGGGTCGACGAAATCGACAAAAAAGACGATCAACGCCGTGAACAGCGCGTCGAAGATCCTCGAAATTTATAGAAGTCTGCCGGCGGCCGGCGCCGGCGCGGCGCCGCTGCGAAATATTGATGAATCCGACGGGGGCATCGTCGGTTTGTCGAAGCTCGGCCGCGACGACTCGGAGTCGAACTTCCAGATTTTATGTAGATCGGAGCAGTGCCAGCGCGCGTGCCCGGAGGGCGGTTTTTGTTCGAGACGGTGCGAGAGCGGCGAGGCGGACCGCGTCGCGACCGTCGCGAAGATGGTCCTGGCGGGCAACGACGCCAAGCGGTCGACGAGCGCGCCGGCGCGGCGAAAAACGCAGACCGCTTCATTGGCATCGATGATGGAAAATCTAGCCAAGCCGCCGGCGCCGCGGAAGAGTTCGTCGGCGGACGAATCCTCGTCGTCGAAGGCCGACGAAGAGGCGTTGCGCAAGTTCGTGGTAGACGTCGTCGGCGAAAAATACTGGCCCGTCTTCGAGCGCGAGGAGATCGAAGATTTGAAGACGTTGAAGTGCTGCACTGCGCGGGACCTGCAGGACATGAAGATACCGCTCGGTCCGCGCCTTAAACTACTGAGCAACCTCGAAGGGCTTGCTGCGTAAGAGTGATTTGTGAACAACACAGTTACGGAGTCTTCTGGACGTCGCCGTCGTATCGCGCCTCGCGCGCGCGCTCCTTCGCGCGCCGTTTCGCGGCCTTTCGCGCCTTCTTCGCGTCGACGGCGTAGGCGAACGCCGGTTTCTCGGTCATGGGCGCGTCGTCGGGCGGGGCCGGCGCGTCGGTGGCGTCGGCGGCCGAATTCTCGCGGCGGAGCGCCTTCGCCTGCTCGACAAGCTGTTTGCGCTCGGCCTTGCGGTCGACGCTCCGTTTCGGAATGGCCCAGCGCTGCTGCTGAATGTCCTGCTTCGCGGCCCGGAGCGCTCGTTTCGCGGCCACTTTTTGCGCGTGCTTCTGGCGGCCGGTGAGCGGGACGGAGGGCGTCTCTTCGTCGATGACCATCGCATCGTCGTCGCGCGCCTTGAGCAACGTCTTGGCGCGCTTCTTGGCCAACTTCTTGGCCTTTTGCTTGTTGGCTTTGCCCATCGTTGCTGATCGCAGCAGGCGATGAAATAGGCTGCAGTGTGCAGCAGGGCTGAAATCGATACCGCGGCGGTTAGACGGTACAGCGCTGCGTGTAGAGATGCTGTGCGACTTTCGTTATGCCCAATCCACGAGCTGTAGTGTCGATTAAAACGTGGTTAAGCTGGCGCTGCGCACACAGCCCAGCTTGCTAGTGCCTTTACTTTCCGCTAGCTCGGCTTTGCAAAAAAGGCTTGTGTACGCGGGTGCTCTGGCTTACGGCTCGGGCTTGAGTAGTGGAAATAGTAGCCCGGGCACCACTTCGACGGCAGCGCCGAAAAGTCCTACGCGGTACGCCCAAAAACTACTCGCAAAGCACACCAGCCCATAAAACACACTAATTCGCAGCGCCAGGAACGATGGCGCAAATACTAAGAGACCCCAGCGCCCTGCGCCAGCTCGACGAAAACGAAACAAGAGCGGAGATCTACGAGGACTACTCCCAGGCGACGCCGTTCGAACGGGGCGTCGGCATCCTCGCGGACGCGTTAGAACACTGGGGCGCGAATGACGACGGCCAGTTTCTCAGGAGAAGCAGTACCACTCGTAGGACGACGCGGGACTTGGAAGGTAGATCATATGATATTGCGTTGCATAGCGACGGCCGGGCGCCGGCGTGGCCGCCGCAGCATCCCGATCAATTTTGTGAAGACGACTTCGGGCCTTGTGCTGATTGGAGCTGCTTCTTTGATGCTGAAAGAGATGAAGAAACAATGAAAACATTAAGGAGCCTCTTCGGCATGCGCGAGGCGCTGGTGATCACGAACGCGACGCACAAGAGCCGCCTGACGCGTAAAGTGGAGGAGGGTTCGACGTTACTCGTACGGGCGGCCCGCGACGTCGTGAAAGGAGACCACCTCGACAAGATCGTGGAGCTCGTGAAAGCGCCGGAGGATGTGGATGCTCGCTCTCGCACCATCCTCGCGGCGGCGGCGCTGGCCCTGGCGCAGACTAGAGCAAGGGTGCCGGTGGTCGTCGTGGAAAGGGACGACCGCACTGTGGTCATAAGGGGGGCGTCGGCGGCGCGCAGTGCAGCGGCGGATATCAGTGTCGACATGGAAGAAGGCCGCGGCCTGCGCTGCCACGACCTCGTGGCGAAGGTCTGTCAAAAGTCGGACCAGTGTTTCATAGCGGCAATGAGGACGTGGTCCCGCGAGCGACCGCCCGAGCCGGCCTTTGGGGCTTCTAGAGTGAGACAACGCTGGCGCACGCAACCTGTCGGAGTGGGGGCTCGCTTGGCGGGCGCCGAGTATCGGCGCAACGAACCGTTGTGGGGCGCCGCGCGGGAACCTTTATCAGCAGTAACCGTGCAAGCGCGCTGGCCGCCTAGAAACGCTTCCCAATTGATCGACGACGCCTTCGTGACGCATCCCACGTCGTTCGACGAGTTGCGGTGCCCGGCGTGGACGGCTTCGGTTCGTTTTGACGACGAGGAAACGCCGCTGGCCGATATTCTTTCAGCCTTATCCGCCGCGAAACTACTGGCCGATGCGAATCCGAGCGATGCTACGTTAGATAACTTCGCAGGTGACCTCGAGGACGGGCCCTTCGCTGAGACCGCTCGTTTGCTAGCTGGCCGGACAAAAACTATAATCCCGGACCGCCTGGACGCTTTGGTGCGGGAGGTCCTTGGAGATTCAAGACCGGCCATGGATTCTGATGAGGAAGAGGAGGACGACGACGCGTGTGCGCCCACGACCACCTCGGCAAAGACGTGCGGCGCCCACGACGCGTTGGCCCTATTAGCGTTGCGGCTGGGCGGCCTCTCTTCCCTGGAAGCCATGAGTTGCGTCTGGGCGACGTTCCTCGAGGCGTTACGATCAAGGTGGGATGCGAAACGGCCGCTCTGTTACACACCGAGCTTGCCTGAAGATGGCGGCGCCTTGCGAGAAAGGAGCGCTTCATCGGTATACTGCGGGCGTCGCCGGGTGGACGTCTGTGATAGTGTAGGTGCCCTGGAAACGGGTTGCGCCTTGCAGAAACTGATCGCGACCGTAGATTTGTCAATAAGGTGCTCCTCGTCGGAAGCTACTTCTCAGAAAGATGGCATGGCGGTCCAGATCGCCTGCTCCCCGAAGCTGGAACGAGAGGCTGATGAGCTGGACCGCCACGGCGACGGCGACGCAGCGGCGAAGAGGCGCGAGGACCTGCGCTTGGCAACGGTCGCGTCCGACGTCGGCGCTTTCAAGGCGAGCCACCCGCACGCGACCGTCGCGGATTTTTGGAGGTGGGCCCATCCCGCCGCTTGTGAGCCCGACACTGACGTGGATCCTCAGGTCGAAGCTTTATGGGATGTGGTGGAAGCGACGCCGTGTTCTGATTTGAAACCGCTCTTCGACGCTGAGAACGAGGCGGAGGCCGCCCTGCACGCGCTGGAAACGGCGCGGCCGCGCTGGGTCCTCGGGCAACTATTAGCTTGTGCGGCCACGACGGCCGTCTTCGTGTTACGAGATGCGTGTATACCGCTGGCGTGCGTGGAGGCGGCCATCGAGCAGGTTGATTTAAAATGTGCTTCCCTGGTCGAGGCCGTGGAACGGACGGAGACGGCGGACATGGTTGGCGTCGAGTGTGATTCTTCAGTGATCGGTGCAGCGTCTTCCTTGATAGCGGCCGTCGCCGCGGCCGAAGGGCTCATGGGCCGGGCGACGGCTTTGCTTTCAAGGTTGGGTGATGGTGAGGATGCCAAATATCTAGCCGAGCGCCTCCTCGCCGCGAAATCCGTCGCAGTAGATGATCTGAATGAGAGGCGCGCCGTGGCCAATGTCCTGCGCTCCTACGCCGCCACGGACGGCTTCCTCCCTCCACCGACAATACGGGAGTACGTGCTCTGGGCGGCCGACGGCACGCGCGCCTACGCATCCGAGGCGAACGGCGAAGTGTGCTACGCTACGGCGATTGTGAGAAATGAGTAATGTTAATAGTACCTTGAGATGCCCGTGAGATGCTGGCAGAAGGCTCGCGTCACGTCGAGGGCCGGCTGCCGGCCTTCGGGCACGTTCTCGGCGTCGGCCGTCCAGTATGCTGTGAGGGCCGCGCCCGGTATGGAGCACGGAGCGGCGCCGTCAATACGCCTAACAGCGACGACAGCGTCCCGCGGGCCCTCGGGGCCGCACTGACGGTGCGTTAATGAAGCCGCCACGAGCACGGCCTTCGGTTTTGGTTTCTCCGAGGGAGCGGCCACTTTCTTCAGCCGATGTGCGACAGAAGCGCACCTCGCCAGTTCGTCAGTAGCGTTGGCATACGCACAATACGACGCCAGCGACTCCTGCGACGACGCGTCGGCCAGGATCGCATCATCCAAGGCGAAGGCGGCCGGCGCCCTCCCGCCGTCGTACGACCGCGCGTGTGCTTCCTGGTAGCGCAACTCCGCGCTCAAGACCCGCATCAGCTTCCCGTACTTGCGTAACTCATGCCCGCCGTCCGCAAATGGCCCATGTAAAATAACGTGGTCCACGGGGTCGTACCACGTTAGTAGTACCGAGGCCCACTGCCGCGACGCCATCGTCGTGGCATGGCGCTCTTTCATAAAAATTCTTGTTTGATTCAAGGTCATGCATTCTTTGCTCCATGACGAGTCTCGTCTCGGCGAGAACATGGGCAGGCACGTGAAGGGCCAGGCCTGTGATCTAGTTGCTGTGGTGATGGTGGCCGCTGCGACGACGAGGCACCCCAGTATAGCCTTGACGAAGCCTCCACGTCTTTTGACGGGTTCTTGAGGTGACCCCCAGTCCACCAACAACGTAAGATACACGACGGCGGACGGTAAGTAATTGACGTTCGGCATCGCAATAAATATATTCACGTGGAAGGCGGCCCAGGCCCAGCACAGGAGATTCCTGATTTTGGGTGTGGCGAGTAGTGCGAGGGGCGCGCCGCACTCGACGATTAATGTAGAAATGGACGCCAGTCGCGCCAACAACTCAGAATCACGGAGCAATTCTCTCATATAAAGTCCGCTCTCGACGGGGTTTTGTTTGGCGAGGGACCATCTCAATGATGCACCCGAGGCCCATTCCATAGAACAGTCCGGGCCATTACACAACTTCATGTAGCCCGCGCTCGCGAAGATGGCCACCGTGAGCACTAACAAAAGTCTTCGTCCATACGATTCTTTTCTATTGTCTATGGATAGACATAACGCTGATAATGAAGGTAATAACCACCGGTGGTTCGAACCGCTCCCGAGCTGATGCAACGCTTGCAGGAAGAGCAATGATGATCCGGCGATGAGTGCTGATAACCGCGGGAAGACGCCGACGACGCCCAGTAAATGCCCCACGCCGGTCACCCAACCAACCAACGTCATCCTTCTCCGACATTGATCCAAAGGCACGTTTGTGAGACGCCTAGCCAGCAAGTCTACCAAAGGTAGGGCGCCCTTTCCAGATGGTGGCGCGAACAGCGACAGGTCCCGCTCCTCGCACCAGAGCCAGGCCGCGCCGACTAATTGAGGCCGCCGCCACGGGTCCAGGGTTACATTTCTTATATAATCCTTGAACTCCGGGCCGTAGCGCGTGATGTCCGCAAAAATCGATAAGAATTGCAGCAGCCAGAACGCCCTCCTTTGATTCGGCGTGAATGGCCTCAGGGCGCGGCACCACCAGTGCACGACGGCGTTTCTCCTTCCTTCGTTGGTCACGACGTAGAGTACCAAGACGAGGAGGACGTAGTGCGCATATCCTGCTTTCACGCCGACGGCCGCGGCCGCTACGATAGCTGCTAATCCGCCGCTCTCCCGGAACACGGTACCGAGGCTCGTCGAGGGCTCGTCGTCGTCGGTGCTGCCTTTGGTGCTCCGTTTTTTTGGGCTCTTTTTGCTTGGCGTCTTGCGGGGCATCGTCGCGCCTCTGTCGAAGCACCGATGTCGATGTGCTTCGAGAGTTGCGCCGCTCGCCGTCCAGCTCAAGAGTGGTATATTGCGACTCGACGAAACGATGACGATGCGTTTTGATTGACGCGCGCCGCTCGCTGCAGCTCTGGTTGAAAAGGGTCGCAAACTCGTGCTATGGGAATCTATGCGTTGCGCCGCTGCAGTTGCGCTATCGATTCGCAGCGATGGGTGCGCTGCGCAGCCTCCTTCTCACAACGACGCCCAATTGTTAGCGTGCACGTGCCTGAAAAATAGTGATAGCGGTCGGTAAGACACTAGTCTCGCTAGTGTCTTACAGGAGCGCTAGCTACAAAACTGGAGAAGAGCGGCCGAGTTTACGCGCACGCGCATAGTATTGAGAAAAGCCTGGACGCGTACGTACACCTGGCGTTGGCCCGGTGATCGCCTCGCCGCGCTCGCGGACGCGCATCGCGCGCCGCCGGAGCTAGCAAGGTGGCGCGACTGGGGGCAGAAACAGGCGCCCGCTCGCGCGGCAAACGACTCATCGTGGCGCTGCTCCTCGCCCGCCGCGGGGCGCGGGCGCTGCGGCCGGCGCTGCGGCCTCGACGCCTAACCAGACTCGCGAGCGTCGCGGCGTCGCGCGCCGAGCTCGTCGCGCCGGCCCAAACAACGCAACAGAGCGTGCCGGTCTATTCTAATGAAGAGGTCCAAACGGCCCCGGAATTGCCCATAGCCTACGACGATGTTGTTATTGTCAACGACGTTTCAAAAGCACGAGCAGTAGCCGATAGACTAGCCACAGCTTCAGACCGATATCATGCTGTGGACACGGAGGTCGACGGCATCGACTTAAGTCGTGAGGGACCGGTGGGCAACGGTGTCGTTACGTGCTTCACGGTCTACTCGGGACCGGACTTCTCCTACGACGGTGTTGACAAGGGTAAAGCCCTCTTCGTCGACACGACCGTGCCGGATGTCCTCAACGAATTCAAGGACTTCTTCGCATCAAGCGAACTAAAAAAAGTCTGGCACAACTACGGGTTTGACCGGCACGTCGTCGAGAACATGGAGCTAGACATGCACGGCTTCGGGGGCGACACGATGCACATGGCTCGCCTGTATGATTCCGCACGGTTACGGACGCATGGCGGCGACGGCTACTCGCTCGAAGCGCTGGGGCGAGATTTGTTGTCTGATGGGAGGGCCAAGGTCTCGATGAAGACGCTGTTCCCGGAATTTTTCCGGAAGAAGCGCGTCGAGGGCGAAGGCTCTGACAAGAAATCATATCTCGACGTCCTGAAGATGCAGACGGACCCATTAACACGAGACGCGTTCGTGTGCTACGCGGCCTACGACGCGAAGTCGACGTGGGAGGTGCACGACGTATTGAAGCAGAAGCTCTCCCAACAAGCCTGGGAGCCCATGGGGAACAATCCCTCTGCGAGTGACACGCCGGTGACGATGTGGGACTTCTATGAGAGGTACTTCGTGCCGTTCGGGAATCTGCTGACGGACATGGAGGCCGTCGGGTCCGCGACGCAGCGTTTTCAATATACTTGAACGTGACGCGGTCGCGGCGATGGCGTCGACGTGGCCGATATGACACAGTCGCGTCGATGGCGTCTTCACGTCTCGTTCCGCGCAGGATCCACGTCGACGCCGCGGGCCACTTGCAGGCCGTAGAAAGGCAGGCCGAGGAGGACAAGGAGGCCGCGCTCGAGACGTTTCGGAGCTGGTGCGTGTCGGTCATGGGCGAAGACGGCCGGCTCTTCAACCCCGCTTCATCAAAACAGATCCAGACGTTGCTGTTCGGCGGGTCGGCGAACCAGAAGACCGGCGAGATCCTCGAGCGGGAGCGGGAGTTCGACGTGGACCTCCCGGCATCAGAAATTCCGGAAGTGGAGGAAGAGCGAGACGAGGAGGTGTTAGTCACAAAAGAGGAGTTCTACGCCAAGGCCACGGCGAAACTACTCAAGGAGGAATGCCAACGACGGGAGCTGAAGGTCACGGGCACGAAGGCCGAGTTAGTGGAGAGATTACGAAACGCGGACGCGGGAATTGTTGAAACAGTACAGGATGAGGGGCCGCCACCGCTCTCCATCGCGGAGATCGATGCTCTGAATACGGTAGCTGAGATGAAGGACGCGCTACGAGCCCGGTCCCTGAAACTGTCGGGCAAGAAGGACCAGTTGCGGGCGCGGCTGCTCGAGGACAGCAAGGCGTACAAGGCTCCTGTAGTAGTTGAGAAATCAGACCTGCACGCGGTCTACGAAGAATTAGATCTGAAACAGCTCCAAGCGGCCTGCCACGCGCGTTCCCTAGAAGTTCCTGGGGAGTCGACGCGGGAACAATTGTTAGCGTTGCTGACTGATGATGATTCCTACACGGCGCAATTATCGAAACATTCCATAGCATCGCCGAAGACCTTCTCGCTACCTTCTACACCGAAAAAGTCAAAGCGCAAACTTACCGTACGTTCGGTAGGATTGGTACCCCAAAAATTCACGCAGTCCGGCTGGGCCTCGTGCACGGCGGACGTGTTGCGAGATCTCGCCGGTACGCCGAAAGAACAGAAATGGGGAGACGCCTACAGCGCGTTCGGGGGCGGTCGCGAGGGCGAGGAGGCCTGTGAAGCTTTAGATGCACTATGTAGCATGGGTAGTATCGATACGATGTTGAACACCTTCATCAAACCTTTACAAGACTTAGCTGATGAACAGTCTAGAGTCCATTGTTCCCTGAACCTGAACACGGAGACGGGAAGGTTGTCGTCGCGGCGACCGAACTTACAGAACCAACCGGCCCTAGACAAGGACCAGTATTTGATACGGAAAGCCTTCAAGGCCAAGGAAGGTTGTAGTCTCATTGTCGCTGATTACGGACAGCTAGAGTTACGACTGCTAGCCCACGTCGCGAAATGTGAAAGTATGCTCTCGGCGTTCCGGGAAGGCGGGTGTTTTCATTCTAGAACCGCAGTAGGCATGTTCGACCACGTGCGGCAAGCGGTAGAGAACGGCGAGGTCCTCCTCGAGAAGGGCACCCAGGGCGACAGTGACAAGCCGCTCGTCAAAGATAAGTACGCGGCGGAACGACGACGGGCCAAGACGCTGAATTTCTCGATAGCCTACGGCAAGACGGCCCACGGCCTCGCCAAGGACTGGGGCGTCTCCCAACAAGAAGCTCAAAGTATGTTACGGGCGTGGTATGACGACCGCCCTGAGGTCGAGCGGTGGCAGAAGGACACCATAAGTGCTGCCCGTGCTTCGGGCTATACTACTACGCTGATGGGTCGACGTCGACGGTTGCCTGATCTACAGGAGAGAAACCGAGCGCTGCAGGGTCGAGGCGCGCGCGCGGCGATCAACACGCCGATTCAGGGGAGCGCGGCGGACGTCGTGATGATGGCCATGCTCGCTATTGGTGATTCTTCTGTGTTGAAGGAGCTTGGGTATACATTACTACTCCAGATCCACGACGAGGTCATCCTCGAGGGTCCTTCCGAGCACGCGGACGCGGCGCTCGCGGAGCTCGTGCGGCTCATGGAGCGGCCCTTCGACCACATTGGATTAGACCCGTTGCACGTGGATCTCGTGGTGGACGCGGCGGTGGCGGGGAACTGGTACGAGGCGAAGTAAGGACTACTCTTTGTTTGCCTCAGGCTTGTAAAGTCACGGTGCCTTGTACTTATGTGCTGCCTACAGCCTAGTACAGGCAAGGGCGGGGGGGATGCTAACGAACGGGCCAGTTGACTTGAATTGGCGCCGAGTGGTAGACCGAGGTGGGCTAGCGAGCGAGCGCCGTCGCGGCGCCGAGAAGAGCCGCGGTGGCGGCAAAAAACGGGCCGCGCGCCGCCGCCGCGTCGGACCCCTTGAGCGCCGCGTCGAGCGGCGTCGGCGCCGGCGCCGCCACGGGCCGCGGCGTCGGGTCGGACGGGTTGCAGTTGAGGTCGCACTCCAGAGGAGCGGTCCCGTAAAGGTCGTTATTGATCTCGTCGAGGATTTCCGCGTACACGCATTCTACGTAGGCCGTCCATTCCGCGGCACACTCGGGGGCCGGATCGCCGCAGGCGTCCTGGAACTCGGAGTACGTTTGCATGCCGGAACAGGTGGTCGGGAAAGTTCCGATGTCGCAGCAACTCCATCCGAGGCCGGCCGACGCGGCCGCCGGGTCGTCCGCAGTCTCCACGCACGTCAGGTAAGCGCTGTCTAAGTCGGGGCAGGGCATGAACGGGTCGTACGAGTACGAGTATGAGTACGAGCTGTAGCCGCACACCTCCGGCGGCGGGAAGCCCTTGAAAGCCATCGGCCCATAGGCCTCGCACTGCCACTCACCCCCGGCCGACGCGCACATGGCTTCCTCACAATTGCACTCGGTCCACCCGCCGTCTTCTGAACCAGACTCGTACTCACATCCCGCCGCGGCGCACTCGCTCTCGGACATCTCTTCGGGCTCGAACCCGTCCTTCTCGCCGCACCAGCACCACTCGTCCTCCGCGTCGTACTCGTCGATGCAGTCGCACCACTCCTCTATGAAGCAGTAGCACGTCGTGCTGATTGTGTCCCACGTCATGGCTTCGTATCCCGCGTCGTCGCAGGTGTCGATGCAATCCTCGCGCGAGGCCGTCTCGCCCAGCTCGGCCTCGTCGCCATCGCAAAAGCCAGCTGGGCCGTCGGTCCAATCGTCCTCGTCTGCGAGCCGGCGCGCTGAATACCCTTCGAGGCGGCGCGGGAGCCTGGCCCGCGGCTGCCCCTTCGCCAGTGGAGTCTGTGCAGTGGCGTGTCCACCGGCTGTCGGCATGACGGCCGCCGCTGCCAGGGCCCAAAGGGCAAGGCGCGCCATTTGCTTGCACGGGGCTGCTCCGAGGCGTAAACGCCGGTGCCGCTGGTCCCTCCTCCGGGACGCCTTAGCACGCCTGCCAACTGCTCGAAGCTCGAGCGCTCCGAGGTGCTCCGCCGCTAGTAGCTCCCACTTTACTCGCGGAGAGCCTTCGCGTATGCGGATCGTCATTTCTATAGGACCCTTACAACTACTATCGACTACTCGCGAACCCCGCGCGCTTCTTCTTCTTCTTGCCGCCGCCGGCCGGCCGCGGGTCGTCCTTGGCCAGCAGCTTGGCCTTCTTCTTTGCACTGTTACCGCGTAAATCGGACAGGGTCAGGCCGTTCGTGAAGCACGGTCTGAGTGATGGTGGATTCCCGGGATCGCTGATGCGCGGATTGCGGAAGGACAGGTAGAACATCGCGCGGCGCGTTCCTGGAGCGCGGTTCGCCGTGCCCGCATGTAAAGTGCGAGAATCGAAGCACGAGACGTCTCCCACATTGAGCAGGCCTACCTTGCGATTTGAGGAGTGTTCCTTCAACAGTTCATCCTTGGTCACGTCATTGAAAAAGCGCAGGTGGCTGACCTTGTCCTGCGTCTTCGGGAGGAAGAGCGTGGGACCCATATCTTCACTGACATCTTGCAATGCGGTGAAACACGTCAAGAGCGGCGTCTCGCCGGTCTCGTGCTGGGGGGTGTCCGGGTGCAGCACTTGTCTCGGGCTTCCATGGTCGGAGATCAGGCAGCTGCACTCGTGCACGACGGCGTCCGTACCAAGAATCTCTTCCACAGCGTCGCCGATCGGCGACAGGGCTATAGTTCTAGCTGCATTGAGGACCTTCTCATCATCTAGAGGGAGGAGGAAGTCCCGCCGGTTCTCCTTGAGGAGCACCTCGGCGAAGCGGTGTTTCTGCGGAATTTTGCCCTTGCTCGTGTCGCGCTCTGCTTTAATTAGTGCGTCTCTGACGAAGGTCTTGAGCGCGTCGGCTTGCTGCGGGTCGAGGACGTTGTCACATCGCCCTACACCCTCGCTTAACAGTTCGCTCACGAGCTTGGAAGGAGCGCAGGCTTCTAGACTAGTACCACCACTGCCAATCAGCTCCTCCTCGAATTCACCTCTTTGTTCAATGCTCTTTTCCCTTTGTTCGTAGAGCATCTGCGAGACCTCGACGTACAACGCGGTCGGGCGTCGCGCACCCCTGCCGCTGCTCGTGAAGTGCAGCGCGGTTGGGCGTCGCATGTGTTTCGTGGGTGGAGTCCAGGCCGCGACCGCCACGCAGAGCAGGACGCGCATCGCTGCGCGGCCGTACGCCATGGACAACGCGGCCAGAGACGGAAGCGAGCGCGGACGTCGGCTGGGCAGCGCGAGTGGCAGTCAGAGCGTGCGCTGCTCTCTCCGGACACTTCGCGCCCCGAGGTCCCCGTCGACGGCGTCTAAAGGGTCCGTAGCGATCGTGAGAGCTTCCAGCGCGTGTTCAAGTCCAATTACACTGCGTTTTGCAGTTGCGTGTGTAGGGGCAAGGGCTAGAGGGACTTCACGCTAGCTAGGTAGCTTTCCAGCCACGTGCTTCCTTTGTAGGGCCGGGGTAGAGGTGGAAGGACACGACTACGGCAACGCACAAAGGACTTGGACTTACAAAACGCGCGAGAGGCCCGGCGGACACGGCCCTGGCCATTACAATGACGCCAGAAGCAAGGAGTCGTCGCGGTGCGCCGACACGAAGTCGCCCAGGGCGTCCCGCGCCAGCGCCTTAGACACGTAGGCCGCCGCGGCCGCGAAGACGTCGTCGCCCACGACACCACTTGAAATTTTGTGGGCGACCGCGTCCCGCACGCGCCGCGGCAGCGTGACCTCGGCCGGCGCATCAATGGAGATGAAGCGCTCGTGCACCTCGCGGGCGCGGTCGCGGACCGCGTCCGCGTCCGGCCCGCGCGTGTGCTTATAATCGTCCACCGCAACTAAAAAGTCGAGGCCGGCCGCGCAGCGCCGCGCCTCTAGATGAGAGCGGACCTTGTTGCGCATGGGACCGTCGGACGCGACCGCCAGTCTCAAACTCTCGGCTGCTATGCCCATTGGTGGGACACCGCAGCCGCCCAGCTCCCCTAAGATGGCCCTGACGGCCGTCTCGTCGTCCGCGTCGCCGTCGGGCTGCGCTTTTCTCGGTGTGGAGGCCCCAGCACCCATCGTTTTTGCTCTCGTCGTGTCCACTTCCAAGATCGAAGTGTCATGCCTTCTCAGGAGGAACAACGGTCCGCGAAGGCGCGAAGAGGCGCTCCGGCGGGGCGGTGCAGCGGTGGACGGGTCCTGCCCTTTTTACGTAGCCCCGCACGGCTAACTAAGTTACCTGCTTACCATCCTGTGAACGCTCAAGCAAAAAGCAAATTACCGTGTCCATACGAAGCGCAAAAAAATCCGCAGGACGCGCGCGCCCATCCAAGGCCTCCCTGGAGGCTGCCCGGTGGCCGCGCGCCGCGCGCCGCTCCCAAAAACGCGCCGCCCGCCGAGAAATGAGGCACCAAGCACCGCCGCTCAAAAATTGAGCGCGCGGCGGCCCGGGGGCAGTCCCGTCACAAGACGCGCGCGCCGCCGACACGAGACACCACCACCGGTCCCAAAAAAACGCGCAAAAAACTAACCCACCATTCGCCCGCAGGTTCCGACTCACCCTCGGAATCGCTCACCACCTTCCTCTCTCTCTCCACACTCACCACCAGCAACCATGCGCGAGTGCGTCTGCATCCACATCGGCCAGGCCGGTCTCCAGGGCGGTAACGCCTGCTGGGAGCTCTTCTGCCTCGAGCACGGCATCCAGCCCGACGGCCAGATGCCCTCGGACAAGACCATCGGCGGCGGCGACGACGCCTTCAACACGTTTTTCTCGGAGACGGGCGCCGGCAAGCACGTCCCGCGCGCGGTCTACGTCGACCTCGAGCCGACGGTCTGCGACGAGATCCGCACGGGCACGTACCGCCAGCTCTTCCACCCCGAGCAGATCATCTCGGGCAAGGAGGACGCGGCCAACAACTACGCGCGCGGCCACTACACGATCGGCAAGGAGATCGTCGACCTCGTGCTCGACCGCATCCGCAAGCTCGCGGACAACTGCACGGGCCTCCAGGGCTTCCTCGCCTTCCACGCCACGGGCGGCGGCACGGGCTCGGGCCTCGGCTCGCTCCTCCTCGAGCGCCTCTCGGTCGACTACGGCCGCAAGTCCAAGCTCTCGTTCTGCATCTCGCCGGCGCCGCAGATCTCCAACGCCGTCGTCGAGCCCTACAACTCGGTGCTCTCGACGCACGCGCTTCTCGAGCACACGGACGTGACGTTCGCCCTCGACAACGAGGCCCTCTACGACGTCTGCCGCCGCAACCTCGACATCGAGCGCCCGACGTACACGAACCTCAACCGCCTCTTCGCCCAGGTGGCCTCGTCGCTCACGGCGTCGCTCCGCTTCGACGGCGCGCTCAACGTGGACATCACGGAGTTCCAGACGAACCTCGTGCCGTACCCGCGCATCCACTTCATGCTCACGTCGTACGCGCCGGTCATCTCGGCCGAGAAGGCGTACCACGAGCAGCTGTCCGTCGCCGAGATCACGAACTCGGTCTTCGAGCCGGCCGGCATGATGACCAAGTGCGACCCGCGCCACGGCAAGTACATGGCCTGCTGCCTCATGTACCGCGGCGACGTCGTCCCCAAGGACGTCAACGCCTCGGTCGCCACGATCAAGACCAAGCGCACGATCCAGTTCGTCGACTGGTGCCCGACGGGCTTCAAGTGCGGCATCAACTACCAGCCGCCCACGGTCGTCCCCGGCGGCGACCTCGCCCGCGTCATGCGCGCGGTCTGCATGGTCGCCAACACGACGGCCGTCGGCGAGGCGCTCTCGCGCATCGACCACAAGTTCGACCTCATGTACGCCAAGCGCGCCTTCGTCCACTGGTACGTCGGTGAGGGCATGGAGGAGGGCGAGTTCTCCGAGGCCCGCGAGGACCTCGCGGCCCTCGAGAAGGACTTCGAGGAGGTCGGCGCCGAGACGGCCGAGGGCGAGGGCGAGGAGGAGGACTTCGGCGAGGAGTACTAGATCCGCCCGCGCGCCTGCGTGTCGCGCCGCGACGACGTTCGGAACGCCAGTGTGACAAACCGTCGTACGACTCGATACATCCTGTAAGTCGCGTTTTCACAATCATCCACGCCGTCGACGCGACTAGAAACTAACGAGGAGAACAACCTACTCCACCCCCTACGACAGGTACGGGAACGTGTGCGACTCGAGCAGCGCCGACTGCGTGCACAGGCCCGAGAAGCCGAGCATCGCCAGCCGCGCGTGCGTCGTCTCGGCCTCGAGCATGAACTTCTTCGTGTCCGGGTTGCCGCAGAACTCGAGGGGATCCAAGCCGAAGTCGCCCGCCGCTCTTCCACTACCCTTGGCCGCCTGCACGACGGAAACCATCGACGTCAGCTCGGCCACCGCCGCAAACAACAGCATGACGCCCATGTTGCCCGACGCGAGCATGGCGTCGTGGGCGTGGAGCGCGTCGATGCCCGCGTACTTCTCGCCCGGGAAGTGGATGCCCGCGTCGACCGTGAGCCAGCCGACGACCGCGAGCATGCAGATGCGGCCGTGCTTGAGCTCGGCCTCGCGCATCCAGTAGACCATGGGGATCTCGGCGTACTCGCCCATCCACCGCTCCTTGGGGATGATCACCTCCGCCATGTTCCAGTCGCTGTCGGTGAACCGCAGCGGGTCGAAGCCGACGTTGCCCGGGTAGTCCAAACCGTCGAGCGCGGCGGGGCACTCGAGGAAGGGCATGGCCGCCGACTTCGCGTCCAGCGACGTCGCCGGCGCGACCTTCGCGACCGGCGCGACGAGCGCGCTGGCCGTGGCCGCCAGGGCGACGACGACCTTCATCTTACCACCTGCGCGCGGGGAGGGGATTGCGCGTCGGCTGTGTGCGGGTCTCTCCTCTCGTGCGGCTGGCCATGGTGCAGGCAACGCTCTGCCGCCGGCCGACGTCGGACGTCTGTGGTTCTCTCGAGCCCGACCGGTGTGCCGCTGGTGTACCGCTGCCCAGGCGAGTTATATTTCGCTTACAGCTGGTCCGCGATAGCGCCAATCAGTGCTAGGGCCGCCGCGCGGCCGCTTGTTCGATGACCGGCTGCTGGCGGTGTTTGGCCAATTTGAGGGCGATTCGAGCCAAGATTTCGCAGCAGCTGGCGGTCAGCGAAGGTCAGAAGGCGTTCCGATGCGTGATTCTTGTCTACGCCGATTGGTACAGCCGCAATCACGCCGCGAGCTTCGAGTTACAGAGGTATCGAATCGGGTTTTTTTCAAATCTAGTAGGTTTGGTAACTTACTAGTGTGTTGGAGGTGAAAAGTTAAAGTTAGTTAGGCCTCCAAGCGCCACAGCGACCTCGCCAGAAGCGTCTTGGACGCTCGGGGCACCCTCAGCCAAATCTCCTCCGTCCTGTCGCCGCCGCCGGACTCCTCCCGCAGTCGTCGGGCGCGGCCCACATAGGTAGGCGGGCCGCGCCGTCATCGGGACTGGGGGGCGTCCGGTCGTCGTTACGTGCGGGATCTATCATTCGTGATTGGGCCGCCACCCGCGCCGCCGCGCCGCGATCTCCGACAGGTCGACCTTGACGTGACCCGTGCTCCCGTAGACGCCGTCGAGGCGGCAACCGTCGTAGATGCGCCGCTTGTCCCAGACGATGGCGTCGCCGCTCTTGAAGTAGACGACGCGGTGCTGCGGGATCGCGAGATCGTCCTCGCCGGCGAGCTCGATCGCGCCCCAGCGCGAGAACGCGTCGAGCGGCTTCTCGACAATCTCGCCTAAGATACGGTCGTGGTAGCCGACGACGACCGCCGCCGCGCAGCAGGCCGGGTCCCATTCCAAGCGGCGGATGACCTCGAGGGCCGTCCGCATGCGCGCCTTCTTCCTCCGAGACTGCTGCGCCCGCATTTTCTTCCATGTAAGCGCGCGATCTTTGGTCATTGGCCTGCGTCGGGGGTGCGCGCGTCCCGCGACTGCCGGCTGCGCGCGCAGCTACGTGTGCGACGTGCGATGGGGAACTGCGGGAATCGAACCCACGACCTCGCGCTCCCGAAGCGCGTATCCTGCCACTAGACCAAGCTCCCAAGCACATTGCAACATGGCGTTCTAATGCTGGTGCGCACGCTGCCCCCGGTTTTGCGGACGCTGCCCGCGCGCCTCGGCGAAGTCCTTGATGGTTGCTCTGAGACGCTCTCCGTCCAAAAAGGGCTGCCCTCTTTGCTTGCTGCGTGCTTTTGCTGTGTGCTTTGCTTTGCTCTGCAAGCCAGCCAGGTGCGGAGCCAGGAGCGTTCCTGAACGGCAAGGGAATTAGCCCCGTCGCCGTCGCCGTCCAGAGTCATGGGGGATGTCTAGCACGTCCTAGTAGGGGATGTTGGACCTCGGTGGTGTTATAACATGCAAGATTATACAAGAAACAAGTTACGTAATAGTTACGTCGTACACGAGTCATAGTCCGCCAGGTGGATCGCCCCGGAGTCGTCCCACGACACCCCCGCCGCGCGCCAGTCCGGCTCGCAAGGCTTTGAAAATGGTACGAGCGCGTGGTAGTCCGGGTCGCGGCCCTGAGTCCGCGCCAGCCGCGCCTCGCGCAGGAACGCGGCACACACACTCGCCGCCGCGTCGAAGGGTGCCTCGCCTTTACGAGACGACGCGCACAACAGGTCGGGAGCGACGGCGTCCTTCGCGTCCGCGAGCGCCGAGTCGGACGAGGCTTTGAGCGTGGTGCGGTCGTCGTAGTCGGCCGCGAAGGGCAGCCGGCCTGTGAGTAGGTAGGCGAGGGCGTAGGCGCAGGCCTCCAGGTCGTCGCTTGATGACGGCGCCTCGCCTCGTAACGCATTTGATGAAGCGAAGCGCGGCGTGCCGACGACGGCCGCGTCGTCCGCAGGTGCATTACGCTCGCGGCACGTCCCGAAGTCCGTCAGGATGATTTCATCCTTGTCCGAGACCAGGAAGTTCGACGGCTTGCAGTCGCCGTGGACCAGATCAGCTCGTGCGAGGCCCGCGAGCGCACTGAGCATGCTCCGCGCTATATGTAATACGGTCTCCCCCGAGAAGCCGGCGCCGCAGGTCGTCGCCCAGAAGAGGTCGTCGATCGACGGGCCGAGGCGCGCCATGAGCAGCGCGGAACCCTCCCCACCATCCTCGGGTGATGGGATATTGTCCAGCAGCGCGAGGGCCTCCACGACCGTCAATCCGCACGTTTTTCGCGCCCTCCTCAGAAACTCGTACTCCGTCTTCAGGGATCTTCGCCCTTCCCCGGTCCGCGCTATTTTACAAGCCGCGGGCTCCTTCGTCTTTTCGTGTATTGCGCTATAAACGGTGCCGCACGCGCCCGCGCCGAGCACTATGGACGGAGGCGGCGCCCGCCGCGCGAGCGCCGCGAGCATGTCCTTGACTTGTAGTTTTTCGCGCTTCAGCCGCTTGAACTTTAATTCATCGTTAAAGATCGTCCGCCGGTGCTCTCGTAAATGATCGACCTCGTCGTCCAGCGCCTTCCAGCGCGCCTCGAGCCGCTCGCGCGTCCTCTGTAAACTCGCGTCCCGCAGCGCCCGCGTTCTCGCTGCTCTCCTCGGGCCCAGCACCACGTCGCCGACGACCCAGCCGTCCCGTAAAGCGCTGCTTGCGGTGCAGAGGAGGAGGCTCAGCGCGCGCATGAGTCACAGGGGGATCGCTGCGACGGCGTACGGAGCCGAGATGGTCTGAGTCCGCCGGCAGCGTCGCGTTTGCCACAAAGTGCTCGAGTGCTCTGCCAAGGCTGCCGACGCGTACGGCGCGCGCCAGAGCGTCCAGCGCTCTTGGAGTCGACGTTCGTATCGTGTTAGTGCTCTTGACGAGCGCTGTCCAGCGGAGACGCCCGCCAGGCCGCTTGGGAGCGGCCCAAGTTGCGCTCTGGCAGGGCTCAGACAGCCTGCCGCTCATCTTGTATCCCGCGGCGAGGTGACGGCAAGCGATCAGCAGGCGTCCTCGACGCATTCACCGGCATCGCTGCGAAGGCGTCGACGCAACGGCTGCCGGCCACGGCCGCACGCGCAGACGCATAGACACGAATACCGCCAGCAGTCAAAAGCGCTGCAATGGCGTCGCCCAAGGACAAGAACGAGGAAGAAATTCTGGAGCGCATCGCGGCTTTATACGGCCAGCTCGACGACATCCGGGATCAGCGACGCGAGGTCCACACCGTCGGCACCGAGGACGGCCCGCGTGTCGTACTGGTCACGAGACGTTTACCTAGAGACAGACGACGGGGCCAGCGCGTGCCGGACACGATGGACCAGGCCCTCTCGAACTTCAGACAAGTCACGGCGTCGGGGCGAGATGTGTACTGGGTCGGCAGTCCCGTCACGCAAATGCAAACGCCGACGGAGCAGCGAGCGCTACGAGATCAATTGTTAAGAGAACAACGCTACGCTCCGGTTTTTCTGGATGCGAAGAGAGAGCGGTTGTTCTACGACGGCTTCTGCAAGCGCGTGCTATGGCCGTTGTTTCACTCAAGTCCACCAACAACGGAGGACACCGTGACACGCGCCAGAGCCGTCAACTACGAGGAGGAAGACAGAGATGATGACGACACGATGTGGAACGCGTACGTGGGCGCGAACCAGGCCTTCGCGGATGTTATTAGGGACGTGGCCCAAGACGGCGATTTGATCTGGATCCAGGACTACCATTTTATGTTGCTGCCGAGGATGTTGAGACAACTATCACCGGATAGCAAGCTGGGGTTCTTCTTACACGTGCCCTTTCCCTCTTCTGAACTCTATAGGACGTTACCGTTCCGCGAGGAAATACTGCGAGGTTTACTCGCGGCTGACTTATTAGGATTTCAGACCTACGACTACGCGCGGCATTTTCTGTCGTCCTGTGAGATGGTTCTAGGCCTAGAAACGGCCCCGGACCACGTGGAACATGAAGGGCACTTGACGAGGGTCTGTGTCTGTCCGGTGGGTATTGAGCCTGAGGTAGTCAAAGCTCGCAGTTTAGCGTCACCGACACTAGCCGCTATTCGGAGGCTCGAAGGCCAGCTCCAGGGACGAGCACTGTTCCTGGGCGTCGATACATTGGACCCTACCAAAGGTTTGGTGCACAAGTTTTTAGCATTTGAAGATCTATTCTCACAACACCCCGAGCTAGCGGACGAGTTAGTATTTGTGCAAGTCGTCTTGGGTGCTGGGGGGGCAGCAAACTTGAAGCCGGAAGATCGCTTAGAAGGCAAGCTTATTACGAGGACGACCTCCGAGAGAAAAAATAAACCCACGGGACGACTAGAACTAGACGTAGTAGAACAAAAAACATCAAAAGGCGTCTTCAGCACCCTAGAAAGACAACTCCACGCCATGGTCTCGCGCATCAACAGTCAATACGCGACGCTCGATTTCGAAGGGCCTGTTCAGTACTTTGGAGCTGATGCTAAAACACCACCAGGGGAAGCGACGCTCGCGGCCTTGTTCGCTCTCGCGGACGTCCTCGTCATCACGCCGATCAGGTCGAGATCAGTGTGGAAACCAACCAGTGAGTCACGATATCTCGGCACCGCGGCCATGTTTTCGGCTCAAACTCGGACACGACGTCCCTCTGATACAGTCGACCGACTGGAGCGAGCCACACCTCGCTCCGACCACGAGAGAGCCCAGATTGAAGGACGCTTGAAGTTTGATTTCCTCACAGGGACGGCATGAACGTCGTCCCGTTCGAGTACTTGGTCGCGCGCGAAGTGCGCTCGCGGCGTTTTGAGGTGTTGTAGTATTTTGACTTTGTTGCTGGGACTCGTATCTCACACACGATGCCGGGGGTGGTTTCTTTTTTGATTTTGAGCTCCGCGCAGGCGCACAAGAAGTTGGGAGCCGTTTTATTATCTGAATTTGCGGGCTGTGCTCGTTCGTTGGGTGGTGCCGTGCTCGTGAACCCCTGGGACACGCGTAGGGTCACTACGTTGTTGTACAGATTGTTTAGACGTGCTAGGCGGGCGAACGCGCGCGACGCTAGAACGCGACGAAGAAAGGTGGACCGGGTCACGTCGTCGTCGACGGGGAGTGCCTACGCGTCCGATTCGGATGAATTCGACTCCGACCTCGACGAGGACGATTCCGACGACGATAGCGAGGCCGAGGACTCGTCAGCGGATGAGGCCGACGATAGTGAGGACGGGCGGCAGCTCTCGACGGTGGCGTCGTCGGATGCTGGGAGTCTGTTGAAGAAGCCCAACCTGGCGCAAGGAGGTGCATTACGGTCACGATCCATACGCGCCCGAGGTGTGGAGAGAAAAAGAGCTCACGAACATATGCTACAGTACGTTTATAATTTCACGGCGCGGTCCTGGGCTCGTAGGTTTCTGGACCAATTGCAGGAGGCCGCCGAGACCAAAGCGTCTCGAACACTTTGTAGGGAGTTGACCGTGCCGCAATTGACCGCTCCTTACACAAAAACGAAGCGACGCGTCATCGTCTTGGAGCTGGAGGGCGTCTTAGCCAAACCTACGGCCTTGGCTGAACTCATAGACGTTCCCGTCAAGATTTTAAACTATTTGGAAGCGTTATGTAACGACCCGCAAAATAGAGCTGTAGTTATCCTTAGTGCGAGGTCCGCGGAGACGCTGTCGAAGATCTTTGAAGGTATAAATTGCGATTCATTAGTATTAGCCGCCGAGGAAGGTTTGAGTATACGATGGGGTCCGAACGAACCGTTCGAGATGCAGGTGTCGGACTTTGACCTGGACTTATCTTGGCTCGACGACGCCGAACCTCTCATCGCGTATTATACGGAGCGGACACCCGGTAGCGTCGTAGAGAGAAAAGTGTCAGGCTTAGCTTGGCACTATCGCGACTGCGACCTGAACCACGGCGCCTGGCAAGCCAGACAACTACAGGTAGCGCTAGGTGAATTGGCAAAGCACGTCCCGTTGTCGGTTTTCTCCGGAGATAAATTTATAGAAGTCAGACCCATGCGATTATCCGTCCCGAACGTCCTCGAACTCACGCTCAAGAAGTTCCAAGACCAAGACCTAGCCCTGGAGGACCCGCCGTCGACGCCACCGCAAGAGCTACCTAGACGAAAATCTTTTGATCGTGTGGATGACGACAGTCAGACAATAGACAGACACGTGGACTATGTCCTATTTGTGGCCTCGGGCAACGGTTTAGTAGATGAGGAAATTTTCGAGTCGATGGCGCCGCCACCTTTTGACCTGGACGAGTTCTGTAGTCGCGTCGCGCGCTTGAACGAAGGGAGGGACATCGAGGACGAGGATCCTAGCACGCCGGTCAAGTTCCACAAGACTCCACCAAGTTCTCCGGGGCGGATGGCCAAACCACTTACACCTCTACGCTTGTCGGATGAGGCTCCTGTGTTGGAGCAGTTCAAGGCTGTATTGGCTGGGGGTGACAGAGGCACTTCCGACCCTGCGAGACGAGCCGATCTCGTAGCGAGGAGAGAATTTAATCCTCGGAGGGATTTCCCGCCGTCCGCGATGTTATTCCAGGCCATGAGACGACGGTATGGCCGAGACTGGTCTAGGGTGGATCTACCGACATCTGCCTCGGCGTGCTGGGCGCTTGTGGGTGGCAGAACGCCGCGACCCGGCGCGCCGCGCGCGGAGCGGTCGACGTTCTTGGCTGAGTTCGAGGACCTCCACGGCGTCGACTCGCCCGACGTCCTGCCGTCGCTGGCCGAGGCGACGTCGGGCCAACCTCTAGTACGACAGAGGTCCGTCGACGACGCTCCTACCTCTCCATCAGAAAAGCCGTCGATGGGCGCCGTGCTCACGAGGGCCTTGCACGCGAACGCCCTGGCGCTGTCGCGGGCCTTGCGGTTCCCCGCGCCGCGCGCCGACTCGCTGGAGGAAGCGGCAAGGAGCGTGAGACAGGAGGCGCCGCCTTCTCCCGCGAGGCTCGAGAAAATTCAGCCCTGGACGGGGCAGAAGGCACAGACTCCTAGGACGAAGGAACGATCTCAATCACCTAGATTGGAGGACGAGGAGAAGTGGGAGTCCGTCCAGGACAAGTTGAGTAGTCAGGACCCTAGGCTGAAGGAAGCGCGCGAGGTCGTGCCGACCTCGCGCCTGTCGAAGCCCGGAGCTGCGCCCACTTTACAAAGGCCGGCTCCCGTGTATGTCTCTGTCGCTTCTAGAGGTGCGGCCACAGCTCAACAACGTAGAGAATTCGATCGGGCCGCGAGAATAGCGTCGGCGAAAAGAGCGGCAGTACCGCCGACGCCCAAAAAGGCCGCGCTCGCCATCGACGCCGAGGCGGCGGCCGCCGCCGCCGCCGCGGCCATGGCCGGGCCGCCGCCGTCGCCGTCGCAGAACCCGGAGCAGGCGCCCGATTTGTCTGATCTGGCGGCGGCCGCGGCCGCGGCGGCCGACGACACGCACCCGGGCCTGGATCTGCCTCTGTTGACCTTCTCGTGCATCGTGGGGATCAAGCTGAGCCAGGCGACCTATTATCTCCGGTCCCAGGACCTCGTCGCGGCTCTATTGGCGCAGCTCGCCGACTGCGCGAGCGTGTCCCAGGACGACTAATGTTTGTTGCTTTGCTTTCTAGTCGCGGAGCCGACGCCCGCCCAGCCCCCCGGCCCTCATACGCCGTCGCCCCGAGTGTCATCTCGGAGGCGACGACGGCGAGGGGGGAGCAGGCCGGACGCTGGAATCCCAAGGCCGCGACGACCGGGGGGCCGCGTTTTAAATACAAAAACAAAATTACGCGCTGTAGCTCGAGGAGTGGTGCGCGGACTTGAGGTGCTTGAGGTGCTGCATGGCGCGGCGCCGGCTGCGGGAGTGCGCCATCAGTCCGAACCCGATCTTGTGCTCTCCATGTTTATGGTGCGGCGCGACGCCGTCTCTTTGAGTTTTGGCGCCGCCCATTCTTTCATTGAGAAAAATCCGCAGGTTCCGGCGCGCCTGGTCCTCCTCCGCAGCTTCCGGCCGCACGGGGCTCCTCCCTCTATTCGCCGCGCGCTCCGCGCTCGCCGGCGCCTCGGTGTCCGCGGCCTCCGGGCGCACGGGGCTCCTCCCTCGGTTCGACGCCCGGGCCTCGTTTGCGGGCGCGACCGCCTTGGCGACGCGCGCGAGCGCGGCGTGTGGATGTTGTTGGGCTAGTTTCGAGGCGGTGACGACGACGGCCAGCACGGCGGCCAGCAGCAGGCCGCCGGACCGCCGCCGCCGTTTCGCCCGGCTCCGTAGGGGCTGCACGAAGACCGGCGCGAGCACGGGCTTCAGGTCCTGCGCTTCGCCCATCTCGGCCTTGGAGAAGGGGTTCGTCTCGTCCGCCGTGGCGCCGTAGGCCGCCATCCTTACTTGTTTGTTTTGGCTGCCAGAGGGGCTGCCTACTACTGTGTCCGCTGCTGCGAAGGCGGTGAGCGGTGCGCGGTGCTGCTTCGCTGCTCCGGCGGTATCTTGTCCGGCGATGCTTGCCTACGCGCCCGGGAAATCGGCGTCTCCGCGTCGAGGGCAGGCCATCGAACAAAAATGTATCTTTGGCGTGCGGGCCGCGCGCGGAGCTCTACGGTGGTGTAAGGGAGGCCGGGACGCGCTCAGCGCGGGCCCTTGGGCCCGGGCGCCGGTCGCGCGCCTGGCGGGGCGAGAAACCCGCGGACGGAGACGAGCTAGCTTTCCACTTTAGGCACACACCCCTAGTCCTCCTCGTCCCCCACGTTGTCGACGTTCAGCGAGACGCCGTAGATCGTCAGGACGACGTGCATCTCGCCGTTCTCCCAGGGGATGCAGACGAGGCCGTCCTTGGCCGCGTCCCAGTGCATGGCCGCGCCCGTGTCCATTCCCGCGCCGTTTTTTTGCATGATGATCGTGGTCACGACGTACTTGAACGGCCTGTTGAGCCCCTGCAGCTCTTTCAGGATCGTGTCCGTCATGCTATTCGTCCAATCCCCGACTTTTTTCGCGTTGTAGGCGCAGTCGCCCAAGGTGCCCACGATGGCATTCTTGGCGATGGTTTCAATGTCCTCCTGGGGGAACTGGTCGTCCTCCATCGCGCGGCGTCCGCGCGCGGGGCAGCCCTTTCACGCTGGAGATAAATGGGCAGCCCTTCCACGGAAGACAAAGGGCAGCCTGGACGTCCTCCGGATACGTTATCGGGGCACGCAGGACGAGCGCTGTGGCAACAATGTACCGCTACGGGCGGGGGCGGCGCGTCTTTAGGCGTCGGGCGGCCGCTGTGGTTTCTAGTATGTTAGCCCGTAAAACCCGCAGTTTGCGACGCGCGCCACGTGTCCCCCGAGAGCTCCTTCTCGGAAGGATCCAAAAAGCCCACCGCCCCGCGGGCTGGCAACAACGCGGGAGAGCGCTAATCGAGGCAGCGCCGCGCGCCCGCGACGCAAGCCGACGAGACGCGCTCTAGCATCGGAAGGCAGCCCACCACGCCGCCATGTCGGCCCTCAACAGCAAGAGTAGATTAACGGCCATGTCCACGCAGTATTCTAATCCGATGGCCGCCAGGCCCAGCAAGAAACAAGTCTACGGTAGGAAGGGGGGCAGGCGCCGCCTGGACCCCCTCAAGAAGAAGAAGCGCAGCCCGTCGCCGGAACTGTGTTCGGCGCACCGGCTGCCGAACCCCGTGCAGTACATCTTCGCACCTGAAGAGATAAGTGAGGAGGAGATCGAGGCGCGCAAGTCGAAGCTCATGGTCGACATTTTGGTGAAGGGTGGATCTGGGTGGCAGGATCCTCTAGTTGCGCAATTTGGTTCCCAAGAGATGGAGGCGCCGCCGCCCCCACCTACAGAGGAGGACGCCTGCGCGCCGGCGCCGGCTCCGTCACCACCGCCCGATTTGAGATATATCGAACCCCAAGGCACGACGCGCATCGGGCGCTTATTATGTGATGCGGACTTTTCGTTGGAGCAATTACAAAGGACGTGCAAGGCGATGTACTCAAAAAGAGAAAACATGCCCGAGCACTTCGCGTTCTGCGCCTTCAAGGGATCGGGCGCCGCCGATGTCCAATACGTCGAGGGCGTAAAACAGTTGGAGGGGAGCCTCGCGGAGCTCAAAGTGGCGGACGTGGCCGACGTGGTCGAGCCGCACCCGTCGCTCGAGCACCCCATCGCGGGCTACCAGTTGGTCGTCGTGCCCTGCGCAGCGCCGCCGGCGCCGCCTGCTCCTGAAGGGGAGGTGTCCGCGGACACATTTACCGCCACCGAGACAAGAGGCGTCGACCTCGCGTCGGTGACGGACAAGAGCGTGGCGGGTAAGACATAATAGCTCATGTGGCATGTGGTGATGCGGCGGCGGCGTCGAGGGAGCCTGAGAGTGGGTTTGTGGCCGAGCCCGCGACCGCGCGCTCGCGTTATCCTAGAACGCCGTGGCCATTTGCCCAGTCGACTTTGCCAGTTCCCAGGAAGCCTCGCACTGTTGCTTTTCCTGTCTACCTAACGATCGGCGGACCTTTGAAAACCCGAGAGCAAATCTAGGTTAAGCCAGCTCTATCGCATCAATTTGGGACACAGCTCGGCACGAAGGGCCGCAGCCGAGCTCGCCAGGCTGCTGTGGGCTTGCCTGTGACTTGCACGCCAGCGGACGTAGAAATTCAGCGACCATCATGAGGCCCGTGCTACTTTTGGTTGGCCTCCTCTCAGCGACCCGCGCGTTCATCTCTGTGTCGCCGGCGCGACGGCCAGCGAGCACGCTGCTGCGCGCGGAGGAGGACGGCGGCGGCCCGAAGCGGTCACTCGCCGACGCTATTAGCGCTTTCAGCAAGGGCGCGCTGAGCCGCGAGGAGCTCGAGGGCGCCGTCAAGGCCGAGGAGGCGGCGGCCGCCGCGGCGCTGGCCAAGGAGAAGGCGATTCGCGACGCCAAGGAGAAGGCCGAGCGCCAGAAGCAGGCCATCGGCGCCGGCTCCGTGCTCGGTGCGTTAGGTTTAGTAGCGGGAGGTATAATCGAAGCTGAAACCTTAGCGGACGGCATCGCTTTGGCGTCCGCGGGATTGTTAGGAATAGGCGGTTACGCCGTCGCGAGTCGTGATGATGAACTAGCATCGACGGTGAGAAACACCGCGGGCGCGGCGGGCACCGCCGCGTTCGACGCGGCCGGCGCCGCCGCGGAAGCCACCGCCCAGGCGGCCGCCGACGAGATCAAGGCCATCCCCGGGCGCGCCGCCGACGCGGCACAAAGAGCAGCCGAAGACGCCGTCGAGGAGATCAAGGCCGCGCCTGGGAAAGCTGCTGATGCCGCTCAGCAGGCGGCTCTCAACGCCGTCGAGGAGGCCAAGCTCCTACCGGGCAAGGCCGCCGACGCGGCGCAGCAGGCCGCGCTCGACGCGGTCGAGGAGGCGAAGGCGACGCCCGGTCGCCTCGCCGACGCGGCGCAAAAGGCTGCGGAAGAGGCCCTGGAGGAGGCCAAGCTCCTCCCGAGCAAGGCCGCCGACGCCGCCGCCGACGCCGCGCAGAAGGCCGCCGACGAGGCGCAGCGCGCGGCCAAAAAGGCCGCGGACGACGCCATCGCCGAGGCCAAGGCCGCGCCCCAAAAGGCCCTGAACAGCGCCAAGGCGGAGCTCGACGCGGTCATCGCGCCGCTCAAGGACGCCTTGCCGACGCCGCCGCCCGCTCCTAAGGCCCCGGCCGCGCCGCCCAAGGCCGCGGCGCCGAAGCCGCCGCCTGTGAAGAAGGCCCCGGCCGCGCCCGCGAATCCGTTCGCCGGCATCAGCCCGCCCAAGGCAAAGCCCGCGGCGCCGGCTGCGCCGAAGGCGCCGCCCAAGCCGGCACCGGCGAACCCGTTCGCCGGCCTCGGCGCGCCGGCGGCGCCGAAGCCCAAGGCCGCGCCGAACCCGCCCGCGCCGAAGGCGGCCCCGCCGAAGCCCGCCGCGCCGGCCTTCTCGAACCCCTTTGCCGGAGGCGGCGCGCCGCCGGCGCCCAAGGTCGCGCCGAAGGCGGACGCGCCGCCCGCGCCCAAGGCGAAGGCGCCGGGCGCGTTCAACCTCTTTCCCGGCGGCGGCGCGCCGGCCCCGAAGGCGCCGGCCGCGCCGCCCAAGGCCGCCGCGCCCAAGGCCGCGCCGAAGCCGCCCGCGCCCAAGCCGAAGCCGGCGCCGGCGCCGACCGTGTCCGTGTCGAGCGTCATCGGCAGCCAGCGGAAGGCGCCGGCGCCGCGGCCCGCGCCCAAGCCGACGCCGCGGCCCGCGCCCCCGAAACCCGCGGCGAAGAAGGCCTCGTCGGGTGGCGCGTTCAACCTCTTCCCCGGCGGCGGCGGCGGCGGCGCGCCGGCCGCGAAGGCGCCCGCGCCGGCGCCGGCGAAGGCGTCGCCCTTCTCCTTTGGTGGCTCGAAGCCGGCCGCGAAGCCTACGCCGGCGCCGGCGCCCAAGCCGGCGTCTCCGTTCTCCTTTGGCGGCAGCAAACCGGCCGCGAAACCCACGCCGGCGCCGGCGCCCAAGCCGGCATCTCCGTTCTCGTTCGGCGGCAGCAAGCCGGCCGCAAAACCGACGCCCGCGCCCGCGCCGGCCAAAAAGCCGGCGTTCTCGTTCGGCGGCGGCAAGCCCGCGGCGAAGCCGACGCCCGCGCCGGCCCCGGCGAAGTCGTCCCCGTTCTCCTTCGGCGGCGGCGCCAAACCGGCCGCGAAGCCGACGCCGGCGCCCGCGTCGAAGCCGGCGGGCATCCAGTTCGCGCCGTCGAAACCCAAGGCGCCCGCCGCGCCCAAGAAGGCGTTCGGCGGGCCGCCGAAGAAGACGGTCACGCCCGAGCAGTCGAAGTACAAGAACGCGAAGGATTTTTGGGCGAGCAAGAAGAAGTAATTTGGTTGGGAGATTAGTCTCTTGGTTCGGGGCCTCCGCGACTTCCGCGAGGGCCTCGTTGCAAGGATGCCTCGGCTGTCCTCACTCTCCGGCTCTCCCTACGGCGTGTGCCAATCTCTACAGAGACGACGTTGTTTGTCTTTACGCCTCGTGCGTGCTGCACAGCAGCCCAGCGGCGCAGCAGCCGAATCAGGCGCCTTCCGAATGACCTTCGTGCCGTCATTTGAGCCACTAAGCTCTTGAATTCCTTTTTGTCGCGACAAAAATGCATGCTGCATTGGCAGCATGCCAAGCGCTAGCTGCTCGTCGTCGTCACCGTGTCGTACATCGCAGGTACTCCTCAAACAATGCGTACCGTCGCCATTCTTCTCCTAGCGACCGTCGGCTGCCATGGCTTCAATTTTTTAAGCAAGCCGAAGCCGGCCGCCACCGCGTCGAAGGGCGCCAAGCCACCTCCCAAGGCGAAGGCCGTCGCCGCGTCAACGAAAGGCATCAAGAAGGTCGTTGCGCCGCCGAAGGGCAAGGCGGCACCCGCTGCGAAGAAAGCGGCCTTCGCGAATCCGTTCGCGGCCAAGCCGAAGGCCGCGCCCCCCGCGCCTGCCAAGGGCGGGTTCTCCTTTGGCGGCGCCAAGCCGGCCGCAAAAGCCAAGAAAGCCGCTCCGCCGCCGCCGAAGCCCTCGAAGGGCAAGGCCCCGCCCGCGCCGGCCAAGAAGCCCTCGTTCTCGTTCGGCGGCGCCAAGCCGGCCGCGAAAACGAAGAAAGCCGCTCCGCCGCCGCCGAAGCCCTCGAAAAAAGCGCCGCCGCCGAAGGCCAAGGCCCCGCCGCCGACGTTCAACAAGCCGAAGCGCCAGTCCCAGGGCGCCCCGGGAACTCCCGGAGGCATCCAATTCGCTCCCTCGAAGCCCCAGGCGCGCTCGTCCGGGAGGAAGTTCGACGAATTCCTCTACGACCCCAACGACGAGCTGGCGAAGGCTCGGGCGGCGTTCGGCAAGAAGTAGACAGTAAATACACAATAATCACGCGCGAATCGCCGCGGCCCCGAGCCCCAGCGTGAACCAGTAGCCGTAGACGACCGCCTGCCAGCCCGCGACCGCGACATACCAGAGCGGCCACGCTTTCGCAGGGACGAAGGGGAGCATCGACCCGCGGTATGAGACATCCGGCGACGGCTTCTCGGCCGGTGGCTCCTCCGTGAGAAGTATACGCACGGCGGCGCGCGTCTCGAACGGCAGAGATGCAAGTGAGAGCAGGCACGCAGCCGGGAGAATGCCCGCGCGGACGAGCAGCAGGGACGCGACGTGCTGGCCTATCAGTGCGGACACCGCGGTGGCCTTCGCCAACCTTTTGCCGAGCAATTTGGGCAACGTCCGCACCGGCTCGGCGATCTTGTCGATATGCTTGCCAAATATCATCGCGAAGGCTCCAAGTCCGAGCGGCAAGGACGCGAGCCACGTAACGCTTGGTGAGTGCACGCCCGCCGTGGCCGCATAACCACCGCCGACCATGGCCGGGCCCCAGACCAGGTACACTAGTAGCTCGCCGAGGGCGCACGGCTTGGCGAGCGGCGTGTATAGCAGCGTCGCGGCGAGACCCGCAGGGATAGCCCACGCGCAGGCCGGCGCCAGTGCCACCGAGGCCGCGCTCCCGGCTGCTGCGGCCGCCGTCAACGCGAAGACGACTTTCATAGCATCTTTCCTTGAGACGAACCCCTGAGCCACCGGGTGGCAGCCGTATGACCGACGGAACGCGCCCTTTGATTCGTCGCGGCCCACGTCGAGGTCCTGCAAATCATTAATGACATTGTGCGAGAGGTGCCAGAGACACAACGTCGCGGTCCAGAGCGTAGACCGTAGTGCGTTGCCTTTGCCAGCTGCACCCGCGAGCAGGCCGCCGGACGCACAAGAGATCACCGTAAGATGCACCACCGAGAGACGACACAGCACCGCGAGTCGCTTCGCTTTACCGAGTGCCGTCCAGTCGTTCGCGTTAAGTGTAACCGGCACCTGCGTCAACTCCTCCCACGACGGCTCGTACGGCGGTGAAACCTCCGCTGCCGCTGGCGCGCTGGAGAGCGATGCAAGATAATTGTCAGCGGTCGGCGAGTTGTATCGTGAAACGTCTCCAGTGTGACGGCGAAAGGTTCGATGTAGTCGAGGCGCCGGGTTCAGCAGCGATGCGACCGATGCGACCGATGAGGCAAGCAGTAGGTATGAGGCTTTTGTTGACATGATTGATGCAGGCCTCGCGTCGGAGTGGTGTTTAGGTGGCTAGCTCTCCAAGCAAAGATTCTTAAAATTGACGGTCGCACGTCTGTAACTTGTGTTGTCGCAGCCAGAAGCAGTCGAAAATAAACCCCTTGGCAGGGTAGCCAGCTCGTATATGCACCGCTGTACAGTGAACTGAGTGCCAGCGCATGGATGCGAGCTAGCGGCTTATTGACACACTAGAAAAAAGGCATTCATCAACAAAACAACATTACCGCACGCTAACGACCACCGGGCTCAGCTCACCGTTCGCGGCGCTCGCGCGGGAGGCGTACACCGCCACCGCCTCGGCGTCGGTTCGCTTCAGAGCCGCGAACTCCTTCGTCAACTCGCGTACCGCCCGTTTGCGCTCGACGCCCGCCGCGAGCCGCTCCGGCAGGAACTCGTCGCGGAAGAACGAAAAGGCCCGCCGCCGCCGCGTCGGCGCCGGCGCCTCCTCCGGCGCGTCTACGTCGCCCTCGGGCAGCGACGCCGTAAGTTCAAGCGCCGTCGCGGCGACGACTGACGCGGCGGGCCTCGCCGCCGCGTCGAGCGCGCACAACGTTCTCACGAAATCCAGCACGGGACCCTCTCCAAAGGAAGCCCAGAACGCATCGACCGCGTCGGCCGACGCGCATCCCAACCAACTCGCGAAGCCGGCGCCCCGCGCGTCGAGCTCGCCCGATAGGGGATGCGCGCCCGCGGTCAGGGCCTCCAAAGCCGTCGCGCCCAGCCCCCACACGTCTATTGATGGTGTGATCGCCAGCTCGTCCATGAGGAGGCATTCGGGCGCCGCATATAACTCCGTGAAGAAGCTTAGAGACGTACAAGAACCCACGTCGAGCGCGTCGTCCCAGTCGAGCAGCACCCACGGCTCGTTTCGATTCTTTCGTGCTACGTTCGCCGGCTTGACGTCGCCGTGCACGATGCCCAACGCATGCGCATGGGCTAAGGCTTGCGCGATATCTCGCACGATGCGGGCCACCGCACCTGCTGGAGCGGCTCTGGAGCACAGTCCACAGACGTGGTCCGCGAGCGCGTCCTCGTACAATGGCGAGGCGAGTAAGCAGCGGCCTTCGTCATTGCTGCCATATGCAATGATCCGGTTCTCATCCAACTGCTTGAGTCGCCGGACCTCGCGCGCGAGCCTCTCCGCCGCGTCGTCGCCTCCATAATACTTGACCGCGACCGACCCGGTCTCGTCCTTCCGCACGACGCAGTGGGCGCCGCAGCCCACGACGTCGACGCCGCGCACGGTGAAGCGTCCTAATTCGAGCCGCCGCCAGGACCAGTCGTCGTCCTCGTTTTTCATTGGCGGCGCGGGCGCCTCGTCGACCGCCAAGGGGGCTGGCGCCGGCGCTGCCCCTTCGATCGAAGCAGCGGCGCCCATGCTTTATGGGCTTGCGTGCTGGTGGGACTTGCGGCGTTGCGTGGGGAGCAATTAGATGCCGCTCCCGCCGACGACCAACGCCGCCAGCTATGGTTGGAAGATGCCCATGTGTCGGGTGTCGCCAGATGGGGCGCCCTTGCCTCGCGGGCATATCCCTCCCTGCGACGCGTGCCATAGCTACTGCTGGCGCCTGTGTAGCTGTATCAACTGAGCGTCGTGCGGGGCTGGCTTTGATGAGTTGAAAGCCATAACGAGAACGGCGCGTGTCAGCTTGACGTGTTGCGGGGTCGACGCGTTGGCACCGATCGATAGTGGTCGACGGGGTGCCTTGCACAAAGCACTGCCCAGCTTGCACCGGGCGGGGACCGCCGCATCCCCACCAAGCAGCAGAGGGGCTGCCCGCCGCCGCTCGGGCCCGCCGGCGGCGCGACGCATTAAGTGAGGGCGGCTGCGCAACCGCCACACAGCACTGTGATCCACAGCGGCCATGCCGTCGGAATCAAAAAGCGACAGCGAGGACGAGAAGGGCGGCGAGGGCAAGGGCGAGGGCAAGGCCAGCGGCGAGCGCACCATGGGCCGCGTCTGTTCGGATGACGACTACGACACGTCCTCCTCGTCTTATGATGATGTCGTCCGCATTCGGCTGGGGGAATTAGCTGTGGTGCAGCGTTCGGACGGCACGTGGCGCTACGCGATCCTCGATGGGCGCGACGGCGACAAGATGGAGTTCCAGGTCGATAGTGGAGAGAACGACTACAAGCTCTTTTGTCCCGAGGAGTTCCACAAGATCCGGCGCCTGGACTGCGGGGGCGGCGGCAAGTGAGTTGCCTTGGTCTCCTTTGTTTGCGCGGCGGCGGGCGTAAGGGGCTTACAATTTCCAATTATCCTTCTTCCGAATGACTGCAGTCTATCGGTTTGATTCGTGAGCTAGCGGCATGAGGCACTAGCAGGCCGCATGACAAGGTACACATCTGCACGCAGCCGTGCCTGTGAGGCGTTATCGTACCGTGGAGCTCTAAGAAGGATCGCTGGTGGTCCCTGCGCGCTGCTGCAGAAGTTTGAAAGCACAACTCGACGCCTAAGGCCCGCGAGAGCGTGCTTGCAGCCAAGTGCGTTTTAGAGCAAGCGCAATCGCTGCACGCCATCGCCGCGACCCGCAGTGGAGCATTAGCGTTCACGCTCAAAGATGTGCCAGCCGCCGAAAGAGCCGCCGGTCGACGCCGCGGCCGCGATAAAGCAACTCTACGCGCGCCACGACCCGGATAAACTGAACGAGGTCGACGCGCTCCTGACAAAGTTTAAAGGAAGAGAAGCTCAGCTCCTCGCCGCCGTCACGGCGAAGTACTGCCCGGACGACGTGGATCGGTTCGCGCGGATCGTCAAGCTCTTTTCGGAGGACGCCGACGTGAACAGGATGCTGCGCGGTTTTGATGAGGACGCCACGGCCAAAGGGATCGATAAACGACGGCTCATCATGTTCAAATGCCCGACCGTCGACACGCTTGTTATTCTAGGCGACAAGCAAAATCTGATGACAAGGATGAGTAGTAATGGTGTCGAGCTCGACATCTCCTACCTGCCCATCGAGCAACTACGGCCCATGGTCGCTCAGATTCTGGAAGCGCCGGGCGACAACGCCATCTACGCGACGACCCTGGAACAGACGGAGTCCTTCGACCCGGAGAAGGAGATGTCTCTCTTAGTATGCGCGCCGAGCGGGGCGGAAAACCTCGTCCGCCCGATGCTTGTGCCCCGCCTCTCCTCGTAACTTACTCGGTGACTAGTCACTCAGGGGTCCGCCGCGGGCGTCGGCTTCTTCTTGCGCGGCCGCGGCTGCGGCTCGGCGCGCGGCTGCTGGTTCTCCATCTGCTGCGCGATCTTGCCGCCCATGCCCGCCATCTGGACGATCTGCAGCACGGAGGACCCGACGACGACGAAGAGGAAGAACCCGATCATCAGCGGGCCGATGGGCGCCTTGCCCTTCTTCTCCTTCTTGTCGGAGACGACGCCGCGCTTCGTCACCTTCTGCGAGTGCTTGTCGGAGCGCAACCTTGTCGCTCGCGGGGCGGGCATGGTTGTCTGTCGGCGGCGCTGCTGCAAGTATGTTGCTACTGCTGCAAAAGTGCTGCAAAAGTGCTACACCAGCAGCGATGATGGTCCGCAGCCTTTATAGCAAGGTTGTGGTTTACGCTGTCGACGACGTCGCAGCGATAGCGTATCGGTGTGAGCCGTGAGGGCGCCGCGTAGGTCACAGCAACCGAGCCTCGCAAATCGCGGGTTTTGCGGCGCGATGCGCAGCCGTCGTGTGACACGTCAAACCGGACTAGGAGATCGCGTGGACAAAACGAAACTCACGGGTTGCCCCTCCATCCGATAGAACGCGCGGCGGGCGCAAACGCATCGACACGCAAACCACATTACACAATCGTCAGAGCCCCGCCCCGCCCTCGACGAGCAACCGCTCGGTGGACGACCCGGCGTCGGCCCGCCGGCAGGGCGCGTCGAGCCGCCCGACGTAGCGCACCGTCGCGTTCCGCGTCGCGACCGCGACGGCCGCGGCCGTCCGCGAGAAGCCGCTCCGCGAGGCGACGAGGTGGTCGCAGCGCGACAGCGCGTACCACTCGGCGAAGGTGCGCGCCAGGGCCTCGCGCAGCTGGCCCGGCTCCGCTCGGGCGCGCGGCCGCCGCCGGCCGCCGCCGCGCGACCCGCCGCCGACCTGGTACGCCGCGAAGGGGTCCGGCGCCCAGTCCGCGAGCAGGATTTTGCCGGGGAACTTCTCGGCGAAGTCCGCCCGGAGCGAAGCCGAGTCCGCGGCGATGAACCAGGACGCCGCGCCGCCGGCCTCCCGCTCCGCGTCTTGGGCGCAATTCACGACGCCGCGCACGTCATCTATAGTAATGCTTGATGAACGCGTCCCGTGCATCTCGTCGTCGGGCCGCGTGCGCTTGCCGTTGTCGACCCGGCGCAGCTCGGGCATGAGACCCGTCCGCGCGTGGACGCACACGACAGGACCCTTCTTCTTCGCGGTTTCGAGCTTCGCCAGCAAGGGCGCGACGGTCTTCTCGTACGCTTGTACATGAGGCCGCGCCAACATGTACAAAGCGCAGCCCGCCGCATGGATGGCGTCCCTCGCATCGACGCCCGACGCGTTCAGCGCGTGTCTATGGTTCGCGAAGAGCCAGCCACTAATGCCGCGATTGCCCGAGAGCGTCCACCTCCCTCGAGGCCAGTCGCCCGTCGTGATGCGCCTTTCAAGATTCGCCTTGAAGTTCTCCGTGGTCCTCTTGAAGTAGGTCTCGTTCGCGTTCAGGCGGTGGGGCCGGTTGTATTGCGTCCTTCTCGCAATGTCGACCGTATTGATGCTCTCCGGCCAGTGCACGGCGAGCGGCCGCCGGGCGAGCGTCGCGTACCAAAAGGCCGTGAGCATCGACGAAAAGATGTCCGCGAGGCCCGTGGGCGCTCTTTCATAAGCTATTTCGTCGCCTCCTCCGTCATTTTTGATGGCTGCGGTCCAGGGGCATTTGTCACGCTGTGTTTGGAGGCGCTCGGCGCTGTGTTCCGCGTAATTAGCGGTGGCCGCGGCGGCGGCGCAGAGCCATAGCTTCATCATGCTGCCTATTGCTCCATTCTTTCGGCTGCCCAGGCAGCGGCAGCTCCTCCGGACTGTGATGCTTTTTTGCTTGGTGACGGGTTTTTGGCGTGATGGCTACGCGGTCTCTCCCCCCAGGGGGGCTCCACCAACTAGTCCTAGCACCGTGAAAGAATATGCGGAATGAACAGCAAACACAACTATACAGGGCGCGCCCCGGCGTCGTCCGCGTCGGTCGGCCGAGAGTGATCTCACGCCGCCCGCGCGTCGGCGGCGCGGATGCCGTAGGCCAACGACGACAAGCAGGCCTCCGACGCGCGGAACGGGAGCAGCGGCCAGCGGACGAAGAACGGGAGGCCGGGCCCGATGCCCGTCGTCTGGTAGGCAAATCCTGCACCCGCGAGCGCGCCGACGACGAGGTGTCTAGTACGCGGCTTGAACGAGAAGCCCAGCTCCGCGCACTTGTCCACCGCCAGCGCTGCGCCGGCGCCGCACGCGCCGTAGAGGAAGACGACGTCGTCGAGGCGGTGGGCGACATAGATGCCGAGCGCTGAAGCGCAAAGACCGATGACGCTCTCGACCCATCCTCTGACATCATCGTCGTCGACGCCTGCAGCCTCGGACATGTCCTCGAGTGCCTGCTGGATGTCCTTGTTCGCGAGGGCGCGGTCGCGTAACGTGCGCAACATCTTCGCCACGGCCGGCGCGACGACGGCGTTGACGGCGTTTGCGAGCTTCGTTCCGAGCCCGATTCCTACTCCCACTTTCGCAGCCGTCGAGGACAGTACCGCTGCAAACGCGGCGAATGTGCCCAGGTAGGCCTCTTTGCATACAACCAGTAACTTGGGCCCGTCGATGGCCGCGAATAACGAACTGCTCGTCTTGCGCAGCAATAAGGCCGCGTGCGCGGCCTCGGCGATAAGGCGCGCACGCGCCGCGTCATCATCTTTGCACGCCTCGAGCTCGCGCGAGCAGCGCCGCAGGGTGTCACGCGCCGCTTTCAGTTGTGGTGCGTTCGCCGCGAACTCGCGCTTGCCGGCCTTGTACGACGACGCCAGTGCTGTGAGTGCAGGGCTGACGCGCGGCCACGCCGTCGTCTGGAAGCTACCCGCAAACAGGATCGTGTACTTGAAATTCGCGCCATGGAAGCAGGAAATGATGCCAGCGCCCGCCAGCAGTTTCGTCTTGTGCGGTTCGAGCACGCGCCAGGCCCGCGTCACGGCCTCCTCGCAGCGGTGGAAGGCGCCGCGGGCGCCGCCCTCGATCTCGGCCCACGAGATCTCGCCGTCGCCGTCTTCGTCGAGTAACGTCACGATTCGCTTCCGGGCGCTCGCGGCCATCTTGGCGGCGATCGCTTTCGCGTCCTCGAAGGTCAGCTTGCCGTCGGCGTCGGCGTCTAGGAGTTGTTTTATCACGGTTTTCTCGTCGTCGGCCGCCATGAGTGTGGATGCGTACGATCGCGCGCGGCTTGCTCTCTTGGTGGCTGTCGGAGAGCCTTTGCTGGCGCTGCTGCTACGGCGGTCGGAGACAATTGTAATTCCCGTATGGGGCAAGTCTACAAGATGAGGTCCCTCTAGGGCGTCCTTCGTGCAACGCTAACCTGCGTCAGCGCGCTACGACTCGTTTTTAGCAGCTGGCTTGATTTTCTAGTGTGTTACATGACGCTAGCGCGATTATCAATGACGCGTTTTTTTTTGCATTGCGAACACAGCAGAGTGCAGGGCTCTGTGTGACCGCGCCGCTGCTAGGAGACCTCCACGGCTTGTAGAGCACCGCTGCGGCTGCGCCCTGTCTTGCCGTCCGGTGCCACAGCTCGACACTCTGGGAACTTGCCTCACACCGTCACGGCGCGCGTCCTCTCCGCCCGCACGCTTAGCAGCATGGTGAAAGCCCCCCTCGCGCCGCCGGGCAGCGCTCTATTAGTGGACCTCACGGGCCACAAGAGCACCTTCGCCGCGTCGGAGCTCTGGGCGAAGTCGTCGGCGGTCATCTTCGTCGCGCGACGCCCCGGCTGACATATCTGCCGCGCGGAGGCCAAGCGGGTCTACGCGCGGAAGAGCGACTTCGAGGCGAAGGGCGCTCAGCTACACGCCATCGTCAAGGAGGACAAAACATTTCACGGGGCAGAGGTAAGCGAGGTCCAGGCCTTCCGTGACTACTGCTGGCCCGACGCGCCTGTGTACCTCGACGAGCCGCGGGCGTTCTACAACGCCTTAGGCGGCGGCAAGGCCAACAAGAGCTCTCTGGCGTCGGTCCTGGCCAAGATTGCCAACCCGTGGTCGCGCCTCTCCAAGAATGCCAAGCGTGCCAAGGACGACAAAGGTAATTTGGACGGCGAGGGATTTGTCCACGGCGGCGTCTATGTGGTACAGACGGGCGGCAAGCCGTACTACGCCCACGCCGAGGCCGAGATCGGCGACCACCCGCCGACGGAGGAGCTGCTCGCCGCCCTGCCGGAAATAGAAACGGTCGTCGGCGTCGAGGCCGTCAGCGTCGAGAAGTGAGCGACGTGGTGCGCGTCCATGACGGCGCCCGGAGGTTCTCGAAACTCCGGGCGCCCGACCCCGCGCGCGACTGTCGCTCGATTCTCTCTTGCTGTGTGAACTAATGAGTTTGTCAATATCTAGTGCGCGACTAATGCGCCTGTTGTATAAATGCGGCGTCTCCCCGAGCTGGGGCTCACCATTCATGCCACTCTCACTGGGCTTTTTGGGCGCACGTGCTTGCGCAAAACATCGCCCGCGCGCGTCCATCGCGTCGTTGCATCTATTCACTCATTTGCCGGTCGCCCGCGCTCGCTCGCTAGCCACGAGAAAGCCGGAAAGTAGAAACAGTCTCAGCAAAAAGCTATCGAGAACCTCCGCGCGCGCAAAATCGCCCGCGCTTCACCGTCGTCACAAGCCCAGAAAGCTCTAAAACCACACTGATGGCTCCGTCGCTCCAACAGAAGCTCTTCGTCGAGTTCGTCGGCACGGCGCTGCTCTGCTTCACGGTGCTCTCCGTCGCCACCGTCGACGACACGAAGGACAACGACTACTTCGGCATCGCCATCGGCTTCGCCGTCGTCGTCGCCGCGGCGACGGTCGGCGGCGTCTCGGGCGGCGCATTCAACCCCGCCGTCAGCATGCTCTCCGTCGTCGCGGGCAAGTCCGCGACCATCGCCGTCTACTGGGCCGGCCCCGCGCTCGGCGCCGTTTTAGGTACCGGCCTCTTCAAGGCCGCGTACAAGGGCGAGAGCAAGAAGAAGAGCAAGCGCAAGACGCGCTGAGGCTGAGCGGCTGAGCCCTATCCCCCCAAGTCCCGTTGGACCGATCCCAGCCAACAGTTCCCCGCGCTCCCCCCGCGCGACGCACGTTCTAAGTACTCGTGCGAAGGAAGGACCCGGGATAAAGTGAAAACTACCCACTCGTTACCTGGTCGTCCGTCGCGCCCTCGTTCACTCCTAATTCATGCCCGGCCTGGATCGCGCGCTTCCGCCGCTCGTAATGCGATAATTTCGAAATATCTTCTTTTTCTTCCGGCTCTGGTGCGATCTTGACCTCCTTTTTAGGGGCGTACTTGCGCTCCCACTTGCTCATGTCCTTGCCCATCTCCCAGTCCCTACAGGCCCCTTCGTCGATGGCCCACAGGGCCTTCTTCGGGAAGTCCGGGTTCGGGATCTTCACGAGCCAGTCGGGACGGTTCGGATCCTCCCGTTCAATTTTAATGGGCTCGCCCGCGGGGCAGCAGAACAGACACGGCTCGATGCACGGGGCCATGATGCAAATGATGCACCCCGCCCGACACAGTACGCCGTTGTCCTTCGTCCGCTCCCAGCACTCCTTGAGGCGGCCCTCGTTCATCGTTTACTCACGCGTCGGTGGCGTAGGTGGTCTGTATGAGTTACGCAGCGGTTCGTTCGGCTGCCCGCGCTCAGTACCGTCGTCGGGCACGATGCCTGAACCCCATCGCTCACCCAAGCTTGTTCTCGCGACGTAATCACGCAGTACCAGCACAGCGCCGTCCAGCGCCGGCTATGCTCTAGTACCTCTGTCTCGCTAGATAGCACAAATAATGCAAAAACAGCTTGGCACGCCCTGCAAGCTCTTGAGATCGATAACACTCGAGTGCTGCCTTCCAGACAATGCTGCTCGCACGCACGGCACGCCTGCTGCAACATTCGACGCGAACAGCCGCATGTCTGCAGCGTCTGCAGCGGCGACCGCCCGTCGTCACCACGGTGCAGCGCAGTTTTGCAAAAAAGAAAAAAAAAGGGAAAGGCAAACAACCCGTGGAGGCGGCGCCCGCGACGGATGACGCTGTGGACATCTTCGCCGAGCTGTTCGACGCGCCCCTGATAGCGGGCCTCGACAAGACAATAACGCAGCTCGAGACAACTCTGAAAACCATGCGCGGCGGCGACGTCAACGCGGAGCTCTTCGACGCGTGCGCGGTCGAGGCCTACGGCGACCGCCAGCCGCTCGCCACGGTCGCGCACGTCGCCGTCGCGTCGCCCACGTTGGTGCGCATCTCGTGCTTCGACCCGCAGCTCGCGCCAGCCGTCGCCAAGGCCGTGGCCGACATCGAGGGCCTCAGCCTGAACCCGAACGTGTCCGGCGGCGACGTCGTCGTGCCGATCCCGCGGCCGTCGAAGGAGCAGCGCGGCGCGCTGGCCAAGGCCGCCGGGGCCGCCGCCGAGGAGGCGAAGAAGCGCGCGCGGAATCATAGGAGGGACGCGCACGACCGGCTGAAGAAGGCGAGCGGAGGCGTCTCCGAGGACGACGTCCGCGCGAAGAAGAGCGCGATCGACGAGATGGTCGACGAGGCCTCGAAAAAAATTACGAAACTGGCCGACGAGAAGAAGAAGGCCATCGAGACGCGCCAGGACTAACTTTAACTTGTGATTACCCAGGGCTCTGCTCGGACGAGCGGGTCCGCGCCGGGTGGTCGCATTTCTCTGGTCACGAGGTAGGCGGCGTCGTGCTGGTCTAACCACGCATCGACGTCGACGGGCACCAAATCCACCTCGTCGCCGACGTCGAGAAACTCCGCCCACTCGCTGAATTTGCCGTCGCCGGTCTGCGGCGCTCCAGGCTCGTCGTCGCGGAGCCACCGGACCGCCGTCCGGTCGCCTATTGCGTCCAACCCAATACCCGGCGCCGGCCGTCGCGCGCCGGAGCCGAGCGTGCGCGCCCAGAAGTAGCTGTTGTCGTAGGACCAATTGTTGTTTAAGCCCGTCGCGAGATATGCATCGCCTGCGAGCTCGACGTCGAGTTCGGCCAGCGGCGCTCCTCGGCCCTTGTAGAAGCCGGCTCGCTCTTTGCCAGCGGCCACGACGCGCGCATGCACAAATAGCGCGTCTCGCAGCGCCTCTCGTCGCTCGCGTGGTGCGTGCGGCAGCGCCTCGACGCCGCCGGGCAGCTCGTCGACGTCAACGAGTAATGCCGGCGTTTTGAGTTGCGAAAGCGAGATTCCGCCGTCGAATTTCAATGCATCCGCGACAGCAGAGCACAAAAACAGCAGGGAGAGCATCAGAGCTGTACGCGGCCGCAAAGGGCTCACAGATCAAACGAACAAATCAGACTGGACGTCTGGGCTGAGAACGTGCGCTCAGGTACCTCAGACACTCTAATTTCGAGCTATGCACAGACTTCAGCAAAAACACAGCTTGTAGGCTAGTGCCTTACATGACGCTAGCGGCGGCGGCGTTGGGGCTAAGCGAGGTTGGTGAGCGCCACATACGGTCAGACAGGCGCGCCCGTACCTCGGGCCAGGCAGCCGAGATCATACGCAAGCCCGAGCGGCGTACGTCTAGCTACAGGGCAGCCTAGATCACAACACCATGAACCGCAGACAGGGCAGCCGATAGCACCACAAAAACAATGGGCCTCCTCGACCGCGTCATGCTGAAGAAGGCGCGCTTCGAGAACGAGGAGCTGCCACCGGAGCTCCTGCCCCCGAAGGAGGCGGAGGAGCCCGTCGTTGTAGACCCCGATGCGGACCTTGAGAGAAAGCTCTGCTGGCTGCCCGACGCGCCCGAGACGGCGCCGTCGCGCGTCAAAGTTGTCTCGTACAATGTTCTGGGAAGATGCAACGCCGACGGCATGCACAGTAAGTCGCATCCGTCTTCCTTGACCTGGAGCTTCCGGAGGCAGCGATTACTATCTGAAATAGTGTCCTACGAATGCGATGTGATCTGCCTGCAGGACGTCGACGACTACCACGGCTTCTGGCTGCCCGGCCTCAACGCCGCGGGCTTCGATACGATGTACGCGCCCCGACAAAAGTCCCAGGCCCACGCCGAGGAGGATCTGATCAGCGAGGATCTGGATGGGGTGCTGATCGGATGGAAGCGCATGCACTTCCAATTAGTAAGGAGTGAAGTCATTGAACTACACAGAGCGGCAGAGAGAGCAAAAAGAGCGTCGACGGCGGTCAGATGTGCGGCTCGAGATGAAATCGCCATGATTTTGGATCTGGTGCCCTTCAACAATGCAACACACGATGCTGCCTTAGTCGTAGCGTGCACGCAACTCGCCGGCGGCCACGCCGGCGACCAGTACGAGCCGACGGCCGAGGACTGGGACGTCGTGAGCGACGAGCAGATGCGGGAATTAGTCACGAACTGGCGGGCCGAAGAGTCGGTGCGCGGGACACAAACAAAATACCTCACGGAGCAAATCGAGCAGTTCAACCGCGACTTCCAGCACCCCGTGGTCCTGTGCTGTACCTTACATGGCGCTCCCAACTCAGAAGCGCACGCGTTGCTCGAGACGGGCCGGCCGCTCCCGATCCCGGCGCCGCCGCGGCCGCCGCCCTCGCCCCCGACGCTGGAGCCCGACGGCATCGGGTTGGGTGACGTGGGCGAGTCGCCGACGACGGCCGTCTTATATTGGCTTCCTGCTGTGGTAGATGCGTCCAAATTGGACCCGCCGGTCGAGCGCTACTACGTGCAGCACCGGATTGGCGGGAATACGACTTTAGGATGGTCCAAACCCCTTATTTTGGACGAGCACCTTTGTACGCACTACACTACGGTGTTGAGGCCAGGAACTAGGAAGAAAAGAACCGTGCGCGACCCTAGATATAGGCACGTCGTCGCCGGGTTGTGTAGTGGTGTGGCCTACGAGTTTCGAGTGGCGGGCGAGTCGTCGCTGGGACTAGGCGCCTACTCAGAACCGTCCGCGCCCTTCGCCACAAAAGCTTATGGCGCAAACATCCCCGACTACTACGACCTTGATAAAGAGGCGCCGGCGCCCGCACCTGAAATGGAGGCGGACCCCTTGACGGTCGCCGAAGATTTAAGGCAGTTGCGGGTCTGCGGGCCCGACGTGCCGCGATTGTTGTTGGGACCGTCGGAAGTAGCAAGAAAGCACGCCGTCGGCGAGTCGCTTTCATTACAACACGCCGTGGCCGCGGCTCGCGAAGCGAATCTGGTGGATGAGAATTTTGCAAGAGAGGCGTCGCGCGCGAAGAGTGCCGTCGAGCAGCTCGCGTTACTTGAACAGGTCAAGGTAGCCTTGGATAACGGTGATATCGACCCGCGCCTCGCGTCGGCGGATCATGAGGTGAGGCAGCAAGCTAGGTTCGCGACGACGGACGAGGCGTTACGAGCGCAGGAGTTTGCTGATTACGACCAGAAGCACCACCCCTTTTCGTCCAAGACGGGCATCTCACCGAGACATAACGCGAGGTTCGCCACACCAGCCTACTCGCGGACCTGCGAGCAAGTGAGAGCGTTATGTAACTGCGCTATTTGTGGAGGGAAGATCGCGCACCCTGTAGAAGCGGAGCCGACGCACGTGTCGAACGCTACAGCACAAGTCTGTGTGAAGCGCCTCGCGATCTCGCCGGAACGCGCCGCCAGTGCGGGCATGTCGCACAACCGGCCGCCGCCCTTCAAGATGGACCCGAAGTACCTTACGCCGGCGGCGCAGCCCCACGTTAAAGAAAGGATATCATTGGACGAGCCCGAAACTGTGATAAACAAGCCGCCCGAACACAATCGTTTAGGATTGTTTTCGGCTTATAATCAGGCGGCGGGCTCCGAGCCGCCGTACACGATGACGGCCGAGCGCCGCACGGCTTGTGTTGATTATATTTTTCTCTCAAAAGACGTGCTGCGGCCCGTCGCCTACCTGCCGGTGCCGCGGCTGCGTCAGTTCGCGCCGCCTCCGAAGAATGAAGATGATGAGTCGGACGGCGAAGACGTCATAAGGCGAGTGCGCGTCGCGCGGCAGCGCCGCGTCTTGTTTGACGACGCGACGTTCGTCCGCGAGGCGGCGAAGCGCAAGCACTACATCGCGCCCGAGGACATCGAGGACGCCGCGAAGCTCGCGGCGATGCCCGAGGACGTCTTCGAGGGCGCGTTCAGGGCGGCCATCGACGCCAACCGGGGCTCGTGGCTGCCGAACGACCGCTTCCCGTCGGACCACATGGCCCTGGTGGTGGTCTTCGACGTCGACGAGCGGCTGACGCCGGCGGTGCATGCGGCGTAAGGATGATTGTGTACTTACTACTTGGGCTAGCCTAGGCCTTGACGACGCACGCCCGCTCGGAGACGACGAGGCTCATTCTGCAGATGTAGTGCCAAGGTTGGCCTAGTAGATCAACCTGGCCGTGCGAATCGTCGCTGAAAGCCGGCATCGAAAGGCAATCAGGCATCGCAGCCAGCCACGACGGCGGCGCGGCTACTGTCACCTCGTCAACCACATAACGGCTCTTCGCCCATTCCGGGAGGTCGCGCGACGTCGTAAAGCCCAGGCGCCCGCCGGTCGGCAGCCACGTGTCTTCGCTCAGAACGTGAACACCCGGTCTATCTAGGTCCTCGTCGTCGTCAGATCCAGCGTCAAATACGGCGATGTCTCCGCGGTAGTCGATCGCATGCATGTGCCCCGGGCCGAGCCTCGTCGACGGCCCACCCCTCGTAGACACGGTGCCCAGGCACATGCGTGACCTTGGAAAGATATCATCCATTGAATCCGAAATAAAGTTTCTAACCCGCCAGTGCGGGCTGGTTGTGGCATCGAGGGTGGACCAGGTCTTCGTACGAACGTCAAGGATGCGCACGTCCCAGTCGTCCGCCTCGTCCTCCGTCGCAGTACCAATAACGAAAATACGATGGTCCCGAAACACCGTGTGTCGCTGGCGAAACGGCGCTCCGAATCCGCCTTGCCGACACAGCGCCGGCGGGAGCGTCGTGAACGCCGACCACACGTCCTCCTGACCGTCCCGCTGTTCCAGGACGCGCACCGTCGCGTGCTCCTCTCTGAACTCAGGATCGTCCATTTCTGTCGGGTCGCTGCAGAAGCCTCCGAGCACGAACAGTCTGCCATCGCAGACACCGCACACGGGATCGCCTCGCGGCTCCGGAAGCGGGGCCATCATCTCGCCCTCTCCTGTCTCCAGATCGAGTTTGATTACGTCGGAGAAAGTTACTAAAGTTCCCTCTCGGTAGCGACCCGTGACGCCGCCGACGAAAACCAAGCAATCACCTAACACGCAACAGCCATAGTCACGACGGCCGTTGAGTGCATCGATCCAGCCAGCAGATTGCCACATGTTCCTTCTGAGATCGAACGACTCAATTGCAGCCGTGTGCGCAATTCTAGGTCTAATCCGCCACATCTTGCCGCCCACGTTCAGCGCATGATGGCCATCGTTCAACACGGAGGGCGCGTCGGCGCAGCGCCGCCATAACGCGCCGTCGCCCGCGTACGTCTCGGCGCCGCCCATCTGAATTATGACGAGGACGTCGCTCTTCACGGTCGCGCACGCTTGAGAGAGTTGTTTGTTGCATACAGTGATCTTAGCGCGGTCGAAAAAACCGGCGTGCGCCGCAATTATTTTGACCATCTCGGCAGGCAAACGGTCCATATTTGATTAATTATGAGGCGGCGCGGGTGTGACGCAAGAGCGAGAGGAAATGCTAATAAGAACCCGCGGTGGCTTGGTGGTTTAGGCGGCCTAGCTCTAAGCAAAGGAGCTTGGTAAATATTTAGCCTCGGCCGCGTCAGCTAGCGGCCTGTAAGACACTAGAAAAAGAAGTACTAGTCCCCACGTGCCCGCCGCCGATAAATCGGCGACGCGCGCGCCGCCAACTAGTCCCAGCACCGTAAGAGAGACAGGATTCATAGGACACGAAAATCTTAGAGGTGCAGCGCCTGCGTCAGTTCGTCCAGCGCCGACTGCGCCTCGGGCGGCAGCTTCTTCAGGTTCGCCGTGATCGAGTCGAAGGACGACTTCGGTCTCGACGCAACGGAGACGTGCGACGCGGCCGTCATCGGCTTCGAGTCGAGCATGCTCGACCCCTCGAAGAGTCCGGTCGACGCGCTCGTGAAGACCGACGCCTTCGGCGTCAGTGCTCTCCTCGACGACGCGGGCGACCCCGGCGGTGATAATATAGGGTCGTCGACATCAACCGTGCCCATGGCCTGGATTTCGGAGAGAGCCCCGCGCACGGCCGCGAGTCGAGGCGACAGCTCCGGCTCCTGTATTTGTTCATCCAACGCCCGCGCCTCCTCGATTTTCGATACCACGATCGGCGTTTGCGACGAGTCGCTGTCGCCCATCAGGTCCGCCGCGACGCGCTTGGCCTCGGCGTCGTCGCGCGCTTCTCTCGCGGCCACATCCACCTCCAAACTCCAGAAGGGCGACCGCATACCTGGCGTGTAGCCCTGTAGGAGGACGCCTTTAAATGAACCACTATGCGACCACATCCTCACGCATCTGTCCAATCCAGAAGTCAAAACACAGGCCGGGTCCCGGGCGCAAACTAACGCCAAAACCGCATCTTCATGGGCGTACTCCACGGACCAGCAGAACCGCGCTAGTTCCGATGGGAGTAGAGGCGCCGCGCCGGCGGGCCCTTGCAGGAAATCAGTACCTCCAACTGAACGTCGCTCGCTCCGCAGTATATCTTCCAATTGCCAATTTCTAGGAGAGTCGTCCGCCGAGGCTCGTCGATACTTCACTTCGTAGGCCCGGATGTTCTCCGGCGCGAGCACGTGATAGTTCTGCAGCGCTGAAGGTGCGCAGATGGCCTCTTCGTTCGAAGTCTCCTCCGGGAATTCCGAGCGCCAGTCCTCCCCCAGGATCTCCTCCACCTGACTCCAGGGCTCTTCTATTTTATCCGCCGCAAACACCGGCTCGTAGAACCCCGACGTGGACTCGCGGTTCCAGTTCTCTCCTAGGTCTGTATGTGCTTCTTTGTACAAAGGTGCCTGCTTCGACGTCTTGACACCGTATTTCGCGTCCGGGATGCCGTCCTGTAATAACCTTATAACTAGTGAGAGGTCGAAGCACCTCACATTACCTAGTTCATCTCCAAGGTACAAGTGGCCCGAAAACGCGTCGAACTGCGCCACGGCGACGGGCACGTTGTGCTCCTGGACGCCTTCCGGTAAGCCTGTGTATTCCGTCGGTTCTCCATAGGTACAATCGTCTCGCCTCTCTCGCCACGACGGGTACAAGGTCGGCCGCGGCTGGTGCGGCGACTTAACACCATCGTGCTCCTCCGGCAGGAACTCGTAACAACTTCCGTCCGGTGGTCGGTTCGCAAATGATAATAAACAGCAGCCATTCACTTTCGTCGTGTCCAATTTGCCCGTCTTCTCGTTCCGCGTCGGGCAGCCCCAGATTCTCACTCTTCCATCGGACGTAGCTACCCAGAGCAAGGGATAGGGCTCCAGGAAACCCATATTCAGGATGACCTGGCCCCGCGTACACAGCTGCGAATCGATCGACGCCTGGTCCGAGGCCCAGAACCGAATACCTTCCACACTTTCGGCCGCGGTCGTGGCGCACAGCCCGCCGCCCTCGTGTAACACCACATGACTTAATTCTTGTCTATGTTGATATGGTTCATCAAAGGTTCTCAGTGGATAGCAGTGCTCGATATCTTTTTCGTCGTAGATAATGATTCTTCCTTGTAACGATGCACATATGACAGCCTTCCGCCCATGGTCATACCTCATGGCAATGACCCTACCGTTGATCTTACTGAATTTCTTCATCAAGGCACCGTTCGCGTAGTTGTGGCAGCTCATGCGGCCTTCTGCGGTTCCTACAAAAAACTTCCGTCGGCGGTCATCGAGACAGGCCGCCGTAATGTCAGAGTCCGTAATGTTGTGAAAGGTGTTCTTCCGCGTGCCCAATATCAAATCCCAGATCTTCACCGTACATAACGATGAGATAAATAGTGTGAGATTAAGATCGTTCAGGAGCATGATCCTAGGTGGCAGGTCGTCGGTCACGGGGTCCACTCGTGTCCGATACTGATCAAAGAAAAATATATTTTTCGTCGCACATATAACTCTATAGTCGGGCTTGTCCTGGGTAGGATCTTTAGCCTTCAGCTTCACATGGGTCAGAGCCTGGAAGCCGGTCATGTCATTGAGATCGCCTTTGGTATGTTCCGTCTGGAAGGTCTGGACGCAGCCGAAGGTTCGCAGGTCCCACAACTTCAACACGCCCGTCGTGTCCGCCGTGATCAATTCATGAGTGCCCTCGACGGCGTGGCAGTTCATGAGCGCGGCTTTGTGGCCTTGTAAGCGGTACAAGAGACAAGTAGCAAATGGAGACCATACAAAGGCGTCGTGGTCGAAACCTGTACTAATCAAGAACCGGTGCTCGCCGTTGTACGTGAGTGAGTTCACACCCTTCGTGTGCCCGCCTTGTAAATTCGCCGTCATCTGCTCCGTGAAGGGGTCCCAGACGCGCACCGTTCGGTCTAAAGAACCAGATACAATTGTATCTAAGTAAGGGACATGTAAGACATCCAACACGATGTCCCGATGTCCAGACAACGACATGGCCCGTTCTTGCCTCGAGATGTCCCACGCTTCAATATCGCCATTGGAACACCCGCCGAAGGCCAATCGTTGCCCGTCGGACCACGCTAAACTCATGATCGGGTCCGGCGTCGCCCAGCGCGCCTTCTCGCGGAACTTGAAACCACCAGACCCTTGCCCGAGCTGCCACTGCGCCATGGACTGGTCGGAGCAGGTCATGATCAAGGACTGCTCCTCCGGAATGTACGTCATCGCGAGGGGTACGGCCGCCGCCCGAAACTTCCATGCCTCTTTCTTCGCGCCCGTCGTGACGTCGTAGAACTGCACGATGGGACTATGTTGTTCCGCGACGGCCATCAGCCCTTGCTCCGGGATGCGTACGATGGTCTCGATCATGTTCCGGTGCTTCGGCGGTGGCGGCGCTCCGGTCAACGTACCCTCCTTTATCTTTTTCAAACGCACATCTCGATCCGCCGGTAGCTCGATGTGCTCGTAATGGGGTATTTTATCCAGTTTATCCATCTCCTTGAAGACTTGCGCTTTGTCAACGATGAACCGGATGAACTCCTCCCACTCGATGTCGCCGTCGCCGTTCACATCTATCTCTCGGTACAACTCCAACAAGTTCCTCAGGAGGTCCTCTTCATCATCCAAAATTCGCAGACCGGCTAGTTCCGCAGCTGACTTCTTCTTCTTCTTTTCTCCTGGTTTTCTTACGATGTAGTTCGGTAGGGCACTTCGCATAATACGGACAAAATCCAGCATGTCCACCTTCAAGCTGTTCTTTTCGAACTTTCTCCTCATAGCATCGATCTTGTGTCTCTCCAGATGCGTCAGTAGTTGTAGAGTTAGCTGCTCCGCATTCCGTTTGGCCACGCTATAGCGTGCGCGCGGCGTCGGCGGCCGGGAATCGATTGTTTCCTCATCTTCGCTACTTTCGGTATCGTCATTAATCGTGCCTATCTTGAAGGCGCCCCTTCTACTTCTGTAGGCGCCCGACATTATGGCCTAGGTGTATTGATTGGTCTTTGCCTGGTCCTTTTGCTGGGTGAGGGGTTCAGATAGCTGCCCTTGGATGGGGTCTCGGCGGCGGACGCTCCGCTCGGCCAGGTAGCGCAGCCCGGGCAGCACTTGGACCGGCTCAGCTGCCGGCGCTATGGAGCTCAAACTAGTGTCTTACAACGCTAGCTCCCCAGTCGAGCGAGCCTGTCGAGTCCCTGCGGCACGTCTCTTCGCGCGCAGAGACCGATCCTCGCGACGAGTCACATACACCGTCGCGCGCAGCGGCACCTTTGCGAACTTGGCGCTCTCCGCCGAGCTCGGCGCTTGCGGCGGGCTACTCGTCGTTGACGTGCTCTGCCGTTGCCCAGCGGGCTGTGGGCAGCGTGCTTGCACGTATAGAGCCTCGTGGGCAGCCTCGCGTAGGGCATTGGGCAGCCATGCGCGCGCAGGCGTGGCCCGCGGGCCCGACGGCTGCCTGGCCGGACGAGGGGCCCACGACGGCGCCGCCGCGGAGCGCCTGGGAGGCGACACCCGAGGCGGCGGACCACCCGACGCCGCTCACGTCCCCCGCCGCGTCGACGCCGTCGTCGGCGTCGCCGTCGCGCCGGTCGTCGTCGTCGCTGGCCTCGGAAGCGCGGCTCGCGTCCATGGCGGCGCGGGCGGCGCACCTGATGGACGACGTCGACCGCCTGCGCGCGTCGAACCTCGAGGTCCCGCGCCTGCGTCGCGAGTGCGAGGAGCTGCGCGCCGCGGCCGCGCGCGCCGACGGCGCCGAGGCGGCCGCCGCGGAGCTGTCGGCGCGGCTCGGTGCCGAGGCGGCCGCGCGCGGCGCCGAGCGGGCCGACGCCGCGCGTCGGACCTCGGCGCTCGAGTCCGACCTCGCCGCCGCGCGAAAGGCCTTGGACGTCCTCGCCGCCGAGCGCGACGCGCTGCGCCCGGAGACGCCGCTGGAGCGCTTCTACGACGCCCGCACCGCGGCCGCCGTGGTCTCGCCGTCGTTGCGACAGCCGAAGCTCGTCGCGTCGGCGACGGAGACGCTCCTGGACCTGCCGTCCGCGAGGCGACCGAGGCTAACCGACTCCGCCTCCGTGGCGCCCAGTCCCGACGACCGCGCCGTCGAGGTCGCGTTGCTTCGGGCGAACCTCCAGGCGCTGCGGCTTGAGGCGGAGCAGTTGCGGCGCGCGGCCGCGGCGAAACCGCCGCCAGTCCCACCGCCGCCGCCGGCACGGCCTGAGATAGCGCCGCCGCCGCCGGCAGAACCTGTGATAGCACCGCCGCCGCCAGCGGAACCGGAGCCCGTCGAGGCGCCCGCGACACCGCCCGACTCGCCGCGTGCGCAGTGGGCCGTCGAGCTCGTCGGGCGCGACGACGCCGAGCGGTTCAAGCTCGGGCGCGACGGGCTGCCCGCGACGTCGCGGCGGGCAATGCTGCGCGTCGGACGCCGCCTGGCCCTCGACGCCGACGGTTGGAAGGCTTCTGCCGCGCTAAGCAACGTGAGCGGCGTCGACTACGACGCGAGGGGCACGGGCCTGGTACGCGTGGCTCACGACGCCGGCGCGTATTACTTCCGCGTGGCGAACCGCGCCGTCGTCGGCGAGTTGATTCGTGCGATCGAGGCCGGCGGCGGCGACATCCGGGCGACGCCGACCTTTCGCGAGCGCGACGCGGTCCCGGCTAGCCCTGGCGGGGCGGCGCGGGCGGCGCTGCGGCGGCGACGGAGGCGTGGGTTTCGGTGAATTAGGTATGAGTTTCTGTTTAAGCCAACTAACTAACTGCCTTATGCGGGGAGGCTCTATGGCCACTGACTCTCGCGGGCTATAATCTCCTGCGCAGTACTCAGGAAATCGGACGACTTGTATCGATCCCACCAGTTGGCCGACCAGTCCCAGTAATCATCGAAATCAACGAATTCGAAGCCGGTAGGCTCCGGCAAGCGCTCCACGAGATGGAAAACGAAATACGCAGCGAGTTCCGGATCCGCCCACTCCCCCAGCCCCGAACCAAATAATTTGCGCCCCCAATATCCTCCTTCGTCCGAATCCTTGATATAGAGGCCCTGCTCGACGAGCTCCTCGTCCATATCGTCGTCCACGAGGAGCCTCAGCTGGCGGCCTACGCGTTCTGACCACGCGAGCAACATGTCCCCGGGCCAAGCGACGCGGTAGGGGACGTGAATCCCGCGGTAAGTATTGGCGATAGAGTTAGTCTTGAAGCAGTAGGTGCGTTCGCAGGCGGCGACGACCCTCGACAAACCATCGATGTTTGGCTCGACGAGCGCGAGAAAGCGCCTATAACACTCGTCGGACCACTGGGCAATCTCAAAGACGACCAGGCCGGCGTCGAGCTCCCACGCAGCCCGAAACGTCGCCAGCGCCCGGCGCACCTCGACTCGTCGAGGCTCGGACCATTCGCTTGGCGTTGAATTTTCAATCAGGTCGAGGCCCTGCTCTTCCACGAACATTATCGACCGCCACCGGCCAGTCAGAGCCCGCCGCGCCGCGGACCTCACTACTTTTGAGACCTGTTTTACCTCCAGGGCTTGATCAAAGGGCAAAAACTCTAGGCATCGCGCCAGAACATCGCGCGGCAATACGTAAAGGGCCGTCATCACCAAAACTAAGCGTCTTGATTGTTCGGGTAGCTAGGCTAGGCTAGACAAGGGCTAGACAAGGCACGGAGGCGTAAAGCCTAGGGATGCCTAGTGTGTCAAGTGCGCTAGCTGGATTTTTTGCCGCAGCGCCAGCTTTTTGACGTCGTACCCGTCGTACGAAAGTGCAGACCATCGCTAAGCATTCTTGCGGTGCGGAATTTATCGAAGCGTGCCACGGGAGTACCAATTTCGCGCTGCCGGCGCACCACTAATCATCTCTTGCTGTGCAGCATCTGCCACCGAGTAGCCAAAAGCGCGCTGCCGGCACACACCTCGTCACATAAATGAGTGCGGCTCTCCACAGCTACCGCGCCTTCCTGCGCGTCGTGGCCGCCATGCCCAAACAGCAGAGGGGCGCAGCCATACAACAAGCGCGGTCCGAGCTGGCCTTTTTCCGAGACGTCTCCGACCCGGCCGAGGCGGCGCGTTTGGTCGACGCCTTCGACGGTCGCATCGCGTACCTGCGCATGACGACGCCGCGGCGGCCCGCTTCGCAAAAAGGGCGGACGAGCATCGTCTATCGAAACGGCGAGAAGGTCGACGCGGCGCGGGAGCGCGACAAAGCCAAGTGGTCGAACTGGGACGGCTCGAACATGGACCCCGACTCCGTCGCGCGCCACAATCGGTCGCTGCGGCGGGCGGGCTTCCGCGACAACGCTCACGCGAAGGGGTTCTTCTAGTAATACATGTGTAGGAAACAGGGGGGCGAGCGCGCTAGAGGAGCGCGTCGAGGAGCGACGCGTCCTCGGCGCAGAGGGCGGGCGCCTTAAGCTTCGCGTTCTCCTTCTTCAAGGATTCGAGCTCCTCCCGCAGCTTGAGCGCCTCGGCGCTCGGCCGAGCATTATTAGCCCTGGCCGGGCAGCAGCCCGGCCCCCCTTTTGCCGGGCATCGACTGTCCGGGGCGTCGTAGATCACCTTCGGCGTCCGTGCGCGCGCAGATCGGCGCTCGGCGCTCGGCAAGGGTACCGGGTCGGAGCGCCGCTTCTTCCGCGCGAGGAAGCCGAGGACTCCTGCCTTCTTCGAAAGCGGCGCATCGGCCTCGAGGCCCGCGGCGAGGAGGCCGCAGGCCGCGCGGAAGCCCGCCTCGTCATCGACCATCGACGGCAAATTGTCGGGCAGGCTCGTTACTTTCCGTTTCTTGCCTTTGCCTTTCTTCGGATTGTAGTGCGCGAATTGCGCCGCACGGCGCGCGCTCCAGGCGGCAATCCGCGCCGCGAGGTCTGCGCGGTCCGGGTCCTGCAGATTGTCAAACCCCTCGACGTCGCCGACGCGTTCGAGGGTCTTCGTCTTGTAGGCCGCACGCTCAAACGACTTGAAGATGCAGGCGGGGTGGTACCAGTGGACGCGCACGGCCGGGACGTCCTGGCGCACGCGCGGCGGCCGCTTGCCGACGCGGACGTCGCCCGCGGCGAACAGCTTGCGGCACTTCTTGCACCGGCTCCGCCCTGCAACCCGCGTAGTGGCGTAGTCGGCGCGGAACGTGTTGGGACCGAGCAGGCCCGACATCATGCCCCCGAGCTGCCCGTACGACGCCTGCGTGTGCTTTTCTTCGCGCATGGCCTCGGTGATCTCCTCCCGGCTCACGTCGCCGCGTTCCCGGAATTTCTCGACCACGTGCGCAGAATTCTGTCGCGTGAGCGCCTTCGGCGGCGGCGGCTCGGGCATTTGGACGATGGACTCGAGCTGCCTTAAGGCGACGGCGGCCGCGTCCACCTCATCGCTGCCCTCGCGGAGGTCGTGCGACGGCGCGTCGAGCACCGGTTGCGGCTCCGGCGCCGAGGGCCTCGCTGCTTGCATGACGTACTCCTGAACGGTGCGCGGCGGTGACTCGACCGGCACGAAACCAATACCTCTCGGTGGCGAGGCCCAGGTGTCACTCGGCAGAGACCAGGGCAGCAAGCGCGTCGGCGCGGGCGGGGACCGCTGCACGGCAAGCATGATGCTTTCGTTGATGGAGCGCCGGCGTCGAAAGATCAAAGGGCAGCCGCGCCGCCTCAAAATCACAGCCGCGACGGCGGATGGCGCGGCATGAAGGCCCACTTCGTCGCAATCTGATTGACCCCCACCGAGCGCAGTAGGCAACTAGATCACAGGACAATTACCCAATCAACGCCTCGTCAGCGCTGTCGCCGTCGCGGCCTTCGTGAGGCCCTCGCCGACGAGCGGAATCGATTCCGCGACGAAGCCGCGCGCCGCCGCGAGCTCGGCGAGGTCCCCCTCGGCGCCGTGGCGCGTCACGTAGCCGAGGACGGCGCCGCGCGCCGGCGCGAGGGCCACGATCGAGTCGACGAGCGGGCCGTAGTTCGCGGTGTCGTACAACAAGTCGCTCCCGACCAACAGATCGAAGCCGCCGTCGCGCAGGAGCGCCCTCGCGTCGTCGACGCTGCCCCAGACCAGGCGTTTCGCCCGCGCGCGCTTCGAGTCCACGTTGAGCTCGATATTCCGCTGGAGCCACTCGAGCGTCGACATGCGGGTACCGTCGGAGAAGTTCGTCTCGATATCAGGATCGGTTAAGGTAACGTCGCAATCAGTCGTCATCGCCAACCCGACGCCCAACAAACCAACGCCGCTTCCGAGCTCGAGCACGCGTGGCGGCCGGCCCAAGTCGCGTTCCAGGTCCGGAATGACATCCGCACACAGATGCGCCAGCAGCGGCCGCGCGACGGGCCACGGCCGGCACCCCGTGCGGTCCGCTATTTTCCCCTTTTTCGCCTTCGGCTGCTTCATCGGAGTGTCGAAGTAGTCGACGCGGAGCTTCGCCGTCTTGCCGCCGACGTCGACCTTGGTCCACTGCTCGTTGGCGGCCAGCGCCGAGGCCCTCCTAAGCACGACGAGGGGCCACCAGCGGCGCGCGTGGCGGAGCAGCATGGCTCTTGTTTTGGGTGCAGCGTGCAGGCTGCCTGTCCCAGCGCGTGTGCGTCGCTGCCGCGCGCTGACGCTGCTTGTGGCTGCTTTTTTATGATCTATGCGACGCCCGAGCTCAGTTTGATGCAGCCGCGATGGCTCCGCGGGCTCGCTGCACTAAAGCCAGCAGGTGCTGTGCTGCAGCTGAGCGGCATGCAGGCCTGCATGGGAGCGCTAGTGCTGCGCGTTTATGCCAGTTGAAGCATATAAGTGCTCTGCATAGACTGCCCGTCGCATTGGTGCCGGCACCGACTCGCGTTGCCGCCAGTGCTGAGCAGGCTTGCAGAGAGCATGGCTGCACTTGCCTCCGCCGGCGACGCGTTGACGCCGGAGGATCGCGCAGCGCTCGCCGAGCTGCGCACCCAACGCACGTTGACGTACGACACGCAAGAGCACGACTGGCGGAGTCCCGTCGTCGACGCGATGGGCGTCGAGGCGTTACAAACGTTGGAACCGGCGACGGACGGGCGCAGCCGCGGCGGGAGCCGCGGCGCCGGCGCGCCGTGGCTGCGGAAGTGGACGACGCGGTCGCCGGATGTACGAGAGCGCATCCTCGCCGCGTACCTCTCGTTCCTCCAAGAGGTCGTGCTGCCGCACGTGCGGGAGGTCTGCGCGCGGCACGGCTCGACGTTATGTGAGGATGGCCTCGTCTTCCAGCGCGAGCCGAGCTTCCGCTGCCACGCGCCGTCGCCGAATCCTACTGGAAGACCCCACTGCGACGCGGACTACGGCCATTCGGAATTTGAGCTGAACGTGTGGCTGCCTTTGGTAGAATGCGGCGGCTCGAACTCCCTGTGGTGCGAGCCGGCGCCGGGCATCGGCGACTACGCGCCCTTCGCGGTGAATTATGGAGAAGCGGTCCTGTTCTGGGGCAACCGGTGCCGCCATTATACAGTCGCGAACGACTCGGGCATCACGCGCGTGTCCTTCGACTTCCGCTTTCTGTTCCGCCGGTTGTATGATCCGCACATGGAGAACATCTATGGCGGGCCGACGGCGTTTTTGTTGGGGGGCTACTTCGACGCTATTGGCGCGGACGGGGAGCTGGACGCGGACCTTGCGCGGCCGAAGGGGCACGGCGTCTTGTACCGGCGGGGCTAGTGTTGTGGTGTAATATTTGTAGTTACCCATTGCTCGGCGGCGTTTCGCGGGCGCGGAGGGTGGCTCGTCGCAGATGGCTCTCTATCTCCACTACGATCGGATTCGCGCCGCCGAACACGCGCCTCGCGATCCGTTTCGTCTCCTCAAGCGACGTCACGGCTTCGCGAAGCTCGTCGAGCGTGGCGCCGTTGTCCTTGAAGAACGCCTCCGCGTAATTCGACCTCATTCTAAGCGCCAGTCTATGATTATCTCCGAGAACACGTCTCGTCACGGGTATTGTTCTGCGGAACAGTGCCTTTGCTTCCTCGAAGCGCTCTAGTCTAACAAGGATGTGCGCGTAGTTGTTCGCTGCTCGGAGGGTCTCTTCGCGCTCCGCGCCATGGAGTTTCAACTCTCCAGAGTATACGTCTCGAAACATATTTAAGGCCTCTTCATACCGTCCGAGTTTCTCATACGTGACCGCAATATTGCCCTGCGTGGTGAGTACGTGGTGTTCTGATACGCCAAGGCGCCGCAGCATAGACAACTCAGCCTCTTCCACGGACAGCGCGTCCTCCTGGTGCTTTGTGACGGATAAACCGTTCCCAAGCTGCCTCATCGCACTGATCAGCAGTTCCCCCTCGGGCCGTCCCACGTACGTCTTCCAGCACGCCCACCCAAGCGCGCCCCGCACGGCGCCGTGGTACTTTTGCTCGCACAGACTGCATGTGTTCCACCGCCGCCACCGATCATCCAACGCCTTGGCCCCCAAGTTGTTCTCCTCGGCCTCCGCATACAAAATCTTCGCCTGCTCCGCCAAGCACGACACGTGCGCAAAACCCGCCGTCCCGCGGCACGCACACCCGCGCACGAGCCCCTCCTTCGTCTTCCAATGGAGGGCCTGCGTGCAGATGTAGCACGTCTGGCCCTTCGTGTCGTCGGCGCACGCCTCGACCGCGGTCGCGACGGCCTCCTTGTATTTTTTGTCGGCATTATACTGTTCCGCGTTGCCGCCGCGGTGGATTCTTTTACAAATCTGCTTATGGCCGCGGCGCCAGTGGTCGTGTTGGCAAGTTGCGTCACAATAGATAAAAGCACAAAATTCGGGTTGCCATGGCCAACGCGCTCTCACCCACCAGCCCCTCCCCGCCCAACCCCGCGCGCGCAGGACCAGGTTGCGACGCTGCCTCTCTCAGGTTCTTTCCGGTGTTATGAACTTCCTTTCTCCCGCCGGGGCTGGCCGTGGTGCTGTATTAAATTCCTCTTTTGGGGTGCTCTTGAGGGGGACCGCCTAGCCGCTCTCCGGAGGACGGGCAAGGTGCGAACCAGAGGGTGGGTCTTAAGCTGGCGATAGGGGTTTCGACCTCCCAAGAAGCTGACCCAAACAAATGTAAATATCTTGACGCTCTTGGCGACGAACGACGCGCATACCCGGGCTCCTAGCCTGGTGGTTCCGCCACGCTCGAAGCCTCTGATACCAACGCGTTTGCTGCTCGGATTTCTTCGTTTACACCCCGTTAGCTGCCGTCCGTGCGCCGTCCGTGCTCCATGCTCTTAGGGATGGTTTAGGCTGAGATATGCGGACGCCGTCGGTCATATGGACCTTCGGAGCAAGTCGCGAATGCGGGACGTTGTCAGCTTCGCCTAGGCGTATGGCTGGAGGTCGGATGCCGCTTGCCGTGTGGGCTTGCGGAGCAAGTCTCGAATGCGAGGCGTTGTCAGACGCGCCGCGCCGCCATTTCCTGCCGTCCTGAACAAGTTCATCTTCAAAGGTTCTCGTGGCGAATACGTTTCTCTACTTCCTCAGGAACCGGAGAACGTGTTACGTCCGGGACTTATATGCCGAAGGCAACAAATAGATAAAAGCACAAAATTCGGGTTGCCATGGCCAACGCGCTCTCACCCACCAGCCCCTCCCCGCCCAACCCCGCGCGCGCAGGACCAGGTTGCGACGCTGCCTCTCTCAGGTTCTTTCCGGTGTTATGAACTTCCTTTCTCCCGCCGGGGCTGGCCGTGGTGCTGTATTAAATTCCTCTTTCGTGGCGTTCGGCTTCTACGATTGTTCGATGGCGCGCGTCGCGTCGGAGCGCGGGTCGTTGATCTTCGATTGGTCATGGTTGGATCCGCTTCCTTTCTGTCAGAAATGCACGTTCGACGTCGTCTTCCAGGCCGAGGGCATCCACCACACCGTCCCGAGAAAAACCGCCGACCGCCTCGACGAGTTCTGTCCCAAGGCGCAGAGGCGCCTCACAGTCCGCAATCGCTTCGAACTCAAGCAGCAACTCGCGCGGCGCCACAAGAACATGTTCAACGAACACCAGAAGCAGACGGCCGCGGAACGCAAGGCCGCGCTCCAGGCACCCGACGCGTGCGCGCTCAAGCTCTGGCGGGTCGCGTTCGACAACCTGGGCCGCCACGTGAAATGCGGCGGCGTGTTGTTCATCACGGACCTACTCGGAGACGTCTTCACGGGCAGCGGGCCGCGGTGCTGGCCCGAGTTCGGCCGGAGGTGGATGGTGGAGAATGGCTTCGAGCACGTCCGGCGGCAGACGGGCGATCCATGCGGGAACCACTACCCGTTCCTCTTCTTGCGTAGGAAGTGCTAGTACTATTCCTTAGACTTCTTCGAGATTCGGCGAAAGAGCCCCTTCTTCTTCGGCTCGGACGGCGGCGACTCCTGGCTCACCTGCACGTCCGGCTCGGCGCCCTCCTCGGTTCGCCGGAACGATAGAGTCTTCTGGTCCTTCGCGGCGTTGCCCTTGCGGATCGATCCCACTAATTTCTTGAGCCGGTTGTGCGGCCGTCGCCGTCGTAGTTCATCTCCGTGCCACACGAGGAAGTCGCTCTCCTGGCGCTTGAGCTCGGCCTCGATGACTTGCGCGTGCCTGCGTGAAAGACATCGTAACGATGGCGTCCAGAGTACATCTACTCACCAGCACGCCATCGCCGCGACTTCGCATCTATGTGAAGGCCCCGTCGAGAACGCGGAGAGCCTACTTTTCGTTCTGCGATTTGATGGCCGCGGTGACCGCCTCTTGGAGCTCCACGGCGTCCTCTTCTGCGTCGCGCGCGAGCTCCTCGGCGTGGCGCTTCGCCAGCGCCTCCGTGTCGTCCTTCAGCCGTCGCTCCAGGGACGCTCGCACGGCCTCGTGCTTCGAGTTCAGGAGCTCCTCGACGCTCTCGACGGCCGCGCGGTGCTGCTCGTCCTTGGCGGCCAGCGCGCCGGAGTGGGCCGCAACATAATATTCATCCTTCGCGGCGAGCGCTCTGTCGTGTTCGTCAACAAGTGACGCCTTCTCGCGCGCGAGCGCCTCAATCCGGTCGGTCGCCTCCTTCAGCGCGGCGGCGTGCTGCGCGCTCGCGTCCTTCGTCGCCGCGGCGCTCGCGTCGGTGGCTTGCTTGAGGGCCGCGGCCGACGCCGCGGTCGCCTTCTCGAGCTCGGCAGCCGACGAAGCCTCGCACGCGGTGAGGGCTGCAGCCGACGCCGCGGTCGCCTTCTCGAGCTCGGCAGCCGAAGACGCCTCGCACGCGGCGAGGGCCGAAGTCGACGCGGCGGTCGCCTTCTCCAACGCCGCCACCGACGCGGCCTCGCAGTCGCTACGCGCTTCCTGAGCCGCCTTCGCGGCCTCGTCGGTGGCGAGGCGCTGCGCGGTCGCCTCGGCGGCGTCCTTCGCCGCGACGGCATCGTCCCTTGCTTTGTAGGCGGCGTCGCGCTCGGCTCGCAGCTGTTTGACCAGCAACGCGTCGCAGCCGTCGAGCGCGTCGTCGACCAATTTGTCGGCGCCCGGCGTAATGACTGCTGCGCTGAGCGTTGCGAGGCTCGTGATGAGGATGAGGCGCATTTTCACAGCCTTTCACGCTGATGACCCGCGCTCGGCGGAGACGTCCGGTGTAGCAGCGATGGATCTTCTTCGAGGTTCGCTGCGACGTTTGGCGCTGTGACAGCTTCCTGTGTCTTTTCTAGCCAACAATGCGCGGTAAATCTAGCCCAACAAGCCTCCAACAATTCTTACAGTTTGCTCCATAGACACACTAGCTTTCGAATACAACATGCGACATGCAGTCGTCTGAGCACCGTTCGGGTCGCTACTGGTCCAAAGAGATCAATGGGACACGTACCGGGGGCCGAAAAAGGAAATTTTTTAATTCGCGGCTGAGGAGCCGCCACGGTCCAAGGCGGCCGCACCGGTTGAATCCTGTCAATCCCTGCCCAATAAGTGTCCCTGGGGTCGCCTAGGGTCGGTACTATACACGTGCAATCGCCTACACCGCATACGCCGCCGCTTCAATCATTTTTGGTCGAATTCTCTCAGCAGACCACTCGGTTTAGCCATCTTTTGGCCTGGTTTGCTTCCAGGGCTCTCCGAGAGCACTAGGCCGCCGCATCGATGGCGTTTGCGGCACAGGCGACTACCCACTACCAGACCTACCCCAGAGGGAGTTCTGGAGCCGATCTGTATCCAAAAAAAGTAAGTAATTTGGCCCCGATGGCGCCCCGTTCCCGTCAAAAACGCCAATTACCCGAGGGCCCCCAGTAGTCGCCGTAGCGGTCTCGTTGGACCCCATGCTACCCCACCGATAGTCAATTACAAGTATATGCCATCTACACCGCGAGAAGGGTACTTTGGGCTGCCCACGCTCGGGATGTGAACATCTTGATCTGGACCTCGCGTAAGTCGGTCGATCATGAAACAAATGATCGCGTCATGGTCCATGGTGATGGTACACGGGCTGATGGCCGCAGATCCACTCAGTTTGCCCGTTTAAACCAGATCGTGGGCTCGCGAGACCGACAACCCGCGCCGAGCATCTTTGGGTCTCTGAGCAATGTAGTACACGCTGAGGCCGATTAGCTGGCCCGTCCCGCAACCGAAGCGCCTGAAACGCAAATTTATTTTATAATCCACCGGTCTGGGGCCAATTCAGTGCCCCGCGTACGCACCGTCGTCCGCGGAGAACGGGCAAGTCGGTCGATCGTGAATAGAACAACGGCGTTATGGTCCATCTGGGTGGCGGCGTCGCTGATATTCGCGGGTCTAGCCCTGATACTCGGCTTGATGTAAACGCGCGGTACCAAAGTCGCCGAATCCCGCGGCTCGTACGGATCAGGAGACTGGGCTCAGTAAATGTTGAGGCGGGCTGGATGGACTCTACCACTAACAAACGGAAGGAAACGAACATAAACGCGAGAGTTGTCTAGTAGAATTCTTTTCCCGCCCTCCGAGCGCGGGCCGTCGGCTCCGGTTCCGTCGATTGTGGATGAAAAGTGGGCTGGAGTTGATATGATGTACCATTTGGACGGTAGATGGCGGCGCTAATCGCTGGTGTAATTTGGCGCGCCGCAAGACCTAGTGATCTAGCGTATCGACACACTAGGACGGAGCGGGAGGGGTACGGGGAACCCTGCGACGTAACTAGCCTGAGCCTGAGCACCCCGCGCCCATCGAAGTGACTAGTTGACGCCATCGACGAGGCAACAGAGTTAAAACTAAAACATTTAAACCAAATAAATACCTCACCGCGCCGGCAGCCGCAGCGTCACCGATGCACCCACCGCGGCATCCGTCCCCGCCCCTTCCACATCCACTTTCGACTTGCCCGCTTTCCCAAAAGGCCCCGCTAATACGCCCTCGTCGCCGTTCGCGAACGTCACGACCCTACCAACAAACTGCTTCTGGTCCTCTTCGGCCGTGAAGAGGCCCTCGACGATGACCGTCCGGTACCGACCGCTGTCGAGGGGGTCGCCCTTGAGGCGCTCGACGAGGCCCTCGCGCACATCTTCCGTCTTCTTCGGGGACGACGGTGGCGGCGGCGGCGGTTCGACAACTTTCTTCTTCGGAGGTTTGCCTGGCGTTACTAATTCATCAGCAGGAACAACGCAGTCGTCGTCCTGGTGCAGCGCCTTCGACGACGAAAAGGCGTACTTCTTGTATACTAAATATAGTCTACCGCCGGGCTGCACGTCCGTCGGGCCCTCGAACTGCACGCGGAACTTGCCCCCTTTGCCAAAGGCCGAGGACAGCTTGCCGACCTCGCCCGTCTCGGCCTGGATCCGGAGCCTGCGTGGTGATCAATGTGGCGCGTCGACGGCGTCGAGGCGACGTCGTCTCATGAAGACGCCATCGACGCGAAGAGACACAAGACACTGTACTACACCCGACGAACTGCGCCATGTTCGTCTCCCTTGCAAATAAGTCCTTGCCGACGACATCTCTAACACCCATGTCCCCATTTGTACTCACACAGGGGTCCCCGAGCTTCGCCACCAACCCTACTTTTCTTTTCAGCTTATAGAGTCGAATCTTCTCCCCAATAGCGTCGCCCTCGGCCCGTTCCACGAGTCGACCGTGGAACGCGATCCGACACGCGTCGGCCATGGCCGCGTCGCTTTCCAAGTGGGACCCGATGACCAACGCATCTAATTGACACCTTACTTTAGCTTCAAATTTCAACAAGCACCACTGCAACCTATCTTCTAGTTTTTCTTGGTAGACGTATTCTCGCTCTGAGTCGAATTTCGGGACGGCCGTATCGTTTAACTCAGCGGCCCCGAAGAAATAGGCCGTCGCGACGGTCGTCGTGTGGCCCAGCGTGACGTGGAAGGTCCGTTCCGTATCCGTCCTTCCCCGGAAGAACCTCACCTTCCGCACGAGAGCTAAGACCGCCGTCAGACCCGGGACGCTTCCCGGCGCGGCGACGACGCCTCGTTCTATCGCCGCGGCGTCGAGCTGCGCGAGACATAGGCCAGCTCTATCGCCACATCTTATGGCCTTGGCCGGCCGCCGGAACATCTGCATGGACTTGACCTTCTTTTCCAATCCCAACGCGGGGAGTTCCACGCTGTCGCCGACCCTGCACTGGCCCCGCAGCGCCGTGCCCGTCACCACCGTCCCCTGGCCGCGGATCGGAAAACAATGATCAATAGCGAAGAAGAACGGGCCGTCCGTATCCCTCTTCGGCACCCTCGCCCTTTTCCGTAATGTAGCAACAAGCTCATCCAGCCCGATGGACTCGCTCTTGAGCTCGCTCCGACCGACCGCCGCGACCTTTTCGCCGCCGACGCAGGCCGCACACGCGACGACGGGCGCGTCCCGGAACTTTGACGATTGTAATTGCCTCCTCAACTTCTTCGTCGCCGTCTCAATAGCAGCTGGTCGCTCCTCTTCTGAGATCTGGTCCACCTTGTTCAGGGCTATTATCAGGTCATGTGTCGTGATCTCGCCAATCACGAGACACTCGGCGGTCTGGGGCTGCACGCCCTTGATGATGTCCACCACCAAAACCATCGCATCGATGATCTGGGCGCCGCCAATTATGGTTCGTATCAGTGACGCGTGGCCCGGGCAGTCCACCAAGGTGAACTGTAAATCGCCATCACCTTCTAGGTGTTCTGGGAGCGGTGCTCTGAAACTTGAGAAGCCTAAGTCGAGGGTGATGCCCCTTGCTTGACTTTGCGGGGCCCGATCCAAGGATGCCGTCGACAGCGTCGTCGAGAGCGCTTTGACCAACGACGTCTTGCCGCTGTCGACGTGGCCCATGACGCCGATATTTAGATTCAATGGAGGTGGTTCATTGTCCGCTTCCTTTTCTTTCTTGCCCATGGTGCGTCGACGGCGTTTAGCGCCAGCAACAGTGCCTCGCTGTGGGACTAGAGTTGGGTGCGTCGACGTTTAGCGCCAGCAATCGCTGTGGGACTAGAGTTGGGTGCGTCGACGGCGTTTAGCGCCAGCAAAGGGCCTCGCTGTGGGACTAGAGTTGGGCTGGAGATGCTGCGGTTTCGTCTGCTGGCGCCGCAGCGATGGAAGTATCGTCACGCAGCGTTCGCAGGCCTCGACGGCGATGCGTGGCGGTGGATAGGCAGTCAGCTGCCTCGTCTGCGCCTCCAAATCGGTGAAAAGCAAAAACCTGTTTTGACAGGCTGAATCCGAGTCGTCTGCCGCGGACCAGTGGTGTTCCTGCGGGTTCCGAGATGTCGTCTTGTGTCCCTGTTCACGCCACTCGGCCGACTGAACGCCGGAGAGTGCACACGCGACGGACCGCGCGCGGCGAGACACAAGCGGCTTCACGTACGCAGCGACCTTTCTTTTTCGTTGAGCGAGCCGTGGCAGTAGAGCGGACCAATGATGCGTAGTATGGTGATTTTCCAAATTCGTGTCCTGTCAGCCCGCGGCATGCCTCGCATCACATCCCAATAGCTCGTGTATAGCTTCGTCGCTCACTCACGTTGCATAAAACGCAGCGTAACACCGCGGACGATACCTGGTACCGCGCAGAGGCAACCAGCGCTGCACCAAAAGACGCACGCGAAGAGAGCGCGTGTAAAAAAAAGCTGGCATCCAAGCTGCTGAAACAGGCGTTCTCCAAACTCCGCCTCAAAACAAAGGAGCCGCAAAACGACCAGGAGCCGACCGCCGCGCAAGCCGAGACGGGCATGGCCGCGATCCTAGGTGATGATCCGCTCGCCCACACGTGCGGCTTCCTCGACGCGCGCGAGCTCGATGTTTTGAGGACGTGCGGGCGGCGCACGCGCGAAGTCGCCGGCCGCGGTTCGGTGTGGGAGCCCGTGTGTCAACGAAGGTGGAGAGGTAGAAGGCAGCTGAACGAGTGGCGGACGGAGGCGGGAAACGACTGGCGCGCGCACTATGCGTTGAGGGAGAGGGAAATACTACGCAAACGAGTGCCCATCTTCGCCATGTCGGCCTACCTCGAGGTAGGGAGAAGGACGGACCTCCACTTCTTCGAGCCGCGCTACAAGTGGTTGATTCGGATCGCGGCCGAGGACCACGGCGGCCTGTTCGTGTTCTGCACGAACGCTCCTTTAGTCCACCCCCGAAGCCCGCAATTCAGCTGGGTCTGCGAAGCTAGAAACGTCCAGTTGCTGCCGGACGGAAGGGCGAATTTGAGCGTCTTCCCGGTCGCGCGGTGTTTGCTACGAAAGCTGTGGCGCGAGCCCGTGCCGGACATGTTAAATGCGCCTCAATTAACAATGGCCGACGTCGAGGAGCTGCCCGTATGTAGCGCGCCGCCGCCGCCGGTGACCGAAGACGACGACGACTCGGAATACTATTCCGATAGTGACGACGAGGGCGGCGGCAGGATGCGCCTGTCGCCGAGCCACCGCCAGCTGCTCGAGCTGCTCGTGGAGAACCCGGACGCGATGCAGGAGCTCGGGCTCACGCACGAGCGCGTCCAGGAGATACTGCGCGGCCAGGAGCCGGCGTCGGACACGGACGACACGCTCGACGTCTGATTGATCCTTCTCTGTTGACACTTGCATTATTGACATACCCCCCATCGCCTCGCTGACATAATGATCGTCTGTCCATTCTATCTAGAGTGGTACCGGGGCATGTTGTCGCGGCGATGGCGTACCACCGCGCCGTCGCCCGCCGCGGAGGTCTACGCCACCACCGCGTCATTCAGCGTGTCCTCATAAAGACGACCACCGCCCCGGACTGAGCCGCCCGGACCCTGCGGCAGGCCCATACGCCATCGGCGCGGGCCTCAGCAAATCGATATAAATAATTACGTCGGCGGCGGGGGGTGCCAACGGGGACCACCACAAAAGGGTAGACAACAGAAGCCTCTGCACAGGGCGTGGGAATGGGAGCTCCGCGCGACGTGTCAGACCAGCGTCCGGTACGCGGCGCTCGGCGACTCCATGTTGAGCTGGTCGGCCGCCGACGGGGCCCCGACCGGCGCCGCCGATTTGGGGGACGGCGTCGGCGAGTTCTGGGCGCTCACCGACGGCTCGCTCGGCGCGCGCGACAGGAAGCTCCGCTCCATCATCTCGGCCGCCGCGACCCAGCGGTCGTAGTTCTGCTCGAGCGCGACGTGCGACTCGTACGTGAGCTTGAGGCAGACGGAGTCGCGGCCCGCTATTCTTGTCCAGGCGACGTCCACGAGGCCCGGCCACTGGCGGAAGCTTCCGCTGTTGAGCTCGAGCCAGCGCTCGAGCGCGGCGAGTTGGCCTGCGCGCGTCGGTGGCGTGGCGCTTGAAGCGTACGTCTCTCTCTGGATTTTTCAGGGAGATGTCGCGGCGATGGCGTGGCCATTAAAGGGTGAGTTTACTTTTTTGGCGCCGCGGGTTGACCCGGCCGAGCGGCCAAGGTTGTTTCGCAGCAGAGATTCGAGTTCTCCCGTTTCATTTCGACGAGGAGCAACTACTGACGAGTCCTGGGGCGGTGGCGAGCCCGGACCGTCCGCGCTAGCTTTTAATCGGCCTTCCTTTGACAGCAGATATACTTGAGCGGCGCCCCGCGACGAGAGGTCTCGTCTCCGGCTATAAGCCACAACGCGGGCGGGAGTGTTCGTTCTCCCGGGCGGCGGCGGCGCGTGGGTGGCGAGCGCAATGAAACTCCAGTCAGCAAAATCAAGAGTTATTGACGCTGGGCGATGGACGCCTGATTTGCTCCGTAGGACTCGTGTTGCACGTGTCCCGAGGCCTTGTTCCGGTTTAAAACCCGAATGATCGACGCGGCTTGTTGCTAGTGTCTTACAGGCCGCTAGCTCACGGGGAGGGCCGGAGCAAAAAACGACCACAACGCCACCGCTGCAGCATTTGCGCACGGTGAGACAACATAAAAAGGCGCTCGATCAGTGCCGCAACCGCTGGACGAAATCTGTCGTCGGGGCAGAGCTTGCCGGCTGCAACAGGGTGTCGAGTGCAGCTAGCGCGCAGAGCGATGCCACAAAAACAAAAGAAAAAGGGCGGCAAGAGCAAAAGCAAGAACAAACAGACAACAGAAACGAAAGACGACGCCCCACCACCATCAGGACTACCGCTCAAGTCCATACTAGCGGCAGCAATAATAGCGGGCGCGGCGACGCTCTTTTCCACAACAAGGTCGTGCGGCGCACCTCGAGTCGTGGAAGAGGGCGATCTGCGGTACCTCGTGAACAATGGTGGTGTCATTGGCGTCCAGCGCATAGGCGCGCCCGAGCAGGCGGTCTTTCGGGGCTGGGTCGTCCAAAGAACAGCTTCTTCTCTCAGAGATAAAGCTAGGAATGCGTTAGTCGTGGGCTTGGGTGGTGGTTCCGTAGCACAATACTGGCGCAATACCTCTCTCAGTGTCCATGCTGTAGAAATCGATGGCAGAGTAGCTAAACTAGCAGAGACGCATTTTGGGGTCACACGAGGCACCACGCTAGTGGAGGAAGGTTTGAGATTCATAAGAAAGCGCGCCGACGACGTGCGACGCAAAAGGGGCCCGCCCTATGATTTATTGAACATCGACGTGATCGATGCAGGGGATCCGTGGGGTAGTGCGACGTGGCGCTTCCTTGGCAAATCTGCTCTCAGCGCTTCAAAGAAAGCTTTAACGCCGCAGCAGGGCTTGCTGGTGTTCACAATTGTTCTGGGTTCGCTGGCCGATCAACGGTCGAGGCAGTACCTGAAGGTGGCCACGCAACGGCTAGGTGCCGTCTTTCCGCGGGTCCGAGCTTATAGGGACTCTCCTTTGAGTGAACCAGGAGCGACCAATGTGGTCTTCTTCGCGTCTGATGGGGGCCTCGACGATGAAATTGGCATAAACCACGACGAGCGCGCGGCGGCCGCGGAATTGTCCGGGGCCGAACCGGGGTCCGAGGACTGGGTCGCGGCCATGCACAAGAGCTGGGAGGTCGCGCGGTGCGACGCCGGGACCTGTGCGCTGCTGGCGAACGTGTCAGATACGTTCGCGCCCGACGGGAGTGCGGCGGCGCCGCCGGACAAGGGCTATTCTGCAATGGTTGCTGCTTCGTTGAGGGAGCACTTCTCTCCCTCGCTATTCCAGGAGCCGCTGCTCTGCGCGCTTGTAGGGTGAAAAACTAAGTCTTAGACTTGCGCACAACACAACTTGAACAATAGGCGCCGGGCGACGGGCGATGTGGTGAGAGGCCGCGTCGACGGCGTCAGGCGGGCGCGCCGGCGACGAGCTCCCCCGACCGGTCCAGAAACAGTCGGTCCGACGCGTCCTTGAGCTTTCGGTGATAAAATTCCTCACGCAATTCACTCAGATCAATCAAGCCGTCCCTATTGGCATCCAGCGACCCGCGCGCCAATTCAAATTCCAAGCGAGACACGTTGCGGTGGCCCCGCGTCTTCTCCGACAGTTCCTCGAGCAGCGCCGTGAACTCCTGTTCATCAAGCTTGCCCGAGCCGTCGACGTCCGCTGCCGCAAACAAAGCGTCGACGTCGACGTCGTCGTCCACAGCGAGTAAAACGTCGCCGACGCGTTTCGACCGCGCATTTCGAGCTCGTCGTAAGTAGGCCGTCGAGCCCATTTCGATGATTCGAGACGCGGTACGATCAAAGGCAAAGGCCTCGTCGCGCGCGCCCTTGTGGAGATACGTCGCGTCGCCGATGAGGTCGCCATGCCCTTCATCTAGTACAGCATTCTTGTCCGCCACGAACAACCTAGATGGTTCTGCAGCAGCTCGGATGACGACGATGACGTTCGCCTCGTACAACGCGTCAATTAATGTAATAAATCTTCTTGTTCTATTTAAATCCCGCATGTCCAGCGTCGGGACTTGATCAAGAAAGATGACATCAAAAGCCCCGGCCAAGCACAGAAAATCCGAGGCGCCCGTGTTGCCACCACAGAGCTCGTCAAAGGAAAACCACGCGGCCCTTGCATTCAGGTCCGCTCGGGGCGCTTTCACCAACCTCCCAGATGCCGTTTTCAACTCGACTTTCACGATTCGAGGCGTCCTTCCGATGAGTCTTCTCTGGGCCTCGTTCCAACCTTGGTCATCGCCCTCCTGCAGATAGATATGCGCCGACTCGGACGTGTTGCCGATCGCCAAGCGGTAATCGGTCTTCGAGTCCTCTATACTATGCACAATACATCTCGCCTCCAACAAGGGTATGAAAGGTAGGAATAACTGTCGTTGTATGCCATTAGCGTACAAATCACAAGGTGCTCTGTTGGAAGTAGCCACAACAACGCCACCCGCAGCGAACAGCTCCTCAAACAGCTGCTTCATGACCAATGCATCAGCGATGTCCGTGACCTGGAACTCATCAAAGCACACGAGCCACCCCCTATCGACGATGTCGTCCGCGACTCGTCTAAGAGGTTCATTTGCCCCCTTCAGCTCATGCAAACGACGATGGACATCTAACATAAATTCATGGAAGTGCACGCGCTGCTTGCTACAAAAAATTTCGTCGAAGAACATGTCCATCAAAAAAGTTTTTCCCGTTCCCACTCCGCCATGGACGTAGACGCCTTGGGGTGCCTTTGACTGGAGGGCCTCCTTGATGACTTCCGATTCCTCTTTTTTTACAAATTTCTCCTGGGCGTAGCTGCTTCCAAAAGTGGAGACCACGGGCCCCGCCGCGCCCGACGGCCTGTTTGTATCGCCTCCTATTGCGACGCCCATGGACTGCGCGAAGGAGGCGAACTTCGTCATCAGGCCGTTTGATGATTCTTCATTGTCTGCCTTGGCTTGCCTCGGTGAGGGTGCGTAGCCCGTCTCTATAATTTCGTCGTGGAGCCGCTGCAGCGGCACGAGCGCGTTCAGCTGGTGCGAGTCGCGCTTGATCTTCCCGGCGTCGACGAGGGCGTTGTAGGCCGCGATCGGTCCCGTCGAGGCCTGGCGTAGGCTTTGCACGCAGCGGCGGCGCGCGAGGCGGAGCAGCATATCTGGTGCTTGGTGGTTTTGCTGCTGCGCGCGCGTGCCGCTTCTGTCCGTGGCTGGTGCTGCACGGTTTGCTGCTCAGCGGTTCTACGTGTGTTTGTGTTGCGGTTTAGGTAGCACGCGGGCAGGATTGCCTAGCCCTGGTTGCAAGCTTTGGCTCTGCAGCTGCAGAGAGCTGGTCCTGCATACGCGCCGCACCGCTGCAGCTACGAGCTGCCGAGTTGGGAACGTCGTAAGGACTCGAAACACAGCTCCTGGACTGAAGAGTAAGCGCAGCGCCGGCACAGGGACGGAGCGCCAGCAGTGCCACCCAGGCTTGCAACCTAGCCCTCACGCCGCCTACGCGACATCGCCGCACATAGCACGCCCGCAAGGATGCGACCCGCCGTCACCGCACTGCTATGCTGCGGCGCCGCCCTCGTCTGCGACGGCTTTACCGTCAGACGAACGATGACCATGAAGCGGCGGCTCCTCAGCGAGGGCAAGAAGAAGAAGAATAAAGCGAGGAAGGTCACATTAACAAAAGTCCCCGGCATCACGCCGCCGGAGAACGGCAAGCTCAAGGGCTGGTCGCTGGAAATGGGCGAAGCTGGCACCGTGCAATTTTGCGCCGCGACGCTCAACGAGCGCTTGTTCGTGCTGGAGCGGGACTGCGGGTGCTGCGGCTGGGAGCTCGACAAGGGCGACCTTCGCGGAAGCGCGGCGGCTGATCCCGCGGTGGCCTGTTGTTTGTGCGGCCAGACGTACAATCTTGTAAGTGGCGAGCCGGGAGGAGTTGTGGAAAGAAAGGGAGTGAGCGGCTGGGTCGGTGGGTTGGCGCGGGGCGCGCCGACCACGAATAAAGCAAGAACGCAGTTCGCGGTGCGCGCGGACGTCAAGGACGGCGACGTGTATTTGGATCTTGGGTCACCCGTCTTTGCAAAGGCGACGAAGCCGTCGTCGTCGTCGCTGATGCAGGGGGACTAATTGAGTAGAATGTGACTGTCTGGTGCCACGGGGGGTTCAGCCGCGGTGCATTTGAGGGGGTACCGTCCCCGGGGCGCGGCTTCCATGGCTCCCACGCGTCTAGGAACGCGCGAGCTAGCGGTGTAAGACACTAGCAAGCAAGGTGCAGACTTTGCAGCGCTACAGCAGCGCGGTCTGTGATTACCTGCGCCAGAACTCGGCCGAGACGAGTAATTTGTCGTATAGAGGCGCTACAAAGCGAAAGAACACGCGGTCGCAGCGCTTGAGGGCTCAAAGAGCACGCCACTGCAACCGAGTGCTGCACAAGCGCTCGCAGAATCGACGAGTGCAGACTCACAGGACAAGCCTGCAATATAAGCGCTCGCGCATCGATCGACGAGTGCAAAGTCAGACACCATGCGCCTCGCCCTCCTCACCGCGACGGCAATCACAGCACTCACCCCGAAAGGCGCCCGATTGGCGGGAGTCAAGTCCCGAGGAGGACAACGAAGCAAGCAGCGCCAGCGACCCAGAGCGCCGCCACCACCACCACCACCGCAAGACCCTACGCCAAAAGTAATAGGCGTTTTAGATTTTGAGTGCACCTGCGAAGAGAACACGTGGTCCTATTTGCACGAGGTCATCGAGTTTCCGGTCGTATTGGTGGACACTTCTACGAAACAGATCGTCGATACCTTCCATCGCTATGTAAGACCAACAGAAAACGCAACCCTCACGGACTTCTGCAAGGGTCTGACGGGCATCGACCAAGCTTTAGTTGATGATGCGGAACCCATCGATACCGTATTACATGAGTTAGATGCGTGGCTGCGCTCCAAAGATTTGGTGGAGGGCGGGGGCGCGACGCACGACTTTACAAAATTTGCGTTCGCGACCGATGGCTGGGACCTCGACCATTTTTTGGACGTGGAATGTAGAAGGAAGGGTTTGTACAAGCCCGGGGCCTACTTGGACCGGTGGGTGGACCTCGAGAAAGTCTTCAAGGCGAAACGTGCGAATGCCGATGATAGGAACGGCCGGAAGAAGCCTCGGTCTTCGAGACGGGCGAATTTGCTGGCGATGCTGCGCCACCACAAGCTCCAGTTCGAAGGTAGATTGCACTGCGGCGCCGACGACGCGCGGAATTTGGCGCGCGTGGCGCTGGCATTGCTCGAGGCCGACGAGGACCCGCTCCGCGTGAACGACGCGCTCGCGGGCGTCGACGTCGCTGATCACGACGACGAAGCGCCGTCATAATGTGGAAGTCTATGCGTGGACTCTTATGGGGTTTTCTAGACGCGGCCGCGGTCGGGCGCGGGTCCCGGCTCTTCCGAGCGGCGCCGGCGAGTGGTCCTGACCATCCCACGACGCCGTCGCCGCGTCCACTACGGATCCAGGGCGATGTTGCCGAGGCTAGAGGGATTCCCGTGAGAGAGGCTGCCCTTTGCAGCGGCCACCGGAGAAGCGCCTTTGTACACGCCCAGAGGCCCTGCCCGCTCGCCAGGAGCAAGCGAGGAGCAAGCCATCGAAACGCACGCCAGCGACCCAAAGGCAGCCCTTACGAGCACTGCACGCCGGCGACCAAAAGGCAACCAAGCACCACACACGATGGCCACCTCCCTCAAGATCTCCGACGAGCCCCTCTTCACGGCCGACGACCCGCGCTTCCGGGAAGAGATGATCTGGCAGTACAGCGCGAACTGCGCCCAGGCCAAGGTCAATAAGTCGGGCTGGGCGACGAAGAAGACGCACAACCCGATTGAATGGACCGAGGCCGCGCCGGCGCCGCGGCAGCTGGAGCGCGTCGCCGAGGCCGAGGCGCGCGCCGAGGCGGATAGAAGGAAGCGCGTCGCGGCGATGGTCCAGCTCGCCGAGGATTCTTTGGCGGAGCAGCGGCTAGCCGACGGCATTGTGGAGGAGGCATCGGTCGAAGAAGAGGGGGTGGAAGAGGAGGTTATTACCCCAGCGAAGCCGGAGATCGTGCAGGGCTCGTCCGAATTGCTGCCGCCCGACGTCTGGGCGCCGCCTCAACCAGAGTTGACGGAGGAGGACGAGGAGCCGGCCAAGGAGCCTCCTGTAAAACCGGACGAGGACGCGCGGGGCATCATCGGGTTGTGGTTCGAGGGCAACGTCCGCGCGCGCGCGTACCGGAAGATGGGCCGGGCGTAAGTAATCATCCTAGGCTTCTTTTCTGTGGCACGCCCCTGCGACGAGATCCGCGGCGATGGCCTACATGGGAGAGCAGCCTGCGTGGACGTCTATAGGAACGCCGGAGTCTTCTGCCCCCCTAGCCGCGCGTGCACTACTGAGAAAAACCGCTTCGACGGCGGCGACGGCGTGGAGGAGGCGTCGAACGCCGTCGCCGGGGTCGAAGCGAGAGAGCGACACGCGGCCGGGGCGCTTTTCACGGCCCGGTAGCTTCTAGTTAGGCCATTGCTCTCCGCAGCGCGGCTTGTGCGGGAGTCTCTATAGGCTCGTCCGGCGCCACTAATAGCGCATCGCATCCAAGCAGCCCCTCGTAGTACCGTAGCGTGAGCACCGGCGGCAATCTAACAAAAAAGGGCAGCCCAGCGGCGGGAGAAACCGACCATGGCCACTTCCCTCAAAATAGCCGACGAGCCCCTCTTCACGGCCGACGACCCGCGCTTCAAGGAGGAGCTCATCGCGCAGTACAACGCGAATTGTATTCAAGCGAAGAAGAACAAGGGCGCCTGGGCCGAGGCGCGGCCGCCGCCCTACGCCGGAGGCGGCTCGTATAATCAAGAAGCGCCCGAGTTCTATGAAATTGGCGGCGCCTCGTCGAAGTGGAAGCTCGGCGGGGCCAGAGGCGACAACCCCGAGCCCTACACGAAGCTGCAGCTGCGCGAGTGTTATAATTATGGCAACAAGGTCAAGAGCGAGCTGCTCGCCAAGAATAGAAAATGTGAGGGCGTCTTCCCCCTCAAGGTGCCCGTGTCGGCGCAGAAAAGGGCCTTGTTCGGCATCCAGAAGCGCAAGCAGTTCGAGGGCAAGACGGCGCAGCGCGAGGTCGGCGCCTGGCACGCGAACGACAACGGCATCTGGATGTACCGCGAGAACATGGAGACGTCGGCGAAGAACAAGGCGGGCTGGAAGTCCGACCAGGGGTCCCCCATCCACTGGACCGACGAGCCCGTGGCCCAGAAGTCCATCCAGCAGGAGCAGGTCGGCAGTACGGCGCGCGAGGGCATGGAGCAGTATATTGGGAATCGCGAAGCCGCGGCGCGCAATAAGTCTGGATGGGGCAAGACGGCCGGAAGCCCGATGGCCTGGGGCCACCGCGGGCCGTCGGCGCGCCGCCAGAACGACATCATCGGCGGCTTCCAGCTCAAGACGGCGGGCTACACGGACTACTCGGCGCAGGCCGTCAACATGTACAACGAGAACCGGGCCCAGGCGGCCATCAACAAGGGCGCCTGGTCCAAGAAGAAGACGCACAACCCGCTCGACTGGACGGAGGCCAAGCCGTCCGAGCGGCAGCTCGCCTACGCCCAGCGCGACTTGGACGCGAAGGAGCGCGACCGCGCCGCGCGCGTCAAGGCCATGCGCGAGATGGCCGAGGCCTCGCTCGCCGAGAAGAGCGAGTCGGCCTCGCCCCAGAAGGAATAGGTTCGCTTCGCCCTCGTCTAAAATAGGCCTCTTACTACTACTCGCAGCCGCTCGAGTCGTCATCAAGCGAGTGGACCGCCTCGAGCGCGTCCGCGTCGAGCAGCGCGAAGAAGCAGTCCGTCGCGACGGCCTGGGCCTCGTCGGCCCGGACCAGCATCGCGTCGCAGAGGCCGCGCCGCTGCGTGCATCGGTGACCGCACACGCGCGCCTCGCCCGTCCAAAACTCAGCGACCAGCACGAAGCGCTCGCCGGTCTCGACAGGTGCGACGTGGTGCCGCTTGTGCGACGCGAAGGCCATCGCGTTTCCAGGCTGCGCGAACGACGCGCCGTGGCCTTTGACGGACCCGTCGGCTTCAACCGTTCTAAATTCCCCTCCCGAGAACGCGCCTTCGGGCGAGAGCCGCACGTCGACCGTGACGACGGAGCCGCGGTCGTAGTGCTCCTTCTCCGGCAGGCCCCCGTTCCTCGTCGACCGGTGGAGCTCGACGCAGCGGAACGTGAGCTTCCGTCGCTTCCCGTTACCGTAGAGGGCGCGTTCCGCGGCGACGGCCGCCAGGCGGAGCTTTTCTTTGACCACTGGGCAGCGCTGGCCGAACATGTCGCCTCGATGCAGGTACGTGACCGCGCTCGAATGGTCGAAATTGACCCATTGGAGCTCGTCGCTCATTTCCGCGCCTAACGCAAAGACCGCGGCGATGTCTTCGCTGTCCAATAACGACGGGATGTATTGGACGGCGCTGCTCTGAGCCGTGCTAAAGGGCATGGTGCCATGTGAGTCCGCAGAAGCCTCTGTTGCTGGCTTGTCTGGCATGTCGGATAGGTTGCAGGCATCGAGCTGCCTCGAGATGGTCGCCGCCATACTTCAAGTGCTGTTGTTGCTATCGAGCAGCGCAGAGATGCCCCAGGGATGTCGTAAACACTCGAGATCTTGCGTTCCGCCCGGCGGCTCAGGCTAGCGTGATGTAAGACACTAGCAAACAGGCAGCACGCCAAAGGCCTGCACTGCTCTAATTATCAGTCTCGCTTGCGAAACCACTAATTTTGACGTCTACGAGTCGCCACTGCTGCGAAACCGAGCCGTGCGCAGCGATGGCCGCGATGCAGCAGCAGCCGCTCTCAAAGACCACCGATGGTCGTCCGCCGCTCTCGACGCTCCGAGTGGACAAATCGTTAGAGGGCAAGGCTGTCATTATCACCGGAGGCACGAGTGGCCTGGGCAGGTGCATTGCTATCGCCTGCGCCCGAGCGGGCGCGCGAGGCATTCTCGTCACGGGGAGGAATGCCACGCGTGGCGGGGAGACCTTGGACACTATCGCACGCGAAGTAGTAGCCGCTCATGGTCCATCGGGAGTCCCGTCGTGTGAGATCTGCGCGCGGGCCTTCGTAGCCGTCGATCTCGCGGACGGCGAGGCGGCGGCAAAGAAAATCATGGATGCAGCCGTCGCAGAGTTCGGCTCGGTCGACCTCCTCGTCAACTCGGCGGCGGCGTGCTTCCCGCGCGGCGACCTCGAGACCACGACTCCAGAATTGTGGGACGAGATGATGGCGACTAATGTCAAGGCGCCGTCTAGACCAGCGCGCAAAAATCACGCGCCATCGACGCGACGTCAGCGAACCCGACTCACCGCTTGATTCGCGCACAGGTTTCTGCTCACGCAAGCGCTCGCGCGCCACCTGAAGCAGCGGCGGGCGCGCGGCGCCGTCGTTAACATCGGTTCTTGTGCCGCTCATGGCGGCGCGCCCTTTATCCTCGCCTATTCGTGTTCGAAGGCAGCTCTCGCTTGTTTTACGAAAAACACGGCCGCAGAGTTGAGACCGCATGGGATTCGCGTCAACCAGGTCAATATGGGATGGTGCCTGACAGACGCGGAGGACCGCGGCCAGAGCGCGACGAACCGCTTCTGGTTGGCCGAGGCCGACGCGGCGTCGCCGTCGGGGCGCATATTGCGGCCCGAGGACACGGCCGCGTCCGTCGTCCACCTGCTCAGCGAGAGCGCCTCCATGGTGACCGGCGCGATCCTCGACATCTCGCCGGACATGCTGCCGGGGATCATGTCGGGAGAGACCTGTTGTTGAGTGCGCTAGGCCTGTAAGACACTAGCAAGCAAGCAAGCAAGTCTCCAATTTGCAAGCGGCTGGTGGCGCGCACAAATCGATTCAGCACGACGCGACGCTTTTTTCCGAGCGCAGGAGTGGCGCATCTGTGCTAGGTGACGTCTCATGCATCGATGCTTCATTCATTTGGCAGCACTCACAGTGCCTGCATACTGGAGGGCGCTGGCGCTTGCGCCAGCAGCAAGCACCTGGGAGCTCGACCGCAGCCTCCGATTGCTCAGCAATGTGAAACGTAAGACGAGCGGTAAACGACCTCTCGACCTGCTCGAGGATTTGTACGACCGCGAGTCCGGTCTGACAGGCGAAGGCGTCTGGCATAACGCACATTTCGGCGCGGCGCACCTACTGGCGGCGCGGCGTATGGGTAACGGCCCGGTTGGCAAGGCTATTGCGGAGGAGTTGAGGTCATCAGCAAAACGTCTCGGTGACTCGCTCTACGACCTTAACTACGACGATGGATTCCGGCTGCGCACGGCCTCGGACATCTGGAAAACGCCGGATGCGGCGGTCGAAAGCGGTGGCGAGCGGCCTGGTTTCTACGAGCCCTCGCGAGATCGCCGCTGCGTCTCAAATGCGGCCGCGGTCATCTTCTACTCGTTGCTGAACGAGGACGCAGACGACGACAGGATAGGAGAGATGGGGGAGACATTCCTAGATCTATTCTTCGACGAAAAGCTCGGCCGCTTCCGCCGCGGCGCCGTCGCCGACGGCCAGGAGTATTGGCGTTCCGTCGACCAAGCCATGGCGATCCTCGCGTGCAGGCGGCTCGGAGGCGACCGCGCCGCAGCTGCGGCGGCGGCGGCCGCGACTGCGCTCCGCGACGACTTCGGCTACCGAAGTGGTGAGCGGCCGATCAACCATCTAGGTCCGTTCCCGGGCACGCGGCGACGCAACTCGTGGCACGACGCGTTTGCGATCTACGCGCTGGCCCTCGACGGCGACGTAAGTGACCTTGTGGATATGATGCGCGCGGCGTACGAGTCTGCGGACAACGGACTATTAGCGCACCAGGCGCGCGACGCGGGAACGTCACCATATCTCGGCGACGGGTCGGCGGTGCACTTCTCGTGCACGCAGGCCGTGTGGGGCGCAGTCGGTCGGGCAACGCGTGGCGAAGGATTCGAGACGCACGACGCCGCGTGGCGACGCTTCGATGCGGCCACGTCGCGCGACGGCCTCTTCGTCGTGGCCGACGCCTACCCAAACGTCAGGCTGTGGTGCAATACCGAGCCGGCGTTCTGGCTCCTCGTCGAGCCAGATATCTTTGCGAGTAACTCGTTGAGCTAGCACATTATCTACTGAAGTACTTACTTCATCTTGATGGTCGGCAAGCCGTACAGCGCGGGGCAGAGGGAGACTCGCGATTTCAACCGCTTCGGCGCCTCCTCGTCGACCTCCTCGCCCGGCAGCGCGTCCGCCGCGCCGAAGCGCTGGAGCGCCTCGGCGATTGTCAGGCCGCCCTCGCCGATACCGGCCAGGACCTCGTCGAGCAACAACCGATTCGCGTGGAACGAGGTGGCCCACTGGTTCATCAAGACTGAGCCCGCTCCAGCTAAACAATACAGGGCAGCGGTCTCGAGCGGTCCCTCGAGTAAAAAGTCGGTCTTTGTCTTGGCCGAAGCCTGCTTCGACCGCCGCCGCTGGGTCAAATCCGAATCGGCCCGATCGACGATCAGCGCCATGCGTACGCCCTCGCACGACAGCGTCGCGAGCGTGGCTGCCGGCGGGCCCGCCCTACCAGGACCGTAGAAGACGTAGCCTCCCGATTTTCGAGATTGCAACAGCTCCTGGACCTCGTCGTCCTTGGCAATATGATCATCCCCGGCGACGCCTTCGCTGTAGCCCCCCATGTGTTTCGGGTTCTCGCGATAGCGCGCGAAGTTCTCCAGCACCGTCGGCCGCGGCTTGTCCGTGCAAGACGAGCCCGTATCCTCGCGCCGCGGGTCCACCACAAAAGCCGTGTCCCCGGCCTCGCAGACGGCGGCGTCGGCGCGCCTTCCGAATAACGCGTGTATCGAGAAGTCGCGCGCCACGCCGAGGTGCGTGTCCCGGATCTCCTTGCACGCCTCGACCGGTAATGAATGGAGAATAGGATCCAGCAGCAACACCAGCCCCGCCGGCTCGCCCTGTAATGCTCTTAATGCCCCGCTCATCTGGCGCGTCGCGAAGAGCGGCGCGAGCCATTTCTGCGTCCGTGCCAAGAAGGACTCCATGTCCGTGTCGAGCGCGTCTTTGTTTTCATCAGTATTCGGCTCGGCGTTCTCCTCGTCGCCCGGCGTCGCGCCTCCCACGAAGTCGCCCTCGGGGCCCGCGTCGTCGGCGTAGCGCATCAACTGCCGCTCGGCGGTCTTGCGCCACTGCGCCGTCGCCTTCGTCAGGTCGTCGAGCTCGGACTGCGCCTCGGTCGTCAGCTGCACGCGCGACACGGCGGCCCGCGCCTCCGCGGGCCCGCCGTCGCCGCATCGAACCAAAGCCGCGTACAGCACGTCTTTGTCGGGCGAAAGCGTGATCGAGAGCACGTAGAGAGGCTGCGCGCCGCAACTTACGAGGCACTCGTGCACGGACGGCTGGCTCCCGAGATCCAGGCGCCGCCACGCGCCGCTCTGCGCCGCGAGGTGGCGCCGCGCCGCCGCCGCCGCCGGGTACTCGTGGGGCCGCGCCAGGATCAATGAAGGCGGTGCACCAGCGACGAGCGCTCCGCCGTTCAGCCAGGGCACGACGCCGCAGGCGCGCCCCGCGTCGCAGGCCGCGCCCGGCGCCGTCGACGGCGCCAGTTCCAGGTCGCCGCCTCCCAGCGCGTCGTCGCAGGCGCCCAGCCCGAACCCGCCGTCGTCGCTGCCCTGGTCCGCGCCGCAGCCCCAGAGCCCGCCGCACCGTGCGAGCAACCGCGCGAGGCCCGCCTGGCGGCTCACACCCCGTCTCCCCAGCGCCTTGCGGTAGACGCCGGCCAGGAACCGTCGCGACGTGCACGACTGCGAGAGCAATAACGCGCACGCACAATCTAGGGGTCGCGCCACGCCGTACGTCTCCGCCAGCGCGCAGCTCGCCCGCCCGACGTCGTCGAAGCGACCCCGCTTCAGACCGAACGCGACGGCATTTGATAGTGCCGCGATGCCCGCCCGGCGCGCGGCCTCGGCCGCGGCGTCCGGTGTTGAAGGTTCCGCCGGCTCAGTTCCAGCCACGTCGGCCCGGGCCTGCGCGACCGCGGCCGCGATCTCGGCGTCGGCCGCGTCGTTCGCCTCGAGGTCACTACGAGCGCCGTCGACGGCGTGCGCTTCGTCGAGCTCCGTCAAAGCACCACTAGCGTTGGAAGAGACCGCCTCCTTGAAGCAGGGCAGCTGCGGCGTCGTGGCAATGGGCGCGGCGACGTAGTCGCCGTGTTTTGTTTCCTTCGGCGCCTCCTCGTCCACCTCCTCGCCCTCGACGACTTCCTTTTCAATGACAATGGGCAAACCGACGTGGGCGTCGTCCCAGGCCTCGTCGAAGCGCCCCAGGAACCCGGCGCGTAAGGCGAAGGCCTCGCCGAGTACTGCAAGAGACGCGACACCACCACTAGGACAGCTCCTTCCACATAACTCAGCAGCGCCACACGCTAAAGCGACGGCCCGCTCCAGCTGCGGCGCTTCCAACCGATCCGCGGCCTCGCTCGCGTCGGGCGTCTTCGTCTCGGCCAGCCACGTGTCGACGCAGGAGCCCCCGCTCGACGCGACTTGCGCCGCGGCCAGCGTCTGCGAGAGGTGCTCGCCCTTAGCTTTGGCGAGCTCGAGACGCGCCCTTGCTACAGCGACGGATAATGAAGCACAGCGACGGGCGATCGGCGGCGATATCAACCGAGACGTCTGCGTATCATTTGACGGCCAGCTCGCCGCGTAGAGTTGGGACGCGCCCTTCAAGCCGCGCTCCATGGTCTCTAGAGCTTCATCTCCACTCTGCAATCTCGCTAAGAAACCAATTGCGTCGAGATAGAGCGGGTGCGGCTCCGCACCTCCAGATACACCGTCGAAGGCATGCAAGACGCGGTGTATTCTCGCAACGGCGTCCTTCGACGCTTCCTGCTTCTCGTGGGCTTCCGCCGCGTCCAACCGAGCTAGTAACAACTCGAGCTGCGCCCAGCAGACCGTGCTATCTAACGGACTATCTTCTTTCGTACAGGCACTGCGCACCAAAGCCGTTATTTTCACAAGCAAGGCCTTCGCCGCTTTCTTATTACCATCACAAAGATGGTACTTGACGCAATGTAAACAAGTCCTAGTCCAGGTCCTCAGGTCGCCCGTTTTCCCAACGGCGTGCTGCGCCGCCATCACCAGCATCACAGCTTCCTTGAACTCGCCTTTTTGATACGCTATGTGTGCGGCAACTTCCGCACACCGCCCGGCCCCCTTCCGATCGTCGAACGCGTCGTTGTGCTTGTACGCGCCCGCTAGGTACGTCGCGGCGGCCGCGGGCTGCTCTAGACTTACACATTCCGAGGCAATGGCGCACCAGATATGTCTTGTTTCCAATCCTCTCACTTTCCACTCGGTAGCCTCCGGCTTCTTGACCGGTTCCGTCGTCTTGCGCTGCTCGAGCAGTCTTTCGACGTCGGTCGCGTCGGGGGCCTCGGCTTCGTTCTTCGATGTTAAGCCCAGGCCACCCAACGCTCGGAGCTGCTTCAAAGCTGCTTGTGTGGCTCCCAACTCCAGCAGCAATCGAGCGCGTCTACAACCACCTAACACGGCCAAGGCCGGTGTTGATTCGTGGGTCGTCGCGAGGTAACCAACTAATTGTAAACACACGGTGGGTGCTAACGCTTGGGCCGTGTAGCCCAGGTCGCACAGGCCGTCACTCAGAGCACAGAGGTGGTGGGCCGTGAGGGGCACTTTGTGGCATGTCTTTTGAGACAAAACGTTTCTAGCTTGGCGCTTCTGGTGCTGCGCCCGGCGGCAGTGGTCGAGGAGGTCACTTGATATCTCGAGAGAGGCCCAATCACATAACGACTCGACACCAGAAAACTTGGGCCCCTCCGGCATTGCATACTCTTCGCCGGCCTTCCGCGCGGCCCGCGCCGCGTCTTTATGTTCCTTGTGCGCGACGGAGTTCGCGCTTCGGACATGGAGGTTATATAACGAAGTGGCGTAGTGGGCTCCTAATAACAAGTACCTCCTTCGATCGTTGAAATTTGTGGCGAGCTCGCCGAGCATCGCGAGCGCCCTTACGAGTAACTCGTAGTGCGTCGCGCCCAGATGCTTCGGGGCGCCGGGCATACGATTAACACCACCAGCGGAGGACCCGGAGTGCACGCTCGTGCCGCTCCGCGACGTCTTTGATCGCTGCGAGTGGCCGGTGCCCGGACGACTCGACTGTGACGCGCGCGTCGTCGTCTTTCGGGTCGTCGTGCCGGAGATGTGGGAGCCGTACTGCGATCCTGTTTGTGTCCCATGTGACAGTGGGGGCGCAGTTCCCTCGACCTCCAGCAGCAAATCGACAGCAGTCTCCAATGATGTTTGAGCGTCGTTTTTTGATGCTCTTTGCGCCACGAGCCACTCCGCCAGCTCTACCAAGTATTCGACCCGTTCGAATCGACCATTCACACAGTCCAAACATTTTTGATAGGCTGATAGTTGCTGCACGGGGTTCGCCGCCGTCCGCGCCAGCGTCGCCCAGACGTTGGCCTTGGCCGCGGCGTCGCCCTCGACTTTGAGGCCCGCGCCCGAGCTTCTTCCTAACCGAGACAGGAACTTGACTCTCCCTTCCAGCATGACCCTCCTCAAAACTTTTTCTGCGGGCTTCGAGTCGTCCTCACCTGTCTCCCTCGCGTTCAGATCTTTCAAAGCTCGATCGACGTAGGATAGGCCCGCCTGGAAGTGGCCGTCGTCCGTGAAGCACTCCAGGAGCAAGCCTAGGAGGTTCGCCTCGACCTGCAACGAAGCCGCTGTGACGATGCCCGATTCCCTCATACAAGCCAAGATACATCTAAGAGACGATCGCGCCAACCTTCTAGAAACACTCGAACCAGATAAGTGAAGCGAGCAGTTCCACATCGCTTCCGCGCTCCGCACCACCAATTCGGGATAGCTTTGAGCAGCAACGGCGTGGCGCGCGGCGCGCACGAAATGAGATAATGCAGCAGCATACAGGTTGTCCTGGGTGGACTTGTCCTGGCCCGGCGCCACCTGTTCTTGGATGGCACCGCCCCGGGCCAGCTCCGCCACGGAACCCCAGCGCCACGCTTTACTCGGCGTGTTGGCTGCGTCGAAAGGAGTTTCTTGTGTAGCATCTGCCTTGACGCACCGTGACTCGGACTCGTCGTGTGCTTTAATATCATCTTTCGTGGCGGCGGGTCTCGGGGGCGGCGGGAGGAGCGCGATGGCATTTGCGACATTACGATGCACCTCATCGGTATGATCAAGTCTTAAAGCTTGCTCCGCGATGCGCGCGAATAATTCTACTCTGAGTATCAACGCGTCGGCGTCCTGCTCCCGAGAAGCGTCGCCCAGGGCCAACCGACACAGGTCGTGGTCTGAGGGAGGGCAGGCCTGCCGTTCCGCGGCCTTTCTCGCCTTGTCCGCGGCGCTCCTTCTCGTAGCAGCGGCCTTGGCGTCCTTCTTTAAAGATTCTTCGAGCAATTCGCGGGCCCCGCCCAGGCCCGTTACATCATCACCCTTCGCGAGTCGACTTAACTTCTCGAGGCGCGTTAGCACATCAAAGAAGCAGGCCGCCCTTTCCGCAGTTAAGGCTAAATCATCCACACCAGTACGCTCAATCCTCTCCGTGTTTGCTCTAGGCGACGAAGGCGCGCCTTGCGACGGTGGTGAAGGCGCCGCGTCCTTGAGCAAAGCATGGAGCTCGACCAAATTCTTGACGATCAAGGGTGATTCCAGACCGTAGGCCGACGCCGCTTGGGCGCATAAAGAAGCAGCGGGGTCCTTCTTCCCTTGTTGTACATAGCACCGCGCGATGAGTTCGGAAAGCTGCGCGCCGAGCAGCGCATCCTTACTACCAATACGCTCCAGGACCTCCCGACCCTGCTCCAGCGCGCCGACGACCTCCTCGAGTAGACAGTCGTACTGCTTCGATTGGAGGATGTGCATGTGCAGGTTCCACAATCGCGCGACACCGTTCCGACACAAAGAATCAATACCCAGCCGCTCCGCGCGCTTGATGCCACCGATCAGCGCACCCAGCACCAATCGCTTCAACGCGTTTAATCTTTGCGGCGCCTCTCGGTGCACGACGGATACCTTCTTTTTTACGGGGGCGTCGTCCTCGTCCTCGTCCTCCTCTTCATCATCGTCGTCCTCGTCGTCCTCCTCGTCTTCGTCAGTTTTGAGAGCGTCCACTTTGTTGGCATCTACACCAAGCGCGAGCCACGCCGGCGGCGCTTGCGCTGTTTTATCATCTGCCGCGTGGCGCGCCGTCGCTGTAGCCACTTCTGTGAGCTCATCAACGTAGCTCTCAGCTAACGCGTATTGGGCCTCGACCTGCTGGATGACGTACAACCGATGCGTGTCCAGGGGCCAGGCGTCCCTCAAAACCAACGCAGCAGCCTGCTGACATAACTCGCGAGAGGTGGCGCGATGCTTCTCCCACGCGATTTGTAGGAGCTGCGCCCACAAGGCAGCCCTTTTCATCTTGTTCTCACCCGGTGTTTGTGAAGGCTCTTCCGTCGAACCGTCGGCCTCGGCGGACGCGTATGACAAGGCGCTCCTCGGCGCGCCCCAGGCCGGTCCCGGGACCTCCTCGCCCTCGACATCTACCATCTCACTAGAGTCGTTCGCGAGCTCCGCGAAGGCGGCGGCCCAGCCTACGACGGGGGGAGGCGGTTCCGTAGACGAATCCTCGGCGCTCAGCAGCAGGTCGGCGACCTGGCTGAGCATCCTCCTCTGTAGTCTAGGGTCGTGCGCATCCAACGCGTGGTCCATCAGTAACATAGCTTTATCTTCAATAGTGTCGGGCTCCTTGTAGATGTTGCTCCTCAGCTCCAAGCGGTGCCCGAGCGGCGCGACGAACCGATCTAGAGGCCTCAGTTGATAATGCGCTTCGCGCGACGGATCGGCGTCGGCCACCTGGACCTCGTCCGGCTCGTCCGCTTCCTCGGTCGGGTCGCCCTCCTCCCAGGCCTCCTCCGGGAGCTTCTTCTGCACCAGCTCGTCGTCGATGGCGCCGTAGTCCGTGCCCAGGCTCTTCTCGACCTCCGCGGCGGCCTTGGCGATGTAATCCATGGCTAATTCGCAGCGCGCCACCTCGAAGTGGAGCTTCGACCTTAGTTCAACTAATGGAGACTGGTACGTTTCGAGTAGGGACGAAGCCAGCGAGAACGTGCGGTGCACGTGCTTTCGTAGATGCGGTTCCAGCAGCGGCAGCCCGATGTTCCACGCGGCGACGCAGCCCTCTTCGATGACGTCTGCCGCATCCAGTCTTTTTGCAGCTAACAATGTCCTATCTAGGAGCTTCAGGGCCTCGACCCTTCTCGCTAGTCTCGCCGCATCCACTTCTCTCCCGCGCAGCTTCTCCCTTCTCGCAGCTTCGAGCTTGCGATCCGCGGCCTCCGCGGCTTCCCTCTGCGCGGCTGTGGCGTCCTCCTTGAGAGGTTTGCGCTTCTCGCCGCCAGATTTCACGGAAGCTAGAGGTACGCACGCCTGGTCGTCGAGTTCTCTAGCTGTCAATAAACATTTGAGCAAATCCAGCTTCATGCGCGCGTGGGGCGGCGCGTCCTTGGCGTGGCCTGCTCGTAACGCGCATCGGCGCGCCAAGGCTACGCATTCGCTCTTCGAGAAGTCGGCGCCCTCGTCGCTAAAGTCCGCGACGCGCAACGCGCAGCGGCCGGCGTCGGCGACGCCCTCGGCGGCTTCCGTGGCCAAAGTGGCCTTTTCTGGTTCTTCCTCCTCCTCGTTGTCCGAAGGTACAGGTGTACTACCAGGAGCCTCGACGCCGAGCTCGCCTAGGATTGTGACCAACGATGCCAACGAATCTTTGGGCGACGCCGTGCCTAGAGCCGACTTCACGCCCTGAATGTCCACCAATGATTTCGCGCGCATGTCACCGTCGACGTCCGACTTCACGTCGACCCCCACGTGAACGCAGTGCACTAACACGTCCTCCAATTTCGTCCGCTCGACCTTCGTCACTTCCATGGCTTTGGTCTGGCGCACCTCGGCGTCGCTCCGCGCTTGTTCCGCTCTGAGGACCGCGGCGTCGGCTTTCGCGAGCGCGTTCTCGCGCTTCGCCTTGCGCGCGTCCTCGAGGTCGGACTTGCGCTTCTCGCGCGCTTCGTACTCGGCCATACTGTCGCGCTGCGCCGTATCTAGGGTGGCCTCCGTCGCCGTCGTCGCGTCGTCCTCCGGGACGTCGCCCGGCGCGGGCGCGGGCGCGGGCGCGTCCTCTACCACTACTTCGTCCTCGTCCTCGTTGTCCAGCGCGAGTCTCTCATTTTTAGCCGCTTCTAGAGCTTGGGAGGCCTCTTCTAACGAAGTGGTCGACGCGTCGACTTCCTCCTGGGCTATCGTACATCGTCGTTGCGCGAGTTCCTTCGCCTTCGTGAGGCACTGCCCCGCGAGGGATGCCTCCTCGGCGTCGTCGTAGCACAGCCCCAATGCTCTTTGATACCTTACTCTTAAGTCCAGATCCTTTTGGTCGTCGACCTCCTCCAACGCATCACATAAAGTCTGCAGCGGCATGACGGCGTAGCGCGCCGCGCCGTCCCTTAGTAGAGGATAAATAATGTCCCATAATACAACAGCAGCATTGTAGACCAGAAAGTCGTACCTCGGTCTGTTTAACTCGTCGGTGGCAATTTTCAATGCATCTAACACATAACCCCACGCGAGGCGCCTCCTTCTGACGCCGTCGGCGCCTTGTAGAGGTTTCGCATTGTTACACTCGACCTGGGCCTGCACGAACTTCGCGCGACACAAAAACTGATCCTGGGACCCTTGAGAAGTCGCGCAGTCGTCCACAAAAAATTCCTCGGCGCAGTCTCTAGCATCATCAAAGAGCCCGTTCTTCGCGCAGCATTCTGCTGCTAATACTAATAACTCGCCGGAGTTGAGGCCGAAGTTGCTCGTGTGCCCCGACTTTAACATGGCCTGCTCCCTTGCTTTTTGGAGCTTCGCCCACGTCGTCCTACATAGCTCCGCGGCCTTCTGGCGCTGTTCCCGCCTGACGATCGGATCCAAGTTCCGCGAGTTGTCTACCAGTCCTTCCGACTCGGCGAAGTCGTGGCGCAGCGTGCGGTGGAGCATCCTGGCCGCTTACGAGTGGTCTGGAGCTGTCCGCTGCCCAAGGCTTTTTGTTTGTGTGCCCTGGTGCGGTGCGGGCAGCTGCAGGTTCGTGCGCCTACACTCGTTCGCCCGACGGTGGAGCACCACTGATGCCTGGTACCGGTGCGGAGCACCTGGCCGGTGGGCAGCCACCAATTGGTCGCGCGCTGCACGATTTTGGGCTGCCCCCGAGCCTAGTGAGTTTTCTGCCAGATTCGAGGAGCACCACTGCATCTTTCGGCCGGCGACAGCCTGGCAGGCCCCAGGCACGCGTCTGGTCCGGCGCTTGTTAACCCGCACTTTGGCCTAACTCGTGAGCAGCATCACATTACTCGCAGTAAATTCACCAGCTGCATAACGTCCAAACGCTGGAGTGGAAGCGGACAAGAGGGTAGGAAGCGGTGGGGTAGTTGCAATTTAAAACTGCTGCGCATTGGCAACCATTTTTGCAGCAGCAGCACCAGAGGCAACATGCTGGGAGCACGTGTTCTTCGCGCAGTAATCGCTGGCCTGCTCACCAGCACCGCCACCGGCCTCATCGCGCCGCGCAGCAGTGCGACACAGCCTTTGGGTGCAAACCGTTTGCCAGTTCGCCACGCGCACGACGACGCTGCAGCCGCTGCTCTTGATTCGTTCGACGACCTGGCGTCGCTGGAGCGGCGGCTCGCGGCGTTGGACGATGGAGTGGTGCCGAAACTGCGGGGCTTCTTCGACACGGAGCTCAAGTCGTTCGCGCTGGAGCCCGGCGTGACGCGCAATTACTCCGTGACGAGCAGCGCCATCTGCATTGGTGCTTTATTGGACGCCGACGCGCTGGACGAATTTCCAGCGGTGACGAAAGCATTAGCGGAGGCGCCCTGGCGGACCGACGACCTGCTGCAGGCGCCGCTGGTGGTCTCGGCTCTGGCGCGCGCCGCAGTGGGACCGCCGTGCACGGACCGATTGGCGGGCGCCGTCGAGGCGCTGCTGGCCTGCCGGCCGCACCTTCGCGACTGGAGGCGGCAGAAGCTGTCGAGCTACCTGACGTACTGGCTCACGCGGGCGCTGCTCGACGTCGCCGACGCGGATTTAGTGGAATTCCTTGGCATCGATTCAATGGCCATGGCGTTCGCGCTGAAAAGATCGTTTCAGGTGGCACGGGACGAACTCTGCCGCCAGCTGGCCTACGACTCGATGGGCGAGCCGGCCGACGCGACACGCGTCGCGTATTCGCTCGCGACGTACGCGTCCGTGGGCGCCGCTAGGGATCAAATCAATGCGTTCGCGACGCGCGACGAAGTCCGCTGCGACGGCGATGGAGATAGAGACGGCATCGAGGCGCCGAACCTCAAGCTCTGCGCGCGCGCGCTCGACGTCTTCTTCGGGGCGCAGCGCGAGGACCAGTGCATAAATCAAATTGTCGCGACGCTTTCCACAGGTTGATTTACGCACAGGCGACGACGGAACATGGGCTCCGGGCCAAAAAATATTCGTGCGGTCGCGACGGTCCTTCGTACGACATGGCGTCCAGTGAGGGGCCTTCTCCATGCAACATTCGTCGACGCGACGCGCGGTCGTGCACACAGGACGTTGGCAACGCTTTCGTTTTCAGCCCCGACGCGCTCGCGACGGTTTTGGCGCTGCCGCTGCCGCGCGCGGCGTTCCGGCCGCACGTGGCGAAGATCGAGCGGACCTGCGCCTGGCTCGAGCGGCAGGACCGCGGCGGCGGCGGCTGGCGGAGCGACCACCTCGAGGAGGGCTCGGGCGCGCCGCTCGCGTGGTCGACGGCGCAGGCGCTCCAGTGCGCGGGTGCCGCGTCCAAGGTCGTGGGAGACCTGCTGAACAAAAGGATCCTCGCGGAGTTCGGCGGGCGCGAGGGCAAGGCCCCCGACGCGACGGTGTTCGAAGGGCTCTTGGATTCGGACATGGCATGTTGTCTGTGTCTTCAAGGTCCTTCGACGCCGTTGACGCGCGGCCGACACTCACTCGTCGGTGTCCATACAGGCGAGCGACTCGCTCAAGGACATTTTACGGTCTCGCATCATCGAACCACGTACGCAGAGCGGGTCGCTCTCGCCGACAGCCTATAGCGCGGTGTTGTTCGGTCCACCTGGCACGGCGAAAACCACGACCGCTGAAAGCGTCGCCGCGGCACTCGGCTACGGCTTCGTTGTAATCGACACGGCCGTGTTCCTCGAAGACGGTCTCGCGAACATCGCGTCGCGCATGGCCTACGTCTTCGATCGCCTGGAGCGACTGAGAGACTGTGTGATTCTCTTCGACGAAATTGAAGAGTTCTGCCTCGACAGGACGACGCCAGGCCTAGGTATGGAGTCGCGCATATTAACGACGGCGATGCTGACGCGGCTGAACGATCTGCGACGGGCGGAGCGGAGCATCTTTCTCGTCGCGACCTGTGTGGAAATCAAAATTTTACGGCACGTTCGTGCTGAATCATCGCATCATCCTCCACGCCATCGACGCGACGCCTGCTCGATGGCGAGGCGGTGCCGGTTCCTCATCGCTCGACCGAGCCAGGACGGCCGCGTTGGCACCCGACGCACTGGTTGATTTCCACACAGGTCGCGACGAACCGACTCGCGGCGTTCGATAGCGCCGTGGTAAGGCCGGGCCGCCTCGACATGCTGCTCTTCGTGGGTACGCCGAACGTCGCCGCTCGCGCGGCGCGCTTTGAGATGTCGCTGCCTGGGCCCGACGCGGCCGCGGCCGCGACGTTCCGCGAATTTCTCGAGGATACCTGGGAAAGCGACAGTCGCTTCTTGAATTATATGGAGAGCGAACGCTTCCGGGCCGCGGCGCTTGCGTCGCTCGCAGACGGTCCTCTGAAAACCGACTGCCTCCGCGCCGTCCTCAGTGACGTAGTCCGGACCTCCATCCTCCGCGACGAAAGTGCCAGAGAGGAGTACTGCGACAACGTCGCGCTTACGCGTTTGTAATCTTAGCAAGTATATACAGTCGTCACGCCCTGTTGTTTCTTTTACCCCGGTCGGTGTAGATCACAGTATCACGTAGTTACTTGCTAGAGAGAGACGAGGAGCCCGTCTACTTCCCCAGCGCCGCGACGTCCTCGAAGAGCTTGGCGTCGGAGCGGTGCTGTGAGTCGTGCAAGCACCTCCACGCCATCAAGCAATAATGCGGCGTACAAAGTCGCGTCGACGGCGTTCATTTGAAGGTAAATCAACGCTGCCACTTGCCCGCTCGCCGTCGGCCTAGTGTCAATAGAGTCGTCCCGCCGGAGCGGCGTATTGATGGAGATTCGGTGTGGGGTTTATTATATTGCAACGGTGACGGCGAGGTCGAACGCAACGAACTCGAGCGCGGCCTAAGGATAGGCCTATTTTATTGGCTCGCTTCGTTTTCCAAACATCTCCTCGCGATCCCTTCCAACGCCACACGTCGTGAACGGCCGCGAGCAACGCGGCGTCATCCATATCAACCCACTCGCAACCAACAGATTGGCAGCCTTTGACTCCGCCGTCGTGCGGCCGGGCCGCCTCGACATGCTCCTGTTCGTCGGCACGCCTAATTTGGCAGCCCGCGCGGCGCGCTTCGAGGCGTCGCTGCCCGCGCCCGACGCCGCTATCGCATCCGCGGTGTTCCGCGAATTCCTCGAGGAGACGTGGGAGAGCGACTCGCGGTTTCTCAACTTCATGGAGTCCGAGCGCTTCCGGGCCGCCGCGCTTGCGTCCATGTCGGAGAGCGGAGCCCTCTCGGCCGATCGGCTCCGCGCCATCCTCGGCGACGTCGTCCGCACATCGATCCTCCGCGACGAAAGTGCTCGAGAGGAGTACAGGGACAACGTCGCGCTCACGCGTCTGTAAATAACACAAGTCTAATTATTTCTCTCCAAAAACGCGCGCCAGTCGCCCGCCGCGTCGGCGTAGGCGTCGGGCCGCGCCCGGATTTCTGCGAGCGCGCCGGCGTCGCGCAGCACATACATCCAGGCCTCGGCGTCGTCGCCCCGAAGCCGTACGCGTCTTCTCTGATAATAAGAAGGGTGGTCCTCGAGCGCGTCCAGGCGGTCGAGCTGGTCCGTCGAGCAGACGTAGAGCTCGCCGGCGAGTGGGGTGGTGGAGAGGCCCGGCGCGTCCGCGCCGTCGACGGCGTAGGGGTAGGCGCCCGCCGACCGGAGCGCGTATTCATCAAACGTCGTCGCGGTGCCGAGAAGGCGCGCTCCCGCGAGACGGCCGGCGTTGTGCAGGCCCGTCAACAAACTCCCGTAGACAAAAACGCGGTGCAGCGGCACCTGCGCCAGCGCCCGGAGGCCGTCGTCGTCCCAGTCCACGGCGGAAAACGCGCTTCGCCGGTCGCAGAGCGCCGCGGCGACCTCCGCCGTCGTAGTCAGGCCGGCCTCCACGAGCGCCGTGCAGCGCGGCCGGATCGCGGCGGGCATCGTCCACGGCGCCGTGCGCCGCGCGTTGACCTCGACGCAGAGCGACGCCAGGTCCAGGCGCGTCGGGTTTTGGTACGGGTAGCTCCACTGGGCGACGGCGCCGCGCGCCGCGCAGCGCACGTCGATCTGATCGACGTCGTCCCAGTGGTCCCTAAGGTGGGACCGGATCGCCACGAGGTACGCCTCGGACGGCGGCGTCGTGAAGGGCAGCGTGAAGGCGTCTTCACCACTACCGCCGACGTAAGCTATGGCTTGCCTTTGGATGTAAGCACCGTCGTCGCCCCGCACCTCTATGGTTACGGTCACGTCCCGGTACGCCGGCTTCTCGAACTTGTCGAGCAGCTCCTTCTCCTTCACTGAAAGCTCGGCGACGCTGCCGAGGCAGTGCTGGTTCGGGGCCGGCGCCAGCGACGCGACGCCACCTTGGCCCCAGCGCGGGCTCCGGAGGCAGAAGACCCGCGCGTGGTCGGGCAGGCGCGCCGGCCGCAGCGTTAACGTTGGATTTGCGCAGCGCGCTCTAAGCTGCGCGACTCCGTTCGAGCCGTAGCCGAATACCAGCACCTTGGGTTGGCTCCCGGTCGTCATGGCGGCCATGGCTCGTGTGCTGCGCACCAAAGCCAGCGTAAGTAGTGCTGCGGACGCCAGCGCGGCGTCGCGTTGCTGGCGTGACGTAGGTGTTGCGTCGAACGCTGCCGCCAATGCTTGGGTGGCCTGTACAGACTTGCGCCTTAGCCGCAGAAGAGACAGTCTAGCGTATCAAACATACTAGCACTCACGGAGAGCTTGACCATTGCAGTGCGGCGTAGCACTCGTACACATTGGAACCGATTTCATCCTGGCATTCATTCGTGACTGCTGACACGCTGTGCACCGCTCAAGGCAGCCGAACCATCGCTCAGGGCAGCCCTGACATTATGAGCTGAGGGAGAACAAATCATGATGCCAGCAGTGGACAACACCTCGACAGTACCGGCCGACAAGCCTTGGGAGACGCTCGAAGCCGAAGTTCTTGACGCCTTGTCGGCCGCACGGTTGGCTCCTAGTGACGTCGCGACGAGACTCGCGACGCGTGCATCGCTATACAAAGGCAAGACCTACCAGCCGCCCGGCAACGCGCGGCCGCGCCAGACCAAGGAAGGCGCCTCGGCGGTCAAGGACGCCATCCAATGGCTCCAGAAGTGCGAGGCCGCGTGCCCGCTCGCAGAGGCCGGCGTAGGGCTGAAGCTCGCGGCCGAGGACCACGCGGTCGACGTGGGCGGAGCGGGCGTCGCGTCGCACCGCGGCGGCGACGACTCGCGGCCCGAGGACAGGGCCACGCGCTACGGGAAGTGGAAGGGAGCCGTCGGCGAGTGTATTTGGTATGGGCGCGCTACTACGGGCGCTCAGGTGGTGGAAGACCTCATTGTTGATGATGGCGTGTGGGACTGTGTGGAAATCAACCAGTGTGTCGGGTGCACCCGATAATTCTTCACAAAGTCATATCACAGCGACGGCGCGGCCGTGCTGGCTCCGTCGAGCGGTGAGGAACCGGCACCGCCACGCCATCGAGCAGGCGTCGCGTCGATGGCGTGCAGGTAGACGCGTCAGCACGAACGTGCCGTAAAATTTTGATTTTCACACAGGTGCGGGATAGGGGCCATAGACTCTGCGTCTTCGATCCGCGGTGGAAGGCGGCGGCCGTGCGGGCGGGGGCGCACGCGACCTTTGGCACTGTTGTGTGCATCGAATTCTGCGTGGGCTTCGACGACGATGAAGACGCAATCGCCGCCCGGCAAACGAACGGCCCGCCGCCGCGCGTCGCGCGGACCGACGTCGCCACACAGTGGGACATCGGGACCTGCCGCGGCTGCGCCAAGATCATCCGGGGCGGCGCCGTCGTCGAGGTTCCCAAACTCGGCAAGTATCATGAAGCCTGCTTCCTGTGCAGCGGGTGCGGCACGTCGCTCGCCGGCGACGCGCGAAAAAAAGAGGAAAATGGATATCTGTTCTGTCAGCCCTGCTGGGTGGCGCTCTACGCGCCGAGCTGCTTTGTGTGTGGCAACAAAATCGATGGCGACCGCGTCGGGACCAAAGCATCGGACGGGAGCGTCAGCTACAGGCATCCGACCTGCAAACCTGCAAAAACGCCCAAGAAGAAGACGAAGAAGAAACGAATGGGGGCCAAGGCCCTCGTCAATGTGTACAAGGCGGCCGGCGCGCTACCGAAGATATAATTCCCACAACATAATTTATAAACAACTAGGCCGCTCGCGGCCGCCCGCGCGCCGCGGCGATCTCGTGCAGCGCGAGGGACCGGTGCCGCTCGACGAGGCCGCCGTCGCACTGTAGCTCCTCGAGCATGACCTCCGCGTCCTCGGAGACCCCTTTGAGAGAGGGGTAGTCGGCGAGGAACCGGGCACACAAATCGCAGATGCGCGCTTCATCAATTTCGGCGCCGTCGTAGAGCGCGTGGGCCAGCAGGACCTGGGCCAGCGAGAGGCCCGGAAGCAAAGAGAGCGCGTCCGATAATGCTTCGACGGCCGCCGCGCGCGCATCGGGGTCTAGACCGGACTTGTGGGCCGTGAAGGCCTCCATGCCGAAGCGCAGGGCGTCGCTTGCCGCGCGCGCCCTTTGCGAGGCGCAGTACGTGCGACAACTATCAACAGAACCGTCCTCGCCGAGGCTACAGCGCGTCCAGGGCTCGCCGTGGGCGTTCGGCCCCGGTAGGTAGGGAGTGCGCTCGTACCATCGCTGTAGCACGAGCTTCGGCGCGTCTGTGACGAGAACTGGGCCCGCGGCGTGCGTCGACGCGGGGTCGCACTTGCTGTTTTTCAGGCTCCGCCACGCGACGAAGAGCCCGGCGCGCGGTTTTATGGAAACGCGAAGCGTAGGAAAATCGGTGTCGCCACTCGCGTTGTCCGATAGGTAGAGCAAAGTCGTGAAGGCGCGCTCCTGCGGCGCGGCGCCGCCGGCCGCGGCGGCTGCCGCCGCCGCGTCATCCCTACAATCGCGGTGCGATGCGTAGCCCGGCGCGCCCTCCGGATAATACAAAAGCTGCTGGAAGAGCCCGTGCGACCCCGGCAGGCCCACGGCGGACTGGACCGCTCTTTCTACAGCCTTCGCCGCGACGAACTCGTCTCGAGATGACACAAAGCTCACGGACGCCGTCGCCGCGTGGGCGTCGGCCTCCTTGATACCCTGGACGCAGTGCGACGCGCCCGGCCGTTCTACGACCTCGGCCGCGGTCGCGTTCGCGAGCCACGGCGGCAACAGCGACGCCGCCTCGCCCGTCGCTACGTCGACGCGCGCTGGATCAAAACAGACCATGGTAGGCGCAGCGCACGTCCCGTTGACGGCGTCCATGAGTTGGTATCGTAGCTCATCTATAATTCGTTGCGGCACGAAGTCCTCAATCAACACGCCGCTTATTTTCTTGAGCGGTGCGTACGCGTCCGAGGGCCGTGGCTGCCACGGCGTGTCTTCTGCGTCATTGCGCCAGTAGTAGGCCGTGACGGCGGCGACGGCGCCGAGCACCGCTGCGAACAGCAGCCGATTATTGCTGTTCTTGCTGGTGCCGTTGTTCTCCTCGTCGCGCGAGCGGCTGCGCGACCGGTCCTTGGGCTGCTGCTTCTTCTTTGGGCTGTTACTTCTTCTTTTCGGCATCGCTATTGGTTAATCGCGGGATTTGAGAGCCGTGCCGCGCAGGAGCAGCACAGTGCACTGTTGCACAGGGGAGCCTGCCTCGCTCCCAGGGTCAGTTATTTATGGAGCAGCATGCAGCGAAGTAAGGCGGGCTTGTATGCAATACGAAACCATGCAAACACACGACTCTGGTCGAGCAATGGCCGTTCTCACCAAAAAAACGCGAGAAAATACCCGAATATTTTCGAATTTTAATTAATTTTTTTAATACTCGTCCAAACCCAGGCTCGCCTCGATGTCGTCGAGGTCGTCGAGGTCGTCGAACATCGACGTGGGCTCGGGCTCGGGCTCGGGCTCGGGCCGAGCCGTCCGCGGCGCCGCTGGTTTTGGAGGCTCCGGCGCGTCGTCCTCCTCGTCTTCCACGACGAGCTCCAACGTCAACCGCGGCGGCCCCGCGTCGCGCGCTTCGACCGCCGCCACCTCCACAGAAACGCGGTCGCCCACGCCGACGAAGTCGCGGTCTCGTTCGCCCCGCAACACCAAACCCGGCCCCGTAGCGCCGACGTCGACGGCCGCGCCGTACGCGAGGCGCCGCACGACTGACCCTCGGAAGCGCTGGCCGACTTCAAGACGTTTTGTAACGGCGGCGCGCCGTGCGCGGGCCTGGCGGCGGCCGTCCCGCGCCTTCGCTTCGCTCGCGAGCGTTTCCGAGGACGCGGGCTCGAGGCCGACCTCCAATCGCCCGCTCGCGGGTTCTGGCCGTCGCACGTAGCACGTCACGAGGTCGTCGAGCCGCAGAATGCGCTCGATGGACGCGGCCTTGACCGGCGCCGTCTCCAACGCTATCGTCGGCGGCAGCACCAGCCGCGCGCGCAGCCGCCTCTTTGGTTTTGTCGACCGCGCGCCGTCGTGGAAGCAGGGTGTGTCGACGTAGGCGAATTTTGCCGTCATGCCGACGACGCGGCAGTTCCGCAGCTCCGTGCCTATTTCGAGCTCCGACCTGCGTGGGCGTCACATGTCATCGACGCGACGTTGCCCATACGAAGCTACTTTCCACGCGGCTTGGCGACAGCTTGAGCGACGGCGGCCGCGGCTTCGCGAAGGGCTCCAACACCAACTGCTGCGACGCCGCATGCACGGCGGCCACGTAGGCGGTCACGCTCTTCCCGCGCCGCGCGTCCCGCAGCTCCTTTGTGAGCCGCTTGTACGCGTCCGTGCCGTTGCGCCACTGCTTGTAGTGCGGCAGGCGCAGCATGCCATTGATGCGCTTTTTGTTGTTGCCGACGCATCCGACGTCCAGAAAAGCCTTCACTCCTCTCTTCCCCTGGAAGACCTTACCGACGAGCGGGCCGCTGACGCGCTCGCCGACCTTGAGCGTTTCGAGCTCGCGTGTTTCAGGCTGCGGCTTTGGCTTCGCTGCACATTTTAAAAGCGGTGCTCGCTGCGGTCGTCGCGGCACGAATGCGACGGCGCACCAGGCGAGCAGCAGACTGCGGTGCATGGTTGCACTAACCAAACGCGGCAGCACGCGCCGTCGTGCTCGCGCAGCGTCGACAGCGCGATGAGAGCGTATCAGAGCCTCGATCCTAGCGGCCTGGTGCACCGCTATGGCGCAAATGGCCTCGCTTGCAGCCTCTCAGAGCTAGCGGCCTGTAACACACTAGCAGGCTTCAACTCTCGGGCTGCTGATTCATCACAGTGACACAGCCCGCAAACGCTAGGCTGTGCAAGCAATAGCTTTGCATCCCTTCTGCACGGCTTAGCAAGCTGCACTGCGTGCATCGATCCATTTCACGTGTTTTTATCACTGACGCATACTGCTACAATGACAGTCACCGTCGTCGGCAAGGCCACGAACGTCGTCAAGACCGACAGCTTCGCCATCGACGAGTGCGTTGGTAATGTTGCGACCAAGGACGACCGCATGTCCCTCGCACGCGTATTTGTGTCGCAGCCGGGCCAGGAGCCGTGGCTGACGCTCGGCTACGACGAGTGGATCTACTGCTGCAGCGGACGCTTGGTCTTTGGCCTGCCGGACGGGTCGACCGTCGAGCTCAAGGCCGGCGAGACGGCGCTCGTCGACAAGGGCACGCGGTTCCAGCCGCGCTTCCCCGAGGCGGGCACGTCGTACATCCCCGTCTGCATCCCGGCCTTCCGCCCGGACCGCTGCGTGCGCGAGGAGGCGAGTTGTTGCTCCGGGGTGGCCAAGCGCCTCGCGGCATTACATACCAAGGTCGAGGACGCGCCCGAGGTGCTGTACCACATGGTTTTGCGTCCGTGTCCTTTGTTTTGGGGTCGATGGCGTCACGCCCACGCCATCGATGCGCGTCGATGGCGTCACGCCCATGCCGTCGGTGCGACGTTTCGCTTCGGGGTCGCGTCGACGCCGTCAACGTTCCCTAACGCAGTGCGAGCAGCCCCGCTGGGAGGCCGCCAAGTCCAGTGGAGAGGCCTACTTCCCGCCGACTTTTGATGAGGAGGGCTTCACGCACGCGACCGGAGTGCCTTCTCGACTCATAGAGACGGCGAACCACTTCTACCAGGACTCCGAAGCGCCCTGGGTCTGCCTGCGTTTTTCTCGCGCGGCTCTACGGAAGCAGTGCGGCATTATCGTCAGAGACGAGCGCGCGATGCCTGTCGGCAGCAAGGCCGTGGGCGAGAATTGGACCGACTGGGTCTGCCCGCACGTCGTCGGGGGCATCCCTCCATTGGTGGTGGACGCCGTCTTCCCCATGACGCGCGACGGGAGCAAGTTCGTCTCTATTGATGGCGTGACTGATGTGTAAATAATTATGCTATCTATTCGGGACTATCGAAGGTGAAGTCCGCCTTCTTCGACCGCTTCAGCTTCTCGGCCTCCTCGTCCTCCCACGCGCTCATGAGCACGGCGAGGATCGCCCAGATCGGCGAGAAGGCCGCGATGAGCTTCACGAACATCCAGACGTACTGCGCCGGCTGGGACCTGCGTAGAGACAAAAGCTTCGAGGCGCTACGTCATCGACGCCACGTCGTGCGCCACACGCGAATAATTCCACACCGGCGGGGACCATGTGTCCGGGTCCATGTAGTCGAACTTCGGGCCCTCCGGTATTTTGGGTTCCGGCTCCGCGGCTTCCTCGGGCTCGGCGTCGGCGTCCGGCCGCGGCTCGTACGGCTCGTCGTCGGCGTACGCGAGAGTGGCGATCGCTGCTGCGCAGAGCAGCAGTGCGACGGTCCTTGCGCGCACCATCGTGCTTAAGCGCTGCGTTTCAACTGGGTGGCGCTGCTGCTCTCAGCTGGCGGATGGGGCTGCGGTAGCAATTGAGCGAGCGTCGCTTCGCACAGATCGTCAGCGCTACTGCCGGAGGCGTAAGACGGCTCGAACGCACTCGTTAGGTGCCGTGCGCGGGAACTGAGGCCGCTGGTCAAGGTCAAGCAACAAGCAGGGCTTGACGGGTTTTGTCGAAGTTTTCAAGGACCGCTGCGCGAGGAGACAGTCCGCAGAGCCGTAGAGGCACGCCTGGAGCGCGAAAACCCCACGCACCGGGACCCGCCGCGCGGTCCTGGTCTGTGCTCCCAGCCTTCCACAGCCTCGCAGTCCAGAAGAAACGCGAGACAAGCAAAAATGTTAGTAAGAACGCTGCGCGCTGCGCGGCCGACCCAATTACTTCGCTGCGCGAGCGCGGTCCCGCAAACATCCCCCGATGCGACGCTCAAGGAGACCCTCACAGTCCAGATCCCGCAAAAGCAGGAGGAACTGAAGCAATTGAAGGCGGACCACGGCTCGAAGGTCCTGGGAGAGGTCACGGTCGACCAGTGTATTGGTGGCGGAAGAGGTGTCCGCTGCATGCTCTGGGAGACGTCGCTCCTCGACGCCGCGGAAGGCATCCGCTTCCGGGGCTACACGATCCCCGAGTGCCAGGAATTGCTCCCGACCTTCAAGGGCCCGGCCGGCGACGGCGAGCCGACGCCCGAGGCCATCCTCTGGTTGTTACTCACGGGCGAGATTCCGACGAAGGAACAATGTGATGGCCTCACCGCGGAGCTCTTCGAGCGGTCGGCGCTGCCGGCCCACGCCACCCAGCTCCTCGATTCATTGCCGAAGACGATGCACCCGATGACGCAGTTCTCGCTCGGGTTGCAGGCGTATCGTTGCGGCGTCCTCGTTATGATCGTCTCCGTTCTTGATCCTATCGCGTCGATGTCGCCGTCCGCGTACGCCATCGACGCGACGTTCCTATCGCGTCGGCGGCGTGAGGGCGAGCCCTCACGCGTACGCTACCGATGCGAGCCCTATCGCGTCGACGGCGGAAGATACGCCATCGCCACCACACCAGCGACAAAAACACCATAACAACGCAGGTGCCAGACCGAGTCGAACTTCGCCAAGGCCTACTCGGATGGCGTCCACAAGACGAAGTACTGGGAGTCGACGTACGAGGACGTCTTAGATGTGATCGCGAAGCTCGCGCCGATCGCGGCGCGCGTCTACCGCAACACCTACTTCAACGGTGAACAGCTGAAAGGAGACACGTCGCTGGACTACTCGGCAAATTTTTGTCGAATGTTGGGGATGGACTCGCCGGGCTTCGACGAGCTCATGCGTTTGTACCTCGTCATCCACTCAGACCACGAGGGCGGCAACGCCTCGGCCCATGCTACCCACTTAGTCGGTTCGACGCTGTCGGACCCCTACAACGCCTACGTTGGAGGCTTAAATGCGCTGGCGGGCCCCTTACACGGCCTCGCCAACCAGGAAGTCCTCGGCTGGATCCAGGACCTCAAGGCCAAGTTCGACGCCGAGGGCAGAGAGGTCAACGAAAAGACCATCACGGAGTTCGCGTGGGAAACTCTAAATGCGGGCAAAGTGATCCCCGGCTTCGGACATGCGGTTTTAAGAAAGACGGACCCGCGCTACACGTGCCAGCGCGAATTCGCCTTCAAGCACCTGCCCGACGACGAATTGTTCAAGGTCGTCGACACGATCTACAAGGTCATGCCCGGCGTGCTGACGGAGCACGGCAAGACGGCGAATCCCTACCCGAACGTCGACTCCCACTCCGGCGTCCTCCTGTGGCACTACGGCTTCACGCAGTACGAGTACTACACGGTCCTCTTCGGCGTGTCGCGGGCCATCGGGGCTCTCAGCCAGGTCTTCTGGGACCGCGCGTTGGGGCTGCCGCTCGAGCGGCCCAAGTCGCTCACGACGGGCTTCATCAAGGACTTCTGCGAGAAGCAGTAGGTCGTCCATGCCTCCCCTACTGTCTAAAGTCTCCCACATCGTAGTCTTGGTCGCCGCGCGCGATGACGGCGCGCCCCGACTGGCGTACAAGTCGGCTTAAAAGAACGAGCCTAGCGGGACAGTCTCTAGCCGAACCATCCATCTCCGCTGTTGAGCCCGATTGCACCGGGCGCACGGCCGCGGTGGACGCAGACGCGTCATAGGACTCAAATAATACGCTGCGCGGGGCTATTGCGGCTTTCCGCGCTCAAACGCGCCGCGTATAACGCTGTAGCCGTGCCAGGAGCACCAGCGCTGCAATACGCATCGCGCGCCGGCGCTGCGCCACAAACGCCACGCGCGCTGCGCTGCGCCGCGTACTACACTACAAACGCACCGCGCGCGGCGGCGCGCAACAAAAAAGGATGGACAAATTCACCCACAAGATGCGCCCGCCCCTCAAAAAGAAGGCCAAGGTCTCCGTCGCGGACCTCATGCGCCGCGGCGCCGAGAAGAAGCGGCCGCTCGGCGCGAACCGCGAGGAGACGCACCTCATGGGCTCGCTCGGCGCGTCGCAGTTGCAAAGGATCGACGCGCGCATCCGCAAGACCAAGGCAAAACTGAGCGACGAGCAGCTCGACGTCGTCGCGAAAGCTAGGGAGGGCACGTCGTGCTTCATCACCGGGTCCGCGGTTCCAACCGGCGTCCATCCTCGAAGAGAGAGAGCTCCGCCGCATGCTTTGCCCGAGATACGTGCGATGTATGTCGCGGCCAGTCGCGGAGCGAGAGCAAGAGAGGGCTATGAATGCCAAAACGGCGTCCGTGGCCGCACACTCATTTTGTAAAACGCAGGGCACGGGCAAGTCCTTCGCGCTCAAGGAGGCGATACGGGCGGCGAAGCGCGTCGGCCGCCGCGTCTTCGTGACGGCCTCGACGGGCGCCGCGGCCACGCAGATCGGCGGCCAAACGATCCACGCCTTCGCGGGCGTCGGCCACGCCGGTGAAAGTGCCGCGGACTTGGCTAGACATGTGGCCTCATCTTATAAAGCGAAGAAGCGCTGGCTCGCGTGTGAAACGTTGGTCATCGACGAGATCAGTATGTTGGATGCGTCGACGTTTGATAAATTGGATCACGTCGCTCGATATGTTAGGGGCAATGACAAGCCCTTCGGTGGCGTTCAACTATTATGTTGCGGGGATTTTCTCCAATTGCCGCCCGTGTCCGCGCGGGGAGGCTTTGCGTTCGAGGCCAAGTGCTGGCGCCGCTGCTTCCCGGAGCAGCGGGCCTTGACGCGCGTGTTTCGGCAGAGCGGGGACGACACCTTTTTACAAATACTGGGAGAGTTGCGAATAGCCAAGCTGTCGAACAAGAGCGCCGCGTTGCTTCGAAGGTTGAAGCACACCGATTTATCTGAGTGGACGTCGCGCGGCATCGAGCCGACACGCTTGCAGTGCTACAACGCGGACGTCGATTCTATCAATGACGCTCGACTGAAAGCTTTGAAGACGGCCCCGGAACACCTTAGTTGTGTGGACAAGGGCGACGGCGAGCGCTACGCGCGGCACCACCCCTACGCTGCAACTCTAAAACTGAAGATCGGCGCGCAAGTCATGCTCCTGTCGAATCTGGACGTATCAGCCGGTCTCGCGAACGGCGCTAGAGGTGTCGTCGAGGAATTTGTACGAGCGCCGTCTCGATCGGTCGACGGCGTTGTGGTAAGGTGGGCGTCGGGCAAAACCACCACCGTAGACCGGGACGCGAAGACCGTGGAAGAGGGCGGGCGCGAGGTGTTCTCGAGGTCGCAGTTCCCTTTACGATTAGCCTGGGCCGTGACGATCCACAAGGCCCAGGGCCAGACGCTGGATCTGTTGGAGGTGGATTTGAGAGGGTGTAGGGAGTTCGGCCAGGCGTACGTGGCGGTGTCGCGGGCGACGGCGATGAAGAAGCTGCGCGTGCTGAACTTCGACCCGAGCGTGGTGCGGGCGCATCCGAGAGCGGTGGAGTACGTCGACCGGTTGTTATCTCGTGATCCGCGCGCGGTCTACGAGGACGAGGCGGCGGCGAACCCGGTGTTCGCGCCGGCGAACGACGACGGCTGGATCTCAACCAAAAAAAAGACGCCGCCGGCCGCGCCGCCGCCGCGGCGCGGGCCGCCGCAGCCCGTGCAGCGCGGGCCGCCGGCCGTGGCGCCCCGCGCCGGGCCGCCGGCCCCGAAGCGCGCGGCGCCGCCGGCCGCGAAGCGCGCCGGGCCGCCGGCCCCGAAGCGCTCGGCGCCGGCGCCGGCGCCGCGCCCGGCGAAGCGACCCGCGCCGGCGGCGCCGCGGATTACGCCGTCGCCGGCTCCGCCCGCGCGGCGGCCGACGCCGCGCGAGCTCGGGACCAATCCCCGCGCGCTCGGGACCAACCCGCGCGCGCTCGCGGCGCGGTCGCAACCGCCGCCGCCGCCGCCCGCGCGCCAGACGATACCGGGCAAACGGGTGATGCTCGTGGGCGTCCTCACGCAGTCGCGGCCGCGGGCGTCGTCGCGCGTCGCGGCCGCCGGCGGCACCGTCGCGAAGACCGTCGACGAGAGCGTGTCCTACGTGGTCCTCGGCGACACCATGGCCGACGGGCGGCCCGTCGAGTGCTCCGCGTCCTACCAGAACGCGCAGCGCCTCGGCATCAAGTGTCTCTCGGAGCAGGAGTTCTTCGCGATGCTCTAGTGTGTCCCTGCCCTCGCCCGACAAGCGGGCCTCTCACCTCTAAGTTTCATTCGCAATACGCGTTTTTCAAAAGCTAGCGCCTGTACCTAGGCAAGCAGCCTCTCGCGCCTCGGCCGCTTTAAAGACGCTAGCAGTCGCAAAGGGCTGCCCCTGCCAGCAAATCAACAATGGCGCTCGCCACCACGGCCTCCCAGACCACGCTCACCTTCTCCGCCGACGCCACCGTCGAGTTCAAGACGACGCGCGTGAGCCCGGAGCCCGCCTCGCCGGAGCCCGGCTCGCCCCTGCGGACGCCCATGCCCGGCCGGAGCAAGGAGTTCTTCGCAACACCGCAGCAGAGCCGGCAGCGCGACGACGACCTCATCTCCATGAGCCCCATCACCCCGGGCTACGGCCTCGACCCGACGCCGCGGCCTCCATCCAAGACGCGCTTCGCGGCGGCGCTGGACGCGACGGAGGGGCCCGTCGCGACGCCCCAGGCTCAAAGGCCGCCGCAGAGTCCGCTCGACTCGCTCGCGACGCTCTCGCCGCTCAAGGAGCCGACGGAAGGCGTTGCGGCGCCGGAGGCGCGGCGACCGCCTCCATCAAAACGTTCGCCGCCGCCGCCGCGCGCGGCGCCAGGGCCCTTCTTCCGGCACCCCGCCTACGAGTACCGCGCGCCGCGCGTGTCGGCCTGGGCCTCAAGCTACGGCACGACGTACGGGGCGACGGCGCCGGCCTGGACGCCCATGCCCGTCTCCCCAACTCTCACCAACCTCACGTCGCTCTACCGCCGTCGCGTTCAGGCGATCCAGTCGAGCCGCTTCGCTGAGATATACTTAAGTTAATTTTAGGGCGTCACGCGCTGCCGCTTCGCCGGCGACTTCTTCGGGCGACAGATGAGCTCGGCGTCGTCCTCGGGATCAGCACTGTTCACCTCCGTCAGGCTGGGCCGCTCGTAGGGCCGCTTCGACGCCGGGTTCAGGCAGGGCCGCTTGCTCGCGGAGACGTCCTGTACCGTCGCCGGCGGACGCTCCATGCCGAAGCACGTCCGCGGCGGCGACGACGTCTTCGGCCGCGGCGAGGATCGCGGCGACGTGCGCGGCGACGTCCGCCGCGGCTCCGTCGCAGCGGTGACAGCGACACGACCGTCATCGTCGATCTCCGGCAGTGCGGCCAGCATCGAGGCGAGCGGCGCTTCCCCGGGGAAATTGAGCGTCTCTTCGTCCCTATATTTCACCCGGGCGGCGTCGTAGGCCCGCGCAGCGACCTCCTCGACGTCGAAGTCGCCGAGGGGTATTTCGTGCCCTCGCACTCTGATCCTTGCCCACCACTTCCCCCCATTTGCAGTGGGACCCCATTTCACGCCAGTGAAGCGACTCTTCTTTCTGGGCTCAACGGCAGGCGGCGCCGCTGGCGCTTCCGGCGCGGCGGCGGGCGGCGGCGCCGCCTCCGGCGCGGCGCTTTCGCGCGCCGCCGCCGTCGACCGGCGCGACGAGCGTCCCGCGGTGAGGTCGAGCCGCTCCACTTCTGACAAATCGATCTCCTCGCGGTGGCCCGTGCTCTGCCAGCGCACGAGCACGACGTCCTCGCCGGGCTTCGTCGCGCGCTCGACCTTGGCCACGTGCTTGTTGCTGCCCACCAGGACCGTCTCGTCGACCGCGAGGAGTGGCGTCACTGCGTCGTCGTCGTCGTCGTCGTTGTCATCATCATCGAGGGGCGGCGGCGCGGCGGGCGCATCGTCATCATCGACGTCCATCGGCGCGGCCGGCGCGTCGGCGTCGAGTGGCGGCGCGGCCGGCGCCTCGTCGTCAGACGAATCGTCGCCGCGGTCGTCGAACGCGCACAGCACGTCCCGCTGGTACGCGCGGTTGCCACCGGGACCGCTGACGACGGCGTAGGCGTCGTCGAACGCCACGACGACGAGCGGCACCGTCGGCTCTTTGAGCGTCGCGATTTTCTGGCCCTTGGCGAGCGCCGGGCCCGCGCCGACGCGCAGGCGCCGACCGGTATATAACGATACCGCCGCTGCATCGACGCCGGCGGCGAAGTCGCCGTCCAGGAAGTGCACGTCGACGGTCCCGCGGCCGACAGCGACGACGATGCCAGCGTACCGCCCTCGCCCCATGTACGGCGCGGCGACGTGGTCCAAGACCCGCAGCTTCACCGCCGCCTTGCGCGGTTTGCGCGGCGCGGCCGCGGGCGCCGAGCGAGGCGCCACGGCGGCGACGAGGTCCGGGTAATAAGCGCGCGCGACGGCCGTCAGCCCCGCGTAGGCCTGGTCGTCGCCCGGCTTATAGTACTTCGGGGTGCCCGTAATCGGACCGAGATGAGTGACCTTGCGCTTCATCGTCCAGCCGTCGCGCGCCATGCGCCGCTCGAGCTCGGCTTTGTCGCTGATGGCGCTCTGAACTTTCGCGGGCCGTTTCGCAACGCGCTTCGCGGCCGGCGCCGGGGCCGGCGGCGGCGCGCGCTTCGGCTGCGTCCGCGCGGGCGGCGCGCCCTTCGCGGCCGGCTTTCGCGCGGCGGGCTTCTTCCTCGCTGGTCCTGGCGGCGGCGCGGAACCGCCGATCGCGGCGGCCTGCTCGCGCGCGTACGCCTCCCGGATCGCGGTCTCTCCCGGATCCGCGGCCAATCTCCGCGCCTCCTCGACGCTCGCGGGGTTCGCGAAGGCGCCGACGTTCGGCCTCGACGCCGCCGCCTTGACGCGCGGCGAGGCGGGCGCCGCGGCGTCGGCGACATCATCTAAAACGAGCGGCGCGCCGTCGGCCCGCTGCAGGTGCTTGAGTCGCACGAACTTCGGGGCGGCGCCTCCATCAGCATCGAGGTGCACGACGTGCCAGCCGCTCGACTCGCGGTAGCCTGCTACGACGCCCGTCTCCCCGGCGTAGCGCGGGTCCGTGACGCGCACCTTCGTCCCCGCGGCGACGACGCCCGTCACCTTCTCCTTCTTTGGCGGCGGGGGCTTCTTCGCCTTTCCAAAAGACGGCGCGGTCCACGACGGCTCCGAGCACTCGAGCTCCTCTTCCTCCAGGTCCTGCGTGTCGCCCTTGAGTTGGCTGTCGAGGTACTGCACGCGCCACAATTCCCTCGGAGTACCATCAACAATATACGGATCGGAAGCCGTGGACGGTAAGTAAGCGACGACTCGAGCCGTGGCCTTCTTTCCTTCCACATCTCTCCTCAAATACATCCCCACGTACTTGCCGTTATCTTGCCAGCCCTCCGAGGAAGGCGCTCGCGCCTCGGCCTCGTTCGCCGCGTGACTATACACCACCAACAACTCGTCGCCCGGTTTTATGTCCCTGATGACGCGCCACGCCGACAGCATCCTACCATCATACGTCGACTTGTACTCGACGTTCGGCTCGCAGTCGCGAGCTTCGTTGATCCAGAACGTCGCTGCTGAACGGAATATGGTATCCCCGGAGAACCAGTGGATTCTGAAATAAGACCCGTTGCCCGTGGATATGTACGCTTCACTGAAGTCGGGCCCGCCCACGACCTCCAGCGGGTCCCCCGAATGCATCAATGCTGTTGGATCTAACAGTACGGTACCTTGTTCTAGAGGTACCCTCGCCTTCACGCCGTAACCGTGGACGACGCCGTGATTCGTAATTTCAACCTTGTCCAGCAGCGCACTCTTCTGCTGCGCGAACTTCTCGCCGTCGATCGGTGCGGCCGCCGATGAACTTAGTTCTTGCAGGTCGTCCTCATCATATAAGATGGGGATGCCGGACCGCGCCGCCTCCTCCTCGGCCTTCCTCCTCTCTTTTTCGGCCTCGAGCTCCGCGGCGGTTTTGGCTTGCGCGGCCTCCTTGTTCTTGAGGCGCTTCGCGAGTCTCGCTCGCAATAGAGCTTCCTCGGCGTACTTCGCCTGTCTCGCGGCCTGCGCGGCCATGGCGCCGTCGACGGCGCGTTCCGCGAAGACCCGCATCGCCTCATGATCGTCCTCCACTTCATGATCGTCCATCCAGCACTCGCTATTATCGTTCCAGCTCACGTGCCAGCCCGGCTCGGCGCCGTCACTCTTATAATAGGCGAACCTCACCACGTACTTGTGCGGGTGCTGCGTGCCCGTCGGATCGACGACCTCGGGCCGCGCCCAGCCGTCGTAGTTCGCGCGCTTGTGGAAGACGGCGCGGCTGTAGCCCTCGGCGTCGACGGGCGGCCGCGGGCGGGGCATTTTGTTTTGGCTCCTTTCTATGCGAAACGCCGTTTGAGAGCAGTATTGGCAGCTGCGGTGTTTGAGCGCTGCTCGGCGCCTGCAGTTCTGAAAGTTGGCACGATGCGACGCAGTCTGTAGATGAGCAAAACGCCAGCCGTAACCGCCGCACCAGCGGCTGGAATTAGTGGAATTAACCCGGCGCAACTCAAACAAAATCAAAGCTAGCGTCGCGTAAAGACACTAGCAAAAGCAGCTTCGCAATAAAAACCTCGCCCACCCCTCGACGCCAGTCGCCGACGCCTCGGCACGGCTGCGAGCGGTCCCTGGGACTTCGGTGCGGCGTCGAGTTTTGTTTTTGGCTGCACCCGCCGCCCTCGTGTGGAAGGAACCGCGAGGACGCCGGCCGGCTGCCGCCGCGCGGCGCACGCACCGAACCCTCGGATTTACGAAAAAGGGCTGCCGCCTCGACCAGAAGTAATAAGGGGCTGCCCACAACCTTAAACAACCATGTCCTACCGCGAGCTGCGCAACTTCGCGGAGATGATGCGCGCGCTCGGCTACCAGCGGTTAGTGTCTGTCGAGAACTTCCGCTCGCCGAACTTTCCCCTTGTCGCGTCGACCTTGTACTGGATGGTCCAGCGCTACGACCCCGATATAGTTATGTCCGACAACATCGAGACGGAGGAGGCTAGGGTCCACTTCCTGACGAAGACGGCCGAGGCTTTGCTTAATAAAGCCAATATCAAGCTCAATACGAAGAACTTGTACATGGCGGACGGGCACGCGGTGCGGGAATTGCTCAAAGTAGCAAAAACACTGTATGCCGCTAGCGAGGCCCAGGAGGCCTACAAGGCCGGGGAAGAGTTACCGGACGTGCCTTCCTTGGGTACGAAATCCAAGGACATTCGCGTGGCTCGTCAGTTAGCGGCGGACATTACCGATCGGGGCGCTAGGTTGCATGACTTACTGGGCCACGAGAACGACGTGAAGCAGGATCGGCAGGCCGCTCTGCGGTTTCTGGATACTATTTCTTCTAATTTGGATGGCGGGGAACACGCTCATGTGAGAAGAAGTGTCGATGCCTTAGTAGAGCGGTGCAAGGAGGACATTGAGAGCGCAAAGAAGGCCTGCGACGAGTACGCCGCCGACGAACGTGCCCTCGACGCGAAAATCAAGAAGAAGAAGAACGAGTTGGAGCCTGTGTGGAAATCAACCAGTGCATCGGGTGCTGAGGGACTGGCATCGCCACGCCATCGAGCAGGCGTCGCGCCGATGGCGTGGAGGACGTCGCGATGATTCAAAGCACGCGCCGTAAAATTTTGATTTCCACACAGGTTGGAGCGCCACGAGAAAAGACTCTCGAGTCTGCAGAACGTGCGGCCGGCGTTCATGGACGAGTACGAGAAGTTGGAGGGCGAATTGCAGAAGCAGTACTCCGTGTATCTTGAGAGATTTAGGAACCTGGACTATTTACAAGCTGAATTACAAACGTATCATGCCGCGGACAAGGCGGAGGTCGACGAGCACGATAGGAACCTGAAGAGGATGCAGAAGAGATTGCGGGAGGAGGAGTTGCGCATCTTGCGAGGCGAGCAGGAACCGGTCGGAAGCGAAGCGTCCAAAAAAATGATGGACGACCAGCCGCGGCCGACGCAGGCGCGGCCCTCCCAGCGGTCGCAGAGGCCGCGCGACCTGGATTCGAGCGAGGACATCGATAGTGATGAGATCTCGCGGGACTCGGACTCCGATAGCGTGTCCTTGGCGGCGTCGTCGGGCGCGGGCTCGGGCATCGACGAGCTCGACGACGACGATTCCGGGGATTCGCTATCGGACGACGGCGCGTCGTCGCGGGACTTCTCGGGGTCGGCCTCGGATGACTTCTGAGGTGGCTAACTTCTTTTGCTAGTCTCTCTCTCGCGGGTGATTCGTTTTTGTGATTCTTTTTTGCAATTGGGTGCTCGATCGAGCTCGAGTTTGGAAGCTTCTCCGTTGGCACCTGTCAGCAGCACAAATTCAACACCGACCGACTCATGCTATTATCACGCATTGCTACGACCTCCGCGCGAACCCTGGTGCGGCCTCGGGCCGCGCCGCTGGCAAGATTTCTGCGCCACGGCAGCTCTCAGACCGTCCGCAGCACTGCAGCCCTCATCGATCCAGCGGTGCTGTCGCGCGACGACAGCTCGAAAGTAGGCCCCGGGCTGCACGCCGCGGAAAGCCTAGACGCCCTCTTGCACGGAAGCACGAAGAAACCGAACGCACAGAACGATTTCACCGAGACGGCCGTCGCCGACGGCTACGCGTCGATCGCGCCGACGCGGGCGCAGACGATCGCGCAGCCGGAGCAGCCGGAATTCACCGAAGTCGAAGCCGCGGACCACGCGTGGCGCCAGACGAACCACATCTGGTCCAACGACGAGCTCGACCGGGTCAGCATCGAAAAGCACGAGCCCGTGACGATGAGTGATCACTTTATGAAGGGCGTGATGAACGTCTTGTATCACGGATTCAACTTCGTCACTGGTTACGATCCCGTGGACCCGTCGCCGCGGTCCGTCGCATGGCGTTTGATAATCCTCGAGTCGTTTGCGGGCGTCCCTGGCTTTGTCGCTGCGGGCTTCCGCCACTTCTATTCTCTACGTACACTGAAGCGCGATCATGGAGCCATATACACTTTTCTTGAAGAGGCTGAAAACGAGAGGATGCATCTCCTTGTCTGCCTCAAGATGTTCGAAGCAAGTCCGGTAACTAGGGCGCTCTGCGTGGCCGCTCAATTTGGCATGACGCCGTTCCTCGCACTCACCTACGCGGTTCATCCGGGTTCGATGCACCGCTTCGTCGGTTATTTGGAGGAGACCGCCGTCCAGACCTACGATAACCTGGTCGAAAAGACGACGACGCCGGGCACGAAACTCCACGACGAGTGGGACGGCCTCGCCGCGCCGGGCATCGCGAAAGCGTATTGGAAGCTCCACGACGACGCGAAGTGGGTCGACTGCCTCCAGCACATGCTCGCGGACGAGAGTCACCATCGCGACGTGAACCACACGTTCGCGACTCTTCCGGAAGGCGCCCCGAACCCCTTCATTTCGCAACACATGAAGGACTTCGACCGCGCAGCGACTGCGCACGCGGTCAAGAAACTCAACCAATAAGTTTACAAGTACAGTTCCCTTAACACGGCCGGCGCGGAGTCGATCGGCCCGCGGAGCTCGTTCACGCCCTCAAGCGTCACCGCGACCTTGCCGGCGACGGAGACGCCACGGCCGCGCGTTGCTTCGGAGACGACCACGTCGTCGAGCACGAGCCTCGCCGCGTCGCCGGGCCGCAGCGCCTCGACCTGGATGGCCGCGGCTGTCGCGTCGTTTGCGGAGACCTCCGTTCGCGCCAGGTCCAATCGCGCGGACATGTACGCGTAGCAGGCCCGGTCTGCGGCGCCGACGACGCGCGAGTCGCGTATCGCCACGTACGCCTCGCCCCGCGCGCAGACGCCGTGGGGGTCTCCGCCCGTTATCGTTGACGACGAAACGTCGACCTTGGCAACATTAAACACGGCGACCGCCGTCCGGCCCGGGTCGACGACCTCGCACTCTTTCAGTACCGCTCGCGACCGCTGCACCAGCCAGAGCCCGAAGCCGGCCTCGCTCGTCACGCGGCAGCGCTCGAGACGGATCGCGCCGCGGCCTCTGGCGAATATGCAGGCGCCAAGCGAGCGCTTCTCGGCGCGATCAGGTGCAGATATATGGTGCAGGTCCAGATCGATGAGCTTTAGACCCGGACCGGTTCCCTCGACCTGGACGACGCTGTGACCGCTGCCGTCGATGCAACCGGGTCCGCAGATGGTGAGCTCATCCTGCCGTTGCACGCGGAGCGCCTCGGTGAGCGCGACGCGTCGGCCACGGAGTTCGACTGGCCGCTTACACGCGACAGCCGCGCGGCAGAGCTGCCCGAAGCGATGCTCTGAGATTAAGGGTGTTGCCGCGAGCGTCGCGAGCCAAAGCATTGCACCGGCGAGTCGTTTGCGTTACGCAGTCAACGAATTACACCGGTTCATGCCGGCTTGGACGCGTTCGCTAGCGTTGCACTGAGCCTGCATGCTGCAGCTCTTGCCGGCGAGGGAGGCAGTCAAGCGCTCGGTGTTCATCACTAACAGCCGCACCGGTCACAATACGACGCGTGGTGGGTCGCACCACAACTATAAGACGATGAGCAGCCAAGCCGACGAGGTCGCGCGCCTCAAAGCGGAGCTGGCAGCTCTGCAGCAGGAGACCGCATCCCTCGAGAAGAAGCCGAAGAAGGACAAGCGCAAGAAGAAGGAGAAGAACAAGCGCAAATCCACCGCGGACGACGAGGCCGCGAAGCTGCGCGCGGAGTTGGAGGCCGTCGACGCGGAGACCGCAGCGCTCACGGGCGCGCCGCCGCCCGAGAAGAAGCGCAAGAAGGATAAGAAAGCGAAGAAGGCGAAGACAGAGCCCGCGCCGGCGGTACCGGCCGACACGGACGCGCCGCCCGCGAGGCGCGCCTACGTCGGCGGCCTGCCCTTCGACGCCACCGAAGAGTCGGTATCAAACTACTTCTCGACGCTGTGCGGCGATCTGGAGAAGGTCGAGATTCAGTGTTTTGAGGACAATCCCGAGCGGTGCTGCGGCATTGCGTACGTCACTTTTGTCGAGCCGGACTCCCTCGATAGAGCCTTGACGTTGGATGGGGAATCGTTCAAGGGCGACGGGCGGACGATGAAGATCCGGAGGGATCGCACGGGCAACAAACCGCGGCGGCCGCCGCCGCCGCGCGTCGCGGGCTCGCTCACCGTCTACGTGGGCAACATGCCCTGGGCCGCTTCCAAAGAAGAAGTGGAGGCGATGCTCGCTGATGCCGGATGTGCTGTGTCGTCGATGCGCTACCACACGGACGCCGAGACGGGCCAGTTCCGCGGCTTCGTCCACGCCGAACTCGCGGACGAGTCGTCGTTATCAAATGCGTTGGCTTTAGCAGGCACGCGGTGGCGCGGTCGGGAATTGCGCGTGAGCCACTCGGAGACGGGGAAGAAGAGGAGCTAGATCCCCTTCTGCCACGCGCTCATCGAGGCGTTGGTGCGCGGACGGGCATGTGATAAGTACTAGTACCTTACACAACACAATCCCTCGACGCCATCGCCGCGACGGCGTGCGGGCGGTAAGCACAGCACAACATAGTTAGTCTTTCTCCTCCTCGTACGAGATCGTCGCGGCTAATAACGCCGACGACGCCAGCAAGGCCGAGGTCACGAAGAAGGGCAGGCCGATCGCGCCCCGCTTCGACCCGAACGTGAAGAGGGTAGCATACAACGTCGGCGCGACGACCTTGATGAGGGCGTTGAGCGCGTTGCGCTCGGCCGACAGCTGGCCCTGCGGCACGCCCAGCGACGTCCCGATGTTCACGATGCGGGCGGAGGTCGCGTGCGACCGGCCCGCGCCGAGGGCCATGGGGCCTAGTGCGCTGTAGGCGGCGACGTCCGTTGTAGCTTTTCCGAGTAGAGCGCTCGACGCCGCCGCGCAGCCCGTCGTGGCCACCGTGTGGCCGCGCGGGCCGAAGAGGCGGATGGAGGGGCCGGTCAGCAGCGTGCCGAGCGTCGACGCGCAGCCGGCCGCGGCGGCGAACCTCCCACATTGCGCCGCGCCCCACTGTCTCAATTCTCTCGCCAAGACCTGCCACAAGTCGCCCATGCCATTGGTCAGCGACTGCAAGAGCACCACAGCATTTAAACGGGCGAACCGCGGCCCTCGCATAAACAGTCTTCTAAAGGCTAAGGGCTGAAAGGCCGGGGGCCGCTTCTCCGTTGTTGTTATCTTCGAGGCGGGCCGCGTCTCGGGCGCCGAAGACACCAATGCCAAGACACAACACCCTAAGAAGGCCGAGGCGCCGTAGGCAAGTCTAACATCGCGCGCCGCGAGGCGCCCTCCCACTAACGACGCGACCGCGTAGCCGAGACCCATGGCGGCTTGTATCCTCGACCCTAGGACCGCGTAGCGCGTCGCGTCGCCGCCGTAGACATCGGCAACCGAGGCTTGGAAAGCGAGCCAGTAGACCGGCACGGCGAAGGACGACACTAAGCGTGCGGCGACCAACACACTGACATCGGGCTTGAGCACTACCAATGACCGTGCGATGATGGTGACCAGCGGTGCTGCCAGTAATAAAGGTTTCCGGCCCACGCGGTCGCTGTACCGTCCCAGACTCCCCGACAGGACTACTTCCAGTAGCGCGCTCGTCGAGCCGATGCGGCCTAATACCACGGCCACTCTAACAGGGTCGAGGCCCGAGCCCGCGAGCGCGGGGGCCAGCGCCGTGCCGATGACGCCGAAGCAGGCGCTCTGCAGCGCCGAGACGGCGCAGATCAGGGGCACGGACAGGCTCGGCGGTGTGCTCGGCGTCGGCGGCGGGATCGTCGCGAGCGGTGGAGGCTTTGGCCCGGGTTTCTCGTTGCTTGGGGCTTCGGGGCCGATCGTTGAGGCATGTCTTCTTGCTAGGCTGCGGCGGCGTCCGGGAGTCGCCGGCAAGGCTAGTGCGGTTGCAGTGTGCAGCAGGGCGTAGAGGGTGGCGGGCTTCAATCGCATTTTTGAGTTGTTATGTTGCGGAAGATTGGAGTGCAAGGATGGGGTTGTCTCGAACTGATGGGGGAGTGCTGCAAGTGGCCGTCAGCGGTGTTTTTTTGCAACCACGGCAAGCGAGATCTTGGATGGCAAAGAGGTGCTACGGGGGCACGATGGAGGAGTGCTGCTGCAATTGGTGCAAGGAACGGCGCTCGTCAGCTGTCTTTTGACACCACCGCAAGCCAACTAGCCCAGGCTAGTGTGTCCATAACACTAGCTCCCTAGCGGAGAGGCGATGAGTGAGCGGTTATGAGGCAGTTTGAGGGGGTGTGTCGCCCCGGGGTGCGGCTACCAGGGCTCCCGCGGCTAGCGGCCTGTAAGACACTAGGCAATCCCAGGGTGTGCTCTCAGAGCCTGACTGGGCTACACTCAATCCGAGCTGCTGCCGTGCGTATGCTAAGAAATATCCAGTAGAACCACCCCCAGATAAAGCCCTGGGCAGCTCTCAGTCATGGCGAGTGTGGCTCCAGAAGTGGTCGTCGAGGGCACGGCGGTGGCTGCCCCACTGGGCGGCGACGCCGTGGTCGCAGGTACGGTGGTGTCTGGCGGCGATTCCGTCGGCCACCCGGCGCTCCTTTCGCTGCCCCCGGGCGTTGAATATATTCGCGCGCCGCAAATGGGACCGGACGACCGGGAGCAACTCCGCACGAGTCCAGTCACGCCGACGGATGCAGTGGTAGACGTGTTTGCGCTGGATCGATCGCTCTTCGACGCTGCAAACGCCGCCAAGCGACGGGTGCACGTGTGCAACGGCAACCCGGGAACGCTAACCGTCGAGAACTCGTTCTGCGTGATGTTATCGCCGTGCGTTCTACCGTGGGCGGCGCACTATATCATGTTGTTCCCCTGCACGATCTGCCCCCACGTTCGGTACGCCTGCTGGGCCCCACACGTGGATATGGACTTTCCGCCCTGGGCGGAGCACACGCTGATCGTGACGGATAAGGGCGTCGTAGGCCGCCGAGAGATGCGGCCCGAACGCGACGACCACGGCAGCGATCGGAGCCACTGGCTACGTGACGTCAACGCCATCGCCTGGGATGGGTTCGACGTCGACAAGATAGAAGTGCGACGCTACGCCGAAGACAAGACCTGCTACATCTGTAGTACGCCGCCGGCGCACCCCGACCCGCTCTCCTACGCCCTCAGCATCGGCCTCCTGGGGCCCTGCTTCTGGAAGGTCCTATGTAAGCCGACGACGCCCGGGCTCTACCGCGCGAGAATCGTGAGCGCTCACCAGACAGAGGTGTCGACCGGCGACTCTTCGTCCTATTACAACACCGCTGAAATCAGCCTAATAGCGCTGGCGCGGACTCCGGAGGATCTATTGGAGTCGCTTCGCGCCGCTAAAGCCAAGTACGAGGCGCCCGCGGCGGCTGCGATGGAGCGCTCGGATGCTGCGGCGGCCGCGATGCGTGCAGAGCTCGTCGCGACCAAGGGCGTGCAGATCTTCGTAAACATCGCCGGCAAGAACATCGCAAAGACAATCACGCTCGATGTCAAGCCAACCGATACGATCGACAACGTGAAGCAGATGATTCAGGACAAGGAGGGTATCCCAAAGCCGGACCAGCGACGCCTCATGTTCGGTGGCAGGCAACTAAGGGACGGCAGCACGATTAGCGACCTCGACCTCGACTTCGACAGATACGCGGTCCACCATCATGAACGGGCGCTGCGCGCCTTCCACCTCAACGTCCCGAAACGTCGGAAACGAAGGAAGTAACGAAGGTAAGTAGTAATGCTAATGGTTTTAAGAGGGCGGCTCAACAACAGTAGTCGGCGCGACGCTCTCGCACGCACCTCCAATTTCCGCGAGCGCGTCGGGCGCCGTCATCGCGCGCCTCTTGCGCGCGAAGGCCGCGGCCGCGGCGCGCCGGCTCGCGACGCACGCGCCGTAGCACGCCCAGAGGAGCGGCCGTCTTCCAACAAACGCCGCGTCGCTCTGATCGGCGCGCGCCGCCTGCGCCGCCAGCGGCGCGAGCGCGCCGCAGAGGACGTCGCCGAGGCCGCCGCAGCGCTTCGGCGCGCCGGGCTCGTCGCAAACCAGAACGTCGGTGCCGTCGGTGATCACGTCGCGCTGCCCCTTGGCGACGACGACGACGTTGCCCAGTTTCCGGGCGACCTGCGCCGCGACGTCGGCCGCCTCCGCCGCAACGTTCAAACGCGCCGCGAGGCGTTCTAGTTCTCGCCTGTTCGGCGTGAGCACGCAGTCGGTGCGGCCCTCTACTAATTCCGGATTCTGCGCCACGAGGAACAGGCCGTCGGCGTCGACGATCGTAGATGTGGATCGGACCTCCGCGGCATTCATAATGTCGGCGACTCCTTTCAAAACACCTTCGTCCCGCCCGAGCCCAGGCCCAATCACGCAACAATCCAACCTCGCAAGCCACGGCCGGACCTCCTGCATCGCCATTGATGTTGCCTGCTGGTCGTGCATATTGGCAGTTTTATAGCAAGGTAAAACGATCAGCTCCGGCGAGTAGGATTTGATGGCCGGCGCCGCGCCGTCCGCGCAGAAGACGTACGCGAGGTCGGCGCCCGCCTGCAGGGCCGACTGGGCGGCATAATACGGCGCGCCCGTGTACTCGTAGCTGCCTCCTAATACCCCGATGCGGCCGTTCTGGCCCTTGCGGCTGTCAAAGCTGAGGGGCGGCACGAGCCTCTGGACGGCCTTTTGTGCCGTGGACCACTGCACGGCGCTGCTGAGATGCTGCGAGGCCATGAGGAGCGTGCTGCGGATGCGTCGCATCGATCGATGGCACACCGCTGCGATGGCTTGCCGCGCTCTGCGAGAGTGCTCTCTCTACAAAGGCTGCGCGTCCGCTTTTACCGCTAGAAATCGATATGCGGTCAGTTCGTGCTGCACTGTACGTGTCCAGTAGCGATCCCTGCTCAGCTAACTACTGCGTGTTGGCTACAGGAGCAAGCAGAGCGCTTCAGGAGCTAGCGGCCTGAACTTTTAGGAAAGGCACTAGCAAGCTTTACTGCGCGGGTTTTCTTGGACGTCTCCGGGGACCTTTCAAAGCATCCCTGCCTGGGGCCTTGGAAGCATAGTTCCGGTTTGCTCAAACAGCGCCGCGGAGAGGAGAGCGCCTTGTGCAACGCTCTCTGAGCCTCACTCCACTGTGTAAGCAAGCAACCAGTGAAAGGGCAGCCCCTTCACTTGAGCAGGCAAAAGGACATGCCACGCCATTTCACGCGCCGCGAGGACCGCATGAAGTCCCTCATCTCGCCCGTCCAGCGGCGGCCGCCCGTGCTGCCCGGGCCGACGCCAAGAGATGACGACGCGACGTCGACGGCGCCCGTCAGCGGGCGAACGGCGGCGACGACGGAGTCGAGGGTCGTGCGGGAGGCGCGGAACTACGCCGACCCCGACATCCTCGAGCCGCGCTGGCTGCGCGTCTCGGATACGCCGTTCGACGCCCCTTATAAGGCCACTAAGGGCTACGGGCGACAAATGCACCCGACGACCGTTTCGTATGATGCGCCCGACGGGTTCCAGATCTCGCCGGAGCGCGGGACCCACTACGAGGAGCACCAGGAGGCGTCTCCGTCAAGATTGCCGCACCAGCTGTCCCCCGACCGCGGCGGCGTGTCGCTGACCGCGCCGGAGTTCTTCCAGCCGACGGAACATCCTCCGTTAAAAGAAACGCGGTACCACAAGGTCCAGTACGACGGGCGCGTGTTCCTCGAACCACACAAGGATAAGGCGCGGCCGGGGTTTTCGCTGGCGCCGACGCCTCGGCACCTGCTGCCGTCGGCGCGGGGCGGGGGGTAAGTCTGTCTACGTTCTAGGTGCTGGATGTCCGGCGCGCCCGCGCGCGTTTCGTGCTAACGGCGCGGTTTTTCGTACTGCACCCAAGCGTGCTGTAGTCATCAGAAACATCGAATGGGAGCGTCCCGAGGCGTCCCGAATCGGCGGAGATGTCCGCGGCGTCGAGGCGCTCAGTTTGAATGACCGCGGCGGCGGGGCCGCGCGGGCACGATCTGGCTGCATCAGCGCTTGAGCCCGATCTGCGACGTAGTCTCAGCGCGAAGAGCTGCTCAATTAGGCCGCGCACGGACTGAGTTTGGACCTCCTTTGGCCAGGCTGCACTTGGGCCCTTCTAGCCGCCCACGCAGCGCCGATCAGACTCGTTGCCGTCGCTTGCGCATTCACCGGACTATCCAGTCGACGAGGTGATCCGCTGGAACGAGTAAACCGCCCCTTTACTGAAACGCTCTCGCGCGCGTTAGCACCGCGTAACGCAAATGTCGCAGCAGCGCTCCATCACCGACTTCTTTACCAAGAGGAGGAAGCCGCCGACGCCGCCGCGCGCCGCCCTCATCAGTAAAACGAACCGCTCGCCCAAGAAACGGGACGAGCCGCCGACGAGGGTCTCCGCGTCCACCGACGAGGCCTCCCCCGTGCAGACGAGCCCGCCGCCGCCGAAGCGAGCGCGACGGCGCATCTCCGAGACGCCTCAGAGTGACGATGACGACGACGCCTGGGCGCCCGACGGCGCGTCGCCGATGCTGCGGCGGCGGTCGTCGCACGGGATGACCACACGGCCCAGGAATGATGAGGATGACGACGAAGGGTTAAGAAGGTCGAGCCGAGCGAGAAGAAGGTCTTCATTACTAAGCGCGCCGACGGAACACGTGAAGGATGATGATCTGGCGATGATGTGCGCGCGGCGGGTGAAGGCGCCGTTAAAACCCGTGCCTTACGACGTCGAGTTGATACCGAAGGCGTCTCGCGACTTAGAAGGTTCTATCTTACAAAGAGTGGACGACCGCCAGAAGTGGGCGCAGGATTTACCGGAGCTCGTAGCCTTATGTGGTGAAGCTGCATTTAGGTGCCAGGCACGCCTGAACGAGCCCAAGCCGGCGACGAAGCACGACCCGAAGCCGCTCATGCTCGAGTATTTATGTGATCGCTTGGATGTCGACGACCCGCTGTGGGGGTACCAGTTACGTACAAGTAATGAGGGGTGGTTGCAGGGTTTCGTTACGGTTACTACTTTTACGACGTGGGCGCCCTACCTCAGGTTCGATTCTCATGCGGCGGCGTCGGGTATCACGGCGGATGATGTGAGGGATAGGGCCGTTGATGTCGATAATGTGCTCGGTGCAGCATTGGAAGCCCAACCTAGAAGGGGCGATCCTGATAATGAAGGAGTAGTCTTTCCGACCGTTGCGGAGATTAGCTTGTTGGGTGGCCTTGGGGGAGGTGCTGCTGTTTTATCCATAGCTCTAGATGAGTTACCGCGAGAGTACGAGTACGTCGTATTGCAAGCGACGGAGATGGGTATCCCCTTTTACGAAGCTCTAGGGTTTACACGCGTGGGCGTCGTGGCGCAGCACGCTACCTCGACGAACTGCACCATCCATGCACCGGAAGAAGGCAAGGAGTCGCACGCGTCCAAGGTGTATCGACTGAGAAAAAATCTAAGGCAGCTACTGAGAGACCTGGGCAAGCAGGACGTCAATAAAGTATTTCAAAATGCGGTTGATACGTCACTAGTTACGGACTACCTCGAGATTATAAAAGAGCCCATGGACCATTCACTACTAAGGACGAAGTTGATTGCCGGTGACTATAACTCATTGAGGGAGTTTGTGCAGGACCACGACCTCGTGTGGCGCAACTGTACCACTTACAATCCGGAAGGGAACCCCTGGCACGCCGCGGCTTTGTTGTATAGGGATCGGTGTGCGAGAGTTATAGAAAGGTGGCGCGAGAAGCATCCTGACTTAGCCACCTTCGACGGTCACTCAAAGAAGTATACTTCACAAGAATTAGCAGACGCGGCAGATGAAGATGAAGACGTCATGGGGCTCTGCGTGTGGTCCTTCCCTGATACCAATGTCGAAGACCAGTACCCGTGCTACCTGATGGCGCTGGATCTCAAAAAGCGGCGGGGGGAAGAACGCAAGAGTGGCTTGCGGGGCTGGTTGGAACGGCGCGCGTCCGGTGCGTCCGATCACCAAGAAGACGATGAGGACATTGTTGCACGAAGGCTACAGCGTTCAGAGACGTGGCTCCCGGACTGGCCTAGAGGAGTGGTCCCTAGGGGTCGAGGCGTGGCCGCGAAGTTTCTAACGGGCGGCAACTCGTGCTACCTCGGGTACTTTGAGGACAAGGAGCTGGCGTCTCGAGCTTACGACGACGCGAAAAGTCGTTACGAGCACGACATCGTCGCTCAGGCACCAGTGCCGTCCTTGAACGATGCCGAGTGGCTTAACTCCATACGCCAGAAGCGTTCTAAATTGTTAGCTGCGAAATCGCCGCCGGCGCCTGTGGAAAGGCGCGCGAGGAACTTGGAAGCTAATCTCGCTTCGGCCCAGGCGAACGATCGACTAGTGGCAGCGGCGAAGCATCGCTACGAGCGCACCAAAAAACTCTACGAGCAGATTGTGGTGGTGGAGGACAACAAAACGCCGGACTACTACTTCGTGCACCAGTACGTCCCGGACTGCGCGTGGTGCCGCCTCGTCAAGCTCGTGGCGCGCGGGACCTTTGATAGGGGGAAGCGCGCGGGCCGGACGCGTTGGATGTTGGTGCCCGAGGGGACGCAGCGCGACCTGGATATCAGCGCGCAGCGGTGCTTCGTCGTGCGTTCCAAGATGACGGCCGACACGGACAACGCCGACGACGAGGTCTGGGACGTGGAAGATCCAAGGAGGGCGCCGATGAACGACCTATTCCGGTCGCGGCGGTAGAGGTGACTATTAATAAGGAGTTTTATCTACTAGTCCTGGTGCTTGTGGCCTCCACAGGGCCAGACGTTGCCGTCCTCCCACTCGATGCCCTGCTCCGTGCGCTTGCCTTTGAAAGCTGCATATCTCGCGGGTGCGTTCTTGGGCGGCACCGAGAAGTCGGCCTGCGCGCGGTGTTAACGTCCGTGAGCCACGTCGGTGGTAACCTCTTGGACGCCGGGAGCCGTGCGATAATGCGGTCACCCTTGACGAGGGCAGGTAGCGTGTAGCTCGCGGGCTCGCCCTCGCCGCCGCCGCCGTCGATCCAGGCTTGTCTGAAGACGCCGATCGTCCCATCGTCGACCGTTATCTTGCGCGATCCGCCGGGGTGGTTCTCGGGATCGGTATAGAAACCCTCGAACGCCTTTTCGTCGGCGTTGCTCGCGAGCGTCACGAGGTCGGCGACGTGCGCCGCCGTGTTCAGCGCAGAAATGACAGCGTCGGAGATGTCGTTATCTCTGCGTGCCATAGTGATTGTCCACTGGGTGCTGGGGGTTATCCTGTAGGCGCGGCGGACGTAAGTGAACGATATACCCAGGGTAAATACAAGGTAAATCACTCGCGAAACGGCGTGATTGTAGCATGAAGCACGGCCTCGCGGCCCAAATGACAAATCAGGTTCAGGGCAGTTTTTGCAATGGCTTGTTGAGAGTAATCTCGCTAGTAGGACCTCGGTTCTGAACGCGCAAAGACCCAAAAGCATAAGACAGCTTCACTTCAGCGCGTGCATCCACGGAGGCACCATAATTGGCCCCAAAAAGTTGTAAAAGAGTCACTGGCTGAGAGATGCACCTGCCAGTGCTCGCCCTGTTAGCAGTATGCCCGACAGCCGTCAAGGCGATCAGCACGCCGACGTGTCCGCCGCGAAACTTTACGATTCAATTTGAGCGCAGCCGCGACTTCGACCTCGACACCTTCATCGGCGCTCGGTGGTACGTGCAGCAACAGATGGAGTGCGCCTTAGAACCGGCGAATCTCTTCCAATGCCAGTGGGCCAAGTACAAAAAGATAGAAGAAACGTCCCCCTGGGGGTTCACGATCAAGGCGCACAACCATATCGACCAGATCCCGGGTAACGCGTCGACGATGGACCTGCATCCCTGCGTTGGTGTCGTCGATGCGCCCGCGGGCAAGCTCTCCGTGGGCCAGTGTTTTCTGCCCGAGGCGCTCGCTGGACCGTAGCAACTGCGTCTTCGCGACGACGTCGCGTCGATAGTGTCGTCTCGCACAGGTACTGGGTCTACTTGTACGACGAGTCTAAGGGCTATGCCGCGGTTGGCGGCGGTCCCCCGACGGAGGCGGCCCCCGGCGGCTGCCGCACGGGCACCGGCCACACGAACTCGGGGCTCTGGATCTTCACGCGCGCGCAAGCCCGGTCCGAGAGCATCGTGCAGACCGTCCGCGGCAAGCTCAAGACCATGGGTTTCGACCTCGACGCCCTCCGCGACGTGCGGCAGACCGGCTGCCCGGGGTAAGTGTTCCTGCGACTCGGAGCATACACACTCAACACTCTTAACAGGGAACCAAATCAGAAGTCCTCCACGCCAGCCCACGTCTCCCCCGGCACGGGCAGCCCCTCGGACGCCGCCGCCGCGGTCGCCTTCAAGCGCTCGAGCTCGCGCGCCGCCGCCCACGCGTAGAGGTCCACGTCCAAACCATTCATGTACCGGACGCGCTCCTGGGATCCTGCCGAAGGCTGCCAGTCCGCCGGCTTTTTATCCGACTTGCCGCCCGGCGCCCTCTTGGCGAGGAAGGACGGCGACAGGATCTCGTCCGTCGTCGCCTTTTTGTTTTGGCGTTTAGCTCGGGGGAACTTGCGCATAGTTGGCGTAAAGCAGAGCTTCTCGCCCAGCCGCTCGAGTGTCCCCGGGTGGCTTAACCACTCCGAGATGAGGACGTCGTCGAACACACCAGCTAATACATCCCGCGCCTTCGCCAAGTCCCCTTCTGGTACGCCGTTGCTGTAGCCCGGTCCGAACGTGTCCGCGGAGGAGTACCCGCGGAACGTTCGCACGTAGTAGTTCGACAGGCATCGGTTTCCCACGCCCCGGCCGCCGCCGCCGCATTTGTTACCATCTAGCCACTTCTCCTCGCTGATAGATCCGCCCTTGTCGTACCAGTAGCGGCTCCAGACGCGCTGCACCGGGTCCCGCAGCACCGTCACGAACCACGCGTTACGTTTGGCGTAGTGCCGAGCGCTCGAGAGCCAGCGCGGATCCGCCAACGTGCTGCCCTCGTGCTGCGACGTGCGCCACTTGTTGTCCTTCGGGGCGAAGCGTCCCGCGCCGCCCGCCGGCGCCTCGCTGCTGCCCCACAGGTGCATCAGCACGCCCTCGCGAATGGTTGCGCCGGCGGCGCCGTATAACTTCACCGAAAACGCGCCGCAGGGCCGCTTACATCCTTCCCGCAAGGGAGCGCATGGCAAGCCGTTGTTCTGGTGCTTGCATTTTTTCACGTCGAAATCGCAGTCGCCGGCGGTCGCTCGCAATTCTCGGATTTCGGCGACGAGTCCCGGCGCGTCGTTGTTCGCCTTCTGGCGCACCCAGGCCTTGACGCCGTCCATGTGCTCGCCCGCGGTTTTGCGCAGTTGGCGCCTCTGCGGAGCCGTGCGGTTCGAGGCCAATCCCGTCGCGGCGAGAGATGTCGCGGAACTAGCGGCGGCAGCGCATAGCGTCAGCAGATAGTTAGGACGTGTCATCAGAGGAAGTGTCATCAGTGTCGCGCGCGCGCGAGCGGCGGGGCGGTATTTTACCCGATTTAGCTGCGGAGCTTGTAGCTCTCCGTAGAGATCAAACCAAAACGCGCCGCTTCTTTTGCGATCGATTCACTACCGGAGAGGTATTTTCCGAGCCGCAGCTTGATGCTAAGCTCGCTCGCAGCGTATTTTTCAGGCGCCGAGCAAAACCCGGCTGCTGGCCACCCTTGCAAGGCTTGCAGACGCCGTACGCACGGATAGCTGCACCACGCGCCGTCAAAACATCGCAGCAGTGCAGTGGAAGCCAGCCAAGCCAGTGCGCTCAGCTCTCGTGCACCCAGGACCAACGCTCTCTCTGCAGCAAGAGCATCTCCGAGCGCATATTTGCATGCGCAACCAAACCGGAGCCGTAATCGCAGCAGTAGTGGCATTCGTAGCCATGCGCGCCTTCACGCGCCGACTGTACGGCAAACGCACGCTCCTGCGGCAAAAGAGCTCGGCGCCGCGCCTGCCACCGCAAGTGCCGCCGTTCCAGGACGCCGACCAACAACAACTCTACGACACCATCGTCGACACACGAATTAAAGTAATAGGCAAGGACGCGTTGTTTGATGAAAGGGGCGCTCTGCGGGGCCCGTGGAACCCCGAGGTCGCTTCACCTTTATTAGGCCGCCACCTCGAGCGCCTGGCGACGGCGGTGCGCACGGAGAACTCGCTAGAAGCGAACGTGTATGAAGTGGCGATCCTGGCCGTCGGCGTCGCGTGGCACGCCCAGTTCGAATGGTATGCGCACGAGCGGCTCGCGCGGAAAGCCGGTGTCGCTGACGAGGCGTTGCCGCTCATCAAGGCGAATGCGCATCCTCGGCACCTCGAAGGGATTCTTACAGTAGAAGAGCTCGCCGCCTATACCTTTTCGCGGGAGCTGGCCCTGACGACGCGCGTCTCGGACGAGACGTACGCTTCGACCAAAGCAGTGCTGGGGGGCGACCGCGCGATGGCCGATTTGAGTCTGACGATCGCCTGCTACCACGGCGTCTCCGTACTACTCAATTCTTTCGAGGTCGCGCTGCCGGAGGGCGTCGAGAAGCCCTTCCCCGAAGAGTAAGTTTCCCACGGTTCGAGATGCGGCGACGGCGTGCTGGTGGCGAAGTGCACTCCCCCCTCTACACGCTTTCGACGCAAGCCTCCCCGCGACGCCGGCGCCTCGGGACCTAGGGTCCGTAGATGCGCCATCGAGACGCATGGCCTCGGAGCGGTCTAGCGAAGGCAAAGGAGCAATATTCAAGGCCTTTTTACAAATCTACTCCTCGACGGCCGCGTCGTCGTCGTCGGACATGTCGTCATCCGACGATATCACGTCCGACGGCGCGACGCGCGCGCCCGTGCTCACCACATCGTCGTCGTCGGAGTCGTCGGGCACGCAGCCGCCGTGCTTGCGGACTCTTGCTATCAACTTCATGACGTCGTCGCCGATTTGTAGCGAGGGCCGCTTCTGGAGTTGTGGAGACGCGCAGGGTATTTGCGGCGGCGGCGCGAGGTTTTGGTGGGAGCAGTAGTCGGCCAACGTGCGCCTTGCAGATTCCGCACGGTCGCGCGCGGCGTCCCTATCCGCCCTTTTTTGCCGCGCCAGTTCCGAAGCGTGCTCGGCCTTCTCCCGCGCCTTCTTCGCCGTGGCCTTGGCCTTGTTCGAGCGCTTCTTACCCGAAGCCGACGTTAAAGCCTCCTCACATGTTTTATGGGCGGCGTCGGCCTCGTCCGCCAAGACAGCACAAGCGACATACGCGGCCACGCAAGCGTCAAACGCGTTGGACTTCTCTGATAATTCAATAGTTTTTTGCGCCTCGGCCAACTTCTTCGCTTGGAGCTGGGCCTCTTTTTTTTCTTTTAACTTTTTTTCTTTGGCCCGCCTCCGCTCCTGCTCCCTTTGTTTGTCTTTTTGGCGCTTCTCCTCCTTCTGCCTTCGCAATTCTTCTTCTTTTTGCAGTTTCTGTTGCTGTTTTCGTCGGAGAGCCTCCTCGCGCTCCCGCGCCTGCTGGTCGCGTTTCCGCTGGAGGTCGTCGGCCCGTTTCGCCTTTTCCCGCGCCTCGGCCTCGGACAGCTCCCGCCGCGTGTTTTTAGTTTGGGCGCTCCTCGCCTCCCTTCTCCTCGCTTTTTTGGCCTCGGTCTTCATGTAGCGCCGCTCCCACCTAGGTCTTTTGTCGTCGTCGTCATCCACCGAACCGCTCGAGGGCTTTGTTGTTTGTTCTGTAGCTGGCGCGCGCCGCGCCACGACGAAGGTGACGCACGTGCACGCGACGGCGCCGAGCAGCACGTAGAGGCGGCCGAGGCCGAGGGACGCTAATGCCAGTAGCGCGAAGAGGAAGGCGTGGGCCGCCGTGGCGACGCCGTCATTTTTCTTTTGGAGCTTCGCAGCGGCGGCGGGCGGGGCCGCGGCGTCCGCCATGCAGTTCTCTGGCCTTCAGAGGCCTCCTTCAGAGAGCTCTGGGGGTTGGCTGCGGAGGCCTCGAGGTGATGGCGTGCAGGACTGGAGCTCGCCAGACAGCCTCACTATCCTCTCCCCAAGGAAGGGCACAGGGCACAATCTCACGGGCGAAGCCGGGCAGGCGTGCTGCTCGATAATGATAGCGGATATACATACTAGAAACCCGAACTTGAAGGAACCGGTGGGAAGCGTCTATTCGCACCGATTCGTCGACGCCTGCGCAGTCCTAGGACCGTTATTGCAGGCAGATAAGCTTGTGCCAACCCGCGGCGCGCCTCGCGACGGAAAGGCAGATGCCTAGAGGCCGCCCAAGGCTACCACACAAACAGATTAACCACGCGACGCGGACGCCGTCATCGCGCGGCGAGCGCCGGCACCCGAGATCGGATGTCCTCGATCTCGCCCCGGAGCTTCTCGATGGTCAGCGCCGCGACGGGCCGGACCGCGCCCTTGCCCTGGGGCCCGCGCAGCATCGCCTCGAGCTCGCGGATCACCGTCTCGCGCTCCGCGACGTCCTTCTCCACGTCGCCGTGCGTGCAGTCGCCGCAGCGCTTGCGCAGGATTGCCACCTCGTCGCGTAGCGCCTCGAGCTCGGCGCGCTCGCGGCGCCGCTGGCTCACGCGGTTGTTGTGCCGCAGCGTGTTCGTGAGGACGTGCGCGGCCTGGACGCGGCGCAGCTCGCGCTTGTGCTTGCTCGCGCCGCTGCCCATTTCGCCTAGCCTCGCACCCCTGTGGGGCTACCTCGACAGCTCGACTGTGGGGCTGCCTACACACAGCTCGGAGGTGCGCCCTGCGGCTGCCGCGGTGAGTGCGTATGGGGCAGGCGTGTCCGACGTGTGCGCTTGAGTCCCTGGAGACGAAGAGGCGCTCTCTCTCTCGGCTGCCCAGCGCGGCTCTCTCTCAGCCGAACCCGAACGGAGCCAGCCGTCCAAAACCGACGGCAAGATAGCTTGCTTCGTCCCGAGGGGTATATCTGGAAGACTGCTAGCTTGACCGGCAAAAAAAAAAGCTGCAAAAAGCGTTGCCAGGCGCTGCGCAGTGTTGTGCCGGCAGAGACACCCACGAAAGCGGTCGAGGCAGCCCCAAGTAGACCCATGCCGCTCACCGACCATGCCCCTGCCGTGCTGCGCGGCGTCGCGACGGCGGCCAGTTGGTTTGTTATCATTGTGAGCTTGTGGGTCGCGGACAGGAACCGGAGGCCCAACGCCTTCGCTGTGTTCGTCTGGCTCGCGGCGCTGAGCGCCCTCGCGGCGTCGATGGTCGGCTGCTTCTCGTTTTTCGCGAGCCAGAAGCTCGAGCGGTGTCGCCACTTCATGGCAGCATCGGCCGCTCTGTCAGCGTTTTGGCTCTTCGTCGCCCTCCTCACGCCAACAAAACAACGCGATCTGGGGAAGGACGGCCTCGCGCTGGCGGCCATCGCCGTCGTCGCCGCGGTCGTGGCCGCGGCGCTGGCCCTGGCCGCGACGCGGCTCGAGGAGCACGGGGTGCTTATTACGGAAGGGTGCTGTCCCGCGCGGCCGACGCTGCCGGCGCTGCCACCGTGCCCGCCGTGGTGTGTGTGTCCCGACGTCCGCACGTGGTGGGGGTCGCGGCCGTCCGTCGTGACGACGCCGCCGGAGAAGGCCGTCGACGACGCGCCGCGGCTGCTCTACCCGATTCCCGGCGCGGCGGAGGCCCGCGTCGTGCCCGTCGACCCTGCGGCGGACGAGCTGCCGCCGCCGCCGCTCACGGTGTACCCGCTCAGTCCATAACGGTTTGGTATTTTCTTTCTTAGGACTATTGGGCGCGTCAGAATTGTTGGGCGTAGCTGGTATTGTTGGGCGCGTAGGAAATCCGCGCGCTAGCACAAGACACTAGCAGAGCAGACCGAATTGATCGCGCGCTCGGGGCGCCACGGCAGCCCGTTTGCAAGAAACAGTTGCAAATAATTCCGCTCGCCCGCCGTCGCGCAAAGCTGCACCATGGGCGACATCCCGCTGCTCGAGAAAATTGTAGAAGCCAGTGTAAGCAACCAATGGCCGCGCCGGCGGACGGAAGCACGCCATCGATCGGATGCCAGCAACGGGGCAGCGCCGCGAGCACGCCATCGATCGCATGCAAGCAACGGGGCAGCGCCGAGCACGCCATCGATCGCATGCCAGCCACGGGGCAGCGCCGATCGTCGTCCGCAACGCAGGCGCTCTCGCCTTTGTTAATCATGGGCGTGCTCATGCTCGCCGTGGGTAGGTACGACGCGGACCTCGAGACGCTGCTGCCCGGCGTCACGGAGCGGTTCGAGGTCGCCGTCGGCAAGGCCTTCGTCGAGGACCGCGATCAACTGAACGCGGCGTGTTCCCTGATCGGCGTGCTCAAGGTGCTCGTCGTGCTGAACATCTGGGGCCTGAAGAACACGCGGGTCCAGTTGATACTGGCCGCGGTCGCGGTGCCGGGCTTCGCGCTCGTGATCTACGCGCACATGGCGTTGGGGGATTTGCCGTCGGCGTACATGCCGGCCGTCGTCTTCATGGTGCTGCTGCCGAAGACGGCCTTCGCCATGCTCCGCGGCGACGAAGCGGAGCCCTCAGAGCCCGCCGAGGAGGCCGCGCCGGCACCTGCGCCTGCGCCAAAAACCTCGGGGCGGACCGGGAAGCACAAGAAGCGCTGATGCTCTCCCCGGCTGTGTATATACGAAACTATATTTATGCCGTAGCCATCTCCCGCAGCAGCCAGAAGCCCGCGGGCTCGACGCCGTCGTCGTCGGGCCGCTGGACCACGACGAAGTGCAGGCCGTCCAACCCCGCTTTCGCCTTCTCGAAGCCCGCCGCCTCGACGCGCTGGCTGTCGTCCAAGCGCGCGACGAGGAAGGACTCGTCGAGGGCCACGTCCAAAACGAGCTGACGTTGCGTGCTGTCAGCACGCACGGACGCGAGCTCCGTCGACGCCAGGGACATCGCCAAAGCATCCGCGCGCCGCGTCAAAATCGCCACGCCCGGCAGCATCGCGCCCGGGTCCAAATCACTTTTAACGTTGATCATCTTCCCGACGCCGACGTTGTCCTCGGTCACGCCGCCGCCGGCCTGGACCTCGGCCACGGGCAGCGTGACGAAGGCGTACTGCTCGCCCCGTAACGCCTCGGGCAATCTCGCCGGCGTCGTCGGCGCCGTCATGCGGTCCCTCGTCACCTGTTGGGCACCAGAATAACCCTCCATGGCCGGGTAGACGTCGCGCTCCCGCTCCTCCAACCAGTCGTAGATGGCGTGCGTCGCGCGCGACGGCGCCACCCGTAACGTCGGCCGCTCCGCCGCGACGCCGCCCAACGCGATCGTGAGCATGTTCAGCATTTGCCGCCTGAAAAATCTAATCACCGTCGGCTTGACCGGTGCTCTCGCGATCACGCCTTCCACCGCTTCTCGGACCGCGACACTATTCACACCGGTCGCCGGCAGCTGCACCGCTTCCCTCCACTGGCCGGTGCTGTCCACAACTAACAACTCCCAGAGCTTCTTGCCGTCCTGGACCACGGGCCTCGAGAAGCAGTCGAGCTCCCACTCCGTCGAGATGGGCCGCTCCGTCGCTTGCGCGACGGGCGTTTGTAAAGTCGCGGCGCTCCGTCGCGTCGGCGCGATGGGTTTCAGGCGCGCGGGCGCCCAGGCGAGCGCCGTCGTCGCGATGACGGCGGCGGCCGCCGCGCGGCGAAGATGCCTTTGTCGCTGGGGCATGCTTGATGCGTGCGACGCGAATCCGGCCTCGGTCTGGAGATAGGCGAGGATGCCGCTGTGGGAGTCCACGCGAGCAGCGGTTGAGCGTCTAGCGCGATGACGCAGCACGAATGCCTAATTATAAAGATCAAACGCGAGCAGTTTGTTGCTTGGGCGTCGCTTATGGATCCCAATTGCCGAGTGACATGGCAAGCCCGCTAGCTAGGCCCTCTAGTCTCGAGCTTTCTTTGCGACGAAGGAATGCAGCTATGTGAATGGCACAGCCGACAGCAGACGACTCCGTGTAGGCGTGGTTTCGCGGAGAGCCAAGCTGTGGATTTGCTGTGTGACGGCGAGGTGCGAGGTGGACGCGAGCGTGCCCGGTAACGAAGGGATTGCAGCAAGATGGTCAACGTGACGTTGTGAGCAGCGGCGTCCAGCGATACGTGCAAGCTTTGCCTGCCGACGCAGCGATACGGAGAGGAGACAGCCAGATATAGCTAGCAACATGCATCCAGCACTCGTCGCGCGCGACGACGGCCCAGCGATGCAGCGGAACGTGCCGCACACACATGCCGGTCGCAGCGAGAGAACGATGCAATTTGCACAAACACACATGGCACAAACGCCGCGGCGCGCACACGCGTTGCACCACGCAGGGTCGTCGGCATCACGCTCTGGTACGCGTTCAACGTGGGCTACAACGTCTACAACAAGAAGCTCTCGAATGCGCTGGATTACCCCATGTTGATCGCGCTCACGTCGCTGGGTGTGGGCATTCTTTACTTTGCGCCGCTCTGGGCGCTGGGCTTGCGGAAAGCGCCCAAGCTCACGCCCGAAGATATCAAGGCATGCACGGTCCTGTCGATGTTACATACGGTGGGCCACGTGGGCGCCGTCGTGGCCATGTCCGCCGGGGCCGTGTCGTTCACGCACATCATCAAGGCCTTGGAGCCCATGTTCTCGGTCATTTTCGGCATCCTGATCAACGGCACGAGCGACCCGCTCAAGGTGAACATCTGGCTCGTACCCATCATCCTGGGCGTCGGGTGGTCGGCCGTCGGGTCCAAAATTATGGCGGGGCAGGACATCTTGGCGGACATCAACATGACGGCCTTCGGCGGCGCCATGACGTCGAACGTCGCGTTCGCTCTGCGCGGCTTGCTCTCCAAAAAGGTCAAGGCCGAGTCCAAGTCCGAGAACCTCTCTTCGTCGAACTTGTATTCTATTCTCACCTTGATCTCGTTCTTCCTCTTCTTACCGTTTGCTTTAGTGTTGGAAGGGAATAAATTAAGTGCAGCGTGGCCGCCCGTCGAGAACCTCGAGGAGATCCCCGAGAAGATTCTGGGCATTCCCGTCTTTTCGTCGACGTCCCTGAACTACGGTTATGAATTGGTCATCTACACGGGCTTCTTCTACTACATGTACAACGAGATGGCCTACCTCGTGCTGGGCGAGGTCACGGCGACGGCGCAGGCCGTGGCGAACACGGTGAAGCGCGTCGTGATTCTCCTCGCGACCGTCGCGTTCCTCGGCGAGTCCATGGACGTGCACAAGGCCTCGGGGGCCGCCGTGGCGATCGGCGCGACGATGATGTATTCGATTGCCAAGACCAAGAAGTAGAATGTGTCCGCCGGCTATAGCTAGTAGTAAATGGTGGTTCGTCGTAATTACTCGTCAGGGCGTCCCGTCGCGCGTGAAGATGATCTCGCGAGGCATCCGCTCGGGCGTCGGCGACTTCGTGCGCCCCGCGTCGCCCATGACGGCGGCGAGGACGTCCGCGGGCTTGGGCACAGCCGCCGGCGACGCGGGCGCGGCCTCCTCGCGCGAGTACTTGGCCTCGACGGCGCTCAGTAGCTGGGCCTCGCGGCCGGGCCACTTCGTCAACAACGTGTCGACCTCGTCCACCTTCTCCGGGTTGTAGCGCTCGTAGAGGCGCACCATGGCCGCGCGCGCCGATGCGACGAAGCCGCCTCCTAAATCCGGGTTCAAATCGGCAGGCGACGCCGTGCGCTCGCCGTCCGTCGCGTCGGCGTCGTCCGGTTCGGCCCGCTTCGGTTTTGATGGCGAGATGGGCGAGGTCGCAGGGTTGGTGGACGCGCGCGGCGGCGGCAAGGCCGTGGGACACCGCCCGGCGGCCGCCAAAGCGTCGGGCCGACTCGGCTTGCGCTTCTCGACCTCGGGCGTCGCGCGCTTTTGGTTCAGCTTCGGCGGCGGTAATGATGTAGGACACTTCCCAGAGGCCGCCACGGCGTCGGGCGACAGCGGCTTCGCGCGCGGCCTCTTTTCGTCCTCCTCCTCGGGCTCCGTCTCCCAGGACTCGTCCGACGCCGTCGTCATGTCGTCCGTCGCCCAGCCGGCCTCGGAATGCACGGGCGACGCTGCGCGCGGGCGTTCCGGTGCAGGCGCGGGCGGCGGCGGCGGCGGCGGCGGCGGCGGCGCGGCGGGCGCCTCGTCGCGCGACGGGCTGCGCATGCGTCCTATCAAATTCATGGCGCTGCCGATCAAGCCCTTGCGCTCCGCCGTCCGCGGCGTGTCTACCACGGGTATGTCCTCGTCGTTCGACGTCGAGGTGTCTCCAATATCTCCGAAGCTGGCGCGCTTCGGGGGCATGGTGGGCTTGGGGCTGTTGGTTGTTGGTGGTGGAGGCGGCGGCGGCGGCGGTGGTGGTGGCGCGGCGGGCGCGGCGGGCGCGGCGGCGGCGGTCGCCTTGGGCGACGCGGCCGCCGGCGCGGCCGCCTTCGAAGGCTCCGCCGCGGGCGCCGGGGCAGGCGCGGCCGGCGGTGGTAGCCGCGGCGCGGGCGCGGGCGGCGGCACGGCGCCCCTCTCGAGCACGGCCGGCCGGTGGGCGTGCAAGCGCGCGAACGTCAAGGTGAGCGGCCGCGGCTGCCGTTCTATCTGCTTCGAGATCTCCTCGAAGATGAGGATGTGGTTTGGCAGGTCAAAGTCCTCGCCGATCGCGACGAGTTCGTCCTGCGGCTGCAGGATATTCGAAGCGGGCGACGCTTCTCGGATAGTGTCGACGATGATCATCTTGCGCTTCGTGCGATGGTCCGTGGCTAAGACCAATGATAGACCTAACGTCGCGCCTCCGAACGTCACGTCATAGAGGTCCACGGCGCCCCGCAGCTCCTCGAGCTTCTTCCGCCGCTCCGCTCGTTCCTGCCTCACCTCCAACTCGGCCTGCCGCTTCACGATCTCGATCTGGTCCGAGATGCGCCTCTTTAATTTCGCTCTAGCGATAGGACTTGTGGGGTCCTCGCCGTCGTCTAAGATCTTCGAAGGTGACGTCGGCGCCTCTTTTTGTTGAGTGATGGGCTGGATCAGATCGTCGACCAGTGTAATTCTTTTCGGCTTTTTGCGGACGGCTTTTTTTACATAATAAAGGGGATCCCAGGGCCGCTCCAATTTCCTGAGATACACTTCGGCGCGGTCGTGGCCTTGTTTTGCTGCTCTCCATAAAAACATATGAGCTAATTCCTTGTCTTTCTTGACGCCGGTCGTGCCCTCGGCGTAGCACCGCCCCAAACGAAACTGGGCCTCGGAGAGACCCTCGCCCTGGAAGATGACATCATTCTCTCGCCGCTCCGCGGCAGCCACCCAGCAGTCGAACATCTTGGCCTTGTCCCTGGGCAGCCCCAAATCTCCACCCTCGTAGCAAAAGCCCAACGTGCACTGCGCGCGGCGGTGGCCGCCCTCGGCCGCCGCTCTCAAAATACTCAGCTCGATCTGCGAGACGGGCTTGCCCGTGCAGTGCTCCCAGAGGGCATCCAAGCGGCGCTCCTCGGCCTGGCGCTCCTGCTTCGGGAGCTTGGGCGGGCGGGGGAGGAAGGATCTGGCGGCCATGGTTTGCTGCCCTTCTTAATTTGAGCCTCTCTCGCCTTCCTGGGCTGCCCCCGGTGCGTGAGGCACCCGGTCGCGTTTACGCGGTGACACGATACCCGATACGAATTGCTAGTATCTGTCTACACTAGCTCGCTTGGCTTTTCCCTCTGCCGCACCGCATTCATCGATTTCGCGGTAGCTGAGGCTGCACTAGCACTCACGGGTGAGCTGTGCGACCGGTCCACTGGGTTGCATGCATCGAAAGCTGTCCGCGCTGCTGCTCCTAGCGCACTGCTGCCACTCCTGCCTAGCGCTGCTCCAGCCTGCTGTGCGGGTGCGGCGTGCTCGACCGATGTCGGCGCTCGACGCGTCCAAATCGGCCGCGACGATCGCCGACTACGACGCGGTGGCTGCAGCTTTTGATGCCGGCAACAAGGACCACGACGTGAGCCAAAACATCGACGCGCTGCTCGGATCGATCGCCGCGGGACGCGCTGGCGACGCGTTGGGCGGTGCAGCAGGCACGGAGCGGCCGATCATCGTCGATCTCGGGTGCGCCGGCGGCCGTGACCTTATAGCACTCACGGCACGCGGTTGCGAGGCGTGGGGCGTCGAAGGGAGCCCCGCATTTTGCGAGCTAGCAAGGAGGGCGGCACCGGGCTGCACGGTGCTCGAGCAAGATTTCGTCGATATGGACCTTCCGGCAGAAACCTTCGACGGCGCCTTCGCGAACGCGTCGCTCTTCCACGTGCCGAGCGAAGCCTTGCCGGACGTCCTCCGACGCATCTTCGAGAGCCTGAAGCCCGGCGGCGTGTTCTTCGCGTCGAACGCCCACGGCTTCGGCGAGGACAAGGAGGGCTGGACCGACGGGCGGACCCCGGCGACCCGCTCCTGGGTCTGCTGGCTGAGCGAGGCCACGTGGAGGCGATACTGCGAGGCCGCGGGCTTTACGTTCCTGCACTCGTACTACCGCGGGAGCTCGAAGGCCTTCCTGGCGACCGTGTGGCGGAAAATGTAAGATACATTGTTTGTTAATTACTAGACTGCTTCCACGCCTCCCGCGCCGCGGTCAGTTTCGACCGCAGCGACGGCTGCGCCACGTCCAATGCCGACTCGCCCGCGGCGTTCGTCACCGTCGGGTCCGCGCCGTGCGCCGCCAGCGCGAGCGCGATCGACGCGTGGTCGAAGAGCGCCGCGAGGTGGAGCATGGACTCGGTCTGGCGGTCCTGGTACGACGCCAAACTCGAATCCCTCGCCAGCACATCTTTCACACCGTTCAAATCGCCGGCCTTGATGGCGTCGCGCAGGCCCTCGCCCGTCGCGGCGTAGGTCTTGGCGCCGCCCGTCAGGAACGTCGCGCGCGCCGTCGTCTGCGGGAATTTCCGGACGGCCTCGCCCTCGGGCTTTTGTGCGCGCGGCGGCTTCGGCGGAGGTTTGGGTTTGGGCGCCGGCTTCGGTGGAAGCGGTTCCGGCAGCGCGTCCGCGAGGCCGGCGAGCGGGTCGGACGACATGAACGACGGGTCCCATTTTGGGGGAGACGGCGGCTTTGGAGGTTCGGGCGCCGGCGCGGGCGGCTCGACGATGGAGCGCCGCGCGGGCTTCTCGGGGGGCGTCGCCTTCGGCGCGGCGTCCGGCGGCTCCCGTATAAAGCTCGTGAAGGCCGCGTAGGCGGCCGGAGCGGGGGCCACGGCCAGCGCGAGCTCGCGCAGCCAGGCCTCGAGCTCCCTTTGCCTTTTCGCCGGGTCCGCCCGGCCGAACAAATTCTTCCCGGGGAACGGCGACGCGAGGGGCCCGAGCTCCTTCGAGACGGCTCTCCTTAAGTCGTCGAAGGCGCTGTAGCGCCGGCGCACCGCCCACGTCTTCAGGCCGCGCGCGATCTCCACCACATAAGCCTGGTAGGTCGCGCCCGCGTCGTCGAGCGCCCACTCGACGTCCACTATTCTAATGTCCATGGGTCCTTGGTGCTCGCGCCGCGCGTTCGTTGCGATGCTTCCTCCTGCTTTCAGCAACCAGGGCAGGGCTTGGTCGCTGGAGCTCGTGCGCCGCGCCGTGTTTGGGTCTCCTGTGGGTCCTGGCTGCTGTCGAGCCACACGTGTTTGCCGTGTGCGCGGTCGTTGGCAGATCTTCCAGAAAGGCTGGAAGAGCTACTCGAGCCGTAAAACGGCAACACGGTGGCTAATGCACGCTGCGGCTGCGCAAAATTGGCGCCCAGTGATTTTTTTGCGCTGGAAAACGGGTTTTTGCGGTCGATCGCGTCCTAGAGTCCTCAAAGCCCCCTCTCGAGTGGTCGCGTGGGCCAATGCGACTTGAGCGGCGGCGGCGGATGGGAGAGCTTGGAAAGCAAAGCTTCCTGGACTTGTGCCCACCGCCTGCGCCCGCCCGCAGCCGCACGCGTGGGGCTTCCCGGCTGCCAACAAACCTCCTCGGTCCTCAATTTTCAAAAGTGCCCCGGCCGCCGGCACCGAACAATCAGCACTGAAGGGCAGCCCCACCATGTTGTCAACCACGAGCACGCCGCGCGCCGCGTCGTCGCCCGAGAGCGAGGGCGAGTACTTCAAGAAGAGGAACTGGAAGCACAGGGACGTCAAGCAGCGTCACGGCCTGCACGGCTACGATCCTTTGGATAGAGCGTTCCAGCAAATTCGCGAGGAGAAAAAACAGCGGAGCACCTTCTTCAGCTCACCTAGGTCTCCTTCCGCGAAGGAGCACGCGAAAAGAGCGACAGATCTACTCAAGGAGCACGTCGAGACGATGAAGGGTTTGGACCTCGCGTTCCGCTACACGTTTCGCGGCGCGAAGCTCGGGTTTTCGATCGTCGTGGCGCGATACGGCGAAGAAGGGCGGGAACACGTCCAGATCGAGGCCACGCAGCCGCACTGCGACCTGTACAGGCCGCAGCGGCCCTTGAAGGAACTCGAGAACATGAGAGATAAAATCATGCCGACGGACGAGTTGATAGCCATCAACGGCGAGTACATCCCCGACGTGTCGGCCAAGACCTTTCCGCAAATTCTCAAGAAGATCCAGAAGGCGGGCCGGCCGCTGACGGCGACGTTCGTGCTGGGCGAGAGGCGCGAGGAGGCGCACTCCGAGCAGGAGGAGGGGCGGGCCATGCTGCGCGAGGATTTACGACTGCCCGACGTGTCTGGTTATGTGAAGGAGGCCCAGTCTCATCGAGCCATCGCCGCGGACGGCCTGCGGCAGACGAGGAAGGCAGTCGAGGCGAGAAGGCCGATCAACGAGTGCCGGACCTACGTCAACGCCGCCGAGCAGGGCGCGCTGAAGGCCGCGCCGCCGGCCCAGGCCTGCGCCAAGCTCCCCATCGACGCGAGATCCGCGAAGGCCGAGCGGTTGATCGGGACCGCGCAGCTGAAAACGGCCCAAGCCGCGCAGGACGCCCGCACCGACGCGGACGAGGCCGCCCGACTCCTACGAGCCTACGAGTTGCGAAGAAATGCGGAGGACGGCGAGACGTTCGCGGTGGACCAGCTGAGCAGTCCCGGTGCGATTGCCGGAGTGTGCTTCCGCGATGACGTTGAGGGAGATTCGATCCTGGGCGACCTGCGCGCGCCGCTCGCGGGGTACAAGCCCGACGCGGCCTGGTGCTGCGGGAGCTGGGTCCTCGTGAAGGCGGAGGGCCTGGATCAGTATAGAGGCGCGCTTTCCAAAAGAACGACGGCGTCGGTGCGCGTGCCGGACGGCGCTTCCGCAGGAACAGTTATAGAGGCCCACCTGCCCGACGGGACGCCCGTGAACGTGATTCTACCAAGGGGCGCGCGGCCCGGCCAGCAGCTCGACGCGCCCATCTCGTATGCTCGGGACTTGACGCTCGACGTGGCCATCTCGCGCAGTTCCGCCTACGAAGTGAGAGCGACGGAGCAAGGGCGTAGCAGGAGGGAGCGCGGCACGCTCAACAAACCGCTTGCCATCCAGCGGGGCGCCCAACAGATGACGAAGACCTTTACTCTCTCAAAGGACCGCGCGGACATCAGCGCGACGAACGGCCAGCAGACGCGCTGGGTGCCCGGGCCCAACGACACTTTAGTGGTAACGTCGACCTTTCCCCGTTTAACCCCTTTATCTGTGGAGCTGATTTTTGAGAGAAGGAGTAAGCCTATTGAGGAGGACGACGAGGACCCGTTCGCCAAGTACCTACCGGCGAAAGTCGACGCTCATGCGTTCCTGCGGCAACTGAACTCCGTCGTCGCGACGGCGGGCCTCAAGTACAGGAACCAGCGCGCGAACATCCCGCGAGACGAGGAGGACGCGTGGAATATATATATTATGACGGAGCACTGCGACGCGAAGTTCGAGTGGTTGTGCGGCCAGTGGGCCTGCGTCGCGACGGAGGGCTTGGCCGAGTACAACAGAGCGCTGGGTCTGAAGCTGCCCGACGAGGCGACGCCGATGGCGCTCGGCATCGCCGTGTCCGGCGACCGGTTTTATGAATTGCACGTGCGGTCGGGCGGCGAGTATTTCATCGAGCGGGGCGAGTTCGGCAAACCGACCGTAATCAACGCGGCGGGCGGCGTGACGTTCGACAAGCGCTGCGACGTATCAGCATCAGGTAAGACGATGGCCGTGGGCACGCCGGGCGCGCAGGTCGTCTCCATCAAGCGCCTGTCGCCGACGGACTCCGATCTCTTAGTGACAACCTCATACCCGGAACTGACCGACGCCGTCGTCTGCCGCGTCTTCACGCTGAAGCACAAGTGGTCCGAGAAGAACGGCGTCGGCGCGGGCCACGCGAACGCCGAGACGGGCTCGGCCTACCGCCTCGACGGGCCCGGGCCGCGGCCGCAGACGGGCGACGACGACTTTTTTGGGTTGGACTACACGTGCGGCGCGCTGGGCATGCGCGAGGGGTGCTACGCGGGGTGCGTGGGCTAGGTCGGGCCCGATGCGTATAGTACACAATGAGCACTTATGTACGGCTCCTGCGAGGCTGAGGCTAGTTACGTCGCAGGGTTCCCCGTACCCCTCCCGCTCCCCCTGGGCCCACCCGTCCGGCTGGACTAGGACGCAAGGGCTGAGTCACAGGGACTCGCACGCCCCCCCTTCTTTTGGGACGACCCCCGTCAGGATGTGGAACTGGCCGCTGGCTCCTCTTTTACGACGAGCCGGAAATCAAGTGGTGAGAGAGATGCCCTCGCACACCAGGCCGAGCAATCCTGAAGCGGGGAGCGAGAGCTCCGACCCGCCCAGACGGCCCTTGACAATAACTCGTCGGAACGGAACTAATGGGTTCAATGGATGCCACGGCGATTCGGAGGGCCTACGAAAGCTCGGCTGGCGCGGCCAAGGTTACGGGGGGCGGCATGCCGCCGCCCCCAACGCCTCCCAGGTCGAGACCGGCTCCGCTCCGTAGGGTCGGTCCGGTCGCAGGCAGATGAGGCTCGCCGCCATGCCGGCGGCAGAACTTCAGGAAACGGGCCGGATACCTCCGAACGCGCACCACTCGATGCCCGAGGATGGGTGCCGTCCGTGTTCCGGGCTCGACCCGCCAATGATAAAGAAAGTAGGCGCGCCATGCCGGCGACGCCCAGAAAGAAAGTTGACGCGCCATGCCGGCGACGCCCGGAAAGAAAGATCGGCTGACCCGGCCGTGCGCGTTCACGATGGAGCCCCCCGGCTGTGCGCGTTCACGATGGAGCCCCCGCCGAAACGCCGCGCCGTCACCACGGGGTAGAGGGGCGAAAGGTAAAAGTCGGGCGAAGGCCAGGCGGCGGCGCGACGCGGCAGCTAAGGCAGCCCCCAAGCTGAAGGCCGTGCTCAGCGGGTTCTGGGCCATTTTTCACGCGGGCAACTCTCATTTCCGGGCTAACAGGGGCGGCGCTGCACGTCGCGGGCAGCCCGGGGTGCGCGGGGTGGCTAGGGGGGCGCGCGCGCACAGCGGAGGCCAAGTTGCGATTCCTAGTGTCTTACTGGACGCTAGTACACAATGAGCACTTTGTACGGCTCCTGCGATTCCTAGTCCAGTGTGGCGCTGTCAGAGGCAGTCTGGCGTTACCAGAAGTAGACCTGTGCAGCAACAAGTTGTGCGCCGCGCGCGAGCACCACTTCGGCAACATTGCCAAGCTATCACAGCAATAATTAATGCTGCGTCGTGCAGCACTACGTGTAGCGCTGCGGCGGCCGGCGCGGCGATACGTGTGGCACGAGGGCAAGATGGAGGAGGCAAGAGCCGAAGAGATAGCGAAAGAGATCAAGAAGCTGCGCGACGACGCCGGCAAGGCGTTCCGCGAGGCGGTCGAGCGCGAAAAGGAGCTGCTGCAGGAGTACGAAAAGTTGACCGACCAGCCGTTCGACGATGAGTGAGTACCTCTATACTCATGATGCTTTGACGGTGCCCCGCGGTGCAGACGCGGGCGCATCGCTCGAGCTGCGCGCGGCCACTGCATGTCCACCACTCGACGTTGCGAAATTCCGAGACGACGGCTTCCTCATACTAAAAGATGCTGCAGCTAGCGATGCCATCGCACGTGCGGCAGCGTACGTCGCGACGCACGAGGCCTGCTGGAGCGCGCCGAGCGGCACACGGCCCGACGACTGGCGCATGCATCGCGACCAGCGCCTGGATGCGCCCGTCGCCGACGGCCACCTACCTATCTTAGACTTGCTGCGGGAACCGCGGCTCGCGGCGGCGATACGCTGCCTGGCGGGTGCCGAGGCGCATGCGGTGTCGTACACGCAAGTCGCTCGGCGGACCCCGGCCCCGCGCAAAGCGCGCCGACGTAACCTGCCGGACACGAGCTATCACATCGATGGCGAGGCCAACGCGAGCGGCGCGCGCTTTCCCGACGTCTTCTCTTTACTCGTCGCGGTGGCGCTGACGCCGCACGAGCGTCCGGGCATGGGCAACCTCACCGTTTTCCCGCAAGGCCATCTGCGCGACTGGCACCAGTACCCGGACTGGAAGCTAGACAAGGCGCTCCCGGACATCGGCCGGCCGTACGAGGTCCCGCTCGGCGTTGGCGACGCGGTTCTGTGCCATCCTCTCTTACCGCACCGCGGCGGCCGCAATGATAGTGAATCGTCGCGGGACCTCGTCTTTTTCCGGGTGCAACTGGCGGGCATCGACTACGCGACGCCCGAACGCGCGGCGGCGCTGCTCGCGGACCCCTGGGCCGAGCTAGGGGTTCCGTCGTCGGCTTAATTTTTCTGTAAGTGTCATTTATTTTATAAGTTTTACCCATCAATAACGAGGTCCGCCACGCCAAGCCCCCCGCGCAGTTCCGCGTCGACGAGCGCGTCCGCGACGACCCGCGCCACGTCGCGCGGCGTCGCGTCCACCTTGGAGATGGTGCCGGCGAGCGCCGGCGGGAACAGGGCGCCGGCCGGCGCGACGGCGTCCGCCTTTGCGCGCTCCAGCCGCGCGCCGGCGTCGTAGCCGAACGCGTCTATCGGCGGCAGGCGCGCGATGAGCGACCCGCTCCAGTCCGCCGTCGACGCGACGCGCGTGAAGGCCGCCTCGGACTCGCGCTTGCGCTCGACAAATGCGCCGTCGCCCGCGGTCGACCGCCCCGACAGCAGGATAAAGGCCAGCGGCCGGTCGGGCTTCGGCCGCTCGCGCGCGAGGCTCTTCGCCAGGGCCCGCGCCAGGAACTCCACGCCTTCCACGTCCGCCGAGCCCTCGCCCGAGGACGCGGCCTTGACGCGGTCGACGCGCGGCAGCCGGAACTCGAAGAGCCGCCCGGCCTCCTCCAGGAGCCGCCCGCCGGCGTCGTCGCCGCGGCTCTTATCCCCATTTGGTTTCAGGGACGCGGCACAGTGAATCACGGCGTCCGCCCCAAACACGACGCCGGTGCAGTCCTTTTCGTTCCTCAAATCCGCGGACCGGACCTCGAGCTTCCGCAGCTTCCGCGCGGCTCGGGCCGCGACTACTTGATTCTGCCCGTACGGCGTCAGCTTCGCATATTCTTCGTCGGACGTGTCCGCGAGCGAATCGTCCTCCGGCGCCGTGTACGTCGCCGGCGAGTTAAATAACGGACCGCCCTCGGACGTGTCCCGCAAGATCCAGGGCGCCTCGATCTCGCCCTGGAGCGACTCCGCGCCGACGGCGTACGACAGGCGCTCGTACGAGCCCTGGTCCTCCGCGCTGCGCACGATCGCGCGCACCCGGCAGCCGCGGCTGAGCAACTCTTCTGTTATGATGGAGCCGACCTCACCATTAGCGCCCGTGACGACGACCGTCATCCCATCCAACGACGGCTCCTTGCTCTCCTGCGGCTGGAGGCCGATCGGCTCCCGCTTGGGCATCGATTCTTCGAGGTACGCTGCTTGCTGGCGGAGGAATTCGGCCTTTGCTAGCAAGAGTTCCGGGTCCTCGTCGGCGTCGTCATCGGCTGCGCGTAGCCGGCATAGATGGCGCGGTGGCGCCATCTGTGCGACGCGTTGCGCGCGTGCCTCCTGCTGCTGAGAGAGCTGGAGTGCTGGTCTCAGCCTCTGCGGCGAGGGGATGTAGGCTGCGGCTTGCCAGGCGGCCAAGAGGAGGAGAATACATCTTTGGGCCATCGATGCTGCAGCTCAATGGCTTAGAGAGCGCGGCCAACCAAAAAAAATTTTAAGCAAGCCCGAGCTAGTGTAGCAACATACTAGCGCAGCATCCAGCGCAGGCGTTGCAGGGCGCTGCATCAGCAAAAAAGGCAGCCTTTCACACTGCAACCTCGCGTGCGTGCCCGCCTTGATACTCTCTCTCGCTCTGCGGCGATAAGGCAGCCTTTTTTGCAAGCACAATGCTCAGGCAGCCGCACCGAAGCAAAAAGGTGGCACCAAGCGGCACCTACAATGACGGCTGGAGCGAGGCGGACAATGCAGCCCTGCAAAAGCTGCTGCAGCCGCTGCGGCATGACCCGCCCGACATCGATCCGCTCGGCTGCTTTGGCTCGGAGGCGCGAGGTCTCGCGTGCGCGTCGCGCGACATGGTCTACGACCGGACGATGTCGTTCCTGTCGACGCTGAACGTGATGTCCGGGCTCGTGCTGGCCGCCATCGCACCTCTGGCGCTTTATCCACTGGACACGAAGACGCTGCCGGCGGGGCCGAAGCGGCAGATGGGCGACGTGTTCAACGTGATGGCGTACGCCGCGGTCACGACCCAGATATGTGTGGTCATGTTCTCGACATATTGCCTACTGATGGTCGCCGCGCACGCGCACACGCCTGCCATGCTCTATCGGGCGCTGCCGCACTCGGGATTCCTCTTCGGCGCCTTTCAGGTGGGCAACTACCAACCTTTACTCCTCTGGCTGACGAAGATGGTTCTTGGCTGTGTTGAACGTCGCGTCGACTGCGTGGGGCGCCTGGAATTCGATTCCACACAGGTTCTCGGTGCCCATATACATATGGCCACGGCCTGGGCCAAATGGGCCTGTACCGGCACGGTCATCGCGATCTACCTCTTTTTCCATGTCACGTTCGGGCTGAGCAGCTCGAGGGCATGGCCGCGCGGCTACTGGGGGTGGGCCGGCCTTACGTTGCCTTACCTTTTCTTCAATGATCGCTTCCGTCGAGACGTGGTAGCCAACTCGTCTTCATATTTCGCAGCTGCCGAGCAGGGCGTCCTGGCCGGCAAGGACGAGGACCACGATGGCACCGTAGACAGGGGTCCGCGAGAGGTCTCGCCGGCGGAGCAGGAGCTCGCGACGTTCGTGGCCGCCGCCCTCCCGGACCTCGTCGACCCGCGGCGCGGAACGGTCGTGCGCGCAATGGCCGTCGAGGGCCTCACGGTGCCGCGCATCGTCGCCGCGGCGAAGCAGTCGGGCGGCTACGCGGCGCTCCTACAGACGCTCGAGCTGGGCAGCCGCGGCGTCGAGCTCACGCGCGGGGAGCGACTGGCGCTCGCCACGGCGGCGATCAGTTCAAGTTAGTGTTTTTATGTACTCTATGAGTTAGCGCCGTATCCCCAGCTCGTCGTCGTCACCCCCCGGCGCCCGAAAGATCCGCGCCGCCCGGTCGTCGACGGGCTCACCCGTACACGGGTCTAGCCCGCAGGCGCCGCGCAGGTCGCGGTCCAATAAATGCGAGGGCCGCACGTCCGACAAGGCGCGGAGCATGTTCTCCCTGACATCTTCGCCGTCGCCGCCGAACGCGTCAAGGAAGTGAAGAAGTTGCTTGGCGCCTTGGCGTTGCGAGGGCTTGCCCGCCGGCTGCGAGCCGCAGAGGTTGCAGGGAAGGATGGGGAACTCGAGCCGCGCCGCGTACTCCCGGAGATCGTCTTCCGCGCAGTACATCAACGGACGGATCACGTCGACGCCGCGGCTCGCGACGTAGCGCGCGGGCATCGCCTTCATCGTTCCCTGATGGACCATGTTCAGTAGGAGCGTCTCAAGCGCGTCGTCGCGGTGGTGGCCCAGGGCCAATCGTTGCGCGCCGATCTGCTGCGTGTGCGTGTACAGGATGCCGCGCCGGAGGCGTGAGCAGAGGCCGCAGTACGACTTCGTCGGCGCCGTCTTCTCCACCACAATACTATACGTGTCCTCCTCGACCAAATCGAAGGGGATGCCCAGGCCACGCACCCAGCCCGCGAGGGGCGTCGGGTCGTGCCCGGGCTGCTTCTGGTCCAGGTGCACTGCTCTAAGATCAAAGTTGTCCTTGCCGAGCAGCCGGCGCGCGCTCATCTCGCGCAGCAAGTATATTAATGCGTTGCTATCTTTGCCGCCCGACGCGGCGACGGCGACGGTCTCGCCGGCACCAATCATCTCGTAGTCGCGCACGCACTCCCGCACGCGCTTCAGCAGCCGCCACTCGAGCGCTTGGAGAGCCGCGTCCGCGGTCGGTCTCGCTGCGACCGGACGCGGCGCGGGCATTGCGATGCCGGCGGTACGCACCGCGAGGAGGCATGTCACTATTAGCATGCGCATCGCTGTAGCACCACGATTAAGAGTCTCGCACGCGTCCTATCCGTCACCGTGTGTACTGCGCCGCAAAAGCGCTGCGTTGCAGTCTGGACAGTGCTTGCAATTCGCGCTGTAGAATGCCTCAACGTCGTAGAATTCGAGGCGCAGCCGTCGCAGCGCTGAAATGCGATAATGAAATGATTCCACAATTACTGAGATCACTCCTCCTGAGCAGACAAGAGAGCAGACAAGCGCGTAAAGTCGCATGCTAGTGTCTTACACGACGCTAGCTTTATCGCCGCCGCCGACCCAAAACTCGCCACACGCTGCATAGGCGAACGCAGGATCACCGGCGAGACTCTCTTACAGCTCAGCTATCGAGCGCACCTCTTGCACCACTGCCTGGAGCGTGAGGCAGTCACACGTCGAGCGCCCCACACCACGCTGCGCATCGCAAAGGAGATGGTCCCAACCAACAACCTCTCCGGCGAGGCAGGCTTACGACAGGCCGCGCAAGCATTGATCTACGAGATCCGAAATCTCAAGCGCTGGCCCGCCGACGCGCCGGCCACGGCCGACAGCTGCTGGGCCGACGTGAGCCAGCGCTGGCTGCCGCGCCTGAACGGCGTCCTGGACGCGCTCGAGAGCATCCCGCCGGCGGCGCCCGTCGAACGGAAGCCGAACGCACCACCTCCGGCACCCACCGACTGCCTCTCGCTCGCGGAGCTCCAGGCGCTCTACGGCTGCCTGGAACTGGTGGCGGCGTGGGGCGTCGCGCCGCTCGCGGGGCCCGGCGTGCGGTCGACGGCGCAGCGCGGCATCGTACGAGGCGCGGCGCTGCCGGACGTCGCGCGCAAGTGGGGCGCGCGCGCGGCCAAGCTCGCCGCGTCCCAGCCATTGGACGAGGCCGAGAGGCGCCGGCGACTGGAAGCGTGCGCTATCTCACTAGAGCGCGTCGTCGCCGCGCCGCCCCTCGCCACAGTTTCACAACGCTTCGTCGCGGACGCCGTCGCTGCCCGGTTAGCGTCACAGTCAGAAACGAGTTATGACGCGTGGCCGACGCCGTGGCTCGCGCGCGCCGCCCGCGAATTACTCGGAGGCACGCTGAACGACGACGGCTCCGTGACGCCGCCGCCCCCGTATTTATCAAAGCGCATGGGCCGGCTCCTCGGCAGCGTGGCCGCGCGGTCGGTCGACGCGGTCCTCGCGGAGTTCGCGGGGCCCGACGAGCTCTCCGCGCGCACGAACGCCGACGCGGGGGCCGTGGAGCGGCGCGTCGCCGCGGCGCTGGCGGCGCGGCCGGCTGATATTGAAGAGCGCGACGTTTACGTGAGGAGCGTCGCGCCGCAGTTGTACGACGTGGCCGCGCGCGGCGCGATTCAAGATGGAGACGCGACGGCCTCGTCGCACGCGACCATCGCGCGGGCGGCGCTCGCTCGATTATCTGATGATGAGGCGACGTGGCCCGCGCTGCGCTCTAGTATCGCGCTGGGCGCGGGCGAGGCGGAAGTGGCCTCAACCCTAGCGAAGCTCGCGGCCGTAAGCAGGGCGGCCCACCCGCGGCTCTGCGCTTGTTTAAAAACGGACGCGATTCTGAGGTGGCTCGCGGGGCTCGCGGCCTTCGCCACAAAGTCGAAGCGCAGCGCCTACGCGACGGACGCGCGGAGTGCGCTGAAGGCCTTAGTGGAGGACGACGGCGCCGCCTTCGTCCGGGCCTTCCTCGATGGTGGCAAGGGCGCCTTCGCTTCCGGCGGAAACGGCGGCGTGCGCTTCGACGTGAGTAAAGCGCCGGACGATTGTGTCGAGGGCGCTTTGATAGTGTTAACTGATCTGGCGGCGCCGGCCCTGGCGGGCGCGGTCTTCGCCGCGTTGCTCGAGGATTTCCTGCGGGCGCAGCGGGATGATGCCATGCCGGACTTTGATAAGTTGCGCTTCGTCGCCGCGCTCGCGGAGAAGCTCGATGGAGGCACGATGGAGGTCTCGGGCTCAGCTTTGTTGCGGACGCTCAAGGCCGTGTTGGATGACGCATCACAAGCGTTGCAACGCGGCGAGGAGGACGCCGACGAGGCCGGGCTCGAAAGAGTCGCTCTGGGCGCTGTGCTGGGCATCCTCGAGCTCGGCGCCGCGAAGCGAGCCGACGACGAGGAAGCCGCGCTGAAAGCTTTATTAGAACCGCTCGAGGCCCTGTCCTCGCCGACGCGCCGGGCGGCGTCCTTCGCGCAGCTCGCCGTCGACTGCCGGGCGCGCATTTTATGTAGAGGCATGGCTCCCCAAAAGAGTAGTCAAGAGGAGGAAGACACGCTGCTGGCGGCCGAGAAGTCATTGAAAGATCCGCATCCCGCGGAGCGCGCGCACGGTGTTGTTTCGTTAACCAAGCTCGCTAGGGCTTTCGTATCAAAGCGGGACGCGCGGAACGCAGCGAAGATCGTCGAGGTCGACGAAGAACAGGAGGTTTTAGACTGGCGGCCGCTCGCGCGCGTCTGCGTGAAAGCGCTGGGCGACGACGAGTCCTACGTCTTCCTCGCGGCGGCGCACGCCTTATCGGCGGTCGCCGACGTGATACCTGGTGAGGTCATGCCCTATTTACTAGAGCAGTTCGAGACCGAAAAGCGCGAGAAAACCAGAAGACGCCTCGGCGAGGCCCTCGTGCTGTCCGTGCGGCGGCGGGGCGAGGCGGCGCCGGCCTACGCCCAGAAACTAGGGAGGGCCTTCGCCGCGGGCGCCGCAAACGACAGGGCGGAGCGCGACCGCCTCGCGTGCCTTTCTTGCTTATCGGAGCTCGCGCCGCTCTGCCGCGACGTCGATGGCTGGGGTCTAGATGCATTGGATCTAGCTATGGCGGGCCTGGACGGGCGCGACGACGTTACAAAGCGCGGCGCGGCCTTTTTAGGGGCGGCCCTCGTGACCGGCGCGTTCCTCGACGCTTATCCAAAGGAAACGGCCAAGCTCTGCAAGCGGCTCAAGAGTGGTGTGGAAGATAAGGATGAGGTCGTGGCGGGGCACTGCGTGCGGGCCATGGAAGCATTGGATGGGCTGCTGGGCGAGCGGCTCACGCTCCCCGAGGACGCGGGGAAGTCCGACCTGCATCGCATCGTCGGGGGCATCGGGAAGGCGTCCGTGGTCGATGACCTTAAGTTGTAGTGTTGTTACGTAATCGTCGCCCAGTTGTCCATCTCCCGCTGGCCCACGAACGCGGCGTCGAGCCCCGCGAGGTCGCTGACCGTTTCTTTATGGGCGAAGTCTCGCAATCCCTCGGCGAGCGCCGCGAAGCCCGCCTTGCCGCGGACGAAGACGGGCGCCCGGATCATCTCGCACAGATCAAAATCGGCCGCCTCCTAAGCATATTCATCGCGCAGAGCAATCTTGCGATCACGTATGCAAGGCTTGGACGGTTCGAAGAGAGCACAAGCATGGCTCGAGACGTGTATCTTGGGAACGTGAAGCTCTTCGGTAAACATCATAGAGATACCCTCTTTGAAGCCAACAACTACGCGTGGGCGCTCGTCGATATTAGTCGGTTCGAAGAAGCCAAGTCTCTGCTGCGTAAAACGGTGCCCGTGGCGCGACGCGTTCTCGGCGAGGGTCATAGAGTCACACTCAAGTTGAGGTGGGTTTCCGCGAAGGCGCTCTTCCTGGACACCGACGCCACGCTCGACGGTCTCCGCGAGGCCGTATCGACACTCGAGGATGTGTCACCGACCGCGCGGCGCCTGCTCGGCGGCGCTCACCCCACCGCAAAGGCGATTGAGGAGGATTTGCGAGACGCGCGCACAGTGCTCCGCGCCCGCGAGGCGCCGTCGACGGGGAGTGCGTAATACTAGCCAATATTTCAACACAAATTACTCACCCCCGTCCTCGCTCGCATCTTCGGGAGGTGTCGACGCCGCCGCCGTGCGCCGCACGCGCCGCCGCATGTTCGGAAGGCGCGACGGCGGCACGGCCTCCCGCAACAACAAGGCATAATTCCCGCAGCACCCCCGGTCGTGCGGCTTCGCTTTGCCCTTCCAGACGCCCTTCACCCGTTCGTTCGTCGTCTCGCCGAGGGCCACCAGCCGCAGATGGTAGCCTAATAAAGCAATTAATGAAACGAGCAGGAACGACAGGTAGAGGGCGAGGCCCGCGGCTAATGGTTTTGCCGTCGCCCAATCTATAAAAGCGTCCTTGACCGAAGACGCCTCCGCTTTATCTGCTCGATATAATTCATGCAACAACGCCCCATCCAAGAACAGACACGCCAGACACGTCCAGGCCAAAAAAGCTAAGAACGAGAGATAGTTCCTTTCCCCAATACACGTCCCCGTCCAGGGGCAATGGTGGTCGAAGCGACAGACGCAGTTGTCGCAGACGGCGCAGTGTTTGGAACGAGGCGGCCTAGGCCTACAACAAGTAGCACACCACTGGGGAATCTCCCACGCCGTTTCCCCGTCGGACTCGCGAAAATAGTACGGCAGCCCCGTCTCGTCGTCGTGGAAGCGGCGCCAGCCCTCGGGGAGTAGGGGCTCGTAGTGCTCGTCCTCCGTATCCGTATATTTGTTCTCCCAGCTCCGTCGCGGTAGGATGCCGGGGTCGCGCAGCGCTACTTTCCATAATGATGCGAGGCAGATGACGCCGAGTGTAAATCCTACAACCTTGACGTAGAGCGTGATTGATGAAGACGGCCCCTCGTAGCGCCAGCAGAATAAGACGACTGGTAGGAGGATCATAAAACTCGAGACGTGTAATTGAAAGACGTCCGCGCCTAGCATCATTCTTCCATCCATAAAAAAGCGGTTCCGGCCCGGCCACGTCCGCCACAACCGCTCCGTCGCCTCATTGTCTTCACTTGTGACGCTGAGCGCGAGCGACGGCGACGTGAGCGAGGTGTCGAGCGGAACGCGCTGCTCGTCCGCTTCGGTGTTTTCGCGCAGCGGCGTCGTGGCTTCGTCGGTCTCGTCTGTGCGCAATGGCGTTGTGGCCTCGTCGGTCTCGTCCGCCATCGATGCGCCGCGTTGGATTTTCGATTTGACCGGGGTCTGGCTCTCTGCAGCGGCCAGTTACGCTGTCGCAGCTTTGACAGTCGAGTCGCAGCGATATATAACTCTTCTCGAAGCGCCCTATAACTCCTGTTTGGCCTTAGCGCGCGCGTATTTCGAGTGCAGATTGTGCTTTTGACTGCCTGCAGGCGCTGCCAAAGCAAACGAACACACCCGTGCTTCGAGAGCCGTCCACACCCGTCGGAAAACGAAAAAAAACGAACGAACGAGCTCATTTGATTTCGATACGCAAAACCCGTGCCTCAGTTTTTTGGCCGCACTCGGCTTGAAATCGCGCCGATACTGCGTCTATAGTCAAGTGCCTAGAGCTGTGTCGCTGTGCACAAGGCCCGTGGCAGCGTGAGACACGTTTGCGCTGTTCAGTTTGCACGTAGAGAGCCTAACTCAGCTCAGTCGCCAGTGCACGCGCTGCAAGAGCGGTTTCCGAAACGCTCCAAGCAACACCAGTGCACGATGTCGCTCCCAGAAAACCTCGTGACGCCCTGCCAGACGACGTACCGCTCCGTGGGATTGGGGGTGTACGCCGTCGTCGTCAGGTACTGCACGATGCCTCTTGAAAAAGTGGCCATGATCGCGAACAGCTCATTGGTATCGTCTGGCAAGAACCAGCTCGGCCAGGCCTGGAAGATCGCGACGAAGGAAGGGTTGCTGGCACCGTACCGAACGGTCGGGCCTGCTTCCATAACGGCGTGGTTTCTCCAGTACTCGGTGATGGGTTTTGTGTTTCAGACGGTGGATGCTGCTTTATCTGCCTCGTTGGGGACGCAGCGCATGCCGTACGGGGACCAGCTCATGGAGCCTCCTTCCCAAAATTCGTCATTTGGTGTAGCTACAGCGTGCAAAGCTATCCTGGCGCCGATCACGGCGGGCACGATCGAATCTGTGGTCTCTAATAGGGCCGAGACGCAGCGCTTCTGGGGCCTGGGGAAGTCAGCCGCGATAGAACGGCAATTGGGCTGGAGCGCGCTGGGCCGGGCGTGCGGGCCGGCGTTCGTTGCTAATAGTGCCAGAAATGCGGTCATGTCGACGACGTCCTTCGTCGCGACGCCCCTGTTGTTCCTGCACGCCTTCCCGCAGGAGCACAAGTCGCACTCGTCGCTGTTTTGGTTTGGCCTCTCCGTGAACATCTTCGCGGGCAACGTCGTGGCCATCACGCAGCAGTCGCTCTGGGGTAGAGTGTTGAACTACGTCGAGGAGGGCGGCGGGCGGAACGCGAATTATAGGGCCATCGTGGGCGAGGCCTACCGCAGGGAGGGCCTGTCGGCCTTCTTCACGCCGCCGAAGTGGTTCGCGCGCGTGCTCATGAACGCGCCGATCCAGGGGACGCTGCCCTGGTTCTACAACGACGTCCTGCCCCTCGGCGAGCCGGCGGCGCTCGAGCTGGCGGGGCGGGCCTATTCATCCGTCTCCTCTTAGTAAATGTGTCTTATCTAGAGAACATGTTCTTGACGCCCGCGAGCGGGTCGTCGACCGCGGCCAGCGCCGCGTCCACATCTGTTGAGGAAGGGGGCGCGTCGCCGGTCCAGAGCGTGTCCGCGCCGCCCCCGATGGCCTTGGGCTTGCCGATGGCCCAGGGCCCGGGGTGGGAAAAGGCCGCCACGAGATCCGACGCGTCATCACCAGAAGCGGGCGGCGGCGGCGGCGACAGCGCGAAGGCCGGCAGCCACATGGCGTCGCCCTCGATCGAACCGGGCCGCGCGGACAGGCCGTCCCTCCTCGAATTGCACAGCACGATCGCGACGTCGTCGCCGAGTTCATTGGCCGCAGCGTCGACGGTCTCTGCACATTGCGCGTCGAGTCCACCGATAATCAAGATCACTTCGCACGGCTCCGGGAGCCCGAGCGCCGGGCACCAGAGCTTCTTCGGGGCCTCCACGACTGTGGCTGATGACGCACCGAAGCCGGAAGCTGTTGTTTTTGGCTTGCGCCGCGACTTCTTCTTCACTTTCTTGGCGCCGCCGCCTACACTTACAGCTCCGTCGGGGTTCAGCGCCGCGATGAGCGCGCGTGCCCCTTTCGTCTTGTCCGCGGCGGCCGCGGCCACGGCCGCTTCTTCCGAGGCATACACCGCGCCAATCTTGAAATCGTCCGGGAAGAGCAGCGACAGGAAGTCGGCCAGCGCGCGGTCGCCCTTGACGATCTTCGCCGTCTCCGTCTCCTTCTTCTTGAACCAGCCGAAGCCCGCGTCGTCGTCGCCGCCGCGCAGGGCGAGCGGCGCGCCTGGCGGCAGCTCGACCGCGAGTCTTGATTTTCGACTACGTAGGGCCGACTGGAGGCCGTCTCTTATGCCGTTCGCCACGTCTTTGTTGGAACAGGGCACGGTTGTTGGGCCCAGTGCTGTCACTTGCAGCAATGCTGCCAGCAGGAGTGCTGGCCGCATTGGTGCTGTTCGGTTCTTCTTACTAGCAGAGGTGCAAAGGCGAGTTGTGGGCAGTGTCTTCACGCCAATCTCTTGCACCAGTCGGCGTTGCAGAGGCACTTTGCAGCGGCTGCAGCTCGAGCTCGGCTTGCTAGTGCCTTACAGCCGCTAGCGCATACGCGTTATGAACACACATTAATCGCTCTCGTCGTCGTCGTCGTCCTCCGAGAGATACTCATCGTCCGGCACGAAGATCGCGTCGTACGTCGTGTCGTGGACCGGCGGCCGGTCGATCGCGACGGCCGCGCGCCGCGCGACGTCGCGAATAGGCGCGAACGCCTCCGGTAATATAGAAGCGTCGAGGCCCGCCGTCGTCCGCAGCACGTCCAGCGTCCGTCTCAATAATCTTATCAAATCACCATGATCTAAAGATGTCGACTCCGACAGCTGCTCCCACGAAACCGCTCCAGAGGCCCAGGCCTCGACCAACCCCGCCGCGCTATCGTCCAAGCGTAGATGCAGGCCGTCTTCCGGGCCTAAACCAGCGTCGCTCTGGGCCTCGGCGAGCGGCTGCAGTACACAACGCCAGAGCTCATCCACAGCGGACCGCACGCGCGGCGTCGGCCCGTAGTCCACGAAGGCCCCTGGTCTACTTCCGACCTCCGACACGAAGGCCGAACACAGCGCCGCGAACTCGTCGGGCGATCCTTGGGTTGCCACTTCCAGCGTCGCCTCATCTAACAGAGCAAGAGCCAATAACAGCTCGTTGTCGCCCTTTATTGAGGCGACGAGCGCGCCCAGCTGCGTCACGGTGTTGTCTCCATCGATCGCGTCGAACTGTTTTAGTACACCAGTGATGGCCACGAAGCTGCGCCAGTCGGGCGACTCTCTACTTTCTTTGCGTTCTCTCCGCGTTTCTAAAACCTGGCGCTGTTGCTCTTGCGGGAGCTGGGCGATGGGCGACGCAAGTAAGTCCCGCTGCGCCTCTCGCAGTGAAGCCTTCTCCCGTGCCAACACGTCTACAGATGTTGCGGGATCGTCGAAGAGCTTCTCATAAACATCGGCCCGTACCTGGGCCTCATTCACCAATTTCAGGTACGTATCGACGTCGCTCTCCTTCGTGACGCCTCGTTTCGCCAGATAGCTTCCAAACGATCGCTCCACCAACCTCTGACACCGCTCCAAACTTCCAGAGTGCCTCCTCAGTAACGCACAGGCCATGCCGTAGGACGGCGCGAAGTGTGATGAAATAGGAGCCACCTTCGCCAGCAAGATGCGCCGCGCTAGATCGGCATCATTTGAACCGCCGCGGTGGCCGCGCATGACCAGGACCGTGCCGGCTTTATCTTTGCCCCTCCTACCCGCGCGCCCGGCCATCTGCAGCAGGCCCGCCGTCGTGAGTGGTTTGATACCGTCGTCGCCGCGCTTCCTTAATGATGTTATTATAGTCGTCCTGGCAGGCAAATTAACTCCCGCCGCGAGCGTCTCGGTCGCGAAGCATGCTTTTACTAATCCTTTCTTGAAGAGGTCCTCTACGAGCGTCTTGTACTGCGGCAGGAGGCCGGCGTGGTGGGCCGCGACACCTCTCGTGAGCAATTGAATGCGCTCGTTCTCCGAGTCTAGTGAAGCGACGGCCTCGTTGTCCAGCGCCCAATTTTGTATGATTTGACGCGCCTCCACCTCTTCGTCTCGTGTGAGTAGTTGTAGTGAACTCCCCACCCTCTTCGCCTCCTCCTCGCAGCCCCTCCTCGAAAATACGAAGAATATTGCTGGTAGCAAGTCCCGTCGCTGGAGGTCGCGGGCCACGTCGGCGCAGCGCATCGCTGTAGGTGTACGGTCGCGCGCGCGGTCGTTGGACTTCTTACCGCGGCCCCGCCGCCGGGGGGCCTCGCTCCGGTCCATCACTTGTTCGAGCAGCGGGTTCAACCTTAATCTTTTCTTGGCGCGCTGGCGCGCGCCGCCGTTCTTCACGTCGTCGGCCTCTCGAGGACTCCCGGGACCGACGTCCGCGGCGCGAAACAACGGCACGACGTCCCGCAGCACCCCGCACGCAAATTCATATCGCAACGGCACCGGTCTAAATGACGAAGAAACGACCTCCGTCGGCCCGTGGACCTTCCGCATCCAGCCCTTCAATTGTTCATCATTACTGACAGTAGCAGATAACGCGACGAGCTTCGTCTCGACCGAAGAAGAAATCACGGACTCCTCCCAGACCGTGCCTCTTGAGGGATCGTTCATGTAGTGAAATTCATCAAAGACGACGGCGAAGGGTGTAGGCGCGTCCTCATACAACATATTTCGATAGATCTCCGTCGTCATCACGACAACAGGAGCGTCCCGGCGCACGCCGGAGTCTCCGGTAGATAATCCCACGTTCTCACTCCCGAAGAACCTACAAAAGTCCTCGAACTTCTGGTTCGACAGCGCTTTCAAGGGAGTCGTATACAGGACTCGTTTGTCCTGGGCCAAGGCATACGCGATGGCCAATTCACCAGCGACGGTCTTCCCGCTGCCTGTAGGCGCTGACACGATCACGTTACTGTCATTCCTCAAATGTCGTAACGCCTCGATTTGATACTCATCTAGCTCAAAGGGGAAGCAGCTCGCGTAGGCCGCGTCGGGCGCTTCCCCGTACTTGTCTACGGCTCGTCTCAGTGCCGCGACGGCGCCGGGGCCGCCCGCCTTGCCTCTTATTTCCTGTAAGATAGGTGCCCACTGCGCGTCATTTACAGTCTGTATAGCGGCATCAGTATCGATCGCGTCGACGGCCGCGTCGCCCGTGGCTGCGAGATGTGTTGTCCATCTGTGCTGTAGTGCTGCGAGGCTCGCCCTGTTTTTCTGCAGTGCTGCGGTCAGTCTACCTCCGTGCGCGCGCGTCACACCGCGCAAGTTGCGCACCGCTGCGCCGCGCAACGCATTGGTGCACCTGGCAGCCATGCACAGCAAAGCCATCGACAGGAAGCGCATCAGTGCGGGCGCTGGCCAAGGCGCGAGAGACGGCTCAGATGCAGCTATCTGCGCTACAATTCAATGCATCTGTGCTCGCAGCGCCGCCTCATCAGCTTCAGCTGCCTACTTGCTAGTGTCTTGCAGCTAGGTCCAAAACTACAGATCTTAACAAACTATTGGAGCTGCCCACAGTTCGAAACGACAACCACCCCACGCGTCCGGCCGTGCGCCGAGCCCCGCTCCTCGATCGCCCGCAGCACGTCCAGGCCGGCCGACACGCGCCCGAAGGCGACGTGCTTGCCGTCCAGCCAGGGCGCCTCGCCCAGTGATACGAAGAACTGGCAGCCATTCGCGTCCTGGCCCTTTGTCGCCGCCATCGCCACGACTCCAGGACTATCAAACGCGAGCGATGCCTCCTCGTCCGCGAAGGTCCGGCCATAAATGCAGACGCCCTTACCACTCCCGTTGTGCTTCTCCAGGTCGCCGCCCTGGGCCATGAAGTCGGGAATCACGCGGTGGAACCGCGCGCCCTTGTACCAGAGCGGCGTCCTTCGGGAGCCCTCCACATAGTCTCCCCGCTCGCCCGTGCACAGACACCGAAAGTTCTCGCAGGTCTTCGGGCAGACGTCGTCGTGCAGCATTATTTCAATCCGCCCCAGCGCCTGGTCGCCCACCGCTATGTCGAAGAAGACGACGGGCCGGCAGTCGCCGGGTTCGTACGGCGTGATCTCGTACTTCCAGTCCTCCGATGATCCTTCCAGGAGCAGCGGCGCGGGCGTCGGCGCCGCCTCGATCTGTAATCCGCCTCGTAACGAGTCGAACTGCGGCTTGCTTTTTGTTTTGAGCGCGGTGGCGTCGTTCTGCGGGTCGGTCGCGTAGCGCGGCGCCTGGCGCGCGCCGGACGTTTGGGGTAAGAGTCGTCGGCGGTCCGCGAGCGGTTCGTTTTTGGGTTTTGCACGCATGGCTCCTGTGGAGTGTTTGTTCTACCCGGTGCAGCGTTTTTTCAGCTGTGAGAACTGGATTGCGTGGACCGCTCAGGTCTAGGAAAGGTTCTGCGCTTACTCTTTTAGCCCGAGGGCACGAATGCGCAGAGTTATGGTGACAAACCAAGACGAGGGGCCTTGTTAGCGTTACAAACATACTAGGGATCCCGATATGCAGCGCAGTCCAGCTGTAAAAGCAGGTTATCACTGCAATCGCTGACCTAAGGTACCACTGGGAGCTGTTCGAAGTGAAATCAGGCTGCCCCGAGGCTCTCGACACCATATAAGCTTGTGAAGGGCAGGCCCTGCCCCGAGAACCGAGGATGGAGCCGACGGCAGCGGATGCCAGCGACGGCGACAGCACCGATAGCGATCGACAAGTGCCACCACCGCCGCCTCCGGGGCCGCGTGAAGAGCAGCCCACGACGCCGCACTCTACCGCGTGGAACGAGGTGCTCGGGGGCGGCGCGGACGGCGCGGACGGCGCGTCGCCGCCGACTAGGGTCCGTGAGGCTACGCCACCTGCCGCGCCACCGGCGCATCCGGCTGACGACGACGCCGCGGTCGCGCGACTCATGGACGAATACGAGGCGCTCAAGGCCGAGCGGAGGGCATTGGCCGCACGGCTCGAAGCCAGGCAACGCGCCGAGGCCGCGGAGTCGGCGAAAATTGAAGCCGAGCTGGAGGCGCTCGCGGCGGAGACCGTGGCGCTCAACCGCGAAATGGCGCGGCGGGATGGGTCGCTGCCGCCGGAAGTTGCTGCTTTGCGCGATGAGCCGCGGAGGTTTCGGCGCAAACCTAGCGTCACGGCGACGCCGTGGAGGTAACCTTATGTGTATTTTAATTTGCTTCTACGTAGCTTCTACGCCTGCTGCTCACGTCCGCGGGCCGCGCCCGTCGTTGCGGGCCTCTAGGCCAAAAATTTGCACCTAGCGCTCTCGCCCGCGTCGAAGGCGTGTGTGTGGACGCCACGCCATCGCCGCGTCGTCCTGGACGCTGACCCCCTACTTCGAGACAGCGTGGACATTGCTGTCGAGTGTGTGCAGCCTATACAAGGCCGGTGAGCCAGTCCAGGTTGCCTCAACGCGCTCAGATAGCTGCACTTATCACCCTCTTTCGTGACCGCAAAAAAAAGCGGCACTTCGCAAGCCCTGACAGCTTATTTACAAGGTCTCGCCAGGTGTGCAGCAGCTGAGACGCCTGCCGACGCGACTAGCAACCAACAAGATGGCCAGGCTATTCGTAGCAACAAGCGCACTATGCGCACATGCGCTGGCACCCACGCCTTCGCGCGCGAGGCCCCGCCGCGCCACGGTCGCCATGACCGCGACTGTGGCACCGCCCTCCCTCGAGGTCGGCGCCCAGAATTTAGATTGGCCGAACATCGGCTTCGAGTACCGGCCGACGCGGTCGTTTGTGCACTACAGATACAGAAACGGTGAATGGGACGGCGGCGCGCTGGAGCCCGCCGGCTTGGACGCCACGGTACCCGTGTCAATCGGCGCGACGGCTTTACACTACGGCCAGTCTTTGTTCGAGGGTCTCAAGGCCTTCGCGTGCAAAGATGGTTCGGTAAGATTATTCCGACCGACGGCGAACGCGGCTCGCATGGCGCGAGGGGCTGCTCGCACATTGATGGAGGCGCCCGACGAGGCGTTGTTCGTCGAGGCCTGCGCGCGCGTCGTGCGAGAAAATTTGGACTACGTGCCTCCGTATGGTTCTGGAGGCGCTTTGTATGTCAGACCACTGCTGTACGGCGCCGGCCCGAGAATAGGGTTGCAGCCCTCCGACGCCTACGACTTCCTCGTACTCGCTACTCCGGTCGGCGATTACTACAAGGGCGGCCTCGGCAAGCCCGTCAAGGCCTGTGTCGTCGAGGAGTACGACCGCGCCGCTCCGAGAGGCGTCGGGTCTGTCAAGCTCGCAGGAAACTACGCCCCCGACCTCAAGCCGAACACGGAAGCGAAACAAAGTGGCTACCCCATCGGGCTCTACTTGGACGCGGGGTCCAGGACATATGTGGAGGAATTCAGCACCTCGAACTTTGTCGGTATCTGTGGCGAGACGGGGAAATACGTGACACCGCAGTCCGACGCGATTCTACCGTCCATCACGAACGATTCATTGATGAAGCTCGCGGAGCGGTCGGGCATGACGACCGAACGGCGGCCCGTGGCCTTCGACGAGATCGCTTCCGGAAAGTTCTCGGAGGTCGCCGCTTGTGGGACTGCTGTCGTGTTGACGCCCGTTGGTTCGATAGCAAGGGGTGGTTCGGAATATGAGTTGCAACATAACACGGAGCCGGGGCCGACGTGCCTCGACTTGTACACGAGGCTGACCGACATCCAGCGGGGCGACGCGCCCGACGAGGACGGGTGGACGCACGTCGTCGTGCCGCCGTCGTAGGCGAGTAAGAAGACTAAAATGCGCCGCTTCGATGGCGTTTGGCGCCCCGCAACAGCATCGCTAGCGGCCGGTAAGGCACTAGCAGCATGCTCCGCGCGTGTGCCACTCGACGCGGCTACCACACGCGTGCATTAAGACAAAGTGCGTCCTTGCTCTACAGTCGCCGCGACACGTGCGAATGCTGCTGCCATTAAAACTGCAGTTCTCGAGCTGTATACGTCCTGAGAGCACTCTGCCTCTCTGACACACTGCAGCAACCATCACGTCCTCCATCCGCAGAGCCGCGGGCTTCATGATGAGTAGGGCCAGCGCTAAGCCGGCAAAATTTCTGCGCAAAGTTTGCCAAGTGGAAGCCGTGCGCGGCGACGACGCGCAGTGGTGGGATCGTCTTCCCGTCTACACGCTGACGTTCGCGGATCCCGGCGGCGAGCGGATGCCGTGTCGCATCGCGTGCGGGGATGTGGTGAAGGTGGTCGTTCCAAACTACAAACCGAAGAGCTACTCCATGTCGCGCCAGGGCGACGGCGAGTTCGACATCACCTATAAGTACTACCCGGGCGGCAAGTGCAGCGGCTACCTCGAGTCCCTAAGTATTGGTGACGAGATCCAGTGCTTCGCGAAGGGTGGCAAGCGCCGCAACGACGGCGGCACGCACATTGGCATGGTGGCGTTTGGCGTGGGCATAACGGAGGTGCTGCCCGTCGCCACCGCCCAACTCACTCATTCGGACGTGAAACGCGTCAAGTTGATCTGGGCGACGAAGACCTGGGGCGACTGCTTCTGGCTCGACGAGCTCGAGCGGCTCAAGGCGGATGAGCGCTTCGAGGTCGTCCACGTGCTCTCGCGGGAAGACCGCGACGGCTGCCGCCGCGGCCGCGTCACGCCGGAGCTGCTCAAGGAGGAGCTCGACGAGGCGTGGGGCGTCGGCACGACCGTCGACCGTGCGAACGTGCGCCTCATCTCGATCGGCACGAAGGCCATGATGCGCGACTTCAACGACATGGCGTACGCGGACCTCGACTACAAGTACGCGGCGAACCGTCTGCTCGAGGACTAGTTGAGTTCGTCCGCTCCCTCCCCCAAGTAGTGTGCCAGTGTGTAAGCTAAGAAGATAAACTTCCCGGAGCTGGCGCGCTTCGAGACGTGCCGCGTGAAGGAGCGGCCCATGCCCCAGGTGTCGCGACGAGATCTTAACAGTATTACTTCTTTTTCTTCACAAGGATGCCGTCTCCAACAACAAAGGCGCCGATCTTGTTCGGCAGGTACGCGTCGCCGAGAACCATGCGCTGCGGGCCCGAGGCGTGGTTTTCGCGCCGGCCGAAGAGGCGGAGCGCCACGCGGAGCGTCCAGTAGTGCGCCAGGAAGTCGTCGAAGAGGACGTTCAGTTGACGTAAATTCGACTGGTGTTGCCCCAGTACTTGTGTGTTGGCGTGAAGACGCACACGTAGGAGTGGCGTCGCCCATTTGGCGCAGTCAGGGTCGGAATGAGTCAACTTGTCCCAACCAGCACCTCGTGCGAGTAGTAACCTGGTCATGGCAACTTCGCCATACTGGCACGCCTTATAAAGCGGCGTCTGTAAGCCCCCGCAGCCGGCTTTTGCAAATTTTGACGCGTCGACTTTTCCTAGGTCGACGGGTGCGCCGTAGTCGAGCAGAAGTCGGGCAAGGGGAACGTTACCACGGGGTGGGCCAAGATGTTCGACAGCAAAGTAGAGCGGTGTAAATTTGTCACCACCTCCAACAAAATTTGCCCCACCCTCTCGAAGGTCAGCGCCCGCCTTAAGGAGACGTTCAACGAGCTCTAAAGGACACTCCTGACCACCGCGAAGTTGGCAAGCCCAGACAAGCGCTTCAGAGGTCGCTCTGGCGCCGCGGTCCAAGAGAAAATTCGCGACTTCGATCTCACGGTTATAAACAGCGAGAGACAGTGGCGAAAGTGAGTCTTGCGAAAGTGAGTTTTCATCTAAAGCATCATCAATTGGAACGCCCAAATCAAGCGCACGCCGGGCCACGTCGACAGCGTCTTCGTTGGCGAAATGAGAGCCCATGCACGCATCTCTCAAACTCTCCCGCGCAACCTCCCGCGGGTCGAGGGTCAGCGTCGGCTCCAACGCCCAGTCGATGGTCCGCAGGCGTCCGTCCGCCAGCGCGCGAGAGATAATGGCGTCCAGCTTCCGCTGCATAGCTCTGCGCTTGCGGTTGCCGTCGCAGGACCTGAAGCACCGCGCCGCATATTCCCGTACCTCCGGCGGGTCCATGGCGCGCCTCTCTTATCCGTCGGAGGCAGCAATCGGCAGCCTACCTCTCGTCTAGCTGCAGGCGCTTGGCGGCGCACAGCGGTCGACAGCGCTGTCAGGCAAGTATTAGACACCGTGCGCGTCGGATGGCGTGCGTTAGCGGCTGAATATGCGGGCGCGGCCGAGCCGCCGAGGAGTGCGACTAGCGTGCTGTAAGACACTAGCCGAGGCTCGAGGGCTGCAGGGCAGACAGGGCAAACCGCAAAGCTGCCGCCAGCAGCGGTCGAAATTGATCGCATTTGATTGATTCAATAGCTGTGCGAGTGCGCCGAAGCAGTTCAGCGAGGCTGGGAGAGCGGCGTGACTGCGCTGCCACAAAGGCTGGCAGCGCCCGCGAGTGCTCCGCTACGGCCGCAGCGGCGCCTGCAGTCGTTCGGATGATCATGTTGCAAGGTTTCATACTGCTGACCGCTTATGCAAGCGCTTTCGCGCCGACGGGTACGCCTGAACACGCACTCGCGGCGTGGGTAAAGACGGAAGGTGGCTTTATCGGCGACGTCGCCGTGGAAAAACGAGACGGCGTCCGCGGCCTCTACACCACGAAAGACGCGCCCAAAGGCACGCTGCTGCTCAGCGTCCCGGAAGCGTGTTGTATTGCCGCGGACGAGGACCCGCAGTGGGGCCTCTCGCTGCGCGAGCTCACGACGGCGCGCCTCGTCGGATCGCGGACGCGCGGCGAGCATGAGCCCTACATCGCGACGCTTCCGAGCGACGAGCCCTTGCTTTGTGACTGGTCGGACGCCGAGCTCGCCGAGCTGCAGTCGCTGAGACTTTCGGATGACGCGCGGGGCATGCTGCCGTTCCTCGACGAGTCAACGGCGCGCATCCTACCCTGGACGAAGGGCACGGAGGCCGACGTGCGCTGGGCCGAACGCATGGTGCGGTCCCGCGCGCTCCTGTTCGATGACGGTGGCTTTAACTCTCTGGGAGACCTCGACTCGCCGGCAATGATGGCACTTGTGCCCCTTTTGGACCTCGCCAATCACCGCACGCCGGATCTTGGAGAAGTTGAGCCCGTTGGTCTCGACCCATCGGCACGAGCGGTGACGCTCGCCGCGCCCCGGGACCTCAAAGAGGGCGACGAGGTGACCATCTGTTATCGCTACGAGGGCAACGAGAAGCTCCTACTGGACTACGGGTTCGCCGAGGCGCTGGGGGGCCAGCCTTGCTACGAGGAGATCAACCTAGGCGACGATCTCATCCTCGACTCGACCCTCGCGGACACCTGCGCCCTCGACGACCTCGGCGCCACGCGGTTCCGCGAGCTTCTCCAGGCGTCACTGGCGGCCGCGCCGACGACGCTTGCGGAAGACCGAGCGATGTTGTCCGAGTCGACGACGTTGGAGGTAGGCTACGGAGAGTGGCGGGTGGAATCGGTACGGCTCTTCCACGCGCTGACCTATCGAATCGGCCAGAAGGCGTTGATGACGAAGATGCTCGAGGCCCTCGAGAGCGACGACCCCGCGGCTGCGCTCGAAACGATCCGCTTACCACGGTGACTTGTATAAATTGTGACGAGTAGTATTTTTCTGTGTTACGGTGCCGAGCAGAGCATTGCGCGCGTCGCGTGTGCGCGATTAAAACGGGTTTTACAGGACGACTCGATCGCTTTTGCTCGCGGTCTGATCGCCCATTTATCCCAGTACCAGTCTGAGATGGACCTCCTCCATTGTGCAGCGTGCGCCGCGCCACTAACCCACGACGACATCCCATCTTGTGTGCGATGTGAGACTCGCTACTGCTCGACAGAGTGCAGTCGCGCACAAATATCGCGTTCTGTCTCTCTCTGTTGCGCCGAGATGCCGAAGCCCTGAAAATGCATCGCGAGACCTTTACGATGACGGAGGAGCTTTACGGTGAGGCACATTACGCTCGTTTCAGTAGATCCGATGCAATACGGACTGGCTCCGCACTCAACGGATTAACGGACTCACTTCTCCTTCAACGTCAATTTGTGGAGGTGGAGTCCTTGCTGCGCGCGCATCTACCACTGGTGGAGCGCGTGCTCGGTTCTGCCCACGAAGTGACCCTAAGGCTCTACTTGAGCCTCGGTCAGGCCATCTATAGAAACCCAGTCTCTTCCCGAGGCGATATTGTAGAGGCTGTGGCTATACTCAAAGATAACGCCCAGGCGGCGAAGAGGATTCTGGGCCCGGCACACCCGGCGATAGAGAGTTTCAAAGTCCATATCACGTTCGCACGGATGATTCGCTATACCATCGACCTCCGTAACAGGTATGGGGAGGAACCTGATTTCAGGTCTCAGGCTTAATACTACGTAGAAGTATAATATATCAATCACCATTTAGTGCAGCAATACACGGCGACAGGATCAATCTAAAAGTCTTCACGATGACCCTCCCCAGAAACTTCACGCCGGCGATGCCGCCCGGCGTGTCACCGAACAGGTAGTACAGTAATGCACAAACTTGCGACGCCGACGCGACGACGACCAGGAAAAAGTTGCCGAGCACGAAGCACGCATATAAAGTAAGCAGCGTCGACGCGACGAGCGCCAGCGAGTAGGGCAGCTTGCGCCACTCGACCATGAGCCGCAGTTGCGTCCTCGGTCCATTGAGCATAAATTTTGCTGCCACGGAGCAGATCGTGCCGATGCAGAACGCACTCGCAAATTTCGTCGGTTTGATGACGGCCAAAGGGATGAACTGCAAGGCCAGCCCGAAGAACAGCGTGGAAACACCTAACAGGATGACGTACCACCGGAACCGCTGCGTCCGCGTCAGGCCGCACTCCTGGCGGTCCTCCGTCGCGTCCTTGAAGGACCCGGCCAATTTGTTGCCCGTCTCCGACGCGAAGGACGACATTTTATCTAACAGAGACGCGTTTTCCTCGCCTTCCTGCGGCGGCTGCGAGGCCCACCACGACGCCGGTTGCTCGCCGCTCTCGTCCTCCACGGTAGGGTTCTCCACGTCTTGTGCAGGTGGCGTGAAGGCTGTCGAGAGCTGCCGCCCGAGGTTCGAGGCGTCCTCGGCGATCCGCGTCCGCGCCGACGCCGTCGCCTCGTCGAGCTTCGCGAGGTGCGGAGACAAGTTCTCGCGCGCCGTCGCGGTCAGCTCCAGCGACTTCTGTTTAGCTTCGGCCGCGCGCGCGGCGGCCGCGTCGAGACCGCGCTGCGTCGCCGACGCGATCGAGTCCCACGACGGCAGCTCGGAGCTGTCCAACGGATTCCAGCCGCCGATGGCGTTCGTCGGCGGGCTCGCGCGGCCCTCCTCGGCCATGGCCGTGTTCTGTGCGGCGGCGCCGCGGCGTTGGCTCGCCAGGGTGACGCCTGGTGCCGCTCGGACAGAGCCTAGGCGCACCAGCTAGGAGCTGCGAATGCAAACTGCGGCGGCTCACACCGGAGCGACGGGCTTCGGGAGAGGACAGATGCTAGAGAAGCGAACTCCTCGACTGCGTCTGCCGATCGCTGCGTTAACACAGCGGTCGGCTCGGCCTTTTTTTGCTGCTGCTTTGTGATTGCTAGTGTCTCACGCCGCTAGCTCCGTCATACGACTCCGAAGCACCGTTACGAGCCCGGCACGGACCCGTCGTCAGCGAGCCCTGGCGAGGCATCCGTGGGAGCGACACCCTAGCGCCAAATTCGCAGCGGCTTGGGCCAACAGCCAGCGCTGCGCGCGATAGGGCTGCCCGCTTGGGCACGGCACGCACGCGGGGCTGCCTCGCGGTCCAACAGCTTAACAAACAAACGCGCAGGACGCGTGCGTGGCGCCGGAGGCTACCACAATGGGCGCCACGGTGAGCCTGCCCGAGCCCTACTCCTGCTTTCCCTTGTTAAGTGTGGGAGATGTGGATAGAATAGTTCATAAACATCGCGACGAGTGCGAGGGCGACTTCATGATTAGCACGGCTGCTCTGTCGAAGTTACTCGGAGGTTCGCGCGAGGCCGAGATGCGCGCGACGCGACTGCAGACGGAGAAGGGCATTGGCCGGTTCGGCGAGGTCAATGCTTTGGCGTTTCTCTGTGGGGTCGTGGTCGTGAGCAGACCGGTCGCGTTACATGGTGTCGGCGACGGCGTGGGGTGCAAAGCTAGGCGGATCTTCGACTTATTTGATCTAAGGCAACGCGGGGCCTTGAACTGCCACGAACTCTCGGTATGTCTGCTGACGCTAGCGCGAGCCCTGGAAGCGTTCCTCAAGCTCACGGAGGAGGGCCACGTCTCTGAATTGTTCCGGGAGAAAGATTCGAAGATCTACATGGGCCTGGAGGGTCTAGACAGAGCCGCCAAATTAGCTCTGAGGAAGTGGGACGCTCCCGATGACTATGATAGTGCCGACGAGTCCGAGGACGAAGAGGTTGGACATGTTGGTATGAAAGACGTGATCGCCACAGCGGATGATGATGATCAATCTGTCTTGGTTGAAAAGAAGGAGAGGAAGGAGAAAACTCTTGAGAGAGAAAGGTTCGTGGCCTGGTCTCGTAGATTGTTGGCACCCGGGTGTCGGCCGCCCGCGGTACTAGATGCGTTGCGAAGACTAGCCAAGGCCGCATCGAACAACGACCGACACGCGCTAGGCTTACCCCCCGAGTCTCAAGCGGAAGCAGATGCCCAGGAGGCCCACGCGCAGATGCTCGTCGACCAGGAGCGAGCGGCAGAATTTGCCGAGAAGCTCATCAATGCGGAAGACCTGCCTACCACCATCCCGGAACCGTTGTTTGAGGGCGACGACGACGCGTCGACGGCCGAATTGTTGGACCCCATCGCCGCCGCGTTCGCCGAGGCGGCCGCGGAAGTCGCTGCAAATAAACCCCCTCCGGACCCCATGGCGGGTTTAGATGTCCCACCACCAACCCCGCCGCATCCCGAGGACGAGGCGGCGAACAATGCGGTCGACGCTGCTTTAGAGGCGGAGGGCGTTTTAGCTGCTCGGGCCAATGCTGCTTGTTTGGAATGTATCGCGAAGCTCTTCGACGAGTATCTGGAAGAGGCCGTGGCCGACGAATGCGTTGATCGAGCCGTCGTGGACTTGTTCGATGAGTTCTGCGAGACTGTTATACAGGAGAAGATACAACAGGGTGCACTGGACGACGCGGCGGATCGGGCCGTCGAATGCGCTCGCTTGGCGTCGGAGGCGGCGTCGGACGCCGCTCGAAAGGCGTCGGACGCCGCCCGGAACGCTGCCAATGCGGCACGGGCCTTTGCGTTCGCGGGCGATTTGGACGACGCCGCCGATCGAGCCGTGGAATGTGCGCGCCTCGCGTCGGAGGCGGCGGCCTTCGCGGCAGCTCGAGCGGCGAAGGCCGTCAAAGCCTGCAAAGAGGCGGCCTTCGCCTTCGACCAGGCTAACGAGCTTGATAATTCGGCCGACCGCGCGGTCGAGTGCGCGCGTCTCGCGTCGCAAGCGGCGTCCGACGCCGCAGCGGAGGCAGCACGGGCGGCGCAGTTCATCCGCGACCTCATTTCCGGTGCTTTGGATAACGCCGCGGATAGAGCGGTCGAGTGTGCTCGCTTAGCCTCGGAAGCGGCTTCAGAAGCCGCTAAAGCAGCGGCTCTGGCCGCAAAGCAGGCGCGCGACGCCGCCGCCGCCGCGGCAAAAGCAGCCCAAGACGCTTTAGATAACGCCGCGGACCGAGCCGTCGAAACGGCACGCTTAGCCTCTCAAGCAGCATCGGCCGCCGCGAATGCCGCAGCAAAGGCAGCCCAAGACGCTAGACAAGCCCTGGACGAGTTCGACCGAGCCGAAGAGCTCCTGAGGCAAGCGCAGGAAGAGGAGGACGAGCAGACGTGGCTGTCGGACTTGGCCAAGCCCGACGACGAGGCGCGACCAAAAACCGCGGCCGCGCAGTCCGTGGTCGACGACTACGAGGAAGTGGCCGAGGAGGAGTTCAAGCCGCCCGTGCACTACAAGAAGAAGCAGCAGAAAAATTTCTTATATGAAGTGTTCTCGAACGCGCCGTTCTGCTCGCATTTGGACGAGGCCGCGATCTGGGTTTTAGTGAATGCCTGTCGCATGGTCCGGTGCGAACCGAGCAAGGTGTTACTTGTTGAGGATGAATCCGCAGAAGATATGTACGTGGTAGAAGTAGGTGCTTGCGATGTTACTACTGAAAGTGAAGGTCCTATTGACTGTAAAACACATGCGCAATACTATGGCGAAGTAGCTTGTCTCAAAGATGAACCCTTGGAGGCTTCTCTCATAGCCTCAGATGCATGCATCACCTGGGCGCTCGATGCGGAAACATTAAGGAGAACAGTAGGCCCCGAGTTTGACTTGGAGGAAGTGTCTTCACCGGAACCGTCTCCCCCGAAACCGGTTCAAAAGGAGGTCCACTACAACGAGGAGCGCCCGGACATGCCGCCCTGGGTCGGCAAGGAGGAATCCCTGTCGCCGGTACCAGTGGAAGAAGAAGAAAGTGACGGAGAAGACGACTGGAAGGCGCCCATGCACTACAAGCCGCGCAAGATTTCCAATTGGCTCTACGAGATCATGGCCGCGGCGCCCTTCTGCGACGGTATTAGTGATGAGCTCTTGGACCAGGTCGTGACGGCCTTTGCTCCTCTCAAGACCGGGCCGGGCTTCGGTCTCGCGTTCCAGGACAACCAGCCGGAGCGATTCTTCGTCGTCGAGCAAGGTGCTTGTGTCGTTGATGACGACGGTGACGAGGTCGGTGTCCTGCGACCGGACCAATACCACGGCCACGAAGCTTTGTTAAATTACACTACTGAAAAGACTACAGTAACGTCCTCTTCGGACCTAAAGGCCTGGGAGCTGGACAAGGAGACCTTCCTGAGGTTGTTAGGGAGACGCCTACCGACGGCAGCGCAACGGGCGCAGACGCGCGAAGCGTCGCGCAGTGCTGCTATGAAACAAAACGAAGACTTGCTTGGTGAGAGAGAAGATCTCCAGGAAGACCGAGACAAGGGTCCCAGTGCGGCCGAGGTCTTCCTCCAGGAACCGGAAATTCCCAAGCCCAAGACGCCCTTCTTCTCGGGGCCTCTGTCCGGCGTCACCGCCACAGAACGGTTGACACTGCTCTTGTTTGGGGATTTGGGTTCCGTGGATGGTGTGAGACAAAAAGCTGATCTGAAGCTCAGGCCGGCGACGCCGCATCGGGAAGTTTCTCGTTTTGAGAGGTTTGCGTCCTTGGTGCAGTTGGAGCGGGACCTCGCGAAGAAGAAGAACCACGTGGAACCTCTCTTACTGTTATGTGGTGGCGCGTTTGCCGCATCGGTGGAGTCGGGAGTGACGAAGGGCAAGCATTTGGTGCCCATCCTCAATGAGTTAGGCGTGCATGCCGCTTGTGTCGGCGCGCGGGATTTCGACTATGGCCTGCCGAACGCCGCGCGCGTCTATCGGGGCTGCAACTTCCCTTCTCTGTTGGCGAACTGCCACGATGATCGGGGCGTGCCTGTTGCGGATGCCATGCGTTCGCAACTGGTCCCGTGGCACGGCCGCAAGATCGGCATTGTTGGAGTGGCCGGAGAAAACTCCCTGTCCGCGTCGGCCGCCACACTCCCGGGCGCGGGTCCCATGCACGACGAGGAGGGGATTGACGACGACGACGTCGGGACCGCTCATGTAAGCGCAGCCCCGGAGGCCGCCGCGCGCGAGGTGCAACTCCTCAGAGAAGCCGGCGCTGATGTTGTCATAGTATTAGCGTCGGTGGGCGGCGGCGCGCGCTTCGACGAGCCCGGGGCGCTCGTCGCCAAGGCCTGCCAGGGCTACGCTGATTGTGTGGTCGTCTCCGGTTCTCGTAGATCAACTTTCGGCGTGAACGCTTGTAGGTACGACTTCCCGCGGGACCGCGCGACCTGGGTCATCCGAGCGCCGGCGAACTGCGAGCGCCTCGCGAGGTTACGCTTGCATTTACCTCATGTGGAGGCGCCGAAACCGCAAAGAATGGTGCAGATCGTTAGGGAAGTTGATTTGACGACGGTCGCCGTCGGCGCGGGCCGGGCTACCGTGTTAAATAGGTGGCGGAACGGCGACGCCGTCGCTACGTTGGTCGGCAAGGCGCGCGATTTGGTGGCGAAGGGTTTATTAGCTACTCTGGTCGAGCTACGAAAACCGCTCGACGCCTCCGCAGAAGCGTTGAAAGGTGGCCGCAACCTCGCGCAGACGCACTACGGCGCGTCGGCCGCCGAAGTGGCGGCCGACGTCGCGTGTGCGGCGACCGCGGCAGATTGCGCGATTGTGGATGGGGCGGCTCTACGGCCTTTGGGTGAACTGCCGGAAGGCCATGCATTGACCGTGGCCGAACTCGCGGCTTTGGCACCGCTCCCGGATCCCGGGAGGGATAGGAGCTACCCCGGCGGCGAGGCCAAGGTTAGAGTCATGCGCACGACCTCATTACATATCAAGGATATCGAGCAGCGGCCGACGACGGCCTACTCGCGAGACATGCACGACGTGAATGAGATCAAGCAGATGGCTACCCATGGTGCTGGGGTTATGGTGCTGGAAGCGACGGGCGCCCAACTGTGGGGCGCCTTGGAACGGGCCCTGTCGCGGTACCCGGCCTACTGCGATATTTTCCCCCACTGCTCGAGCGGTTTTCAGATCTGGTTCGACCCGTCGAAACCGCCTGGTCGGCGCATCGGCGACGTGCGGTTGAAGGGTGCTCTATTGCAACCGCGGGAGCTCTACCGGGTGTGTGTCACGCCGCGACTCGCATACCACTGCTTCTTGGGGAGCGACGCGCCGCGCGGGCCCGCGGACGTCGTCATGGACGCCGCGGACGGGCCGTGTTTGCCGGCGCTATTGCGGAATCTGTTCGTTGATCTCGAGAAGCTGCGCAACGGCGAGCGGACGCTCACGTTATCACCGGCCGTCCACCGGCGCCTCGGCGCGCCGGGCATGCCCCTCGTCCGCCTCGACGAGGGCGTGGTCTTGGAGCCGGACGGGTCCAATAGGCTGACGCTGCTGAACGCGGACAAGGCGGTGAAGCGGTGGGGCTTCGAGCCGTCGCAGACGCCGGCCGGGGCTTTGGGTCACGTCGTCGCGCAGCTGTCGCCGGACGACCAGCGGCGGATCCACCGGGGGCTTGGCGTGTCGCCGAGTAGGTAGGTTTTATTTGTCTTACTAGTAGTCCCTAGTAGCGCCCCGCGCGGGGGGAGGCCTCAGGCTCATCATAATAATAGTAGGTACGCACGGAGTCCCCTGAAGGAGAATTTCGGCGATACGGTAACGAATGATGGATTTAATTAGTTATTGTTACGGTGCTAGGACGAATGATGGATTTTGGGGCGCTTGCTAGTGTGTTACAGACCGCTAGCAACTGCTGCGCGCGCGGCATGGGGGATAAACACTTAACCCCCCTTGCGCGCGGAGGATTTTGAGCTTCCACGCTTGTCCGCGCTTGAAATAGAGCGCCTCGCGAATCACCCAAGCGACTAAAGGACGCCTACAGCGCAGCAAGGCCACTGTGCCCCAGAGGCCACAGACCAAGGTTGGGTGCTTGACAGCACAAATAAGGTTGGCTCCTTGACCGCACAAATCAATGGATTATCTCGACGAACCGCTCCGAAAGGACTGCTCGACAGCCCGCCTCGCTGTTGTCGGCGGCTCGCCGCGAATGACGAGCGGCGTCGCCTTCGCCCTCGCGCGGCGCGCGGCGGAACGCGACGCCGCCGCGGCGCCGCTGCTGCTCTGCCGGCGGCGCGACGACGCCGCGGCGCCGCCGCCGCCGCTGCGCGACGAGGCCGACGCGCCGCCTACTACAACTTTACGCGGGCACGCCGACAGCCCAGTGCTTGACCGCGTCCGTTTAAAGTACGTCGCGGGCCTCGCCGACGTTGCGTGGATCTTGAACAACTGCCAGTCCTGGCCGGGCGACCACGCGCGGCCGACGCTGATAATAATCGACGACGTCGCGGCTCTTTCTACGACGGAGGGCGCCTGGGATGCCGCGGCGCTGCATCGCCTCGCGATCCTCGCCAAGCTCGCGGACGCGGCCGCGACGTTTCTAGAATGCGGCTGCGTGCTTGCGGTGAGCGGCGCGCCTGAAACAGCGCGCATTGTGTTGCGGCGCCACTTTCCGCGCACGCGTTGTTTAGACGACGGCGTGCTCCGCGGCACCGGCGAACGACCGAGGGCGAAAATTAGAGATGACGGTATGAGGGGTATCGTACTGTGTGAGTGAGATGTTACATTTTAAGTTTACAAACTACTTCCCGCCATTCCTCATCTTGCCCTCGACGAGCTTGATGAGAGCCTTCGTCTTCGACGCCGGCTTGAGCTCCTGAGCTTTCCGGAAGAACTTGAGCGCTTCGGCGTACGTCGACTCCGGCGGCGACCCGCCGAAGATCGCTCGGGCCAAACCTCGCTCCACGAACGACACGCCCGCGACTTTCAAACACCACTGGCCCAGGGCCAGCGCGACCGTCGCGTCGTCCGGTCGCAGTTTGTATGCGGCGTCGAGCGCCTCCCGCACTTTGTACGAGTTCTGGATCTTTTCCTTCGTCGTCTGGAAGTCGCCGACAGACCCGAGCATGACGCCGAGCCACTTCTGCGCCAGGCCATTGTCCGGCGCGAGCGCCGCCGCGCGCTCCGCCGCCCGCAAGCCCTCGAAGGTCAGGCCCTCCCTCTTGGGATCCTTCTCTGGTAAAGCATTTGCGGCATCTAAGCAGGCGCGCGCATACCGCCACTCGACGTCGACATCCACCGCGTTCGAGTCGCGCGACGCGTCCCTCAATCCCTTGAGAAGCTCGTCGGTGCGGTCCAGCGGCGAGGCGTGGAGCCGATCAAACCTCTCGATCTGGCTCTCCTCCGGTGCTGGCTCGGGCTTCGGTTCCTCCGGCTTCTCGACGGTCTCGTACGGCACGGCGACGCCGCGCTCGACGACCTGCTGGACGACCGCCTCGAGGACCTTCGCGGCCTCGTCGGCCTCGGCATCAATCAACTCGGCGATCTCGGGGGCCGCCTCGACCGACGTCTCCGGCGGCGGCGGCGTCCGCGGCGCGTGTTTCTTTTGTGGGACGACGCGCTTCACGAGCGGCACCCTTCTCAAAGCGCCCAGGAGGGCGTTCGTCTTCTTGCCATGGCAGACGACGCCGTGCCTTCGAGGTGTGACTGTGACAGCATGCAATGCATGTGTTGTCGCGACGTGAGCGATGAGGATTGCACAAATTCGCATCGTGCAGCAGCACTACTGGTGTGAGTCTTTTGCAATGGTCACTGGCAACGATTGTTACGCGTGTGCGTGGGAGAGCAGCGTGCAAAAACACACACCTCATCAAGCCTTGCCAGCACCCGCACGAAACTAGAATACTCAGAGGCGTACGTTAAGACTCGGGTAGGCGTTAGAACATTGCCCTGGGGGCGACGTCGACAGCGCGGGTTCGGCGGCTCGAGCGCCGCGGCCAGGCGCTGGGGCAGCCGTAAAGCGGCCCCCACGCGCCTCCGGAGACGCAGGGACGCACCCGGCGCCCACGAAGAGCTGCCCGGAGGCCGCACACAAAGCGCAGAAGGTTGGACAGCAGGGGGCAGCCGCAAACACAGAGCACCATGGCAATAGTAAAAAAAACGGGCCCGACGGCCAAGCGCTTCCCCTTCAATGTCAATTATAACCCGGAACTGAGGTACAACTGGGAGACTGGAAGGTTTGAGAACGACGCTGCTCAATATGATCCGGCCCCGGGCGACCAGTGCATGTATGGCCTCGACCGCTTCTGGGACGAGCGCTACTTTAAAAATGCGGAGCCCTTCGAGTGGTACCACGACTACCACGCGCTGAAGGGGTTGCTGGACAATTTCCTGAACAAGGAAGATAATATCTGTCTGATCGGCTGCGGGACGTCGGAGATGGCCGCAGATATGGCTGCCGATGGGTATAAGTCGATCATGAACCTGGACATCTCGCGTATCTGCATCGACGAGATGCAGACGAGGTATGCGGACATATCTGGTCCACCGGTCTCTCTCAAGAAGAAGAAGTTGAAGAAGGGCCAACGGTTGACCGCGGACGACTTCCCGAAAATAATACTAGGGCAAGATCTGGGCGGCGTGCAGTGGCGCCAGGGCAACGCCTGCGACCTGGAAGCGACGTTCGACAATCAAATCTTTGATGTGGTCTTGGATAAAGCTTTACTCGATGCCTTGTATTGTGCGCAAAAACCGCAAAAGCAGGTACGAGCCTACTTACAAGAAATGGACCGTATTTTGAAACCTTCTGGGTTGTTCTTTTGCGTTTCCTACGGTCTGCCCGAAACGCGCCTGGAGAAACTCGAAAACATTGATCCGGAGGACGAGGAGCACCTGGCCTGGTTCTGCGAGGTCCACGCGATCCCCAAAAACGAGGTCAACCCCTACAAAGTAAGCCAGCTCAAGGAGCCGACGGACGTCTACTACGTTTGTGCCTGTGTGGAAATCAACCAGTGAGTTAGGTTATCGCGACGTCGATGGCGTGGGGCGTCCGAAACTTGATCTCCACACAGGTCTACACCTGTAGAAAAGACGAAAAGATGGACAACGAGAAGTGCATGGCCATCGCCTCGAAGAAGGCGCGCGCGAAGGCCGCCGAAGTGTCCAAAGGACGGAAGAAAAAAGGAGGCCTCAAGAAGAAGAAGAAGCGTGGTGGTGCTACGTAAGAGTGTGTTTGTTACGTCGGGGGGAGGGAATGGGGAAGGATCAGGCGTCGTAGCCGAGCGCCTCGAGCAGCCGCGCCTTGAGGACGGCCTTGAGACCCGTCACGGGCAGGCCCCTTTCTTTCAGCGCGGCCTTCAGCTTGGGCACCGTGAACTTGTTCACCTCGGCGAGGGATAGCTTCGGCGCCTCGGCGGCCTCAACAACTGGAGCCTCCTTGGCCGTCCCGGGCTCGCTATCGGTACCGTCGAAGGCCGCCTTCGGCGCGATGATCTTCGGGCCCGCTTTAGGCGGCGGCGGCGGCAAGGGCGCTTCCTCGGCGTCGGCGACGAACGGAGACACCAACAAGTTCTTGGCGTCCTTGGACGCGTCCGCCTCGGTGCCCTTCGCCACTGAGGAACACGCCGCCGCGAACTTCGTCGCGGCCTTGGCCGCCACGGCCTCGCCGGCCTCGGCCGCGGCGCGCGCGACGCCGGCCGCGACGACACTCAATAAAGCCGCCTCGCCCTGGTCGTCGGGCGCGCGCATCGTCGTCAGGGCCTCTCCTCTCCTAAGGGACGTGCCCGCCAATGCGGAAGCACAAAGCGCGTAGGGCGCCGCGAACTGTTGGCCGGGCAACGACGCGACGTACGAGGCCGCCTGCTGCGGCGTCGACGCGTCGTCTAGAGCCGTTTCGATGGATCGAGAGACACTCACAGGCCTTGTCGAAGCTAACGTCGGGAAGAATACCGATAACACTTGCTGGAGGCGCCGCTTGCCACCCAGCGCCGCCGCCATGTCGTCGTCGTCGTCGTCCTCGTCATTATCATTCTCGCAGGCGAGGAACGCTCTTAATAGGGACGCACCAACTCGGGCTTCCTGGGTCTCGGCGTCGTCGACAGACAACGGCCTCCCAGCTAAGAGTAACTTCGCGGCGCCCTCTGCGGCGACCGCCCGTAAAGGAGCGGCCGTACCTTCATCTAACAACTTGGCTAGAGAAGTAGCGAAGTCTGATTCGTCCGGCGCGCACTTCGCACACCCAAAAGCTAACGCCGCGTCGCCCAGCGCGCAGACGGCGCGCCCCCGCACATCTAAACCCTCACGACTGTTGAGCGCGAAGCGCCAGAGGTGCGGCGCGATGCGCTTCGAGTCGTTCGCATCACCTAAAAGCATCCTTCTTCCTAGAGCTAAGACAGCTAATTCTCTATCATCAGCGTCCGGCGAGATCGAGCACCGCGGCACGAGCGCGTCGTCGCCGTCGCAGATCTCCTCCAGGAAACGGTCCTGCGCTGCAGATCTAGGTGGTGCGAAGCATCTAGGTTCGGCCAATAATTGGGCAGCCACAGCTAAAGCTCGTCGCGTCTCGCCGCGGTTCAGAGCGCTCTCGACCGCCGCGTGCAGCGACGCGCCGTCCTCCGTAAAACCAGCACCCAGGCCCCGCGCCACAGCCAAGCACCTCGCCGCCGGCGCCGCGAGGCACTCCGCCAAAGGTTTCTGCGTCCGCACGAAGTCCCCATCGATCGCGTCCGCGACCCTCACCTTCCCAGCTTCGTCAATAGCCTTGTGGTCCACGAGCAACCGCGCGCAATCTAACACTTGCGCCGCGACGAAGGTCCTCGCAAACGATAAATCTTCGTCGTCGTCTGAATTCTCGGACTCGCCGTCGTTTTCTCTATGTTTCATTTCCTCCTGAGCAGCTTGTTCGCCGGCCGTGGAACACAGCCTCGCCAAATCATCACCATCCGAGAACTTGGCCAGGGCGTCTTCGAGATTGGACGGCGTCAATCGAGCCGCCGACGGTTCTAATTCTAATAAAACTCGGCACCGCAGCCACAGCGCCGCCGCCGGCGTTAAAGTCGAAGCGTTCTCCGGTAAACAGCTCTCCTCGTCATTCGAGGGGAGTAAGGCATTCCTCAATCGTAATGAAGCCGGGTCCCGCTTCTTGAACTCGGCACCTTCCTTCTTCTGGAGGAGTAACGTATCTTCTCTGTCAGCCACCTCCAGGGCACTCTCCAGAGCGACCACGTAGCTATTCTGCCCATCTTCATCAACAGCATCATAATAGAACGACGCATCAAACGCATCCCGTCGTCTCGTTTCCGCACAGGTCTCCGGTTCCGCCTCGCCCCTCAGCCACGCCGGCGTCGCTTCCCGGCGATCGTCGTTCGCCAACGCGCAGGCCGCCGCATGGAGAGCGCGCAAAGCTAACGCCGCGTGCGACGCCTGCGATTCCACGTCCAAGAGTTCAAGTAATTTCGTCGCGTCCGCGCCCACTTTCGGGGAGACGAACCACCTGGCTAAAGTCATCGTCGCCGATGCTCTCACCGCCGCGTCGCGGTCGCGCAAACCGCGCGCCAACACCGGCGCTCGTCTGTCTCTCGGGACGCCTCGTAAACCAACTTTCAGTCTGAGAGCGTCGAAGGCCGCTTTTCTCACGGTCGCGTTGACGTCGCGGCACCGGTCTAATAATAGTCCGACGGTCTTCTTCGAAGGATCTAAAGCTCTAGCTGCCGCGGCTCGTACCTCAGCCGACGAGTCTCTCGCTAGAGCTCGCCCCAAAGCGTGCGTCGCGGGCTGGTTGTCCTCCTGGAGCCGTCTCAACGCAAGACAGGCGGCCCTTCGGACGCCCGCGACCTTGTCGTGGACGCGCGGCACGACGGCGTCACTCAACGCCGTCCAGACCTGCTCGTCGACCTCGGCGCCGTCCTCGCCGATCAACCGCTCGAGCACGAGCGCGATGACCTCCAAAGCGCGCCCTCTTGCCGTCTTGTCGGCCGCGCCGCAGGCCTTGGCGAGCCAGAGGAGCGACCGCCGCGCGACGTCGCCCTGCTGGTCGTCTCCCGCCAAAACCGCGCCCGAGCAGACGCGCGCGACGAAGGCGAGGCACCTTTCCACTCCACCGTCGCGCTTCTTGGCCACTAGTACGCGCGTGACGCACTCAAAGAAGCCACCCTCCGTCGCGTTATCCGCGAAGACCTCGGGCGTCGTCTTGATGAGCGCGAGGCACTTCTCGACGCCGCGCTCGTGCGTGTGCTTCGAACGCTGCGCGCCGCACATGATCCCACGTAGTTCCTCGTCCGCCTGCGCCACTGCGGCGCCGTAGGCGCCTTTTCCCGCGCCTTTTCCCATGGTGTACGAGCTTGTAACAGACGCTAAGCGCTAATCTGTTCACAGCGTGTCCGGCACCGTTTGGAGCCGGGCCAGTCGCAGCGAGGCGAGTGCGCGGTCTATTTCTGCCGTACAGACGGCGTGAGAACCTCTCTGATGGTCGGCGCTGCGCGTACGGAGCGTCGCGCGGTCGAACGGCGCGTTTTTGGAGTGGCGGGTTTTGCGTCTGTCGAAACGTCCCTGGACATCTCCTGCCCTCCTTCACCACTCCAGTGACTCATACAGAGGCTCACGCAGGCTTCGTGCGCCGCCTCCGCGGCGAAGTTTGACATGAGGCACCGAGACCAACTGGCTGCCAATTTGCAGTGCCAAAGGGCTACCAGAATCGGCTGCCCGCGTCGACGGGGCAGCGACAGTCAACAATGGAGTCCTTGCTCTGCGGTCTTGGCTTGGGCAGCGCTGAGGCGGAGCCAAGCGAGGAGCAGGCATCCTCATCAGCCAGCAATCAGCTCTCGGCGGCGCTTGCGTACATCACGGGTCCAACAACCTCGGACGAGCCATCCATTTCTCGCGGGTACGACTGGCCGGAGCCGCCGCCGAGCTCGCCGCAGCGCCAGGGTCCGTGGCCAATCGAAGCCCGCGCGCCGTCGCCCGCCGCGGCCGCCTGGGCGAGTTCCGACAACCTCCCTGCGAGGAGCAGCCCCACGCCTGTGGCGAGCGGCCCCAACGCGTCGCCGCCGTCGCCGACGCCGGCGCCGCGCACCTTCCTCGTCGCCGCCACGGTGCGGTCGCCGTCCGACCCGCGCGGCCGAGGCACGCCAATGCGACGACGGCCGCCGTCGCCGGTCGTGAACGTGCGGAGCGCCGAGCGCCGGTTCCTCGACGAGTTTTTGGTGATGCTCGCGGACGGCTTCAAGATGCGCAAGCACGGGCGGCGCGGCGGTCCGAAGGATCGGTTGGTGCGCCTGGACGGGGACATGATCGTATGGACCTGTGTGGAAATCAAATTTACGGCGCGTTCGTCGACCTCCATGCCATCGACGCGACACTGTTGATTTCTACACAGGTGTGGACGGCAGTGCGGCCGTCGTTCCGGTTGTCCGAGCGAGGAGGGGTTAAAGTCGCGGAAGTGACGGAGGTGCGACGGACCTTCGCCGGACGCCCGAGACCGTCCAACGTAGCGGAGGATCGCTGCTTGTCGCTGATTTCCAAAGACCGCTCTGTGGACCTAGAGCTCCCCGACAACGAAGTGCGGGAGCTGTGCCACGACGGCTTCTCTCTGCTCGTGAAGTTCGGGCCGCCGGTGACGACGAGTCCCTCGAAGGCGGCGTCGACCTCCACGCCATCGAGCCGAGGAGTGGACCCCCTCGGTCGGCCGCGGACGCCGCCCCGGATTAGGCCAGGAAGGATACCTTCGATCGACCACGACATGGAGTAATCAAGTGTGTTTAGAGCTCCACCCGCCCGTAGTTCTCCGCCGCCGGGAATAACGGAGATGTCCCGCCCGCGCTCTCGACGACGCGGCACGACGCGATCCGCACCGGTTTCAACGGCGCGCCCTCGGCGTTTCCTTGGGTCTCGATTCTTTCAAGAACGTCTGCGCCGGCCGCGAGTGCCCCAAAGACCACGTGGCGCCCGTCGAGCATCGGCGCGTCTTTTAGGGTGACGAAGAACTGCGACGTCATCTGGTACGGGCCTGCCCTTACCATGACCAATAGACCGCGCCGGTCGTGCCTCAGGAGGCCCCGCTTGAAAGGCTTGACCGTGAGGTCCTCGCGGTCCTCGGAGTCGTCGCCGCCTTGCATGACGAAGCCCGGCACGATCCGATAAAACTCGTTGCCGTCGTGCGCGCCTCCCTTACATCTGTCGGAAAATGCCTGGGCCGTCTCCGTCGCCACCTGGTCCAAAAGCTCGAAGCGCAGGCTCCCCGCTTGTTTATCGTCGATGGTCACCTCCATTTCCACATGTTTGTTGAAGGGCGCCCCGAAGACGTCCTCGAGCGGTATGATCGACGGCGTCTCGGCCCACCTTCGTCGAATGTAGAGGAAGCCCGCGACGAACGCCGCGACCAGCAGCATCCACATGGACACCTGGAAGAGTTGCTTCGAGCGGCGCTTGAGTTTTTGGGTCACGCGCTTGCCCTTGGACATGCGCTTTTGTGTCCGCTCGCGGGCTGTGAGCTTCTTCTTCTGTGGGGCCGCCTTCTTCGGCGCCGGCTTCGGGGCCGGTTTCGCAGCTGGGGCCTTCTTCTCGGCCGCCTCCACCTCAATAGCATCGCGCGCGGCCTTGAGGAGCGCCTCCTTATTGGCTGGCTCCGTCGGCGGGAAGGGCCGCTCGGGCTCCGTGAAGGTCCGCTTCGGCGCCGGCGCCGCCTTCGGGGGCGGGGGAGAACCGGGCGACGACGGGTCGCGCTCCGTGAAGGTCCGCGCGAGCGGGGGTGCCACGGACCCGTAGCGCGACTGGAGCGCGACGCGGTACGACGGCTCGTCGGGCAGCTGCCGCGCGCTGAAGGAGCCCTGCTTTTGTGCGGAGGTGCCGCGGGCCGCCGCCTCGTTGTTCGGATCAATTTCCGAGAAGCCACGCGCGAGGCTGGGCTTGCTGAGGGCAGCCTCCTTCTTCTCCTGCAGCGACATGCTCTGGAGCTCGTCGGCGAACTCCTGCTCGATCTGGTCGGCCGAGGAGAGCTCCATGCTGCCCGGCCACCTCTCTGCTGCTGTGCTTATGCTGTCTCTCGCGCGCGCGCACGGCACGGACGGGAGGTGTGATGGAGAAGGGGTGCTGAAGGCAGCGACCGAGCCTATTTTGAGGCACCACGGGCGCGTTATGTGGCGGATTTCCACAAAGTTGTGTGATTACTAGTGTGTCAGTACGCTAGTTAACTCGCGTTTTTGACTTGGTTGCAGTGCTCATCGCATCAGCCTCTAAACGGCTGTCTGAGGGCTTCGCTGTGTATAATTGATCGCCTACACACCGCGCCACAACTGGCGACCTGTGCCAGCAAGCGCACACAAAGAGCACTTTCATGCAACTCACAACCATCCTGCTGTGCGGCGCACTGCAAGCAGCCGCCGCCTTCACGCCCAAAACAACAATACGCGTGAAATGCCCAGCGTTACAAGCTCAACAAGACGACGAATCCCGGTCGCGCCGCGGCCGGCGCCGCGAGCGCAAGAAGGACGCGGTGGCAATCGACGCGCCCGCCGTCGACGCGCCGCGCAAACAGATCAAGCGGCCCGCCTTCCTCGAGAAGAAGCCGCGGCGCAAGGCAGAGCCCAAGAAGCCGGAGGCACCGGTTGAGCCAGTCGAAGAGGACTTTGCGTCGCAGTGCCGCGATCAACTGATCCAGCTCTACGAGCGCTACAACCCCGACAAGGTGAAGGATGTGGACGACTTACTGCATAAGTACGCGGGCCGCGAGCCGTTATTAATCAGCGCCGTCGAGGCCAAGTACTCGGGCGCGCAGGGCGTCCCGCTTTTTAAAGATGAGGCCCTGGTCCGGGCCGGCGCGGAGCTCGTCGAGCGGGAGGCGGAGGCGCGCGAGGCGGAGTTGATGGCGGCGCGCGAGCGCGCAGAAGCCGCAGAAGCGGCGTGCCTCGAGGACGGCGTCGATCTCGAGGAGGCGGTCGCGGCCGTCTGCGCGGAGGCCGGCGCCGCGGAGGCGTTGGCGCGCGTCGTTGGGGCGCTCTTCGACGCGGATCCGAGTCGGGCTTCCGCTGTGGTCCGGCAGACGCCAATTGATTTGAGATGGGTCGACGGCGAGGTCTTCGGCGCGTTCGGCGGGCCGGGCGCGGCGCTCGCGGCGGGCTGGTTTTATATCAGTGTCTCTACGCCATCGACGCGACTCACGTATCCCACGCGCAGGGCACAAAAGGGCCGCGCCGCGCCGACCGCGCAGACCATCGAAGCGTCGCCGTACCCTTCTGCAACAGCGAGCGGCGTGCTCGACGCTCTAAGGGAGGGCGGCTTCGCGCCGTCGGACGTCGTCGAGGCCTGCGTCGCGGCTTGCGCAAATAGCGATATTTATACGCGGAACGAGGTCCTGCGCCACCTCGCGGCCCTCGGCTGCTACCGCGAGGTGCTTGCGATAGACGATTTTGTGGAAGAGAAGGACGCCGCCCACCACGAGCACGTGAACCGCGCGTTGGTCCGAAATGTGGAAAGAGGCCCGACGGCGGACTCGATGCAGCGCCTCCCGCCGCCCGCCGCACCAGAGGTCGTGCTGTTAGGGAGGTCGAATGTGGGCAAGTCGTCGCTCGCGAACGCGCTGCTGGGGCGGCGCGCGTTAGCTCCCGCGAGCCCGGTGCCCGGGCGCACGCGGCGGTTCTGCTTTTACGACGTCGACGTGCCGCAGACGGCGGGGTTTAGGCTCGTGGACGTGCCCGGCGCGGGCTTCGCGGTGGACAACGTGACGCAGGCCTTGGAGGGGAAAAGTGCGGGTAGCGCCGTCGGGAAAGTGGATTCGTGGCGGAGCCTGGTCCTGCGCTACTTGGACGTGCGCGAGCCGCTGAAGGTCGTGCTGCAGCTCGTCGACGCGCGGCGGTGCTTGGATGCCACGCTGCCGGAGGCGGACTTGGCTACGTTGGAAACAGTCGCGGGCTCCGAAGCCATTAAGTCGGGCCGCGCGTCCCACGTGCTCGTGCTGACCAAGGGCGACAAGCTCTCTCCGGCTGAGTCGACGCGCGCCGTCGAATCCTTGAAAGCCGCCGCGGCGGGCGTCTACGGCGGGGCGTCGCCGTCCGTGGTCCTGACGGCCGCGACCGCGCGGCCGCCGGTCGGGCGGTCGGACGCGTGGCGGGCCGTGCTTTCGGGGTTGGGGTATCTTTGACTTGTGTTTTGTTAATGAACGATTCTTACAAAACTAGCGAGGCGCGTCCGCATCTGCGTCCGCTTGCCCCATGGAGAATCGCTCGAACGCTTCGACCTTTTGCTGTAATATGCGCTTCTTTTGCCACTTAAGGCAATCATTCTGGTGAGCAGGCCATTGCGCGCGCTGACACTCCTCGCAACAGTATCGTTTCCTGCCGCAGCCGCTGCAAACTAGGAAGCGTGGCTCGGTAAGGTGGGCGCACGCTGGACAATAATCGCAAAGGCGTCGCCGGAACCGCTTCCAGTGGGGTCGGACGCGGGGCCAACTCTCAACGGTCTTTAAGCTCAAGCGGGCGTATTGGGAATCCACGGATTTCAGCACACCAATGAGGCCACCGCCAATTTCCCAGTTACCAATCATCCTTGGAAACTGTAGTCCGACGACCGCGCCTATGTACTCATCCAAGGCATCACCATCCGATTCATTAAGCGCTATCGCGTCCCGTGCAGCCCAAATTTGCGTATCTCCGTCAAACAGTTCGCCCCTTTGGTAGCTTCGTGATTTGCGCATTCCGACCACTAACCCGCTACAAATTTTGACGCTGCGCAAATTTCCGCGGAGTAGATGTGCCCCGCCAAAGCGGTATTTTAAAGCCAATTGCGCGAGTCCTTTGGGTAGCTTTTCTAGATTGTTATATTCGGGATCGGCCTCCTCGACGGCATCTACTTTTTCATCTGCTTTTTTCCTTAAATACTCTCTATTGCTTCCTCGCTCGCGTCGACTCTTCTTCCCCATATTCGCGAGCACTGGCAGGGGACGCCCCTATAAAATTTACGAGGCGGCGCGCGCGCCAGAGGGACGATGAAAAAGTTAGCTAGCGGCTTGTAACACACTAGCAAGCACAGCAACCACAGCTCTCTGAGCTCTCACCACGCAGCCCACGCGCAAGCCCAGAGTACTCACGCCACGCGTACGCTTCCCTACTGACATATTCTCAGGACTGCGGTGCGCTGTAGCCATAGCTGTGGCCTCATCTGAGCCACGTGCATCGGGAGAGCACTCATAGCACACAAAGCGATGCCGCCGCGACGAGTCCTCTCGCTCCTCGCAATTGCGCAAGTCAACGCGCTCGCCGCGACGACGACGAAGCGCCTGCCGCTCATGCCCTTCGGCGCCGACGAGGTGCTGATACCCGGGCAGAGTCGCTACTTGCATCTGTACGAGGCGCGGTTCCTCAGCCTCTTCGAGTACTGCACGCGCGAGTGCGACGACGATGTAGTTCTAGGATTCTTCGCGGGCGACTCCGCACTCCTAAGGTGCGCGACGCGGGCCCGCGTCGACGCGTGGGAGCGGCTCGATGTGGGCGTCGGGGTGACGGTGCGCGGCGTCGCGCGCTGCACGATTTCGGATGTGGAGCGGTACAACGACCAGCCCTTCATGGTCGCGGACGTTGGGGTTTTGGAGGACGCCGACGCCGTGAACGCGCCCTCGTCGGACGCGAACGAGGCCGCGGCCGTCGACGTCGTGTCGGAACTCGCCGACGAGGTCGACGAATTGTCGTCGCGCCACGATATTGCTGCGAGCCGGGAGAACGAGCTCGCCGTCGACCCGCGCGCGATGAACAGCCCCGACGAAGTCACGCGGCGGACGACGTCGCTGACGCAGCGCGCGGCGGAGCTCGCATCTAGCGCTAGGCCGGGAGACTGCGACCGCAACGAGCTCCTCTCGTTCTTGGCGTTGGAGGGCGCGCCGCCCGACGTCAAGCTCAAGATGCTCGCGTCGACGTCGCGCGCCGAGCGCCTCGCGGCCGCGCGCGGCGAGCTGGAGCGGCAGAAGGCCGAGCTCGCGGCGAAGGCGTCGCTCAAGTCCCTCAACCTGTCCTGGGGCGACGACGACGAGGGATCCTAATTACTTGTATTAGTCGCTGAGCTCGAGGACCTCCTCCAGATCTTCGACGAGGAACGACGTCATCGTCGGCTCGGCGCCCATGAGGATCTCGACGCGCGCTACTAAACAGTTCTTGGCGCCCATGCCCTACGAGTCCCCGCATGAGATGGCCAGCGCGCCGATGCCCGCGGCCGCGGACCCGCACCCGTACCCCTGGGCCGGCGTCGCGCGGCTCGACTCCATGGACTCCATCCACTCGACAGAGCTGTACCCGCTCCCGGCGGCGTCTTCGTGGTTCCCGACCGTCGCGCCGGCCGAGCGGCCGCCCCTCGTGCACACGCACTCGGCCGAAGTGGGCGCGTCGGAGCTCCTTGGCCTCCTCCACTCGGACGACGCCCAGGCCCAGGCCGTCAACTAGATACCCCCACACCAACCCGACGGGACCGTCGCCCACGAGGCTCACGTTCCGTCCCCTCTCGCACCTTCCCACACGTGTATAAGGACTGTTGTCTTCTGGATGCGTCGCGGCGATGGCGTGGGGGAACACGCCCGGGCGACGGCGTGGAAGGGGTGGTTGGGACACGCCTCGGCAGGGCCAAGCAAATTAAGCAAAGCAAATTAAAAGGCTCCTCCAACAGACCTACTTGGACCCCTTGTCGCCCTTGGCACCTGAACCATCGTCGTCCGCGTTCTTCGCCTCGGCCGTCTCCGGTGCCCGCAAGATGGGCTTGGACGACGCGCCGAGCTTCATGGCCTCCCTCACCATGACGCTGTAGAAGGAGTCGTAGTCGCAACTGGCAAGAAGGCAGTAGACGAATTCTTGTACTTTTGGGTCGGTCGTCGTGTCCTGGACGTGCTGGACATCTTTATAAAACTGGGCGTTTTCTACGCCTTCCCGTTCCAACCATTCGTTCAGCGTATCTTCGTACAGCTTGAGGTAGGTCTGGAAGAGGTCCCAATGTTCGAGCGTGTGCTCGGCGCTTTCCATGTCCCTTTTCGGCGGGTACCCAATGAAGGGCTCGGCGTTGTCCCGGAAGTACTTCCTAAATACGTCCAAGAAGCCGTTCGACCAGCAGTAGGTGATGGCCTATACGTTATCATGAGGGCTGCCTACATATAAATACACATACCTTCTGGACGATGGGCGGGATGTCGCCGTCGTCCTGCTTCACGGCCTTGGCGTCCTCGTCGTCCTCGAGGGACGGCATGGCGGGGCTGCCCGCTCGCCGGCGCCGCGCAGCCACGCTATTTGGGCTGTGCCGGCGGGCGCTTTTTGTCTTGAATCCCGCACGAAGGGCCCCGTCGACATTGGTGGAAGGTTGGCAGGCATCCCCGTCGGAGCCGTCCGTGTACCACTCTCGGGGCAGCCATGCCCCACCAAATCCTAGTAGCTTTCCCAGGCAGCTCCCGGCCCTGTTCCACTCGCGAGAAGGCGGCGCATCTGCCCGGCGGGAGGGCGCGCGCAGCGCAGCACGCGCAAAAATGGAGAAGGAACTCGACGAGGAGGCGCCGCAGGCCGAGGAGGACGTGCGCCGCAGCGCCCCCGTTTCTCCCGCCCCCGCGCGCTATGTCCAGGGGGCAGCCTCAATCGCGCCGCGCCACCGCCACCCGTACGCCGCATCCCCCTTCCCCACAAAAATACCCCACACCGACGCAGAAGAAGCCCGTGACCGACCTCCAGCACAACGCCGCGAACCGCGTCGACACGGCGCACGCGCACGAGTACACGAAGGGCAAGATGCTCGAGCTCGCGGGCTTCATGAAGCATCTGCACGACGGCATTCCGATCCGGCGCCACCTCGAGAACGGGCGGGAAGACAAGATTTGCATCCGCGGGTCGGGGGAAGCCGGCGACGACGGCGTGGCCTGGGACGGCCTCTGCTGCTCGAAGGCGCGCACGTCCTTCACCTGGGAGGAGCTCAAGGAGGTGCGGACCTATAGTAGGGCCACGATCGGCAAGACGGTCCACCCGACGGCGACGCTCGCGAAGTCGCCGATGCCGTCCGGCGCGAAAGCCGCCGACGTGGACCTGACCTTCTCGCTGATCTTAGAGGACGGCTGGTCCCTGGACCTGACCTGCAACTCGGCGCCGGGCCACCACCTGGCGGTGCGCGGCTTCGAGCTCGCGAGGAAGCACCACATGCAGGAGGGCCACAAGGGCCACAACCCGCGCCAGGGGAAGCGCAAGGACGCGTCGGGCATGGCCAAGGCGACGGCGGCGCTGCACAATGCCCATTTACTATATGCGGAGACGAAGCACGGCTCGCACGGCTCGGGTTCGAGGATCGTCGTCGGCGCGACGGTCGAGGTGGCCTACGCGCACTCCATCGAACCGGCCCACGCGGTCTTCGACCCCCACAAGGTCGACGCGCAGGGGCGCCCCGTGCGCGACTACCCGTTCCGCGTCAAGATCCCCCGCGGCTACATGCGCTTCCCGACGCGGGCCTGGCACGAGGGCCAGTACGTCATCGGCGTCGTCAGCGCCTACGACAAGGCCACGAATTTGTACACCGTGGACTACAAGTCGGGCCCCTACCACCAGACGGATGGGCCGCACCTGAATCCGTCGGTCAAGGGCCTGCCCGACGCCACGGTCATCGAGAAGGTCCACCGGGAGCACCTCTGCGTGGAAGAGGCCGTGTCGTCGACGGACAACTTCCCGTTCCTCATGATCTTGGTGAGCCTCTGCCAGGTCATCTGCTTCGCGTATTGGGCGCCGAAGATGGCCGAGGCCAACAACCAGGAGATCACGGCCACGACGCCGGTCGCCGGGCCGCAGTACCTCTGGTTCAAGACCGTGCGGAACTGGCCCTATTGTAATGATAGACGCCAGTTCTGGTACATGACACTAAGTTATCAGCTCGTGCACTCCGGGCTGGAGCACATCATTTTTAATATTGTGCTGCAGCTCATCTTCGGCATTCCCATCGAGCTCGTGCATGGCGCCATCGTCTTCTTCATCTACGAGGTGGGCGTGATCATGGGCGCGCTCGCGTGCGCGCTGTCGGATCCGTACATCGCGGTCGTGGGGTGCTCGGGGGGCGTCTACTGCCTGTTCGGCATCCACGTGGCCCACATGATGCTGAACTGGAACGACATGAAGCACTCGGCGGTGCCGCGCGAGATGCGCGTGCTCGTGTTTGGCATGCTCTTCGGCTCGGAAGTGGTCGCGTGGTGGTGCCTCAACACGGCGGGCAAGTCGTTCGCGGCGCACGCCGGCGGCGCGCTCGCGGGCTTCCTCATGGGCGTGGGCTTCATGACGAATTTTGAGATCGAGGAGTGGGAGGTGTACATGCGCTGGTTCTGCCGCTTCTGCTTCGCGTTCTTCGTCGTGTTAGGCGTGATCTGGTACGTCGTCAAGGACCCGCCGGCGCCGCTGAGCATGTGGGGCTACGGCGACAAGAACAAGATCCCGTGCTGTTTCCAGATGTTCGACTGCGACATCGAGCGCTCCTACAAGTACTACCACGTCTTCGACTGCCACCGCGTGCTCGAGGACGACAAGAACTCGTACCAGTACCGGCTGAAGTCCAAGGACCCGGCGTCGGTCTACGACAACATGAAGAACCCCTTCCAGCAGTGCAACGACGTCCGCGCCGAGATCGTGAGCGCGTGCGCCTCGGGCTTCATGAAGCAGGTCACGGGCTCCAGCTGCGCGGACGACAGGGACAATTTCGCGGACGGAAGCAAGTTTACGACCGGCATGATCGGCGAGTACAAGCACTACTTCTCCACGAACGAGTGAGTCCGAGCCCGCGCGCGGTGGCCCCAAGTCCGCCCCCGCGCCCCGCGACGCGAGCGTGCGCGTCCCGAATTTCTAAGTAGCACCATACTCTCTCTCGCGTGCTTTGCTTTGCTTGCTAGCGGGGGTACCGCGCGATGCCTGTGCGTGAATCAACCAGTGAGCGGGGTGACTCGGACTCGTCGCACGGTCAGACTCAGAGAACCGCACCGCCACGCCGTCGAGCAGGCATCGCGTCGATGGCGTGCAGGGTGCGCGAGGCAACCTAGCCGACACTTGCGCCGACGCGAGGCCTGCGTGACTCGGACCGAACCGTGACACCTGGCCGACGCTCGTTCTCGTTCGTTTGAATCGTTTCACAACAATGATTCTTAGTCCGGGCGGGCTAGGTGGGCCGGCGACGCCCTCGTCAGAGCCCCAGAGCCGACGCTCGCCGCAACGCCTCCACGCGCACGCGCTCGTAGAGCTTGACCTCGAGCGCGAGTGCGCCCGCCGCCGCGGCTCGCTCGACGGCGCCAGCGCGCGCGCCGGCGCCGGCGTTCTCGACGCTCGAGGCGTGCGTCGCGGAGAGGGGCAAATCGAGCTCGTGCGCGAGGAGGCGCAGGCCGTCCGCCAGGTCCTCGACGACGACGGCGCGGAACGGCGCGTCAGGCCCGACGACGTTGGCCAGGGCCGCCTCGAGGTACGCTTGGGGCCGCCGCCGGACGGCGGCGGGGCCATCCGCGAGCGGCGCGCACTTTAGAGACTGGTTGGCGGGCGCGTCGCGCGCCACGGGTGCTTGGTTCGTGGACAGCTCGAGGACGCTCAGCATCGACTGCGTCTGCGCCCACCGTTCGAGCGAATAGGAGCACCTACCGGCTCGTTTCATGGCGTTCGTCCAGCCCTTGCGGCGCTCCGCTCCGTTGAGACAGAAGTACCGCCACGATGATTCCACGCGGTCGATGGGGTTCCGCAGAACCGTCGCGTAGACGCACCGCCGGTCCTCGCCGCGTCGTCGCGCCGCCGCCTCGACGTATTCGCAGGCCCCAAACGCATTTGTCCCGGCGTACAAGTCCGCGCGGCACGCGGCGCGGCCCTTGGCGCAGGCGGCCAGGAACCGCGGCCAGGTCCGCCGAAATAGCGTGATCGGCGGCCGGCGGTTCGTTCGGCGCGCGGCGTCCGCGAGCGCTTTCTTCATCGTCGAGCCGGCGCTCTTGGAGATGTGGACGAAGACGATGGACGTTTTCGCAGCGCTCTTTGCAGGTTGTGGCGCGACGTAAGGCGCGAATAGACGTGATGGCACTCGTTCCCCGGAGCGGCCGGGCTTGATCCAGGGATCGACGGCGCACGCGTCATCCGCTGAGCTCAGCGCCAGCAGCAGCGTGACTAAGAGCCGGCGCATCATTCTAGCCACACGCGCCTTATGCCCGCTGGCGCCCAGACGTACAGACCAGCGACGAAAAAGCCGCCGCCGATCGTCGTGCGCGCGACGTCCTTTGCGTCCTGGAACCGGTCGTTGTTGAGAAGCGCCCAGCCGAAGCCAAGCATGATGCCGCTGCCAAACGCCGTGAGGGCTCCCGCCGCACTCAAATTAGACATCCCTCTGAGGCACTATTATGCAGCGCGGCGGCAAGCGATGCGCAGTAGACGAGAGCTTACAACGTGTCTACCGATAAGCCGCGACAAAGCAGCTATTTTTGCCCACTGGTCCTGGGCTAGTACGTCGATTACGCTAGCTGCCGCAAACTCTGCGACCAGTCCTAGCACCGTAACAACACGACGGGTCGTCGGGAGAATCACAAAAACACTTAAGCTGGTCCGTGCCAGTGCTCCGCGGCCGGCGGCGGGTACCGCGCCGACCTGACGAGCGGCGGCCACGCGCCGTCCGTGCCCGCGCGCCACGGCACGTAGGGCATGCCGCCGGCGCGCGCGAAGTCCGGGCCCAGGTCCGCCGTGTAGCAGAACTGGCGCCCCGTCCGACCGTTGGGCCCTTGGCACTTGTCGCCCCACTCATTCACAACAGGCACTTTCGCCCACTCGAAAAACGATGAAGGCGACCGCCGCGGCCCGGCCGCGTACTGGGCCCAGTCGTCGCGATCTACCGGGCCCAGCGACTCGCGCGGCGTCAGCACTTTATGTAAATCGAGCTGCTCCTGGATGCGCAGCAACGACCGGTACTGGCACGGCCAGCGCTTGCCCCAGTCCGTCGTCCAGAAGACCGGGCGCAATGGTGACCCAGCGGGAATATACAAATGCCCGATGATGTTCCGGTCCGGCTGGTAGAGGTCGTAGCCCCACGTCCACGCCCGGACGCCCAAACTAATTTCTTCCCCATCAAAAATGTAGGGCGTGTGCCAGTCGTAGGGCACCCGTAATACCCGATGGCCCCGCGCAAACGAGAACCCCGCCGCGAAGAACGCGACGCGCTTTGGTTCGCTGGGCGTAGAGCACGTGGACATGTCATGTTTAAATGAAATCGTGTTGTGCACGTTCACGCGCCTCGTGCGTCGTATGCAGCCTATCGAAGGAACCTCGGTCGGCGGCTCGAAGGGCTCGGACCCGTCGCCGCCCTGGTTCGCGGGTCCGTAACTCGCCGGATACGCGGTGATGATCGCGTGATCATTTCCTATCCTCCTAAACATGTCTATTTGAACATTGTCCCAGCCTCGCACGAAGTGGCAGTGGCTGTCGACGCCCATCACATAGGTCTCGTTCTGGTAGTGCCTCTCCGCGTAGTGCCGCGCGACGGTCGGCCCTTCCGCCCGACTCCAAAGCTGCCGCGACACCCGGACCCTCCCATCTAACACGGCGTCGCAGACGGGGTGGTCCGGGCACTTGACGCCGGCCTGCTCGAGACCCGCAATAGGGTCGCGCTCGGGCTCGTTAGTACCTTCGGCGTTTTGTGCATGGACGCCTACCACGATCCGCTCCGGGTGCGCCGCGCGCATGAAGGCCCGCGCGATCGTGGAGGCTACTTCCGGGTCGCGGTAGGACGCCGTCACGATGAAGATCGTCGAAGCGGGCTCACCATAAGGTAAATCCCGCCGCATGCCCGCTATCTGATACGTGCGCGTGCCGTCCTGATTTACGGGCGGTTCCTTTCGTGGGAGGGGCGGCTTGCCATTGATTTTTTTACGTGCCTCTTCCGCTTTTGAGATCCAGGCGTCGGCCGGGGCGGCGCTCGGGTTCTCGCCGGGGTGCATCGCCTGGAGCCGCCAGCGCTGGTTCTTCGCGTCGAGCGCCCAGGGCTTGTAGGGGCTGTCCGCGGGGATGGCCTTGAGGGGCCCCGCGCTCGCCTTCATCTCGGCCTCTACCGCTTTCCGCGCGTCGACGGCGAGGGCGCGCCGCTTCGACGCCGCGGCCTCGGCGTCGTCGGGCCGCGCGAGCTCGGCCGCGATGGCGGCGTCGTCCTTCCGCAGGACGGGGTCCTCCCACACATCAAGCTTCGGCGGCGGCACCGGCGCGTCGTCGACGGGCCGCCGGGGCGGCGGCGCCGGCTCCGGCGCGGCGGGAATGTGGGGCACGTGTGGCACGTGGGGCACGTGGGGCACGTGGGGCACGTGCGCGCGATTCCGGCGCAGCGCGTGCAGGCCGTGGTCCCCCCCGCCGCGGGAGAAGTCGCCGCGCTCGGCCGCCTCGAGGCCGCTGCCGTGGAGCGTGCTGGCAAGGAGGAAAAAGAAGGCGACGGCGATGACCGTCATGACCAGGAAGAGGTTGTACGTGTTCGTCGCCCGCGCATAAGTGCCGTCGTGCCGGAGCCGCCGCGGCACCTTGCGCGGCCGCGCGCGCGCCGTCTGGCGCAGGAGCGAGTCCGACATTTTTGGTTGCGCACGATCCTCGACGCCGTGCCGGGCAGCCTGATTAGGCCTGATATAGCTATCGCAATGCAAACAGCCGCAGCGTCCTGGGTTGGAGCGCGATTTGCTGCGTATGTATGTATGCGTAGCGCTCGCGTGGGTGGCACTTGCAGCAATGCAGCCTTAAGCAGCACTAGCTACGCCTCGACTGTCCAAAATTTTGATCGAGCTAGTGTGTCTCAACACTAAACCGGTTTTTTTAGCGGCTTCATCTAGTCCTAGCACCGTAACATTACACGCACGGGCTTCATCGACACTCGTGGAGCGAAAATGCCGGGCGCGGCTATAAAACAACAGCAACAATTAACGACTAGGGCGGCCCCCCGCACGCCTCGTGGACCCGCGGAAACGTCGACCGCTCCGAAACATCGCGAGAAAGAGCGTCGACGGCGCGTGCAAGCGCGTCGTTTGGCGCGAGGCCTATGACGTAGGCCTTCCGCACGCTGCAGGACGGCGGCAGGCTCGCCTCGATGCACGCCCGGACGTCGCCGACGGCCGGGCTGTCGCGGGCGCCGCCGGCCTGGAGGTTGCACCCCACCTCGACCAAACCCTCCGCGTGCGGCAGCGCCATGACCTGGACGCCGAAGCGCGCGCGCACCGCCGCCGCCGCCGCTCGCCCGGCCTCCAACGAGCCGTCAATGGCCACGTTGTAGTTCGTCACGTAGGGCTGCGCGCCGACGACCGCGGCGCCTTTCGACGGAGATACGTCAGAGGGCCCGAAGTCGGGCGCCAGGGTCAGGGACGGCGGACCCTCCGTTTTGGTTGAGGCGAAGAAGGACGTGCCCCGCCGCGCCTCGACGAGCGACCTTCCGGCCCGCGGGCCGTACATGAGAATGGGCACACCTTCAAACGCCTCGCCGAACCGCCAGGCCAGCGCGTCGCAGGCCTCCAACAGGTCGTCGTCGCGCCGCTCCGTCAAAGGCATGAACGAGACCATATCCACAGCACCCTGGCGCGGGTGCGGCGCCGGCGCGGGCTCCTCCCTCAAGTCGACGCGGTCGAGGGCGTCGCGCGCGGCGGCCAGCGTGGCCTCCAGCAGGTCGTCTTTCGGACCGACGATCTTGACCGACGACCGCGCGTAAGCGGGGTCCGCGAACGTGTCGACGACGCACGCGCGGGTGGTGGCCCGCGCCGCCGCGCGCGCGGCCTGGGTCGCGACGCTCGCGGCGCCGGAGGAGATGTAGACGGCCGCTGAAAGGAGCTCTCGCTGCATTCCTTTTGATCTACGGCGTGCAGCTCTTGACAGTGGTTTGCTCGCGCACTCGTGCGTGGCGCAGTCGTTGCGCAACGCTTGAGACGCAAAGTTAGAGCTATAGCCCACGACGCGCCGCGGGCGAGGCCACTGAGTCGACGCTGCTCTCCGCAGGAGGGAGATGAGGGAGAGCAGAGGGCTGGTGCGCGCGCAGTAGCGCTAGGGCTGGGCATAGCTCGCGTATAGTACCGCCACACCGATAGTTCGCCGTATGCAACGCTTGAGCACTCTTGCGTCGCGCGTTCGCGCCGCTCAAGCCATACACTGCCGCTGCACACTGCAATAGGGACAACGACTCGCGCACTGCTCGTCGTTGCGCTCGCCTGCGGCGCGGCAGCGTTGGCGCCGCCACGCATGCCTCGTCCCAAGATTTTTCTTGTTGGCGGGCCGAGCGGTGCGGGCAAGGACGCGCTGCTCGCCGGCGCCCGCGAGAAGGCCGCGGACGTCGCATTCGTGGTCCGCGACGTCACTCGCGCCGCGGACCAGTGCTCGGCACTCGAAAGGTCCGTGTCGTCCGACGAGTTCGCGACCGGAGAGTACGCGCTGCGCTGGAGCGCGCACGGCACGACCGACTACGGCATCCCGGCGAAGGCGCTCGAGGAAGTACTCGCCGCGGGCCGCACGATCGTCCTGAACGTGTCGCGGGGGACCTTTGCGGAAGCGCGCGACAAATACGCGGACCGCGCCGACGTCTACGTGTTGCTCGTGACGGCGTCGCGCGAAGCGCTGCGCGAGCGACTGACAGCGCGCGCCCGCGACGGCGACGACGCCGAGGCGCGCTTGCAACGCGCCACGGCCTACGCGCCGCCCGACGCGCGCTTTTGGCCGGTGGTGCGTATCACGAACGACAAGAGCCTCGCAGAAGGCGTCGATCGCTTCGTCGCCGCGTTGAGACGGCCGGAGGAGTACTGCGTTCCGGTTCTAGGGCTCGTGGGCTGCTCGGCTTCGGGAAAGTCTACCCTGTGCGCAGAGCTCCCCGCGGCGGCCGTCATCGCGGCCGACGACTTTTACCTGCCGCGCGATGCGTGCCCGCGTTTTGACCTCGCCGCGGACATCCGGTGGCCAGCGGGCGTGCCTGACGCTTTCCAGGTGCGCGGCAACGCGGACCTAAATCATCCGGACTCGGTGGATTGGGCCGCGTGCGCGGACGCCGTCGACGCGGCGGTCGAGGCGGTCGTCGACGCCGGCGGCGGCGGCGTTGTTGTTGTCGAGGGGCTCCTCCTGCTAGGCGCTGGCGCCGAACGCGTGCGCGATCGCTGTTCCACCTTGATTCTACTGGACGACGGATACGACGACCCCGCCAAGCAGGAGGTGCTCTGGCGACGGAAGTGGACACGGTCGGGCCACCTCGGCAAGAAGTCGTATCAGGACCGGGGCGTGACCGCGGACGAGTACGCAGCTTATTGGGGCGATTACGTCTCGGCGCGCTGGAAGGAGCACGGGCTTGAGAGAATCGAGGCGGTATCGGGGCGGATCCATCGAGTCGATGCGCACGCGGACGACCGGTCGGCACAGGTCGAGCGCATCCTGCGCGCGCTCGCCCCCAGCTGAGTAATTTGTTCTGGTGTTCTCCCGCCCCGACGGCGTCGACGCGACACGTCACAACAACAGCACTTACCCGAGCCCGTCGTCCTCGCGCAGCGCCTCGACGCCCCGGATCTCGAGCCGGAAGGGCCCCTCCAAATCGTCCGCGACGGCGATGGAGAGCGACGAGAACCGCGCCACGTCCAAAACCCGCGGCTGGCCGAGCAGCCGCCCTCCGCGCGTCGCCGCGAAGGACGTGAAGGGTAATTCATAAGTCCGCCAGCCCCGCCGCTCGCGCGCCAGGAAGCCCTGGTACGCGATGTTCGGCGCCAGCGGCACGGCGTTGCGCAGCGACACGGAATACAGCCGCCCGTCGCCCGAGGCGCGGAGCGCGAGCGCGTCGTACTCCTCGCAGCCGACCTCGTCCTCATTAGTGTGTAACTGCAGCATGGCGAAGCCGTGGCGGCCCGTGACGCCCTCCTCATTAGGTACCACCGACGGCGTCTTGTCGATGAAGCCCTCGAAGACGCCGCAGACGCCGCTGCCCGACGCGCCCGCGTTTCCCACGCGGAACGTCGCTCGGCTCCGCCCGCCCCACTCGCGATCCGTGTGCACACTTGCGCTGTAGGCTGTGCTGCTGCCGTCAAAGGTAAAGATGGGTTTAATTGGTGGGAGAGCGTCGGGCTTGCCGTCAAATAAACGCAGGAAGCGGCCGAAGCGCTGCATTGTTGCAGCGGTTTCGTGTGGTGGGCAAGAGAGACGACTCGTACACAACTTTGAGCTGCAAACAAGGCTTGGCAATGCGCTTGCCTAGTGCCTTACATGGCGCTAGCTAGCCAATCCCTTTTACGACAAAAATCAACTACGCGGCGGAGCTAGGGGAAGAGCGCACTACACAAGCTTAAAGTTCTCTACAAAAATGGCGCACACAACCCTCGCGAGCACCGACCGCGCCCTCGAGAAGATCGGTGATTTTGTGGCGGTGCAGGATTACCCTTCACTGAAGGCGGTCGGCCGCACCTTCGCGCAGAAGGCGGGCGTGATCGTCGGTCTCCGGCGGAGCATCCCCAAGCGCTACGCCAAGAAGGCCAAAAGACGACTCCTGGCGGTGAATTCGCACGCAAAAGCACTCGGTTCTCTCGCGGAGCCCTACCTCTTGCGCGCTCTCCGCGAGGACTCGTCGCAAGGCGTCCGAGGAGCGGCGGCGCAGTGGCTCGGACGCATCGCGCGGCACAGCGACGAAGGCGTGCGCGTGCGGATCTACGGCGTCCTCGTGGAGCGCTTCGACGCGGAGGCGCGAATGATGACCCTGCGCGCGGCCCTGGCGGAGAGCTGTTCTCACGACATGCTCACGCTCGAGCAGCACTACCCGGGTCGCGCCCTCACCGCCGCGGCGGTGGAGTCATCTGCCGCGCGCGCCCGCGACGCCGAAATCGCTGCGTTCGACGCGTCCGGGCGGATGGGAGGCGTCCTCGAGCTCTTCGATGGAGGTACGGGTAGGCCGGTCCGCTTCGTGATTGAACGCGGCACACCGTCATTGTTGCTCGATTTCAAGAACACGTCGGCACGGCCGGTGGAATTGCGAGTCTACGATTCACGACAGGTGGAAGTTCAAGGGGCACACGCCACCGACCTGCCCGCGCGCTTTTCGCTTGAGGAAATGATGAGAAGCTCCGACGACGCCGTAGCGAAGGCGCGCCTCACGGTGCGCCCTTTCGTCCTCCGGCTGGTCGACCGTCGAGCTCCATGGTCTCCACCCGACCATTTCGAACTTCGTTCTAAATGGCCGGCACGTTGTCGTCGTGCCGACGCCTCTGGACGTCGCCGCGCGTGGGCGGATAAACGTCGTAATCGACGGAGCCGTGCACGCGGTTCGCCGCGAGAAGTTGCGCGCAGTCGCGACACCCTAGGATGGCCCTGGGGGGATAAGTGTTCACAAGCAATGCCACTTAGGTCTTCAGGGAGGCACGCTCACGGAGTCACGCGCTCGGCGGGTACAGCTGCTCGCCGTCGAGCGACTGGCGCTTCGCCTCCGGTGCGTCGGCCGCGTCGACGGACTTGCGCTTCTCGGCGACGGGCTCGGCCTTGACGGCTTTGGCGGCTTCGGCGACTAAAGCCGGGTCCTCGTTAATCGTGTTCGTCGGGTCCTGGCGCAGCGCCGCCAAAACCTCCTCCCGCTTCTTCATCGGAAAGACCCAGCCGCCGAGGCCCTTGTTCCAGGAGCCCTCGAGCGCCTGGAGCACGGGCTTCACGTTCTTCGTGTCGCCCTTCACGAGGACCGCGCGCTTGTGTTTACAGACCTCGAGCGTCGCCGAGGCACCAGCTGTGGCCGCCGCCGCGAGCGCCTCGGCCTTGGCCGACGCCAGCGACGACTCGCGCCGCTTCGCCGCGCCGGCGCCGCCCTCCTCGACCGTCAGATTGATCGAAGGCGCCGTCGACGCCTTGAGCGCCGCCGCCGTCGCGTGGGCCGTTCCGGCACCAAAAACCCACGCCTTCAATTTCTTGGACCAGCTCCCGCCGAGCGACGCGAGCAGAGATTTCGCGCGGAAGGTACCAGAACCCGTCACCAGGACGCCGTCCTCGCCCGCGTCCTGCAGCGTGAGCTCGGCCACCCGGGGGGCCTTCTTCTCCTTCTCGCTGCCGTCGCTGGACGCGTTGGACTTCTTGGGCTTTTTCTCGGCCTTGGGCTTGGCCTCGCTCTTCTTCTTCGGCGCGGGCTTGGGCTTGGGCTTGGGCTTCGCGGCGACGGGCGCGGCCTTGGGCTGCAATAACTCGGCCTTCTTCTCCTTGAACTCCTGCTCGCTCAGGATGCCCTCGTCGAACAAGGCCTTGGCGTCGCGGAGGGCCTGGACGGTGTCGGCGTCCATCGTGCACGCGGCGCGTCCAGCAGAGCTTTCCTGGGCGGTATGAGCCCACACAGGCGCCGCGCGCGTCACGCGCTCGTGGACGGCTAAATGGGATGCGCAGAGCTTTCTGGCAGCCGCGGATCGAACGCGTGAGGCCAGTGCGCGCACAGAGCCAGGTGGCGCGTCGATCTGCCTGGGAACTTGACCTAGACTACAGACATACTAGCATCGGGGGTCCTAGACGCACAACGGATAATCGCATAGACTAACGTAGAGACTGGGCCGAGCGAGAAATCGATACCCTTTCGCAACGCGCGAATTACCCGCGCTATCTGTACGCGATCGGTAGGATCAGACGCCATCGCCGCGTCGTGCCTTCTACGCAGATGAGAGATCACAAATAGCCCCCTTAAACTCAGTAGTCGTAGCCAAACTCCCTCGCCAGCCGCGTCGCGCGCCGCCACACCACCGGCGAAATCCGCTCGAGGTCCGCCCAGGTCACGCTCGCGAGCGCCGGGTCCATCGCGCGCGAGTTCTCCGCCGCCGCCGCGGGTATGGGGCGCGCCGGCGGCCGCGGCGGGCCCAGCGCCGCGCGCCTTGCTATCTCGTCCGCGTCGAAGTCTTCCACTTTGTACGTCCAGTCGGCGTAGGCCCGGACCCAGTCGTTCCAGAAGACGTAGTGAAACAACGCGACTCGAAGCCGCATATCTTGGGTCCAGGGGGCGCCGCCCCCCTCGACGGCGCGCCGGTCGCGGCGCCACGCCTCCAGTTCGCTCGCCGGGGGAAACCCGGGGCAGTAACCCAGGCCATCGCGGAACAGCAGCGGGTCCGAGTAGCTCCAGGGCGAGACCATCATTCCCACCGAGTTCGCCCGCGATAGCACGGTCTTGAGGGGATCCCTAGTCTGGTGGAAGACGCGGCGGACGCGCCACCGCGGATTCGGGCCGCGGAAGCCCGCATTGACTTGCGCGAAGTTGGGCAGCTGGTAGGCGTAGGCCCCCTCGCGGATCGCGAGCGGCCACGACGCAGCACCTACTCTGCCAACGCGCGCGTCGTCGTGCGCCACGTCGTAGCCACGTGCCGTTAAAGTTTTGGCGGCGAACCGCGTGCCGGAGCGGCCCACACCCGTGATGAGGAGGGGATAGACGTAATTCTCATCGTAGTTGTCGTCGCAGGACGAGAGCTTGAGGGTGCTGTTGAGAATCCTACAGTTCGCATTGCGGGCGCGCGCCGGCGGCCGCGGCACCGCGTGCGTGAACACGGGATCGCGCTGCGGCGCGAGCAGGAGCAGACAGCCGACGGTCGCGAGCACGACCATGGCTATATGATCAGTGCGCGAGTACGTCGCCGGCGCGGCCTTTCGCGGCGGCGACGTCGGCGCCGCGGCCGTTCTGGAGCGCATAGTTGAAGAGTGCTTGCGTTTACAGGGATCCAAATGAGGAGGGGCGAATTGAGTAGGCGGCGCGGCCTAGTTGTAGTACAGCTCGAGGCCCATGCCGTCGTGGATCTCGTAGTCCTCGAGCGTGATGTGGTCCTTGAAGATGGTGTACCACTTCTGGATGCGGATCTTCTCGGGCCGGGTGCCGCTCTGCGCCGCGACGAGCTTTTTCAGGTCGCCGATCGTGTCGTCCTCGTTGCACTTCACCCTAATCTTCTTGCCGAGGCGGTCGTTGCAGATGACCTCGATCATTTCTCTTGCAGCGGCGACGGCGCGCGGCGACGATTGATGAGTGTGGTGGTGTTTGAGGCCGCTGTTGGCTCTGCGGCGGTGGCGCTTCGCAGGGATGCTCGAACTGGCTGCGAGATGCGTTTAAGACGCTCCGCTCTGTTGCCGTGTCGGTCTAGCGATAGCTGTAGTTGTTTGTAAAAAATGGATGGGCTAGCGACCTGTAACACACTAGCAAAGCAGGAAGAAACGCCGCCGACTGAACAAGGTCGCTCAAACGACGTCTCCGCACCGTTCCTGATCATCCTTGCGCGCAGTTTCGTCTGCAAGCTGGTTACAGTAGCAGCTGGTGCTTGGGCAGAAACGAGCGCCATACGCAGCCTGGCAGCACGAGTCGGGAGAAGTGCCAGGCGGAGTAGGCTCGCCGGCAGCCGAAGAGCAATTGCTGGCAGCGGCATCGCTCGCCATGCGAGGCCTCCTGCTAGCGACAACTGCTGCGGCCCTCGCGCCGACGCCGCGGCGCATCTTCGTCTACGACACAACCCTCAGAGACGGCACGCAGGGCGAGGCCGTCTCCTGCTCCGTCGACGACAAGCTCAAGATCGCGTCGAAGCTCGCGGCCTTCGGCGTCGATTATCTGGAATGCGGCTGGCCCGGCTCCAATCCAAAAGACGCCGAGTTCTTTACCCGCGCTAAGACCGAATTGTCAAGCGAAGCAAAACAAAAGCTCGTGGCCTTCGGGTCGACACGTTCGAAGCGCTCGGCGACGGCCGACCAAGATCCTCAACTAAGAGCACTTGTAGAGTCCGGCGCGCCGACGGCGTGCATCGTCTGCAAGGCCTCGAGCTGGCAAACTACTGACATTCTTGGAGCATCTAGAGAAGACAACCTGGACATGATTTCGTCGTCCGTAGAGTTCCTAAGGCAAGAAGGCCTGAAAGTGCACGTCGACCTCGAGCATTTTTATGATGGGTTCCTTGGCGGACGAGCAGCGGACGGCGACGAAGCCTACAGTCTCGAATGTGCGCGCGTTGCCGTCGAGGCGGGCGCCGAGGCGGTCGTTCTCTGCGACACGAACGGCGGGCACCTGCCCTGGGACGTCGAACGGGCCACGGCCGCCGTCGTTGATGCCGTGCCATCTAATATCGTTGTAGGAGTCCACGCGCACGACGACTCGGGCGTGGCGGTCGCCAATTCATTAGCAGCTGTAAGAGGCGGCGCTTCCCTCGTCCAGGGCACGGCGAACGGCGTCGGCGAGCGGACGGGCAACGCCAATTTGAATGCGATCATCGGCGCCCTCGCGCTGAAAGGTACACAAATAGCTCCGGAAGGCATCGACGTGGCCTGCTCGTCGAACTTACACTTGCTTGCCGATTCGGCGCGCTTCGTCGACGAGACGCTGAACCTAATCCCGCGCAAGAGCCAACCGTACGTGGGCGCGTCGGCCTTCGCGCACAAGGGCGGCCTGCACGTCTCGGCGCTCGCGAAAAACGCAAAGGCGTACGAGCACGTCGACCCCGCGCGCGTGGGCAACGAGCAAAGGGTACTGGTCTCGGAACTTAGTGGTAGAGCGAACATCTGGTCAACCCTAAAAAAGGCGGGGTTGGTAAGGGAGCACGAGGACGCGACCGACCTCGGCCAGGCGAAGTGGAGGGAAAGGTCCGCGGCCATTCTCGAGCGCGTGAAGCGGCTGGAGAATTTGGGCTACTCGTTTGAAGGCGCGGAAGCCTCGGTCCATTTGATGTTGCTACATGCGTCGCCGGGCTACTGCTCGCCCTTTACGGTGCTCGACTACAGCGTGACGACGTCAGATGAAAATCTAGATAGCGCGTCGCGTGCCGTGGCCAAGGGTGGCCGTCGTACAGCCCAACGAGCCCGAGCTACCGTCAAAGTGAGGATCGCCGACGGCGACGACGAGGACCGATTAGATGTCGCCGAGGGGTCGGGACCGGTCGATGCGCTCGCAGCAGCATTGGTACGGAGTTTAGCCCCGACGTTCCCCTTCGTCGATTCGATCAGGCTGGTGGACTACAAGGTGCGCATTTTAGATCCGCACTCGGCCACGAGAGCGGCCACGCGCGTCGAATGCACGTTCAAAGAAAAAATTACGGGCAAGGTCTGGACGACTGTCAGTGTGGACCGGAACGTCATCTCCGCGTCGGCGAACGCGCTCGTGGACGGGTTTGAATTTGGGATTGTGGAGTACGCGGACTCGTGCATGCTCTGCGAGGTCGACTACGACGCGCCGCCCATTTATTCGTCCGACGACGAGGCTTCATCTTCTGTCCAGGCGATGCCGCGCGAGGTGCGGACGGCGCGCTAGGTTTCGAGTCTAACTTGGGTTACGTTTAATCCTAGAGTTTAATCCGAGTCCGGCTCCGAGTCGGAATCAATACTCCCCCAGCTTTGGATCGTCCTCAGCGCTGCTGCGCGTTCGAAGGGCTGGACTCCAGCGAGATACGTCAGCAGATATCGCATCGAATGTGTAGATAGTTCTCCACTGTGAGCAGTTTCCCTCGTCACAGAATGAGTTATCTCGAGATCGAGGTAGTCTAATGTGCCTCCACCAGTCGTGCCGTGTAAAGTTCCTAGCCACAAGTCAGCCCGAAATTGATGGCCTGGCGAAGCAAACAAAGGAACATGTGGAGAGCTATTAAATTTAAACGACTGATCTGGGTTGCCGGTCCCGAATACTTGATCCCAACTTAGAATGGAAAAGTGCCCAAGCGAGACCACTGCTTCGTCTGATTTTCGAATTGCGACCAAAGTTATCGAGAGACGTCCCAAGACAGCCTGATCTTGTTCCAGCAATGTGCCTGTCTGTGCGAGCCAAGTTGTCAGCTCCGCGCACGAACCTGATTGCTTTATCGTGGCCCAAACTTCGGCCAAAGGAAGATGAAGGCACCCGTTGTCAGAAGGAGTTCCAGCTGCTGCTCGCTGATGAAGTAGGTCGCCCTCCCAAATCACGACATCATCCTGGCGTAGGCGCACAAAAAATGTAAAATCCTCAAAGTGGTTTGGATTAAGTCGTGGCGCGGAGGTATTCTCCAGAGCGTCCGCGAGCAGCCGCCGGCGCACGTGCGACCGCACGCGCGATATTGCGTCGATCTCCAAGGCGTCGCGAGCGATTCGCGGCGTCGCGAGCGGCGCTTGCCGCGCCGCGAGCAATTGCCACGCGTTGGCCTCGCGCACGTCGGCGCGCACAACTTTGCTGCACCTGGAGTAGCGGCTGAGGCACCGCGCACTCATAAACTCGACCAGTTCCGGGCGCAGCGGTATGCTACCAGGTCGGGCGCTGCCCTCCACACGTTGTCGCGTGCGAGAATCCATTTATGCGTTTTCCGAGCGCTTTTTGGCATTTCCACAGCTAGCGGCAGTAAGACACTAGCAATTACCAAGCTGCGGCGGTCCGCCTTACGGACAGTTAGCGCACGCCTGAAGCGCAGCATACACAAGGGACACATTCCAGAGCATAGCTTTCACAATCCTAGCGCCGCAAATCCAGCTATACAGCCCTAGCGCAGCAATTCCAGCTATACAGCATGGCAGCGCCACCAGTGGAGGGCCTCAAGCTCCAAACCAAGACAACCCTAAAACGCGTCGACGAGTTGGTGCATGAGTACGAAACGACGAATGGATCTGGTCGGTTACGAGACACACTACGCGGTTCGACACTCGTCTTCGCGCCGCCGCCGCAAAAGACAACGAGCGAGGCCGTCGCGCGGCGGCGGAACATACTACAAGCGCGCGCCGAGCGAAGAGCCTACGACAAGATGGTCGAGTCCGTCGCGCCTAGACCAATTCGACCGGAAGAACGCGTCGCGACGTCGCTCAAACACTCTTTCACGGTGTCCGCGAACATGGTCATGACGCCGGTCGGCGTCGGCGCCGTCGGCTACCGCCTCGCGAAGCACAAGGTGCCGGAGAAGCACCGGATCGTCGTGGCGCTCGTGTGCGGCATCGGCATGCTCTTCGTCGAGATGATCCTGTTCCTCGCGCGGACCTACTCCGTCGAAGCGCATACGGCGAAGCGCGAGCGGCGCGCGGCGGCGGGGCGCTTCGGGCCGGCGGGGCTCCGCGAGGCGACGAGGCTCGACGGCGTCGCGCCGAAGCTGGACTGAACTCACCCCGTGTCCTGGGGCGCGGGCGGCGACCAACCCGAGGCGCAAATCGCGACGCGGGACGGCCTCGTTGGCATCACGCCGTCGACGACGCGACGCCGCCTCTGTAATGTCTGTACTTAAATTAGAAAAGAACGTAGAAATTCAACGGGGGGCCAAAAAAAGGAGGACGCACTCTCCGTCACGCCGACGGCGAGGCCCGTCGCATCGGCGCCGCTCGTTGCGTGGGACGAGTCGCCTCTGCGCGGTAGTACGCGGCGACGTCGTCGCGTGCTGCGACTCGTTCTCGGAGCGCGCGCAGGTTCGGACAATCCAGCAATACGGCAGGTCCGACGCCCGTGTCGGCCAGGAACGTCCCTTCCATGATTTGCGTCGCGTCGACGAAGAACGCGAGGTCCGCAATGGTCAGGCGCTCGCCGCAGAAATAAGTGCGCTCGCCCAGGATTTTCTCGAGTCGTCGAAAGCCAACGGGCATATAGCTCGTCGAGACGCTATTGCGGACTTTCTGGACCTGCGCCTGGGTCAGCGGCACGCCGGGCGCGCCGGTCGTCGGGTCGCGGCGTAGCACCGACTTATACCAGAGCGGCAGCAGGTCGCGTCCAATCTCGGCGATGCACTCCAGCACCATCTCGCAGCGCAGCTGCGATTCTGGATCGGACGGGAACAGTCCCGCGCAGCGGCCGGCGTATCTCAAGATCGCCGCGCTTTGACAGTACATCTCGTCGCCGACGCGTAGCGTGGGCACCTGCCCAAAGGGCAGCTCGTCACGCAACAACGCTACCTCGGCGTAACTCAGACGCTCGTCACGGAAGGGCACGCGACCGATCGTGAGCGCCAGTCGCGTTGCTTCGGCGCTGCCCTTGGCATCCAGGTAGGTGAGTGTGATGTCGCGCCGGCGGCGTCTCAGGTAGAGCCAAAGAGCTGCCAACGCCCCCCCTGCCGCGGCACATTCCAGACTGCTCTGGCGCCTGAGCATCGTTTGCACCGCACGCAAGGTCGCAAGCGCTCGCGCACGATCTCCTGGCACTCGTTTCTGACTATACAGTGGAAGGGCAGCGATGCAACGTCTCAGCGCGCGAGCTGCCACGGCGCGGCAGCCTGCGGCCCGAGCTTCTGCCCGCCGCGTCGCGATCTCACAGGCGCCACGTATTCGCTGTGTCTGACACAACAATCGCAGACTATAACACAATAAACTTAAGCGGCAAAGAAAGCCGTCACAGCCGCACGACGGACCCGAACCGCCCCCGGTCCACGAGCTCGACGGAAGCCGACCGCGCCCACCAGGGCGACTCGAACTGGTCCGAACTTCGAATACGCCGCGGCTTGCGCGCGTCCTCCTCGGGCGATTGTGGAGGCGGCGCGTGCAACCCGACGGCCACCGAGGGGCCCGCCGCGGGCCGCGTCGCCGCTCGGAACCACTCCACCGTATACACCGCCGACGCTAATGCAGTGACCGCCGTGCCGAGGTAGTCCCACTCGTCCTGCTCGGCCTCGCCCGGCAAGTTGACCAGAAAAAACGCGTGGTAGGCGCCGAGTGCCGTGTATTTGAATCCAGACGCCACCAGCGTTGTTAAAGCTGGGTTGTGCAGCACACAAGCATATATAGCAACCTCGTGCGTCGGTCCTAACAAGATGAGGAAGAGGAACCTCATCAGGAAGCCTAAGGACAGCGTCGTATCCGTCAGCGCCTTCTCGACACCCGTCCTTTCGAGGAATGCGCCCGCTACGACGACACAGGGCAAGCATAAAGCCGTCGTCACCGCCAACAACAGACCGGCGAAGGCGTAGGTCGACGGGATCGGTTTTTCTGGAGGTGCTATTGGCCTGATAGGTAGCTCGACATCCGAATCCGAGTCCTGCGATGTATCATCATCTAACAACGCTCTAGCAGCCTCCTCCTCCACCCCAATCCCGCGCGGCCGCTCGGTCCAGACCCGACCCTGGGCCGCGTCCGCTTGACTCCGGTGGCGCAGGAGGACATGTCTCAAAGCAACTACTCGTAACGCCGCGACGCACGCGGAACATAAAGCAGCAGCACAGCCGTCAAAACTCAAAGCCTCGAAGCGCGCCGCGCCGTGCGACTTTTGTGTAATGACGTAGCGCGTGGCGTTTCCTCGGGATACGATGCGGTCCGTGGACGCCGCCCCAAACACGTGCGCCTGGTCCAAAATATCGGACGGCAGCCCCGCCGCCGTCTCGTAGGCCGACGTGCTCCGCCCACGGCCGAGCAGGACAGCCATCAAGGGACCGAGGACCATGACCCACGTCGCCGCGGCTATTTTCCGATTCCAGGGCGCCATGCGCATGAAGACCTCCAAATGCATCGCGATCGGGATGTTGAAGCGCCGGAAGGCCGCGAAGGCATCTAGACCCAATGCTCGGGACGCGACGTGTCCGAGGGCCACGTCTAACAAGAAGAGTAGCGCTAACGGCGGGGCCGCGGCCTTGACCAGGGTCCTATCACTTGGACCCTTCGTCTGCACCGCGCCGTAGACCCTTCTACGTCGTTCGCGCGGCCAGCCGACCCACAGCACGAAGCCGACGACCGACGCGAGCGTCGCCGCGAGCTGCAGCGACAGGATGATGGTCGTCGACGGGAACTGGTACGTATCTAAGACAACCTTGTTCATCACGACTATGAGTAGACTGGCGACGATGTACGCGAAGACGCAGGCGCCGGGCACGAGCGCGCGGCTCGTCCAGATCTCTCGTAAGACAGCCGAGAGCTCGTAGCGCATGGCCATCTTTTTGGCGTCCTGCCGTGCAGCGCCTCAGTGCCGGTGTCGTGCCGTGCAGAGCCTCAGTGCCGACAAGCCCCTCCCAGGGTAGGCGCAAGCTGGGAGGCGGCACGACTCGGCAGCTAGCTCGTGCGAGGCGGGCCCTAAATGGCAATCGCAGGGATGTGTTTTTTTCGAATCTAGCGCTCGAGACGTGCTGTGTGCGGCTGCCAAAAAAAATGGGCTCAATATTCGCGCTAGCGGCATGTAAGACACTAGCATCTTCAGCCCCAAAGGATTGGGCTGAGTTGTCCCGGTCTTAGCCAGCTTCCATCATCAGACTGCTGTCGTAGAGACTTCTTGTGCACTCCTGGTGGCGTCCACCACAATGGATCAACAAATGCGGCGCTCCTACCTCGGTTTCATCCTGCTGCTGAGGACGACGGCATTCGTGCTGCCGCGACCGCCGCGCACGGCTTCTGTTACGGTGCGACACGAATCCGTCGAGGAGCTGCAAGCCGCCGCCGCGAAGCTCCGCGAGGAGATTAAGGTCGAGGAAGCCTTGCTCACCGCCGCGACGGCGGAAAAGAATAAACTCACAAAAGAGCGCGACGCGGAGAAGGCCGCGGAGCGAGCAGAAAAAGATAAGGCCAAGAATGCCCAAAAGCGGCAAAAGGTGCTGACGCTGTGCCGAGATAGAAATGCCACGGCCGTCGGTCTGGTCCTGCTCAACGACCCCATCAACAAGCGCAAGGACGTGCAGGCCGCGCTTGATCGCGCAGGCGTCAAGGAGGCCGAGAGGATCATGCAGCGCGCCCATCGGAACGGCGCGGCCCTGATCGACCGGTTCGACAGCCTCAACGACACGTACGCCTTCGAGCCGGCCTACGATACCTACGCCAAACTCAATGATAGGGGTTTAAATGTCGCGTTCGTCCCCGTCCCGGCCGACGACGGCGACGACGAGCGGCTCGAGGCGCTGGCCGAGCTGCGAGACATGGCCGAGGGCATGGACGTTGATATCTTAAACGAGGAGGGCACCGATCTCACGGCGCCCGCGAAAGTGATCTTCGGCGCCGTCTCGCTTGTCACCGCCTTCATCGGCGTGTCGCTGGCGCTGCTCGTGGGCGACAGCCTCGGGGCGTTGCTCGGGCAGTGGCTCGGGGGCGGGTCGGGCGGCGCGCCGCCGGGGTTCTAATTCATACTGCTAATTAGGCGGAGGCTTCCGGCTGCTCCTCGACGACGCCGTCGCCTGCCGGCGGCGCGCCACCAGCCGGCTTGGCCGCTTCGCTCGACTCGCAGATGTGGTACTTGCCCGCGGCGTCGGCGCCGAAGATGGCAAAACAAATGACACTAACGACCTGTGTGGAAATCAACCAGTGCGTCGGGTGCACCCGACAATTCTTTCCCTAAGTCATTTCTCGGCGACGACGCGGCCGCGCTGGCTCGGTCGAGCGGTGAGGAATCGGCATCGCCACGCCATCGAGCAGGCGTCGCGTCGATGGCGTGGAGGACGACGCGACGATTCAGCACGAACGCGCCGTAATTTTGATTTCCACACAGCTAACGACGGCCCACGCAAGCAAGCCCTTCCAGAGGACGCCAGATTCGCCGCCCTTGTTCGAGGAGACTGGCCACCACCACGAGGAAAAGCTCCCCGCGTCTCCCGAGGGATCGGGGAGGACGTCGTTCGTCGCCTTGCACGCGGTCTCGGTGTTGACGGCCGCCTCGACGCACTCGTCGCCGCACGAGCCCGAGTTAAAGTTCGGCACGCCCGGCGGCGACGGGCTGGAGCAGCCGCCGTCGATGCCGTCCATGCATCTATCACTTCCATACTCACAGACGTGGTAGTTGCCGCTCGACGCGCAGCCGATCTTCGTGACGCCCTTCCAGACCATGGCCGTGAAGTGGCCGATGGTGCACATCCCCGGCTGCCAGCCGGTAACGGGGCTCCAGCAGTCGGTGTACTCGTGATACCAATTGTACGTGGCGCAGTTCTGGTTGTAGGGACCGGTGTAGTCGCCGCACGTGAACGTGCCGCCTCCCATGGCGATGTTTTCCCCGGACGACGGTTTCACGTTGTACACGTCCGGCGTGTGAGACATCGTCTGCTGGTCGGCGAGGTACCGGGCCTTTTCTTCGAGGCCGTAGTCCCAGCTGACCGGCTCCGCGTTGTGCAGGCATCGGAAGTAATTGTGGTCTTCGAGCCAGCCGTCAATGCCGGTGCTTGTTCCGTGCTCGTACGCGGCGACCGTGGATGCCCACCCCAGCGCGATGGTGGCAACGAGGCGCGCCATGGATGAACCCCCAAGGCAGCCCCGCCGCGCGCGAGATCGATGCAAGAAGTGTCGTAGACGAGCCCCTACGGCACCGCCCACGCGCTTGTGGTTCCGAGTGGCGCGCGAGTGCATGCAAGAATTTCAGCCATAGCGTGCGGGGCGCGCGGCACGGCGAGCCGTCGGGAGGCCTCGAGACAACACATCCGACCGCCATCGTAGGGGTCTGAGGCCGCGCACAGAAACCCGCGCGCGGCAACTTATGCGGGTTTTTTCGAATTTCGCCTGTGGATTTTTGCTGGCGGGATTTCGCGTCGGCGGGGCAGCCCCCGTTGCCCACGACCCGCTCCCAAAACAGCCTTCGACGTGGACCGGCGGCCCGCACCCAGCAGCCCTCGACGCGGACCGGCAGCCCACAAATCACAGCCACCCCTTACACATCACAGCCACCACAGGACGGAACCATGGCAACGCACGGCACGCTCGACGTCGTCGTCCACCTCCACCGCTTCCGGAACGTGGACCTGTTCTCGCGGGGCATCTACATGGTGCGCGCGGCCGTGAAGTGCAACACTAAGCAAGCGATCCCGCACGGCTGCTACTCGAAGCCAAGTGTGCTGTCTACCTTTGTAAGGGATCAGGAGATCCCGCAAACGCATGCGAGCGACCTGCCCGCGGCCCAAGTCGTCGATTCGTCGTCAGAATTCTCGACGCGAGCCTTCGTTATTAAATATAGGGACGAGAGGCTAGAACTTAACGAGGGTGCCCAGTTCCAATTATTGATAGAGGCGAAGGATAGTGGTGACCGGTTAATCTTCGCGAACGACGAACCCATCGACATCACGCTGGAGTTGTTGATGGCGGAACTCGAGAAACCCGGAAGTCCGCCGTCGAGGACCTCGCCCCGTCGGAGTTCGGCCGTCGCCGCCGAGAAGCCCTCTTTGTCTCCCACATTCTCTAGAGTAGCAACGCAAACTTTAAGAGTACGACGGGACCCGACCACCAATCAAGTGCACGCCTACTTTCCCGTGACCTTCAGTTCGATGCACTTCTGTCAACTCGACGTGACGGTCCACTGCGCTTTGTTACACTTAAAATTTCGCAAGCGCGTCTACGACCGCGCCGACGCGAGCGTGGAGTCGACCATATCTTCTTTTGAGGAGCTGCTGCGGGATAACAGTGATGCGCCGAAGACTCATCGGCGCTATACGCAACCGATGCTCGCTTCGTTAAGTGCCACTTGTTCTGCACTTAAGGAGCGGGAGCAGACCGTCGCTACGACAACATTGGTCGACGCTGGTAGTGTATCGAAAGCTATAGAAAGGGACAACGCCGCCGTCGCCAAAAAGCTGTTCCTGTTGTGGGGCCGCTTCGTGGCCCTACTACCGCGCGACGGAAAAGCGTTGTGCGAAACTCTACAAACGACGTGGCTGCGCGACCAGCGCGCGTGGTGGGGGGGTCGCTTGAGGAGCACCGAGGTCCGCATTCAGAAATTACTGCAACCGCGCGAGACCGACGAGTTCCGGACTTCGTTCAAGGAGCTGCGGTCGCAACCAACCCAAAGTCCGAGCATCTGCGACAAATCGTTGCTCAAGGAGCCGGCCCGGCTCCCCGCGGCGGCCGCGCACGTCTACCGGAGGCGGAACGACACCGAGGCGCTATTGTCTCCGGACGCGCCTCCATCGAACTACCGCGGGCCTCATTTAATAGTGATGCAGCACGGCTGGTACGCGTCTTCATTTGATATGCGTTTACTAAGGGCGTACGCTCTCCTACTCTTTCCCGGTGCTATTGTGTTGTCTCCGCAGTCCAACGAGGACAATAGTGGCGGTTCGATGGGGCCCATGGGTCAAAGGTTAGCACACGAGGTGCACAACTTCATCAAGCACCGGTGTCCCGATTTGTCAGATGCCGACCCAGGTATGGGCCGACTCAGCTTCGTGGGCCACTCGGCGGGCTCCATGATCGTGCGCACGGCGCTGGCGTCTCCAGTATTAAAGCCCTACCTCCCGAAGCTCCACGCTTTTGTTTCTTTATCGTCGTCCCATTGCGGCAACATGTTCGTGCCCTCGACGCTCATCAGTGGCGGCATGTGGGCCCTCCAGCATCTGCACCAGTCCCAGTTCATGGACGAGCTCCAGTTGCTGGACGCGCCGAAGGCCGAGGACGCCTTCATGCACAGACTCTCGAAGCAGCCGGGCTTCGAGAGATTTCGGTTCGTGGTCCTCGTCGGGTCCTTGCAGGACTCCTACGTGCCGCTCCACACGGCCCAGGCCACGATCCCGCGGCCGGCGGAGGTCGACAAGAAGGGCGGCGGCGACGCGTACCGGCAGATGGCCACGAACCTCCTGTCGCCGGTCATGCAGCAATCCGCGACGGCGTCAAAGCGGACGACGGTCGTGCGGCTCACGCTCGACTATCGGTTCGCCCAGACGAATTTAGATACGGTCATCGGCCGCGCGGCGCACCTCGCGTACATCGACTCGTCCGCGGCGGTGCTGCTCATCCTCTTCTCGCTCTACAACGTCCTCCGATAGCACTTCCCACGCACGAGGGGTGTTGTTCTTGTTGGTATTTAACTTAACCGAGTGACACAGTATCTTATGGCTTGGGGGTCCGGCCGAGCTCACGCGTCCACTTTCCACGGGAGCTTGGCCGGGATGTCCGCGAGGGCGAGCGGTCCCTCGCCGAGCAAGGCATCGAGCACTGCCGCGGGCGACGCCCAGGCCGCGCGCGGGTCGTCGTCGGCGATGTAGCGGCGCGCCAAGGTCATGTGCCCCATACCGCCGCTTTCGATGACGCCGAGGCTGACGAAGCGCCCGAAGGGCGTCGTGCCCACGGCGGCCACGGCGGGCATGCGCACCTCCCAGCGGTGCTCGACGTCCTTGACGTCCTCGAGGCCGTTGCCGGTGTCGAGCTTGTACGAGCCTTTGTCGAACTTCATCTCACCCAGACGGTCCGGCTTGCCCCAATCTTCGTCGTCCTCGTCCGGGTCGGTTCCAAAGGAAGTCATCATGATATAGTCCATAAGCTCAGCAGTCCCTAAGTAATCGTTTTTGTTCCTGCGAGGCTCCCCGACCCAGGAACTCCCTTCGCGTATCTTCTCCTCGTCGAACTTGCTGACCTTGAGCTTGAACGTATTGGGGCTCGCTTGCAAGGCCGCTTCCGTCGGCATCGTCCCGTCATCGGTGCCGAGCCAGGCGCCCTGCCACGTGATCGACGGAGTGGGAGCGCCGCAGTCGGCGTGCTTCACTTGAATGCTCGGGTCGGCCTCGACCTCGCCGCGCCACACGAAGAGCGTCGCGCGCCAGTCGCGCTCGGCGGGCTCGGTGCGCGGGCGCTTGGCGAGCCTTTCTCCGGTCTTGAGCTGCTCGGCTTCGGCCAGGCGCGCCACGGCTTCGGCGTAGCGCGCGTCGATGTCGGCCCGCTCAAGCAGGTCCGCGGTGGGGAAGCCCGCCTCCCGTATCGATTCCTTCATCTGTTTGATCGACAGCTTCGGCTCCGCCATCGCTCGGATCGTTCTTTTGAGGGACAATTGAATGGTTCACAGGACGAGCGCTTGCGCTTTGGCACTCAGAGCGCGGCAAGCAGTGTAAGCGCGGCAAACGTGTAAACCCGCGCGTTGAGGCGAAAATCATCTGATGGTCCTAGAATTAGAGCTCCTAGGGAAAACACAAGCGCTTAGGTCACGCGTCCACCTTCCACGGGAGCTTGGCCGGGATGTCCGCGAGGGCTAGCTCTTCTTCTTCTTCTAGCTGCGCGTCATCTAGGCATGCATCGAGCACGGCCGCGGGCGACGCCCAGGCCGCGCGCGGGTCGTCGTCGGCAATGTAGCGGCGCGCCAATGTCATCGTGCTGCCATCGATGGCGCCGAGGCTTACGAAGCGACCGAAGGGCGTCGTGCCGACGGCTGCGACGGCGGCATGAGTCGCGCACTCGACCTCTCCCGGAGCCGCCTTCGGCCACGAGCGCACCTCCCAGCGGTGCGTGTCGTCCGAGGTGTCCTCCAGGCCAGAGCCGTTGTCAAGCTTGTACGAGCCCCCAAATTGCATCTCGAACAAGCCATCCAGCTGGAAGAAGGCCTTGCGGCCCTCGGGATCCTCTTCGTCCATACCACCAAGGATCATGTCGATGGCTTCGAACACAATCTCGGTTCCGCCGCATTCTTCGCCCTCGAATTCCGTCCCCACGAGGGTCGCGTTGGCCTTTTCTTGGATCTGTTCGTGATCGAACGGCTCCGTTTTGAGTTCGAACGTGTTCTCGCTCGCTTTCAGGGCGGCGTCCGACGGCATAGTGTCGTCATCAGCGCCGAGCCACGCGCCCCGCCACGAGATCTGCGGACCGGTGTCCGGGGACCCGCCGATTTCGAGCTCGCCGCGCCAGACGAACAGCGTGGCGCGCCAGTCGCGCTCTACGACCGTGCGCGCGCGTTTTGCGGCCTTGCGGGGCATCGCTGCGGACGTAGGCACAGCGAGAGGCACAGCGAGAGGCTGTGACCCTGGTGGCGCACTAGGCGTGTGATGAAGCGCTGCGGCTAGCGAGTGGCACGCGCGTGCAGATCAGTTGTGTGAGTAAACTGCTTCGTCGCCAGGACCGAGAAAGAATCGATAAGGCCACCCAAGGTGTGGAAAGCCGGCACAAGCCGCAGCTAGCGTCCGTAACACACTAGGAAGCCATGCCTTTTTTGGCATGGCAGCCCGCTTAAACGGCAGCTATAGCTCAAATCAGCACCTCCTCCAGTCATGGGTTACATCCATGCGGCCGCGAGGCTCGGCCTAGGCACCGCATCGATCTGCGCACTGCTCTTGGCCGCAGCCGTCTTCCAATTCCTGTGCCTCGACGCGGCGTCGACGCGCCGATTTACGATCAGTGCGTCGACCGTCGCGGAGGGCCAATTCTACCGCATCGTCACGTCGTCGTTCCTCCATGGCGGCCTTTTGCATCTTGGGATGAACGTGGCCTCGACGGCGGCCATCAGCGGTGCGCTGGAGCGGTCTGCGGGCACGGTCCGGCTCCTCTCGATCACGCTCTGGGCCGTGCCGCTCGCCGGCCTTGTCTCGTGCGCGCTGTCGCTCCTGCTGACATTTCTGACGCGCGACGAGTCCTTCGCGCGGCAGCACGCGCTCGGCTTCTCGGGCGTCATTTTTGCGTTGGCGGCGTGCGAGGCCGCGCGGGGCGGCGGCCGGCGGAGCGTCTTCGGCGTGATCGAGGTGCCGGCGCGGCTCTACCCCTGGGCGTTGCTGGTCGCGATGCAGGTCGTTATTCCGAACGTCTCGTTCGTGGGGCACCTGGGGGGGCTTGTTGTGGGAAGTCTGGAGGTGACTGGCTGGCTCGCGGTGGCGCTGCCCTCGGCAAGCGCCGCCGCCGCCGTCGACGCGCGGTGTTCGCAGCTCCCGGGCTACGTGTTGTCAGGCGACGCGTACGAGGTCCGCGCGGCGTCGGGCGCGGGCGACATCGTCTCCGTTGTTCGCCACGTCGTCGGCTTTTTCGTCAAGCTCCTCGGCCTCGATAACGCCGTGCGCTCGTTGCGGCAACGCGCCGGGAGCTGTCTGCGGACGAGGCATCCCTCGCCGCCGCCCGCGCCGGCCGGCGCGAGCGTCGAGGTCTAGCTCGTCGTGTGTACGTGTCGCGACACCGGCGCAAGCGTCGATGTGTGCGCGTGTGTCGCGCCCGATGGCGTGGCGGTTTGGCCCGAGAGTAAAGTTTTGTGAACGTTAGTCAGAGTAGATGGTGGCACAGCTGCTACTGTGCCCAAGGGGGGTGTAAGGGAGCGCTCGACCGCGAAGGGAGCGCGGGGGGTCCACGGACGCCTAGGCCTCGACAGGCTTGACGTCTTCGGCGCGGTCCGCGGCCGGCTCGTTCTCGGCCTCCTTGTCCTGCATGGCATTGATCACCTTGTAGTAGGCCGCCGCGACCGTGGCGCCCGTGACGGGGCCGATGACGAAGACCCTGCGTGGATTTACGACGTCGGCGTCGGCGCGGACGCGTGCTGTCGACGGCCGTATCAGGCCATCGACGCGGCGCCCCGCCCGTCGTAATACAGTTTCGGACACCGCCCGTGCACCAGAAGTCGCGGAAGTAGTTCGGGCCGCGGTTCTGGATGTACGAGACGAGGGCCGGGCCGAAGGAGCGCGTCGGGTTGAGCGAGCAGCCGTCGACGGGGATGAGCATCGTGTGGCCGATGTACACCGCAAATCCGATGGCGACCGGCGCGAGCGCCGCGTTGGCCTTGTTCTTCTTGTTCACCGCCGTCTCGAGGACCACATACATCAAAATGAAGACCATGATGGCCTCGCCGAGGAACGCCTGGCGCGGCGAGAAGCCCGGGCCGACGCGGTTGGACCCCAAGCCGTTCGTGCGGTCCGAGGACTTGCGGTAGACGAGGGATAATAAGCCGGAGCCGAGGACCGAGCCCCAGCACTGCATGAAGATGTTCGCGACGGCCTGGATGGGCGAGAGCTCGCCGGCGACGGCTAGGCCCCTGCGCGCATGGAGTGAGTCGCGTCGCGTCGATGGCGTGGAGGACGCGACCGACGGTCACAACGTGACGCCATCGAGGCGGCGCAGTTGAGTTCGAGACGCCGCGGCGGACCAGGTCACCGCGCCGTTGATCTGGGCGCCCGACTTCGAGCCCATGGCGTAGGCGAGGGCAGTGATCGTGAAGCCGAAGGTCATTGCGATGGACTGGACGAAGGGGACCGGCAGGTCCTCGGGCACGAAGGAGCCGTCGTCGATGATGCCGACGGCGGAGTTGGCGCCCTTGGAGCCGTCGAAGGGGTTCGTCGAGGAGAACGGCGTCGCCTGACCGCACGCCGCGCCCGTGCACGTGAAGACGAAGAGCGCCTGGGCGACGAACTCTGCGAGGGGTTTGGCGCGGTGAGGAGATCCTGGCGTTTCTGGCGGCGGCGTGGTGAGGTGGTGAGAGAATTTCCAGCGTTTCCGCGGGCGTTCCGCGACGACCGCCGGTCTCAGGGCGCGGTTTCAGCCCGGCGCCCGCGAGCAGTCAAGGCGGTGGTTGCGAGACGTCGTCTGACGACGCTAACCGACGGCGTCGCTGCGCGGCGCGTAAAACCTTGATCGTTTTTTCATCGATCGGATATACTGCTTGTTGGGGCCGCGGGACGCGGCGCGGTTCTGACGCCGGTGCTAGCCCGTCAATGCGGCTGTGATACTGAGGGACATTTTGGCTCAGGTGTAGTCCTTTTTACGCCACGTTTTGTGCAAATACGCCGGTGGTTGTGTGATTTTCACGCCGCACTCTTGCGTCGATTGCTCCTGAGAAGATCTATAATCACGCGTAGAGACGCCTCATTGATCTCTCACTGTTAGCGCTAGTATCTCACTCCGCTAGGCAATTATGCTGGGTTTCAGCCCGGTGCGCGAGCTCGCACACAGCAGCGGAGCAAGCGAAAAACATGCCTCGCCGACGCCTCGCACTCGCACTGCTGCTGCAAGCAGCCGCCGCCTTCAGACCACCACCCACCCGCCTCAAACTAGCACTGCCGAGGCGCCATGCAACAGCCATCGCGCCACCAAGCGACGCCGACAAGCTCGCACGCGACCGACTGATAAAAACGTCCGTCGTGCTATTGGTACCATCGCTCGCCGTCGGCGCCATCAGTCTCGTGGCGTTCCCGGCGCTCTGCCGCGGCATGCGCTCCGCGTTCGGCGTCGCGACGCTCGCCGTGCTGTCGGGCGACCAGGGCCAGTTCATCCAGAACTTTTTGTCAGTTATCGGCATCCTCTTCTCGTTATTGATAGGCAACACGTACGCGTTCTGCTACAACCAGCAGGTCATGGTCTACATGGCTTTGTTCGAGGAGGTCTCCGTCGCCAAAGCTTTATTAGAGCAGGCGACGCTGGTCTGCCAGGGGCGGCCGTCCTACGCCGGCGTTTTGGACGACGTGCAGCGCTACGTCGACCGCGACCTGAAGCGCGCTGATTTATCCCCAGCTGTCCTGCTGTCGACGCGGCCGCGCGACGACCCGCTCGAGGCGATCATGTGGCAGACGTCTGTCGGCACGCCCGGCGCCATCTACGATACGGTACGGTGGCTGCGGCGCGCGCGGGGCGAGCGGCTCGGCGCGATGCAGCGCAAATTACCACCATTGCACTTCGCCCTCTTATTTTTGCTGGGCATCTTGGAAGTGTGCGCGTTCCCCCTGCTGTCGGCGGGCGCGGCGACGACGGTGGGTGCGGGCGCGCTGCGGGTCGAGGCGGCGATGTTCGCGCTCATGACCGCGGCGCTGACGCTGACGCTCGGCGTCGTCGTGCAATTGTGGAGACCGCGGGGCTCGGCCTATTCGGTGGACGCGGCGCTGGCGGTCATGGTCGAGGGTCTGGAAGATGAGCTCAGCGCCAGACGGGCGGCGATCCGGTCGAGCCCCGCGGACCTGCCGCCGGCGCCTAAAGTCTAGTTTTTTTAGATTCGCGGCGATGGCGTGCCGGTGGGGAAAATTAGTCACAACTCGAACGAGCAGGTGCTGTCGACCGCGCTCGCGAGTCCGAGTCGAGTCGCAAAGGTACCGCAGGCTAGACGCGTCAGCGGCCCGGGACGCGGGACGCGCAAAAAGACAGGTCCAATACTTAGGCGCCCGGCGCTGAGAACCGGTGCACCTGGGGCGCGTCGCCGCCCGCGAAGAGAGCGCCGCCGCCGGCCGCGACGCAGAGGCACTTGTTCAACGCACAACTCAGCACGCTGACGGGCTCCGTCGCCGCTCCCCTCACGTCCCAGACGCAGAGCCGGCCGTCGTGGCCCGCCGAGACGAGCCGCGCGTCGGAGAGCCACGCCACGCTCGACACGCTCTGGTGGCTGTGGCCCCTTAATGATTTTTGTGTCGCGCGGCAGCGCGCGTCCCATAATAGTATAGCGCCGTCGTGCGCGCCCGTCGCTGCGGTCTCATTAAGGACGTCAATGCAGTTCAGCGCGACGGAGCAGCTCCCGCTGAACCGCTCCTCGAGCGTCGCCGCGTCCCAGATTTTTGTAGTGTGGTCCCAGGAGCACGTCCAGAGTTGTTGATCTGCGAGGCACATGCCGGAGACGACCTGGGCGTGGGCCTTGGTTGTTGATGAAGGCGCCCACGCGTCCGTCTTCTGGCGCTTCGTCGCGGGTTCCTCGGCAACCGGCGGCAGGCTCCAGGCGAAGACGAGGCCGCCCCAGTCGCCCGTGAAGGCCCTCGCTTCATTTAACGAGCAGCTCGCGACGGCGTGCGCGTGCTCGCCCTCACTCACAAGTTTTATAGTGCCTCCGGACAGGCGCCAGGCCTTGACGGCGGCGTCCTTGCCGCCCGATAGTATGGAGGAGGACGACGATGCCAAGCACGTGACGGCGCCGTCGTGCGCCGTCGCCGCGACGCTGCCGTCGCGCGCCCAGAAGAGCCGGCCGTCGTAGGAGCCCGCCAGCACGCTCGCGCCTCCACTGAGACAACCGACCCAGTCGTCGCCGCAGGTCGTAGAACCAGCATGCTCGGGCTCGGGGCGCCGTTCAAAATATTCGAGCTCCGCGACGTTCTCAGTACTCAGTCCGTGCCGCGCGGCGTGCTGCGCGAGCGACCCCTGCACGAGCTTCTCATCCCAGAGGAAGTCGAGGTCTAGATTTGAACCACCTCGTAATTTGTTGACGACGTCGCCGAGCTGCGCGCGGCCGCACGCCGTCGCGAGCGAGAGCGCCGTGTCGGGCACGGCTATCGTTTGAGTTTTCGTGACGAAGCGCACTCGTATTTGGTCGTCGACCTCCATGGTTGATCGGGTGCTGTGGCGCGTCGATCGGTTGCTGTGGCTCGTCGGTGGCGTCTAGCGGTTGATCTCTGGCGTCTAGCGATGCAGCCTGCAGCGTGTGCAGCGGTGCTTTTAGCGCAGCGAAACGAGCACGAGGCGGCTGAGCGTGAAGCACCGATGCAACGGCGTGCGCAGAGGGCTGATTGGTGAGTAATGCGGCTCGTACAGGCTCACTTTGAGGCTCGCACTGCTTGCTAGCGGCATGTGAGACACTAGCAAGCAAGCTCTGAGCCGCGACACAGGCCATACTGATACACCTGGCGCTTGTAATCATGAGTCGCGTCCTGCTCGTTGCCCTCGCCGCAGCGAACGCATTTCTGGTACCACCACCGCGAGCCCTGAGGCCAAAACAGCACGCCACGCCAGACGCAGATTTAGCAGCCCTCACGCGGGAGGAACTGGAGGAAGAGTGCGGAAGATTGAGAAGAGAAAACGCCGCGCTGCGAAAACGAATCGACGCGCCGACGCGCACGAGCTTTTCGTTGAAAACGGCGGCGCTCTGCGCGGGCTTCGCCTTCGAGTGTTATAATGATCCGGCGGGCGCGCGCTGGGAGCGCGGCGCGGACGGCTGCGACGTCGCGTTCCGCTCGACCAGTTTCATCCGGAGCTGCTACGCGGGGGCCGCGTTAGTGCGCGTCGCCCGCGCCACCGGTTTAAAGTCTCCGTCGACGGGCGGCCTGAAGCTCGAGGAGCTCGCCCTGTCGGGCGCGGGCGTCGACGCCTACTGTCGGTTGGCGGTCGTCGAGAAGGTTTCCAAGAGGTCGCAGCGAGCCCGAGCGTCGAACGCCACTGATGTCGCTCGAACAGAGACGGTCTGGCGCGCGCCGGACCCCGTGGAGTGGCCCGCCGAGGACTACCACTGTTTGTACGTGGCGGACCCGAAGCGGGCGGCGCTGGCTATTCGCGTGTTTGACGAGGACGTGGCCAGCGCCGACCGATTGCTCGGCGTCGGCGAAATTCCTTTATCAAGGGCGTTGCTGTCCGGTGGGGAAAGAAGGTGGACCGTCGATTTGGCCGTGGACGCCGAGGACAAGATCGCCTTCGATGGCGGCGCCTTGGTCGGGGGCGCGGTCGTCGGCGCGGCGGCCGGTTTGGCGACAGGAGGGGTCGCTCTCGCGGCCATGGCCGCGGCCGGTATAAGAGCCAACATGCTTAATGATGAAAAAAAAGGCCGTCTGGAGCTCGACTTGAAGTATGCGGCTTTTGATACTGATGACGATGTCATAAATCTCGACGCGGACACGCGTTTATTGCACGAGCGCCAGGACGTCGTGAGGGGCGCCTCACCGGAAGCCGGTGTCGACTGGAGTGAAATAGCGGACGCCTCGGCCTATGAAGCGCTATGCTTCGTGGACCACGCGAAAACGGGCACGCAGGCGGGGCTCTGGAGGGACGCGCAATCAAAAAAGTTAATGGTGAGCTTCCGGGGCACGTCGGAACCGCGCGACGTGGTCACGGACGCGTCGGCGTTGATGACGCCCTGGGCGCGCGAGGCTGAAATGGAGCGAGATGATTATGATGATAGCGTGCCGCTGGCCGCGGGCGACCCGTCGGTGCACGCCGGGTTCCGCGGGGCGCTGGATTCCATCGCCATGCGCCTGAAGCAGCTCGTTTTGAGAGCCTGCGACGATAGACCCGAGGACTGGGAGTTGTTAGTGACGGGCCACTCGCTCGGCGGCGCGCTGGCGACTTTATTTGCCTTCGACGTGGCGTATGGTATAGATGCTACTAGGTCGTTGCCCGTGCGGAAACCACGGTCAAAACCCTGGTTCCTCGGCACGTCTACTGTTGCTGCTGTCGCGGACGCCCCGAAATTTTCAGCTATCAACCTCGTGACGCTCGGCGCGCCGCGCGTCGGCGACGCGGCCTTCGCCTCACAACTCGACGTGGCCGTCCCGACCCATTCCAGATTAGTGAACGGCCAGGACATCGTCGCTCGGTTGCCGCGGGGCTTCTCCTACGCCCACGGCGGGAGCACGATCTTGGTGTCGCCCAACGCTACAATCTGGGTCGAGGGCGAGAATGAAGGAGAGTGCCCCCTGAAGAAGGGCGACGGCGGTTTGAGCGGCGTCGTGACGCGGCCGGCGCCGCCCGGGAGCCCCCTCGCCACGTTGTTGGACGACGCATTGGGCGAGGCGCGATCCGTCAAGCCCTTCGATGTCCAGAGCGCTTTGGACGCGGCGACGCGGCTGACCCAAAAGTCCGTCAATACGATCCAGGGGAGCTCGTCGTCCGAATTGCTCGGGTCCGTCGGGCTCGACTCTAAATACGTCGAGGCCGAGCTCAAGATGCTGTCCGCGCTCGCGTCGGGCGGCGCCCTGGACGACCACCTCGAGCCGGCCTACTTCGCGGCGATGCTGCGAGCGGTGGCCGAGGACGCTTGATTGATCCCTTTTGTTTGTAATTGCTGTTTTTTGTACTAGTGTTGTTACTCTTCAGCGCCGCCCCGGGAAGTCGTGCCCTGGGAGACCCGGACGACTACCCTCGACGTGGCGATTGCGCTTGCCGATGACGCAGGCCTCCAGTTGGCAGTAGACGAAGGAGACGTCGTCCGGGATCTTGTGCTCGAATCCACGGCCCTTCGTGTGCTTGAATACGCGGGGAATCGTTACGAGCTGTTCGATCCAGTCCTTGATTTTGTCGGCCATGACGCCCCGGCCCTTCGTGTCCTCGTAGTTAATTTTTTCCCCGCCGTAACTCTTGAACCGGCCGACCTGGAGGTCCTCGATAACGTAAACCCCACCGTTGCGGACGAGCGGCCAGAGGACGTCGAACGAGTGCCCGATCTGGGAGTTCTTGTGTCCGCCTGTGGACGGTTTATGAGTCGAATGTAACGCGTCTCGAAATGAAGCTTTGATTTCCACACCGGTGCCCGCCGTCGTCGATGATGACGTCCAACTCGCCGCCGATCTCCTCGGCCCAGCGCTTGAGGACGGCGAAGTCGCCCTGGTCGCCCGTGACGGTCTTGATACCCTCGAGCTGGCCCTTCGCGCGCGCTTTTTCGACGCACGCGGCGTCGTATTCAGCCTCCCAGAGCTCGGCGTAGGGCAGGAGCTGGCGCCATATCTGCGGGGGTACAACGGATCTCCTGGGGGGACCTCGAGTCGAAGACCGACGCCGCTTCGCGCCTTCACCGACGCCCCCGGGCCGTAATCCATGTTACAACCGAGGCCGATCTCTAAGATTCTGGGCGTATGGGCCGCGAATTTCAGTGGATATACGAACGTGCCGTACATCGTCTCATACGAATGGGCCGTCACCTTGTCCGACGTGGGCTCGAGTCCCTTGGCGAGGAGGTAGAACTCCCGTTCAAACACGTTCCGGTCACAGCGGCCGGGGTGACTCGTCGAGTTCCGCGCGTACCTCGCCAAGCGGGCCGTCGCGCGCGGCGCGAGAGTGAGGGCGAGGGAGATGAACAGTTTCATGTTCAATGGCGCCTGACCGAATTACCGCGGCGTCCTCCGAATCGGCCCCGAGGCTCGTGGAGCGTCGTGCGTAGTTACCCGCCGAAGTGCCACGGAGGCTAGCGTCGTGTAAGACACTAGCAAGCCCCTGGGCTATTTGGTGTGTTTGCAACCATACAAGCTCGTAGAGCTGTAATAACTGCAGAACGACTCCCTCGAGCATCGCATCGCTGCGATTACAACGCGTAACGGCACTTGCGCAACTCTGCCGCCACCACAATAGAAAAAATGGACGCCCCACCAGCAGCCATCGACCAGACGACGGTAACACCGTCAACTTGCTTCCTCGACCCCGTCTGGCTGCAGCAGGTTGGCGGCGCGCGCGCGGACAATGTCTTGGCCTACTTCGAGCGGTCGCCGTTCTACGAAACGGGCGAGGGCCTCGAGTTCGCGCTCGAGCGGTCGCGGAACCCGCGCTGCCTCGCCATTTCTAAAAGACGCAAGAAGGCCACGGGCGACGGGTTTGATGTGGAGGCGTACTTTTATGTCTTGGACGGCACGATCTACCAGTGCCCGACGATCGACGCGCTCGCTACTTCGAGGTTGCGCAAGGCCGGCAATTACCTGACCAAGGCCTTCGGCGAGATGCGCGCCGAGTGCGATCGGTTGGATGAGGCGCGGCGCGCGTTCGTCGAGGCGCCCGCCCTTGCATCCGAGAAAACGCCAGCCCCGCGGTCGCGCGCGGAGCTTGAATCTAGAGGCTGGCTGAACCCGCCGCGCGACGATGAAGATTTAAAACTGCGGGCGTTCGTGGATACGCACATGGCCGACTACCCCGAGGGCGTGCTCTCGATGCGGCTGAACGACGGCGCCGCCGTCCAGCCGCGCACTCCTAACGAGGATTCATGATTTTAAGTTTACCCGACACAGTAGCGTCCGCTCGAGCTTCGCGTTCGCGAGGAGCCACATGCATCGCGGCGCGACCACGCGCGTCGTCGTCGGCAGCGCCGCGCGGAGCGCGGCGGCCAGCTCCGCGGCGAGGTCCGCGTCGCGGACGCGGTGCCGCGGCGCGACGACGCAGACGAACACGCCGTGCAGCTGGGGGAGCAGCTGCGACGCCACCTCGACGGCGCGGGCGGGCCCGTCGCCTGCGCGCGCGGTTGCCTTGTCAGCGCGCTCGTCGTCGTCGGCGCGAGGCAAAGCGAGTCGCGTCGTCGCAAGAAGTTGAAGACGGGACACCGGGCGCCGACCGTCCGCGACCAGCACCTCGATCGAGTCCGAATATTCGTGCGCGCGGCCGCAGGCCTGGAGGTAGTCCGCGGCGCCGGGTACGTTCCCGACGACTTCGAAGCGCCCGACCGTCGGCGCGACGAGGCCCCGGCGCGCCAGCTCCCGCCTGCGTGGTCGACGGCGTGACGAGGCCCCCCCGACGCGAGGGACGGCGTGGTCGAAGAAGATCAACGCGGCGGCGGACAGGACGGCCGCGCCGCGCGGCTCCCGGCGCGGCGGAGGCCGCGGCCGCGCGGCGGCCGGCGCGACGCCGGCCAGGAGGCCCTTGCCCCCGAAATCGCAGACGCAGAGCAGGTGCGTCGCGTCTGCGGTGCCGAGCGCGACGCTTTCGGGCAGTTGGTCGACGACGCGCGTCGCGAGGCCCGCCGGCTGCGCGACGACGCGGTACGTCTCCGCGCCGAGCGCGATTTTAGCAACATCCGCCGCGCGCCGGTCGAGCACGAGGCAGCGCTGGACGTGGCCCTGGAGGAGCGGGTCCGCCGCGATGCTGCACGCGACGGCACCGGCGTCGTGGGCCCGCGCGACCGAGAACCGCGCCCGCGCCCGCGCGAATTCCTCCGTGCTCAAATCGCCGTCCGTCGCTTTCCGGACGACCGCGGCGCCGTGGCGCTGCTCCAGCAGCGCGTCGACGCGCGACGCCGTCGCCGAGTCGCGCTGCACGAGGATGATCGGCAAGTAGACCGGCTCGGCCGCCTCGTCTTCGACGTCGACCGTCGTTGGTAATGGCAGCGGCGGCGGCACGGGCCGGCTCCTCTTCATGAACCGGTCGTAGAGCACGAGCGCGCCGGCGACCGCGACGTTGTACGACGCCGAACGAATCGACGGCAGCGACACGACGTGGCGGCACGCCCGTCTTACCGATTTCGGCAGGCCCTCGTCCTCGGCACCTAGTACATACACGCAGCGCTCCGGGTGCGCGAAGGTCTCGAGGGCCTGCCCGCCCATCTCGACGCCGACCAAGGCGGCGCCGCGCGGCGTCGCCGTCACGAGCTGCGCGACGTCGTCGTACGCGAACTGCGGCACGCGGCGCCACGCCGCGATGGCGTCCGTCTTGTCGTCCTCCTTCTCGAAGCGCGCGCCGACCGTGAACGTGAACGCCGCGCCGAGCTGCGCCGCGGACCGCCAGAGCACGCCCGCGTTGCCCGCGGTCTTGCCCCGGACTATCCCAATGCCGAAGTAGCCCGCCTCTGCCGCGGCATCATCTGCCTCTTGCTCGAGCGTGTCGTAGAGCTCGGCGCGCGCCTCGCCCTCGACGGCGACCTCGTCGTCCAACTCCGTCAGCGTCCGCCAGGCCTCTTCCTTCACATCGTAGAGCGCGACGCCGAAGCGGTCCAGGTCGACGGACCTGTCCCGTCGGAGCGCGACGAGGACGGCCTTTGTTTTTATGGTGCCGTTCTCGCACGCGATCGTCGCGACGCGGCCGTCGCGCTTGTGCTCGCCGCGGTAGAGGTAGCGCAGGCGGATCGTATTTTTGTCGTCGTCGTCGCCGCCGCTGTCCTGGTCGAGCATCCAGTTGGACTTGTGCGGACTGTGCGGGCTTTGGGGGCTTTGTGGTGCGCTCATCTTCGTTCGATGCACTTCGTTGCGTGCCGGCACCACAGGTGTTGAGGCGCGTGCTGGCTCTTAACGCAGCACTGCTGCGTCCTGATGTTCGCGCGACTATCCAATGCCTTGCTGCCGTCTTCGTGTGCTTTGCTGTGGCAGAGCCTTGCGTTGTACCGAGTCCAAACGCAGCGCTTGGTTGCCGCCAGTGCTCGTTCTCTCGCGCACGCGTGCGTAGAGTACGCTGTGTGTCCTGGCACAACTTTGCGGCGTTAACACTGCACGGGTGTCGCGTTTGAGGCGTGCCAAAACAGCGCTCTCACTGCCGCTTGCTAGTGTCTTACAGACGCTAGCAAAACGAACTCGCGCGAGACTCTCTACTCGCAACAATACGCCATCGACGCGCCGTGAGCCAAACTAGACATAAATCTTTACTTCTTCGCCCGCTCGATGAACTCGCGCTCGGCGCACTTGACCTTGACGACGTCGCCGATCTCGACGAAGAGCGGCACCTGGATGACGGCGCCGGTCTCCAAGGTCGCGTCCTTGGACTGGCCCGTGGACGCCGCGTTCTTCAGGCCCGGCTCCGTGTACGTGACCTCGTACGTTTCGGACGTGGGCAGTTGCACGTCGACGATCGTGTCGCCCCATTTCACGATCTGCACGGTCATGCCGTCCTTCACCAGATCAATGTTCTCGATGGACTCCCTCGGGATGGTAATTTCGTCGAAGTCGACGGCGTCCATGAAAACGAGGGAATCGCCGTCATCATAAGAATAGACGGCGTCGTTCGTGTCGACTTGCGCCGTCTGGAAGGTCTCGGACATGCGGAAGGTGTCCTCGACGGTCGTGCCGCTCACGAGATTCTTCAGCTTCGTGCGGACCATCGCGGCCTGGCGCGCGGTCTTCGTCTGCTGGAAATTCAGGACCTTCCAGACGCCGCCGTCCCGCTCGATGGTGAGGCCGTTCTTGAAGTCGCCCGGTTTCACAACGCCCATGCGCGGCGTCAAGCTTATGCCTGCGTGGAAATCAACCAGTGAACCTCCACGCCATCGAACCGACGCGGTCGACGGCGACAACGTCGCGTCGATGGCCCGACAACTCCACGCCATCGAGCAGACGCAGCTACGGGTACAGCATCGCGTCGATGGCGTTGGGCGCCTGAACTTTGATTGCGCGCCGGCTGATGCGTCTTGCAGGCTGCTGCACCAGGGCGCTCGTGCAAGCGGCGAGGACCAGGAGTTTCGCCATTTTATGTAAGTTGGTGAAGAATACGTGCTGTGACCGATGCGTACGGACGTGGATTGCAGCAGCGATCGCGTTTTAGCCGGTTGCCCTTGAGTGCCTGGTCACCAGCCTCTGCCAAATCGCTCTCGGAGAGTCAGCCGTCTCGAAGACACGACAATCCGTCGAAGGCCGAGGGATCTTTCGGGTGGGCGACTCTCCACCGTAGGGCCGCTCGGGTGGGCGGAGAGGCTTTGGGTTTGCAAGCTAATCCATCACACGACGCGGCGCGCGTCGGAGGCTGCAGCTGCAAGGCTGTAGAGACTGCTAAAAAAGCCATTCGAAACGAGCGAGCAGCGCGAATTGCAAACGGAGCAATGCCGCGCACCGGTGCAAGGCTGGTGCTCTATGTAGCTATTGCAGCTATAGCACGCGTCGCCGCCCTCCCACCCCTCAAGAGGAGCCTGCGCCCGCAACATGGCGCGCTCACCGTAAGAGGAGGAAGCACAAAAAAAACGGTCACGCGCAACCCGCGCGCCGTCGTCGTGCAGAAGCGGACGGACGTCCTGGGCGCGTCCTTCAACCTCGTGAATAACGTGGCGGGCTGCGGCTTCTTGACGCTGACGGCGGGCGCCGCGGGCACGGGCTACCTCCCCGCCATAGGACTCGTGGCCTTCCTCGGGGCGGTGTCGTGCGGGTCGTTCCTGTTGTTGGGTGAGGATGCGTTGCGCTACCAGGCGTCCGACGTGCGCTCGCTCTGGTCCGAAGCCGTCGGCGCGAACGCCTGGGCCGTGGACGCTTCCGTCGCGGCCTTCTGCGGTGCTGCTGCCGTCATCTACCACGGCATCGTCGGGGATGTATTTGGGCCTCTGGTGGAGAAATATCTAGATATTCCACCATCAATCACGGTCTACGCCGTGGCTTTGTTGGCCTTGTTTCCTTTGTGTCAATTGGATTTGGCTACTTTAGCAAAATTCTCGTTGATGGGCTGCGCGTCCGTCTTCCTCACGGCCTTTGCGATTTTGTATCGAGCGGTCGACGGCACTTATGCTGAGGATGGCATACACAGAGCGAGCGCCGTGGCGTCGGAGGCGACAGGCGGCTGCTGCGGGGTCTCGGCGAAAGCATTGGTGCTGTCCGCGAACCTGGGGTTGGCCTACGTCGCGCACTACAACGCGCCGCCGCTCGCCGAGTCGCTGGCGCGCGGCGACGGCGGCGCGCGGCGGCGCTTCCGCCAGGTCACGTTCCTGTCGTTCACGGTGCTCGTCGCGTTGTACGCGGGCGTCATGGCGGCGGGCAAGGCGACGTTCGGCGACGCGGCGCGTTCGCGTCCGCGTCCTTTCTTTTTTTGTGCCTTCTGTGTTGTGCCTTCGCGCGGCGATGGCGTCCGGCCCGAGGCGCCACCTCGACGCCAGCGACGCGACGCTCCTCTCGACGCCATCGACGCGCCACACCTCGACGCCGTCGACGCGCCCCCGAACGCGCAGGCCCGAACGTGCTGCTCAACTACGGCGCGTCCGACGCGCTCGCCCGCGTCGCGCGCCTCGCGACGGGCGCGTCGATCGTCTTCGGCTTTCCGCTCGTGTTTTCCGGCTTTTACGATTCCGCGACGCGGTTGTTGCCGCCGGCGTGGGAGACGTCGCTCCAGAAGCGGCGGGGCGCGCGGCGCACGCTCGGGTCGCTGTGCTTGGTGTTGCTGACGGCGCAGGTCGCGCTCGCGGCGGGCGACATCGGGCTGCCCGCGGGGCTGGCCGGGTCGCTGCTCGGGGGCTTCGTGGTCTACGTGCTGCCGGCGATGATCCGCTGGCCGAACGCCGGCGCGGTCGGGCGCGTCGGGTGTTTGATGCTGGCGCTGCTCGGCGTCGGCCTCGGTTTGCTCGGCGCGCAGCAGACGCTGTCGGCGTACGGGCTGATCTGAACATGATATCCCCTCCTCCCCCGTCGTTCGTTTTTTTAGGATCTAAGGAAGTGGCTTTTCGGCTACTAGCTTCGTATACTGCACTGCGATAATAACGTCGCTGATACTGGCAGGGTCGGGTTCTGTGCCCGCTTAAAGTACCTTTCCTCTATGAGTTGGGTTCGCGGCGTCGGCTGGGTACTTGTGACTTAACGGTGTTGGGACATGTTCGCGGACGACGAGCGCCAAACGGGCAAACGGTTCGGTTGGGTGATCGTGGCGCGGCCAGACGTGACCTGGTTCTCCCCGCTGCAGCCCGACGACGTTCTCGCGCGGGCGCGCTCGGGGCCGTATCTCGGCGAGAAACGGTCCGTTCACGGTCGTCCAAGCACCGAAATGGTCGGAATTGGCCTCTCGGTGTCGATTCTGCCGAAATCGTTTCATCATTTCGCTTTTCTCGGGCGTGTGGGTGTCTGAGGGCCCGCGGGTGTCTCAAAATGGCAGGGGGGTGAGGGTAGGCTCAAAGCGACAAAAAAAATGGACATCTCCCACTGGGATTCGAACCCAGGTTGTGAATTCGCCGTTACTTCGACGTAAGCTAAGCTTAGAATCAAAACCTAAAGTGATAACCAGGGTGTGGGGGGGTACCCCTCTACACTAAACTCCAAGGGTCTCCTTGGCCAAAGATCATTTGGGAGAGGTAGAGGTGTCCAACGGTGCAGCCATCGGTGGCGCACTCGTACAAAGCTGGTGTTTTTTGCCCCTTATTCCAAAAAGGGGAAAAACCCGTGAGGCCCTTGCGGGGCTGCCGCGCTGAGCCGCTAAAAATCCAACAAACAACCAGCACCCACCCAATCGAACCGCCTCAGTACAACCCAAGCGCCGCTCAAGCTTTTTCCAGCCCGGAGAGCACCACACGCCCCGGAGAGCCCTTTTAATTCCAGCCACTAAAAAACGCTGCGGACGCTGCGCGAGGGAGCAAAAAACGCTGCGGAACGCTGCGCAAGGGAGCAAAGATGGCCCTCACCAACCTCAAACGCCTGTTAGTAGCCAACCGCGGCGAGATAGCCTGCCGCGTCATGAACTCCGCCCGCGCGTTAGGACTCGACACCGTCGCGGTCCACAGCGAGGCCGACGCGCGCGCCAAGCATGTAAAATATGCCGACGAAGCCGTCCAGGTCGGCAGCGGGTCGGCGGCGACGACGTCCTACCTCGACGCCGACGCGGTGTTGGAAGCGGCACGGGCGACGGGCGCCGACTGCATCCATCCCGTGCCTAGCGACGTCTCAAAACACTCTTCTGTGGCGCGTCGATGGCGTCTGGGGGACGCTGGCCATCGACGCGGTCACACCGGTCTGGACGACGCCACCGCGAGAGAGAAACAGGGAAAATCGCGAGAGGTAGAAAACAAAAAAACAAACGCAGGGCTACGGCTTCCTCTCCGAGAACGCGGCCTTCGCGCGGCGCTGCGCCGAGGCGGGCATTACTTTCGTGGGCCCGCCGGCCGCGGCGATCGACGCCATGGGCGACAAGGTCGAGTCGAAGCGCATCGCGGAGGCGGCCGGCGTGAGCGTGATCCCGGGCTTCAACGGCGTCGTCGAGTCGGCGGAGCACGCCGTCGCCGTCGCCGAGGACATCGGCTACCCGGTACGTGACGCGGCGTTAGCGAGGGCGCCTTCGGCTCGACGGCGTGGAGGCAAGACACGTCGCGTCGATGGCGTGCTGGTGGCGCAAGTCCATTGCCCCACAAAAGCACGCCATCGCCGCGACCGCTAGAGACGCCGCCGTCGGGAACAGGGGGCGCAGAAAGAAGAAAGCAACGACACACAGGTCATGCTCAAAGCGAGCGCGGGCGGCGGCGGCAAGGGCATGCGCGTGGCCCGCGACGCGCGCGAGGTCGCCGAGTGCTTCGCCCTCGCGACGGACGAGGCCAAAAAGAGCTTCGGCGACGACCGGCTGCTCGTGGAGAAGTTCGTGGCGGCGCCGCGCCACGTCGAGATCCAGCTCGTGGCCGACGCGCACGGCAACGTGGCCTGCTTCCCGGAGCGCGAGTGCTCCGTCCAACGCCGCAATCAGAAGGTCGTCGAGGAGGCGCCGTCGCCCTTCGTCCATCAAAGGCCCGAGTTGCGAGCGAGGATGCAGGCCGAGGCCGCGCAGCTCGCGACTGCGGTGGGCTACACGAGCGCGGGCACGGTCGAGATGCTGGTCGACGCGACGACGGCGGACTTTTATTTTTTGGAGATGAATACGAGATTGCAGGTCGAGCACCCCGTGACCGAGGCCGTCTCGGATCAGGATTTGGTGGCGTTGATGTTGCGCGTGGCCGACGGGCAGGCTTTACCATCAGAACTAGTGGGCAGCGTGCCGCCCGTCGGCTGGGCCATCGAGTCGCGTATTTATGCGGAGGACGCGGCGCGCGGCTTCGTGCCGTCGACGGGGTCGCTGACCGCCTACGCGAACCCGCCCGCGTCGATCGAGTTCTTTCACGCGAGCGATGTTCGAGTGGATGCGGCCGTCGAGGACGGCAGCGAGGTCGGGATTTTTTATGATCCCATGATCTCCAAGGTCATCACGCGGGGCGAGGACCGAGCGGCCGCGCTCGACGCGCAGCGCCGCGCGCTGGACGCTTATGTGGTCGAGGGTCTGGTGCACAACGTGCCGTTCTGTCGGGACGTGTGCAGTCATGAAGCGTTTCTGAGCGGCGACTACACGACGGCGTTTATCGAGGAGCACTACCCTGGTGGGTTCGACGAAGGGAGTGTACTGACAAACATGGCTCCGCAAGATCTGGCAAAGCTCGCTTGTTTAGTTCTTGGTGTTGACGCTGCTTCAAAAGAAGTGCGGGGCGAATTACAACCGGCGGGGCCCCAGGTCGTTTTGCTGAGGACGGCGCGCGCGGACGCCGAGCTCGTGTTTGAGGTCGATGGTTTTGATGGAGCCTACACCGTTAGGTATGAGGGAGAAGAACATCAAATTGAGCTTGATAAAGCGGCCTGGGCCGCGCCGCTCGCGACGCCGCTGGTACTCAATGACGGTGCGGTCGCGTGCCAGTACGTTTCAACTGATGCGCGGCCGGGTTTTGATCATGCGCTGCGCGTGCGCGGCGTCCGCGTCGACGCGGCCGTGCGCACACCACAAACGCACGCGCTGTCAAAGCACATGAAGCCAGCGGCGGCCGAGGCCGCGGCCGCGGGCCTCGCGTGCCCCATGCCCGGCACGCTGCTGCGCTTCGAGGCCGAGGTGGGGGCCACGGTCGAGGCGGGCGAGCCGCTCGCCGTCGTCGAGGCGATGAAGATGCAGAACGTCCTGCGGGCCGAGGCGCGCGTCGTCGTCGACGAGCTCCTCGCCGACGTCGGGGACGTCGTCGCCGCGGACCAGATGCTCATGACGTTTGTGGTCTCTGACTAATATCTAGGTAGTGTGTATTTGGCCTCGTCAATAGCGTCATCTAGAACACAAAACATATACTACGCATCCCGTCGTGCGCGCTCATCGCGCCCCGCGGCCCAGCAACCCTCTCGGGGAGTACCGGCCCGGACATCACCCCTGCGGTTGCATAGCTCCCAGGGTAGGATACTACGACTCGTCGCGGCTCGCATCCCCAGCCGAGAACGCGCTCTCGAGCCCGGCGACGAACGGCGACAGCGCCGCGGCGCGCCGCCGCCGCGCCGCCGCGAGGTGGCGGGACAGCGCTTCCAACGCATGCCGTTCGTCGGTCGACAGGCCCGGGTGGAAGACGTCGAGGTGGACGAGGTAGACGTCCTCCGACGGGTGCTCGTTGTGCGCGGAGTGAAAAAACGTCGTGTCGCAGACCGTGGCCTCGCCCGGCGTCCAGTCGAGCCGCTCGCCGTCCACGACCATGTGGCCGCGCCCCTCCAGCGTGATGTGGCACGTGAGCGCCCAGGGCACGCGATCCGAGTGCGCGTGGATCGACCGGTCGGCCCGCTGCCGCGCGATACACCTCCGCCGCGGCGCGAGGGGCGCGCCGCGCAGCGCGCGCGCCACCGCCGGGAACGCTTGTGGAGTGATGTCGACCATGCCCCAGCCGCTGTCGTACGCCCCGTCCCTTCCATAAGTATCGACCCACTTGGACTCGCGGAAGGTCGTCGCGCGCCGCCGGACCTCGTCCCGCATTTTTTCTGTCTGCGCGAGGATCGGGTCGAGCCAGCGCCAGGCCTCCGTCGTCACGTCCCAGATCGGGGTCGCCTCCAAATCGGGGTAGTTCTGCTGGCACTCCAGCAGGCGCCGGCCCCCGAGGTCCTCGAGCACCTCCTCCTCGAGGCTCTTTCTCCGATTCTCGCAGTAGGTCTCGAAGCGCTTCAGCGTGCTCGGCGGCGCCGCGTCGGGCGCGCCGTAGAGTTCCCTTCGTAAATCGCGCCAGGCGTCGCCGTCGATGTCGTCCAGCGCTGCCTGCCATTCCGTCGCGTGGAGGCGGCTGGCGCGGCGCCGCGGCGGCGGCGTGCTGTGGAGGCTGCTGGCTGGGACGGCTGCCAGGAAGGCCAGGAGTGCTCTCATCGATCTAATTCGATGCATGCGCCCTGTACGAGCCTGTGCACTGCTCACAAAGTCCAAGACCCAGCCTGGCTAGCGGCTGTAAGACACTAGCTTGGATAACGAAAGGCTCCCTGAGGGGTCTGTCTCGGCGCAGAGAGGTCCAAGAGCCGACGCGCACACGTACGAAGCCCACAACCCCGCGGAGCCTCCTGAAAAATGTCTGCCTGTTGCAATCGAGCCCAGGCCTCGTAGACAGCGCATAGCGCGTTTTGGGTTTCGCCGAGGCGGTTCCGCACTGCGGTCTAACGACAGTACCGCCCTGCTGGCAGCGCTGCGCTCAGCAAGGGGCGCAAGATCCTCAAAACTGCTCGTGCAACAGGAGGCAAAAAAATGGAGGCCGCGGCTCAAGCGCGCGCCAACACGACGCCCGAACTCCTCGCGCGGCAGCGCCGCGCCCTCAAGCCCACGACCGGCGCGCAAGACACAACGAACGCCGTCGTCGTGACCGAGGCGTCGCTCCGGGCGTTCTACGAGCAGCACAACCCGGCGAACGCGGCGCCGGACCGCCTCAAAACCGTGCTGCAGCATTATGACGGCCGCCACGACGCGCTGCTCCGCGACCTGAGCAAGCGCTACGGCGCGGCCGCGTCGGCGGCGCTCTGTGCGGTAGGACAGCGGCTCTACGCCGACGACAAGGAGAACGCGCCGCCGCCGCGCCGGCCGAAGCAGCTCTCCCACGACGTCGACAAGGAAAACGTGCCCCCGCCGAGCAAGTCGCCCGCCAAGGCGGCGCGCCGGCGCCACACCATCACGAGCCCCTACCGGCCGCGCGCCGCGCCGGCGCCGCTCCGGGCGCCCCAGCGCCGCTCCGTCGATACGTGCGTGCCGCCGGAGGTCGAGGTGCCGAAGACCGTGAAGCCGAAGGCCTCGTCGCCGCCGCTGACGACGCCGTCCGTGCGGCACGTGCCCGAGGTGTCGCCGCCCAAGGTCTGGCCGCCGTCCATCAACCTCGCCGACCGCCTCGCGCAAGCCGTCAAGGCGCGCTTCTTCTGTGACGCTGCTGCTGCAGCGACCGTCGAGACCGTCAGCGTTGCTACTTCTCCGATCACGGTGCCGGGCGCCGCCACGTTCGTGCCTGTGTGGAATCAATGCAGTTATGGGGTCGCGTCGATGGCGTGGGGGCGTCCAAAATTTGATTTCCACACAGGTTTGTTCCGCCGCGCCGCCGCCGCCTCGGCGTCGTCGCGGCCGCCGTTGCGGTCGCCTTCGTTGCTTGCGCCGCCCTGGGCCGGGCGCCGCCCGCCATCAAGCCCGCCAAGGCGGCTCGGCCGCGCCGCATCGCGTGGCCGGAGCGCGTCGCGCCCGGCGCATGCGTCCACCTCACGCTAAGGCGCCTGGCTTGCGCACCGCCGAAACCCGCGCCGCCGCCGCCGCTACTCCTCGCTGAGCCCGCGCCGAAGGGCGTGCTCGCGAAACGCGTGCGCTCGGTCCTCCGAAAAGCGGCCAAGCCGGCGCTCGTCGCCGTCGTCGTCGCGCCCGTCGGGCCGGTCTGGGCGTGGCGCATGGGACGCCTCGCCCGCGCGGTGCCCGCCGTCGCGCAGCTGTCGCAAGCTCAAGCCGTCGCCGCGTACTGGTTCTGCGGCGCGGCCGGCTTCGGGGTATGCGCTCTCGCGGGCATGATGATCTAAGTGATGTTACAAGAAAACTCCTATTTTCTTCGACGGTTTCGATGGTGAATACTATATGTGACAAATTATTTTTAGAGTCATCGGCCATGATGGCCGCCGTGATGGCCTCCGCCACCGCCGTGATGGCCGCCACCGTGGTGGTGTCGCTCGGTGTGATGATGCCGTTCGACGTGGCGGTGCCGTTCGACGCGCTCGCGCCCGCCGCGGTGGTGGCCTCCGCCCCAGCTGGAGCCCCAGCCCCAGCCCCAGCCGGACCGCCGCGGCACGACGTAGGCCGGCTCGTACGCGTAGGAGGAGCCGTAGTAGAACGAGGGCTCCGAATAGTAATCATACGTTTCGCCATAAAGGGTCGCGCCGGTGTAGCGCTGCCTGGGCGCAAACGCCGAGCCGACGGCCAGCCAGAAGATGACAATGACTAGAAATAGGACAAGAGCCAGCTCCGCGCCCGGATCCACCGGCTCCCCGTCGCCCGCCCAGCCGTCGTCATCAATCACGCCGTAGGGGCGGCGGCGCCACCGCGGGCCGACAACCCGCGTGTCGTCCTCGATGGTCGTATCGTCCCACTCGATCGTGTCGTCGGTCTCTCGGGCGTCGTCGAGGTCTGACGGGAGGTATCGCCTGCGCAAGTGTCTTCTGCCACTACTCCTGCGCATTTGCTGAGAAAATGCTGGCTGCAGTGTCAGGGCCAATAGCACAACATTGGTGGCCAGGTAGCGCATCCTTCACCCTCCTGGTGCCTGGAGCGCTGGCCTGTAGACGTTTCTAAGCAGTCTTCTGCAAACGTTAGGCTCGTAGCACGCAGTGAAACGCCGAATTCTGGCCGCGCAAATTTGCCCGGCCAAGCTTCCTAGTGTGTCACACAACGCTAGCTCGGCCGCGGCGCCGCGACGCTAAACAAGTGGACGGCCTGTGTTAGCAACGATTGTTGGTCGCAAGTTTATTGCGCACAAGCTGCGAAGCCGTGAGACGCTTTAGGCTGCACCCTGGGCACCACAGCCACAGCTGCATCTACTGAGTGGAACAGCCAGCTGCCATACGCGCCGAACCGATCGTGTATTAATCGCATCGATGGCGGAAACATACGCACGAATGGATAAAAGCAGCGCCGACGGCATGAAGACGGCAGACGCCGCCGTCGCAGCCGTCGTCGACGGCTGGGCGCGCGTGCGAGACGACTCAATGAGCAATGTCGAGTGGGTCGTCTATGTGCTAGATGGGAAGACCTATCGTCTCGCGGCCGAGGGCTCGGGACGACCGGAACTCGTCGCGGCGCTAGACGAGGCCGCGGTCAACTTCTGCGGCCTCCTCGACGGCCCAGCGAATGCGCGGAAGTTCTACCACCTCCTCTACGTCGGCGCGGACGTGGGCATCATCAAGCGCAACAAGGCGCAGCTGCAAAAGTCCGCGGTGTTCAACGCGATGCCCGGCGCGGCCGGAGAGGTCCAGCTCCCTGCAGACGCCAAGACGCCTGAGCGACTCGCGGAGCTGCTCGTGTAAATGTTGTAAGTTAGGAATTTCAAGACGCAATCACGTCGCACGGTCGCGGATCGCGCGAGGAAGTAATCTAGAGTAGTAAAAATTACTCCGCAGGACCGTCCGAGTCGTCGATATCCAGGTAGTTCCTCGGCACGTAGCCCGCGTTCGAGGTGCCCTTCGCGGCGAAGATCCAGCCCGGGGACGGGTCGTACTCGTCGCGGAGGATGAGCAGGCGCTCGCCGGGGTCGAGCGCCATCTCCGGCAGTTCCTCGGGATGGAAGGCGCGGCGCGCGACGGCGGCGACGAGGCCGCGGCCCGGCGAGTTCGTGCTGGCCGGCGCCGCGTGGTCGCCCTCGTACTCGCGCCGCATGAGCCAGTAGAACGCGGGCATCGGGTCCGGCGCGGGTGCTGGGGTCCAGGCCTCCCAGGACACCGGCCCCGGCTCGGGCTCGGGCTCCGGCTCGGGCTCCGGCGCCGGCTCCGGATCAGGATCGGGCACGGGCTCCCGCAGCGACTGCTCCGCCGAGCTCCGGCGCCCCGAGGCCGAGGATTCCGCGCTGAAGAAGCCCCGGGGCGTCGGAGCCGCGGAGGCCGGCGCCGAGGCCGGCGCCGAGGCCGCGAAGTCTTCGGAGTACGTCTCGTAGGAGATCTGGGACGGCCGGGGCTGCAGCCCGTGCTCCTCCGGTTGAGGCGCCGGCTCCGGCGCGGCCTCGTGCGGTTCGGGCTCCGGCTCGGCCGGCGGCGCTGGGGCGGGCTCCGGCTCGGGCGCCAGGAAGTCGGCGGCGTACGAGTCCTGCGACGGCGCCGGCGCCCGGGCAAAGTCGTCGCCGTACGACTCGCAGGCGTACGACGGCTCCTCCCCGCTGGCCAGCGGCTCCGACGGCGACGGCGACGGCGGCCGCGCTGGCTCTTGCGCGGTGGCCGGCGCCGCGGGCTCTTCGGTAGCGGGCGGCTCCGGTACAAGCGGCGCTTCGACGGCCGCAGGGAGTTCCTCGGGCGCCACAGGCTCGGGCGCCGGCGCCGGCGCCTGCGCCTCCGGCGGCGGCCCGAAGTCGTCGGGGTACGGCTCCGGCGGCTTGGGCTTCCGCGGCGGCCGCTTCTCCATCGGCGAGGTCATGCGCGCCAACGCCGCGCGCTGCGCCGCCGCGCGCGCCGCGCGCTCCTCCCGCTCCGCGGGCGTCAGCGGCGGCGCCTCGACCTCGACCTTCGGAGGCGCCCAGGTCCAGGCGACGGAGGGCCGCCGGGTCCACTCGATGGGCCCGCCGCCGGGGCTGAACGGGCGTAATGTAGCTGGGTGGTAAACGTCAGCAATTGGCCGCTGGCGCACGGGTATCGCGAGCGTGTCGAAGAGTTTCTGCAACGTCTTTGCGCGCCGCGAGCGCTCCAGCCTCAGCATACGCAGGTCCTCGCGCGTCGGCCGCGCCGCCTCCTCCCTCGCGCGCCGCGCGTCGACCGCGAGGTCCCTCGGGAGCCGCGCGACCCGCGCGTACTCGAGCTCGCTCGCGGCGGCGGCGCTTGGTCCGCTCCGTGCGAACCACGGCCGCTCCGGCGGCGGCGGGCCGCCGCGGCCCCGGTGCGCGTGGCGGTCGTCGACGCCGAAGAGCGCGCCGACCTCTTCCAGTCTTTTCTCTAACTCGAGCTGGGCCTCGCGCTTGGCGGCCTGCGCCGCGCAGTCCTTCTCGTCCCGGATCACGGTCACGTCCACAGGCCGGTCCCCCACCCACGACCAGACCTCGTCCAGGGGCACGGGCAGCCCATGGAGGTAGGCGAAGGTCTTGTGCGTCGCCGCGACGGCGTCATCCGCCATCCTCTGGCTGCCCCTTGGACTTTGTTGCTCTGCCAGAGCCTGTCGCGTCGATGGCGTTGGAGAGGCAGCCCTTCTCGCGCACCGCGCACGACGCGGCCGAGGCTCAATGGCTTCCGCCCTCTGGCCTCAGCTAGCGCACGCAGACTGTCTGCGGCAACACACAGCGCCGCTGCAGCGCCCTAGTGTCTCTCAGCGCTAGCCCACGAGTCCTAGCGTAACAGAATATCGAAGCATCGTTCCACGCCGCCAAAGCAGATTACTAAACTCACACGTTACTATCGGGAGGAGAGGACAGGCTCTCCGCCCGGACCGCGTCGCGCCGCGCGTAGAAGAGCACGTACGCGGCCGACGACCGGACGTCGTCGGCCGGCACCTCGGCGACGCTCGAGTCGTCGCAGCGCAGCCAGGGCCCCGGCCCGCCCACGGCGAAGAGGTCGCGCACGAAGGCCGTGTAGTGGCCGTAGCCCGCCGCGCCAAAGTGGTTCACCACCCCAAAAAGGTCGTAGGTCAGGTCGGCGCGCCCCGTCTCGCCGCCCGCGTGCGCGACGAAGGGCGCCAGATCTAAGCCCTCGAGCGGGAAGTCGACGTACCTATCGACCTTGCGCGACGACCGCGCGAACGCGAAGCGCTTGAGCGTGATGACCAGGATCCGCGGCGCGCGCCAGACGGCGACGCGCTTCGTCGCGCGGCGCATCGCGGCGCAGCCCTCGCAGCGCCAGGCCTCCTCCTCCAGCAACGTCTCCGGGGCCGTGAACCGCCGCAGGCAGCCCCGCAGCGACAGCGGCGCGACGCGCGGCACGTAGGGCAAGTTTAAGCCCGCGAGCGGGTCGCACGTGGCGACCTCGCGCGCCGCGCGCGCGAGCGCGCGCCGCGACCGCCGCCGCGCCGCGCGCGCGCGGCGCCGCCGCTCGAGCGCCTCGCCCTCTTCGACAACCGCGGCCGTCTCCCTCGCTGCCGTCGCGAAGGTGATTGCACATGTGACGGCGGCGCGGTCGCGCGGCTTCTCGGCGGGCTTCTCGGCGGGATCCTCGTCCTCGTCGAGCACGACATCGACGCGGTGCACGCGCGCCGCGCCCAGCAACGCGCCGCAGTCGCCGTCGCGCCGCTTCTTCCGCCGCCGGTCGCGCGCCACGCGCCAGTCGTCGCCGACCGACACGGCGTCGTCGTCGTCGTCGTTGGCGGGCCGCGCGGCGACGCGGAGCCGCGCGCAGGGGTCGGAGCCTACTACCTGATCGTAGGCGGCGAGCGCGCGCGCGGCGAGGTCCGCCGCGGGCTCGTCGGGTTTATATAAAACGGCGCGCGGCAGGGGTTCGCCGCCGTACGCGAGGCACGCGTTCGAGTTGTCAGGCAGCGCGAGCGCGGCCAAACCGTCCGGGAGCTCGTCGCCGTCGTCGACAACGTCGCCCGCGGCCAGCGTCGCGAGCACAACATCATTCACACTCGCATCAAGCGCCTTCGCCGCCGCCGCGCGCACGGCCTTGACCCTCCCCTCGTCGGGCACCTCGAAGGGCGGGCAGGGGATCCCTACAGGAGAAGGGTACAGGACCACGGCCCCGGCCGGCATCGTATCATTAGAATCGTCGTCCGAGTTCCCCGAGTCGTCGTCGTCGTCGACCGTCTCCGTCCCATTGTCCTCGCCTTCGAGCTCCACCTCCAACGACAGGAACTCCTCGAAGTGCGCACACCGGTGGCCGCAGGCCGGGCACTCGACCGTCGATCTCAATAAACCGCCGAACGCCTCCATCACGACCGAGTCGTCGCGGAGCGCCTCGCCCCGCGCGTGCGCCCTCGCTACCTTCGCGTCGTCCGTCGCTTTCGTCGACTCGGGCTTCGTGAAGTAGGGCTTCGGCCCCCGCACCCTGTTCAGGTCCTCGTGGAGGCCGTGGAGTAGCACTTGCAGGAGCTCGTGCGCGTCCTGCTGGCGCCGGCCCTCGAAGTCGCTCCGGAAGCGCGCGACCGCATTCAACAAACCCTTGGGCGCGACGGCGCCGCGCGGCGCCCTTCTACATCTTTTGAGCGCCGCGGCGTACTCGCGCGCGAGCTCGGCCCGCGGCGACCCGAGCTTGTTACTTTCATTGATATCCTTCACGAACGCGTCGCTCAGCAAATATCTGGACAGCGGCGCGCAGCGCGCCAGGCACTGGAGCGTCGCGTTGAAGTAGCACGTGTTCCCGAGATTGCGCAGCCCGCGCCGCTGGTCGACGTAGCACGCATCTCGCAACCGCGCGAAGGCCTCGACGGCGTCCTTCGATGGTTTGTCATCGTCGTCGCGCCATTGACTGCAGTCGCGCCGGTGCCGCGCCCAGTGGCCCCGCTGGCACGCCTCGCCGCAGTAGGCCACGGCGCGGCAGGCGCCGCAGCCGCGGGCCGTCGCCACGGCCAGGGCCCTTCCACAATTGCCGCAGGCCGCGTCGACCGGCTCCGCGCAGGGCCGCGCGACTGCCGTCGCGCAGGGCCGCGCGACGGCATCTCCAACAACACCGCTCGCCGCGACGGGCCGCGCAACGCGCGGGCCGCCGCCGTACCACTTCACCAACAGGTCGTAGGCCGCCGGCGGCACGCACTCGAAGTCGCGCCACCAGACCGCGCCGCGCCGCGCCGCCGCGCGGTTGTCCATCGCTGCGGGCGCCGGCGCGCCACTCTTGCGCGACGTGTGCAGGCGCCACTGCGCGAGGAACTGCGCGTCGACGAGGATTGTTGTTGTTGCGGGCGCCGCGCAGGCCCGCGCGAAGAGCTCGCGCTGGGCCTCGGGCGGCGGACGGTCGCCCACTGCTTGTGTTGCTACCGCTTCATCGGCTGTCGCAGCGGTGCCGTGCGCCGTCTTACGCGCGTGCAGCGCACTCATGGCTGCTGTCGTCGGGCTCGAAGCCCGTGAGTCTGTGGCTCAGGGCTCGATTGCTGCGCGTCGTCTCGAAGACCCAGCTTGCTAGTATGTTACGCCGCTAGCTCAAGCGTTTTTTTGGGCTCGAGGCCACGCATCTGGCAAAACGAGACCAGATCAGTCGTGTTCTTATTTAAAAAAACATAGCTCGTGCTCGTGGGAGAGGCCCGCGCATCAATCGGCCCTGAAACTCTTGGCACTCTAAGAAGTTTCCCTGGTTAGAGCGAGAAAGATGAGGCGCCACGCCCTGCTTGGCGTACTCGCGGCAATCTCGTGCGCGCGCCCGACGACTGCCTGGGACGGCAAGTGTTGGAAATGCTGGGAATCGTTCCGCGCGAGCCTCTGGCTGCCGTTCTCGGAAGGCGACATCCAGTCGAGGCAATGGGCCGTCGCGGCGAAGATGGCCGCGGACCAATTCAACGCGCGAAACGGCTCGATCGTGGCGGAGTTCGCAGAGGTGCCGCCGGCGTGCCCCTTTGTGCTCTCCGTCGACGTCTGGGACACCTCGCAGGGTCCGACGGTGGCGATCAAGGATTTCACCGAAGCTTACATTTCGTCGGGTTTCGATGATTGCTTTTATCCGAATTTTAGAAAACCCGCAGTCATCGTGGGGCCCAAATTCTCGTCCGTGGCCGTGCCGCTCTCCATCGTGGCGGGCGCGAACAGTTTTGACATGATCAGCCCGTCGGCCACGAGTCCCGTGCTGGACGAGGCGGTCCATTCAAATTTCGTGCGGACAATCCCCAGCGACGGTGATGGTTTCGCGGAGGCGTTCTGCGATTGGTGCCGGGACCAGGGGTGGACGACCGTCGGCATCATCGCAAAGTCTGACAGCTTCAGGTAACTTTGCTCCACTCAGGAGCACTGGAGTGCGCTGTACGTACAGAGGGCTCAGGGCTACTGACGCGGGCCTAGGAAGCACGCACGACCGGCCCGCGAGACGCCCTAACCGGCCTTCCTTATTAAAGATCTGGCGCAGCTGAGGACCTAGCACAACGATGCCGCGCCGCGTGCTCGCCGCGTTGACCAGCGGCGCGGCCGAGGCCTACGCGGAGGTGTGGCGGGACGTCTTCGCGGACGACGGCTGCGAGTGGCAGTGCGCAATCAAATCTCGCGGCGCTTCTCGCCATCGACGCGACGGTATGGTTTGCGCACAGGCGAGCGGCTCGGGCTCGGCGCGGCGGCGCCCGACGAGGCGCGGCTGCGGCGCGTCTGCGCGCCGCTCGGCATCCACGCCAAGCACGGGACGGAGTGCGCCGTCTCGGTCGCGCTCGCTAGCCGCGGCGTCCACCTGAAGGCCGAGGACGCGTTCCGGAACCTGACGCTCGTCCGACCTGAAGTCCTGCCCGAGGTATCCTCGCCGCGGCGGCTTGAAGTTCTGCCCGAGCGACGGCGCCTCAAGTCCTGCGCGGACACGGCCTCGTTCGACCCGAGCGACTCTTGTTGGGAGATCCACTCGTGCGGTCTGTTGAAGAAGGAAGCGAGCATCGTCTGCCACGGCGCGAGTGGAGAGAAATTGTGTTGCGCGAGCAAGCAGGAGCACTGCCTGAGCGCGGCGTGGAAATCAGATTTTCGGACACGACACTCCGCGAGACCTCGGAGACACGCCCACAACCGTTGCCCGCGCGCAGGCTGCATCTACGATGAGAAACCAATCAAGGCCCTCTTCTACAGCACCTTGGTCGTAGTGATTATACTCGGACTGTTCCTGATGCTCCAGTGCTGGCGGTGGTCGCGGCCCGAGCCCGCGCCGCTGAGGGCTTCCTCGGCCGCTCCGGAGCCGGAGCCGGTCGCACAGGCCGAGATCGTCCCCTACCCCAACCGGTCGTAACTTTTAAACATTACATGACTCGGTCGGCGACGCGCCGAAGGAGCGCTGCATCCGCGCCTGCGTCCGACACGTTGAAATACAAAACCGCGCTCGCCTCGTATGCGCCGACGTAGAGGCTTCCCGGGTCTTCTTCATCGTGAGCAATGGCTACTGGCCCTCGAAGCCGCCTATCCGACAGCTGCAGTGGCGCGACACCTCCGCAGTTCCGCACCACCGAGACGACGTCGGACCGATACGACGCCACGAGGAGCCCGCCGTCTTCGTCGCTGCAGTCTTCGTCGGTGTCGGCCGCCGCGGCCACGGCGGCGCCTGCACTGGCCACGCCCAGCGGCCCCGAAAGCTCGTCGTCCGTGGCACCATCGACAATGACTTCAATGAGCTCGCCCGTCGCGAGGTCGAGCGTCAAGACGGAATCATTGTGAAGCGAAGATACTGCAAGCGTCGCATTCCCTATGACAACGAGCTGTTCGGGGCCCCGCAGGCGGTCGACAAACGGCGCAGATTCGGCGTCTTCGTTCCAAATCTCTGCGGCGCGCTGCCTCGCGGCGCGAGCCGACAGCTCGTCGTCGAATGCAGCCGGCACGAAGGCAAGAGACTCGTAGTCGACGCCGACGGGCGGTCCGAGGGCGAGCGTCCTTCCGCGCCGCGTCGATAGATCGAACGCGACAATCCGAGAATCGAGGAAGCTCGCTACGTATAGCTGATCGCCGTTCAGTGCCAGGCCCTCCGGGCAGTCGAGATCACCAGTCAAAGCGTACTTGAAATCGCCCCCCTCGGAAAACGCCAGGACCTCGTCGCTTCCGAAGCTCGAGACGAATAGCAGGCCACGCGCCGCGTCTGATGCGAGGCCCCACGCGCCGTCGAGCCGTGCGCAGCGCACCTTCCCGCGCGTCGTCGCGCAGTGCCTCCCACGATCAGCAAAGACCGTCCAGCCTTTAGCGAACTTTGTAGAGCCTTCTCGCTTTGCCGCTCGCGCCGTCGACGCCACGAGCACGCGGTCGCGTCGGAACTCGGTCGCGAAGAGGCTCTCACCCCATACTAGGAGGCCTGTCGGATGCGAAACGCGTGCAGCCGCCGCGGGTTTGCGGCTGCCCGCGGCGTCTCGTCGCAGGCGCGCGAGCAGTCTGTTCTCGGCGCCTTGTATGGGCCCGAATGGTCCGACTGCGACGTCCACGTCCACTGCCAGAGCTGCCGCCGCAATGGCAGCCCGGAGCAGTTTCATCCTGTGCACTGTGAGGGCAGCAGTGAGCACGTTTATCGTCCTGGAGCTGTGCCGTATGATGAGTTCGGCTGGAAGGTGGCACAAGGCGTGGTTCACAGCTGCAGTTGCGCTTCTACGACGGCATTTAAGCTTCAAATTCAAGCGCTGCCAAGCGCTGAAAACCTGTTTTGATGGCCGAACCTTTCTCTAGAAACCGAGGCCTCGTTTATGATTGCGGAAGAGAGCTGCTGCAGCGGTCCAGCGTACGGCTTCGAACGGTGGAGGCTGCCTCTACCTCCCTCCCAACAGGCATCGATGGCCGACATCTCGCCGCCAGCTCTAAACGCTGTTAGGAACAAAGCAATAACGTAACAGACAAGCGCCCTATAACGCAAACACCGAACACAAATTACATACGAAGTGGCGTTGCCTGCATTTACAGGGAAACCACACAAGAAGAGCTTACCTCCTCGCCGGTGAGGTGCCGCTTATACGATGACGTCGCAGCAGCCCCGAACTACGGCGGGGCTCCACGCCGCCGTGCACACCTCCGTGCGCACGCTGACGCCGCACCTGGAACTCCAAGGCACGCTGGCCCTCGTGGCGACGGACCGCACGCTCCGGCGGCTCATGACGACGGCGCGCGCGCCGCTGGACCTCTGGGCGCGGCCGTGGCCCCTGGTCAAGCTGGAACAGGCATTGATGCGCTTCGGCGCCGCCGACGGCGCGATCAACGCCGCGACGGCCGACGGCCTCGTGCTCGCGGCGTCGAAGACGCGCGTCGGCGCCCTGCTGCACGTCTCCCTGCACCAGACGGCGTCGCCGCTGCCGGCGCCCATCGCGGCGCACCTGCCGAGCCTCCGCACGCTGCACCTCGCCGCCGTCAACGCCGAGGACCTCGAGCAGATCGGCGGCTGCGCGCAGCTCCGGGGCCTGACGCTGCAGCGCGTCCGCGTCCGGGCCGGCACCGCGCTCGACCTCACGCCCTTGAGGAGATGCGGCAACCTCGAGCACCTGGCCGTCACGCAGATTGGATATGGGGACGGCGGCGGCGACCGGTCGACGTGCCGGCCGACCGACCTAACACCGCTCGCGGCCTGCACGAGCCTGACGCACCTGTCCCTGCCGCCGGGGCCCGGCGGCGAGGCCATCGACGCCAGTCCCCTCGCGGGGCTCTCTTTGAAATCGCTCGAGTGGGTCGGCGACCCGGCCGGCGTCGCGTCCGGTGACGCGGCGCGGTCGCTGACGCACCTCGGGTTAAGGGGAGCGGACCTCGACGCGCCGCTGCTGGCGGCGCTGGCCCAGCTCCCGCGCCTCGCGTCCATAGAATTTCGGGGCTGCCGCTTCCCGTCAGTGCATGGCCTCGCGACGCTGCCGAGCCTCCCGAAGCTCGAGAAGGCGTCGTTCCGGAGCTGCGCCGGCGGTGTGGATCTGGAACCTTTAGCGGACCGGTGCCCGAACCTCTCGGCGCTGCTCCTCGTCGCGGAAAGCGGCCACGACCGCCCGCGCCTGGAAGGGCTCGCGCGCTTCCCGAAGCTGCGCGAGCTGACCGTAAGGGGCACGCTGCCCTACGCGGCGGCGCTGTTTCGCGAGCCGCCGGCGCTCGAGCGCCTCGAGACGCTTACGGTGCGGGGCCTGTCCTACACGGCTTTTGCTGATGCGGCCGCGAAGAACACGTGCTTCCCAAATTTAGTAGAATTCAACGGCGCGGCGGCCGACGACGCGCGCGCCTACGAGTCGGCCAAGGTCCAGGACCACAACCGCAAGTACCGCCAGACGTACGCCGCGGCGCGGGCCGAGGGCCTCGCGCCGGCGGCCGCGATGCGCCGCGCGGCCGACGCCGTCGGCGACCTCGTCGCGCCGCGCTGCGGGCCGAAGCTCCGCGCCGACGACAAGCCCAAGCCGCCGCAGAAATTCCTCTGATCCGAGAACATGCGGGTGTCAACGGACTAAATTTTAACAGAATACACTATTTGTGGGCCGCGACGGGCGCGCCGAGGGCCGCGCGGCAGGACACGTAGGTGGAGTACCAGATCGCGCCGCCGACGCTCTTGAGCAGGAGCCGCGGGAGAAGTCCTCGGTAGAGCGCCACTAATCCCTCCTCGGCCGCGGCCTTGCGGAGCCCGTCCGCGAGCGACGTGTAGTTGAAGTCCGTGCCCTTGGCCTTGGCGCCGTCGCCGCGGCGGAGCTGCGCCATGATGCGCGTGCGGACGACGTCGACGGGCTCCGTGCAGGCCGTCGAGAGCGCCGAGGCCATGAAGCCCAGCGCCGCCGAGTTCTTGATGTCGAGGTGGCGCCGGCCCGCGTCGAGCGCCGTGAACTGGACGACGGCGACGGCGACGTCGAGGGCCAGCGTCGCGCCGAAGCCCGTGTAGAGCGCCGCCGCGCCGCCCGTCGCGTAGGCCTGCCGCAGCGCCGCGCCGGCCGACGGCGCGAGGCCGAGCTGGACGCGGCTCTTCGCGACGGAGAGCGGCACGCGCACGAGCGAGCAGGCCACGCCCGTCGCGACGCCCGCCGCCGGCGCGACAATGGGCGTCGGCAGCACGCCGCCGAAGACCGCCGCGGCGGCCTCGTAGACCGGCATGTAGACCACGGCCGTCGGCACGACCGCGACCAAACTCGGCACGAGGCCCGCGTAGAGCGACTTCAGCGGCGTCCGGCGCAGGAGGCGCGTCGCCCCGACGAGGTCGACGACGAGCGGCGCGCGCCACAGTCTACTCTCCTTCGGCGGCTGCGGCCGCGCGGCCTTCGTCGTGCCCGGCGGCAGCTCGAGGTCGCGCAGCGCGTCGCCCAGCGCGCCGCGCACCGACGTCGACATGGGCACGCCCTTGCTGTACTGCAGCCGCACCTTGAGCGTGTCGAGCGGGTGCAGCGCCGCGTGCTGCGTGAGCCCGGCGACGATGGACGCCGTGATCACCTCGACGGCGCCGTTGATCATCATTTAGCTGTTGGGTGTGGAAACGAGCGCTGCGCCGTTGTGCGTGTGGGGTTTTGCACGAGCAAACTCCTTGGCTGCTTTACGGGCGGTCACAATGTGGCTAACGAAACGCGAATAAATGATAGCGGGTGGAATTGCTTTGTCTTTTGCCTGGGGCCGCCGGGCCGGAGGCTGGCTAACGACACAGACATACTAGGTTTGAAAGAGATGGCGCCATGCAGTCGTTTGAGTAGCGTTCCGTTCGCTAATGGTCCAAAGAGATCAATGGGACACGTACTGGGGGCCGAAAAAGGAATTTTTTTAATTCGCGGCCGACGATGGCCACGGTCCACAGGCCGGCCGCCCCGGTTTAATCCAGTCAATCCCCGCCAAAGAGGTGTCCCTGGGGTCGCCTAGGGTCAGTACTATACACGTGCAAGCGCCTATACCGCGTGCGCCGCCGCTTCAAGCATTTTTGGTCGATTTCTCTCAGCAGCCCACGGAGTTTTAGCATGAATTACTTGGCAATGGCTTCCAGGGCTCTCTGAGAGCACTAGACTGCCGCATCGGCGGCGTATGCGGTCCCGGGGACTACCCGACCCCAGACCTATCCCAGAGGGCGTCTGCGAGCCGATCTGCCCCCGAAAAAAGTGTGCAATTTGGACCCGATGGCGCCCCGTTCCCGTCAAAAACGTCAATTACCTGAGGGCCCCCAGTAGTCGCCGTAGCGGTCTCGTTGGACCCTATACTACCCCACCGATAGTCAATTACAAGTATATGACATCTACATTATAAGAAGGGTACTTTTGACTGCCCACGCTCAGGACGTGAACATCTTGATCTGGACCTCGCATAAGTCGGTCGATCATGGAACAAACGATCTCATCAAGGTCCATGGTGATGGTACACGCGCTGATCGTCGCAGGTCCAAGTAACTAGCCCCAAATTGACGAGATGATGCGGTCCCGAGACCGACAAGGCGCGAGTTGTAAACGGGACAGGTAATCCAATGTAGTAGGTGTTCAGGCCGGTCGGATGGCCCGTCCTGCAACCAAAACGCCTGAAACGCAAATTTATTTTATAAACCACCGGTCTGGGGCCTTTCCGGTGCTCCGTCACCGTACAGTCGTCCGCGGAGAACGGGCAGGTCGGTCGATTGTGAATAGAACAACGGCGTTATGGTCCATCTGGATGGTGGCGTCGCTGATACTCGCGGGTGCAGGTCTTGAGCCAATATTTGGATAAACGCGGGGCTGCCGAATCGCCGTTTCGCGTGGCTCTAACGGATCATCTAAAATAGCTCAGTGGTCGCTGATGCGGGTTAGATGGACTCTACCACTACCAAACGGAAGGAAACGAACATAAACGCGAGAGTTGTCTAGTAGAATTCTTCTCCCGCCCTGCGAGCGCGGGCCGTCGGCTCCGGTTCCGTCGATTATGTATGAAAACTGGGCTGGAGTTGATATAATGTATCAATTGGATCATAGAAGGCACCTTCAATCGCTGGTGTAAATTGGCGACTGGTAAGTCTCATTCGTGAATGTCGCGGGCGGTGCCTTCCGGGAGGCGCGAGGGTATGTTCCCGGGCCGTTACTGTAAAATATTTGGTCGCGGCGGACGACTAGGATGTATTCTGAATTTGGCTCATTCTTTTGACGCTATCGAGGCGTATCTTTTATAAGTGCTAGTAGGTATATCGCTAGGTCTCGTTTGCAGCAAAATATCCAGCGCCGACGCGAGGTCGGGCCTCGACGAGCAGCCGTCGGTCGGCCCGCCGCCGACGCGCATCGTGGGCGCGAGCGAGTGGCCCGCGGCGGCGGCGCTCTCGGGCTTCTCCGCCGGCGCCGGCGTCTGCCAGGCCTTCCCGCCGCCGTTACCGAACGAGTCGAAGGCCACGTAAGCCGCGGCCTCCTCGTCCTCCCGACTGACGAATCCTACGCCGACCCACCCACCATTTGGCGCTCTCCCCCTCTCTGGACGCGAGTAATCGACTGGAACGTACTCATTCGAGACTACTGCTTGCTGGCTAGTGTCTTACAGGCCGCTAGCCACACAGGGATTTCCCCAAAAAAAGCTCAGGAGCCCTGGAGCCGCGCATTGTGGACCCAGATCTCGTCACATTGCTGCTTTTATCGCTACCCTTCCACACCTGATCGCTTGGTTGCAGCGAGTGGGCAACGCCGCAGCAGCAGCCATAGGCAGCTGGAGCCGCAGGCAGCTGAAACCGCTGCATAAAAGCAGCAGTCGAAATGGGTCTCGACCCGCGCGTCGTGGGCGCGCCCGCGCTGGCCACCTGCGTGCACGTCTCGCTCGTCTTCGCGAAGCAAGCGTTGCTCCCGGCGCTGCTGGGAGACGCGTACTCGCCGGCGGCGCTCGCACGGCTCCTCGGCCGGCTCGCGTTGTGCTCCGCGGCGTCGGCGTTGGTTTGCGTGCCGCTCGCCACGGCCGCGGCCAGCGCGACGCGGCGGCCGAAGCTCGTCGTCGTCGCGGCGATCGCCGCCGACGCCTGGGTCGAGCTGCGGTTCGCGGCCCTCGCGCGGAACGGTGTTGCCGACCCGGCGACACTCTCGATGTTGGCCATCGCGCACGGCGTAGCCGCAGCGATAGCCCCGCTCGCGGCGGCGGCGCTCGCGACGGCGGACGACGGCGGCGGCGGCGGGCGCGGCGCGGTGCTGGCGGGCCGCTACGGCGCGTTTTCCGGCGCCTTGCTTTCGGGCCAGGTCTTGGGCTCGGCCCTCGGATCGGCGCTCTACCACAAAGTGTCGAAGCGGGCGCCGTTCGTCGCGGGATTTCTCGCCTGCGCGGCGTCCGCATCCATCGTAGCCTTGTGCTGGCCTCAGGAGGCGCTCGTGGAGGACAGCGACGACGAGGACGCTGCGCCGCCGAAGGATCACCTCTCGACGGTGGTCGCCGACGGGTGCCGGGGATTTCGGGTGCTGTTCATCGCGCCGCCGTCGCGCCGCGCGGTGCTGCTTGTCCGGGCGTTCGTCCTGGCCCACGTCGGCGCAGCGGTCGCGCCGGTCTTGTTTCCCGCATACAAGCAGCGGCTCGGCATGACGCAGGCACAGTTCGCGTGGCTCCTCGCCTACGCCGCGATCCTGCGGTGCGCCGGCGCGGGACTGCTGCCCTTTGTCCCTGAAAGACATCTCGGACCGCGACGGCGACAGCGTGTGCTCGCGATTTCCTACGCGGCGACTGCGGTGGAGTTAGCTGGCGCTCTTGCGGTCGCGCGTGTCGCGGGCGTCTTCCGAATAGCTACACTGTCCATCCTCGTGGGCCTCGGCGAGCCTTTGGTTCGCGCTGAGCTGATGCTGGAAGTACCAGCGCGTGACGCGGCGGCGGCGCAAGGCGCGCTTGCAGTCGTCGCGATCGTCAGCGCGCGCGGCGCCGGGCCATATCTCTACGGCTGGCTGTTCGACGTGCTCGGCAAACTCGGACCCGTCGGGATCCTCCTCATCGCAGCCGTATCCTTCGCCGCGGCGGCGCAGGCGGCGTACGCGTCGCCGGCCGCCCGCGACGATCGCGGCCTCCGGCGGAGCGTCTCGACGATCCTGTCAGAGTTTGACAGCAACGGAAAACACGACGGTCTGCTCTCGAGGCCCCTCCTCGGGTCGGCGCGCAGCCGGTCGAGCGGCTATCATAAGAAGGTCTAGGTGTGTCACATTACATTCAGAGTTCACACAACGCGCAGCGCCTCGTCGACGAGGTCGCAGACGAACATGTGGCCCGGCGCGTGCGTCACGCAGAGCGGCAGCGCGGCCTCCGCGAGCGCCGACTGGGGCGTCACGCCGCAGGCCCAGAAGACGGGCACCTCGCCCGGGGCCACGCGGACGGCGTCGCCGAAGTCCGGCGCGGACAGATCCCCGATGCCCAGCGCGGCGGGGTCGCCCCAATGCACCGGACCGCCGTGCGCCGCGGGGTACGCCTCCGTCAGCGCCGCGACGGCCGGCACGGCCTCCGGCGCGTACGGCCGCATGGACACAACCAAAAAACCGCCAAAGGGGCCCGACGCGGCGTTCTCCACGTTAGTCACGTACATGGCCACGTTCGTCCCGGCCTCGACGTGCCGCGGCGGATAGCCCGCGTCCGCGAGCGCCTGCTCCCACGAGAACGAGCAACCCAGCAGAAAGCCCGTCAGCTCGTCCCCGGTCCAGACGTGCGACGCGTCATTGACATCTTCCACGACCACACCGTCGCGCCAGACGCGGTAGCGCGGCAGGTCGCGCGCGAGGTCCGCGTCGCGCGCGATTGTTGGAGACAGGTCGGTCGGCGTCGCCGCGATCGCGAGCAGCGGGCAGGGCCGCGGGTTCAGGAGGCAGAACCGCGCAAAATCAAAGGCGTGCGCCTTCGGCACGCAGACCAGGTTCGCCTGCGCGTGGCCCGGCGCGAGGCCCGCCGTCGGCCCCGTCAACGCGCCCGCGCGGCACTTTTGTCGGACCGCTGCGGCCAAGGATCTATTTGCGGTCGCCGACGACGCCGCGCCCTCGAAGGCCGGCGACAGGCCCGTCCTCAGCACCTGGCCGATGCCGCGCCGGAAGGCGTCGAGTGGTGATGGTGGGAGCATTGCTGCGGAAGTTTCGCGTCCCGCCGTGGTCCACAGGCAGCGCCTTGCGCGACGAAGACGCAGTCGTGCGATATCTATGCGATGTATGGCCAGCGCTAGCGGCGGCGACGCGGCGTTGCTGCAGGCTGTGGCACAAGCTCTCCAGCCACCGCTGTGAGCAGTCGAGCTCTGCCACGCACAGGCGTCACGAGTGCGGGAGCGCAGCGGCGCGCAGAGAGTGACGTTGAAGCACATAAGGGCACAGACACTTGGCGCCTCGGGTCGGCGCACGACATCAGTGTGCAACTTGTGAGTGGTGCAAGGCCTGCAGGCCTGTAGCGCGAGACGTCTGGCGTTACCGTATCATGTCGCATAAAATGTTGCAGACACTGCTGGCAGCAGCGCTGCTCGGCGGCGTCGAGCCGCTGCTCGCGCCGTGCCGACGACGAAGAGCGCGACGAGCAGCGATGACGATGTCAGATGCCGCCCAGCCTGTGCTCTGGGGCGAGAACCTCGTCAAGTCGCACGACGGTGCGCGGCGGCAACTCGACGACGCGTCGCTGGTGCTGCGCGAGGGCCAGCGCTGTTGTGTGGTCGGCCACAACGGATGCGGTAAAAGTACGTTGCTCGAAATCATCTCGGGCAGCGACCGGCCCGACGGCGGCGGCGTCCGGCTGAAGCGCGGCGTGAAGGTGACGGCCGTGCCCCAGGAGCCGCTCGTCGCGCCCGAGGACGCCACGAAGACGGTCAGGGACGTGCTCCTGGGCGGGGACGGCGCCGGCGTGGAAGCGGCAAGGGCCTACGCGGCGGCGGCGGCGGCCTACGAGGCAAAGCCGGACGACGTTAAAGTGGCAAAGAGCTTCGAGCGCGCCGCCGACGCGATGAATTTACATGATGGCTGGGCCGTCGAGGCCGCCGTCGCCACCGCCGCGGCGAAGTTGAATGTGGAGCACCTCCAGGACCGCCGCGTCGCGGACCTGAGCGGGGGCGAGCGGAAGCGCGTCTCGCTCGCCGGTGCATTACTGAGTGGGGGCGACATTTTAGTGCTCGACGAGCCGACGAACCACCTGGATCTGTGGGCCGTGCGCTGGCTCGAGGATTTGTTAGTGGGCGACGAGCTCTCGTCGAAGACCCTACTCTTCGTGTCGCACGACCGGACCTTCAGCGAGACCGTGGCGACGTCCATCGTCGAGCTGGACGGCGGCGCCTTGTATGAGCACTCAACTTCACAAGGGTCGCTCGTCGAGGCCTACCTCCAGGGCAAGGCGACGCGCCTCGCGGACGCGCGGTCGCAGGCGTCTTCCACCAGAAAGCAGCTCGAGGTCGAGCTCGCGTGGTTGGCGCGCGGCGCGAAGGCGCGCCAGTCCAAGGCCGTGAACCGCATTGCAAGGGTGGAGGTGCTCAAGAAGGGCGCCGCGGAAGTGGAGGGCCGGGGCGACCTCGGCCTCGCGTCGGGCGCGGCGCGGGGCGACGCGGGGCGGCGCGACGAGACGCGGCGGAAGCGGGTCGTGGTGACCGTCGACGGGCTGGGCGCGGCGTACGGCGACGAGGTCATTTTTGAAGATTTCTCGTACGAGATCGCGCACAACGATAGGATCGCCGTCGTCGGCGCGAACGGCGCGGGCAAATCGACATTAGTGCGCGCCGTCGTGGCCGCGGCCGCGCGCGAGGGCAAGCTCATCGGCTGCACGGACGCGGAGCGGAACGCGCTGGTCGAGCACGACGACGACGAGACCATCGCCCTGGCGACCGTGACCGTGGGCTACTACGCCCAGACGCCCCTGGACGCGCATGACGAGACGTCGCCCATGGATTATGCGGTGGACGTCGTGTCGCGGCGGCCGGACGCGGCGCGCGCGGCGTCGGACGTGCTCGCCGCGGCGGCGTCGCTGCTGAAGAGCTACCAGATCGACGGCGCGTCGTGGCAGGCGCCTTTGTCACGATTGTCGGGCGGCGAGCGGCGGCGGCTCCAGCTCATGGCCGTGTTGGATGCTAATCCCGATATCTTAGTGTTGGACGAGCCCTCGAACGACCTGGACCTCGGCGCGCTGCAGTCGCTGGAGCGGTTTCTTACCAATGATTTTCGCGGAGCACTTCTCCTTGTCTCACATGACCGGTCCCTGGTGGACGCGACGTGCGACAAACTGCTCGTTCTCCCGGGCGACGGCTACGTCTCTTCCTTCGCGGGGTCCATGAGCGAATACCTGGAGATCATCGACGCGGACGACGACGGCTGGGAGGAGGAGGTCGACGTCGACGAGGCGGCGGCCGAGGCCGCGGCGCGCGCAGACCGGCGCGCGGCCGACGACGCGCGGCGCGCCGCGCACAACGCGCCGAAGAAGATCAAAATGCTGGAGCCGAAGATCGAAGCGAAGGAAGCGGCTATTATTGAACTCGACGCCGAGCTTACGAGGGCCTCGGCCGACGTCGAGAAGGTTCAAAACCTTTTCGCGGAGAAGACGGCCCTCCAAGCCGAGGTCGACGCCATGTACGCCGAGTGGGAGGAGCTCGAGGCGCTCGTCGCGGCGGCCGATGTGACTTAAGTATCTAGTTATCCAAGGAGCTCCGGCTCCTCGACGGACTCGTAGATGGGCGGCGGCGGCCGCGGCGCCACTTCCGGCGCGGGCGGTGGAGGTATATAGGAAGGCGCGCCGAGCGACGCGGCCGTCGGCGCCTCGGGCGCGCCCCCCATCTCTGTGTAGCCCGCGGGCCGGCCCACGCGCAGCGGCCGGCCGCACAGGTCGTGGCCGTTGAGCAGCGCGAGGGCCATCGTCGCCGTCGGTTCATCCCTAAACTCGACGAAGGCGAACATGCCGCCGGCCTGGATCTCGGCGTTGCGCACGATGGGGTTGCCGCCGCCGTCGCCGCCCAGAGCCCCCGCCAGCACGCGCGTGATGGCGTCGCGCAGCATGACGCCGGACACGGCCCCCGCCGTCAGGTTCCCAACATATAACTCGCGCCGCTTCCGCGCGTCGATGTGCTGGCCCAGCACGTCGACGCGCGCGGGGCCGACCTGGCCCGAGATGCCCAGCTCCTTCAGGACCTCCATCGGGACATCCAAAGGCGGCACGGGCCCGTGCGGGGGATCTAAATAGCCGGCGGGCCGGCCGATCTTCATCGGCCGGCCCGCCACCTCGAGGCCATGAAATCGGAGCATCGTCGACGCGAGGGCTTCCGTCTGCATCTCGACGAAGGCGAACATGCCGCCCTCGCAGAGCTGCGCGTTGATGACGGCCGGGCCGCGCGAGTCGTCGTGGTCGGGCAGCGCCGCGCAGAGCGACGCGAAGAGCTCGCGGAGGCCCTCGGCGGAAATGGCGTTCGCCGTCAGGTTCCCCACGTAGAGCTCGCGCTGCTTCTTCGTCGCGAGGCCCTGGGCCGGCAGCAGCAGCGACGACGCCGCCGGCTCGAGCGCGGGCGCGCCGCCCGCCGTCTCGAGCGCGGCCTGCGCCGCGACTCCCAGCGCCGTGGTCGCCGGCGCCGACGTCGCGTCCCAGCGCGACGCCTTTTTGCGGCGGACCTCGGGCGACGACGACGGGCTCGGGCTCCGGCGGCGGCGCCGGCTTTTGTGCTTTCGGCGGTGGCGCCGGCCGCGCTCGCGGCTCGCGCTCCGGCTCGCCGACGCGGCCTCCGGTGATCGCTCCCGGCGGCTGCCCCCGGAGGCCCCGGAGGCGCGGCGGTCATCGTCGTCGCCGTCGCCGCGGTCGGCCGCCGGCGAGGGGTCGCCACGAGCCGCGCCGCGCGGCCGCGGCGGGTCGTTGGCGCGCGAGCCGGCGCGGCTCCGCGGCCGCGGCGCGTCGTCGACCGGCGCGGGCTCGGGCTCTGGCTCTGGCTCTGGCTCGTGGCGCGCCTCGCGGCGGCGATCCTCCTCGTCGCGGCGGCGCGAGTACTCGTCGTCCTCGCGCCGTGGCTCCTCGTCGCGGCGGCGCGAGCACTCGTCGTCGCGCCGCGGTTCGTGGCGCTCCTCACGGCGTCTATCGTCTTCGTCGCGGCGGCGCGAGTAATCGTCGTCGCGGCGCGGCTCGTCCTCGTCGCGGCGGCGCGAGTAGTATTCGTCGTCGTCGTCGCGGCGGCGCGAGTAGTATTCGTCGTCGTCGTCGCGGCGGCGCGAGTACTCGCGGCGCGAACGATCGTAGCCGCGGTCCCTGTCATAGCCACGGTCCCTGTCGTAGCCCCGGTCTCGGTCGTAGCCTCGGTCCCTGTCATAGCCTCGGTCCCTGTCATAGCCACGATCCCTGTCATAGCCACGGTCGCCCCGGTCTCGGCCGTAGCCTCGGTCCCTGTCATAGCCACGATCCCTGTCATAGCCACGGTCCCGGTCATAGCCGCGGTCTCGGTCGTAGCCTCGGTCCCGACGCTCGTCGTCGTCGTCGTCGCGTCGGCGCGAAGAACGGTCGTCGTCCCGCGACGAGCGCTCGTCGTAGCGATCGTCGCGCCGCGAGCGGTCGTCGTAGCGATCGCTCATCTTCCCGCGCGAGCAGTGCGAAATCTCGTCGGCGAGGAGGGCAGCTCTCTCTCCCTCTGACGGTGCAGTCGTTCGTGTGCAGCTAATGAGGCAATAGCTGAGCTGCTGCAGGCAAGAATCGATGCTCTGCTGAGCTAAAACAGCAACTACGCTGCTCTTCCGCCAGCCGCGGCCTCTATCAGCTGTGCTAGTGTCTTACACCGCTAGCTTATCGTGCGGGTTGAACAATCGCCCCTTTCCTGCGGTTTTTCGAGCACTCGGCTGGAGAGGAGAGACGTGGCGACGCGTTCTGGTGGGCTTTGTGAGGCTACACTTGGCACTTTTGCCCAACCTCAGTGCGCGTCCGAGCCAGGCGCAGTGCGCCCCACTACTCGCAAGAAGCGCAGCTTGAACTCATTTTTCATACCAAGTCAGCAGCCAGCCCAATTCCATAGCTTATTCACAACATCGATGACCAAAAGCAGCTAGAGAGCTCCAGCCCAGCCCAGAGGTCCGCGCGCCGCGCGGCCGGCGGCCCCGAGGATGCGGCGCCTCGCCTGCGCACTACTAGCAGCAACAGCGACAGCGCAGAACGGCGAGCGCATCGTGGTGGGTTTGGTCGACGGCCTCGTCGTGACGCTCGACGCGTGGTCCGGCCAGGCTGTGGGCGCCTTCTCGTCGGGCGCGCCGCTCGTGCGGGACCACGGCGCGGGCGTCGTGCCCGGCGTCGACGGTCGGATTTACCAGTTTGATGATGATTTGGAGCCGCGCGCGCTGCCGGCGACGGCGCAGGAGCTCGCGGCGATGGACGTGCCCATGATGGCCTGCGAGAATTTGCCGGATACATTGGTACCCGCTTCGGAAGGTCCGGCCTGGCGCAACTGTGGGATCCTGACGTCGCATCGAGAGAAATCGATTTGGGCGGTGGACGTCGACACCGGAGAGTTGCAGTGGGTGCATCCGGACGACGGGAAGAACGGCGAGAGAAACAAGGGCAAGGGGACACCCGCATTCTTACAACGGGAGGAGTACACGGTCGCGGCCATGGACGCGCAGACGGGCACGGAGAGTTGGAGCGTCTCCGTCGCGCACCTGTCGGCATTCGGCCTGACGTCGGCGGACGTGTCCGAAAGGGTGGGTGTGGTGGCCGTGGCCGGTCTGCTGAAGAAGGAGACGAAGGACTGCATGGAGGAAGGGAGCGTGGGTTGGGAGTGCGAAAAACGCAGTCCACCAAAGTTCCCCTCGTTGGAAGTGGCTTCCACGACTACTGGCTACGCCGTGACGGCGTTTGACGAAGATAGAATCGTCTGGACGACGGATTTACCTGCCTTGCCTACCGAATTTTTTGGAGCATCTAGAAGTGGCGCGTGGTCGTCCCTGGCCGTGACGGCGCCTCGTGAAAATTCGCAGGCCCTCGTCGCTGGTGCCGGTACGGATTTACTGGCCCACGCCGTGGGCCGGCCCCTGTCTTCTGATCTAGCGGAGAACGCGCGACTGGCGGCGCGCGTCGCGCGCGCCGCGGGGCCGCCCGTGACCGAGTATTCGCCGAATTTGAAGCTGCTGCCGATGCCGAACGCGACGGCGGCGCTACCGTTGAAAGTGAGACGCGAGCTGCTGTTATTAAGGGTGCTGTTGGTCGCTTTGGCAGTAGCCGCGGGCTGGTGGGTGCTGTTACGGAGGCGCAAGGTACCACCACAAAGGACGCCGTCGCCGGCGCTACTACCGCTTCCAGAAACACAAATACGCACGACCCAGTCCCTCTCGGCCCTCGGCAGCCTCCAGAAGAAGGATGATACACCTAAACCGCCGCCGGCGATCCCCGAGCTCGGCCCCGACGCGCTGGTCTCGACGGCGCGCTACGAGCGCGAGTTCGACGAACGAGAGAAGTTGGGGAGAGGCGGCTTCGGCACGGTCGCCAAGGCCACGAACAAGCTCGACAAGATCGACTACGCGATAAAAAAAATCAGGCTCTCGTCGGACGTGACCTGGCGACCTAGGTTGGACAAGATGCTCCGCGAGGTGAAGATCCTGGCGTTGCTGGACCACCCCCACATCGTGCGCTACTACCAGGCCTGGCTCGAGGCCGGTTCTAGTGATGCGGGACTGGTCCACCAATCCTCGAACGCTTCATTAACTTCCGCCGTGCAGCCGCCGTCCTCAGCAACGCAAGCCTGGACCCAGGACGAGGTCGAAGAGCCGTTTACCGAAACGTTAAAATCCTTCGACATGTGCGCGTCAGATATGCCGTCGATGGCCCCGCGGAAACCGGTCAGCATCCCACAACAGAAGAAGAAACCGAGCAAACCGGTCAACTACGATTTGGTACTGCACATCCAGATGCAGTACTGTTCGTCTCGAACGTTGCGGGACTTCCTGGATGATAGAGATGATGACGACCAATCTCTGAAGATTTTTGCGCAGATCGCGCGGGGCCTGACGTACGTCCACGAGCGCGGGTTGGTCCATAGGGACTTGAAACCGGCGAATATTTTCTTAATTGATGGCGTGGCGAAGATCGGGGACTTTGGATTGTCGCGCCACGTCGGCCAGGACGACATCCCGGAAGAGGAGGACGATGTTGGGGAGGACGAGGATATTACAAGAGGCGTCGGGACGCGGTTGTACGCGGCGCCGGAGCAGCTCGCCTCCGACGACTACGACGAGAAGGCCGACGTCTACTCGCTGGGCGTCGTGCTTTATGAGTTATTACGGCCGCGCTTCGGGACGACGATGGAGCGCGTCACGTGCATCTCAAAAATAGCGCGGGCGTCTTCAGAAGAACGGCTCCGGATCTTGCGAGAGGAGCTGCCTCATATTGACAAGGACGTGGCCGAGCTCGTCTCCACCGCTCTCGCGCGCGACCCCACTGATAGGCCCGCGGCGGCCGAGGCCGCTTCAGTAATAGAGCGCGCGCTCGACGCGGACGTCGTGCGCCAGATGAAGAAGGACGGCGCCTCAACAGGCGACGGCACGGTCATCCTCCGCGCGCCGAACGGCGACGTCCGCGTCTACTCGGACGACGGCGTCTTCCTGAGCGAGCGGCCGGCGGGCCGGTCCGCGTCCGAGGCGGTCTCCGAGCCGTCGTCGTGACTGATAAGTTGAGTACTGTTTTTTTTCTTACTGCGCGGGTTTTTCACGTTATCCGACCACTTTTGCACCGCTTGCGGCGCTCAGCTCTCTACCGGAAATTTGTGTGTGGTTATCATGCTATAAACAGGCAGAGACAACATTCTCACCTCATCACCGCCCAGGGCTGAAAGCCTGAAACCATCTCCATCACGCCGCTTAAATTCTCTCAACCAGGAACGCCGCCCAGACGGTGCGCTGTAAAATAAGCAAATGCGCGCGACGTTGGGCGGCCTGCTTCTCCTCAAACTGGTAGCGAGCCGACTCACGAGCTGCGTCAACGGGCCGGGCTGGACGCCATGGGCCGACAAACCAGCGAAGCCGGCCCGCGCATCATCGCGCAAGAGCCAAGCCTCGGCGAACGCGCCGCTCGACAAATTCTACATCTACGACGAGCGCGATGGGCCGGAGTTCTCCCTCGAGCGGATCCGGGCCCTCTCGTCGCCGTCGCGACTGGTCGCATGCGCGTTCCCGGGACCAAGCCGCGACGTTTTGCACATACCCGAGGGTCGGGCCGACTCGGGCGGGGGAGGTAGATGCGTTGAACTCGGTGCCGACGATCGCGCGATGGAGGGCATGAAATATCGTCGTCGAGCCGGCCTTCGCTGGCACGCAAATTTCAAGGCGTTCGGCGCTCCCGGGCGTTGTATAGACGAGACGCGCTGAATGCGCCGTCGCGACGACGCAGAGTTGTAGCGCGAGCCGACGCATAGTAACTGCAGCCACCACTGTGACTGTGTGACAGCACTGTCACAGCAGGAATTCAATAAAATTGCTGTGTCAATTCATTTGTCTCTGTTGCACATCGAGTTGTGGTCGACCATCTGTTGTTCCCGCAGGTCGTTTCAGGCAGAGTCGACAGAAAGAGGCCCAGTGTGCCGGGCGTACAAGCCGAGGCTAGGTCAAACGTGCTGCAAACCCGTTTTTTTTGGTCGCGTATTCGATCCAAGCCTCACGAGCAGCGTGCGGCCCACCCACGGGCCTTTCGAAAGCAAATTCACTACCAACTGCGTGTTGAGACTTAGGCCGGCGCCTTGACGGCGCGCGTCGTCCGCCGCGCCCGGCGAGTCCAATGCCTGGACAGACGAGTCGTATGTATACCTCACTACGAGTACATAGAGCCATGTATGGCGTCCGTCGGGTGAACGTGCCCAGAGGTCTCCCATGGGCCCACCGCCTGCAGCGCCTGGATGTGTGCCTAAAACACAGGACAAAAGGCGGACTCATCGTGCTGCTTCTTGGCCTTGCATGAGCGCAGTGGTGCGCGCGGATCATCATTGATAGTCATAGCCCGGCCAAGACGCTGGAAAGGCAGCCCTGTGGCAAGGGCAGCATGGCACCGGAGGAGGATAAGGATGACATCCTAGGAGCCGAGTACGACCGGCGCGAGTTCCGGGAGATGTGCGACCTGTTCGGGTTCGACATCACGCCGCCGGGCACGCCCGAGGAGCCCGCCGCGGCGCCGGCGCCGGCGCCCGCGGCGCCTCCGGCGCCCGACGACGCGGCCGAGATCTCGGAAGAGGAGGCCCGGGCCTACTGGGCCGCGCGCGACCGGGCCGGCGGCGCGGCGACGGACGAAAAAGCGCTCTGCCGCGCGCGCGCGCGGGGGGCCATCGCGCCCGTCGAGCGCACGGAGCTCGGGTTGGCCAAGGACCAGCGCGTCGTCGTGCTGCGGGCGGAGCTCGCGGCGACGGGCTGGGTCTTCGCCGCGGCCTACGACGGGGCCTCCGGCTACGTGCCGCGGAGCTACCTCAAGCCGGTCGCCCCGGCCGCCGCGCCGGCGGCCGAGCCCGGCGCCGCGCGCCGCGCGAAGGCCTTCGCCGACTTCGAGGCCGAGGCGCGCGCGCGCTACCTCGAGGAGTTCTCGCGGCTCGCGACGACCGACGACGTCATCGGCTACGCGTGGCCCAAGCCCGAGCTCGGGCCCGACGGCCTGCCGCTGCCGCTGGCGGCCCGCGGCGGCGCGGCCACGGCGCCGGTGCCGGAGCGGACCGCCGACGAGGAGCCGGCGCTGCTGGGGTCGCACGACCGGCGGCGCGCGCACGCGGAGACGCGGCGGCGCGCGCTCGCGGCGAAGCGCCGGGGGGTCTTCCGCACCGGCCGCTCGTCCCATCGCGGGCCCTTGATGCCGTCCATCGACAAGATCAAGCCCCTGCCGCCGCGGCCGCGCGACCCGTTCGCGCCGCCCCGCTTCGCCGTCACGGACGTCGACGGCTCGCGCTACGAGCTCTCGTCCCGCGCCGCGACGAGCGTGAGCCACCAGGGCGGGTCGGACGCCGAGGCCGCGTTCGCGCGGGATGTCGCGCGCGACGCGGACGTGGAAACGTTCTTCGACCGCTCCATCGTAGAGGCGGCGCGCGCGCGGCCGATGCGCGGGGCGCCGCGGGGCCGCCAGCGGTACAACTCGCCCTACAGCCGCCGCGTCGGGCCGGGTCCGCGCCTCCGTCCCCTGGAGGGGGGCGGGACCGCGTCGGTCGCTCGAGCCCTCGCGTCGACCGCCGCATCGGCGGGCGCCCGCTCCGTGGCGTCGGCGCTGACCGGTGACGATTTTTCTGTGGCCTCGGACCCGCCGATACCGTACCCGCCGTCGCTCGGGCGCCTCGACGCGCGCGAGGCGCAGCGCCTCGACGCGGCGGTCGCGGCGGCGCGCAGCGGCACGCCGCCGGTGGTCGAGGCGCGGGCGCGCACGCCCCAGACGCCCCAGGGCACTGTGCTTGTGAGCCAAGGGACTACTAGTGGGCAGGGAGATCTCGGTCGTATCCACGCTGAGAACTTGTTCGGGGAGCTCTGCGCCACCGCACGGACGCCGTCACCGAACCATCTGCCCGTCGCGACGCTCCTGGCGATGGCGGACGGAGAGGCGAGCGAGGAGCTGAAGGATCATCCCATCTTACGGTCGATCCGCTCCTACCCGGTGATCCGCAAGTGCGCCTCGAAGTACGAACCGGAGGACCCGCGCGGGCTCACCTTCCTCGAGTTCGACCAGCTCCAGTCTTGGTTCGCTGAGCTGATCCATGATTACGGGCTCGACCTGCTGCCCGCGGCGGACGCACCTGTCGCCGCGCCGCCGATGCCGGCGGAGGCCGCGCCAGCTCTCGCCGAGGCGCCGGCGGATCCGGAACTCTGGCCCGACACGCCGCTCGTCGCGCGGAGCATCGACCCCAATTTTCGGGCGGGCTATCCGCCTAGGGCCGAGCTTAAGTCTGTTTAGCATTCTACCGCCCGCGAATCGAGTACGCTCGGCGGTAGTTGTAGCCGAACGACTGCGCGTCCGGTGACTTGCGGATGAGGAGCAGCGTCGCCGCGCCGGGCGCCAACGTCACCTTGACGGTTGGGTCGACGGCGGTGAGCGCGACGACGGCGTCGCCGTCGGCGTCGAGCGTGGCGCGGTAGACTTGACAGTTCTCGAGCTCGAATGTAACCCTTTCCTTGAGAACCAGGCCCTCCGACGCGTTGGCGTAGAGCATGGTGTACAGGCTCTCTCCGCGGCGTGACCAGGTGCGCAGCGTCACGCTGGGCGCGTCGTCGCCGTAGTTCGACTCGCGCGCGTCCTTGGCGAAGCGCGTGAACGCCAGGGCGCACGTCGCTTGCGCGAGGTCCCCCTGTTTTGGCGCGAGCGGGGCGATGGCGCAGGTCGCGCCACCGTACGTCGAAACAACACACGTCCCATCCAATGGACCTAGCCGCTCGCGATCTTCGAACGTCTCGACAACGACAATGTACGATCGATTCGCGTGTAGCGTGGCGTCAGCGGCGACGACGTCACGGGCCACCAGGTAAGTGTGGTCTTCGCCACCCGACGCGCCGACGCGCTTTGCAGCAGGCGAGTTTGCATCGGGCAAGCGGTAGACGGCCGCGCGCACGGCGTGGTAGCCGGTTGCGGCGTCGTCGTCGCGTGTGTCCGGCTGGCGACACGTGACCACGACGTGGGCCGTACGCAGCGGCCGCAGCTCGAAAGCTAGCAACCGCGTCTTGGCGTCCGGCAACGCCGCGCGCGGCGAGTGACAGTAGTGAGCGTGGTCGTCCACAGCACATACCACGACATCATCGAACAGGCCGACCACATCTTCGATCGCCATCCAGAACACACCGTCGGCGGCGACGCCGTGATCCAGGTCCCGCCGCAATTCGGGCGTCCACTCTTCGCTGTCGTCGGACCATTTCCCACGGTACTCCGTGCCGTCCGCCCAGGGGTTCCGTATCCTCACGAGCCGCTCGCCCTGGACTTCTGCGGAGCCTAGGCAGGCGTAGGCGTGCTTCTCGACGATCCCCACCAGCCGCTGCAGATCTTGCGGGTGATCTCCCATTCCCAGGCAGACGACGTGGCGCCTTTTTAGCGCCCCGTCTATCGTCTCGAACATTGCGGTCGCCGCCGCCGCGTCGCGGCCGCGGATTGTTGTTGTTGTCGACGGAGCGCCGGTGAGCGTCTCCAGAGTGCGCGCGGTCGACCCCATTTCGATGTTCGCGTAGGAGCCGTAGGCCTTGGCGAAGGCTTTTTCGAACATCGAAACCCACATCTCCCCCTCCGTGCGCGAGCGCGCGAAGAACAGATTGTCGCCCCGCGTCGGCAGCTGGTCGTCGACCAACACCTGTGTGGAAATCAACCAGTGCGTCGGGTGCACGATAATTCTTCACTAAGTCATTTCTCGGCGATGACGTGGCCGCGCTGGCTCCGTCGAGCGGTGAGGAACCGACATCGCCACGCCATCGAGCAGGCGTCGCGTCGATGGCGTGGAGGTCGACGCGGCGATTCATGACGAAGGCGCCGTAAATTTGATTTCCGCACAGACCAACACGAGTCTCTCCTCGCCGTGCAGGTAGAGTCGTGCACCGACGAGGCCCGCGGTATTCAACTCCGTCGTCTCGAAGAGCTTGTAAATCCTCGCCGGCCTCTCAGCCAGCACGCACAGAGCCGAGAGGAGATAACCTGTGTGGAAATCAACCAGTGCGTCGGGTGCACCCAATAATTCTTCGCTAAGTCATTTCTCGGCGATGACGTGGCCGCGCTGGTTCCGTCGAGCGGTGAGGAACCGACACCGCCACTCCATCGAGCAAGTGCCGCGTCGATGGCGTGGAGGTCGACGCGCGATTTAGGACGAACGCGCCGTAAATTTGATTTCCGCACAGGAGATAACAGTCCCCGAGGCCGCCTTGGGCGACGTCAAACGGCGACGGTGCGTTCTTAAACAGCCTACATTGTTTGAAGAGCTCCCCGCACCGCTCCCAAGCGACGCCGCCCCAGCCCCGAGACTCAGGACCCCGTCCCTCGTCGACGTCGTCCCGCAAGCCGAGCGAAGCTTCGTTCGCGGGAAACGTCGGGTCCGACCTGTATGGAAAACAAATTTCAGGCGCCCCACCTCATCGACGCGATGTTGTCTCCGTAGCTGCGTCTGCTCGATGGCGTGGAGTTCTCAGGCCATCGACGCGACGTTGTCGCTGTGACCGCGTCGGTTCGATGGCGAGGAGGTCCACAAAGGTCCACGCAATATTTCAGGCGCCATGGCTCACGGTTGATTTCCTCACAGGGTCCGACCACACCTCGCCGCGGCGTATTACCGCATCAGCATCCACGGGCGCTAGCTCGTCGACAGCGTCGTCCTCGTCCTCGTCCCCCTCATCGTCGTTGCCGAGATCTAGGTTCTCAGAGACCCCATCAGAGGTTCTCAGAGCCTCGTCGTCGGATTCGACGCCTTGGAGGCGGCCGATCGCGGTGAGGACGTCGCCGAGCAAGGCCCGCAGCCGGGCGGCATCTTGGGCACCCTTGCTCGGCTCTGCCAGCGCGTCGACGCACTTCTCGTGGAGCCCCTGGAGCTCGCCGGCGACGGATTGCTGGCTGCCCATTGTGTGAGGTATTTATCTGACGTGGGGCAGCTTTATGGACCAGAGAGCATGCACAGCGCTGCCTCTGCGGACTGTCAAGGCTAGAGTGGCACTTCACTAGCTCTCGGATACAAGTGTGCAGCCTTTTATCTCCGGGGAAGGAGCTCAGCCGTTCGCCCCGTAAAACATGCCCAATTTCAAACTGAATTACCCGAGGTACAGCAACTCGAACGCGGGGGAGCGGCGGAGGTGAACTTTCGAATCGTCAAGAACTTCGTCGCGCCTGCGAAGGGCGCCGCGCAAGCAATCCTGAAGGACCCGTTACGGGCCCACGGCGGCTCGGGCGTCCTCGGCGCGCGGGCGTTCATGTTCGTGCAGGTGCCCACGGGCACGTCCGTCCTCGACGCGGGCGCGAAGCTCTTCGCCGGCCGGCCGGACGTCTGGGACACCTTCCAGTGGCGCAAGGCGACGTGCGGCCTCGCGGCCGTCTCGGGCAAGCCGGGCTTCTTCGAGTGCACCAAGACGCCGGCCGACGTCGGCATGGCGGCCTACAAGGCCCACATCAACGCCACCTACTCCAAGATCATCACGGCCGACGACGTCGCGCGCATGCACGCCGAGATCGAGGGCAGCAAGGAGAACGCGCCGCCCGCCGCGAAGAAGGCCAAGTACCTCAAGATGCTGTCGGAGGCCAAGTAGGCGCTCTCGCTCTGGCGCGTTCGTCACGCGTCGCAAGGGCGCGGCGCTCAAGGCCCCTCCTAAGTCTTTCGTCTCTCTCAAGGAAAAGCTCGCGGACCTCGGCCTGGGCGACCGCGCCGCGTGCGCGCGGGCGGGACTCCACGGAGCGCGTCGGCGACGTCTGCGCGCTAGAGTGACACTTCACTAGCATCTTGCGCTCACAAGTTGCTACGAGCGAACTCATCGAATCATATCTTGACAGCTGCGCATGCGCACCCTCTGCTGTATAATAATGGCTGCTGCATGGCCAACAACAGCGCTGCGCGCCGTCCTGGGTGGTTCAGGTTCCGCAATCATGCACGAGCCGGCAATCGTCGACGCCGTCCTCAAGCTCACAAGCAAGCCGGCGAAGGATTGCCTCCTGTGCTACCTCGGCACGGCGACGTACGACCTGGCCGCGAACCGCGAGAAGCAGGTGAGCGGATTTCGCAGTCGCGGCGTCGCCGTCGAGGCGCTGGACGTCGCGCGCATGCCACCGACGCCAGGAGCCGTCGAAGCTCTTTTGGCGCGCGCTGACATCGTGCTGGTCAGCGGCGGAAACACACTGTTTGCGGTGGACCGCTGGAAGCGCTTCGGCTTAGACGAGGAGCTGCGAAAGGCGGCGGCGCGGGGATGCGTGCTAACCGGCGGGTCTGCGGGCGCCATCTGCTGGTTCGACGCCGGCCACAGCGATAGCGCGGACCCCGAATCCTACGCGGACGCCATGATCGCAGGCGGTTCTGCCGAGGCGAGCACGCAGGGCGCGTCCGGCAGCGACGCAAAGCCCTGGGAGTACATCCGGTGCGGGGGGCTCGGAGTCTTGCCCGGATTGTGCTGCCCGCACCACGACCGGACACAGTCAAACGGCGTGCTCCGTGCGGACCTGTGTGGAAATCAACCAGTGAGTCGGGTGCACTGGCTCCGGGTGAGGAACCGACATCGCCACGCCATCGAGCAGGTGTCGCGTCGATGGCGTGGAGGTCGACGCGGCGATTCAGCACGAACGCGCCGTAAATTTGATTTCCACACAAGGCGCCGACGACTTCGACGCGATGATGCGCCGGCACAACGGGGAAACGGGCGTATGCATCGACCACTTCGCGGCGCTCGTCGTCGACGGCGCCGACTACTCGATTCTGTCTTTAGAAGGCAAGCCAGGGACGGCGCTCGCCGACCGCGACGTTCCGAACTTTACAGGCACTGGAGCACCGTGGATATGGCTCAAGCGCGTCGAGGGCGAAAGCGTCGTTGCTACGCGTCTAGCGCCGCGCGGACGCCTCGCCGACGCGCTGACGCCGGCGACGGCAATCGTCGAGGACCCGCGCGTCGAGGCGGCCCGCGCGGCGAACCCGTCGGACGTGGACCGGCCTTAAATCTCTACTACTCTGTGTGACCTTGAATCCTGACCAAAATTAGACAACAACAAAAAACACTCATCCCTTCTTCCCTTTGCCACCACCGCGCCGCCCCTTGCCTCCACGCCCGCCGCCGCGACCCTTCCCGCGGCCGCGGCCGCGCCCGACGTGCGGCGCGAGCGTCGTCCGCTTCGCGGCGAGGAGCGCTTTCACGAGGGGGTCGGTGGGCGGCCGCGTGCAGGCGCCCGCGCCCTGGTCCAGCGGGGACTCGCCCTTGGCAAATGTGAGGCGGAGCCGAGGGCCGGCGATGATGGCGACGCTCGCGACGGATGCGTGAAAAGTGCCCACGAAGACGGGCGGCCGCGTCGACACGACGCGAGGCCGCGTCTTCGCGCCGGCGCGTCCCGGTTCCAGCACCGCCACCCCCCGCGCCGCGCCGCCAAAAATGTCTCGCGCATCGCGCGCGACGAGAAACGCGCCGAGCGCCGGGTGGCCGTCGGGCATCGGGCACTCGAGGCAGAGCGACGGCGGCGCCGCGCCCCAACTCTCCTCCGCGGCGGCGTGGAGCGCGGCGAGCGCGCCGTCGACGCCGGCGCCGCCGCCGGCCACGACGTCGAAGCAGCGCGCGCAGAGCGGGTACGCCACGTCCGTGCGGTCGTGGGCCCCGGGCCCGTCGCGGAGCGCGTAGCGCAGCAGCTCCGACCGGCAGGCGGGGCAGCGCGCCCCGTTGAGGCTCGCGACGGCGCCGGGCGCGGGCAGCTGCAGGAGCTCCTTCGTCGCTGGCGCGAAGAGGCGCCGGCCCCGCTTGAGCAGGTACTGCGCCGTCGGCCCGTCGCGGGCGAAGGGCCGCTCGGCCTTGTCGCCCTCGGGCCGCTCGTCGAAGACGGCGTCGAAGAGGGCCTCGACGCCGGCGAGGTTGTTGGTGAAGTAGGCAAATTTTGCCGCGAACATTTGGATCGCGTGCGCGACGACGCGGCCCCGCGGCGCGTCGCCGCGCGCCACGACGTCGCACAGCTTCTCGATCTGCGCGCGCACGGCGGGCTGCACGAGCGCCGCGTCGACGACGCCGAAGCCGCGCGCGAGGGCCAGGCCCAGGGTGGTCGGCCGGAGGCGCCGGCCAGAGTCGACCTGGACGTAGTTGCGCTTGCAGACGTTCTCGATGTGCGACGGGATCGACGCGTCCGTGCCGATGCCGTGCTTCTCCATGAGCGCGACGCACTCGGCCTCCGTGAGGCGGTCGGGCGGCCGCGTCTGCCGCTCGCGCGGCACGGCATCGACGCGGAGCGGGACCGCGGCGCCCGCCGCCGGCAGCGCCGCGACGAGGCTGCAGCCCTCGTCGTCGCGGCGCGTCTGGAGCACCTCGAGGAAGCCCGGCTCGAGGAGGACCTCGCGCGAAAACGTGAAGGCCTCGCCTGTGGCCCGCTCGCGGAGCGCGACGCGCTGGGCCCGCCGCAGCGCGTCCGGCGACACGGCCGCGAGGAAGCGCCGCGCCACGAGCTCGTAGAGCCGGCCCGCCGGCCCGCCGCCGTCGAAGGGCGCCGTCGGCGTGATGGGCGGGTGGTCGCCGGCGTCGGTCCCGCGCCGCGGCCGCGACCAGGCGCCGTCGTCGAGGAGCCGCCGCGCGTAGGCGCCCCAACGGTCGTCCCCCGCCTGCTGGCGCAGGGCGCCCTCGACGTCGAAGGACGGCGGGAACTTGTTCGTCTCCGTGCGCGGGTACGAGAGGTGGCCGTCGAGGTAGAGGTGCTCGGCGTGGCGCATCGTCTGCGCCGGGCTCAGGCGCAGGACCTTGGAGGCCGTCTTCAGCAGTTCCACCGTGTTGAAGGGCAGCGGCGGCGGCTGCGCGCGCGTCCCCTCGCTGGCCTCGGCGACGACGGCCTCGGCCCCGCAGCCCCGCGCGAGCGCGGCCGCGACGGCGCGGTCGAAGCACCTTCCTCTCTGCCACGCCACGTCCACCGTCTCGCCGGCGAGCGTCGCCTCGGCCGTGAGCTCCCAGAAGGGCTCGGGCGCGAACGTCGCGATCTCGTCCTCGCGCTGGACTACAAAGCCAAGAGTAGGCGTCTGGCAGGGGCCGTAGCTTAAAAGGCGCGCATCTAATAGAGCGTACTTGTCAAGGAAATGTTTTGTCGAGAAGCGCGTAAAAGCCACGCCCACGCGCAGGTCCAGCTCCTGCCGCGCGAGCACGGCCTCGGCCAAATTCGCGTCGGGCTCGCCGAGGCTCCGCATCGCCCGCGCGATGTCCTCCGCCGTGACCGACGAGAACTTGGCGCGGCGAATAGCCGCGCCGCGCCGCAGCTGCGGGCCGCAGACGTCGATGACCTGGAACGCGATGGCCTCGCCCTCGCGGTCGCAGTCGAGGAACAGGATCAGCGCGTCGCCGCCGCTCGCGGTCTCGCGCAGGTTCTTGAGCACGCCGCCGGACGTCGGCACGCTCACGACGGGCGCGTCCCAGAGCTCGGCCGGGTCGCAGGCGTCCCAGTCCCGGTAGGCCTCGGCGAAGTCCAGCGAGAAGCAGTGGCCGAGCACGGACGTGACGCGGAACTCGCACTGGCGGCCCTCGTAGCGACCCTGGAACTCGTGCGTGCGGACGCCCGTCGCGGACCGCGTCGTGATTGACGACGACGCCAATGCTTTTGCGATGGCGTCCGCGATGCTCGGTTTCTCGGCTACTGCTATGATGCAGTCCATCTATTATATGCGACAGCGCTGCGCGGTGCGCTTTTCCTGCAGCGCTGCGCGCACACGCACTTCCTGCCTGCCCTGTAGCACTGCTGTGATTGTAGTGCAGTGCGCTAAGCTTGCGTGCAGGTTACGAGAGATGCAGACGAATGCTGAACGATCTTTCGCGAACTCTGAATGCCGTTGCCAAGCCAATTGGTTGGTGGCCGGTCGCAAAGCCGCAGCGACTAGCGTGACAGACATACTAGGAACTACGGCTGGCAAACACAGTGCGTGGGCAGCCCGTCTGTGCAGGCGGCAGGCGAACTGTGTATCGCAATAGTACGCGACTGATGGGGGCAGCCGCGCCGCAACGGAGATGCATGCGTAAACACTATGCTTAAGCAGCTCATCACCCTCGCACTCCTGCGAGCAGCACGCGGCGTCGCCGTCGCCGTCGACGGAGAGGGGCCCATCCAGCTCAAGCGCGAGAAGACGCTCGTCGTCTACGCGTATTCGCAGCACTCGGCGGACGCCGCCGCGAACGCGCGCTACTTCCTCCGCTTCGGCGTCGACGCGGCGAGCCCGGACGTGGTCTTCGTCCTCGTCGCGAACGGCTGCCACAGCGTGGACTGGCCCGCGGGCGACAACGTCATCGTCGTGGAGCGCGAGAACACGTGCTTCGACTTTGGGGCGTGGTCGGCGGGGCTGCGGGCGGCGCGGGAGCGCGGCGTCGAGTTTGCCTACGCGATCTTCCTCAACGCGTCCGTGCGCGGGCCGTTCCTGCCCGCCTACGAGGCGCGGCCCTGGTGGCGCGTCTTCCGCGACGCGCTCGCGGGTGACCAAGGCCTCGGGCTCCTCGGCACGACGGTGCACTGCGCGGACCTCGACGCCGGGAACGCGCGGTCCGCGCACGTCCAGTCGATGCTGCTGGCGCTGCGGGCGCGGGAGCTCGACGGCGCCGCGGCGCCCTTCTTCGACCTGGACCGCTTCTGCGCGCCGTCCAAGGGCGACGCGATCTACGGCGGGGAGCTGCCGCTGTCGCGCGCGATCCTCGACGCGGGGCTGAGCCTGGGTGGGTTCCTGCTCGCGCACGGCGGCCGCGGAGCACGCATCCAGGAACCGCCGGGCAACGCGACCGCCCAGACCTGCGCCGACCTCCGCGCCGCGACGGAGCTGCAGCTCGGGGACGTCTACTTCCCCGGCGAGCACAAGGACGTGCGCCCCCTCGAGGCCATCTTCTTCAAGACGGCCCGGTCGGGCATCCACCGGGACGACCTGGATAGGCTGACGCGCTGGCGCTACGCCCACGCGGGCCTCGACGCTGCAAAAGACCTGGCGGCCCCGGAGCTCCGCGGCGTCGGTGACTGCGCGGACACCCACTTCCCCGTGGCCGACGCGCAAACCGCGGCGGCGACGCGCGACGCGCACCGCGCGGACATCGAGGCGGCGCTCCTCGCTGCGAACGGCGCGGTCGAACGAGCGCGTGCGGACGTGGCGCGGCTTCAGAGGAGGTTGGCTAATTCTGTGTTGGTTTAGTCTTGCTAGTCTTGCTAGCCTGAGGGACTTGCCCGCGGCCTGCCCGCGGCCGGCGCACCCCAAAACCCCCTACCGTTTGCAGCCCCTGTTTTGCGTGAATATTAGTCATTACCTTAAGTATGTTCGTAGCAAGTTTCGGGGTTCAAGCTATCCAGGGAGAAAAGCTACGGTAATTTCTCACTTTGGCGTCACGGTCCGGCCCCTTCCTGAGGGGGACGGGAAATCTTTGACTACATAAAGTTAAGCTCAGTAGAACCGCGGTCCGGCCGAGCGCGGGCTCGCGGCACTTGCTCTCTGGCCGAAGAGCAGCTCCGGCTTGCGGTAGGGCCGCGCCGCGGGCCCAGTGAGCTGGCCAGCGTCGGCGCCGGCCGCGAGCTCGAAGGCGTCGCGGAGGCCGAAGGCCTCGCGGCGCCAGCCGCCCGCGCGCCGCCGCCTGTCCAGCTCCGCGCCGGCGACGACGCGCTCGTTCTTGGGCGGGCCGACGGGCCGCGGCAATCGGACGGCTTGCATCGCCGGAGGCGCGGCGAGCGGCGCGTCGTCGCGGTCGCCGAGCGCGTAGGCCACGGCGTGGTCGCGATCGCGGCCGCGCGCATCCTTCTGCCGCCGGCGCGACTCGCGCAGCCGCGCGGCGCGCGCCTCGGTCCGCCGCCGGTCGTCGTCGACGGCGTCGGCGCGCCGCCGCGCGGCGTCGGCCTCCTGCGCCGCCTGGCGCGCGATGTCCGTCGCGGCCCGCTCTGCCTCCTCTTTTAGCTTCTTCTGGGCGGCGTCGGCGCCGGCGCCGCCGTAGGTCAGCGCGTGGACGACGTTCTCGCGCTCCTCGAGGTAGTCGTCGTAGTCGCGCCGCGTCGCGAACGCGTCGCGCGGCTTGTTGTGCACGGCGAGCGTCCGCGCGCGCGCCGACGCGTCGCGCGCCACCTCGATGGCGTCGAGCCGCCGCGGGTCCAGCGTCGCGCGCCGCACGGGCGCGCCGCAGCCGAGCGCCGGGCAGGGGAAGGACCCCTGGCCCTTGGACGCCTGGCTGCCGCGCTCGACGCACGCGCCACAAAAACGGTGGCCGCAGCGCTGGCCCGTCGGCGCGTTCGTCATGAGCGTGCGCTTCGTGAGGTTCGACGCCCGCGTCGTCGGGTCCACGCCGCACATCTCGCAGGGGTCGTCGTCCGCGGAGTCGTCCGAGTCCATCCTTGCAAGTGCTGCGCTATTGCGTGCGTCGATGGATGCTTGTTTGTGCGAGCTACCACCACCTCTACCACAGCATGTAGGCGCACTTTGTGCGCCGCGCGAGGCGCCGCAAACTCGACTATATTCTCTTGCTAGCGGCCTGTAAGACACTAGCAAGATTCGTACACCAGTGTTGGCGACGATGTTTTTGGCGGGAAAGCGTCGGAAGGACCCGTCTCTCCTCCGCTTCCGCTTGCTCTCTCCTGTGTGAGAGCTTGCATGCACAGCGCTTGGATGTCTGTCTCATCGCACCTTGCCCCACAGCGTTAACTAGGCAAGCAAGCAATACAGCAAAAGCAGCAGCGCACCACCACGATTCAGGATGAGCGCACCGGGCAGCGCCGCCGCATCAGCGGGCGCCTCCACGCCGCTGCCCAGCACAGTGCTTGTGTCAAAATACGGCAAGACATTCTTCGACGAGGGCGGCAGCGGCAAAGTTCTCATGTCCTTCGACTCACAGGGTAATGGTTTTGCCAACCACCCGTCGGGGCACCCCGCGGTGACGACGACGGAGGTCGGCGGCTGCATCTGCGACACCGACACTGACATCGTGGAGGAGTGGGTCTGGCGCAAGCGCGACGGGCCGCGGACGCCCTTCGAGATGAGGGTGGGGACGTCGTACACCCTTGTCCTGCGGGGGCGCCACGACTGTGAGGTTATCTGCGGCAACGGGGCCCGCGTGCAGGTCGGCAAGCCCGGCGGCACGGCGCACGGCACGTACCTGGACCGCGTCGCCGAGCGTGGGCCTGGCGGGAGGATCCTGAAGCTCCAGCTCCGGGGCAAGCACAACCAGACCCTGATCGACCGCCAAAACGCCTCGCAGAATCCTGATGGCGGCGCCAAGCTCGCTCAAGTGCACGAGAAATGCTGGAAGTTGCCGCCGATGGGCATGGCCGAGGCGCGCGTCATCTCGCGGCGGTCGAACGAGGCGGATTTGGCGCCCGTGCGCCAGAACGCGGACTGGATCGAGGGGATCAAGGCGGGCGGCGCGGTCAAAAAGGGCGAGACGATCTGGAAGACGGGCAACGTCTTCATAGAAACACCAACGCCTGCCGGCGCCGACGACGAGCTCATGGCGACGTGGCGCGGCACGCTGAGAGGTTCTTTGCCACGAAAACTGTCATAAGTAAGTTTAACCCCAACAGAAGCACCGCCGCTCGGGCGCGCGCGCCGCGGCGGAGGCGTCCGCCTTCTCGACCGGCGCCGCCGCGACCGATGCGAGCGCGCGCGGCACGAAGGCGCCGGCCGTCGCGTCGCGGAACGGCCTGGCGAATGCCACGACGAACTTCCCGCAGGCGGCGTCGCGCGACGCCTGGCGGCGGCGGCGCTGCGGCTCTGCGACGTCGACGACGAAGCAGGCCACGGCGAGGGCCGCGCAGCTCCGCGCGGCGAAGAACGTCGTCTCGTCGGCGTCGGCGCCGCCCGGCGAGCAGCGCCAGCGCGTCGCCGCGTCCGACGGCGCGTCGCGGCAGCGCTCCGCGACCGCCGCCGCGCGGGCCGCAAATCGCGCGTGCACGGCGTCGAGCGACCAGCCCCCGGAATTCGGCGGCGCGGTCTCCTCGAAGGCGTCCGGCCGCCTCCTGGGAGCGGCCGCGCTCTTGCGGAGCGCTGCCGACGCCCGCGCGTAGAGCAGCGCCGGCGGCCCTCCGTCCAGCAGCACGACGAGGACGCCGCCGCGCTCGGACCGCGAGTCGAGCCAGGCCACGAAGTCCGAGGCGACGCGCTCGACGGCGCGCGGCGACGCCGGCGGCCGCGCGACGAGCGGTCGCGATTTGTCGTCGGCCTCCACCGGGGAGACCTTGGTGGCGGCCGCGAGCCGACCGAGCGTCGACGCGAGCGCGGGCGCGGCGCCGTCCGCCGAGCCCGACGCCGTCGCCGCCGCCGCGCAGTCCACGTCGAACAGAATGGGGATCTTGGACAGGTGCGCGGCGTAGGCCGCCGAGCAGAACTGCTGCGCGGCCTTGAGCGAGGGCGATTCGGCGCCTTCGCCGCAGAGCGCGGCTCTAGCCTTCGTCGCCGAGACGAGCGCCGAGGCCGTCGCGCCGAGGTCGCAGCGGTACAGGGCCTCGGCGAGGTCCACGTGCGCCGCGACGAAACGTGCCTCGCGCCGCAGCGCCGCGGGCGACTCGCCGTCGATGCTTGGTCGCGCGGCGGCGGCGGCGGCCTCGGCCCCGCGGGCCAGGCGTGTCAGTGCGTCCCAGTCTGGTCGCCGCGGCGATGCCTGCAGGGCCGCGTAGCAGCGCGCGAGGCGCCGCCGCGCGGCGACGGCTTGGTCGTCCGACCGTTTCAGGCCCGTCCGTCGCGTTGCCAGGTCTGGTGAGAGGGGCTGTGTGCCCAAACGTCTTCTACCTATCTCTGCGGCTCTGCGGCGTAATGCGCCGCGGTCTACGGAGGGATCGTAGGAGCTGGACATCTCTTCTCAAGAGAGCTGAGTGTCTGCCTCGGCGCAGGAGTGCGAGATTGAGTCCAAAATGAGTTCTGTGGGCTGGCCAAGGCCTATTCGCCGAGCTCTGGCCGGCAGAGCTTGTCCAGCGTTTGCTAGTGTCTTACATGCCGCTAGCTAACTCGGCAGCTGGAGCTCGCGCGAGCCGCGGGACCTGATCCTGGACGCGTCCGTTCGTCTTATTCCGCTCAGCGCGTTGCCAAGTGCAGCGAAGGGCGACGTAACGACAGCGAGCAGCCGTTGGGGGCACCACACCGTGCTCAGCAGCCACACTCGCTCAGCGCGCCTCTACGCCGCCGCGCGGCACCCGTGTCGTCCGCACTGCGGGACCTGCGACGATAAAAAGGTAACGATACCATGGGCGAGCAGGAACCGCCGAAGGAAGAAGGAACGGAGCGCAAGCGCCGACGCTCCGAAGGCGAAGAGCGCGGGGGCGGCGACCGACGCGACCGCGACCGGGAGCGGAGCCGGCGCGACCGGCGGTCGCGGAGCCGGGACCGGCGGGGCTCCGATAGGCGAAGGGAGCGCAGCCGCAGCCGCGGGCGGCGCCGCCGGTCGCGGTCACGGAGTCGCGGGCGGCGCGGCCGGACGCCCGAGCCGAGCTACCGGCCGCCGCCGCCCGGAGGCCGCGATGAAGGCCGCTGGGGCGGCGGAGGTGGAGGCCATTACGGCGGCGGGGGCGGCCCGGGCAACTACGGCGGCGGAGGCTACGGCGGCCCGCCGCCGCCGCGAAGACAGCAACCGCGGTTCAACGACGTGTGCCGCGACTTCATGAACGGCAAGTTCCAGTGCATAAATGAAATTGTCGCGTCTCCGCCACGCCATCGACGCGTTGCACCCGACTCACCGATTGATTTGCGCACAGGCAAGTGCCTCCGGGGCGACAACTGCCGCTACTCGCACGCGGGCATCGACCCTTCTTCTGGATTAGCGATCGGCGACGACAACGCCGTGCCCGAGCAGTTGATACGCGAGGGCGCCAAGGTGCCCGAGGGCGCGCGCGTCCTGCCTTCCGGCGGCGACACGGACCGCATGGCCGAGCTCTTCAAGCAGGCCGGCGTGACGACCATCGCCGAGTTCAACGCGAAGCAAAAGGCCCTGGGCTTCGGCCTGCCGAACGAGCGCGAGCGCAAGCCGCCGCCCAAGGCCTCCCAGGCGGAGATCGACGAAGTCCTACCCCTGCTCCAGCCGCTGCCCGAGAGCTACCGCCAGGCGATCCTCGCGATCCCCGGCTGCCTCGGCCACATCGACACGCGCCACATCAAGACTATACTGAGACTGAACCCGAAGCACGCCATGGCCGCGTTGCACGAGTTCCGCGAGGCCATGGAGGACCTTCACTCGTCGATCCGAAACAAGGGCGGCTACATGATGGGCGTTTTGAGGAAGTACCTCCCGGGCGAGGCGGCCTCGGGCGTGACCTACGACGGCCAGAAGATTAGTGATCTGGAAAAGTCCATGCTCGACACGGACACGTTCGCGGACCCCTGGAAGCAGCTCGCGGAGACCGACGAAAGGGCGAAGGCCGCCGCCGCGGCCCAGGCCGAGGAGGAGAGATTACGCAAGAAGGCCGAGGACGCGCTCCGCAAGTCGCCGCAACTCCCGTCCGACGCGGAGCAGGTTAAAAGGTTCGTGAAGAAGAAGGCGAAGGAGGCCGTCAAGCACGCGCCTAATTTACAAGCGCTGCACGCCTGGGATTTGGTGGTTGAGGAGACTTTATGTGATGACCCGGCCTGGGCTTCTCCTGCGACGTATACGAGCAAGGGCGGCCGGCGGGCCTTCGCCGACGCCGACGCACCTTTGGTCTTCTCGTCGTGCGTCGTCGCGCGGCCGATTGGTGCTTTAGTAACAGTGTTGGACGAGCCGCCGCACGTGTCGCTGCACGCGTCGCGCGACACCGTGCAGCGGCGCGTCGTCTACCGCTACGACCAGCGGACGGCCCTGGTGCACGAGAAGGGCGGGGTCCTGGCGCCCTTCCAGGCGCCGCACGACCGCTCCGTCCTAATCGCGTGGCGCGCGGCGCCGCCGGCGCTCGGGTGCGCGGCGGGCGCGTGGCTGCGGCTGCGCTTCTCGGTGACGTCGGCCCTCGTCCCGGAGACGACGACGCACCAGCGCTGCCCCGTCGTCTTGGACGCGTGGCTCCTCGAGCCCCAGACGGCCGCGTCGACGAAGGTGACGACGTGGAGCGCCGAGGAGCTCCCGGAGGACGCGCCGGCCTGGCTCGGCGACGCGAGCGCGACCGACGCGGCGACGCGCGGCGCGGCCTTCGCGCGGCGCCTCGCGAAGCACCTCCACCTCGACGAGGACGGGCTCAGCCTGCCGGCGGCAGTGCCCGCCGCGTGGGACGCCGAGGAGCGCGCGGCCACGGCTGCCGAGACGAAGGCGACGGCCGCCGACCGCGAGGAGGGCGAGGCTTGACCTCCCGACTCTTAAGTAGGTTTCTTCGACGTTTGTTTTAGGCAGTTTACTACCGCAGCGACGACCGAATTATGGGACTTCTCACGTGTAGTACTAGTAGTAGTAGAGTCCAGACGTTCAAATTAACATACTGCTCGCGAGCGTTACTAGGCGGACAGCTAGAGTCACTAAAGGGTTTTATACGTTGTGCGCGTCCGAAGTACAGAGAAGTACGACGGCGCAGCGCGGGGGGAGGGAGGGGAGACGTACCACTGCACGTAGCGACGGACTAGAGGAAGGCGACCGTCGAGGCCGCGACCGTCACCGCCGCGAATCCCGTCGACCAGGCGAGCGCGCCGTCGTGGTGCTTGGGTTGCCCCAGGTTCTCGCCGCCCTCTCTCGCGCAAACCTCCGGCGAGGAGCAATGCGCTTGTTGGCACCCCGGCGCTGCGTGGACACCTTCGGGGAAGAGGCATAAGATCCAACTATCGTCATAAGATCCATCCCCAAAGGTAGCCCAGTCCGTAGCAGGAGCAAACTTCATAAAGGAGCAGTCGGAAGACTTTCCCTCCATGGCGAGATCCGTTCCATAGCCCGCCAGATGACCCCCTTCATAGCAGCTAGTGGGCATCTGCTTGGGTACGGACCCGGGCGCCGGGGCCGGGGCGGGCGCGTCCTCGCCCGTAATCTGGTCGGCGGTGATGTCCTTGGAAGCGACGTCGTCGAGGCGCGTCATGGCTCCGACGCGGCCGCCTGTGTGGGGAAAACAACTTATAACGCGCTACGGGCCGCTTAACTTCTCTTCTTCGTTAGCGTGGTGCCTCCTGGACCACGTGTTCGATTCCCGGGGCCAACGTCGCGTCGACGGCGTGCGGCGCGTATTCCACACGGGTGGCCGCCGCGGTGGACTACGGTACCGGCCACGGAACCGAGGACGAACGAGCACGCGACGGCGAGGACGGCGACGCGCGTCAGCGAGGACTTGGGCTTCTGCTCATTGAGGAGCGGTTGCTCGTCGTCGGCGAAGGTTTTGCCGGCCATGCTTGTTTGGTTTGTGTCCCTGCGCGGCGGAAAGAGGCACTCAATGGGCCACAGCTCTTTTGGTGGCGGGGCGCCACGGGCGCCGCGCGCGCGCGGCGGATAGATAGCGAAGAAGCGCTCTTTCGAGTGTCGACGACCAGAATGAAACTTTTACGGAACGCGAGCAGAGCGAAAATGAGTGGCTTTAGGGGCAAGGTGGCCAGGTTAGGCCAGGTTACCACTCTGAGCCACCCGTTTGTTGAACCGGTTGAACCGCCAAACGTTAGCCCAAGGTCGAGCTCTTGACCCCCTTGAACTAAACGGAAGGCCTTCGCGCCGACTTAAAGCTCTCACGAGCCGCGTGACGAGCGCAAACGACGCGCATCGAGCGCCTACGGAAAGCCCCATTTCGGCGCCGCGGTCTGTTCCGGCATGTCTGACTAACCTTTCTAAAAATAAACAACGAACACACCACTGTTAGCCACCGCGAGCCTTCACGACGACCGCCGCGTACGACGCGGCCTGCAGCGCGGCGGCGCAGGCCTTCTCGCGCTCGGCCGTCCAGACCGTCGACGCGCGCGGGTCCGTGGCGAGGCGCTTCTGGCGCGCCAGGCGGTTCGCCTCGTCCAGCGGCGGCTGCGCGACGACGACCAGGAGCGCGTCGTCCGCGAGGGCGGCCTCTAGCACGCGGCACGCGCCGTCGAGGTCGCCGCCCTCCTCGAGCCGCGCCACGACGAGGTTCCAACCTTCAGCGTGCTTCTGGGCCGCGGCCGCGGCGACGCCGGCGCCCGTCGCGCGGACGGCGGACACGGCGCCCGTTGCGCGTCGCTGGAGCGTGGCGGCGTCGCCCACGACGCAGACGCGGCAGCCGTGGCGCGCCAGCCGCGCGAAGGCGTCCTCGGCGCCGCCCGCGAACGCCGGCCCGCGCGCGACCCGCAGCGCGAAGAGGTCGAGCGCCGCGCGCGCGTCGACGGCCGAGTCGTGGGCCCCGTCCTGGATCTCCCGGTCCAGGAACTCCTTCGCGAGCTGCTTGAGCTTCTTCTTGTAGGGCGCACCGCGGGGGTGGCCGTAGAGGAGCGCCGTGTCGGCGCACGCGTGGTGCGCCAGGCCCAGCGCCCGCAGGTCGCAGTCGAGCGAGTGGCCCACCAAGACGTCGTCGGCGTCGACCGTCTCGAGGAGGGCCGCCCGGACCTGGTCGACGCTCGTCGCGACGCCGCGCAGCGCCGCCTCGTCGAGGCCGCTCCACTGCGTGCAGTAGTCGACGACCTTTTCCGCCGGCTTCGCGAGCTCGTCAAAGACGACGGCGCCCGCCCCGTCCACGAGCGTGCAGCGCGCCACGCGCGCCCCGGCCGTCGTCTGGACCATCTCGCAGTCGAGCCCGAAGACGCGGCGGCGCGCGCCGGGCGGCGCGCCGCTCCGCCGCACCGTCTCGGCGCCGCACCTCTCCAAGATCGCCGCCGCCCGCGGCCGGCTCGGCAGCCGGTACGCCTCGGCGCCGTCGACGACGCCGAGGTCCTCCCCGTCGTCGTCGGCCCCGAGCGCGACGTGGCGCGGCGCGGCCTCGCGCGGCAGGGGGTAGTCGTTCGCCGCCAGCTGCGCCCGCGTCAGGACCGCGTCCCGCAGCAGCGCCCAGGGCGCCTCCATCAAGTCGACGTCCGGCTCGTCGTCGTCGTCGTCGGACGACGCCTCCGCGGCGCGCGCCGCCTCCTTGCGCCGCCGCTTCTGCGCGCGGCGCCCGCCGGAGCCCTTCTTGCGCTTCGGCGGCGGGGCCTCCCAGGGCGGCGGCGCCGCGGCGACGGCGTCGAGCGCGTCGCGGTCCGCGTCGCCGTGGCGCTTGCCGTAGACGCGCGCGGCCACGCCGCCGCGCAGGAACGGCACGGCCGATGCGTCGGCCACGCCCGGCGCGACGGCCAGCACGACGCGGCGCGCGCGCGCCGCGTTGCCGAGGCGCAGCCAGGGCGGCCACTCCCGGCGCGCCTCGGTCTCGCTCGCGGGGTCCGCGTAGACGGCGCCGACGGCCGCGTCGAGGCTCGGCGCGAGCGCGCGCCAGACGACGGTGCCGACGTCGCCCTTGACCGTCGGGACGCGGCCGCCCTTCGCCGGCGGCGTGGTCTCCGCCGTCAGTTTCGCGTCGACGCCGTGCGCGGCGCACTCGGCGAGGCGCGCGCGCGTGTAGACGTCACCCGCGGCGGCCCAGCGGCGCAGCTTCTTCACGCGGCCCTTTTGCTTCTTGGCGTCGCTTTGCTTGGCATCGCTCTGCTTCTTGGCGTCGCTCTGCTTGGCATCGCTCTGCGGCTGGGTGCTCTCCATAGTAATATGGGCTTGTCTGCCCCTGCAAGGAGCTTGCTCTTGACAGCGTGGAGTGGTGGGGTCTTTCAGCTTATCCTTCAGTTATAGCAATCACAAATGCGAGCGATTGCAGCCAGCGCTTTTGAGACAAAAAACAAGGACCAGCTAGCGTGCTGACATACTAGCCAACCAAACGGAAGGGCCAAGAAATAAGATTCAGGTAGGTTTATACGAACGAGCGTCCATAAGCGCCGCCGCGCCGAGCTCTGGAGTCCTTTGGTCTTCGGGCCGACGACGACGCGCTTAGTTGTGCGTGATCGGGTAGAAGAAGTGGTGGTCGCACGAGTCGACGCACGAGTGGCACATGGCGCCGAACGTGCCGAGCATGGCCGCGCGGCCGTTCTGGAGCTCGCACGTGAGCGCGCGCGTGCGCGCGGCGGGGTCCGTGATCTGCTCCGTGAACGGGTAGCCGCCGGGGATGGTGCCCGCCGAGCCGTCGTAGCCGCCCGGGAGGTTCTGCGGGCCGCCCGTGTACTGCGACGCCGGCATGGCGACGGTCTCGGCGATGCCGCCGAAGAGGAGGATCTGGGCGAGGCCGAACGTGGGCACGTTGGAGAGCGCCGCGAAGCCCATGCCGTCCTTGAGGATGTCCGAGAACTGGACCGAGCCGTCAAGGGTCATGGAGCCGGGGAAGGTGATGCCGAGCTCCTGGACCATCATGCCGAGGAACGCCATCATGGAGATGCGGCCGTGCTTGATCTCGACGGCGCGGCGGCGGGCGAGGCCCTCCGTGTCCTCGAACATGAAGCCCGAGGGGGTGATCGGCCCGGGGTCGACGCCGATGTCGCCCTTGACGACGACCTTGGAGGCGGCCTGCTGGCCGGGGGCCACGAAGGCGACGGCCGGGGCGGCGAGGAGGGCGAGAGCGAGCTTGGCCATTTTGATTTGTTGTCTGCGGGGGGCGCGGCGGGTGAGCTACGCGCGTGAGGTACGCGCCGCCGACGCGCGGCCGCGAGGCGCCGTGCCATTGCAAAAGTGGCTGCCCCGGATTTCGGGCCCCATGCGCCGCTTGTGCGCGCGCGCGCGCTGCCCCCTTGCTGCAGCGCGGAGAGGGACGGGCCAGGGTACTCTCGCGCGGCCGCGCAGGCAAGGAGCGGGGTTTGGGCAGGCGGAATCTACTTACGAGTTTTTGTTTGGTTGAGATGAGGATCACAGCTCGCATCTATGCGAGAGTCCGGACCCGGTAGGCGGGCCGCGCGGGCGGCCGCAGGCGTCGTCCGAAGCGCGCCGCGGGTCGGAGCTCGTGGGCGGACACGTGGCGCACGCTGGTTCAGCAAAAGGTCCGAATCATGCGCCGCCCGCTGGGCTCCTGAAGATACTGGCTCGTAGAACTGGTTCGATGTCACAGATTGTTGTTACCGGCAAGCGAGGGACGAGCGTCCATAAGCGCGACACTTGCGCCGAGCTCGGAGTCCTCGGCGACGACGCAGCTTAGTTGTGCGTGATCGGGTAGAAGAAGTGGTGGTCGCACGAGTCGACGCACGAGTGGCACATGGCGCCGAACGTGCCGAGCATGGCCGCGCGGCCGTTCTGGAGCTCGCACGTGAGCGCGCGCGTGCGCGCGGCGGGGTCCGTGATCTGCTCCGTGAACGGGTAGCCGCCGGGGATGGTGCCCGCCGAGCCGTCGTAGCCGCCCGGGAGGTTCTGCGGGCCGCCCGTGTACTGCGACGCCGGCATGGCGACGGTCTCGGCAATGCCGCCGAAGAGGAGGATCTGGGCGAGGCCGAACGTGGGCACGTTGGAGAGCGCCGCGAAGCCCATGCCGTCCTTGAGGATGTCCGAGAACTGGACCGAGCCGTCAAGGGTCATGGAGCCGGGGAAGGTGATGCCGAGCTCCTGGACCATCATGCCGAGGAACGCCATCATGGAGATGCGGCCGTGCTTGATCTCGACGGCGCGGCGGCGGGCGAGGCCCTCCGTGTCCTCGAACATGAAGCCCGAGGGGGTGATCGGCCCGGGGTCGACGCCGATGTCGCCCTTGACGACGACCTTGGAGGCGGCCTGCTGGCCGGGGGCCACGAAGGCGACGGCCGGGGCGGCGAGGAGGGCGAGAGCGAGCTTGGCCATTTTAGATTGTTTGGTGTCTGCGGGGGGTGCGTGCGTTAGATGACTGCTCGAGTGGAGAATGCGAGGCCTCCGCGCGCGCGTAGATGTGTGTTTTCCGATCCGATCCTCTTTGGCAGCAAGCTGCTCGACCGGACGCGCGCGCGCAGCGCTGTCGGCTCGCACAGGCCCTCCGGTAGGTGGCTGGGACCTTTTGAGCATGTTTTTTTTGAGCTCTGATGCGATTGCGAGTCTACCGGACGCCGGCAAAAACTGTGCTTGAGAGCTGAAAGATAGCCTTATCTTGGCTAGTGCCGTTGTACGCTAGATGTGTGTACGAATCAGCCGGCAGGAAGGACTCCAGATGGCTCAACCGATCGATCATACAAGCAACGCGCTTCGTCTCACCTGTCGGCACCAGTTTCAGGTGCCAGTCTCCGTTGCCCGATGCGCATACAAACATGAGCGCCTCCGACGACGCCGCGACGCCGGCGCCAGACGCCGACGACGAGGCGCAGCCTGGGCCGGCCGGCACCGCTGCGGTGGGCAGCACTGGGGACCCCACCATGGCACAAGAGGAGGAGGCAGGGCAGCCTACAGAGGACGAAGAACCGACCGACATCCTCGACCGCCTGCGCCGCGAGGACCGCGTGTCGCTGACGCCGGAGCAGCCGATGCTCGGCCGGCGGCGCTCCTCGTCGACGCCTGCCGCGCCGCCGCCGCCGCCGCCGCCAGACGGAGAGGAGTCCATCCTCGACCGGCTGCACCGCGAGCAGTCGCCCACAGCAGCGGCGGCCGTGGAGGGCGAGTCCATCCTCGACCGATTGCGCCGCGAGCAGTCTCCGGTGGCAGCAGCTGCAGCGCCACCGCCACCGCCGGACGGGGAGGAAGAGTCGATCCTCGACCGGTTGCACCGGGAGCAGTCGCCCACGGCCGCCGAGGGCGAGTCCATCCTCGACCGGCTGCACCGCGAGCAGTCGCCCGCATCCCGCTTCCGGCGCGAGCGGTCGCCGGCGACGGCGGACAAGGAGCGCTGCGTGGGACGCAAAGTGACGCGGGGGCGGCACAGCTGGACCTGGGTCGAGTTCCAGGACGAGCGGGACCGGCGCCTGCACCGGCTCCGCCGCGACCCGTCGCCGCCCGCGCCGCCGTCCGAGGCGCCCGAGCGACCGGCGGCGCCCGCGGCCGCCGACGAGAACACGGACGCGGCCGGCTACCAGTACGTCTACGTCACCGCCGCGGCGCCGGCGCCGGCGGTGCCCCGGGGCCCGCGGCGCGTGACGTGCTACATGTGCGGCCTCCAGGCCGGCACGAAGTCGATCCGCTTCCATCACGAGAAGTGCGCCGCGCGCTGGCCGGCGACCGAGGCGCGGCCGCTCCCGCCGGCCGTCGTCGTGCCCGCGGGCGGCGCGGCGCTCGCGGCGTACAACCGGCAGGCCGCCGCGACCTACGCGGCGCACAGCAAGCGCGCGTGCCCGCTCTGCGGCAAGGTCGTGCACCAGGCGCCCTCGGCCTCGCGCACGGTCGCCGACAAGCTCCGGGACCACCTGCGCAACGAGTGCCCGCACCGCCGCGGCCACAAGGCCAAGGCGTCCAAGGTCTCGCGGGCCGGCGGGCGCGCGCGCGCGGAACGGCCGCCGGCCGAGGCGGACCTGAGCCGCGGCGGCGCCTCGCGGCAGCCGCGGGCGCCGAACGTCCGCCTGCGCCCGCCGCTCGACGCGCCGCCGCCGCCGCCGCCGCGCCGCCGCGCCGGTCCCTCCGCGCGCGCCGTCGCCCGCCGCGAAGCCATGCGCGACCCGCTGGTCCGCGAGGGCCTCCGCGCCGCGGCGTTGGCGGACCAGCGCGGCGACGGCGCCCGGGCGAGCGCGGAGCGACGCGGGGCGCGGCTCGTCGCCGCGTCTATCGCGAACCGTGTCGAGCGGCGGAGGACGGGGAACAAGCAGTTCGCCGTGGCCGGGGGGCAGTACGCGTACTAAGGAGAGCTTGTATTGTGATTGCGGCATGACGCGCCCAGTTCTACGAGTTGCTGAGTCTCGGCGCCCGGCCGCGCTCGCACGGAACTGCGGCCTGGGCCTAGAGGCGGCTGCAGGCGTCCGTGCGGGTAGTTATTGCTCACTTTTCTTTCGTTCGAACCTCGCTTGGGACGGCTGAACTGAAGAGCATTCCCACCAATCAGACGCGGCTGGCCTCAAAATTGGACTTTGCTCGGCGTCGGTCCGCGGTTGGAGGAAGTCGGGAGGAGTCCGTAGGCGTGTGAATCTGTATAGAAGCTTAAACTTTACGTCGGACAAAAGCAGTCTCTTTCATCTCATCATCGTGCAGCGTGCAAACACACCTCCGGTGCCGCACAAATAAGCCAATACAACTTTGGAGCAATCGGTAGCTTTTCGGAGTGTCGGCATTCATTAACGAGCGAAGCGCCGAGCTGCGCCGACGACCGCTAAGGACGTACGCAGCACAGCAAGAGACACTCTCCAGCGACACTCATTTGAAAACCGACCGCAGCAAGCAAGCCGACCCGTCAGGAGACCATGCAGTACGTCGCCGACACGGCCCTGGCCAACCACGGCGCCGACGACGGCAGCGAGGCGCCGCGGCCGTCGCCCTCGAACACGGGCGACGAAGAATCATTGTACGTCGTCGAGCTACCGACCAAGACCGTGGAGGAGTCCCTGGGCCAGGCCGTGGGTTTAGGGTTGCGGAAGGACCCCGACCAGGAGACCGTATCTGGTTTACACGCCGCGTGCGGCCAGGCGACGACGTTTCTCCAGGGGCCCTGCTCGTCCAAAGACGATGAAGAAGAAACAACGTGCCCCCAGAAGTGCGAAAAGGCGGCGAGGCACGCCCTGCCTATCCTGGGCTGGCTACCGAGAACTTCCAAGGAAGGGTTCAAGGCCGATTTAATTGCGGGCCTGACGGTCGGCGTCATGGTCATCCCCCAGTCCATGTCCTACGCGTCTATTGCCGGCCTAGATTTGGTGTATGGCTTGTACGCGTCCTTCGTCCCGACCGTGGTCTACGCGTTCTTTGGGACCTCTGGGCAATTAGCCGTGGGTCCCGTCGCGCTCGTGTCATTGTTAGTAGAAGCTGGGTTGTCAGACGCTTTGACCAAGGGCGAGTGCCCGGAATACTACGAAGACGACGATCCAGCAAGACGCATGTTGGGGGCGTCCGACGATTCTCTGGCGGGGACGTGCCCGGACGCGTACGCCAATTTAGTTTTTGTGGCCATGTTCTTTGTCGGAATCATCCAGTTCGGCGCCGCGATCTGCCGCCTAGGCTTCCTCATCAACTTCCTGGGCCACCCGGTCATTTCCGGTTTTACGTCTGGTGCAGCCATCACGATCGGCCTCTCGCAGTTCAAGTTCTGGCTCGGGATCAGCATACCGAAGTCCCAGTACTGCCACGAGACCATCAAGGCCATCTGCACGAAAGTTCTTAGAGGAAAAGCCCACTGGATGCCGTTTCTGTTGGGTGTCATCACGTATTACATGCTCAAGGGTGTCAAAGAACTCGCGACAAAAAAACCGAAGACCTTCGGCTGGATGAAGCCCCTCGGTCCTTTGATCATCTGTACTTTATCTTTGGTGATGATGATCATCCCAGGATTAGGTGATACGCTGCGAGACGACTACGGCGTGCAGACCATTGGATTAGTGCCTTCTGGATTACCCCCTTTCACCCTACCTCGCGTTTTGAGGGACGTCCCGTCGAAGGCCTCTACCGTCTTACCGACGGCCATATCTGCCGCATTAATTGGCTTCATGGAGTCGATCGCGATCGGCAAATCCATCGCGGCGAAGCACGGCGAGGAGCTTTCGGCGGGGAAGGAGCTCGGGGCCATTGGGCTGGCGAACCTGATCGGTAGCTTCGCGGCGGGCTACCCCGTGGCCGGCTCCTTTTCTCGTTCAGCTGTGGCCAATTCGACGGGCGCGAAGACGCCGTTAGCTGGTTTGGTGACGGGGTTGTTCGTCATGCTCGCGTTGGTCATCCTGCCGAGCTTCATCCGCAAGCTGCCGAAGTTCGTCTTAGCGACCATAGTGATATCATCAGTGGTGAACTTAGTTGCGATCGGAGAAGCGAAGCACCTCTGGAAGGTGAGGAAGCTGGATTTCATGCTGTGGGTCATCGCGTTTTTGGGTACCTTGTTTGCTGGCGTACTCTATGGTTTGATAATCGCCGTCGGCATGTCGCTGATCGTCGTACTCTACGAATCCGTAAGACCGCAGATCAGTGTGCTGTGGAAGCTGCCCGGCACGGCCATCTACCGAAACGTGAAGCAGGGCGAGTCCCCCGGCCAGTTCGTCAAGGGCGTGCTCGTCGTGAGGGTGGGTGCTTCGATGTACTTTGCCAATGTTGCGTACATCAAGGACACCATAATAGAGTTATGTCGGCAAGTGGAGGATACGAAGTACGTGGTCGTCGAGATGACTCCGGTCACTTCGGTGGATTCGACGGCCTTGCACATGTTGGAAGATTTGTTCGCAGATATGAGAAGAAAAGGCGTCGAGGTGTGTCTCGCGTCGATCGGTTCTAGGGTCGAGGAAACTTTAAGATTAGCCGGAGTACAAAGGAAGTGCGGCTACGAGTGGTTTCACGACAACGTGGCCCACGCCGTCGAGTTCTGCATCCGGCACGCGGCGGCGCACAAGGCCGTCGTCGGTAGGTTGGAGGCCGACTCGCTCGACATGACGGAGACACCTTCACAGGGTACGTTACGGATGCGCCGCGCGTCGAACGCGTCTTCGGATAACCTGGAGAAGGAGGACAAGAAGTCCGTGCTGGTCATGGCGGCCAAGCATAGGGTCGTCGAGCGGGGCAAGAAGCACCGCGGCTCGACGGCGGCGGAGGCCAAGGCCCTGGCCGCGCTGGCCGACGCCGACGAGGAGGAGTCGAAGAGCGATCCCTCCGCCGTGAAGCCGCCTCCGGCACCCTCGCCGCCCGCGACGCCGGCGCACAAGCGCGACACGGTGCGCGCGCTGCGGTCGATAATACAACAGAACGGCGGCGCGTCGTCCGGCGCGAACCCCGTCGCCGACGAGCCCGAGGCGCCGGCGCCGCCGACCATCGTCTGCGTCGCCGACGACGACGCGCTCGACCAGATCCTCCTCGTGGCCTGCGACGTCGGCGACCGGCCGGGCGTGCTCCGCGACATCTCGGACGTGCTCGCCTCGCGGCTCTCGCTGCAACTGCGGTACAACGAGGCGGCCGTCGTCGGCCGGCGCTCGATCTCGTTCTGGAAGTGCGAGGTGCCCGCGCGCGGCGCGTCGGAGGTCGCCGCGGCGGCGGCCAAGGCCGAGAAGCTCATCCCGGCCGCGCTCTAGGAGCTGTTTATCCCCTTTCCCCCGAACCCCGGCCGCCTCGACGAGTGTAACGCGGCGTTATCAATATTACTTTTTCGCTAGTGTCTTACTCGAACGCTAGCCGACTATTTTTTGCTCACGCACCTTTGTCGCCCGCGGGTGCCGACCTTGACAGTCGACTAGAGCCACCGGTGGACCCCTCCAGTCGTTCACAGCGGGCTCTGTCGCTGCGAGGACGCCAAGCCACCGCAACCGAGCGGACGCCTGCAGCAACCAGGAGGACCGCAGCTAACACGCAACCGAGCGGAAGCCGCAGCAAACACGCGGACGCCACAGCTAACACGCAACCGAGCAGCGGAAGCCGCAGCAAACACATGTCGAACCCCTTCGTCCAGCGCGTGGCGAACTGGCTCGCCCAGGAGGTCGTCGTCAAGGGCCTCGCCGAGAACAAGGCCTTCCAGCGGTTTGCCTTGCGGACGGACCACAAGCTCAAGGAGTTCACGGAGAAGGTCGACGTCTCGAAGGTAACGGCGGCGGCTGAGAACCTCGCGAAGGAGGCCTCGAAGGCCGCCGAGTCGGTCTCGGCCACGGTGCAGCGCGAGATGCAGGCGACGCCCAAGCCGCGCGAGATCGGCTTCAAGAGCAAGCAGGATCTATTAAGGGAGGCGCGGGAGAAGGCGGCGGGCAAGTAGTGGAGTTTTTCTTGCGAGCCGGCTGCGAATCTCGTGGCGGACGTTGTGACTCCCCTCGGCCGTCCATCCCCCTCACGTGTAAGATGTTGTGTTTCTTTAAAGATACTGAGTAGTTAGGAGTTCTCAGGGCAGCCCGCGGGCGTAGAGCGCGTCTCGCGCCTTTTGCAGGTCGTTCTCAACCTCCGTCGTGACCGGATGCGAACCACCGAGCACGCGCCGCGAAATCCGTACGACGTCCTCGAACGCCGTCGCGGCCTCGCGGAGATCGCCGAGCGTGGCGCCCTCGTCAAGGTAGAGCGCCTCCGCGTAAAGCGCCCTCGTCCTGAGCATGAGTTCATGATTTTCGCCGAGAACGCGTGGCGCCACGGGCATCATGTTGCGCAGCACTGCCTTGGCTTCTTCGAATCGCTCTAGATGGTTAAGGGACACCGCGTAGTTGTAGGCAGCCACAACGCGCGTCGCACGGCCTCGTCGCGGAGAAATTGCCCATGACTTATAATTGTCGCGACCTGTGTGGAACGAGAACGACCACGCCATCGAGCAGGCGTCGCGTCGATGGCGTGGAGGATTCAGGACGAACGCGCCGTAAAATTTGATTTCCACACAGGCCGCAACGTGCGCCACTGCCGCGCGACGGTGCTGAAGGACAAGACCGTCGCGGAGGATGGTTGTATTGTGGTCCACGCGCACGACTTCGAGCCCGAACTCTACGACCGGGCGCGGGCCGTCGCGGTGCCGTCGAGGCCCTACGCACCGGGTGCGGCGTCCGCCTGCCCGCCCGTGAAGTCGGGCGCGCACCGGCTCGTCGTGCTGGCGGCGCCGCCGGACGCCGCGCCGGCGACGAAGGGACTCGTACGAGCCATGCAGCCCCTCACGGTCGCGAACGACTTCTCGATCTGCGCCTGGCTCGACGCGCGAGCGACGCAAAAGTGCCTCCTGAAGTCGAACAAGTACGCGGTGGTCCTGGCGACGACGGCGACGGACTTTAGCTTCGGGCGGACGCCGCTCGTCGTTGCAATAGCGAGGGACCCGCACGAGCGCTACGCGCAGCAGGTCGCGGGGCGCCCGCGGCGCGTGCTCCATCAGGTCGACGACTGTTTGGCCGCGGAAGCCTCGTCGTGCTTCCGCAACGTGCTCGACGTCGACGACGACGCGGACGTCGCGTGGTTCTGCGGCGATGCGTGCGCCGGAGTTCGCGGCGCCGAGGCGGCGCAGATCGCCTGGCGGCGGGCGAAGGAGCGCTTCCTGCTGGTGGGCCTGAGCGACCGGCCGACGGCGACGGCGGCCGAGCTCGAGCGTCTGCTGCCGTCGCATTTCCTGCGCCTGTCGCGGCACCACCGCGGCCGCGACGGCCCGCGGCGCCGCGCGCCCGCGAAGGTCGACCGCGCGCGCGAGGCCGCGTTCGTCGCGGCAAACGTGGCCGACGCGGCCTTCTACGAGCTGGCGCGCGAGGCGTTCATGGGGCGGCGCCTCGCCTGTCATGGTAACAGTTCTTAAGAACAGCGCATGAACATTTCTTAGGACAACAGACTACATCTTCAGCGCGGCCGCGGTGGCAGCGGCGCGCTGCCACACGTCGTCGTCGCGGACGACCCACTCGTCGCCCGCGTCCTCGAAACCCATGCACGCGAGGACCTCCGGGGCGCCAGTGACTTTGACGACCTTGGCGGCGATGATGGCGTTCTGCTTGCGGAGGCGCCGGTATTTTGGGTTGGACCTGTGCGGATCAGCGCGTCGACCTCCACGCCATCGACGCGACGTCTGCTCGATGGCGTGGTGGTGGGGGTCTCCACACTGGATTCCACGGGTCGTTCGTCAGGTTCGTCGCAGCCTTGAGTAGGAGCGCGCGGCTCGCGTCGCGCTCGGCGGCGTCCGGATGGGACGCAAGCAAAGACAGGGCGATCACGAGCGCCTCGCCCTCGTCCTCGTCCTCGTCCTCGCCCGAATCCGACCCTTCTTCTTCCAGTTGCCGGCGGGCCTCGAGGAACTGGTCGTCTGATGCTTCGCCTTCATCGGGAGGATCCGCCGCGCGCCGGAGCAGGTGCGTGTCCGGAAACACGTTCAGGCGGGCGGTGAGGCGTCTGGACGGCTCCAGGATGAAGCCTTGGCCCATCCAGTACGTGCAGCTCTCTTCGAGCGCGAGCACGTAACAATTCGAGCCCGTGGCCGCGGCCGCCTGCTCGACGAAGCTCACGGCGGCGCTTGCGAGGCCCTTGCCCCGAAAAGCCTTGCGCGTCGTCACATAATCTATAATAATGCGATTCCGACCGGACGCCCGGCCTGGTGTGGACGGGTCGAGGACCGCCCGCAGGATGCACGCGACGGCGTCCGCGCCGTCCCTCGATGGGTCGATGAGCGCGCCGTAGTACAATTTGAGTTCGGGCCTTCCCTCGGTCCATTTCTTCCAGTCGTCCTCGGGGTCGACCTCGCCGAACTCGTCTGACTCATTGAGGGCGGTGCTGACTAGCGCCATCAGCGCGAGCGACGAGCCATGGCGCAGCAGCACGCCCTTGTCCTCGATGAACTCGGAACGCTCCTCGCCCGGCGGCGGGAGGGAGCCAGACCAAGCCGACATGGCTTTGAGTACTCGAGTGCGAGCACGGGAGCGGCAACGGCACGTCTTTAGCGCTGCCGCGGGGTGTCCCAACGTAACCTAACGTGCTGAGGAGCGAGAACAAGCTCTGCGTGCACGCAGACCCAACAGACCTCCGCAGAGCTTGCAAAGCCCAAAGAGAGCTCAGGCAAAATAGCGGTGCGAGTGACCGCTCAAACACGTGCAGGACTTGCTCACTTCGAGCAAGGACTCTCTACGCGACGTGAGACCACTTAAACCGCGCAGCGGCGTGCGCCGGGGACACAATCATCCTCTACACACTACTCCTCGCATTGCCAGCCATGTCGGCCGGCGTGGCCCGCAGTGGTCGGCAGCTGACGGTCACCGTATACTCCGATTTTGCCTGACCTTGGTGCTGGGTGGGCGCGAAGAATCTCGACGCGGCCATCGACCAAATCAAGGGCGAGGGCGTCGACGCGACCGTCTCGTGGGAACCGTTCATGATCGACCCCGGCACGCAAGAAAACGGCGAAGACTACCTAGCGTACAATCGACGGCGGTGGGGCAGCGACGGCTGGACGCATTCGCTGCGAGCCAAGGGCCGCAAGGTCGGCGCGCCGTTCGCCGACTGGAAGATCTGGCCGAACACGTTACGCGCGCACCAGCTCCTGCGCTTCGCGCCGCGCGAGAAGGAAGCGCAGCTGAAGAAGGCCTGTTTCGAGGCGATCTACGAGAACGGGGAGAACGTGTCGGATCCGGAAACAATCTGTCGCATTGCCTCGGAAAATGGGGTTGATGTTGAAGGCTTCCGGAAGGTCCTAGACACGCCGGAGGCGCAGCAGGACGTCCGCAGAGCTTGTGCACAGGCGTCGCAGCGCGGGGTCCGAGGCGTGCCGTATTTCGTCGTTCAAGGCCGAGAAGACGCGCGCCCGGTCGGCTTCTCTGGAGCCGTAGATGCGCCACAGCTCGTTGAGATATTCGGCGAGGTCCTCTGAATGCGGTGGTGTCGTGATTCGAGCGTCGTGACCGCGCGCGATGGGGTTAATGTATCCCCCGACGCGCGCGCGAAATACGCTTGTCCCGGTTATCACGTCGTCGGAGGTGTGTATATTACCTTGCTTTTGTAGTTCCCATGCGTGTGCGTGCTGCCGCGCCCGGTGCGGCACAGACGTGGGCGTCCGTGCCCTAAAAAAAGCGTGTTGTCCAGAGAGCTGTTCCACACCTCCTGACTGGCAAACCTATCGGTGATCAGCGGTGATCGATGATCGGTGATCGAGAGAAGGCACTGCGGCAGGCCGCTGCGCGTATTCGGCGGCAGCACTTGTTGACGCCACCGCTGCGTTGATATTCGTCAATAATAAGTGCCGAACCCCGTCGCTGCGGTGCCAGGATGAAGCGTAGGGGCCCTGCTGTCTTGCTCCTTCTGGGGTGCGCTGCGGCGCTACTCGTCCCAGCGGTGCGCGTTCCCGCGGCGCGCAGCCCTGTGGAGCGCGCGAGGCCAAGCAGGACGCGCTTGAACCACGGCCGCGTCGCCACGGCCGACGCGACCGCGTCGCGGCCGCTACTCAACGCCGTGAGAAGGCCGTGGAAGATCCCCGGCCACGTCGCGGGGCGGCTGAACCCCGCCTTGGCGGACTGGACCTCGAGCCACCTGCTCGCCTCGCCGACGCAGAAGATCTTGGCCGGCGTCTCGGCGGACCAGAAGGCGGCGGACCGCATCACGGTCGTCGGCGGATTGGTCAACGTGCTCCTGACGTTCGGCAAGCTCGCGGCGGGCATCTACGGGCGGTCCGCCGCGATGATCTCCGACGCGGCCCATTCCGCCTCGGACCTCGCGAGCGACGTTGTGACATTAGTGGCCATGCGCGCGGCAAGATTACCGGCGGACGAGGACCACCCGTACGGCCACGGCCGCTTCGAGACCGTCGGCGCGCTCGTCGTGGGCGGCATGCTCGTGGCCGCCGGCGCCGGCGCGGCGTCGCACGCGCTCGACGCCGGCGTGCACGCGCACGGCGCGCTCGGCCTCAAGCCGGGCAAGATCGCCCTGGTGGCGGCGCTGGTGTCCATCGTCGCCAAGGAGGGCCTCTTCCGCGCGACGGCGCGCGTCGGCAAGCGCCTGCGGTCGCCCGTCCTCGAGGCGAACGCGTGGCACCACCGGTCCGACGCGCTGTCGTCCGTCGTCGCGCTCGTCGGGATCGCGGCGGCGCGATGCTCGCTCAAAATCTTCCGCCACGCCGACGCCGCGGCGGGTCTGGCGGTTGCGGCGATGCTCGCGGCCACAGGCTTCCAGATCACGGCGGGCGCGCTGCAGGAATTGAGCGATGCGGTCGACCAGGACGCGCTCGAGCGCCTCCGCTTCGCCGTGCTCGCCGTGCCGGGCGTCGCGCAGGTCGCTTCATTAAGAGGCCGGAGCATCGCGGGGAAGCTGCGCGTCGACGTCGACGTCGTGCCCCTGGACAGCGACCTGTCGACGTCTGCCAGCTTCCAGCTGGCCGAGGCGGCGCGCGTCGCTTTACTTGACATGGAGGCCGAGGACCACGGCGCGCACTCGCACTCGCACGGCCACTCGCACGGGCACTCGCACGGCCACGGCGACGCGGGCCCGCCGCGCGTCGGGGACGCGACGGTGCGCGTCGTGCCGGCGGAGAAGACCTGCCCCGTCGTCGCCTCGCTGCCGACGCAGGCCGACCTCGAGCGCCGCGTCGCCGACACGCTGGCGGACGAGCCGGCCGTCGCGGCGCTGCGGACGCACGTGCGCTACCCGAACGGCCTGGCCTGCGAGCTCGACGTCTACCTCGAGCCCACCCCCGAAATGGGCGAGGGCGTCGGGGACCTGCGGGCGGCGGGCGCGGGCGTGACGAAGCTCCTGAACGACGCCGCGCTCGGCGCGTCCGTCGCGAACGTCTTCTGGAGCCTCGACCGCGAGCCGGCGCCTGTGTAACGAGAACCTTACCTGTAGTGTTGGATCCGCTCCGGCGCGCGCCGCGTGGGTTATCTGTACGGCCAGGACTAGTGGGCGGAGCACCTGGGGGGCGAGACACCGCGCGTCGCATTCATCGGCGGCGGGGGCGGGCCGGGCGCGTCTTTCATAACAGCATACGTCCTTCTCAGCAGAACCGCCTCGGCAAACCCCGCCATCCTTCCGCCTCGCGCCAGGGTATTGACACACTAGATTCGCCCTCTTCATCAGATTTCCGATCCGCCTGCCATCCGCCTGGCTGCCCGGGCAGCGCCAAAAACGATGCGGCTGCTAGCAGCGATTCTCCTGTGCCATGCGCGCGCACTGCTGCCGCCTGCTCCGCTCCGCACCGCCGTGTCGAAAGGTGTCTGTCTGCCTGTGCCCAGCGCCCGCCCCGCGCGGCGGGCTGCCAAAGCCGGCATCGCGCGGTCCAGCACAGCTGACGACGCGTCCGTGGACCGCGTTACGCCGTCGACCTTCGGCGACCGCACCGTCGGCGGCGTGCGCCTGGACCGCATTTCGAGGCTCGTGGTCGCGGCCGGCGCGGCGTTCGGCGGCTACGTGCTGGGCAACGACTACCTGAACGTCGCGATCGTCGAGGTGCTGGGCATCGACCGGAGCCAGGGCGTCGGCGCGTTCGGCCCGTTCGTGACCCTGCTCGCCCTGATCTACTCGACGATCCTGGGCTCGATCTACTCGCAGCTGTCGAGCCGGCAGGGCGCGATCCAGGACTCCCTCTTCGCGGAGGCGTTCGCCGTCCGCGACGTCGCCGAGGTCTGCGACATCGTCAATAGGAGCAGCAAGAAGACCGACCTGGGCGAGGCGCGGCGGGCCATCCGGGCGCACGCGGAGACGCTGCGCGATGCGGTGGACGGCGAGGCCGCCGACGGTGCGGACCAGGCGTCGCTCGCGCGGCTGCTGGGGGCCGTGGACGAGGTCGACGCCGCGGCCGGCGGCGGCGCGGTCTGCGCGCGCGCCGTCAACGCGTACGGCGCCGCGGTGTCGGCCCGGTCGGCGCGGGCGTCCGCGCTGGCGTCGACGATACCGCCGATCAAGCTCTACTCCTACGTCATCATTTCGAGGATCCTGCTGGCCGTCTTCCTGTTGGTGGACTTGGGCTCGCTCCGCTTCGAGGCGGTCCTGTTCGCCACGCTCGTGGCTGCTTTTCAGCTCATCGAGTCCTTCGTCGAGGACCTGTCGGACCCGTTCGGCGGCGCCTGGAGCGTCGCGTCCGCGCGGGAGGAGGTCGACGAGCTCCTGAAGAGTCTGCCTAGGGACTAACTTTTAATCTTAATTGCCTTTCCCGTACTTGGCGTCGACGGATAGACCTCCCGGGCCCGTGGCCGCGAGGAGCAGCAGCGCGGCGAGGACCGAGAGGTCCTGCGCGCCCACGAACATGAGGGCGTCGCGGTGGCGTTTGTGTCCGCCGAGTTTGGCCGCGTAGGAGCCGATGCCGTGCGTCAGGACGAGGACGGACAATAAGCCTGCCGCGACCGTGAACTTGTATCCACTCGCCACCGCAGCGGCGCCGCCGATGCCGACGACGAAGGCCCACGTGCTCGAGCTTGCGAAGACGCCTGCGTAGACGATCGATCGCGTTGCCCCCCACGCCATCGGCGTCTGCTCGATGGACACAGGAAGCCGCCTGAAAAGAGGAAGTAGAAGGCCACCAAAATGCGCGAGACGAGCTGAACTTTTTCGCCGCGCTTCTTGGCCCGGACGTAGGGGTCGTCTAGCGCAGACGACGCTTGCGAGTGCTCGGCGTCCGCGTGCGCGACCAGAGCGAGCAGCCCGGCAATACTCGCGCCGGAGCGGCACAAATACGCCGCGATGCCGTGGACGTGAGCGGTGCGCCGCACGAGCGGATTCGTGAAAACGGCTATGTTTACAACAGAGAGCACGGCCATCGCCGACGCCGCCAACCTTGGATCGGTGGCGAGCACCTGAGGAGTGGTCAAAAATTGCAATGAAAGCTTTCTAAGTTTTGCGACTTTCAGACGTAGCTCGCGGCTTGGAGGCGGGTCTCGCCAATCCCCGGCGTCTCTGTTGGCTAATTGGCGACGCCTACCTTGCCCCGTACCGTTACGGGTACGGGGCACACAGGCCCTAGTGAGTTTTGCGCCACTAGCATTTAAGCTGTTTTTCGCCGCTCGTCAGAACGCTGTTTTTCGCCGCTATTTTTTTTTTTTTTACGGGGGCGGAAAGGGCGAGCGGCGAAGAACAGCGTTCTGACGAGCGGCGTAAAACAGCTTAAATGCTAGTGGCGCAAAACTCACTAGGGCCTGTGTCACCCCGTACCGTTAACGGTACGGGGCAACCTCACTGCGTGGCCGCGCGCAAAGCGAGCTAGCGGCCTGTAAGACACTAGCAAACAAAGAGGCTTACGCAGGCACCGCAAGGTGAACGAAGCTTTTCCTGTGCTCCAGCCGTCAAAGTAGTAGCTCTTTGCTGTGCTTTCTCGCGGCGGCTGCATATTGTTGACCACTTGCATACATATTGTTGCGTCACTGCACATTGCTCTCACGGACATCACCGCTCTCACAACTGCACATTGCTCGCACGAGGCATCACTGCTCTCACAACTGCTCTCACAACTACTACCGATTCACACACAAGCAACATGCTCGCTCTCCGACACCTGGCGCGGCGCACGGCCGCGCGCGGCTTCGCGACGTCGACGAACAGCCGGACGTGGAAGGTCTACTTGAGTGGTGAGATCCACAGCGACTGGCGCGAGGTCATCGGCGACGGCGTGGCCCAGCGCAACCTGCCCGTGACGATCGACGCGCCGAACACGAGCCACGAGGACTCGGACGACTGCGGCGCCATCATCCTCGGCGACGAGGAGAAGCGACCGAACTACGACAACAAAGGCGCGCGCCTGAACCTGATCCGCACGCGGACCCTGATCGACGACGCGGACGTCGTCGTCGTGCGCTTCGGCGACAAGTACCGCCAGTGGAACGCGGCTTTTGATGCTGGCTACGCGACGGCCAAGGGCAAGGCCCTCGTGACGCTGCACCCGCCGGGCGTGTCGCACATGCTCAAGGAGGTCAACGCGACGGCGCTCGCCGTCTGCGAGGACGCGTCGCAGGTCGTCGACGTCCTGGACTACGTCATCACGGGCGCCCTGCCGGAGCCGCGCGACGGCCCGGGCTTCAAGACGATGATGGAGCGCCAGGGCGCGGGCAACCCGAACCCCGGGGGCTGATGAGTGTAGGCTCCTAACTAAACCTAACCTACTAGCGCCAGCGGCTCCATTGAACGCATTTGCAGACTCTTTTTCGAGCCGCCCCAGCATCTCATACGTGTTCGCAAGATTGCTCATGGGATGGTTCTAGAATCTTGAAATCTTGCGGGTATCAACTGGTATCATCAGCGCAGACTATACTATACCATCTCAGCGCAGCGCGATCGCGATTAGTGACGATGTCGACCATCACCGTCCCGGAGGGAGCCGCGCCCGGGGCAACCCTGCGAGTCACGACAAGCAATGGACCTGTTGACATCGTCGTTCCGCCCGGCGCGACGCCAGGAACCCAGCTCCCGGTGCCGATGCCGGCGCAGCAGCCCCTGATCCAGCAGCCGTTTCGGCAGATGATGTACCGGGTGCAGCCCGCGCCCATGGAGATCGTCGAGAACACGTCGGCCTTCGGCGCCGTGGTGCACACCCTCAAGGGCGAGGTAAAGAAGGAGGGCTGCTGCCCGTCGATCACGGGCGGCTGCCGTACCGAGCAGAACGTGTTGACGCTCTTCGAGGGCGGCATCCAGGCGCAGTCCATGGACACGGACTGCTTCGGCCTCTACTCGCACACGTACGTGAACGTCATCCCCAAGCACACGATTATTGCGGTGGACGTCGACTCGAAGCAGGCGTGCACCCAGTGCAATCCCCTCAACTGCAAGCCGTGGTGCTGCTGCGCGAACTCCGTCGTCCATTTCAAGGTCAAGAAGGACCCCTCGATGAACATGGTGTGGTGGATGGACGAGACGAACGTGTACCTCAAGATGAGCGGCATCGCCGACTCGCACATCCTGTTCGACTACGTGTACGGGGTGCTGGCGAAGTCGGGCGTCAGCGACCGCGCCCACAACCTCGCCCACATGATGGCGGGCGGCCTCTGCGACAAGGCCGACGTGACGCTCGACCTGGGTTTTTCTGCGTAGTCTTCTCCTCGTTCCCCGCCCCGTCGGGGACCCTCCTCATGATCCTCATATCCTGGGTCAAGTCCCAGCATCCCTGGTCTTTTCGGCGATCCCTCCCCCATACTATCTAACTGCCGTTCTTTTGCAGCCACTGGCAGTACGAAGTGGCCACGTTAAGACGCAACCCAGCCCCATAACATATCCCGTTATACGGCCGTATAGCATATCCCGTCGACGGGATATGTTAAACCTATTTATTTATCTCGGCTGCCTGGCGGCTCAAGTAGCAGTCGGTCGCGTCACGTGTCCCGTCGACGGGTATACGGCACTCCAGGAGGGGTAGGAGGACCTCAAAGCCGGCAGCAGTAGGCGACGCGGCGTCGCGGGCGGTGAGTCGACGCTATTTTGATCGTGCGATTTTAGCAGCGAGGTGCCGGATTCCTAAATTGAGGCTTGAAGAACCATCGGGGACTTTAACGAACCCTCCCATTTCGTAAAAGTTGCAAAGACACTCTAGGGCCTCGGCAGAGACGACGCCCCGCCTTTTGTGCATAGCGGCGCTTAGAGGTGCGCACCAGCGCAGTCAACGCGAGCGCATTCCCACAACTCACTTGCGACGCTGCGGTCGAAGCGGCGCGGCGCGCGCGTAGCCCCTCGCTGAGCAGTGACCCTCTTTCCACGGATCGAGTCACAGCGCGTGTGGGCGCCCGCGCGCACCGCGCGCATGAGAAGAAGCCATAGCCGTCGTCGCCGCAACCACCACAAACAATCGACGCCCCTCCCGCGCCCGCAGGTCCATCATCAAAAGCGAGGACGATGATCGTCCAGGTCAAGACGCTCGAGGGCCGCCTCTTCAAGGTCGAGGCCGCGCCCGAGGCGAGCATCAAAGCCGTCAAGGACATCATCGAGACGAGCCAGCCCGAGCTCAAGGCCGCGATGATGAAGTTAATTCATAGCGGCAAGGTGCTCAAGGACGACGAGACGCTCGCCGACAAGGGCGTCACGGAGCAGTCCTTTTTAGTGTGCATGGTCACGAAGCCCAAGCGCGCGCGCCCGGCGCCGGCGCCGGCGCCGGCGCCCGCTCCTACTCCAGCCGCGCCGGCGCCGGCGCCCGCCGCCGCGGCGCCGGCGCCGGCGCCGGCCGCGACGCCCCAGAACGACGAGTTCGTCTCGCCCGAGGCCCTGGCCCAGCTGAACGCCATGGGTTTCGGCCACGAGGAGCAGAGTAGAGCCGCGCTGCGGGCCGCGATGGGCAACGTGGACATGGCCGTCGAGTTCCTGATGAACGGCATTCCGGAAGAACAGCCGTCGCAGAACGTCGAGATGACCGAGGCCCAGGCGGCGTCGCCGCTAGCCGTGTTGCGGTCGCACCCGCAGTTTGATGAGTTACGAAGGACGATCCAGGCGAACCCGGCGTCCTTGCAACAAGTCCTGCAGGGTCTAGGCCGGGAGGACCCGCAACTCCTCCAAACGATCAAGGACAACCAGGCCGAGTTCCTGGCCATGATGAACGAGCCCGTGCAGGAGGCGCCGGCGATGGGTGCGGGCGGTGATGATTTAGATGCGGCGCAGTTCGCGCGGGCCATGCAATCGATCTCGCCCCAGCAACGGGCGCAGTTGGCGGCGACCATCGGCCTCACGCCGGAGCAGTTCGAGCAGTTTTCGCAGCAGATGCAAAATATGCCGCGCGAGCAGCTGCGGCAGCTCCTGGGCGCGCTGGGCGGCGGCGGCATGCCCCGGGGAGCTGGCGGTGGCGGCGGCGGCGGCGCGCCGCCCCAGAACGTCGTGCGCCTGACGCGCGAGGAGGCCGAGGCCGTCGGCCGGCTCTGCGAGCTCGGTTTTTCGCGCGAGGACGCGGCGCAGGCGTACCTCGCGTGCGACAAGAACGAGTCGCTCGCGGCCAACTTATTATTTGACGGGTTTGGGGGCGGCGGCCCGACGGCCGTCTTCCCGGACTCGCCCGCGGCGGCCGCGCCGGCGCCCGCGGCCGCGGCGCCCGCGCCGGCTTCGTCGGACGCCGCGGCGCCGGCGCCGGCGCCGAAGCCCGACGACGACGACGACATGTACTCCTGAGCTATCTCCCTCGTGGCGCGTGTGGGGGATCCGACTAACTGATGCACTCGACGGTGTTCCCGTGGTTGCTCGACGGCGTCCTTCGAGATGTTGTTGTTACGGTGCTAGGACTAGTGGGGTGACGCGTTGTTCGACGGCGTTTGCTAGTGTCTTACAGACCGCTAGCTCGCTGCCCCTGGCCCCAAGGGCGTTTCGAGCCATTTGCTCGGCGCTACGCTGCCCGCGCTCGCCAATCACTGGATACAGCCCAGCGATCAGCCTCGCTCAGCTTCTATCGATCGCTTTTGGAAGTTACGTGCTCCTGTGGCATTTGCCGGAGAGGCACTACATCATCGGTTGTTTGGCCCACGCGGCGCCGAAAAGCTAGGAACCGATCAAAAGGATGAACCTCCGCAATTCCCTCGCGCTCGTCATCGCGTTGGCCGTGCCCTACCTGCTCCTCACGTCGCACTACCTCAGCGCGCCGCCGCCGCCGCCCGTGGACCTCGCGCCGTACTACGCTACTATTAATTCGGCGCGCGCGCTGCTCGCCGAGCACGGCGCGCCGGTCCAGCCGGTAGAGGCGACGCCAGCACAACCGGTCGTGGCGCCTGCGAGTAGCGGCACGAAGGACCTCGTCATCGGCCTCGCGAAGGAGATCGACGCCAAGAATTTGGCCGTCTTCGCGGCGTCGTTACGACAGACCACCACAAACTGCGACCTCGTCCTTTTTGTGGATCGGCCGTCGATCGATCGGACGCTGCATACGATCGTCGAACGGTTTTCTGTGGATCTGATTCCCTACGACCCCGCCACCTTGCAACCGCCGCAACTCCGCAAGTTCCACGCGTCGACGTTGCGGTGGCCCCTGATCTCGCGCGAGCTCGACAAACGACGAGCAAGGAACTACCGAGGTGTTTTATTTGCGGACGTGCGCGATACGGCCTTTCAATCAGACCCCTTCGGCGCGATGCTCACTACCCAACAAGTCTTCTACGGGTTCAATGGAGTGGAATCCAGAACGATCGGCGAGTGCGGCTGGAACGGCGGTTGGATCCGCGACTGTTTTGGAGAGGCGAAAAGAAGGAAGCTCGCCTCAAAACCCATCGTCTGTTCCGGCGTGTCCATCGCGACGTTCGAGGAGGGTCGTCTTTATGCGGCGCAGATGGCCGAGGTCGTTTCTGATGCCCAGTTCGCACCCTGTGAAAGAAATGGGGTGGACCAGGGCGTGCACAACGTGTTGATGCATGAGAACGAGGTGAAGCACGCCGTCATTGTCTCACAACGAACAGCATTAGTTGCGAACCTCCAGGCTAAAGTCGCGTCAGTAGACCCGCGTTCACATAAGGTGGCCAATCCGCGCGGCGACGTCGTTTCTGTGGTACACCAGTACGACCGCTTCCCGAACCTGGCAGCTTTTTACTACGAGACGTATGCCAGGAGCATCCCGGGCGCCGTGCCCGACGCGTCGGCCTGCGCTTCTTATGAAGTTCGGAATGATGTGGACGCGTTCAAAGGAAGGTGCGACCTGGCTGTAAGTGGCGGCGCGCACCCGGCGGACTGCTGCGTCAAGTGCCAGAAGACGCCATCATGTCGAGCCTGGACCCTGGCGGGGAGCCAGTGCTACCTCAAGACGTGCTCGGCCTTCGGGCCCCTCGCGCGGATGCCCGGCGCCGTGAGTGGTGTAAAAAAGAGTTAGTTCATCTATTGATTCAGGGACATGGCCTCCGGGGTCTCGCTCGTTAGAGTGCAAGCGCATCGACCTCGACGCTTTGGAATCATACGACATTACGCCTCCATCCGAGTCGCCTTACCTAGCTAGAGTACGTCGGCCCCATGCGCCATCCGGGCGACCCGTGCGGGTCGGACATGAGGAGCTCGAGGATGCGGCGGTCGCCGAGAACGATGCCGCCGCCCTCGTTGACGAGCTTGAAGATGTTTTCGCGGACGACCGAACCATGTCCGCGTCGTCGTCTTGTGATGGATCGGAGACGACGACTGGCCCATAGACCTGGTACGTTTGGATCGAGGACCAGGTCTTCGGGGACTCGGGCAGATCGACGGGATAAACGCCGGCCTTCACGGTGCCGTGCGCGTCTGCGGTCGCAAACATGAAGTGGTTGTCGTACATCACCTCTCTGACCTCTATAATATCCAGACTAGGCAAAGCGTCGGCGGGCGGCACGTCGCGCTCGACGCCGTGGTCCAGCACGTCGCCGCCGCGCCAGTCGTGGTCGTCGCCCGGCCCGTCGTCGCCGTTAAACGCGTCGCGTAAATGTCCGGGGCGCGGCGCGCGGACGTCGTTCTCGGGCGCCAAAAGAGGCCGGGGCCTCCCGACCGAACCGAACTTGTCGCGCTCGGCATCTAACCCATCCTTCAGGGACGTCTTGTTCGGGGCGAGGCTCGAAGCTACCGTTAGGCCGAGGGCCAGCACGGCGAGCCGCATCTTGATAATGATCTTCTTCTGGTTCGAGTGATGTGCCTGCGCGGTTGTGAGGTCTGATTTTGCGTGCGTGGCGCGACGGCCTTGATTGGTTCCCGCGGGCGACGGCGAGGCCGCGAGGCCGCGAGGCCGCGAGGCCGCGAGGCGGCGAGGCGCGGGCGCGGCGCGGCGCGCGTGCGCGCGCGCGCGTGGAACAATTACGATCGCAGAGGTCTCGTTCGAGTAGTGTGGGATGCGCGGCCGTGTCGCGCGCCGCTGGCGAGGCGGCTTTCACGGGTCCAGGTCCAGGGCTCTCAGGCCTGGTCTTTGTGTGGCGGGGCGTGGTGGCGGCGACGCGGTGTCGTTTCGAGATAATTACTTACCGTATTATGAAGTTGAGTTGCGTACTATGTAAATTGCGACGATCGCGGCAGGCGTGATAGCTAGCGTCCTGTAAGACACTAGCAAGCGAAAAACTGAAGCGGCTTTGAGCGTTTTTTGCAGTCCTGATCCGCGTACGATCCGTAACACAGCGCTGGACGATCGCTGCCAGCAGCACAAATACACGAGCGAAGATTAAGACACGTACTGATGGCGGACGCGGAGGAGCTGCCGCAGGCGCCATTGACCCCGCGAGGGCAGGGCGTGAAGCACAAGGAGCATCCTGTCCAGTCCTGCGAGGCCGACTCGGCGCGCGCCGATCGGGCCGCGGTGAAAGCGGCGCGGCGAGGCGCGGTCCTCATGTCGAGCGAGACGCCCGAAGCGGCGGGCTGCGTCGAAAACCTCCAGGCCTCCTTAATTGCAGCGGGCCAGGACACGCCGCGCGCGTCCACCAAGGACACGGCGCAGAACTGGGAGCGGACGGAGCCGCCGGCCAAAACGTCCGCCATCGTTGACGCGTTCAGGCGTCTCCGACTCACGGGGATCGGGGGAAGTATCGGCTATTTAGCGGCGGCGGTCCATAGAGGCACCTTTTGGCTGTGGCAGCGCAAACAGCTCTATGTCGAGGAGGGCAAGGTCTGGGACGCGATGGACAGCGAGGAGCGGCGCTTGCGCATATTAGCGGCGGACACAGCGTTTCAGGACGCGAAGGCCCACCTCAAGAAGGTCGAGACGCTGGGCAAGGCCAAGATCGCGATATTCGACGCCGCGGACGCGGAGTTAGCTGGTTTCCGGGCGCGGTGCGTGACCTGGGCGACGGAGAAGGGCCACCCGGTCTTATTAGTGGGCGGCGGGTCAGGGGTGCTGGCCAAGGCCCCCGTTGGCGGCAAATATAGATATAGTGTTGTATTAGATGATGATGTCGAAGGTGTGGGCGTCAAGGGCCAAGAGGTGAAGCGCACGAGGGCCCAGATCGACGAACGGTATGTGGCACCGACTTGCACGGAGATGGAGAGCGGCGCGTGCGGCAAGGTCGGCGTGAGAATCACATCAGTCACTGTGACGCGGGACGGCCTCGAAGACTTTGGCCTGCGGTTGGTGGCGGCGCGAGCGAACGCCGAGACGACGGCCTACGCGGCGGCCTACGCGGAGGTCGCCGCCGAGAACTACGACGGGGGGCACGACGCGTTCGCGGCGAGGTGCGCGGCGGCGAAGACGCGCACGGAGGTGCTGGTCGAGGTTTATGAGCGCTCCCTGGCTTTGTCGTGTATCCCAAAAGCCGAGATTTCTTGGCATCGCTGCCAGTTGATCGCGGATGAGGCTGGGCCCGGTTATACCCAGCCATCGGGGAAGTACCAGTACTGGCCCACCGTGATTATGAAAGACGTCGAGGACGAGCTCGACGAGCAGCCGCCCGAAGAACGCCTGGCCGACCTCTTTCGCCGCCGCAAGTTAGCTTTACAAAGGCCCAAGCCCACGGAAGAGCTCGAGCTCTTCAACGAGCAGAAGGCCGCGGCGGCGTCGGAAACGTTGAACTACAAGCTCAAGGTCCCTTGCTTTAACCAGGCGAATTGGGACGAGGCCGAGCGCGCCTTCAACGTCGCCGAGGCCGCGCGGAAAGGGAAGCGGCACGCCGTCGCCTCGGCGCGCTGGCGCCTGCCTTTGGATCCGAGCATGAAGCTCGCGCCCCCCGCCAACGCCCTGCGCAAGTGCAAGAAGTACCTCGTCCTGACCGACGAGGTCGAATTTGAGGAGCTCGGGGAGCTCGTCAAGAGCCTGGAGCACGGCGCGAAGATCCACCCTCACCAGTTCCCTGTGTCTTAGGTCCGGGAGATAAGAGTGTTCTTTAAAGCACGTAGCGAGCAGCGGACCGCCGACGACGCCCGGGCAGCGGCGCGCGCCGTCGTCAATAGTGATATGGACAGCATCGACCCCGCCGGCCTTTCGCTCGTCGCGCCCGAGCTCGTGCGGTACCTGCAAACGCGTGGGTTCCCCGCAAACCTGAAGAGTTAGTAGCCTATCATTGGTTGAGAGACATTGCCTCCGCGTCCTGCTCGACGTCGTCGATGCCGTCCGCGTAGCCGATCATCTGCGCGCGCCGCGCGCCCTCGAGCGTGTACTTGGCCAGCTCCGCCTCCGACGCCGTCGCCTCGTACTCGATGCAGCCGGCCTTCGCCAGCCAGCCCTCCAACACTTCGGTCTTGAACTCGTTCTCGTGGCCCGCCTTCAGGTCGTCCGTGAGGCCGTCGAAGCCGACCAACCTCGCAGACGCGACGCCGTCCCGGAAGACGACGACGGTCGGCATGACCCGCACCTGCAGCTTCTGCACGAAGAAGGGCGACTTGGCCGCGTCCATCTTCATCATCTTACATTCCACGTGTCTCGGCGCGAGGATCGCCAAATGATGATCGATCACTTTACAGTTCTCAAAGTCCGCGTGGTAGAAGTGGACCAGCGTGTTCTTCGACTTGAGGACGTCATTTAAAAAGTCGTCCTGGCAGATCTCGTGGTAGCGGCCGTGGCCCTTTTGTAAATTCTCGATCTTCTCCTGGTGCTGGGCCTTCATCTGCGCGAGTCGCTTGTTCCTTAAATTTTGTAAAATGTCGCCGTCGTCCTCCAACCCATCAAGATACTCGTCATCATCACTCGATTCGCCGACGCCCTCCTCTTCGATGATTTGCTCCGCGGCCTGCCGTCGGACTTGTTCCGCTCGCTCCTGCTCCTTCAGGTATCGCTCGGCGCGCTTCTTGGCTTTCGCATTGTCAATGGCCTGCTGCTTCTGCCGGTACGCCGCACCGGAAGGGCCGTGTTCCGAAGTTTCGACATTGGAACCACCAGTCGCGTACTTCTCCCGTAAATCCTCCACCGCGTTACGCATGCGCTTGTCGACCTCCTCGGTCATCGCCTCCTGGATGGACTTGTCCTCATCCGTCGCGGCGCCGCCTAAAGGATTGACGGGCGTGAAGATGTCGGCCTTGCTGCCCGTGATGTGCTGGCCGGAGGCGGGCATCTTGGCTTTCTTGGAGCTCTGGGCTGCTGCTGGTTTTTGCTTGCGACCTCTACGCACGGCTTTATGCGTGCAACACGGCTGTGGTCCGGACCAATGCGGTCAAGCACGAGACTCGGTACCCTTCGTTGGCTGCCTAGGCCTGTGATCACGGTGGATTTAAGGCGCCGGTTTTACGACCTCCTATAAACCTAGCGTATCGTTTAACACACTAGCCGCAGACACTCATGTCTAGCCTGAGCCACACACATGTCTTAGCACCGTATAGAAGAACGGAAGCCACATACACAGGGATTGTAGGCTGTCCGGCGCGCGACGAGAACTCTAGTGAGATGCACAAAACCTGGAAGATCGTAGAGGAGAAACACAAACATCCTTACACAAAAAAGAAAGATCACGCACCTCGATCCGTCGCCCGCCGCACGACGTCGCCGACGCGCCGCCGCCGGCGGCGGCGCGGCTCCTCCTCTTCCGGCCGCTCGCGCGCGCGTCGCCGGTCCTCGGCGGCCGCCCGGCGCGATTCCTCGAACTCGCGCCGCAGGGAATCGAAGTCGTCGGCGTCGTCGGCCTCGGCCGCGAGCGCGACGTCGACGCGGATCTGAGGCGTATCGTCGTCCTCGACTGCGGGCTCCACAACCAGAGCAGGCCGCCAGACGACGAGGCCGCCGCGGTCGTCGCACGCGACGAAACGATTGACACCAGGAGCGACCGCGCAGGCGCGCACGCCGCCCGCGTGGCCCGCTTCCGGCGTCCGCCACGCCTCGTTCGCCGAATCCAATGATAAAAGAGACGCGTGGCGCCCGTCGGGGATCAAAGCCGAGCCCTCGAGGAAGGCTGCCTGGAGCGGCGCCGGTGACCGCGTCCCTCGTATTTGCACGGGCGCGAACGCGTCCGAAACGAAAGCCCCCGAGTCCGCGTCCCAGGCCCTTAATCTCTCGTCGGCGCCCGCCGTTATTAACTTTGTGCCAGAGAAGGCCGCGAGCCGCAGCCCGCCGTCGTGGGCCGTCTTCGCGACCCGATCATTGATGGAAGCAGGAGCCCCGCTCAGGTCGTGCCGGTCGAGCGACCCGCGCTTCTTCAAAGTGCGGACGTCCCAGAGGTGGGCCGCGCCGTCGGCGCCCGCCGTGAGCAACGTGTCATTGGAAGGGTGCCACGCTAACGCAGAGACGGGGCCCCGGCCGTGACTCAGAGAAGAGTGGCACGCTCCGCTCCGCGCGTCGCATAGCCTACAAGCGCCGTCAGTCGTCCCTACCGCACAAACGGCCGCCGTCGGGCCCGTCGACATGGGTGAGAGCGCCGCGGAAGCCAGGGCGGGCAGGTCGAAGCGGCACGCGGCTTTCATTGTATTGGCGTCCCACACCACGACATTGCCCGCGCAGCACGCGCTCACGAAGACTCCGCCGTCGTGGAACCAGGAGCACCCCACAATGCTTCGGTCGTGGCCGCTGCGGTCCCGCGGCGTCGTCGCGATCTCCGAGCGTTTCTCGAGGTCGTATATAGTGATGCGGCCGTCGGCCGATCCGGCGAGCAGTTTCGTGCCATGCGTCGCGAGGCAGGTCACGTTCTGGGCGCGGTGGTTGGTGTACGCGTAGTTCGTGTCGATTTCTGGGCGGCTGGTCCACTGAGGCTGCTGGGCCATGGTGCTCTCCCAGTGACTGGGCTTTTCAACGCGCGAGCGCTGTCAAAAGTTCAGCATTGATGGAGAGGCCTTCAAAACGGCTCGAATTAGCAGAGATTTACAGCCGTGCGATGGTATGCTGGCCGAGGCTCGATTTTGTGCTACAGCACGGGTTTTGCGTCCAGCCGAAAGGCCGCCCGTTCTGTTGCAGCACCCGTCGGAAGACGATTCTCGCCGGGAGGAGTCTTCCCGCAAGGAGCCAGCTGGCACTCAGGGCTTGAGAGCTTCGACAGAGGCTCGCAAATAGAGGCGTGCAGGAGGGCCTGCGCCGTCACCGCATTGACACCCTGCGTTCAGGAGTGTCTAGCCTGGACCATTTCCAGGACCTGCGCAGCTTTGTTTCGTCCCCGCGGCGCGTCCCCTGCTGAAAACAAGGGGTGCTCGCTCCGTCGCGAAACAGCTAGATTTTGCCCGCGGCCCCCCAGAGCCGCCAGCCTGCGACCCGGGAGAGATCCTCCGGAGCACGCGGCAGCCTGCGACGCGCGCCAAGCGCGGACCGCGGCGTTTAACAGGAAAAGCCTGCGACGAGCACAAGCTCGGACCGCGGCGAATACTAACAGGAAGAGCCCCCGCAGCGCGGCGAAACCTGCGGATCGGCCGCGATGGCCGAGGCAGGCACGCAGCCCAAGCGGAGCTTCCGCCCCGCGTGGCGCAAGGACGGCGGGTCCTTCGGCGCGCCCACGACGCCGAAGCAAGAAGAACCGGAGGAGCAGCAGAATGGCGCGCCGCCGGGGAGCCCGCGCCAGCCCTTCGGCGCGCCGCCCGTGACGAGCGACTGGCAGACGAACGGCGCGCCGAGAAGGGAGCAGAGGCCGCGGCGCGAGCAGCGGCCGCGGCTCCAGAGCAACGCGTCGGCGTCGAGCGCCGACGCGCCGTCCCAGCGCATCCGCAAGGCCCCCCAGGTCACCTTCGACAAGGCCGCGCTGCTGAAGCTGCGGAAGCGGACGGTGTTGCTCGAGAGCATGCGCGCGGCTTTACCGCGCGAGATCACGTCGAACGACCCCCTCGACCCGCTGTCTATCAATAGACGCCCGACCGTCGAGCAGATCGGCCAGCAGTGGGCGCGGGCCCAGCCCGTCGGGAGGCAGAAGGAGCGCGCGCCGCCCGAGAACGGCGAAGCCCTGGAACGAGGCCGGAAGGCGCCGCCGCCTCAATCTGAGAAGGAGAAGGGCCCCTGGGAGCGCGGCATGTCCGTGCCCCAGCGCCAGGCCGGCGGCGAGAAGCTCTGGGACGATCTAGATGCGGAAACCTTTGGGGACCATGATGGGTCCGCGGCCCTGTCGAACTGGGCCGAGCAGGCGAAAGCTTTTGAGGCCGAGATGCAGGCCATGCGGAAAGCCGGTGGTGGGAAATTACCGGGCGAGCCCGTGGGCAACAAGGACATGTTCGGGGCCGCGTTCAGCGAAGCGCCGGACGTCGCGCCCGCTTTGACGGGCCAGGAGGACGCCGAAGAACTAGCACAACGAGCTCGGGCCGCGGCGGCGCTCCAAGCTCTGGAGGAGGCGGCAGCCAAGCCCGCGCCGCCGCCCCAACGTGCACAACCGGCAGACGACGGCCGCTGGCGCGTGCTGCCGTGGTTCTACCGCGACCCGCAGGGCGCGGTGCAGGGCCCCTTCGAGGCCACCCAGATGCGCCAGTGGTTCCAGGCGGGCTACTTCGACGATGATTTGCCCTTGCGCCAGGGGTCGAACGGCGACTTCCACTCATTAAAACTGCTCTTCACGAACCCGCCGGGCGACGCCTTCGTCACGAAGCCCAAGGACCTCTCGGCGCCGCCGCCGCCCAAACCCGCGCCGGCGCCGCCGCCCGCGGCCCCGGGCATGTTCGGCCGCCCCGGTCTGGTGGTAGACGACCAGCCGGCGCCGCCGCAGAACCAGGGCTTCAACTTCATGTGGGGCGGCGGCCAGCCCGCTCAACCTCAACCGCCGGCGCCGCCGCAGCAGCTCGACTACGCCATGGGCGGTTTAGGTATTGGCGGTCTGAGGACGGCGCCGCCGGCGCCCGCGCCCGCGCCGAAGCCCCGGCCCGCGCCGCGCGCGCCGCCGCCGGCGCCGGCCCCGGCGCCGCCGGCGGCGCCGCCGCCCCAACCCGCGCCGCCCGTCTGGCAGCAGGCCGGCGGCAACCGCCGCGGCAAGGGCCAGTCCATGGCCGAGATCCAGGCCCAGGAGGCCGCGGCCCAGCAGGCCCAGCAGCGCCAGCAGCAGCAGGCCCAGCGCCAGTCGCAGCAGCAGCGCCAGGCGCCCCCCGCCAGTATGGCCGCGCGCCTCGCGGCCCAGCAGCCGCCGCCGCCGGCCGCGCGGCCCGCGCCCGCGCGCGCCGCGCCGGCGGCGCGCCAGGCGCCGCCGGCGGCGGCCCGCCCGGCCGCGCGCCCGGCCCAGCAGCCCCAGTACAACGCGGCCCCACCGAAAGCCCAGACGGGCCAGAAGGCCTTTGGGGGCCCCGTCGCGACGTCGGACCCCAAGGCCCTCGAGACGTGGTCCAAGACGCAGCTCAAGAAGATTACCGGTAGCGACGACCTGACGTTGGTGCATTTCTGCATGACGCTCGCCGACTCGTCCGAGATCCGCCAGTACCTCTCCCTGTATCTGGGCAGCACGCCCCAGGTCGCGGCCTTCGCGAACGAGTTCATCCAGCGCAAGAGCGGCAAGGCCGACACGAAGACGACCAACATCTCGACGGCGCCGCGCCAGGCCGTGCAAACTCAACAGCGCAAGGAGGAGCCGATGCAGCCCGTAAAGACGGGCCGCCGCCGCGGCCGACGCGCGAACAAGGCGGGATAGGCGGCAGGCGCGCCGCCCTCGGTGACGCTTCCTTTACGAACGCGAACCGAGTACGGCGGCGCGCCCGCTCCGCTTAGCCCCCCTTCCCCCCGGTGCTCGTCGAGGCCCGAATAGGCCCAGAACGACACCATTGCAACGACATTTCCTCTCGCCGGCGTCGAGGCCCACAAGGCCCAGAACGCCCGGCCCTTCTTACTGACGCGGCAGTCGCGCGCGCGGGTGGAGCACTCGCCCCCGTAATTGCCATTTCGTCACACATTTCTAGCTTATGTCCCTTGTCCCCTCCTCCCGGCCGCGCACGTGGGCACTTACGTGGGCGCGCCGGCCCCGGCGGCCCGGGCCGTTCAGTGGCTTTTCCTCACACATCAGAGCTTATGTCACTTGCCCCCGCCGCCGGCGGGGTGCCTATCTACTTGCCTATCTTTTCCTTGCGACCGGCCGCTTGTTCAGCGGCCCTTCCTCCCCGGCGACTCGGGGTCGTTCGGCGGCAGCGGCTGCGCCGAGAGCGCGTCGACCGACGCCTGCATGGCCTCCTGCGCCAGGTCCGCGACGTCGGTCGCCGTCGCGCCTTTGCCCTCGCCCGCCTCCAGCATGTCGTTCCACGCGTCGACGGCGTAGAGCTTCACGCGGATCGTCGCGGGGTGGCCCGGCGCGCCCTTCCAGGGCCAGAAGCGGTGCTGGCCCAGCGCGCTGATGCCGTAGATCGGCAAGCGCAGGTCCACGGCGAGCTGGAACGAGCCGCGGCGCAGCGGCAGGCACTTCGTTTGATCTTTACGGTTCACGGTGCCCTCCGGGCAGAACGCGAGCACGCCGCCGCCCGCGACGTGCGCCCGGATGCGCTCGTTGACGGGTGCTTGCCGCGTCTTGTCCACGGAGAACTTGCCCTCGTCATCTTTCAAAAAGTAGACGGGCTCGTGGCCCACCAATCTAAAAATCTCGCCGAGCACGGGCGTCTTGAAGGTGTAGGCCGCCATGAGCGACTTGCAGCGCCGGCAGAGCGCCGATGGCATGATCGCCGCCATGAGGAACCCGTCGAACATGGACGTGTGGTTGAACATGAGGATGCACCCCTTATCTTGCGGGAGGGCGAGCTCCTTCCAGTCCTCCTCTTCCGGTTCTTCGACCTTCAGCCAGAAGCAGCTCCGGATGAGCGCCCTTAACAAAAACCGCATCGACACCAGGCTCCGCTCCTGCGCGCCGCGCTTCGTCCCCCAGAGGTGGTTCGCCTTCGCCGCCGCGTAGATCCCAAGGCACACGGGCGTCACCAGCAGGCCGAAGGCTACCGGGCCGGCCAGCGCGCGGTCAGCCTTTTGGCTCAGCATCGTTCTTCTTTGGTGGTGTGAGCGTTTCGTAGCCTTCGTTCGGAAGGATTGCGTCGAGGTCCGCGTCGGTCACGGCCGCGTTCGTTTTTGGCGCCTCCGGCTTTGCGAGCGTCTCGTAGCCCTCGTCCGGGAGCAGCGCGTCGAGATCCGCGTCGGTCACGGCCGCGTTCGAGGCGAGCAGCTGCGTCGTGGCGGCTGCTTTTTTGTCTTCAGTGGTGGCCTCCGGTGCCTCCGGTGCAGGCCGCTTTTTGGACTCGCGATCCGCCGTTTTTCTAGGGAGCGCTGGAGATCGCAGCGCGAGGATGCAGTAGCACGCTCCGGCGAGTCTCTAGTGCGGCGTGCGCGCAGCACAGCGCAATTTCTCAGCTGCTACTGGTTTTTTGGCTAGGTATAGGTATAAGGTACCATACCGATACCTACCAGGCCAGGCTTGCCAGGCTTCAAAAATACTATTCGCTGGCCGCCAAGCCTCATCGGCGAGCCATGCTTCGAATTCAACACAATTACCCAACGCCCTCCTCCCCGACGCCCGGCAGCCGGCCCTTCGGCAGAGGCTCCCCGGCGTCGTCGCACTCGTCGCTGAGCAGGTAGCGCCCCGAGTACTTCGTGAGGCCGTCGTGGACGTCCATGACTCTATCCGAATAATGGAAGTGGTGCTGCGGCGCCCACTTCGCAGGATGCGGTCGCGGGAACGCTGCTAATGGCAACGCGTAGAGGTCCTGCTTGCCGAGCTTGAGCGTCGCCAGCGTCGGGCTCGAGCACGACGTGCACCGGTAGCGCACGACGTTCTTGCTCGTCTGCAGGCCCGCGAGAGCGTCGGTCGACGCGGGAGATCCATAGATATCTATGCGCACGTTGCTGCGCGGCGTCAGCAGGTTCGCGCAGAACGGCGCACCGCAGAGCCGCCGGCAGACCGAGCAATGGCAGATGCTCGACGACACGATCGCGTCGGCGTCGATCAATGAGATCCGCGTCTTGCCGCAGAAACACTCACCGGGCGTGGGAGGCTTGAGAAGCGCCATGGTGGTGGTGGAGAGGCAGAGTAGAGCCCAGCCGGCGCTCTGCATCCAGCAATGGCGCTGTGCAGCGGCTGCAGCCTGGTGAGCGCTGCTCCAGTATTTTTGCGCGCAACAGCGATGCGCAAAAGCGGGCGCGTCGATAAGAGGTAGACCACTGCGACTCTTTTGCTAACTTGGGCCTGCTCCAGGTACTTCTGTCAGACTCTGCCTCCCGAGCATGCTAGCGTGTCGTGACACACTAGGAATAGCAAAACAGCCGACGTGAAAACGGCGCCGCTGTCGTCCCAGGGTGAGCTGCCATAGCTGCGCACGTCCCAGCCACCGCTGCAGCGCTGCCAGGCCGCGGGCCATCGCGCCGCTTCTCTAAAAAAACGCACAAAGCGGCATTGCAGCTGCAGCCCTAATTATCGCGCAGCAGTCACAAAAAACGCAAAACAAGCGCTGACAATGTTCAAGAAACGCACCCAAAAGGGCCAGGCGAAGCGCGCCGCGCCGGAAGCCACGGGAGACCAGCCCCAGGCCGACATCGTGAAACGGCCCGAGAAGCAGGCGCGCGGCCAGCGCTTCGCGACGAAAAGCGACGACAAGGACGACGAGGATGCGCTGCAAGCGTCGGCCGTCTTCGCGTCCTCCCGAACGACCGCACCAATCGATCATAGAGGAGGCGCCTTTGCGTACGGCGAGGTCGACACCGAGGCCGATAAAGACACTAGAGCACAACTAGAAAGGAATCTGGAGCTCCAAAAAACGGAGGGAGACGGTACCTATAGGGGCCAGGCCGGTTATAAATCATATGTGAAGAAGGACGAGGCCCAGATCGGCGCGAACAAGTACACGGGCACCAAAGGACCTATCAGGGCCCCTCAATTTGTCAGAAACACGTGCCGCTTCGACTACCAGCCCGACGTCTGCAAGGACTATAAAGATACGGGCTTTTGCGGCTACGGCGACTCTTGTAAATTTATGCACGACCGGGGCGACTACAAGACGGGCTGGCAGCTCGAGGCGGAGTTCCAAAGGCAAAAAGAAAGGGAGCGGGAGCGGAAGATGCTCGGGAAGTTGGATGGGGAGGATAGTGAAGAGGAAAGGGAAAGAGATAAGTTCAGGATCAAAGATGGTGGTGACGAGCTGCCCTTCGCGTGCCATATTTGCCGAGGGCCTTTTAGGGATCCCATGGTCACGCAGTGCGGCCACTACTTCTGCGCGAACTGCGCGAGCGACCACTTCCGCTCTCGTAATACGCGGTGCCCCATTTGTGAAAAACAAACTTATGGGATGCTGAGCGCGGCTCCCAAATTGCGCGCGAAGGCGAAAGCTGTGGGCGGCTTCGAGAAGTTCTTCGAGCTCGGGCTCAAGGTGCCCGATGGTGATGATGATGATGGTAAGGGCGGCGAGGCCTACGGCGCGCGCGTCGCGCAGCCGGGCGCGCAGCGGCCCGAGAAGCGCGAGGCGACGGGCTACTGGCAGTCCGTGGACCCTAGGAATTTGTAAGCGAGTGGTTTTTGTATTATCGCTCTTCATCTCGGCGACGACGCATGGGATCACTGGGACTCTGCGTCCGGCGTCCGGCGCCCGCGTGTCTATCCTCACCTGTCTCCTCGCGCTCTGGGCTTTCCCCGCTCGCCGCGAGGGGCTCTGTTCCCAAGTCCTGCACCCCAGGGAATTCGGCGTGTAGCTAGCGCCGGTAAGACACTAGCAAGCAAGCAGCGCAAGCGCTGGAGGCATTTTGCAGGCCGCGTAGCGGCGCAACACAAGGCGCATTGGACCGCCGCAATCGCCAGGCAGCCGTCCAGGCGAAAACGCACGCCCTAAGGCTGCCGCACCCAAGATGTTGATATTGGGGCTGCTGCTGCTCGCACAAGCACGAGCCTACACGAATGACAACGACGACGCCTGGATCAACGCGCCGCGCTCGGGCAGCATCCTTACCAGTGAGCGCGTCGACGTGGCCCTCGCGCTGCGGCCCAGCGCAGACACGACGCAACGCGTCGCGTGTCTGAGCACGGAGCAGTTAGATGTTGACAATCCATCGACGACTCGCGACTGTTTTGATGTCACGGTCGAGGGGAACACCACAAAAATCTTGGAAGCGGGCGCGTCGGTCGTCCTGCGGCCGCGCGGGCACTGGTTCAAGGTCGAGCTCGAGATGTCCGGGTCGGCCTTCGCGGTGGCCGTCTACGTGGCAACGCCTACCTCCATAGAGAAGACGCCCGTGGGGCTGGCCTGGGACTGGGGCGGTGGTATTGGATGGGGCGTCGCGGGCTTGCACATCGCGCTCGCGCTCGCGGGAGACGAAAGGATTTTACCCGTGCCGCTCGGGCGGGCGCACCTCTTCGAGGCTTCGGAGGCGCAGCGGTCTTTATTGAAACCGTCGCTCGACGCCGCGGCATTGTTAAATGCCACGGACCGCTACGACGACCAGTCCATCTCGACCGGAGACCCGTTGCCGTTTCCGGTGGTGCACGCGCTAGGGAGGTGGGGCGTCAACGGCTCGCTCAACTCCATGGACGCGGGCTGCTGGTCCTCGGTGAGAAACGTGGGCATCCTCTTCGCGGAGACCGAACACTGGCCTTCATCGGATTTGGAGGGGTTGCGGCGGTACGACGAGGTGCTGGTCGGGAGCACGTGGCTCGGCGAGGCCCTCCTTCGGAAGGGGGAGCCGCTGCCGCCGATCCGCGTCTTCGTGCAGGGCGTGTCAAGCGGCTTCGGGCCGTCATCAGCCATCATCAGACATGCAGGGGATAGGTTCCGCGTCTTCAGTGGCGGGAAGCTCGAGTGGCGCAAGGGGCAGGACATTGTCGTCGAGGCGTTCAAGCGGTTTAGTCATAAGCATCCACGAGCGAACGCGCAATTAGTGTGTGCCTGGAGCAACTCGTGGCGCCAGACGACCCTAACGATGCTGAACGCGACGCACACGGTCGGCGTGCCTCGGGCGACGCCGCGGCAGGCGCTCGAGGAGGTCACCCCGGGGCCGCTGCCCAAGTCGGATCAGGACCACGAGGACGAGCGCCACGCGCTGACGGATTGGTTGGTGGAAAACGGCGTCCGCCGGGAGGCCATTGCTGCGTTCCCACCGTTACAACACGGCGACGTGCCCGGGATCCTGAGGAAGGTCGACGCCGCGCTCTTCCCGAACCGGTGCGAGGGCGGCACGAACCTCGTCGCGATGGAGGCGTTAGCGATGGGCGTGCCGACGATCCTGGCGGACGGGACGGGCCAGCGCGACACGGTCCACTTGGCGGGCGGCGGGTGCTGGCCGCTGGCGGCCGCGCCCGCGACGGGCGGGCCGCCGGACGCGGCCGGCGTCGAGGTCGACGTCGAGCAGGCGACGGCTGCCTTGGAGGCGATTTATCTGGACGCGGCGGGCGCGCGGCGGCGGGCGCTCGAGGGCGCCGGGCGCCTGCGCGCGTGGACGTGGGGCCGCGCGGTCGCGGTGATCGTCGAGGCCGTCCTCGGCTCCTCCTGAGGAGTTTGTTGTTGTGTAAGTTGTCGTTTTTATTTGGTTTTCTTTTTTGCTTTGCTTAGCTCAAGTAGAGCTAGGCGGCCAAGCGCGACCGACGCGGGGTCTGCGTGACCGCGCCCCCGGCCCTCCTACGCCGTCGCCCCACCACGGACGGACTCCGGACTCGTCCGGCGAGGCCTGGATACGCCCGGACGCGCCCGGCTAGCGGCCCGCCCGCCCGCCCGCCTGCCAAGGGCTGAGAAATCTGTCACGCTGCCCGCGCCGTACACGCGAACAGCACGCTATTAGAGCGAAAGGGCTGCGTAACGCGAGCTCACTCATCGAGATCCGTCCACTAAACAGCGCGCGCGCATAGATAGGACGCGCGGGCAGCCTTCCTGGGCCCAGCACCACCCATACTGCTGCACGCAGACGACGCGACGATGGCCGCCGAGGAGAAGAGTGATGCAGCTGTTATGAAGGACCAGGCCCGCTTCGACGAGCTCATGGCCCACGCGCCGGACAACGACGCGCTCCGGGCGTCGCTCACGAAATTGTGGAGTGCGCCGCCGCTCGAGCCGATGAAAAGAGCGTTCGCACAATGCGACAGCGAGGACGAGGCGAGGAGGATCCTCTTCTTTCCTGAGGAAAAAGATGGGGAGGCCTACGCGTGTATAGTAAAACACCCGCGCGACGGACTGCCCCACGCCGCGCGGCCCGCGCTCGGCCTCATGTTCATGCTCCACCACAAGTCGGACTTCCACAGAGTTTTTGCGGTGCATGGAGGCCTCGAAGGCCTCGCGTCGAGACTGCAGGAGGAGGACCAGCACGTCCGCGCGCACGCCGTCGAGATCTTTTTGAGGGTCACCGGCGACGAAGCGCTGAAGTGGTACGTGGCACCCTCGACCGACGACGAGGTGAAGATGCACCGCTCTCTACTAGATCTGGGGGATCGGATGATCCCTGATTTAGTCGCCAATTCGCGCGACTCGTACCCAGGGGGCGAAAAGGCGTGCCTCGACTTGCTCGCCTTCTGGCTGGGCTGGGCGCGGCAGATGCACTGCGAGACGCACGTTTTAAATCCCTCTCGACTATTAATCGAAGCGTTGTCCGACTGGGTGTTGCGGGCGGAGCGGCGCGGCGACGCCGACGAATCGGGTCTGGCGAAGCGATTGTTCGACGACTTCTCGCGGTGCGACCCTTGTAGTGGCACGGGCTGGGTCGGCGGTACGGTCCTGTGCAAGGCCACTGATGATGACGTGATTGAGATGAGTGGAGGCTTCGACCTCGATTCCAAACCCAAGAAAGCAGTAAAGCCGATGCCGCCGCCGCCGCCGCCGCGCAAGATCGAGGTGAAACCTAGACAAGCCGGAAATCAGGCCTTCGCCGCCGGCGACTTCGAGAAGGCCCTTCAGCACTACGACGCGGCATTAACCGAGGAGAATGAAACAGCGGTGTCGACGCTGCAGTGCAACCGAGCAACTTGTTTGGTCAAGCTGGCGGCGCGCGACGTGAGTGATGATGTAAAGAACAAGGCGTGGTTGCAAAGAGCGGAGGAGGCCTGCGACGCGGCGTTGGACGCGGACCCGCGCAACTCGAAAGCTAGATATAGGCTCGCCCAGACTTTGGCCGCCCTCGGCGACGAGAGGCTGGGCGAGGCTATATCCGCGGCACGTAGTGCAAGGCGAGCCATCATCGACGAAAAGGCCGGAGACGCGCAGCGGGGCGCCGTCGCGGACTTGCTGCTGGCGCTGTTGGATCGGGACAAGGCCACGAATGATAGGACGTCTCGGATTGCGAGGGGCCTACTACGCGCTCGAAGGGGCGGAAAAGGGCATGAGATGACGCGGGGCTGGAAGAAGCCTGGATCGGAAAACAAAAAGAAAGCTGCCGTGCAAAAAGGCTTCATGGACCCGAAGCCCCGCGACTACGCATCTAGTGATGATGAGCTTGTTGTGGAGGACGTGACGAAAACACCTGCTACGGAAGAGGACGCGTCCGATAGCGATGAAGCTCCGACAGCCGTGGTCGACGCCACGGCCGATAGTGACGACGACGAGCTCATGGCCGTGCGCAAGGCCGAAGATGACCAACGGAAGGCGCGGCGGAAGGCCCGGATTGTTGCGAAGGAGAACAAGAAAGCTTCTGAAAAGCCTTCTGAAAAAGCCGCGCGCAAGGCGGCGCGCGTCCAGCGCATCCTGAAGATGAGTATGAGCTGAGTAACCTTACGTTTAGGGGTTCTAGTCCGCGGCTGGTGCTTAGTTGAGGGTAAGTTGAGGGGGGTTTCTGGGAAACGCGGCTGTGACGTCCGCGGTGAGCCCAAAACCGACGCAATTGCTGCCCCCTTTTCGCCGTGATTCCGGTTTCTCCCCCTCGTGCCGGTTGAGGACGTACGCGAGTCCTCGCACAGGTATTCCTGCGCTAGTGAAGTTCAAACTAGGCAGAGGCTCCGGCAGCTCAAGCTTGCTGCTAAAAGAAGACGGGCCATGCGACGAACCTAGAGCCTGGGCACAGCTTTTAACTTCCTCCCTGAGACCGGCCCAGTGCTCTCGGCTCACACAGCCGAGCGCAGCGCCTGAAATTTCGCAGAGGCCGACTGAGAGCTAATTTGAGTTGAGGGCCATCAAATGACCCCGCCGCGGGCCCGCGCCGCGGGCCGCGGCCGAGGAGGCGCCCGCGCGGCCCCACGGCGCCCTCGTAGGACGTTGGCAGGGTTTCTCGCCCTCCAGCTGCTGCCCGTCGCCGCGTACGCGCCGGCGAGGCCGGTCTCGCCTTCCCGGCTTCGCCTGGGCGCGGCGACGCTGGACCCCGTGGACCTCCCGCCCCAGCGGCGCCTGGGCAAGCTCGACGAGGGCATCGTGCGGACGGCGCGGAGCTGGATCACGGAGCAGTGCTTTCGCGGCTGGCTGCGCGACACGACGAAGAAGGGCTGCTTGGAGTTGGATACTGTTGATTGCCTCGAAGTTGTGGAACCGGACGAGTGTGATATTGGAGAGGGCCTCCAGCGGCAGCGCTGCCCGGACGTTATTAAACTAAGCACGCAGGGCTTCTCGTGGCTCGGGTTTCAAAAATTACCTGACGGCGGCGCGAAACTGAAAGCGACGCAGCTCGAGACGGAGCTGGTCAATATGCACCGTCGGGTATTGACGAGAGGGAGAAGAGGTTCATTTAGAGCCCAACTCACGATGACGGGCCGCGACCTCGACGCCTCGGCGTGGATCCGAGCTCGATTGGATCGAGTTGTCAGAAGAGTACTCACAAGTTACATGGGCAAGGAAATCGCCGACGACGAGCAGATGCAGTTCCGGACCACGATCGAGAGAGACGGAAGAGTGGTAGTAAGAGGAGCAGCTCGAGTGGTAGAAAATAGGAACATAATGCAGACGCCGTTCTTCTACTATGCAAGGCGGTCGCCACCGGGCACGGCCCCTTTCCGGTTTGCGGCGTCGTTCCGACTCGTCTGCGAGGGCGGCGCCGTGCTCTTCAAGGAGCCGGACGTCTACCTGCCGGACCGGCCGTCGTTCGAGGCGCCGCCGCCGTGGCTCTGGGCCGCTAATCCTGGGTATGCCTTTGGCTTGGCGCACGCGCCTACTTCCTTAGTCGAGTTCGGCCAGAGCCTCTTCCTGTCGTCGGTGACCGTGGACCCCACGACCTCCTTCGCCGTCACGGCGTTAGAGCCTTCTGTGACGACGCCGGGCGCTTTACAAGTCTCCGTCGAGGCGGGTCCTTCATTAGCACCTTCTCGGCTCCCGACGAAGGCGCCTTCCGTAACGCTCAAGCGGCGCCTCGCGCGCCCGGCGCTGTTCAAGAAGAAGAAGAAGCGCCCCGAGCCGGCGCCGACGCCGACGCCGGCTATGATGGCGTCGACGGCGGCCGTGATCCCGCAGACGCGCTTCGTCGTGGGCGAGAACCTGCCCTGGGTCCTCAACGCGAAGAATGCAGCTCCGTTCGCTGTTTTTTCGTCCATGGTGTTTCTGAGCATCCTGTTCCAGCTGTTCGCGCTCCCCGACGCTTGTTTTCGCATCGCGGCGGCGGTGCCCGACGCGGTCGCCTCGGTCGAGTGGATGTCGCTGCTGGCGCTGCCGGGCAAGGCCGCCGTGGCGCTCTGGAACGCGGTCTGCCTGTTCCCGAAGCTCTGTTCGACGATCGTCCAGGCGGTCGGGGCGAACGCAGTCGCTGCCGCTCCACGGCGCCGCGTCATTGTTGCGTGGCACCGCATGACGCGGGCCCTCCGCGGCCGCAGGCGACGCCCGAAGCGACGCCTGTACCGCCGACGCTGAGAAATTCATACCTATCCCACACTGCTTGTATAACTGATTCTTAAACACAAATAACACTACAAGCTCCGCTGCTCGAAGTCCTCCGGCGCATCCCTCAAAATGAGCGACAACCTTCTTCCCTCGGGCGCGATCGCGTGCGCATAATCGTAGCGACTCTCGTCCGCGAGGACGTAGAGCGAGCCCGGCTCTAACCTCAGCTCGCTCTCTCGCGCGCCGGGCCGCGGCTCGCCCGTCGCCGGGTCGGCCTCGGCGAGCACCATCGTCGCCGCCGACACCAACGACACACCCGCCACGACGCGCCCCGAGAACTTGATCGAATCAATGTGCGGGCGTATGACGCCGCCGTCCGCGGCGAGGTCGATGCAGTGCGGCGGCAGGAAGCTCGTGACGCCCTGCTCGCTTCTCAAAAACGCGCGCACCTTCTCGACCGCGGCCTCGGCCAGGTCGTCGTCGACGGACAGCATCTCCCTTTCTCTATAGCGGTCGATAACTGCATCCCAGTGATCCCGTTCGTAGCCGGTGCCCTTGAGCCGCGCCTTGATGGCCTCGACGAGCGCGTCCTGCTCGTCAACCGTGAGGAAGTCGGCGTGGTAGCTGCAGCCGGGCGGCAGCGACAACGCATGCCTCCGCGACGGCGTCGCGTGTCTGGTGGTGCAGTGTGATGCTGGCCTGGAACGCAGCTGTCTCGCTATAAGCGATGCTCTAACTCGCAGGGCCATCCTGTACGAGTGCACTGTAGCCCGTAATGGCATAAATGCTGCAATTGCGGCTGCGCTGGTCGACAGGGTCGATGCGCAAGCAAGCTAGTGTGTCAACACGACGCTAGCTCGCCTCGGCGTTTTGACCGCCGACCAGTAGGGGCTGCGAAGGTTTGGCCACGCGAGTGCGCCAATACGTGGTCGCTGTCCACGCCGCCGTCGCGTTTTTCCATTCGTGAGACGTCTGAGACCGCTCTCTGGCCTCAAGAGGAGATGGCAGCACACGTCGGTGCTCCAGCCCGACCCCAGCCGCTCGTCGCCGCGCGACCCTCTTCGCCGAAGAACGCCGACGAGCTCTGCGCGCTGCTCCGTGCCGCCCGGGCCGCCTGGCCCGCGTCGACCGGCGCCGAGCCCGCGCCGTACGCCCCCATCCTCAAAGCCGTCGAGAAGGCGCGCAAAGACCTGAGGCAGCGCAAGGCCGGCGCCGTCTACGCGAAGTTGTTAAGGGAGCTCGACGCGCCGCACGTCTTGCTTCGGGCCCCTCGGCGAAACAGTACACCGACCACCAAGGCGACGCTCACCTCAACACCGGGACGATCGGCGGCGTTGCGACGCGGCGGGCGCGCGGCCTACGTGCCCTCGTTTTTGATGAACTTGCTGGATTTGGCGGACTGCCCGGCCACGCGGCTCTTCCTCGCGCGGCCCGAGTGCTTCCACTTCGAGAGCGACTTTTTGCTCATGCCGAACCCGGCCTACTACGACTACGACGCAGCTGTTGAGTCGCCGGCGGGCTACGCGCGGAAAGTGCTCCGCAAGGGCTTGGGATTTGGGCTCGTGGCCTGGTACGTGCACCCCGAGCTGCGGAAGCGCGCGCGCTTCTTCCGCTGCCACCCGGATTTGCGGGTCGCGTCGCGGCTCATCGGCGAGGCGGCGCCGCCGTCGCCGCGGCGACCGCCCTCCCCTGGGTCGTTCCGCCAGCGAAGCGACTCCTACGCGCCGCCGTCGCCGCGGCGGGGCGTGCCGTCGCCGCCCTCAACCCCAACGGGCCGCCCGCGGACCGGCTCCTACGACTACACGATGAAGCCCCCGCCGCCGGCGCCGATTCTCCTGGGCTCGCCGTCGTTCGTGGCCCGGCGCGCGGCGGCGTCGCCGCGCGCGCCGTCGCCGCGCAACGCGTCGGCGACGCCGACGGCCGCCGCCCGACCGCTGGCGCCGAAGGAGACACCCACGAAACTGGTCGAGTCGCCGGTCTACGTCGGGGACGTACTTGGCAGCAGCGCCGACGCGGTGCCCTACCTTTACGACGATAGCGACCTACGGCCCGAGCACGCGTCAAAACTTGAAGCGCTCGAAACGGCCATTAGGCTCCACGTGCGTACCACTTACGGTCACGCGGCAGCACGAGCGCTCCGGGCGGACGGTATCTACTTCCACCGGCAGCACGCGCTCTACTCCGAACCGGACCGAGCTTGGACATTCACGGCGCACATCCATTGCGCTGTCGGCCGCGCTCGCACGCCGGCGTGTTACTGCCACTCGGCAACCCTCGGCGACGTGGTGGCGCGGCTCCGCGCTCCGCCGTCCGCGGCGACGCCCCCGCTCGAGCTGCTGAACATGCCGAGCGATGCCGACGCGTTGGCCGAGGCGCGGCGACGCCTCGTCGACGCGGGCTTCTGGGTCAGCCGGACGCTCTCGCCGCAGGACCTCGCGTTCGAGGACCTGCTCGAGGCCGCGACTCGCGCTCCGCTTGTGTGAATAAGTTGTTTCTGTGCTTTCTTTTAATCGACGGCGCCGTGGTGTGGACGTTTCCATCGCGTTTTTCTGTTACGGTGCCAGACATGCGTGGAGATACTTCTTTTTTTTGAAAGCTAGTGTGTGTCTACACGCTAGCTCGCTTCGGACGCCCACTTACTTTTTGGCCTTTACACCTTGTGCAAGTACAGGCGCAGCTGTCTGCGCTCGTACTCGCATCACTGCTGCCTCAGAGCAGCCGAGCCTGCGCTCGGTATCCCACTGCATCCTTGGCTGGCTGCACAAGCTGCTGCCGCACCACCAACGCCGGCGCCGCGTTGCCAGCACAAAAAACCGTCATAGCAGCGAGACCGCAGAAGCGAGCATAAATCACAAAAAAAAGATGGGCGACCGCATCGCCGGCTTCCTGAACAAGAAGCCCTGGCACCCGTCGAGCTTCCGGAACCAGGAGAAGACGTGGCTCGCCGAGCAGCGCGCCGAGAAGGAAGAAGCGGCATTAAGAGAGCGCATCGCCGAGATCAAGAAGGAGAAGGAGGAGGAGGAGTCGCGCAGCGGCGGCGGCTGGGTGGCGGCCGCCGACAACCCCGTCTGCAAGCCCGCGTCCTCAAATGCGCCGAAGCGGAGCGGCGCCGCGGACCTCCTCGCGCGCGCGCGGCCGGCTGGGGCTTCGACCGACAAGGAAATGAAAAGGACCAAGGCCGCGGCCCAGCAGAAGGACGCCCTCAAGCGCGCCGACGAGAAGCGCAAGGCCGAGAACGCCGAAAAACGGCGCCGCAAGAAGGCGAAGAAGCGCCAGGCCGCCGCCGACGCGTCGCCGCCGCCACCCGTCGCGCCGCCGCCGGCCCACGCCGTCGCTGCTGCGCCGCCGGCGCCCCACGCCGTCGCTGCTGCGCCGGCGCCGCCCAACGCCGTCGCTCCCGCGGCCTTTGCGAACGACGGCAGCTTCCTCGAACAAGCTCGGCGTGCACTCGAGGCGTCGAAAAAGGAAGGGGGTTAGCCTCGTGCGGCGAGTCGTGCCCGACGCCATCGACGCGACAGCCCCGGGTCGGAGTGTCGAGAGATAAATTGTACTTGTTATTGTCACCGCCAAATCTATCTGTCGGGCCACGCGCGTCTCGTAGAATACACGCGCGCGGCCGTCATCACGTGAGGCGGTGCCAATCACACGGTCACAAAACACTAGAGCGTCGCCTCGGCGTCGGCGACGGCCTCCGCTTGCGCTTCAAGCGCCTCGGCGGCGCCCGCGTCCGGCACCCGGGGCACGAAGCCCTTGCTCCGCATGAGCTCGTGGATCTCGCCCGTCGACAGGGGCGCGAGGTCGATGCGTTCCAGCTCCTCGCCTGCATCGTCCTCGATGATGAGGTGTGGCTTTTTCCCGGGCTTGAAGTCGATGACGAGGCCCTCGTAGCTGTCGGCGTGGCCCGGCTCCTTGACGAAGCGCTTCACCTCCTTCAATTTGTTGAGCTTTCAGCCACTACACGTCTCGATGCGGCCCTTCGCGGCGAGCGCCGACGCCGCGACGAGCAGCAGCCTGCGAGCGGTCGCGGTTTCTCGGCGGCAGCGATGCGCGCGAACGACTCGATTGATTTTGTGTTGGCTTCAGGCGCTCGCGCGTATCGCGCGGGGTCTCGTCAAGCAGTAAGTCGGTAATCTCATGTAGATTTTGCGCATCCCTAGCCTCTTGTAATCGATGTTTTGCGACGCGGTAGCTGCAGCACCTGGCAAGCAGCACCATTTTTTGTGAGCAGCAGCGGCTGAGATGCTGCGTTCCCAGGACGGGAGTAGACAGCACGCTTCAGTGAGCAAGCCACGTAGCCGCGGAGTACACTGTATTGAGAGCTTTGCTCGGCGGAGCAGGTCTAGCTAGCGTCTTGACGTACTAGGTTCGCGATAGGTATTCCGCGCCCTAGTCCTAGCACCGTAACATGAGAACTCGACTAGGTATTCATGCAAGAGTGTACGTACGATATAACATCCTTTAAATTAAAACATCTAGGCCGAGAAGTTCTCGATGATGCCCTTGCCGTTGACGAGCTCCTGGAGGAAGAAGCCAGCGACCGCGATCATGGCGAGGCGGCCGTTCTGGAGCTCCTTGGTAGCCATCTCGGCGAATTCCTTCGGGTCCGAGGGCTTGAGGCCGGCCGGGTCGAAGCCGATGTCGCCGGGGTAGTACTTGTCCTCGAGGCGGCGGAACGGCGTGTCATCCGGAAGGTTGGCGAGCGGGCCGTCCGCCGGGTTCGAGCCCGCCGGCGCCGTCCAGCCCGCGAGCGAGCGCGAGATCTCGGCGAAGCCGATGCCAAGCACGAGGATCTCGAAGAAGATGGGCACCTCGGCGCGGACCTCGTCGAGGTGGCGGATGGCCGGGCCGATGTCCTTGTCGCCGAGGCGGAAGAGGGGGTGGAACGACTCCTGCACGAGGAAGCCCAGCGACGCGAGCATCGACACGCGGCCGTGCGTGACCTCGGCCTCGCGGAGCATCTTCAGCTCCGCGACGGACTTGCCCTCCGTGAAGCCCGCGGGGTCGAAGTTGCCCATGGGCGGCAGCGCGCCCGGGAGGCCCGCCATGAATTTCGACTCGTCGGCCGTCCAGCCCTGCGCGCGGTGGTTCGTGAGAGTCGGCGTCGCCGCGACGCGCGCGGTGGCTCGTGAGTCGCGGCCGGCACCGCGCGTCGACGGCGTACCCGCGTGCAACCGCTGGGGGACGTCGAGTGAGGCGTGGGTGCAACGCGACTTGACCGAGACGGTCGCCGCGAATTATCATGTTGATGCATTATCAGACGCCGCTGCAATTACGTTCACCGTCGGGTACTTCGGCGCCTCCGGCTCCTCCTCAATGGCGGCCGCGCGCAGCGCCTTGCCCGTAGCAGGGTGCTGCGGCGCCACAAAAGCGGCAGCACCAGTGAGGGCGAGAGCGACGATAACAGACCTGCGAATCGGTTGCGCATAAGCATGCTGCATGCAATGATGTATTCTGCACGGCTCGCGCACTGCATGGTTGTTAACTGTGTGTGTGATGACGAGGAGCCGATTTTACTGCCAGCATCAGCAGCCGCCACCAGCATCAGTTTCTGCCGTAAGAACATCAAGCACGCCATCGGAGCGCATACATCAGGTTGACGATGGGTGGCACCCATGGCCGACGGCTGGGAGCGGCCGGGCGCGATTAAGGGGCGCGCGGACCCGGCGTCGGCGACGATAACCAGGTAACTAAGATAGACACAAATCTCACTTTAATAGGGCGAAAGATAGAAGACGCGACTAGTGCCCCGTCGCCGGCAACCCGAGCCACTGCTTCACGTAGTCGTAGATGACGAGCTGCACCCAGATGATGCCGATGACGTGGAGCAGGCGAGCCTTCAGGCCCCGGAAGAGCGCTCCTTCCTTGCGGATCTTCTGCAACGTCCCCGCGACGCCGCCCGGTTGCGGGCCCTCCTTGAAGAACTGCGTGAGGACCGCGTCGCCCGGATGACTCAGGACACATGCCAGCACCGCGGCCGGTAAAGCGGCTAAGACGGGCGTCAGGCCGTCGACGCGCTCGAGCACCTCGGCACTGCACACCGCGACCAGAAAACCGTGGGCGATGGTGCAGAAGTAGTCAAACGAAACCTGCTTGCCCATGGTGTAGGGGACCTGTTTTGCGGTCATGGCCGGCGCTGCGGCAAAAGACGCGAGGGGCCCGTCCTCCTTGATTCTTTTCTTGAAGCCGTCGACGGCGTTGTCGGCGTAGTCCGGGTCCGAGACCATGCGTATCCGCACGTCCTCCGGCGGGCACAATACCAACGCGGCGACGCCGCCGGCCACACACGACGCCAGGATAGCATTCGCGAAAGGACTTGGAGTCAGCTCGCCGAACAGCGGCTTGCACAGCTCGTAGCACCCGAACTTTAAAGCCCCTTCGAGCCCATAGCCTAAACAGGTAGGGACCAAACCTTGTAGGAGGAAGTCGAAGCCTTCCTCGTCGATGATCTCCTTCAGCGCAAAAAACACGTCGCCCTTGTACAACTCCGGGTTCGTCTGCATCCTCGTTTTAATGACATCTAACGGCGTCGTATACCCGTGGGAGATGGCCGCGGACACGCCGCCCGCCGCGAAGTAGCGCCAGTCGGCACCTCCACTATTGGCCGTGAGGGCCTCGGCCGCCGCGGCGCAGCAGAGCAGCGCGACGCGCATTTTTGTATTGTGGTCGCGGCGATGGCGTCTCGCGCGTGCGTTCTTCACGCACGCGGCTGCAGTAATGTGATGCGCTCGAGGTGCGGCGGCGGTTTCACGCAGCGGGCACTCGCAGGCACTCAGATGTGATAACTGCGCTGTAGAACGGCGCCCGGCGTCGCAGGTACGCAGAATGCCCACCAACTACAGCTGGGGCAAGTCTCCTTGATTTGCTAGTGTCGATACGACGCTAGCTCTATTTTCCCCGCTCAAAGTTTTATCTTCCCCCGGAGCTGCTCCACCAGTAGTGCAACGCTGGTAGCGTACGCAGCTCTCTAAGACCTATACGTAGGGGCTTGGAGCGCTTGAAGACCAAGAAACGCGCCTACACCTGTAATATAGATTGGCTGCTTTAAACTCGCTGGGCACCATGTCCACCACGCCCCAAAAAAGAGCCACCCAGCACACGCCCTTCTCCCCAAGACCTAAAGCCCAAACGCCACGAACCCCGAAAACGCCGGGCGCCGCCTCGCCGACGAAGCGCGGCGCCCGGACCGCGGGGCCCGGCCGCTTCTCGCGGGCTGGCGTCCAATTAACGAAGGCGGGTGTAGCTTTTGGCGACGCCTTCAAGGCTTTAGGTCAGGCCGTGGGAGCGCTCGTGACCGCGCCGCCGGCGTCGAGCGCCAAAGCGCAGTTCCACACCGTCGTTATTGGATCCGAGAACCCGGTCAAAGTGGGAGCCGTCACGGCCGTCGTGGCTGACTACCCCGAGGTCATAAGACCGGGGACCGTGCTAGAAAGTGTGACCGTGCCGTCGGGCGTGCCGGCGCAGCCCGTCGGGTTGGCGGTTGTGGTCAGTGGCGCCCGCAGGAGGGCTAGGAACGCCCACGAGGCGGCGGGCGGCGGTTCGAGGACCTTAGCCTTTGGGATTGAGAGCGGTCTCATCGAGGTGCCGCGCGAATCGACAGAACACAAGCTCGCACGTTATTTTGATGTGTGCGTCGTGGCTCTCTACGACGGCGGCCACATGACGCTCGGTTTAAGCTGCGCCTTCCAGATCCCGCCGGCCATCGCCGCCAAGGTCATGGGCGACGAGGCCATGGACCTGTCTGAAGCCACGGTCGCCGCCGGTTACTCGAAAGACGGCGCGATCGGCTCGAAGGGCGGCCTCATCGGCGCGCTGACGCGGGGCCGCGTCACGCGCCGCGACTACACCATCCAGGCCATCCGCATGGCCCTGACCGAGCGCGAGCCGCGCGCGAGCCGCGGCCTGCCCGCCGCGTCGCTGCGCAACACGGTCGCCGTTACCGAGGCCTGAGTTGTTGACAGCGTATCCCCCCAATTTTGGCACTCCTAATTCACCACGTATCATACTAAGGCACTAGACGCACGAGCTCCGCGCCCGTCGCGCGCGCCGCCGCGAGCGCCGCCGCGGCCCGCGCGACGACGGCGTGGTCGTCGCCGAGTTCGCGCCGGGCCGTCTCGTAGGTCTCTTCCAGGTGCGCCACGGCGGCGCGCCGTTCTTTACCAGGATCGTAGTCCGTGTCCGGCAGCTCGACGCCCTCCGGCAGCGGCCCGACCACCGCTTTTCGTGGAGGCGGCTCGATGTGCACGTCCTCCCCGCACTTAGATAAAGGCACGGCAACCACAGAATCTCCACCAATATATTTAGCAGATACGATGCCGTCCGCGTGGGACACGTCCGAAAAGCGCTTATGCCGCTCCAGGAACTCGAAAACTTCACCACAACTCTTGGTAAAGGCGGTACAAGGCGCATACACGACGCGCGCGTCCAATTTCAACAAATTTCGATAAATGAGCTCGCGCAGCAACTCGATACAATCGTCGGGATGATCTTCATCGATACAACAACCGTCGACGGGTTCTGCAGAATCGAGCCACTCGAACACCAGCTTGCAGCAGGGCGTTAATAAAACGCGGGCGACGGCACCCGCCGCTAAAATCGTTCCTAGTTGTGACGAGTCCGGGTCCACTACTATAACATTGTTGCATTTTTTGGCTAAAGCAATAGACACTGCCCCCAAGTCCCGCGTCTTCAGGACGACGCACGTGCCTCCTCTTATTGATGCAGCAACTTTCAGAGCCGAGGGGCGCTTTTCCCCGAAGCTCTCGAGGGTCTCGATCACATCACCGCCCGCGAATAATTTCTGCAGGATCGCCTGCTGGTTCACGAGCGCATGATTTAACTTTAATGATATAGACGGGTCCAACACATCACTGGTGGCGAAGGCCGCGTCGAAGTTCCGCCGCCGCTCCTTCTGGAAATTGCGTCGAGAAGCCTTGGCCTCTTGCAGGGCCCGGGCCTCGGCCGCGGCGGCGCTGGCCTCCACATCGCGTATGGCGTCCGCCGTCGTTTTCTGGATGCGTTCCGCTGATGCGGCTTGAGCAGCAGCCAACGAAGCCTTTTGTCTGTCCGGCACGGCCTGGAGCTTGGACAGGGTCTTCATCACTTCACCGAGCTGCGCGTCGTAGGCCGCCTTGCTCTCGTGCATCGCGGCTTCTTTTTTTTTGAGGTCTTCTGAAGGCGTAAAACCCTTGTACGACTGCTCGCCGGTCGGCATGCTCGCCGCCATGGACTGCAGCAATCCTTCCAGCGCTCTTGGATCTAAGCTCGCCAGGAGCGCGGGGTCGAGGTTCTCCATCGGCGCTGCGCGTCGTCGGCGGTCGCGCCGGTTTCAAATGCCACAGTGGTCTTGGCTCAGAGGGATGCGCGTGAAAGCTGATGCCCGCCACCGGTCGGTTTCAAGGTGCGCGCCGGATCGCGAGGTCGCGAGGAACCTGTGAGCGTGCGTGGGCAGCCACAGGTGCACAAATGGCCGAATTGGAGCGTGCGCGCGCCAAGGCTGTCATCGAGAGGCTGCAGAGTTCGGGTCTTTGCGCACGCAGAGTAACAGGACAACATTACTACCAGTCCACGACCTCGGGCTGTACGCCGAGCGCGTTGCGCCGCCGGATGAGCTCCAACAACACGCCGTCCGGGTCCGCGATAAACGCGTACTCGTAGGCCGCGCCGCCGGCGAGGAGCTGTTGTGGTGCCAGCGCGAGGCGCAGCGACTTGCGGAACCGTTCCTCCGACCGCGCGTTGAGCTGTTTGAGGTACGCCGCGAGGTCGGCGCCGCCCGCCTCGTCGGTCACGTCGAAGGCGAGGTGGTTCAGGCCGACGGCCTCCTCCACCAAGCCGTCGGGTGCGGCCGTGGCGTTCACGTACGATGGTACTTCGATCAACTCGAGGCGCGTCGCCGCGCCCGTAAGCCACGCGCAGCGCGCCGCGCCGCTGCGGAAGCGGCACGCCTCCTCCAGCCCGAAAAGCGAGTAGAACTTCATGGAGCGCTCGATGTCCCGGCATTTGATGGCAGCGTGGTGGAAGGGCGCCAATGCATTTGCTTTCATAACAAGCAGGGCAGACAACAATGTGCATCGCGCGCATCGATGGCGTCCGGCTGCCATCGATCTCAAATCGAATGCGCACGCTCAAACTGATCTCAGATCGTAGTTTGCTAACCTCAATTCGATCTCTAGTTAGCTATAGAGCAAAAGCCAAGCCAGAGCTGTGCAGGGCAGACAAGCTAGCGTGATGACACACACTAGCTTGAAAAACGAGACGTCTCAGAGGTAAAGGCTACGCGCTAGCCGGTGCGGAGGAAGCGTACGAGCACCAAAAGGCCGGCGCCTTTCGTCGGGCCATCAATCAACTGTGAAAGGTAAAGCGCTGTGAATGCGCAGCGCAGGCTGGTGCCGCAACGACCGGCGCGGCGCGACGGCTGCTCCTACCGGGCTGGTCCAAACAGCTCGCGTGTCCACCGGACGCGCGCGCGGGCAGCGCAACAACACCCCAGCCCCACCCCACGCAAACGGACACAAAAGAAGGCTAAGCAAAGATGGTGAAGCTCGCCACGCTCATGGGCGCGAAGTACCGCCTGAAACAGCGGCGCAAGCGCCTGACTCATAGAACAGGGCACGAGGGCGCGCACGACGCGTTCGCGCGCGAGTGGCTCCGCCGCGCCCGTGCCAGGAACGGCGCGGTGCCCATGAAGGTGCGGGACGCGGTCGACGCCGCGCGAGCGTCCAAGGGCCCGGCGGAGCTCGACCTGCGGGGTTGTGGGACCGATCAAGTGGTAGAGGACGTCTGTGCTGCATTGATGGAGCACCCGGCCATTTCCAAGCTCAACCTGCTCAAATGTAAGGTGACGGAGGCGGCGGGCAAAGTGTTGGTGGAGCTGGCCGAGGCCCAGATCCGGTTGGTGCTGACGATGCCCCTCGCGCGGCAATTGGAAGCTTCCGCGCCCTGTCGAAGGCTGCACGGTGTGTTGGGCGAGGGGAAGGGCTATACTTGTATTAGACGGTTCAAGGTCGACGAAAAAAGTATAGGCGTGCACCACGCGCAGCGACTGAAATTGCTGGAAAGGCTGCTCGATTATTGTAATGCGAAGCTGACACTACGAGAATCACTATTCACGGAGCAGGACGATTTGGGAAGACCGCGGGCATTAGGTGGTGCAACGGTGGCGCTGGATCGGGACGCCGCGCGGAAAGCTGTACTCCAAGTGCTGGAGCGGAGCGGCGTCAAGGGCCCGTCGCCGCCCGACGCCTTCTCCGACCCTGTTACTTTAGATAAATTCGAGAACCACTGCGAGATGGTCCTCGTGAAGGCTAAAAAAGGTGTGCTCGCGCCTCTTGGCAAGGACATGGTCGCGGTCGCGCGGGACGTCGTCAGTAGAGGGTCGCCGCGGCCGAAGCCGCCGCCGCCGCCGGGGCCCTCTCCTAGACAACAGCAGCGGCCGAAGACGCCGACGCCCGACATCTCCGTCGAGAGTGAGGAGGAGGAGGCGGCGCCGGCGGCGAACGCCGTCCAGGCCCTGGTCGACGAGGACCTCGCAAGTAAGGTGCGGGAGCAGGAGGCGCAGCTCCGGGAGCTCCAGGAGAAGCTGCGCGAGAGCGAGCGGCGCGTCAGCAAGGCCCCGACGGAGGACTCGGAAGACGACGACGAGGTCCCCTACGTCCCGGCGGGCGCGCCCTTGAATGAAACACTACAGGCGCTCGACGCGCAGCTGCCGCCGGGGCCGTCCGTCGAGGCGCTCATGGCGTCCAAGTCGGACGACGTCGAGCTCGCGTCGGAGGTCAAGGATGTGGTGAAGGCGCCGTCGCCGGCGTCGTCGCCGGGGTCCTTCCGCGACGACCGGAGCTGGATCCGCGACGACGACGATGCTGCTGCCGAGGTCGTCGACGCGACGGCGAGCCCGCCGGCGCCGCCGCCCGCGGATCGGAGCGCCCATGAGGAGCGTGCGCGGAGCCACGTGAGCGCGCTCGTCGAGGCGGCGGAGGCGCACGCCCACGAGACGCCGGGCAAATTCCAAGAAAACCAGGAGGCCGCTGCCGACGATAACGATGAGGACGAGGACGCGTCCGACGCGCCTCCAGTCGTAGAGAACGACGCGTTGGATCTGAGCTCGAGACGCTTGCTCCAACTGGACCTGCCCTCCTCTGTGAGTGCCTATGCCTACCAAACATTAATAGCCTTGAACGTCTCGCGGAACCGCCTGCGAGCTTTACCGGCGGAGGCCTTCGGACAACTTGAACAGTTGGAGTCGTTAGATGTGTCGTACAATTTGCTAAGGAAGCTCGCGTTGGACGATGGCTCGTCCTTACCGTCGTCGCTACTACGAGTCGACGCGTCGCGGAACCTCGCCTCGTCGGTGAAAGGCTGCTTCAAGGACTGTAGCTCACTCAAAATCCTGCTCTTGTCCCACAACCGTATTGGTGCGTGCGACGGCCTCGAGCACCTCTCAAACCTGGAGGACCTGGATTTGGCGGGCAACCGCGTCCGGGCCTGCAAAGGGTTGAGGCCCCTCGCGGGATGTGCCTTGCTGCGCTCGTTACGACTCCAGGGCTGCCCCGTCGAAACGACTGGCAGTTCTCGCGCTTTGGTTATTGGGTTATTACCACAATTAACACACGTCGACGGCGCGCCTTTACCCAGAGGGCGGGCGCACCCGACGATCGTCAAGAAGGAGCACGCGCGCGAGATGAAGCGGCTGGACGCGACTCATAGGCAACGTTCAATAGAAGAGGACGATCCTGACGTAATGGAAGAGCGGCGCCAGAAGCTAAGGGCGCAGCGCGCGTCGGACCTCCACCGATCGCGGGAGGGCGCGAAAACATTAAGGCAGGCGCGAGAGAAGCCGCGGCCCGTCCGCTCGAAAGTGCGAAGATCTTCCTCTGAACAGCTTAAGAAGATGAGGAGGTTGAGTGAGGACCATCGGCCGCAGGACCGGAGAAGCAAGGTCCCGTATAAGGAGAAGGTAGAAACGATCTTCGGCCAGCCGAAGCCGGTGGATAAGCCCCTCCCGCAGCCGAAGAAGACGCCGTTGTCTTCCACGAGAACGGGGTTCCGCCAGTGGCCCCCGATTCCCGAACCGCCCGCCGTGCCCGTCGAGGTGCGAGAAGCGAGGGCGCCGTCCACGGACTCCCAGGGAAATGTCCCGGCCTCCCCGCAAACGGAGAACAACTTCGAGAAGTGGATGGAGGAGCTGGAGGGGCAGACGCAGACGGGGAAAAAAGCCATCGATGTTGTAGAAAGGTTGTACGCGGATGAGAAATTAAGGCCGAGAGCCGCAGCATTTGTGGGCACCTTAGATGATCTTGGTGTTCTACATGTGACGCCGCCACCTGAATCTGTCTTAATACAATGCGTCGCCGCGCCCGACCGCCTCCGCGCCGCAGCCGCGGCGTGGCAGCGCGCCACGCAAGTCGCCGACAAACTTAGAGCACTGGTCGGAGTTCACGCGCCGAAGCGCGTCGAGAAGCCGACGCCGCCCTCGACGAACCCGCCGACGCCCTCACCACCATCCTCGGTCAAGGAGGAACCAGCTTTTGTAGAGGGGAACCCCGCGTCGCCCATCGCGGCCCATCCCTTGGCTGCTTTCGCCAAACAACTGGACTCGGAACTCACGAAAATTGGGGTGGATGAAATGCCAGAAGCGGGCCTGGATCTGGGAGCCTCCGGCTTGACGCCCAAAGCGGCGCCCAAGACGCCGTCGACGGTCCGAGCTTCGCCTTTACAAACCTGGGCGTCCACGGCCAAGGACCTGCAGGAGGCCCAGCCCGTCGACGAGGGTGTCATACATGCGCAGATGCGCCGTTCATTTGATGCGGGCGAGTCAGCGTCCAAGCCTGTCGAAGATGAGGCCGCGGCGCCGGCGTCTCCTTCTGAACTGTCGGCGGCGGACGAGGCGCCGGCGCCGGCCGCGGCTGACCTCGCCGACGCGTTCGGCGCGGCGGCGGCGCCCCAGGCGAGTGCCGCGCCGTCGCCCAAGGCGTCGACTGAGCTCGACAGCGCGTTCGGGGCGCCCCAGGCCGCCGCGGACGACGTGAATGGCACGCCGTCGACGGACAACGCGTCGCCGGGCACGACGCTCTCGGCGCGCGAGGCGGCGCTGCCGACGCCGGACGCCGCGGACTTTCTGACCAGCGCCATGCCGGACGCGGGGGGCGCGGACGCGTTGTTTGAGGACGCCGCGCCGACGTCGGCGGCGGAGGAACAGGAACAGTTAGAGCGCGCGCTCGCGGCGTCGCGCCAGGACGTCGACGCGGCCTTCTCGGAGTCATCGGAGAACCTCGCCGCCGCCTTCGGCGCGGCGCCGTCGCCGAAGGCATCCGCCGAGCCGGCGCCGTCGCCGAAGGCGTCGGGCGACCTGGCCGATGCCTTTGGGGCGGCGTCGGCGCCCCAGGCGAGTGCCGAGCTCGACGGCGCGTTCGGGGCGGCGCCGGCCGAGCCCACGCCCAAGAAAGCGTACCTCCTCGACCGCATCGCGACGAGCGACGGGTTCAAGGACGCCAAGGCGCACCAGCTCGACGACGCGTTCGGGGCCGCGCCGTCGCCGAAAGCGTCCGGAGACCTCGCCGACGCCTTCGGCGCGGCGGCGGCGCCCCAGGCCGCGAGCGCGTTCGACGCCCCGGCCGCGGTGGCGGAGGCGCCGGCGGCCTCGCCGGCCGTCCCCTCGCGCGCGACGTCGGCTACGTCCGCCGCGCGCCACGACGCCGCCTTCGGGTCGCCGCGGTCGCCCCGCGCGGCCGCGCCGGCGCCGGCGCCCGCCAAGAAGGCGAAGGTCATCTGGCGGGAGGGCTACGACGAGACCTACCAGCGCATGTACTATTTCAACATGGAGACGGGCGACAGCCTGTGGCACAAGCCCGACGCGCCGTACAAGCCCTATGTCGAGGACGGTGCGTCGACGACGTCGAGCGGTAGCGGGCGGACGAGCAGTATCGGCGAGTAAGGACGTACTTAAAGCCGTCTGTGAATCATGTTACGGTGCTAGGACTAGTAAGCGGAGCCCCTTAAACCCGCCTTCCGGACCCATCGAATTTGCCTAGTGTCTTACATGCCGCTAGCTTCAAACACCGGCGGGACTAAAAAGCGCCCGCAGCCAGCCCAAGATTGGAAAGAAGGCCTATTTTGTGTCTAAATTTACTGCGTGACTGCTGCGCCAACAGCTGCGAGGCAAGAAACGCGGCCAATTCTGCGGCCTTGCTTGAGAGAGGCGGCGCGCAGCAGCGCAAGAAAACGCGCTCCCCCCGCTCAATTTCGCACGCATGGCAGCCACCATGGCGGACACGCCCGCCGAAGCGCCGCCGCCGCCACCAGAAATCAAGGAGGAGGGCGTCAAGCGCGCCGCGCCCGGCGACGACGCACCAAAACAATACCCCAAGCCCATCAAGAAGAACGTGAGCGCGTTCCTCCACTTCTGCGCCGAGCAGCGCGAGGCCGTGAAAGCGGAGAACCCCGAGATCACGGGCAAAGCAGGCGAGATCACCAAAATTTTAGGGCAGCGGTGGAAGGCGTTAGATGGCGACGCCAAAGCTAGGTATAATGAGATGGCCGCCGCCGACAAGAGGAGATACGACGCCGAGAAGAAGGAGCGAGGGGGCGACGTGCCCAAGCCGGCGAAGAAGGACGCCGAGCCCCACGAGACGATCATCCCCGTCGCGCGCGTCAAAAAGATCTGCCGGGCCGACCCCGAAGTGAGATCGATGGCCAAGGAGGCTACGGTGGTCATGGCCAAGGCCGCCGAGATCTTCGTGCAGAACCTGGCCGTGGCGACGCACGCCGTCGCTTCCACCAGAACGCTGCGGGCGGACCACGTCGCGCAGGCCGTCCGCGACCGGCCGGACTTCGCGTTCCTGCGGGTCGAGTTCCCCAAGGTCGACTACAAGCCGAAGGAGGCGGGCCCGAAGAAGGGCCCCGCGGCGCCGGCGAACCAGCCGTCCATCGCGAGCTTCTTCAAGAAGCCGAAGCCTGAGGCGGAGGCGTGACTTAGCTTGGGGTAAATGTCGTTTATCCATACGCATGTCACTCCTTTGTCCAGATTATTCTGTTGCGGTGTCCTGGGAACTGGTTCCTATCCGTTAGACGCGTCGACGCGCCCCGCACGATAGAAGCAGATTTTGAGCTCCAAGTGTCCAGGGCATTGCAAAGCGCCTGCCACCTATACGCTTATTTTGAGGTCGACAGGGCACTCAGACCGGTAGACTCTCCACGACTGCGCGCGCGCTAGCCATTTGCCGCATCGTACATCGCATACGCCGCTAGGCCACCAGGAGGCTCACCGAGCACAACTCAGCAGCGACGCCCTTACGCGTCGTCGACGCGCGCGCGAAGCTCGCAGTTAGCACTCGTAAGGCCACTGCAGACAAGAAAGACAATGTTTCACGCGCCGCGCCCACACTATCATCATCGCCGCCGAGGCCGCAACGACCAGGGCGCCAACATCAGCCCCATGGTCATCATGCTCTGCATGAAGGTCTGGCAGGCGTACCAAGACTCACCCGTGAAGCCGCCGGTCAAAAGCAGTGTCCAGGATCTTTCCGCGGCGATGGCGTGCTGGTGGGCTAGAGGTACTCTCGAGAGCAACGGGTCGCAACGCCGTCGACGCGCGCAGGTCACGTTCGCCCTCGCGGCCTACAACATAGCCGCCCACGTCTACCCCGCAATCGCCATGCCGTTCTCATTAGGACAGGTGTGCTTTTCAACCGGCGCGTTCTGGGCCGCGTGGTGCGCGCGGGACTTGGTCGAGGTCGCGGTGCGGACCTTTGGGTCCGTCTTCACGCACGCCGACGACATGCACTTGTACTGGAACATGGGCTCCTTGTTGGTGAAGGGCGTCTTGCTCGAGGACCGGCTCGGGTCGGAAGCTTTGGCTGTGTTCGTGGCGTTCTCGATCGTCGCGTCGTCAGGCATTCAGCTCGTGGTCGCCCCCTTCCTGGCACGGGCTTTTGGCTACGACTGTGGTTGTGCCGTAGGCTTCTCCGGCGTCCTATTCGCGATGAAGGTCGTGTTGAACTACGGCGACCACGCGGCCGGCTCGGACGCCACGTCGAGCGTATGGGGCGTCCGCGTCGCGTCGCGCCACGCGCACTGGCTGGAAATACTCGTGAGTGGCTACCTGTCGCCGCGCTCGTCCTTGGTCGGCCATGCATGCGGGGCTCTCGCCGGCATGTGCTGGCTCCAGCTACCGCTCTTGCACGCGCTCATCAATACCTTCAAGGCGCCGGCGCCTGCGCGCAACCGCTTCACGGACGGGCGGGGCACCGCCGGCGCGCCGAGACGCCCCGCGCCGCCGCCCGCCGAAGACCAGCCCATCCCGCCGGCCAACCGGGACGCGGACGAGGTCCGCCGCCGCCGGGTCGCGCGCTTCGGGTGACTCTCTTGTCCTTTCCCCCTCCTGTTGTCGTTCTAAGATGATGTTCCCCTGATACTTAGGGCGAGAAGACGCGCGCGAGTCTCGCTAGTGGCTCTCATCACGCTAGGACTATATTTTTCCGGATCGTCTGTCTGCCCGGCGCGCCAGCAAGCCTCTCACAGCGCCAGCAGCAGCCAGCAGGCCCAAGCGACCAGCGCTGCGAGCTACAACCGCCGAAACCGCTGGTTGCCACCGCTAGGCACCCAAATCCGCCAGCCTGCGATCGCTCTCCGTGGACAGCGCGAAGCGTGAGCGCAACTAATTCAAAAAACTGCCAGCCTGCGGATCGCTCTCGCGACAGCACAAATCGTGGACAGCAAGAAGAAATGCCGAAACGCAAGTCCGCACCAGCGCCGACGGCCGCGCCAAGCCCGGCAGTAGGCGACCTCGTCTGGGTCCTCGGCCTCGGCGGCGAAGCCTTGGAGAAGCCCTGGCCCGCAATAGTAAGAGACGTTGACACGGATGGCAACAGCGTGGCCTGGCCGCCGGCACAAGTCGACGGCGTCCGTAGTTATGAATGCGACTACCTGGATCACCCCTCGCAAGACAGTGTGCCGGACGACCGGCTGCTCGCCTTCGAAGGTGGTTATGCGCGCGTCGCGAAGTCGTCGGAGTGGGAGATCAAGGCGAAGAACTGGGACGCCGCGCATGAGTCCGCGCTGGCTTTACTGGCCGAGAAGGTGGACTCTTCTGGCGCTCTCGCCATCGCGATGGGCTCGGAGCGGAGCCGACGGACGAAGTACGAGAAGCTTCTCGGGCTCGACAAGGCGTCCGCGCCGTCGAAGAAGCGCAAGGCGCCGGCCGCCAAGCCCGCGAAGAAGAAGCCCGCGCCGAAGAAGCAGGAGCCCGAGGAGGAGCCCGAGGCCCCGGAGCCGCCGCCGAAGAAGCGCGGCAAGGCCGCGCCCAAGGCGCCGCCGAAGCGCCGCGGCGCCGTCAAGCTCGACAAGGCGGCCCTCGAGGCGCGCATGGCCGCCGACGGGTGGACCAAGGAGGAGAAACCGCGGGCGGGCAAGCCTGGACATGTCGACAAGTACTACGTCCCGCCCGGCGGCGGCAGGAAGCTGCGGTCCCCGCTCGAGGTGGCGCGCGCGGCCTACCCCGAGTTCTTGGCCGGCGGTGATGCCGCCGTGGCGACGCCGAGCAGCCCGCGGCCCGACACGTCCGGCGACGAGGCGCTAGCGCGGCGCTTCGCGGCCGCGCGCGACGCGCGGCCCAAGGCGCCGGCCGCCAAGCCCGCGGCCAAGCCGAAGAAGAAGCCGCCCGCGCCGGCGCCGGCGCCTCTGGCCCAACAGTCCTCCGACGAGGACGACTTCGACGAGAAGTTCACTCAGCGCGCGCCGGCGCCGCCGGCCGCGCCGCCGGCCGCCGCGGCGCCGCCCAAGAAGAAAAAGAAGAAGGCGCCCCCGGACACGTCGGGCGACGAAGAGCTAGCGCGGAGGCTGGGCGCGGCGGCGCAGCGGCCGAAGCCCAAGGCCAGGAAGCGGCGGACGGTCGTCGAGTCCGAGGACGACTCCGACGACGACGAGGCGCCGCCCGCGCCGCCGCCGGCGAGCCCGCCGTCGGACGAGGGCGACGACCTCTACGACGACGAGAACGACGAAGCCGAGGAGGAGGCCGGGGAGGAGCCGCCGGCGCCGCCCGCGGGCGGCCCGCGCTTCAAGGGCGGCGTCTCGTCGGCGACGTCCGAGGCGCTGCACCGCCACGTCGCCGAGGCGCTCGAGGCCGCGTCCGAGGCGCCCAAAGAGCCCGCGCCCGAGCCGGCGCGGCCGGGCCGCATCGCGAAGAAGGCCCGGAAGGCGTCGGCCGAGGCCCCGACGGGTGATTTCATGGGCGCCTACCGCCGCGTGCGCGAGGCCTACGGGCGGAACTGGTCGCACGTCTCCGAGGCCGAGCGCACGCGGCTGGCCCTGTTATGTAGAGACGGCAAGCCGGGCTGGGAGCCGGTCGCGCCGTGCCCGCCCGGGCCGGCGGCGGGCGGCTGGGCCGCGCAGCCGCCCCTCACGGTCGCGACGAGCCCAACGGCGGCGGCGGGCGGCTGGGCCGCGCAACCGCCCCTGACCGTCGCGACGAGCGGGTCGCCGCACGCGGCGGCGGCGGGCGGCTGGGCCGCGCAGCCGCCCCTGACCTTCGACGAAGCCCGCAGGGTGGTCGCAGGGAGCCAGGTGGCGGCCGGCGGCTGGGGCGCGCCCGGCCAGCCGTCCCCCGCTGGCTTCGTCGCGAGCGCCCCCCTCGCCAAGCGGATGATAGTTGTGGACAACAACAAGGTCAAGTTCCTCATCGGCAAGGGCGGCGCCACGCACAAGGGCATCCAGGATCGCTCCGGCGCGCACGTCAGCATTCCGAACGCGCCGGACCCGTTCGACCCGAAAAGGCCCGACCCGACGAAGCCCGTGCGCACGATCACCATCCGCGGTCCGAGTGAAGAGGCCGTGGGCGCGGCCGCGCGCGACATCGAATTTATATTGAATGAGGCAGCGGAGAAGCTGCCCGTCGCGCGCACGGGCGCCGCGCCGCCGATGAAGGTCGCGCCGCCCTGGAACCCGCACGGCCTCGGCCGCGCCTGCAGCAAGACGGTGGTTGTCGATAATTCGAAGGTCGGCCTGATTATTGGGAAGGGCGGCCAGACGCACAAGGGCATCCAGGAGGGGTTTGGTGTGCTCGTCAAGATCCCCAGCGAGGCGGACGCGGGCGACCCGTCGCAGCGGACGATCACGATCACCGGCCCGACCGACGAGGCTGTGGCCGCGGCCGCGAGCGAAATAGAAAGCAAATTGGCCGGCGGCTTCCCAGTGAGTCCCCGGGCCATCGCGCCCGCGAACGGCGGCGTGCTGCAGCCCATCGCGTCGCCTCAGTCCTTCCCAATCGCACCGCCGTGGAACCCGGCCGCGGGCGCGGCGACGGCGCCGGGTTGGGGCTCACCTCCAGGACCGACGACGGGGGGCTGGGGCTCGCCCCCGGCACAGTCGCCGACGGGAGGCTGGGGCTCGCCTCCGGCGCCGGCGGCGACGGGCTGGGCCGCGCCGCCGCCCCAGGGCGGCTTCACGCCCGCACCGCCGCGGGCGGCCTCGCCGTCGAGCAGCGGCGGTCCGGCGCAGACGCCGACGGGCTGGGCCGCAGCGCCGCCACCGCCGCAGGGCGGCTTCACGCCGGCACCACCGCGGGCTGCCTCGCCGCCGTCGAGCCTCGGGGCAGCGGGCTGGGCAGCGCCGCCGCCGCCGCCTCGGGGTGGTTTCAAGCCCGCGCCGCCGCCGTCCTCGACGCCGAGCGGCGGCTTCAACGCGCGGCGCGCCGTGCTTAAGGAGATGCCTGTGGCGGCGCCGGCCGCACCGCAAGCGCCGGATCGGGCGTCGCCTGGTCCCGGCGGCCGCGGCCGCGGCAGCACGCTGCCTTCCTGGATGACCAAGGGCGACGCGCCCGCTTCACTGACGCCGTCCGACCTCGCGACGGAGCGGGGCGACGTCCGCGTCGCGGAGCCGACGGAGGCGACGGCGCCACCGCCGGCGCCGCCCGCGCCGACGGCACCGACGGTGGAGGAGCGCGGCCCCACGCGGAGCTCCTGGGTCGCGGCTCCTGCGGCACCACCGCCGGCTCCGGCGCCGCCCGCCGCGCCGCGGGCGCCGTCGCCCCGCGGCGTTCCGGATCGGCCGCCATCGCGCAACGAGCGGGTGCCCGACTCGACCGACCCCGCGGTCCGCGGCCGGCCCGAGGCGCCGCCGGCGAAGCAACGCCGCGTCGAGACGGACGCGGGCAGCGCCACGGTCCGGCGGTCGGAGGGCAAGGCCTGGGGCGCGCCGCCGCCGCGGGCCGGCCGAAGCTTCGGCGTCGAGGAGATGAAGAAGTTTGACGCGGTGTCGGACGACCGCCGCGACATCAACTTGCCAAGTCGCGGGGATGGGACCAAGTTCGCGCCGATGAACGTTAAACGCCCCCTCAGGACGCTTCCGGACACGGCGGACGGCAGAAGGCGCGTCTACGAGTACGGACCGGGCCCGAACATCGACCCCGACCCGATGGCGCCGTTCGACCCCGCGGCGCTCGTGGGGCCCGCGGTCGACTGGGGCGACGAGCGCGCGGCGGCGGGCTGGGAAATCGCGCGCAAGGACGTGCGCAACCTTGGACGCGACGGGCGCGTGCCCTACCAGAAGCGGCCGCACAGCGATATGAACGGGTAACTGATATGTGTGATTACTTTTCTATACATAAACCAGGACGTACCACACGTACAAAACAAGAGAGAAACCGCGAAAATCCGCACTCAACAGGAGACCGGCGGGTTCTAGGGCTCCCGCGCTGAGGAATCCCGCGCGGCCTAGTGTGTCACACCTAGGAGCAAAGCAAGCCGGCTCGAGCTCCACCTCCCAGGCGGCTTATAGATCCGTGTGGCGCTTGCAGCGCGCTGTCACGAGCAGTGGGATAGCGTACAGCAACGCTCCGCGCCCCGTGTGCACGCGTGTGCCGTGCAAGAGGCTCTCCATCCAGCAGCAGCTAAACAAACTCCAGCCGCCGCAAGCCGTCGCCGCGGCGATAAACCAATCGAATCGTGCTGAAACCAATCGAAACCGTGCAAAGATGTCGACCCCCGAGCTGCGAGCGCTGCACGAGGCGCTCAACACGCTGACCCAGCTCGAGCGTGGCAGGTCCGTGAGCCAGACCAAGGTGCGAGCAGTAGCAAAAGCCTGCTTCGAAGCGCGCGACGAGTATAAGCTTGCCGTGCACCAGGTCGAGCAATTTGTGAAGACGGCGCCGGCGCACTGCCGGCTGGCGGGCGTCTACGTCATCGACGCGGTCTGCCGCCGGAGCAAGGACCAGAGCCAGAACGACGTCTTCACGCCGCGCTTCTCCACGAGTATTCTCGCGACGATCAGCGCGTTGGACGACGCCGACCTCGAGGACCGCCAGCGCCTCGTCAAGCTCGTCGAGAACTGGGTCAAGATGCGGCTCTTCGAGGGCGTGGACTTCGAGTCGGTCGCGGTGATCCAGCGGACGCGCGGCGACGGCGCCGACGTCTACGGCCAGCCGCCGCGGAAGCGGTCGCGGTCGCCGGACCGGCGGCAGGGCTACGCGCCCGCGCCGCCGCAGCAGGGCTACACGCCGGCGCCGCCGGGCAGCTATCCACCCCAGCAACAATCGTGGGGCGGCCCGCCGCCGCAGCAGTGGGGCGGTCCGGCGCAGATGCCGACGGGCTGGGCCGCGCCGCCGCCGCCGCCGCAGGGAGGCTTCACGCCGGCACCGCCGCGGGCCTCGCCGCCGAGCGGCGGCTTCAACGCGCGGCGCGCCGTGCACTCGGAGCCGCAGCCGCCGCTGCTGACGCCGTCCGACCTCGCGCCGGGTGGCTTCGACCCGCGGCGCGCCGTCAACCCGCAACAATCGCCCCGCGGTCAGCCCGAGCAGGCGTGGGGCAACGAGAGGGTGCCCGACTCGATCGACCCCGCGGTCCGCGGCCGGCCCGAGGCGCCGCCCGCCAAGCAGCGCCGCGTCGAGACGGATTATGGTAGTGCGGAGCATCGGCGCGCGCCGACCCGGTCCTGGGGCGCGGAAGACAGATCCGGCAGAAGCTTCGGCGTCGCGGAGATGAAAGCCTTCGACAGGACGAGCGGCGACCGCCCGCTCCCGGGCCGCGCGTTCCCGCCGATGAACGCGAAGCGGCCGCTGCGGCCGGGCACCGATGCGGTCGACGGCCGGCGCAGAGTCTACGAGTACCCGGACGTGCCCCAGTTCCGCGGCGATCCCATGGCGCCGTTTGATCCGGACTTAGCCTTCGCGAGCCCCTTCGCGGACCGCGGAGACGAGGCTTTAGCGGCTGGATGGGATATAGCGCGCAAGGACATGCGCAATGTAGGGCGTGACGGGCGCGTGCCCTACCAGAAACGGGCCCATCAGGATACGACTATGCTGTCATAACTTTCGTGTAGCATTTGTTTTACGAGGCCTCGCGAGGCCTCGCGAGGTGCTCCGCCAATCAAAACGGGTTTTACAGCGCGCCCCAAATAAACCCGGCGGTTTCAGGCGCTGGCGCGATATCCAGTATAGCTGACGCACTAATAAAGCTCGTGTGCTGGCCTCCCGAACCGCCCGAGCCTCAGATTGGTGCCCAAAGGTCCAGCGACTGAAAGCGGCGATGGCTGCCGCGCTACTCCTCATCGACTACCAGTTCTTCGAGGACGAGGGCGATTGCTACTGCAACCCGTTCCGGTGCGTGTGCGGATACAAGTGCTGCGTCTGCAGCATGTGCGGATGCCTCCTCGAGTGGGGGATCTGTTTCGGCCGGCGCGGCGGCGACGGGCCCTGCTGCTTCGACTGCTGCTGGTGCCCATGCTGTCCCTAGGCTACGGATAATGGTCAAATTAAAGCAGAAAGCGCCTGGTCGGCCAGGGCGAGCGCCTCGAGCGCCTCGGCGGCCGCGCGCGTCTCGCCGAAGCCCGACGCCGCGCCGAGCGCGGCCGTGGCCTCGCCGACGCGCCGGCGCACGGCGGCGCGCGCCTCGGCGGCCGCCGCGCGCGCGTCGCCGCGCATGGACGCGAGCGCCCGGGCGCAGGCGCCGACCGCCGCCGCCGCCGCGGCCACGTCGGCCGCGCGCGCCGCCGCCAGGCCCCGGGCCTGGTCCCGGAGCTTGCCGACGCACGCCCGTGCCGCGGCCCCGAAGACGTCGTCGGTCGCGGCCGCGGGGGGCTCGGGCGCGAGCCGCGCCGCGACGAACGCCGGCGGCGGCCGGCGCTTCGGCTTCGGTGGAGCCGCCGCGGGCGCCCCGTCGCCGTCGCCGCCGCACTCCGGCTGGACGCATCCAATAACACCTGCGCGGGGAAGCGGACCGTGAGTACTACTCACGGCGGGACTCGAACCCGCAATCTTCGCCTTAGGAGGGCGACGCCGTGTCCATTGGGCCACGCGAGCTTCGAAGGAAGAGACACCGGTCCGCGCCGTCCGGCGACCGCATGAGCGGCGAGTTGCAGCCCGCGTTCGGGCAGATGTCCTCGAGCATCGCGTAGCCCCGGATCAAATGCGCGCCGAGCGCCGACGCCCCCGGCACGGGCGGCGGCAGCCGCACCTCGTCATCATTTCTCGCGTCCACGACGAAGTCGTCCTCGTCGTCGTCGTCCTCTTCCATCATACGCGCGGCGACGCACGCCGGCTGGACGCAGACCTCGCGCCCGTCCGGCGCCCGCATCAACGGCGAGGGGCAGTCCTTGGCGGGACACTGCTTGCCTAATAAAACGTAGCCCTTCACGAGGTGTTCCGAGAGCGGCTGTGCGAGGGGGTCCTCGGCCGGCTCGTCCACGATGAACTTGCGCCAGTCCTCTCCGTCGTCACGCGTTGGCGCCGCGACGGCGTCGTCCTCGTAGGCGTCGCAGGCCACGCAGAACTTCCGTTGATTCGTATCGCGCATGAGCGGCACGCCGACCGTGCATCTTCCACAAGCCTCGTCCAGCAGCGTCCAGCCGCTCAGCAGCTTCTGGCCGATGGCCGCCGACGCCGCGTCCCGCGCCTTGGCGTCGCGCGGCTTCCGTTGTGTGATCACAACATCCTCGCCGTCGGCCTCGGCGGCTTCGACGGCCCACCCGGGCCGCGCGCGCGGGGATGACGCCGTCGCCGCGTCCTCCTCTTCGTCGTCACTACGAGCCGCGGCCTCGGCCCACGCGGCGCGCGCCTTTTGGGCTACCTCCGTCGTGGATGGAGGTGAAGACGGCACGCTCATCGCGTCGCCCTCCTTCACGACCGCCGCCCCGCAGCGCGCGCACCAGACCTCGCCCTGGCGGCTCCTTACTAAGGGCGTGTTGCAGCCCGCGACGGGGCAGGCGTCGCCGAGCATCGTCCAGCCCTGGAGCATGCGCGCGCTCACGTCTTCCAGTGCTTCGGCCTCGGTGCGGCGAGGCATCCCTTTTTGTCGTGGGGGCGGGCAGCACTCCTTTTTCTTCGTGGTTGGGGCGGCGAGCCCGAGCTTCGTCGTGCAGCTGGGCATTTTTTAGAGAGCTCTCTGGGCTGAACCGCTTTGTACCGCTCCGCAGGGTTAAATTTTTTTGCCCGAACACCGGCAGGGGGTCGAGTTGTGCTACTACTCAGCGCGCGTGGGTGTCTCGCGACTGTGCGGCTGTGTTTGAGCGTCGTGATCGCCCTGCTTTGCAAGATGTCTCTCGCAGCCGCATTATGCGAGGCCACGGACCCATCCCGCTGCTGGAGCCTTGCTTAGAGGCGATACTGCGCAAAAAGAATGCTCGAGCGAATTTAGCTAGCGGTAAGACACTAGCACCCCCAAAGCCAGCTTTTTCTTTCAGAGGCTTGGAGGCATCCTTCTCACCGCTTCGCAACGCAAACAACTTGCTCGTGCTTCTCCGAAGTCAGACCGCTGCCGACGCCCGGAATTTCGACCCACAGGTCGTCCCAAGACTCTCTTTGGACAAAGCAGGCTGCTGACTCGAAACCACAGGACTCGACCACGCAAAAAAAATGGCCTACGCCCCCCCACAATTTGACGACGCATCAGCGAACCTCGTTCCCCAAGAACCGCCGCCGCCCATCGGCGGCGTCGCGCAGCAGCGGCCGGCGCCGGCGCTCCGACCGCCGCGCCTCGGCGGCCTGGGCACCCTGACCGGCGCCGGCGACGGCTACGCGCGCCTCGACAACGCCGAGTCCGTCCAGGAGGATCCGGAGTTGCGGGAGCGCCGCGCGAGCGACGTGGCTTTAAGGCGCCAGCAGCAGAACGAGGAAAAGTTCCTGCGGCAGATGGAGCGCGAGGAGGAGCGCGCGCGGAGCGAGGGGTCGCAGCTCGAGCGTGACGCGGCCCTGGCGGCGAGTTTAGCGGGCGGCGAGGGCGCCGACCCGGCCACGCTCTCGGACGTGCAGCGCGACATGATGGTCGCGGCGCGGCTGCAGGCCGAGGAGAACCGTCGGAATCCTCCGAGAAGTGTGGTGCAGGCGGGCACGCGCCAGGAGACACGTAAAACTGTCAGAGTGCTGGTCCCGCGCCACGCCAAGGCCGGCGACAGCCTGTCCGTGGCCACCCCGACGGCCGGCAAGTTCGCCGTCAAGGTGCCGGCCTGGGCGCGGCCCGAGACGCACTTCGACTGCATCGTGACGACGATCGTCGAGGTCCGGCCGCCCGGCCAGGCCGCCGCGCCGTCACAAAGCTACGCGCCGCCGCCGCCTCCTACGACGTCGCCGGGCCCGCTGCCGCCGGGCTGGGAGGAGGGCCGCAACGCCGACGGCACGCCCTACTACGTGGACCACAACACGAAGCGGACGCAGTGGCACCGGCCGACGGGCGCCGCGGCGAACCCGATCCACTCGCCGCCGGCGCGGGGCCACGCCGCGCCCGCGGGCATGACGGAGGAGGAGATGATGGTCCAGGCGATCAAGGAGTCGCTCGCCATGGCTGAATCTGCTGGCGCTGCGGCGGCGGAGGAGCCGCCGCCGCCACCGCCGGACGCGACGCCCGTGGCCGACCTGCTCTCGCTGGACGCGACGCAGCCCGAGGACGAGGGTGGCGCGGAGATGACGCTCTGACCGACGTATGATGTGTAATTATCTTCTATGATTCGTCTCGTCGGCCGCTACCCGCCGTGTGTTAGTTGTCGCGCGTCGATGGCGTTGTACTTAGTGCTTAGTGCTCGCGCGCGTACTCGTGCTCGCGGCGCGACACGACACCACGTAGCCGAGTGATGTTGTTGCGGGGTGGAGGCCTCCTCCGTCCTCGATTCTTAATTTGCTTTGTTTAGAGCTAGGCCGCCTAGCCACCTGGCCCCATACGCCGTCGGTCCGTAGAGATGAAGCGACGTCGGACGCCGCAACCTCATGCCCGCTGCCCTCTCGACGCCGTCGCTGCGACGTCCGCTCACCGGCCGTCGCGAACCTTGACTCGGAACGAGACTACGTTTCTTGGATGGTAGTACACAAGTGGGGAGTGGGGGTTCGGGCGAAGGGGAAGGGGAAACGCGGTTCGGCTGCGGCTGCCGTCCTAAAACGGAGCGCACGAGGGAAGGGGCCGGACGTCTTCCGGCCGCGAAAACACAAAACACGAACCGCTGCTCGCGGAGCGGGGCCTCAGCGGCGCACGCCGACGCCGCGCGCCGCGAGCTTGGCCTGCTTGGCGCGGGCCTTGACGGCCAGGACGTCCTCGACGTCCATGGCCGGGTTCTGGTGGAGCAGGCCGTCGGCGCCGCGCATGACGTGCGCGCGCAGGTTCAGCAGGAAGCCGCCCGCCGTCGCGACGGGCCCGGCTTCCACGTCCGCGCGCTCGTAGGCGTGCTCGTACGCGCCGCCGGCCGCGCCCGCCTCGACGGCGTCGACGAGGTCGAGGTCCGGCTGCGCGTCGAGCGCGCCCGCGACGCGGCCGAGGACGTGCGCGCGCACGTCCAGCACGTGCGCGCGCGACGCCGCGCCGTAGTCCTTCTCGAAGGAGGCCAGCGCCTCCTCGCGCTCGGCCTCGGGCACCGACGCCGCCTCGGCGAGGCGGCCGCCTCTCGCTTGTAAAGCGGCGACGACGGCGACGGCGTCGGCGGGGTCCATGGCCGGGTCCTGGTGGCGCAGCACCTTGTGGAAGAAGAGCTCGCGCGCCGGCGGCGGCGCCACCACGAGGCCCTTGGCGTCGTCGTCGTCGCCGAGCAGCACGCGGCGCCGCGCGCGGCCGCGCGGCACCGTGACCATGCGCTGGCCGCACACGGCCTTGGCGCCGCCGCGGCGGCCGCACATAAAGGCCGCCGCGCTCGTCAGCGCGGTGAAACCCGCGAGCGCCCAGAGCGCGAGCGCCGGGCGGTACGCGCTCGCCGCCCGCGGCGCCGGCTGCTCCGCCTTGAGGTCCTCGCCCTGGAACTCGAGGGGGATCGCCGGCTCCGGCTCAGCCTTGAGATCCTCGGGCTCGTCGAAGAGGCTCAATAGTTTTTGCGCGCCTAGGCTCTTGGTCGGCGTCTCCTTGTGGGGGGCCACTTCCCAAGTTCCTCCTGCTTCATTTTCTTCGGCCGCGGCGAAGCGGGCCGCGACCTCGGGGCTCAAGCCTCCCGAAGCCATACACTTGAGGATAACGCTTATCCTCGGTCGCGAGCCCCAGCGCGCCCGTGTTCGCGCGCTGGGGAAGTTGGTTTAGGCGTGGGGCCGCAGCGGGCCGCGCCTCTGGGTTGTGCGGGGGGCTACGGCGTGTAGTCCCAGAGCCCTTTTACCGACGATCACGCCGTGACTCCAGCCGAGCACTAGCCAAGCGTATTCTTGGTGGCACCAATCCATCTTGCGGCACCACGGAGGCCTTCGTCAAGAGTCGCCTGCGCGCAGATACGTCAACGAGAGCGCGCCGCACTAGGGTGCGCGGCTTCCGAAATCACAGCAAGTCTGGACGCTGCCGGGGCAGCGCTTAATCAGCGCGTGAGGGCACGAAGCTCTTCGGGAAGGCATCATAGGCGCACAGTTCATCTCCAGCACGGTGCTTGCACGCTAGGGGCAGCGGAGACGAGGTGGAGTGGTAGCTGCTGAGCAGTCCAGCTGCCCTTAAGGCGTGAGCGCGCGTGAGGACAATGACCAAGGTGGTACCCAGCGCCAACGATGGCGCCGAACAAGCGGTGCCGAAAACGCTGGATCCCGCGACCGTGAACTGGTCTGATCGCCCCGTCCCGGCGGACGGCGGCGTCACCCGGGTAAGTGTCGAACTGAACGTCCAGGAATTCAAGGTCGACACGCACAACGGAGAGTTCCTGCAGGCGACATTTTGGGTTGTATTAGAGTGGGAGGATCCGCGCCTGCTGGCGGCAGGCATCGACACGTCCGATCCGAGCGCGATGCCGAAAGACATCTGGCGGCCCGCCGCGTGCTTCCCGACGAATTTCGCCTGGGCGGATGACGAGCCACCGGTGACGTTCCTATCACTGGCGCCCGGGCGTCTCATGTGGTGGCGCCAGACGAAACCGACGCACGTCGACATCTCAAGCGCCGGCGGCGGTGAGGAGAGGTTCAGAAGCTTCCCCTTCGACAGCGCCCGCATCGACTGGCTGTTCTGTATGTCCGACGAGGTGAAACTGGAGACTGACGTCGACATCGAGCTCGACTTTGACAGACGAAACGTGAAGAGCCAGGGCGGCGAGCTGCGGCAGATGGAGTGGGTCGGGCAGCGGCGGCAGGGCGAGTTCGTGTGCACGGCCGTGACGTTCGGCGTCTTCAAGCACAGCTCTCCGAACACGGGTTTGGTGTATCGCGACTGTATTTGGTCTTTGCACGTACAGCGCGACCCCACATACTATATCTTCAAGGGCGCGGTGCCGATCTATGTCATCGTCGCCTTCGCGTTTTTTCAGTTTGCGATGGACGTGGACGCCCAACTTACTGAGAGACTAAATTTTCTCGTGGCGCTCATGCTCAGCTCCTTCGCGATTCAGTGGACCGTAACGGACCGGCTTCCGCGCGTGCCGTTCGTGACCGCCCTGGACCGGCTGATCTTCGCGAGCCTGCTCGCGTTGTTTATGATGGCCCTGGGTTCTGTCGTGGAGAGCTGTGTGGAATCAACCAGTGAGTTAGGTTATTCGAGCGGTCACGGCGATGATGTCGCGTCGATGGCCTGGAAACTTCACGCCATCTAGCAGACGCAGCTACGGAGAAAATATCGCGTCGATGGCGTCGGGTGCCCGAAATTTGATTTCCACACAGGTCACGAACCAGGTCGTCTGCAGTGGCAGGCTCGGCGGGTGCGACTACGTCGATATCAAAAGAATCCGCACGTGGGACAGAGGATGCCTATGCGCGACGCTCGCCGCCTTCGTGGCCATGCACATCGATATTTTGCGGCGTGTACGCGCGTTCACGAAGCAGAAGGGTAGCCACCGCACGTGGAAGGAAGGCGGCGGCCGCATGAACGCGATGATGGACCCTATTGAGGGAAAAATTTGGCGCTGCGATTTGACGCGCGAGATGAAGAGCAGTGGAGGAGCAGCCTTCGGCGGCTTCAAGGGCAAGGGCACGATCTACCCCCTCGCGGTCGAGAAGGCCTGAGCAAGTAACCCATGTTGTGTAGTACCAGTGGTCTCACGGGGAAACGGGCGGAGATCATCAGGTTTGCAACGGGTGCGTCGCGACGACGCGACGGTCGCGGTGCCGATGTGAGCTAAACCAGGCAGTTTATCAGGGAAGGGGAGGAAAGCACTACCCGCGAAGGGGATGGCGCCACGACGTCGTCCGCGTGTTGTGGTCGATGAAGTACGTCCGTTGCTTGCGCGGGTCGAAGCGCCGCTCCCAGCCCGGCGGCAGTGGGAGGTCGGACGTCTTCGGCCGCGCCGTGCGCGGGCGCGCCGTCGTCGGGCGGCTGTTGCTGTACGTGCGCGCCTTGAGCGAGCCGGCGGCCGGCTCCCGGCCGACGGCCATGGCCCGGCCGGAAATGCCAAAACTCCCCTCCTCGAGGGGCGGCGGCGCGGGCGGCGCGCGCGCCGTCGACGGCGGCGGCGACGCGTTCCAGATCGACGGCGAGTTGAGCGGGTCCGCGGCGCGCGACGGCGGCGCGCGCACGCGCTCCTGCTGTGCAAAAGTCGACCGCGGCGGCGACTGCAGGGGGCTCCAGCGCTCCTCGCGCGTCTCCGGTTGCGTAGGAGGCACGCGCGGCGTCTCGCGGCGCTGCTTGCGCCGCCACGCCTCGTGCGCCGCGACGGAGTCGCCGACGGCCATGGACTGCGTCAGCGCCGCGCCGCTCAGCTTCGTGAGCGTGATGTCGCCCGAGAAGTCCGTCAAGCGTAACCGCAATGAACCATCAGGCTTGACGTCGAGGCGCGCCTCCTCGCACATGGGCACCGAGACCTCGACCCCATGATAGCACATGGACAGGGGCGGCCGGTTTCGGGGCGGCGACCGGTGCTGTTGTTGCACGGGCGGCGGCGGCGGCAGGGGCGGCTCGACGACGTCCGCCGTCAGGGGAGGCACGACCTCGCGCGCGAGGCGCCGCGGCGACGACCGCGGCAGGAGCTCCTCCTTATTATCGTCACCCAGGGACTCGAGGTGGCCCTCTAACGATAATTGATCTAAGAAATCGTCGTGCTCCTCTTCCACCACAGCCGGCGGCGCCGGCGACCGCGTGCTGTGGGGGCTGCGCCCCTCGATCGCCGTCGGGGCCAGCGGCCGTCCATCTAAGGAGGGCGACGGCGGCGGCGGCGACCGCGACAACCTTTTGGAGACGCCGGACTCGCCGACCGCGGCGGCCGTGGTCGGTCTCGTCTCGGACGCATCCAAGCGCGCGGCCCGCCGCGCTAAAGCAGCGCACAATCGCGACAAAGGCGCCCTCGAAGAATCCGTGCTTCCGATGCGCTCGAAGAGCAATCGGGCATCGTCGTCGGACATCTCCAGCGGGACACTGGAAGCCCCCAACAAAAACTCCTCGACACTGACATCGTGGTCGTCGTCGTTATCCTCGGCGAACTCGCGTCGTACCGATTCCCACGTCTCCAGGCCGCGCAGTAACGCCGCGAACTGCGCCGCGTCGAGCCCGGGCTGCAGATCGGCGACGGTTCTAGCTCGCTCCACAATGGCTTCGGGCGGGCCGTAGATCGGCTCCGGTAACGCACCGATGAGGCATCTCTCAATATCCTGGGCTCCCGCGGTGTCTAGCGCGCCCGCCGCGTCCCGGAACAGCAAAGCGGCTTCGGCTCGAGATAAGGGCCCCTCGTGGATCGAGTCGAGCGAATGCGACAGCCGCGCTTCGACGCGCTTCAAGACGGCCTCAGCGGCATCATCGTCAGGTGCAGATAGACCCAGCTCCGCCCTTCTTCTTGCTAAGTAAGCGTCGACATCGTCATCATCGCTCGAAGAAGACTCGGGCTGCGGCGCCACCACGGCGCTCCGCAATTCGGCCCGATCCCTATGCTCGGCCTTGAGCCGGCCCATGAAAGCACAAAACTCCTCGAATAATACAAGTCCTCCATGATCCGTGTCCATTTTGTCGAAGATGGCCCGCGCCTCCGCCTCGCCCAGATTCAGGCCCATGCGCGGCGCCCCGGCCAGGAACTCGTCGAAGTCGATGCGGCGATCGCCAGAAGCATCCACTTCGCGGAACTCCTCCGCGAGGGCCTTGAAATAGGCCAGAGACCTTACTAACGTGGCGAACTCGTTCTTCGTGATGAAGCCGGACCCGTCCTGGTCCGCAAATTTATAAGCTCGTAGCAGGGCCTGCTTGTCGTCGTACTGCGGGTATTCCTCTCTTACTAATTTGTCGATCTCGGCGAGCGACAGGAGACCATTACCGTTGTAGTCGAAGCGCTCCCACAACTTATGAAGTTCCTCGCGCGCCGGCACGGGGTAGTCCCTCATGGCTTCTCTCATAAAAGACTGGCGCGCGCGGGCCGACTGGGAGACCCTCATGTTTGTTGTCTTTGCTGCGGCGCGGGCTGCCCTCTGATCGCTTCGGTGGCTCGCGACGAAGCTGCCCTGCTTTGCCGCGGTGAAGCTTGCTTGCTGGCGCGCACACTCGACGCTTTTTGTTTGGATGGGGCGCGAAACCCCGCGCAAATTTTGTCTGTGCGCCGGCGAGACCAGCGCTCTGTATCTCTATGGCACCAATATGAAGCTGTGTGAGGGGTTAGGGCGTGCGCTGGGGCAGCCCAGCTAGTAGGCATAGCTAGTGGTCGAAAAAAAATGACAATGTCATTTGTGCTGCCCATAGCTGCCCCATAGCTCGATCCATCAGCAAAAACTACCATTTCTTGCTCGATAACCACCTGCGAACAGTTTGCACGCGCGTTGGCAGCCGCGCGGCATCCATGAGGCATGCCAGCCTCCTGTGGCTGCTTTATTACAATGCAGACGGGGCATCCAAGAGCACCAACGAGCAAGGAGCGCACAAGAAGGGCCGCGGCAACGAGCACAATAGCAAGGAGCTGCCCCACGTGACCCTCAAGAGCAAGGAAGGCAAGCCGCTCCACGTGACGCTGAGCAGCAAGGAGCGCGCGCAGCAGCGCCACGACAACATTGTTATTAGGAACCAGGCGGCGCAACGAGCCGAGGACGCCGAATGGGACCCGCTGCGGCGCCAGCGCGCCGCGCGGCAGCGCCTGCGACATCACCACGCGGCCTTCGTGCCGCCGAGCCGCAACGCGGCGCCGCTGTGTGGGAGCGACAAGTTCCCGATGCGCTTGCGGAGCTACTCGCAGCTCAACGAGGACCAGGAGCTCCTCCGGAGCTACTTCTGGAACAAACGAAGTGGCACATATCTGGAGATCGGCGCGTACAACGGTGTGTGGATGTCGAACACATTACTGTTCGAGGAGACGTACGGCTGGACGGGGCTCCTGGTGGAAGCAAACCCGCGCCTCTTCGACGAGTGCGTGCGGCACCGCCGCAAGGCGACCCGGGTCAAGGCCGCGGTCTGCCGCGGCGGCGGGTCCGTACTTTTTGGACGGGCGCGGGGCCAGGCGCCCGGCTCGGGCCGCGTCTTCGCGCCGCAGTCGCCGGCGGGCATGATCGGCATGACCCGGGCGACCTGCGTGCCCTTCGAGGACGTGACGGCCGCCGCCGGCATCGAGCGCTACGACCTCGCGAGCATCGACGTGGAGGGGTCCGAGTTCGACATTCTCCAGTCCTTCGACTGGAGGCATGTCCACGTCGACGTCCTCATCTGTGTCGAAATCAAAATTGTACGGCGCGTTCGTGCTGAATCATCGCGTCGTCCTCCACGCCGTCGACGCGATGCCTGCTCGATGGCGTGGCGATGCCGATTCCTCGCCGCTCGACGGAGCCAGCACGGCCGCGTCGTCACCGAGAAATGACTTAGTGAAGAATTATCGGTGCACCCGACGCACTGGTTGATTTCCACACAGGTTCTCATCGTCGAGTGGAACAAGGTGAAAGGAGACGCCCTCGCCGATTTACTTGAGGATAGAGGCTATACGCGCGACGCGACGTGGCGCGGGTCGGACGTCAACCAGGTCTGGCTCCACGCCAACTTCACGCGGTCCGAGGCGCCCGACTCGGTGTGGGAGCGCGTGTCCGTCGATAAGGTGTCGCACCGGGTCTCGGACGTCGGCCTGGGCTACAACTACACTTGTGATTCGGACTGCGGCGCGTGCACAAAGCTTCGAAGTGTGCGGCCGACGCTCTCGGGAGGGTAAATTTTAACAATGTGCACATTTACTTCTGCGAAATCCGCGGCGACTTCCCGTCGGCGACGGGCAGGGACGAGTACTCGGCGATAGGCCTCGTGTCGTGCGCCGTCTCGTCGAAGCTCCCCGTAAGCATCTCCTGGACCTTCGCCGCGACGGCACCACCTAAGTCCGCGCAATTCTGGGCCGATAGGTGAATACCATCACCACCGTGCCGCGGGTCCGGGATCTGCGTCGCCTCGTTGGCGTCGAGGAACGCGACGCCGAGCGCGTCAGCTTCGGCCCGGTAGTGTTTCGCACAGGCCGGGGCCTTCGCCGCGCCGCCGTCAAAACTGTACGCGAAGCGGCACGACGGCGGTGGCTGTCGGATATTGAGCGGGCAGACGAGGAGGACCCGAGGCGTGCTTCGCCAGACGTCCATGCGCAGCGCGTCGCTCGCCAGCGTCGCCGCACCGCGAGCGATGAGCTGCGGGCTCAGGTTCAGATGCTTCTTCAGGTCGTTCGTCCCCAGCATGATCACCAGCACGTCGATCGGTTTGTGGCTGTGGAGGATCGGCGGCAGCGTGCGCCGACCGTTTACTTCATACTCGGCCATGAACGGGTCGTCGACGATCGTCGTCCTGCCATTCAATCCTTCGGAGACGACGTCGTAGCCCGGGCCCAACTTCCTCGCTAGGACGCGCGGCCAAGGGTGCTTAAAACGGCGCATCGCATCGCCCTTGAACGCGTCGAGGCCCCACGTATTGGAATCGCCGTAGCACACAATTCTCTGGACGTCTTCGTCACAGATGACATTATCGGTCGCATCGGAAGCGGGTGGCGGCGGCGGCTTCGCAGCTTTGGCATCAGTGGTGCCACAGGTGGCATAGTAATACGTCGCCGCCGCGCCGGCTGCAGCGCCAGCGGCGACCAGTGCTACTTTTTGGCTGTCCATCGCAAGGCAGACGCTACGTTTGCAAACAAATGTCGAAAGCCGTCGAGCGTGAGACCGCTGGGCGTCTAGCTCTTTATAGAGGCCCACACAACTTGTGCAACAGGTCGCAAAGCGCCACAGGCCAATTACGCTAGTGCCTCATTACGCTAGTAATCACGACCAGCTTTGGCAAGGCATTTACGGCAGCCACAGGCATCGCAAATACAGTTAGCGCAGCGCGCGAGATTCTCTCTCATAGACGCCATCGAGCGGCATCGAGCGAGCCAACCCCTTCGCGCCTCCTCACTAAAAAGCACAGAGGCTCTCGCAGCCTCTCATCACCGCGCGATCTCGTGCGACGCAAAACGCACAGCTCTAATGCGCAGCAACGCACTGCTCAAGACCTTACTCACCACCACCACCATGTGCGCCGCCCTCGACCTCTACACGAGCCTGGAGTCCCTCGTCGCGAAGCCGTACTACAAGCTCGAGCAGAGCGTCGCCGCGAAACAGATTCCCGCGCTGTCGACCGCCGAAGGGGAGCTCCAACCGCTGGCCGACGGCCCGGGCGCGACCTTCGACCACGGCCCGTGGGACGCGCTCCTCCGGAAACACGTCAAGGCCGGCCGCGTCGATTATGACGGTCTCCAGGCCGATAAATCCAAATTCGACGCCTACGTCACGTCCCTCGCCCAAGCGGACGTCGCGAAGCTCTCGCCGAAGGAGAACTTCGCCTTCCACTGCAACGCGTACAACGCCCTGTGCATCGGCAAGATTCTTGATGAAAAGCCCGCCAAGTCGATTTTAGATCTGTCGACGAAGCAGCAGACCGTCTGGGATTCGAGAGCTGGTATCATTGGCGGCGAGGTTGTGAGTCTCAACGACGTCGAGCACAAGAGGCTGCGCCTCGTCTTCGCCGAGCCGCGCGTCCACGCGTGCCTCGTCTGCGCGTCGGCGTCGTGCCCCGACCTCGCGCCCTACGCGTTTACTGGAAAGGAGCTCGACGCCCAGCTCGCGGACCGGACGCGGACGTGGCTCGCGAACCCGACCAAAGGGTTCGCCTCGGAGCGCAGCGGCGCCGTCGCGCGCCTGTCGCGCATCTTCCTCTGGTTCGAGGCGGATTTCGATGATACATTGGCGTTCGCGCGCGCGAACGGCGCGGCGGCCGACGGCGCGCCCGCGGTGCGCTACTTCGAGTACGACTGGTCGCTGAATAAGAGCTAGTGTTCTTTGTTGCACGTTGTTGGATGCTTCGGATGTCTTTTTCTCTGCGCTGCGTGCGCGTGGATCGCATTCGTGCGGGTGTGTCGGCATTTTTGTGTGCGGAGCTACAAGGCATGCTACAGCGTGCGACAGCACGACACAGATGGTGATTTTCCGCTGAACTGCGCCGAATCAATCCGTGTACGGCGTGGCGCACAAAAAAATGCAGCCCTATGGCTGCCCGCACTCCGAAGGATGAGCATGAGTAGCAAAAGTCTGCTGCAGGCCTGGCTAGCGGTCGCGGCGAGCAACGCCTACCGCTACGCGTCGACGCCGCCGCCGATAACCGCAGACCAGGTCATCTCGGACGACTTCGGCGGGGCGTTCTGCGGTGACCAAGACGGCAGTGGCTGCACGGTGCGCGCGCCGGGGGCGAAGGCACCGCTCGTGACCCGGGTACTTCGAAACGCGAGCGACGTCGAAGCATACGCGGGGCAGCGTAGGCCTGGCGTGCGGAACCCCGTGCTTTGGGTCCCGCTAGGGCACGCTACATCACAAGGCGCGTTCGACGGGCTTTGTGCGTTCGTAACGCGGCTAGTTCCAATCCTCGCCAAAGCCAGCGACATCGCGGGCTTCACGCTGCTCACGCTCCCGTATCCCGTAGGGGAGCACGGCAGCCCCTGGGACCACGCCTACCTCCGGAAAAAGCAGTACCCGCCCTGCGGCTTCGACAAGCTCGCGCGGCTGCTGGACGCGCCCAAGCTCCGCGCGTGGTTCGTGATGGACCATGATCGCCACGAGAACGACGCCTGGGTCTTGCACCCGAAATTACGACACATGCCGATGGGCCTGACGAAGGGTTTTGAGGCGCTCGGCGCCGGGTTGGCGCTGTTGCGCAAGCAGCGCAAGCCGCGGTCCGTGGACGTCTACGCGAACTTCCATGTGCATGCCGCCGGACGGACCATTGCTGGCGCGCGTCAGTCCGCCGTGGACGTAGCCGAACGCAATTTCAAGGCCCTGAACCGCATGAAGAATATTGCCCGGCGCAACTCGACGTGCGCGCTGAACGACAAAGCGCCCTGCACGCCCGAGGAGCACTACGTCGGAGAACTTCTGAAGGCAAGGTACGTCATCTCGCCGCCGGGTTCCCAAATTGACTGCCACCGCCACTGGGAAGCATTAGTGTTCGGCGCCGTTCCTATTGTGCACTCTTCCCCCATAACCCTTTCGCTCCTAGACGGCCTGCCCGCGTGCTTCGTGCCGGCCTGGGACGCGCTGACCCCAGACGTGCTGCGACGCTGTGATGCCCGGCTCGCAGACACGCGGAGCTTCGACTGGGGCCGCCTGACCGTCGACTACTGGCGCACGCAGATCTCCGAGTCGAAGGCCACGCGGCGCGAGTCGAAGCCTCCCGCCAGCGAGGACGCCGTGGAAGCGGCCGCCCGGTGGGCGAAGGACCGCGACGCGCTCATCGAAAAGCGCAAGGCGGGCCGCTGGGCGGCTCTCCTCCAAAACTACAGCCGCGTCCAGAAGATGCAACCAGTCAGTGCATAAGTCAAATTGTCGCAGCGCGTCTCCGCCACTGGTGAATCATGGCCTTCACGCCATCGACGCGTGCACCCGACCCCCTGATTGATTCGCGCACAGGCAACGGTCCAAGGGCACCGCGGGGAAGTATGTCGTCGCCTTCGCACGGATATACGGCCACGCTTCTCGTATAGCCACGATCACCTCGACGCTCGCGCTGGCCATGGCGTCCGGCCGCGCCCTGGCGATCGTCTGGCCGCGCCGGACGAACTGTCGGGGGCGCGACCACATATTGGATAAAAATTGCGACCCGGCGGGCGTCACGGATCTACTACAACCGCACCTCGTCGATTTTTCGATGCCGCCTTCTGTTCAGAAACAGCTGCTCGCGAAGAGCGGCTGCGGTCACGTCCAGGACATGCGTCGAGGACCAGAAGAGCAGTGGGTCGTCCGCGACACGCGGGATCAAAAAATGCTCCTCGACATCTATCGCGGCGACACGACTTGGACGCCGTCCGTGGTCTGCACCGCCAGCAAAGACGACTGGTCCTGGGCGGCGACGTGTAGGCTGGGAGGTGTATCGCCGCTGGCCGACGCCGGAGCGCTGCAGGACTTTCTGTTCAAGCCGTCGGCGACGGTCCTGAAACGGATCGGCGCGATCCTGGCGTCGTCTCCGCGGCCCTGCGACCTCGGCGTCCATCTCGTCGCTGCGGATCGAACGAGCGAGTGGGGCACAAAAAAGGGCGACGAGTCGTGGATGCGAACGGTAGCCGAGGCGATCGCCGCGGAGGAGACCTTCGTCGCGGATGGAAAAAAGCTAGATTTCGCTATCTTCGTGGCGGCGGACAGCGGCTCGACGCGCACAAAGAGCCTTCTGCAGGATGCCTTCGGCGACGCGGTCCTCTTCATGGACGGCCACGGCGCCTCGCCCGACCGGACCACGGTGGAAGCCAACGTTGAAGCTCTCGCGGAAAATTACGTGCTATCGACGTGCGCAGAGATTTTGCCTCATGGCCGGGACTCCGCGTTCCGATCGATCGCCGCGGCGCGCGCAGCGTTCGAGCAGGGCTGGACGGCGAACCGGAGCCGTGCTTTTGTCGAGGGCGGGAAGCACGCCGCCGCCTCCGGAGCGCCTACAGCGTGCGCCGACCTTTCGGTTCTGAAGTAAGTTGTGTGTGAATTTTCAAGAAGGTCCGGCCCGGGCCGGGGAGGGACAAGTAACGCGTAGTTTCTGATAAATTAATTTACGCGAGCGAAAGCGCACAAAGGCGCTCAGCAGGCCCGCGGGTCGAGGAGGTGCTCCGCGAGGTTCCCCGATCCGGAGTCGTCGGACCCCCCCGTGTCCGACCGGTCGCGGCCGAACATTGAGGAAACCCCGAACACCGACTCGAAGAGCGTCACCCCAGTATTCGCATCCAGCCCCTCACCTGTCGATTCATCCGCAATCACCTCATCTAGTGTAGACGTGTCATACACGTGCAATCGGTCCAGCATGACCGCGAACTCCTCCTCGTCCAATTCCCCATTTCCGTCCTCATCGAGGTCCGCCACAATATTGTAGACGTCGTCCATGGAAACGTGGATGCCCAGATCCTCATTTAGTAGCTTGAACAATTCGGCCAGCGTGATCGTACCGGAGTCATCTTTATCGACCAACCGGTACATGCCTGCCTTCATCTCCTCCTTGTCGGCCATCGACTCCGTGAAGGCCTCGAGCGCGATGCCGAATTCCAGGAATTCGTTGAACTCGATCTGGCCCGACCCGTCCTCGTCCAGGTGTTTGATCAGTATTTCGATCACGCTCGTGTCGTTCGTCTGGCCGAATTTCTGGACGAGTTCTCGGAACTCATCTGTCGTGATGAACCCCGAGTTGTCGTCGTCGAAGATTTCAAAGACGTGGTGCCAGTGGCGCTTCTGTCGGGCTTCGAGCTGTTTCCGTCCGGACGCCGAGAGTTGTGCTAGCTTACGATTGCGCTCGGCCATCCTTTCCTTGAACTCCTTGGACACGTTGCCCGCCGAGCCTTCGCCCATTTCTCCGGCTAATACCGCCCTCAGAGTCGCCGTATCCGAGAGACATTGGACGACCTTGAGGGCCTCGAACGCCGCGACCGTCTTCGAGCGGCGCTGGACATTCGACAGAATACGGTGGTGGACCATGGTATCGATGTTGGACGCGACCGTGAAGTCTTCCAAAATACGAGGCATCTTCGTGATGACGATGATGGGAGGCAGGAACATAATGACGAGGAACGTGCATTTCACCCACAGCGGATCCAGACACAGAAACTCGGCCATGGCCGGGCCACACGACGCCGCGAAGGCTTGCGGGACGTATGTGGTCACTGCCACGGCGACGTAGATCGCTTGCGCGAGACAAACGACGCGGATCATGTCCAACGTAAAGGCCGACTTCGTCGAACTGCCGCACCAGAAGTTGAGGTGGTAATTTTCTTCCAATCCATGGTGATGACCGGTCGCACCATACACGGCGATCTGCTTCTTGTCCTTGGCCTTCAGGATCTCCCTTATGTCGTTCGCGCAGTGCATTTGCACGATGCCGCGGATCTTGGCATGTAATACGGCAGCTAAGATCGGGCCCGTGAAGTAGCCTATCACGAGCCACATGACCAGGCCCCAGTCCTGCGTGAGGTTGAAGAAGGCCACCCAGCAGAGTATCAAGAGTAATTCAAAGAACAGCCACGTGTTCATGGGAATTTCGACGATCTCCGCGATCGTGTGCCCGAGACAAGCTGAGAGGTAGGCCGAAAAGTCGAAGTCCGGCGTCTTGGCCAGGTGGTTTCTCACAAATGTATCCCGCGTGGCTTTGTAGACCAGGATGCGGTACGGCACCGGCAGGCGATGCGTGAACAAGTTGACGGCAAAGGGCCTCCTGGAGATATCTTCGACGTAGCCCACAATAGATCTGGGCAACTTATTAATAGACGACGTCTCCCAGAGCCGCCACTGCTTCTGGATCGAATTACCTAGCGCGACTAACCCAATGGCTTGAGCTAAGAATAACACCATGACCAGAAACAGCACCATGTGCACCGTCTCGCTCAGCTCGTCCAGCTCGCTCCCTTCCTCCTCCCCGTAAATAGATTCTGATAAAGTCTCCATCCAGGGTATGGTAAATATGACAAACAAAGTAACGGAAATGAAGCCCAGCGTCGTCAATTCGGAAAACATGGACGTCAAAATGGGCCGCATGGACTCGGACGTCCGGTGGAACAGGACCTCGCGACCCTGCTCGAAGCCGATCGACAGCAGGATCATCCCGGAAACGATGATGACAACGCCCTCCAATTTCAAGCGAATGTCCTTGTCGACCTCGTCCTCGTCCTCCTCGTCCTCGTCCTCGGCCTCGGCGAAGCGCGTGAACTTCATCGCTTGGCGGGCGCCGCCGCGGAACGCATACAATGCGGACGCCAGTGCTAACGCCGCGCCGGCGGCCTGGGCGCGCCGCGCGCGGAGTCGTGCTGTCGTCGTGCTCTTCATCGTTCCTCTGCTGCGCGTTCGCACGCGTCTAGAGGGCAGCCCGGCTTGGCGGGGCAGCTGGCGAGTCGCTAACTCCGCACGCGGTCGCTGAGGCAGCGCTTGGCCGCTCAGCAGCTTGCTACGGGTGTCCTCGGCCCTCGGGTGCAATCGGGGCAGCGCACGAGGCTGGCTTTGGCGCGCGGCGCGAGGTCTGGGCCGGGGAAAGCTTAAGTTACTTTAAGATACCGGCCCTAGTATTGTCGCGGGGACTTGTCGTGGGGTAGCCAAGGACTGCTAGAGTCACGCCCGTCGACGCTTCGTAAACATTGGGCTATAGTGATGCTAGTAGGACAATCTAGTGGGACAAGGTTGTTGCCAGCGCCATAAAAAGGCCTGTAAAGGCAGCCCAAAACCGCATCTATCGGCAAAGGGCAGCCAAAACCGCATCCATCGACAGCCGCTTCGCGTCGTAGGCCGCCGGACGCATCGATAATGGTCCTGTGGCGGAAAAAAGCGCCCCCAAAGCCTAAGGAAGAGGTGCCAGCACCAGCGCCACCAGCACCAATAGAGCTGGTGGCAGCCGCCCCGGCAGAAGAGGAGCGCCTCCCACCGCCCGCTGCCTTCCGGGCGTCGCAGGAGATCGCGAACCGCAATTTCTGCGACGAGGACGACGAGGATCAATCGGTGGAGTTCACGGCGAGCGAGTCGTTGGTGCGTGAGGCGCTGTGCCGCATCGACCCGCCGCCGGCAGGCCCGTTGACGGCGCGCTCCGAAGCCCTCTCCGAGGCGACGACCGCGCGCGCGCCCAGCCGCGAGTCGTCGCCGCGCGACGCTGCCGCCGCGGTACGCACGGTCAGCTTCGACGAGCCGCCGCCGCGACATCATCGGCCCCAATCGGGGCGGCCGCCGCGCCCAGTAACAGCCGAAGCCGTGAGCCGTGCGCTGCGACGGGCGCGAGGCGGCTACTTGGACGACGCCGACGACGACGACGGGGCCTCGGACGACGAGGACGCGGACCCAGTCGCGCCCGCGCCCGATGAGGCGAGTGTCAGGCCGCCGGACCCGGCCCAGCGAATACGCCTCGTGGAAATGGAGATTCCCTCGTTCGCGGAGCGATTTCCCTTTGCGCCGGACTCGCCTGTCCAGGAACGACGGGCGCGGCCCTCGACGGCGGGCCCGGGCGCCGTCGGTCGGGCGCCTACGTTCGCGGTCGCACGGCGGCCCGCGACGGCTGGTCCGCGCCGGCGGCGCAGCCAGGACGCGCTCGCTTGTCTGCGGGCGCCCCTCGACCTCTCCCTGTGCGACTTCCTCGACGACCTCGTCAACCTGTGCGACGCGGCAGACGCTGCCGAGAAACGACGAACCGCGTAACTTGTCTAGTGAATTCTTATGTACAGCGTGCGACACGGCAATGACGCAGCCGACGCGGCCGATCTCGAAGGTCAAAACGTACTTGTCTAGTGAATTCTTACGGCGCCTCGGCCGAGTTCGGCGATGGCCTCGACCTTCGCGCGGCGGCCCTCTCCATCGTCAGTCGACTCGGCCAGAGTTCGTCGTTCCGCGCGGCCTCGGCGACGGCGTCGACCGCGAGCTTTTTCCGCCGACACCGCCTCGCGTGGCGCCGCAGCCCCCAGGCCAGGACGTGCGCCTGGGCGTCGTAGTCCGTGTTGTACTGAGCGAGAATCTGGGTCACGTCGGCGTGGCCGGCGGCGATTGCATTATGAATCGGCGCCGCGCCCGCCGCGTCCCGGACGGCGTAGGACGCGCCCCACGTCAGGAGCAGCCGCGCGAAGTCCGTTTGCCCGTGCCGGCAGGCCGTGTGTAGAAGCGTTTCCTTCGACTCACTGTCGAGGGGCGCGTCTAAATCTACCAGCACGCGGTCGCTCAGGAGTTTGGTGAGAATATGCGCAGAGGACGCGCCTCGGCCGCGCTTTGCCCCTTGGTACGCGTCCGCGGCCGACGGCGTGGCGCCGTGGCGCAGTAATAAGGCGACGCATGCCGGGTCGCCGCGCCTTACCGCAACTTCCAGGGGCGTCACGATCCCCACAGGCTTAAAGTGAGCTTTGGAGGATACGTCAAAACCGCCGTGGCGCAACAATCGTTCGAGGCACTGTGGCGCCTGCCGAAAGGCTGCCTCATGTAAAAGCGAGGACCCGAGGGGCGCGTCTCTGTAATGCCGCGGCCGGTGCGCGTCGCCGTCGTCGGGCAGCGGCGTCGGCGAGACCATCGCCGGGTCGCGCAAAGCGTCGAGGAGTAGTTCGACGCAGTCGTCGGCCTTGCCACGGACGGCACAATGAACTGCGTAGGCCCCGCCCTGTTCCTCCTCCTCGACGTGGTCGGCTTGCGCCGCCGCGAGCTTCTTCATGAGCTTTTCGGAGCCCGCGGTCTGTTTCATCCCGACCCTTTCGACGGCCTTGGGCTCCCACGGCGCGAGCAACGCGCTGCGCACGGCGCTCGCGCCACCGGCCCGCGCCGCGGCGGCGAGAACTCGAGCGCACAGCGCGCGGTCGCCCGCCTCTGCGGCGGCATGGAGTGGCGCGGGCCGGCCCGGCGGTGCGCCCGGGCCGAGCACGCCGCCATGGCTCAACAACGCCGCCGCGAGGTCCAAATAGCCTTTCTCGCACGCTAATTGCAGGAGCGAGCCGTCGTCGGCCGCCGCGTGCGGATCCGCCTGGAGCAGCGCCAGGAGGGCGGCCCGGTTCCGCCGGTCGGCCACATTCGACTGGAGGCCGCGCGGCAGGAACGAGGCCGTCGGCGCACTCTCGAGCGCCAACCGCAGCGGCGCGGCGCGCCCCTCCTTCCGCGGCGCGTCGTGGCAGGCCTCGCCGCCGAAGCCCGACCCTGCCGCCGCCCGAAGTAAAGCGGCGAGGGTCCGCGGCTTCCATGGCGTGAGGCAGCACTTCACGAGCGGGCAGTCGCCGTCGGAATTCGATTTCCGCACGGCCAGCTCGGCGCTCCGCTCGGCGCCCAGCGCCGCGAGCACTTTTGGCAGGAGCGGGTCCTCGTCGCCCAGCGCGGAGATCGCCAGATCCAAGAGATTCTCCTCCTCGTCATCGTCGGCGAGCAGCGGATGCGCCGTCGTGCGGTGCGCCGCGACGACCCACCGCGCCGCCGCGTCGGCCGCGGTCCGGTTTGCGTCGTCCGGGTCCGTCGTCGCGAACTGCTGCGCGTCGTGCTGCGCCGCCGCGACATCCCGCGCCGCCAGCCTCAGGGTCTCGACGAACTCGGCGTCCTGGGCGGCGCGCTTCCGCGCCGCGGCCGCGTCGTAGGACCGCATCGCGCGTAGCAACCTCTCGGCCGCCCGCGCGGCGCCGGCGTCCTCGACGGGCGCCGTGACGGGCCGCCGCCAGGCCCGTTCGAGAGGCTCCAGCAGCTTCTCGTCTATGTCGTCGGGCCCGTCGACGGCGCTGCACACGACGACGCAGGCGCCGCAGACGGCCATCCGCAGGTCGACGAGGCGCCGGTCGCCCAGGGCCGCGTCCGGCGTCGACAATAGTATGGTCCAGTCCCGGCGGTGGACCAGGTCCACGGTCCGCAACTTCCGGCTCATCTCCGGCCGTCTCACTACTTTAGCGATGCGCTCGGCGCCGCGCGACGCGTGGCCGAGCGACGCTTGTGCCGAGCGCAGCTCCTCACTTAAAATGTCGTCGCGCGCCGCTCTAGCTGTCGCGCGCGTCGCCAGCGAGTGGGCCAGCTTCCGTTCGTCAACGCCGCTCGACGCGTGCGCCGCCACAATATCCAGGATGCGCGCGGCCGCCACCCTACGAAGCCACGCGAGCGCCGCGCGCCCCGCGTCCACCGCGTTCAACACGTCCTTCGGCTTGCGCCGCCAGAGCTCCAGGAAACTCCGGAAGCGCTCCGCGCCGTCCTCGTCCGGTTTATTCTTCCAGTAGTTCCGCACCTCCCTCAAAACGCCGGCCGGCACCTTCGCATCGGATGGATCCGGGTCGTTCCCCTCGACTTCGAGCCCATCGGCATAGGAAGGAGGCGCGTGGAAGAGCGCGAGGCACCTTTCCAATCTCTCGCGCGCCTGCTCGCGCTCGTCGCCCCAGTCGGTGACCGGCGCCGCGCGCCGCGGCCGCGGCGCTAGTAATAGGTGCATCGACGCTTCCACTGCCCTTAACGTGATACGCTGCTTCAGGCCCTCCGCGTCCAACTGCTTCAGCGCTTCCAGTGACGACGGCGCGACGCCAAACTCCCCGAACGCCTTCTTGGCCCGATCCGCGCAGAGCAAGGGCGCCTCCTGGCTCCAGAGCGACGCGACGCGGCGCCCGGCGAGTTCCGTCGCCAGGGCGCCCGCCGTCGCTAGAACGCTGGCTAATCGAGGCGCCGCGCCGCCCCGATCCACCGCCGCGTGCTCGGCCTCCAAATCGGCATCGACGAGCACGGACTGGCGCCGCCACCTTCTTAACTCGGCATCGGCGCCGTGGGCCCTTCTAGAAGCCGCTCTCAAACACACCGCGTCGAATTGCGGCTCGGGCCACGCATTCGTCGTGTCCGCGAGCGCCGCCTGCTCCTGGGAAAAGTGCTCGTGTGCCTTCAGACACCAGGCTGCGGCACTTTTCTGGCCGGCGGCGAGCGCGACGCCGAGCGGCGTCCTCCCATCAGCGTCGCGCGCCGTCAGCGCGTCCTCAGAGCCTCGTAAAATGAGGTCCAGGGCCTTGGACGACGCGCCGGCCGCGCAGGCCGCGTGGAGGCTCGTGGCGACGCGCGGCCGCGGCGCCCGTCGCAACCGCCAGAAGAGGCGGCAGTCCGCCGCCAGCTGCGCGAGCTTGACGGCCGTGCCGTCCTCGAGCTCGGCGTCGCCGGCCGCGCCGTCGTCGTCGTCGACCAGCACGAGACCGACGTGCTCGTGCGTTCCGTCAAGACACCTGAGCCTCCCAAGCTTCCGCTCGTAGGTCGTCGCCGGCGCGCCGCCGAGCGCGCGCTCGACGACGTCCGCGTCGGCGGCGGCCGCGCGCGCCGCGGCCGCCGCGGCGCAGACCTCGGCCAGGATCGAGGGCGGCGTCTCGTCGCCGGCGGCGAACACGGCGCGCCAGCCCCCTGCAACGGACTGTGGCCGTTTCTTTGTTGTCGTCGGAGCACAAGCGGCGCCCCGCGAGAGTAATGCGAGGGCGACGTTTGCCGGCGCGCCGCGCGCCTCGACGGCTCGCAAGGCTAAATCGCCGCCCCGCGTGCGCGCCGACGCGCCGGCCCGCAGCAGCGCCTCGACGAGCTCGCCTGCGCCTGCTGCGCCCGCGGCCGCGAGCCTCGCGGCCGCCTCGAGCGCCGAGCCGTCGCCGCCGTCGGGCCTCGAGCCCCGTTGCACCAAGTCCAGCGCAAAGGACACATATCCGCGACGCACGGCCAGCGCCAGCGCCGTCGCGCCCGACCCGTCGCGCCTTTCCGAGTCAGCTCCTAAATCCAGCGCCGCCGTCGCCGCTTGACTCCGCTCGCGCGCCTCCCTTAGTAGCGGAGCAGGTCCTCTCGCGTCGCCTGCCGCGCCAAAGGCCAGCGACGCCGCAATCAGGCCCACCGTGCACGTCGCCGCGTGAGGATCTGTGGCATGGCCGCGCCGCGGCGCCGCGGCCGCGGTCACGGCCAGCCGCGCTTCAGCCAGGCGTCTGTCGGCGTCGGCGCGCTTCCGCCGCGCGGCGCTGACGGCGCGCGCGGCGCGCAAATTCGGGTGCGACGCCTCCGCCGCGCTCACGCAAGAACGCAACCACGCACCTAAAGCGCTCAGGGCGTCGCCGCCGGCCTCGTCGCACTTCGACGCCGCCTCGGCGACGGCGCGCCGCGGTCCCTGCCTTGTCAAAAGGTAAGCCGGCTGCGAGTGCACGGCGTCGGTCACCGCCAATAAAGCGTCGGCCAGGCGTAGTCTTCGTCCGAACTTGCGCGCCGCCTTCCACCAGCCGTCGCCCGAGGCCGCGGCCTCGTCGCCCAAACAGAGCAACGCGCCTCTGGCGGCGTACTCCGTGGCCCGGTCGCCGTCCGGCGGCCGCGACGGCTTGAACAGCTCGCGGACGGCGCCCTCGAACTCGGGTGCTCTTAAACGCTTCTCCGCCGCCTTCCTTAGCTTAGAAGCGGCGGCGTCGGCGGCGCGCGCCGTCTCCACGCGTGCCTCTAGATCGTTGGGGCCGGCCGCGGCCTCGGCCGCGTCGACCTCCCTGTTACAGGCCTCGAAGGCGCCCTCGCAGCGCGCCGCGCGCGCGGCGGCGGCCACGGCGTCGTCCCGCTCGACCTCGACGAAGGCGTCGCTGTCGGCGCCGAGCCGCGCGAGCGCCCGGAGCGCGTCCGCGCGGCCGAGCGCCGCGGCGAGGAGCATCGGCCGGCAGCCCCCGAAGTTCGCGTCTTTGCGGTCAGCTGATCTCGCCAGTGACGCCGTCGGCACGCGCGCGGCGCCGGCGAGCGCTTCTCCTAGCGAGGCGACGTCGCCGCCCCCTAGAACGCCCGCCGTCAGCACGCCCACGCCGTCTCCTTCCATGCGGTCGCGGCCCCGCGCCGGCCGCGCCAGGCAGGCCGCGGCGCAGTCGCAGTGGCCCCGCAGGGCCGCGACGCCCGCCGCGGTCCACGCCGGCGTCGTCCGGTCGTCGGGAAGCAGAATCTTCGCGAGCGCCGGGTCCGCCAGCGCCGTTACAGCTCTCCGGCGGAAGGCCTTCATCTCGGGCGACGGCGGCTCGGCGAGGTCGTCGTCGTCGGCGAACACGTCCTTGAGCGGCCTGGCGACCGCGGTCGCGGCTTTCGCGCCCTTGTCCAGTAACAACCGACACAGGGGCTCGTCGTCGCGCCGCGCCGCAATATGTAAAGGCGGCCACGACCCGCCACCCGGATCGTCGGGGTCCGCGCCCGCTTCCAGGAGCAAACGGGCGCACCGCAGCGCGCCGCGCTCGCACGCCGCCCTTAATAACGGAGACAGCTCCGTTGATATATCCCAGCCCCGCGCCCGCGCGAGATCAAGCAGCAGAGCCAACGAGCGGTGGCCGCCGGCCTTCGCGGCGCCCTTCGCCGCGTCCCAGACACACACCTCGTCGTCGGCGTCTTTCGACGAAGCGAGCGCGTCGGCGAAGGCGGCCGCGAGGTCCGTGGCGGCGCGCGCGGCGCAGGCTAAAGCAAGCGGCGTGGACCCGGCTTTATCACGGGTCGTCGGCGAGTTTGTCGAAAGCAGTTCGGTGGCGCACTCCGTCGCGCGCCTAGTTGCGCGCTCCAATCGAGCCATGGCGGCCTCGCGCTGCGCCGGCGTGCGCGGGCGTAACCGGCGCGTCGTCGTCAGCAAGCCGGTCACGACGTAGTGCAGCGGCGTGCGGCCGCGCGCGTCGATTGATGAAGACTGGCCGCGGGCCAGGCGCGCGACCAACTGGGGCCGCAGTCGCGCCGCGGCCAGGTGGATGGCCGTCGCGCCGCAGTCGTCGGCGGCACCGGGGTCCGCCCCGTGCGCTAAGAGAGCGTCGGCGAAGCGCACGGCGTCCGCGTCCCAGGCGTCGTCTTTGCTCCCGTCGTCCTCCATGGCGCCGGCAGTGTCGTCCCCGCGCCGGCGCAGGTCGCAGACCGAGTGGAGCACGGTGCGGCCCGTCGCGGCGCAGCGGAAGGCCGCGAGGCGCGAGCCGCCCTTCTCCATCAGCATTTTCCGAGCACCGGGCGCGTCCGCGACCTCCGCGAGCTTCAGCATCGCGGCATGGGCGGCCGCGTCGTCGTCTTCAACGAGCGGCCAGGCCGGCGCGCGGCCGGCCGCGACGCGCGCCGCGTCTCTAGCTAATCGCAGCCGCGCGTAGTCCGGCTGGCCCGGGAGCAGTCTAGCTTTCAGGCGCAGCGCCGCGGCTTCAAACGCGTCGAGCTCGTTGAGCGACCAGGCCACGCTGCGCAGGTAGGCTGGTGGTGTTGTGCGCATTTTTCGCGCCGCGGCCCGCAACAACAGCGCCGCGGTGCGCTCGCCGGCGCCCCGCGCCAGCAGCGCGCGGCCGCCGCCATGCGCGTCGTCCAAAGCTTTTAGTGCTAAATCCAAAATGTCGTCGGCGGACTTCTTGGGGTCGCGGCAGCGCTTGTGCCACTTCCGCAATGCCTTGGCTGCGCCGCTGTGCTCCTTGCGCGGCGACACCATGGTGTTTTTAAGGCTGCCCGCTCGGTCGGCTCTTCAAGGGAATGGGCCCTAGCCGCGTTCCGCGGCGTGGCGGTGCCGCCTCGATTCGCGTTTTGCCCACAGTTGGCTAGCTGCTGCCAAAATTTCGTGCGGGGCGGACCGATTTGGTTGGCCTCGTTTCAGCGACCTCTCCCCTTCTGCCAGGGCTCGCAGGCGGGCGGAAGTACCTCTCCTCGCGTGGAGCGGCCCTGGACATCCGGGGAGGCCCCTGCCACAAGCTGTACCTTCCAGCTTGCGCGCGCGGCGCCGCCAAAAATGCGCGCGATGGTCCGTGGGGCCCACTTCCTCGCCGTCGCAGCCATGAGCGCGGTCGGCGCGGCGCCCGGCGCGGTGGACGAGGGGCTGCTGGCCTCATACCAATTCCTCCGCGCCGACTGCGTGAACGGCACCTTCCCCGACGGCGCCGGCGCGGGCGGGCCGCTCGTCCGGACGGCCTCGACGCGCTGCCTCCACGGGCTGGGCGTCGCCGCGGACGGCGCCGCGCCGCGCGTCACCGCCGGCGCGGCCGCGCTGCGCGACGCGCTCGGCGCCAGCGCCGAGGACGGCTCTGACGGTTTGACGGTGGAGCTCTGGTTGCGCCTCGACGGCGTGGGCGAGAGCACGGAGGAGCAGCCCATTTTTTCGATCGGCGCGCCTGATGCTGATGACGATTCGGAGCTGAATAATGTCGGCCTGCGGGTCTGCGCGTACCAAGATAGGCTGCTTGTGAACATGGTCTTCCGCGGTCAGAGTCCCTACGACGACGGAGTCGACACGCAGTGGTTCAACAAAAATATACCCGATCTAGTTGGGGACATCGCCGGTGGCAATGTCTCACACGTCGTCGTCTCAATTGGCCAACGAATTGACGTCTACGTTGATGGCATGCTCTACTATGACAACAATTTCATGGCCGGCTTCGAATACGAGGACTTCAAGGCGACGGAAGCCTGGGCGGACACGTTCGCGCTCGAGCTCTTCTCGGACGGCATCTCCCGCTACGAGGGTGCCGAGCCCTTTGGAGGTGATATCTTCTCCTTGAAAATCTACGACCGCAAGCTCGACGCCGCCGACGTGGCCCAGAATTTTGACGCGGGCCTACCGCAGACGCCGGCGCTCGCATACCCGGTCGAGGCCACGATCAACGAGGACGGCGAGGCTATTGCGGGCTCACTCCTAGATATTGCTCCGAAGCTCTACGCGGCGCCCTTGCCGGCGTCGCGCCTCGGGACCGTCTCACTGAACGTCGTGGACCTCGACGAGGCACCGGGCTATCCCGCGAGTCAGCCGATGAAATCGACGGCCATGGTCGCGACGCTGCCGGAGGCTGGCGAGATCCTGCATCTAGACGGCACGCCGATTAGTGTAGGAGACGTCCTGGACCCGCCGAGACTCCTCGCGCGGCCGCCGCTCGACGCCGTCGGTCAGAACGTCATGAACTTCTCGTATCGGGCGGTGGATGGTGGCACGGGGTCGATCTCGAGTGCCGCGACGGTCTTGATCTCGACGGTCGCAGTCAACGACCCGCCGGTGCCGTCGAATATGACTCTGGTAGCCGAGGCCGGCGCGGCCCGCGTCATCGAGTTGCCAGGCAGCGACGTCGACGATCCCATCGCCACCGCAATTGCAGTACTAGACGGCCCTATTTCACCGGACGTCTCCATAATACTGAACGCCACGGCGCGGACGGTTTCCTATCTTTACGAGGGTCCCGTGACGACCGACGCGATGGACCCCGAGACCGGTGTGTTCCTCGTCGACTCCTTCCGGTTCCGACTCATAGATGCGCACGACGCCACGTCATTTGCGACGAACGTCACGGTAGAGGTCCGGAGCCCGATCGTCGCGACACCAACAGAACCCCAGACGATCGCCGAGGAGGGCGGCGACGTCGAACTGCGGGCCGTCGATCTCGGTGATGCACCGGGCGACGTCTGCGTGGAAATCGTGGAACCGCCCCCCCAAGGACGCCTCGTCGACGGCTGGGGCGTGGAGGTCGGGCCCGGCGCCGCGCTCTCCACAAAGCTCCGGCCGCCCTTCGCGGCGGGGGCCCCGGTCCGCTACGAGGGCGGGGCCGACGCCTTCACGGCGCCGGATCGGATGTGGAACGGGTCGGCGCTCGCCGTGCCGTCGATTCAGATAAAGTACCGCGCCTTCGCCTGCGACGCGCCGCAGCGCGCGTCGCCCGTGGCCACGCAATCACTGAAAGTGATCAACGTCAACGACGCGCCGGCGCTCCTCTACCCGGCCCGGGCCTTCGCCGTCTACGCGGGCGTCGCGGAGTCGGACGACGAGTTCCCGTCTACCGTACTGCTGGAGGGCCTCGAGCTCACGGACGCGGACCGCGACGTCGACGCGGTACGGGTGACGGTGGCCGCACAATTCTCGACGTCGATGCTCTCCATGGACGCGGCGCTGCTGCCGCTCGCCGACTTCAACAGCGACCGGGACTGCTTCGGCCGGGGCGCCAGCGGTTGGCGCTGCGAGGGCGACGGGCTGGACGATTCCCGCTTCACCTTCGTCGCGACGCCGTCGGCCGCGAACAAGCTCCTCAAGACCCTGAGCTACCGGTCGATCGCCACCGACGTCCGCGACGTCGTCTCGGTCGAGGTCTTTGATGGGGTCGGCGGCGAGTGCCTCCACGAGCACACGACGGCGTCGATCCGCGACGGCTGCTTCCGGCGCAACGCGTCGCTCACGATCTACGTGGCGTCGTACGCGTTGTTCGAGGCGCACGCGTCCGCGTCCGCGCGCTCTGAGCGGCGCTGGGCGAAGCAGTACGGGTGGCCCTACTCTGCCTTCGCGGGCTTGTTTCTCCTGGCGTGTTTTGTTGCGTGTTGCGCGCGGTGCTGCTGCCGCCGCCGCACGTCGGACGACGGCGCCGAGGTGAAGAAGAAGCGGAGGAAGCGGGCCTGGTGTTGCTCGCGGCGCCGACGATCGAACGCCGACGAGGAAGTCGGGGCGTACTCGTCGACGCCCTCGGAGGATGAGAAAGAGGAGCCCCCGGAGCCGCCGCGGGCCACGGTCCTCCAACCCTTCGCCACGGTCCTCCAGCCCTTCGAGCCGGCCGAGCCCTGGCAGCTCGCGGTCGCGGGCGGCGCGCGCGTCAAGGTCCTGCAAATTCACGAGGACGGCTGGGCCGAGGTCCGGGACGCGACCGGAACGACGGGCCTCGTGCCGGCCTGCTATTTGGACCTGCCGCCGCCGGCGCCCGCCAAGTGATGTTCTTCCCTTCCCTTCCTGTCTAACGATATAGATATTGTATCGGTCACTGGCAATTTTTAACCAAGTTATTATTCGATGGGGAGAGGAGCGTTGCGGGATCAAGCGTCGCAAGGCGGCCGGATCAGCCCGACGACGCGCGCCGTCGATCGCGCGCCTGGCGGATTTGCAAACTGCACCGCGCGCGGCCAAAACGCGAGATCTCACCGGCCAGCCCCGGCGCCGCGGGCAGGCGTCTCCACCACGCCGGCCCCGTCGCCGCCGGACGCGTCGACACGACCTCGTGTTCGACGCTGCCGAAGTTGCCGAACAGCGCGTCGCCCGACCTGAGTTCGACGATCTCGTCGCCGTAGCGGAACTCGCACGAGCTGCCGAGGCTGACCTGTGTGGAAATCAAATTTCGCACGCCCCACGCCATCAACGCGACGTCGTCTCCGTAACTGCATTGATTTCTACACAGAGGCTCACGGCAAGTCCTAGACCCTCGAGCCCGTGGTCGACGTGCGGCCGCAGGGCGCCACGCGCACGGTAGAGGATCGACACCAGCGAGTCCAGGCGCGTCGCCCGCAGGGCCCGCGCGAGGCGCGCTCTTTCCTCCCGCGGCGCCAGGCCCGTCGCGTCCACGGAGGCCACCTTGCGTGCAGCGTACGAGGCCAGTTGGCGGGCCCAGGTCAGGATTGTCCTCGGCTCCTCGCCGTTCGACTTGAGCGTGTACGGGTGCTTATGCACGAGCAACGGCAGCGGCCGTTCGGCGGGGAAGGGGGTCTTGAACCTGTAGGAAAGTCGACCAGTGAGGCACAGGCCGAGCAAATTCAAGGACGCCGGAACACGCATATCACGTTCGTCGCACGCAAGCGTTCCCGCGTCGACCTGGAGGTTCTGCCACTCCTGCGTGCCCCGCGCGTTCGCGCAGACGTACGCGTACATCTGCGACTGCTGCCGCTCGTTCAGCGCCCGCGGCAATAGCAGGCCGGCGCCGCGGCCGCCACCGGCGTTGAGGAGTTGGAGTGGAGTCGCCTGTTGAGCAATGCCGGCGAGAACGAGGACGAACAGCTTCATTGTTGTGGACTCGGGCTGGTTTTTGAAGCAGCTAGGCTGGTTTTTGAGCAGCTTGCACAGCTTGCACAGCCAGTGTTGGAGGCTCAGCTCGCGTTGCGCCAGCGGAGACCTCGATTTTGCTTTCAATGCTGCGTTTTGCAGGCCGCGTCTGGTTGTGATCGACCTCGCGCCGCTGTTTGAACTCGGTGTGTGAGAGCTTGATGAGCTCTCGCCCGCCCCGAACGAAACTCGTGTTGGCAGCGACGTCTTCCGCACGTGTGCGAGAGTTCCACGATGCAAGGCGAGCGTGAAATGGTGCGGTTGCCGCACTCGAGTTATTCAGCAAATGTGCTGGCTGGCTGCACGAGCAAAAAGTGGTACGTACGAGCGCCAGCAACAGGACAAAGAGTCGTTTTGAACTTGGAAGCAGCTCGTTTTAACAAGCTACTGCACACCAAGCAGCACAAGCCCGCGAAACTCCCGTCTCAGCGGCCATTAAAAAGTTCTCCCTGCCAGCACCACCATAACAAAGCCGACAGTACCATGCTCGCGACCTCGTTCGACCTGAACCATCCGGCTGACCCATCCACTCTCTCCAGGGACCTCAAAATTGCGAGTGCGGCTTTACTGATTCCGTACGCCCTGTATGCATCGCGCGTGACTGAACCGAAGCGCCGCGCCTGGCTGCTGACACTCATTACGGCCTCGACGTGCGGCCCGCTCGCGCTCGGCGTCGTGCTCGCGCACGTCTGGCCGACGTTCGACGCCGCGGCTCAATTCACGGACGCGCCGGCGGCGACGTTCGCCTGCCGATTCTTCGTGACGTTCCTCGTGCTCGACTGCGCCGTCGGCGCGGTGCACTACCCGAAGCAGTTTCACCTCTTTGAGGGGTGGTTTCATCACGCCGCCTACGCGCTCTTTTTCTCCTGGGGACTAACGCGCCGCGCGAGCGTGGGCTTCGCGTCGACGCTCGCGATGGAGATCCCGACGGCGCTGCTCGCGCTTGGGAAATGTTTCCCGGCCTGCCGCCTGGACCTGCCGTACGGGGTATCCTTCGCAGCGTTCCGCGTCGGCCTTAACCTGTACCTCCTCGCGCAGTGGTACGGCAACGGCCTTTTCCTCTGGCCCTGCGCGGTGGCGACGCTCGCGCTCCACTCGCACTGGTTCTGGCGCTGGTGCAAGAGCTACGGCCGGCGCGCCGCCAAGGATGAGGCGCCGAGCAACCCCCTTTGACAAGTCCTTTGACCCCCAAGTATCCTTGTAAAGAAACCTGTGAATTAGTAACAACAATCCTTATCGTTTGCGGGAGAAGCCCTTCGACCGCTTCCGCTTCTTCGGCGCCTTCGCAGGCTTCGGCTTTTTGCCCGTGCCGGGCAGGCGCATGAGGATTTGCGCCTCGTCGGAGCCCTCGATCTCGCGCGCGACCGCTGCGGCGCACGCGGCCGCCAAAGAATTTTCGTCGATGGCCTCGAAGCCCCGGCGCTCGTAAAGCGCGCGCGCGGCGGCGTTAGTCTCGACGACGTGAAGAAGCGCCGCGTTGTGGCCGCGCGTTTTGTCGAGGGCGTCGAGCAGGGCCGACGCGACGCCGCGGCGCCGCCACTGGGGCGCAGTCGCGACGGCCGACACGTACCAGGCGTCCGCCGGCACCGCGGCGGCCGACGCGACGCCGACGACGTCGCCGCCGCTCACTGCGACCGCCACGCCCGCGGCCTCCTTGAGCTCGTCCTCGTAGCGCCGCGTCTGGAGGTATCGGCTGCCGACGGTCGTGAGGTGGGGAGAGAAGACCTCTGTGCGGAGCTCGGCGGCCTTTGTCAGCAAAGCTGCGTCTGGGGCGGCGTCGACGGTGAAGGTCGCATCGCTGGTCTCGTCCGCAGGCACGGCGTCGACGGCCGCGGCGAGCGCGTCCTCGCCGCAGGCCAGCAGGAACGCGACTGGTAATGCTGCATCGTAAGCGCGCGCCCGTCCCGCCGCCGGCCCGAAATGTCCGCGGTCGTCGGCGTGCACGACCACGGTCGCCGCGTCGCCGGTGGCGTCGCGCACGGCGGCGGCAAACTTGAAGCTCTCCCACCAGCCCGTGCGCGCGTCGCGGAGCGCCGGCCGCAGCAGGCACGGCGGGAAGGACTCGACGCCTGCCGCACGCTGCAGTGGTGCGTAGGCCGCAATCGCCGCGCGCGCGGCGGCGTCGTGAGGGTCCCCGAACTCCTCCCACTCATTAACCGTTAGCGGCAGCGTCGAGTCCTGGAGCGTGCCAAGCGGGTCCAAGAACGGCACGTCGAGCGCCACGCCGGCAAAGAGGTCCGGTCGCGCGCATACGGCGCCGCCCACGCTCAGCCCGCCGGCCGACCGGCCGCGCGCCACGACGCGGCCGTAGCGTTGTCCGAGAGCGCTCGCGCACGCGACGACGTCGGCGGCCGACCGCTCCTTGTCCAGGCGCCGCCCCTGGGCGTGCCAGGCCGCGCCGCGCTCGCCGCCGCCCCGGACCCCGCAGCTCGCCACTGCGTACCCGTTCTCGAGGAGCGCGCACCGTTCCGCGTCCAGCGCGCGCGGCAGGCGCGCGCCGTAGGCGCCGTAGGCGTACATCGCGACGGCACTGGTTGTCTTGGGCGACGAAGCTAGCGACACGGGGATGCCCTCGACCTCGAAGCGCTCGACGGCCAGCGCGCTCTCGTGCGGCGTCGGTGGGGGTGGCGCGTCTGCCCACGCGTTTTTCGCGACGTCATAGCGCAAAACGCGTGCAAAGCGGTGCGGCGCGGAGACTTCGAGCGCCACGAGGCCCTCGACCACTGGTACGTCGGTCCGTAGTTCAACGTCGTCGTAGGGCGCCGGCGGGTCGATCTGCGTGACTTCGCCGTCGGAGACGAGCCACGCCGCGCCCCTCGCGTCGGCCACGCCGCCGACGACGGCCCGGTCCGCGCCCGCGGCCACGACGGCGTCGAGCGCGGCCGCGCCGGGGACGGCGACGGCGTCCTCGCCGCGCAGCAATACCGAGTCCTCGACGCGCCAAAGCACGCCGTCGCGCAGGTCGCATGCGGCGACCTCGACGCCCTGGCGCCGCGGCACCAGCACGGCCCCCGCCGCGTCCCGCACCTCGGCCGCGTCGCGGCTCCGCAGCAAGAAGAGTACGGTTTCCCCCGGTATGACCTCGATGCGGAAGCGTTGGTCGTCCTCGCGGAAGACCAGCGATTCCGTGCCGTCTTTGATACGCCAGACCTCGTGCGGCCGGCCCGTGGCGTCCGTGCGCAGCGCATAGAGGTCGCCGTCGCCGCCCCACGCCACGCACGCGTCGACGTCCCTCACCGGCGGTACGCCCTCCGGCAGGAATTCGCACACGTACTTCTCGTCGCCGGCGGCGTCGACCGTGTACGCGACGCGCTCGCCGTCCGGCGATATCTTCGCGTCGCTGATGCCGCGCACGAAGCCACGATACTCCCCGCCGCCGAACTCGCTCGTGAGCGTCGCGGGCGCCGCGTCTTCGTCGAGCACGACCTCCGCGTCGTCGTCGCTGCCGGGCCGCCGCCGCTCCCAGACCCGGCGGTCGCCGGCGACGCGCTCGCGCCACTCCCACCCACCAAAAGTCGCCCAGCGCGGCGGCGGCGTGGGAGGCGGCGGCGCCGTCGCAATGACGAATTCGGCAACCGCCTCACGGCTAGGCTCGAGGAACGAGGCCGCGGCCGCGGCTGCGGACGCTTCGTACGCCATCTGGTGCCGCGTTTCGGCGTCGTCCGCGTCGCGGAGGTAGTAGAGATCGTCGTCGAGCGAGGCGTCGCCGTAGTCGACGGCGCGCGGCCGGCGTTGCGGGCTTCGGGCGTGGAGACGCGTGGTGCGGCGCAGCGGTGGATGCGGCGCGAGCGCATTGGTGCTGAGGGCAAGCCATACATGGAGCAGCATTGTGTTCGCACCGCTGCAAACGTGTGCAAGCCGAGCAGCGAATGTTCAGCACGACAGAGTTGCAGTCGGTGCGAGTTGCAGCAATTTTGGGCTAGCGTATACATAAACGTACTAGCCTAGAACCCTAGTGTGTCGGTACGCTAGCTCGGCTCGGAGCTCAAAGCCTTTTTTGGGTCGTACTGCTGCGGGAAACCAACCGTTCGCAGCTCGTGAGCGGCTGTACAACAATGGAGCCCATGCGCGGCCCCGGAGCGCGCCCGCAGCGCAAGCGCAAAGCCGTGGACTACGCAGCAGTCAATGAGGGCGTCGAGAAGGTCGGCCTTGCGTCGCGCTGGATCCCGCACCTCGAACGCACAAAGGATGAGTTCCTGGATGGCGCAGCGCTAGGCGTCGCGCGGCTCGCGACTGGCAGCGACCTAAACGACGCTTGGGCCCGGAAGACGGACCTGCGCACGCCCGCAATTATTGAATCGACGGAGGGCCTGGGTATGACGCTGCCGGAACCGCACTTCATGGTTCGGGACGTGGCCAAGGTTATCGGCGAAGAAAAGCCGGTGCAGGTCATGCGGTCGCGCGACCAGACGAATTTAGATCATTGGTCCCTCGGCGACTGGAGCCGCTATTATGATGCTCCGCGCCGTCAGGAGGTCCTGAACGTCATTTCGCTCGAGTTCTCGCGGACGGCGTTGGCCGGCCAGGTTGTGTCGCCGGAATTCGTGCGCAAGCGAGACTGGATCGACACGGCGTGGCCCGCGAATTTGAGGGCCCAAGGTCACTGGCCTCAGGTCCAATACTACTGCTTGATGTCCACCGCTGGATGCTACACAGACTTCCACGTGGACTTTGGGGGCACTGCTGTGTGGTACCACGTCTTCCGGGGACAGAAGGTTTTCTATTTAATCAAGCCCACGCCTGAGAACCTGAAAGCCTACGAAGCCTGGATCTGCGACGCGAAGCAGGACTCGACCTTCTTCCCAGACACGATCGGCGGCCCGACCGAGTGCGCGCGCGTCGAGATCAACGCGGGGCAAACGTTCTTTATACCGAGCGGTTGGCTGCACGCCGTGCTGACGCCCGTCGACTCGCTCGTCTTCGGGGGGAATTTCCTGCCGGGCCTGGCTACCGTGGACCTGCAGCTCGCGGTCCGCGACATCGAAAAGCGGACGCACGTCAAGAAGGAGTACACGTTCCCCTTGTTCGTGCCGTGCCTATTCTTCGGGCTCGCTACAGCGTTGGTCCGGCTCAAGACGACGGCGGCGGCCGCGCAGCTCGATACGCTCGTCGCCTTAACGACGCGCGAGGACAATAAAGATGTGGACGTGTCGACGACGCCCGCGCCACTCACGGCACGCGAGCACCGAGGCCTCGCCGCGCTCATTGAGGCCTGCGGGGCCTGGGCGGCCGACGAGGCGGCGTGCGACGACCGAGAGCGACCGTTCTTGACGCTTGCTGCCGAAGCGGCCGGATGCACCAGCACGACGGAACTCGTGGAAGCAGCACGTGAGGCACTCGCCGCGGTCCCTGAACCGAAGCCCAAGTTCACGATCAAGCTCCAACGCGGCGCTGACGACGAAGCGGCGCCCGCGCCGCCGCCGAAGGTTGTTTTCTCGCCCGCGGCGTCGTATGGCGGCGCGCGGCCGGGCTACGTATTCATGACGGGTAGCAAAGGCCTCGGCTACTACATGGAGGGCACCGAGGCGCCGCCCGCCCCGGCGGCAGCGCCGCCGCCGCCGGTTCCGGAGGAAGCTCCCGTCCGCTACCGCGCGGGGCCGGCGTGGGACCGCATGGCCCCGGCGCCGGCGCCACTCGACGAGGACGACGCCGAGTTCGAGCTGGCCGCGGCGGAGGAGAGGAAACGCGCCGCGCCCCGGCCGAGAAAAGCTCCGAAGCCGGCGGCCGTGCCCAAGCCGGCCCCGCGTCCGAGCCAGTGGGCGAAGGCGCCCGGGCACACCGTGGCGAAAAAAGGGACGGGCACGGCCAAGGGCCGCCTCCTCGCGAAGCTAGGCAAGAAACGTCGGTAATTTGAATCAATACTAGTTACCCACGCGCCATCGAGACCATTGAATAAACTGCGTCAGCCCGCACCCGCGTCTGGAGCGCCTGGAAGAGGTCGTAGCCCTCGCGCTGGTACTCCTGGAAGGGGTCCGTCTGTTGGAGCGTCCGCAGCTGGACGTTTTCCTTGAGGTAGTTCATGTTCAGGAGGTGCTCGGCCCATAAAGCGTCAAGCCTCAAGAGCGCAACCTTCGTGAAGGACTCGGCCGCGGGCCGCATTGGCCGCGCCACTCCAACGCGTTCGAGAATGTCGCCGGCGAGCGCCGCGACGGCGGGCGCCTCCGCGAGCGCCGTGGCGTCGCTGTTTTTCAGCGCGGTGCGCGCGCCGGCGTCGAGCGCGGGCGCTTTACCGAAGAACTGTCCCAGCCTCGCGCTGAGCATAGCGTCCGGGTCGTCGCCTGATTTCACGTCGCGGTCGACGCTCCGCGCCGTCGCGATGATCGCATCGGCGACCCAGCGCGTGAAGGTTTGCGATGCCTCATCACCATCAGCAAGCAACAACCGCCGCCGCGTCGCGTACAACGCGCGCCGCTGGCCGTCCTGGACGTCGTCGAACTTGAGGACATTAGTGCGCTGCTCGGCGTTGAAATCCTCGACCTTGCGCTGGATCTTCGACAGGGCGTCCGTCACCGTCTTCGCCTCGACCGGTAAGTCGTCGCCCACCCGAAAGGTCTTCATCATATCGGCGATGCGCTCGCCCCCGAAATTAACGAACATCGGGTCCTTGACGGAAACAAAAAATCGCGACGCGCCGGCGTCGCCCTGGCGTCCTGATCTACCTCTTAACTGGTCGTCGACTCTCACACTTTCGTGGCGCTCCGTGCCGACGACGTACAGGCCTCCCAATGCTTCGACCTTTTGTTTTTCCTCTTTCAAGACTTGGTTCACATCACTAGCGACGGCGTCGACGGCTTTACGCGCCGCGAGGACCGCCGGCGCTTTACTCACGGCGCGCCCGTCCGCCGCCAGCGCTACTAAATCTGCGACGCCCTCGTCGAGGTCGTCTCCCAACAAGTCAACAGCGGCCTTGGACGCGGCCTCGACGAGATCGTGCGTTGCCGATGATATTTCTAACAAGGACTCTTCCCTACCGCGCACGCCCAGCAAATCCGCACCGTCACCACCCCTCAACCGTTCCTCGACGTACAACCTCGCGACATCGGACGCCGAGCCCCCTAGTTTTATATCAGTGCCTCGCCCCGCCATGTTCGTGGCGACCGTGACCGCGCCTAACCGACCGGCCTGGGCCACGACGGCGCCCTCGCGCTTGGCAACGTCCGGCCGCGCGCTCAGCACTTCACAATCCAAACCATAATCATTTCGGAGCCGTTCCACGAACGCGTCCGACGCCTCGACCGACGTCGTACCTACCAAAACGGGCCGGCCCTCCTTGTGCTGGCGCGCGACCTCGGCCGCCGCGGCCCTATTCTTCGCGTCGATGGTTTGATAGACCGCATCGTCATAGTCCTTGCGCGCAACCGGCAACGCCGTCGGGATGGGCACGACGACGAGTGAGTAGACGTCATTCAACTCTTTGGCATCGCTTGCTGCGGTACCCGTCATGCCCGCTAATCTTGTGGGTACGGTCCGGAAGAGGGACTGGAACGTGACTTGCGCTGATGGTCTAGTTTGATTGGAGCAGGGGAGCCTTTCTTTCGCTTCGACGGCCTGCTGGAGCCCGTCCGCGTACCTTCGGCCTTCCAGTACTCTCCCGCTGAAGGCGTCGACGAGTTTGACCTGTTGTGCTTCGTCTATTAAGTAATCCCGATCTTTTTCAAGTAATTCCTTGGCCCGTAAAGCGCTGAGTAAGAAAGGTGCCCAGGGGTCCTTCGCGTCGAAGAGCGGCCGTCCCAACGCGCCCTCGGCCTCCGCGTAGCCATTTTCATTTAATGTCACAGCTCTACCTTTGCGGTCGACGTCGTAGTGTAATCCTTCACTCAAAACGCCCTCGGCCAAGTCCCTGGCCACTTCGTACTTCGCCGCGGGCGCTTCGGTCGTCTCGGAGATGATGAGCGGCGTCCGCGCTTCGTCTATCAGTATGGAGTCGGCCTCGTCCACGAGACACCACCAGAACAGGTCCTCGATTTCACCACTCCGCCGCGGCAGCACTAAATCGGTCTCATCTAACGCTAATTGATCTCTAAGGTAATCGAAGCCAATCTCGGCGTTCGACACATAAGTCACGTCGCACGCATAAGCCTCCCTCCTCTCTTCGGAAGCGGGAGTCATCGTCGCCTCGACCAGACCCACGCTCAACCCCAAGAACCTAAAAACAAGACCAACGGAATCCGCGTCGCGCCGCGCGAGGTAGTCGTTCGCCGTGACCACGAGCGCGCCCTTGCCCCGCAACGCACCTAACAGCGTCGGCGCGACCGCTGCCAAAGTTTTGCCCTCGCCCGTGGCCATCTCCGCGAGCGCGCCGGTGCTCATCGCGTGGCCTCCTAAAATTTGTACGTCGTAGGCCCGCAATTGCAGCACGCGCCAGGCGGCCTCGCGCGCGAGCGCGAAGGCTCTTGCTTGTACATCAGCTGGGGCGTCCTCGTCTTTCTCAAGCTGCTGCAGCGCCTCGCGCAGGGCGGTGGCTTCTCCCCGCAATTCGGCGTCGCTCTTCGCATCATAAGTCGCCTCGAGGTCGTTGACGCGTTTCAAATGGGCCTCGCCTTTTTTTAGTATATCCTTGGCCTCGGGCGACAGCGCGGCGCCGCCCTTTTTTTGCTCGAAGATCGCTGCGGCTTGTCTTGGCGCGACCAGCGGCCGTCGTCTCATAATGGGGCCGCGGAACGCGGTTGCGCCCGCGAGCAGGACGATGGCTGCTCGCATCTGTGTCATGCTCTCCCTATATGCGTGTGTGCTCTCTTTGGCGTTCGAGATGCGCACAGCTGGTCTGCAAGTGCTATACTGCGAGATGTGCAGTCGGCACTCTACCGAAAGCAACAGTTAGCCGTGCACGAGCAATGCTGTAGAGCTAAGACTCGAACTTGATGATGCGCTGGCGCTCTAGAGTGTCTTACCGCTTAGCTAAAAAATTCTCTCTCTCGCGGGAGGCGCTGGTAGTGGCGTTTATCGCACGGGTCGCAACCAGTATTAAATAAACTAATAGCGCCCTTACTCAGTCCGACTCCTCCTCGGAGTCCTCGTCATCGTCCTCGAGGAAGGCGAGGAGCTGGCCGACCTGCGGCGAATTTCTCAAAGGCGACGCCGACGCGGCGCCCCACGCGAGGATGCCCTCGTCGGACAACACGTCGTGCTCGTAGAGCTTTTGCAGAGCGAGCGCGAAGACGTCGGGTTCGTTCAGCGGCGGCCGCGTCTTTGAGAGTTCCTCGAGCGCGTCCACCGCAAAACGCTCGTCGGCGGCCGCGCCACTACTAAGTAATTTGGCTAATAAAGGCTTCCAGCGCGCGATGGCCTTGACCAGACCCTGGGCGCAGGCGCCCTTGCCCTCCCTTCCAGCAAAAGCGAGCTCGACGACGGCTTCCAAAGCTGCCGGCGCGGCGTCGCGGAACGACCGGTTCTCACTCAGTTTGTAGCAGTTCACCTCCATGATCAGCGACTCGACGGCGGAGCCGTTGCGGTCCCCCGCCAAGATCATCTCGCGCACGGTGGACGTGAATAACGTGTCCGACGCCTTTTGAGCCCGCGCCTGCGCCTCGTCGATGTCCCAGTCCTCGTCCGATTCATTTCCTTCATCATCAGAATTCGGCGGCCAGGACGTCGCCCTCGCTCTCGTTTGCAGGGCCTCGACGTTGCCCAACGCGCCGAGTGCCATGTCGTCGTCCTCATCAGAATCCGAGTCTTCTTGCACCGGTAGCCGCGAGAATTCGGGAGGCGCCTCATTGATGACAAAGCCCTCGCCAACGACGCAGCCCCGCGGGACGCTGATACCGGCCTTGACGGTGACGCCGGCGCCCAGCACCGCGCAGTCGACGGACGCGCCCGCTTCGATGATACAACGTGGGCCTAAATGAGACCCGCGGACGCGCGCGCGCTCTCGTAAAATACAGCCCGCAGCTATTGAAGATTGGTCCACGACCACAGACGCCTCGAGAGTTGCGCCCCGACCGACGTACGACGGCTCCACAATTTGTGCGGAGCGGTCGACTGTAGACAAAGGCCGCTCAGCCACAAGGACAGGCGCGAACCAGCCCCTTAGTAAATCCCGCACGTACGTATCTAAAATGCGGGGGTCGTAGACGCGGCCCGCCCGACCTTCGGTCTCCTTGAGTACGTGGGCGTACGCTCTTTGACCGAGCTCGGCGTTGCCCGTTTCCGTAGGTAGGAAGTCTCCTCTAATAGATTGATAATCAAAGTTCTCCGAGTAGCGGAACAGGACCTCCAATGAACAGACGTCGACGCCGCAGTCCACCAAATTCTGAGGCGCTTTTATATCAGTACACTCGTGCGCGTAGGACTCGTCGCCCAGAAACCCGTTCTCGAAGGCCGTGCGGTCTCGAGCATTGCCGCCGCCGTACCATCCCAAAATTCGTGACGTCTCGCCGTCGATTCGTAGTTCGAGCGGGTCATACGTCAAAGGCCGCAACGTCGCCGCGCGCATGCCGCCGTCCGCCAACAAAACAGTTAAAGTCGCGTCCGCGTCTTTTGTTTTTTTGCGCCTTTTGTGGGCTTCCACAATGGGCAACAAGTTGTCGAGGGCTACCACGCAATCGCCCCTCAACAGTATGAAGGGGTCCGATTTCACAGAACCGCACCGGTCGAGCTCCCTAAGGTAGTCGCCCTCGGACGTGCACCCGGCCAGCGCAACGTGTTGGATCTTCACGGCGCGGCCGTCCCTCCCCAATAAGTTTGAGGGCGGCTCAAAACAATCCTCCGGGCGGCCCGCTATTAAAATCTCGCCGCAGCCCGCGCGCGCGAGGCCTTCGAGTGCGTGGTCCAATATTTTTCTACCACAGAGCTCAACGCTCGACATTTGGAGCGGCCGGAAGGCTTGTTCAAGGTCGTGCGCTAATACGACGGCCTGTAGCGGCTGGTCGACGCTGTCTTGGGCTTTGGGTGGCATTTGTTTGTGTTGTGCAGTGGTCGAATTTGCTTGCGTGCAAGTGATGCTGGCACAGTGGTCGATTTTGTGCTTGTGCACGGTTGCTGCGTTGACTAGCGCTTGCGCAGTGGTGTACGGTGCGGTAGGTGTCTTGCGATGCGCGCAGCGATGCGTACAGTGCACGTCTAGCAGCTAGACAGCGTCGCCGCAAAAGCCTCTATTTGCTAGTACCTTGCCGCCGCTAGCTATTGGCCCACGGCTGCGCTTGCGAAGCCAAGCGGTGGGTTTCCACTTGCGGCATCGATTCCTGGCTCTCACAGCGAGCCGCCTTTGACTCCTGTAACCTCGCAGAGCCAAAATACCTGCAGTCATGCGCTGTGCAGCTCTGCTGGCGCTGTGCTCCGCAGCGCAGGCCTGGAGCATCAAGGAAAGAGGCGCCGGCATTGATAGCGTGGAGACAACCTTCCAGACGCGCCTGAAAGGCGGCGGCAAGGGCGTCACGCTGACGTATGTCCTCGCGGCGTGCGGCGACGAGGTCGGCGAGCTGGAAGAGGACGTGCGCGAGGACGAGGGCGCCAAGTACCTCGACGCCACGGAGCTGCACGCCGCGGCCTTCGGCGGGCGCGCGGACTGCTGCGAGAAGCTGGTGGCGCGCGGCGACGCCGTCGATGTCAAATTAAACACGACGAACTGGACTCCGATGCACGTGGCCGCGCAGGGGGGCAACGCCGCCGTCGTCGAGTACCTGCTCGGCCAGGGCGCGGACCCGAACGCCGCGGGCGTCGACCCCACGCCCGACCGGCCGCCGAACCAGGTCGGCCCGGCCCCGGACGGCTTCACGGCCCTGCACGCGGCCGTGCGGGCCGGGAGCTGTGTGGAAATCAACCAGTGTGTCGGGTCTTCACTAAGTCATTTCTCGGCGACGACGTGGCCGCGCTGGCTCCGTCGAGCGGTGAGGAACCGACATCGCCACGCCATCGAGCAGGCGTCGCGTCGATGGCGTGGAGGACGACGCGATAATTCAGCACGAACGCGCCGTAAAATTTGATTATCACACAGGCCGGGAGCCTCGCGACGGTCCGGCTGCTCCTGGACGCCGGCGCGGACTTGGAGGCCGAGTCCGACGAAAAGTCGCCCCTCTTCGTCGCGGTGCGCCAGAAGCGCTGCGACATCGCCGCGGCGCTGCTCGAGAAGGGCGCCGACGCGGGCCACTGCGTCGCGAGCGCCGGGCTGTGCCCGATCCACGCGGCGACGTCGCCGGACCGGCTTGCGTGCCTGACCGCGCTCCTCGCGCACGGCGCCGACCCGAACGCCTTCGACGCGTACGGCACGACGCCGCTCCGCGTCGCGGCGATCAAGGGCGACGAGATGGGCATCATCAACAAGGACATCATCGAGGCCCTCATCAAGGCCGGAGCCAATGCGAAGATGGATGAGCAGTACACGCAGTGGCTCAAGGACCACCCGGAGGCCCAGAGCCCCGCGCCGCCGGAGATGGCCGGGGACTCGGAGGAGCTTTGATTGGGCCGCACCTGTGTAATAAGTGACTTGTGCTAGCCTGAGAATACGGAAAAGCCCCGACGGACGCGCTGCTCGAGCTTGCTCGAGCTGCTGCTCGAATACTTCACACGGTCTAGTTATACAGGGAGGTAGAGGCGCCTCATAGGTCGTCGTCGTCCTTGTGCGAGATCGCGCCGTACTCCGGCATGCCGGGCCGCCGGCCGACCGGCCGGCGGCGCTGCTCAGCGCGGTCCCAGAAAAGCACGCCGAAGCTCGCGGCGAGGACAGCGAAGTACATCCACGCCGCGTCGAAGACGCTCTTCGCGGCCGCCTCGGGGTCGTCGACGCCGAGGACGTAGAGCGGCTGCTTCGTCAGCAGCGTGCCGATGAGGCAGAGGAAGAGCACGCCCGACGTCGCGAAGACGGTGCAGCACTTCGCGCAGCCGACCGCGCCTGTGTGAGCGATGGTTGAGGTCTGCGCCGTCGCTGCGACTTCTCGCCGCAAACCGCGCCCATCGATGCGACCGCGGTTCGCAGCCGCTGCATCGGTGGAGGAGGCTGTGGTTGAGCGTCGGGTGTGTCCGGACGCTGCTAAAGTGCGAGGCCCAGGCCCGCCCATTTCGTCTGGGCTGTGGTTGCTGTCAATCGTTCCTTTGTATCGTCTGGCTACACCGCCTGGCCCCGATTTTATCGATGGCCCGGAAGCTAGCGTCCAGTAAGACACTAGCGCTCCTCAGTAGTGCAAAGCTCAAACTTGCTCGACGGGCACGCACACGTCGCGAGAGAGCAGTAAAAATCACACGCTTTGCTGCATTCTGAGAGTGCTGACGCTACGATGAGCGCTACGTACGTTTAAGCTTCCCACTGCCATGCTGCTGCTGCACATACTACTATTCATTGCGACGCCAGCAGCCGCGTTGCTTGGCGCGCGCCTCACACACTGCCTCGACCTCGCGGAGCGACCCTTCGCGGACGGCACGTTGCCGAGAGGCCTCGTCGCGGACGTTGGTTGCGATCACGGCTACCTGGCCGCAGAGCTCGCAGACAGGGGTCGCACCGTCGCGGCCGTCGACGTTGCAGAGGCCCCACTGGACGGTTGCCGGCGCCATTTCGCGGAGCGCGGCCTCGAACCGGCGGCGTACGTGCTCGGCGACGGCGTCGCGGCGGTCCAGGCGGACGAACGCTTGGAATGGTGCGAGACCGCAATCGTCGCCGGCGTTGGACCTCGTACCGCCTCGGCCGTCGTCGAAGGCGCTTGTGCTGGCCCCGCGCCACCGCCGCGGCGCTTTGTGCTCCAACCAGCTCAGTGCTGGATCGGCAACGTGCGGAGCCTGCGCGAAACGCTCGCGAAGAACGGCTACGGCGTCGCCGAGGAACGCTGGTTAGACGACAACGGACCCAACCAGCGGCCGAACGGGCGTCGTTTGCTCGTCACGATCCGGGCCGACCGCGACGCGGCCGCCGCGCCGTCCGATACGGAGTTGCTTGTGGGTCTCCCGAGCGCCGATGCCGCGCGCCGCTCATACGTCAAACACCACACACAATGGGTCGAGGACGTCGCGAATCATCCGCGCGACTCGCGGAAGCGGCGCGAGGCGGCGCGCTGGCTGCCTCTCCTCCGAAGCGAGCTCCTGTAATGTTAGTGTATTAATTCCGGCGAAAATTAACCAGATGCTATAGCTTCATGCTCAAATCGCAGAGCAGGTCCAGCCCGAGCAGCATGCCCCGCTCGCACGACTCGGCCCCGAGCAGGTCCGCGGCCGCGGCGCAGTACGCCTCGAGGAACTCGCCGAAGACGAGCGCGTCGAGCGCCAGGACGCCTGCCGGCGCGCCCTGCGCGCCCCGGAACGCCGCGCGGCAGCGGTCGTCGAGGGCCCGGTCGCCCTCCTCCTCATCAGCGAGCACGAGCTCGCCGAGGCTCGACGCGCGGACCACGGACCCGAAGCCGGCGAGGGTCATCCCGTCGCCGTCGGCGTAGTGGTCGAAGGCCCGGCGCAGCGGCGCCTGGCGCTCGAAGACCGCGTCCTGGATCGCCGCGCCGTCGAAGCACGCTACTACCGATTCGCGCCGCCGCGCGAGCAGCGGCGCGACGTGGCGCGTCGCCAGGACCTCGAGCGCGTCGATGGTCGAGGACGGCGCCGGCCGCGTCGTTTTCTTGGGCCCCTCGCCGTGGACGTCGTCGTCGCCTTGCGCTTCGTCCAGCAGCGTCGGCGCCCCGGGGTCCGCGGACCGCGCCAGCGCGATCAGCGCCGCGACGAACTCGGCCCGCGACAGCAGCGCCGCCGGCGTCGTGACCGTCGCCGCGTCATCCTCCTCATCACATTCCTTCGCTTCGGCGAAGCGCCCGCGCCGCGCGCCCTCGAAGGTCTGGTGGACGCGGTCCCGGTCCGCGCGCCGGTCCTCGGCGCCGTAGCGCACGAGCGCGAGGCGGCACGCGTGCGCGACGTGCGCGAGGTCCCGCGGCGTCGCGCCGTGCGGCGCGCCGACGCGGCCCAGGCCCGCGTAGAGGCAGAAGACGGCGTTCAGATCCCCATAAACCTCCTGCAGATCGTCGCGGAACGCCTCCGAGGCCGTCCCCGACACGGGGCATTTCAAGTCCGAGAGAGCTCTTTCTAAAACCGGCCAGTCGAGGTCGAGCGCCGCGTCCAAGTCCGCCTGGTCCACGAGCCGCCCCGCCACGACGACATGATAATCCGTCCCGGGCGGCGGCACGTGCCGTCTCAACGCTAACGCCGACGCCGCGTAGGCCCTTCGGTACCTCTCGTCGCCCTCGATCCGCGCGTCGACCTCGGCCTTGATCGACGCCTCGTGCGCCGCGATGGCCTCTCTACTTTCAATGCCGCGCCGCCGCTGCGCGCCCGCGGCGCCGCACTCAAAGGCCGCGACCTGCCAGGGCGTCTGGACCGGCGCGTTGATCTCGTCGAGCTCTACTGATGTTTGGAGGTCGACCTGGATGACGTCGCCCTCCCGAATCACGTCCCGAATGATAGACGTCGGCGCTAAACGACCACCGGGCCCTATCATGTCCTCGGGCAGGAAGAAGCCCTGGCCCTCGTCGGGCTGCGCCCCTTGCTTTGATCGTCGCCCCGTCTTCGTGTGCTTCGCGAGCAAAGCGTGGCGCTGAGCCGCGACCAAACCAAGCCATTTTAACGATTGCGTGCCCGGGCCGACGGGGATCTCCATGCGTCTCCTACTTAAGCCCGCGCCGCCGACGTCGACCAGCACCTTCATGTTTCCTTCTGGTAACTTCTCGGCCATTATTTTGGCGTCCGCTTCGGCGGCTGCCGCGGCCATTGTTGCGTGTGGGGCAGCCCCTGGCGTGCGGCTGACCGTTCGATGGCCTCGTCCGCGTGTGGCCGTGCTGGGGCAGCGTTACGGTGGCGGATATGCTGCCTCTTTTGGTCGCGCTACCGGTTCGAGTTTTTGAGCCCCCTCTTTTTTTTTTTCGGGTCCCCGGCACGGGACATAGTCCTCCGGTCCTACTCCAGTCCTCAGGTCGATACGGGTCTAGACGCGGAGCATTACAATGGCCTGGCATCGACCTGGGCGCCCATGACTCCAACTACGTGACGGAGCGGCGCAACGCGCGCGACGGACGCAATCTACGGACGCAGGACCCGGTGGGCCACGAGTCCCAGCACCGTACCAGAGAAATAGGATACCCGCCTCCTTACCCAAACAGAGCGCGAAGCTAGTCATCGCTCTTCTTCTTCTTCTTTTTCTTCTTCTCCTTCTCCTCGCCGCCCTCGAGCGCCTTCTTCTTGGCCTTCTTCGCCTTCTTTTCGGCCTTGCGCGCGGCCTCGTCGTCGGCGGGCGTGGCATCTTTCGCGTCGTAGGACGCCTCGAGGGGCGCCGGGTAGGCCGCGTTCTTGTGGACTTTGCCCTCCGCGACGAGTGCCTTTTTCTTCGTCGCCATGGGCCCGAGGCCCCACTTGCGCGGGTACGTGTCGCGCTCCATGATCACGCGCTTGACGCGCGCGACGGCGCCGTGGTCGCAGTCGGCCATGACCGACGTCGTCATCATCGCGATACCGATGGCGATGGCCTCGCCCTTCGTCGTCATCAGCACGACCTCTTCGTTCACGTCGATGTCGTCGGCGAAGCGTAGTAAGCCGGGCAGCATGAGCTTCGCGCCGTAGCAGATCGCGTTCACGGCAGAGTCCTTCACGACCAGCCGCTTGAACCCCGTCAGCAGGATTTCGAGCGGCAGCACGACGCGCCGCAGGTAGGACTCGTCCTTCGTCGCATCAAAATGATGCTGCGCATCTAAAACATCGTGCATCGTGCACAGGTGCCGGTTCTCGTCCATCGCGCCGGACCGCACCCGCCTCAGCTCCTGCATGTGGCCGCCCGTGCCGCAGAGCAGCCCGAGGTGGACGCAGAGCGTTCGGATGTACGTCCCCGCCTCGCACTTGACGTGGAAGACCGCGAGGTGGCGTTCCGCGTCGTACTCGAGTAATGTGGAAGCGTAGACGGTCCTAATTCTCAATTGCCGCTTCACGGCCGAAATCAACGGCGGCCGCTGGAACAAAGCGCCCTGGAGCGTCTCGACGGCGCGCTTCACCTTCGTCTCGGCGCAGGGGCCGTGCAGCCGCAGCACTGCGACGTACTCCTTGCCCGCGCCCTGCTGGCTCTTCACGAGGCGCGTCGCCCGGTCGACACAGACGATGAGGCACCCCGTCACCTTCGGGTCCAGCGTGCCGCTGTGACCCGTTTTTTCGACTCTCAAAATTCGCTTGATCCAGGCGACGACCTCGTGCGACGACGGGTTCGCGGGCTTGTCCAGGTTGATGCAGCCATATCTCAAATACTCGGCGAGCGGCCGCTTGAGCGGCGAGCAGCCCGCGGGGATGGGCGTGTAGTGCGCCGTCCGCACATTCAACTTGTCGTAGTTCTTGAGCAGCAGCGGCCAGCCCGACGTGTCGAGCTTCGGCGTGACGGACGACGGGGCGATGACGAGGCCGCCCTCGTCGGCCTTGTCCTTCTTCTTGCTCTTCTTTTCTTTCTTATCGCCGCCCATGGCTCGCTGCGGCGCCCTGCGCTGCTCAACGGCGCTGCGGCGACCCGCGCTGCGCGTAGCTGCACTATGCGCTCTCTGTTGCTGTTCTCAGGGCGACGCGCCGGGGAGCTCCGCCGCGCTGCTCGTAACTGCACTAAGCCCTCCTGGGTGCAGTCCAGCGGGCGACGCACTTGGGGGAGCGTAAAGCTGCCAGCTGCGTGCAGCTCGCCTCCAAAAAGCACTACGGCACGTGAATTGGTGCGCAAACCTGCACAACCAGGGCAAACAGGGGCCGGCGAGGCTTGCGCTCTTCGTTATTAATTAGCGTGCATCGACATACTAGAAATTAGATTACTCACGTCCACGCCTCCCCGGGAGGCGGCCGCGAGCGGAACGCCGTCGCGACGAGGCCGAGGATCTCGTCGACGTCGCGGCCGTACGCGAGGACCGCCACGGGCGCCGGCTCGGGCGCGGCCGCCCCGCGCGGCGACCGCGGGAACCGCGCCTCCGTCTTCGCGTAGAGCCGGTTATGGACGTCCTTCACGGCGGGCGCGTACCGTTTTGCGCGCTCGGAGATTTGGGGAGCGAACGTCGCGGCCTCGTCCACGTGGACGCGCCGCGTCCGCCGCGGCGACGTCGTCGTCGTCCGCGACCGCGGGTCCACGGCGCAGGCGCCCGACGCGCGCAGCGACGCGGCGATCTTCATGGATGCGCCGTTGAGTCGCGGCGCGAAGGGCGTCTGGGCAATTTCGGCCTCTTCCTGCCGCTGCCGCATGCGCTCCGTCTTCGCGCGCGCCGCGGCCTGGAAGGCCGCGCGGTCCGCGGGCGTGCGCGGCGCCGCGCCGCGCGCCCTTTTATATATTTTGGAGGACGTCTTGGCCGCCGCGAAGGTCGGCGCAAACGTGCACTCGCGCCTTTCGATCTCGTGCCGTCTTTCTCTAACCTTCTGCGCTTTTGCTTCGCGCCGTTGCAACGCCGTCGCGCTCGTCTCCGCGACGCCCGGCCGCGTCGACTTTAAACTTCGCGCGTTGAGCTGCGGCGCGAAGGGCGTGCTTCGCAGCTCCTCGCCGAGCGCCGCGGCCCGTCGCCGCTCGGCGTTCTCCGTGCGTTGTTTATTAGCGGCGTCGAGGCGTTCTACCAATTGACGGCGCGCCCGGGCGTCGAGGACCTTCGTCTTTTTCGGTTGTGCGGTGGTCTGCGCCGCCCTCCAGACCTCGTACGGCGTCGCGGTTTTTTTGGACTGGCGCATTGGTCTCATGTTCTCAAAGTCCTCGTCCCGCCAGTCGCGCAGCGCGCGCTGCACTCTATCTACGGTCGGGCCGTCCGCGCGGACATCCGTCCGCGCGAGCGCGCGCGCGAGGCGGTCCACCAGGGGGTCGTCGTTGGTTGTGGTCGTTGCCATGGTCGTTTTTGCACTCTGATCAAGTGCAATTCGTTCGACGACCCACGCGTGCACTACTTTGCACCATGCATCGCAGCGGGGCAGCCGCTTTAAACAACCTGTGACCCCAAACTCTAAACAAGAAGTGATGGTTCGGGGCTGTGCAACTACGGGTCTGCGGAGGGCCCTGGCAGCTCCTCGGCGGGCAGACAACGAGTGCCCGACGGGTTCCTTGTTTGCTAGTGCCTTACCGGCCGCTAGCTCGAATTTATAATCAAGGGCATCCAAGGCGAGCAAGGAGGATCTTGCGTCGCTTGGCCGTTTCTGAGGCAGCAGAAGTACTGTACATATCGCGCGTTCGGCCACTGTGCGAGCACCGTTCGAAAATTGCAGCAGCCGCGGCTCAGCAAAGCAAAAGCCATGTCCGCCCTCAGCAGGCAGCTCTCGCAATCTAGCATCAAGGACAGTTCTCCTGTACAACAACGCAAGACCATCGTAGATAATCCCGTGCCCCAGCTGCCGCCGGGCGCGTCGTCGCCGCGCGATAACCCCGTGCTGTTGGACGTGGCGCCCAATACGAATAAATATAGGACGCCCTCGGACAAACTTGTGCTCATTTTAGTCGGACTGCCCGCGAGAGGAAAGACATTTATTGCAAGGAAGATCTGTCGATACCTGGAATTTTTTCATGCAGCTTCTGTAAGAGTATTCAACATCGGGAATTATAGAAGGGAGCTCCACGGGCCGCACCACGACGCGGCCTGGTTCGACCCCGCGAATCCCGTGGGCTTGAAGCAGCGCAAGGCGGCGACGGATGCTGCTTTAAAAGACCTCAAGGAGTGGGTCGCGGAGGCAAATGATGGACGCGTAGCTATTTTAGATGGCACGCACTCGACGCTCGCGAAGCGCCAGTACGCCATCCAGACCCTCAAATCCTTAGAAGTCAAAATCATCATGATCGAGAGCGTCTGCACGGACCCCGAGACCGTCGAGAGGAATATAAGGCATTGTAAGCTGGGCACGCCGGATTATGTCGGTATTCCCGTGGACGAGGCGACGCGCGACTTCCGGGCGAGGGTCGCGGCCTACGAGTCGACGTACGAGACCATCGACGCGCCTTCTACGAACGGCGTCGAGAAGAACCGGTCCTGGATCAAGATCGTCGATTGTCGGCGGTTCGTGATCAACAACGTCCGAGGGTTTCTTCCTTCTCGGTTGATCCAGTTTTTGAGCCACCTACACATGGAGCCGCACGCCTTTTATCTGTCAAGACACGGGCAGAGCGAGTATAATGTCTTGGGGAAGATCGGCGGCGACTCCGGCCTATCGCCGCTCGGCGACGCCTACGCGAAGGCTCTAGCAAGGTTTTGTAGAGATGAGGTCACGAAAGGAGAAAAGGGCGAGCGGCCCGCGCGGCTCTGGACCTCCACACTCAGAAGGACGCGAGAAACAGCTAGATACATCTCGCACCACTCCATCACCATTGATTATGACCAGGACGACGTCGATCATGCGCAGGAGTGGGTGCAGCTCCGACCGGTCGCCTGGTCGAATCTCGATGAATTATTTGCGGGGGTGTGCGACGGGATGACCTACGAAGAAATAGAAAAACACTACCCCGACGAATTCAGGAGAAGGCAGAACGACAAGCTGGCGTACAGGTATCCAAGGGGCGAGAGTTACCTAGACATGATCCATCGGCTCGATCAGATGGTCTTCGAGATGGATAGGCATAGGGAACCGTTGTTGATCGTGGCCCATCAAGGTATTTTGCGGCTATTGTACGCGTACCTCATGGACATGCCGCGCGAGGAGGCGCCGTACGTGTCCATTCCTTTAAACACGGTCATCAAGCTCGAGCCCAAGGTTTATGGGTGCGACGAGAAGCGCTTCGAGCTGCTGCGGAAGTGTCCCAATCCCGACGGTCAAAAAGAAACGCGGCTCAAGAAATCGGAATCCGTCGACGACGACCCGCTCTTCCGCGACGACGACCCGCCGTCGCACTAGGTACCACGTAATAATTTTATCTTAAAATTTCTACCCGGATGAAGCAAGTAGATCTAGCCAACGAAGCAAATTACCTTTCGCGGGACATACCCACCAGCCGCGCGGTGTTCCGCGCGCGGCGGGGCCTACTCGTGCGTCTCGAGGTAGATCGCGGCGTTGATCAAGGACTTCTTGCCCTTGCCCCGCCAGAGCCCCGTCATCGTCTCCCAGAGCGACGGGTGGGGCTTGACCTCGTGGATGTTGAAGCACCGCGGCCGCGGGTGGCCCTCGTTCCCGCGGAAGAAGCGGTGCGGCGGCCTGTGCGGAATCAAACTTCAGGCGCCCCACGCCATCGAAGCGTCGTCCCCGCTGGTTGATTTCCGCACAGGCGGCGGCGGCGAACAGCCCTTGCACATCTTGTCGGCGCGGAGCTTGTTCACGAGCGTGTCTACAAAAGTGCACACTTGCTATGCCGATTCCCGGCTCCTTTGCATGAGGTCAGCTCGCTTCCTCATCGACGTGCGAGCCGCCGGTGGTTGGAAGCGCTACGCGCTCCGCGACCACAAGAAAATGTTGGTCCTGCGGGAGCTTGGTCACCGCGGCCGCGCGACAGTCAGCCCGCGGACGCCGTCGGTCGTCGCGCGCCTCTTCGCGGCCGCGCCGTCCAGCGGCCCCGTCGACGCGCAGCGCCGAACCCGCCGCGCACGGGCCCTCGAGGTCTCCCGGACGCCGCTCCCCGCTCCGTTGTTCTTCAACGTGCTCAAGTTCTGGCTGGGTACGCCGTATTACCCGTGGGTCCAGCGCGAGCGCGTCGCGATCTAGCCAGTCACGCGCGAGCGACGTAAATTGCTTAATTACCGTGCCACAACTTCACGAGCGCGCCCCAGAGCGACGGCTCGGCGGCGACGTCCTGGACGCCGAAGCATCGCGGCCGGGGATGTTTCTCCCCTTCCAGGAAGAAATCTGCCGGCGGTCGCTCGCACCCCGCACACGTTCCGGCCGCGTGGATTCGGTTCTGTAAGGAGTAGTAGAACGCAAAATCCGCGCAGTTCTCCCGGCGAAACGTGCGCTTGTAGTACTCCGTCGGCGGGAGCTTCGCCAGCCGATCGGGGTGCTCCCGGAGCGCCGCCGACGCGAAGAACGAGTTGCTCCGGGCCGGCATCGGCACTTCCTTGCCCAGTAGAGCGGAGCGAAGCGCCGGCTGGAGGTCGCCCTCGAGAATAAACACGTAGTGAAAAGCGTCGATGACCTCGAGGGCCGCCCGTAATTCTTTTGGGCCGATGACGACTTCCTTCTCGCCGGGCCGCTCGGAAATGCCGTTCAGGAGCCGGACGTAGAAATTCGGGCCTGTGTGTTAGACATCAAGTCGCTCGTAACTTGATATGTCGCCCCGTACCGTTGAACGGCACGGGTGATTAATGAGGACGCCGCCGGCGCACGGTTGAAGAACCCGTACTTGACGACCGCGCCGCCCGTGGGCGTTTGCGCGTAATTCCGTTTCGCGAACTGCGCGATGGTCAGGTTCGTCGCGCGCGCGTAGCCGTGCTCCCGGAGGAACGTGCTCCTGAACCGCGACCACGGCTCGCGGAACGACGTGGCCAGGACGCCGCCCAGCGAACGCCACTCTGCAGCGAATGTCCGCAGCTGCGACCTGCGTGGGAATCGCATTTCAGGCGCCCGACGCCGTCGACGCGATGGTGGCTTCGTGACTGCGACGTGATGTCCACACGGTCGCGACGGCGTCGGGAACTTCCAGGACTCCTCGATCATGCAGACGTCCAGACCCGCCGCGGCCATGGCGCTTGCCATGCGCGCCGCGCCGCCCGCCCGCCACGTCTCGTCGATGGTGTGCGCTTGCTTCAGGTGGTGGCCCGTGGCGTTGTTGCCCAGGAGCCGCGTATTACAATTACATCCCTCGAAGCCGCGGCGCGTCATCTTGGCCGGCGTGCGCAGGCCGGCACGGCTGAAGAGCTCGCAGAAACTGGTGCCGCCCGCCTTGTGGAAGTGGAAGAAAAAAATGGGGGTCTTTGGTCGGCCCGCGGTGGCCGCCGCGGCGAGGAGGACGACTTTGAGCATGGCGCCTCGTTGGCGTCTGGTCGGCCGGCCCCCCCTCGCTTGGGGCTATTTTCATGGCCGAGGCCCTCGCCTCGATGCGCCAGGCCTACCACGTGCCGCTCGACCGCCGCGGCGGCCGCAAGTACAAGTGGTTCGTGCTCCACGCGGGCGACATCACGTCCCAGCAAATCTGCGCGGCCGCCCAAACCGTCCACGCGTCGCGCGACGCCGCGCTCGCGGAGTTCGAGGGCTGCGCCGCGTTCGACGCGAACCGGAGCGCCGGCTGCCGCGCGGACACGGCGCGCTACGCGGCGACGAAGACCGTGAACACCATCCGCTTCGCCGAGCCGTCGCCGGCGCTCCGGGAGATCTTCCAGCTCAGCACGGTGGCCTACGACCTGCCGGGCTTCTGCCGCTCGCGGCCCGGGCTCCTGAACCACATGAACTTCGCGCCGGACGCCGTCGACGAGTACCTCCTGCCGCTGGGCGTCCGGAGGGTCGCGCTGCTCGACGCGGACGCGGCGCCGAACGTGCTCTTCCCCCGCTTCTATGATTCGGGCGGTGCCGTCGTCACGGCGCTCTCGCGGCACCAATCGGATTGCCAGGCCTACTTCGAGAAATTTAATGTGGAGCACCCCTACGTCGCGGCGACGCTCGGCGCGTCCGTGGAGGCCGTGAACCGGCGGCGCTTCCGCGCCGACGCGCTCGTGGTGAACGACCTCGAGCGGTATTGTGATATTGACGTGAAAAGGGGAGTGGCAAATGCGCTGCGCGTCCAGGTCACGTACCCCCGGGACGAATCAAAGCGGCTGTGGCGCTGCGGCCTGCAGCAGCCGCCCCTGGTCCTGGCGGCGGCGAACCACACGCGCGTCCTCCGCTACTACGACCTGGCGCCCGTCGACGGCGACGTCGAGGTTTGCGGTCCGCCGCCGGCGGCGTGGACCACGAAGAAGAGCGGCGTCACCTACGCGTGCCGCGTCCTCGGCCTCGAGCGCGACCGGCCGGGGTGCGTGGATCGGCTCCTCGCGCGGATGCGGGCCACCGCGCTGGGCGACCACCACACGCCGGGGTGCGGACTCTTCAACAAGCAGCGGCACCGTAGGCCTCCGGCTTAATAATAATGTTGTAGGGAAACCATGGGGGGCGGTTTTTCCGGGCTTTGTAGGAGCTAGCGTATGTAAGACACTAGCAAACACAGCTGGTTTTTGCGCGGATCTGCTGCCAAGCGGTGCATAGCCAGCCAAGCGATAGGCCAGGTTTCGTAGACGTCTGACGGCTGCGGGGGCAAGCTCCCGCTGTTCCTGGAAGAGCGGGCACGCCGTCAAGGGCGGCAACAACTGAACCAGCGCTGCAGAGGAAATTATCCGCCGCAAGGCTGTGCCGGACGGGCGCGCGTTGTTGAGTGAGCTGTGGACTCAAAAAAATAATTGCAAAGGACTGCGCGCGGCGCATGTCTCGAACCATGCTCTCCTCAGTCAACGACGCGGCGCAACACGTCGCGAGGGCCTCGTCGTCGGACCACCTGGCCGACGTCGGGCGCGCGGCGGAGAAAAAGCTCGACCCGAAGCGCTACAAAAAGTACGCGCCGCCCGTCGCCTGCGCCGTGGCCGCCGCGGCCGTCGCCGTCGCCCTGTTCTCGAGCCCGCCGCTCCCGCCGCCGCCGCCGCCGCCGCGGCCACGGCTGCCGTACGCGAGCGACCCGACGCGGCCGCACAGTTTTTATGGTCTCGCCTGGTGGCTGCCGTGCTGCGCGACCTACCGCACCGAGGGCCTGACGGCGCGGCCCGTCACAATCATACCCGTCAAAAAAAAGAGGTGGCGCCGGACGCGGGCCTCGCCGGCGATCGAGGGCCTCCGAAACAGCGCCACTTATTTACGGAAGGCGCGCGGGCGCAAGGCCGCCTACCCCGTCCACGCGCAGCCCTTCATGGACGGCATCCAGGCCCTCATGCCGACGTTTGGCGCCTTCGGGAGCGCGATCCACGCCGCCGCGGCGAAGGACGTCGAGGGCAACGTGAAAAAATTAAGGAGGAACGGCGCGCCCCTCGTGCCGCTCCACACCTTAATAAGGGACGAGGTCGCACTGCACAACGCGACGCACCCCGACAGCACGGCCCAGGCGTTCGTCTGGCTCAAGCGCATATTGAACTTCATGAGCCACTTCTTCGACACCTTAGATAGGCGGCCGGACCTCGAGCTGAACGGGTGCCTGACGCGGGCCTACGAGGCCCATTTGGGGCCCTACCACAACGTCGTCTTCCGGCAGCTGGCCGTCGTGCTCATGCAGGTCATCCCGGACCGCGCGGCGATGCTCGAGCTGTTCGGGGTGTCGACCTTCGCGGAGCTGCGGCCGCACCTCGCGGCGTGGACGCACGAGACGTACCCGCTCATCGCGAAGATCGACGCGTTTTACGTCGCGAACCGGCTGCAGCCCTGACCCCGCCACGGGGCTCGGGGAGATAGAATTAGATGATTTACTCCGGCTCCTCCGGAGCGCCGACCGTGGCGAACATTCCTTCGGCCATCGTCGTCACCGAGGCCCCGAGGTCCGTCAGCACCTTCGTCGCGCCCCCTTCGCCACCGTCGTCGGCCGTCGCGTCGTCGCCGTCGTCGCTCTCCGAGTCCGACGAGTCCGGGTCGAGGAAGTCGCCGAAGAGCTCCATCAGGTCGTCGTCGCCCGAGTCCTTGGCCCCCGCCTTGGCATCGTACTCCTTCTCGCAGAGGAGCTTCTTGCAGCCCTCCACGAAGTTGTCCAAGAGGTACGTCGGCAGGGATAGCTCGATCTCGTCGAGGCCCGGCACCTTTCCCGCGATCGCGTTATACGCCTCCTTCGCCGACGGGAACGCCGCCGTGAGCGCGCATCCCTCCAGGGCGCCCTCCACGACGCCGGTCATCGTCTCCTTGATGGCCGCGCCGCACGTCTCTTCGAAGAACTCGGCGAGCGCCGGCCCGTCGAGGCCCTTCTCGCAGAGCGCCACCGCGTCGTCCAGGTCGATGGAGAGAATCGGGTCCAGAAACGCCTTGATGCAGCCGGGGTCCGTCGCCACCGCTATGATCGCATCCAGGAAGGCCTGGGCCACCTCCTCGACCTTCTCCGTCATCGCGCCCGCCATGCTCCCGCCGACGAACGGCACGCCGCCGACCAGCTCGGCGGCCGCGTCGAACTGCTCCTGCCCCGGCACCGGAATTTTCAGGTCGTCGCGGGCCCACGTGCCGACGTCCTGCGCCGCCGCCACCATGGCGTTCGCCGCGGCCTCCAGGATCTTCTTGAAGGCGCGCGTCGCCATGTCCTGGAGCTCCTCCATCGTGCGCTCGGCGGCGGCGACGACGTCCTTGGCGACGTCCTCGGCCGCGTCGACGACGTCCTCGACGGCGTCCTCGCAGGCCTCGGCGGCCTTTTTGGCCTGCTTCTTGGCTTTTTTCTTGGCCTTCTTCATCTGTTTCAGGACGCCCTTCTTTTTCTTGTTCTTCTTACCTGTGCGCAAATCAGCCAGTGAGTTGGGTGGCATCGCGTCGATGGCGTGGTGGTCATGATTCGCCGCACTGCTTCTTGCCCATGGTGGTGCCGGTGGTAAGCTGTTGGGCAACCGCGGGCTCTGCTATATGATGAGTCGGGCTATGAGTCGGACTGGCAGTGGCTGCCCCTGGCGAGGGCAGCGCTATAGAGACTATCTGATGAGAGAAATATGGCGGAGACGTCGAGTCTGGCGGCCGCCCGACCACCGACTCTCGGGAGTTTGCATCCGAGGCGATGAGTTCAAGCGTGGGACACGCCTTGGCCATGTCATCAGGCGTGACTGCAAGGTAAGCTAGCGGTAAGACACTAGATGGCTGCCTGCCTCTGCAGCATCGTGAATCGCGCGTAATCAGTGCGCTCGCGCAGCCATGCGGGGCGCAGCGCTCGTTGCGCTGCTCCTCGCGGCCGAGGCCTTCCTCCAGCCGCGGCGGCCAGGCCCCACCACGGCCCTCGCGGCCCGCAAGCGCAGCCAGCGTAGCAAGGAGAAGGGCAGCGCGGACCACTCGTCCGTCGACGACTGGACGGGCCGGCGCCGACGGCGCATCCGCGACGACGTCGAGGCCGCGCTAGATGATCCGAACTGGTTCGGCAACAGGGGCGAGGCCTACGAGGCCGCGGGCGACGACGACCCGATGGCCGGCTGGTTCGACGAGGAGTCGATGGTCGCCGACGGCATGGGCGCGGGCCGCGCGCGCGCGGTCATGGCGCGGCGGCGCGCCATCGCCGGCATCGGCCGGCCGTCGGCGTCGGCGCTCGAGGTCGAGGGCGCGCTCGAGAGTTTCTCGACGCTCGCCGAGGGGAGCCCGTCCTACGTGTACGACGACGAGGAGGACGAGGAGGACGAGGACGAGGAGGACGATGAGGACGCGGTATCAGAGTTCTACAACGCGCCTGTGGCCGCCGCCGAGGAGGACGTCGAGGAAATACCTCCTCTAGTAACGTCGTCGAGGACGTCGTCGCCGACGCTCGAGGCGGCGGACTTCGCGCGACCGGCGCCGGACACGAAGGTGCCGGGCCTGGACCGGCGCTGGTGCACGGCCGTCGCGGCCGGCCCGTTCGCGCGGTACGCCAAGTTCTTCCTCCGCGAGTTCGGCGTCGAGCAAGCATTAAATGTTGACGACGTCGAGATTTCGGATGGAGACGAGGAGGCACAAGCGCTGGAACGGGCGGTGTACGTCTCCGAGGCGACGGGCCTGCCGTGCGTGGCGGAGTTCACGGTGCTCGAGGTCGAGGCGCTCGAGGCCGGCGCGCGGGAGCTCCTGCCGCGGGCGGCGGCGGCGTACCGGGTGCCGAACGTCGAGGAGGCGCAGACGACGCGGCTCCTCGAGCGCCTCGCGACGGTGTCGCCGGGCGAGCGGCGCACGCGCTTCGTCGCCTGCTGCGCGTTCCACGACGCGGCCAAAAACGCGTCGCTCGCGGCGCGCGCGGAGACGCGCTGCGACCTGCGGTCGGCGACGGCGCTGACGGCCATGACCGCGCGCACCGAGGCGTTCCAGGGCGTCCTCCAGGCGCTCTGCGAGGACCTGTGTGGGAATCAAGCGTATCTGGTGCACGTGGTCGCTGGCTCCGTCGAGCGGTGAGGAACTGGCACACCGCCACGCCATCGAGCAGGCGTCGCATCGATGGCGTGGAGGTCGACGCGACGATTCAGCCCGAAGGCACCGTGAAATTTTGATTTCCGCACAGGCGAGGACCCGCGGGAGGACAAGGCAGTCGAAGACTTGACGTTCGAGTTCTTCGAGGCGCGGCGTGAGCGGGCCCTCGCGGGGCCGCGGCCGGCGGCGCCCGGCGCCGAGGCGTTCCGCGAAAGATTGCGCAACGAGGCTCGTGTGCTCACGAACGGGAACGTGGACGTCTCGGCCTTCGTGGGTTCGGTCGTCGACGTGGCCTTGTTGGACGAGGCGGCCGCGGAGCTGCGGCGGCGGCTCGGGCCGGACGTCACGGACGCCGCCACGAAGATCCTCACGACGGGCGTGAGCGGCCAGCAGCTGGCCCTGCCGCTCGCGCGGCTCATGAGCGTGCCGCTCGTCGCCTGCCGGCGCGAGGCCGCCGGCGCGGGCGCGGTGGCGAATGCCATGGGCAGGGGTGCGTATGCGGACGCGCTCGACGTGACTTACAGATCCAAGCACTACGGCCCGGGCCAGCAGCTGTACCTGCCCCGCGACGCCCTAAGCGAGGACGACGTTGTGCTCGTCGTCGACGATTTTCTAGCTTCAGGAAGCTGCCAGGAGGCCATGTTCCGCTTGGTCGCGCGGGCGGGCGCGCGGCCCGCGGGCCTGGCGGTCCTCGTCGAGAAGACCTTTGACGGCGGACGCGACTTCCTGAGCGCGTGGCCCGTGCCCGTGGCGTCGCTCGCCGCGATCGTCTCCGTCGACAACGGCTACATCGAGCTCCTCGAGGAGGACGACTCCTTCGACGATGTGGGGGTGCTGGACTTTGGGGACGCGGAGGACGACACGGTCTTCGGCCTTGACTTTCTGCCGGTGGGGGGCGACCCCTGACTCTCAACTCATCTCAGCAGAGGACGACACCGGTCTTCGGGGGGCGACCCCGGACTCTCTCAGCTTCTTATAACTATTGTGTACATAAACAGGTTCGTTAGAGCATCATCTCCGCGTCCTCCTCGCTCGAGCGGCTCGACGTGTCGCTGCCCTTGTCGCTGCGCTTGGCCTTGTCGACGTCGACATTTTTTAGCATGATGTTCTCCACCTCGCTCGTCGGGACGAGCTCCGTCTCGCGGCCGCCGCCCGACATGAGCCACCGCCGCCGCCGCGGCCGCAAAAGCACGCACGCGGCGAGCGCGAGCGCCAACGCGCCGGCGCCCGCGTAGGCCGCCGCGGCGCGCCACCGCCGCCGCGCCCGCCCGCGCCGCTCCGCGTCGACCGTCGGCGCCGGCGTCGGCGCCGGCGGCGGCAGCCGGTAGCCCGCCTCGGCGTCGCAGGCCGCGCGCGCGACGCCGAGGCGGCCCCGCCCCAAATCGAAGAAGACGTCGTGCCCCGAGAAGAAGGGCCCGCCCAGCACGCCGCCCGCCGCCTCCTCGAGGTAGACGCGCGCGAAGTAGCTGCACGTCCCGCTGCAGCTCCTATCTTCTTTCTCGACGAACGACTCGGGCTTCACGTCGACTTCGACCTCGCCCGCGACGCCGCGGAACCGGAACCGGATGGAGGGCAGCGCGCTCAGCTCGTTCTCGTGCATCGTGAACGTCTTGTCCGCGTCGTAGGTCCAGCGCGGGTACACCTTCGACCAGGCCCGGACCCACGCCTCGCCCGCGCGCCGCGGCAGGTACATGTCCGTCGTGCCCGAGTCCACGACTAGGCCATTCCCCCGGTTCCACTCGCCCGCCGGCGCCTCTACACTAACTTCGTCGCCCTGGGCGCCCACGAGGCTGACACTCAAAGTTTCGACCGCGTAGAAGGCCCCTGTCACTTTGAGCTCCGCGAACTGCATGTCGTGCACGTGGTGCGTCACGTCCACGCCACCCACGACGAAGAAGCCGCTCCTTAGCGACGATTTGGACCGGGGATCCACGGGCTCGTAGCACAGCGAGAAGGCCAGCTCGCCGATCGCGCCGCCCTCGTAGAGCGCCTGGAGCACGGAATCGGCGCCGTCGCCGTGCAACCCCCAGATGCCGTTCGCCGTCTGGTCCACGAACATGTTCGTCTGGTGCGTGATGCAGCCGAAGGGGATGGAAACCGGCCGCGCGTCGGGCACCAAGGACGCTTCACCCAACTTCGACGCGCCGTCCTTCGTCGCGTAGGCGACGACGGTGCCGTCGGCGTCGACGACGGCCGCGACGTCGCGCGCGCGCTGCGCGCGCCACTCGGAGCCCTCCGAGTACGACGCCGACATCGTGCCGGTGCCGACCTCGTACGTCTCGGACTTGCTGGCGTCGAAGGGCGGGCTCTCGTGGGCGCCGCAGGCCTCGCAGCCGGCGCAGACGAAGGCCGTCTTCGACGAGCCCGTGTCCACAATTACAGACGTCTTTTGCGGCGGGGTCCCCACGTACAAATGGACGTAGTGCGTCCAGAGGCCCTCGTAGAGCTCGGCGCCGGCGGCCGCGGCGCGCGCCGTCGCGCGGCGCCGGCGCCCCGGGGGGCTGTCGCGGGGGTGGAGCCGGAGCTTGACGAACTGGCCGAGGGCGGTCGCAAGCCAGGCGAGTAGGCCTGCCCTCATCATGGTTCCGGGGCTGCCCGGTAGGGTGTTGCGTGGGATCCGGGCTTACGGGGGGGGATCTCGGTTAGCCTCGTAATGGCAGGCGACCAACTAGCGCCGCGCTGGAGGAATTGGCTCTCTCTAGTGCCTATTCATTCCGCTAGTCGAGAAAAATAATTCGAGATGCTCTTGGGCCAGCCGGGTACCGCTGACGCTCGAACCGGTCGTGCTGTGGGCCTTGCGGAGGAGAGAGCGCAAGGTCAAGCGCTGAGCAGTCGCTAGAACCTCGGGCTGAGAACTGCGCATTAGTCTTCAAGGGGGGATCCAGGCCTGGGAGAGCCTCACGACTGTGGAGAGCCTCAGGGCTGGCCGCAGCGCTGCGACCTGTTAGGCATCATTGAGCAACCCCTCCTCCCCGGCCGCGGCGGAGGCGCGATGTGGGACCGCGCGGTCGAGTCGTGGAAGCACGTCATCTCTCTCGACACATTCGTCGCCGTGGCTTGGATGCTCGTCTTATGGTTCGCGAGCCAAGCAATCCACCAGCGCGAGCGCAAGCCGCCGGAGGTCGAGGCCTTCGACGCCGGGCAGCCGTACTGGGCCGTGTCGCCCTTGCTCAATAACGACTACAAGTCGTCGAGCGAGCAGATCGTGCCGGCGTCGGTGCTGTTTGTCATCTGCAGCGTCGTGCCGATGGTCGTGTTTCTTGTGTTGTCGCTCTTCGACACGTGTACGCGAGCGACGGCGCTGCGGATACAAGGCATCGCGTACGCGTTCGGCGGAGCGGCCTTCTGCATCGACTGCGTGAAGCGCTACTGCGGCTACTGGAGACCGTATTTCTACGACCAGTGCGGCTTCGATGCGGCGACGGGGAAATGCACCGGCGACGATGAAGAAGCGTTCAAGTCGTTCCCCTCGGGCCACAGCGGCCTCTCCATGGTGACGATGCTCTACACGTCCTACTGCATCCTGGGCGCCTGTCGGCTGGGGAGACCACTGCGCGTCAAGGGCGTCGATCTCGGCGGCCCGGCCGTGGTCGCCGGTCTCCTGCCCGTCGGCCTGTCGCTTTTCGTGGCGGCGTCGCGCGTCGTGGACAACGACCACTGGCCCGCGGACGTCGTGGGCGGCGCGGTCATCGGCGGTGGCTTTGCGACGCTCTACTACCACCGCTATTTTCCGATTGTGTTCGAGGACTGCTCGCACCTACCGCGCGCCGCGTTCGCGTCCGTCCCGGCTCAGGGCTCCGGGGAGGAGGACCTCGTCGCGGGCGCCGCCACCGCGAGTGCATGACACTGGCATGTAAGATACTTGTATGATTCACACGACTACTACGACGGGACGAGCGCCGGCCACCGCGTCCGCACCGCCTCGACGGCCTCGGCGGGCGACGCCGCCGCGGTCAGAAGGCCCGGCATCGCCTTCCGAGCCGCTTCCACGAAAAGGGCGTCGGCGACCGCGCCCAACGCGAGCGGGGCCGGCAGGCGCTTGAGCGCGCCGCGGTCGCCGCGCAGCGCCGCCGCGGCCGCCAGCGCGAGCGGGGCCCCGCCGTCGTCGTCGTCGAGCGCGCCCACCACGGCCCGCAGGCGCGCGTTCCGCGAGCAATCGACCATCAAATCCGTGCACCGGGACCGCTCGCGCGCCTGGCAGATCTGATGTTCGAGATCTCGCAGCCGCCCGTGGTCGCCCAGGTCCACGAGCACGTCGGCGAAGAGCGCGACGTACTTCAACCGCGTCCGGTCGTAGCGCCGGTGGTCCGCGTCGAGGCACTCCCTGGGCGTCGCAGCGTCGCCCTCGACGCGCCAGAGCGCGACGACCTGCGGCCGCTTGCCGCTGAAGAGGGCCTTCTCGAGGACGTCCTTCGCCGCCGCCGCGCCGCGTCGCACGGCGACGCGCGTCCGCTCCTGCAGCCGCCGCGCGTCCGCCTCGGCGCAGAAGCGGTTCGACGACGCCGTCGCCGTCGCCGCGAGGCTGAGCGTCGGCTGGGCACGCGCGGCCACGGCCTGGGAGTGGGCAGCCCGCGCGTGGTAGGGGTCCTGCTTCCGGCAGGCCTCGAAGGCCCGGACGCAGTCCTCGACGATCGACGCGACGGAGCCGTCGCTTGCGCCGAAGGCGGTCTCGCGGCACGCCTGCAGCGCCAGCGGCGTGACGCGGCCCGCCGCCGCGTCCAGCGCAACCTTGAGCCGCGCCGCGTGCAGGCGGTAGCAGGGGTACGGGTCGTCCCTTCCCGTGGGTTTTCCCGTCGCCGGCAGCGCGTCGTACGCCCGGCGAAAGAGGACGATGGCGTCGCGGCGCCGCTCGTCGAGGTCGTAGTCGTCGGACCGCCACGCGATCTTCCCGAGCATGACGAGCGCAAAGGCCTTTTGCGCCGCGTCGCCTATTAGTGACGCGGCCTCGAAGCAGCGCTGGGCGTCGCCGGCGGCCTGGCGCGTGGGCATGGACGTGCCGCGCAGCGCCAGTTCCCGCAGGTCCGCGTAGCGCAGGCGGCCCCGCGCGAGCGCGGCGGCCGCCGCGGCCGCCGCGTCTCCGGAAGTCGCGTGCGCGAGCGCGTAGGCCCGCTTCGCCGCCTCGAGGCGCGCGGCGCCGACGGTCGCGGCGGCCTCGGCGCGCAGCTCGCCGGGCGCGGCGTAGGGCGCCGCGAACTGGAGCGCCGCGTCCGTCGACGCCGCGTACGGCAGCCGCGCGACGGCCTTGAGGGGCCGCTTCGGCGGCGCCGCGGCGAACGGCTCGCCCAGGTCACCGAGCGCCAGCAGCGGCGCGGCCAGGTCCTCGTAGCAGCGCGCCAGCGCGAGCCAGCGCCTTGCGTCCCGCGGCCGACAGGCACAGGCGCGCGCACACCACGCCGCGGCGTCGAGCAGCGCGGCCTCGCGCTTCGCGGGCGCCTTGGCCTCCTCCTGCGCCGCCTCCTTGTCCCGCCCCATCAACCGCCGCGCCATGATCTCCGCCACGTAGTCGTCCGCGGCGGCCGCGGCGGCGTCGTCGTCCGGAACCGTGACACTCGCGTCGTCGTCCTCCGGCGGCGACTCCTCGTAAACGCCCGCCAGGAGGGCCCCGGGCCAGTGCTGCGGCGCGTCCTTCTGCGCGAACAGGTACGCGTCGACGTCGTCGTCGTCGACCGTGCGCCGCGCGAGCCGCGCCGCGGCGCCGGCGGCGCCGTTGAGCGTCTCGAGGAGGTCCCGGCGGCCCACGAGGGGCGGCGGCGGCTCGTCGGCCGCGGTGCGGTCGCGCAGGACCAGGGGCGCCGCGAAGAGCGCGAAGCCGTCGCGGGCCTCGAAGTGCTTCGCGCGGCGCTTCCGCGCGGCCTCGGAGACGACGTGGCCCGCGCAGGCGTCACGCAGCACCTTGGCCCCGATCAAATCGTAGAAGCACTGGGCCGCCGCGTGCTCCTCGTCCCGCGCGAGCACGGGCCGGCGGCCGGGCGCGGCGCGCGCCGCGCGATCCGCGAAGAGGCCGCAGGCGGCGCGCAGGAAGGCCGCGTCGCCGGCGTCGACGCACTTGCGCGCCGCGAGGTGCTCCAGGAGGTCACGCACGACCGCCGGGGCCCGCGCCGGATCGACCGCCTCGGCCGCGCGGACGGCGGCTGCGGCGGCGCGACACCGCAGGTTCGCGAGCCGCGGCTTGTCCCGCGCGCGCTCGAGCGCCCCGAGGAGCGCCGCCGCCGCCGCGAGGTGGCGCCGCGCGGCCGGCGGGCCCATGGCCTGCAGCAGCGCCTCACCGCACGCGGCCGCGCTCAGCACCTCGGGGTCGTTCCGGGCCCGGACCGCCGCGCCCAGCGCCGCCGCGCAGGTCGCGCAGGCGGCCGTCGCGGCGTGCGAGACGGCGTCCCGCGCGGCGGCGCCGCCGAGCACCGCGTCGACGGCCGCCGCCGCCACGAGCGCGTCGAGAACCGCGTCGGCGCGGCTGCCGGCCGCGGCAACGGCCACCGTGCGCGCTAGCGCGGCGCGGACGGCGTCGCCGCCGGCCGCGGCGACGGCCGCGCGCGCGGCCGTCGTGTCCAGGAGCGAGCGGAGGCGAGCGGCCGTCGCCGCGACCGCGACCGCGGCGTCCGCGTCCCGCGCCCCGCGGCCGAACGTCGCCCGCGCCGCCTGGGGCGGCGTGCGCGCGAGCGCGTCGAGCACGGCGACGCAGGCGTCGAGGGCCTCGCCCGCCCGCGCGCGGTCGGCGGCGGCGGCCCGCGCAATCGCCGCGGCGTCCGCCGCGACGTCCGTCGCGCCGCCGACGGCCGCGCAGAGCGCCTCGAGCACGCCCGCGCCGCGCAGAGCGTCGCCCGCGAGCAGACCAGCGAACCCGGCCGCGTCGCGCGCCCGCAGCCGCCGGGCCTCGCGCCAGAGCGCCGCACCGCCCGCAGCCGCGGCCGCCGCGAGGCCGTCGCCGAGCCGAGAATCGCCCTCGCGTCGGGCCAGGACCGCGAGCTGGTGGGCCACGGCCGCGCCGCTCAGGCGCGGTTCGCCCGCGGGCCAGCGGTGGACGACGGCGTCGACCTGTGCGGAAATCAAAATTTTACGGCGCGTTCGTGCTGAATCGTCGCGTCGGCCTCCACGCCATCGACGCGACGCCTGCTCGATGGCGTGGTGATGCCGGTTCCTCACCGCTCGACAGAGCCAGGACGGCCGCGTCATCGCCGAGAAACGACTTAGTGAAGAATTGTCGGTGCACCCGTCACACTGGTTGATTTCCACACAGGCGTCGACGCCGCCGTGCTTAAGGAGCGCCCGCGCGCAGGCTTGGAACTCGGCCCGCGCAACAAAAGCGTCGCCCCGCGCCGCCGCGCCCTCGGCGGCCAGCCAGTGGAGCCGCGCCGCGAGGTCCGGGCGGTCCGCCGTCCGCGGGTCGAGCCTCGCGCGCGCAAGCGCGGAACTATCGACCTCGGCGAGCGCCACGAGCGCGGCCGGGTCCAGGGCGCCGTCGACGGCCGCGACGGCCTCCGCGAAGACCTTCCGCGCGTCGTCCGCGGCCCACGCGGCCTCGGCGCGCGCCGCCGCGGCGACGAACGCCGCGAGGTGGTCGCGGACGCGGCGCGGCGCGGCGAAGGACGGCGGCGCGGCGGCGGCCGCGGCCGCGGCGCCCGGCGCCGCCGGCGCGCGCGCGAACCAGGCCGCGGCGACGCCGTCGGGCGGCTTGGGGGGCGGCGCGCCGTCGAGGAGCGCGCCGAAGACGCGCGCGGCGAGCGGCAGCTCCGCGACGGCGTCGTCCTCCTCTTTCTCCTCCGTCGGCGCGGCGCCGCGGCGCCGCGCGCCGCGCCGCGGCCGCTTCTCGTCGTCCTTGCCCTCGTTGGCTTTCTCATCCCCGGGCGCCTCGGCCGGCTTCTTCGCCTGCGCCGCCTCGGCCTTCTTCTTCTCGGCGATCCACTCCACGGCGACGGGGTGGTCGAGCGTCGCGCGGCCGGCCCGCGCGTCGCGCGCGAGCGCCGCCCGCGCCGCCAACAGCGCGCTCCCAAGGCCCGTCCACGTCTTTGTTGCGCGCACCGTCCTTGGAGGCGCCGGCGGCGCGGCGGCGCCGTCCGCCGCGACCCCGCGGAAGCACGCGCGCTTGACGCCCACCGCGCGCGCGGCCCGCTCGAGCGCCCCGTCGTCCTCCCGCTCGGCGCGGCGCAGCGCGGCCGCGCGCTGGAGCGCGCCGACGGCGACGCGCGCCGCGGCGACGCCCTCCGCGACTCGTGCGAGGCGCGCGACGCGCAGCCACAACCCGGCGTCGTTCCGTCCGGCGTCAGCGGCCCGGCAGGCCGCGGCGAGCGCGCCGGCCCGGTCGCCGGCCGCCTCGAGGAGCTCCGAGAGGTGCCGCGCGCAGGCCAGGCGCAGCGCCGCGTCCCAGGGCGCCTCGTTCTCCTTGGCCGCGGAGCCCACGTCCTCGAGGATCTTCTCGTAGAGCGCCGCGACGGCGTCGGCGGGCGGCGCCGAGGCCGCCTTCGCCGCGAGGGCGGCGTGGCCCGCCGCCGCCTCGTTGTAGGTCCGGCGGAGCCGCAGCTCGCGCCGCTCGGCGTCCTCGACGGCGTCGCCCTTGCGGCGCTTCTGCGGCCGCGCGTCGACGGTCTGCCAGGGCATTGCTCTCTGTATGACTGCTGTAAGTGGCCTTAGCAGTGCTTGCTTTTAGGCGCGCACAGGCACAGGACAGAATATGCGTCTGTGTGCTTGCCGCAAACGCACACAGAAATAGATGGTTCAAACAAACAAAATCGACCAAAAACCCGTCGAAAACAACCTGAGAATTAGCCGCAAGCATCGCTATACAATTCATAAGATGCCTCCAGTACAAGTGGTACTCGGATAATCACCGTGGGCTGCCTGTCGGCGCTCTGCGCTGTGCATCGCGCTGTGCAGGGCCAAAGAGAGAGCGCCGCTCTCGTGGGGCTGCATCATGGGCTAGCTCCTGCGCGCGCACCCCAGATACTGAACACAATAGCCATGCGGCGTCCAATGGAGCGCGTTGATTAGGGGGCAGCCGATACGATGCCTGCGAAGCCCATCCCACGCCAGCTACGGGCCAGCGCCCTGGCCTTCGCGGTGCGCTGCTCCGGACGGGACGCTCCACCGGAACCCTCACCGCAGCCAGCGGAAGAGGACGACGCTCTCGCGTACGACGAGTCGGAAGACGAGGCGGACGCGCCCGCGGAGCCCGCGGCGGTCGAGCGGTCGCCGGGCGAGCGATTCTGGTCACGGGCGCAGTCCCGGCGGCGGCGACGGCGGGGCCGCGACCTTGACGCGGAGGAGGCCGCGCGCCTCGCCGCCCGCGCGCCGCCGCAGCCGCCTTCGTCGCCGGTCGTCGAGCCTTCGGCGTGGGAGCAGCGCCAGGCGCGCGAGATCAACGCCTTCGTCCGGGCGAAGCACTACGCGCAGCGCCAGCGGGACGCGGAAATACGCCACGCTGCGGCACGTGCGCGCAAGGCGCCCACGAAACGCCGCGTAGCGATACGGCTGCCGCCTGCCGGGCAACGCGAGGACAAGCTCCGGGCCGCCGCCACTGCCCGTCAGCAGCAAGAACCCGAGCGCCGCCGGACCGTCACTTGGGACTCGGAGTCCGACGCGGAAAGGATGCGAACGCTGCGCACGAAGATTCCGTGGGCGCGCGTTAGCGACGGCGACGACGGGTCGGAGGCAGCGTCGGAGGAGGAGCACGCAGCCGGCTACGCGCCGAGCCGCATCGCGCTCGAGTTCAGGAGGGAAGAGACGCGCCGCCGACGCCAGAAGGAACTGGCGAGCATTCGGGCGACGGAGGCCGGGATTTCCTGCGCATTGCGGTCGGCGGCGCTGCGTCGCGAAGCCGTCCGTGAGGCGCGCGCGGTGGACCGCCGGCGGAGGGACCATGCGCTGCCGGCGATCTTCGCCAAGCCGCAAGAGGTCAACCATACGGCGTTGTCTCCGCTCGGAATGATGCTCGCTAGCGCGTCCGCCGCGCGCGAGCAGCCCGCAGCGCGCGGGCACGCCCCGCGGCAGCCGACCCGCCGGCGGTCGCGGTGGTCGATGGACTCCCTCGGCGACGAGACGCCTCCGCGGAGGCGTCGGGGCCGCGGGCGGTGCCGCTAGTACTTCGTAGTAAACGTGATCTGTGAATTACGCCCTGAATGAGCATAGTGGCGGCTACGCCGCCGTCTCCCTGAATGATAGTGAAGAATCATTCTTCTCGTAGGCGAGCTCCTTCTTCTCCCCGAGCATCAAGAGGCCGGCCTCGGTCATCTCGTGGTGGAAGTCGCCGCCGTAGTCGTCCCGGAGCCGTTTCCAGCGGTCCGCGCCGAGCGTGCGCATCTGCATGGCCTCCTGGAGCCGCATGATCGGGTGGACGACGAGGGGGCACCGGTTGCACGCCTCCTGGAAGCCGCCGAAGCCCATCTTCCGGGCCTCGACGACCTTGTGCGTGTGGTGCTCGATCTGGATCATGTTGCAGACGTCGAGGAACTTGGCCATGTCGCCGCCGAAGCGCGAGCCCTCCATGGCGTGGCTGATCTGCTGGAGCTCGTGGTAGTCGAGGTGGCCGTCGTCGTTCTCGTCGAAGTAGGCGAAGACGAAGAACGCGAGCTGGCGCTGCGTGAGCGTGCACATGACGCACGACGCCAGCAGGAACTCGCTGAAGGACAGCGTGCGGTCCTTGTCGAGGTCCGCCCAGTCGAAGACGATGGCGTCGACGAGGCACTTGAGGAACGTCGTCGGGTCGACGTCGATGAGGTCGAAGAACTCGTCGTGCGAGATCTCGTTGTCGTCGCCGGCCGCCTCGTCGAAGAGCACCCAGTGGCGCGACAGGTCCCTATCGGTAAGGTCGAGGAGGTGCAGGGCCAGCGCGGGCAGGCCGGGGTCGACGCGCACGTCCGCGCGGACCTTGCCGTAGATGCCGCAGCAGCCGCCGCCGGGCAGCGTCAGGACGAACTCGCGCGCGCGGCACCGCGTGTCGAGCCGGGCCATCTCGCGGCCCCGGGCCTCCTGCTCGTCCTTGTGGTCCCAGCCGCTGATGTCCTGGACCTCGCCCATGTCGTCGTCCTCGACGACCGTCTGCCGCAGCGCGTGCGCCTTCTGCGCCTTCGCCTCGGCCCGCTTCTTCCGGCGCTCCCGGCGCTGGCGCTCCTGGTCCTCCTCGCGCGCGTGCAGGTGCTCCTGGAACCGGTTCACCTTGCCGGGCGCGTCGCGGTGCTTGGTCGCCATGCCGCGGCCGCTGCGCTCGTTGTGCTTCAGCACGCGCGGGTCGCGCGGCTCGCGGCGCTCGCGGCGCTCGCCCGGCGCCGGCGCCGGCCCGCGGTGGCGGGGCCGGTGCTTCTTGCCGTGGTCCTTCTTGCGCTGCTGCTTCTTCAGGTAGTGCAGGCGCTTCCTATCGTTCTCGGAGACGTCCGTCACGTGGTAATCCTCAGTCTCCCCGTCCTCATCAACAAATGTCCCATCCGGATTCATAGTTGAGCAGCAGCAGCAGCAAGACAAGGCGTGCCTCCGCGACGCGCAGTTCTGCAGCAGTCCGAATGGTGAGTCAAGAGCTGCGAGGCAGCCGCGTGGCTCCGCAACGCGCAGTGGCGCGGGTGGGGGCAGCCCACTGTTCGTTTCAGCGGGTGATGCCTCCGGTGCGGGTCGTGCCTCCGGATGTCGAACCGGAGAGATCTGCACTGGCCTAGCCCGGTCGATTGGTCCCGCCGTCCGGGCTCAAGTTTGAATTGCTAGTGTCTTACAGACCGCTAGATTAGCCTCGGCGCCGCGCAAAGCGCTGTGGGTAACGCTAGACGCTGCGCGCGGCCTTGATGGCGCGCCGCTTTTCGGAGTCAGCGCGCTGGCCGGACGGCCAAGAAAGGAAAGCGCGGCAAAAAACCAAGGGCCGCTAAAAAGCAAACACAGAAGACCACCACCAAGACCACCGCCACCAAAGGCAAGAAGAAGAAGGCGCCGCCGTCAAATGCGTTCGTTGCTAGCAAATACAAGGACTCCGAAGGCAAGCGCGTGATATACTTCAACGCCTACGATGCCGCGGACCTCAAAGATAGCGCCGAGTACTGGGAGGTCACCGCGCTGCCAGAAGGTTGCAGCACGCCCGACGGCTATATTAGGGTGCGCTTCGAGGACGGGTCTGTCTCGCACTACGACCCCGGCTTGCTCACGCCCCGTTTTGTACATCTGGATGAGGGAACGCTCGTCGACGTGCGCGGGTATGACGTGAGATACCGGGCTCCGAAGTGGGAAATCGTCGAGTCAAACGCTGCTGACCAGGTGTACGTCGTCAACAAGGAGGGCGCCACGGACGACTCGGAAGAAATGGCGGTCGACTTCAAGAGTGTGCGACAACGTCCTCGTTTCTTCCCCGACAATCCGGAGTATTATGGAAGATCGAAGCAGCCAACCAAAGAGCACCCGGACTACGTCTTCTCCTGGGTTTTCCGTAAAATGATGTTTTCGAAAAGGAATCGAGAAGCCGGAATCGCCTCGGGTTCCTTAGCCCCCAGAAAGAGGGACGACGAGCAGGGCTACCTCCATCATCCAACTACGATGTACAATCAGCAATACCAGAAAGATCATGCAGAGCAAATAAAAGAGCAGAAAGCGAAGTACGAACCGTATTGCTGCTTCTGTGGCAGGGCTTGCAAGGTGTCCGCTTGCAATTGCGGTGGAAAGGGTACTGGAAAAAGGCAGCTAGCTCAACTTGTCCGGCAGACCCTCCGTCTCGCATTAACCGACGGTCTGGGCGGCGAGCTCACGGATGAAAATTGCAGACTTCTCACGGGCTTCCCTGCGGGTGAGGTCCAGCAAATCCTGCAAGCAGCCATCCCTGATGACGTGAACATCGAAGAACTACTGGAGAAGAAGTGCGTGCAGCGTGGATTGCCGTATCCGTCGTGCGTGATCCACAAGGACCACATCAAGGCGGTTAGATCCTGCGTCCATCATTACGGGTACGCCATCGACGCGACGCGACGCTGTACGCCGCGTGTCTGCTCGACGCGACACTCACGGTCCACGTTCCACAGGTCGCGCAGTGGCTCAGTGAGCTGGGCCAGAAGCCTGGCTGGAACCACGACAAGACGCCAAACGACGCTTTGCGGCTTATCAACCGCATCGAGAACCTGCAGTATTTGATCTGGCGGGCGAACTTGGACAAGGGCGCCGCCTACACCGAGGCCATTCGTAAGGACCTGGCCGACTACGAGAAGTGCTTCTACAGCGCAGCCCAGCTCAAAAAAAGAGACGTGTTGCGCCGGAAGTATTTGCCGTTGTCGAAGGTCTTGGCGAACGTGAAGGCGTGGGCCGCGCGGCGCGGCGGGGCGAGGGCCTGGCGGCCCATCGGGGTCCCGGAACTCTCCCACTCGCCCCGCGAGGTGGGCAAGCTCATGGCGCTGTGAGGTGTTTAGTGTAAGTTGGTCTTGTAGAGAATTGGCTGCATTGTGCGTCGTCGCGCCGGATCGCGGCTCCGAGTAGAGGCTCCTCTATATAATCTGCTTACACTCGTCCGCAATCAGACCATTCTGGGGGAGGTCCAAGGGTAGGAAGGGGGGGCGGTCAGACCACTAGAGCTTGCGCGAGCTCCGTTCGCGTCGCAGGGAAGTCGCGCGCCGCAGGGGCGCCGCCGCGGTTTCGGGGGCCTCAGCTTCGGTCGCGGCGGCCTGTCCGGGCGGCTCCGGGTCGGCCGCGAACTCCGGCGCTACCCGGCGCGGCGGGCCGCGGGAACTGTTCTCGCGCCGCAGTGACCGTCCGGCCGGCGCGACCCTTGGAGAGACCCTTGTCGTCGTCTCGGGCGCGGCTTGGCCGGCGCCCAGAGGCAAGACTCTTGGAGAGACCCTTGGAGAGACCCTTGTCGGCGTCTCGGGCGCGAGTTGACGCGTCGAGCGCTCGCGGCGGAGTGAGGAAGCGCGCAGGAGCGAGCCCGGGTCGGCCGAGGGTGAGAACTCGGGCGCTTCTCGGCGCGGCGCGCCGCGGGAACTGTTCTCGCGGCGCAGAGACCGTCCGGCAGGCACCACGCGCGGTGAGACTCTTGTCGTCGTCTCGGGCGCAGCTTGGCCGGCGCCCAGAAGGTTGCGAAATCCCCGGACTCGAGCGGCTCCACAGCGGAGAACCACGACACGCCCCGCGCACCCTGGACATAGTCTCCCGTCGACGCGTGCCACGCGTGGTAGCGGGCGAGCGGCGCGGAGAAAACGACTTGCAACGCGCCGTAGGCGACTCCGCCGCCCATCTCGACCGCCACGACAAAGCCCGCGCCGGACGCCTCGACGACGAGCTGCGCCGGCGTCTTGGGCGCGACGACGGCGGTGAGGCGGCGTGTTGGGCAGCTGCCTTGCGTGACGCCGCACGACGTCGACGCGCACGGGGTGTTGTCGAACGCGTAGTCCAGGTTCACGCTGTCGTCCACGCACCAGCCGAGGTCCTGGTCGAAGGCCGAGGCGAAGAAGAACATGTACTCCATCGACGTGACGCCGGAGGTGTCCCACGCGCCGATGTCCTGGTCGAAGGCCGAGGCGTAGCGGAACATCCCGTGCATCTTTTTGACGCCGGAGGTGTCCCACGCGCCGATGTCCTGGTCGAAGGCCGAGGCTTGGTAGAACATGTAGTACATCGTTGTGACGCCGGAGGTATCCCACGCGCCGATGTCCTGATTGAAGGCAGAGGCGTAGTAGAACATGTCGTACATCGTCGTGACGCCCGAGGTGTCCCACGCGCCGATGGCCTGGTTGAACGCCGAGGCGAGGGCGAACATCCTCTCCATCGACGTGACGCCGGAGGTGTCCCACGCGCCGATGTCCTGGTCGAAGGCCGAGGCGCTTTTGAACATGTAGTTCAAACTTGTGACGCCGGAGGTGTCCCATGCGCCGATGTCCTGGTTAAAGGCCTCGGCTTCGTAGAACATGTAGTCCAAACTTGTGACGCCGGAGGTGTCCCACGCGCCGATGTCCTGGTCGAAGGTCGAGGCGCGGTAGAACATCTTCCACATCGTTGTGACGCCGGAGGTGTCCCACGCGCCGATGTCCTGGTCGAAGGCCGAGGCGGAGTAGAACATCCCCAACATCGTCGTGACGCCGGAGGTGTCCCACGCGCCGATGTCCTGGTCGAAGTTCGAGGCGCCGTAGAACATCTTGTACATCGACGTGACGCCCGAGGTGTCCCACGCGCCGATGTCCTCGTTGAAGGACGAAGCATCTTCGAACAGCTCCTCCATGTCCGTCACCCCCCCAGTCGCCCACGTCGAGATGTGGCCGTACGTCGCCTCGGCGGCCGTCGCGTCCGCGAGCCACGCGTCGACGGCCGTTCTGATTTTATAGTTGACCATGACGTTTCCTGTGCTCGCGACATCACAATCGCCAGGGTTCTCTTTTGCCATGACGCCGCACGATGTCGCCTCGCACGGGGTGCCGCCGAACGCGTAGTCCAGGTCCACGCCGTCGTCCACGCACCAGCCGAGGTCCTGGTCGAAGGCCGAGGCGGAGTAGAACATTAAGTACATCGTTGTAACGCCGGAGGTGTCCCACGCGCCGATGTCCTCGTTAAAGGACGCCGCGGCCGTGTTGCAACCGTAGGAAGTCAAGTACTCATTCGCGCAAAGCAAATACGACATGTCCGTCACCTCTCCAGTCTCCCACGTCGAGATGTGGCCGTACGTCGCCTCGGCGGCCGTCGCGTCCGCCAGCCACGCCGTTACTGCCGTGCGGATCGTCGTGTCGTCCAAGGGCACTTCTCCTATCGTAGGCATATATGACGGGATCCGTGATTTCGTGGGCGCCGCCGTCGGCAATGGCGTCAGAAACGTCGGCGCAGGCGTCGGATAATACGTCAGGATCGTCGGCGCAGGCGTCGGGCAATTTGCGACGTCGTCCACTTGCGTGACGCCGCACGACGTCGACGCGCACGCCGTGCCGGAGAACGCGTCTTGAATGGTGTAGCCATGCCCCTCGGGATCAAAGTCAACGCCATCGTCCAAGCACCAGCCGAGGTCCTGGTCGAAGGCCGAGGCGGAGTAGAACATGTACTGCATCGTTGTGACGCCGGAGGTGTCCCACGCGCCGATGTCCTGGTCGAAGGACGTGGCGTACATGAACATGGAGGACATCGTAGTGACGCCGGAGGTGTCCCACGCGCCGATGTCCTGGTTAAAGGCCGAGGCGAAGTAGAACATGGAGGACATCGTACGCGCCGATGTCCTCGTTAAAGGATGATGCGCCCGTGTTGTAGCAAACCGACCCCCAACTATTGTTTTCGCAAAACAAATACGACATGTCCGTCACCCCGCCGGTCTCCCAAGTCGAAATGTGCCCGTACGTCGCCTCGGCGGCCGTCGCGTCCGCCAGCCACGCGGTAACTGCCCATCTAATTTTCCAGTTGACCATGACGTTGCCCGTGCGCGATACGTCGCAGTCGCCAGTATTGGTCTCCCACATCACGCCACAATACGTCGACTCGCACGGGGTGTTGTCGAACGCGCCGCCCGCAAAACCCTCCATCTCCACGTCGTCGTCCAAGCACCAGCCGAGGTCCTGGTCGAAGGCAGAGGCGGAGATGAACATGGACGCGATACTCGTGACACTATCAACCGCCCAATCACTGAGGTCTTGATTAAACGATGCGGCGAGACTGAACATCTCTTCCATGCTCGTAACTCGGTGGACCGCCCAATCACTGAGGTCTTGATTGAAGGCCGAGGCGAGCTGGAACATGTAGGACATACTCGTTACGCCTGAGGTGTCCCACGCTCCGATGTCCTCATTAAAGGACGCCGCGTCCGAGTTGAAGTAGCCGCAGTTATAATCTGATGCGCAAAACAACTCCGACATGTCCGTCACCCCGCCAGTCGCCCACGTCGAGATGTGGCCGTACGTCGCCTCCGCAGCGCTCTGGTCCGCGAACCACGCCGTTACTGCCGTGCGGATGGTGGTGTCGTCCAAGGGCGTACCCGTTGGCAATGTCGGTCTCGCCGTCAGTGTCGGCAGTGGTGTCGGCCTGTATGACGGCGCAGGGGTCGGCCTTACGGTGGGCTCCGGGATCGGCGATCTCGTGGGCCAGTACGAGGGAGCGCGGCGCAATGGCGCCGACGTCGGCCCGTAAGACGGCCGGCTCATGGTCGGGGCCGGCAGCGGCGCCGGCGTGGGCCTATAAGACGGCTGTGGCACGGGCCGGGCGGTCGGGAATGGGATCGGTGCCCGCGTCGGATGGTACGATGGCTGCTGCGAGAAGGACGGCGGATTCGTCGCATACGTCGGCGCGATCGACGGGCTTTGCGTCGTCGGCGTTGCCGTACTTGGTAGCGGCGTCGCGGAACTCGGAGCAGCTGAAGGGTCGAGCGTCGGGGAATAGGGCCAGCGCGACGGAGGTTCAGTAGGCGCGGAGGTCGTAGGCTCGTAGCTTGGCTGGGCAGAAGGCGGATAGCTTGGTTGGGCCGAAGGGCCGAGCGTTGGTTCGTACGTGTCCGCTGCCGTTGGTGCGTACGACGGCGCCGTAGGTGCCGGAGATGGGTCCCAGAGCGTCGTGGGCTGCGCCGACGGCTCGTAGGAAGGAATGCCGGTCGACGGTGGGCTTGTCGGCCGCTCAGAGGGAGAGTAGGTGGGCCGTTCCGTTGGCGGCTCCGTCGCAAAGGTAGGGGCCTCGGTCGTCGGCAAGGCGGTCGTCGGCGCCGCTGACGGAGGTCCCGGCCAGTTCAGATCGACGAGCCCGACGTAGGCCCGCGCGATCAGCAGCGCATCCAGCACGTCCGTCGCGTCGTCCGCGTTGACGTCGGCGCAGCCAAACGCGATGCGCGTGTCGCATGCCGCTGTCGGCAGGTCCTGGCCCTGCGTGTACTTCGCGACAAGAAGGGCGTCCGTAACATCAACGCCGTTTACTCCGTCCACGTCGCCCGGATCCGGGCCGCAATACTGTTCAAACTTTGTTGGTGCCATAGTCGGCACGCGCGTCGGCGGGTGCGACGCGGTAGGCAACAGCGTCGGAGCGTCGGACACCGCCTCCGTCGTGAGGTGCGAAAGAGAAGAAGCTGCGAGCGCCGCACCGGCGTCGTCGGCAACTGTCATCTCGAGGAAGCCAAAGCTCTCGACGTCGAACCCGTCGGCGAAGTGGAGCGTCACAACGGGTTGGGACTTGCCGCCGGCGAGGCAGTTCTCCGTCGCAAACAGCCCGATCGCTGATCCTGGGAGGTTGTCGGCCGCGGTCGCGCCGGCGAAGCCTTGGTCGAACGCCACCGCCTCGACATTTGCTTGCCAGCGCAGCCCAATGGCGCAGACCGTCGCCTCGGCCACGACGGAAACCTCCAGCGCGGTGGACGAGCCGGCTAGGAGGCGAGCGACGATGAGCGCCTCGCCCGGGCCGCCAGGCCGTTCGTAGAATACGCGGGCTCTGTCGCCAACCGACTCGAGCGTCTCCGTGCTTATATCGACGGCTGCGACGTCGAGGGCCGCAAAGTCGAATTCGTCGGCGTCAAAGACGAGGTCCGCCCAGTGGCCCGGCGCGCGCGGTTTTTCGCCGAGCCAGCCCGCCCGCACCGGCCCGTCCAGCTTGAACCACGTGTCGCCTTCGTCGTCCACCGCGCGCACCGCGACGAGCGGCGCACCGTCGCCCAACGTGAGCATGATCGAGACGAAGCGGCCCAGGTCTGCGCTGAGCTCGACGTAGACGCGAATCACTGACGCGTCGCGGTCGTGCGGCGCGAGGACGACCTGGACGACGCCCGTGCGTCCGAACGTTGGCGAACCCGTCGGGTGCGACGGGGTGGGGCTCGGCAGCGCCGAGGGCGCGCCAGACGCCCGCGTTGGCGCCGCCGTCGGCGCCGGCACGGGCTCTGCCGCCGTGTAGCACAGACCGCACGTCGCGTCGCACATGCGGGAGTACGGACAGGCGATCCCCGCGCAGAAGAGCGAGTCGCACGCCGACGCGTCGATAGACAGGTAGCCAGCGCAAACGGCCGCCGTCAATGCATCGCGACATTCTGTCGGCGCGGCGGTTGGACTCTCGGACGGTACGCTTGATGGCTCGTAGGCCAGCGCATTCGTCGGCTCGTATGACGGTACGTTCGATGGCGCGTAGGCCAGCGCGTTCGCGGTCGTGGCGGCCTCAGTTGGCACGGGCTCGAATGTCGGAGCCAGCAAGCTCGGCGCATACCTGCAGAACACAGACGTTTCCATCTATCGGAGATCGCTATTGTGGACGCAGGATCCGCGCGTCGGCGCCGGGACGGGCTTGATCGTCGGCAGCGAAGGAGTAGGAACATACGTCGGGCCGCACGGAGCCGTCTGCATCACACCATTGCAGATGTGGACGGGAGACTGCGTCGGCCTGTACGTCGCGGTCGTAGGGGCCGTCGGCCGCGCGGAGGTCGGGCGTGAAGACGGTCCCGGCGTCGTGGGCGCCGGTTCCGACGACGGCGCCGCCGTGCCCAACTCGAGCGCGCCGGCGCAGTTCGTGCCGGAGCCAGTTCCCGCCGGCGCCGGCCCCGCGGCACTGAGTGTCGCCGTCGCCGCGCAGGCCGGCGCAGCCTCCCCGGAATCGGCCCAGCAATTGTCATCGATCGTCCCTAAATCAACGTCTACTTTATATAACGTGCCGTCGCTCCCGGCCACGTAGACGCCCTCGTCGAACGCGAACGCGGCGTCGAAGACAACGCCCGGCAACGCGCTCTCGACGGCGAGCGCCACGTAGCCCGTGAAGTCGGCCTTGACGACGACCAGCGCCGCGGCGCCGTCGGCGACTCCGACCAAGTACGTGTCGACAGGCGCCACGTCGCGGACCGCCGGCTCGCCGAAGTCGAAGCCCGCGGCCTCGAAGACGGCGGCGTCCGTGTGGACGTTGTGGACCGCGTAGAGCACCCCGGCGTCGCCGTAAAAGTAGGTCGTGCCTAGGACGGCCGCCGCGGGCGGCGCGTCGACCTCGAGCCGCCCGGTCGTGAAGCACCGCGCCGTCGCTTGCGACGTGTCCGCCGTCGCGGCGACGCGGCAGAGCATGTCGCCCGCCGCCAGCAGGGGGTAGGCGCCGTCCTGCGACTCATACAAAGCCAACCCGCCCGGGTTCGCATTCTGGAAGTAGGACACGTCCGCCGCCGTGATTCCGTTCGCCACGATCGCGCCGCCGGCGAAGCGGAGCGGGCCGCCGTGCGCCGCGCAGTCCAGCGCCGCCACGGGGTGGTCCCAGCAGGCGGAGCACGTGAGAGGCGCTGGCGTCGGCGCGGGCGCGGGCGACAGGGTCGGGCGCGGCGTCGGCGCAAAAAGAGGCGCTTGCGTCGGCGCGGGCGCGAGCGACAGGGTCGGGCGCGGCGTCGGCGCCGGAAGAGGCGCTGGCGTCGGCGCGGGCGCGGGCGCGGGCGACAAGGCTGGCGATGGCCGCGGCGTCGGGTCAGAATTGCATTGAACAACGATGTCCGAGTTGGGCGTCCACCCGGAGCTGGTAGACTCTATCCAATTTCCGGAGACGTCTGCGAGGTCATCGTTTGAGATGATATATATGTACCCATTGAGCGAATCGCAGCCGTCTGGGTCTTGGCCGATGACCCAGTAGCCACCATCGTTAAACCAGAGGTATCGCGTGAAGCTGCAGTCGGAGCATTTGTAGTAGACCTTATCCTCGCATCTACCGCTAAATAAGTACGTTCCGTGGCTGCTGGTTTGAGAGGTGGAGCCCGACACGGCGACGGAATCACAACCTCCCCGAGGTGTCGGCTGCGGCGTCCAAGCCGTCGACGTGTCGCCATCGTGACCGTAGAGCTGCAGCGTCCACTTCACCAGGACGCCGTCGTCGTCCCCGTCGTCGTCGGCGTCGTCGTTGGTCGTCAACGCATCGTGGTCGTCGTCGTCGCCCGAGCCCTCTCTGCGGTCCGCTACCCTTAGCGTGAACGCCCCGTCGGCGGCGGTCTCGCCCCAATGTCTCAATGTGGTGTACTTCCAATTCGTGTAGCGCTTACCGAGCTCGAGCTTATCGTCCGTCAGGAGCGAGGTCACGCCGTTCCGCTCGAGCTCGATCCTTAGATCGCCACGGCGCGGGTGTTCTATAGTTACGTAGATCGCGACGCTCTCGATAATAAAGTCCGACGAACCGAACTCCGCCGCTTCCGACTCGACCCAGTGCTCGGTGCCGTCGAAGTCGAGCAGGGCCGCGCCGCTCGTCGTCGCCGTCACGAGCGTTATTTCGGAGCCCAGGGTCGCCCATGATTGCGCCGCAATAACAGCAGCGTGCGCGTCGACGAGCCCGAACCCGTACTTGTAGCTGTGTTTGACGCCGGCCTGATTCGTGGTCCACTGGCCGGTCTCGTCATTCTCGTCATTGAAGTCGGTCCGCGCGGTCGCGGCGAGCAACCCCTGGACGTCGCGCCACGTCAAATTGGGGTTTGCCTCCAAAACTAGAGCAACGACTCCGGAGACCAAAGGGGTCGAGAACGAGGTGCCCTGGCCGGCGTCGGCGCAGTCGTCCGTGTAACCATTTGCGAGCGGACGCGCCACGGCCATGTTGCCCCCGTCGCCGCCGGGCGCGGTGATGAATACGGGGGCGCCACTCGTCGAGTAGTCGGAGTGCGTAAGATCGGCGTGAACGGCGCCGACGCACATCGTGAAGCGGGTCTTCGCGTAGTTCTTGTAGTTGACGTCTATGCCGAGGTCGTATTCGTTGCCAGCCGAGAAGACGTACACAGTGCCCAGGCCGCCTCGACCATTTGTCGTGCCCTCAAGGAGCTGATTGTGCGCGTAGCTCGAGATCTGGCCGTAGCCGCACCGGATGAAGTAGTGGTCCAGCTCCAAACAGGGCGTCACGTCGTCGTTGAAATAGCTGGTGCAGTAATCCACGACAGCATCCTCGCAGGTCGACGAGAGCTGCCCCGACGCCCAGTCGTCGCCATCGCACGCGTCGCACGGGCAGTCGTCCGAGCTCACCGAGGGACACTCGAACGGGCAGTCTGTCGCCGAAGTGGCGTAGCGCTCGCAGTCGTCGCTGCTATAGCTGTTCGACGAGATGTCGTTCACATTGTAGTTGTGCGTGAGGGAGTCCTCACTCGCGGCGGGGTCGCAATTGCTAAAGCTTTGGACGCACGACGCGATACCAGCGCCCGGCGCGGCGCCGACTCCGCAAGCCGAGTTCGAGTCGGCGGCCGCGATTGCCGCACACCTTGTTCCGTGCGAGTCAAAGACGCCGTCACTTCCCGCGCATGGGGCATACACGCCGCACGAGTTGGCCAGGTCGAGCTTCGCCAGGTCCGGATGCGTGTTGTCGACGCCGTCGTCGTTGATGAGGATCTGGACGCCAGCGCCGGTGTAGCCCGCGGCCCACGCCTCCGGGACGCTGATCGCTTTGAGGTACCACGCGGCGTCGGGGTAGTACGGGTCCGGCACCGGGGGCGCGTCGGGGTCTTTGCAGTCGTAGGAGCCGCACGTGTGCGTGTCGCCGTCGATGCAGGTCGTCTCGCAACAATCGCCGCCGTCGTAGCACGGATCGACGTTGTTCGCGACGTCGCACTGGCCGTCACCGACGCTCGCCTGGGCGCTCGCGTCGGCGCAGTCGAAGCACCTATATTTTGCAGTCGTGCCGGGAATCTTCTTACAATACGAGTAGCACGTGACCGCGATGTCCGAGTTGGAAACAATTGCACTCCCGGTCCACTCCTCCCACGTGCTGGATATGGCCGCGAGGTCTCCGTCCGGGTCGGAGGGGGAAAATATTCCACCAGATCCACTTCCGCAGCCAGCAGAGCCAATAACCCAGGCATCGTTTAACCAAATTTTCTGACCCGAACTGCTGCAGTCGAGGCACTCGTACGAGGGCGCGGAACTGCAGGTTCCGGTCGCTTCGTACAGGCCGTGCCTGCCGCTTTGATAGGTGGAGCCCGACACGGAGACGTAGTCGCACGCGTCGGAGGAGGATTGCAGGCCCCGACGCGCGGCGCCGGGGTCCAGGGGCAGCGCGCGCACCGTCTCGGGGTCCGCGCCGCGTAAAAGCCACGGCGGCACCGCGGCGTCCTGCCTCCTCAGCACGCCGCGATCCGCGTTCTGCGACGGCGTTGGGTTGCCGGGCTGCGGCGACGGCGCCGGTGGAGGCAGGGCGGCGGCGGCGACGTGCAGCAAAAGGAGCAGGCGCGCCGCCCGAGGCATCGTCGTCTCTCCCGACGGGGCCGGCGCGCTTGCTAGCTCCTTGCTTGGGCTGGTGCTGGGCTTCCTTGCTTTGCCTTTCCCTCTGTCCGGCTTGCTGGCGCTCCCGAGGTGCGTCGGGCTCTCGGGGCGGAGCCGGGCTGCGCGCTTGGGGCAGCCGGCTCTGCGTGCTCTGCGTGCTCTCTGGGTCCTTCTTTATGCACTGCGGGGGGCTGCTTTCGCTCGCTCCCAGCTCCTTTTGCACCGGCACTGGGCAGGAGTCAGGGAGAGCAAGCCGCGCCCACACCAAAATGCCAACTACCAGACGCATGCCCAGCACTCGGCACCGCCCCGCATGTGTGGGGGAAACCTCTTCGCACCTGTCGAATCAAACCTATCGAAAAAAAAACAGCGTCCCCCAAAAAACGCGCGCCGCCCCATTCCTCGCTCGCTTTGAGGGAGTAGTAAGCGGCCACGCTCGGGTTAGATCACATTATGATGCCCCAGCATGCGCCGCTCGTAATGCCGCCTCGCGCGCGAGCGCCTCGGCGAGGTCGCGCCGTAGTTCTGTGACCGCCGCGGCGGCCTTCGAGGCCTCGAGCTCGGCGCGCGCGGCCCGGAGCGCGTACCGCCGCGCGACCGCCGCGGCCGAGGCGAGCGCCGGGTCGCCGCCGGAGCCGCCGAACGTCGCCGCGAACGCGTCATTTTCGCTCTCCCGGAGCGCGGCTTCGCAGGACTCGACGTCGGCGGCGCGCGCGTCGATGGCGGCTCGAAGCTTCGCGAGCGCGTCCGGGTCCGCCGGCGTCGCCTCGTCGAGCGGCGGCGGCTTCGTCGACGGCGGCCCCGCGCGCGGCCGCACCGCGCCGCACAGGACGCAGCGCAGGGCCGCGGCGGGCGCGTGCTGCTGCGCCACGAGCGCCGCGTAGGCCGCGGCGTGGAGCCGCCGCGCGTGAGACTTCGGGACGTGCTTCGGGGCGAGCTCGCAGTAGGCGGCGCCGCCGCCGTGGCCGAGGACCACGACCGCCTCGTCGTCCTCGTTGCCTAAATCGTAGACGAGCGGCGTCTCGCAAGCGGCGGAGACCACGACGACGCGCACGTCGAAGATAGCCGCGGCGGCGAGCAGGTCCTGGTCGTCCGCGTCGCCGGCGCCGATGTGCGGGCCGTCGTCGGCGACGTTCCGGTCGGCGTGCTGCAGAGCCCAGTCCCCCAGCGCCGCCGCGAGCGTCTCCTCCGACGCGAGTTCCCCGTCGTCGAGGCCCAGCCGCGTCAGGGCCGCGCGCAGCGCTGCGACGCGGCCGAGCGGCGCCATGGGCGCGAGGCCCCGTCTCGCCGCGGCCGCCGCGATGGCCCCCGCGGCGTCGCGGCACGACGCCGCGTGGCGCGCGCGCTCGGCCCGCGTCGCCTCGAGCATCGCGGTGCTGGCCCACACATCACGGCCGCCGCCGATGGATGGGTCGGCCATACAGGTGCACAACTCGAAGGCTGCCGAGAGTACAGAGGGGGCAGCCCGCCAAGCAGAATACTATGCTTTCAGAGTGCTTGGCGCTGTTCCATGCTCCACGGGACTGGGATGCCCACAAGTGGGAGCAACAACGCGCCTCCTCTCTGGAGACTGTGCTCTCACTAGCCGCCGGAGTTCACACTTCCGCGGACTTGTGGGCGAACCCTTGAGAGTCTTCTCGCGTCGCAACGCCTCGTTGGTGCGGCTAGCGGCCTGTAAGACACTAGGCATTCCAAAGCCTCTTGCCCTCTGAACAAAGGGCAGAGTTTAGAGAGGATAAAGCTGTGGCCTGCTGCGAGTAGCATTGCAGCAAAAAGCCATTAAAGCCAGAGGAGCTGCAGCGAGATTAGCACTGCAGCAGCAGCAATGGCCACCAGCAGCGCCGTCAAGTGCGCCCTGAAGAACGGCGTCGCCGTGCTGCAGATCAGCTCGCCGCCGGTGAACGCGCTCGGCGCGGCCGTGCGCGCGGGCCTCGTCGCCGGCGTCGAGCACGCGATCGGCGCGTCGGCGACGGGCCTCGTCGTCGCGGGCGGCGGGTCCACGTTCCCGGCCGGCGCCGACATCACGGAGTTCTCGAAGCCGCACTTGCCGCCCTCCTTCGCCGAGGTCATGGCCGCCTTCGAGGACGCGCCGTTCCCCACCGCGGCGGCAATCCATGGGACAGCGCTCGGCGGCGGCTTTGAGCTCGCTATGGCCTGTCACTACCGCGCGATGGGCGAGCGGGCGCGCGTCGGCCTGCCCGAGGTCCATCTAGGGCTCCTCCCGGGCGCGGGCGGCACGCAGCGGCTGCCGCGGCTCGTCGGCGCCGACGCGGCCCTGGAGATGATGCTGACGGGCGCGCCGATCGGCGCGGAGCGGGCGCTCGCCCTCGGCGCCGTCGACGTCGTCGTTCCCGAGGCCGGCCTCGAGGCCGCGGCCGTCGAGCTCGTGACGACGCGCGCGGCCCGGCGTGCGCACGCGGTCGTCGTCGACGGCTTCCGCGACGCCGCGAAGCGCGCGGCGCTCGAGGCGCGGGCGGCGCTGCCGGCGCCGCGGGCGATCCTGCGCTGCGTCGACGCCGCCGTGGGCTCGGAGCTCGCGGCGGGCCTGGAGGTCGAGGGCCGCGAGTTCCAGGCGCTCAAGGCGACGCCCGAGGCGCGCGCGCTCCAGCACCTCTTCTTCGCCGAGCGCGCCTGCGCGAAGGTGCCCGGCGTCGACGCCAAGGGCGCGGCGCCGCTCGACGCGGTGGGCGTCGTCGGCGGCGGCACGATGGGCCGCGGCATCGCCATGTGCTTCCTCGACGCGGGGCTGCCGGTCACGCTCGTCGACGTCGATGACACCGCGGCGGCGGCGGCGGCGGCGGGCATCGACGCGACGTACCGGCGGTCCTCGGCCTTCAAGAAGGGGCGGCTCACCGAGGCGGTGCTGGCGGCGAAGCTCGAGAAGCTCGCCGTCGCGAGCGACGTGGCCGCGCTGGCCGACGCCGACCTCGTCGTCGAGGCGATCTACGAGGACCTCGACGCGAAGCGGGCCGTCTTCGCGCGGCTCGACGGCGCGTGCAAGCCGACCGCGGTCCTCGCGTCGAACACGTCGACGCTTTCCATCGACGCGATCGCGGACGCCGTCGCGGACCCGACGCGCGTCGTCGGCACCTGTGTGGATTTCAACCAGTGTGTCGGGTGCACCCGACAATTCTTCACTAACTCATTTCTCGGCGCGACGATTCAGCACGAACGCGCCGTAAAATTTGATTTCCACACAGGTCGGCACGCACTTTTTTTCGCCCGCGAACGTCATGAAGCTCCTCGAGAACGTGCGCGGCGCGCGGACGGGCGACGGCGCCGTCGCGGCGGCGATGGCGCTGGGGAAGCGGCTCCGGAAGACTACCGTGCTGGCCGGCGACGCGTTCGGCTTCATCGGCAACCGCATGCTCGAGCCGTACGGCCGCGAGTGCCTGGCGCTCCTGCGGCACCGCGACGTCGGTGTTTCAAACGTCGACGCGGCGCTGCGGGACTTTGGCATGGCCATGGGCGCGTTTGCCGAGTCCTAATCTTCCGCGGCGGCGTGCGCCCACGACCGCGTCGCGACGATGCGACATTTTCGTCCGCGCAGGCTTCTTCGCGATGTCCGACCTCGCGGGGAATGACATCGGCTACGCCGTCCGGACTTCGCTGGGCCTCACGGACGCGGCGACGCGCGACCCCGCGGTAGAGTACTCGGCAGACGTGGCGGATGCCTTAGTCGAGGCCGGTCGGCTGGGCCAGAAGGCGGGCAAGGGCTGGTATTTGTATGAGCAGCCGCGCGTGCCGTCGCCCGACCCGGCCGTCGACGCTCTCGTTTCGCAGTTCAAGGACGGGTCCCCGAGCGTCGGTGCCGAGGATATCCTCGACCGCGCGCTCCTGGCGCTCGTGAATGAAGGGTTTAGAGTTCTAGAGGAGGGCCTCGCCTTGCGGCCGTCGGACCTCGACGTCGTGTGGACCTCGGGCTACGGCTTCCCGCGGCACAAGGGGGGCCCGATGCAGTGGGCCGAGGAGCGGGGCCTGCGCGAGTGCCGCGCGACGCTGGAACGGCTCGCCGCGGAACGGCCCGACGTCCCGTATTTACGTCCCGCGAAGCTGCTCGTCGCGTTGGCCGACGCGGACGCGCCGCTCGCGGACTGGGAGAAGTACGTTTAGTAAGTATTCTACAGATGTGGTACTGTACACGGGTTTTTGCATGGAACGCAAGGTGTGCTGTGTGAATTGCGTGACCTCCGTCATCCATTAATTGCTCATTAGTTATTTATTTTGCGGCTGATACAGGCAGGTCAGCTGACGCGCTACCTGCCCCCGGACAGTATACTGTGTTGGCCTGGCCAGTAAACCTGTGGTCAGCGGGCGCCTAGGCGACGTAAGAAACCAGAACCCGAGCATGGCCAGAGCCGTTGAAACAAAGCGCCCTAACCCCTGCGGTCTACTGGTGGGCAAGATCCAAAATATAGCCGGCGTCTGCACTGGTGTCGTGTTGATCATCGCGGGCTCGCTCGCGTTGCGCGCGGCGCGGAAAATCAAACGTGGGCGCCGATTGCCCTACGTATGTCCTCCCAGGTTCCGAGGCAAATTTAAGCTAAGCACCTACCAGGCCTTCCTCGTCGCAATCTATTTCATCCTCGCCGGCGCCAGTGCATAAATCAAATTGTCGCGGCGCGTGACGACGTCTGCTCGATGGCGCACCCTCTTGATGCTCGTCGGTTTTTGCACAGGCCGGCGCGATCACCATTTCCGTCGAAATGAAAGACTGGCCATTCGTCGAGCGCTGGGTGCCGTTCCTCTACACGTTTTGGGGCCGCGGCGGCTGGTACCTTTTTTGGGCATTGCTCGTCGCAGCGACGCGCTCCGTGGGCACGGGCTGGTTCTACCAAGTGGCGGGCGCGTGCATCTTTTTGCTGGCGCTGTTCATCCTCCTCGTCGTGCCCTGCGTCATCCCGGACTACTACCGCCTCGGCCTCACGTTCCTCTGCGACAGCCGCTCGGAACGCGAGGGCTTCCTCACGGGACCGGCGCGCGACACGGAGCTCACGGACTGCCGCGACCGCGCCGAGCCGTGTGGGAATCAACCACCCGTGGGTAGGCGTCGCGTCGATGGCGTGGAGGTCGACGCGAAGATTCAGCACAAAGGAAATTCCGCACAGGCGCCGAGAAGGCCGAGGGCGCCCTCGACGCCGCGGAGGCGCGCGCGACCAAAGCCGAGGCCAAGCTAAAGAAGCTCGAGGCGGAGATGCCGTCCTGACCGTGCGGAAATCGACATTCCACGGCCGCGCCGTCGCCGAGAAATGAGTGCACCGGATTTTCTACACAGGTACCTCAAGGGCGCGCTCGAATCGAAAGAGCGCCGCGCGTCCGCCGCGGAGAAGGCGCTCGACGCGGCCGACAACGCCTAGGAAGGGAGGCGCGACGCCGTCGCGGCGAAGTGCGGCAAGTAGCAGGTCCCAAGGACTAAGTTAATAAATTACGGCGCCGTCCGCGGCCCGCCGCTACCGCGCCGCCGCCGCCGCTTGCGCTTGTCGCCGCCGCCGGCGACGTCGGGCGCGCCGGGCGAGAGCGTCGGGAAGGCCTTGCCCGTCGCCGACGTGATCTCGGGCTTGACGAAGGCCGCGAGGAGGCCGCCGCGCGGCTTGGGCGTCGGGTTCGCGAGCTCCTTCATGAACGCGGCTTTAAAGGAAGCGTACTCGGCCGGCGCCGCGCCGACGACGCGCTTCGCGAACTGGGCGTCGCCGGGCGTGAAGAGCGTCTTGAGCTCGAAGCGCGTCAGCGGCAGGCCATAGGACTCGAGGAAGGCCGTGCGCGGGCGGATGACCGTGTCTAAGGGGTAGGAGAAGTAGGCGGGAAAGCGCACGACGTCGTAGACCGACAGGGCCGACGCCGCGAGGTGCGCCATCTTCGGTCGCAAATCCGCGTCCACGTCATAGGCCAAGACGGGCGGCAGCCGCGTCGCGAACCGCGCGACGTTGACCACCCCGATCTCCCGCAGGAAGGCCACGACTTTCCGTTGTTTCTGCACGTCCACGCCCAGCAACGAAGGGAACGCGCGGCAGACGCGCGGCACGTCATTTTTTTTCAATCCTAGCTCGTCGCGCCAGAACGCGAGGACACCTCTTGTCGCCAAAGGCTCCAAGCCAAATAATAGGGGAAACGCCTCAATAACCAAGACCACGTCCTCCCTTTCGAGTCCGACGTCCTGCAGTAGTCGCGCCGGCTCCAGCAGGTCGTCCCTCCCTTTCACCAGGGCCCGCGGGTACGCTCTTACCACATTTTCGAGCCTCCGCACGCCAATCTCATCCACTAAAACCTCGACGGCCCGTCGCACCGTACCCACCGGCGCAGCTAAAACCCAGGGGTGCTGCCTGTATAAAGACCCGACCGTGCCCTCGAACTGCAACGACCCGAGGTAATCTGTCACCGCCAGCATTTGTGCTACTGGTAAAGTAAGTAATTGGGGCCACCTGACGACCATCTCCTTGATGTTCTTTGGTTTTACTCCTACTGAGGAGAGCAGGTAGACGACGTCATACACGTTCGTCGACGTTTCTTGGCGCGGGCCCGCGGCCGGCCCGCCCGACGCCGTCGCCAGGACCGCGGGGCACGCGCCCGTGTCCCGGATGACGTTATTCGTGGGAGACGGCAACAACAGCCCGGGCTGCTCGCGGAAGATCTTGCGCAGGTCGCACTTTCTTAGGTTAAAAGTCGCGTTGAGGAACTCGACGGTCTCGCGCGCCGGCGCCACCGATGCGGTTTTCGCAAGGGCGGGCTTCAGCGAGAGCATCTCGCTCACGTCCTGCGTCGTGAAGCCCGCATCATCTAACAAATACTCGATCACCTCGGCGTTCTCCGTACTGATCTTTTTCGCGGCGGCGATTTCGGTCCGCGTCGCGCCAGCCCGCTTCAGTAATTCGGCGAGGGAGGCGCCGCCGGCGTCATCGATGCCCTCGTCACCCGAAGTATCTCCCGCGTCGACCGGCGCGGCGCGCGGCCTCCGGAGGGCTGGCCTATTTGTCGCTGGCAGGAGCGGTGCTGCCAGCGTCGCAAGCCAAGCCGCCAAAGCTAGTCTTCTCATCTTTCGTGAGTCATTTCAGCATTGGTAGGCCGTCGTTGGCCTGGTGTGCGGACACATCATTAAAGCTGATTGTGCTGCTGCAGCATGTCGACATGCCAGTCCTCCGCTGCTCGAGTGGAGCCCAGCATGCCTCTCGGGCGTCCAATGAGAGGGTTGGAGGCCTGAAACGGTCCGGCGCACAAAACCAAAAGTTCGGGTTCGCAGAGCAGCATCTCCGCGACGCGAGTTTGCGCTCTTCGCATCCGCGACGAGCGTGAGCCAAATAACTTGTTTCGAAGCGTTCCGTACTTTCGCAGCCCGGAGAGTTGGTCTGTTGCAGTTATTTGCGCCCCGCGGCACTGATTCGGCCCAGAGAGGCCAAACCTATTGGTGCCTTATTCGGCCGCGCTTGCAGCGCCTAGAGACAGGCATTGGTGCCTTATTCGCCTGTCATTTGCAGCGCCGAGGCAGAGGAACAGATGGACCCCGCCGCCAAGCCCACCATCCTGACGACGCTGCGGCCGCCCGGCGACCAGTGGGCCTGCGCCGCCTGCACTTTATTTAACCAGCCCGCGGCGACGGCGTGCGCCGCCTGCGAGGCCCCCCGCCCTTCGACGGGCGCGGGCCGCGGCCAGCGCCGCAAGAAGCCGAGGGTCGACGCGCCGCCGCCTCCGAAGCGTAGAGCTTCTCCCAAAGGTGCAGCTCCTAAAAAACGGAAGACCACTCCGAGTGGAGGCGAGGCCGCGCGCCAACGCCTCAACGCGCAGCTGCGCAAGGAGCTCGCGGCCGCAAAAGCGCCGCGCGCGGCCTTCTACGCCGCGCACCGGAGTTGTTTAGAGCCCTTCACGTCAAGCAAAGACCTCGACGCTCTGACGAAAAAGGCCCAGCCACTACCTGATAGAGTCGCGCGCGTCCTCGTCCAGCCCGAGGCCATCAAAGCTGAATTAAGGGACTACCAGCTCCAGTCGCTCGACTGGCTCGCCGACCGCCACGAGCGCTGCGGCTTCGTCCCTTCTATATTGGGCGACGAGATGGGTTTAGGAAAAACATTACAAACTATTGCGTATTTGGCGTGGCTGCGCTTCGAGAAGAAGCTCGAGGGCGCGTCGCTCGTGCTGTGTCCTTTGTCGGTGCTCTCGACCTGGACCAATGAACTGAAGCGGTGGTGTCCCGAGTTACGAGTCTTACGCTTGCACTCGTCGGACGTCGGCGAGCGAGATCGATTGAGGAAGGAAGTCCTCGAAAACTGCGGCGAGTACAACGTCGTCGTCACGACGTACGAGATGGCCAAGAACGCCTCATTACGAACGGCCCTCGTCCAGAAGGTCGTGTGGAGAGTTTTGGTGTTGGATGAGGGTCATGTGATAAAAAACATCGACACCGAGATCGCACAGACGGTGCGCAAGATGCACTTCTGTTCCGTGTTGCTGCTGACGGGGACGCCGCTGCAGAACAACCTCAGCGAGCTGTGGGCGTTGCTGAATTTCCTGCATCCCGAGGCGTTGCCGGACCGAACGCCCTTCGACAAGGCGTATGACTTAGGCAAGGGTGTTGTGGACAAGTCCATGCTCCAAGCCGCACAAAAACTATTGGCAAAGTTAATGTTAAGAAGATTGAAGACGGACGTCGAGCGAGGCCTACCGCCGAAGCTCGAAACGGTCGTGAGCTGCCCCCTCGCGACGCAACAATTATTTTGGTACCGAGCTTTACTGCTCAAGGACCACGGGGCTTTAGCTAGAGTAGAAAAGGATGACCAAGCGAAAGGCTCGGGCGGCGCCTACAAGTCTCTATTAAATCTACTCATGCAGCTGAGAAAGACGTGCTGCCATCCTTTTTTATTTGCTGACGCGGAGGGAAATCCAGATGAGACGACGCTGGAGGAACTCGTGGCCGCGTCGGGCAAGTTGCGGGTGTTGGATCGACTCCTGGTGAAGTTGCACAAAGCGAAGCATCGGGTGGTGGTCTTCAGTCAGTTCGCCGCCATGGTCGACGTCCTAGATGATTACTGTCGGTTAAGGGGCTGGCCGTTCTGTCGGTTGACGGGCGCGACGAATCGGGTGAGACGCACCATCAACGTCAAGGCCTTTAATGAGGAGTGTTCTCCGTTATTCTTATTTTTGATGACGACGCGAGCGGGCGGGTTAGGCATCAATCTCCAGTCGGCGGACACGTGTGTCTTGTACGATTCGGACTGGAACCCGCAGGCCGACTTGCAGGCCATGGCGCGGGTCCATCGATTGGGCCAGACGAAGACCGTGCATGTCTATCGGTTGTGTGCGGCCGGCACGGCCGAGGAGCGCGTCTTGCAGAGGTCCCAGAAGAAGCTGTACCTGAGCGAAGTCGTCAATAGGGGCGACGACCAGAACCAGCAGCAGGAGTCCATGACGGCTTCAGAAGTTTTGTCTATGGTCAAGTTCGGTGCTGCTGCTATATTTGATTCTAAGAATCAAGCGGAGCCGTCCGACGCGGACTTAGATGCGATTGTCGACCGTTCCAGGACGGAGACGACGTCAGTAGGAAACCTCAAGGGCGAGCAAACGCACAACGCGTCGGACTTCGACGCGACCACGGAGGCGATCGACACGCGGAATTTATTTGGGTTAAGGGTCGACGCGGCTCCACAATCGATGGCCGACGTGGCGTCCGCCTGGACGGAAGCGCTCGCTAGGATGCCGGACAAGCGAGAACGCAAACAAAGGGTGCAGCTCGTCGAGTCCGAGATCGGGCTCGTGCCGGTGCTCGGCGAGAACGCGTACGACCTCGAGAACGGCGAGGCGTCGGTCTTTGCGAGGGAATTGAAGGGCCAGGACAAGGGCCGGTTCGCCGTGCAACATCGGAGGATGATTGTGGCCGGTCGCGACTACAAGCACGACGACCGGTGCTTGGCCTGCCACGGCGCCTGTAATGATAAGGTCAAAAAGTGTCGCTTGTGCCCCGTTGCCTTACACTCGAAATGCGCGGTCAACGGCGCGTCCGGCAAGGAAGCTCACAATGCGACGTGGCAGTGCCCGCAGCACGCGTGCTCGGTATGTGCTAAATCTACCTCCGCCGCGGGCGGCATGTTATTTCGATGCGAAGGGTGCGTCAAGGCCTTCTGCGAGGACTGCTTGCCTAGCGATGTCGTCGTCGTAGGGGAGTCGCGGCGGTACCTCGCGCTCGGCGCGCCGAGTCAAGCCATGGCGTGTTATATCCGGTGCTCGAAAGCTTGTACCGACCGCTTGGGCGCCGAGGACGCCCTGCAGCCGCCACCGATCCAGACGTTCGAGCCCTTGGATTTGAGTGAAGTGGACGCGCGCAACAAGACGCTCTTCGAGGAGTGCTCGGCGAAGGTCGGCGCCGGCGACGGTGGCGAGGACATTGACGACAATAAGCGGAAGGAGATCCTTAAATCGGTACGGTCTATTTTAGTACAAGAACTGTTAGATTGCGGTTCTGGCGACGAGTTTGGGACGGAGGGCGCGCCGCGCTTCAGGATCCGCCTCCAGTTCCACGGGTCGCGGCACGCGGCGCCCTCGGGCGAGACGGGCGGGTTTAGGGGCGTGGCCAAGCGTATCCTAGACGGCGTGATCCACCGGCCGCGCGCCGTCGCGGCGGCACTGGAGGCGTTGATAGAGGACGGCGAATTAGTACTAGCGCCGGGAGGGACCTCATACACTTCTGAAGATAAGCACGACGCGCGCTATGATGCTGGGTCGTTACTAGATGCAGTGAAACAACTTAGGACGACGCGCGTCCAGGCGCGGAACGCGGCGGCGTTGTCACTGGCGGCGAAGGCTTCATCGGGTATCGTGCAAGCCCTGCTGCACGACCCGGCGTCGGGCTACGCCATCGACGACACGGCCTGCCCCGTCGTGCCGCGGAACCGCTTCGAGCCGGGCCGCATGTGCCGGCTGGGCTACGATTGTAGAGGAAGACCTAGGACGCAGGGCCACGTCTGCTACTTGTTCCCGACGAGATCCGAGCGGGAACTTATCCGGGATGTACTGGGCTGTTTAGCGGGCGACGGGACGATCGAAGTGCTGGATGACCAGAATGCCTTGATCCCGGGCCCATCTGTCGCCTTACGCTGGCAGGAGGTGAAGGGACTCCGAGCGGCTCGGACGGCGGCCGTCGCGAAGGCACTCGAGGAAAGGCGCGACGCGCGGCGGTCGCTCGTCGAGGAGCGCAAGGGCAGGGCCCTGGAAAGGGTCGACGGCGCGGGCTGGGCCCAAACCACGGACCTCTTCGGCCACAAGGGCGACAAGCGGGCCCAGGACCAGGCCTTACTGGAGCTCGTCGCTGCCAATTCATTGGTAACGGCGTCCACCCAGAAGCTCGGGACGCGCTACGCGCGGCCCGCCTACGCGGAGCGCTACCCTCTGACAGAGTGGGTCGACCGCAAGGACGCCAAGGGTATCCACGGCAATTATAGAGGTGTGCACTGGGACCGCGGGGCCCAGCAGTGGCGCGCGCAGGATTTACAAGGTATTAGCGTGGGCTTCTTCGACGATCTGGAGGCGGCCGCGAAAGCTAGGGACGACGCGGTGTTCGATCCGCGGAACCCGGCGTACGCGTATCGAGGCCGGGCCCAGCCGAACATCCCGCGGGCCAACAGTCAACCGGTGCCGACGCTCGCGCGGCGCACGGCGCCCGTCTCGAGTTCGCTGGCGCCGCCGCCGCACGGCCACGTCTTCCCGGCGAACGGCCACGTCTTCACCGTCGGGCCGGGCTTCGGCCGTTCTTCTACGAATGGCTTCGCCCTGCCGCCGTCAGCGTTAGATCAACCCTACCGTTCGAACGGCCGGGCGCCGGCCGTGTCGGCGACGCCGCCGGCCAGCATCGGCCCGGGCTTCGGCCGCTCGGAACCGGAGAACGGCGACGGCCCGGCGCCCTTCACGATGCCGCCGTCGTGACTTCCCCTGTGTACCCGTGGTATAACGTATATATTTCGTGTCTCTGCTTTGCTTAGAGCTAGGCCACCTAGCCGCGAAGCCGCCGTGGGGCCTGCTAAACGAACGCCCCGCCCCCGCCCCCCATACGCCATCGCCCCGAGTGTTAGCACGGAGGCGACGACTGCGAGGGGGGAGCAGGCCGAATGCCGAAATCCAAAGGCCGCGACGGCGCATCTATTTCGTGTCAAGATCGTTAAAACTAGCCCCCAACTATAGCTCCGCCTTGTCCCCGACCTTCTCCAGCTCCCCGGCGCCCGTCAGCACCCAGTGCCCCGGCCCGGGCACCTCTACGCGGAGGCTCCCTTCGTCGATAGCTTTGTAGCCGCGGATCTTCTCGAAGGGTTTTGACGAGGGCAGGTCCGCGTCGGCGATGTCTGTGAAAGCCATGCCGGCGTTGGCCACGTCGGCGTCGCGCACGACGAGCGTCGCGTCGTCGCGCGCATTCACGATCGTGAGGCCCCCGTTCAGGGAAAGCGACTCGATCCTAATGTGCGGCCCCTCGAGCACCAAGGTCGCGTCGTCCGCGAGCTTCAGGCTGTTAGCCGAGACTTTACTGGAGACGTCGGCCTGCGTCAGCGCGAAGGACGGTAATAATACAATACGCGGCCCTCCATATAAACCCGTCAACCCGGACACGTCCCGCGTCTTCTTGTACACGCCCTTCTCGGCCAGACCCAACCGCGACGCGTGCGCCGCATACACTTCATATTCACACGAGCCCGCGGCGCCCGGCGGCTCGCCCTGCTTCGACGCGGACCGCGCCGCCTCGAGATCATTTTTGGCCGGAGAAAACGCCACGAAGCGCTCGAACGTCGTGAAGCCGACCTTCGCGGACGATACCTCCCTCCTTAATAATTTAGGATAGTCCTGCATCATGCATTCTAGACGAGTGGGCTTCTTGAACTCGCACTTCGCGGCGTCTTTATACTTGGGGTTCACAAATTCATCCACCACTCCGGAATCCTTGCCGTTGATGGTCTGGACGTACTCCTTCAGGCCGAGTACTAACACATTAGCATTGCCCGGGTAGGGCGAGAAGCCGGAGTCGTCGTTGACGTCGCCCTTGCCCGTGGCTGCGAGTAGCAACGGCTCGAGCTGGTTGTACTCCACATTTATAACTAAATCTTTTGATGAATCGCCATCAGTAGACGCCAACTTCGTAATCGCTCCGGCGGCCTCGCCCCCTCTCCTAGGGACGCACACGGAGTTCATCGCGAAGTTCCTTGAGCGAGACACACCTAGTGCCGGTAACACGGTATGCAACACAAGCGGATTCGTGTCCTGGAAGAAGAAGACGTGCTCGATGCCCTTCTGGAGCCACTCGTCGGCCGTGCCCGACGTCTTCATGAGGGCGTGGACGTCGCCGTGGCCGTGGGGCTTCGTGAGTAATTCCCACCTATCACTGGGATCGAGGGCTAAAGCAGCCGTCGCGTCTTGGAGTGCCGCGACCTTGTCCTGCTTGATGATCGTGATCTGGCCCGGAGCCGCGCCGAAGTCGCCCTTCTCCTTGAGCAGCTCTCTCGTTTTCGCGTCCGTGTCGTCCGAAGTCATGATAGCTAGAGGTATCACCAACGAATTATCCCCAGAATCCGTCCGCGCTCGGTCCTGCACGGCCAGCACGTAGTCGACGTACAACTCTAGAAAGGACTTGCCCGTGGCCAACTCCACCGGTAACTCTAATTTAATGCCTTCGTAGCCGAGGCGCTCGCCCAGGCCTCCCGCCACGAGCACAAAGCCCGTCTTCCGAGCAGCCACCAACCCCTCCTCCTCCATGGCCGCCATCTTCTGGCCTCCAAATGTGAGCGTCTCGCCATCAGGTATGGACGGAGAAAACCCGTCGAACGGGTTGTCGCCACGTTGCGACGCCTCGAGCAGTGCCCGTGCCTTGGTCACATAAGCAGGCAACCCACCGGCGTAGGCCGCGTCCGTCCGCCGCAAAGCTTCTCCTAATTTTTTTTTGCCCGCGTCGTCCTTTCCCGCGTCCGGCCAGCCGTCGAAGAGGTGGCCCTGGCCGAGTGCCGCGAGCGAGTCCAGGACCTTGAGCGTGGCGGCATCGAAGAGTTTCGCGTTGGCCTCCCCGACAAGTGTCGCGGCCGTCGCTTCCGCGGAGGCGCCGCCCGTCGCTTTAAGGGCCGCGCAGGACCGCTGCGGCGGCGGGTTCGGCAGCACGGAGCTCCGACTCAGCGTGTAGGTCGAGACGGACGCTACCAAGATGATGACGAGCTTGGCCATCTTGGGTCCTGCTCCGCGCGCGGCGCGGTGGTCCCTGGGGTCCGCGTGGAGCTGTGGCAGCAGCTCTTGCGGGCAGGGAGCTCGTGGGCTTGGCGCTTCCTTCTCTTGGAGTCGTGATCGCTGGTACGGCTCCGTCGTGCGATGCCCAAAAAACGAGCAAGGGCCGATTCCGCAGCCCGGGAGAGCGACGCCAAAGCACCGCAACCAAGGCTAGCGTCCTGTAAAGACACTAGCGAAATTCTACGCGTCCGGATATCATAAGTCACTGATGCCATTCCTCAAGCCACCCCTCAAGCCTCGCCGAGGTCGCCCGCTCGTGTCCGGGCAAGAGGCCCGTTGACAACAGCGCAAAGCGCAGCGCCGGCCGCACCGAAGCAACGACAAAAATGCATGAGGCAGCGTATAAACGATACACGCACATCGCGTCGCCGCCGTCGACGCGCCACGCACGGTTTCGGGGGCTGCCTCGGCGCATACCGGTTGGGGCTGCCCGACCACTGGGCAGCCCCGTGCCGCCGCGCCACCGCCGCGCCATCACCACCACAACACACACGCGCCGCGGCGGCGGTGCCGACCCCGCCGTAGCGATTGCGACGCGTACCCGCCGCGCAGGCCGCCGCGCGAGGAGTCCAAGGACGACGACGTCGTCGCGCGGAACCCCATCGAGGCGCGGCTGCTGGCCCGCGAGCGCGAGCGCAAGGCCAAGAAGCCGCTGACGGCCAAGGACCTCGACAACAAGATGGCCGAGGCCGAGGAGCGCCGCCAGCTCGAGCTCGAGGCCATCAAGTTCAAGGGCGCGCAGTTCTCGCGGCCCGCGCCGGGCCCGCGCCGGACCGTCGACTACGGCGAGGAGAAGGACTCGCACAAGTAGGCGCCGCCGCCGGCCGGACGACCCGTTTTTAATTTACTATTGTTCTTACGCCCAACTCCTCGACAGCGCGAGGGCGATCGCCGCGTCGTTCGAGCAGTCCACCGGCGACGGCGATCGAGCGTCGTTCGAGCAGTCCACCGGCGACGGCGATCGCGCGTCGTTCGAGCAGTCCACCGGCGACGGGTCCCCGCCGCAGAACGGGCATCGCTGAATCCGCCGACGAGCGCGACGGCGGCGCGCCCGCCACCGCGGCCGGTGCCGGACGATTTAGTTGCGTTATTGATGTGTTGTGAAACCGCTCCGGCGAGGAGGCCGAGGAGCCGCCACAGCATCACTCAACTTATTTTTATTTGCCAGTGTTGTCACTGTTGTGGCCTTGGTCAGAGTTCTCTACTACACATTGCACACCGTTGTGATGGCTAGAGTTCGGTCCATTGTAAGCTCTCGCGTAGTCGATCACAACCGTCGCGTACCGACTTACGCCGCAAGCCGCAAAAACGCCCTGGAAAACCCGTTTTGATGTCTCAATCCGTCGCTCGTGGAGGGGTAGTGGGACGTAATTAGCCTGAGCAGCCAGCCTGAGCCACTGCATTTACTTGGAAGTTACACCCCAGGCTCTCTACGGCACCGCCGACAGCAGCGTCGGCGCGATCCGCTTCTTCTTTTTGGCCGGCGGCGCAGCATCAGCTTCGGGCGCGGGCTCCTTCGCCGGGCTCTTCGCCGGGCTCTTGACGGGCGTCGGCGGCGCTAATAAAGTAGGCGCGATGCGCTTCTTCTTCTTGGCGCTCCCCGCGGGCGACGCCGGCGCGCCGCCGGGCGTCGACGGCGCTTGGGGTGGCGCCGGCGTCACGCCGACGAGGACGACATCATCATCCTTTTGCGGAGCGGGCGGCGCGCGCGGCAGGTCGTCGAGCCCCGCCGGGAGCGGCACGCGCGGCGGCGCGGCGCACTTGGCCCCCAAATCCCCGGGCTCAAACCGTAAAAAGGACAGGTAGCCGTCGGCCGACGCGACGATGAGGAGCGACGCGTCGGCGGCCCAGGCCGCGTCCGTGAGCGCGGCGTAGTGCAGGCCCGACGCGAGCGCGCGTGGACTATTGGAAGAGACGTCGTACACCGCCACCGCGTCGTGGGCGCAGACCGCCACGAGCGAACTCGATCCACCTTCAATGAGGGCGGGGCACGCTCTACAGGCCGTCGCCGAGCCGTCCGGCGAGGGTAAGAATGAGACCGGCCCCCGATCGAGCTGCGTTCTAGACAAAGTGACGCTGCCCTTGGCGTTATCTTTCGAGGCCGCGCCCGGCGTTATGATGAGCGACCCATCAGCCGAAGCACAGAGCCTCCGAAAGAACGACGCGTGCGCCGTCTCCGACGCGAAGAGGGCGCTCCTCGGTTTCGCTTTGGGTTCCTCAGCCGTCTTCTTGCCCTTCTTCTGGGGAATTTCGTGAGGGTCCGTCCACCACCGCACGGTCGTCGTCTTGAGGTTCTTCTTCGAGGCGTGCCATTTTGGGGGTAATTCATAAACCTTGAGCGACCGGTCCGACGACGCCGTCGCCAAGTAACTACCAAGAGGGTCCCAGCACACGCCTTGGATGTAGTGGGCGTGGTCCCGCAATACCTTGACGGGCCTTCGCGTGCACGTGTCCCAGACCGTCGCCGCGCCATCGATCGCTCCTGTTAATAACCACTTGCCGCACGGGCTCCACGCGACATCGTAGACGTCGTCCGCGTGGTTCAAATGGTCGCACCTCGCTCTTTCGTTCTTCTCGTCCAACTCGCACCACCAGGCCGCGTCGCTCCCACCGCGCCACAAACAGACCGTCCCGCGGTCGCCCGCGCTCGCGAGGCGACACCCGTCGGGCGCCCACCTGGCACAATTCACGGAGCCGTCGTGGCCCTTCGCCAAAGCTGACCTAAATTTCGGTTGCTCGTCGCCCGGCGCAATGCTCCAAATCCGGACCTCGCCGCTTCCGCCTCCTCCCACCGTCGCGAAGACGACAACTCCTTGACAAACGTCGGGGTGCGCGTCGACGCCCATCACGCGGTCGGACTTGCCTCCTTCCAATGAGTGGTAGCTGATCATGGGGTTGTGGACCTTCATCGTTGCTTTTGCTGGCGTGCGGCCGCGCGGTCCGCAATGCTAGATTTAAACTCTTTTAAACTCTGGCGCCGCGGCGGGCGTTTTCGCAGCGGCAGCGGTTGCGTGTCGCAATTTGAGGGCTGTAGAGCTGCTTTTGCGCCTATCGCACTTGCCGCGCGGGCAGGTATGCGCTCAAACTCGGCCGCGGAGCTTAAAAAATACCCGTTTTGCTTCGATTTTTACAGACCCGACCTCTCCAAGGACGTCTGCGTTTTTGGATGCCCTCCTAAAGCTCTTCTTTGTTCGCAATATATGTCTTGCGCGAAGCTCTATTTTGCGCTTTTTGCAACTGGCCGCTGCGCACCGAGCCGCAAATCACAGCGCTCCGAGTCGCAGCATCTCGTAGGAGTCGTCTGCGTAAAGTCGACGGCCGTTTTTTCGAAGCCACAGCATCGCGAGTCCTAGATTCGTCCTCGCTGGAGAGTACAAGCCCTCCGACTGCAGCAAAGCACATCTAAGCGTACCGGAGAAGACGCAGTTCTGCAGTAACCACTCCAGACCATGCTCTCCGCACGCTGCGCCGCGCGAGTCCTGCGCCGCGCCAAGCCCGCGCCTCTCTCGCGCTCCAAAAGCCAGGTCGTCTGGGCCGGCAACGACTCGTGGCGCCGCGCGCCGCCGACGAGCCGGTCGTTCACGAAGCCCCCGCTCGAGCCCGAGGTGCTCGCGGAAACACCAAAGCCGCCGGTCTCGGCCGAGGCGTTGGAGAGAGCGCGCACGGCGCACGACCGCGCCATGGAGGACTTCCGCACCGAGCTGCTCGCCGAGGTCGACGAGATGGTTGTAAGGGGCGCGCTGCCGAGGCTCTCCTCCGCGCAGAAGGCGCTCCTCGTGGACTGGAATCTAAGGTCCGAGTAATTACGTAAACGCGTTCGCAACACTCAACATGACGCCGTCCTCGAGGTCCCACGCGTACTGCGTCGCCTTCGGCAGGAGGCAGCAGTCGCCCGCCGCCAGGGTCAGCTCCTCGCCGTCGACGACGCCGCGCGACGCGCCGGAGCGCTGCCACACGAAGACCTCGAAGGGGCTGCCGCCCGTCGCGAGCTTCTTCGGGCCCGCGTGCGCCTGCGGCGATGGCGTATGAGTGTCGGAAGGCGATGGCGATGCCGGCCGCGCGAAAGCATCGGACGCCGACGCGCGCCTCGACGATGACCTCCTCGCCCCTATGAAGCAACATGGTCGACGACGGCTCTAACCCATCGAGGCGCGGCTGGAGCGGCTGCGGGACGTCCAGCGGCACGACGTCGTCGGGAACCAAGGGAGGCGCGGCGACGCGGCGCGGCGGCTCGCCCGAATCCTTCCACCGCCCATAGTCCTCGATGACCGGTTTTAAATCTTTGCCCAGATCTGAACAAAAGAAGTACGCCTCGTACGCGATTTCGTCGAGGTCGCACCGTCCACTCAAGTCCCGATCCGCGTCGAACCAGAGCATGCCGTCCATCTCCCCCTCGATATGGGACCGCTCGAAGACCAGCCCGAGCGAGGCCGCTTCTCGTTGCGGCGAGTGCGGCACGCGGGAAGGGAGCAGGAAGCAGTCGCCTCCGGTGACGCGGACGTCTTTGAACGACCCCCTTTCGATGGTCTTGAGCGTCAGCGTGCCCTCGAGCTGCGCGAAGAACTCCTCGCCCTCCTGCAGGTGGTAGTCCCTTCTTTGATTCGGCCCGCCGACGACCATGACCTTGAGATCCCCGCCAAACAGCAGCTTGTTCGCGACGGGCGGCTTGAGGGTCGGGCCGTGCTCCTTGAGCCACGCGTCGAGGTTCACGGCTTGCACGGCGAGCCGTCGTCTTGCTGGCTGCAGCAGTGGGCGCGCATGCCGGGCTGCTGCAACGAGCATGGTGGAGCGTGACGGCGTTTGGTTGCAGCGTTTGTTGTCCTCACAACGGACAGCAGTGCACAGTGATGCGATACGTGTGCAGAAGCACTGTCGAACTGCACTGCACGCTCCGAGTTACGCGGCTGCAGCTTGGCTTGGCATTGCTAGTGCCTTACATGACGCTAGCTTGGGCGTCCCGCCTTTTTTTCAGCTGCGGAGCGTCCAGAGATCTCGCAAGCAAGCTCTGTCGCTGCGCAGTGCTCCCATTCGCACCGCTGCCGCTCTGCGCGCTGCAGATCAGCCCTACGTAGCTGCACGATGGCGCATCTAGACCTCGGCATCGATGGCCTGGAGCCGACGCCGCAGCAGCTCAGCTGCACCGGCCTCTCGGAGGACATCGCCGTCGCGCCGCCGGCCACCGAGGAGGACATCGAGGCCATCATCGATTCCATCGGCCGCATGGAGATGGAAGAGCGGGAGACCGCGGCGGCGCCGCGGGGAGTGAGGATGGACACGTCGAAGAAGATGGGCGGCGCGCTCGGCGCCAAGCGCGGCAGCACGAAGCGGGAGGAGGGCGTCGCCAAATCGGCGCGACGCGCGCTCGACGAGCAAAACATCCGTTTACTAAGAGAGGCGATCATCGCCATCGGCGCCAAGGCCGCCAAGCGCCTGCTCAAGCGCGTCGTCGAGACGCAGCGCGACGGCGGGCTGGCCACGGCGGACGGCTCGCGCAAGCGCACGCCCGGCGGCGTCTTCTTCCATCTACTGCGCGACGAGATGACGCCGGAGGCCTACAAGCAGTTAATGAAGGCTGATAGCAAGCGCAAGAAGCGCGAGCTAGAAGAAAGGCGGAAGCAGCGGGAGAAGCGCGCGCGCGAGGGCGGGACTCCAGGAGGCGACGCGAAGCGGGGCCGCCGCTAGTTGTGTACTCTAAGCGTCTTTGTGCTAATCTGATATCTTTATAGGACTCAACTAAAACTCGTCCCGCCGGCCCCGGTCGGCCGTGTTCCCGCGCGACGGCGGCGGCCGGTACTGGTCGCGCTCGACGATGGCCAGCACGGCGTCCAGGGCCGCCGCGCGCCGCGCCTCGTCCGGGTGCGACACGCGCACCTCGGCGTCGTCGCCGTCGTCGTCGCCGTCGACCACCCTCACCCTACATCCCGAGTCCCGCTCGATGCCCTTGATCGTGGCGCCGCGCTTGCCGATGACGCGCCCGACGGCGGCCCGCGGCACCGCGAGGCATTCGGTAGTGTCATCCAGCTTCGCCGGGCCCGCCGGTCCCAAGACGATGTCTGCGGCGGCCTCGACGCGCGCCGCCGTCGCGTCGTTGATCGCGGCGAGGCGTTCCAAGGCTTCGGACCGGCGATTCGGGCTGAACGCGTCCGGCGAGTGCGGCGAAAAGACGGGCGACGGCGGCGACCGCTCCGGCGAGTGCGGCCGGCTGCGAGGTCGATGCCGCTCGACCTCCGGCGACGAGTCGACCATGTCCTCGCAGCCGGGCCCCGCCGCCCAGGCCGGCGCGCGGCCGTCGGCCGCGATTCGGATGCGCGCGACGGCGTCCGGGTCCGGCGCGAAGGACGGGTCGAACATGAACGGCACCCGTCTATAGTCCAACCACCGCTGCGCGTAGCCTCTATCTCGCGCGTGGTCCATAAATCTATCGTTCGAGACGACGAAGGAGCCGTGCGCTTCCGCGTGCCTCAACAGAAACCGGTCGTCCGCGCCGCCCGGTGTGGCGAACAGCAATTTAGAGCGCTGCAGGGGCTCCGTCTCGGGGTGGTCGTCGACCCAGCCCCGCGGCGCGAAGATCTTGAAGGCGACGTCGGCCTCGATCAAGAACTCGACGCAGAGCCGCAAGCCTTCGAGGGCGCACTGGCGCCTCGTTGCAGGATCCTTCTCGTAGTCGGGAACGTTCGCCAGGGCCACGTTCATGCCGTCGACGACCACGTTGATGTTCGGGGTCGTTCGACGCTTCGTCGCCACCGCCTCGGCGAAGGACGGCGGCCGGTGGTTCGCGTCGCCCGCGCGGTACTGCGACGAGGCGCCGGCGCCCATTGCTTGTTTTTGGCTGGCTGTCCCGGTTTTTTGCTGGCTGTGCTACTGTGCTGCCCCACTGCCCTTTGCACAGCAGCACCTTACTCGCGCGTGCGTGCTGCCTCAATGCTTCGGCAGTAACCAGACGTCGCCGCGGCGTCGTTCGAATGCGTGCTGCGAGCTGTGGCGCGCGCGCGGCTGCCCAGGCTCTGTCCCAAACTGGCGTTGGCTTTGTCTGGCTAGTGGGTCTTGGGTCTAGCACGGGCGGCCTTTTGGCGATGCGGGGAAGCACAGTCCACGGCGAGGCCTCCCTCTCACGGCGTTGACTCTCGGTGACGACCGCGATACGCCGAGCGCACATCGGAGACACCGCGGCGCCCCCGGACGATCACACTTACATGTCTTAGTACTTGGTGATGGGCCGGGAATCACGTCCCCGGCGACTGCGAGTCCTCCTCGCCCAGGGAATAGCGGAACCGCGAGAAGGGCTGCTGCCGCCGCCGCGCGACCGGGCTCGCGGGCGGCATCCCGCGCTCGAACTGCTGGAAGGGCCGCCGCGGCGGCGGGCTCGCTTCTGCAGCGCGCGGCCGCCGCGTGCGGTCGAAGGCGAAGGCGGACAGGTCCACGGGCGCCGGCCGCTTCCGCGGCGGGTTTTCCTTGTCGGGCGACGGCGGCGGCGCGCGGCGCTGCGACGGCGCGCCGAGGCGGAGCTTGGTCGACGGCAGCATGGGCCGCGGCGGCGACCGGCTCCGGGGGCGCGCGGGCGGCGGCGACCGGTTTGTAGGAAGCGCCGCGCCGTCGACGCGCGCCGGCGGGACAAAGGGCCGGAAGACGCGCGCGCGCGGCGGCGGGCTCGCCGAGAAGTGCGCCGACCGCGCGCCCGTCCGGACCGGCGGCGGCGACGGCGGTTTTGGGGGAGGCCGCGGCTTTGGTGGTGGCGGCCGCGGCGGCGGCGCGCGCGGCCGCGACCGCACGAAGGCGTCCAGGGTCGTCGTCTGGGGCAGCTCGGCCGTCGACGCGAGCCGGTACGTGCCCGTGCTCCGCTCCAATGTCAGATGCGTCTCCGGGTCGAGGCGCGCCGCGGCGACGCCCGCCGCGACGCGCTGGGGCAGCGGCGCCCCCAGGAAGGCGAGCGACCCGATTTTGTCGGAGACGCCGCGCGCGAGCGGCGTCAGGTAGCACGCCGCGTTCAACGACCGGTCGAAGACCGTCTGGTGGCCGAAGGTCAGGACCGCGCGCTCGAGCTTCTGCGCGTAGTCGCGCGGCACGGTGTGCTCGAACCGCAGCGCCCGCAGCACCCTATCAAAATCTCGGTATCGGCCCACGAGCGCGTGGGCCTTCTTCACGCCGACGCCATCCACCGATTCCGCGTAGTCGCAGCCGGACATGCAGCACATGAGCACGAACATGTCGTGCGTCCAGCCCCTTATAGAAATCGCGTTGACGCCCTCCGGCGCATCATACAAGTCCTGGAGCGCAATCTCCTTGGCCTGGCCCGTCGCGTCGAGCTTGAAGAGCGTCCGCGGCACGCCGTACGGCAAATTGTCGGAATCCTCGCTGATCACGCCGTCGCACTGGCCGCTCCGCGCGAGCTGCGCGAGCTGCGCGTCGGCCTCGTAGGGCGCCACGAGGAAGTCGACGCGGTCGCCCCAGCGCGCCTTCGCCGCGTCGCAGAGCTGCGCCGCCATCGCCGGCGTCACGTCGACCGCGGCGCAGAAGGCCTGGCGCGCGGCCTCGTGCGAGTCCTCTCTTAGTAATTGGTGCGCCTTGCGCCGCGCCGCGTCGCGCTTCGCCCGTCGTTGGACCTCCGTCGCTTTTTTGGCCGGCAGCGCGCCCCCGTCAAAGACGAGCAGGGGCCGCACCCGGTAGTGCAGCAGCATCTGAACCCGCGAGAGGCAGAACTCGATGTGCTGCGTGCACGGGAGGCCCCGGCCGAGCTCCGTCGCGCAGGCGTGCACGCCGCGGTGCAGCCACGCGTAGCCGTCGACGGCCAGCGTCTTGTGGGCGTAGGCCGAGACGTGGACGTCCCGTGTGGAGCCCCGGAACATGGGGAGGAGGCCTTGGATGCCCATCTTTGTGTTTTTAGGCCTTTCTCTGTGGTGCGACGCTCGTCAACGTGTGTGGCGGCAAGGCTTTGATTTTAGGCCTTTTCCTGCGGCGCGACGCGCGGAAAAAAGCCGCAGCAGTGCGCCGCAGCCTCAGCGCTTCGCTGCGTCCGTCACCAACGATCTATGACCGCGCGCGCGCGCAATGCATGTCGCGGCTGAAAAGCTGTTTGCATTGCTAGTGTCTTACACGCCGCTAGCACTAGTTATTTTTGGCATTGGACAAGGTCGCAGCACCTGAGCTCCCGTGGCCCTCGGTCGAGATTACCGCGTCACGTTTTACGTCACGCGCGTGACTCTCCGGCGGCTCAATCAGCCCAAGTCCTTTGGTGACCAAAAGCGAGGCGGTCCTGACGCGACGGGACATGAGAACCGGCGTCGAGCTCACTAGGTCGCAGAAGGAGAAAGAACAGCGCGAGGAGTCGAAGGCCGACGAGAGCCCGCCGCCCGACGCGCCGAAACCGAAGGAGCTCGAGCGCCGGCCCGTCCTCGCGCTCGCGCTCGTGTCGTTCGCGGGCTGCGCGTTGCTCGCGTCGGCCGCCGTCCTAATTGCGTGGGCCTGCACCGAGGGCAACGACAGTTACGAAGGGCATCATATGGACGATTATTAGCCGAGATGGTCGTGCCGGCTGATGTGGTCCAGGCCGCGCGCGATGGCGATCTCGCCGTCTTGGAAGCTTATTTCGCGTCGGAGCCGCGCGACGTCGACGATGATTGCGAAACTGTGCCGGGTAGGACGATGCCCGTTCAACTTCTCAGCATTGCGCTCGCCCCTGACTCTCCTGGCATTGGGGACGACGAGGGCAAAATCAGAGTTATAAAACTGCTGTTAACTCATGGCGCTGATCCGAACCGCCGAAATGGATGGGGTTATGTGCCGCTTGGTTATCCCATGTCTCGTTGCGAAGTCAATGGCACGCCACGGTTGGTTAAGCTCCTATTAGCATCGGGATCTGACGTTAGAGTGATGGGCTACGAACGGAGTGGAATTACGACTTCTTTTGTAGGGTTGCTACTCGACGATCCCGCCAGAGTGCTGATCACGGGGCCCCGCCCGTTCAAGAACCACCTCGAGGTGCTGAAGATGTTGCTGCGAGCAGGCTCGTCGCTAGATAATTGCAAGGCTGGGTCTGTGATTCACGGACCCGCGCCCAAGGATGCCGAGTGGTGCATTCAGCGTGCCGAACTTCATTCGCATGTCGCGTTGGCTTTGGCGGCCGATGCAGACTGGGTCGCGATGAAGGCCATCGTCGCCGGCGTCCGGCGCGAGGGGTCGTGGAAGGCCTACTGCCGCGTCGAGCACAAGCGGCTCCTTCGCCTGAGGAGTTATCTGGTTCGCGGCTACGCAGAGACGACGGACGCCCGCGTCGACCGCATCCTCCGGCTGCCCAACGGCGCGTGCTGGAATGTCCTGGCGTATTGGCGCGAGGCCGCGTAAGTACACTAGTAGCAACACACGCGATTACACGCCTACGACTCCTTGAGCTTCGCCTGGCAGAATTCCACGAACTCGTCGAGCAGGATCGGCCAGGACGACTCCTCCGCGTCCCAGCCTGAGAATTCGGGCGCCTCGCCGACGGCCAAGCTAAAGTCGAGGAAGGAGCACCACTGGTCCCGGTTGAGCTTGAAGTCCTCGGGTTTGGTGCCGAGGAACTCGAGGAAGAGCTGCGTGTGCCGCGATCTATCTTCCACACATAAAGGTAATAAAGCTAGCGCCGTGTCCCGCTCCAAAAAGCGCTTCGTCCCCTCGCGATTGAACTCGAAGCAGAAGCGGAAGAAGGGCTTGAACTCCGAATTGTCCAAGAAGTTCGGATCTAGAGAATTCCATCCCGCCTTGAGCACGCTCACCGTTTGCGCCTTGCCGTAGGTCGGGAGGTGGCGGTTCTCCGCGAACCGGGCCCACTCCTCCTTGGACAGGCACCCGGGCTTCTCGGCGCCGAGGCGCCAGCACATCGCCAGGAGCTTCGTGTCCGACGAGGGGTCGATCCCGAGGTCGTCGGCGAGCTGCGCGAGGCCCTCGAAGGTCACGACGCCCTCGTCGGCGTCGGCGTAGACGTCGAAGTCCAAGGCGCCGCCCTTCTTCTTCTTCGGGGAGGCGGCTTTTTTGGGTTGTTTCGGAGACGCGGCCTTCTTCTTCGTCGCGGTCTTGGTCTTGGCCGCGGACTTGCGCTTCTTGGGCGCCATGGCTGCTTGTTGACCTGCGGTGGGAGTCGCGCGTCGACGGCGTGACCGATGCGGTGGTTCTGCGCCCGTCGCGTCGCCGGCGCGGCGTGACCCTCGTGCAGCTGCAGGTGGTGTACTCGGGCGCTGGCGGCTCACCGGTTTCGGCAACGCGAGGAGAGCTTGAGAAGGACTTGGAGTACTGCCTTTCGCTCCTATGCAGGCTCCAGCACGGGCAAAACGCGGCGTACGCGCGTCGACACTCCCTGGCGAAACCCGTTTTGTTTGAGTTTGAATTTTGGAAGTGTGCGAAGCCCCGCCAGCCGTCCGGGGTCACGCAACATGCTAGAGCGAGAGTTTCAAAAGAAGCACCGGGGCTAGTGACACCCTGGGCTCACTCTTCGCAGCGCCGCGCCGCCCGCGCGTCCGCCAGTCCGGGCTCTTCCCAGGGGTTAGAGAACAACATGTTTACCACCACCACCAATACGGCTCCGCCACCGTCCGCCGGAAGGCCGGGTGCGCGAACGCGCGGTCGAGGTAGCCTCGGAGCCGCGACGCGTCGGCGGGGATGTCGAGTTCCTTGCGGATGCGAAAGAGAAACGGGAGCAGCACGCAGTCGGCGGTCGAAAACGCGTCGCCGGCGACAAAATCGCGAGTAAGCCGCGCATCGAGGTCGCGCAGCGCGCGCTCCAACTCGGGCGTCGAGGCCTTGCCCGAAAAGACGGCGTCTTTGCCAGAGCGCGTGATCGGGCCGTCGCAGTGCGCCACGGCCCACGCGGCCGCCGCGGCGTCGCCCGGCGCGAGTTTCTCCGGCGCGAGGGCGCCGACGCGCTCCACGCACTTCGTCGACTCGCGGAGCGTCTCGTCGTCGATCGAGAGCACGGGAATGTAGCCCTTCGGCGCCAAGCCCGCGGCTGCCTCGACGGCTTTCAGGTCCTTCTTCGTGAAGCCCTTGCTGCCGTAGAGGTCGACCTCGACTTTGTCATGTTGCAACCCCGAGTGCTCCAGCGCGATGGCCACTCGTTGGGCGTAGGGGCACATGCGGTTCGTGTAGAGCGTGATGGCGCTGCTCATCGTGTGCAGCAATGCTAGGTAACGCATTAGTGATGGCAGTGATGCACAGTGCAGCGTCGAAGGCGTACAAAAGGCTCACGCGTCGCCGGCGTGAAGCTGCTGCTGCTCTACACCGCGTGCAATGTCGCATACACTGCACAGCGAGGTGGGCAAAGCTGCATTTTTGACAGCTAGCAGTTGTAAGACACTAGCAAGCAGTCGTTTGGGCATCATTCGGTTCGCTAATGGTCCAAAGAGATCGATACGACACTTACTGGGGGGCGAAAAAAATACTTTTTTTTACTCGCGAAATTGACGACGCCGCCATGGCGGCCGCGTCGATGGAATCCTGTCGATTCGTGGTCCTGAGGTCTCCCTGGGGTCGCTTTTTGGTCGTTAGTGGTCGCGTGCAATCGCCTACGCCGCCTACGCCGCCGCTTCTAGAGTAAGGTACATCTCCATGGTCCTTTGCGCTCCAGAGCTCTGGACCATGATTTGCCAAAGATTTCGATCCAGAGCTCTCTGGAGAGCCCCAAACGCTGGCGCATGCGGCGTAGGCGACTACCCGACCCCAGACCTATCCCGGAGGGAGTCCAGGAGCCGATCTGCATCCGAAAAAAGTGTGCAATTTGGGCCCGATGGCGCCCCGTTCCCGTCAAAAACGTCAATTACCCGAGGCCCCCCAGTAGTCGCCGTAGTGGTCTCGTCGGACCCCATACTACCCCAGCGATAGTCAATTACAAGTATATGACATCTACATTATAAGAAGGGTACCTCGGGCAGCCCACGCTCGGGACGTGAACATCTGCATCTGGACCGCGCGCAAGTCGGTCGATCATGGAATAAATGATCGCGTCATGGTCCATGGTGATGGTACACGGGCTGATGGTCCCAGGTTTAAGTACTTTGCCCGAATTAGCTAGATAGTGGGCTCGCGGCCGAGCCGAGCCGCGCGGAGCATCGTGGGGTCTCAAGCAATGTAGTAGCCGCTCAGGCCGGTTATCTGGCCCGTCCCACTACTAAAGCGCCTGAAACGCAAATTTATTTTATAAACTACCGGTCTGGGGCCTTTCCCGCCCTCCGTCTACGCACCGTCGTCCGCGGAGAATGGGCAAGTCGGTCGATCGTGAATAGAACAACGGCGTTATGGTCCATCTGGATGGTGTCGTCGCTGATAGTCGCGGATTTAGGATTGAGCCCGTTTACGCCATCGACGCGGGGTCGTGAAGATGACGAATCGCGAGGCTCTAACGGAATATCTAAAATAGCTCAGTGGGCGCTGATGCGGGTTAGATGGACTCTACCACTAACAAACGGAAGGAAACGAACATAAACTCGGGAGTTGTCTAGTAGAATTCTTTTCCCGCCCTCCGAGTGCGGGCCGTCGGCTCCGGTTCCGTCTGATATGTATGAAAACTGGGCTGGAGTTGATATAATGTACCATTTGGACGCTAGAAGGCGGCGTCAATCGCTGGTGTATTTTGGCGATCCGTAAGATTCATCCGCGAATGTCGCGGTGGGGCGGTGTCTTCCGGGAGCAGTTAGGGTATGTTCCCGGGCCGCTACTCTGAAATATTTGGTCTCGGCGAACGACTATGATGAATTGTGAATTTGGGGGCTTGTTTATATTATTAATAACTAGGCGGATCCAATGCTCGGGCTAAAAATTTCGCTTTAGCTAGCTTGTAAGACACTAGCAAGCAATGCTCGAGCTCCAGCCTCCAGACCGCAGCGATTTCGAGCCGTACACGTGCTGCCAGGATGGACAAGGCAGCCCAGGAGCTCGCGGACACGGAGGACCGCCTGGCCAGCGATTTACAAGTGCTGAGCGACGTCTTCGTCGGCCCGCTGCGCGCCTGGGCGCCGCAGGTCAGCGCGGAGTTGCCACGCTTGGAACAGACGCTCGAGCGGCTCTTCGGTCCATTGGATGAGGTCTGCGCATCCTGCGGCGAATTCGCGGCGGAACTGCGCGAGGCCGGCGCGACGGCGACGTGGGCCGAGTGCTTCGAGCGCCACGAGACGCAGCTTGCCAGAAGTTATGGAGCGTACGCATTAGGATATGCGCGCGCCTGGCAGGATTTGGCGGCGATGCGTTCTTCTTCGGTCGCCCTGGACGCCTTCGCGCGCGCGTGCGAGCTGCAGCCGGCGAATCAACGGCACTTGACTCTAGCTTCACTGGCCATCATGCCCGTGCAGCGGCCGCCGCGCTACGTCTTGCTGTTGGGCGAGCTGGGCAAGCGCCTCGAGAAAGCAAACGCGGATGCGACGAACGCGTGCCGAGCGTTAGAATGTGCGAAGCGCGTGGCGAAAGCCGTCGACGAGAACGTCGAAAGGGAGCACGCGCGGCGCGCCTCGACGTCGCGCGCCGCGGCGAATTTCAAGAAATGTGCAGAGACCGAGGCCTGGGGCGCGCTGAACGCGGTCCGGGACGGGCCCCTCTTACGCATCACGAAGCACGGGCCCGTCGACGCGTACGCCGCGCTCTTCGACGACCGGTTGTGCTACGGCGACGCGAACATGAAGGATCGGGCCCTTCAGAAAATGGGCGCGGCGCCGGAGTCCCCTGGTAAAGAGGAGCGCTACGTGCTGCACCGCACGCTGAAACTGGAAAATGTCTACTGCTGCCGGTCGGCGACGGAGTCGCGGGGCGGCGCCGGCGACGCGCGCGGCCTGGCGCCCTGGGAATTACTCATAGTGTCCGCGCAAAAAAGCTTTGTATTGGGGGCGGAGAGCGCCGAGGCGGCCGCGGCGTGGCGCGACGTGATTAGCGACGCGGCATCAAAGCGCCGCGCCGCGCTCGCCGTTAAAGACGCGCCGCCGCGCGCCGTCAAAGCTTTCGTCAAGCGCGGCGCCGAGACGCGGGCGACGGACTTTGATATCGTGGGCCTCGCCGGCGATTTGGTCGCGCGGCCGAGCGGCGCGCGGCGCGACCTTGGTCCGAAGATCTCGCACACGTCGCACACCCTGGCTCAGACAAAAACGATGCCGCTGCCGCGGCCCCCTGGGTTGGCTCCGCAAACTTATGAGGCGGAGCTGCCGCCTCCCTCATCGCCGCCGCCGCCGCCGCGGCCCCCGCCCCTGCAATTACCAGATACAAACGATGACTTCGTGGTCACGGTGCCCGTCGACCTCCAGCGGGGTTTAGGTTTGGAATTGCGGAACGGCGCCGGCACGGTGGAGGTCGCGGCGCTCGCGCCGGACTCGGTCTGCTCTCCCCAAGTTCGGCCCGGCGACGTCCTATTAAGTGTGGGCGACGAATTTGTACAAACGACCGAGGACGTCGTCGCGAAACTGCGCCAGCGCCGCGCGGACGCGGCCGTGTCGCTGAGGCTGCGGCGGTCGGCGGCGCCCTCCACGAACCCGTTCATGCCCGGGTCTCCATTGATATCGCCGCCGGTATCCCAGGAGCCGGACGCGGCGTCGTGCGAGGACCTCATCCAGAACGTCGTGGCCATGGGCTTCGGCGAGCACGACGCCATGAAAGCCGTCGCCGCGGGGCGGCGCAACGTCGACGCGGTCGTGAACTGGATTTTGGATAATGGCGGTCCCGTCGAGGAAGACCCGGACCTGGCCTTCGCGCGGCGGCTCCAGGCGGAACAGCAGTCGCCGCGCGGCAGCAATCCTTTTGATTCTGGTCGGCAGCCGCACGTCGCGGGCAATCCGTTCGCGTAAACTAGTTTTGTGGTATTCCTAATTACGCGCTCCGCCCTCACAGGCGTTGCGCCCCAAGCATATAGATCACGGCGCCGGCGGCACGGCGACGCGCCGCTTCTGCGCGACGCCGATGCCCCGGCCCGACGACGCGTAGTAGTAGCCGCCTTCATTGACAAAGATGGGGACAATTTCATCTCCAAACGAGCCGTCATAAACCACAGTTTCGCCGTCCCTATCCCTCCAGAGCGGGTCGCCCTTTCTTAGGGTGGACCAGTCCCGATCTTGGATCGACTCGTGCGGCACCGCGGCCGGAAAACCATCATCGTCCACCGGCCAGCTCAGCTTCGTGAAGCCCTCCGCGACCGAATAAACATCGATTTCAGCCGGTAGGTCGACGCACTCGCCCTGGCACTCTTTATTCCATAATTCTAAGACCGCATCTAAGGCTCTTTTGGTCGCATCGACGACGTCCCACCGGACCACGCCCTGCGGCGTCGGGCCGACCTCGATCTGCAAGCCCGCCTTGCCGACGGAAGCTAGATAAGGCGCGTTCTCCTTGTCCTTCTCGTCGTTAAACATGATCTTGACGTCTTGGCCGAGCAGCAGTTGGTCGTCGAGTTGCTGCTTGACATACACAGCGGCTCGCAGCGCGAAGGGGCACCACGCATCACAAATCATCGTCACGCCCATGTTTGCTGTTGTGGTGTGGAGGTCGATCACTAGGTCCGCGGCATCATCGGATCCCTTCGGACCCAGGGCGGCGTCGACTTCCCTTGCTCTCAGTGCCTCCCTCGTTTCAGGCGGCGCGTCGAGTTTGGATCGTAAAAAGCATCGATTCAGATCCTCATCTAAAAACCGCCGGTTCGCCTCCACAGCAGCTGGGTTGCCCACTATCGTCTCGCTTTTATCTCTCAACGCCTTCTCGAGCCAGACGCCCGTGTACTCGTTGCCGTGCGTGCCTCCCACGACGACTACTCTATGTTTTGCAGCGAGGCTCACGCAGCGCCTCGCCACTAACATCGCCGCGAGGCTCCGCCTCAGCATCCAGCCTTGGCACAGCTGTCCTCGCGCAGTCGCTGCTCGGAATTGTTGCTGGCAGCGCAGGGTTGCACGCCTGTGCCCGAATCACACGACCGCGTGCACTGCAACGCCCGTTGCTGCGGTTTTGACGTCGAGTTTAGCAAAATTTAGTGCGTCAATACGCTAGCTAATTAATGACTTTGGCTTTGCCCTGAATGCACTGAACCGGGTAGCACCCCCCAGATATCATCGACGCGACGTAATGGCGGCCCGCTAGCTCTGCACACACCTGCTGAAAAGGCTGCCCTGAACGGGTAGCACCGCCCAAACGCCATCGACGTGATGGCAGCCCGCTGACCGATGCGTTGGAGCGTCGTGCTGGTCGTGGTGGCCGAGGCCGGCAAGCATGTGTACCGCGCCGGAAGCGCCCCGACGATCAGCCACAACACGCTCGTGAAACGAGGAGTTATTCTCTGGGCGCACGGCCGATCGGCAACGGACACGTACTGCCTGACCCTGCGGCGGTCGGCACGAATGAACTTTTGTCGGCACATGAAGGAGGGCTTCAACACGAAGCACGCGTCCGGTGTGTTATTGCGAAAGAAGCGCCTCGAACGGTGCGGCAAGGACGGGCAACTGCTGACCCACATAAAACCGAGCCACGTGCGCAATTCTTCTAGGACAGACGTGCGCTCGCCCGAGGACTTGTTTGCGGCCGCGCGGGGCGCCGGCTTCGAGGTCGTCGTGGCGGTCTACCGCCACAACGCGCTCGCGCGCGCCGTGAGCTCGTTTGAGATTCATAGATATGCGGGGCTGAAGCGGGAGGACTCCGGGACGCTGGCGGCGCGGCGGCGAGTGGCTCAGTGTCCGTTCCTTCTTCTTCGACACGGCGCGTCGATGGCGTGAAGCTGGGCCCGCGTCGCGTCGATGGCTTTCGGGATGGCCCGCGTCGACGCCTAGACGTCTTCGGTGTGAGGATGACAGTGGGAAATGAGCTTCACTGATGTGGTCTTCATGCAGACGTCGACGCGATGTGGCGCCGCCTCGACGCCGTCGACGCGGCCGCACGAGAGTCTACCGCGGCGGTTTCGCGACGTTTCCGTCCGACGCAGGCGCGAGGCCAAGCTCAAGCAGCGGGCGTCCGAGGACTTCTGCCACGCGCCCGGCGCGCTCAAGCGCCACTTCGAGACGGAGCGCGACTTGTACGACCGCGGCCTGCGGGCGGCGCGCGCGAACGGGCTCAAGCTTTTGAGGTTTTCGTTCGAGGCTGTCACCGGGGACCTCTGCGGCACCATCAAGAAGACCACGACGGCTCTAGGGTGCGAAACGCGGTGCCGCTGCCAGCCGACGCTCTCCAAGCACCAGCGGACGTCGCGGCGCGACCGGTCGCTCGCGGGCCGGACGTCGCCGGAAGCCGCGAAGTGCATCACGGCGGAGCTCGCCGGGGACGTGAGGTACGAGTGGATGCTGAACCTCTCGGCGACGCGGCCGCCGAAAGTCGTCGAGGAGTATGAGAGGCGGTTGCGGCGGGCGGGGGAGGTGTAAGTATCTATGTGTTTTTATCTCTCGGTCGGCAAAGGCGGCTACAGGACCGCACAGGACCAGTACCGCGCGGCCGCGCGCCGCGAGGGTCGACTCCGGCGCTTGGACGGACCCGGGGCGACTCGGGACCCCTGCTACTCCTAGGCGCTCTACCCATGTACCATCGGACGCGTCCGGCGGGTGCTCTCCCTTCAGTGCGTCGACTGCAATCGCATAGCGACGGCAACAAACGCGGCCGCGGAGGGCGCGCGGCGCAAACTGCCGTCGGCTTAGAGCAATATCATGCTTCGCGGAGTGACCCTCGCAATTTTAGCCGTCGCGGCTAGCGGCTTCGTGGCGCCAGCAGCACCCAAACAAGCGACGGCTTTAGCGGCCAGCGGGAGCCAAATCGCGTACCGCATCCGACGAAAGCGCATCGCCAACCAGGTGCGCGACAGCGCCCACCATTCTTTGCCCGCGAAACTGCGGCTGACATGCTTCTCCCCCGCAGGACAAGGGCCGGTTGCGCCTGAACGTGTTCCGGTCGAACAACCACATCTACGCCCAGGTCATCGACGATAAGGAGGGTAACACCGTCTGCGCGGCGTCGACGCTCGACGAGAGCATCAAATCGGAGAACCCCAAGGGGAACGACCGGTCCGCGGCGGGCCGCGTCGGCGCGCTCCTGGCCGAGCGCGCCAAGGCCAAGGGCCTCGACAAACTCTACTTCGACCGCTTCTCGGGCAGCCACAAGTACCTCTTCCACGGCCGCGTGAAGGCGCTCGTCGACGGCGTGCGCGAGGGCGGCATCACGGTCTAGGGTCGTGATTTCAAGGGACTTCGCCGGAAGTCGACTGTGTAAATTGAATTCACGTACATGAGTAGTGCACGGTGGCGATTCCTAGTAGAGTGCTGCGCGGCCCGAGCCCTCGGCCTCTGCCTGTGGCAGCCGACCCCCTCGCTGGCTCTGCCGTGTCGCACGCGCGAGGCTGTCATTGCACTTGTCATCAACAACACGGCAAGAACCACTCGAGACAGCGACGAATTTCGAAGCGACGAACCGAAAAACCGCAGACAACACAAGTTGCTCTCCCTAGTCAGCAGAGACCATGAGAGTCCTCCTCCTCGCAGCGCTACAAACGAGCAGCGCCTTCGCGCCGCCGACGCGCCCCCTACACGTCACGAAACCGCAGCGACAAACATCCGTCCAGGCGTTACCGAGCTTGCCGGGCTGGGTGCCGTCGCTGCCGGCGGGCACGGGCCAGGTCGCCGGCGACCTGTCCTTGTTCACGGTGAAAACATTAATAGCGTGGGGCGTGCCGGCGTTCGTCGTGGCGTTGGTCGTCTTTCCTTTAGCAGATGCCATTTTTGGCGGAGACGACGAGGACCGAAAGTCACAGTTGGAGGGCGGGGCCTTCGGCGACGAGTTCGCCCTTGAAGATGAACAACCACAACCTCCAGGACTGCCCTTCGGGCGGAAGAAGCCGCGCCGGGCGCCGAACCGACCCAAAGCGCCCCAGTACCTCAAGGTCGAGAGATTGAACGAACGGCTCGAGTCCTTCGAGTTCTCGCTGGAGAGTGCGTCGGCGGGACGGTACGCGGCGCGTAAAGCGCGGCGCAACCGTAGATTAGGCAAGGCCTTTGGGGACGAGCTCGGGTTGGCGGGGTTGTCGGACGACGGTCCGCGGCCAGTGTTTTTTTGTCTTCAACGTGTCGCGGCGACGGCGTCCCGACGCATACGCCATCGACGCGGCGCCCCGCGCAGCCCTCGACGCCGTCGCCGACGCTGAAAGAGACTACCTCAAGAAGTCCACGGAAGCCCGGAAGAACGTGCTCGTCGCGCGGGCGACGCTCCGCGGCCTCGCGGCGGCGACGAACGCGACGTCGGCCGAGAACGCCACGGCAGTCATCGAAGAAAGCGGCCTCGGCGCCAAGGTCAAGAAGCTCATGCCCTTCGGCGGCTCCCCGAAGTCGAACCGCGACGACGCTTTAAATGCCTTAGCGGACGCGACCAAAGAACAACAAGTCGCCGAGCTCGACTATTTGGGAGTTGTGGCTTCGCACCTGCCGGACGACGTAGCTAGAAGGAGACTAGGGCAATTAGCAAGTGAAGGGCGCGACGGCACGCTCGAAGGAAGCTTGAGTGACGCATTATCCTTCCTGCGCAACTCCACGGAAGCGAAAAGAGCGTATGTTTTACAGTTTGATGGTGATCCAGCAGCCTCCCAAACGGCAAATTTGAGGGAAGAAGTGACCGCAGTGTTGAAGACCGCTGATGCTTCGCGAGGCGACGAGGTCGTCCTCAAGCTGACGACGGGCGGTGGCACCGTGACGGGCTACGGCCTCGCGGCTGCCCAACTGTTGAGATTGAAGGACGCCGGACTCAAATTAACGGTGTGTGTAGAACAAGTTGCAGCTTCCGGAGGCTACATGATGGCGTGCTGCGGCGATCGCATCATCGCGTCGCCCTTCGCCGTGCTTGGGAGCATTGGCGTCATCACGGACATTCCTAATGCGTATGAGAGGTTAAAACAGGAGGGCATCGAGTTCCAGACGGTTACTGCTGGGGATTTCAAGCGGACCGTGACCCCTACGAAAAAAGTGACTAAAGAAGACCTCGCGAAGACCGAGGCCGACATCAAGGAGATCTTTTCATTGTTCAAAAAATTTGTGAAGGGGCAACGGCCATCTCTGGACATTGAAAAGGTCGCGACGGGCGAGACGTGGTTCGGGCAAGATGCCTTAGATAGGCACCTTTGTGATGAGTTGCGGACCTTCGATGATGTCAAGCTCGACTTGTTTGAGGCGGGTGCTGAAGTGTTGCAGGTCACGTATGCGCCGCCTCCTAACACTCCTCTGGAAGCTTTGCTGCAGCCGGCGGGCTCCGCGTCTTTAGTGGAACTGGCGAAGGCGGCCTTGCCCGTGCTCTCCTCTCTGGCTTCGTTGGATGTCAAGGCCGGCCAGCCGCTCGCTCTTGATGCCGATATTAGGGACCGCTACCGCCTCCAGGACGACCGCTGGATGTCCTAGGGTAACAGACACATAGTTAATTCGTGCGTCGCGGCGACGGCGTCTGCCTTGTCGCGACGCGCGCCGGCGCCAAGCGAACACAAGTCCCTGGACAAGGACCTGAAATCCGCCCCACCGCCGCGCGGCAGCCGCGGCACCAAACGAACACACACACAAACAGAAAGCTAGGGCAGCGACGCGCTCGCGCCGCAGGCCTCGCCCGCCACGCCCCCGCTCGACCGCGGCGCGAGGATGCTTGCGCTCACGTCGGACATGTCGCAGAGGTGCCGCAGGACGCGCTTCAGCGCCGCGACGCCGATGTCGCCCGTGACGGCGCTCGCCTCGACGACGCGCCAAACCCTGCCGCCCACGGCGGCGCAGGCGTCGACCTTCGACGCGGCGGCCGCGAGCTGGGGCAGAACTTGCTGCGCGGGCGCCGACCCCGGTACGTCGCGCTTGTTCACGACGACGCAAAGCGGCACGGTGCGCCCGAGCTTGAGGTTCACGCTGTGGAGCAGCTCGATCGGCACCGTCCACTGCGTCGGCTGGTTGGCATCCACCACATAAACAACAGCGTCGGCGTCGGCGCCGTCGTCGCTCGTGAACAGTTCGAACTCGGCGTCGCCCAGCGCTTTGACGAGCGACTTCGTGCCGGCGTGCGGCGCGCCGTAGACGAGGACTTTTGGTCGGGTGCTCTGGGTGGCGCCCATGTTTTTTGCACCGCTGTGAGGAGCACACAGATGCTGCTGTTTTTGGCAGGGCTGCAGAGATTGACAGTAAGGGTTTCGTACGCGATTTGAAGCTGCGGAGCTGGGCACACAGATGCTTTCACGATTCTAGCAACACCGTTGGGCCAGCATGTGCAGCAGCATGCCAAAAAAAAAGCATGGACCATAAAAATCGAGTGGGTAGCGGCAGTAAGACACTAGGGAAAACGAAATATACGTGACCAAGGCAAGCAATCGTCGAAAGAGGACTCCCGACGAGTAGAGACACCTCAAGGAAACACGACCCGATACGACACCAGCACCCTCACAACTCTGCTGCCCCTTCGGACCACCTCGCTGTAACACGCCGCCGGCGCACCGCCGGCGCACCGCGACCGCGCCCCAAGGCCGCAGCCTACCCACCATATCCACTGCACGAAAGAGCGCGCCGCGGGGCAGCGCCTCGGCACCTGTGCCTCCTGAGGCATAATGGGCGCACAAGCCCCGCCACCGACCAAGCCCGCGCTGAGGACCAAGCCGCGCCCGATCCCAAGCGAGCTGCGCGCCAAACGGGACGACGAAGTCAGGGAAGAGTCGTCGATCGTCTGGCGCGCCGAAGACGCCGCGCGGCAGGCTCTACTGCGAAGCCAGCCTTTAATAAGGCGCCTGAAGCACAAGGCCGAGACTGCGATGAACGAATTGAAAAGCACCTACGCCCTGCTCTTCGGCGAGCGGGAGAGGGAGACGGGCGAAGTGGAAGCCGTCCGCAAGTCCCTAGGGCGGGGCGACCACTTCCACGTCTCCGAAGTCCTGTATCACGCGCTCGAGAAGACTTTGGAAATGAACGAGCGCCTTGCACGCATGCCGCCGCGCAAGCAGGCCGCGGAGGTTGCGATTGATATTGAAAGCGAGGTCCGGAAAAAGATCGAAACGGGGTCGAAAATAGCGCCGGCGCCCGACGAAGAGGAGCAGGAAAGTGTAGCGGTGGATGTATATCGGAGCGCGATGTTATCGATCGTGAACGCGCGGCCGGCGCCGCCCCAAAAGCCGCGCGTGAAAGTCCTGCGCTTCTCGCCCGTCCTCCGCGTCTGCGTCTACGACAACGTCGCGACGCTCACGCACCAGGAGTGGTGCTCTTCGACAGACATCGTCTACAACAAGCGCCTCGCGGCCGCGCTCCAGAAGAAGCTGGGCGGCCGGCGGCGGCGGCGCTGGGTCGAGGGCGACGAGGAGCGCCTTAGTCAAGAAGCGGGCTTCGCGTCCATCGAAGCCTGGGTCGATGGTGTGAACGGGCGCCCGCCGCCGCCGGCGTCGCCGTTTCTGTGCCTATGGAAGAAGGCGCGCGCGCCGGCGGACGACTAGGTCGCTTGGGCGCTTGTTTATAGTTGTCTTTCTGCTCCCACGAGGCGCCGTCGACGCGTAGATGCTCCGGTCGCGCGCGCGCGCCTGGGCTCCCTACCGTGACGCGTAGCTCGCGACCCCGCGGCCGTCAGAACCGTCCGCCGAGGTATCTCGCGCGTGCCACGGACTGCATCGCGCGGGGGGAATTTCCCCCAACGGGAATTTCTCATCATCGAGCTGTTCCATTTACATCCTTGGCATATCGAAGCCTATTCATCGCCGTCACAGCGAAGGATAGCACAAAACCCCACGAAGTAGCTAAAGGGGCAGCCCCGCGCACACAACAACACTCGCAACCATGGCCGAGGTGCGCCAGGGCGGCTACACGGACCGCGTGACGGACATGTCCGGCGCCGTGGGCCTCAAGGACCCGCGCCAGATCCAGATGATCATGAACGCCGAGGTCAAGCCCCTGAACTGCTGCGGCAACTGCCAGGCCTGCCTCTACTGCTGCTCGCGCTTCGATTTGGAGCGGTCGTACCTCTACGTGCGCGAGAACTCGATCGAGAGCAACTTCGCCATCAGCCCGTGCTGCGGCATGTGCGGCATCGAGTGGGACCACATCGCGGTGACCTACTTCGACCGCCCGCCCTACGCCGTCTGCTGCGCCGACGGCTGCTGCGAGAACTGCTGCGCCGGCCGCCAGGAGGTCCGCATCGTCGACTCGGGCTGCATGTGCTGCTGCATGAAATGCTGCTCCGAGGAGTGGGTCTCCGTCGCCACGCCGAAGGTGCCCTTCCCCTGCTGCTGCATCCCGAACGAGGTCAACTTCCTCATGAACTCGTGCGGCCTCTGCGGCCCCGTCACGGGCAACCCCTGCTCCAAGACCTTCTCCTTCCCGCAGCCCATGGACGCCCAGGCCTACATGACGGCCGTCAACTCCGTCCTCACGACCTTCGACCGCCGCGGCGCGCCGCCGGCCGCGGACGGCGTCGAGGGCGCCGAGCCCATGAAGCGCGTCTGAGTTATTTGTGCCCTTCCCCCCTCCCCCCTCGAGGCCGCCAAGGGTCTCCTACTAAAAGTGCACATCTTACAGTCCCCCCGCTGCGTGCAGCTCCACGCCATCGCCGCGCCGAATCGCCGCGCCGCGCCGATGGCGTGCCGTTAGGGTGAAAGCACCCATCCACGCTGGCGCCGCGCGAGGAGGGTTTTCGCTCCGCGCGGCGTCAAAGCTGGCCCGCCAGGACCCGCGCGAGCTCCGCCACCAGATCCGGGTCCGGCGGTCGTCGTAGATGGCGCCGCCTCTGTTCAACGGGCGTCGACAGCCGCGTGTCGCACCGACTCGCCGCGCCGCGGTGGCGGCGCGCCTGCTCGGCGTTCCGCCGGCGCAGCTCGATCCTCCGCGCCGCCCGATCCTCCTCACGCCGCGCCGCCAGCGCAACGCGTGCGGCAGCCGTCCCCGGCCGGAGCCTCCGCTCGGCGCGCACCGGCGACCTGTGCACAAATCAACCAGTGAGTCTCGGCGATGCAGCAGTGGCGGAGACGCGCCGCGACGATTTGATTTATGCACTGCAGGAGACGCGGACCGGCGCTGCCGCCTCGATTCCCGCTCGCTCCGCCGCAGGTCCGCCCGTCGCCGCTCGCGCGCGTCGATGTGGCGGGCCCGCGCCTCGCGCCGCGCGACGATGACTATTTCCGAGTGCCTATGAATAATCTGCGGCTTCGTCGCCGCGAGTCGCCGCCTCATGATTCTGTTGTGGGCGCGGATTCTCGCCGCGTCCGCCGCGCGCGCGACGCGGCGGTCGCCGTACTGCGGCGTCGGGGGCGGCGTCGCGTTCGTTGATGGCGTCGGCGGCGGCGGTGGTCGGTCCGCCGCCGTGGTGCTTTTGTAGCGGTCCAGGTAGCTCATGGCTGCCCCAATGTGCCAGTCGCCGTGGTAGCGATCGATGCGAGCGCCCGAACCGTCCTCTCGCGTCCTCGCGCGTTTTGCTCCGCGGATGCGCTCCGATCTCGCAACATCCGCAGCGCCGGGCGATGTGATTTCGCCAGCCGTCTTCTGGCGTCCCAGGCCCTCCGGAGGTTTGCAAGGAGTCGTAGGAAGACCAAAATCGGACCATCTCACAACGGTGACCACGTCGCGTCAGGGCTGGACTTTGTAATTTGACGCCCTGCGGGTGACTTGCGAAGGGCGCCACGGAAGATGGCGCGGCTCGCAGCAGCAGTATGTTTAAGCTGCGCGAGCGCGATGGTCTACCACAACCCTACCGCTGTCCAAAGCCGTCGGACTGGCACCAGTTTTTTACCTGTAAATTGCAGAGCGGCAACTCAAAGGAAACATTTGCAAAATTCGTCGCACGAACGCATCGCGAGAGAAGCGCGCAGCGCGACGCTATAACGGTGCCCCGGCACCGCTCCTACACTCCTTTCAAAATCTGCCGCGCCTGTCGCGTCGTCTGCCCGGAGAAAAAAGTGGGTCATCCGCGAGCCGGCCTCGCCGGCCGCGCGCGCGCTGCGAGCGGTCACCTCGTGAGCGCTGGGTGCTGTCGCGCCACGCTGCGAGTTTTTTCTCCTGGAGAGAGCCCGTCGCCGCACACACTAGCGAGCGGTCGCCCGGAGCGAGAGAGAGTGGTAAAAAGCGCACGAAGGTCACACGAAACGCCCCGCGCAGGATTCCACGCTCGAGCGCGCCGAGGCGGGCAACAAGATCGAGCAGGGCAAGCTCAAAAAAGACCCGACGAACGCGTGGACGGACCTCTACGACTTCGCAGCGAAGATTCGCGCCGGTACCTTAGATTATTCCGAGATCGAGGACTTCGACATCAACTCGCGGCTCAAGTGGACGGGCATTTTGTCGAGATTTAGGCGGACGCCCGGGCGCTTCATGATGCGGTTGAGGATCCCGAACGGCATCGTCAAAGCCGACACTCTTAGGTTGTTCGCCGATACCATCGAGCCGTACGGTGATGAATTAGGAGTGATGGACATCACGACGAGGCAAAATATACAACTCAGAGGCTTGACGCTCGAGGACGGCGCGGATCTCACGAAAGCTTTACATGCGGACCACAACATGACGTCGTTCCAGAGCGCGTTGGACAACGCGAGAAATGTCGTCGGAAGCCCGTTAGCCGGGTTGGACGATTTGGAATTGGTAGACACGCGGCCTATTGCCAATGCGATCAACGACCTCATATCGTTAGACAAGGAGACGGGCGAGCGGGGCAACCCGCAGTGGGGCAACCTGCCGCGGAAGTTCAACATTGCCATTTCTGGGGGGCGTGATGATTTTGCTCATACCTATATAAATGACATCGGGTTGGACCCGGTGCCTCATCAAGATGGAAGGATTGGGTTTAACGTGGTGGTGGGAGGCTACATGTCCATTAAGAGAGTCGCCGAATCTGTGCCTCTGGGGCTGTGGGTGCCGGCGGATCCGTACTCGGTGACGGCGTTGTGTGAGGCGATCTTGAGGATCTTCAGAGACGAGGGCAACCGGAAAGATAGACAGAAGGCTCGGTTGATGTGGTTGGTGGAAGATATGGGCGTCGAGGAATACAGTAAAGCCATTAAAGCCGAGGTCGAGTCCTACGGGCGGGGCGTCGTCCTGGAGGAGGCGCAGCCCCACGAGACGGGCGCCTTTGAAAGGCGGGAATTGCTCGGAGTGCATGCGCAAGCTGATGAGGGCTTGAGGAGGGTCGGCGTGCATGTGCCCGCTGGTAGATTAAGTGTCGAGGAAGCGAGACACGTCGCCGATCTCGCGGATCGGTATAGCGAGGGTGAAGTCCGACTCACCGTCGAGCAGAATTTTATATTACCGAACGTCCCTGCTGACAGCATTGATGCCTTACTGCAGGAGCCTGCTTTAACGATGGGCCGGTTAGCCGTCGACCCGGGAAACGTCAAGGGCCCCATGGTTTCGTGCACCGGCGCGCAGTTCTGTCCCTTGGCTATTATTGAGACGAAAACGGTCGCGGAACGGGTCATGGCGAAGGTCGACGCGCTCGTCGAAGCGCCGAAGCCCGTCCGCGTCCACTGGACGGGCTGCCCGAACTCCTGCGGCCAGGTCCAGGCCGCGGACATCGGCCTCATGGGCGCGCCGGCGAAGCGCAAGAACGACGAGGGCAAGATGAAGGCTGTGGCAGGGGCAAATATTTTCCTCGGCGGCACGATCGGCGAGGGCGGCCATTTAGCTTTAGATCCGCACATGAAGAACGTGCCCATCGACGACGAGGACGAGATCGCGGGAGTCATCGCCGGGCTGATGAAGGAGAACTTCGGCGCCGTCGATAGAGTGGAGGTCCCGAAGGAGGTGGCCATGTCGCGGTAGCCTCGGTCAACATGCACATACGTACCCTGTTTCCATCCCCCATATATTTAAATGAAAATAACATGAGTCCCGTCGGCGGCGTTGGGGGGAACGTGTCTGCGACACACGCGTTGATTTTCCTAGTGTCCTTATGCAGCTAGCTGCGACAGCCGACGTGCGACGGCAACCACAGCCGTGCTGCGCCTGCGCGTTCCTGGGCCATCGCAGCGCGATCTTACTTGAATTGCCAAGGGCGCTAACTGCCGCGCACCATTGCTTGGGCCGTAAAAAAACCGGAGAGCATCTCGTGCAGCTGTGAGTGCATCTGCAGCACATAGCACAGAGCGTCAAGCAGGCCCGTCGGTCCTCTGGTAGCTAGGCGGCATAGCTCTAAGAAAAGCAAAATATACAATGGCGCCGTGGCGCGCGGCCGCCGTCGCGTGCTGCGCGACCGCGGCCGCCCTCACCGCACCCGTGCTCTCGCGCCACCGACGACACGCGCGCCGCGACGCCGTCGGCGACGCCTGGGCCGCGGCCGTGGCGGAGGAATTCAAAGATGGTTCCCGAGACGACGCGCACGACGACCTGCAGGCAGCAGCACAAGTCCGCGACGCCCTCGAATTGTTAAAACCCGAGCTGATACGAGCCTGGGACGACGACGACGCGGTCCTCGTCGAGGGTATCGACGCTTTTGATGGATGGTTCGGCTTGAAGGAGCTCGAGGCGGCGTGTAGTAATGGAGAGGTCCGCGAGGCAGGGAGAGGAGTTTTAGGCGCGGGCGGCGCGTGGCAGATGGCTAGAGTTGGGGTGAAGGACGAACCGATCACGTACGACGACGTCAAGGGTGTGCTAGATGCGTCCCAGACCGTTGTTTTGAACTCATTGGACGCGACGTGTTCGAGGGTCGCGGCATTAAGTTTAGCGTCCATCGACGCTTTTGGGTTGCCGGTGTGCACGAACGCCTACGCGACGGGCGCCGGCGCGGCGACGTCGGCGCCGCCGCACACGGACAAGCAGCGCGTTTTGGTGTTTCAGTGCTTCGGGCGGAAGCATTGGAGGGTGTGGCGGCCGCCGGATCAATCAAAGCGGCCGGAAACGGACCCGCTCGCGCGCGGCAAGGGCACTGATGTATTATCATTCGACGAATTCGATGACGAGCCCGTCTTAGACGTGACCCTACGACCGGGCGATGTACTGTACGTGCCGGCGGGCTGGCCCCACACGACGGATACGTTGGACTGCGCCACTGATGATCCGTCCATACATTTAACTTTAGGCGTGGACACGCACGTCTGGGGCTTGGACGCGGTGACCGTTGTCGACGCGGCCGGCGCGGATCATCAATACAGAGGTTTCACGAACGACGCCCCCGCGGATATTTACTGGAACCGATTGCGCAAGACCCTGCCCTGTCTGGGCTGGCGCTCTGATGATTCGTCGCATGGTGCTATTGCGGAGGCGCTACAGGCGGTCACTACTGATTCTACCTTTGATGCCGCGGAGGCGTCGAAAAAAACGGTAAAACATGCCTCAAAGACGACGAAGACAATACGGGACCTCTACGCGGATGTTGTGTTTAGAACAACAAAGGGCGCGACGCCCGCGACGCGGCCGGCGCCGCACTTCGCGCGGCTGGAAAAGGCCATGGACGGGTTCCTGGCGTCCCTCGGGTCGCCCATCGCTGCCAGCTCACCTTTTAGCGTGGGCGATAAAGTGAAAGCGCCCATGGTCGGCGTCGACGAGTTGTTTGATGCGACCGTGGAAAGGGTCGCGCCGGACGGGACCATCGACGTGCTCTTCTTCGACGGCGACCGCGAGTTTGGATTAGATCCGGCGTCGGTGCGCAAGCTCAAGAAGAAGAAGAAGTCAAAGGTGGTTGCGAAGGGCCTTGGTGGCGGCGGCGCGAAGAAGTCCGCGAAGAAGAAGAAGGTTAAGAAGATGAGGTAGTCTCTAGAGTAGTTCGGTCAGGGGGGTACTCGCCGCGACGAGTGGGGAGTTTCCCCCTGTTATACTGTAATCGGAGTGAGTTATGTTAGACAGGGCTGTGGGGGATAGAAGCTCCGTACGCCGACCTGGCGGCGACCAGTGCGCGCTTCTCAGCAACTCCGAGCGACAGGGGAAAGACGACCAATCTCAGAGGCAGCGCTGCGACGCCGCGACGGCCGCGAGGAGCTCGAGGACCATGGCGTTGTTCTGGTTCTCATCTTTGCACTCGAACTCGGCCTCGGCGTCGACGTCCGTCTTCTGCTTCTTGGCGTTGTCCAGGCGGAACGTGACGGTCAGCGAACGCTTCGGCGTTGCGGCGTGCGAATGCGTCTCCATGGCCTCGATCTCCATGGCCTCGACGGACGACGAAGTCTCGACGCTCTCGCAGACCTCGCTCAGCTCGCGGCAGAGCTGGAACTCCGGCGGCGGCGGCACGTCGGCCGACTCGTCCGGTAGCGCGGCCGTCTTCGGCGGCTCGGCGTAGCGCCAGTACCAGGGCTTGCGATCGTCCGGCGGGACGCCGTCGCCGGCGAACGGCTCGTCCTGGAGCGCCTCGTCGTGCTGCTCGCCGTCGACGTACTTCACACTGAGCTGGATGGCGCCGTTGATAATCTTCTGGCCGACGACGCGGCCCTTGTACCAGACCTTGTCGCCCGCCCAGTAGACCTCGATCCAGCGGCCGAGGAGCGCGTCGCGCATCGGCGGAGAGACGGCCTCCGGCTGCAACAGCACGTGGTTCTCGAAGGCGTTCTCACCGGCACCAGCGCCTTCGCCACCGAACTCCGTCGTCCAGCAGATACGGTCGTCGCCGCAGCCGTTCCCGACCGTCATGAGCGCAACACAATCGTCAGCCGAAGGGAACGCCTCGGGCGCGAGGTACTTGCGGACCTCGTCTTCTTCCAGATCTTTCTCTTCTCCGACGCGGCGACCGGTCGTGAAGGCCGCCTTGTAAAGAGCTGCGGGCTTGCCGTGGATGTCGAGGAACCCCACTCTCGGCCGCCGGCAGCCAGCCGATCACCACCGCTCGACCAGCTGACAACACGAGGGGCCGCGAGCAGAGGTCGCAGCCCGACGGGTGCCACAACGGCTCGACCACTTGCGTGGGCTTGTAGTTCTCGTCGACGACGACTGCCGTATGTGGCGACGCCTTCTTCTTCTTTTTCTTCTTGAGCTTGGGCGCCGCGGCAGCGGGCCTCTTCTTCGTAGCTAACTGAGGACGCTCCGCCTCTTCTTGCGGATTATAACGCTGTGGACCGCGAGGATTCGTACCGAGCTCGACGCGGTCGACGACGCGGCAATTCGCGCACGGCACCTGGAACGAGCGCCTCGTCGGTGCGTGGCCGCAGTGCTTGCTGTACTCGCCCAGGCAGGACATGTGGAACACGTGGCAGCACTTGAGGACGACGTCGCAGTCGACCGACACCTCGTGGTGGCAGATCGTGCATATTTCCGTCAGCTCCTCCGTCGGCGCTGTGATGAGCGGCGGCGGCGGCGCCGTTGGTACTTCAAAGGTGGTGAATGATTCCACCAAATGCCCGGGGGCATTCGTCGGCACCGGCTCGACGAGATCGAGACCGGCCCGGGGGCTTGTTAATGGGCGACCGTGGCCAGGACAGCCGTCGGCACTGCGGCGACGGACGTTTGAGGCGAGAACGCCCGTCTCGCACGTACCACAGTCGTCGTAGAGGATGTCGTACGTGACGCGACGCGACGACACCCGATGCACGGCCTTGACGACGCCCTTCGACCAGAGCTCCTTGGCCTTGCGCACGACGGTCTTGCCCTCAACGAGGCCGTGCCCGTAATGGGCGACGACGGGGTCGCCCACGTCAAGGACCTCGTCCAGGGCGCTGGTCGAGACGTGGAGCGGGCCGGCCGTGAACCGGACGATGGCCGACGCAGACGCAGCGTTGGCCACGGCGTCGCCGTCACCCTCCACGACGCCGCCCGTCGCCCCTACCACGACGTCGTCGACGTCGCGCGCCTCGACGTCGTCGACGACGCGCGCCTCGACGACACCCGCCTCGACGCCCGTCTCGACGTAGAAGATGGTGTCGTCGTTGTCCTCCTCCTCCATGGCCTCGGGGTCGTCCTCCTCGCCGTCGGCACCGCCGCGCGTCGCCTCGACGCCCTTCGTGCCACAGCCCTCCGCGGCACCCTCCTCGACGACGACGCCGCCCTCGGTGCCGCCCGTCGCCGCCTCGACGCCGTCAGTGTCGAGCGGGTCCTCCTCCTCGTCGCCCCCGCCGCCCTCCTCGGCGTCGGCGCCTTCCATCTCGACGTCGGCGCTCTGCACGTCGACGCCATGCGCGTCGGCATCGGCGCCGCCATTCTCGGCGCCGCCGCCAGCAGCGCCATCAGTGCCGCCTGTCTCAACGACGGGCTGCTCCTGGCAATCGTGAGCGGCCTTATGGCCGCCCGTCGCCGCAGCGACGTCCTCGACGACGACTGGCACGTCGTTGTCGTCCGTCGCCGCCACGTCCTTGACGATGGACTTGTCGTCGTCGTCGCCCATCGCCGCCACGACGCTCTCCACGTCGCTCGGCTTCGGCTCGGCCTCGACGAGAGGCGGTGGCACATCGTCGACTTTCGCATCGCCCCGCCAAGCCAGGTCCAACGTGACGGGCGCAGCATTGAGCCGCCACGCCGCGTAGGGCGGCATCACGACGCTCCGCGGCGACGTCTCCGGCTCCGGCGCCGCTTCGATGCTCCGGAGCTGCTTGCGCTTGATCTGGGCCGCCAGCAGCGCTGAGGTCGCGGCCATCGCCGCCTCTTCCTTGTCGCGCGCCCTGCGTACCTCCTCTGCGAGCCGCGCCTGTTGAATCTTCTGCGCCTGCTCCTTCTGCTTGCGCACGGCCCTCGACTGGGCCAAAACCCTTTGTGAGGCTTCGAGGCGCTCGCGCTCGTCCGCGGAGTCGCAATCCTCTAACAGGGGCATGGGACCGGGGTCGGCCTCGTTGTCGTCGTCGTCGTTCATCTTGATCAACATGTGCTGTGTTTTTTGTGTTGTGGCCTACGGGGGCCTTGCGCAGCTTAGATTGGCCGCGCGGCGCCGCTGAAGCCTTCGCCGGGGTCTCTGGGCTGATTTGCGCGCGTGCGCTATGTCAGCGGGGTCCTCCTTGGTGTCTCCTTGAACTTAGCTTGATCCGACCGCCCTAGCGCTGAAGCTCTCTCCTCGCACCCGCACGAAAATGAACCATTCTGGAAACTATAGGCCTGCTCAAGAACCGCCTTTACCGTCGCTGGGGCGTCAAGACGACGCGGTTTCGCCCGGATCAAGATCGACGGCCTCCGGCTCGTCGGCGGGAACCCGGACTTCACCAACGCGCCCGTGCACGGCGACGACGACACACGCTTCTAGGACCGGCAGCAAGCTTACGTACACGCCCACGGGGGATAGCTCCCCCGTCACCCCTCCCTAGGCGCGCGCCCCCGAAACCCGAATTGACTATAGCTATTTCCTCTGGAAACTATAGGCAGACTATTAACAGTATCGACAGACACCCCCCACGTCTCCTTTCTAGCGCTTCAGGAACGCGTAGAGCAGGGCGACGCCGAGGCCGGCGAGGACGTAGTGGCGCTTCGTCGCGGACGCCTCGTCGCCGAGGACGTCGCCGAGCTTCGAGACTTCTTCGGCGAGGCGGTAGCGCAGGGAGATCTTGCCGACGTGGTACTGCTTGTAGAGCGTCAATAAGTTGCGCTCGAGGCACGCCACCGTGACCCTTCCAACCAGCGGGATGTACGTGTAGTCGGCGTCGTCGCCCTCCTGCGCGTCGCCCAGATTCTTGAAGCCCGACACGTTCACCACCACCGCACCCTTCTTGAGCGTGGCCACGGGCAGCTTGTACTGGGGCGACGGCACGCCGAGGACGACGACGTCGGCCGCCTTGATCGCGTCGTCGGGCGTCACGTCCGTGCGCGTCATGCGGCCCCGCTCCATGACGTAGATGGAGTCGATGTCTATCGAGTAGACCGTGGCGCCGTCGTTCGCGAGCATGGCTGCCAGCGGCCGGCCGACGACCTCCGATCTATTAACGACGGCGACGACCTTCCCGGCCATGCCGCTATCCTTGGCGCCCGTGTGCTGGCCGCAGTGCTCGAGGCACTTCACCACAGCTAAAGGCGTGCAGGGGACTACACTTCTACGCCACTTGTCGACGCGCCTCACGTTCCTATAGAGATTGTCGCGGTACTTCTTGCACAGACCTTCCACGTCCTTCGTGGGCTCGATGTTGTCCCTCAACTGGTCGTCCATGGACCCTCCATAAAAAGACGGCTCCGCGCCGAAGACGGGGTAGTAGATGAGGATGCCTGTGTGCAAATCAACCAGTGAGTCGGGTGCACCGCCACGCTATCGAGCAGGCGGCGCGTCGATGGCGTGGAGGTCGACGCGACGATTCCGCACGAAGGCGCCGTGAAATTTTGAATTATGCACAGGAGGACGCCGTGCACGCCCGCGTCCTCGTTCGCCTCCTTCAACGCTCCTTCTAAGTCGCACGCTTCCACTTCTTTGAGGACGTAGTCGATGCCGTCCTTCGTGCAGGCGCGGCCCGTCCACTCGGCGTACTTGCGCGCCGCGGGGTCCTTGTTGGCCAAAAACCCGACGAGGCGCGGCCGCGCGCCGGGCACGATGGCGACGTCTTCCCTAATCTGCTGGCGCAGCGTCTCGGCGACGACCGACGTGTCGATCTTGTTCACTGATACCGGCATCTCTCCTTTTGACTGTGGCGAACTTGGTTTTGGCGGAGCTGCTCACGCCGGGAGCCGAGCAGTTCTTCTAGCGGCGCGGTGTTGGCGGCGCTGCGTCGAGCTGTAGTATGCAACGCACAGGTTCAGCCCCGTGCGGCTCAAACAGCGACCTCTGGTGGCCTTTTTTGGAGTTTGCCTCTCAAAAGTCTACTGCACTGTAACACACTAGAAAAAACAAGAAAGCTTCTACTGGTCGAGCCGCCCCGGGGAACTCTGGCGCGAGACGGCTAGACGACAGGTGCGAAAACGGAGGACAGAGTCGATTTTACAGCCTGGCGCAGTGGCAAAGTGCAGTAGGCAAAGCGCAGCAGCGATTCACTTGTGCGCGCGCGCGAGAAGCTTTAATTGCTGGGCCAATATAGCTGCGAACGCTTGCGCCACGAATAATTGGTCGCACACGGATCTAGCACAGTGCACTGTCATTGAGCAGCTGTGACACGGCCATCGTCGCGGCGCGAGATAGCATAGAGATAAGATAAGCATGGCCGACGCCGCCGCCGAAGCGATAACAAAAGACGCGCCGTCGCTACTACAATGGCTCACCGGCGGCTCGACGACGTCGACGGTAGCATTACTCCTGTGCGTCCTCTTCGGCGCGTATGCTGCCTATATCATCACGAACGAACCCGAAAGAGACGGCACGCACGCACCAGTTAATGAGGAAGACGACGAGGAGCCGCCGCGCGACTTCACACCAAAGCAACTCCGAGAATTCGACGGCAAGGACGAGGACACGCCGTTGTATGTCGCCGTCAAGGGCGACGTGTTTGATGTTTCCGAAGCGAGAAGTTTCTACGGTCCGGGTGGTGGGTACGCTTTATTTGCTGGCCGGGACGCGTCGAAGTGCCTCGCGACGATGTCCCTCGAAGAGGTAGATCTGGACCAGCCCATCGATGGGTTGAACCACGGGGAGCGGGAGCATTTGGACGAATGGCATTTTAAGTTCAAGGAGCTGAAGGGCTACCCGATCCTTGGAAGGCTGGCGACACCGCCCTCCACCAAGGTTATCTCGCGCGCCGAATTGTTAGAGAGGGGCACGGGCACCTGCGCACCATCTCCAGGAAGATGCTGCGCCGAGCACCTGATCGGCGTGCGGGGCAACGTCTACGACGTGGGCTATGGCGGCGTCGGCTTCTATGGGGCGGGCTGCTCGTACCACCTGTTCTGTGGCAAGGACGCATCTAGAGCGTTGGCGAAGATGTCCTTCAAGCCCGAGGACGTTGATAGAGGATGGCCCGATTTAGGTGACCTCGACGAGAAGGAGGTCAAGATCTTGGACGACTGGGAGAAGCTGTTCGCGCGGAAGTACCCCGTCGTGGCGCGGTTGCGGGAGGCCGACGAGTAATATTGTTCTAGTTTTCGTCCTTGTCGCGTCGATGGCGTCGGTGGCGTCGGAGCAGTGCCGTGTCGCGTGACTCGCGTCGCCGCCGCCGAGGCGCGAGAGCGAAAGGCTTCGTCGGGCACAACGCTATCGATCCGTACGCGCCCCCGCGTGCGCCCGAGCAGTCCCCGCCGCCCCGAAGTCGCCCGCGCGCCGTGCGGGGCAGCCTCGAGCTGTTGCTTGGCTGCCACTTTGTGTCTGCACGATCAGTGCGGTGGTACCGCGACGCAGTCGTGGGCTCGGAGCCGCGGCGGAGGGACGTATACGCTGCCCCAGTGCTCGCATTGTACAGTCGCCTCCACCGGCACAGTACTGATGGCGACCGCCTGCCAGCGCCTCTACGCCGACGCGGACCGCCGGCGCCGCCGCCAGGAGGAGGACGCGCGGCTCGCCGCGGAGCGCCAGGCCGCGGAGGAGGCCCTTGACGCGGAGCCGCGGTCGCCGCGGCTCTGCGACGCGAGCGTAAGCCTCGCGGCGACCGCGCGGAGCCGCGACGCGGGCCTCTGGGCGGCGGGCGGCGCGGGCGCGGGCGGGGAGGTCGTGGCGGCCGTGCGCGTCGAGGACCGGCTCCACGCGCACGGCGCCGCGGCGCGCGCGGTCGCGAAGCGCGCCGCGGCCGAACGCGAGCGCGCGGCGCGAACCGCGACGCCGGCGATCACGCGCAAGGCGGCGCGGCTCCGGCGCGACAACGCCGTCCACGCGCGGCTCCACGCGGCGGCGCGCGCGCGGGCCGAGGACCTCGCGCGACGGAAGGACGCCGACCGCGCGGCGGCGGCGCGTGCGGCGCGGGGCCGGACGGAGCGCGCGGCGGCGCGCGCGACGACGCTCTACGTGGACGCGCTGCGGCGGCAGGAGGACGCGCGGCGCCGCACCGCCGCGGCGGACCGGGCCGCGCGTGACGCGCGCAGCACGAGCCACGTCTGCCCCGGGAGCCGCGCGGTCGCGCACGACGAGTCCGCCGCGGAGCGCCTGGCGCGGTTTTGGCCTGTGCGCGAATCAAGTTTCGCGGCGCTTCCCACGCCATCGACGCGACGCCTGCTTGACGGCGTGGCGGTGCGGTTCTCTGACCACGCGACTTGAGCCGCGTCGTCGCCGAGATATGACTTTGCGAGCACCCACTCACTGGTTGATTTGCGCGCAGGCCAAAGCCGCACGGCACGCGGGCCAAGGTCGCGGATGGCGACTTCCTGGGGTCCGTGCGGGCGACGTTCGGCGCCAAACGGCGCGAGTCGGGCGAGGCGGGCGGGCGACGAGCCTCGCGCGAGATGGCGGCGACGAGGAGAGCGTCGGCCGCCGCGGCGCGCTTGTACCGCGACGCGACCGAGGGCCGCGCGCGCATGCGCGACCGGCGCGCGCGCGAGGCCGAGCGGGAGCTCGCGGGCTACACGTTTGCGCCGGCGCTGCACGATCCCCGCTCTTCAACGGAGGGCGTGTCCCTCGCGGACCGGAACCAGGCCTGGCTCGAGCGCGCGCGGGCGAAGGTCGCGGAGGAGCGCGCGGCGAACAACGAGGCCGAGGTCGCCGAGTGCACGTTCGAGCCCCGCTTTCTAAGCCGCGCGCCGCCACCGCCGCCGCCTCCGCCCGCACCGGTGGTCGCCGAGCGGCGGCCGTCGCCGCCGCCTCCGCCTCCCCCAGCGCCGGTTGTCGCCGAGCAGCCGCCACCGCCTCTACCTCCGCCGCCGCCTGGGCCGCCGCCGCCCGGGCCGCCGCCGTCCGCGGCGCCGCCGTCTGCAGCTCCGCCGTCGTGGCCGCGGTCCGCGCGGGTGCCGCCGCCGTCCGCACCGCCACCGCCGCCGCCGCCACCGCCTGGGCCACCGCCGTCGACGCCCTCGCTGCTGCAGCACCTCTGGAAGACGCAGTCGCCGGAGTCCGCCGAGCGCGTCGCGGACGTCCTGGACCGCCGGTCGCCCCCGTCAGCCGTCCGCCGGTCGCGCGCTCCGCAGACGCCGGCCTGAGTGCACGGCACTACTGGTTGGATGTTGTTCCCCTAAGAATATTACTACACCTAGATGTTTCCCCAAAAACTGCTAGCGTGCTGTAACACACTAGGATCCCTAGCAAGCAAGCAAAGCCTGTATAATCAAGCCAGTTGTCTCTGATTACAAGTTCCAACACCGCTGAGGCAAATAGGTGCTCATACGGTTGCCAGAGAAGCTGTCTAGTTTGCGGCTTGAGCCCAAACGTAACCCTTGAGTGCCATACTGCGCCGAAGGTGCAGCAGCGAAAAACATGGCCCAAGTTCACGTATGCCACGCCGGAACCTGTCTGAACCGGGGCGCGGAAGGAGTGCTCACAGAAATAGAGGAGCTGGCCAGCGCCGTCGGCGGCCAGTGCACCGTGCACGAGACGGGCTGCCTCGGCTACTGCAGCCAGGCGCCCAACGCCGTGGTTGTGAGGCGCGGGGAGCGCCCGAAGGTGCACACCCTCATTCGGTCTCTGGAGGCCTCCGCCGACGTCGTCGCCGCCGCGACGGGCCTCCAGCCGAACCTGGAAGACGATCAGATCAAGCAGAAGCTGGCGGGCCTCCGCGCGGCGCGGGCGCGGGAGCGCGCGAAGGAGGTCTACCACTGGAACAGCGCCCTGAACGGCCTCGGCGCGGAGGCCGTCGGGAAGCCGCGGCTGCGCGAGGAGCTCGACTGGTTGAGGAGGCAGGTGGGCTCCGCCGACTCGACAGGGCAGATGCCTGAGGCGATTGCCGAGTACACCAAGTGGTCGCTAGAGTCCGTCGAGCCGGTGTCGCGGCACGCGGCCGTCTTCACCTACACGTCCAAGGACCGCAAGCGCGGCACGCCGCACCCGCGCGGGCGGGGCCGCGTGCCGCGGCCGATCACGTGGCACACGACGCTCCTCGCCGAGGTCGGCGCGAACGACGAGGGCCCGCTGCCCTGGATCGAAAGGGATTACACGCCCATCTCGTCAGCGCACCAGTGGGAGCAGGGCCGCGTCGAAATTTTGATCAAGATTTATGCTGATGGCAAGGCGACGTCGTGGCTCTATCGGACCAAGCCCGAGACGATATGGCTGTCGCGGCCCGTGCGGACGCTCGCGGTGCCGTCGTTGGTCCACGACGACGGGCCCTCCTTCCGGCCCGCCTCGGTCCTACTTTTGCTCGCCGGCACGGGCGTCGTCGCGCTCCCGCAGATCCTGGCGCACCGCGACCCCTACGGCTCGCTCCGCATCTCGACGCCGAAGCGCGACCAGCTCCGCGTGCCCATCGACGTGCTGCTCTCTTGTAGGGAGGACGACGCCCCGATGGCGCCGCGGTGCGCGGCGTGGTGTCGCGAGGAGGGCGACGCCGCGGGACTTCGGAATTGTACTTTATTACTGTCGCCGGCGGCGGAGGGCGACGTGCCGTTCCCGAATGCTCCCGACGTCGACGTCGACGCGGCGGTCGCAGGATTGGAGAACGCCTCTGTGGTCCGGGGGCGGCTCTCGGCCCAGATTTTGAGTGAGGCGTATCAAAAAATGCCCCAGCCCTGCCGCGTCGTCGTCTCGGGACCCGGCGAATACAACTCGGCGGTCCGCGAAATGCTCATGGACCTCGTGGACGACCTGGACTCGGTGACGGTGCTGTCCGCGTAGTCAGTCTTGTTGATATAAATCCTTATTTCTTGTTGTACACGTTTGACGTGTTGTTTCGGCGCCTAACTCAGGCTCAGGCAACTCGGCTCAGGCTCAGGCTAGTTACGTCGCGGGTCCCCCGTACCCCTCCCGCTCCCCCGGGGCCCACCCGTCCGGCTGGTACTAGGACGCAACTCGATACTAGTATGCTTACGCTAGCTCAGCCTCTCCGGTCACATGTGTACGAGCTCTGCGAGGCGCATACCATGCCTAAGCCAGCAAAGCGAGCGCGCACGGATGATGCAGGCGCGTCCGGTCATATGCTAGCATCCGCGGTGCTCTCAAGCGTGACCTGCCCCATCAGCCAAGCCCTGGTCGTGGACCCGGTCATGGCGGAAGATGGAGCAATCTACGAGCGAGATCAGATCACGAAGTGGCTGAGCTCTAACAATCGCAGCCCCGTCACGAATGCCGCCATGGGCGCTCGGCTCGTCGCCGCCCAAAACACCCGCAGTCTGGTCGAGTCGCTGCTCGAGAGCGAAAGTGTTGACGACGACGCGGCGGCGGCGTGGCACGCGGCCTCGGCCCGCAAGAAGATCACCGGCGCGCTGCCGGGCGGCATCGACGCGGCTAAGGTGCACCTCGACCGCGCTGCGGCGCTGGATTCCTCGACGGAATGCGACGTGCTGCGGGAGGCGCTGGCGCTGCGCGATCAGCACAAAGGCGTTTTGACGAAAGCGGCCGCCGCAGGGGTCACTCGCGAAGTCGAGTCGATCTTATCGGGCCGGACGCGCAGCCCGATGACCGCATGGCGCCCCGACCTTAAGGCCGGGGCAATTATCCGATTAATCGACGACAGAGACGAGCTCAAACGGCTCTTCGGGCGGCCTGCTCCGGGCAGCCAAAAAGCCATTAACATTGGCCCATGGCCGGACTATTTTAGGCCAGAAGGGCGGGAAGGCAGGGTCGTAGGTGTCTCGGAAAAATATCGTGCGTACAGAGTGTCCGGAAGAGGGATGAACGGAAGAGAGATGAAGATGATATGGCCGTTCGACGCCTGTATTCTGATCGTAGAGAACAACTCGGGCAACCCGCCGGACTCGAGTGACGACTCGGACGATTCCTCTTCGGACGACTCGGACATCATTGGCGGCCAGCGGTCGTTCTTCGACTTGAGCGGCACGGCCGACTCGGACGACTCCTCATCGGACTCGGACGACTCTTCTGGATAAGAAACTCTCACAAAATTTTTTACATCACAGACCCAACGCCTTCCCCGCTCTAGAATACCGCGCACACACGAACTCCACCGCGTCACGCTGCGCCGGCGCCAGCCCCGGCACGGCGCGCAGGCAGGCGACGGCGCGGCGCTCGTACGACGCGTCGCCGGCGCGGTCTCGGCGCCGCGGCAGCGCGACGGACACGGCGGGCGCCGCCGACCGCGGCGCCGCATGAAAGGCGGGCGGCGCCGGCGCGCCCGTCCAGAAGAGGAGCCCCTCCTCCTCGGCGTGGCCCTCCGCCTCGTCGGAGCTGACGTCGGAGTCCGACGAAGACGAGTCCGTCGCCTCGCCGCGCATGGCCCGCGACCGGCGCTTCGCGGCGATCACGTCGGCCACGAATTTCGGCAGCGCCTCCGGCCGCAGCGCGAGGCAGACGTGGCACAACAGCTCGAAGCACCCGAACCACCGATCTCGTCGCCGCTCGCGGCAGAAGAACAGCATCGACGGCAGCTCGTCGCCGTCGGTAAACAGTGTCGCGGGGTCGAGGCCCAGCTCGCGCGCGAGCCGCGCGGCCCGTTTCAGTGACGGGAGCGGTGTTGCGGAAGGCGCCTCGGCCAAGCGCTGCGCGGCCGCGAAGGCGTCTCTGGAATTATGCCAGTCGCGGCGCGGCCGCGGTCGCGGGCGCGGTTCGACGGCTGGAGGTTTTACAACAGGCGGCGGCGGCGGCGCGCGGAGGTCCGGCGTCCGGAGCGTCCAGACGCCTCCATGCATATCGCGCACGGCGACGCCGCCGCGGTGCGCCCAGAGCGCGACCGCGCCTTTCGGCGCGGCCACGCGCGCGACGACGCCGCGACGCGGGTAGAACACAACATAACCCTCCGCGAGCAGCGCGACGCCGCCGTCGACGGGCGCCACGGCGACCGCGTTTTGTGAAGCGCGGCCCAAGGTCGTCGCCTCGATCCCGGCGTCGCCGTAGGTCACACATATGACGTCGCCCGTGGCCGCCACGACCAGCAGGCCGTCGCCGTCGCGACACACGACGCCGGACGCGCCCAGACACCGCTCGAAGGCTCCCCTCCTAATAATAAGCGGCGCCTCGCTCACGCGCCAGGCCCCCTTGCCGCGGCCCGCGGCAAAAAGCTTTTCTGACGAGGCCGCCGCGGCGTCGGCCGCGCGCGCCCGCAGGCCCGCCGCGAGCCGGCCGCTCCGCCGGCCGAGCGCGCGGCAGAAGACTCCCCCAGTCTCGCGCCAGAAGACGCGACGGCCGTCGAAGGCCGCCGAGGAGATAGTATTATCCGTGAGCTGCAGGCCGCCCGCCCGGCGCCAGCCTTCAGTTGAGGTGCACCAGACGTCGGCTCTTCCAGAAGTTTCGACGATGACGAGCGTCGCGTTTCGCGACTTTGTCGACTCGGAGAGGGCGATCTCCACGAACGGCCCGTGTCGCACGGCCCGCGCCCGCGGCACGGCGCACGCCACGGCGCCGGCCTCCGCGCTTTCAGACAAAGCCGTCGCCACGTCCTCGACGGCGTCGCGCGGCGGCGCGTCGGGTGTCGTGGCGAAGACGAGCGTGCACCTTTGGTCGCACCGCGCAGCGACGGTCAGCGCGACGTGCGACGGCGACGTCGTGACCCGGAGGAGCCTGCCGACGCCGCGCCGGTGCAGCGCCCGCAGCACGGCCGCGGGCGCCGCGTCCTCCGGGTCGCTGCCAAAGCGCTCCCACATTATTAGCTATGCATCTCGCATGCTGTGTCCAGCGGCTCGTTTTGGCTCCGTCAAGCGGCAGTACGCCACACGGATGAGTGATTCTGCTTTTAGAATGGCCCGGGTGAATTGGAAATGATGTTTACGCGGAAGCTTGGGCCACAAAAAAAACATTTCTAGAGTGTTACAGACCGCTAGCGAGCCATCATCGACGCGTCGACGAGCCATCAACTGGGGACTTCGCAGAGTATTCCTTGCGGCCTCTAGTTATCGCATCGATGGCGCAAGTAGTCATGCGAGCACCGCTGCGACTCCTGCTTCCGCTTCTGTTGCCGTTTACGGCCGCGCTGCAGCGCTGCCCCTCGCTGCCGCATCGATTTGACGCGGCGCTGCCGCATCGCTTGGACGCCGCGCTGCCGCAGCGCACAGCCCTTGGCGCGGTGGCAGGTGGCATAAAGGACGCGGGCCCCGCGGACGACGCGGCGGTGCGCGCGTGGGCCTCGCAACTGCGCGCCGTCGTCGCGAAGCGCTCGCCGCCGGCCGCCGCGGGCGTCGCGGTCGGCCTCGCGGGCCGCGTCGCCGCCACGGGCCGCGTCAGTCCGAAGCTCGCGGCGCGCCTCGTGTTCGGCGCCTTCGTGCTGCTCTCGACGGCGCTGGCGGCGCCGGAGCGCGCGGCCGTCGCAAGCGCCGAACGCGACGCCGCACTGTCGCCGCGGCGAAAGCGCGTTCCCGCCGTGGTGATCGCCCGCCAGCTCGCCATCGCGGCGGGCGCGGCGGTCGTCGCATCTATGGCCCCCACGAGGCGCAGCGCCGTCGCCCTCGCGGTCCTCGCGGCGGTCGCGCGCTGGGCCCGCGGCGGCGAGGACGGCTTTGCCGCACGCGTCGCGACAAAGGCGGCGGAGCTGCGCGCGAGCCGCGCGTACGTGCCCGACGGCCTCTCCGTGGAGGAGTACGCGGAAACGAAACTTCGCGAGGAGGACTACAAGAAGTCGCTGGATTTAGGTGCGTGGGGGCCACGCTTCAAGCGCACGGCGGCGCCGGGCGCCTTCGGGAAAGCCTGGGTCGCCTCATTTTGGATGGGGGGCAAGCCGCCGCCGCCGCCGGCGAGGTACGAGTAGTGTGTATAATCGAAGATACTGTTTTTTAGGGAAGAGCCGTATCGACAAACCTCCTACTTCTTCATGATCGAGCCCGCGTTGCCCGTCTTGATCTGGCCCGTCTTCGCGCGGCGCGGCGGCTGCATCGACTGCAGCTGCGGCGGCTTGGCCGCGAGCGCGGCGGCCGGTGCAAGCGCCGCGGCGACGGCCGCGGGGAACGTGAATTTCATCGCCGCCCGGCGGTCGACGGCGGCGGGCTTCACCTGCGCGGGCTGCAGGGCCGAGGCCGCGCCGAAGAGGAGGGCCGCGAGGAGCTTCATTCTGTTGCCTGCGGGGGCGTCGCGCGTTGAGGATACCGCAGCCACCGAAGGGTCTCGGCCGCGTTTCGGTCGTCGCGTGTGCAAGCAAAAGCGCTCTTCGAGAACGTCCGCCCAGCACAGCCTCGGAGGTCTCTCGGCAGGCCGGCGCGCCTCCGCTTTGGCTCGGCGCGCCCGCCGCGCGTTAGGCAGGGCTCTCTTGCACAGAGCTGCCTTGCTCCGCTTCCTCGTCCTCAATCGAGGCGACACACACGTAGCGTAATCATCGGTCGTTCGTGGTGGTTTCGCTGCACTGCTAACGCACGTTGGTCTCGCGGTTGGCGCTGTGAGTGGGCAAAAGCAGGGCAAGCTCGAGCTGCAAGGGCCAGCATCAGAGCTCCTCCTGGTCGGCGCCGTCTGTCCCATGGCTCCTGGGATGCGTCGCTCGAAGGCTGAAGCCGGCAAACGTCGCCGCACGCTAGCGTTAGAGACTCTAGAGTCGCAGGTGAGTCGCGCAAAACCAGCCGCGACGCCTGACTGCTGAGCGTACACATTTCTTCACACAACGCCTGCCACAGCACCGCGCTGCGCTTCCATCGCTGCGCCAGAGCCGCCTTCTAGAACCCACCAAAACGCCACCATGGACGCCGGCGACGACCAACTCGGCCGCGCGCGCGTCAAATTAACGAACGTATGGGCGACGATGAAGGGCGTGTTCGCGCGCGCCTGGGACCACAAGTCCGTCTGCTTCTTCGTCGGGTCTGTTATTTTGATGCACGCCTTCGGCGACGAGCTCGCCGTGTAGAATGGTTCTTCCGCCCGACATCTGCAGTGCTGCGTCGGAGGGCGACATCCCAGTTGTAGAAAGGTGGCTTGATAGGCAGGACCGGGAAGCCATCAATGATAGAGATGAATCGGGATTATCGCTTCTCATGTTATGCATGAACTCGAACATTGAAGCGCACCACATCCAGTGCGCTAGAATGATCACCGCGCGAGGCGGCGACGTAAATATGGGAGACTCATATGGTTGGAAGCCGCTGCACTACGCATGCTATCCAGAAGGCTACGCGTCAGCAATGGTTTCGCTGCTTCTCCAGGCAGGAGCCAATGTAAACGCCAGAACGGAACACGGAAACCAAACACCACTCGGTGTATTACTACAGGAATTCGATTTTTGCGTGGATTATGAGGAGGAGGAGATTTCTAGGGCGTCGCATCAGAGACTAGTCTCACGCTCTGGCCTAGAAATCCTGATAGTCTTACTCCGAGCGGGCGCCTCGATCGACCGATGCATGCGAGATTTTTCGACCGAAGCGGGAGATCTCTCGGCCGAGGAGCTGATGCAAGACTTCCTATCTTGCCGCCCACATTACGCCGACGACGAGTCCTTCGCCAAGTGCCGAGAGCTCGTCGCCGGCGTCCGCGCTTACGGCACTTACAAGGCCTATGTGCGGGAGCCGCACCGCCGCTTCCTCCGCCTCCGCAGCCTGCTCGTCCGGGGCCGCGCCAAGGTCCGGGACCGCTCCAAGGATAGCCGGCGCCTCGAGCGCATCGCGCGCCTGCCGAACGGCGCCTGCTGGCACGTCCTCTCTTTCTGGCGCGATGCCGGGTGAGCAGCTCACGGCGGCGGCGACGGCCGCGTGAAGATGGCGACCGCGTGGCGACGGGCGCGTGACTAACACTGTGATTACCTAACTAGAACTAGACGCGGCGGCGACGTCGTCGTGCACGTCGAGCACGTCGAGCTGGAGGATGTCCGCGTCGCAGCCCGCCAACGACGCGAGCGACGGCTCCGTGCGGCCCAGATCGCCATGGACGAACTCCTTGATATACATCCCTGCGCTCGTATCCAACTCCAGGACGCCGAACCGCGGGTTGGTCATCGTCAGCTTCAGCCGCAGCACGCGCTTCTCGCGCGTCGCCAGCGACCGCGAGTGCATCACGCGGACGGGCGTCCTCTGCTGAACGGCCAGGGGCGCGCTCGCCGACACGCGCCGCGCGTCCTCGGCCGACCGATCCGCAGAAAACCACACGACGCACGCATAAGTCTTCACTTTTGTTTCAGCTGAAGCGTTGACGGCGTCGGCCCTGGCCTTGTCCGCGATTTCGACGTGTAGGGCCTCCACTACACCGTTTGAAGCCTTGGCCACTTCGCGCGCGAAGTCTCCGACGACGTCCGTGGAAGACCACTTTCGACAATTCTGCAGCTCGGCGTAGGCCGGCCGCCCGTTGCCCAGCATGCGCACGTCCCAGTCCTCGCGGCCCGACGCGGCGAATTTGACGCCGTCGCAGTCGGCCACGGCCTTCGCCGCCTTACAAACATATTCCTCGACCGACCCAACGCCCTTGACGCGCCCGTCGACGACCCAACTCGACTGCGGCGTGCGCCGCCCCAACTTCCGGTAGCGGAAGGCCAGATAGACGGGCTCGCGCGCGCACTTGACATCGACGCGGACGGGCGGAGACGTGGTGAGAATTGATGCGAGCGCCGCGCGCTCGTCGGCATCTAGAGCCTCGAGCGCGGCGGCGACGCGCGCCGCCGGCACGGGCTCCGGCGCGCGCCTCGGGCGCTTGCCGCGGCCCTTCTGCTTCGGCGGCTTTGGCCGGAGCCGCGCCGGCAGCGCGGCGACGTCGTCCGGCGCGCCGTCGAAGGCCAGGTCGAAGTAGCAGGGCGCCGGTGGTGCGGCCTCCGAATTACTGGGCGGCGACAGGCGGTCGAGGTCCGCGGCGACGACGCGCCGCAGCGCGTCCTTGACCGAGTGCGTCGTCCCGCCGGCCGCGGCGTCGCGGACGGCCCACGACGGCGGCGCCGCGACGCGGAGCGCCCAGCCGCGGGCGGCGCCGAGGCCCGCGTGCTCGCTCGATGCATGTGCAACAGCCCGGGCCGTCGTCTCCGCCAAGGCGCCGAGGCAGAGGGAGCAGCCCTCGTTCTGCGGGACGTCGAGCGCCGACCGCAGCGCCCCGCGCAGCGTGGCCGGCGCCGCGTCGTAGAGCGCCCACGGCGGCGCGCAGTGCCGCAGCGCGCAGCGGTCGCAGCCGCCGCGCGCCAAGATGTTCCGGCACGTCGTCGCGTTCTCGGCGACGATGAGGTAGACCGGCTCCTGCTCGGCAGCCATGGTGCTGCTGCTGCAGTGAGTGTGGTGCACTCACTAGTTGCCGCAGCGTGCACTCTTGGAAGGTGCAAAGCTGTGGACAGCGCTTGCACGCGACACCTTTTAAACGATCGCTATCGATCAGCGGCTGGCTGCGGCAAAAAGCAATTAAACCCGCAGGCCTGCAGCAGCAGCTGAGCACAGCCGTGGCACAGCCCACTCTCGCGAAGGACATCAAGAGTCGTCACACACGTCGCTTCGGCATCATACAGGACGTGCCAGCCGGCGTCCGCGTCACCGCTGCGCACGAAGCTGCCACGCGCTCTCTGTCAGCCTGTGCTCACTCTCAACCCAGACGCCGCCGCCGCGATAATATGGCAGCTCGCCGCGTCCTCAGCCTGCGCGGCGCGGACACGAGCAAGCTCCTGCAGAGCCTCTGCACGAACAACGTGGCGACCTGGCTCGAGGGAAGTGCGCCCGCGCTCGCCGCGGCGTTCCTGACCACGAAGGGGCGCGTCCTCGCGGACGCGTGCTTCTGGCGCCACGACGACGCGGTGTTAATTGATTGCGCCGCCGCGGCCGCACCAAAACTCCTGAGGCACCTCAAGATGTACAAGTTGAGAGCAGACGTGAAAATAAGGGACGAGGCGGACTTAGACGTCGTCACGGCGACGAGCACGCTCCAAAACTGCGTTGTTAGTGGATCCGACCCGCGGACGGAATTGTTAGGGAGTCGCGGTATTGTCGAGAAAGGTACTGAGGGCGAGGCGCCGGGCTTGTATTTGAGGAGGCGCCTCGCGTTGGGCGTCGCGGAGGGCGAGGAATTGGAGGGTGCCGTGCCGCTCGTCGCGAACCTCGACGCGTTGAATGCGATCGCCTTCGACAAGGGCTGCTACCTGGGCCAGGAGCTCACGGCAAGGGCCAAGTTCCGGGGCCAGGTGCGGCGACGGTTCATGCCCGTCGCGCTGCACGAGACCGACGTAACGCATTCGGCGGCGCGCGCCGAGCCGCCGGCGGACCCCGTGCCCTTCGCGCCCCTATCTGTTGATGTACCTACGGTCGGCGCCAAGCTCGTCTCAAATGGCAAGGACGTCGGCAAGCTGGTGGCGGTCTCGCCGGAGTCGACGGCGGCCGTCGCGGACGTGAAGCTGGACTTCGCGCTGTCCGGCGAGGTGCTGGACGTTAGGGTGGAGGGGAGCGACGTGCGCGCGGCGCCGTACGTGCCTCCCTGGTGGCCCGAAGATGAGTCTGAGTCATAATTTGTTAGTTTAGTTATGTACATTCACAATGGCTCGTAGTAGCGTCGCTCGAGCCCCTCCTCGCCGGCCGTCGGCACTTTGCGCAGGAGCGCGAGCGTCGCGGCGGGATCACCGCCGTCGTCGAAGACTGCCACGGCGTCGCCGCGGCGCCTCGCGGCTAATATGCGCGCGTGCCACGCCGACCAGCGCGCGTCGCTTTCGTCCACGAATTCGAACGCCCGGCCTTCGGTTTCAAAGTCCGTGCGGTCCACGCTCGCTTCGTAGAAGTGCGCGATCAGGTACCCGTCCACGAGCAGCGAGCAGGCCGGCTCCGCAGGTATATGTTCGGGCGCCCAGCCGAGTTCCTCGTTAAGTTCTCTCACAAGGCATTGAATCGAGCTCTCGCCCTGCTCGCGCTTGCCGCCGTAGCACGTCAAGCGGCCCGCGGCAGCTTGCGCGTCGGCTCCTCTCACCTCCGCTAGCAATTTGTCGTCTCCTCGTCGCAGGATCGCGCAGCTGAAGGGCGCGGCGGCCGCGCGCACCGCGGCTACGTCGATGGTCGTCATCCGTAGCGCGGCGATCGGCAGCGCGAGCAGGCTTAGTTGTGCTCTCCTTTTTCCCATGCCGCGTGCTCGTTGGCCGCGCGCTTGATATTGATATACAAAGCTACAAAGCCCAGTACTATGATCGCTGCGTACACGACGCGGTCCTTGAGTTGCTGCTGCTGCACTTTCTGGGCGGTCTCGTAAGACATGTGATCAGGCGGTAGCAATGCTGTACTGTCTACGGCGCTTGGTGATGCGGTTACGTCCAATTTTTTGCGCCCACCACCGCGGCCAGGTCTCGTGTGTGGCGTTTACCCGCGACGCTTGACAAGTGTGGCGGCGTACGCGTAGTTTGCGAAGTTTAAGGGAGGCAGCTACCTAGCATACACACACACTAGTTTTCAGCCCCGAAAGCGATGTGCAAATCGGCAATTGAACCGCACAGCCACGCAGCGCTCAGTCCGGACATTTAGAAGACCCCGCCGCATCGTTTGGGCAGCCCTTTTGGTTAAGAAGGCTAGCCCGCCAGACCATGCATACGAGAATGGGCAGCCCCACCACCTGGGGCGTGCTCCTCTACGCCATCGGCGCGACGGCCCAACAACCGACGGGCCTCTTCAGCGACGCGTCGGCCTGCGGCAAGTTATCCAAAACCTGCGACGCCCTCGCCAGCGCGCGGGCCGTCTACGTGCACGACGACGGCCGCGCGCACGCGATGGGCGTCCTGCCGGACGGCACGGTCTGGACGACGCACGGGAGCTACGACGGGACGAGCGAGCTGGCCCTGGACTGGTCACACATTGATGGTACGGAGTCGAGGAAGGCGACCTGGGACGGCGACGTGCTACGGTGGGAGGGCGGCGGCGAGTGGCGGCGGCGGGAGGCGGGCTTCGCCGCTGTGAAGGTAGAGGGGGACCAGCCCTTCGACGGCGTCTACGCGACGGAGGATTGGGACGGGGGCCTCGCGGGTTTGAGGGTCGTTTCAAGAAGGAGCGGGAGAATCAAGGGCGTGTCCGTGACCGTCGTCGGCACGGACGATGGTGTGAAATTCTTCGAGTTGGTGGGGGCCTTCCGGGGCTGGCCCAAGTCGTCGGAGAGCTTTTTTATGGATTTTGGGCCGATCGGCGGCGTGGCCGGCTGGGACGGCATCCACACGTTCGACGGCTCGGGGTCGTTGATTTTTCCGGACGGGGAGCGGTGGTACAAGCTGCGGGATAGGAAGGAGGGGGAGCTTTAGTTTTTGTGAAGTGACTTTTTTTGGGGGGCCCTACGCTTGCCCGGCGGCTTGAGCGGTGCTGGGGAGTCGTGGGCCTTGCTTGGTTGCTGTTTGAGGCGTTTCCAAGAGGTCTGCTTTGGGAGAGCCCCGTACGAAGCACAGCGCTCTCGATCGACGGCATCTGTTCAGCGTCGTGCGCGACACCCCTGACGCTGCACAGGCTTTGAGCACGCGTGGGACGTAGCCCGGACCTTCTGTGGGCGCTACGCGAAGTTCAAGCGTCACCGCGCCGGGGTTGTGGCGTTGTGCCTCTCGGAGCGCTGCAGTCAAATAATTCGCCATGGCGCTCACCGGCCCCGAGAAGGCCATGTACAACTTCCTGATCAAGAGGGAGGCGGCGGGCAACCTTAACGCTTCACAGAAGACGGCTCTTGACGCTCTGAAAGCCAAAGTCGGGCCAGCGTCGCCGTCATCGCCGCAGCCTCTCAAAGGTAAGGTCGTGACCGCGCCGCCGCCGCCGGCCCCCGACGCCGCGAAGCAGGCCGCGGCAGCGAAGGCTGCAGCAGCAAAAAAAGCAGCGGACGCTAAGGCCGCAAAGGACCGCGCCGACGCCGTCGCGGCACAGAAGGCCAAATCTGCCGCAGACGCGCGCGCGGCGGCAGCGAAGAAAGCAGCGGAACTCGAGGCCAAAAAGAAGAAAGATGCCGCTCTCGCCAAGGCCAAGGCCGATGCTGAAGCAAAACGCCTCGCGGAGGCGAAGAAAGCGGAAGCGCTCGCCGCCGCCGCCAAGAAGAAACAAGAGGAGGAAAAAGCAAAAGCTTTGGCCGCGGCAAAAGCCAAGGCTCGCGCGGACGCCGAGCGGCGCGAGAAGGAGGCCTTGGCGAAGAAACAGGCGGCCGACGCCGCGGCGGCCAAGCTGAAAGCCGAGGCTCTCGCGAAAGAACAGCGTGAAAAAGCAGCCGCTGCGGCCAAGCTCAAGGCTGAGAAGGATGCTGCTGCAGCGCTCGCGAAGAAGCGTGCGGCCGAGGCAGCGGCGCGCGAGAAGGCTCGACTAAAAGAAGAGGCCGACGCGAAAGCTAAAAAGGAGGCCGAAGCTCGAGCCAGAGCTGCCGCGGAGGCCAAACGCAAGGCGGATGAGCTCGCCTCGAAAAGACGCGCTGAGGAAGAGGCGGCGGCCGCCGCCGCGCGCAAACGTGCTGATGAAGCAGCCAAGGAGCGGGCACGCGTCGAAGCAGAGGCGAAGGCGAAGAAGCTTGCCCAGGAGAGAGCTGCTGCCGAGGAGGCAAAACGCAAGGAAACTGAACGCATCGAGCGCGAACGGGTCGCCGCCGCGAAACGCGCGGAGGAGCAGGCGGCCGCGGCGAAACGCGCGGAGGAACAAGCCGCGAAGGCCGAGCGTGAGCGTCTCGCCCGCGAGAAGGCGGCAAGAGAAATAAAGGAGCGCATGAAACGAGAAGCCGAAGAAAGAGAGCGTAAGGCCGCAGCGGCGCGGGCCGCGGAGGAGCAGCGACGCGTCGCCGCCGAACGTGCCGCTGCAGAAGAGAAGAGAGTTGCCGCGGAGCGTGCAGAGAGGGCCCGCCTCGAGGAAGCACAGCTAGCCGAGGAGCGCGCCGAAGCGGACTTGCGCGCCCAACGCGACCGGGAGCAGCAGGAGCACGCGGCACGACGCGCGCGGGAAGAAGTCGAGGCGAGGGAGGCTGCGGCCCGCTTGAATGCGGAGAGAGAGGCGCAACGCCGCGAGGCGGCCGAAGAGGCGGCGCGCAAGAAGGCCGAAATTGCCGCCCAGCGAAAGAAGGAGGCCTCAGAGAAGAAAAAGAGGGAGGCCGAAGAAAAGGCGAGAGCTATTGAGGAAAGTGCACGACAGAAACGGGCCGACGACGAGCGCCGGAAGCAGGAGGCCGCCGCGGCGGCCGAGCGCGACGCAGCGGCGCGCGCTGCTGAAGAGGAAGAAGCCAGGAAAGCGGAAGAAGCCCAGGAAGCACTCGCAAAAGCTGCGGCCGCCGAGGCGGCCAAGAACAAACCCACGAGCCCGCGCGCCAAGCCGCCGCCCCGGCGCGCCGCGGGCGGCGCCGCGGCGAAACCGGTCGTAGCATCAATGTCGCGCAAGCGCGCTCGGGACTCCGGCGCCGACGACGACGACGCCGATGCTGCCCCGGCGGCGCGGACCACGAAACCGCGCCTGAAGAAAGTTAAAGTCGAACGGACGGGGCCGCTCCGCCGGTCGACGCGCGAGGGCATCAAGAAGAAGAAGGGCTTCTACTCGCAGCGGGCGATGGAGCTTGAGGCCTGGAAGGGCACGGGTACGAAGGACGACCCGTACGACGCGCGGTAGTAGATAGATTCCCCCCTGTGTAAGACTCAAGTTCCGCCACTAACGGCGTCGCGTCGATGGCGTGCTGGTGGGGTAGGAGTATACGCGCGAGGCGACGTAAGCTTGTGTTGTTGTTGTTTGTTCTTTAGGCATTCGCTGATGGCGTCTCGCGGGCGGCGAGCGCGGCTCGCGCGTTTCGTAGGAATCGCTCATACACCCTCAGTTGCGGGTGCGCACCCCCGAGCACGCGCCGGGCGGTCCGTGTCGTCTCCTCAAGCGTCGTCACGGACTCGCGGAGATCATCGAGCGTGGCGCTGGGGTCTGTGTAGAGCGCATACGTGTAAATCGCTTTCATCGTGAGCGTAAGATCATCATTCTCTCCGAGAACGCGCCGCGCCACGGGTATCGTTTTGCGCAGCAATGATTTGACTTCGTCGTAGCGCTTGAGGTTGCCCAGCGTCGTCGCGTAGTTGCCGGCTGCTTTGATGGAATCTCTATCTTCTTTGCCATGGAGCTTCAAACGCCCGGAGTATACATCTCGTAGCATGCGGTTGGCCTCTTCAACCCGCCCAACAACTTGATACGTGCCCGCAAGATTGGTCAGCGTGTCGAGGATACGTCCTCGGCGCACGCCTCGACGGCCTCAGCGACTGCCTCCTTGTATTTTTTGTCGGCGTGGTATTGTTCCGCGCCACCGCCCCGCTTAATCCGTCGACAAAGCGCCTCATGTCCGCCCCTTTCCCAGTGCTGGCGCTGGCAGGCCTCATTGCAATATCTGGTCTTGCACCTACTACACCTTTTCTTGTGGTCGTGGGCCAGTGGGGCGGCGCAGGCGGCGCAATTTGTGAGGATCATATTGCGTTGGCGGGGCGTCTGTAGCGCGTTCGCGTCGCGACGTGTTTTTTTTGGAGGTTGAAAAAATCGGGGTTGGTCCCAGGTTTGGGAGCGGATCGCGTCGATGGCGTACTGGTGGGGTAAAAGCACAGTACGTTTTTCAAAGAGAAGAATCACATTAGAGAGGAAAAAAGAAGACCGATCAGCCAGCCAGCCAGTACGCCACCGCCGACACGCCGGCGACGCCGAGCACCGTCGCCACGAAGTCGTCGTCGCCGCCGACGCCGCGGGGCGCCTGCGCGACGGGCACGAGCCGCCACGCGCGCCGGTCGTCGGCGCCCGACGTCGAGGCGCGCGTCGCGCTGCGCGCGTCGGCGCGCCGCCGCGCCGCGGGGTGGCGCGCCCAGAGGCCCGCCGCGAGGGCCGCGAGGGCCCGCCGCTCGTGCGGTTGGGGCTCGGCGAGCGCGAGGTCGTCGTCCTCCGTGTCGTCGAAGGACCCGAGGGACGCCGCCGTCGTGAGGCCGTCGGCGGTTCTAAGTAAACGCTGGAGCTGCAGCACGGCCGCGCGCCTGCGACGGGAGAGACGTCAGGGCGTCGCCTCGACGGCGTAAGGGGAGACCAACGGGCAAAGGTGAAGAAAAACACAGGACAAGGACCGCTCGGCGCCCTGCTTCTCGACCACAATCTTCTCGAGCCGCGCGCGCTCGCCGCCGATGGACACTTTGCGCTGAGACACAGAAGGCGGCGTCGCGCGCGCCCGCAGCGCCTCTCTTTCAAAAGACGCGTCCTCGTCCTCCGGTTCATTTATAGAAGCGACGTCGTGCTCCCACGCGTCCGCGAGGTCGCCCACTGACAACGCGACGGCGTCGGCCACGAGGCGCTGCGCCGCCGCTCTCAACGAAGAGGGAACCCAGCCCCGCCCCGGCGCGAGCCAGCCGCCGCCGTCGACCAGCGCGACGCGCGCCGACACGAGCGCGCGCTCCGGCTCATACTCTTCATCTCCCTCCGACTTGAGCTGGTCGTCGGCGTGCGGCGCCACAGCTAAAACAGCGCAGAGCTGGGTCCGGATGCCCTTGACATGAGCGCCCGGCGGCGCCGCCGCGGGCTCGAGCCGAACCAAAAACGCGCCGTCGTCGTCGACGCGCCACGTCCGCGCGACGACGCACGCCCGCGGCCGCGTCGCGGTGAGTGAAGCGAGGAAGACGCAGGGTCTTACTAAAATCGGCGCGTAGAGCCGTGCGGCGGCCACCAACAGATTCGCGAGCGCGGCACATAAACCCCACAGCGCGTAGATAAAATCGCCGACGCTCCGCGACGTCGTCAAGACCGAAAACCACTCCGCGAGCGGCAATTGTGGCGGCGCCAGCCCCGCGATCTGGAGCACGGCGACGTCCGAGCGGTCATTTATCGCAGCTAATTGGCTCACCTCCCGAATGCAGCCGTGGTGCGCCGCCCAGCAGCCCCGCTCGCCGCCCAATAACGCCACGAACAATCGGAGAGGCGGCGCTCGTACGACGCGTCGGCACGACGACGTCGCCATGGTGCCCGCGCGCGACCTTCTGAGCACGATGGCGCGGTCCGGCCGCGCTACCAAACGTGACGACTCCATCGTTGACTGAGCGTCGACGCCCGCGGCCAGATCTAGAGCGGCGGCTCTTCTAGCGACCATGTCATCTATTAAAGAACGCCATCTATCAGCTAGTTTCTTGTCGCGACTTCCAAGCTCCAAGTGGAGCTCCTTCTCCGACGACTTTAAATAAGCAGCACCACCACCAGCAAGACCGGCGATGCCCACGGCGTAGGGCACCAAGCCGATCCCCATCGTCGCGACGCCGATCACGACACCGCCCGCAACGACGGTCGTCGCCGTCGCCGCCGTCGCGAGCATGCCCTTGCCCGCTCTATGTTTTTTCGTGAGCTTCTTCTTCTGCCTGAGCTCGGCGTCGATTTCCCTCATTTTGATTCCCTCGTCCTCGGAGTCGCTCGACTCGCCCATCTTTTTGTTTTTTGTCTGGAGGCGGTTCGGGATGGGCGTCGGCGTGTAGGCGCCGGCCGGCCAGCTCACGCTGAAGCTATGTATCCCTTTGTCCGAGACCTTGGCTTCTACTGTAGATACAGTACACCTCCCATCTAGCAGGTAGCGCGTCGCATTTCGTTTCCCTCTTAGTAGTAACTCGCCGCTGCCCAGTAATTCGACGCGCCGCATCTTCCACTTCTTCCCGTCCCGGCTTCGCGCCTCCAGCGACCCGGCGAGGACGATGCGCGACTGCGGCTTCGGCTGCTGGATCTGGTAGTCGCTGTCCTGGCTGTTCATCGTTTGGAGGGTCTTCTTCGGCGGCGACGGCGGGGGCGACGCGTAACTCATCCTTGTCTTTGCTCCAGGAGCTGTGCCTGCAGAGACTGCTCAGCGCCGCTGCGAATTGTTCCTCGCTTCGACTGATGTGTGCTGTGGCTGCCAGTGCTCCCACGCAACGAGGCAAAAGCCTTCGCGCCGCTAAACTCACAAGCCAAGCGCCCTGGGCTTGCTAGTGTCTTACTGCGCTAGGATCGAGTAGCCAGCCGAGCGGAGAGGCCGAGAGGGGGCGCTTGGCCGAGACCTCACCGGACGAATACGCCTTGTCCGGGCTAGCGCGTGTAAGACACTAGGCTAGGCAAGCAAGCATCGACCCGTGCATCTAAGGGGAGATAGAGGTCACCGCGCGCGAAACTGCACCCTTAGGCATCGCAAGTGATCGCCTCCCACGCGTTTTTGCAGCGTGAGTCCTGCGCAGCGCCTGCTGCAGCCGCAAGCTAGCCATGTCCGCCTGGTTTAGTGCAGCCGAGGCGCCGCCGACCGAGGCGTCGCCGGCGGCGGCGCTCGACGAGGCCGCGCTGCTCCTGAAGTCGTTCACGCGCGACGAGGCCGAATTAGGCGCGCGGGCGCCCTTGCCGCGACTCGACGGCTACGTCTTCGTCTTATTTATTGCAGCGCAGCTCGCGCTGAACTGGGCGCTGCGACTCATAATAGCGCGGCCATTGGCGAATTTCTTATTAGCCACGCCAAAACGACCGACAAGGGCCTTAAGAAGGATGGTCGTCAAGTTCTCCCAGGCTTGTTTGGAGCTGCTGGTCTACGGCTCCTTCGCGTTAATAGGTCTAGTGATAGTGCCGTCGCAGCCGTGGTTCTGGCCCTCGAAGCACTGGTGGATCGGGTTCGCGGACGGGGGCCACGAGGTCATGCGCGATGACCTGCGGTGTTACTACTTGCTGTATGGGGCTCGATACGTCGCGGGCTTCGTCAATGTCCTATTGGAGCCAAAAAGGAAGGACTTCGTGGAGATGCTGCTGCACCACGCCGTTACTGTTGCCGTGGTGGGCATTTCGTACCTATATGGATGGAACCGCGTGGGCTGCGTCGTCATGCTTTTGTTGGATCCGGCCGATGTCCCTCTACACCTCGCGAAGATGTTCAAGTACGTGAGCGACGCGCGGGAATCCAGGGACAAAAAATTAGCTCAAAGATGCACGTTCTGCGCCGACCGCGTCTTCGAGTTGTTTGCGTTGGTATTCCTCGTAACGCGCATCGCGATGTATCCCTACGTCTGCTGGAGCGCGCACGTCGAGGCGACGCGCTACTTCCCGAAAGGTTTACCGGAATGGACCTGCGTGGCCTTATTGTGGACGTTGTACGGGCTCCAGTGCTACTGGTTCTACCTCATCATCAAGGTCGCGGTGCGCATGATGGCGACGGGCCGCGCGGAGGACGTCCGATCGGACGACGAGGACGACGACCCCAAGGACCAGTAGAGTTTCGTTATCGGGGGTGGTAATATTAACCGGAAGGATTGATACGCCTTGCGGAGGAGTCGCTAGCGGTTTGTAAGACACTAGCTAGCCGGGCAGCCGAGCAAAAAGGGTCGCATAGATCGAATAAATACAGTAGATTCAGTGGTGCGCTGTATACAAGTTGCCTTCGCGACGCTTGCAGCCAACTGAGTGCAGCTGGCAGCGCTCTAGATGCACCGCGGCCGCACCAAGGCACCAGTGCTGCCAGTCCACAAATCGAGCAGCAGCAAGAGGAGCAGTGAGGAGCCAAAACGCATACCAGCACTCGCATACGTCGCGGCCTGCTTTGCAATCGGCGTGCTCATCGGTAAAGCGCTGCGACCACAGATGGCCGAGTTCGCACCAGCCGCCGCGCCGCCGGCACCGGCTGCTACAAACGCGCCGACCGCCGCGGCGACACAAAAAAAGCTGGACCCGCGCGTCTACGCCTTCTACTACGCCTGGTACCAGAACCCCGCGACGGACGGCCTCTGGGCGCACTGGAACCACAAGCATCTAGATCACTGGGACGCGGCGGTCCGAGCCAAGTACCCGCCCTTCGTCCACGACCCGGAAAAACGCGACGTCGGCGCGAGCTTCTTCCCCGCGCTGGGCGCCTACTCGTCGGCCGACGATTCAATTATTGAGGCGCACTTCGCGCAGCTCCGGAAGGCGAACGTCGGCGTGGCGGTCGTGAGCTGGTACCCGCCGGGCAAGCGCGACGCGAACGGCCCCGAGGTCGACGGTTTGGTGAAGAGGCTGCTGGCCGCGGCGGCGCGCTTCGGCCTGGAGCTCTGCCTCCACCTGGAGCCCTGGGAGGGGCGCACGGCGGCGGCGCAGCTGAAGGACGTGGCCTACGCCGTCCGAACGTACGGCGCCCACGAGGCCTACCACAAGATCGACGGCAAGTGCGTGTTCTTCGCCTACGACTCGTACCAGCTCGCCGCGCGCGACTGGCGCGCGGCGCGGGTCGCGGCGAACGACGGCGCGTTCCTCATCGCGCTGGCGCTGGAGGCGAAGCACGTCGACGACTACGTGGGTGGGGCGGGCGGCTTCGACGGGGCCTACAGCTATTTTGGCGCTACCGGCTTCACGCAAGCCTCGACGCCGTCGAGCTGGAAAGGGCTTGTCGCACGGGCGTCGGCGAAGGGCGGCCTCTTCGTCCCGTGCGTCGCGCCGGGCTACGACGACCTGCGCGTGCGACCGTGGAACGGCGCGAATTCGCGGGGCCGCGAGGCGGGCGCCTACTACGACCGGAGCTGGCGCGCGGCGCTTGAGAGCGGCGCGGCGCGCGTCGCGGTCACGAGTTTCAACGAGTGGCACGAGGGCACGCAGATCGAAACCGCGGCGGCGGCGTTCACGCCGGAGCGGCCGGGCGTCACTACGTACCTGGCGTACCCGTCGCCGGAGTTTTACCTGACGAAGACGGCGGCCTGGGTGGAGCAGTTCGTGGCGGCGCGGCGGCGCGCGGGGGTGGGGTAAGGCTTGTTCCTATCGATCTATCTGAGCGACTATAAAGGATGTCCCCCCAATCATCTGAGGAGCGTCTCAAAGGACTTCCTTATATCCTTACCTTACCTACCTTACATGTATATAGACAGGGACGTATACGCAAGTTGGCAGATGAGGCCGCGACGTAGCTTTACCTGGCCGCCTGACTACTACGCCGCGGGCTTATATACTCTTTTCAAGAACGACTGACGCCTAAGCGAGTAACGGCGGCTCAGTGCGAAATTAGGAAAAAGCTCTGCGCACTCTGCGGTAAAACCATGAGCGCGCGGGGCGTATGGCCCGCCGCCCTCCTCCTGCTCGCGGCGGCGGCCACCGCCCGCGAGGTCGTGCGTCTGGGATATTTCACAGAAGCGCAGCCGTTCGAGGTCGCATGCGCGCGCGGCTGGTTCGAAGGCGAGCTTGACATCGAGGTCGTATGTCTGCCGCAGTCCGCGGGCGTCGGCGCCGTCTCGAAGATCGACGACGGCGACCTCGAAATTAGTCTACTGGGCTCGACGCCCGCGGCCGCGGCGATCGCGCGAGGCGTCAGGTTACGGAACTTCTACGTCGCGCACCTAAAGGGCGAGTCCCAGGCGCTGCTCGTGCGGCCCGGCATCGTCTCGCCCGCGGATCTCCAGGGAATGAAGATCGGCACGCCTTTCGGTTCCACGGCCCACTTCTACTCGACCTATATACCAGTTGTATCGGGAGTCGAATTTCAAGACGCGGACGCAAAAACACCGGCGGGCCAACTTGCCGCGGCGGACGTCCGCGTTCTCGAGCCGCCACGACGACAATGTATAATAGTATCGTACTCCTAGTCTACCGTACTAGTAGGACCACTGGCAGGACTTAGTGACAACAACAAAAACTAAAACTCTTTCCCCTTCTTGTCCTTCTTCTTCTTTTTGCGGGCCTCGCGCCGGACCGACTCGTCGTCGGAGTATTCCTCGGGGTAGCCCTCGAGGAGCGGCACCTTCCGGTGCGTCGCCCGCTCGAAGAAGCCGAAGGCGTCGTCGCGCGCCAGCTCGAGCTCGTAGAGCCGCGCCGTCGCGCCGACGTAGGGCACCTCCGTGCCATCTTGCGGCTCGCGGTGCTCCCGCAGCGCCGCCGCCCAGCGCTCGACGCACAGGTTCACGCGCGCGCGGTCGAGGTCATTCAACACGGGCCAGTCCACGAAGCGCCCAATGACCAAATGCAGCGGCGCCGTCTGCCGCACGGCGCCGGCCGGGAACATCGGATCGGCCGCGTGGCGCAGGGCCGCGCGCAGCTCCTCAATATTACCCTCGACCTGTGTGGAAATCAACCAGTGAATTAGGTTGCATCGGCGCGGTCACGGGGACGACGTCGCGTCGATGGCGTGGGACGCCCGGAATTTGATTCCACACAGCCCGAGACGTCGTCAAAAAGGGCAAGCATCGTGCCGTCCGTCGCCAGGGCGAAGCCAGATATCTTCATCCACCCCAATCGGGGCTCGTCGTCTCTCCCATAACACACGCCGGCCGCCGCCGACCGATTGAGCGTGTCGCAGAAGGCCTTGGTCTCCTGGCGCTTCAGCTTGCGCTTCGCCCGCTCCGCCGCGCGCACCCTTCCTACATTCCGGTAGACGCGCTCGCCGAGCGTCCGCGTCGCGTCGCCGTCGGGTATTGTGGAGACGGCCCCGCCTCTCAAAACTTGCGACGGGTGCTCCGCGAAGACGTGCAGCAGCGTGTGCGCCTGGCCGAGCTCCGTCCAGTCGACGAGGGCGCTCATATTAATAGAGGGCACCTGCGCGTCGAGCTCGGCCACGAACGGCTCGAAGACGCGAAACTTGGCGATCTCCAGGACGAACGTCGCCGTCCACATGAGCACGGCGCACAGCGGGCCCTCGCCTTTCTCAAAGCGGCGCGGCCGCGGCCGCCCATTTCTTGTTTCGAGGCCGCGCGCGAGCGCGTCCCGCGCCGCGCGGCTCGGCCAGCCCCGGGCCTTCGCCAGGGCCTCAGTCGTTGTTAGCATTGCTTCGAGCGGCGACAGGTCGTGCGGCACCGCCTTGGGTGGTTGCGGGTGGTGGCCGCGGTGCGCGGCGTCGAGCATCAGGTGCGGCTGCAGCATCAGGTAGCAGAGGCAACAGACTCCAGAGATGGTCCACAGCGTCTCGCAGATGCGGCACATCGACCAGTTGCGTTGCCGCCGCCGCGCCGCGTGGCGCGTTTGCACCATGGCTGCTTTTAGGTGTGCCCAAACTTGCCCCTACGGCAGCAGGGGTAGCTCCGGCGTGCCGCGGGCGTGCTGGGGTATACAGACGGCTAGCGGCAGTGCAAAAATGTACCCAGGGTCCTGCAAAAGCGCCGCCGATTTGCTTGCTTGCTAAGCCTTGTTGCTTGCTAGTATGTCTAACTAGGCATAGCGTTGACAAAGACTTAGTACCCTCGTTCGTAGCCAAAATCTGCACAAAAATATTCCCGAATACCCGTGCAGCTCCGCACGGTGCGGTACTGCTGCTGGGACCTCAAATCGTTACTGCAAATTGTTTAGCGTGTCTTACAAGCGCTGCTGCGCAGTGCACTATTAATGCATCGATTATTCGCAGCGCTATGCCTGGCAACGCAAACCAAGTACGACATTTATGCGGCCACGGCTGCCACGCTCGGTCCGCAGCTCGCCGGCCGTCTCCCAGCGGGCCCCGGCCGCCAGTACTTTTACTGGCTGTGCCCCGCGCGTAAGGGCGACAAAGCGGCACCGCTGCTCGTGTGGCTAAATGGCGGCCCGGGCTCGTCGTCGATGATGGGTCTCTTTCTCGAGAACGGCCCCTACTTTGTCTCTGACGACGGCTCGCTGCACACGAGAAACGCATCGTGGAACAATAAATTCGACGTGCTGTACGTGGACCAGCCGGCCGGCACCGGCTTCAGTGTTGCACAAGAAGGTGCGTACGCCCGCAACCAAGACGATGTCGCAGAAGCATTCTCCGCATTCCTAGCCAACTTCTACGGAGCGTATCCAGAAACTCGGACCAAGCAGCTCTGGCTGACGGGGGAGAGCTATGCCGGCAAGTACCTGCCCGCAATTGCCGCGCGGTTTGTCACCCACGGCATTCCGGTCTCCGGCGTCGCGGTTGGAAACGGGCTCACGTGTCCGCGTGAGATGACGTTGACAGTCCCAGCAAGTTACTACGCCGTAGGCATACTCGACCAATCGCAACGCGACAGGGCGTATCGATTGGCCTTAGATATCGCCGCGCACATCGACGCTGGGCGCTGGTCGAATGCCACCGCCGCGAGGTCGGTCCTCTTCGATTATATCGACGGGGCGAACGGGCCGGATACGGCGCCGAATGTTGATAGTTTTCTCAAGTACGGCGAGTACGACGAACCATTTACCGCATTCCTCAATAGCGCCGAGACGAAGAAGAGCCTGAACCTTCCAGCCGACGCGACGTGGCGCCAAGAGAGCAGAGCGGTGCACGAGAATTTGTACGACGACATTATGAAGCCCTACTCGTCTCTCCTTGAACCAGTATTAGCAGCGGGAGTCCCGGTGCTCCTGTACCAAGGTCAGCTCGACGCCCGCGACGGCGTCGCCGCGACGGAGGCCTGGCTCGCGAATTGGAGCTGGACTGGCTCGCGTCGCTTCTTGGAGTCTCCGCGAAAGGCGTGGAAGTCTTCGGGGATCGCTGGCTACTACCGGAGTTGCGGCGGCCTGACGCACCTGACCGTCAACGCCGCGGGGCACCTCGTACCGCACGACGCGCCCTCACGAGCACTCGACATGATCGAGCGCTTCGTCGCGAGCGCCTTCGAGGAACAATGTTAATGTGTACACCTTTATGTTAGAAAACACCCTGGTAGGGATGCGATTCAGATGCCGGAAGAGAGGCAGGCGCGTGCGGAGGCGCGTCAGATAGACGTTGGGGGCGACAGGCAAGGCGGGGAAACGGCGCTGGCGGCGTTCGCGTGGGGCGAACGTCGAGGCACAGACAAACGGGGCGAACAGCAATGCGGTGCAAAATGGGCCGCAGGGCAGAAGAGAGACAAACGCCGTCGGCGTTCGCGTGGGGCGAACACCAGAGGGCGCGCAAGTGGTACAAACAAAGGAGGATCGGTCGTGGCGGTCGGCGGCAAACCACAATGGCAATGGGATATCAAACAAGTCAGCGGTTCTTCCGGCGCTTGAGGTTCGTGGAGACCGGGCGGTCGTCGCCGAGGCGCCGGACGACGACCTCGACGCCGTCAACGACGCCGTCGACGACGCGCGTCGTCGCGGGGTCGCACTGCGCGCGGACGCCGGCCAGGAACGCGAGGCACTGCGCCCCGCTCAGCTCCCGCACGACCGGCGCGGTCTGGTCCGGCGCCGCGAGGCAGGCGAACGCCTCGAGGAGACACGGCGCAGCGTCGGGCGCCGCGAGGTCGAAGGGCCCGCACCAGACGGTGAGGGCGTCGCGCTCGACCTCGACGGCCACCGTGGCCACGTGTTCCGCCGCCTCGAGCTGCCAGACGCGCCACGCCGCCGTGCCGGGCGGCGTCTCGGCGAACGCCATGCGCGCCGTCACGAAGCACTCGACGCTCTTTTTGGAGCGCACCTTGTGGAAGAGGGGCGAGAACGGGGGCTGCCCGCGGGGCTCGGCTCCCGGCGCGCAGAGGCACGGGGCCTCGCAGGAGCGGCACACGTCCACCATGGTTCCGTCGGCGGTGCCAGCCCGGGGCAGCTTACGCTTTTTATTTGATTGGGGTTGCGTAACCCAATGGTCGGGCGCCGGCGCGACGGGCGTCCGCCGGGGCTCCCGGGGCTCCGCACGACGCGCCCTGTCTCAGGTGATGCACTACGGCCGACTAGTGGGATTTGACAAAGTTGACTTTTTGTTTGGTTGACTTTATTAGATTGCCCAAACACAGGTCGAGACTGGTCGTTTGCTGGGCGGCGACGGCGGCGTCGTGCGAGTTTAGGCGCCGGTCGCCGGCGCGGACGTGCCGACGCTCACGCGTCCCAACGCCCGAGAAGTCCGCGCCGACTCGTCGCAGCCTACTCGACGCTCTTTTTCGCCGGGCTTGAGCGCACCATCCGCCGCTTGTGGCCCGCGTCGCCTCGTGGCCGCAAGAGGGGCGAGAACCGGGCAAATAAGCTGTGGCCCGCGGGATGCTCCGTGCAGATCTTCGTTTTCGATATAGCACCATCGGTGGCCTCGTAGCTCCGCTTGGCGTCGTCCGGCGCGCAGAGGGGCGCGGCCGCACGGGGTCCTCGTAGATCACAAATTGGCAACGCTTCGCGCGTCCGGTTTTCTAAATGCAAGACGCACGGCCAGGGAGATGAGCGCATCAGAATTTGGCGTGGCGTGTTCTAATTGCGTCCGACAGTCGAACTTTGCGTAAAACCCGTTTTGGTTGGGGTTTTCCAATAAGCAGCGAAGCGCGCGTGCAAGTGGTTCCGTCGGCGCAGCGGCAGCCGTGCCAGCCCTCTGCAGACGTCGCAAAGGTCGTCAACTACCTTGGGCGTCGTCATCTGCCTGTTGGTCTGCGCGCAACAATAACACGGCCGCGCGTTCTCCGACGTCCCAGTCGCGAAGCCCTTCTTCGACACCGTCTGGAGGTTGGCCATGTCGCCCGAGCAGACGTAATCAACGTGAACGGCGCGGCCCTCTGCCTCTGACTGGTAGACACCATTTTATTTGATTGGGGTTAACGTAGTAATATGAACCCAGGCGACTGGAAGTCGGTGATAGGCTTGCCAGTGATCGGGTCGATGGTCTTGCGTGCCTCTGATCCTCCGCGGATCCGGCGCCGGCGCCCGCGGACGCGAGCGTAGTTCCCCGTCATCTCCACGTCCATGGTTGTCTTCAGTAGTTCGGCTGGAGAGAAATGCCTGGAGGCGCCGGTACTCCGCGCACGCAAAGTGAGCTCGCACGAGGCCAATCTCCCCCGCCCGCGCGTACCACCACAAATTCTACTGAGAAAGTCGCCGACGGCCCACGGGCCACGACGCCTTCGAAGTCCGAATCCGGCGGCGGCTCCTCCGGTAAATACGCAACACGAGAACCCAGCCAGGCGCCTCGAAGCCGTCGAAGGCCATAAAGCGCCCGAGGTTGAGCTGGCTTTGTTTCTTTTTCAAATCGGCGACTTCAGTTTCTGCGGCTGCAACTCGCGCGTGTTTGTCCGGAACCCCTCCTCCAATCGCCGCCGCTCCTCGTCTAGCCGCGCCGCCGCGCGTCGCTCACAGTCTATTTTCCATGCCCTTTCTCCCAACGTCGCGCCGTCGTGCCGCTCTCTCCGCGGAGAGCGCGTTCGCCTCGCGGTCCAGAGAGAAGCTCCTGCACGACGCGCCCTGTCTCAGGTGATGCGGCCCTGCGCAGAGTGTTTTTTGTAATGCAAACCGTGGCTTTGTTTCTTTCAAATCGGCGACTTCAGTTTGCGCGTCGAGTTGCCGCTGCAACTCGCGCGTGTTTGTCCCCCTCCTCCAATCGCCGCCGCTCCTCGTCTAGCCGCGCTCCGCGCGTCGCTCACAGTCTATTTTCCATCCGTGAAAATTTGGCGGCGCGCGGTCCAGAGAGAGAAGCGTGCGCCGTTGTTGGTCCCGATCGTCTTGTTGCGCGGCGCTCCGGCTGCTTCCTCTTGCACTGGAACTTCTCCTCTGGTCGCGGGAACGGCGGCTGGGCTCTTCTAGTTTTAAACCCCCGGGTTTTCTGAAGCCCATGTTTGCCATTAACTGCCATCCGAGTGGCTCCGGGGTGCTGCCAAAAAAAAAACCTCGGCCCGAGTCGGGCATCGTCAGGGCGCGTCGCCCGCGGAGTAGCTCGTGGGGCAGCCTCGGACGCCCGCCGGCGTGACCAGCAAGTCCGCCACCGCTCGTAAACCTAATTGCTGCCAGGAGCAGCCTCGACACCACCGGATGGACCGCCGCCGGCCCCTCGACAGCCCGCGGCTCCTGGAGCCCCTGGGCCAGACGCGACGGCGGCAGCCCGAGGCCAAGAGTGACGGCCGGCCGCCCGCGCGGCTGCCGTCGCTGAGCACGCCGCGCCAGTCGAATGAAGACGCGCTGCCTCCCGTCAAACGCGGCGTCGCGGCGCTGTCTCCATTGAACGCGGTCACGCCCGACGCGCGCCCGGTCGGCATGCGCCGCCACTTCTTCGATGAACCGGGTCCTCCATTGGTCACTCCGCAGCCCTCGGAGCCCAAGTCCTTCGACGCCGCTTCGGCAGACGCGCGCCCGCCGCGCTCGCGGCCGACGCCCGCCGCGCGCCGCGGCCTGCCGCCGCGCGACCCGCTCGCGCGGAACACGCCGCAGCCGCGCGTCGCGGAGCTGGGCCTGAAGCTCGACAAGATACGGCTCGGCGCCGAAATGCCCGACGTCCGCGGGCGCGGGCGGAGCGCCTCGCCCGCCGACCTGTCGCGGCGGTCATTCGAGCCGGCGGCGCCGGAGATCTTCGAGCGCGGGCGGACGCGGTCGCCGGCGGACCTCTCTGAGATCCTCGAGCGCGGGCGGAGTGCGTCGCCGGCCGACTTCTTGCCGCCGCGCGGCCAGAGTCCCCGCGATTTTCTGCCAGCGCGGAGTCGGAGTCCCGCGGATCTGTCGAGCGGAAAATATCTTCCCGCCGATCTACGCAGCCAGAGTCCCCGCGGGCCCGGCTCGCACGGCAGCCTCACTCCGCGGGCGGCGCCGAAATATCTGCCCGCGGACCTGAGCGGCAGCGGCGGGCAGCGGCGGCGGCCCTCCTGGGACCACCGGCCATAACTATTTAGACAAACCCTTACCCATACTCCTGAACGGAGTCTATGTGCTGCTCCGACTCCTCGAACGACGTCGCCAGGGACGGGTCGTACGACGCCCGCGACGGCTGGTCCAGCGTCGGCGGCCTGTTCCCATCGAAGGACGTCCAGGTGAAGCGCGCCGTGCCCTGCGTCGTCATCGACGGCATCGTGTCGACGGGCGTCTGGACGGTCTGGTTCTCCGGGTCATCATCAGGCACGTCCTGCAGCGTGCCGGCGTCGCGCGCCTCCTGCATGAGCCGGCCGATGCGGCCGCGCATGCAGAAGTCCCTTCTCGAAACAATGACGCCGTAGTCGAGCTCGAGCGGCCGGACGTCGCGCCGTTCCTCCGTGAAGCGGTTGTAGAAGTAGGGGTCGCCCGACAGCTCGCATTCGAGTACAAGCCACTGGTCGACGCCGCGCAACAACAACCGATCGAAGGCCTGGCGGCAGACGACACCCCTTGTCAATTTTTGCAAGCGCGTCGCCATGGCCGCGTTGCGCCGGACGTTCGTCCGCAGCCGGTGGACGCGCTCTCGTCTAGTGCGTTCAGCAAGACCGTCGGCGAGCGGCCGGATCTCCCGCTGCACCTCCCGAATCAATCGCGCCTTGTCCCTGGCCACAATGGTCTTCTCGCGCGCCATGTCGGCGAACTCGACGACGGCCGCGCGCTTGTTGGCCAGCAGCTCGATGATTCTGTGTTTGAGGAAGCTCGTCTTGTAGCGCTGCACGTAGCCCTGGGAGAGTCTACCGGTGTCCCACGTGTCGTGGCCCACGCGCGACAATTCTCGAAGTTCGGCCTCGATCTGCGTGACCTCGACCTGGGCCTCGGCGTGGGCCTTGGTCGCGTCGTCGCGCGCGTCGGCGGCCTCTCTACTTTCATCCAGTAGTACATTCAGCCTCGAATAGAGAGGAGCTGCCCGATCTTGTAATGTTAATTGGCGCTGCGCGACCTCCCAGGCCGTCCGCCCGTAGTGGCCTCTCAATATTCGTTGAATTAAGGCAGCAGCGACGCCCTGGAGCTCCAGCAATCGTTTCGCTTCGCGCTTCCGCTGCACGACGTTGCGCGCGAAGTACGCCCGAGCCGACGACTGGATGCGCACGACGGCGACCTTTTCTTCCGCTCGCAAGGCTTCCAGAGAGGCTTGAATGGTGGCCAAATACCGCGACTTTGCCGCGCGCCAGGCCGCCTGAATCTTCGTGGCCATCTTGTTCTTGATCTCGTCGGCCTTGGCTTTTCTAACGGCGGCCGCGCGCATGCGGCCCCAGCAGCCCCGCAGCCAGCTCTGGATCTTGCGAGCCGTGCGCCAGAGCCACCTTCTGTAAGCACGGGCGTCCCGTCTTCGTGTAGCTTCGTCTCTCCCAAGAGACGCGCGGTACTGCGCTTGTATTCTAAGAGCGGCCTCGGCTCGGGCTTTCTCTTCCGCGCGCTTCGCGTCGCGTATTGCCTTGAGTCGTAGCGCCTCCTGCCGCGCGAACATACCTCTAAGCGCCGCCTGGAGCATGACGGCGCGCCACTCCTGCCTTGCGCGCAGTCTGGCCGCATCCAAGCGCATCGCCTCGACGGCCCGTCGGAACGACTCCACCCTCCGTTTCGCGCGGTGGGCCCGGACCGTCCGCTGCATGATCATGGCCGCGCGATACGTCTTTCGCGCCGACGCCTGCTGGTTCCGCCACTGCGCCACGATGCGCCGCGCGATCTTGCCGCGGTACATGGCCGCGAACCACGTCGCGGCCCTATGCTCGCGGTCCGCGAGCGCCACGGCCGCTACTCTTTTCCTCCATGTTCTAGCTCGCTCGCAGGCCTGCAATTTCGTCACGCAGCGCTCGAAGAAGACCCGCCTTCGGTAGGCGCCGAGGCCCGTTCTAAATACTGCGCCGCGGAACAGCGCTTGGATCTTGATAATCGACCCGAGCTCGCGCTGCCTTCTTTCCGCCTCCCGCCGCAGCCAGTCCGCGTTCTTTTTGGGTTGGTAGCCCACGTAGTCTCTAGCTAAATCGCAGAACTGCAGTTCGTCGATCAGATCCAGGAGGAACCTTCGACCGACTTTCTTGCACCCCGTCACGTTCAACTTAGCTAAACCAGTAACGTTCCGCCCGATCGCGCCGACGCCCCGCTCCGAAATGCGCTGGCAGTCGCTCAGGTCCAGGTGCCTTAACCGCGTCGAGTATCGCGCGAGCGCCTCGCAGGCCTCGTCGCCCACCGAGACGCAACCGACTAACGTCAGATCCTTGAGGTCCGGGCAGTTTCTCGCGATCGCGCCGATGGCTCTTGCCCTAACGTCGGGGCACTCGCTCAGATCGATCTTCTCGAGCTGCGTCGCGCCCCCGGTGATCGGGGGCCTCGCAGTAGCCTGCTGCTTGATGGCTTCCATGGCCTCGCGTGTAGGCGTACCATGAGCCCTTGCCTTGGCCAGCACCTCCCCTCCGGGTGGTGGTGGTGGTTTTGGTGAATCTGGAGAGACGCCGACCAATTTACAAATGTCCGCGTCGCGCACTCTGACACATCCCGCTATGCTCAAATCCCTCAAATTCCTACACCGAGATAATTTGGAGAGGGCCTTGCCCGACAGTTCCCGACAGCCCGTCACCCGCAACTCCTCCAGAAGGGGACAACCGCGCGCGACCGCGATCATGCCCGCGTCCTGCACGTGCGCGCAGCCGAACATGTCTAATCGTACGAGGTCGTTGCAGTACCGTCCTAGGGCTAGTAATGCCCGATCGCCGAACTCTCCGACCCTAGGACAGCCCGACACGTCCACTCTCGTCAATCCTCTACATCCTGAAGCTAGTACCGCCAAACCGTCGTCCGTGACGCCTTGGCAATCTTCCACTACTAGTTGTTTCAGATGGGGTAGCGACGCGGCGATGGCATTCAGAGCATCATCATCGAGCGAAGCACACCTCGATAATTCTAGCGTGGTCACGCGCGGACATCCTAGAGCTAATGCTCGAAGACCCACTCTAGTGAATCCTGGAATCCCAGGACCAATCAACGTCTCGAGCTCGGGGCAGTGCTTCGCGAGAGTCAGTAACGCCATGTCCGTGAGCTCCTCGCACTCCGAGACGTTGAGCGACACCATGCGCGGCTGCATCACACAAACCTCTTGTATGATCGAGTTCGTGACCGGCCGTAATGCCTCCTTCCGGTAGTTCGTCAAATCAATGTCTCGCCGAATCCGCACGTTGCCGCGATTGTCGTCCACCAAAAAGTCGCAGAGGAACGTCCTTAATGTAGCTCTAGCTCTTGGAGACGCCCGCTCGAACACATCCGGCCCGAAGTCCGTGGACTTGGGCTGGCCGTCCAATTGAGCTTTGTCGCGGACCGGCCGCAAGCCTAACGTTAAGCCTTGCAAAGTTTGCGCGTCGGGCACCTTCGACGAGGTCTCTCCGTCCGATGCATCGTCCTCCTCGTGCACGACTTTCTGCTTCTTGGGCTTCGTCTTTCGAACAGAAGGAACGAGCTCGGGGTCCGCGTAGCCGGGGTCGTGCGTAATGTACTTGGGCTTCGCCGCCTGCACAGCTTTCTTGCGGTCGGCGCGCAGCTGGTCGAGCGACTCGAGCACGCCGGGCGCGCGCTCCTTCTTCACGTGGTCCGCGGCGACCGGCATGGTGTCCTATGCCTCCTTGGCTGGGTTGGGGGCAGCCCTCGCCTCGGCGGTTGATGAGGCTGCCTCGACGCACGCGTTCTATGTATAACTGCGTTCCGAGGCGCCGCGCTCGTCTCTGCCGGGCGTGGGCGTGCTCAGCGCCGCCTGGGCATTGCCAAAGCAACTGGGCGCTGCCAAAGGCCATGGCCCAACCACCCCGCGTTTCCAGCCCTGTCCTCCGCGAGCCATCCCCTCTCTTCACGGGTAGGGGTGGGCAGACGGGTGGTTCCTCTGGTCGGCGCTCCACCTGCACTTTGCTGCCCACAGAGCGCTCGTCTCGTAAACACGGTCCTCGGGGACGCTACGGGACCTGCGAGAGGCCTGCAAGCCGAGCAAGGAACCGCTTAGTAGTGCCACCCACGAATATCGCAAGCGCAGCGCCCCAAAAGGCGCCGCCGAGGAGCAAAGAAAGAGCCTGAGAGCAGCAGCACCTAAAATACATTCGTGCGAACGCCGGCTACGTCGCACGGCCCTTCGGACTTGCCAGCGGCGCGCCATCGACGCGACAGATCTCCAGCAAGAGAAAACCATGGCTACCGGCTGGTACGGCCGCTCCGTCGCCGCCGCGTCGTTGACGCGCCTCCCGCGCGGCATCTGCTGCGGCGTCTGCGGGCTGACGGAGCCGACGCCGGACTCTACTGAAGACGGCCCGGCCGACACGGCGGCCGCCTGGGCGACGATGACGCGCCACGTCCTCGAGACGCACTGCACGCCGTGCTGCGTGTGCGGCGAGGCGGCGGGCGGTTTGATAGAGCTGCGGACCGGGACGCTCGCGCCCTGGGTCCGCCGGTCGCGGGCGCCCTCGGCCCTGCACGCCCTGCGGGCGCGCCGCCGGACGCAGCAGCGCGACCGCGACCGCCTCGAGCGGGCGCAGGCGGCGCCCGCGCCGCCGCGCGCCCGCGCCGTCGGCGCGACGCGCGGCGGAGTCTCGCTCCGCCGCGTCCCCACGCGCGCGACGCCGGCGCCGGGCCTCGCGGTTTCGAGCTCGGCGACGCCGTTCGCGGGCATGTCGCCCCTCGCGGCGGCGCGGGCGAGGCGCGAGGCGGCGGTGGCGGGCGCGCCCGCGCCCCGCCTGCGCGACCGCCTGCGCGCCCAGTACGCCGCCGAGCGCGACGTCGTCGACCTCACGGCGCCGCACCCCGCCGAGCTCGCGGGCCTCGCGGTGCTCGAGCGGGGCCCTCCGCCGCGGCGCGCGCGCCGGGACGCGGCCGTCTACTACGACCTGACGGCGCAGCGGCCCGCGTCCGCGGTGCCGCGCGCGCGGACGCAGTGCGCGCACTGCGCCTGCGAGCGCTGCGCCCGGGAGACGGCGACGCGCGCGCTGAACAGCGACGACGGCCGGGTCGCGTGCCCCGCCGAGGGGTGCCAGGCCTCGCTGTCGCTCGAGACGCTCGCGGCGCTGCTGCCTCCCGAGGAGAACCAGGCCGCGCGGAACCGGCCGGCCTTCGACTGCGTCGCCTGCGGCGAACGCGTCGCGCGCCGCGACACGATCGCGCTGCACCGCCAGCTGCCGTACCACCACGCGCTTGCGCTCGCGCCGCCGCCGCCCCCGGCCAACGTCGGCGGCCAGGCGTCGGCGTGCGACATGTGCGCGCCCTGCGCGGCGCGGTGGCTCGAGATCCAGGCGCGCGATGGGGCCATCTACACGCGGTGCCCGACGCCGGGCTGCAAGACGCCGCTGCCCCGCGAGGCGCTGGAGCTGTTGCTCGAGCCGGAGGCCTACCAGGCCCATTTAGCGCGCGCGCGGCGCTCCTACGAGCAGCGGCTGCGGGACCTGCAGGCGCGGACGGCGGCGGGTTCAAATGACGACGACGACGGCACGGCGGCGTTCCTGGCCTGGGCCGGCGACTCGACGCGGGCGTGCCCCGAGTGCCACGTCCTCATCTACCGCTCGGAGGGCTGCGCGCACATGTCGTGCGCGTGCGGCGCCGAGTTCAACTGGGACAGCGCCGAACGCGTCGGCGGCAGCTCCGCTGCGCCGCCGCCGACGGCGCCGGGCGCGCGGCGCGCCGTGGGCGCCGAGGACATCGCGGCCCTGCTGCCGCCGGCCTTCCCTGACACGTTGGCTGGCGTCGGCCTCCTGCCGGGCGGGTCCGCGCGGCGCCGGCCGGCGCAGCTCGGCGGCGCGACAGTGTCGGCCCTCGACCTCGAGCTCGAAAGGGCGCGATCGCGCGCGCTCCAGCAGGAGCTCGACCGGACGCGTGCCAGATTGCGACAAATCGGCGCAACCGCCGCGGCCGTCACCGCAGTGTCGCCGGCCGCCGGCCCGACGCCGCCGCCCGTGTTCGCGCCGGCGCTCGCGGATTCGGGCCTCGTCGTTTCAAACCCGGCGGCGGCCGCCGAAGCGCCGCCGGCGCCGCCCCCACGCCGGTCAAAGCGTGCCGCTGCCGCTCAGAGCCCGGCGGCGCCCAAGAAGCGTCGCTGAACTATATGATTCCCCCTCTCGTCCCTCCCCCTCTCGTTCTAAGAAAGTTCACACGTACGGTCCCTCGGTATGGTATCGGTATACCACCGACAACGCCGCACGCGCTTCGGTCGCGTCGATCGGCATTGTGGCGTTCGTCGTCGTCGCAGCTGGTCTGTAGTGATGTGTTGCTGGTGTAATGTCTACGTAGATCTCTCGGTAAGCTAGTGCCTAAGCTAGTGCCTCATTCATGTCTTGCTGGGCAAAACGACCAAAAAACGCTGGAGAATACATTGATCCCGCGACTCTCTCGCGGTGATACCTTGCCACGTTGCCTTAACGTATGAAACGCGGCTCTTAAGCACAAAATTCCCGAGAGTTGAGCCTCGCGAGCGCTTGAATTATAAGTTGAATACCAATGAAAGCAGTGACCCTTGTCCAAGTTCACCCGCGCCAGCCGTCAAAACGCACGCGAAATTACTGCCACAGGGCCACAACCAGACCAAAACACCTGAGACAACGACAGAAAGTCGTGACTCTGCCAGTCGTCGCGCTATGCATGCTCGTGAGCGTCGTCTTCTTCAGCATCGGCTGGACCATCGCGGGGATTTCGGTGCGCGGCTCGTGGCAAGATGATGTCGAGGCGCTAACGTTCTTACGCGACTCATCGATCGAGCTAAATGATTATTTTGGAGATTCCGAGGACCCGAGCAAGTGGACAGGTGTCGCCGTGAACAATGGGCGCGTGACGGGCCTCACATTAGAAAAGTGTTCAAGGATTGATGGACTGGACGCCATCGGCTCGATCGAGGAACTGGAGTCTATGTCCTGGTGCACGAAACTTGTCGCGCTTCCGGAAGCGGTGCGCGGACTCAACGCGCTCGAGGAGCTATACTTTGTGGAACCCGCCAATGGCAACACCGCCACCGAAGAGGCCGAGCCGACCGCCCTGCCGTGCTTTGGTAGTGGCTCCGGGGATACGCCATCGTCGCCTTGTCCTGAACCCAGCAGTCGGAACCTCCGCGGCCGCCGCTGAGCAATTTTTCCCGAAGTTTTGTACATAACGATCCTACTAGATTAATTAAGTTACCCGAACGTCCGCGCCATGTCCTCGTCGAGCCGCGCCAGGATCAGGTCCTCGGACATGGCCTTGACAGCGATGCCCTCGCTGTACGTGCCGCGGACGGCGCGCACGCGCACCCCGTCCACAGCCTCGACCACGAGCCGGACGCCGCCGGCCTTGGATCGTTTCGGAGCCCGCTTGTCCACAAACACGAGCTCGGCGCCGTTTGGCGTCGGCACGACGTCGACGGGCGTCGTGAGCCGCCGCGCGTTGTCGCCTTTTTTCGTCCATAGTGTGGCCCACTCCCGAACCCAGCTCAGGACCTCGTTCTCCGACGCGCGTGCGGGCCTCCTCAACAACTCGGGCCCGTCCGCCTTTAGCAACAAGTCGCTCCAGTCCACTGACGCGTCGGCGCCGCTGACTGCGATAGTCGCGTTCGCCACGCGCGCGTCGAGGCAGCACCGCGCCAACGCCGCCGCCGCGACATCTACAGAAGTGGCCTCGTCGAGCGTGTCGCCGACCTCCACGACGGCACTCCCAGACGCGCCCTTGGCCTCGCCCAGGCGGACCACAACACTTTCACCCCCTTCGCCAATCTTCTGCAGGGCTAATTTGGCAGCACCCTCCACGCCGCGCGCGCCGTCGAGCGCGCCCTTGCGGAACAAAAACGCGAACTCGCCGGACCGCGTGACGCCCTGGCGCGACGCGACGACGACGCGTCGGGGCCTCGCAGTCTCCACGAGGCGCTTCGCCTCGGCCTCGCCCGCGTCCACCAATACCAACGTGCCCGTGTTGCCACGTTTAGCGTCGCCCACGGACACCTCTTGTACACCCAGCTTCTTGAGCTCGTCCACAACTAACTCCTGCAGCGCCCCGCCCTTCGCTCCACACACGCGCACGGCGTTCGATACAGGTACATTGGCCACCGGCGCCGGCTCGGCCAGCACGTCGTCCAGCGTCACAATCACGTCCTCATCAAATTCCGGTAAAGGACCGCGCGGGTCGACGCCCGCCTCGCGCGCTAAAGCGTCCATGCGCGTCTCGAAGGCTCTGGCCTCCGCGGCCATCTCCTCTTCGAGTTCCGCTCGTTTGATATTTGTGACGGCCAGGTCGTCCTCCTTCATCTTTTCCACCGTACTCTTGAAATCCTCCTTGGCTCTTTCAAAGGTCGCCTCGAGGGCCGCGCGATCGACGTCGCGCTGATCTTGCTTCGAGAGGCGGCCACCAGCTTTTCTTAGTTCCGCCTCCAACGTCTTATCTTCTTCCTCAAAGTAGTCCTCGTCGCGGGCGCCTCCATAAGTACTGCCTTCGATGGCCGCGAACTGTTCTTTCAGTTGTGCGAAGAGCGCCGCCTGCTCGTTCTCTGACGGCGCTTGCGCGGCGAACTTGGCCATGTCTTCGGGCGAGAGGTCGTCGTCGAGGTCGCCCTTGGCTGCATTTAGGCGTGAGCTGTGCTGCGTCGGCGGCTGCTGGAAGGCCGCGGCTGCGGCTAGAAAAAGTAGGATGCGCATCCTCAGAGTGATGTGGAGACTACGTGCCAGCGCACAACACTGACTGCGGGCGCTGCAGGCAAGAGTTATCAGTGTCTGAAACAAGTGGCAGGCAGCTATGGCAGCTCTCGCCGCACAGAGCCGTGTCTGGCGCGGTTTCGAGGCCTTGCTAGCGGCATGTAAGACACTAGCAAGCATGAAGTGGTCGCGGGGCTTGTCAAAGGCCTCTGACGCATGATTCCGATGGCTTTGTGACGAGCTTTGGGGGGAGGGGCAGGGTTGGTCCAGTCACCAAGTCTGGATTCCATTTGACAGCCTCCCCAACTCGTGCCGCCGCTGCCCACCGTCGGTGGCTGCTTACAGGAACATGCGACGACGGGTATTCATCCGCGTGCTGGCTGTCTGTCTCTCTTCCTGCGCATCTGTAGCTGCAAACGGTCGCGGGCAGCCTCCCACACGACGGCGGCTGAGCGCATGGATCGCGCCGCGTCGTCCAAGCGCTGCCCCGCGACGCGCCGCCGCCGCGAGCGGCGAGAAACCGACGCGGAGCGTGCGATGGACTGCGAGGTCCGAAGTCGCCGCGCCCTGCGACGATCGCATGCGTCAATACCTGCGACAAATGGACGGTAACACTCTCGTGCGGCTCGACGATTCCGTCGAAGCCGTCACGCCGCTGGGCGGGGATCGCTACGAGGCCGCGATCACCTCGGTGGGCTTTTTTGGGTTACTGGCGTGCAAGCCCGTCGCGACGCTGCGCGTCGAAAGGACGGGCGCAGGCATCCGTTATGTCACCGAGAAGTGCCAGATGGTCTTCTCCGGCCCGCTGCGACGCCTCGTGTCCGGCCTAGCCGGCATTGGCGTCGAGGCGTGTACGGAGCTGAGCGCCCGCGACGGTAAACTGGAAGCGACGGGCGACTTTGCGCTGACGCTTCCTCTACCTCGGTGGTGGCCCGTGCCCGACAGGGCCATGGTTCGGGGCGAGGGCATGATCCGCGGAATCGTAGAAAAGGACACGCGACTGACGGTCGAGCGGCTAATTAGTAGTGTCTCTTAAGAAGCAGTCATCTACTTCCACGCCGCCCGCGCCGCGTCGTCGAAGGACGCCATGTGCGCGAGCCACCGCGCGGCGTGCGGCAGCGCCGCGGCGTCGCAGGCCGCACCCCTATGCTTCGCGAAGGCCGCGGCGTCGGCCGCCGACGGCGCGTAGCCCCCTAAATAAGGAGCGTACTCGACCTGGCCGTTCAGCTCCGCGAGGGCGCCTCCACCAGAAGGCGCGGGGGGCGGCTTCGCCGCCTTGGGCGCCTTGGGCGCTTTCGGCGCCTTCGGGGCCTTCGGCGCTGCGGGCGCGGGAGCGGCCTTCTTCTTGTCCTTGCGCGAGCCCTCGACCTTTCCGGTGGGAGCGAACTCCGTGCCGTGCACCTCGAGGTGCTTGGCCTTGAGCTTTTTGAGTTCGTCGACGGCCTTCATGATCTCCTCCTTGGACGCTTTGGCGGCCTTCATCTGCCTGATCTTGTCGCCCTGGGCCGCGCACGCCGCCGCCTCCGGGTTCCCAGGAGCTTGGGGTGCCTTGAAGGGCTTGCCGTCCATCGTTCTTATAAAAGGCATGAAGTCCACGCCGCCCATGAAGGGTCTCAACACCTCAGGTACGACCACACCCGTCTCCGTCTGGTTGTTCTCGAGCAAGCAACATATCGTCCGGCCGCAGGCGCACAACGTACTATTGAGCATGTGCACGTACTTCTTCTCCCGCGAGCCCATCTTCTTGCCGCCGCAGCGCACCTCCATGGCTCGGGACTGGTAGTCCGTGCAGTTCGAGCAAGATACGAGTTCGCGATACTTTTTTTGAAAAGGGAACCAGCACTCGATGTCGTACTTCTTGATGGCCGCATTGTTCAATTCGCCAGACACAATGTTCACGACGTGGTACGGGAAGCCCATGGATTGAATGTACTCCTCGGCGATGTCCCGCATCTCCTCGTGCATCTCGTTGGACTTCTCCAAGTCTCCCGTCGTTAAACAGAACTGTTCCACTTTTTCGAACTGGTGGACGCGGAAGATGCCCCACGTGTCTCTCCCGTGCGAACCGGCCTCCTTCCGGAAACAGGTGGACACACCCGCGTATCGTAGAGGTAACTCTGACTCCTGCAGCCACTCGCCCTTGTGGTAGGCGCAGATGGGCTGTTCAGAAGTGGCTATGAGATACTTTTCCTGGTCGCCCCCCGTGACCTTATACAACGCTTCATCGAACTCCGAGAGTTGCGCGACGCCGCCCATCAAATCCTTATTCATCATGTAGGGCGGCTGGAGGATCTTGTACTGTTTCTTTCGTAAGAACGCGATGCCGTAGTTAATCACAGCTTGGTTGAGCAACACGCCATAGTCCGTAAAAAAATAAGCTCGATGACCAGCAACTCTCACGCCGCGCTCCGGCTCGTAGCCACCGATCATATATAGTAATTCATGGTGCGAATATTTAGCATCTTGTTTACACGTACCCCACTTGTTGACCACTTCGTTGTCCTTGTCCTCATCATTAGAAACGGGGACGGAATCCTCGACCAAGTTCCCGATGGTGTTGAACAGCTTCAGCACTTTTTGCAGTTGCGGCTCCGTCGCGGCTTCGGCTTCCTTCACCTTCGCATCTAACGCTTTTAAATCTTTCAGCATCTGCGGGTCGACTTCTTTCTTCGCTTTTTTTAATGCGGTAATTTCTTTTTGTTTGGCGTTCTTCTCGCCTCGCTTGTCGTCGGCCAACGCGACGAGGCGCCGCCACTCCTCGTCCTCCGCAATCACTTTGTCCACCAACGCGACGTCGGCGAAGCGCCGCCGCTGCGACTCGCGGACCTTCTCGGGGTCGCCGCCCTTGTAGGCGCGGATGGTGTTGATGTCTAAAGGCATTTTCCTGCGGTCTAGGCGATCCGGTGTTTCGTGCCAACGCGCTGGTTTTTGGCGCGGAAAGTTGTATCTGCCAGCGCGGCGCGTCGATGGCGTCTGCTGGATGCGTTCGCCTTTTGCAAACAGCGCGCTAGCGTGAGCTGTCGGCTGTGCAAAACACAGTCGCGCAAAAAAAGCTCCGATAGCGTGGTAACATACTAGAATCAAAACTTACTAGCCACAGCGGCGGATGCTGGTGTTGTTGGCCGCGCTACACGCCAACTACCGATATCGGCGAAGCGCTACCGGGGCAGCGTCCTGCCCAGCGATCGCGGGCATGGCACGAGCGGCCTAGGCGGTTTGCCAGAGGCAAGAGGCAGCCCACCGGCAACCCCAACGCTTGGGCAGCCGCGTTGTTAGCCAGGCAGCAGCCGCAAGACCAAAATGGCGACGCGCATCAAGGACGGCATCTTCGTGGCCGACGGCGAGTCCAGCCAGGACGGCGAATTCGTCGAGATGAACAAAATATCGTACGTGATCAATTGCGCGGGAAGACAGCTCCCGAACCTGTGGGCGCCGCACGGTATTCGCTATTTGACTTTCTCCTGGGAGGACGAGCCGTCGTACCGACTCTTCGACGCGCACGACACGGGGCGATGCGTCGTCGCGGAGCAGATCTGCGCCTTTGTTGACGAAGCCCTTATATCTGGCGAGGCGGTTTTGATCCATTCGCTGCGAGGTACTGGAAGAGCAGTAGCTTGCGCACTGGCCTACCTGATGCACAAGTACGAGTGGGGCCTCGAGAAGTCGTTGGCGTTTGTGCGATCGAAGCGCGCGGACGCGGCCCCCAACCCGGGCTTCCTGAAACAGCTCGCGGCGCTCGATCGACGCTTACAAAAAGCGCGCTGTCGGAAAATAGAAAGACTCCCGGCGAAGAAACGGAGGCAGGCCTATGAGGACGCGCAAAGACGCCTAGAAGCATGGGACGCGACGCCGGCAAGGATCCAATCATGGGACGCGGTCGTCGATAAGGACGCGGAAGAACTGGTCCAGGACGAGGAAGAGCTAGTGAATAGCTTCTTCAACGCGAAGTGCAACGTCGACGTCGCGAAATTGCGGAGCGCTGCGCACGAGATGGCGCACGCCGCGACCAGGCTAAGGTGGGTCGACCGGCGGGACGCGGGCATGCGGGGCGTCGTGAGCGGCCCGTCGGGGAGTGGGAGGGGCCCGAATCTGAAAGCGCCGCCCCCCCGACGCGGCATCCTCAAGAAGACTTCTCAGCCATCCAACCCAGGCTTGAAGAAGAGCCCCGTCGCATCCGATAGACCGACCTTCGCGTCGCGACCTGTGGTGGTTGATCCCTACGCGGACGAGGTCGACCCCTACGGCCGCGGGTTCTCGTCGCCGTCCGAGGACGGCGCGCCGTCGCCCGACGAGCGCCTCAAGGCTATTGTTAGGGATGTGGAACTACTAGGCTCGCCGCCGCGGCGCGAAGCTAGACGGCGTGCCGAGAAGCCGCGGAGTTCGGGACGGACGACCTTCGACGGGACGACGCTGCCTCCAACCAAACGGCCGCCGTCGGCAGAAAAGCGGCGCCGGAAGAAGACACCTGTCAAGGCGCGGCCCGGCACGCCCGCGGCGCAGTCCACCACAAAGTCGCGGCGGACGCCGCCGCCGGGGCCCGCCGGGCCCGCGCCCGTCTTCAGCGGCGCCATCGCGTCGGGGCTGCGGCGGCAGAAGCGGCGGTCGATCAAGTCTGGGGACTTCGACCCGCTCGCCCAGACCTACTCCGCGCCGCGGCCGTCGCAGCGGCGGCCGACGTCGGCGCCCGCGCCGCGACGGCGACGCGCGCCCCCGGTGTCCGGCGGCCTCTTTCCGGCGACGCTCCTCGCCGGCTTCAACGATCTTATGATCCGCGGCGCGACGGACGACTCCTGGGGGCGGCCCCGGGCCGACGTGCACCGCGCGTACGCGCCGCCGCCGGCGCACGTGTCTCGCATCCGGCGGCCGCGGCCGGCGTCGACGTTCTAGTCGCTCGCCGTAAAGTGGATAGTTCTCGAAATCAGTCTGGCGCATTGTGGCTTACCCCTTAAAGCGGTCGATGCTAGAGCTAAATCCCGAGGTCTTATGTTGTTACGGTGCAAGGACTATGGGCGGCACCCGAGCTATACGTGGGCTAGCAACTCTATTGACTTAGCTCGTAGCCTAATTGGCCCACGCCTCGCGACGCATCGTCCACTCACGCTGCCGCGGGGAGGCAGACTGGAGACTGCTGCTGTGCCTTTCCCGTCACGCAGCTCTTTGCATCCCTACTGCCGCGGGCTCCGAAAACAAAGACTGCTGCAGGCTGCACAAATGTGCTCAAACGCATGCGTAGCGGTCACACGAATCAAAATAGATCCGAACGACTGCGATTTCGGAGCGCCGCTGTCTCTGCACATCACGTTCGATGCTCTGCGACCGCTACAAAACGTGCAGTGGTTCTTCTCCTACGCGCGCGACATCGTCGGCGCGCCTGACGATGTCGTCGAGCTACACCGGGCGGCACCCGCGGACTACGCCGGCGCCGCGCACGTCGCGTGCTCCGCGAAACTCGTCGGCGACGCGCCCAACTGCGGCGTCTTGCGGTGCGCGCTGCACGAAGGTGGGGGCGCGGAGCTGTACCGGCTCGACCTCGTCTGCCAGGTGACCGCGGACGAGGCGACGGGCGAGCTGCGACGGGTTATTTACTCGCCGCTCGGTGACTAATGTGTGTGATCCTTAGGGCATCTCTCCCATCATACCGCCGTGGTCCACACCCACGTCAAGGAGCTGCGAGCGAGGCAAGCGCGGGCAGTGGCCCGGGCGACGCCCTTCCCGCACCCATATGGCCTCCTGGTGCGCGGGGCATGTAGGCGTCGCCGGTTCGCGCTCCGGGCATCGGAGCGAGCAATCGCGGTCGCCGCGGTGACAGCCGCACGCTTGCGGACAAAAAAGGGACAACGGCTTGTGGCCGCCGCGCCCCCTCACGCACAGGTTGCGACCACTCAGGTACGGCGGCATGGCCTTCGACCCGTTCCTCGCGTCGGCGCGGAACGCGTCCTCCGTCGAGTTGAGGTCGTGCCAGACGCTAGGGTCGCGGAGGTAGCGGCACCCGTACGTCTTGAGGTAGCCGACGTAGACATTTACCTGTCTCCGCAGGTCGACCGGCATGGACTCGGAGTCGCGCGCCTTGTGGTCCAGGTAGCGCTGGAAGGCGGTCCACCGCGTCATATTCATGACGTCGAGCGCGACGGCGTCGTACGCGTCGCCCTCTGCCGTGACGTCCGTGCACGGCATTGTGCGTAAGGCACCGTGGTAGAAGCCAGTGGTGTCCACCGAGCACCCCTGTTCTATGTCGGTGAGGGCCTGGTCCGTCAACGGATACCCGCACCCGCATGACGACCAGCAGCACTAGCGTGAACACGGACGCGCCGCGGCCCGAGACCGACGCGAACTGGAAGAGCGCCGAGTCCCAGACGCTTGGTTGGAGCTCGATCTCGTCGCTGGCGACCTCGAGCTTCTTCACCGTCCGCGACGACAGACGCCGCGCGATGCCTCCGAGTCGCTCGCCGGCCTCTCCGTCGCTCGACGGCCCCGTCGCCGACGTCCGGAGGCTCCGGATGAACTTGATGTCTTCGGGCTCGAGGCCGTCGGACGGCGGCGGCGCCTCAACGCCGTCAAAATCCATTTCTCACGATTCACTCGAAAGGTTTATGGCTCTAGACTAAGATTGAGGGTTAGCGGTGTGGCGCCTTCTGTGGAGCGGCCAAGGCGTTTTAGCCGAAGTGACTCGCACGTCGCCGCGGTTGTTGACGCGGCCGCTGAGACCAAATCTGCAAAAAAGCTGCAGCAAAAACCCGTTTTGACGCCGCCGGGGGGACTACATTATCGTCGCCTTACCCTCGCCTGCTCCCGCCGCAGCGTGTCGATCGACACGCCGGTCCGTTTGCAGAACTCCGCGTCCGCCGCGCGTATCCGGTCGATGACGGCCGCCGGGTCCGCGCCGGCGGTCGCGCGGATGGCGGCCAGCCGCGGGCGGTAGCGCTTCTCGATGCTGTAGCCCAGGCGGGCGGGCATCGAGATGATCTTGGACCGGATCTCGCGCGGCGACATCCCGAGCTCGTGCTCGAAGTAGGACAGCTTCGGTTCCAAATTCTTGTCGACACTGTAGGCAAGCGTCGCCGGCAGCGTGAGGCAGATCTTCTTCAGCTCGTCGCGGCTCAGGTCGAGGCGCTCCTGCAGCCAGTCGAGCTTTGGATTGACGTTCTTATCCATGTTGAGCGTCAGTACCGTCGGCACGCGCAGGACTAGCTTCCGCATCTCGTGATCCGAGAGGCCGAGCTTGGCCCGCAGCTCGGCGCAGACGACCTCGGCCTTATCGCGCCGCACGGAGTTCGCCACCTGCGGCAGCATCTTCGCCTCCGCCCTCACGGCGTCCTCGAGCGAGCAGCCGAGCGTCTGCACGCAGTAGTCCGTGGCCACGCCGGGCCGCACGACGCCGCGGCGTCTGGCGCTCGGCCTAACGCCGGTCCTCGCGACGCCGCAGCGTCTGGCGCTCGGCCTGACGCCGGTCCGCACGACGCCGCAGCGTGGGGCTGCCATCGGTCGCCGCCCAGTGAGGGACTCACGCGGCGCCAGTCCGAGCGCGACCGCGACTGTGGCAAATACCATGGCAGCAAGCATGATGTGCAAATGGCAATGGAGCTGCAGATAGCAGCTTTGCCAGGACTGGGAGGCAAGCGCCTTGCAAAACTCGTATATTTATGATGAATTTACTCCTTCGAAAGCCTGCAACCGCTGTACGACGCGGCAATCTAGCCGCTGTACTCTCACGTTTGCAGGTGCTCCTCTGTCTGCCGATCCGTCGCGTTGCAACAAACGGCAGAGGTCGAGGTCTCCAGAGACGTCCCAGGAGGCGCTCCTCCAAGAGCCGTGCATAAATTCGCGGGACCCCGGCCGGCAAGGCTGGGCGATTTTGCATGCATTGTCACCCGGCTGCATTTCCGCATTCGTGGTTGCGGCTACGTACTGACCGCATTGCGTGTGTCTCTGATACCTCTGCCAACTGCTGCTGCAGCACCGGTGCTCGGACAGCACGTAGCTGCATAGCTGGGTAACCTCCAGTGGACAGCCACTGCTACAAAAAAGCAAAAGACATGGGCCCGCCCCTCCAGCACGTCTGCGGCATCGCCATCGGCTACTGCGAGGCGCGCGCCGTCATCATACGACGCGACGCGACGACGAACGCGATCGGCCAGCCTTCATTGGTCGCGTCGGAGTCGGGCGCGCGCAGCACGCCTTGTGCTGTCGCATTGGGAGGCACGGGCGAGTGTGTGGTAGGAGACGCCGCCCTGTCGCAAGCCGCCAAGAACCCGGCGGCGACCGTGCCGCGCGCGCTGAGTTGCTTGCCCCATTCAAATGATGACGAAGGCGCGCTGAAGGCCCGGTTAGCGACGCACGGCGCCGGGAAAGTCGAAATAGATGGCGCCACGCTGCAGCTCGCCAAGACCGTCTGGGACGAGGACGGCGAGGAGACCGAGGTAACTGCTGCTTTAAGCGGTTCGGACGTCGTCGCGAAGATCTTCGGTGAATTGCGGACGCGGGTCGCTGATACATTAGGAGCGGACGCGAAGGAGGTCTTATGTTGTGTCTTAGCCGCGCCGTCGGATATTTTGGCTGATACGGTCTCTCGCAAAGCTTTGTTGGATGCGGCGGCCCAGGCCGGGCTGCGCATTTTGCAAGTCGTCGACGAAGGTGATAGCGTCGCGAGCTTCGCCGCCCAGGACGACGTGGCGTGCGATTCGGTCGTCGTGTTGGACGTCGGCGGGACTCGTGCCAAGGCGACGTCGTATACAAGGCACGCCACTGGAATCCTAGAGAGAGCCAAATGTCAGGACGACGCGTCGCTGAGTGGCGACGCGTTCACGTCCTGCTTGTACGTCTTCGCGGCGACCTTCCTCCGGAGGCGGCAGAAGATCGACGTCGACACGGGCGGCGCGCGGGCCAAGCGCAAGTTAAGAGATGCCTGCGCCCGCGCCGCCAAGCTCCTGGCGAACGGCGCGGCGCAGGCCGACGTCGAGGCCGACGCGTTAGTCGACGGCATGGACGCGCGCGCGCGCGTGACGCGCGCGCGCTTCGAGGACTTGACATCGGACGTCGTGGCGAAGGCACAATCATTGGTGGAGGCCGTCTCCATTGGATCGAGTCCTCTCTTAATCTTCGCGGGCCAAGCCGCGCGGTCCGCGCCGCTGCGCGCGGCAGTAGTGGCGGCGGTGCCGGGCGCGGCCGTCGCGGCCTTCGGCGAGGCCGCGGAGCTCGCCTGCGTCGGCGCCGCGCGCCAGGCGGCTTTATTGGCCTTCGGCGCGGACCCCGAGACCGCCGCGCCGGCCGAGCGCCGCGGCAAGGGCCTCGCCAAGGCCTTCGCGTCGCCGCGCGCCGACTTCTGCCTCAAGCAGACGGCGCTGCCCTGCCTCGAGGCCGACGTGAGCGTCGCGGCGGCGCGCCTCGCGGCGTTCCCGACCGACAAGCCGTCCGCGGAGGCCGCGCTCGCGCCGCTCGCGGCCGCGGCGGTCGCCGTCGCCGCGGCGGGCGCGCCGCTGCCGCTCGGGAGCGACGCGTCGGTCGCGGTCGCGGGGGCCGGGCCGGCGCTCGCCGTCGCCGTCTTCGCGGGCGGCGCGCTCGTGGCCGCCGTCGACGCGTCGGCGCTTGGGGCCGCGACGGAGGTCCTCGCGGCCGTCGCGATCGCCGCGGACGCGGCGCTCTCCGTTGCCGTCGAGGCGGACGGGACGCGGCTTCCCGAGGTGCGCGTACCGGCTGCATCGTAGCTTGTGAGTAATAGGTTTATCATCATATAGTTAATTTGGTCATAAATGCCGATACCGCCGCTACACGCAGCATAAGTACCGGGCCCGCAGATAGTGCTCACACGCCGAACGAGTCGAAGAAGTCCTTGTCCGGGTCCACTTCGAGTTTCTTGGCCTTCCGCGCCGACGGCTTTGCTGACGGCACCGAGGCCGACCGCCCCGCCGCGAGGTCCGGCGCGGGCGGCGGCACGGGCGACGACGTCGTCCGCGCCGTCTGCGCCGGCGCGGGCGGCGCCGGCGGCGACGCGCGGCCGCGCGAGCCGCCCGAGCCCGAGGACGCGAAGGACCGCTGCGACGCGCTGCGCGGCATCGACGCGCCGTCGGGGTCCGAGCCCAGCGACTGGATCGTCTGGAGGCGGTTGTTCCCGCTCCCGAAGCCGTTCTCCTGCGACGCCTGGTAGCCCGACGAGCCGCCGTTGGAACCCATCGATTGCAGTGACGTCGAGGAACCGCCGCCGCCGAAGCCCTCGTACGACGAGCCGCGCGCCAGGCCCGACTGGCCCAGACCGGCCGTCAGCGCGCCGGGCTCGGGGTCCGCGACGGTTAGATCTTTGACCTTGTCCGACAGCACGGACCCCCACCGCTTCAGGCCGCCCCAGGCCGCCCCCGCGACCTCGCCCGTCTTCGAGCCCAGGTCCCGTACAGTTTCCTCCTCTGCTAATTGAGACCCCCAGGACCGCAGCTTGCCCACACCTTGCCCTAAAGCGTCCTGCACGTTGTTGAGTGAGATGTCGCCCTGGCCTAATCCTGCTAAACCGCCACCTCCATAAGTACCCGTCTTGGGGTCATAATCACTATTTGAGCCGACGCCGCCCATGGCACCACCACCACCAAACTTGGCGCGCATGCGCGCGCGGGCCTCGGCCTGGAGGCGCCGTTGGCGCGCGACGTACTGCTCCGTCGTCTCGCCCGCCAAAGCCGCCGATCCTTTGGAGTCGCCACCACCAAACCCGCCCGCGGACATGGACCCGCCACCGGGGGCATCATACGCAGACGTCGGCGCCGCTTGGCGAGCCGGTAATTTGGTGGGTAACGGCCTCCCTTCCACCTTCGCCTTCAGGCGATCGGCGTACAGCTGCGACGCGGGCTCGTGGTACTTCGCGTTGTGGGGCATGCGCGGGTCGACATTGTGTTTCTTCCAGAAGGCCACGAGCTCGTCGTTCGACGAGTGCGTCATCATCTTGAGCTGCTTGTCGGACCACGAGTCCATGGTCACGCTTCTGACAAAGGAGATGTGCACGCCCATGCCCCTATGCGCGCCCGAGCACTCGAGGCACATGAGCGCGCCGTACGTGACCGAGGCCCACTGCGGGTGGTTCGAGCCGCAGTCGACGCACTTGTCGTTGCCCGGCAGGATCCTAATCTCGGCCTGCATGGCCGGCGTCATGGAGACGGCCATTTTTTTTGCTGGGCGTCTGGCCGGCGGGCGACGGCGCCCGGTTTGTCGCTAGCTCACCGGCGACGCTGCGGATCGGTGCGCCTTGATCGCTTTCGACGGACGGCGGCGGCGCGAGGCTCTTTTTGAACGAGCGCCCGGCGACCGCTCGGCCCGACACGCCCAATCGAAAAAATTCACCTCTCTTGGGTTCACAGCCCAAAGTGCTGCAGCGCTCGGCGCCTCGCACCAGCGCTTGCACTTGTGAGTGTAGCGCTCGCGCAAAGACCAGCTTTCCGCGGTCGGCTGTCGGCTGCGCCTAATTAATGTCGCAAAAAACCAGGCTTGGAGAGGAGGCCGTCGAGCTGTCCAAGGTGACCTCTGCTCGCGAGCGACCAAACGTCGTGGGGCGGATGGGAGGATGTCTGGCTGGGCGATTGTACCAGAGAAGAAAAAAATATTAAGTACATATGAAGCCCTTTTTGCCGGTTTTGGGGCTCGTCGGTGCTGCCAAAAGCGGTCCGAGAGACGCAGCCGCACCAGCACAGCTCGAATCAGAGTAATTCGTCGTCGTCGCGGCGCCGAGGCAGCCCGGACAGCCGCGCACCACGAAGCACATGCAGCCCCTCATGGACCACAGCAACGCGCCGGAAATGGAGGCAGACGAGGGCAAGCTCTCGACGCCGCGCCAGCGCCTCCTCGCGGCCGTGGATCTAGATGGAGTCATCGAGACCGAGCCGCGGAGCCCCGTCCAGGAGGGCACCCCCGCGTGGCGGACGCCCGCGCGGCTCGCCGAGGCTTTGAAAAGTGATGACGACGCCGTGGACGAGGTGGCTGTCGCTCAGGCCCTGGCGCGGCTCCAGGCGAAGCTAAGGGAGGAGCAGACTACAAAAGCGGAACCGCCGCCGCCTCCCGAAAACCTCGAGGCGGCCATCGCGGCCCACGCCGCTTCTTCGGTATCGTTGGACGCGGAGGAGGCCGACGTCAAGGCGGCCGCGACGGAAATGGACGGCGCGCTCGCGTCGCTGCAGAAGTGGCGCGCCGCGCGCGAGGCGGACCGGAAAGCTCTAGAAATGAAGCTGCAGGCGGAGTACTCGCCGCCGAAGCTCGCGTTGGACCTCGACCGCACGGCGCTGGCCGCGCGGACCGAGGAGGCGCTGTCGTCCGCGCGCGGCGCGCGCGGCCGCGTCGAGGCGCTCCTGAAGGCGCCGCGGGCCGAGGCGCCGTCTGCGAATCTGCCGGTCTTCCGACGCGACGGCGACGCGTTCCGCGAGGCCGCGGACGCGGAGCTGCGCGAGCTCGAGGCGAACCTCGCGCGGCTCCAGGCGCTCCACGGGGGCCTCGAGGCGTGGTCGGACGACGATGATGATGATGAGGCGAAGGGGTAAGTAGTATTGGTGAATAGGCGCGGCGGCGGCGTCGCGTGCGTGTTATCTGTTACGGTGCTAGGACTAGTGGGCGGCACCGCGCCGATTCATCGGCGGCGGGCGCGTGCCGCATCTTTCATAACAGCGCACTTCTTTCTAAGCAGAACCGCCTCAACAAGCCCCCGGTGAAAAAGGGTACCTAGTGTCTCTATGCCGCTGGCTCCGCATATTTTTGACCAGTGTGGCCGCATTCCTGCAACAACGCGTCAAATTCGCGCTGGGTTGTCAATCTCGTCACTGCGGAGCACCACCCCTTTGCGAGCGACAGCTCTCCGGAGTGCTACCAGTTCATACACAGCTTGCAAGACTGTGCCAGCTCGGGTACGCGAGAATTCGTACCCGAGAATTCATCCTAAGCTTAACCGCAGCAGAATTCGTGACGCAGCAGAATGCCACGCTGGGCCGCCATAACCGCGGTCGCCGCGAGCGCCGCGCTCTACGCGGCCGTCACCGTGCCGGCCGCGCTGCGACCCGCAGAAGGCGTGGAGACGGTGCTCTTCTTCGACGGCGTCTGCAATCTGTGCGACGGCTTCGTGAACTTCGTGGCGGACCACGACAGTTCGCGACGGGTCCGGTTTGGCGCGATACAGCGGCACGCGGACGCACTGCACAGGGCCGGCGCCGGCCGCTACGCCGAGGGCGGCGCCGAGGCGCTGTCGACGCTCGTAGTGATCCAGGACGACGTCTTTTACCTGCGGTCGGACGCGGCGTTGCGCGTGATCGCGCTGCTCGACGCGCCGTTCTGTTACGTCGCCGCGTTCCACGCGCTGCCGGCGGCGCTCCGGGACGCCGGCTACCGGCTCGTCGCGAAGTACCGCTACAAACTGTTCGGGGCGAGCGACACGTGCCGCGCGCCGACGGAGCGGTTCAAGAGCCGGTTTCTCGATTACGAGCCCGAGTTGGAGTTTGTTAATAAATTTTGAACTTGTATATATACGTTTACTTTGTAAAGGACGCTCCGAGGGTGCCTCGGGGAGATTTTTGTTCTTTTCTAGTGTGTTTATGCCGCTAAGCTCTCGCGCGCCTTTTGGTTTTGCTCTCCGTTTTGGCAGCGCACGGCCAACCTGTGGCCTGAGAAGCTGCCACGCGCTGCCACGCGCTCTCACAGCCATGGACGCTTTCTGTAGCCCCAAGGCCAAACCGGGAAGCGCCTTGCAGGCTGCAAACAACACGAAACCGCAGGATCTGACCGCGCCCGCGGCGAAGGCGCCAGCGACCGCTCAAAAGACACAGCAAAACGCCGTCGCGGCGACGCCGGCCGTAAAGCCGCCCGCGCCGCCCAAGTCGACGTCGGAGAAAGCCGCCGGCGCGCCGCCCGCCGAGGCGGCGCCCAAGAACGAGGCGAAGACGCAGAAGAAGGTCGCCCAGGGCACGTGGTCGTCGTCCGTGCGGCGCCAGCTCGAGAAGGCCGACGCGCGCGCCGCCGCCGCCCTCCAATCCAATGAGATCACGACGGAGGCGGTCGAGCGCGTCCTCGCCGGCATCGGCGAGTGGCCGACGCAGGCGCGGCCGAACGTGTCGCCCGACGCCAAAGCCGTGACCGGCATGTGCCTCGGCGCCGTGAACGTGCTCGGGGGCGTCGGCATGCAGCTCTCGGCCGTGAGCCAGAACTTCCAGAACCTGGTGAAGCTCGTCTGCGCGTGGACGACGAAGGAGCTCCCGGACTTTCCGTTCTCGTCGCTGCAGATCAACTACAACTACGCCGTCGCGCGCGGCGTCCCACGGCGCCTTCCCCTGTCACCGCGCGGCGATGGTGTGGAGATGGAGCGCCGTCGCGGCGATGGCGTGGACGCGGAGCTTCGCGCACGCAGGCCAAGAAACATGTCGACGGCAACAACATCGGGCCCTCGCACATCATCAGCCTCGGCGACCACGCGGGCGGCGAGCTCTGGGTCGCGGACACGTTCGTCGAGAAAGAGAACGACAAGGGCGAAAAGGTCCTGCGCGGCGGCGGCGGCGAGAGCGTCATCAAGTGCCACCGCGCCTGGAAGCTCTTCGACGGCAACAGCGAGCACTACACGATGCCCTTCCGCGCGGCGCCCGGCAAGGCGGCGCCGACGCGGATCTCGATCGTGGCCTTCTCGCACAGCTCCTACAACAAGATGCCGGAGGAGACGGCGGGCGAGATGCGGGCCCTGGGCTTCACGGCCGGGAGTAGCGACGGCAAGGAGCTGCCGTACTTCGAGGCCTTCCGCATCGACCCGTGTGGAAATCAACCAGTGAGTTAGGTTAACCTCCACGCCATCGAGCCGACGCGGTCACGGGGACAACATCGCGTCGATGGCGTGGGGCGCCCGAAATTTGATTTCCACACAGGCATCGACAAGTCGGAGCTGACGGGAGAGGGCCTCGACGCGTACTTCGCGCTCCGCGACGACCGGCGGAAGGCGCGGCCGCCGCCGTCCGCGCCGGGCGCCGTCGGCGTCGAATGCAACGGCTACTCCGCCGGCAAGGGCGCGGGATGGTTCAGCTTCGTGCGCGGCCGGGCCGCCAAGCGTGCCCGCATCGACGCCTTCTTCAAGCCCAAGGCCCCGGCCGCGAAGCTCGGGCCGGCGACGTGGGACGCGCCGAAGCGGACGAACCCCGTGTCGACCAATTTAGAAGTCAAGCCGACGGTCGACGACGCCGGCCTCGTGACGATCCAGCTCCCGAAGAACCGCGTGGGCCTCTGGTTCCTCGCTGTGTGGAAATCAAAATTTTACGGCGCGTTCGTGCTGAGTCATCGCGTCGACCCCCACGCCATCGACGCGACGCCTGCTCGATGGCGCGGCGATGCCGGTTCCTCACCGCTCGACCGAACCAGGACGGCCGCGTCATCGCCGAGAAATGAGTTAGTGAAGAATTGTCGGTGCACCCGACACACTGGTTGATTTCCACACAGGTTCCTCGAGCTGGAAGAGAAGAACGGCGACCTGCGGTGCGTCGCGCTGGAGCGCTTCGACCTCTACAACAAGGTCGAGGCGCAGTCCGAGGCGTTCCACGCCCACGTCGCGCGGATGCCTGCCGGGCGCGTCGCGCTCGTGTCGATCACCGACACGGCCATGGCCAAGACGAGGCCGCTGCCGAAGCTCGTCTACGACACGCTGCGCCTGCTGGGCGGCGAGGACCACATCGAGCCGATCGGGTACCGCATGCCCTTCGGGTTCGTGGGTGTCCGTGGCGCCGCGGCGGGCACGGCGATCTGCGCGCTGGACAAGACGAAGGTCATCCTGCGCCTCGAGGCGACCGTGCGGCGCGACGACGGCGTTGCCCTGGACGGGAAGTCCGTCGAGCGGTTCGACATCACGGAGCACATCCTCTCGAGCACGGAAGGCGACGGCGCCGCTGCCGCCGCGTAGAGCTGGGCGGTAGTAAGGTTGATTGTTATACGACACAAACCGCTATTGCGCCCGTTCAATCAATTTGCCCCGCGACTTCCCGCAGGCGAGCTTGGACCGCGGCCGCGTTCGGCACCGTACACTCCAACAAAGCCAGTAGGCACTCGGCCCGACCCTTGACAATCGCCACGCCCCACTCCCGGTGAGATCTCGGCGGATTAGTAATTTAGCTAGAGTTTTCGACGCACTAGGTTTTTTCGGTCCGGCAGCGCTCCTCTGTGCGTGCTCAGACGCGCTCCATCGACGAGTAACCAGGGCAGCAAAAGAATGCCCCGGCGGCAGCCTCGATAGCGGACGGGCAGCCATGGCACGCCTCGCGTACGCCCTCCTCCTCCTCCGCTTTACGGAAGCGGCGCTGCCCACGTACATCATGGAGGAGCTCTACGGCGACGAGTGCTGGCCGAAGAAGGCCCAGACCCGGAAGGAGAGGGAGAATTGCTTCAAGGCGGCCCAGGCGGGCATCCGCGAGTGCGAGACGTGCAACGAGGCCAAGGGCGGGCGCTGCACGCGCTTCGCCGAGGTCACGCCGGCGACCACGACCTTCACGCCGCGCCACGGCCACGCGTCCGTCGTCTTCCCCTACCGCGCCGACGCCGACAGCCCGGCCGAGTTGGCGATTTACGTCGTCGGCGGGCGCACGGACCAGTACGAGAAGTGGAACTTCCAGCGGACGTCGCGCCTCGCCGACGTCTGGATCTACACGATCGAGAAGAACGACTGGCAGCAGCTGAGGCAGTTGCGGGGGGATTTCGTCAGGCGCACGTCGAGCGCGTTCCTCATGGAGGACGTCCAGCAGCCGGGCGACATCGCGCCCTTCTGGGAGCGCTTCGGCCACTCGCTGGACGTCGTCGTGGCTACAGTTAGATTGGACCGGGACCAATACAAGACGCGCAAGGACAACGTGACCGTCGTCATGGCGGACGAGGTGAGGGGAAGCGACGCGGTCGACGAGGGCAAGGACTGCCGCCAGGACGGCGGCGACCAGTGCTGTATTTGTAGGCAGGATTTGTTGGAGTGTGCCCAGGACCCCTCGGTGGCCAGCGACGCGTGCCGGGCGGCGCAGGCCCAGGGTCTGGGCTGGCAGGCGGTCCGGGACGCGTATTTGGACTACCAGCTCGACGAGAAGACGGACTGCTTTCAAGTGTTCCCGTCGTGGACGGGCAACGAGCCGCGGAAGGAGGATGTCGACTGGGCCTACGTGGACCCGGACAGCGCCGATTCCGAGACGCGCCCCTGCGCCTACACGGAGGAGAACAAGGGCGGGTCCCTCCGCGACTGCTCGGGCGAACCGCGGGGCATCGAGAAACAGTTTGGAGAGTTCCTGAGCGGCCCGTACCGGGGCCAGCTCTACGACGACGTCCTCGCGGCCGCCGTCACGAACGACAACGAGGGCATCGGCGGCAACCTGAAGTGGACGCCCCAGCGCACGCACGTGCCGTGCATCGTCGCCGAGGACCGGGCGGAGGTCGACGCCATGATTCTGCTCGGGGGCTTCACGCCGAAGCCGGACCGGGACGTCTGGGCGTCGCGCGACGGCGTGAGCTGGTGGTTCGTCGGCGAGGCGCCGTGGCCGGCCCGGGGCTACCACTCGTCGGCCATGTTCCGGGGGCGCCTCTTCATCATGGGCGGGAGCCCCCTGACGAACGACGTCTGGGCGGGGACCTTCGAGTGGCGGGGCTACGAGAAGCTCGACGACCGGCGCGACGTCTTTTGGTTGGGGGAGCTCGACGAGTATGTGGTCCGAGAGAAGTGGGAGATGAGCTGGGAGCTCGTCGCGCCGGCGACGGGGCTCTTCGACTACCCCGAGAGCTGGAATCCCGTGAGCGACGCGCGGCGCTGGGCGCCGCGCGCGGGCGCGGGCGTCACGGTCCAGTTCAGCCGCAAGAACGGCTGGGGCTACACCTTCCAGACCCAGCGCGTGCCGGAGGTGCAGTGCAAAAAAGTTCGCGTCGGGGACGTCCTCGAAGTTCCGAAGACGTGCAAGATCAGCCAGCTCGAGCGGGGACTGACGACCGTCGTGGAATTTGAACCCGAAAAGGGGCCCCACAAGGTCCTCAAGGGCCCGTTCAACGGGAGCCAGGAGGCGCTGTTCCTGACGGGCGGGCTCGCGGGCTGGCCCGAGCGCCACCCGCTCTTCGACGGGCAGAAGGCGCGGAACGACGTCTGGTACTCGCTCGACGGCGCGAACTGGACGTTGAAGGCGGAGTTCGCGCCGTGGCCCGCGCGCGCGTGGCACTCGCTCGTCGCGTGGTCCGAGCCGTCCGATATATATTCGGACATCGCGTTCAACGCGCGCATGCACGACGCCACGCCGCACGCCGAGGAGTTCGGCGACGCGCGGTACCGCCACGACGGAAGGTTGGCGCCGCGCATGTGGCTCACGGGCGGCGGCTACGTCGGCAAGCAGGGCATCGCGGTCACGAAGATGGTCGACGCCTACGCGGACCTCTGGTGGTCGCGCGACGGCCTGGACTGGGCGCAGGTGGGCATGGCCGAGGGTTCGGAACGCTACATCTGCTCGACGCTCGAAATTTTTAAAATTCAGGAGGCGAACGAGGACTTCTTTTTGGGGAAGTACAGCCACACGATGGTGCCCTTCTTCTACCGCCACGACGTCCCCGTCTGCGGGCGGCCCGAGAGGGGAACCTACGGCGCGCCGGCCGGGCTGCTGAGCCCGACCGACTGCGCCTCCCGGAACGAGGACCCCCAGACGCGGCGGCCCGCCGGGAATAAGATCGAGGTCGCGCGCGTGCCGACGCTCTACTTCATCGGCGGCGACCCCGGCTACCTCGAGGGCGAGGACCTGGGGCCCCAGCTCACGATGTTCCGCAGCGAGGCGAACATCCTCTGCGAGCTCGACGGCATCATGTGCCCCACGCGCACGGGCGGCGTCGCCGCCTGTGTGGAAATCAACCAGTGCGTCGGGTGCACCGACAATTCTTCACTAAGTCATTTCTCGGCGATGACGTGGCCGTCCTGGCTCGGTCGAGCGGTGAGGAACTGGCATCGCCACGCCATCGAGCAGGCGTCGCGTCGATGGCGTGGAGGACGATGCGATGATTCAGCACGAACGCGCCGTAAAATTTTGATTTCCACACAGGTCGCCGCCTACTCGACGATCGAAGACGGCCCCTCGGGCTGGCCCGAGAAGGACCGGGCGGGCTCGCGCTTCGGCGTGCCGTGGCGGCGGCCGACGTGCTCGGCCGAGATGCTCCGCTCCAAACGGATGGACGACAAGGGCTCGGCGGCGAACCCGTATGAGTGCGACCCCGACTCCGGCGCCAACGACGCGCTCGGGGGCTTCTGCCCGTCGCCCCTCTTCGGCCGCGGCGACAAGTCCGACTCGTTCTTCGAGGCCGAGAACGGGACGGCCTTCCTCGAGGACCCCGTGGCCCTGGGCCACAGCGTGGACGACTCCTTCGCGCACCCGCTGTCGAAGCGGGCGCTCTTCGAAAAAACCGGTCGGAAGTACTTCCACATGACGGTCTACAACGCCACGAACGTGAGCGCGACGGCGGACCCGCGGTCGCTGGTGGGCCGCTTCCGGGCCACGCGCGCCGCCGCGGTGACGTTCAAGGAGGAGCCGCTCGTGCGCGACTTCATCGTGCGGCTCACGGGCTGCTGGTGCCACAGCGACCTGCACATGGGCGAGTACTGCGAGTACAACACCCAGCGCGAGGGCGCGGGGCTGCTGCGGCCGTCGCTGGCCCTGGCGTGCGTCGTGGCGGCGCTCGCGCTAGGCCTCACGTAAGAGTACACAAAACTAGTTAGGCTCAATCGTAGGACGAGTCCGAGTCCGACGGGCTGTCCGAGTCGACCTCCGCCAGCGCGAACACGTCGGTGTTCCCACCACTGGGAACGTCGGGGTCCTCCATGCCCGCCACGGACGCGCGCTCCTTCATCACGCGCGCGACCTTCTGGAAGTTGTCGTCGCCGATCTCGACGACCGAGAAGCAGATCTCCATCAGCCCCAAATTCGCGGTCACGCCCGCGAGCCACCTCTCGCCCGTCCGCGCGTCGAAGCGGTTGTTGCGCACGTTCAGGTAGCGGAGCGTGTTGTTCCGCGTGATGGCCGTCGCGAGCGCGACGCCCGACTCCGGGCCCAGCTCGTTGCCCTCGAGGTCCAGGTGCCGCAAATTCTCGTTCTTCTCGATCGCCGACGCGAGGGCCCGGCCCGCGACGGGGCCGCAGCTCCCGGCGCCGTTGTAGCCCAGGTCGAGGTGCAGTAATCCGATGTTCGTTTCCAATGCTGCGGCGAAGCGCACCGCGCCCGTCCAGCTCACGTGGTTGCACCGCAAGTTCAAAAACTTGATCTGGCCGTCCGTCGCGAGGCGCGTGGCCAGCTGGTCCGCCGCGCCCGCGTCGAACGAGTTCCGCTCGAAGTTGAACGCGACCAGGCACGGGTTCTCGAGCAGCGCGTGGGCCACGCACGTCGCGCACTCCCTTGATAGATCATTCCGCGCCAGGTCCATCCTTCTTAACGTGTAATTGTACTCGATGGCCCCCGCGAGCGAATTCCCGTGCTCGCCCATCTTGTCTCTATCGGTACCGAAGTCGCCCCCTATCTTATTATCGGACATCAATAGCTCCGTCAGCGTGCAGTTCACCCTCAACGCCCAGAAGATGGGGTTCGCGCCGTCCTTGCCCAGGTTGTTCCCCTCGAGGTTCAGCCGCGTCCACTGGACCACGGACCGTCTCAGACATAGACCGCAGTCCCGGCCCGCCCCGGGCCCGATCTCGCAGAAGCTCAAATCAATATCCCGACAGACCGGGTTGCGCATCGCCCTAAATAATTCGATGGCCGCGTCCGTGCCGAGCGGGTTGTTCGCGAGACACAGGCGCACGATGTGCGCCGGCCGCGCGACGAAGCCCGACTCGACCAATTCGATGGTCGCGTCGGCGATCGCGATACCGACGCGGCCCGTGAGCTGGTTCTCACTTAGGTCCATGTCCGTCAGCGTGACGTTGTGCTCCAGCGCGCGCGCGACCTGGCCGCCCCCGACGTCCGACAGCCTGTTCCGCGAGATGTCCAGCGACTCGACCTCGCAGTCGTCGTCCAAAAACAGGTCCGCTACTCTCTCGGCTAATTTCGCGCCTAGATCGTTACCTGACAATAACACGTCCTTGACGTGGGGCAGGCTAAATAAAGCAGCAACGGTGACGGGCCCCGTCCGCGGCCCGATCCGACAGTCGCTCAGGTCAATGCGCTCCAGGCCCGCCCATTGCGTCGAATCGACGACCGTGAGCTTCCGTTTCGCCGCCCTGGTCTCAAAGGTCTCGCCCTGCGCTGCCAGCTTCTCGTCGCGCGCCGCCTCCCGGTGCCGGTGGATCTCGAGCGTGTTGCACAACGTCAATGCCGACGCGTTGTCGAAGGGCTGGCCCCGGAAGCCGATGTCCCTTAACGCCGTGTTCTTCGCGAAGCCCGTCAGCGCCGCTAGTAATTCCTCGGTCTCGTACTCAATTCCACCTAAATCCAAGGCGGCTAAGACTTTGTTCCCTTGCACCATCGACGCGAGCATGCCTCCGGACATTTCCACAGCGCCGCCTAGATACGTCGTCGTGGTCAAATTGTTGCCGGTCGGGTCCGACAGGTCCAGGTAGGTCAGCGTGTCCTGCTTGAGCAAAGCCGCGGAGAAGGCTCGCAGCACGTCGGGCCCGAACCCGTTATCCGAGAGGTCCAGCGACACGAGGGCGTGGTTGTCCTGCACGGCCACCGCGATACTCTTGCCGCCCTTCGTCCCCAGGCCGTTCTTCTCGAGGTTCAAATGGCAGAGCGCCGAGTTCTTCTTGATCGCGCCGGCAAAGGCCACGCCCGCCGCCACTCCCAGTCTATTGCGCGACGCGTCGAGAGCCGTCAACTGCACTCGGGTCTTCAGACAGTGGGCCAGATATCTCCCGCCCTCCTGCCTTAAATCATTTCCCGCGAAGCCCAAGACTCGCAAGGCGCTCTCGGGGTTCTTCCGGAACGCGTTGTCCAGGGACTTCGCCGCGTCCCGTCCCAAACTGTTGTCGCTCACATCCAACGAGGTTAAGACCGTGTTGTACCTCAAGCCTCGGCATAATTGCGGCCCGCTCGACGGCGTGCTCTTCTTTGTAAACTCGTTCGTGTACATGAGCCTGGGTCCTAACCTATTGTTGGCCACGTTCAGCGTCTTGAGGGACGGGTGCTTCCTCAGGGCGTTGCCCAAGGCCAACCCGGCCGGCGGCCCGAGGCGATTCGAGGCGATGGAGAAGAGCGTCAACGAGGTGCTCTTGCCCAGCGCCTTCGCCAGTTCGACACCTCCTTCGTCGTCGATGTTGTTCTGCCTCAGATCTAAATATGTCAAAGCCGAATTGCGGGACACGGCGTGCGCGGCGTACGATGCTGTTTCTGAATCTAATCTATTCGCTCGAGCGTCGATGCGCACGATACTAATCGGATAACAATTAAAAAAGTTCGACGAGATCGTGATCGTCGTCTGGCGCATCTCCAGCGCGCGCATCAGGGCCTGGAACGTGACCCGGCCCAGGTCGCCCAGTTCGCATCGCGGCGCATCCACACTATCGCGACAAGCCACGTAGCACTGCGCCAGGAAGTTGGGAATGTCGCCGGGGTACTTGTGCCACTTCGAGATGCGCACGAAGCCCGCCGGCGGCGTCAGGTTGAAGGCCAGCGCCATCTGCTGGGCCAGCTCGCCCAGCAGCGGCACGGCGATGTCGCCGAGACCCCGGAAATGCGTCAAATTCCACGGAACCCTAAACTGCTGGACCTGGTCGCTCAATAAAATTTCCGCTAGTTTCGCGCGCTTCCAGGCCGTCTTGTCCGAGGGCTTCTTGTGGTGTCTGAGTAATGTAGCACTTAGCTCCTTCAAACAAATAATCACGGGCGAGTCGCGCTGGTCGTCCGTGACCGCCAGTAACTCGGGATGGTTGTACAGCAACCACGCCACGACCTCGGGCTCGCCCTTCAGCATGGCCGAGTGCAAGATGCACTGCCCCGTCGGCGTCCGCATCGTCGTCACCCTTATGTCTCGGATCGCCGCCCACCGGATGACCACGAGCGTCTCGTACCAGGACAGCAAATTCGCCGGTCGCGGGGATAACCAGGGCACGGAGTACATCGTCGCCTGGTGTCTGTCTATTAACGCGTCCCACTGCCGCATCATCTGCAATCCATAATTCGAGTCCTCGAAGGCGTAGCACTTCCAGTCCACGTACGAGATTAACAGACTGACAACTTGCGCGTCGGCCTGGAATACTAAAAAGTCCCGGAAGTCCCGCAGCATCTCGTGGAAGCGGCACAGGTAGGCCAACCGTAACCAGTTAAAGGCCATGAGCAACAACGCCCAGGTGTTGATCGCGGTCCGCGCGGACTCCGTCGCAAATTTTGCCTTGTGCTCGGCGTAGGCCGCTTCGTGTTCGGGTTTCGTGCCTCGCTGATCTCGCAAATCCTTGTCGAGGATGGCGCCGAAGATCATCAAGAGGATCGTGACCGTCCTCGTCTGCACGTCGACCTGCCCCTCGCGCACGTAGAGGTAGGGCTTCTTCATGAAGGTAGCGAAGGCGTACAACGATCTAACCAAAGCTCCACCGAGACATATCGCCCAGGGCGGCTGCGACGCCTTCAGCCACGTCACGATGACGCAGAACACCGCCGTCTCGCTCAGCAACACGAGGCGCCAGAACGGCGCGTTACTCTTGAACTGCGCCACTAGATATGATAAAGCGGCCGTGTCGACGACGGCCTCAAAGTTCGTAATTTGTAATTCATGATCCCGCTCGAACTCGTCGAAGCAGACCGAGTACTCGCGCTTCGCGTGCTGGAAGCCCTTCTTCAGGTTCTCGATCTTCGCCGGGAGGGACCGCTCCGCGCGCCACTCGGACATGGTCTCCTTCTTCTTCGCTAATAGTTCCTTGGACGCCAATTTGTCGTCGGCGATCCACCGCAGGAACCAGCGCTTGATCTGGTACATCAACGGGTCGATGTACTTCGCGCATTTCAATAATCGCAGTACTTTAAGCGACTTGAGCGACTTCAGGGCCTTCAGGGATTTGAGCGACTTGAGCGACTTCAGCGCCTTTAGGGATTTGAGGGCCCCGAGGCCGCCGCCCCCCGACCCGCCCGCGAACAACACCAACATCAGCGTGTTCATGACCCAGAAGCCCAGCAAAAAGACGTCGAGCCAGTTGAAGTAGTCCTTAAAATACATCGTCTTGCCCCAGCCCGTCCACTTGATCTGGACCTCGAACCAGAAGACGACGCCGGCGATCCATTGGACCGAGAAATACAACATGCAGTTCGACTCCCCGCCGAAGCCGCAGTACCCGTCCGGCTTGCGCGGGTCACCTTCATGAAAATCGTCGTCGCCGTACGCCGCGCTCTCGCCCGTGACTGGGTCGCCGAACCAGTAGTCCGCGTGCTTCTCCTTCTCGGCCCAGGTCGTGATATTTGCGGAGCGCCCCACATAAGGTATGTCTACCCCCATGGACAGGGCGTCGGTGACCGAGTAGTTCCGCATATCTAAATAAGCGTTGTTCCGGTTGTAGATCTTCAACCAGTACTTCGCGGCGTAGGCCGTGTCGCCGTGCCGCCCGAGCAGACCCTCCATGATGGGCCGCGTGGGCATGAAGTCCAGGGCGAGGACCGACCACACGACCGCGAACATGATGATGTTGTCGAACCACTGCGCGACCGCGATCTTGTAGTTGTATCCTCTAAAACGCATCCAGATCGATCCTTCGTCGGTCCGCGGCGGCTCCCACTCGTCCTTGTCGATGAGATCCTCCAGACTAAAAGGCTTGTTCGGGTCCACTTCGACCTCCTCCTCGTCCTCTTCCTTGTCTCGGGCGAGATGTTTGCCGCCGAGCCACTTGGCCAGGCAGCACAGCACGAAGGCGAGGCCGTTATATATGGAAGTGACAAAACAAACGGCGTAGTACTTGGCCTTTTGCCTGAACCCCTCGGGCTTCGGTTTTTCCGCGAAGGGGTCGACGTAGTCGCCGCCTAGCGTCGACACGTCGTCCTCCTTCGAGTCCTCGGCAAACACGTAAGCTCCCGTCGACTTCAGGACGCGGGCCACTCTAGAAGGCCCATCCAACGCGTCGGAGATCATGGCCTGGTACTTGCGCTTCTTTCGCTCCTTGTCGGGGTCGATGGAACAGCAGAGTTTCAGGACGCATCGAAACGGGCAGCAGGCCACCAAATAGATGATGTAGAAGGCCCACCCCAGCGCCCACTTGACGAAGGCGGGCCCCTTCCTCCGGTACTCCACGAAGTCCTGGACGGCCTGCTCCTTCCACACCTCCCCGACCGCCAAGACCACTTGGACGATGGACCACGCTTCACATTCCACACAAACGACGTTGAAGCGCCGCCAGGCCGTCTCGTAGTTCGTCCACCACTCGCACTCGTACAATTGCGCTCTCGTGAGCTGGATGAGGTAGTTCACGAGTAGTGGTGTGCCCAGGACATAAAACACGGCCGCTAGACAAGACGTCGTATATAACAACACCCCAGCCACGTCCATGCAGTCCACTCTTCTATTACACTGGTGCGGCTTGCGTTCCTGCGGCTCGTACTGCGCCCATCCTAAAGGTTCTGGGCGGCACGACATGGGCGTGATGACGGACGGCCCCTTCTCTTTGGCCGCGCACCAGTCCTTCCACTCGTGGCTGCAGCGCTTCTTATAGACGCAGCGCCAGAACTCCCGATCCCGCCCGCCCGCGCGCCCCGACGCCCGGGACCAGTCGTAGGTCGGATACTTTCGCAATGCGGTCTCGTTCCGCCAGTCCGTCCGGTATCGCGGGTCGTAGGCCCACCTTTTGATGGGTTTCTTCGTCCCGTCGCGATTGAAGCTCTCCTCCTCGGGCCGGTTCTCGTACCAGTACTTTTCTCCATTAGAATCCGTCGCTTCCAGAATGTCGAGGCCCGGGTCGTCTGTCAAGGTGGGCGGCCGCAGCCGCCCGCCATAGATCGCCGTGTCCTTGCGCACGACGCCCTGGTCCGAGTGGTGGGACGACTCCGGCTCGGAAGCGATCTCCGGCGGGAAGGATAAATAATAACACGGATAGTGGCGATACCCCGCGTAGTTGACGGGCTCCCAGGGCGTCGCGTCGCCGCCTCCCGTGTAGCCATAGATATTCTCTTTCCGCTGGGTCTTCCGCGTCTGGTAGCGATTCAAGGGCCTTATATGAGGATCGACGGGCTCCAAACCAGGGTCGGGGTTGAGCCAGTACCTATCCTTCATGTTCGACCCGTAGTCGGGCGGCACCATGTCCGGCATGGTGTAGTCCGCCTCCCGGTAGTAGGGGTCGTACTTCAGAGTCTCGGCCCAGACTTTTGAGGAATAAACAGGTACCATGCCCCCCAACACATACAAGCACGTCGGCATGTAGTTCAGGAACACTAGCACTAATAATAGAGTAGCCTTCCACTTCAAGGTGTTCTTCAACAGTACTACTGATGAATACGCCTTCGCATGCTTCGTCTTGGCGATGAACACTCGGCGCATCATGGTTGTGAAGAAGATATACAAGAACCAGACGTATACGGTCAACGACAAACCGGCAACGAGCATGGTCGTCGCGTGCTTCATGGACCGGTTCATACCACTATTTACACCTTTCTCTTTCCCCGGGCCTTCGGCGATGTATTCCGACCCTTCGCCCGCGGTGCCGTACGTGTACTCCAGGGCTATGGCTGGTGCTACTACCAGTACTATAGAGTACCCTAGGAAGTAGAGGAACGACCTCGGAACACCTAACGACCACCAGTGCTCGATGTGCATGAGCCGCCACCGATCCGTAAACCTGGGATCGGTATAGTCGTCGACCTGCCAGAGGAAGAAGAAGGCCACGAGGAGGATGGCCGAGAATGCTAAGCTATAGCAGTATCTTGTAACGTCACGGTAGAAGTACAAGTCGATCAGGTAGAAGTCTCCTATCAAATATCTTCCACCGCGGCCACCGCCCCGACCACCACCCACAGCCGGCGCGCCGCCCGCTCGATCATCACCAGGCTGGGTCTCAAAACCGGCAGCGTAGGCGTCGTGCTCCGCTTTTTCATGGTCCTCGTCTTTGTAGACCTTGCCGCTCTCCCAGATCCACCGATGAACCGTGACCAAAGGCCACATGTGCGAGTCCAAGAAGAAGGAGCCTTGGACTAGGAACAACCTGACACCAGACGTCCACGGGACATCTAACATACCTAGGAACCCGAGGTACTGCATGTACGACGCGATGCGCTCCAACTTGTAGATGAGACTACCATGCGTGAAATCCTTCCCGTGGCCTTCATCATCTTCTTTTTTATCTAGCTCGAACTCCAGCGCCATGAGTTCTTCTTCATCTTTCGCGGCGTAGATTTTCCTCTTTTTTTCCTCGCGCGCGGCGTGATCTAACAACAACGCCGTGATACCTTTCACCATCGTCGTGTCCTCGATCTGCATGGAGTAGCCAATCCCCGTGTCCCCAAAGGCCTCGATCCCCACAAAATTCGAGACCTTCCCGTAGTGCTCCACGAGCTTATCAGCGAGTCGCATCAGGTCGACCTGCTGCTGTTGTATGGACTCAATAGCTTCCATCTTCACGCGCGTGACTTTGCGCATCGTGACCGCTTTCAACTTGCGCTCGGCCGCGGCGATCTCTTCAGGGGTCTCCTCGAGCTCTGCTTGTTTCTGCTTCTTGGCCGTGGCCTCGACCATCTTCTTGCCCAGGATGACTTTCTTCTCCGGCCTTTTCAGGGTGCCCGTGTCCAGGCCGTCCTTGCGCATGATTATCCTCAAATCATACCTATCTACTCCGGCGATGGCCAACCGCACATAGTTCTCGTAGTCCGGATGCAATCGAGCCGGAACCAAGGTCTCGCCGACGTTCAGGTCCTCGGGCTGCACCTCGGGATAGGACGTCTCATCATCACTTTCTTCCGCCTTGAGCAGCGCCAATTGGCGCTGTTCCTCTGCTTTTTCTTCCTGGATGCGCTGGACCTGGGCCTCCTTCTGGCGCTTCGAGATCTTCTGGGTCGAGCGGAACTGCCACACCCCATTGATCTTCACCACGTTGTTCATGAGCTCTTCTTCGACGCTCATCGCCGACGCCTCGTCGTCGAGCACCTCGCGCATCGTGCGCTTCAGCTTCATTTTTTTTGTTGTGTGGGCCATCTTGTTGATTGATGTGCCCCTTACTGCGCGTTCGCGCTTTGCGTCTGCTGCTTGCCTGGCAACACTGCAGAGAGTGGCTTGCCGGCGTCCGCGGCGGAAAGGCTGCCCGGTGGTGCGCGAGCGCTGCTCACGCAAGGCTCCTACGCAGCTGTAGGATCCATGGCTCCGCAACGGCCTCGGCCGGCTGCGATTTTCATCGGCGCTGGAGCAGCGGCCGGCCCTCAGTTCGAAGGTACTAGCCTTGGCCGCTCGACGCGGCACCTCTCGCGGGCCCGGGCATACGGGTCCTCTTACTCCGGGACACGTCTGCGGGCGCGGTGTCGGCGCGGGTCCGCTCCCAGTGCCCCCGTCCGTGTCGCGGCGATGGCGCGGGAACGACGGGAGTAGTCCTGCCCCACCCGCACGGCGATGGCGTCGCGGCGGGCGTACGTGGCGTCAACCCCACCGCCACGCCATCGCCGCGACTACGAGTTCCACGCGTCCCCGCACACGCAGTCGGTGGCGTCCCGGCAAGGGGAATTCCGTCCTTGGACGCCACCGCGGGGGCGTATGTGACTTCGATTGATACGTTTTATGTGCAATACTAACTAAGGTCCTTCTTCTGGCGCTGCGCGACGTGCAGCGCGAAGACGGAAGCCAATACCCCAACCAGCAGCGCCCCGAATCTCAATAAAGACGCCGGCACGACGGGCCCGTAGAAGGAGAGCGTGGGCGGGTGCTCCCAGACGTGATCGTCAAAGGCCTTGGCGGCTCTACAGTGCGGGCCCGTCCACTCGCCCTGGCACTTACATTGACCGTCCTTACAAGCCGACGCCCGCCCGCAGTCCTTATCTTTCGTACAAGTACCACCGCCGTGGACCTGGGGTTTCAATGGTTGCGTCTCGTCGTTGTAGGGGTCGAAGTAGCGATGTCTATGACCCTCGATGAACTTCGCGGTAGGTCTCGTGTCCGTACTACACCCTACTTTATGGGAAGGTTCATCAGCCTGCTGCCAGACTCTGACAGAGTCGATCTCATAGAAGGCCGGCAGCATCGCACATAAACCCTCGGGCATGCCGCACGAGCAGGCCGGGTCGGGTAGTGATCCTTGACAATCGAAGCATTCGCACGCGCAGCCCGGCGGGCAAGGTGCCGGGAAGCCCCACGTACTGCTCACGGCCGTGTTCAGCAGGATGTGCATGGGCTCGTCGGGCATCTTGGCTCCTGTGAGCTCCAATGCTTCCGGCGGCATGTGGAAGACCTTCTCGCCATCCAGGAACCAGGACAGGTGTTTATGACCTTCCGTCGTCGACCACTCGAGCCGATACGTGTGGTAGTTCTGGAAGTGGTCGTCTGTGATAGGGCGGTTGGCCGACACCGCGTCCGCGACGTACGTATCTCTTTTCGTCTTGTGGCTCAGTTCTTCCCCATAGAAGAAGGCGTTGACCGTCGCGTTCTTGCCATATTCCAAACCCTTCTCGTACCACTGGCCCTTGCGCGGTTTTTTCCCTTCGATCGGTCTATCATGCGGCTTGCCCGGCGCCACCTGATACGATGCACTGAAGTAAGGTTTTTTGAGACCGTAACCTAGCGTGCCAGACCCGGGCATGGCCTCGAGCAGGTCGATCTCCGGCGCGCCTCTACCTTCCTTGGAATGGAGGCCGAAATGAGGATTCGGCTCGCAGGCGTTAATTTCTTGTTTTGGCTGCAGGCTCCGGTCGCACTTGTCGAAGGACCAGGGCCACATCCAATCTGTCGAGCCTACATAAGTAGCTCTAGCTAGAGCACCTAGTAACCACATCGCGGGCCACAATCCCCCCACATGGCCGGCACCGGGTAATCGAGCTCGGACCTCCATGATCCCACCGGTGAAGCAGAACTTGCCCCAGCCCTGTACTAGGCCCGACGCGTAGGGCTTCGTGCGCTTTTGCATCTCGACGAAACCTTTTTTGTCCTCCGCGCTCATGAACGACGTCGGCTCGTACCTCGTCGAGATGTTCAAGGCGCCTCCACTGGTAGTGACGTGTTTACTTTTATAAAAGTGCAGGGCCATGTTCGTGTAGTCGTTCTTGTCGACGGCCGTCCAGCGCGGGTCGTGCCCGTCGTCGAACGTGCGGCCTGCTACCTCGAACTCGTCACTGTATATGAGCTCGAACTCTCCTGCTTCCGGCCGTCTTAGGCTCTTCGTTTTGAGGTGCTGCTTCGGCGTGTCGGGGTCGACCCAGCCGCCACTACAGCCACGCAAGCTGAGGAGGAAGGCGCAGCGGCTCAAGGTGTGGGTTCGTCGTCGGCGCGCGCGCGCCGGCGGGGCGGCGACGTCGCGGGGCTCTTGCCGCGGCGTCGTCGCGTCCTCGTCGGCGTTGCGTCGCCGCGGCGTCGTCGCATCGCCGCCTGCCTCTGGGGATGCAAAATCGCCCATGTCTGCACGCGTAAGCTGCAAGCTGAGGGCTAGTGGTGCAGCGCTGGCACTGGGTGAATAGTTGAGATTGCCTAGGCACAAGCTATGCTCTCATATGTGGTGTATCCCCGTTTTTTGGTCCAGCTGACACACGTTGTCCAGGGGCTAGCACGTTTATCACGCTAGCATAATGGACCGGAAAAGGTGGGAAGCAACACGTACACAAAAACGCGTCCCATTAACCGTCACTGAGAGCGCTCTCGCTACTGTAAGAAGGCGAACTGCTACGTTCAGCCTCGACATCGTCGTCGCCGCGGGCACACAGAGAGAGACAAGAATTCACAGCTAATAAATTAAGAGAGCGTCCCGGGGTGAAAGCCGGGACTAGAGATCGTCCGAGTCGTCGGCGAAGATGGGTTGCGGAAACCGCGCCGGGGACCCGAAGGGCGGCTGCGGCGACGGCGCCGCCGGCGGCGGCGGCACGGAGCTCGCCTCGGAGCTGACGTCGTCGGAGGCCGGCGGCGACGGCGTGCCGCGCGAGAAGTCGTCGGTCTCGGACCACGCGCGCCGCCGCGCGCGCTGCGCCGCCGGCGACGCCTGCGTCTTCGCCCAGCTGTTCTTGCCCAGCATGCTGTTCGAGACCGACTTCATGAGTTTTTGGAGAGGCGACGTCGGCGGCGTGGCGGGCGACGGTTCCAAGGGAGGCGACTCCGAGCGCGCGCTCTGCGAGTCGACGTCGAGCGCCACCACCACCACGTCCGACTCGCCGAGCGACTCGGCAAAACTACTATCGGTGGGCGTCGGCGAGTGCGACCGCGGCGACATCTCGATGGCGAAGACGTCGGAGGCCTCCCCCAAGGGCCGCCGCGGCGTCGGCCGCTTGACACGATCATCAGGGTACTCCTCCTTGACCTCCTCGCCGTCGGGCGTCGGGCAGGCCGCCTCACTCGCATCGAAGGAGTTCTTCCAGAGAAAGCGCCGCGGCGACAGCGGCCGGAACCACTTCCCAAAACCGGCTGGCGAGTTCGACCGTGCGTTCGCCACCGGCACGCGGCGCCCGCCAAAGTCGACCGTGATGCGCACGTCATCATCACTATGCTCGTAGCGCGACGTGCCTCCCGCCAAACGCTTGCGCCACCAGTTGTCCGGCGACGACAGGAGCCCCTTCTCGTCGCCCGGCGGCGAGAACGACGGCGGCGGCGGCGGCGAGTCCGTCGCGCCCTGGACGCGCTCCTTCTTCCGCCGCAGCTTCCGGACGCCCTGGACCAAGACGTAGGACCCCACGAGCACGAACGCGCCCAGCACGGTGCCGACCGCGGCGCCCGCGGCCGAGACGGGCTCGTCCTGTTTATTGGACGAGGCGCGCGGTACCGGCGTGGGCGCCGCCGTCGGTATCGAGGACGGCGCGGGCGACGGCTTTTGGGTTGGCCTGAATGAAGGCGCCGGCGACGGCGCGGGCGTCGTCGGCCGCGGCGTCGGCGCGGGCGACGGTATAAATGTAGGCCGCGGCGAAGGCCGTGACGACGGCCGCACGGTCGGCGCGTAGCTCGGTTTATGCGTCGGCCGCGGCGACGGCGCCGGGAACTGTTGTCGGATCGCGTCCGCGACGGCCGAGGCGATGAGCTTGTAGCCGGCGTCGTTCGGGTGCACAGAATCATCATAAAACTGGGGGTCTACATCACCATTTGCGTCGTAGAAGTCCGCGAGGTGCGCATCAATTAGAATAGCATCATTATCATGAGCGATGCCCTCGATGATGGGCGGCATCTCGACGTTCAGGATGTCGACGTCCGGCCATTTCCCCGAATCTTCCGACTGCGGGATGGGCGTCGCCACGAACATGATGGGCTCCTCGTCGGCGGCGTCCCTCAGCTCATCGAGGACGTGCTCGTAGGCGTCCGCGAACTCGTGGGGCCCAAGGAGCGGCCAGATGGGCTCGTCGCCCCCACTTTTCGCGTCGTTCGTACCTAAAGCAACAACAAACGCGTTCGCCTTGCGCGAGTCCTCCAACGCCTCCTCGCCGTGCGACGTGTCGATCCAGGCTCGGTCCGTAAAGTCCGTGAGCGTCGAGCCGCTCACGCCTCTATTGATGACCAGATAATTGTCGCCCAGCTCGTCCTGGACGAGCTCCGGCCAGTCCCAGCCCTTCGTGCCGTGACCGCCGCGCGTGATCGAGTCGCCGCAGGCGACGATGACGATGCAGGAATCGTCATTATAGTCGCACTGCGCCGCCGCCGCCGCTATCATAAGCAGGGCCCGGGGCCACCATCGTCGTCGACACGACGTAGGCGCCGTCGCGCTCACGCGCGTGGCCATCGCCGTGTGCGCGCCGCGCCGCTCCCGCGCGCGCAGCGCCAAGTTCCGCGCGCGCCGCGCCGCTCCCGCGCGCCGGCTTGCCAAGTTTCCAGGAGCGCGCGCTCGCTGGCAGGGCCCTAGCGGCGCCGCAGGGCCTGCCCCGCCGCTTCCGAGGGTCAGACGGCTGCCCGCTGGGGCGAAGGAGGCTGCCACGCCCCGAAAATCGCCCGAGCCGGGCTCCCCGAAGACGTCCCGCCTCGATCGAGGCGCCGCTGCATCATTAACCTCGCCAGGGTGGGGGTCCGCTCCGGTGAGGTCTCTGCGGCGTATCCGTCGTCGAGGAGCCCGGGGCGAGGGGTCGGGAGAGGCCTCGGGCCGCAATTATGGCGCTAGCAATTCAAAACCCGACGCTGGGAGATGCTCGCGTTGGGGCAGCCTCCGTGAGCTCCCCTGGGGCTCTCGGGCAGCCCGTGTGCGTGCTGCTGCAGCCCGCAGTCGGCCTCCCTCCGGCACGAACGATTGCCAAGCTAAGGAGCACGTAGGAGCGGCTAACCTAACCCTACCCCAGCAGCACCATGCTGGACCTCCTCGACCTCTCCATCGGCAAGAGCAAGCGCGAGCCCACGGCCGATGAGAAGCTCGCGGCCCTGAGCCGCGACACCCGGCGACGGAAGAAGATCCTGCAGGACGCCTGGGCCGAGAGCCAGCGCGTCGACACGGTGAAGCACGCGAAGATCCACGGCCTCGTCGGCTACGAGATGCTGCGGCGGAAGGACGAGCAGAAGCGGGACGTCGAGGTGCGACGCGGCGTCCTTGGAATCCGTCGACCGAGACGCCATCGACGCGACCCGCTCCCCTCGTCCAAAGCAGGGCACGCACCGGTCGACCTCCACGCAGGATTGGTTCCGCACGCTCGACGTCACGCGGGACGGCTCTGTCGATGCTCGCGAGCTCATCGAGCCCATGGCCATTTTGGGCGTGGCCCGGGACCGGGCCGCCGTCGAGCGGCTCGCCAACGCCATCAACGAGAAGGACGCTGACGGCGAACCTGGCTTGAACATGGACGAGTTCCGCGACTTCGCCATCACGAACGGACTGCGGCCGGCCGAGCTCCGAAAGACGGCGGCGAAGGGCTCGAGCGACCTGCTCGCAGTCGAGACGCAGATCTCCGTCGCGCGGCGGCGCCAGATGCTCGACGCGCTCATGGGTCCCGGGTCCCCCACGTCGCCGGAGAAGCGCAAACAGCTCGACCAGCTGCGAGTCATCGAGAAGTGCGCCGAGTGGGCCGCGTGCGTCGACCCGCCGCCGCCGAAGGCGCGCTCGACGCGGCCGCGGCGACCCTTCGCCGCGCGGCTCGACGCCGAACTGTCGCGGCGGAAGCGGGCCGCGGCGGTGCCCCCGAGGTATCGGAAGGTATCCGCGGCCAAGAAGCCGATGCAGGCCCTGCTCGGGGCCTTCGACCGGACGAAGCGCTTCGATATGACGCTGCCGAAGTCTCCGAAACGAAAGCCGCCGCGCGAGAGACGGGCTGACCCCGATTACACTGCCGTGACCGTGTACCGGCCCGGGTCGAGCTGGCCCGCGGTCGTCCACGTGTCGACGCGGCCTCCGGACGAGACGGCGGCTCTGCGGACCGTGACGTTCTCGAGTCCCGTTGCCGTGCCGGGGTGAGTAAGTACGGAGATTGCACATTTGCTAGTGTCTTACATGCCGCTAGCCCACGCGGGATTACGGCTTGCTATTTGAGTGCTTCTCCGGGCTGTCGGTACGCTAAAATTACAAGCACTGCCACGCATAGACATTACTAGTTCGTTGCGTAGCCTGCACTTCGTGCTTTCGCATAAATAGCGGCACGGCTTGGGTGCAAAGCTGCCCGCCGCTCCACAGCACCTGCCGCAGTCCGACGAGAGCAAGCAAGCATGCTGGCAGGCACGCCTGCGCATGTTTGGCGCATCATCCTTATGGAAGGCATGGAGCGGTTCTCGTACTACGGTTTTCGAGCAATCCTCACTCTCTATTTCGTCAGCCTAGACATGCGCGAGAGCAGCGCGGCGGCTGGCTTCATGTTCACCTCGGCGCTCGCCTACGCCGCGCCGTTGGTCGGCGCTTGGCTGTCGGACGAGCGCTGGGGCCGTTACGCGACGATCATGCGCTTCGGCAGCGTCTACGCCGTCGGCCTGTGGGTCCTCGTGGCCGCGGCCGCCGTGGCGTCGCTTCCCTGGACGATCGTAGCCCTGGTGTTCGTCGGCTTGGGTACGGGTGGCATCAAGCCCTGCGTGTCCACGTTCGGTGCGGATCAAATCGACAACGCGATCGGCGACGCGAGCGAGGCGACGCGGCGGTACTTCGCCGTGTTCTACGCGTCCATAAACCTCGGCTCGGTCTTCTCGTACCTCCTCGTCCCGGCCATGCGGGCCATTTTTGGCTACGCTGCTGCGTTCGCCGTGCCCGCGGTCCTCCTCGCGGCGGCCCTCGCCGTTTTTATTGGAGGGCGGCGCAAATACACGATGCTGCCGCCGCGCGAGGGCGGCGTCGGCGTGCCGGCGGCCATCTGGCGCGCGTGCGCGTGGCGCGTGCCGGACGACGACGACGCCCGGGAGCTGCGGTCGATTGGCGAGGTGATGGTCCTGCTGCCCGTGTTCTGGATGCTCTACGACCAGCAAGGGAGCATCTGGGTCGTCCAGGCGTCGGAGATGAAGAACTTCAAGGGCAAACTACAACCGGAGACGATGGGCGTCATCAACCCCGTCCTCATCCTGCTGCTCCTGCCGCTCTTCGAAAAGGTTATATATCCGGCATTGGAAAGACGGGGCGTCAGCACGCGCGCGCCATGGCGCATGATGGCCGGCATGATTGTCGCGGCGGCCGCGTTCGTCGTCGCTGGTCTCCTGGACCTGAGGGTGAACAGCGGGCAGCGCGTGAACATCCTCTGGCAGCTTCCGCAGCTCTTTCTCATCACTGTCGCCGAGATCCTGGTGAGCGTGACCGGGCTCGAGTACTCGTACGAGAAAGCACCCGAAGCGATGCGCGCATCCGTCTCGGCGCTCTACCTCTTAACGACGGCAGTAGGTGACCTGATGGGCGGTTTTCTCTTCGTCGCCGCGGGCCATCTAGGCGTGAGCCGACCCGCGGTCCTCTTCCTCTGCGCCGTACTTGTTCTGCTCACGGCCATCGCGTTCCGCTTCGTCGCGCGGAAGCACTTCGACGGTTTTGAAACAAAACCAGTGCAGACCGAGGAGGACCCCGCGGAGGAGCTCCAGGCCGTCGAGAACGTGCTCCTCCGAGGCTAGTAGTGTGTATAAATGTGTGATTATGTATTTCCAGAGAATTGGATGCCTCAGGCCTGGCCGAGGTCGACGATGCGGCAGCCCTTCTCGTAGTCGGGGTACTTCCACCAGATGAGCGCGTTCACGACGGCCGTGCACACCACCAGAATGACCGTGAAGATGCCCCACAAACCGTGGCCCGACGCTGCCAATATAGCCACCAGAATCAGGAACCAGAAGCGGCCCATCGCCGAGTAGAGGAACCCCAAATTCTCCGCGAGGCCCCTTCCTAATTGCGGAATGTGCAGCTCGAAGAGGAAAATGGCCACGGCAAAAATAAAGATGTAGACCGCCACGATGCCCGGCGCCAATCTATCGGTGGTCATGAGTTTGGTAATAGCGCAAAAGCTCAGCATGAAGGCGCTCAGCACGTTCATGAACCGCATCGCGAGGATCGGCTTCGGTAAATTTAAGAAGGACATGTCCATGGGCGGCTTGGCTGCCCCAATCGCCGCGCCGACAACGGCGGCGCCGACGCGCTCATTCAATGAAGGCGCGGGGGCCGGCGCCGGCGTCCGCGCCCACGCGGGCTCGTTTGATGGAGCGGGCGCCGGCTTGGCCCAGTCCGGCTCGGGGCTCGCCGCCGCGGGCGGCGCGGCCGGCGGCGGCGCCGGCGGGGGCTGCCGCGCCCACTCGGGCTCGTCGGCCATACTCCTGGCGTAGGGTCTCTGGGGCTTGGGCTGCCTCTTCTAGGCGGCGATCCTGCGAGTTAGAAGCGAGCGTGTCCTCGGTACCACGACAACGTTTGCGAAGAGGGTCGCGCAGCCGGAGATCCACGTGCCGCTCCCAAGGAGCTCGAGGCTTCTAATTTTTCTAGTGTCTTACAGGACGCTAGCTAATCTGCTCGGTCGAGACGAGACAGGCGCAAAGGCACGGCCCCTGTTGTTATCGATGCCGCAGATAGCAGCAAAACAATGATGCATAGAGCGCTAACGCTGGTGGCCGTCGCCGCAGCAGCAGCGCGCCCGCACAACCACGAGCAGCGCGACACGGTCCTGGTCCGCGCCAGAGATCGGGTCACGCGAAAAGACTTGATCCTCAAAGTGTCGCGCGATGCGGGCATGGAGGATCTCGTGGACTCTTACAAGCAGAAGATCGTGGAAATCGCCGATCGGACGCAGCAGTGGCTCGCCAAGGCGGACGCGGCGTATGCCAAGGACGCGCGCGCGCACGACGAAGAGCGCGCACGGGCAGCCGGGAGCAGTCACACGGCGATGATTAGCGTCATGGACCACGGCGCCAAGGGCGACGGCGTCGTGGACGACAGAGCTGCTTTCGAAGCTGCCGTCGCCGCGGCGCGGGGCAAGACAAATGCAGTCGTGCATTTGCCCGCGGGCCATACCTTTTTGCTGTCGCCAATAGAGCTGGTCGATGAGACCGACCTGGAGATCCGCATCGACGGCACGGTGCGGGCGCCTCCCATGGAACGCTGGCCGCCGCCGCCGCGGGAGGATTCCGCGTTGTCGGCGGAGCGGCAGCGTATGCGGTACGCGTTTCTGGAACTGAGGCGCTGCCGTGCTATCGTCATATCGGGGCGCGGGACCATCCAAGGGCAGGGCCAGCCGTGGTGGGCGCTGAGGAAGGTACGACCCGAGGTCCGGGCGCCGGCGCTGCTGGTGATTCGGGAATCGCGCGACTGCGCCGTGCGGTACCTGTCTCTGGTCGAGTCGCCGTTTTATCACGTGGTCGTGCTGGACTCGGAGCGCGTCACCCTGGACCGACTGCGTATTGCGACGCCGCCCGGGAGCGTCAACACGGACGGCGTCGACGTGCTGGCCTCGTCCGACGTCACCATCAGCAAGTGCCACGTCTCGACGGGAGACGACAACGTGGCCATCAAGGAGGGCTCGCGGCGCGTCCAGGTGCTGGGGGGCCTCTTCCACAAGGGCCACGGACTATCGATTGGAAGCCTCGGCGAGCGCCACACGGAGCAGTCCGTGGAGGACGTCTTGATCGCGAACGTCCGCTTCTATCGGACGTCGAACGCGGCCCGCGTGAAGACGTGGCAGGGTGGCCGCGGCCGCGTGCGCAACGTCACGTTCTCGAACCTCGACGTGCGCGGCGTTTACCATCCGCTCGTGCTCGATCAATTCTACTGCCCCGAGAGTCAGCATCCCGGGGTCTGTGCGAACGAGACGGACGCCGTCGCGGTGTCGGACGTGAAAGTGTCCGGTATCGTCGGATGGCAAACGTCCGGCGTCGCCGCGATGCTCCACTGCTCGCAGTCGACGCCGTGCGGCGTCGTCGCGACGGGGATAGATGTGAGGAGCGTGCCCGGCTGCTCGAACGTCGTCCGGTGCCTGAACGTCGTGCCCCGTCCGGGCGCCGCCTGCGCCGACGGCGACAACATGCACGGCTTCCGGCTGGACATCACGCGGCCGATGACGGAGGCGTTGGGCGACGTGCCGTGCGTTCATACGAGTGCGCATCCCTGATGATGGGTTGCTCTGTTTGTGTGTAAGGAGTCTTTGTAGTATATGTCCTCGCGCGTCCGACGATCACAGCGACAATGCCACCCCCGCCTGCCTACCACCTACTATTTTTTTTATAGCCAGATGGGTATCTCCTTTTATGTGCCAATAATTTGAGGTGGGTCACCGGTAGTAGGAAGTAAAAAAAATAAGTGGGCCTAGCATGCCCTAAGGTACCATCCCATACCATACCATACCATACTTTCACGCTTTGCGCCGAAGGCTTACAAATTGGACCTCAAAAGTTCCATGGATGATCAATGTGTATCGCCACGCGTCTGAAAGGCAAGAAAAAAATGCGCAAATGCCTTGTTCCAGCGCTGGTGTGCGCAACACTAGCCTCGGCAGCCTGGGGGCGCCCGCGCCGGCGCCGCCCGTGGGCGCAAGCGTTCGACCGCCTGCAGCCGAACCGCACGGTGCCCCTGGCGGACCGCTGGCCGCGTCCGCCACCGCCGCCGCCGACGCCGGCGCAGCTCGAGATCATGAACCAGAAGCGGAAGTGGGTCGCCGGCGCGGACGCGGCGTACGCAAAGGACGCGCGCGAGCACGACGGCGAGCGCGAGCGCGCGGCCCAGGCGAAGGCGGCGTCCACGCAACGCACGGTGATTAGCGTCATGGACCACGGCGCCAAGGGCGACGGCGTCGCGGACGACAAGGCCGCGTTCGAGGCCGCCGTCGCCGCGGCGCGCGGCGTGAAAAGGGCTGTCGTGCTCCTGCCCGCGGGGCATACCTTTTTGCTGTCGCCAATAGCGCTGGTCGAGGAGAGCGAGCTGGAGATCCGCATCGACGGCACGGTGCGGGCGCCCGTGATGGAGCGCTGGCCCCGGCCGCCGCAGGAGGACGCGTCGTTGTCGGCGGAGCGCCAGCGTATGCGGTACGCGTTCCTCGAGCTGCGGTACTGCCGGTCCCTCGTCATATCGGGCTCCGGCGCGATCGAGGGCCGCGGCCAGCCGTGGTGGCGGCGCCGCAAACGGAGGCCCGAGATACGAGCGCCGGCGCTGCTCGTGATTCGGGAATCGAGCGACTGCGTCGTCCGCTACCTGTCCCTCGTCGAGTCGCCGTTTTACCACGTGGTCGTGCTGGACTCGGAGCGCATCAAGCTGGACCGCCTCCGCGTCGCGACGCCGTCGGGATCCGTGAACACGGACGGTATTGATGTGTTGGCCTCGTCCGACGTCACCATCAGCAAGTGCCACGTCTCGACGGGAGACGACAACGTGGCCATCAAGGAGGGCTCGCGGCGCGTCCAGGTGCTGGGGGGCCTCTTCCACAAGGGCCACGGGCTATCGATTGGAAGCCTCGGCGAACGCCACACGGAGCAGTCCGTCGAGGATGTTTTATTAGCGAACGTCCGCTTCTATCGGACGTCGAACGCGGCCCGCGTGAAGACGTGGCAGGGCGGCCGCGGCCACGTGCGCAACGTCACGTTTTCGAACCTCGACGTGCGCGCCGTGGGCCAGCCGTTGGTCGTGGACCAGTTCTACTGCCCCGCGAGCCAGCACCGCGGCACGTGCGCGAACGAGACGGACGCCGTCGCGGTGTCGGACGTGACCGTGTCGGGCCTCACGGGCTGGCACACGTCCGGCGTCGCCGCGATGCTCCACTGCTCGCAGTCCAGGCCCTGCGGCGTCGTCGCGACGGGGATAGATGTGAGGAGCGTGCCCGGCTGCTCGAACGTCGTCCGGTGCCTGAACGTCGCGTCCCGTCCCGGCGCCGCCTGCGCCGACGGCGACAACATGCACGGCTACCGTCTGGACCTGTCGCGGCGCCAGCGGCGCGCGCTGGCGCGCAACGGGACGTCGTGCGTCCATCCCCCCTAGGTTCTGTGTGACTAATTCTGTAGGAAATTTATAGGACAAGGGAACAAAGCCAACCTCAGAGCGCGAGGGCCCAGACGTCGTCGAAGGTGCCGCCCGTCGCCGGGTCCCAGCCGCCGCTCAGAAGGACGCGCCCGTCCGGGAGCGCGTCGAGCGTCGCGGCGACGCGCGCCGCCGGCCCGGCGACGTCAAGCTGCTCCCACGTGCCCTTGGCGCCGTCCACCGTCAGGAGCCAGGTCTCGGCCGTCGCTTTGAGGCCGCCGGAGCCGGGCGAGTCCGTGCCCTTGCCCGCGCCGCCGAAGAAGACGACCCGGCTGGCGTCGAGCGCGGCGCAGCACGCCGATCCCCGCGCCGTGGGGCCGTCCGGGGCGTCGAGCTCCGTCCACTCGTAGGACTTCGTGTCCAGCACGTACGCCCGGTCGGAGAACTCGCCGTTCTTGGTCGCGCCGCCGACGACCAGCAAGCCCGCGTCGCCCACCGGCGCCACGGCGCACATCGACAGGCTCTCCGGGCCCCGGCCCGTCGTCTTGTGCGACTTGGCGATGCCGCACGCGTCGCGCCGTACCACCCCGTCCCGGAACGCGTGGATGTAGATGCGGCCCTCGGCGCTGCCGCCGACCGTCGCGGCGGCGTGCCGCGACACGGGGCCGCACGGCAGGGGGTCGTCCTTCTGCCACTCGAGCTTGTTCACGTCGAGCGCGTGGACGGCGTCGCTGAAGGACCCGCCCGAGCCCTTCTCGCCCGGGTCCCAGCCCCCGCAGACCACAAACTCCTCCTTGCCGCTCGTGCCGACTAAAGATTGCGTGGCCGCCGCCGCGTACATGGCCTTTTGGGGCTTGAAGCCCGTCGTCTCGACCGGAGTCCACTCGCCGTTCTCGAAGGCGTACAGGCTGTCAACGGCGTTGCGCGCCTCGTCCAGGCCGCCCCACAGCAGTACTCGACCGTCCTTCAGCGAGGCGCTGGCCGCGCCGGAGACCTTCGGGCCTTTGCCGGCGGCCTGCCACGACCTGTGCGGACGAGATAGTCACGAGTTGCATCGACACGAGATGCATCGACGGCGAGGCAGGGACAAGGACGCCGCGTCGGACAGGGCACGCGCACCGCCGACGCAGCTTTGTGCGCCCAGGGCGAGATATCGTCGGATCCGCATCATGGGGTGTGTTTTTGAGCGTCAGTTCGACGTGCGTCGACTCGGAGCACTGGAGGCCCTTTGATCTGAGTCTGCTTTTGGCTATGTAGGCGATATTTGCGACCGCTCTGCTGCTCAGGCGCACTGCATAGGCTTCAGGTGAGGCAACTGCTGCGCGATCAAGGCAGAAACCGCGCAAAGGAACGAGATCTGAGTGACGCTCTGCGTGATTTGAGCCAGCTAGTACCGTTATACACTAGCTCAGCTCAATTTAAAAAGTCAGGGCTCCGCCCCCTAGTCCTAGCACCGTAACAATTGAACGCCACTAGTCCTGCCCGTAACAGAAACGCACTCATCACGGTGTCGTCGACGAGACGAAAGGATAGATATTCACAATTACTCGTCGGCGAGGCCGCTGTGGCGGATCAGCGCCTCGGGCGACGGCTTGCGCCCGCGGAACGTCTCGAACACCTCCGCGGGCGGCGTGCCGCCGCCGCACGCGAGGACCGTGTCGCGGAACCGCTGGCCGAGCTCGCGGACGGCGGCCTCGTTCTCGAGGCCGGCCTCCTCGAACGCGCCGAAGGCGTCCGCCGACAGCACCTCGGCCCACTTGTACGAGTAGTAGCCGCACGAGTAGCCGCCGGCGAAGATGTGCGAGAAGGCGCACAGGAAGCGGTCGTAGTCGCGCGGCGCCATGGCTAAGTACTTGCCGAAGATGCGCTTCTGCACGTCGAAGACCGGCTCCGTGAGGTGAGGGTTCTTGTGGAGCTCGACGTCCAACATACCAAAGGCCAGCTGGCGCGTCATGGCCAAGCCCGCGTTGTACGTCTTCGAGCCCTTCAGCTTATCATAAAACTCGTCGGGCAGCGGCTCGCCCGTCTCGTAGTGCTTCGCGAAGCCGTAGAGCGTCGGGCGATCCAACAACCAGTTCTCCATGAACTGCGACGGCAGCTCGACGGCGTCCCACTCCACTCCATTAATGCCCGCGGCGTCGCCGTCCTCGACCTTGGTGAGCATGTGCTGGAGCCCGTGGCCCATCTCATGATATAAAGTATTGACCTCGTCGAACGTCATGAGCGAGGGCTTGTCGCCGACGGGCGGCGACCCGTTGCACGTTAAGTAGGCGGTAGGCACGTCGCGCTTCAGCGCCTTGGACTTGCCGACGCAGACGTCCATCCAGGCGCCGCCTCTTTTGTCCGCCGGCCGCGAGTAGGGGTCCAGGTAGAAGGACGCCACGACCTTGTCGCCGTCCTTGACCTCGAAGAAGCGCACGTCGTCGTTCCAGACCTCGGCCTTGCCGTCCGCGGCTTCTACCGTGACGCCGAAGAGGCGCTCGATCAGTTGGAATAATCCATCTAAGACGGCGGGCAGCGCAAAGTACGGCCGAAGCTCCTCGTCGCTATAATCGAAGCGCTCCTCGCGGAGCCTCTCCGCCCAGTAGGGCACGTCCCAGTGCTCGAGGTTGCCCTCGTGGCCCTTCGAAGAGGCATACTCCTTGAGCTCCGCGAGCTCGCGGTGCGCCGCGGGCGTCGCCTTCGCCGCGAGAAGCACGTGGAGCTCCTCGATCTCCGCGACGCTGGCCGCCATCTTCGACGCCAGCGACACATCAGCATACGACTCGAAGCCCAGGAGCTTCGCCTGCTTCTGCTTTAACGATAGGATCTCGTCGATGAGCGGTGCGTTTTGCTCGCCGGCGCGCGTGACGAACGCTGCGTACAGCTTCTCGCGGAGCGCCGAGGATTTTAGGTGCTGCATCGCGGGGATGTATGAGGGCGCATCCAAGCCCAAAACCCAAGGGCCGTTCTCGGCGTCGGCTTTTTCGCACTTCTTAAGCGATAAAGCCTTCTCGGCCGCGGCCGCGCGCGCCGACGGCGGCAACCCTTCAACGTCCGCCGCGTCGGTGAGCACGAGCTCGAAGGCCTTCGTCGCGTCGAGCACGTTGTTCGAGAACTGCGTCGACAGCTCGGACAGGCGGACCTGGTTCGCGTTGTACTGCTCCTTGGCCTCGCCCTCGAGCGCCACGCCGCCGAGGCGCATGCTTCTCAAAGAAGCGTCGACGATGCGCTTGCGCTCGCCCTGCACCTCGTCGCGCGCCGCGATGCCCTCGAGGGCCTCGTAGACCTTGCGCGACTGGCCGAGCTTCTGCGTCGCGCCGACGACCTTGGGCTGCATCGCCGCCTTGGCGTCGCGCAGCGCGTCCGAGTTCTTCACGCCCTCGAGGTGGCCCACGACGCCCCAGGCGAAGCCGAGCGGCGCCGAGATCTTCTCCAAAGCTTCGATCGTCGCCTCGTACGACGACGTGCCGTCGATGGCGTCCTCGAGCGACTTCAGGTCGCTGTCGAGCGTGTCGAGGACGCTCGCGATGCCGGGCTCGATGTCCTTGCTCTCGATGGATTTGAATTTGGGCAGGCCCTCTTGGATGAGGAGTGGGTTTTGCATCGTCGCAGCGTTGCGGCACACGCTGCGGCGGGTCGTGGCCGCGAAACTGCTTTGGAAGGCGCGAGTCACGCGCAGCAGTAGCATTAAACGCGCAGCGGTGCGGCGCATCGGTGCACGCAGTTTCTTTGCGTGATCGGAGTTGAGCGTGTGAGCAACGCCCAGCGCCGAGGAGTGCAGAACGATGCACAAAACGCCTCGTAAATGCCAGCTTAGCAAACTTGAGCAAGATGCTAGTGTCTTACGGCCGCTAGACGTCCGCGCCTCATACCACTCGTGCATGGCTGAGGGAATGGCCGTGGAAGACTCGTTTCGAAGGCCAGCCCAACTTCGCCTGCGAGACTTGGGCAGGAGAGGGCATTTGATCGGGCCAAGTGGTGCCATAAACACCAGGACTGGTCGAGAGAATTGATTGGAGGAGAGCACTGCGACTCTATTCCAGCAATAACAGGACAGCGCACGCGAGAACGTACCATGCGGTTACAGCTCTGTGTTGCTCTCACACTGCTGGGATGCAGTGATGCGCTGCTGCGCGGCGCATCGATGCCGGCGCCTCACAAAGCGGTCGCGGTCGCGCCGTTGAGCACTTGCACGATTTCTGCGCTCCGGCGGCCAGCCGCGCCATCGACGGCGCTGCGCGCGGGGTCGAACGACGAAGGCAACCGCAAATTAGAAATCCCGGAGCAGCCCGAGTACGACGTCGAAGGGATCAACTTGAAAGAGCTCCTCAAGGGCGATCCCACGACGCTCACGTTGGTGGGCTTCGGGCTCATCGCGTTCAACTTTTTTGTGCTCGCGGGCTTCGGCAGCGGCGGGCTGTAGCTAGGCACTTCGGATAAAGAATTCGGATAGATTAAAATCAAAGGGGGTGTAGGGTGGTCGAGGACGTTTCGTAACAGCGCAGCTAGCGGTCTGTAACACACTAGCATGCTGCAATCGATGTGGACTCGAGCTCTCTAATCTCGAGCCCTGCTGTGTAACCCACGGATTAGAAGAGACTGCGAGGGCCTTGGCTGATCACACACAGCGCAGCGCATCTCTCACCGCGCACCGGCCATCTCTAAGCGAGTACACTACCACTGGCAAAAATCGCAGCGACAAATGAAGCCGGCGCCGCGCACGATCCTCCACCCCGACCTCTACCCCGGCACGACGCAAAAAGACGCCAAGGCCGAGGCCCTGCGGAAGCGCGCGAACGAGGCCTACGCCAACGGCGACTTCGAGGAGGCCCTCACCCACTACTCGGCGAGCGCCCTGCACGATCCGACGGAGGCGACGACCTGGTCGAACCGCTCCGCGACTCTCTTACAACTAGACCGCGCCGAGGACGCCTTCGACGACGCCGAGCGGTGCCTGTGGTTGGATCCGGCGTTCGGCAAGGGCTACCTCAGAAGAGGCGCGGCGGAGTGGCGACTTGGGAGAAGGGCCGACGCGCGCGCGTCCTACGAGGCGGGCCTCAAACAGGATCCTGGGAATGTGCGGTTGATGGAGGAGCTCGCGCGCTGCGAAGCGAGAGCGGACACGGAGCCCGCCCAGGCCGCGCGCGCGGCCGTGTTTAGGACGATGCTCGTGTCTCCCTCCTTAGATGTGGAAGGTCTTTTCGAATTGCTCCAGGCGCCTGAAAGATTAACGGCGGCGGCCGTATCTGAACGGGCGCAGTCGCTCGACGCTTTGTTGGAGTACCTCTGCCGCACGCTGGAGTGCGATCTGGTTGTATTAAGGGACTGCGCGCCGCTGCGCGAGGCCTACGACCGCGCGACGTTCGCCTGCGGCCAGTTGTTGGGAGCGGAGCCGGGCGCCGCGTCGCGACTCAATTGCGCGCCGCGCGTGGTGGACGCGCTGCGCCACGCGCTGCGCTGCGGCTGGCGCATGGAGCAAAGATGTAGGAGCCACGGCGTCGCCAAGTTCGCCGCGAACGCCCTGGCCGTGCTCGCCGCGGCGCCGGACGCGCTCGATAGCATAAGAAGGCGCGCGGCGCGCCATTTACTAGGAGCGACGACGCAGTGGCTGCTGGACGCGACGCCGGAGCCCTCTCCCCTGTCAGAAGAGGGGGACGACAACGACAGTGATGGCGAGCCAACGAATGGAGACACGCAGTCGACGTCGTCCGAGAACCGCAACCCCTTGCGGGACGAGGCCGCACGGCGCAAGGAGCGCCAGCGCGTCGTGTGTGGTTGTGCTGCTTTATCACCTAGACTCTCGGCGGCGTCGTGGCTTGAAAGACTATTCGAGCGGGGCGCGCAGCCCTGGGTGCGCGACGAGTGCGAGCACTTCCGCGACGCGGAGCTGTTGGCGCTGCACCTCTGTGTGGTCGTCCGGGACGAGCGGGCCCCGCCCTTGGGCCTGCCGGGCGTCATCAAGGCTTGTGGGGACCGGCTCATGTCTTCTACATTGGAAGCGGACGCGTTCGTCCGGCCGGGCTGGCGCTGGGACGCCGCTATTAGAGTGGCGCGGCGCGGCGGCATTGAAGAAGAACCAGAGGAGTCAGAGCAGCGGGGCGACGAGGAGTCGGATGAAAAATTAGCAAGGAGGTTACAACGACGTTTTGACGACGAGGCCGTTCAAAGAGCAAGGAGCGACGCCAACGGCCCGCCCGCGGCGCGGCTGGGCGAGTGGCTCGCCGCTTCATTGGGTTATTTGTTGCTGTTTGTCGACGGCGACGACTTGTTTTGTGCTCATGCTTGTGGTGCACTATCCAAGCTCGCGTCGATAGACGCATCGAGGGTCTCGGCGGGCGTCTGGTGCGGCGTGCCGCTCCTCGAAAAGCTGGCGGCGGCGGCCTGCAAGGAGACTAGGGCTGTCGGTGTGCTCGAAGCATTGACAAGTCATGCGCCGGCGCGCGCGGCGATGCTTTCATTGGCGGCGGCGCTGGCAGGCGACGTCGAGGAGGAAGACGTTCCCGATGTTGATGCGCCGCCGCCGCCGCCATCAGAGACGGTCCCAGATGACCCTATTGAAGAGGTAGTACTGGCCGCCGAGGTCATAAACCAGGAGCCCGAGCACGACGAGGCGGAAGGTAGGGCCCCGACCCCTTCCTGGGCCGACTACTTCCACGAGCTAAGAGGTACCTTGGGCATCGGCGGGCCGACGAAGGCGACGCTGGAAGACATGGTCCTGCTGGCGAACTTCGATCAAAGTGCGGCCGAGCTGCCCGTGAGCGGGGAACTGACGGCGACTTTCTCTGATGGTTCTTCCCTAAAGCTTGCGGCCGTTCCTGCGTCGTGGAACGAGCGTTTCGCGGATGCTGTTGCTACTCAAACAATCAGTTCTGATCAATCAGCGCCCATCGGCTCTGAGGATTGGCAGGTCCAAGATGGCTCCGCCGTCATCGTCGACCGGTCGCACATCCGCAAGTCGCCGAAGGCGCCGGACTGGGCCACGGCCGTGCGACTCAGTGAGGAGGCCGGTGCTTCAGTTGTAGTCGTCATCAACGATTTGTTTGACGATGGGCTAGCGAGGCCCGCGTTCCGGATGGGCGTGTTTGGCGCGTCTCCGCCGCCCATCGGTGGGTTCATGGTTTGTGGTGCGGATGGGGAACTGCTCAAGAAGCAGTGTCAGGAGAAGACTCTGACGAAATTCGAAGTCTCCACCATAAGGAACACGAATCGGTCAGAAAACGCTTCTCCACTCCGTGCCGCTCCGCTCTGGCCCTTGCGGGGCGTGCCGAAAGACGCCTCGCAAGCCTGGGCTTTGGCAGAGGTTGTGTATCGATCAAAGCCTTCCCCAACATTGAATGATGACCTGAAAGCTTTGACACAACGTATGACTGCCGCGGAGAAACGAGTCTGGCTCGCTAGGCGACTCCAACGGTGCCACCGACCGTTACATGACGACGACGAGCGAGCTCTGGCGTTTGTCGAATGTGATCGACACGCTCCTCAGTTGGAGCAGCTGCGCACACAAAAGAAGGACGTCACGGGCCTTTTCGCCGAAGACGTGACGGGGGACTTTGAGGTCCGATTTAAAGGTGAAAGTGCGGTCGGTTCAGCTGTCGCAAGGGAGTGGATGGATCTGCTGGCTCGTAGGGCGTTTATTAGGGGAGGAGGGTCGTTACTAAGGACTTGTGATGGGGGTCGGAGTTTTATTCCCAATGCGGCTTCAATGTATGGTAATCCGCACTGGGAGGGCGACTTCGAAGCTCTCGGTAGGTTGTTCGGCCTGGCGGTCTGGCAGCAAGTTACTTTAGATTTGCCTCTACATTCGTATGTGTGTGCCTGGTTATTAAATGATGGCGAGCCGCCTTCAGAGGGCGACTTAGAATCATTAGATCCGCAGCTCGCTGCCTCGATGGCGTGGATCGAAAATAACGATGTCGAGGGGCTGGAGCTGGACTTCACGGACGGGTTGGATCATACGGAGCACGACGCCGGCGACGACGATGGTGAGGAGGACGTATCACCGATGGAGGGGGCGCCGCGGACGTTCGCCTTGGCTGATGTGTTAGGTGCATCAGATGAAGCGCGGGCGGTAGCTCCAGGGAGCCGCGTCGAGCTTGTGGAGGGCGGTGAAGATAAGGCCGTCACGTCCGATACTCGGAATGAGTTCGTGAAGACAATGCGAGACTATCGGTTGCGGGGGTCGCTGCGCGAGCCCATCCAAGCCATGGCGCGGGGCCTGAGGACCGTCATGCCGTCGGAGGTTTTGAGGGATGCGCGGCGCATGCTCTCTCCCTTAGATTTTTGTCGATTACTGTCGGGGTTAAGGGGCGTGGACGTGGCCGACTGGAGAAGACACACGCGCTACGCGGGTGGTTTACAACCGGACGCGAAGGAAGTGAAGCTCTTCTGGAATGTGGTCGAAGGTTGGTCGAAAACGCACCCGAAGAGATTGCACGGCCTGCTCCAGTTCGCGACGGGGTCTCGAAGGGTGCCCGTCGGCGGCTTCGCGCACTTGGTAGGATTGAACGGCGGGCGCCACCCGTTCACGCTCCACGCGGGCCGGCATCTACCGCCCGGCGCGCTGCCGACGGCGCACGCGTGTGTGTGTACCATCGACGTGCCGGCCTTTGTCGACTTCGAGGCCGCATCGCAAAAGCTCGTCCAGTGCGTCGACCTCGGCACGCGCCGCTTCGACGAGCACGAGACGCACGAGTCGTCCGACGACGAGGAACCCAGGACCGAGTCCGACGAGGACTCCTCGGTGGAGGAGCTAGACCTTTCATAAGATACATGTGTTCTATTAGAGCTCGGCGACGCTCTTCCCGGTGACGTAGTCGAGGACCTCGGGCAGCACCTTCTGGAGCGCCTTCGAGGCCGTCGACAGGTTCGCGAGGAACTCGTCCTGCGTCGCGTGGGGCCCATCCACAATATCCGTCACGACCTTGATCGCGAGGAAGGGCGTCCCCGACAATTCGGCGGCGTGGGCGAGGGACGCGGCCTCCATGTCCTTGCAGACGGCGCCGCTCTCTTCAATAATCGGCGCGTCCGTCGGCGAGCAGTCCAGCGAGTTGCCCGTCGTGCAGAGGCCCGTTTTGAGGCCGAGTTTTGATACAAGACCCGGCGCGGGCGTCGCCCGGCGGTGCCCGACGCACATTGAATCATAACCGGGGATGGGCACGCGGCGGTCGTGGTGTTTAAATTCACCACAGCAGTAGACGTCGCCGACCTTGCCTCCCCTTTTTGCGAAGCCGCCGCACGTGCCCGCGTTCACGAAGAGGTCCAATCCATCTTCGGCCGCGAGGAACGCCGTCAGGAACGCGGCGTCCGTGCCCACGAGAGACTTGCCGTCGACGACGCCGGGGCTGTAGACCAGGACCGTCGCGTCCTTGTACGAGCCCTCGTGGACGACGATCGGCGCGCGCGCGTGCGGCGCGCGCTTCTGCAGCTTTAGGGCGCCGATGAAGGGCGCGGCCTCCTCCTGCATGGCCACGAGGAAGCCGACTTTGTTGATGCGCTTGGCGGCTTGGGCTGCCATATCGCTTGCTCCTTGGTTGTTTTTGTCTTGTTGCCAAGGTTTCCTGGCCTCGGCTGCGTGCGTGCTGCTGCAGTGCTTATGCGTCGCTCTCTATTTTGCAGGTCTTTGCACTTTCGCTTGCAATGCAAAGCCTGAAAGCGCTGGCTGGCGTGCGAGCTGCAAAATAATCAGCTAGCGGATTGTAAGACTCTAGCAATCCAAGCTCACCTATAGCCGAAGCGTATTGAGGCTGGAAACCCGAATTTACATTTTAATGCTACTTATCCACCCTTCCTCCCGAACAGCCGGACATCAAGCACGAGGTCCGGCTGGTACGGCCGATTCGGGTTGCAATAAATGTTCTTGAACCGCTGGTACTCGCCGGCACCCATATCGCCAGCTCTCTCCGGCGCGTTAGGAGGAACCGGCCCGCGACCCTTCTCGCAGTCCTGTATTTGCAACGAGTTCTTCGCGGGGCGAGCCTTGTCGATGTAGGCCAACTCCGCGGGAACCTGTGCACAAATCAACCAGTGAGTCGGGTGATGCGTGGAGGTCGACGCGAAGATTCAGCACGGCGTGGCATTTTGATTTATGCACAGACCAGAACAATTAAGCGTCGCACGCCTCCCGGGAGCATCGGCGGCACGCCGTCGCCTCCGAGGATCGCTTGCTCGAGACCTAGGATGGTCGTGCCGTCGCCGAGGACCCACGAGTACGGCTCGTTCCGGTCCTTAGTGGCGTCGATCTTCGAGCCGTACCGTGCGCCTGTCGTCGACATGACGTAGTCGACGGCAACGCGCTGGCCGGTTCTAAACGGAGAGCCGCTGCCGACCTTGGCGTCCGCGTACTCGAGACCATTTCTCGCTTTGCTGAACGAGAGCTCGTCGGCCCGCGCCGGCTGCGTTTGCACGAGTGCAGCGCTGGTCAGGCCACTGAGTGCAGCGCGGCGCTGCAGCGGTTTCAGCGCTGCGGCTGCTGCAACAAGGAGCAGCGATCGACGCAGCGCTTGACGAGGCATCTTTTATTTGCAGCTGTTCGGCCTCCTCCGCACCGATTTAGGTTGTGAGAGCGCGCCAGTGCAAGGAGGCTGCAGGCTGGATAAAGCTCACTGGCACGCGCGTAGCTTTGCCGCGAAAGTAAAGGAGCTGTATTAGATCGGCACAGCTCAACAATGCTGCGGCTCGCACTGATAACAGGCTGCGCAGCTCTGCAGCATAAATACGGCCGAGAAACCTATGGAGCTCGCGTCACGCGCGGCGCCGCCGACCTGCCGCCGCTGCTATTGATCCCGCCGGTGGGCGTGGGCATCGATCGACAATTCTACGCGCGTTTTCAGGATGTGTGGGACGGCGGCGACACACACGCGCCCGATCTACTGGGTACCGGTGACGCCAAGCCAAAACCGAGGCGCTTCTACAAGCCCGAGGTCTGGGCGGGGCAGCTTGACGCCTACGTCCGGGAGGTGATCGGGGAGCCGTGCGTGTTGGTGAGCCAGGGCGGGCTCCTGCCCGTGGCGCTCGAGATGTGGCGCCTCGGCGGCACGGACACGGTGCGCGGCGTGGCCTGCCTCTCGCCGCCGCCTCTGAGCTTCGTGGCGTCGGAGGGCGTCGAGGCGGACCGCACCGCGCCGGCCGTGCCCCGCGCCCCGCGGCGCATCCAGCGAGTCGCCTGGGCGGTTTCTTCGTCGCCCGTTGGAAATCTGTTCTTTCGCCGGCTCCGCGGGAAGAAGGGCGAGCGCATACGGTCGTTTACCGATAAAAATCTATTCGCCGGCGAATCGGACGATGCCTGGGTGAAGCAGTGTTATGAGAGCGCTCGCGACTCTCGCGGGAGATTTGCTACTTTGTCGTATCTCTGCGGGACGATACCCGCCGGCGGTGCCTGGCGCGACGAGCGGGGCGGCCTGCTTGCGGATTTGATGGTCCCGACTTCGATCATCCGAGGAGTCTTCCCGGGAGCCCGCGATCCCGTGAACCGCACGCGCGAGGCGCTCGAGCAGCTCCCGTTTCCAGCCGGCGGATACATCATTCGGGACGCCCGGGCCTGCCTGCCGTGGGAGCAGCCCGAACAAACGGCCTCGGCACTGCTGAGCTTCCTCCGATCAAGCTCCGAAAAGGACCTGGCCGTCCAGTACGTAGGCACGTAATCATGTCACAACATCTTACGCACCAAAGAATTCCGCGTCGAGCGCCTCCGAGTCCTCCGACGCAATGCGCAGGCGCTCCAAGTCGAGTTCTTCCCCTTCTTCAGGGATCGCGTCGGGCTGGTCGAGGAGCTCGCGGAACTCGATCTCGCCGAAGTCGCGCTCGGTGGGGGCGTCCGAGGCCACCGACGCTGATGAGTTCGCCCGCCGTTTGGCGTGGCGCTGTTGTTTCCGCGAGAGCACCGTCGACGCCGTCGTCGTGGAGTCGCCGACGTCCCTCTTGCCGCCGGGCGCGACGAGGACGTAGCGACTGCTCGTTTTGACGTCCGCGCCCACGATGGACTCGACATCGTAGGCCTTGACGACGGCGTCTGATTTCTGCGACGCCAAGGGCAGCCGCGACGCATCAGCTTGAACAGGTGCGTCGCCCTCGTGCCGCTGTACCATAACGCTCGTGTCGTCCAACGGGACGGCGTCGACGACCCGCACGTCTATTAACGCATCCGCCGACGCCACGCTCTCAAAGGGCTTGCGGAAGAACTGCTCGCCGTTCACTTCTTCCTCACCAACGCCGTCGACGCGATCCAGCCGTATCTCGCGCCGGACCGACGACACCAAGTAAAGGGCCGGCCCGCCGCCGCCGCGCGGCTCCTTGACGACGAGGTCCCATTTTGATATGGGCGGCACCTCCAGCAGAATGGTTTTCTGGTACTCCACGGTGTTGGCCTTCGGATCCTGTGTGGGCACATCGACCGGTGAGCCGCATCGACGGCGTGAATATACGTCCGCACGGGTCGCTACGTGCGTCACGAGCTTCCGCGTCTTGGAGGCGACGCGCAGCGGCGCGCGCCCGGCCCGCCGCAGCTCGTCGACAAATCTATCACCGTCCTTCTCCTGCGCGAAGTCCACGTCCAGGCCCTTGCCGCGCGGCAGGCGCGCCGCGCCGAACATCAAACCTGTTTTCCCGATGGCGCGGATCGCGTCCTCGAGCGACCGCATCGTCCGCGCGCAGGAGCCGCCGTGCGCTCTTATTTGAACCCGCGCGCCGAAGTCGCCGCCGCCCTTGCCCATTTTTCGGTTTCTCCGTTCCCGCGCCTCGCCCGCGCAGTCCGCGCACTTGCAGCGCTCTTCCACAAACTCGAGCAGCAGGCGCTGGCGCACGGACGCGTGCGCCACGTCAACTTCCAACTTCAGGCGCCGCGAGTGCGGCTCCGTCCAGACGAGGCGCGCGTCCCGGAGCGCGAGCGGGTCGCCGGCCTTGAGGCCCGCGGACAAACCGTCCACCAGATCCAGGGCCTTCTTCCCGAAGAGCTGCGCCTTGACGCGTCTCAACAAGACCGCCAGCAGCTCGTCGGTGTCCCTATCTCCTCGTTCCCAGCGGCGCTCCTTCTTGTTCGCCGCCGTCGTCTCGACGCGGTCGCAGCCCGTGCAGCGCCTTAAAGTCAAAAGCTTGGGGTGCTTCTTCAGGTGCGCCTCCAAAGGCGCGCGCCAGTCGTACGTCGCGCGCACGCAGTCGAGGCAGAGAAATCCGTCGTCCCGCGCGATCGTGGGCACGCCGCACTCGGGACAGGAGATCGTCGGCAGCGTGCTACGGCCCGCTTGGGCCTCGAACTCGGCCCGGGAGACGTGCACGGCCATATGTATGCCTTGCACAAGGACGGAGGCTGTATGACTCGGCAGGACTGCCCGCTGTCGTGCGCAGCGCTGCGCAGGGCTATAAAACGGTGTAAAGACTAGCGGTGGTGGACAAACGCGGGCTAACGCGCTTGCCGCATCGATAATAGCTAGCGTAATAACGTGCTAGTGTGCAGCAGTGCCGGAGCTTTTTGAGTGATTGCTCCGCCATCAATCGTGCTGGGACTGCGTGGGGGCTGCTAGTAGACTCTCTGCTCGCAGCTGTGCCGCGCACGGCTGCGCGAGAGCGTTGAAATCGCGGACTGATGCTTTAAGAGCTGCTGCTGCCTGCTGCCTGCTGCAGGCCGAATTCGTGACCGATGCGCTGGTGTGCAGCAGTATGCAGTATATGCAGTCTGCTGGCCGCAGCCAAAGCGATGGCGCTGCGCCCCGTCGCCGATGTATTGCAACGCCTCGAGTACGATCGCGGCGTCGACGCGAGTCGCTTCACGTTTTACTTCCGCGAAGCGCAGCTGCCGGTGAAAGTCGGCGCCGCGTGGGGCGATGCGAACGACCGCGTGAATGGCACTGAGCGCATGCTGGCGAAAGCGATACCGCAGCACCGCATTGCATTCGTGTCGTACGGTCAACGGTTGGTGTGGCACCGAGGGCGGCGCGTCGACCGCGTCTACGGGTCGGGACTCACACCACATTGTAAACTCTACGACGTCGTCGCCGAGCACGACGCGTGGACTCAAAAACGCAGCGACGCGGCCGCTGCAACGCTCGAGGCCGTCCGGTGCGAGTGCGGCGCGGATGCATTTTCTGTCCTGCGCCAGAACTCGCGGCGGGCGTCGCGCCGCGACCTGGCGCCCGACGCCTGGCTCGACGCGGCGGACGAGATCCTCGGCGTCGACCTCGTCGAGGACCTCGTCGTGTCGCTGCCAGACATCGCTCTGCGCGAGGCGCTCGCCGACGCGCTCGAGGCGCGCGGGCGCCCCCTCGACGGGGAGTTGTGGGTAAATGATGTGTTCTAGTTTATACATGTGGCCCCCTCTAGTACCCGTCCTCGTCCGGCGCCGAGTCGGCCATCTTGTCCAGATCTAATTTCTCGCCCGTGATGCGCTCGTACATGTCGATCACGTCGAGCGACGTCGTCTCGAAGTGCGACGTCGCGTCGAAGCTCTTGGAGATGTAGCAGTTGTCCGCTCCTGTGCACAAATCAACCAGTGAGTTCTCGGCGACGCGGCCGTGGCTGAATCGATCCGTGAGGACCACACCGCCACGCCGTCGTGCTGAAGTCGCGTCGATGGCGTGGAGGCCATGGTGGTAGCAGTTGCGAAGACGCGCCGCTGCAATTTGATTTATGCACTGGTCCGCGCGGCCGTCGGCGAGGGGCTCGTAAAGCGGTACGACGTCGTCGAAGCGCGTCATGATCGTGCCGAGCAGCCCCAGCGCCGGCGCGAGTTCACGCATCGGTTCCTGTGTGCAAATCAAACGCATATCCAGCAGACGTCGCGTCGATGCCGTAATTCAACCATAGGCGAGGCGCGCCGCGACAATTTGATTTATGCACTGATCGGTGCGCTCGTCTCGACGACCGTCGAACAAATGGCCACGTACTTGCCTGCAGCTGTCACCTGGTGCGAATTGGAAATGAGCACGACATATATGTCGTTCTTCCGATTCAGCTGCGTCGAGGGGATGATGATCTGTAGACTGTCGACGTCATTGGTATTGGGGATCGGATGATTTAAAAAGCAGATGGACCGCACAACCTTGCCGATCTCCCTACACTTCTGATAAGGCTGGAAGTAGGAGGGATCTCCAATAAAAATCTTCGCCTTTGCAATCTCATCGTCTCCGCGAATGCCCCAGGCCTTGCCCTCATTATCAAATAATACTTCATCTACTGAGCGATTCAACATGAACGTGCCGCCGTGAATCGCACATAACCGCGAAAACCCTTCCGGCAGGCCTCCTAACCCGTACATCGGATAAACATAAGGACTCTTGCCATATCTATCGACCGAGTAGCAGTACATAATAATAGCCTTCACCGTCGACAAAGCCGGTTGATCCATGTAGTCGTCGTTCAACTGTAAAGCCATGGCATGCCCTACAAACTCCCTGGTCCCCTTCTCGAGCCCGTACTCGTCGTAGAGCTGGCGCATCGTCATCCGCGTCAAATCCCTTCCTTTATGTGTTTCTGGTTTTTTTTCATCATAAGATTGCAAATACATGAGGAAGTTGATCATGCGCCTTTTCTCGAACAAGCCTAGTAAACCATTACTGACGACCTCCATCTTCGTCGCCGGCACTTTATAAATCTTGCCGTTCCGATACACGTAGGACGCATCTAGCGACCGAAACTCCAAGTATCTTGTTACTTTCGTATGTATCAGCATTTTTACTAATTTACCACACGCCATGATGCACTTCGGGATCAGATCAACATTATAGTCGCGGTTCTGGCCTAGCACATCAAAGATGCGCTGTTCCGGCTGCTTGCCGTTGTTGAACTTCGCAAACAAGTTGCTTAGGTTCAGCGAGGCGGAGTCGGCGCCGTAGTACGAGTTGCGGTCCACGTGGAGCACTTTTTTTCCCGCTGTGGCTAGCAAGCCGGACAGGACGCACTCTTTTAATCCGGTACCCATGACGATGCAGTCGTACTCGCCGTCGGCTAGCGGTTTTTTGCCGGGCGGAAGCCACGGGAACTGCGGAAACTCCGGTGCTTTCTCTTCTTCTAGCTTCACGTCCGCGACGGCGTCCGCTGCTGCGGCGACCTCGTCGTCGCCCTTGAAATCGGCCATGGTTTTACTACTGAGCGGCCGCTCTCCTCGATTTCTATTTGTTTATTTTATCCAGCGAGCCGCAGCGGTGGATGCGAGCGTTGAGCGACGCGCAGCGACGGGCTGCGGGCGCGAACTGATCACCGATGAGGCCGCAGCGATGCCCAGCTCCCAGGCAGCGATTAGATGCGCGAAAAATGAAAATTAATGCCGCGTGTCCCAGCGTGCTGTAAGACACTAGCAAAATCCGGACGGGTGGGACCGGGGGGAGCGGGAGGGGTACGGGGGACCCTGCGACGTAACTAGCCTGAGCCTGACCGCGCACGTCTTCCCCCAAGGGGCTCCGCCCACTAGTCCTAGCACCGCAACGATATAATGAACCCGCGCGCACCGATTGACACACGGCGGGCTCGCACCGATCAGTCCGTCGCGCCTCGACGCGAAGTAGCGCGTCCTACTACGATGACATTGCGTGTTTACCCACCACGAACTCACTCGCGCTCCCCCCGCAGCTCCGCGAGCGTCGCCTCGAGCTCGGCGACGGTCTGCTTCTGCACGCTCAGCGGGCACGTCTCCCCGCGCAGCTTGTACTGGCCCTCGACGCGGCCGAGGAGCTCCTCGCGCAGCTTCGCCTCGGCGAGGCGCGCCGCCGCCTCGGGGCTCATGCCGGGGACGGCCGCGGCGCCGTCTTCAGCGGCGGCAGCGTCGTCGTCGGCGCCGGCCGGCGCGACGGCCTCCTCGGCCGGGGCGTCCGGCTCCGCGGCGTCCACGGCCGGTTCGGCGGGCGCCGGCGCCGGCGGGGCGGGTGCCGGCGGGGCCGCCGCCGGCCGCTCGGCGATCTTGGCGACCACGAGCTTGCCGACGGCCGCGGCCGCCGCGGCGAGCGCCGAGCCCTTGAGCACCTTCTTCGCGGCGGGCGAGAGTCTGGTAGAACGCGGCGCCGCCGCCACGCTACCGTCCGCCGCCACCGCAACCGGGGCCAGGGTTGGGTCCGCGTCGACGGGGTCCGTCGCCTTCGCGGCGCGGCCCGTCACGCGGCGGAAGACGCGGCTCCGGTTCTCCTTGATGCGTTGTGTCTCCACCGCGTCCCGGGCCTTCTCGGCCCGCCGCCGCATCTCCATCTGGGCCTCGTCCATGGCGACGCGCCCGTACGTCTGCTGCTGCTTCGCGAACTCCTCGTCGCTCATGCCGAACTTCTTCGTCCGCGCGATCTGCATGTACTTGCGCGCCCGCGCCTCGCCGGTACTATAGCCCGCGAGGCGCTCCTTGAGCTCCTTCCGCGCCTGCTCCGGGTCCTTGGACATGGCGGCCTTGCGCTTCGCGCGGCGCTCCTCCTTCGCCTTCTTCTCCTCCTCGCGCGTGGCCATCTTCAGCGCGCCCGCGCCGGACGGCTTGCCGATCCTCAAGCCCGCGTCGGCGGCCGCGAGGCAGAGCGCTAGCGTCAGGGCGCGGCGCATCGTTGCGTTAGCTTATTTCTTTTCGCGCGCGGCGATGCACTGCTGCAAGCACAGCCTTTTTGGGCACAGGCAACTACCTAGCGGTGTCGCGGCGATCACTGCAGCTTTCGAGCGCAGTGATGGTATGTTGCGTGATGCAATCGAAAGCTGTGCTACCCGCGCGTTACGCCAACAAGCTCGTATGGCGACTGCCAAAATGGCTCTCCCTGCTACAAAATCAACCCTGTGACAGGACGGCGCCGCCCCACGCGCATACGGGCATCTTTCCCTCCGGACACAGCGGATACGTCCGGCGGCCACGAATAGGCCGCGTCGCCGACGCCTACCCAAGAAAAAAGGCGCACCCGCGCGACGACGACGACGAGACCGAGGGGCTCCGCCCACTAGTCCTAGCACCGTAACAGTAGACTAACGAGACCGAGCATTACAAAGTAAATGAAACTAAAGCTCGACCCCGCGCAGCCCGAGCCGCGGCGCCGCGGACGCGCGCACGTACTGGAGGAGGTAGGCCCCGACCGAGTTCCCGCCGCCGAGCTCGGCGCCGGCCGCCTCCGCGGCGACGACGCGCGCGTCGGCGGCGGAGACGCGGTCGTCGTCGAACTTGACCCAGCGGCCGTCGAGCAGCGGGTCGACGTACGCGTAGTAGTGGCCGCCGCGGCCGCCGCCGACGTGCACGACGACGGCGTGGAGCAGGTACGGGTCCCGGTCGTCGTCTGGCGGCGCTTCTTCGGCGCCGGCCGGCGCGACGGCTTCCTCGCCCTCCTCCGGCTCTTCCACGGGCGCGGCGCGCTCGAAGGCCGCCGCCGGCAGCCGGAAGGGCACGCGCAGCGGCGCGCCTTTCTTTTGTACCTCGTCCCGCATGTAGTCGTAGGCGAAGCGCTTGAGGTGGAGCACAATTACTGAAGGCAGCCGCGCGAACCGGACGCCCTTGCGCGCGGCGCAGCGCCCGGCCGGCGACGCCCACCGGTTCTCGCCGTCCAGAATTTCGGGTTCGAGGTAGCGCTGGAGGGCCCCCTCCACGGTGCCGTCCTCCGCCTCCACGTCCAGCGACACGTCCAGGAAGGCCTCCTCGCGAATTTTGGCCGGCCGCTCGCCCAGGCGCTCGGCCTCGGCGTCGGTGGCCTCGAGGAAATTCTCCGCGCGGCCCTCGTAGCAGCTCCGCACGCGATCCCCGAGCGCCGCGTCCTCGCACAACTCGCCGACCAGCAATCGCAGGTACTCCTGCGCGTCCTGCTGCTGCAGGCCGCTCACGCCGAGCGCGCGCGTGAGGCCGCGCGTCTGCGCCGTCGCGTTCTGCGCCAGCCGTTTGAAGACGTCCGCCAGGGCGCGCGCCGGCCGCGGCGCCGTCCGCAGCCGCTTCATCAATCCGCGCGGCTCCGCCGGCCGGCCCAGCACGTCCGACCGGAGCGCCGGCACATGGAACAGCGTCTGGAGCAGGCTGTTGAGGTAGCAGGTGTTGCCTTGATTCCTTAAGCCGCCCCAGGTCGTGGCCTGCGCCGCTGCGGCGATTGCTAGCAGCAGCTTGCAGGGCCTTGCAGCCGCCATTGCAGCCTAGCTTGGCACCAAGTGTTAAGCTTGAGCTTGCTGATGTGCAGCGCGTGGTCTGCACCGCTGCGAGCAAGGATTCGAAGCCTCCGCGTAATCTCTGATTGCAGCAATGCAGCGTAAAAAGTGACTTGAAGCGCTCCGTAGCTAGCGTCCTGTAAGGCACTAGCAAGCACCACCCTTTGGCTCGAGCCGCGCATCGCATTTGTTGATTTACAGCTAGCGGAGGAACCGCAGAGTGCAACACCATCGCTGCACGCCTGCAGACTGCAAAAACGAGCAATGCTGCCCCCACCACGCCTCCACCAGCCGCTGCGCCGCGTCGTCGTGACGGGGCTCGGCTGCGCGTCGCCGCTCGGCGGGACCGCCGCGGAGAGCTGGCGGCGCGCGCAGCGCGGCGAGTCGGCGGCAGCACGGTTCGACATCGACGGCGCGTCGTTCGTCGCGGCGCGCTGCGGCGACCTGGCGCTCGACGAGAAGCGGGAGAAGGCGCGGGTCGTCGCGCTGGCGCTCCGCGCGGCCGCCGAGGCGGTCCGCGACGCCGGCGGCCTCGAGGCCCACGCGCCGGCGCGGCGCGGCGCGTCGATCGCGTCGGGCGTCGGCGGCCTGGGCGACATCGTCGACGCGGCGCACCGCGTCGCCGAAGGCAAGAAGCTCTCGCCGTTCTTCGTGCCGCGCGCGCTCTGCAACACGGCGGCCGGCGCCGTGTCCCTCGAGCACGCCTGCGCGGGCCCCGTGCAGACGTCGGCCGCGGCGTGCGCCGCCGGGGCCCAGGCCGTGGGCGACGCGTTCCGCCTCGTCCAGCGCGGGGACTGCGACGTCGCCCTCTGCGGCGGCGCTGAGGCGTGCGTCGACGAGGTCGCGCTCCGGGGCTTCGCGCGCATGGGCGCGCTCTCGCGCGACGGCGCCGCGCGGCCCTTCGACGCCGCGCGGAGCGGCTTCGTGCTCGGCGAGGGCGCCGCCGTGCTCGTGCTCGAGGACGCGGCGAGCGCGGCGCGCCGCGGCGCGCGCGCCTACGCGGAGCTGCGGGGCTACGGCCTCGGCGGCGACGCCGTGCACATGTCAGCGCCGCCGCCGGACGGCGCGGGCGTGTTGAGGGCCGCGCGCGCCGCGCTGGGCGACGCCAACTTTGAGCCTGACCTGATCGACCACGTCAACGCGCACGCGGCCGGCACGCCCGCCGGCGACGCGGCCGAGCTCGCGGCGCTCGAGGCTTTGCTCGAAGGGCGGCGCGGCGACGACGCGCTCGTGGCGTCGACGAAGGGCGCGACGGGCCACCTGCTCGGCGCGGCGGGCGCGCTCGAGGCCTGCTTCGCGGTCCTGGCCCTGAGAGACGGCCTCGCGCCGGCGACGGCGCACCTCGCGGCGCCGCTGCCCACGTCGGCGCGCGTGACGCTCGTCGTGGAGGCGACGCGCCGGGACCTGCGCGTGGCGCTCTCGACGTCGAGCGGCTTCGGCGGGACGAACGCTGCCCTCGTCTTTTCGCACGTATCTGGCGACCTCGGCGTCGAGGCGCGTGTAAGTGTTTTGTGATTGCGACGCCATCGACGCGAGAGAACTACTAGAATTGTTAGGCGGCACGCGGCTCGCGGACGTGCGAGCGGAGCTTTCCGAGCGCGCGGACCTCGATCTGGCGGACGCGCTCGCGCGAGACGCGGAGCAGCTCCGCGATCTTCGTTTTCGACAGCGGCGCGCGGCCGCCGAGCCCGAACGTCATGCCGAGGACGTCGCGCTCGCGCGCCGTCAGCGCGCTGTCGAAAAGCTTCGTCACGCGCTCGTAGCGGTGCGCCTGTTCCACGACCTGCTCCGGCGCCGGCGTCTGGTCGGCGAGGAGCTCGGCGAAGTTCGGCGCGTTACCGTTTTGGTTGCTCGCCATGGAACCCTTACCTCTATTCACCTGGCGCGCCGCCTCGAGGGACTGCGGGTCCTGCTGCTCGCAGCGCCGCAAGAAATCGACCTTTTCCGCCGACGCCGAGAGGTGGTCCGCGAGCTCGTCCGTCGACGCGTCCCGGCCCAGTTCGGACTGGAGCGCGCGCGACGCCTTTCTCAGAGAAGCGAGCTGGTCGTGGACATGAGCGGGCAAGCGGATGACCCGGCTCTGCTCGGCCAGCGCTCTTAGCGCCGCCTGGCGGATCCAGAACGTCGCGTAGGTCGAGAAGCGAAAGCCGCGCTCCGGGTCGAAGCGCTCGACGGCGCGCGACAGGCCGAAGGCGCCCTCCTGGAGCAGGTCCTCCCTATCTAACCCGCAGAACCGGTAGCGCTTCGCGATGCTCACTACCAATCTCAGGTTCGCCTGGGTTAGCGTCGCGCGCGCCGCGGCGCCGCGCTGCTTCTCGGCGCTGAGGTACTCAAAGTCCACGCCCAGCGTCTGGGCCCACTCGAAGTCCGGCACCTGCTCCTCCGTGCGCCCCGTGCCGTGCGCCAGCGCGCTGCGCACGTCTTCCAACCGGCGTAATCTTTGGACCGACCGCGCGAGCGCGACCTCCTCGTCCTTGGTTAATAAACGGGGCGCGTTCGCCGCGGCCTCGGCGGCGTCATAATCAAAACTAAAGTCCGTCGGGTCCGGCGGCGCCGGCGGGTAGTCCACAATATTAATCTGCGGCTTGATTGTTGTTTTGGGCCGGAGCGAGAGCGTCGACGCGGCGGTTTTTGTTGCTAGGAGCAGGAGGGCTGTTGTGGGAGTATGCCGTCGTCGTCTGCCGGGTCGCGGCATGTCTGGGTCCCGTTTGGGGGCGCCACGGGCGTGCCGCGGCGCTGTTTTGGGGCTATGAGCGAGGCTGGATCCGAGACTCCGAAGCTGGCGTCCCGCGACGCGACGCTCGCCAACACGCTGCGTCCGTCGGCAAAGATTGCAACCAGCAAGCCGCACGGGGGTGGTGACGGGCCCAGGTTAGCCGGGGTTGTAGATAGACGTCCTCTACAGCTGCGCGTGGCCGTCGTCATCAGCTTTCAGCTGCCTTCTGGGGTGTCTAGGAGCCGTGGGAACACCCCTGCCGCAGCCTATTGCTCCGCCCAACCGGACGAATCTAGCAAACTGGCGTTTTTGGGCATGCTGGGCGCGCCGCGCGTCCGGCGTCTTAGTACCTCCTCCCTCGGCCGAAAAACAACTCCCTGGCGATTCCTACAAGCGGCCCGTCCTTCCCCGGGCCCAAGCGACGGAGACGAGAACACAGCATTGCGCCCTCGCGCCGAGGGCGACGCGGGGGCGGCCGTCACACGGGTCTCGACGCACGACACGAGACTATTCGTAGGAATTGCAATTTGATTTATCGCAAAGCTTACGCCCTCGGTAGTCGTTCGGCTTTGCCGCTAGAGCCTCAATAGCTAGCTTGCCTGGCTTTTGCGACGAGTCTGCGTGCCTCCTAGAGGCCTGCAAAGTACCTCCGGAGCACGCGGAGATCACTTTTCGTACGGCTGCATCCGCACCGCAGCCCTGAGGCCATCACACCAGAGCCTGTGCACAGCTGCACCAGAGCTGCACCATGCGCCACGCCCTAGCCCTCCTCCTCCTCCTCCTCCGACAAGCAACTACACAGCGCTGCACCTCGCTCGCGGGCCCGGACTGCGAAATAATCAACGGCCGCGCGCCGGCGCGGCCACCAACAAATGCGGCGCCGGCGGCGAAGCCGTCGTCGTGGCGCGAGCGGCTCCTCGGCGTCGTGCGGGCCCACCTCGAGGAGGGCCGCGACCGCGCGGACGCCGTCAAGGGCGCGTTCGAGGTGCGGGGCGACCTGCCTGACGCCGAGGGCGCCTTCGAGCTCGTCGCCGGCGCCTGGCTCGACCAGCCCGAGGGCTGGATCACGGTCGGGCTGCGGGGCCGCTTCGAGGACAACTGTACGTTGTCGGGCGAAATTACTGATGGGGAAGGTGACATCATGGCGGCCTGCTCGCGGTTCACGCTCCAGCGCGTCGACGCCGACGAGGCCGCCGACGCGTCAATACCCCTCGCGGGCGCCTGGGAGGGCGTCTACGTCTGCGGCGGGACGCCGACGCGGCTCGTGCTGCGCTTGTCACCCGACCACGCCGCGTATCGCGCCTGTGTGGAAATCAAATTTCACGGAGACGAAATTCGGCGCCGCGGCGGCGAGGCGCTTGACGCGGCCGTCGGGCAACCTAACTCACTGGTTGATTTCCACACAGGTTCGCGCGCGAGGTACGCGGCGTGTTCTCGTTCCGCGTCCTGGGCGAGATGAACGAGTACGAGCTGCGCGAGGTGACGCGGCTCGTGGGCGAGTCGCTCGTCGACCTCGACGTCGAGGACGGCTCCGACGTGATCGTCGTCGCGGGTGAGCTCGTCGACGCGCAGGACTTCATGCTCGACTTCGACGACGGAGGGGGGGACGTAATGTGATATGTATGTAGTGTGAAATTCAAAACTCCCAGACCATTACGTTGCCGTCGTCGCCCGCGGCGGCGAGCTGGCCCGGCCGCGCGTCGACGCAGCGCACGGCGCTCAGGCCCGCGCCGAGGCCCCACGCGCAGCTTCCGGCGCCGCGCACGTCGTGGCAGAGCAGCGCGCCGTCGCCGGCGCCCGTGAAGATGAGGTCCCCGCCGAGCGTCGCGAGGCAGTAGGGGAAGTCGCGGTGCTCGCGGAAGGCGTGGACGGGCGCGTCCGGCGCGCGCGGGTCGACGACGCAGACGCGCCGGTCCGCGCCGCACGTCGCGACGAGGGCGTCGTCCGCCAGCGCCGCGACGCACGAGGCCGCGCCGGCCCCGGCGCGGCCCCGGTGCGCGGGCGCGGTCCAGGCCGGCCGGTCGTCGCGGTCGCGCGCGTCCCAGCCCCGCACGCGGCCGTCCTGGTGGCCGCTCACGAGGCGGTCGCCGACCGCGCAGAGCGCGACGCAGTGGCCCGCCTCCTCGTGGGGCCTGCGCGGTGGAAAGCGACCGGTGAGTCGCGTGCGCGGCATCGCGCAAACGCCGCTGGGAGCCGGAGGAGCCGCGTCCGCGAGCAGGTCGCGAGGTCGTAGACGAGCACGCGGCCGTCGCGGTCGCCGAGGCCGCAGGCCTCCCGGTCCCAGGCGGCGCAGAGGACCGGCGCGCGGCCGGCGCCGCCGCCGGGCGCCAGCCGGCCCGCCTCGCGCGCGCGCCGCCCGCCGACGTCGAAGAGCCGCGCCGTGCCGTCGTAGCCCGCCGCCAGGAGGAGCTGCGGCCGCGCGGCGTCGGCCAGCAGCACGGAGAGCGACGCCGCGCCGTCCGCGGTGACGAGCTCCTCGCACGCGTGCGGCGAGCGCCAGAGGCAGAGCCGCCCGTCGGCGCCGCACGTCGCGACGCTCCGGCCGCCGCAGTGCGCGACGCCCGTCACCCACTCGTGGTGGCCGCGCGCCTTGCCGTGGTACTGGCGCTGGGGCCTGGCGCCGGCGCGCGCCACGTCGACGCCGTGGGCCGCGTGGTCCGCGCCGCCCGCGACGACGTCGGCGCCGTCGTCCGACACGGACATCGCGAGGAGCGGCCGGTCGCTGCAGTCGACGAGCGCGCCGCGCGGGTCGCGCGGGCCCCGCCGGAACGCGTCGGCCGCGGCCGCGTCGACCTCTCGATTGCCCCACGACGCGACGCGCGCGCGCGAGAAGGCGCAGGCCGCGCCGCGCGGGCCGCCGGCCGGCTCGGCCGGCGCCGCGAGGCCGTACGCGTCGCGGAAGTCGGCCATGTAGCGGTCGTTCTCGCGGTGCGACGCCGCGGCGCCCTGCTTCTGACGCCGCACGAGCGCCTCCGCGTGGCGGTCGTTGAACTTCTTCGCGCGGCCCACGCGCGCGTCCCGCGACTGCTGCGCCTTGGCGCGCGCGGCGGCGCCGCGCGCCGCGAGCGTGCCCGGCTGGTTCGAGGCGTAGGACGACGGCGTCGCGCCCTCGAGCCGCCGCACCTGGTGCTGCTGCAGCTGCCGCTCGTAGCCGCGCCGCCGCGTCTCGCGGTGCGGGTCCCACTTCTTGACGCGCAGGCCGCTCGCGTCGGTGTGCCAGCCCTCGGCCTGCTCCGACATCTCTGGCTCTCTTGTGTTTGTTTTGGCTTCTTGTGTTTGTTTTGGCTCTTGCGGTTGTGTTTTAGAATCAACTGGCAAGTCAGATGCTTTCCAATGATCGAGGTTCGCGCGCTTCTCCTGGCAGCTGCCAGATGTGAAGGAGGGTACTAGTTCCTAGGGCTTTTCCGCACGCACGATCCTTGTGCTCGCGATGCCGGCGTGCAAAAAACGCCGCACCAAAAATAGCATTCTAGTGTCTTACACCGCTAGCTCGATGCCGCAAAAAAAGATCGCGCAAATGACCTCGTTCGCACCGGTTGCATGCGTGCGCCCACCCTTACAACCTTACTGGACCCGGACACATAGAGGCGTCAGATGACACCAAGGATCCCAACAGCTGTCCTAACGCAGAGACTAGCAACAGCAGCAAGAAACGCACGAATGTTTCCATCCTTCGCAGCCCTGGCGGTACTAGGCATACAGGCCGCCGCGCAGCGCAGCCCCATAATTAGATTGAGCAGCCCCACCTGGAGCCTGGGCTCCCAGCCCGCCGCGGCGCCCGCGGGCGACCGCGACGTGGCTGCGATATCAAACTACGAGCAGCGGCGCGTGGGCTCACGGGCAGCCGCGCAGCATCATAGATTGAGCAGCCCCATCCTGGGCTCCCAGTCCGCCGCGGCGCCCGCGGGCGACCGCGACGTGGCTGCGATATCAAACTACGAGCAGCGGCACTACGAGCAGCGGCGCGTGCTCTCGGGCTACGTCATGACCGACAGCAACTTAAAAACGGCCGTCGCGGCGTGGTTCTCGGACGCGACGGCCGCAGCGGCGACGTACGGCCACATCTCGACGTGGGAGACATCGGGGGTGACGGACATGTCATGGTTGTTTTGCGTGCGTGCTGATTGGATGATTGAGGACTGCGCGAATGGCGACGGGTGCTATGATGACTGCGTCTTATCGTCGACGTCGTCCTTCGACGAGGACATCGGCCCATGGGATACCTCTGGCGTCACAAGGATGGACTGGATGTTCCACGGCGCCTCCGCCTTTAACCAGGACATCGGCGCGTGGGATACCTCCGGCGTCAAGACCATGTACGGGATGTTCAACGAGGCCTCGTCGTTTAACCGAGACATCGGTGGTTGGGCGGTCCGCAGCGTCACGGATATGCACGAGATGTTCCGCGGCGCCTCGGCCTTCGACCAGGACATTGGTGGTTGGGCGGTCCACAGCGTCACGTCTATGGGCGAAATGTTCGGCTACGCCTCGTCGTTCAACCAGGACATCGGCAACTGGCCCGTTTCCAACGTCAAGGACATGGGCGGGATGTTCGCCGAAGCCACGTCTTTTAACCAAGACATCGGTGGTTGGGCGGTCCACAGCGTCATGAGCATGGAAGAGATGTTCATGGAAGCCCTGGCCTTTAACCAGGACCTCGGCTGGTGCGTTGACGACGACGTGGATTTCGAAGAGGCTTTCGAAGAGGCGTTTACTGGCGCCGCGTGTGAGTCGACGTCGTGCGGTGTCGTGCAAAGCAGCAACTGCGTCCCCGCACCGACGCCGCGCCCCACGGGCTACGTCATGACCGATAGTCACATTCGAACGGCAGTCGCGGCGTGGTTCTCGGACGCGACGGCCGCCGAGTCGACGTACGGCCACATCTCGACGTGGGAGACATCGGGGGTGACGGACATGTCGTGGCTGTTTTGTGCGCGGCAGGATTGGATGGACGAGGATGATGATGAACCCTGCCCCGAATGTGATTCCTGCGTGCTTCCGGCATCTGCGAATACCTTCAACGAGGACATCGGCGCGTGGGATACCTCCGGCGTCAAGACCATGTACGGGATGTTCTACGGTTCCTCGTCCTTCAACCAGGACATCGGTGATTGGGCGGTCGACAGTGTCACGCACATGGGGGGCTTGTTCAACGGTGCCTTGGCCTTTAACCAGGACGTAGGCGCGTGGGATACCTCTAGCGTCAAGAACATGGCTGATATGTTCCAGGAGACCTCGTCCTTCAACGAAGACATAGGCGCGTGGAATACCGCGGGCGTTACGGACATGATAGGGATGTTCGCTGCCGCCATTGCCTTCGACCAAGACATTAGTGGTTGGACGGTCGACAGCGTCACGGACATGAGCTACATGTTCCACAGCGCCACGTCCTTCGACCAGGACCTCGGCTGGTGCGTCGACGACGACGTTGAGTTTGCCGATGGGGACGGCAGCCTCACCTTTCAAGACGCGTTTGCCGGCACCAAGTGCGCGTCGACATCGTGCGGCGTGATGCGCCAAGGCGTGGACTGTCCGTTTCCAACGCCCCGGCCGACCGTGGCTCCGACCGTGGCTCCGACCGTGGCTCCGACCGCAACCCGCACTGTCGACGCCGCCCACCGCCTCTCAGGCGTCAGCGCCGCGCTCCTCGTGCTCGTCCTCGCCGCGTGATGCGTCGTGCTCGCCCTCGCCATCGCCCTCCCTCTCTCCCTCGGTAAGAATCGTTCGGTATACCAAAGACGACGACAAAATTGTTACACACTCCTCAAGACGAGCTCCGATACAAATTTCCCCCATTCCGCCCCGACGGCCCAGGGAGGCAGGTCGCGCCGCAGGTTCTCGAGCGCCTCTGTCGTCAACACTGGGCGGTGGGCGGCCAGGGAGACCTCAAGCGGCCCGTCGACGCGGACCGAGATGCGGAACGAGCACCGCGCCCGGCCGCACGTGAGCTGCGCGAGGTAGACCCCTTCCGCGCGGCGCCGCGGCTCCGGCGCGCGTCTCACGCCCGCGAACGACCAGCTGCGGACGTCGCCCCGTAGCACGACGTGCATGTGCGAGGGGCCCTCGACGCTCACGTCCACGGCGTCGCCAATTCGCGCCAGCGCCAGCGACGCCGGCTTGTCGCCGGCCAAGTCTGGCGAAGGCGCATCGAGCCACACGTCGCCCCGCACAATATCGGCGAACGGAAAAAACCAGGGGTACTCGAGGTAGCACGGCGGCCTCGTCTTGTCGCACGCGACCGGCGTCGCGCGACCCAGCGCCCGCCCGAGTCCTCGCAGCCGCGACCCGTCCAGGGGAATCACCCAGAGGCCGCTGTCGCGAGAGATCTCCAGGTCGCGGGAGACGTGCTGCAGCGCGAGGCGCTTGGGCCGCGCCGCCGTGAACGCCGGCGCCGCGCAGGCGGCGACCAGCAGGCCGGCCAAGACGCTAACGCTCACTCGTTTGTTCGGCGGCCGCGGCCACGGCGGCGTCAGCGTGCGGATCAGGCCCGCAAGGATTCCAACGAGCGCGCCGACGGCCGCGTCCAACGGAACGCGGCTCCCGACCCTGCCGAGGAGCGGCACCGCGACGCCGAGGAGCGTGTGCGCGATTTGGATCCAGACGACGAGCGCCACCGGCCGCAGAGACCGACACAATAACCCCAACACTGCCGCGCAGGCCGCGTAGGCCGCGCCTATGTTAAACAGCGCCCCGAGTCCACACACCAGGCTCCAGAGGGCGAGAGCGTCCTCGTCGGCGCCGACAAACGCCGCCGGCGGCAGAAAGAGCACCAGCGCCGCGGGCACGCCACCCGCGTACCATCGCATCGGCGCGAGGAGGGAGAGGACCGCGCCGAACGCCGCCGCCGCGAGCCCCGCCGCGAAGACGGCGCGCGCCGCCCGACCGAACGCCTGGAGGGCCTCCGCCGGCGAGCCGGCGCGGCGCCGGGCCTCCACCGCGCCGGCGAGCGCCGCAGCGCCGTGGAGGCACCGCGCGACGGTCGCGGAGTAGCCCACGACGACCACGCCGAGGAGGTCGAAGAACACGAAGCCGTGCGTGACTTCCGCGTCATCTTCGACCCCTTCGAGCCGCTCCACGACATCGACGAGCGTCGCGGCCTCGCTCGCCGTCGATTTCAGGGAAACGCGGCGGTCCTGGGACGTGTGGTACGCGTAGCCGTCCTCCAGAAAGGCGACGTCGACGCCCCCGACGCCCGCGCGCGGCAGCGCCCGCAGGAACTCGGCGTAGTCCGTGCGCGCCGCGCGCCAGAGCACCGCCCGGAACAGTTCCTCCGCTAGCACGGAGCCGCGCGCGACGGTCGTCCCGCGGAGGGCTAGGCTCACATCCTCTCGCTCACAGCGAAAAATGAACTCCCGTCCGCCGGAGCCCATCGATTCCAAGTTCACGACGAACCGCACGTCCTCCGCGGCGGGGTGCTGCGTCGCGAAGGCGTGCGCCGCGAGCTGGTGCGTCTCCTCCGCGCCGTTGATGAGGACGATGAGATCTCGCCGCGGCCTATTCTTCGAGAAATAGTTCAGGGCTTCGAGCAAGACGCCGACGGCCAGGAGGTCGTCCGAGGCGCCGGGCGCGTTCGCCGCCGAGTCGATGTGCGCGTTGAGCAGGACGGCGCCCTTCCCCTCCGCCCGGCCCTTCAGGCGCGCGACGACGCACGCGACGTCGTCGTAGACGCCCACGAAGCCGCCCAGGAACTGCGCGTGGTCGACCGCGCCGCGGCCGCTCCGCCACTCCTCCACTTCCGCGTCCGGCACGCGCCGCGCCTCCCGCAGCGCGTACGCGAGCCCCGCGTCCAGCGCGCGCTCGCCGACGGTGCGCGGCCCGAGCGACGCGAGGACCCTCGCGTGCGTCGCCGCCCGCGCCGCGTCGAACCCCGCCGGCGCCGGGACGCGCCGCCGGCAGCTCAGCACTTCTGCCGCGCAGGCGCACGCGACGGCGAGACATACCCGGCGCCAGCTGCGCGTCGGCGGCTTCTCCGGGGCCGCGCCGCCGTCGCCGTCGCTCGTCTTCTTTTTGAGGCGTCCGCGGCGCATGCGCATTCAGCCGTTTGCTATTTGCTTTTCATTCCTTGATCAGGCCTGCAGTCTGCAGCGTGCAGCCACTGCGGACGAATTCTATCGGTCCTAGCGCATGCATGCGACGCTCTGACCCGTCAGGACGGCAACACAAAGACCAAGCTAGCTAGCGGCATGTAAGACACTAGCAATGATTTTCACACATGGCCCCCGGCGCCTATACGATTCTTGCAGAGAGGAAATTTCGCGTCAAAGGCCTGCTCTCGGCCGCCAAACATTAACCCGTACAAGCACAAAGTGAATTCACGCTCAGGCTCAGGGCTTGGTGTTGGTGTGCGTGGGCTCGACGTAGCGCGAAACCGCGACTGCGGCGCGACGAGCGTTGCGGGCCCCGAGGCGCGCCCGCTCGACGCCCGCGCCGGCGCACGGCAGCCACCTCGGGCAGCCTCCTCCTGGTGGGCCTCGGCGTCGGGACGAGGGACCGAGCGACGGCGCCGCCGCCGACGCGAGCAGCCGCCGACGCCGTCGACGGACGAGTCCCTGGGTGACAGCGACGTCGTCATCTAGACTTTTACCCTCCTAGCACGCGGAAGGGCGTCGTCGTCGCGAGCGCGGCGACGGTTATCAAATCTACTTGGTCTGGTTGATCGTCGCATTCCTGCGGAGCGGACTTGGTTTGGGTTTCGCATTAAACAATAAATGGGGCGCTGGTGTCGTGCTGGTTGCCGTTGCCGCCGCAGTGCTTCTTCGCCGGCCGCACGTCGGATTCGGGCTCCCCTAACCTACGATAGATTGAGTGAGAAACGACCACGAGAAAAGAAAGACGCTGGCTCCTCACACGCGGTTGGCCTTGCCCACCGTGGCCAAGGCCTCGTCGGTCGTCTTGTTCGGCAGGTCGGCCTGCGCGGGGGAGGATCGACGGCGGGCGACGCCGGCGACGCGACGCGCGAGACGTACCAGGCACGCGCGCGCCGCGTCTCGGGCGAGCTCCTTGCGCAGCTCGCCGGTCTCGTTGATGCAGTCCTCGATGGCCGCCGCGCGGCGCTCCATGCGGCCCGTGAGGGCCAAGGCGGCCAGCGCCGGCAGGAAGGCGGAGACGAACTTGTTCTTCTTCGTCGACGCGTTAATGAGGACCGTGACGTCGGGGTTGTTCGCGTCGCCGTCGCCGTCCATCTCGACGTCCCCCATCCGGAGGTGGAGCATGAGGTGCGTGAGGCCGGCGGTCGGCGCGCCGACCTTGAGGCAGGTGTCTTCGACCGTGGCGTCGGCGCTGACCGTCGTGTACGGGCCGGTCTTGGACGTAATGATCAGGCGCGGCGTGGTCAAATTGGCCTTCTTGGCCCCGCTGGCGCCGCAGTAATCGACGACCTTGTCCTCGTCCATCTGGGTGCTCTGGCTCTTGCCGGACATGTTTTATGCGGCGCGTCTGCCTGCGGAACGGAGAAGCGCTCGTCTCGCGCGGGAATGGTTTTGGTGGGCTCTCCAGTCTCGTGGCGATGTGTAGCTGTGTGGCGGGTGAGACGCTGTGTTTTGTGGTGCCGCGTCGTCGCGGCGTCGGCGTTTTTTGGGCAATTTCTATGCTTGTGAGAAATTTGGTTTGCAGAAACGCTCGCGGTCGCGCGGCGTCGCGTTTGTTTGACACGGCGGCGTACTTGTGAAACTTTTTGACGGTGCTCTGTCGCTCGCAAAAGTATGCGAGGCAGAGGAGATATTGGTGGCTATGTCTGCGCGCCAAAACGCCGGCCGGCGGCCGGCTCGCGCCTTTTACTAGCGTGTAATAGTGTATAGTGTGTGCTGAGAATCGAAGACGCTCGCAAAAAGGACAAATCACAGGCCCGAAAACCCGGGGCTTGACCAAAAACTTGCGCAATTGCCAGCTTGCCTCGCCGCACGCGCGAGCGCTGGTGCCAGGCAGAGTAGCGGTTCCAAAGGAGCGTAGGACGAACGCTTCAACAGCTCCAGCACGCGTCGCAGCGTTGCGCCTCAGGAGAGGGAGTAGTGCGGTAGCAAGCTTGCAGCCCAGCCCCGCCTCGGCGGCGCGGGAGACTCTCGCGCGCCGCGCACAAATCGTCTAACGACGCGTGGGCACTCTTCGTTCGCCGACCTCTGCTCGGCGCGCACGCTGTGAAACGGCGCGCCGCGGTCGACGCGCCACCTCTGACGACGCGCGCGGGCTCGCATCCTCTTCGGATGGAGGTCTTGACGATCCTGCACATCATGAATCGAAGGCCTGCATCAGTACGCCGTCGACGCGGCGTCGTTTCGAACTACGTCTGCTCGATGGCGTGAAGGTTGCACGAACCGGACCTGCTGGTGGTGTCCTAGTCTCGAAGAGCGGAAAGTCGACGCGCTCGAGGTCTCGGCGGGCCCCGGGCTGGATGTAGGGCCACAGGCCGTGCGCATCTAGGGCGATGTCGCGTTCCCGGTCGACGAACAGGACGCCGCGTTTGATGGGAGCGCATGCTCGGAGTACGTCATCTCGGCGACGGCGCGAGGGCGGCGGCGTTCGGAGAGATACACGACCAGGGCCGCGGGCCGCGTCGCCGCTAGATGGCCCAGCTCTTGTCTTGTCGCGCGGGGTTCCCCGGTGCTGCCGGTTTTTCTGTTGTAAGGAGGATTGTATTTAGTGTGTAGCGCTCCCGATGCCTCTACCTAGCGTCCCTCGCGCGTTTTTGCGGCCGGCATTTGACTGCAGCTTTGGCGCGAGAGGCAGAGCAGAGGATCAGGCGCGCCGCGTGCTGCCATTTACGCGCTGGGAGCGCGGGTGCTGGTCTCTATAGATCAGCTGTCAGCGCTGCTGCAACACCGCGCAGCGAAACGCTAGATAGAGCGAAGCATGGCGACGGAAAGACAGAAGCTGAAGGTGTTCTACGCCGAGGGGAGCGTCGAGGCCGATCAAACGAACACGTGCCTCGTCTGCCCGAAGGTCATCGACCTCGGCGGCGGCCGCCGAGGATTGCTCGCGAGAACGACGGAGACCAAGGCGCCGACGTGCGCGCACTGCCTCTGCGCACTCGGCTTCGCCGGCTGCACCAACAGGCCGCGGCGCGGCCCCTTCGTCGTGGCCGCGTGCGCGGCGTGCGTCGACGGGCTCAGAACCCGCGCGGCGTCGTACGCGCCTACAAACGGCAAGCTCAGAAACCCCATCCGCGGCGTCGTCGACTGCCTGGCGCTCATAGAAGAAAGTAACCCCCAAAACCTGACGAAGCAGCCCCTCCATGACTCGGTGCGGAGCTTTCACGGCGGCTCGGTCAGGGTGGCGAAAGACATCTACGCCGACGCTGGAAAACCGGGCTTGGCGGAGCGGGTCGTGACGCAGCTCGCTCTGCAGCAGCGGGACCCGGACATCGCCAATGCGCTGCGGGTGCATCCGGCGAACCAACCGCGCCGCATTCCGACGCTTTCCTCCCGGAAGGGGGGCGGCGGTCTCCGCGGGATGGATGTTGGTAGGGGGGCGGGAAGCTGCCTACCCTTGGACGCCCGTTCGTCGTGCAACCTCGAGACAGCTGGAGACGAGCCGCTCGCGGACCTCGATTTGGTTGCGGAGGCCACGCTGGAGCGCTACCGCTGCGCCGTGGACAAGTCGAAAGGGAAAGACGCGGACGAGCGGCTCCTCCTCATCTACGCGATGGAGGCCGCGGAGAAGCTCGCGGCGACGCTGGCGCACGCGCCGCGGGCGAGGACTCGACGCACGGCGCCGCGCAAGGCCGACGCGCTCGCGGAGCGCATCCTCACAAGAGCGAAGGAGAAAGCTGCCTTAGAGGCGTCGCGGTCGCCAGGAGAGGTGGAGCGCCTCGCCGAGAAGCGCAAGAAGAACGCGCTCGCGGCCGCTGGCGTGTCCTACGCCGAGCAGGCGGGCACGGACCCGCACGACGGCGAGGCCACCGTCGAGAATCACCGCACAAAACTAGATGACCAAAAGAAGAAAGCGAGGGGGAGGGCTAGGAGGCGGCGCGAGAAAGCGAGGAACGAGAGCGGACTGGATCCCGTGCAGGACGCCATCAAAAGGAAAGAGAGCTCGACTGCGAAAAGGCTCGCGGCGCATAAGCGCGCGAAGGAGGACCCCGACTCTGGCAGATGGGTCGTCTGCAAGCACGAGGACTGCAAGTTACACGGCGTCAAGATCATGTATCATGGCGCCTCCTTCAAGCAGTGCCCGTTTGCGGACGGCGGGTGCGGGCGGCGCATGGCCTTCATGTAGGCGCCCACTCCATCGAAGACGCAGTCCACTAGTAAGTGATTTGTTACATATCTCCGCCCACAAAAGTACGCTATCGATGTAGAAACCCGCAGCAGATAGCTAGCGGTTGTAAGATACTAGCAAGCTCTTTGACGCAGCGCCCTCTCTAAAACTGGGCTGCTGTGCTGTGTCAAGAGCGCGATGATGGCTTTAGAAGAGAAGGAAACGGGAGCAGCAGCATGGGACACCGACGCCCGGGGGGCAGCCTTCCTGAAGCGGTTCCTCACCAGGATGGCCCGGCAGGCAGCTTTGGCAAACCAGCGGGAGCTGTACGGAGCCTGGCGCGTCTGGTTGCATAAGTTACGCGAGGAGAGACGAACCAGGGGCGCTCGCGCGAGGCGCAGTGCATAAACCAAATTGTCGCGGAAACCAAGCGTCTCCGCCGCTGCTGAATCATGATTCACGTACAGGCGCGGCGGGCACGCCACGACGCAATGCTCGCGACGCTCCGCGAACACGCGCCCGGGGAGAGGGACGCCGCCGTCGTCGCCGACCTCGTCGCGTGGGCGTCCGGCGCGTTCGCCGGCGCCGACGCCTCGGCGCTGCCCGGACTCTGTCAGCACCTCGTGTGGAAAACAAATTTCACGGCGGCTTGACGGCATGGTGGTGCACATCTCCCATTGGTTGATTTCTACACAGGCCAGCACCTGGCGGTTACCGAGCGCGCGGCCGGGGATCTGCTGTGGCTCCAGGGAGACGTCGCCGACAAGTACTACGTGCTGCACGCGGGCTTGATCAAGCTCTTCCGCCACTCGACGCCGATCATGACGCGAGAATGCCGGGAACTATATGGCGATCGACGGGCAGTCCTGCGGCGCCGACCGCACGAGCTCGCCCGCGCTGCGCGCGGCACGGTCGACGAGGCACCGGCGGTGGCGCAAGGGATTGCAGCCACGCCGGTCGCCGGCGCTCCGGCGCCCGCGGAGGCGAGCCCGCGGCCGACGGCGGCGCCCGCGGAGGACGTGTCCGCGACCTCCGGAGTGGCGTGCTCGCCGCCGCCGGAGTGGGACACGCTCGGCGTCGCGACGTCAGCCCCGACGCCGGCGGCGTCGGCCTCACCTCACGTCGCCGAAGCGCCGGTGCCGGCGCAAAGAATTGCCGACGCGCCGTCGCCGGCCGCCGCCGCTCCAGCGCCAGCGGAGGCGCGCCGCCCGCGGCCGGAGGCGGACCCAGAGTGGGACACGCTCGGCGTCGCGACCAAGGACGTCGTGGCCGGCACCTGTGTGGAAATCAACCAGTGAGTTAGGTTATCCTGACAAATATTGCGTGGATCTTCGTGAGCCTCCACGCCATCGAGCCGACGCGGTCATGGGACACCGTCGCGTCGATGGCGTGGAACCTCCACGCAGTCGAGCTGATTCAATGAAGGAGACGGCACGACGGCGTGGGGCGCCCGAAATTTGATTTCCACACAGGCCGGCACGGGCCTCGGCGAGGGGGCCCTGCTCCGGAGCGTCGGCGTCACTGGCGCGTCGAGCGCCGACTCGCCGTACGTCGACACGGCGGCGTGCATCGAACCTTGCGTGGTACTTGAGGTGCGGGGCGACGACTACCGAAACGCACTCGCCGTCGAGCACCTCCGGCGAGTTGAGATCATGCAGACGCGAAAGTTCTTTCGGGATCTCGGACCGTTCAAGCATTGGCGGCCGGAGTCGTTTATGCAGCTCGCTGAGAGGTCGACTAAACGTCATGTCTGTGCCGGTGCAGCGGTCGCGAGGCGCGGCTTGCAGTGCGACACCATCGCGTTCGTGGTGCAGGGCCGTGTAGAAATCAAATTTTGCGGGTGTTCTCGCATACGGGTGAATCATAGCATCCACGCCATCGACACGATGACTGTTCGATGGCGTGGCGGTGTGGGCTTTACACCCCTCGATTCAGTCATCACTGCCACGTTGTCGCCGAGAAATGACTTTGTGAAGAATTATCGTCCGCTCACTGGTTTATCTCCACACAGGTGCAGGGCGAGCTCAAGCTCGAGGGCGCCGTCGCCGTCGGTAGTCGGAGGGAACGCGTCGATCTGCTGCGGCTCGGGCCCGGCTCCATGCTCGGCGACGTCGAGATCGCAGAGGGTCTGACCCATTTCCTCGCGACGGCGACGACGACTCGGCGGAGCATGTTGCTCGAAGTCCCGCGATCGTTTTTTGAGGCAATGCTCGAGCTCAACGACGGCGCGAAACAACGGGAAAACTTCGAGCGCATCGTAAATGCCCGGCGCGACGTCCAGGCGAAAGCGGCACTCGATGCCCTTGTTAGATCTGGCGCCGCGAAGAAGGGGGGTGCCCCGCCGCCTGCCTACGGGCGCATCTGCGACGAGTTTGAGGCCGCGCTGGAACGGCGCGTCGCGAATGCATTGGAGACCTCGTGGGCCCGCTCGCCTCCCAAGGCCGCTGCGGCTGTGGAGGACGCGCTTGCGCGGCGCCCCGCTCGGCGCGACAGTGGCGCGTCGCGTGTGGGCGTCGTGAAGGGGCTGGAACGCGCGTCTAGAACGTCAACGGAACAAGGGTCAGAGACGAGGGAGATCGAAGACGACGAAGGGGCCTACAGGGACGCGCTCGCCGTCACGATGAGCGCACTACGCACCGACTCAATCCGAGATGCGAGGCGGACGGCGCCGCGGCGCCGCCGAGGCGCCGCGCCGACGACACCGGCCGACCTGATCGGCAAACCGAGCATCGTCGACACGCCTGACGTCCACGCAGCTCATCGGGCGCTTACGGAATTGTCGGCCATCACGGACCGACAGCGCAGAGCGCTCCCCAGCGACACCCTCCTCCGGATGACGAGAGAAATCCTCACGCCAGACATGAATGCCCTGATGAAGTCCAAGCGGCGGCGGCGACCGGGCGACTTTACTTAAACTTGAAAGTCTTTTATTTTCTAGCTTGGCTTTGTTTTAGTCGTCCGCGTCCAGTTCACAGGCGGGAAGAGGGCGGCGCCGCCGGAGATGCGGCCGGAGATTTCGCCGCACCACTGTTCGTGGTCGACGGCTGCCCCGCCGGCGCGCCCGCGCGACGACCCGAAGAGGTCGAGCGCGGTGTGTCGGAAGTACCCGCAGTCGAGGTGGCCCTCGTTCCGCAGGAGCGTCGCCGCGAACGGGTACGCCTGGTAGGGCACACCCCTCGTTCGCCACTCGTCCCGGAGCTGGGTCTCGAGCGCCTCGGAGTGGCACGCGTCGCGCACCGCCGCGAAGCTCGCGCCAAAGTCGGCGACAAGCGCGCGCGGCACGAGGAAGAGCACCTGTGCGGAAATCAAACGTTCGGGTGAGTAAGCCTAAGACGCCTCGTGCGAGGACGCCAAGCACTCTCGCGCTGCGTCGAGGCGGCCAGAATAGTAAATAATACCTCCAGGCCGGCCCGACGCACTGGTTGATTTCCGCACTGAAGAACACGTCCCAGATGTTGGACGTCGTAAAGGTCTTCGCGGCCACATAGAGCCGCGTGGGCGCAAGGTTCGCGAGGACCGGCAGCGGCTCCAACAGGACGAGGTCGGGTCGTATGCTGGCGACCCAGTCGTACGGGCGCCCGACCGCGCGCTCGCGCGCCCGGACGACGTCGAGTGACGCGGCGAGCCAGTACGCCTGGAGCCTGGGGTACGTCTGGGGGACTCTGGAGTCTGGGTTACCGGCGGGGCAGCACGCGATCCGGCGGGCGATCGTCTCGTTCGAACAGTCGGCGTTCGAGTGGACCTCGACGTGGACGGGATCAAACGCAGCGATCGCGTCTCGTATTTTCGCGCGGTCCGCGTGGTGCGAGCGACGCAGGAAGTCGCGGCCGTCGGAGTGCCAACCGTGGTCCGTCGACACCACGAAGATGGCCTCGACGGAACCGCCGAGGGCGCGCAGCCCGTGCCAGAAGAGCGATCTATGCGCGTTGGCGTTCGCGAAGGTCCGCAGGCCGCCCGCGACGACGAAAGCGACGCGCTGCGTCGGGTTCGGTGCGTTGTAAAGTGGCTCCGGCTCTCTTTTATGCATCTTGGCCCGCGCCGGCCACGCCAGCGGGAACACGGCCTCGCCCCTCGCCTCGCGTGTCTGCGCAGCGTGCTTTGCCAGCCGCGGGTCGGACCCGAGCAGCGTGGCCGTCTCCGAGCAGCGGGCTTGTGCAAAGCGCCGCCCCAGGGCCCAGCCCGCGACGGGCAGCAGCACGAGCAGCCCGGCGCCTGTCGCCCACCGCGGCAGTCGGCTGCTGGGGGGTGATGGCTTCATGTTAGTTCAGTGCGGCAGCCAATCATGTCCATAATGCTTGTGCATTGCTTGCTAGGCATCCCTAGTATCTTACAGACCGCTAGCCCACGCGGGATTTCCGAAGCGCGGCGTTGTATGAAGTTTACTCAGAGGAATTTCTATTCGCTCCAGCGCACTCGGATTTTCCGGCCGACGCGGCTCCTACGAAAATAAACAGCGACTCTCACTCTCTCGTGAACTCTGGGATCAGGGATCAAGGTGGAGGAATGGAGTACACAAAAACACACTAACTCGCCCCCTCGCGCACGCGAGAGGCCATTTCCGCGCGCGCGGACTTCCGCTTCGCGGCGTCGTCGCGTCCGAAGCGCCGCCGCAGCGCCGGCGCGACGCCGCTTCGGCGCCAGGTTTCGACGGCCGTGTGGACGGTCGCCACCCAGAGCGACCCGCAGTCCGCGCCGCCGCCGCGATCGGAGACGCCCGCCCACGCTCTGCGGAAGCCGTTCCAGCGGACCGTGAGGTTTTCGCTCGCGACGCCCCGCGGCGCGACCTCGGAGCACTCCGCGAGGAACGATCTCGTCGGCGACGGCGCGGCGGCCACGGCCAGTTCGACGTCGACGAGCCGGATCCCGGAGAGCGCGGTCCGCGCGTTGCCTCCGAAATAGAGCGGCGCGCGCAGATCGCTCCGCACTCTTCGGAAGACCACGTTTCGGAACCTGTGTGGAAATCAACCAGTGCGCCGGGTGCACTTGACGCGGCCGACCTGGTTCGGTCGAGCGGTGAGGAACCGGCATCGCCACGCCATCGAGCAGGCATCGCGTCGATGGCGTGGAGGACGACGGGACGATTCAGCACGACGGCGCCGTGAAATTTTGATTTCCACACAGTTCGGAACCGCGAGCTGCCGAGCCGGCGCATGAGCTCCACGACGATGGGTCGCCCCGCCTTGGGCTCGTCCGCGTACGCGCGCAGCTGAATCGAGAGGTCCTCGAAGAGAACGTCTCCTATGCGGCCGCCGTCCTTGCCCACCATCAAGACGCCGCGCGCCGTCTCGAAGGCGTCGCAGCGGCGGACGGTGACGTCCCGGATGTCCCCGAGCGTCTCCGTGCCTATTTTAAAGGCGGACTTCCGGCTCGACACGAGGCAGTGCTCCGCGAGGACGCCCCGCGCCTCCGCGGCGACCGTGGCCTTGATCGCGATGGCGTCGTCCCAGGCGTGCACGAAGGCCCGACCGATGCGCACGTCGCGCGACGCGTCGACGTCGACGCCGTCGGTGCCGCTAAAGACCTTGACGCGGTCGAGCGCCACGTCGTCGCAGTCGCGAATGCGCAGCGCCCACCATCTGCTCTTCGTAAAGAAGACGTCGAGGACGCGGACGTGCGTGGCCCCGTCCAGGAGGAGGTTGTGCCCCGGCCCGAAGTCCGACGCGTCTATCGTTCCGACGCCGCCGACGGTGACGTTCTCCCCTCGCACGGTGACGAAGCCGGCGCCGCCGCCACTCCCGTCGTAGCGCAGGACCGCGCCCGGGGCGAGGTGCAGCTCGCCGCGGGATGGTATCAGGAACGCGGGCGAGCGGTGGAGGCCCGCCTCGAGGGCCACGGGGCCGGCGTCGAGGGCCCGCGCGAGCCAGTCGCCGGGGCGCCGCTCCGCGTCGTACGACGCCGCGCCCGCGGGCCGCGCCAGCGCCGCGAGCGGGTCGACCCAGAAGTAGAACCGGCGGCCGGCGACGCGCAGCACGTAGTGGTCCGGCCGGTCGAGCACGAACGCCAAGGAGCCGTTCGTCGCGTCGACTCGCACGTCTCTTCCCACGGCGCGCAGCCTCGCGCCGCGCGTCGCGCCGAGGCTGAGGATGGCGCGCGTGGTCCCGTCGCTCGCGAAGCGCGCGCGGCTGGACGGGAGCGCCGGGTGCCCGTCGCAGCGCTTCCCGGAGCCGGGCTCGACGACGAGCGGCAGCTCTCGGCCGTCGATCGATAAATGAGCAGTGGCGTCGACCTCGTCGCCCGGCGCCGGCGGATAGATGGTGAGGCTGCATCCTGCTCCGAGGAGGCCGCACAAGCAGAGGACGCGCGGCCTCATGGCAGCCCCAGAGGACGCGCGGCCTCATGGCAGCCCCGGTCGATCATTTTCAGGCTTTCTTTTGCACTTGGTGCTGCCTGGTGCTGCATCGTGCACCGCGGCGACCAGATTTCCGGCCGAAGCACCTCTACAAGCTCCTACAAGCTCGTACAGAAAATAACAAGTCGTGAGATGGTCGTGTCAACGTCAAGCTGTGTCGTCAGGGTCGTGGTGCCACTGGTTGCTAGGCGGCCTAGCTCTAAGCAAAGCAAACAAGCCCTCGGGTTACACATCAGTCTTCCTTGGCGCCGCCGCGCGCAGTCGCTCGGTACCGCCGCGTCTCCTTGGCGCAGCCCATGACGAGCGGCGCCACGAGCGGCGCGACGATCGGCGCGTACACGGCGGCGAGGTGCTCGATGGGCATGCGCGCGGGCAGCGCGAGGGCCGGGTCGTCGAGCGCGGCGTCGAGCGCGTCCGCGGCGCCGCGGAGGGCCGTCGCGGCCGCGCGCGCGTCGCGCGCAGTCCGGGCGGCCTCCAGGAGCCGCGCCGCGACGGCCGGCGCGTCGGACGGCCGCGCGAGCGGGCCGACGGCGCGGAGGTCGTCGAGGCGGTCGAACGCGTCGGCGAGCGCCGCCTCGGCGGCGGCGACCGCCAGCGCGTCGGCCTCGGCGTCGGCGAGGCGGAAGGCGTCCGCGGCCCCCGCTCCGAGGCCCCACTCCGCGCGCAGCCGCGACGCGGCGAGGCGGAGGAACGCGTCGGCGCCGCCGGCCCCGGCGTGCACGAGGGCCGCGCCGCCCGGGTCCGCCGCTGCGCCGCGCGCTGCGGCGATCACCGCGGTTCCGTTGCCTTCGATGGTCGCCCCCGGCGCGGCGGGGATCGCGACGAACCGCAAAGTCCGGTGGCGTCCGCGGAACGGCGCCTCGACGGCGTGCCGCGCGCGCCGCGCCTCGGCGAGGAGGACCCGGACGGTGTCCAGCGCGTAGCGCTCGCGGCCGCCGTGCGCGAGCGCCGCGTCGACGAAGAGCTCGCGCGTCGAGAGCGCCGCGCGGACGCCGGCGCGCGCGTCGACCGCGCGCACGAGCGCGCCGAGCGTCGCGTCGGCGTCGACGGCCGCGCCGTTCACCGAGACGACCTCGACGCTGTACGCGCCGGCGACGGGCCGCGCCGCCCGCCGCGGCGGTCGCCCGAAGCCCTCGAGCCGCGCGGCGATGTCCGCTCGCGTCCTCGCCGCGTCCGTCGGCGACAGCAGCCCCGCGCCCGCGCCGCGCGCGACGTATTCATGGTAGGTCGCGAGCGGTACGGCCACCACGAGGATGGCGACCACGAAATAGGTCTGGATGGCGAGGCGCTCGCCTGCCTCGCGCCGCTCTGCATCCGCGCCTTGCATTGGGAGCCACAGCTCGTCTGGGAGCGCTTTTTATGCGCTGGAAGCAACCTGGCCTCCCGCTGCGGCCTTTTTTTTGATGATGTCAAGTCAGAGAATCCCCGCCAACACGGACAGGGCCTCTTACCCCCCCTTTTTTCCTGTCCTGTTTGCTAGCGGCCTTAGACATACTAGGCTATAGCCCAGGGCACTGGCGTCCATGGCGTCATGCAAGATCAATAGTTGGACCGCACGCGGGTGCGGCTGTCCCTTCGCGTGAGATGACTTGGGGCAGCACCCGGCGGACACCAGTAATCAATAGATAATCGATGATGGGGTGGTGGTCCTTCAGCCTTGCCGCGCTCTCGGCCCGGGTGGTGGTGGGCACGACGTGGAGGGGCGCGTGCATCGTCCCGCGGACGGACAGCGAGGGGCAGGACTACTTTTTCCAGGACGGGCGCGGGGACGGCGCCGCGGCGGACGGTACGATGTGGCTGCGGCGGATCGCCGGAGGACGGCGGACGTGCCGGACGGTGCACGCGCCGACCGTGCTACTGACCGCGCCCCCGACGAATCCGGTGCACCAGTTGATGGACGTGTTGTGGTCCGTCGAGGCGCTCGGGGAGGGGGTGCGGCTCGGCCGGACGCACAAGGTCTTCGTCCCGATGGACGCGAGCCTCAACCGGACCTGGCTCGGGTGGGTCCTGCGGCGAGCCTACCTGGGCAACCGGACGACGGCCCAGGCGGCCGTCGAGCTCCGGGCCGACGACGGGTGCCTCTGCTTCGCGGGCGGCCTCGTCGTGCCCGAGATCGCGCGGTTTCGGTCCGCGCCCCCCGCCGGCTTCAGCGGCCGGCTCCGAGCCGCGCTCGTCCGCGACCAGCGGCGAGATGGGTCGAGGCCGCGCGCGCTCGTCTACGCCCACGCCTCGACGCGGCGGCGAGCCTGGCTCAACGCCGGAACCTTCGTCGCGCGCGCGCGCCGCTTCGGCGCCGTCGTCGCGCAGCCCCACGACCTCGGCCGCCTCCCGCCCTGGCGTCAGTGCGCCCTCTTCCACGAGTCCGATTTCATCCTCGCCGCCCACGGCGGCCACATGGCCAACCTCGTGTGCGCCGGGCCCGGGACGGTCGTCGTCGAGATGGCCTGCCCGAGCCGCGGCACCGGCTGGCTCGAGCAGATACCAGCTTTCTTCACCGAGCTTAACCTCACCTACTCGTACTTCCCCGCCGTTCGGTCGAGTTGCCCCAGACACGGCGAACATGATGCGAACTTCACGATCGACGTGGACGCGCTCTGGGGGCACCTCGGTCGCCTCGCCGACGGCCGGCTCGGCTCGTTCGTCGTGCCGCCCGACAAGGTCAGACGACGACCACGCCCCTGGATCGCGACAATATGGAAGAGGCTGACGACACCCCCTAATTAAATGTCCGAGTCATATTCTTTTAGATACAACCGCGTCCAGTGTCGCGTTCGCCGCGCGGACGACTAACCGGACGACGGCGGCCACGGGCGCGACGAGCGGCGCGGCCATGAAGTCCGCCGCGGGCGCGGCGACGGACGCGAGGCCCTCCCATCGCAGGCCGAGCGCTTCGGCGAGGTACTGGAAGCAGCGGGAGTGGCGCGCGTCGCGGATCTCCACGACAATCGCGCGTCGCGGCGCGACGACGATGTTTGCGAGGCCGGCGCCGTGCGGCGCGACGACGGCGCGCGCGGTGGCAAAGAGCGCGAGGATCTCGTGCTGGGGGAGCGGGCGGTCGTCGTAGACCGCCACGTCAATGCCCGCGCCGACGAGCGCGGCGACGAGCGCGTCGTGGTTCGAGAGCGCGCGCGTCGCCGCGCGCCGGACGACGACGACGCGTGGCTTCGCCGCGGTGGGCGCCGCCGCCCGCAGCGCGGCGCGCAGCGCGAGGAGGTGGTGGATCGTCGGCCCTTCGCAGGGCGACTGCGCCGGAGCGTAGACGAGCCGAAACGGGCCCGGCCCCGTCTCGATCCGGGCGCGGCCGACGCCGGTCAGCCGCAGGAGCTCGACGATTTGCGGTCGGTTGCGGAGCGGGTCGCGGTCGCCGTGGATGGCCCGCTGCCACCAGTTCCGCTCGCGGCGCGCGCGTCCCGGGTGCTCCGGCGCGGCGACGCGGACGCGCGCGTGATGCGGCACCGCGCCGCGCGCGACGAGCCAGCGGCCGAGGTCCTCGACGAGGAAGTGGTAGGTCGCCGCGCCGAACTGCTGCGCGATGGACACGACGGCGGCGTCGGACCTCGGCGCCGCGCAGCGCGCCCGCCGGAGCGCCGCGTCCGTCGACAGCGGCTCGTCGGCGTCCGCGCCGCACGCGAGCGTCGTGACGACGCACGGCGCGCCGAGGTCGCGGCAGGGGCAGACGTGCGTCCCGTAGTGCGACACGACGGCGTCGCGGACGACGCGGACGGGAGCGTCGACCTCGCCGCTCGCGCAGCGCGCGTCGTGGCTCCTCTCGACGCTTCGCGGCGCGCCGCGGTCGTAGAAGAGTGCGCAGCTGCGGTTCGCGAAGCTCCAGGCGCGACATCCGGCGGCGAGGAGCCGCGCCGCGCACCGGGCGGCGCACTCGTGCGCCCCCGCCGCCGCGCCCACGGCGTCGGCCGCGCCGCGCGCGGCCGCGCGGCAGACGCCGTGTTCGACGACGTACTCGGTGGGAGGGCCCGGACTCGACGCGTTTCCCCCCGCCGTCGCCGCGTGGACGAAGAACGGCTGCACCAGCTCGCCGTCCGCGTGCGCGCAGACCTGGTGCCGCAGCGACCGCGTCGCGCAGCGTGCGGGCGATTGGCGCGAGAGGGCGCGCACGTCGACGCAGGTGCGCGGCCGGCGCGACGCGTCGCCGTGCGCGTACAGGCACGCCGTCGCTGCCGAGGCGACGGGCCTCGCGACCCACCACGCCATCAACAACAACCGCATCGTCCTGCGCGATGCACGCAATGCCCCACGAGGGGCAGCGATCACAAAGCCATTCGGGTTCTCGATTTTGCTCTCAGGTCGAGATCGAGATGGCAGCAGCCGGTTCGGGTTTTGCCCGCTTGTAATCAAACGTACCCGGCCGCGCCCCGGCGTGCTGGACCCGTATCCCGATTGGTCGGATTCAATCTATAAAAACCCGCGTAAACTCACTCTATCTTCAGGTACCTCAGCTCTATACCTCTATACCTCACTCTCTGAACATTGCGTGTACGCAGCTGGTCCAGGGGGGCAGCGGGCCGAGATCAGATTTGAGATCACATTGCGTGTACGCAGCTGGTCCAGGGGGCAGCGGGCTGAAGACGGATTGATGCCGACGATAGGCAGCCCCTCTGCTTGGCGCAGGCTCTGTTTCGTCCTTCCGGTCATAGCTATCGTGATCCTGTGCTCCACCGCCATGCGCGCGCCGGTCGGCGTCGGCCCGGCAACGAAGGTCGTCGCGCTCGGGCCCGGCGGTCGCTTCCGGTCCCAGGCCGGCCAAGATTTGTACGTCTACGAGCGGTTCTTCCGGCACCGGCCCGGGCCGGGCGTCTACCTGGAATTCGGCGCCCGCGACGGCGTCGCCCACTCGAACAGCTACGCGTTCGAGCAGCGCGGCTGGCGGGGATTCTGCGTCGAGCCGACGGACGAGTTCCACCGGCTCGTGCGGAACCGACCCGGGTGCTGGAACTACCACGGCGCGGTCGCGGCGCGCGCCGGCGCGCGGCGCTTCGTCTTCTCGAAGAAGGGCGGCTTCTCAGGCTTCGCGGACGACATGGACCCCGCGCGGCTCGAGGCGATGCGCCACCGCGGCAAGGTCGCGCGCGAGACGAGCGTCGCCTGCTACACGGTCGCGGGGCTGATGCGGGAGCGCCGCGTCGAACGCCTCGACTACGTGAGCGTCGACGTCGAGGGCGCCGAGCTCGAGGTGCTCCGGTCCGTCGACTGGGCCGCGACGCCCGCCGACGTCGTCCAGGTCGAGAGCGTCGAGGGCGCCGCCAAAAACGACACGGCGGCGCTCGTCGCGCTGATGGCGCGATGGTACCACCTCGACGTCAAATACGACGTCTCGCCGCCGCCGTGCCGGCCCGGCGAGGTGACGGCGGACTGCACGTACGACCTCATATTCGTCAGCCGGCGATTCGCGCGCGACCTCCGCGCGCGGAACGTCTCGCTCACGCCCGCCGGGGCGCGGGCGCTCTGGAAGCGGACCTACGGACCGCCCGCGGGCCGCGGCGAGGAGCCGCCGGGTTGGCGACGGGCTTAAGTATCTGTACTGAAACATCCCTATTTCTCGCTACGTGGATCGGCGCGATTCGGAGGCCTAACTCACCGTGCCTAGACCGGTCTCGCAATTCCCCGGCGTCGACGCACCCGCAATGACGCACTCGAGGACGAGGCGCAGCGTCGTATCGAGACCGCCCCATGACAATTTCTGGAGCGCGGGGAACGACGACGCCGCGTTCTGAGTGACGGCTGGCCAGGCGAACTGGTCGCGCCCGCCGCGGTAGTACGCAAACGCTCCGAGGGCCTCGAACTCCGACGCCGGGTGACCTTTCGTGCTCGCGAAGCGGTCCACCAGCCACTCGGAGAGCGGGCGTCCATGGAGCCGCTCGGCGGCTCGTCGAAAGGTGCCGTAGAACGCGCGCGGGTAGCACAGGCCCTGACGGGTCATGAATTGGAATTCTAGGTCTTCGGCCTTGATGCCGACGAGATCCGCGGTGACGGCGCGCCACCGCCACTCCGCCTCCGAACCCGGCGCGTACCGGACCCGGGGCATCAGGGGCTTTCTCGTGCGCGGATCGAAGACGTCCGAAAAGGCGAGCGGCCGCGTGAGTACCGTGTCGCTGTCGAGGTGGAGAACGAAACGAGCAGCGGGCACGTAGAGGTCGGCGCAGAGCTTGTCGAAGATCTGCGCCGCGTCTGCGTGGGGCATCGCGTCGATGGCGTGGCACGTGGCGCCATCGACGCGACGTGGACGTGGCACGCGATGCCAACAACAACGCGAAGAGAATAAAAGGACGCCGCAAGAGCACAGTCGGGTAGGCACTGCCCCGCGTGGCACCGCGCAAACTTGTGCGGGTGTGCGGCTCGCATCGCCGCCGCGAACACCGCCGCCGACGTCGACACGTTGGTCCGCGCCCACGGGTGCGCCAATCGCACGAACGCGCCGACCGTCGCGTCGTCGGCCTCCGGAAAGACTACCGTGACGCCGTCGACGTACGGCTGCGCGAATTTGGCCACGCTGCGCAGGCAGTAGGCGAGCCACTGCAGATCGCCCGCGAACGTCCGCACGAGGATTCCTACGGGCACGTGTTCGGCTGTCGCGTTCCCGCGACGACGGGGGTGTCGCGTTCGCAACGCGTCGACGTGGGCGCGGTAGGACTCGAACCGCCGGTCGTCAGATGCACGCAGCAGTGCAAGCTCCGCCGTCTTGCCTGCTTGGGCGCGTCGCAGAGCCCCATTTTCGTGCCGCAGGGCCCGCAGGGCCCGCAAGTGGTAGGCGCCGCCGGCGACAAAGAGCGCTGCACAGAGGGCAGCCCGCCATGGAGAGCCCGGAGGCTCCGACTGATCATGCATCAATTTGGGCACACACGCTCGGTCTCATCTTGATTTATGCAGATTACCTACGAGTTGTAAAAAGAGCTACGCTCCGGCCTTGGGGCATTATTGTCCTTGTCATGTGGCAATGTGCTGCGGGAGGATGCAAATATAATATTATAGCTGCCCACACGAGCTGCAACGAGTGATGACATTCGCAGAGGATGGTGCAAACAGGCTCCCGCGCAGCCCGCGGCCCACTGTCGCGCTTGTGGCTGCCGTCGTACTCGTCGTGGCCGATGCGGCGCCCTTCGCGCCCTGGGACTGGGACGGCCCGCCGTGCCCCGCGTCGCGGCGGTACGTTGCCGCGCGCGCGGCCGCGCGCGGCGGGCCGGGCGTGTGCGTCAAGGCGTACTCGTCGGTCGGGAACTGGCTCATGACGCTGGACGACGCAACGAAGGTGGCGTACGGCGTCGACGCGATGCTGTGGATCGACCTCGAGGGTTTCGCCGGTTTCCGGCGCGCCGTCGCGCCGGCGGCCGTGCCGTGGAACGCGTCGTGCGACGCGCGACCCGCGGCGACCCGGGCGCTGGAGACGTTCTCGTACCGCGACGGCTGGATCGCGCTCGGACGGGACCCGCCCGAGACCGCGGCGACGCGCGGGGGCTTCCTCTTCGGCCTCCTCGGCCTCCTCGGCCGCGCGACGCGCTCGACGGGCCCCGCCCGGGGAAGCTGGGCGCAGTTCCGGGCGCTGCTTCGGGGCGAGTTGGCGCCCGCGTACGCGAAGCCCGGTTCCGTGCGCGACGCCGTCGGCAACTTCCGGGCCGCGGCCGGCTTCCACCAGGTGGATCGCCGGACCGACGACGCGCACTGCCGATTCAACACGTTCTTCGCGAGGACGGCGGCGCTGCGGGCCGAACTCGACCGCCGCAGGGACGCGCTGGGCCAGGCGCGGCGCTACGCCGCCGTCCACGTCCGGTCGGCGTTCGGCGAGAACCCGCTCTACGTCCGCGGCCCGCTGACGCAGGAGCGGCTCCACGCGCGGGAGCCGCCGCAGCACCTCTGCCTCGCGTACCTCCGCCGGGCCGCGGACGCCACCGCGTGCCTCCGATCGGCGCCGGGCGTGGCGCCGGCGTCCGTGTTCGTGGCCTCGAACTCGCCCGCGGTCGAGCGGGCCTGCGCGCGACTCGGCGCCGGCGTCCTCGCCGTGTCGGCCGCGGACGCGCACCGCAGCCGCCACACGGACGTCGCCGGCGCCGCGCTGGAATTCCACGCCCTCGTCTCGTTTTTTCTCCTCGTCGACGCCGAGGTTCTCGTCGCCGGCCACTCGAGCTTCTCGCTCATGGCCGCGCAAATATCGCGCAAGCGTGCCGACGGCGCGCGCGCGTGGGCGCCGGACCGCTTCGTGGAACCGAGCCTCGCCGTCGACGCGTGGTTCGCGCCCGGCGCCCGGCCGCGCGGCGCCTGCGCCGACGGACTCTACGACCACGGCGCCGCGGCGACCGACGGGGGCGGCGCCCCGCTCGCGTTCCCCTGGGGGCAGCCGGGCGCGGTCGCGGCCTCGGACTTCTCGCGCCGCGTCGGCGCGCGCCAGCGCGCCGGCGGCGCGGCGGCCGCCTACGAGCTCACGGACTACGGGTTCGGCTCGGACCTGCACCAGTGGGCCCACGCGCTCCTCTGGGCGGACGAGCGCAACCTGACCCTCGTCGCGGTGCCCCGGGGCGCGGTGTCGTGCGCCGACGCGAGCGGCACGGCGCGGCACTCGTTCTCGGACCGCGCGGAGGCGGCCTGCCGCGTCCTGCCGCGCCTGTCGAGCCGGGCCTGGATCTGGGACGACCCCGCGTTCTGCACGCGCCGCGAGCTCCTCGCGCCGCTCTCGTGCTACTTTGGCGCCCTGGCGAACCCCGGCGTCGCGAGGAGCGACGACGACGACGGCGGCGACGGCGCGGGGCCGGTGCGCGCGACGCCTACCGCACCGCCGGCGTTCTCGCCGATGCCAATGGCGTCTTTTTCCGGCCAGAGCGACGGAGTTCACGGCCTGGATGCGCCCGTTGCCTTCATGTTGGAAAATCTCCAGCCCAAGGTTGTCGACCGCGCGCGCAAGGCGGCGCGCGTGATCTTCGGGCGCGCCGGCGCGCCGAAGGATCTGATAACTGTTCACATCCGCCGGGAACGGCGCGCAATTCATGTTCCAGGCGCCTTCACACGACGGCTTGCCTGTGCGCCTTCACACGACGGCTTGCCTGTGGCGGTTCGGCGGTCTCCTGGCCTACCATCCGTCCACAACTCGTAGCCAGCGCGATCGGGTCGTCGCCGAGAAGTGAGTCTTGCACGCAGGCTGGGGAGACAAATATAAGGAGTCCCCGCGCACGGCCATCGACACGTACGTCGCCGCCGTCGACCGGCTCCTCGCCGACCGGCCTCGTCATCCGAGTCGCGAGGTCCCGATTTTTGTCGTCACGGAGGACTACACGGCGCTCGAAGCTTTCCAACAGGCAGTCGTCCTCCGCGAAGGCTGGGTTGTCTACACTCATCCGGCCGCCATCTTACAGGCCTCTCGCGGCGCGGATGCTCCGACAGGCGAAAAACGAAAGAAAAATGAAAAGAAACACAAACATAAACCGAAAAGACGCGACGAGCTCTCTCCGGTCGATTTTGCGCGTCGGTCTAGCGGCGCGCTTGGCCTCGAGTCCCTCGTGTCGCTCATCCTAGCGCTCGAGGCACGGTCCTACGTCCTCACGATTGCGAGCAACTGGGGCCGTCTCATAGAGGAGGCGAGGCGGGCCGCTTGGCTTCCTCGGTGCGGGCAGAATTGTACGCGCATGGTGGCCGTAGGAGCCCCCCCCCCATGAGGAGGCGCGCTTCGCCTCCCTTGTTGGAGTACATTGTGATACTTCTAGTACGATAAACACCTAGGTAAATACTCTGCCTGGTCGAACGAATGACCTGGGAAGTGGCAAACCGACACCCCGGTGTCCCCCCGGGTCATCGCTCCTCGCGGCACTGCGCGAGGCAGCGCGCCGGCGAGGGCTGGGCGCGGCACCACGCCGCGACCTGCGCGTGCGCGGCGCGGAGGCGGCGGCAGGCGCGGGGGCGGGCCGCGAACGCGAGCGCGTGCGTCGCGGCCGCGGCGCGGACGGCGGCGACGATCGGCGGCGGCGCGTGGTCCGGATGGACCGCCAGCACGTTGCCGTTGGCGCAGCAGCCGTCGCCCCCGTTCAAAAAGCTCGCCGCCGGGAAGAAGTCGGGGGTGACGCGGAGCCACCCCGTCGTCGCGACGAGGTAGAGCTCGTAGCCGGCGTCTTGCAGGTAGCCCGCCGCCCGGCCCTGCGTCCAGTCATTGTTGTGCCGCGGGTCGTGGTGGCCCCAGGTCCCGCCCAGCTCGTACTGGAACAGCGGGAATCGCTTCGCGTAGCCCCGTTCCAGATGCATGCCCCGCAGGACTTTGGGCTCGTGGCCCTCGACGTCGACGACCACGTACAGGATCGAGCTGTTCGCGAGCCGGTCCGCGACGTCCGCGAGCGGCACCGTCGCGACGCCGTCGGCGGCGTGCCGCGCCCAGTCGCCGAAGCGGCCCCGCTCGTCCGGAACGAACAGCGACGCCGTCTCGCCCTCGCCGCTGTAGGCCACCTTCGCCGCGGCCGCGTCGGACCACGCGGCGCGGTGCATCGCGACGCGCGCGGCGCCGTGGTCCCGCCGGAGGCGCAGCCGCGCGCGCCGGAAGACGTCGCGCTGGATCTCGAAGCCGTGGAAGGCCGCGCCGCGGCAGCTCCGGAGGACGACGTCCGACAGCTGGCCCTCGTTCACGCCGGCCACGAGGATCGCCCGCGCCGCGTCGGCGCAGAGGCCCGCGGTCCTCGCGACGGCGAGGAGCCGCTCGACGCCGCGAAAGTCCGCCTTGTTCGAGAAGTCCCGGATGTGGTCCTTGTAGTACGCGGCCGCGGACTCCGCCTCCGTCAGGCAGAGCGGGTCCGTGGACGCGAACCACCACGCGACCGCCAAGCCCGCCGCGGCAAGCATGCGCAGCTTCTTGCGCGCGGGCGGTCCTCGCCGCGGCGCGCCCATCCTGCAGCCTCTCTTACTGAAAGGGCTGCCCGCCCGATGGATGCGGGCAGCCGCGGGCAAGAGGACAGTTCCTGGTGATCTATAAATTGCTTACTCAGCTGGCACCGCGTGATGATTGACCGATGCTTGACGATCGGAGCAAGATCCCTAGTGTCTTACAGCGCTAGCTCGGGCTTCTCGGCTGCTTTTGTTTTTTACCGACAGCTGCCTTGCGAGCGCCGCAAGGCATCCAGCCATTGGAATAGCACGATTGCGCTGCAAAGTCGTGTTGGCTGCGCCAGCGCTGCTCACCGTGGCTCGTGACACGGTGTGAAACCACTGCTTTCCACGAGCCTTGAGGCCCCACACGCACACGCGCAGCGGCAGGATGCGTCTGCTCTGCATCGGCCTCGCTGCCCTGGGCGCGCGCGGCGCGGCCACCCCTGAGAAATGCGAGCAATGGGCGCGGGAGGGCGAGTGCGTCAAGAACCACAAATTCATGCTGGTCGAGTGCCGCGCCGCGTGCGCGAGCGACGCGCGGGCGCCGCCGAGCCCGGAACACGACTGCCGTTCGTGGGCCGAAGCCGACGAGTGCTCCAAGAACGTGAGATTTATGAATCTCCACTGCGCGGCGGCCTGCAGCCACCGCTGGCTCTGGGCGCCCGACGCGCGGCGTGCGCTCGGCCTGCCCGTCGCGTTGCCGGCGGCGCCGCCGCGGCGGCCGGCCGAGGCGGCGCTGTTCGACGGCGCGCGCCTCGCGCTCGACGGCCACACCGCGCTCGAAGAGCGCGTGGCCGAATTCGAGGGCATCGTGTTGCGGGGCGAGCTTCCCAGTGACGTGACGCTGCCCGAGGACGACGCGGGGGCCGCGGCCGCCGTCGCGGAGCAGTACGCGCTCTACGCGGCACGGCTGTTTAGGGCGGTTGCGCCGCCCGACGACGCCAACGCTCGGCGCTTCGCGGCCGCCACGGAGGAGCACACGCTGGCGGCCCTCGACGTGCATCACGACCCGCGCAGATTGGACTGGAGCCTCCGCGAGCTCCCGCGCATCGCGAAGAACTTGCGGGGCGCCATCTCGGCCCTGCCGGCCAGCTGGGAGGGCAAGATCGTCGTCGAAGCCGCCGGCGCGGCCGAAACGGGCGTAAAGTCCTGGTGGCGCGGGCGGAAGGCGCAACGCACGACGGTGCCGCTGCCCCGCGCGGGCGTCGAGCTCCCGGTCCTAGGCCTCGGCACGTGCTGGCTCGACGAGCACGAGTCAGAGGCGAGCGTGGGCGCGGCGCTGGCCTGGGCCGCGGCCCACCCGGCGGCGCCGCCGGTGCACATCGACTCGGCCGAGGCCTACCGCAACGAGGCGGCCGTCGGCCGCGCCCTCGCGCAATCCGGGGGTCCGGGCCGCGCCTTCCTCGCCTCGAAGCTCTCGGACCGCGCGCACCTCTCGTACGACGGCGCGAAGGCGCGCGTCGCCGAGACGCTGCGCTTCTTCGGCGTCGAGACGGTCGACCTCTACAGCCTGCACTCCGCGTTCAACTTCCTGAACGACGCCAAGGCGCGCGCGGACCTCGCCGGGGCCTGGCGCGCGCTCGTCGAGCTGCAGAAGAAGGGCACGCTCCGCGCGCTGGGCGTGTCGAACTTCAACGCCGTCGAGCTGCGCGCGTTCGCCGAGGACCCGGCCCTCGGCGGGATCTGGGTCCCCGACGCCCTGCAGAACAAGGTTGACGTGTATCGGAGGGGCGAACAGGAGCCCGGCGAGGACGACGTGCTCGCCGCCGCCAAAGAGCTCGACATCGCCGTCGTCGCCTACAGCTCCCTGAGCGGCTGGCCGCGCGGCGTCGGCGCGCGCGCGGACCCGCTACTGCGCCAGCTCGCCGCGCGGCGCGGCGTCGACGTGCCGACGCTGATCCTGCGCTGGCACGTCGACGCGGGCCACGCGGCGATCCCGCGGTCGCGCGACGCGGGCCACGTCGCCGAGAACCTGGACGCGCTCTCCCGCGCGCGCGAGCCGCTGGCGCCCGCCGAGCGCGCCGCCATCGACGCCATCCCGCACCTCGTCGCCGGCCCGCGCAACCGGCCGGCGACGGCGGACGCCTTCAGGGTCCGAGGCGGGGCTCGGCCGGAGCTCTAGATCCAGCCGGCCGTAAGTGTGTGACTTGAACATATCTTAGGCACACGACACAGGGTCCGCCCGGTCTACGCGCTCACGAGCTCCGCGAGCGCGTGCGCGGCGTCGATGTCGTGGAAGTTGTCCACCGACGCCAGGGACCGCGCGCGCTTCAGCTGCGGCGAGAGCGGGAGCAGCGGCGCCGGCCGCGCGCGCTTCGGGCGCGACGCCTGGCGCTGGCAGAGCGAGAGCGCGTTCGCGACGAACCGCGGGCCGTGCGCGGGGCTCGGCCGCTCCACGAGCTGGTAATGGCGGTTTCTCCCCACATCACGCCCGGCGACGCCGAGGAGGCCGTCGGGGCCCCAGTAGACGTCCGCGTCGTCGGAAACCTCCTGCCGGAAGGCGGCCGGGTCCGACTCAACCGCGAACGCCGGCGCAGACCGCGCCGCGGGGTCCCGGTGGACCTGGACACGCAACAGCGCCTCTAGGTCGTCCGCGTCGCCGGCCGAGAGCATCTGGGTGACGCGGAAAGCGTCCGACAGCGCAAGGGGCGTACCTTCTCGGAGATGTTCGGCCCCGCGGAACCAGGCCGGAGCCGGCCCCTCTAACACCCAGCGGTTGTCGACCAGCCGGCTGTCGCGCGCGCGGATGCCGCTGCGCGTCGCCGCGTGCGTTTCGGCTGCACCTTGTGACCACCAGGGTTTTAAATTGATAGACGAGCGGCGCGGTTGCGGCGGTTCGCTATCCTGGACGCCAGACCACATCTTCGCGGCTGCGCGTATCATCTTGCGGTTTGCAATGGCATGCGCGATAACAATTCCTTCCGCTGCTGGTTGTTGCTCAGCACACAAAAAAATCTCGTGCGTGCCCCTCGCAGAAACGTACGGACGGCCAACGAAGTGATCTCAATCCTACCTACTCGTACCGACGGCAGGCGAGGCGGAAGCCCCCACGCCGCCGCCGTGACGCGCGCCAGTCGGCCACGCCGCGGCCGCCCTTGCGCAACGACTCCGCGGTGTCGTCATCGACGGCGCAGTGTGTGCCCGGCCCAAACGAGCGCTTTTAGCGACGCGGAGATGAGTTTGGTTTGCTCGCGTTCGTTGACGTCGCGCGATCGACTATGCGGGGGAAGGTGCGCTTCTCCCCTTCTCTCAGGATCGCGTCCGCGGTGCGCCTCAGCTGTGCGAGCGGGGCTGTAGGTTGTTTTCCGACAGCCAATCGGTTCGCATCCCAGCTCGAACGTGGCAAGTGATCTCAAGTACAGTGCGCTTTTTGCGACGCGCGAAATTGCCATCATATTGCAAGTGCAAGACCTACGCGGTGCGGGACCGCAACCCAACCGCGCTGGACGATGCAGTTCGCAAGAGAGACGAGCAGGATGTGGAGCGGCAGTTGCTCGGCGGAGCCGACCGCGAGATCGCTGCTCGCGGGCCCGGCGGACGACCTGACGCCCTGGTGGGAGCTCGACAGCCGCCTCGCGGAATTCACGCGCGCGCGGCCGCGCCGCACAACCTCCGCCGTCGGCAGCCGTTGCGTCGGCAGCCGTTGCGTCGACGGCCGCTGGGTGCTCGAGGGGCCGGCGCCGGCCTGGTTTCGGGGAGCCCAGGACCTCCTGCAGGGCACGCCTCTCGCACCAATAGACGCCTTCGAGGTGACGCGAATGCTGGCGGCGGGCGACGCGGACGACCTCGAGCAGCTGTTGCGGGTCGAGGTGCACCCGGACCCCGCCGCGCGGCACGACGCGCCGGCCTACGCCGTCGAGGAGGACCCCGCCGCCTGCCTGGAGGATGTCTCCGACGACGCGGACGTCCACTGGGAGCCCGACGGCCGCCTCGGCGTCGCGTGCGAGGCCGTCGGCGGGCGCACCCGCTGGTACCGGCTCGTGGAGCGGCCGAGCCCCGCGCACGGGCCGCGCTACGTGAACGCGCTCTCGCTCTGCCAGCGGCGGCCGGCGGCGCCGGCGCCGCCGCCGAAGCGCGCGCGGCCGGCGCCGCTGCTGCCGCTCTCGCCGAAGCTGAAGCGCGCGCGGTCGCTCGCGTCGGTCGAGTCCTTCCACGACCTCGACGCCGCGCACGCGCTCGCGGAGCTCGTGAGCGCGTAGGGGCTTAATTTAATCATTGGGACTTGTCGTCGTCGTCGAAGTTGCAACAGGCGCGCCCGCACGTTGCTCTCAACCCGCGCGCACGTCTCCTCGAACGATGGAGACCACGTCGCAGGGCGGGAGGACTCCTACCACGGACGCAGCCAAACCCGCGAGCACCGGTTTTGAGCTGTTTTGCGGACCATCGCGCCGAGCTCGCGCAGAGACCGTCGATATCAATCGGTGGACATCCGCCCTGGGTTACAAAAAGCCCAGTGGTCCGTCAGCACAACCAGCGCTCGCCGCCGCGGCCGGCGGCCCAGCTGAAAGGGGGGCAGCCCCTCGACCCTGGGCGGCGCGATGCAGGCCCAGGGCCAGCGCACGGCGATCCTATCAAGTTTGCCGCTGCAGATCCTCATCTACTTCGAGAACTGGTTCGTGCTCGGCTTCACGGCCTTCAACGCGTGCGCGTTCGTCTATAAAGGAAGTAGCTACTACTACCCAAAATACATGTGGCCCGTCGAGGTCGCCACGGTGCTGGTGTTCGCCGTCGTCCAGTGGGCGCGGCTCTTCCTCGCGTCGAAGTCGAACAAGACGGAGATGCTGCGGCCCATGATCTGGTCGCTGCTCCTCACGCCGTGCAGCGTGACGGCCTACTGGTATTTTATCTATGCGCAGCTCTACGTGCTGCGGGTGGACGTCATCATGAACGCTATTGGGATTGTCTTCGTCGCCCTCGAGCTGCCGTTCCAGCTCGTCGCGGCGTTCCACTTCTCCACCGCGATCTACATCTAGTAGGGAGTTGCGGAGTAATTTAAATAGCACGTGCTTTCCCCCGCCGCCGTCCGCCTCTGAGCTATCTCGGGCGACGGCGTATGGAGGCCGGCGTTCGGTCAAGCAGGCCCCGCGTCGGCTCCGCGGCTAGGCGGCCTAGCTCTAAGCAAAGCAACGTGCGCCACCGGCGCAAGTACCAAGTCAGACCGGCGCGGACCTGGGATTCCGGCGTCCGGCCTGCTCCCCCCCCGCCGTCGTCGCCTCCGAGCTAACACTCGGGGCGACGGCGTCACGGCGCGGCCGGGCGGCTAGGCGGCCTAGCTCTCAGCAAAGCAAGCGCGTACTCCGGTATTCGCAAAGGTCTTAATCACAGCGGCGCGCGCGCGTCCTCCGAGTCGCACGAGTCGCTGACGAGCGAGGACCGCGTGCGCATCTCGACGAGCGCCGTCTTGACCGTGAAGAGCGCGTCCCGGAGGTCCCGCAGCTCCTATGCCGTCGTCGTCGGCGAGCTCGCTCTCGGAGCCGTCGTCGTCGGGGGCGGCGCCGTCGCCGCCGTCGCCTGGCGCCGGGCCCGCCGTCGCGTCGTCGACGACGGGTGCCGGGCCTGCCGTCGCGTGATTCGCGTCTTCGACGGCGTCGGCGGGTGCCGGAGCGGCGGCGGCGCCGTTGGTAGATGCGGCCTCATCGGCGGCGTCGGAGTCCAGGACGAGCCCGAGCGAGCCCTTCCGGCGCCCGCTCTTCGTGCGCTCGAGCAGGTTTTTCATTTGGTTTCACCTTTCTTCTTCAGCTAATCAGAGACTGCCGGATCTAGCGGCCTGGATATGCGTGGCCTGCGCCGCGTGTGGATTGTCCTCCGCGAGAGCGCCGCTACTACTATTTTAGGTGAAGACTGTCGGGCACTTTGCACTGGGCTAGCGGCCTGTAAGACACTAGCAAGCCAAACGAAGACGAGCTAGCATCCATGCGCGTCGTCTTTTGCACGGGCTATGAACGCTGTCACAACACAGTATCGTTAAGAGGCGCTACGACCCCGGCGGACGCCGACAATCATGACGCGCCCGCCGCGCCGCCACTCGATGATGCGTCGGCGCTCGGGGGCTTGGGCATGGGGTTCTTCTCCATGGTGATCTCCCAGTTGCCGCTGGACCGCGTCATGGTCGTGTAGGCCTCGAGCTGGCGGAGCGACTGGCGCGCGAGCGCGACGGCCTCGCCGGCTTCCGGTTCGGCGAGCGTCGCGTTGCGCCGGAACTCGTCGCGGATCTCGGCGTAGACGTTCGCGCGGTTCTTGCTCGGGAAGCGCGCCGCCGCGAACAGGATCCGCCGGTAGAGGGAAAGGATCTGCGCCCGTCCTGACATCGGTGCGGTCGCGTCGTCGCCGCAAGTTATTGATCGCTGCTTCCAAGTCTAGCGCGTTTTGAGCAACGCTGCGCTGTGATGAGCTGCAGAGAGCAGTATGCCGGAGGCAGCGTCTGCAGCGTCGAAGGCGTGCAAGTGTTCTAGCACACGTCGCCGGCGTGAAGCTGCGGTCTGCTGCTGGCACAGCGCAGGCCTAGAACTCGCTACGCTACGTAGCGTAGCGTGTGTGGCGCATGAACTCCACGCTAGCGGCGTGTAGAGACACTAGCAAGCAAACTCGGAACGCGGCATGCAGCCGTTTGAGTACCGTTCCGTTCGCTACTGGTCCAAAGAGATCAATGGGACACGTAATGGGGGCCGAAAAAGTATATATGAATTCGCGGCCGACGCCGCCAGCAGGGTCTATGGCGGCCGCGCCAGTTTAATCCTGTCAATCCGTGGTCCAGAGGCCTCTCTGGGGTCGCCTAGGGTCGTCTAAATACACGCGCAAGCGGCTACACCGCATGCGCCCGGGCTCGGGGCATAATCGACCAATTCTCTCACCGCTGCGGCCCACAAAACCATGAATAGCTGGCAATGGCTTCCAGAGCTCTCGGAGGGCCCCAAGAATCGGCGCATGCGGCGTAGGCGCTTACCCACAACTAGACCTACCCCGAGAGACCTCCAGGAGCCGATCAGCCCCCGAAAAAAGTGTGCAATTTGGGCCCGATGGCGCCCCGTTCCCGTGAAAAACGTCAATTACCCGAGGCCCCCCAGTAGTCGCCGTAGCGGTTTCGTCGGGTCCCATACTACCCCACCGATAGTCAAATACGAGTATATGCCATCTACATTATAAGAAGGGTACTTTTGGCTGCCCACGCTCGGGACGTGAACATCTTTATCTGGACCTCGCATAAGTCCGTCGGTCATGAAACAAATGATCGCGTTATGGTCCATGGTGAAGGTACACGGGCTGATGGTCGCAGGTTCAAGCAATTCGCCCATTTACGATCGATCGTGGGGTCGCGAGCCCGACGACCCGCGCCGAGCATCTTCGGGTCTCGGAGCAATGTAGTACACAATCAAGCCGGTTAGCTGGCCCGTCCCGTAACCGAAGCGCCTGAAACGCAAATTTATTTTATAAACCACCGGGCTGGGGCCTTTTTGGTGCTCCGTCTCCGCACCGTCGCCCGCGGAGAACGGGCAAGTCGGTCGATTGTGAATAGAACAACGGCGTTATGGTCCATCTGGATGGTGGCGTCGCTGATACTCGCAGGTTTGGTTTCTGGGCTTGTCTAGGTATAAACGTGGGGGCCAGCAGTCGTCGAATCGCGCGGCTCTAACGGATGACTTCATTCACATAGGTGCATGTTCAAACGGGCTAGATGGACTCTACCATCAACAAACGGAAGGAAACGAACATAAACTCGGGAGTTGTCTAGTAAAACTCTTCTCCCGCCCTCCGAGCGCGGGCCGTCGGCTCCGGTTCCGTCGAGTGTGGATGAAAACTGGGCTGGAGTTGATATGATGTACCATTTGGACGTTAGAAGGCACCGTCAATCGCTGGTGTATTTTGGCGAGCCGCAAGACCTAGTGATCTAGCGTATCGACACACTAGGAATCCGTATATATATATATATATATATGTATATATACATACACATAGTATACATGTATACAGGCCTAGGCGGATGGCTTTTGAAAAGAAACCTCTCCGACTGACCCCCGAATAGTGAAGTTCAGAGCTTAATTCCCGCTCTGATCACCGTGAAGTCCTATGGATTATTTCAAGTTCGTAGCTAGAAAAAGACAAAACGTACGCGCCCCCCGCGCTCGCTACGTCGCGTAGCCCTCCGCCTTCGCCTTGGCCTCCTCCATCTTCTTCAGGAAGTACTCGTAGCCGTACTTGGCCACGTCCTCGGGCTGGTCGCGCAGCACCTCGCGCGTGAAGTCGCGGAGCGTCGCCGGGAACTCCTCGGGCATCACGAACTCCTTCTGGTACGCGCTCGCCATCGCGCGGGGACGCCTGCGCGCGGAGTGAGTTCGGCCCGCGCTCGCCGCGCCGTTGCGTGGAATTGATATTGGCTCGACGGCGTCGCCGCGACGCATGACGCGCCGCGCGTGCGGATCTGTCATTGGCTCGACGGCGTCGCCGCGACGCGCACGACGCGCGTGCCGGCTCGCGCGCGCGGCCGAGCGCTCGACACATGGAAGGCGCCTCGGCCGTCGAGACTCGGGCAGCCTGCTGTGTGAAACAATGGGATGGGGCAGCAGTTCCGGCGACGGGAACGAAGGTGTTGTACTGGGAGAGTGTTCTCCGGTGCCTAGGCTAGCACGACGAGTGTCCTCTCGCAATAATACCACCGCGCGCACAGCTTTGTGCCGGCTCCGTTGCGAACCCGACACTCGCGCCGCGGGAGGCACGGGCAGATGACACGGGCACCAAGAGGTCTGTAGGCCCCTACTATAGACCTCCGAGAGGCTGGCCTACGTAAGATACCCGCACGCGGCGCCTGCGGCTGCCCATCTGGCTGCCCCCAGGCCTACACGGCACGCAGGCCTCGACGCCTTGCACGGCACAGGAAGGGCTGCCTCGCGTTGGGACCGAGCGATGGCGCAGCTCCTCGGCGGGCTGGACGTCGTCTACGCGGAGGAAGAGCCTGCCGAGAGCAGCAGCGCCGACGATTCTGACGACGACTCGGACGCATCGCTGGGCAGCGGCGGCGCGGCGGCGGCGCGGGCCGCGGCGGTCGCGCGCGGCGGCGGCGGCGCCGCGGCGGCGGCGGTCGTCGCCGAGAACGGGCTCGCGAGCCTGCGGCGCGCGCGGCTCGCGCCGGGCGTCTTCGGCGCCGCTGTGGCGCTGCGCAACGAGCCGCGCGCGGCGCGGCGCATCGAGGTCGCGGCGGTGCGAGCGGCGGCTCGCGCGCCCGGCGTCGCGGCCGGCGACGTGCTCGTGGCCATCAACGGGAAGCCGCTGCCGCGCGGCGCCTCGGCCGAGGAGCTGCAGGACCTCGTGCGGTCGAACCCCAAGTACGCGCTCGCGGCCGTCGACGCGCTCCTCTGGCGCGGGCGCGCGGCGGCCGGCGGCGGCGCGCCCGCCGGCGGCGAGCTCTGCGTCCACTGCTGTGCGGAAATCACACTTCGGGCGCCCCACGCCATCGACGCGATGCTGTCTCCGTAGCTGCCCTGCTCGATGGCGTGGAGTTTCCAGGCCATCGACGCGACGTTGTCCCCGTGACCGCGCGTGGAGGTTCGATAACCTAACTCACTGGTTGATTTCCACACAGGTCCACTGCGGCGCGGGCGCGGCCGGCGTGACGTGGGCGCGCGTCGCGTTTCCCGGGCGCGCCGCGCTCGACGGCGCGTTCGCGGCGGCGGCCGTCGGCGGCCGCGCGGCGCGGCTCCACGTCCGGCCCGGCGACGTCCTCGTCGGCCTCAACCACGAGCCCGTGCCGCGGCGCCACGCCGCGGCCGCGCTGCTCCAGCGCTTCTCGTCCGCGGCCGCGCGCGGCGCGCTGACGCTCAACCTCTGGCGCTGCCACGACGCCGACGTGCTCGACGAGATCCGCCGCCAGTGCGCCGCCGCCGAGGCGCGGTCGCTCGCCGTCGACCCGTCCGTCGCGGCGCGGCTCCCACGACAGCCCGGACGGCCCGCGGCGGCCGACGCGCGCTGCCCCGGCGACGGGTGTTTCTTGTAAGTGTGTTTGCCTTTATGAGTGTTCTCTCGCTCGCGGATTTTTATACATAACATGGACTTACCCAGTAAGCGCCCCTTTTGCACAAACGGTCACGCGACCATGATGTGCACGGCCATGGCCGCGAGCGAGACGGCGACGTAGGGCGACGCGCGCTCGCCGACGCGCGAGGCCCGCCAGCAGAAGCCCCGCACGCCCGTCCGCCGCCGGTGGGACTGCGGGTCCGCGAGGTCCTCGGCCGTCAGGTGGCCGTCGAAGATCGTCGGCCGCAGCGCGCGAAGGTAGGCGGTCGTGCACACGAAGAGGAGCAGCACGACGACCAACGACGAGAAGTTGAAGATCGCCGACATTTGTGTGCTGATTTAGGCAATGTCTTGTGGGGCGCGCGCGGTGCGGCGGCTGGCTCTTAGGCTGGGGCGGCTCCTAGCTGGGGCGCGCACGGTGGGGCGGCTCCTAGCGTCAGCTACAGTGACAGGGCTACACGACGTGACACGAATCACGAAATGTGACTTGCTGTACGTCTCGTATCGGCGTGCGATGTAGGCCAGTGATTGCTAGTATCTCTACGACGCTAGCAAGCTAGCATGATTATCGAGAGCGTTTTGCAATCTGAGGCCATACAGTAAGGGGGCCAGGCTTGTTTTGTGCGAGGGACGCCTAATCCTAGTTCGTCCAAAAGCCAGGCAGCCGGAGAGGAAAGCTAGAATGGCCTCCGCCGCCGTGCGAGCGCTGGCCAAGGTCCGCACGCCCCGCGTAACACTAGAACAGCTCACGGGCGAGGTCGCGGACCGGCGCCGCGCGGGCGCGTACCTGCACGGCGTGCTGCCGCCGCTCCTCGCGCGCATGGCCGTGAGCCTCGAGGACGGCGCGCCGGCGTCGCTCGCGGGCCTGCCGGCCTTCGACGAGCTCATCGCGTGGTACGGCGCCTCGGCCGCGAAGATCTCGGAGGTGAGCCCGCCGCCGGAGTGGGCGACGTGGCGGCGGAAGCCGAGCGCGACGTTCCTCGAGCGCGAAGCTAAATTTGGCGACGCGCTCGACGAGGTGCGCGAGGCGGGCCGGGCCGTGCGCGCCAAGGTCTTCGGCGCGCTCGACGACGGCGGCTGGCTGCACCGCGCGCCGGCGGCGAGCGACGAGGTCGACGCCTTCCTCTCGGACTTCTACGCGAAGCGGCTGACGCTGCGGCTGCTGCTCGGCCAGCACCGGGCCTGCCGCCTCGCGTCCGAGGGCGAGAGCGCGTACCTCTGGGGGACGTTCGGCGGCTTGGATGCGGACGGCGACGGCGTGCTCGAGCCCGACGAGCTGCTCCGCGCGCGGTCGCTCTACGACGCGCAGGCCGCGGAGCTGCGCGCGCACCCGAAGCCCTCGGTCTGCGGGTTGGTGGACCGCGAGATGTCGCCCTTCGACGTGAGCGTCCAGGCCATCGCCGACGTGCAGGAGGAAGTGTTGCGGAGCCCGCGGAACCCGGAGGGCCGGCTGCCGCGGTTCCGGCTCTTCGGCCGCGGCGAGGGCGCGACCATCCCGTTCCTGCCGCGGCACCTCTACAAGATCTTGAGGGATGTGCTGCGGAACGCGGCGCGCGCGGCGTTCGTGAAGAGCGCGGCGACGGGCGAGCCCCTCGGCGAGGTGACGGTCGTCATCGCCGACGCCGACGACAACTCGGACGTCGTGGTCAAGGTCTCGGACACGGCCGGCGGCATCCCGCGCTCCAAGCTCAACCGCATCTTCTCCTTCTCCGCCGCGTCGCGAAATTATAAGGAGGTCGCGAACGACCTCGCGGACCAGTCGCTCTGCCAGGCGCTCGGGCCGGCATCGCTCCAGGGGGGTGCACCCGACGTGCTGAGCCCGGCGTCCGACGAGGGCCACGCGCTGCCCCTCGCCAAGGTCTACGCGACGCTGTTTGGGGGGGACCTCAAGCTCCTCTCCATGGAGGGCCACGGCACGGACTGCTACGTCTACATCTCGCGCATCGAGGACAACGTCCTGCCGACTTGACGCGTTGTCCTGGTACCGTGCTCGTCTTTCGTAACAGCACTTCTTTCTGAGCAGAATCGCCTCGGTAATCCCTCTGAACATTGTTCGTCCATCGTCCCACGTCCTAGGAACGCGCCCTGCGCTGAACAAAACGGGTTTTACAGCTTCACAGAGGCGCCGGTTTCATGCGCCCGTCGCGGTAGACGGGCCAGGGTTTCGCACGTGAGAGGCTCTGGAGTCAGAGGGGACCAGCGAGATCGAAAGCCGCCGGCCGGCGGTCAGTTTTTAGACTCGGTTCAAAACAAAACGATACTGATCGTTACGATGCCGCGCCGCAAAGGGCAAAAACGCAACTCTTCGCAGACCGCGCGCCCCGTCGAGCGGCCGACTCGGCGACGGCCGGGCGGCAAAGCGCCGGCGCGGCCGCCGACGGCGGGTGGCGACTCGTCGAGCGACGATGAGGCGCCCGCGAACGACGCGCCCGTGCGCGCCCCCTTTAAGGCCCCGGACCCGACGCGGACGGTGCTCTTTGACGATGACGACGACGACGACGACGCGGCGCCACCGCCGCCGGGTTCGCCGCGCTGCGTCGTCTGCTCGACGACGCAAGACGTCTTCATCGTCGAGCGGGCGAAAGATCTGCTCCGCGCGGAGTTCTACGCCTGGTGCTGCTCGAGTTGCGCACGAAACGGTGTGGAAATCAATCAGTGTGTCGGGTCCTCGAGATTCAGCACGAACGCGCCGTAAAATTTTGATTTCATACAGGCGCGGAAATACGTCAAGCCGCGGCCCGACCCCAAGGAGCTCTGCTTCGCCACGGACGACGACGAGCCGCTCAGCCCCATGAAGCGCACGCGGCTCAGCTTCTGAGGCGCCACCGTCGGCGACCCAACGGAGCCGGCGCATACCTAACCTTAACAAAACGCCCATGTCATAAAAAACGCATACGTAATAATAAACTAGTCGAGCGACGCCGGCGCACCCGTCGGCACCGCCTGGATCGGCTCCGGGATGCGGCCCGTGAGCGCCGAGCGCCAGCAGCTCTGGACGCGGAGGTGCGCGACGGCGTCCTCGGGCGCGAGGCGCTCGAGGGCGTCGAAGTAGGCGAGCGCGTAGCCGATGCGCCCCGATTCCCCCCGTCGGAGCATGCGTTGCTCGAGGCGCTCTCGCGCAGCGTCTTCGGGCCGGAGCAGGCGGCCGCCGGGCGCCTTTCGCACGTCGGCGAGCACGCGCCGCGCCGCGGCGTTCTGCGGCTCCACGTACAGCGCCTCGACGCAGCACGCGAAGGCCGCCATCAGGTGCGCCTCGCCGGGCTGGCGCATGCACGCCACAGCGCAGAGCGCCAAAAGGTTCGCCGGCGCGCGCTGCTTCAGCGCCTCCCTGCAGTCGGCCTCCGCCTCGCGCGGCCGCTCGAGCCGCAGGAGGCAGGCCGCGCGGTTGCCGAGCGCAAGCCATTTCGCGGCGGCGTCCTCCGCGGAGCCGCCCTCGAGCTCGAGCGCGGCCGTGTAGAGGTCGTGGGCTCGGCTAAACCGTCCTTTGCGGAAGGCCGCGGTGGCCCGGCGCTCGAGCGACGTCGCTGTCGGCGCCGAGTCGTCGTCCGTCGGGACGTCTTCGACCTCTGGTGGTGGCGGCGGAGGCATTGGTGCTGATGCTGGCTCGTCGTTTGCCATGGTCTAATTTATGCACGTCAGCGAGTGCTAGTTCGAATGCTAACTGCCTGGACGCCCACGCGCTGCGCTGTGGGAGGCGCCGCGACAGCTAGCTAGCGACCCGTAAGACACTAGCAAGCCATGCTTCGAAGAAACGTCCTCACAACGACGCAACTTAGTCAGTCCTCCCCGGCCGGCAGGTCCAGCCCCCGCGCGAGGTGGCCGCCGTCGACGGGGACGATCGCGCCCGAGATCCAGGCCGCCGCGGGCGACGCGAGGAAGAGGCAGACGCCCGCCATGTCCGGCGCTCCGCCGACGCGCCCGAGCGGCACGCGGGACGCAATTCTCTCAAAATCCAACCCCCACGTCGCGAGGCCGCGCGACATGCGCGACGGCACGAAGCCGGGCGCGACGGCGTTGACCGTGAGGTCGGGCGCGAGCTCGCTCGCGAACTTGCGCGTCAGGTGGTGCAGCGCCGCCTTCGACGCGTCGTACGCGTGCGTCGGCGTCGGCTGGTGCGCCACGCCCGCGACCGAGCCGACGTTGACGACGCGCGCGGGGTCCCCGTCCTTCGCCGCGGCGCGCAGCGCCGGCAGGAGCGCGCGCGTCAGGTAGAACGGGGCCTTGACGTTCAAATCCAACACCTTGTCCCAGCCCCAGTTCGCGCGGCCCGACTCCCGTTCTATCGGTTCGCCCCAGCTCGTCCCGCTGTTGTTCACGAGGACGTCGAGCGGGTCTCCGAAATCTTTCGCGAGGGCCTCGCAGCCCTCGCGCGACGCGAGGTCCGCGACCGCTATATCTATTTCGCCGCCCGTGCTTTCGCGGATGCGCGCCGCCGTCTCCTCCAGCGCCTTCTCGTTGCGCGACGCGATCGTGACGCGCGCGCCGTTCGCCGCGAAGCCCTCGGCCACCATGGCCCCAATGCCCGAGCCGCCGCCGGTCACGAGCACGCGGCGGCCGGTGACGGAGAAGAGCTGGGCTGCGCTGAGAGCCATGCTACCCAATGTCTAGTGGCTTAGCGATGCAGTGACTAGATTCAGTTGCTGCCTAGGTGTGCTGCTCACAACCCTTGCAGATATAGCAAAACACACCCTTTTTTGGCAAGAGAGCAAGGACAGGCTAGCGGCATGTAAGACTCTAGCAAAAATGCTCTCGGGCCGGCCGTGTCGATTCTCGTCCGCCCCAGTGGTTTAGATCATGGAGACGGCCCCCAACTCTACGGAGAGCACCACCGGGCTGCCCCTTGGGCTGCCAGACGACGTATTCAACCAAGTCCTGGAGTATCTCGACGGACATGCATTGCTCCGCGCCTGTCGCGTCGAGCGCACGTGGGCGAAAAGCACCGAGGGCTGCTCGGCCGCCTGGCGCGGCGCGGCCGGGGCCGAAGACACAAACGAGTGGAACCCCGCTCGTTACCTGGTGTGGCGGGCACGGACCGCAGGCATCGTCGTCGTGGAGCTGGGTGCCACGGGGGATCGCGTCGGCCTCGCGTGGGCGCGAGCGCCGGCGCGCCTGCCAGTTCCGACGGCTATCGCGGCGGATCGAGCGAAACGATTCGAAAATCTCAAGTCCGAGACGCCGGCGGCGCGGCGCCCGCGCGAAGACGCGGCGGCCGTCGTGCGGCGAGTCGCGGACGCCGTTGCCGCGGTGGGCCTCGGATCAATCGAGGGGCTTTCGCTCTGCGTTGTGTCCCCCCATCTCGCCAGCGAATCGTCGCGCACGCGGTCCCTAAATGCTCTCCTGAGCGCGGGCGCCCGGCGGGCGCGGATCGAGGACGCGACGCTCTGCGCCGTCGCGGGCGCGGGCGTGGCGCCTCCGTGCGTTGTACTTGATGTCGGGGCGACAGAGAGTGTCGCCGTGCCCGTGGACCGCGATGGTCGGGTGCCAGATGCCGTTCGCGAGGGCGCGCACAACATCCACTCACACGCATACACGCGGCTGCGCCACGTCGGCTTCGACGGCGTGGCCGCGGCGCTCGCGCGAAGTGCTGGCATAGAAGACCTAAACAAGGCCGAAGAAGCCGTTCGCGCGCTCGCATACTGCCGTCATGTAAGCCCCGCTCGCGTACTGCCGAGCGCCGAAGAACTAGAGTTTTGCGCGACGGCGGACGGTCTATCGAGCGCTCGCTTCGAGTGCGTCGAGGCGCTCTTCGCCGAGCCAACGGGGGTCGTCAAGCTCGTGCGCGCGGCGGCTGCCCGCGCCAGCGATGCCTCGGCGATTGTTCTCGCCGGCGGCGGCACGGCCGTGAGAGGCTTCGGCCGCCGCATCCGGCGCGAGTTGTCCGGGGGGAAGGAGGTCGTTCCCGCGGACAACGACGCCCGACGGGACCTCGTCTGGCGCGGCGCCGCCCGGCTGGCGCGCGGCGACGGCTGGGCCGACGACGGGCGGCGGACGTCGCTCGACGCGCTCCTCGCGGCCAAGCGGCGGTCGCAGGCCTAGCAAAGGGAACTGCAAGGCTGCATTTCGGCGCGAGATAGCCCCAGACTAGTGAGCTGTTAATAATTAAGAGGCGTCCTCGCGCGCCTGCCAGGCGAGGACGTCGGCGTACGGGATGTCGCCGCCGAACACGTCGAGCGCCGAGCCGATCGTCAGGTCGACGCGGCCCCGGCCGAGGGCCTTGACGCGGTCGAGGTCGGCCAGCGCCGCCGCGCCGCCGGCGTACGTCACGGGCACGGGCGAGCAGTCGCCCAGGAGCGTCACGAGCGCGTCGTCGATGCCGACGCGCGTGCCCTCGACGTCGACGCCGTGGACGAGGAACTCGGCGCAGTAGCTCCCCAGGTCCTCGAGCGTCGCCCGGTCCACCTTAAGGTCCGTGAACGTCTGCCACCGGTCCGTGACGACGAAGTAGTCGCCGTCGCGCTTCCGGCAGCTCAGGTCGAGGACGACGCGCTCGCGGCCCGCGACGGCCACGAGCTCGTCGAGCCGACTCCGCGACAGCGCCGGCCCGTCGAAGAGCCACGACGTCACGATGACGTGCGACGCGCCCCGCTCGAGCCACTCGGCCGCGGTCGCCGCCGTCACGCCGCCGCCGACCTGTAGGCCGCCCGGGTAGGCCGCGAGCGCCGCGCGCGCGGCCTCCTCGTTGCCCGGGCCGAGCTTGATCACGTGGCCGCCCGTCAGCCCGTCGCGGCGGTACATCTCCGCGTAGTGCTGCGCGCTCAGGTCGCTCACGAAGTTCTCGGCGGGTGCGCTGCCCTCGTCGTCTCGCAGCGTCCCACCAACAATCTGCTTGACCTTGCCGTGGTGCAGGTCGATGCAGGGGCGGAACTTCATCTCTATGCTGTGCAGAGTTGTATGGGCTCGAGCCCGCGCTGAATTAGAAAGAATGCACTCGCTAGGCGAGCTGTGCAGGCGTCAGGCCGTGCGTGCACGCCGCTTGCGTGATTTATAAAAACTTGCTAGCGTCCAGTAAGACACTAGGAAGCGCCGCGACCGCAGTTTTTGCACTGTAAGCCTGGCACGCATCACTTTTCGACCGGGAAAGGTCTACTTTTATCTCCACAATTGGCCAGAGGCCAAAAATCCACGTCGTCTAGCGCTAAGCCATGCACCGCCGGCAGCCGCTCCCCGCGTACAGCGGCGCGACGACGCTGCGGCACGACGACGACAAGCACGCCAAGCACCTGCACGCGCGCACGCGGAAGCTCTGGTTCGCGGCGGCGGTCGTAGGGATTGTGGTATTGGTTATGGGCGCCCGCGCGCTGCTGCTGCCGTCGCTGGTCGAGGTCGAGGTCACCCGCTCGCACGAGGCCACGCGCGGGACCGGCACGACAGGCGCTGCTGACAAAAAAACGGCGGGACCGCAGTACGTGCACCCGCTCGACGACCGGAGCGCAACGCGGCGCGCCGTGGAAGCGAGCGCGGCGGCGCTGCGCCGGGAGCTCTCGCGGGCCTACGGCCAAGCCCAAAAGCGCGTCCGGGCGCGCAAGAACCGCGCCGCGCCGCCGCCGCCGCCGGCCGAGGAGCCGCGGCCCGCGCGCGCCGTCGCCGCGGCCGCGGCGCGCGGCGCCGTCGACGGCCTCGCCGCCGGCGGCGAAGTGATCGATGGGACGACGCGGCGCCGGGCCATGGACGTGCTCGTGGCGCGCGTCGACGCGACGCGCGACGAGGCGGCGCGCCAGGCGGCCATCGACGCGGGCGGCGCCGCCCGCGACGCCTACCGGGCGAACGATTTCTGCGACGCCGTGCCCGCACCTAAAACGCCGCACACGCTCCGCGTCGCGTCGCTGAACCTCTGGCAGCCCGCGGCCGACACGTGGCCGCGGCGGCGCGCGGCGCTCGCGCGGCTGCTCCGGGACGCGGACGTCGACGTCGTCGCGCTGCAGGAGGCGCGCGGCGAGCCGCGCTGGGTCGACGAGCTGCGCGAGGCCTGCGCCGCCGAAGGTTTGGAGTTCCCCCACTCGCGCTACGTGCCGGGCACGGGCGGCGGCGCGGGCGGCGCGGCGCCACCGGGCTGGGCCGAGGAGGGCGTCGGCGTACTTTCGAAATTTCCGCTGCCGCGCGACGACGACGCGCTCGCGCCGATGCCGCCGGCGGCGCGGTCGTCGGACCGCAACCCGCGCACGGCGCTCGGCGTGCTCGCCGAGACGCCCTTCGGCAACTTGCGCGTCGTCGCCGCGCACCTGTCCTACGACCGGCGCCAGCAGTGCGACAGCGTCTCGACGATATTGCGGCCGTGGCTCGACGCGCTCTGGGGCCGCGAGGAGGCCCTGGGCCAGGTGTTGGTGGGGGACCTCAACACGTACCCCGACTACGAGTGGCCCCTGGACGCGCTGACCCTGGAACCGGAGATCTTGAGGCTGGTCGGGGGGCCGTGCGCGGCCGACGCGCCGCTCGTCCTCGAGGGCCCGCCCTTCGTCGACGCCTGGGCCCGGACGCGGCCCCTCGATTCTGGTGCTACTTTTCCGAATCCGGAGACGATGAATTTGGACGCGGCGCGGCCCGACCGCGTCCTCGCGCGGGGCCTGGGATTGCGACCGCGGGCCGCCGCCGTGCTGGGCTGCGATCTGGTCGAAGGTGCCAAGGGCCACGCGCCGTCGGACCACCGGCTGCTGGTCGTGGATTTGGAGGTCGTTGCGCCCTAATGTTGTGTTACAAACTTGAAAATTTACCCATCACCTCGCATGCGGCTTCGCGCAAAGCCATACCTCAGGAGCGTCCTCCTTTCGTCGCCCGCGGAACGATTTTGCCGCCGCGGCGGGAGGCGCCCGCCGACGAAGCGCTCCGGCGCGAAGACGACGTACGCGTCGAGCATCGCCCGCGCGAAGAAGCTGTGGCCCACCTCGTCAAAAGCTAGGCTCGCATCTCGCCCTCGAAACTCCGTCAGGAGCTCGCCGCCGCCAGGATGTTGGTCCAGGAAGGCCGTCACGTCCAGAGCGCGGCCGTCCACCACGAGCACGCAGGCGTCTGCCGCTGCGCTCGCAGCCACGCGGTCCGGCATCGCCCGCGCGTCGGCGAAAAACAGGCGCGCCGGCGGCGTCTTGGCGTCGTCAGGCCGCCGCGTGAGCGAAACGCCCGCGGCTCGCGCGAGTCGCCGCCGCAGCGCGTCCCACGGCTCGTTCGCCTCGAGGCAGACCGCCGCGTGCGCGCGGCAAGCCTCGCCGCATCTCATGAGCTCTCGCGCAGTCAAGAATGACGCAGCGTGCCATGCCAAGTCCTGTGGGAGCCTCTCGAGATGCGGGAAGCCGTCGGTGGGCGTCACACGCCAGCCGCTGAGCGCGGTCGCCATGCGCTGCAGCGACGCGAGTCCGAGGGCAGTGCGAGCGCTCCCCTTTTGTCCCTTTGACGACGGCTGAGAGGTTCCAGAAGACGCCAAGCGGGCGAAACCGGGTAGGAGGATCATAGCTGGCGTGTCAGCTTAGTGGCCCGAAACGGCGTCACTTGCTGGAAAGGCTACGGGAAGGCATCGATCATGATTCAGGAACGACAGTGCATAATTGCTGGTCTTCCTTGTTGGGTGTAGACCGCGTCCAGGGCTAGCACGCGCGAGGTGGCAAGTTATCTAGCGTGGATGTAACATACTAGAAAGCTGCCGCACTTTGACAGCTCCAGGAGCAGCGTATAACTAGCGTTTCTTGCAGGCGAGTTAATTTACCTGCCTTACACAGTGCTAGAGCGCAGCTGCCGCGAGCGCCACACAGCAATGCGCCTCCTCCCTCTCTACGCACTGGCCGCCTGCGCGCTGGCCGCGCCGCGCGGCCGCGGCGGCACCCCAACCAAACCCTCGGCGTCCGAGCGCCAGCGGCGCCTCTACGACCGCGGCTGCCTGTTCAGCCCGGAGGGCCGCGTCTACCAGGTGGAGTACGCCGAGAAGAACGTGGCGCGGGGCAGTTTTGCAGTAGGAGCCGTGGCGCCCGACGGCGTCGCGCTCGCCGCCGTGCGGTCGGCGCACGCGCGGTCCGTGCCCGGCGCGTTTCTGGAAAGGCGGTGGCGCGAGCGCGTGCACCGCGTCGACGACACGATCGCGTGCGTCGCCTGCGGCCTCGTGCCGGACGCGCTGCAGCTCCTCGCGGCCCTGCGCGACTTCTGCCGGAGGCACCGCAGCACTTGGGGCGAGGCGCCGCCCGTCGAGGCGTGCGCGCGGCACCTCGGCCGGCTCGCGCGCGCGGCGACGGCGCGCGCGGCGGGGCGGCCCTACGGCGCGGCGTTCCTCATCGGCGGCTTCGACGAGGGCTCGAGCGAGCCGCGGCTCTTCAGGACGGAGCCGTCGGGTGCCTACGAGGCCTACGGCGTGGGCGGCGTCGCGACGGCGGGCGCCGCGCCCGACGGGTCGACCATCGCGGACCTGGAGCGCGCCGCCGCGGCCTGCGCAGACGTTTCTGACGGCGCCGACGCGGCCTACGCGGCGGCCGTCGCGGCCGCGGAGGCGTCGCCGCCGACGGACCGGAGCGACGCCGTCGCGACGGACGTCGAGCTCGCCGTGCTGCGGCCCTCGGGCTGCGTGATCTGCGACGCGGACGAGCTCGCCGAGCGCTTCGAGAGGCGCACACCAGCGACGGAGTCATGAGTAAAAATCACAACATCACAAATTAAAAAACCGCCTCACGAGGGACTACCGTCGAGCCGCGCCTTGGCGGCCGCGGCCGCGGCGGCCGCGCGCGCGGCATCGTCGTCCGGCCGCTCGTCAACTTTGCACCGCGCGGGCCGGCCGCCGATCTCGAGGCCCTCCAGCGCGGCCAGCGCCTTTTCCGCGGCCTCGGCGTTCTTGAAGCGCACGAGCCCGTAGCCGCGCGACTGGCCCGACGCGTCGACGGCGAGCGCCGCGCGCCGCGCCCCCACGCCCGCGTCCTCGAAGACGCGCGCGAACTCCTCTTGCGTCGTCGCGAAGGGTACATTTCCCACGAAGATGCGCGCCGACGGCGCCACCGCGGACGGCCGTGGAAGGCCGAGGGCCGCGCGCTGCCGGTCGCCCTCGCTCTGGTCCGGCCGGACCACGAGCCGCCGGCCCTCGAGGACGGCGCCGTGGAACTCGGCGATGGCCCGCTGCGCCGCCTCCTCGGACTGGAACGTCGCCAGCGCGAAGCCCTTGGACTGGCCCCGGCCGTTGCGCTTGACCTCGCAGGCGACGACGGAGCCGATGCCCCCGAGCCGCGCGAAGAGCGCCTCGGACGTGATCGTCCAGCTCAGGTTGCCGACGAACAACGTAGGCTTGTTGCTCGCGTGCTCGTCCAGCGCGTAGACCGGCGGCGCGCTCCAATCGTCGAAGCTCCGCTTCTCTCGTCCAAATTTGGATGCGCTGATCGGTGCGTCCGTGGCAAAGGCGGCGCTGAACTGGTTGAACGCGAAGTGCGACGCCTGGGCGTCCTTGTCCGTCTTTGTCGGCGGCGTGTCGTCCCAGCCGGCCATGGCTGCTTGGCAGCCCTCTGTCGTGCGCAGCCTTTCGCAGCGAACGCGAGCTGGCAGCAAACAGGCACTGCCAGCAGCTTGGCTCCACAGGTGGTGCGGGGTCTTGGCGATCTCGTGAGCAGTTATCACGCAGTGAAAGGTCCAGAATCCTTCAAAACGTGTCGAATTTAGCCGAAGTGCGCTGCTATTGCCCCAATTTAGCGCATCAAACGCTCGCAAAAACCCGTGCACATGGGATCACAGCCACGCATGAGTCCAAACAAGAGTCCGTTCTCGAGCCAGTTAGAGGCGGTGCCGGCCTCCGACCTCGCCTGTGTTGTGTGGGCGCGCCTAGCTGAGCGCGCTGTGAGTGGCGCTGTGGCTCCCACGCGCACGGCGCACCCACGCCTGCGCTGGGCGGCCACGAAAGGCACGACGGAGACCACCCGCAGCAGCAGCACAGAGGCGGCAGCCGCTCCCGCATCAGCAGTACCTGATACTCTCCCAGAGGAGACCACAGGGGCAGCCACACAAGCCGGCGCGACTGCCGACGACGCGACTGCCGCACCGCGCTCGCTCTTCGACTTTCTCGGCTACGACGAGCTCCGCGAGGTCGTGGATTGGCTCGCCGGCGAGGACCTGCTGCTCTTGCGAGATAGCGGTGTCGTCGGCTCGCCGCACAGCGGCCTCATCAAGAAGTGGACGAGTCGCTGGACGCGCAACGCGGCGCTGCAGAGCGCCTTCGCGTTTCTGGAGCCCGGCGACCTGGGAACGGTCGTCGCGGCATTCTTCGTGTCGGACGTGGCCCTCGCGTCTGCCGCGCACAGCGCGTCGACGGCCGCGCTGCGGGCCGGTGGTCGACGGAGAGTGCCGCTCGCGGCGACTGATATCATCACGGCCGTCTAGATGGGCGCCGCGGCCTCGACCCAAGCGGAGCACGACGAGCTGCGCGCGGTCTTCGAACGGTTCAAGACGTCACCTGGTAACGGCGATGACCTTGACGCCGCCGCGTTCGCGCAGCTGGTCCGCGAGGCGGCGCCGACTGTGCACTCGAAGATGACTGCCGCAGGCGGAGGCGACGCGTCCCCGGCGCTCGCCGCGTTCCGCACGCAACTCGTCGGCGCGCGCAATAAGCTCGCGGCCCAAGCGGCGCCGCGCGACGACGCCGCCGTCAAGGCCCGGGCGGCGGCCATCCGGCAGCATGACTGGGCCGCGGACGTTCCGACGAACTTACAGAAAGGCTTAATCGCCGGCATGCTCAGATCGCAGGCGCTACGCCTCGTGCCGTTGGAGATCAACTCTGTCCGAGTCTTGGCCCTCCTGGATACGGGCGCGGAGCGCAGCGCGCTGGGCGTCGAAGCTACGGACCGCTGCGGCCTTGGGGAGCTCGTCGACGACTCGTTTACGCGGCGCGTCGGCGGCTTCGGCGGGGCCACGGACGGCTGCGGCCGCGTGCACTACTGCGAGATGATCGTGGGCGGTGTGCCGTTTCGGGCGGCGTTCGACGTCCTGCGGTTCCCGGCCAACGTCGAGTTCGAGGCGATTATCGGCCTCGACTTTCTCGTGCGCGGGCGCGCGAGCATCGCAATCGCCGAAGGCACCCTCACCTTACATAACCACGACGGTACGCCGGCGAGCGTCGAGCTCCTGTTTCCGCGCGAGAACGATGCGCTCGAAGCGGGTCGCGAGGCCGCGGCCGTCGCATCTGTGAAGGGAGGCGGCGGCGCCTCCTAGGTACATGTTTTAAATTATGAGTGGCTACTCGACGAGTCTCTCTGATCGAAAGAATTAGTAGATGCAGCCCAGCGCGCCCATCGTCAACACGTGCCAGACGGCGTGGCCCTGGAGCCAATAGAACGGCGAGTCGCGGCGGAAGCACCACGTTCCGTTCAAGTCGTTCTTCCAGGCCAGCCAACCCCCGAAGAACAAGACCAAGGCGAGGGCGTAGAGCCAAAGTTTGAGCACGTGGATCTGTCGTCGTTGTCTTCGCCGCGGCGGAGGCGCGGCGCCGCCGACGACGAGCTCCTCGCGCGAGGGAGCTCGACGAATTTGGGCAGGCTCTACGCGTTGCTGCTCGACCTTTGCCTTCCGATTCCGGCAGAAGTACAAGTAGGCGACGCAGGCGGGGATCAGCACGATCGTGAGGAGTACGACCACGAAGAACGTCTGTCTGGCGCGGGCGGCGTCTTTGACTTGTAGTCGTCGCGATGGACGCGAGGCTCGTAAATCCAATAGAGGCGCGTCCGTAGTAACTCAAAGAGCAAGAGCAGGAAGAGGAAAAGCGCGCAGGCGCCGGCCACCGCATAGCTAATTTGATGACCATCGATAAAATTGAGCGTAGAATTCATGCTGCCAACTGAAACACCATAGGTCCCCCTGTTGCTTAGGGCAAGTAGTTTGGGAATAAATGCAACGCAGGCAGGACCGGTGCGACCGCTAGAAGTCGTCACTGAGGATGATAGTACTTGCAGTGCAATTCAGAGGTGAGGGGCCACGAGCTTGTAATGTCGCGCTCCCCTGCAATCACCGGTCGTGCGGCGCGATCTAGAGTCACGCGATATGCGCGCCGAGCCTACGCGTGCACGCTCAGCACAAAATTTGCAAAATTAGCTGTAAAACCCGTTTTAATGGACTGCGGAGTCAGTCGCGACAGCTACTTAAGTAGGGGGACAACAAAAAACACTACTCCTCAGGAGGCCGTCGGCAAAGCAGCGTCCCCGCCAGCAACACGGCAGCCACGGCCTGCGCACACGCGCAGACGGCGAACCCGTTCCGGCGCGTCGCGGCCTGCGTCACGACGGCGCCGAGGACCTGGATCCACCACTCCACGATACCTCCCGCCATGACCGTCGAGTCCGGGCCCGCGCTCGCTGCTGCTTCGGCCAGCGCGGGCCCAACAAAACCGATCGTCGCCGCGCCCGCCACAGCCGCGCCGCCGAAGGCGTCGAGGGGCCGGCACGGCGGCCGCGCCGTCGCAACGTGAAGAGCGGCCAGCGCGACGGCGCCGAGAGCGAGCAGCGCGACGAGCAGCGGCCGCCGGCGTTTCTCGCACGGGCACCGACCGAGTAACGCGCCGCAGGCCACGCCCGCCAAGATGAAAACCACACCGACGCGCGCCGCGCGCCGCGGCGCCGCGCCGCAGACGTCCCCAAGAATGTCGTCCACGACGGCGGGCACGGCGAAGCCGACGCCCGCCGCGACCGCGTACGCGGCGCACGCCACGCACCAGCGCGGTCGCCGCGCCAGGTCCGTAAGTGTCTTCCCGAGCGTTGCCCGCGCGACCGGCGGCCCCTCGAGCAACGGCTCCCGCGTCGCCGCGCTCCCGGGCAGGAGGAGCTGCGCGACCGGCACCATCACGACGCACGCAAGCGCCTGGAGGAACATGAATCGCCCGAACGAATGGCCGTCGACGACGACCGCCGGCGTCGCCGCGGCCCCGAGGGCCCACCCAGCATAATTGCCCTGCACGAGCCAGGCGACGCCGGCCGCGCGCTCCTGTGGAGGCAGCCACAACAACGGCACGGCGGCGTAAGACGCGACGACGAGCGACGTGCCCGCGCCCAGCGCCAGCGACGAGGCGACGGCGGCGGCGTAGCTCGCCCGGGCGACGGCGGCGAGCCGCAGCAGCGCCGCGACGGCGTTCAACCCATGTATGGCGAGAATGGCGCCGCGCTGCGTGTCCGCGTTGGACATGCGCGTCGCCCCGGCGAAGAAGCAGGGCAGCGTGGCGAGCAGCGCCGCCGAGTAGAGCCACGAGACCTGGCCTTCCGTTGCGCGGAAGCGCCTCCGGCTGAGCTCGACGATAGGCGAAAAGTTCATGAACATGAAGGCATTTATGATTGACGCGAGCGTCGCGCAGGCGAGGACACGGTGGCGGCCGCGTTTTGTTGGTGGTGCTGCGGCGTCCTCTGTTGGCTCCAGGGCTGCGGCGTCCTCCTCCTCTGATGTGTTCAATGCTGGACTCGGTGCCTCACGCATGGCTGCTTGAGTCTTTCGAGCTATGCGCCCGGGCCTGCCGCCTTTGCGTTATTAGCTAGCGCGCAGATAGGTACTAGCCTTACTTATACCTGCGCGCAGGTTCTCTCCGGGAGCCCTATCTGGGCAAGGCAAGCCCTTGCGGCTCTGGCGGACTTTTCTGACCTTTCGGAAAGGTCATGGAGGCAACGCACGGATCAGACCACGCCGCGATCGGAAAACAAGAAGTTTACATCACACCTCGGCGCTGCTGCGCTCGCCGCCGCCGCCCGGCGCGGCCGAAGAGCCCTCGCCGCCCGACGGAGGCGTGCGTGGCGAACCCCCGCTGGCCGTCGAGGAGCTCCGGCGGAAGAAGTCGCCGAGCTGCGTCCGCGCGCCCTTGACCTGGTCCGAGGCGGCGATCTCCTGGACGGCCGACGTTGCCTTTTCGGTGATCACCGAGAGCCGATCCCGCCACAGCGAGGCGACGCGGCCCGCGGCGCTCGGGCTCCCGGACGGCGGCGGCGGCGGCGGCGAAGCCGCGGGCGTCGGCTGGGCGAAGGCCGCGGCGGCCGCGGCGCCGTCCGGGGCGAGGTCGGGCCCGACGCCTGCTGCCGCCGCCGCGCCGGCGTCGCCGCCGCGGAAGGCCCCGGCCGTGCGCGGGAAGCGCTCTTGGAGGCCTGCACCAACATTGGTCAATTGAGCCGCGACGTTCGTCAGGGCCTTCTGGCCGCTGGCCAGCGCGTCGTCGACGGTCAGGTCCTTGGTCGCCTCGCGCACGTGCAAGCGCGCAAACCCAATACGGTCCGCGAGCGACGGGTCGAAGGACCGCGCGAGCGTCGGCGCGTCGGCCACGGCCAGCCAGTCGGCGAGCGCCGGGTTCCGTTGGGCTAAAAAGCGCACCGCCGGCGCCGTGTCCAGGAACGCCGCCACGAAGGGCCCGCCGTGGCGCCGCGCGAGGTCGCCGGCAAATTCCCTATCCGCCACCACATCCCCCTCCTCGGGCCCCGGCACCAGTGGACAGGCAGCGAGGCGATCCAACACATCCCGCAAATGCGCCCGCAGCGCGTGCTTCGCCCACTGGTCGTCATCCCTAAAACCCTCGCCGTCGCCCCGTTGAAAGACCTTCGCGGCCCTTTCATCCAACTCCGCGGCCAGCGCCTCCTCGACGGGCGTCAATCTACAGACGGCGCCCGCCGCGTACTGCGAGGGCCCGAAGGCCCGCACCCGCGACGCCTTGGGCGCGTCCGCTTCCAGTCGCGCGACGACGCACGGCGCGAGGCGCGGCCCGAGGCCCGCTTCCGCTAAATGAGCGTTCGCCGTGCCCGCGACGACCTGGAACTCGTCGCCTTCGGAAACCACGCGGTCCAGATCCATCAACGCCACCGCGGGCTCGATTCTCATTTGCGTGGAGAGCTCCCTTCCAAAGACCGCGACACTATCTACACTCTCATTGTCTTCGTCGAACGCATACAACACGTCCGCGAAAGCTAGAGCCGCGTCCGGCGCGGCGCAGACCGACTTCGCGTGCACAAAAGTTAGGGCGTGGCCTAAAGCAAGGGCCTTCACGCACCGCAGCGCCCCGGCGAAGCCTAAACGAGCACAAGCATCGAACAAGTGCGTCGCCGGCTCACCTGCCTTCATCTCCCTTACTGACGAATGGAAGTCGCGCAACAAACCGCGATCATCAAGGTCGCCGCCGGCGAACAGCGCCGCGGCGCAGGCCTCGATCCTCGACCCGAGCCGCGCCGACCAGGCCACGTCTCTCGAAGTATGTAAAACGCAGACGGCCTTCTGGACGCGCGACCGCGTCGCCTGGGCTTTTGCTCTGCCTGTTAATTCGTCGGGCGCGGCCTGCATGACGCAGGAGCAGCCGTAGAGCCGCGTCTTGTCTTCTCGAACTACTGCGAACCTACACACCTCGCCCTTGCCCGCAGCAACATGATGAGCACCATCGGGCAGCGCCGCGAACGGCAGGCTCTCGCTCCACGCGGCCTCGGCGCCGGGGAAGGCCCATTCCAGCACGTTGCCGCGCGCGTGGTCGAAGCCCACGACGGCCACGAAGCAGGTCGTGTTCGCCGGCGGCGGCGGCGGCGGCGTGGCAGGCTTCGTTGGCGGCGGCGGCGCCGCCTTCTCGGCCTCTAGCGCCGCGAGCTGCCGCGCCCACTCGGCCTCGCCCGCCGCGGCCGAGTCCTCGGCCGGTGCCGGCGGCGCCGCGTCGGCGAGCGACGCCTGGATGGCGCGCGCGAGCGCCTCGTCGCCCTCCGTCGCGGTCGCCAGCTTACGGGCGAGCGCGGCATCGGCCTCGACCTGGCTCTCCGGCGCGGCCGGCGCCGCGGGCGCGGGCGGCTCCGGCGCTGCGGGCGCTGGACCCGGCGCTGGCGCCGGCTCCGCATAGTCGAGTTCTTCTTCGTCGTCCTCGGCGCTCAGCAGCCTCTTCAGTCGTTCGGCCTCCTCCGCTGACATGCCCTCTTCAGCCATGGGTTCGCTGGGCTTCAAAGGTCGAACGTTTCGCAGGTTTTGCTAGAGCCAAGGCGTCAAACTATTTAAAATCAGCCAAAGACCAAGCCGTCGCAAAGTGCTGCTAGCGTCCTGTAACGCACTAGCAAGCAAATTTCAGATTTTTTTGAGTGTAAAAGCTGCCCGCAAACCGCCTCAGGCACATACGCACGAAGGGGGTTGTCGCAAAATAGTCTCCATTTCCAGGCCATGCTGCCCCAACCACACACGTGCACGAGACTGTGAGCCATGGCAGACCTCTACGCGGACGCCGTCGACGCAGCCGATGTGGAGCCAGAATTGGAAGCAACGACAGATTTTCCGGACGCACCGCTGCCGCTCATCGAAGTAGTCGACGAAGAAGGAGAGCGGAAGCTGCGGCTCGTGCCCGAGACCGCGGACGTGATCGCGGCGATCGACGCGGAGCTCTGCGTCGTGGCCATGTGCGGTCCGCACCGGTCCGGCAAGTCGTCGCTGCTGAACTGGCTGCGGGACCCGGCGGGTAGTCGAGGCTTCACCGTAGGCCACGGCACGTCGCGGCAGACGAAGGGACTAGACGTCTGGGGCCGGCCCGCCGACATCGAGACGGAAAGCGGCGCGCCGGCGGCCCTGCTGCTCATCGACGTCGAGGGGCTGGGTGGCTTGGGTGTAGACGCCAACTACGACCAGACATTGTTCGCCCTGGCCGCACTACTAGCGTCATCTTTGGTCTACAACTCGCCGGGCTCTCTCGACGAAGGAGCCATTGCAAGTCTCGGACTCGTGTCGCGCCTCGCGCGGAAGATCGAGGCGGACGAGGCAGGCGGCAACTCCGACCATCTGCCCGACCTCTGGTGGGTGCTTAGGGACTTCGCGCTGGAACTCGTCAACGCGGACGGCTACGAAATCGACAGCGACGAGTACCTCGAGAGTAGCCTTCGTCGTACGAATAGACGCGAGAGCGACGAGTATCGCGCCGCGATCGCGCTCGCCTTCGAGCGGCGGAGGTGCGCGACGCTGCCGCGCCCCTACGAGGCCGAATCGGATCTCCGCGCCGACACGAACAAACCTCCGCGACCGGCCTTTGCGGCTGCTTTGGCGGACTTCCGGCGACGACTGTTGAGTGAAAGGCCGCGGCCGAAGAGAGTCAGGGGCGCTGCTCTACGCGGCAAGACCTTTGTGGCACTCGCAGCGACATATGTCGACGCATTTAATGCGGGAGCGACGCCCGTGGTCAGTTCGGCTTGGATGGCCGTCGTCAAGGCCGAGTGCGACGCAGCCGTGGACGCGGGCGTCGCCGCCCACGCAGCGGCGTTACTCGCCGTACCGGACGACGCCCCTGAAGCTGCCTTCGCGGCCGCGCGTCTGGAGGGGTGCCGAGCCTGCGACGGGATCGTGGCGGCGGCGTCGAACGACGCGGTGCTGCGCTCGAGCGTTGGCGACCGGCCGCTGCTAGACGCGCGGCGCCGCTGCGACCACGACTTCGCCGAAAACTTGAGGCGGCGGCGCGATCGGTGCCGGACGGCCCTCTCACGCGCCACCGCGGCGGTCGAAAAGAAGCTAGCCCCTCGCCTGCGCGCGACGCGCGGAGAGGCGCACACAACGTGTACGCCATTCGACGACGCCACGGACGCCGAACAGGCGGCCGCGGACGCCGTCTCTGCGACGGCGGCGCTCCAGACAGCGTGCGGTCCGGGAGATGCCGGGTTCTTGGCGACGGCTGCGGTTCGCTGGGCCGCGGAAAACTGTAGGGCGCTGATGGAGCGGCACGATCGGACACGAGATGCCGAAGCGCAGAGGGCCGGCGAAGAGATCGCCTCGTTGCGGGAACGCGTCGCGTTTTTGGAGGGCGAGCAGATAGCCATGCGAGACGCGGCCGAGGAAGGTCGGAAGGCCGTCGCATCGGCCCAGACGGACGTTCAGCGCCTAACCTCGCGATGCAGCGCTCTCGAGGCCGACGTGAGTCGAAGCCGCGCGGCCTACGCAAACTTGGCCAAGGACGCTGCCTCGACGAAAGAGGCGCTCGCGGACGCCAACGCGATGCTCGAGTCCGAAGGCAAGTGGTGAGATCCCCGCGTCCAGATCTATCTTTCCGCCCCGGATGACCAATTGTCGCGCGCAGGCAAGCGCAGCTCCAGGACCGTCTCGACGCGACCATCGAGGAACACCTCGAAGCGAAACGGCACTTGGTTGCTCGCGCGACGCGGGCCGAGGAGGCGGTAAGTTCGTACTCGAAGGCGCGGCGGCGCTACACGATCCTGGACCTCCTGCTCGAGTCCACGGAGGACGCCGCGGCGCGATTAGACGCGAACGCGAAGGAGCTCGAACGTTTTTTAGTAGATCTCGACGTGCCAGTTGGCGCCTTGCGAATCCTGCGCGACCTCGGGGCGCAGTCGGTGAGTGACCTGGCTTTCGTCGAAGCGTCCGACTTCGACGCCGCAGTCGATCTGACGGACGTCCAGAAGCGCCGCCTCATCGACGCCATCGACGAGACGAAGCGACGGCTCGAGAAGCGGCGCGCGAGCACCAACGCGTGTACGATTAGCTAGTAGTAACTTGAATGTTGTATCTTCAGTCTTACGAGCAACCAGCCCCCTAGTGCTTCTTCCGGCCGCCCAGAACGGGCGACGTTGCTACCGTTTTCTTGGTCTTGATGCGCGCGCGCTTGACGACTGCCGCGACGAACTTGTCGTCTTCGATGCCCTTCTGCGCCGCAATCAAATGGAGCAACTTCAGGAATTTTTTGAACCCTACGTGTTTCGCTTTTCCGGCGCCCTTGGTCCAGACCTGTGTGGAAATCAAATTTCGCGACGTTGTCGCCGCGACTGCGTCGGCTCGATAATTGTCCGCACGGGCGCCGGACCATGTCGATCATCGGCACGGGAAAGGTCTTCTTCGAAATGACGCCCTTGGTATCCCTACAGAACTTGGCGAAGATCGTGTTCGTCATGTGTTCGAGTCTATAGAGCCCGCAGAACCGCTCGAAGACCTCCTCGATACTGGAACAGGACTGCTCCTCGTCCTGTTTGGCCACCGCGACCGGGTCCGGCTTCGCGGCCTCGTGCTGGACGATCAATTGCTGCGCGCGCGTCGCTGCTCTTGCTGTCATGCACCGCGCCAGCGTGCGCGGGCTCGCGTCGTCGCCCTCGTCCTTGGCAATCTCGGGCCCGAAGTGCTCCTCGAAGGGGCTCATCGGTCGTTTCTTAAGCACCGGGCTCCCGAACTTGTCCCTTTCCACGCCCGCGAAGCCGTCCTCAAACCTAACGGTAGGTGATTTAGCCGTATAGGCCTTGGCCTCGCGTCGTCTCGTATCATTTAATCTTTCAGCCTCCTTCATCGGCAGGTGCGGCGGCATCTTGCCGATCGCCCTCGGGCTCTCGAGGCCCTTGGCCCCCTCCAGTCGTTCCAACAGCAGCATCTTCTCCATGTGTCTCAGCTTCACAGCGTGCTGGTCCAACGCCGCGAGCTGCGCCGCGAGGTCGACGCGCGTCGCGTACAGCAGGTCGTCGGCGTTGGAATTTTTCTTCTGATCTAAATCATCGAGGTCCTGCTTCGTTCCCCTTAACTGCTGGCCCTTGGCCTCGACCCTCACACAGGCCGCTCTTATTGTTCTTAACCGGTCCAGAAAGTTGTCGACCGGCGCGACGTCTTTCGTGGTGGGCAGCGCCTCGAGACGTGACAATAAGTCGGGCCCGTCCCTTACGCCCTGATCTTTCAAAGCTTCGGCCAGCGCGCCCGGTTCCAAGGCGCCCAGTACCTTCGCCGCGGCCTGGGCCGTCGGCGCCTCGTCGAGGGCGCGCTCCACCTCCATGGACTGGCCGGCGCCCATGTTGTTCGTGGGGCAGCCCCGCTTGGAATCTAAGAAACTCGGTCGCCTTTGCGTGCTCCGCTTGAGACGAGGGCGTGTGAGTGCCGCCAAATTCACGTCGCAGCGCCGCCCTGCACAGCGCGCCGGGGAGTAGGGGGTAAACGTGGCGCCGGCGTTCTGCGCCGCCCGAGATCTCCCCGAGGCCCTTGGCGGGGGACCAAGCCCTGGGACACGCCTGTGCTACGGCTTCTAGCCTTTCCCCCGCGGACTGCTGCGCGCCAGCGACGTGGTCACGTGGAAGAAGAACACTTGAGGCCCCCACGCCGTCGCGCAGACGCATCGATGGCGCCGAGGTGAACGGACCACTGGACGCCATCGACGCGACGCGATGAAAGTGCGTGTTGGGTCGCGGCGAGGCGTGATGGTCAGTCCTAGCACGCTTCCGAGTCTTACGCAGGACTAGCCGTCCAGATCGGCCAGCAGCCGCGTCAGCAGGTCGTGGCGCGCCTGCTCCGTCGGGTCCGCGTCGAACCAGAGCTGGTCGTCCTCGTCGTCTTCTTGCCAACTAGGATGCTGCTGCCTACAGCTAGGCTTCGGCTGCGGCAGGCTCACGAAGGGCCGCCCCTCCGGCGCGCCCGTCAGCCCATATAACGGCCTTTCGAACTCGATGCCGTCCGCGCGATCGCTCTCGTTGAGCTCGTGGCCTTGATAGGCGTATAGGTCGCGGTACAGGTCTCTTGATAGATGCGCCGACGATATCACAGTAGATCTTTTGCGATGTTCCAGCGGGAAGCGGCACAAGACCCTTTGTAATCCAAGTCGCCGAAATATAATGTCCTCCTGGAGCCGAGCGCAGTACAACAAGTTGTGCGGGAGGTGGCTCTGGTCCCGCGCATCCCGCAGCGGCCGCTCGCTTTCTAGTAAAACGCACACCTTCGATGAACCTCTAGCATCGGCCTCCATGCCGCTCTTCGCGCGCAACGGCGTTGCGGCTTTCACCGCGTAGTGCCGCGCGTGGCCGTACGCGTCCGTGTCTTCTAAGGCAGGTGCTAATTGCCTCAGTCGCTCCGACGCCGGCGGGTGCGCGTCGTCGCCCGCGTCCACATCTAAGATGATCGGTTTCACGTCGACCTGCCTCGTTCGTCGCCGCCAGTCGTCGACGCAGATCTTCGTTCTTCGTAACACACTGTCTAAATATAACGCTTCCCTTTCTAAGTCGCGTCGTACTCGTTCTAGCTTCAAATGGGCCGCGTACCGCGCGAAGCCTAGCTTCCGCGCCGTCGTGGCCGTCGCGTCGAGGTCCACGTCGTCGCGTGGCGGCTCGTAGTTCGTGCAGTTCGACCGCAGATACGTCACGACGCGCTCGAAGGCATGGGGAGGCTCGTCGAAGAACGAGTCGAGCGTGATCGGCTCTTCACCAGGTGTCGTGAGCGACACGGCCACCGCTATTACTGACGTTTCTATTTGCGTCCACGTTCTTCTTGAACATCTGAATGTTCTTTCGCCCACCTCGATGCTGATGCGCTGGTGGGGGTAGGTCTCCTCGCTGGGTGCGCTTTTGGGGCGTTTTGCTGCTGGGGCGTCGTCGGCCATCCTTCTTACTCCTCACTTTCTCACAGACTCGGTTGCGGGCGTCGGCCAGAGCGTTGCGAGGGCTGTGAGAGAAGTGCGAGCAGCTAACTGGGAGCGCCACAGCGTACCTGTGGCGTCCCAGAGGGCTGGATTTAGGCCGAAGGTCGCGCTGTTCCTAGTGTCTTACTATACGCTAACGCTATAAGTTAGCGCTCTAAGTTAAAAAAGCGCCCTTTACAGGTGATTTCGCAGCCAGGGGCGTTAATTAGAGCAGTTTTAGAGAGCGCTGATCGATTTGCGAGCACTCGTGCTGATTCCCTGCTGCTCACACACTCAGGGGCTCTCAGAGCAGCCAGAGCTCTCACTACTATGCCGTCGCGGATTCTCGCCTGCGCGCTGCTGGCACAAGTATCACAAGGCCTGACTCCACGCGCGGCGTCGACACGCCGCCGCTGGCTCGCGGCGGCGCCAGGCCTTTTGCTCCTCCGGCCATCTGAACCGGCCACTGCCGTGACCCCGGGAGGCGAGTTCTGCATCTGCAACGACAAAGGGTGCTTCGGGGAAAACTGTGGTGGTCTCAAGCGGCCGGACGTCAAGTACCTGGGCGCCGCCACAGAAAGCTACGGCGCGGAGCTCTCGGGCGCGTCGGCGGCGCTGAGCGGCTCCCGGCGCGGCGGCGGCGCGCCCCCGCCCCAGGTGTCCGTCGCAGACGCGCCTGAGAGCGACCTGGAGCGCGCGATGCGCGAGGCCGCCGGCAAAAAGACGACTGAGCCGAGAGCGCACGGAAGGTAGTGGATAGTAAACACGAATTCCCCGGCCGACCCAAGTAAGTTTACAGGGGGGAGGGAGGGTATATATATCTATATTTTGGACGGCGGCGCGCCGAAGTAGGGTTGGAGACCGGTCCCGTTGTCGTAGACGAACGACGAGTTCTGCTTGTGGAGCATGAACTCGGGGCCTCTAGCTTTCAACTCGGCGACCGTGCGGCAACCTAACAAGCCCATGGCGAGGTGCACGTCCTTCGATAATAACGTGAGCGCTTTGTCCACGCCCTCGAAGCCGCCCGCCGCGAGGCCGTACAAGTAGGCCCGGCCGCACGCCACGGAGTCCGCACCTCTAGCAAGCGCCTTCACGACGTCGATGCCGCGGCGCACGCCGCCGTCCATAATGACCTCGACGTCGGGCCCGACGGCCTTGCGCACCTCGGGCAGCACGTCGAACGGCGCCACAGAACTCTCAAGCTGGCGGCCGCCGTGGTTCGAGACCCAGATGACCTTGCCGCCGATGTCGAGCCAGCGCTTCGCGTCCTCGCCGCGGGCCACGCCCTTGAGCGCGACCGGCCCCGTGTCGCCCCACTCCTGGCAGAGCCACTCGGCGTCCTTCCAGTCGAACTCGGGCTTCATCTGCTGCGCGATGAAGTCGACGAGGGATTCGGCCGGGAAATCGGCGTCGGGGACCGCTTTGTACCCATAAGGCACGCGGCTCATGAAGTCGAAGGTCCAGGCCGGCGAGCGCGCCGCGTCGACGCACTGCTGGACCGAATACGAAGGAGGCACGGTGAAGCCCGTCTTTGTCTCGCGCTCGCGGTTGCCGACCCACGAGAAGTCCGCCGTTAACGCAAGGGAGGTGAAGCCCACTTCTTTGGCCCTATCAAGCACTTCCTTCAGGAGCGCGCGGTCGCGCCACACGTAGAGCTGGAGGCACTTGGCGGAAGTAGGGGCCGCCTCGCGGACGTCCTCGAAAGTAGAGGTGGTTAATTGAGACAGGGCCATGCGCACGCCGTGCTTCTCGGCGGCCTTGGCCGTGGCGACCTCGCCGTCGGCGTGGAACATGCGCTGGCCGGCGCACGACGTGACGAAGAAGGGGAGTTTGGCCTCGTGGCCTAAGATGGTCGTGGAAGGATCCACCTCACCATGCCCAACACCGTGCAACACGGCATGGCGCAACTCGACGTCCTTGTAGCAGTCTACCGATCGGCGCAGCGCGACCTCTTCATCGGCGCCGCCGGCCAAGTAACCGTAGCACATGGCGTGCATCCGCTTCTCGGCCGCGATGCGCAAATCCTCGACGGACGCCGCCTTCTGCACGCGGCGGCGGGACGGCGCGTCCAGGACCTTCATGACGGGCGTGTGGACCGCGGCGCAGGCCGGGCGGATCACATCTAAAACACCGGAGACGAACTTCTGCCAGCCGCTCTTGCCGCTCGTCTTCGCGGCGGCCGCCTTGGTCATGGTCTCCTTGCGCTCCTCCTTGAGCTCCGCGGCGCTCGGGCCGGCGTTGTTCACTTCGACCTTGATCGTCGGCGCCGCCTTGGCCGCGGCCGTGGAGAGCTGGATCCTCGGCTGCGCCGCATGGCGCGCGACCGTGCTGAACGACGCGCGCAGCATGGTAACTACGAATGTGGAGCAGTCCTTCGCCGATCAAAGCAACCGCTGGTGCTCCTGGCGTCGCGTAAGGACGACCAGCAGAGCTGATTGCATCGATGACGCAAATTCGAGCTGCCGACCCGAACAAAGTGTCCCAATACCGTCAGCATGGGATTCGTCGGAACGGCTCCTTGGCAGCCATCTGAGAGACGCGTGGCGCTGGGGCTCGATGCTAGGATCCGGCGCGTGCCGAAGCGGGACAGCCGTACTCGATGCGGTCACCTTGCTGTACGTACGTCGATACACCGACTGCGCGCCTCGAAAGTCTCGCAAAATCAAAGCAAAGTGCGTCGCAAGCAAAAAACGGTGAGAAATCGCTGCAAAAATGGCGCTTCAAGCGGCCCTGCGCAATGCCCAGTCCAAGACGCCGTCCCTGCGCACCGTCGCGAGGAGCAAGACCCCGGCGCAAGGTGCCCTGCGCACCGTGCACACGAAGACAACGAAGACCATGACGTCGCTGCGCACCGTCACCACCAAGCGCCTCGCCGCCGCGCGCGTCGCGAGGAGCAAGACCACCATGCGCGTCGTCGGATCGCGCTCGTCGGCCGAAGACCCGGACGCGCTCGCGGCCCGCCTCGCGGCCCAGCTCGCGCCCGAGGTCGCGCCGACGCGGAGCATGGCCGCGGTCGTCGTCGCGAGCCCGTGCTCGGTCGCGACCGTCACGCAGCATTTAGTCGATGAACTCCAGCTCGACGCGGCCGTGGGCTTCGGGAGCCACCGCGAGGCGTTCTGCGAGGCCTGCGACGGCGCGAACCCGCGCGCCGCCGTGATGCTCGGTGTGGAAATCAACCAGTGCGTTAGTATCCTGAGGGATATTGCGTGGATCCTCGTGAACCTCAAGCCATCGAACCGACGCGGTCACGGCGACAACGTCGCGTCGATGGCGTGAGCATCTACACGCCATCGAGCAGACGCAGCTACGGAGACAACATCGCGTCGATGGCGTGGGGCGCCCGACAATTGATTTTCACACAGGTGACGCTCCTCGCCATGCCCGACGGCGCGACGGCCACGGCGTTTGCCAGCGACGCGGGGTGCCTGCCGGCGCTCGAGGACTGGGAGCGGTTCGTGCAGGCACCACCGTCGTTACTACTGTTCGCGGCGGCCGGGAGCCCCTCGGAGCGCAATAAGCTCGACGATTGGCTTCGGAGAGTGGACGGCGTGCTGCCCGAGTCGCCGAAGGTGGGTGGAGTGGTGAACGACGACGGCCCCGTCGTAGCGGGGGGCCGGGGCCGCGCGCTCGAGGAGGGGGCCGTCGCGGGGCTCGCGCTCGACGGCGGCGTCGACTCGCTCGTGGGCCTGCACGTCGTCGTCGCGCCGGGCTCGACGCCCCTCTCGGAGGACCACTCGCTCGTGACCGCGTCGCTGCCGATGCCGCGCGGTGATAGAGTTCTCGTGACGGGCGTGGACGGGCGGCGCGTGCGCAAGAGCGCCCTGGGCCTGGACGAGGACGGCCGCGACACCATTTTAGCTGAATTGATGACCGGTTCCGAAGGAAGGACGTGCCCCGTCGAGGTCGAGCACGGGTCGCTGGCCGTGTGCTGTTGCCCGCAGACAATAGTTCCAGGCGAAACACGGCTGCGGCTGCGTGCCGTGGGCGACCGGGATGCGCGCGAGCGCGCGGTGCTCGCGAGCGTCGCGCCGGCGCGCCGCGCGCACGGGGACTCGGCCATCCTGGAGTTCTCAGGCGTCTCCTGCGCGCCGGGCGAGCCGTCGCTTGTCGCCGAGGCGTTGGGGGCGAACGCTTTGGGAGCCACCTTCCGCGCCGCGATTGCCCCGGGCCCGACGTCGTGCCGGACGGTGGTGCACGACCAGGCGACGGTTTTGGCCTACGTCGCGCCGGGCGTCTAGTTCCTTTCCCTTCCTCTAAGTCTATCTTGTGTGCTTCACGCGCAGAAAAAAAGAGGGGTAGACGATAGTTACGTGGGGGGAGGAGGGATGGGGGAGGGACGCCACTAGTCGAACGTCGTCTTCTTGCCCGTCGACGTCGCGATCGCGCCCGAGCCCCGCTTCAAAGTGGAGCCGCCGCGCGGGCTCGCGCCCTTGCCCCGGCCGCCGCCCCGGCCGCCGCCCTTGCCCCGCCCGCCGCCGCGGCCACCACCTTTCCCGCCGCCGCCGCGCCCGCGCGGGCTGTAGCCGCCGCCGCCGCCGCCGCCCCAGGAGTCGCGCGGCGGCTTCGGCTTCGCGTAGTCGACACGGATCTGGCGGTTGTCGACCCAGGCGCCAGCCAAAGCGACAGCGGCAGTGGCGGCATCGGGAGTGTCGAAGTCGACGTGCCCAAACCCTCGGAACTCGCCCGTCTCCCGGTCCGTCGAGAAGCGCACGCTCAGGATCTCGCCGCAGTTCGCGAAGCACTCGCGCACGTGCGACTCCTCGACGGTCCAGGACAAATTACCGATGAAGATGGAGGACACGTTGTCGTCGTTGGGCTTGCCCGCGTCGTCCCACTCGCGGCGGCCGTGCGACCCTCTCAAGACTTTGATCCAGCGTTCCGAGTCGGGGAAGGTCTCGCCGTTCATCTCCAGGGCCTTCTCCGCTTCATCGGTAGATGAAAAAATGACGAACGCGGCGCCGGACGCGCGTCCGTCGGCGCCGATGGGCAGCTCGACCTTCTCGACGCTTCCGCAGGCCGCCATCCAGCTCGACACGGAGCCCTCGTCGACGGACCAGGGCAGGCCCTTCAGGTAAACTGTTCTATCTACTTCTGCATCCTCGGTCTTGGCCTTCTTCTTCGCCGGCGCGGCAGCGTCCTCCTCTTCCTCGTCGTCGTCGTCGCTCGACGAGTCGTCGCTGCTCGAGTCGGCCGCGGCCGCCGGCTTCGCGGGCTCGTCGTCGTCGTCAGAACTGTCGTCGCTGCTCGAGTCGTCCGAGGACGAGTCCGCCGCGGGTGCCGCCGGCTTGGCGGGCGCGGCGGGCTCATCATCAGAACTGTCCGAGTCGTCGTCGCTGCTCGAGTCGTCCGACGACGAGTCGGCCGCGGCGGCCGCGGGCGCCGCCGGCTTGGCGGGCTCGTCGTCGTCGGAGCTCGACGAGTCGTCGTCGGAGCTGTCGTCCGAGGAGGAGTCCGCCGCCGGCGCCGCGGGCTTGGCGGGCTCGTCGTCGGAGTCGTCGGAGCTGCTCGAGTCGTCGTCCGAGTCGGACGAGCTGTCGGCGGCGGCGGCGGCGGCCGGCTTCGCGGGCGCCTCGTCGTCCGAGGAGTCGTCCGACGACGAGTCGTCGTCCGAGTCCGAGGAGCTGGCCGCGGCGGCCGGCGCCGCCTTCGCGGGCGCGGGTTCGTCGTCCGAGTCCGAGCTGTCGTCGTCCGAGGAGGAGTCGTCCGAGCTCGAGGCGGCCGCCGCGGCGGGCGCGGCCGGCGCCTCGTCGTCCGAGTCGGAGCTGTCCGACGAGTCGTCCGAGCTCGAGGCCGCCGCGGCGGCCGCCGGCTGCGCGGGCTCGTCGTCGTCGCTGCTCGACGAGTCGTCGTCGCTCGACGAGTCGTCGCTGCTGTTGTCGACGGCCATCGGCGCCGGCGCGGGCGGCGCGACCTCCTCCTCCGACGAGCTGTCGTCGCTGCTGCTGCTGCTGTCGTCGTCCGACGAGCTTGGCTCGGGCGGCGGCGGCGCCGGCGCCTTTTTCTTCTTGCTTGCGCCGGGCTTCTTGGCGACCTTGCTGGTCGTGCGCTTCGTCGGCGCCATCGTTAGCCTGGTGCTGTTGTTGTGCAGTGCAGTCTGTGGGCGATTAGGCTCTACCTAAGCGCGCGGACTTGCGGTTTCTTGCGCTTGCGGTTTTCTGTGGCACTGCTGCTAAAATGCAGCGGCCTCGAGCGTGTATAATTATGACTGCGGTCTCCAGCGAGTGCAACAATTACTGAGAGCTGCTTCGCCCAAGGCCTGTGCAGGTGTGCTGCCGCAGGGGTCGTCCCAACGCAGGCGTCCCGGACTCCATACGAGGCTTCCCTAGCAGTCTGCACTCGTCGGTTGCCGGGGGTGCTTCGACAAAAGCGCCAAAAAAATCACCGCGGGACGGCCGCCTTGTGGAACAAGTCTTCCTTGAACCTATGCAAAGCAGGAGATGGTCTCGTATCGAACACAGGCAGAGGCCGTCGCGCCGCAGGCTCCCGGGCTACCATTCCAGGCGTTCCTAACTTTTGGAGTTGCTGTACCGCGGACGTTTCAGCCAAAAAAAAGCATCACTCTAGCACGCGGTCCGCAGCGGCCGATGAATCGGCGAAGAAGAAGAAAAGTGGTGTGCGGAACAATGATACATACTTATCATTCACAGGGGAGTAGTCAGCGACGGCCAGTCCGGTAGAGTGGCGCGCGAGAGGGGAGAGAGTGGTAGGGGAGAGATGTTCAGGGCCTTGCGACCGTCTCGGCCGCCTCGACCGACGGCGGCGAGAACTCGCCCAGCGACAGGACGTTGTTCTTCGCGTCCGCCGGGACCGCGGGCGTGAAGCTCCCGAGCGACAGGATGTTGTTCTTCGGGGGCACGCGCGCGTCCTTGGCACACAACCAGAGCGTCGCGCGGTCCGCGACGAGGTAACTTTCCTCGACGCGCGCGAAGCCGGCCGCGTCGATGTCCCTTCGAATATTCTTCATGTAGCCGTAGACGTAGGGCTCGCCGGCCGCCATGGCGTCGGAGGGCTCGTACGTCTGGGCGATGTCGAGGACCATGAGCGTCCCGCCTGGTCTCAGGATTCGTCGCGCCTCCTTGAGGAGCGCCTTGCGGCCCGCGGCCGGCGCCTCGTGCAAGACGAAGCACAGCGCGGCGACGTCCTGGCTCGACGCCTCGAGGCCCGTCTCCTCGCCGTTGACGAGCCGGAAGTCCACGCGCCTCTGCAGCGTGTTCGTGAGGGCCCGCGCCACGTTGAGGAAGTGGACGCTCGTGTCGACGGCCGTGACGGTCGCGCCCGGGAAGGCCGCCCGCAGGCACCGCGTCGACGCGCCGCTGCCGCAGCCGAGGTCGACGACGTTTTTCACGTCGAACGCGGCCGCGCACGCTGTCGCCGCCCGTGACCGTCTATCTTTGATGGAGGCGGCCGCCGCGGCGCACGCCTCACTACGCACGTCGCGGCCCTCGTACGCCGCCTGGTCGATGGCCCACGTCGCGAGCGGCGCGCACACGGACGCGAAGACGCCGCCGAAGCCCACGTTCCCGAAGGAGTGGATGCGGTCGTCGTACCAGTACGGCGTGTTGGTCTTGAGTTCTTCTTCTAGCGCTGCGGCGTTCAACCTCTGTGTGTCGCGCCGGCCACTCGGCGTCTGTGCCACGTAGACGTCTTTGGGCGTGTTCTTCTTGTCCGCAGCGTTACCGAGCGCGCTGATTTTTGCTGCAGGCGTCGCTGGACGCAAAGCGCTACCAGTAGACAATAACAGAACCAGCGATGGTCGCCGCATGATGGCGTTACGCGGTGTTCTTTAGTTCAGAGCAGAACCACCTCACAAACTTGAAGCCCGAACGTTGGGGCGGCAATATTTAAATCTCGCAGGCCGTAAGAATGCGATCGCGGGGTATTTCACCGAAATTCAGACCCGGTTGGGGCTCCGGAGGAAGGCCATTCATGTTCCGTCGCGCGGCCGCGGGCCGAACGAGAAAAAAAATAAAACACATATCGTTACTTTATTCTAATTGCGCCGGCACGTCGCGGTCCTCCTCCTCGCCGACGGGGGACACGTCGACGACGTCGACGGGCGGCCGCGTCGCGACGGGCGTGTCGGCGAGGTGCGCTTCAAATAAGTCCGCGACGGCCTCCTCCTTGAAGTCGTCGTCGAACTGGCGCAGCTCCTCGTCGAACGAGGCCCGGTCCGACGGCGACGGCGGCGGCGGGCCGCGCCAGCCGGCGATCGCGAGGCGCAGCCGCTCGCCCGCGCCGACCGAGTTCGTCGACGCGTCGCGGGCGGGCGGCGAGGCGCCGGGCGCCGGCGTCACGGTTTCGACCTGTTTCACGGGCGACGGCGCCGCGTCGTCGTCGTCCTGGCTGCCCGAGCGCAGGTTGCGGACCGTGGTCATGGTCCGCGCCCAGAAGCTCGGCGTCACCTTCGGGCTCTGCGGCAGGTCCTCCGGGGGCGGCGGCGGCGGCGGCGGCGGCGCGAGGCCGTCCAGTTCGACGAGGCCCGCGGGCGACCCCGCGCCGGGCGTCTGGGGAGGCAGGGGCGGCGGAGGCGGCGGTGGCGGCGGCGGCTCATGAAAAACAATGCGCGGCGGCTCCTCGACGTCCTTGTCAACGTCGACGTCGATCGCCTCGGCGACGTCCTTGGACAGCTTCCGCCGGCGCCGCCGCAGGACCAGCCCGAGACCAAGGACCGCTACCAGAAAAGCGCCGGCGATCACGGGGCCGAGGACGGCCGCGCTCGCGCCGTCGACCGCGTCGTTGCCGCCTTTCTGCGACGGCTCGCTCTCGGGCGCCGCCGGCGCGGCCTCCGGCGCGGAGAGGGATGTGGTGGAGACGGCGGCGAAGGCGTCCGCCGCGCCCGCGTTAGCCGCTTCCTGCCGCAGCGCCGCGTCGAAGTCCGCCGGCGCGAGGGCCGCCATGTCTCGGGCGAGCGCCTCGGCGGCACTTAGAGTTGGTGTGGCGACGGCGTATCGTATGGTCAGCGTGTCCGTCAGGCGCCGGCGCGTATCTGTGGAGATGGTGACCGTCACCCGCTCCGGCGCGACGCCAGCCATCGTCGCCATTGTGGATGCGAAGATCGATTGGTGGACTAGGGCGTCCTCGACCGCAATACCAGAGACCGTCTGTGTCATGGTCACGACGCCCGCGGTCACGGAGAGGGTCGGTCGTGGAGTAGATAATGAGACCGTCGGCGCAAACGACGACGACGGCTTCGACGTCGTCGGTTGAGCGGTCGTCGGTGTCGCCGTGGACGGTTGCACCGTGGGCTCGGGCGTCGACGCCGAGGGCCGCGCGGTCGTCGGCGACGACGACGGCTCCGCGGAGGGACTCAAGGAAGGCCGCGCCGAGACGGAGGGCGCGACCGTCGGCGCAAAAGTCATAGAAGGCGCTGGCGACGGTTTAGCAGTTGTCGGTGCAGAAGATGGTTTCGATGTAGTAGGCACCATGGTTACCGTGGGCCCGGGCGACGGCGTGTACGTCGGCGCGTACGTCGGCGCGCGCGACGGCGCCGGCACGTCCAACATATTTGGGTTTAAGAGAGCTGTGTAAGCGGCGGCGGCCATCTTAGCATAACCGGCATTATTAGGGTGGATCTTGTCGTCATACAAAGTCGCGTCGAACGTGCCGTCTTCCAATACAAAACCGCTCCGGAAGTCGACGGTGCCCCGCGCGCCGATGACCGATGCCACCGCCGCACTTGAAACGGGAAGGATGTCGTTGACAACTGTGAGAGCTTCCGTGCCCCACTTGCTCGACCCGCCGAGGTAGGGCGTGTTGATACCAAGGAAGAACTTGGCCGTCGGATTGTAATCCCGCAGATCACTGATCAAGTCAACATAGTTCTTCGCCCATTCGTCAGCATGACTGTCCCAGTCGGCGCCCCAGCAGGCCTCGCACCGGTCCGTCTTCGCGTCGTTCGCGCCAAAGGTCAGGATCGCAAAATCGTATTTCACATCTATCATGCTCTCGAAGTGGCCCTCCGTGCGCCAGGGCTTCTCCGGGCCCACTGACGTGCCGCTCCTGCCGAAATTCAGCACGCGGTAACCCGGGCCTAATAAATCCTGCAGGAGCTCGGGGTAGCTGTGTCCAGCTGTCCCATCGACCAGGTCTTCCTCGTGGCCGCCCTGGGTGATCGAGTCGCCGGCGCACGCGACGATGATCGGAGTGGGGGTCGGGCCCAGCGTCGGCTCCATGCTCAGCGTCGGAGCTTTCGTGTACGACGGCGCGAGCGACGGTTCTGGGGTGGTTGGATGCGGCGTCGTCGGCTGTGGCGACGGCGCCGGCGACGGTTTTGGGGACGGCTCGTAGCTCGGCTTCGACGTCGTCGGTTGAGCGGTCGTCGGTGTAGCCGTGGTCGGTGCCGGCGACGGTTGTTGTGTTGTTGGCTGCGGCGTCGTCGGCTGATAGGTCGGTAGCGCCGTCGTGGGCGCCTGGCTCCAGGTCGGCCGGCGCGTCGGGCGCGCCGTCGTCGGCGCGTAGCTGGGCAGCGCCGTCGTCGGCGCGGCCGTGGGCCCGGCGGTCGTCGGCGCGGCCGTGGTGGGCAGCGCCGTCGTCGGCGCGGGCGTGGGCCCGGCGGTCGTCGGCGCGGCCGTGGCCGTGGCATTCACGCCCAGCGCGCGCCGTGCCGGTGGCGTCTCGGCCCCATCCGGTAGGTGTACCAGGCCGGCGACCAGCGCGGCTACGAGCACCAGGCGCATGGCTGCCCCTGGCCCTCGGCAGGTGACCTGGCTTTCACGCAGCCCGATGCGGCCTAATTTGAGTGCTCACTACCATCATTTTGGCTGCGCTACGCGCGACGGACGGCCAAAATTGTCAGGCACCCGTCCGATTTGGGTGAAGTCAAACTCCGGGCAGCAGTCTTGTGCTGATCTGTCTGCGAGGAATGCGGAGACGTCCGTGCGCCCAAACACAAGGGAAATTTTCGCATGAGCCCAGCCGCGCGGTGGGGAGAACTCGCTAGACACACGAGAACGGACGACTTCGACGACGAGGAGGAAGAATATACACAGTTACGGTTAGCCGGGCGCTTCATGCTCCGCGGGAGCCGGGGTAAGTTTCCACTTCGACACCTTGGTGCCGCCGTCGACCTTGGCGATGCCGTCGATGCCCGCCTTGTTGTAATTCGGGCCCCAGTCGCGGTGGTCGACCCAGCAGCTGTCCGCCGCGCACGTCGACGCGCAATGCCCCTCTTTATCCGCGCGGCAGACGCGGCAGACGTTCGCCTCCGAGAAGCGTAGAACCTTAACGCCGCTCGTCGCGTTCAGCGCCGCGGCGAGCGACGGCTGGTCGTGTCTGATGGTCCGATTCGCCAGGATGGCGCGTCGCATGTCGTCCGCCCAGGCCGCGAGGAGTGGGTCCGCTTTCTCTTTGTCCCACGCCATGAACCCCGTGTTGAGGCCCGAGTACGACGCCCCGACGTGCCAGAGGCCCGCGACGGCGGCCTTTGACTCCGCAAAGGCCCGGAAGGCCTCGACGAGGCGCGCGCCGCAGGGCACGGCGTCGCCGTCCATGTTCAGCGTCGTCCGGAAGGGGCTCCTCTTATAATACTGCGGCCGGAGCCACTTGTAGTCCCGCGCCCACCGTTTGGTACCCGGCAGCGCCTCGAACTTGGCCATGCGCGGCTTGGCGCGGGTGCCCAGATAAAACAGCTCGAAGCGCGGCGCCGCGCCGCCCAGGCCCTTTCGCACCAACGTGTCCGCTTTTTTATTGTCGTGGAAGTACACGACCAGGACCCTATCTAAATCCGGCTGGGCGGCGCACCAGTTTTTACCCGGCGCGAGGGCCGCGATGCGCTGCGCGTTGCGCGCCGAGTATTGTATATAATCGTCGCCGGTGCCGAACATGACGACGCCGCAGGCGGCCTTCGTCTCGGGGTAGGGCTTGCCGTACTTTTTGCGCGGCTTGCCGTGCCCTGCTTCGCGCGTGGCTGCTTCAGGCTGCTTCGCGCCTAACGCGCAGGCGGCCGCCGCGAGCGCGAGCGCCGCGCGCCGCATGCCGAAGGGGCAGCCGCGTACGCCGTCGGGGGCAGTCGCTTCGATGGCGTCTGGACGAGGCTTGTGGAGAGCTTGCGTAGACTGCCGTCTAGCTGCCCATCCAGTGTGGCTGTAGGGGCAGCATTGGTGCCAGCCGTGCGTGTGATGCTCTCGGCTTGGGTCAATACATTATGATGCAGCTATGCTTCCCAAAAATAGGCTGGGTGCGTTGATATGACGCGTGTGCTGAAATTTTCATAGACGAGTCCTAGTGTATCGACACACTAGCTTCGTGGGGCGTGCGAGTCCCTTGTGACTCAGCCCTTGCGTCCTAGTCCAGCCGGACGGGTGGGCCCGGGGGGAGCGGGAGGGGTACGGGGAACCCTGCGACGTAGCCTCAGCCTCAGCCTCGTATCGGTTGTACAATAGCATGACGGGTATCAATCGGTCGCGCGCGAATCGAAGTACACTCGAATCGAGCGACGCGCGAATTACCGCAACGAAGCGCGAGTCGTCGCCTCCGAGCTAACACTCGGGGCGACGGCGCATGAGGGCGGGGGGCGGGACGGGAGCTCTAAGCAAAGCAATCATCGAATTAGCAGTCCTGGACGTAGGCCGGCCGGCACTTGCCGCCGTTCGCGCACGCGCGGCAGCGCAGCGTGTGCTGGAGGAACTGGTTCCAGACGTCGGGCACGCCGGGCAGGCACCAATGGCTGCAGTCGCGCACGCCCGGCCGCAGCTCCCCGTACCTACCCGGGTGCGCGTCCGGTCTTAGCGCCGACACGTTGAAGACGTCGAGCACGCGCACGTGCTTCGCCGCGTTTGTGGTTTTGCGCATGAAGGCGTCGGCGGCCCTCCGCTGCGCGTCGAACTCCTTTCGGTACGACTCGCCGGCGGACGTCGCGGGCTCCGTCGCGCCACACGAACCCCCGTCGCGCCAGCCGCCACTCGTGTAGTGCGTCGGCGAGACCGTCTGGAGGACGGTGAAGCTATTCCACTTCGGCGACTGCGTGGCTTGCAGTACCGTAGATAGAGCCACCTCCCACGCTTTTGAAGGGTGCCGCTCGTCGTCTTTCGGCGCGGACTTGTCCGCTTCCACCAAATCGGACCAGCGACTCGGCCCCTTACTGTAGTTGAACCACACATTTAGTTTTTCGTGCCCGAAGTGGTGGCCCGCGTTCAAAACTAAAACTCGTCGAAACGATCTAGCATAAGTGGAAATGCGCTGCGCGTTCCGCAGATGCACGATCACCGCATCTATCGTGCAATTGGCCGTGATCTGGCGTCGTCTATAAGATCGCATACATAACGCGGCCTCGTCCTTCCTACTTTTCAGGAAGGCCGTTTTTATGGAAGACGCCGGGTAGTAGTCCTCGTCCACCAAGAATGGGAGCTTGTGGTACTCGCGCTTCCAAAAAAAAGCTTCTCGCGCAGACAACAAACAGTCCATCGACGTGAATTGGTCTCCGGCCAGCGAATCCCCGACGAAACTTAAAACATTTTTAGAAGTGAAGTGCTGGAACCACCGCACTTCGAGGGGCGGCAGTTTGCATCGGTCGGGCTGCCAGCGCCAGGCTAGATGCGAATTGCCGCACTGGCGGCTGCTGGGCCGGATCGCTAGCTTGGGCGAGCACTGCTTGTAGTGCTGTATTGCTTGGTTACGGTAGTCGTCGTCGCGCACCCACTTGCCTCTCGTGAGGTCGCAGGCCGCCTTTATAGTATAGGGCAGCAGCAGCAGCACCTTTAGTTGCATCTTCCTATGCCCGCGCGCCGCGGCGCATCGATCTAGGCTATTGATGGGCTGCCCGGCGACGGCTGCGGGCCGCGTCGCTGCGCGTTCCCATGGTGCACGCGCGTTATGCCTGTTTTTTGGCTGTCATTCTCACACCTGGCACGAGCCACTTTTTTTAGGCCGAAACGACGACGAGAAAAAGCAGCCCCCACGCGTGCGCCAGGGTCGGTGATGAACGTGAGCACTCATACTCTGCGGGCGCCAAAAGATTCAAATTACGTGCGGGCTCTGCGTGAAAAATGCGGGCAGCTCTCGCGGCGCAAAGGCCTCGAAGGCATCCAAGGGGTTCATGGGCAGCCCTTAGCACGATGCCATGAACCTATTATACTTGTTACTGCTGCCGCGCGCCGCGGCGAACGGCATTAAACATGCCAAATACCAGGCGGACAATTTGCTCCAAGACGGCACGTACCTCGACGCCGAGCGCCAGCAGGCGTTAATGCGGAAAAACCAGCGAAAGAAATATCCGGTGCAGCTGCCCGGCTGCGTCACGGTGGGCAGCGACCGCCACTGCCGCAAGGAGGTGAAGGCGCCGGCCGCGCCGGCCAAGTCGAAACGAGCAGACGCAGCTGCGGAGGCAGCATCGCGTCGATGGCGCGGGGCGCAACACCTCACGCCCACGAAGCAGAAGCACGACCTCAACGCGACGCTTGTGTTTACGAAGGACGGGAATTGTGGAGCGCCGCAGCGTTTCAACAAAACACTCACGAGCAAGCTCTACTTCTTCGCCTACGTGACGAGCCGCAATCCCGAGTTGCTGAAACACTTCCTGGCCTTCTACGCGGCGCGGGGCATCCGCTTCAAGGAGCCCGGCCGCTCTCTCATTATCGTGTCGCCTTCACTGAAGGACGTGAAGCCCATCCTCGATGAAGTCGTACACCCCGATAATTTGAGAGAAGCATCTACGTACACGTCAGATTTAAAAAGAGAGGCGGTCAACGCTTACCTGAAGACGCTGCCGAAGAACAAGTACCTCATGTATCCCGACCTCGACGAGTTCTTCGACGTTCCAACACCACTTATTGATGCGGCCCTCGTGACGGGCGACGGCTTCGTGCTCGGCTCCATGGTCGACCGCATCGCCGAGACCTGGCGCTTGAACTCTATTACTAATGAGCCTTTATGGCGCCAGTTCCCGCGGCGCTGCCTCGCGACTTTAGAAATGCTCAAGGGCCAGCCGCGGAAGTGGATCCTCGTGCCGACTTCGTTCATGGGGAAATCAACTCAGTACGCGTCGTCGCACTACGTCGAGGGCGAGGAGGCCCTCCCGCGGGGTCTGAAAGCCTACGGCTTCTCGCACTACCGCTTCGGGGCCAAGTCTCTTGATTTAACTAAGGCGAAGCTCGGGCTCTACGAACAGAACAACGCGGGCTCGGCCAAGGTCTACAACTTCATGCTGCGCTGGCTCGACAAGGCCGACGACCACTTATTGTCGAAGCGGTTCCGGCGCTTCGTGACGTGCCTGGAGCCGTGCGCGTCGCCCGCGGTCTCTAGATAATGTGTGTGTTTGTAATCGCTCGCCGCAGCACGTGAGGGCATCCGCATCTTTGCGGCTAGTGTCTTACAGGACGCTAGCACGCCCGCAAACCAGTTTTGGCAGGCAAATCGGCTCCACTGTTGCGCAAGACGGTCGCAGCGAGGTTCCTGGACCCATTTGCTGCATATCCGTCCACATAGGATCGATCACTACACACAGTACTGCCCCAGTTGTGAGATAAGCTCTCCAGACTTCGAGACGCCATCGACGCGGTAGCCGTCGACGCAGCAGATAAAAAATGGCTAGCATGGTTGCGAAAGACCGCGCCTACACGCGCCACCGGCTGCCGAAGGAGTGGACGCTCGACAACTCGAAACTCGCGTTTACGGTGGACGACGTCCTCGACGCCAAGGAGTGCTCCCAACTAATACAAATGGCGGACGCGAGCGGCTGGAAACCGAGCCCCATGGCGCCGCTGCAGACGGGCTTGCGAGCGCGTTTTGATGATGACGCGTGGGCCCTTACTATCTTCGAGAGGCTCAGGCCGTTCTGCCCGCCGGTCCACAAAAGGAGGCGCTTGGTCGGCGTCACCCCAACCTTCCGCTTTGTCAAGTACCCGGAGGGCGCGAGCGTCGCGCCGCACCCGGACACGTCTGGTGGGGATAAACATACGCCTGTGAAGGAGCCGAACGCGAGTCTCTTCACCATACTGTTGTATCTGAATGAGGGCTACGAGGGCTGCGAGACGTGCTTGTTGCCCTCGCCCAAGTCCGCGCCTCCACCAGCAAACCCGCGCGACGACGTTTTCCCGGAGGTCTGTTACAAGCGCGGCATACCAGTCAAACCCAAAAGAGGCATGGCTCTGGTGTTTGAGCACGACATCCTGCACGCGTGTCCTCCTTTGACGAAGGGCGTGAAGCTCGTGATTCGAGTTGATTTATGTTATGCTAGAGAAGATATTGATGGCAATAGACTGAAAGACGAGTTCCGCGACTCGACGCTCTCGAAGGGCGCGTTTTCCAAATTCGCGCGGGGGTTGAAGAAGAAGTCGACTGTCGCTGATAAAATCAAAGCACAATTGGAACAAGATGCGATCAAACGGAAGGCGCGCGACCAGCCGCGCTGTTCGAGGGCGCTGGCGCTAGAAGCGTCTCCGGCGTTCGTCGACGGCGTCTGCATCGTGACGGGCGCCTCCGCCGGTATTGGGGCGGCTCTGTGCGAGGCGCTTGCTTGCGAGTTGAAAGTACGTGTCGTGGCCGTGGCTAGAAGGGCGGACCGGCTGGAAGCGTTACGGAAACGTATTGGTGAGCGGATCATTTGTGTGGTTGGGGATGTGACCGACCCAGCTACGATCACAAAGGCCTTGGATGCTTGTGCATCACCCCCTTTTGCTCTGATCAACAACGCCGGCGTCGCGCGGGACGGCGCGGTCGTCCTGGGGGGCAGCGAAAGCGCAATAAACGAGACGTTTGCCATCAACACGGTGGCGCCGGCGGCGTGGTCCACGGCCTACTTCGCCCTGCTCGAAAGGATGAAGGCGCCGCGGGGCCACGTGCTACACATTTCCTCACTTTCAGCTCATAGAATGCCCGACGCGACGGATTTGGGGATCTACGCGGCGTCCAAGGCCGCGGTGCGGGCGCTGGCCGAGGCGACGCGGCGGGAACTGCGCGCGAAGCAGTCTCCTTACAGAGTCTCGTCGATCTCGCCCGGGCTCGTCGTGTCGGACTTCTATGCCGCGAAAAATGGAAAGGCGGCGTCGGACTTAGTGTATGCGGCGGCCGACGCTTTGGAGGCGCGCGACGTCGTCGACGCGGCTTTGTATATCCTCACGGCGCCGCCGCACGTCGAAATAGCTGACGTGCTGCTGCGGTGCACGAACTCACTAAGGTAACAATTTTTACGCCTCGTCGTCGCCCTCGGAGTTGATGCTGAAGTAGCGCATCTCGTACGTGTTTTTCGCCGTCGCGACGACGTGGAGGTAGTCGCGGAGCTGCTGCTTCTTGAGGTACTTCTTCGTCAAGTACTTCAGGTACCGCTTCGCGATGACGCCGTCCGTCGCCTGGACGACGACCTTCGTCTTCTCCGTGCTGAGGACGACCTTGTCGCCGAGGTTGCCCGCCTTGTTGTCGACCTTGATCGTGTCCCGCAGGAACTTCTCGAAGGTCGCGACGTCAAGCACGGAGTCCTCGACGGGCTGCCAGCAGTCGACGTAGAACTTGACGGTCTTCTTCTTCGCGGCTTTCGATTTGGTCGGCATTTTTGCTTTTTGTGTCGTCGGCGGCGAGCTGCGCGCGCGTAACAAAGTGAGCGCTTGTTACTCTCTCGCGTGCGTTGTTACTCTCTCGTGGACCGCGGGGAGCCGGCGACGGCGCGCGGCGCTGCGCAGGGCTGCAAGCAGCCTCGCTGCGCTTTGCACCCAAGCTGGCGAGCGGGGAGGGCGGGGCAGTCCTCAGTTCAGAGAAGTGATCTCTGGCTTCGGCTGAGACGACTTACGTTGGTGGTTGGAGAGCTACCTAAGCGAGCACTTCGCAATAGCTGCACGACGATGGCGATCGCGCAAAATAAAACCTAGCGTCCTCGTAACATACTAGAAAATTTCGAACCCATCTGAAGGCTCCTTTGGATGCATTCCGTCCGCCGGGAAGCATAGATAGTCGCACATTCACCTTGAGGGCCGTGAGGACTGGAGTGCAGCAGCACAACATCAGAGCGCCAAAATGCAGCCAGTCATGCATCCCGCATCGATAATACGAACCGTTTGCATCTATGCTGCAGCCACGGCAGCCATGCGACTGCAACCGCAAAGCCTGGACCGCCGTACAGTGCTGCAGACGCTGGCACTGGCACCGCTGCCAGCGCAGGCTGCGACCTTCGCCGACGCACCGCTCGTCCCGCGCTCATTGGTCGTCAATTGCGGCGACGTGCCCGCGACGGCAGCGTTTTTAAGTGAAGCATTGGGAATGACCGTAACAGCGGAAAAAGGCGGCGCCGCGCGGGCCTCGTTCGGCCCGACGGCCCTCGAGCGGCCGAAGGACTTCACGCTCGGCGTGTCGTCGTTCGACGTCGACGGCGGCCACTTCTCGCTCGAGCTGCAACCAGCGAACGACGTCGCGCCGGCTTCTCCAGAAACGGACGCCGTCCTCTACGTCCAAATCGCGTTGCCGCTGCAGTTCCGCGCGTCGCGCATGGTGACGTACGGGGGCGAGCTGCGCGACGGCTACGGCGCCTGGTCCGTCGGCGCGCCGGGCGGGTTGCCGCTGCGGCTGCTCGTTGGCGACGAGCCGCCCGACCGCCTCATGTACGTGGCCTACCGATCAAAAGACGCGCGGAAGAGCGCGGCCTGGTACGAAAGTCACGGGTTCAAGCGCGCCCCGTACCCGCGCGCGCGGCCCTTCGACAAGAAGGAGGGCGAGTCGCCTTTTGATCCCAACCCGCCCAAGGGCTCTATTTATCTAGAGGCGGCTCCATCTTCTTTTGGTGTGCTCCTCGTGCCCGATCGACGGGCGAAGCCACCATCAACAGGCGTTTCCGCGGTCGGCGCCTTAAGGCTCGCGGCGCGCGATAGAGCTGAGCGTATACAAGACCCCGACGGCAACGTGTTGGAGGTCTCAGCAGACTTTCTTAAATAGTTATGTGAATCTAGTTGTAGGGCCCCATGATGTCGAACTTCGACGGCGTGAAGTCGATGCCCCCGAGTTCAGAAACGCGCGTCGGCAGGAAGATGAAGAAGAAGTAGAAGCACCATGCGGCCCAGAAGGCACTGAAGACCGGCCGGTTCTGGACGCCCGACTTAACGTTGTAGTTGATCTTCTCGCCCAGCTGCTCCTCGCGCAACTCGTTGACGCCGAAGCCGTTCGGGTCGTTGAACATGAAGTCCATGCGCCGCTGCGCTTCTAGTCTATCCACTCCTTTCGTCTCCATGTACGTGACCACCGTCTCTTCGTAGAAGTCGGGCCGCGCCACCCTAATCCCGAAGCTGATGGGTCCGTTTCTTAATAATGTGTCCCAGATCGAGCCCTGTGTGATTAACACCGTCGCGAGACTGCCGCGGCGCTCTCGCGAGACGCGTAGACTCTCACGCGGCCGCGTCGACGGCGTCGAGGCGGTGCAGCATGGCGTCGACGTTCGGAAAAGGTCGGAAATCACGCCGAATCACTGACGTCGTCGTCGTCGAGGAAGGCGCGCCGCTGGATCTGGGCCGCGGGTCTGGGCCGCGGGGTCTGGAAGGCCTGGACGGTCAAGAGGCAGAGCGCGAGGACCAGCCTCATTGTGGCAGCTCTGAGTAGTGTACTGGCAGCGTTCCTCGCTTCTGCAGCGCGTTCCCAGGGAAACTTGGGTCGAGGCTGGATCTGTTTGCTAGCGTAATGTAAGACACTAGCAAACCAGAGAGCTTTTGTCGAGGCTCCTTGTTCTACGCCATTAGAGCGACCCACGGGTCGCAGGGTGTGGCGACTTTCGAATAGAGCCGGCGCAGCGCGGTCATCCGTGCCAGAGGCGCGCGCAGGGCCCGTATTCGGCCCTACACCCGAAAGGCGCCAAGGCCCAAAAGCGCTAAAATGAACGTCCTCTGCCCCTGCGGCGGGCGCACGCCCTGCATCCAGCGCTTCTGCGACAGCATCCCGCTCGTCCAGGCGCGCACGGACGACGTGCTCGCCGTCGCGGACTGCATCGAGGAGGTGCGTCAGGCCGAGCCGGCCGAACTCGCGGAGCTCACGGCGCAGTGGAAGATGCTCGTGCGCGCGAAGTTCCGCAAGGCCGTCGCGGCGCTGAACGAGCCGGGCGCCGCGTTGCCTGGCGCCGCGCCGGCCGCGGCGCCGGCCGCGCCCGCGCCCGCCGCCGCCGCGCCGCCACCGCCGCCGGATCCGAGTGGGGAGGACGACGACAACGACGACGACGACGACGAGGCGCCGCCGCCGCCGACCGGCGGCGCGCCGCCGCCGCCGCCGGAGCCGAGCGACGACGACGACGATGATGACGACGACGACGAAGCTCCCGAGTCGGACTCGGGCGACGAGCGGCCCGTCGTCATCGAGATGCGCAGCGTCGGCGACACGGCGTGGCGCGGCTTCGCTATGCAAAACGACGCGGCGAAGGCGTTCGGCCTGACCCCGGCCGACGTCTCGAAGCTCGTGAACCATCCCGACAAGTGCCCAGCGAGATTGCGCCACCTCGAGGCGCGCAGGCCCGTCGACTCCGACGGTGAGGAAGTCCCGGCGCCGAGTCGGAGTCAAGCCTGCGAGATCCGCCGCGTCGGCGACAAGAAGTGGCGGCGCTTTGCCTCTCGGGTGGACGCGGCGAGGGCGTACACGGGCATGACCGACGGTTACATCAGCCGGCTCATCGCCAATAATCCGGACAGGCTGGCCCCGCAACACATCCGCGACAAGTACGAGGCCCGGGACGCCGTCGACGAGTCGGACTCGGAGTCGGACTCGGACTCGGGCTCAGAAGAAGCTCCAGCGCCGGCGGCCGACGACGCCGCGGCGGAAGCACCGGCCTACAAGGTCGGCGACCGCGTCAAGGCGCGCTACCGCGGCGCGTGGGGCGCCATGTACGAGGGCACCATCAAGGCCGTCAAGGCGGACGGCGACGGCTTCCTCTACGCCGTCGACTTCGACGACGGCGACCACGACGGGCGCGTGAAGCCGTGCCACATCAAGGCGCTGCGCGACGCCGCGCCGAGGCCAGCGCCGGCGCCGGCGCCGGCGCCGCCGGCCGCCGACGAGGACTCCGACTCTGACACCGAGCCGTCGCCGACGCCGGAGCGCCGGCCGGCGAAGCGGCGGCGCTCCGACGCGAAGCCGGCGGTGCCCGCGCTCGTCGTCCGGGACAGGAAGGGCCAGGTGGCGAACCACGGCACGCTGGCCGGCTTGATCGCCGCGGGCCTCATCGCGCCGGGCCCCATCATCGTTGAGTGGCACCGGTCGCTGCCGGACCACCATCGCGCCGAGGGCACGCTCCTCGAGGACGGCCGGCTCCAGTACAAGGGCAAGACCTACGACTCGCCGGCCGCCTTCACGAAGGCGACCGGCGTCACGTCGAAGCACAACGCCTACCACGTGCTCTACCTGCCCGACGGCACGCCCATCCAGTCGTTCCGCGGCGGCGCGAACAAGGGGCCCGTGCCGCTGGGCCAGGCTGTCCAGCCGAAGAAGGCGCCCCAGAAGCGCGCGCGCGCGCCGTCCGCCTCGTCGTCGTCTTCCGACGAGGACGTCGCGCCGGCGCCGAAGCGCGCCCGCAAGCCGCGCGCGCGGCCGCCGCCGCCGGACCCTTGGGCGCCGCCGGAGCCGGCCGAGGTCCGCGCGCGCCTCGGCCTGCCCGAAGTTGAGGACCAGGCGGCCACGGCCGAAGCCAAACGCCTCTTCGAGCGCCTCGGCGCGTGCACGGAGGTGACGCGCGACGTCGGCGACGCGCGCCAGAGCGACGCCGCGGGCCGCGGCGTGCTCTTCACCAAGCGATTAAAGAAGGGCACGGTGCTCAAGGACCCGGGCGTCGCTCACAAGGTCGGAGACGGCTACAAGCGCTTGGGCGCCTTCGACTACGTCTACATCGGAGGTGACGGCTACATGGTGCTTCGAGACGAAGAAAATAGAGTGGCGACGCGCACCTTCTTCGTCAACGAAGCTAGAGGTGCCAAGCAGCCCACGGTCGCCTGGCGCGCCTTACGGGGCCGCGAGGCCACGTGCGGACAAGCCGTGTTGTGGGGCTGGGAGCTCGTGCGGGACGTCAAGCCCGGCGACGAGGTCCTGACGACCTACGAGGAGGACGCGTCCGGCATGCCCGAGACCCGGCCCGACGAGCGCTCGGGCACGGCCGACGCTTTGGCTTCGATCGGCGGCGTGCCGCGGAATTTGCAGGGCTGCGGCTACCTCGTGGCCACGGCGCCGCGGCGCGCGGGCGCCGTCGACCGTTCGACGGGCGTCGAGGACCGCCACCTGCAGATTGCCGTCAGGGAGTCGCTGAGGGACGCGAAGGCCGCGAAACTGCGCGTTCCGGGCTGCCCGTGCCGCGACCTCGAAACGGGGCAGCGATGCAAGTCGACGCTGGGCGGTGGCAGCTGGTACACGATCACCTTCGGCGACGGCAAGACGGCGTCGCGGCGCGCGGAACAACTCGAGCCGCTCGAGGAGCCGTCGGCCGCCGAGCCCGCCGCGGCGCCCGCAGCAGCGCCGCCGACGCCCCCGCCGCCTGCGCCCGCGGCGGCGACGTCCCCGCCTCCCGCGGACGCGGCGGCGGCGCTCCCGCACTCCTCGGTCAGTAGCGACGAGGCCATCGCGCTCGCGCTGCAGCGTGAGGACGCGGCGCTGGCCACCCCGGCGCCGGCCGCCGCGGCGCCATCAACCCCCGTCGCCGAAGCGGCGCCGGCGCAGCCACCTATCGCCACTGCTGCCGAGGAAGTGACCGCGCCGATGGAGCTCGAACCCGCGGCGGCACCGGAGGGAGCGCCGGAGCTCGCCGAGTTGCAGGAGCTCCACGGCCCCCTCGGCGCCTGGTACGCGGCGTCCGGCCTCGCGCACGGCGAATATCCCGCGACGCCCGAGGGGCTCGCTGGTTGGCCGGCCTTTGGGGAGATGACGGAGCGTTTCCTCGCCGCCGCGGCCACTGGCATGTAAGAAAGACTGTGCTACTACTACTTGATACTTAGCGGCCGCGCGGCCAGGGCGAACCCCTTCAGGTCGTCGACGAGGGCGCCTTTCCCCGTCAGCGAGCCCTCGAATACGTCCACGGCCAGCTCCTCGAGGCCGAGGAGCCCGCGCGCGGCGACGCCGTCCGCCGCGGCCGCGTCGAGCTTGTTCAGCACGACTCCAATGGGCTTCTGCACGGCCCCGACCAGCTCCTCTAACAAAACGAGCGCCTCGGCCCAGGTCTCCGGCGCCGCCGCGTCGACGACGAACAGGACAGCCGCCGCCCGGTCGTAGTAGCGCGGCCACGTCGGCGCCATGCAGCCCCCGATTTCTTGAAGCATGACGCGCGCGCCAGGCGCCTCGAGGTACTCGACCTCCTGGCCTATCGTCGGCATCGTCCGGACCGGCTGGCTCTCGTCGGCGCCGGCGCAGCGCCGGCCGACGGACCGGAGCAACGTGGTCTTGCCGGCGCTTTCCGGGCCGATGACGAGAATCGTCGACACGGGATCCGCATTGACTTTTGAGGTGCAGCAGCCCATTAGTTGTATGGCTGCGTTGTGAGTATGGGCTGCTTTGCTTGATGGCTAGGCTACGGTACCACTGTGTGAGGTCACGGCGCAGCCCGCATCGCCCGAGCCTCGCGCACGCCGCCGTGAGCGTTCGTGCGTGTAATTTTGCGTGCGCAGCGCGTGGTGACCGCCGCACAAACACGCAAACGACGCGGCAACGTTTTCGATCTAGTTGCAACACTCTAGGTATCACCAAAATTCATTGTCGACGTCATAGCTTTTACGTGCGCAATTCGTACTCATAGTGCGGTCGGCACAATGGCAAATCACACGATTTACACGGCTGCAGCACGAGGGCAGCCGTGCCGCACGATTTGAGCAAGAGGGGCTGCATGCGAGAGGATGGCCCGACGACTGATAATGGTCGCCCTGCTGCTCGTCGCATCCGGCGCCAACGTGAAGCCCACAAAAGGACCGGCAGACCGGCGGCTCGTCGAGCGCGCGGCGGCGATTGACGTGTGGTTCCAGCAGCACAGCCGCGAGTACCGCGCGGCGCACAAGGGCGGCAAAGCCTTCACGCCGCCGAACTGGACCGTCCGCAAGGCCGGGGACGTGCCGCAGCCGTGGCACGAGATCGGCAACCAGAGTATCGCCAAGCGCGTCTTCCGTGCACGCGTCGGTAGTCGTAGCGTCGTTGTGAAGCGGGCGATCGGCGTCCGGTCCGGGCCGCACAGAGGAGAGCCGAAGGGCGCGGACCTGGGCGGCAGCGTGATCTACCTCGAGCTGGTCTACCTCGAGGCGTTAAGGGGCGCGCCGGGCGTCCCGGAATTGTTGGGCGGCTGGTTCGACGGGCCGCACGTCTACTACGTTTTGAGCGACGGCGGCGAGCGCATCGGCCGGGGCGTGTCGAAGGGCGTTGGCACGGCGCCGACCGTGCTCTCGGACGCGTTCCGCACGCGCGCCGCAAAGCAGCCGCTCCAATTAGCGCGGTCACTGTTAGCGTGCTTCCAATCGTGGACGGCGGCCGGCTTTCTCGAGGACGATTTTAAAGCTGAGCAGTTCACTCTGGATGGAAACGGCCAGATCTATCTCGTCGACGGTCCGCACCTCCGCGGCGACTCTTTACTTGGCGAGGCCGTGGCGAGGACCTGGCCGCACCGCGGCGCCGCGAATATGCTGAACCGCGACGTTAGGACATGTGCGCAGGACGCGGACTGCCCCTTCACGAAGGAGAACCACTCGTGCCGCGGCGCGGGGACCTGCGAGCCCGGGGCGCGCGGCGCGCCCGAGGCCCGCGGGAAATGTGTCAACAATAAATGTATGCGGCTATCCGACAAAACCCACATCTACGACGTGGCGAATCGGCCGTGGTTACTGCCAGCGATCGCGGACGCGGCCGAGGACGCGGCGTCGAAGGCGTTCCTGCGCGGCCTGATCCGCCTCGCGGGCCGCGGCCAGCCGGAAGAGCGGCCGTCGTTCCAGGAGCTGTTGGATCGCGTCGACCGGTTCATAGCGAAGCCCCTCCCCCAAACACCGGGCCCGAAGGAGCGTTTATACAAGTCGAGCGTGATCCAAGACAGCGCGCACCGACGCAAGTCGTTCTGGGACTACGCGTCGGTGTCGTTCACGGACCTCGGCAAGGCCGGCGGCGTGCGTGTGAGAGACCTGATCCAGGGCCTTTGTGAGGACCGGGGCTTGACATGCTGGGAGTCGCAGGTGGAAGGTCACGGCAAGGAGATCCCCAAGCATTACGCCCCGAAGAGGTTCCGCGAAGTGCGCGTGCGCAATCGGGGCTCGATGCCGAAGAAGTTCAGGGGCAAGGCGGGCGCACTGGACGTCCTGTACGGCCAGTTCTACGACGAGAATCCGACCCTGATGTGGACGACGACGCTCCCGCCCGAGGTCTTCGCCTTCACGGTCGTCTCGGACGCGTGGCGCGTCGTCCGGTCCTCGTACTACGACCGTCACGAGGACCTCGACGACCTCGACGCGTTCGTCAACGCGTCGTTCCCGCACGGCGTCCAGCGCCACGCGCAGCGGCTGGCCGGTATGCAATACAGCCGCCTCGTGGCCGTCACGCGGAGCCAGTGCGACCGCGCGCTCCGCAACCTCGACGCGTTCGATTTAATCGTCGACGCGGCGTCATTGGCGGGCGGCGGCCTGCGCGACCTCGCGGCGCTTTTATACGGCCTCTACGACGTCGACGCCCCCGAAGTCGCCTCTCCGAAGCCCGTCGGCGACCTGGCCGCGTCGCCGGCGGCCAAGGCGCGCGTCCTCGAGGAAAGCTGGTGCCATTCCGAGATATACGCCGCGGCGCGGCAGCTGCCGGCATTCGTCGCGTTTTCTTCCTAGACTGTTTAGTGTTGTTTTGTCTCCTTTTTACAGGCTCAGGCTAGTTACGTCGCAGGGTCCCCCGTACCCCTCCCGCTCCCCCAGTTTACTTGCTAGTGTCTTACTGGACGCTAGCCCCTCGATTTGCGTTGCAGGCGTTTTTGCGTAATCAAGCGTGATCTCATCAAGCGTGATCTCAAGCAGATAATCCACGCTGAGATCCGTGCGAACACACAGCTGTTGACGCCTGAAGCGCGCGAGCATTGCTGCCCACTTGCCCGCAGACACCCACTCTGTGCAGTGTCGAGGAGCTGGCTGCAGCGGCAGACACAAGCAAAAGCAAAAGCAAATGGGCGTGTGGGAGCGCAAAGCGAAGGCGGGCGCCATCGGAGGAGTGACGGGTTTCATGGTCGGCGGCGCGGCGGCCGCGCTACAGATGCGCGGGCGGCACGCGGGCCCGGCGGCGCTCTTTTTGGCGTGCGTTATTGGTGTTGGCGCGGCGTTCCGGCAGACGTAGCCATGGCGAGCAACGACGAACCGTCCTTCGCGCAGCTCGTCATGCGCGCCGTCGCAAAGCAGAAGGTGGACCCGTCCTTCGTCGCGACGGCCGCGGCGTCGATCAGGAAGCTCGGATTCAAAAAGAAGGTCTTGACGGTGCATGCCATCGGCGGCCAGCCCCACGTTGAGGGAAATGATGATCTGTGGATCCTGCTCGCGGACGCGCTCAAGGTCCAGACGCTCGACGTTTTGGTCGTGGGGCCCGACGTGCGCGACCGCCCCGCGCGGGCGTACCGGGGCCGCGTGCGCGTGACGCACGACGCGGGCGCGTACGACGTCGACAACAGGCGCGTGTGGCGGGCCGCGCCGGATGTGGTCATAGCCTTCCACCCAGGCTTCTGGGGCTACGACTCGTGGCGGCCGACGTTGATGGGGCTGCTGCGGACCTCCATTCCAATTATTGTTACGAGCTACACGATGGAGGAGGCGCGCCTCGACGTGCGGGCGCTCGGCGCGGCGACGCTCGAGGCCGGCGCTGATGACGATGCTGCCGACGCGGCGGCGGCGACGCTGGACTTCCTCTGGGGCCCGGAGGAAAACGAACGCGCCGGCGCGCGGCGCGTCGTCGCGTCGGCGCCGCCGGGCCACGACTACCGCGAGAACAACGTCTCGTTCGCGGTCCGCGGGCGGCCCGACCCGCGGCGGTCGGGCTAACTAACGCCAGTTTGTAACGTACCTACTATGATGGCACAGTTACGCCGGGTCATCGGCGGGTGGTCGAATGGTGGTAGGTGGTAGGCCTGGTGGTCGCGTGACGGGCGCGGGCCGCGCTCTAGAGCCGCGCCTTTCCTAACACCACCCCGAGTTCCGCGTAGAGCCTTCCAACAACGCAGCCCACACCGATGACCGGCGCGAGCGGTCCGCCCCCGCGCGCGCAGATCACCCCCCTTTGTCCCCCTTTGTTGCCTTCAACATTTTGGGAGCCGGCCGTCTTGTGATTGTGACGCCGTGGCCGCGACGCGCGAGACGCGCTGCAGCGTGCGGGCCGCGCGTCACGAGCCCCTGTCCATCGCTGCTGTGGGTGCGGCGACGCGGCTGCCCCCTTTGAGCGGTGGGGGTCCGCAGCATATTAGCCAAAGCAGGCGAAAAATAGCGCGGTCGAGCGACCTTCCTGCTCGACCTTAATCTAAAAACAGGCGACGTGCGCTCGTAGCGCGTCGGGTCGAGCGTCCTTCCTGCTCGACCGTAATCTAAAAACAGGCGGTCGCGCGCGGCGCGCGCGCGACCGGGGTCTACACACACAAGAATGTACCCGCTCGGAACGGCGGCAGGACTGCTTACGATAGCAACGATCGCCGCGGCCACGAACGACGGCAACGCGAACACGCGGCCCGAGTGGAAGGTCAAGTTCTACGAAAGCGGTTCCGCCTGCAACGACCTCGCGTATTTGGGCTGCGCGGCGTCGTCGGCAGCCGGCGTCACGGGCTGCAGCGGGCGCGTGGGCAACTGCACGCCTGCCTTAGCGGTGCTCGGGGGCGTCGCGAGCCCCGACCCCGACGAGGTCCCGACGCGCACGCTGACTGTGGAAAGTTGCTCTTGTACTTCGGCGACGCTGTCAATTCACGACGAGAGCGGCACGGAGAAAGGTGATGGGTCCATGGTCTATGCATGTGACGGGGAGACGGTCTTGGATCGGCGGACCGTATCTATCTTAGGCGAGGAGGGGTCCGCGTGCGTTTCTGACCTCGACATCGTCGTCATGTGCCCCCAGGCCTACTGGGACGGGGGCTGCTCTGTTGCTGATAAGAAGTCGTCGGACGGGACGTCGTGGCCCCTCGTGCTGGGCATCGTCGCGTTATGTCTCGTGGGGCTGGCGGTCGCCGGTGTGGGGCTCGCGCTCGCGCACCGGTGCTTCGTACGGCACGCACCGCCGCCGCCGAAACTACCGTCCATACGACGGCCCGTCGAGTGCGCCGCGCCTGAGGACGACACGATTTATCTCGACGACGTGGCCGTGTCTTGACGGCACTCAAATTCCCGTATGCCGCCTCGGAAGCCGCGCTATGACGCCCGTTGTGACCTCCCGGGGAGGTCACGCCGGGCCGAGGAAACCCGCACCCGCTCCTTCCGCCAGAGGCCCTGCTGCCCTCGCTCTCTGTCTGTTCATACTAGTTAAGAAGCTGCTTAGATATTCATCTGCGGCGGGCCGGGCGGACGCATGTCCGCCTTGGCCGCCGCGTCGAGGTCGTTGTACCCCGTGCTCCCCGCGAAGCCGTCCGTCACGCCGCCGCCCGTCATTTCCGTCGCGAAGCCTCCGCCCATTCCTGAACGCAGGGCGATCGTGAGCGCGTACGTCGCGCTCAGGAAGTACATGAAGACGCAGGCCGCCACCAAGTCGCCGCAGAAGTGCGCGCCCGCCTCGGCCCGCGAGTTGGAGATGCGCGAGCGGCAGACCGGCCCGTCGTTGACGTCGAAGACCTGGTGCAGATCAGAGGAAGTGGCCGAGGCCGCGACGGCCGCCGTGTACGTCAGGAAGAGCAGGACGTAGGGCCCCTTTTGTTGTAAGCTTAAACCAAGCTCGCCGTCGAGCATGTTGAGATGCTGCGCGACCAGCAACCCTCCCGAATACAAGAAGCTCAGCACGCCGACCCACACAAAAAACGTCAACGACGGATACCATTCATAATGGAACTGCGCGTGGTGGCTCGTGTTCGCCGACGACATGAGCCAGAAGCTTAGGAGCGAGAAGAGCACGAGCGCTCCACTTCTAATCTTCTCGACCATGTGGGGCTCGAACTCGGTGGGGATCTCGATCTGGACCATGGTTGGTGGTGGGGCGCGTCTACGCTACGCGGTGATCCTGGCGTGTTGATGATCGCTGCGGCGCGTTGGTGTGGCGCGGATGCTACGCTACGACTACGACTGGCGTAGGCGCGTGGTTGATGATCGCTCCGCGCGTGCGCAGCGGTTTCCTCGGATGGCTGGGAACTTGATTGCTCGGCCGCGCTTGCTGCAGCAACGTGCGCGCACTGAAAAGAGCAAGAGAGGGCTGCGCGGATGCGCTCTGTTGACGTCCTGCGTTGGACCTACGGCCGTAGCAACCACACAATAGGATTGCGACTGGGTTGCGTGGAATTAGCTAGCGGCCTGTAAGGCACTAGGAATACTTGCGGCTGGTGTGCTCCACACACGCGGCATTGCAAACGACACTGCGAGACAGTTTGCATTATTCGCTCTGAAACGCGCTGCATTGCTTCGCTGACTAGCTTTTGTTGCATAGCGCCGAGCAGCACATTGCTGCAACCAAAAAGCGATGGCGCTCCGGACAGCATGCATCGCGCTTGCCCTCGCGAGGAGCGCCGCGCTGCAGGCGGCGCCCCGCCCGCGCACGGCGGCCACGCGCGCCGGCGCCGCGCCGTCGCTCTTCGACGCGCCGGCGAGCGACGAGCTCGAGACGCTCGAGGCCCTCGAGGAGGCGCTCGAGGCCAAAGCCGCGCTCTACCGCGGCGACAGCCGAACGAAATCACCGGCCTGGGACGCGGCCTTCTGGCGCGAGTTCGACGGCGAGGCGCAGTGCCGGGCCGTCGAGAGCGCCGACGCGGCGGCGGGCGCGCGCCTGCGGCACTTTCTGACGCTGCACCGCGTGCTGTCGCTGAGCGCGAACCAGCGGAACCGGACGGAGTTCGTATCGCGGTACGCGGCCTCGGCGCTCGCCGAGGACGGCGACGGGCGCCGCGTCGTCTCCGCGCTCCACGCGTACCCCGGGCTCGAGACCCAACCTAAGCTCGAGCTGCCGGCGTGGGCCGCATCGTTCGGCCAGACGGTGGCGGGTCTGGCCGGGAGCGAGCTCGCCGCGGTGCCCGAAGTAGAAACGAGCGAGGCAACGAGCGACGAGAACAAGTTTCTCGACCTCGACAGCAAGGCCGAGGACGAGTTCGGCGAGGGCATCATGGAGGAGTTCGGCGAGCTCGAGTCGGAGCCGCTCAAGATGTCCACGCAGGACGCGGGCGCGCCCGAGGACCTCGCGGCGTCGCTCGAGGCGCTCGACGCGGCGTACCGCGACGGCGAGGAGGAGGCCCTCGACTTCAGCGACGAGCTCGCGGAGTTGCTGGACGACGGTGGTGCGGAGGAGGACGCTGTGGAGCCGGTCGCGGAGCGCAAGGCGGCGACGGCGCACGCCTACGGCCGGGCCACGGCGCTGGGGCGGTCCCATTTCCCGCAGCTGCTCGACGCGCTCGAGGGCGTCCCGGACCTCGGCCCGCGCCACGTCGCGTTATTGGAGCAGGCGCCCGACACGCGCACCGCGCCGCACTCGGACCTCCAGGCCTACACGGCGACGCTCTACGTGTTGGTCGCGGGGAGCGGCGGCGTTGTGGTCGACGGCGTCGAGACGGCGCTCGCGCCGGGCGAGGCGCTGCTCCTGGACACGACGTTCCGTCACGCGACGTTCGCCGGCGCGGGCGGCGCGCGCTTCGTCGCCGTCGACGTCTGGCACCCGGCGCTGACGGCGGCGGAGCGCGACGCGCTCGCGGCCTTCTTCGCGCTCGACGAGCAGTTCGTCCTGCGCCGCGACCAGAGCGCGGAGGCCGTCGAGGCGCTGCGGCGGACGGACCGGGGGCTGGACCTGCTTGTGGCGGAGGCGGAGTAAGTATATCAACAACACTAGGCTTACTCCTCGTCCAGGAACTCATTGAGCTCCTTCATGTCCGCATCATCATCTTCAACGGGGTCCTCCTCCTCCTCGTCTGGCCAATCGCGCGCGAGCGCCGCGGCCGCGTCCTTTAAAGCACCAGCGGCCGGCCCCTCCGCGAATTTTGATGAGGCCTTCTCCACTGCACTTTTCATGTCGGAAGAAGCCAGAAGCGCGCGCGCCTTACTATCCTCCAAACAAGCCGTGAGACAGTACGCCGCGCGGTGCACGAGCGACGGGTCCGCGGACCCGAGGACGGCTATTAACGCCGCCGCGCCGTTATTGGAGGCGACGGCTCTAGCGACATCTACATCAGAACAAGCCATGGCCAGGCACCCGACCGCCGCGGACGCCAACCGAGCATCATTCTCGACGCCGTCGTGGCACAGCGCCAGCCACAGCTTCATTTTATCGGAACGAGATAAGTGCTTGATCATCGATCTATCAGGCACCATGTTACATAACGCTTCGGTGGCCGCGCGCTTGACCTCGGGATGGTCACTAAATTGTAAATATTCCAAAGCATGAATACCTTTCTCTACCGCCACCCGTCTTCGAGCCGTCGCGCCCAGGCTCAACAGATTCGTCAGAGCGAGTAGTTGCTCAAAAACAGCTAAATCGGTCGCCTTGACGTGGCGGCACGCCCACAGTAGAGGTCTGATAGCACAAAGTTGCTGGTCGTCCGTTAATTTTCGCGGGTCCGTCGTTATCAGTACTTTGCCCGCGGCGTGGGCTGCCGATAACCGGCACCTATCATCATTCTTGTCGTTATTTGCTAAGTTGACGGCCGACCGGAACCCGCCCTGCTGGATGAGAGTACCTCTCATATCAACATCAGTAGCTAAAGCACAGAGCGCATCCGCCAATTTCGACGCTGTTTCTGAGGAAGGATTCGAGGATGCTAGAGTTGCTATCGCCACGACGCCATCATTAATACATAACTTCCTAGCGCGAGCTTTCGCTAGATCCGGTGTATCATTATCGGCGTCTTCGGGATCCTTTTGTTTCGTGATGCGCATGAACTCGTCGTACTGATCGGGACTAATGTCCATCTCCTTTTCTCGGAAATGCCTCCTCCGTAGTTCATCATTCGTCACTGTCAAATTGGCCAGTATCAAAGCAAGCCCATACGCTCGCGGGTCCGAGCCCTTCGTCTGCTTGGCTACGTCACAGATGGAACCTAGAGACGCAGCACTACGACCGCTTCCATGAGCGATCTCTTCCTTGGCGCGCGAGGAACCCGAAAGGCCCGCGAGGACTTCGACCGCCCGGTCCTTCGCCGCAGGGTCCTCGTCCTTGAGTAGTTGGGCCGCGGCGTCCAACAACTTGCCCGTTTCATGACTTCCAGCTTTGAGCGCCTTGGCCGCCAAGCCTAACTTGGCGACGGCGCTCGCCGCGGCCGACCTTGATGAAGTAGTCCGACCTTCCCGCATCAGCCTCTCTAATTCCCCTGCTTGTACTAAGGGAGCTAATGCAGACCGTCCTGACTCTGAGGAAGCACACGCCGCGAGGGCCTCGCAGCCTAGGATTTCGCCTTGCTCGTCCGTCGCGCACAACCTCGCGATTGCTGATATATCAATAAACTTGAGGCACTCCACCACGAAGTTCGTCGATGCTAAATGGCACGCTGCTAATAACGAAGCCTTCCGCTTCTGCTGAGACAAATCAGAGGACCAGGCGCCCTCGTTCACAGCAATGGCGTCCGGAGCTCGTAATGGAAACGTCCGACACGATGCCTCAATTAACGCATCGATAAAATCTTGATGGAGCGTAGCCCATATATAATCACCGGTAACCTTGTCGCCGACGGCTCGCAGGATCCTCGCGACACAAGCTTGCGCCTTCACGCGCTCGTCGTCAGTGATGGAATCGAGCAGCTCGTACAGACCCGCGAGCACGCCCTTTCGTAACGGATTGTCTTCACCCAATCCCAAAAACTTGCGCAATCTCGCGCGCGCGCCCTTCACTGATCCTGAAGCGAGCCACCTCACGAGGAGGTCCATCCCGCGCATGCGCGTCGGCCGTGAACCGTGCTTTAAAGCACTAGATACCACCACGGCCGCGGCGCCGTCCGCCGCGGCTCGTAGTCTAGAGGGAGCCAGCTCGTCGTCGTCGCTCTCGGAGATCGCGTCCTCGTCTAGATCCAACTCAACTTCTCTCTCAAAGTCCCCGTCGGCATCTCCCTGCACATCTTCTTCGTCCTCCGCCGGCGCCGCATCCACCACGGCCGCGCAGAGCGCTATACTAGAATCCGCGGCATCCGTCGAAAAGAACCCTTCGCCCTCCCTCCGCAGCACGCCAGCGACCTGCCAGACCATCGAGGGCTCGGCGATGGCCGCCTTGTGGGCCATGGCGCCGAGCATACACACAGCAGCCTTTCGTAAATCAGCAGTAGTACCTTTTGCCTTGGCCTTGCGGCAGGCGTGGTCGCCGGCGCCGGCGCGCCACAGCGCCTTGGCGGCACACTCATCTTCGATAGCTAGGGACGCGCCGGCCTTGAACAGGTTCGCGAGCTTCCTCTCGTCAAGCTCTTCGGTCTCGACGCACTGGCAGATCTGGAGGGCGAGCCTTTCCGCCGGCGTCGCAAACGCTTTATCTTTTTTAAGTTTCTCGGTCAGCTTCTCCTTGACGCGCCTCGCGGCGTTGACCGCCGTCTTATTCGTCGGCTCGAGCTGGACGCAGATCTTCAAATCCTTGAAGGCGTCTTCTAACGCGTCTTGTTGTTCCCTCGCGGCCGCTCTTCGGTAGTAGCACTTGGCTCTACTAGCGTCGAGCTTCAGAGCTTCATTACAGTCTTTGATGCACAAGTCGTGCTCCTTTCTCCGTAAATGGACGGCGGCGCGATTTGATAACAACGCGCCGCGCAACGTCTTGTTGTCCTCCGGGCATGCCCTCAAGCCAGCCGTATAATCATCGACGGCCGCGGCGTCGTCTCCATGTGAATAGTGCGCGTTGCCTCTCGTTTTTAGCCCCTCGGCGAGCTGCGCGCGGCGCGCCGGCGTCGTCAGGAGCGGGTCGGGATCGTCCGCCGTTTTTCCTCGCTCTGCTGCGGCGAACGCGGCGGCGATGGGCGGCGGCGCACATTTCGCGCTCGCGAAGGCTTGCTCCATGCGCTTTTTTTGCTGCTCGCTTTTGGTGGATTGCTCCATTTCGCCGCTCAGGCTGCGAGCTCTCCGGTCTGGCTATCCTGGCCCGCGGCTGATTCGTGCCAGAGTGCGAGCGAGGTGTTGTCAGCGAGAGGCGGATGGCAAACGAGTGCCTGAGCACTGCTTTAGGGGTATATTGAGCAGCGTAAGGCAGCGAAATCCAAGCGGCCAGCCCTCGGCCAGCTGCTTCCTAGTGTCTTACTGTACGCTAGCGGGTATCGAGGGCATGTACGGCGCGTTGTGCCATCGCATACAACTCAGAGTAATCACAGTCCACCAATATGATCGCAGCAGTCGCGCGGAGAGCGCTGCGCGCGCGCCCGCTCTGTTTTGGCACCGCTAGCCCAAATGGTGCAGCACTGCTGACTCGCCGCGCGGCGGCGCGGGGCTATCTGGCCGCCGCAGGGCCTCAGGGTGCAGCCGCACCCATCGCGCGCCGCGCAGCATCGCTCAGATTGGTCGCCGCGCGGCCGCCTCTGGCACGCCCGCAGCTGTGCGCAACGTTCGCCACCACATCAGGAGATGACGACGACCAGAACCGGAGCCTCGACGCGCTCGGGGACGACTTCTTCGAGCGCTCGCGCCTGGAGGACCGAGGGAACCAGCGCGCGACGCCCGCCGGCGATTTACAATATGCCGGCGAGCGGCCCGGCAACTGGGAAGAGTTGCTGGCCGAGGCAGAGGCGTCTTACCCCGAGCGCGCGGGCCCGAGGCGGTCCAAGTACCTGGCGCGCGAGCGCCGGCGCTTCAAGAACATCCGGCGCCAGCACTACCAGCGCAAGAAAGAGAGAATGGCAGCCCATACCAGAAACATGGCGCGCCGGTCGCGGCTAGCAGAGGCGAGGCGCGGCTGGGACGGCCCGCGCCTGCCGAACCCCTAGGCTAATGTTAAAATATTATGGAGACGTGCCGGTGGTAGAGTAAATGGGTCGCCTCGCTTGCCGGGGAAAACAACTACGTGACGAGCTTCGCGAGCAGCGCGCACGCCTCCTTGCCCGCGCCGCGCCGCTGGAAGCCGACGTCGGGGCATTCTTTTCTCCCGCCGTGGATGCAGTGGCGCCCGCCGCCGCGCGTCCGTGGCTTCGTGATCTCGACGAGCGAGGTCATGCGCGCCTCGCAGTTTTCGAGGCGCAGGAGCTCCGCGAAGGACGGCGGTGCTTGTGCCTTCTCGGCCTCGAGGACCTTGAGCAATTCGGCCTTGCGCTCGGCGTCGCGCGTCTGCTCGGCCGAGAGCGCCTCCTTGAGGTCGTGCTTCTCCTCCCGCATTTTTCCCATGTTCCGCCAACCTTTGTCCTTCCGTTTTTTGTACTTATTTTGGAAATGGCGATAGGCGTTCTCCGCCTCCCGTTCCTTCGTAAATGCTTGTAACGCCGCCTCCGCCGCGCGCTGGGCGGGCGTCCCGGCGTCCCGCAGGTGGGAGTTCATCGTCCTGTCCAACTCGTAGAAGCGCTCGCGCAGCGCGACGATCACGGACACGTAGTGCTGCCGCAGGCAACGCGGACACACGAACAGTTCCGCCACGCCTCGCGCGTTCTGCACGAGGGCCGTCCGCCACTTCTTGTCGGCCTTGACGGCCGCGACGAGCCGCTCGGCGTTGTCGACGTCCACCAGCAGGTGGGTCGCGTTCTCCTCGAGGCCCGCCGTGAGCCACTGGCGCGCGGCTCCGTGTGGCTCCGTCATCGGCCCGTGCCAGATGCCGACGATGGCGCCCATGAGCCACAAGTGGTTGAGGTTGCGCGAGTAGGAGCCGGTTGTGCTCCCGGGCAGATCTAATAGGCCAAATTTTTTTTAGTGCTGTGTGAGTGTGACGGCGAAGAGTCCCTCCAAGAGTGGACTCCGCGACGTGTTAACACGATTAAAGGTGATCACTGACGGTACTGACGCCACGTGAGTGCGTGAGGGGCTCGCTGAGCAAAATCGGCATGAAAAACCCGCCTCCTGCGGCGGAGGCGTCGCCGAGCCCCCAAGGGAAGGTAGAAAAGGAAGGTATATTCAATGCGATAATTACTATGCATAATAACAGAGTCGATCTAGTCGGAGTAGTCCGGCCCGCGGTACAGCTCGCCGAGGTCGTAGACGTGCTTCAGGTGCCGGTAGCCCGCACTCAAAATGTGGGGCTCCGTCGCCGGCGCGCAGTCGTACTTCTCGCAGAGCGCGTAGAACTCCGGGTACAACTTGGCATAATGACACGAGTTCACGACCGGCATGACGTGGTGGATGCTTTGCACATTCAACCCGCCCGTCGCGAAGCGCCAGAACTCCGACGTGCACCCGTAGTCCAGCGACGTGCGAGCCTGGTGCTGGAAGAAGTCTTTGGTCGGGTCGGGCCGCTGGCACTCGGCCTGCACATGCGAAATTTGGGTCACCGTGAAGAAGAAGGCCGACGTGACGACGTAGGGCCCAAGCGCAAACAGTAGTTTTCTTCCTATCGTGTCGAAGCGGAAGAAGGGCACCGTGACGAACGCCACGGACATAACGAACCCCAACACACTCAGCAGCCCGCGCCAGCCGTCGAAGAATCCTGTTCTATGCATCCTTCCTGACACTCTGAAAAATGCTAGCTCGTGGGGCGCGTGTTTGTTGGCCTTCTTCTGTTTCGCGGCCCATTCGACGTTGTCGGCGCCGAAGAAGGGTGGCAATTCCAAGCCTAGGTGCCTTCTCACCCAGGGAACAAACACAAATTTCCAGGGGTGCGTGAGCGACATGTTCGCCGTCGACACGAGGAAGGCCGTGAAGTGCCACAATAGGTTGATCCAACCCGTGAGGTTATGGTCCTTCCACATGCTCCGCTCCCACCGCGCGAAGGGGTGGTGCTGCACGTCGACATCGAGATCCGGATCATTCGTTTCTAAGTGATGAGACGCACAGTGCTGCTGGTACCAGCTTCCGTAACTGTAGAGTAACGGTGACGAGGTCAGTAGTGAAATCTCATTGATCCAGGCTTTGCGCGACACGGCGTGGTGCGAGCCGTCATGTGCTAAATTGGCCATGATGAGCCAGGCGCACAGTCCTAACAAAAACACTCCTGTCAGTACTTCGCCGCGCCACCACCCGACCCATCCAACACCATACGCCGCGAAGGTCGCCCCGAGACACGCCGCGTGCTGGTAGGTGCACTTGTGGCCATCATATAAATCCGGAAAGTGCCGTCGCAGCATCGCCTTCAGGTCCTCGTGGAAGGCGCTGCGCTCGCTGTCCTTAGGAGGCGTGTCTTCGACGCCGGGGGGGCTCTCGGACCGCTTGTACTCACGCACTTCATACTTCTTGAGCGCCTTGCGGTGCTTGTCGTTCATGACGTGGAACTGCTCGAAGAGCCGCGTCGCGTCGCTGCCCCGGCACAAATCGAGCGCCGTCGCGCCGCCCGGATGGACGTCCCGGAAGGGCGCCAGGTCGTAGCGCCTTCCATGCACGACCCAGAGGTTGTTGAGGTCATCATCATACTCCTGCGGCGTGTGCGGGCGCAGGTCCTCGCCCTTGGACCAACGCCTGCTGGTGAGGGGGTTGCCCGGCGCCGCTTTCTGCCCGCCGCGGCCCATAACACCGGCGTGTGTCGTCTATGTGCTGCTGCTCAGCGTCCCATGCGTGCTGCTCGATGTGATTCGACCTCAGCGAAATGGTACAGCGGCCGGCCCAGGTTGGGCGTGGGTGGCAAGGAAGGAGCTTGCGGTTTCGTCCTACAAGCCTCCGTAGGCTTCCGTCCCCTTGCCAGGGAGTCTCCGGGGAGTCGTCGCTGGGCCGCTGGTCCCGGCCGCCGGGTATAAGGTATCGGTATGGTACCTTATACCTTATACCTCGACAGTAGGAGCATTGCATGCACACGCAAAAAACGACGTAATACACGTCTTATTCTGGTTATTGCCACCGCCGTACGCACTCGTTGACAGTGCACAGCTGGCCGTGGCAGCAGAATTCAGACGTGAGTCTCATTAGCCTCTGTCAGCAGCACTGCTTCATCACAGCAGTTTCATCGCTGCATCACGCGCGCCGAACGCCATCGCCTCGGCACACCGTAGAACACTCCTGCATCACAACAGCTTCATCGGCACATCACGCGCACACCGTGGAAATATGGCCGAGCTCACGGAACCCCGCAAGCGCAAGTCCGAGGAAACGGCACCGGCCCAGAAGCGCGACCGGAAAGGAGCCGCACGACCGAACATCCTCGTGACGGGCACGCCGGGCGTCGGCAAGACGCGCGCCGCCGAGGCCATCGCGGCGCGCCTCGGCCTGCAGCGGCTCGGCGTCTCGGAGCTCGCGAAGTCATTGAAAGCGTTCGAGGAGTTCGACGAGGCGCGGCAGTGCCAAGTGCTCGACGAGGACCGCGTGCTGGACGCGATGGAGCCGGACCTGGGCCGGGGCGGGTTTGTAGTCGACTACCACGCGTGCGAGCTCTTCCCCGAGCGCTGGTTCGATTTGGTGCTCGTGCTGCGCGTCGGCACCGAGACTTTATATGATCGCCTCACGGCGCGCGGCTACCCCGAGCCGAAGCTCCAGGAAAATCTGCAGTGCGAGATCATGCAGGTCGTCCTCGAGGAAGCCAGAGAGGCCTACGCCGCGGAGGTCGTCGTGGAGTTGAGGAATGAGAGCGAGGCCGACCTCGAGGCGACGCTTGCGCGGGTGGCTGCGTGGCGCGACGCGTGGAATAATTCTTGAGGTATAGTATTTACACAATCTTAATGGGCCTGTTGGCCTTGACCGCCGCCTGGATCGCGGGGTCCGTCTGGCCCCGGCAATTCCAGTCCGTCGGCATGCGCGGCGAGTAGAGCTTGATGGAGTGGCGGAGACCCCCGTAGCAGCAGGACTTGGCCGTCGCGACGCGTTGCCCGTACTTGGAATTGGCCCCGTACACCGCCGTCTGCCCCGCCTCGTTGGGCGCGCCGTTGCAAATCCTAAGCCCCTCGCAGTAGGTCGCGTCGCTCACGGGGAACGTGCCCTCGAGGCGCGTCCTTCGCACGCTGACCAGAGAGGGGTCCTGGCGCGCCGCGAGCGGGTAGAAGACGCCATGACCCACCCCGTGGCGGCACTCCTTGAACATGGACGTGTGGACGTGCTCGTTGTACTCGTAGGGGTCAAGCCAGGGCTCGCAGAGACTCCGGAAGATGTCCTCCGGGTACGCCTCGAGGTCCGGCCGCACCAAGGACCCGTAGTGCCACCAGAAGCCGTGCAGCACGTGGATGAGGTGGAAGTCCGGGTATTTTCGTCTAGTTGTGAACCCGTGCATGTCGCCCAGTGAGGAAGGCGGTCGATGCGGCGCTCGCGCGGTCGGAGGGCTGCGGCGTCGGCGTGCACCTGCGCAAGAAGGGCCCGGACTGGCGCGCCGGCGATGTGGGGCCCTGTGTGGAAATCAAACTTTTACGGCGCGTTCGCGTTGAATCGTCGCGTCGTCCTCCACGCCATCGATGCGACGCTTGCTCGATGGCGTGGCGATGCCGGTTCCTCGCCGCTCGATTGAGCCAGGAGGCCGCGTCATCGCCGAGAAATGACTTAGTGAAGAATTGTCGGGCACCCGACGCACTGGTTGATTTCCACACAGGTGTGGCCCCGCCTGAGAGAAGCGGTCGCGCGGCACGACGGCGGTCTACTCATTGGTTCCGATGGTCACTCGGCGTGGTTGAAGCGAGATCTCATCGCCCTCGCGAAGGCGGACAACGTGTCGATCGTCGAGGCCCGCGTCGACGACCCGGCGCTCGAGGCGCTCGTGGAGAACCACCTCTTCTCGCGCTGCGCGTTCCTCGTGCCGACGCGGGGCTCGACCTTTTTTAATGTGGCCGCAGTCCGCGCGACGGGTCGTGCCGACATTCGCGACGTCCTCGCGTGCCCGCAGACGAAGAAAGCGATCAACCCCTTCGACGGCCGGCCGATGCCCTGCATGTTCGACCCGTCCTGTCCCGCCGTTCTCCCGGACGCGCAGTTCGAGCGGGGGTCCATCGGCGAGTACAAGCCCCGGAGCGGGTGCTCGCCCCTCCACGGCGGCTGCGCGTGGATGCGCACCGGCCACAGCACGCAAAGGGCTCGAGCGGCAAAGCACCTGGGAGGGAAATGAACTAAACACATTATGAACTAGAAGCATCTCTGGCCGCGTTCCCGAGGCCGGCTGCGGCGACGGCGTTCGGCGCAGACGCAGCAGACTTCGCCGGAGGCGCGAGGATCGCGTCGAAGCGCGCCTTATCTGACAGCAGCTTCATCGACGCGACGACTGCTTTTTCATCTGACACTTGCGCCTTCAGTAGAGCGGAACTCCGGAAGAAGCGCTCCTTCACTAACGCGTCGGTGACCTTGAGGATGCGGTCGGGGTGCCGCCGGAAGGCGTCCTCGACCTCGCGCTTGGCCTCTCGACCGTCCTTCGAGTCGGGATCGTCCGCAATGGCCTTCAGGGCGCGCTGTTTCAGTGAGTCGAGGTCGCTCCTCTGTAGAACCAAGGATGCCGCATCGGCGTCCGGTTCCAGACCTCGAGCATACAGGGTCTTGGCCACGTCCGGCCTTTTATCGACCCAGTCGTCCGCGAACTTGTTCGCGACACCACTGCGCAGTAAAGCGGTCTCGGCTTTTGTGAGCGTGTCCGGCTCCACCAGAACATCAGGAGCGACGCCGCCGCCCGACTCGATGGGTCTTTTGCTATTCACGGTGTAGAAAGATTCCTTCGGCGAGACTTCCTTCTTTGAGGATAATGCCCGTTCCTTCTCGTAGTCGAGCTCTTGCAGGCACCGGCCGGACGGGGTATAGTATCTGCCAACCGTGACCTTCAGTGCCGCGCCGTCAAATGGTAATGGAGAGACGTCCTGAATGAGACCTTTCCCAAAAGTTCTCGAACCGACGACAACACCAGCGTCATAGTCCTGTAGGGCTCCGGCGACGATTTCTGAGGCAGAAGCGGACTGCCCGTCCACTAGAACAACTACTGGAGCGACGCCGAACAACGTGACACCTCTAGCTCTACTTCTAAACTCGACGCGCTCCACACCGTCCTTTTCTTTGGGCGTCTCGCCCGAAGGCGTCGCGTCCCTGACGAAGCCCCGGCCGCCCGCCGACGCGATGACGGCGTCGGGCGGCAGGAACAACGACGCGACGTCCACCGCCGCATCTAGCAACCCTCCCGGATTTCCTCTCAGATCGATGATCACGCCCTCGAGCTTCGACTTTTGACTGTCGAAGCGTAAGGAAGCCAGACCTTCGACCAATTCCGGAGCCGTCTCGCGCGAAAAGCCGCCTACTCTAGCGTAGGCCACGACTTTAGGCGCTGTTGGGGACGGTAACAACGTAACTAACTCGACGTCTCGCCTTCGCACCGCAAATCTCTTAAGATCTGTGGTCCGTGGCGTCGTCTCCCAGGGGTGCTTGTACTCCACGCTTACGTCGGTGCCGGGCTTCCCTCGCAATGATGACCTAGCTGCATCTAACACAGCGTCTCCTGAGCTGCCGGATGGCGTCGAACCGCCAATCGACAGTAACGTATCCCGAGGCCGTAAGCCCGCCTCCCAGGCGTAGTCCTCATACGCATCGACGACGGCCACGTCCACCTCGCCGCTCTTCATCGCTTTCACCGGGTCCTTGGAATCTCGGGGTTTTCCCGATATAACTAATCCAACGCCCCCATACCGCCCCTCGACGCTCTCGATCATGTCCGACGCTTGGGTGGACTTGGCGTACTCCGTGTAGGGGTCGAGCGTGGCCAACATGGCCTCCACCGCACTCTCCATGAGCTTTTTTGGGGACACGCGATCGACGTAGCGCTTATCTAATGCATCTAATACAATTTCGAACTGGGCCGCCGCCTCCCTAGCTTCTCTCCCTTCGGTATTGATGGAGTCGCCGACGGGCCCGACGGCCACAAATACTGAAAGGGCGATGCCCGCCAAAGTGCCTCGCGCGAACGCGCCGGCGTCCTCTGGTAAATTGATTTTGTTTTTGTATGTCTCGAAGGATTCCTGGAAGGTCTTCTTCTTTGGTGCTGGTTTCTTGCCGAAGCTCGAGAAGTCGAAGGCTTGTGCGATGTGTAGTAGCAGGAACGCGTTTCGCAGCCGGCCGCCTCGTCGTAGCGCGGGGTACGAATTCATGGCAAATATGTGTCAGCAGTTTATTAAAGCAACAAGCACAAGCTTTTTCGCGCGGCCGCTCCGGTCGGGCTTCACGACCGACCTGCCCGTGCCCCCACGAACAGGATGACCTGGCAAGCTGCACAACTAACCCAGAGCAATGCCAAGCGCGTGGCTGCGTGCCTTGGTACCTTAGCTCTAATATTACCTATTCCTCTTACTTGCAGTGCTGAGGTAGCGACTGCCAGCGCGAAAAATATGGCACGGCGTTTTGGACTAGCTAGCATACTGTAAGACACTAGCGGGGTTTGCCGAGGCGTTCTGCTTGAATCGGCGACGCGCGGTGTCTCCCCCCCAGGGGCTCCGCCCACTAGTCCTAGCACCGTAACATCGACACACTAGCGAAAACATATCGTCTCTTATCGTCGACTATCCTCGTACTCGTCGTAGTAGTCCGCATACAAGCTCTCGTCGACGTCGGCGTCCTCGTCGTAGCCGCCGCCGTACTCGCTGTAGTACGCGTCCTCGTCCTCATAATCGTAGTACGGTCCCAGCTCGTCGTATTCGTCGTATCCGTCGTTATAAGCCGAATATTCGTAATCATCAGCAATCTCCGATGCCGCGTACGACTCCTCCTCGAAGGTCACGGCCGCGCGCGTCTCGGACCAGCCGACGCCGCGAGACGCGAGGACCTCGCGCATCGCCCTTAACTCATCAGAAACGCGCTGCGCCTTCGTTCGCCGCACCGTCCCCAGCGCCTCCCACTCCTCGAGCAGGCTCTCGCGTTTCTCTTCGAGGGCGGCCTCGTGCGCCTCCACCCTCGCGCGCCGGGCGACGGCCTCGGTGCGCGCGAGCTCGTTGAGGCCCCGCGCCGGCATGGCCTCGAAGCCCTCCAGCTTGGCTTTTGAAGCGCCATCGCAGCGGTCGGGCCGCCACGCCGAGCAGGGCGCGCGAATGCCTTCGCCCAACGCCTTCAGCGCGTCGAGCGTCCGCGGGCCCCAGTAGGCCTCCGGCTCGTAACAGTCGCCGTACAGCACGATGGGGTAGACCGCGCGCCGGCCGCCCAGCAGCGCGCCGCATGTGTCGTCGTCACTATTCGGGTCGTTCTCGTCGCAAAAGACGCGCGCGACGTAGACCTCGTCCGAGCCCTCGAAGTGGTCGTGCAGCGCGTGCCACCGCTGGCGCGTCGCGTTCGCCGCGGGACCGCGCACGACGAGCTGTAAGAGCACCCCTCGGCCGCCGGCGTCCGCGGCGATGTCCTCCGCAGCATTGATGGCTTGGCCCAGCACCAGCAGCCCTGCGCAGCGCATTGTGTTTTACACCACGCACTGATGCAGCCTGAGGAGCCTGCGCTTACAGAGCAACACCTACAGCACAAATAATATGCGCACGCTTCGCAAAGCGCTCCAGAGGCCTCAAAAACAATGGTGGGCTTGAGTCGCGGAGCTAGCGTCCAGTAAGACACTAGCGCACTCGACGCAGCGCGAAGAGACGGCAATCATGGCTCACCAGCGCCCCAAAACTGGAGGTACATAGCACGATGCGTCGTTGTCGAGCGCATACGTAGCCGCAACGGCTGCCCCACACATAGGATGCGGCGCCGCTGGCTCCTGGCACTCTGCGCCGCCGCCGTGGCGGCCCAGCAGCCGCACCGCGAATCACTAAGGCACAGAGAAAAACGCCACGCGCGCGTGCTGCGCGAGCTCGCGGACCACGACCGGGCGCAGATCACGGAGATGCATGCCCAAGGTTTGCAGCCGCACCACATCGCCGCCGAGCTGGGCCTGCCCGGCGGCAACCACGTCGACACGGCCATCGACGCGTTGGGATTGCGCTCCAAAAGGCCTTCGAAGGGAACAAGGCGGCACAAGGCGCAGCCGCGCCAGGCGCCGTCGCTCTCGCCGTCCGACCGCGCGCGCGTCTATCGGGAGAGGAAGCGCGCGCGCAAGAAGGAGCGAAATGAACTATGATCTCACACCCGACGAGCGTGGAGGACGCCACGGTGTCTGCGTGCGTGCTCCCGACGCCATCGCCGCGACGCCTTCTCCTTGCGCCCTCCACGACGTGGTGACGGCGACGCCACGGATCGCTCTCGGGAGGCACGGTCGAGCGCCGCCGCGACGCCGCCGATGAGCGCGGCGACGGCGGCGCCCCCGAAAATTGATGATGTATAAGTGTTTAGTGTTGATCCAACGGCGTGCACATGTAGTGCCACTTCATGAGGAGCTCCTTGACCCTCCCAACACTCTCGACGGGCGACTCCGCTCGATGGGCAAGTAGCAAATGCAACCAATCATCAGCAATCTGCTCATCTGACGAAGGTTTGCCGACGTGCATCTGCTGATACGCTTGTTCTGGGACCGGGCACGTCGTGAAGAAGCTCGGCACGGCATATCTCGTACCTGATTCCAAAGCATAGACCTCGTGCATGTTCTCCCACCCACTACTGAAGATGACCGCCGCGCCACGACTGGGGTGGAAGGGCGTTAATTCCCGCCCGAACTTCCGCCCTCGTTCGAGCTCTTCCTCCATCGTGAGCATTTCGAGCTCTTCGGAGGTAGGTATATGATAGGTACCTTCCTTGGCCTTGTCGTTAAAAATGAAGTCGCCGCCCGTGAAATCAACCCCTTGGTCATTCAAATATAACACGGACGAGTAGTGGTAGCCCGAGTGCGTGGCTTCGTCCGTATGTAGTATGACGTAGTCGCCTTCGCCCCCGCCGCCGCCTTGCTGCGTCGTCCCGGCGACGTATTTCCTCGCATACGCTTGCAGCGGCAGGATGGTCTTGAGGTCCAACCCGTACTCGTGGGCCATCGTCCTTCGTACTCTTTCGATCAATCGAATAAACTGTAAAATAGAGGCCGACGGCAGACCCTCCACTTCGTTAAAGGTGAACTGATTGAGACCGGGAAAGATGTCCGGAGAGCACTCTCCCGGTAGCATGAACGACGGGAAGATGTTCCGCGAGCAGGCCTCGCAACACGTCCCGCCTTCACAAGCTCTACCCTCTTTAAGAGGAAGGTCCTTGTGCGCGTAGTCGTCCATGATGTAGCCCATGGAGTTGCCGGCGTTCGCGGCACCTGTTAAAGCCGGTTGCATGCACGTCAGATTTGTTCGTATTTGTTCCCTCGTCAATAAATGCTGCAAGTCCGCATCGAAGATCCTGTGGAGCATGCGCGGCACGTCCGCCGACAGCGGCTCGTCGTGCGCCTCCGCCCTATCAACTTCGTTCACGACGGCCCAGAAGGCTTGTTCTGTTTTAGCTTCGTCCATGGCGTCTCCACTATGCAATATTTGAGAGAGGGCGTCTTTGTCTACATTGGACGGTAAAACGTGCAGCGCGTGGAGCTGCTGCCTTTCCGGTTTCGCTGGTTCCTCGACGACAATCCTGGGATCGGTCCAGCTCGTCTCCATCGTTACAGCATGGTAGTAGTAGGTCCGGCCCTCGGCGTCCTGCGCCGTGAGCCACTCGTCGGTCTCTATCACATTTAGCGCGAGCTTCCGCCGGTGGTGCGGCCCCGTCGTGAGGAAGGCATGCGAGATGGCCAGCGTAGCGAGGAGCTTGTGAGGCATGGTCGCTGTCGGCGCGCCGCGGCTGTCGATAGGTTGCTACTCAGTGCCACAGCAAAGTGGCTCTGTAGCCTCTGCGGCGGCGGTCAATTCGCGTGGCTGTCAACCGAGTCGTGTGGCGGGCTTCGTGCAAGGCCTATTTGTGTCTCTAAGTGAGCGGTGCGGCCTGAATAGAGGCGCAGCGTCCACACGGTGCAGCCTCCGTCACCGCCTCCAACTTCTTGCTGTATCGCCTCCAGCGGTCTGTCACGGCTCGCCGAGGGATATTTTGTTCCGAAAAACGAAGCCTCCAAAGACATTTGCTAGAGGCTTGCGACGCTAGCTGCTTGTGCGGCCGTGCATGGTTTTGTCGCCAACAGTTGCAAAGAGATCATTCTGTCCTGCGCAAGCTTTGCCCAGGACGCGCTGTCGACGCGTGCGAGCAAGAGCTGCAAGATTGAGAGCACACATGCGCTGCCACTGCATCCTTTTGCTAGCAGTCGTCCGCGGCCTGTCACCCGGCACCGCGCCTCTCCAGGGCTTACGTGCAGCCATCGTAGGCGGAGGTGCCAGTGGCTTACTCCTCGCGCATCGATTGCTGGATGCTGGCTGCACCGTAAAAATCTTCGAGGGCCGCGCCGACCCGCGCAGCAGCGACGCGCTCGAGGGCCGTGCGTACGCGTTAGGCCTCGGTCTGCGCGGCCGCACGGCCATCCGGTCCTGCGACGAGGAGCTCTGGCAGCAAGTGAAGGGCGCGGGCTTCGGCAGCGACCGGTTCACGATCCACCTGCCCTTCGGCGCTATTGATCTGCGGAAGCCGGACCCATCGCGAGAGCCGTCGGTCCTGATCTACCAGACGGCTTTGTGTGGCGCGCTGCTCGACGAGCTGGAGCGGCGCCACGCGTCGGACCGCCTGCGCATGATTTTTGAACGAAAAGTGGAGGACGTCGACCCGCTGACCGGCGCCGTCGACGGCGAGACCTTCGATTTGGTCGCGGGCTGCGACGGCGTGAACAGTGCGACGCGCGGTGCCATCGCCGAGAGGTGCCCCGGCTTCGACGTCGAGCGCATCGAGCTGCCGGGCTCCCTCAAGGTCGTGCGGCTCTCGAGTATGCCGGCGCCGCTCGCGCCGGACGCGGTCCATCTCGTGCCGGGGAAAGGCGGGCTCGCCGCATTTCTGGAACCGACGAAGGACGGCGCGTGCGCCCTGCTGAGCTGGCGGCCCAGTGAGGAGGACCCTGGCACGATCACGGACGCCGACGCGGCGCGCCTTTTGCTCGCCGACTCGTTCGCGCTCATCGGCGCCGCGTTCAACACGACGGCGGTCGGCGAGCAGTTCGTACGGCAGAACTCGTCGCGTGCAGCGACGATCCGCTGCAACGCGTACACGTACGGTCGCGTGGCTCTGCTGGGAGACGCGGCCCATTCGACCGGCGGTGCCTCGGGCCAGGGCTGCAACAGCGCCTTGCAAGACGCCGCTGCGCTTGCTGATGCCCTTATTAAGACCAGCGGAGACGTCGTGGGCGCGCTCGAGACGTACGCGGCGGCTCGACTACCTGAGGGCCACGCACTTCTCGATCTCAGCGTGGGCCCCAAGGGCGCGCTGCGCCGCGCGAGATTCGGCCTCTCGGCGGTCACATCGTCGCTGCTTTCAAAATTAGGCATCGGCGAGCCTCCGCTCCAGACCTTGCTCACGACGAGCCTCGAACCCTTCGCCGAAATTCGCCGACGGCGCGACTCTACCTTTGGCAAGTTTCCCTCGGCCGAGGACTTTGCGCAGATGAGGGCAAAAGCGACGGCGCCGACTCCTCCGCGGGACGGGCGCAAGACCGTCCGCTACGCCAGAAATCCCTGGGACCCGCCAGAAGCGGAAGAGTACTACGAGGTGCGGTTCTCGCCGCCGCGGAGCTTTACGTACGAAGGTCTCGGCTCGACGGCGGCCCAAGCGGAGGCTGGCGTCACGACGACGCATCGCTGCTCTAGTTTGATGGAGGCGAACGCGCTCGCACGACGCGTTCTCGCAAGAATGCCGTCGCCGACCGTGTGGAACTCAAATGTCGCGTCGATGGCGTGGGGGCGCCGCGAAACTCGATTCTACACACAGGTCGCTGGCGATCGCGACGTTCAAAATCACGAGCGACTCCGTGCGCCTCCTCGACGCGGCGGCGCGCGCGCCGGTGGCCGACGCGGCGGACGAATGGGTCGGGGATTATTCCGATGTATTAAAAAACGCGGCCTCCGCACCGGTCCCCGGCTCGGCGCCGGTGAGCAGCGACGACGACCGTCAGGCTGTCTGGGACGACATGCTGCAGGATTTGGCAGAACGAGAGGCCGCCGAGGCGCGGACGGACGTTGACGAGCAGTGGTCCGCGTACCTCCGATCTTTACAAGTCACGCGAGAGATCGACGCCGTGATGATTGGTGGGGAAAATGGGCCCGCGCCGTGCCCGCTCTGCAATGGCAAGGGCGTGCGCGTCATGTTCGGGAAGGAATCGAAGTGCGAGTGGTGCGACGGGCAGGGGTTTGTTGATGAGGGAGCGGTATGATGTGTAACCTATTTTGTCGAAAGTTCGGCAAGTAGTTCGGCCGTGCGCACCGAGAGAGAGAGAGAGTCACTTATTGTGCCCACCCCCAGGTAGTACGGACCCCGAGCGCTTCGCCACTGTGTCTTGTAGGGATTGGCGATAGGGTGTTGTTTCACCCGGCGGAAGTCCGTGCAGCGCGCCGGGTTCGCATTGGTCACACAGAGCATAGATTCCCGTCCTTACACACACAAGGGAGGACTAGTAAACTTTGTCGAACTCGAGGACCCCGATCAACCGCTTGAAGGCCCGCGCCCCGATCTTGAGCACGGACAGCTTCCCTTTCGCGCGCACCGTCGCCGCCCGCGGCTCCCTCCGCACGAGCGCCAGTTCGCCGAAGTAATCGCCCTCGTGCACGATGGACACGACGACCCCATCTTTCAAACAGGCGGCCTCACCCGACTCCACTATATAAAACGCGTCGCCGTCGTCGCCCTGCTTGAAGATTGTGTCCCCGTCATCAAAATCCTGGGCTTGTAATGATGCACATAACGCGTTCACTTGCGAGAGCTTTAGATCTCTGAATAGGTGAATCGACTGGACGAACTTCGAGTAGAGCATCATCTTGATATCATCTGACTGTTGTAAAATGGACTTGAATGTAGTTCTGTCCAAGGCCCACAATTTAACTCTACCAACTGCTTTCACAGAAGCTGCTCTAGGTGCGTCGTACAGCAACGCTAACTCCCCAAAGTAGCGCCGCTCCACGGAAGGATCTTCGGTAGAGGGACAGGGGATGGTCAGCACTGTTTCCTCATCCTTCATACATACCACCTCACCGTCCTCGACCACATAAAACGCGTCGCCCCGCTCGCCCTGCTTGATTATCGTGGCACCGTCCTCATAAGTCTCCGTCGACATGGCTCCGACCAGCACGTGGAGCTCCTTCCTCGTGCACGATTTCATGAAGAAGATGGTCATGAGCTGCCGTCCTAGGAACGATTCTTCGTGCGCCTCCTTCGGGACTGACGGCGGCGTCCAGTTCTTCGTCAGGCTCAGGCGCGGCGCGGCGATCGTGCCCCGTCTTGTTTTTGACTGCTTGACGGCGACGAAGGGCCGGTCGTCCTCCGAGGAATCGTCGGAGTCGGAGTCCGACGACTCGACGACGCGCTGGCGGCCGCGGCCCTTCTTTCCTTTTTTGTCACTCTTCTTCGGCTTCGTCTTCGCCTCCCTAAACTTGTGCAGCCACTCGATCATGTGTTGTATGGAATCCTGGGGCTGCTTCGTGATAATGTCCGAGGTCATGTCCCGGAAGATCTTCTCGATCTGGTGCTCCGCCAGATAGGTCTCCCATTTTTGTTGCTGGTGCGAGACGTAGCCGTCCGTGGCCATATTGTATCAGGCGCGCGGTCGGGCGTCAGGCGTGGAGCGTCGACGGCGTCGAGCGTTGACGACGTCGAGGCGGCGTGGCGGCGCGTCGACGGCGTCGCGGCGGCCGGGGGCTGCCCCAGTTGGCTGGGGCTTTGCGGGGCCACCGGCGCGCGGGCACGGTCCGGCACGGGGCGAAAGCGCGGCTGGGATCTATGGTCGACCCCGTCGATCGGTTTACGCCGCTGCTGGCGTAAATCGATGCGTTTGGGCTGCGGGCGCCGAAGCTACAGAGGCGCTGCCAAATGGATGATGAGCGGAAAAGCTAGTAGAGTCGGGCTGCCCTTTGCGGGCCAAGACATCAGAGCAGTCGCTTCTCATCCGAAATAAGCCTCGGGTACTGTCGAAGTTGGGGGCATATTCGTGCGGGGAAGCCAATCAGTGCGGCGCCAGTTGATCGGTAAAAACCAAGCAGGGATCGACGCAACCTGTGCTTTGACACCTCACGACTGCCCAGGCATTGGTACGTCACCCGGGGGCAGCCGAATTTTGCAGCGCTCCGGCCATGGAGTACCTCTACGGGCTGCTGTTCGGCACAGAGCCCAAGCAAAGCGACGCGGACGCGAGCCATACGCTACGCACAAAGCTTGAGGCGCTGCCCGGGGACCGCGATGCACAAATCACATTGACCGCAGCCGAAATACGAATCCTCAAGGAGGCTACGACGACGACGCGTCAAAAGCACGGCGGCGGCGACGAGCTCTTTGTGAGGATGCACAGCAACCTGACCGAGGACCTCGACCCGTCAACCGCGGACGCGGTGGTCGACGCCTACGGCGCCTCACCACTAAAACCGAACCCGCTCGCGAAACGAAGGCCGAGCCCCGAGACGCCGCAGCTGCGCAAGGCGTGCAAAAATGCGGTGGCCGACTTGATCTCCGAACGGCAGCTCGCGTCGAGCGTCCCAAAGGAGCGCCGGAAGACGCTCGAGGCGGCCCTGTCGGAGGTCAACGCCTGGGGCTTTGACGTGTGGAGCGTCGTGGACGCGTTCCGGGCTGTGTGGAAATCAAATTTCGGGCGCCCCACGCCATCGACGCGATGTTGACTCACTGGCTGATTTCCACACAGATTCCAGGGCGACACGTTGCTGGCTAGTAGAGCAATCGTCGACGCCGTCGTGTTTGAGGCGAGGGGTTTTCGGGCGGCGTCGGCGTCCCCCATCCTGCGCCAGGTCGTGTCCAAGATGCTGGCGTCGTACCAGGACGTGCCCTACCACAACTGTTTACACGGCGCCGACGTCCTGCAGGCGATGCACGCTCTCTTAAATCTCGCGCCGACCTTCGACGACGCCTTAGACGACGACGTCGTCCTGGTGACGTTGTTAGCGTGCCTGTCGCACGACGTGGGCCATCCAGGATTGACCAATAACTTCCTGGTCGAGACGGGCCACGAGCTCGCCATCCGCTACAACGACGCGTCTCCACTGGAGAACATGCACGCCGCCGTGGCACTCAATCTAGCCAAACCTTATTTAAGGACGCGTCCATCAACAGACCAGAAGCAGAACCGCGCGCTCTGGATCGGTTTGCTGCTCGCGACGGACATGAAGGAGCACTCGCAGCAGATCTTCGAGCTCGAACGGGCGCTATCAAAGGCGAAGGAGCGCGGTACTTCCTATGAAGCTTGTACCCCAGAACACCACGTCCCGTGCTTGAAGATCTTCATCCATGCATGCGATATCTCGAACCCGGCGAAGCCCTGGCCTGTCTATAGACGATGGACCGCGCTCGTCATGGAGGAGTTCTGGCGGCAAGCCGAGCTGGAGCGGGAGCGCGGGCTGCCCTTGACGGTGCCTGCGCGCGACGCGACGGATCTCGCCCAGTTCCAGAAAGGGTTCATCGCGTTCATCCGGCCGTTGTTTGCCGCCGCCGACCGCATCGGCGGCGTGGACATGAGCCTGCCGTTGGAGCGCCTCGACGACACGGCCCGACGGTGGCAATCCGGGTCGCCGCGCGCCGAGGCGTACGACCCGCCGGTCGCGACCGAGCCGCCGCCGGTCTCGTTCCAGACGCTGACGGAGCCGGTCGCGCTCGGCGACGACGATGTGAGGGAGTAATTATGTGACACAATGTTTACTACACAAGCGGAGTTGTCGTTCGAGCGAGTTCCGGCTCGCCCAGGGCCTCGAGGTCCCACTCGCCCGTACTGCTCCTCGACGACGCGCGGCGCGCCTGGGGCGCCACGTCGTCGTCGTCCACAAGCGCCGGCTGCCTGTAATACGTCTCCGTCAGCCGCTCCGAGAGGTCCCGAAACAGGTCGCGCCGCGTCGCCGCGTCGCGGTGCAGGTGGACCGCGGGCGCGACGTAGCGCTGCACGACGCGGCGGTAGTGTGCGTACGTTATGACGGGCAGGGGCACCACCGCCAATGCCTGGCGCCAGGCGTCGCCGTGCTCGACCGTCTTGTCGGATAACGCCAGGTATGAAAATAGCGCCAGCTGGCCGATCCCGAGCGACAGCGCCGAGAAGTACGCGAGCGCGGGAAACAACGCCGCGCCGCCGCCCTCGCTCGTTTTTGTATATACTAACAGGAGATGCTTCCGGTAGACGGGCTCCGCGAGCCAGAAATAGATGGCCGCCGGCACCAGGATCAACGGCGCGATCGCCGCGTACAGCACGGCGACGAGCACGACCATGAGCATCTGCGGCACGGCGTGGCCCAGTTTCAGTTCTTCAGAAGGCGGGTCGCGCCGCTCCATGAGGCGCCGCAGACTCAGCTCCCGTGCCAATGGAATTGGTCGCGCGGCCTCGACGGCGATCGACACCGTGGCCTTTACTGTTAATAACTGTAAAAAGTAAGCACCGACGCCCGGGATGGACCGTCCTAGTAAAGTCTCGATGGAGGAAGGACTGTCGATGAAGGCCTTGACGACGTCCGCGAGCGATCCGGAGAGCACCGTGACGAAGATGGCCAATAATTGAAAATAGAAGTGGCGGTCCAAGACGTAGCGCTGCACCAACGAATGCGATTTCAATCTCACATAATTCAAGGCCAGGGACTCCAACACATAAGGTATTACAGCCAACAAACCCAGCACGAGCAACACGGGAATATAACCTGTTACCACATCCCTTATAGCGGCATACTCGTCGTCTTCGGCGAAGGGCCTTAGGAACGGCACGACGTCGGCAATTCTCTCCAAATTCGACAGGCCCTGAATCACGCCAATCAGCGGCGTCAGCAGCACGCCGCACCAGACTAAAAACGCGTCGCAGCACCACGCGCGCCACTCGACGCCGGACGCCTTCTCGCCGACGTTCGCAAACACAACATCAGATCTGGTGGGCGCCGGGACGACCGCTTTCAAGCCTTTGAAGGAGGCGAGCTGTAGCTGGCCCAGTGTTGACGCTATACCGACGCTGGAAAACGTGACGACGCCCGTCGCCGACGGTTTGAACGCTTCCCCTAATGCCGTATCCTCGATAGCTAACGTGCGGAAGACGCGGCGCGCCGTCGTATTCGCCAGGCGCTGCGTCCTATCTGCAGCTTCTTGGACGCGCGCCTCGAGCGACGAGCCGCTCAACAGCGGCGACGACGGCTCGTCATTCTGCGAATAGTTCTCGGCGAGGGCTCGTCCGTTCGACAACTCATTCTCCAATCGTTCGAGCCGGGCGCTCCAGAAGCGCCGCGCATCGCAGGCGCGCCACCAGAGCCGCGGCCGGCCTCCACATGCTATCGCGTCGACGTGCGACCGCGCTCTGTACAGAGTCTTGCCCTCGGAACTGCTAGCGAGCGTTTTTTTAGCCTCGTCGCGCCTTCGCCTAACCTTCTCGAGCTTCCTACAATCCCGGAAGACGACGGCCGAGTGCACGGCGTTATCAGATCGCGCGAGGCGTCTGAAATAATTCAAAAGTGCGCCGTCGCTCCTCAGGTCGCGCGGCACGCGTTCGACAAATACGGAACACCGGGCCTGGGGGCCGTCCTCGTCATCCTCAACCTGGCTCAGGTAGTCGTACCTGAGTTTCGCGTAGCGCCTTGCTTCCCTATCAGCCCGTCTAAGAGCGTAGCACGTGAAGAAGTACATGAAGACCACCGCGGCCCAGCCCCGCGGCGCGCCCTTCTTGACGTTCGCGATGGTCCAGGCGTAGAAGCCGGACTCGCGGTGGCGGCCCGTGGCGTAGCACGGTAACAAGATGACGGCGGCGACGAGGCCGCCCACCGTCGTAATGTCTCTCCAACAACGAAGGAAGCGAATCAATAATTGCGCGTCCGGGCCGACGGCCTTGCCTAAAGCTTCGTCGTCGAGGCTCGACGCATCTCTAAATCCGCGCAGCCCACTGCGCACGGCGCTTGTCCGGCGCCGCGGCTTCGGCGCGTAGACGCTTGATAGATTGCCGTAGAACGCCGCTACACCAATTAGACAGACGGCCATGAATGCGTTCAGGAGCAGGGTCACGCGGATCTCGGCCCAGTCGCTGCTCGACGTGTTGAAGGGGTTGCTTTTTGTGGGCATGAGCGTGGGAGCCAGCGTCGGGGTGGCCATGTCTCACGTTGGTTTGTCGCGTCGTGTCGCGTCGCGCGTGCTTTGAGGACCAAAACAGCTGACCACTCAGTGGCTGCTAATAATTGACTTGCCGTAGCGCCGGTTTTCGATGCAGGCGGCAGACAGGTGTCAATTTGGCTCCAAAAGAAATGTTTCGACCGCTTGATAGCTATTACTCGATGCGCATTGAGCTCCGACGCGCAGTTAAAATCTCGCGCTAGCGGTAGTAAGACACTAGCAAATAATTTTCCCGAAGATCGACTCCTATCTCTCCCCTACGCCATCGAGCAGTAAGTTCTACTATTCACAATGGTTACCCTCGGGGTCGCGCGCGATGGCCCTCACTCCTTCGTACTCCGCGGCGCTCCGCAGCACCACCGACCTTTTAGATTTGAGCTTGTCGACGGCTTCATACGGGTCCTCGCCGCGGTTAATGATGTAGTGCGCCAGGGACATCGTCGACGCGCGCGCGATGCCGCCCTTGCAGTGCACGTAGATACGTTTGCCCTTCTCCATGTTCTCGAGCCGCTCCTTCATGAACGCCGCGCCCCTCCTCAAGGCCGTCTCGTGCGGCGCCGTCGTGTCCTGGAAGGGGAGTCGCAGCTGCTGGATGCCGTACCTCTCATAAGCCTGCAGGGGCCCGTCCCACTCGGAACACATGTTCACCACAGCTCCCACGTTGTACGGCTCCGCCGCGAGCTCGGCCACGTCGCAGGCGAAAGGTAACGTGCCCTGGACGACCTCGTCATCTATTATGGAAGCGAAGGGCGTGAACAGGTGCCAGCCGCACAGATATCTCAGTGAGATCGCCGTTATTATGAGAGGTGCATCAAATAATATCCTCAAAATAAACCGCTTGTACCGATCATACCTCGCGTTCCGGTCCCGCTTGAAGGCTATGATGAGAAGGGGCACGTAGACCGCCAAGGCGTGGTAGGCCGTGATTGGTAGTTGGAACAAGACGTAGAGGAGCAAGCCGGCGACGCCGGCGCTCCAATACGCCCAGACGCTCGCCAAGGCGAGCAGTTTCACCGTCCTTTCCACGAAGGGCTCGCCGTCGGGCTTCAGGAAGCGGTGTACCAAGACGAGCACGGGCGAGGCCGCTCCATACAACGGGAAGCCCGCTCTTGCTAAAGCTGCGGTCGCGGCCACGAACGGCATGACGAGCGCTGCCCGGCCGGCGAAGGACGTGGCCGTGGCGGCGGTCTCCGTGTGGTCGCCATCTTTGTCGTCGGTCGCGACGGCGGAGGCGCTCATGGCGGTGCGCCCGGCCGCAGCGGTCGTGGCGGCGGCGGTCGGCGGTTGTGGTCGCGGCGGCGGCGCAGTGCGACGGCGGAGGGCGGAGCGAGGCATACTGAGTGACAGCGCCGTCGCTGCCGTCGCTGCAAGGAAGAGGAGGCGAGGAACTGGTCGAAGAAACGCCATGGACCAAATCTGCGTCAAACGCCGTCGGCGCCCAACAGATCGGGGCGAGGTTCGGCGTAGCGCTGAGGGCGGGTAAATTGAGATATGTGGCGAGCTGTGTGAGTCAGGTGCTGCGCCTACACCGAGTTCGGGGACAAAACGCCACACGTCAATAATTAATCCCATACGAGGCTAGCGGCCTGTAAGGCACTAGCAAAAAGACGCTGTCTCTAGACGCTGTCTCCCGGGGGACGCCTACTATTCCAGCACCTCACAACACAGTATACTCAAGACTTAGGTACAACAACAAAAGCTACGAGGAAGACCACTCGTCCAACCCCACAAGCCGCCGCCCGAGCGGCGTGAGCCCGCCGAACGGCTCCCCGTCCTCCTCGCCCGGCGGCGCGCGGTCGAGCTGAGATTCGCGCGGGTCTTCGTCGAGCAGCGGCAGCCGGCGCCGCCAGCGGTCGATGCGTGCGTCGCGCGAGAGGCGCGGTCGCCGCGGGTCCTCGTCGTATTTGAGAGTTCCCGAGTCACTCAACGACAACGCGGTATCCGGAGGCCGATCGCCAAGGAACGGCGAGGCATCGACGGGGAGCATGGCGACATAGGCCGAAACGCGCGGCCGATCGGACGTGTTCCGACCCGGTCCGTGCTTCGTCGCCGAATGCCACAGGACCAAACTCCCAGCAGGTCCCTCGACCGCGACGGCCTCGGAGTCGTCTACCGTAGCGATCCGCCCGCGGCACGAGGGCACGACGCGGAGCGCGCCCGTCTCGGCACGCGTCTCTTCCAGATACACGACGCCCTGCACCGAGAACGGCACCGGCGTGTTTTTGACGTCGACGTCCCAGTGCAGGCCGCTGTGCACGGGACCAGCATCGGACCAGGCTGGGTGCGCCGCGCTTTGCGGGGGCTTGAAATGGGCGCGGTCGCACGTCACGTACAGGCGCTCCGTGCCGTACACATCCGCGAAACACGCATGAATAGCTGGATGCTGGCGTAGCGCCCACAGCGTCGCGTGGTGGTACAGCTGCACCATGCCGCAGGGGCCGTGCGCCGGCCGCGGCGACAGCGTCGCGTCGTAAATGTCGTCAGTGTTCGTGTACCAACTCACCGGCCTCGAATCGTCGGCGCCGATGAATCGTCGTATGGCTGCCGCGGCGTTTTCGCATAAATCGAGCGGCACAATGCCTGGCAGCACGACATAACCATCACGTTCCCAGGCTGCATACTGATCGTCTGTAAGCTGCCGCAGCGGCCGTGTGCGCTGGGGCCAGGTGCAGTCAGCTGCAGCCATCATTATTTGCCCTTTTTTGTGATCGTACGTCAGTTATTGATGCTCATCGCTTCGCCGGAGGTGCAGCAGCGCCCACAGGCGCCTCTCTTGCCAAAACACCAATTATGCGAGGCTAGCGTCCTGTTACACACTAGAAGATCGAGTCATGAGCAGTCTGGCTTGCATTGCCTCGCATTAGCGGTTAAGGCCGCACCTTGCACACGGACTGGCCCGCATCGATTCATTCTGCACCGCTACGATGCTCCTCCGCCATGCCATGCGCGCCGTGTCGCGCACGAGGGTGTGCACAGTGCGCCACCTCTCCGCTGCGGACACCGTCACCGTCTCTGTGCACGAGGCTCAGTCGACGACGGCGCAAGCGCTGCGCATGATCGGATGGGACGACGAGGCCGCCGACGTCCAGGCGGAGATCATGACCGCGGCCGAATTATGCGGCAACAACCAAGGCCTCGTGAAAATGTTCAACCCGTCACTCATGGCACCACAACCGGGCGCGGGCAAGCCCGTCGTCGAACGCGAGACGGCGACGTCCGCTGCGATCAATGCGAATCAAGCTCCGGGCATGCTCGCGGCCGTCACGGCTTCGGACCTGGCGGCGGACAAAGCGCTAGAAAACAACGTGATCAACCAGTGCGTCGGATGCACCCGATCCTTCTTCACTAAGTCATTTCTCAGCGGTGACGCGGCCGTGCTGGCTCCGTCGAGCGGTGAGGAATCGGCATCGCCACGCCATCGAGCAAGCGTCGCGTCGATGGCGTGGAGGTCGACGCGATTGAACGCGGCGTCAAATTTGATTTCTACACAGGTGGCGGTGGTGAGCGCCTACAACACCTCAACCTCGTCGGGCCAGCTCGCATTCTACGCCGAGCGACAGGCGAAACGAGGTCTAGTCTGCCTCGCCTTGGCCAATTCGCCGGAGTTCGTCCGCGACCGGCGTCCGACGGTGCCTTCACGCTGCGACTCGCGCCAATGATGGCGTATGGAACCTCGCGTCGCACAGGTCGCGCCAAGCGCCGGCGCTTCCCCAGTATTCGGCACGAACCCCCTGGCCGTCGCGGTCCCGCGCAAGGGCCAGGCTCCATTCTCGTTTGATATGGCGACGTCGGCGGTGGCGCTCTTCGGCGTGCTCACGGCCAAGGCCACGGGCGCGCCGCTCGCGGAAGGCGTCGCCTACGACGCGAGCGGGAAGGTGACGACGGACGCGGGCGCTGTGTTAGATGGAGGAGCCATCGCGACGTTCGGCACGCCACCTGTGTGGAAATCAACCAGTGAGTTAGTGTGGTCCGAAATTTGATTTCCACACAGGCGGACATAAAGGGGCCGGTCTAGCCCTGTGCGTCGAGCTGTTGGCAGGGGCGCTGTCAGGCGGCGCCGTCGTCGGTCAGGAGGTCAAAAAGGACGCCAAGAATTGGGGCCACCTGTTCCTGTGTGTGAAGCCAGACGCGCTCGTCGACGAGTTCGACGCAAAGGCCGCCGCCGTCTGTAAAGCTGTCAAGGACGCGGGCGCGAGAGTTCCGGGCGACCGGTCCGCCGCCGAAGCCGCGGCTCGGGTCCAGGCCGACGAGCTACCAATTCCGAAGGCTATATGGGAGTCGATCACGCGCACCGCGGAGCAAGGGCTCGCGGAGTAAGACACGGGCCTGCCTGCGGCCTAGCTAATTCGGAGTGACTCATTAAGGGTCCGTAAAGACCAGGGGGGAGAGCCGGGGGAACGGGCCGCCAGGTTTGAGCCGGGGCCATGTGGGGGAGGGACGTATAGTCGGGCGCTACGCGTCCGAACGCGCCGCGGCGGCGCGCGCGCGCAGCTCGTCGCGCACGACCTGCGGACAGATCACGATGCGCCTCTTCGTGATGGGGTGCGTGTACGTCAGACGGTAGTCCAGGCCTGCGCGAACATCAAGAGATACAGATGGACTCGAGACGCGTCGATCCCCAGAAGGCACCGGGGCACCAAGCTAAGGCTATCCCGTGCAAGCTTCTACACGGAATCCAACCGAACCAGATCGTCCAGTCGTAGCCGGAGAGATTGTACTTGTTCCGGCGGTCCACAAAATTGCGGAAGCAGCTCGAGTCGACCTCGTCGGCCAGAACTAAACTTGGATCGTCGGTCAATAAGCGCGCGCCGTACTGGAGCGCGCCGTAGAGCTGGGACTTGAGAGCCGTGTCCGTCCAGTCGCCCCAGTGGTTATACTCGTCGTCGTCGACGAGGCTTGCTATGTCGGTGACGCGGTGGATCCGCGCGTCCAGCCCGCCCGTGGGGTCCCAGAACTGCAGTGAGAACGGCAGGGACTCGTCGCGCGCCGCCGCCGCCAGTACGAAGTCCGAGAACTCGCGGCCGAGCACCCCGAGCTGAGCGTTGACTGCATCGATCTCGTCCTTGCTTGCGCCCAGGCGATCCGCCATCCGTGTTGCGCCGCGGCCTCGAACAGCCAGCTCGCGCTGCACCGGATCGAGGCCCGCAATCAAACCGGCCGTTCCGTACGCGCCCTGCACGCACGCCTCCAACAAGCGTCGCCCGTAGTCCGCTCGGCCGTTCCGGACCGCCCAATTTTCTAGAAATAAAAGTAATTGCGGCCCGGAGATACGAATGCGTTGGGCACCCTTCCCGTGGCGGTCGGCGCCTCGCGCAGATCTACCGTCCGCTCGGACGCGTGATGCCACGTGCGCCAGCGCTGTGACTCGCTCTTGAAGACCTTCGGATCTCCACCACCCGCCTCCCAGTCTTCTCTCTTAACCTTCGTGATCACTCCATTTCCGTCCGTCGGGAACTGGGCGTTCGGGCCACTATAAATGCCACCGGCCTGTCTTAACGCTTGGAGTCTTTGTTCGCCGGCGCGCCGCTTCTGAGCTCTATCACGACGTTTCTTGATCTTTCGTAGTTCTGAAGCGACCCGGGCACTGCCGCCGCCCGCTTCAAAATCCGGGCCTGATGGGACGTCATCATATTTATCGAAGTACGTTTCGAGAGCCTCTTGCGTCCACGTCTTTCTTGTGTTTGGGTCGGATTTCCCGTTGCCGCCCCAGCGCGCGTAAATCTGTGGCACGTCCGCGGCTTCTTCCTCGTCCTCGTCGTCTGCTAAGGATGCTCTGCGGAGCAGATCCGACGCCCGGCGCGACGCTCTTCTGGCGTCGAAGGCGTCGACGCCGTCGATGTCGCCGCCGGCAGATAGGTTGTTTTCTCGTAATTTGTTTTGCATCGATCCCGCCGCGCCCAAAGGGCTGGCCACGTCCAACGCGTCATCGACGTCGGCCTCGGCGCTCGCCGCCTCTGCCGCGGCCGTGAGCCGGTCCGAGAAATGGGGGTCCTCCCGTGGTACGACTCTGGCGCACGCCTCCAGTACGTCGCCGTCGCTCGCGAGTAGCGCTTGGACCGCGTCGCTGTGCGGCAATGCGCCCAGAGTCATGTGTTGAACGATGCGGACGTCCATGCGGTCCACGCCGGTCTCGTCGACGCCGCTATCGTCGCTGGACATTTTGGATTCAGATCTCAGCTTCTCAGGCCTGCAGATGCTCGACAAGAGCTCAAGATTTGTTGCGTGACGACCCTCTATCTGCGGCGAATTTTTGTCACTACGGCCCCGGCGTGTATCCACCAGGCCGCTGCGCGGCCTTGGGACACAAACCCGTAATTTCGTCCCGGGTTTTTTTGGAAACCCGTTTTTTCAGGCCAGCGGCGCGTGCACGGCTCGATACGAGGGCTGCTGCGCGCCGGCGGTAGCCGCAGACACCCCCTGGCCTGGGCTGGGTCAAGCGTTGCTCGAGGCGCCGCTGGCGGGGAACGCTAGGGCGGCCTTTGGCGCGGCCTGGGCCCGACGCGCCTTCGACGGCCGTAAATTACGCCGCCAGCGCAACGCGCGGAGCCGCGGCTCCCGGACTACAAAGAAGGGACCTGGAGGAGTGCTTCGCCAGCGTAACTGCTGCACGGGGCGCGACGCACGCGTTTTGCTGACCGCGCGACGTTCTCGCGCTTTCGGCCGAGGGCGCCCCGCCGGCCACAGAAATGGTTTAGCCGGAAGCGAGCGGTTGGCGCAGCGGCAGCCCGGCGTCGCCGCGGCCGTCAAGGCCTCGCGGCTGGTCGCGACGGCGGCGCGTCCGCGCGGCCGCGCGCCCCCCGCGTCGAGGCCGTCGGGTCGGCCCGGTGAAAGTTACGTGCGACGCGGTTCCGGCCGGGGCGCGGTCCCCAGCGACGCACCGTGTCCGAGGCCGCGTCGGCACGGCGCGCGGCGCGGCGCGAACCGAGTGCTCGCCGCGAGCCGCCCCCCGAGAGGAATGTAGTCAGAAATAATGGTAATTAGGACCCGCCGTGTGCGGGCCCAGATACAGATTCACATGCCCCAGAGGCACGACGTGAAGGCCGGCCCCTTGGTCTCGTCCCGCGAGTCCCCGAACGCCGTCTCGCCGAAGAAGAGTGACTGGTCGTCCGCGGCGGCGACGCGGTGGCGCTTGACGCGGCGCACAGGCGCGGGCGCGCCGTCGCGCGCGACGAACGGGCATTTGCTCTTGTTGTGGCCCGTGACGTGAACGCCGTAGTTGGTCTGGCAGTGGGAGCACGCGCCCCTCTCTCGGGCCCTCTTTTTCGCCGGAGCCGTCGCGGACGCGGCCTTGGCAGCCTCGAGCTTTGTCACAAACGTTTGCGCGGCCACATCGACGAGCAAGCGGTCCGTCGCCGTCTCGCACGACGGGCAGCAGAACTCCACGCCGGGCTGGCTCGCGGCGATAAGCGCGCAGAGCGCGCAGTATGAGTCGCAGTCCGTATCGTGGCAGAACGACGCCAACAGAGGCGCCGCGTCGCCGCAGCTGGCGCACGCGCCATCCGTGTGCGGCGGCAGCTCCGCGATGGCCCGGGTGCCGCGCCGCTCCGCGATCGCAATCGCCGCCGCGGCGCAGTCCTTCGACTTCGTCGCGTCGTCCCTCGCGGACGTCGTCGCATCTAACACGGCCGCGGCGTCCGCCTCCGTGATGGCGACGTCGGGCCGCGCCGCGTCCTCAGCACCGCGCGCGGCCTTTTCGTCGGCCAAGCGCCCGCGATTCTCGCCGCGAAGGCCCCGGAGCTCCGGCGAGTCGTCCGGAAACGACTCGAGGATGGCGTCCGTCAGATCCATCTGCGAGCCGAAGAGGAAGAACATGACCGACAGCATGAAGGGCCTCCGAAAGTTCATCTCGAGGAGCTGCTGGCAGATGTGGACGTCGTTTTCGGCGGCGGCCTGGCCGAACGTGAGCGCGCCGTGGGTCTCGGCGATGCGCCTACGTGTAAATCGACCGATGAGAGTCGGGTGCACCGCTCGGACGCAGAGTCGCGCTTGTGAAGCACGCGCGGGAGGGGCCCTCCGGCGGCCACCTCCCGCAGCGCCGCGGCCAGCTCGTCGGACTCGCGGAAGCCCAGCGTGTCGCAGAATTCGAACGCCTCCAGGTCGCCCTCGCCCCGCTCGTAGGCCTCTAGCGCAGCGACGAGGGACTGGGCGAGGCGCTGGCGGTGCTCGGGCGAGAAGAAGAACGTGTAGCAGTACGGCGCCCGCCGCACGAGGTCCAGTCGATTCAGCATGTACCTCATGAAGTTGGCCACGTGCTTCGTCACGATGGCGTCGACGTCGGAGGCGGCGAAGCCCGCCGCGCAGGCGAACGCGTAGGAGTTCGGGAAGAAGTCCCGCCGGTCCGACGGCGTCATCAGCGACGCGGCGCCGAGCTCCAGGACCTTGGCACCGATCTCGTCGAAGCGCAGGCTCGAGCACGCGTTGGCCCAGTCGAGTAGCGGTTGGCAGAGGTAGTAGTGGAGCTCGCCCAAAATAAATAGCGTCAGGCGTAGGGGCGCCTCCGTGAGCATCAAGTAGGTCCGCCGCTCCTTCCAGTCTAGCTGTTTCAGGTCCTCGGCGCCCGTGATGCCGTAGTGGCTTTTGAAGACCCGGGCCAAGAACGGCGCAGCGACGGCCAACTGAAGCGCTCCGCGGGCGTGGCTGCCCCAGCGCGTCTCGGCGCAGTCCTCCACGACGACGCCACTCTGCTGGACCTCCGTCAACAGCTTTCGCAGGAGCGCGCAGGCGCTCTCGATCGACCGGCTCATCACATCGTTCGACTTCGTGCCCGAGGAGTGCTTACAGGCCGCAAAATAGCGACGCATCAAACCTTTGATGGCGTCGTGCACAGAATGGGGCACGCAGTCGCCGCCGATGGGGGGGCGTCGTACGCGTAGTGGGAGCAGCTCCGCCTCGTCGTCCACGTCGTCCTCGTCGCCGCCCTGCGCCTTCCGACACAGCTCTCGCTGCAAGACCGCTAGCACGCGCCGCGCGACCTTGCCGTCGCCGGCGCCGTCCACGGTCCAGGCGCCGACTTGCTGGAGGTCGACGGGGCCGAAGGCTTCCAGCGCCTCCTGGAAGGCCTCGGCGACGAGCTCGCCGTCCGCCTTCCTGCTGCAGCCCACCATCGCGAGGGGACAGCTCACAATAGACAGCTCCACGTCGCTCAGCCACTTCGGCAGGTGGCCGGGCGGCTTGCGGTCGTCGGCGCCGATCACGCGCACGCTCACCACGCTGTCGCGGACCAACGTGTAGTCCGAGAGCTTCCGCTGGTCGGCGAGTTGGACCGAGCAGAGGGAGAGCGCGATCTCGCTAGGGCGCAGGCGGAGCTCGCCTTTCTGTCCGAACGACGCCGCGCACAGCACCGTCTTGAGCTGCGCCACCGTCCACTCGGAGCTGGCGCACGCGACGAAGCGCGTGCCGGTCCGGTCGGCGACCTTCAGACAGATCAGATGAGCATCCCGCATTTGCGCGCGCACGGCGCCGGGCGGCGCCGCCTCCGCCTCACCAGAGCAAGATGGCCTAAGCCCTGGCCCGGGGCTTTGCTCTGAAGCAGTTCTGAGGAGGGCTGTGAGACGGAGGACGGCGGGGAGGCGCGGCAGAGCAAATCGGTTTGTGAGAGGCGACGGGTTTTCAGGTGAAAATACGCGTCTCTCGGGACGCGTCCGAAGGCCGCGGAGCCACTTCACGCCTGGCGGTACGGATTCTAGCTGGACGCAGCAGCGGCGTGCCTCAGCGCGGAGTCCGCGCCGGCCGAATGGTACTAGTCAAATGGGATGATGGTCATGTTATTACGATGCGCCTTGTGCGCGCTTGCGAAAATATACGGACGTCGACACGAACGACGCGATGACGAGAGCGATCGAAGCACTCCGTAGGGGGCGTCTGCGGGTCATGCAGTCACATCGAATTCAGTCGCATCAGCGACTCGTTGAGCGCGTCGGGAAGAGACCGCGGCTCCGCCCGCACGGCCTCGGCCGTGGGCAGGGCCGGGACCCCTGCACGCGCGGCGATGGCCGCCCACGCGTCACGGTCGGCGCCCAGGTCGGCGAGCCGCTGCGGCACGAGCGTCGCCCGGGCCGTCGCCGCGGCGAGGTCCCTATTTCTATCGGAGGCCGCGTCCTCTGAAGCCTGGCGCGCCGTAGGATCTAGCTCGTCCCACGACTTGCCGGCCGCGGCGAAGTGCGCAGCGATAGTCCCTTTATCAATCGGAAAAGCGGACGCGAAGAGCCCACCAGCCGTAACGGTCTGCGGCAGGCCCGGCCGGTAGGGCTGGGCCATCAGCGCCCGCGCTTCCGGGAGCGCTCCCTGGGACGCGCCCCACAGGACCGAAGCGTGCGCGTAATCAGCCCGGGCCTTGAGCCGATCCACGTTCTCGTCCCGCGCTTCATCGTCGTAGGGCCGCTGCCCGATCGGCCCGAGCGCCTTCCACCGTTCGCCGACGCTTCGGGAGGCCTCGCCGAACTTGTCCGGGCCGTCGGCGACGGCCTGATGCGCTGAGCCCGCCGTTGCCCTAACATACGCGTTGTAACCGCTGAGGTCCCCCGGCGGCGCGTCGCCCGGGACGAAGAGCCCCGGCGCCAGCCGTCTCGAGTCCCGCTCCTGCGCGGCCGCAGCTCGTTTCGCCCAGGCCGACAGCCTCCATGCTGGAGCAGCCTCCGTGGGCACGACGGCGAGCATACGGAACGCGTGGAAGTGATGGGCGACGCCCGCGATCGTCTGAGACCCCGCGTCGCTCGTAATAGTCACGTCGCGGTCTTTGAGTAGCCGTTTCAACACAGCCATCGACGCCGCCGCGACGAGCTCGCATTCCTTGGACGCCTGGTTCGTCGACGGCGCCCGGATGAAGTCCGCGGCGGCGTCGTGCCCGCCGCCCCGCAGATGCGCCTCCTGGCGCTGCGCAGTCTCCGCCGCCGCCGTCGGCCCGTTCTTCGCCGCCAGCATCGCCGCGACGATTTTCAACGCGGCCTCCAGAGGCCGCGCGTTGTTGGCGGGCTTCGGCACGGCCGGCGCGAGGATCGGCGCCTTTGAGAGCGCCCGCATCCAGTCCACGATGCGTTCGCTGGCCCGGATAGGTCGCGAGAGACGCGGAGCGCGCAGGAGGTTGCGGACGGCCGAGACGACGTGCACGTAGACCGCGTTCCGCGCGGTGAGCCGTAGGTCGCCGAACTGCCTCACGTCGCCGAGCTCGATACCAACGTCCGCGAAGCCGGGCTTCAGCGTGCGGAGCAGGTCGGCGTCGGGCTCCTCGCGGCCAGCCAGCGCCTCGAGGATCGCCGCGGTCACGACGAGCTCGTCCGTCTGGTCGATCGACAGCTTCGTGTCGATGCGCTTCGGGACGCGTCGAGCGAGCAGATCCCTCGCGGCTCGGAACGCCGAGCCCCGGGCCGGTCGCGGCGGGCCATCGTAGGCGCTCAGCGCGATCAACGTCTCGGGGACGAGCCTGGTCTCGCCGGACCAGCGAGGCCGGCACAGGGCCACGGCCTGCGCGTCGAGCTCCTTCCACTCGGCCGGCGAAGTCGCAGCAGCCCCAGCTCTTCTGCGGCGCCGGCGATCGGCGAAGACGACCGCTCCGAGAAGCCCTGGCGACATGAATACCTGCGCGGGTGACGTCGACGGACGGACGTGCGATGCGGACGCGGCGGCCGCGCCATGCTTTCGTAGCGCAGCGCCCCGGTCGTCTTCTTCCTCAAAATTTCGCTCGCCGTCAGCCTCCGCCTTCCAACAAGCGCGGAGACGACGAAGAAGTCGCGGCCCTCGGCGTAGTTCTCGCCGTCGGGTCTGACCCAACCTCGCAGCGTCGACGGCGCCGTCACCGCCACGAACGCGCTCCGTCGCACGCTAAAGAAGACTTCCTCCGGCGCGACTGACGGCTCGTCCCACGCGGGGGTTTGTCCGCCGCGGCGGCACAGCGCGAGGAGCTCCAGGCCCACGAATGCGACCGGTACAGCGTTCACGTCGTCGTTCCCGCCGGAGGCCGTGTTCACGCACACACAGCCATCAGAGATCCATTTTTTTAGCGGAGTCTGCCTTTGGGGCACCGCTGCGGCCATGGACGCGGCCGCGCTCCCTCCCGTGGCCCGGGGGCCGCGGGGCGCGGACTTAACCCAGCTCTGGTATTCCGGAGTTTAGCTAAGTCTGCAAAACGGGTTTACGCCCCAAGGCGCGGCAAAAAGCTAGAAAACCCGTTTTTTTTTCTTTTAGCTTTGCTGGTCCGCCGAAGCCGCGGCTCGCGTGCAGGCTGACGAGCTACCTAATTCTGCGGCGATTTGGGAGTCGATTACGCCACACGCGCACGGCGGAGCGCGGGCTCGCGTCGCGGAGTAACGGAGTAAGAGTAAGACACACAACTATACTTAAGCTAAGATAAATACGGCACCAGCACGCCATCGCCGCGACCGCGCGTCGCCTCGACGGCGTAGAGGGGCACGCCATCGCGAAGAAAAAAACTAGGGCCCGGGCTCGTCCCAGCCCTTCCGCCAGTACGCGACGTGCGGCAGGACCGTCACCGTGTAGGCCTTGCTCTGCGCGAGCAAGGCGCGGCCCGTGGCGCAGGACGCCACCGCCGTCAGATCCGTTGAACACGTGAGAACCAAATCCGACGGCGACGACCGGATCGGGCCTTTGATGGAAAACCGCCGCCGGAACGCGTGGACCGCCGCGCGCGCGCCGCCGAGGTGCCAGTCGTCGATAATCACGAAGCCGCCCGGCGACAGGCGGTGGTAGGCGCCCTCCAGAGCGTCCAGCACACCGTCGTAGGCGTCGGCGTCGATGCGCAATAACGCTAGAGTCGGGGCATTGTTGATTGTAACAGGTCGTTCTGTCGACGTGGACCCGAAAACCGGCGGCAGGCTCTCGTTGAAGAAGCCCCTCAAAAATCGAACGCGATCGTCCAGCAGCCCGTACCGCCGGAAGTTGTACCGCACCAAATCCTCGCCCGCCACAAACCGATCCACCCAATCAAACGTCGGGTCGAGCTCCGGATCCAGGACCTTGCCCGTCGACACGTCCTCGATGGCGCGCCGCGGCGGCGGGATGCCCGCGAACGAGTCCGCGACGTACACTCTGCGATGCACGTCCCGTTTAGCTGCCAGGAGCCCCCTCAGCATGATGCAGGCGCCTCCCCTAAAGACGCCGGCCTCCATGAAGTCGCCCTTTACATTATCTGTTAAAATAGTGTCCACGACGACCTCCAAATGAACTAAGTCGGCAACAGCCAACGTCGTCTGGAAGCGCCTCCTCTGCCGCTCGGCCTCCTCGCCCTCCTTTCCCGAGGCCAATCCAGACACGCCGGCGGCGCGCCAGGCCGGACCCCAGGGCTGCTCGCAGGCCTGGGCCGGTGGCACGTGCGACAGCTCCTGTACCGAACAGGCCTTTGCGTCATGTGTTAAACCTTCCTCCTCGAGGTAGGGCCGCCAGTCCATGTTCTGCCAGTCCGCGTGCAAAAAATTCGTCAGGCCCCGTCTCAACAGATCCAGGTAGGCGTCTTCCACCTTCAGGGTTGTGGCCGCGGACCCGTGCATCGTTGGGGAACAGGGGTTCTGGATCTGCTCTTGTAACGTGCGGTGCTTGCAGACGGCGTCGCCTAGTCCCACGTCGTAGACCGAGAGCGCTTTTCCTTCTGACGTGCCGACGCCGCGCAGGGCAGCACGCAATCTCGCTTTGTACGTGTCCATGATCTCCTCCTGCAGGTCCCAGAGCTGGAAGTGCGTCTCGCGCGTCTCCAAGGTCCAGAATAAGTTCTTCTTGACGGCCCCGCACGGCGCGTGGAGCCACGCTATTTCATCATTATCCGGCAGCGTCTTGTTCCACTTCGTGCGGCACCACCTTGCTAAATGCGAGAGCACGATGTCCGCGGTGGTCAGATCGCCCTCGAGTAGGTAAGTGAGCGCGGCGTTCGCTCGCAGTTCTAATGTAGCGCTGGTCGTTTGTGCTGCTTGGCGGAGCTCCGCGTAGGCGCCACTTTTCACCAAGGCCGCGCCGGCATCAGTAGAGTCCTCGCCATTGAGAGGGATGTCGTCCGTTTCTACTAATGTTCTTGGCACGAAGGTCTCGTCTGCGATGGCGTCGTAGATCAGGATGAGTAGTGACAGGCTGCGCATCGTTCGATAAGGCTGCCCAAGCAGTAATAATGGGCACGTGTTACAGCGCTGCGACGGTGCGCGTCTCGCGCAAGCAGCGCGAGCGCTCGGGCTGCTGCCTTTTCGCGCTCGAGCTCGACGCTCGACGTTTGCTAGTGTCTTACAGCGCTAGCTCCGAGAGCAAGGTTGGCTAGGCGCGACGCGCATGCGGTCTGCACAGGCTGCCCAACGCGGTATACGTGCATTCACGCATGCTCCCAACAGTTTCTGAACCACCCCCGTGCTGATGCTATTCCTTATTCCATGCCTCTGCAGCGCAGCGGCCCTCACACCACCTGAGCTCATGGTGCGCAGCAACAATGCAGTGCTGCTCACAGCTCCACCGAGAGCGGTCGACCCAGATGGCACGTTGGCGACGAGATTGATGAAGCTCACTAACGCCACTGCATTCGTCGTCGACCCGACGCTCCACGAGCCAGCACCGCTCGCGCATCCGACCATCGAGCTTTTCGTTGCCGACGACACGGCAAGACGAGAAGTAGACTCGCGCCGAGCGGCGCTGGAAGCGGCCGCGGGCAATGCGTGGGCGCGCAGCAACGCCCGCGCCCACAGAGTCGCGCGCCTGAACGACGACATCCTCGTCCGCGCGACGGCGCCGGAGTCGAGCGAGCCGTCCCTTGATTGGGCACTTGGGCGGGCACGGCGCCTCCTGACGGCGCGGCGGCGCGGTTGCGTCGACGTGCTCTGCGCGATCGAGGACGACGACGACGTGTTCGAGGACATGTGCGAAATTTTCACGAGCGGCATCCGCGGCGAGGCGGCGCGGCGGGCCGACCCGACGGAGCCACTCGCGCGCCTCGTGCGCGTCGAATCGGCAGTTGTCCCCGAAGACGTCGCGCGGCGCGAGGAAGGCTACGACGACGTCCTCTTCCGGCGGGCGACGCGCGGCGACGACCGCGCCATGTTCGACCGGTGCCTCGACGAGTGCGAGACCTGTGTGTATTGGGTCGACAGCGACGCGGTCCAACTCCCGCGCGGCGCGGCGTTCGTCGCGGCCGGCTCGTCCGTCGACGCGGCCGCCGCGGGCTGCCGGGCAACCGTCGTCGACTGGGAGGCGGCCGCGGCGTTCTGCGACGCGAAGAACGGCGGCGCTAGTTATCTAAATACGTGTGTGTGATCTTGCTAGTGGCTTACAGGACGCTAGCTGTCGGATGAAGGCGCCTTTTTTTGCGGGACCGTAGCCAGCGCATAACTTCTCGTATGGCACCGTAGACCAGCGCAGGAGCAACGCGCAGCCATTTCGAGGCGGCGTGCGAGCTCGCGCATAGGTCGCCGCTGTGGCTCAGCACTCTGAGACAGCACTCTGAGAGCTACTTTTGATTTAGCACACCAACATGGCTGCGAACGAAGCAGTTGACGCGCTCCAAAACGAGCTCGGCTCTCTCACCTGCCAGGATGAGCAAAAACTTTCTCCCTTTAAAAAGCTACCGCCCTGCGTTTTCGTCGCGCTGGCGCAGCGCTACCTCGATGGTTCGCAACGAGTCGCGCTGGCGGCGAGCGAGAAGTACGCGCGCGAAACACTCGTGACAACTGGTGAGCACGCGCCGACGGTGTGGCGGGTCACGCTGCTCTCGCAAGCGGACGCGGTGCGCATGCTCTCGACGGTCCCGCCCCGCGCGTACGCGCCGTTGCGTTGGACGAACGAGCTCGTGCTGCTCGATTCTGATACGCGAGGCTTCTCTCGCACAACCATCACCCGATACTGGCAGGGACTCTCACTTTTCATTGATAACGCGCCCGCACTATCGGTGGTGCGCATGCGCAAGGCGTGGAGACTCTCGTCTCTCGTGTTCGCAGCGGTTGCGCGCCGTTCGGCCATGCGGCTCGAAGTCGCATCCACTCTTACGCCGCTAAAAGTAGTTGGTCTCGGCGTGGATGCTGACGTCCTGGCGCGCGAGGGTCGGCTCTTGTGCTCAAAACTGGCGTGTGTCCCCCCAAATCCTTGGCCCTCCGACGACAGCTCGTGGCTCCGGCTGTGGAATCAACCGGCTCTCGTCGAGCTCGACTTGTCGGGTCAATCGCTCGTCGAGCTGCCGGAGGCCCTCGTCCCGTTATGCACGCTGCGCGTTCTCCGCGCCGACTACATGCCACAGCTGGAGGAAACAGCCGTGCTCGCGCGTGGGCCGCCCATGCTCGAGGTGCTTACGCTGAACGGAAACAATAACTTAACCGCGCTGCCTACGGAGTACGCCTGCGCGTCGTCTCTCGTGCGCCTGGAGCTTGAAGGAACTCTAGATGGCTGGGGTGCATGGGACTTCATCAATGATTTGCCAAATCTACGCCGCCTCAAATTCCACTATGGGACTTACAAATCTGCCAGGCACAACGACGTATTAGCCACCCATCCCTGTCTCGCCCCTTCTCTGCTTGAGTTTGTTGGTTTCATCCTCGGGAGAAACCATAACGAATATCTCCGAGAATACATACTCGACGCCGTTCCATCTATGTCGCCCTCCCAGGTAAAGGATCTCGAGCTCGCCGCGCACGAGATGCGGGTTACCGACATTCCCGACGATAAGGCAGCGATGGAGGCCTTCATGGTCGATCTCCGGGCACTTATGGCTGGCAAGCCGCTCCAGTCGCCGCCCGTGGTGGTGGAAAATCTTGATGATGTGGAGGACTACCAGCGGAAGGCCGACCCGGACGACGAGGACTACTGCGGGCCTGTGGCCGACTATTACGGGCCTGCGGCCATGAAAGCAGACGCGCTTGCGGCCGCCAACGCAGCCTTCGCGGCGGTCGCGGCAGAGCGTGACAGGCTCGCGGTGGAGCGCGACGGGCTCGCTGCGGCGGCGGCGGGGCGGCTCGCATTTCGGGCCCCGAGTCCTGTCGTGGAAGTCTCGCCGGCCAAGCCCTTCGTCTTCGGCGCAAGCGTCGCGGAACCGCCCGCCGTCACGCCGGAAACGCACTCGGACAAGCCCTTCGCCTTTGGCGCAAACGCCTCGGGACAAGAGGAGCCCTTCGTCTTCGGGGCGCGAAAGTAGATAAGTAACTGTCTTGTAGAAAACTTTACCACAGGTCGAAAGAAAGATCACGAGCGGGCGTCGAAGAACTCTTCGCCGGTGCGCCGCGGCGGCGGCGGCCACGCGTCCGCGCGCCCCGCGAGGACCGCGCGCACGACGTCGTCGTCGGACGGCGCCTTGTCCTTCCGTCGCGCGAGCGTCGCGCGCAGCTTGGCGACGAGGTCCTGGACCTCGGCGTCCGTCGTGCCCGGCGAGACGGGCGCGACGACGGGCGGCCGCGCCGGCGACAGCGGCGGAATCGGGCCGGCGAGGACCTCCACTTTATCATCGCGCTTCGAGGGCGACCGGCCGCGGCGGTCCGCCGCTATTTTGGCCCGGAACTCGGCTCGCGACTTTTCTCGGGCAGAGGCGCGTCGTTCGGCGGCGGACGGCTGCGCCGCCTCGCGCGCGGCCGCCGCCGCTTCCGCTTTGGCAGCGGCCGACGCCGCGTCGGCCTTGAGCTTGGCGCGCTCGCGCACGTGCGCCGCGGCGAGCGCGGGGCCCTTCGCGGGCCGTTGCGGTGGCGTGTTCTCCTTGCGCGCGGGCGACGCGTCGTCGCTCGCGTCGTCGGCCGCCGGGCCCGATGATGTATCCGGCGACTCGAAGGGGATGGCCACGCGATGCACCGGCGGCGGCGGCCGGGGCAGGCCGCCGAGCTGCTCGCGGAGCCGGCCCATGCGCGCCTCGAGGGAGCCGAGCCACGACGCCGCGGCTGGCGCCGGCGCCGGCGCTTGTGCTGGCGACGGGCGCCGCGCCGCTCCTTCCGGCGGCGACTGGCGCGGTTCGGGCGCCGAAGACGAGCGCCGCACCGGCGCGGGCGCGGGCGGCGACGGGCGCCGCGCCGGGGCCGCTTGCGCAGGGGGCGACGGGCGCCGCGCCGGCGCCGGCGCGGGTGCCGGTTGAGAAGGCCGGCGCGCCGGCGCGGGCGCCGGTGGCGTGGCGCGCGGCGCCGGGGCCGCGGGCGCCGCGGAGGGCGACGGGCCGCGCGCGCGCCGCGCGGCGGCGCCGGCGCGCGCGGCGACGCGCGCCCGCACGGCGTCGCGCACGCGCTTCGCCGCCGCCGCATCCACGCCGTCGGCGCGCGGCGCATTGGTAGAGACGCCGTCGGGCAGGTCCCACTGCGAGTGGCCCGAGGCCTCGTTGACGTAGAACCACCGGTCCGAGGCCGCGTCGCGCTTCAGCCACCAGCCTCCACCTAACGCCTTGTACTCGGCCTGCTCCTTCTTCGGCTGCGGCTTCTCTTCCACTTCGTCCGAGGAGGAGGCCTCGTCCTCTGATTCTGATGAGGACGACGACGCGTCGTCTTCGACGGGCGCTTGCTTGGCATCCTCGTCCAGCGTCGCGAGGCGCCTCTGACCATGACCCCTAATAGCGCGCGCGCGCTTCGCCCGTTCGAGGACGCGCTCCTCGGCGGCCCTCGCTCGAGCGACGAAGCGCGGCGGCGGCCTTGCTGGTGTCTTGGCGTCGTCGAATTTGGAGTCCAACCGTTGCTTCGCGGCAGGCAGGTCGAGGCGGCGCTTTTGCGCGACGGGCTGCGCCGGCCTACAAGGCGGCTTGGGCACTTTCAACCGCTGGCGCAGCTCCTCCTCAGGAACCACCGGTTGTGATGGAGGTGAACTCTCCCCAGAATACCCGTCCCGCACCCGGTCGCACGCCGTGACGACGATCGGTGCTCTGAGAATCTCGACAATGTCCGGCCTATCGCGAGGCTTCGGCGACAGTAGTTTCGCAAATAACCGTCGCAATTCGGACGTAAAAGTAGCATCGAGACAGGGAAAGCCCGCACCTCGACCCCTCATCACTAGTCTAACGAGAGCCGGCATGCTCCGAGCCTCGAACGCCCGCTTCAAATTAAGTAACTCGAACAACACGCATCCCGCGGACCAGACGTCGGCCTTGTAGTCGTAGGGCCTTTCGTCGAGTAATTCCGGAGCCATATAGCAAGGCGTTCCGACCGCGGTCGCTGCTAAATCCCCAGTCGCGCCCAACACGCGCGAAATGCCGAAGTCCCCCAACTTGACGACGGGTGGCCCCTCCGCATCCCTCGTAATGAATAGGTTCGACGTCTTGACGTCCCGATGGACCACTCTATGAGCATGTACATGTTCTAAAGCCATGCAGGCTTGCGCGAAGATTCTGAGGGCTGTGCCTTCCGAGGGCTTCTTGCGTTGTTGCCTTCGTCTCGAAACCCACTGTTCTAGATCACCGCCCGAGCAGTACTCCATCACAATACACACTTCTCGTCCGCCGTGCGAGTTCCTCCTTCCAAACGACTCGAGGTGCGAGACGATGTGCGGGTGCCTCAAGGTAGCGAGTAGTCTCGCTTCTTGTCGGACTAATTTCGCTTCGCCTCGAGACAAGGACCTTAGACCGATGGTCTTGATGACGCAGCGCAGTCCATCGGCCTTGCGCGTCGCTACTACCGCGCTTCCGTAGGTGCCCCTTCCCACCACCTTCTTGCAGTCGTAGCGCTCCATTTTTTGTGCCACCGGTGCGCGGCGGCGGCGCCTTTTTGTCTAGTTTGGTGCCCTCACCAGAATGCGTGCAAACACGTCGTAGAACCGAACGCGCGGCAACCGTTGCGGTGCTGTGACCAAAAAAATGAGTCCTGCGGCCTCGCAGCCAAATCTGGCCGCCACAGGGTCCTCACGGACGCCCAAACGCCAATGCGACCGGCACAAAATTGACCGCGGTCACTCCTAACTCAAGCTTCTGGGCCACCTGTTACGCGCGAAGGAGGGATACGAGTCATCCTCAGCAGGCGCGCCGGTCGTTCAAAACCTGGCGGTTTGCTAGTGTGATACGGACGCTGGCTCGAAGACATCGCAAACTTTGCGAGCTCGCACAGCCCATCTATCATCGCAGACGAAGCTATCGCCGCGAATGCTAGCCGTACCAGCGAACTAGGTCCCTTGCAAATTTGAGTGCAAACCGAGCCGTCGCCGCGGAGTTTGACAGCCGCGACCCTCAGACACCACTCTCACGCCACCGCCGCGAGCGCTACAAACATGTCCGACGAAGCCGGCCCACCAACAAATACACCAGACTGGGAGGAGCTCCAGCAGGGCGTAAGGAAATGCATTACAAAAGAAGGCACGAACCCCAAGGTCTACGCCGCGCCGGGCATGGAGGTCTGCGTCCACTACACGGGCACGTTACCTGGCAGTACGGAACCGTTCGACTGCTCTCGCAAAAGGGGCCAGCCCTTTACGTTCGAGCTGGGCGCCGGGTCGGTGATCACGGGCTGGGACGCGGCTTTTGAGAAGATAGCCGTTGGGGAGCGAGCTTTGTTAGAAATCGAGTCGGAGTGGGCCTACGGCAAGGAGGGCCACCCGCCCACCATACCGCCCGATGCTACCTTACATTTTGATGTGGAGTTACTCAGTTGTGGCGAGAAAAAAAAAGAGTTAAATATGATGACTTCGGAAGAAAAACTCGCGGAAGCTTCCAAGCAGAAGCAAGCAGGTTTGGATGCTTATGGCAAGAAGGACTGGGCGGAAGCGCGTTCTCTATTCGCCGAGGCCATCTTCTACTGCGACGCGGCCTACTACTCGCGCGAGAACAAGGCGATGCCTACTGATGTGGGGAATATCTACCTCAGTGCGCATCTGAACGCGTCGCAGTGCGCGTTGAACGAGAAGGACTGGCCCGGGGCCTGTGCTTATGCTACAAGAGCTATAAAATGTGTCCCGGACTCTGTCAAAGGTTTATACAGGCGAGGCGTGGCGCGGACGCACATGGGGCTGCTGGAGGAGGCTAGGGAAGATCTAAAACAAGCGAACACGCTGGACCCCAAAAACAAGGCCGTGCGAAGCGCCTGGAGCGATTTACGGAAGAAATTCGCCGAACAGTCGAAGCAACAGAAGAAAGCCTTCGGAGGCACTTTTGACAAGGCCTCATTGTTCAAGGATAAACCGAGTTCCATGCCTCCCTCTACTACTGAGAACCCCTACGCTTATTTGAGGATCAGGGCGACGCCCCGCGGTAGTAGCGAAGAGCAACCGTTCGATGGTACCATTGTGCTCCGGGTCTTCGCCGACGCGTGCCCTCGGACATCGAAGAACTTTTTAGCGCTATGTAAAGGCGGCAAGAAAGGAAGGGACTTAGGCAGTGCGTTGCACTACAAGGGCACGCCCATCCATAGAATAGCCAAGGACTTCATGATTCAGGGCGGTGACGTGCACCGACGAGATGGATCTTCCGGAGAATCGATCTATGGGCGAACTTTCGCCGATGAGCACTTCAAGCTCAAGTTCGACAAGCCCGGGCGGCTGGCGATGGCGAACCGCGGCAAGGACTGCAACCATTCCCAGTTTTTTATTACCTGTGCCGAGGCGACGCATTGTAATGATTCCTACGTGGTCTTCGGCGAGGTCGTGTCGGGGCTGGAATTCGTTGGTAGGGTGGCTTCCTTGGACGTCGACGACAAGGACGCGCCGTCTTCATACGCGGTGGAGATTGCGGACTGCGGGCTTTTGTCTAGGGAGGAGGGGGAGAAAGCTTTAGCTGAGGAGGCGGACCGGGCGGCCCAAGCGTCGAAAGCTGCTGGGGCGCCCGAGGCGAAGGTGGCGGTCGCCGAGTAAGCACCATATATTGAACAGCTTAGGCCGGGGCAGAACTACGCGCCCGGATGGGGGGAACATCCGTTGGCGGCGCGAAGGGGGCCGGCGAGGCGAGAGCGCCTCAGGGGCAGTTGGCCGCGACCACGACGAGCTTAGAGGCCGCAGCACGCCTGGCAGTCTGCTAGCCCGGCGCTCGACAGACCTCTCTCATCACACGCGTCAGGATCCGAGTGCCCAACCAATACACAAGGCGAACAAAATCCCTCAGAGTGCCCTTCCAATACGGCGCAGAACTGGCCAGCCGCGCACGGGGCGCCGTCATTGCACGCCAGAATTGTAGGGCATGTCTCGTCGATTTTCCCCATCGCGTGCGCGACCGGCGCGACGGACGAGAAGAGGAGCGCGACGGCGCAGATGATAGTCTTCATGTTGGCAGGCCTGCGCGGAAACTCGTTGAGCGGAGGCAGGCGCGGGCGCCGTCGGCGCGAGCACGGCGCGCCCTTGGTGTTTGCAGTGTGTGTACTACCGTAACGTTCTCGCTCTCTGAGTCCCGCCCGCGTGGGCCGTGCGGGGGTGCCCTCCTAGGGCGACGAGTTCGCCGCGCCGCGTCGCCGCGGGACGTTTTATGCTTGCCCAAACCATAGTGACACTTTTGCGCCAGCAAGGCGACGCGCGCCATCAACGCTCGCGCCCGCAGTGCTGGAGGGTATGCAAAGTGTAACGCACGCCCTTGGGGTATAAATAAGGGTGCAGACGCCGGCGCACGAGCGATTTCCAATGCTTCGATGCAACACCACCATCCACCACCGCCACATTAAGCGCCTCAAGCCCCACTGCGAAAAGCGATAGATTATTCCCCAAAGCACGACCGACAGGCGCCGGGGACCGGCTCCACGGCCCAAAGACGGCCGCGCGCCCGCCCCGCGAACGGGCGAGGATGCCGGCGCCGGAGGGGGGGGACCCTGAAATTTGCGTTTTGGTGCTGGCTTTGAGCTTGTTTCGATCGTAAAAAAGCTAGTAGCCAAACCCGTACTTGATAACTCGACGGACGATACTATTACACATCACCGGGCACACCGTAGCGTCGAGGCGAAGAGAGCTGTCGCGGCGATGGCGTCACCCTCGCGCCGTCGAGGCGACGCGGGCACCCTACTCCGCGAACCGCGCCGCCGCCGCCGCCTTAAGCTTCCTCTGCTCGCCAGGCGTAAACGCCACGAGGTGCACGCGCTCGAGGCCCTCGTAGGCCGCGTCGGCCACGGCGCCGACGCTGATGGCGAGGATCGTGTCGAGCGACTGCAGCCCGCGAAAGATGCCCGCCGACAGCAGCAAAAAGGCGACGGTCTTGCACTTCTCTTCCTTGGCGCGCGCCATACTCGAAACGTAGGCGGACCTAAGTAAAGCGTCGCCCCGCGCCAGCTCGTCGCCCTCGCCGTCCGGCAACGAGTGGTAATTGGGGCCGACGGCGTGGATGACAGCGTCGCATCGCAGGGACCCGAAGGGCCCGCCGCTGGTAACGACGGCGTCTCCGGTATTACAGCGCCGCCAGTCGCTGCCCGCGAGGCACGGCAGCGCCTCGCGCTTCTCCGCGAGTAAATCGCCGCCCGCGCTCGTGATGGCTCCGTCGACGCCGCCGCCGCCCTGGCAGCCCTCGTTCGCCGCGTTCACCAGCGCGCCGACGTGCGCGTCCAGCACGCTCCCCTTCGACACGACCAACTCTCCATATTTCAACGCGTGGCGCGCGAGCGGTTCCAGGTTGTCCACGAGGAGGGGTCTTCGGCGCTTCGGCGGCGACGCGTCCTCGCCGGACGACGCTTCCTCTGTGGCCTTCGCGTCCGCGGCGGGCGCGGCCTCCGGCGCGGCGTCCTCCTCCTTGTGCGCCTTGGCGTCCTTGAATCCGTCGCTCGTCGCGATGCGATCGAGGAGGAATTGTTTATTCGGCTCGGCGCTGTCTGTACCGGGCTCGTCCACGTTGGCTGCGTCCTCCATTTTGGAGTCCGCCTTGCTGTCCATAGGGTTGGGTTGTGGGTAGTAGACGTGGGTGCGCGTTGTCACGTCGTTTCGCGCGGGCAGCAAGCGCTGCGAGACGCCGTTTAATGGCCTCAATTAAACTGTATCGCAGCTCTGTGAGCGCGCCTCGCGCGCGCAGATAGTTGCTAGCGGCCCGTAAGACACTAGCAATAAAACCTCAGAATTCTACGGCGGGGCCGACGGGTACGATGTCGAGGTCTCGCGCTCCAAAACCCAGACGAGCGGGAAACGATTTGGGCCCAGGGACCCGCACGAAAAACCCGCTCGGTGCCTGGCTTGATGATCAAAGCGCCGACTCGATTCCGCCGCTTCTGCGCGCGATTGTCGCGCACCAGTCCGCGGGTCCATTGCGGCGGACCTCCCGCAGGGGTAACTCGCGTTCGCGCCGACGCCGGTCAAGTCAATCGTGGCGGTCGAGTGGTCGGTCGCGCGGGCGGACCGGCGCGGCCGGGCTCGCCGGCGATGTCTCATCTTGTTCACGCTCTGTTGCTTACTTTTTTGGGCTGCCCCGCGGCCGCGCCCCCTCGGGCATCGAGTTCTCGGCGACGCTCGCGGGGTAGGTCCCGTCGCTCGCGGTCGTCAAATGATCGCGGCGTCGGCGACTTCCACCATCCTGGCCTTCTCGCGTCGCGTCTTTCCGCCCTTTGGGTTGAAGGCCCCACGCGCAGGTCAACCGATCTTTCTTTCCGGGCGTCGCCGGCATGGCGCGCCCACTTTCTTTTATTGGCGGGTCGAGCCCGGAACACGGACGGCGCCCATCCTCGGGCATCGAGTGGTGCACGTTCGGTGGTATCCGGCCCGTTTCCTGAAGTTCTGCCGCCGGCATGACGGCGAGCCTCATCTGCCTGCGACCGGACCGACCCTACGGAGCGGAGCTGGTCTCGACCTGGGAGGCGTTGGGGGCGGCGGCATGCCGCCCCCCGTAACCTTGGCCGCGCCGGCCGAGCTTTCGCAGGCCCTCCGAATCGCTGGGGCATCCATTGAACCCATTAGTTCCGTTCCGACGAGTTATTGTCAAGGGCCGTCTGGGCGGGTCGGAGCTCTCGCTCCCCGCTTCAGGATTGCTCGGCCTGGTGTGCGAGGGCATCTCTCTCACCACTTGATTTCCGGCTCGTCATAAAAGAGGAGCCAGTGGCCAGTTTCCACACCCTGACGGGGGTCGTCCCAAAAGAGGGGGGGCGTGCGAGTCCCTGTGACTCAGCCCTTGCGTCCTAGTCCAGCCGGACGGGTGGGCCCGGGGGGAGCGGGAGGGGTACGGGGAGCCCTGCGACGTAACTAGCCTCAGCCTCAGCCTAAAAAAGCCTCAGAAGCCCGCCTACAGCCCTAGCACGGGAACGGGAATGCGTACGACGACGCCGTCGCCGCGGAGAGAAGAGAAAAAAAACAACAACAAAATTACATCATATCGACGTCGCCGCCGCACCACTCGGCCACGAAGTCCATCGGCACCGTCTCTATAACATCATCGTCGTCGAACCGAATCGTGGCGGTCTCCTTCTTCCGGTCCCTACCGACCAGCACGCCGTGCGCGCCCATTCTATCACCTAAGACGCAGCGCACGGGCCCGCCGTCTTTCGGGAGCGCGGTCTCGAGATACCTCTCCTTGTACCCCGGCTCATCCACCCTACCGCCGCCGTCCAACGCCAGGGTCGCCCTCCTCTTCCCGTCCGCGCTCAACAAGACGTCTAATACTCTACCCTTCTTTCTGAATAACGGGTCGCCGTCTCTACCCACTCTCACCCTTATACCGGCAACAAGCCACGGCTTCGGGGGCGGCTCGTCCTTCCGGGCCTTCTTCTTCGTCGACTCTTTCTGAGAGGCGCGCTTCCGCTTTTCGGCCTCGCGGAAGGGCTTGGTAGAAGTATCTTTCCGTAACGCTCTTTGAGGTATACAAAGCACCTCGCCCGACCTCTCCAGGACCACTCTCGAATGGTTGGGCCTTGCGGCATCCGAGGGAGCTTGCACTCTAGCCCTCCTACCAACCAAGTCTTCGTCGAGCGTCCGGTCTCCTCTAGGTCGTTCTATGCGGACAATGTCGCCGCTCCGCAAAGCAACCACTTCCTCCGTAGCCTGCTTCTTCTGGGCCCCGAGCCACTGCTTATCCGCGTCCTTGTTCGTCGCCGTCCTACCTTCCCTTAGTCTCCCTCGCCGATCATAAATTTCCGCGGGCTTCGGGGCCGCACCCAGCCCCAACCCGCGCGGCCGCGCCACGGGGTCCGCAAATCTCTTCTCGTCGTCCTCCGTGAACCCCGCCCAGCCCATACCTCTCAACATGCCTCTCCCGAACTCCTCGATCCTCACAGATCGATAGGCGTCACCCGTGACGTCCACGTCGTCCGCCCTCATTTCTAAATCTCTTTTAAATCGTTGATCATCATTCTCGAGCTCATTTAACCCAGGGAGCATCGCCGCCTTGAGTAAGGGTTGCTTCGTCTCTTCCTGTGGCGCGGGTCCCGCAATGACCAGGTCCTTCTTCTCTCGCGTCACGGAGATGCCCTCGGCGATCACGGCCGCCGCCGCGGCCTCGTCCAAGTCATCTGTTTCGCGGGGCGGCGTGCCCGGATCAGCTTTCCACGGGTTTTTGGTCAGCGGGATGACGAGGTCGCGCGGCGGCGGCGGCGGCGCGTCGTCGTCAATTGCGGCGTCGCCGAAGGCTGCTATTCCTATCTTCGGTTTTGACACTGGCGGCGCGGCGCCCAGGGACATGCTAAATCCAGACGCCATGCTGTTTAGCTGCAGCTAGTCACGGCCCAGCCCTCTGTTTACGATGTTGGATGACTGCTATGATCTATGCGCTGCTGCTGGCGATGTATGCCTAGCTCTATACGTCGCGGCGGCGCTATATCGCCCGCTGCGCGCCGGCATCGATGCTAGCGGCCTGTAAAGACACTAGACACATATAGCAAGCGGGCGATGCCCCCGCCCCTGTGCAACTTTCTGTTCTTTAAGGAACCCTGGACTCGAAGTTTGAGGCGTGGGGGCGAGCTAGCGGCCTGAGACACTAGCAAGCAAAGCCAAGCCCATTGCAATACGAGTTAAGGCACTGTGAACGCCTGCCTCCTCGCGAATCTGCTAGAAATCCGTGCGAAACGCGCCACGAATCGATTCGTTGGTTCGCTGCTCAATCCTTGCCCAGCTCTAGCTAGCACAGGAGTGCAGCACCTATTGCAAGCAAAAAGCTACAGCTCTTACGCGCGCGCTACAACGCGCCACCATGTCCGACGCGCCACCTAGTGAAGGCCCCGTCGAGCGCGCGCGCAAAACACTCTCAAACATACTGTCAAACATCCCGAGCTCGCCCAACGTGATCAAAGCGTTGATAGCCGCGCTCGTCGTGCTCGCCTCGGCCAAGATTGGGAATGGACTCATCAAGGCCAACTCCATAGGAAACCAGCCTCTACAAGGCAAGATCAAGCCCATCACGCTGAACGGCGACGGCTGGGAGAACAACCTGTCGAAGGACCAACTCCAGCAATTAGATAATGGTAAAAGGGTACTGCTCCAGAAGCGATTACGGGGCGACTCCGGCGGCCGCGGCACGGCGGTCCAGGACATGAACGCGCCGCCTGCTACTGTTCTGAAAGCCGTGACGACGTTCGACCGATACGCGGGCCGACTCGCGCAGTGCTCGTACTCCACGGTCTATGGACGATCCCAGAACCGCATGAAGGGCACGGAAAATATCAAAGTGCACATGAAGCTTGCTGGTGGCGTCAAGACTTTCAACTGCTACTACGACCACACCGTGACCCCGAAAAAAGGTACGGTTACGTGGCAGCTCGACCCCGAGAAAACTTCGGACTTCGTCGACGTCCAGGGCCAGTGGTACGTGGCAAAACACCCCACAAAACAGGGCTGGTCGCGCGTCTGGTATTCGGCTGAGGTCGCGCTACCGCCCTGGCTGCCGGGGCCCATCGTCGTCCAGCTCTGCAAGACGTCGGGCACCAAGGCCCTCTCCTTCGTCAAGAAGGAGGCCGAGGCGCTTATGTCTTCTTCGTGGGGCCGCACGCGCGGGGGCTTCCGGCCTGTGGTTCCTTTGCGGCCGCGGCGGTTCAAGAGGTAGCTTCGGGGTTATAGGACTACCTATCTTTCTTCTTAGACTTCTTGCGCTTCTTCTCCTTTCTGACGGGTGCAGTACCATTCTTCCGCTTCTTCTTCGGCGCCGCCGCGGAAGCCTGGCTCGCCGCGAACGCCTCGTCGATGCTTCTAGCTTTCGCGGCCTGAGCCGACTCGTAGGCGGCGTCGATGTCGGCGAGCCGCGCCGCCGCCTCTTTCCGCTTCTTCGTCTTCTTCGGCGGCGGCGGCGGCGGCGCCTCGTCCTCGTCCTCGGACGACGACGACGACGATTCATCAGAAGAGGGCGGCGGCGGCGCCTTCGTCTTCGTCTTCTTCTTCTTTTTCTTTTTGAGTTTCTTGTCGCCGTCGTCCGCAAAGTGCGTGTGCCCGGACGGCCCGTCGCCCGCCCTCACAAAAAAAGAGTACAATGCTCTTTTGTCCTCGGGCATGCCGTCGGCCGCCGACCGCCTCGACCGGTGGCCGGCCTTGGCGTAGAAGCCGAGGCCTCCCACTTTACCCTTCGGCGCCAATGCTTTCAGCGTCTCGTGCAGCTTCTGGAGCTTGCTGTCCTCCATCGCGTCAGACTATGTGAGTGTGCTGTGATGCAATGTGTTGCCGTTGTCGGTCCGCCAGCGATGCGACAGCGATGAGGTGGCAGCGCTGCGACGCCGTGCGGCGCTTAGTCCTCGACGCGGCGCTCGCGCAGCGGTTTGCGCAGCGGTGCAGCAGTGTGCAGCGAGTGCAATATCGGTACTGGCCGCAGCGATGCCCGCAGCGATGCCGAAAGTCGCAGCGCAGCGATGCGGCGATGCTGTGCCACACGATGCTGAGGCGCAGCCGACAGTGTAGCTGCTCGCGCGCCGATGCAAAGGCGCAAGTCCGTCGCCACTGGTCGGGTTTGCATCGAATTGCAGCGCCCAAAAACAGCTAGGCTTAGCTCCCGCACTGTGCGGCCCGGTAAATTGACCCTCGTGCACAGCTCTGCAAGTTCACCATCGCTGCGCCAGTATGGCTGCGAGCTTGATTGGCACCACCCAGCAGGCTGCAGCCTCCATCTTCCTTGAGCAAGGCGTAGCAGTCGTGCCCGGAGCCGTAAAGGAAGAAACGATTGCTATCTGCAGAGCTGCGGCTGCAGCAGCACTCGCTTGCTCAGACGCAGCGATCACAAACAACATACGAGACCTCGACGCATCCGCGCCGGGAGCGCATCACGCAGCGGTGCGCCTCCATCGCCGAGATTTCGCCGAATACCTCAAACGCGACGGCGGCCGCGTCGACCTGCGGTTCAACAGCGACGCCGCGCCGTTCGACGCGCTCCTGCGCGAAACGAGAACTGCTGTGCTCGACGTCGCAACGGAGGCGCTCGGCGGCAGCGCCATATTGTACAGCGGCGTCATGGTGGCCAGAGCGAACGCTGGTGGAGACCACCAACGTTGGCATAAAGACGGGGATCATGAGAACAGCGAATCGCCGAACGCGTTGACGGTATTCGTGCCGCTGCAGCCACTCACCGCCGCGAACGGCCCGACGGAGTTCCGGCTCGGCAGTCACCGCCCTCGAGCCAATGACGTGAAGCGCCTGAGGCAGGACGGCGTCGCCGTGATGTGCGACGCGGGCGATGCGCTCCTCTTTGACTACCGCATTGATCATCGAGGACTAGCCAACGCGTCCGACGAGGACCGCCTCGTGTTTTTTTGCGCGTTCGCGCGGCCATCTTTTCGCGACGAGAAGAACGCGCGGTCGACGGTGCCGCTCTTTCCCGAAACGCACGTGGCGCTCACCGGGGACCGCGGCGAGACCTCGTGCGTGCTCTTCGAGCTGACGGTCGACGGCGTCGGCACGATCCGCGTCTGCGAGGGCGACGTGCCCGAGGCGGTGGCGGTGGCGTTTTGCTCGAAGCACGACCTGCCCGGCGAGGCTGTCGCGCCGCTCGCCGCGGCCATCGAGCAGCAGATGGAACTGTGTAAGGATGTGTGAATGTACCCGCCACTGGCACATGTCTTTTTTTGTACGTACGTCGCCGTCGTCAAGTCCGTCGTCGGCTCGTGGAATCGCGCACACTCGATGGTTAGCAGACAAATGTGTAGTACTCAGCCCCCCTTGCCCGCATTCTTGTACGACGCCACCGCGGGGTCGCGTGTGACTACTATTCCTCCAGTGCTCGTCAAGAGCTTGGCGGAAGCAAGGGCGAGGACCACAGCAGGCGCAAATGCGATGTTCTTGGTCCCGATTCGCGCGGCGGTGCCCGCTGCAACAGCGGCCAGCGCGCCGACGCCGACACCCGCCGTTTTCGCGGAGACCGGCGTTGCCTCGGCGACGCGCTTCCAGGCGTCCTTGCGCGTGTCCGTGTCCGAACACGCGCGGAAGACGAACGGCGTGCCCGACGAGCCGCCGCGCGAGATGCGGACCTGCGCGTAACAAGATCGGCAGGAGCGGGGGCGGGAGGCGCGCGCGTGTCTGTCGCGTCTCTCGATCTCGGTGTGCCCCGTACGGAGCTTCCTGTCGCATATCAGTCCTTGCGAGGTCAACATCCCACAAAAGAGTGCTCCTCCTCGATCGCGATCACCAACTTGTGTTCCACACGGTGGCCAAACGCGGTCGTCGAGGTACGTCGTGTCGAGGCGCACCACCGACGCGGGCCCGGCCTCACAGACCAGAGGCCCGAAGGCGATTTTCGGCCGCTCGAACGACGCGCGGAGCGTGTTCTCGGAGAGTTTCCGGTCGAACTTCGCCGAGAGCGCTTCCAAGTCATTCTCCTTCTCGGCGGAGCCCCGGAGCACGGCGCAGCCCGGCAGCAAGCCGAGGAAGCGGAAGCGGTTCGCGTTGACCGCTCTTAGACTTTCGCCGTCCCGCTGGATGTGCTGGTACAATGCCGTCGTCCGGAAGAGCAGCCGCCCGACGCGGCCCCGAAATCTTCCGCCCGCGGCATTCGCGCGCTTGCTCGACCGCTGGCCGACGTAGACGACCTCGCTGTCCCTATACAGCCACTCGGGCGTCTCGGACGCGTCCGTGCCCTTGTACGAGCGCTCAAGCCGCGCGATCAGCCCGTCGATGATGTTGCGCGTGCCCTCCTTGGCCCTGACGCCCCGATCGGTTCCCGCCGCCACGTCTAAGAGCTGGTCCACATATTTTGCGTTCCTGGCGTTCGGCTTCGCCGAGGCGACGTTGTGCGCGACGGTCAGGCGCTGTTTGTGCTTTGTCGGTGGGACCAGGGCGGTCGCGTGACAGGCGAGCCATGTGAGGAGCAGCCGTGCCATTGGCTTATTGTCGCGAGTACCGCACCGATTGGAGCCGGGGAAGTTGTGGGCAGCGAGACAAATACGGCAGCAACAGTCTCCGTAAGGCTGAAGTATCAAAGCGCGCCTGCGCACGCGAAACAGACCACAGAGCCTGTTTTTGCTCTCACAGATTTTTGCTAGTGTCTTTATGTACGCTAACAAGCGTCCAAACCGGCTCCGACTAATGTACCGCTAGTGGAACGCTGTCGATATGCGGACAGACATAAAAGCTACTTACGACGAGTCGCCGCTGCCGCCGAGACGTGATAGATACTCATCACGGAAACGACGTAAAGTGCCGGAGCGACGGCTCCTGCCCGCGGTGGCGCCGGACCATGAAGGTGCAGTTCGCGGGCGTCGCCGGCGCCGCGCGGTACTGGTCCCGCGTGCTCCGCATGTCGACGACGCCCCTGTCAAAGGTCGAGATGCCCATACCGCCGACGAAGTACTTCGCGTCCGCCGCGACGGTCATGTCGACGATGGCGCCGACGATCGCGCTCGCGTCGCCGAAGCTCGAAGCCGCGTCGCGGCCGCCAAAACTCATCGTCGTCTCGAACGGGCCGCGTCCCCGAAGCATCGCGGCGTCCGTCGAGTCCTTGACGAGGCCGAGATCCAGCGCGCCCATCCACAATGCTTCGAAGAGCCGCGGGTTCAGGTCATTACCGCCGCCGTGGACGCAGAGCACGTGCGAGGCCTCGCCGAGGGCCTTGAGCCACCCACCTTCGCCCACGGGGCCCGTGTGGTAATCGGGTAGCGTCTGAGCAACTTCGAGCGCCTGGCGTCGATCGTCGAACTGCGGGCCGCCGCGCAAGCGATACGTAGCGATCACACGTCGCGCGCGGCGTGTTGATTGGCGATGCGCCGTCGCGGCCCACATGCGCCCATTGAGCACCGTGCCGGGCCGGCGGATGTGTCGCGCGAAAAATCCAAGGAGCGACGGTCGGACCTTGGGGTGCCAGACCTCGTCCAGATTCTCGGCGTACCAGGCGCGGAGCCGCGCGTCGTTCGCGAGTGACTTGAGTCTAGACGTGAACTCGCGAGGGTATCTCGAGCCGCGGCGGTCAAGCTGGTATGCGGCCGCGGCCTCGGCACCGGAAACTCCCTCTGCCCGCGCGCCCGCAGTATGTCTCGTTTCGTGCGCGATCGGCCGCCGCCGCGACGACGATGGCCGTGAGTACCGATATGAGCATTTTACTTGCACTCTCCTATTTATGCTTGCGCGAGCGGCAAGCGCCAATCGATTGATAATCCTGGAAAATCAGAGGTCTTTTATACCGCGGCGCGCGACCGGTTTCCGCGTCAGTTTGCGGCTTATTTCACAGTGTGGCGATACCTCGAGACAGGACCACGTAGACCCGGGCGTGTTGCGTCGGCAAAGCGTGGCCTTCGGGCTAGCGGCATGTAACACACTAGCAAGCTGCAAAACCCTAACTTGGTTTTTGCAGCCCACAAGACCTGTGTTACGCCTGCGCTGCTCACGAGGAGCAGCTCTCACCCACGCCTGCGCGCTGCCACGCTGCGCACGAGGAACTCTCGCCCAGGCCTGCGCAATCAGTGCGCAGGACAATAGCATCTCACCCACGCTACCGCGATGGCTACGAGCCAGGGCGGCCTCCGAATTATGGCCGGCGGCGGCGCCAAGAAGGACCCAGCCACCGAGGCAGTGGCGGTGGTGCCCGGCGGCGACGTGAAAGAAGCGGTGGCCGCGTCGGCGGAGATCGACCCGTCCGCAGCGGCGCCGGCTGCGGAGGGAGACGCGCCGCCGCCGCGCCTCCGGACGGAGCGTGTCGATAATGTGATGGGGTCGCAGGCGGGTGCTGGTTCGTCTGATTTCCACATCTACCGGCGGCACCGCCGCACGGAGCAAAAACGCCAGGAGCAGCTCGACGCCGACGACGAGAAGCAGCGAAGAGATCGAGAGCACGCGGAGCGCGTCGAGGCGAAGCGCAAGGAGTGCGAAGCGCGGACAGCGAAGAACGCCGCGAAACGAAGGAAGAAGAAGGACGCGAAGGCGAAACGCGACGCGATCGCGAAGGGCACGGGTGGGACCCATGCATTTGAGGATGACGGGTCGTTCATGGCGAAGGCGAAGGCGCTGGTGAAGGAAAAGGAGTAACTTGTTGTTTGAAAATACTAGTAGTATGAACACAGCTTATAATCAAATGGCTACGAAGGGTCAACTCCGCACCTTGCCCGAGAAGTCATGCACCACCACATTCCCTCCAGTCCCATCGCTCACCAACAAAGGTCCTTCGAAGTGCAAGGACGTGATGTGCCGCGAGTGGCCGTCGAGCGCAAACAGCTGCGCGCCCGTCCGCAGGTCCCAGCACCGGACCGACCCGTCGATGGACGCCGAGACCAATTTGGTGTCGTCGGCCTGCACCGCGACGACGGCGCCGGCGTGGCCCCGGAGCGCGTGGGCTCCGGAACGCCTCCCGCGAAAGTGAATCGGCACGTCCTCAGCTTCGAGGGGGCAGCCATCGGCCTTCTGTGGTTGCAAAGGCTCACCGTCGGCGCCACCGCGCATGGTGTAGCACTTGACGACGCCGTCGGCGCCGCCCGTGCACAGCAACCGTCCGCGCGGCCCGGCGTCGGTGTCGTCGAGCGGCGAAGCGCCATCGTCGCCGAAGTGGACGCTGCGGACGGCGCCCTCGTGCGCGTCCTCTAGCCTGAAAACCCTAGAGCCATCCTCGAGGTCGTAGCCCTCCACGGAACCGTCCAACAACCCTACGACCGCGACGCCGTCCGCCACCGCGAGGCAGCAGATGGCCGACGGCGCGACCGCGACCTCTCGACAGTCGCCCTGCTCGACGTCCCAGAGCAGCACCCGCCGGTCCAAGGAAGCTGATAGTACTTTTGACGCTTTCGCGTCCAAAGCGCGGACTCCGGTCACCCGCGCCGAATGGCCCCTTAGTACAACGTCGGGCTCGCCGTCCGATTCGGGCGCCTCGGTCATCTCCCCAAGTACGTCGGCGACGTCCGCCCGGTCCCGCTGGTGCTCGATGATGATCCTATCATCTTTTGGGACGGGGTAGTAGTCGCCGCCGAAGAGCGCCGCCCGTGCGAGCGCCGCGTCGGCGTCGGCGTCGTGGCCGTCTTGCAGCGCGTCCAGGGCATCATATAAAGAATCTAGTACTCCAGCGTCCTCCTCGTCTTCGTCGAAGTCGTCCTCAAAATCATCAACTTCTACTAATTCAAACAACGACGATTCGCCGCACCGCGACGGGCTGTAGACGACTACCGCGCCGTCCGCGCCTCCGGAGATGAGCTTTTCCGACCCGGCCCACTCCAGGGCCGTGATCTCATCCGTATGCGCGTCGAAGCCGTCTAAGACGGTCCCGGCCTCGAGGTCTACTAACACGACGATGCCGGCCGCCGTGCCGAAGGCCACTGTCCGTCCAGATAATCTAGTTTGGCAGACCCGCGTGTCCTCGAGCTCCACGGCAGCTAATCGGTCGTGGGCGCCCCTCCTCCAGTTTGAGGCGGTTAATCGGTCCTGCCGGACGGCGTCACTCCTAGACTTGGAGACGCGCTCCCAGAGCTCCGCGAAGACGGCGTCGTCGCTCGTCTTGGTCTCGGCGTATTCTTCCGTTAGGGCTCTGGCTCTACATGCTTCTGGGCTTTCCTCGGGTTCGCTCATCGCCGCACGTAATGCGGTGGCTTTTGAACGCGGCTGCTGCGGCGCGACGAGCGCCTTCGCGCCGCCGGCCAGCAGGGCGGCGCAGACCTTGAAGCTATTACTCCTAGCGCGTCCCGGCATGGCTTTTGTTTGGCCTGTTTTTTAAAGTGGTTCGATTGGATCCGGCTGCGGCGGCCCCAGCGCGTGCTGTGCGTCGCAGGACAGCGCAGCGTCGCGCAGGCCTTTGAAAAAATCGTTCCAACGGCCTCCTAGAGTCGTGTCTGGCGTTTTCGTTGCGGCACGAGACCTAATCTTGGGCTGGGACAAAGTCGTCATCACATTTTCACGAAGGTCGCGTCCCGGCCCTCCCACGCCTCACATGGTGCTCATTGGCCCATCACAGAGCTGCCTGCAAAATTTCAGCATTTTTCAGCGCGCGCGCGGGTACTGGGTACGGGGTGCAGCCTCTCCGCAACGCGCTCGCGTCTGCGAGAGCGTATGCGCACGCAGCACGCCACAAAGGAGGCACAGATTCATTCCCGGAGCCCCCTGCTTTGGCGGGGCAGCCCCTTGCCGCTCATCAGACAACAACACCACCATCCTTGGCAGACACCAAAAAACACGATGCCCCACAGCGGCATGACCCCCGCGGAGCTGGCCAAATTCATGAGCCGCGGCCGACGAAAGAACCCCGAGGACGAGGAGCCCATCTTCATGCGCCTCGACCGCATCGTCGACGAGCGCGCGATCCTGAAGGACCGGCACGCGGCGGGCCACGCCGCCGCGCAAGCACTACAAGCCACAATAGACAAGCACGAGACGGCCCTGAAGAAGTGGGTCCACCGCGCCGAGTTCCAGAAGAACGAGGCGCCCCCCGTCAACAAGGCGGCGCTGGCGAGCCCGCACCACCTCTTCCCGCGCGACTGGACCGAAATTCATCCGGAGGAGTCGAGCGGCGTGCGGGTCCTGCGGCGGGAAGCGACGCAGGACCTCAGGAAAGCCGAAGCCGAAAACAAGCGAGATCTTAGGATGGGAAGGCCGCCACGCCACCCGGATGAGGTGATCGTCGAGCTCGGGCGGCGGAGCCGCGGCCTCTGGCCGGAGGGCACCAAGCGCAAGTCGATGTACGACGACTCGACGGCGCTTGATCTCTCTCAGTCCGCGGTGTCGCCGTCGCGCGCGTCGCTGCTCTCGGCAGGCTCTTCCGCCGCGTAAGTAGTATGTGTAGTTAAAGAAACTTGAACCAACCCCTCGGCGACAGCGTATGAGGGCCTGGGGCGGAACGGGTACGCGGTCAGGGGAGGCGTCGGCCGGGTGGCTAGGCGGCCCAGCTCCAAGCAAAGCAAGGCCACACCGTGGCCCACCGTGACACGAATGGCGTATGGACGACTCACGTCTTCCAACAGGCGACCACGAAAAAAATAGTAGTACACGAAAGCTTATAACTTGGGCAGCCCTCAAATGAACTAGACCTCCCAGAGCCCCGGGTCCCAGTCCACGGCGAACTTCTCGCCCTTCCCGGCCGCGTCCCAGACGGAAAGTTTCAGCGCGCCGGGCGCATAATCCAAAACGACCTTGCCGCCGCGCTCGAGCGCTTGATAAACACGGTCGTGGATGTCCACGACGGGCACGGAAAACAGCACCTCCTCGAAGTCGTCTGGTAAATTAACCGCGTCGGCCACGACCTTCCGCGCCTCTTTGAGGGGAGGCGGGCCGTAGCCGCCCGCGAGCGTCACGCAGCAGACCGCCCCGTGCCGCGGGTGCATCCGCAGGGCGCAGCCCACCGCCCGCGCGCGGTCCGACAGGAGCCCGCGCCGCTGCGCGCGCGACGCGACGCCGTCGTCGATGATCATCTGCGCGACGGCGGCCACGGCCGTCCGCCGCCCGTGCGACAGGCACTCCGACGCGCGCTCGAACCACCTCCCATGTCTATTCAGGCGCTGCGCCGGCGCGCTGCCATCGGACCCCGTGTGGCCCAGTCTCTTCGTTCTTACGAGGTCTTCGACGTGGTCCTCCGCCGCGCGCGTCATGCCGACGTGCGCTTTTAGAGGGGGCAAACAATCCGCTCCTAGCGCGTCGAGCTCGGCGATGGCCTCCTCGCCTGCGACGCGCGCGTCGACGGCGTCCGTGTGGCGGCGGCGTACTCGTCGGCTCGGCGGTCGGCTCGGCGGTCGGCTCGGCCGTAGGGTCCGCCAGGGGCTGGGCCGTGGGCTATGGGTCGGAAGTTGCTCGGCCGGGAAGTCACCTCAAAAAAAAAGGACACAGCAAGCAACAGGCCGCGAGCCCGTCGTGCGTCCGGTGCGGCCGCGCGCCGGCCTCGCGCGGCCAATACGAACCATCTAACCGGTAGCGCGGCGCGACGTGCGACCGGAGGAAGGCCGCGTAGGCCGCCGGGTCCCGCCTGACCCGGTTGATCTCGTCGATGACTTCGGCGGGCGTCGCGAGCTCGGGAATCGGCTCGTCGCGGCCCGGCGAGTCGCGCGACGGGTCGCCCTGGAAGAAGGACTCCGTCGGCGACGCGGGCGGCGACCGCGGCGGCGGCGACGGCGGCGCCGGCGGCGAAGACGGCGGCAGGCGCGGCTTCGCGGGGCTGAAGGCCCGCGGCTTCGCGGGCGACGCGCGCGGCGGGTGTTTCGTCGTGGGGCACGTGGGAGCGCGCGGCTTGCTGGCCGATGCGGGTGGCAGCGGCGCCGGTTTCGAGGGCGCGACGATGGGCCGCGTCGCCCGGCACGTTCCGGGCGACGTCGCCTTCGCCGGCGACTTTTTGACTGGAGACGGCCGCGGCGGCGGCAGCGTCGTCGGGCAGACGTGGCGGCGCTTCGCTTGCTTCGTCCGCGGCCTCGCCGCCGGCGCGTCGTCGGCCTCCGTGGCCCAGGACTCGTCGGACGCCGTCGAGCGCGCGTCGTCGTGGTGCGTGCTGCCCGTCTCCCACGACTCGGCGTCGCTGTCTTCCTTCTCTGGAACCGGCGACGCCGCGCGCGGCGTCGACTCGCGCGACACCATCTTCATGGGAAGGCCCGGGTCGCCCGGCGCCGAGTCGTGCGAGTCGCGGCCGACGATCTCGGCGAGCGGCGTGCGCGCGGGCGGCGCGGGCGGCGCCTGGGCCGGGGGGTGGGACTCCTCGGGCGCGGCGTCCTCTTTGTCTGGTACCGCGGGCGTGAAGAGGACCTTGGTCGTGCGGCTCGCGCGCGGCGGCGGCACGGCCGGCGCCGCCGCGGCCAGGAAGGCCGCCATCGCGTCGGCGCTCGGCTCCGGCGCCGGCGCGTCGTCGACGGGGGCCGGCGCCGGCGCCTCCGGGCGCTCGGCCGTCGCGCGCGTCGGCGCGTCGAGGCCGGGCGACGGCGCGGCGGGCGCGGTCGGCGCCGGCGCCGGCTCGGGCGTCGGCTCCGAGGGAGGCTCGGCCGCAGGCTCGACCGCCGGCGCCGCCGCGAAGAACGCGGGCGCCGCGGCCCTGGGCGTGGGCTCGGCCGACGGGACGTCGTCGAGCGACGCGGGCGAGTCCGCGCGCGGCCGCGGCGGCGACGCCGCGGGCCGCGGCGCGAACCAGCCGGCGAAGGCACCGCGGTGCGCCACGGGCGGCGCGGGCGCCGGCGCGGGCGCCGGCGCCTCCGCGGCCGGCGCCGCGAGCGGCGCGGCCGGCGCCGACAGCGCCGGGCGCGGCGCCTTGGGTGGCGACGGCGACGGCGGCGCGGACGGCCCCGGCGACGCGGGCGGCGACGCCGGCCCGTGGCCGCGCGAGGGCGGCGGCGGCGTGTCGCCGCGCTCCGAGTCGGACTTTTCCAGGCGCGCGGCGACGGCCTGGAGATTTGGTGAAGGCGGCCCCTTGTAAGTTTGATAAGTCGGCTCAATGGGCGCGTCGTCGGCCGGCTTGGGCTTCGCCGCCGACGAGGGGCTCCTCGGAGGCGCGGATGGTCGCGTCGACGACGGCGACGGCGGCGGCCAGACCCTACCAGCGGGAAGCTTCCGGCGCTGCCTCGGTGACCCGATCTGCCTCCCGTCGAAGTGCGGGCTCGTCGGCGTCTTCGGCTCGTCGATAACTTTCGCGAACGGCCTTGGTGAAGGCGCCGGCGGCGCGAGGTCCGAGGAAGCGCACCGCATGAGTCTTGCCAAAACCTTGGCCTCGCCGATGACGTCATTCACGGCCACGCTCTCGCCCGGCCGTCCACTGCGATCGACGTAGGCCGGCGCCCGGCCACTCTGGAAGACGGCGCAGTCTGATAACGTTTCTGATAGAGCGCAGGCGATTGGTGAATAAGAAGCGGACAATACACGAGCGTGCTCCTCCGCACCGTACGCCTTGCACTGGGCGCGCTCGACGGCGTCAGCAAAAGATTGGTTCGGTTCGGTGAGGTAGCCCGGCTTTAATGAGCCCGTGACAGTGCCCAGACTGGACAGGTTAACGTCGCCGTCATACGCCGGCGGCGTCAGCACTCGTATTGAAGCCGTAGCGCCATCTTGTGACGTAGCGAGCTGCTCGACGACGAAGGATGACTTCGTAGCGTCGACGCCGTGCGGCGACCGCTGCGCCACACCCGTCAACGACGGGAGGCCACTCACATCCACACACGCGATCGACGACGCCAGCTCATCGCCATCGTCCTTCTTGACACATAGACGCGCGTCGCCGCGGCACCCGAAGACAAGAGTAGCCATACCAGGCGGCGCGCATGTCAACGACGAATCACTAACAAGCGCATAATCGGCCTCCACCTTTAATGCTCGCACGTCGACCGCGCTCTTTTCATCGTCACCAGAGCCGATGACGACAATGACGTTCAGCGACCTCTCTTGACAAGCTTCGCACGCTAAAAATGGAGCTAGGCAAGAGCCCTTGGCTCTACTACCGGCAGCAGTGACGCGGCCGTCCTTGACAATATCGGAAAAGGGCGCAGCATCGACGACGTCGCGCCACGCGGCATTATGAGGCTTTTCGACGTGTGTCGAGGCGTGATATAACAAAGTCGGCTTCGTCGCGTCTATGGTAGATGAGAAGACGCGACTCGAGCCGAGGGCCGTCTCCGTCAAACCCGCGCGTGATGCTGCTGCTTTCAAAATGGCCGTCGCTGCGCTTCTGCCCGCATTATCAGAGGGTGTGGACGCACACGCACATAAGGTCGCCAACCGTTCCCCAATCTCATCTGACCGAGCGTCGAGCCACGCGTCTGTAGAAGTACCAGTGTCGGGCTGCTCGACGCGTTCTGGCAAAGTTTCCATCATCGACGCTAAGTAAGTAAGCATGCTTATCTCGTCGCGCCAGCAGTCTTCCGACGTGTCCAGCATCCTCGGCAGGCCATATTTCTGCTCCGCATCTGAAAAAGCGCGTTCGAAATTCTCGACCGGATTTTGTGAAGGCTCGTAGGGCGATCCTGACGCATCCACATCGTTCAAGATCGCTAGGAAGGCCTTCCCGTCTTTGAACGACTTCGTCAGATCACTGATGGGAGCTCGTCGACCGCACCGTCTCCTAGCCCACCTCAGGACTCTCCTTTTGACCGCGGCGACGTCGCGCTCCCCGCCGCCACCGATATCTCGCACCAGATAAAAGGCGATAATACTCCAAACCAATCCTAGAACGCTCTTCGGTTTCCCGTCCACAATATCTAGCACGCCAATGTTTGATATTTTGACATCCGCGTCCGGCAAGAAAGCAAATACAACGTTCATGTTCGCGACCCGCTGGATCTTCATGCGGCCGTTGTTCAAGCGGCCGTACTTCTTTAATGATGCTCCTGTCAGGGCTTCGAGGAAATGGTACAAAATTTTGCCGTCCTTCACGTCCTCATACAGATCATTGATTTGGAGTCCTTTCGACGCGAGCTTGCCGTTGATGTATCTTGTGAAAGTTTTTTTTTGTAATTGCTGCCAGACGGGCTCGGGCGCCATCTTGCGTCTTTGTCAGCCGCCCTTTGTCGCCCTCGCGCTATGAGCGCTACGGATGAGCAGCGGCGGATCGTCAGTCGCGGATGAGCGCTACGGATGAAACGTCGCGCCGTCGCTATTGATGCTGGTGCCGTCGCAGCTCGCACGGCCGCGTGGATATCCACGTTTCGAGCGTGCGCTGCGCGATAGGCCCGACTCTTCGCCGCTGTTAGGGCTGCGGTTTTGATGCGCGCCCCAGCGGATGCCGGATCTCGCGCGGCGAGGTACAACACGACTGGATAAGCGCTCCAGCGAGGGTCTCCTCAGCTCCAACGCCGCCGCAGAGGCTTAGTTGTGCGCGGCGCTTTGAAATCGGCAGGGCTAGCGTCCTGTAACACACTAGCATGCCAAGCAGCGTCGAGCTGCACAGCCTGATTTTACTCGCGTACCACGGCCAGTTGCACGCTTGTGGTCAGTTTTCATACCTGCATCGACCGTAGACAGCGCCCAGCTGATTTCACGCTGCGCCGTGCACGAATCAGGTCCCTGCACAAGCAGCAGCCGAGCGCACAGCACAAAATAGCAACATGCCAGCCGCCTTCGTCATAACCCCGCAAGGGATTAGAAGAGACGGCCGCGCCGGCCACGACGGCCGCGAACTCGACGTACAACTAGAAAGGGGCGACGACGCGGCGACGGCCGAGGTCTCTCTGGGAGGCACGCGGGTTATAGCGCGGGCGTCCTGCGCCCTCGGCGCGCCGGACGCGTGGCGGCCGAACGAGGGCAGTTTGAGAGTCAAGGTCGACGGCGCGCCGCGTTCTAGAGATGACGACGATGAGGACGACCCGACCATCATCCACGAAGCTAGACGGTTTCTGGAACGCTGCTATAGAGACGGCGGCGCGTTGGACGTGGAAGCGCTCTGCGTCGTGGGCGGCGAGGCGTGCTGGCAGGTGGCGCTGAACGTGTCCCTGTTAATAGACCGGGGCAACGCGTTGGAAGCGATGACGCTCGGCGCGGCGGCGTGTCTGAAACACGTGCGGTGCCGCGTCGCGACGGGGACGGGCGACTCTGTGCAACTCGCGGACGTTGATAGTGTCGTGCCCCTGCCCCTGCCGCTGACGCGGCTACCGGTCGCCGTGCCTGTTGTGATTGGTCCTTCGTGTCGGACGGCTTGTGTGGATCCCGATTGTAATGAGGAGGCGGCCGCCGCCGCTTTATATATAGCGGGTCTGGACGCCCACGGCGAGCTGTGCTTTTCTCAGTCAAGCGGTTCTGGCTTAGATCCGGAGGCCCTCGCGACCTGTCTGGCGCTGGCCAAGACGCGCGCGACGCAGCTCCACGCCTATCTATCCACGAATTTGCAGGAAGCCGATGAAGTGTGGAGACAACAGCGAATCAATCTCGTAAGGAATTCCATGTGAATTACTCGGAGGGGGGAGGCTTAGTTCGAAGACACGATCAGCTCGACGTCGTGCGAGCCGATTTCCAGGGTCGTCTTGCGCAGCGCAGCAGACAGGTAGTGCTTCGTCGTCGTGTAGGCCCGGGCCTTGCCCGGCAGCTTCTGGCCGGCCTTGCTATCATAAGTACCAGCAGCTCTTTTTTTGAACTCGTCCCACTTGGTGGGCCCTCGGTCCCACCCATAGCTGTGGTTCGCGTTGTCCGCGTAGGGTTTCGACACGAGGCACGAGCCCCAGGGGCCCCTATTTCTTCCGTTGCTGGCTTGGAACTGGGCTCTTTCTAGCGCAGAAGCCGAACCGCCTCGGGACACGGTGCCAATCTCGAGCTTCTTCCCCACAAGTCGCGACGCGATCGTCGGGTTCACAATCACCGCAATGGCCTTGGAGCGGTCGTCCGGATCTAACGAGCAACGTACTACGTCTCGCTTGCCGCCTAGAGCCGAGGACACGTGCTCCGCGGTTGAGCCGGCGGGGATGCCACTTATATCAAGTTCGTTCGGCGCCGTGATCGGGTGCTCGCCCACGGCCCTTGAAGCTGCACCTGCTGTTTCGAACGTGACCACGGCTCCCCTATTGCCGTTGTCGATCACTTCCAAGCAACTCAAAACGCGTCCGAACTTGCTACAGATCTTCTTCACGCCCTGGACATCGCCGTCCCGCGGGATGATCGCCAACACGCGCGTCTTGAGCAAGCACCTCCCAGCCTTCGCGCACCGTCGCGCATCACCTGCTGACTTGAAGCGTACTAGGAACTGCCCCCGTCCGTTGGGATCGACGCGATTCACCCGACCGAACTGCCCTTCGAGAGCCTCCTTCAGAGCCGCAGACGTCGTACTACGCGGCGCCTTACTCACAGTAACCTCGCGCTCGGATCGATCCTCGGCGCCTTCTCGGAGCGGCAGCGCATCATCCAGCTCATCATCTACATCTTGATCATCTTTCGCGACCTTCTCCATCCAGGCTAGGGCTCGGGTCCGCTGCCGAGCCGAGCGAGCCCGCACTTTTTGTTCATAGGACGTGTCCAGGCCTCGGATCGTTCTTCTCGGTAGAGAATCAGCGAGCTGGGGCCGCTCCATGCGGCCCTCGGCGACGGGCGCTCGGCGACCTAACGACGGCGAACTGGAGGGCCTCCTCGAGTTGTGAATGTCTTTCAATTGTTGTCGTTTATTACCCTTCAAGAGCTGAGTAACGTACCTGCCATAGGCCGCCTCCGTGATGTGGCCCCGGTTGTACTCCCTGCCAGCGGCGGCCATCCTCGACAGCAGCTTCTCGCGGTCCTTCTCGGACATGTTGTTTCTGTACGCACTCCCACCTGTCTTCTCTAGATTAGACATCGACTTTTGCAACCACGCGTCGGACTTGGCGTTCTCGCCGCCCGTGCCGACGTGGACGCTCTTGTACGGTTTCGGGTCGCGGCCCGCACCGTACGCAAACGAGTTGTCCCAGGCTTTTGTTGGTCCCGGCATCCTGGCGTTCGGTGGGGCGCTTTGGCGCTAGGCGCTTTGCGCTTGGATATTGGTAACGTGCTCCCGCCGCGGCGCTGTTGGCGTGCTGTGGTGGGGTGCCTTGGTCGATTCTTGCGTCTGGGGCAGCCTCGGCGCCGGGGGCAGCGGCGACGGCGTGTTTACACGACAAGCTTCGCGGGCCACAGCGCCACAGCGCCGCCAACGGGGGCTCCGGAGCGCGCAATTTCCGACGGCTCGCGGGCGCGCGCGACTCGTCGCAATGCTCCGCGGCGCTCCGAGGACCTCCCGCAGCGATGGCGGCCGCAATTTCACATGGTGGTGGGCAGCCTGCCGGGCGCGGCGCAAAGCCTGTGAGCGCCGGCAGTCGTGGGCAAGCGGCTGCCTCTCTCCCTCATTTCGATTCCTTCGTTACACACAAAGGGCGTGCGGCAGCGATTGGGCACGCCGCCGCGCCAAAAACACCACATGAGCTCCCAGCTGGAGGCCCTCCAGGCCGAGAACGCGCGCCTCAAGGCAGAGAACGAGACTCTAAGGCAACAATTACAATCACAGTCCACGGACCAAGATCTACTGAGAACTTTAGGACGGTCACCTGACAGAGGGCGGACGCTCGCTCATACAATCGGCCAGCGAAGTTTGTCTCCAGGGAGTGAGCTAGAAAGACATCCACACAAGGAGGACAACACGGAGAACGAACTAGCGCAATTCCTCGAGGAGGGCCTGCGCGACGGCCTCTTCTCGAGCCAGGAACAGCAACCGGGCGACTTACTTGATGATATAATACGAAACATACCAGTAAAAAAATTAAGGAAGCCCTACACGTGCGAGGACCGCGCTTCGGAGTTAGGTATCGATGCGGACGAAGAGGAGCTCCCGGACTGGTTGAAAGAAGGCTTACAACCAGAAATCCCCAAGCACCTCAAACATGCATTCAGGGAAGCACGTAAAAAGAAGAAGAAGCCGTTGCCTCGCTTATTGCAAGGTGCCAAGATCAACCCGCTCGCCCAGACTATTTTAGCGAAGAAAGCGGCGATGCGGTTAGCCGATAAGGCGCGAGCTAAAAGGGACAAGGCCCCGTGGTCTAGAGGTACATTGCAGTTCCATTCTTTAGCAGCCCCTCAGACGTTGAGGAAATTACCGGATATTATTCATGGGAAGCCCTATCCAATTCACAGAGAGGAGGATGCGCTGGTCTGGCCCGATCTTGCGGAATTGGTCAATGACATCTGTGTCAAGTCCGGTGTTTTAGTGAGTGATCCGCAGGGCTTTCCCTTGTCATTTCTGGATGAATTGCAGAAGCGCTTCAGACGGGACAATCAGAGTGATTCTCTGGACGAGTTCGAAAGTACTGGTAAAAGTAATGGGTACGACATGCAGGTCCAATGTATCATCTTGCCACCTGGTTATGAAACTAGATTACATGGCCACGTGTCGCTCGAGTTATGCTATGTCCTGAGCGGGTCCTTGCATGAATTGAGGCTTTGTGGCACGGTACCTACCTTGGGCAAGGATGAAGAACCAAAAGTACCTCTGCTAGATTTGTCTGAGATAACAGAAAAGAAGCGGAATCGAACTCCCACGAGGTGCGGCGATATACCCGAAAAGGCCGTCTGGAAGGAGTCGACGATAGAGCTCGGGGAGTACGTGCATTGTGATGTCGGTTCAGTACATCAAATTAAATCAGGTAGTGACGGTGCGTCATTATTAATATTGTGGTGTGGGGTGGAAGAACCGTATACGTCCGATAGAATTCTTTGTGGTGACGAGTTACGACTCGCTTCACCAAATGAGAAACCACCAAAACTAAGGTTGTTCGAGGGGACCTGGGTGCCGCCGAAAGGTATACAATACTTTTCTATCGACGACCAGATTATTGAAGAGATGAAGGCCGAAGGTTTAATCGAGGAGCGACGGCCGACGGAGGTCCCCGTTGTGGTGGAAGAGGACCCCCATTCGCGTTTTGATGAGCGCGCGGGGTTGCTGAATAGCAAGCACTGGCGTCGCGCTGAGGGTGAGAAGGCGCCGTCGCCGCGGCGGACGTCCGACGACCACCTCCGCGGCTCGTGGGGGTCGCTGCACGAGGTGCGCGGTCAAAAAGATGAAGTGGATGAGGTCGTCGACGCAGCCATTGAAAAGGCGATGAGCCCCCCTAAGAATGTGTAGTAGTAGTCTTGCTTTGCAACGCCCGTCCCACCCCCGGCCCCAATACGCCGTCGCCCCGAGTGTTAATCTTTCTTGAGTCTTAGTGCTAGATCGTGAAGTCCTTGCCCGTCTGCGCCGCCTGCATCGCTCTTTGTTTCACGGTCGCCGGGAGGTCTTTGAGGCGGTTGATCGCCAGGATCTTCTGCTGCTTCGACGTGTCGCGGTCGGCCAGGATGGCGTCGATCTGGGGCTTGTTGGCCCGCGCGGCGACCTCATCATCCTTGGCCTTCTCCTCGGCCGCGACCTTCGCGGCCAGCGCCTCGTCCGCGGCGCGTCGCTCCTCCGCGGCGACGCGCGCGGCCTCGGCCTCGGCGTATTCTTTCTCTTTGGCCTCGCGGGCCTGCTCTGCCGCCAATCGCTCCGCGGCCGCTCGCGCGAGGCGATCCGCCTCGGCCGGCGCCTCGGCCGGCGCCTCGGCGGGCCCGCCGGGTGTCGCCGGCGCCTCGGGACCCGCCTTCTCCGGCGAGACGGCGGCGCTCGGCGGCGACACGGGCGTCTCCTTCTTGCCGAAACCAAGCCACCCGCGATTCTTCTTTCGAGGCGTCGAGGGCCCGCGCGACGTCTTCGGCCTCTCAGAAGCTTGTTCCATGCGACCGGCCGCCGACGAGGGCGGGGCCGCCTCGTCCTCGATCGGCGCCGGCGCCGCCGGCGCCGGCGCCGGAGCGGCCGCGTCGTCGGCGTGCACGCTCAGTACGTCTGATTTGACGGAGCGCTCCTCGTCCGGTAGGCTGTCGCGGCTGCCCCGGCTCGCGCGGCTGGCGCGGCTGCCCCGGCTGAATCGGCTGCCCCTCTGCTTCCTCTCGAGCTTCTTGTGCGTCGCCCGGGCCTTCGCCAAAACCTCCTCGGCCACGCCCTTTGCCACCGCCTCCTGTAAAGCCGCCTCGATCGCGTCCAGGTCCTCGCCCTCAAGGACCTCGGCCAGCGCCGCCGCCGCCTTCTCCCTCAATTCCTTCTCCTTCTCCATCTCCGCATTCAACGATAAAGTCACCGCATTGATCCACTCCTCCATATCAATTTCTCCGGACCTGTGTGGAAATCAAAATTTTACGGCGCGTTCGTGCTGAATCATCGCGTCGTCCTCCACGCCATCGACGCGAAGCCTGCTCGATGGCGTGGTGATGCTCGTTCCTCACCGCTCGACCGAGCCAGCACGGCCGCGTCATCGCCGAGAAATGACTTAGTGAAGAATTGTCGGGTGCACCCGACGCACTGGTTGATTTCCACACAGCTCCCGACTTGTCCGTGTCCATCTTCTCCAAGTTTTCTTCTAGTTTCTCTGGCACCATCAAATCACGTAAAACCTCCTCCTTGCACTCCCGGAGGAAGCCTAGGACCCGTTTGTCCTCCTTGACCGCTGTGAGGATCTCGTCCCGCGACAACGTGCCACTGTCATCAGCATCCATGATCATGAAACAAGTGCGAGCTAAATTCAAAACCTTCATGCGCTTCTCGAAGGCCGGGTCGCCCTTGCCCTTCATGCTTCGCGACACGGCCTTCTCGCCGAGCACGAGTCGCAACAGCCGCTTCTTGACCCTCTCGAGGAACGTCTCCGCCTTCTTCTCGTCGACCTTCACGGAGTTCTTCCACCGCTCCCTCAACGCCAGTTGGGCCTCCCGCTTCTTCTGCCGCTCGCGGATCATCTTCTTGTCGATCCACCGTATCGACAGAAATTGCAACTCATAGGCCTCGCGACCGTACAAGTCCTTGCCCTCGGCCTGCAAGCGCTTCTGCTTCAACTCCAAGCTCAACATACCTTCGGGCTTCGGGATCTGGTCACTTTCGTCGTCGATCATCCGATTCTCGTACCTGCGTGGACATCGACCCGTGAGTTCTGCGCCGCCTTCACGCCATCGACGCGACTCGTGTCCATCAGACGAGTTTTGAGGCCATTCGGACGAGTCGAGCGACCGCGACGCTCCGCGGAGGTCTCCACGCCATCGAGCAGACGCAGTCACGGGGCGCCCGAAATTTGATTTCCACACAGTTTCGTACGCCTCGACGCGAGCGCGCATCTTCGCCGCGGCCCTTTCCAATTCATCTTTCTTTTTTTTGGCGATGGCGCGCATGTGGTCCGCGTCGTCGCCGACCTCCATGGGATCGACGGACGGTGCCGCTTCCAGTCGTTTCCACTTTTTTCGTTTGGCATTCGTGCCAGCTAACGTCTCGTCGCACTCGCCCTTGTATCTTCTCAATGTCCTATCGGGCACGCCGTGCGTCGCCTTGACTTTATGCCGGTCATTCGCGTGCTTCAACTGGTGCGGCAGGATGTCCTCGTCGTAGCCTGGCTCGAGGTTGCCGTCCTCGTCGCGCTTCCGGATGCGCTGCAACGAGTCAAAGCACAACTTCCTTTCAGACTCCCACTCCCCCTCGAGATCCCCCACTTCGCAAGACACGCGCCAGGGAGACTTGCCGCCCTGCTTGTTGAGCACCATGGCGCCCTTGCGATTGTCTCGCAACCTCAGGTGCATGGGCATCGCGGCCTCCTTGCTCGTGTCGCCGAAACCCGTGCTTCGCTCCTTGTCGTGCTTCGCGCCGAAGGCGTGTCCTGTATATTCCTCTTTTACTACTATTTTGTCTTCCTTTGGCTTCTCTTTGACTGCTAATCGCTCTTCATGGAAGGAGGACTCGGCTTTTTCCTTGTCGGTGAGGGTCCAAGACCCGTGCTTCGACTCGAGCGGTCCCGAGTGGTAGGTAGGGCGCTTCTTTGTGACGGGCGGCGGTTCATCCGAGAACGTGACGTGCCGCGGGGAGTCGGGCTTGTTACGCAATCGTTCCCTCGCCTCCGCGGCCTCGCGCGCGACTCTTTCATTGAGCTCCTTCGCCTCCCTCCTGATGCGCGCCTTGAGCTGCTCCTCGGTCTCCGACATCACCGGCGTCCCAGCGTACACAGCTTCGCCGTCGCAAGGGTTAGTCTAGCGTCCGTGACCGCTCAACTACGCTCTCGTCGTCCCATCGTGTTGTTTTGGGGCTTGTGGGCGCTCCAATGGGGCTGCCTTCGCGCGGCGCTCTCTGACGCGGCCACGCCTTCGTTGTGCCTCTGGGGCAGCCTCCCACTGGTATCGGGCGCTTTGGGGTGGCCCTGGCTCCCAACGCGCCTGGCAACAATATGCTCTCCCGCTGTGTTTGCTTGGCTAGTGTCTCACGGGCCGCTAGCAGGCACCGCCCCGGCGTCAATGGCCAGGAGCTTTCCGAGGCTCCCGGTACGTGTGTAGACACGCACGGAAGGCTGGGCGTTTAACGCTGAAAACCCGTGCCCTACAGCACATTTTGGCTTGCCGGCGGCCGTACGCAAGCTGTTAACAGGCTGGTGCGCCTGCAACTGCCGTTTTGGAACTCGTTTGACAACTGCGGAACGCTGTGCCGACTGCCTTCGCTCGCGGTGGCATACAAGGCACCCAAAACTGCTCCCTCGCTCTTTTGCAGCAAAACGCGCCGGCCGCAGCGGCGCTTAGGCGCACGCACCGCTCCACAGAAGCAAAAGTGCGACCCCGCGTCCTCCAATCAAATGTCTGCACACAAACGAGAGGGCCGATGACTTGAAACCCTACGGACTCAACCGCCGCGAGGCGCGCGAGCCGGCACCGAGAACCGCAGTGCGGACCACTACTACTCCACACACCCATAGAAGCTGAGGCTTTCCTTCGTGCAAGTGACGAACAACGAATTTACAAGCTACAACCGAAGCCAAAACGGCCGTGTAGATTCACCTTTCTTATCTCTGTGGTTCTGATGCACGTAGGTATGGAGGAGACGCCGCCGGCCGAAGCGCCGGCGCCGGCGCCGCCACCCCAGTCCTGGACCATGACGGAGAACGGGCCCGTGCCAACACCTCAAATGGTGCGCGCGATCCAGGCCGACGTGCGACGGCAAAGGGCCCAGGCGGCCTGGGAGGACGACCCTGCCAACAGACCGGCGCCGGGGAAACGTAGAAGGGACGGGAACCCCCTCAAAAAAAGAGGAAGGGACGAGCGCGAGGTCGAGGAGCTCGAGGCGAAGCTGCGCGAGATGAAGGCGTTGCGGGAGAGGGTGGTGGAGCATATTGCGGTTTGCAAGAAGTACGGCTATTGTGGGTATGCGAAGGAGGACCCCGACCCGACGCCGGACGCGCCGCAACCGCCACCGCCTCCGCAGGCTCCGGCGCCCCGCGAGCCGCTTCCGCCTGCGTCACGCGTCGGGGCCCAGTACCAGGCTGATATCCCGGATCAGGCAGACATGCCAGACTAATTCTAGAATAACTGTCAACAATTACTACCTAGTCCGCCGGTGCACGTCATCGACGCGCGTGCTCGACACATGCTAGTGCACGCGCTGCCAGCGTAGGAACTTCTGGATGTCGGGCTCCGACAGGAGGCCCTCGAGGTCGGCGCGCTCGACGGCCTGGGCGACGTCGCGGCTGATCTCCTGCTGCACGAAGAGGTCCGCGAGGTGCGGCGAGATGCCCATCTCGCGCAGCAACACCTCGGCCTCGCCGCGCGGGCCGGCGGGCGGCGGCGGCGCGTAGGATGCCGGCGGCGGCGCGTAGGACGCGGCCGGTGGCGGCGCGTAGTAGGAGGTCGCCGGCCGCGTCTCCGCCAGCGAGGCGGCCAGGGCCCGGCGCAGGTCGAAGTCGTCGTCGGCGTCGTCGTCGACGATGTCGGCCGTCGACTGCACGTAGCTCGGCGCGTAGCTCTCGGCGACCGACGCGGCAAGAGCGCGCTCGAGGTCCGCGTCCACCGACGGGACCGGCGGCGGCCGCGCGTGCATGTCGGCGCGCGACGCCGCCAACGCCCGCGCCAAATCAGCGTCTTCCTGCGGAGGCGCCCACCGCGGGGGTTGTGCGGCCGGCGGCGGCACGAACCTCGAAGAGGAGTGGACCCACGTCGGGTTCGCCGGCGGTGGCGCGCCGGGGACGAACGCGGGCGCCGCCGCGTCGACGCTCGTCGCGCCGGGGCGGTAGGGAATCATGCCCTTGATCGCCGCCACGGACTTGGTCGGAGCATAGTCCTCGTCGACGCAGAAGATCTGATCAAAGCCCTCGTTTTTCCGGATCGGGCGAAACTCGTCGCTCATGATGCGGACGATGCGCCGACACTCGCGGTTCGTGCGATCGACCCCTCCTTCATGGTTCTCGCGCGCCTCGCAGCGCTGTGCGCATAAGTCAGCAGGCGTCCGGAACTCGAGCGCCACGCACCGGGCGCCATGACGCTTTGCAAGGCGCACCCAATGCGCGCGCTGCTCCTTATTGACGTTCGTACGATCGACAAACGCCGCGTCGCCGCGCTGGAGGGCCGCGTCGACCGCGTCTATGACGCGCTGCCGAGATTTAAGTACGTCCTGGCAACACCGGACGATGCCGGGAACGGCCGCAAAGTGCTTCTGGAAGAAAGTACTCTTCCCGGCGCCCGGTAAGCCCACGCAAACGACGACGAGGCCCCGCGTCGAGGGCGCCGGCGCCGCCTTCTCGGACGACGCGCTCCACGCGGACCCGGTCCGCTGCCGGCGCGGCTCGCTCTCAGCGGCGGCGTCGAGCGCCTCCTGCCGCGTCGGCGCCTGGAACCAGTCCTTGGGAGCCGCTTGCGTCGCCCGCCGCGCCTTCGGCCGGGACTTCGGCCGCGGACTCACGTCCCGCTTCTCCTCCTCCTTTTGGGGTTTGTGCAGCGTGCACGCGTCGAGGTCGACCTCGGCCGGCGGCGGCGCCGGTGCCGGCGCCGGCGCGCGGGGCTTCTTCTTGGGCGCCGCGCGGCGCGGCGGCTGGCGCGGCTCGGCGGCCGGGTCCTTTAGTTCGACGAAGGCGTGGCCGGCGTCGGTCCAGGCGTTCAGGATGATGACGACGCCCTTGCCGTTCTGGACGTTGCACGCGCCGTCGCACTTCTCGCTGAGTTTCCCGCCCGTGCTTTCCGACTTCATGCGCGTCTTCGACAGCGTCGAGCCGCGCCAGACCATCTTGCGCTGGAACTTGATCGGCTTCTTGCAGTGCGGGCAGGGCTCGCCCTCGGACGGCGGCGCCGTCGTCGCGCGGTACTCGGCCGGCAGGCTTGCCCAGAACGTCGCGAAGGTCTGGACGTCGACGCCGCCGCCGATGCGCCGGTGCCACTCCCGCGCGTGCTCGCTCATCGTTTTGTAGGTCGTCACGTGTTGGCCGCCGGTCCGCCCCACCGATATCGTTTTTCCCTGGCCCCGGAGCGCCAAAATAGTCTTGGCCTTGACGCCGGAGGTGCAGAGCCCGTTGCACTCGAACTTGTTGTGCGAGTCGAGAAACAGCTTCCGCCGGCAGATTGTACAGCGTGAGCCATCGGACGGCGGCACGGGCAGGCCTTGCGTGGCCGGCTCGAGGCGCAGGAAATCAATAATGAACGCCTTCATGGCCTTTGGATCCGTGATTCCTAGGCGCTGGGCCCAGGCCGTCGCGTTCTGCTCCGGCGGAACCGCCTCGCCGCCTTTTATGCTGGCGAGCGCGCGCGCGCCGCGCTTGCTCTTGCCGCGCGGGTTTCCTCCTTGTACCATGTTTGCCGTAGACGCCGGACGAGAGCGCTGGACAAGGCGACCTCCAAAGCAGGCCCCTCGCGCAGCACAACTGCAGCGCTGACCTCAAGGGCTGGCCGGCGCTGAAGAGGACGTACTGCTCGCCCAGATGGTCGAGCGCTCGCGTCTGCTGCGCACCAGCGCGCCCGCTGAGCCTTGTTTTCGTTTTTTGTGTTGTTGTTGCTAGTATCTTACCGCTAGCCCGCGCGCGGAGCCCTACGTATCTCCTCAGACTCATTGCCGAACTGACTCATGACAAGACACTAGCAAAAAAATAATAATCACAACCTAAGATTACTCGGCGTCGTGCCAATCTTGATGACGATGACCGCTCATCTCCCGCGCGAAGGCGAACAACCTATGATCGTCATCAATATCCTCGAAGCCCGTCGGCCACTCGCGCCACCACGCCGCGCCGCCGACGGGCTTCGACGTCTTGATGAACGCGTCTCTATATTTGGGCAACACGTAAAACGTCGATGGACGCAAGCCTCGATACCCTCGTATGCGCGTAATGTACCCCGTGAACGTCGACCACCACGTGCCCAGGAAGACGGGCGCAGCCCCACAGATGAGCTGCTCGACCATGCCGGCCCAGTTCGGGTCCTCGAGCAATGCGGCCTGGAGTTTGGAACCCTTCGTCGCCAGATCGTCGAGAAATACCAGTGAATACTTCTGCGCGAGCGGAGCGAAGAAGTCGCGTTTCCGCTCGTCCGTAGCGACATAGATCAACGAATCCTGGGCCACACTATCGACGGCTTTGAGGACCGCGTTCGCGTCGACCTTCGCCTCGGTGAATTGGAAGTCGCCCCGCCGCACGTGGATCGCCGTCCAGTTCCTTCCATGGGCTTTCTCCTTGAGTAGATCAATGACCTCCGCGGCGGCACATTGGATCTCGCGCCGATATCGTAACTCGTCCCTCGCGACTCTTCGAGCAGCTCGTCCCATATCAGCTCTAGACCACCGCATAAAGGTATAAAAGTGCGTCAGGAAGCGCAAATCCCGCTTTGCATCGGTCGCGAAATGTATAGTAGTAGCGTTATGTGAGGGATGTCTATCAACATCCACGAGCTTGCGGCCGGCGGCGTGCTTTTTTATACTACGAGTCGTCGTGTCGTCGGGCGCTCCAAAACGTGTCCCAAGTACTAAGAAATCAGTCCTAGGCTTCCAGAGCACCGTATGGGCCAGGTCTCGCAGCTTGAAATGGAGGGCTTTGCACGACGCCAGGTGTTCGTCAGCGCACCCCTCGACTACTGATGTCCCAGTCCTCTCCTTGAGGTACTCCTCTGTTGTCGTAACACCGCCGCCCTCCGTGATCAAATCCAAATCATAAAAATCAAAAGGACCGTGGGCTTTTGAGGCTTTGCTTACTAAGTACAGTCGCGCTTTGGCCGGTAGCACCAAAATGCGACCCGTGCTCCAGGCGAACAACGCCGCCGTCTCCATGCCCATCCTTATATTATTCCAGCCGCCGTGGTCCGGCTCGAAAGTGACATAGCGCTTTTCGTGCGTTTCCGATTGATGCCGTCTTCGCAACGTAGACCGGGCGTGCGAGGGCGCGCGCCAGTAGACGGCGGACTTGCACGCGATGGGCGTCGTCAGCGTCGTCTTCGGCCGCGCGGTGGGGGCCGGCGTCGTCCGCTCCGTCTGCGCGGTGGGCGCCCACGAGCCGCCCGCGAAGACGACGGCGCTCTTATCCGACACCGCGGCCGGCGCCGCGTTCTCTCCGTCGTCGTCGCCGCGGGCGGGCGTCGCTTTGACACCGACGTCCACGGCCGCTTCGAGAGATGCGCCGCCGGCCTCATCATCATCATCGAGGTACGGCTTCTCGCCCCTTTTTCTTTTCGCGACGACCTCGGGGAACTCGCGCAGCTCCGTCGCTGGTTTGCCTCCCAACATCCGCAGCGACTCGTGCACGTTGGGACCTTCATTATCGAACTCGCGCTTGCCGCCCGCCCTCACGACGACGCCGGGCGGCGGCGTGTAAGTCAGGTTTCTCCCCTCGAGGCAGGACAGGTCGTAACACTTAAAGTCCCACGGATCGTAGCCCTGATGATATAACTCTTTACCTGTTGGTTCCTCGACCAGCGGAATCGGCAGCTTGTCGAGCTCCCTTCGTACGCGATCCCACAATACAGCCGTCTCCTCGAAATGTTTTTGTAAATCTTCAGGAGCGTTCGGATCGTTGTCCTCTTCAACAAAGTCGCTGCCCGTGTACCCCGTGGCCAGCGCGTGCGGGCCCGCGTCCCTGATGCCCAGGTGCACCTCTCTTGCTCGCCGCGCCCGTATCGCGCCGTCGTCCTCTCTTGGATAATGGTGGCGCGTCTCGCGCGGCGCCTCGCGCGCGGCAGCCGCTTCGGCGGCCTTGACGCGCTTCCGCTCGCCCTCCTCGGCGGCTCTGCGTTCGGCCTCGGCGCGCGCCGCGGCCTCGGCCGCCGTGCTGCCGTCGCCCTGCCTCCGTCGGTGGTAGACGCGCTCGGCCACGTTTTGGCGCGTCCCGGGCCGGCTCACGTCGTCGGTGGCGTCGGTCTGCACCTCGACGGGGAGCTCGGGCTGCGGTACGCTGCGGCAGCCGCCTTCGTCACACAGCGTGTCCGCGCCGTCCGTGGGCGCGCGCACGAAGTGATCCCGCCCCATCTGGTGTGGATGAAAGAGGTGCTCGACCTCGCGCTCGACGTCTTGCAGCGACTGAAGCCAGCCGTGCGTCGCGACGAAGGCGACCAGAGCGAAGATCACGACGCCCACAAGCACCCGCGCCAGCGAGCAGCGCCGCCGCGGCCGCTGCTGCTCCATGGCTCAGGCTGCGCGGCTACGTCGACGCGCCGGCGATTGCTGCGGCTGCTTATATGGCTGCTGCCAATGCCAGCACGCGGCGGCGGCCCGTTCTGCAGGCGACACGCGTTCGCAGCGGTCAGATTGAGCCTGGCAGAGCTCGAGGAGACCACAGAATAGAGCTCTACGGGAGCCTACGGCTTTGCCATTTTGCCTGCTTTTGCAGCCCAAAAAAACAAAGGCAGCGAGGCACAGAGCACAGCCCACTGGCCGCGCTGATTAGAGCCCAAGATCCCGCTAACAGTGGTGCTCACTGCACCAATTCTCGCATTCAAGCGGCACGCATCGATTGCAGCGGTGCGCGTGAGTTCATCGCTGTGCAGGCTGCACTTGCAAGACAGCAGCAGACAGCGATGGACGCCGACGACGAGCGCCTGACGGACTGGGGCGCGTCGCGCCGCACCTACTATGGAGGCGACACCGCCGATTTAGAAATTGGCCAAAAGGATGAGGACGCCGTTGAGGAGGAGGCGCTCGCGCGCGCGCAGCAGCGCGAGGCGTTGGAGGCGCTGGACGAGGACGACTTCGCGTTGGATGGGGATGGTGACGATGATGTAGAGGAGGAGGGCGGCGACCTCTTCGCGGCGCTCGGGCGGAAGGGCGGCTCTCGAAAAAGTGTCGACCGCAAAGCTATTGCAGAGAGAGCTCTGGAGGTGCTGGAGGCGCCCGTCGAGGGCGCCGAGCCAAGTGCGACAATCTTACGTTTGTTAAGGGAGCAGCAAGCTCTTGGTTTATTATGCGACGCGGGCTTCTACGAATTATTAAGGGCGGAGGGCGTCGATCCACAACAACACCCGATCGCGCAGCGTTTGCCAATCGCTTTACGAAGTTTGGAGGCCTCGGCATCATTGGAGGCGCCCGCGACCGTGGCGACGCCGACGCCGACAGAGGAAGCGCCCCAAGAGGAGGACGATTTGTACGCCGCTTCCCAGGAAAGACGGCGGAAGAAGCGCCAGAAGTACGAGGTGAAGCCGCGCTTCGGTAGTTGGAGAGACGAGCTCGACGCGCCGGCGGCCGACGACCGGCGCGCGGCGTCGCGCGCCGTCGTGCGCAACAAGGGGCTGGCCCCGCACCGGACGAACAAGTACCGCAACCCGCGCGTCAAGAAGAAGATCAAGTACGCCAGGGCCGTCGTGCGGCGCAAGGGCCAGGTGCGCGAGATGCGCAACGAGGCCGAGGGTTATGGGGGAGAGGCCTCGGGCGTGCGCAAGGGCGTCGGCAAGAGCCGCAGGATTACTTAAGTGTGTGGTATTTAAGCAGTGCCGTCCTCGTAGCCGCGGAGGTCCTTGCGTACCGTCTCGCGGAGCGTCTTCACCCGTTCCAGACGCTCGGCCGCGCTCAGGTCCGCCTCCGTCGCGCGCTCTTCAACGACTCTGACTCGGTCGTCGCGCTTGTAGGAGACGCGCTCGTGGCGGTCGCGCGCCGCGTCATAAATGTTCGCGAGGTCCGCGAAGGGCGACTGCGGATAGCTCACCCGTGGCGAGCGCGACCGCCGCTCGTAGGTTCTGGGAGGGGAGCGCGAGCGCCTTTCATAAGTTCTGGGAGGCGAGCGCGAGCGCCGCTCGTAGCTTCGACGCGATTGTAAAGCGCCTCCATCATACCGCTCGAACGAGCCTCGGAGGGGCTGGGGCCGCTCGACGGATCGCGGCCGCGCCGCGACATCAACAATGCGCGGCGGTCTAGCTGGCCCCGCCGCCAGGAACCTATCTATACTTTCCTCCGTCTCGAACCTATGCGCGCGCGCGCCGCCGAGCCCCAAATCGCCGGGCTCGTCGCGCGGCTCCGAGCTGCAGTCCGATCCTAAATCATCAACTTGTTGTTCCCGTCGCGCCGTCGCCGCCTTTTCCGCATCGTCGACGCGCTTCTCGAACTCCTCGATCTCCTTCCGCATGAGCCTCTTCTTCTCGTCTTCATCTAACTCACCCTTCGACTCAGGGTCTTCCATAACCTTCGGTTTGGCGTCGGGCTTCACGTCGCCGTCCTTCGCGACCATCTGCTCGGCACCGAGGCGCTTCTGCATCAAACCAAGCGCCAGGTCGAGCTCGGCGCCGATGCCCTGCGACACGTCGTTCAGGGAACCCGTCGGCCTCTGCTCGACGCGCGGCACGGGTGGAGGGAGGCTCGTGTCCCCCATGGCGCCGAGGGGCAGGAACGGGACCTTCTGCGGTTGAGATGGAGGATAGTGGAAGACGGAATCATTGAGTGTGGCCGCTCTTCGGGCAGGCGGCAGCGGCTCCTCGCCGTCCAGAGACCGGCGCATGTCTCTTATAGGTCCCAGGTAGGCGTCATCGTCTCTCCGTTCGCCCTCTATTTTAGAATCACATTCGCCGAGCGCGATCGCGGCCTCCATGAGCTCCAAAGAGTGCTTGGCCCGGATCTCCTTTTCTATTTCCGCCCTTTCCAGACCCCGTTGTTTTTCAATTTCCTCTTGGGCCGCCTTTTCCGCGGCTTCTTTCGCTTGATAGGACTTGGTGAAGGTGTAGAGGGCCGCATCGAGCGTCTCGGAGATTTGGCTGAGAGTTTGGGGTCCCTTCATCTCCATTTGAGTTGAAGGCGTAGCGTCATACAACGGCGTCTCGTAGGCTTGTGATTGTTCTGGTAGTAAATCAGTACACGATAACCGTTGCGTCAAGGTGCCCAGGGCGGCATCGAGGTCGGTGGCAATATCAGACAGGTTGCGCGGGTCAATCTTGTCATCTTTGACAGTGGTAACGTCCTTCTTCGATGGATCGGTCTTCCGCAGCCGCCGTCTAGCCTCGGCGACCAGCGAGTCGGACGCGTAGTAGTCGCCGTCATTCACCGTGTCCGCGGCCACGTCGAAATCATCAAAAAAACCGAAGGTCTTCAGCTTCTCCGTGAGGTCGTGTTCCCTCGCTCGGCCGCCGTGCGACTGGGCCGCAGCTAACCGCGTCGCCCAGCCCGCGCTCGGCGCGCGGCGCCGCTCCTCGCGCGGGTCCGCGTCCCAGTCCACGTCGACACTGTGGGATGCGAACGCAGCCAAGTCCCAGGAACTTCTCGTGTTTTTGTCACGGGGGCTGAGCGTCGGGGCTGGCGCCGGTCTTGTTCTCAAAAACTCGTCGTACTCCGCGGAGCGCGCCGTGCGGTCGTGGCGCCGCGATCTCGGCTTCGTCGTCCCGGCGCGCCAGACCTCGTCGATGTCCTCGTCGTCGCTGTCGTCGCGCGAGCGTCGACGGTCGCGGGACGAGCGGTCGCGGGAGCGGGGCATGCTGGCTTGGTCTGGGCGTTGGCGCTGTTGCACGGACTTTGGGCAGCAAATGAGCCAGCGAGCGGTGGACAGCACGCGTGCTTTTCACCGTTCTCCTCGTCGGGCAGCGTGCAAGGCGGCACAGGCTTGCCTGGTGCGCTTTTGCGGCTGCCGCGCGACGGTTTGATGGGTGGCAGGCTAAAACCGGTAAAGGCGCGGGCGCGGGGCGCGGGGAGGTCTCGGCCCCGGAGGCAGAGGTCGCTAGCTCTCTGAGGACCTCTATGACGCTCAAGCGGTACTATTACTCCACCCTGCGCCCCGCGGGTTTTGAGATGGTTTTTGGACTTATAGGGCTGCCATAGATCTTAATCAGTCCCCCCACGTCTGCTTGTAGCTCTGGCGCACGGGCGGGACGGCGAAGTCGGCCCCGGCGGTGAGGGTCCTCCGTACGTTGGCCGCCCGCGCCCGCGGCGTCCGCGTCGCCTTGGGCGTCCGCCGAGACGTCCGCGCCAGGTTCGCGACGGTATCGAGCGGCCGGCCGGCCGAGGGTCGCGGCCGCTGCCCGCCTCCTTGGCCTTCGAAAAGCGCCGTGACGCGCAGCATCGGCCGCCCCTTGAACGTCAGCGGCGTCGCCTCGCCCTCAACCAACGTAAAACCGTCGACGTTCGACACGGCGCTCGAGAGGCGCCGCACGTCGGGCTGCCCGGCGCTCTGCGCCCGCCCCACATATTCGAGCACGCCCTCGTGGATCACGGCCCGTCGCCACTTTCCGAAAGCGCGGTACGTCCCGCGGTGGAGCCACCCGCGCAGGCACCGCGCGAGCCGCCGCGCCGCACTATTCGTCCGCGCTTTCATTGATGCGTGCTGCCGCCAGCGCGCCACGATATTGGAAGCGCGCTTCTTCGCGAGCGCCTCGAGGGCGATGCTCTGCCGCCTCTTTTCTGTGGCGCGGCGCCGCCACTGGCCCAAAACGTTTGACGCCCGGCGCTTGACGAGCGCCTCCAGGGCCATGTTTTGGCGCCGCCGTTCCGCCGCGGACCGCCGCCACTGGCCGAGCACGTTTGATGCCCGGCGGTTGAGGAGCGTCTCCAAGGCGCGCCGCCGCTTCTCTGCGCGGTCGCGGGCCTCGGCTTCCCATAAAGACCAGGCCTTCGCCGCGCGCTTGTGCTCGAGGCGTCTTATAAATCGCTCCGCCTTCGCGCGCGCGACGCGGCGGCGCGCCGTCGCGTCCGCCCACGAGCGCCAGGCTTGGGTCACCCGCCCTTTCCGCCACCGCCGCAGCACCATGAAGCAGAAGGACGCGCCGCTGCGCCGGGCGCTCGAGACCATCTTCATACGATACAATGTGTCCTTCCGCTCGCGGGCCGCGGCGGCGCTCTGTAGTTCCGAAAGCTCGTCGTCGTGGGCGCACCGCACGGCGTCCTGGCGTCGCCGTTCCCGCGCCAGGGCCTCGTCGTGGTCGCGCTTCGCGGCGTCCAAATCTCCGAGCGCGCCGTCGCGCTCCCTTGCCAACCTCTCCTCGAGCTCCGCCCGCGCCACCTGCAAGGCAACCGCTTCCGCCAGCGACCGCTCGAGCTCGTGGATGCGCTCGGCTCTTTCCACAGCGATGGCCGTCGCGTCCTCGGCCGCGTCGTTCGCCGCCCCGGTCTCGGCCCGCGCCTCCTCCAATTCTTTGTGAGCCGCCTCCAGGCCGTCTGATAGATTGCTGCGCAGCGCCTCGGCGGCGTCGAGCTGGGCCCGCGCGTCCTCGACGATATTTGCGTTGTTGCGCTCGGCGGCCGCGCGCGCCGCGTCCGCGGCGTCGAGTGCGATCTGGTGCTCCGCGGCGTTGCGCACCGCGGCGATGCGCGCCGCCTCGGCCTCGCGCCGCTCCTTCTCCATCGCTTTATACGCGGCCACGTCGACCGCGACGTACATAGTAGCTCTCAAACTCAACCACGCGTGGCGCACGGCGCGCCTTTCTCTATTCCGAAAGATCGACGCGAGCCGCGCCGCGCCCGCCTTATTCACGTCTTGCTGCGCCGCGAGCGCATTTGACAGGCGGCCCTCGAGCTGGCGCACGGCCTGCAGCAGCGTGTTGACCTTGTCGCTGCGCTCCTCCTGCTCCTCGCACCTCTCGTCCTTTGATAACACGTGCCAGCGGCGGAAGGCCGCGTCCCGCTGCTTCCCCGAGAGGCGCCGCATCGCGTTGCCCACGACGCGCGCGCCGTCGCGGCGCCGCGCGGCCCGCGCGATGGCGTTCATCGTCAGGCGGCGGCGTTTTTGTTCGGCGTCGTCGGGCACCGGTGGTGGCGGCGGTGCGCGTCCCGCCGTCTGACGGAGCGTCGGCATGGGTGGCGACGGCGGCGGCGGCGACCTTGGCGGCGCCGGCGACTCGAGGGGCGAGAATATCGGCGACGACGCGCGGTAGCGCGCCGCCGGCGACGCCGACAACCCGCGCCACTCGCCCTTCTCACCAAGAATGTCCATGGCGAAGGGGCTGTCGAGGTCGCCGCGGGGCAGCCGGCGGTCTGGGGTGAGCAGCATTGTCTCTGATGGTGTGATGACAGCGGGCAGCTCCGTGCGTCTTTTTTGGCGTACCGTTAGTTGCGTTGGCGCTTGTTCGGCCAGCAGTGCGCGAATCAGGCGCGTCTAACAAGCTTCGTCTAACAGGCACCGGGCGCCCGCGCCGCCGCAAGCTGAAACGAGGCCAATACGATCTAGGGATCCGTTCCTGTCAGATGGCTCCCTCTGCTCCTGCATAGCGTCAAACGGCTAAAGTACGGGTTCGGTGACCAGGTTGAGACAAAAACACGTCTTGACGGCCGTGCACACGCGACGACCTGCGTTGCATTGGTGCAACACGCTAGTAGTGATATTCACTTCAAGCGCAGCGGCTCGGACGAGCTGCTGCGCCCTAGCCTAGCTGCTACACGCGTTCAACAAGCCAGCGCGTTCTCCGGCCGCCCGCGGGACGCGCGACGCGGCATTTGTTTCGCCGGACGCACAGCGAACACCGCGACACCGCCGCGCAACCGCACGCGGTCGAAACGCCGTCGACGAAGCCTAAATTAAACCGCCGAGCGTTCAACGTCAAGCATGGCCGCGAAGTCGAAAATGACCGAGCAGGAGACGGCCATGATGAAGCTCGTTACTATAGAAGAAATCCAAGAAGCCGCGAAACGACCGTCGCGGGAGGAAACGGCGGGCTGCGCTAATAGACTTACTCTTCATTTCTTGACGCCTCTGTTAGCCAAAGGCTCGGATATTACGCTAAGGGACATGGGCCGGCCCATCCCGTCGGACCAGGCCGCCAACGTTTCTCAAAGATTCAGGAAGGCCTGGGACCCCCTCGCCGACAAGGCCATGAAGAACGGCAAAGTACCGGACCTGTTCGGCGCGCAGCTGAGGTCTCTAGACGGCGGCTACTTACGGTTTTTCACGGCGTTATTGTGCTACTTCGTCGAAGGCGTTCTACAACTAGTCCCGGCCGTCTGCCTGAATATTCTGGTCAAGCATTTCGAGGGACGGGGCAACTTGTCAATGAGGGCGCAGTGGACCATCGTCGCGGCGCTGTATCTAGCACCTACAATTGGGAGTCTATGTCGTTCGAGGTACGACACGTGCATGGTCCACTTTGGGAGCCAGATGTACTCGGCCGTATCATTAGCGTTGTATGAAAAAGCTCTTAGATTGTCACCTACCGCTAGAGCGGAGTACGACACGGGGAAGATCGTCACGTTGTTTTCCGTGGATGCTTTTTCCGTACAAAGACTGTTATTGTTTATTGGTATTCTGTTCTCCGGACCAGTGATTATCACGCTATGCTTACTACTGTTAAATAACATCCTGGGGTGGCAATGCACACTAGTAGGGTTGGGTTTCATGCTGGCCATCGTACCGTTGCAGTTTCTCGTATTCATACCCTACTTAAAGTACCAGAAAGAGTACTTGAGACATGCCGACAAAAGAGTAAAGGTAATGAACGAAGTCTTGGGTGGCGTGCGCGTCGTCAAGTACTTAGCCTGGGAGCGGCCCTTCCTCAAGAAGGTCATGGCGTTGCGAGATAACGAATCCAAAGTACTATGGAGGCAGGGTTTTATCATAGGGCTAGGATTTGCCGTTATTATGCTCGGCGCGCCCATCTTCCAGCCCGTTTTGATCTTCTGGTACTATACGCGGAAACTTGGTAGATCCTTAGATGCGTCGACGGCCTTTTCTACTCTAGCTTTGTTTGCGCTACTGAGATTGCCATTAGCGTTCCTGCCGTTCTGCCTCATCACTTATCTCACATATAGGGTGTCAGCGCGGCGCATGGCCAAGTTTTTGGTCGCGCCCGAGCTTACTCAGAACGCAAGCGGGTCGTCCGAAGAGCACGCCGTTGTGATGAAAGATGGTTCTTTTGCGTGGTCGTTGGAGAAGCCTACTGAAGTAGAAGGCGGCCAGGCGCCCAAGCCCGACGAAGAAACGCCGGCGGAGGTGAAGCCCCCGACGCTGCGAAACATCTCGCTCAAAATACCATCAGGATCATTAGTCGGCGTCGTCGGCCCCGTCGGCTCCGGCAAGAGTTCGTTGCTAGCGGCTCTCGCGGGCGAGATGGAAACTGTTGAAGGTTCCTGTTCCGTAGACACCAGTAAGGGTGTGGCTTATTGCGCCCAGGTGCCCTGGGTCTTGAACGCGACTTTGAGGGATAACGTCACGTTCGGGGAGGCGTACGACGACGGTCGGTTCGCTTCGGTAGTGGCCCAGTGCGCTCTGAAGGATGATCTGGGGCAGTTACCGGGCGGCGCGGACTGCGAGATCGGGGAACGAGGCATTAACTTGTCCGGTGGGCAGAAGGCTCGCGTAGCACTAGCGCGAGCGGCCTACTCGACGAATAGTCTTGTACTATTGGACGATCCGTTGTCGGCGGTCGACGCGCACGTGTCGGAACACTTAGTCAACAAGTGCATCGCCGGCAAGGCCTTCGAGGGGAGAACTCGTATATTAGTGACGCACCACGCCGCGGTCCTACCTCGATGCGACTTGGTGGTGGTCATGCGGGATGGAGAAATCGCCGCAACTGGTAGCTATGACGAACTTACACAACAGGGTGTGGACATGGGCGAGTTGACCACTGAAGACGACAACAAAAAGACCGAGACACCGGTCGTGGAGGCCATCGCCGTCGAGAGCACGGGCGTTTCCGTCGAGGCCGTCGAAGTGGACGAGGAGCAGGACGGGAAATTAACGTCGGCCGAAGGTGCCCAGAAAGGACTTGTCAGTAACAGAACGTGGTTCGTCTTCGCGCGGGCGGGCGGCTGGGGCTGGATTTGTGTGGCCTTATGTGCTCTCTTAGGGGGACGGGCGTCGGAGGTTGCCGGACAGTTTTATCTGGCCCGGTGGACGACGCGACACGACGATCCGGGCCGACACGAGGTCATGCAGTTCGTTTATAGATATTTGGCCTACGCTTTAGGTGCTGTTGCGGGTTTGGCTATTCGAGGGGTCGTATTAGCTCATCATCGTATTAGAGCCGCAGATACATTACATGCGACCGTTCTAGAAAGAGTTTTGTTTGCCCCGACGGCGTTCTTCGACGTGACGCCTATTGGTAGAGTACTTAACAGATTCAGCGGAGATATCTTGACGGTGGACACGGAATTAAGCAGGACGATGTCCGAGTTTTCCGGCGTCGCGTCCTATGTGATCGGAGCTGTAGTGGCATTATGTGTTGCTACCAAAGGCATGTATCTGGTGTTGGCCGTGCCGCTCATACTCGTCTACAGGCAGATCGATCGAAGGTTTAGATTCTCGTCGACCCAAATCTCGCGGTTGGCCAAATTAGCGCGCTCGCCGGTCGTAAGTGACTTCACGGAGATTCTGAACGGTGTTTCTACTGTTAGAGCGTATGGAGCGGTCGCGCGCTTCGAGGCGCGGTTACGAGACCGGTTGGACGGCTTGAATTCATGTGTGGTCAACGAGCAATTAGCGTACAACTGGCTCGCTGTCAGACTAGATCAGCTCGCGGCCATTTCGTCGGCGTCCGTCGCGGCGTTGGCTGTCGCGTCGAAAGGTTCTCTGTTATCTCCTGGATTACTAGGACTGGCCCTAGCGGCGTGCATCGAGATCACCGGGTTTTTGAAGAACGCGGTGCGCTTGTCGACTTTATTAGCCTCAAATATGGCCGCCATTGAAAGGATTGGGGAGTATGGGGATTGTTTCCGGGACAAGAATAGCGACGAGAAGCCGTTGGTACCCCGGGAGGCGGCTGAAGTTGTTTCATTAACAAATGACGCGTGGACGCCGTCGATCGGTAGCATCGTGGTCGACGATGCGAAGATGCGGTATCGGGACGGTCCCCTCGTTTTGAAGGGCGTATCTCTATCGATACAAGGTGGTCATCGGGTTGGGGTTGTGGGAAGAACGGGTAGTGGCAAATCTTCGTTAGCGGCGGCTCTATTTCGCATCGTCGAGCTAGATGGCGGTTCTATCTCTATCGATGGGATGGACACGCGCAAATTAGGTCTGAGGGAGTTAAGGCGGGGCCTCTTCATCATCCCCCAGGACCCCGTGTTGTTTTCCGCGTCGTTGCGTTTCAACGTTGATCCCTTCGACGAATACAGCGACGAGGAAGTACTGGGCGCCTTGAAAAAGGCGGAGCTCGGTTCACTCGTCAAGTCCTACGACAAGGGGTTGCAGGAGGTGCTCCAGGAGGGGGGCTCGAACCTGAGCGTGGGCCAGCGGCAGCTCGTGTGCATCGCGCGAGCTTTATTACGGAAGCCTCGCATCCTCGTGTTAGATGAGGCGACCGCATCAATAGACAACGAGACCGACGCGGCGATCCAGCGGCAAATCAGAGACGGCTTCGTCGGGTCGACGACGATCACCATCGCGCATCGCCTGCACACGATCCTGGACTCGGATAGGGTACTGGTCTTAGATGATGGGAAGGTGCTCGAGTACGACGCGCCCGCCACGCTATTGGCGGACGCGGCGTCGCGCTTCCGCGCCCTGGTCGACGCGGCGAAGGGCCGCTCGCCGTCGCAGCAGAACCTGCTCCAGCTGGCCGAGGACGAGGCGTCGGCGCGCGCGAGGTTGTAAATTGTTTCCTACTCGTAGTATCATACACAGTGACTTACCAGTCGTCCTAGCCGCGGCACCAGCAGCCGCGTTCGCGTTTGCGCGGCTTCAGCGGCGTGCTCGGCGGCGCGCAGGTCTCGTCGTCGAGCCGAAGGAGCGGCGCGGTCGACGCCGACTCCGACGCGTCTTCGTCGGCGTCGGCGCGCCGGCGGTTCTCGTCCGCCAGGGCTCTGCGCTTTGTCGGTGTCGCCAGAGCTGTTCGTGCGTCCACGAGCGCTACCATGGTACCAGCACCGTCGAGGGTACCGGCCCGAAAGCGCAGAGTAATACCATGCCTCGCGGCGACAGCGTCGAGGGTTTTCGCCGCCGCCGCGCGCTCCTCGGCGTCGGCGTGGCCGAGTAGAATCTCTTGCGTCGCCGCGCATGCGTCTGTGAGATGATGCCGGTAGCCCGGACGCTGCAGGAGTCGGTCGAGCTGCGCGGCAGCCGTGTGCTCGTCGCGGTCGTCGAGCACGACACCGACCACGGTCTTCGCGCGGTTGGGCGTCATCGGTTCGATCGTTTTTGTGGGTTGTGAGGCCATGTATTGCTCGACGGCAGCAGATGCCTTAAAAACTGCAAATGGCTGACAGCCTTGTTGCTCGTCACAGCTGCACTAGCTGTTCTGTACGTTTCCGTTGCAGCGTGTATGAGGTCGTAGCTGCGCGCAGACAAGCGCCAATTTCCGAAAAATCCAGCTCTAGGCATCCATACGACGCTGGCGCGCACAGGCCACGGCGCTAGCGATTTGTGCACACACTAGCCCTCCGTGTGCGCCGTGTGCGCGCGAAATAAAAATCGCTCCGTTTCACACGTGGGGCTACGAGGGGTGTCCTTGGACCTCGAACGACTGCGCGCAGGCTTCACACACGGAAAAAAACGCGCGCGCGCATGATTTTAGCCAAAAGCGCTGCGATGCCTACGATCGGTCACGGCCGCCCGTAAACGCCGCGCGGACTCATTTCGCGCCACGGGACAGTTGCCGACCATACATACAACACGTCCGTTGCGCCAGCATGACTTATAACACTCTTTAGGACTCGCACACACCCATGCGCCGAGACGCGTTTTCGCACAAGTGCAGTGCGCGGATGAAAACCAGCCACTGATCGCTATGACGCGCTGTGGAGTCGCATCGCTCGCTATACGTGATCATGGCAACTGTGGTGCTCCGCCAAACTGGCGGAATCGATCGTCGCGGCTCGTGCGGTCGTCGGGTGGCCGTCCGCGAATGCGCGACCCGGCTCCCGTCCGCTCTAGGCCTACTAGGGAGGCCCTATGGGCGCGTCGGGTTGGGCTGTAGGGCGTTTGTTCCTTTCTGGGGCCGGGAGTGGCCAGTAGGTCCCATAGAAAGAGTCCCTGAGAAACCCGTTTAGTATATTTAAGAAATTGAATTTTAGGAAACAAAGGCGCTAAATGCCCCGACAGGCGGTTTCCGAGCCGATAGAAGCGCTCGCGACGCTCCACGAGTGCTGTGCGACCGCGCGCGTAGCGCGCATCCATCTGTTCGGCACTTTTGCGATTGCGCGTTCGTTCTCGACTCGATGCGCCGGGCCGGCACGGCTCACAAAATCCTTTGAAGTCGCGTCAGAGGTTTCGCTGCGTCCCAGAACTCACGCGAAACGATGCCGTGGGCCTCAAAGTTCGCAAAAACGGAAGGGCGTGAAAAATTGCATCTCGGCGATTCTCGGCGAACGCGTCTTTCGCGCACAGCGCGCGTCTAGAACCGTTTACAGCTAGAATTTTTGGCGTCGCGGCGCCCTAGGATGTCTGGCAGCTGCTGCGCGCGGTTGCAGCGCGCGAACGTAGAGTTCGCGGCCGTCGAAAGGCCTCGAGAGCAGTCGTGCCAAAATCCGTCCAAATCGCTAGCGCCGTGGCCTGTGCGGCTTCACATGAGGCCTGTGCTGCACACGCAAAAACACGGCTGGCGGCTCCGCTGCGCAGCTTCGCTGCTCCGCTTCGCTCGCCAACCGTGTTTTTGCGTGTGCAGCACATGGCCTCATGTGCAGCCCGGCTGCCTTTGAGCTTACTAGAGTGTTACATGCCGCTAGCTCCGCTAAAGCCAACTTTGCCACGGCGCCATACGCCCGGTTTCTGCGTCGAGATCCTATCTCGACGTATCGGCCCACTGTATATTATCCGCCAGCTGACGCGGAACCGGTCGCGCCGACGCGGTTTAATCGACCTCTGAATTTCCAGGATTATCCATCGATTGGCGCAGCCGCCAGTCGTCGTTGCAGCGATTGACAAGAGAAGATGGCCTCGCGCATCTTCGACAAGGCGGCCTCAAAAGAAGAGTCCTTCAAGGACGACTCGACGCGCGCGATGACGCCCGAGATCCCGTCCAAGGCCGCGTCGTGGAGCGCCGAGGAGCCGCCATCAAAACCGAAGCGCGTCATCAAGACCGCCGAGGCCGTCGACCGCGCGGGGCGCAAGGTCGGCGTCATGAAAACTTTTGACGACGGTAGCAAAGTGCAAGAAAATTTGAATGGCACGGTCATCGAGATCGCCCTCGACGGCACGCGCACGCAGACGAACAAGGACGGCACGGTCATCACGTCCTACCTCGACGGCTCGAAGCGCCAGCAGAACAAGGACGGGAAGGTCATCGAGACGACCGTCGACGGCGAGCAGGTCCAGACGAACCCCGACGGCACGCGCATCGTCCTCAACTCCAAGGACTCGGGCTGCGGCTGCCTCGGGCTCTGACGCCTGCCGGAGCGTAGGAACTCCTCACTTAAAGTTAATGGGTAACACACTAGCATGCTCTATCCCAGGGAGTGCCTGTGCGCCTCCACGGAGCTGCCCGATTACCATCGATGGCCACGTTCGACAGTGATGGCCCGGCATGGACCGCCACGGAACGCACGCGTCGCACGGTTGCCCTGAACCCACCGGAGGCGCTGCAGGACCTCCTCCAACTCGTCGCATCGATCCTGTCCAAAATATTGGACAACCCCGGCGAAGAGAAATACAGGAGCCTCAAGCAGTCGGGGCGCGTATGCCAGCAGCGCCTTCTGGGGCGGCCGGGCGGCCGCGAGCTCCTCGCGAGCCTCGGCTTTAAGAGCGACGAGCGCGCCGACGCGATCTCGCTGGCAAACGCCGACGACGCGAAGCTTCGGGCGGCGCTTGCCTGGTGCGCTTCATACAAGCCACCGTCGCCGCACGTCGCGCTCGTGATCAGGCTGCCGTCAGGCGCGAGATTAGAAGCCGCATTCAGCACCGACGAAACGCTGCGCGACGTGCGCGCCTACGCCGACGCCTGCGCGCCGAAAGGTGCGCCCTACGACCTCGGCCAGGCGGGAGGTATTCGCTATGACGACGACGCGGCGCTCGACCAAGCGGTTTCGACGCTGGGCCCGCGAGCGGCGTTGATCGCGACGGCGCCGGGCGGGCCCGAGGCCGCGACGCGCGTCTGGGACGCGGCCCGGGAGCAGGCGCGGCGCGACGAGACCGCGGCGCGGGCGGCGCGCGCGGACGCCGAGCGGAAGCGGAGGTTGGCGAGGCTCGAGCGTAAAAGGGCGAACGAGGAGACGCGCGCGAACGCGCTGCGCTCCTTTGGGACGGACCGCGAGGAAAAGACTGAGGAGGTCGTCCGGGAGCGCTCGAACCGCGTCGCACGCGAGGCGCGCCTGGCCGCCCAGGAGGCGCGGGCGGCACGGGTGGCGGAGCTGCGCGCCAGCGCGCCCGATCCCCGGAGGGCCCGGGCCCCGTCGCCGCCGACGGACGGGTCGATGCCGACGCAGTAAGTCCTAGTGTTCGAGTCGTCGGCCCGAGCGCATCGATAGATAGCGGCTCGGCCGCCTCGCGTTTCTCTGCTTTCGCATCCTCGACGCCGGGTTGGCACGCGAGCCTACGACGCGTATAGCCACCGCAGGAACGCACAAATCATCCCACGCGGCCGCCGAGGGCTGCCCTTCCATCGACGCGGGCTGCCTCCCTTAACCACCACCAGCCATGGCTTGCAACTCCCTGTGTTTTTGCTTCTCGGGCGAGCCGCTGCGGCCCGACGAGTACGGCGCCGAGGGCGGCCGCGGCGCGACGTACGAGAAGTACGCGACGAATAGAGAGACCTTCCAGTTGGGGATGGGCGACGCGCCGCTCCGCGCGCCGCTCCAGTGCCTCGCGGGCGGCTTCCCGGTGACGTTCATCTGCTGCCAGTGGCACATGCGGTACCGAGCGCTGAATCATGTGGCGCCGGGCTCGGAGTGGGAGAATTATTTGTGCTGCCAGGGGTATTTGCCGGCCTGCCTGTGCTTCCAGCCGGGCCACTGCGGGGAACGCGAGTTTCCGCGGACGTGCATGTGCCTCGAGGCCTGCCTCTGTCCCGGGTTGGCCGTGTCGTCGACGCGCTTCCTGCTGATGGACATGTACCACCTCGCGGCGGACGAGTGCGACAACCGCATCATCCGGTTCAACAACTTCGTGCAAGTTTTGTCCTGTGTTTGCCACTGCATCGCCATGTTCAACCGCAACTTCCGGCACCTCGCGCGACTGCTGGACCTCATCGCGGAGATCGTGTTCTTCGCGACCGCCGGCTGCATGACGGCCCAGGTCGACGCCGAGATTAAATATAGGGAGGGCGGCGGCGCGTCGCCGGGAAATTACCAGGGCTATAACCCCGTCGCGCAGACGGCGAAGCCGCCGCCCTACGCCGGCACGCCGCTCCTGACGGAGGCGATGGACCGATGAGTAACTGTAACAGAAACAGGCTTACTTCTTCACGGGGACGCACTCGAGGGGGCAGTCGTCGTCGACGTCCTGGACGTCGCCCGCGCGCTCGGCGGCAGCTTGGGCGCGGCGCGAGCGCTCCTCCGCGGAGAGCGTCTCGCCCATCTCGCAGTCCTCCGAGTCGTCGCTCTCTTCGATGATGCGCCGGCGCTTCTTGGGCGTCACGGGCGGCGGGCCACTCGCCAGCGCGGTCGTCAGGTCGAGGACGCCCTTGGCGTCCGGCGTGACCTTGGGCACCGGCTTGCGTTTCGCAGGCGTCGCAGGAGGCGCCGCGTCGACGACGTTGCGCACCGTCTCCGCCTTGCGCCGCAGCGACGCGTAGACCATGCCGTCCAATGAATTGGGAAACATCGCGTAGAAGATGTTGCACGGCTCCTCGGAGCCGATGCGATGGATGCGGTCCTCGGCCTGGGCGTGGAGCGTCTGCGACCAGTACATCTCCGCAAACAAGATGGTCCGCGCGTGCTGAAGGTTCAGGCCCGTGGAGCACGTGCCCAGCGACAGCAGCGCGATGCGGCACTTGTCGTCGGTCTTGAAGCGATCCAGGAGCGCCTCGCGCTCGCGCGACGACGTCGAGCCGTCGATGCGGATCATGGTACACTTCTTGAGGTGCTTCTCGAGCTCGTCGAGCACGGCGCGGTGGTAGGCGAAGACGATGCACTTGTCGTCGCCCTCGCGCTCGACGAAGAACTCCTTGACCCACTCCGCTGATGCTTCAGCTCGCTCGACGGCGTTATCGACGAAGAGTTTCAGTACTTCGTGCGTCGGCACCCGTTCGTCGGTGCCCTCGAGCTCGGCGATCTCGTCGGCTTTCTGCATCGCCTTGAACCGAGCCTGTCGCTCGTTGAGCTTCTTGCGGATGGCGGGCGAGGCCGTGAAGTAGACCGGCGCGACGGTCTTCGACGGCAGCTGCGACGCGACGTCCTCCTTCTTCGCGCGGTCGATGACCGTTCTCAGCACGCGGTTGAGCTCCTCCTCATGCTCTTTCTTGACGCCGCTGTAGCGGTCGATCGATCCGTAGGGCGTGCGGATGGTGCTGTGCTCGCAGTAGCGCCGCTGGAAGCGCCCGAACGGTATCAATGCACTCCTAGCTCGCGGCTGGGCCGCCATGTTAATCTGGGTCCACAGGTCGTTGGCCCCACTACACATCGGCGTCCCCGTCAGGAGCACGCAGCGCGCCGCGCCGAGCGCCACGGGCAACACGGCTTGCGTCCGTTTCGTCTCCGGGCTCTTGCACTTGTGCGACTCGTCCAGAATCACGGCGCGCCACGCGCCGCCGCCCGGGCGGAAGCGCAGCGCGTCGAGATTGCGCGCGAGCACGTCGAAGGTCGTGATGACGACCTTGACCTCGCCGTCGAATTTCTTCACTTTCATGTCGCCGCGGACGACGGAGCCTTTTATGTCAATTACACTTTTGCCCTGGCGCGTGACTTTGCCCTTGACTATCGCGGTCGTGGGCGGCCCAGTTCTGGGGTGGCGGCACCAGCGCGCCACCTCTTCGGCCCACTGCGTCAGCACGGCCTTCGGGCACAAGATCAATAACGGCCAGTCGCCGCGGTAGTGGTTCATGATCGTAAGTCCGGTTACAGTCTTTCCTAAGCCCATGTCGTGGGCCAGCAAGATGCGGCCGTCGCGCTCGAGCGCCCGGCGCACCGCTTCCTTCTGATAGTCGTAAAGACCTTCGGCCGCGATGGCGTTGACTTGCGGCGACGTTACGGGGCCGCTGCCTTGTTCGAGCCTGGCGATCCAGTCGCCGCCGCCGCTGCTCGACGCTGTCGGCTCGTAGCGGCCATAACAGGCCATCCTTGCCGGCTATCGGCTTGGTTGCCGAATCTGACCACAGGCTCTCCGAACCCTGTTGCTCCTGTGTGCGGCTCCGGTACGAAGCGCGCGCGTGATAAACTGTCTTCTGAGACGAGAGGGTGGTCTCCCGAGTGCGTAGCGCGTGCGGTTCGTGCGTAACTCGCGCGTTTGGCTACAGCGCTTCGATGCTCTCCATAATGACTAGCGGTGTAGGCCACTAGCGCGAAAAAATTCAGCCGGGGTCGAACGAGCTAAATCAGGCTAGGCTAGGCAGGCGCGTCAAGCTCATCAAGTTGCACGCTATTGTGCTCCAGCACTGTCGAAAGTAGATTCTGTCAGAGTGCTGCAGCGCTGGACTTGTCAAACATTGTCAAGAGCTGCCATCCCAGCCATGCCAGCCGTGCGCTTGCTCATAGGCCTGGCCGCAGCCCGCGCCGCCTTCTGGCACAGCAAAAAAAAGGACACGCGCGTCCTCCCGCACGTGGTCAACGGCCTCTACGACACGTCGTGGCACGCGCGCAACGTGAGCTCGTGGAGCGATATCAGGAAGCTCGCGCCGCGCGACGGCTGGACCGCCGCGCTGGTCGTCGCCGCCGACGACGTAGAGACGCCCTGCGACGATCAGCATGAACAGTGCGCGACGTGGGCGGCCGCGGGCGAGTGCGACGCGAACCCGGGATACATGCTGCGCAGCTGCCGAAAGAGCTGCGCAACATGTGCGCCGTGCGGTGCGGTGGACGCGCAGTCGCTGCTCGTGAGTCTGAGGCACGCGCAGCGGAACCGGCCCGCGCGCTTCCTCGCGACGGGTGTGGCAAGACGGTCGCAGTGGCGCGGCGCGTGGCCTTTTGATGGAGACGACGCGTGCGGCGCGTTCCTGGTCGAGCCGCGCGACGACATTGAGGAGGAGGCGCCTTCTCTACAAAACGCGGTCTCCATCCCGTTGTCGGATGCGAGGGGCCTCCGCTACGCGCTCGCCGAGCGCGTCCGGCACTCCATGGCGGTGAAAAAGTTTTTGGTGACGAACGAGTTGGAGGTCAATGTCACGCTCCACTGGTTCGACCTCGAGCAGGAGGAAGGTTTAAGGGACCACTCGCCCTACAAGCAGGTGTCGTTTCTGGCGCCGGGCGCTTCGACGTCGCTGGGCACATTCGTGGGCCACGTCTTCGCCGTCGGCGACGAAGAGGGACGATTCCTGGGCCAGGTGACCGTGCGCGGCGTCGGGGACGCGGCCGTGATCAACGAAGCGTTGATAGCGGAGGCGGAGACGTGCCAAGAAGGATCAATTCCACACGACCCGCACGCGGCCCAAGGGCAGCGGAAGGAGATGGAGCGTCTGGCTTCGTTGCAAGGCCCGGAAGGGCGCGACGCGCGCGTGCGGTTTGCGGTAGGAGAAAAGGTGCGGGACCTCGCCTTTGAAAAGAGGAAGGCTCTATCAGATGTGCAGATCGCTTTAACGCCAAATGTCACTGAAGACGGCTTCCGGTTAATAAGGACGCCTTCACCTGTTTTCGAGGCCGTGGAACAGTTCTACAACGCGAGCCACGCGACCCATAGAAGGGAAGAGGACGACGGCGGCCCTTTGTATAATCAACATCAAATTACGACGTGGCATACGCCTTTACCCCCGGACGTCAAGCGCTTCGTCTTCGACGAGTTGCAAAAGACGATGGAGGCCTGGGCGCCGTCCGTGGGACCCCTGAAGGGCACGTCTGCTTATGGTGTGAGAACCTACGAGACGGGCTCGTACTTACACCTCCACGTCGACACGGCCCAGACCCACGTCGTCAGCGGCATCATGAACGTCGCCCAGGAGTTGGGTGGAGGCGACGACTGGCCCGTCGAGATTTTGGACCACGGCGGCAAATTGCACGCCGTGAATATGAAGCCCGGCGATTTGCTCTTGTACGAGTCCGCGCGGCTGCTGCACGGGCGGCCGTCTCCATTCAAGGGGCGGTCCTACGCGAACGTCTTCGTCCACTACCAGCCGCAGGACGGCTGGGAGGTGGACTTCTGAATTCACGCATCGCCGACATCATCTAGTCATCGAGTAACAAATTATACTTAGCACACTCGGGGCGACGGCGTATGAGGGCCGAGGGCGGGGCGGGCGTGCGGTCAAGCAGCGAGGCGGCGGCTTGGTGGCTAGGCGGCCTAGCGAGCTAGAGCTCTAAGCAAAGCAACAGTCACAAAAGGACACAAATCAGAACGAGATCGTCGCGTCGCGGATGTGGGCCACGGCCCTTTCTCGCAGCACGTCCGCGAGCTCCCGCGGCAGCGCCGTCCGCGACCAGCACGTCGACGCCGCCGCGGCCGCGCCCAGCCGGTCGTCGCTCACGGCGGTCGCCGGGTCCGCGCCCCCGCCCACGACCTCGACCAATGCGTTGAGGGCCGCGCGCGCCGCCTCGGGCGACGGCGGGATCTGGGGCGGCGTGTGCCGCGCATCGCGCTCAAAGTAGCCCACGCCGGCGTAGAGCACCGTGTCCGCGCCGACGGCCCGCCTCCCGACCTTCCGCCTCAATATACCCTCGTCCGAGAGCTCGCCGCCCGACAGCTCGCTCCCCGAGAGCTCGCCGCCCGAGTCCGTCGCTTCGGTTGCGTCCCGCTGCAGCTTCACCACATAACAACCCTTGCCCTTTAACGTATCCGAGGCCTGGTTCCGCCAGGGGTAGGCGAGCCAGCCGCCGCCCCGTTCCCCCGCGCCCACGATGCGCCGCGTCAGTTCCGCGCCATCGACCTCATTGTTGTCCGAGAGGCGCACGGCGTCCTCGAGCGTCTTGCCCACCAAGGCCCGCGAGCCGCCGTGCGCCACGATCTTCCCGTCGCCGTTCACCACAAACCCATACAACCCGTCCGTCGGTGCTTGAATGGGCGGCAAGACGGCAAAACCCACACCCACGTACAAGTCGTCGCCGTTCTTCGCCGTAACTCTAGAAATCCAGGCGCCCTTCGTTTTTAGGGGAGATGAAGCCGTGCGCCGCCACGCGTACTCGACCCACGAGCCGCCTTCGACGGACGCCGCCGCGCAGAAGCGGCCGTGGAGCTCCTCCCCGTCGATGGCGTCATTGCGCGTCCTTCTTAAGCACTCTGTCAAACTCAGCCCGACGAACTCGGGCTGCGTGCCGTGCGCGACACATATCGAATCGCGGCACCGGAAGGCAAACCCATAAAACTCCTGCGCCGCGTCGAGCTGGAAGCGGACGGACCGCTTCGCCTTCTTCTCCCGTGACACTTCGTCGAAGGACTGGAGCGGCTTCGTGAGGAACCAGCCGTAGCCGCTCGTCTTCTCGTCGCCGAGCGCGCCCTGCGTCGCGCCGGCCTCCTGCAGCGTGTAGGCGCCCGCGCGCCGCCGCCGCCGCCGCCGCCGCTCGCGCTGCGCGTCGTCGCGCCGCCGGCGCTCGTCGCGGATCCGCGCCTCCGCCCGCGCGACGCGCTCCTCGTCCTCCAATTCCCTCGCGCGGCGCCACCGCACGAGGTGCCAGAGCGCGAGGGCCCCGATCAGGCACGTGCGGCGGTTGTTGTTCGCCGCTCTCAGGAGCGCGGCGAGCCAGGACGCCATTGTTGTTCAATTCGATGGCTTTGGCGCTACGCGGGTTAGGTTTGGCTGGCCTGCTGCGCTGTGTCCTCTGTTCTGGCAGGCCCTTGCTTGCAGGCCCTTGGCTCCCTTTGCTATGTGCTATGTGCTATGTCGGCCCGCGCGGCTGGAAGTGCTGCGGCGAAGGCGTTCACAGTGAAGTATTGGCGTAATTATTAGTGCGCTCTTGAGCGCAAACCAAAATTTGCATGCAAAACGCGAACCTAGCGTAGTAAGACACTAGTACGGGTCCTCGACGAAGCCCTCCACGCACGGATAGCTCCCCACGGACCACTCTAGAGCGGGAGCGCCCTGTCCGCGCCGGAGAGTCCGGAAGCAGCTGCAGCGCCTCCGAGAGGCTGCCCCTCCCGCGCCGCGAGCAGCCGGACGCAGAGAGAAAGTCCGGAGTTTCTTGTTCATTCTCGGCCAGCGCGAGGCACGCGCTCGTCGACGTGTTGTCCAGCCCACCTTAGTAGCTACTCACAAAAGGGGCTCACTCCTGTCCCCGGCGTAGCCGCAACATCAGTGCCGAGAACCACGATGTGGCTGAGCCGCTGCGCAGGCGCGTCGCTCGCCGCCGACAAAGGCGAGGGCAACGTCTTGGTGGTGTGGGACTTCGACTGGTCCCTCGTGAACGAGAACTCGGACACGTTCGTGCTGCGCGAGCTCGCGCCTGCTTTAACGGACGAGATGAAGCAATTGCAGGCGGAGCGGCCGGCCATCTTCGGCAAGGGCAAGTGGACGGCGCTCATGGACCATTTACTCACAAAGCTCGGCGAGGAGCACATGGTTTCCCGGAGGCAGATCGAGCACTGCCTCGAGGGCATCCCGGTGTTTGTCGAGGTCGTCCAGGTCGTCCGGGAGCTTGCAGGGAGGGGCTGCGAGCAGCGCATCCTGTCGGACGCGAACTCCGTTTTTATTGATGAGGTCCTGCGGGCCGCGTGTTTACAGCGCCACTTCTCGGCCGTGGCCACGAATCTTGGGGAGTGGGAGCCCTACGCGCGCGAGGACCACGACGACCACGAGACGCACAACGACGACATCCTGCGGGTCGCGCCGTACCAGCCGCGCGACCGGCCGCACGGCTGCCCGCGGTGCCCCGAGAACCTCTGCAAGGGCGCCGTGCTCGACCAGTGGCGCGCCGAGCTGCGGCCGCGCAGGGTCGTCTACGTCGGCGACGGGTCCGGGGACTTCTGCCCCTGCCTGCGGCTGCGCGCCTCTGATACGGTCTGCGCGCGGAGCGGCTTCCCGCTCGCGAAGAAGCTCGAGGCCATGAAGGACGACGCGAAGGTCCTCGACGCGCGCGTGGCCTACTGGGAGGACGGCGCGGAACTCGCGCGGGCGCTGCGCGCGGCGGCTAACTAGCACAGTCTTACTTCTTCTTCTTGCCCTTCTTCGGGGCCTTCTTCGACTTCTTGGCCCGGATAAATTTGGCGGGCACGTGACTCGCGCGGTCCCGGAGGTAGGCGAGGTCGACCTTGCGGAAGAACGTCTGCCCGTCGTTGCTGATGCGGTGCAAGGCGCCCCGCGCGTGCCAGGCCTCTGTGAGCGCGTCCTTCCAGGCCTCGTGCACGGTTCCCTGGAGGTAGAGCGTCTCGAGATTCACGTTTGCCTTGACGAGTTCGACGAGCGCATCCAACGCGTCATCGGATCCGCCCCCACCATCTTGTCCATCTGCGCCGTCTTGTCCATCCGCGCCAGCAGCTGGCAGCGCGCAGTAGCGCAGCGACAGCGTCACGAGCGACGGCGTCGCCTGGGCCTTGCACGCCGCGTGGAGTATTGCGACGGCCTCCAGGCTATTGACCTGGCTGTCGAGGTTCATCCAGCGCGGCTTGGCGCCGCCATGGGCGCCGCTCAGGCGCTCGACCGCGAGGCGCAACGGCGGCGCGCACGTCGCGAGCACCGCCGCCGGGATCTGATTCTCCTTGTTGCCGGCCTCCGCGCCGCGGCGGCGCCGGAGGCGGCGGCGCGGCCGCGCCGGGCGCTCCATATGGCTTCAGGAATGGTGCTTGCCCACCGTTCACCGCATGCTGCCCCACCGTCGCCGCACCACTGCCGCTTACGGTGTGCTGGCTGCTGCCTTCGCAAAGCCTGAAAACAACGGACGCCACTATCAGCGGATAATGTTCATGCGACCAGCTCATGCGACTCGCGACGTCGTGTCTTTCTTTAACTTACTCCCTCGTCCGCCGGCGCCGTCGCGTCGTCGTCGTCGGCCGCGAACGCCACCAGGCCGGACGCCGCGATCGCGTCCACGAGGTCGCGCTTGTCGACGCAGCGCGTCGAGTCGACGCCGACGTCCGCCATGAGCTGCTTGAGCTGGCGGATCGACCAGGCCGCGACGGCCGCGCGCGTCGCGTCGAGCTGCCGCACCTCCTCCGGGATGATCTGGACGAGGTTAGCATCAATAAGGGCCTTCACCAGATCCGCCTTCTCGGTGAGGCCCGCGAAGACGCGGTCGCCGCGCGCCGCGAGCGCGCGCAGCTCGCGCACAGGTAATCGATTCAGCTCGCGCCGGCGGTACCGCGGCACGCGCCGCGCCATGCGCTCGCGCCGCGACGCCTCGAAGGCCGCGTCCGACGACGCGAGCTCGTAGCGGCAGCTCGGGCACGTGCCGTGCTTGCGGAGCCACTGGACGACGCATTCCGTGTGGAAGAGGTGGCCGCAGGGGAGCTTCGTGGCCCGGTCGCCGACCTCCTGGGCCTCCAAGCAGACGCAGCACTCGCGGTTGCCGTCCTTGGCGAGGTCCTCCTCGGTGGCCCGGACGACGGGCAGGTCGCGGAGCGCGGCCTCGTCCATGGGCGGCGGGCCCGTCCGCTGCTCCGGGGCGGCCTCGCGGGACGTGGCCGCGACGCGGCTCGCGACGAACTGCTCGCCGAGGCCGAACGCGTTCATCATCTCGTGCTGGAACGCGGCGGCGTAGGCCTCGCGCGCGAAGTCCGAGCGCGGCGGCCGCGGCGGCGCGGCGTTGCCGTTGTTTGCGTTATTGTTGGGGGTGTTGTTGCTGTTATTGCTGTTATTGTTGTTGCCGGTGTCGTCGGCCCCGGCACCGGCGCCGCCGCCGTCGGCCCCGGCGCCGGCCCCGGCGGCGGCGGCCTGGAAGAGGTTGTTGAGGTGTTCCATCTCTTCTGTGGTTGCTGTCGTCTTTTATCGTTCTTGCCGTCCAGCCAACTTCGGTCGGGGGCGTCCCCTCGCGCGGAGTTTGCACTTTGCAGTGCTCCACTTGGAGTTGGTGCACGGGACCAAGCGGGCGCCGATTCGTGCCCGGACAATCTTCCGGCCGCTAGATTCGGAACAGTTGTTGCCCTGCAGCGCTGGTTTCGTCGGGGAGCCGCGGTGCACGCGTTTAAGGACGCTCAAAATGACACACGAGTTCGATGCCAACGTGCGGGGGCCTCAGAGGACCACCAAGACTAATAATAGGATAGTATAGAGAACGCTAGCGCGCCGCCTGCGCCGCCGCCTGGGCCGCCAACTGAGCGTTCTTCGAGGCGGCCGCCGCGGCCCGCCGCTTGCCGCGCCCGACGACCATGAACGCGATCGTCGAGTAGAACGCGACGAAGGTCCGCAGCGCGCAGCCGAGCGTCGCGCCGATGCAGATCGTGTTCGGGACCGGCATCGCGGTCGTCGCCGCCGCGCCGGCGAAGGCCGCCGCCGTCATCAGGCTGCCCTTGAAGGTCTTCCCGGCGGCCCGCCGGGCGAGGCTGCCGGGCGTCCGCGCGGGCGGGCCCGCGGCCGCAGCAGCCGCGGCCGCGGCCGCGTCGCCCGCGGCGGCGGCGGTCATCGGCGGCGCCGGAGGCGTGGGCGGTGCCGCGGCGGCTGGTGGTGGTGCGGCGGCTGCTGGCGGCGCTGTCGGTACCGGCGCAGCCGGCGCGGCCGGTGGTGCAGCAGCTGGTGGTGCCGCGGCCGGTGCGGCCGGCGCGGCGGGCGCAGCGGTCGCCGCCGCCGCGGCACGCCCCGTCGTCGGCGGCGCGGGCGGCGCGCCGAGCTTGCGGCCGGCGGGCTTTTTCGGGGCGGCGGGTGCGCTTGCGGCGGGCGCGCTTGCAGCCGACGCCTTGCTCTTCGATTTCTTTTTCTTCGATTTCTTCTTTTTCTTAGGCGTCGTCGAATTGACCACGGGCTCGGGCTCGACGCCGCCGCGGAGGCCTGCTGCAGCAGCGAGGCTGCGTGCGCGCAGAGGCGTGCACTTGGCTAGTGCCTCAGCGAACAAGCATGCCAGCACGAGGGCCCACGTCGCTTGCCTCATATTTGTGCCCGCGTGCAAACGCAGGCGAGGACTGCTTGCTTTTGGGTAACTCGACCAGCTAGCGGCATGTAAGACACTAGCAAACCAATTCGCCATGCAGCTGTTTGAGTACCTTTCAGTTAGCTAATGGTCCAAAGAGACCAATGGGACACGTACCGGGGGGCGAAAAAGGAAATCTTTTAATTCGCGGCCGAGGGCGCCCTACGGTCCATGGCGGCCGCGCCGGTTTAATCCTGTCAATCCCCGCCGAAGAGGTGTCCCTGGGGTCGCCTAGGGTCGGTACTTTACACGTGCCAGCGCCTACACCGCATGCGCCGGCGCTTCAAGCATTTTTGGCCGGTTTCTCTCAGTAGCCCACGCCACTTTAGCAGCAATAGGCCATGGTTTGCTTTCAGGGCTCTCCGAGAGCACTAGACTGCCGCATCGATGGCGTGTGCGGCACAGGCGCTTACCCACTACCAGACCTGCCCCGAGAGGCCTCCAGGAGCAGATCTGCCCCCGAAAAAAGTAAATAATTTGGGCCCGATGGCGCCCCGTTCCCGACAAAAACGTCAATTACCCGAGGCCCCCCAGGAATCGTAATAGCGGTCTCGTCGGACCCCATACTACCCCACCGATAGTCAATTACAAGTATATGCCATCTACACGCCGACAAGGGTACTTTGGGCTGCCCACGCTTGGGACGTGAACATCTTGATCTGGACCTCGCGTAAGTCGGTCGATCATGGAATAAATGATCGCGTCATGGTCCATGGTGATGGTACACGGGCTGATGGTCGCAGGTCCATGTATTTAGCTCGAATTGACGTGATGTTGTGGTCCCGAGACCGACGACCCGCGCCGAGCATCTTTGGGTCTTGGAGCAATGTAGTACACAATCAAGCCGGTTATCTGGCCCGTACCACACCCGAAGCGGCTGAAACGCAATTTTATTTTACAACCCACCGGTCTGGGGCCTTTCTGGTGCTCCGTCAACGTACCGTCGTCCGCGGAGAACGGGAAAGTGGGTCGATTGTGAATAGAACAACGGCGTTATGGTCCATCTGGATAGTATCGTCGCTGATACTCGCGGATTTGGGTTCTGGGCCACTCTATGTATAAACGCGAGGTACCGAAGTCGTCGAATCCCGAGGCTCTAATGGAATATCTAAAATAGCTCAGTGGTCGCTGATGCGGGCTAGATGGAATCTACCACTAACAAACGGAAGGAAACGAACATAAACTCGGGAGTTGTCTAATAGAATCCTTCTCCCGCCCTCCGAGCGCGGGCCGTCGGCTCCGGTTCCGTCGATTGTGGATGAAAACCGGGCTGGAGTTGATATAATGTACCAATTGGATAGTAAAAGGCGGCATCAATCGCTGGTGTATTTTGACAAGCCGGAAGACTCATTCGCGAATGTCGCGGGCGGTGCCTTCCGGGAGGCGCGAGGGTATGTTCCCGGGCCGCTACTCTGAAATATTTCGTCTCGGCGAACGATCAGGATGTATTCTGAATTTGGGTCATTCTTTTGACGCTATCGAGGCGTATCTTTTGAATTTGCTAGTATGTCGATTACGTTAGCTCCGATGAGTTGTGTATTCGCTGCTCTTGCATCATTGCAGCCGGCAAACGCCTTCGGATAGTTACCAGTAAGCATAAACACTTTTCAAGAAAACTTAGAACACTAAAGTGGCGAGAACGCAACCGACAAATCGTACCGCGACGCATCAAACTCCTCCCGCTCCATCGCCGCCCGCACGGCCTCCGACGGCAGCACGCGGCGCACGGCGTTCGCGAGCCCAAAGGTCCTCAACCACCAGCACTGGAAGACGTGCGAGGCGAGCGACGCCAGATAGTGGGCGCGTGCCCGGCGCGACGCCTTGCGGGCGCAGACGGCGCCGTGGAGCCGCGTCAGGAACTTTGTGGCCCCTCGATCGATGCGCTCGTAGATCGCCTGGCGCACGCGGCGCCGCCACTTGCGCAATGCTCGGCGCCGGGAGCGCGCGTCCGTAACTGCTCTACCGTGCACCGCCGTCGCACGGCGCCACTGCCGCGCCTTCGCGAAATCGTGCAAAACTAACAACGCCCGGCGCGAGTGCAGCCGCACGTTGCCGATCGTCGCGCGCGCCTCGGCCTCGCGCCGCGCGTTCGCCTCGTCGGCGTCGCGCTTCATTCGCTTGAGGGCCAGGCGGGCGCCGAACAGCAGCGCGGCGCGCCTCGTCGCCGCCTCGGCGAGCCGTAAGCAAGCGCACCGCCGCCAGGCCGCGCAGCACCGCGCCCACCGTTGCAGCACCGCGGCGGCGGCGTTACGCATACGGCACCTCCGCGTGAAGCCGCGCGCCAGAGCCTGCAGCCGCGTGAGCCGGAGGTTGCGGTAGCGCCAGCGCTTCGCCGCCCGCCGGACCTCCCGCCTGAACTGGCGCGCGCGCTCGTGGCGGCCCAGCGTTGCTGCCGCCCTCTCTTCGCGCCGGAGGACCTGTCGCATCGCCGCGCCGCGCCACGGGCCCTGGATCGCGCGGGCGGCGCGGTACCGCCGCACCCACCTCCGCGCCCGGCTGCCGCGGTATGCCGCCTGGACCATCCTGACTAAGCGCATCATGTCGTCAAGCCACTGGCGCCCCGAGCGCGCGCGCCAGTGCGTCTGCACGAGCGTCGCCGCGGCGCGCTGGCGCCGCCGCCGCGCCGCTTCTCGTTTTGCGGCGGCGGCCCGGGCGCGCGTCTGCGCCACGGCCGCGCCGACGCGAAGCCTCCCGTACGACGTCGCGGCGCGGTGCCGCCGCGCCGTCGTTTCGAGCACTACCGCCGCGCCCTTGGCCTCCGCGTAGCGCCGCCGCGCCTGGACGCCGCGCTCGCGGCGCTGGACGCACACCGTCGCGCGCTTGGTCCCGCGATACCAGGTACGCACCATGGAGCGGCGCCCGGCCGCCTCGATGGCGATCGCCGCGCGGAGCCGCGTCGCCCGCCCCCGCCCGAACCAACCGCGCGCGAGCGCCTCCAGACAGGTCGCGGCGGCGCGCGCGCCCCGGAACCACACATTCCGCGACCGGCCGCGCACGCAACGCTGAATGGCCGTCGCGGCGTCGCGGCGCTTCCGCCGCCGCGCCGCCTCTCTTCGCGCCGCCGCGCCGCGCACGTGGCGCTGCGCCAGCAAGGCCGCGGTCCGGAGCCGTCCGAAGAGCAGGCGCCAGAGCTGATGCCGCACCCAGGTCTCCAGCACGACGGTCGCGCGGAGCGCCTCGTGATAAAGGCGTCGCGCCCGCCGCCCGCGGGCGCGCGTCTGCGCCCGAACCGCAACGGTGCGCAGCGCGCCGAAGCGCACGCGAGCGACAAAGCCCCGGACGTAGGTCTGAATCCAGATCGACGCGCAGAGCCGCGTGTAGGCCGCCCGCGCGATCTCGCCCCGCACGAGCGCCTCGAGAGCGATGGCCGCCGCCCGCGCGCCGAGGTACCAGAGCCGCCGCGAGCGGCCCCGCGCGCGCCGCGCGACGACGCGCGACGCCACGCGCGCGCCGACGAACCAGCGGCGCCGGGGCCGCCGCCGCGCGGCCGCCTCGAGCCGGATAGTCGCGCAGCGAAGCTTGACGAAGCGCGCCCGCGCCACGTTCCGCCGGAAATTGGCCCCGGCGAGGAGGCAGCGTCGGCGCCTATGCGCGTAGAGCCGCCGCGCGAGGAAGCCCCGGAAATGGGCTTGCGTCCGGCGGGCCGCGCGCGCGCGCCGGAAGAAGCGGCGTGCGGCGTTGCCCCGCGCGCGGCGCTGCGCGTCGACGACGCCGCGGAGGTTCCGGGCCGCGCGCCGCGCATCGAAGCAGCGCCGCGCGCACTGGAGGACGACCGCCGCGCGGTGGCGCCGCTTGAAGACGCGCATCCGCGCGAATTTCGCGGCGTGCGCGAGGCCCCGTTCCTTGCCGCGCCGGCGCGCGAGCGCGTCGCAGGCGCGGAGCTTTTGCATCCAGTCGCGCCACGCCTCGAAGCGCCGCAGCGCGCGCTGTTTCGCGTTCGTCCGGGCGTGCACGTCCATCGCGCGCGCCTCGAGCGCCTTGCGCCGCACGTGGGCGAAGCGCAGGACGCCGCGGAACAGCGCGTTCCGGCGGGCCCGCGCCACTAAGGAGCGGACGGCCCGGCGCCGCTCGGCGAAGAAGGCGAAGCGGGCGAGGCCCCGGGCCTTGGCGCGCCGCACCGCGTGCGTGTCGAGGCGCCGGCATTTCCGCGCGAACGCGCGCCAGGCCGCGTGGGCCCGCCCGCGCACCACGGCGTCGAAGACGCGCGCGGCCGCCCGCCGCAGCGCGGGCGTCCGCGCGTCCTCCGGCTTGGAGCTTCGGCCGCGCGTGGCGTCGTCGACGGCCGAGACCTGGGACACGGTCGAGTCGATGGACGCCCGGCGCGCGGGCCTCGTCGAGGCCTTACGTGGCGGGTCCCCCAGCGAGCGCCGCCTTTTTGGCTCGACGCGCCGCCGCCCGGCCGTCCGGAGGTGCGCGCGCCACCGCAGCAGCAGGTCAAAGGGCAGCGCGCAGGCCGCGCGGCGGAGGAGCGCGAGGCAGGCGACCTCGTCAGCGATCGGCCCGGGCTTGACGACGATCGCCGGCGGCGGCGGCGGCGTGTAGACCTCCGGCGCGGCGCGCGGGCTCGGCGCCTTGAGTGGCACGGGCTTCGGGTCCGGCGGCAGCACGGCGATCCAGGCGAAGCCGTCGCCCCCGTCGACGTCGACCGAGGGCGAGCCGCCGCGCGCGACCGTCACCGCGAGCGCCGTCGCCTCGAAGGCCCGAGTCTCGGCGGGCGTCGGCGGCGAGGCCGGCGGCGACGCCTCGGGCGACTTCGGCGCCGGCGTGGCCTCGGGCGTCCGGAAGAGCCGGTGCAGCTCGTCCGCGGACACGGACTCGGGCGACGGAAACAGGCGCTCGGACGCCTCCGCGCGCGCCCGCGCGGTGGGCGTCGGAAAGAGGCGCTCGGCCTCGTCCCGCAGCAGCGCGACGGCCGGCGACGACCGCGCGTCAACGGCGGGCGTCTGAACGGCGGGGCGGCCGGGCGTCGGAGCGATCGGAGCGGTCGGAGCGGTCGGCGCGGTCGGCGCGGTGGAGCGCGTCGACGCGGTCGCCGGCGCTGTCGTCGCGAAGGCCAGGCGCCGGCGCGCCGTGGGCGTCGGCTGCGCGGTCGCGTTCAGGAAGCGGGCCCGGTCGAGCGGCGTCGGCGTCGGGACGCGCCCGGCGAGCGCGTCGACGGCCGCGGCGCTGAACGGGCGTTCGACGACGGGCGGCGAGGCCGGCCGCTCCGGCGCGGAGGCGTCGTAGGGGATCGGCGGGTGCAGGTAGGCGTCGAGGCGCCGGAGCTTGGCGTTCCAGCCCTCCTGCGGGTCCGCCTCGACGCGCAGCAGGAGCCGCACGAGCCACTCGCCGACGCCCGGCGCGACGCGGCGCTCGCGGAGCACGGCCCGCGCCGCGCGGACCGCGACGTCGGGCTGCGCCGGCGGCGACGGCGGCGACCACGAGTCGTCGAGCGGCCCGAGGCGCGGCGCCCGCGTCTCGGCCTGCGCCGCCACGCCGCGCGCGCGCATCGCATCGAGCAGCTTGCGCGCGGTCCGGATCGACAGCGGCGGCGGCGGCGGCGCGGACTCCGGCGGCGCCGGCGCCGGCGGCAGCTCGGGCGGCGGGCTCCGCGCCGAGGGCGCGCGATCGGCGCGCGGCGGCGGCGACAGCGTCTGCGGCGTCAGGGCGCGCTGCGTCCAGGCGTTCTTCCACTCCTTTTTCTTGGACCGCGACCGCCGCGGCGCCCGCGTCGGCGGCGCGCGGCGCGGCCGCGGCCGAGGCGGTACCACCTTTGGAGGCGAGGGATCGTAGTTCCTGGGGTTGTACGTCGTCGGTGGTGGGCTCGGGCTGCGCCGCAGCGACTGGCTGAAGTCCTGGTAGATGCCCGCCATCACCGGTGCCCCCTCGGGGAAAACGCTGCGTCGCGGGACCCGCCCCTGCGTTGCGTAGTGTCAAGGAAGGATCACTGACGAGTTCGGGCAGCTATTTGCCATCCATAGCCGGCTGCCCGGCTCGGAGAGCCTGATCGCGCTGCACGCAGAACCCTTTTTGTTTTTTTGGCAGCCATCCACGCAGGACTCTTCTGGGTCGCGTGTTGGGGCGTTCCTGCCTGGCGTCGACCGATGCGTGATTCGGTGAAATACCCGGGAGATTTGGCCTTCGATTTGCCAAGCGGAGCGCATTGCAGCGCACTAACCAGCCGCCCGAACCGACGGGGCGCCACCGATTTGATTGGCCCTCTCATCGCTGACGACGACTCCTGCGAGAAATCGATGGACGAGCCGCCCCGCGCTGTGACTGCGGCCGCGGCGCGCGCCGCACGGGAGAGCCCAGGTGAGGGCCCCGAGGCGGCGGGCGCGGGCCGCGCCATGCGCGAAGAAGAGGAGCGCGCGGCGCACTGGGGCGAGCGGCGCGCCGCGCGCGAGCGCGACCGCAGTGCGTCGCCGCCGCCGCCCGCGGGCCACGCGAGCTCCTACAAGCAGTTCAAGTTCCGCGCGGGCGCCAAGCAGTACGCCGAGGACGAGGCGTCGCTCGGCGCGAACGGCTACCCCGGCATCGTCAAGGCCGCGGACTGGCCCGGCTGGCGGCTGCGGCGCCAGGCCGTCGCGCCCGACCAGCTGCCGCCCGCCGAGGAGCTCGACCGCACGGCCGCGCCCGACGCCTACGACCGCCGACACGGCCCGCCCGACGCCTGGGAGGGCGTCGCCGACGCGGAGCTCGACCGCGCGCGGACGCCGACGCCGCCGGTCGTGCTCGACGCCGTGCCGCCGCCGATCCCGAACGACGGCTCCTTCCTCGCGACGATGAAGCGGCGCTTCGCCGCCGCCCGCGCGGAGCCCGCGGCGCCCATCGCGAACGACGGCTCGTTCCTCGACACGATGAAGCGGCGCTTCGCGGCCGCGCGGGGCGAGGCGCCCGCCGCGCCGCCGCCGCCGCCCGCGCCCGCGGCGGACGAGGACGCGTCGGACGCGGCCGAGCCCGCCGGCGACGCCGTGCCCGAGGTGACGGTGCGGAGCTCGTCGGAGTCGGACGGCTCGGGCCGGCCGCCGCCCAAGAAGCGCAAGCGGCGCGCGGCGAGCCCGCCGCCGGGCGCCGCCGTGTCGGCGCCGCCGTCGCCGCCGGACGCGCCGGCGCCGGCGCCGGCGCCGGCGCGGCCGCGGTCGCGGGACCCGAGCCCGGGCCGGCGCTTCATGCGGCCGAGCGAGCTGTTCGCCCAGGACAACCGGGCGGCCGTGCGCGCGGAGCACCCCGGCGACTTGGAGCGGGCCGTGCGGAACCGCCTCAGCGAGATGTGGCGGTCCGCCGACGCGGCGACGCGCGAGCGCTACGTCGACCGCGCGAAGACGCTGCGCGAGCGCGCGCGCTCCGCGTCGCGCGACGGCGACGACGGCGACGCCGCGGCGCCGGCGCCGGCGCCGGCCGCGCCGCCGCCGCGCGCTCCGAAGCACGCGCCGGCCGGCGGCCTCGGAAGCCCCTTTGATCAAGCCAGCGATATCAGTAACGGCGGCCGCATCGCGGTCGGCGCGGCCGTCGAGGCGGCGCCGCACGCCTTCGGCGCCAACTTCGTGAAGCGCGTCGGCACGGAGGCGCGGTACCGCGGCACCGTCGTCGAGCGCGGCGCCGACGACGTCGTCGACGGCCTGCGGAACTCGCTCACCGACCGCGTCTGGCGCGTGCGCTACGACGACGACGGTTTGATCTGGGCGACGCCCGAGCGCTTCCTCTCGGTGGTGGAGGCGGTGCCGGCGCCCGAACCGGCGCCCGCGGCGCCGCCGGAGCCCGCGGCGCCGCCGGAGCCCGCGGCGCCGCCCGCGCCGAAGCGCCGCCGCGCGTCGAAGAAGGGCCCGCCGCGCGACCCGCGCGTCGTCGCCGGCGCGCGCGTCCGCACGCCGACGGGCGCCGCCGGCGTCGTCGTCGCCGTCCAGGCGAACGGCTGGGTCACGGTGCGGCTCGACGTGGCCGTGCGCCTCAGCCGCGGCGTCAAGCGCGAGCGCGGCTTCCGCGGCAACGAGCTCCGCCCCGTCGACGACGACGACGAGGACCCCCCCGCCGCGGCGCCGGCCGCCGGAGACGTGGAGAGCGACGTCTACGACGCGGCCGAGGCCCGACGCACGGCCGAGGAGCTCGCGGTGCTCGAGGCCGAGGACCTGGGGCGCGACGTGCTGCGGCCGCCGCAGCCGGACGCGCCCCCGCGGCGCGTCGCGGCGGGCGACGGCACGGCGTCGTACGGCGTCGGCGAGCGCGTCCAGGTGCTGCACTTCAAGGGCAAGCCGACGGGCGCCGTCGTCTCGCTGCGCACGCCGGGCTACGACGTCCGCCTCGACCACTCGGGCATCGTCTGGCCGCTCTCGCCGGCGGTGCTCGTCCCCGGCGCGCCGGACACGCCGCCGCGCCGGCCGTCGCCGCCGTCGTCGCCGGAGCCGTCGCCCGACTACCGCGTCCGCCGGACGCTGCCGACGGGCCGCGCGCCGCCGCCCCCGCCGCCGGTCTACCGGTCTACCGCGCCCCGGTCGCCGGCCTCCTGGGTGCCCGAGCGCGTCGAGGAGATCGCCTGGTCGGACGCGGGCGAGGCCGTCTTCTCGCCGGGCCCCGGCCGGAAGCGCAGCATTTCCTTCGGCGACGAGGGCCGGCTCGACGTGGATTTGATTTGCGTCCCGGTCGGCGTCGAGCGGCCGCGGCCGCCGTGCAAGGCGTGCGAGGGCCGGCACGTCGCGCACACCTGCGGCAAAGCCCGGGGCAAGCGCGGGCGCAAGAAGAAGAATTAGCACGGGCAGAAGGTCCGCGTCTCCCTCTCGAGCAAAAGGCTCATCACTAAGCTCTGTATTTCGAACTGAAGACATTCACTACACAATTAGGCGTCGCGCGCTTTCCGCCCCCACCGAAGGCACGGCCCCCCACCGAAGCACGCGGCAGCACAGCGACCGCGGCGGGGGAGGCGGCGGCTCGTCGGCACAGTCGTCGTCGAGCGCCTCGCCGTCGTCCCAGACGCGCTCCAGTAACTTGCACGTCTCGGGGTCGAACTGCCACAGCTGGCGCTGGTTGTGGGGCTCCCACTTGTTGTAGTCCTCGTCGTCGCGGCACAGGTAGGCCGTCGAGAGCTCCGCGAAGAACTCGGCCGCGTTCGTCGCGGCGTAGTGGCGCCGCGCCACGCCATCGACGCGGCCCATGCAGCCGCACGCCGTCTGGCGCAGGAACAGCAGGCGCCGCTCGGCGGCGTCGCGCGGCTTTGATTGGGGGCCCTTGACCCTTACAGCGTCGTAGAGCCGCTCGGCGTGGACCGCGCGGTCGTAGCGCCGCCCGATGAACTTGTTCCCGTGGCCGTCTCGTAGGTAGCAGTCGTGGTAGGCATGCGAGAGCTCGTGCACAATAGAACCTCCCTGGCCCCAGAGGCCCCGGTCGCCGGCGTAGTCGTCGAGGCGGTAGAGCTGGACGCACCCAGCCAAGTTCTCGTCGAAGCCCTGGTCGCGGAGCCACGATTGGCCCTGGCGCGGGTGGTAGCACATATGCGTCCACTTGCCCGTCTCCTCGTGCACCACTATCCTACAACCCGCGTCGCGGATCGCCGCGACGGCGTTCTTCGGGAGCCGTTTGGCCGCGGCCTCGCAGTCGGCGACGAAGGCCCGCACGCGCTCGCCCCGCTCGTAGCACCGGTCGTCCACATCTATGATAATGCCGCACGCCGTCTCGCGCTTGTAGACGTAGGGGTGCAGCGGCTTCGTGTCCTCCTCCGTAGGGGCAGCGCCGACCGTGTGCGAGGCGACGAGCGTCTTCGCGCCGACCAGACCACTAAAAAAGCCCGCGTCGGCGACGGTGACGACGCGCGGCCGCGCCGGGTCCTTCCCCGTGCACGCGAGGAAGCCCACGATCTCCGCCGTGTCGAGCGCCTCTAGCGTCTCGGGCGGCGTGTCGTCGAGGCCCGCGTAGATGACGAAGGCGTCCCCGACAAGCGTGCCTTCCGTGTGCTCGTTCTTCACGGAGTTGTCGAGGATGGCGTAGCGCCCTTTGCCCGGCGCGACGCGGCGGCGGTTCCGCAGTTTGCCGCCGGCCGTGACCCACTGGACGTGGAGCGGTTTCGAGCACTCGTTGACGACCTTGAGCGTCGCGCGGTCGCGGTCGTCGCCCGTCTCGGACGTGAGCGGCGCGTCGTCGCTCCAGCGGAGCCAGTCGCCGTTCCCGGCGTCGAGGTTCGCCATGAGTGGCCTCGGTTTCGATTTCTGCGGCGCTAGCCTTGCTGTGGTGATCGTGGCTAGCGCCGCGAGCAGCAGGATGTGTGTTGGTGCCGTCTTGGCGCCCTGTCGCGTTTTAATCGATGCAAAAGCAGCACCTCTTTGAGAGGGCACAGCGGTGCGCTGTAGGCCTGGTCAACCCACAGGGCTCGGTGCTGGGTCTCTATTGACCCAGAGAAGGTGCGCACCAGCGAATGAACAACGCTGCGCGGCGTGGGAGGTGGTTCCCGACTCGGCAAAAAGTGCTTGCTTGCTAGTATCTTACTGCCGCTAGCTAACACGCCGAGCAATTTGCCGATTTCGCGGCGTAGCGCGGTGTAGCCATAAAAATACGCCACCATGCAATGACATCAGACCGCACGAGTGCCACATAAACACTGGAAGGCTTGAGAACGCGTGGGGCTCACTGAGTTTCAGAGAGTGTTCCAGGCCTGCCTTGCAATGCATCCCGGGCGGCGGCTACTCGCAGGAGTCGTGGCGGGACTCGCGGTGCTCGTGCTCCTTAGTAATCGACACTTTCGACACCCGGCGACGAGACGGCTCACTTACCGTCACCCTGAGCGTCACGCGGGTAACGCCCCTACGAAAGGGGTCGCGGCGGTGGGCCCTACATGTATATTGGTGACCGATGGGCAGACCGATTCTCGCCCAGCGATCGCGCCATGCTCGAAAAATTCCACGAGGCGGGTGGCTACCTCGCCTTCGAGCAGGCACGCATAGAGGAGGCCGTCCTCGCGCGGCTCATGGACCGTGGCGAGAAGCTCCCCCAGGAGCTCATCGACGTCGTCGTCGAGTTTCTTGAGCTGCCCCGCTGGCGACCGGCGCCCGCCCCCAAGAAGGAGTAAGTCACACTATTAAGTTTATTCGCCCTCCGCAGACACAGGCATGTCCCTTTCAGCGACGATGAACGCGTCGTTGTCCCGCGCCGCCGACACCATGCGGAAGCCGTCGTCGATGCGGACCACGTAGGGCAGCAGCGCGAAGCCCGGGTAGGCAGCGGGGTCCGGCTCGTCGCGGAGCTCGACGGTGCCCGGCAGCCACGTGTCTTCGCCCATCTTGCAGGCCACCCGCTCGCCGACGTCGAAGCGCCACGAGGGCTCGTGCGGCGTCGGGAATATGCCGTTCGCCGCGGCGCCCGGCGGGTCGCCGCGGTCCCGGGACCGCGAGCGCGATCTAGAGCGAGAGCGCGACCGAGAGCGCAACCGCGATCGGCGGCGCGCCCGGACATGAGACACAGTGGGTGCGTAGCAGGTCCGCATCGTGTCCACGACGTCGACGCGATAAGGGACGTACGCATCGAGCGGCCAGCCCTTCTCGCGGTGCCATACGCTGGTGACGATGGCCGGCTGCCATTGCCCACCGAGCCACGCCTCGACGTCGTCTCCGGGGGAGAACTCGGGCTTCAGCGCGGGCGGCGGCGCCGGTTTGGGCCACTCGGCGTCAAAACCTCTAGCCCAGGCGACCAGCACGTCCTCGTCCGGCAGAAACGAGACGAGGTCCGCGTGCGTCACCTCCGCCGCGCGCGAGGGCATGCCGAACCCCGTCCGCAGCTCGCCCCAGAACTCCACGACCGTGTCGATCGGCGCGCAGGCCGGGTCGCCACAGACAACTTCGTTCACCGTCACCTTCAGGCGGCCCCGAGCGGGCTCCGGCAGCAGCTCCTCGGCCCAGGCCTTGATCCTGGCTAACGCCTCGCGCTTCTCGGCGTCCTGGCGGCGCTTCTCCGCTACTTTTGCGGGATCGAAGAGGCCGTCGAAGGTCGCCATTATCGCGTGCAGATACCGTGCGTTCCAAAACACGCGTCGATGGCGTCTGGCAGCGGTTATATGTTAATCTTCGTGCAGTGCACGTGTCTGGAGACACGGGGCTGCGACAGCTTCACCGCAGAGCACTCTCCCAGAGCACTTGCTGCAAACCGCGCCGAGGCAAGCGCGGGTCAAGCGAGTGGCACAGGCTGGGCTGCGGGGTCAATATAGACGCGACGGTTCGTATTCGCGCCGCTGTGCTGCTCGCTTGCGCTATACAAAGAGCGTAAGAGCCGAGCAATCATGCTAGTGTCTTACAAGCCGCTAGCATTATTATGCCCTGGAACTCCGCGGCTTGGAACCTGTGCAAACTCTCACAGATTTGCCAATAGAGCTTCAGTGCTGGTGCAGGACTTTGCCAGAGGTGCTCTGCGCGAATCTTGAGAGAGCACTCCATCGCTTCGGACACTTACACAGCCTCCAGGACCAAGACAGCCTCCAGCACCAAAAATGGCAGCCCTGGCCACGATAGTACCGCCCATCGAGTGGAGCCAGCGCAAGGACGGCTTGTACGTTGTGATAAAAGTAGCCGAAGCGACGGGCGTTACCGTTGATTTGCAAAGCACAACTCTAAAATTCCAATGCGACGCCGACGAGAAGAAGTACGCCTTCGACGTCACGTTCGCGGCCGAGGTCCTCCCCGACGAGTCGGTCTGGAAGGTGCATGGGAGGTCGATCCAGATGCACGTCGTGAAGAAGGACCAGGAGGCGGACCACTGGTGCCGTTTGACAAATGATAAAGTTTTCGAGAAGAGACACGTGGCCACGGACTGGAGCCGCTACGTCGACGAGGACGAGGAGGACGACGCGGGCGCCTTCGACATGTCGGCGTTACAGGGCGCGGATTCGTTCGCGCCAGCTAGCGCGGTGGCGGCCGACGAGCCGGACAGCGATGACGACGTCGACCTGTCCGACTTGGATGGCGGGCTCGACAAGCCTAGTGCCGAATAAATTTTTATGATTGAACTGTGTGCCCGAAGCTCTGCGACCCGAGGAAAGACAAGAAAGGCGCCCGGCCGTGGGGCGCGCGGAACGTCTTGCCGTCCCAGTAGTCCTCGCGCACGGACGCGTCCGTGATTTTGGCGACGACGACGTGGTGGTCCTCGCCCTCTGTCAGGCGCCTCTCCACCACACAGGCCAGCCGCGCGACGCAGCCCTCGACGAACCATGGCGCGTCCGGCGGCGCCGCGACGCCGTCGTCGTCGTCCGACGAGTCGCTCATGAGCGCCGCGAAGCCGCCCTTGCCGGCCTTGGCTTCTGCGTCGGCCTCGACGGCGGCCAAGCCCTCGACCGTCGCGAGCTTGTCCGTTTTACTGCCGGAGCAGGCGCCGATTTTCAGAACCATTGCCGCCAGATCGGACGTCGGCACGGAGAGGCCGAAGGCCCGCCCGGACAGCACCGCCGCGGCGCTGTGCCGCCGCGCGTTGATCGACAGGAGGACGTCGGCGTCGTTGTTCAGGCACGTCAGCCACGAGATGGTCATGACGTTCTTGCGCCATGAGCCGTCGACCTCGCCCCACGTCGTCAGCAAACAAACCGGATTCGGATACAGGAGTCGGCTCCGCAGGCGCGGCTCCGTCACGGAGAGCCACGCGGGCGCCGCGGGCCGCTTCTTGCTTGCACGCGCTCCGACGGGGATCGAGCCCGCCGCTACGGCGGCGACGACCTTGCCGTCCCGCACGAGCGGTGCGACGAAGCTTATGACGACCGATTGCGTGTCGGGGTCCGTGTACGGCCGGCTCCAGCCCGGCTCGAGGCCGCAGCGCTTCAGCCACGGCGGCGACGTCTTCGTCGCCGTGTCCAAGACATACCCGGGACCGCTCACAGCGTCACGATGCAGCAGTGCGCGAGACCCGTCGACCGCCGAACACACAGCGATGCTAGCGACCTCATCCGGCAGGCACCGCAGCAGCACCGTTCTGAGGCTACTGTCGTACTCTATGAACGGTTTGTCAGTCAGCGCGTCGCGCAGACGATACGCCGCCAGCTCGCAGGCGGCGCGGTAGACAGGGCTGCTCGACTGCTGCGAAACAAGCTCTGCCATTGCTGCAATAATGCTGGTCTGCTGCTGTACAGCTGACCCCAGCGATCGAACGATTGCCTAAACCGCTCACGGGTCCTTCCTCGCATCACTTGTCAAGGCCGCAGCGCAAGCTAGCGGCAGTAAGACACTAGCCAGAAAATGCTGGCTTGGACGCGGCAGCCGTGCACGACGACGCGCGCGAGTTTCGGCGATTTAACACTTGCGGGCGCTAGCCAACAGTGCTCTCTGGCGCAAGCGAGCGTCGCCGAGCGCGCCTCGTAAGCTCCACCTGCACCACCCAAGAGACCCGGCCGCGCGCGGTGACTCGGGGGCGTTTTGCGAGTGCGCATAACCCTCGCGGGACGAGCGACGACCGCGCCGCACCAGCGCAACAGCGCACGCAGTAAAAACCGCGGCACCGAACGCGACCCGCCGCGACCATGGCCTCGATGATGTCCGCGCACCTGAGCAAGGACTTCTTCGACTTGGTCAAAGCTATTGGGGAATCCAAGTCCAAGCAGCAGGAGGATCGCATCATAAGTGATGAGGTCCAAACATTAAAAAAGAAGATGCCTGAGGCTAAAATATCGAGGAAGAAAATGAAGGAGTTCCTCGTGCGATTGATATATGTGGAAATGTTGGGCCACGACGCGGCCTTTGGGTACATCCGCGCGATCGAGTTGGCGGCGTCGAAGAACTTGATCCAGAAGCGCGTTGGGTATTTATGTTCGGGGTTGTGTTTATCTCCTGATCACGAATTTAGATTTATGTTGGTCAATCAACTCCAGCAGGACATGACGTCCTCCAACTTTCTAGAGGTGGCCGCTGCATTGGGTGCTACGATTAGATTAGCTACGACGGATATGATTCCACCGCTCCTAGCTCACGTCGTTAAGTTGTTGCAACATGATAGAGAATTAGTCAGAAAGAAGACGGTCATGGTCTTACATAGATTTCATAGATTGGACGCCTCCGCTGTTTCGCACTTGGGGCCGCAGATGCGCCGTACTTTATGTGATAAAGACCCTTCCGTTATGGCCGCATCTTTGTGCTTACTACACGCTCAGATCACAGAAAAACCTTTGGGATTCAAGGAGCTCGTGCCGTCGTTCGTTTCTATATTAAAACAGATCGTGGAACATCGTTTACCTAGAGATTTCGACTACCATAGGATGCCCGCTCCTTGGGCTCAACTCAGGTTGCTCCGTATCTTGGCTCTACTAGGACGGGCCGATCAATCAACTTCAGAGGGTATGTACGAGGTGCTGGGCGATGTGATTCGGAGGGCCGATACGGGTATTAATGTGGGCTACGCGATAGTCTACGAGTGCGTACGGACCGTCACGACCATTTACCCGAACAACAACCTGTTAGATGAGGCCGCGAGAGCCATCGCTAGGTTCTTAGGTTCGGAGAACCACAACTTGAAATATTTAGGAATCACAGGTTTGGCACAGGTCGTAGAACAGCACCCGAAATACGCGGCGGAACATCAATTAGCCGTCATCGACTGTCTGTCGTCGGTCGACGATACCCTAAAAAGAAAGACTTTGGATTTACTCTACCGGATGATGAATCCGGTCAACGTCGAATTTATCGCCTCGAAGTTGGTAGAGTCTCTAGAACAGTCGACCGACGACTTTCTGAGAAGAGCTCTCGTATCGAGGTTGTGCACCGCAGCTGAGAGGTTCGCCCCGTCGAACGCCTGGTACGTCGCGACGATCGTGAGGGTCATGGAATTAGCTGGTGAGCTCGTACCTAACGAGGTGGCTCAGCAGATGCTGTCGTTAGTGGCCGAGGGCGGCGAGGAGGGCGACGCCGACGCTCTTAGAGCGGACGCCGTCGATCGGTTCGTGGGCATGCTCCACCGGGAAGTGGTACCTGATGGGTTATTCCACGTGTTAGCTTGGGTACTGGGCGAGTTCGCGCAGCTGTCGTCCGAGTCTGCTAGCGTTGCTGAAGCTATTGCTACACTAGCTGCGGACGATGCTAGACTGAAGGGTGCACCTAGAGCTCGTGAACTATTGTTAACTGCGCTGATCAAATTAGCGGCTCAAAGTGATGATATCAACACAAAAGCAGCTTTAAGATCGTTAGCTGAACGGTTCGCATCGTCCTCGAACATCGAGTTGCAGCAGCGAGCCCTCGAAGCGTTGAACTTGCTGGATGCCTCGACGGAGGACTCCGGATTGTTGGAAGATGCATTACCTTATGATGCCTCACTCGAAGATCCGCTGGATGGTGTAGTGACCGGAGAAGGAGAAGATCGAAACGGCGGCGACGCCCTAGGTTTCTTGGATCGCTTCGTCGCTTCTGCCTTGAACGCGGGGGCCGCGCCTTACCAAAAACCGGTCGACGACGAGAATGAAACGGAGTCCGAGTCCGAGGAGGAGACCTCCAACTTTAAGTTCGAGGCCTACGCCGAGCCCCAGAAGCCTGGAAGAAGGGTGCAACAGACGTCGTATCCCATGGGCGATTCGACGGAAAACGACGAGGAGATCGCGCGGCGCCTCCAGGAGGCCGAGTACGCGAACCAGCCTCCACAAAGAACGACGGCGCGCGGCGGCAACGCCATTGGTAGTGGCGGCGGCCTCGCGGCGGCGTCGGGGCCCTGGGGCGCGCCGCGGCAGCCCGTTGCGCCAACGCCGGCGGCGCCACGACCGGCCGCCGCACCTACGCAGCAGCAGCGCGCGCCGACGCCGACGGAGCCCGAGGAGAAGACGGCGGAGCAGGCCGAGAAGGAGCGCATGGCCGCCGCGCTCTTCGGCGGCGTCGGCGCGGCGACCGCCGCGGCGCCGCGGCGCGCGCCGCGCAAGGCGTCGAACGCGTCGTCGCGCCAGGCCAGCCGGTCGCCGCCGCCGCCGGCACCGCCGCCGGCGCCGGAGCCGTCTTTATTAGATCTCGGCGCGCCCGAGGAGCCGCCCGCGCCCGCGCCGCCGCCGCCGCCGGTCTCAGATTTGTTAGGAGACCTCTCGGCGCCGGCGCCGGCGCCCGTGCCGCCTCCCTCTACCGCGAGCGACCCCTTCGCGGCCTTCGACGGTTTATCTTTAACCGAGGCCACACCAAGTACGGCGTTCGCCCCGGAGAAGCTGACGACGGCGGACTTTGGCGGCCGCTGGGGTCCCACAAAACACGAGAAGCGCGCCGAGGTCTCGTTGACTCCGACGCAGACGACGCCCGACGCCGTCGCGGCCGGCCTGGCCAAGGTCGGCGCCGTGCTCGTCGAGGCGATCCCCGCGACGCGCGAGCTCATCCTCGCCGCGACGCACACGCCGACGGCCGCGATCTGCCTGTGGCACGTCAAGCTCCTCGCGACGTCGGCCGCGCTCGTGACGGTGCGGTCGCCGAACCCCGAGGTGGCGCGGCTCGCGCTCGAGGCGAGCGTGGGGGCACTGTCGTCGTCGGCGTAACGTGGGTATGTTATATAGACAGGGCTCACTCTACTCGGGGGATGGGTACGGCACGCGCTCGGTTCAGATGAGATGGGCACGTTGGTACTGGTTGGGGAAGAGGAGGAGCGGTAGGCTTCGTAGTCGTAGTCGTGGTCGCGTGGGTAGTTTCACGACCGGCGCCGGACTTAGTGGCCGACGTCCTGTGTGGAAATGCGACGCGTTCGTTGGCACGATTATATCGCATCGATTGAAATTCGACACTGAGTCGCTGACGTAGCAGCCGGTGGACTCGGTGATGCCGTACGTGATAGTCCCGGCGCAGCGGTAGCAGCCCGTCGCAATGGAACCAATGGAGCCGTCGCCGAAGGTCACGTCCGTCTTGCAGTCGCACGCGCTCAGGCCGTCGACGAGCTCGCCGAAGCCCTTGTCGATCCACCACTTGTCGAGGGCGCCGGTGCGCTCGGACTGGGGGCCGACGCCCGGGTGGGCGCCGCAGAGGTACTCGATCTCCTCGTGATTGTAGATCGGCCAGCCCCAGCGGTTCGCCTCCAAGATCGAGTTCGCGTTGTTGGACTCGTAGATACCGGTGTCGAGGGTGCCGCTCGCGACGGCGTTGTTGTTGATGTCGCACTTGACGCCACACTTCACCGAATCAATCAAGCTTTCGCCGAGATCGGTGATGGCGTCCTGGATGTCGTGCTCGAGTTCGTAGTTTGCGGCGGCGTTGCCTGTGCGGGAATCATGGTCTAGGCTCGACTCTCGAGTAACGTCGAGTTGCCCGATCATGTTGATTTCTGCGCTGCTCGTGCCGAGGTAGCCAGTAGAGCACGGATACGTGAGGATCTGCTCCGGTTGGACCAGCCACTGCGTGTTCGTCTCGAGATTTTCAGTTGAATCTCCAAACTCGAGAGCGATCGCCTGCGGCAGGTTCTGGCACATGCACTTGTTGGCGCGCTCCTCGAAGTAGGAGCAGAACGTCTTCTGGAACCACGCGTCAGTGGAGGCGAGGCTTAAAGCGAGGAGGACCTTGGTAAGCGACGGCATGATTGGTCTGGTTGTGGATGCGGGTCTGCGAGCGGAGCGCGCGTGATGTCTCGCCTCGCGGCCTTGCGCGGAATGTCTCGCTTCGGCGGGCGCGGAAGTCGCCGCACTTGCGCCGCGACGAAAAATTTGCAAGCGAGTGATTTGCAGAAGCGACCCCCCCGGGCGCGCCCACGGGTCAAGGAGGAGGTAATAAGACGCTTGCGAGGGCCGGGACGAACTGGGCGCGCTCTCTGGACACGGTGAGTTAGAGGGCTGAAAAAAAGTGCGTATATATCTCTCGAAACGCGCGAGAGAAGCGTTGCGTGGGCTTGTTAGTACCTCTGGGTCGCGCTTACGCTGTGAGAAGTGAAGCCGTGCAATTTGAGACGCTGTGTCGCGCGTAATAGTCAGCAGTGATGCTTTGAGCTCCTGGGATGTGTGAGAACGCTGGGGAAACTGCAACTGGAAAAAAAACGGATGTCGTGTGGATCGTTTTCTCTTCTCAGACCTCTCATCCGCGCCTCTTCATATGCCTGTCTCGGCCTCCCCCCACCGCGAGGCCCGCGGGCGGCGCGAACATCAAGCGGTGCAGAAACTCTCTGAGGGGTACGTAGGTCCCAAAGGAATCGAAACTAGATCACAGTTCTTACACCGGGGGGTCCGCGAACTCCGGCGCCGTGTACGTCGCCAGCAGCTCCTCGCCCACGGCGACGTCCGAAAGCAGCTTCCACGCGAGCTGCGCGCCGCCGCGGCCGTGGCGGTGGACGAACCACTTGACGTTCGGCGCGTGCCTTGAACCAGCATAGTCTGCGCCGTTCAAATAGAACGTAAGCGAGCAATGCTTCAGGGCGACCTCCCTTAACAGCGCATAATCGTTCGCGCCAAAGGCGATGTAGTCGTAGGGCGGCAGGTGCGCGCGCGCGTAATCCGAGGGCCGCGGCACCAGGAGCACCGTCGGATCGATGATGATCTGGTCGGCCCGCAGGGGCTGCTTGGCCACGACGCCGAAGCCGTTCTCGTCGACGACGCCCGCGGACGTGACGCTCACGAGCGACTCGAGCGTCTGCCGTTGCCCCGCCCAGCACGCGCGGCGCTCCGCATCGGGAACGCCCACCGCCCCGAGCAGCGGCGCGAGGAACTTGTCCGCCGCGACGGTCACGGCGCCCCGTACCAAAGGGCGCGGCGGCGGCTGGGGCCCGCGCTCCGCGTCGGCGGCGATGCAGCCGCGGCAGCCGCTCGGCCTCCAGCGGCACTTGCCGCAGCCGTGATAGGCCGGGTTGCGGGTGCCGGCCTCGGCGCGCGGCCGCCAGCTGCTGCCATTGTCCCAGATGGCCGAGGTGGCCTTGGTCGCCGGCTTCGCCTTGGGCTTCTTCTTCGCGGGCTTCTTTGAGGGGGGCGGCGGCGCGGGCGGCGCGACGACCGCCGTGCGCTTGCGGCGCTGCAGCGGCCGCACGAGGTCCAGCGGGACGTTGGCCTCGGAGTCGCTCGAGCCGTCGCAGTAGGTCACGTCGACGGCGCCGTCGCGCGCGGCGACGACGATCGCCGCGTAGAACTTGGCGCCGCCCTTGAACCGCGCCTCGACTTGCGTGCCGACCGGGTACGGCCTTTCTGCTGTCGGCGCCTCCTCGGCCGGCGCCGGCCGCGCGCGCTTCGCGGGCTTCCGCTCGGGCGGCGTCGGCGCGTCCGGCAATGGTGTCGCCCCGGGCGGCGGCGCCCGCGGCGGCGCCGCGGGAGTCGAGCTCCAATTCATCAGGGCCTGCCACTTCTGCTCGCACGCGCTCGCCGACCGCCCCGTGCCCAGCCGCTCCGCTATCGTCTCCCAGGCGTCGCGCCCGAGCTCGCCCACGAGCCGGCGCAGCGACGCCTCCTCGTCCGCCGACCACCGTCGCGGCGCCGCGCGGGGCGACCGCTTCTGCGTCGTCGGCGTCCGGGCCGGCGTCGGCGCCTGGCGGCCGCGCGCCGGCGCCGGCGGCGCGCGCGTGTCGTGCGCGCCCTTCTTCGGCCGGCCGCTCGATGAGGGCGGGGGCATGAGGCCGTGCTTCTCCGCGTAGCGGCGCCGCGCGCGCTCGAACCGCGGTTGGTCGAGAGTTGTAATGGAACCGTCGGCGTCCCACTTCACTGAACACGCGCCGTCCGCCTCCGTGGACACGACGGAGCCCTCGAAGTCGCCGTAGCCGCTAAACTTGTGCAGCACGCGGACGGCGTCCGCCGGGACGGGAGCCGGCGGTGCCGGCGCCTCGACGACGGCCTCCTCCGTCGCCTGGCGGCGCCGCCGCAGCGGCCTCACGAGCTCCACGGGCACGGCCTCCTCGGCGTGGTCGGACCCGTCCGCGTATTTCAGGTCCACGAAGAACGACCCTCGCGCGTCCACGACGAGCGCGACGACGACGGCCGGGTACCAATTAGATCCACCTCTAAAGCGCGCCTCGACCTGGTCGCCCTCGGCGTAGGGCGCCGCCGCGCGGATCTCGTCCTCCGTCGCCGCCGCGAGGCGGCGCTCGCCCTCCGCGATCAAGGCGGCCTCGGCCGCGCGGCCGTCCTCGATGGCCGCGAGCTCGGGATCTTCTTCTTCGTCGTCGTCGGCCGCGGCCGGCGCGTCGGCCTCCTCCGACTCGTCTGCGAGAGCCGGCGCCGCCTCGGCCTCGGCGGGCGGCGCGGCCTCCACTTGGGCCGCCGGCGCCGGCGCCGGCGCCGCGTCGTCGTCGTCGTCGTCGTCATCGCTGCTCTCCATCGCGGCGCGGCGCTCTTCATCGCGCTCGGACTGCGTGCGGTACGCGCCGCCGCTCTGCGCGAGCGCGAGGCAGGCCTCGAAGTACTTGACGAGCTGGGTCTTCGAACGCAGCACCTCCTTGTTCATCCGGACGTTCTTCCCGACGAGGTAGTAGCTTGACGGGAATGCGGGCGGAGGCGTGATCTCATAGTAGCCCTGGCCGGGCTTCTGCTTGCTGCCGCCGTAGACCGGGCCGCAGCGGAAGCCGCGGCCCACGAGGCGGTCGCGCACGCCCATGATGTTGCTGTCCCGGACGGCGGCCAGCACCTCCGTGCAAACGGCGGCCCACGCCGGTTGTGCTTGTCCTTGTCCGTTAGTCGGCGCGGCGGGTGGCGCGGCCGCGGCGGGCGCCGGCGCCGGCGCGGCGGGTTCCGGCGCGGCCGCGGCGGGTTTCGGCGTCGCCGGCGGGGGCGGGGGCGGGGGCGACGCTGCGGCCGGCTCCTCGGCCGCAGCCGGCTCGGCGGCGGCCGGCTCGGCGGCGGCCGGCTCGGCGGCGGCCGGCTCGGCGGCGGGCGCGTCGTCGTCGTCGCTGCTCTCGGCGATGGCGCGGCGCCGGCGCGGCGGTGGTGCGGCCGGCGCGTCGTCTCGGCCGCCGCTCCGGCGCGTCGCGCGGCCGCCGCGCGCGGCCTCGTCGTGGGCGAGGTCCGCGGGCGACACGCGCAGCATCGTGTGGCGGCTGACGGGCGACCGGACGTCGAAGGAGCCGTCGTCGTTCGCGGCGACGATCGTGCCCGGACCGCCCTCGCGGTTGTGGCCGGGCGAGGTGTCGGGCGCGACGACGACGAGGTCGCCGACGCGGAACGTCGGCGGGGCGGCCGCGGGCGCCGGCGCCGGCGCGACCCGCTCCGTTTTTCTGGATGGCGCGGCGATGACGCGCCGCGAGGCCTCCTTGAGCGAGAGCGTCGTGCGCTCGTCCGTCTCCCACTTGACGACGACGTCGTCGGCGCCGAGCTCGACGATTGTGCCCCTGTGAAGCCCGTAGCCCGGGAACCGCTTCTCGACCGTCGCGCCGACGCGGACGCCGCTGCGCGACGCGAGCCACTCGGCGGGCGCCGGCGCCGGGGCCTCCACCGGCGCCGGGGCCTCTTCGGGCCCGCCGCCGTCCCGCGCGACCGCGGCCCGCACCTCGCCCTCGCGCGCCGCGGGTGTCACCGGCGCGGCGTCGTCCAGATCAAAGGCGCCGTCCGCGCCCTGGCGCACCTCTTCTTGTAAGGCCGCGACGGCTCTTCTAAATTTGCCCTTCGCGAGCACCTTCCACTGGGCGCAGATGGCCTCGACCTCGTCGGGCGCCGCTCCTCTTAAATCCTCGACGCAGTCCGCGGCGGCGCGCACGTCGGCGACCTTGGGCGCGTCCAAGCTGATGGCCCGGCAGAAGCGCAGGACGCACGAGGCGTCGCCGGCGCAGTCGCACATCGGTTTTCCGTGTGTGGCGCTCGCGCGGTTCGTTCTAATTTCGCGCGCGGCACCGGAGAGCGTCCTGGCGCTCTCACGGTTTCTCGGCTGCTGCGCCGACTGGTGGCTCGGCGCGTTGCGCAGTGCTTGCTCACCTTTGGCGCTGTGTTTTTCGCCTCTAGTTAGGTCACGACGGCGCGCAGAACTGCGAGCGCGGTGAGCTCCGCATTACACCGCTAGCTCACACGTCCACAGACATATCGATATGTTTCGGCAAAGAGGCCTCGCACACGCATCCCGACGGCTCTACTCTCTTCTAGACAGATGGCTTGGACGCCTTGGGGCTTGCATGTTAATGGCAAAGAGGTCGAGGTGCACCATAATTTGTTGTGAGGTCGGCTCGCGCGAAAAAGGAGTCGTTTCCACTCAAAGCAATCGCATGTCCAATATTTGGTAGCGAAACGCGCGCGAGGATAGCAGCAAAGCCGACCCAAGTGCAGGCCTTGTTAACAAAATTTGATTACGCGTCGTCTGGACCCCGGGCCGCATCAGGACGGCGGCCGCGAGGGCCTCGGTCGCGGTGCCGAAGGTTGTTGTGATGGTGGTCCGGCGCTCGTCACCCACATACAAGTCTAGTGTCGGCGCATCGGCGGCGCCTGGCGGTGCTAGCGGGGGCGCGGCGGCGGCGCTTGCGAGCGTCGCGAGCATTTGTGACCTTTTTTTTGCTCTCTTTGACCTGGCTCAAGGAATACGTGCCGCGGCGGTTTTTTGACCGGACTGCGAGTTGTGGGCGACTACGCGAGATAAGGCGACAAACGCTATCGGCGCGAGAACTTATGCGAGCCTTATCTCGGTCGTAATTAATGACCTGATCGAGCTAGCGGCCTGGTAAGACACTAGCAAGCCAAGCCGGGATTCAGATTCACGTCCAAAACTCCGCCGCGGAGCAGCCGTTTGCATCCAGATTTGCTCATTTCATCTCTTGTAACCTTCGCAAGGCGGTGAAGAGAAATGGCGCCGCGCCGTGGCGCCGTCGCTCTGCTAGCCACCAGTGCCTGCACGGCCTTTGTGCTGCACCGCGGCGCGCCGCGCGCACCGGCTTGCATCCTCAGAGCGGCTGATGATGAGGAGTCCAAGCGCAGTAAAGCCAAAAAACTGTGGGATAAGCTCCGAGGCAAGGACGAGACGGATCAAAGACCGCCGACGCTCGACGCCGTGCGGAAATCACATGTCGGACGCCCCACGCCATCGACGCGACGTCCGTAACCGCACAGGCTCGACGAGGGCGAGAACAAGGACATGTACGCCGCGCTCAAGGCGCAGCGCCTGAAGCAGCTCGAGGAGAAAGATACAACAATGGCCGACTCCGAGATCTACGAGACGCTGGCGCGGAAGGGCGATTTTCCATTGGTGTCGAAGCAGCTCAACGAGGCGCTGCAGAACCGTTCCATGGGCACGAACACGTTCTTACCTCCCGTATTAACGTCGCCGGACTGGAGCGAGTTCGCGCCGTCGTCGGGCCAGACGCCGGGGGAAGTGATTTCCGGCGTGTTGCGGGCGTTGCGCGAGGGCAATCGCGTCGCCGAGGTCGAGGAGACGGAGAACACCGGCGTTCCTACATTACTACGGTTTCTGTCGCCGGCGTCGTCCTTCGGCAGCGAGCCGGTGGACGACGAGGATTTCATCGCGTTCGTCATGGATTCGGAGTATGATATACTATTGAGGTGGGAGGACCTCTCGTTCAAGGGCACGATGAACTTAAATGTGGACGGCAACCGGGCGTTCCAAACCGTGCAGCTCCAGGACCCTTCAGGTTTATGGGTGAAGACGAAGTGGGCGCTGAGTCTGCGGGACGCGGCGGACTGCAAGGAGCTCTGCGACACGAGCGACGACGGGTACTGGCTCATCGACAACGTCATGGTGTCCGCCCGTTAATCTATCTTCTTAGAGTCTAGCCCTCCTCCTCCCCCACCATGGCGTCGCCGCCCTCCTCCCCGTCCGCCACGGCGTCACCGTCGGGCGGAGCGTAGACGACGGCGCCGTGCACCAGGTCCGCGGCGGCGCACGCCCGCGTCAATGCCTCGTCGGCGAAGAGCTCGGCTGCGCCGCTCCGCGCGCGGAGGTCGTCGAGCGTCGGGGCGCCGTCGAAGGCCACGCGTGTCACGGACCCGTCGGCCCTTCGGACGCGCACGATCAGCTGCGGCGGAGGCGGAGGCGTAGGGGCGGTCTTTTTGGGCTTCTTCGCGCTCACGTCCATGCGGTCCTCGGCCATGTTGCGCAGGATGCGCGTCCGGTCCTGCGCGTCCGCGTCCGCGCGCGACTGGTGGGCTTTCGGGGCGTTGCGCGCCTCCGCATCTTGGATCGCCTTCGCGATGCGCTTCAGCTTCTGGAGGTCCGACGGCGCGTTTTCCGTCTCGTTGACCACATCCAACACGAGCCAGTCGACCTGCTTGCCGTGCTTGTCGGCGCCGCGGCGCGTCGCGAAGCCGATGCGCTTGAGCAAGTCCTCGGGCTTGCGCGCGCCTTTGAGGGCTCGCAGGAACTTCTCCTTGTTAACTACTCGTGGCCCGTTGGCCGACATGTCGTCGGGCGCGTCGAGGATGTTCTGGGCGACGCCGAGGATGCGCGTGTGCACCGTCGAGGCGTCGCCCGGGGGCAGGGGCTTCACGAGGTCCTCGAGGCCTGTGCAAATCAACAAGTGACTCGTCACACGTGTGCGAGTCGTGAGTCGGAACGGCGCGGCGCGGCCGCCAGGAAATTTGATTATGCGCGGCTCGTGACCGCGCGGGACGCTATTGAGTTCTTTGTCGAACATCGCTTTCGGTTCGGCCTTGATTCTTTGGCCGGTGAACGCGACGCGGGTACCTTGGGGCGCCGGCTTCGGCGTCTGGCGCGGGAGGGCGCTACCGTTCCTCGCGGCGCGTTCGGCGGCGAGGGCCTTCATGGCGCTATTCATCGCGCACAATTGGTCCGCGCGCGTCGCCGCGGCGGCCGATTAATCAATGCGTCTCACAATGCTCTCTGTGAGAGCTTTTGTACACAGTCCGACGAGCGGTGCCGCCGCCGCGCCACGACGACGCACGACAACAAATGATTCTAAAAACGCTCCGCGCGTAACGGTACGCCGGCGGACCTTGTTTTTTTGGCCTGCCTGGGCCTGCTATTTTGCTGGTCTCGACAGCCTCACAAATTCGAGCAGGCGTATCCAGGACCTCTCGGGGACTCGGCAATAGCCCGTTCGACGGCTGTCGTTTGCGACGGTTGGCAGCTAGCGTCTGTAAGACACTAGCTAGCCGAGACCTTCCACACACGCCCGCGCAGAGCCTAAAGCCAGGGCAGGAGGGCTCAGTAGAGGCAAGAAATTAAGCAAATATGAGCGGGTTCGCAAGGCCAAGCGACGCGAGGCTCTCGGCGTCCGCAGCACGCGCCCTACCCAATCCCTCTGTGGCGAGCCTGGCGGCCGAAACGACGCGCAGCGCAGCGCTGGCGGGCCGGGCCCGGCGAGCGCCCTTCCCACAGCCGCGCGCTGCTCGCCGCAGCCGCGCGCGCTCGTTCGTCTAGAGAAGAGAGCCGTCCCCTGAAACCCCGCGCCCGCCGCTCTCATCCGGTGATTTCCACGCAGCGCAAGAGCCAGTTCAAGGCCGGCATCTCCGCCGAGGACTCGCGGAGGCGGCGGGAGGAGACGACGATCCAGATCCGCAAGTCCAAGAAGGAGGAGCGCATGAATAAAAGGCGGCAGGGCGTCCAGCGGCCGGCGCAGGGCCAGACGCCCGCGCAGATGGACGCGACGGTCGTCCAGAAGCTGGAGCAGCTGCCTAATCTGGTCGCGGGCGTCCATAGTATGGATCCCTCGGTGCATTTGGAGGCGACGACGCAGTTCCGCAAACTCTTATCGATCGAACGGAATCCGCCCATCCAGACGGTCATCGACGCCGGCGTCGTGCCTCGCTTAGTGCAATTCTTACAAAAGGACGACGCGCCGGCGTTGCAGTTCGAGGCGGCCTGGGCGCTGACGAACATTGCGTCCGGGACCTCGGACCACACGCGCGTGGTGATTGAGGAAGGTGCCGTGCCCATCTTCTGTAGATTGCTCTTGTCGCCGAACGATGACGTGCGGGAGCAGGCCGTCTGGGCTTTGGGGAATATTGCTGGTGATTCTCCCACGTGTCGCGACTTAGTGTTGCGAGAAGGCGCGATGCAGCCCCTGTTGCAGCAATTGCATGAGAATTCCAAGCTGAGCATGCTTAGGAACGCGACGTGGACCCTCTCGAACTTCTGCCGAGGCAAGCCGCAGCCCGAGTTCGGGACAGTAAGGCCCGCCTTACCTACCCTAGCACAATTAATTTACTCCCCGGACGAAGAGGTCCTGACGGACGCGTGCTGGGCCTTATCCTATTTATCTGATGGTCCTAATGAGAAGATCCAGGCCGTCATCGAAGCTGGTGTATGTAGAAGATTGGTGGAACTGCTCATGCACCCGTCGCCGTCGGTGCAGACCCCTGCTCTAAGGACCGTAGGCAACATCGTGACCGGTGATGATTTACAGACGCAGATCATCATCAACTTCTCGGCGCTGCCTTGCTTGTTAGCACTGTTAGGTAATCCCAAGAAGGGTATCAGAAAAGAGGCCTGCTGGACGATCAGCAACATCACGGCGGGTAATAAGGACCAGATCCAGTCCGTCGTGGACGCGAATGTCATTCCTCCATTGGTCAATTTATTGAATAGTGCGGAATTCGACATCAGAAAAGAGGCCGCGTGGGCCATCTCCAACGCTACCTCTGGCGGAACCCCGGAACAAATTAAATTCCTCGTGAGCCAGGCCTGCATCCCGCCCCTATGCGAACTGCTCAGTGTCGCGGACGTCAAGATCATCATCGTAGCGTTAGAGGCCCTAGAAAACATCCTCAAGGTCGGCGACGCGGAGTCGAAACAAATGGGCGGCCATAACTTGATGGCCAATCATATTGCCGACAGTGAAGGCTTGAAGAAGATCGAGGACCTCCAGCAGCACGACAACAATGACATCTACGAGAAGGCCGTCAGAGTGCTGGAGACGTATTTCGGAGTTGACGAGGAAGATGTTAACGTGGCGCCGGAAACGATCGGCAACAACTTCGCCTTTGGGGTGGCGCAGAACACGCCGCAGAAGGCCTTCGACTTCGGGCCGGGCATGTAGGTTTTGGTGGAAATGGTGGTATTAAGCGGTGCGGCCGATTGGACGTCGCGTTCCTTCCCCTTCGAGAGAGAACCTGAGAGAGATCCTAATACCTTACAGTATATCTAGAGCTCTTTCGTCTGGCGCTTGCCGGTGGCCGGGTCGACGTCGGGCAGCAGCTCGGCGAGGAACGCGACGACGTCGGCGTGGCCCGCATCGGCCGCGACGCGGAGGGGACACAAACTCCCGTCGCCCTCGTACACGTCGCTGAGCCAGGTGCGCGGATCATACCATTTCGTCTCGATCTCGCACCCGACGGCGCAGGGAGCCCCGAGTTCATGGAGTCGTCGCACGGTGGCGACGCTGCCGCCGCGGGCCGCGTTGGTACTTTTTGTTACCAGGCTTGCTAGTGTCTTACACGCCGCTAGCATACGTTAGGTTCGATACTTGTAGAAAAAAATTAAACAGCGTCGAGCTACGGCTCCAAGAGCAGCTGCCCCGCGACGGCGCCCGCGGGCAGCACGACGTGCCAGAGCGCGTGCCAGACGAGGTACGCGTCGCGGTCTCGGCGCGCGAATGCGGCGACGGCGCGGCGCTTGCACGCTATCGCCACGAGCAGCGACGCCGTGAAGACGGTCACCATGTCGCGTGGGAAGGACATCGGGCCGATGATCTGCAGCAAAATTAGCACGAACTGTAGGATCGTGTTGAACGTCGCCACGTAAGAGTCCGCCGCCCGCCACGCGGAAGGTCGGCCAAAGGTGTGCGTGTCGGCCAGGTACGACAGGATACCGTTCAAAAAGATCAGCGCGCCCATGGAGCGGAACGGGAAAAGAAAGCAGCAGGGCCGCGCGTGCCGGTACATCGGTGCTGGTCTAATGACGAGCAGCCCGCCGGCGAGGCAGTAGGCGAAGGAAGACCAGCGGTACCACCACGCGGAGCCGAAGATCTTCTCGCGCCACTCGGGCGGGCCGTCGTCCGCAGACATCAGGCCCGCGCTGACGACGGCGCCGAGGCCGCGTGGCGACCGTGGTCTCTCAGACTCGTCTTGGACGGTCACAGGGATGTAAACGCGAGGCGGCATGTTGGGTGGTTAGGGATGGCGAAGCGCTACCGCAGCTTGCGCATGCGCTGGCGGTTCATGCGTTTCGCGGCACGTGTTGCGGACGCGCGCCCGACGGCCCACTGCACGATCAGCGTGAAGACGACCATGACGAGGAAGATGTAGAAGAAGCCGCGCAGGCCGCCCAGCTCCTCGACCGTCTCGCGCCAGATGTCGACCATCGTGAGGAAAACCATTTGTGCGTCGCTTGCGCCGCCGCGGCGATTTGTGCTGCTGTCTGCTTTTTATGCTGCTGCTGCTATTGCGTGGTGGCGTCGCGCAGTGCTGCAAGTCTTGAGCCCACCCAGCTGTCCAATACGTTTGCGCTGCTCTGACCACCGCTATCGACTTATATGGCTCGTAGCACTCTGCTTTTGCCTTGGGGCTATGTTCCTAGTGTCTTACATGCCGCTAGCTCCGCGATTTACCCCCCCTTGAGCTTGCCTATTTTTTAGCTATTAATTTAATTGCAGGTTTTCCTTGCGGCTCGCTCGCGCCTCGCTCGAGAAAAAATCGATATTGCTCGGCCCGTCTTGCACGTCCAAGGCCTGGGCCGCGCGACAGGCTCTACGTGGGCCGTGACTTGCCCCTCGTAACTTACAGCGCTCAAAACGGTGCCGTATTCGCTCGTTCTCGAACCCTGCTTTCGCCTCGTAACGCGCCGCGCTCGCCGCTGGACGAAAGCGGGGCTGGTCCGAGGCGCCCCGGCGGGGCCCCAGGGTCATATGCATCGGCGCTGAGCGAAAAGAGGAAAAGTTATCGAACCCCGACGCAAATATTCGCGGCGGACCGCGGACGCGTTTTCTCCCGACGCGTTTCACGCGGTGGCTCGCTACTGCGAGGAGGAGTGTCAAGCCTTGGATTTTTCGCATCACGCGCAATGCTGCCCCCTCTTAGCGCGCCGCTGGGACGGTGTGGGCGAGTCCATACCGTTGCAGTTGTTCGATTTATGCGCTTCAGGCAAGTGGGATGACCCGGCGGTCCTGCCCGACGTGCGAGCCAGGGAAAGACTACGTGAGATGATAGGAGGTGTGGAGAAGTTTATCGACCGATATAAAGCGGCGGAAAAGGTGGGTAGGTGAGTAAGATACAAAAACACAACCTAATTCAGCCCCCCCTTGAGCACCGTCGCGGCCGCCGGCGGCCTAGCAGGGTTCAACAACACAGCGAGGGCCGACACGAACGTCCGCCCGAAAGCAGAATCAGAGAACCGCTCCGCCACAAAGGCCCTCGCGTTCTCCCCAATTTTTCGACGTGAAGACGCGTCCATCTCGATTATTGACGAGAGCTTCGCCGCGTAGTCACGCGCGTCCGTCGCCAAGAAGCCGCGCTCTCCACTAGTACCAACGATATCCAGCAAGGGCCCGCCCGACGCGTGGGCCACAACTACCAATGAAGCGGCCATGAACTCGACGACCGCAATTCCGAAGTGCTCCAATCGCATCGTGTGCAGCCCGACCGACGCCGTCTGGAGCAGCGCCATGATTTCATGTCGTGGCGCGGACACGAGGAACTCGACGCCATCCATACCTACTGCTTGTCGCTTCAGGGCATCCAACACGCGCTGGTCGTCGGCATGGCGGACGGCGCCCGCAATCACGAGTTTGGCCTTCCGCCGCGTTTCTGGAGGTAACAACGCCCAGGCCTCGAGCTGCTTCATCTGGTCCTTCTCGGGCCGGAACTGGGCCAGCGACAGGACGGTGACTTTCCCGGTCTCTTTTCTAGTAATACCCTTCATCGCGCCGCACGGCGGGTAAGCTAATAAAGCGCCGCGGCCCCACACTTGTTGGATGTGGCCGCGCGTCCACGACGAGTTCGCCATGACGACGTCGTGGCGCCGGCCGCACCACCCGTATACTTTGCCGAGCAGCCGGTAATAGACGGCCTTGACGCGCCGTAGCCGTACCCAGCGTTTCGAGTTGTTGAACGCCGGCCTATCCAAAGCATCGAGCATGTCCTGCGACACGGCCGGGTAGTGCACGTAGGCCGCCGCCGCGCAGCCTGCCAACAATTTGGCGAGGGGTACGCCGAACGCGAGCCCCGTCGTGTCCACGAGGACGTCGGGCGGCGTTCGCAGGACGCTTTCCATGGCCAGAATCATCGCTCCCAACGCCTGCCCCGCCATCGTCGCGACGGGCCACGTCTTGGCGTTTGTTAATCGTCGTGTACACACGGGTTGTATGGTGACGTCCGGCACCGCAACACCAAACCGCTCGCGCGCATGCGCTACAAGTTCTTTAGCGGAGAGCCCGTCGCCGGAGTAGATCACTATCCTCACGTCGGGCCGCGCCTTGCGCAACGCGGCGACCGCGACCCACAGCACACGCTCGCCACCTCCGCCCTGGGCCGCGTAGGGGTGCAGGAAGGCGACGACCTTTTTGCGTCGCAGGTGCCGTCGGATGCGGGTCGTGACCATGATTATTACGAGCGCGGCCGCGTAGCGCAGTAGCAGGTACGCGGTGTCCATACTCGTTGTTGGAGGGCACACGTCGTCGGCGTTACCTGCGCTTGCCGCTGCGCCGAGCGCTGCGATCCGTGCGTCCGTTCAACCACCGATGCGGCCTCCGGACAGCTGTACCTCGACAAGCCAGCGCTGTGAAAAGCCGGCGTTGCTAGCGGATGTAAGACACTAGCAAGCAAAACGCCAACCGCGCGCTGTGAGTTAAATCCGTCTGCCAGCGGCCTTGACGGCTCGACGCCTCGGAAGGCAGCTGCCCAGGCGGCCTCCGGACCGTCAACAGGCTGCCCCGGCGGCGTCCGCGACGATGGCGGAGCGCCAACCGCTCACGTCCGAGCAGCGCAAGGAGATCGCAAAACGACGGCGGGAAAAAGCCGCGGCCGCAGCGCTGGAACCAGAGCTCGCCGCCATCGCCGAGGACTCAGTACCCGAGACAAAGATCGGCGGCACGAAGCCGCCGAAGCGGAAGACGGGACCCTCGATCGCGGATCTGAACCCCATGGAGGAAATCCTCATAAATCGGGAGGAGGCGAACAAGCAGCTGCAGGAGGTCGAGTTGATGCGGCGGCGCATGGTCGCGCGCGCGGAGGACATCGAGCGACGGGCAATGGACCGCAAGCTGTCGGCGGCGCGCTACGCCGCGGCGAAGCAGGAGCTCGAGGCGGCCGCGGCCTCGTCGCACCCGACGGCGCGGTCGTCACACCCGACGTCTCGCACGGACCCGATGGCGTCATCTCGAGCGGTATCCGAGTACTCGTACCCCGCCTCCCAATATTCATCAGAGAGCGACATGGCGCGCGTGAACCGGCCGGCCGGACGTGTGTCATCGCCGGACGCCGTGCCCGCTTTGAATCTCTTTCCGCACGGCTCGCGGTTCACGAAGCCGTCCGAGGACCAGCGCGATAGAGCAAGGGCCACGGCGGCCGTCGAACGAGCGAAGCGGAAGCCCTCCGAGGAGGTCAAGGCGAAAGCTCGACAGGCTGCTGAAGCAAGGAGGATGAGGGACCTCGAGCAGGCGTCTCTATCCAGACCGTCGCTCGAGCAAGGATCATTATCGAGACCTTCATTAGAACAAGGATCATTGTCACGGCCGTCCGTCGCGTCGGGCTCGCTGGCACAGCCGAGCATAGCGTCGGACATGGCCGTGAAACACAACCTCCAAGAGGCGTCCGTCTCGGAACGACGAGCGGAAGAATTGGCAAGGAGGGCCAAGCTCGTGAGGGAAGTGGAACGGGCCCAGGCCGACGTCGCGGCGACGGCCGAACGCGTCTCGACGCGCGCGCGGAATGAAGTTGATGACGAGTTCGGCGCGACGCCGCTGCACCCCGAGGTAGAAGCTTGTAGAAAGATGTGGGCGAGGCCGAACGATATGAATGCCGATAGTACTTCTAGTGAAGATGAGAATAAGCCCGTGCCGACGCGCGTGCCGCCCTCGGTACTACGAAGGAAGATGAAGCAGAGGAAGGCAAAACGCGTCCAGCGCGAGGCGAAAAAGGCCGAAGCAAGTGCTCCGCAGGATGACACACGGGCACTCCGGGAGTACGTCCAGACGGCGACGGAACGCGTGTCCGGTGGTGATGCTTCCAAAGCCTTGAATACCGCGACGGCGGAGGTAGCGCGCGCTAGGCGCGAGGCTGAACAATTGGCGCAGCAGGCTCGACAGCTTAGACAGGAGTCTTCATCAGATGAGTCGTCGGAGTCGGAGTATTCCGACGGCCCCGGCATGGACGCGGCCCTACGCAAGCGCCAGGAAGACGACTTGAAAAAGGCGAGGCGCGAAGCGGCGTACGCGGACCTCGAAACCAAAAGAGCTTTGGCGAAAGCTCGCGTCCAGGAGGAGATGGAGCGCGTGAAATTTATTCGCCGATCGATAGCCGAGAAGAATCTACAAGATACGAAGGCGCAGGAAGCCGAAGCTGCGAAAAAAGATGCGAAGCAACAGAAGAAGGCCGTCGAAACCATAAAAATGATCGCGAAGAAAAGGGCGGCTTCTCCTGTGAAGCCGCGTGCACCGGTGAAGCAGGTTCCTACTGATGCTGAGTTACTGTCTGGTGAAGTTGCTGCGTTCTTCATAAGGGAGCCGCCTCGCGAGCAGTTACGTTTTTTGAAATTCGCTCTCGAACCGGAGCAGAAGAAGGATTTGCCCGCCGTGGCCGTGGCGTTTCGACACGCGAACAAGCCGGAACAAGTGATGCACGACCGGACTTTTGACAATGCTGTGTTGGTCGAGCACATCTGTCTGGACTTGGAGCACCAGCACGTCGCGTATTTGCGGCCTTATTGTCTCCTGTTGGGCGTGTTGATTGGTAGGAAGCCGAATTTACGTAAAGCATTGCTGATGGGCGTCGTCAAGACGCTGAATGCGCGGATGAAGGGTCGCGAGAAGGAGACGTTCGCCAAGACGCCCACGCTCATAGCGCAGTCCATGGACGCGTGCCGCGAACTCATGATGCGGTTAGTGTGGGGCAAGTCGCAGGGGCAACTCCGGGACTCGTGGAACCCCGAGCGGCTATCAGCGAAGGCGGAGGTGGCCCGGGCGCAGAAAAAAGACGTGACGGCGCCGGCGCCGGCGCCCGCACCGGCGGCCTCGCCGGATGCGGCTTCGGTAAAAGAGAGCGCGTCGTACTGGAACAAGCGCAAGGCCGCCGAGGGCATCGAAGTGGATAGAGGGCCGCTGTGCCGGATCAAGGCGCGCCGCGCCCACGTCCCCACGGAGGCCATGGAGATGCGGATGCGGAAGGGCGATACGTTAATAGTGAAGCGCGACGAATTGGACGGCGAGCCGGGCTGGATCTTCGCGACGAAGGGTGGCGACGCCGGCTACGTCCCGCGGGCGTGCTTGGTGGGGGATAACTCGCCGGACCGCAGCGTGTCCTTCGCTGCCGGCGCCGCGGCGTAACATTGTGGTTGTTAAGATAGTTGCTAGCCTGGCACATCTGATTTTCTGATTGGGACGGGTTTCGCCTGCTCCGTTTTGCTTTCGTGTGGCTGTACAGGGCCATGGTGCTTCTGGCCATACACGTGGCCGCTCGTGACGGCGATCTGGTTGCGCTGCGGCGAGAACTCGCGAAAGGAGCCTCACCAAACGCTCCTACCAGACACCATGGGTTAAAACCACTTCATTTACTGTGCGGATGGCAGCGGGGCAAATCCGCGTTCTCGACTAGAAGTAGCGAGGGCAAATCCGCGGATAACCTGGAAGAACGACTAGCCTGCTTTCATGCACTCGTCGGCGCGGGAGCGGATATACACGCGAACGATAACCATAATGCACCTAGATGCCGTCACCCTGGATGGCACGCTCAATGGAGGCCGCTACATTTCGCTGTCGTGATGTGCCGCGTCTCTCTCGTGGCCGCCCTGATCGAGGCCGGGGCGAATGTAAATGCGGCCTGCGCTCCGGGGGCCAAGAGCGGCAGTGGTTTACCGCTAGCGCTTGCAGTTGGATTCGGAGCCTCCGCACGGCGCCGGGAGTGCATTGCCCTGCTCCTGAGAGCAGGCGCCGCGGTTAACAGGCCAGACCTGAGTCTCGACAAAGCCTGGATGAACCCGAGCCTCTACCCCATCCTCCTCAGAGCGGGCGCCACCTTTTTGAGGGCCCCAGCGCACCCTGATCCTTACCTTGCAAAAATACTCAAGGCAGGCGGCTTTCGTGGGAACGGCTTCCAGAATTACGAACGCGCGCGCCGCCACGCCATCAACGCAATTTTCATCCCGAAATTCGCCCATGTCCTCCCGCCTGAGCTCGTACGGCGCGTCGTCGAGTTTTACTGGCTTCACGCGCCTTATTATTAAGTAGAGTCGTGGTTGGGGGAAAATTACGCGCCAAGAGAGCACTAGTCCGACTCGTCGCTCGACAGCTCCGCCATGCGCCGCGCGAACTCGGGGTGCATCGGCGAGCCGTCCTCGCGCTGGAGGAACATGACGCGCACGGACTGGACGCCGCCCGTATCCAACTGAACGCGGTACCAGGCGTGCTTGTGGTCCACGACGGTCCCGAGCTTGCCCCGGAAGCGCGGGTCGGCCAGCCGCACGCGCGTGCCCCGGGGCACCTCGGGCCGCGCGTCCTTGATGCGCGGCCGCTTCGGCTTGACTTGCCAGGCCTTGTCGTTGTTGTAGCGCTTCGGGACCGCACCGGGCGCCCTTACGGGTGCTGGGCGGTCGCTCTCAAATGTTTCGAGCGAGTCGCCCGCGCGCCAGCCCGGCGGCGACGGACGGATGCCGGCGCCTTTCGTGCGCGACGGCGACGGGCTTCTCCCGTGCGAGCGGTAGCGCTGCTGCGCGGCGAGCGGGAGGGGTAGGGGCGGTGGACTCTGGAGCCACATGCTCTGGCCCGTGGCCCGCAGGCTCTCCTCGTACTTGCGCGTCCAGAGGACCCTAATAGGCCGCTTGTCGGCGTCACCGAGCGCCTGCCAGAACTCTTCGGAGGCGGCCGCGTCGTTCTCCAACCAATACTGGAACCAGGGGCCGCACTTCTGGCCGCCTTTCTGGCGCGCGCGCCGCGGCGGCGACGGCATGCGCGGCGGCGACGGCGACGGCGACCTCGAGGGTTTGGGGGGAGGCGGCGGGCACGCCTTCCGCAGCTCCTCCTCGTTCTCGAAGGACGTGATGCCGAAGGCCGCCGAGTCCGCGTCGCTCGAGTCGTCTTCTTCCAATGGAGGCGGCGCGGCCACCGGCGGCGGCGCCACGGCGTCGTCGCCGAAGTTGCCGCACGTGTGGGCCCCTCCTTTTCCCATGCAGGCCCCGCACAGCTCGGCGAGCGGCTCCGGTCCCTTCTTCCGGCCCTTCTTCGGGCCGCGCGGCAACGGGTTGAGGCGGCCCCGCGTGCCGCACGTGTGCGCGGTGTGCTTGTTGTGCGGCGGGCACGCGAGGCAGACCGTTTGTGGCGCCTCCTTGGTCTGGTTGGCGTCCCAGGCCTCGTCGGGCGCCGCGCGGGAGAAGGTGATGCTCGCGGTCTCCATTAAGTTACGGAATGCTCTCTCTGGAAGCGAGGCAGCCGAACACAGCCGGGGCGGCCGCAGCGATTCTGCTGCTTGGGAATAGCAATCCCCTGTGGATGGGCTTACGCCTTAGCGGTTTACCTATGTCTACCGGTCCAATCGCGCCGTGCACTGGCGCTTTTTGGCAAGTTCGGCTGCTAACAAAACTAGTACGTTTATCGACGCTAGCTAGGCCAAGCGCGCCGCGGCTAAAAAGTGCCGCGCGACGCAATCGCGGGCCAAGAGCAGCACTCGAGGTCGTTCTAAGACAAGTCGCAGCCAGCAGTATTGCACCGCCGCCACAGAAACGCAGACAAAGTTCAGGAGAGCAAGCACAAAACACAAAACCAGGACGCCAAAATCGCCATAGAATCAGAGAAATGGCCGCACAGATGGACTGCGACGACGCCAGGTCCCAGCTCAAGGAATTAGAAAGGCAGCGCCAAGCTTTAGAGGACGAGGCCGCGGCCATCGTCTCTGAATTGGACGGCCTCGGCGTCGGCCTCAAGGATGCGTTGGTCGACGCCGAGGGCTACCCGCGCGCGGACTTGGATCTGTATAGGGTAAGAAGCCAGCGCGGCCGCCACGCTACCATAAGAACGGACCACAAGGCGCTGATGAAGAAGATCGAAGCCTTGTTACCGATCGCGCTCGCCGCGCCGCCGGAGGACGCTCGGACAACGCCGCCGCCTTCACGTAGTGTGAAACCGCCGCCGGCGCCGCCCTCAAACGCGCCCTGGTGCTCGATTACCGAGGTGCGCGCTTCGTCACCCGCGGCCGAGGCCGGGTTGAGGCTGGGAGATCTGGTCGTGGCCTTCGGCGACGCGATCTCATTAGATCAGGTGAAGCCGTTCGTGCTGGGACACGTGGGACGGCCCTTTGCCGTCTGGGTAGAAAGGGGAAACAATCGCGTGAAACTCGAGATGACTGCTAGAACATGGGCCGGCGAGGGGCTCCTCGGGTGCCGACTCCTACCGCTCCAGTAACATTACTTACACACTAGTTTTCTTCTTCTTCTTGTTTTGTTTTTCATCCACCGCTCGATCCTTTTTTAGTTGAGAAGCCGCTTGATGCGTCACGCGCGTGTTTCCCACCAGCGCGAGGATCGCCTCGTTCGCGTCGACGTCTCGTATCAAATCCACATGATCAGAAGCCGCTCTCGCTAATATTTCAAGAGCGTCGCGCGCGGCCCGACCCTTCTTCGTCCCCCCCGGCTGCAGTTTGAGGGAGTGCGCAAATCCTCTACAAGCACTCGTAGGACAGCACACGGCGACGGCTTCTGTTAATGAATCGGTTGGTAGGGGCGTCCCCGTCAACCTCGCGACATGCTCGGCGTCGTCTCCCTCAATAACAATACCGGCACTTTTCGTCGTCTTCGGGGCGTCGCCTCTTGCAATTCGTCGGCAGATGCCCGAGAGTAGGGCGGGCAGGTTCCTAGGCGCTTCCACGAAATCACTTGCGATTCCAGTGCGCTTTTCGCGAGCCGCGGCCTCGTTTCTCCTTCTATCATTTCGCTCCCGCTCCTCGACGTCGGCCGTTAAAAAGGCCTCAAAAACCTGACAAGCCTTCGCGTCGTCATTCAAATCCGCCACTCTGTGTAATTCATAAGCCATCGCCGCTTCGTCCAATGCTGGAATTTCCCTCGTACAGCGCGCCCACGCGTCTGACGCGAGCGGGCCTAATCGAGCTACGGCTTGAGATGAAGTCCCGTCCAGCAACTCCGCCGTCGACGGTGGTGCTGGCGGTGCTTCCTCTTCTTGATCAAAGGCGGACAACGCCGTCGCGGCGGCATTTACATCACCATCATGTGCGGCTAACGTTGCGGCGGCGGCATCTCTAGCGAAGCCCATCCCTATTAATACTTCCAAACCCTCGTTCTTCGTCTTCTTTTTACGAGATATAGTGGGCACCTTCTGCAACCGCAGCGGCACGCGCGGTCCCTCGTCCTCAGACGAGTCGTCCCTCCGTCTATTCTTCTTCTTCTTCTGGCCGCGCTGTCTTCTACTAGTCTTCTTCTGTTGCACAGGTGACGGCACTTCCTCCTCCTCGTCTACCGGCAAAGGCTCGGGCGACGGTGCCCGTCTACCCTCTCTCGTTCTAGACCCAATGCGCCGCTGCTCCGCTTCGCGCATGGCGTCGATATCACCGCCATACTTCTTGAGGAGCTTGCGCTCCCTCGCCGTGAGTTTGCCGGTACCTGTGTGGAAATCAAATTTTGGGCGCCACACCGACGCGACGCGTCCGCACGATGGCGCGGCGATTCCACGCCATCGACGCGACATTGTCCCCGTGCCCGGTACGCGCGTCGATTTCCACACAGGCCGGTACGCGCGAAGTGCGGCTCCGGCGCGGGCGGCAAAGCGTCCTCGACAACAACAGGCGCAACCTCCTCCTCACTTTCCGTAGCTTCTTCCGACGGTGTCAACCGCAACAATTCCTCGTCGGGCACGCGACCGGGCCTATCACCTGAATGCGCCTCCAGACTGTCATCCGAGAGCTTGAAGAGCAGCGCGAAAGTGAGCTCTAGTTGAGTAGGTGGTAAATACGTCTTCTTCGTACCAGATGAAATCGCTACGTCTCCCAGCACGTTCAGCACTTGCGTACTATTAGATGAGCCGACGCGCCGCACAGAAAACCCGGGCACCCAATAGGCCGGCGCGCGATCCCGCCGCTGCCACGCGTCCGAGCGACACGCCGCGAAGCACCCGGCCTCGTGCAGGGCCAATGGTGATAACACACCATTCCTAGCTCGTACTACTGTAGGGGGGCCGTTCTGTTCGCAGAGCACCAGAGCATCGGTAGGACGGAGAACCCCACCAAATAAAACTTGTTCACATTGTCCTTTGTCCCTAGGGGCGACCACTAAGAACCCTTCGGAGGAAACGAACCAGGCGAAGCGCTGGAACCACGCTTGTGTGGATTTCTGTCTTTTCAGGCGCGATGCGTCCTGCTGCCAGGCCCTTGCTTTCAACTTATTGTCGGCTTGTTTCTCGGCCGCTTTGATGACAGAGACGGAAGCCTCCTGCGTTTTTGTGACCTTCATCCTAGCTTTTTTTGCCAACGACCATAGTGTGGATGATGCGGCGCGCGCACTTTCATCGAGCGAGACTTTTGCGGAACACTCATCTAGTGCCACTGTCACTACTCGTTGTTCAAAATCAATTTCTTGAATTAACGACGCGAGGGGAGAGCCCTTCGCCTGCTCCTCGCGCACGTAATCTTGTACTTCATCCCACCGCAAGCCCGACTGTAGCGCATTGTTCAGCACCTGCACGACGGCGTCGATCTGGTCCGCTCGTTCTTCTAACAACGATGCAGTTCTCTCTTTCAGTGCTAGGGAAGCTTCTAGATCGTCAACGCGCTGTTTCTGATCGATGCGGATCTTCTCGACCTTCGCGGTAATAGCATGGGTAGCATCTTTAGCTTTCGATTGTAACTTCGTTTCCTTCGTTTCCCGGAAGTATTCATCTACCGCTTCGCAGAACGACGAAAATTCTCGCACGTCGTAGGCCTCGTGCTGCAAAAACACGCCGGGTGCGAACGAGACGAATTTGTCGTTTTCTAACAGTAGACGAGGTTTGCCACAAGTGCCTGTGGTGATGGCGTCGGCCAAGGATGGCGCGGCTCGTAAGGACGCGTGGAGTTTGTGGACGTAGTCCTCGGGCTGCTCGGCTAGTGGTAACGAGCCGTCGAGACCCGACGCTACGATACAGTGGTCCACCACATCACTGCCGTAGGCGTCGACGCCACTACCTCTATCCAACAAAAGCTGGGCGAGGGTCCAGGCGCCTCTTCTTTTTTTCTTCTTCTTCGTTTGTTGCGCGAGCGCCGCGGCCTCGCTCCGCTGGACGCGCGTGCGTAAAGCTTCTTCCAAGAACTTTTGTAGTCCATCAGCAGGCAGTAATTCTGAAGGCGGCGCCACGGCCCGCACCGCAACAGTATATGAGTCGCCGACTTTGAGGCTGTCGGTGCGTAGCGCGGCGACCACGACATACGACGCATCACACAAAACGACGTTGCCCGCGGCGTACAGCTCGAGGAATAAGTTGAACGTGCCGGGCCCGGCGCCGAAGCGCAGGGAAACGACTCGATCTCTACCAAGCGCTTTCACGTCGGTCAGACGCTTGCCTTTTAACGATGAACGCAATTTCGAACATAGGGGCGACGGCATAGCTTGTGGATCTTCGCGCGCATCGAATTTGGTGACGAGGAACTTCGTGCCCGATTCTAGGAGTAACAAGCGTTTTTCTGGAATTCCAGACTGCTGCAGCTTCAGGACGAACGTCCGGGCGTCCCCATCATAAATTTGGTTGACGCGCCAGTCGCCGCACCTTTCTCGCACTTCTCTTGCCATGGCGGCGACGTCGCTCACGGTGAAGCGGGCCTTGGGCATCGTTTCTTTTGCTCGCCTGGCTCTCTCAGTTGCTCCTTGCTGCCTTGCTGTGTGGCGAGTGCTTACAGCGGCTCAGCGGTCGCTGCGTGCTGCTGGCTGCTGGCGCAGTGATCGCTGAGCACTTGCGCGCTTCTCGTTCTAGCTCTACGCGGCGTGTACGTCGTGGCGTCGAGCGCTCGGTCTCGTCTGCTGCTGTATGCTAGTGTCTTACAGCCGCTAGCCCAGTGGTTTCATCGACTGGCTTTCGCGCTCAGTCGGCACGCCGGCGCGGTTCAAGGCGACTCAGAGGGACACCCATAACCGCCGCCTCCGACCTGTACGGTTCCCGTCGCGCCGCTCACACTATTTTACTCTTATAAAAAGACTAAATATTGGACCTGTGACCCAAAACGCCACGGCCGCGCGAGAGCGATGGCGCGGCGCCTCCTCCGCCTCGCCGCAATCGCCGCCGCCACGGCCCAACAACAAACGCAGACGACGACGACCTTCCAGCAGGGCGCGAAAAAAGAATGGACCTTCGGCGACAATCAATACAAGAAGGTAAGAGACGCCGTGAAACCGAGAACGGGCGGCGGCATGGAGGACGAGCGCTGGAAGCTCGACGATCGTTCCGAGTGCTACTCCGGCACGGACGAGTACATGCTCCGCTCGGTGTTCTGCGACGCCGAGTGCCTCTCGGACAACAAAAATGATCCGAGCTGCGCGGGGCCCTGGTACTGCGCGCGCACGAAGGTCTGCGAGGAGTTCCACGACCCCGACAACCGCGATAACGTCGATCCAGAAAATAGAAAATGTGCGATTATTCGCAGCTGCGCGAACCACAGCCAGTGCTACCCGACGGCGGCGGAGCAGAAGGCCATGGGCATCTCTACCGTTAACGCGGACCTGTCCAATTTGGACGACACGCCCTTCAAATACGAGATCGCGGGCTTCACGGTCGAGACGACGTGCTGCGTGAACAAGAAGGCGTACAAGCACGACGTGGACATCCCCTGCAACGCGGCGGCGCGGCGCGGGGTCGCGGGAGCGGCCCTCGTCGCTCTTCTGGGGGTTGCTATTGTGTAAACAGTCTTTCTTACACGTCCATCGCCCCCACGGCCTCCCGGAGAGGCTCGACGTCGCGGGCGCCAAGCGCCGCTCGCGCGAGTTGCAAATCGCGCACAATGTCTTCTGTGGTCGGGTGCGAAGGTCCGAGCACGCGCCGCGCAATCCGTGCGGTGTCCTCGAGCGTCGTCACGGCCTCGCGGAGATCGTCGAGCGTGGCGCCGTCGGCTTTGTAGAGCGCCTCTGCGGAAAGCCATCTCATCCTGAGCGTGAGTTCCTTACCCTCGCCGAAAACGCGCCGGGCTATGGGTATCGTTTTGCGAAACAGTGCCTTGGCTTCTTCGAAGCGCTCAAGCTGAACAAGACCCCACGCGTAGTTGCTGGCTGCATTGAGGGTATGTTGATGTTCATCACCTTGGAGCTTCAAATATCCATAGTATACGTCCCGTTTCGCTTGCAGGGCCTCGGGTCGTCCAAGCGCTTCATACGCAATCGCAAGATTGCTCATCACGGAGAGAGTGTTATATTCTGGTGCGTCAGCGCGCCGCAGCATAGCCAACTCGGCCTCTCTCACAGTCAACGCTTCCTCGTTATAGTCTGCTGCGGATAAACCGTTCCCAAGCACGCTCATCGCCACGAGCCGGTGAGCGTCTGTCTCCGGCCGCCCCACGTAGGTCTTCCAGCAGGCCCACCCGAGAGCGCACAGCACGACGCCGTGGTGCCGTTGCTCGCACAGACCGCACGTGTGCCACCGCGCAAATCTCTCATTCAACGCCTTGTGGCCCAAATTGTTCTCCTCGGCCTCCGCAACCAAGATCTTCGCCTGCTCCGCCAGACACGACACGTGCGCGAAGCCCGCCGTCCCGCGGCAAGAGCACCCGCGCACGAGGCCTTCCTTCGTTTTCCAATGCAAGGCTTGCGTGCAGATGTAGCACGTCTGCCCCTTGGTGTCCTCCGCGCACGCCTCCGCCGCGACCGATACAGCCTCCGCGTACTTGTTATTTGCGTTGTATTGCTCCGCGCCGCCAGCCTTTTTTATTGGTTTGCAGAGCTGGTCGTGCCCGCCCTCTTTCCAGTGCTGCACCTGGCAGGCTGCCCCGCAGTAGCGCGTGCTGCAGCGACCGCATTTCTTGCCCAAGGTCAAGCCAAGCTCGGTGGCGCAGACGGCGCATTGCGTGAGGATCATCTCGTTGTCGCGGCGGCCGCGTGGGGCAGCCCTAGCAGCTACGCTTTTTGGCTGCGGATGGACTAGCTAGCGGCCATAAAGACACTAGCAAATTTGCAGCTTTCGGCTCCGGTTGCTTCGCTTGTCTTTGTGAGGCCTGCAGAGGCTGCCAGACGGCCAGAAAATTCAAGCGCGGCGCCGCGGAGCACACTAGCCTGTCCTCCGTCCTCTGCGGCACAGCGACGCGCGCCCCCGCCGCAGCTAGTCCGCTACCCAAGCGGGCGTTGGCGGGAGGCAGGACAGCGAGCCGAAGGCGACCCTTTGGGCGCTGAAGGCTGGGGACCCCTAGTTTCGGCGGCGGCAGAGGCTAGGCCAAAAGCGCGCGAGGAGCGAGGAGCGCGGCGCAATCATGTCGGACAGCGACGAGCAGGTGTGCCCGCTGTGCTGCGAGGAGCTGGACATCTCGGACCAGAACTTCCTGCCGTGCAAATGTGGCTACCAGGCGAGACGCGGCGTCCGACGAGAAAACAGCTGGCGAACTAATTTGTGTTCGGGTCGCCGCGCGCGCGCGCGACGCGGCCGGCACGAGCAGCGCGACGCCCGGCGCGCCCCGGGCCGGGCTCCGGGGCTGCTGAGAGCGCCCCCGGACGCGCCGAGGCTGTCGTCGACGCGACCGCGAGAGAGCGCGAGAGAGCACCGCCCAACGCTGACAAACTCACCACGCGACACGCAGGTCTGCATGTGGTGCTGGCACCACATCAAGGAGAATTTGAATAATCTCTGCCCGGCTTGTAGGAATCCGTACCACGACAACCCGCACGCCTTCAGTGCCGTAGAAAAGGAAGAAATCATGCGGAACAAGCGCGAGATGAAGCTGCGCGAGAAGGAGAAGAAGGAAAGAAACAAGGAGAAGCGCGAGGCCATCGTCGCGGCGACGGGCGTCCAGCGCATTCCGCTGCCGTCGGAGCATCCTCTGACGCTGCGCCGGAACCGGGCCGGGAGCGATAGTGAGAACGCGCCGAATCGCCAGCAGCGCCGGGCCGAGGCTAAACGCAATGCGGAGCTCTTGGAGGAGCAGCAGCGGCAGCAGGCCATTGCGGCGTCGCTGCGGGACCAGGAGCAGCAGAAGCGGCCGGAGGGCCGGCCGCCGCGCGCTCCTACCCAGTCCTACGGGTACGGGTCTTCGACAGACAACCTCCAGTCTCTCGGCGGCGAGTACGGCTTCGGCAGAGGGGGCTCGACGGGTCTAGATTCGCTGTTGGGCGGGACGCGCCAGCCGGCGCCGGCGCCGCCGCCACCTCCCCAACAGTCGAGGCAGCCGCCGTTAGATGTGGCTGGTTTGTGGAACGCGCCGGCGCCGGCGCCGCCATCGAACGGCCACCGCCCCGCGTTTCGGCTGGACGCGTCGCCCGTCGCCGGCGCCGGCTTCTTCGACTCCGGGAGCATCTGGTCTACCAATTATTCCGCGGCGGGCGACGGCTGGGGCGCGCCGGCGCCCTCGGCGCCTTCTGGTTCCAATGGTTTTGGCGGCGGCGGCCTCTACGCGCCGGCGCCCGAGTCGTCGGACGCCTATGCTGCCGATTCGTTGGCGGCGGACACGGCAGCTCTCAACTTGCTGTCCGTGGGGTATGGCGATGCTGATAGACGCCGCTATGCCCCTAGGCAGCAGGGCTACGGCGGCTACTAGACTGCGCTCGCCCTCGAGCGCGGCGACACTTTTCTGGGGGGCTCCTGTGAGCCTGGAAAAACGGCCTCGCTACAAAACGGCGCATGTGACATACGTGCCGAGCGAACGCCGGTCGCCGCCGCCCGGGCGGGGCCCACGCGGTCACCTATAAATACGATTCATCTCTTCTAGTCTTGGTGTGTTGTCGCGGCGATGGCGTGATCCTAGACGGTGCGCGAGAGAACGAGTACCACTGGCACAAACTTGAAAAGTTACACTTGAGAATCCAATAAACCCGGGTCCAGGAAGCATAGATACAGCGCGACCTCGCGCTGCATCGCGTAGGAAAAGGGCCGGACCTCACCTAATACTTGAGACCGCGGCCCGAGAATCCGGCCCGAGCGGTCGACTTCACACAGCGTCGACCCTTCCAATGATACTAAACGACAGCCGTCCAAATGTAATGTACAAATATGCGTATCCTGGCCATCGAGCGCGTTCAACGCCGAACCGGTGGCGTCGGGCTCGAGCTCGCCCAAAAACTCCTCGGAAGCCGACCCCGCTTGCGTCTCCGTGAGATAACCTAGGATCATGCCCCTATTGTTCGTGACACACCCATCCTTCGCACAAGAAGATCGATAATCGTCGTCGCGCCCGTAGACGGCCCATTGGCAGTCCATGGGCGCCTCACTTACATAAACGCCAGACCCCTTCTTCACGTCGCCCGGTGGCGGCGGCGACGTCTGGTAGCGCACGGAGCCGGGCGTCGTCGAGTCCGGCGACAGTGCTGGTGGAGGCGGCGCCAGTGATCTCTCATCGTCGTCGACGCACCTCAGGTAGGCTTTCCTCTGCTCGTCGGGTACTAAGTCTGCAATAGATAAAGGCGTCCACTCGAGATGTAAGTCTGCGTCTAACTCTTCAGACGTGATTGATTGCTTTCGAAGGGTCGCTTTGAACAGGCCGTGCGCATCTACGACAGCATGGACCGGCCCTCTCGCGGAGGCAAAGACGTGTCCATCTTCGAAGATTTCGAGCGACAGGCGCCACTCCTTTTCCAGTGAAACACCATCCACAATGGGTTTACCCTCGAAGAGCCGTCGCCCATCCTTACATTTGACTTGTGTGATAACAAGATCCAGCCGTTTGAACTCGAAGCCCAGGCCGTCGCCCCGAGCCTTCGCGAAGGCCTCCTTCCCGCTCCACAGCAACCTGAATCTTTCAGCTCTATCTTCAGTATTTAACCAGGCCCACTCCCGTGCTGTCAACATATCTTTCATGGCCTCGAGGTCGTGCTCGCCGCCGCCCTTCCGTTCCGAATCAGGGGCGCACACATCGACACCTACTACTGTACGAGGCTCCGCACATACGACGACATGCCTCCCGTCGTGGCTCACGTTGAAATTGAAGTTCGGCTTCTCATCTGAACCCCCTTGTAACAAGAACGGCTTCTTGCCCTTGGTCCGTCCGACCTCGACAGTCGCGTCCTCGAGCCCTAAACACACGGCGCACACTCTACGCGCACATAACCTTGATACTAACGCCTTGTACCGGTCGGACGCGTGGTGGAACCTCCCTATTCTTTCTTTCTCTGACGGCTCGGGAATCAGATCCATCAGGAACGCCCACTCCCTACCTTGCTCGCCGCGCACGGGCCGCCAGTCGGAAACATCCAACCGCCAGCGCGCTCGTCCCGTCCGTCGGCAGATACTTTTCCAGGAGACAGGTCTCACACATCTTCTGGAAACAAAGCCCTCGTCCCTTCCTACCCGCCAGCGCACCCGCCTCACGTGCTTGGAAAGCTTCCCTAAGTCGCCCTCCAGCAGCAGATTTCTTGCTCCTCTTGGGACAGCGGCTAACTCCGGGCTGTCGAGCTCCGGTGTTTTTCTCACGATGGCGACGTGCGTGCAGACCTCATACACGTCGTCGTCGTCGCAGGCGTCTTCCAAGGAAGCGCTGCTGAGCTGCTGGGTTACGTGTGCTGCCATTTTGCCAATGCAGCAGCACAGTGGTGCGCTATCGCCGGCTGTCGGCGAGAGCAGGCGATGCAGCCGTAATGAGCAACTGTCTGCGAGCGCACCGACGTGCACAGAGCTCCCGATGGGCCGACGTAAGGATTTGAAACTTGCGTCCTCTCCCTGGCTAGTGCCTCACTCCGCTAGGCCCCGTCCAAGCAAGCATCCACGCGCAACGTTGCACGCATGCCCTCGAGGCATCGCACGATTACCGTGCCGCACCGAGACTGCAGCGCGCTTGACGAAGGTCTGCAGAATCACAGACCTGTTGTCATCTGCGCTGCGCGCAAGCACGGTGACAGACGCGAAAAGGGCTTCGCGAACACGGTACCATGTATTATTTCGAACACGTTGGCCCGTGAACGGCAGCCCCGGTCGGCGGTATGACGATCCACATCAGGGCAGCGCTCTGCCTGGCAGTGGCCGCGGCGCACAACGCCACGGCCGTCCACCACGCGGCCTCCCGCGGCGGCCGGAGCCGCGCCACGACCTCTTTACTGGTCGTCCTGGCCATCGTCTGCTGCGCCGTCGCGGCGTGCCTGAAATCGAAGCGGACGACGCTCGCCGAGCCCGAGGAGAAGCCGATAGAAGTAGACGCTGTCCTCGACGAGGAGTCGAAGGAGGGCCCAGAAGACGAGCTCTCGGCGTCGCGCCACGCCAAGCCCGTGGCGCCCGTGGAGGCCGTGCCCGAGGACACGAGGGTCCGCGCCGTGAGCTTCGACATCGAGCAACCAGTGGTGAGCCCTCTGACGGAGTCGCGCGCTTCCGCCTCGAAGTGGAGCCTGGCGAAGCCCTCCACCTGATTTTGTGTTGTGTTCGCGCCCCAGGCGCAACATCGTGTCGCACGGAGCCGACGCTCCGCGCTAAGTAAACTACCTGCTTGTTACTAGATACTTATTTGGCAGAGTCCTGGCCCGTGCCGATGCAGACGTCGATGATCGACGTGTTGTCGACGTCCTTCTTCACCAGGGACCCTTTCTTCGGGATCGACGCGTCCAATCTCAATAGAGTGGACCGCGTGCCCATGGCGTGTTGCGCCGTACCAGCCTTCGCTCCTTTATAGCCAATAAAGGCCCAGGCCGCCCGGTACTCGATCTTGGGCATGTCCTTGGGCGCGCCGAGCTTGTAGAGCGCATTATACAAACCTTGGCCCAACGGCCGCGACGCGGCGCAGGCCGTATCAGCAATACCGAGTAACACGGGCGTGCCGTCCTTCATCTTCTCGACTTGCTTCTGGAACTCGGCGGTGGCTTTTTCTCTCTTATTATAGAAGTCCAACCGCTTGTGCGAAACTAACGCGAGCTTGCCATCAACAAATTTGAGCTCCGCGCACCAAATGCCCACACTGTTCGGGGTGAGTTGCAACGTCTCCACACCATTAATACCGTGGAACGCCATCCAGCCGCCGCCCCGGTCCGCCTGCCTGCCATAGCACTCAACCGCCACATCATGCAGCTTGAGCGTCGAGGCCGGCGCGCTTTTCTGCGCGCGCTTCTTGAGCTCGGCCTTGAACTTGGCGTTGTGTTCCTCCGTCAAGTAACTACGCTCAATCCGAAACCGAGCGAAGAATTCCAGATCCTTTCGATCCGACCGCGCCGCCGTGAAGCCTAAGCTTTGTAAGTTCTTCGCGATTGGAGCTTCGAGCTTGTTGTACTGCTCGTGGGCGAAGGCTATAAATGAAATCCTTTCACCTTTGAAGGGCGTCGTGTAGTGCTCGGTATTCCCGTCGAACAATTTCCACTGGTCGTGGCACTCGATGATACCTTGGTCCGCCGTCCAGAGGTTGCCGCCCGTGTGTTTCCCTAGCGAGATGATGTAGGACGGTCCTATATTATTCCCATCAACATGTTTCTTGGCCTGCGCGTGTCAACGGTGGACGCCATCGACGCGACGGTAAGATACGCGGCATCGCACCGCATAATTATAATTGACCTGCAGCGACGAGAAGGGGAACTCCGCGCCCTTCTTCGTCTTCGGGAGCGTCGCCCGGCACCACTTGACCAGAAATTTCGTCATCTGGGGATGATTGGTCGAGATCAGCGACGTGCGAGCACCTTGCCCTAGAGCGAACACCAACCCGGCGCACATGCCCGGCACCGGTCTTCCGGTGTCCGTCACGTTCGGCCGGGCCTGCGTCGGCCATTTCCCATTGAGCAATTTCAACATCTCGACGACCTCACTTCCCGAAGGCGCGTCATCCTTCTTGTGCTTGCTCAACCAGTTCTGGGCATAAGCCTCAACCTTCTTGAGGCCCGTGCGCACCTCGGCCGCACAGCTCGCGTCGCCCGGCGCGTTCGCGAGCGCTGCCGCGTTGGGCGGGTCCTTCTTCGTCTTCTTTGACGGTTTTTCATCATCAGTGGGTGGGGCGCGCTTGGGCGCGGGCTTCTTCGTGGCTTTCTTCTTCGATGGGGGTGATTTGTGCTTGGTGACGAGGCACTTGGCGGCCTCGGCCAGTGTTAAAGTCGTGGGTTCCTCGGGCTCGGCGCAGCGCCACCGCACGAGGCACGTATCACCATCAATGGATTCGACGGTGCCCTGATAAACACCGTAGCCCGGGAACTTCTTCTCTACTTCTGAACCGACGGTGATCTCGGCCATGGCGTTTCGCTGCGGGTGGATCGAGGCTGTTGCTCGTGCTGAGCGCCGCGCGGAGCGGATTTTTTTGCTGGAGTGCTGGGTGGCAGTCTCAGCTACTGGTCTACAGCGTGAGCGCGTCTGAAATGCACCCGTGAGCCGCTTTCTCTCTCGAGCGCGCGGAGAGCATATAATCCGCTAGCGGCCTGTAAGACACTAGCCACTTCCCGGGATGCGTCCGTTAGGCATCATTCTGCTGTGCATCAGGAGGAGTCCTACGTGGCGGCAGAGCTCGGTGGTCACGCGCAAAACCCGAACTCGTTTGCAAGAGGCCACTTTGTTTGTGGTGGCATTCCTCGCTGTGCAGTGCATAGGTGAGCTAACGCGTGTCTCGTAATCGACGCGCGCACCGCCAAAGAGAGGGCAGCCACCACGCCGTCGCCGCGCGCATCAAAAGCGCAGCGCCAGACCCCATTCCCCACAGGCAAAGCTGTCGCCTCCGCAGTCGTCGTGACGAGACTGAGGCGCCGCGCCGGCGTCCACGACCGCTCTGGTCTAATGGGAGGACTCGTGGCTTTAGCCCGCGCAGTGGGGGTTCGATTCCCTCGGGCGGTTTACGCGACGCGGCGCCGCGCGCAGGTACCACGTCAACGATGGTCGCCGAGGCCTGGTGCGGCCACCTATGTCGAGTCAAGGCGAACCAGGGCGCCGTCGTCCGCGCGGGCCGCGCCCTCGACTCTGAGTTAATAGGAGAGTTGCCGACGGGCGCCGAGGTGCGGGTGTGGGAGTCGGGCTTCCACCTGAAGGGCGACGGGACCAAAATAGGCCGCTGCCGCGTCACGGAGCCGCTCAATGGTTGGTTGAGTGCGAAGTGCGTCGAGGTCCTGCCCCAGGGCGTGAGAGGCGGCCCGGTCCCGCGCTGCGACGACTACGAGGCCTGCTTCGAGCCCGCCGAGCCTCAGAGAGCGGTGAAGAAGGACGACGGCCCGCCCAAGACCTACGTGCCCGCCTCCATAAAATGCGTCGTGCTGAACGTGCCCGAGGAAGAACGGAACGGCATCACGAACTTCAAGGTCGGCTGGGCCCACGGCCAGACGACCGTCGTCACGGACAAGGAGTCGCGCGCGAACACGGAGCTCTACCAGTGGACCAAGGGCAAGGACGGCGGGCCGCCGGAGTTGTCCGCGCGGCTCTCGTTCCACGGCTTCGCCTCGCGCGCGCTGCCGCCGGGCAAGACCATGAAGGGCTAGTCTGTTTCCTCCCTCCCCCCGCCTAAGACGCGTCCCGTGTGCAGTTTCACAACAAATACTTACGCCAGCGCCTCGAGGCTCCCCAACCGGTCGGCCGGCGCTTTCCGCGCTTGGACGACGACCATGGGATCGCGCTGGCCCACCCAGCCGTCGGGCGACACGTCCACCACCGATATATCATCATCATCGAAGCCCGCATAATGATAATAAGAAGCGATGATGCGCGCGTGCGACGGCTCCGTGAAGGGCCGCGTCCAGCACGGGACTACTTTCGAGGGAAAACATCTATTTGTAAACGCCATCGCCGCGAGGCCGCCCGGCTTGAGCACGCGCCTGATTTCTTTGAACACCTCGAGGGGGCTCGTGAGGTAGTCCGCCGACAGGCTGTTCGTGACGACGTCGAAGCTATTATCATCATAAGGTAAAGTCGGGTCCTTGTTGAGGTTCCGCACGGTCCATTCGGTCTTCGCGGGGTTCGCGAGGAGCTCCAACGCATTCAACCCGAGCGCGGCGCAGCGCTTCGCTTTGTAGTTTTTGGGGTAGTGCGACGTCCAGGAGCTGCACAAATCCAGCACATCACCATTATCCGGCAGGACGCAGCCGTAGTACTTTGTCAGTGACTCCCTGCATTCCGCTCCCGCATGCTGCACGAATTTCGGGATGAGATAAAAGAGCTGGTCGTCGCTCGGGTCCTGCGGCGTTAAATCCCGAGCGTCGAAGGGCCACCTGTCGGGGTAGGTCTGGTCCTCTAATGCTCGGGACGTGGGTGATACTTTTGCATGTGGGATGTCGATGCCTCCGACCACTAGTGCGGTCGCCGCGGGCACGAATGCGATCAATGCGACGACGAGGAGAGGCTGCAGGTGGGAGGGCATGGTCAGGTTTCAGGTTGTCACGGGTGCAATCGCTAGCGCTGGATCTCGCTGCGCCGAAGCGTCTTCGGCTGCACTACTGCTCGGTAGTTGGTGCTGTCCAGTCAGTCACGTACAACGCTGAGCAGCCGCTCGTGTGGCAGCTTGCTAGTGTCTTTACGTTCCGCTAGCGGGCCAGAGGCCTTCACCGTAACAAAAATACACTAGTGCAAGAGAGTCCTTTTTATAGTTTTCTTTGCACTTACTTCTTGGGGAATGGGGGGCGAGGCGTGGGGGCGAGCCACGCTACAGCGTGCGCGCTCCTCTTACAAAATCTGCGCGTGCGCCCACGAGATTATGGTGTGACGAGACCGGTCGGCCGCGTCCAGCTCGTCTGGCCCGTGCTACTGTAGTAGTAGGTGCGGCCCAGCGCGTCGGTGGCGGCCCGCCACTGCATTTGTGGCGTCGTCGCGGATAATCCCGACCTGCCACGCATTTGTGACGTGCATTTGTGCGTCGTCGCGGATGCAAGGCGTGCCCGGCGAGCCCGCATCATCATGAGTTCCGGAAATCTGTTCCTGATGTTCTGCGCCGATACGTTCGTCGAGGGAAACAAGTGACTTTCTCCTTTCGGGCCGAGTGGGCCCTCCGCAATTCGTTGCGCCATGGCCTGTAAGGCGATGCCGTGGAAGAAATGATTGTCGTCCGAGTTAGCTCCGAGGTGCGAAAACAGCGCCTTGTCCGACAGAAACTTGTTTTTTGTCTTACGGCAGCAGTCCTTACACTCCTGGCGGAGTGCATCGGCGCCGGCCTGGTCGCCGGCCGCTTCCGCCTCTTTCGCTATCTTCTCGTAGAGCGGCAACCGGTACGAGAGTGGGCACGCCTTGGCGGGAAACTCGTTTGCCAACACCGCCTTGTGCACGAGAGCTGCAGCAGTTGTGCTGGGGGTAGCCGTGGGCTGGCGCGGCGGCGGCGACGCCGGCCGCACCACCGGCGACCGCGACTGCGATCGCGACCGCGATCGCGACCGTGATCGCGAGCGCGAGCGCGAGCGCTCCCGGTCGTAGCCTCGGGTCCGACGCTCGCAGTAGCTGTCTTCATCGCGCCTCGTGCATCCGTCGTCCCGCGAGTCGTAGCCATGCACGTCACGCCAGTAATTTTGGTCGCAGGCGTTGTAGGCGTTGTGATAGCGCTTTGTGCCGCCGTCGCCGCAGCCGAATTTTTTAGCAGGGGCTGCCCCGTGCACGGTGCCGTCGTTGCGGTGGTTCGTAACGTCGCAGAAGGCCATTGCGTTGAGTGCAGTTGCTATTCAATGCCACAAAAGCTGCCAATTCAATTTTTGGCGCGGGGTCAGAACCCGCACAGCTGAGACCACTACAACGCCCACAGCCCATGAGTCCTTCTATACACCTTCCAACAAGTAACGACGACGACGCCTGCAAGCGCGCGGGTCGAGTTAAATCATGCGCGCCAGAGAGGCGCTTTGGGGCAGCCTAAATAGCATGTACAAGATGCGGTCACGGACCAAGGAACAACAGGAGGAAGACGGTCTCTTCTACGACGCCCCGGACGAGGAGGCGGCACCGCTGCCGCCGCCGCGCTACCACTACCTGAAGAGAGTAGGGGCTGCCCTCATGTTGGCAGTGATGGTCTTCGCATGCACCCGTCGCGACGCCGACGAGGAACCACCTCCACCACCACGCATCGCGACCCCAACGCTTGACACGAATTTACCCCACCCGCACGAGTGGGCGCCTCCGCAAAAGCGCCTCGTCCACTACATCGACCTGACGCGGCCGCCGACGCCGCACCAGCAGATGCGGTTAATATCGAGGAATAAACCAGTTACCGCGAGTGTGCGAGGTAATCTGGGCGAGGCCTCGGTCGTCACGAACGGTCTCAAAAACGACTGGCTGAAGGATCGATGGCAAGCGGCCAAAAACATGCAGGGCGCGCCCATCCCCGGCGCCCACTGGCTTTTGGTGGATCTCGAAGCGACATGCGTCGTCGAGCGCATCGACGTCGAGTTCGAGTCGGCGTTCGCACGCGATTACACTCTCAAAGGGCGGAGTAAAACCGGCGCCTGGGTCAGCCTGGCCGTCGGCGCTTCTGCTGTCGAGTCGCGACCCGCGAAGCAGCGCATTTTGCATCGTCTTTCTTCGAACTCGATGGCGCCGGTCGACCAGATCAAATTAGACATCGCGCGGCCGGGGACGCGGTGGGGGACGAGCGTGTGGGAGCTGGATATTTTTGGGACGTGTGCGGGGTAAGTAGTTGTTTTATGAGATGTGACGACCATACACCTACCATACCATACCATACCATATATAGACCTGCTTTACAGGCCTGCCAGTGGTTATAGGATTGCGCGGCGAATATCAGCAATTCACTCACCGCAATGGCGTATGAGCTGTATTATTGGGGCGCGTGTGGAGAATTCTATGGGAGAGCCCTAAGCCCTTTGCTCATTTTTGAGGAGAGTGGTCCGAGCCCGCGCCTACGATACGCCATCGACGCGGCTTCGGGCTTGTTAATGTCGCGTCGATGGCGTGGATTTGTCGCAACCGTGGCGCGCGGCTCCAGTCGCGACCGCGCCGACGGCGCCGTGACTCCGTCGGCCCGTCGCCGGCTGAGGGCCTGAGGCCCGGACGGCTCACCACGCCGTCACCGCGCAGGCACAAAATACGTGATCAAGGACCAGTCCCACAAGCCCGAGGGCATCTTCGCGCTCCCGGCCATAAAGACGCCGTCGGGCGTCGTCGTGAGCCAGACGCCCGCCATTTGTCACGTGCTCGGCCACGAGCTCGGGTTGGCCCCGGCCGACGCCGCCGCCGACGCGAAGGCGCTCCAGATTTGTTGCGACGCCGTGGATTTTATCACCGAGGCCACGAAGCCCGACTTCGGGAGCGACCGCAAGCAGAAGTGGCTCACGCATTTTGCCGCGGTGACGTCGGCCGACGCGCCCGTCAACTACAGCGACTTCTTATTATTCACGGCCCTCGAGCTCGCGATCTCGTCCTTCACGGCGGCCGTCGACGAGAGCGAGCTGCCGGACGGCCTCGGCGCGTGGTGGAACAAAATGCTGAAAACGAAGGCCGTGGCCGCCCTGAAGGGCAAGGGCAAGAAGCTCATGCCCGGCGAGCACAACAAGGCCTGGTAGACTAAGTATCTATAGATAAACTTAAAAGAGGCCGAACAGCTTCTTCTTCTCGCCCGGGTCGACGAGCCGCCCCTCGCACCCGTCCTCGGCCGAGAGCCAGAGCTGGTTCGTGTTATCCAAATGCAGGTAGAAGCGGTGGTTCAGCGTGAAGGAATTCGGCCCGTAGCGCTCCCGAAACCCCGCGACGCCTTCGTCCTCTAACCTTTTCCCGTCGCGCCAGACGCGCGACGAGTCGTGGCCCCAGCCGTCGTAGCCGTCGCGCTCGCCCGCGACCCAGCCGTCCTTGTCCTCGACGGCGGACAGCTGCAGCACAAAATTCATGCCACCCGCGGCGTTCGGCACTTTGCGGACCTCGCGGCCGTGGAAGAACGTCGCGTCGTCGGCGAAGTTGGATTTATCATACCCTGGCACCTGCGCCATGCGCCGCGTCGACGCGTCGTGGATCACGACGTTCGGCGCGTCCGGGCCTTTGAGTTTGTCGACCAGAGCGTCGGTGAGCACGAGCTGGAACATCATGCCGCCGCAAAAGTCGAAGACCGCCTTCTTCTCGTGCAGGTCGACGAGGTACCGCGCCGCGTTGCCGGCGTAGTCGCGGTCGCGGCAGGTGGGGTTCTCGAGAGCTACATCAGTCATCTCGGCACTGGTCGCGGCGGCGGCGCGTTGCGAGAGCGGCGCGGCGACGCCCAGAGCTGGAGCCTGGAAGGCGCGGCCGGCAGCACCCAGCAGAGCGATGGCGCGGAGCATTTATGAATGGCGCAGCCGCTCGTGCAGCAGCAGGGGTGTATGGAGGCTCTCCTGCCGTCACGACAGCGTACTCTAGCCGCTCACAACAGCCGCCACGCTGGTGAAAAGCCGTCTGAGAGCGTGCTAGTGTCTTACAGACCGCTAGCTAATTCCGGGGAGCGCGCTTTGGCTTTGCCTTGTGTACAGCGTGGGCCTTCCTGGACCACGGCACGCAAGCAGCAGTCAGCACAGCTTCAGCCGCAGCCATGGAGGAAGCCAAAAAGGACGACGAGGTGACCATCGCAGATCTCAAAGAAGTGATCGATGGCCAGTCGCACCGCATCGACGCCTTGACAAGTTTAGTAAGAGCGCAGCAGGTCACGATGGACCGTTTGCTGCGCGCCGTCGAGAAGGGCGCCGCCATACCATCAACAGCCGCGCTCCCACCGCCCGCGCCCCAAGCCTACGCCGCCGCGAGCCCCACCAGACAGGCCTACGCGCCCTCCACGAGCTCGCGCACGGGCCCGACGGGCTACGGCGCCCAGCCCGCGGCGTACGGCCCCGGGTCGGCGAGCGACCCGAGCGCCGCGCGCGCGCGGGAGCACGCCCAGCGTTTAGAAGCGGAGCGCCAGCGCGGCGAGGCGGCGAGACGAGCCCACGCCGAGCGTTTGGCCCAAGAGCAGCGCGAGCGCGAGGCTCGCGCGCAACGGGAACGGGAGCGCCAGGACCAACTAAGAAGGGAGGCCGAGGCGCGCGCCGAGGCGCAGCGCAAGGAACGCGAGGCCCTCGCGGCCAAGCGCGCGGAAGAGGCGCGCCTGAAGAAGGAGGCCGAGGAGGCCGAGCGGCGCAAAATTGAAGCGGCAAAAAAGGCCCAGCAGGCCAAGCTCGCGGCGTCGCGGTCCAAGGTCCTCGGCGATTTGGTAGGCTCGGACGACGAGGGCGAGAACTCGCTCTTCGGGAGCTCGCCGAAGGCGCCCGCGTCGACGTCGTCGCTGTTCGACTAAGTATCTAGGTACACAGTGTTACGCCGCCTCGCGGAGCCGCGCGACGAGGTCCGCCTTCTTGCCCCCGACCTTGAGGCCCCGCTCCTTGAGCAGCGCCTTGAGCTCGGGCACCTTCATCGCGTCGTAGTCGGTCGTGGCGACGGGCACCGCAGGAGGCGCGTCGTCGCCGCCGATGCCCAGGATAGACAATAACTCGGCGTCGTCCTCATCGCCCAGATCATCTTCATCAGATCCAAGAAACGACGCGAAGGACTCATCCTCGTCCTCCTCGAAGTCTTCACTATCATCGGACAACAAAGATCGCAGCAAGTCGTCGTCCGACGCCGCCTCGGCCTTCCTCGATTTCTCCTTCTTCGGCTTCTCGTCGTCGCCCATGGACGCAAACAAGGAGTCGAAGAAGGCGTCATCGGCTTCCGACGGCTGGCCCAGCAACGCATCATCCGGATCATCTTCTGCAGTGGTATACTCATCTTCGTCCAGGTCTCTATCCACTGCACTTCCAAAGCCTAGCGCGCCTTCCCGTGCCGACGCCTCGGCCATCGTGTCCCACCTGCTTCGTCGAGCCGCTCGCCCCGCGCCGTCGTCGACATCATAGACATCTTGCTCCTTCCTGTCCGCACGGCGCTGTCGCCGCGACGCGAGGCCGGCGTCCCCTCTCCCATAGTCCGCCTCGCCCGATCTCCGAGCTTCTCTCTCCGCAGCTTCGCGAGCAGCAGCGTCCGCCCGCGCTTGGGCCAATTCCTCGGCCTGTTCCATCTGGGCAATTTCCTCCGGTGTCAACAATCTCACTTGGTCGGGGTCCAGAGGGACGTCGAAGGCCGACGTGCCGCCCGTCAATCGAATGATCAATTGGTCGTTCTTCACTGAACGAATCAACCCTCGTTCTCCGGTGAGGTCACCTTTGACGACCGCGACAATATCCCCAAGAGCATAGTTATCTACGATCGAATCCAGACCGACGTCCTGGCCCTCCTGGTGGATCTTGAGCATGCCCTGCACTTCTCTTTCTGTCAATGGTGTGGGCGTCACGGCACCTTTATACCCTACAACAACATCTCCTATGCCGTTGCGCATGCCTTTGTCGTCGCCCACGAAATTCGCTACTTTTGGCACTTTGGTCAGCACCGCCCAGGAGTTCTGGTCCGGGCGCCACTTGACGAAGACGTAGCCTGGGTATATTATTCTATCTTTATGGTAGACCTTCTTGCCTCGCGTCGACGCGACTTTTTCGGTGGGCACGAGAATCTCATCGACTCGCGACTTGGCTTCGGCGTTCTCCGGATACGACAGTATTTCTTTGAGCGTCTCGCCGCACCACAACTCGTTGCCCACGTAGCACTGCAAAATGTACCAGTCGCTCCTGTCGCTCGTCTCGATGTCGACGGGCACGGCCCTTCGTCGTGCTATGGGTTTCGCGAGCGGCGGGATTAGAGCTGTTGTTACGCATAGCATCGCCAGCGCGGCGGCGCGCCGCATGGCTTAACGTGCGGCCGCTTGGCTGTCCTGCGGCGTGCACTTCAGCAGCTCACTGTGCGCCCGGCGGCGGCCGCGTCTTCGACTGCTGGTCGCTCAGACGCCTTCGTGAGTACTCCCTGGCGACGCCGACGAGAGCTGTGCGTTGGTGCGATACGTTTGCGGCGACAGGTGCAGGCACTCTTAAGGGCAAGCGCCGCAGGCAGCACCTCGCTCAACGCTGGCAGACGCTGCGTCGCACGAGCGGATTCGTGAGTCGGTCAGCACTCGCAGCGCTCCGTCGAAAGACGATCGAGCCAAGCGGCATCGCGCATCCGTGCCGCGACGGCGCGTGAGCGGCAGCACAGCAGGCTTGCACTGCCAGGGGGAGCGCCAGCCGCGGTAGCGACATGATCGCCGCCTTGATCACCGCGGCGGCGGCGCTGCAACCAGCACGGCTGCGACACCGCGCGCCGCACCGCATCGTTCAGAGCGCGAGCGCCACCGACGCGACGGAGCGCGAATCCTATTTGCAGTACAACGCGCACGCCTGGCGCGGCGTCTGCCGGTCCGTCGTCGTCGACGCCACTAGACGAAGAGTGGACTACGACGCGGATTTAGATGGAAAGCGCTACTCCGCGGCCGTGAAACGGCGCACGAACGGCGATCTCGAAGAACGATTCAGCTGGGACGACGACGACGCCATCGAGACGACGCTGCCGTCAAAAGACGTCGTGTGCGACTTCGACGGCTCCTACTCCTGCGACCGCGCGTCGTCATTGGTCGCTGGTACAGCCCCATCGTTCACCATCGAGACGGGTCTCGCCGTGTCGGACGAGGCGAGGATACGTATCCTAGCTTTATATGATGGCGCGACTGGTCTACTCAAACGCATCGCGTGCTTAGACGAACAGCGCGTGGGCGCGACGGAAAGCACAGGGGGCGCGGCATTAGCGGCCGAGGTCGACGACGTCTTCGCTGTAAGTGGTGAATGGGCCGGAGATGCTACTGTCCGACGGCCGGACAACAGCGCTTGTAGGGTTCTGAAGCAGGACTTCGTGTTGCGATGTGACGGCGAGCGGTTTTATCGGGGTTTGGAGATGCGGATGCCCGGGGACCTTTTTTCTACTGATGCCAAGACCGAAAGGACCTTGCTGGAGAGTTATGGGGAGGTCTCCGAGCCGGGTCTTGCTTATGATTCCGTGGTGTTTCGCGAGGACGGCGCCGTTTTATGTATCCTACCGGGCTGTTATGCCTTGTGCCCCTTCGCTCTTGACGAGGAGAAGGCGTTCTTCGTCGAGGCTGGTTGTTTTGTCGACGAGGACGACCGGCAGGGGCAGTTGCCCATCTCCGTGCGCAAGGGCATCATGATGGAGGGCGACCCGGGGACCTCTTCTAGGTTCCTGGCGCGGAGCGTGCGGCTCTACGCGCCCAAGCGGGAGCTGAAGAGCGTGACGACGTCGTACCACCAGCTCGTCGACGGGGACTAGTCCGTCTCGCGTAAAATGGACTTATCAGACTAGGGGTTCGGGTCGTCCCGGCCGCCGTCACGGTGCTCGCGTACGATAGTGTAACCCTGCGCAACCGCCGCCCGGTATTCTTCCAGACGACGCTGGCGTCGTTGTGTCATCGGGTGCAGAGCCCCAAAGATCTGCCGCGTGCGTTTATAAACGTCCTCGCGCATAGCCACGGCCGCGCGCAGATTATCGATGCCACCGAGACAAGCCAGAGTGTCTGCGAGCACCGAGCGAAGATCGAGCGTGTACTCGTTGTCGTTTCCGAACGTGTGTTGAGCGTCCGAGATTGGTCCGCGCAGCAATGATTCGGACTCTGCGTACTTCCCTAGTTTGTTGAGCGCAAGTGCCAAATTAAAGGCCGCCTGGAGCGTGCGAAAGTGGCGGTCACCGTAGAGTGACTTGACTCCAGCATAGATTTCTCGGGTGGTGGATAACGATTCCTTGTGCCGTCCGAGTTTATGATGCGTGCTCGCAAGATTGCCCTTCATGTCGAGCAAGTGGGCCTCTGGTGCACCAAAGCGCCGCAGCGTAGCCAAATTGGCCTCGAACACGGACAGCGCCTCCTCGTCCCGATTTGCAGCGTATAAGCCGTTCCCAAGCAGGTTCATCGCCATGCGGCGAATCTGGTCCGTCTCCGGCCGCCCCAAGTACGTCTTCCAGGAGGCCCACCCAAGCGCGCACCGCACGACGCCGTGGTAATCTTGTTCACACAAGCTACATTTCTGCCACCGCTTCCACCTCTCATTCCACGCATTCTTGTCCAAATTGTTCGCCTCGGCCTCCGCGAACAAAATCTTGGCCTGCTCCGCCAGACACGACACGTGGGCAAAACCCGCCGTCCCGCGACACGCACACATGCGCACGAGGCCCTCCTTTGTCTTCCAATGGAGAGCTTGCGTGCAGATGTAGCACGTCTGGCCCTTCGTGTCGTCGGCGCAGGCCTCGACCGCCTCCGCGACGGCCTCCTTGTATTTTTTGTCTGCATTATACTGTTCTGCGTTGCCGCCGCGGTGTATTTTCTTACACATCTGCTTGTGGCCGCGGCGCCAGTGGTCATGTTGGCAAGTGGCATCACAGTATCTTAGCTTACAGCGCACGCATCGCGGCGCGTCGTGGGCCAGTGGGGCGGCACAGGCGGCGCAAGTTGTGAGGATCATCTTGCGTTTTGCGGTGAGTTAAGGGCTTGCGGCGGCTTGACTCGGCTTGGAAAACCCGTTTTTTAGGAGCTTGTTCCTTTTTTTTAGGTCTTCCTTAATTTATTTATTTATTTATTTATTTATTTATTTATTATGCCTCGATACGCGGCGGCACCAGCATCGTATCATAAACACCGTCTACCATACGCTTTCGACGTATCACTACGCGTCTACAACGACGGGGAACAACCGCGCCGCGACAAAAGATAACTCGAGGATCCCTTAGAGACGGCGAGCGGGGGAGATGAGGGATATTTAAAAGGCGCCGTTCTTGCCGACCGGCGTCGACGCGATGTGCTGCTCGTCCTTGAGCATGACCGCGTGGTCCGCCTTGTTCTTCAGGTCCTGCACGTGGGCCTTGAAGTAGCGCATCGACCGCTTGCAGTCCTCGACCGTCGCGAACGAGATGTCCACGGTGCGGTCCGCGAAGATAAAACTGAAGGCGAGCTTGCAGTGCTTGGCCTGCAGCGACTTTCGTAATGTTTCCGTCCCGCAGATGAGCTTGTTCCTGGCATCGGGATCCACGTCGTGGCCGGCTCTCAATTCAAGGCACTTGTGCAGGTAGAAGCGCTCTTTACTGGAAGCGGCCTTGCCGTTCGGCATCGTCCAGTATAGGGCCGCGGCGTCCGACGTCAGCTTCAACAACCTTCTCTCTGCTTTCCCCTTGCGGTTGTGCTTGACGACGTCCAGCCCTACCGTCTGGCAATCATTGACAAATCTAGCTAAATCAGCTCTGGTAATGGTCACCTTCTGCGTCGGTCTTTTTTGTTCAAGTAGTTTACTACGCATCGCCGGCGTCATTGAATCACTGTGCCTAAGTAACTTCCTCCTAAATCTAGCGTACGCGTCGTTCGCCTCGGAGGCGCCCGCGAGCGCCGCCGAATCGGCCATGTGGCGGTGCATCGCTGCTGTCGCTTTGGTAGCCTCCCGTCGTGCCTCATCCACGACCGCCGCCAGGACCTGCTCGCGCTGCTGCCACTTTCGCCCTTTTTCCTTTTCCGCCTCGACGTCCAGCGCCAGTAGTCGAGCCTTCTCGCGCAGCTCCGCGTTCTCGGCCCGGATCTCCTCCAGCGCCTTGGACGCCTCGCCCGCCAATTCCCTCATAGCATTTGCCTCGCCCTCAAGTTCTGCTTTTTCCGTCCCAGAGATCGAGCCGCCGCTCCCACTTCTCGTACCCATGGACGCGGCGCGCGCCACGGCAGAACCTCTCTGATTTGACGCTTTAGGTATGCTCCCGGCCTTCTCCATGGCGATGCGGTTCAGGCGCTTGGTGATCGAGTCGAGGTTTTCTCCTCGCGCCCTTAAGTCTCGTACCAAGATGCATCTACGTCTAGCCACTTCAGGACGGGCTATTTTAGTCTGGATCGTCAACGCCGCGGCCTTCGCTAACTGTAGATAGCCGACCATGCGGATGTCGATGCCGCGCCATCTCGCTTGAAAGCAGGAGATGGCCTTGACGAGTCGTCGCCTTTTAGCTGCCCTTCTACGAGCCAGTTTCACGCGCAAGGCACACGCCACGATCAGCAAAGCACGCAGCACCTTCCGGTAGTACTTCTTGCCGAGGTATCCTCTACCATGAGCCTGCAGCCGCGCCGCTAAATCAAAACATACCACTGCTCGTACTCTCTCAATATCATCCAGAGCACCATCCCGCAAGAAGACCTTCGTCTTGCCCACGAAGACCCGTCCCGGTTTCAGAGCAGGATGCTTGGCCAAAGCGCCCTTCCTCCCACCCCGTTCCAGACACCTCAGGATGTCCTCGCAGGCTTTCCTCCAAGGTAGGGCCGCAGCCACCACAGCCCGATCCAGCACCAGGTCCTCGTCCTCGCCCTCGCGCAGGTCCTGGGCCGTCGGCGCGTCGACGTCGTCCGTGACGGCCAGGCCATCGAGAGAAGCGTCGAAATCACCCAAGCCCGCCGCGTTCGCCGCATCGCGGCACCGCTTCAGTGTGGACGACCGGCCATCGCCGGGCAGACAAACCGCAAATCTCTCGACAAAGGCCCGCAACGGCTTTCTATCAGGATAACCAGCTCTAGCTACTCGTAGAGCAGCTAACACGCCGCAGCACCGCAACTGCTCCACCACGGCGATGCGATCAAAGGACCCAGCTTGGCCCATCGGCGCCGCTTCGTCGTTCGGGCGGATGCACCGGACGTAGCGGCACTTCGTGGCCGCGATCTGGTGCATCAGGTTTTTCAGTTGAGCCCTAAATTTCGAGGCTACGGTCTCCGCGGCGTTGACTTGCGAGCCTCGCCTCAACGCTCGCTGGCCCGACTGCCGTCGCTGCTTCCGCTGGAGTGCGGCTTGCCTCGCCTCGGCGGCGCCAAAGACCGCGACGGGCGACGCCACGTTCGCCGAGCCTCCTGGTGAGGCTGGGCCCGCCGGCGTCGTCATGGCCTCGACTAACTTCGCCGGTAGGACGTCCCGGTTCCTCTCGACCCAAGAAGCGGTATCAGTACATCTATACAAGACATCGCCCGCGTAGTGCATGATCTTGAAAGGTAACGCTTCTCCTGCTTGCGTGATGCGGATCTTCGGTGTACTTAAGATATCTCCGGTATACGTCCTGAGCAATTTCCCGACGAAATTCGCGTCGGCACCGCTCCCGCCGCGGATGCACTCCTCGTTCAGGATGTCCACGAGGCCGCCTCGCGCTTCGATCAACCTTAGGACCTGGGCATTGTCCTGGTAATCAACTCTAGTCCACGGCACGCCTTCCGCTAGTAACTCCCGTTGCGCTCTGGCCAGGACGTCGGCGACAAATCTCTGTTGCAACCGCTCGTTGGCGAAGTTGATCAGGAGTTGTTCGAAGCCATTTGTCGAACCGGCCGCACCGTAAAATTCAAAGCCGAACAAATCGAGCATCCCGATGACTACTGATTCGGTCTGTTGCAACGCCCACTGCCTTTTTGTGGTGGCGTTGGACAACTCGACAACGCGATCAAACAGTCTAGAATACAACTCCTTGGCCAAGGCATCTCTCGCGTCCGCCGCTTGCTCCGCACTTAACGAAGTAGTAGAAGTACCAACAGTACGTCTAAGAAAACCTTCTTCCAGTAATGAATGATCACAACCCAAGGCGTTAGCGGCCTGCGTCAAGTCCAACGCGTTCCGTACCTTGCAGCCGTGGTCCTCCGTGCGCGCGTAGACGGAGTCGAACTGGACCTCGCCCAAGCTCAAAACAGCGTCGACGCAGTGCAACAAAGCTTCCCGTTCGGCCTCGTCGAGCTGGCACACCGTTTCTAGACTCTCAATCATCTTTGGGTAGGACTGGCGGTCGTCGAAGCCGCGCGCTTTGGTTGCTGAGGCATCTGCAGATCTACAAGGGTGCTCCGGCAGGTATTTCGGTGTGCGTCGTCTTCTTTGTTGTAACAACTCGTAGAAGACGTGGAAGGCGCGCTCGCCCTTGGCTCGTTCCACCACGCGCGTCTTCTCCAATAAAGCGGTCTCGCACCACGAGGACTCGAGGGCCATTGTACGGCGATCGAACTCGATCCGCAGGAACTTGGCGAAGCGCGACGAATTGCCGTTTCGGAGGGTCGCGGCGTTGCCGAAGGACTCCAAGAGAGGCCCGGCCCTTAAAACTTGCGTAATGATCTGCTGCGTGGCCCCGCCGTGCCGCGCGACGTCGGCGAGATGGACGAGCATGATCTTCACGGTTTCGGTCTTTCCACTACCACTTTCACCACTCACGAGGATGGACTGGTCGTCTCCCCTGGCGGCACCTCTAGCCGCGGCACCGGACACGGAATAGCAATGAGCAGCTCGACGTTCTTCATACGAGTTGGGTGGTGCGCTATGTAGCGCTCTTAACTCGGGCGTGTACAATTTCAGCCACCTGAACGGATTCACGGCGACCACCACGTCTCCGGCCGCGGTATAGGGCTTGCTACAATGGGCCCGTTCCTGGATCGTATCTAAAATAGACGCCTCGTGGACGTGCCCGAGATCACAAAGGTCGTCGCAGTTCTCCATGTCCAGACCCTCCTGCTGATACATTTCCTCCGCGGGGAGCTTCACGCTCATCGGCCGGCCGCGGACGACCGCGTCGACGACCAGGCCGGGCTCGTACTGCTCCGGCGGTCTCGGTAGCGTGGCCTTGACCCAGACGGCGTCGCCCTCCTCGTCCTCGACGTAGAGCTTCATGCTTGGGGGCTGGATTGGCTTCTAGCTGGTCCTGTGCCGCGCGCGCGCCCTTGCGTTCGCGCGCAGCGCTCGAGTGCACTGGCGATCTCTTTAGATGTTGGGGGCTGCGTCGAGAAGCTGCCCGCGCACGTCCGCAGCTAGTCCGAAGGCCCGCGCGGCGACGCCCGCGAGATGATCGAAAGCCCGAAGCTTTAAGATGTCTTGGAGAGGCCGGAGGTAGGGAGTTGTCTACGTGTCGAGGACACGTCCCTTGGACAGGTTGCGGGAGCAGTCGTCTCGGAGCCTAGTATGTCAAGACGCTAGCTCTGCCGGGACAGCAGCGTGCCTGTACAGTGTGCCTGTACGCATCGCTCCAGGAGATTCTCAGACACCGGATCGTGGTCGTCTCAACTGCACGTCGCTGCTGCACCCAACGCCATCGCCGCGACAGCGTGCGGCACCGCTGCACTGCCGGTGTCAAGCTGCAGCCATGGCGGACGTGCAGCCAACACAACAACCCAAAAAGCGTCCCAAGAAACCGCCGCCCGCGACGGAACGCGCCGACCTCGCGACGCTCTACTGTTTGCAAGCCACCGCTCGCTGCGCTCTAGATGGCTGCGCGGTCTGCGCGCACCGGATCTGCCAGCACGGCGCGCCCGGCCGGCCGCTGCCGCCTCCACAAAGACCCGAGAGCTGTCCTAGGGTCGTAGATGAGAGTCCCGGACCGGATTTAGGACAGCTGTACGGCGGCTGTCGCGTCCTTACCGTGGGTGACGGAGATTTATCCTTCTCCGTGGCGCTGGCCGAGCGCGGCGAGTGTGCGTCGTTGACCGCGTCCACGCTAGAACCGGACCTGGAGACTTTGCAACGAGAGTACGATGGTTTGGATGTGCGCGGCCACGCGAGGCGCATCGACGACGTGAGGTACGGCGTCGACGCGCGGCGCCTCTCATTTGATGAAAGTTTCGACCGCATCGTCTTCAACTTCCCGTGCCTGCCCGTCTCTGATGGAAAAGACGGGAACTCGGAAGGTTCCGGGAAGGCGGACGCTTCGGCCATCGAAGAAAACAAGGCATTAGTACGGGCCTTCGTGCGCTCAGCAGTGCCGCTGCTCGCGCCGGGCGGCGAGATTCATGTAGCGCACAAGACCAAGGAGCCGTTCAGTTGGTGGGGCTTCCCGTGTTTGGTCTCTCATGCTCTCCTGACGTACCGCGGCGCGCTCGTCTTCGACCGCGCCGCCTACCAGCCGTACGCGAATCGCAAGGCGCGCGACCGCAAATCATTCTCTGCTATCGACGCGGTCGTGTACGTCTACGCGCGGGACGGCGCCGGCGCGCCGCCGACGCTGCCTCCTCTCGCGTCGTCGAACGGGGCGCCGTCACCATTCTACGAGGGCGCCTTGCCACCCGCGCGGGATGTCGTGACGTCGCGGCGCGTTTGTCGAGTTGTGCGCCTCGACGCGGAGCTGATGGCGCGCGTCCGCGAAGCCTCTTTGGCTGCGGCTTCGGCGTCGTCGCGGAAGAAGCGGCGGAAGAAGCGGTGACGAGACGAGCTTTTTTGTTGTAATTTTGATGTGATAATGACTTCCTTTGTCTCGCTGGGGTACTCTGAAGCCCTCCGCCAGTGCGGGCGCCACAAGATTCTGGCTAGTGGGCTGATGTACGCTAGTTTGCGAGACTGATTTTGAAAATCGTTCTCTCGCAGCCTCACACACGCGATAGACGTGCCGCCGACAGCCACAACGCTGTCAAAAGCTGACGCCAGCACCGCTGCGCCACCTCACGCCGCCGCCGCGCCACATTCGCAGCGGCCGAGCCGCACACAGCGTTTTAAGCGCCAAGCCCCAAACGAGCGCTAAAGCGCCGCACAGCTACCATGGGCATCAAGGGCCTCATGCCCCTCATCCAGGAGTTCGCCCCGGGCGCCGTGCGGGAATTGCAGGGCCCGGAAGCCTACACGGGCCGCATCGTCGCGATCGACGCGTCGATGTCGCTCTACCAGTTCCTCATTGCGATCCGAGGCCATGGTAGGGAGGGCGGCCCGGCCACGGTCCTCACCAATAGTGAGGGAGAACAGACGAGCCACATCCAGGGCATGTTCAACCGCACGATTAAGTTGCTCGAAAGCGGCGTGAAGCCGGTTTACGTCTTCGACGGGCGACCGCCCGAGGCCAAAGATGGAGAATTGGCCAAGCGCCAAGCGAAGCGCAAGGAGGCCGAGGAGAAGCTCAAGAAGGCGCAACAGGAGGGCAACACCGAAGACATCGAAAAGTACAGTGGTATGTTAACAAAAGTCAGTCGCAAGGATTGTGAAGATGTCAAAGCCCTCCTGAGGATGATGGGCGTGCCCGTCGTCGAAGCTCCTTGTGAAGCGGAAGCGCAATGCGGCGAGCTCGTGAAAGGCGGGAAGGCGCACGCCGTCGGCACGGAGGACATGGACGCGTTAACTTTTGGGGCTACTCGTCAATTAAGGAACTTAACCTTCACGAAGAAGGGGAAAGATTCGGATAAAAAAATTCTGGAGATCACGCATCAACGCGTGCTGGAGGGTCTGGAGCTGACGAATGCCCAATTCGTCGACTTCTGCATTTTATGTGGCTGCGACTATTCGGGCACCATCCGGGGCGTCGGTCCTAAAACGGCTCTCAAGCTCATCAAGGAGCACGGTTCGATTGAAGAGATTCTGCGCAAGGGTCTCAAGGCGAAGGATCGCGCGAACGTTCCCGCGAACTGGCTGCCTCCCGATGAACGTGTGGCCGGGCAAGGCGTGGCGCCGCCCAAGAAGAAGAAGCCTGAGATTGGTCAGCCGAAGAAGCCGTCTCCGCTGAAGGAGGTCAAGGCGGCGGAGGAGCCGACGTTCTCGTCCGAGCCGGCGTTCAGCGCGGCTTCCGAGCCCGCGTTCGCGGCCTCTTCCGAGCCCGTCTTCGCCTCGACGTCTGAGCCGGAGCCGGCGTTCGCGGCGGCCTCGGAGCCGGCGTTCAGCGCGGCCTCGGAGCCGGCGTTCGCCGCCGCGTCGGAGCCGGCGCCGGCCGAGCCGATGGCCACCGAGCCCGCGGCCGAGCCGGCCAAGCCCGCCGAGGCGGCCGAGCCCATGGCCGTCGAGCCGGCCGAGCCGGCCGCCGAGCCCATGGCCACGGAGCCGGTTGCAACCGCGGAGACGCCCGCCGCCAAGCGCCCGAGCGAGGACGCCAGCGATGAGACGGCCGCTAAGGTGCCCAAGGCCGAGGCCGAGGCGCCGGAGGAACCGGAAGAAGAGGGCCCCTTCCTGCCGCGCTACGTCTGGGCGCGCCAGCTCTTCCTCGAGCACGAGGTCACGCCCGCCGCCGATGTATCGTTAGAGTGGAAGAAGCCCGACGAGGCGAAGCTCCGCGAGTTCCTCATCGAGAAGATGGGCTTCAACGCGGACCGCGTCGAGGGCGCGCTCAAGAAACTTGTGAAAGCTCAGGGCGCGCGGACCCAGCGGCGTATGGACTCCTTCTTCAAGGTGCTCCCGCCGAAGCCCGGCGCGGCGAAGAAGAAGCCCGTCGTGTCCAAGGTCGCCAAGAAGAAGTCCGGCGGCAAGGGCAAGCCGCGCAAGTAGGAGGGTTGTACTGAAGTAACTTACGTTCGTTTATTAATGCACAACAGGCTTACTATGTTAACTATGGGCAAATCAATGCTCTCGAGCAGGTGGAGCTGCGCCACGAGATCTGCGTGGTCGCCGCCGCGCGCGCGTCGATGGCGTCGTGGCCCCAGTGGTCGCAGCGACGACACACAACTCCCCGGACCGGCGAATTCAAGAGTCCTCGCGCGTCACAGCGCCACGTACGCCGTCTTCAGCAAATCGTAGGTCGGGAAGAAGATCGCGAAGGCCGGGCCGGTGTAGAGGAAGCGCCCGCCGATGCCGGCGAAGAGGGCGCGCACGCCCTCCTTCCTTATCAATTGCTTCAGGCAGTCCGCCGGTCCTGAGTAGGCGAAGACCTCCGTGTTCGCGCCGGCGATCTGCATCCGCGTCTTGATGACGTCGATCGGGTTCGTGCACGCGGCGGCGAAGGCCGCGGCGCAGAACGTGTTCCCGACGCCCCTTATGTAGGTCTGCTCACCGTCTCCGAACTGCTTGCACCGGCCCAGGGCCCACATGAAGATGCCGTTGAAGGGCACCCAGACGAGCTGGTGCGGCACGAAGGCCCGGAAGAAGCCCATGGCGCCCTCCGTCGAGAAAATTGTACGCAGAGCCGCGAGCGACGAGGCCGTCGAGCCGACCTGCTTGGCGATCTGGCCGTCGATGGCGCAGCGCTCCACCACAATATCGCGGGGCACGTACGCGATCGACGACACGAGCTGGGCGCTCATCCCGGCCGCAAAATCCGTCGCGGAAGTGCCGGAGCCGAAGGTCGAATGGCTCATTTCGATGCCCGTCATGTACAAACCGCGCGCTAACGGAGTGAATACTACAGAGAGACCGAGCCCCTTGTAGAACGCGCCAAACCCTTCGTCGCGGAGCATGGTCGAGGCAGCATGGGCGGCGCTCCGGTAGCTCGTGAGCGACGCGTCGGCGCCTTGGGCCATCATCCTCGTCTTGATGACCAATGCCGGCATGACCACTGCTTCCGCGATGCTCCCAGTGATGCCTCCGATTATCGTGCTTTCGAGGCTGGAGAGCTCCTTGCTTGGGGGAGCGGGTGCCATGGCTGTCTGTCTTTGCTGCCGCGGCGGCAAGCGTGGGAGTGGGCAGCCTCAACGGCCTGGAGCGTATTCTGCGGGCCCGACGAGCACGTATGCCAGTGTTTGGCAGCGATGGGCAGCCCAAAGCAAAAAGAAATCTAGTGTGTTACGCACCGCTAGCCCCATTCAGCCGCACAGCTCGCCCACAGCTGCACAGACGCGCGCGCAGACCGTTCTGATATCGCATCGCTGCAGCGCGCACCCGTGCGGCCGTTCGCTGAGCATGACGAAGCCGTGCCGCTGCCTGCTATTACTTCTGGCAACAACAGCATGTGCCAACAAGCTCCGCACGCGCGCGCGTCAATTTAACAAATGGCGCGACGCCCGCTTCGGCTGCGGGCGCCAGTGGCACTACTGGCGCTGCAGCGGGCAGCTCACGGACCCGGCGACGGGAGTGGTTATAGCGCGGCTCGAGGGCGTCGAGGCGACGCGTGCGCTGCGGGGCGACGCGAGAAGAGGCGATTCTGAGGATGATGTGAACGACGACGACTTTTTGGTAGAGCCGCGGGCGTTCGAGGTGCGAAGGAGGTACGCGTACGCCGACGAAAGCGACGAACTCATCGAGTGGCGCGCGCGGCCCGACGCGCCGCCGCGTAGCGTAGCGCGGCCGCCGCCCTACGCGGCGACGGTGCGCTTGGGACTGCGTCGCGATGGCACGACGGTGGCCCTCCGTTCGCGGACGGCAGACAAAGCTTTGGAACCGCGCGTGTCCACCTTCGCCGTCGAGGGCTTTGAAACTAGAGTCGACGCCTACGTTGGGACTCCCAAAAAGCGGGGCCTCGCGCGGCTCTTCGGCGTCGGCGTCGGCGGCGCGAAGACGGCGGCGGCGCGGCGCGCGCAGAAGGGCCTGAAATGTAGGGAATCATACGTCGTCTCGCGGAACGCCGTCTCGTACCGGCGGCTCGGCGAGGCGCCGGCCTGGGCCGGGCCCGGGCGTTTGTGTGCCGCGGAGCTCTCCGCGCGGCGCGTGTCGCGACGGGCGCTCCGGCGCGGGTCGCCCGTCGCGCGGGCGCTGGCAGAGGAGCTGCTCGAGGACGTGGACGGGAAGCAGCGGCGCGTCGTCGTCGAGCCGTCGGAGGACGTCGACGAGCCGCCGCCGAAGCGACCGCCGCCGAAGCGGGGGGACAAGTGGGAGGCGCTGTTCGCCGTGTAACCTTATCATTTCTTACCCGCCTGCCGGGAATTGGTCGTTCGCGTGTTCCTCGGCGATTTGTCTATTGCTCTCGGCAATTCGTGCCTCCGCCGCAACGCGTCGTCTAACTGCCTCGGCAATTTGTGCCTCAGTCGCGACGCATCGTGCTTCCTCCGCGTCGGCTCTTGCCATCTGTTCCTCGATCCTGGCTATGAGCTCTGTGACCTGACCCCGCTGGGAAAGGTCCATCCGTGCCAGCGCGGAGGCGAGATCGATCCCAGGCAAATGCCGCTGGAAACCTGGGTCACGTGCCATTTGTTCGACCCAGGCGGCGCTCATGATGTGTGGCGAACCCGGCTCCGAGTCCGGCGAGTCGTCGAAGAGCCCGCCCAGGCCCGCGTCGTCGTCCTTTTCCTCCTCCGCGCCCGGCGCGTCGGCGGCTTCGGGCATCGCCTGTATCGTGTATCTAAGCTCGCAGCTCCGCCGGTCCTCACAATAAAATCGCCTGTGGATCACTGAAGCAAAACTGTGCAGCAGGAGCCGAGAGATTGATGGCTCGTCGTTCGCGCGTCTCGAGGCGTTTGAAAGGAGCGACTCACGAACGCGGGCGGCTACGGCTATCGCGGCAATCGCTCTTTGCTGCAGCCTCGAGACTCGAGCAACAAAACAGGTTTTGCCCGGACGCCATCGCCGCGTAAAACCACAGGCCAATGGAAACTACTACATACACACGACGAGAGAGGGACTACGCCTGCTTCGGATCCGGCGGCTCGAGCGCGACGACGACGCTCGCGCGTGACGCGTCCCGGACGACCGCCTCGGCGCCCAGCCCGTCGAGCGGCAGCAGCAGCGCGTTCGCGTAGCGCGCCGTACACCGCAACCGTTCCTCGTCGAAGTCGTCCGGCGCGAAGAGGCGGTAGAACGTCGTGCCCTCGACCCTTGCCCTAATGCCCCAGCGCCAGCCGTCGTCACAAGCGTACGGCCCCAGATCCAAGTGGACCCTCAAAGGTTCCGCTCTTCTGGAATCGGGCACCGGTACTAATAGTTTTGAACCGTCTTCGCCGGCCACCGTCGCGACGACCGCGTCTAAGGCGGCCCCGCCGCTCTCCGTGCGATTCACCGCAACCAGAGCCGCCTTGGCGAAGGCATCGTACGTCGCATCATTTACATTCTGGCGCCAGGCCGCCGCGTCGGCCCGCTGCACGAGTTTCCGCTGCGCGCTCACCAACGACGCGACGACGCGGTCGTAGCCGACCCTACCACCCTCGAGCGCCGGCCCCCGCCCATCCAGCAACAACCGGTCTCTTTCCACGTCCCTCCGCGACTGCGCCTCGCCGCCGTCGCGTTTCGTCGCGCTTTGTTTGACCGCGTGCGTGTACGTGACGCCCTCCTGGACGTGGGCGACCAAGTCGTCGGTCGTCGTAAACGAGGGCGGCGGATTCAATTGTGGTGAGGGCGCCTGCCTCGTTATGAGGGACGCCCGTAATTGATTCCGTCTCAGTTCATCGTCCTCGGGCACGACGGCTTCAGAGGAACCGCCTAACAAAGCCGCGTCCCTTCGAGCCTTCGCGGACCTATCTAACATCCAGAGCTCCTGGACGTCGGCGACCTGCTGCGTCGCCGCCACGCGCGCCTCCAGCGCGGCGTCGGCGGCGCCTTCATTATCGTCCTCGTCGTCGCTCGGTAAGGCGACGACGGCGTTCAGCGAGAGCTCGACCTCCTCGATCGTCACGACGACGTAGTTTTCGCCTCCCAAAGGGGTGTCTTGGTTTGGGCTGGCGACGAGGGCGGCCATTTTATGCTTTTGACCTCGTGTTTTATTCTTTTGTCCTCGCCGGAGCGCTTTTTTCGGCCAGGGGCTCTGGGAGTCTGAAGAGCTTTTTGTCTACGCTACGGCGCGAGGTGCCGTTTTCTCTTCGCCAGCACTAGCAGCGATCAGGCGCTGTTCGAACCACCGCGCTACGGCTGGTGTACCAGCGATCTGTGCGCCGCAGTCCACCACTTTTTGGCACTGGGCTATTTAGCTAGCGGCCTGTAACACACTAGCAGCGCGGAACGCTATCGACGCGACGTCGGACTCATACGATATGTCTTCTTACGCACCGTGTCACCTCTCCGACGACGTCGAAGCATCCCCGAGCGCGGCGTCCGCCGCAGCGGCAAGGGCCGCATCCGCAGAAGCCGCCGCGGCCGCCGCCAACGCCGCGTCGGCCGTGAGCTCTTCGCGTGGCCCCTGTGTCCGTGCAGCCGCCGCCCGCTCGCTCACTTCAATCGCGTGGTTCATGAGCACGCAGTCGAAGGACGCGTAGACGTCCGCGAGGTTCCGCCGCAGCTTTGCGTCCGAGTTCGGCGTCGGCCCGCAGGTCGTCGGGCAGATTGTAGAAGACGGCTTGCGCTGCGGCGTGACGACGGCCTTGGCCGGCGTGTCGCCGACCGTGAAGCATAACGAGGGTCCCTCCTCGGCCGGCGCCCGGGGCGGCGCGTGGAAGACGCCCGGCCACGGTGGCGGCGCCTGTACGTTGGGTCTGACGTAGGTCCGGTTCGGGTAGGTCCCCGGCGCCGGCTGGAAGGGCATGCCGCCGTAGCCGACCCAGTAGAAGCCCTGCGGCGGCGGTTGGCCGGCCGCGGCCGCGGCCGCGAGGGCCCGCTTCTGGCCGCCGCCGCCGCGGTGCTGGCGGTGCCTCCTTCGCGCGTTGGCGCCGTTCCTCTGGTTCTCCTTGTTGTCGCCCGGCTGCTTCTGTTTGTTGTGATTCGCCTTGCCGCCGCGGCGGTTCTTTTGGTGGCGCTGGCCGCCGCCGCCGTACTTTTTGGGCTGGCGCTGCGGCGGCGCGCCGGCGAGGCTCATGCTTTGTGTTTGTTGCGTGATGAACTCCATGGTCGCTTTTTTACTCCGCTGCTGCGTCGTCAGACGGTTTTGCTGTAACGACGCGTGAGACGCGCGGGCTCTTGTGTCCGGTGGTGCGCGTGGCACCTGGGCTGTGGCGCAGCGTTGTCACACCGTCGACGCGGCGGGGTACCGGCTGCCGCGCGTGGGCTGAAAACTTAACGTGTGCCGGGATAATCCGCTAGCGTCCTGTAAGACACTAGCAATACAAGCCGTCACTTGTCGCGCCTGGCACGCGCTATCCGCTGCATCGGGCAGCCCAATCCTTCGTCTGCGATCCATATATCACTCGGCAACTCGATTGCTATCGGCGCTAGGCCGAATGGCAATGGCTGCGGCAAGAGGATAGGGTACCTCCTCATATCCACGGTCGCCGCGCAGCATAGACAGCTGCAGCTGAGAGATGATCCGGCACCTGCTCTGCACGCTCATTGCTGCCAGCGCGACCGAGCGGGCCTGCCGCACCTACGACCTCTCGTCGCGGAACGACACGGCGCAGCGCGCCGTCTGGGCGGCCGTGCCGCGCACTGACTGCGAGGCCTGCCTGCTCTTCACGGCGGGCAACTGCACAAAAAAAGCCTGCAAGCCTCATCGGCAAGACGGCAAGCACCAGACGCGCCACGACTGCCCGAAGTTCGTGAACGCGGTACCGAACCGGCCGCACGAGGGCTGGCCCGCGCTGCGGGCGCGTAAGTCGACCTACGCGTGGCCGAGCTGGCTCCCCGGGCCCAACGCGACCAATCGTTGCGGAGCGTATCGTGAGATGCGGGCGCGCCGCGACATTACTCTGGTCCGGTGGATGGGCGACTCCGTGGCGCGGCAGATCGTCGAGACGAGCCAAGAGTACTGCGGCTTCAGTCCCTTCGATGAGTTGGGCGTCGCTCGTCGAAGCCTGCTTCCAGCGGGGGCTCCTATAATACCGTCCACCGAAAACGAGGCGTGGCAGCGGGGCGTGGTGGGCGCGGCCTCTTCCCAAACTGTCTTCGTGGCGAACATGGGGCTGCACCACCACGACCACGCGGAGCTGGCGGCGCACCTCAAGGTCATCTTTTCCGTCCTCATGGAGGCCGTCGACGCGGGCGCGGTCGCCCTGTACGCGGAAACGACGGCCCAGCACTTCGCGACGATCTGTGTGGAAATCAACCAGTGCGTCGGGTGCATGACGCGGCCGTCGTGGCTCGGTCGAGCGGAACCGGCATCGCCACGCCATCGAGCAGGCGTCGCGTCGATGGCGTGGAGGAACGCGCCGTAAAATTTTGATTTCCACACAGGCGACGACGACGGGCGGCTACTTCGCATCTGGGATGAAATCCAGCGCGCGCCCCATCGCGCACTACAACTGCGTGCCGGCGTCGTTCCACAACGCGTCCTGCCACGGCGCGGGACGGCAGCACCCCGAGGCGGAGCTCGACACGGGCTGGCGCAACGCCGTCGCCTGGGACGCCTTCCGCGCGGCCCAGGGGAACCGCACCGGCGGACCGACGCCGCGGCTGCGCATGCTCCGGCTCCACGAGCTCACGCAGCCGCTCTGGGACTTGCACCCGGGCGGCCGCGACTGCACGCACTTCTGCTTTTCGCCCGGGCTGGTCGAGGCGATCCTCGGCGAGCTCGTCGAGGCCGTCGACGCGGCTTTCGCGGGGCGGAGCGTCGACCTTTATTGATGTGATTTGTTATGTCCGCGCACAATTTTCTCATTCGGCTAGGGCCAGTTAAAATTGCCTGAAGTTTGGCGCGAATATAGTTTGTGCACGGCTTTGCTAGCGGCCGGTAAGACACTAGGAATTCCGACAAGCCTGCTTTTTTGGTGGCCTAAACACGCCGTCACTGCATCGGGCAGCCCAAATCCTTCGTCTGCGATCCATGCGTAAGGGTTCGATGACTCCAGGATGATATGGCAATTGATGTGCACAATCACTGTCATTCATGGGCAGCAGTACCTAGACCACCGCAAGACCGCTGCGACGGGCGTGCCGCACTGGCACGACGCGCCGCCGCGCATCATTGACGACCTGCGAGTACTACACCGGTCCCACAACTTCTCCGCCGCGGCGCTGACGGCGGCCGGCGGCGGCGCGCGACTCGGTCGCACGCGGCGCAACGTCGTCTCCTGCGCGGTACAGAACCCCGGCTACGCGACGATCTGGTACGACGACGCGGCGCTAGACGCGTTTCTCGACGAGGCGGCGGCGCTCGACGCGAGAATCGCGACCGCCATTGATGCTCTTCGGAGACCACCGTTCTCGAAACATTTCGTCCTGCGCACGGACCTCGCGCGGCTGCTGCTTGTCCACACTTACGGAGGTTGGTGGCTCGACGCGGATGCGGTCTGCATCGACGATCCTCTCTCCGAACTCGAGATCGACGGCTGCGTCTTCGCGTGGGAGGGCTCGGTCGCCGACGACCCCTCGGCGCCGCTGAATTGGGCGTTCGCCTGCGAGAAGGGCCACGGTTTCCCGTTGCACGCCGCCTTGCTCGCCGCGGATCGCATCGCGGCGTTTTCTGGGGACGCCGAGGCATGCGCGGGCGAGCGTAGCGCGTACTGCGCGGGCGGCCATATCCCGGTGCTCGACCTGACCGGCCCGGCCATGCTCGGCGACGCATTACAAGCGTACGCGGGCGCTTCGTCGAACCGCGCGCTGCGCGAGGCGGCGGGCGAGCGAGCCGACGACGCGACGACCTGGGCGAGGGCAACGACGGTGAAGGACGTCACGGTCCTGCCCTATTGTTACTTCCGGAGCCGCGGCTGCCCGCACCTCGCCAGCGCCGACGTTGTATTCTTCCACCACGAATTCGACACCGCGTGGCGGCCGGCGTTCTGGCACAATCACTACTCTGATGAATTGTAATGTCTCTGTTGTACTCGCACATGACATACTTAACCCACAATCACCTCCCCGAGCCCTGCGGCCGACAACACACACTCCGCGGAGACCACGGTCCCGTTCGGCGCGAGGAACGTGACAACAACTTCCTCGCTCGCTGCGCCAGAGAGCGAGACAGACACGCTATTGACGTCGAACCGCAAAGACCGCGTGCGGGCCTCGGCGACGGGGACGAACTTTGAGAGCTCGCCGAGGTAGGCCCAGCCGTTCGCGAGCCGCGGCGCGACGTGGTAGAGGCGGAAGTCGCCCGCGCCGCAGGCCGGGATGGCTATGCCGTCCCGAAAATCTCCGAGCACGGACAAGGCATCACCACGTCGCTGCGACGCCGTCGACGCGGCCGCGAGAGAGTAGGCGACGTGCTCGCCGGCGCCCAGGTCGGTTGGTCTGAGATGCGCCGGCAGGAGCATAAACGGCTCCTCGAGGTTGATCACAAGAATATGGGCCCATTTCCAGCCGTCGATGCGCGTATGCGTGGCCGTGATGGGCAAAACGTTTGGAAATCTGGCGAGTGGACCGTCGCCGACTCCCGCAGAGCGGTGGAAGGCAGCGTCTAACGCCGTCGCGGGCCGCGACGGCTGAAGAAGACGCCCCGCCTCGTCGCAGGTCCGCATAATCAGCTCGCGATCGGAGTACCCGACGCCGTCCGAGACCTGGACCGGTCCCCGCGACAGCGCGGCGACGGCGGCCTGCATCGCGGGGTAGCGCTCGGCCACATCACCGTAAGGATTGCCCGGTTGGGCCGACGTCGACCAGAAGCTGTCCTTCGACGGCGCTAGGTCCAGCGCCCAAGCTAATAAAGACGTCGTGCCGATGTAGTAGGTATCTACTTGTACGGGCGGGTTGCACGCTGGCGGCGTGCAATTTCCAGAATCGCCCGCGGGGTTGTAGTCGTCGGAGGCGCGGATCTGCGTCACGGCTGGCAGGGTCGCGCTCTGGAGAACGAGACGGGCCATCTCCATGCAGTACTGGACCGTCACGCCCACGCGGGACGCCGCGGTCGACATTTGCGTGAGCCACTTTCTCGCGCCCGTCGCCGACTGCAGAAGAGTGGCATTCAAACCGAGGAACTCCGTGTAGAGCCAGTCCTGCTCGTAGACAATCATACCCCAGTCGGACGCGTTGCGCATGAGGTCGTCCCAGAACCGCTGCTCGAGGGGCAGCGCCAGCGGCGGCTCCACCGCAAAGTCATAGGCGCCCCGGTAGACGTTGTCGGAGCTCCATTGGCGATTATGTAGCATGAACCTCCAATCGAGCTCTTCCGAGAGACCCTGACACCCTTGCGGGAACGCTTGCGCGGTGCAGGACCAGTTGCGGACTCCGTCGCCCGAGCCTTTTTCATACCACCAGCTATCCAGGAGAGCGTAGCGGTAGGGGATCCGCTCGCGTTGGGCGTAGGCGCGGACCGCCCGCAGCGTCGTCCCGTAGTCCTTGCTTGGATTGTAGTAATAGTAGGCGCCGTTGTCCGTCGAGTAGCCTAAATAACGCGTCGCGTAGTCGGGCGGGCGGACCGTGCCGGCCAGGAGGGCCCGGCCGTGGGTTCGCACGGCTGATGTAATACCTTCCTGACCCAGCGTGAGCACCGTCGCCACGGCGAAGCCTCTGGGGATTTTGGTCACGGACCCGAGCACGCCGAAGGCGACGGCCGAAGCGTTTTGCGTTGAGGCTGCGTGCGAGTGTGCTGCAAACTCCGTGGCAGCCGAGACGACCAGCGCGTCGCCTTTCCCGTCGAAGAGCACGAAAGGCCCGCCGTAGGCGCCGCTCTCGACCGAGCCCGCGCCGGTCCACTTCGTCGCACGGCTCGTCTCCATGAACCGGCCGCCAAAGGTCAAGACGCCGAGCCGTTGCGCGCTCGGCCCGAGCACGGGCCACTCGCTGGCCAACCCCTCGACGCCGCGCGGCGACACGGTGGCGCCGTCGGGGAACCGCTGCGTGAAGACGACGGCGTTGTCATATAGAGCGTAGCTCGCCTCGAGCGCGCCGTAGCGCCGCGCGCGGCCCTTGTACTTTCCTCGCGCGTCGGCGCCTTTGATCGGTCGCCACGGACCGCTGGGTCGGAGCCGTTGTTGTCTTAGGCTCGCGCCGCCGCCGTGGAGCCACTGTGTGCCATCGATTGTGATGCTAAACGCCTCGTCGGTGCTGAAATCGATGGCTAGCCTGCTGCCGCGGGCTGCCCCGGCGATGCATGCGAGCAGGAGATGGCGCATTAGTGCTGGTTCCCGGTCCTTGCGCCTCGTCGGCTGCCTCCATTAAAGCTGCCCGCCCACTTTCTGCTCTCCGCGCGGCGGGCGATGCTCTCAGCGCAAAAATCCACCACCCCCAGGCAGCTCTCCTCGCCCTCCGTCATTGTCAATAGGGGGTATTGACGCCTCATCACTAAAACGTGCGGGATGTGACTGGTCAGCTCGATCCAACTTTGGCGGGCGCGTTCCAGCACGGGACACACGGTTACACGCGTCCTCGACTCATTTCTGGCTGCTCCACGACGCACTAAACCGCGCGACTACGAGCCTTTGCAGCGAGAGGCATCTGTTGCAAGCAACCAAGGCAACAGCTGCCTAGCGCAGCCAGCCAGCGAGAAAGCAGGCGTCGCCGGCGCGGAAAAGAAAAAAGATGGGCGGCGACACCACGACCCGCCCGCGGCGCGCGACCTGGGACGTGACGACGCCCGCCGAGTCCATCGCCATGAAGCTCGAAAGACTCGACGCCGCGTCGCTGAGGAAAGTCGTCGAAAGAGCCTGCCTCTCCTCAAAAACGGTCCAGCACGCCATCGACGACGCCCTCCGAAGCATCGACGCCCCGCCGGCCCCGCCGGACGACGACGCGCGCTTCAAGCCCCTCGCGAAGCATAGAAGCACCGCGAAAGACGGCAGACCGGACTGCGTCGTCGTCGTCGACCCCTTGTCCACGGGCGCGACGCTGGCCGCGATGGCGGCGGACCGCGGCTTCCTGATCGTTAGAGTGCTGTCGCAGGCCTTCCCCGACGAGATCGCGTCCTGCCTGCCGGACGGTCTGACACTTAATTGGCACGCGTCGCTTGAGTATGACGCCGAAAATCCATCAAAAACGGTGGAGGCTTTACGCTCATTAGACGCCCACGTGCTCGGCGTCCTGGTCGGCTGCGAGAGCGGTGTCGAGTGCCACGACGCGCTAACGTCCGCATTACGAGGCCACCCGTCGAACGGGCCCGAGCGTTCTTTAGCGAGGAGGGACAAGCACCCCATGGGCGAGTGCGTGAGAAATGCGGGTCTACGGGCCGTGCGCCAGGAGCTCTGTTCGAACTGGGATTCTGCGCGCGTCTTCTGCGAAGCCCTAGGCGTCAATGATACGGAGACCTCGGCGTGGTGCGTCCTCAAGCCCTGCAAGAGCGCGGGCACGGACGGTGTTTATATTGCCAAGAGTCTGGAGGAGTGCCAACGGCGCTTCTCTGAGATCTTGGGTACGGAGACGGTCTTCGGCGAGAGCAACGACAACGTACTCGTGCAGGAGTTCATGAAGGGCACGGAGTACGTCGTCGACCACGTGTCCGTCGAGGGCGTCCACAAGTGCGTGGCCATCTGGCGGTACGACAAGCGGCCTTGTAATGGGGCGCAGTTCGTTTATTATTGCATGGAGCTGTATCAATCGGAGGACGGTGTCCGAGAATCGAAACTCACGGAATACGTCCGAGGGGTCCTCGACGCGTTGGGATGTCGGCACGGCCCCAGCCACGCCGAGGTCATGTGGCTCGATTCATGTGATGAGCCGTGCCTGGTCGAGGTGGGCTGCCGGCCCCACGGCGGCGAGGGGACCTTCGTCGAGCTGTCGGCTCCGACCATCGGCTACGACCAACTGTCCGTGATGCTCGACCTGGTCGAGCGGCCGTATCGCGTCCATCGGTTACCGGCTCGACCGGCGCACTTCGAGGGCGGCGCCGTCGAGGTCATGCTCATCGCCCACGCGTCGGGCGTCGTCCGGTCGATTCATCTCGAGAAAATTAGGGCATTGAAGTCGTACGTCGGCGAGGAGATCAAGACGAAAATAGGGGATGAGCTCACGCCGACCGTCGACTTCCTGACGACGCCCGGGAGCGTCATGCTGCGTAGTCAGGACGCGCGACAATTGCGCGGAGACATCGATGCTATTCACGCGCTCTGTCAGGAAGGGCTTTTCGAGTTTGAGTCGAAAGCGCGGATACGCTTCAAGAGCCTGTGACCTGCCTGTTCAGGTGCACAGCTCCATCGCTCGAACAAGTAAGACATGCTATCGTTAAATATACTACTACGTTGGGCGCGACCGTGGCGACGCCGTCGGAGAGAGGAAGCACGCCGCCGCCGCGTGCTCCCAGACCCGTGCTACCGTTTTCCTTTCTTCCCTTTCTTCTTCCGCCGCTGCTTGGGCGGCGTCGCGGTCTGTTTGGGCGGCTGCGCGTGCGTCACCACCTGCTGGGCCGGCCGCGACTTGAGGAAGGCGTCGTCCTCGGCTTTCTTCTCGAAGACGTCGGCGGCCACCAGAGGCGCGTCGTCCTTGGCCGCTTGCTTCTTCGCCGTGTCGATGGCCTTTTCCAGGCGACCGAAGACCGTCTCGACGGGCGGCGCCGTCGGCTTACGGACCTTCGACTGCGTCTGCACGATGGGGACACCTAAGGCCTCGCGCACGCCCGGCACCTTGTTCAGCAAGACGGTCTGGCCCAGGGAGAACGCATTCGCGGAGACCCAATAACAAAAGACCGACGCCGGAAAGTGGTACGTAAAGGGGACCATCAAGACACCCATGCCGCGCATCACGTTCTTCATGGTCTTGGCCTGGTCCTTGTTCGCCGACGCGTTCATGCCGTCGGCGCCGACCTCGATCATCACTAAGAACAGTCCCGAAGTTATCAAAGGTAAGGCGTACGTCGGGTCCGCCACGCTCAGGTCCGGGAACCAGAGCATGCCTCCGGATGCGCATTCCGCCGGGAACGACTCCGCCGCCCGTCGCAGCCCGAAGAACATGGACATGAAAACGGGCAGCTGCGCAAGCGGGAACATGAATATGAGATAAGGTTTGACGTTATGTTTCGCAAGTAAGGCGCCCATCTGTCTCTGATACGCGTCCATCTTCCGCCTATCGGTCTTCACGCTCGGATCGCTGTTGATCCGCTCTTGCAAGACCTCAAGTTCGGGTTTTGCCTTTTGCATTCTCGCGGTATGTTTCATCGTTATTATTGAGAGAGGAAACATGGCCGCTCGCAGCAAAAACGTGCCTCCAATAATGCCGGCGCAGAACGGGAGGTCGAACGTGCTCGACAGAAAGTCGACATACCTCAAAGCAAGATCAGACGGGTAGTAGCCGAGGGGCGTGATGGCGTCGACGGCGTCACTCAAGTGCTGGGGCCGGTTCATGACCTCCATCCAGGCCTCGGGCGGGTTCGCGGTCCAGCCCTCCGTCGGCGTTTGTGTTGGTGTCGTGGTTGCGTCGTCGTCGCCGGGCGTCGTTGCGAGGCAGCGATGCGCGGCGGCGCGCGGTCGCCGCAGCTCGCCCCGCGCAGCGATGCGCGGCCGTCGTATCGCACCGCGCGCGGCGTGCCTCAGGAGCAGCATGATGCTCTCTCTGCAATCACTGCAAACGCTGCGAGGTGCCTCCGCGGTTCAACTTCTGCCGTTACAGCCGCGTCGCGGCAGCTATATGGCTAGCCTGCTCCCCTTTACGCGTTCTCGCGCGCGCAAGCTGGTGCCAAAAACTCGCTGCCAGAGCTGAGCCCCAGCTTTTGGTTTGGCAGCACGCAGCGTTCGAGCGCGCCGCTTGATACCGCGGCTCGTAGAGAAGCTCTCGACACGCCGTTGATCGGTGCGGGCGAACGAAACGACGCGTAACGCCAGCCGCCGCGGCAGGTTTGCAGCTTTGCCTTTGCAGCCTGTGGCGCACCAATTGCTTCCGCGGGCGAACGAGGCGGCCAGCCGAACAAACGAAAATGACGACGACGCGCCAGTTCCGCTGCGAGGACCTATTTCGGTTCAACAACGTCAATCTCGACCCGCTGACCGAGACGTACCAGATGTCGTTCTACCTGCAATACCTAAGCACATGGCCGGACTTCTTCCAGGCCGAGGCGCACCCGTCGGGCAACCTGATGGGCTACGTCATGGGTAAGGCGGAAGGTGAGGGCGAGCTCTGGCACGGCCACGTCACGGCCGTGACGGTGGCGCCCGAGTTTCGGAGGAGAGGTTTAGGAAGAAAACTGATGAACTCGCTCGAGGCGACGTCGGAGCACGTGTTCGACGCCTACTTCGTCGACTTGTTCGTGCGCGTCTCGAACTCGCTGGCCATAGGCATGTACGAGGCGTTCGGCTACTCGGTCTATCGGCGGGTTTTAGGTTATTATAGCGGCACGGAGGACGCCTTCGACATGCGGAAAGCGTTGCCACGAGATAAGGAGAAGAAGTCGGTGGTGCCGCTGCAGCATCCTGTTTTGCCGGAGGATTTGGAGTGGTGATGGTTGGTGTCGCGCGCCCGGGTCTTAATTCTTGTGCTACTAGTAGTATTTTGTGTGCATGGGGAACACTGGGTGCGGTGACCGATCTTCGGGCCACCTATACGGACGGGACGGGTCGCGATGCACACCAGTGGCATGTGCTGCCGTGCATCCGACCGCCCGCGTGCGTGCGCTCGCGCCAAATTCCATTTTCCGCGGCCATTGGGCGCTGCAATGTGTCCTCGCCGACGCCTATTGTACTTGGTGCGAGCTTTGTTTCCATGCCTGCGAACTTGACCTCAACTCCCGCACGCGAATTCGGGCTGATTCAGCACCATCGAGCACGAACACCTCGCAGTTGAGTCGTGCGTTCCCAGCGTCGCCATTGCACCGAAAGGACCCAGCGACCAATGCAAAACGCCTGCCGACCTTAACAAAGCACGACAGTGCGAAGACGCGGTGAAAATCGGCCGCGCGCGCGGACACCAGCACGTGTGGCGCTGCATATGAGCGCAGCGATGCATTTCACACCGTGCGCGCGCGCCCACGGCACTTGCCGCGGTCGCCGCGCTGCCCTCGCGAAGCAACGCGCTTGTTTTGCAAGCGACACCGCGCATTCGCGGCCGCGCGCGCGGCCGAGGCGACCGACATACTAATGTCAACAACGCCACGCGCCACCGGCACGCGACGCGGCGCCGCCGCGGCCATCACGGTGGCTGTGCCGAGCATTACGCACACACTGCACGCTCGACGCGCCCGACATCCACATTCAACAACGCCACCGCCGCCCGCAGACACAAACAACACAATGCACTCCAAGCTCCTCCTCGCCTCGACCTTCGGCGCCGCCGCGGCCTTCCAGGCCCCGGCCGCCTCCAAGGCCACGTCGTCGCTCCAGGCGATGTACAACCCTTCGTCGTTCGACGACGTGCAGTCGCTCCCGGGCATCCTGAACCCGACGGGCTTCTTCGACCCGGCGGGCCTCTCGAACGACGTCTCCGCCTCGGAGCTCAAGCGCTACCGCGAGGCCGAGCTCACGCACGGCCGCGTCGCCATGCTCGCGTCGCTCGGCTTCCTCGTCGGCGAGTCGGGCTTCACGCCCCTCTTCGAGGGCAAGATTTCTGGGATTGGCATCAACCAGTTTTGGCAGGTGCCGACGGGCTTCTGGCCGGTCATCCTCCTCTTCATCGCCGTGCCGGAGACGTTCCGCGCGCTCCGCGGCTGGATGGAGCCGACGGTGCCGGAGAACTACTTCCAGCTCCGCCCGGGCTACACCCCCGGCGACCTCGTCCCGCGCAGTGCCGAAACCTACCTACTGTGCGGTGTTTGTTTGTTGTGATGTTGTCGTCAACGTCGACCTGTCGACATGTGATGTGTCGCATCGATGGCGTGTGTCGCGCGTTGTTTGTGTGTTGTGACGTTGTTCGTGTGTCGCGCTTGTTTGTCGTGGCTCGAAGAGAGAGAGAACTCGTCTCGCGACTCACCCGGGCGGTTTCGCGCGCAGGACTTCGATCCCCTCGGCCTCAAGCCCGAGGACCCCGAGGCGCTCAAGGAGATGCAGACCAAGGAGCTCCAGCACGGCCGCCTCGCCATGCTCGCGGCCGCCGGCATGATCGTCCAGGAGCTCCAGACGGGCGCCACGCTCTTCTAAGCGCGTACGGAGACGGCCCGGCCGCGTCTGCCATGGACGCGCCCCGCCACCAAGTTTTCCTGCCCCAATAGCTGATGGGCCACGCGCGGTCGATGGGCCGCGCCTCGCCCCCGCTCTGTCTCGATTAATATGTGAGTCCACTTCATCTATCCTCGGTTACTTATATGTGACTTAGAAGGAGGGAACCCCCTCAGCGGGCGTATGATCAGGAGTATGTACAGTGCCGCGCGAGATCTACTTGCCGTAGGCCGAGTGGTACGCCGCGGCCACGAAGACCGCGCCGCCGACCAAGTTGCCCAGCGTGACGGGCACCAGGTTCTTCATGACCATGTCCGCCCACGTGATCTCCGCGCCGCAGAAGATGCCGAACGGGATGAGGAACATGTTCGCGACCGAGTGATCGAGACCCATGGCGACGAAGCCCGAGATCGGGAAGAAGACGGCCGCGGCCTTGCTGATCAAATCCTTCTGCGACGTGGCCATCCAGACGGCCATGCACACGAGCCAGTTGCACAATACACCTCTGGCGAAGGCCGCGCCGAAGGTGCCGCTCACCTTGCCCGTGGCGACGGCGATGGCGCCGCCCGTCACGCCCGTCGAGGCCCAGGCTCCTAGAGCTGCCACGGCTAACGATCCAACAAAATTGCCGAGGTAGACCGTGCCGAGGTTTCTGCATAAATCAGACAGAGAAGCCTTGCCCGCTTTATAAGCCGCGGTGCAGACGGCCATGTTGCCCGTCACGAGTTCGCCGCCCGCGCCGAGGACCATCAGTAAACCCATAGGTAAACCCATGACGCCGAGCAAAGCCCTTTGCACGCCCGGGTTCGCGGCCTTGATGCCGGGGACGCTGCCGCCCACCGACACCGCCAGCATCGCACCCAAGGCGATGTGCGCGCCTGCGTTTATCGAACAGTGAGTCGGGTGCAGTGATTCGCGCCGCGACAATTTGGTTCATTCACTGGTGCGGACCGCTCAGGAAGCTGAGCGGGATGAGCTTGGAGATCGGCGTGGCGGCCTTGCCAGCTCCGAGCGTCACGGCGGCGTCGTAGACACCCGCCGGGCCGGCGCGCGCGTCTGAGCCGCCCGTAACCGCGACGGCAGCCTCAGCACGCATCGGTGCACTCTTGTGCAGGGACGGCATCGGTCTAGGAGCCCATGCTTCGGCGGCGACCGGCGTCAGGGAGAGGGCGAGGGCTAAAACGGCAGCCTTCATTGTGTTAATGTGCAGTTTGTACAAAGTTGAGAGGAGGTGAAAGACAGGGGGCAACCAGGTCTTGCACTCCGCGGTGGCGTGACAATGGATGGTCAGTTATCTTGTCCAACGTGTCCATCTACGCTCCGGAAGCGTGAATCTGTCCTTTTCGCAGCAAAACCCGCGCTTGCTAGTGCCTTACAGGCCGCTAGCATGCGAACATAATCAACCAAGCCAGCACAAGCGGAGGCGCCGGGGCACGTAAGGTTGCTCAGTGGGCGTTGAGAGCTGCACTCGACACCTCTCCTTGAAGGTTCGCACGTTTTTGCGCCAAAACGGGGAGCCTGGAGCTGTAGAGCCTGGAGGCTGTAAATGCCAGTCTGCGTCCACTGCCTGAAATCGTTCGACGTAGCCGCGCCGACGCCCTGCAAGACGCACCCCGGCTCCTGGCAAGGCTCCGAGCGCGGCAAACTGCACGGCACCTCTTCATCCGACCCGGCGGTGGCGCACCTACCGCTGATTGTCTACGCCTGGGACTGCTGCGGGAGCGATGACCCGGACGCCGAAGGCTGCGTCAGCGGCGCACACCGGTCCTTCGACGACGGGTAGCGATGCCCAACCCGTCGACGAAGACGCTGCGGCGCCGGCGCCTGCGCCAGCGCCGGCCGACGACGGTTCCGATTCCGACAGCAGTGACGGCGAGATCCCGTTGTGCGACGCGCCCGTCGTGAAGAAGCGGAAAGTCGAGGCACAAACCTCACAAATTTCGATGACGGACTCCGAGCGGTACAAACGAGACGACGCGGGCTGCGCAGATCGACTCAAGAAGCGTGAAGCGGACCAAATGGTGCCGTGCATTGACCCCGAAATCGGGGAAGACGATCAAGGCGTCGGCGCTCGGTTTCAGGGCTACGACGGCTTCACGATCGGTGGGCCGCCGGTGTTTCGGTAGCATCAGTGCCGCGTCTTCTACGCCATCGACGCGACGGGCCTACGCGCCTTCGACGCGCCGCGCCCCTAACTACTAGTGACTGTGTACCCAAGCTTACCCGGGGCAAAAAAGGGAAGGGGACCTAGTCCACCTTGATGCTTCCATAGATCTTGTTCACGAACCATAAACAAGCGTAGAAGCCGATCGTGCCGGTCACTAAAAAGAAGATGCCGCTGACGAGCGTCATGTACCCGAAGTAGAGCGTCGACGGGACCCCTCCAGTGATCTCCAATTCAGAGATGAAGTACCAGACCGCATACAAGAAGACGTAGCCGGCACACGCGCCCGAACTCATGACGCTACGCCACCACCACGCGTAGTCCTCGTTACACAACTGGAAGTAGCAAAGGAGTATCGTAATTTCCGCACACGTCGCCACGAGGATCATGCTTACTAAGAATAAAAATCCAAAGATGTAGTAGATCTGGTGGAGCCAGATCGCGCTCATCACGAAAAATAATTCGACCGAGACAGCCCCAAATGGTAGGATACCTCCAAAAATGGTAGTAAGGGCGGGGTGCATGTACCAGGGCTGCGGCGGCACGAGGCGCGGGATCTGGTTCGTCCGCACGGGGTTTGGTGCTACATCCTTCTTAAATCCAACATATGCACCCAAAAAGACAAGAGGTACAGACACGCCGAACCACAGGACCACTAGTGTCAGTAGTGTCGAGACGGGCACGGCTCCCGAACTTCCGACACTGAGGAGCGAGATGTCTATGACGAGGAAGCATGCGAACGTGAAGCCCGGCACCAGAGTTGCTGTCAACAGTGTGTTGAGCATCCAGTCCGTGCCCCTAAATGACTTGTAGAGTCTGGCTGCCGCGTGGCCGCCCGCGCCGCCCGCGAAGACGTAGAGCATCAATAACGCGGTGATGAGTGACCCTCGGTTGGCCGGTGACAGAAACCCGAACAGCGCGAAGGTCAACGTAAGCAAGACCATGCATCCTAATTGCACCCCAGATCCAATGCAGACCGAAAATAACATGGGGCTAAATGAAGGCGGTCTGAACACGTCAGCATGAACCAATTTCCAGCCCGATTCTTCCTTCGCCTCATCGAGCAAAGCAGCATCATTATAGTGGGCGATGTCCTGCGATAGAGTCCGCACCAAAATCATGGCGACCATGACCGTCAGGAAGACGACGATCATCGTGCTGTTCGTGATCGAGAACCAGTGGATCTTGTCGTCCGGATTGCCCTGTAAAAATACGTCCCACCGGTGGGCCCAGGGCGTCGCGCTGTCCTCCCACTCCACGTCGTACGTGAATACTACCTCTGTTGAGCCATCAATCCGTTGGTAATTGGTAGGGTCGTTCCGCGCCGGTCGTTGCGCGGAGCACGTATTGAGTTGCGTTTCTTTGGTACTGAACGGTATGTTCTCATCATAGACGTGCTTGATGGAGTAGGGTTCCACTCTGAATCCTACTACACGTACTCGCTCATCTTCCTCCGTAGATCGCTCGACCGCCCTGTGTACTGACACTACAATTTTAACGTGATTGAACAGGAAATGTTGAGTTTTTCCCGACTCGTCCTCCTGCCGGAAACCGACGGGAAAGCCCCTGACATGATACGGCCGCGTGGGATCCACCTTATTCGTCAACAACGTCGACGCCGGTAAATTGTCGACGATCCAATGGACCCTATAGTCGTCATCGATCGCTCGCGCGAACCGCTTCGCCCCGATCTTCGTCACCTTCTTCCGACACACGATCTTGCAGGGCTGGTTCTTCAGTACGGATAACTTGTAGAGCGAGTTCTCGATCTTATCCCCCGCGAGCTTCTCTCCAATATTTTCTGACACCTGCTTGATTCTAGGATGGCAGAAGGGGAGCGAGTAGTAGTCGTAGGGAATCTGCGTGTGCGTGCTCGTGAGCTTGTTCACGTAGAGTTTGAGACTGTCCTCGGGGCTGTAGCTCCTAGGCGCGACGCCGGGGAGGTACGTGGCCGCTTGTGCCGTTTGGAGGATGAGTGTCCAGCGCAGCATGGTTTAATGACTGTTTTGGAGCCGCCGCGCCGGCTGGCGTTCCCGACACGCGTAGATTTCTCCTGCCTGGGCTGCTGCCGTGGAGCCGCGGAATACAATCCGGCGCCGCAAGAACAACGGCGAGCGGGCCACGGCGACAGCGGCGAGCGGTACAAAGCGTTGTTCGGCCCAGTCTATACCCTACCCCAGTTACCAGGCACAAAATCGTCACGAAACTTTTTGGCTGCTAGCGCAACAATGAGATACTAGTATTTTCAGGTAGCGGTCTCCCCCCGGGGCTCCGCCACTAGTTCTAGCACCGTAACAATCAATTGTCCAGGCACGGAAAGTATGCCGTTATGAAAGCCGCTGCTCGCGCCGGATCTCATGAACCGGCAGCGCGGTGTCCCCCACTAGTCCTAGCGCCACACAAGCACGACCACCAGACGCCGCCGCCGCCGCCGCGCCCCCCCCGGAAAACGAATTTCAATCAACTTAGGAATTGAACTCCTTCGACGTGTACTTCGCCGCCTTCTTGTCCAGCGCCGACAGCTTCAGAAGACTGGAAAGCCCGGAGAAGCCTAACAACCCAGCAACACCAAAGAGCCCAAGCTGAGGAATGCGCGCCAATTTCGCCACAGAAGCCACGTTCAGCACCAACGACGACAGCAGGAGATTCGTCATGCCCGACGACTGCGTACCCAAACGAGTCAACGCCATCTCGTTTTCCAGCGAACGCACCCTTATCTTCAGCTGGCCCTGCTCTATACTTCTCATAGTTTCCTCCAAGTAAGCGATCTTCCTAGGTTGGGTGAGTGCCGTATTGACATCTTCCGCATTGAGCCCAGTCGCTTTCCCGAAGACCGCAAGGGACTTCTTCGAATTGTCGCCGCCGTACTTGACTTTATCAATAAGTTTCGTCACGAAGGGCTGCGCGAATTCACCGAGATCATAGTCCTCGTCCAGGCCCTTGCCGATGCCGTCGATCGACGCAATAGCTCGGAAGATAAATGTGAAGGTTGAGGGGAATCTAAACACCTGGCTTTCGGTCAAGGATTGCAACTCCGTGCCCAGCGTCGACTTGATGCCGGGCCCGTCGCTTCTGTCTTTGCCGAGTTGCTTGTCCTTGAACGCTCTGATAAAATACCGAGCCAATTGCTCGGACGACAATCGGTCCGCGCCCTTCGCCAACACGCCCGCCGTCTCGACCGCATCCACCAACTGCTTCGCCTTCACTCCTAATTGAATATCATCGATCATGGGCCCCCCTTCAAACAGCGCGAAGCAGAACTCCTTGAACCCCGCCTTGACGTTCGGTGAGAGTTCGTCCATCATCCCAAAATCATAATACACCAAGTTGCCGGACGTGTCGACCGCCAAATTGCCCGGGTGCGGGTCGCAGTGGAAGTAGGCGGTATCTACAATCTGGTACAGAAACGTGTCAGCGACGCGCTTCGCCAGGTCCTTCCTATCCAGGCCTTCCTTTTCCACTCTTGCGATGTCCGTGAGCTTGAAACTTTCAATAAATTCCATGGTCAGGACCTTGGGCGTCGAGTACCTGTGCGTTGTGACAGAATGAGCTCTCGGTCGCGGGATGTCTCGGCGATGGCGTGCCGGTAGGAGATCCGCACCACCTCCACGCCGTCGCCGCGGCGCGGCAGGCGTCGACGGCGTCGCAATGGGGACACAGATAACATACTCGTAGATCATCTCCGGCACGCGGACCTGGGGGTCGTCCTTGAACTGCTCCCTAAATCTGTCGGCGTTCTTCGCCTCATTTAAGTAATCAATTTCTTCGTAGAGCAGTTTTTCGGACTCGTCGAACACGTCGATGTACGACCGGTCGGCGCCGTCGGATTTAGGGTCGACGGAGTCGAGTAACTCACACAACTTTCTCAAGTTTTTGAGATCGGTCGCGAAGAGCTCCCTGAGTCCAGCTCTCTGGACCTTGACGGCGACCTTCTGGCCGTTCTTCTTTAGGGTTCCTAGATGGACTTGGCCGAGCGACGCGGCCGCGATCGGCTCTTTGCTGAAGTCGCTGAAGACCTCATCAACAGAGGACACCCCGAGCTCCTTCGCGACGATGGACGCGGCGCGCTCCCCGGAAAAGGCGGGCACGTCGTCCTGCAGCGACTTGAGCACATCAATGTACTCCGCGGGCAGGACGTCCGTTCTGGTAGACAAAACTTGCCCTAGTTTGACGAACGTAGGGCCTAACGTCAACAACCGATCGCGCGCGAAGGTCGCCGCCGCCGTCTTGTCCTCCGAAGACCCCTTTCTTGCCTTCAGTACCTTGAACGCGCATCGCGCGAGTGCCTTCCACACTTCCAAATTTCTTCTGAGAGAACCGCGCCCACCGCGCTTCTCCCAGCCCTTCTCGAGCATCTCCCCATCAATAATGTCGGCGGCGGTGGCCGACTTGCCGGTTGGGCCACTTACGGACGACCTCATGAGCCGCCTCAGTAGTCCTTTGGTCTCCTCCTTCTTCTCCTCGTCCAAGCATTCCGGCTCGGGCTCAATGACGTCGCACTCCTCGTCTACTAATTCGGTGACGGCTTTCTCGATCGCGGGAGTAACAACTAACTTGTCGACTTCGGCATCCACAGCTTCCGCGACTTTGGCTTCGCGCTCGAGCGTCGCGGCGTGGAGCTTCGTCGCGGTCCGGCCGGGGCGGATGGGGTTGTAGGCAGTGGCTACCGCCAGCAGCGCGATGAGGAGCTTGGCCATGACTGGTAGCTTTCTTGTTTTATCTACACAACGTCGCGCGGCGCTGCTTTGCAGACTGAGAGTGTTGGTCCCTCTGAACGTGTGCACGCGATACCGAAAGCTGGTGCGCTTCAGCAGTGGCGTACGCAGCTCGCAAAGCCGCACACGTCGATAGCCAAGCCCTCTCAAGGTCGAGTTTGGAAGATGCCGGGATGATGGGTCTACGACTCTAGCCAGGCCTGAACAGACCTCTTGGACAATACGCTGCGGCGAAACGGCGCAAAATCGATCGCACGTAACTGCTGCCCAAGGGAGAGCAGCGCTGTCAAATTGGCGCGGGAAAGCCGGCCAAAAGCCACGTTCGGCGCCACCGGCAGCCTCGAGACACCACCCTAGTTGCGTAGAAGCGGGTCGGGCAGCAAAAAAGCGGCACGCGCCGCGGCCACACAAACAAGCACCACTAACACGCCCTAAGCCGCCGCCGAGCGCGCGCCGCCACTCCGCCGGGCGCGACGCCATAACGCACGGAGCCAGAAACGCGCAGCACCATGGCGCCGGTCCAGCCCCGCTACGTGAATGCTGGCTCATTCTTAAATATAGCGAGACAAGTTTTTGACATGATGGACACGGACCTCAATGGAAGCTTGGATCGCGACGAGATCCTCGAAGGTATTAAGAACAACAAAAAGGTGAAGCACTTCCTGAAGAACTGCGGCCACGAGGACCTGCAGTACCTGATGGATCCGGAACGCTTAGAACCGGCACTCAAGGCGATAGATGAGGACGGCGACGGGCAAGTTGGTCTGATGGAGTGGGAGCACGCGATTCGGCGAGCCTTGAACCGTAAGTTACGAGCGGCAGAGAAGCGTCGAGAAGAACTACGCCGCAAGAAGATCGAGAAGGCTCCCTTGAAGGAATTGAGGGAGTTCCTGATCCGGATGAACGACCGGTTCAAGGAGCGATGCAAAGCTGAGGGTACGGTATCAACATTAAGGGGCAACTGGGAGCGCATGTTTAATGAGATCGACGACGACGGGAGCGGTCGCATCGACTACGGGGAATTTAACGGCGCGGTCTATGCGATGGGCCTCGAGGAGGATCCTCAATTGCTCAGAGATTTTTGGGCGTTCGTCGACGAAGACGATTCGGGAGAAGTGACTATTGCCGAGTTCCAGAACGCCACGTACCTATTGGTGTTGGCAGGCTGGGACGACTACGACGATAAGCAGTTGAAAGCGTTGGTGAATCGCTTGAATTTAGCGGTAGAGACAAGGCACGAACGAAAGACGTTCTTCCAGACGCAGCAGGGCCCCTTACAAGAGGAACGCTTCAACTGGTACAAGATTTTTGTGATGTTGGATCTCGATGGGAGTGGTAGACTAGGCTACGAGGAGTTGTTGGGCTGTATTCGCGGAGGGTATCCCTGTTTGAATTTGACGAAAAAAATGTTTTCTACTTGTTGGGTCCAAGGGCTGTGGAAGGCGATTGATGTTGACAGAAGTGGTGATGTTACCGTCGACGAATTTGTGGCGTTCATGCGTCGTAATGCCCCGCCGAACCCCGGGAAAGTGGTCGTGAGGAGGCCGCCCTTGCCCATGGACCGCCAAGATGCCGACCTGCGATTCCCGGACACGGTGTTCTGCCACGCGCTGCGGACGGGGGGCAAGCCCCTACCGGGCCATCGGTGGCCCCGGAAGGTGTTTGATGCCAAAGGTCCTTCAGATAAGTGGGAGACTACTGGCGTCGGCGCCGGAGCCGAGCTCGAGGTGACGATACCGGACTCGATCGTGAATGGTCTGGACCCCTCGAAGGTGCCCGATCACCTGACCTATCTACTGAGGGAGAAGTCCTACGTCGAGGAGATGGAGCGCAAGGTCCTCGCTGATAGTATTGCTCATAGAAAACGCTTCATGCCCAAAGCTGATTGTGGGAGTCTGCAGTCTACCGTGGAGAGTACGGCGCCGTCTAACTTCGACGAAGACTCTATCTATTTAAGTGAAGGTGTGGCACCGGGACCGGGCTGCGCGCCGGCGCCGGCGCCCGCGCCCGCGGCCGCGCTGACGCTGCAGGAGCAGGTCGACGCGAAGCGACGGGAGTACCGCGAGTCAATCCGGAAGACGCGGGAAATGTCGAGACGCAACGCCAAGAAAGCTTTAAAGAAGACGGGCGACGAGGTCAAAGCCAAGAGGGATAGGTTGACCGAGGACCTGGGCTTCGACGTCGGCGCGCCGGGCGTGCCCGCGCGGCAGCTCGTCTAAGAACTTACAAGACTACGAGTTGCTGTTTACTTGGAGTTCTAGTCTGCTTTGTTTAGATAGCTTAGATAGAGCTAGGCCGCCTAGCCACCCGGCCGGCGCTAGTCTACCCCGCCCCAATCAATTCCGCCGCCGACCGGGGGGGTGGGCGTGCGCAAAGAACCAGCGGCGAGATGTTCCGCCACAGTCCTAGGATGGCTCGCCGCCGCCAGCATCGAAGGCGGGGTCGGCGGAGTTGCGCACGAGACAATGCATCGACCCTGAGATCGACCTCCGTCCATTGGCGCAAGCAGGGGAAAGTTTCGGGCAACGAGCTGGACACCGCTCCGCCACGTGTCGTCCGCCGGAAAGCGAACGCAGGGACCGGCGAGACCATTGAGACCAAATGTCACGCACCCTCGGACCATGTCAACGAGAACAGACATCGTGACGGGATCCTGACAGTACGACCAGGAGTCAACGCCTAGCGACGGCATTTCTAGCATATCATCATCAACGTTCCGCTCGAGGACAGCGATATGGCCATTGTCGTGGCCGCCAACTCCATCATTGTGCTCGAGCATGAATCGAAATTTTCTCTGCCCCTCAGGCTGCTGGGCCAGCCCGGCCAGGGCAAGAATATCCAAGCCCATGCCCCACCAGGCGTAGGAGAAGCGTACTTCGACGTAGTAGGTTTTGCTCGAGACCATACAAGATAGTCTTGTAACGTGCGAGGTATCCGTGACGTCGAGCGCGACCGCGATTTCCTCGTCACTGCCGAACTGAACCCAGTGGGCGTGATACCCGGCGCGGTACGCAAAGCGCGCGACATGTAGCACCATCTCCCGCGGGAGTAGGCGTAGCGGGTTTGCCGCCCGAGGCCCATCAACGCTGCGACCTCGGAAACGTGGGAGCGATGCCAGGCCGAGAAAAGTATAAATCGCGGGCTTGGACAGCCCTCTCGGTTCGTACCGCGCGACTGTGGGGGGCATTGCAAATCAATCAATATGCAAAGTTGCCAATTGGGCTGATCATATATATTGGCAACGCTACAGTATCCTTATAGGGTAATAAGTGTGACGAGACGCCGCCGCCTTCTCTGTGTACGTGCGTGGTCAAGCACTACGCGCGTACTGAGCAAATTGCGCAGGCTGTAAAACCCGTTTTGATGGCGCAGTGACTCGATGAAACAAGGCCGCCTCCGCGCAAAAAGCAGACCAGTAGGGTCACAAAAGAAGCTTACCTCACGCGCGCCAGCGCGAGAACGGCCGGCCCTCGGACTCGCGCGCGCGCCGCGGCGTCGAGTGGCGCCGCGGCGTCGACGGCGCCGCTTTCAGAGTCGGTGTGGGAGGCGGCGCGACGAAGTCCACGGACTTCGTGGAGACCCAGCCTGATACTGGTTGCGACACCCTCAAACGAGCTGTACCGTTGGCCGCGGTGCCCTCTCCAGTAATTGTAAGAGCAGTACCGGGAGGGCAGGTCGCCACGATCGGCGAGTCGAGTTCCACACCTTCCCGGACAATAGCCCCACCCGCAACGCGCGCGGGGACCATGTAGATCTGCGCCGCGTCGGGGCCCGCGGGCCTCGGCGGTTCCAGAGTTTCCGCTAATCGCGACACGAGTCGCGCCTGCTCCTCGGTCAACGACGTCTTCCGTAACGCGTCGAGCGCCGACGCGAAATCCGAAGAGGGCGCGCTGAGCGAGAACTCCTCTGCGTCAACTCTCTCAGCCTCCGACACTTGAGCGCTGGGATGCAGACTGACGGCCCATGCCTTGCCGAAGCGCTTGCGCGGGTTGTTGTGCGAGGCTAGTCGCCGCAATTGCGTCGGCGAGTGCCCATGGGCCACCAACTGTTGCGCCACATTTTTCGCCATGCTCTTGCGCGAGTTCCGCCCGCAGTGCGTCTTCGCGGATAAGCCTTCCAACTCCGAGCAGTAGGCTATTATTTCTCTCGCTAGTTTCAATAAGCCGTAGTAGACCCGAGCTTTGGTGATCCGATACGTATCGTTCGGGTTGTCCGCACAGGCCGCGTCTAAGGCGGATCTAGTGAGTGCCGAGACCTCCGTGAATTTCAACGCTAACGCGCGCGGCGGCGGATCCTCGTCCGCCGTCAGGAAGTCGAGGAACACGGGCTGGCCCCGCATGTACAACCGACCCTGGCAGCCGATGTAGCCATGATTCTCGATGATCATCAAGGTCTTTCTCCTCAGAATGACTTCGTCGGGTGCAAACAACAAATGGGTCAATCTTTCAAAAATACCCAGCCTTAACAGCTGCGACGTATGTCGGAAGTAAGGTACGACGTTCAATTTATGACTGAACACGTTCTCGCAGACCTTGCATCTCAAATCTGGACTGAGATGTTGTATGAGACGCGAATACTCCAGTCTTCGCTGAATTTCGACGCTATTCAGCAAAAACTCCCTAGAATCTCTACACAGTCGCGCATCGACCCCGAGATCCAAGAGCATCCAGTTGATCTGGTCATAGATCTGGTTGTACTGTATTTTTTTGACATCCAGCGTCGTGACGGCTTGGGTCACGGCACCGATGATCCAGGCCCACATCAATCCCCCACAGAGCATCATTACGGAAACAACGGCCCTTTCAGCCACATTCCGAGCGTGGACATCGCCATAACCAACAGTCGTCAATGTGGTCAATGTAAAGTACAAGCACATCAGGTACTGGATCTGCGGGTTTTGCACGTCCCACGGTACCGGTAAGCCACTCGGCGAGAACCACTCCTCGTCCTCCGCTTTTCCCTTCAAGTAGTCCGGTTCTAAGAACGGAGCCATCCACGAGTTTCTATCGCGTCCTATTTGATTGCCCAAGAACCCCCACGTGCACGCCAACCAATGGGAAGCTAACACCGTAAATATGATAAACCCTATCAAATTCGCTCCCGTTATGCTGAGAGTCATGCTTGCTCTATAGCGCATGATCAAGCGACTCCCGCGGAACATCCTCAGTAGTTTCATGAGCCTCAATAAACGTAACAGTCGAGCCATCTGGAGGTTGTTGAAAATCTTGATGCCCGTAAAGGTCAGAGCAGAAAAAGGTATGATCGACACAAAGTCCACAAAAAATGCCCCTTTCAGGTACCTTTTTATTATTTTCTTGTGGTTCCTTATCCAGACGCCGCCTTTGTGCTTCGGGAGTTGGACATGCAGGAAGAACTGCAAGATCATGTCCGCAAAAAACACGAAGTTGACCACCTGGTTGATGCAGAACAGGGCATTGACTTTGACTTTCTTCTGCGGTGGCGTGAACGCGACTTCTGCTGGGGGTACCAGAGCGGTATAAACTAACGCTAAACAAATGACGGCGTCCCACCACTGCGCCTCCCTACATCTCACGGGATCGATGGTCCAGGTCTTGGCCTTTTGCTTCCGGACGCGCTTTCTCACGTCGACGAGCATCCGCTCCGTCTGCTCGCGACTCAGTTTTTTATCTGATTCCCTCTCGATGTCCTCCTTGCTCTCCTGTCGTACGGGCGTCTGGAGGGGGGGCATCGTCCCGCGCCGCCGTTTCTTTGTCGCCGGTGGTGGACCTGCTGCTCGACGGCGCTGGGGCTGCCCCTTAGCTTGCCGGCCAGAGTTCGCCGCGGGCCGACCGGCGGGCTCTTGCGGACGGCTGCGGTCGCCCGGACACGCGGTCGCCGTATCGGGCTGGCACGCTCTGCTTCGGCTCCGCTCGAGCTTTTGCCACCGGCGCTCTGGCTAGTAGCTTACGCCGCCGCGGAGGACGTCTCCGGCGGGCGCTGGATCGCCTAGGCTCGTCCCGCCGACGGCGTGCGCCGGCTCGGAGGGGAGTTCCGGCGAAAATTTTTCTTTCGCGGCCGCGGCCGACGCCCGTCGACGCCTGAGTGGAACTGCAGGGGAGACTCGGCGGATCTGGGCTTCGGGCGGCGCCCCGTGAGGATGGCCGTCGAGTCTCCCCGCTGGAAAGTTCCCTGGCCAAACGTCGGACGCGGGCGCGGGTGACCGCGCTGAGGACCTGGCAGCTACACCATCAGAACACATAGTTATCCACGAGTGAAGAGAAGAGTCAACACGACTCCCAGAGCTTCTTGCCGCGGCCCTCGCCGAGCTTCCGCGGGTACCGGAATGGGGCCGCGTCCGACGCGGACGCCTGGCCTGGGTCCGGCGGCGCGAGCGCGTCGCAGGCGTCGCCGCTGCCCGAGCCGTTCGACCCGATGATGGTCTTGCGCCGCGCTGGTACTGGCGGCTTCTCCGGCCGCAGCGCGCGCCGCAGCAAGGCGGCCGACGGCGGCGCCGTGCGCGCGCTGTCGAACAACGCCGCGACGACCTTGCGCTTGCGCCTCCTTGACTTCGGCCCAAACCCAAACGCGGAAGCGATCGTCCCGACGTCGCGCTTATCCAACGACTGCAGGAACTTGTACATGCGCTTGCTCTCGGCCCTGAACCGAGCTTTACTTTCGGGCGTCGCATCCACATGACGCCAGGCCTCGGCCTCGGCCTCGGCCGCTTTCACGACGCCCGACGGCCGCCTTCCCCGAGGCAACGCGTCGCAGAAGAGCCGGTCCCAGGCCTCGCCTCGGTGTTGTAGAGGCGCGCACGCGACCTGCCACGCCTGGAGGCACGCGTCCTGCGCCGCTCGTTTACGAGCGAAGATCGACTCCCTCAGTTTTCGTCGCAGGTGCGCCCCGCGATAAATTCGTTGGACTAACGTCGCCGCGCGATCCAAGCGCGCGTACTTGTCATCTAAACTCACAATGGCGTCCACACGTTTCTCCGGGTTCTGAGAGTTCCAGATGGCCCGGTGGTCGCTACCTTCACTAAAGAACCTAGGGTCCACATCGGTAACAATACCGTCGACGACGGTCGCGTTCTCAGGATGTAATTGCGCGATCCACGCCTCGTAGGTGTTGCGGCGTCGGGGCGGCGGCGAGTGCTTGTTGTTCTTCTTCCTGAGGAACTTCTTGAGGTCATTCGCGATCTGAGCCCTAGCTTGCGCCTTGGCGTCGTCCCTTAACCTGTCGAGCGTCTCCTGGTCGTTGACGTCGGCCGTTTCTAGTCCCGTGCCCTTTTCGGTGTCGCCATACAACGCGCTGCTGAGGCGGCGGGCGAGGTCCATCGTCGGCTGCGGCTTATTTGTGCACTTAAGCCGTCGGCGCAATGATGGTGCGCAGCGCGGCGTCGGCGCTTCTTATGCCACTGAAACGTGTTCACAGCGTCCGGTGGCGTCCGCGCGCACTAGATTGTGCTCAATGCAAGGAGAGCATCTCTCTTGCAAGCAGCATCGGCAGCCGGCGTGCTCTACGCATTGGTGGCGACAAGGCTGCGGTCAACTGTAGCTGCAAGGCAACAACGCTGGCCGAAACCGATTGCAGATTTTGCGCCCAGCAAATTGCCAATCAACTTTTGCTTGCTTGCTGCTAGTGCTCTTACAACGCTAGCTCGTTCGCACAGCGTCTTGGCGGCCGGACGCATCACTACAGGACGCACCCAGGCCTGCATACAGATATTATGGGGCACGGTCCACTAGCAAAATCGACTCCAATTTCCTAGGCTGCCCGCTGCCGCAAAGGCAGTAAACAAACAACAAACATGGGGCAGCCACGACGATGATCCACGACTGCCTCTTCGGCGGCTACGACGAGGCGCCGCCGCCCATGGCGCCCGAGGCGGCACTGCGCAGGGACTGGAGCCTCTCGTTCCACTGCTTGACCTACGCGACGCGGCGGGGGCGCCTGATCATCGACGGCGCCACGGGTTTCATTCCACAAGGAAGCTGCTGCGCCGTCGTAGGGCCGTCATCAGTAGACAAACGTAGTCTGCTGAAACTGCTGAGTTGCCGCGCGCGCGGCGGGTTGCTCGGAGGAAGAGTCGCCTACGGTGGTAGAGACGCTTGTGAACAGTGCGCCGCTTACGTGGACGGTGCGATGGTCGACGACGAAATGCGGTCGTCTCTGACAGCGTTAAGTCGAGTCGAGGCGAGTTCTGCAGTGCGCTTTGGCGTTGTGAAGCCCTGTCCGTTACTGCGCGCTTTGGGTTTGGACGGCCTGGCCATCCCGTCCCATCGAGCGGAGGCCGTCGTCGTTGCCATAGCGAAGGCTTGTGTCCATGCGCCTCCTATACTATGTATCGAAGACGCCTTTCGCAACTTAGATATGCCTTCGCGGAAGTTCGTCGCGACGGCTCTCAAACAAGTGTCGCGGAGGCGCGTCGTTATTGTATCGATTGACTCGGTCTTAGACGATGCTACCTTCTCAATTTTTGATCACGTCCTACTGATGAGACACGGTGCTATCTTATATGGCGGCGCTAGGAATCAAACGCTGGACGCCTTAGAAAGAATGGGAACCGACGAAAAATGCAAAGAACAATACGAGCGTTCAGTAGAATACAAGGCCATGGAGCTCGACGTGTCGCAAACCACGTGTCAAGACCACGCGCCAAACGCATTTCAAGGGCCAGATGTAGCTCTATACAAACGTATCTTCTGGATGTGCAGGAGGGATTTTGATGGAACCGACTATGTGAGGAAGCACTCCATATTAAAAGCAATCGCCGTGCTGTGGGCGTGTCTCTTTTGGGACAGCGACGCGCAGGGGGCTCATGGACTAGAAGCCTGGGACGCCACCTCCTCAGCCTTTTGCGGGGGGCAGCTCGTCCTGTGGGCGACACTCCATGATGCGCCGGCGTTGGTGCGGAGGCACGGCGCGTTCCAGCGCAGCCGAGAGTGCTCCTGGTTTGTTCACTTACTTGTGAGGACGTTTCTGTTAGTAGTGGATTCACTCGCAAGGGGCACGGCCCCTTTGATAGTGAGTGGAGCTGCTGGTTATCCAAGAGGTGTCAATAATCTATGGATCGTGTACGTGCTCGGCGTTTTGTTAGCTTTATCTGCAGCGTGTCTGGTCGAGGCGTTAGCATCATACCAATACGACGACGGTGATTCCGTACGTTTACAATCATCGATAAGAACGGATCGCATCTCATCAGCGAAAGTGTCGGGGCAGTTCGGAGCGCTCGCTTTGATCTTCTCGCTATGTGCTGGTTTCGGCTTGGATCTGGCCCACATGTCCCCGTATCATCCGTTGGCCTGGGTCGCTCGCGTGAATCCATTAAGGTGGTTCGTCGAGGGCGTGGTTTTACGTTCTTCCCGAAGACCGAGGTTCAAGAGACATCGGGCGCCGTCGCCGGCCCGAGGCGGGTTTTCGAGGTCTTCATCTGAGATGTGTGTGCGATCTTTATTGGTCCTTATTGTTTGTTTCCGACTGATTTCGTATTGTTTTCTCGCGCGCGCGCCGGAAGAACCCATTTCAGTCGATCCGAGGAAGCTGCGGGGGAGGTGCTTTGTACCCGAGGAGGAGGACGACGAAGATCATGAAGAAGGTATCATCACGATCCCACCGTCCACGATACAAGCGCGCGACCTCACGATTACGGATGAGGATTTCGCTCCGGTCGTATCGGGCGCATCATTACATATAAAGAGCGGCGAGTGCGTATCGATCATCGGCGACGACGTGGAGGCGACGCGAGCTTTATTAAGAGCCCTGGCCCAAAGAGCAGGAACGACAAAACGCGTCGCGGGCGCCGTGCACATCAACGACGTGAGCGGCGGCGGCGCGCGTGTGGCGTGGGTGCCCGCGTCCACGGACCATCTTGATGGATGCGTCATGCTCGACGCGCGTAGCTTAGTAGCCTACGCCGCTAAACTAAGTGGCCACGACGAGTCTCATGTAGAAGCCTGTTTGCACTTGTGCGGCGTCACATCGAGGGATCGGCCCGTGAACTACTCCGAGTGTGATGAACCGGTATCATTGAGAAGAAGACGCATTTCGCTGGCCTGCGCCGCAGCCACCAAAGCCCCCGTCCTTTTTATCGACGACGCGTGCGGTTTAACCTCGACAGGACGGGACGCGCTCTCTTCGGTGAGCGGCGCATCAATTGCAAAGTGCTGCGCCAATCTCGCGAAGAAGGGTTTTTGTGTGGTCGCGGCGGCGCCGGGCATCAACGCCGACCAGGGGCTCCACTTTTCCCGTTGTGTGGTATTGTGTCGGAGGACCGAGGGCGGCTGCGACATTGCGTATGATGCGCCGCCGAAAGCGTTATTAGGTGAAGCATTTCCATGTACTACAATGAAGAGGAAGCCCGCGCGGGAGGCGGCCTGGGGAGATTTGGAAGAAGACGACCTGCTTCCGCCGTCGCGAGGGTCCTTCTCCTCCTTAGTAAAAAGGGACTGGGCCTGCCTGATGCAGGATCGCGAACGAGTTGGCGCGCTCTACGCTTCACCGGTGTTCCACGCTGTTTGGTTGGGGGTCGCGTTCGCGGGGCAAGGTCGTGACGACCCGCGCGCGACTTTGTATCTGTGCTACGGGTTACTGGCGGCCTTCACTTATCCTATTCCCGGGTCCTGTGCTGACGAAAAAGCTTTTTTGAAGCGTGTCCGGCACGAGCGCGACGTCGTTTCCGTGTACTTGGCTGTGGTCTCGCGAATTTTGGTGCGATCCGTGCTGGTCCTGGCCTCAGCCATAGTCTCCGTGGCCGTCGCCTTTTCATGTGCGAGATTATCTTTAAAACCAAGACCCTTCTCCACAGCTGTGTTAGGCTGCGTCGGCGCCTCAATACTATCGCGCTGTATTATTACCGCGGCCGCGTGTGCAACGAAACACGCCGACGACGTCGGCGCCTTCGTCGCGGCGTCGTTACTGGCTTGGGCGGGGCTCTTCCGCTTCCCGCGCGACTTTTGTGGAGGCTGGCGCGGCGTTTCTGATGCCGACCCGTTGCGGTGGTTGTTGGAGGCCGTCGCGGCGCCGCAACTCCGAGGCGTGGAGGCGCCGCGGCGGTCCGATTATGAGGGCAATGCGCGGGCCTTTGTGGGTTATAACGCGACGGCCGACGGGGCGCTGGTGCGGTTTTCAGTGTTACTGGCGCCGGTCGCGTTGGTGACGCTGGTTTGTTTTTCTCGGGCGGTTGTGCGCGAGGGTGGTGGGGATTAAGATTTTTGTAGTGGTACTTTATCCCTCCCGGGTGCACTCGCTGAGAGACTCGCTAGGGGGAGATCCCAGCAGTTTTAGCTAGTAATAACATACTAGTCCAAAAAACCAGCTCGAGCTCGCGCCGCATCCTCGCGGCGCGCGATAAGTTGGCGGCAGTTTCTAGCGAGGAGCACTGTAATTTTTGCAACCGCAGCGAATACCACCAAATCTGGGCTTGCGTTGAGCACCGCTTGGCATTAGTGGGCAGGATGGCCGAGATGGTCTCCCAGGGAGACGACGCCGCCGCCGCAGCGGCGCCGCCGAAGCGCGACCCGATAGAAGCGGCTTTGTCGATCATGAGACGCATGCCCCCCAATAAAATCGCCCACAACCTCAACGCCATATGCAATCTCATACCAGAACACGCCGACGAGCTCCTGCAGCGCGTCGACCAGCCGCTCGAGGAGGCCAAATGCAAGGACACGGGCCGCGCGTACCTCCTATGCGATTATAACCGCGACGGCGACTCTCATAGAAGCCCGTGGTCGAACAAGTACGATCCGCCTATTGATGATGGTTTTGTACCGTCAGAGAAACTACGACGCCTAGAGGTCGAGGCCAACACGTTATTTGATTGTTATAGGGAGTTGTATTTCGAGGGAGGCACTTCAAGTGTATACCTCTGGGAGCTGGACGGCGACGACTTCGCCGGCTGCTTCCTCATCAAGAAGAAAGTATCGGGCCACGAGTTCGTCACGGAGGGCTGCTGGGACTCCATACATGTCGTGGAAGTTAATTTGGAGGACAACGGCAAGGCGGCCAACTACAAACTGACGACAACCGTCATATTAACGATGGACGTGCAGAAGGAAAGCGTCGGCGACACGAACCTGTCCGGTACTCTTACTAGGACGGCTGAAAAAAGATCTGTGATAGATGCCGAGCACACGCACATGCACAACATGGGCACCTTGATCGAGGACACGGAGACCGATATTAGAGTGAACATGGACGCGCTCTACATCCAGAAGACGCGGGAGGTCGTGAACAACATCCGTTCTCCACAAACGGGGCCCTCGCAGGGCGCGGCCTTCACGGCGTCGCTCAACGAGGCCGTCAAGCGGCACGCGCGGTAGGTTATGTTCTCGCTAAGTTATATGCATGTAGTCCCGCGCGTCGCCGGTTCGTGTGCGTCGCTTATTGTAGCTGCCCTCTACGCTCTTGTAGGATTGCCGTAAATTCCTAACACGGCGTTCTCCCTAGCGGCTTGTAAAGACACTAGAAGCAGGCCAGGGCTTGGGCCAGCGAGAAAAATTGGGTGCAGGCTGCTGAGAGTGCAATAGAAACGACGCACGCGTAGCTATATTGCCTCAGGACAGCGATGCCATGACAATTTCTGCCTAAACATCGCAAGCAAATAGTAACACTATAATTTCCTGAATAGCAGCTATTGCCTGAAGCGCCAGCGCGTGCGCGAAGACGAGTCCGAGTCCGGACGCTGACCATCACCACGCCACCTCCACGCGGTTGCAACCGCACGTAAAATGGCGCCCTGCCTCCCCAAAAGCACGCGCAAGCGCTCGCCGCCGGCGCGCTTCGTCAAGAGCAATTGCCAGCTGGTCTGCATCCTTGCACTGTTAGGCGGCGTGACGCAACTGTGCTCGATGGCCATCGCACGCTTCGAAGCACCGGCGTCAACGCCAATCCAAAAACCAATCCCGCCGCGCGCGGCCGTGCTGATTGTGGGAGAGACGCGGTCGCTGTTCCTGCCGCGCGTCTACGAATTATGCAGAAGGAATTTGATCGGGGGCCTCGCGAAGCAGGGGGCCGCCGTCGACGTGTTTTTGAGATTAGACAGAAGCGTCAAGGCGTCCGAGGGCAGCGAGGGCCACCGGAAGATCTCGGGCGCGCGCGGCGTGCCGTCGATAATCGGACACCTGCCGGATTCTATTCTGAGACCGATGTTACAAACCTTAAAGCCAGTACAAGTCTCGTGGTTCGTAGCAGGTAAAGACGAGGGCGATACCGAGAGCGACGCGGGCCTGAGAAACGGCACCCTGCTGCCGTGGCGCTCGCTGTCCATCGAGGAGCGCTCCCTCGCGCTACTGCGAGCCTTCGACCGGCCGCTCTGGTCCCAGTCTGTGTGGAAATCAAATGTCGGGCGCCCCACGCCATCGACGCGACGTTGCGCCCGTGACCGCGTCGGCTCGATGGCGTGGAGGTTCACGAAGGTCCACGCAATTCTTCTCAGGATAACCTTACTCACTGATTGATTTCCACACAGGTCCCAGTGGTGGAACCGCTACCAGGCCTATCGGGGTGCTTTACGGTATTCTGCATTGCGCAACTTCGAGTATGCATACTTCTGCTTCGCGCGGAGCGACTCGGCCTGGCTCCGGCCCGTGCCGCCCATCCAATCCTTTTCAAGAGATAAAGTATCCGTCAATGACGTCTGGATGCTCACGGCGAACGACCACGTCATGGTCGCACCGTCCGGTGACCTCGTCGAACGACTCATAGATATGGACAATACCGGGAGGACCTGGTGCTTCGGCAACCCGTACGGCCTGTCGCCGTTCCACGGCCGGTCGAACGAGGAGAAGAAGCGGCCCGAGGCGCCCTGCGACTATGAGGCTATCCGGGGAGCGGTCGTCGAGAAGCTACGATGTTTACCAGAAGAGGCCGATCTGATAGCAAGAGATATAGTCGAAGAGTACTGCTGTTCCGGTAGTAGAGGCAAGCGCTTCAAGACGCACGCGGGCCACACGGAGCACTTACTGGCGAAGAAGATCTGCGGCGATAAGGAGGACTGCGGCGACCAGCACCGGGGCTTCGCGGATCTGGCGCAGGTTAGGTTAGCTCAGACGGTCGTGCGGTCGCACTTCGGCGCCGACTGCGGGCGACTGGCGTCATATCAGGGCAACCCGAGCGTGCGTTCTTCACGTCCTTCGGTCGGCAACTACCTCATCTGCGTGTTGCTGTTCCACGACTGCCGGTTCCGCGACCGGCGCATGCCTAGCCTGGGCCCCTTCGGCGGCAAGCCGCTGGGCGACCTCAAGATCGATCCACCGGGCCGCTGCGCCTGGCCGGCCTGGTTCCCTTCTTCGGAACCTCCACAACCAGCTCAATTAGTTAGCGGAGACGGGCGCTGCGCCACGATCGACGGTGAACGGGTCGTGCTGAGGGAGTGCGTCCAGGAGTCGGAGCAGGACGCCCTCGCGGCGAGCGGTACCCAAAACCGCCTCGTCTTCTCCAAGCCCGTGCGCCATGCGCCGGACCAGCTCTTCGCGCTACTCGCGAACACGGCGAAAGGTGTTGAAATCTTGAGCCTCGACCCGCGGTTTTCTTCTGACTTTAGATGTTTGAGACCGGGGGGCGCCGCGGGGCTGACGGTCGGCCGCTGCGACGCGCTCGAAAGTGGAAATGCGGCGCGCGCGACGGCGTTCGTCCTCGACGCGGGCCGGCTCGTGCACAGCTCGGGCGCGTGCGTTGTGGGGCGGGACCAGCTCTCGCTGTCGAGCTGTGTCGCCGCGACGGCGCTCGAGGTCGTCGTCGTGGAGCCCTGAGGTCTGTGTTAAGTCTAGAATTATACTACTACTCCTCTTCGCGCTCGCGATCGCGTCCGCCGTCGCCCCTGTTGGCTGAGTTACAAACATTACCAATTATTCCCCGAAACGGACGCGTCGCGCGCTCGCCGCCTTGTTTTATAAACGCCCCGCAACTCCTCGGAGAAGGCCGGCGCGTCCCGAAAGAACGCATCCACCACTTCAGGGGACTCCTCGGCCGCGTCCGCCAGCGGATCACTATACACGTCGCCCTGCGCCGGTTTTATCGGATCCAAGCCTTCCTTCGCCCGATGAAAATTGTTATCTCTCAAAGAGAAGGAACAGCCGCAGTACTCCTGCTTGTAGAACGACTGTTGCGCATTGATCTCGTATTTTCGAGCCGTCATGACATCCGTCTTCCAGTCATCATCCATATACGTCAGGTCATACTTCGCCGCCGCCCGCCTCCCCGAATCGTCGACTTGCTGCTCATCTTTCCACCGAGAAGTACTGTTGGTGGTGGCAATGTGAGAGAAGCCCCACTCGTGCGCGTACAGCGCCGTCCGGTCCATGCGCATGTCGAAGCACATCGTACATCTAGAACCCCTTTCAGGGGAGAACTCCATGCCCCGCGCGCGCTTGTACCACTCGTCGGGGTCGTAATCGCCGTCCACGAACGGCACGCCGAGCCGTCGCGCGTATTCTTCATTTTCTCTTTTACGTAACTCGTACTCCGCGCGCGGGTGGATGTTCGGGTTGTAGAAAAAGATCGTCACGTCGGCGTCCTGCTTCTCGACCATCTCCTCGATCATCGCCCCCGAGCAGGGCGCGCAGCAGCTGTGGAGGAGGACCTTCGGTCGTTCCGTTTCGTTCGGGGCCGCGGCGGCGCACTGCTCCTCCGCGCCGAGGCCGGCGACGCGCTCCGTCCGCGGTTCGACGGCGGCGGCCGCGTGCTCATCCATCGAACGTGTGAGGTAGCACGCGTCGCCGTACGACAGGAACCGGTAGTCGCCGGCGAGGGCCCTCCTATATAAGTCCCGGGCTTTGCCCGCTAAAAAAGCGTCTACCAGATGTAACAAAGTCGAGTCGGGGTGGTGGAAGTTCGTCACGAGGGCGTCGACGACGGAGAACCGCCACCGCCCGTCGTTCGTGATGCATAGGGACGTGGACGCCGCGAAAGTGTCGGCCGGGCTCGTTTGCAAGAGAGATTCAAACGTTTGTACGACGTCGGGGCGGTCGCCGCGGCCGCTCCACTGCGGCAGCGCACCGAGGTCTCCGAGAACCGCTCGCTTGCGTAACTCCTGCCCCTTCATCGCGCAGGGAGTAATGGAAGCAATTTTAACGGCCAGGAGGTACAGCGACTCCAGGGCTCGACACGACGTCGTGCCCACAGCGACAATAGACCGCCCGTCCCGCTTGGCCGCAATTAAGGCCTCGACCGTCGCTCGGGTCACCGAAAAGCGCTCCGCGTGCATGTCATGCTCATCAATCGAACCGGTCACGGGCCGGAACGTCCCGGCGCCGACATGTAATGTCACGCGCGCCGTCTCAAAATTATTCTGGACGCGCGCCCAGTGCTCTCCGGTAAAATGGAGGCCCGCCGTCGGCGCCGCGACGGAACCCTGTTCAGAAGCGTAGGTCGTCTGGTAGTCCTCGTCGTCCGACGCCTCTACGCTTCTCCCGAGGTAGGGCGGCACGGGCACCTCGCCACACACGTCGAGGAGGTCGGCCAGCGTTCCCGCGGCCTCTACCACTATTTCTACCTCTGTGCCGTCGTCCTCGCCATGCTCGACCCAGGGACTGACGACGCGGGACACTCGTAAATGTGCTTCGGAGCCCTCAACCTTCAGGATCGAGCCCTCTCCTATATTTGTCGTTCGCGCCATCGCGGCCCAGGCTTGGCCGTCCGCGCCGGCTGCGACGAGCGCCGCGGGATCCGCGGTCGCGTCGGCCGGCGCCAACAACAGCACCTCGAACGGCGCACCATCAGTGGAGCACGCCAGCCGCGCGCGGACGACGCGGCTGTCGTTCGCGACCACCAAGGCGCCCTCGGGCAGATATCCATCTAAATCAGAGAAGGTGGCGTCTTCTAGATGCGTGTTGCGGTAGACGAGCAGCTTCGAGCTGCCGCGCGGGTCCGCCGGATGCGACGCGATGCGCTCCGCTGGCAGGTCGTAGGTGAAGAGGGCCCTCCGCAGCGTCGCTCTTGTTGCAGCAGTGCCTGGCCGCAGGGCTAGTCGGCGCATGAGGAGTCGCATTGCTTCGACGGCGCTCTCGCTGCAGCCGTGTAGTGTAACTCTGTCTGAAGACTCTTCAGTAACTGATCCTTAGCACACAGCGAGCTCTCAATTTCAGCGCTGCTTCGCGAGCTTAGTATCTTAAACCGCTAGCTAATCGCAGAGGCTTAGCCGCGGCGTGTGTTCAGGGCAGAGAGTTTTGGTACGGTCTCATCACTGCGTGTGTTCGCATACATGCGCTCTAACGCAGCGAAGTCCGCAAATTGCTGCCGCGGCCACAGGATGGCCGACAATAAAAAAAACATGACGCGCCGATAGCGCTACAGGCCGCACGTACGTGCACGTACGTGCGGCCGCAAAAATAAAAATGAATGGCCTCGCGAGACGCACGAGAAGTCACTCCTCATAGAGTGAATTCACTACTGCTCGAGACGCGACGCCTTCTCCGACGCGACCGAGTGCGCCCTGAACGCTGGAATTGGCGCTGCTCGGAGACCGCGGACATTAGCCGAGTCGCCGCGGACCACTTCAACGGAAAAGAGGTAGCGCTACGGCGCGAGACGGACTTTCAGAGCTGGTTGAGGGAATTGCTCCACGCGCCGACCTGAACTTCCTTTTGTGGCGTCCCAGAGCTCTGGCGGGACCGATGGGAAGGGTGGCGGGCGGATGGACGCGAATTTTTTTTTTCATTTTTTACCGCCGGCGCCGCGTTCCGCGCGCGCGCCCCTGGCCACAACCTAGACGTCCCTCGATTTGGGAGGCTGCCGCGCCCTCTTGCTGCTTCGCACCGGCGCCGCGGACGGCCCCCGTTTCGACGGGCCGGCCACATGTAAGTCGACGTCGCCGAACGTGATGTCCGGGAACGCCGCCCGGACCTCCCGCGCGACTTTCAGAACGCCGTCGCGCGGATGGGCCCAGCCGGCGCCTGGCACCCCCACGGACGCGGTTCCCTCGGCGAGTTCCTGGACCCAGTCCTCGCAGGCCGTGCACGCCGTCAGCGAGGGGAAATAGACTGATTTCCGGGACAATGGTGTCGGCCCTTGCCGGGTCGTTCCTGGATTGTGTGCTGTTAAGTGGCGGAAGAGGTATAGGTACCAGTTTTGTTTTGGGAAGGCTACTGGACAACCGGCGTGCAGCTGGAACGTCAGCACCTTGCCGTCGTTGGCCTCTCGTTCTGCTTGATACTTCTGCAACGTTCTGATGCTGCTTAAGCGATTCTGCTCTTTGAACGTCCTCGACTCGAGAGCCTGAAGGCGTTCTGCTTCCGCGGAACGCGTCGCGTCCTCTGCGGCGCGGAGCTCTGCTAGTTCCGATTTGCTGGGCTTGGGAGTGATGGGCGTGAGCGGCAGGTCGAGCGCCCTCTTCCTGTCGTTGACTCGGCCGAGGTAGGTGTCCCGCGGGATCGCGTTGATGATGGACGGGTCTTCCGTGTCGAAGATGGCGAGGAGCGTTAATGTGGAGAGGTCCTTGTCTGGATGATGTCGTCGGAGGGCGAGCAGCATGTGCTCGAAGCTGCTCATGTTCGTGTTGCACGCGTCCCTGAGGCCTGGGATAAAGATGTCCTCGCGGACGGCCTCGGCGAGGTACCGCTCTAGAACAGCTAGCTCGGACGCCGACACCGCGAGCTCCTCCGACTCGGCGTTCTGTAATGCCTCCTCTACGTCCTCGGCCTCGGCGTCCGGCGCGATGGCCTGGAAGGAGTCCTGGTCCTCGTCGTCGGAGTCGTCGTCCGACGACGCCTCGTCCTGGCGCAGCTGCACGCGCGCTCTCATGACTTCGAGGGTCTCTTCGTCATCGCTCTCAGAATTGTCGGCGGCGGCCGGCGCGGGCGCGACGTCCTCTAAAGCGGCGCCGGCAGACGTCGAAGCGGAGTCGTCGGTCATCACGACCTCGGGCGTCGGCGACGCGGCCTCCAAACCGAACGTGGACGAAGGGGCCTCGACGGCGTCGGCCGGCGCGAGCGCGAGCGCGGCGCCCGTGTCGGCGACGGCGAGCCGGAGCCCCGGCGCGGAGGCCGCGCCGCGCGCGACGGCGGCGACGACGGCGCCGGCTGCTAAAGATGACGAGCGGGACGCGGCGTGCACGACGCGCCACGCGAGCGCGTCGAGGGCGCGCGCGGCGGCGCGCGCGGTCGCGTCATCGGACGCGCCGAGCGCGATCCACGCGTCGATCGCGCCCAGGAACGTGCAGTTCCCCAGCTGCACGTGGAACAAGAGCTGTCCGAGCGGCGGCAGCGCGGCGAGCCGCGCCCTAGCCGTCTGCGACTGGCGCCGGCGCAGCTCCTCGACCGCCGCGGGGTCCCGGTTAAAGATGTTGTTGAAGATGGTAACGGCGGCCTGTGTGAGAGAGGCTCAGGGGGCGCGCGGCCGGGAAGTTCGGTCGCTGGGCGTGACGTCGAGTGCTCCGTCGGCGACATTCGTCAACAGAGTGGTCCATGGCTGTGAGAGGCTGGAGCTAGCTGCTGTAAGACACTAGGCATCAGCTTAAACCGCGCGATACGGTTCTTTAGGTTTTCGTGTGGTGTGTAGTCGGTACAGTAAGACGAGTACTATATGAACAACGACTTATGAAACAAAACATCAAACCCGCGACGGCGCCTCCTCGGCGACCTCATCCTTCGTCAACAGCCGCGGCCCCGCTACAGAAATAGCGATTGCGCCGACCGGTGCAGTCAATATAATAGCCAGGACGGCCACGGTCAGCACGACACGCGCCCTTTCCTTCTCGCCGGACGAGTCCGCCGCGTCGAGCGCGACGGCCCCGACGGCGGCCTGCACCGTCGCCTTGGGCAGCCAGGCGAGCGCCACGAACAACCGCTCCTTCGGCTTCAACGAAAAGCCGCGCACGGCGTTCGACGTCGCCGCGAAGCGGAAGGCGCCCGAGATCACGATCAAAGCGACGCCGAGGCCCGCGTCCCTTCCCCTTATTACATCCAGGTCCACGGCCGCCCCCAGCAGCGAGAAGAGGAGCGGCTGGGCCACGCTCGACCACAGCTCGCCGAGGACGCCCCCGGCGGCCTTATATGAAGATCCTGCCAGAAACGCGAGCGCGAGCGCCGCGAGCCTGTGTGGCAATCAACCAGTGAGTTGCGGAGTGTCGATGGCGTCGGGCGCCTGAAATTTGATTTCCATACAGCCGCGAGCGCCGCCGCGCCCGAAAAGCCGAGCGCCTTCAGCGAGAAGGTCAGTGCCAGCGCCACGAGCATTAAAGCTGAGGCGGCCCGCAGCGCGGACGGCCGCCGTTCGACGACGAACCGGCGCAGCACGAGCGACCCGAGCCACGCGCCAAATAATCCAGCAACAATTTCAACCGGCGCGCGCACCGCCGCGGCCCAGGCCGTCGACGGGAGGACCCCCTGGCGCGCCGCCGACGATACCGCGAAGGGCAGGCAGATCCCGAAACCTGCTAAAGAAAGCACGTCGTCCAGCGCCGCGGCCGCGACCACCAGCGTCGGGATGCCCGTCGCTGTGCCGTAGCCCGCATCCCTCAATGCTAGGAGCGATGGCACGACGACCGCCGGCGACACTGCGGCGACCACAAAGCCCAGGAGACACGCCCACCCCGCCGGGAAGTCAAAAACAAACGGCCGCGACGCTATCACAGCGACGACCCCGGCCTCGACGAGGCAGGGCACGGCCGCGAGGCGCGCCGCGGCCCACCGCAGGCGCTTCAGCGCGGCGGCGTCCAGGCCTAGGCCCGCTCTTGCTAAAATGAGCGCGAGGGCGCACGTCCGCAGCGCCGACGAGCTGCCCGCGTCGACGGCCTCGCCCACGTACGTCCGCAGGTAGGGCACGTTCCTCAAAAGAATACCGGCGCCGAGCATCCCTACCAGGGGCGGCAGCGGGACCTCGGTCTTCTTCGCGATAAGCGACACGAGCCGGCCGCCGAGCACGCCGGCGACGAAGACGCACTCGAGCGCGAAGACCGGGCCTCTTGGGGCTGCGGCGGCGCCGATCGAGAGCCAGAGCGTGAGGACGACGAGTCCGACGCACAAGGCTTCCCACAGGGCTGCAGGGAGCTGTGTGCTGTCATTTTTTGCAGAGTCCTCGTTATCTGTTGAACTTTTACACATGATTATCGCATCGATGGCGTCACTTTTGAAGCATACTGCTGTTTCAACTCATCCGTACGGATTGGCTGCTGCATGTGCCGCTTGTCATGCATGCATGTCATCAGCTGTCCTCTTGAGGACCGTCTCTGCACCCAGTACGCGAACAGGTGATCTATCCGACGCGTCTCTCAACGTTTCCGGTCAAATAGAGGGTCTGCTAGTGTCTTACGCCGCTAGCTAATCCAGGGGCTGAGAGGCACATCGAGCGATAAAATCGGCCTGCAGGCAGTGCTGTGTGATTCGGGCGGATTTGCAAAGCTAGCCCACGTGCGCACTGCTTGCGTGGAGTTCAAGGCCGTTGCGTCCATCACTAAGACAAAAAACAGGCTTGCACCCAGAGAGCGCTGCACCCAGAGAGCGCAAAACAAAAAGAGCAGCCATGGCCGGCCACCACCACCGCGCCAGCAGCGGCCTGAAACAAAAAAACAAGTCCCACAAAACCACAAAGTCGAACCGCGCCCAGAAACGCGCGAGCGGCGCGGGCCGCGTCGAGCGCGCGGGCCCGGGCCGCCGCGCGGGCGCCGCCGCCGGCGCCAAGGAGCAACGGCGACGACGGGCCCAGCAGCTGAAGGACCAGCGCCAGCGGTCGTCGAGGAAGCCTCAGGCGACCGACGCGCCCTTGACCTGCGCCGTCGTGCCCCTCGCGGAAAACGCTGCTATAGATGTAGCAAACGCCTTAAGGGAGGACAACATACAAGTCATCGAGACGGCGCACGGCGACGTTCGAAGTGCATTGCACGCGGCCGCGGCGTGTGATGTGGTCGTCTGCGTGCTGGCTCCTACGAAGAAAAGCGACATGGACACGGAGGAGCCCGAGACCTACTCGCCCGAGGCCGACGATGTTTTGACTGCTTTGAAGTCCCAGGGCTTGCCCACCATCGTCGGCGTCGCTTCGGGAAATGCCCCGGACGCGTATCGCCTGGATATAGCGCGACGGTTCTTCAAGGACGAGTTTGGGGATGCGGTGCCGTGGTGCGACGGCGCGGCAAACGCGCCGCAAGCCGTTAGGGCGGCTCCTTCGAAATTGCCGCGCTGGCGGCAGACGCGTTGTCGCATCCACGTCAAGAACGCATCATCCGATGGCACTCTACTAGATGTCGAAGGCTGGGTCCGCGACGCTCCTTTAGCGTTGAATCGACTGGTGCACGTGCGCGGCGTGGGTGCCGCGCGCATCACAACTTGCGAGGTCTACGCGACGTCCGACGCAACAACACCATCAGAAACCTTACAAGGTTCATGTGACGAGCCCCTGAAGTCGGCCGCGACGCCGGACGAGCTCATGGGCGAGCAGAACCTCGAGAACATGGAGGAGGAAGAAGTAGAACAACCAAGGAAGCTGAGGAGCGACTATCAAGCCGCGTGGGACGGTTCTGATGACGACGACGACGATAATGACGGCATTGATGTGGAGGCCCTGAACACGTCCACGCGCGAAGAGGAGGTAGAAGTGAAGAAACCACTAACTTTACAGGAGCGCTACGACGAGGACGGCGAGTTTCCCGACGAGGTGGAAGTGCCCGCCGGGTGCGCGGCGCGAACGCGGTTCGCGCGGTACCGGGCTCTGAGGGACGTGCAGGCGTCGCCCTTCGATGCGCACGAGGCGCTGCCGCGCCAGTACGGCTACGTCCACACTCTCAGAAGGTTCGACGCGGAGCGCAAGGCAGCCTTGGCCGAGAAGGGTGAGGTCGGCGTGGGCGCCTACGTCAAAATGAGGTTGGAGACCGTGCGTGCGTGTGATGCTTCTTCCTTAATCAACGATTCTGCCGGTGTGTCGTCGTTATTAAAACATGAGAACCGTCTCACTGTGTTGCACTTCCTCGTGAAGCGCACGACGCTAGGCGTTGGTGATACGCAGCCTTTACCATCCAAAGAACTCGTCGAGGTCGTCTGCGGCCACCGGCGGTGGCGGGGCCGGCCGATCTACTCGTCGCACGGGCCCAAGAGCGCAAGGGCTTTATCAAGCCGGTTTCTGCGGCCCGGCGACCACGTCGTCTGTTCTGTCTTAGGACCCCTGACGTACGCGCCGGCGCCCGTCGTCCTGTTTCGTGCTAGTGGAGAGGCCTGCGCGATCGGCTCGGCGCTGACCTGCGACCCCGACCGCATCATCCTGAAAAGATGTATTTTGTCGGGCGTGCCGTTACGAACACATAAACGCAAGGCCACGGTCTACAAGATGTTCGAGAATCCCGAGGATTGCGCGTACTTCAAGCCCGCGCAGCTCGTGACGAAGCACGGCCTCACGTGCCACATGACCTGCCCCATCGGCACGCACGGCCACTTTAAAGTGGCACTTTCGAGGCCTATGTCGCAGGCGGACACGGTCCTCCTCAAGCTGTACAAGAGGGTGTATCCGAAGTTCGAGGGGGCCGACGACACGGACGTGGTGGTTGCGTAAGATATATGTTTACACTAGGGCGTTGGGATCCCCGAACAGAGCCGTTGCAACGGTGCGTCCGCGCGAAGAGCCGTCTGCGTCGCCGTATCGGTCGCCGACATGTTCCTTGTAGAGCTCTCGGAAAGTCGGAGATATCTCGCCCGGAGGAACCTCAGCCCACTCCCACTCCCGCAGCAGCTTGTTTCGAATCTTCCCGGCCTGGTGCTCCGTGAACGTGTGATCGTGCCAGACGCACATGTAGTTGCCGATCCGCACCGAGCCGGCCGGCGGAGGAACCTGTGTAGAAATCAAAATTTCACGGCGCCGTCGAGTCGGCGTCGACCTCCATGCCATCGACGCGACGCCTGCTTGATGGCGTGGTCGCAGCCGATACACAGGTTGATTTCCACACAGGGAGGACCCGCTCGCGGACGAAGCCCATGCGGAAGCCTCCCGCGCCGGGAAAGACGTTGATCACCTTCTGTCCAATCAAGTCGTCGTTCGCATCTTCCGCCTCCTCCGTGTCGCGCCCGTGCGCGCACGCCGCCTCGTGCTTCGTGCGCGCACCCGCGTTCTTGAAGGAGCGGCCGCACCCGCGGCGGCACGGCAGCTTCGACGACGAGGACTTGGGTTTCTCTGCGGGCTCAGCTTGCCGTCGACGCGTCCGGCCCGACGTCTTCGCCGCGGGGAGTGCGGGGCTCACGTTCCAGCGCGCGCGCGTGATGCACTCGGCGCACGTCTTGCCGACGCGTTTTGTTTTGGGATTCACGAAGTCCTCGGGAACCTTCTTCACGACGTGGCACGAAGAGCACTTGTGCGTGTCGCCGTCGAAGCCCAGCTCCGTCGGCGTGGGCGCCTCGTCGTCGCTCGACGAGTCGACGGTCAGGTTCGGGCGCTTCGCCGGCGGCCCGTCGTGGCTCTCGTCGGCAGCCATCGCGCCCGAGTCGCGGCGCTTTTTTTCTTCGGCGGTTTCGCGCTGTCTCGCGTTGCCGGTGGCTTCGCGTCGCTGTATACGCGTTCAGGGCGTCCTTTCTCGCCCGCCGCGCGCGTTTACGAACGAGGAAGCCCGAGTTTTTAGCTCTGTTTTTTTGGACCGAGCGCGCGTCGGCTGACCCGGCTCACTCTCCTCGGTTCGTCTCCGATGTGCGTCTCCTCAACTCTGCCCGGGCAAGAGAGCTCCGCGGTCGCGCCAATGTGCGCGCGGAGTGGCGTCGATTTTACGAGCCCTGCTCGCCTCCATCCGTGAGGCGCGGTAACGCTCCTTCCCGCCGCACCGGAGACCTACGCCGGCAAGTCCGATACCTGCGACGGAGGACACGAAAGGAAGAAAACCGCGGGCGCGCGGCCGCCACGAGAAAAACCACCACCGCTCCCCGCCCCACCGGAGCGCTACGCCGCCGACGAAGAGGATCTTAACGCGCCCTTACCCGAGAACCAGCCTAGAAGCCCGCGCCGATCGCGATGCCGCCGTCGATGGTCAGCGAGTGGCCCGTGATGTAGCCCGCCGACTCGTCGAGCGCGAGGTATCTCACTAAACCAGCGACCTCCTCGGCGGCGCCCAGGCGCCCCAGCGGGATCGCGCTCTTGACCTTCTCGAGCATGTCCTCTCCTAACTCGTTGGCCATCTCCGTACCAATAAATCCGGGGCAGACCGCATTCACGGTGACGCCCCGAGCGGCGAACTCCTTGGCGTTCGACATGGTCAGGCCGCACACTCCACCTTTGGCCGACGCGTAGTTCGCCTGGCCCGGGTTGCCGAACAACCCGACGACCGACGACATGTTGATGATGCGGCCCTTGCGCTTCTTCGCCATCTGGTTGAAGGCCTGCTGCGAGCAGTAGAAGACGCCGCTCAAATTGACGTCAATCACGTCCTGCCACTGCGTCGGCTTCATGCGCATGGCCAACCCATCTTTAGTGATGCCCGCGTTGTTCACCAGCACATCACAGCCCCCGAACTCGGACGCTACTTGTTTGAACATGGCCTTGATGTCGTCCAACTCCGCCATGTTCGCTTTTATGGCAATGGCGTCGCCGCCCGAAGCCTTGATGGCTTCCACAACTTCCAGGGCCGGTCCCTCGGACGCCGCGTAGTTGACGACGACGTTGCAGCCCTGCGCTCCTAAATCCTTGGCGATGGCCGCGCCGATGCCTCTGGACGCGCCCGTGACGACCACCGTCGTCGCGCCCTCCTTCATGGTCATTGCAGCACGGCGCGGCGTGAGCGTGCGGCGCGTGACGACGCGCAGCGCCGTCGTCGCGGAGAGCATGAGGGCGAGCAGGAATCGCGACATCGCAGGATTGCGCTTGTGTGCAATGGATTGATGCAGCGGCGAGCTGTGAGTGCAGGCGAAGCAAGCACAAGCGGCGCAGCAATGCGACGATTGATGGCTTGCAGCTATACGATTGATGCTTGCCGCAACGATTGATGGCTGCAGCTATACAAAAAGCTGATCTCAAGACCTACGTTTGCGTTCAAGCCCCTGCGATCTCGGGTTTTGTGGGATTTTTGCTGGCGCAAAGTGCCCAAAAAACACGTGTGACCACGCTGATTGCCACCATTTGTGAGGACCAGCAGCGTTTCATAAGCGTGCGCGAGCCCTGAGGGTCCAGCGGAGCCACTGTGTCTACAGGTGCAGAGGCAGGGTGTCTATCAGGCGAGCGGCGCGGCGCTTGCCGCGAGCGAGCCAGAACAGACGCGATGTCCAGAGATGCTGCCCAGCCGTCAGCCGCGCCGGCGGCAGCGCTCGACGACGCCTGCTGCTTTGACTGCGGCGCCGCCTGCGCCCACGACCGCTGGCTCTGCGCGACGCACAACGTCTCGCTCTGCATCTCCTGTGCCGGAGTGCACCGCGCACTAGGAGCGGGCATCAGTTTCGTGCGGTCGGAGCGGCTCGACGGGTGCGAAACGGCATCCGACAACGCAGCGTTCGCCGCATATCTTGAGGCGCACGGCGTGCCGCGGCGTGACTGGCTCGCCGCGGGGCGCGTGTCGCGGTATTACACGCCCGCCGCCGATCTCTGGCGGCGGCGCAGCGACGCGACGGCCCGGCTCCGCGCCGTCGAGCCCCCTGACCCCGAACTCGTGAAGCGGTACGAGGCCGCCAAGGCACCCCCGATCTGGACGCCTGACAAAGACGCACCCGCGTGTCAATTGTGTCGGCGCAAGTTCACGACGTACTACCGGCGCCACCACTGCCGGGCGTGCGGGCGCTGCGTCTGTTGCGACTGCTCGCCGAAGGTCTGCTGGCAGACGACGTCGCGGCGCTGCAAGCGCTGCGTGCCGCCGCCGGCGCGGTCGATCCCCGGGCTTGGGCTCACCTAGTTGTTGTTCTGACTAATTCTGTTACAAGTGCTAGAACCGCGCCCGGTCCTGCTGCGGCTCGACGCGCTTCTTGAGGAGCTTCTTGTTCTGGCGCCGCTCGTTGCGGTTCGTCGCGGCCGGCATGTCTGCCGCGTTCATGAGCGCCGCCTCGTCACGCACGCCCTCGGCCTCGAGCTCGGCGAGCGTCGGGAGCCGCGGCTTCGTGTCCTCCTCCTCGATGCTCTTCTTGGACTGCTGCTCCTGAAAGGTAAGGTACGCCGCGCCACCGACTACGAAGATGAAGAGCCCGATCGACGCGCCGGCCAGCGACAGCAAGAACGGGTCGTCGGCGCCGGCGCCCGTCTCGGCCACGGTGTAGAAAGGGAGAGCGCGCACGTCGACAGCTTGTCGTCGCACGGTCGGCGCGCGGCGCACGTTTGGTCGCGTGAAGGCGTGCACGGTGGCCAAGCAGCAGAGGACTGTGGTAGCAAGCTTCATTTTAGAGGGCTCGTTCAGCGCCACCTGTTGCAAACTCGCACGGATGGATGAGTTGAAGCTGCGACGCGTTGCAAACGATCACAAGCGCGCCGATGCCGGCTACCGCGTGTGGAGCTGGCTCTCACTTGGCAAGATGTGAGATGATGAGGACGACAGCGGCTTGTATTTGCTGAGGAGTCTTCTTTTGCTTTTCTATACGCCTCCGAGTGTTTTTCAAGTCAACCCTATTTCGGATCTGCCGCTTGCTAGTGTCTTTACAGGACGCTAGCCACGCGATTTGTGGCCGCTGCCGGTGTTTTGGAGCGCATAACTCTCTACGCGGCCCGCCGGCGGCACGTGGCGCAGCCTGTCGTATTGCCTTAAGACCGGACAAGACAAAAAAGCGCGCGCGCACGCCGTAGCCGCTCCTAAAGCAACCTCGGACCGATACCGCATCGACCCGCCGCGGCGCAGAAGGAAACATGGAGTGCATCGAGATCCTCGACAGCGACGAGGAGGCCGCCAACAACGCCCAAGCGCCGCCGGAGAGCGACGACGAGGTCGAGATCGTCGGTGGCGCGCCCGCGCCCGCATTGCCGGACAGCCAGGACTCGGAGGTCCAGATCCTCGACGACGCCGCGGACCTGTCCGAGGGCGCCCAGGCCAAGCTCCTCAAATCGTTACTGGCCGAGAAACAGCAGCTCGCGCAGCAGGTCGCCTCTTTACAAAAGAAAACGGGCGACGCCAAGCGCGCGAAGCGTCCCGTCTACTGGCGGCGCGACGGCGACGGCAAGCGTTTACCTGACGACGCCGGCGTCGACGAGAAGTTATTGGTGGAACTGACGCCGGGCTCGGACGAGTACGAGTCGGTCGCTGCAAGATTACAATCACGCGGCCTGCCCGACGCGAACATCTCGTCCATCAAGCGTTGTGTGAATGACCACCTCTGGGCGCCCTACGCGGCGCGGCGCGAGGCCATGGCCCGCCGCGCGTCGTCGAGCGACGAGGACCGCGTCTGGCGGTCCGACGTGCTGCCCGGCGTGCTCAACGAGGCCGAGAACCCCGTCTGTTTGCCCGACGCGAATCCTTGTAGAGAGCGCTACCTCTTCCACGGCGCGGCGCCGTCGACGATCGACTGCATACTGGACGAGAACGTGGATTTTAGACTGTCGCAGATCACGGGCGCCATGGGCGCCTGCGCCTACTTCGCGGACCAGTCGAGCTACTCGGACCAGTACTGCCGCATGCCCGACCACAGCGCGCTGGTGCGGCACCGCCACGCGGGCACGGCCGCGCGGCCGCAGGACGCGCTCAAGATGTTGGTGTGTCGCGTGCTGCTCGGCGAGTGCGGCCGCGGCCAGCCGGGCCTGCGGCGGCCGCCGGCTATTGGGGGATCGGGCCGTCTGAACGACTCGGTGTCGAACAACCCCGACACGGTCGACGACTGCGCGTCGCAAGGGTCCATGTACGGCGTCTTCGACAACGCGCAAGTCTACCCCGAGTACGTGATTGAATATAAGCGCGACTACGGCGGCGGCGGCGGCGGGCGCTTCGCGGCGGCGCTCGCGGGGCTGCCGCCGTCGCTGCTCGCGGGCATCCCCGGGATGCCCGCCGCCGTGCCGCGGCGGGCGCCCAAGCCGCCGCGCGCGCGCAAGCCGGCCGCGAAGAAGCCTGCCAAGAAGCGTGCCACGACGAAGCGGAAGAGTCCGAGGAAGAAGAGTGACGACGCCTGAGAGGGTAACAACTTGTGTATTCAACACGACAGAGTTAGGACCGGTCCCCGCTACTCGTATCCGGCCCTCGCGACTCGCCCGCGCGGGGACCGGGGCCTCGCGGCGGGGGCGTTTTGGCTGTCGGATACTTGCAGCGGATCTGCCACCAGAGGTCCTCGATGGCGTTCGCGGCCGAGAAGCGGACGTCCCCATTCTCCCTGACGTCGACCCAAAAGAGCTCCTTGTACAGCGTGTTCGCCCGTGCGGTCCAGCCCGTCGCCGCGGCGGCGCGTAATTCTTGGTACTTGTCGAGCTTCGCCACCAATTGCTCGTAGGTAAGATACTGCTCACCGCGGCGTAGCGTCTCCTTCATCCACTTCTGGAGCGTATACTGCTGAATATAGGACTGCAGCCACATGTAGGTTCCGTCGGGCTGGGCCACAATTGTCCAAACGTGCTCGAGCGCCGGGTCCGACCGCTCCTTCTGGCCGAGGGAGAGCTCGTAGACGAAGGCGGGGTGGACGCCTCCCTTCCTCGACAGCATGTGCATCGACTCGAGCGTCTCCCGGAGAGCCGCGAGGCCGCCGGCCCACCCGTTCCAGGTATTGAGTTCGTCGCCGTTCGCGGTGGCGGCGCCGCAGAAGTAGACGGAGAGCGCGAACTTGGTCGACGCGCAGCGCGTCCCGACGACCTGTGCGCAAATCAACCAGTGAGTCGGGTGCCAAAGTCTGATTTGTGCACTGTCGACGACGGAGTCCGGGTCCTCGATGTCGATCTCTTCGAAGGCGGAGCCGTCGGCGCCGCCGTAATCGACCTCGCGGCCCTTACTATCCAGCGTCGTGTCCTTGCCCAACCCCGGGCGGAACAGGTGCTTTACGCGGCCGAGGACGCTATGATCTTGGTGCGCCGAGGACGTCGAGAGGTCGCGCACCAGGAACGGCGAGTAGTACAGGTGGAGCCAGTGGTCTTTCGGCGCGCGATTCATGGCCGGGACCTTTCCTCCGGCGGCCTCCGACGCCGGCGCGTTTACGAAGCTGTACGCGGCTGCGAGCGCCACCGCCAGCAGAGCATATTTCAGGCGGCTGTCGGGCAACTGTTGGCGAGCCCGGCGCAGGCGGGCGCGCGGATCGTCGTCCGCGACGACCGTGCCGTCGCCTAGGATCACAACCATTTGGGTCGTGCAGCTGTATTGCGCTGCTGCTGCGCTGGGCCTCCTGAAATCTTTGGTGTACGACGCGTAGCGGTGCGAGCTGGCACTCCCGCTGGCAGGGACCTTCTCTGGGAAGTCCTGAAGGGCTCCTAAAGGCGATCCTAGCGTCTAAGCGCCCGGCCCAAGCCAACCAAACAAAAATCAGGGGCCTTTACCTAGCTAGAGAGGTACTAGACCACTTCGACAAAAGCCAGCTTACACAGTAACGCGGGGCCCATCGGTGGCCTGAGCTCGCTATAAATCTCTTAAATAATCACACGGATGCGACGCTGAGACACCCATCATCACAAAGGAACAATGCGCGTCCCGTGGTGGGCCCTAGCCCTGCCAGCAGCAGCGCTAGTCGCCCCCACGAACGCGCCGCGACCACCCTCGCGCCGCTGCGCCGAGACACCGCCCGGCCGCGACGGCGCGCGCTGGCAGCCGCCGAAGCAGAAGAAGCGGCGGTGGACGCCGCCGAGCAAGCGCGGGGACAAGGGCGACGCGCCGCCCGTCGCCGACGCCGCGGCGGACCTGGCGCGCGAGGCCGCCGGAATAGAAGCAGGAGCCGTCGTCGCGGACCCGCGGGCGTCCCTCGTCGCGCTGCCGCGCGGCGCGACGGGCGTCGAGTGGGGCACGGACCTGAGCTTCGTGGGCGTCTACGTGCGCGCGCTGCTGCCCGGCGGCGCGGCGGAGCAGTCCGGCGCCGTGGCGCCGGGCGACCAGCTCGTGGCCATCGACGGCGATGCCGTCTTCGACGCGACGTTCGACGCGGCGATGGCGCGCCTCGCCGCCGTTGACGCGGAGGCGCGGCTCGAGTTCTTCCGCGGCGATCGAACGGAGCTGCTCGCGGCCGTGGGCCGATCACAGGCCGCGCCGGGCGCCGCGACGATCACCGTCGACGACCGCGGCGAGCGGCGCGAGATCGTCGTCGAGGCGGGCGCGAATCTGAGGGACGCGCTCGTGAAGGACGGCATCGACGTCTACCGCGGCACGACGGCCTGGACGAACTGCGCGGGCCACCAGATGTGCGGCACGTGTATTGTGGACGTCGTCGGCGGCGCCGCCGCGACGAACCGCAAATCTAATGATGAGGAGGGCACGCTGAACCTCCAGGGCTGCGAGCCGTCCTGTAGATTATCCTGCGTCACCTTCGTCTACGGCGACGTCGAGGTGCGCGTGCGGCCGGACCGGGACGGGGGCTTCTTCGGGTCGGCGACGTCCGGTAGCGCGTGGTAAGCTTGCTAGTTTGTATTTATTTGCTACCTGCCCCGGGCCGCGCTTAAGGTTTCCCGACGATACCTTGAGCGTCTCGTCGCCCGACGCAGGCACGACGCGCCGCCCGTCCAGAGACACATTCTTTACAACATTTTTCCGAACCACGCAGTGTGCTCGCCCGTCGCCGGATCCACGAACGTAAGCTCCATTATCCCATCGCGTCCGACGAACCCCTTTATCGGCCAGTTCCACGAGTCTGGCCACATGTGCCCGTGGAACTGCTCGGGAGCAGTTGAAACCAGAAATAAGTCCGTTGTTCCGGTAGCCTCGCTTGCTATTGGACCATGGGCGGCCGATTTGCTCCCGTCCTAAACGGTACGGTGCTTTGCAGGTCTAACCCAACTATGAAATTCGGTTGGGCATGCTGACCGAGCAGGACAAGGTTCTTAGGAGCTTGTTCCTTTTTTAGGTCTTCCCTAATTTATTTATTTATTTATTTATTTTGATAGTACAATTCCGACAAACCCCCCGTCACGAGGGCAGCGACCCCCCTCGTGATCGCTTTTCTCTGATTTTCTCTGATTTCCGCTTTTCTCTGATTTTCCGCCGCTTCCGCGGCTTCGCGTTGGCGGCGCTGCCTATCCTCCTCAGCCCAGAGCGCCTCGGCTTCGCGTCGGAGTCGCGCAGAATTACGGGCTCTTTCTTCCTCATCGGCAGCCGCCTCGGCGGCCGCGGCGCGACGTTCAGCCGCGCGAAGCTTCCACTCTGCCTCCGCGGCCTGTGCTTCGGCGGCGAGACGCTGCCGCCTCTCCTCGGCGACCTTGGCTTCGGCGCGGCGTCTTCGCTCCGCCTCGGCGGCCTTGGCTGCTGCGCGGGCCCGCTCGCGGCGCGCCGCATCGTCTCGCACGGCGCGGAGCTCGGCGCGGGCCCGCTCCGCCGCGGCGGCCGCGGCGGCTTCGCGCTGCCTTTTCTCCTCGGCGGCCTTGGCGGCTTCGCGCCGCTTTTTCTCCTCGGCGGCCGCTTCAGCGGCGCGAAGCTTCCGCTCTGCCTCGGCGGCCTGTGCTTCGGCAGCGAGACGCTGCCGCCTCTCCTCAGCGGCCTTCGCCTCTGCTTCGGCGGCGAGGCGTTGCCGCCTTTCCCTGGCGGCCTCGGCTTCGGCTGCGCGGCGCCGCTGCTCGGCCTCGGCCTCGTCCTCCTCGTCCTCCTCCTCCTCCTCCTCGACGATCGCGGCGCCACCCGCGAATACCGACGCGCCGGTTGCGAGTGCCCACTCGACGCCCTGCGCCGCGGGCCGCACCATCGGATTCTTCGCAAGCATCGTGGTGACAAGGCAGCCGAACCTGGCCGACGCGGCGTTGGTCTCTTTGACGAACGCCTTCACTGCCTCGGGGTCGAGCGCGAAAACGCCCGTGCTGCGAGCCTCCACCAACTTCCCCGTGACCGCGCCGCCGAGCATGCACCCCAGGGCCCAGACGTCGTCCTTGCCGTCGTATGCGCGGCCTTGCGCCTTCTCCGGCGACTGGTACATCAAGGCGCCGACCTTGTTGGCGCCGCCCCTCGAAGAGACCTTGCTCTTGGCGACGACGACCACGGCGAGCCCGACGTCGATGACTCGCGCGTTTTGGTGCTCGTCGAAGAGAACGTTGTCCGGTTTCAGATCGCGATGCTGCATCCGTCGCGCGTGCATGTGCGCAAGTGCCGACGCGACCTGCCGTGCCCACTGCTCGGTCTGCGCCTCGCGCGGCCGCTGGCCGGAAGTGAGCGGGCCGGACACCCGTTGGAGGCGCTCTAGCAGCGAGCCACCCTTCAACAGTTCCATGACGATGGCGAAAAACTTGTTCTTCTTGAAGCGAAAGGCCGTGAAGTAGCGGACGATGTTCGGATGATTCAGCATCGAGAGGCGCGCGGCTTCTTCCCGCAGCTTTTCGACGCCGGTGCCCGCCCTTTTGATGTTGATGAGCTTGACGGCGTATACGCAGCCATCCTCCTCGTTTCTCATCTTGTGCGTCGAACCGAAGGAGCCCCAACCCAATAGCGACGCCTCTTGGTCGTCGTCCGAGTCGTAGGGGTCGTACACGTACTGGTCCTGGATCGCCGCCTCATTCATTTGCAGGGCATCAATCTTGGCATTGAGCTCGTTGATGCCGTCCGTAGTCTCGGCGTGGAACGAGGCGGAGCGGTTCGCGGACGCCGCGGCCGAGGCGTCGGAGCGTTTCGCGGACGCCGCAGTCATTGCTATGCTCAGATTCTGAGCGTACCCCTGGATATCTGTAGAAGCGCGACCGCGCGCGGCGGCGTCGTCGGTGCCCTCGACGGCGCGCTCGAGAGAGCCACGCAGGCCGTCCAGCGCGCCCTTCACCCCCTCGTCCTCCACGATGGGGTTGGCCTCCAGGTTCCACAGCGTCTTGCCGAGCGCGGCGAGCCGCTGGGAGAAAGCCAAGCGCTCATTGCGCTCCAAGCCGGTGATCCTGTCCTCGGCCTTCTTCCAGGCGTCGTCGGCGAGCTGCTTGGCCTTGACGTCGACGACCGTCCCCAGCACCTTGGACCGCACCTTGTTCAGGAGGGACGAGCAATTTTGCGCGATGCTTTTCCCCGTGGCCCCGCGGACGGCGGAGTTGAGGGCGGTGGCCAAACCGACCGCCAAGGAGGTGGCCGCCACCTCCACAGCCATGTTGTTGCCCCAGGGAAGGAGCAGCCCTTAATCTGCTGGTGCACTGCCCTTTGCGCCCAAAACCGATCACAGCGTGTTGCAGACTAGGCTGCCCAAGAAGTCCGCAAATCACTGCGTGATCTTGCAGCGGCACGCTCTGCATTATTGGGTTTGCGCTAGATAGCCGCGCTAGATATGATCGCGATTTGAAGACGGTTCCTTGAGCCCGTTCGAGAAGGTCCCGGTCCCGGCGATGGCTCCGCCGGCTTCCCTGTGTAGGCTAGTGGGCCGCGCGAGAGCCCGCACTCAAATGGCAGCGCCTGCAGGCCTGGAACGCGGCACGCAAACGACCCGTGCGCGCCGGCATTCCACGGTCGCATCGCTTCCGGGCGCGGTCGGCTGCCCACAGCACGCTGGCAGTACAGCAGCCCATAAAAACAAAGCCAGCCCAAGCATAAAAACAAAGCCAGCCCAAGATGCCCGTCCAGCTCGAGTTCGGGGACCCCGAGCGCGGCGACGAGGTGATCATCCCCGTCGCGCCCGAGGCGCTGCCCGAGGACGACCGCGGCGCCTACCCCGAGGACACGTGCGAGGCGGACACGTGGAAGCGCTTCGATGAGTACCCCCAGAAGATGGCGCGCGCGACGGCCCACCTCGACGCCATACCATCTGACTGGAAACCGCCCGTGCCGCTGCACGAGAAGGTCGCGGCCGCCAAAAAGAAAATGGGCCGGGCCCGGCCCCAGATGGTCCCGGAGGAGCAGCCCGACGACGACGAGGACTTCGAGGTGCCGCTGGGCGACGACGGGCGGCCGCGGGGCGAGACGGCGTGCCTCGAGGAGGCGGACCGGCTCCGGGAGGAGCACCAACACATTTTAAGGCTGCCGGAGTACTACCGGAAGTTGGGGTTGGACGAGAGTGTGATTGATCTGGATAAGATCGAGCGGGCCTTCGTCAAGGCTTATAAAAAGCTGCAAAAAAATAAGGAGGGCAAGGCGAAGCACCTCCTCGAGATTGATTATGACGACCTGACCGTGGCCCAGGTCTGCGTCATGGAGCACGCGAAGCACACGTGGGCCGCGCGGGGCCTCGGCAAGGTGACGCGCGCCGCGGACCTCATCGGGAAGCAGGCGCGCGTCGTCCGGGCCTTCGGCGGCGACCGCGTCCGGGCCCGCGAGCGCGCCGAGCGCGAACAAGCGGAGGCGCCGGCGAAGGCCGAGGCCGCGGCGTCGAAGCTGCTAAAGCGCCACTGGAAGGCCGGCGACGTCGGCACGACGTCGGCCGGCTTCTCCGAGGTGAAGGCGCCGCCGCCCCCCAAAAAGTTCCATCCTCCGGAAGTCGAGATCAACCGCGGCATCTACGGCTTCGACGTGCCCGAGCCGCCGCCGGTGTCCGAGGCCGAGCTCGCGGCGCTCCTCCGCGGCGCGGAGCTCGTGCGCGAGGCGCCGAAGGAGGCGGAGCCGGGGGCGAAGAAGCCGTTCAACCCGTTCCTCGTGAGCCACTAAGTATGTGATTTCTGTGAGACAGGAGAGAACTACTTATTCGGCACGACGACGTTGTAGTGGATCGGCGAGATGTAGGACAGGAACAGCTTGCGCGGCGTCGCCGCCGACGGCACGGGGCACGCGTACTCGAGGTGGAAGTGCTCCGTCTCCGTGGAGATGACGTGCACGTCGACCGCGAAGGCGCCGCAGGCCGCCTGGAGCGTGAGCTCGTCGCCCCACTCGCGCGACTTGGCCATGCGCCCGAGGTAGTTCGCCCAGTCGGCCGCCGTGCCGACGAAGGGCGCGAAGTCGGCCTCGTGGGCGCGCAGGTAGGCCACGGCGCCCGCGCGCACGCGGAGGTGGTGGTCCTGGCTGCCGTACAATTCATGGGACAGCGCGCGGAACTGGCAGTTGCCGTCGTCCTCCATCTCGACCATGCGCAGCGCGAGGAAGGCGAGGCGCTGGCCGAGCAGCGCCTTGCCCGCGGCGATCTTGTCCTCGCGCGTCGCGTCGCGGATGACCTGACCGTCCTGCGAGCTCGGCAGGCGGCGCACGTGCGGCCGCCGCGCGACCTCGGCCCGGGCCTTGCGCGCGAGCTGCTTGAACTTGGCCGTGGCCTTGAGGAGGGCGCCCGTGGCCTTGGGCGCCATCTTGTCCGTGATGCGCTTGGCCATGATGTCGTCGTAGAAGGCGCGCTCGAGCACGACGGGCGCGGCGTCGTGGATCTGGGGCGGCGCCGGCGGTTGCGGCGCGGGCGTCGCGCGCGCGAACTGCGGCGGCAGCGCGACGAGGAACTGGAGGCCGGGCCCGATGCCGTTTGGCACGACGACGGTCATCTGCTGGCCCGTCGTCGGCGCGTGCACGAGGAGCTGCGTGCCGGGCCCGGCGCCCGGCGGGCAGACGACGGGGAACGCCGCGGCCGGCTGCTGCGGTCCTGGCGCGTCCTCCGCGGTCCAGGCGAGGAGCTGCGTGATCGTCTTCTCCTGGTCGCCGCGGTTCGCCTCGTGCACCGCGCGCAGGGCCTCGGCGTCCCAGCTCGGGAACATGTCCGCCAGTTCTGTTAAAAAATTACTCATGGCTGGTCTGTAGCTGCTGGAGAGCACCTCTTGCGACCTGGCTGCAGCCGAAATTCGGAGTAATTGATGCAAGGCTCCGTGCTGAACGTACGAAATGGCAAAAGCAGCAGGCAGGCTGTGTGTACCAGGCCGCTCTTCTAGGAAATGCAGGTTAGCTAGCGTGACCTGTAAGACACTAGCAAGCCGAAAACCAGGCATATATAAAACACCCGTCCCGCGCAACACCTCCCGAAAGGAAGACCTAAAAAAAGGATACGGCGTCCGCGCCTGTCGAGAAGAGGGCAGGGGGACAACCCCGCGCGCGCCGGTCGATGGCTGCCCCGCCGACGCCGGGCGCCCGAGGCGTCCCCCCGAGGCGTCGGGCCGCATCCCACTTGGAAACCGCGCCGCGCCCGTCATATAGCGGCCAAAAGGGGGGGGTCTGCGGGCAAAGCCAGCATCCGCCGCGTTCGATAAATAGTAGCGCCCGCGACGCAAACGCCAGGCTGCACAGGCGCACCGACCGCCGCAGCATTCTGTCGAGGGCGGCGACGGCCGGAGGCAGCCCCGCGGCCGCACGTTGTTGAGGCCTCGCGCTCAAACCCAGGCAGCCCGCCGCTCGCGTTTCGCGAGGCGCCGCGTAGGCCTGATCCAAGGACAGTGGGTTCTTGGGGAGGAGGCGCCGCCGCGCGCACGCGTCCACCATTCGGTCCATGGCCGCCACGGGCCGCCGCGGCGGCCCGGGCCGCGGCGCCGCCGACGGCCCGGCGCGCGGCCGCGGCCGCGCGGACTCCATGGGCGACGAGCCCGAGTTCAACGCCATGGTCGACGAGATGATCAAGAAGTTGCTCGACCACCAGAAGGGCCCGGTGCACCCGCGGCGGTCGGGGCCGATGGGGCTCGGGGGATTGAGCGGGAGGCAGGCCGCCTGCGTGCCCCAGAAGGACGTCATGGCTTTATTAAGGAAGATGAAGGAGGTCTTCCTGGCCCAGCCCATGTTACTTGAGTTAACAGCACCCTTGAAGATCGTGGGCGACATCCATGGGCAGTATAAAGACCTGCTGAGGCTCTTCGAGGAGTGCGGCTGGCCGCGGGATGTCCATTATTTATTTTTGGGTGATTACGTCGATAGAGGACCGTCGGGGTTGGAGGCCGTCCTCTTGTTATTGTGCTATAAGGCCAAGCATCGGGACACGTTTTTCATGTTGCGGGGCAACCACGAGTGCGCGGCGATCAATAGGATCTACGGGTTCTGCGACGAGTGCAAGCGGGCCTACGGCTTGAAAATATGGAAGCAGTTCAATGATGTGTTCAACTGCATGCCCGTGGCCGCGGTTGTGGACGACAAGATCTTCTGCGTCCATGGCGGGTTGTCTCCGGAATTGAGGACCTTTGATCAAATAACATCACTAAGGAGACCGACGGACGTGCCCGACGCGGGCATGATGTGCGACTTCCTCTGGGCGGACCCCGAGCCCCACACGAAGGGCTGGGCGGAGAGCGAACGGGGCGTGTCGTACACGTTCGGGCCCGACGTGGTGGAGAAGTTCCTGAAGCAGCACGACTTGGATTTATTAGTAAGAGCGCACCAGGTCGTCGAGGACGGCTACGAGTTCTTCGCGTCGCGCCAGCTCGTGACGTTGTTTTCGGCGCCGAACTACTGCGGCGAGTTCGACAACGCGGGCGCGATCATGTCCATCGACGAGACGCTCATGTGCAGCTTCCACATCCTGAAGCCGGCGGTAGCCATCGACACGCTGAGCCCGGCGCAGGACCGCCGGCCGACGGGGCTCATGGGCGGCGGCGCGCGACGGCCCGCGACGCCCATGCCGCCGCCGGGCAAACGCTAGCTATATATCCCGCCCCCCCAAAACCAACACTCGACTCGCTTCCGCTTATCGGACGGGCACGGCGCCCCTCTGAAGTAACCGCACATGAGATTTTATTACTCTCGCGCCTCCCAGATGGACACGCACGTCTTGACGACGAGGACGCCCGCGAGCAGCGCGACGCCGTGGTGGGCCCCGGGCCTCAGGTCCTCGGAAAGCTCCAAGCCGGCCGCGCCGAGCGCGCCGAGGGCCAGCGCGAGCTTAAGGGGACGGAAATGGATGATTTTTCCGAAGCGGCCCCTCGATTCCTCGCCCGCGGCGTCCTCGATGACCTCCTGGAGCTCGTAGAGGGCCAGGATGACCATGCCGTGATGGCCGCCGACCTTCGCGTCGAGCCGCGCGTCCTTCCAGACCTCCCAGGCGGAGGTCACGATCGCCGTGAGACACACGAGCGGAAGCGTGATGGGGGCTCGGAGCAGTCTCCCGAGGCGCTTACTCGACTCCACCGCGACGGACTCGGCCTGCTGCAACCCGCGTGCGAGCTTGCTGACCGCGATGAGCGCGAGGCCGTGGTGGTGGCCGATCGCGAGAAGGCCCTCCGAGAGCTCCGTCGCGGCGAAGAACGCCGCGCCGACCGTCGCCAGCCTGCTCGCCTTCTCGGCGTGCTTTTTGATGCCGCCGCGCGGGATGTCGAGGGCGAGAGGCCGCAACGCCGACGCAGTCGTCAGTAATAGTAGGACTCGCATCTTCACGGGTCCAGGTGAGGTCGGAGCGCCGAGCAGGCTCTGGTGTGTAGAGAGAGTGTGTAGAGAGCGTGGAGCACTGGAGCAAAGTTAGCTTGTATACGCTATTTTGAGCACTGAACGCTCGCCCAAGTTGACGCGGTGTCTCTACCGTATTGCTACGACCTTAACTCGCTATCTAACACGCTTGTCGGGGCGTCAGCGGCGACTCAGCGCCCGACAAAAAAGCTCGCATCAAAACGGGTTCCCAGGGCCGTCACGCGTTGCCCACGAGAGGGTCGCGGTGTGTCGCTTCTGGACGGTTTTCGAACGTTCGCCGCGCGAGGAGCGCTCGCGGTTGCGTGAGAATCGGTGAGATCGAGTTAACTGTGAGCACCTGAACGGACGTTGCGCGCGCTACATCGGACTACACGCGATGGTTGTCATCCCGCCGACACGCGAGTCCGCGACGCCGCCGCCCTTTGTCGCACAACCACCTGGTCCGACGCCGTCCCGAAGGAAGAGCTCCGGCGGCGGCCGGCGCCGCCGCCGCAAGGCGCTCTCGGTCTCGACGCCGCCCTGCGCGACGAGCCCCCTGCGACCGAGTGATGACTCGCGCGGGCGCTCGTCGTCGCGCCGCGCCGAGACCCCGCCGTCCGCGAACGCGCTGGACGACTTCTCGCGGAGCTGCCGGCGCGAGGCCTCGGTCCGCCGCCGGAGCGCCGCCTCCGCGCTGGACGCGGCGCTCCGCGCGCTCGACCTGGCCGAGGGCGAGATCGCGCAAGCGCGGGAACACGTGGAGACAGCCAAGGCCGCGACCGTCAAGGGCATGACGCCGCGGACGTCGACCGGCGCGCCGTCGCCTGCTTCGCGCCGGACGCTCGAGCCGCGCAATCCCTTGGAAGAGGCCGCGTGGCGCGGCATCGACACGGCGTCCGAAATACCGCGAATCGAGTTGCGACTATAGATCCCGCAGGTAACTTCGGCGCCGTGCCGGTGCGCACGTCGACTGACTCCGACGGCACCGCGTCCAAGGCCGAGGCGAAGGCTCGCGCGGCGGCGGAGGAGCTCGCCCGGCTCAAGGCCGCCGCGGAGAAGCGCGCCTCGCAGCAGCGCCGCCGCCGCGCGCGGCGGACGCGCTCGGCGAAGGCCACGTGATCCCTCCTCCTCCTCCTCCGCGCCGGAATAGTTAAGTCCTCCTTGTTTGCAGTACACCACCATGTGCAAAACCCACGAGCTATCGCCCGACATGGCCAGAAGAGCGGAACCCGAACCAAATCAGCGCTGCTTGCTCTCCAGGCTTGCAAGCGCCTGCACGCGAACCCTGGGGCGCCTCCCGACGGGCGTCACTGCCTGCACGCACAAAACAGCTCGGGGGCAGCGCGCCTTCGACCGCTTGCGGCGCGGGGCAGCGAGCACCCATGTCCATGGGGCCCCCCCTCCAGCGGGCGCCGCGCCGGGACCCGACCGTCGCGGCATTCAAGAGAGCGGACGCGGCGGAGCGGCGCCGCCGCCGCGACACGCTCGAACTGTTGCTGCGGGAGGCCAAGGGGTTCAGCATGGTCGCGGACCGCATGAACCTCCCCTCCAAACCCGCAATCGACCGGTGCGCCGGGCGGCTGCAGCGGTTATTGCGGTCCCTGGACGCGGCGGACGCGTCGCGAGACCGAGATAACGCTAGAAAAGCCATCGACGCCTACGCGCTGGAAGCTCGACGGCTCCTCGGCCACGCGCGCGAGGAGTTCGACCGCGGCGGCAAGCCGACGCAAATCGTGCGGCGCATCCGCGATCTGGACATAGCGAAGCGCTCGGCCTGGCGGCCCGCGACGTGGAAGGGCGGCGAAAGAACCATCAGACCCCTCTTCACGGCCGAGTTTCCCCGGAACGCCCAACCGACGGACTTCTTCGCGACGCGCCACGACCCTTCTACGAAACGTGCGCCAACACCACAGGCCTCGATCAATTCCGAGGGGCTCGCCGGCGACACGCGGAAGTACCAGGACGTGTTTGACCTCGCGGGCGGCGCCTACGGCGGCCACAAATCTAAAAGCGCCTTCGTGACGACGTCTACTGTTGCGCTACAAGGTGGTGCTATGTTGGAGGTCGAGGCCTTCGACAACAAGGCCATCCGCAAGCTGACGCTGATCAAGTCCCCGGAGCAGAAGCCGCACCAGCGCGGCACGATCCGGAAGCGGCTGCCTTCCGAAGACGGCACGGCGTCGGCGAAGTCCCTCGATTCGAATACACGGAAGGCCTTCGAGGATTTGGAGGCGCGGCAGGCGCGGCGCATGACCGGGCAGCGCGGGAACAAGGTGTCGCTGCTCAAGGACGACGGCTGGCGGTGGTGATGGGGTCTTTTCGCGTAACGATGTGTTTGTGTGAGCTCTGAGCGACGCGTGGGCTAGCGGCCTGTAAGACACTAGCAAGCAACTTTGCCGACTCGGCACTTTGCGTTGCGCGTAACGCGTGATCTCGTTCCCTCGTAAGGTCCGTAGAACACGCGCTCAAGCCCACGGAGGCTAGGGATCCCTAGCCGGCCAAGGCCTTGAGCACTGAGCATTGAGCAAGTGCTGACAGACTCAGTGACAGTGGGAGTTACACTGTGTACACAAAGGGCCGCGCGCAACTCAGAGGCTGTCAAATGATCAATATCACTCACGACGAGTTGAGAATCGAGAGACGCAAAACTACACAACTAATAGTAAGTTGTTTTCGCGATCTGCCAAAAGTGCCGTGGTCCGATTTTTTCTGGAACGCGTCACTGCCCGGCTGCCCCGCCGAGCGGTCGATCCAACTCTTCAGGACCCACGAGTCGGTCCCGCTTGACACGCTCCTCGGCGGTGTTGCCGGCGGACGAGTTCGCGTCGATCGTGCGCTCGCGGGCCACCCGCTCCTGCGGGCGCTGTGGGGTTGTTTTAAGCCCCCTCGCTGCGCGGCGGATGGCGTCTTGAGGCCGACACGAGCGGCCTGTCCGGCGGGAGTGGAACTATAAGATCACACACTTTTATCCTCCTCGACCGCGAATTCGACCTCGCCCCTTCGTTTAGCGATCGCCGCCTCGAAGGGCGACGACAGAGCCATGCGGGGCGTATGCCGCGCGTCGCGCATGGGCCCCGGGCTGTCGCCTTTTGGTGGAGGCGGCGTCAAAGGATTGTTCGAGTTCGGCGGCCCCCCCGGCGACGCCTCGGGCGACCGCACGCGGCGCGCGCGCGGCGACCGGAAGCGCGGGTCCGAGCCCGGCGGGCTCTTCAGTCTAGCTTCGGGCGACTCGAAGCCCATCACTGATTCATCACCGTAGAGCGACTCCTCGTCGTCGTCCAGAAACACGGAGACGACCTCGGCTCTACTTGGAGAGTCCTCGTGGTCCAAGCCGGCCTGGGCGTCCGTGATCCAGGACCGCGCCGGCTTCTTGAGCGCCGACGGCGGCCGCGCGTCGCCGGCGTCGTTCATCAGCGCCTTGTTTCTATGTTCGGCCACCTTGTGTCTTACTACACTGAGGAAGGTATCTAAATCTAACACGCCGCCCGAACCATAAGCCACGGCCTGCACGGCCACGAACAGCTTCTCTATTTCCCTACCCGAGAAGCCGCGCGTGTCGTCCGCAATCGCGTCGAAGGTTTTTTCCTCATCCACTCCATCTTCGACCTTCAACGGTGCCGGCAGCCGTCGTATGACGCGCCACAATCTAGCTAAGCGAGACGTCGACAGCTCCGCCAGCCTTCTTAAGTAAATGCCGTAATACAATCTAACTAGAGTCCGCCGCCCCGGTAGGTCCGGCAGCCCGACGTAGATCTCCTCGTCCGTCCGATCTAACACCGCTTCATCTAAATCCGACGCGCGATTCGTCGCCAGCACCAAGACAAAATGGGGCGACTGCGTGCCCGTCTGATACAAAAACGCGTTCAGCGCGTTCCTCATGTGCTCCGTTAATCTCCCGTTGGCCCGCGACGCGAGGAACGCCTCGGCCTCGTCGATAAACACCAGCACGCCTCGCGTCGACGTCCGCGCCCACCGGAATAAGGCGTGGAGCGCCGTGACGCCCTCGGGCCCGAGCGGGCCGACGTCGCCGCCACTCATCAGCGCGTACTCCAGGCCCGTCGCTTTAGCTAAACGCTTGGCACAGAGCGTCTTGCCCGTGCCCGGCGGGCCGTGCAGCAGCATGTGGCGGAAGGGGCTCCGGTTCTGCTTCGCGTTGCGCGTCGCCGTCGCGAGGCGCACGAGGCGCTCCCGCAGGCCCGGCGGCAGGACGACGCCTTCCAGAAAATCCGTCTCCCTTTTTACCAACGCCTCGGCCTTCTCTTCAATTCTCGCCCGGCGCGCGTCGGCGACACGCGCTCTTCGAGAAGCTCTCGCCGCCGCCGCGCGGGCCGCGCGCCGGTCCTTCGTTTTGATTCGCTTCGCTAGCCGCGCGTGGCGCCGCTCGGCCGCATCAATGCGTGCCTTGCGGGCTCCGTCGCGCCGCTCTCCCCGCATGCGCGCGGCGTCCTTGCGTCTAAATGAAGCGACGCCGGCGAGCTGCGCCCGGAGGTCGAAAGCCGCCAAGCGCGCCGCCGCCTGGTTTTTGGGAAGCGCGATGCGTTTTGCGAGCACTTTCAAGCGCGCCGCCACCGCGAACGCAATCAGACCTAGCAGTTCGACGAGGGCCAGCGCCCCGTTCTTCACAAATCGCCCGAGCGCCCGGCAGACGTCGAGCAGCGTCGTGCCCTCGTCGCGCAGCCAGGAACCGATGATGGATGCCCCATTGCCCGTTCTATCAACGACGATGCGTACACATAGCAAACCCTCCTCGCCGGCGACGCGCGCGCGGTCCTTCACCACGGCCAACGGCGCCCGCACGGCCTTGCCGAACACAAAAGAGGCCAGGTCGCGCAGGCGCGCGGCCCGCACGCGCGACGTCTCTCTCACTAATCTAGGACGCCCGAAGTAGGCCTCGGCGAGGTTCCGCGCTAATATGGCGAACTCGCGCGAAAAGTAGGCCCCCGCCACGCACGCGATCACGGCACCTACTAATTGAGCGAGCATGCGCGGGTCCTCCCCCAACAACGTCATGGCGCCGCGTGCGATGTAGTCGAACGCTAACGCGATCGCCGCCAATAATCGTCTTCTGGCTTCGTCCGCTCTAGCACGCATGGCCCTCAGTCTAACATCTTCATTTAATCTTTCCATCTCCGCTTTCGCTCGTTCCGCCGCCACGGCTCGCGCCTGCTCGGCCTTGGCCCGCAGCGCCTCGATGGCCAATTCGTCCTCGAGCTTGCGGCGGGCCAACGCTTCGTCGGTCAGCCTCCTCAGCTCTTCGGCGTGGGCTACCGTCTCCTCCTCCAATTCTAAGGATCGCACCTGCCTTAGTCGCATCTTCGCGTCGGCGTCTTCGATGCGCTTTCTTGTAGCGTCGTCGATGCCCGCGAGCGTCTCGTTCTCTCTTCTTCCTCGCCTTTCTACCGCATCTTTCTCCGCTTCGTCTTCCGCTAGTAGACGTCGCTCTTCCAATCGAGCCGCTTCGGCCCGCTCCGTCAACGTATAATTGCGCTCGGCGTCGGCCGCGACCCGTTCGGCCTCCGCCGCCCTGCGCACGACTTCGAGCCGCTGCTGCGTGCGTTGCGCGGCGTCCGTGAGCGTCACGAGCGCCTGTTCCGCGACTTCCTGCCTCCGCGCCAACTCTTGCGTCGCACCCAACGAGTGCATGAACAGCACCGTGGCATCGACGTGGGCGAAATTCTCGACGTAAATGGCCTTGCGCGGGTCGTCGGGGTCCGGGAAGGCCCGCCGGCCCACATTGACGGCCTCGGGCATGAAGTACTCCAGATCTTCTCCTAAAGCACCGAGCTGCCTTCGGCCCGTCCGCGAGTCGTGCGCCAACTCGAAGGACCGGAGCGGGACCTTGAGCACCAGGTCTAGTAATTGCGACGTGTTCGCCTGTTCTAATCGTTTGTAGACGCTCGCCGACGTCTCGACGCCCGTTTTCTTGGCTTGAGGCGTCGTTGTTAGGGTCTCGTTGGGCTCCACTGGTTTTACCGTGGTCGTGGCGGTCGTCTCCGGTACGACGGCGGGCGGCGGTTCCTCCTTCTTGGCCTTGGAACCGAAGCCGAAGAGGCCCTTCCTGGGCGGCTCGGCCTCGGCTTCGAGCGGAGGTGGGGGCTTCGCCGCTACCGGCGGAGGCGGCGGCGGCGGCGGCGGCGCGGCCGCCGCCGCCGCGCGCGCCTTGGCCGCCGCCGCCTTGGCCGCCGCGATCTCGCCCGCCGCCGACCGCTTGCCCTGGATGGGCGTCGCCGTGCGCGGCGCGTCTTTCTTGGCGCGCGGCGCGTCGGCCTTGGCGGGCTTGGCGCCGGTGGCGCGGGCCTGGGCCGCGCGCGCGCGGTCGGCGGCGGACGGGCCTTTCTTCGCGGACCCTTTCTTGGCCGCGGCGGCGGCCCGCGCGGCGTCGAGCGCGGCGCCGGCGTCCACGACCGGCGCGGCGCAGGCCGCGACGACGAGCAGGAGCCGGCCCTGCCACCGCTTTCGGCGTTTCATGTTGAGCAGTGTCGCCAAGGCTGCCCCGTGCCGCACAGGCGCTGCCCCACTGTGCCACTGGCACTTTTTTGCTGGCCGCTAGTGTCTTACGGACGCTAGGAACGCCGTCGAGGAGAAGTCAACAACAACACCTCGTTATTCACAGCTACCACGACTACGTGTCGTCCTTGTCGCCCGCAGACGGCACCTCGTCGTCGGCCGCCGGCGCCGGGTAGCGCACGCGCGCCCAGTTGTAGAGCCCCACGCCGCAGACCACGACGACGACGCCGCCCGCCGACTCGGCCGTCATCTCGTTCCCGAAATAAATAATCGTCAGGAAGATGAGCAAGGAGCGCTTCAGCGTGTTCGCGACGGACGTGGAGACAGGCGAGAGCCGGTCGACGACGCAGTACCTATGCGTAGCGTGTGAGGAGCGCCGAGGACAGATGGTTGGGTACACATATCTCAAGAAAGGAGTCCTCGGGTCAAAGTGAAGGTATGGTTGACGAGTGATCTCACGGCCGTGAAGCTCGGTCCAAGCGCGGATTCGTCGGTGTCGTCACCGGACTCTATATTAATGAGAGACGCTGGTCTAGGTACGCGGAAACCGATTGAGCGTGGTAGCAGCACACATTGACCAGGATGTATTTCATTGATTCTTGCACATGGGGATCTAACATAAACGTCGTCGAGGGCTGCACGAGCGCTTCCGCTTTCGCCGTCGTTCTAGCTGCCAGGATGGGCAACTGGAACGCAATAGCCAATAACGATGTGTAGAACTGGAGCTTCACGGGCCCTAATGTCGACACAATCTTCTTGCTGAGGACGTTCTGGAGGCAGTCGACGGCGTTGTTGGCCAGTGCTGCCCAAAACCCAATCGCGTCATACGACACTTCTGTATGTGCACAAACAACCAAACCGACCATGACCGGGATCAATGAAGCAACAACAGGACCAGAAGTGCGCTGCCTCAGGACTACTCTAGCGGTCCATACGGTAAATATGGGAGCGGTGGCTTTAATGGTTTCGGTGAACGACGCGGCGACGTGCGCTAACGAGACGAGGCCTAATACAACAGTCAATCCTCGCAACGCCCCGAGCGCGACCAGGGTCGCGCGCACGTCGCTTCTTTGTGCATTGGTCGATTCCTCGGTCCTCTGCTCTGCTTGTGATAAAGCCTCGAGGTCCACACTTGATCTATTCGGGCCCCGCTCTGGTTGACTGGAAGAACTCCACCAGACCTTGGCGGCTCCTAATAAAGCCGTCGAGAGCATCTGACATGCTCCTAATGCTTGGGACGAGACGCCCCTTTCCGTGAGGATGATCTTGTTTAACAATAAAGTGCCGAGCGACGTCAGATACCACGCACACAACCACAGGAACGTTTCGTACCGTTTCAACCGCTGCTCGTTCGCGTCGACCGACTGGGCTCTTCTTCTGTCAGGTTGCGGCTTGCTCGGCGTCGACGTCTGCGTGCGCAGCATCGTTCCCTTCCGTGGCGGTCTTTTCCCGCTGCAAGGTGTAGCGCTGCGCTAGTCGCTTGCGCTACGCGCTAGGCTAGCGACTTTGCAGCGCAGCGGGTCGCTTGCGTTACGCGCCCCGGCGGCGCGAACGGATGCGCGACGCTGGTTGATTGGCTCGTGGCTGCACCTTAGACGACCGCTGGCGCTGTGTAACGCTTTTAGGGCACGCAAAAACGCCCCGCAAATGTCCGACGACCAGCCAGCGGTGGTAAGACACTAGCAAAGCTTTTGCACCCGAAGCCGCACGGCGCTTTGAATCTACGTAAACGGTGGCTGCCCGCCGCCCGATATCTCGAATCTCCCCAAACGCCAAGCAGCACTGCACCATGCGGGCCCCCGCCGGCCCGCCGCCCCCCGACGCAGGGCTGCCCGACGCGCCGCCGCCAACCGCGCCGCCCCCAAAAATGAAAAAGAAGAAGAAGAGCAAGGACTCGCTGGCCGGTGCCGGAGAAAAGAAGAAGAAAAAGAAGAAGAAGAAAAGCTCCAAACGCTTCGCGGGCGCCGCCGCGACGAACCCGTTGACCGCTCGAGCGCGCGCGCGATTACTTTGTAGAGCGATGGAGCTGAGGATTTCCATAGCGAGGTACTACTGCCAGGAGGCGGCCTACCTCGACAAGGTCCGGGGACGAGCGACAGTAAACGTCGGGGCTTTCCACGAAACCGAAGACTGGCGCCACGGCAAGAAGGTATTAAGTGCGCTGGGGGCCATGGCCGTGCCTAGAAGGATGCCCGAGGAGCTCGCCCACGACTTGACGTTGTTGCGGGAGCTCGAGGCGCTGCTCGAGGATCCCCTGAACACGCCCGATTTTTTAGTTGGAGAGGACGTCCCTGATGATGATTTACCGGAACTGGCCGTGTGTTTGCGGGAGGAGATCCAACAACTGCGCGGGTCCGTGGACGAAGCTCGACGGCAGGTTGCGGCTTTGGAATCGCGGGCCGCGGCGCCGCCACCGCCTCCACAACGGAACGTCGTGCCGCCGCCGGCGCCGCGGTGACGACGCGTCTTCTTCTTGTTTTTTGTGGGGTAACTTCTCATCTCGAGTCCCTTTCTTGTTACGGTGCTAGGACTTCTCCCGAGTCTCTCGATGTTACGGTGCTAGGACTAGTGGGCGGAGCCCCTGGGGGGGAGACACCGCGCGTCGCCGATTCATCGGCGGCGGGCGCGGGCCGCTTCTCTCATAACAGCGTACCTCCTTCTAAGCAGAACCGCCTCGGCAAACCCCCCCGAACAATGTGCAACGTTCGCCCGTGCAATCAACTTGTCCCGCGACTTCCCGCAGGCGACCTTGGACCGCGGCGACGCGTTCGGCACCGTACACTCCAACTTCTCCCGAGTCTTTGCTAGCGCGAGTGAGACACTAGGCTGTTAGTGTGGGGGACGGTGCCACTAAAACCCACTGAAGCAGCGGGAGGATACTGTTCTAGAGGGTGCGAAGGGCTCGTGGAAGTCGACACTATACCCTCGCCGACGCCTGCGCGCTGCGGCGGCTGAACTGCGCTGCGCGGCCACAAGAAACTGCTTTAACAGCCTGGGAGCAAATGAGGACGCGGCGCGGCGGCGGCGCCGTACAAACGCGCGCCTCGAGGCGCGCTGCCGCTTCCAGCGAGGTTATGCTGTCGCCCGAACCGCGGAAAGTCACCCAGGACGAGCACCAGCGCCCCTCCACCCCACCCGGCCACGTCGAGCGCCAGCGCCGCGGCGACGACACGCCACATCTCTTCGCGCTGCCCGAGGACCTCGAGCGGCGCGTGGGCGAGCACTTGGGCGACTGGCCCTACTCGCCCGCGCTGGCCACCGTGGCGCGGACGTGCCGGCGCGCGTACGACGCGCGGCCAGCTTTAGGTGCGCGCGTCGCGCGCGCCGCGGCGCGCGCCGCCGTCGCGCTTTTTGAAAGAAAAGCCATCCTCCTCGTGGCGCACACGCGCTGGCGCTGGCCGCCGGACGGCGGGCCTTTTGTGGATTTGAAGCAAAATTTCTTACTGTACATCACGCGGAACACGGCCCTATCAGCTGTCAAGGCCGCGCTCGATCATAGATTGCGCGTCTCGGCGACGGCGACGACGCAGACGCGGCGGCGGCGGCCCTGCGGCCAGACCGTCGCCGTGGGCTATACTACCTTTAGACGGTCGCGCGTCGTGCTGGAAGATCAACAATCGGGCGCCCAGTTGGACGAGGCGGCGCTGCAGGGGCTGGTGGCGCGCGCGGCGCCGCTGCCGGCGCGCGACGGCGTCCCGGGGCGCCTCGCGGTGCACGTGAATTTACATGTGGAGCGGTACGACTCGTCCGACGACGACGACGACGACGAGGCCGTCCCCGTCAATCCCGTCGCCGCTCCTCCTGTCTAAGGGCCCACAATTTATACAAAAACACAATTACTAGCGCGGCCCGGTAAACAACTAGCCGGGGTTGTACGCCTCGAAGCCCATGTCCGGGAGCTGCTTCGCGCTCTCCATCTCCTCCTCCAGCACTTCGAACGACGCTCTAGGTTGCATCGTCGGATGGGCTGCCGTCAACTCCAAACCGGTCATCGACCGCCACCGCTTCTGCAGCATACTTCTATATTCGGTACCCTTGGAGTCGGCCAGAATCGAGCCGGCTTCGTCCAAAATATTCGTCCTAGTTGATTCCTGCTGGCCCGTCTGCTGGAAGCGCCACATCCGTTTCCCTTCGCGGTGCCAGATCCCAATATGCGACTCCTGCTCTTGTAACTCTTTATACTTCCGCTCGCGCTCCCTCTCCAACTCATCTTCCACATCTTGCTCGGATAAGCGCGTCGCCTCGTGCAACGCTTTGGCCCTTAACCGAGCCTGGTGCTTCCGGTACTGCCGCCGCTCCTCGATCTTCTTGATCATGTCCTGCTTCTTCCTAGCGAGCTCGGTAGCAATTTTAAAGGCCTCGGCCTTCTTCTTGCGCTCCTCTTCGTCCTCCGCGATCGTTTGATCTTCCTTCTTCTTCTTCGCGATGAGTAGAGCTTTGACCTCGTCGGTGACGGCCACATCCACGGCGTCCGGCGCTTCTATCGCTAGGAACTGCAGTTCTCGCCTGACCCGAGCCATGTTCTGCATCAACATCGACACGAGAGGCATGTTGCCCCAGGACGACGCTAACTCGAGAGCGGTGTGGCCGCCTTTGTCGACGTTATTTACGTCCGCGCCGTGGTCGATCAACCATCGACAGAACTTCATGTGCGTCTTTCGTCGCGGCTCGGCGCAGTTGAACATGCAGGCCGTGCCCAAGGCGTTCATGCCCAGCTCGTTGAGTTGTTTGGGCTCGGCGCCTGCTCGGTAAAGCATCTTCGCTAACTTAAGATTACAATATCTAGCAGCGTAATGCAACGGCGTATTGCCATGATCACTTGGATTGGGCACCCGAGGGTCGCCCTTCTCATTGAGCAAGCCGTGGATCTCAATTATACTTGGTTTAGGGTTATTGCATTCTTCATACAAGCACCCGCCGTACTCCTCTTTATACGGAGGACCGTAGTGGACCATCAACTTCTCTAATTCAGACATGGCTTTTTTCACGTACCATATCGCCTTCTCCTTGTTTGTTTGTTTGTTCCACGCGATCTTGGCTTCGAGCGCGAGTCGTTCCTGCTTTTCTTCTTCGGTCTCTCCCAGCTCTTCGGGGTGCCAGACCTCGACTTTCGCGCCGATCTTGTAGCCCACGAAGTCGGGAGACGTGGGATCCATGGCGAAGCCCGCACTAGACCTAGAACCAGTGGAGTTGTAGGACCGGTCCTCGTCGGCGGCCTCGAGCTTCTCCAGAGCTTTGATGGCGTCCCTTAACTTCCTCGCATGGGCCTCGTCCTTCGTCTCCTTCTTCCGCAGCCGTTTCGCCGGCAATTCATTGTTCTGTTCCTTCGCACTCAGATCTTCATACGACACCGAATATAACCATCCGGTCTTCCGCTTCTCGATCTCACAGACGACGCCGGGGATCCACCGCTCGGGCTTCGGTTGCGGTCTAGAAATAACAGAGGTATCATCTTCACCAGGAACGGTCGGTAAATCGGGCAGCTTCTCGCCGCCGAGGCCTTCCCCGCGGGGGATGGGCTCTCCCCGTTTGCGCGCCTTCTGGGCCTCGGCGAAGATCTCCTTCGCGGTTTTCTTCTTGGGTTTCCCATCATCCTTGCCGCCGGGCAGCTTGGCCCGCAGGCTGTCGACAAAGCCCATCCCGTGGTGGGGCTGCCCTCACCGGTTCTGGGGCTGCGGCGTCGGCACTCGGTGGCCGTGTGCGGTCCGCGCCGAGGTGCCTCCCGCCGGCGCGGGCCCGTCGCTTGCCTTTGGCAGCGCCCCAAAAGGCAGCGCCTCGGGAGAGATGAACGACACCGCCGCCCGGAGCGCGACTTGCGATTGCCACATGAAAGCTCCGGGACGCCTCCGAAGGATGCACCGACGGGTCCTGGCGGACAAAAAACCTCGATCAACAACGGTGGCTGCCGGCGAGCTGTGATGCCAAAACGAGGTGCCACAGTGATTCCCCAAACGCGTCCACGCAGCCGCAAAGCGTTCGTTTGCATCAATCATCCAACATCTGCATCAATGCGACGGCGAAACGCGCGTTTGCTGGGCGTCATCGCCGCGTTGCTGCCGCTGCAGTCAGCCGGCTTGGTTGCACCGAAGCGAACCGCGGCGCTCCACATCAGTGAGCCGACGCCATCGCGGCGCCGGCTAGCTCTTGGGCCGGCGCGGCAACGATCGCGCGTGTATGCGGCGCCCAAGGAAGATGATGGAGACGACTCGAACCTCGTGGCGGCCTTGTCCATCGCGGCCGCGGGCGCGTTCGGCGCCGGCATTTATGCGACGATGGGCGCCGAGAAGGCCCTGGAGTTCAGCGCGGGGTACGTCGTCGAGCAGTCGTTGAGCGTGGACAACTTGTTGGTGTTTTTGGTGCTCTTCGAGTATTTCAAGGTGCCGCCGGGCCCGATGCAGGACAAGGCGCTAGCTTATGGTTTATACGGTGCTGTAGTATGTCGAGCGGTCTTCGTGGGTCTGGGCGCGGTCGCGCTGGCGGAGTTCCGGGGTGTGTTGCTCGTCTTCGCCGGCATATTGCTCGCGACGTCCGCGAAGATATTGTTAGGCGGCGACGAGGACGACGACGAGGACCCCTCAAAAAACGCCATCGTACGATGGGTCAACTCGCAGTCGCTGGTGCCGGCGACGGACGCGTTCGATGCCGAGGACCCGTCCCGATTTTTTACCATAGACAGTCAAGGTATCAGACGGGCAACACCGCTCTTAGCGGCGGTCGCGTGCCTGGAACTGTCGGACGTGGTGTTCGCGGTCGACTCCGTGCCGGCGGTCTTTGGGGTCTCCGAGGACCCCTTCATCGTCTACACGTCGAACATGTTCGCCATTCTGGGGTTGCGGGCGTGGTACGGCGTGCTCGCGCGGGCGGCGCAGGAGCTCGAGTACCTCGAGACGGCCGTGGCCGTGGTCCTGGGCTTCGTCGGTTTGAAGCTCGGGGCGGGCTACTTCGGCTACGAGGTCTCCACGGAGGCGTCGCTGGCCGTCATCTTCCTCGTGCTGGGCGCGGGCGTCGCCGCGTCGGTCCTTCTTCCGGACGAGGAGTCGTGAATCTGTGTGAGTCATAAAAACTAGGTGTATTAATAGTCCGAGTCTTCTCCGCCGTAGACTTCGCCGGTCGCGGCCCGCCGCGCTTGCGCGGCAGCGATGTTGCGCTCGATCGTGTCCGCCTGGCGTTCCGCTGCGTCCATCGCGGCGTCTGAGTTCGCGTCACACGGCTGGACGAACGTGCGGCCGTGCAGACGGACGAAATCACCGTTTCTCACGATGACGCCGCTGCAACCGAACCCTCCAGGTTTCCATCCTTTGTGCTCGCATGCGCGCGAGCAAAAGGATTTGCCGCACCTCCGACACGGGCCAATCAGTTCGCCGTCGTCGACGACAGGGGCTCCGCATGCGTGGCAGGCCCCGCTGGTGCGAGGCGCCGCCTCCGACGGGATCGAGCTGTCGCGCGCCGGTACCGTTTTCCGGGCCGCGCGCGTCGGTGGCGGACCGCGGAATGCCAGCGCGAAATGCCTCAGCATTTTTGCGATCGTGCGCGCGTCCTCAAGGCGGGGGCGGTTCGGGTCCGAGTCGTCGCTTGCCGTCGATTCTTCGTCGGTGTCCTTCTCGCATAGTCTCTCCGCGAGCACGACCTCGCGATCCGCCAGGCGCCGGAGCTCGTCGTAGCGCACGCGCTCTGGAGCCGGTCGCTTCCGCCCCGGGTCGCCCAGGACGGCTCGCGAGAGCTCGCCCGGGGGGCACCGGTGCGTCGCGAGCGCCTCGAAGAGCGGAAGGTGGTGGAGCGCCACGGCTTGCCCTACCAGCGACCCCCCGCCGTGGTATAGCTTGCCACTTCGGCCCAGGAGCGGGGCGTGTGGGTCGGCACCAGCGGCGAGGAGCGCCCGCGCTACGGCGCCGCGGTCGTCGGGTACGCTCGCGTCGTCGGACACTTCGGGCGTTTCGAGCACGGTCCCACTCGTGTCGTCGCCTGGTCGGCTCGTCGCCATGACGAGGTAGGTCAGTGGCGAGTTCAACAGTTGAGAACCGTCGCCGACCGTCTTCGCGTGGACGTCGGCGCCCCGCCGCAGCAGCATCTCGACGGCCTCGAGGCGCACGTACCTCGTCGCCATGTGTAGCGCCGTCACTCCCTCCACGTCGGACGCCCGCTGGTTGATGTAAACGCCGGCGTTCAATAGCGCGTCTATCACTCCCACGTGGCCCTGGATGCCCGCGACGACGAGGGGCGGATAGGTCGACTCGTGCGCACCCGGCGTCTTCCAGTTCCAGTTCTGGAGGCAGACGTCCGTCGACGCCGCCGCGATGCTACGTTCGCGCGCTGGCGGGTCGAGCAGGAGGCTCACGCAGGCCGGATCTCCGCCGAGCGCCACCGCGCAGAGCGCGGTGTACCGGTCCCGCGGCTCGTCCCCCGGCCGCGGGTCGTGGGCGAGCGCGTCCAGGCCGCCGCGCATTACCCAGGTGCCGAACGTGGCGTCGGAGGCAGCGTCTAGCCGCAAGATCTCCTCGCGAAGCGCGTCGACGCCGCCTCCATCGTCGACGCCGCCTCCATAGGCTGCGTCTACGATGCGTTGGACGAAGGCATCGGCCTCCTCAGCCGAGGATTGTGCTGCTGCTTGTTTTGGTGCTGGCGGTGGGGCAGCTTGTCGAGGCGGTGCTGGCGGCAGTTTCGTCGATCCACCGCTGTTCAGGAAGCCGCGCCGCATGTCAGTGGTGATGCTAGTTGCTTGGCCGGTCAAGCGCGAGTGCTCGTGCTCTCGACAAATGAGGCACAAATACGAGGTATGGGCAGCGCTAGCGGTTGCTGCCAGCTGCCCAATGCCCCATGCTCTCCAAGCGCCGCGCGAGAGGGTTCGGGTTTTCCGGAGTCATTGTGTTACTTATCTATACGCCCACCGCGGCCTCATACGCCTCGCGGTGGCGTCGCTCCAGGGCGCAAGGGGATCCAACTTCGTTGTCGGCCCAAGGTACTATCCGGGCGCGGGGCGATTCGCCGTTGTCGAAGGCGTGGTCGAGCACGCGCCGCGCGAACCCCTGCCCAAACGCGCCCTTGAGGCTGACGCGCGCGAGGAGCGAGATACCGCATCGAAGCCGCGCCTCGTCGTCGTCGTCAGTGTCGTCGCTGTCCTCGGCAAACGAGGCTCGCCCGGACCGGAAGAGCAAGATTTCTCGCGCGACGGCGGCGCGGCGGGCCCGTTCCTGCTGCCGCGCGACCTCCAGCTGTGCCGCGGCGAGCTCGATGATCGGCTTGACGCGCTTCCGCACCTCCTGCACCGGCGAGCTCTCTATATCCTCCATGCACTTGGCCACGTCCTCCATTTGGAACTCGAGCACGTCGCCGAACGAGACTCGCGCGCCTCGCGCCACCAGGAACCGAAAGATGAGCAGCCGCTCTTCGGGCGAAGACTCGGCACCGCCATAGCCATCCCAGTAAAATAGCCACTGCACCGGCGTCATGAGATCGACGGTGATCCTGCGTCGACAGTTACCGAAATCGCAGTTTGTGTGCGTCACCTTGTCCAACGTTTCGTGCACGCGCGCGCCGTACGTGTCCACCAATTTCTTTACGAGCGCGAAATGCCCGTACGAGCAGGCGACGTCGAGCGCGGACATCATTCGGTACTGGTAGTCGTCGCTGCTGTCGTTCTTGCGCAGGTTCACGTCGGCTCCGAGCACCCCGCAAAGCATGTCGACGCAGGCAGTCCGCCTCCCCCCTGTTGGGCTGTCGCAATCCCGATTCGCGGCCCAAACAACGAGGCGCTCTCCATGAATCCCGTCGTCGCTGTCCCGGCCCTGGAGGCGATCGACGTCGTAGCCACCCGCCACGAGTATCTCCGCCATGCGCTGATCGGGGACCCTTTGTGCATCTGCGGGGGTCCCTACGATACCTTTCCCCCAGTATTGCCACAGCGCATACATCATCGGCACTATGTCGTGGCAGCTCCCGCCCTGCCAGTACATGTCCGCCCCGCCCGCGAGCAGGTACTCGACCATGTCGTAGTAGCGGAAATTCACCGCGTAGAGCAGGTTGGCATATTTAGCCGAGCTGCCTCCGGAGTCGCAGAGCAATTTGACGAGCGCCAGGTCGTCCGCGATGATCGCCTCGTCGATCGCGTTGGGTTCCTTGTAGCCGCTGCGCTTGCTGTCGGCGGCGCCGCCGCGGACCAACTCGCGCACGATGGCATCGTAGCTTACGCGGCACGCAAGAACAAGCGGCGGCGGCTCGCCGGCCGTCACGTCGGCCCCGGCGTCAACCAGCACGCGGACGGCCTCGGTGTGATTATTAGCCACCGCCACATGCAGTGGGCTCGCCTTTTTAGTCACATCTTTGTTTATGTCGGCGCCGTGGTCGAGCAGCGCTCGCAGAGTGCCGGTCCTGCCGCGCTCTGCGGCTCGCCACAAGGCGGTTCGGCGGTCACCGTCGGTCGCGTCGATGTCCGCGCCGGCCGCGATTACTCGCCCGACGTCAGCTGTCGTCGCGTCCGAACTTCCAGTGACGAGATGGTGGAGCGTCTTCGGCGGTGCGTGCACGCCTTGCTCGCGTTGTCTCGCGAGTCGCAGCTCCCTCTCCCTTCGTTGCCGCGCGATCCCTTGTTTGATAACTTCGCGCGCGCGCCGCGCCTGCTCTGCAGCTACTAATTTAGCCAACTGTGCCAGCTGCTCGCGTGTCCTGTGCTCCAAGAAATCTTGCAGGTGGGCCTCTGAGTAGGCAGGGGCATGCCAACCGAGGTTTTCGTTTTGATATGTTGCCATTGGGCAGCCTTTCTCGTTCAAATCCCAAGCTCTAGCTCTGTTCTTGCTAGTGTCTTACATGCCGCTAGTTATTATCTGCTCTCAATTACGAGCTGCGCTGGTACAAGATGCTGCGCATCGCATCGGTTCTCGTGGCCGGCGCGAGTGCGCTCCAAGCGCCCAGGCTAAGCAGCGCTCCGGCGTGGCTAAATGCTGCCACGTTAGAGCAGGCCCCGGCCACCTCCAAGGATCTACTACCGCGAGAGCGCTATGTCGCTTCGAACCGCTTCAAAACCAGAGGCGGCAAGGCCGCGGCCAGGTTCGAGGCGCGCTGGGCCAATAGAAAAAGCAGACTCGCGGAGCTCGAGGGCTTCCGCTACTTCTCACTGTTCCGAGAGGTGCCCGTGGAGGATGTGGTCGGCCCGCGCGGCGCGGCGGCCATGGGCGGCGACCCGCCGTCGTACAACTACATGTCATTTACCATATGGAACGAGAAAAAAGATTTCAACGCGTGGCGCAAGGGCGACGCCTTCAAGGAGGCCCACGGCGGGACGTCAATCGGCGCGTTTTTGAAAGCGATGGTGTCGTCGCTCAAGGTGCTCAAGGGCCCGCCGTCGCCGATCTTTTTTGATGGATTATTACATCTCGCGGCGCCTCCTTCACAAAAAGGTGAGGTGGAAGGAGGCTGGCGCGTGGTGGAAGCGGACGGCAAGAACTTGTTGGAGGCCGAGAACTTCGTCGCTGCCAATAGGTTCACGGTCCGTGAAGGCGCGGAGGCGGCGTTCGAGGAGCGCTGGGCCAAAAGAGATAGCGGCCTGGCGGACCTTCCCGGATTCAAGTCGTTCACGATGTTGAGGAGAGATGCCAAGACCAAGGGCCACTCCGAGAAGAAGGGCGCGGCGGACAAGTTCGGCGACGACTTCAACTACATGTCCTTCACGGTCTGGGAGGACCGCGACGCCTTCATGGGCTGGCGCAACTCGCAGTCGTTCAAGGACGCCCACTCCTCCGGCCCGAAGAAGGAGGAAGGAGCCCCGAAGCAGCCGCCGCCGTGGGTCAAGCCGCCGTCCGTCGTCTTCTGGGAAGGAGTGTTGGAGCTGACGGGCGCGGACGGCGCTTAGGGGTCGCGTGTGTGGTCGTACGCGCCGGCTCGAGCGTCCACGCCTGGACGCCACGCGCCACCTGTCCTCGCGGTCGCATGTTGTCGCAAGCCGCGGTTCGATAAAGTTACTTTTATGACAACTATGCACACTACTACGCTTCGCCCTCGTCGGCGTCGCCCGCGTCCGCATCACCTGATGTGTCCACGAGCACGCCGCACGTCGCGGTGAACCCGTGTAAATAAGTAGGGATCCGATCCGCCCCATCCGAGATGCGCGCGCCGACAGGGCCCAATTCGCCGTTCGCAAAGAAGCCGACGCAAGGGGCCTCGTCGGTCGCCTCCCTAATGGCTTGGGAGTCGACGCCGTTCTCCCGGAACAAGCCCTCGCCGCGCCCGCCGCAGGCGAATAGTACGGATAGTAAAGGCCTTCCAGTACCCTTGAACATCTTCTCCAATGAATACCGTTTTATCGTATCCTCGAGGTCCTCGCGCGCGGCGACATCATCCCTAACCATGAATCGACACTCCGTCTCGTCCGATATCGAATCGTCCCCAATCAGCAAGCTGCCGTCCGACCCGGCGCCGCGGACCTGCCTTACTAAAAAAGCGTCGTCCTTGGAACCTCGCGGCCTTAATCCAATCAGCAGCGCGTTCTTCAGCAGCTCGGCCACTCTGGAGTCCTTCTGGAGCGTTTTTGAGAGCGTCTCGCGCAGCGACTCGATGGCCGGTCTTCCGTCGAGCTCCTGGATTAGGTGTTTAGCGGACGTCTTCGTGACGGCGTGCACCGGGCCCGTCGCGGCGGCGCCCTGGGCCGTCAGGGCGTGCATTTCTAAGTTAGCACCGCGAAAAGCTAAACCGCAGACCGTGCCCGGCGGCGTGGACATAGTCGTGCCTTTGGTTCGAATGGCCAGAGAAGGCCGTTCCTGCGACGCGGGGCAGCTCAACCCGCCGACCACGGGTTGGGATGGCAGCCAGCCGTCTACGAGTGAAGCCGCATTTGTTATTGGGGAAAAAGGATCACCTAGTAACACGCAGGCCTTGCTCGCCCGTAATAAACGCTCCGTCTCCCGATGTTGCCTCGGGTCCTCGAGATCTCCCGATAATGTAAAGGGCGCGACTTCAGAACCCTCCGGCAGGTTCCCGGCGGCGATGGCGACGCAGGGCTGCAATTCTCTTTCTTTGCCACCGCCGATGACGCCCGCGCCCACGACGCCGACGAGGGTCTGCGCTCTTGTTCTCTCGAAGGCCTCGTCGATGATCGTCTCGAAATATCTTTCCAAGGGCAGCCCCACGGTGACGATGGCCAGGTCCGGCGCCGGCGCTGTGCCTCGTTCCAGAGCCAGCAGCGTCAGCGCTTCATCGACGCCCTTCTTCCAATCATTACTATTGCTGCTTATGGTGGTCTTGAACGACGGCGCCAGCGCCGTTGCTGCCGCGATCACGGCTAGAAAACGCATCCTGCCACTCGACGTGCTTACGGCTGCGTTGGCAGCTGTCTGACCACAGCTGTTGTCGACCTGTTTACGGGTGCGGCAACTATGGCGACTCGTAGCTGTTGTCCTTGGGAGTGCCTTCTGCAATCTATTAGTGCAGTCGCGCGAGCTGTGAGCGCACGCGCGCGTTTTTTCTGCGTTGGAGTCGCGGCTAGCGTACAGTAAGACACTAGCAGGCCTGGTGGAACGCGGCCGCGCTGCGCGACGCCCTGGCAGCAGCAGAAGCGTTGGCGAGTCTCCTGCAGCTTCTCCTTATACCCGCCCTCCGACGGAGCGACTCGGCGTATGCGCCTGCGTGCGCTAGCCCTCGCACTCGTCCCGCGCTCTGCATCGGTTTCCTTGGCAGCACGGCGCGTCGCTGCACGGCCACGACCCGTAGACCCTCCAAGGGTAAAACCAGTAACAATACAAATCGGAAAAACGATGCCCAAGGACATCGAGGACACGATTGTAAAACCCGACGGCGCCGCCGCGAGACAAGACTTGTTAAAATGGTGGGACGCCGGCCATCGAGCCATGCCCTGGCGCCGCGAGACGCCGGCCGACGACAAGAAGGCCTGGGCCTACGGCGTCTGGGTCTCGGAGGTCATGCTCCAGCAGACGCAGGTGTCGAGGGTCGACCCGTACTGGCGCCGGTGGATGGAACGGTGGCCCTCCGTCGAGAGCTTGGCCCGAGCGGATGAATCGGACGTGAAGGCGCTGTGGAGCGGTCTGGGGTACTATAGAAGGTGCGCCTTTTTGCTCGAGGGTGCGAAGCAGTTAGCATCAGCAAATGAGTGGCCGACCTCAAAGGACCAGTGGCTCAAGGTCAAGGGCGTCGGGCCGTATACGGCCGCGGCGATCTCGTCGATCGTGTATGGAGAGCGGACGCCCGTCGTCGACGGGAACGTCGTGCGCGTGTTCTCTCGATTAGCTATGTGTGGAGAGAAGCCGACCGCGAAAGTCTGGTGGTCGTTGGCTGGTTCTTTGACTGACGGTTGTGACCGCCCCGGCGCCGTGAACCAGGCGCTCATGGAGCTCGGGGCGACGGCCTGCTCGAAGCAGAAGCCGTCCTGTGGTGGTTGTCCTTTGAGGGGTCACTGCGCGGCCTTCAAAGGGCAAGTGGTAGACAAGTACCCCGTCGTCGTCAAGAAGGCGCCGCCCGTCAAGGTCGCCGTCTGTTTGGTCGTGCTGCGCCATAACGACAGAGTGGCGCTCGTGGCGCCTCAGTCCGATCGTTCTAAGTCGCCGTTCCGCCTCGAGGGTCTGTGGGAGCTGCCCGGGACGCGCATCGAGGGCGAGCCCGACGAGAATGCTATTGTTCAAGGGTTGGACGATGCCCTGCGGGCCCTGGGGCCCACCACCAAAGGCCTCCGCGCGAAGAAGCCGCTCTCGCACTCGATCACTTCCACCAGATACGCCGTCCACGTCCAGCGCTGCGACGTCGACGACCCGGCCCTCTACAGCAACGTCGAGTGGGTCGCCGCGGACGACCTCGGGACGAAGGGCTGCTCGAGCGTCGTGAAGAAGGCCGTCGACGCGGCCGCCAAGATCGACGCGAAGCGCAAGCTGCCCAAGGGCCAGCAGACGCTGAGCTTCAAGCCGGCGAAGAAGGCGACGACGCGCGTGTCCCCTCCGCCCGAGCCCGTCACGGTGACGCCTCCCTCGCCGCCGCAGCTCGCGACGCCGTCGGCGTTCGGGGCGTACGCGTTCGCGGAATAAATTATATATGTGCTATACCTTACAAGCGAAACCCCCCGTCGTCCTCCGGGTCGCCCTCGCCGAAGGCCTTCTCGAGGCCGTACGACAGGAACGTGAGACCCATGTGCGTCGACAGCAGCGGCAGGATGAAGGGGTCGAAGGCCGCCTTCACCGCGATAATAATAGTATCGTTGTCGAGCGCGTAGAGCGAGAAGACGCCCGACAGGAACCAAAGAAACAAGCCCACGATGACGACGAAGTTAAAGCCGAGGACTGTGCCCAGCACGTTGATGAGGCCCTGCACCGGGTTCTCCGACGCCGCCTCGACGACGGTCCCGCGCTCGCGGAAGCGCGCCGCGTCGGCGATGAGTCTGTCCTCGGCGGTCGGCGCGCGCGCTGGCGGCGCCTGGTCGAAGGCCATGGCCGGAGGCGCCGGCGGCGCCGCCGCGGCCGCCGGCGGCGCCGCCGCGGCCGCCGCCGGCGCCGCCGCGGGCAGGCCCGCCGCGGCGTCCGCGGCCGCTTTCTCCTGCTTGAACCGCTCGATGTCGGCCAGGAGGTCGTACGCCGGTGGCTCGTCGCCGGGCTCGGCGCGCAGCAGCTGTGGCCTCCGCCGTTGCGCCAGTGCAAGGGATTTGTACGCTCGCGGCGCGGCAAGAGATTTGTACGCGGTGTGCGCGGGTTGCCATGCGCTTGTCAGCGCGACGAGCAAGCCAATGCGGAGAGCATGGGCCTGGTTCATCTTGTTTGCGGCCCGAGCGGCAGCGTCGTTGCTACAGTGCTTGAGTACGGATGGTCTTGACGTGCCCGAAGCCACCAATGAGCACTTTTTTGTGCCGTAGAGAGCAGCCAGTCAGCAAATCAATGCTGCTCCAGGATCCCTAGTGTCTTACAGGTCGCTAGCAACTCGTATGTCTCATTGCTAGTCCTAGCACCGTAACATCGACTGGTCTCATTGCTCGGGCCGTGATCGGGGCGTCAAATGATCTACGGGCGAGACAGAGTACTTAAGCGGTCATGGACGCGTGCGTCGCCCGGGCCGTCCGGGCCCGGGCGGCCGAGCTATCACGTGCGTAACAACAACCACAAATTACCCCTAATCCCCGCGCGCCGCCGCGCGCACGACGTCAGCGAGCGCCTCGGCGTCGACGACGACGTTGCCGTTGTAACTGAACTCGCGCGCCGCGAACGCGTAGTAGCGGAGGCCCCGGGCGTACGAGAGCCCGGCGTAGAAGAGCCGCACGGTCTGTGCCGGCACGATCTCCACGACGGCCGTGCCGGGCGCGCAATGCACGAGGTTGGCCAATGCGCCGCCGTGGGGCGCGACGACGACGGCCGCGGCGGAAAATGCCCGCGCGCTCGCCTCCGTGTTCTCGAACCGAAACAGCACGAATTCAAGGTCCGCCGCCGCCGCAGCGGCCGAGACCGCGGCGACGACCGCGCTCTCGTTCACGACGAGGCGCTTGCCGTGGTAGGCGTCGTGGTTGCGCGTAGCGTAAAGGACGGTGCGGCGCTGCCGTGCCGGCGGTGCGCCCCCGAGGAGTGTCGCGGTGTAGGGGCCCGCGAACGGGTCGTAGGCCCCGGGCCACAACAAATCTCCCCTCACGAGCGCGACCTCCAGCACGGGAAAGAAGTAGGGCCGGCACTTTTTTCCCTCGATGAACCGCGACGAGTTCAGCGCCGCTCTCGCCAGGGCGCACGTGAAGCCATGACAAAGGAGCTGGGATTTCGTATCATTCACAAAGCGCGGCCAGACGCCCGCGAGCTGCTGCACGCCGTTGATCATCTCGTGCTGGAACGTCGGCGAAAACAAGTCGACGCCGAGGTGCGTGCGCCCCGGCACGACCACGGCGTTTGGCAGCGGCTTCGCGCCGCACAGGATCCACTCGCGGCGCTGCCACTGCCGCGCCGCCGGCGACCGCCGGCCGCAGCCCCAGATGTTGTCCGCGTAGAGCGGCACGGACGCGTTCCGGCATTCCACCACCGTAAGCTGCGTGGGCTTCTTGAGCCGCGTGCGCGCGTGGAGGCGGACGCGCCACGAGCCGTTGACCGGCAGCGCGCGCCGCTCGAGCACTGCGGTCGCGTCGAAGGAGAAGCCGTGGCCGCGGACGCGCGTGGTGCCGTTTGCCGCATCGCTGCGGCCGGCGGCGAGGAGCAACAGGGCGGCTGCGATTCGCATCATCATCTAGTCCCGACAAGACAGTTGATCAAAATCTGCAAATTATGGCTTCAGGCTGCCCATTATTTGCTGGCAGCCTTGTCGGCCTTGTCGCCAGCCCATTTCTTGCAGACGTTCGCGCGGTGATCTATGACGATCAATGCGGTTACTAAACACCTGTTCTTGCTTCCTTTCGCTCTTTACAGGCTAGGCCGCATACAAAAAATACATGGAGCCACTGCGTGCGGGTTGGGGGATCGTGATAGACGCCGTGGGGACGGCCGACGCGATATACGCGCTCTCCGACTCCTCGCGCACGAATCTTCCGCCTAAAGAAAGTTGCGGGACTGGTCGGCGGTCCTGGAGTGCCTGCCGCCTCCCGCGGAAGGATGTATAATGTAGGAATCATTACGCCCGTCTACTTCCCACCGGGCCGCGCCCGGACGAGCGTCGCGTCATCATCTCCATCATCATCGTCGCCATTAGTGCCGCACGTCTTGCCCAGGCGCGCGCCCGTGGCCCGCTCGACCGCTTTGATCTCCTTCAGTAACCGTTCCCGCGCGAGGTTGTACAGGGGCGTGTCGTGCGCCACGAGGTACTTCCTTATAAGGGAGAGCGTCGCCGGCGCGATATCCGTCAGAGCGTGGGGCGCGGTGCGCTTCGTTAAATGCGAGTTTGTTCGTTTTTCAAAATGCTCGCACCTGCAATTCCGCGGTAATCTACCAGTCTCCTTGTATTTGAGTAAACAAAGCGACTCGTCGTACAACTCCACGACACCCACAAAACTCTGCCGCAGTAACCGTACCTACGTCGTCGATCGTTCGAAGGAGGGCTGGGGTTTGATGGCCGTGCTGATCGCTCTGATGGTCGGGACGACGGTCGGGCTGCTACTCGAGGCCCGGCGACGCGACATGTTCAAGGTGCCTCGACCGGCGAAGTCCTTCTCGCCGCGCGCACACGGCGTCCGTCTGCACCGCGCGCCGGAATCCCGCGCCGAGCTTTAGTAGTGTACTCTAGAGCTAACATTACACTTACTCCACAACCCCCGCAGCCCTCATCGCCGCGAGGAACAGGTCCTCGCCTTCCTCCTCTTCCTCAGCATCGTCGTTGGCGGCGCGCGCCGCGACCCGCGCCTCACGCTTGGTCGCGCACTCGCGCAGCTGCGGGTCGACGGCCTGGGACGAGCCCTCGAGCAGTGCCACGAGCGCGGGCGCCAGCGGCGCGAAGTTCCGCGTGAACAGCGACAGGGCCTCGGCGGCCTCGCCGCCGCGGCCCGCGCGGCCCACGCGGTGCGTGTACGTCTCGAGCGACGGCGGGAAGTCCCAATTGACGACGACCTTGAGGCCCGGAACGTGCAGGCCGCGGCCCGCCACGTCCGTCGCGCAGAGGACGGGCGTCTTGCCCGCCTTGAACGCTAATAAATGTTTGTCGCGGTCGGACTGGCGCAGCTTGCCGTGCAGCTCGACGGCCTTGCCGTCGTGGCGCCGTATTAACTCGGCGACCTCGCCGCAGGCCTGGGCCGTGTTCGCGAAGATCAGCACGCGCTTTTGCTGCCGGCCCGTCGCGTTCGCCTTGACTCTCTCCAAAAACCGCAGCAACAACCGCGGCCGCTTGTGCGGCGCGCAGACGTGGACTCTTTGTACTACGTTCGGCGGGACGCGGGCGAGCGTCGTCGTCGGCGGCGGCGGCGCCGCCGCGGCGGCGTCATCCGCGTCAGCGGCGGCGACGGGCGGCGGCGCGGGCACGCTAGAAGAAGCCTCGAGCTCCGCGGCGCCCTTCGACGCGTTGACGCGCACCGTCACGGTTAACGATCGCACCCAGCGCGCCGCCGCGTCCCGCAGCTTGCCCGGGAACGTCGCCGTGAACAGCAACGTCTGCCTTTTCCCGGGCACGCTCGCCGCGACGGCGTCCAATTGCTCCTCGAAGCCGAGCTGGAGCATGCGGTCGGCCTCGTCCAGGATTAGTATTGAGGCGTCGTTCAAGCGCGGCGCCAGGTTCGAGGACGCTAAATCAGCGAGGCGGCCGGGCGTCGCAACCACAAAATGCGCGCTCCGCAATGCATCGGCCTGCTCCGGTCGCGACGACGCGCCGGCGCCGCCCGCGACTAGAATAGCGGTCTCGGTGCCGCCCCGTAACGCTCGCTTCACGGCCGCGAGCACCTGCTTCGCGAGCTCGCGCGTTGGAGCTAACGCCACGGCCACGGAAGATTCCCTCCTTAAGCGGGCCACCGCCGGCAGCACGTACGCCAACGTCTTCCCGGACCCCGTCGGCGCCACGGCCAGGACGTCCAAGCCGGCTAACGCGGCGGGCCAGGCCTGGCGCTGCACGGCCGTGAACGTCGCGTCGTTCAGCTTCGCGCCGGCCCGCCGCCAGAGCGGCTGCGGCAGTCTTGCATCGCCCCACTTTACGTCATCTTCTAGAGGCGCCGGGCACTGCGCGGCCGCCCCTCTTACTACGACGCCGAGGGCCTTCCTTCTTAGCTTCGTCGCTTCATCAACACTGCCCGGGCCGCTCCATAAACTGGAGACGACGTGGTCCGGCGCGTTGAGCGGCTGCGCCGAGCGCTGGATGCGCGGCGCCCGCGCGAGGGCCTTGGCCTCCTCCTTCGCGGCGCGCTTCGCGCGCTTCTCTATTTGTTTACGGATCTTCTTTTTTTTATTCGGCGGGCCCATGAGGTCCTCGGCGGGGATGGGCCGCGTTTCCGGCGCGATCAAGCGGTGGACGCGCTTTTTTTTGCCCATGGTTCTTGTTGTTGTGGTGCTGCTGCACTGCAGCCCCAGTTGAGCAAAGGTGTCTAGTTGAGCAAGAGCTGCGACGGATAGATGAGCAGCAGTGGTTCAAGACCGTCTCTGACCAAGCATGCAACCGCTGCGGCGCCTGCAGCCGATTTATCGCTCTCAATTTGACAGCGCTTGTTAGCTAGCGGTATTGTAAAGACACTAGCAAGCGGACTTGAAACGACATGCAGCCGTTCGAGTACCGTTCGGTTCGCTACTGGTCCAAAGAGATCAATGGGACACTTACTGGGGGCCGAAAAAATTTATTTTTTAATCCGCGGCCGACGGCCTCACCATGGGTATGGCGGCCGCGCCGGCTGAATCCTGTCAATCCCTGCCAAAGAGGTCTCCCTGGGGTCGCCTAGGGTCGATACTATACACGTGCACGCGCCTACACCGCATACGCCGCCGCTTCAATCATTTTTGGTCGATTTCTCTCAGCAGACCACTCGGTTTAGCCATCTTTTGGCCATGGTTTGCTTCCAGGGCTCTCCGAGAGCACTAGGCCGCCGCATCGATGGCGTTTGCGGTGCAGGCGACTACCCACTACCAGACCTACCCCGAGAGGCCACCAGGAGCCGATCTGCCCCCGAAAAAAGTGTGCAATTTGGGCCCGATGGCGCCCCGTCCCCGTAAAAAACGTTAATTTATCTAGGGCCCCAGGAATCGTAATAGCGATCTCGTTGGACCCCATACTACCCCATCGATAGTCAATTACAAGTATATGGCATCTACACCGCGAGAAGGGTACTTTGGGCTGCCCACGCTCGGGACGTGAACATCTTGATCTGGACCGCGCGCAAGTCGGTCGATCATGAAACAAATGATCGCGTCATGATCCATGGTGATGGTACACGGGCTGATGGTGCCAGGTTCAAGTAATTCACCCAAATTCGACCGATGGTGGGGTCGGGAGACCGACGAGGCGCGAGTTGTAAACGGGACCTTTCATCCAATGTAGTAGGTGTTCAGGCCGGTTATCTGGCCCGTCCCACACCCGAAGCGCCTGAAACGCAAATTTATTTCACAACTCACGGGTCTGGGACCTTTCTGGTGCCCCGCGTACGCACCGTCGCCCGCGGAGAACGGGCAAGTCGGTCGATCGTGAATAGAACAACGGCGTTATGTTCCATCTGGATGGTGGCGTCGCTGATACTCGCAGGTTTGGGATCTAGGCTCGTCTTTAATAAAAATTGGGGGCGCGGATTCGTCGTTTCGCGCGGCTCTAACGGGTCATCTAACATACCTCGGTCTGGGTCTATCCGGCCTAAATGGACTCTACCACTAACAAACGGAAGGAAACGAACATAAACGCGAGAGTTGTCTAGTAGAATTCTTTTCCCGCCCTCCGAGCGCGGGCCGTCGGCTCCGGTTCCGTCGATTATGAATGAAAACCGGGCTGGAGTTGATATGATGTACTATTCGGATGGTAGATGGCGGCGTCAAGCGCTGGTGTATTTTAGACTTAGCAATCTAGCGTATCGACATACTAGGAATCCGTATATATATATATATGTGTGTGTATATATACATACACATAGTATACATGTATACAGGCCTAGGCGGATGGCTTTTGAAAACAGACCTCTCCGACTGACCCCCGAATAGTGAAGTTCAGAGCTTAATTCCCGCTCTGGGCGCCGCTGCCCGTGAACATTTCGTCCACTACCCTTAAACACTTCACAGTTAAATAAAGTTAGTGCAGCTCCTTGCCGCGCGCAGCAGCAACGGTGGGCGCCGCATCGAGTAAAGCGGCCCCGAGCGCCGCGCCGAACGCCTTCGCGCGGCCCGGCGACCAGCCGCGCACGGGATCGGCCGCCTCGGCGGGCGTCAACGTGTCCTTGAAGGGCATCTCGAGCGTGACGCTCAACGCGTTGTAGCGCTCGGCGACCGCGTTCGACCCGACCGCCATGTTGCCCTCGCCCGGCGGCTCGACGTCGTAGCCCAGACCGACCTGGAAATCTGGCGAGCGCCGTAAGAACGCGTCGGAAAGAGCCTTCAGCTGCGCCGCCAAGGATTCGTCCCAGGAGGGGATGCCTTCCGTCCCCGCGAAGAAGTTTGCGGCGATGGCCTCGTCGCCGTGAATATCCACATGTGCGTCCATGCCCAACTGGTCCATCGCCGCGAGCGTGTAGAATACCTCGGGCGACCGTTCCAATGAAGGCGCGTCGTAGCCCTCGTAGACGCCGGACGCCCACTCCCGGTTTAGGTTGGCGCCGGCCGCGTTAACCCTCAAATAGCCGGCGACGGCCCCGTCCGGGTTCATGTTTGGCACGAGCCGCACCGTCGCGACGCGCCGCAGCTCGCGCGCCAGCGGGTCGTCGACGCTGTTTAAGAACCGACCTAGACCCTCGGCGCACCACTCGGCCATGGACTCGCCGGGGTGCTGGCGCGCCGTCGCCCATATTGTCAAAGGTCCATCCCCAAAAGTCAACAAGTCGAGCGGCCGGCCTTCCAGCGTCTCGCCAATAGATGTGTGTGTACCAAGCTGGCCCGGCCCGCTCAGCTCCGCCACGAGTCGCTCGTGCCGCTCCCACGAGTACGGAGCGAAATACGAGAACCAAACGGAGTCGCGCTCCGGCTCGAGCGTCCAGGACAGCTTCCCGTCCTTGTACTCCGTCGAGGCGATCCGAAACCAGTCCAAGCGGTCGTAGGACGCCACGGTCTTGTAGTCCTCCCAGCCCTCGGGGTAAGATGCGTCGCCGGCGTTTTCCAGGACGAAGGTGCATTTCTTGCCTCGCACGCCCGAGGCCCGGAAGTGGAACCACTGGAAATGCGCCGTTTTATCGGTACCGTGCGTGTACGCGTCGGGGCGGATCTTCAGCGTGAACGTGTGGGCGTCGTCAGAGCCGCAGGCGACGTCTTTTACTTCTATGTTGCCGCTGTCGAAGGCGGCGCTGATGCTCGGCGGCCGCGGCAGCGCCGGCGCCGACAGCGCGCGCGCCGCGACGGCCATCAGGAGCGTCGGTGCTCTCGCCACCCGCAGCGTGGGTGACCTCAACAAGGACCGGCCTCCTAGCAGTAGCATCGATGGCACGCGTTGCTCGACGCGTTGCTCGACTCGCGCAAATTGCACGCTGCAGGCCTTTGAGTGGCTTGGCAGTGCGTCTAGTGCACAGCGCTCGCTACTGCTCAATCCGCGATCGCAGGAAGGTAATATTTATGTCCGTATACAGTTCTAAGGGCAGGCAACAACCGCACACAGGGCAAAACCGCCCCCTGGACTAAATGCTAGTGTCTTACAAGACGCTAGCATCGCAAAAATGCCAAAAAAACGCATCGGCGAGCACAGCTGCGCACGCGCATCGCTGCAACAGCACAAAAAAACACAAAAGGCATCGGCGACTAGCGCTGCGCACGCATAGCGCTGCAACAGCCACGATGCGCGCCGCCGCCGCGCTGCTGATGGTCGCCACCGCGAGCGCCAGCCGCTTCTCCGTCCTCCTCGAAGCCGGCTCGACGGGCACTCGTGTTTATGTATATGAAAGAGTAAAAGCCAAAGAAATCGCTGGAAGTCGGAGCCCCGTGAAGACGCCACCGGGCCTCCACGCGTTCGTCGGGAACGATAGCGCTCTAAAAAACTACCTGCTACCGCTCGTCGACTGGGCCAAAGATCGCGTGCCGGAGGAGGAGTGGGGCGCGACGCCTCTCAGACTCTACGCGACGGCGGGCATGCGGTTGGTCGGCGACGACAATGCAGCTAAACTCTACGATGCCTGCCACACCATACTAAACGAGACGCCGTTTCTCATCCGAAGATCAGCAATAAAGACCATCACGGGCGAGGACGAAGCTTTTTTTGGGGCAGTTGGCGCCAACTACGCCGTCAACGCGATTGATGCGGACGAAACGCCATCGGACGGTGCTGGTGACTTAGTTGGAGCGCTCGACTTAGGAGGAGCCTCCACACAAGTAGCAACAGCCTTAAGGCAGCGCGTGCCCCCGCAACTAAACAAGAAGCACTTCTCCGTGGCGACGTATCTCGGGTACGGCGTCGAGCGCTTCCACGAGCGCTACATCAAAACTGTGGACAGGGACCCCTGCGCCCAACCGGCCGACTTTGATGGTTGCCGAAGCGCCATCGCGTCCGCTCTAGGTATCATGGATTGTAGGTCACAGAACAAGCAGCCCTGCGCTCTACCTTTCGACAGCGGCGAGGACGAGGCGCCGCCGGAGCCAATCAAGCCGGCGCCGAACGCTAGATTTGTCGCCACGTCGTTGTATTTCTACGCGTGGCGAACTTTACATCAAGCTTTACCGTTGTTGGTCGAATTAGGTGGCGAGGAGTACGATACTGCCTATGCTAAAAAAGCACATGCTGGTTTAGATGGCATGTGGCCGGCGCCTTCCGTAGACAAGGCCAAAGCGGCCGCCGAGGCCTACTGTTCGGCGTCGCCCGCCTTACTCAGCAAGGCCGCTTCGGAAGAAATCGCCTGGGACGGGTTTCACGGGGATGCGGCGCGAAGGCACCGCGATTTTCCTAGAAGATGTTTTGAAGCGGCCTACGTCGATGTGTTATTAAGGGACGTCGTCGGCGTCGACCCCAGCGGGCGGGCATTGTTGGTTGCGATTAAACTGAGAGGTGTCGAGCTCGACTGGACGCTGGGCGCCGTTCTAGACGCGGACGCGCACGCCTTACGACGACCTAGGCATATTCCGCACGCTTCTGGCGTCGATGGTACGGTGCCCGTGACAAAAAAACACGGCGGCTGGCGCTTCTTCTTGCTCGGCTTTTGCGGGATTGCATTGCTGTTGATTCTGGTGTCGCGCGGCGGCAACGAACAGCGGCGGTCCTCGAAAATCGCGAAGGCGTCGCCGCGGACGGGCGGCCACCTCGAGTTCCCGTCCAATGGATGGCGGCGCGCGGCCCCCGGCCTCGTGTCGCGCGCGAGCTACGAGCACCTGTCGGCGGCGCGGCTTGTTTAACTGTGTTATCCCTGTGTTACTCTAGAATCCGGCGACCGTCCACGAGGCGGGCTCCGTCGCGGCGGCGAGCTCTGGCAGCATGCGGAGCCAGCACGCGATCTCCGCGGTCTGGTCGACCGTGTCCATCGCGTCGGCGTCGTCGGCGATTCCGCCGTGCGCGCGCTGCTGCGAGAGCAAATATTCCGAAATCGTGCCCGCCATGTCGCGCTCGCCGCCCATCGTTCTTCGTCGCCCCCTTGCGCGCCGCGCCCCATCCGCCCAAGCCGCGACAACTTCTGTGGCGAGCTGCGCCCGCGACGCCGGCGCCGCCTCTCCGCGCGACTCATGCGCATCCTGTCGGGCGAGCCCACCCCCGCAGAGCAGCTCGCGACCTACAACGATACGCGGCAGATTTTTGCTGACTAAAATTACAAATTGTTAATTACCCCCGCCCCACAAGTGGCATTTTCGACGCCATCACCGTCATCTGTAGCACGTTCGCCGACAGCGGCAGACTTGCCATGTAGAACACGGCGTCGGCGGCGTCGGACGCCTCCATACGCGCCTCGGGCCGGACCGAGCCGTCGGCCTGTGGCATACCCGTGGCCATGCCGTCCGAGATGGCGGAGACGACGTTGCCGAAGTCGATCTGCCCCGCCGCGATGTCGAACGGTCGCCCGTCCAGCGCGAGGCTCTTCGTGAGGCCCGTCACCGCGTGCTTCGACGCCGTGTACGCGACGGAGCCCGGCCGCGGCGCCGCCGCCGACACGGAGCCGTTGTTGACTATGCGCCCGCCGCCGTGCGTTGTCATGAGTTTGAACGCCTCGCGCGCGACGTGGAACGCCGCGTCGAGGTTCGTGCCGACGACCCAGCGCCAGTCCGAAAGGCTCATCGCCTCCACCGACGTCGGCCCCACGTTCACGCCGGCGTTGTTGAACAGCAGGTCGCAGCGCTTCGAGCGCGCGAAAAGCCTCGTGACGTCGCGCTCCCGGGTCACGTCCGTCGGCACGCACACGACGTCGGCGTCGGGTCCGCACAGGGCCTTGGTCTCCTCCAGAGCTTTCGCCCGCCGGCCCGCTATTACGACGCGCACGCGCCGCCCGCCCGCCCAGCCGCCCCGCGCCAAGCGTATCGCCACGGCCCGGCCGATGCCCGAGCCGCCCCCGGTGACTACAGCGACCGCCACGTCGTCGTCGTCTTCAGCAACAGTTGTCTCATCATTGGCGTTGACACCGACCGCAAGGTCGCCCGGGAAGGTCTCGCAGTACTCTCGGACGAGGGCGGCCGGCGGCGCCGCGGGCGCGAGGCCCAGGGCCTCCGCCCGCGTGCTGTCGATCCGGGACGGAAACGAGCCCACCGCGGCGGAGAGGGCCTCGTCGACGGCGTATGACACGCGGCCTAATTTTTTGCGATCCTCCGGCGCGCAGGCGGCGACCGTCGCGGCGTGGAGCTCGTCGAGCGTCACGGGACAGGCCGGCAGGAAGACCGTGCGGTCGAAGCCCAAGACATCGTCGGCGTTGGGCGCGTCGTGCAAGTCGATCAGTCCATTCACGCAGTTCTGCGTTCCCGCGACTGCGTGGATAATGTCCGGAGCAATTGGCAGCACAGTATCACGGCCCGCGAGCGTTTCTCGTACCACGCTCGAGAAACAGCCGGTAGTGGCCGCATTGGGCGCGCCCGCGCGCACGCAGATCGTCGGCAGCCGCAGGCCGCGTCCATCTAAAAAACCGCGCCGCGAGTAGTCCGCGAGGAGTAATTCGCCGCAGGCTTTGGTAGCGCCGTAGGTCGTGTGCGGCGTCGCGCGACTGAAATCGCCCACGACATCCTGGGAGGTGACCCAGTCCGTCGGCGCACCGGCGCCCAGCGTCGCGCCAGCCGACGCATACACCACCTTCGGCCGGCCCGGCGCACGCCGCGCCGCCTCGAGCACGTTGATTGTGCCGTGGAGGTTCGTGCGGATGCAGCCGTCGAAGTCTCGCTCGCCGTCGCCGGACATGACGGCACCCATGTGGAAGATCGAGACGTCCGTCGCGTCGGCGAGGAGGCTGTCGACGAAGGCCGCGTCTCCCACGTCTCCTATCATCAATTTCGTCTTCTCTTGGACTTCTTCGTGGTGCCAGCGTGTTGGCGCGGCGCGATCCGCGAGCACTATGGACGAGACTTTTGTTTCGCCGTGCTTGTGCGTCCGCAGTGCTCCTCGGCGCAGGATGCCTCTGGCGAGGCACTGGCCGAGGTAGCCTGCACCACCGGTGATGACGACTCGCATGCTGCAATGTGTGCTGCACTGCTGCGCAGCAGAGTGCTGCAAACGGCGCGTAGTTTTGGGCCGCAGTGTATAGGCAATTGATAGCAGTGCGTAATGCTGCAATCGATGCGAGTTTTGGGTCGCAGTGGTTGATTTATGAGGCTGTTGCTTGGCACGCTAGTGTCTCTCTGCACGCTAGGCGACGCCAGCATTTGGCAACCTTAAAACAGCCTCTAAAGCACGCACGCCTGCCTGCAGAACAAATAGGTGGTCGCTGTGTGTGCCCATCGAAGCAGCGCACACGACCCAGGCTCGTTCGCAGTCGACGGGTAGCCCTCACATTCAGCAGCAGCTGCCACGCGTTGTGCAAGCAATACGCGTCGCGCGGCCGGACATATAGAGCACGTGCCCGGTTATATAGAGCACCACAACAATGGCCTCGACGAGCAACGTCGCGAGCGACGACTACTACAAAGTGCTCGGCGTCGACCGTAATTGCGACGAGGCCGCCCTGAAAAAAGCATACCGACGAGCGGCCGTCAAGTGGCACCCCGACAAGTGGTCCTCGAAATCCCAGGCCGAGCAAAAGGCTGCGGAAGAAAACTTTAAGCGCGTCGCCGAGGCCTACGACGCGCTGAGCGACCCGCAGAAGCGGGCGGCCTACGACCGCTACGGCAAGGATGGTTCAAGGAGCGTCGACCAGGGCGGGTCCGGCGCGCCGCACGTCGACCCCGAGGAGCTGTTCCGCCAGTTCTTCGGCGGGGCCATGGGCGGCCCGGGCATGGCCTTCGGGGGCATGCCCATGGGCGGGATGCACTTCGGGGGCGGGCCGGGCATGGCGTTTTACGTGAACGGCGTGCCGGTTGGGGGGAGACGGCGGGGCGGCGCACCGCAACCAATGGAGATGCCGCAGATCGAGGTACCGCCGTTCGTCGAGGCCCTGATCAAGACGGTGCCGCCGCCATTACTTGTTGTGGGCGTCCTGGCCTTCGTGATGCTCGCGATGCAGCTGGTGAGCGCCTTGATGCAGTTCTTGATGCCGGTCATGTTTCCGCTGTTGATGGTCAACAACTTCGCGCCTCAAAACCTGCGGGCGCCCCTGATGCTGGGGCTCGTCGCCACGAGTCTCGCGACGGCGTTTTTGTGAATAAGTATACGTGGTATCGACGCGCCGAAAGCGAGTAGGGACACACCAACGCCATCGACGTGCCGTCGTCGAGGGCGAAACTAGGGACACAAAGCTTAGAGCGCCGACTCCTCCGACCGGTGCACGCGCGCGAGGATCCGTGACAGGAAGCGCGGGAACTGGTCCCGGTCGAACTCGATCGGCGACGACTCCATGCCCTCGTCGAGGCACTCCGCGCCGGCGCCCGCCTCGAAGTAGATCCGCTCGGCGCCGCCGCGCGGCACCTCCAACCTAAATTCCAGCTTGCGATCCGTGAAGTTCGACGTCGCGACGCACTCGACCTCCTCGTCCTCCGTCGCCTCGAGCGCGAAGACTTTCAAAGAGCAGCCCGTGAGCTCTTCGTACGCCTTCAGGCGCCGTTCCTGCTCCCTACACAAAGCCTCGAGGCGCGCGGCGCGCCCATCACTTCGGTCCTTCTCGCGCTCGGCCTGGGTCACGCGCTCCTTCTCGAGGGCTCGGTACTTGTCGCGCCAGGCCCTGGCCTCGGCGCGCGCCGCCTTCGTCGACTCGTCGGCCTCCGTCGACACGGCGGCGGCGTGGCGCGCGCGCGCCTTGTCGCTCGTCGGCGTTTTGGGTGTGCGCGCCGCGGGCTTCTTCTTCGTCGACGACTCGGCGGCGAGCGTTTCCTCCAAACGGCGCGGCGTCTTCTTCGCGGCGGGTTTTTTGGGAGCGGGAGTTGTGGAAGATTTTGGTTTCTTCGCGGCGGAGGACCCCGTGCTCGTCTCGGAGTTGGCGCGCTTCCGGGACTTTTTCTCCTCGGAGTCCTGGCTCATGCGCGCGCGGATCTCGCGCGTCGAGAGGGGCTTCGGCTCCTCGTAGTTGACGGCCTTCTTGGCGCGGCGGGAGCTGCGCGGTTCCGACATGGCTGCTTTGCGCGTCGGCGGCGTCTGTCTGTGGCTGTTGGAGCGTTTTGCGCGCCTGGGCTGTTGGAGGCGGTTTTTTGCTGCAGCGATCAGACCAGTGCTTTATCAGCAGAGATTGCCGTGCCTTTGTATTTTTTGAACTGTTGAGCAGCGCTGCGCGTCGAACGCGGTTGGCTGTCCAAACTCCAAAGTCAAAAGTCAAAAAACTGAGCTAGCGGCCTTTAAAGGCACTAGCGTGATGGTATAATTACTCTTCTGGGGGAGGAGGAGGGGAGGGAGGGAGGGGATGCTTCGTGAGCAGCGCTCCACCTGACTTGCCAAGGTGAGCGCTCCTACGTGGTGGGAGCTCACACCCGCGTCCATTCCGCGGGCGGCCATTCGCTCGTTCCGACGACCTTCTCGCCGTTCTTCGGGTTGCAGTCCATTTTGCCCACACAAGACTGGGGCGTCATGGTATACTGCGAATTGGTAGCGGAGAGCTCTATGTACGAGGGAAGCTCGCTCCCGATGAATTGGAGCTCCTCCTGCTTCGTATACGTGCAATCGAAGAGGCCGAAGGCGTCGCCGTCCTGAAAGTGCTTGCCACCCAATGCGTTCACGCACAGGTCCGTATCGCCGTAGACGAACTTGATGAAACAGCCGCCATGCGACACATCATAGTACCAGGCCTGCCCCTCCTTCTCCGCGTCAGCTTTGGAGGCGCAGTCGTAGACCTCCACCGGCGAGCCCTTCTTCGCGGTCGACGGGTTGCGGACGGCTAGGCACTGCGCGGGAATCGGGGCGTCGATGGCGTATGCCGCGGCACGCGCAATTTACCAATAAGGACGCCGCATGCCGACCTTGTTGGCATCAGCTAACTTGATTTGCTGAGACGTCGGGCGCACGTCGGAGGTGATCTCCCATTGCTGCTGCTTCAACTTTTGCGAGCTACACTTGACCGCGGTCACGGGGCTGCCGTCCTTGGTGTTCTCCGCATCGATGCAGAGGTGCGAGCCGTCAAACCACGGGAACGATATGTGCTTGTACCCATTTTTGGATTCATCCGTTTCCCAGATTAAGTTCTCGTCAGAGTCGCCAGAGTCGCACCACCACAACAACATCGCGTCCGAGACAGCTGAGCCGGGTTCCTTGCTCACGCACAAGTTGCCATGGGTGATTTGGCCGCGCCCGTTCTTCTCGGAGTAGGTGAACTGCTGAGTCGCGAGCTTCGTACCGTGGCCACCACCGCCGCCGCACGTCGATATCACTAGCTTGTCACCTACCTCGGTTCCAGTAGCGGTAAGGCACTTCGACGGGTCCGCGTATAACTTAATCTGCTGATTCTTGGCGCTCGAGCTCAAGTTCGTGCGCGCCGGCGCGACGCCGGCCCATACGCTCGTCGCCGCGAGCACTCCCAGAACTAAGGCCGCCACGGCCACGGCGCCGACGACCTTCTTCGCTTTCGTCGACGCGTTCGCGGCGCCCATGTGCGCTTGGAATTTAAGCGATGCCTGAGGCTTCTTGGGTAACAGCGTGTCGCCTTCCTCAGCTGGGATTGTGTTGAGCGTAGTAGCCATGTTGTGAATGGGAGTTTTGTGACTGTCTGAGAGATTGAGAGGAGATTTTACTCTCGGCTGTTTACAAGGGGTGCGAGGTCAGGCCCTGGGCGTGAAATATAAGCGAATACAATTGTGTGACAAGGATTGAAGTCTGTGGGCTCGAATTGGCCTTGCAAGACAAGAGCTGGGTCTGCGAAGCTGCTGCCAAAACCCGTATCGCCGACGGACGACTCCCCAAACGCCATCGAAACTACAAAGACAATTACGAAGAACCTACTTCCACCGCCGGAACTGTCCCCGGCGACCCATCAGGAAGAACGCGCCGACGCCGACCTGCGCGCGAAAGGATAAGCAAGCGCCACAGACGCCAGTCGACGCGACACGAAGAGAGCAGGGAGACTCGGAAGGAAGTCGGCAAAGACTGGAAGTAAGGGTTGTCCTCAGAGGCGCGCTCGGACAACGTCAGGTGTACTAATCGTCATCGTCTCTCTCTCTCAATGTGACACGAGGACGCCGTATATCATACAAGGGTGCCGCCGACGTGCGCGCCGTGGGCGATGCCGTGCGCGCGGTCCGACACGTAGGGGATGTGTACATCGAACAAAGCGCCGAGGTCCTTGGCGAGGAACGCGCCTCCATATAAAAGCGCGGGCAGCGCTGCGCGGGGAACGAGTCGCGTCGATGGCGTCGCGTCGATGGCGTCGCGGCGATGGCGTGACAGCTCATACGCCATTTATGCGCTCAGTCGATGGCGTGGAGGTAGAATTCCCACCAGTACGCCATCGCCGCGACCATCGCGACGCTCGCACGCTGAATAGGACGGACGCCGGGCGCCGACGCAGCGGCAGGAACTCGGCGAACACGATGATCATGCGCCACGGATTTAACAAACAGCCGTAGGCCACGGCCGCGTTCACGGCGCCCGACGCCCCTAGGCATCTAGGTGATCGCGTGCGGAAGTACGGGTCGCGCCTCATATTCGCGTAGGCGTTTGTGGCCAGCTGGGCGCTGTTCGCGACTAATCCAGCCCCTCCATAAACCGCGAGGAAGCGCGCCGCGCCCAGCGCGCCGATGGCTTCGGGGCCGAAGAAAAACAACGTCACCATGTTCCCCAGAAGGTGCCAGCCGCTCGCATGACTAAAAAAGCTCGTGACGAGCGTGTGCGGGTATTGGAGGACGTCGTCGTTCGACAGCGTGAAGTGCCGCGTCATCACGCGCGGGTCGACGACCTGCCACGCGCCATACACCAAACAATTGGCGCCGATGAGGCCGCCGACCACAGGTAAAGCTTCGCCCTGCGGCAGCGCGAGGAAGGACCGCCTCGGCGTCGTTATTTTTGGCCTTCTCGGAGCGGTGGTCGCGGCGCGCGGGAGCTGGTGGGCTCGGCGCGTTGCAGTGCGTACAGTGCCAATGCAGCAGGGTGCAGCTCGGGGCGCGGCGCGGCGCGCTGCAGCGATGAGCATGGCTGCGTGTCCTTAGGCTGGCGCGGGGTTACGTCGCACGCCAGTGGTTGCAAACTCCGCGCACGGTTTGGCTTAGAGCCCGCGCTTGTCGACAGCTGGGGTGAGCACTGCTACACGGTAGCGTGAAAAGTGCAAGACGAGGTGCGAGCTAGCGTCCTGTAACACACTAGTACGGGTTTTCCGGCCAAAAAACCGTGGACAGCGGGCCAGCCAACGCGCAAACACGGAAACGAACAAGCAGTAATCGCTTTCTCAAAATAGCCGCAGCCATGTTGCGCCTCAGCGTGCTCGCCGCGAGCCTCTTTGCGGCCGTCCATGCTGATGTCTCATTCACCCCAGGACCGGGCTTGAAGAAGAACCCCGACGGGTCGTACAGCCGCACCTACGACGCCCAGGCGGAAGGGGCGGCGGCAGGTAGTAGTGGTGAAGGCCTGCCCGCCTGGCAGAACGCGCTGCTCGTCGCCGCTGCGGCCGCCGCGTCCACGTCAGTGCATAAATGAATCGTGATCTCCACGCCATCGACGCGACGCCAGCTCGATGGCGTGACAGTGTGGGTCTCGTAAACTCGACTCACTGGTTGATTTGCGCACAGGTTCTACTGCTATAACACCGGCCACCGACCGCAGATGCCGCGAATGCCTCAAAGGGCAGCGCGACCCGCACCGAAGGCCAGCGCGCGCGACGTCGACGAGGCGCGCGCGGCGCGGCTCGCACGGTTCACGGGCGACGGCCCGGCGCAAAACCAGGCTGCCTTCGAGGCCGCCCTCGCGTCGGCCGCGCCATCCGCTCCGTCGACGACGGCCGCGTCGAAGGCGTCCGCGCCGGCGGAGAAGCCGCGCATGGCCACGCTGGGGACGCTGGCGCAGCGCGACGGAAAGGACGATCCCGACGAGTTCTTCGGCGGCGATAGCACGGCGCAGTACAAGTAGGTTCCCGTCGTCGCGAGTAATGTGTGCCTTTGTCGTTACGTACATCTGCCTAACATATCCCGTCGACGGCGGATATGTAGTCATGTTGGTGTTGCGCGGCCGCGCGGCCGCGGCCGCCTTTTGCTGGGCATGAGGCCGCTTGGATCGGTCCTGGCGGAGGCGTCTGCGACAATCTCCGAGGCCTCCAGCGCGCGTGCGCGGCGCACCGAAAGAGCCAAGCCACACCTGCGCGATCACAAGCCCAGTTGCGGCCGAGGATCTCAGGCGCTACACACGTCGCTCTTGCAGATAGAAACGTGGTTATTGCTGTCGTTTCAGTCTAACACAGTGCGTCGTATCGGCACTGCAGCAACGCAATCCTTAGCACATTAAAAAGGGAGAGCATCATGGCTGCTAAACTCGTGCTAGCGCTCGCGATGGGCGCGACGGCGCTTCTGGCGCCGACCAACAAGCTGCCAGTGAACACGGTGCGCCGCGCCGCATCGGCGGCGCCGGAGATGGTCGTGAAAGTGGGCGTCATCGGCGCCGGGCGCATCGGCTTGGTGCATCTCGAGGCCCTGCGCGCTGCGGCGTCTTTTCTGAACTTGAACGGGGTTGTCGCGCGCCGAGGGCGTCGTCGTGCCAGCGGCCGTGAGGGCTAGGTCGTGCGGCGAGAGACCCGTGGCACGGAGCGTGACGCGTTCGATCCCCACGCCGAGCGAGCGAGAGAGAAAGACCGTCACGACACAGGTCCCAGACCCAGGACGCCGAGTGCGTCATCATCTCGAACCCCACGGTCTCGAAGGCCGAGGCCGCGGCCAAGCAGTATTTTGTTCCGGAGTGGTCCGCGGACTCGGACGACGTCATCAACCACCCCGACGTCCAGGCCGTCTGGATCTGCTCGCCCTCCAGTTTCCACGCGGAACAAATTACGAAGTGCGCGGCGGCCGGCAAGGACGTGTTTTGCGAGAAGCCGATTGCGACCGATCTGCCCGAGACCATCGAAGCGATTCGCATCTGCGACAAGGCCGGCATCAAGTTGATGACGGCTTTGCAGCGGCGCTTCGATCCCAATTTTGCCAGAGTGAAGCGATCCATCGTGAGCGGCGAGGTCGGCGACGTCATCACGGTGAAGTTATGCTCCAGAGATCCGGCGCCGCCGCCGTTCGAGTATGTGAAAGGCGGCGGCGGCATTTTCAAGGACATGGCCGTCCACGACCTCGACATGTCCCGCTACCTCGTTGGTTCGGAACCGGTCGAGATCCTCGCGTCCGGTTCTTGCCACATCGACAAGAAGATCCTGGAGTTGGAGGGACCGGAGGCGTTCGACACGGCGAACATCATGGTGCGCTACGCCAACGGCAAGGAGGCCATCATCGACGTTTGTCGACAGGCCCCGTACGGCTACGACCAACGAGCGGAAGTGCTGGGCACGAAGGCGATGATCCAGACGGACAACATGTACCCGAACACGGCGCGCCTGTACGCCGCCGACTTCACGGGCAACGCGGATTTACCGTACGACTTCTTCATGAGCCGCTACAAGGAGGCCTATAAACAAGAAACTTTAGCGTTCGTCGACGCGTTGGTCAATGACAAGCCGTCGCCCTGCTCCGGCGAGGATGGGCTCGTCGCCCTCATCATGGCCATCACGGCGGGCAAGTCCGCGGCCGAGCAGCGCTGGGTCAAGTGCTCCGAGGTCGCGGCCTCGGTGCAGTGCGACGAGAACGGCTGCATGATCGTGGACCTCGACGACATGGCCATCGCGGCCGCCGAGAAGGACTCGCTGAACTGGATCGGCAAGAACGTGAACCGCGTCCTCGGCAAGAAGGGCGGCCTCAAGAACATCTTCTCGCGCTAACCCCAAGTCTTAAGAAACCGCGCCCCCTAACCACGTCTTATGTCTATACTTAAGTATCTATGGGCCCGAATTTGCGCAGTTCCTTCGTCGAGGTGAAGCGATTGATGACGTCCGCGAGCAATCGGCGCGGCAACACGGTGCAATGGAAGACGAAGAGGGCCTTGAAGAGGACGTGGCCGACGCCAAGCACGTAGAAGCAGAAAACAAAGAAAGCGGCGCTAATGACGTTCGCAAAGACCAAGATCGCGAGCTCGAGGGTGAACGCGAATTCGTCGTAGCCGCCCCATGCGCGCGGGCTCGCCTGTTTCCGCGCGCGAAAGACGCCCTCCACGGGCGAGTCCTTCGGTAGATGCCGCGGCTTGTTGTAACCGTTGTCGGCAAGGTCTACCCACGAGCCCCTCGCCCTACGAAAGACGTATTGCCGCACCAGATCGCGGTCGATCGGTGTGGGCTCGGGCACCAGATCTTTTAGACTGCTCGCCTTTTGCGTAACCCAGTCTGTGTTGCGTATCTCGTCGTCGGTCGGCAACTCCTGGCCCGTGTGCGGGCAGCGGCGCCGCACATTAATTGTGATAGTGATGGTCCCGGCCTGGGACTTCGGCTGGCTTCGGCGCCGCGTCAGGCCCGAGGATTGTTTTTTGGCTTGTTTTACGCGATTCATTGATTGTAAGTTAGCTTCGGGCCGAAACTCAACACTCACAGACTTATATGTGCATGCACGGAGCGGAAGCTAGCACCCGTGCTCGCAGAGCCACCGCTCCGCGTCCATCGCCGCCATGGCGCCCGTGCCCGCCGACGTGATCGCCTGCCTATAGACGGGATCCGCGACGTCGCCCGCCGCGTAGACGCCGGCGATGGACGTGACGGTGGACCCCGGCAGCGTATACACGTAGCCGTGGTCGTCCCTCCTCAAGTCCTTGAAGAGCTCCGTGTTCGGCGTATGGCCAATCGCGACGAACGCGCCGTCCACTTGCAACGTCGTCGTCGAGCCCATGGACAATACGGACACCTCCTTCAATAACCCGTCGTCGCCTTTGATGAACTCCTCGACGACCGTGTTCCACAACATGAGTATCTTCGGGTGCCGCATCACTCGAGCAGCCATGGCCTTGGACGCTCGTAGAGAAGACCCTCGATGGACGATCGTGACTCTTGAGCATACCCGAGCCAGGAATAAAGCTTGCTCCATCGCCGTGTCGCCGCCGCCCACCACCAAGGTATGTCTATCCTTGTACTGGTAGCCGTCGCACGTCGCGCACGTGTGCACGCCCTTGCTCAACAGTTCTTTTTCGCCCGGCGCTCCGAGCCACCGAGGCGACGCGCCCGTCGCAATGATGATGGCCGACGACGTCATGACTTCCCCATCCTCGCAGTAGACCTTGAAGGGTCGACAGGTTAAATCTACTCTTTCTATTCCGCACCACTTGATCTGCGCGCCGAAGCGCGTCGCCTGCTTCTCGAACCTCTGCACCATGTCCACCGCGTCGATGCCCTCGGGGAAGCCCGGGTAGTTGTCTACGGTACTTGTACCCTCTAGTTGGCCGAAGTCCCTTGCTACTACCAGCGGTTCGAGATCGGCTCGGGCGGCGTAGGTCGCCGCGGAGAAGCCGGCCGGGCCGCCGCCCACTATCACTAATTTGCGGTCCGCCTCCAGGATGCGGACTGTGAGCTGGTCCGCCGAGCATTGCAATGATGAAGCGTTGGTAGGACCAACAACGGCCTGCGGCCGCAGCGCCTCCTTCGCCGCCTCGCGCATGGGGACCACGACTTCATCAAAAAAATTCGTCACGTCTTCGTCATTATAATCCATGTCGGCGTCTTGGAGGAAGGCGCTGCCGATGGCTGCAAGCAGCAGGAGGTGTTTGGGCCACATTTTGGCGCTCGCGTCGATGGCGTGAAGTTTCAGATCACTGCGAAAACCTTTTGTCTTCACGAATATGATTGATTTCGGCCCCTACGCTGAGACTGAAGGCTGTAAAAGCTGACTGCGCCTGCTGTTCTAGTGTCTTACGCCGCTAGCGCCCGGTTTTCCGACGCGTTCAATGCCCCATTTGCAACTCTACGTTCCTGTAATCGAGCCTTCTTTCTATCAATCGCGAGTCGACCCGTGTGCCGAGATTTTCACACACGCATGCAGCCGGGACAGCTCCCTAGACGCAGCACACGGCTCGAGTCGAGGCTCGGCAGCGTTTCGGTCGAGTACCAGTAACCCAAGCTCTTCGCTCTGCAACCGGCGTGTTCAACCGCTGCGTTTAATTTACAAACACAGCCACAAGCGCTTGCAAGGGCAAATAACCACCATGTTCAAAGCAATTTTAACAGCGCTCGTGTACGGGTACACCATCATCATCATGCTGGGCATGGGCGCGTCGATAGACATCGACGTGCCAGCGGAGATCAAAAAGTCTCCGAAGGCGATCCTGTGCGGTGTGGCCAGTCAGTACCTGTTCATGCCACTAATCACTTTTGGCTTGATCTGCGCCTTCGACCTGGGCGACACGGAGGCGCTGAGTCTCATGCTGTGCGGCATGTCGCCGGGAGGTGTCACGTCCACGTTCTTCACGTACGTGTCGCGCGCCAACGTGACATTATCGTTGCTGATGACGACGTGCAGCACCTTCCTGGCCCTGGGCATGATGCCGCTGCTCATCTTCGTGTACGTGCGGCCCCCTTTAGTTGATGACAACGCACCGAAGATGAATTACCTCGCGATCGTCGTCACGCTGATCGTGGCAACGACTCCGGCTGTTCTAGGCTGGCGGCTGCGCCGGACGCGGGAGGGCGCGGGCAAGGCGACGGAGACGTGGGCGACGCGCGTCGGCGCCGTCCTGTTGGTGGCCGCGTGCGTCCTGGCACTTCTCGGCGTGCCCTCGGCGATCACGCCGTCGGCGTTCGCCGTCATGGCACTCATGTGCCCCGTGGGCTTCTTGTTAGGCTACGGCTTTGCCAAGGTCGTGATCGGGGCGGATGCGAAGACTGCTCGCACAGTGAGTATGGAGACGGGGATCCAGCAGGTTGGGATTGCTGGTGCAATTGCAATTCAAACTTTTAAAGGACAAGCGTTAGATAAGGCCATCGCCACGATCGCAGTCTTCGGGATTTTCACGGTCGCGTTCGGCCTGCTCTGGAGCGGTATTCTGCGCTTCGCGTGCGCCGCGCCGCCCGAGGACGAAAAAGCCCCGGAGAAGCCGCCCTTCGACGACCAGAGCCCGGTGGTTATCACGGCATAGCCACATCGTGACTCAAACCCGACCCCATTATATCTGCGTAAAGGTCGCCTGTGTGCACATAATAGACACTACCATAAAGTTACACGCCGCTCCCGGACCGCGACCGCGCCCGTTTTCGCTTCAGCTTGTCCTTGAGGCCGCGCTTCGACGCCTCGCCGGAGAAGCTGCTGTTGCTCCGCGGCCGCGTTGTACTCACGGCGTGCACTGCTAAACAAGTGAGGCGCGCCGTCGTGCCCGCGGCGACGGCCGCCGGCGCGGCGGCGTCCTCATCATCAAGATCGTCGGCGGGCCCGGCCGGCGCCCAGGCTTCACAAGCCCCAGACGACGCCGCGGCGACGAGTCTAAAAGAAGCCGCCCAGGCGTCCAGCGACGCGCATTTGTCACACGGACCAACCCTCAAACCCGCGAGCGCCTTGACGCGGCCGCCGCCGCGCCGAGACCGTCGCCAGACGCAGCCCTGTGCACTCCACACACTAATACAACCCGCGCCGTCCGCCGTCGCCACGAAATCCGTACCAGAGAGGAAACACGCGTCGAGGACGCGCGCGCCCACATCAATGTCAAATTCGGCCGTCGACGTCTCCACGTCCAAGACCTCGACGCGCGCACCTAGAATCAACAGGTAGCTCGTCGCAGGACCGTTCCAGCACACCTTCGACGCTTCACCCTTCGTCCGCGTGATATGTGCTCCTCGACCTTCGACCAAATCCCACAACCTTAATGTTCTATCAGCTCCAGTGGAAAGCAACATCCTTCCAGAAGGGTGCGCATCCACGGAATGCACGGGCTTGTCGTGGCCGCCCAAGACGTGGACGCAGGTCCACTCCTTTAATCGCCACAGTAGTATGGTACCATCGGCAGATGCAGACGCGAAGTGCTTGCTGCCGCAGAAGCACAGGTCCGTCACGGTGCCCGCGTGTTTTGATAGTTCCCCGAGCTGCCGGAACGTAGACAACGAAAAGGCCCGAATCACCTCATCGTCGCCGCCCGTGAGCAACAGCGGCTGGGCGTCCTCGACGTGACTATTCGTCGCGACGCACCGTATACAGCCCTGGTGCGCCGCGAACGAGAACTTGAGCTCGTAATTATCATTGTCAAAGGTCCAGCCGTGGAGGCCGCCCTCGTAGGAGCCCGCTATCACTAGTGCTTCTGGCATCGCTCGCAGCGATGGCGTCTCGTGTGATTTCGCCCCGGCGGCGCCTGTGCAACTCGGCAGCGATGCTCCACAAGGCTAATTTGCACGCAGCGATGCAAGCTCCACAACAGCAGCGGTCCAAATGGTCGCAGAAGCAACCAGCGCCACTTCTCTGGTCGTGATGCGCTCGGAGCGGCTGAAAATGGCGTCGCGCACAGAGTGCACGCTAGCGTGCTGTAAGACACTAGCACCTGATCATTCCGCGCCATCGCATCCGCCGCCCCGGCACGGCTCCCCGCGGCAGGCTTCGGCTCTGGACCAGCGCCGGCCTGCAGCTGCCCGGGCCGTAGCGCCACCCGCGGCTCACGCCAGGCAGCCCTGCAAACGCTCCCGCGTTGTGGTCGACGTGACGCGCACGGGACGCACGGATCCCCCACCAAAACGTGCGCCACCCTCACACGACCAGCGAGCAAGCCAGGGGGGCAGCACCAGCACCCCCCTGGAGACACAAAGATGAAGACCGCCAAGCGCCAACTGAATAAACATGACGCGGCAGAAGAGACCACGAAGCGCCTCGAGTCCATCATGGCCTCCTTCGACGCCTTCGACGCCGACATGCGCATCGGCACGCGGCAACGACGCGAGAAGGACGAATTCAAGGTCTTTCACCAGTGTGACAAACTTCAAGCGCCCTTCAATTTGGGGTGTGTCGCGGTCGGCGTGAGGTGCTGCTCTCTGGATACGTTCGAGTGGATCTTCCGATGATCGTGTCCGAGTTTGGTTGATTTCCGCACAGGTCTTCACGATGCAGCAGCAGATGGCCGTCCTCGAACGGTCCTTGCACAACGAGGTCAAGAAGCGCACGGAGATGACGAAAAGCATCAAGACGTGGTGCGATACTCAAGTGGCGGAGATGCGTGCGAAATTCCAGCACGACGTTAACGAGAGGCGAATCAAGCTCCAGGAGCGCGTCGATGGCCTACGAGAACGGACCAATGACATGCGGCGGCGCTTCACGGTCGACATGCACGCGATTCCGCTCGACATCGAGGCTCGCGGTAAGGCTCTGGCCGAGCGGCTGCACCACACGATGGAACAATTCGATGCTGAGTCCAAGTCGAGGAAGGAGCGCGAAGCCTCGATGTTGCGACGCCTCGCTCATGATGAATCGCGGACGGCGTCGTCGTTCGACACGGCGCGCACGGAACGCGAAAATGATTATGTACGGCTCAGAAAGGCGTTGGATGATCATGCGAAAGCTAGAAACAAGCGGGACCAGGCCCTCAAAGACAGATTATCTCAGGACCTGGCGCGACTGCGGAATCAAGTATCAGTCGAACAAAAGATACGATGGCGGGAAGATGCCGAATTAGCGGCGGCCATGAACGGGTACATCGAGAAGATCCAGCAGTCGCTCTACATCGTCAACTCGGATATTGGCGTGCCGGAGTAAAATACTTATGTCTAGTTTCTCGTCGACGGCGCGGGCGGTAGCGGTTCTCCAGCCGGACGCCCGAATATCAGGTCGCGAAGCCGAGATCTTCTGTCCAAGCGTATGATGGCGTGGAGGACGTATAAAGTCCTCCGTAGCGTCGATGGCGTCCAGATAGGAGCTGCGCGTCGATGGCGTAAAAAGTGGACGAGGACGTGGAGAGAGACAAAAGACAAGGCACACACAAAAGAAAAAAAGCTAGATTGGAACAACTTAGGTGGCCACCAACTGACCAGCTTCGGCATCATCAGCCAGGTGCTTGATGCGCCCGAGCGGCTCCGCGAGGTAGTCGAAGCGCTTTCCTAACGCGGCGATGACGTCGCGGCACCGGCCCAAATTCTCGGCGCCCCGAGATAGAGCCGCGTCCACCTCGGACGCGTGCTCCGGGCCTCTGAGTTCGGCCGTACCTCTTTCTAGATCCAAGTACCTTCCAACAGTCGCCTCCTTCGCCGCTTGCAACTCGGCCCGCCGCTGCTTCTCGTACAACAAGCGATTGATGGCCTGCTGGAGGTCGTTGGCGTCCGTCTCGAGCGAACCGTATCTCGCAGTAGCATCAGCTAACTCCGAAGTAGACGTATCCAGCTCCTGTTTCTTATTAGTGATAGCATTTGAGAGCTGCGAGGCTTCCCTAGCTGTAGCTTGAATTTTACCGCGCAACTTCTTGACGTGCTCCCTGAGCGACTGCTTCGTATGTTCCAGGGCCGTCGGCCGCGCTTTCCCCTTATATCGCAGCGTGATAGCTTCTCTTTTCGCGATACCCCGCTCCATCTCCTTGATCATGGCCTCCTGTTCGCGCTGTAGACCCTCGAGGCGCATCTTCATCCGGTGGATCTCGATCTCCATGGCCTTGATTTCACCGGTGCCCACGGACGGGTCCAACGCCGCCTGCGTCTCCCGCTCAAGCTCGATCTTCTTCTCCCACAACAGGACTTGGCGTTCCCCGTCAATGACCTCCTCCAGCAAGACGTTTTTCCGGGAACGAGCCTCGTGGACCTTCTGCTCGGCGGCTAAGCTTTCTGTTTCTAACTCCTTCAACTCCGCCCTAAATGATAACTCCAACACCCCGGTCTCATTGGACAAGGCTTCCTGCTGCTTCGTGTGCTTCCCGATGAGCTCATTCAACCGAGCCGTGTCGGCGCGCATGCCCGCGGTAGCTTTATGCAAAGCCGCGACGGCCGCTCGTTTCTCCGTGCCTTCCTTCGTGATGCGAATGCGCCGTTCATCCAAGATGCGATTGCGAGCTCTGAGTTCAGCCGTCTCCTCGAGGATAGCCTCGGTCCTCTGAGCAACTTCTACCAATCTTGTTTGATCGGCCAGCCAGACCCCCTGCAATCTACTACATTCTTCTTTGATCTTTGAGGTCTCCTTGCGCAGCATCCGTATTTCATTCTCGAGCGGACCCATGGCCTCCTCCGGCCCGAGATCAATATCCTTCAAGTGCAACTGCAACTTTCGGTTCAGAAACGCGACCCGCAACGTCTTCTTCTCGACATCATCATGTCTCTGCCGGATCTCCCGCTGGTACTTGCCGATGAGGTCCTCCTGCTCCTTGAGCTTGACGTCGAAGCTTGCCAAAGTTTCCTTGAGTTGGTCGTTGTGCGCCTTCGTGTTCAGCGCGTCGATCTTCACTCGAGCGAGCTCGTTGTCGACCATGACCTGCTGCATCTCGAGGTCTTGCGTCCGTTGCTTCACGGCCTTCAGAGGCTTCTTGAGGGCCTCGATCGCGTTGTTTATGGTTGCCCTATCAGACGCAGCTGATAACACCTTCTGCTCGATCTTCTGGCGCTCGACGGTCACGATCTGGATGTTCGCCGAGAGTTGCCCGAGGCCGTCCTTCGTGTGCTTGCCTTCCTCCGCGATCTTCTTCTCCTCCTCGTCGACCTGGGTCATGGCCGCGTGGAGCAGGTCGAACTGCGCCGCGACGGCGTCGGCTTCCGCCGTGTATTTCTGGGTCTCCTCGACGCACTGGGCCTCTTGCAAGCCTATTTTTCCACTGAGTTCTTCCAAGGATCGATTGGCTGTGATTTGTTTGTTTTCCTCTCGCCTCGTGCCTATTATCTCGTTCTCCACATCTCGGATGACTTCTCTCGCGGCCTCTAGTTGTGTCTGGGCCGCCGCTAAGGCCTCATCTCGTCTCGCTAGCTGCACCAGAGAGCTTTTCCACTGCTGCAGCAACTGTTTTTTTTCAAAGGCCACCAAGTCCATCTCCTGGCCCGTTTCCGCTAGGAGTTTGCGAGCCTCGGCGGATTCATCCTGCTGCTTCGCTAAGCGAGCTTCCGTGACCGCGATGCGCTCACCGAGCACGCGAGCCCTCTCATCAAGCTTGTTCACATAGAGGTCCTGGCCTTCTTTAGCTTTCTCGAGGGACTGGACCTGCTCCTCGGCCTTATAAGTAGCTCTTTTAGTGACGGCGATCTCTTTTTGCATCTCCTCATTATAAGTTTCGACCTGTCTGAGCGTGTCGTTGATCGCGTCTAACTCCGCCTGGTTCTTGGCGACGTGCTTCCTTCTATCACTCAAAGCTTTGTTGAGGGAGCCGTGTCTAGCTCTAGCCTCCTGCGCGGCCGTCTCCTCGTGCGCGCGCTGTTCCGCGAGTTCGGCGGCATTGGCGTGGATCTGCTCCAGCGAGAGTTGGAGTCTTGCTAACTGTTGTTGAGCACCATACAACTCCACACCCGTATCTTCGCGCTTCCTCGATGCTCGCTGGGCCATCTCCGCGAGCTCCCTAGCTTCGTTGGCCGTGCGTTGCTGCTCTCGTAACAGAGTCTCCACCAAGATCTTCTGGACCTTGTCGAGCATGGGGTTGTTCACCATGTCCGCGACGAGCTGCTGTTCGGCCTCATCCGGTATATCGGCGGCGTCGGAATTGGCTGCCGGGGTGTCGCCGCGCGTCGCGGGCCGCTCCCCGAAGCCGGCGGGCGCCGGCGCCGCGGCCATGGTCTGCGCCGGCGGCACGGACGTCACGGCGGGGTCCGCGCCGGGCGTGTCGCCGGCGTCGTCGGCCATTTCGTCGGCGCTGGGGGGGCTGCCCCTCTACCGCGATGTAGGTCTTCTCTGGCCGCAACGCGCGCCGCCGCGCGGCCGGGGCAGCGGTGGCGCACGCTGGGGGGCTACCAATGAGCCCTGAGGCTGCAGGCCGCGAATCCCGGGCCCTGCGCCGCGACGGGACGGCCAAGCGCTAAGCCGGCTAGTGGGGCCGGGCAGTTACACGCGAAACCCGCCCCATAAAAAAGACGCACACCCGGTCGGTCGTAGGTCTGCGACGGCTCGCCGCCGCGCGACCGCTCACCGGGACGCATCGCCGGCCGGCGGACAAAATCGTTTCACGTTGTGGCTGCCCCGCCGAAGCCAGCGTCGTGCAGCACGCCAGCCGCCGCAGGCCACGCGTCAGACGCCACAGACCAGAACCAAGGCTGCCCCAAGGCGCACGACGATGCTCGCCCAGCGCGCTCCCGCCTACACGCGCGAGTACGCGCAGACGCTTTTTGTCAATACGCCCAAGCGATGTCGCGTGCCCTGGCGGCTCCCCGGGACGGTGTGGCTCTGGAGCACGTCTCCTGATAACGTGCAGGTCGGCACGCCTAGGTTAGACTTGGAAGCGAACCAGCAGACGCGGATTCCCATCCTGTTCCCGCCGCGCGACCGCGTAGGATTTAGAACTGTGGACGTTATTGTTTCCTGTGCACCTCCGGAGTTCTCCAACGCCAAACAGTACGTGTTGCGGTTCCACCTGAGCTACGTGGACCCGACGCAGCGCGGCCCGGGCGAGGAGCCCCAGCGCCTGGACGAGGGCGCGCGCGACGACCTCATGGCGACGAAGCGCCGCCTCGACGAGGCCGAAAGGGCGTCTACAACGGAGAAACTACTACAATTGTCACAGCAGTGCGCCCAGCTCCACGTGAAGAGGCTCGCGACGCCGCGCTACGAGGCGCCTCCGTCCACATTCTCACGACGTGACCAGGACGAAATACAATCGCTCACAGCCGAGATCGCCGCCCTCAACGGCGCGCTCAAGTCGCACATCCTCTCTCAATCAAATCAGCCGTCCAAGGTGCCGCGCTTCGCTCCCAATACCATGATGAATTCTTCACTAGCTTCGACGGGCGCCTTCACGGCCAACACGAGAAAAAGGCGCCAATCGAAAGCCTGCGAGATGCGCGACGGCTGGTTCGCGACCTATGATTACGAGAACGCGCGGCCCTACTACTTCCATCCGGAGAGGCGGAAGGTCCAGTGGCACCCGCCCCCGAACCAGGACGCCATCTTGGTATCGTACGGCAAGTCGCCTGCCACTTCGCGGCCGCTCGAGTCGCCGGCCGAGAGCGGGGCGTCATAAGTCTCGCTTTTGCTTAGAGCTAGCGGTGGCTCTCTCTGGCGCGTCGCCAAGCGCGATTCGCCGCTAGAATTCGTTCGCGACACGGGTCACAATCAGAGGGTTCGAAACCACGTACTCGCGGCTGCGGAGTTGGCCGCGCGCTGGAGAGCCCGAAACCTCAGCCCATTCTATTGATCCAGAAGCCTGCAACCTAGCACAACTCCATGCGGAAACCTGAAACAAGAAACCCTCGTAGTACCTGTACCTAGTACCTGTACCTTGTACCCATACCCATACCCATACCCATACGCCGGCGCGCCAAAGCAGCTTAATACTGCGGTACAAGCTTGTAGTGCTGTTTCCAGCATCCTAGGATCCTGTAGCACTGTTTTGGTCCATCGTAATACTGCACATGCCGCAATCGCGGTCGTGAGAAGATGTCACAGCCACCACTCCTCTTTAGCGGCACGGCCGAGGAGTTGCTTGCCTGCTACAGGCAAGCCGTCCCGGCGTCGACGACGGCGCCAGCGCCAGCGCCGGCGGCACCCACGTCCTCGCTTCGCGACGAGCCGCCACAGCGGAGGGCTCCCGCACCCGCGTCCTCGCTGCTCGACGAGCCCGAGTCATCACCTCCTCGCAAGGCGCGCCCGGGCGCGCCGCGCTGCCAGAAGGCGGACTGCACGAACGCCAAGTGTTCGGGCAAGCGCTGCGACGAGAGCGGCGCCCGGAAAAAGCGGGCCGGCGCCAAGGGCGTCGTCAAGAAGCGGCGCTTCGGGACGCCGTCCTTCTGAAGTGAACATATAAGTAGTGTGGTGATGTTGTACGCCGCGGTCCGACGCGCGCCGGGGGGCGTCGCCCCCGTCCCGCCCCCGGCCCCCATGCGCCGTCGCCCCGAGTGTTGAGTATTACTCGGAGCGCGTGTTCTCGACCTTGATCAGCTGCATGTCCGCGGCGCCGCTAGCCCTGGACGCGTACTCCTCGGCCTCGACGTGCAGCCCGAACGCGCGCGCCTCTTCCATGAAAGCGAAGCCGATGCGCGCCTTATCTCTCGCCAGTGGGTTCATCACATACCCTTTCCCATGCGGCCGGTCGGCGAGGTAGTCCGCGAGGAAGCGCGCGAGCGCCGGCGCCTGCCGTTCGGAGTAGAGCACGTCGCTCGCGATGACGACGTCCGTGTCGTCGGCGCCGGCGCGAATCGCCGCGGGCCAGCCGCCGCGCGCGAAGTCGATACGCGCCCCGCTGACGCGGCCTGGTGAGCGTCCGAGTTCCGCGTGCGACCGGAGAGCTAGTTTCACCGCCGAGGCATCAATGTCGCTGAGAAAGACGTGCCGGGCGCCGGCGTCCGCTGCAGCGATTCCGGCGACGCCGAGACCCGTTCCTAGCTCCAGCACGCGGCGACCGCGGACGAGGCCCGGCTCCGCGCTCAGTCGTGTGGCGAGCGCGCGTCCCGCGGGCCAGATGTCCCCGGCCGGCCAGCGCGTCAGCCGCGAGACGGGCGCGTGGAGGCGCACCGCGCCCAGCTCGCCGCCCAAGTCGACCCGTAGCACGTGGAGGGCTTCGGCTTCGTCGGAAATCTGAATATCCTCGATGAGCGTCGCGCGGCGCAGTGTTTTTTGGGGCAGCCTGTGTGTGCTGCCCCAATGGAGTGCGAGACTCGTTCCAATCGCTGTGTAAAGCGTTACTTGTGTAATCATGGCTTCGTGCCGGGCGATTTTAGCCTCGTTTGAGTTCGGGGCAGCCTGCGTGTGGCCACGATCGGCAGGCCGATCATAAAAAGAGCCATGCCGATCATGCGGGTTGGCTTGTCGAAAGTGCCTCGTCGAGTGGGCATCTATCACAAGACAGATTACTCCTCACTCGCCCGGCGGCCGCGGCGGCACCTTCAAGCGCCTCAGCTCGGCGCCGTCGTCGCGAGGCTTCACCTGCGGCCGGCACGGCTTCGCCACGACCGCGGGTTGTTTGTCGAATTGGCGGATCAGTGTGGGGTCGTCCTGCGCGGACTGCCGAGATACGGCGGCCCGCGTCGACGCCAACCCGCGCGCCTCCGTGTCGGAGAGCTTGAAGCTCCACGCGTGGCGCGTGCGCTTGCCGCCGCGGCCGGCCGCCTCGCCGCTGTAGTAGCTCGCGTCGAGGCGCCCGGCGTTCCAGCGCTCCGCGAATTGCGCGAAGAGCTTCCGCGCCTCGTCGGCCGCGATGTCGTCCAAGTAGAGGTCCTTGGCGTCGCGCAGCCAGGTGCGGAACTCCGCTGCCCTCGCGTAGTAGTCGTCCTCGGCGTCGAGCTTTTCACTCGGGATATTCGCCGCGACGACCGGAGCGTCGTCGTCGTCGTCGCGGCGGCGTTTCTTCTCCTTCTTGGATTTTTTCTCCTTCTTGTGCTTTTTGTGTTTGTGCTCTTTCTTGTGCTTCTTTTTCTTGCGCTTGCGGTCCTCACTGCTGCTGGAGCTGTCTGAGGATGGCATTGCTCTTACCGGTGCAGCAGCGGTCGGATTCGATAGTAGGGCTGCTCGGCCACAGTGTTGAGTTGTAAATCAGCAGTCAGCCGCTCTGGGCACGCGACAGCGGCCTCAATTGGGCTTGCTTTTAGGCGTGTGCTTGCTAGCGGCATGTAAGACACTAGCAAGACGCATGGATGCGCACCGCACGCTTCCTTCTTCTCAGTCTGGGTCGGCAATTGGTCGCCTGGAATCATCCTTACCTAACCAGTTGCAGCAGTTCCGCTTGGCTCAGGAACTTCGCGCGTCTACGACCGCGCTCTACGCTAGGCCCGGAGCGGCCGGCGCAAGGCGCGTCGAGGACCCTTGGGCCTGTCTGACCACCGCTAGAGCCACTTCGCACGCGTGCGTGGACGTTTCCTAAAATCGTTAAAAAGCCAAAACCTGCAAAAAAGCAGCTGGCCGCTGGCGTTTTGGCGCTGCATTTTGGCGTGAGGCGGCGCGAGGGCCGACCGAGCGGCCCGTGGGGACCAGCAGGGTCACGCCGCTCGACGCCAGGCCCAGCCGCACCGACGCGCGCCGCGGAAGGGGCCGTGTTGCGTTTGTCGGTGAAGGCCTGTCCACACCCATAAACGGCGCCTCCCGCCGCGCCACCCGGGCAGCAGGTCGCCTGAGCAAGGCGCCGCAGCCCTCAACGATGTACGAGGGCCGCCTGCGTGGCCGGCCGAAGCCGAGCGACGACGTCGAGTTGCCGCTCCGGGGAAGCGGCCTCACGAACCGGAAGCGCGAGCGCGCGTCGCGCTACAGCGACGACAAGCCCGAGGCGTCGCCGGAAGGCGCGGCGCGCACGCTCCGCAAGGCGCGGCCCGCCGACCGGCGGTGGCTCCGCAAGGCATTACGGCAGGCCGACGCCGAGGGCGCGGGCCCCGACTCGGGCCGCGTCGTTAGAGCGGAGCCAGGGTGGTCGAGAAGCAGAAACGCGAGAATAGCGGCGCTCTGCGAACGCCTGGGGTTGAGATCGATCGTGGCCACGTCGGGCGACGGCCTGGCCGGCGTCGGCGGCATTCCCTACCACGCGCCGCCGGACGTCGCGCGGCGGCTGCGCGCGGGCCTCGAGGGCACGGCGGCGCTCGATGACGACGACGAGGACACGGACGGCAAGTCGTCGGAAGATGAGCGGCTGGAGCGGCCGTCGATCGTGGCACGGACGTCGTCCACCTCTTCCACGGACGGCCTGCCCATCCGCAACATGATAGCCGAGAGCCCGCCGCCGCCGCCGCCGCCCTCGCTGCGAGCGGGGCCGCTGGCGCGATGCGATTCGCTCGTGGATCGCATGGGCGGTCTCCTACGCTCCTCATCGTCCAACTTAGGAAGCGAAACACCGCACTCGCCGCCGCACCGAGCTTTATCGATGGATTCAGCAGCACCCGAGGCGCGGACCGTCTTCTTCGCGACGCCCGGGAGAGGGGAATTACAGCGCGCTAGGTCGTGCGACAACACGGGCCGGCCGCCGGCGGGCCCGTGCAAGCTGTCCTTCGATAGCGCACAGACGCGGCGGCCGCCGCGCGACTCCGACGCGTCGACGGTGCGGGCGTCGGGCCGGTTCTCCGTGGGATTCAACGACCGCGACTCCCTTGCCAGTGCAAGGCGGCGGCGCGACTCGTCGCGGCGCGGCTCGTCGGACCTAGCGGCGGCGCTCAATGGAAGGGGATCATCAATGATGCCCTCGGACCGGCCGTCCTTCGCGCCTTCTGATAGACCACCTCGATTGGCGCGGTCGCAGCGCATGCGGTATAGAAGTTCGCCTTTGAGTGATGAAGAGAAAACATCGAGGCCGACCTGGGTTCCTCAATCATTGATGCCGACGCCGGCGCCGCGTCTAGGAAGGTTCACGTCCTCCTCGACCGGGAGTCGTAGGGGCACGCCTCTGAGCGCGATGGGCACGCCGCAGCACCCCGCGCTGCTGCCCAAGGGCCACGCTTTATTACAGCGGTCCGTGTCCGTGTGTGCTTGGGGGTCGCACCCGGAGTTCGGCGACTTTGGCGTTTCGGAGCCGGCGTCGGACGCGCGGCTCGCGCGGCTGCGGGCGCTGCTGGCGGCCGAGCAGCGGCGGGCCGAGGAGGCCAAGTTCGCGTCGCCCTAGTCTATATATCGCTAACGCTAACACTCGGGGCGGCGGCGTATGAGGGCTGGGGGCGCCCGCCCGGGGCGTTCGGTCACGCTCGCCCCGAAGTCGGTGGTGGTAGCGGCCTAGCTCTAAGCAAAGCAACGCCACGTTTATTATATGCCCGCGCGCGGCGCCTGCTGCCCACACGTCGCACGCCACGAGGAGACAGATGACTGCGTCACGGCCTGCCGACTTGTCTGGCGTCTGCTCGATGGCGTGAGAGAGTCCTGCCGCGGCCCGCGCGAGGAGACTGCAAGCACGCCGTCGCCGCGACGAGGGAATAAATACGCAAACCAAATATTAGTCCAGGTCCTCGACGTCGACAAACGGCTTCCGCGGCTTGTTCGGGTCCGCGTTTTCATCACGAAGCGGCCCGTTCACGCCGTGGATGGGGTCGCCCGAGAAGGACACGCCCTCCAACTGCTTCGCCGCCTCGGCCGCGGCGTGCGCCGCGCGCGCCTCGCGGATCATATCATCGAAAGCCTTGACGCGGCGCTCCTCCTGGTCGCGCTTCTCCTGTTTTATAGTTTTGATCATGTCGCGCTCCGCGGCATTTGCTGCGTCCAAATTTTCGTCTTCGCCAAAAGCAGCGAACCACGCCTCGCATCTTTTTCTTTCATCCTCGAAGACCGGCCGGTCGTCCAAGTATCGCAAAGAAGGTAAACCGGCCACGAATCTTTTACGGTAGTGTCGGAAGCTTTTGACGAAAGGGTTGCCCATCCCATAAAAGACGCGCAGGTCGGGTATTTTTTGCAATATTTTCAACAGTTCGGCACCATCTTCTATTTTATTAGCTTGTAAATCTAACGTTTGGAGCTTTGGCAAGTTTTCTGCGACGGCTTTATAACTTTCAGCATCAGGGCCGATCGCGTTGTTACCGAGATTGATACTTGTTAAATTTTGATTCTTTTCGAAGCCCTCGACCTTCTTGATGAAGTTTCTGTTCAAGTTTATAGAATCCAACTCCTTGGAATGTTCTAAGCCTTCTATTTTTTCAATGCAATTTTCATGAGCCGCGATGTTTCTCAACAGCGGCATATGTTCAAAACCCTCGAGCTTCTCCAAACCATTAGCCTGGAGCCACAGCATCTTGATGCCCGTGAACTCCTTGAGGACCTCGGGGTCGAGCCGTCGGAACCCTTGTTGGTGGAGGTATAATTTATCGTTCACCGACGGTGTCCTATATCCGTCGTGTCTCTGGCAGAGTTCCACTAGGTACTTTTTCGTCATGCGGACGCCGCTCCACTCGGCCATGGTTTCGCCTCGCGGCGCTATGGAGCCTGGAGAATGGGCTGCCCTTGCTGGACGGTACCGCTTGCAGCTCCTTGCTGCGGCGGCGCTTAAGAACTGGGTCGGTGACGCTGTCGAGCAGAGATCCCGTCGCAATGATGAGACCCGGCGCTTGCTTTTTTTGGCTGCCCCGGCGCGTCGAAATCTGCGCTTTGGCGCTGTGGTGCGGGTTGGTTTACGGACCGGGTGCAGGCCTCAAGCGGCGCGCTAGGGATGCTTGTCTGTGGCTGGACGCGTCTCACGCGCTAGCGTCGTGAGACACTAGCCTGGGGCAGCAGCTTTTGTGGTGCAGGCTCTGCACGGAGCTGTGCGGTTGCATACCTTTTACAACTTGATTTGACTCTCGTCAATCGATATAGCATCGCGTGCTGCAGCGCTCGCGCACCATTAACACAAAATCAGCACTGCCACTGCACATTGGGCAGCAATCAGCAGCAAAGCGCCGCACATCAATGGACGGATGCATGCATTCCTGCTCTTCGGGCTGCTGAGGACCGGTGACTGGCAGCGCACGCGGTGCCGCACCGCTCTGTCGATCGAGCCCGCGCCGGCGGGCTTTGTCGGGGATGAGGACCTCGAGCCGGGCGAGCGCTGCGTGAATGCACTGTGGGCGACGGACGATGGCGTGCTGTTGGCGGCCGGCGCGCTGGTCTCGCATGGTAATGACTTCGCTGTCTGGCTTGGGGATTCGTCGGACCCTTCGGTCGGCCCGAACCGGCAGCTGCGTGGCGCGATTCCGCTCGCGCTCAAGCTCCTTGTGACGTTCCTCGCGACTTTTGATTCCCCGGCGACGCGCCTGCGAGCCGTGCCACCACCACCTCCGCCGCGCAAACGGCTCGCTGATCCGCTTGGCGGCGCGTTAAGTGCGTCGTCGGCGGCACTTGAGGCGATCGGCTTTTGCGAAGGGAGTGACGACGACCTTTTAGTTTTGGACGACCGCGAGGCCCCGACGCAGCTCACCACGCTGGCGCTTGACGGCGAACGGGACGCGGTCCGGGCGCTGCGACTGCTTGGTGCGCGGCGCGACTGGCCGTTGCGCGACAACGATCGCTGCCGCCTCGTCCCCGAGGCGCTCTCGCCGGACGAGGTCGAAGCGTTTCGCACCGCCGACGTACAACTCTCGGACGGCGAGGACTCGGTCGATGGACTCCCGGAGCAACATGCGATGCTCGAGGGGGCGCTAGCGGAGCGCGCACTCGAGATCGGCGCTAGGATTGCGCGGCGCGCGCACCGTCACGACCTCGTCCCGGCCGCTGCTTTCCTCCGGCGCTACGACTCGGGCGACGCCGCTGGCCGCGCGGCGCTCGGGCCTCACTTCGACGCGCGGCCCACCGTGGCAACGGCCGTTGTTGATCTGGACCCGGCCGCCTACGAAGGTGGCGGCTACTTCGTGCAGTCTCACCCGCACTGCTCCTCGCGTCGCCTCGTGCCGTTTGCGGCCGACGGCCGAGACGCTTGTTTGCACAACGCCGAGCTGATTCACGGCGTAGCGACCGTGTGCGGAATCAGAAGCTCACTGGTCGTGTGGTACAATCGTCGCGACGGCGCGGAGAAGGAGGACGACGACCCAGACGTCCTCTTTGCCAAGGCGGCGACGCCGCCCGGCAATTCCCTGTTCCTCCATCGCGCGGCGGCTGCTGGAAGTGCCAATGCACACGCCTTGCTCGGCACGCTCGCGGACGCGCGCGGCGCCGACAGCTCGGCGATCGAGCACTGGACCGCGGCCGCACGGGCCGGCCACGCGTCGGCGGCGGACGCGCTCGCCGACGCGCTCGAAAGCGATGTGTGGCGGGAACTCGCGGACGTCGATCCGTTCGCGAGGCGCCAGGTGTAGTTGTTGTGACTTCGTAATATTACTCAAGGGGAAGCAAGACTACTCCATCTCCTCGATCTCGTCGAGGTCGTCGGGCCCCTCGTCCCAGTCGGCCGCGTCGCCGTCGGGGCCCGCGGAGGGCGAGAGGGGAGGGACCGGCACCTCCAGGCGGTCGCCCGCGCGGGCGCCCTCGGGCACCGTGATGTCGATGGTCCGGCCGTCATCAAGCGTAAACTCGAGCGTCGACCCGGGCACCGCGCCCTCGGGGACCTGTATCTCGATGCTTTCCGCGGTGCCGGTTTGTCGCGGCACCGCGGGCGGCGGCGGCGGCGCGTCCGCGGCGTCCGTGGGCACCTGCAGGCGGTCGCCCGCGCGGGCGCCCTCGGGCACCGTCACGTCGAGGGTCCTGCCGTCGTCCAGCTGGAACTCGAGCGTCGCGCCGGGCACAGCGCCCTCGGGCACCTGAATCTCTATCATTCCGGGAGCCGCGGTCGCCGCGGGCTGCGGCTGCGGCGGCGCGGCGGATGGCTGCGTAGGCGCAGGCGGCGCCACGGTCGCGGCGTCGGCCTCGTCCCACGTCAGCTGGCCACCGGGCGCCGGTATCGGCGCGGCGACGGGCGGCGGCGCGGGCCCCGCCGTCGCGTCGTCCAAGGGCAGGTAGACGTCGCGGCCGCCGGCGCCGGCCGGGGGGAAGAAGGCCACGCGCTCGCCGGTCGGCGAGGTGGCCTGCAGCATTTTGTTCGGCGCCGCGCCCGCGGGGACCGTCACCTTCATCGTGCGCTTGTGGGGCCAGATGCCGCCCGAGGGCGACCCGACGATGGGCCGCTGCGGCGACCCGAGCGGCGCCGGCGGCGCGGCCGGCCGCGGCGGCGTGCTCGGCGGCGCGTTCGGGTCGTGAAAAAGCTCGCCTTCGGACTGGAGGTTTCTTTGCCACTGGGCTAGGGGCTCGCCGTCGGCCGCGGGAGCCGGCGCGGGCGGCGGCGCGGGCGGCTCGCTCGCGCGGGGCTCCTCCGGCGGCGCGGGCGCAGGCGCGGGCGCGCCTGTTTGATGAAAAAGCTCGCCTTCGGAGCCGAGCTTTTTGAGCCAATCGGGATGCTCGAGGTCGGGGGCGGCCGCGGGCGCCGGCGCGGCGGCCTTCGCCGGCGGCGCTGTCTTTCTGAGCCCCTTGCCCTTGGCGCCGGTCGCCTCGAGCTTCTTGAGCCGCTCCTGGAGCGGATCCGGCGCCTTCTTGGCCGGGGCCTCGCCTTCCGCCGCGGGGGCGCCGGCCTTTTTGAGCTTCTGTAGCCGCTCCTGGAGCGCGGGCGACGACGACGCCCCCGCGGCGCCGCCCTGCTTGAGCGCCGAGACGGCCTTGGGCTTGGGGGCGGGCGTCGCCTTCGCCTTCGCCGCGGGCGCGGTGGCCTTGCTCTCCGGCGCGCCGGCCGGGGCCGTGGTCTTGCGCTCCGGCGCGGCCGCAGGCGCTTTGCTCGCCGGTTTGGCTTTCGGTTTGGCTTTCGGCGCGGCGGCCTTGCTCGCCGCCGCCGCGCCGGCGCTCGACGCACCGGCCGCACCGAGCGCCGAGAGCTTCGTCTGGAGGCTCGTCTTCTTGGCCGCGGGGGCGGCCGCGGGCGTGCCCGCCGCCTTGAGCTTGCTCAGCCGCTCCTGGAGCGCGGGCGACGACGCGCCCTTGACGCCCTGCTTGAGCGCCGAGACGGCCTTGGGCTTGGGCTTGGGCGTCGCCTTGGCGGCCGATTTCGCTGGCGCGGCCTTCGCCACGGGAGCGGCCTTTGATGATGCGGCCGCGGGCGCGACGGACTTGCTCTCCGGCGCGCCGGCCGGCGCCGGCGGCGCCGTGCTCTTCTCCTCCGGCGCGCCCTTGGGCTCCGCGGCGCTCTTGGTCTCGGGGTAGGGCGACGGCGGCAGCGACGCCCCGCCCGGGTAGGCGCTGTTGGCTTGTAAAGCTGCGGCGCGCTCGGCGACCGACGGCGACGGCGGCGGCGTCCGTTTTTCTGGAGCGGTCGGGCGCGGCGGCGACGCCGGCACGGTCGCGTCGACCTGCAGGGCCGGCGTCGGCGACGAGGGCCGCGCCTGGACCTTGGCCGCGAGTAGAGCTTCGTTGACGGCGGCGTCGTCCTCGTCGAGAGCAGCGAGTGACGGGGCCGGCGCCGGCGGCGGCGCGGCCGCGGCCGGCACGGGCACGAGCAGCGTCTCGCCGGGCGTCGCGTCGTGCGGCAGGACCACGTCCATCGCGCCGCCGTCGGGATGCGCCACCTGCACCCGGTCCCCGCCCCTGGCGCCAGCCGGCACCGTGAGCTCGCGGTGCTCTATATCCTCGTCCTGGCCTTCGTCGAGCATCTTGTCCACCTCGGCGGCCTGCTCCTTCTCGTCGGCCTTCTCCGCGATTTGTGGAGGCGGCGCCTTCTTGTCGACGGGCACGAAGAGCGTCTCGCCCGGCCGCGCGTCGTCGGGCACGACGACGTCGACCGTCCGCCCGTCAGCATGCGCCACCTCGACGACGGACCCCGGTTCGGCGCCCGCCGGGATCTCGACCGCCACGTGGTCTACGTCCGGCGGCGGCGGCTCCGGCGTCACGAGGCACGGTAAAGGCGGCTCCGGCTGTACTTCCTCGGGCTCGGGCACCTCCACTGTCAACGCGTCGCCGGCCTTGGCGTCGAGCGGCACGGCGATGTGGGCCTTGCGCCCGTCCGACAGCGTCGCCTCGAGCGTCGTGCCGGGCGCCGTCCCCGGCGGCACGCGCGTCTTGACCGTCTTGGGCGGCTTCTTCTTGACAGGTTTCTTCTCGAGCTTCGCGTGGAGCGCGTGCGACTCGCCCGCCTCGAGGATCTCGTCGTCGGCGTCCTGGAGCGCGTGTTTCAGTTTGAGCTCCTCGCCGTTCGCCTCTTCACAAATCTCCTCCTCGTCCTCGCGGCAGATCTTGGGCCACGCGAAGTAGAGGCAGACCGAGAGGAGGACGAGGACGAAGCAGAGCACGAAGACGAGGCCCGCCGACGACCCGCCGACCTTGTCGCGCTTCCCCGCCGCGGGCGCGACGAGGTCCTCGGGGACCTCGGCGCGGTCGGCGCGCCTCCAGGCCGGATCCACGAGGGCGGTGACGTTGGTGCCGACCGTAGAGGTCGTAATTGCCTTGACCGCAGTGTCGTCCACCCCCTCCACAGCGGGCGGGTTTGCCACCAGCGCTTCGAGTTTGGCGGTCGCCCCCGGGTCCTTGATGAGTGCGACCACATCATCCGCCTCGTCCTCCGACGCGACCTCGACCATGTACTCGACCAGGACGTCGCCCGCCTCGAGGCGGCGCCTCAATAAACGCCGCACCGCAGGCGCGGCCCGGATGTCGACCGTGGGCGACCGCGGTCGCTCATTCTCAAGGCCTTCGTCATAAACCAAGACCGAGGTGTTCGTCATCGCGGCCACGATGTGAATGAACACCTGCTCGGCGGCTTGCGCGGCCTCCACTGTGATGCCCCCGAACGTGAGGTCGCCCTCGACGCGGTACGGCAGGGCCGTCGGCACGGGCGACGGCACGGTCGTCGGCACCGCAGACGGCACGGCGGTCGACGGCCGCGGCGTCGGCAGGCCCGTCGGTTGGCTCGTCGGCGCGGACGTCGGTTCGAACGACGGCCGCGGCGAGGGCACGGCGGTCGTGGGCACGGGACTCACCGACGGCGCCGGCGACCACGTCGGCACGGCCGTGGTAGGCATCGGCGACGGCGGTGTGGACGGCAGCGACGTCGGCTCGAAAGAGGGCGCCGGTGAGGGCACAGCCGTCGTCGGCTGCGGACTCAGCGACGGCTGCGGCGTCCACGTCGGAATGGCCGTGGTCGGCGCGGGGGTCGGGATCATAGACGGCAGCTGCGTCGGCTCGAAAGACGGCACCGCGGTCGTCGGCACGGGCGTCGGCGCCGCAGTCGTCGGGTGAAATGTCGGCGTCGACGTCGGCACGGCCGTGGTCGGCGCAGGCGTCGGGGGTAAGGATGGGGCCGGCACCGGCATCAGCGTCGGGCCGGGCGTCGGCCCCGGCGAGGGCACGGCCGTCGTCGGCACCGGCGACGGGACCGCCGTCGTCGGCTCCGGCGTGGGCCCGAACGAGGGCGCCGGCGTGGGCTTCGGCGTCGGGACCGGCGAGGGCGGCGTCGTCGGCACGGGCGTGGGCCGGAAGATGGGGGCCCGCGACGGGCTGCCGGGCGTGACCGTCGGCATCGACGTCGGCGTGCCCGACGGCGGCTTCGTGGGCTCGGGCGCCGGCACCATCGTCGGGCTCGGGGACGGTTTCGGCGTCGGGCGGGGCGTCGGGCCGGGCGTCGGGATGCCCGACGGCTTCGACGTCGGCACCCCGGAGGGCTCGGGCGACGGCATCCGCGTCGGCCCGGGCGTCGGCATCTCCGAGGGCGCCGGCGAGGGCACGGCGGTCGTGGGCACGGGCGTCGGTAGAGGAGAGGGCCCCGGCGAGGGCACGGCCGTCGTCGGCACCGGCGTCGGCAGCTCCGAGGGCGCGGGCGACGGGGCTTGCGTCGGCGCCGGCGTCGGCTCCGGCGTCGGGTACGGCGAGGGCACGGGCGAGGGCACGGCCGTCGTCGGCACCGGCGTGGGAATGGGCGACGGCAGGGGCGAGGGCGCCGGCGACGGGTACCTGTGCGGAAATCAAAATGTTACGACACGTCCGTGCTGAATCTTCGCGTCGACCTCCACGTCATCGACGCGACGCCTGCTCGATGGCGTGATTGGTTGATTTCCACACAGACGGGTACGGCGTCGGCTCCGGCGTCGGGTACGGCGAGGGCACGGGCGAGGGCGCCGCCGTCGTCGGCATCGGCGTGGGAATGGGCGACGGCAGGGGCGAGGGCGCCGGCGACGGGTACCTGTGTGGAAATCAAAATGTTACGACACGTCCGTGCTGAATCTTCGCGTCGACCTCCACGCCATCGACGCGACGCCTGCTCGATGGCGTGGCGATGCAGGTTCCTCACCGCTCGACGGAGCCAGCACGGCAGCGTCATCGCCGAGAAATGACTTCGTGAAGAATTGTGCACCCGACGCATTGGTTGATTTCCACACAGACGGGTACGGCGTCGGCTCCGGCGTCGGGTACGGCGAGGGCACGGGCGAGGGCGCCGCCGTCGTCGGCATCGGCGTGGGAATGGGCGACGGCAGGGGCGAGGGCGCCGGCGAGGGCCAGGGCGTCGGCGCCGGCGATGGGTAGGGCGTCGGCCAGGGAGAGGGCTGGGCCGTCGAGGGCATGGGCGTCGGAATGAACGTGGGCCCGGGCGAGGGCGCGGCCGTCGTCGGCGAGGGCGACGGCGCCGCCGTGGGCACGGGCGACGGCAGCGGCGTCGGCATGGGGGACGGCCGCGAGGTCGGGGCCGACGTCGGCGCCGGCGACGGCGCGGGCGACGGCTCGGGCGTCGGCGCGCTCGTCGGTAGCGACGACGGCACCGGCGTCGGGTGCGGCGAGACCGACGGCTGCGGCGACGGCATCGACGACGGGACCGCCGTGGGCACGAGCGACGGCTCCGGCGACGGCCGTGGGGAAATCGACGGCACCGGCGTAGGATATGGAGACAAGGTCGGTGAAAGCGTCGGCGACGCGCTCGGAAACCACGTGCCGCCCGGCAATTGTAACGTGAAGACGTCGGAGTCGGCGCAGACCGGCTCCGACTCCATCGAGCAGACCTTGAACTTGTGCAGGCCCGTGCAGGGCGGGCTCCCGCAGTCCAACAGGTCCTCGATGACGATCTCGGCCTTGCCGACGCACTCCCAGGACTCGCCGTCCTCGGACTGCTCGTCGTTGCACGTGAAGAAGTAGTTGATGCCCCCCGTCTGGTCCGTCGGGTCGAGGATGAAGTCGCCGCAGTCGTCGTCGTCGCCCGTGCCCGGGCAGAGCTGGAGCTGGACCGTGGCGAAGTCACAATCGTCGTTCGTGACCTCCCACTTGACGGTGACCGGGCCGGGGTCGTCCGCGGGGCCGTCTCGCACGTAGATAATGTCGCCGAGGTCTGGCTTCTTCACCTTGATGTCGTCGGCGTCGCACGCGGCGCGCACGGCCGCCGCGCAGGCGGCGAGGACGACGAGCCGCAGCATCGTTGCGCTCGTTCTGCGCCGGGTGTGCGCGGCCCGCTCCTTGATTTATCCGCGCGTGCGGCAAGCGTCTGCTGCTATGAACGGGCTGCCCCAAGTTTCAAGCTGTCTAGCCTGACGGTGGCAGCCCTTTGCGCCGTGCGCTTGCGGCGGACGATGGCCGGCAAGCCAGCACGCGTCGGGCAATGCGATGTACGCCGCCACGGCCCGGCTCGGCTGTGAACTGATTTGCTTCCCTCTCCTTTGAGCACAGCGTCCGTGCGGGATGCGCCGCCGCCGCGCCTCGCTTCATTCCAACTCGTCCGATGAGCAGCATCAATACTCCCTTACTCTACAGCACCTCTACTCACGCGAGCCGCGCCCCGAGCTCGACGAGCGACGCGCGCAGCCGCCGCGCCTTGAGCTTGGGCATGCCCCGCACGAGCTCCTCGAAGTCCGGCTCCGTGATGTGCTTGAGGTCGTCGAGGTCGCCGGCGACGTCGAGGATCGCGGCCCTGAATTTCGAGGCACCGTTCGCCTCGATCCATTCCAACAGACCCTCCTCGCCGGACTTGGTTCGACTGACGGGCGGCGGCGAGTTGTGCGGCGGCGTGACGTCGGGCAGGGGCTCGACCAACCACGAATCGCGCGTCGTCGGCGTCCCGGGCGAGACCGCCTCGGGCGGCGGGGGAGACGGCGCCTTCTTCGCCTCCGGCGCGCCCCGATCATGGTTCTTCGGCGGCGGCGCCTTGGGCGGCGTCGCGCCGATGGCGCGCTGGAACTGCTCGCCGCTCGACAGCCGGCGCGCGGTCGGAGACCGTCGATTTGGACGAGGACGTCGTCGCGCGGAACACCCTCGCGGAGACGAACATCGCGCGGAGCACGTCGCGGGCGAGCAACGACAGCAATCGCATCTCCATCGCGTCCCAGGAGGACTTCAAGTTCTGAAGGGGGCGCGTCGACGACTGGCGTCTAAGACTGGTGAATGACTTATCAGGGATAGGCGTACCCCTCGACGCCCACGAACTGCAAATCCAAATTCGGCTCCGGGTGCGCGTCGCGGAACTCGCGCATGCGGTCCTCGGCCTGTAAGAGGCCCACGACGAGGCCGCGCACGGCCACAGGGCGCTTGAGCGGCGCGCGGAGCTGGCCGTGCTCGCCCGTGATGCGCCGCTCGTCCTCGGGCCGCGCCTTGAAGGCCCACGCCGCGATGGGATAGACCTGTGTGGATATATTGCGTGGAGACCTTCGTGAAACTCCAAGCCATCGAACCGACGCCGTCGCAGCGAAGACGTCGCGTCGGTGACCTGAAAACTCCACGCCATCGAGCAGACCCAGAAAACATCGCCCGACATTTGATTTTCACACGGGGATAGACGTCCGCCGCCGCCCACGCCGCGCCCGCCTTCACGTCCCAAACTCGGCCTTCCGCGTTCTCGTAAGATAAAGTCGCGACGCCGAAGCCCGGCAGGTCGAAGGGGTCGCCGCCCGTAATCCGCTTCGCCTCGGACCGCCTTACCAGCACCGGCACGCTCCGCCCGTCCACCAATACGCGGTACGAGTTGCCTCCCACCACGCTCGGGTCCCACTGGACGACGCGGCCGCGGCCGCCGCCCAGACTCCGGGGCAGCTCGACGCGCGTCGTCTCCTCGGTCTGCGCCATCAAGATGGAGGCGGCAGCGTCCGACGCGCGGCAGACGCGCGCGAGGCGCGAGCTCTGCGCTATGTCAGAAGTGGTGGGGTGGCGCCGGCACGCGAACACGACGCCGACGGCGCAGGGGCACGAGTAGTTCGTCGGTCTACGAATAACGACGGCCGTCGCGATCGCGCACGGCGTCAGCGCCGGCGAGCACCGCTGCCGGACGTGGTCGTTGACCAACAAATTGCCCCCGTCGCACGTCTGCAGCTCACAGCCCGCGAAGGGCTTCGGCCGTCGCGCCGGCGGCCTACTCTGGATCTCGTCGCGCTTGCGGCGGACGCGCGCCATTACCGCCGCCCTCCTGGACTCGTGGACGTCCCTGACCAACTCGTGGAGCCAGCCCTGGTCGTCCATGACGCGCGTCACCTCGGCGAAGGTCTGGGCCACGACGTCCGGCGGCTCACTATCCAAGTGGTCCAGGCCCGCGTCGTCGAAGAGCAGACCGGCCTTCTCCATGCGCTCGACCATCCAGGCCCGGTCCTGGGCGTCGTCGTCATTTATCGTCGCGTCCCCGGGCCCGACCACCAGGTAGGCCGCGGCGCAGAGCACGGGCCGCGCCGTCACCGCGGACGAGTAGACGAGCCACCTGTGTGGTTTTTCGTGAACCTCCACGCCATCGAAACGACGCGGTCACGGCGACAACGTCGCGTCGATGGCCTGGAAACTCCACGCCATCGAGCAGAATATGATTTCCACACAGCAAACTACGGCTCGGGCCGGAAGAGCGCGTCGCACCAGTACGTCGCGTCGCCCTCGTCGACGCCGCCGTCCGTCGCGAGGCCGTGGAAGCCCGGCAGGCCCCAGCCCGCGCTGGGGTTCGTGTGCCGCCGGACGTCGGACCGCATGCGCGCCGACCGCGCGCGGCGGTGGAGCGTTTGGAGGGCCGCGTGGGCCTTGGCTCCTTCCAACTCCTTGGGCCGGAGCTTGAGGCCGCCGTGGTTCGTTTTGATGACCGCGGCCCAGGCCTCGCTGCCGAGGGCCCGGGCGGAGACTTTTGCCGACGCGTGGAGCCGGCGCGCGGCGCGCGTCTCGAGGTAGGCGCAGACTCGAGCTAGGGCGTCGGGCGGCAGGGCGATCAATGCCGAGGCGGGCGCGTGCTCGTCGCTGTCGTCTTGCGGCTCGTCCATGTTTGCTCTCGCAGATGAGCTGTTTGCTTTGGTGGCTGTGGAGAGGTTGTGAGTCGTCTCACGTGTTCTGCTTGCCTTGGGCGCGTCCTTGTGCTATGAAAATCATGTACGCGGCACGCTGCTGTGTGAGCTGCGAGCTTTGCGCGTCCTATCGAGGCGCTCGAGCTTGCTAGTGTCTTACAGGCGCTAGTTCGGAGCTTGGTTCTTAGATCTCGACTCGGTCGTCCTCGAAGTAGTGGGGCCGCGTCGTAACGGTCGTCGTCGTCGCGGTCGGCGCCGGCGTCGGGGCGGGAGGGCCCTTGTACGCGGGGACCGTAAAGGACAGCGAGACGGGACCCCGCCGACCGCCGGTCGCGCTCGCGACGACGACGTGGCCGTGCACCCAGAGGCTGAAGGAGGACTGCATCGCGTCCTGGCCGAGGCCGCGGATCTCGAACGTGTACTGCCTCCCGACGACCACGTTCGTGGCGACCGCGAGACAACGACTCACGCGCCCGCGTCTTCTTGCCAAACGTCGATCCTGGCAATGCTTCTATCAGAGCCTCGGCCCGGGCACGGGCAGACGCGAAACCCCAATCACGGAAGAGCTCTGCCTTCTTTGGACCATCTCGTTTATATAATTTGGTCGCCTGCGAGCGCTCCTCTCGACTTGTGAGACTTGCCTCGAGTCACGTACGTTGCAGTCGTTTCGCCGTCGGGATATAACAACGACGAGTCCAACTGTTCTAAGCGTCACAAGTAGTGCTTAATTCCTTGCGCGACTGCGGCGGAGGCAAGTGACTTGGGTCGACGATGAAAACCCGCACTTACCACCAATGACCCGGCTGGAAGTAGTGTAGGAGGCTGTGGTAAGTCGCGGCTCGCTCGCTAAGTCGTGGCAGGTTGTACCTAGGTAAGACCGTCTCCTGTGCAGAAGCGCGAGCAGTCTACTAAATTGTCGTCGCGAGCGGCCGAGAAGCTAGTAGTAGACAGGAAAACACTCGATTAGGAAAAAGGATCGATCAGGGCGGCGGCGGCTCCTCGACGGCGTCGGGGTCGCGCCAGACGAAGCGCATCGCCTCCCGCGAGACGCGCGTCGTGGCCGAGGGCCGCTCGAGGAACGACTCCAGCGCGAGGGCGTCCGACTCCGCCGCGCCGTCGGCGACGTCGAGCAGCCTCTTCGTCTCGCGCAGCGCGTGCACGGGCCGCAGGACCAGCAAGCCGGAGCAGACGGCGACGACGCCCCGCCGCCGCAGGCCCTCGCCGACGTCGGCGGGGAGCCCCCGCCCCGAGGCGTAGTCCCGCGGGTTCTCGGCCTGGCGCGGGTCGCGCACCAGCAGCGCGTCGAGGCCGGGGCACGGCGGCAGCCAGCCCTCGGGCCGCTCCGACGAGGCGTAGAACTCGCTCACGACGCACGCGTAGCCGCCTCTCCCAACATGCGCCGCCAGGCTCCGCACCAGCGGCTCCAGAACGCGGCAACCGTCGTCGCCGCCCGCCGCGAAGCGCGACGACCCGCCGGCGACGAAGGGCGGGTTCGCCAGCACGACGTCGAAGGCGCGCCCGCCCGCCCGCAGCGCGACGTCCCGCGCGTGCCGCGCGTCGCACCGCAGGAACCGCGAGTCGCCGAGGCGCCCGCGCCGCTCGCAGCCGAGGACGTTGACGCGGCAGAACGCGAGCGCGCGCCGGCTCGTGTCGACCTGCGTTCGCGGCGTCGTGACGTCGCGTCGCGCTCGTATGCTCGGAACTGTGGCGAGGCTCTCTCGGCGTGAACTTCGCGGCGCGTCGATGGCGTAGAGACGGAGCAGACCCCACCTGCACGCCATCGCCGCTACCGGCGAGAAGATTTCGACGCGGGCGCGCACGAAGGTCACGGAGGCCGCGCCCCGGCAGAGCGCGACGACGCCCTGCACGCCGCTCCCGCAGCACAAATCCAGCACGCGCGCGCCGCGCTTTGGCGGCGGCGCGAGGAGCGCGAGCTCGAGCGACTCCGTGCCCACGGACATGACCGCGTCGTTCGCGTCGAGCAGCGTCTCCGACGACCAGTCCGTGGCTATCACGTCGTCGTCGAGGACCGGGAAGAGCTGGAGCGCGCCGCAGCACCGCCGGCCGTCCTTAACGTCGACGTCGACGAGGACGCCCGCCCGTCGTAGCTGCGCGGTGCTGTCCTGGCCCAATGCTCTGGCGAGCGCCGCCTCGGCGACGGCGACGCCGACGAGGAAGCACGCGACGAGCGTCCCCAGCGCGTCCGTCTCCAGGTCGTCGAGGGCGGCCGCGGTCAGCGACAGCCGGAGCTCGTGCCAGTCCCGCCCCGACGGGTAGGACCGATGCAGGACCGTGCCGCCCGCGGCCGCGTTGACGCGCCGCCGCACCGCGTCCCGCCCGTAGTTCGCCGCCTTGAGCGAGTCCCAGAGCCGCTCGACGGCGCGCGCCCAGGGCCGGTCCCAGGGCGGCGGCCGGAAGCGCGACCTGTGTGGAAATCAACCAGTGTTTCGGGTGCACCGACAATTCTTCACTAAGTCATTTCTCGGCGATGACGCGGCCGTCCTGGCTCGGTCGAGCGGCGAGGAACCGGCATCGCCACGCCATCGAGCAGGCGTCGCGTCGATGGCGTGGAGGACGACGCGATGATTCAGAACGCGCCGTAAAATTTTGATTTCCACACAGAGCGCGACAGGCGCGTCGCGCGCCGTCGCGCCAAAGAAGCGTCGAGCTCGAAGGCGCGCCGGCACTCGGCCTCGACGGCCGACGCCGGGGCCCGGGCGCGCTGCAACGCGCCGGCGAGGTTCAGCCTCGCGTCCGCGGCGCCCGGCTCTAGGCGGGCCGCCTCGACGTAAGCTTTGGCCGCTCCCGCGGCCTGTGCGTAATCAATCAGTGAGTCGAACGCCGCGACAATTTGATTTATGCGCTGTCCAGTACATCGCCGGCGCCCTCCCGCGCGACACCTAAATTATACCAGGCGTCGCCGCAGCTCGCGTCGAGCTCGACGGCCTCCTCGAGATGCGTGACCGCGGCCGCCGCGTCGCCGCGCTGGAGCGCCTCGGTGCCGCGGGCGAGAGCCCTTTGGGCTCGTTGCTCGGCCGATTCTGGCGTGCCTTGGAACTGCGACATGGTCCTGGAGCGTGTCTACGACGGCTGCGCGGTGGTCAAGCTGCCAGAATTAGAGGCTATTTTGGCTGCCTCTGTGCTCCCTGGTGGCAGACTCTTGAGTCGTCGAAAAGCCGCGGCAGCTAATACTGACTATGTGCTCGCCTTGCAATGGACTATGTGCTCACAGCGAGTCCATTGCTGTGGCGCAGGCGCCCGCGAAGTGAAAAGTACGCATGTCCAGTCTGAACCCGCAAGCTTTCAGCCGGAGAAGGTCTTCACGTGATTGGCAGTTTCGTATAAATCGCCTAGGGCGGCTTCAAGCGCCAGAGACGCAGGTACTTGCCCTCTGAGAGAACCCGTTTTGCGTGGCAGGGTACCCAGACCTAGGTATATATTATATATATAGGTATCAGTGATAGGTATACTAAAAAAAAATTCAAAATAGATATATGCTTGATATATTGTCTCGTGCGGGTATGCTCTTTATTCGGCGGCGTCACGGTTAACAAGCAGCCGCCCGCAGTCGTCGTCGCCGAGTCGCCGACCGTCGCGGGTAGAACAAGGAAGAACTACACCTAAACCTAAGTTACGCCCACCCAAGCAAACTACCAGGAGAAGTCCACGTCGAAGCGCTGCAGGTGACTCGACGAGTCGCGGAGGTCGGCCTGGACCTTCTTGCGCTTGTAGAAGATCGGACAGTCCGAATTCGAGCAGAGGACGTCCTGGTGCAGGGAGCCCTGGCACCGCTGGCACTGCGTCCAGAGCTCGTTGAAGGTCCGCTCGTGCTCGATGCACTCGTGGACGCGCTTCAGGTAGACCTCGCCCTCGCGCGGCTTGCAGTGCCCGCAGACCGTGCCCGAACTTATTTTCGCCTTGCAGCCCAAGCAATGTAATGTTTTCTTCGTGAAGCCCATGATGCCGCCCTTTCTTGCCACGGGCGTCGGCTTCGCGACGACGCGCGTGTGGTCGCCCCGCAATAACGTCGACTCGGGGTCCTTGATGATCGGCTCGAAGATGCGCGTTAAGGGTTTCGCTAACTGATTTTGTAAGTAATACGACGCGTCCAGTGGCAGGTTGTGGTCCAGCACATAGACGGGGTCCTCGGCCTTCTCGTACGCGGCCGTGCCCTTGGGAGCTTGGACGATGACATACGGGACGCGGTCGCCGACGTTCGGCGCGCTGCCCGGGTCGCGCTGGCGCATCCTTTTGGCTAATTCCGCATGGGCGGATTTTGCTTTATAATCCTTCGAGTCGGCCTCTTTGGACAAGGCTTTGGTAATGACCAAATGACCGATGTCAATCTTATTTTGCAGCAAATCAGCAATGGCTCGCTTCGCATAGTTAATCGCCGCGCTCGTGTCCCTCTCGATAATGATCTTTCTCAAACAACCATCCACCAACTGCCTCACGAGTAAACAATTATCTCTTCTAACGGTCTCGAGACCCTTGGCGTCCATGTAGTCATGGGTTTCTGGTCTAGTCCATAATAAACCAGCATACCTCTTCTTGTTCATGAGTAAGTAAGGAAAGTATACTTTTTCGAACTCTAATTTCACTGGCGCAGGGAAGATCTTCGTCACTTCCTCGGCGACTTTTTCCGCCTTTGGGAGCGTCTCAGCAACATCCCCGAAGCCGAAGTTGACCATGACCGAATCCGTGTCGCCGTAGACCACTTCCGCGTTGGCGGGGTACCCGTTCGCGATGGTGTAGGTACTTTCGACGAATTCTCTGGTTCGTAGCAGTAAAGTTCTACCGTAGGCCGTCGTGGTCGACGCGATGGGCAGGCAGGGCAATTGGCCCACCGCGGCACCCGTAAAACCATACACAGAATTCGCGGAAATCTTCAGGGCCAACTGCCGGCCGTTCTGCACGGCCTTCTCCATGGGGTCCGTGGCCTTCTTCATGTCCGCCTTGGCGCGCTTTCGAGCTGCTAGTAGATCTTCCAGAATTCTAGGTAAGATACCTCTTCGGGTCGAGGCCGTGACGAAGTGGTGGACCCCGTCCACGCACTGCGGCGACGGCTTGTAGGCCGTGCCCGAGCCGCCGGGGAACTGGCGCTCCGCGTCCGTCTTCGAGATTAAAGTCGAGTAGCACAGGTTGTAGGCTTGCATGATCGACGGGTACAGAGACGCGAAATCTAACGTCGCGATGGGTTCTTCATAAAAAGCTCTTTTCGGTTCTATCACGGTAGCGCCCTCGAACTTGACGTCCTCGTTGTTGCCGTGCTTCGCGAGGTTCGGCACTAACAAATTCTCGGCGCGGCACCTCCGCAAAAGCATGGAGAAGACCTTGATCTGCTGGCCTCGGTTCAATAAGTAGTCCAAAGGTACGCCACAAACACGAGCCATTTCAATATAATTAATCAGCACCGCGAGCTTCCACATCAATCGAATCACGAGGTAGGAGTCCTTAATACAGTAGACCGCTAATCTTCTCCGATCTTCGTCCGTGCCCTGCTGCAGCTCCGAGATAATCGAGTGGTGCACGTCCTCCTTCTGCATTCCTAAGAATTCCGCACAGACGGAGTTGAGGGAGTAGGACGAGAGCTTGTGGTTGCGGAACATGTACCTGCGCGTGTCGCGCTTTTGGTGCGAGCGATTCGTTGCGATGTTGTGTGTGTGGCGTCGCGGCGATGGCGTGCTGGCGACGCCGTCGACGCGAAGACTGAAGGCAGGACGCCGCCACACACGGTAGTAAATCGAACATGACCCGACCGTCGACCGTCGTGTCGACGTTCTCGCGTTTACCCATCTGCGCGCTCTGGATCGACGTCTCCCGCATCCTAGCTCTACTACCCACAATCCTTCCTAGTTCGAAGAACGTTCCTAATTTTTTCCCTGATTTAGCCAAGGCAGCGGCTCTCTTGAGTAAGTACGGCATGTCGAAATTTTGCGTATTATACCCCGTGATGATGTCCGGGTCGACCCTTCTTATAAAAGTAGACCATTTTTGCAGGAGTTCTTCTTCGGTCTTCGAGGGGACGACCTCCGCGCCGCTTATGGGCGCGCAGCCGTTCAGCGTGAAGATCACTTGGCACAGGGGCTCATCCGAACCTTGCAGTTGCACCACACAAGAAATCTGGATCACGGGGTCCTTCTCGGGCTCCGGGAAGTGGCCCTTGCGGCCCTGGCACTCGATGTCCGTCGCGAGGACGCGTAGAGGGGCCAACCGAGACCAGCTCCCTTCACAAGGATGAGCAATCAGCGAGTCGAAGATGACGTCGATCTCCACGTCACATCTCGTAGCCTTCGGCAGCTTGCCCGGCGTACCTCTCAAAAAGAAGCTCCCCGCGGGCGCCTCGCACCACGAGCCGCCGGCTAGGTTGTTGTCGATCATAAACCGCAACACAAAGGGCACGTTGCTCTCATACGTCTGCGCGCGCCAGGCGACGTCCTTGCCGACACCGACGCCTTCGCTCAAGCAGCGTTTCAACTTGGGTACTAGCGTAGGTAACGATAGGTATACTTTGACAAAAGGTTTGTTCTCCGTGTTGTATCCTAATATACTTCGCTTGCCGCGCACAATCTCCACGCCTAAGCAGAGTACGGAAGCGTATTTTTCTTGTCCTGTGCACTTTGACCGGAGCGCGGCATCTAGAGCTGCTCGCATCTTCGGCCCCGCGGATCGATCATCCGGATCCAAGTCAGGAGGCGCTTGGGCAAAACAATAGGGCGTGAAGCCGTGGCAGTGGGCGCAGACGGACTGGCCCTCTTCCGTCGAACCGTATAACCTTACAATAGGTACAGGCCGCTTGTTGCCGCCCGGTACCCGACCACCTCTAGGGTGGGAAGGTAGGGGATCGCCCGTGTACATGTCGATGGACACCCACTGGAAGGCGATGGCTCTAGAAGCAATATCCGCCGGCGGCGGCGGCCGCAGGAAGGGGGCCACCCAGTCGGTGGGGGCCTCGTCGGGCTCGGGCTGGCCGCTCTTGGCCGCGGCCTGCTCGGCCATCATCTCCTCCTCCATGCGCTCGAGCTCCGCCTCGTCCATCTCGAAGTCGTCGTCCATGGTTGCTCGTTTGTGGCCCGCGCGGCTGTGTTATGTGCCAAAGAGCGGCGGCGCCAATTTGCTTTGCGCAGCTTCTACGCGGCGCAGCGCGGCGTTTTCTCGCGCGCAGCGGCTCACCGCTATTAGAGGAGTTCACAGCAGCTGTGGCTCGTCAGGTGAACCGCGTATCGGCGCGTATGAGGCCGATTTATTTGAAATTTGGCTGTCTGCTCTCCTTAATCAGATTAAACGGGTTCGGCAATTTTCCACGGCTCCACTTCTATGGAGCGGTCCAGCGAGACGCAGAGAACGCGACGAGCTGTGCGGGAGGCAAGACCACACCCGACGATCGAGCCAGCCACGGCAGTGAGAGTGGTCGTGTTGGCAGTGCCAGTGTGGCGACTCAGTGCAACGAGAGGTCGTCAGCAACGCACTACGACACCTTCTGGTCATTCTGTACGACTGCCGAGCAACTTCGTGCACCGCGGCAACGAGTGCAGCGATTTGCACAAGTGTGGCAACTGGTGAAGCAGCAGCTCTCCGCCGGGTCTCGCGCGTAGTGCTGCAACGAAACCGGGCGACGCGCGCGCAAGAAGCACATTCATACTCCGGCCGACGCTCTCTCATCGAAAAGACAACAAAGCTAGACGTCGCAACCATGCGCATGGCCAAGCGCCTCGTCTGCCTGCCCCTCGGCGCGAGCCCGCTGCTGCTGTCGATGTACCACAAGCCCGGCTCGGCGCGGTTCGCGGTCACCGAGGGCCTGGACGCGGAGGCCGACGCCGTCGGGCCGGGTATATATGGAGGCCGCGTCGAGCGCGACGAATCGGGCGCCGTCGTCATCGGCCAGCAGTTCGAGGAGTACAACCCGATCCCCGGGCCGCTCTACGCCGGCGGCGGCTACACGGAGCTGGCGCAGGCCATCCGCGAGGGCGATGTGACGCGCGTCGCCCGGCTCCTCGACGACGATCCGGAGTTGGTCAACGACGTGCTGACGGGCGCCGCGAGCCCGCTGCATTTGTGTGGCATGGCGCCGCGCGCTGGAGGCGCCGTCACACAACTACTCTGCGAGCGCGGCGCGAACCTGAACGCGCGCGACTCGTGGGGCTATACACCGCTCCAGCGCGCGGCGACGAACGATTGCGTCGACGCGGCGAAGGCGCTGCTCGCGGCCGGCGCGTCGCTCGAGATCTCCAGCGGCCTCGACGGCGACGGCGACAACGCCTACGAGCTCGCGAAGCGCCTGCGCTCCTACGACTGCATCTTCGCCTTCGACGACCACATCGCGGCGGTGAACACGTGAGTTCGGCCCCCCAAGTTTATCCCCCAAGTTTATTTGTCTAATATTTGTATTCACAAGACTGATTAAACAACACCAACAATCGCCCGCACCGGCGCGGCACGCTGCGCGAGCGTCGCCCGCTCGAAGCAGAGCGGTGGCACCTTCACGGGCCGCACGCCGCGCGCCACCAATAAGGCGAGCGTCGTCTGGACGATGACCAAGGCCACGCGCTCGCCGGGACACTTGTGCGTACCTTGGGAAAACGCGCTGTAGGCGATGTCGTCCGCGGTGCCCCGCGCGTCGAAGGCCACCGGGCCAGCGTAGGCCTCCCGCGCCGTACTAAATTTCGCCGCGTTGGGGCCCCAGAGCGCCTCGTCGCGCGAGAAGGCGATGTGCGAGAGAGCCACGGTCTCGCCCTTCTTCACGACGCGATTGCCCGGCAGCGCGCAGTCCTCGGTCGCCAATCGAACAGCGCCCACAGTGTGCGCCGTGAGGCGGATCGCCTCGAGCGCGACGCGACACAGCTGCTGCGCCTCGCGCAAGGTAGAGGCTGATGGATCACGGGCAACAACTAAAGCCTCCTGGAACGAGTCGACGGTATTGATGCACGCGTGGAGCGCCGCCGGGAGCCGTCTCTCGTGCAGGAACAACAACGCCTGGAACGAGGCAATTGCTGGATTCTTATGGGCGGCGAATAGCAGTCCAACAGAAAATTCGGCGGCTATGGCGGCGGGCAAACCCCGCTCGCCAAACGCCGTCGCCCAGGGCCCGCGCGGTCCGTCGCCCCCCTCCAGAGCCGCCGCGATGCGCTTTTCGAGGTGCCGCCGCCGCCGCGCCGCCGGCCAGAGTATCAGCGGCAGCGCGAGCCAGCGGGGGAACACGGCCGCGGCGGCGGTGGCCTCCTCGACGCCATCTTGAAATTCCACGACGGCGTCGACGAGGTCCGCGCCGCCGCGCTCGAGGATGCCACCGCCGATCAGCCGCGCGAGAACCGCACGCAGCACGGCGCCCCGGATCGCCGCAAGCAAGTCGGGCACTTCTTTGCCGCCCGTCAGCTCGGCATCGAGACCGGCCTCGAGCGCTTTCGCGAGGTGCGCGATCTCGGCGTCGTCGAGTCGCCACCGCCGCAAAACGCGCGCGTGGAAGTCCGTGCCGGCGTCGACGTTGCGCTCCCCTAGTAGCTCGCCGAAGCCGACGTCCCTTACGGCGGCCCTCGCCGAGAAGCGCCGCTCAGACGCGAACGCGACGGCTTTGACATTCTCAGCGCCGCCCGCGATGACGATCATACGCTTGCCCGCGAGGTTTAATCTGAACACATCTCCAACAAGCTTGCGCTGCTCCGTAATGAAGCTCGCCGGGTCGCGCTTGTAGGCCAACGCGTGGCCCAGCAACGGTATGGCGCCGGTGGCCCAGGGGATGTTGCCGTCGTCGTCTTTGCGGCGCGCGGTCGCCGCGAGCGCAGCGACCACGAGCGCTGCGAATATTGCCGGCCAGCTCCAGGGCAGCGTCGATAGCGTTGACAACGGCATTTTTTCGTGCTTGCGCCCACCGGCGTCGTGGTTTTTAGGCTGCCTGGCCACAGGGTCGTGTTTGTGCCCCCAGCGATGCCGCAGTGCTGGTTCTTTTGAGCTGAAAGGCAAAAGCAGATGTATTAATGATCCATGCGGTAGAGACTATGCTCCACACCTCGTTTGCAGGGCCAAAATCCACGCTCGGCTTTTTGCTCGCTAGTGTCTTACTCCGCTAGCTAGCCTCGGCTTTTGACTACTGGGCTTTTGGCGCGGCATTGCTGCTGCGCTAGCTACGCTAACTTTCGCGCGCGCGAGCTGCTGCGTACGTTGCTCCCTCCAGCCTGCAAAGATGATGCGGACAGCCCTTCGCCGCGTCGCGCGCCAGCGCTGCACGCGGCACGCAAGCGCCGCGAGCCAGCAAGGCGGCAGCGGGCCACTCAAGCTCGTCGCCGCCGGCGCGGCGGGTGCCATCATCTATTTCAACAATGAGAGCATACGCGGATCGTCGTTCTATTGGTCGCTCGCGGACGCCGGCGCGAATCTACTAAGGGAAGGTATCAGCGATGCGGAAGACGCGCATTCGTACGCCCTGCAGCTTTTAAATTTGGGATTGGGGCCCGTCGCACCGAAGGCCGACACGGCGCTCGAAACGACGGTCTTCGGCCTCACCTTCGCGGCGCCGGTGGGCGTCGCGGCGGGCTTTGACAAGCGGGGCCTCGCGCACGCGCCGCTCGGCACGATGGGCTTTGGCTTCGTTGAGGTCGGCGGCGTGACGCCGGCGCCGCAGCCCGGCAACGAGCGGCCGCGCGTCTTCCGGCTGAAGGAGGATCGAGCTGTGGTGAACTTTGTCGGGTTACCTTCCGAAGGTGCGGAGGTGGTGGCCGCAAGGCTGAAGAGTACGGAGAAGACGTGCGTCGTGGGCGCGAACGTGACGAAGAACGCAATCAGTAAGGACGCGGTCGCGGACCACGCGCGCGTCGTCAAGGCGCTGGACGGCGCCGTGGACTTTGTCGTAGTTAACGCGTCGTGCCCGAACGTCAAGGGCGGCGTCGTCGACGTGAAGGCCATGGCGGCATTGGTTGAAGTTGCTAGGAAGAACACGTCGGTGCCCGTGCTCCTGAAAGTGTCGCCGGACTTGGATGAACGGCAGCGGCGGACGGTGGCGAACACGGCGCTCAGGCTAAAGTTGGATGGTTTAGTGGTTGCGAACACGACCAGTAGGAGGCCGCACCGCGACTCGTCGCCGCCGCTGTTCAAGACGCCGTTGCTGTCTCCAGATGTTCCGGACCGGGGCGGCCTCTCGGGCCCGCCGCTCGTCGAGAACACGCGGGCGATCGTGCACGACTTCTACCGCAAAACGAAGGGGCGCGTGCCGATCGTGGGCGTCGGCGGCGTGTCGTCGGCGGACGACGCGTATGCGCTCATAAGGGCCGGCGCGTCGCTCGTCCAGCTCTACACGGCGCTGGTGTATCACGGGCCGGGTCTCGGCTGCGAGATCCGCGACGGGTTGGTAGAAAGGGCGCGGAGAGACGGGTTCGAGCGTGTGCGCGACGCGGTGGGGGCGGACCACCGGCGGTGAGCCCCTGCTTCGTGGACTAGGCTGTAAATAAGTTAGTTATGCTGCTTACTACAATTCCCTCTGCCTTCCCATGAGTCTCTCAAGTTTCTCCAGATCGCGAGACTCGCGAGCTTCAGCAAACTCGAGAGCGAGTTCTGCCCGCCCGAGAAAATGTTTGGCGCGCGCCGTCTCTGGATGTGCGGCGCCCATGACTTGCCGATATCTCCTGTGCACGTCAGTCGCGATTTGAACGGCCTCGAACATCGGAGGCCGGTGCAAGGAGCGCACGAACACACTGCGGTATACATATTTCTTGGAAGCGGTCCTCCGCGGCCGGGGATTCGCCAAATTGCAGCACGATGGACGACACGTATGGCCGCAGGCGTTGTTGCTAGGATTATCGGGTCGCCTACACTTACCTGAGGGCCCCGATCGAATACGCGTCTTGGATGCCATTGGCGCCCTGGAGAACGCAAACCGCGATTTTGCTCTCCTACGCAATACGATGACCCACGATCCTAACAAGAAAAACTTCCGCGACGAGGCGTATCACAACGTGACACGCAGCCGCGGCAAGCACCAGCAGACCGAGTCAAACCCATGCCTGCGGAGCATCGACTACTCGAACACGCGCCTGCAACGCGCGATCTGCAAGCTCTACCGCGTCGACTATACTTGTTTCCCGGTGTATCAGCTGCCCGAGTGGTGTGTTAACCTTCCGCCGGAAGACGACGATACCGAAGAACCTACTTCGCGCAATGACGACGTCGACCTCAACCAGGAGTTCGCCGCTCGCTGTCCGGGCGTGACGAACGAGCGCGGCGGCTGTGGCTCGGCGGGCTTTGCCGATGGCGCGTTGTCCGCGGAGGCCTGCCAGGCGATATGCCAGGCGACCTGGGACTGCAAATTCTTTTCGTACCACGTGGATCGTCCGGACAAGCGCTGCAGGCTATGCAAGGACGACACTCACGACACCAATCACCTTCATGGTGTAAAGGTTAAGGAATGCTCCAGTTCGGCCGAACGCGCGGCCGACGCCACGCTCCACGAATGCTACTGGGGGCCCAAATACTGTCGGCAGGACGACTTGGGCACGAGGCCCGATGGCAAACGGGAGAAGATACTCTCGCGTCTCGAGCCGCGCGCAACATAACTTTATTTAGTCTCCCCCCCAACTCTCCGGCGGCACCCATCCTTTGTTCGTTCGCGGCGTCGTCGTCGCGAGGGCGTCGAGCTTGAACGCGACGCAGGACATGCCGTCGAAGGCCTGTTGCTGTTGCGGCACCCCTAGCCTTACGACGTCGTCGCAGTTCAGGGCTTCAATTTCGTCCGCGCGGTGCGAGACGTAGAGCACGGCCACGTCGGCGGCGTCGCGCGCCGCCTGGAGGGCCGCGAGGAACCGGTCGCGTGACGACCGTGACAACGCGTGCGTCGGCTCGTCCAGCACCAACAGCCGCGGCCGCTTGACCAGCGCGCGGCAGAGAAGCACGAGCTTTTGCTGGCCCAGCGACAGGCGCGTGAAGGAGCCCGGCGTCGCCGACACGAGGTCGCCGATGCCTAACGTCGCGACCCACGCGTCCGCGATATCACCATGTTCCGCCGCCGGTCTATCGTACAATCCTATCGTATCGTAGAAGCCCGACATTACCACGTCGCGCGACGACACCGTCTTGCCGCTGCGCCCGACGGCGTCCGCAGAGTTATGCGGGTCGCAGAACGTGAGGTATTGCATGTGTGACCGTGGAGTGACCTGACCTATCCTTCTTTTGATATCCCAAACGCTCTCCCCGGACCCCTTGCGCCGGCCGAACAGCGTCACGGCCTGGCCGAACGCGAGAGGAGAGTCGCCCGTGATCATGTCGACGACCGTGGACTTGCCGCAGCCGTTCGGGCCGAGGAGCGCCACGGCTTCTCCGGCATTGATGACGAACGACAGGTTCCGGAAGACCTCGACGCCGTCGTATGAAACGCCTACATCGTCGAAGCGGACGACCTCGTCACTCTGGATGTCTCGCAGCACGCCGCGGCGGCCCCAGGTCTTCGCGCCGCCCCTTCCCACCGAAAAGGCGTCCGGCTTTTTAGGTGCTTCTCCCTTTTTGATAGTAGGGGCGACCTCGAGCTGCTCCAGCGCCTTCGAACCTACATTTTCCCAGTCGCCAACGACGGCGCCACCCTTCCCATCCAGAACGACCGCCTTCGTCGGATCCACGAGGTCCTCTCTTCTATGAGCGACCTGCACGATCGTTAAAGAAGGGTCGTTCGCCGCTTCTTCGCTGATCGCGGCCTGTAATGTATTTCGAGCCGCCTCGTCCAAACCATCAAAGGCCTCGTCCAGCACTAGCAGCGAGGGCCGCGGCTCGCGCGCAAAGTACTCGCAAGCTAACAAAGCGCGCGCCTCGCCCGTCGACAGCGCGTGCAGCGGCGTGTGGCGCTTGTCCGTCAACCGGAACCGTTTCAGGGCCGCGTTCCGCAGCGCCGCGGCGTCCAAAGCCTCGAGGGCTTCGTCATCACTCCCCGCGTCACGGGCCACGGGCAGCGGCGCGAGGCGCGTTCTCCGAGGTTCGTAGCCGGCGTAGCTCAACGCCGAAGGATAAAACTCCGGGAAGAGGTAGGACGCGACCGTCGCTCTTTTATGAACGACGGAGAAGCGGCTCTCGGCGAACTCCGCGGCCTCCTCGGCCAGCAGCGTCCGATGGGCCTCGAAGGACACGTGGTGCGCTCCTAGTCTATTCGGAGGCGGGAAGGGCGAGACGACGTCGCCGCGGCGCTGCTCGACGCGGAGCTCCGCAATCCCCTTCCCGAGCGCCTCCCGTCCTAGCTTCGGCCGCTGCATCGCCGTCGTCTCGGGCGCTTGACCGAAGCCGCCGCTAAAGACGCGCTGGCCGAGGAGCCTGGCCAGCGTGCTCTTGCCCGAGCCGTTCGGGCCGACGAGGGCCACGCGGTCGCCTTTGTCTACTTTGAGGCTCAGCGTGTCGATGAGCGTCTCGTCGCCGGCGCTGACGCGCTCACCGTAGAGCTCCACCAACGGTGCTGCTGCTCGCAGGCGTGTGGTCGGTGGCGTCGCGGGCTGCGGGGCGAGCAGCGCTGACGCCGTCGCGAGGCGCAGCAGCATTGTGATTCGTGCGTATCCGATTCGTGCGGATGCCGTCGCGAGCCACGCGAGAGGTTTCGGCATCGCTGCGGCGGCCTCTGACTAGTTTGCAGTACGCTGCAGCGTTCAGCAGATGGCTGCAGCGGCTTTACACGCTTTCTTATCCTCGTGAACCCGTGCAGTGGTCAATTGATCACCTTTGCTCGCCTTAACGAGCGCGGGAGTGGAGCTATAGGCACGCACACGACGCATACGTAAATCTCTTGCGCTTGCTAGTGCCTTACATGTCGCTAGCTAACAGCTTGCCGCTTTTGGAATTACGCCTTCCGTCCGCCTTGTACTGCACCGGAACGTATCAAAAATCGTCCAAGGCATCACTCAACCAAATGCGCTTGCTTCGCTTCGTGCGCCGGCCCAAGGCCAGGGCAGCTGTGGCCGCCCCAGCTCAGCCTGCTCCACGTAGAAGCCGCCGCCGCGCCCTCCGCAAGTGGCTCGCGCCGCGCGTCTTCGTGCTGGCCGCGGCCGTCGCGCCCGTCATTCCTAGGCTGCCTCATTATACGACGCCGGTCGTCGTCATGCACGCCGCCGCCCCGCACGCGCCGAAACAGCTCCCGGGCGGCATCGACGGCGAGACTCCGGAGGTGATTTTCCTCGAGGCCGCCTCGAAACCGCGGCTCCTCGACCGCGCCACCGCCTCCCTAAAGAGGAGAACAAAGGCGCTTCCCGAGTTATTCGGGCGCCAGGCGTCGAAGGCAAGACGAGTAGCAGCGCAAACGATCGCCCCGCGCGACGACGAATCCAAGGGACGGTCCTACTCCGGCGCGCCGTCCTTCGCGGCCACGGCGGCGGAGAAGGTCGGCCCCGCGGTCGTGCGCGTCGACGTCGAGCGCGCGGACGGCGTGCGCTACTCGCACGCGTCGGGCTTTTGTTACGATTCGGCGAAGGCGCTGGTATTGACGAACGCTCATGTTGTGCATGGTGCGACGCGCGTCTCGGTGGTGACGAGTACCGGTGAGCGGTATCGGGGCACGGTGCTCGGCGCCGACGCCCATACCGATATAGCGGTGCTGCGCATGGACACTGCTGGACGGCGTGTCCCGCAGGCTCCCGTTGTGGATCAAGACTCGTTGCTGAGGGTCGGGGACTGGGTGGTCGCGATCGGGCACCCGATCGGCCTGGACCACACCGTGACGCTAGGAATTGTGTCTTCATTAGGAAGGTCCTTGAGCGCGCCTCGGGACACGCAGCGTACTGACAACTCGCCGCGCTGGGCGGATAGGGTCCGGTTCATCCAGACCGACGCGGCGATCAATCCTGGGAATTCGGGCGGGCCCTTATTAGATAGGAAGGGTAGGGTCGTGGGCATCAACACGGCGACGGCGGCGCACGCCGACGGGATTGGGTTCGCCGTGCCGGCGAGAAGGGCTTTAAGGGTAGCGGCCGACCTCGAGAAGGGTCAACAAGCGGCGCACGCGTATCTCGGGCTCGAGCTGGCACCGCTGACGCCCGCCGCGCTCGAGCGTGTCGAGAGTGAGGACGAACCGGTCAGGTCGGGCGGGGCGTTGGTGCACCGCGTCGTGCCGGGCAGCCCGGCGGACGCGGCGGGTTTGGCTGTGGACGACGTCGTCGTCGCCGTCGGCGGCAAACCTGTCAGGGACGTCGCGGCCGTGCTCGCGGCGGTGGACGACGCGGAAGTCGGTGAGACGGTCCGCGTCACGGTGCGGCGACCCGCGGAGACGCTCGACATCGAGGTCGTGGCGGCAGACCTCCAGACGCGGACGTTCGACGCGGACGCCGAGGCCGTGCCGCAGGCGTCCGAGTCCAAGGGCGGCGGCGCGGGCACGGGCGGCGGCGGCCCCCTCGTGGCGGGCGGGCGCGGCGACCGGTCCGGCGACGCTCCCGGCGCCGACGCAGCGGCCGGCGCGGTCGCGGCGGCGGCGACCAAGGCGCACGACGCCCTCGCCGACGAGTTGCTGCTCAGCATTTTGCTCGTGCGCGGGCCGCCCGTTCCCGTTTTAAATTAATGTTTATTGATGCTTATTGTGCGGAAGGACCTTGGGTCGCCGCAATGCTTGAAAATTAAGGGCGTTCTTCACGCCGGCCCGGGGGCGAGCTTCGAGACGAGCTCCGCGGCGACACCCGGCTTGGGCTCGTCGTTCTTCTCGCTCGCAATCGAGCTCGAATTGGACAGCGTCGCCGACACGGAGGTCGACGGCGAGTCCAGCAAGGGCCGCGGGGACGTCGCCGCCGGCCGCGCCGGGCCCGCCTCGTCGGCCGGGGCGGCCCCGTCCGGACGCGCAGCGCCCGTCGCGGCCGCAGCGGGTCGCGGCGCGTCAAGATCGCCGTCGGAATCGGCCCCAGCGGCCCAAAGCGCGGCCTCGGCGACGTCCTCGACAGGGAGGCGCCCGGGCGAGTCGCCGCCGGGTGACATGCGGCCGCGGCGCGACGCCGACGACGGAGCCGACGCGGGCGCGGGCGCGGGCGCGGGCGCCGGTGCCGGTGCCGGCGCTGGTGCTGGTGGTGGGGCCGATGGCGCAGCGCCGCCGTCGTGGCCGGCGTCGCCGCGCGGCGGCGGTGGTGGTGGCTGCGGCGGCGCCGCGGATCCACCGGACCGCCGAGAGCCGCCGACGGTGCCGCCCGCGGCCAAGGACAGGTGCTGCCGCGCCGTTTCTACCGCTCGCGCAACGTGCCGCCGCGCCACGTCGTCTAGAGGTAAACCACGCACCGCCCGCTCGCCCGCGTCGACGCACCGCTGCCAGTCGCGCATGTTGCAGTAGGCCACGCCGAGCCCCGCCTGGGCGTGCGCCGGCGTCGGTTGTGATCTATCTGTCGAACCCCCGAGGCGACTCAAAATCGCCTCGGCCTCGGCGAAGTCCGCGACGGCCCGGTCGTAGCGCAGACAGGCGGCGTGGGCGTGGCCCCGCAGCAGCCGCGTGCGCGCCGCCTCGCCGTCGTGGCGCCGCCTTCGTTGATTTGCGGTGGCCTCGTCGCCGGCCGCCGCGACGTCCGCGCCCGCGAGGCGAGTTTGCATTCGTAAAGCCCGATCTAGGTCATTCGTCGCCTCCCAGGGTCGATCCATGGCCAGGAAGCTCGCCGCGCGGCCGACGAGCGCCGCGGGATCGTTTGGAGCGGCTTCGACGCTCCGGTTCGCTAGGAACCATCTTCCGCATGCTTCGCGCGCGGCTTGCGACGCCGGTGCCGAAGGATTCATGCTCTTTCGAGGCTTACGGGGTGCTCTGGCAAGCGCTCGCGGCACTCTGGCAAGCGCTCTGGCAACGTGGTGCCATGTGTTCTCCCTTTGTAGGCTACTACGAAAGCTGAAACTTCGCACAGCGCCGATTTATGATCAATTGGCGCCTTCGTGCATCTATGGCGTCCGGACGCGCGTTCGTTGGACTGCTACGGCACGCAGATCTAAAACTCGGAACCAAGCCAGCCCTCGCAAAAAAGCCAATTCGTTTTGCTCACAGACGTCGTCTAGCGACGCGAAATAGACGTAGTTCGATGCACAGAGACGCCTCGACAAAATATGCTAGCAATGTAAGACACTAGCCTGCCAGCAGCCCAGGCAAAGCAAGTCGAGCTGCGGTGATAGATCGAGAAGCGGTCGATCGTGTGTCACGATTATACCAACAGACAGCGCGCAGCGCGCTGCCGCAGCGAAATTCGAGCTATGGCGCTCCGCAACAGCCTCACACGGCTGCGACCAGCGCTGCGGGCAAGGACCTTTGCTAAACCCACAAAGAAACGCCTCGAGTGGACCGACGAGATGGAAGCAAGAGTACTACAACAGATGCGCGGCGAGTCGAACAGCTTCGGCGCCGCGACGCTCGAGGACGGCAACGAGAAGCGCACGCACATCTCCGAGGTCGACGCGGGCGGCTTTGAATTGCGGGGCGACGTGTTCGTGCCGACGTCGATCTGTTGTCTGCCGTACCACGCGTTCCTGTGGCGCGCGCGGGTGCAAGAGGACGTGACGGTCGAGGCTCTTAGACTGTTCACGGTCGTGCACCCGCGGCCGGAGATCGTCGTCGTGGGCTTGGGGGCGCGCGGCCCGCGCGAGCGGTTGGTGGACGTGGAGGCCCACTTTCGCGAGGAGGGCATCGCGCTCGAGCAGATGGACACGGCGAACGCCGTGCACACGTTCAACATTTTAAACGACGAGGGGCGGACGGTCGGCGGCGCATTCCTCACACTCGAGCCGCGGGGCATCGACGAGTACGCGGACCCGCTCGCGGATAAGGTTACTTAGTTACAACATTTTTTTTGGAGGAAGAGGACTTCGGCGTCAGCCGCCGCATCATCGCCGCGAGCGTCTTCTGCGACGTCGACCGCCGCATTGTGTCGACGGGTTTCGTGGCGAGCCGTTGGTCGATTTCGAGGCCAATGACCACACGGTCCGCGTCGCACTGTAAAGCCGCCGCGACGCCGCGCGCGTCCGCCGCGGCCATCGACTTCAGCAGCGCGGCGGCGTGCTTCCGCGCGCCCGCATCCTCAATCTCCGGGTCGGTCAGGAGCTTCGCGAGGACCGGCGCCGCGCCCGCCGCCGCGGCGGCGTCGCGGTTACTCGCGTTCGCATGCAACAAGTTCCGCAGCGCGCCGGCGGCCGCGCCCCGCGCCGCCGCCGCGCCCGCGCCGCAGAGCACCACGAGCGGCTCGATGCACGATGATAAAGCAGCCTGGTTCTCGGGGCTCTCGTAGGCGAGGTTCCAGACGCACCGCGCGGCGGCTTCCGACCCGGCCGCGTCGGCGGACTTCAGGAGCGCCACGAGCGGTGTCGCAGCGCCGCCCTCGATGATCAAGGCGCGGTTCTCGGGCCGCACGGCCAGGTTCCGCAGCGCGCCGGCCGCGGCCTCGCGCGCGCCCCGCCGCTCCTCGCCTTTGGAGGAGAGCACAGCTACCAACGCCGGCACGGCGCCCGACGCGGCGATCTGCACCTTGTTGTCGTCGTCCACCGCGAGGTTCCACAAACACCGCGCCGCGGCCTCGGCGCCCCTTCCATCGGTATCGACGCCGTCGCACAGGTCCACCAAAGGGCCGATGCCGTGGCATTTCACGATCAATTTCTTCATGTCCGCGTGGAGCGCCAGGGCCCGCAGCGCCCCGGCGGCGTCGCGCCGGACCGTCGCGTCGGCATCGTTTAGTTGTGTTATTATAGACTGGACCTCCTCGCGCGACGCCTGGGGCACGTCCTTGGTGTCGCTCTTCTTTGACCCGGACGAGCCGAAGGAGGGCCAGCGCCGGTGGCCGAAGCTTGACATGTCGCGCTCGTGGCTGCGTTTGTTTCAGCTCCGTTTCCTGCAGCTCTGGGACCCAAGTGGTGTGTAGGGATATGGCAGCTCCGTATGGGGGGGCAGCGTCGTATCGGCAAGGTGGTGGTCCGAGAAGCGTTTCACGACGGCTTGAGTGCGCACCCAGTTGGGAAATGTGTGCGTTTAGGCTGCGATTCGTCCAGCCTCGCCCCTAACAATAATTCTAGTATGTTACTACTGGCCCAAAACGTAAAGAAAGCCTGATACAAGAATAAAAGACGCGGCCCGCGCCCGCCGCCGATGAATATCACAGAAAGAAGCCCTTACTACTACAGAAACAGAAGTCCCGCGACGAATGCCAGCGCGCACGGAATGATCAGGGTGGCGACGAGGCCACGCCTCGGCGCCGCTGGCGCGGCCGTCGTCTCGAGAGTCGGCGGACCGCAATCATCAACGGTGGCCGGCGTCGTAGCACGAGCCGCCGCCCGCGCCCAGGCCCCGAACGCGCCCGCGACGACGCGCCGCCGGTAGCAGTGGACGCCCTCGTCGAGGGTCTGGACGGCCGTGAGCATGACGTAGACGTACCGCGCGTTCGCTCGCTCCGCCCACACGTCGAGCGCGCGGCGCAGCGCCGCGCGCCGCCAGCGACTCACGTTGCGGCGCATGATCGTGATGCCGCGCCGGAGCCCGTCGGCCGCTCGCTTCTCCTCGGCGGCGGCCTCGCGCCAGGCGGCAAATAGCGACCGCCGCGTGCGGAGCGCGCGCCGCTCGAACAGCCGCTGCACTGGCACCGTCCGTAACGCCTCGAGCTTCTCCTCCACGGCGGCGAGCGCCGCGCGGTCCTCGGCGCGGGCCGCTTCGACGGCCGCGTCCACAGCCGTCGTGTCCGGCGGCGGCGCCGGCAGCGCCCGTGAGCGTTTGGCCAGAGCGGCGGCTAGCAATGCGTGGAAGCCGCGACGCTTCGGAGCGGACCGCGTCGCGCGGTTCAGCGCCGCCGCGAGGAGGAGCGGTGCGGCCGCGCGCCGCGCGGCGACGATCGCGTCGCGCGGCGGTGGCGGCAGTGCAGGGACAAGGGTCGCCTCGAGCGACTCGTGCAAATTCGCGACGCGCGCGAAGCGCGCCTGCAGGCGGGCGGCGCGGTCGAGGGGGAGGTCGTCTTCCGGGAAATCTGGGAGAGTCGCGCCCTTCTCCGCCGCCATCTGTCGCGTGAGGTTTTCATAGTGGGTCACCTGCTCTTCCAGCTCCAGGAGGTGCAGCTCGGGCACCTCGGCGAGCGGGCTCTCGTGGACCGACGAGTCGCGCGGCGGCAGCGTGTAGCCGCGGCTTGAGCTGCTGGCGGAGATGCTCAATATGCTCTCGACGTCACTGTCGTCGCGCGCGTAGTCATGGCTATGCCGTCGCCGCGGCGTGCGCACGTTCTCTCGCTCGTACCAGGCGCGCCCGCCATTGTTGCGATCCATGAGGATTGGTCGATTGATTGGTCGTTTGGGCGGCGCTGGATCGATCGGCTGCTCTCCGCGGCGGTGGCTTTTTGTTGGACGTGTTCGTCGAGCTGTACGGTAGCGTGGGGGCAGCCCTTTTGGCACCGTGCAAGTCGTCAAGCTCGAGCTGCATTGCTTTCTAGTGTCTTACTTGCCGCTAGCTCCGGCCATGGCAAAAAGCACTTGTACGCGGCCAGTGATGCACCAGTAGGCCTGCCGTGGTCTGTGCACAGCCAGAGCTTGCAAACTTTTCGTTGCTTGGGGCCGTACGGCTGCTCGGCAAGCACTGACTTGTAAACCAGCCGGAGAGCGTGCAGCACGCGATCCAGGAATTGCCCGTGATCACAAGCAGCCGGCAGCATGATGCAGCACTGCGTACGACTGCTCATCACAGTAAGGATACTTGCCACGGCTCTCGTCGCACCGCGCCGCCACGCGCGCCAGCCGACGCGCCGACGAGCAAATGACGAGCAGTCACTAGACGTGGACCTCGGCAATCTTCGCCTGCACGTCTACGGCGGCCGCTTCGGCGCGCAGTGGGACGTAAAGTTTAAGCGAGAGGCCGCGCGCCGGGTCGCGGACGACGCTCTGACGGTCAAGGACTCGCCGGGGAAGGGCCGCGGCGTCTTTGCAGCTCAAGGAATCGCCGAAGGTACTTTCCTGGGTTCCTACGACGGCGAGGTCCTCGACGGCGCGCAGTTCGCGCGGCGGTACGGCGACCGCGACGTGCCCGAATACGTCGTGCGTATTGATGGAGACGCGTACATCGACGGCAAAGTAGCGGCACAAGGCGACGCCTACACGCCGGCGCTGTTCAACGACGGCGGTGCCCGATCAAACGTCGTGCGGTACTGCGCGACGCGGCGGCCGCCGCGCGTCGACTTCTTCGCGGGCCGCGATATTCGGCCCGGCGAGGAGCTGCTCTTCGACTACGGGAGCCAGTACTGGGCCGGCCGCGAGAGTGACATAGACGCGGCGCTGGACGCGCAGATTTTTGATCCCGAGGAAATCGAGAGCTTCCGCGAGGACCCCGAGAACTTCAAGGCGGTGTACGCCGCGTCCGTCGTCGCTCTAGGAGTGGTGATAGGCCAGGCCGTCGTACGGTGGTACAAGTACAACGTCTGGCTGCCCCAGCCCGACTCTCTCGAGAAGACGCTCGACCTAATTCCATGATTTAATTGTTACGCGGAGGCCTTCTCCGGCGCGAGCACGGCCAGCAGCGACGCGCGGTCGTCCTTCGTCTTGACGCGGACGAGGAACGTGTCCGCGCTCTTCTCGGAGGTGGCCGCCATGAAGCGCACGGCCTTGTCGCCGTGCGCGTCGACGGCCGACGGCGCCGCGTTCAAGACCAGCGTGTGCGTGAGGTCCCTCCTTGCCACGACGCGCAGCGCGCCCTTCTTGTCTCTCAATACTTTAAGGACGCACACTCCCCGTTCCTTCCACGTCGCGCTGCCTTCTTTCGGCTTCTCGAGGACAAAGGCCTTGCAGCGGCACTTGTGGAGCTCCGTGTCCCCCTCCTCGCCGTTCGACGCGTCTATTTTCTCGGGTGCTGCAGGCGCCGGTGCCTCCGCTGTCGAACCGAAGCCGCCCGCCTCGAAAGCGGGCTTGTCGTCCGCCTTCGAGGCTCCGAAGCCGAAGCCGCCCTTCTCCTCAGTCTTGCCGTCGCTCGCCGCCGCAGCGAAGCCAGTTTTCTCCTCGCTGGCGGCGGCGCCGAACCCACCGAAGCCGCCACCGCTAAAACCGCCGAAGCCGCCGCCCGAGGAACTGCCGAAGCCGCCGCTCGACGACCCGCCGAAGGAGCCGAAGCCACCGCTCGTGTGGGCCGCGAAGCCGCTCGCAGGTGCCGGCGCCGGCGCGGCGTCGTCGCTCGCCTCCGGATCCGTCACCGGTGCGGCATCGGTGCGCGCGCGCTTCTTGGCGGGTTGCTCCTCTTCATCGTCAGGTTTTGAGGGCTGCTCCTCCTTCTCCGCGAGCGACGACATCGCGCCCAATCAACCTGGTTGGCTTGTAGATATGTTTTTGCCGGTGCGCTTGCGAATTTTAGCGTGTGGCAGCCAAGCTAAGGGTTTGGGAAGTATGCCTGGCAGCCTGCGTGCTTCAAAGAGCGGCACAGCTGTCAAATCAAGCTTGCGCGGCGGCGCGGCCCAGTGGGAAATGCTAGTGTCTTACAGGACGCTAGCGCGGTCCCACGCGCCGGGCTGTGTGGCAGAAAACGCACGCCGTTTTGTAAACTACAGGGTAGCTGCCAAAAAGCCGCGACGCTTTCGACGACGCTGGGCGACGACGTCGACGACGCGCGCGGCCCCCAGAAAAGAACTAGATAGAATAAGTATAACACATGTTACGGTAGGTGTATAAGCAGCAGTCAGTTGAAACCGAAGCGTCAGCACTCCGGCGGCAGCGTGTTCTTCGGCCGCGTCTGCGCGCGCGGCGATAATTCTGAAGCGCGCGACTCCGAGCCCGGGAAACTAAGCTTCGCCACCACCAGCGTCGACTCGGAGTAGTGGTCCAGACAGTCGCACTGGCCCGGCGGGAGGTCCTTCTTCTCCATCGGTCTAAAACCGCGGTGCGCGAAAAAAGGTAACGACTTCTTGTCGGCGTAGACGGCGACGCGCGGGACCTTGTACTTCCTCGCATGAGATAACAAGCGGCGCACGAGCTGCGACCCGACGCCCTTATTACGGGACGCCTCGGCGACGCAGAGGAAGGACACCTGGAAGAGTTTGGCATGCGCTCGGCGGACCGCGGCACACCCCAAGACGTCATCTTTCGCCGTGGAGTCGCCGTCGAGGTCGTTCTCGTCGATCGTGTGCGCCACGAAGCAGGCCGTGCCCCGTTCCGCTAGTAGAGCGTCGATATGGCTTCGAGCTAAATTCGGCATCGCGGTTTGAGTTAAATTACCAGCCGCTTCCAGCAGCCCGCCCGGCTGGGCCGCCTGACCTACAATATCTCTAGGGCCACACAACACGCGAGAAACATAGGCCTTCCGCCCCCCAAAGTCGCCCCGGAGTTGGGCCATTTCGAGCAACGGCCGCTTCCGCTGTCTAGCTTGCGACGCCTTCGCGGGCTTGGGCTTCTCCCGTTGGATCATCGGTGGGGGCGCCTCGGACCAGGTCGCGGCGGGCCCGTCCTGCAAGACGTCCGCGAAGCGCCTCGGTTTCTTCGCGGGCCGCGGTGCCTTCGGCTGCTCGATGAACGACGGCGCCAACCGCTTCAAATCCTCCTCCGCTACACCAGACACGTCCATCGTCGCGTAGTCCTCCTCGCCGTTATTTATGCGCAGGATGTGCTTCGTGCCCGCTAACTCCATGCGACCGAGCGACCCGCCGCAGGCGACGGCCAGAGATACGCCCCGTCGCCCTCGTTGCCCTTCCTTGCTCGGCCACTTCACGGTGGCCTTCGGGCCGTCGGGCGGCATGTATTTCAGGGCGGCCTGGGCGCGCTTGGCGTCGGGCGGCGGGCCCTCGTTGCGCAGGGCCAGCATGTATGTGGTTTCCACGGTGGCGCCCTCGCGCTGGGCTGGCGAAGCCACCTTGCTTGGTGATTTATGCGCCCGCTGCGTCGCAGTCAGGTCGCAGTTAGACCTACCTTTCATGAGCGACCACTGCTAAAAGGCCCTATTTTGCGGCCTCCATTTTCAGGATTGCAAAACGGGTTTCAGAAATGACGGGCAAGGAGGCGTCCTCCCGTGCAGAGAGGCGTAACGTGCGCTAGTGAACATACTAGATTGCCGCTCGTTTTTGCCTTCGAGACAACTGGCAACTTTGAGGCTGGACCATGGCCACACCGCTGCCCGCCGTGCCGCCGCCGCCGGGGCCCACGCCGCCGGCGGAGCCCGAGCGCGACCCCCTCGCGGACCGGGCGAACGCGGCTGCCCTCGACGCGACGCTGTCCAAGGGCCGCAACGCGCTCTTCGACGCGACGCTAGATAGGCCCATCCCGTCGCGCATGCAGCCCGTCTCCCGGGAGGCGCCCGCGAGCCCCGGCGCCGCGCGGCGCCGCTTCGCGCGCAAAATGGAGGCCCTCGACGCGCGGCGCGACCGCGCCGCGTTCGCGCACGAGGTCGCCAAGCGCCAGGGCGCGGCGCGCGTCGCCACGGCCCAGGAGTTCGAGGACGTGCGCAAGCGGTCGCGGGCGCGCACGCAGGCGGCGCTGCGCGCGCAGCGGTCCGAGGCCGTCGCGCGGAACCGGCAGCTCCTCGCGGACCTGGAAGCGGCCGAGGCCAAGGCCGACGCTGCTTTGTCCGGTAAGAGCACGGCCGCCGTCGCGCTGCGCAACGCGGCGAAGGGCGTCTTCGTCGCGGCCGCGGAGTTTGGACCTGTGTGGAATTATTGCGAGAGACCTTCGTCAACCTTCACGCCATCGAGCAGACGTGTTTCCGTGGGTCGCCCGAAGTTTGAATTCCACACAGGCTCGGACCCGAAATCGAGCTCCAGAAGCGGCGCGAGCGCCTCGAGGAGCTGGAAGCATTGAAACAGAGGGAGCGCGACGCCGTCCGGAAGCACAACGACGAGAAGCTGCTGGCGGCCGAGGCGGCAGACATCGAGGCGGCCGTGCGCGCCAAGCGCCGCGACGTCGCGGAGCGCGAATTGGACGCGGCGCGCGAACGAGCCGCGCGCGACGCGGAACGGCGCGCCGCGGCGCGCCACGACGCCGCGGTCATCGAGGCGCTCGAGCGCGACGCGCGCGAGGCCACCGACGCGGAGACCGCCCAGATCAAGCGCGAGCAGGAGCAGCACACGACCGAGGTCCTCCAGGGCCTCGCCGCCGAGCGGGACCGGCACAACGCCGACACGGTCCTGGCGGCGTCGGGCGGCATGCTCGACTCCGAGTACTCGTCGGACGACGCGGCGCCGCCGCCGGAGACGCCCGCGCCGGCGCCGCCCGACTCGTCGTCCGACGACGACGACGCCGCGGTGCCGCCGGCCGCGACGTCGACGGAGGGCTACATCCCGCCGCAGACGCGGAAGAAGAAGGTCGATTATGGGGCCTTCTCCGCGTCGATGACGCGCGGGGCCGCCGACGAGTTCGACGACTACGACTAAGTACTCGATGAGTGGTCAGTGAGTGTTCCGTTGTTGTCACGGTCGGTCGTCACGCCGACTCACGGTCGGTCACGGGTACGGTGGTGGGTGTTGTTTCGAACCGGCGATGGCGTGGAGGCGATAAATCTATGTTGGTTACCGGCGGGCGCGGGCGGCGCGGCGCGTGCTCGGCGGCAGCAAGTGTGGTGCGGCGGCGGCGCGAGGCCGCGGCCCTGCGGATCTCGTTCGTCTCGTGCGTTGTTGTTTGATTTGGGGGACAGGGGATAGGGAGGGGGGTGGTGGCGCGTCATGCGTCGCGCTTCGACTCGGACGCGGCCGAGGCCTCGGCGGGCGCCGGCGCCGCCGCGCGCGGCGGCCGCCGCTCGCGCCGCTGCGGCTTTTTGTCGTGGAAGTTCGGCAGCTTCTGGCAGACGTCGAACTTGCAGCTCGAGTCGCCGATTTTTTTGCCGCGGCACTGCTCGAGCGCCGCGGCGGCGACCGCGGGCGAGGCGAACTCGGCGTACGTTCTGCAATCTCACAGAACGGTCGTCCGGGCCCCTGCTCGATTCGAGCGTCACCTCGACGGCCTTGGGCCGGTCGCGGAACGTGGCCAGCTCGAAGGAGACCCGATCCCTGAGCTTCGGCTCAAAATCCACATCAACGAGATGCATAAATATGTCCTCTGATGATGAATCTCCATCTTTCCGGATGAAGCCGTAGGACTGGCAGACGTAGACGACCTCTCCAGAATGGCGCGCGCCTCCATTACCCGCCGTGCGCCGCTTGGACGTGCCGGGCAAAGGCGCGCGCGGCCGGCCGTCGACGGTTTCGTGGCCGTGCTTGCGGGAGGCGGCGCTGCCGCGGCCTCTTCCTCTCGGCTTCGCCGAGGGCTCGGCCACGGGGCCCCGGGGGGCGCGGGGGCCGCCGCGGCGCGCGACGGGCGAGCCGGGTCCTGTCTTATTGTTTTTGGCGGCCTCGCCGTTCGCCGCGGCCCGCGGCGCATCGCTCGCGTCCTCGGCCGTCATTCTGGCCGTGTTTCTGTGCTTAAATTTTCCGGCGGTGAGGTCGTGAGCGTAGGATATATTGGCCTTTGACCCCTAGCGATTTTGAGGCTAGCGGCCTGTAAGACACTAGGAAGTATTCGTACGAGGCGCATCCAGGCCTCTCCTGGCTCTCCGCAGAGGTAGAGGAAACGACCAGCCGCGCCGCGCGCGTTTTGCTAGAAAACGTAGCCGCCCGCGGGCCGCGGAGGAGGTTAACTCCACACAACTGTTGCCCGAAACCGGAGCAGGAAGGAGGACGCACCTTCATACACACTCAATAGATTTACCCTCGCTCCCTAAAAATAGTCCGTGCCGAAGACCGCGACGTCGTGCGCCTTCTTCTTCGCATCGCGTTCAAAGGCCACGACCTCGCCGGCGTCGCCCGCCGCGGGCACCATGGGCCGTTCGAGGCGCGGCGCGTAGGGCGGCAGGAGCACGGCTTTCTGCGCCTCCGTGCACCTGGCCGCCGCGCCGGACCACTCGTTGAGGTAGGCCCGGCCGTAGGCGTAGTTGGCATTCGCGAAGCGGTAGAGCGCGAGGCGCCTTTCATAAGGCATGGTCCAGGGCAGCGCGCCGTGCACGGTGGCTTCGCTGAAGAAGACGACGTCGCCCGCCTTCGTCTCGACCTGGTAGACGTGTTCCTTCGAAAACTCGTCGTTCAGGCCCGCGCACCACTCGGGCGGTACCACAAAATTAGATTTGTGCGAGCCCTTGACCACACAAAAACCGCCCGCGCCCGCCGGCGCGTCGACCAAATGCGCCGCCATGGCCACGAGCGTGTTCCACGGCTTGCCGTTGACGCAGCGGTACTGGAGCTCGGGGTTCAGGTCGTGGTCACCTTTCAATGGGCCTCCATGCAAAGAAAATCCCTCGGAGCCCGCGTCCTGCTGGAGCACCATCGGCTGGTGGTCGAGGCGGTAGCCCGGCCCTAATAAAGCGTCGCAGTAGGGCGCGAGCTTCGGGTGCGCCAGCAGTTTCCGGAAGCCGTCCTGCTCCCAATTAAGCATGCCGCCGAGGTCGCGTCGCGACCCCTTGGCGCCAAAACAACCAGCTCGCTTCGCATTTTTGAGCGCCGTGGCGTCGCGCGAGATGGCCTCGTGGCTGTGCGCGTCTATTGCTGCGTTGAGTTCTCCGATCTCGTCGGCCGACAGCGCGCCGCGGACGACCAAGTACCCGTTCAGGTCGAAGAGGAATTTCTCGTGATCTGTGAGGCCTGACGCCATGCGTACGACTCGCTTGGCTGGTGCAATGCGAGATGTGAAGGCTGCAACGCGGCTGACGAGCAGCATAAGTGTCGCACGCATGCAATAGTGGTTGCAGCGATGGCGCACAGGTGTAGAAATCAATCTCACCGCCTTTATCAATCAGTCCTTTCGCGTCGATGGCGTGGAGAGCCAAGCCAGTCAGAGCTCGGCTGCTAGTGTCCTTACACCGCTAGCTGCGTTACGGGCCGAGTGTCTACTGGCTTTGTTGGAGTGTACGGTGCCGAACGCGTCGCCGCGGTCCAAGGTCGCCTGCGGGAAGTCGCGGGACAGTTTGATTGAACGGGCGAACGTTGCACATTGTTCGGGGGGGTTGCCGAGGCGGTTCTGCTTAGAAGGAGGTACGCTGTTATGAAAGAAGCGGCCCGCGCCCGCCGCCGATGAATCGGCGACGCGCGGTGTCTCCCCCCCAGGGGCTCCGCCCACTAGTCCTAGCACCGTAACATCGCACAGGTTATGGATGTTGTGCGTTTTGGTGCTCGATCACGTCCTCTCAGAGGAGCTCTTGAGATAGGGTAGGGGAAACGTATATACACCAGAATGATTACGACGAGGAGTTCGACGCGCCCGAGTCCTTGCGTCCTCGCCGCGCTTGCGCCGCGGCCTTGTTCCGCGCGATCCGAGCTCGCTGCTCGTCGGTCAACGACGGCGGCGCGGACACGACTGCAGCAGACGTCGCGCGCGGCGACTCGTCCTCCGGGGGCGCCGCGACCGACGCCGGCTGGAACGCCACGGGCGGTACCGGCGGGCCCGAGCGCGCCTGAAACGGCTCGGGTGCAGGCGGCGCCGAGCGCGCTTGCGGCGGCGGCGGCGCGGGCGCCGAGCGCGCCTGAACCGGCTCGGCCACGGGCGGCGGCACGGGCGCCGAGCGCGCTTGCGGCACAGGAGGCGCCGACCGCGCCTGAAAGGCAGGCGGCGGCGCCGGGTCCGACCGCGCCTGGAAGGCGGGCTGGCGCTTCGCTTGCGCGGCGGCCTTGTTCCGCGCGATGCGCGCGCGCTGCTCCTCCGTCAGGGAGGACGGCGGCGGCGGCTCGAGCGCCGCGTAGAATTTCTTCACGTCGGGGTGGGCCTTGACGGCGCTCTTTTCCAGGGGCGGGCCCCGCAGCCACAACCCTTGGAGGTCCGTCGCCCGCGACAGCGCGACGTAGGCCTGGCCGTACTCGAAGGCGTTCGCCAGCTGCACCTCGACGCGAGATAACGTCATGCCCTGGCTCTTATGTACGGTTAATGCCCAGGCTAGTTTCAGAGGTACTTGCGTCCGTACAAGAGCGGCGGAGGACGTGTTCGCCGGGTACCACTGCGACACGGGCTCTATCGATCTTTTAATGCCGTTCTCGAAAGATATGATCGGGACGACGGCGTCCTTGATGACCACGTTTTCTCTTTGAGTCGTGACCTTGCGCCGCTCGAACGACTCGACGACGCCTCGGGAACCGTTTACTAATCCATATTCGGGCATGTTTTTGAGTAATACTACTTGCGCACCGACCTTGCACGCAAATATAGGTGGGGCATTATTCTTCGAAGCTTTGTCCTCGCACTGGCGCCGCGCATCTGAATTAGGCGTGCCGCGCCAGTCGTCTTTCGCTGAAATCTGCTCGATAGTACCAGGCAGGGCCTTCAATCTCCTCAAATTCTCGTCGTCGACGTTTCTATTCGTACAGTACAATTTGGTGGGTACGATGTTATCGGACGGCGGGGGCTTGCACCGCACATGGCACGCATCTAAGGCGTCCTTCGCTTGGGTGGATAGGTTCCCATGCCTCAATCCATCTAGCAGTGAAGCGAATTTCGAGTCCCCGCTCTGGCGGATGGACTGCTTGAGGAGTAAACACCCAGGTGCATTTGGGGAGAGTCCAACTCTACCCCAAGCGTAGCTCTGGAACGCGAAGCCCTTGCCGTACTCCCCGAGATCTACCGGCGGCAGTTGGAAAAAATCCCCGACGCAGACGAGCTGGACGCCCCCGAAGGGCTCCGTCTCGTTTCTCCGCGTCCTTCGCCCAATGCCATCTAAAGCTGAAAATAACTCGCTGTCAAGCATGGACACCTCGTCAATGACTAAGACGCGGGCGTCGTTCCATCGTCTCGTCGCCGGCCCGCTCTTCGATACCCTCTCGACGATCTGCTCGACGCGGCCCTTGCCCAAACCCATGCCCGACCACGAGTGGATCGTCACGCCGCCGACATGTTGGGCTGCAATACCAGTGGGCGCCGTCACGGCGACGGCGCCCTCTTGAGTATATTTTTTTCTCAACTCGGAGATGATGTACCTTAATAGAAACGACTTGCCCGTGCCGGCGCCGCCCGTCAAAAAGACGCTGCGCCCTCCAATAGCCACCTCGGCGGCGTGCACTTGGTCGGCCGTGAGGTCCTCTTTTTTCGGCGGCGCGGGCCCGGGCGGGAGCTCGACCTTGGCCTTCTTGCCGCGCGGCGCGAAGAAGCCCTCGAGGGCGCCTCCCCCGTTGCTGGGTTGGGCGACGCGCTTCCGCGGCCTCGACGGTCCGAGCGGTTTTCCAGAAGCGCCGCCGCCGTGCTCGGCGCAGATGCGCACGACGTCTTCGCCGTACTTTTCGCGCTTCGTCGGGCCGATGCCGGCGACGCGGCCGAAGGCCGCGACGGACGTGGGCTTGGCGTCGACGATGGCGTCGATCGTCTTATTATCAAAAACGCAGAAGGCCGGCTTGCCGTCGGCGACGCGCTTGCGGTAGGCGACGAGCTTGTCGCGGAGCGACATCGCGTTATTGGCTTTTGGGCTAGCTTGGCTCTGGCTTGCTATAAACGCAGCGGACGCGCGCGAGCTTCGACGGCAGCGAGAATGGGCACGGCAGGGCTGTACCGCAGCACTTGAAACGCCCTGCGAGCGGTGAGAGAGGCGTGCGCGCGCGGTGGCGCGCTTTCGTGATAGAACGATCTAGCGGCATGTAAGACACTAGCAAACAGGGGAGGTAATAATCCATCAACAGGCCTCTTCCGCCGTCCGATCGATCGATGCAAGGGTTTAGCCCCGTAAAAAAAATTTACCATCACCAGTCTTCCGCCTGCCGACGCGGGCGCGACCGCACCGCCACACAAGTCGCCACACAGACGCCTAGAACAGACGCCGCCCCAACGACGAAGACATAACCTAAGCCTACTTACCGCAAGAACTCCATATTGTCCCGCCGGGACACGTCAACACCGAGCCGCTGCCGCAGCGCCTTCTTCTTGACGGGCGACGGCGTCCTCCCCGTCACGCGCATCAAAGTTTGCCGATCCACCCCGCACGGGTCGAAGGCCGTGAACTTCGCGAACTGGCGCTTCGGCGAAAATAAATCTTGATTGGTATATCTATCTGCGGTGATCGGCCGCGCGTTGTAGCGCTCGTTCCGGATCCAGTCGCCGGCCACTGGTGTTTTCTCTACCCTTGGCAAGCGTCGCGCCGTGCTATTCAGCATGTTCATCCTCTTGAGAAACCGTTGGCCGTCGACCAACTCGGCGTCGGCGTCAGCACCGCCTTCGTTGAGTGACGCCACGACGGCTGATAGCTCCCGCTCCGTCAGATCGACGTCGAACTCTGATCTCACTCTTCTCCGAAAATCTCGAGGATTCAGGGGCCCGCCCTCCGTGAACTGCTGCGTCAGCGGTCGACTTCGAACTTGCCACGTCGCCCTTTCTCCCAACTTCGCGTAGGCCGATTCCAGGTCCAGAGGGTGGTAGGCCCCGAATCCGCCGTCCACAACGTCAAAGTCCTCGTTCTCCCTTCGTTTCTGCTCCGCGGCCTCCTCGACGAGCGCATCCCACTCCCTCCTGATGGCCAAGCGGTGCTTCTGCTGTTTTTGCGCTTTCGCACCGAGTCGATGGAAGAACGTAACGAAGTTCTTCCCATCTACCACTTGCGACCCGTGGCCTTGGATCGCTTGTATCAATGCGCCGAGCTCCTTTCTAGATAAATTGAGGTCGAAAGTTCTTTGTAGTAAAGATCGCAAGACTACCGGAGATATTTTAGTACCTTCAAAACCAGATAAACCCTGCATGCCGCCCATGGATCGCGGCGTCCACCTAGTCTTGTACTCCAAAGCGGCCTTCTTCAGTTTCCGCAAGGCTTCCTTCTTGTCTTCCTTCGTGAACTCGATCTTCAATGCGGCCGCGACGCGAGCTTCCTCCTTGCGTTGTTCTACACCTTCCTGTTCTAACCTTTTTTGCTCCAAATACGCGGACCGCACGCGATGTTCTCCCCTCTGTTCTCGCTTCATCTTCTGCGACAGATCAAAAAACTTCACGAGGAACTCGGCCCCATCGATGTCTCCGGAGCCATCGACGTCAAAGTAAGGTAGGACCGCCTTGGCCTCGGCCGTCGTGAGCTTGCTGCACGGGAAGGCCTTGTTCCACTGCCGGCCGAACTCCTTGCCCTTCAGTCCTGAACCTTGAAACGCACTCAACTGGGCGTTGTCCTTGGCGCCGTCGTGCATTAAAGCTGTCCTTTCAACAATCTGCCGCGCCCTGGCTTTCACGGACTCGCGCTTACTGGTCCTCTTCTTCTTCTTGCCTCCCGTGGTCTTGCCCGTCGCCGTCTCGGCCGTCCGCAGCATCATCGTGTCGTGCGTGCCCAGCAAGTCCTGCGTGCCCGCGTTGCTCGCCCTCAGGTCGTCGGCGTACTGAATGGCTTCCTCCATGGTGGTCTCTGGTCTGGTCTGTCGGCGGGCGCGGGGAGAATGCGCGTGTGCTCCGCGTCGACAGGCGTCGGCTGGACCGTCGCGGGCAGCGTTCCGGTGCGGCGCGGCAGCCTCCCGCGCGGCGACAGGAGGGAGAGCGCTGCAGCAGAGATGGCTCGAGGGGCGCCGTCGCGCCAGTTACGCGCGGGAGGGGATCCCGCCGCCCGAGGAGTGGTGGGAGGCCTAAACGAGGCTCGTGGACGTCCGCTAGAATAGGCAACCCGAACGAAGACGCTCAGTTTTTGCCGGCGCTGTGCGCGAAGCCACGTGAATTGACGTGGGGCAGCCTCGTTCGTCGATTCGACTGCGCGCCGCGCGTAGGGGCAGCCAACACACGGGCAGGGTGCAGCGTGCGTGAGCGACACGCTGCAGGACAGCCAGATCAAGGCAGCCGGCAGGGCAGCCAGGGCAGCGCCAAGATGGGCCGCAGCCTCGGCTCGCCCCTCGACGGCCACGCCGCGCTTAAAGACCTGGGCCGCATCGTGAGCGAGATGAGCAACATGAAGGCCATGATGCGCGAGATGGCGCGGTCGGCCCGCCTCAAACAGCAGGAGGATATAATTGCAAGGAACCAGCGCGCGCGGGAACAGGTGAAGCACGAATTCGTCATGCGCAACGTGGCCAAACAAATTGATGAGCAAAGAGAGTACCTCGCGAGCCAGGCGTCCAAGCGCCACGAGCAGCGCCAAGCCACGTGGCGCAAGGAGCAATTGAAGGAGGCGCGGAGGCGGCGCGAGGCCCGGAAGCGCGCGTCGCCGCGGCGCGGACGGCCCACTTCTCGAGTATTCCCTACTGTTGAATCGACGAGCGCGTTCATGACAGAACCACCTGACGAACCAGTGAAGCCTCGGCCGCAGTCCGCGGCGGCGAAGGTTCAATCTGAGACGTTCTCCGGCGGCTTCGTCGTCCCGCCTCGCACGTGCGCGAACTGCGGGCGCAAGTTTCCCTCCGTGATGCACCTCCTGATGCACGACGCGGCCGGCTGCAAGAAGCGCCGTGCGCGGCCGGCCACGCCGCCGACGCCACCCACACCACCCACACCTCCAGCACCTGAACCCGCGCCCGCGCCCGCGCCGCCGCCGTTCAACGGCCGCAAGCCGTGGGGCTTCGCCGGACCGCGCAAGAAGAAGGCGTCGTCGCGGTCTCCACCGCCGTCGGAGAAGAAGGCGTCGTCGCGGTCGAAGCACCCCTGGGAGGCCTCACCGCCCCCGAAACGCGTGCCTGATCCTGGGAAGCGCGTGCCACCCAAGCGCGCAGAAGCGCCACCGCCGCGGCGGCCCACCGGCTTCACCTTCGAGGGCCCAAAAAGGCGCGACCCGCCGAAACGGCCGCCGCCGCCGCTTCCTCCCTCGCCGCGTCCCATGCCATCATCGCCGAAAACGCTCTATGAGGTCCTCGGCGCTTCGCAGTATGCAACTGAGGGTGAACTCCGGAAGCGCTACCGCGCGCTCGCGCTTGCGCATCATCCTGATAGGAATGACACGGACACGACCGCGGCAATGATGCGTATCAACAGTGCCTGGGACGTGCTCGGCGACGCCGCCACGCGCCGGCGCTACGACCTGTCCCTCCCGGATTGAGTTTGTGTGTACACGTGTGTAACATTAAGATAAGGTTAGAAAGCTCAGCCGACGTCCATCGCGTCGTATGAGGACCCGTTCTCGGGCCGGCCAAAGCCAACGAGGCACCGGTCCGCGCCGTACTCCTCCCAGTCAAGCTTCGACAGGTACTGACCCTCGTTGTCCCGCGCGAGCATCGCCGCGCCCTGGAAGACCGTCAGCTCGGGCTCGCGCGGCGCGACGACCTCGACGTCGTACGGTTCCAACATCAACGGCCGGAGCTCGCGCTGCAGCCGCTCCCGCAACCCGGGACAGCGCGCGCCGCCGCCCACAAGCATGACTTGGGCCGATAGATTTGGCCGCATCGCGTGCGGACACTTGAGGATGGAATCCGCGACGAGTTCAGTTAAGCCGCACTGCTTTAGACCGATGTCCTGCGGGGAGAAATGCAACTCCGGCCCGCAGAACCGTTCCGACTCCACCCTCAGAAATTGCGGAGATGTATCGGGCCGCGTCCTACGTCGTCTTTCTTCAGGGTTATATGCGGGATGCCGCGTATCCAGGCGCGCGTAGCCCGCGTCTATGGTATGATAGTCCGGGAGCACGAACTCCGCGTAGACGTCCGACGCCGTGCCGTGCTCCTTCGTCGTGCCGTCGCACTTTGCTAGTTCACTATCGAAGTCCTGGGCCACGTAACATAAATCTCGTTTGAGCTTGTCGATGGTGGCCGTTTCGTCAAACACCTCCATCTGGCGGTAGGAAATCAAGTCGCGTAGGTAGCCCGTCACTAATTGCCCTCCCACGTCGGATCGCCGCACCGCGTAGTCGTGCGCGCCGCCAGACAAAACTGGTGTGGCCGTCGACGCGCTGTGGCCCATGTCGCAGATGAGCACGCAGTCGTGGTTATAGGGTAAACGCTTCTCGGCAGGCTTGCCGCCGTGCTGCGTCGCGAGGTGCCTTTCTCTGTCTTCCAAAATTTCCTTGGACTTGGCCGCGGCACAGACCGCTGATGGCAAACGCATCCGCCCCAGAAACCCAAAGTCCTCGAACAAAATCTCGTCGCAGGCCTTTCTCGCGGACGGAGGGTTCACGGCGCACTCCGTGACCACTATTCGGGAGTCTCGAGGTGTACATTGCACCTTCGAGAAGCACCGTTCGAAGACGTCTCGCTGGGCGCCCGCGTGCACCAGCACGCCCCGCTCCAAGGGTCTTGAAAACTCTAATTGAGCGTGGTTCTTGATTGTGTAAATCTCGTCCGCCACAAGCACCTGGAGCTGCTGCTTGGGCCGCGCGGTGCAGTTCGGGGCCCTGTACCGCGGCGCGTCGTCTCCTGCCAATCCCGCTCGCACTTCGTAGGTGCCTGCATCGATGACGACGGCGGGCGGGTCCATTTTTGACCGCTTTATGCTCGTGCCTCAGCCAGCTGTTCGCGTGCGCCCGCGGGAGTATAGACCGCGCGTACACCGTGCAGCGCTTGCCCTGTCGCCCTGTCGCCGCCGGAGCAGTGAGTGGGCTATTGGCGGAGGCAGCCACAAGTGATGCTCGTGCGGTTGCCGAGTTCCAGGCGAATGCGTCGCGTTTGCGTAGCGGTTTTAATCGATAGCTTTGCAAACGCGGCGGCAGGTAGCACGCGCTGCCTGATTGCGCGACTCGAGCTTTTTGTCATTGCTAGTGTCTTGCTGCGTTAGGTAAATATAACTTAGACCGCGTGCGCGCGACTCCATAGGGCGCCGAAAGAAATGGGGGAGGGATACAGAAGGCAGCTGGCTAGAAGAAATAGCCGAAGTCCTGCTCGTCCTGCGTCGAGTCCGTGAAGCTCCGCTTGAGGTTCGGGCGGCCGTTGAGCTCGCGCGCGCGGACGTCGGGGTACGGCCGCCGCGTCTCGCCCACGTAGACCTGGCGCGGCCGCGAGATGCGGCGCTTCGGCTCTGCTAAGGCCTCGAGCCACTGCGCTACCCAGCCCGCCGACCGGCCGACCGCGAAGAGGCACGTGAACAGCGTGAGCGGAATGCCCATGGCTGTCAGGGCGAGGCCCGAGTAGTAGTCGACCTGCGTGCGCGTGTGTACTGTCACGCCCCGCCACGCCATCGAGCAGACGTTTTGAATTCGCGCCGCGGCCCACGTTGGGAAACAACTTCCGCGACACGAAATAATCATCCGCGAGCGCCGCCCTCTCGAGCTCGACGGCCAAGTGAAAGAGCTCGCGCAGCTGTTTGGGCGAGCCCGCGGCGTTCGCCCCCATCGCTGTCACAGGCGCCGACGCAGTCACATACGCGTCGCGGTCCTGGCAGTTGCGCCGCTCGAACTCGGCGATGCAATCCAAGGCAAGCTTCTTCATTTCCTTGGCGCGCGGGTCGATGTTTCTGTAGACGCCTGCGTGAACGGAACTTTCGTGAAGCCATCGCATCGATGGCGTGGAGCTTGACGGACGCCATCGACGCTGCGACGCGCGGTGCCCGAAGCCCATGAGCTTGAACGGGTCGTTCTTGTCCTTGGCCCGCGCCAGGAACTCGGGAATCCGCTCCTTGCTCCCGATCTCGCGGAGCATGCGGATGCAGGCCTCGTTCGCGCCGCCGTGCATCGGGCCCCACAGACTCGCGATGCCCGCGGCCACGCAGGCGAAGGGGTTCGCCTCGGAAGACGCCGCCATGCGCACTGTTGCGGTTGAGGCATTTTGCTCGTGGTCCGCGTGCAGCAGCAGGAAGACGTCCAAAGCTTTCTCGAAGGCAGCAGGGGGCGCCACGAACTCGCCCCCATCCAGCGGCGACGCGAAGCACATGTTCAGCAAGTTCGCCGCGAAGGACTTGCCGCGCCGCGGCGCGACGTACGGCAGGCCCACGGAGTGCCTATAGGCCATCGCCGCGATCGTCGGTAATTTAGCAACCACCCTCACGGCGGCCAGCGCGCGCTCGCTCTCGTTCATCGCCTTGACGCCGCGACAGTCGTGGTAGAACGCACTCAACGCGCCGACGGTGCCGACCATGACGGCCATGGGGTGCGCGTCGTCGGGAAATCCGCTCATGAATGATTCCAAACGCCGGTCGACGGACATGCGCCGTATCACTTCCTCGGTAAACAGGTCGAGGCGCCGCTGCGACGCCGGGAGCCGGTTGTTGAGTAAGAGGTAGACGACCTCGAGATAGCTCGACCGCGCAGCTAGATCGTCGATGCCGTAGCCGCGGTGCAGGAGAACGCCCGCCGGCCCATCAATAAAGGTGATCGCGCTCCGGCAGCTGCCCGTGGCGACGAAGCCCGGGTCGAGCGTGTACAGACCCGTCGCCGCCGGCAAGCTAGAGATGTCGACGGCCGGCGCGCCGGCCGAGCCGCGCACGATGGGGAGCTGTATAGTTATTTCCTCGCCGTTGTTCTCATCTCTGGCGCTCACGGTCACATGCGTTGCTGCCGCGAGGTCGGCAATGCGTCGCGTAGTCATTTTGCTGGCAGTGCTGCAAATGGGCAAATGCTCTGTGTACCTTCACTGACGCGTTCGCTGCAAAAGCGCTGGCGCTACGTCGACGGCGATGCGACAGGGCAGCGTGTGCTAAATTTTAGGCGGATTGGCAGCCGTATGCGTGAAAAACGCAGGCAAAAATTAATGCAAACTTAGCTAGCGGTGTAAGTCACTAGCACGCAGCCTCAAGTCCTCTTGCAAGCCGTACTCGCACTCTAAAATTCGTCAGGCTTGCACGCAAGGCCTCAGGGACCCGCACTGCAGTGCTGAAAAACCGTGGAGGTTTTGAGCCGCGCGTAGACGGACAGGACGCTAGAAAAAAAAAGGCACAGGAGAGCTGCTCTCTCGTACATTCCCCCGAGCTGCGAGGGCCGCTACCGCTGCGACGCTGCGATGGATCTCATCTTCCACGGCCCCTTGGGCATGGAGCTGTCCTTGGATCGAAGCGCCGGCGTCCCACGGGTCAAGGCCGCCGAGCACGACAGCCCGGCGCTTCTTGTGGTCGGTCGCGCGCTGACGGCGATCGAGGGTGTACCCGTCGGCGAGATCCGCGACAAGAAATCGTGGCTGGCAGTCGTCGCAAAGCTCCAAGCGCCGGAGCGGCCGCTGTCGCTCTCGTTCGAGGCGCCCGCGGCCCCGCCGCCGGAGGAGGATCCTGTCGCCGCGGAGGAACGCGCGCGGGCGGAGCTCCAGCCGGTCGCGGAACGCGCGGAGTGCGCTCTGAGCACGGAACATATCGAGGAGCGGTTCCTCGCGAGGGAGCGGGCGCGCATGGCCAAGGACTACCGCACCGCCGACGCGATTGAAAAAGAGCTGACATTAGCTGGCGTTAATCACAACAAAGCCAGGTGGTGGATACCAGGCACCAGTCGCGAGGGGCCGATGCCTTGCGCGCGAGACACGGGCGCGTTGTGCAGATATTACAGCGCTGGGAGGCCTTGCCCGCACGGCGACCGGTGTCAATTTTTGCACGCCGACGATAGTAGACCCGGCGAGCGAGTACCCGTGGCTTCGTCAGCGCGGCGCTCGCGCTCGCGCTCGCGTTCGCGCTCGCCGCGGCGACGGCGCGAGACGTCGCCGCCGCGCCGCAATCGCCACGACACGGCGCCACCGGGCCTGGGACAGCGGCCGACGAGGCGGCACCTCGTCTCCGCGGCGGAGTCGGCTCGCGTGCCGCAGCCACCGGTCGAGTCGGAGCCGGCGGCGCGCGGTCCGACCGGCGATTACATCAGAGAGCCACCCGATGACGATGCGATCTTCGACATGGTCTTAGCGCAAGAGTCAGTGCCCAAATCCGTCCCCGGTATTTGAATTTTAATCTACGCCACACAGGCGCGAAAAGGCCAGAATTGCGAGAGACTACGCGACGGCCGACCGCATGCGAGCCGAGATGGCCGCCGCAGGCTTAACCGTCGTATACCGCGACGCGACGGGCCGCCCCGACAAAAGCCGCGGGGCCGTGACGTGGTACACCAACGACGGTAGGACCGGGCCGCCGTCGCTCAGCACGGTCGAGATCGAATCACGCCTGCGTGCGTGGATCAGGGCGCGCGACGTCGACCAGAACCATAGTCGCACCCGGGACCTGCTCGCGGAGTGTGCAGCACGCGGCATCGGGAGAAGCGAAAATTGGAACAGTGCGGGCGGACAGTGGTTCACCGCACATGGGCAGCGCGGTCCTATGCCGTCCTTGGAGGGCGACACGCCGGCCGCGCCTCCGGTCCCGAGCGCAGGGCGCGGCGCGCTGCGCTGGTTCACTATCGACGGACGAACCGGTCCCCCCAAAATGAGCGAGCGAGAAATCGACGCCAGACTTCGCGAGTGGGTGCGGGCACGTGAGGACAATATGCGCCTGAGCCATGAGCTGCGGGCCGATCTAGCTGCACGCGGTGTCCGCGTCGCACCGGGCCAGGGTTGGTACACCGCCGGTCCCAACGGCCTGTCTGGTCCGATGCCGTCGTTGGACCGAAAGCGGTCGCGCTCGCGCTCGCCGCGCCGCAGTCGCCACGACACGGCGCCCGGGAAGCGGCCGCGACCGCCTTCGCCGCCGGGCCTGGGACAGCGGCCGACGCGGCGCCATCTCGTCGCCGCAGCGCCAGCGCCGTCCGAGGCTTCGTCCTCCGACGGCTTCTAGCCGCGGGTTGATTGTGTAAGTACCGTGACAAACTTCATGTCTTTACACAATGCTAGGTGTGGGCGCCGCCCGAAAGGTCCTGCCGGCCCGCCGCGTCGCGGTTCTCGATGAAGACGCCAGACGCGTTGAGCTCGCAGGCGATGCGGTCTCCGGTCCTAAAATCGCTGTGGATGCGCGCCTTCTCCCGCTGCAGCACCATGTCGAAGATCGTTCCGTCGTCGGGCGGCCTCGGTCCAGAACGACCGTCGGGCGTCCGCCACGTCGCCACCCTGCTGTAACCTTCGCCCACGAACTCAATACGCACGCCGGCCCGCTGAAGCTCGTCTAAGATGCCGTCGGCTCGATTTAGGTCCCGGACCTGAATCGCTTGGAACCGCGCGAACAGGCGCTCTCTGATGTACTCGTCGCTTGGGCCGCGGCCGACGGAAGCCTCGCGCACCAAGGACGGCAACGGGCCGGACGCTTGTGCGGTGAACCAAATGCTCGCGCTCGTCCCGATGCCGCGAGCTTTACAATCCGCGAGCAGGTCCGTGGCGCGACTAGGGTTCTGGTCGACGTCACGCGCGTGAAGCCACGCACGAAGGCGGGACTCGATCTCGGCCGTGCTCAGCGCCGGCGGGCCTGTACGCCCGTCGACGGTGGACCACGTCAAGGCCCCGCACTTTTTGGCTTCGCGGCCCTCGCGGCCCGTCTCGTCGCGGTATACGACGCTTAAGCCTGCGGTGGCCATCTCGGCCCGCAAGCGGTCGGCCGCAGCATAGTCTTTCACAATTCTGGCCTTCTCACGCGCTAAGACCATGTCGTAGATCTCGGCGTCACTGGGTGGACGCGGCGCCCCCGCCGGCTCCGACTCGACCGGTGGCTGCGGCGCAGGTGCCGCCTCCGCCGCGGCGACGAGGTGCCGACGCGTCGGTCGCTCTCCCAGGCCGGGCGGCGAAGGCGGTCGCAGGCCACGGCCTGAAGGCTTGGAGCGGGCCACACTCTCGGCCTTGCAGGCGGCCTTGCAGGCTTCGCTACAAACGGCTCTCGTACCCATACTTTTGAACCCATCAACTCGCGTGCCCGTGCGGCCGCACTGCGCGCATGTGAGCTCCGGGCTCGGGCTCCGGCTCCGCGGCCCGAACCTCACGCCGGGTTTGAAGGCCTGCCGTCCGCGGGTCGGCGCCGGCACGCTCTCGGCGGCCGTTGCCTCGGCCTTCTCCGCAGCGACCACGCGGCCCGGCGGCGACGATTCGCGCCGTCGCCGCGGCGAGCGCGAGCGCGAGCGCCGCCGCCGCGATGACGAAGCCGCGGGCGCTCGCCGCGTGGAGGCCCTCTCGAGGTCCGAGCGTCCCAGGCTCTTGGCCTTGCAGTCTTCGCTGCAAAATAGGCCCCGGTAACCGTGTGTACCATTGAAGAAGCCATCAGCTCGCGAACCACGCGAACCGCACTGCGAGCACGTGAGCTCCGGGCTCGGGCTCCGGCTCCGCGGCCCGAACCTCACGCCGGCGCGGTTTACGGCCTGCCGTCCGCGCGCCGGCGCCGGGGCGCTCGCAACGGCCGTGGCCTCGGCCTCGGCTTGCTCCGCCGCGGCCTTGGCGGACGCCGCGAGCGCATCCAGCTCCGCCCGCGCGCGCTGCACCGGCTGGACCGGCTCCTCCGGCGAGACCGCGGGCGCCTCGAACGTCAGCGACAGCGGCCGCTCCGGCGCTTGGAGCATCGCCACGACGGCGAGCCACGATTTCTTGTCCCGGATCTCGCCGACGGGCACGCCCTCGATCGCCGTCAGCGCGCGGCCCACGACGAGCTGCGCCGGACTGTCTTGTTCCGCGGCCTTGACGCGCGCCACGCCGGTACTTTTATTTAATGACAACTCCATGCCCAAGGGGCCGTGGAAGATGAGATCCATGATGCTGCTACTGCTTCCGCTGTGGCTCAAGGCTGAGCCCGTTCCTTTTGCTTTGCGCTGTTCTGCGCGCGCAGAAGCGATGCTGGCCTGTGCGTACACCTGCTTAAGCAGCGCGGGGGCAAAAGGCCACACAAGCAGCTTGGCGGGATGCCTAGTATCTTACAGCCGCTAGCTCGAATGCGTGCGCTGTTCGTTTGCAGCCCGAAATGGACGAAGCGCTCGAGGTCCGTACTACTAGTGGGGGATCTTCCTCCGTTGTAAGGTGCTTGTAGCCTAGTAGTACTTCTTCTACTAGTAGTACTATGGTAACTCTACAATTAACAGTTCAAAATTCTCAGGAGTGCCTACTCCGGCGCTTCGTCGAGAGCTCGGCGTCGACGGTCGGCGCGCGCCCGCGAGATCGGTCGCGCTTCCGCGGGCTGCCGACGTCGATCACCAGCGCCGGTGCCGCGGCGCCGGAGTCGTCGGACACCTCGGAGGGCGGCGGTTGAGGCGGCGACCGTGCCTTCGCCGCCTCGAGCGCGGCTGTGAGGGTCTGCTTCACCACTTTCTTGACGGCAGCCTCCTCGACGCCGAGGGATTCCGCTACCGCGGCACGTAGCGTCCGCACCGTCAGCGTGCCGTCGTCGAACTGCGCCTTGATACTATGATATCCCGTAAAAAAACGATCTCCCGTAAAATGATCTCCCGCCAGCATTTTCTTCGTCCGCGCGGCGATGGTGCCGTCGGGCACCCACGAAGGGAGCTTGACGACGTCAGCGGCTCGCTCCTTGCCTGATTTCCGACAGGGAACGACAGTGTACTCCACCGAATCCCCGTTCTTGACAACATGGCCCTCCCGGACGTCGTCGAGGTGCATGAAGATGTCCGTGGGACCAACATCCGCAGTGATGAAGCCATATCTCTTCAACTCATGGCCTTTAGCGTCGCGGTAGACGCCGCGGTGCCGCCGGGCGCTGGTTGGCGGCCGGTCGCGGCGGCGGCCCCGCGACCGCGAGCGGGAGCCACTCCTCGAAGGTGAGCGCCGGCGCGACCGCCGGCGCGACCGCGACCGCGACCGCGGTGACCTGGCGTCGCGCGCCGCACGACCGGCCAGTTCTACGAGGGAAGGGCCCTTCGGCGCGGTTTCCGTCGGTGCCGACTCCGCCGTGTCGACGAGAGGACGCGCGGGCGCGATCACCGCGGCAGGGCCCACCTTGATGACGTCCACAGCCTTAGTCTGCCGCCGCCGCCGCCGTCCGCCGTCCACTTGGTCCACTGTGCCGAATTCGACATGATCACCTTTCGTAATTTCCGTGCCGCTCCGCAGGCCCGTCTGGTGCACAAACACGTCGGCGCCGCCGCCGTCGGGCGTGATAAAGCCTTTCTTTCTTTCGGGGTCGAACCACTGGCAGACGCCCTGCCTTCGATGTGTTGGGGCAGGGTCCACCTTGATGACGTCGACGGCCTTCTCCCGCCCCTTGTAGTCCGCTGTGCCGAATTCGACATGATCACCTTCCGTAATTTCCGTGCCGCTCCGAAGGTCCGTCTGGTGCATGAACACGTCGGCGCCGCCGCCGTCGGGCTTGATGAAGCCGTGTTTTTTGTCGAACCACTGGCAGACGCCCCGCATTCGATGTGAGGGGCCATGAGGTTTCTGAGGGGATGACTTGCGCCGTTGCCGCGGCGAGTGCGAGCGCGAGCGCGAGCGCGATGGAGACGGAGGTCTGGGCGGCGGCGCGGTGGCGACGCCCGGCTCGCCCAATAGGTCGTCGAGCGCCGCGCCGCTGCCGGAGTCCTGCCGGGCGCGCTTCGGCGAATGGGAGCGGCTCCGCGACGACGACGACGAGTGGCGGCGCTGCTTTTTCTTCTTCTTCTCCTTCTTTTGGCGCTTCTCCTTCTTCATGGCCTTCTTCTTGCGGCGGCGGGCCTCGTCGTCGCTCGACGAGACGCTCGACGAGCTCGAGCGCGAGCGCCGCCGCCGTCCACGCGTTGGCGCCGGGGCGCTCGCGGCGGCCGCGGCCTCGGCCTCGGCCTTGGCGGACGCCGCGAGCGCGTCGAGCTCCGCCCGCGCGCGCTGGACCGGGTCCTCCGGCACCGCGAGCGCCAGCACGAGCGGCCGCGCCGGCGCCTTGAGACGCTCCACGAGTGCGAGCCACGCGGCCTTGTTGTCGATCCTCCCGACGGGCCTGCCATTGATGGAACGGAGCGCGGCGCCCTCGTGCGGCTTCGCCGGGCTGTCGGCCTCGGCCCGCTTGATGCGCACCGTGCCGCTGGCGCGGTCGACGTTCAGCTCGATGCCGAGCTCGCCCTGGAAGGTCACCGTGACTTCCTTGGACATGATGACAATGAAGCGCGCCCGCCTCTATAGGCGGGGGCAGCCCGGAATGACCCCGGAGGCACGACTATGGGGTGAGGGCAGCGCGGAACGACCCCTGAAGGCACACGAGAACGAGCCGAAGCTAGCGGTGTAAGACACTAGGCATTCCTAGCAGGCGTGGGGCACGCGACATGGAGCCGTTTGTGAGTGTCGTTCTGTTCGATACTGGTCCTTCTGAATTTGGAAGCCATCGAGGCGGATCTGGGAATTGGCCGGCGGCTCGGCGGGAGTTCCGGGAGCCTAGACCGGGAGCCGCAGGGTAACGCTATCGACGAGGCGCCGCGAATGAGAGGAGAACTCTTACAACTCCGGCCCCCACCCCTTCCCGACGAGCCCCGACGCCAGCGCCGCGAGCCACTTGTCGACGCGCGGCATGAATAAAGGCGTGTTCTCCAAATACGCGGCGAAGCGCGGGTCCGAGCCGTAGCGCGCCTGCGACAGCTCCACGGCCGGCGTCAGGGACCCCGAGGCCTGGGCACCGAACAACGCTCCCAGGAAGACCGGCGACGCCGCCGCGAGCGCCAGTTTCACGGGCGAGAGCCCCGGCGCGTTGTACAGCGTGATGCCGCTCCACAAACAAAGATTGCCGAACCAGTTCGGGTGCTGCGACACCGACCACAGGCCCACGTCGCAAAAGCCCTTGTGGTTTCTCTTGAAAAAGAACTTCTGGAAGTCGGCCATGACTTCTGTCGCCAAACCTAGCGCAAACAAGGCCAGGCCCGACCTTCTCAATACCTTGTTCTCGACTTTCGGTGCGGAGGCGCCGAGCGCGTGTGGCAGTAAAGTGAGCCAACCCCACACGAACGACACGAACCAGAAGCCCACACACCCTTGTAGCGTCTTCGTCGTGCCCTCGAGGCGCCCATCGCGATGGCCCAGCGCGCGGTAGAAGAGGAAGGACGCCAATCGCGTGGCCCACGCACCGACCATGAGTGCTGATGTTCTCGAAGAGGCGGTGGGGCCTTTTGTAGCGTACGCGGCCACGGCGAAGGCGCCCGTCCCGATCAAGTCCAGGTGCGTGTGCGTGTCCTTGGCCAGCGAGATGCCCAACCCTAACCCGTTGCATCCAGCAAAGACCTTCGCCGACGTCCAGAGCGGCGACGCGCTCATGGTCGTCGTGGAGTGCGTGCGGCTGCCGCGCAGGCGCACGCTATGTAGTAGGAGGGACTTGGTGATCATCCAAGTAGCGCTGCTGCACAGGGCAGTGCACGCGCTGCAAGCTGTCACGGAGGCTGGAGAGAAACGTTCTCGCCGGCAGCACAGCCTTGAATAGTGCTGCGCGATCTTCTGGCTGATTGCACCGCGTTATCTGCCCGGCAAGAGCTCCCAGCGTGTTGTTCACTTCAAGTGCTTTGGAGCTGGCTAGCGCCTGTAAGACACTAGCCTCAATCCCTAGTGTCTCTTGTCTACGCTAGCGTTGCAAGCCCTTTTTAGGCGTGTGCCAGTGTTCCCAGGACGCTACAGCGGCAGCTGACACCGCTATGGATGCAGGCACGACCGCTGCTGCCGAAGGAGTCGTCTCGGCATTGAGCAAAGGTGATGCTGACATCCACACACGCCTGCTCTCCTGCGTGCGCGGTCGCTGCCAGCAATCCGTGACCAAATGCGTGGGTAAAAGCGGTCCTTGCGACCAGCGCGCGGCGATGCGCAGCGCGCGAGCCGAATGCAGGCCTCTGCGAGAAGCCGTGATGGCCGCGGCGCGCGAGAGCGTCTGCCTGCCCTATGTAGACCGCATGCGCCCTGCGCTGCTGCGCCAATGTGGCGGCGACGCGTCGCTCGTGGAAACACGAGTCGCGGAATTGATCGCCGGCTGCGCCGCTGCAGAAGCGAAGAAGGACCCGCAACTCGGCGACTGCGTCGCGGCGGCGTTTCGTAAAGCTCAGGCGGTTTGTGCGGCGCGCGAGTGTCGCGGCGCGGTCGCCGCGTGCGCGGCCCGGCTGTGTGATGTGCATGTGTCTGGCGACGGATGATGCGGATGGGGTAATTGTATCTATTGTGTAAATTTCGTATCATATCCTACTCGAAGTAGCCAGCCTTGGTTGACATTCGCGTCACAACATGTACCAAATGGCGGTTGGCAGCCAGTCGAGCGTCGGGGAGTACTGGCCGGCCTCGCCGGGGCCTCGGCGGGGCAAGATCGCGGCTGGCGTTTGAAGGTAAACTTTGCCAACTTGCAGCTCGAAAAAAGTGATGGGGGGGTAGCAGCGCAGGGCTGACATTTTTGGCGCCGTGTCGCACGGCGCCCTGACGCCACCTCCGGCTGCCCCCGCGCCGTCACGGCCTCGAGGCAGCCCGCGCAGCCGGTCGACCGCGAAGGGAGCGCCCGTCGACCGCCGCGGCGCGACAAAAAGGCCCTTGGCCAAAAATCAGGCGACATGCACCGCCGCACGCCCTCCGACGACGAGATGTTGAGTGGCGGCGGCCTCCACGCGCGGCACCCGAGCTGGAGCGGTCTCCCGACCGACTACGGCGTCGACCTCGAGGAGGCGTGCTGCCGGAACCGGGCGCGGAGCCACTCGCACGACGTCAGTCATGATCCTAGATTAAGACGACGGCGCCAGGTCGCGGCCCTCGCTCTGGCCTTATTCGGCTTCGCGGGCCTGACCGCCACGCGCATGGAACGACGGCCAGAGCCGATGCGACGACGACTGCGACGGGAAGACGACGTCCGCAACCCCTTCGCCGACGACCACCAGACCGACGACGCTCCCGCAGAGGAGGAGCCGCCGACGGGCTACGAGTCCCTGCTCCACGCCGACTTCGGGCCCGACCACAACGCGACGGGCAGCCCGAAGCCGCGGAGCAAAGCGCAGCGCCAGCGCGACGAGCGCAAGCGCGCCGCCGCCGAGAAGCGGCGGTTGCTGGAGATCACCGAGGCCTTCGAGCAGCGCCGCAAAGATAGGTTGGAGCAGCGCACGCGCGCGAAAGCCGAAAAGGCCGCGCGCTTCGGGCGCGAGGTCGTCCATTCGGGAACAAGTGTTTAAACTAACGTATGTGTTATTCTATATTCTCTCCCAGACATATGTGTTATTCTATATTCTCTCCCACACTAAAGACGGCGAAGGCGTCGACCGTCGCCTTCTTGAGCACTTTCTGGACCGGCTTCTTGCCGTCCACGACGTGGACCTGCGTCAGCAGCGCTCGCTCCTGGGCGAACTTGTTCAGTTTCCCCTTTAATATTTTCTCCACAACTTCATCGGGTTTGTCCGAGTCCGCCAGCTGTGCCTCCAGGATAACACGCTCGGCGTCCAGTAGTGACGGAGGCAGGCCATCGACATCAATGGCCAGCGGCCGCGCCGCGACGCAGTGCATCGCGAGCTGCCGGCCTAGATCGTCGTCGCCTCCGTCTAAGGCGACCTGTGTGGAGAACCTCAACGCCATCGAGCAGATGCAGCTACGGACGAAGACGGGGAAAAAGAGGACACAGGCCACGACGACGCCGGCCGCCGTGCCCGCGCCGTCTGCGCCGTTGTGCGCGTAGGCCGAGACCAGGGCGCCCTCGACGAGCGCGCACCGTCGCACGTCGATGCGCTCGCCGACGTGGGCCGACAGCGCCAGCGCGGCGTCCGTCACCAGCGTACCTTGGAGGTCCAACGCCTTGAGCGCGTCTCCTTGTACGAGCGCCGCGCCGCCCGCGTCTCGTTGGGGCGCCGTCAGCGACGCGTAGTTCCGCAGCGCCGCGTCCACGAGGTCGCGCACGAAGCGCTGGAACTCGGCGTTGCGCGCGACGAAGTCCGTCTCGGAGTTGACCTCGACGAGGCAGCCGCGGCCATTCAAAGCGCGCGCCGCCACGAGGCCGTGCGCGGCCGTGCGCGTCTCGAGCTTCGCCGCGCGGCTCGCGCCCTTCTCGCGCAGCCACTGGAAGGCCTCCTCCAGTCCCGTCGTCGCCTCGACGGCGGCCTTGCAGTCGACCAGTCGCGCGCCGGTCGCCTGGCGCAGCTGCTTGACCAGTTTCATGGACATGGCTTTTTTTTGAGGCGCGGCGGCGTGAGCGATGCACTGGTCGCCTGGCCGCGGAGATTATTGAATGGCAAAGCTCTCGAGAGGGCTTGAGCGATCAATGACTGCTCGCGCGTCTGCAGCCCAAAAGGTCGCCCTGGACTCTCCGGCCCTCTCGCAGTGCTGGCGGCCTGCTGTGGGCCGTGTGGCGAACAGCGGTAGCTGTACTTAAGCGGGTAGTCGCATTAGTGCATTTTGCACCGGCTCGTGAAGGTGCACGGCTGGCGTCGCCCGAGCGGCACGTCAACACACTGATTTAAGCACAGCAGAGGGCTCAGCATATTGATTTGTCGCGGCGCGGCAATGAAAACCCTGCGACGCGTCCTGAGCATGGCGGCGCATGCCGTAGCGTTTGAACGAGCCATCGTGACTGGCGCCGGTTCCGGCATCGGACGAGCGACGGCGGCCGCGTTGTGCGAGCGCGGCATCGAGGTGTACGGCGTGGGCCGCCGCGAGGGCGCGCTGCGCGAGACGGCGACGCGGATAGGCGGCGACAAATTTCATGCTGTGGTCGCGGATGTGGCGACGCCCGAGGGCCGCGGCGCCATCGCCGACCGTCTCGACGGCACGACACCCACCGTGGTGGTGCACAACGCCGCGACCACCGGCCCGCTCGGGCCCCTCGACACGTTGACGCTGGACGGGTTCCGGGCGACGATGGCGTCGAACGTGGAAGGACCTTTGTTCCTGACGAAGGCGCTAATGCCGAAACTCGCGAGGGGGTCGCGCGTGCTGCACGTGTCGACGGGCGGCGCGCACCAGGGCTTCGACGGCATGCTGTCGTACTGCGCGTCCAAGGCCGCGCTGCGGTCGGTCTACGAGTCGCTCCGGGACGAGTACGCCGGACGTATTATTTTTGGTTCGGCGCAGCCGGGCGTCGTGGCGACGGAGATGATGCGCGGGTTGGTCGAGGACACGGACGACTCCTTCGCGATCCGCGATTATTTTACCGGGTTTTTGTCCGCTGTGCATAAATCAAATTGTCGCGGCGCGGCGACGTGACACCAGCTCGATGGCGTGGCGGTGTGGTCCTACACCACTCGATTCAGTCATCGCGGCCGCGTTGTCGCGGAGAAATGACTTTGTGGAGAATTATCTGGTGCCCCCGACTCACTGTTTGATGCGCACAGGTTGTCCGAGGCGACGCCAGCAGGGGGGCCCACGGTAGGGGGGCCTCCGCCCGTCGACGGACTAAACAGCCCGGAAAACGTCGCCCGCTTCTTCTCGTTCCTCCTGTGTGACACAAACGACGACGAGTTCGGCGAGCGGGACTGGGACATCCGAGACGCGGCCCATCACGGCCGTTGGTGAGCGTGATATGTAATTTATATTTAGTGTCTCTGTAGTTAAGAAAGAAAAAAATTACTTTTTGCGGCGAGCCTTCTTCTTCGGCCGCGCCGCGGCGATGGACTCCCTCTCGACGCTCTCCTTCCACGGCGTCGGCCGCGCCTTCGGCGTGCGCAGCGGCGGCGGCTTTGGCGCGCCGGCGAGACCTCCGGCGTCGCCGCGCGGCTGCACGACGAGCGGCGGCAGCGGCGGCGCGGGCTGAGTAATGTCCGTCGCGACACCCGCGCTGGTCGGCACCACGAGCTTGATCGGATCGGCGGTCGGCATGCGCGGGCCCAGGCGCCTTAACTCATCGGCGTCCGGCGTCACGACGCGCCACTCGTCGCGGCGCTTGAGACAGTAGTCGACCGCGGCGCGAATGTCCGTCTTGACGATGGCCCAGTCCGCGGCGAAAGAAACGCGCCGCGTGTGCGCCTTCAGCGGCTTGCCCTCGTTATCTAAGTCACCAATAAAGCAGACGCCGAGGCGCGTGTTCTGCAACCACGGGCTCTTCTTCAGGAACTCGCCGTACGCCTCGTCGCGCGCGTCCGTAGTGCTGAGGGCGTCGAGGATCACGTGGAGGTCGTGGGCCTCTTTGAGCGTCCGTTCGATGTTCTCCACGCAGAACGGCGCGTCCGCCGCACTAATTAATTGGGGGCCGGAGCCCAGGTCGGTCCATACGACGAGGCAGCACTTGCGAGCAGTCCCAACAAGGCCGCCCGCCCCATGCACAACGGCGACCGCTTTATGCACCTTCGCCTTCCACTCGAGCCTCGCGTCGCGCTCCCGAAGCCGCTCTAGTAACGCGTCGCGAGAGGCCAGCAGCGCCGAGTCGTACGCCCCGCCCTTTCTGTCCATCTCGAGCCGCAGATCCGCCGCCACCAACGCGTTGCGCAGCGCCAGTTCCAGGCCAGTCCCGGGTAACGCGTGCTGGGCCCACTCGACGACCTTGTTGTCCTGGTAAAGCTCCCGAACAAAAGCGGAAGGCGGCTTGCGCATGGCCTCGCGGAGGACCCAGGACGAGACCCGCGCCAGGTCGGCGACGTTCAGCACCGCCGCCACGAACGCCGCCGCGAGCGCGTGGCCGAAGGCGTTCTCGCGCTCGAACCGCTTGCAGTCGCGCGCGTCGCCGTGGCCGGCGGCCGCCGCCTTCGTCGTGAAGGTCGTCACCATCGCGGCGTTGTCGTCGCCGAAGTCGAACGTCTCGTGGCGCGTGGCGCCGATGAACGCGCCCTCGACGGCCAGCTCGCCGTTCTTCATCGCCAAAGAGACGTTGGCGATGAGGCCCTCGGTCGGGCAGGAGAGCTCGTCCGTCGCCACGCCCCGCGGCGCGTAGGTGTGCGCGTCCGTGGGCGACCGCCGCAGCGCGTCCGGGCCGCGCACGATCGAGCTGCGCCGATTCACGAAGCGCCGCGCGTGCGCCTCGATGCCGGACGTCAGCGTGGCGCCGGCGTGGGCCCCGCCGCCCGGGCCGAAATCCGGCGCATTCTTCTTGACGTGGACGGGGCACATGTAGTCGACGAGCGGCAGCAGCGACGCGAACTCCGGCAGCGAGGCGGCACACCGCGCGATCGGCTCCGCCAACGCGATCCAGAAATCAACGCGGGGCAGACCAGTGGGGACGAGCGCGCCCTCCCTGATGTCGTACAGCGGCGTCAACGGGTGGACCATCGCGAGAACGCGCCAGAATGCGGCGACCTGCTCCTGAGTCAGCCACGGCGGAGCAACGCCCCACTGGAGCGCTTCCTGGACCGTCGTCGCGCGCAGCACCTTGACGAGCGTGTACTCCGCTAAGAGCCCGTGCACCTCGCCAGATAACTCGACGGCCCCTTTGCCGTACACCGAGTGCATGATCTTCGCCGTGCGCGCCGCCGCCACAGCTGTAGCGACCTCCGTCGCCATCGCGTCCACTTCAGTCTTCTTCTTCTTCTTGCCCCCAGGGCGATGCTGCTTACCTTGTTTGATCTGGGTGCCCGCGTTGAGCCAACGCAGCGGGGAGTTCGCCCTCGCGGTGTCGTCGTCGATGGCCTCATAACGTTCGTAGAGCAGGAGCGTCGCGTCAGATAGTGCACTGTCACGACTATACCCACTCCGTCCCGTCACGGTAAATTCGCGCTTGACGGCGAGCCAGACCGCGCTAGACTTGATCCGGTCGCCCTCCTTCCGCGGCGGCTTGCCGTGATTGGCTAATACAGCTTCGCACGCCTTCACGAGCGCGTCCGACGGCTCCTTGACGTCCGGTTTCGTAGCGACTAGCGTCGGCGGCGGCTTCGGCTTCTTCGCGCACGACGTCTCCAGCGGTGGCTGCACCTCCCCGCTCATCCGCTTCTTGTCGGTTTCGGTCGCGGCGCGGCGGCGGCGCGGCGGCGCATTTTCTTCCTCCTGCTCCCACTGCGGCGCCTGCTCATCCAGCGCTTGTCGGTAGTCGTCCGCGCTTTTGCAACCAGTCGTATTGACTTTGTGCAGTTTACACTTCTCTATGAGCAGGTCTTTTATAGACTGAGTCATGCTGCTACGGCTTCAATTTGTCGCTAGCGCCGTCGATCAAGGGCGATGAGTTCTTTTTATCGTGCCGTTCGCTAAGAGTATCCACGTCTAGCCTCAGTAATCCACTGCACAATACAAAATCACCCAGTGCTCCTAGTGTCCGTACCTAGAAAACACAAATCATAATACGCGATAAGACACGGCCACAAGCAACCGGAGACATCGTGTCGTCCAGAGACCGATACCTCTGCGTTTCCTGCCGCCGTCGCGGCGCGCCGCCGCGCTTTGTCCCCGACCAGTGACAAGCCATCCCGTCCACCCGTAGCCTCGGACGCGACGTGTGTTGTGCGCGACCCGTACGCGGCCACCGTCCCCTGCCTCCCTACCAATGCGCGGCTCCAGAGCAGCTGCTGGACCAGCAAGAGTTGGAGGGCAGCCGAAAGGGAGCCGTGGGAAGTGCGCCGACGCGCGGGCAGCGTGGCGCGGGCGCGCTGCCGTATCGTGACGCTTCCGTAGAATGATAGCCGATGGATGCCCGTCGTCCGCTGCCATGGCATATGTGCCTGCACCACATCCATCTCAGCACCGAAATGTTTTTTTGGCTGGACGCGCGCGCGCACTCAGTACGGGAGTCGCGCAACTGACCGATCGAAATGGCTGACGTTTCCCACTGTTCGGGGGATTTATCGGTTCTACTCCGATGCTATTGAGAAAGACGCGGCCTGACGTGCAAAAATCGCGGCGCCATGACTAGTAAAAAAACTGTATTAGTCGGCCTCCTGCCCAGGAGAAAGCCCCGGCTGCGACAGGCAGAGCAGCCCGCAGTCCCTAAACGCGTTCCAGTCCATGAGCCCGCCGTCCGTGACGACCTTCTCCAGCGCCAAGGGTAAATCCCGGGCGTGCTTCGGGCAGGCCTCCAGTAATATGGTCGGGTTCTCCTCGCAGTCCACGAGCAGCTTCGCGACCTTGACCAGCCCTTCCTTGTTCGCAAACCGATCAAACACCCTTCTTAAAGCAGCCTTCTTCGTGTTCAGCGACCGCACGTCCAGCCGCTTCTCCTGCTCCGCGATTGGCCGCGTGTCGGGCTCCTCAATATTATAAGGCCCGGGCACGACGGGGTTCGTCCGGATCTCGTTCTTCAGGAACTCGAGGGGGTCCGGCGGCTGCGCCAGGACCAATCGCCGCATGTACTCCGTCAGGATGAGTTTCGGCCGGTGCTGCGTCGCCCAGATGGACATCTCGTGCATGAGCTCGCGCGAGCCCTGGGACTGGGGCTTGCGGGCGGCCGTCATCGTGCGCTCTTTTGTGACGATGTCGAGCTAGTTTATCCCCGCCGCACGGACGTTTTTTTTGGGGGGCGCAGGCTTGTCGGTCCGATGATATGTGGGAACTGCGACCGTGGCCGGTCGACGGCGTGGGGTGGGCAGCCTGGGCAGCCTGGCAAAGTGCAGCGCCTCGGCCTCCGGCCCCGGCGCCTAGTGGCCTGTTTCAGAAACCGGATTTGTAGCCTGCCGGCGACCTTTCGGGGCGGGCGGAGCGAAGCTTGCGAGGCTTCTTCGGCTGGGCCATTTTACCGACCGCAGCAAGCACAAGCAGTCGAGAAGGCCTGGTTCACCGCTCCCGCCTCGCACGCCCACCCGTTCTTAGGCTGCGCCAGACGGCTGAAAGTCATTTGAATTCCCACGCTCGCGGCGCAACGTTTCCCCGCCCCCGGAGGGTCAGTTTTGAGTCCATCCTAGGACGTCACCGGTGAAGAGCGCGGACAAGCGCGGCCCGCGGCCGCGAAGAAGACCACCGCGCCTCAATTCCTCCTCTCCGCCGGCGTGCCTGTCCGCTCGCCGGTCGTCTAGCGAAGAGATGGCCCTCAGCGCGCTCAGCCGCGAGGCGAGTGCGTCGACGGCCTCGGCCTCGTCCGCGGACGACGCCGGCGCCGCGCCACGACGATCGAGCCGCCGCGACGCCGACGACGCGGACGCGCCGCGGCTACCCCTAAGGCGGCGGCAGACGACGCAGCCGGAGCCGCGCGGCGCGCGGGCCTGGCTCGCGGCGGCCGGCGACCACCCCGTCCTCGCGGCCGTCGGCGCCGTGCTCACGGTCATGCTGCCGACGCGCGTCGCCTCGACGCTCCACTCCTACGCGTCGCACTACAACCTGGTCGAGGACGCGCCGCGGCCGCCGCTCACGCGGAGCAGCGGCACGCCGGGCGAAGACTTCGGTTTTTTTGTGGCCATCACGCCGCTGTCGCGCGCGGGCGGCGACGCGCCCTTCGCCGGCGACCGGGCCTTCAAGAGCTTCGCGGGCGGGACGCCGCCGCTCGTCGGCTACAAGCCGAACCCCCTGATCGCCCGCAAACCTCCGGGCATCCCCGAGCTCCCGCCGCCGCCGCCGTCGTCGTGATTGTCTAAAATACCACTGTACTTACTTAGTATTCCCGCTGCATCTCACCTTGGACAACCGCGCCCTGGACGACTGCGCCCTGTACGACCGCGCCCTGTACACTTCCCTGTACGACCGCGCCCTGTACACTTCCCTGTACGACAGTGGGTTGTACGACAGTGGGTTGTACAAAAGTGGGTTGGACAACCGTGGGCTGCACGACCGTTGGCTGGACCTGTGTGGCAACCAGTGTGTCGGGTGCTCGGCGATGGCGCGGCCGTCAGCATCGCCACGCCATCGAAGCGGCGCGTCGATGGCGTGGAGGTTGACGCGAAGAATCAGTACGAACGTGCTGTAAAATTTGATGTCCACACAGGGCTGGACAACCGTCGGCTGCACGTAGGGCGCCTGTGGGGGCCCGGTCTGGTAGGGCTGCTTGCCGTACTGCTGCATCTGGACGGCGCCGCCGGCGGGTTGGGCCGCGGCGTAGGCGACCGGCTGCTGCTGAACCCGCGCTTGCGGCCGCCGGTTGTTTTGCTGGCACGCGAAGCAGCAGGCGGCGACGGAGCAGCCGATGCAGCAGAGCGGCAGGATGACGAAGAGAAAAATGACGAAAACTACCCAGCCGCTATGGTCGGGGCAGCCCTTCTCGTCGTCGCCCCGGCCGTTGTCGCAGACCGCCCCGGCTTTGCACCTGCGGGAATCGACGAGTGAGATCTACGCCAAGCGGACGCGGTTGAAATTTGGTTCCGACGCCGCCACGCACGGAAGGCAATAGTAGTTGTACGCCTGGCGGTCTCCTTCGTGGTCGTGGCAGACCCTTTCGGTCCGGACGAGCTGATACTTCCCGCCGAGGCTGTCGTCCACACACGACATCTTCCCTTCGAACGTGCAGCAGTCCTTGTCCTCGTTTTGCTTCCCCTCCTTGGGCCAGCAGCGCTCCTGGCACTGCGCCGGGACGTGGACGAGGTCGAAACTGAGCTCGCCGACCAGCCGGCAGAGGGGCTTCGGTTGGTCGTAACCTTCCGTCACGTCGTACCAACCGCCCGTATCTGTTAACGCGACGCCCTCTACCCCCTCGCAGCAGTTCATGATGGCGTTCCTCTCGTCGTTTCCGTCGTGATTGTTCGGTTCCGTGCCCATCCAATTCGTGTACGTGGCATCGGATCCATCCACCCACCGCCACGTCTGGCTCGCCTTGGGCGTCCAAGCGTTTCCGCCGATTTCTTCGAGGCCGATCCAGCACGTCGCGCCGCCGCAGGCCGTCCGCGCGAGCTCGTTCTCCGCCGCGCTGCGGATGGACGCGATCGTGGCCCCGATCTCCGTGCAGAAGGCCTCGGCCTCCGGATAGTTGAGGCCCTCGGGCCCGCGGACGAACGTGGTGTTCGTGGCGTTGGCTCTCGGGGCGTGGAGGAGGAGCGCCGCTACAGCGGCGGCGCGCATCGTGGCGTTGGAGGCTGCCCGAGTGATTGTGACGGTGGTGTCAAGCCCTGAGCGGCTGGGGGCTGCAAGTGCGGTGCTGTTTATACTGGTTCGCAGCGGTCGAACTACCCCGGTGTTGGCGCCCCGATGCCAATTCGTGCTGCAGCGCTGGCGCCCTCCAAGTCAAGTGCCGCACAGAATCCAAAGGCATAGTCCGGATCCCTCGCCCGGACCGATGCGTCGTCGGAGACCGAATCCCAAAGCCGAATCCAGAATGCTAGTGTCTTAGGCCGCTAGCAAGCCCCTCCCGGAGCCAAAAAGCTGGGCTCCGCGTTCTGCGCTCGCCCGGGGACGTCGCATTTTAAAAGCTCAGCACTGTGCTGCGCGGGCGTTCCTTGCCCAACACAGCTAAAGAGTAGGATGTCACTTCGCGGCCGCTGGGAGTCCCTGCGGCTCGACGCCGATGCCGTCCTCAGTAGAGCAGGACCGGCCTTCACAAAATGGGCGCGGGCGGCCGGCCCGCGCCTCGCACAGACAGCGCATGACTGGGGTCCGCGCCTCGAGCGGATGGGCTGGGCCCTCGTCGAGCTCACGGCCGGGCCGAAGCGAGCGATGAGACAGCTCGCGCTCGCTGTATGTCTACAGTGCGGCGTCGTCGCCTGGCACGTTTTAAGAAAGGGACGAACCAGCCGACGCAGCAAAGAGGAACAATCACTAATAGACGCTTTGGCCCGCGCGCCCACCCAGGACGCGTGGGGCCGGGCCGCGGCGGCGCTCGACGCGGCCGACGGGAGCGACGCCTGGCGCGCTAGAGGTGGCAGTGGCGAGAAGCTGTTGGATTCCAAAAGATTGGCCGAGGCGACGCAAAGGCTAGCGCAGATCCCGCGGGGGCGACGGGGCGGAGTGCATGGCGCGATGTACGCGTTGCGGGGCGGCGCTTTACTATCAAGGGGCGCTCATGGGTTGTTAGAACCGCGGCTTCACGCAAGAGCGCGAGCCGGCGGCCCCGCGCTGGTGGAGGCTTATTTAACGGCGGCCACGGCGGCGCTCGAATACGTCGCTACAGCCCAGGACCCGACGGTGCCCATTGATGCTCGTTTAGCTTTTTTTAATGAGTGCCGGCACGCGCACGGTCGGACGGCATTGTTGTTGTCGGGTGGCGCGGGCATGGGGATCTATCACTTGGGTGTTGTGCACGCGTTGAGACGGGCCGGGTTGTTGCCGAGAGTCGTCTCGGGCGCGTCCGCTGGTTCTATTGTGGCCTCGTTGCTATGCTGTCGCGACGATAAGGAGATCGAGGAGTTGTATGACGCCGTAAAGAGGCAAAGGGGCAGGAATCTTGATGACGAGGCTATTGATGAACTCGCAAGTGATAAGGTCGCGGTGTACTTCGGCGAGGCGCATCCTACCGTGAATTTGCCACGAACGACCTCACGAGAGACATTTCGCAAATTAGAACAGAAAGCTCATACAGTATACCGATTGGATTTCTTCCGCTGGCGGTCGGCAGCATCTTTAAGGGATGACCTGCTAGCTGGTTTGAGAGGCAGACGCTTGCGAGAGCCGGCGGTCATGAACGGCGACCACCTCGCGGAAGTGATCCGAGCGGACGTCGGTGGTGACGTCACGTTCCAGGAGGCGTTCGACAAAACGGTGCTGAGTCAGCGTAGAAAATGAACTTGAACCTGACGTGATCGCGGCGATGGTGTCTTCATGAGACTGCACCGCCTCGACGTCGTCGACGCGGCCGCCAGAGCGCCCACGCGCCTCGTGAGAGAGTTCGCGGTCGTTTCGCGACGGTGCCGTTCCCACACAGGGGCGGATCCTAAACATCCCCGTGAAAGCTATCGACCAGATCGACGACACGCGGAAGGTGCACGTCAGGATGCTCAATTACTTGACGGCTCCTCATGTGGTGGTCTGGTCCGCTAGTCGGGCGTCGTGCTCCGTGCCGGGTGTCTATGCTCCGTTTCCCTTACTAGCGCGGGATCCGGACGGTTCTTTGAGGTACGAGGGCCAGGATAGTCACGACGATCATTTCGAACCGACGCTGTATGTGGACGGGAGCATGGGTGCCGACTTACCCATAGAAACGATGAAGGCCATGTTTAACTGCGACCACTTCATCTGTTCGCAAGTCAATGCGCATGCCGCGATTCTGGGTGATTCAGCTTTGAGATTGACTGGTGCGGAGGCTCCTGGTGTTCTGGAGGACCGAGTGTCGTTGAGGACGTGCCGAGAGACCCCAGGCGTCGAGGACGCCGCGTTGGCTGGTCTGGCCTTCCTAAAGCACCAGTTGAAAGCGTGGGTGGCCGCCGGCGCTAGGTTTTGTGCTACATTGCAATTAGGTAGAGCGGCCACTGCGATCGGCGCCGATTTGATTCCCTGGCAATTGGGTGGGTGGGGCCTCGCTCTGTTGACACAACCTTATGAGGGTAGACCCGAGGACGTGACCATCGTGCCCTGGGCCGGCCACCTGTCGTTGTTCGGTTCTGTACTCAGTTCATTGACGAACGCGACCGGAGATGGTGCTCTGAGACTGGAAGCGGTGCTGGATGCTGGGGAAAGAAACACGTGGCGGGAGCTGCCCAAGATCAGAGATCACTGTGCGGTCGAGGTGGCCCTGGAGACGGGCGTGCAGCGATTGCGACGATCTTTGCTCGCGGCGCGCCGTTCGGGATCGCCGCAGACGGCGTCGTTAGGTCGCACTCCCTCATTCTACACGTCGCCCTCTCTCCTGCAGCTGAGCGGCCTGAACGTCGTCGATCCCGCGTTAAACAGAAGCGCCGACCCCGACTCGCCCCCGTCGTCCGGCGAGGACGGCTTCGTCGAGGTGCCGAAGCAGCGGCCGCGGTCCCAGTCCGAATCCGGGCCCATCCTCAAGTCCATGCACATGGCGAACTTCTACTACCGCCACAGCAACCGGAGCTCGCGGTCGCTGAACAGCCAGCGGTCGGTCTCCGAGCAGTCCTCGCTGGACAACTACTTCTAAGACAAGACTTGTGTGATTTACTACTACTATTCCCATTCCTGCCTCTGCTCGACGGCGTGGAGGTCGACACCGAGCAACGGACACAGAACGAGCCAGTCAGGCGTGGGGGTTGTACCGCTCGCACTTCTGGCCGACGGGCACGCCGCCGAAGGGGTTGTCCCTATAATAACCCTGGCCGCGGTCGCCCCGTCGAAAAACCATGCCCGGCTTGTGGCCCGCGAACGTTTTGGACGGGTAGAAGCTCAGGTTGCCCGGGAGCGCCGCCGTCTCGTTTGGTGCTCGGTCCCTATAATAGCCCTGGCCGCGGTCGCCGCGCTTAAACACGCGGCCCGGCCGGCGGCCGGCGTACGTCGCGCTCGCCTCGAACTCCGGCACGTCTGATGAAGGCGTGTCCGCTTTATCACCATCGTCAAGCGGCGGCGGCCACGTCCACGACGTCTTCTTGGAGTCGACGTGGTAGTAGTAGACCGCTCCCGTCTTTTCGTCGCGCGCCGACTGCCACTTGGCGTAGGGGTCGGGCTTCGCTCTTTTTGCTGGCGGATCGCTCATGTTTTCTTTTGACGCTGGCGCGAGCTCGAGTAGCCCGAGTAGCCCCGCCTCGCAATCGCAATGGATTTTACGGACCCTGCAGCGCAAAGGTCGTGCAGCAGGTTTACACGCGTTTGGCGTCGCAGTGCTCGTGCGGCGGCTTCGCGTGGAATAAAAAATGATCGCTGCGAACCACCAGGCACTGGTGGTGCGTGTAGGCAGCCAAAAATATGAAAAGCGGCCTTGTTTCTAGTGTCTTACTGGGCTAGCTGTGCAAAAGCGGCTGGCGCCGCCTACGCCCGTAGACGGGTGCTCTGCTAGCCAAGAAGGCCACAGCACGTCGGCATTTCATCAGTGCAGCTCGGGGATTAGACCTTTGAGCAGCACTCACGCTGCAGCGGCACGCCATCGCAGCGTCCAGCCATCGCAGCGCGGCACAGACATGGCCGACGACGCGACAGAACGACTCCTGAAAGAACAAGCAAGAGCCCACGGCCTCGACGCCTACGCGCCGGAGCCAGAAGGCGTCGCCCCAAAGACCATCGCCTATGCCATACGCCAAGACGCTGAACGCGACGAGGCGGCGCTGCGCGGCTTCGCGGGGCTGCGGGGCGGCGCGAGCAGTAGCTTCGAGATCGGGGCGCAGTGGAGCGCTGCACCCGCGCCGCCCGCACCCGCGCCGATAGGCCTGGACCTGACGGCGTTCGACTCAGTGGAGGCGCTCGCGGCCGAGGGCCTCGACGCGCTCAAGGCGGAGCTGACGCGGCGCGGCGCCAAGGCCGGCGGCACGGCGGACGAGCGCGCGGCGCGGCTCTGGCGCATCCGTGGCCTCGCGCCCGGCGCGGCGCTGCCGGCCGACCTGCGGGCGAAGCAGAAGCGCCCGAAGCCTCCAAAGCCGCCGACGGAGGAGGAGCCCCAGCGCGCGCGCCGCGGCCCCGCCGCGCCCCCCAAACCGCCGAAGCGACGGAAAAAACAACCACCACAGGGCCACCTCATCGCCACGTCGACCTTCTCGAAGAAGGAAAGAGGCATCCTGGACTTCGCGGGGACGAGTAGTAGACGATAATGTGAACGTGAACTTAGGACAAATCGACGCCGTCGACGGGGATCCAGATGTCCGAGTCGACGTCCCAGTCGTCGCCGGCGCCGATGGCCGACGACGCCGCGAGGCCCTTCGCCGAGTCGTACTCCTCGTCGCCCGCCACTAATTTAGGGGTCAGCGACAGGCCGAAGGGGAACTTGACGCACTCCGTGCCGCCCTTCATGAGCGCGCGGATGTTGCCGTGCGAGTCGCCGTTCGGGTCGGCCTTGACCTCCCGGTAGACCTCGCCGTAGCACTTGAGCGCCGTCTCGGTGTCCATCTTCGTGAGGTAGGCGTAGCTCAGGATTTTCGAGGACTTGACGTTCGTGCCCGGCTTGTTCTCGACGGCGCCCACCGAAAAGCCGACGTCCGTGTATTCGAACTCGCTGTCGATGACGGCAATCACGTCGTCCATCTGGACGTCGTTGTTGGCCACGGTGTCCGCGTAGTCCTTGGCGGCCTGCGTGACCTTGCCGGCCGCACCGGGGTCCGTTGAGAGGCCATCATACCACGATCCTTCTTTCCTCGGTGCGTTGAGTAAAGCCGAGCGCACGACCGGGCTGGGCGCTCTTGCTACAGGTGCAAGGAGGGCGGATGCCGAGCCGGAAAGCAGCGCCAATGCGATGATAAGACGTGCCATGATAACCTTGAGCACTCTCGCCGTCAGAACTTGCAATACGACAGCACACGGAGCAAGGATTGGAGAGACACGCAGGCAAAAATAATCGAGCTAGCGCTTGTAAGACACTAGCAAACTTAAAATTACTCGTCCTAGCACCGTAACTATACATTCTCGTCAACTCACGCCCTCATCGACGACTTCAAGCACCGGCCCGCCCGCGGGAAACAATCGCGCGTCGAGATCGAACCCGGCCTTCCGGAGCGCGTCGTCGATGGCGTCGAGGGAAGCCTCGTCGGGCGCCACGCCTCGTCGCGCATGTAACAACGCGGCCCGCTCGTCGCGCGGCGTCGCGCCGGCGAGCAAGCCGACGACCCGTCCCGGCAGGCACACGTAGCGGCCGCGCGCCTCGCGCAGGAGCTCGGCGAGCAGCGCGGGCCGGTCGCGGACGCGCCGCAGCAACACCGACGCGCCGGCGGCCCGAAAGCCGTCGGGGGCGCCGATGACGCGGTCGCGGGCCGCCAGCTCCGCCGGCGTGGGCGCCCGCCCGGTCGTTTCTACGGCGTCGACGGCGAGGTAGAAGCGCCGCGCGCAGCCGAGGCGTCGCAAGCGGAGGATCTTGAGCCCCGCGGCGCAGCAGACGACGTGCAGCGCCGTCAACGCGCCGAATGCCGCCCATGCCGTCTTCACGCCACCAAGGTTGCCCCGACTGGCGAGCCCCGCGCCCGCCAGGCTCAGGCCCAGGCCGAGGAGCCCCGAGAGAGTGCCCACAGCTGCACCTTTAGCCTGCACTTCCGCAAAATCCGCGCTCGACGCCGCCCAGTGCGCGCTGACCGCCGCGTTGGCGCCGCCCGCCAGCACGCCGCAGAGCGCCTTGAGCACCGACGCGGCGCAGAGCATCGGCACGAACATTGATCGTGGCGCGTGCGGCGTCGCGAGCTCAATAACTAAAGCAGCGTCGACGCACACGTCGCCCAGGAACCGCCACCGCCGGCAGTCTCCATCTAAGCGGGGGGCTAACCGAGCGGTCGCCGCTAGACTCGCGACCATGCCCGACGCGTCGCGCGAGAGCCACGCGACGGTGGCGGCCAGCGCGGTGGCGGCGTTCCCGGAGCCCATGCCCAGCCCCTGAAAAACAGCGGACGTCGCCAGCGTGCTTCGCAGCTGCGTGGACAGATCTTGTGCGACGTGCCACGCTTGGTAGCGCGTGTACTCCGGCGCGACCGTCGTCGAGGGCACCAATGCATCCCTCGCCGCGGCCTTCAAAGAGCGGAGCGATGGTCGTTGATTCGTGAGTGGCGTGATGCGGTCGCTGACCCGCCATTTCCTCGCTGCTCCGCTGCCTCGGCGCTCGCTCAGCACCACGTCGAGGGCTTGCGCTCTTGTGAGCAGCGATGCGACGACCACAGCGCCGCGTCGACGCGATTGCATCGCGACTGCTTGCTGTGCAGAGGCTGCAGTGTAGGGAATGCACGGCTGCTGGCGCTGCGCAGAGACGCTCACAGCTCTCGTCCCGTTTCGTAGCTGTAAATCACAACGTGTGAGCGTATTTTTCGAATCTCGGAGCATTAATGAGGCAAAATGGCACATGCATGCCTGAAGCACACAAAACCTGAGGCGCAAAACAGAGGTCGCTCAAACCGCGCAAGAAGCCGTCGAGGAGTCCAAGAGCAAGTGCTGCGGCGGTAGAACAGATCCCGCTACCCGTGCGGCCACCGCTGCGGCGGCCAGATTTGGCAGACTGGAGACTGCTCCGCGGCGCTCCTGGGCCCGCCATACGTGCTTTTTAGTCGGCCGCAAGCGCTTGCCAGCCCGCCTATCACCTGCACCCATTGCTCCCGCAAGCGGTGGCCAGGACTCGCGGCAGAAGCCAGCATCACCATTACCCTCTGCTGCAGCTGGGCTCACCACCACCGCGGACGACCAAATTAAAGAAATGCCATCATCATGAGCGCCGTCCTCGAGCGCTGCATAGCGGCGAAGCGATCGGCCCAGATCGCCCCCGTGACGCCGCCGCACTGGCGCCGCGAGATCCAGGGCGACGCGGGCCGCTACGACGGCGCCTTCAGCTACGCGCTGCCCGGCGCCGCCAAGACGCTGGAGATCGCCGAGACGGCGGCCTCGACGGGCACAAAGGTCTGGGACTGCGCCGTCGCGCTGGCGCGCATGTTCGAATACAACACCAATAAAACAGCGTCCCCCCTCGCCATCCGCGCCAGCGAGCGCGTGCTGGAGCTCGGCGGCGGCAGCGGGCTCCTGGCCCTCGCGCTGGCGGCGCTGGGCGCCGACGTGACGACGACGGACGCCGCGCCGGTCGTGCCGCACCTCCGCAAGACCATCGACGCGAACGCGGGTTCCGTGCCCCGGACGCCGACGGTCGCCGCGCTCGACTGGCGCGACGCGGACCACACAACAATGGGCGCCTTCCCCGTCGTCGTCGCGAGCGACGTCCTCGTCTGCGTCCAGTGGGCCGAGGACGTGGCTAGGGTGCTCGCGGCCGTCGCGGCGGAGGCGCGCCTCGTCGTCGTCGCGACGCAGCGGCGCCGCGACGGCGTGGCGCGCTTCCTCGAGGCGGCCTCGGCCCATTTCACGGTCGAGGAGCTGCGCGAGGACTCGTTCCACCCCGACTACTACCACCACGACCTCCAGGTCCTCGTCCTGACTCCGCGCTGAGGAGTCCCTGCTGTTCCCCCCTGTCGCTTCGTCCCGCTCACGCCTGAAAATGTAAGAAGAAATTGGCGAATTATACTGACTACATACCGCGCAGGCTTCGGCCTCAGGCTCAGGCTCAGGCTAGTTACGTCGCGGGGTCCCTCTTGCTAGTGTGTTACATACCGCTAGCTCTCGACCGCGCGGCAAAAGCCAAAAAAAGGCGCTGTACGGGTGCACGCATCCTCAGCGGCAAGGAGCAGACCACCACAGTCCAAACGCTTCGCAGCACCAGCCGTTTCACTACTCACAGCGATGCTCCGCCGCGAGCCCACGCGCATCGAGATGAAGTCCGAGGACCTGGAAGAGTTCGACCGCTTCCAAGCCCAGCAAAAGAAGGCGGCCAAGGAAGAGGCGGGCGCACCGGAGAGCAAGCAGGACGACCGCAAGGCCGCGCGCGAAGGCCGCATCGGGCTGCGCTCCGACTCGCCCAACTACTAGATGCGGCGCGTGCTCGTGTCCTGTGTGATTATGGCGGCGCTCGCGCTCGTGCCGCCCTCGGTGCAGCTCGGCGCACTGCGGCGCGGCGAGCGACTCGCATCGATGCCGTCTTCCACAAAACCGGCCCCGAAGAACCGACGCAAGAAAAGAAAACCGGCCCAGAAGAAGAAGCGCGGCGCGCGGCCGCGCGGCAACGTCGCGAACGTCCACTGGCGGGCGATCCCGGCGCGCGCCCTGCGCTCTCACCCCCTCTATCTCGGCCTGCCCCCGGCGCGCGACGTCTGCGGCGAAGGCGGCGCGGACCTCGGCCGCGCGGCGCTGTTCCGCCAGGACGCGTGGCGCTGGGACGCGCTCCACGCGGGGCGCCTCACGGGCTCGCGCGTCGCCGCCGTGTGCGGCCTCCTGGAGAGCGATGCGGCAAACACGCTGCGCATCCCCAAGAGCCTGGCCGGCCACGGCAGAGCGCTTAGAGCGGCGTCGCACCTCCGCGAGCGACCGGATGCTAGTCTCCTAGCAGAGGTCTTCCGCGACGGCGACTACGACGACGACGAGGACGCCGGCGAGTGGTGCGCCGATGCCGACTCGGCCTACGCCTACGACTGGGCCGGATCGCCGGATAGGGGCGGGCGCCGCTGCGGCGACGCCATGGCGGCGCGGCTGGCCTGGGGCAAGACGCAGGAGGGCATCGGCATGCTCGCCGCCGTCAATGCCCTTGAGGGGTCGGTCGCCGAGACCGGCTTGCTCTGCGCGGAAGCGCCCGGCGCCGTCGACCGCCTCGCGGAGCGCTGGCCGGTCAAACCGCGCACAATAAGGCCGGCTCCGCGTAAATGCCCCGTCGGCGCGAGCCCCGACGGCCTTATAATATATGACGACGGCGCCCTCGACGTCCTGGAGATCAAGTCCGTTGCGCCCTTCGTGCGCGGCTCGGGCAACAAGACGATGGAGCTCTACGACCGCGGGCCCCACGACAACCTGGCGCCCTGGATCGTGCCCCACCGTGCATAAATCAAATGTGGTCGCGGCACGTCTCTGCCACTGCTGAATCATGTCTGGGTCCATTCACTGGTTGATTTGTGCACAGGTGCCCCAGGTCATGCTCGAGATCTACTGCGCCGGGGCGCGTGGGGCTATCCTCGTTTCGACCTCAGCGACGCGCGGCGCTGTTTTCATGCGCGTCGAGCGCGACGAGGCCTACATCGCGTCGATGCTCGAGTTCGTCGACAGCTTCTACGAGCGGTTCTGCGACCCGACAGCGCCTGAGGACCCCGGGCCGTGTTTCAACGGCGGCGCGGCCTTCGACGCGTTCGTGGCGCGCACTGGTGAAATTGCGCGGGCGGCGACGGTCGTCGAGCGCGTGGAAAGCCTCCAGCGGGCGCCACCAGGGGATAGGTTCTTCCTGGATTAACTCTTTGCCTGTGATGCGACCCGCACCTCCCAGCTTTGAGCCGGCTAGCCGTGAGAGAGCATGTTAAAAGGAGTGCGCAGGGAGTGCCGTGCGCGGCGTGTCGCCCACGCATGGAACCTCACGCAACATAAATAAGCGTCCATCGCTGCCCCTCGTAAAGCGGCGCTGCCCCATAGAAACAAAAACATGTCCACAACAGCACTCGCGGCCCTCGTCGCGGACGCTGCGTCGGCGGCCCACGGCGAGGCCCGCCGCATGGCCTACGGTATGCTCGCGAACAGCGTCGAGGCCACGAAGGAGGCGTCGGTCCAGTTCGCGGCGGACGCGCGCTGCGTTGACGTGTGCTTGCGCGGCCTCGAGGCGGGCGACGAGGCCATTCGCGTCGCGGCCGCGAAGTGCGTCAAGGCGGCGGCCAAGCGCGCGCCGGCGTTCCGCGGCGCGCTCGCGAAGAAAGGGGGCATCGCGCCGCTCGTGGCCATGGCCGAGACTGGGTCAGTGGAGGCGGCGATGCGTGCCGCCTGGGCCCTGGCGAACCTCGCCGTGGATTCCGCGGCGAACAAGACGGCGATCCGCGAGGGCCGCGGCCTGGCGGCGCTCGTCAATTTGCTGCGGCGGCAGCGCGCGGCCTCGCCGCTGGCCGCCAGCTCGCTCCGCAATTACGAGGGCGAGGCGCTCCGCGAGCGCGCGGCCCAGGGCCTGGACGCCCTCTGCCAGGGCGACGCGAAGAACCAGGAGGCCGTCGTCCTGGCGGGCGGCGCGGAGCCCCTGGTCAGGCTGCTTCGTGACTCAAAAGCGACCCAGATGGCGCGTTTACGTGCTGCATTTGCCACGTATCGCCTCGCGACGTCGCCAGCGAACTGGCGCGCCCTTGGCGAGGCCGGTGCGCCGGAGGCGCTGGCGGCCGCAGTCGACGACCACCTGCGGGACGGGCCGTCGGGCCCGCGCGGGTTGCACGACGACGACGGCGCGGTGGCCGCCGCCGCCGCATTAGCGCTGCTTCCGCCGAAGTCCGGGGGCGAAGAGGCGGAAACCTGGGCGACCCAAGCCGTCTGCGAGCATTTGAACAAGAAGCTCGACGACGACAAGGCGGGGCGGGCGATGCGGCTGCGAGATTTCACGCTGGCCGCGCGTGCTCTCAGTGGAAGAGCGTCCGCGGGAGAAAGGGCGGAAGCCTTTGCGAAAGCGGCGGCGCCGGCGCTGGTGCGGTGCCTCCTGCGGGACGGATGGCGCACGGGCGGGCCTGGTGGCGAGTCGCCGGAGGCGTACCGGTTGTTATGCTTGGGGGACTGCGCGGAGTCGGTCCTCCAGCTCGCGTGCGTCGGCGACAACACGGCGTCGATCCTACGCACGGCGGGCGCCGTCGCGGCGCTCGAGAAACTTAAGGGAGAGACGGACGGCCGGTTGCGAGAAGCGGTGCGGGGCGCCGAGCACCACCTCGCCCTCGGCTTGATACGATCGAACTCGCCGATCAAGTCGCACTCCTCGAAGCGCTACGACGTCTTCCTTTCGCACAAACAGACGGACGCCAAGGACTTTGCGCGCGCGCTGCACACGATGCTTACATTACGGCGGTACAAGGCTTTTCTGGATATGGAGTTCGACGGGTCCCTGGACACGCTCCAGGAGTACGTGGCGTCCTCGAGCGTCTTCGCCTTCATCCTGTCCGAGAATGTATTGGATAGCCCGTGGTGCGTCGCCGAGCTCACGGCGGCGGTCGATAGCGGCGTGCCTGTGGTGGTCGTAAAGAAAGAAGGCTCGCGATGGCGCGACCCGAACACGGGCAGCCTATCGCTCACGTTCCCGGGGCCGGACGTCCTGAAGAAGCTGCCGGCGCGCGTGCAGCAGGTGTTTCAAATAAAAATCGTCGAGCACTCGGACGTCTACTACGCGCCCTTCATCGACAAATTTTTTGATAGATTAGAGGAGGCGGGCCTGCCGCCGGCCGAGGACCCCTACGCGCTGACGACGGAGGAACTGGAGGGGTTGGAGAGAGGCGGCCGGCCGCGCCTGCGGCACATGCTTTCCATGATGGACGGCCGGCGGCCGTCGCTGGACGGGCGGTCGTCGCTGGACCGGCGGTCCTTCGACGAGGACGGCTCGCAGCCGACGAGCCCCGCGTCCGCCGCCGCGCGCCGGCTCGATCCTCTTGATGAGGTTACCTCTGCCACGACGGCGGAGACGCTGACCGTCCAGTTAGATAGGAGGACGCTCTACGTCCTCGCGGCGATCGGCGCGGGCGCGGCCGTCTTTGCCTCGATCGGGACGGCCGTCGCGGTCCTCCTCCTCGTGCCCCGATGACGGCACTTCCTCCGAACCATCCATTCGACTCTCTGTATGCCTTAATTGATATTCTATAGCTATCCTCTCTTCAGATGGACGCGATGAGCTGAGGCTGAGGCTGAGGCTAGTTACGTCGCAGGGTTCCCCGTACCCCTCCCGCTCCCCCTGGGCCCACCCGTCCGGCTGGACTAGGACGCAAGGGCTGAGTCACAGGGACTCGCACGCCCCCCCTTCTTTTGGGACGACCCCCGTCAGGATGTGGAACTGGCCGCTGGCTCCTCTTTTACGACGAGCCGGAAATCAAGTGGTGAGAGAGATGCCCTCGCACACCAGGCCGAGCAATCCTGAAGCGGGGAGCGAGAGCTCCGACCCGCCCAGACGGCCCTTGACAATAACTCGTCGGAACGGAACTAATGGGTTCAATGGATGCCACGGCGATTCGGAGGGCCTACGAAAGCTCGGCTGGCGCGGCCAAGGTTACGGGGGGCGGCATGCCGCCGCCCCCAACGCCTCCCAGGTCGAGACCGGCTCCGCTCCGTAGGGTCGGTCCGGTCGCAGGCAGATGAGGCTCGCCGCCATGCCGGCGGCAGAACTTCAGGAAACGGGCCGGATACCTCCGAACGCGCACCACTCGATGCCCGAGGATGGGTGCCGTCCGTGTTCCGGGCTCGACCCGCCAATGATAAAGAAAGTAGGCGCGCCATGCCGGCGACGCCCAGAAAGAAAGTTGACGCGCCATGCCGGCGACGCCCGGAAAGAAAGATCGGCTGACCCGGCCGTGCGCGTTCACGATGGAGCCCCCCGGCTGTGCGCGTTCACGATGGAGCCCCCGCCGAAACGCCGCGCCGTCACCACGGGGTAGAGGGGCGAAAGGTAAAAGTCGGGCGAAGGCCAGGCGGCGGCGCGACGCGGCAGCTAAGGCAGCCCCCAAGCTGAAGGCCGTGCTCAGCGGGTTCTGGGCCATTTTTCACGCGGGCAACTCTCATTTCCGGGCTAACAGGGGCGGCGCTGCACGTCGCGGGCAGCCCGGGGTGCGCGGGGTGGCTAGGGGGGCGCGCGCGCACAGCGGAGGCTAAGCTGATTGCTAGTGTCTTACACGCCGCTAGCACGGATTTACTCGAGTGCCTGGCCAGTTTTGGGGGCTTAAACGAACGAGGAACCAACAGGGCTGCAAAAGCAATGCGTACCATGCCTAACAGTACGCGTGCACGCCAGTGATGGCAAGGCAGGAGATCGACGTAGCCGAATGCCTGAGAAGGGGCGCCATCGGTGCGCTAGGAGCCATCCCTGGCACGCTGGCCGCGCACCCGATCGATTTGGTCAAAATAAGGATACAGACGGGCGCCGGCTCGGCGCGCGCTGCTGTTCGAGGCCTCGGCACGCGCGCGAGCGACTGGCCGCGCTACTATAGAGGATTGGGCCCCGGCGTGCTGCAGAAGGCGGCGACGCGCGGGCCCATGTTCCTCGCGTCGGAAATCGGCACGCAGTGCTGCGAGACGGGCTTTGGTATGCCGCGCGAGCGGGCGCTCGTCGTCGGCTCGCTGTCGAGCGGCTACGTGACGGGCTTCCTCGCCGCGTCCTTCGAATGGGCGAAGGTCCAGCGGAGCCTCGGCGCCACCGTCGGTAGCGTCTCTGCGAAGCGCAGATTGGCCGTCTGCCACGGCGCGGGCCTGCGGAACGCCGTCTTCGACGCGACGTTCTTCGGCACGGAGCACGTCGCGCGGCGCTATGGTAATTTGCCGCCCGAGGCGACGTACGCGCTCGGCGCCGTGGCGGCCATCACGCTCGACTTTCCTCTGGATGTGGCCCTGAAACGTAACATGGCCGCGCCGACGACGTCGCCCGTGCCGCGCGTCGGCGCGACGCTGCTCGCTTTTAGGCTGCTCCGCGACCGGGGCTTCCGAGTCGTCTTCGCGGGCCTCGGCGTCAAGAGCTGCGAGTTCGGCGTGAGCTACGCGTGCACGGGCTACGTGTCGACTTTTTTTCGATAGTATTGTGTGTAATTGTCGGTTCGATACAACAGTATACTTAGAAGACCGCTCGCAAATAACGAGCCGCGCGTTTCGCGCGACGGGCTCGTCGAGGAAACGAATTGACGGGCAGACTAGGCGAAGCCCAGCGCCGCGAAGGTCGAGTAGGCCATCGGCCGGATGGGCGGGTGCGGCGCCGCGTTGAACGTCGCGAAGCGGGGTACCAGATCTTGGGAGAGGTGTACAAACGCCCCTTGATTCCCAACAGCGTCGCAGTAGTTCGGCGCGCTGAAGACTGTTATTAACAGTCCACCGTGTTCGACCTCGTAGCCCCGATCCCGCACTTCATGGGAACGAACTACCAACGCCAAATCGGACCGCTCCAGGAACCGCTTCGTCACATCAGGACCGAAGGACAACCCGACGCCCCTCCGAGACGGCTGCCGCCCGGGGAACGGCTGCGGATCAGACCAAAGCACGTCGCAGAACAGACCGAGCTCGGGCGGCTCGCACCGCCGCTCAATTTTGCGGATGTCTTTGAGAGTAGATTGGTCCTCCGACGGCAGGCCGCCGTGGACGACCAGACACCGCTTATGTAACACGCAACACAACGGCAGCCGCACGAAGCACGCGTGGAACATTTCGAGGACGTCGTCATCGTACTTATGCCGGACCTCGCCGTCGAAGCCGTAGAACCGCGCCATCGTTCGCGTTTCGTGGTTGCCCCGGTTCAAGTGGACGCAGTTCGGATGCTGGACCTTGCACGCCAACAACGTGATCGCCACCTCGAAGGAAAAAGACCCCCGATCGACGAAGTCGCCGTTGAAAATGTACGGGTTCGTTTGGCTCGGTAATCCGTTCGCCTCGAAGATCGTCAATAGGTCGTAGAACTGACCGTGGACGTCCCCACACACGGTCACGTGCGGCGCGTCGGTCGGTGTTTCTAAGTCGACAACGGTCGCCTCCTTCTCGAGCAAGTCCTTGGCTTGGGTTAAAATGGACACGACGACGTCCCGCTTCAGCAGTTTCTGCTGCTTGAGGTGCTCCAGTGATTGTTTTATATATGTATCAGTGACGCGCCCATCGTCAAGCTCTGGGCCGTCGACCTCCGTCGGCGGGGATAGCGGCGCTATTATAGGCTCCTCCGGTGATGAGAGAGGCTCGAGCAAGCGGGCCGTGACCCAGCCCTCGAGCGGTGCAGATATCCTCACGCGCGCGGCGCCCTCGACGGCGTCAGTAGCAAGTTCGACAATAGCCCCGCGAGCCAACTCGCCAACTAACGTGCTCTCGAGGGACCGCTGCTGTCGCACGAGGACGCCCCGCTTGCCCGCGACTCTTCTCAAACGCCCTCCGCCCTCCGGGTCCTCTTCCTCATCGTCGGCCTCGCGGACCCAGGGGCCCATGGTGTTGCGCCTCCTCCCGGCCGGCGGCGGCGGCCGCGGCGTGCCGGGGTCGCTGCCGAATGTGGCCATTGCTACTTTTGTATGGTTATGTGTCTGTGGAATGAAAGCACTGGCGCAGCGAGCGTCTAGCTCCGATGGCCGCGCGGCTGTCCCATCGTCGTCCTATGCTCCTGAAGTGCTGCCCTTGTGATTTTTTGCTGCCGTTCTCTGGCTTTAGGCACCGGCAACAAACACTCAAAAAAATGAATTCCTTTCTCACGGCAGCTGGCGCGGCGCGCGCGCGCCAGCGGTCCGGGTGCGACGCGTCGCATCGGTCGCAAGAGGCTGGGAAGGTTCCGGATTTATGGGCTAGTGTGTCGGTACGCTAGCTCGCTTTTGCCGGCTTCCTCCGCGCGGCAGCCAATTTGACTCAGGTGGCATCATTCGTGGACCAGGTTGTCTCGCCGCGAAGCCATAGCAAGCCTCAGCTAAACACCACAGCTTCCAGAAGCCCCAGTGAGCGCTTACAGCCATGGCGGACGACGCCGAGGTCGACGCGCTCAAGGCCGCGGGCAACGACGCGTTTAAGAAGGGCGACTTCAGCGGGGCCGTCAGCAACTACGACAAGGCCATATTGTTGGCGCCGAAGAATCATTTGTTGTATTCGAATAGATCACTGGCCAAACATTCAGCGGGAGATTTTGTCGCGGCCGAAGCGGATGCAAGGAAATGTCTCGAGCTCGCGCCGGACTTCATGAAGGGTGTGTATAGATTAGCGAACGCCCAGCTCGGCCAGAACGACGTGGACGCGGCCGAGGATACCGTGAGGAAAGGTCTCGCGCGCGACGCGGAAAACCCTGAACTTAAAAAACTCGTAAGGGTCATCAAAGGTAGGAGAGATAAGGCCAAACGTAAAGCAGCGGTCCAGGCGGCTACCGGTGCTGCCGATGAAGCGAGGGGCGCCTCTGGTGTGGACGAGGCCACGAAACGCGAAGCGCAGCAGTTAGCAGAAAGAGTGCAGCAGCACGAGCGGGAACTAAGGGAGACGCAGGCGCGGCTCGGTGCTTTGAGGAGAGAAACGGCTCGTACGCAGATCACGAAGAACGAGATCGACGCGCTCGAGGGAAATACGGAGGTGTATCGAAGCGTCGGCAAGATGTTTTTGTTGAGCGACAAGAAGGGTGTCGGGGAGTTACTAGATGGCCAGATGAAGCGGGGGGAAGAGCGGACGGCGCAGTTGACCGCTAGAGCCCAGTTCTTGGATCGCAGGGTCCGCGAGCAGACGGCGGAGTTCCAGCAGCTCGTCAAGCAGGCGACGGCCTAGAGTAACACATTTTACGCGATAGCTTCGTACTTCGCGAGGGGCGCCTCCGGCAGTTGCACCAGCAGTCCCTGCGACGACGGCCCCCGCTGGAGGCAGCACGCGACCTTCGGAGCGACGACGTAGTCGAAGCGCGTCGACAGCGCCATGCGCGCATGCGCGTGCAACGACGGCAGCACGAAGAGTAGTAGGTCCGCGACGGGGAACGCCGCGAAGGAGAGCACGCGAGACACTCGTATTTCTTTCAATGAAGACGCGTCGGGGCCGCCGCAGCCCCGGTCCCTGCTCAAAATATCCCGATAGCAATGATCCAAGACATTCAGCAGGACGAAGTTCGCAACAAAGAAGCCGACCCAGAGCCGGAACCGCCAGCCCGTCGCCCAACCCTCGACGAGCCAAGGCGCGGCCGCTAACACGATCCACATCAACGGGTAGAGTAAATGGTGCTCCTGCGCCGCCAATGCTACAGCTAGCTGCCGTTGGACCGGCGCGTCGCGCGTCCGCGCGGCGATGTACCCCACGTCGATGGCGCCCCACTGCCACCTTTTGGCTTGATCGTAGCAAGCCCCTATCGTCTTTGTAGCTGAGGTGTCCACCACGCACTCACACCCGACCGGCAGGAAGATGGGATCGACCTTCACGCCACCTCTCGTCGCATAAAAACACCGCAGGAACATGTGCCAGTCCTCAGGTATTACTGAAGGGTCCCAGTAGTGCGCTTCTACCGCTAAATCTAAAGCTAAGGAGTAGACCGCGAAGGGTAACCGATAATGGAGCGGATTGGACATCTGTCCTAGGAAGCCTACACTGAGTAAGGCATATCGTACCGAACATAACGTAGGCACTTTGTCGCAGTTCGGGTAGAACTGCGTGCAGGCCTGCCAGAAGGTTCGACGTCGCTGTTTGGAAGAAGCCGAGCAGTAGGCCGCCGACAGAGCCGCGAAGTGCGACGCGTGAAAATACGTGTCGGCGTCGCAAGTCGTGACCACAATTCTGTCGGATCTAACACCGAGCTCGTCGCAGTATCTTCTTTTAGCACATCTCACGGCCCAGTTCTCATTACTACTCTTGCCCGCGACCTCGCCACTTCTCAGCGTGTGCAGCGTGCAGTGCATGCCTCGGAATTGATGGGAGAACTCCTTCCTTAAAGTTTGCGCCGTGGCCCGAGCAAGAGGATCGCGGGCCTCCATCGCGAGGACCACGACTAACTGTGTCGAGGCGTCCCGTTGCTGCGCCAGGGTTGCTATAGTCCGTCGTAACGTCGCGACGTCCTCCTTGTAGTTCGGTATGGCAATCACATGCAACACATCTTCGTACCTCAGCAAGTCGTTCGAAGAAGATGCTGACGAGAAGTCATCAGGACTCTTGGCGTCGTTCCTTCGCAGCTTCGCGAGGCCTCGTAATGCACAGCTGCCCGTCAGTATATATTTCCCGAAAGAATACACCAACCAGCACTCGATGGCAATCTTCAACGCTTCCGACGCATCCGCTTTCGTGGAGGAGGCCGCCACGCCCACAACACTTAACCAGAAGACGGAGTGGAGTAAGGGATAGCGCGCGAGGACCGTCATGGTCAAACGCGCCCAGCGGCCGGGCGGCGTCGGTTGAATGTCGTCGGCGCGCGTCAGGACGAAGTCCGCTTCGCTACTCGCTACTCGTTCCGGCGCGGCGTCGGCGGCGGCAGCCATAGTTTAAGCGCCGGAGAGCGGCTTTGGAGAGCTGCAGTGAGCACGGCGTGACCGGCCAAAGTGCAGCGCGGCAATTCACAGCGATCAAAATGCGTGGCTAAACAATGAGTTATGCAGCAGCAATGATGGGACAGGACTCGCGACTGGACTCGATGAGCATGCGTGTGTGGTGGTCGGGTTTTGCGCGAACTAACCGAGACGTCTGGCGCGAGCCGCACTCTCCAGGCTCTGAAGCAGCATCGCTCCGAGGCGGATTTTGAACCCCCTATAGGCTAGCGCATTGCAGGGCATTTCCGCTGCAAAAGCAGGGCGCTAATACCACGCATCAGCACCATATCCGACGCCAACGCGATGGAAGTGGCGCAGACATAAAGAAACGGTAAAAGCATGCCACGTCTCAGCGTCCTCCCAGCCCTGCTGCTGGCCTGGACCGTGGCAAGGGCGGGGCTGCCCCAAGATGCCACTGTGGCAGACCTGCCGCCGGCGGACGAGCTGGCGGCGCGGCCGGAGAAGCGGCCGGCGTCCGTCACCGTTACGAGAAGACGGCGCCCGGACGACCCGGAAGGCATGACCGCGGCGCAGATCGTCGCGGACGTGAGGAAGGCCAGCACCAGCCGCCGCCGCCTCCAGAATGACGACGAGGGCCGCCGCCTCCAGGACATGCTCGACCTCAAGGACACGTTCGTCGAGAACGCCGAGAAGACGCGCGAGATCGACAGCGTCACGCCGTATTGGGGCAGCGCGAACGGCGGCACGCGTTTGCACATCGACGGCACGGGCTTCGCCACGGAGTTTTTTAGTGGGAAGAACAAGGTCATGATCGGCGACGACAACAGCGGCTGGGTGGCCTGCGACGTCGTCGAGGGCGCATGCACCGTCGACTGCGGCGGCGATAAACGGATCGTCTGCGACACGCGCGCGTGGACGTCGGACACGACGGCGGGGTGGTTCGACGTCTGGGTCCAGGTCGACGACACGATTAGCACGTACGACCTGATCAAGACGAACTGCTACCACTTCCTGAGCTCGACGTGGAACAGCGGCGTGCCGCGCTTGACTCATATATATCCTAGACACGCTGCTGCTGGAAGCGGTATTGCCCTGCGGGGCCAGGGACTGGGCCGATACGTGTCCGAGTATCGAACGATTTATATAGGTGCCGGAAGACCCCCGCAGGGCGGCAATATACAGGTAGAGAGCGGCTTCGTCAAGGAGGAACGGCCCACACATGCTTTGTGTCGGGCGGACGACCTGAACTTCGCCGTGAACGACAAAACCGGAGAAGTGGACTCCTTCTCCCTACCCGTGTTGGTCGAGGACGCGGTCCTCGGCCACAACTCTCCGATCACGGAAGACGCGGTGAATTGCTACCTCGGAGACTTCGCGTCGGGCTCCTACAACGCGTCGGCGCACATGTCCGCGACGGACGGGCTCGACTCCATGAGTGACGGCTCGGATCGGTACGGCGGCCTCACGTTCGAGCGCTTCACGGACCTGTCGCGGGACGCCTTCGGGGAGGTCTACGCGTTCCAGTACTACCCGCACGTTTCACAAGTCATGCCCACCGTCGGGTCGCTCGAGGGCGGCACTCTGATCACTATCAGTGGCGGCGGCTTCAGCGACGACGAGACCCAGGTCTTCGTGTCCATTGGCGGCCGCGACTGCGAGGTGCTCCGGTCGACGCTCGTGGAGGTCGTCTGTCGGACCGGGGACTTATCATCCGTCGACGAAGGATTACCGCAGGACCATCACGTCGAGCTCGGGAGCCTGGAACCTCCCGTGACGCCGGCGCCGACGCAGGACCATAGCTGGACCGTCACCGCATCAAGTGCGGTGCAAGAAGAGGGCCTCTGGTCGACCGTAAGCACCTACATGGAAGCGCCGGCCTGCGGCGTGCCGCCCTGCACGCCGTCGTGGCTCGTCCTCGCGCCGTCGGACGTCGCGCTCGACGGCTCGTACGAGGTGACGCTCACGACGCCCGGCGACGTGGCGTGCACGACGGGGGACGCCTACGTCGCGTCGCAAGCTTCTGTATTGGTCGCCGACGCCGCGCGCGGCTACGTGCCGCTCAACGTGTCGTTGGCGGAGTCTAGCATTGTGCTGGGCCGCTTTAGTTTCGCGGCGGGTTCGGGCGACGGGCGGCGCGGCGCGGTGATCATCGACACGGTCGGCGCCGACGGCTGCGTCACCATCATAAGCGTTTCAGCAGTACGCGTCGGCCCCATGGCCGGCGGCGACTGTGCGGACCCGCTCGCCGCGAACTACGTCCCGGGCTCCACGTCTACATGTGACTGCGTCTACGTCGGCGGGCGAGGCTTGCGCCAGCGCGCGTGGTCGCTCATGGCGCCCGACTACAGGGACGGGTCCTGGCTCAAGGACGAGGACGTCCACGACGCGTACGCGACGGGCCGGTCCTGCAACGCGCCGGACAACACGTCGCAGACGAACTACTCGAGCTTCCACGGGATCTGCAGCAACCCCCGGAACCCGAAGCTGCCGCTCATCCCCGAGGTGGGCCTGCCCATCGAGACGATCGTCGCGACGCCGCCCACCGTGACGCCGCAGCCGACGACTGGGCCGACGCCGCGGCCCACCGCCGGCAGCCTGGACCCGGATCTCCTCGACCCCAGCGGGCCTGGCGGCACGACCACGCCGCTCACGCCCGTCGCGGGCCTCCCGAGCACCTCGATCACCAACTTGGACCCGGACACGCCGATCCTGGCGATGCCGGCGGGCGACACGCTCGCCGCCGGGCCCATCACCTCGCCGCTGGTCGAGGCCTCGATCAGCGACACGCTGACGGGCGAGGTTTTGGTCGAGCCCGTCGAAGCGATCAACCCGCTCACGGGCGTCACGGAGACAAAGGAAGCCGCGCCGATCCTCGTGGGCATCGACACGATCGAGCCCGAGCCCCTCGAGCCTCTCTCGCCCATCTCGTCGCTCGTGTCGACGTCGTCGCTATCGAACGACGGGCTCTCCATGCGGCGCCGCCTGACGGAGGAAGACGACGACGGCGTCTGCCTGCCCCCCGTCAAACCGAAGACGGGGCGCATCGAGGCGCCGGTCGTCCCCGAGGAGGCCGCGGAGGCCTTTTGCTGCCTGTCGAGCGACTGGCACGGCTGCGAGCCTACATGGAACCTGGCGGACAAGGACGGTTTCGTGGACGTGTTAAGGCAAGACGCGAAGATGTGCGCGCCTTTTACGGTCGACGAACTGCGGCGGTCCTGCTACTCGTGCCTCGGCTTCGACGCGCCGGGCGCGCACCAGCCGGTCTGCCACTGCTGTTCGAGATTGGACGAGCTCGAGTTCATGCGCACGCTCTCCGACGGTCGCTTGGAGTTGAAGCTCGAGTGGCCCGGCACGCTCCTCGATTACATGCACTGGCGGCAGCGCATGAACCCCGCGCAGTTCGACCTGAAGACGCGCGCGGAGCAGTACGATGAGAATCTGGATTACGAGGCCATCCACGCGCCCTATTTCGAATCGAACAGTTGGGGCGGCCTCGAGTACGGCGGCACCAACTCGCTGCTGGACGGTTCCTTTAACTCCGACGAGTGGTGGTACGCCGTCGGGAGCTTCCAGGACTCCATCCGCAGTACAACTGGAGACGAGTTCGTGGGCGACGCCACCGCAGACACCTGGGTCCGGCGGGCGACGCTCAAGGCCAAGCCAGACTACACGTACTTCCAGCCCAAGTGCATCTCCTGCGAGGCGTGCTACGATTCCGACGGCTACTGGCGGGGCGAGACCACGACGGAAACGTGGCAGAACACGACGGCCTGCACGCTGGGCCAGTCCTGCGCCTTCGACCGGATCGTGAGGACGACCGTCCCGGGCTGCCCCGCCATCTGCCGGGGCATGCGGATCCGCGCGTTCGAGGCGCGCGCGGCGCACCACACCCTCATCGTCCGCGACCGCTACTCCTCGAACACGACGGCCGGCGGCAACTGCACGGGCAACTGCACCGCGGTGGACGTGATCAACACGCACGACATCGGCGCCGTGCCCGCGTACCGCCCGGGTGCGGGCTCCTTCGAGGGCTTCTTCGTCGCGCCGAAGGCCGCCTCTTATGTGTTTGTGGGCGTCTGGGACGCGGCCCTCGAGCTGTCTTTATCTTCAACGAGCGACCCGCGGCACCTCCAAGTTATTCTAGGTGGCGCGACGCAGACGCCGCCCTCCGATAATGACGTCGTGGGCGGCTGGACGTTTTTCGACGGCCACTGGTACTTCGCGTCCACGGAGACGAAGAACTGGGCCGACGCCCAGGCCGCGTGCCAAGCCGAGGGCGCGACGCTCGCCGAAATCAACTCCGAGGCCGAGCAGGACTTCTTGTATGGCCTGTGCAGCGGCGCCAGCACCGGGCAGTGCTGGCTCGGCGGCTCTGCGCACGGATTCGCGGGCATGTGGCGCTGGCAGTCGACGGGGGAGCTCTTCACGGCGGGACTCGCGAACGCCGCCGCCGCCGCGCCGGGCGCCTACACGAACTGGAACAGCGGCCAGCCGGACAACGCCGGTACAGGACAGCAGTGCATGTCCATGTACGCCTTCGCCTCGGGCGTGTGGGACGACGCCTACTGCACCAACACGGTGCCGTACCTCTGCGAGTCGGCGCTCCACCGCGCGAAGTCGTCCGCGGTGAGTCTCGCGGCCGGCGAGGCCCGCTACTTCGAGCTGCTCCACGTGCACAACTCGTCGGTAAACGGCGGGTACCTCGGGCTGGAGCTCGAGATCGACGGCGTGTCCACGCGCGTCGGCGGCACGCACTCGCTGTCGATGGAGTTCTTCCGGGTGAAGACCACCGAAGCGTTACCGGTCGTCGTGAGCGTCGGCTCCGCGGAACAGCAGCTCGCGTCGGCGTCCCTCGGTTCTTACACGTACGCCAAGGAGGCGACGCCCACGATCACGGACGTCTTCCCCCGGAAGGGTGCGGCCGGCCAGCTCATCTCGATCGCGGGCACGCTCTTCTCCGACGTCGTCGGCGAGGTCGAGGTCGGCATCGGCGGCGCGACGTGCGACGTGTCCCACGTCAACCACACGGTGATCGAGTGCACGTTACGACGCGGGGAGGCGACCGCGGGCCGCTACCCCGTCGACGTGCGCGTCGTCGGCGTCGGCTTCGCGCGGCACGTCAACAAGACGCGGAGCACGTACGAGATCCCGCTCAAGATCCACGACTTCGCGCCGCGCAACGGCTCGGTGCTCGGCGGCGACGTCATCCGCATCTGGGGCGAGGGCTTTTCGCGGCTCGGCCCCCAGAATAAGGTGACGGTGGCCGGCGTGCCGTGCACGCCGCGCACGCTGAAGAACTTCCACTGCCGCGTCTCCCAGTACGACTCGGGCTTCGAGTGTGCTGCGACCTCCACAAAGGGCTACGAGCTCGTCTGGAACGCGCACGCGCCTTCGCGGGACCGGGCCAACTCCGAGTGGCTCGACTACTCGTCGACGACGTACATCGAGTGCGTGCTGGACGACCTCAAAACTAATTCAACGTTGAGCGGGCCCGTCACGGTCCAGATGCTGCGCGAACGCGACTTGCACGACGAGGGCGCCGTCTACCAGAACTACACGGCGGCCACAAAAACACAACTGGAGCAGGCGACCCGGAACATGGACTGCTTCGTCCTGAGGGGCTACCGCATCTGGAACTGGGGCCTGGAGCTGCAAGACCTGCACGACGTCACCAAATTCACGCCCGTGAAGGATTGTATTTTATACGACGAGGACTACGACCAGCAGGGCACGTTCATGATGCATGCGAATTTCAGCGGGCCCAAGGCGTCGTCGTCACAAGTTTATACGTTAGTTGATGAGAACACGCCCGTGATCCTCGCGATGGACTCGTTGGGGATGGCCGGCCAGGAGCTCACGATACGGGGCCGGAACTTCGACGCGAATATACCAGAGTGGGACTACCACTGGCGCATGGACGAGTTCGGCTTCTACACGCAGCCCGAGTCGCCCGTCGTCTACATCGGCGGCAGCCCGACGGTGCTCACGTTCGCGAATTCGACGGTCGTGAAGCTCCTGCCGACGTACAATCTACACGACACGAGCTGGCCCGTGACGATGCACGTGCGCGGCCGCGGCCTGGCGACGGGCAACCGGAGTTTTGTGTACGTCAACTACCTGTACTCGGTGTCGCCTTCACAAGGGTCGCTGGCGGGCGGCACGCGGCTCACGCTCAGAGGTTCGGGCTTCACGACGGACCACACGTTCTACTCCGACGAGGCGAGCGGGTCCGTGGACATGGGCACGTCGCTCGCGGACTACACGATACGACTCCCGGGCAGCGCCGAGGCGATCGAGTGCGGCCTGCACATGACGACGTGCATGGAGGCCCGGGACTGTAGCCTAAATCCGAGCACGTGCGGCTCGCTCTGCGACGTCGTGAGCGCGTCCAAGTACGAGATCGTCTGCGACACGCGCCCCGCGAACGACGCGTCCGTCGACGCGACCAGCGTCATCGACATGCAGGTCGACTGGAACTACGAGCCCTTCTACTTCAAGTGCGCGTCGCAGACCTGCACGCCGCCGGGTTGCGTCCTGCCCGCGGCGAACGCGTCGGCCTGCGAGTTCTCGTACACGGCCGCCTCGACGCCGCGGCTGGTCTACGAGCCTCCGTCGTACATTGCTGCGGGCGACGTCGTGACCTTCGCCCTTCGTCACCGGACGGATTCACCGGTGGCCGACTTCGACTGGTTCACCGCCGGCGAGGGCCCGCGGCCACGGCCGGGCGACCTCCGACTGGGCGGGCCCGACGACCTCGCGCTGACCATGACGGTGACTCTGGGAGAGGCGGCGTGTACGCAGATCAAGATCGACGAGCAGTACGACGAACTCAAGTGCCTCCTCGACGCCGACGCGGCGCCCGAGACGGACGCGATCCCGCGCGTCTTCGTCGAGGGCTACGGCAACGCCGAAATCCGCGACGACGACGATAACCTGAACCCGACGGTGGACATTTTACCAAGGGTCACGTCCTTTACTCCTACCATGGGCTCGCTGGCGGGCGGCACGATGCTGCATATTCAAGGAGCGGGCTTTGGCCCTGGCACGCTCGTCATCCTCGGCGTCGCGACTTGCTCCGACGTCGTTGTGACGAACGCTTCCTACTTGACCTGTGTCACGGACGCCGTTGCCACGGCCTCGAAGAGCGCTTTTGTTAAAGGCACGGCGAGCGCCTACGTCGTCGATACGAGTATGGCGTACCAGGAGTCGAACTGCGCCCTTGGTAACTGTGTATACACCTTCGCGGGCAACGACACGCGGTACACGCCCGTTGCCCACAATACTTCATCAAAGGGCGGCGCGGTCTACGCCGACCGCGAGCGGCCTTTGGTCATACAAGGAGCCGGCTTCGCGCCCTCGGGCAAGACCGTGAAGATCGGCGCCTGGGCGTGTCCCGTAAAGTGGGAGACGCCGTCCGAGGTGGCCTGCGACCCGCCCAAGCTCCCGGCGGGCGTGCACGTCGTCCACGTCCACGTGCCGAACAAGGGCTACGCCCTCGGCTACAAGCTGTGGTACCGGTCGCCCTTCGTCCTCGACGCGCAGACGCTCTCGGGGTCCATCTACGGCGGTCAAAGCATCGTGCTGACGGGCGCGGGCTTCCCGGACTGCGCCGAGCATGCTGATCGGTCGCTCGACACGTGTGACGATGCTTTGAAGTATCCGTGCGCCTGGGACGAGAATGCGGGTACGTTGAGCTTCTCATATTCCGGATCGGTCTTCGAGGCCGACGTCGTCAAGTCGGAGTACGACCGCCTCCACGCCATTGTTAATTTGCGATCACTTATCGGCGCGTCGTCGTCGACGGACTCGGGCACGCTGACGGTCGACATCGGCGCGGGCGGCGAGGTCGACCTGTATTCTGAGAGGTACATTGACGTCGACGCGGACTACGAGGGCGAATTCCCCCAGTCAAAAGCATACGACAACGATGACAGCAGCTATTGGGACGTCAAGTTCCCCACGACCCAAGCGCCGCTGGTGTTCGACCTGGGCGCGGACGCCCAGGTCGAAGTAATCGACGAAAGCGAGTGCCCCGCGGACCCGGATCTGGCGACCTGCGACGACGTAGCAATAGGCGAGCTCTGCGAGGGCGACGGGGAGTGGGGCACAACGAACAGTCTGAACAACTGTGGCGACTACGAAGTCTTACGGCGCGTCGCCGGCACCCCCAAGGCCGTGCGGAGCTACACGACGGCCACGTCGGCGTCGAACTGCGCGGGCTGGACCTTCGCCGGGAGCGAGGACGGCGTCGTCTGGGACGACCTCGACTCATACGCCCGCGCGCCGAACGGTGTGACCGAGGCACTGAACATGACCAGTGGTGAGATAGAAAACGCGACGGTCTGCCTCCCGGCGGACCGCACGGGCAACGGCGCCGCGCAGACCGTGACGCGGACCATCGAGGGGGGCCTCTACCGCTACTACCGCTGGCTCTTCGACGCGGGGGACATCCTGGCGGTGCAGCCGACGTCGCTCGACGACGGCTACTTCCTGCAAGTGCACGACGTGAGCATGGCGACGGAGTCGTTTTCCGGCGGCGTGACGCACGAGCGCAAGTCGTCGTCGACGCCCGAGGTCACGTCCATAGTCCAGGACGCGCCGGGCCGCTTCCGGTCCATCGTCGACATTCGGGGCACGAGCTTCGGGGGCGCCACGGGCGTCGGCGTCACCGTCGGCGGCCTGCCCTGCCCCGTCATGACGGCGAACGACACGCGCATCACCTGCGCGTCGCCGAACGCGTCCGCGGGCACGCACGCCGTCGTCGTCACGGCGCCGTCGGGCATCGCGGGCCCGGCCAAGCCGCTCGCCTACGAGGTCGGCCTCTACGCGGACAACCGGACGCGCGCGACGCCGGAGCGCGGCTCCCTCGCCGGCGGCACCTACATCACCATGGTCGGCGACGGCTTCGCCGAGGCGCTGGACGACAACAAAGTTACTATCGCCGGCGCCGACTGCGAGGTCGTCGAGTTCTTCGAGGACTTCCACGAGTCGCTCCAGCCGACGGCCTACCCGTCGGTGCCGCCGACGCCCGCGCCGACGATGCTGCCGTCGCACTCGACGCTGCCGACGCCCGCGCCGTCGTTCGCGCCGACGGCGGTGCCTTCGTCCATGCCTTCGTCGACCCCGTCGACGGTGCCGACGGCGCTGCCGTCCGCGCTGCCGACGCCGGCGCCCTCGCGGCTGCCGTCGGCGGCGCCGTCGTTCGTCCCCACGGCCGTGCCGACGGCCGAGCCCACGCTCCCGCCGTCGGCCTCGCCGACGTACACCACCGTGGCGCCCTCGCCGACGCCGACGACCGCTTTGCCGTCTGCGGAGCCAACGTCGGCGCCAACGCCTTCGCCGACCTACAACACCGACTTCCCCTCCCCGTCGCCGACGACCGGCGCCCCGACGGCGGTGCCCACCGCCGCTCCGTCGCCGACGCCCACGCTACTCACCGAGCATCCGACGCCGGAGCCGACGCTCCTGACGATGAGCCCCTCGGCCGCGCCGACGAGCAAGCCGACGAGCGCGCCGGCGCCCGCACCGACCATCCCGGCGCCGTCCGCCTCGCCCACCTTCGCGACGGAGCTGCCGACGCCGCTGTCGTGGCCGCCGACGCCTCTCCCGTCGTCAGGCCCGTCCTCGCTGCCTTCGTCAGCCCCCACAACGCCGCCGACCGCGGCGCCGAGTTCCGTCCCCTTGCCGCTCCCTTCGGCAACCCCCACGTCGGAACCGACGCTCGTCCCAGCACCGGCGCCGACGCCGCGGCCGGTCGCGCTTTCGCCGACGCGCGTGCCGACGGCAGCGCCGAGTCGCGTGCCCACGGCGGCGCCGAGCGGCGCGCCCACCACCTTCGACGCGTCGCGCCGGCCGACCTACGTGCCCACGGCCCTGCCTTCCGGGAGACCGAGCGTGCCGCCGACGTCAATCCCCTCGTCGACGCCGACGTCGCCCGCGCCGACGCCCAAGGCCACGGACTTCACGGGCTTCAACTACCGGTCGACGCTCACGTGCGTCACGGGGCCGCTGCCCGCGAACGCGACGTACGCCGGGGGCGTCTCGGCGCGGCCGCGCGTCCGGACGCGCCTGCGCACCGGCACGACCCTCGTCGTGCGCACGGGCACGTCCGGCTTCGTGGCCACTCAGTCCGAGGCCGGCTGCCGCTTCCGCGACGACCTGTGGTCGACGGCCTACCGCATCTTCATCGGCTTCTATAACGCGAAGACGCGCTCGCTCGAGGACTACTACGACAAAAACCACCTGACCGTGGAGAACGCGGACGGCGCCGCGGACTTCATCGAGAGCTACGAGGCGCGCGACGACCTGATCCTCGTCGTCTTTACGACGTACCGGTACGAATACCTCGAGTGGGAGCCGCGGCTCCCGGCGGCGCTGAAGCGCTGCGGCGCCACGTCCGCGCTGCACAAGTTGACCGCTGATCGTACGACTAGTATTAACGGCCACTACATCCTCGTGAGCCAGTGCGGCAAGGGCGTCGCGTGGGCGTCGCAGCACGGCCTCGAGGCGTCGGCGACGGACACGAACACGGCCCTGGAGATGGAAGTCGACATTGACTCAAAGTTCGAGCTCTACAACGGCGACGCCCACGCGCGGTTCAACTTCACGTACGCGCCCGAGCTGACGCCGACATTACAGAGCGTCTCGCGGCTGAACGGCACGACGGCCGGCGGCACGACTCTGAGATTGAACGTCACGGGCATCCGCAAGGGCCTCGCGACGGTCGAGAACACGACCGTGACGCTGGGCGGCGTACCTTGCGCGATACAACTGTCAGATGTAGCCACGTACCGCGACCAGCACCTCTGCGACTGGGACGGCGTGAACTGTGATAACCTCGGAATAGCCTTCCACAACGAAACAAACACGACGATGATCACGTGCCTCACGAACGCCTGGGATTATTCCGGTGACGCGCGCGAGGCGGAGATTCTCGTGAGTCTGTGGCCGTGGGGCCACGCGCGGAACCCGAATCAAATTACCTGGGCTTATGTCGACTTGTGGTCCTCGTTAACGACGTGGGGCGGCGTGCTGGAAAATAAACCGCTGGAAGGCGACTCCGTGGTCATTACCCAGGGCCAGTACATTGTACTCGATGAAAGTCCGCCGGCCTTGCATTTGTTACTAGTTTATGGTGGTGTCCTCGAGTTCTCCCGGGACGTCGGCGATTTGGCGCTGAACGCGTCGTACATCTTCGTGTTCGGCGGTAAATTAGTTGTAGGGACCGAGCAAGAACCATTTCCCAATAAAGCTACCATTACCTTAACGGGAGACCGGGACTCGTACGAGCTGCCGGTCTACGGCGCCAAATGCCTCGCGGTGCGCGACGCGATCTTGGATTTGCATGGATTGCCCCAGCGGCCGTGGACCCGGCTCTCGCAGAGTGTGCACGCGTTGAACGACACCATTTTCGTACAAGATCCCGTCGACTGGAAGGTCGGCGACCGCATCTTCATCACGTCCACAAGCTTCGATCCGATGGAGACCGAGGAGCGGACGATCGCGTGGACCGACGGCTACTCTATTAAGTTAGATCAGCGCCTCTTCTTCTTCCATCATGGGGATGGGTACTTTGATGACAGAGGTGTCGAGGTCGTGCCGGAGTACCGGGCGGAGGTCGGCCTGCTGTCGCGGAACGTCGTGGTCCAAGGCGACGACCAATCCAAACAACAGCAGTTCGGCGGGCAGATCGTCTTTGCGTCTTCTCAGTTATATGATGACTCGATTATCGGGAGGTTATCGAACATAGAAACGCGGAACGTGGGCCAAGGGTTAAAGCTAGGCAAGTACCCGATCCACTTCCACATGGTCGGTAACGTCAGCAAGTCGTACGTGAAAAACTGCACGGTGCACCACGCTAATAACAGAGCGATCGCAATCCACGGCGTGAACCATTTGACGGTGTCGTGGAATGTGGTCTTTGATACCCGAGGTCACGCGGTCTTCATCGAGGACGGTACCGAGGTGCGGAATACCTTATCCTACAACCTCGTGGCGATGGTGCGGCCCATCTGGTCTCTATTATTAGTAGACCAGTCGCCGGCGTGCTACTGGATCGTGAACCCCGATAATGATGTCTACGGCAACGTGGCCGCGGCGTCGTCGCACTACGGGTTTTGGTACCGCCAGCTCGAGAAGCCCGACGGCATCTCGGGCCAGTCCGCGGCGGAGCAGAACGCCAAGCAGTTTCCCATCTACACGCCTTTGGCGCGCATGGAGGGCAACGTCGCCCACTCGACCAAAAGGCACGGCCTCAAGGTCTCAGACTACTTCCCGACGGTCGGCGGGGCCGATACGAACACGTTTGGCGAACCGGCCACGTTCCGGGACTTCCTGGGCTGGAACAACGGGCGGTTCGGCGTCTGGGGCGAGTTTCTCGTCGACGTCAACTTCGACGGGTTGCGGGTGCTGAACCCGGGCATCGCCGGCTTGGAGTTTTTGTACATGAACGGCCGCGGCACGGAGTTCGCCAAGTCCACAATATCGAACACTTATTTTGTGGGACGCACCAGGGAAATCGCCACGGCGGGCCCGGGCGACATGTGCGAGGGGCTGCAGGACGTGAACGGCGCCGTGAACCACGACGGCAACGGCTGCATCCACGCCCTGCACTTCCCGGGAATCGGTTCTGAGTTAATAGTGAAGAACGCGACCTTCGTGAACTTCGAGGCGCCCTTGTGGACGTGCAGCTGGTGTGTGGGTATTAAGGGCGGCTACGAGGTCGATTTTGAAAACGTCACTTACACGAACGTGACGCGGCCGGCGACCTTCAAGAAGGGCTTTGGCGGGGATATTGCCACGTCCGGCATCCTGAACGACCTCGACGGATCGCTGGGGTCGGGCGCGCCGGGCGGCGTCGTTGCGCCCTACGCGGGCCACTTCGCGAACAACCCGGATTGTGTGGTCGGCTACGACGTCTTCGACAAGGATTTGGGGACGCCGGAGTACGTGCGGTGCACGTCCACCATACGACGCGTGTCGTTCAGCGCGAAGTGGACCTCGGCCAAGACCAACACGTTGCGACTGTACAAGTTCCCCCACATTCGAATTGTCGACGTCACGGACTGGAAACCGTCCACGAACTACCGGAGCTTCTGGGACGATTTACCGTATTGGCACGTCCAGAGCGGCGACCAGTCGTGCGTCGAGCAGGCGCCCCAGGGCAAGTACCTGTTTTTACTCGCGACGGGGCGGGAATACGCGTTGATCTTTCGGGACCAGCTCGGCATCCCCGTCACGGCCAAGGGCGAGATCTACGCGGCGAAGATGAAGCCCACCGAAAGGATCGTGATCCACCTCAACCAGAAGGCGCCCTTCCAGGCGGCCCACAGGTACGGGGAGGTCACGCAGAAAAGCATGTCGCGGTGGGGCGAGAACACGGTCAACATCGGCTGGGAGCCGGCGCCGCCGGCCGTGCCCGGCTACAGTATTGGCAGTGCGGATTCGCAGCCGTGCTCCTTGAATGAATTTTCGCGGTGTGGAAGTGATAGTCTGCATCAGATGCCCCAAGTAACAAAGGCGATCGATGTCCATACCGAGAACCTGGAGCAGGTCGCCGGCGCGCGGGAAACGCGCGGCGCGTGGTTACGAGATGCGTCTGGAGTTATTTCCGGAGGCGTCTGTGACAGTTCCGGGACGTATCTCGAAGGCAGCCAGCTGGCCTTCTGCGAGCTCACCTCCTCCAACTATGAAGAGTTAAGATGGCGCCACGGTTTTGATGGAGACTTTGGGGTCTTTCGGTTCTTCGAGGCGAGGGACGGCTGGGGCACGGCCTGGAACCCCGGCGCGCCGAACGGCACCATGACTATCAGTAATATCATCGCCCCGATGTACTGCTGGGACATCGAGCACGACGTGAGTGGCGAAAGGTTGAGTGACGACGAGGCGTCGGCTATAGAATTGAGGTGGTGCGAGGAGAAGGACGAGACGGGCTACCAGGACTGGGAGTGGGTCTCGACGCCAAGCGGAGGCAAGCTGCGGAACGCCGTCCTACAGAAGTGCGCCGGCCTCGTCGACGACTGTGCGGCGCGGGCCGTCGGCGCCGACGAGTGCCCGTCCTCTACTCCCTCGTATAACTGCGCCAACACTGCCACCGGCGGGCTCTGCGAGGGCGACGGCGAATGCGGGACGGACGAGGGTCTGGACAACTGCGGCTCAGACGACGTCTACAGAGCTTTACAAAAGCCGCTGGTTCTAGTGGATTGCGCGGACGCTTTGCTGTTCGAGAGCAGCTGGCTCAACGTCACGAAGCTCGACCAGGCGCGGCACGGCCTCTTCCACTTCGACCGGAACCAGGGGCCGCCGGGCTACGAGCCCGACGGCGTGACCTGGACGAACGAGACCGAGGGCGCCTGGGACTGGTGGTACCCCGTGGGCTTGATTCCTTATGATGTGACGAACATCAGTACCATGTCCTTCCTCATGGCCGGCAACTCGACGTTAGAAATCGAGACGTCGCTCTGCGGGCCGGAGGGCTGCCCCATGACGCTGCCCGTGTGCCGCAGCTGCGGCACGCGCAGCTTCAAGTGGACCACGGGCGATTCTGATCAGGACTTCGCGAACTGGAACGTGACGAACGACCCGAGCATAGACGTGCCCAGCGACTACTGGGAGGGCACCATCTGGGACGACTGGACCGTGACGGTCGACCAGGACACGCCCGTTGTCAACCGCTTGGTGGTGCGCGGCACGCTGATTTTTGAATATGACGCGGGGCGCGACGTCACGCTCCACGCGCACTACATCACGGTGGACGGCGGCCGCATCGTCATGGGCAACGCCTCGCACCCCATAAACAACGAGACGACGGCGACCGTCGCGCTGCACGGGGACAAGTATCTTACTACAAAAAAGATCAATGGGGAGTGGGCGAAGGTGTACAACTTCAAGCGCCTCGACCTGAACGGGAATTTAACGATGTACGGCCGGCCGACGGTCGCGACGTGGCGAAAGCTGGGCGCCCACGCGTTCGTGGGCCAGAAGCATCTCAACTTAAGTGATTCAATTGATTGGGACGTCGGCGACGAGGTGCTCCTCTCGTCGTCAAAGCACCACGGCGGCGCCGGCCACGGCGACGCGTCGAGCCCGGCCAAGGTCTACGCGTCGCATATCATACGGGACGTATCAAAGGACGGGCGGACTCTGTATCTTGACACCGCGCTCACCCAAGATTATGTGGGAGAAGTCGTGATGGTTGACGCCGGTGTTGAGAATGGCACCTCCATCTCAAAAGCGGTGGACGTGCGCGCCGTGGTCACGCTACGACGATGGAACGTGCGCATTCTGGGAGCGGACACGACTAAATATGATCGCGTCGCGGGATTAACGTCGTGGCAGACGGGCTGGGGCGCCAGCGTCCGCGCGCTGGATGCTAGAGTCGCCGCGAAGCCCGGCTGGTCCGCGTACATGCCTATGTATGACGAGATGGGCACAGAACAACTCCCAACGGGCCACATCACGATAAAACACGGCGCGCGCTTCGAAAGGTGCGGCAAGGGCTTCAAGGAGGGCGTCCCGGAGGACATGGCGTCGTGGGACGGCGTCGCCGCGATCCCCTGCCTGATTTATAGTCAGGAGCAGGAGCACGTCGACTTCGTGGGCGTGCACGCGGTCACGCCCTTCGACGGCGCCTCGAAGAAGGAGTGGGTGAACTTTTTGGGCGAGGGCCCGCCGCCCTCAACTTCTACATTGACGGGCACGCTCACCTTCCGGTGGAACGTCTTCGTCGGGGAGAACTTCGCGTTCGCGGGCGGGCACACGGTAGAGGACAACGTGTTTTTGGGCGGGGCGGAGTCCGACCGGGACAACGGCTCGGGCTGCCCCATCGGGTTGTGTCCGGGGGCCTACCTCGTGCGGCTCGTTGGTAATGATGATGGCCAACTGTCTTACCAGAGGAACTACGCCCAGGGCGCCATGTGGGCCGCCGTCGCCATCTTCGGCCGCAAATGTTCGGGGTTCAGCGCATTCGACGACAACGTGGCCGTCGGGTCGTGGATTGGGTATCGGATCCAGGACGGGGGCTGCAACTCGCTCGACTTAAGGGCCCACCGTAATAGTGTAGGCCTCGCCGTCGACTCGGATGAAGTGAGCAATTTCATTGGAGCGGAGAACGGTATTGGCTTGGCGCCGATCGCGACGCCCTGGCAGATGGGCTCCCACAAGGCGGACGGCGGCATGGATTTCTTTGACTTGCATGCGGACCTGTGGGTGGTCAAGGATTCGATCTTCGTGGGCGTCTTGCTCGACCTCCAGAAGGCCGGGTTCACAGATGATTGCGTCGACTGGACGGGAGTGCAGATGTCCTTCGACGAAGTATTTGCTTATTTCCGGGACTGGGACTACCTCGGGATCGCGCGGGGCGGCTACGGGGGCGAACAGGGGGCGCGCCTCCAATATGGCGTCGCGCTGCCGGACGCGAAGCTTGACGTCTACGACTGTCGATTCGTCGCGTATAGCTCGCCGAAGGATTCGTGTGTGACGACATGGACCAAGAACCAGGTGCCAACCGGTTCGAAGAGGCAGGGCGTCGCCTTCGGGAACGAGGCGGCCGCCTTAGGCCATGGGTCGGGAGAAGCGTGCCTGGCGCTGGGCAACGCGCAGTGCTTCCCCCTGCATACGAAATCATTAACCTGGGTCGACACGCCCGACGACGGGCGCATGGCCTTCTCGCCGGGCACGGGCGGCAAGTCGGGCCTCGAGAAGGACCAGGACTTTGGAGCGTGCACGCACTTCGACGAGGACGGGTCGTTGTATGATACGAGCGATGGCTCGGTGCTGTACAAGGCCGACGTCGCCAGGACCTGGCCGGAGGACATTTTGGAGGACTGCCAGGCCTACTCCATAAATTATGATGATGACACGGCCTTCAGCAAGTGCCCGTGGTTCATTCGAGCCAACGATTATCTACTGGACGCTGCCAATGATGCATCTCGAAGAGGCTATGCGACACATAGCCAAGCGTTGGACCTCGACGTGGGCAGGTGCTCTTGGTCGATCCCCGACCCCGATGCTTCGCCCTTGCCACCACCTAGATCAGGCTCGCGGCCGTGCTCGGATTCGTCGGACTGCTGGAAGAAGAAGTGGGGCTGCGACCAGGCTAATGCGGTGTGCGAGTGCGTGCAGGACCCCTGCCAGCCGCTGCACAACGTGTCTGCGAATAGAAGAGTGCAGACCTGCACCAAAGACTTTGTCACCCTCAAGTTCACGAACCCGCTCAAGATCACGTCGGGCAGCGAAGTTTTGTTCGCCCCCGCGGCGATCTCCACCGTCAGAAGAGAAACCATGTGCTCGGAAGCGTACTTCCAGGACGATACGGTCGTAGCAGTATTACCAAACTACCCCGTCGACTCGGAGAAGGCCCAGTTTTTAGAAAGGTGGCCGTCGCCGTACGTGTTTAGCGTGCCGAACGGTGGTATTTATCACATCGACTATACGGGCGATGTGACCGCCTTCTCCGCGGAAGGAGATTATGGCTTCCAGTTGCTAGGTACGGGCTCGCGAGCCCCGGTCGGCGATACGGACTTCGCGATTATCGTCACGGTCAAGTTTTTACAACCGTGCAAGTTGCTCTTCTACGTGAATGGCAGGAAGGTCAATGGAGGAGTAAGACGCACAGATGTAACTCTGGCTAGAGAGAACGGCTTCGGGTTCCAGCACGCCACAACCAAGATAGCGGCCGTGGTCCTCAAAGGGAGTGAAGAAGTAAGAATGCAGGCTCTGCAGGTCGTGCAGGTCTCATTAGCGATCGCCGTCGACTTCGACGCGTTCTTCGCCGATAACTTGATTGATCCCGCGGCGATCGACAACGAATTTGCGGATCTCGTGCCGCCGGACTACGCGGCGGACTACGACCCGAATGGTGGCAATATCGTCAAGCAGGATCCCTTCGTGCGGAATCTGGCGTCGGTGCTCATGATCGACCCGGCTCGGATCAAGGTGACGAACATCGTGCCGGGCAACAGACGGAGGCTACGGGAGGGGCGCCGCCTGCTGGAAGATGATGGGTTGGAGGTCGAGTGGCAGCTCCAGGAGATCGACTTATGTGATGGTTCAGAAGAGTGCAACTACGGCATGTGCGCGCCGGCCACGGGATTGTGTGTATGCACGGGGAATTACGGAGGACCCTTCTGCAACGTTACTGGAGGGAGACGGTTGCAGGAAACCTCGAATAGTACGAACTCGTCCACCTCGAACTTCGACGAGCTCATGAATGCCGTGAGTACGCTAGAGGAGAAGGCCGACGCCGGGCAGTTGGATGTGGGCGTGCCTGTTCTAGGTATGCTCGTCACGAAGCCCTTGGATATTTGTGGCGTTGAGGGCGGCAACGGCACGTCTTGTCTCGATGCGTGTGGTGTCGCGAATGGCGACGGCACGTCGTGCGTCGACACGCCGGCGCCGACAATGGCACCGCCTTCCGACTTCACGGAATGTGGTATTGCCTCATCTACTACCGGTTCTGGAGAGAAGCAGGAAGTCTGGCTGAAATCAACAGATTTGGACACGTCCACCTCCTCGGGCTTCAAGGGCACCTTCACGTTGTCTTTTGGCGGCGCCACCACATCCCCCTTGGCCGTCTTCGCTACGGCGGCCGACATCGAGCAGGCCCTGAAGGATTTGGATACGGTCCGAGACGAAGGCGTCACGGTCCGCGGTCTGTTGGTCAATGACACGGCGGCGGCGTTCTCCCAGACTCAGCAACTAGCAGCGACCCAGCTCCGCTTCGGCGTCGAGTTTCCCTCTTCGATCTTGAAGGGCGAGGCCGTGCAGAATGTGGGTGATTTGCCTCTGGTAAGTGTTGATTTTTCATCATTGACGGGCGACTTCGACAATACAACATCAACAATTACGGAGACGTGCGCCGGTTCTTATAGAACCGGCTACGCCTACGCCGAGCAGACTATCGAGCTGACTTCGAGCACGGCCTTAGCTGATTTGGATGGCTCGTTCCGGCTCGCACTCAAAGGCAACAACTCGTGCGGCAACGGCACGTCTCTTGCTATCTCGGCGACCGCGACGGCGGCCCAAGTGGCGGCCGCTCTGACGGACGGTCTAGGAGAGGGTCTGTTCCAGGGCGTCCTTGGTGATGGTCGCGTCGAGGCCTGGGCGACGGCGCCGGGCGCCTGGACCGTGCGCCTCTACACCCTTGATGGCGAGGACCTCACGGGCTGCTCCGGCCAGGGCGCCTTCGACGCCTTTGTACCAATCCTAAACTTCGCTCAGTCAGCGACCATTGCTGTCAGCGTCGTGGAAAAGGGCCGCGTGCCCGCTTCTGCAATGCCCGTCGACCTCGCCCAGGTGGCCGCCGAGGCCGCCGCCGCCGCCGCGACGACCGCAGAACCCAAGGTCATGGAGGCCGTCAAGCCATTGGTTGTCGTCTGCGGCGACGGCATCTACCTGACCGCCGAGGATTGTGATGATGGGAATCGTATCAGTGGCGACGGCTGCTCGGCGAATTGTACGGTGGAAAGCGGCTTCGTGTGCACGAAGCCCGTATCTCGAACGTCCGTTTGTACCTTACCTCAGAAGGCGACGATCCAGTTCAAGGACACTTCCTCGCGAGTTGTGAGAGAGGGCAACGCCACTTCTATAGTAATCGAGCGCATCGGCGACAACACGACCTCGTGTAATGTCGATTACTCGACAATGGACTCGACGGCTCGACATTTACCACGGGAGAACTCGAACTACGTGGCCGGCGGTTTGGCCGCCGAAGCCGGCGATTTCAAATGGGCCAACGGCACTTTAGCTTTTGGCAGTGGTGAGGTCACTAAAACAGTGACGCTGGAAGCGTTGGAAGATCAAACCTTCGACGGGGACATCAACGAGGTCTTCCTGTTGCGACTGTCTTCTACGACCTGCGAAGGGGGCTTCGTCGGCGAAGCCGTTGCTTTGGACGTGTACGTCTACATCGTCGACAGCGACGTGGCGCCCTCGGCAATGCCCACGCCGTTACCCTCGGCGATGCCTACCACGGCGCAACCGTCCGCGGTGCCTACCTTATATCCCTCGGTCGTGTGTCCTGGCGGCGAATACCTCTTCCGCCTCTGGGCTGAAGCGGCGGCGGCGTGGACCGTTCACCAGTCGAGTACTTTGGTCAAGTCTGGCACCTTGACGGAAGCGGCGGTGGACTTCCGGGACTGGGTCTGCCTTGCCGACGGGTCCTACGACGTCGAAGTGACGGGGCTGGACAGCGAGGCCCACTGGCGCCTGGACGACGTGCGGGGCAACTCGGCCGTCTCCAAGGGCCCCCAATCATTGCAGCTTACCTCGACGAACGGCGACCTCGGCGGCTTCCCTACGTTTAAACCTACTTTATCGAAGCAGCCGACGGCCGTGCCCACGGCGGCGCCCTCATCATTACCTTCCTCGAGGCCGTCCTACATCCCCACGCCCGTGCCTACTACCGCGGTGCCGACATCGGCACCCTCACAGTTGCCGACACCTATGCCATCAACGGCCGTACCGTCGAAGGTCCCCGTGCCGCGACCGACGCACGTCCCGACGGCCTTCCCGAGCTGGGACAACTGCGACCGTTTTTTGCGGCGTCCCTTTGTGACTTCGGCTGATCCCTCTACGCCGTCAACGCGCGGTCGACGCCGTCTCGCAGTCTCGACGCGCCGACGCCGTCTCCCATACCACGCCATCGACGCGCCGTCGTCCGAGCTGCGCCCCCGCCGCGCCGTCGCCGCGCCTCGACGTTCCGACCAACGCAGGTATTAATGAAGACGGCGAGATCGACCGGTCCACGTTATACAGATACGACGCGTCGGTAGCTGGTGTCGCCTACACGGTGCAGGAGGCCGTCGTGAGCGGTGCGTCTTATGTAAGAGGCGAGGTCCTTTACACAAGAACCACAAATGATGGGGGCCTGGCGTCAAAGGGCCACTTCTGCCTCGAGGACGGCTGCTACTACCTCGACCTTTCCGGAGAGACGGTCGTCAGGCTGCGGTCGGCCACCGACGACGGCCCCAAGTTCTCCGGTGCCGGGTCCTACTTCTTCTGCGTCGAGGACGGCGTCTACGACCGCTACCCGTCAGCTGCGCCGACGATATCGGCCGTTCCTACCACGGCAAGACCCTCACAAGTGCCCATCCCGCAGCCGACGGCAAAACCCTCCGGGGTGCCAATCCCGGCACCGACAACCAAGCACGCTCCCACAATAGCGCCGACGACGACGGATCTAGCGCTCAAGATCTCGTCGAGCGTCGACATGGCGTCTTCCGACACCGCGGCCCAAGTGCTCGCGTCGGAAGATAAACAAATGGTGCTGAAGGAGGGCCTCGCGGCCTGCTCGGAATATACGAGAGCGGACATGATCACGCTCACTTCCGTGACTCAAGCGTCGTCGCGAAGACGAAGGCTGTCGACCAACAACCTGGTCGTGGCCTTCGACATTATTGTGGTCGCGGAGGCCTACGGGTTCGACGAGTCGACGGTGCAGCAACTCTACGATCTCGTCGCGACCAATCTAACGCAGCACATTAATCAGGGTGGGTTTAACGATGCTATTGTGGAGGCTGCCACAGATCTAGGAGTCACTATGACAGTCACGGCGGACCCGCAAACTGTAAACGTGGCCTACGTCACGGTCACGATACCCACACCGGACTGGTTCACCGGGACACCTACCGCTGATCCTACGGCCGCGCCCTCCATCTCACCAAAACCTACACATATGCCAACAACAGCATCTCCAACAAAAGAGCCGGAGGACCTGTACTGGGGCATGGGCTTCTGGGGGTTTCTGGTGGTCTGCGTGCTGATAGGGTTCACGTCGGCCTTTTTGGTAGTGTATGGCATTGGCAAACTGATCATGTACATGAAGTGGCACCACCACCTCTTCCACCCGAACAAGGCGGCGCGCGTCGCGGACGCGTCGCAGCTCACGACGGAGGAACTCGAGGCCACTCTCAGAGAAAGGGGTCTCCAGGAGGCCGCGGACGCCTTCGCCGCGGCCACGCGTAAGCGCGACGAGCCGGCGGGGCCGTTACCTCCTAGGATGATGGCCCATGCGAGGACTTGGGCCGAGCGCCATCGTCGAGGACGGTTGCCGCCAGTACACCCCGTGTCGACGGACGACGAGGAGCGGCCCGCGCCGACCTTGCGGCCGTCGACGCCCGCCGATTTACAAAATTTGAGCGAGGACGAGGTCGCTGGATTGCTGAGACAAACAGCTGGTCAACGGGGCTTACGACGGTTGCGGGCCGCCGGGCATACGGTAAGAGCCCAGCTCCCGCCGATGCCCGAGCGCAATCTGGTCTCGGGCGGGCGTCCTTCCAGAAACCGCGAGCGCGCGACGGCGAACCTCGCCAAGTTGAGAGGCGCGGCCCGGGCGACGGCCGCCTTCGCTAGAGCGGGAGGCGAGTCGTCCGGAGCTGATGATGAACTCGAATCTCCCGGAGCGAAGATGTACCGCCGGTCGGTGGCCCAAGCTGACGATTTAGGGCACATGTCCATCTCCCAGTTGAAACGCGTGGCGCGCGAGCGCAGGGTGGATGTTAGTGGTTGTCTGGACAAGGCGGACTTCATCCAGGCTTTGGACGTCCCGGAGCCTAGGACACGCTCGCCGTCAAGAGAAAGGTCGCCGGGCCGGCCGCGGCGCGTCGTGCGCCGCGGCCAGGCGCGCGACCGCACGTCGAACGTCCAGGCCATGGTCGAGCGCACGCTGCGCAGAGCCGAAGGCTCTTAATTCATTACCTATTTTCTTCCACTGAGTAAGTTTGGTGTTGAATTGATGTCTCTTGTTTCTTAGCTCGCCGTAGCGAGGTACTTTCTGTTACGGTGCTAGGACGTGCGCGGGAGCGCTTGCTAGTGTCTTACAGCCGCTAGCTCGCTTCGGTCTTCGCCCTGTTATGTGAGCCCTGGACGGCCAGGAGTCACAACGCGTTCAGCCGACGAGGTACAGGCGTAGCCTGCCTCGCGATTGTCGCGGAATCTTCGATTGTGTCTATCCGCGCGACAAAACCAGTGAAACATCTGTGTGGCTCTGGTGAGGCCAGAGAAACTCGGCGAACGCGATGAAGTCATTTGCGACCCTACTGGCCTTGGGCCTCGTCTGCGGCGCGACCGCGGCCAACCTTACATGCGTCAAGACCCCCGCCGAGTTCGTCGCAAATCTCGAGACGATCGGTTATCAAAAGCTGGACCGACCGAATGTTGCCTTTACTGGGAAAGCTTCTGCCCCTCCCGACGAAGCTTCGGTTGCGTACGACCTGAAGTACCTTCTCTCTGTGGATCAGCGGCTGCAGCGCATGGAGACCACGGGGACCTTCTGGGGCACATGGACCGACTACCGGCTCGCGTTCGACGAGGACTGCGCCGGCGTTGATCATTTTCACCTGCCGGACACGGTCGTGCAGGAGAAGCTCTGGCTCCCGCGGGCCTACATCGCGAACGAAGTTTTGACGGACATCCCGCGCGGGGCCGACACATTCTCCATTCGAAGCGACGGCCATGTGATCTACACGACGCTGCGCCGCGTCACGTCAAAGTGCGCGATGGATTTCAAGAAGATGCCGTACGACAAGCAGAAGTGCGACATTGTGATTGAATTGCGGAATGATGAATCGGAAGTGCGCCTCGTGCCGATGCCGGCCGACGTGCAGTCACAGTACAATTTACCGGCGGGAAACCCGGAGTGGGACCTCAAAAGTATCTCGCGGAGCTACGCCGTCGACGGCAGTAAGGATACGATCATGGTGAAGCTGAACCGCAAGTCAAAGTACTGGCGGCTCTACATCGTCATCCCATCGATCCTGTTCGTGCTGATCGCTTATTCGTCGTTCTACATCTCGCGTGCGGCGGCCCCGGCACGCGTCGGCGGCACCGTGGTCTGCTTCCTCGTGATCATCAATTTCAATAATAGCGTGTTAGCCGTGCTTCCGAAGGTAGACTATAGAGTGAGGTTGTTAACGTTCCTCTACCTGTCGATGTGGTTCTGCGCATTTGCTGTGTTCGAATACGCGCTCGTCAACATGCTCTTCCGCATCGAGGCGCGCGTCGAGAAGGCTAGAGACAAGGCCGAGGCCGAGTGCGGCATCGAGCAGTGCATAAATCAAAGAGAGAGAGAGAGAGAGAGTACTGCATATATCAAATGTTCGCGGCTTCACCGCCCACGGATGAACATACCCTCCACGCCATCGATGCGACGCCTGCTCGACGGCGTGGCGGTGTGGGTGTCTCGCCGAGACAGGGCTTAGTGATACAACCGATCACTGGTTGATTTGTGCATAGGCATCAAGTCCATAGAACACAAGCGCGCCGCCAAAGAGGCGATCCAGAAGAAAATCCAGTCCCCAACGGACAGCCTCCGCAAGAGGCCGCAGGAGACGAAAGATGTCGAGGAGGCCGCGGAGACGCCCGAGGTCTCCGACGAGGCCCAGGCGAAGATCCTGAAGGAGGTTCGGATCGCCGCGGGCCGCCTCGGCCGCCTGACGCTGTGGGGCGCGGACATGTGGATCAAGGACCAGTACGTGGACATCTTCTTCCGATGGGTGTACCTGCCCCTGTATGCCATCCTCGCGGCGGTGACCCTCAACGTGGATGGCTAGGAAGAGCGACACATAAGACTAGAGCATATTTATGTCCGCAGCCGTCGGCTGGGGTGGTGCCCCCGGCACGAGGCCCTGCGCGATGCGGGCGCGGAGCGCCTCGATCTTCGCGCGGCGGTCCGGCGGCAATTGGGCGAGCTGCGCCGGCGTGAGCTGCATGACTTGCTGCATCATCGCGTCGGGCTGGGGCGCCGAGAAGCCGCTGACCGGCTTCTGCGGCGCGAAGGCGGCCGACGGGCCCTTCGCCGAGGGCACCATTCCCAGCGTGCCGAGCATGTCCACAAATGCCGAGGTCAGCGCGCCGGACGCGTTCAGTAATCGGCCCAGCGTCTCCGCGTCGCCCTCGGCCAGCCGCTTCGCCTCGCTCACGACGTCCCACACCTCCCGGTCGCTCAAGCGCGCGGTTATATCGGTGGCGGACAGCTGCGCGCCTGTTTTTTCGCGGCCGCTGCCGCCCCGCGACGCGTAGTCGACCAGAGCCGAGTTGTTCGAGAAGTTGACGCGCAGGTCCCGGCCGCCTACATCTCTCCCGTTAAGGTTGCGGATGGCGGAGAGCGCGGTCGCAGCATCATCATACTCTACGAAGCAGAAACCGCGCGGCTTCCCTGTTTCGGAGTTGACGGCCATCCTGACATTTTTTACCCTTCCCACTTCGCTAAAAATACGGCGGATGTCTTCGTCCGTCGTGCCGAACGCGATGTTCCCGACAAACACATCGTTCCGGGGACCGCGCTGGCGGTGGGCCATCGTGAAAAGCTTTTTTTAGCCCGTCGGCGGTGTATCAGCGTCTTGCGGCGTCTCGTCCTGCGGCGACCGGCGTCGCGTCCGCGGCGAGCGTTTTTTTAATAGCGCGTTGGGTACAGTGTCTTGCGGCGACTGACGTAGCGTCTTGCCGCTAACTTGAGTCCTACGGCGACCGGCGCGTCCGCGGCGAGCGGCGAGGTTGTGCAACCAGGGGGCGGCTGCAGACGCTGTGTGGAGTTTGCAGTTGAGCTCGTCGCGAGGCGGGCAGTGGGACGGGTCAGAGGCGCGAGATATCCAGCGAAACAGTGCAGTGCAGGCGAGCCGCGGATGCGCCCGATAGCTAGCGGCCGGTAACACACTAGCTTTTAAGGTACCGTCTGCTACTATTAGTAGGGGGGTCGGTACCATATAGTAAGAAAAATAGGCAGCCGGGGCCGGCATCGACTCTCTAAGCGCGCAGTTGTGGATCTACTTACGGAGGCTGAGTGCGAGGCTCGGCCGTTCATCTCCTTCGACTGCAATTTAAAACTGTGCATAGGCAAGCGACCAGGAGCCAGCAAACGCTCTGACTAAGCAGGCTCTGACCAGCTGCCACGCCGTCGGCGCTGCATAATTAATTCGAGCGCAGTCATGCGTTTGCCATTAATCATACTAGTCGCTGCCACAACCCAAGCTTTCAAATCGAGCTTTATCAACCTCGGCGGCGTCCGGCACCACGTCCGCGACAGCGGCGAGACGGACGGCCCACTCGCGATTTTCTTCCACGGCTTCGCGGGCTCTGCTGCGAGCTTCGAGGACGTGGCTCCGCTGCTCGCAGCTAAAAATGTGCGCTGTATTGGCGTTGACCGCGTCGCGTTCGGCCTAACAGAACGACCTGCTCCGGCGTCGCTGCCAGCGCCGCCAAAGCTCCCGGGCAGCGCCACGCTCGCCGCGTCGCTCGAAGGAGGCGGTGGTCCGCAGTACCTCGCGGGCGGGCTGCTGCCCGAGGCGCGCGCGGCGATCGCTTCGGGCCTCCGGCGGCCCGAAACGCTGGCGCCGAGCTTACCCTGGACGCTTGCCGGATTCCGAGGCGACCCCTACGCGCCCGAGTTCCAGCTGAAGGCCCTCTCGACGCTGCTGCGGCGGCGCCTCGCGCCGCGAGAACGCGACGTCTACGTCATTGGCCACAGCGCGGGCGGACCGTACGCGCTGCGGGCGTGTTCCGACCTCGTGCTGCCGCGCGGGCATGCGGTGAAGGGCTGCGCGTTGATCGCGCCGGCTGTCTTGGATCCGCGGGAGGATCCCGAAGCCTACGCCGACTTCGACGCGCCGCCGCTCCTGGATCTGCCCGACGCTCTGCCCGAGTCGCTCAGGAATCGCGCCGAAACTGAAGCGCGGAACGCTGCGTTCGGGACGCTCTTGGCCCTTCCAGACGCCTTCGCGCTGCCCACCGCGCGACGCATTGCGGATGATCGAAACTTCACAGAAGCTGTCTTGGGGCAAATGCATCCGCGCATGGGCGCTCCGGAGCACGAGAAGACGTATGTTCCAGCGTCCTATTCTAAATTCAACCGGCGAGCGGGGGTCAGGAAACGCCATCAACGCGACTCATCACACAGGATCAGACGATGCGTGGCCAAGTACACCGAGCCGCTGGAGCTCGAAGCCTGGGACGTCGGGCTCTTACGCCACTACCGCGCCGAGCGCGCGTCCGAAGCCGAGACCGGTCGCGCGCTGATCGAGCGAGCGAAAGGGAGTGCAAGATTTCTGACCGTGACGGGCGACGTCGACCGCATCGTTCCCGCTTCTGCTACTGCAACGGTGGCGGATCTGTTAGGAGCGGAGGCGCGGACGATCGCCGACACGGGTCACCTGCCTCTCGACGAACGGCCCCAGGAAGTCGCGGATGTGCTGTTGGAGTTCATTAGCTCGTAAGTATTTAACTGTTATTCAGGCCTCTGCGGCAGCGGAAGCTGCTCCCTCGTTGCGTCGACCGCGGACGGAGGATAGCACAACCGGTTCGCGGGCTCGACCTCGGCGACCTCGGGCCCGCCCGCGATGTCCTTCAGCTCGTCGTACAGCGCGTGGGCGAGCACGGACAACTGCACGGTCTTCCCGAGCTCCATGCCGCCGCCATCATCGGCGATTAGGCCTACTCTATTCGTCTCCGGCTCGACGAAGATCTCGGCCGTCGCGCCGGAGTCGTCCTGGACAGCCTTCAACTCGCCGACGCCGCGCCAGCCTCGGACCGGTCCTCCCATGAGCCAGAGCTTCAAGAACGTCCGCAGCGACGGCTTCGTCGACTCGAACTGCACCGCCGCGTAGGCATCAACTCCCTCATGAGTGCACTCGTCACCATTGTGCACGACACACGCCTGGCGCGCGACGACGGCATGCGGCGGTGCAAATGCTGCGGCGGCGCCGATGAATAATGCAAGATGGCGCATATTGATGATATATGTGTGTTGAGTCTATCCGTGCTGTAAGCTTGCAGTGCTGACTGGTGCACGCTGTTTTGTACTTGTTGCAGTCTGACTGAGTGCTGTGGTTGATGAGCACCTTACGGATGGGTTGATGCAAAGACAATTGTCACAGCGATGAATGAGAGCGGTACGGATGGCTGCACTACAAAACTGGCAATGATGCGAGCGACTGTGGGCGAGTCTGGCGTGGTGGTGCTTGAGCTTTTTGCTTGCTAGTGTCTTACAGGCCGCTAGCCCACCTAAAGCTTTTTGCTTGCTAGTGTCTCACGGATGCTAGCCAAATGCTAGCGCAACAATAGCTATGGCGACAAATAAGACACCAAAACAGAATTAGACAACAAAAACTACTAGCGCGCCGCGCGCCGCCGCCGATAAAGATCCTCAACGCGCGCCTTCGGCGCCCGCCGCGCCACGGCGCCCTCGTCCGCGCCACCACCGGATCCACCGCCGAACAGGCCGCCAAAGAGGCCTCTTTTCGACGGCGGCAGGGGTGCCGACGAGCTCCCGCCCAAGAGTGGAGCGAGGCGCCCGCGGCGGTCGTCTTCGTCAGGCAGCGTCTTCGGAAACTCGACGACAAACCGAATGAGTAAATCGCCGCGCCTGCCCGAGGCGTCGCGCATGCCCTCGCCCTTCAGGATCCAGACGTCGTCGGGCGCCACGGGCAGGTCGCCGGCGTCGGCCCGCACGACGAAGGCCTTTCCTCGTTTATCTTCGCGTTGCACAGTGGGCACGTCGATCGCAAAGCCCGTCAGCGCGTCTAACAGAGGCACGCGCTTCGCGCACACTAAGTCAGAGCCCACGCGCTGTAACTCAGCATGCGATTCCTCCTCGACTACAACCGTGACGTCGCGCCGCACGTGGCCGCCGTCGTAGAAGACGTCGTCGCCCGCGCCCTTTTGCGTCGTCGCGTAGCCGTCGCGCGCGTTCGGCGGAATTTTCACATTGATCGAGTGCCCCGGCTCCTTGACGACGCCCTCGCCGCGACACTTGGAACACCGGTCCACGAGGGTCTCGCCGGCGCCGCCACAACTATCGCAGGCCCGTTGCGTGCGCACGACGGACCCGCCGAACCGTCGGTCCACGACCGTCACGCCGCGGCCCTGGCAACTCGAACAGGTCTGGACCGTGCCACCGCGGCCCTTGCAACTTGAACACGCGACCGTGCGCGGCACTTTAACAGAAAAGGACCCGCCCTCGAACAGGTCGGCGAGCGACAGCTTGAGCCTGACCTCGCGCGGCACGACGCGCGGCCGCCGGCGCCGTTGCTGCGGCCCGCCCGCGAAGCCTGCGCCGAACATCTCCTCGAAGAGCCGGAACGCGTCGCCGAAGTCCGACGCGCCGCCGGCCGGGAAACCCTGCGACTGGCTGCCGCTGAAGTCAAAACCTCCGGCGTCGTACCGCTTGCGTTTTTCTTCATCGCCCAGCGTCGCGTAGGCCGCCGCGAGACGTTTGAACTCCTCGGCGTCGCCGCCGTGGTCGGGATGCGCCTTCGCGGCCCGTTTTTTATACGCGCGCCTTATGTCGTCTTGAGTGGCGTTGCGGTCGAGCCCGAGCGTTTTGTAGGGATCGTCCTGGCAGCTCGCTGCTGTCGCAGCGACGAGCGTCAAGCGTGGTGCGAGCCGGAGAGCGGTGCGCAGCATCGCTCTTGCCTCTCACACGTCGCTGGTGGATGTGAGCGTCGCACAAATGCCAAAATACAGCTGCGTCGCTGTCTCTGGTGGAGTGAGTGCTGCGCAGCGTGATGTCGCACAGATGCCAAGACGGCTCGTCTACGATTTATGCGGCGGTGCAGACTGCTTTTAGCACGTGCACGCAACAATACGCTCCGCTGCTGTCACGCAATGCGATGAGGCTGCTGCTGCTGCTGCCGCTAGTGTCTTACAGGACGCTAGCATGATCCCACCACCCATCGCCGTGGTGGGCTCCGCCCACTAATCCTGCAACCGTAACATGATACGATCCCACCCACGCCATCGCCGCGACGACCAAATACTCAGGCCTTACCCTATTTCTTCTTACCCGTTATATACGCGCACGAGTCCTTGATCTCGTGGCCGACGTAGGCCCACTCTCTCGAAGAGTTCGTTACAGTGTTCAGCGTCGTGTGCCAGGCGTGCTTTTCCGTCGGGTCGGAGGCGAAGAGCGAGAAGTGCTGCCGCCGCACGTCGCCCGAGAACTGCGAGACGTTTTCTTGGTGGCCGACGCGTAGGTTCATCGGATGCCACCCGAAGCCGAAGTTCGAATGATTCTGCGCGTTGTGTTCTTGATTTAATGCCTCAGGTTCCACGTAGAGCTTGATCTCCGAAGGCTGCGCCGTTTCGCGGCGGCCGCCCAAGAAAATGTCACTACGCTCCAGGCAGCCGACAACTACGCTGACACGCTTGTGAAACTAAAGCGCTTCGAAGAAGCCAAGTCTATGATGCGCAAAATGGTGCCCATAGCACGACGCGTTCTTGGCGATCGTCACACAACCACGCTCAGACTGCGGTGGATTTACGCGAAGGCGCTCTACAAACACGGCACGGCCGAGCCCCGTGATCTTCGCGAGGCCCTTGAGACAGTTGAGGAGACGGCACCGACCGCGCGACGCGTGCTCGGTGGCGCGCACCCCTACGTGGTGAGCATGGAGGGATCCCTGCTGACCATGCGCGCTACGCTCCGCGCCCGCGAATCAGGCGCTCCCTAAGATCTAGCAAACTTACCCAATCACGCTGTCGGGGAAGTTCGGCGCCGAGATAACACCCGCGTCGAGCGTGAAGGCGTGCTTCCCGAGCACTGTTGCCGTACCTTTCCCGTCCGTTTTCAGGTAGCCGATAACCTTCTCGAGCAGCTTCTTCTTCTGGACCTGGGCCGGCTTCGCCGCGTCCACGACCTTCAAGTCGCCGAACCGCACCCTATCGCCGTTCTTCGCGCCGGCCGGCACGGCCAGCAGCTCGACCTTCGAATGATCGGGAGTAGAAGCACACAAGACCATGCCGTTCGACCGAAACCCCTGCATGTTCCGCGCCTTCAGGTTGGCAAACACTAAAACCTGCCGGCCCTGGATCAAGTCCGCCGACGCGTAGAAGGGCCGCAGGCCGGACGCGATCGTCCGCGGCCCGTCCTTCTCGCCGATGTCGATCTCCTCGCAGTACAATTTTTCGGCCTCCGGGTGCTCCCAGCACTTCGTCACCGTGCCGACACGGATATCTAGTAAAGGCGCGGCCTGCTCGCAGGCCTCCTCGGGCGACGACGGCTCCGGTGCTGCTGGAGCGGGCGGCGCCTTAGGCTTGGGCGCCTTGGGCTTCTTCTCCTTCTTCTTTTCAGCCGGAGGCGCCTTGGGCTTCTCCTGTACTACTTTCGGCGGCGGCTTGGCCTTGGGCGCAGCCGTGTTCGACGCGGCGAGCGGCCCCGCCACGTTCTGGGGGCCCGCTGCTACGAGCTCCGGCCAGGCCGCTTTGGGGGCCAGCCGTCGGCACTCGGCCTGGACCTGGCGCAGCCAGCGCGCCGCGTTCCGGCACGACGCGCCCGCGACGGCTTGTTTACATGCAACGTAACAAGCGACGTCGGCCAGCGTCAGGCGCTCCGCCGCGAGGAAGGACCTATCAGCCAACGCCGCATCCAACACCTGCGCGGCGTCGGCCGGCGGCGCCTCGCACCAAGCCATCCACTCCGCGCACTTCGCCTTTTCCATAGGTGTACTACCACAGGCCTGGGGCGCGAGGGACCGCCAGTGCGCCGCCTTGCTCGCCAAGGGGCCGGCCGTTTGGGAGGCGATGGCCGTGAGAGCGGCGGCGAGGTCTCCTTCTTTTACTGGTGTATCTTTGGCAGAGGGCGGCGGCGGCGGCGCGTTCGCCGCCGCGTTTTCCTTGTGCTGGGCCTTCTTGGCTAATTTTGCTTGTTTCTTGGCTAAGGCCTTCTGCGCGTTCTTGGACATCGGCTTGTCGCCGCCCTCGGCCGCGGGCTGGGCTCCGGCCGCGGCCTTCTTCGCGGCCGCGGCCTTCTTTTTCGCGGCCTTCTTATCCACAATAGCCATCGGGTGCGCGGGGTCGAGCTTCGTGATTTCCTCCTTGATCTTCACGAGCGCCGCGACCTTCGCTTTGACGTCGTCGGCGTCGCCGCCGGCTTTCGCCTGCTTGACGGCCTCGCCGGCGGCCTCGCACTGCTTCACGAGGGCATCCATTTCTGTGGCTGCGGTGCTTTACGACTGCTGGCTGCACAGCCAAGCTTTGGCTGCTCAACCAAGCTTTTGCTCTCTGGCGATGCAGTGTTTCGCTCGCAGACAAGAGATTGTGCAGCGAGAAGTATTTCTAATCGGCGCGCGAGTCAATCGCTTGCGTGCTTTGCCGCCTCGCTGCGATATCGCGGATGGCAATGATTAGCTAGCGGCATGTAAAGACACTAGGTCTCCGCAAGGTCTCCGCTTGCGCACCGCTTGGCGTTCTCTACGGTTATCTGCAACTCCTGGGCTCCTAGCAGGCGACAATGAAGGACTTGGAAACTTAGATGGTGAGAATAGTCTGGGGAGCGCGGGCTCGACCCTCGCGCGCGAAAAGCTCAGAGGCCCCGGCACCCGACGACGCCGTTCTTCGACGCGAGTGCGTGCATCGGCGCGGAGACGAGCGCCGGCAGCACGACGTGTGCCGCGGCGACGGACCGCGTGATCGTCGAGTAGGAAGCGTCCGACACCCAAAAGACGTCGACTGCGCCGTCGCGCGTGACCTTCTGGACGTGGCCCGTCGCCCAGCCAAAGCCCTCGAAGAACACGCGCAGTACCGCGCCCTTGCCGACGCCGTCGCCGGGACCCCGCTCCGCCGGCAGTTTGCTCGCGCGCCCCTCGATCGGCAGCGGCACCCCGGGCACGGCGGGGCTGTTCGACCGGAGCCGCTTCGCCGGCGGCGCGCTCGGGAGCTTCGGGCGCTTTCCTTGCGCCGACGCGCCGACGGTTGTGGTAGTTACGGTCTTCGGTGGTCGCCCGCCTTTTTTGCGCGCGGGCGTCGGCCCGCTGCGATCTGCGGCGTCCGGCGCGGGGCCGGGCCTCCAACCGGCGCCGGGGACCCAGTGCCGTTTAGGTGAGCTCATGTCTCCGCGCCGACCCTGCGAGTCACAACACTGTTCCTCTTGTTAGAGCTCTTATTCCTCGCACGAATGCACAGGAGCGGCTCGGTTGTCGATATGCGTTAGTACGCCGTTACCGGAAGCGCGCGACGGCGTTCAGGTAACGCTAAAATGGGCGCAATATACACGCCGAGGGAAACCCGTTTTGTTTCACGAAAGACTTCGCTCGTGGGAGGGTGAGACCAATGGCTACCCGACGGCTCCGCTAAAAAACGCCATCGACGCTAGTTACTCCAAAACGGGCACCCTCCTCACGCGTCCGACGCGAACGCGCCGCCGCCGTCGTCCAGCAGCCCGCCCGCGTCGTCTTCCTCGCCCACGCCCCACTCGACGTAGTCCGGGGATTCGGCCGCGATGTACTCGTCCCGCAGCGACTGGACCACATCTCGCGAATCGTCGAACTCGTCTAAGGAATCGGCGAACATCGGCTCCCTCCGGTAGTTCTCCACGAAAGCATTGCGCTTCCTGATTCGATCATACGCCGTCAGCGTCTTCGCAAACAACTGGGAAACACACGTATGGTTCGCCAGTAACAATCCAGAGACTTTGTGCTTCGTCTCGACATATGGACTTTTGCGGGACAGCGCGACGTTGAAGGTCGCCGGCCCCCACGGTATGAAACTTACTAAGCGTCTCTCTCTAACTCGTTGGAGTGCTTTGTGCACTTGCGTCGGGTCGACGTCGCCCTGGATGATATTTAACAGAGATAAGTAACAGCCCTTCCTCGTATTGGCCGAGACCATGATGTTCTTCGCTTGGGTTAGTCTACGCATGACGTCCAACACAGAAGTCTTCCGGACGGCCCCCGCGGGCGGCGGCGGCGGCCGTTCGCGCGGGTCCTGCGTTGGGAGGCGTGTTTGCGCGCGTGTCGCGGCGATGGCGTCACAGCTCGTACGCCATCGAGGCGACACGTCACAAATAGCAGACGCCGCAAACGGACCGTCGACGTGTGCACCATGCGCTCGTCCTTGCCCGCCGGTTCCGAACCAGGTAGTTGTGTCGGAGGCTTGGAGGCGTCGCCTCGTGCCAACTCATCGGCGGAGATGGTGAGAGGCGTGTAGCCCGTCATGAGGAAGTGGCACCGCGGCGTCGGTACCAGAGAAGCCACGAGACCGACCAGGTCGTTGTTCGTATACCCAGGATATCTCAGTGTTGTGGTAGACGCGGCCATGACCGTCGACACCAGCGAGTTGACGTGGTGCACGCTCGGGTTCGGGATCCGTAGCCGGTCCACCGCGATCCTGTTCAATGCCGTATTGTCCAACACCACGACGCAATCGGCGTTCACCGCTAATCTTTTAAGAGTTAGGATCGAGTTGTACGGTTGTACCACCACGTCGCTCTGATCTTCTTCCCAGTTCGGGAAGACGGAATAAGTAGAGACCAATTTCTTCGGAAAGTGGTCGTTCAGATGCTCGAGGATGTAGGACCCCATGCCGCTGCCCGTACCTCCTGCTATCGAGTGGGTCAGGACGAAGCCCTCTAGTGAATCAGAGTTGTCGGCCTCCCTGTCTAGCATGTCCGCCAGTAATTCCGCGTTTTCTTCCGCTTGTCTATGCCCAGAAGCCCAGTTGTTGCCCGCGCCGCCGCCCTCCTTGCTCACAAATATGTTCTCGGGGTTGAACAGGTCCCGGTGCTGGCTATTTTGAATATTGTTCACGACGCGCGGTTCCAAATCCAGCAACAACGCTCGAGGAACGAATCGGGCATCATCCGCCTCGTAGAAGAAGACGTCCTTCCGGTCATCCCCTTCCAACGCGAAGTCCTCCGGCACGCCGTTCGGTCTTATCCCATGCTCGGCCGTGATCTGCTTCCAGAACTCGGAGCCGATCTGGTTGCCGCACTGGCCGACGCAGAGCGTGATGATCTCCTTCATCTTTGCGTCGGCGGCGCTCTGCGTCTGGCGCGCGCGCGCCGCTCTCCCAAGGTGCTTGGCCTGCTCGTGCGGCGCTTCGTGGAGCGCTGGCTGCCAGCGACTGCTGCAGCAGAAGGTTTCAAAAACACGCAATCCAGCAACGAGGCTAGTCACACAGGCGAGCTGGCTCTCCCGCGCAAAATGGCTGCGTTTCTAGTGTGTTACAGGCCGCTAGCGCGGATTTTCTAATTTCGGACACAAAGTACATATACAACAAAGTTAACTCCCCGCGGCGTCCGCAACACGCGCCGCGTCAACACAAGCCGCCATGGGCGCGTCGGTCTTGACGGCCTTGCCCTCGACGTGCGTCGACGCAGCGCGGAAGCCCGCCTTGTCTAACGCGGCGACGAGGCCGCCCTTCGACGGCGTGCGGACGCCGGCGCGCCGCGCGACGTCGTCCAACGATATAAATAGAGACGCGTCGAGGTCCGCGTCGCGGCTCTCGTCCACCAACGTGTCCAGTAACCTCGCGAGCTTCCGCCCGTAGCCCCGGTCGCCGACCCAGCCCCGCCCCTCCGCGTCGGCGCGCATCGCCGCGATCGCATTGAAATCATGTAAAGGGCCCGCCCACACCGGGCCCGCGACGGCGTCCTCGCCCAGGTCCTCGCCGCAGGTTCCGCAACTCGTTAGTACTGAAGGCGAAAACGCGGCCTGGCCGCAGCTCCGGCAGCAGACCAGGAACTGCTCCCCTCGCGCGTCCGAGTCACCACTTCTATCGACGACGGCCGCGACGCGAAAGACCGGCCCGTGCGCCGCGTAGTGCGAGAACAGCGGCCGGAGCACGGCGTCATCATCAGACGCCGCCCGCGCCGCCGCGCCCAGCAGCATCCGTAGTCCGAGCTCGTTCTGCGCGGGCGTCTTGCACGCGGCACAGCCCAGTCGTTTTTTCAGAGCGGCCCGCGCGGCCTTGCCGCGCGCGCCGGCGGCCGCGGCGCCCGTCGTCGCTAGCAACACGACGCCTCCACTCAAAGCCGCCTGGACCGCTAAAGCCGGGTCGCCGCTCAACCCGAACGAGTCGACGTCGACGACGTCGAAACTCCTCGGGTTGCGCGCGAGCAGCTCGCCGGCGTCGCCGGACGCGAATTTTACGTTATCATACGTCAAGCAGTTCGCCTCGAGCTGCGTCCCATCATTCGGCTCGTTGGCGAGGACTTCCACGTCCGAAGGGAGGTCCCGGAGGTAGCGGAGCGTCCGCGCGCCGGCGCCCGCACACGCGTCGAGGACCCTTACCTTTTGTCGGCTTTCGAGCGCATACGAGCAGGCGAGCACAGCGAGATCTCGGGCCGGCCGGCCCTCCTCGCGGAAGAAAGCCAATGACAAGTCGAGCTCGTCGCCGAACTCGCTCGCGGTGTCCGGTTTCTTCTGCTTTGCGGCTGGTGTTGTGGCTGTGAATGCCGCTGCGCCGGCTAGCGCGAGGATGGCGCGCATGGCCATGCGTTCGCGTCCGCTGCGTGACGTTCGACCGCAGCGATGAAGCACGGCACTCGCACGACTCTCGTAGCGCTTTGCAATCACAACTACTCCCTTGACCCTGCGTGTTGCAGCTCTGCACCTCGCACAGCAAGCGCTGCTTGCTTGCTAGTGTCTTACAGGCCGCTAGCCACGAGCGTTCGGGGTCCGTACTACCTGGGGGTGGGTTCAATAAGTGGCTCTCTCTCTCTCACGCGCTCGAGCTAGCGCCTGAAAGACACTAGCAAGCGGCCGGGCGTCGAGATTGCTCGCGGCACGCCCGCCGCCGATAAATCGGCGACGCGCGTGTCTCCCTCGCACCGTAACAGAGAGAGTTAATACTTGTCTTCTTAGAAGTCCGTGCTCATGCCGTTCGTCGCCATGATCTTCTTGATGAAGTCGTCCTTCTCGAGGCAGCCCTCGCACTTGACGCCGCGGTCGTTGAGGATGCCCTTCAGCTCCTTGACCCGCTTCTTCTTGAGCTGCGCGAGCATCTCCTCGTCCGACAGGTTGTTGTCGACCTGGACCTGGTACTTGACGTTGCAGATCTCGCCGTTGCTCTGCTTGAGGCGCTTGCAGACGCGGTCCTTGGGCATGCGCGTGCTGAAGGGCTGCGCGATGGCGGCGCGGATCGGCTCGAAATAATAACACATCTTGCGGTCGCGCGCGTTGAGTGCCGGGTTCGGCTGCTCGTTTTGGAGGTCGCCGCAGTGCCTGCGCCGTCGAGTGTTGTTATTCGCGTACGGCACGCGAGAACTTTGTGTGTCTCCGCGCGCCGTCGCCGCCGCGGGCGCCCAGGAGGCGCGCGCCGGGGCGGCAGAAGCGGCGTGGCCCGCCCGCCGGGGCTGTGGTAGGCCGCGGGGGCGCAGGGCGCTATGGTGAAGTGAGAGTTGTTGACGCGGGCGGCCTGCTTCGTGATGGCCTCCATGATGCTCTGCTTGGACGTCTTCTCGTCCTTGTCGATGAGTTTGTCGATGGCCTCGAGGTTCGCTATGCAGACCTCGCACTCTTTCGGGTCTGCTTTGGCCTTGGCCGCCTCGCCGGTGGCGAGCAGCGCTAGCGCAAGCAATATCCGTCGGAGCATTATGCTGGGTGGCGCGGTGCTGAGTGGCGCTGGGTGGCGAGTCACTTTTTTGCAGCAAGTGTCTTGGGCGACGCTTAGGTGCACAAGCGCTGTCACAGCGTCTCACAGCGGCAGGAAGGTATATGCGCGTGTCGTGTTGCAACGACGACGCTTTTGCACGGCGCAATAAGGTGCAATTTGGCTTATCTCCAAAAAGCTCCGCGTGGCGCCTAGTGTGTCTATGAACGCTAGCCTGCAAAACGCGGGCAAGCTTATATCGGGGCGCGGCGTAGAAACAGGTCACCGTAGGACGCGCAGACATCACCCAGTGACTACCCGGTGCGACCAGGGCAGCGCGACGCCGCCGCAGCATCAATTAGGAAGTCAGGGACTAAGCCTGCAAAACAAAAGCGCCGACGATGCGCCGCCTCGCCAGCGCGCTGATCATAGCAGCCGCGAGCGCCAGCCAGGTCGACGGCCACGCCGTCGAGGGCAAAATCAAGCTCCCGCTAAAGTTATTACAGGAGGGCGACCTGCGGACGACGGAGGTGACCTTGAACGGCGGCGAGCACCGCGCCTTCACGAGGCCCGACGGGTCGTTTCGTTTTACTGATGTCGCGCCGGGCGTGTATTTGCTGGATGTGTTATCGACGGAATACCTCTTCTCGCAGTTCAAGCTGAACCTGCCCGAGGACGACGGTGAAATACGAGTCCTGGAGTACATGTACCCGGGAGCGAACAAGCGCGCCGCGGCGTACCCCGTGGACCTGCGGCCGCACGTCAAATTAGAATATTTCGACAAGCGCCAGCAGCCCGGCTTACATACGTTATTCCGCAATCCCATGCTCCTGATGATGGGCTTCACGATGCTCATGGTCTTCTTCATGCCCAAGTTGATGGATTCGCTGGATCCCGAAGAACGTAAAAGAATGGAGGAGCAGATGAGCAATTCGTCGGACCCGCAGAAGATGATCAAGGGCCTCTTCGGGTTGTCTGACGAGAAGGAATCGGACTCCGAGGAGGAGGGTTCGAAGGGGGGCGGGAAGAAGAAGCGAAGGTAGAGTTTGTACAGTAAGTAGTTATTTAACATAGCTCCAGGCGGGCGCCGCCGCCATCGAGGTTCACACAGCAACATCTCAGGCGAAGACGCGCCGGCTGTTCGAGGCGATCAGGTAGGCGTCGAGGTGCTCGAAGGCCGCGCCGACGACCGGCGCCTCGTTGAGGATGGCGTGGGCCCAGTTCGCCGGCACTAGGACGACGTCGCCCGCTTCTTGCACGAAGGTGCAGGCGTCCGTAGCGTCGTCCGTCCTGCGTCGCAACCGATCGATTACGCGTCGCGTCGATGGCGTGCTGGTGGTAATGTACGCAACATTCCAACGTGAAGGCAACTTCGACACCGCGGCGGCACCAGGCGCGCGGGTGGCGCACCGAATAGACGGCCTCGCTCGGCTCCTTGAGCCACCAGCGCTTGCGGCCGTGGAGCAAGGCGTTCAAAGCGTTTTCGTGATAATGAAACGGCGCGCCGGCGCCCGTGGGACCCACGTAGACCTGGACCACGTCCTGCGCATCTCGTCTATGCAACCACCGCGGGATGCCGTCAAGCGCGGCGTCCAGTGCTGGTGCTGGACGCAATATATTCAAGAGTCGCGGCATCAGACTGGAATTGCGTACGAGCGCGTCGGCGGCGTCACCGGTGTCAAATACGTAATCGGCGAGATCCGAGACGTCGTCGGGCCCGCAGCGGCCCTCGCACGCCGCCGCGGCCACGTCATCACCGAAGGACCGCCTCACGAACGCGCCGAGGCTCTCCGGCGGTCGCGGCGCGCTTATCCCGAAGCTCTGCTCCCCGTGAGGGATGGGGTGCGCTTCCACAAAGACGTCGTCGACCAAAGCCAACGTCTCGGGGCTCCACGCTTCGATCGCGTCGGTCCAGTTACTAGCCGCTCCGCGCCACACGACCGGACGGCCGCCATAGACGGCTCTTGCGAGCTCCCGGGAAGTGAACGCCGTCGAAGACTCGATGTCGCACGCGCCACCCGTCGAGGTTTTGGGGCGCGCGGCCCAGTATTCCGCTGGCGTCTTGCCAAAGAGGTCTCTTTCAAGCGCTAGCGAATCGTCGGCTGCCGCGGCGATGGCGTCGTAGGCGCCTCGCCAGGATCGGCTCGCTGCGACGTGCAACGCATTTCTGCCGAGCATACGAGCCGGTCTTAGGCTCACGTCCGCGCCCAGTTCTATGAGCAAGCGGCACGCTTCTGCCGCGCCGATGTAAGCCGCCCAAGCAAGTAGACCGGTCGCAAATTTCGCATCGACGGCGTCACGGTGCCTCTCGAGGGCGGTGACGAAGACCTCGTCCGAGACTTGGACGTTCTCCGATGCAGTGCCATCCCGCCACTCACTCCCAGCCGCGCGCCGCCAGACGTCTCGGAACGCCGCCGAGGCGTTCAACAATCGCAGCGGTGTCCCCGGCGGCGCATTGAATTGCGCCGTGAGCTCGCGTTCGCTGCGCGAGACTTGCAAACGTCCCGTGAGGCGCCAGGCGGTCCCGTCGAGGAGCTGCAGGTCAGCTAGCAGCGGCCGCCGCGCCCGCGGCGGGCCCGCGTTGAGCAACAAGGCCACTGCCGCTGCCAACGCTGCCACGCCGACGCATAGCAGGACCGGTGTGGCTTTGTTTTGTGCCATGGTGTCTCTCCGAGACGCGCGCGGCACGAGATTCTCCTACTGCATTAGAGAGAGCACCGCAGCGTTTTCGCACTTAGAGGACTCGCGCGAGCTGCATCGACAGCAGTCGAATGGGTGCAAAGGGAGTTGCGCGCGCGTATTTACGCCGATGGCGGTGCAGCGCAATGCAGCCAAAAGCGGAAACGCAGTGAGCAAAACCCGTGCCCATCAGACGCGAGACGCCCCGGCGGCGACCGCCACAGACAGACTCGGACACAAACCCAACGCCATCGACGCGAAAACCTACAAAACAATACTTATATCCGCCGGTCGTGCCGCGCTCCTCGTCGAAAAGGTAGGTTGTGCAGCAGCCGGCCGAGCCGTCGCCTCGGCCCCGCCGGCGCCGCCTCCACCGCCTCGGCGCGGCCATACCGCGCCTCGGCCAGGTCCCGGAGCGCGACCATGTACTGGAGCGGCCGGCGCATCGCGAACCAGTTGACGATGACCATTGGTATGGAGCCCCTAGGGTCCATCTGCGAAACCATCGTGTACACACAGCCCGTCCCGTCCTTGTGCGGCTCGACCAGGTGAAGGCCATTGAGAACGCCGCGCACGTGCGATTGCGCGACGGGCGCCAGGCGATGGACCGTATTCGTGTTGAGCACGAGCTCGGTGCCATCGCTGCGGCTCTCGCGCCGCACACGCACGACGAAATCCCTCGGTTTTAAAATTAACACCGGCTTCGTCCGCACGTGGCTTATCCGCTCGTGCTTGCTGAACCACTCAATATCACTACCTCCGTCAAGCGTAGGGTTGAAGAGGCGGGCCGTGTCGTAGTCGCGCGTGAGCAGCAAGTCCGTGAAGAACCGTGGCGGCACCGCTGCGTATACTTGGGACTTGATTGCCATCGGAGCGGACGTGCGCTCCGCGTGCTCGACCCGCTTCCAGACGCGCACGCCCTTCGCGTTGAGGACCGGATCCCAGTTCGCGGTGGAGCGCGCGTCCGCCAGCGCGTCGGCCATCGTTCTCGCCGTGGAGGTGCCCTCGGCGGCGTTGTATTGCACGCTGGCCTCGGCGTTGAGCAATGACGCCAAGACCGCTGCCAGCGCGGCGACGCCTACGCATAAGAGGACCGGTGTGCCTGTTTTTTGTGCCATTTCGTCCCCAGTTGACGCGGCGTCGTGCAATCTCAGCAGAGCCGCCGCGGCACCGATGCGCTCCACAATGCCTCGGAGAGCACCGCAGCACTTGAGAGTATCTCACGAAATAGGGCGCACGCGAGCCGCATAGATCACGAGCAGGCGCACGAATGCAAAAATAGCTGCGCGCGCGCGTGCATGCCCCGTGCACCGCAGCGCACCGTGCGCTTGCGCATGAAAGCGCTGTGCAAAACCCGGCCCAAAACGCCTCGACGCGAAATAACCAAACAGTTGTTACTTTATCCTCCGGTCGTGGGCCACGTCCCTCTCCTCATCAAAATACAGCGACGACACGAGCCCGCCCGGCGACTCGCGCACGGCGCGCGGGAGCGCCTCGCACGCGCCGACGCCCAATTTCGCCAGGTGCAGGTAGGCGTCCGTGCCGTGGCCCTCGAGCGGTCTAAGTGAGAGTTCACCACCGAAATACCTCGCCAAGCACCGCGTCATCGGCAACCCTAGACCTCCCCCGGCGCCGCTCCCCGCGGATCTGCCAAGAGGCGGGCCGCTACTCCAGAACCAGGACCACGCGTTGTGCCGCATCGGCCTTGAAAACCCACCGCCCTCATCACACACCTTAAACGCGAGGTCCTCGCTCCCGTCGGCGATGACCACTTTGATCCTCGGGTCTGCCTTCCTCTCGGCGACGGCTCTAGCCGCGTTCTTGAACAGCTCGCCGAGCGCGTAGCGCATGTGCTTCGTGACGTAGGTAATTTGGATATCCTTATCACCAACGACGTCAAATTCAAAATCGGTGCCGTAGGCCCTCTTGGCCAATTGCTTAACATCATCAGCCGCGGCCGAAACGACTTCGCCAGGATTGCATGATGTATCAATTAAGGGAGCGATGTCGCCTCTCACCGCAAGATAGTGCTCCGTGAGCAATCTGATCCCAACGCGCGCCGTGAAGAAGCGCTCCAGGTCCCGATCCAATTGCAGCCGAGCAGCGGTCTCCGCTTTGGAAGGGGCATATGAAGGCTCCTTCGTCTCGACGCCGTTGATTTTGGTATCCAAAGTAGCGACGCCGCCGCCGCCACCCCTCGAAACGACGGCCGCGAAAGCCGCAGCTCTTTTGGCCCGGACGGCCTGGGCCAGTGCGAGTGGAATATGATTCCGCGTCTCATTCAATAAACGTGTGATGGTCGCCGCGAAGCGTTGCTCGGAGGCCCGGTCCGTCGGTGCTGGTTCCGTGAGTAATTCTACTAATGTCGCTTCGTAGTAGCCGGCGATGCCACTAGCCTGGTCGTCGTCGTGCGAGCCGAGAGCGCGTCGTATTTCAAAGGCTTGCTTCGCGAGACGGACGGGTAGCTCGGAATGCGTGTATTGTGCTGCTGATAACGCGTCGCCCCGATCACATGCATTCGCCATGTCGTGTAGGCTCAGCGACGTCGAGGGCCGCGCGGCCAGCTCGGCGACGAGCTCCTCCGGCGTGGTTGTCGCTGCGGGGCGCGGCGGCATGGCTGGTGCGGCGAGGTGCCGCCTTACGGTTGTTGTGAGGGCGCGGCGCATCATCACCTCAGCCTGGCTGCTATCAATATCGCTTTCTCAAGATATTTTTGCAGAAGCGCTGCGACAGCGTCGTGGTGCGACTGAGAGGTTTCGAAATACCAACGTCTGCCACCTGTATCCTGCGAGAGGTCACAGATGCCAGCGCGCACGGCGTCCTACGTACTCAAGTTGTGAGGCGGCTGCTTCAGACAGCTTTTGTCCGTAAACCCTCCCAAACCGGTCTGGGCTTGCACTATACACCTCCCTTGTTGCTTTGGTGCATCTATTTGGTCGATTCGTTTGGTTCGGGTTTTGAGCCAAAACGCACACGGCAGTTTTTGCGATTGCCTGAAGCCGTACGCATCGCTCGAGGCTGCTCACGTATCCTCCAAGCCTGTGCCCAACGCGTCGCGGCGATCTGCACGCATCTTTTCGCACATTTTGTGCCTGCCAGCAGCCTGTGGACAGCATCAGCACACAGCAGCGCGCGCGGCGCTCGCGGATCAGTCTCAAACACACCTCTGCAATACCCATATTCAGCAAAACCATGGCCCTCCCGAAGCTTGTGGTCTTCGACCTCGACGCCTGCTGCTGGTTCCCCGAGATGTACATGGTCCGCCGGGGCCCGCCCTTCACGAAGACGAGTGAAAACGCCTGCGCCGCGTCTGATGGAGAGGCCATCAAACTGCTGGGCCAGACGCGGAAAGTATGGGAAACGATAAGTAATGGAGACGAGTGGCAGGACTGCAGGGTTGCCGTGGCCAGCAGGTGCGACGAGCCGGACTGGGCGAGACAGCTACTGAAACTGTTCACGATAGATGATGGGAGAAGCTTCTGGCAGGCCCTGGACGACGGGCGCCTCGCGGAGATCTATAAAGGCAACAAGAAGACGCATCTGAAAGCACTAAAACAAAAAACGGGCGTCGCCTTCGAGGACATGTTGTTTTTCGATGATGACCAAGAGAACATTAGGCATGTGTCGGAGCTGGGCGTCGTGTCCGTGCTGACGCCGGAGGGCGTCACGGCGGACGCCTGGGAGCAGGGCCTGCGCCGCTTCATGGAGGCGAAGTTATACGAGAGGCGTGGCGGTGCCGGGCCGGGCTACGGGAAGACGTACTCTAAGTGATATTGTGTAGTCGTGCAGTGCGGTCGCGGCGACGGCGTCGCGCCAGTAGCGTGCGGGGTTAAACAAAACAGGGAGAGGCTTTTGGTTTTTTGGGGATGCGGCGGCTGCCCATCAAAGCGCATTGATGGTGGAGTGATTCCCACCATTCTGCCCGGTGCGTTTTTTTTCACTGGATGGAGATGTCCACAACAAACGCGCTCGTCGCCGCGGCGCGCGACGGCGACATCAAACAGATAAAAACCCTGGCAAAGCAGTGCGATGTCAACACAAAGGACGAGCTCGGCTGGTGCGCGGTACATAGGGCAGCCGTGCACGGGCAGGTCGCCAGTCTGAGGTGCCTCGTCGCGAGCGGGGCCGACATAAACGCCGTCGACGACGACGGCTGGCGCGCTATCCACCGCGCGGCCTGGGTCGGCGATTGTCCCTCCCTCAAAGCGTTGGTCGAGCTCGGCGCGGGCGTCGAGACGGCCTGCGACGCGACGGGCGAGACGGCCGTCCACGTGGCCGCGCGGAACGGCCGGTTGAAAGCTTTGCGGTGCCTCGCGACCGAGCTCGGCGCGAACGTCGCGGCCCGCGACGCCTACGGCCGCACAGCGGCGCACTTCGCGGCGTGGGAGGGCCACGTGCACATATTGCGGAGCCTGAAGTCGCTGGGCGACCTCGCGCGTGACGCCGACGACGGCGGCGACGCGCTGTTGATCGCTCGTGATCGCGACGGCCGCCTGCCCGTGGACTACGCCGACGACCGCGGCGCGCGCGACGCCGCGGCGTGGCTGCGGGCGCTCGCGGCGCGCAAAAAGCCCGGGCACGCGACGCCGGCACCACCAGAGGCTGGGGTGGCGGCGCGAGCGTCGCAGTCGACGCCGGCGCCCGCAAAAGGACCGGCGCCGAGGACCGCCACGTCGGCGTCCGCCAGGACCACGCCGGCGTTGACACCGAGGACCGCGACGCCGCGAAGTCCGCCGATGCCGCCACCGCCACCCCCGCTGGATGCCGCCGAGCGCGCCCGCGCCGCGCTGATGGCGTCCCAGCTCGTCGCCGAGCTCCAGCTCACCGACCAAAAGGCCGACGCGCTCGCGGCGCACCTCGTCGCGGCGCGCGGCTTTGCCAGTTTCGAGGAGCTGCTGGACCCGGAGCTGCTCGACGACCTCGAGGCCCTCGGGCCCTACGGTTTGCTGGACGTGCCGCGAAAGAAGCTCGCGCAGCGGCGGCAGTGGTGGAGTCGCGGCGAAGAGTCGCTCGTCGCGCCGGACATCGGGCCCGCGATGGCGGCGCTGGGGCTAACGTAGTTGTTTTGTTATGTGCATAGGAGGTAGAAATGGCCCTTGGAGGTCACTCACGCCGCGCTCACCGATCGATGGGAGTCGATGTTACGGTGCTAGGACTAGTGGGCGGAGCCCCTGGGGGGGAGACACCGCGCGTCGCCGATTCATCGGCGGCGGGCGCGGGCCGCTTCTTTCATAACAGCGTACCTCCTTCTAAGCAGAACCGCCTCGGCAAACCCCCCCGAACAATGTGCAACGTTCGCCCGTTCAATCAACTTGTCCCGCGACTTCCCGCAGGCGACCTTGGACCGCGGCGACGCGTTCGGCACCGTACACTCCAACCGATCGATGTTTCCCTAGTGTGTTACATGCCGCTAGCTAGCTCCCCGCCCTCGTTCCGCATCGACAGTGGCATGCCCAGGGCACGCGCTCATTGCTGAAATCAATCGATACAGCCACTCTCCACTGCTGCACCCCGCTGCGGGGCAGAGAAACGCCGGGCGAGATGGCCGCGGCAGGCGAGAGCACACAAGAAGAGGAGGACATCGAGTTCCCAGCAATTTCACCGGCACCGGTGCTCATCGCACTACTCAACCTCGTCCACGCTCTAGTAATCTGGGTCGTGGCCGTCACCGTCCACTTGCCGCGCTACTTACTGTTCAGCAAGCAACGGCGCATCACCATTGATGTAAAAGAACCCACGGGGGAAAATAGACGATGGTGTCGGGAGAATCCTGGTTTGAGGGGCTTCGTGCTCGAGCTCCAGACGCCTACCGGTGCTTTCAAAGCGTATAAGTGCAATTCGACCGAACCACACTTAATAAGAAACGACTACGTCGACGGCAAGTTCTCATTTCTCTTAGCAACGGACCCGCCGGTGAACAACCTGCTGGAACGAACGGGTCGGCGCTTCGAGATGCGCATCCAGGGGCGATGCTTAATAACGCCGACGGACGGCCGGCTCTTCGTCGGCGCGGAGCTCCAGCAGCGCCCGAAATTAAATATAGCGACCAAAGCATTAGTGAAGGGCGCCATGGCCTTCATCAGTCGGAGGACGCCCGGCCTCGAATGGTCACTCAATGACGACGGGAAAGCGAGATGCGCCTTCCCCTGCGCTACCGGTGTTGATTTGTTCGTGGCGACGCACGCAGATCAGACGCCGCCGGACTTACGAGGTGAACTGGTCGAGGAGGATCGAAACAAGAGGAGGGCGAGTTCGCTGGACAATATGCCCAGGTTCGCCGCCGACGGCACGACCTACACCTTGACGCTGCAATCGTCGTTCGTGGACTTTACGAAGTGGCGCGTGGCGAACATGCCCATCGGGTCGCCTTCCTTGGAGTCGCTCATGGGTTCGCAGCCGATCGACGTCGTGGTCTACGACCGGGATCCACTTGACGCGACGAAAAAGCGCTACTGGCTGCGCTACCGCTGCCGCTGGGACGCGGCGCTCGCGCGCTTCGCCGAGCGAGGCGACACCGCGACGCAAGCACCGCGCGACGCGCCGCCGTGCCGGTCGGGCTGCGCCGTGGTCTGCGATGTTGCTGTGGACACGGGCCGGGGCTACGCCGTCCTGCGGGACCGCGCGGCCGCGCCGCCCCTGAAGCTCGTCGCGAGAGACGGCGGTAGAGAACAGCTCGCGGACGGCGACGTCATCAGGGTGCAGTCCGAGGGTACTTACTTAACATCGACGCGGCAGGGCTGGCTCGCGTGGCGCGAGAGTAAAAGTCAAGAGCCGCGGAAGGAGGAGTTTTTTGTGTTGAAAACCGACGGCCCGCTGACGCTGCACGCGCCGTTTTCCCTCGTGTCTTTGGTAAGACCGGAGAGCAGCGTCGCGCTGGCGACCGGCGCGCCGTCGTCGAGATACGGGGGACGGCTCCTGCGGTTGCGGAAGAAGTGCCCGGCCGAGGACGTCGTCCGACTGCGCGCCTTGGACTTCGTCGAAGACAGCGAGGACTTCGAGGAGTACGACGACGTGGAAGAGGATCAGGGCTGGCGCGTCTCCAATATAGCGTGCGCCGGCTTCGTCGAGGCCGTCGACCGGCGCGCGATGCGGGCCTGCCGCGCGTACGCTCTCGTGGCGACGCTAACGTCAGACAAGGAGCAGAAGCAGGTGACGCGCCTGCGGACGGCGGACGAGCTCGCGGCCGTTTTGGGCCTGACCGCCGCCTCATTAACCTGCGGCCCGGGCGGCGGCGTCCCGACGCAGCGTCGGAAGCGCGACGCGGCGAAGGCGTCGGCCGCGAAGGCCGTGCAGACCGCAACTAAAGTAAAAGACGGTCTGAAACATGCGGCGAGCCGGCGCGCGGCCGAGTTCTCCGAGTGGCGGCGGCGGCGGTCGGCCGTGTCAGAGACGAGCGCCGTCGTCGACGAGGATTCGGACCCGGAGTCGCCCGCGGCGCTGCGCGCGTTTGACGACGAGGGTCCCTCCGACGCCGAGGAGCCTCCGATGGATGAGGACGACGATGAAGAGGAGGAGGAGGAGGAAGAAGAGGAGGCCGACGACGACGTCGAGGAGCCCGTTGAAGAAGCCCCGGTCGTCGACGACGCCTACTACGCGGACCCGGACGACTCTGAAATTCCGGATCGCGGCCCGCCCGCTTCCATATTAAATGAGGGGTCGCCCTGGGCGGCGCCCGTCAACAACGACCGGCCGCCGTTCCATCGGTCCGCGGGCGACGGGGCCGCGCATCTGTTACGAAGGCGCCTCGACGCGTGGCTCGCCACCACCCACGACAACGAGCGGACGCGGCGCGACGCCTGGGGTTTGGTGGGCCGCGCGCGAGCTTTGGACGAGGGGTTCCTCCGAGGCGGCGCAGCGGAGGTCGGCGTGACGAGCGAGGTTTTGAGGCGGCAGCAGGACGACAGCATCGCGGTCGTGGCGCGGTCTTTGGGAGAGGGCCACTGGGCCGAGCAGCTCGCGGTTTTGAGGAAAGGTCGGTTGGATGTGCTCGACGCGCTGGGATCACCAAAAAAAATCGCGCTGCCGCTGAACGAGGTCCTCGCGTGCCGCTTCGTGGAGGGGCCGTTCCCCACGCTGGTCGTGGAGACGGTCGGCCTCTGCCACTATCTTGGGTTTGCGGACGACGACAAGCGGGACGCCTTCGCCACTTCTTTGAGCATTGCGCGCTCCAGGGCCGCCGAGTTCACGCCGGACGACGCTTGTCTCCCGACGGCGCGCGACCCGCGGGACGCGTTCATACTAAAACCGCCTTCGTATAAACAAGCTCGATTGGTCCTGAACGCGCGGCGCCTGAGTTTCGACTTGAGTCTGGAGGAGGACGGCCTGCCGCCGTGGGCGCGCGCGCGGAACTTATTGAGGCGCCTCGCGGCGGCGTCGCCGGACGCGGCGGCGACGGCCCAGGCCGAGTTGTTTGATGAGGCGGCGTCGTTAAAACGCATCGCCCTCGCTGACGTGGGCACGCCGGCCGAGGCGCTCGCCTTCTTCCTGAACTTGTACCACGCTCTCTTATTACATGCGCTGCTCGTGCTCGGCGCGCCGCGCGATGCGACGACGTTCGCGAGGACCGTGAGCTATGACGTGTGCGGCGACGTCTTCAGTCTGAACGACCTCGCGCAGTGCGTCCTCCGGGGCCGGCTCCGGCCCGAGCAGGAGATTGTCGTGCCGGAGGCGACGACCGCGACGCGCGCCGGCCGGGCCCTCGCAGCAGGCGCGAAGCTGCGCGACGCCATTTCCAAGCGGTCCGCGTCGCCGCCCAAGCCCCCGACGCCGTCGAACGCGCGGTCGTCCTTCGTCGCCGCGCCGGCCTTAGACGACGCGCACTGGGCCCTGGCGCTCGCGGCGAGCGACGGCCGCGTCGCGCTCGCGGCCCACTCGGGCGCGCGCGACTTCCCGTCCACGATCATGGAGGCCGACCCGGCGACGCTGCCGGCGACGTTGGATGCGGCCTGCGCGCGGTTCCTGGACCGGCCGGGCTGCGTGTCCATCGACGAGCGGCGGCGCGTCGTCGCGCTCCCGGCGGCCTGCGAGCTGCTCGTTTCTGATCAGGAGCCGCGGGAGGTCGTGCGGGCGCTCCTCCGGTTTGTGGGAAAGCGGCTCTGGCACCGCCTGTCGGCTTTATTACGAGACGAGGCGCCCGTCGCCGTCGTCTTCCGGCCGGCGGCGCGGCGGTTCCACGGCGCGTGGAGCGGCGCGTATGATGCGCGCACGCACGCCCCCCTCCCCCTCGCGCCTTTACCGTTCCGACTCGGAGGTCGGACTAAATTCAAGTACCTTAGGAAATCTCGACCGTCGACGCGCTCGCCGCGGGGAACTGGCGCCGGCCCCGAAACGCGCGCGTCTCCTGCTTGGTCAGGCGTTGCACGTCCTCCTCGGACGGGAGGACGGACTCGTCGACGGCGCCCTCGGCCTTCAAACACGCCTCGTCCATCTGCGACTTTGTCCGTCGCAGTCGATTCACGCAGTCGACCTCCGTCGCCCGCGCGGCCTCGCGATATTTATCGCCTCTGACGCAAGCCTTCTGCCACGCCCGATGGAGGGCCCGTTCGCCCTTCTTGTAGCGCTCTATCCGGTATTTCAAATCGGCGATCTCTGCGTCCCTATCTTTCAGTTTGGCCTGGAGGGCCTCCTTCTCCTTGATGATCGACGTGGAACCCTTGCGGCTGAAGTAGGCGTCTTTTACTACTACTTTCGTCTCCTTCTGGGCCTTCAACGCGGCGAGCTCGCGTTGCAAGCGCTTCGCGTTTAACATGTCTTTCCGCTGGCCAGCTTCCGCCGTGCGGACGCGCTCGCGGTACGACTCCTCGAGCTCCGCCCTGATCGTAGTCTTTTCGTCGTCGTGCTGTTTCAGCGTCTCCGTCTTCCACAACTCAAATTCGGCGACCTGGACCTCGAGCGCGTCGTTCTTCGCGGCCAGCGCCTCTAGTTCCATCGCGAGTTCCGGGTCGGGCTCCTCCGCTTTAGGACGCACGGCCTTCTTCAGGTCCCGCGCCAGCTCGCGGACCTTCCGATTCAGACCCTTGTTGTCCTCCTCCAATGCTAGACAGCGCGTGATCCAGACCGCCAAAGCCTCCTTCGTCTTCTCGCTGACCTTGGGCTTGGGGTGGTAACTCGCCTCGGGCCGGCGCGGTCTTCGGGGAGACGGCTTCGGCACCACCGGCACCTTCTTCGGCGTGGGCACAATCCTGTCGTCGAGATCATCAACTTTCTCACCCAAGAACGTGAGGAACTCCTTGCGCGTCGTCGCGCCGTCTCCATCCACATCCAGCGCTTGCGATAACAGTCGGCGCTCGTTCGGCAGTAAAGGAGCGCCCAATCGCGCCAGGCCGCGGGCTAATTCAGCCCTTCCCAAACACCCATTGCCGTCCTCGTCCAGGGCCGTAAACAACCTCCTACCCGGCGTCAAATCGCCGTCGTCCGGCAATTGAAACGCCGCCGTCAGCGCCGCTCTCCTCAAACCCTCGACGGTGCGCGTCGGCCAGAACGCAAAGGCGGAGAACTCGTCCTTCGTGACGACGCCGTCGCCCGACGGGTCGAGGCAGCGCCGCACCACGAGGTGGGCCTGCCGCGGCGTGAGGCCCCGCCTCGACGACCCCTCGTCGTCCTGGGGGCCGCCTAAACCGTAGCCGGGCGCCGGCAAGTCCAGGTCCGCTTGACACAGATATGATACGAGCTTCGTCGTCTCGATGGTCGTCGCCGTCGTGCCGAGGGCTTTTCGACACGCGTCGAAGGCCGCGTCCACGTCGTCCTCCGTGTTGCCCCGTAAACACCGGGCGGCCGCGTCCATGGCCACGGCCAACTCCGGTTCCTGGCCCTCCGGTGCGTCGTCAAAGGCAAAGCTCACAATATTCTCGAGCGACGTCGCGTCGTCGAGCGAGAGCCCGACGCATCGCATCAGCGCGTCGGCCTCGCGTTTTGATAGGTACTTGGCGGTCGTGCGCCGCACGCGCCACTCTCCTTTGTGCTTGAGCATCGCCGCGGGCAGCGTCGCCAGGTCCAAGTCGTCGTCGCCTCTCAAACGGTCCGCCTCGCGCTTCACGGTCTTCTCGCCGATACTAAGCAGCTCGTCCCCGGCTTTGATGTCGCCCGACGCGCGGCGCGCCACGAGCACGGCGACGGCCGCGTGGTCGAGCTCGACGGGCGCCCGCGGCGCGGGGCACTTTACGATCCTGACGTCCGCGCGCGCCGTGGCCCGGTCGACGTCCACGCGCAGGCCCGCGTCCTTGAGGAGCGCGAGGAACTCGTTGCGGTCCATCGTGCCGCTCCGGTCGGCGTCCGCGGCCTTGAAGGCCTTTACTAAGTTCCGCCGCTGCTCCTGCGGCGTGCCGCCGCCGCTGCGTCCTAACAAAAAGGCGCGGAGCTGCACCGACGCGGCCGCCGCGGCGCGCGCGAAGACGTCTTGGGGCGGCTTGAGGCGTCCCGCGTCGACGTCAATAGTTTCCGTGCCGAACTTGACGGCGGCGCCGCCGTTCGGCAGCGTGTGCGCGACCTTGCCTTCGAGAAAATTCGACGTGCCGCCGTCGCGGACGAGCGCGCGGTCGCCGCGGTGCCAGCGCGGCGCGAGATCCTCGGCCGCCACGAAGACCGGCGGCTCCGCGTCCTCCGCCTCGTCGGCTGAGGGCTCGTCGTCCGACGGCAGCGGCTCGTCCTTCTCCTCCTCGTCGGCGAGGTCCGCGCGCTTCGGCACCCAAGGCTTTTCCGGCTCCGGGGCCGGCCGGGGCACAGCTCGGGGCGGCGGCGCCGCGGCCTCGGGCCTTGGGACCGGCGCGTCCTGTACGACGGTCGGGGGCGGCGGGGCCTTGGCCGCCGGCGCGTCCTGGGCGCTTGGCTTGGGCTCCGGCTGGACAGGTGGTGTATCTTGTGCCACGTTTGCCGGCGGCGGGGCCTTGGCCCCCGGCCGGGCGGGCGGCGCGTCAGGAGCCGGCTTGGGCTCCGGTTGGGCAGGTGGCGCGTTCGCAGGAGCCGGCTTGGGCTCTGGCACTGGTGCGTCTTGTGCCACATTTGCGGGCGGCGGGGCCTTGGCGGGCGGCGCATCCGCGGGAGCCGGCTTGGGCTCCGGCGGAGCCGGCGACGACGCGTCCTGGGCGACGTGCGCCGGCGGCGGCGCCTTGGCCCCGGGCTGGGCAGGGGGCGCGTCAGTAGCCGGCTTGGGTTCCGGCGGGCCAGCTGGCGCGTCCTGCGCCACATTTGCGGGCGGCGGCGCCTTGGCTTCGGGCCGGGGCGCCGAGTCTTGCGCGACGTGCGCCGGCGGCGCGGCCTTGGCTTCCTGCGCGGCCTTGGGCCGCGGCGGCGCCGGCCGCGCGGGCCGGGGCGGCTTCGGCGCCGCGGGCGCCGCGGGCGCCGCGGCGGCGTCGACGCGCCCGAAGCCCTTCGACGGCCCGGCGTCGCGCTCGGCGCCCTCGCGCGGCCGGAGGAGCGTCGGCGGCACGTGGCGCTCGACGACGCCGCCGTCCTCGTACTTGACGTCGTAGCCCGCGGGCCCCTTGGCCGTCGCCGCGGCGGGGCCGAGCACCGTCGCGTCGACCCACTTGCCCGTGGCGCGGAACTTGCAGCTCACGGCGTCGCCGCGGCGCCAGCTCAGGACCGGGGGCTCGGGGCTGAGGCGCCTCGCCGCTTCCTCGAGCATGACCTGCGTCTCGTTGCGCGCGCGAGGCATCGCCGGCGAGTCGGCCCGGCGCCGGACGGGCGACGCCTCCTCGGCCTCCTCGGCCTCGTAGTCCGCGTCGAACGCGCCGCGCAGCTCCGCCGCGGCGGCCGACATCTCGCTCGGTCCGTCGTCCTCGGGCCGCGCGCGGGTCCAGTGCGGCTTCGTGGGCGGTTTGTTCTTCCCCTGCTCCCGGATGCGCGCCATGCGGCTCTCGAGGTCCTTTGAGGCGGTGCGCTTCGCCGTCGCCGTCGCGCGCGCGACCTCGTCGTCGCTCGTGTCCGGCTCGGAGATGTCGCTGTGCACGTCGACGGCGCCGAGCTCGTCGCGCAGGTCCTGGGCCGCTCCCGCCAGGCTGGGGGCCATCTTGCTGGTCTGCTGCACAAGTTTGCTGGTTTGCTGCCCACAGCGACAAAAGGACGACGACGGCTGCCCGACGGCGCGGGGCGGCACAGGAAGTACTATCAGGCCTTGAGTCGAGGCGCCGGGTGGCGTTTGGCAGCCCCGTATGCGGCGGCAGTGCGCAAACCGTGCAGCGGCTCTAGTATGTTACACCTAGCGCAGCGTGATTGCCTCGAGTGCCGCTGGACGCTTGGAGCTCAGCCGATCGGGGGGCTGACTCATCCCATTAACGTGTGTGGAGCCCACCGACCGCCCGGACCAGCGTGACCCCTGCTCGGTCGACGACGAGACGCTTGGGAGGCTGCCAGAGCCCGGCGTGCCGAGGCTGCACGTCGGGACGAGTTGTAACAGACCTGTGGCCGAAGCTGCCTGTCGGGACGAGAGCGGCGCTTGGCGCGGGCAGAGTTATCGCAGGCGTGAGCGGGGCCGCCCGTCGGGAGGATGGCCCGCCGCCTCGTGGGCTGCCTCCTCGCGCTCCTGGTGCGGGGCGACATCGACTATGCGGAGATAAGTTTCTACCCGCCGCCGCCCGAGAAGTGCGCGCCGACCGAGATAACACTAACCTTCGAGATTGCGGGCGGCCTGCAACACCTGGACACGGTCTACTTCTACCTAAACCAATTTACCAGGGGCGGGTGTAATAATGGCAACGGCGGGAAGATCAGCGACGGCCTCGTGCTGCTCGGCGCGCCGTCGGGCAACGACGAGTGGCAGGCCGAGTACTACGAGGGGAGCGTCGACAACATGTACAACGACTCGTATATCATCCTCAAGGCGAAATATGACGTGATCGGCACGGCGGGCTACCGGCACACGGTCGTCATCGACGCGTCGAACGACATCCGGCCGAACTGCGGCTCGCCGGCGAACAGCTCACTGATGCGCGTCAAAGGCTTCGTCTACAAGGACGCCAAGGCCCAGTACATCCGGCCGGTCAACAAGTCGGACGCCGTCGACCTGACATGCTACATGACGGACACGCGTCTCAAGTTCCGACCGGCGATCCCTAAGGAGTCAGCGCAGATTGAGGTCCGTTTCCGCAGTGCGAATCAGTGCATAAATCAAATTGTCGCGGCGCGTCTCTGAATCCCCGACTCACTGGTTGACTTGAACACAGGCGCGATCCACCTCTACGTCGGCGACCGCGTCCGCGTTCAGATGGCTGGCTGGACCTCGGGGAAGGCTGATGGCATACCCGGGAGCGATGACTACTACGTAGCGGTCCGCGACGACCTGGCAGTCATCGGCAACTCGACGTGGCTCTCGGGCTCGTGGGAGGAGGGCTGCTGCTACGAGGCGCACCGCGCGGGCTTCCTGAACTCGACGCTCGTGCTCACGGCGCTGCAGTACATCCGCGCCGGGACGACCGTCGAGGTCATCGTGCCCCGGCAGCAGCTCCGGCCGCAATGCGGCATGCCCGGGCCCTACGTAAACCAGACCATGTCCGTGCGCCGGGCGGGCCAGCGGGTCTACGAGTACGTCAAGAAGGCGTACCCTGAGAATACTCTAGACGGTGCAATTGATAATGCTGTTACAACTGTTACGCTGGCTACCGGTGGTCATACCGCTCTCGGTGTCGCTCAAAACTCCTACATCTTAATTGGCAGCGAGGTTATGTTAGTGAGTGGCGCTGTATCTAGTGAAGCTTTGACCGTAACCCGAGCTCAAGCCTCAACGACTGCTTCTGCACACGTTGACGGAGCGAAAGTATATCTCTTGACGGAGTCGACCCTCGACGGAGCCCTTGCTGATAGTGCCACGACCGTTAATGTGGATCTCAACACCGGCGGTCTCGGCGCGGCTGCGAACACCTGTGTGGAAATCAACCAGTGTGTCGGGTGCACGCGATAATTCTTCACTAAGTCATTTCTCGGCGACTACGTGGCCGCGCTGGCTCCGTCGAGCGGTGGGGAACCGGCATCGCCACGCCATCGAGCAGGCGTCGCGTCGATGGCGTGGAGGTCGACGCGGCGATTCAGGACGAACGTGCCGTAAGACTTTGATTTCCACACACAGGCGAACACTTATATACTGATCGGAAGCGAAGTTCTCAAAGTCACGGCCGTCTCGACGAACTCTCTGACCGTAATCCGCGGACAGGATGGAACGACGGCTACTACACACCTCGACGCGGCGAAGGTGTTCCTGCTCAAAAGCAATGTGAAAACAGTGATGGAGCCCTACGCAAAACAGATAACGGAGACAACTATTAATGAAGGCGCCGCCTTTAGCAAGAGTGATACCACGCTTACGGTGACTTCTGGAACTACTCTTGGTGCGGTCGCCAACAGCTACATCTTAATCGGCAGCGAGGTTATGTTGGTCACGGCCGTGTCTACGAACGATCTTACAGTAACAAGGGGTCAAGACGGAACGACCGCGGCCGCGCACGCCGATGGCGCGAAAGTATATCGCATAACCCAGACGACTGTTAGTGATGCCGGGGACGGTAATGCGAACTTGGCTGCTGCTGATACTACCCTTTCGGTGACTCTGAATGATCCCGGTCTGTTTGCGGCGGTTAATTCTTACATCCGGATCGGCAGCGAGGTTATGTTAGTTACGGCCGTCTCTACTAACGATCTGACCGTGACCCGCGCCCAAGACGGTACGACGGCTGTTGATCACACCGACGGGAGTATGGTATATCGATTAACTGAGTCAACTCTAGATGGTGCACTTACTGATAGTGCTACAACCGTAAATGTGGACTTGAACACGGCTGGTCTTGGCGCGGCCGTGAATTCGTACATCCTGATCGGCAGCGAGGTTATGTTGATAACTAACGTTGCTACTAACGCATTGACCGTAACCCGGGCGCAACACGGGACAACTGCCGCGGCTCACGTGGACGGGGTAAAAGTGTTCCTCTTGAAGGACACGTTGGACCACACGCTGGAAATCGATTCGACGTACGTGTCAGGCGTCGAGGTCGTCGCGCCCCGGCCCATCGACGAGGCCAACGCCATCGGCGACGGCTGCAAGTCCCTCGGCTTCTGCACGGGCAAGGGCGAGTGCGACCACTGCACGTCCACGTGCCGGTGCCCGCACGCCCACAGCGCGGTGGACAACTCGTACACGTCGTACAGCTGCGAGGCGATCAACTGTCCGACGGGCATGGCTCCGACCGGTGTGGAAATCGGCGCGCCGTCGAGCAGACGCATTTATGGCGCGGGGCAGACATTCGATTTCTACACAGGCTTGGGCCGATCTGCCCTGGCATCCCGGAGGCGCCGGCGACAACACGTGGGCCCACTACCGGCGGCTGCCCTGCTCGGGCGCGGGCCTCTGCACGGCCGCCGGCAAATGCAGTTGTTTCGCGAATTTCTTCGGCCCAGCGTGCGAGCGGCGGGTCTGCCCCGGTGGGAGCGCCGAGACGGGCGACTGCTCGGGCCACGGCACGTGCGCGACGATGAAGCAGCTCTCGATGCTGCCCAACGCGCTCCCGCTCTCGAAGAACAACGTCAGCGGCTACCACGCGGGCGACCACGTGCCCTACTACGAGCACCACGCGCACGGCCGCGACGACGGCACGTGGGACGCGATGCGCCTCTACGGCTGCGTCTGCGACTCGTCCTGGCCCGTCGGCCTGGGGCCCGGCGAGACGCAGGAGCCCGAATATTTTGGACCGACCTGCGCGGCGCAGCACTGCCCGTCGGGCGACGACCCGATGACGGCGCGCGACGAGACGAACTGCACGGGCGTGCTCGCCAAGGGCGGTCACGGCGTCGGCGAGCCCGGCAACCTCTGTCACGTCGACTGCTCGAACCGAGGCTTCTGCGACCACGAGACGGGGCAGTGCAAGTGCTTCCAGGGCTTCTACGGGCACAACTGCCACTACAAGGACGCGCTCGCCGTGCAGATCGAGATTTAAGAATTTTTGATTGTAGTCTTTGTATATCTCCGAGCAAAACCCGTGCTGTGCGGAGCCGTGCAGCGTGTACGCCGCGTTTAGGAAATCGCTAGCGGCCAGTAAGACACTAGGCATCCCAGCAAAAGCACTTGACGGCGTGCGGTGTCCGTAGCTGATAGCGCTTAGAGCGCCGTGTGGGGCCAACTTAGCAGAGTGTAGAGTACTCATTTAGCTCAAGACAGTGGTCAAGGCGAACAAAGGGTGAAGGCAGTGCATGGGCGTTGGACACTACTGAAGGACAGGCTGTGCTGTGGGTAGCAGAGAGAAGCCGCAGGGATGCCGCCCCGCGCGCTGGGCCTCGTCGTGGCCCTGCTGCACGCAGGCAGCGCCCTGCGGCCCGGCGGCGCGGGCCCGTGGCGGCTCGGGAGGACTGTGGCACGCGCGGCAGTCGACGAGGACGAGGCGTTCGAGATGGCAGCGCGAGCCGCCGCGCGCGCGGCGCGGCCGCTCTCCGCTGACGACGACGACGACGATTGGGAGTTGGAGCCACCCGCGCACGCACCATCGCATGAGGCGCCGAATAGCGAATGGCGCGACGTCCGCGCGCGGCTCTGCGCCGTAGGCCTCGCGACGACGGGCGAGAGCGACGGCGCCGCTCGCGGGCGCGCAGAAAAATGGGCGGCCGCGCGTGTCGGGGGCTGGGCACACGCAACGCCGCGCGCCGAGGCCGGCGGCCTGCTGCTCCGCAGCTCATTCGAGACACAGCTCCTGCGCGACGACCTGCCCTGGGCAGCGCTGGTCGGCGCGCACGGCCGGCGCCAGCGGACGCGGCGCGAGATGGCTGCGGCGCGCGAGTTCTGCGTGCCGGCGAGGGAGGTGGCCCGAATTTGCGGCGAGCCCCCCGCATGCCTGAACAAACGCCGCTACCGCGACGCGCAGCGCTATTTGCGGCACCGGTTGCGCCGCGTCGTCGCCGTCGGGTCCGCGGACCCGCGCAGACTCGAGCGCGAGGACGTCGCCTTCCTCGACGCGCACCGCCGCTGTCTGGACGCGAGGCACGAAGTCGTCTTGCTTCTGACCCACGACGACGCGCGGGGCAGCTCCGGCGTGGCGCTCGGTCGCGGCGTCGACGCGCGCCTCGAGGGCAGCCGCGAGCTCAGCGCGTCACTCTGCGCCGCGCTCGCGAAGAACGGCGACGAGGTGGGGCTCGAGTCTTTCGACCGCGCGTTCGGAAATCGCGTGGCCGTCTTCGCGGGCCGGCGCGGCGACGCAGCTCGCGCGGGTACCGGCGGCGCCGTCGTGGTCCACGGCGTCGCCGGCCTCCCCGGCGCCCGCGAGCTCGCGCCGGGCTGCGGCGTATTTGTTGGCGGTGCAGCGGCGGCGGCGAAGTTGGTCGCGAGCGGCGAGGCCGAGGCCGACGACTTCGCCTTCTTCGTCGGCCGCTACGAGTGGGCGCCCGGCGAACTGTCCCGCCACGTCGCCGCCGGCGTGCACGACTCCGTCGCCTGCGCGGACACCGTCACGCTCGCCGCCGCGAGGCATGCCGATCGCGCGCAGACGCTCTGGCACGAGCTCATGTTCGCGCTCGGCGGGCGCCACCGCGACGTCTGCGTCGCCGAGCTCGACCGGCCGGCGGTGTCGAGCCGCTGACTCCATCGACAACTCCATCGACTGAACATCGATCGAACATCGACCCTATCTTATCCCATCGAACTATCGGACCAACGTGCCCACGTGTCGCCTCGACGTTGTGCTCATTGTATCATCCAGATAACGTGTGTAAATATCCCTAATCGTCTCTTTCAATTACAGGCAACGATGCTTAGACGACGACAGGACGACAGGAAAACGACGACGACAGATGCGCAGATACGACGCGCGTGCGATAGACAATTCGATGGACGATGAGCGATGCGATTTCAGGCCGCCGCCGCGCGCGGGCGCGGCCGGACCTTGGTGCGCGTGGGGTCGAGCTCGGTGAGGCGCGAGTATGTGAGGAAGCGCGCGAGCTCGTCGACGCCAGCCGTCATTGCAGCTAATTGCGGGAACGCGGCGAGCGCCGCGAGGTCGACGTAGCCCTCCAGGTCCATCAGGCTCTTCAGGTAAGTGTCCTTGGCGAAGTTCGCCGGCGCGAAGTAGTGCTGTACTTGCTGAACGAGTGCCACGCCACGTGCTAATTCATCATCCGCGACGGCTAACGCTGCGCGGTCGCCCGCGGGTAACTCGGCGAGCGCCTCGGCGAGCGCGGCCGGGTCCACGGCGGCTGCCCCGGCGACGAGCGCGCAGTCCTTGGCGCCGGCCTGCGCCCCGACAGCGGCGAGCGCCGCGGCGACGCGGCTGCGGCGCGCACACGCGACCTGGTCCGCCGCCGTGCAGTCGGCCCCGGCGCAGACCAGCGATCCGGCGGCTGGCGCCGGCGGCTCGACGTGCCGCGGCGCGTCGACGACCGGCCGCGGGCGACGCCCGCGCCAGCGCGCGGCGCAGCGCGCCGCGTGGACCGCCGCCGAACCCGGCGTCGCGAAGACGAGCGAGCAGCCCTCGGCGCGCGCCGGCGCGTCGCGCAACGCAGCGTCGACGGCGCCCCGCCGCTGGCACGTCGCGACGTCGTCACATTCCAGACATGAGGCGAGGTCCGCGACCGCGAGATCCGCGAGCTGGCGCGGCACCTCCTCGATGTCGCCGAGCGACGGGCGCCGCGGATCCAGGCCCGCGCGGTCGTTCATGATGGCCCTCATCACGTAGGCTGAGGGATTACGCACGCCGCCGCGGCGCCGAAGATTCAACAAAATGCGCGCCGCCGTCGGCGGCGGGAGGGCTTGCAGCGCCGCCGCGGCTTTCGGGTCGAGCGCGGCGAACGCGCGCGCGTCGGCCTCGTCCCAGTCGCGCCACTCGTCCTGCGTCGTCGTTTGGTGCGGCTCGAAGCCCGGTGGCGGTTCCGCGTATTCGTTCGGGGCCTGGTCGGCGTAGAACGGCACGTAGTATACGGTGCCGGTCGGCACGTGGCGGGCCTCCTCTCTCCTCGCGTTCTCGACGGAGCGCACGGCGTAGGCCGACGGGTTCTTGACTTCGGCTCGCTTCGCGGCGAGCTTGGCCAGGATTGTGGCTTGCTTGCGCGGCGACACCGTCCCGAGCGCGGTGAGCGCCGTCTCGTCGAGCGGGATCGGCTCCGCGGCGTCCGCGGCCGGTGGCGGGGGTGGGGCATCCTCAGGCATTTTGGATCCTATCCCGCTTGCTTGCAGCAAGATGCCCTGCCCTCTTGTTTACGACGTGGCTACTGCCGCCCTCGATCAGCTAAGCAAGGATACCCTGTTCTCACGGCAAAATTCACACAAGGGCTCAGCCCCCGAGGGACGGGCAGGCTGCGGGGGTGCAGTCCTCAGTTCAGAGTGTGACTCTGGCTTCAGCTGAGACGACTATGCACTTCGGCTCCGCCGGCAAGCAAGATTAGCTAGCGGCCTGTAACACACTAGCCTACATCCGGGGGGAGCGGGAGGGGTACGGGGGACCCCGCGACGTAACTAGCCTGAGCCTGAGCATCACACACGTACTCTCATTGCATAGGGGCATATGGTCGTTCAGCGGTACCGCGCGATAAACCCGACCACGTGCGCGCTTGCTGGCACCGCCGCCCATGACCTGACGATTAACTTGCCTTACTCCTCTCCATGACCTGGGCAGCCCAAGCCATGTTCAGGCAGCCGATGCATGCACCTCGCGGGAGCCCTACAAACAAGCTAAGCCGCGTTATACGGTGATACCCGCACGGTCTAGCGCCGCTCGTCTAACTCATCCTCGCCTCACATCCCGTACCTCCACCATCGTGGTTGCAACTGACGGAGATGAAAACGCGTGAACCCGCACGATGGCATCGACGTACGCGAATGATGCATGCGACATAGGCATCGACCATTGAACTGCACACGACCGACAGTAACGACGAAGGTCAACTTCGGCAGCACTGCGGCTGCGCTTGGTGTCGACAGGGTGCAGTGTGCCAGCAGACCTGCAGCACCCATGCGCGCGCTACTCGCACTAGCCATCACCGCCGCCGCGCTCACAGCACCGCAAAAGAATGTCGAAGTCACGCTGAAATTAGCCATGGATAGAAACGGCGCCGTCGACGACCTCGGCGACAAGGCGGAGCGCTTCACGTCGCCGGCATCGCTGGATGCCGTCCACCGGCTGCGCCGCCACTGCGACGCCGTGCTGGTAGGCGCGTCGACGGTCGCACGAGACGATCCTTCGCTGACCGTGCGGCGCGTGCCGCTCGCGCCGCGGACGGCGCAGCCGCTGCGCGTCGTGCTGGGCCGTGCGCCGGCCGACGCGGGCTTGCTCACAGACGGCCTGGAGACGGTGGTGTTTTCCAAAGACGACGGCCTCGACGGCGCCGGCGCGGCCGCGCTGCCGGGCGTCCTGCGGGAACTCCATCGGCGAGGCGTCAACCACCTCATGGTCGAAGGCGGCCCGCAGACCGCACGCTACTTCCTCAGCGCGGGGCTCGTGGACCGGGCCATCGTCGTGCGGGCGCCCGTCGCGTTCGCGGACAAGCCCGTCCCGTCGGGCATCACGGCGGCGACGCTGCGGAGCGCGGGGCTATCCTTCCACTCTCGCCGAGACGTGTCGGGCGACGACACACACGTCTGGACGCGGGGCGCCCACGCGCCGCTGTGGGGGATGCTGCTCGACCGCGACGAAGAGGAGGACCCGCCATAAGCGCGTTTTGTGTGTCTCGTCTTGTCCGAGGAGATCTCCTGCGCGGGCTGGGAAGAGTGGTCGCTGCCTCCCCCACCCTCGCAGCTGCAAGCCGTAATATCTGCTGCTCACGCACACGACCGCGCTACTGCCGCGCTCCCTCCCCAAGCAACAGACGCGTACTGGACTGCTCTCTTGCCACTCCGCAGCATCCGTATTTTGCAGGGGCGCCGCGTTTGGTCGCGGCGTGCCTCCAGAGGCAAGAACAAGTACTGCACCAAAAAAGCTGTGCACAGCAAGATGCGCCGCGGCGTCGCAACCCTCCTGCGCACCGTGCGCTGCGCACCGCTGCGCCGGTGCAACACGAACAACGCCATCCTGAGCGCCCACCGCGAGAACCCCTTCGCGGACGTCGCGCACGCGCACGCGCGGGCGTCGTCGCCGCCGCTCCGGTCGGCCCAGGACATCGTCGCGGCCTGGCTCGACGCCCCCGCTGACGAGGTCGAGTCCTATCCCGACGCGGCCGTCGTCGCGGGCTGGCCCGCCGCGGCGCCGCCGCCGTTCCACCACTGGGACGACGCGCCGCCCCTCGCCGGCGACGACGCGCCGGCGCCGGCGCCGCTCCGCGCCATCAAGCGCACCTTCCAGCCGTCGCTCATCCGCCGCAAGCGCAAGCACGGCTTCCTCCGGCGGCTCTCGGACCGCCACGGCCGCCGCGTGCTCCAGCGGCGGCGGCTCAAGGGCCGCAAGCGGCTCGCCTCGTAGTCGATTATTCGCACCGTCGCATCATGTCTAGTTGAACATACTAAGAAGTAGTATATATACATCAGTAATCTCTTCGTACATTGGACACGTTCCGATTATTGGGCGCCATGCGCAGATCACGCGCCCATGCGGCAGCCCACTTGAGAGGCACCGCATTTCACGTGCAGAGCAATTGCAGAGTGCCAGTGCCAGTCGCCAGTGCCAGAATCTTCTACAAAGGGCTGTCCCAGGACCACCATGGCGGGCTGGGCAGCGCTAATCCTCGTCGCGCTTCCACTGGCCCACGCGGCAGGCCCAGTCGGTCTGGCCCTCGACACTACCTGCACAAATGCGGAATGCTACAAGCAGCGTAATATGACCCTGCTCAAACAAGCGCTGCTCGCTAATTACGACATGACGATACAACCACCCCACTTTGGTTCGGAGCGCGGCGCACTCGTCTCGGTTCAGTTGGCGCTGCAGCAATTCCAAGAGCTCGATACCACGAATCAAGAGATAAGATTCTTCTCGTGGTGGCGGCACTCGTGGACGGATCCTCGATTAGCGTGGAATCCGGATCATTGGGGCGGTATCACCGAGTTAACGTTTTTTGGCCACGACGAGCACAAACAGATCTGGATCCCGGACACAATCGTGTACGAGGCGGTAGAAAGCGTGTTTCAGGTACCAGGCGGCGTGCAGCCTAACGTGTACTCGAGCGGCGGCGTGTGGCAATCCGTTCCTGTCGAGACGAGATTACCCTGCCCTATGAAGCCGCGCACGTTTCCCTTCGACGAGCAGACATGTGAATTCGAATTTGGTTGCTGGTCAACTCATGGCTTCCAGGTCGACATCAAGCCTAGAGGGGGAGACGAACCCGCGCCTTTTACCCTCGCTGCCTCGTACCGACCGAACCCCGAGTTCGATTTAGTGGAGGTACGAACTGCAGCTATTGATTTCATTTACGGGTGCTGTCCGGAACCCTACCCGATAGTAAAGTACAAGTTTCGAATGCGGCGTCACAGCGAGACGTATAACTACGGCCTCGTCGTGCCCATGATCCTCACGACGCTCGCAGGGTTCCTGGCGTTCGTGGCAAACCCACAATCAGGGGAACGCATCTCGCTCGGGATCACGTGTCTGCTCACAAGCGCAGCGCTCTACATTGTGGCGTTTGAGGTGCTGCCGAAGACAGGTAATATGACGATTATTAGTTTGCTATATGTTCTTTCTTTCGCGTTTTCGTGGACGACACTCGCCGTGTCCGTGCTATCCGTATCGCTCTATGGCGTGAAATCTTCGACTGGCGTGATGTCGGAATACGAGCTGGTCAGCGCGTTCGTGAAGGCCGACACCGATGAAAGCGGCGATCTCGACAAAAAAGAGGTGGAGAATGCGGTCAAGAAGTTAGGACTGCCACCAGCTAAGCTACAGAAACTACGAAAGAAGCTGGACTCGCTCCACGGACAGCGATTAACGCTTCCGGTCTGGTACGATCTTGTGGGCGACATCTACGAGACGGACGGCCTAGCGGCCTATCACTCGTATATCGTCGGGATCATCCTCATCCCCTTTGTGAAGCTCGAACGGCGCAAACGCAAGGCATTTGTGCTAAGAAGGGTCCAGGCGGCCAACGACCAGAAGGACCTCAGCGAAAGCACCATGTCGGAAGCAAACTCGTCGAACAGTCCGGGCCTGAGGCGCCGCCAACCGTCGACGAAAGCCGTCGCTCCCGAACCCGGCACAAAAGCTGGCGGCAGCGACGAAGAGGCCCCGGGCGAAGGCCTCGGCGGCGCGCGCCTCGAAGATCTCGTCACGGACCACGAGCTGAGCGACTCGTCGGAAATCGTCGCAAGGCGCGTCGCGGGATATCTCGACCTCGCCGCGATGGTCGCCCTGCCGCTGTGCTACATGATCGTGGTCATCGTCGTGCCCCGTGTCATTTCTCGGCGCAACTTCTCTCCTTCAACCCGATTCCCCCGCAGGTCTATTTCGACCGCTTCGGCGCGATGACGGAGGAAGAGGAGTTCAAGGGGACGAAGATCAACCACGTGGCACCGGCGAACTTCTGACACTTCCGACACTTCCTTCGATACACCCCCCTGCTCGTATAATCTTAGTAGATTCGTCCTGCAGGGCGTCGATGTTACGGTGCTAGGACTAGTGGGCGGAGCCCCTGCAGGGCGTAGCTAGCGTATGTAGACACTAGCAAGAGGCAAGCCTAGGCAAAACGAGCAGAGTGTTGCACGCCCGCGCGCCTACGCGGCCGATCAAACGGCTGCGAGAGTGCTTGGCACCGCGCAAGAGCAGCTGTCGGCAGCAAGCGCCGCGCACGAGGCGCAGAGAGCTTGCTGTGAGGCGAACCAAAAAAAGACTGCCACAAAACACAAATGGCCGAGCAACCAGAGCGGACCCCCGGCATCATCGACCAGGCCAAGGCGGCCTACGAGCAGGTCGTCTGCGCGATCATCCGGCCGCCGCGGACGACGTACGACGAGCGGCACCTCGGGCCGCGGCGCTTCGAGTTTTTAGGAAGAACCTTTATCAGAGAGGACTTCGAGGTCCACAACGTCAAGGACGAGCGCCTCGTCTGCTCGCGCTGGGCCGCGGAACAAAGGCCGCCGATGGTACCTACCCTTATCTTCATGCACGGCAACGCGTCGGCGCGGCTCGAGGCGATCCCGCAGCTCGGGACACTCCTGTCGCTGGGCGTGGCCGTCGTGTCCTTTGATTTTGCGGGGAGCGGGTTGTCAGACGGCGAGTACGTCACGTTGGGAGCCAACGAACGATTAGACTGTCGAGCCGTAGTAACCTATCTGCGGGCGGAAGGTAAGACATCGACAATAGCCTTCTGGGGGAGAAGCATGGGCGCCGTCACCGCTCTGTTATATGCCGACGAGGATAATATGGTCGACGCGATGGTCCTGGACTCGCCCTTTGCCTCCCTCAAACTACTCGCGGAAGAGCTCGTAGAGCGGGCCACGGAGCAGACGTCCACAAAAATCCCAAAGTTCGCGGTCAGCGGCATGCTCCAGATCGTCCGAAGGACCATTAGATCGAGAGCCAAGATCGACATCAACGACATCTCGGCCATCGACCACACGCCGAAATTATACGTACCAGCATTATTCTGCGTCGTCAAGGGCGACTCGTTCATCGCGAACAAGCACTCGGAGCTGCTCCACGGCTCCTACGCCGGCGACAAGTTCATCCTGTCGGTAGAAGGGGACCACAACGACGCGCGGCCGCCGGCGATGCACGTCTTTGTCAGGAGGTTCTTGGAGAGGTACATGCAGGTGCCGACGTCCTGGGCGCTCGAGAAGCGCGAGAGCGTCTTTAGTACGCTGCCGCCGTGGCACCCGACGCACGGCCGGGTGCTGCCGTCGGAGGGGCCGTCCCACGACCTGCTGAACCTCGAGGACGCGAGCGGCGAGCAGACCGTGGGCATGACGCGCGCGCGCGCGCGCGAGGTCGAGGGCGCCGTGGGCGATTTATTCGGCGCGTCGCGGAGTGTCTAATTTGCTATCTTGTTATTTTTTTCCTCGTCGGCGGCCGCGGCGACGTCGTGTGGCATTCCAACAACCCCCTCCGCCGGCCGTCGCCGCCCTCCGAGCTAACACTCGGGGCGATTGGAGGGCCCCGCGTCGGTCGCACGTGGTGGCTAGGCGGCCTAGCTCTAAGCAAAGCAAAGCAAAAGCACAACAAATCTCACGTTACTACAAAAGCGCTTCGTTGACGCGGTCCGCCACCGCGACCTGGGCGCGGCGGCAGACGTGCGTGTGCTCCTGCACCTCGCCGGGCCGGAGCAGCGCCGTCCGGTCCACGGCGACCGTGTTCGGCAAATCCGCCGCGACGCGGGAGACCGCCGCGTTGACCTGCCGAAGCCTTTCAGAGAGCCGCGCGCGGAGCGCCGCCGGGATCTGTTCCAGCCGCTCCCGCCAGCCCGGCGCCGCGAGGCCTAGGTCCCACAAATCCGGCGTGAGGAGCAAGACTAAGCCGGCACCCGGCGCGACCTGGGCGCGGAGCCAGCGCGCGTCGTCGGCTATCGCCGCCGGCGTCAAGAGATCCGCGGGGGTTCCGAACTCCGCGGCGACGGCGTCGCGCGGCGGCGCCACGGCCCGGCGCCAGAGAGACGCCCAGGCGTCGGCGAGGCCCGGGGCGCACGCGACGTCAGTGTGAGCAAGATCCACCGGAAAGCCACACGTGACCGGCCAGAGCGCGTCGACCTCGCAGTCCTGGACGACCACGTCGTAGGACCGCAGATCGTTCGAGGGCGCCGTCGCCGCCGCGTCGACCGCCGCAAGCGAGCGGGCTGCGGCGGCGGCGAGGCGCGGGTCGCGCGCGGACGCGCGAAGGAAGTGCACGGACGAGAAGCGCGTCGCCGCGTAGCGCGAAGGCACGCACGTCGGTGACGCGTCCAACAGCGGCGCGAGCTGCTGCGTCGCGCACCAGCCGCGTAAAAGGGCGCGCCGCGCGTGTGTTACCGGTGGCGCCGCTAGCGCTTCGTCATCGACGACGATGGTGACCGCCGACGCGTCGACAGCGAGGAGCCCCTCGGCCGCCGCCGGGAGCGCCGACGCATCCAACTGCGCGACGAGCCACGCCGCGAGCGCCGCGTCGACGCGCATGCCCGCGCAGCGGCAGCTGAACGTGAAGTGCCGCGGCCGCCAGGCATCACCGGTGCGACTCGCCGCGACAACGCCCACCACCCCATACTCGCCGAACGCGTCCCTCACCGTCACCTTCCAACAAATCCGCTCGCCGGGCTCGTCTTTGTAGCTATCGTAAGCGCCCGCAGCGACGTCGAGCACGTCCCAGGTCGCGTCCGGCCGGTCGACGTCCTTCGTGTAGTTGAGTCGGTTCGATCGCTGTAACAACTCGACGAGCCGGTCCGCGTCACCGTCCAGCGCCGCGACACGGCTAACGGTCGCGACGATGGCGCAGCGTCTCAGGAACGCGTCGTCCTCCTCCTCGGGCTGCCGCGCTTCGTGCTTGCGCTCCAGGACTTTGTAGCGCGCCAGGCGTTCGCGAGCGTCCGGCGCGCCCCAGGCGACCGGCAGGAGCGCCTCTAAATCATCGGGCGCGAGCGCCCCGATGCCCTCGCACCGGCTCATGACGTCGGCGCGGTTGCTCGCCTCGTCGTCGACGAACAGCGCGTGGCGCGGCGACAGGTGCATCGCCTCGAGCGTCCGGAGGACGCGCGCGCCCTTGGAACCCATGACGTCGTACTCGTTGAAGACCAATAGTTCCCGCACGCCGAGCGTGTCGAGCATGCCCTCGGCTGCCGCCCGCGGGGCGCGCGAGCACACGCTCGACACGATGCCGCGGTCGGCGAGCGCGCCGATGAGATCTACGAGCGCGCACCGCGGCTCGACGCGGTCGTCGTCCTCCAGCGCGCCGTGCCAGAGCGTGCCGTCCAAGTCCCACACGATCACTTTCACGGTCGCCGGCGCGGCGCGCGTCGGCGGCGGCGCGGCGACGGCCGGCGCCGGGTCGTGCGCCGAAGCCGTCCAACACAGCAACGCCTCGCGGCGGCCGCGGCGCACGGCGCGCACGCGGTGACGCAGGCGCGACGCGTCAAACACGACGAAGCTGCGCGCCGGCGGTCGTGCTGGTAGTACGACGTCGCCTTCGGCGTCGAACTCGCCGCCCTCGTAGTCTGTGGGATCGCTCAGGAAGACGACGAGGGCGAGACGCCCTTCGTCTTCTGTCTCGTCGACATGCCACGTGTTGAAATGGTCTCCGGTTTCGTAGACGGCTAACTGCGCCGTAGCGAGCCGCCGCGGCCGCGGCGCTCCGCTCGCCGCGAATGCGTCGGCCAGGGCGCCGTAGACCGCCCCGGCGCCCGGCGCTGTCGCGGCGAGCGGCGCGATCGCCACGGATCGCATCGGCCCGTCCTCGACCGTTGTCGCAGCCCTTCGTAGCGCGGCGAGTGCGGCATCGACCGCGCGCGCGTCGGCGCCTCGGAAGACGTCAGTTTCGGAGTAATAGAGCGGTGCCGCGGCGCGCGGGCGCTTCCGTCGCGGTAGGTCCAGGTCGTCGTCTTCGTCTGGCCGCTGCATTTCGATGCGTAGTCCCAGCAGTCTGGCTGAGGGCTGCAGCCTACCCTGGCGCCCCCCAAGCCTCCTGCGAAGTGGCACCGATGGCGGCAGCGAAGAATTGCGATCTCTGGTATACGAAACGCTAAGAATTGATCCCAGCAAGGTCGATTTGCGCTCGATTGCGCAAAAAAAAAGGGCCGGCAAAACCCGTTTTATTAGCCTAGGCCCGAGCGATCTATTGACACTATTTTATACGACTCGGGGCCGGCCCGACTACTTCCGCTTCTTCCTGCCCGGCGCCGCCGGCTTCGCGGCGGTCGCGGCCGGCGCGGCCGCGGCCTCCCTCTTCAGCCTCTTTCGCCGCAGGTTGTCGGCCATGAGCTTCGACGCGAGGGCCAGCAGGAGCATCGGCGACCGCTTTTTTTCGTCCCAGAACCGCCGCAGGCACCCGACCGGGTCCTCGAGGAACGCGTTGACCGCTCCGGAAACGCCGTCTCTTATCATTTGGACCACGGCTTCCCTGCGCTCCGGCGACCACGACGCAATCGTGTAGGAGAGGTAGGCGCCGCCGATGATGAGGGCCGACGAGGGCTTCATTTCGGATGCGTGTCCTTTCGGATGCGTGTCCTATGCAGCCCGCTGGTACACTAGGGATGCAAGGCGGCCCACTGGTGCCTCCCGCGCAGCAATGGGGCGTGTGGACGTGCTTGACTTCGCGTTGGGCTGCCCGGCGTGCCTGCGTCTCGTGCTGGCCTTCGAAAACACAAACACGAAACTGGCTAGTACCTCTGCCGCTAGGTCAACGTTTTAACTCGTCGATTTGCGCCGCATGGAAGCCGTGGATACCTCTGCCGTGAATACATAGCCGCTTCACAATGCTACTGGCCCGACGCGCGCAACAATGGAGCCATTCGTGCACCGCTGCGGCCGTCATGGGACGCCTGCATCGTCCTGCGCTGCTCCTACGCATCAGCACGCAGCGGCACCACGCCTCATCACTCGTCGCCGCGGCGGACCGCGCTCCATCACTCGTCGCCGCGGTGGACCGCGCGCGCGACGCGGCGCGCTTGAGGCCGCCGCCGCCCGTCGTCGCGCGGTACCTCGCGACGCGCGCGCCCGACGCGTACGCGGTCCTCGGCGTCGCGCGCGGCCTGACGGACCGCGACTACAAGGTCGCCTACCTGCGCAAGGCCAAGGAGTGGCACCCCGACCTCCGCCCCAACGACCCGACCGCCACCAAAAAGTTCCAGGAGCTCTCCGCGGCCTACGACGAGATCAAGGACTCGGGCGCGCGCGCGGCCTACGACGCGCGCGCGCGCTTCCAGGACACGGATCCCGGCTACGGCCGGCCGCGCCAGCAGAGCGCGCAGCAGAGCGCGGCGCAGGCGGCGGCGACGTGGGCCGAGGCCTGGGCCGACGCCGGCGCGTTATTGGAGGCGGCCCAGGCCTGGTGGGAGGAGGAGTACGCCGCGCTCGACGAGGACGTCGAGGAGTTTTCGGCGGCGGTGACGCACCGGCGCCTCGGCGACGCGCTCGACGTCGTCAAGCGGCGGTCGGGGCTCATCGTGAGCGTCGTCGTGCCCGCGCTCGTGTTGTTAAGGTGGCCCGGCGCGGCGGTCTGGGTGCTGCGGGGCGTCGCGCCGCTCGCGACGGCCGTCATAGGCATCGCGGCGCGCGTCGTGCTCCAGAACCCGCGGCTCCTGCCGTTCTTCGTGAACATCATCCGCCAGGTCGGGGGCGGGCTCTGGCGGCGGGCCGTGGCCCGCGCGCGGCGGCGCCTCGCGGACCGCGAGCGGCGCGCGCGCCGCGACGAGCAGCGGCGGAAGAAGCATGCGCAGCAGACGTGGGAGAAGCGGCGGCGCGGCGGTGGGCCGTGAGTTTAAACATAGTTGTTGTGTCTGATTCATCTGTCGTTCCGGCTCGCGTCCGCGTTGTCAGTGGCGCTGAGGCCAACGACGCATTTTGCTCGCAAGCGTCGCGAGAGGTCGACGGCGCCCGGAGACGGTCCATGCTCGCTGGGACGCGTCCGGAGAAGGGACGGGGTTCGACGAATTGGCTGCCTCTGCACAAGGAGGACACGAAATCAGGCACGGATTTCGGTGTGCCCGCGCCCCGGAAAAGACGCAGGGCAGCCTCGGTTCGAAGTCCACGCCAAGCCCGAAGCAGCCATGGCAACCATGGCCACCACCACCACGACGACGCACCTCACGGCCGGCCTGGAAGACGCCAACCTCGCCTCGAAGATCCTGAGCCACCAGGTCGCCGCCGACGCCGTGCACAGCCGCGAGCTCGCCGCGCTCCAGTTGAAATATGCCACGAAAACGACCGAGCTCGACGCCGCGCACGCGACGCGCGAGGCGCACCGGTCCCAGCACGAGGAGGTGCTCTTCACCAACGACGACTCCGACGATGTTGTAGGGGACCTGGACGGTCTGAAGGCCCAGTACAACAAATTGACGCGGGCGACGGCGGCGTCGCGCGCCGCGCACCGGACGCGCGTCGCCGAGGTCCGCGACGCGCAAACTAAGGAAGCGACTGGGCTGCAGCGCGAGCAGACTGCTTTTAAAAAGTCGCTGGCGGACGTCGACGCGACCTACGACGCTTCTGTAAAAACGCTCGAGACCCAATTACTACTGCTATTAAGGTCCAAGCTCGAGGCGGCGTCGAAGCAGGAACTCGACGCGAAAAAGCGCCTCATCGACGAGGCCCGATCGAAGCGGGACTTGTTAAAGGGGGACCAGTCGAACTTAACGATCGACCTCGAAGGGTTAGAACGGCGCCTCGAGGACCAGCGGACGCGGCACGCGGCCGAGGTCGCGGCGGCGGCGCGCGACGCCCTCGCCCAGGCCCAGGCCGAGCTCGCGCGGCAGCTCAAAGCCAAGAATGAAGCGGGCGACCGCGCGAAGAAAACGCTCCAGGACGAGATCGAGGCGCTGCTGAAGGCGTTGGCCGACGCGAAGAAGAGACATGACCGCGCTTTGAAGGACGCGAAGAAGCAGCACGACGCCGATATGAAGCGGCGGCGCGAGACGCACGCGCACGAATTGAGAATGGCGAGCGACGGCCGCGAGGCCGCGGCTGATGGGGAGGTGGACGCCCTCGAGGCCGACGCCCGAATTAAGAGAGAGCAGCAGGCGCGAGACCTGGCGTCGTTAAGAGATGCGATGGCGCGCCTCGAGAAGATCATCAAGGACGCGACAAACGCAGCAAAAAAACTAGACAAGGAGGCTCCCAAAAATCGAGCGGCCCTGGAGCAGCGCCGCGACAAGGATCTGGAAAAACTGCAGGCTGAAAGGAAGAAAGCTTTAGAGAAGCGAAGGAAGCGGCGCGCGCGTGAAATGGAAGAGGCCGTCCTGGACGCGACGGAGCGCGCGCGGCGCGAGGGCCGCGAAGCCTGCGATAGATTAGTGGCGGAGGACGATTCGGCGCGCCGCTTGGACGACGAGGCGGAGCGACTACGACGGTTGTTGGCTGAAGCCAATAAACGCGCCGAGGCCGCGCTGCAGAACAAGAAAAATAGGTTGGCGGCCCTGGAAAAGGATCACCGGCGGGCCATGGCTGCCGTCGTCGTGGACCACGGCGAGGAGCCCGTCCAGGCTTCCGTAAGAGACGACCTCACGGACGCGCGGGCCATGGCCCAGGCGCGGCGGGCCGAGCTCGTGCTGAGCGACAAGCGCGCGGCGGCCGACGAATTACGGACGGACTGCGCGTCCTACGCCGACGCGCTGGCGGCGCTGCAGCGCGCCTTGGGCGCGGAGCGCGCCGCGCACGGCGCGTCCGTGCGGCGGCAGCAGGCCGAGCTCGACGCGAAGGAGTCGGAGCTCGCGTTGCTGCGCGCGGAGGCGGGCGACGACCTGCGCCACGCCGACGAGGGCGCCAAGCTGCTCGACGCGCACGACATGAAGGGAGACGAGACCGTCATGGCCGAGTGGCGCACGCTCGTCCAGGCCGAGAAGGAGAAGTCGAACCACGCGACGGTGCGCGGGCCCGCCGGGGACTACGTCCACAGCAAGCGGTGGGACGCGTGAGTAACTTCTTCTAGCGGCCCTTTAGGCCGTCTACGCGGCGGCGACGGCGAGCGCCCCGAGGGCGAGTAGGGCGATGCCGGCGCGCGGCGCCGCGGCGTCGCTCCCGCCCCCGCTCCCGCACTGGCCCTCGTCGTTCATCTGGTAACACGTCCTTCCGTTGACCGATACTTTGCCGACGCCGGGCATGCCCTCGCAGCACCAGGCGTCGGAATAGCAGCAGGCGCCGTCGCTGCACCGGTTTTGTTCAGGCGTGCACGGACCGCCGTCGAAGCTGTGGCCGTCGATCGTGACGGTCGAGTCGTTCGCGGCCGCCGACGCGAGCGCGAGCGCGAAGATGGTTTTGACGAGGCGAGCCATTGCGGAAGACCTGCGCGAGACGGAGAATCCTTGATATGAGGAGAATCCGTGCTGATATGAGGCGGCGCGCGCGCGTAAACCCTGGGCAAAAAACAGTCCTGCAGCAAAATAGCGAAAATCGTTGCGGATCGATGGCGATTTCGACGGGCCGAGGTGCCGCCTGGTTGTGCCCCAGTCTAGACTATATTTTTTTGGTCCACACGCCGCGTACGATACTTTCCAGCTTGCTCCTCAGGTCTCTACTTTCCAGAGTGCGGGTTTCCTTGCGCAGCACAAGTATCTGAAGCCCCCAAAACGTAATAAAGAAACATGCCTAGGACCGATACGGCTACCCGGATGGTAACGCTCTAGCCTCGTCTCCCAGCTGCAGCGCCAAGAGGCGCGCCCCTCTCGCACGGCGCACGGCACACAAGCTACAAAGGCTGGGCACCGAGAAGCACGGCAACCATGTCGACCTGGGGCTGCCACGCGGCCATGCTCCGCACGCTGGAACGGCAGCCCCCCGCGGATGAAGCTCTAGTGGGCCCCCAGGCGTCGGTCGTAAGGCGCAAGAAGCTCTCGCGGACGAGCCAGCTCCTCACGTCCGGGTTATTGGACTCGGCCCTCGACGAGGTCCAGCCCCTGCGCAAGATGAAGCGCGCCTTGGCGGATGAAAGAGCGAGGCGCCGGCGGCACGAGGTCGCGCAGCGCGAGCCGACGATTTTTGATGCGTTCGCCATTCATGAAGGTGTCGAGGATCTGGTCATCGAGTCGGACCCGCCGGGACTCAAGACGACGCGGTGGCTCGAAGCTCCGGACGCGAAGGCTCTGAGGGAGAACAAAGATGCGGCTCTGGAAAGAGCAATACAAAAACTGGAAAAGGCGGCCGTCTTCTTCGCGCGCGGGTCCGGTTTTGATGGGTGGTCGGGACCGAAGGGTTTACTCAAGCCGTCGGCGGCTTTTGTTGCGTTCGAAGGCGCTGAGTTCTTGAAAACAGACGTGAAACGTAGAATAAGGATCTCGACGAACTGCCACCTGACGACGTCGGAGGCGAACGCCTTCGCGGACCACTTTGAAATTGATGAAAAATACTTTGATGGTCCAAAGTTTGTCCAGTGGTTCTTCGCGCAAGGCTATCGGCTGCGCATGGTCGAGCTGAATAGGTTACAAGCTGTAGCTGAAAAAGAGCGCCAGGAGGCCGTTGAAAAATTCAACCGGAGTTCCTCTGAAGACCTGAGAGAAAGATATAAAGTTGTCACTGCGCCGTTTACCGCAGAAGATGAAGCATCTGCGAGGAAGAAGTTGCGGGAGGCGGCGTCGAACCGGGGGTTGGTCGGCGACGTGGCGGCTCGCCGATCCTTCGGCGGGACGATGACGCCCGCAGAATTAAGGGACCAGCTGAAAAAGTCCTACAAATTGAGCATGACCCCCCAGGAGATGGGCGCCGTGTTTTCAGCGTTTGACAAGTCCGCAAGGACGGGCGCCGAGGGCGGCGACGGCTGTATTGATTCCACCGAATTCACGTACGGCTGGGCGACGTTTATGGAGGACGCGCGGAACGTCGAGCGTGCCGCGAACGAGAAGGCCCTGTCATTGCGAAAGGTTTTACATGAACCGCCGGCCATGGACACGCTGGAGGAAGGTAGTGTCGATCTGAAGGCGTCCTTCGTCGCGTTGCACGACGGCGCCGCGCCCAAGAGGGACGCCGTGCGCTTGTCCTTTCGGGGAGGGTACAGGCCGTCGAAGCATCGCGGTAAAGACAGCTACTCCATGGTGCGGGAGCGGAAAGCAAGGGAGGAGCTCGGGCTCGATGCTCTGGAGGTGCCGCACGTCCAGCGGCGGCCGTCTTCCTTGGTGCTGTCGCCGTGCGTCAAGCCGCGGCCGTTGGTGCGACCTCGATCTATCCTGAAAGAACAAACAACGCCGACGCGCGGCCGCCTCGCGACGAACGCCATCGCGCCGCGCCGGACCTCAACTTTTCGGCGGCCAACCACCTCAGAGCTCGAGGCGACGGCCACGCCGAAGACGGGCCGGCGGCGCCTTTCCAGTAGTTCGGACGCCGTCGGCTTTCATGGAGGCAACCTCGACCTGCCCGTGGACCGCACCGTCGGCGCGCGGCGCCAGGTCACGATCCACCGCCCAAAAACGCCCTTCGACTCGCGCGCGAACGAGGCGCTCCTCAGCCCGGCCCGGCCCGACTGAGGCCGTACTAAGAGTTTTCTAGGTTGATCTTCTCCTGGCGGCTCGCCATGCCTAAACTGGCTACGTCAGTCATGTTACGGTGCTAGAACTAGTGGGTGGAGCCCCTACGCTACGTCTTTGACCTAGGTAGCCCCTCTAGCCCGCTCTGTGGAAGATCGATCGTCTCCGGCGCACGAAAGCGCCGTGTGGCGATTGTGACGGGATTTGGCACGCGTCGACGGGGTCGCGGCGCCACCGACACGCCATCGCTGCGACGCAGCAGCCATGAATTGGGCACTATGGGCTGCCCTAGGCAGCGCCATGGCACTGGTCCAAGACATGCCAGAGGAGGGCGAAGCGAACAGGCTCAGCGCCAAGAATTTTAGAAAGCGCTACGCGCGGAAGGGGCTGCCCGTCGTCATGCGGGGAAATGAGGACGGCCCGACGTTCGATGAACTAGGAGAAATGTGCCCCGACGGGCCCATGGAGGCCTATGAACTACACGCCGAGGGCAAGGGCTGGGCGGGTTTTAGTGATGCGAAGCCCTGCACGGTCCACGAATTTGTACAAGACGAGTCGGCCAAGTACGGCATGGGTTTGGATCTGAAGTGTTGGTGCCCGGACCTCGACGTGTCGATGCCGCCGTTTCTGAGGGACGACCGTCACCGCTTCTCCGAATTTCAGAGGAAGTACTGGCCGTCGCTAGCTCTGGGGCGGAAGCACGGCGGGACGCAGATGCACGGTAGCGACCAGATGCTGCCCTGGTGGTTCAAGGTCGTAGCCGGGAAAGTCGATATACGGATCATGCGCATCGAGGAGTGGCGGCCGAAGTTCGCTACCGGTTCAGACCCGTTGATCATCAACGACCCGAACCCCGATTTCAACGGGCCGTTCGATGCTTTTGATGATAGTGCATTAAACGAGGCGAACGTGACGTTGTACAAAACACTTGCCAAAGCAGGCGACTGGGTCTACGCGCCGGTTGGGGCGCTGCGGGCGACAAAAATTATGGGGGAGGAGCCCATCGTCGCGGCGTTCGGCTTCTTCTTCGACCATGCGCACAAAAAAAGGTTGCTGCGGGATTTCTGCGACAAGTACGTGGAGACGATGACGCATCGGTTGGCACCTTTAGGTGCTAGAACGTGCGGCTACCGCGGCCACGGCCGCGCGCCGGACGCCGAGGTGACGGACCCCTGTTTGCTGTGTCTAGATATTGCGGGCGCGCTGGACGACGCGTCCGCGCGGGGCGCGCGGCCGCCGTCGTGGCATTTGGCAGACGCCATCTTCAACGCCGGCGCGCACCCGCCCGCGTGCGCCGTCGAGTCGCGGTTCTCGCGCGAGTGCCCGGGGGCGCAATCAAGGTGCCCGGCGCCGCGCGAGCGGCCTTCAGAAAGGAAGCGGCTGGCCTACGGCGACATCGATTTAAATGGGGACCGACATATCTCGCGCCAGGAAGTTGGCGTGGCCGTCGCGCAGGCCGCGGCCTTTCATAGAGCCCTGTCCCTGAACGCGACCTATGATGATTTAGCGGCCTGGGTCCAGCGCGAGCTCGGCGAGGTCTGGCCCGCGGGGAAGCCGTCGATGACGGACCGGGCGCTCGACGAAGCACTTAGGTTGGGGACCGAGCGGTGGGCCGCGGCGGATTCTGGAAGGGAGTTCGTGAGCGGGGAGGAGTTGTAATTGAAATACTAAATTACCGACGCTTCTTGGACTTCTTCTTCGGCGCCGCTGCCTCCTCCTCGGCAGAGATCCGTTCCCACTTCGCGGCGAACGCGTCGAAGCCCTGCTGCCGCTCGGCGCGCCGCGACGCGAACATGGCCAATAAATCCGAGGACGGCTCGTCCGAGGCCGCGGCGGCGCGCGCGGTCGCGACCTCCGCCGGCGGCGCGAGGTCGACCTTCTCGTCGTCGTCGTCGTCCTCCTCGCTGGACGACATTTCCTCGGCGTCGGCCTCGAGCTCGGCGAGCGTGAGGATCGTGGCTTTGGCGATGGGCTTCTTGTGCTTTTTCGGCAGGTCGCCGGCCCGCAGCGCGTCCTCGAGAATCGTCCGGTAGCGCTCGGCGTCGTCGTCGGTCGAGCCGATGATGGACTCGAGGATGCGCGCCACGTCGCCCGAATGCTTCCGCGCGTACTCGACCACGTCGGTGCGCTCCTCGTCCGAGTGGCGGTACTCGGCCTCCGTCGCGCGGATGTCCTCCTCGGACACGGGGATGCCTCTATAATGCTCGTAGGCCGCCGCGAAGTCGGCGTCGTCCTCGACGGAGCCCGTGCGGTCGTAGCGGCGGCGGCGCACCGGGTCGCACAAGATGTCGTAGGCCTTCTTCAGCGCCAGGAAGTCCGCTTTCGCCTGCTCGTCCCCGGGGCGCTTGTCGGGATGCACCTTGCGCGCCAGTGCGTAGTACGCCTTTTTGAGCTGCGGAGGCTGCACGTCTTTGTCCACTTTGAGGAGGGCGTAGAGGTCGGTGGAGGCCATGGCTGCTTGCGTGCAAGCGATGGTGTCTCTAGAGGGCCGAAAGGCTACGTTTTTTCAAAAAAACTAAAGCGGTGCCGGGGCTTGCTAGCGGCAGTAAGACACTAGCAAGCTCCTGCCTCCAGCACTTTTGTAGGCCGCATTGCTGCAAATAATGCACGATACGCGATGCACAAGGCTGCTGCAGCCTCATAAGGCGGACTGATCTTGTGCCTACCTAGGTAAGGCTGCTGCAGCCTCACAACCTTGTGCAAGGCGGCCTGATCGTGCACAAGGTTGCTGCAGCGTCATAAGGCGGTCTGAAGACGGGATGGAGCACTCCCAGCTAGCAAGGACACAAGCGATGCTCACCTGGCTCCGCGCGGCCGGAGCCGAAGGCCTCGACAACGTAGAAGTCAAGCGGACGGCCTACGGCGGCTTGGGCGTCTTCCTCGCGGCACCCGTCGAGACGACGTCGATCGCACGCATACCCGTCGAGTGCTGCGTGACGGCCACCGCCGCTCTTACGAGACCGGTCGGCCGCGCTGCCAGAGAGGTCCTCCCGGACTGCGCCGATGAATTTGTGCTGGTCCTGGACGCGGCGACGGGACGCTCCGACGCCACTCACCCGCAGCACGCCTACCTGGCGTCGCTGCCGGCCGGCTCCCAAAGCGCCAGCACGTTTTCCAAAGCCGCAAGACGACTCCTGAAGGGTACGGCCCTCGGCGACCGCGTCGAGCGCGAGCGGCGCGAGGTGCGCGCGGCCATCGGCGACCTGCTCCCGCAGCTCCGGGAGGCGCGGCCGGACCTCTTCGGCGAGCTGTCGGCGGCGGACGTGCGCTGGGCGCGCGAGATGGTCGTGACGCGCGCGTTCCGGGCCGAGATCTTAAATAACGAGGGCGGCGCCTGCGGCGTGCTCTGCCCGCTGCTGGACCTCCGGAATCACGCCGACGGCGCGGCCGAGGCGACGCCGCGGGCCTCGGACGGCTACGTGCGGCTTTGTGCTCCGGGAATTGAGGTGGGCGCCGAGATCGTCACAAACTACGGGGAGGTGTCGAACGCGGACCACTTGATGTCGCATGGCTTCGCGCTCCGGGGCTCGCGACACGAGACCTTTGCGCTCAGCGTCGCCAGCGGTATCTTCGACATCTGTCCGGCCGGCGGCGACGACCAGTTTCCTTGGGGGCTCTACGAGAGCTTCGCCTCCTCGCCGGAGGTCATCCTCGACGCTCGCGCGCTCGTACTCCAGGCGTTCCGGCGGAATGAGGACCGCGTGCGGTTAGAACCGGAGACGCGCATTGTGCTCACCGCGATCCTCCGCGCGTGCCGCAAAGCGGTGGGACCCTTCGACGCCACGTGCCGCCGCGACAAAGCGCTGCTAGCTCCGCCGGGCCCCGAGGCCTCGGTCGCAATCTACCGGCTCGGCCAGTGGAGGATTCTGAACGACGCGGTCCACGTCCTCGAGTACGCCCTCCAACGGCGGAAGAGGAAGTGGCGCAAACTCTGGGAGCGGCGCCGCCTACGCTTAGCACAGTAACTGTTGTTAAACCATCTTCCGCACGCGCCGCATGAGCACCACGACCCCGACGCCGAAGACGACGTGCGCGCCGACCAGCACCAAGAACGGCCGCCGCCACGAGTCCTCGAAGGGCTGCAAGACCTCGGGCACGACCTTCTCGGACAGCGTCGCGTCGAGGCCGTTCTCGGGGTCAGCGACCTTATCTTCAAAATTCGACTTGAAGGCGAGTTGCAGCTCCAGGACGCGCCGCTCGAGATCCTCGGACAGCGACGCCTCGATGCTATCGTCGAGCTGCATGAGGCGGTTGTGCTCATCATCCACAATCGCCTCGAACTCGTCTTCGCCTCGGTCCACTTGTGCGCTAAACGCGGCTGTGGAGTGCTCGAAGACATGACTCAGATGATCTAGCTTGAAACTCATCCAGTCGACCATTTTTTCGATGGCCTTCAATCGCTCATTGTCCAAAGGCGCCTCCGTGCCTCTTGGTAGGAACTTGCGCCAGCCCGTTTGTAGGTGGGCGTCGTGTGCTCTACTATCCGCAAAGGCTTCGACGCCGACGACGTCGTGCGAGTCTCTGGACGTCCCCGTCGCCGCGGACACGCCTAGGTGGGCGGCGCCGAGCCAGGCCGCACCCCTTTCAGCTACCCTCTTCGGCACTTCGACGTCGGCGCACAGGCGCCACTCGTTTTGATTGGCCTCGTCTATTAAGAGTCGCAGGCGATTCGGCGTCGCGACGAGTCGTGCTCGCGACTTGTTTCTATGATTATAATCGTCCCTAGACGCGTCCTTCCGCAATGATACATCACATGCTGCAGCTTCCAATATAGGTTCTCGGTCACTGGGATCGTCCGGCAGCGAGTCCGAGGCGACCAGCCGCACCTGATTCACGCGCGTATCAAATAGAGCGGCAGCCCCAACGAATCTGTCGGACGCGCCAAACGCCTTTCCACTTACAAAGGGTCCTTCCCTTAACCACAACGCCAAACCTTCGCCCGCGTCCAGCGCTTGGGCTCGCCCCGACAGCCGAAACGTCATCACAATACTCAATCTTTCGGAATTCGCCGCATCTCCAAACGGAAACGCCGACCATAAAGCGCCCGCCGAGTTCTCCTGAAAAGGTGTCAATCGCGCAAAGCTCTGCCTTACTTCGGTGTCGCCGTGGGCGCGCCACTGGTCGCTTACCGTTAAAGTGGCGTTCTCGTCTATACTCACAAAGGGCGGCACGAAGGAATGAAAGTACAGCATCGCCGTGTGCGTCTCGGCGTCGTCCTTGTTAATCCAGCCGCCCGCGTTCAATGGTGCTATTCCATGCTTCGCGTGCTGCTCGTCAGCCGTTGCGGCCAAGAGGAGGGTCGCGAGGAGCGGCCTCATCGTCTTGTGCCGAAGCTAGGCCTGATGTTGGACTGCACCAAATTTGGGGCTGCCCCCACGCCGTACAATGCAGCAGCGCGCGTTGCACCAATGTTCGAGGCCGCAGCCTTTCCGCTCTGTTCCAGCGCTGCGGCACCCCGAATTTGCAATGTGGGCCGCCTCTATTTTTTGCTGGCACCAAGGATGGCAGTCTTAGAGGCCGCTAGCACCTGGTTCCCCAAACGTCCCTCGACACCTGCCAATTGCTCGTTTCGCGGGCAGGACTCGCAATGCTAGCGGCCTGTAAGACACTAGCGCAGCCTGTCCTGTCACGAGGTTGCAGCTTTGTTTGGGCTCCATCGACTGCATTCCGCTGCAGAATCACTGACTGGTGCATGCACAGCGTTTCACCAATCGCCTTTTGCACATGAACTCACCGCTTGACGCCATCGACAACTGCACATTGCATGCTCTCCCTGACGGGCGAGCTGTCGCAACGCGCTTGGGAATACGAAACGCCTCGACTCGACGCCATCAACGCGACGCTGCACACTGCATATGCATTGCGCGAGGGGCGAGAGGGTCGCAACGCGCTACGCCACACCAATCATGCGCAGGTACCATGCTCGCGTTAAGACTAGCATCGCGCATGACGGCGCGCCGCGCGTCGTCGCGGCGCCTGAGCGTCCCGAGCGTCATGAAGGCTGCTGTGGTGCGCGAACCCGGCGCCGCCGACGCGCTTAAAGTAGAAAGTGACTTCCCCGTGCCCGACATCGCGGCGGGCCAGGTGCTCGTGAAGAACGCCTTTGCCGGCATCAACTTTATTGATACGTACCACCGCTCGGGCCTGTACGCCCGCGATTTGCCCTTTGTGGGGGGCCAGGAGGGCGGCGGCGAGGTCGTCGCCGTCGGTTCGGATGTCAAGGACGTCAAGGTCGGCGACAAGGTCGCCTACTCGGTCTTTGGCAGTTACGCGGAGTACACGGCCGTGCCCGCGGCCAAGTGCTTGCCCGTGCCCGACGACGTGCCCATGGATGTGGCTGTGTCCTGCGTCGTGCAAGGTTTGACGGCGCACTACCTCACGTCGGACGCCCACGCGCAGCTCATCCAGCCGGGCGAGTGGATGTTGGTTCATGGCGTCGGCGGCGGCACGTGCCAGTGGGCGGCGCAGATGGCGAAGATCCGCGGCTACAAGGTCATCGGCACGTGCGCCAAGGGCAAGGGCGACATCGGCAAGGCCACGGGCGTTGATGAATTGATCCTGTACGACGAGGCGCCGGGCACGGCCTACGAGGATTATGAGTCCGTCGACGGCCTCGCGAAGGTTTTGGAGATCACGGACGGCGCGGGCTGCAAGGCCGTGATCGACGGCATCGGCAAGGCGACGCTCGACATGTCCCTCGGGTCCCTCGCGCAGCGGGGCATCTTCGTGTCCTTCGGCAACGCGTCCGGCGCGGTGCCGGCCTACCCGCCGCTGCGCCACATCGCCAAGTCGAGCTTCATGTGCCGGCCGAAGCTCCTGGACTACACGCGGAACCGCGAGGAGCTCCTCTACCGCTCGAACGAGATCATGGGCTGGCTCCAGAGCGGGCAGCTCAAGGTCTCGGTGGACACGTCCTTCCCGCTCGACCAGGCGGCCGAGGGCCACAAGTACCTCGAGAGCGGCGCGTCGACGGGCAAGGTGCTGTACCGCATCGACTGAGTGGCGGACACTTGCGCGTGGGGAGTGTAGGACTGCCTAGTTGCTATTTCTTAGGCCGCAGCAACGACAGCCCCTTCTCCCGGAACGCCTCGACGCAGTCCGGGTGGACCCACTCGACGCCCTCGTTCGGCGACTTGTCGCAGACCACCTTGACGAGGCCGAAGTTGGGGTGCTCCCCGTGCTCCTTCATGATGTCGCGCAGGAGCATCTGGAAGGACGCCTCGGCGAGCTGCTTCCCGAGCGGCGCGCCCTTCTCGAGCGCCTCCTGCTGGTCCTTGTCCAGGCCCTTGGTCACCTCGGCGTAGAGGTCGTCCGCGTTCTTTAATCGAGCGCGGTCGACGGACATGTCCGCGATGTGGCAGTGGTGGCAGCCCATGGCCGCGGCGCCGACCTGCATCGCCAGCCGCAGGATGCCCAGCGAGACGTTGAGCGCGACGCCGTACTTCTTCATCCAGTCCTTTGATAGGGTCAACTCGAAGCCCGGCCCCGGGCCGACCTTCATCGATACGGGGCAGACGAACTGGATCTTCACCTTTTTCCCGTACCACGCGCTCGGCGAGATCCAGCTCGCGAGGCCCTTGGGGTCGGCGCGGGCCATCCACACGAGCTTCGGGCACTCCGTCGTGCCACTACACAGGTCGGCCAGGAGGCGCGTCTGGCCGCGCGTCTTCGCGACGACCTCGTCGAGCTTGGCCTTGATCTGCTCCACGCTCTGCGCCGTCTTCGTCGTCGTCGCGTCGATGTGGTGCACGCCCTCGTCGATGTGGTGCAGGCCCTGCGTGACGTCCGCGATGGCCCTGTCGCGCGCCTGTCCCTGCTGCTCGATGGCGTTCATTTTTTGCAGGAGCAGGGCGGCGGCGTCATCACCTAAGCCCGGCGGCGGGGCGTGCGTCTTGTTCCGCACCTGCTTGCAGGCGTCCGCGAACTTGTGGCCGTGGCCAAAATTCATTCCTAATTCATTGGCGATGCCCTTCAGCTCGTGCTCTTCAAAAGTTCCGAGCGTCCGGACCTGTGTGAAAATCAACCAGTGCGTCGGGTGCACCCGACAATTCTTCACTAAGTCATTTCTCGGCGATGACGTGGCCGTGCTGGCTCGGTCGAGCGGTGAGGAACTGGCATCGCCACGCCATCGAGCAGGCGTCGCGTCGATGGCGTGGAGGACGATGCGATGATTCAGCACGAACGCGCCGTAAAATTTTGATTTCCACACAGGTCCGGACGTCGTCTACCCCAATACCTCGCAAGTCGGCCTCGTGCTCCTCGAGGCCCCATTCCTTGAGGAACGCCGTGAGGTCGTCGTCCGGCTTTGGTGAGCTCGCGAGCGCGCGCGCCGCGTTGACGGCGCCGCCCTGGGGCGCTTGCGCGCCGAAGAGCGCCGCGACGGCGGGGTGCTGCGCACCTAAAGACTGGGCCTGGCTGACCGGCGCGCCGTGCTCGAGGAGCCACTTCACGACGTGCGCCTGGCCCCGTTTCGCCGCGTAGTCGATGCTGCGCTTGCCCGTCGCGTCCTGCTGGTTGAGCAGCGCGTTCCGCCCCGCGGCCTGCAGCACGGCCCCGATGGCCTGCAGCGTCTGGAGCCGCCCGAAGCTACACGCCTTGTGGACGATGGTCCGCCGCATGTTGTCCATGGGCGTCTCGGCGAAGACCGCGGGGCCCATTTCATTCAGCGCTTGACCGACGATCTCGGGGCAGTCGCGCATCTCCAGCTGCGTCCAGATCGCCGCGGCGGCGCCGCCGCCGACGGGTCGCTGCGCCGGCGGACCGACGAAGTCGCCGGCGTGCTGGGGCCGCGCGTACTGCCCGGGCATCGCCGGCATCTGCGGATTCCCGCGCTGCATCGTCGGCATTTGCGGCATCACGGGGCCGCCGACCGCCGGCATCTGGGGTCGCTGCGCGGCGCCCGGATTCTGGAGCCGCGGCATCATCGGCGGCGCCTGCGCCGGTACGGCCACGGAGATTATCTGGCCGGGCATGACCCCCGCCGGGATCGGCACGTCGATCGTCCGGCCGTCGGGGATCCGGGCTTGGACGTGCATGCCGGGATACGCGTTGGGCGGTACTTGGACCTGCACCGTCTGCTGTTGCTGCGGCTGCATCGGTGCCACCCTCCGGACGTCGCGCGAGTTTTCGGTATTGACGTTCACTTGGAGAATGCCCGTCGACGACACCATCTTCTGGGAGCGGGCATTCTGGCCAAATCGCACTTGGAAGGGCAAACCCTGCAACTGCACGATCGCATTCGGGTTTGCCTGCTCGGCGCTCTCCAGAAACGCGCACGTCGCCGCGTCGTAGGGGTTCCAGCGGTTGTTGCGGCTGTCGAAGTACTCGTAGCGCGTCACCATGGTATGGTCGTCGTCGAGGCTGCACCGCTGGGGGTCGCCAACGCGCGCTTACTTGCAAGGTATGGCCCTGGGCAGCAATGTTTCTAGCTCGTAACTCAAACGTTGGAGGAGCGCTTCGGGTCACGGGCCACGAATGGTGTCTGGTACACTTTCCAAGCGCCGGGGCAGCTTCTGGTAAGTGCGGGCAGCCGGGCCGTCGGGGAGTGCCGAGGCGCTGGCTGGACGCCAAGCCTCGCGGCGCGGCCACTAGGGGCCGGGCGGCAGCCGTCGCGCACCTGGGCGACGTGCTCTGGAGGCAATCGGATGCGTCTTTCGGGAGTTATCGTAAACATTCATACCAGAAGTCACATTAGACGGTCGTCCGCGACCGCGAAACTCACTCTCGTCCCCGAGGTCGCCGGCCGCGAGTTGGCCCGCGAGCTGGCCCGCGACGCCCGGTTCTCCGCCGCGGCGAGCTCCTCGGCGAGCTCCTTTTTGGTTTTGCGCCAGCAGTTGGGCCACTCGGCCGGCGTCCCTTGCCGGCCGTTTGATAAATGATGGTCCCACTGCCTGAGCTCGTCGACTTTGGTGTAGACGGCCTTGCCTTCCAGCGGTATCTTCTTTGTTATCAAACCGGTCGGGCCGACGGGCGCCGGGATGGCGATGCGCTTATCTTTGTTATCGAAGCGGTTCTTCATGGGCGTGTCTCTCTCCGACACGATCTCGCGCTTCCGGTCATGTTTATCTAACCAGTCGTACTGACGTTGTTGCTCCCTCACGATGGTCTGGGCGATCTTCTTGCGCCGCGTGTCCTCCTCCTTGGGCGGCGTGTCGTCGAGCGACCGGCGGCAGGGCTCAAACACAGAAGCCTTCTCCGTCTCCATCAAAACGCGCCGCGTCTCCACGCTCACTTCGTTCTCGATGCGCTCCAGGGCCCATCTATTACGCGAAAACCAGCCGTTCGCGCACTTCTTGCACTCCTCACAAAAGTCCGTCCGGTTGCGGCAGACGCGGCACTGCTCGAGCGCTTTTTGTAATTCCTGACGAGCCTCTTCCCGGTAGGGGGCGCTGGAGGCGGCGCGTTTCAGCTCCTCGAGCGACGTGTGCCGCAACAAATCCACAATGTGCTGTGGATTCAAGTCAACAAGATCCCGGCGGCTCAGCTGGATCCTTTCTCGGGCCTGGTCCTTGCCCCTTCTCTTACTCCGTATTTTCCCAAAGGCCTTGAACGAGGCCACGGCCGCGCCGGACTTGCCCGCGTGTCCAAACAAAGCTACGGCTTTTTTGACGTTTTTCACCATTTTGTTGTGGGCGAGGTTCTGGTGGTGCTCCTGGTGCGAGACGTGCTCGCCGTGCGTGTCGCGCGTCGCCTTGAGTCGTAATGGTGATTCAACAGTGTCCAGCGTCCCCGGCGTCATCTCTGTATGAGTGGTCGCGGCCGTCTCTACAGTGGTGAGTGAGGCCGTGTCGTTCACGGACGTCGCTTCTAAGGAGGGAGGGGGCGACTTGCCCGTGGGCTTGACCCACTCCGGCGGGTGGTGGTTGCGCACGGGGACGAGTAGGTGTTGTGGCGGGAGACCTTGCGGGTGGAGGAACTCGATCGGCGGCGCCACCAACATAGCGGCCTCGGGGATCGACGTCGCGTTGTCCGCCGCCCGCGTCATGGCCAGGTGCGCGCGCACGTCGCCGTCGTGCGACACCTGGGACGCGAGCGAGCCGTCCTCCGTCCGGGCCGCGAGCTCGCGCCGCTCGCGGTTGCGCACGTCCTTGAGGCGCTTCGCCGTCAGGGAGTTGTCCGCGGCGGACCTCGGCCGGCCGACGCGAGTCTTCTTCTTGCGTCGCACTTGCTGAGGCTGTGGCGCCTCCTCGACCACCGACGAGAGCCGCCGCAGGCGCGCCTCCCAGGGCTGCATCGTCCGCTCGGGCCGCACGGCCCGCGCGCCGCCTTGGTGAATGCGCTTCTGGAGCGCGGCCAGCTCGTCCTCCTCGTCGTACGAGAGCTCGTCGCTGTGTCTTCTTGAAAGCTCCAAATATCTCTTGCAGTCCGCGTCGCGCACGCCGGCCGCCTCGCAAAATTTGTCCTTCTTCCAGTAGCGGTTCCAGGCCTTCTTTTGCAGTTTCTTCGCCACCTTGGCGCGCCAGAGCCGCTCGGCGACGGTAGACGTCCCTTCGGAGCTCACGACGGTCGGCGCGGTGTTGCCGGCGAAGGACGTCTCCTCCTCCAGCCCGAAGCGCGGCCCGACGCCGGGGGTCATCGGGGTCTTGGGCGGTAGTTCGTCCATGGTGCTGCTTGCAAGAGGTTGGGCAGCCACAGGGGTTCCAACTTGTGACTCCTTGCGGGCAGCCAGCGGGACGCGACTGCGATAGGTGTTGTGGCGCGTCGACTTCTCGTCGAGGGCAGCCCGACGACGCGGACAGAGGCCGCGCGCGTCTCGGAGAGCAGAGGCGCTAAAGACGCTTGGTTTTGTCCCCTGCTTGTTGATCCTTGACCGGTGGCTGCACGTTTCGAGACGTAGATTTACACCTGCGATCGGGGATTTTCACCGCAAGAAAGCGCAGCCCGTACCTTTGATTCAGCGCCGTGCAAAAAGCCACAGCTCTGCGGACGGGAGGGCGGGCAGTCGTGCGGGAGACGCTGCCCTTTGCCACTTTTCCCATTCCTGCGGCACGCTCGTCGATTCCTGCGCAGAAGCGCAGTCGGCCGAGCACAGTGCTGCCTTAGCTGAGAGCCAAGCAGGCAGCGCCGCATCGCATAAATCAAGGCAGCAGTGATAGTAAGCGCACACATAAATACACAGCCATGGTCTCGGAAAACCGCCGCCCGACGCGGCACGACCAGCACGAGACCAGCGGCCTCCCGGCGCCCGTGCTGCGGAGCGTCGTGCTCCGCATGAACGACGCGTTTCCCAAGCTCTACGAGAAGTGGGACGTCAAGGGCTGCATGCGCAAGAACTGGTCGTTACTCTTCGAGCGCCTCGACACGGACAAGAGCGGCCGCCTCGACTACGACGAGTTCAAGACCGCGCTCACCGACGTGCTGGAGATCCCGATCCGAAGCAAGGACTCCAAGGTCCCCCGGAAGGAAGGGGAGATAAAAGAAGAAGAGTTGGAAGGATTGTGGGCGTATGTGGACCACGACAAGAGCGGCGAAGTGACCATCGACGAGTTCCAGCACGCCTGCTACTTGCTCATATTAGATGACTGGCCCGTGCTCCAGAAGGCAACTTTACAACGCATCTGCCAGCAGCTGAACGATGCATGTGTACATGAATATTCGAAGGAGGGCAGCGGTGTCACGGACGGCAACTGGTTCAAAATTTTTGGCCACTTCGACACCGATGAATCGGGAAGAATGGGCTTCGAAGAACTCGAAGGTGTGACGCGCATGCGGGACCCCGGCCTCAACCTCAGTGAAGCAGATTTAACGTTGGACGAACTGCGGGGCCTCTGGCGGGCTTTGGATGTTGATTTTTCAGGCCTGGTCGACGTCGACGAGTTCATGCACTTCATGAAGGACCACGGGCCCCAGATGCACCAATTGACGGAATATTCCAAACAAATGCGCGGTTTGGAGTCGCGGGCGACTACACCCTCTGGTGCTACCAAGGAGAAGAAGCCGAAAGTTGAGAAGAAGCCGGGCGTCTACTACCAACCTAAACAAAAGAAGCGGTATACTGGAAGACCGAATAAGGCCGAGGCGCGCGGTGCTGCGTTAGCTTTTTCGACGGCTTCTGCCTTCGTCGACACGTTTTCCGATCTGGCGAAGGCCGACGACGGCTCCAAGGCTTTATTAAGGCGCTACGCCGAGACGCATATTAGTGGGAGTGTTCCTAGAGTGAGAAAGCCCACTCCCATCAAGTTAAGTAAAAGAAAGAGGGTGGTTCAACCAATGGACTTGGATAACCTCGAGGCCCCGCGCCCGAAGACGCCGCCGCCTCCTATCATAATTGAGCGGGACCCGGGCGTCGGCTGCTGCGAGCCGCCCCATTTGGACCCGCGGAGCGAGTTCTCCGCGTCCCAAAAAATCGACGGGCCTCGGAAGGCGGCGATGCCCCAAAAGCAGCGCGACGCTATTAAGAAACGCAAGGCCGCCGCGCGCCTCGAGGAGATCCATCAAATGCCTTTAGGCGACGCCGCGCGGGCGCTCATGTCCGATTGGGCTTCCACAAAAGAGGGCGGCGCGATCCTGAGCCACGCGCCCCAGCTACCCCTACATATTTTTGACGACGCGGACCACGTCGAGGTCGCTACCATAGCTTGGCGGAAGTATGGTGGAAAGCCCGTGGCCGTCGCGTTGCGGCAGGACCGCTCGCCGAGTGATCAGGTCTCGGACTTTGAACGAAGGTTGGGGCGGTGGGTGCCCTGTACCATCTTGCAGCATTCTGACGACGGCGACGGGCGCAACCACCGCGTGAAATGGTTCGACGACCCCTGGCCGCCTGAAAGTTGGGTCCCGGCCGTCGCGACGATCGGTGCCTGGCAGGACCGGTTCGTGTCGATCAATCGGTTGCAGGGGGCTCTTATAAGGCGCGCCGCTTGTGAAGAAAGACTACGCCTCCGCCACTTCTTCGCGTCGGCGCCTTTGTGCAAAAAAGTCATCGCAAATTTGAGGAACGAGCTCTTTCCCACTTTAGACGAACGTGTACATAGAGAAACGAAGCCCTGGCGCAACGATGTTCAATTAGCCAAGGAAATGGACGAGGCCGAGCGCGACTACGTCATCGAGATGCAGGGTTTTATATTCGCCCAGTTGGCCAAGGCAGCCTTCGCCGGCGAGGCTCCATCGAGAGACGTGCGCTTCCTCTCGTCGGACGGGACATTAGATTTGCCTGCGTTGGATGCCCTGGCGGTCAAGTTCGCGCCGGGTTACTGTACGGCCGAACTTGATGATTTTGACAGGGACGCCTTCGTTTCGAAGGATACGCACCGGCGGTTCCTCCTGGCGAAGCACGCCCTGCTCCACGTCGCTCCTGAGGCTTCGGAAGCGATTGATGACGAGGATGTGGAGGAGGGACAACATGCGAATTGGATTTCAAGTAAGTGGGGCACTTCTGACGAACCGACGGCGGACGAGGGCTACCGTATTGATGGTAATGCCTCGCCCGCTCGAAAACCGGTCGTCCTGCCGCTCAAGGCCGGCTTGACGCGGGAGATCCATTTTCCTGATGATGTGGTTGATAAGCACGACGACGGCCATTTTAACGAATTGCACCCGTTTGTGGGCTCCAGATTTGCTCTGTGCGCGACGCAGGGGGCTCAAAAGATCATTGCGACGCATTCGTTAGATGCCACATTCCTTGTCCACCGCCCTGTACAGCTCTCGCCGGCGGCCTTTCAGCGCCTCTTCTCCGAGGTCCTGAGTAAAGGCCTCCCGGCCGTTGAGAAAACCTGGCCGAAGGACGTCGGCGAGGCCTTGCGGACAGGCCTGACCGGCCTCGTGGAGCCGTGCTTCGACCCGACGCGCGTCGAGTACCACGGGGACCTCTTCGACACGCGCAAGTCGCCCCAGGAGCCGCTGCGGCGCTTGCTGGAGCGGACGCGGTACGCCATGGCCACGGAGCTGGATACGGCGCTGCGGATCGCGACTGCGAGATACGTCGAAGCCGTCGAGGAGACTTGTAGGGACGATCGATTCCTACGAAAACCCTGGTTCCGCCTCGACCTCGACATCGACATAAAGGATGATCTAAATGACGACATGACGGCCTCGGAGAAGCGCAAGGTCCAGAAGCAGTGGTCCTTTGCGAAGAAGGGCCAGCTCCGCGACGCCGACATCGCCGCCGCTTTGGTCATGCCGCTCCAGAAGCTGTTCGAGGGCTGCGCGCGCTGCGGCGACCCCTGCGTCTCCGCCCTAAGTCATCTGCAGTACGTGCCGCCGCGCGCGATCACGTGCCCCTGGGACGGCGCGTCGGAGGCGCAGCCGGCGTGGGTCCGCGACGCCCTCCGGCGCCTGCGGGCCTGCGCGGCGACGGCCGCGGACCCGGTCGCGACTTATGTGCGGGACGTCGGCGCCATGCTTGAGCGGGAGATGCGCGGCCGCGACTCGGCCGAGCTGTCACTAAAAAGGAACTATGCCGAGGATGTGCGGTCGCACGACCTTGATGATGAAGAGTGCGAGCTGGAGCCCGCCGACACGTCCTTGGGTCGCGCGCGCAACGCCGTCAAGAAGGGAGGATTGGGCCCCGCGCCGCCCGCGCTCCCGAAAGATGTCCGCACGATCGCCCGGGAACTTAATGAAGGCAAGACCACGATCGAGTCCGCGTCAGCATCGTTGGACGCCTCGCCGCGGCGCCTCTGCGCCCTGACGGAGTGCGACGCTAGCATCGCGCGGCGGTCGCTGCTGCGCGCGTTGCATGGCGTGCGGCGCGACACGTTGGATGGCCACGCGGACCAATGCTACCTGATCGGGACGTGGTGCGAGACGCGATGGCGCAAAATCAAAGCTGTTTTAGATACGCCCTGCTCGGACGCCGAGACGACCGTGGCTGTTGAAAAGTTCGTGGAAGTGGTGCCTCAGCTCATAAAGCCTATATTGGCCACAGCCAGAGACGCGTCTAATATAGCGGAGCTCTGCGCGTTACATGGAAGGCCCCTCAACGCCGTCGAGGGCATGTGCATCGCGCGAGCTGATAGAGCGTGGGAACCAAAAGTGCTGAAATCCTTGAAACGCGCCAAGGGTGAATGCGTACGCATGCGCGCGCAGCACACGGAACGTTTAGATGATGATAGGGCGGAGTACGAGGAGCGCCTGGCCGAGGCCGCGGTGCTCGTGCGGAAAGCGTGCCAGTACGACGCCGCGCGATTCCGGGGCGACGCGGCCTTCGACGGGGCCTTGAAGGCCGTCGCGAAACGGTCAACTGATTGCAAGGACGCCCAGGAGAGCATCGAGGCGCTGACGCAGGAACTTGCCGACTTGAACCGGCGCGAGGGCATTCTCAGCAAAGACCCGACGCCGGCGGATTCTCTGGAAGCGCTCGTCGACGCCTTCGAGCCCCACCGCCTCCTCGCCGCGGCTGGCGAGCACAACGTCGAGGCGACGGACGCCTTTGCCAGCATGAGGCTCGGCGAGGCGCGCGACGAGGCCTTCCTGGCCCACCTGCAGCCGACCTATGACTTGGCGCGGCGCGGCGGGAAAATCCTCGCGGACCGGCAAGCATTGCTGGACGCCGCGAACGCGAAGAAGGCTTTTAATGAGAGACTCGTGGCGCGCGAGGACCCGGCCGTCGTCGCGGCCTGCGACTGGTGCGGCGCGGGAAAGCTCAGGGAGAGTTACGGCGACGTCGACCGCCTCGTCGACGCGCCGGCGGGCCCGGCCTGGACGAAGTCATTGATCGCGGCGCGCGTCGTCGCGTCGGCGGAGCGCCAGGTCTGGCTAGCGCGATGTGTTCAAGATTTGGAGGGCGGGCTCGACGCCGCGGCGTTTCGAGCAAAGCCCGTCGTCGACGCCGTGACTTATGTGGTGAAGGGCCTGGCGGCCGGCGGCGACCGGGACTGGGTTGTAAAAGGAGACGAGTGCTCGACCCTCGAAATGTGGGGCGCCGAGCTCGCTGCTTTATTAGGCTTTCCTCTTGGTAGGGGCTTCGAAGTGCGGAGGATCACCGATTCCTTAGTCAAGAACCGCCACGCCGTCGCAAGGCTCGCGGACGCTGCTCACAGGTGCCGCCGGGCCCTGGCGCTGGCGCGCCGCCTCGAGGCCGTCTGGAACAATCAGCTCTTGGACATCGTGCCTCACCAAGTCACAAGGCCCGCGGAGCGCGCCAAGAGCGGCAAGATGAAGGACCCCAAGGTCGTCGTCGCGGGCAACAAGCTTGTGAAGTTGGAGGCGCTGTTCAGGGCCTTCGACACGTGTCTGGTCGAGCTCGACGCCTGCCGCACGGGGCCGTTATCAGGTGAAGGAGACAATTCGCCTTCGGTCATGGCCGACGCTTCTGTAAAGAACCTCGCGTCGCGATTGCGCGCAGCCGAGGAAACGCTAGAAAGGTGGGCGACCGTCCAAGGGAAGTGGGAGGCCCTGGCTACCGTCTTTGCCGCCGGCGGCGACGCCCTAAGGAAGCAGCTGCCCCACGAGGCGGCGACCTTCTCGAAAGTCACCAGGGCCCTCGCGAAGTGCTGTGCTGCCGCGAAGGGCGTGAATGGCCGCGCGAGGGTGATTGAAGTTCAAGATCGACTTGCTCCTCTGAAAAACGTATTAGAAGACGCTTTGATTGATGTGGAAGAGGCCACGCGCGGTATCCATGACTTCGCGGAAGCTCGCAGATTAGCTTGCGCGCGGCTCTGCATGGTCTCGGAACAAGACTTGTGGGATTTGTTGATCGGCGACCCCGACCAGGACCCCCGCGAAACGAAAAGACGAGCGAGGAAAGCTGTCGTGTTGTGCTTCCCGGGCGTTTCCGACGTCCGTTTTGTGGGAGACTCGCTGAGGATCGAGGCGTTGGTCGCGCGGCACGAGCCCTACGCGAAGAAGGCCGACCTGTCGACCTTTGACGAGGAAGATATCCATGAAACGTTGGAACTCGCGAAGACCGAGGATGTGGACGCCGGCGGCCGTTGTGAGTTGTGGCTGAACGAGCTCGAGAAAGGTATGAAAGAGGCCGTGCAAGCTCTGACGCAAGCTTCTGCCGAGGCCATGCTCAAGGAACCAGGGAGAGGCGCCTGGTGTTTACAACAGCAGGCGGCTTCTGGATTGCTGGCGGCGCGGTGCGCCTTCACGGCGGAGGCCGAGGGTTTGTTGACGGACAGAGGCTTCGTGGGCACGAACGAGTTAAAGAGGAGGCAACTCGTACGCATCAACTCCGTGGCGCGACGCCTGAAAGAAAACCACGCGAGGCACACTTTCCAGAAATTGCAAACTTTTGCGGCCTTCGAGGTCGAAGGTCGAGACGCGGCGGATTCGTTAATTGAAAGCGTGTGTGCTTCCTGCGAGGACTTCGCCTGGGCTGCTCGTTTGAGGTTCTACTTCGAGAATCCCGCGGCCATCGCCATGGACGGCGTGGAGGCGGGGCGCGTCGTCGCCGAGGCGGCGTTGAGTCGCCGCTTCTGCGGCGACGAGTACCGAGGGGGCGCGGCGGGCGAGGCGCTGTTCATCACGCCGAATTGTGAAAGATGCATGCTCGAGATTCTGGCGGCGCTGCGAGTTGGTGTTACTGCGTCACTCAGCGGTGGCACCGGCAAACGGAGCCTAGCGGAGAAATTAGGAGAAATGCTGGCGCAGCCCGTCGTCCGCCTCCACTGCATGGACGTGGACGAATCGTTGTTGAGGCGCGTCTGCACGGGCCTCGAGAACGGCGGTCTGTGGTTAGTCCTCGCGGGCGTCGCCAGGGCGTCTTCTAATGTGATCGCATCGCTGGCGCAGCACCTCGCCTCACTGGAAAACGCGACGCGCGCGGAGGCGCATCATCCCCACGAGGCCCACGGCCCGAAGCACCGGCGGCCCCCGCCCGGATCGAGAGAAGACGGCCCGGCGGTCATCCTCTGCTTCGACGGGTTACCGACGCGGTTCCCAGCCGCGCTGGCGGCGCGGGCGCGGCCAATTCTGCGGACGGCGCCCGACCTTCACCGCGTCGCGGCGCTCGCGCTCGCCGCGCACGGCTTCACGTCGGCCGGCGCGATCGACGGCGGCCGGCGGCTCGCGTCCGCCATCAGACTTCTAGGTGACGCGAGCTGGGCGGCCGCCGCCGCGCGGACGGGGTCGGACGAAGGCGCCGCCGCGTGGTCCGCGTTGGCGGCGCTCGCGTCGGCGCGCCCGGTCCGCGTCGTGGTCGCGTGCGTGAACGCGGCGGCCGCGGCGCGCGCCGCCTACGACGAGGACGCGCTCGCGCGCGGCGACGGTCAACTTGTCGCGGCCGCCTTCGTCAAGGTCGCCCTCAAGCTTGCATCTACCTCGGAGAACGCTTCTTTGTTAGTGCGCGAGTTGGTCCGGGACGCCTTCGCCGACTGGAGCGGCGACGTGGCACCGCCGGACGACACTGACGACGGCCGCGAAGCTGCCCGGCAGGAACTAGTCGAGGCGGGCTGCGACCCGCGGCCCGAGGCCATTGATGTGCTGGTCGCGGCGCGGCAGGCCCTCGCAGCGAAGCGCGCCGTCTGCGTCGTCGGACCCGCGGGCTGCGGCAAGTCGCGCGCACTCCGTTCTTTAAAGGCGACGCGCGTCTACCCGCAAGCGCTCAGTTCGCCGGACGCGCTCGACGCCGTCCTCCGGACGCGGACGAAACACGTCGACGTGCACTTGAACCGGATCCGAGAGTGGCAAGAGTCGGAGACGTGCGAGACCGTCGTCGTCGATGGTGTTGTTGACGGTTTGATTGGAGATGTCCTCTGCGCGACGCTTGATAACATAGGGGCGCCGACGGCGCAGGGCGCGCACCGGAGCTCAATGATGGACAAGCGCATCATCGTCGAGACGGACGACCTGTCCAACGCGTCGCCCGCGCTCATCAATCGGCTGCAAGTCGTGCACTACGCTTCACATGATGCGACGCTCGACGTGAGTTCTAGAGTTGCGCTCTTGGTCGACGACGTCATGGCCGACGCGATGCCTTCCCTCAAGTCAAAGCTCCAGGCCGCCATAGCGCTGCTGGCGCCGTGCGCCTTCCAGAAGCATGCGAGCGGGTCGTGCGCGGGGACGTTCGTCGCTCTTTTGGATGGGTTATTACTCGCTCCCCTACGACCGCGGCCCGGCGCGCCGCTGCCCCCGCTACGCGCCTGCGCGCGGGCGCCGGAGGTCGTGAATAGTGCGGTGGCCTGGGCGCTCCTGTGGGCCGTTGGCTCGGTGCAACCCGAGCAGGAGCGCCTTGCTTTCGAGCTGGAGTTCGTGGCCAAGGCGCGGCCTTTGGTGGACTTCTACCCGCCCCTGCCGGAGGACAACCTTTATGGCTACTGCCTCGATATTGGAAGAGCTCGCTGGGTGCCGTGGGCGGACTGTTTGCCCAAGGTCTCCCGGGCGCCTCCTCTCCCGATTCCTTCGACACACCATTGCGGTGCCATCTACCTGCCGACGCCGGCCGCCGCCGCCGGGGCGCGGCTCGCGCGGCTCGCCATGTGCAGCAACGCTTCGGTCTTGTTAATAGACGGCATGCGCGACGGCGACGCCGTCGCTGGGGCGCAGGCCGCGCTCCAAGGTTTGTTGGGCTGCGTCGACGGCGTCGCGACGCAGTTCGACCGCGCGCTGATCACGACGCAGGAGGAGCTCAAAGCACAGGCACAAAAGTCGCCCAAGAAGAGGAAGAAGAAGAAGAAGCCGGGCGTCACCGAGGGCGCCTATATGAAAATAGAGCTGGCGCCCCTCGAGGCCCTGGAGGGTGCCGAGCCGGTAGTTCTGCCGCCGGGGCGCGGCGAACTGCCGCCCGCCGAACGGCCCTTCGATGCGTGTGCGGTGTATTCGTCATTGGGCACGACGGCCGCGGATCTGCGGAGTGCGTTCGAGCGGTGCCTCGACCGGCGGCGGCGGGGCGTCCTCGGTGGTATTGGTGGACCCTTATTTGTCAGAATGGACGACGTCGCTTTATTACCGCGCGGGCCGTCGGAGTTTGTAAGACAGGTGCTCGACGCGCAGAGCTATACGACTGGAGAGGGTACGATGCGACTGGAAGACGTGTCCGTCGTCGCCACGGCGTCGGACGGGCTGCCGTTCGACTTTGATCGAGTCGAGAAGAGGGGCGAGGTGCGCCACGCGCCCTGGTGTTTCCAGGAGATCGCGCCGCGGCTGGCGTCGAGGATGTGCGTGCTGCGTGTTGATGATGAGGGCGCGCTGGGCCTGGCGACGGCCTTCGCGTCCGTCGTAGTAGGTCAACCGGCACGCACGATCGATGCCTTGGCGAGGTGCACAGTGGAGCTCGTGCAGCAGTGCGCCAAAGTTGCCCGCGGTTTGGTACAGCCCGCTTCTTCTCAACAAGTTGTCCTGGACACGGGCGGCCTGCAGTACGGACGACGAGATTTGGTAAGAATCCTGCAGGGGTTTTTGCTCGTTCCACCGTCGAAGGCGGCCGAGCTCACGCGGCTCTGGGCGCACGAGTGTCGGCGGTGCCTCGCGGATAGATTATCAGAGACGGGTTCATTCTCAAAATCCGACTTCGAGGACCTCCTGAAGGACGCCGCATCTCAAGAGGGCCCGCAGGAGCTGGGCGGCCAGGAGTTTTCGACGATTGTGCCCGAAGATTCAGAACTTGACTTTTGCGACATGGTGTTGCCGGATGAAGAAGAGGGAGAGCTCGGCGCGGACCCGTACTTCACGACGGAGCTGCGCGACGATGGGGTGGATGATGTCATGCGGAAATTAAGAGGAGAGGCGTCGACGGTCGACGAGGAGTCGGTGCCGTCGTACATTCCGCCGCCCCGGGCCAAGCCTTATCTCATAGAAGCGGCACCACCTCGACGCGCCTACGCTCGCTTAGAAAAGACGCCGGTCTACGCGGCGGCCGCGCGCGCAAAGCTTTGCCACGGCGCATTTGTGAAGGAGTCCCTGCGGGAGGATGTTTCAATAGCGCATCCCGTCAGTCGGTGTATCCATGACGTCATGCGCGTGGCGCGGTGCCTGCGCCGGCCGGGCGGTCACGTCGTTTTATTAGGTGGAGCGGCGTCGGGCCGCCGCACAGTCGCGCGGCTCGCGTGCCGGTTGATCGGCGGCGAGGTCATGACGGCGTCGGACTTAATAAGGACGCAGGGCTCATCAAGTTTCCGCGAGGCGCTGTGTCAGGCTTTAAGTCGCCTCGGCGACGTCGAGCCGAGCCCCGTCGGCCTGCCGAAGCCGCCGCCGGTGCCGCCGCCCCTCCCCACGGTCATCGAGGACGAGGCCCCGGTCGTCGACGCGCCGGCGCCGGCGCCGGCGCCAGCACCGGGGCCAGCACCGGCGCCAGCACCATCACCGGCGCCCGCGCCCGCGCCGGCCGTCGAGGAGGCGGCGGCCCCGGCGCCCCCTCAATCAGAACCCAAAAAGAGTCGCGCGCGGACGCCCTCGCCGGCCCGGAAGGCTCGCAAGAAGGGCAAGAAAAAGCGCGCCAAGAAGGAAGCGGCGGAAATTCCAACAGAAGCCACCGAGCAGCACCTATTGACGATCGTCGTGGGCGACGACGAGCTCGGCGACGACGCCGCGGCGTGGCGCGCGCTCGCGGCCGCCATGGTTTGTGATGAGGCCGCGGCCACGGCCGACGACGACGACTTCGATGCGAGTCGCACGGGGAAAGCCGCGGCGCGCGCGGCGCGCGTCCGTGGCCGCCTGCGCGTCGTCGTCTGCGCGACGGTCGGCGACGACAACCGCGCGACGGCGGCGCTGGCCGCGCGCGAGCCCGCTCTCTTTACATCGGCGTGCGTCGTGCGCTGCGGATCTGATGACGCCGCGGCGCGCGCGGACCTGGCTCGTTCTATGTTAACCGAGTGGCCAGAGGACGCGCCGCAGCTCGCGGCGGACCTCCACACGATATCAGCGAAATATGTCAAAGCGACGCCGGGCCACTTCCACGCGTTCCTGCGGGACGCGGCGCGCGCTCATACAGCGAGGGTGGCGGAGACGGGGCGGCGCCTCGATCGTTTGAATAGCGCGCTCACGTGCTGGCGCGCGGCGAAGACGGCCGCGGCGCAGCTCAAGTGGGCGACGGCGAACGCCGGGCAAATCGCGGCGCAGCAGAAGAAAGCCGCGGCCAAGGCGAAAGCGGATCGGGAAGCGCTCGAGGGCCGCGCCTCGGAGCTCAACGACGAGTTGACCGCGGCTTTGAAGAGTGGAGACGCGGCGACGCAGGACTCATGCCGCGAGGAGCTGGGGGCCATCTCGCAGCGCATGGATGATCTGGACGAAGCGAACAGAAAAGCGAAGGAGACGAGCCTCGCCCAGGGCGACGCGAAGGGTATTGCCGAGCGGCGGTCCACGGTTGCCGTGCAGTTCGCCGAGGCTCTGACGGCCGACGCCGTGCGCTGGGCTTGTGAATATGAGGGATTGAAAGCAGCGCGCGAGAATGCATGTCGAGACGCGCTCCTCGCGGGCGCGGCCGGCGCGTATCTCGGGAGCCTCGATCTAGAGAAGCGCTTAGAGCTCTGGGAGGCGTGGCGGAAGCGTATCGATGAGGTGCTTCCTCTATCCGAACCGGCGGCGCTCGAGGACGCCCCGCAACAACCTTCCCATGGTGACCAGGACCCGGACGCGTTGACGGTCGCGACGCTCGGCGCTTTGAGAGATACGCTCGAGTGGCGGCTGGGCGCGGTCTACGCCGACGAGCCCGGGAGCGGCGTCTCGGCGGCCTGCACGTTACTGTGCGCGCGGTGGCCCTTACTGATCGACCCGCTGCGCGTCGCGCGGAAGTTCATCATGCGATGCGCCGTCGCCACGGGGCCGCAGCGCGGCACGTTCGTCGACGAGGAGACGGGCGAGCGGGAGCCGGGCGTGCTCTCGTGCCGGATAGGGCACGCGGATTTTAGTGAAACGCTCGCGGACGCCTTGCATGGCCACTGGCTCATCGTCGAGGGAGTGGGGGAGGCGCTGCTGCCCTTCGAGCTCCTCCCGGTCGTGCAAGGCGGCCGGGCGGTAGCTCCGAAAAATTTCAACCTCTTTCTGATTGCAGATGATGATTCTATATCTGCGAGATTGCGAGGCTGCTGCAACGTCGTCAAGATCAACCCGAGTGCGGCGTTATCTTCACGTGCCATGTGGGAGTGCGTCGCGCAGCACGAGCTGCCGTCCCTAGCAAGCACGTTGGATCGGCTCGCGTTCAAACGGGCCGTGGCGGACCGCCAAGCCCAAGCGGCCGAGGACCGGCTCTTCGGCGCCCTTGTCACCTGCGCGGCGCCGACGGACGGCGAGGCGATTGGAGGAGATCACGACGCGATCGGTACGAATGCGATCGCCGAGGAACTCAAAAACGCCGAGGGGCGCCTGGCCGCGGCGAAGCCCGACTTCCAGGCCGAGATGCGCAAGCACGTCCACGTCTGGAAGCTCTGCGGCAGGGATCGCCGCGGTCCCGGCATTGCGGCCCATTTGTTCGACGACCGCGAGGTGCTCATGGACGCCGAGGAGACGATCAAGGACCTGGGGTTCAAGCGGGGGCAGCTGGCGGAGATGCGGGAGGAGGACCGGCAAGGGAGGATTGCATTGGCACCTTTAAGGCCGGTCGCGGCGCGGTTGGGGGCCATGTGCCTCGCCATCGGATCGGATCTCCTCTTCCAGAGCGCCGGTCGAGCCATCGCGTCGCTCAACACGCCGGCGCGACTGCCTCCCAAAGCGCCTACGAAAGAAAACGAAGAAGAGAAGGTCCACAAACGCGTCGCCGCAGTTCGTAAAGCCGTCGTCCGGGCGGCGTCGGCGGTGGCGCTCCGCGGATGTCTCAGTAAAGAACTCACCGCGCTCAAGGCGCGCTTGTGTGCCCGGCCGGACTGGAGCGACGCCGAACGAGATGAATGGCGCTTCGTGCTTACCGGCGAGGTCGGGCCCGCGACGGATCCGGTCGAGGAGGATTTCATGGCGCTCAAGAGTGGGAATAATCTCGTCGGCGGCGCGAAACGGCGGCTGGAAGACCTCAAGCTCGCGCGCCGGGCGTCGTTACCGAACGAGACGCGCTGCGGCCACTGGCTCTTCGCAGCGGACGCGCGGGCACGAGCCAAGGCCTGCGGCACACTTCCAGCGCTCGCGGGGCTCGAGAAGACGCTCGATAATTGGGAGAAGGTCCTGGAGTCGGCGACGCCTTATGATGAAGAGTTCCCGAGCCCGTACGCGGATTTAACCCCGCTGCAGCGGCTCTGCGTCATACGCGCGGTCCGCTTCGACGCGCTAGCTGCGGCGCTCGAGGCCTTCGCGGCGGCCGAGCTCGGTCAAGCTGAGGAAGATTCTGCCCTCGAAAAAGCAGCTTCACTGGACGACGAATCGGCACCGCCTATCATTCTGCGCGTCTCGCCGGAGGCCGACGACGGTCGCGAGGCGCTGCAGCGCGTCGCGGACGCGAACGGCGTTAGGCTAGTGGTCGTAGGCGCGGACTCGCACGCGGCCCGCGCGGTCGCCCAGGCGGCCTCGGAGGGCGCCTGGCTGCTGGTGACAGACTGCGCAACTGCATCTCCTGAAATCCTATCTGCGGTGGCTTGGGCCGCCGTCGACCAGCCGCTCGTCGAGCGAGGCGTCGCGGGCAAACCGGCGCACGCGACCTTCCGGCTCTGGCTGAGCGTCGTCGAGGACGTTAGCGAGGAGTCACATGTCGACTCGCTCACATCGCTAAGGTTGGTGTCCGCGCCGTCGGTCAAGGCGGTGCCGCAGGCGCTGCTCGCGGCGTCGACCGTCGTCGCGCTCGACGCGCCGCGGACGCTCGCCGAGTCCGTCGAACGCACGACGTCACTCGTTGGTGATGATGAAGGCATATCAGAAGCGGCCTTGCGGTGCGCGACGACTCTGGCGGTCTGCGGCGAGCGGCGCGATGCCCTCGGGTCCCTGGGTTGGAACGGTGGCGGCGTGTCGCAACTCTCAGGGGCGGCTTCTCACGCCATCCAAGGCGTTTGGCCTTTTATTGCGCCCGAAATTACTCCGCCGGGCCGTCGGTCGCTGCTCAAAGCCGTCGGCCGCGCCGTCAAAGGCGGGAGGTGGAAGGAATTGCAAACTCTCATTGTGGGCATCGGAGCGACTAGCTGTGGCGGTGACGTGGACCAGCGGTTGCTGGAATTCGTCGCTAAGTCGATCGGCTCGACGAAAGCACAGCAGTTGCTTGATTGGCCCGAGGACGCCACGACGTGGACGACGGCGGAGCTGCCCGAGAAACGAGCTGCGGAGGAGGTCGGCGGTGCGCCCATTCTTGCTGCCCTTCGCGGCAGCGCTGAATCTGCGTCAGCGACGTCAAAGGCGGCACGAGCCGGTTCCTACTTCCCCGAGACCGTGCTCGACGACGTCCGGCTCGCGGCGACGCTCGACCTGTGCTTCAAGGCGGCGGACGTCTTCGGGCCCAGGCTCGACGAGGAGGCGCCCCGCCAGGTGTCCTTGGAGCCCGACGATGCGCCCGTCGCCGACGAAGCGCCCGGCGCTGCAGCGAGGCCCGACGTGAAAGCGGCCGTCGGTTCCGTCGAAGAAGATATTGTGGCCATGTGCACCAAGCGGCGCGAACAGGCCTTCAAGGCCGCGTGCGCCTGGGCGCGACGCACAAAAAATGCGAAGCCCGATGAGCCTGATTATACCGAGGCGCCGGACCCACCGACGGAGTTCGACGGGATATTGCTGCGGGAGCGTGATAGACTGCGTATTTTGGCTTCCAAAGTCTTCGCGGACGTGGCTGCTTTACAAAGTTCGCTCGTGGGCTCGGCGCCAGCGAGTGACGAGGAGCGCCTACGTTTGGGAGATGTTGCTTCGTCGCTGCGGCGCCTCGAAATACCCGCGGCCTGGCGCAACGCATCGGCGCCACCGGAAACGATGGCCTCGCTCGGCGATTGGTTCGACCACGTGAAAGCCAGAGCGCGGTTGCTCACAGGTTGGTACGAAGCCCTGGCGCCGCCGAGTCCTATTCCTTTAGATCTACTCGCGGAACCAGCTGCCGTTGTGCACGCAGTGCGGTTGCAGGCGGCGCGCCACTGGGGCGTCCCGCTCGACGAGGTCTGGCTCGACTCGCGGGCCAAGCCCGAAGAGGACGATGATCAGAGCGACCTCGACTCGTTCAAGGGCGACGAGGTGTCCCGGTCGCGGGCGTCGACGCCGGCCGCGAGCCGCGCGGCGACGCCCGGCGATGATCTCATAGATGAGAAAATGCCGGTCGAGCCACCCAAACTAGTCGTATCAATCACGGGCATGACGATAGAGGGCGCGCGCTGGGACCAGTTCGCGCCGGACGGCGGGGCGCTGCGGGAGTGCGAACGCATCGACGGGCCGTTTGATCCGGCGCCGGTGGTCAGTCTCATTCCCCTCGCCCGAGAAGCCTTCTTCGATGAGGACGAGGAGGCCGAAAGACTCTCGCCAAAAGGCGTGTACCGCTGCCCCGTCTTCGCGTCGACGCGCCACACGGAGGTTCTGTTCTGGATCAACCTGAAAGCATACGAAAATACCGCGGAGCGAAATCGGACGGCGTCCGAATGCCTCTCGCGACCGGAACGCGACGCGGGCAAGGTGCTGGACCAGCCGTTCTTCATTGTCCGAGGCGTCGCCGCAGTGCTCGCTGTGCCGCCGGCGACGGTTATCGTGGACACTTAGTTTGTGGAGTAAGATACTCTTTGTTATTAATTATGCCCCGGGGATATCGAACACATCCAATCCCCCGGCCGGCTTCGGCTTCACGCTCGGGGACGCGCCGGAGATCGTTTTACGGGCGCCACAAAGGAGCCTCCCGACGAAAAGCATGCAAAGGTACACCGCGATAAACATCACGTACATAACGAGCCTCGCCGCCTTCTCGCTCGGGTCCCTTTGCTCAGCCAGCACGTACCCGGCCAAACCCGAGAGGATTAGCGCGCCACAAGAGGCGAGCGCCGCAGCTTGGAGGGGAGAGACCCGAAGCTTAGCTGCCGCGTGGTGGTCCACCCCACAAGCGTCGAAGACCCCAATCAGGAACATCCACACCTGTGGGAGCGCAGTGCTAAAAGTCAACGTTGCCCAAATCCGAGGAAAAGTATCAAGCCCATCAATTCCCTGGGCCGCCGCGGACACGGACAGCACGAGTTGGAACCCGGCTATCTTGAGCGCTCGACTGGTGTAAAACTGCGCCTGGGCGGTTAACGAACCCTCGTACCGCGTTCTCAGGAGTCCGCAGATAGTTTTGAGGAGCCAGGGATATAAAATGGAATCTAATGCGAACGAGAAGAACATTACTAAAGCATCACCGTGCTCGCCGGCGCGCCAAAAAACAATTGGTGCAGCCAGCATCATGCCGATGTGACATCCACGAACTAGCTGCACAGCCCGCCTCCCTGCTATCTCGCAGTCGAGCGTAGTGAAGACGAGGCCAAAGCCCGTTGTATATACAAAGGGCATGAAGGCAAGCATTGTGACTTGGCTCACATTACCGTATAGCCCGGCGGTGATGAACGCGAGGTAGACCGTCGATGCGACGAGACAGAGCATCAGAGCGGCGGTCACATAAAAATTCCGAGCATACTCGGCAAAGGGCTGGTCGATCTCCTCTGCCGTCGGCGCGGCGACGCTGCCCAGCAGTCGCTTCTGAAGCGCATCGAACTGTAATTGCTGCTTGGCTAGGAGCCGGGCCTCCAGATCAGCCAATTCATCAGCAGAGGCTGGCATTATCCATGCGCTGCCATATCACAATTGCAAAGTCGTATTGGTTCGTCGCGTCGCTCGATGAAACGCTGTCCGGGCAGCGCACTTATGCTGCCCGCGCGGCTTCACACCTCTCGTCGTGGCGGCCGCAATGGCAGCTTGTGCAGCGCCAATTCAGCGCCATTTCAAACAGCTCCCTTAAATCCTCATCATTCCATAGGTACGTATCATCACATCACCCTCGCTGACACTTGCTGAAGCCGCGTGTACGCGCGGCGCGACCCGCACGCGCACGCTCTCGCATCAGCGCCGCCATTCCTGTCGTCAAACTCTCAAACTCTGTCGTCAAAGCGTGGGATTCGCGAGTGTGTTCTGGGAGGCTGCGTCTAAAACTGTCAAAAACGTGGGATCCTGCCCCTTGGCACACCATGGCGACCAGCTGGGCGCTGCTCCTTCTGGGGCTGCCCCATGCGCATGCTGGGGGACCCGTCGGCCTAGCTCTCGATACCACCTGCACAAATGCGGAATGCTACAAGCAAAGGAACGAGACCCTGCTCAAACAGGCCTTGCTCGCCAATTATGACATGACGGTACAACCGCCGAGCTTTGGTTCGGAGCGCGGAGCGCTCGTCTCGGTGCAGTTGGCACTGCAACAATTCCAAAAGCTCGACACCACTAACCAGGAGATCCAATTCTTCTCCTGGTGGCGGCACTCGTGGACGGATCTTCGATTAGCGTGGGACCCTGCGGACTGGGGCGGCATCACGGAACTCACGTTCTTCGGTACCGCCGCGGCGTAGAACTAACTTCGCGTCTGCTCGTCGGCGTGAAAAAACTGATCCACGCAGGCAACGACGAGCACAAGCAGATCTGGATCCCAGACACCATCATCTACGATGCTGTGGAAAGCGTATTTCAGGTGCCTGGGGGCGTCCAGCCGAACGTCTACTCGAGCGGCTATGTCGCCCGGTCCGTGCCCGTCGAATCGAGATTACCCTGCCCCATGAAGCCTCGGACGTTCCCCTTCGATCAGCAGGAATGTACGTTCGAATTCGGCAGCTGGAGTATGCACGGCTTACAGGTCGACATCAAGCCTAGAGGGGGAGACGAACCCATACCCTTCAAATTCGCTGAGTCGTACCAGCCGAATCCTGAGTTCGATTTAGTGGAGGTACGGACCGCGGCTGTTGATGGCTTTTACGATTGCTGTCCTGAGCCCTACCCGATAATAAAGTACAAGTTTCGAATGCGGCGCCACAGCGAAACATACAATTACGGCCTCGTCGTGCCGATGATACTGACCACGTTGGCGGGATTCCTGGCATTCGTTGCGAACCCCCAGTCTGGGGAGCGGATCTCGCTCGGTGCGACCCGGCGTCCTTGAAATTAAAATTGCTGACGTCTCGCGGGGATGGCGTCACCCGCCGACGTCACGCAGGTATCACGTGTCTGCTCACGAGCGCCGCGATCTATATTGTCGCGTTCGAGGTGCTGCCAAAGACGGGTAATATGACCATCATCTCCATGCTCCACGTCATCTCGTTTTCGTTCTCCTGGGCTACACTCGCCGTCTCCGTGCTGTCGGTGTCGCTCTACGGCGTGAAGACCTCGACTGGCGTGATGAGCGAGCATGAGCTGGTGAGCGCCTTCGTCAAGGCGGACCACGACCACAGCGGCGTGCTCGATAAGAAAGAGGTCGAAGAGGCGGTCAAAAAGTTGGGACTGCCTTCGGCCAAGTTTTTCAAGCTCCGAAAGAAATTGGAATCGCTTCACGGGCAGAGCATAACGCTGCCAGTCTGGTATGATTTGGTGGGAGACATCTATCAGACGGACGGTCTCGCGGCCTATCACTCGCCAATTATTGGACTCATGCTCGCGCCCTTTGTGAAGCTCGAGAGAAAACGCCGGAAGGACTTCGTCCTGCGGCGCGTCCAAGCGGCCATCGATAGGAAAGATGTGAGTAGCGACGCTGAGACGCTCATGCTAAGCAGTCCCGGTCTGAGGCGCCGCGTTGTTCCTGCGGACCCTGGCACCGAAGCCGGCGGCGACGACGAGGAGGCCCAGGAGGCCCCGAGCGGCGGCGGTGCGAGTCTCGGCGCCAACGTGCGCCTGGAGGACTTGGTAACGGAGCACGAGCTGAGCGACTCGTCCGAGATTGTTGCCCGTCGAGTCGCGGGTTACCTCGACCTCGGCGCGATGATCGCTCTGCCGCTGTGCTACATGATAGTCGTCATCGTTTACTTCGACCGCTTCGGCGCGATGATGGCGGAGGAGGAGTTCGAAAACACGAAGGTCGTCCACGTGGCGCCGGAGGACTTCTGATACATACTATTACCCCCTGTTCATAAGCAATACTCTTACTCGATGGGAGAAGGGAATAGAGGGATCAGCGCCGCCCACGCATGAAGTTCTCCTTGCGCGCGGCGACGAGGCCCGAGATGCCACCCTTCCGCGGCGGCGTCTTTGAGGGAGAAGGCGCGAAGCCCTGCGGCCCCGGCGACCGGTCCCGCCTTCTTGTAGAAACATTGTTGTGCGTGAGCGGCGCGGGACTCGAGCCGCCCTCGAGCGAGTCCGCGCGCTCCCTGTGTCGCACGGGCGTCTGCGCGTGCTGGACGTCGTCGAGCAAGCGGAGCGCATCCCTCAAACCGTCGCGCGCCCGAGCCGTCTCCCTTCTCTCTTGGGCGGTGGCGGCGTCCTCCTCCAAGAGAGCGGCGTGCTCCGCGCCCGCAACTCTACCCACGAGGGTCGCCTGCATCTTCTCTTCAACTTTGTGGACAACGTGGGTCATCACAATCTTGGGCACGAGGTCGCAGAAGGTCTTGCGCACGACGGAGAAGTAGGCCCGCACTAGAGCCTTGACCACATCCACATGAGAAGGATCCGCTTTGACTTTCCGCGGCTTCTGGTAGGGCCGCGGCTTGAGCTGATCCTTCAGCACGAACGACTCGCGGCGATTCGACCGCCGCGGCGGCGTCACGGAGTCGCCCCGCAGCCCGCCGAACCAGCCGCGCCGCTCGGGCTCAGCAGGGGAAGTGTCCTCGAGCTCCTCCTCCTCGATCCTTCTATCCTCGATGTCGTCGTCGGAGAAGTCCGCCGACGGCGCCGAGAGGCAACCTAATCTAACAGTGACGTCCGACAGAGCCGCCACGAAGTCCGGATGCCGCGTGTTGATGTGTTGGAGTTCACAAGCCACTAAATCTGCGACCCGTTCCTTGGCGCCGTCCTTTTCCTTCCGTACAATCTCGACGACGGCCTCGCGGACCGCGCCTCGCAGTCGCGGCGCCCGGCGCAATCGAGCTAACGGCGCCGGCACCGCGCCTACCACGTCGTTCTGGTCCGCCACGGGCGGCTCGGCCACGTGTGCCGCGCAATTTTCCAATTCCCTGCAGACCAGGTCGACGCACTCCAGGCCCGGGTCCCTCAGTCTTTGAATCTGCTGCCGCACCAAGGCGTAGAAGGCCTTTTCGGGCGCGAAGAGCGCGGGCGACGCACCCGACGTCGCCAGCAGACAGGCTCGCACGTCGTCGTCCGAAATACCGTCCAACGGATCGGCCTTCGCCAGCGACGCCGCGAAGACGCGTTCAAAGACGTGGGCGAGTCGAGCAGCACCCCTTAGCTCGGCGTCGCCGCTATTCCCGAGCCACCGCGCGTCGCCGACGGCCCCGTCGCGCGCCAGCGTCGCGTACGTCTTCGCGTATAATAAAACGGCCTCTAGGACGACTCGGGCGGGATCGCCCGTCGAGTCCTCCTCGCCCAGCTGCGCCGCGCGGCTCTCCACCTGTGTAAATTCAACCAGTGAGGTTCCATCGAACCGACGCGGTCACGGCGACAACGTCGCGTCGATGGTGTGATTTCCACACGGCTCTCGACCTGGTCGAGCCGCGCCCGACACGCCTGTCTTAAATGAGGCGCCGCTTCTCGAGTAGCTGCCACTAACAAAGCTGAGAGCTTCTGCGCCAGCACGGCGATGCCGCAGCTCCGTTCCAGCAACTCTCGATGGCGAGGCGCACCGTACACTTCATGATTCGCGAAGAACGTCCGCTCCCTGGATTGCGCTGCCGCAACAGTCCCGCCCTCGTCCAAATCGCGCTGGCCCCTACAAACCACAGCGACGTAGCCCAATCTCAAAGGAAAGACCTCGTTTCGCAGAATCGACGCGCAGTCCGTCCCGGGGTCCATCAGGTCGGTCTTCGTGAGCACGCCGATGGTGCGATCGCCGGCCCGATCTACTTCTCTCGCCAACACTAACGCCTCGGACGTAGCCAAATCAGCGTTCGCCGCACTCACACAAAGTAATACGGCTCGTGGGTTCCGCGCGAACTGCTGGCACAACCGCTTGATCTTCTCGCCAATATCGTCGGGCTGGCCTCGGACTGGAACCCTTGTGACACCGGGTAGGTCCACCAACGTTAAGGAGGGAGCGCCGGCCACGTGCAATCTCAAAACAATAGGAGTAGCACAAATGTCTTTTTCATCGCCAGCTAATCTCGCCGTCTGCGCCTCGATCTCCGCTCTGATAGCCTCCATGTCACTGATCGGGGCGCCGCCCCCATGCCCGAACACCCCATAATCCGCCGGCCCCGTGTCCCTCGGCCTTAAATGTAACAAGAGGGGGCAGCGCGTCACGATGCCCGTGCCTCGAGGTAAAAAGGACAATCCTACCAACGATTCGATCGTCGAGGACTTGCCTGCTGATTGGCTGCCTAAGACCACAATCTGGGGTAGCGAATCGAGCGCGTCGGTGGCGCCGAGCGTCGCGGCGAGCTGCTGGAGCCGCGCGAGCGTGTCGACAACGGCACCGTCGACAACGCGCGTCGGTTGTTGGGGCGTGGCCATTGTGTTTTTGCCTAACGGGGGCTGTGGGTCCCGATCGCGGGTCCAACGACTAGATGTAGAACAGGAGTTATGCGGCTCGCGCTGGTCTTTGTGGACCGCGTGAGGCGTCTCGCTGCGACGGCTACAACCGCTGCGTCGTTCACAGCGTGCCAGGTGTTCGCGAGGGTCTGCCACACGGTGGAGGGCTCCGCGCAAATGCCGCGGCCAAAACAGGTTTCTAGTATGAAAACTGAGCTAGTGTGTCGGTACGCTAGATCACTGAGCTCAGGCCCTTGGTTTTTGGGCTATAACGGTGGGCCTTGAAGACGATTCGAATCGTTTCTGAAGCGTACTGGACCCTGTCGACCGGTCAGCAGCGCTTCACGCCATCGACAAGACCTCACACCGCCTGTGCAGCACTCACTCAGCAACACTCCGCAGCACACAAGCAGCCAGCAGAGATGCTGCTAGTCGGCTTAACCGGAGGAATAGCCACGGGCAAGTCCACGGTCACCGCCTGGTTCCGCTCCCAAAATGTTGAGGTGATCGACTGCGACCAGCTCGTGCACGACCTGCAGAAACCGGGCACGCGGTGCACGCGGGCGCTCGACCGGGCCTTCCCCGGCGTCGTGAAGAATGGCACATTGGACCGCGCGGCGCTCGGCGCGGCCATCTTCGGCGACGTCGCGAAAAGAAGGAAGCTCGACGCCGTCATGCGGCCCTTTATTGCGAAAACGCTGATCCAGGCCATCGGCTATCACTTCTGTGTCGGCACGTCTTTGGTGATTCTGGATGCGCCGCTGCTCTTCGAGTTCAAGCTCGACAAAATCTGCGCTTTATCAATTGTCGTCGCCGCGGCGCCCGAGACGCAGCTGCGACGCGTTATGAATAGAGACAACATTGATGAAGAGGCCGCAAAGAAGCGCATCGACGCGCAGATGCCCCTCGCGCTGAAATTGGATAGATGCGACGTCGCTCTACAAAACGACACCTCCAAAGTCGCGCTGCACGCACTATTGGAAAGGGGCGTCCTCCCACGTTTACAAAAAAGAGCGAGGAGGCGGTACTTCGTGTCCCTTCCCGGATTCATCTTCGTGGCAGTACTAATCTATACATTCTCTTACTTAGCGCGACGCGACCGCCTCCTTCGATGTCGAAAAGAACTCGTCGTGGATGATGCGTAGAGCTTCCTCGGCGTCGGCGTCCAAGACCACTAATGAAATGTTGACCTTGGACGCGCCCTGGCTCAGCATCTCCACTTTCACTCCGCGCTGCGCGAGGACCGTGAAGACGCGCGCGATCAACTCTGTGGACCGAGCCACGTCCGCGATGAAGGACACGATGGCCCGCCCGTCGCGCACGTCGACGCGCGCGATGTCCTCGAGGCGCTTCAGACCCTTGGGCGACAAAAATCTTTTAGCTTCGTCGCCGAGATGAGCTTTGGGGTCGAGCGTCAGACTGACTGAAACTTCGGAAGTAGCCACCACATCCACCGAGACCCCGTCCGTCTCGAAGACCTCGAAGATCGCCGCGAGAAACCCGGGCTGGCCCAGCATCCTTGAAGAACTAATATCCACGAGTGTCACGCCTCGTTTCGCCGTGATCGCCGTCAATGCGGGCCTTTCTAACGATTTCAGCGACCGCTCCTCGTCGATCTTCGACGGAGAGGCAATGAGCGTACCAGGATGGTCCGGGTTGTACGAATTTTTGATACGAACGGGACACTGCCCTACTTGAGCCGGTCTCAGAGCCGTGGGATGTAGAATAGACGCCCCGAAATAAGCTAATTCCGCCGCTTCTTCATAGGTAGCGAAGGGCACGTTGACGGAGTTCGACACGACTTTCGGATCCGCAGACATGAGACCGTCGACGTCCTTCCAGACCTGGACCTCCGCAAAGAGCGGTTCCTGTGTCTCTGATGCCCCTGCTCTTGCCAATGTAGTAGCTGTCAAATCGCTACCACCTCTACCGAGAGTCGTAACTCTACCATCCGCGTCGTGCCCTACATAACCAGTGATAACTGGTACCTCGTTCCGCTCGACGATGGACGACCGCAACGCTCGCGCGATGTCGTCGTAACACTCCTCGTCGACCCGCGCTTCGCCGTGGCCGCCCTCCGTCCTTAACCCTATATTCCAGGCTTCGATCGGGACTGCCGTGATGTCATGAGCTTCCTTCAATTGGCCTGCCACAATCCGACAACTCATCCTTTCTCCAAAACTGACTAAAAGGTCCTTCGTTCGCGGCGTGAGTTCCCTGACCATGCTCACGCCATCTAAGAGCGATTCGAGCTCTCTGAGTAGTTGTCTCACCTCATAGCCCACGTTTGCTGGGAGTTCGAGCTCATCCAAGACTTCTAAATGTAATTTGCGCATCTCGTCTACTCTAACAATGCCATCGACCAAAGCTAACGCTCCGGCCCTTTCTAACTCATTCGTAGTGGTCCCCATGGCACTCACAACCACGGCCGGAGTGAATCCTTCTCTAATTTTGGACGCTATGAGATCGGCGACGTGCGTGACGCGTTCCGCGTCTCTGATGGAGGACCCTCCGAACTTCATTACGATGCGTTTCTGCGCGTCCAGCGCCTTCGCGGCGTTCGCCTCGGCCCAGTCGCCCATTTGTAAAGGGGGCAGGCGCGTCTTGTGGTTCGCGGCGCTCGGCGCCACGAGCGCCCATCCGCGCGCGGCCGCGAGGGCCCAAACGAGTGCGGAAGCACTGGTCTTGGCCATGCTGCAAGGGTGCTCGTGCGCTGCCTTTCGCGTCTTTGTCGCGGTTTCCTGCGTTTGTAGCGCTGCTGTAGAGACGCTGCGTGGCGCGTTTTCACGCGCGTAACTGCTTCTTTAACAGCTCCTTTGCCCAAAAGCGCTTCGCTTCCTAGTGTCTTACTGTGTCGCTAGCGCGAGAAAATCACGGCGCCGGCGCTTTTTGTAGGCAGGACAGGAAGCGCGCACTCTTCGGCGTTGTCAGGCAGGCGACAGCAACGCTACTTAGCTGCTCCGCGTCCAGCTGGAAGCCTTAGCGCATAGCTGGAGCTAGGCCAGAGCCCCCTGTACAACAATGGACCGCGACCAAATGGACGAGCTGCTCGCCCCGATAGGTCAGCTGGGCGCCGCCATGGCCGCACTAGAGGTGACCGATGCGGCCGCTGAAAAAGCTTTGCAGGAAGTCCTGAACGGCACGGACACAACCGACGACGAAGCGGCCCAGCGCCGCGCAGAAAGAGACGCGAAGTCGGCGGCCCGGGGCCGCGCCCTCGAGGCGACGCGCGACGCGAAGATGGCCGTGGCGCTCGACGCGCGCGCGCCGGCGGACGACGCCGCAGGCCGGCGCGCGGTGCTGCGCTACTACGACCGCGCGGTGTTTGGATTCGCGGCGGCGCTGGCCGGCGGCGCGATCCCGGACGCGTCGATCGAGAGCGTCGTCGCGGCCATGGTCCAGTACGCGGACCGCGCGCTGCAGGTGCGGCTCGCGCTGCCGGCGCCCGCCGTCGCGCGCGACGCCTGCGACGGCGACGAGCGGCGCTCGGCTTTTTTGCAGATGGCGGTCCACTCGCAGACGTTCTCGCTCCTCGGCCGCGCGGTCGCGCGGCGCGCCGAGGCCGCGGCCGCGCCGCACGCCTGGGCGCGCTTCGTCTGCGCGAGCGACGCCGCCGACGCGTTCGTCGCGTACCTCAAGTTCCTCGAGGGCCGCGGCCAGGCGCCGCCGGGTGCCGTCGTCAGGGCTGCGACGGATCTCATGGGGGTGATGGAGCGGAGCAAGGCGGAGGTCGAGGCTGGTTCTGGGTAATTCTGTTTTTGTGTAGCCACCTTCCTGTACTGCACATTGTTACGGTGCTAGGACTCAAGTAGCTCTAATCAAGTCGTAGGTCGGAGCTAGCGTGTCGACACACTAGTGAGCTCTGCCACTCTCCCGAAAATCCGGATTCCCGGGTGCTCTCCCGAGGATAAATCACAGCCAAAAGGGGAGGAACGCAACCTAGGGCTGCCCCGTCAAACAAGAATGGAGCTCGTCGCCGCCGCCCGCAGCGGCCGCACGAACGACGTGCGACGCCTCCTCGACGCGGAGGGCTGCCGCGTCGACGACGAGGGGGAGGCGGGGGGCAGCCCGCTGTGGTACGCATGTGCCGGCGGCCACTACCAGTGCGCCAAGCTCCTGCTGCTGCGGGGCGCCGCCGTCGACCGCGAGCGCGACGGCACGACGCCGCTCCTCGTCGCCTGCCAGAACGGGCGGCTTGACGTCTGCGAGCTGCTGATCGAGCGCGGGGCGTCGATCGCGACGCCGACGACATCTGGTTTGAGTGCGTTGAACACGGCGGCGCGCGGCGGCCACGCAGACATCGTCGCGCTGCTCCTCGCGCGGGGCTTCTCGCGCGGCGCCGAGACGGCCTTCGCGCGCGAGATCGCGAAGATCCACGGTCATACAGACGTCGTCGAGCTGCTCGACGCCTTCGCGCGCGGCGACCCGCCGCCGCCGCCGCCCAAGTCGCCCATCGTCGACATCACCGTCGACCGCGTCGAGGTGAGCTCGCCGCCGTCGGGCGTCGCCGGGCCGACGCCAGCGGATGAATTAGCCGGCGCCATGGGCCTCTGCGGGTCTCCTAGAACCGACGCCTCGGACGGCCCGCCTTCGCGGTCGAACAGCCCGGCGACGCTGCCCGGCGCGCTCGCCGGCGCCATCGACTTCTTCGGCTGCGGCTCGCCGCAGGAGGTCGTGGACGCCGACGACGCGCCGGCCTCGCCTCCTCCTCGCGCACGGCAGTCGGACGCGCCAGCCTCGCCGCCGTCGCCGGGGACAATTTCGTCCGCATCAGCGTCGCCGACGCGACGCCGCTGGCCGAGCGTCCAGGTCGACAGCGACGAGGAGGACTACGCCCCGCCTGCCGGGCAGCTCCACCATAGATTGAAACCAGTCGCGGAGGAGACGTCCCTGCTGCCGCCGCTCACGCTGAAGGATCCCGGCACGTCGTGTCGGGAGGAGCTCGAGCGCCTCGAGGCGCGGGGCTCCATCCCCTCTGGCTTGGTGGGCGACTGCCTCCGGCGGACGGGTGAGTTGCGCCTTGACACGCCCGTGCTCCTCGACGACGACGAGCTACTGGCGCTTGTGGCCTACACGTATGACAACCAGAGCGGCTCGCCCGCTGGGCAATTCTATGAGGAGGTGAATCGGGCGCTCCGGAACCGGCGAGGGCGACGGGAGCTTGTGCAGCGGTGGGGCGGCGTCCTGTACTATCTGATGGCGGCCCTCACCCGGCTCCCGGATATGAGTGGTCTGTTTTATCGAGTGTGCCCCGACCGGCTGCAGTTGTCGAATTACCCGGTGGGTGGAAGGATCCAGTACGGAGCATTCTTCAGCGTCACCGCGGACCTCGCGACGGCCACGGCCGTCGCGGATACGACCACCGACGTGATACTCCGCCTGCGCTTAAAGCACGGCCGGGCCGTCGAGGACTACTCGTGCTTCCCGGATACGCAAGAGATCGTCGCCTCGGCGCGCGCGCGTTTTGTGGTGGCGTCGGGGCCGCGCGTCGAGGGCGGCTTCACGTACGTGGACCTGGTCGAGGAGTCGCGGGAGGATTTTTAAAACAACTATTTACTCCATACTGACGATCTCGACGACGCCGAGTAGCTCCGAAGATCATGACTCACTGAAATGTAGTCCGGGTCGTCCGGCGGTATGTAGCCCCATCTCATGGCAAAATCAAGCATCACGAGAGCCGAGTTCGGCTTCCACTCGTAGAGCCGGCTCCGCAGGCTCTCGACGGCGTCCTCGGCCTTCATGAGCATGAAGGCGTCGACCTCGCCGTCGCCGTTGATCGGGACCAGATCTTCCGGAAGCTCGAGATCAAACACCGCCAGGGTTTTGGTGGAGAGGCCGCGCCGCGCGGCGTACCGGTACGACACGCAGCCCGCCGCCCGCAGGTTCCCATCCAAAATGTCGCGCGGGATGCTGGCTTCCTCGGCGGCCTCTCTTTTCGCATTCTCCAGCAGACTCGTCTTCGCGGGCAGCCCGCCCGCGGCGATCTGGTCCAGCAGCCCGGGGTACGTCGGCTTCGACAGGGCCCGCTTCGCCAGCCAGATGTAGACGTCACCATTTTTGCGCGTGAAGCCGTTCACGTGGCAGCCGTAGGAGGGCACGCCGAAGGAGACCACCGCTGCTCTCTCAATTCGTAACAATGGCGGCGAGTTCAGGGGCGCGCCGAGCGCCCGCACGTCCTGGAGCTCGTCCCGCAATTTTGATCTAGGAACAAATGCCACCTCCGTGCCCTGGTCCGGCCTCGCTAATAGTAGCTCTGAATCTGCCACTAAAGCGTCCACGAGAGCCTGGACGACGCGCGTGCGCTCCGCTACTGAATGAGCGTGCGGCGCCAGCGTCGCGGCCAGCGCCGACACGTCGTCGTCCTCGATGACCTCCTCATCCAGTTCATCGTCGCGGCGCCGCACGACGTGCGGCAGCGGGTTCGGCCCGACCTCGACGGCCGCCGACAGGCCCGGCCCCCGTAACTTGTTCAATAGCTGCGCGGCGACAAACCCGACCTGCTCGCCCTCGACCAACACCGGCGCGAATCGAGCCGGATCGTAGGTGTTGCATCTTCTAACAACCGCCCGCAGACCCCGCAACTCCTCGTTGCGCGCCGCGCACTGCTCCGCCGTCTCGTCCACGTAACATAAAGCTTCCACGTCCTCCTCCGTCGCCGAGCCGCCCGACGCCGGCTTGGGCTCCGGTCTCTGCTCCACAGCCGCCGTTTCAACCCTTCTTGTAGCTTCCATCAAGCGCCAGGGCGCCGCTAATTTGTCTCGGCGTTTCTGCTTGCGCTCTCTCCTTGCTTTAAGCCCCCTCATGGAAGCCTCGACCTCGTCGACGAAACTGCAGCAGTCCGCGAAGGTCTCCAACTCTGAGCGTGCGTTGTCGACGACTTTGACGGGCACGCCCGCTTCTTCAAAAGTAGCCAGCACCGCGTTGCATTCCTGGGCGTGCTTGGCGAGCCTCTTTTTGACGACCTCCTCCGTGTCGTCCGTGCGCCACACGAGTCGATGCCGGACGTCGTCGGGCGGCGGCGCGAACCGAGGATGGTACACGGCACCCGTCGCCGAGTCCTCGCACCGCCCGAGACAGAACGCCACGGCCAGATCGTCGGGCCGATCCAAGACGACCACGGCGTCCGGCTTCAGCGGTCCTTCTAGGAGCAATCTAGCTTGTCCGGCCGTCCGGGGAAACCCATCCAACAACCAACCTCCTTCCACCGCGTCCTCCCTTTCTAACCTCTCTTGCACAATGTCCATGGCGTCCTCGTCGCTCAACAGCTTCCCGGACTGCAGCGCCGCCCGGACTTGCCCGTCGCTCTCGGCCCGCAGTCGTGCTCTTAGCAGACTTCCAAGGCCCACTCGCGCTGACCGGTAGGCGCAGCTGAGCATCGGCGCCAGCGTCCCCTTGCCCGACGCCGGCTTGCCCAGTAACACAATCTTGGGCCCCGCGGCGCGGCCGAGCCGCCGCATGCGCGACCGCATCTGCGCCTCGGCGGCCGCGCGCCGCTCGCTCGCGCCGCTGTAGCTGAACTCGTACGTTTCCTTCGTGGGCGGCGGTTCGGCGCGGGCCGGCGGCATGGGCTTGCTCGCGGGCGCGGACAGCGCGGCGGCGTAGGCCGCGCAACAGAGGGCGACGAGCCCTTTCATTGCGTCTCCGTGGCTAAATCTCCGTGGCAATCTCTGAACTTGAGGATTCTGCCCTACGGCGTGCCCTCACGTGTTGGAGCGGTCGCAAAGGGCTGGTTGTGGTCGCAGCCCTCGAATATTGATCCCTGGGCCGCAGTGCTCTATATGTTAGAGCGCTACGGGGCCTAGGCAACCTTGTTTTGCCTCAGCGTTTTTGTTGCTAGTGACTTACAGGACGCTAGCATTGCGAGCCTTTGTGGTTTTTGCCACCACAGCCCGCACAGCTGTCACCACTGTCACGGGCTTGTAAATTTTTGATCCTTGGCCGCGCAGCACGCGCTGGCTGAAATTTGAGGTCGAGTCGTGCAGGCATTGGAGAGCATGGCAGCGTTGCATTTGCTGACTAAGCAGAGCACTTCCTCCTTCTTGCGTTGGGCATTTGTGTTACTGTTGTGCACACTGAGTAGGGCACTCGCGCTGACGACGCGACCACTCGCACGGGCACCATCGCGCTTCTTTCGACGAACACGCGGGACGCGATGCGGGACGAGACGATGGGCGCGGAAGCCGTCAGCGCCGCCAATTGAACAAAACGAGCCAACCAGCAGCCGTCGAAATGTCCTCGCGGCGGTCGCGTTCCCGGTCGCGGTCGGCCTCGGGTCCCAAGCGCCGCTCCTGGGCCTCATCGCGAACCCGCCCGACGCGGCGGCGCGCGACGAAATGCTCTCGTCGTGGTGCGCGGCCGACTACTGCACGCTCCTGGGGGGCGGTGCGGGCTATGGTGGTGCATCGGCGTTTCCCGGAAATTACGTCGAGCCGGACGACGAGGCGAAGTAGAACTATTGTGTGTAACAGACTTACTGCATGCACGACTCGTAGACCGGCACGTAGGACTTGATGTTCACGAACGCGTTCGGCCCGCCCGTCTTCTCGAGCAGCTCCAAGGTCTCCAGCACGGCCGTCCCCAAGTCCGTCCCCTTCCGCTGTCCATAAAAAATCTGGTCGCCGATGTTCTGGCGCTTCGTGTAAAATAAATTCATCGGCTGGAGTAACTGCCGGTAGAAGGGCACCATGGCCTCGCCGACGCCGTAGTTGCTCAACACAACTTTTTGTAAAGCGTTGAGACCGGCGACCACGATGTCCGGGTCGTGCGTCGCCAGGGCCAGTCGGATGGGTTTTATTAAAGCCGGCACGACGGGCAGCACGCAGTCCGGAAAGCCCTTCGCTTCTTCGATCATCTCGTCAAAGCCTTGTCTGGCCACGAACTTGTACCGCGCGTCCGTACAACGAATCCCATCCAAGAAAATCGGTAAATAGTGCTCGTAGTCCAACTGGAGCAACGGACAGGCCCAGCTTAAAGTGTTGTGGCAGGCGCCGTGCTCGATCGCGCACGGCAACTCGCCCCGCTCGTATCTCGTCGGGAATACCGTTTCTTCTACTTTCTGCTTCCGGAAGACACCTGAACAGGGGCCCTTGTGCGGCCGCGTCCGATTCTGAATTTTCTGGGCATTGACTGTTTTTGCTGTCCTTTTCAGTTTGTGTATGAGCACGTCCGGGTTCGGTGTTATGGATGGTGTCGTTCTTCGCACGGGCGGCCTCTTCGGCAAAGCTACCGGCTTTTCAATGACACGTTGGCCTTGCTTCGAGAGAGAAGACCGCGGCAGATGCGCGTGGGCCTGCGCCAACAACTTGGATGCTCGTCTATCTCTTGTTTTCTTGCCGAGGATCTTGTGCGTCGCGGCACAACGGTCATCCAGCAGGGCCATCTGCTTCAGGAGCATCGCCTTTTGCATTTTCAGGTCGACGCCTACTTTCTGTGGCGACATTCGCCCTTGGGCCAACATCGCCTTCGTCATGTCCGTTTCTTGCTTCGGGGGTTCGATGCCGTGCTTCCTTTCTCTCCACACTCCATCCACGAGCTGGCGGTCTTGTTCAGTTGGGGGGCGGTAGGACGAGGGCGCGCTCATGACTGCTGTCCTCGAGGCTGCCCTTGTGTTTGGCGCTGCAGAGAGGAGGCCGGCGGCGCTGCGGCTACCTAGAACCAAGGGGTTCGTAGTGATCCGTAGGTTGTCGCGTGGTGGCCCTGTCGTCGCGTCGGCGCGCGAGAGGCTGCCCTTTGTCTGGCGGCGCTGCAGCTGTGAGAGGCCGGCGGGTGGAGGTGCGGTTCGCTCTATGGGTCTTGGCACCTGTCGCAGAGGTCTGTATTCGGACGTATCCTGGCCGGAGACAGATCCTTCCGCTGGCGGAGCCAAGTGACAGAGCCAGCATCTCCAGGCGATTGTGGCTCGTGCGCGTCGCAGATCTCAGCATACTTGCAACCATCCGTGCCCAGACTCTACATTCCTTTAAATCAATACTCATCTGTCGTGTGCTGCTGGTGGCACTGCCGTGCGATAGCTGGCTGGAGAGAGACGGCAACACCTCACACTGCAGCTGCAGATCCAGCGCGCACGACGCAGCGGCAAGCAACCGCGACGACGTCGACGCCACGCATGCTTGCAACAGCACATCACACTGGACCTTGCATCCGGTGGACGTTGCGACCGCGACGCCGTCGACGTGACGCCACCGACGACCGCGGCAACTGAGAGAGGAGCGCTTCGCGAGAGCAGTTCGCGCTCACCATCACGCACACAGGTCGCAGCAGCCATGAAGGTCGTCCTAGCACTAGCGCTGTCGGCGGAAGCCCTGAACGTCGCGCGGAACCCGAACTTCGCGAAACTCCAGGGCGGCTACCTCTTCCCCGAGATCGGCCGCCGCCGCTCCGCGTTCGTCGCGGCGAACCCCGACAAGGCCGACAAGATCATTTCCTTGGGCATCGGCGACACCACCAAACCGATCCCCGAGCACATTCTGTCTGGTTTAGTGGAAGGCGCGTCGAAATTAGGCACGCAGGAGGGCTACAGCGGCTATGGCGCCGAGCAGGGCATGGGCGACTTGCGGCAAAGAATCGCCGAGTCGTGCTACGCCAACACGAACATCAAGGCCGACGAGGTCTTCGTGTCGGACGGCGCCAAGTGCGACATTGCTCGTTTACAGATCATGTTCGGCTCCGGCGTCACGTCGGCGGTGCAGGACCCGTCGTACCCCGTCTACGTCGATACCTCTGTGATGTTTGGGCAAACGGGCGAGGTCGATGCGAACGGCCAGTTCAACAATCTCGTGTACATGAAGTGCCCCAAGGAGAACAACTTCTTCCCTCATTTAGATGAAGTGCCGAGAGCCGACGTCTACTACTTCTGCTCGCCGAACAACCCGACGGGCGCCGTCGCGACGAAAGCCCAGCTCGAAGAGTTAGTTGCGCGCGCATTGAAAGATGGTAGTATACTAGTCTTCGACGCGGCGTACGCCCCCTTTATCAAGACGCCGGGCGTGCCCACCAGCATTTTCGAGATCCCCGGCGCCGAGAAGTGCGCCATCGAGGTGAACTCCTTCTCCAAGTACGCCGGGTTTACCGGTGCTCGGTTGGGCTGGACGGTGGTCCCGGATGCCCTGGAGTACTCGGACGGCAGCAAGGTCCGCGACGACTTCAACCGCGTCATGACGACGTGCTTCAACGGCGCGTCGAACGTCATCCAGAGCGGCGGCATGGCCTGCCTGTCGCCGGAGGGCAAGAAGGAAATTGATTCACTCATTGATTACTACCTGGGCAACGCGAAGATCCTGCAAGGGTTGGCGGATGATCTCGGCCTGGACTACATCGGCGGCGACGACTCTCCCTACGTCTTCGTGGACTTGAAGGGCCACTCGTCCTGGGACACCTTCTCGACGATCCTCGAGGAGTGCCAGGTCGTGACGATTCCCGGCGCCGGCTTCGGGCCCGGCGGCGAGGGCTTCCTGCGCTTCTCGGCCTTCGCGCCGCGCGAGGCCTGCGAGGAGGCGCGGCGCCGCATCTCGCAGATCGACATCTTCAAGGGGCAGTAGGTTTGATGCGTAAGACTATAAGTTACTCGATGCGCTGGCGATAACCCTCCAGCTTCCTCTGAGCATGCAGTGTGTCGGGATGAGCCGGTCCCATAACGCGACGCATGACTCCTGCCACTTCCTCCAGTGTCCGAAGCGCCTGGCGCTTTTCATTGGCGGAGGAGTCTCCGTCTAGTATCGCGCGAGAGAGGTCCTCACGCATAGACAGCGTTATTTTATTTTCAGCTCCAAGAACGCGTCGCGCCACGGGCGTCATTTTGCGTAGCAGTCGCTTCGCTTCTTCGAAGCGCTTTAGATCAATAAGGGACATTGCGTAGTTGTTGGCCGCTCGGAGAGTCATTTCATGTTCCTCGCCATCGATGGCGTGGAGGTTGACGCCATCGATGCTGGTCCCGGCCGTCGCGGTCAAATATTGATCAATGCAATTTTTTGCGAGTCATGAGTGCGTCAAACGAGCTACGGCTCGATGGTTCATTGCAGATGTGACGACGCGAGGGTCAGGTCTGGGCGTGCTTCGCTAATAACCGAGCCGCACTGCAAAACAAGCCACGGCCGATGGAGCTAGCGTCTGTAAGATACTAGAAAGTCAGATGCTCAAACTTCTGGCCAACAGCTGCCCCGCCACGCCCGAAGCACTGCCCGCCGCACTGCCCGCACACTATTAACGAACACACGGCTGCCCTACAACGCCGGAGGACAACTGCCCTCCCGGCTGATCCCACAACAATGGAAAGCCTAAAACAACGAATGCAGACACGCGATGATGCGACGCCGCCCCCACCGCCCGCACAAGCAAAAGCCACGACAACCGTAGCTGCCCGCGTCCGCCCCTGGCTCACCGCACTGGATGGCCCGAACGACATCGCGTCCACGAGCGCCGTGAGCGCGACGGGCGTCCGCGTGCGCGCCCCGGGCGACGCGGGCCGCGGGCGCGGCTTCAGATTGCACCACGCCGTCAGCGCGGACGACCCGACGTTCTGCGAGACGGTCATAGCGCCGCTCGCCGACCTCGCTTCGCGAGGCGGCACGGCCTGCGTCGTGTTTTACGGCGCGTCCGGCGCGGGCAAGACGCACTCCGCGCGTGCAGCGCAGCGGTTTGCCGCTGAGCAGCTCCTCAAAAGCAGCTCAGTGGATGTGTCCTTCCTCGAGATCGCTGGTGAAAGTTGCTGCGACCTGCTGAAGGATCGTGAAACAGTCAAGCTCCTGGCGGATAGTAGTGGAACAATCCAGCCCGTCGGCCTCTCGAAGAACCAATGTGCTTCGCTGGACGACTTCGACGCGAAGACAAAGAATGCGAATAAGCTACGAGCCACGGCGGCCACGGAGCGGAACAGCGTCTCGTCGCGAAGCCACGCCGTCTGCCAGCTCAAGATAAAGGGAGGAGGCCGGCTGAGGCTCGTTGATTTGGCGGGCTCGGAGCGGCTGAAAGCCGGCGCCGAGAACTACTCGGACGAGCGACTGCGCGAGGCCCAGGAGATCAATTCTTCTTTATCATGTTTGAACGAGTGTCTGCGGGCGCGGTTACGAGGCGACAAGCACGTGCCCTACCGCCGCGCGAAGATCACGCTGCTTTTGAGAGATGCCCTGGAGGTCGACGGCGCGACGTCCACGGCCTTCGTCGCCTGCGTGTCTCCAAGTCCAGCAACGGCAACCGAATCAAAACGGACGCTCGAGTACGCCGCCGCCACTCTCGAGGCTTCCGAGCTCGCGCGGCAGCGGAAGCAGTTCAAGGGCCCCGAGAAGTGGTCCTCGAAGGAGTGCGAGAAGTGGTGCCTCGAGTTCGACGGCGGGAAATACGCGAAGCTGGCCCCCGCGTTCTGTAAGTCGGGCAAGACGCTGGCCGTGATCTACCGCGGTGATCTACTAAGGCAGGTCGAGGCGCTCGGCGGCTCCGAGGCCGACTGCGAGGTCCTGTACATGGCGTTCAGAAAACTAGTCAAGGACGCGAAGAAAAAGCCGGTCAAACGGTCCGCCGTCGCGCTGAAGATGGCGCGCGACGCGCAGCTGCTCAAGGCCAATCGGGAGCGCGCGACGGCCTCGGATCGGTTCGGCGGCGCGGGGCAGGACGAATTGCAAGCTCTCGCGGAGAAGCATGAGAGCTTGAACCTGGGGTGAGTGTGTTTGTATCGATCGCTTTCGTTCGTGGGATAGTAACAGTATTATTCACACAACTAGCGCGGCACGAGCTTCAGGAAGAGGCCGCTCTCGCGCGGGCCGTTCGTGACGAGGACGTGCTCCCTCGGCTCCGGGTAGCCCGGGCCCGCGGGGAACAATTCGTAGCGGCGAAGCACCGCGTGGAGGAGTGCGACGAGCTCGAGCTGGGCCAAAGCGTAGCCGACGCAGATCCGGGGGCCGGCGCCGAAGGGGCAGTGCGGCTCACCCATACGACCGTGCTGTCCTTTCACATAACGCGAACAGTCGAACTTGTCGGGCGATGGGAACTGCATCGGACAACGGGCCATTACCGTTTTGTTTGGGAGCACGTAGGTATTCTTGGGCACACCAGGAATTTGGTCGTCGCGTGTCATCTTCTTGGCCGGTCCGATGATAATCGTATATAATCTAAGTGCCTCGTAGACGGCGCCGACGAGAGTCGTCATGGCCAGAAAGTCTTGGTATGACGGTGTCGCGGGCGACATATCGGCCTCGGCGCGGCACTTGGCCTGCTCCTCGGGGTTGCTCGCAAGTAGATGCAAGATCCAGCACGCCGTGTTCGACGACGTCTCATGCCCAGCTATGAGTAGCGACACGCTCTCCTGGATACAGTCCTCCGGCGCTAGCTTCTCCTTGTGGGCCAGGCGGGCGACGAACGAAGACCGCAGCGCTTCGGGCGCCGTCGGGGCCGCGGACGCGCGGATAATCTCGGCTGCCGTCTCGCGGAAGACCTCCATGTCGGCCGTGGCCTTGGCGCAGGCGGCGCGGTCCAAGCTCGCAAACGGACCCTTCGCGAAGCGACGCAGTATATCAGCATTGAGGCCGGCGGCAGCCGTCGCATAGCGCGATTCCTTACCTGATTTCGCGCCCACGAGCGCGCCGAATTCGTGGCCGAACGCCACGTTCCCGATGATGTCCAGCGCCCAGGCGCCAATAACCGGGTAGAGGTCCGAGACGCCCGCTTCGGCGAGGTTGCTGTCAACGAGCTCCCGGCACGCAACGAGGATGTGTGGCAGCTGCGCCTCGAGACTCTTCGCACTGAATAAAGGCGCTATGGCGCGGCGGTGGCGCGACCACTCCGGTCCCAGAGGTAGACCGAGGATCGAGCGAGGTAGGAGGTGATTCACGCCCTCCCTCCCACTGTCAAGATCTCGACCGCTGAACCACTTAGGTATCGAGCCGGTAAACATGACCATTACCTTTCCCAGCGGTCCCACCACTCTTAAAGTTTTGCCGTAGTCGCTCTGCAGCGTCGCGAGCGAGCGGTGTCTTGTGAAGAGATCCGGTATGTACTTCTTATCGAGTAACGTCCCGAGCAGCAGCGTCTGCGGCCGCAGCGGGCCCGGCACGCGCACCCGTACGATGCGATACAGGATCACGAGGGGCGGCAAGATGAGGCATAGTACCGTAGCTGCGAGCGCATAGGAGAACGCCATCGATGCGGCGCGCACGGCGTGATCTGGCCTGGGCAGCGTGTGAGAGCAGCCTCTTTACAGCGTTGCTCTGCGCACCGTTGCGTGCCTTAGGCGTCGTCAGCGGGCTGTCGCTGCTCGCGGCGCTGCTTGTTGATGCGTGTAAGTGCGCACAAGGCACCAGAACGCTCGTCTTACTAAGGCGGGGCCGACACCATCTAGCGCCATTAAGACACTAGGAATAAATGCAACGGACTAAATTACCCCCCAGGGACTCCGCCCACTAGTTCTAGCACCGTAACATCAAATCTGGACTAGAATTACCCGCCCAGCGCCGCCCGCGCCCGCCTTCTGGCCGCCTCGGCCGCCTCCTCTCCCCTATGCCGCCCCTCGAACTGGACGAACTCCCTCCAAATATTCGCTGCCCGCGGGCAACTCGACAAGCCGTCCTCGAGGACGTCGCGCGCCGCGTCCACGTCACCTAAAGCCTCCTCGAAGCGCGCCCAGGCCGCGAACGTCGCCGCCGCCGCCGACAGCTCCAAGGCTTTCCTAAATGATGTTCTCGCACTTTCCGCGTCCTGCTCCCACCGTTGGGCTTTTTCCATATTGCCGTCCTCGTACTTCTCCCACCTTCGTTTGCCGCGTAACGTACTATTCGCCTCGAGCTGCCCCTTGGCCCTATGGAGTTTGGCCATCTCCACGGACTTGGCGACGCCCGCGCAGCCCCAGATGCCTCGCTGGAGTAAATCTCTAGCTCGTCCAGCTCGACCCCGTCTCAACTCCATCGTAGCCCATTTATAATAACCAGCGGCATGCCTCCGGTCCGTCTCGACGCTCCGCCGAAACGCGTCCGCCGCTCGGTCGAAGTCCTCGAGGTGGTGCCAGCACACTTCTCCTAGCGTCGAGAAGACCGCGGCGTCCGTGATGCCACCGGGCGCGAAGCCCCTCGCGCGCGTCGCCCGCTCCAACAACTTCAGCGCGCCGGTAGCGTTCCCATGTCTAGCTTCAGCCATGGCCCAGGCCGTAAACACCCTCGTGTTCGTCGCGTGACTTCTGTGAGCCTTATCATATAACTCCCGCGCGCGCACCAACCCCAGACCCCTAGCTTCCTCCAAATTCGCCCAGGCCACCAGCGTAGCGGCATTGGACGGATTGGCGTCCGACGACCTCCTAAACAAATCGCGCGCGGCGTCCACATGTCCTAGTCGCGCTTCGAGGTCCGCGAAACATGATAACGCGTAGTAGTTCCGCGGCTCCGCCTGTAGCGCTTTCTTGAAGCACTCGATGGCGTCGGCGGCGTTGCGCTGGTCGTCCTTCTCGGGAGCCCGTGCTAGCGTCTGGGTCGTCGTACCTAGCAGCCAGACCTCATCATCATCTTCCGTTTGATTGACATCTCTCCTTAGAGGTAAGGGAGCTCCCCTCAAATCCCTTGTGAGTAAGCGCGCAGTAGCGACCCACGACGCGACGTGCTTCGGGTCGTAGGCCGTCGCGAGTCGTAACTGCTTCAGAGCCTCGTTAGTGCGACCCCGTCGCTCCAGCAGCACGGCGTAGGCCTGCCTCACGTAGGCATTCGACGGGTCCTGGGTCAGGCCCTCGTTCAGGAGCTGCAACGCGGCTTCGCCGTCTCGCTGCCTCCGTTCCAGATCTCTTGCTAATGCTATATAAGTGCGGCCGTCGTCCGGCCTTATTTGCAGGCACAGCTGCCACAACCTTCTGGCCTCTTTTATTCTACCTCGTCGTTCCTCCTTCTTCGCGCGCCAGTGCAACAAGTCGGCGTTGATCCTTAACGCAGCCGGCGCGGCTCTTTCTCTCCGTTGCGACTCAAAAAAATCACCTTCTCGGGCCGCGCCAGGACCAGGGACCTGGATCTCTAAAGAATTTGCCAACAAGGAGTCGGCCATCTTTTTCGTGAGCGTGTCGAGGTACGACGGCTGCGCTCGGTCCTCCTCCGCGATCCACGTCTCGTCCTGCACGTGGCGTCGGACGCGGTGCACGCGGACGCGCCGCGGCTGGAGGCCGCCGCTGCATGCGAGCAGCGTCAGCGCGATGAGGCGCGGCATCGCTTCTGTTTTGTTTGCCTACAGCCCAGCCTTGCTGTGAGGGGGTACCACTGTTACCGCTGGGCACGCCGACTCAGCAAGCGGCAGAGATGCACCACAGTCTCCTTTTGCACCAGTGCTGCTGTCTGTTGCGCCAAATCTAGCGCGTACGCCGCGCCAGGCAAGGCCAAGCTGCAGCTGAGCTTGTCGAGCTAGAGCCCGTCGACGCTAGCTCGGCGCACCCCTTTTTCCTTTGCATTTCCTTTGGACGAGTCTTCTGAGCCCAAAAGTACTCCTTCAAAGAGCAGTGATTAGGCTCCCACATTTCGGAGAGTGGTTTTACACAGGGACGTGGACGGACAGTGGCAGCGGGTAAAAGCAATGATTCGGCAAGGAAGTCGCGCAGCCGCGCACGCAGCGCGCTGCTTCAGCGCCGCCGGTGCGGGCGGCAAACTAGGGCTCGAAGGCCTCGCTAACAAGGTAAATTACCGCTGTCCCATGTGAAACTATGCGCAAAAACGCATCGATGCAACACAGGTCGACCTCAGCCAGTCGCGCGTCCTCATCCGGTTAGATTTAAATGTACCTTTATCAAAAGACGACGGCGTGACCATCACGGACGACACGCGGTTGAGGGCCGTCGTGCCCACCATGAATTTTCTGAAGGAGCAGGGCGCGTCGGTCGTCGTGGCCACGCATATCGGCCGACCTAAAGGAGAACCCGATCCGAAGTTCTCCGTCTCGCCCGTCGTTGGAAGACTTTCGGAGCTACTTGACACCGATGTGATAAAAGCGGACGACTGCGTCGGCGACGACGTGAAGAAAATGTGCGACGGCATGCCCAAGGGCGGTGTCGTCCTCCTGGAGAACGTGCGCTTCCACAAGGGCGAGACCAAAAACCACGAGGACTTTGCCAAAGCCCTGGCGACGTCGTCGGGCGCCAATGCCTACGTGAACGACGCGTTTGGCACCGCGCATCGGGCCCACGCGTCGACTGAAGGTGTCGTAAAACATATTGATGGTCCCGCTGCCGGCGGTGTGTTGATGGAGAAGGAGCTCGTCTACATCAAGGGCGCTATTGATGCTCCTAAACGACCGTTGACGGCGATTCTGGGCGGCGCGAAAGTCTCGACGAAAATCCCGGTCATCGAGTCCATGCTCGACAAGTGCGATAATGTATTAGTTGGGGGCGGCATGATCTTCACTTTTTATAAAGCTCAGGGCCATTCTGTCGGCGGGTCGTTGATCGAAGAGGACTACATAGATATGGCTCGGGATCTGTTAGCGAAGGCCGAGGCCAAGGGCGTGAAGTTCTTGCTGCCGAAGGACGTGGTCGTGGCGGACAAGTTCGCCGCCGACGCGGCGTTCAAGAATGTCGGCGTCGACGGCATCCCGGACGGCTGGCTCGGGCTCGACGTCGGGCCGGAGTCGGCCAAGGAGTTTTCGGATGTTGTTTCTGCATCAAAAACCGTGGTCTGGAACGGGCCCATGGGCGTGTTTGAGTTCGACAACTTTGCCAAAGGTACTTTTGCGGTGGCCGACGCGCTTGGCAGTCTGGACGGGATCACGATTATTGGAGGGGGGGATAGTGTGGCGGCGGTGGAGAAGGCCGGTCTGGCGTCGAAGATGTCTCATATTAGTACGGGTGGCGGCGCGTCCCTCGAGTTGCTGGAGGGCAAGGTGCTGCCGGGCGTGGCCGCGCTCGACGACGCGTGATTCTTCGGGGAAATATAAGTGTGATTCCAACTTTCTTGTATTTGTGCCGCGTCGGCGGCGTCGCGGCGGACGGAGTGGGTCTCGTTGCCGCTCCGACGGCGGACCGACGCTAACGCGCGGCGCAGGCCCATCGCGGTTCTTCGTAGCTCGCGACCGCGTAGAAAACCCACGAACAGTGAGATCAGCGCCCCCGATCGCCTGGTCCACGGCTTGCGCGCGGCTCCTAGTGGTTTGAATTCTAGAGAGCCATTCTGCTCAGCATCTGTTCAGCGCACAGCAGCGCGCCGAGACACACGGGCAGGCGCAGGGGAGGCGTCCGCGCATCGCACGCGCAAGAGACAGCCTTCTCGGCGGCGACCAGGACAGCGAATTGTCCCTGGGCAGCCCTCTCACCACATTGTCCGCCAGAGACATGACAACATGATGCTAGGGCAGCCCGAATCCGTGCCGCTGGCAAGATCGGAGGACTCATTCTCCGACGACGGATTACGCAGCGAGCCCTCAATGGGCTCCCTGCAGGAACTGGAGTACGTCGACCGCTGGCCCAGCGAGGCGCCCCCGCCACCCGACGACGGCCCGCGGACGCCACGCATCGGGCCCGCGCTCTCACTGGACGAGGACGACGACGATGCCCGCGTCGTCGAGACAGTCGACCTCACGACGCCGCCGCGTCGCCGCGAGAAGCGCATCACCGGCAAAGCCCGGGCGTCGCGGGTCCACGCTGTGACGCCACCCGCGGGGCCGGACGCCGTCGCGCCGTTTACTTTTTGCAGCGCATTATCTATCGGCGACTTCGCGGCGCCCGTGGCCGGCAGCCCCGCGCGCAGCGTCGCGTCGTCGGGCGCGGCGACGCCGACGCGCGCCGTGACGCCCGGCACGCCGGAGTCGCCGGTCGACGAGGACCCGCGCGGTTGGCGGCGGGACGCGTCCTCGTCCGAGGAGTCGCTCGTGAAGTTTGAGGAGGAGGCCTCGCTCGTGGGCCGCTACCTCGGCTGTTCCGTGGCCGCGCGCTTCGAGGTCGCTGCGTCCGACAGCGACGCCGAGCCGCCGCTGCCCCCGGCGCCGCCGGAGCTGCCGCGGTCCCCCTCCTCGAATTTGGACCTGTGGCTCGTCCGGCGAGGCTTGGGGAAATATCTGGACGCCGTCGCGGCCCTCGGCGCGCGCCGCGTCAGCGACCTGGTTTTTATTGATGACGACGACCTTGATGCCTTGGGCATGACGCCCGAGGAGCGGGCTGCCATACGGATACACGTCGCGTGTTGACTCGCCCACTACTGGGAATAAATGAATTGATATTATAGCCTGGTCGCCTTGGACTGGCGAAAGCCTCGGCGAAACGCGACGCCCAGAGCGTTCCAGGTGATGTCACCGCGAGCGAGCGCTCCCGATATCTCCTGGAGCGCGTGGCCCTTTTTTACGTTGTGGGCGAAGTTGTGCAGGCGCTTCGCGTTGTCCCCGGTGACTTCCTTGTGGGAACGCCGGCGCGTCCTCGAAGAGTGGCTTCGCGGTCACCGCGGTCGCGAGCAGCAGGATCGAGCGCATCGTCGCGGGGTCCGGCGACACGGCTCTAACGCGTGACGGCGTATCGCGTTGCCGGTGGTCAAAAAGTAACTTGGTTTGATCACGGGAGTTTCGCCCCTACGGCTTGAAACTGCACGCGTTGTCGTGCGTTGTGTACAATAGCGAGCCACGCGGGCCGTATCCACACCGGCGCCACAGCTCGTGACGTAAGCGCTACTTTTTTTCAGGCTAAATCAGGTGGGCAAGCGGCCTGTAAGATACTAGCAAGCAGACGGGTGGGCCCGGGGGGAGCGGAAAGGTACGAGAACCCCGCGACGTAACTAGCCTGAGCCTGAGCAGAATTTTGTCACTCCTAGAGCTTCACCGCGGCACGCATGGCACAGCTCGCTGCCATCTGCGACGAGGCGATCGCGATATCGTCGCCCAAGGCTAAGGGGCCCACGCTACCGTGACACACAAAGAACACATTAGACGACGAGCGGCCGAGCCGCACTGTATATCACGTCGTGGTCGAGGCCCGCGAGCCCGAGGCGCTCGAGGTCCGATCCACCCGCCAGGTCATGAGACTTCAATACGTGGAACTCGGGCATCACAAAGTGCTGGCCGCAGCCGAAGCGGAAGGTCGGGCAGCGCCGGAAGAGGTAGTTGAGCGCGGGCTGCTTCTCCGTGCGCGTGCGGTTCGCGATCAATCGTGCTCCCTCTGATTTCAAGCAGCCGCCGGCGACGCCGGCGCGGTACGCGGCGTCCCTCAGAGGATGGTACCACCTTTCCGCGCCGCACCGGTGGTCGAGCCAGAGGTCCAGGAAGTTCCGTGCGGCCGGCACATCACGCACGTAGAGCTTTGTGGCTCTTAAGCGATGGCGCCCTCCATGTGCGGTGCAAGGCACCGCGACGTCCACTCTATTCTCATCGTGTATTGATATAGCGTCGTGCGTCGCGGCCATGGGGTCGCGGACCGCGCGCCCCTCCACAACCAGGTCAAGATCGCGCGCAAACGCGGCCGGGACCCGCGGGTGGCCCAGCAGCACGGCGGTCGCCGCGATTTTGACGTGCGGGTCGTCGTCGTGCTTCGAATCCTTGCAGACGTCCCCGAGGTGGGGGGCGGGCGCCTCGCCGACCCACAAATAGACAGGGAGCCGTCGCGCAGCCGCGTAGACCAGCGCGTTCAGAAATTTCGGCCACGACGCGAAGACGCGCTTGACGCTTACGGCGGCGAGCACGAGCGCCGGTGTGTCGGCGGGCGCCGCGCCTCCCGCAAAACGACAGAGGCGCGGCGTCTTCGCGAACGCCGCCCCCGAGGCCTCGGCCGCCGTGAAGGCGAAGCGACCGTCGGCCGTCTCGAAGACCAGCGCTTTTGTTCCGATGCGCGCGGCGAACTGACAGCTCACGTCGACGGAGCCCAGAGCGGCCCGCCAGCCCTTTCTGCCGGTGCCGTCGCGCTGCTCTGCGATCCATGCTACCTGCCGGTCGTCCGCGGCCGCGAGAGCCGCCAGTGTGAGGAGCACTCTCGGTAACCCCATCTTCAGCACATCGCACCCAAGCCGCCTCAGAGCTGCCCTGTCGACGCGAATCGATCGAATGACTGGCGAATGGCTCCGAGGGACGCGTTGGGGCAGCCTCAGGCAGCTAAACAAGCGCGCAGCCTCCCGGGCTGAATGAGATTTCTAGTGTGTTACAACCGCTATCTCGAGTTTTTGGCAAAAAAAAACGCCTACAGTTGCGCAGTCATCGTACGGCGCTTTCCGAGGCTCCTGTATCGCAGCTATGGCTTCCCTACTCGAACACCAAAACAGCGGCAGCGCTTTAGCTGTGCGCTCGGAGAGCGAGATGCGCACGCTCGCATTCAGGCGCAGCGAGCGCGAACTGAGCGTAGGATTAGAGGTGGAATGCTGGCTGCCGGACTTGCGCCGCGTGCTGCCGAAACTGCGATTACTGCGCTCGAACGAGGAGCTATTCGCGGCCGTCGCCGAGGCGCTCTCGGCGCGGATAGCTGCTCTCGTTCATAGACGCGGCGGCGGGGCGCGGCACACGACGAGGAGCCGCCACGTCAGTTCGGATCGACGCGACTGGGGCCGCCTCTGGACGGCCGCGCCGGACACGTCGATCGCGCCGTCGCCCTCGGCGGAGAGCCGCGCCCACGACGACGCCCCCTTCCCCTTCGAAGTCGTGAGCCACGTCATGCGCTTCGACGCCGTGGATGTGGAAGAATTCATCGACGTCGCCGCGGCTTTGCGGCAGCCGCCGCTGAGCGCGAAAACGAACGACAGCACAGGCTTCCACGTGCATATTGGAAGAGCGTTCGGCCGCGGGAACTTCTTCGCCATGGAGGAGGTCGCGGCGGTCGCCAAGGCCTGGTGCACCTTCGAGGAGACGTTGTCGTCGTTTATTTTGCCGCTCGCGCGGCGCGGCAACGCGTACTGCCGCGACTTGAGGGACATCTTGGGCGCCGGCGCGCGGCGCGGGTCGTCGACGACGGCCGCCGCTTTACGCCACGTCGACGACGTCGTCGCGCGGCTCCGCGAGTTTCGGCGACGGGGCCTCTCCGAGGCGGCGCGCAAAGGTGGCGTCCGGGGCCGCGTCGGCCGCGACGCTCTAAGGATGCGCGTCGCCGGCGATGACGCGCAGTGCGTCATCAAGAACCGGGGCGTCGACGACTGGCTGACGGCCACGGCGCCGGACGGCGATGCCTTCTTCGTCCCGCCCGGGTTAGAACTGGCGGTGATCCGCGACGCGGCGACGGGCGCGGAAGTCTGGCGCCGCGACGCGGCGCAAAGTGGAGGCCAGCAGATCTGGAGGGCCTTAGGCTGCGAGAGTGATGGAGACGCGCCGATGACTCCTACATTAGCGTTGGACTTTGATCTGGATAAGGCGGCGGCGCTCGACATAGATGATGGTCTTGACGCACTGCATGTGGACGAAGAAGCGACGAGCGTCGACTGCGTCTTCGCCGCACCGCTTGACATTGATGAGGACGACGAGCGGCTCCTGCGGCTCTTGCTCGTGCGGTCATTACTGCCGCACAACGCCAACAAGGTCGGCCCGGAGCCCTCGCGCTACGCGAAGCTTAACCTAACGCGGTGTGTGTTAAAGGCGTCCGAGGCGACGGTCGAGTTTAGAAGTTTCCCCGGCGACGTTTTACAAAGACCCCTCGCGACGCTCGGCTGGGTGCGCTTCTGCGGCGCGCTCGTGACGGCGGCGTGCGCCGGCGCGCCGCTGCCCGACGTCGGCGACGAGGCGGCATTGTTGCGCTTCGCGGGCCTGCGCGACGACGCGATGATGGGCGCCTGGTGGCGCGAGTGCGCGAACCGCGTCCGCCCCGCGGAATTAGAATTGGAGACGGTCATCTCGTCCTTCGCCGAGCGCTTCGATACGTGGCTCGCCGCGGCGCGGCGTGCAAGCATCGAGAGTGCCGAGAACGACGACGCGGCGCTCGTGGCCGCGTGCGACGAGTGGCGTTCCGTCTTCGCGGCGACGGCGTCCTTAAGGCAGATGGTGCCGCCCGACGACGCTCGCGTGTGGGGTCGTGTACAGAGGGCGCAGGAGGAAGCTAGAGACTTCATCCAGCTGCTCGGTACGCGACTCCTAGAACGCTTGGATCGGTTCCGCGAGGACCTCACGGCGCGGTGTGAATGTGCGTTGCGGTGCGGTCTCACGACGACCCACCGCCTGTGCTGCGGCGAGGACTTTGCTAGGGAGTGTGCTGATGTCCGGGCGTTGCGCGCGGCGGTCGAGGAGACGCGCGGCGCGGACGTGCTGATGTCGACGGACGCGCTGCCGCGGCTCCGCGCTTCCGTGCTTTCCATCGACAAGCTGAGCGCGCGGTTGGCGCACCACCTCCTGCTGCTGTGTGAGGGCTTGACGGGCGGCGCGGCTTTGACGAGGAACGGGTCCGGCGTGGACGAGGAGTCGCGCGCCCTGGTCGCCGTGCACGCGTTCCTCGGCGCGTCGCTGACGCGGCCCGACGCCTTCGTCATCTTCGAGGGCCTCGCCGAGCACGGCTGGACGGACGCGCGGTTCGCGGCCATCGAGACGGCCGTGGCGCGCGCGCAGAAGAGTGATTCGCGACGAGTAAGTGTGCGTTGATTTTGCTTGCTGCTTCTTACGGGCCGCTAGCCCACGCGGCTTCCTAATTTTGAGGCTGAGGCTGAGGCTTTTGATTTCTAGTGTTACAAGGCGCTAGCTAGTTTTTAGCTCGGGCTCGGGCGCCTGGCACTACTGCCGTACGCGAAGCTGGTAGTCTAAACTTTGTTTTTAAGACTTGCACAGCACGGTTCTTTACGTCTGATAACTTACATCCATCGATGATTGCCCTTATCCTGCTATGCACTGCGACGCGAGCCCTTGCGCTGCAGCCTTCAGATGCAGCATGGGTCCAGCGCGGCACTCCTGGCTATGAAAAATTGCTCGAAAAGAACTGGGTGGGCAACGTCGAATTCGGCAGCGCCAAAGCTATTGTGCCGGCATCTCTAGAGGAGCTGGAGTCAGCGGTCCGTGGCGCGCGAGCGCCTGTCCGAGTCGTCGGCCGCGGACACAGCTTCACGCCCGTCGCCGAGTGCGCTGGAGGCACCTTGCTGTCGCTGGCGCGCCTCAATCGCGTGCTAGACTTCCGGGCGCCGATGGCGGACCGCCTCGGCTCGATCACCATCGAGGGCGGATGCACCTACACGGAAGTGATCCAACACCTCGGCGAGCGCGGCGCTCTGCGTAATTTGCCGTCGTGTCCGCAATTCACCGTCGCGGGCGCGATCGCCACGGGAACGCACGGCTCGGGGATCCATATCCAAAACCTCGCAGCTGATGTTTCAATGCTGGAATTTATGCTGCCGAATGGAACGACTGTGAGTTATGACCGCGAACGGACGCCCGAGCTCATCGAGGGCGTCCGCGTGCACCTTGGATGCTTGGGAGTAGTCACGAAGCTTACACTCGACGTCGTTCCGTACTTCGAGGTCGCCGCGTACCGCTATGACGACGTGCCATTGGAAACGGCGATCGAGTCGCTACCGGATGTCTTCAAGACGTGCGATAGCCTATCGATCTGGACCTCGGGCTTTGGAACCGGCCCGGGCGCCGGCCTCGCCTGGATGACGTATCGGCACTTCCATCCTCACTGGTCGTCTCATGCCGTGCCGAAACACGTACCACCCGCGTTCGGCACGCCCCAACTCGCAAAGATGGAGCGTTATCTCACGGACCCAGCCGACCCGAAGTTTTTCTCGCCGACGACTAGAGGACCCTGGTCGACGACGCTCGCATTAACGATTGATGACGAACTTGAAGAGACCTCGATGAAAGCGCTAGACCTGCAGTCCGAGTTCTTCGTGCCGCTCGAGCACGCGCAGGATGCGGTCCGGGCCGTGGCCGAGGTCGCCAGCGGGTGGAGCTTCTCATCGCCGCATTCAAGCGTTGGCACTCCTGTGAAGGGCATCGTCGATGCCTTTGAGTTTAGATGCGTCAAGGGTGATGGCTCTTGGATCTCGCCCCACCCGGTAGACTCGCTCGGCGTCCACACGTCGTTTAACGCGGACCCTGCGTTACTGGAAGAGGCGAAGGACGCTGTCGCCGCGATCGAGGCGGCTCTCCGGCCGTTCGGCGTCCGCGCGCACTGGGGAAAGCTCTCGTCGGCGGCGGCGCACCAGATTGAAACCAGCAAGCTCGAGCGTTTCCGTGCGCTCTGTGACGCGCACGACCCCGACGGCGTATTCCGAAACGAGCACGTGCGACGGGTGCTCTGGGGGAAAGACTAAAATGTGACTAGTGAATCCGGGCGGTCAGTCATTACAACATGCCCTTGTGGCAACCGGTTGGGGAATAGGGGAATAATCAGAGCACGAGGCCTTCGAGGTCGTCCGAGGCCGCGTGCGAGGACCGCTTCGCCGTCCGCGCCTCGGCGAGCGCCGCGAGCTCCTCGGAGACGGCGCGCACCTCCGTAAGCTCGGCCTGGACGCGTGCGGCCTTGGCTTCCGCCGCGTCGGCCCGCTTGGCCGCGAGGTTCGCGGTCGCCTTGGCGTCCGCCGTGCCGCGCTCGGCGTCGCGGGCAGCGTCGCGCGCCGCCGCGAGCTGCTTTTCCAGCTTCGCGATTTGCTCCGCTTGTGCCTCTCTCTCGACGGCCGCAGACTTCTCGGCCGCCGCCGCCGCCGCCTTCTCGGCCTCGCGCCGCGCCTCGGCGATCGCCGCCGCAGCCTCCGTCGCCCGTTCCGCGGAACTCGCCTCCAATGATTCGCGCTTCGCCCGCTCCGCAGCGAGCTCGTCCTTGAGCCGGGCGTACTCGGCACGCGCGTCGGCGAACTGGCTCTTCGCGCGCTCGACGACGGCCTTGCGCGCGTCGGCGACCTCGGCGTCGCGCAGGCCCCGCTCCTCGTCGAGAGCCCTCAGCGCCTCGTCGCGCGCCGCGTGGGCCGCCGCCGCCGCAGCCACGCGGCCCATGGAGTTCGCCGCGGCCTCGCGCGCCGCGCGCGCCGCCGCGCTCCTAGCTTCGTCGACGAGCTCGGCCTTCTCCCGCTGGTGCTGGGCGTCGGCCTCGCGCTGCGCGAGGTCGTCGCGCGCGTGCGCCGTCGCCGCCTTGGCTTTGAGGGTCGCCGCGGCCTCGGCCTCGGGCCGCTGCGCGTCTTGTTGGCGCGCGAGTTTCTCTGCCGCTAAGGCCGCCTCGGCCACATCAGCGCGCGCGGACTCGGCCGCAACACGTGCTTCAGCCACGTCGCACTTGTTAGCCGCTTCTGCGAGCGCCTCGCGCGCGGCTCTTTCTTTAACCAGCGCCTGCTCCGCGTGCTCGCGCTTCAGGGCTTCGGCTTCCAGAGCCGCCTCGGCGCGCGCAACTCTCAAATCCGGCGACGCGCCGCGCCAGCCCGTCGGCGGCGCCTTCTCGGAGGGCGGCGGCGGCGTCGGCGCCCAGGGCGCGAACGTCGGCCCGCGCGGCGTCTCCACCTTGGACGAGGAGGCCTCCTCGGGCTTGACGAAGCGGCTCTCCCGGAACTCGTAGGGCTTGTGCGTCGGCCCGCCCGGCGGCCGCGGCCGCGGGCCCGGGTTCGCCTTGACGCCGCGCCGCTTCCCCAGGTGCTGCAGGCGCGTCATGAGCTCGGCGTGGCGCAGCGCCGTGCGCGCGACGACGGCGTCGCACCGGTCGGCGGGCGTGTTCGGCGGGGCTGTGAACAAACCGGCCTTCTGAGGCGTCGCCACGGGCGCGTCTTTTGAATGCGGCTGCCGCGGTTTTTGGGGTCCGGTGACGACGTGCGGCGTCGCCGCCGGGACGGGGCTCGACGCCGGCGGCGCGGGCGACGCCGCTTTTCGGATCTGGGCCGCGAGCTCGGCCTCCATGCGCGCGAGCGTCGCGTCGGCGGCCGCGACCTCGGCCGCCGTAGGCTTGTGCGGCGACAGCGTCGGCGCCTTTTCGATCGGCGTCGATTGGCGCTTTTCGATCTTGCGGATCGGTGAGGGCGCGGCCACCGGGCTTGGCGCGGGCGTCGGCGCTTTCTGAATCGGCGACGGCGCAGCAGGCGTTGGAGCCGCCGGCGTCGGCGCTTGCTGGATCGGCGACGGCGCCTTCTCGACCGGCGACGCCTCGGCGGGCGTCGACACGCACGACGCCGGGCTCGCGACCTTGGGCGTCGCTGCGGCCACCGGCGTCGGCGCCGCGAGCATCGCCGCCGTGAGCGGCGTCGGCGCGACCGGGCTGGGCGTCGGCGTCGCCGCGCGCGCGACGTTCGGCGTGCGCGCGCAGGCGGCGGGCGCGAGCGACGCGCGCCGCGGCGGCGCCTTGCCCGGCGACCGGAGGCCGGGCAGCGGGTCGGCGCCCACCAGCAGTTCCGCGTCGAGCGGCGGCGGCTTGACGAAGGGCTTCTTTACAGCGGCCTTGCGGGCCTTCTTCACGCCGGCGCCGCCGGGGTAGCTGACGCTGGAGTTGGGGTCGAGCGCGCCGAAGGGCATGCGCGCGCTCTTGCGCGCCGCGGCGCTCCACTGCGTCTTCAGGGCGCCGAACTCGTGGTCCCTGTTTTCTGCCGTGTTTTCTGCCGAGAGGCGGCGGGGGCGGAAGGTGGTCGCCATCGTGATCTTGGGGAAGCTTCTTTCACGGGCGCTAGGCCGCGCGGGGAGGCGGTTACGCGTCGAACGTCGCTTTTGTCTGCACAGTGCTTACGGAGCGCGCAGTGGTCACCAGCGCCCAAGCGCCGGGCCCTGAGGCGAGCGAAACTCTACGACGCGACCTGGCACACTGCGCCCTTTTGCGGGCGGGCCCTTGGGTCGTTTTGCGCGCTGCTTTGTCTCGCAGCGCGAAGCGGCCAAAAGCCAACCCTTGAGCATCCACCGGCCCAAACAGCTGTCCTTGGTCCCACCCATCGGTAAAATTTGGGAAGCCGCAAATCCCCGTAGGACTATTAGCCACGGGGCGTAGGCGTATGGGCGGGCACTAGGAGTGCTCCCAGATGGCGCGCTCCTGCGATCGGCCTTCGTCTAACGATTTTACTCGGCGCGGTGCGCGGCAGGGGCAGCTCTAACAGGCAGCACAGAGCAAGAAGGGCTGCCTAAAACAAACAGCGGCCATGGGCACGGCCGACCCGCCCGCCGCGGTCGTCCAGCGCCTCCAGGAGGAGCACCTGAGGAAGGATGTGATCGGCTACGGCTCCCTGGGCGAGGCCCTGGCGGCGCAGGGCGGCCGCGCCGAGGAGGCGTCGAAAGCGTTTGACGACGCGCTCGCGTGCTGCCCCGCCGGCGTGCCGCCGCACTTACAAAGAGCTTATGCGCACTACTGCGGCGCGTACGCCGCGCTCTGTGAAGAAAAAGGCGACAGGCAACGGGCCCAGGAGCTCTACGAGCGCGGTTTGAGCGTGCACCCGACGTGCCCGACCTGCCTGGGCAACCTGCCTTTATTTCTACAGAGCTGCAAGCGGCCATCTCATGAAATCGAGGCCGCCTACAAAGCTTATTTCGATGCATATCCGGACTCGGTCGCCGTGCTCGTGAAGTACGCTAATTTTTTACGGCACGCGCTGCGGGCCCCGGACCGCGCCGAGACCATCCTCAAGAAGGCCATCGGCATAAGCGAGGACGCCGACGCGCTGGGCGCCTACGCCGTCCTCCTGCACGCCGTGCGGCCCCACGACCCGCTCACGGAACAATTGTATGGGAGAGCCGTCAAGGCGGACCCGACGGCCGTCAACGCGCTGTCGAATTATGGGCTCTACCTGAGCGAGATGAAGCGCGACTACGCGAAAGCCAAAAAAATCTACGAACAGGCGCTCACGGCGGATCCCGCGCACGCGAACTCGTGTTATAATTATGCGGTCATGCTCGACTCGGGTTTGAATGATGTGGAGGGCGCGGTGCAGCTCTACGAGCGCGCCTTGAAGGCGAAGCCGACGCACGCCTACGCGCTCTACAACTTAGCGGTGGTCTGCGAGGAGAAGTTGAACGATCATGAAAGGGCGGGCTCGTTGTACGAGCGGGCCGTCGCGGCGGCGCCCCGCGACTCGCTGGCCGTCGCGGACCACGGCCGCTTCGAGGCACGCCGGGGCGCGGATACGAATGATGCGGCCCAGGTGGAAAAGGGCGCGGCTTTATTACGTAGAGCGTTGGAGCTGGACCCCGCGTGCGCCACGGCCCACGCGGCGCTCGGCGAGATCTCCCTGAACGCCGGCGACGAGACCGGCGCGAAGCGGTGCTACAAGGACGCCAAGGCGAGCGACCCGCACGCGTCGAGCGTCCGGCGGCTCGGGGACCTGCTCAAGCGGCGTAAAATGTGATGTAGTGTAGTTAGTCCTAGCCCGGCGCGCGGTGCAGCCACGCGTGGTTCGGGAAGGCGTCGTCGGCGACGCACGAGCCCCGGACCTGCCTTCGAACGATATTCTCGGCGCACGCCGTACGCTCCGGCCCCAGCTTGAAGAGCTCCCGCATGGCCGGGATGACGGACGGGGCGTCGGGCAGGTCGTCCCAGTGCGTGTAGCACCTCGCATATTCCCCGGGCACGACGTCGCCCGCGGGACCCTCATGTAAACATTCGCGGAAGAGCGTCCAGTTGCGCACGGCGATCATCTCGTCGGCGCGGAGCTCCACGAGTAGCCTGGGCGGCGCGGCCGCCTCGACGGGCCGGAGCCGCGCCTGGAGCTCGCTCACCACGAACTTGGACTGCGTCCAGAGGCCCTGCGCCCCGCTCTTCTGTCGATGTTTGTCATGCGCCTTCGAGCCGTGGCTCAGCATCGTCCAATCATCAGATGATTTGAGGTAGGGCTCGTACCACTCCTGCAGCTCCTTTGTGTACTGCGCGTCGCCGGCCGGGCAGCCGTACGTCGTCCCGAGCACGCGCGTGTCGCCGAAGCCGTAGGTCTTTAACTTGTTGATGAACGTGAGCACGGACATGAAGACGCGCCGCGCGTCCTCGTCGGACGGGCAGCACGGGTGGATCATGGCCTGGCCGGGCCTCCTTCTAAATCCGCCGCCCCGGATCGCGACGATTACGTTCTCGCGCACCGTCGTCGTGCTGCGCGCCTCGTCGCGGCAGAGGTCCTGGACGTCCTGGCTCGGGGCGCTCTCTACTCCGATACTACTGCCGAGGAGGAGCAGTAGTATGCGCCTTGCCATGGTTTCCAGGCTGCCCTTGGGTGCTGGACGCTGCCCGGATGCTGGGTGCGATCAATGCCGGCGCTTAGACTGCCGGACTCCAAACCTTGGCAGGGCCGCTGGAGCGCGACCCGCACCATACCTGCCCGTCCCGGCACTACTCTCAGGTAGTGCTGGCCGTGGCCGGAGGCCTCGCCGAGGGTTCCTCGGCAAAAGCCTGCTTTTGCAGCTCCCCATCCAACGCGGGCTCTCGCACCTGCGCCGCGCACACAGCTGCGAGGGAGCTGAGCGAATTGAACGATTTGCCGCAACCGGAGGGCGTCCGAGAACCACGCTTGTCGGGCTGGCGGGCTGCCCGGGCAGCAGACAGTCGAGACAACAGGCAGCCCACCATGCCCACCGCCGCCTTCAAGGGCCGGCCCCAGCTGCGCGCAAGTTCAGTATGTGTCCAAAATGAGTATATTAGAGCGCAGCAGGCGCACACCCAGATGGCTTTGATGCGCATTCGAAGGCGCAAGCCGCACGCGGACCGCCAGTACTCCTTCGATCATAGAACACCGGACGAGCAGATCCACCTTTGGACAAAAAGAAAAAAACGAGAAATGCTCGAGGACAAACTGAGAATTAGGGACGAGGAAAACGCGAGGACCTTCCACAACATCCAGCACGATCCGCCGAAATTTCTGACAGGAGGGACCTGTCGGACGGACATGCCGACGTCGACCTGGGGCAACGGCATTGACATGCCCGGGCCGACTCCTAAGGAGTACCGCGAGCATAAAGTGAATAAAGTGAAAGAACTGGACAGTGAGAAGTGGGCCCAAGTAAAAATGTGCAAGCGCATGGTCAAACAGTCAAAGCCCTGGAAAGGCCTTGCGCGGAAGGAGCTCGCGAAGCACGCTGAGAAATACGAGTATACGAAGCGTAGCATGGCGCTGACGGCGCCGTCCGCGCGGCTCTCGATCATGTCGCTACCCTCTGGTGAAAGTAAAAGGTTGGAGCATTCCAGAAAATCGAAGCATGCTTTGCTGGAGAAGGCTATGGGGAGGACGACGCGCGCGTCGCGAGTTGCCGAGTTAGGAAGATTTCCCTTCGATCGTGGTTTAAGGACGCAAGGGAGGCCTCGATCCGCTAGACACATCGACGAATGTCCTTTATCTCCACCGCCCGGGTCGCCGACCGGCCCGGTGATGACTATTTGTCACACCGACACGGGTTTGGACGCGTCCGTCGCGCCCGCGGCTTTGTGCCGCGTCCCGAAGCCCGTAGCCCTGCCGGTGGCCGCACATAACATGACGACGGCCATCGACTGGACGCCTGTCGACCCCGTGCCGCCCTACGATCGGGGACGAGCCAAGTTCGCCGACGCTTCAGAACAGGAGCTGTCGACGGCGTCCTTCATATCGATGCGAACAGAAAATGCGGAGGCGGCGCCCGTGGGCTGGGCCTACCCGAGTGCGCCCACCGTCGCGGGCTCGTATCGTCGGTTAGATTTGAAGCCCGCGCCCGACCGGTCCGTGGGCGGTTTACATAGGACGCTGAAGCGGGACGTGCGGCGCGACCCGATTATTAGTGTTACGGTGACGCACCCGACGAAGGGCGACACGCTCGTGACGAAGGCCGTGCCCCGGCCGGTCTACGCCTACCCGACGATCTCGGGTAACGTCGACTTTTAGTTTTTCTGCTCCGAGTCGACGCCGTCGACGCGACTTCCTAGATGAGGGTTAGTATTAAAACAGGGCACAACTGGATTTCGTCAGCTGCTTTAGATGCCCTCCGGGAAGTAGAAGCCGGCCTTCGTCACGAACTCGGGCTTGCCGCCGCCGAGCATGGCGAGGACGCCGACGTCGCCCGCGCCCGACGACTTGGCCGCGAGGCCGATGATGCCGAGCATCGCGAGGCGGCAGTGCTTGATCTCCTGGAGCTGCTTCTCGGCGTACTCCTCGGGCGTGTAGTCGAAGCCGAACGGGTTCCAGCGGCCCGGGCCCTGGCCGAGGCTGAGGTCGCCGGGCACGTAGGCCGGGTCCTTGAGCTTGTTCACGCGGTAGACTTCGAGCGAGGCCATGAACGCCAGGATCTGGTACCAGCCGGCGTTCGGGATCGCGTCGACGGCCTCGAACGGGTTCATCTTGCCGAAGGCGCCGTCCTTGCCCGGGAAGTGGGCGATCTCCGGGAAGACCCAGCCCAGGCACGCGAGCTGGGCGATGCGGCCGTGCATGAGCTCGGCCTCGCGGAAGATCTTGAGCGAGCCGTCGCCCTCGTCCCCCTGCCACCACGCGCCCGGCGCGTACTTCGAGAAGCCGAGCGGGTCGAAGCCCACGTCGCCCACCAACGAGCCGTCGAGGTTCGTCGTCGTGAACGGGAGCGCGACCGACGGGTAGGCGCCGCCGCTCGACTTCTGCGGCGCCGCGGGCGCCGCCGGCTTCGGCGCCGACTTCTTCTTGAGGATGTCGCCGAAGTTGAAGGCCGCGGCCGGCGCCAGCGCGAGGGCGATGCAGGCCTTGGACAGCATGGTGACCTGCGCGGGACGCGGTGAGTGCGCATTGCGGCCTCGGCAGTTATCGCAAGGTCGGCGGCAGCGTAGGGCGGGTGAGAGCGATCGACAGTCGCATCGATGGCGTTTATAGCCCCGCGACGGGCCCGGTTCAGCCTCGGCTTTGGTGTTGCACTCCTTTGGTGCTGTCTACCGCGCTCGCATCCGCTCGAAACGGCCAGCCGGCAGTTGTATGGCAACGTTAGGCTACAGAAAAGTTTTCCACGCGGTCGGCAACTTGACAGGTGTACGCTTTCAACCTGCTGATGTGTCAAGCGCGAGTCTGGGCTGTCGAGGCCGCTGCTAGGGGGCTGAGACAGGCTCGAAGAAACATGCACGCGTCTTCTACAAGGCTGAAAAGCCAAAAATAGCGTTCCTTGAAGCAAAGCGGGTTTTCCTAGTGTGTTACAGGGCGCTAGCTAGCTAAACTTTGATCGGCCCAGAACGAGCCAGTACGCAGCCTACAGTCGCTTGTCGAACGTTACAGAGAGCAATGGCGTGCCGCCTCGCCCTGGTCGCGGTCGTGGTTGCGACAGCCAGCGCTCTCGTGCCGCCTACAAGGCCCCTGCAGCGTGCAGGCGCTCTGCAGCCGCCGTCGACGCGACCCATCGCGGGTGCGACCGCCGTCGCCACGGCCTTGATCCCAACCGTTGCGCTAGCAGATTTCGGCACTTGGATCTCGGGCCTCGGCACGCAGGACTACGTCGCGCTCGGCGTGCTCGCGTTTTTAGTCATCTTCGTGATCCCGTCGCTCGTCGGTGACATCTTGGAGAACCAGGCCGACCCCGCCGCGGCCATCGCGAAGAAGCAGCAAAAACTGAAGGACTTGGAGGACAAGTACAGCTTTTTGGTGGGAGACGCGCCGGCGCCGGCGCCGGCGCCGGCGGCGGACGCGCCGCCGGCGGACGAATTCACGCAACGCAAGGCCGCCGCCGACGCGGCCGCGTCCGACGAGGCCGACGCGCTCCTGGCCTCCGTGAAGGCCATGACGAACAAGGATTAGTCTTTCATAAAGATTCCTTTAGTCGTCGTCGACGATGTCCGCCGCGGACCCGAGGCCGACGCTCCACGACCCATCTTCTTCCCATAGCCACCCGCCCGGGTGGCCCTGGACGACGTGCGGCTCCGCGTGGAGGATGCGCCGCGGCGCCGCGAAGGAGGCGTGGATGACCTGCACGCGCGTGTCCGCCAAGGCGAGCACGCCGCCGTGCGCGTCCGGCCGGATCGACCGGTGCGCGCTGCGGGCGCCGCGGTCGTCGTCGCGCCGCCGCTGCGGCGGCGCGTTATAAGCCAAGGAGCACGACGTCGGCGCGAGGCGCCACGCGTCCGGCGCCGGCGCCCGCCGCGCGAGGAAGCGGCAGATCTGGCGGTCGCCCTCGGCGAGCGTGCGCGCGCGCCACCGCACGCCGCCCGACAGGAATTCGGTGACGGGCGTCCAGTTGAGCCGGTCCGGGGACCAGCGCCACTCCTTCGCCGCGTAGCGGTAGTGCGTCGGCGTCGCCTGCGTGAACAAGGTCCTACGCCATCGACGCGACCAGTTGATTTCCACACGGCTCATCACAGTGCGGGACGCGCAGAAAGTGAAGACGCCGCCGGGCTCCGCGACCCAGTGCCGGCCCGCGAGGCCCGCGCAGAAGTCCCTCGCCGCCGCATCATCCGCATCGACATCACACACCGCGCGCCACCACCGCGGCGTCCGCGGTGTCAAGACCCTGTATTTGATCGCCCAGGCGCGCTGGTTATCGCGCAGCCGCACCGGCACTCCTACATCAGACGGTCTGAATGTTGAAGACGGCTCGAAGACCTCGCCCGCCGCCGGTACCGTGTACTCGCGGTCGGGGGAGACGGTCTCGAAGACCTCCACTATACAACCGGGCGCCGCGTCCTGCAAAAACGCGTCCTCGCCCCTCAGATCCCTACTCAGCGCGCCCACTAATTCCACACAGACGCGCCGCCAGCTCGCCACGCGAAAGAACGGGGCGAGCGGCCCCGCGCATCGTAGTGAAACGCCGCTCGACGCCGCGAGCTGCTGCCAGATGTGGTCAGCTGACAGGAGCCACGCGCGCCACCTTCTTGATGTCCGCTCCAGCCTTAATGCTTCGGCGACGGTCAGCGAGTGCAGGCACGGCGCGATCCAGCCGGGGCACGACGTCGGGGGCAGGCAGAGCGGTGCGGTCGCGAGCTGGGCCGCGACGATCTCCGGCGCTGGAGATGGTGGTGGGGCGGCGATCTCGACGGGCGGCATTGGTGCTGCAGCGATGGCGTCGACTGGCAACACGACAGGTAGCGGGTGCCCGCGAATGCGCACGATGCACTGCGAGCCCTGGGCTTGCAGCTTGCTAGTGTCTTACAGGCCGCTAGCTAAACTTCCTCGACTGTGCTTCAGTGCCTAGTCCTCATTTAACTACGCTTCAGGCATCCAGTCGTAGCGATCACAGCGTACGAACACAATCACGAGTCACGCCCGCGCACGTCTTTCAAGCGCGCGCGACCAAAAACGATCTCTTAAAGTTGAGGCTCTCAGGCACAAACATCACAACTATGGCCTCTTACGCTACCGTGCCGGGCGAGGCCGAGGCCGAGACGCCGCTTCTGAACCGTGACGTTCGCGTCAACCTCAAGACCGTCATCGGTGGCGCCGCCGTCGCGTCGTTCTTGCTCGGCGCGCTCGCCGCGACCGTCGTGAGCGGGGCACCCGCGCGCACGAACTCTTCGGCGCTCTACAAAGCCGGCGGCGCGACGAATTTCGCCGCGGCGGTCGCCGATCGCGGTACTAAGAAGTGGACGTGCGACGCGCCCTACGTAGACAGCACGTACGGCCCGTCAAGCGGTCCACTAAGCGCCGCGGGACTGGCCGTTTGGTCCGACTGGCCCAATCCGCAGGCTGTGTCCGAGACGGAGGATTACAAGTTCCAGGCCCCGAGGGACCAGGTCGTCACCTTTACTCTGAAGAGCATTGATGGGGCTGACTCTTTGTCGCGGGTCACAGCCTGGGCGTTCGCAGGCGGCCTGGGCGACCCCGGGTACGCCGCAGTCGCCAGTCCCGCCGGAATCGAGTTCCCCAAAGCACTCTGCACTGGCGGCGAATTCTCATTCGTCGACGGACCCATCGTGAACAAGAGATCCGGGCTCCGCGGGAGTTCCATGCCAGCCTCGGCCAAGTATACCCTCCCGAATTACAATTACGGCTACCCCAATGGGGTAACCACACAGTCGAAAACGGCAACCGTCACGGCATTCGTCGGCGAAAAGTGGTACCAAAGCACCTACACGTTTTCCGTTTGCAACGCCAATTGCTAAGCAGCTAAGAACATACAGTAGAAGATCTGGAAAGCATCTCCCGGCTCGTGAGAAAAACTGGTCGAGCGCTGTGCCCTACTCCCTCCCCGCCCCCTCCCACGTAAGATCCATCCCTAAACAAAGATACACTAGAACAAGTCCTCCTGTCGCCCGGGAAGCTTCGGGATTCTCGACGCGCGGGACGGTTGCGTCAGCGCCGCGGAGGTGGTCGCGTGACGCCGCGGACTCGGCGCGGAGTCCGCGGACGCGACCGCTAGACTCACAATTACAGAGGGTCCGACATTACGGGTCGTCGTTTGCGCGCTCCCCCGATACGGCCGATCCGGCCGCGCCGCACCGGCCCCGGCGCGCAGACGCGATCCCGCGCCTCGGCAGCCTGCTTGTGCTGCAACCGCTGGAGCTCGCTGGGCGAGAGGTCGCGACAGACGCCGCAGTCTTGTAACGTCATCGGCGCGGCGTCGGGCGCGATGGGGCGCTTGACGCCCTGCACGTCTCCGAGCAGCGATGCGGCGGTCGCATTGACGCACGCGGATAGGCGATCTAACGAGCCATCGTGGCGGATCGCGGCGTCGTGGTCGGTCAAATGTTTCTCGTTCTCGCTAAACGTCTGCCGTTCTCGCTGGTGCCGTCTGCCGCGGTGGACGCGGTCGACGGCGACCAGCGGCCAGGCGTCACCGATCGTTTCCCCGATGCGATGCACGTTCGTCACCTGTGTGGAAATCAAATTTCGGGCGCCCCACGCCATCGACGCGACGTCGTCCCCGTAACTGCGGCGGCTCGATGGCGTGGAGGTTAGTAACCTAACTCACTGGTTGATTTCCACACAGTTCGTCACGAGCCGGCACTCCTCGAAGACCGGGAGGTACCTCATCTGCAGACGCCAGAGCACGACGCCGAAGCAGGTGTCGTGAGTCGTATGGAACGCGCCGCACCTGCGCGCGCGGACCATGAGTACTCACGGCGGGACTCGAACCCGCAATCTTCGCCTTAGGAGGGCGACGCCGTGTCCATTGGGCCACGCGAGCATCAAAGACACCGGTCCGCACTGTTTCTCGGTAACTCGGTTCAAACAAAGCGGCGCCAGCTTTTCGGCCCCCGCCGACGACAGCACCAGCGGCAGCACGATGCGCGGCGCGCCCGTCAGCAGGCAGGGAGCGCGATTTGTGCGCGACCCCAACCCGGGGAACGACGCCTGGATTCGTTCCGTCTTGAACTTGCGGTCCCGGCCCCCGAGTGCCAGCGGCACCGATGCAGAATGGCCCGCCTTTTCAACAAAGCGGAGGAGCGCCGCGAACCAGGGAACGAAATAGTGCATGTCGTCGTCGGAGAACGCGAGCCACGCCGGGTTTGTAGCTGGAAAGCGGCGCGCGAAGTGCGCAATCGCCGCGTCCGTCTTGCAGCCCGGGCCCCGGCCGGAGTTGCCGCCCGGGCAGCTGGCGACGATCACGTCGATGCCGTCGCAGTTCGTACACTCCGACGATACCAAGGGCGCGAGCGGCGACGGCGCGCACCGCTCGCAGACCGGCAGCTCCTCACCATCACACTCGTCGACGACGGCCACGATCGGATGTTCCAAATGCGCGCCGTAGGCCGCCGCCGCCGGCGCGACGCGCGTCCGCAGGTGGTCCCGGTGGTTCCATGGCGTGGCCGACGCGCAGCGCGTCGACATGAGATACACCACGAGCGGCGCCATTATTGCTCCCGCACCGCTGCACTCCGCGTCCTCATTATGCAAGTACGGCTGTCCCGCAACACGACGGCCGCGACGCTATCGCAATTTGTGATCGTGGGGATCCTGAAGCAAAGACCTTGATTCATGCTGCCCCGCGCCGCACGCGTTGTCTGTCGTGATGGGGCTATTATTGGGGCTGCCTTATGAGCTTGTAAAGTGGTCGGAGAGCCGTGCGGCCCGAAAGCTCCGGCTGGCCATCCTTGCTTCATTCCTAGTGTCTTACATTCCGCTAGCCACGCGAGATTAACTTTTACACTCGGTCGCCACTCGCGCTCAAAAAGGCGTCGATTGCACCACGAGTGGTAGGCACGATCAGAACAAGTTTCTACGCATCCACCGCACGCAGCCGCTGCAGCGATATTCGTCTCCGTGCGCACCACAGCTCAAACCGGGCTCAAACGATTTGAGCCAACCGCTCGAAGCCGCCGGATACGCCTGCTCAAAGCCGCCAAACACCGGAGTCGCAGCAGATCACCATGACGATCATGCGGGAGGAACGGGCGCAGGACGCGCACGACCTCGACAACGTCACGTACAACCTCGCCGTCGTCGTCGCGCTGCTCGCCGTCGGGTCCGTGCTGCTGTTCCGCGTGAAGCTGGGCACGCCGCGCGGCGTCGGCGCGCGGCCGCGGCCGTCGGTAACTCTTAGAGGATGGGGCGTGCCCCTGCGGCGCGTGAAGAGCGCGCTGCGCGAATTGGAGCGGAAGACGTTCCACCTGTGCGGCTTGTTAGTTCCGTTAATCCACCTCGCGCTGCTCGAGGCGGGCTTTCGACAAAGAACATGTATATTAATGGCGTGGGCCATCACGAGTATAGGCTGGAGCGCGGACCTCGCGCGGCTACATATACCGTTCGTCGCACGGCACTGGCCCCTGCAAACGATCCTGCGGGACCACGAGCACGAGCAGTTGACGGGCGGGTGCTACTTTTCTCTCGGGTGTACTCTGGCGATGACTGTGTGGTTCGGTGCCCGAATCACGACCTGTTTACCTTCGACCTGCGCGCGCGATCGGTGAGCGACGCCGTCGCCGTGATGGCGTAGGGTCGCGGCGATGGCGTAGGGGTGGCGCCACGCGCCATCGACGCCATCGACGCGACCGCACCCCCGCACGCCATCGACGCGACGCCTGCACGCGACGCAGGTCTCGCCGCCGGACGTGTCGAGCTGCGCGATTATTTTTTTAGTGCTCGGCGACATGGCCGCGGCGTTGATCGGCGTCTCGTTCGGCGGCGAGGTCGCCTCGTTAAAACTAGGCCGAGAAGGCAAGAAGAGCGTGGAAGGAAGCTTGGCCATGTTCTGCGTCTGTTTCCTGGTCGCGATGGTCTTCTTCTGGGACGTGCAATTATCGGAGTACGCGGCGGTCGTGGCCGCGGCGACGGCGACGCTGACGGAGCTGTACGAGCCGCTGTTGCTCGACGACAACTTGACGATTCCGTCGAGAGCTGTGTGGAAATCAACCAGTGAGTTAGTTAGGTTGCCTGGAATGTTCACGCCATCGAGCAGACGCAGCTACGGAGAAAATATCGCGTCGATGGCGTGGGGCGCCCGAAATTTGATTTCCACACAGGTTCTTCTCGGCGCTGGCTCTGCAGGTCGCGCTGTACCGCGTGCGCTGCCCGCCCTGCGCGAACGTGCGCGAGGCGCGGTGTTACCTCTTCTGAAAGTGGGGGTTCGTTTTCTTTCGAATTAACAAAGTGTGTAGTCGTCTCGCGTGTTCGGGAAACGTGGCGCGATGCGCGGATCCTTCTGGTGGGGGTTGGGAGGCGTCCTAGCGCTCCCTGGGTCGTCGCCGTGCTTTGAAGCGCAATTCCGGCCGTCGGAACACCGCGCGTTCCGAGAGAACGCGCTACAAACCCGGCACAAGGAGACAAAAGCAACTCGATTATTAGACAGACTTATAGACAGCAAACACGCAATCGTAGCGATCACGGCGTCCGAGCAATCACGCCACGCGCCCACGAACGCGTCTCAATGCGGGCGGACGCCCGCTCGCGCGACCAAAACAAATCGACTGTGAGGCTTGGTCACTTGGGCATCACTGAGTCTTGCCGACATCGTGCGAGGCCGACGCGGCCGCGCTGACCGGCGCGTGGTGCTCACCGCTCTCGCCACGCAGGTACCTAGCACAATGGCCTCCTACTCCACGATGAACACAGTGCCCGCCGCCGACGTCGAATCGGAGACGCCGGTCCTGAGCCGCGACATCAAGGTCAACGCCAAGACGCTTATCGGCGGCGCCGCCGCCGCGGCGTTCGTCCTCGGTATGCTCGCCGCGACCGCGGTTACATCTCAAGCTTCCCGCGCGCCCGCGTCTTTTATGTCGCGCTCGCACGACTGCCACCGGTATTGGCCACGAGTGGAAAGGCTACTGCGTCAACCGTAATGCTCACTCCTGAAGTGAGCCAAAAGCAGCAGAAGATCTGGAAAGCATCTCCCCGCACGTGAGAAAAACTGGTCGGGCGCTGCCGCCAACAAGAATCCCTCCCCAATCCCTCCCCGCGTAATTACTTCATATAAATTAAACTCACAAGGACTAACCGGCGAGCGCCGACGGCAGCGAGTCGGCGACGCCGGGCGGGCGGGCAAGAATCAAACAGCGTAGTTGGCACATAGACTTACTCGCGGACGGGCAGCGGACTTACTTGGCGGCCGCGACCGGCGCGGGCGGCGGCTCCACCGGCACGTCGAGGCCGCTCTCCGTGCCCTTGATGAGGTTCACGAGGAAGGACTCGGTCACGCGCGTGACGTTGACGATCTCCGTGCGGTCCATCTGGTCCACCGGCAGCTCCGTCATCTCCGAGAGCTGCTCCGTGAACTTCTCGAGGTGTTCTTGTAAATTTTCAAACAACTCCTTCATCTTGTTCTTCTTCGGGTCGAGGTAGTAGCCGAAGACGTACGTGTACTTGAGCACGCGGCGGCAGTCGATGACCATCTCGTTGGCCGCCTTGAGAAACTGGACGTCGATCCAACTCCCGGAAGTCGTCTCCTGGAGCTCCATCATGCGCTTCTCGGTGGCCTCGAGCTGCTTCGTGGCGAACTTCTGGGCCTGGTCGTGGCCGTGGTAGCGCTTGTAGTAGTGGAGGTACCGATCCAACTCGCGCTTGGCCTTGGCCGTGTCGCTCTGGTCGTCCTCGTTGTCCTTGCTCGGGTCGAAGCGGTTGCACTTGTAGAAGCCGCCGGTCGTCGCACCGTGCTCGGCCCTGTGTGTGGAATGACGCGTCGACGGCGTACGGTACTCTCGCAGACGCCATCGCCGCGATGGCCGCAAGCAACGAAAAGGGACGCCGCGCGAAACCAGTCGCCCATGCACATCCAGCAGAACTCGTACTTGCACTGGGAGCAGGACATGTGGTTGCAGCCCTGGTTCTTCTCGATGCGCGTCTGGCACTTCGGGCACCGCTTCGTGTTGGCCAGGATCCAGTTCGCCGTCTCGCTTTCATTTTGACACTTCTCGGCCCATTCCGCCAAGGCCGGGCAGCCGGCCGGCTGGTGGGCCTCCTCGCCGCAGCGGACGCAGAAGGCCGCGCCGCAGCCGCCGTTGGCCACGGTACACTTGACCGAGGTGCAGGCCGCGCCGCTCCGCACGATCTTGTCGCAGCCCGCGCCGGGGCACCACCTGAGGTCTTTCGAGGACGTGACGAAGTTCTCGAGTCTGAATCTACGTAATCGTTCGAAGCGCTCCTGGTCTAAGAGTTGCTCCCAGAGCTTCAGCGGTACACTGGTAGCGCACTCTTGCTCCGGGCACGGCGCCAAGACGCAGCCAGCACCCTCCTGGACCGCATTGTCCAAATAACCAGCATAGCACTCGTCGCAGAAGGAGTGGCCGCACGGCGCGGCCCTCGCCTTGTCGGCCGGGACCTCGTCGAAGCAGATGCGGCACGTCACCGTACCACTAGCTTGCGGCAGCGTCACTGAACTACGTTCGCCGTCGGGCCAGGTCCACGTTTCTAGACCGGCGGCCTTCCTCAGCTTCTCGCCGTCGGCCCAGTACTGCTCCGTGAGCCGCTCGGGCGACCAGCCCTTCTCCCTCAGTAGGACCTCGGCGCAGTCTCGAGGGACGTCCAATAACTCGGAAATCTGCTTGACCTTGGCCAGCATCATCTTGGCGACGTCGTCGGCGCCCATCAAGACGTACGCGCCGTCCTCGACGCGCGCCGGGTGCGTCTCGTCGCGCGCCTTCTTGGCCGAGGGGCTCTCGGCCATGAAGGCGTCGCCATCCCCGTCCTCTTCATCCGAATAGATGTACTGCTCGTCCTCGGAGTCGCTCATCTTTGTTTATGCGTCGTGCGTCTCGATAGGGTTCGTTCCGCGTTAGGCGCAGAGGCTTTTTTTTCGGGCCGGGGCGCGTCTGGCTCGCGGCTGGAGGCGCGGCGGTGGCGTCTCGGCGGTCTCGCGCTCTCGGGGGGCGCTGCGGGTGCCCTCCGCAAGGTACCGGACCCGGCTTTGAACGCGCGTTAAAACGCGCGGCGCGGCTCGTTTCGCGCGCGCTGGGCTCTGTGGGGCCGCTGTGGCTGCGACTGAGGCGCGAGCGGGTCCTGCGGGGCGGTTTGGTGCGCCGCGAACTCCTCGTGCTCTTTGCAAAGACCGGAGCCGAGGACGACCTGGCGCTTTGATAGACTGTGGGGGTCTGGTACCATAGGACTTGGCATAGGCTTTGACTGGACTACGACCCTTGACTAGCCTAGGCCGAGTAAATTTCCTGCCAACGCCTCGGAAGCCGACCGCCACGCCGTCCATCCAGCCCACCGGAAGGCTCGTCCACCAGGTCCCATGCGAATTCAAGTTTAAAATTCAGGCAACATACGTATCCCAAGTGTATGCACACTGGGACCTTCGCCCCGTTCTGGACCCGCGAGACGCGCGGGTCACCCCACCCACGCCATCGACGCGACGGGAAAGAAAACTACTACTACTTAAGAATGGCTCACGGGCTTCATCGCCTCTGCCCGGACCTTTGACAGGTCCGTTTTCGCGTCTCGCTCCGGGTCGATTTCGCCGATGATGGCGATGTTGTCGCCTCGGATGATGTACAGGCCGAGCACGACCTGCTCCACGCCCGCGTCGAGGCTGTAGACGCGCTCGTGGCACTCCTCGAGGATGACGTTCGTCACCTGGTCGTAGCCGCGCAGCGTGCCGACGATGTTGCGGCCGTCGCAGGTGATGACGCTGATCTGCTTGCCGATCATTTCCTTGAGCGCGGACGCCATCGCTGCGGCGCCGGCGCTCGCGGCGGCGTGCGCCCGGCGCGCCCGTCTGCCGCCGGTTAGCTCGCCGCGCGCGCGTGCGCTGGTTTACGAACTATGTGACGCAACCCGAGCCAGCGCGGGCACCGCTACGCGCTGCGCTGCGTGCTGCCCTTGCTGTGAGGCGCGCTGCGGCAGCGTATACGGCAGAGCTTGCACGCGCGCTGCCGCCGTGCAGTCGTGGTCGTATGAATAGACGAGCAATTCGTAAATTGCACCGATTGGCGAGCCGAGAGGGCAACAATGGCCCGCGCCAGCGGCCGCTTGCTAGGCGAGAGACACACTAGGTTTGGAACACAGATGCGACATGCAGCCGTCTGAGTTCCGTTCCGTTCGCTGATGGTCCAGAGAGAGCAATGGGACACGTACCGGGGGCCGAAAAAGAATTTTTTTTAATTCGCGGCCGACAGTGGCGCCAGGGCCATGGCGGCCGCGCCGGCTGAATCCTGTCGATCCCTGCCCAAGAGGTGTCCCCGGGACCGCGTAGAGTCAGTAATAGACGTGCGCAATCGCCTACGCCGCATGCGCCAGGCCACGGGGCATAATCGACCAATTCTCTTACCACTGCGCGCCCCAAAACCATGAATTACTTGGCCATGGCTTCCAGAGCTCCCGGACTGTCGCATCGACGGCGTATGCGGTACAGGCGACTACCCACCACCGGATCTACCCCGAGAGACCTCCAGGACCCGATCTGCCCCCGAAAAAAGTGTGCAATTTGGGCCCGATGGTGCCCCGTCACCGTCAATACGCCAATTTTGAAAGGGCCCCCAGGACTCGTGATAGCGGTCTCTTCGGACCCCATACTACCCCAGCGATAGTCAATTACCAGTATATGCCATCTACATTATAAGAAGGGTACTTTTTGCTGCCCACGCTCGGGACGTGAACATCTTTATCTGGAGCTCGCGTAAGTCGGTCGATCATGGAACAAATGATCGCGTCATGGTCCATGGTGAAGGTACACGGGCTGATGGTCGCAGGTCCAGGTATAACGCCATTCTTTGCTAGATAGTGGGGTCCCGAGACCAACGAGGCGCGGGAGCATTTGGCAATAGGAAATCAAATGTAGGACACGCTCAGGCCGGTTATCTGGCCCGTCCCGGAACCGAAGCGCCTCAAACGTGAATTTATTTTATAAACCACCGGTCTGGGGCCAATTCAGTGCCCCGCGTACGCACCGTCGTCCGCGGAGAATGGGCAAGTCGGTCGATTGTGAATAGAACAACGGGATTATGATCCATCTGGATAGTGTCGTCGCTGATACTCGCGGATCCTACTTATTTACTCCTCTTCACCTAAACGTGAGGGCGCGAACTCGTCTAATCGCGCGGCTCTAATGGGTCATCTAACATACCTCGGTCTGAGTCCATCCGGCCTAAATGGACTCTACCACTAACAAACGAAAGAAAACGAACATAAACTCGGGAGTTGTCTAGTAGAATTCTTCTCCCGCCCTCCGAGCGCGGGCCGTCGGCTCCGGTTCCGTCGAATATGTATGAAAACTGGGCTGGAGTTGATATAATGTACCATCTGTATGGTAGATGGCGGTGTCAAGCGCTGGTCTACTTTGGAAACTCGTAAGACTCATCTGCGAATGTCGCGGGCGGTGCCTTCCGGGAGGCGCGAGGGTATGTTCCCGGGCCGCTACTCTGAAATATTTGGTCTCGGCGAACGACTAGGATGTATTCTGAATTTGGGTCATTCTTTTGACGCTATTGAGGCGTATCTTTGGATTTGCTAGAATGTCGAGTACGCTAGCTCATTATTTTTTGCCGTGCAAAAGCGGCGGCCGTAGAGACGCCAATCCGCTCGGCCCGCTTCGTCGGTAGCGTGTGGTCATTCTACACACGCGATATCTCGCGGCGCCGCCTGTGAAACCGCAAATACAAGAGGTGTTCACATCAGTGTTTCCAGACAAGAGTAACATTGAGGAAGCAAAAATGTCTGAGGGCTGGCCGACGCCGCCGCGGAGCCCGCGTGACGACGGGACCGTGTCGACGAAACAAGACATGGCGTTCGACGCGAGGTCAAGACGTAGCGTCACGCGCCACCGCACCGAGTTCGCCTTCGAGACGCATCGGATGGAGGAGGTCAGCGTGGAAGAACTGAGAGCGTCGTCGCTGCGAGCGGCGGCGCGGCGGCCCCCGCCGCCCCAACCGCTCCCGCCGGGCGCCGCCGCGGCCGAGTGGATGGCGGCGGCGGCGAGGGCGAAAAAGCGGGAAGCCGGCAAAACTGAGGCGGACGTTCGGCATGCGCCCGAGATTTTCACCGACGCCTTTGCGACATTCCGAGGGGCTTACTGCGACCTGCTGAATGCCTGTGAAGGAGCTCCGGTACATGACGCCCACGTTGTGGCATATTTGACAAACCCATCGTTATACGAGACCAAAACAGTCGCAATCGACGTGGTCGTGGGGCCAGGAGACGCGCACGGCATGGTTGTCGTGGACAGACGATCCTGGGCTGACGAAACCGCCCCGAAGGTCACGGTGCTGACGAATGTCAACGCGTCGGAGTTTAGGAAGGAACTCGCCTTTAGGTTCAGGAAGAATGCGATGCGGTATTTTACTAAGTATTAACCCGCAGCTCCGCACCGCTCCGTTGCATAGACTCATACACGTCGCCGAGCGCCGACACGCCCGTGGCGGACGCACGCGTCGCCCACGCGTCAAGACATCGTTGGACGTCGAGCCAGGCGCGCTCCTCCCGCGCGCGCCGCGTCTCGGGGGAGTCCGCCGCGCCGAAGTCGTCGCCGCCGCAGAGCTGCGCGACGTACGCCGTCCGTAGAGCGGGCGACGCCTCGACGTCTTCCGCGACGTCGAGGGCGTCGGGCAGCGGCAGCCGCGCGTGGCCGCACGCCGCCAGACAATGATGCCAGGCGCAGGAGGGCCGGAGGACGGGCGCCAGCTCCAAACCGGCCCGGAGCACCGCGCCCGCGCGCGTCTCGCCCTCGGCCAAGCGTGGTTCCACGAAAAGCAAGCGCTTTACAGCTCCCAGTTCGTCGAGCGCGGCCCTGAGCTCCGCGGACGCCTCCACGGCGTCGCCAGGTTCGGGTTCGTAGTCCGCGAGCGCGTCGCAGAGCACATCAATGTCGCGCGCTACCACCAATCGCCCGCCGCCGGCGAGCGGCCGCCGCAGGCAGATATGGGAACTACATTGGCGCGCGACGCGGGCCGCGAGCGCCGGGATCGCCGCGCGGGCTGAGGGCGAGTCCTGGTTCGGCTGGAGCTTCGGCCACGCGGGCAGGAACGCGAGGTACCCTGCTCTAATGGCGTGCAGCGACGACAGCAGCCGCACGACGCAGGGCGACGCGCCGAGCGGAGAACCGGACGAGGCGTCCCTCCCATCAGAGTAGTCCTCCTCGACGTCGGCGTTCGCCAGCTGGGCGCAACACACATAAGCCGCGGCGTCGGCGCCGCGGTTGGACACGCGCGCGCAGACCGCATCTAACGCATCCAATCCTGGCCCTAATGAAGGCGTCGCCTTGAGGAGGGAGACGCCCTTCCTTAAAACGGCGCAGGCCCCGGCCGTCCTGGCATCAAATTCCTCTCTGACCGAAGCGCGCCACTCGGCGCGCGGCACAATGAGCCCATCCGTCGGTTTCGTCGACGCGTAGGCTTCAGTGACCGCTCTAGGAAGCTTCCCGAAGGCCTTGGCGTCCCGCGCCGCCGGGACGTTTCTTAAAGCTCGCGTCGCTCTCTCAGCAAATTCGCGACACGCGTTCGAGATCTCGCCGCAGACCGCGTCCTCCAAACTTACATCGTCGACCCTCCGCAGCTCCTCGCGCCCGATACCTACTAATTTTTCCACATCACTATGCGTCGGCACGTCGGCGTCGTAGCCTTCCCGCTCCGGATAGACCATTCTAATCGGACCGAGCAACCTTTCGCGGCACTGCGTCAAATAGCGGGCCTCGAGTGGTTCTAACGCATCGCCCAACGACTCCACCGAACTTTCAGCCTGGACGGCTTCGGACCGAGGGAGCTCGACGTTGACCGGTTCCCTATGAGGACCGCGTTCGGAACGCCGCCTTCTACTTACTTCGCCGGGCTCGAAGTCGCGGCCGGCCAGCGCCATGGCCGGATTCTCCGTCTCCCAAGAATTTGAGAATTCGGGGTTGGGCCCGCCCGCCCGCCCGACGGCCGCTCTACAATGAGTTCTTGTCAAGGCCATCTCCAATCTATTACCTACACTAACGTCGTCGACGGGCACCGGTTCCTCCCGTGCAGCGTCGGCCAGGGCCTGCTCTATGCCTCGATCCTCGTCGTCGCAGAACGCCGACTTTTCATGGGAAGCAGCCAAAGCCTGAAACTGGGCCTCGAACAGCGCCACAAAGGACTTGGGTGGTGCCACTTTCGCCGCAGACCCGAGGTAGTCGCCGTCCGGCGGCAACATCGACAGGGGGAGCATGCCGCCGTCATTTAGAGGGTCGATCGTCAACGAGGGGTACTCATCAAACAATCGTTGTTGCTGTAAACCAGCATCGTCATCGACAATATCCTCAAAAGGCTCACAAACCTCCGTCAGGAACGCCTGCCGCACGACGGGGTAGTGGTCCGCGAGTGTCTCCGCCACTAAATCGGCGGCTCGTTTCTCTGACATTCCCACGATCCGATCCTTGACGTCGCTGCCCGTCTTCTTCAGGGTCTTAGCTGCCGCATTCACCAAAGCTTCGGTGCGCTCGTCCAGCCGATCGAGCTGCTCCTGGGTCTTGTCGATGAGATCCGTGGTCCTTTCCGCGGTCTTGGCGATGATGGACTTCGTTCGGCCGAGCAGGGTGTCCTCTACCTCCTCCGCGGGAGCGTCGCCGCCTTCCTCCTCGTCCTCGGATTCGTCGTCCTCCTCCTCCTCTTCGACAAGCACCGTTTCGTCCTTGCGCAGGGCCTCGACGAGCGCCTCCCTCACGGCCGCGGCCGCTTCGCGAGCGTGCCGCTGTCTCAATGTGCTTGCACCGCGCAGCGCTCCACTCTTGATACACACGTCGTTCAGGGTCTCGGCTCCATTGTCGAGGCGTCTCTTCCTAAGAGCTGTTTCCAACAGAGCCGCGCGTTGCGACGAGGCCCTGAGTGCATTAGCCCATCTCCTAGCGTGGGCTTGCGCCGCTTCCTTCGAGAAGGGCGCCGTGAGTGGCTCCTCGGCACCCAAGGGGTCGCGCCCCGCTAACGCCTCCGTCGTGCACAATCTCGCAGCGTCGGACAAACGCTGCAGCGCTCTATCAACAGCCTCGCCAATCCGCCCGAGCTCCGCCGCGACCGCCAACGCGGCGCCGGCCCTTGCAACATTTAGGGTGGAGAGGGCCTCGTCGAGCACGCCGTCTGAACTAGTCTCGAGCTCGGCTCGCGCTGCCAGAGCCGCGTCCTTGGCCCCGCGACAGACATCAATAGCATCGAGCGAGGCCGGCTTCTTACCATCCCTCTCAGGTGGATCTACCAGGCCCTCGATCTCATTAACTAATGCAGCGCGTGATGCGAGGTCCTCCGGGTCATTTAAACCACGCTTCTCGTCTAAACGTCTCAACGCAAACCGGCAGCGCTGGGCCCTCCTCAGCAGTTCGTTCGCCTCGAACACTAAACGTAATCGTCTCGTCTTCCGCTCGCAGGAGTCGTAGGGCTTGGTCAGCTTCCTAGTCATCTTGTAGGTCTTGCGTTTGGCTTCTCGCGCCGCCAATGCGACGGCCTCGACGTCGCCCCTCAAAGCTCGCAGACCCCTACTGCTCTTCAACAGAGCTTCGCGCGACTCCTCGACGTGGTCTTCGATGTGCGTTTGTAATTGCACTTTGTAGGCCTTGATGGCGTCCACCGCCGCGACGGCCGCACTGGGACCCGTGTCGTCCAAAGATCTTTGTCTGTCCCTTTGTATAATCTCGTCGGCGAAGGCACCCGCGTCGAAGTTTTCATCTACCAATTTGCCGTAGGTCTCGTCGCCGGCGGCGCGCGCGAGGAATTCGCGCGCGCGCTGGTGCGCCGGGCCGACCTCCGCCGTCATCCTTTATTTTTTTGGCTGCTTTAGTGATTGGCCAATGGGCAGGGAGCGGCGCACTGCTGGCGTTGAGGCGTTGACGCCGCACTCCGGCTGTAGCAGCGGTGCTGTCCAGTGCGCCAGCACCGCTTTGTAGCTCACCGCGCCGGAGTACAGCCGTAAAGCCGGCCTCGGCACGCCAGCTAGCATCGGTAAGACACTAGCCTTTTTAAGCAAGCTGCCGGATTCGAACAATCGCGCCGAGTTGCCCGCAGACGGGCAGCCATAAACGTAGGACGGCACCTGTCGGCTCCCTGTGCACTGCCCTTACAGGTTTGGGCTGCCCAAGGGCTTAGGCCTAGTCTCTAAGGCCAGAGCACCATGGCCAGAGTCGTGGAGCTCGAGGTCATCAAGGGGCTGCCCGTCTCGCCGGTCCGACCTATCAGTGTAGACAAGCCGCCGCCCCCGGCGCCTGTCGCTGATGCCAAGCCCGCAGTGGTTGTGAACCGCGGGCTGCCCGGCCCCGGCATCCTCCCCGCGCCCGCCGCGAATGAATACAAGCGCACGCAGCCGCCCGCGGGCCGCGTGCAGATGGCCAAGAGTAACGAAGCGTCGAAAGCTACAATGGCGACGCAAGCCGCGACGGCGGCCGGCGAAGAGATCAAGAACACGACGAGCTCCGCGGGCCCGAAGATCAAGTTCCAGCACGGCCCGCGGCGAAAACCGCTCCGGGGCGGCGGGACCGTGCCCGCCCTGGCGCTGCCCTCTCAATCATTATCGCACCAGGCCAACGTGCCGCCCGGCGCCACCGGCGACTTCGCGCTGCCGACGGCCGAGGACATCGCCTTGGCGTCCGCGCGCGACTCGACGAAGCGCGAGACGTCGCGCGCCTCCGAGGTCGAGGCCGTGCGCGCGCGCGTCGCGGCGACGCGCCTGAAAGCTTTACAGAGCGCCTCGAACCAGCTCACGCCGCGCGTCCCGGCGCGGCCCAAAACCCCGAAGGAAATAGCCATCGCGCGCTGCGGCAACGTGAGCGCGCTCATTTCGAGCGACTCGGACTCGGACGTCGGGGACCAGGACGACCAGGCGGGCGGCTAGTGCGTCCAGTTAAGCACTTCACGTTAGTCATTATCTACACGAGGCGGGGAACTACACAATCCCCAACTGCACGAAGTCGTTCAGCTTGAGCGCGGCGCCGCCGCGGCGCGACGTGCCGTCCTCGACGCGGCGCGCGGACCACTCCATGATCTTCTCCTCGACCGTGTCCTTGACGATGAGGCGGACGACCTTGGCCGTCTTCGTCTGGCCGAGGCGCGAGATGCGGCCGGCGGCCTGCTGCTCGATGCCCGGCTGCAGGGCGGGTTCTAGTAACACAGCCGTCGACGCGCTCGTGAGCGTCAAGCCCGCCGCGCCGCCACCGCCCTGCCCCGACGCGCCGCCGTAGAGCGGGACCAGCAACACCGTGGCGTCCTTGAAGCGGCGCAACGCCTCGCGCTTGGCGTCGGGCGAGCCAGATAAAGACACGGCGTCGACGTCGTGCGCCTCGAGGGCGCTCTGGGCTAGCTTGAGCAGGCGCGTCCAGGCGCTGAAGACGACGACCTTCTCCTTCTTGCGCGCCGCGGCGCCGCAGCGCGTGACGAGGGCTGATAATTTCGTGCCCCACTCACCGGCGGCCGCAGCCTCGGCCACGTCCGAGCTCGGCGCGTTCTCGGCCGCCTTCTTGTCTTTATCGTCGACGGGCCGCACCGAGCACGCCAGTAATAATTCCGTCGACATGGACTTCTTGCAGATCGGGCAGGACCGCTCGCGGCGCACCCACTCGGAGACGCACTCGTGGCAGCCGCCGTGGCCGCACGGCGCCACGCACCACTGCGAGTCGACCGTGCGCTCGTCGAGGCAGATGGGGCACTGGTGGACCTCGACGGGTTCATCGTCCTCATCCTCGTCGTCGTCCTCGTCCGCGTCGGCGGCCGCCTTCTCCTTCTCCTTCTCGGCGTTGGCCATCTCGCGCCGTAGGTAGTTGAGTGACGCCTGCTTGTCCCGCAGGTCAGCCTTTGCCCTATCCTCGAGCCTGCGGCCCGCCTCCTCCGCCTCCTGCTTGCGGCCCGCCCGAGAGAAGAGCTTCCGCGAATAGGCCTCGAGCTTCGGCGCGTCGAACACGCGCGTCTTCGCGGCGCCGTCCTCCTCGTCGCTCGCTTCGCTGTCGTCGTCGTCGTCCTCACTATCGTCGTCGTCGCCGCCGCCGGCGTCCATGCCGGCGCGGATGGCCTTGGTACCCTTGCTCCAGTTGGACTTGAGCCGCTTGAGCAGCGCGTTGATCTCCTTCGTGGTCGTTTCGTCGTCGAGGCTCGAGCAGAGCTCGGCCGCCTCCGCTCGGATCGTCTCGTGCTTCGCGTCGCCGAAACAGACGACGTTGACGATGCGCGCCCTTAGGAAGGCTGCGGCCGCGGTGGCGAGCTGCTTCTCGCCCTTCGTCGCTAATTTCTTGAGCACGTCGGCCATGGGCAGGGCGTTGCCCTCGTCATCTAAGACGCCGTCCGACGCCGCGGCTCTTTGAGTGTTCACCGTGGCCGGGTGACAGATCGTCTGGCGCAATCTGGTAAGATCGCCGTTCAGCCGGCCGATGGCCTTCGCGGCGCCGCGGCCCGGGCGCCGCCGGCCCGGCTCGTCGGAGCCGCGCACGCGCTCGAAGGCGCGGTAGGAGCGGCGCAGCTGGTCGAGGGCGACGCGCACCGCGGCGCGCTCCGCCGGCGCCGCGACGAGCGTCTCCGTCTCCCAGATGAGCGGCGGGAGCTTGGTCTGGGCCTTGATGCCCGGCTTGTCCTTGCCGCGCCGGAGCATGAGGCCTCTTAATAAATTAGGCATGCGCTCGCAGCCGACCGCGTACGTGTTGCGCCACTTGAGCGGGTCTCGATACAGCTGATCAAAGACGTACTTGTCCGTAAAAGGCGCCACGCCGAGGAACGCGAGCAGGCCCTGGATCTCGTCGGCGCTTCTCGTGATAGGTGTGCCGGTGACGACCCACGCGTGGCGCCGTAGTAATGCCGAGCACATGAGCGCGGCCTTCGACGTCGTCTGCGCGACTAATTGGGCTTCATCCAGGACGACGCGCCAGAACCCCAAAGCTCCGAGCGGCGTCGACATCGGCAGACCGTCCTGGGACTCGTCCCACCGGACCTTGCGCAATTCGTCTCTCAACGTTTCGAAGGAGCACAACACGATGTCGCACGACGCCAGCTCGGGATCGCCTTCGCCAAACAAGCTTCTCATGCGCGCCATGACCTCGTGGTCGCCGACGGAGTCGTCGTCGACGAGGGCGTCGTCGGAGCCGCGCTTCTTCTTCGCCGAGGCGCCCACGCCTAGATAAGTTCCGAACTTGAGCGAGCCCGCCCGCGTGTGCTTCTCGATCTCCTGCTCCCACTGCGGAAGCAGCGCCGCGGGGCACACGAGCAGCGTCGCCTTGCAGGGCACGGGCTCGTTGGTCCGCGCGGGCAATTTCTCGACGGCCCAGCCCTCGGGCGCGGGGTTCGATAAAATCAGCCCCAGAACTTGGATCGACTTGCCGAGCCCGACGTCGTCGCAGAGCATGCCGCCGCAGGTATGCGCGACGGGCGCCGGAAAGAAAGACCTCGAGACCTGTCCCGTAAGGCGATGTAAATACCACACGGAGCCGTCGTCCGAGACCTGTTGCGTCCATGCCGGGTGCAACGTGAGATGATCGGGCGCGTTCTCGCGGCGCACCATCCAGCCGACGCCTCGATCCTGATAAGGTAACAACAGCGACTGCATGGCGCCGTGGCACGCGCGCGACGCGCCCTGGCCATCGGCGCAGGGCGACCCGTCGTCGTCCGTCGTCGCGGCCTCGAGGAACGCCTCGATGGAGTCCTTGAAGACTGTGGACTTAGGGCGAGGCACGACGCCCAGGAACCGGTTCAGCGACAAATTGTCGTCGTCCGGGCCCGGCTCGCAGTGGGCCTCCATGCGATACTCGACCGCCCGCCACCCGCGCTGGCCGGCGTCGTCGTGCTCGGGAAACGCCTCGGGGTAGCGGAATACGACCGACTTCACAAACCTAGAAAAGTCGTCCTTCGGGGGTTTCCTGATGGTGTCGCCGCGCAGCGCCTCGTCGTGGTCCTCGTCGGTGCGCCATATCGACCCCCGATCGAGGTTCTCGTCGAACTGGAAATTGCCGTTGTATTTGCCGCTGTCGGTCATCCAGATCTCGATGGCGACGCTGTTGGCGCCGCGCCGCGTGACGACGTCCTCGCGCAGCGACCCGTCCCTGACGCAGTTTTCGAGCTGGCGTAACTTGGCGTAGAGGCAGCCGAACTCGTACTGCGTGTTCACCCGCTTCACGGCGCAGACTTCACCTGAACTGTCCTCGACGACGAAAGCTTGATAGCCGCTGCGCCACCGCTCCGGGCCCTCGGCGCCGGGAGGGTAGTAATAACTCAAGCCCGCCGATAGCGGCTCCGACGGCTGGCGGTTGAGCCACTGGAGGTCAGGGACGACCATGGTCGCGAGCGGGATGTCGCCCTGAATAGGGGGGCCGACTTCGCCCTCCTCCACCGGTTGGCCGTATTCTTCGGTAGCGCGCGGGATGACGCGCGTCGGCCAGGCCTCGTCCGGGCGCAGCCGCGACCCGTCCAGGCGATTCTCAGCGTCGCGCAGCAACGGGTACGGCAGGCCGTCCGCGCCGATCGCGTGCGGGCCTTGCGACGGCGGCTTCCAATCATAACCGCGCGTCGTCTTCTCTTGGGCCTTGGCCACGGCGGCGAGCGCCTCGGGCCGCAGCCGCGCGGATCGCCGCGCCGTCGGCGCCTTGGCGGCCGGCTCCGGCTCCGGCTCCGCCTCCTGGCGCCGCCGCTTCGGCGGCGCTTTCTCCTCGGCCGGCGCTTTGCGGCTCGGTTTCTTCTTGGGCGCGGCGGCCGGTTTCTTGGGAGCCGCAGCCGGCTTCTTGGGCGGCGCGGCGGCCTTCTTCGAGCGCGCCGGCGCCGCGGCCGGTTTCTTCGACGAAGCCGCCGGCGCCGCGGGCGGCTTTCGGCCGCTGGGCTTCTTGCGCGCCGGCGCGGCAGCGGGCGGCGCCTGGCGCTTCTTGCGCGCGGGAGGCGCCGGCGCTGGGGCCTGGCGTGCGCGGCGCGGGCGGCCTCCGCTCGTCAGCGTGGCGGGCGCGTCGCTGCCGCCGCTCGTGAGCGTGTCCTGCAGCTCGCGCGGGATCTCAGCCATGACTGTGCAGTGAATCCTAGCTCAAAATACGTGTAACCCCCCTTGCAAGGCCTTGGTGGCGCTGCAAAACGCGCTGTGGCGCGAGCAGACTTAAACCAGAGAGGCACTAGCTTTTTAAATCCGTCGCCGCGGGATATGTTTTCCGGGGCTAAATAAACCCAAAACTAGCCCTTATACTTCTTCCGCCCCGCCACCAGCGGCGGCGACGACGCGAGCGCCTCGGACACCGCGCCCAACCGTTCGTGAAAAATGTCGTCCACGTCGTAGTCCCGAGAGCCCGTCGGCGTCGCCCGCGTGGAGGATGCTCGCGACGAGAGCACGGCCTCAGCCGCGTCGGCGAAGACGTCGTCGACGTCCTTGTGCGCGACGTCGGGTGTCAGACCCGTGTGCGGGCACGGCGCCGAGGGCGGCGGCGTGGGCGGCGGCCGCGCGGCGGCAGGTGTAGGTGGTGTGGGCGCCGGCCGCCCAGGGGAAGGAGTGGGCGGCGGCCGCGGCGGCAGGCGCTTCAAAGCGTCGACCTCGGCCCGCAGGCGCCGCGACCGCTCGTTGGCTTTGTCGAGGTCAGCCTCACACGCCTTGTACCTCTTCTTGTTGCGGTCGGCCCGCGCGCGCTCGGAAACGACGACCGCGAGCAGGCGCTGCCGCGTGGCCAGCCAGGCCGTCCGCGCAACCCGTAATGCCGTCTCGCGCTCCGCGTCCGCGTCGCGGCGGTCGCGCCGCTCCTGCTCGAGGGCACGTTGCGCTTCTGCGCCCTCTTTCTTGGTCTCGTCCGCCCTCTTGGCAGCAACACGCAGCGACTTGTCCTGCTCCTGTTTAAGCCCCTGGGCCTGCGCCGACGCCTCTCCCAATGCATCGCGGAACGCGTCGCGCTCCTTCCGCGCCTCGTCGCGCTCTTTGGTCAACCTTTCGACCTCCGAGCCGTCGGGGCTCTTTGAGTGTTGCGTGCGCATGGCCTCGCCGTGGGCGACATCCCGCTCGGCCAGGGCCATGGCCAGGTCCGCCGCCGCCAGATCCTTGGCGTTGGCTAAAGCCGCGTCCGCGGACCGGCGCTCCCGCTGTACGACGGCATCGACCTCGCGCCGCGCCGCGGCCCGGAGCGCGCTACACAGCGCCTCGACGGCCGCGTCGTGGTCGCCATTTACGACCGTCGGCGCCGCGTCGGCCATGCGACTCAGGTCGTCGGCCGCGCGCTGCAGCTCGCAGTGCGCCGCCGCGAGCTCCGACCGCAGCACGGCGTTCGCGTCCTTGGCTCTTCGGGCCTCGTCTCTTGAAGCGTCCGCCGTCTCTCGCGTCCGCGCGTGCGCGTCGCGTTCCGTCTTGAGCTGGCGGCGCACGCCGTCGCTCGCCTCGGCCTCGTGGGCGAGCGTCCGCCTCAGCTCCTCCGCGGCGTCCTTCTCGCGCTCGAGGGCCGCTCGCAGCGTCGCGGCCTCGGTGCGCAGCTGCTCCGGCGCCTCGCGCGGCGACGTTGGTGTAGTAGCGGGCCCCTGCAGCGCCCTATCTAACAATTTGGAGAGGCGGTCGCCGGTCGGTGATCCCGCCTCCGCAGCGGCATCGCGACGCTGCGCCTCGACCCTCGACCGTAAGCGGGCCATCTGCTGGTGCGCCCACTCCGTCGAGGGATCATTCTGCGGCGATGATGACATATTGCTGCCTTCGCTGCGGCGGCGCTCGCTGCGGCGGCGTCGATATTGGGCCCGCTCCTCGGGCAGCATGCGCGGTGCTTTCCTATAGGGCTGCCAGCAGACGCCTCGGCGCCGCTCGCAGATGCTGCCCCTGCTCGTCTACCGAGCCTGTCGATGCGTGCCGTCGGCTGGGCACGGATATGTCTCCGCTTTCGGCTGGCTTGGCCTCTCTGTCTGGTGCACCCGCACGCCCGTGCGCGGCGTGCACTCGACATCATCAAACGACCAAATAATAATTTACACGACGATATATCAAAGGGAAATATTCCCTGTTTTCGAGGTAGGCTTCCTCCCCAGATCCTCCGCGTCCTCATGTTCGTACCCGAGCCACTCCTTCACGTGGTCGTTGACCGTGAACGAGATGGCCGTGCCGATGGGGTTCTTCACGAGGTTCAGCGAGATGCCCTTGAAGAGGCCCAGGAAGCCCTCGACCCTATAGATGGACGCCACGGCGGCCAAGACGCCCAACCGCCCGATCGGCGATGCCGCTCCTAACGCCTGCTGCCGCCGTCGCACCGTATCCAATGGATAAATGAACGACTCGCTCAGCAGCCCGGCGAGGTAGCCACACACTACCTTCGAAACAGAAGGATTCTCCCGGAAGTAGTCGTACCGCGCGAGATAGGGCTTGAGCGTCTCGAAGACGCCAAAGCCAATCGCGCCGCGCGGCCCGGCACCGATCAGTGTCGCGCCAAACCCGCCGTACAGCCCGCGCACGCCGTCCGCGGTGTATACCCGTCTCGCGGTTTGCAAGTACGTCGCGCTGTCGGGCTGCACACTGACACGTACTCGTAACGTATCAAGTGGATGCGTTACCAATGTTGCGCCGACCATCGTGATGTAGCCCGCGCAGAACCGCGTCATAAACACCTCCTCGCGGCCGCCGCTCACTTTTTTTGTTAAGTTCGCGGCGTGGGGATACAGCGAGTAGACCAGAACACTATGAGGCACGTTCCGGTATACGGCGGCAGCAGAACCGCTCATGAAGCCGCTCAGGCCCTGCGTTTGGAGCGTCCTACTGGCTATGGTGGAATACGCCACCGGCTCCGACGACGTCTGGCGGATCCATTTCACGCGCTGGATGGGCTGCTTGGCGAAGGTCGCGCAAAAACCAGAAACCGTGCCGGAGCACCAGGTGATTTGGGCATTCGTCAAGAGTTGCTTTCGTCGCGGCGGCGGCGCGGCCATCACGCCGTCGACGGCGCTTCAGGCGTGCTGGCGCGGCGTCGCACGACGCCGCGAATCGGTGGAGAGCTTTGCGGCCAACTCTTATCGCCGCGCGCCTCGTAACGCCGCGCTTCGCTCGCTTCCGTAGCTGCTCGCAGCTTTCTGGCGCGTGCGGCGCTGCAGCAATGCGTGGCACCCAATGTCCCGTATCAGAGCGACCTCTAACCGATACCGAAGGTCACACAAAGGCAATCGCGGCGCCAATACGCCTCATCCAAGCTAAGCGTCTCGGACTGTACCCGCACGGAACGAGCCCTGACTGCAGGCGTGACACGAGTGTCCGAATGGCTACGGGGCAGCCCCAGGACGCGTGCAAGGCAGCCGCGGGGGGCATTCCGCATGGGTGTGCTAACTACGGACTTACAGCTTACCAGCGCCCATTGGCTGGTAGCGCTTGCTAAAAGCAGCAGCCAAAGGGCTGCCCCGGCGCGCCCGGAGGCTTGGGTGGAGGCTACGCACGCGTTTGGTGAATACGCCTTGGGGGCGTGACCACTGAACGCAGCGCAGCCGGTACCATGCGCACCCTAGACATGGCGCTGGTTCCCAGCGGCCAGCCGTCCAAGAAGCAGAAAGTTGTTAGACCCGTCGAGCTGCTGTGTCTGGAAGACAACACGTCGCAGATCAACAGCACGGTGCCCATCGACGTACCACTCTTCAAGCCGACTCCTGCCACCGTTCACTTTTCGGGGTATGAACCCTTTAGCACGGTGACGAAGACGTTGCGGTTCAGAAATGGTGATTATGTGGCGCGGCGCATCAAGGTCTTACCTCCCAAGTCACCGTACTTCGAGATCAGCGGTGGGAAACGAGCCGCCAGTAAAGTCGCCCCGGGCATGGAGGTAGTTTTTGAGGTGACCTTTCGACCGCAGGAAGTTCGCGAATATAGTGTAGACTTAGTTTGTTGTACGGAACGAGAAAAGTTCATCGTCCAGGTCAAGGCCGCGGGCTTTAGACCTAGACTGTCCCTACCCTCAGAGGTCAACTTTGGCGCAGCGGCGGTCAAGTCCACAAAAGCTAAAAGTATGTTGGTGCAGAACACGGGGAGTTGTGTAGCTCGCTTCCGACTGTCATGTGACGTCCCGGAGTTTTCTGCCTCACCATCTGAAGGGTTAGTGCACCCGGGCCAGATGGCAACTCTAGAATTATCCTTCTCGCCCCAATGCGTGGAACCCTACGAAGGGCGACTACTAGTGGAGTATCTTGGAGGTGAAAAGACGGTCGCTACTGTTTTACTGAGGGGCGTGGCAGAAGACGTCGACGTGCACCTCAGTACAAATAATTTACAACTGGAGCCGGCCTACGTATCGTTATCTTCACAAAGGACGTTCAAAGTCCGGAACGCGTCCGAAATCCCCGTGACCTTCTCCTGGAAGCAGTTCCAGGACTCCGCTGAACAAGAGGCGGAACGCGAGAGACTCCGGTCGGATTTAGAAAGGATGCAGCAGTTGGAAGAGGCCCATCTCGAGGAGGCTCTCTCAAAGCGGCCGCCGTCCGACGACGAAGGGTCGGATGGCGATTTGTCAGGGGATGAAGGCCACGTTTCTGCTGGTGCTAGGGCGGCTCGGTCTGCACTCGCCACGAAGTATAGGCATTTGAGACAAGCCCTCGAGAAGGACGACATGGTCTTTTCCGATGAGACCTTCGAGATCAAGCCGCTGAGTGGGGAGGTGCGCGCTTTGTCCGAAGTGGATATACACGTGATGTTCCGCCCTGATACCGCCGCGGACTACGCCTGCACGGCTTATTTAGATGTTGTGGGGCGGGAGGAACGCTTGCCAGTGTGGCTGACGGGCATCGGCATCGGGCCGAAGGGTGCTCTGTCGTATGACGTCCTCGACCTCGGCGACGTCTTCGTGGGGCACCCCTACTCCTATACACTGTCCATCGATAATAAAGGAGACATCCCCGCGGCGTGGCGGTTGAATCCTCCCGAGAGTGATGCGTTTGTCGTCGAACCGACGCAAGGCACGCTAGCTGTCTCCGGTACGCAACAATTGTCCGTAGAGTTCCTCGGAAGCACGCTAGGCGAGTTCTGCGAGCTCGTCGACGTGGAGTTGGACGGTTCCAACGAAAGATTGACCTGCCAGTTCAAGGGCCACGTCATTGGACCCACTTTTCATTTTGATGTCGATGTGGTCGAGTATGGGTTATGTAGTTTTGCCTTCGCCCACGAACGCACTCTGGAACTCACAAACACGGCGGACATTGGGATGGACTTCGTCCTAAAAATCCCGCAGGACGGCCAGTACGGCGCGCCCGAGTTTGTGCTGGAGCCGTCTTCTGGTTCACTAGCACCGGGCGCTTCAGTTACGATCAAGGTGACCTTCACGCCGGCCACCATCAAGGTCTACGACTTCTATATTGTCGTAGATGTCCCAAATGTGGGAGAAGCCTTACTAAGTCTACCGGTCCAAGCAGAATGTAAGGTAGCGGACGTGTCATTGCTACGGGACGACCTCGATCTAGGAGAATGCTTCCTGCGGTACCCCTACGAGACGGATTTGATCTTAGTTAACAGGTCATCAGAACTACAGGCGAGGTTCGACATCCAGCCCCAGGAGAAGCCTACTACGGTGATAGGGGAGTACTCGTGCGATCGTATCTCCGGAATCATCGCGCCCAACTCTAGGGAAAGTGTCCGAGTCACGGTAAGATGCAATCGCCTCGGAAATTTCAGACTACCAGTAGCGACGGCCATCGCCGGTTCTCCACAACCGCCGCTCCAGTCCAACCTTTGTGCTACGGTCAAGGGTCCGGTATTAGCGGTCGAACCCCAGTCCATAAACTGGGGCCCGACGCCGTGCTTGTATGATGCTCCCAGAAGTTTAGTATTGACGAATACGAGCTGCATCCCGGCGCCGTTTCGGACGTTCGTGAAAAATGCGCGCAGCAAGTTTAGGGTCGACGTCCGCGAAAGCGTCCTGGCGCCGAACCAGTCCATGGAATTAAATGCGATCGCTTGTCTGGACGACACGACGAACCACAAGGACCAAGTACATATTGCCGTAGCAGAAGGTGAGACCGTTGTGGTACCTGTCTCGGCGCGAGGTACGGGTACGACGATATTCTGCCACGAACGACTAGAAGAGATGGACTTCGGCTCGCAATTCTCCTCGACCATCTTCGAGCGGAAAGTGACCCTCGAGAACAAAGGGCGGCGCCCGCAAACGCTGAAATGGGTTAACGAGACACATACTAATCTCCTATTAAACGTCATGGCCAAGCGCAAGAAGGCCCAGAAGGACGGCGTGAAATTCAAGATGGAGGACCCGGAACCTGTGTTTACGGTGTCGCCGGCGGAGATTGAGCTACGGCCGAGGACGGCGGCTATCTTTACGTTCCGGGGTTATGCGCCCAAAATCGGTGCTGTCGAGGAGTTATTAGTTTGCGAGACGAAAGTGCAAAAGGAGAAGAACTCGCGGACCGTGTTCCGTACCACATTTAAAGCCGATGTCAGTAACCCGCTCCTCGAGTTTTCCTCGCCGACGGTCCATTTCCGCTACGACTGGGAGCCTGATGTCTTAGTTACTCCTCAGACGCAGGAGTTGTCGATGAGAAATAGATCAGATTTACCTGTGAGCTTCGCATTGAAGTGCCCGTCACCGTTCCACGTCGAACCCAGTTCTCTCAGTCTGGAGGCGGGTGAAGCTGCTACAGTACACATTAGATTCGACCCGGGCTACAAGGGCGACCGGCAGTCCCAATTATTGGAACCGAAACTAGTCATAGCCTACACCAATCACCCGCAAAAAGACTCCGTACAGCTCATCGGGGAAATTAACTACCCAAACTTGCATTTCGAAAGTAAAACTGTAAACTTCGGCTGCATCCTCAACGACACGCAGATGACGTCGACGATGCGGATTACCAACTCCAGTAAAGTGCCCGTGGACTTCCACTGGGCCTTCCTCGAGGACGCCGAACGGGAAGCCCGTAAAGCAACCGAGAAGAAGCCCTATGTCCCGGTCAATCAGGTCTTCGATATCTTGCCTATTCGGTCGCACCTGGAACCGGACGAGTACAAAGATGTCGACTTCGTGTACTATGCGCATGCGGGTCGCAAATTTAAGGGGATATGTCTCGCGGAGGTCGTGGGCGGGCCCGAATATCAACTTTCACTGATTGGTGAGGGGTCTACCGTCGGCTTTAAGCTCGATAAGTCGAGTTTGGACTTCGGTTCAGTGTTATACACGCAGTTCAAGGAGCTCGAGTTTACGATCCACAATACGGGCAAGGTCGCGTTTCCCTTCTCCGTCATGTGCGACGCGAAAGATCCGGAAGCTCAGGTCTTCGAGATCTCTCCTAAGTCTGGACGAGTCGCGGAGATGTCCAAGCAGGTCGTCAAGGTATGTATGCGTCCCGGCTTGCCTCGGAACTTTGCTGAGAATTTGATTGTCGAGTGCGCGCATTTTAATCCGATCTACTTCCCCGTGACCGGTGTGGGGATCTACTCTACTGTTAGTATCGCTCTACCGCGGGACCAGGTGAAGATGAGCGACACCGTAAAAGACTTTGGCGGTAGCTGGGCGTCGTGCTTGCAGACGACCAGGGAGCTCGTGAAAGAAAAGAAATTACATCCTGATGAACCACCGCCGCCGCCTACCTTGAATCTGCCCCTCTTCGCGATGGCGCAACCTGTCGTTGAGGAACCGCCGCCAGTTCTCAAGGAAAAAACAATAAGGATCACGATGGCCGAAGTGGAAGCAGAAGCCAATCGTCGTATATTCTTGGATCACTTGCGAGGCATAAGGCCGCCGACGGGTGCGCTGCGACCGACCTCCAAACAAAGCAACCGGTCGCAATCGTCGGTCCGGGACGGGCCCGCTCCCGGTTCTGATTTTGTGCTGGCCTGGCACTTGTGCGACTTCAAGCACGTCGTGTCTGGTGCTACGAAAAAGCGCAAGTTCCTCATAAAGAACGACTCCGAGTCCGGGAGGTTGTCGTGGTCCGTGGACAAGAAGCTGCTGACCAATACTGGTTTCTCAGTAGATCCGGAAAAGTTCGTCCTGGCGGAAGGCGAAGCGACGACTTTTGAGGTTAACTTCAAGGCCCAGAAGAACCTACCGCTCGGTGATCGGGAGTTACGGCTACCGATAACCCAGAGGAACGGCCCGGTCACGATGGTTGTTTTAAGGGCCTCTATATGTGTCCCGGAAGTCGTCGCGTCGCACGATGCTTTAGAGTTCGGCGACGTCTGGACGGGCTGTGGGCGCACGGCCTACGTCCAGCTGCATAACGTGTCGCCAGTGCCGGCCGAGTGGGATTTCAAGGCTCCGCTCGGGAAAGCGAGGGACGCGCACCGGTTCACGCTGACGCCTCGTTCTGGTGTTCTCAAGCCTTCGGAGAAGGTGAACGTGGCCGTCGAATTCGCGCCCGTCGACGATAGGCCCTGCTCGTTGCGCTTGCCGCTCAAGGTGGCCAATTCTACTTCTTCTTCTACTCTACTATTTACGGGCAAGGGCATTGCCGCCAAGTTAAAATTTGAGCCTTCTCTGGTCGAAGTCGGGCCCATCCTACCGTTCTCTGATATAGTATCAGGAGCAGTTACATTACGGAACGCGTCCGACCGGCCCGTCGAGGTCTTCTCGTTGGATTTCGACACCGACTTCATGACGGAAGAAGAACAGTTGAGGGAGCGAGACGATCTGGACTGGGACAACAACCTCATCAGACTACCGGTCAGGGAGCCCGGGTCACAATTGGCGCTGCCCGATCTACCAGAAGAAGTCGACGAGGCGGCGCCGGCGCCGGCACCTATCACTTTTGAGGACGACGGCCTCGAAGCGGACGAGGACGCGCTGGGCGGGCCGTTCGTCATGTCGGACGCCGACAACCACGAAACGCGGTGGCTCGACGACGAGCCGTCCCTGCGGATGAGGGGTATGGCGCGCGACGTCATGCTCGTGGCGCCGCCGCTCATGCACGGCCCCGCGTTAGCCGAAGCCTTTGCGGCGAAACACGGCTACGCGCTCACGACGCCCCTGGCCGCTCTTATGGCCTGCGCGGTCGTACGGTCGGAGCTGGGCGACGAAGTAAGGGCGGCCCTGGGCCTGAAAAGTGCTGTTGTGCCGCCTTCTCCTGCTGAAGAAGGCGTCGAGGAGGCCGACGCCGAGCCGGCCGCCGACGAGGCCGAAGAGCCGGCCGCGGAGGAGCCGGAGCCGGAGCCCGAGCCGGCCGAGGCGGTGCCGGACCCCGAGAAAATTGCAAAGGTCCTCGGGGACGTGCTCGCGTGGCGCGCGACGCGCGCCGACGCGGGCCGCGGTCTCGTCGTCGACGCCTCGGAGCCGGCGGCCGACGCGCCGTCGTTGCAGGCGGTCGCCGCGGCGTGCGTCGCCGGGCTGCCGAACTGCGCCCTGGCGGTCTTGGAGGCGACGAATGAAGAGATCGAAGCGACATTACGAGCGCTGGACGAGGAGTGCGAGCGGTGCCTCGCGGCGCTCGAGGGCGTCGACGACGCGCCGGTGTCGCCCCCCGCTTCTCCCCAGAAGGATTCCGAGGAAGAAGGCCCTCAGCTCGCGCGCGACGCCGCACTGGAGACGGAGGCGAGCCGGCCGCCGGCGCGCGCGCCGGTCGTGCCCGAGGCGCTCGGCGGCCGCGTGCCCGGCGCGTCCGACATCCGCGAGACGGCGGCCGAGGTGCGCCGGCGCATCGCGTCGTGCTTGGTCGATGGAAAGCTCCGCGGGGCGGCCGAGGCGCCCGCCGCCGTCGAGGAGGTGGCGGCGCCGGCCCCGGTCGCCGAAGAGGATCCAGCGGCGGAGGCGGAGGAGCCCGCCGCCGAAGAGCCGGAGGCCGCGGAGCCCGAGGAGCCGGCGGCGCCTCCCGCGGAAGCGGAGGACGCGGCCGCGCCGCACAAGGAGTTCCAGGAAGCACTTGTGAAGGCGCGCGCGGCGTTCAGGGCGGCCGTCGACGCGTTACCGGAGCCGCCGGCGCCCGAAGCCGACGGTGAAGAGGACGCGCCGGCGCCGCCGCCGTCGCTCGCGCCGGAGGAGCGCCTCGTCCAGTTCGGCGTGCTGGAACCTATTATAGTAGAAGCAGCCGTCGAGGAGGCCGCCGCGCCGGCGCCCGCGCCGCTCGAGGCTTCTGATATTACCGCGGCGGTCGTGGAGGCGGCGGACGACTCGACGGTCGCTACGGAAGACCAGCAGCAGCCGAAGGAGGAGGAGCCCGCGCCTCTGGAGCCCATCAACGAGGAGCTCGTCATCGACCTTGACAGTGAAGCGCCGCTGGACAATCTTGTGAATGCGGCACCTCAACCTTTGGAGCCGCTCCCCGAGCCCGGTTACCTCAAAATCCCGGAGCCCGTGACGCAGCAGCTCGTCAGGAGACCTCGAGAACGTCCTTCGAGGGCCCCGCAGACGCAGTTCATCCTCGTGCCCGAGCCGCCGCGGCCCGAGGCCGAACCTACCGATGAAGAGGCCGCTGCCCCGGCGCCCGCACCTTCACCAGAGGACGAAGAGCCGTTGCCGGAGTACGACCCCGAGACTCGAAGCAGGTGGGTCATCCCCGCCCGCGGTTCCGTGAGATTCGCCGTCAAGTTCGATTCCAAGCGCGTGGGACTGACGAACGCTTCACTATGCTTTGAAGTTGTTGGTGCACCCTCATCAGAGGTAGCATTACCTTGTGCTGGTAGCTGTGCCGTGCCCACTCTTAATGCCGATCCAAGAAATGTTTTCATGTCGAGAGTCAAGAACCCGTCCCGACCGCCGAAGCCTCCCGTATCCAAGAGGTTCGTCCTGAGTCAGAACGAGTACGACTTCGGGCCCTTGCTGACCTGGAAGACGGCCTCCATGAAAGACGACGAAGGAGACAAGGTAAAGAGCAATTGTGACATTTTGAGAATGTCGAACAACGGGCCCTTCGCTACGACCATCAACCTGGATTTCGGACGGGAAGACACGGTCTTCTCCGTCGATGAGGAGGTGATGGAACTCGAGCCAGGTGACACGAAAGACTTAGCAGTGTGGGCCTTTCCTTCTGAGGTAGGAGAAGTGAAGGACACGCTCTACGCTTCGGTAGCGCAGAACCCGGAGCCCTACGCGTTCGCGTTGACCTGTACGGGTGTGGAACCTCTGGTCGAGATGGAAGGGCCCTGGTCTGATCAAGACGGTGTTTCGGAAGAGGAATCATCGGTGTTGCTAGACTTCGACCGGTTATTATTAGGTAGAAGTGAAACGAGGGAGTTCGTCCTGAAAAACACGTCGTTGTGTGCCGTCGCGTGGAAGCTTGATTTGTCTCAATTGGAAGAGTTCGACCGGGAGCTGCGCGTGACGCCGACCGAGGGCGTGATGAAGATCCACGGGAGTCAGCGCATCGTGGTGTCGTTTACCGCTGTCGAAGCCATCGAGGTCGCACCTACTATTTTGATCAACTACTCGGACGACGAAGGAGGTTTGGAGGATAGGGTCAAGACGCTGGAACTCCCGGTCAAGGCCGAAGCCTACTTCATCAAGGCCGTGGCCATCGACGAAGAAGGTGATCAGGACGAGAAGGCCAAGCCTGGGGTGCTGGACTTTGGCCAGCAACGAGTTGGGGTGACGGCGCAGCTCGGGTTTTCATTGCGCAACCGAGGCAAGTACGACATTTCCTACTCCTTCGGGTTCAAGCGCGAGGCCTACTCGAACGTATTCAGTGTGTTCCCTGAACAAGGTACACTGGCAGCCGATGCGTCAGAGAGAATTGTCGTGACGTTCTGCGCAGCATCAGAAGTACGATTGCAAGCCAATAAAGATATAATATGCACTATTTCGGAGCCGCACACGGGCGAAGCGGTGGAATCCTTCCCCGTGACCGTGGCGGCGTCGTCCTTATACCCGCGGTTCCGAGTGGGACCGCAGCGGGGTATTGCTTTTGGGTGCTGCCGCTATAACGACGAACCGAGGGAAAGGACCTTCGAGGTGCGGAACGAGGGGTTATTTTCCTTCGCGTTCTGCATTGGTACTCAAGATGAGGAGGCCGAAGGCTTTGCGAAGTTGCTCGGCGCGACGCCGCCGTCGTTGCTCCTTGGGAGTGCTCATGAGGACCAAGCTCGTGAATTAGGCTTGTTGCCACCTGTCGTGGAACCGCCTGCACAAGAGGAAGATGAAGACGACAAGAGCTATAGACAACGGTTGGCTCTTCATGACAAGGAGCAGTCTGTTGAAAGGAGAAACTTCTTCGCCGCGGCGACGTCCGTCGACGACGCCGCACCACCGGACGCCGGTTCCTTGACCACAAAACAGTTCTCTATAACACCATCCGGTGGTGTCGTCGAGCCGGGCCAAACTTTGCCAGTGACCGTGACCTTCACCCCAGAGGGTTTGCAGCACCATCGTGATATACTGAAAATCTTAGTAGCCGGCTGCGATGCTGAGGATAAGTACATCCAGTCAGCTTTGAACTACGAGTTGTTAGCTGAAAGCAGATCTCCTACGATAGACTACGACAACTACTACCAGATCTTCGAGGAGCAGGCCGTCATTGGCGCGCTCGAGGACGACGCGCCCGGCGGCGGCCTGCCCATGAACGCCTGCTTCGCCGTCGCCGAGAAGGTGTTCTCGTTCGGGACTACTACGTTGATGGATGATGGGAAAGGAATAGGAGAAAGATTCAAAATTACGAACACGAGCAAAGTCACTTCCAATGTAAGCTTCTCCATTAATGCTAAAGAAGGAGATGATCCTAGAGCGCAGAATGCTTCCGATTGTTTCGTGGTCCAACCGACGCAGTGGGAGGTGCCGCCGCACGAGCATCGCTATGTTACTGTATATTTTCATGCCCGGGAATTGAGGGAGTACCGAGCGGTGTTCCTGGCGACGGTGGCGGAACAAAGTGAAGATGCCATTGGTGCGTTGGAGTTTGAGCTCGCCGGCAAGGGCACCCTCCCTTCGGTATCTGTCGAGGGTGTCAGTCACGAAGAAACGGGCGAGTGCGTGCCGTTCGGGCGGTTGCAAGTGGGACGTACTAGATCTAGAACGATCACCGTCCGGAATGACGGTGTTCTGGATGCTACGGCATTGATCAACTTTAGTGCAGAAGACAAGCACTTCGTCTGCAAGCATGCGGGTACCTCGGTCTCACTCAAGCCCGGGGCGTCACAAGACGTACCGATACTCTTCCGAGCCCTGCCGCAGAAGGATGGCGACGGCACGGATAGAGATGTGTCAGCGAAATTAGCCATTAAAGTCATAGACAACCGCTACGAGGCGTCCAGCATTGAGTTGCGAGGGGCGACGTTCGAGACGGACCTTTCGATCGAAGACCTGCCGGACGGCGAGGAGGACGACCTGAAATTTGGCAATTTAGCATTGGGCGACGGTCCTACGTCCCTGAGGGCGGAGTTCACGTTGCGGAACGTGCGGTCATCTACTGTTCGTTTTTCATGGCCGGACCACGACAGTGTTACATTTGTGCCCCAAATTGGCCACATCCCGGCGGGCGGCGCTAGGACCGTAGTGGCTTCGTTCAACGCGCCGGAACCGGCTTCGGTGGATGAGGAACTTGTATTACAGACGCAGCAGATCAGCTTCGACGTCAAACAGCCTGAGCCCGAGGAACCTGCTGAAGAGGGTACGGAAGAGGAGCCGCCGGCGTCGCCCTCCAAAGAATCGGTATTAACTATACCGAAATTACCGGACGGCATCTGGTCCGACGACGCGAAGATCGAACGGGAGGCCACGGAGGACGAGATTGCATTGTTAGACGGTGAAGAAACGCCAGAAGGCCTCACGGATGGAGGCACGTCACTAGACGGACGGCGACTCGTACTCGTACAAGTACCGGAACCGGAATATGAGGTAATAAAGGAGCAAACGCAAACGATGAGATGTGTCGCGACGGCCGACAAGCCTTCCTATGCCTGCGAGACTACGTCTCTCCAATTCAACGCCATCCCCATGTACCAATCTTTGAGAGCGACCTTCCAAGTCGAAAATACGAGTACCATCCCGCTACCGTATAAAATGCTCATGACCAATGATGGGAGCCCGATGACCGCGGCGTCGCAAAGGCGACCGCAGACCGGCGGTGCTGTGTATGAGCCCATCCCCTGCCCCTTTGAGATCGAACCGGAGGAAGGCAGCGTGACGCCGTCGTCGTCCCAGACGTTTGTGGTGCACTTCTCACCAATCGAGGTCGACGATTATCAATATGTGTTAGATTGTGTGATGCCGACGCTGACGGCGTCGCCCGGCGAGGAGGAGCCCCAAGCACCAATAAGAATCACGATGCGAGGTCGAGCGACGCGACCGGCCTGTCATATCGACCTTGAGTCGGATTCTGATTACTTGTCGCGACGAGCCCCGAACCTCCTAAATGAGCACGGCCAGAAGGACCAGATCGAGAGTCAGAACGTGCGGATCGTGGAAGTGAAGTCCAAGGGGTTGAGGGTGCAGAACCGGCGACGATTTCTCGTGACGAACCCGACCGCGAGCGCGTACGACTTCCACTGGGAGCCCTGCGGCCAGCCCCACGCGTCGTGGAAGACGCCGACGCCGCGGGGCATGATCTTGGCCGGGAAGCGCGGCGAGATGATCTTTGAATTTACGCCCTCGTCGACAGATACGGCGGAAGCGTTTTATAGGTTTGAGGTGCCCGAGCACGGCATTTCGGAGCTGTTTTTATTTGTGGGCACTGTCTTGGAGCCTCGGGTGGCCTTTGATATTACCAGAGTCGACTTCGGCGCGATCATGCTCGGTAGTCGTTGTACGGAGACCGTGCACTTAGTAAATAGCGAACATTTACCCTTCGCGTTCAATTTTGAGAAGCCCGCGTTAGATGATGAATCCGCCGTCAAAAAAGCGAACAAGGGCCCCACGCTCGAGATCACGCCATTATCTGGCTTGGTGCCGCCGAACGGCCGGGCCGCGGTCGAGCTCAGCTTCCGACCGACGGAAGAGGCGGTCCTCAATGCGAACCTGAACTGTTCTATAAGAAAGAAGAAGATGAAACTCAGCTTGAATGTCAAGGGCGAGGGCTACGCCGTACACTCCAAGTTACTACTGCTGGAAGGCACCGCGGCCGCACGCGCCAGAGAAGAGCAGGAGGGCACCGATGGCGCCGTCCTAGATAGTGGAGCGGGCATCCCGCTGGGTGGCGAGGGCATCACGGACCTCAAGCCGGCGCCTCATATCAATGTCGTCGACTTTGGCTTAGTACACCTGAACCAGTCGGCCTCGAAGATTCTGGCCATCGCGAACACGGGCAAGTTCAACTTCGACTATGTTTTGGATCGGGGCGATTCGCCGAACCCGATGCTCGTGATGACCGGGGCGCGACAGGCTGGGGCTGTTCGGAAAAATGGCCGCGTGCAGGCTTCTCTCACGTTCCATCCGGTGACACCTTGTCAGCTAGATGGTGGGGTGTATACGGTCTCCATAGCGGGCAAGTACGAATACATCCTCAAGTTGGCTGGGACCGGTGCGGCTCCGAACCTGCGGTTCTCGTTCCTCGAGCACGACTTCGCGAGCTGCTTTACGGTGACGCCCGGTCAACCACCTCATAAAGAGACCGTTGTGTTGCGTGTCAGCAACCAGGACCCTAGTCAAAACTTATCCTTGGATTGCACGCTACCGCGAAACAAGATTTTACAGGTAGAATGTGGTCCTCGAGTATTAGCGCCGGGCGAGCACGTCGAGGTCCCGATCCACTTCACGCCTCGAGAGATTCAGGACTACGCCTTCCAGGTGCCCTTTTTAGTGAATGGCGTGTCGACGGTGCATGTTAAAGTAGAAGGAAAGGGCGTCGCCGCGCGCTTGGAGTTAGTACAACCGCAGCAGGCGGACTGCTCGTTCGGACGGGTGCGGGAGGGTGAAGACGTGACCAAGCACATCCAAGTGGTGAATCGAAGTGCTAGACCGCTAGACTTTGAATTACTGGATGAGGGCGGTGTCTTAGCGGCGCACGACGTCTCCGTGAACCCGAGGCGCGTTGCTGGCTTGAAGCCGAAACAAGTTCAGAGCATCGAAGTGAGGTTCGCGCCGCAGAAGCGGAACCGGGACTTCGACCATCCTCTCGTGCTGTCGTACGCCGGTGGTCTGAGGCCCTTGGCCAAGGTTTCGGGCCGAGCCACGGGCATGGACGTCGTCCTGTCGACGGATACGTTAGCTTTTGGAGCGGTCTGCGAAGGCTCAAGAAGAACGCGAAAGTTGATGTTAGAGAACGCGGGCGACATCGCGACGCGGTTCCAGTGGAATCAGCGCACGATCGGCGACTTGTTTACCGTTTCACCGTTGGAGGGTGCTCTACGGCCGGAGACGGAAATTGCGTTTGACGTGACCTTCTCCCCCAAAGCGGTGAACAATGACGTACGAATCGACGGCATGCAGTTGTTCGTGGAAGGCGCGGCTCCGCTACGGTTGTCCTGCGTCGGGGCTTGCGTGCCACAACCGGACGAGTCCAAGCAGACCGTCTCCTTTGAAAGTGTTGCGAGAAAAGAGTGCATCGAGCAGGTGTCGATCAAGAACCCGACGCAGAAGCCGATCTTCGTGGCGCCGACGCTCAAGCATTCCGAGTTGCTCGAGCACTTCCGCGCGCCGGCCGAAGTCAGTATTCCTGCGGGCGGCGAGGCGTCTGTGGACGTCCAGTACTTCCCGCTGACCATGACGTCGGAGGAGGGGTATCACTCCGCGGAGCTGTTTGTTGCGTTGCCGGATGGTTCTGCAGTGTTATATAATTTGCAAGGTAAAGCTGGTCCGCCCGAGACGCTTGTCATTGACCCGTTGACCACACCTGCCAAGGCCTCTCTACCCATCACTCTACCAGTCCAGAACTGGCTCTCGACCCCACAACACCTGGACGTCGCGTTCGAGTTGGGCGAAGGTTCGGATGATTCGACCTTCCTCGAAGGCACCTCGACGTTCGACGTCGCGGGCGCGGAGACGCGGAACTATGTCCTGCGCTTCTACTCTTATAAAGTAGGAACGGTCACGGCCACGGCGACCTTCACGAATCCTGGGTCAGGAGAATATATTACGTATGAACTTAGTGTGGAAGTCACAGAAGCGGGCGTCGTGCAGACGTACAATCTCGAGGCTCCGATCAGGCAAACAGCTAGACGATTGATCACCATCGACAACCCGCTGCCGGCGGACGCGCCGGTCACGTTCCCGGACACCTGGTGGTCGTGCGACGACCCGCACGTTCGGTTGTCTCGGGTTGGTAGTATGCAAGGTTCACCAGAAGGTGTCTTTGAGTTGGAGTTTAGGCCGTTAGTACCACATGAAAAGAAGGACACTGAATTAGTATTCAGCATTGATGAACTGGGCGAGTTCAAGTACAAACTTACATTAGGTGCGACGGAGCCGCCGGCGATCCCTCAACTACGATTTGAGGCGCCGTTGGGTGGGGCGCAGGTCGAGACGTTCCGATTTAGGGCGTATCCCGCGGCTGGAGCGTCGGGCAAGTTCTCGTGTTCGGTCCAGAACGCGCAGTTCTTCGAGGTGAGTGGCGACTGCGGCACGACGGGTTCTGACGACTGGGAGGGCGAGATGGTCGAGGTCCAAGTCAAGTTCGAGCCGGAGGCGCTTGGTGCGATCAGTGATACGTTGGTGATTGATGGTGGCCCACAAGGAGAGTACAAGTGCCTCCTCAAGGGCGTCTGTCGCCGGCCCGAGCCGCGCGGGCCCTTCACGGTGGAGCAGGGCTCGAGCGCCACGGTGGAGTTTAGAAACGTCTTCGGCGATACGCGGGAGTTCTCCTTCGCCGTCGACCACCCCGACTTTTCTGTTGGTGCCGCGAAGGCGTCGGTCAACGCGCGGTCGCCCACAACATGCGCGGTGTCGTTCAACCCGCAGCCGCCGCCCGAGGATTCGACGGAGCCGCTGCAGCCCGTCGTGTCCGGCCGTTTATTGGTGGACGTCGAGCACAACGGCGAGAAGATCACGTGGGTCTTCTACCTGAAGGGCCTGCGGAAAGACTGAACTATTGGAGGCCCCAAGACTCCTAGCTAGTTCGAATAAGTCAATCATTAGTGAACTTACACATCATATATCGAAAACGTCGCTCGTCCCCACGTCGCCGAGCGGAGAGCTGACCTTCGGTGCCGACGCCAAATTGCCGGGTGACTTCTCTGTCACGTTGTCTTCATCGCAGCATCGCTGGGCTCGGAAGGCGAACGTCAGGAGCTTGCGGAACCTCACGCGGCTCTCGGCGAGGCCCCGCATATTTATCAAGTCCGACTCGTGTTCTGGAAGAGGGCTCTGGTACGGCGCATCCTCCTCTCCGTTCAAAAGCCGCGCGTTGGCGCCGGCTTCGATCAGCCGCTCGGCACAACGGCATCGCTTGGCTAGGGGCGCCTTAGTTGAATTCGCAGCGACGTGGAGCGGAGTCCCCCCAATGTAACCCAAATAATTTCGTTCAATCCAATTCTGTGGATTCAGGTCCGCCCCCGCGGCAATCAAGGCGTTTACAGCATTCAAATTCCCCCACATCGCCGCGATGTGGAGGGCCGTCTGACCAAAACCGCCCGCATAGTCTACATCTACAGGTTCGGGAAACATCTGACGGTCTGCATCCCAATCTCCGGAAACAAGTCTTTGGATAGCCGGGGCGTCGTCGCGCTGTGCCGCCTGGTGTAGACGAATTGCAAGTGGATTTTGCGTCTCCATACGACCCAATCGGGTTCTATAGCGCCGCACCGTTTCCCTCCACGAAGGATCCACGCGTCGCAGCCCATGGCGGCCCGCGATCGCTTGGAAGATCGGCTCCGCCGTACTGCACCAATCCTTCGACACGCGCAGAGCGGCGGCGACGTCGCGCGTCGGTAACCAAGCGATTATTAGCTGCGGCGGGAGGCACGACGGCATAGGAGCGCCGGGAGCCATGACTCGGGTCAAAAGCCGACCTGGGCGGCGTGGCGCGCTGGCACAGGTGCAAGGAATCGACTGCTGTCGCTTCGCACGATCGTCTGCCGACTCCTGCGTCCCTCTAAACTATCTCTGTGGTACGCTAAGGCAGCCAAAGCGCCGCGCCGAGGTTCGAGGGCTAGCGTCTGTAAGGCACTAGCAAGAGGCCCGAACCGCTTCGACAACTGCCGCGTTTCTCCGCGCACGAGGCTGCCTCCGCGGCTGCTGCGCGCGTGCAATACGCCGCCGCGGCGCCGCCGAAGCGGTCTGGCCGAAGGTTGCTCGCCGCCGCCATCCCATGATGATGGGGCTGCCGAGCCACCTCGTCCTAATCGCAGTTGCCGTGGCCGCACCAGAAACCACGGTCCACGAACAGATACGAAGCGCCCTCGCTACCGGCGAGGCCGCATTGCAAGCTTCTAGGTGGCGGGCCTCGTCCGACGCGTACGAGCGCGCGCTTCACCTCATGAAGCATCATAAGCTGCAGATAAACGTCGCCGCCGAAAGTCAATTGACGAACAACGTGGCCTGGGCGGCTTTCAAGCTAGGTGATCATGAAAGAGCCTTGCGGCACTACGAGGCGTCGGCGCGGTCCTGCGATAGTGCGTTGCGGGAGGGCTTCAATGAGTGCCTCAACAAGGTGTACGATAACTTGCACGAATTGGTGCATCGCACTTTACGGAGGCGAGGTTTAGCTATTGACTACTTGCGTGAAGGTTTAGCTTCGGCGAAAAGGGCTATCGACGAGCGCGGGCTGGACGAGGCGGCCTTGCTGAACCTAGATGGCAACGTTCGGGTGCGCCTCGGATACTTGTTAGTGCTACATGGTGAGTTAAATGAGGCTGAAAGTACATTGGGGCCTTTATTAAGGCACGCCCTCACGAACACCACCGGAAGCAGCGAGCACGGCCTCTTTACGGGTCCCAATGTGGAGAAGCGGGCTTTATTACAAGAAGCCGCGACCTACGTCGGATGGAGTCGAGCCTTTCGGCGGGACTGGACGGGCGCGTCGGACGCACACGCCGTCGGGGCGGCCCTAGCGTTACCTAGAGACGCATCAGGATGCACTTTGCCGCGTTGGCGCGTCCAGGACGGCTGGCTCACGCCAGAAAGGTCGTGGACAGTCCATCCTTTAGCGGTGAAGGCGCCTATATTAAGATTTGGGAACGTCGTGGCCCCGATCTGTGCGGTACGAAGGCGCTTCGGCGCGAAAGATAGACCAGGAGCGGGCCCCGGCTGGTGCGGCGCGTCCGAGCCGAGTTTATCTCCCGGACTGGCAAGGTTGGTGGAGATCCCCAACGCGTTTCTGGGAGGCAAGGACGGCTCGGCCCTCTGGCAGCGCGCGCCGCACTGCGTGTTTTTTGCGGGCGAAGTTACCAGTAGTGGAGCGCCGCCGCCGGACTGGGGCGACGCCGCGGCGAATTCTGGGTTGACCGATAAAGACGTCGTGCTCCAGTCCGAGCCCGAGGACACGATAACAATCGAGTCGGCGTTGTTGCTGTTTGACGCGAGGGAAGGGCACAAGATGTTCTGGCACCATCAAACAGAAAGCGTGTCTCGGTTAGCCCTGGCGCTCTGCCGCCTCTTCGATCGCGACGGGAAGGCCGCTTCGGACCTACCGGAGCAGACGCGGAACATGTTGAGTCGCGCGGTCATACTGTTCCCCCAGGCCCTGACGGCGACGATCACCGCGCTTTTGCAGCGGGGCCACGCCACCACCAAGGCTCTGGAGCGACAACGTAGACTAAGGGCCTACGACTGGTCCGCCGGCCGCGTGTACTCCATAAGAGCGGCGTTCGTGCTCGACTGGCCGCCGGCGGCCTTCGCCGGCACGGCCGACGCGCCTGGCGGGCCGCCCTCGGGCGGCGCGCCGCGCTGGGAGCCGCGTTCTCGAAGGAATGAGGAGAACTGGATCGCGGAATTAGCGTCCAAAGCCGCGGCGCCCTACGGGCGACGGTACAAGGAGTCATTATTTAGATTGCACTTCGTGCCGCCCGGTATCTTAAGGACCCAAGCGGCGTTTCTGCGGAGGGCCTTCCCGCCGGACCGGGACGCGAAGCCGACGGTGCTCTGGTATTCGAGGCGGGACTGCGACAAGCGCCACGTGAAATCCGAGGACGAGGTCATCGACGCCCTACGGACGCGGTTCAAGGGCCGGTTGGACGTCGTGAGCTGGGCGGGCGGCGCGACGCCGGACGCTAAAAGGGCGGCAGCAGCGTGGTCGCGGGCGGCGCTGGTCGTCGGGCCGCACGGTGCTGGTTTAGCCAACATGGTGCACTGCGCGCCGGGGACCGTGGTCTTGGTATTACCGGCGGGCGACGCGGCGGGCGCGCCGTCGGCGTCGGACGAGGTCTTCGCTCATCTAGCGGTGGCGCTGGGTTTAGATCTGCGCTTCTTCCGGATGGCCGAGCCGCCGCTCATGTTCCACAACTACTCGAAGTTCGACCAAAGCGCGGTGCGCGCGGTCGCGAACGAGGCCTGGGGCGCGCTCTTCCCCGACGAGCCGCCGCCTCCTTTATCGCCGTACGGCGACGAGGACGACGACGTCGAGGTCGTGTCGGAAGTCGTGGCCTAAGTAATTCATTTGTCTTTTATTCAGTCGCGCGCCAGTAGCTGAGGACGGTCCAGACGATGCCGTTGTCGCCCTGCTTGGCGAGGAAGGCGACGGCCGCCTTCCATTTCTGAGCCCCGCGCGTGCGACGCGTCCCCTTCGGCGCGAGGTAACCCCGCATCGCGAGGCTGCGGCAGGCAAGGACGTCTCGATGCGGCGCTCTCATGTAGCGTTTGTACGACCCGTGTTTTCGCACATTGTCTATGAGAGCTTTAACAGCGAGGAAGTTATCGGCGAGCCGATTTACATTTTCCTGCTCAGGCTCGGAGGGCACTGCAGAGGAGGTTCGGTCCGCTCGGAATCCATTCACTAATATGTCCTCGGCCGACCTTCCACTTCTGCACTCGTCTAACGACGCCCCTCCTTTCAAAAGTAACGTCACAACGTCCAGCCAATGGTCCGTCCCTCGCTGAGCATTGAAGTCGTTAAGGCCAATCGCGAGCGGCGTATCGCCGTCTTGATTTCTGGCGTTTACGTTCGCCCCTGCGGCCAATAGAAGTGAAACCATGGACGACGCTGCACAATCTGTGCGAATATTGCCACAGGCATGGTGTAACGGGGACCACCCAACGCCGTCGTAGGGGCATATATTAACGTTTGCTCCACGAGACACGAGATGGCGCGCCAAAGCCAACTGCTCGTCTCCAACCATAAAGAGGGGTCCAGGTCCATACGCGCAGCAATTTACAAGCGTGAAGCCGTCGTCGTCCCGCGCGTCGACGGAGCCGCCCGCGTCGAGCCACGCGCAGACCTGACTCATTTCGCCATCCTGAGCCGCGTCACCAATCTCTTTTGGGAGCACTGATTGAGCCATAATTGACGCTCGTATCGCGGAGCCTTGGGGGGCCGACTGTGGATGAATTAAATAATTCAATTGGGCCTCCTGGTGGTGCGCTGCCAGAGTGACGCCGTGACGCCACAGCGAGATTCGTGCGTCACAGACACCTTTTTTGACGACACTTCTTGCGCATTTACAAGGCGCGGCTCCAGCAGACTCCGCCCGGCAAGGCGTGAGCTCCGAGGGCCAAAACAGGTTTTGATGCGGCGCCGCGCGTGGGCTTTTTGTAGACGTTCCCGGGGACTCACGGCCACACCGCGAGTACGTATATCTCAAACTTTTGTCGGATGAACCCTGAGTCCCTCAATTAGACTTAGTAGACCATAACCAATCAGTGGTCCACATTACGCCGCCGCGGTGATCCCCTTGGAGCGTTTCTCTGCGTACGCAGCTTCGCCGCAAGGGATAGTCTAGCGTCCGTGACCGCTTAACTACTCTCTCGCGATAGAGGCAATGATGACGTCTCGGCGACGCCGGAGCGCGGCGCTCACCCTCGCGGCCGCGGTCGCGGGCGCGGCCCTGATTCTCGTAGCGTCTCTCCGGCGCGCCGAGGACACGCGCGACGGCATATATCTTGCGAACACTGAACAAATGCCCGACGGCCCGTTTTGTTGTATGATGCCAAAATTCGGCAACGACGACTACTCGTCGGGGCCCGACGAGTGCGCCTGCGCGCCCGTCTTCGCCGTGACGAACGCGACGGGCCCCTACAACTACTGCGCGCAGTCGGACGAAAACTGCGCCGACTGCGGCTATACCTGGTGCCCCGGGAAGAAGCACGTCGAGGACCTCGCGCCTACCACGAACGGCGACGACGTCTCGCTGGTCGGCGGCGGCGGCGGCGGTGGTGGGGGAGGGGGCGACCTCGAATATCACGGGCCACTGCCGCACGTCAAGCTACCGATCGTGAAACTGCCGCCGCTCGCGATCACGTCGACGGTCACGACGGGGGGCGCGGCGCCCGCGTCAGAGCCGACGGCACCAACCGTCACGGTCGCGCTGCCTACGCCCGTCGCGCCAGAAGTGCCGCCCGCGCCAACTGAAGAGCCGGCTACGCCTGCGTCGGAGCCCGCGACCGCACCTGAGCCTCGACCTACGCCCGTCGCGCAAGAACCGGCTCCGGCCCGCGAAGAGCCGGCCACGCCTGCGTCGGAGCCCGCGGCCGAGCCTGCGCCTGGACCCACGCCTGGGGCGGCGAATAGTACGGAAGAGACAGACACGCCTCCGTAAGAATCACATCAACAAATTATATACTGCCCCTTCACGAATCGCCTGCCTAGCTCTCGCGACGGCACGGGAATGCCCTTTTCGCGCGCGTCGCGCACGCGATCATCTAATTGACGCGCCCAGTGTTCCACGTGGATCTTCTGGATGGGATCCGGCTGGTTCCACGCGGCGGCCCGCGCGCCTTCGTCCTCGATGTAATCGTTCCATTTTTTCCGCACCGACGCTCGAGCTTTCTGGTCCATGAACCGCAGCTTGCGCTTGTTCTCGCGCACCGCCCGATGGACGAACGCCGCGTCGTCTTGGAGTTCCGGACCAGCGAATTGCAGCGCGTCGATGTGTTCCCGACACGCATACAACACAAGAATCTTGTCCCGCTTCAGCTTCGCCGACGCAAATTCTAAAGCACCGCCGTGCGAGCGCACGGCCAGCAACACGACGTCGCGGTCTCGCCTCAACGAATAGTCGACAAACTCCAGTGCTAAACCATTACTACCAACTGCAGTCATCACGATCTCCCGATCTCGATTCAATTTTTCTTGATTATCAGGATCCGCGAACTGCAGCGCCATGCCGTTCTGCTTCACGGCCGCCAAGACGATGCCTCGGTCCCTTCTAATCAATTTGTTCTGCAGCTTCAGGGCCATGCCGTCCTGCTGCACCGCGGCCAGCGCCAGCCCGTGGCGCTTCAGGCGCTCCATGCGGTACCAGAGCGCCGGCTTCTCGCAGCGCTCCATCATGCTCATCGTCTTCGCCGACGGTTTGCCGGCCGCGAGGCTCCCGTCCTTTTTTGCCGCCTGCGCGATGCCCACGAGCTTGGAGAGCTGCATGTGGAACATGGTTGTTGTCGTCACCGTTGGTGCGCGATGGGCTGCCCTTCGCGGGCGTCGCCGCGTCACCGTTCTTCGCGGTGGTGCCCACCGAGTGGCGCCGGCGCGGCGCTCTGCAACGCAGATCGCAGCGCTCGAGTCGACTTGCGGCTTGCAGCTCTCCGAGCCGTGGGACCCCATTCACGCGGTCTATACGCCGCCCGACCACTCCCGCCGGGACACGTGGGGGGAGGGAACCCGCACTTTTCTCACTCATCATGATGATTTGACACTGGGCGCTCTCGCGCGGGGGGCAGCCCGTTCGCGACCCGGGATGGGCCGGGGATGGGCGCACGAATGACTTCTCAATAGGTAGCAACGAATGGGCACCGCTCGGTAGCGATGCGCGCCGCGGGGCTGCTGCTGCTCCTCGTGCTGCCGGCGTGCTCCGTTGCCCAGGCGTCGAACGCTGCGCGAGTCGGGGTCGTCCTGGGCGCGCTGGGCCGCCAGGCGCGCGGGCAGGAGTGGATTACGAGGTGGGCCGACGATGCGGACTGTATCGTCGACGAAAGTTCGGAGGCCGAGGGCGGCGGGCTGCGCCAGCTCGACGTGCTCTGCGTGGACGACGACGTCGTCCTCGCGGACGACGCGTGCGACGCCGACGACAAGCCGGCCGGCACCTGGGAGTGCCTCGCCACGACCGTCGTCGTCGATCCTGTAGAAGGGAACGACCTCAACGACGGCACGGCGGAGTCTCCACTGAGGACGCTGCGGGCCTGCATAACACGCTTCGGCGAGGACCACTCGGCGACGAGGAAGCTGCCGGACGACGATTATACGCAACTCGTGTGCGCGCTGCGCGACGGCGTCTACCGGGACGAGGCGTCGACGCCGCTGGACGGCGTCGACCACTTATTGGTCAAGCCTTTGAATGATGGCGGCGTCGTGGTCTTCGACGGCACGGATCCGCTGTGGGGTTTAACCTGGACGAAGCACGCGACGCTGGAGACGGTGGTTATTGCAGAGGCACCCTTCACGAGACGTCCGGAGGTCATCGTGGGCGGGAGCGGCCTCATGTGCGCGAATGAGAGCGCGATTGTGGACGGGAACCACGACCCGAAGGCCGGCTACGGCACTATGAGTCCGCCTTGTTTTTACTGGGCGCCCGACGAGGCCTGGGTCGCTGGTGAAACGGCCTTTGGTTTGGAGGACGCCGTCGCCTTTTACGAACGGGGCGAAGCTGTCGATGTCGAAGGGCTCAATCTCCCGTGGTTCTGGGTCGACGAGCGACTTCACCAGATCCATGTGGACCTGGCCCGGGCGCCGCCGGAGGCGGCCGGCCACGAGGGCATTCTGGTGCGCGTCAAGAACGCGAGCCGCCAGGACGCATTTAGTATAGGCAACGCATCCCATAGAATTCATGTCAGGGACATGCTCTTCTACGGCACGAGTTGCTGCGGCGACGGACCGACGTCAGAAATGGACTCGGCCGACCTGCGGATCACGCGGTCTAGATTCTTGTATGCCCCGTCAACGGGCATCCGCCTCAAGACGACGCGGCGCACCTCGCGGGGCGGCACGCCCTACGTCAATTTCGAAAACAACACGGCCGAGTTCGGCGAGGCAGCCCTGTTCTACAAGGGCACCGGCTCCAGACTTATCGGAAATTACTTCGCCTTCAACAGCTTCGAGGCGCGGAGCCCCTACACGCTCGACAACCAGGCCCAGCGGACTGTGGTCGCGTACAACACTTTATTATACAACGGCGACAAGGCGGGGCATTTCAGCTGGGCGCGGGGCCACCACTGCCACCACAACTTAGTTATTGCCCAGGATTTTTTGGGGCCGCGCTTCGATGCTGCGGTCTTCCACGCGCTGACCGGTGCCCAAGAAGGGCTCGTGGTGGAGTACAACTGGGTCCTCGGGCCGTCTCTCGTCTCGTTCACGCGCCTGGACACGGCCTCGAAGACGACGCCCGACGAGGCGGGGAGCCACGCCATTATTAGAAGGAACGTGCACCTCGGCCTCGGCATCACGACCAAGGGCTACAACCACACCGTCGAGCACAACACGGGCTCGCGGTTCCTGGCCGTCGAGTCCTGGAAGCTCGTGACGAGCTGTGTGGAAATCAACCAGTGCGTCGGGTGCTCATTTCTCGGCAATGACGCGGCTGACCTGGCTCGGTCGAGCGGCGAGGAACCGGCATCGCCACGCCATCGAGCAGGCGTCGCGTCGATGGCGTGGAGGACGACGCGATGATTCAGCACGAACGCGCCGTAAAATTTGATTTCCACACAGGTGACAAACAACAACTACGCGTCCGTGGCGCGCTACAACGCGCATACCGAGGTGGCAGCGAGGGCGTCGACGCGGCCCTTCGGCGCGATCCCGGGCCTGGCGTCGCTTAATGCATGCGGGGACTTGCGGGTGTGCAACTACCAGAACTTGACCGCCGAGCACTTCCTCGCGCGGCAGCTCCGACCCCTCGAGGACGGCGTCATGGCCGAGCTCATCAACGCGAACTGGCCGGCGCTCGACACGTCGGGCACGGGCGAGGGGACCATCTACGCGCCCGGCATTAGCGACGAGCGCCGGCGGCTGACTTCGGTGGAGTGGCCAGCCCGCGACACGTCGGGCAGCCCTCTTCATCGAGGACGACGCCGGATTTCCACAAACTGCACGTCGTGCGCGCCGGCGACGCCTTCGCCGAGCGCTACTCCTACGCCCGAGCCGACGCCTGCTCCGTCGCTCGAGCCGACGCCCGGACCCTCGCCGGCGCCCACGCCGGAGCCCTCAGCGAAGCCCACGCCCCGGCCGACGCCGCGGCCGTCGCCGGAGCCTACCGTCGAACCGAGCGCTCGTCCTACACCTGAGCCGACGCCGCGGCCGTCTCACGACCCCACGCTGGAGCCCACACCGGCCCCGACAGTTCGACCCACGCCTGCTCCGACGACTACGCCTGGCCATCCGACGGCGGCTCCGGTCTTCAGCCCGACGCCGCGGCCTTCCCCGGTCCCAACGCCGAAACCGACGCCTGTGCCGACGCCGGCTCCGAGCCCGGCGCCGACGCCCGTGCCGACGCCTCGGCCGTCCGAGGAGCCCACGCCGGCCCCGTCGCACAAACCGACGCCGTTGCCCACGCATAAGCCGACGCCCCAGCCGTCGCCGGCGCCGACGCCGCTGCCGACGGAGACGCCGACGCCGCTGCCGACCGACTGGAACGAAGCCGGCGTGACGGACGGCGTCGCGTTACTGGGCCTCTTCGAGCCGCGCGAAATCGGGACGCCTACGGCTGAGGACATGGACTTTCGCCCGAAGCCCGACGGCCGGCTCGTGTGGGACTGTGACGATGACTGCGACGGCGACGGGAGCACTTATAACTACATCGACAAGGCGCCGAAGTGGACGACGTGGGACTCGTACGCGGGCGCCTACGCGCCGGACGACGAGCTGTGGGTGCCGGGCTGCCACGACTGCGTCAAGGGCGGCCGATACGCCGGCGACGCGTTCCCCTACTCCGCGCCGCTGGGCCCGTCGCCGATGCCGACGATGGTGCCCACGTCGGTGCCGACGTCCATGCCGACGACGTCGTCGCCGACCAACGTGCCTTCCACAGCAGTGCCGTCTCCCGGACCTTCGTTCAGGCCGACGCCAAAGCCTTCGGCTCGGCCGACGCCGGTTCCCTCCGTGGAACCTACGCCCTCGCCGACGCCGGCGCCGACGCCTCGCCCCTCTAATCTGCCGACGTCCGAGCCGAGCGCTCGACCGACGCCGCTGCCTAGTCCCCAGCCAACGCCGGAGCCGTCGCCAGCGCCAGCTCCGGCGCCAACGCTGAGGCCGACGCCCGCACCCACGGCTACGCCTGGAAATCCGACTGCGGCGCCTGTATTTGCGCCCACGCCGCGCCCTTCCCCGGTGCCGACGCCGCGACCCACCCCGGAGCCGTCAGGGGCACCGTCGCCGGCGCCGACGCCTGTACCGTTGTCGCGGCGTCCGAAGCACATTTGCGTCGTCGGGTCAGCGCATTCGCGTCGTCGGGTCAGCACATTCGCGTCGTCGGGGCGCGAGCGTCATCCCACCGCAGGACGCCGCGACCGACGCCAGCGCCGACGTCTATGCCGTCGCGAGAACCGACGCCGGTACCGGTGCCCCAGCCCTCGCCCGAGCCGTCGCCAGCCCCGAGCCACAAGCCGACGCCAGACCCGACGCCGAAGCCCTCAAGAGAGCCCACGCCCTTGCCATCGCCGGTGCCGACAACCGCGCCGACGATGGAACCGACGCTGCACCCTAGTGCCGTGCCCAGCCCAGCACCGACGAACGAGTTCCCCGTGTGCGGCGTGCGGATCACCTTGGGCCGCGACCAAGATCCGAACGACTTCCAGTGCGTGACGGATCCCTCGGCGACGGAGCACGACGGCAAGAAGATCGCCTTCGCGTGCTGCGGCGCCGATACCTGCTCGCGGAAGGACGAAGACGGCGAGTGCTACGCGGGCCACCTGTCCGACCTGGCTAACTTTGCGCCGAAAACCTGGTACGAGGCCACGAACGTGTGTGCGGCCGAGGGCAAGGTCCTCTGTGGCGTCGAGGAGCCTTGTAAGGGCTCGGGCTGCAGATACGACTTCAACTACCAGTGGACGGGCGAGGAGTGCCAGGACGGCGACGCGGGCCTGCCGGAACACTGCTGGCCCGATCCTTCGCCGATGCCTACGGCCGAGCCCTCTGCACGACCTACGCCGCTGCCCAGTCCCCGGCCAACGCCGGAGCCGTCGCCCGATCCTACGCATCGGCCAACGCCGCTGCCTACTCGGCGGCCGACGCCGGTGCCGTCGCTCGATCCTACGGCACGACCGACGCCGCTGCCCAGTCCGCGCCCGACGCCAGCGCCGACGCTAGCGCCTACTCCTGCTCCGACGCCTGAGCCGTCGCCGTGGCCAACTCCCGAAGCTGGCAACCCGACGGCGGCTCCCGTCTTTGCGCCGACCCCGAAACCGACGTCGATGCCGACGCCGCGGCCGACGCCTGTGCCGACGTCCTCACCGTCGGCCAGGCCTACACCGATCCCGACGCCGCGGCCCACCGGGGAGCCGTCGCCCGCGCCGTCGGCCAAGCCTACGCCACAGCCGACGCCGCGGCCGAGCCCCGCGCCGAGCCCGCGTCCGACCGGCCCCCCGTTCAATCCGAGCGCCGTACCGACGCCCGCGCCGACGGCCGAGCCGACCTACGCGGTGATCTCCGGCTCCGCCACGTTCTCGGGCATCTCGTACGACGACGCGAACGGAGCCTCGGCCAGGGCCGTCTTTCGGGACGGGCTCAGTCGCCTGTCGGCCGCGATCACCGACGACCGCGTGGCTCTCACGCGCGTGGCGGCGTCGGCGCGCCGGCGCCTCGCGGACGGCGTCGCGATCGACTTCGAGATTAGCGTGACGCCCGCCGAGAGGGCCGCCGTCGAGGGCGACCTGCGCGCGGCCATGGACGACCCGAGCCTCCTCGACGCGGCCCTCCGGGCGGCCGCGGCGGCGAGCGCCGATCCCACGATGGTGGGACTATTTGCCACCATCAAGACGGAGAGCTTTGGCGTCGACCTCGCGCCGCCGACGGCCGCGCCGACGCGCGCGCCGCCGTCGAAGAAGAAGGCGGCGGACGAGATGCCGGTGCGCGACGTCATCCTTCTCCTCTGCTTTATCTTTCTGCTGCTCTGCGCCTGCGCCGCGGCGAACATCCTCTTGATCAAGCGGAAGCGCCTCGAGTCGTGGAAGGACACGACCGTGCCGCCGCTGACGCCGTCCTCGCCCTCGCCGCTGTTCCCGCGCGTGCGCCAGGACGACGACGACGACGAGAGCGACGCTTCGGACGGCGAAGAATCTCTCCCCGAAGAACCTATAACGCCGAGCGTGCAGACGCCGCTCGTCGATCACCTCACCGGCGTCGAGACGGTCGACGTCCGGCCACCCGTCGAGACGGTCGACGTCACGGCCGTCGATATGGGATGCGACGATGTTTTAACCGAACCCCAGCGCCGCTGGCAGCTGTTGCGGGACGAGTTCCTGAGCTTCGACGAACGCCGGAACGTCGTGCGGTCCGACACGGTCGACGACTACGACTACCCGGTGTGTGGCTGCGTGAGTCCTCCGGCGATCGAGAATCCGCGGGCCGCTCTCCGCGGTGCCGGCGCGTCGATGTGGAACCTGCTCTCGCCTCCGGCTGCCCCCGACGCGGCGAGGCCGGCACTCGGCCAGCGTGCTCGGTCCATGTGGGGCCTCAGGATGTCGCCGCCGGCCACCGACGCGGCGCGGCCGGCACTACGGGGCCGGCCGTCCCTGTGGAACATGTTCTCACCACCGCGCGCCGCCGACGCGGACGCGGCTGAGGAGGACGCGTTGTTCAGTTACGACGTTACGTAGTACATAAGTATACATATTTTAAGCTAGCAATATCCTGTGCCCGCACGCGTGCGCGTGGCGCAATAAAAACGGGTTTTTCAAGCCGAGTCAAGCCGCCGCGCAAGCCAATAACGCACCGCAAAACGCAAGATGATCCTCACAACATGCGCCGCCTGCGCCGCCCCACTGGCCCACAACGCGCCGCGATGCGTTAGATGTAAATTGAGGTACTGCAACGCCACTTGCCAGCATGACCACTGGCGCCGCGGCCACAAGCAGATGTGTAAGAAAATACACCGCGGCGGCAACGCAGAACAGTATAATGCAGACAAGAAATACAAGGAGGCCGTCGCGGAGGCCGTCGAGGCGTGCGCGGACGACACCAAGGGCCAGACGTGCTACATCTGCACGCAGGCCCTCCATTGGAAAACGAAGGAGGGCCTCGTGCGCATGTGCGCGTGCCGCGGGACGGCGGGATTCGCGCACGTGTCGTGCTTGGCGGAGCAGGCGAAGATTTTGATGGACGAGGCCGAGGCGAACAATTTGGACTGGGACGCGAGGAATGCGAGATTCTGGCGATGGCACGCGTGCGGCCTGTGCGAGCAACAATACCATGGCCTCGTGTACTGCGCGCTCGGGTGGGGGTGCTGGAAGACGTACTTAGGGCGGCCGGAGACGGACCAGATTCGGAGCATGGCGATGAACCAGCTTGGGAACGGTTTACTCGAAGCAGACCACCACGAGGACGCGTGCTCCGTGCAAGAGGCTCAGTTATCGACGCTGCGGCACTTTACCGATACAGAGATGTCAGAGAACAACATTCTCGCCATGCAGAACAATCTTGCGGCCACGTATGGAAATCTGGGACGGTACGAAGATGCCTTGCGGATGCAACGAGACGTACACTCCGGACGGTTGAAGCTGTTGGGCGCGGAACATAACCGTACCATGTCGGCAGCCACCAACTACGCAATGACACTAAAACGTCTAGGACACTTCGAAGAAGCTAGGTCAGTGCTCCGCAAAACGATTCCCGTGGCGCGGCGCGTTCTCGGGGAGTCGCATATCTTCACGCTCCAGATGAAGTCAGTCTACGCGGAGGCGCTCTGCGCGGACCACAGCGCCACGCTCGACGATCTCCGCGAGGGTGTGACGACGCTCGAGGAGACAGAACCGACGGCGCGGCGCGTACTCGGCGGCGCACACCCGCTGGTAGGGACGATTGAGAGTGACTTGCGAAACGCGAAAGCCTTGCTCCGCGCACGCGCGGGGAGCGCCTAAAAACCAAGAGCATTACACGCCTAGTACGCGTCCCAGACGACGACGGGCTGGTACGCCTCACTCACACCATCCTCGGGATGACCCAAAGCGTGCTGCACGTAGCGCACGCCGTCCAAAACGCAGTCGACGTCGATGTGCGAGTGCCCAAAGACGTGGACCGAGGAACAGAGGCGCTGGATCTGATCTTCCAACCGGGCGTCGCCCATGACCTTGCCTAGGCTCCGGCAGCCGCCCGCGCCCTCGAAGAGAGACGATCGAGGTAGAAAGTGCGAGAACGAGAGCACGACGGCGTTTTCTAACTGTCTCACAGAGCGCACGGAGGCCTCGTTCAGCGAAGCTAGGAATTGCGCCACGCTCGCGTCGTCCCCCAAACAATCGGGCCACCGACAAAACGGGTCGAATCCAGAAATCCAGTCCTCGGCGTCGCCGTCGACAAATGAAGGGTCGTACCATCCTAGTAAAGGCACCAGACACACGTTGTTCGAAAAGCGTACTGAATGCGTGATCACGCCCAGGCGATCACAAACGAGTAGCTGCCGGAACATCTTCGTGAGGGAATCCGACGCGAGGTCGCCTTCGCTCAAACACCACAAATCATGGTTGCCCGGCACATAAAACACATACTTGAACTTCTTCACGACGTCCCCAAAGAACTTTTCAAACAACAACGGCTCGGAGCAGACGTCGCCGGCCACGATTAGTGCATCGTCCGGTCTTGCCTCGAACGCGAGGCACCGCTCCAGGTTCAGGGGCACGTCGATATGCAGGTCCGAGACGCACCAGATTCGGGACGGCGCGGGCATCTCCGCCAGCAAGCGACTTCGCGTGATCCGATCGAAGCGCGTCGCGATCGCATGTTTCATATCGTTCGGTGACGCGTCCGCGCCGCACGATGTCATGGCCACGGACACGAGCGCATCTAAAGCTTGTCGCTCCAAAAACTTGGGCCGCAGCATGGGCCGCGGCGACGTGACATTCTCGCTCCACCTTTTAACGGCTTCCGACGCGCGTACAAATTCGGAAGACGCCCAGCGCGACAGCAACAACAAGTCGCGCGTCGACGCCGACGACAGGCCGCGCGCGACGCGCTCGACGCGGCTCGGCGTCACGAGCGCGGGGTCCGGCGCCGCGATCACAGAAACGGCGTGGAGGAGCCGCGCGAGGACGTGGCGCCGCGTCGGCCGGCCCGCGCGGCCGCTCCGCCAGATCTCGCCCATGGCGCCCTCCCTCAAATCTGAAGCGGCCTTTGCGAGCGCGGCGGCCACGTCGCGCTCGCGGTCGCGCCTCCAATTGAGGCCGTACTCGCCGAGCAGGCCCTCGCGCAGCCGTTTGATTTGATTATCCGACAGCGAGTCGTCGGCGAGGCGCCGGCCGTAGAATTTCAGTCGTCTTCTTGGCGTCCAGTCCGCCCTGGGCCGCGGCGACGTCTCCGCCGCCTCGTCGAGCGAGTCGCGGCTCGGCGTCCGCGGCGTGAGGACGCGGCGCCTGTGTGTACGTCCACTTGACGCCATCGAGGCGACGCCGTTGTCGAGAGGAAGGCCACTCTACGAGACGCCGCGACGCGCAGCTTGAGGTCGAGGTAGGCGCGTCTTTCCGGCGAGAAGCGCTCGAGGAAGCGCGCGTTGCCTTCGAGCAGGAGCGCGTCGGGCCGCGTGCGCGTGGGGCTCCCGCTCGACGCGGCGGCCGCGCGGTCGAGCCACGTCGTAGAACGGCGCGGCGGCGTCCGCGGCGGCGCGGCGTCGATTACTATGGGCGGCGCGGCGAGCGGCGCGCAGTTCTTCGACGAGACCCAGCCGACGCAACCTTCGTCGGCCAGGGACCACGTCACTCGCGTTCGACGTGTGCCGTCGCCCAGCACCTCCTCGTCGCCCATCGCCAACAGTTGCGTGCCCGTTTTGAGCTTGGCCTTTCTAGGCGCGTCCCGTTGAACACCCTCCCGTACCAGAGCGCCGGGCGGCAGCACGACCAGCGCACCTTGCGGATGGCCCGGCGGCGCCTCAATTGTTTCCCGCTTTGCTATGCGAGCGACGTTCTCCCTTAACACGTTCCACCCGCCGTGGTCCACAAACCCGTCGCCCCGATCGCAACAGGCGAGGAAGGCGTTTAAAGCAGGCAATGATAGCGACGACGCCGTCGTGGACGACCGTAATACTTCAATGAACTTGGCCCTTATTTCTTCTATTGCAACGACGCCGGTGAAGTCGTCGTCGCAGCTCTCGAAGACGCGCCAGCCGCCCCTTTCTAAAACGTCGTTCACTTGGCGGACGGCGCGCCCGCAGCGCGGCGTTAACGGTATTGATGGCGGCGGCGGCGCGTCGTTGTGTGATGATGTCTGCTGGCCCATGAGCGCTCGTCGTTTTCTGGGGGCTGGGGCTGCGGCGCTTTTGTCCGATGGATAGCTGGCGGTGCGGTGGCTGCCTCGGGCCGGCGATGCGTCGGTTTTGCGCCTCGCGCGCGGCTTTTTTGGGCCGGGCCGGCAAGGAGGCCCCTCCCAGCGGCCCGCAAGATAGCGCGGCGTCGCGGCGCCTTCGTGGCTCCTAGGAGTCGTCTGTTCACGGTCGCGTACCGCGCGCGCCGGCCCGGTCGCGGACTCGTCTGCCAGTAGACCGCGTGCGGCTGCTCATTTATTGCGAAGCGGTCGACTTTTGGGTTCCTGAGGACTCCAGAGGCTCACGAGAGACATCGTAGGCGCGCGCCGAGGCGTAAAAGGAGGCTCCGCAATTTCATTTTTTGCATTTTGCGAGGACAGCGAGTGGCAAAGGTGGGCCCAGCGCGGCGCCTTTGGTCCAGCAAGTGCGATACGGAGTCGATAGAAATGCTCATTTGAACGCTACGGATGCTCACGCCGAGCCGATTGCGCTGCCGTGCCGGCCTTAGCGAGCTGAGGGCTGTCTTTGCAGCACTCACTCAGCACAGCCGCACGCGAGCCGCTGCGGGCCTCTGCGGCGAGCGACGGCCGGAGAGGACGCCGGCGCACGCATAGATCAGTCGTGGCACGCTTAAGCCGCCAGCGGCGAGGGCGCGGCGCGACGGTGGCGGGCCCGGCGCCGCGACCGCGCTAGCCACGGCCCACGCCGCCGCCGCACGCTGCGGCGAGTCGGCGGCGGCGGCGAGCCGGCTCACCACCGCTCGACGCCGCCAGAGAGAGAGAGAGAGAGAGAGAGAGCGAGAGAGAGCGAGAGACGGGGCAACTCACCCAACAACCCGCGCAGGATGGTCGTCAAGTACGACAAGTGCGCGTTCAGCGAGTTCAACATCTTTCCCGGCCACGGCATGAAGATGGTGCGGCGGGACGGCACGCCGCTCATGGTCATCACGCGGAAGTGCAAGTCGCTCATGAACCAGCGCAAAAAACCCGCCAAGCTCGTCTGGACGCAGCGGTGGCGCATCATGAACAAGAAGGGCCTCAACGAGGGCGTCGCCAAGAAGCGCACGCGGCGCGTCGTCAAGGTCCAGCGCGCGATCGTCGGGACCAGTGCCGAGGACATCAAGAAGCTGCGCACGCAGAAGCCCGAGATCCGGTCGGCGCAGCGGGAAGCGGCCATGCGCGAGGTCAAGGAGCGCGCCAAGGAGAAGAAGGCGGCCAAGCAGAAGGCCAAAGCCTCCCAACCGAAGCAGTCGAAGCAGATGAAGCAGCCCAAGGGGGGCAACAAGAACGCGCGGGGCGGGAAGCGCTTGTAAAATGCCTCGTATTTATTCTGTGTCGTCGTGGGGGCGGTTCAACTCCTATTCAGTTACGCGCCCGCGGCACCCCGGGTGCTAGGACTAGTGGGCGGAGCCCCTGGGACCGATTCATCATCTGGCACGAGTCGCCGTCGCGCCGTCCGAGTTCAGATTTTGTTTACGGGACGCCTTACGCGGCCGTCGTCGTCGTGCTCCGCGCCGAACGCGCGTCGCTTCGACCACGCGGGTCCCGCCGCGCCGCGTAGAGGCAGCGGCGGGGGCACCTGGGATTCAAATCCTGAACTTTGGACCGTGCCGCTCGCAGGCCGTCTTGCTGCTGTCAGAGGGCCGTCGCGGTCGTGTCGTCTCGAGCAAAAAGCCTGTAGTCTATTTTCTGCCGGTGGGTTGCAGTGGCGGCCTCGAGCGCGCCACTTGCCTGGCTCTCGGGCTTTGCTGACGATTGCTTCTTATCGCATGCGACCGAGGGCTCCGCAGCTCTCGGCCGATAGCTGAGACGTGAGCTCCCTTTCGAATCCCTGTAGCGATTTTATCCGTCGCTATGGATGTCCCATAAAAAGGACAGTTGCACCCAATGGATAAGCATCTACAGATGCGCTACAAGGCGCGAGACTACGGATCTCGAGATTCAGGGTTAAGCTTATTTTTTTTTGCCCGCTGTGCGACGCGTTCCGTTGAGGAAAGTGGATTCCCGGAGTTTGGCGACACATGCGTACCCTCGTACCGTACGAGCGCCGCGCGAGGCCCGCGAGGTACAGCGACGTCCGCACCAGGTCGCCGAGGGGCCCCGAGGTACATGCTGCGCAGTTGCGGTGGAGCTACGGGGGTTGCGTCGACGGCGTGCGGCGGGCTGGCTAGCCGCGACGCACGGTCAAGTCGACCGTCAAACCATCACAATCATCACTTCGTCTTCTTTGTCTCAGTAGACGCCGCCGCCGCTCCAGAAGAACTCCCGCGCCGTCGCTCCTGCAACCGCCCGACACCCCTCAGAATACACGCAACACTCACCAACCACAACGACAACATCTGCACGCCCGTATACGCGTCCAACGTGAACACCTTCCCAATCAGTAACGCCCATGCGGCCGCAAGCGCCACCGCGACCAATCCGCCCGTGGCGTCGAGGTCGCTAGGAGTCGGCGCATGGCCGCCCCAGCCCGCCGACTGCATCGCCAATGCGGCGCGCGACATTGTTCTCGTATGGCGCGTCGACGGCGTGCTGCTCTTGTGTGAATCTCTGCTGTCTCTGCTGCAGCTCTGCTGGTGAACGAGCCGGACGCGTGGCGTTATTGTGCCACGGTAGTGCGTGCTTGAGAGGGCTTTGCAACGCGCTAAAGTTGCACCCCGCTAGACCGCGCGTAGCCCTGGCACTCTGCTGCTGCCGCTTGCTCTCCCGCAGTGGCGGCCTGGTGCAGCGTAAACGACAGCACGGCTGCGTACAACTCGATTTTTGCACCTGGTTGACCTCTATCGCGAGCTGTGAGAGGCACTCGGTGCCCTGCGTCGCGTGTGTCAGCGCTGCCACACCCACCACAAAGGCAGCCGAACTCCTTGAGCTGCTGCGCGGGACGAACGAGCGGTGGGCGACGACGCGACAGCAGAGGACGGACGCCGCGCGTGACGATTCGCGGTAATGGAGCAGAACGAAGCACGGACGGAGCACGCCGCGACAATTGACTTGACTGCTGATGACGACGTGCCCTTGGCGCCAGCGGGCGGTGGCGGTCCGGCGCCGCCTGCGGGAATGCCGCCCATGCCGCCGCTCCGGCGGTCGGAGAACTCGGAATCGGACTCGAGCCTGCCTGACTTCGCCGCTGCGTCGTCTTCGGAATCGGAATCGGATGGCGAGGAGGCGGCGGCCGCGTCGCTGGAGGCCGCGCTGCGCAGATTGACACCGCGCATGCCGCCGCTCCGGCGCTCGGCGAGCTCCGCCTCGGACTCGAGCCTGCCCGACCTGGCCTCCGCGTCGTCTTCCGCATCGGAAGCGGAGTCGGAGGGCTCCTTCAATCTCCCGCGTCTGGCCCGCGGCCAGGCAGGCTCCGCCGCGTTCTGGGCGGGCGTCGACAACTGGCGGCGCGAGAGCGGCATCACGGAGCCGCGGTCGCCCGAGGAGGAGGGCGAAATCATGCACGCCATGAGCGAGCTCGCCGTCAACGTGCTGGCCGCGAGTCGCCGCGAGGGCGACCGAGAGGTCGCTCGGACGATCGCGGATCGGCTCTACTACAACGCGGTCCGGGCCGCGCGCGAGAACGGCGAACCTCTTCCGCCGCCGCCGCCGTGGCTACTGCGCGAGTGGCGCCAGCGGCGGGACACGTTCCTCCTCTGCCGCCGTCGCTTCTACGAAAGCAAGAAGCGACTCGAGAGCTCGTCCTGCTGGGCGTTTTGGCCGCGCCTCTTCGAGCGCTTCGACGTCATACGCGCGGTGGCCGGCCCCGACGCCGAGGACGTCTACGGGCACATGGTCCGGTATCTCTAGTAAGTTTAGGTTTTCACGTTTCACTGCTGAGGACTAGCTAGCCCGCCGTCGGAGGCCCGGCTGGGACGCAAAAGGGCTAGTCCGTTGAAAACCCGCACGTTAAAAACGCATTTAATATTTCACTGCTGAGGACTAGCTAGCCGGCGGTCGGAAGCCTGGCCGGGACGCAAAATTGCGGAGGACTAGTCCCATAAAAAAACCGCGCGATCGACGAATGGCGCCGGTCGTCGGACGGCTGAGGACTAGCTAGCCCGCAGCACGCCGTCGACGCGACCCCAAGGATGTACCTCGTGGCCCCTCGGCGACCTGGCGCGGACGTCGTGGTACTTCGCGGGTCTCGCGCGGCGCTCGTACGGTACGAGGGTACGCATGTGGCGCCAAACTCCGGGAATCCACTTTCCTCAACGGAACGCGTCGCACAGCGGGCAAAAAAAAATAAGCTTAACCCTGAATCTCGAGATCCGTAGTCTCGCGCCTTGTAGCGCATCTGTAGATGCTTATCCATTGGGTGCAACTGTCCTTTTTATGGGACATCCATAGCGACGGATAAAATCGCTACAGGGATTCGAAAGGGAGCTCACGTCTCAGCTATCGGCCGAGAGCTGCGGAGCCCTCGGTCGCATGCGATAAGAAGCAATCGTCAGCAAAGCCCGAGAGCCAGGCAAGTGGCGCGCTCGAGGCCGCCACTGCAACCCACCGGCAGAGAACCGGCCGCGGGCTTTTTGCTCGAGACGAGACGACCGCGACGGCCCTCTGACAGCAGCGGGACGGCCTGCGAGCGGCACGGTCCAAAGTTCAGGATTTGAATCTAAGGTGCTCTCCAGAGCTGCTAAATGGCCGACGCGGGGCCGCCGCAGGCCGCGGACACGCCCAGCACTTCCCCTGAGGTGGGCCCTGACCCCTTCGACGCGGACGCGCTGCGGAATCTGCAGCGCTTGCTCGACGACGGGGAAATCGACGCGGACGAGTTCGAGCGCAAGAAGGCCGAGGCCCTCGGTCTGGCGGAGAATATCGCGACCGCGGGAGCGCTCTCGCGGCTGCCGGAGGACATGCTACAAAACGTGCTCAGCTTCCTCGTCTTGAAACAAGACGGCATCGCCCAGCGCTTCCTCGAAAACGTGAGGGAGATGCAACGGGGAGTGTTCGATTTGCTTGAATCGACCGACGATGATGAAGACAATGAGAACAGTGATGAGCATCTGTCTTTTGCCCTGGATTTGATACGTGACGGGGACGTTCGTGTGAGAAAGCTTCTCGAAGATATAGATAGCTATCAAGCGTGGTGGTCGGTGTGCAAAGATTTTGGGCGCATTTTCAGGAAGATGTACCCCGATCTGCGATTAGATTTAGTCAGTTGCCGCCACCGGGACGATCACAAAAACTCGCCAAGCCGCGCCGTGAAGCTTAAATGGTCGAGGTGGATGGATGAGTTTAACAAGCTGTGCTATTTCCTTGGGGAATTACAAGAAAGGATATGTTCAATGAGTGATGCAGCAGAAAATTTCAGAAGTGAGCTCAGCGAGTGGCAGACTCCCCACGTGTGGGTTCTTGAGCTCATGGCCCCGTTTGACGGCCTCGACTTTTTGTTCCCGCACGAGTGTGACTAAAGTTAATTGTAACATTCAAACATACACCCCCACCCCAATCCGCCGCATCCCCTTCCGGTCCCCCCACGGCCCTGGCCCGAGCGCCAGCGCCAGCAACACCAACACACAAAACGCGTCCCGCCAGCGCCACGCCCGCGCCCGCCACGCGCGCTTCACCACCCACACAAACAGCGACGTCTTCCAGAGGCACGGCCACAACTCCAGAAAGTTCCGGATCGCGAACGCGGCCCTTTTGCAGTTCTCGTGGCCCGGCGCGCGCCAGTCGCAGTGCTCGTCGACCTGGTCGATCCACCAGAGCTTGACGTCGAAGTACGCGTTCGCGAGGGAGATCGCCAGGGCCTTGCTTCGGTTCCGCGCGTCGGCCTCCCACGCGGCAAACCGCGCCCGCGCGTCCGCGGGGCCGAGGCGCCAGAGCCAGCTCGGCTCCTCCATGTGCGCGGCGCGGCACCTGCGTGCGATTCTCGTCGATGGCGTAAGGGTGGCCGCCGCGACCGCGGGCTCGCGGAGGCTCGATCGTGGGCGCGGCCAGCGGCCTAGCCCTCGGGCACAGCCGTAGGCGTTCCCTCGTGAGGTCGATCGCGAGGCCGCTCGGCAAGAGGCCGTCCAAGTACGCCGCGGGGCAGGCCGCAGGACGCGAGGGAGCACGAAGGCACAAAAAAAAACAGGACACGGATAAAGAAACAGGTCGTAGTCGTCGTGGCACCGGCACCCGTACAGGATCGGCGCGCAGGCGTTGAACGCCCCTCGGAACGCCGTCCAGTTCGCCGCGCCCGACCGCGCCAACGACAGGGGAAAGCTCTTGGCCTGGTCGCGCAGCCAGGCGGTCTTCGACTTGGCGTGGTCCTCGCGCAGCACCTTTTGCCGCGCCCGCGCGTCGTTTAAGTTGAGGTCGATGGCGTCGCGCTCCGCCCGTAACGACGGGTAGACCGTCCTATTCAGGAGCTCCAAATCCGCCTGGGCCGCCTCGAGGTAGGCCTTGCGGTCGCCTTGCAAGCGCTTCGACGCGGCCGCAGCGTCTTTTAACGCGTCGCGCGCCCAGGTCAGCGCGTCGGGGCCCGCGCTCGCGAGGTCGCAGGGGCCCCGGCCGTCGCCGAGGTCCTTCGTCTTCGTGAGCTCGGCCCACAACGCCTCGGTCTTGTTCGAGATCGCGGCCGCGTGGGCCGCGCCCTCGTTTTTACGCTGTTCCAGCCGCCGGCGCTCGTGGGCGCGCGCCCGCTGCCGCGTCTCCAACGCATCAATGGCGTCGTTTAATGTCTGCGTGTCCGCGTGCGCCGCCCGGGCCGAGGCTAGTTTAGCTTCGTCCACAGGTTGTGCGGCGGCCACGAGCGCCGCGACGACGAGTGGTGGTATGAATCGCATCCGTGCGAGTGCGGTTCGGCAGCCCGGGGCCGTTTTGGTGGCGTGCGGCAGCCTCGAAGCTTGTTTGCTAGTGGCTTACTGACGCTAGCACCGATCGACGGGCAACCAACTTCCTTGTTTTGGCCTAGCTGTGGCTTCGTTGCCTAAAACTTGCTTGGATTTCGTCCTCCCACTCCCCCGCGTGGGTTCTAGAGCGATGCGGTCCCGCAAGCTTACTTTCACGCAGCTGTGGCTGGGTGCTGTGGCGGCCTTCGCGGTGCTATTGCAGCCGCGCGCGGGACACGCGCTGGTGTCACCGCGCACGCACGCAGCCGCAGCGACGCTGCCACGACGGCGGCGGCCGGCGCGCGCCACAAGCGAAGACGACCACGACGAGTGCGTCATCATCAAATTCGTCACCGGCAACGCCATGAAACTCCGAGAAGTGGAAGAAATTCTGGGCATGAACGGCCTGCCTTTACCCTTAGAAATGATTGATATTGATTTAGATGAATTGCAGGAATCGCAACCCGAGAAAATCGCGGCCGCGAAGGCACGCTTGGCCGCGGAGGCCTGCGGCGGCCCGGCGATCGTGGATGACACGTCGTTGTGTTTGAACGCCATCGGCGGCATGCCGGGACCCTACATCAAGTGGTTCCAGCAGTCGAAGGTCGAGCTCCACCGGTTGTTGACGGACTACGACGACAAGTCGGCCTTCGCGCAGTCGTGCATCGCCTTCTCGCCGGGCCCGGGCGCCGTGCCTCTTGTTTTTTCGGGCGTGTGCAATGGTACCATTGTATCTCCAAGGGGTGGCTCGGGCTTCGGTTGGGACGCCGTCTTCCAGCCGGAAGGTTCGGCGGAGACGTTCGCGGAGATGAGCGGCGAGGCGAAGAACGCCATTTCCCATCGCTCGCGGGCGCTGGCGTTGCTTGCGCAGCATTTGAAAGGAGATAGGGATCTACTGGTGGACTTGTGTCTGGAGTACGCGACCGATCCGGTATTCCTCGAGGATCGCGTGCACTACCGGGAGACTTAGGACTGTTAATATGTTATTTGGAGTGATCTACTTCCAGAACAGCAGCTTCCGCCAGCCCCGCTTCCCGCTTCTTTGGTCCAAGATCTGCCCGGCAACGACCATGTCGTCGGGCGTCGTCACCTTCAGGTTCGTGTACTCGCCGAGCGTCAGCCGCACGGGGGCGCCGAGCTGCTCCACGACGCTGACGTCGTCCGTGATCTCGAGCTTTTCCGAGTCGACCTTCGCGAAGCCCCTTTTCAGTAAAGCGGGCTCGATGACCTGCGGGGTGTGGACCTCCCAGAGCCGCGACCGGTCGACCGTCCTCAACACAAATTTGCCGTCGCCACTTTCCTTGACCGTCGCCTTTACCGGGACGCCCAATACGGCGGCGCCGTGCTCCCGCGCGTCGCCGAACACACTATAAATCTCATCCGGCGTGACGAGCGGTCGCGCGGCGTCGTGAATTGCCACTAATGCAGCATCGTCGGGGCAAGAATCTAAACCGCTCTTCACGGAGTCCTGCCGCTCGGCACCCGGGTCCGCGAAGGTCACGCGATCGGCGTACTCCTTGAAATCTTGCCGGTACTGCTCCGCGAGCACGACGACGACCTTGCAGATGCCCTCGATGTCGTTCAAAAACAAATCTAAAGAATATTTGATGATCATCTTCCCTCTTAAAGGTAAGAACTGCTTCGGCCGGTCCGCCTTCATGCGGCTGCCGGTGCCGCCCGCCAAAATGACGACCGCAACATCTTTTTTGTTCTCCGCCATCATCGTGAGTGCTGCGCCCGGGCGCGTTCGCTGCGGCGTCGGCAGCGTGGGCACCAGCGCATGCGTGAGCGCTGCGCAGAGTAGTAGGGCACGCATCATGACTGTGCAAGGAGTATAGTGCAGCGGTTGCTCCAACTGAGGTGCAGCAGCGACGCGGCGATTGGCGTAGAGGTGCAACGAGCGGCGCTGCAGCTACAGAGAGCTAGCACGCAGAGATGCGACGCCGCGATCTAAGGCCTTGTAGGTCTAGTGTCCTTACACCGCTAGCCCAAGGCTCCCGCGGTTTTTAGCTCGTGCGTACGAGCCGTGGGATTCAGCGACATTGGTAGCGGGACGACGAAGAAGATCAGGCAGCAGCTGCTTTGGTTATGACGCGGACGCGGGGAGACACGCGGTGTCACCCCTCAGCCCTGGGCAGGGGCTTCTAGGCAGGGGGCTCCGCCCACTAGTCTAAACTAGTCCTAGCACCGGAACATGAGAACTAGCAAGAGACCAAGGAAGGAGCGACAGTATAATACAAGCATATTAACAAACAAAAAACAAAGGCTCAGGAAAGCCGCTCCTCGCGCAGCAGCTCCGCATCGTACGTCGCGCGCGCCTCCGGCGACCCGAGCCGCGCCCAGGCGGCCATGACGCGCGCGAACATCTCCGGCGACGCGTCCCGGCCGGAGTCCGGATGGTGGCGCCGGCAGAGGCGCGCCCACGCGGCGCGGAGCGCCGAGGGCGACGCGTCCCGCGCGCAGCCGAGGTCGTCGTAGAGCGTGCGCGGGGTCTTGCGTTTCCGGGGCGGTAGTGGCGGCGCGGCGTCCGGTGCGGATGGCGCCTCTTCACGAAACTGCTCGTGGGGCACGCGCGCGGCGCTCGCGCCGGCGCCGGCCCGCGCGCGGTCCGCCTCCGGCGTGAACTCCCAGACGTCGGGCGACCACGTCGTGTCGCCGCCGCCGGGGCCAAATTTGGGAAACGCGGCCTCTACACTATCGCCGGCGTCGAGGCGGCGCGCCTTTCGTGTCTGTGGCGGCGCGGGCGGCGGCGCCACGTGTGCGTCTCCTTGCATATTCATGTCCCGCCACCAGGCCTCCTCGTCGCTCGCGTGGTCGACGGGCGCGGCTCGTCTCGCCGTGCGGTGTGACGGCCGCCAGGCGAGTGCGCCCGTCGCGATGACGATGAGACGCATCGTGTGTCGCAGTCGGTTTGCCTGGTTGGCTCCGCGCTGCGTGCGCCTGGCCGAGTGCTTGACAGTGGAGCTCTCAGAGCGTTTCACCGCGAGTCGTGCGCGGTTGCCTGACCTTCGATCGCTCTCGTGTCTCAGAACTGCGTTCAGAGAGCGAAACGCCTGCCTAGCTCGGTACAACTTTGCAGCTGTGCTCGAGAGCGCTGCACTGCTGCTTGGCGGCGACAGTGAGAGCCTGTCCTCCCACGCGGCGCAGCCGTGCTCGCGCAGCAGCAAACTACACACCGATCGTCGCGTCTTGATCGCACGTCGACGAGCGAACGACCACCACTCGTCGCGCGCGCGTGAGCACAACACAAGGAGCACTGCTGCAGCATCATGCCGTCCAAGCAAGCAGCGAAGCAGCAGTACGCCACCATGGCGGCGGCCAAGCGCGACATCAAGGCGCTCTTCGAGGCGGCGAGCCGCGGCGACACGAAGACGGTCGAAGGCACGAAGGACCTCGACAAGTACAAGGACGGTCGCGGGCGCTCCTGCCTGCACTTCGCGGCGGCGAGCGGTTCTGTTGATTGCGCGAAGCGGATATTGGAGCTCGCGCCGCAATTATCATCTCAAGCCGACGACGACGGCGCGACGCCGCTGCACCTCGCGGCGTCGCGCTGCCGCACGGCCGTCGTCGAATTATTGCTGAAGTGGGGCGCCGACGCGAAGGGCGCCGATTCTTCCGGAGCGACGCCCTTACATAAAGCCTGCGCGCCGGCCGAGGCGACGACCGAGGCACAAGAATGCGTCAAGGTACTTGTTGAAAATGGCGCCGACGTGAACGCGCAGGCCAAGAGCTCGGGCACGCCCCTGCACTGGTCCGCCGGCTGCGATGCTGTTGAAGCGATGCCAGCATCCGCAGAAGCGTGTGCTACTTTGTTGGAGCTGGGCGCGGACCCGAATTGCGTGGACGCGCGCGGCATCGCGCCTATCTTACTCGCGGCGGCCGTCGGCAACGCGGACGTCGTGGAGCGATTAGCGAGAAAGGGCGCGGACTGCGGCGCGGTGGTCGCGGGCGGTGCGACGGTGGCCCACATGTGCGCCGACCGGGGCGATCTTGCAGCCCTTAAAGCTGTTTGTGAAAATGGCGCGAACGGCCGGAAAGCGTGTAAACACGCCGATGCCGACGGGAGGACGGCCGCGGGCTGCGCCGCCGTCGCGGGCCGGCGGAGTTGCGCCGAGTATGCTTGTCAGATAACTGAAGAGGACTTCGACGAGCTCTGGACGGCCGCGAAGAACGCGCCCAAAACTGTTGATGAGAAGGAGCCACCACCAAAACCGCTGCCGGCGCCGCCGTCGGACGAGGACGCGCTCGAGGCTAGAAGGCTGAAAGACGAGGGCAACGCCCACACTTTAAAGGGCGAGCATGCTGAGGCGCTCGCGCTCTACACGAGAGCTATCGAGCTCGACGCCACGCAGAAGACCTTCTTCTCGAACAGGTGCGCGTCTCGTTTAGCGCTTGGCGACGCGGCTGGTGCGTTGGAAGACGCGAATGATTGTGTCGTGCTCGACGGCCGGTGGCCGAAGGCGCACTATAGGAGGGGCGCCGCGCTCGAGGCCACGGGCGACTACGAGGAGGCGGCGGCGGCGTACTTCGACGCCCTGAAACTCGACGAGAAGAACTCGGGCCTCAAGAAGGCGCTCCAGGACTGCGTCGCGCGCGGGCGCGCGGCGGCGGCGAAGGCGCGCGACGAAGGCGGCGAGGGTAACGGTGGTTAATTGTATGCTTGTTGACATGCTTCGACGGCGTGATGGGGTCCGTGGCGCCGATTACCTGCGCACGTATGCTAGCGGCGTAAGACACTAGCCAGCCAATCCGAGAGCAAAAACACGAGTCAGTGCTATACACGTTACGTTAAGGATCACTTTGAGGTATGATGCAGTCGACCCACGGAATGCTGATGCTTTTTGCGAGCGGTGCCACCGCACTGCGCCTCTCACGCCGAGGTCTCACTGGCATTGCTGCAGCAGCTCTGGTCGCACCGAACGCTGCACAGGCGGAAATGAAAAAACTCAGACCCATTCAGTTCATTGCTGCATTGGGAGACAAAGACGCGTCATCGGGCAAGGGTGCCCAAGAGTGGGGCCTCTGGCGCCTCGATCCGGGCCCGCGCGGCGTCCAATTGGGCGCCTACGAAAACCTCGCCGCGAAGGGCGGCAAGGCTCCCGCGGGCTGGCAATTCAACGACAAGGCGTGGTGGCTCGAGGAACACGGGCTCATCATGGAGGAGCCTGCACCTCTCCCGCCCGGCCGCTACGTCGTTACCGGTGCTCGCAAAGTCACAACCGAACTCACGGTCGCGAAGAACGGCGCCTGGTCCCTGAAGGAAGGCAAGCTCTTCGACGTGACCCACCTCCCGTGCCGGAGCGCCCTCTACACGCCGGGCGGCGGCACATGCACTCCCGCTCAAGCGAACCGAAAGGACTTCCCCGTGACGCCTGGCGCCGCGATGCCGGACGTCACTGGCTGCGCGAGGCAGGATTACGCCGTGCTCTTCGTTCTGGGGGCGGACGACAAGGCCGTCGAATTGTGAGTAAGTACCAGTAATAATTAACAACAATCAAGGCGCGACGAGGTCAGCGAGCGCCGACCGCCCGAGCCAGAGCAGCCCTGGATCCGTCCTCTTCAGCGCGTAGACGTCGCCCTCGGCCGAGGTCTCGCGCTCGAAGCCGACGGCCTCGAGCAGCCGCAGGGCCGCCGCGAATTTGCCCGCCGTTCGCAGGAACTTCTTGTTGCCGAGGCGCACGCGCTTGAATTTTTCCTCACCGCGTTCCGCGTTCGTGAGGATGGCCGTCAACGTCGCGGCAGCTTCTTGTGCGGGCGCACCGAGCGCGTGGAGGTCGCTCGAGGCACGGAGGACGCGCTCCTGGCGCGACCCGGTTTCCGGTGCAGATACGGCCGCTCCAGGGTTGAGGAGCCGCTCGAGCGCGGCGGAGACGTCGCCGGCCGTCGCCTTGAGCGCCGCCGCGGCCGCGGGACCCTCGAAGCCCATCGCGGCGAGCGACGCGAGTCCCGGGTCCGGCGATGGCGCTGGCGGCTCGGGCACGGACGGCGCAGGAGCAGTCTCCACCTCCATGGCCGAAGCGGGCGGGGTGTCCAGCTCCATAGCGGCGGGCACGGATGGCGCAGGAGCAGACACAGCCGGAGCACAGGGCTTGCACACACCCAAGCGGCGGCGCTCGGCTGCGGCGGCGCTCGCGACGCGTTGTTCAGCGGCGTCGACGGCAGGCGGCGGCGGCGGCGGCGCGACAGGCGCGTCGGGTAACATAGAGACGGCGTTCGCGACGAAGGCGGCCGACGCGCGCTCGCCGCCTTGTAGAGCGCCGTTGCCCGCCTCCGAGGCGAGCTCGCGCGCGACGGTCTCCTTCGTAGAAGCATCGGCCAAGGTCCGATGCCGGCCCGCGGCCTTGCGGGTCAGGGCGAGGTGCTCCGCGCGCACGTCCGCATACAAGGCAAAAAAGACGGCGTTGTGCGGCCCCACGACGTTGTGGCAGAGCTCGTGCAATAACGTCTTCATCAACGCGTCCCGGTCGTGAAAGGTGCCGTCGTCCTGTCTGAGTTTCACGTAAATCCTCGCGCCCATGTTTTCGTTGTAGCCCAATAGACACCCGCCCTCCTGCTGCTTCTTCTTCATTATTTGATCGTCGCGCGGGTCCATCTCTATGAGTCCACCGACGGTCCAGGCGTGGGAGACCATGATCGGTGCTACTTCGGACGCCATGCTCCTCAATAATTTCTCGGCCTCGAACCGGTGCGGGCCGCGCCGCCCGTCGAAGCGCTTGACGGCCTCGATCCTACAAAACTTGTACTCCGGGTGTTGCTGGAGTTCATCGACAGCGCCTCTCCTCGCGGCCTCGCGTGCCGCCTCCTCCTTGAAGCCGCGAATCGTCGGGTCGCTCCGCTGCGCCGCTATTCTATCTTTCTGCTGCGTCGTCGTGCCGAGGCACAACACGCGCATGCCCGGCGTCAAGGCGTCGTCGCGCGCGAGCCGTTTCCCTTTGTGCAGGAGCTTGACGGTGCTCGCGTCCAACGCGCCGGCGACGGCGTCGAAGAGGAGCGCCGCGGTGGCGTTTTCCGTGATGTTGATGCGCTGGTCTGCGCCGCTGATACTCAGGGTGACGTGGGCTTGCTCCGCGTCCATTTTTGCGAGCTGTGCGAGTTCCTTGAGCTGCGGAGGTCTCTGGACTCAGTCTGGAGCTTATGAGTCTGTGCGGCCTCGACGCTCCGCACGCTTCTCTGGCGTGTTCAGAGCCAACTGTAGGTGCGATCAGCCGTTTCTGACGACCGCTTGCGTAGCGAGTGAGCTCACAAACCGCCCCAGCTCATTCCTGGTGCTAATGCTAGTGTCTTACACGCCGCTAGCTCAGATTTTTTGCCTGTCGACGTTTTTGCAGGCTTGTGTCCACTACAACCAGCCAAAATTCTGTAAAAACCACAGCTCTGCGACGCTGAAGCCAGCCGTGCCAGCGCCGGCGCCGTAGAGCGCTTGAGCCCTGCACCCAGCACCAGCAACCCTACCTGCAGCGCACGCACGCCGCCGCAGCGAGAAAAAACAACAAAATGACGCTACGAGACAAGCTCCCCGAGCTCTGCGTTATGTTAATAGGCATGGCGGCGTTGTTTGCCTGGAACGCCGTGATCACGATCCCGACGTACTGGCGCCAGCGCTTCTGCGGCAGCCCGCTCGCGCGCTACCATGAGTCGGCCTTCTCCTTAGCCTACCAGGCCGCGGCCCTGGTGGTGGCGGCCTGGGCGCCGAAATTGTCACGACGAATATCCGTAAGACGTAGAATCGTGCCGACGACCTACTGTTTGGGCGTCATCTTCGTCCTCTTCGCGCTGCTAGCTGTCTGGGCCGACGCGCCGCGCGACTCCGTATTCGCTCCAGCAACAGTAATAGGCGTGGCCCTCTGCGGGGGGTTATCCCAACTACTATGCTCAGCGACGTACGGCGTCTGCGCGGCCCTCAGGGACAACTTTACGGCCGCAAATATGGCCGGCCAGGGTTTGGCCGGCGTCGCGCCGGCCCTAGCTGTTGTTTTAGTTGCGCTGTCTTCCTCCGGTACGCCGGACGAGGCATGCGTCGCGCCGCACATCGACAAGGCGGCTGTTATCTATTTCGTGGCCTCCGCTCTATTGTTCGGCGCCGCCGTCGCGGCCTTTGGCGTGCTGGAGCGTTCGACGAGGTATATCGCGAGCGGGTTGAATGAAGCCATGGTTGTTACTGAAGAGGACGAGGAAGAGGCTGAGGTGAATCTAGATACACCCCTCGTAGAGAACGACGGCGACATCACACAAGTTTGTAGGTCGATCGCGCTGCCCGCGCTGAGTGTTTTCCTGGTGTTCACGTGCACTCTAAGTGTGTTTCCCGCATTAACATCATTGACGCGCGCGCCATCGAACGCGAACGCCCTGCACAAGCGTCTATTTGTACCATTATTGTTCCTCGAATTTAACGCGCTCGATACGATCGGACGTGCAAGTGCGGCATGCTTCGAGGCGCCCTCATCCCGAACACTGGTGTTGCTCTCGTCATTACGGTTCGCGTTCGTCCCCTGCTTCATCTTCGACGACATCGAGAAGGGCCCATCCGGCCCCGCTGTATTACAAACGACGGCGGCGCCGTTCCTGCTCATGGCGCCGTTCGCGCTGTCGAACGGGCTACTCGCGGCGCTCGCGCTGACGGCGGCGCCGCCCTTGGTCGCGGCCTCAGATAGGGAGCTCGCGGGGAACTTGATGGGGTTATTTCTGGTCCTGGGGCTGTCGTGCGGGAGCTTATTATCGTTCGGGCTCGTCGCGGCGGCGACGGGCTAGCAGCTTTATTTGTAAATTCGGTTTAGTGTAGTACTTCTCCCCCGCCACGTCGGCGTGAAAACTTGGCCCCGAAAACCGTGCTAGTGTCTTACAGGACGCTAGCAGCGTTTTTTGGCAACCAAGCCGCCGCCTCGCTGACGCCGCTGCCGCTCCCCAGAAGCATTAATAGACAGCACATTGCCGCCGCGCAGCCTCGCCGCCGCTACAACGACCAACCAGCCTCGCCGCGCCGTCCCGTGCTACCAAAAGCCAAAATCGCTATCGCGGCATATCACCAAAGCACCCGCAAACCGCGCGTAAATAAACAACCATGTCGGCGAAAGGCCCGGACCTGAAGCGCTACATGGAGAAGAAGCTGCTGATCCGCTTGGTGGGGAAGAGAAAGCTCACCGGTTACTTGCGAGGCTACGATCAATTTATGAACCTTGTGGTGGAGGACGCCGTCGAACTCATTTCCCTCACGGAGAAGACGCCGATCGGCACCGTCGTGATCCGCGGCAACTCCGTCGAGAACTTTGAGCTCCAGGAGAGCGAGGCCGTTATTGATAGAGCGACTGGTGCTGTAGTGGGCTAAACGATGGAGGTTATCAGTATAAACGTGGCCGGGAAATGCCTCGAGCTCGGCGCGCAGCCGTCCTACGGCGCGTTCAACGAACTTTGTCAAGGTGAGGACCGGACGGGGCTCCGGTTGTGGGCCGCGCCGGCGCGACGTGTCGTGCGGTTCCTCGAGAGTGCGCCGTCGTTAGTGCGTGGCAAGCGCGTCGTCGAGCTCGGCTGCGGCGCCCACGCGGCGCTCGCGCGCGCCTCCGTGTTACTCGGCGCGAAAAGCGCGCTCGCGACGGACGGCTCTTCACATATAGTGGAGCTGGCGTCCGCGCACGGCGCCGCGGCTCAATTGCGCTTCGGCGAGCCTTGTGTTGATGCGCCGAGTGGTACTGCCGATTTAGTAGTGGGCTCGGAGCTGCTCTACTACAACACCAATCTAGATGCGCTCGTGGCGACCATCGCCGACCAGCTTTCGGAAGACGGCGTGTGCGTGCTCTGCGTCGTTCACCGTATTTACGGCGGCGCGGCGGCTTTGATGAAGAGCGCCGCGTCGCACGGCCTGTTGGTGTTTGATATGCCTGCGAACGACGACACAGACGTCGTCGACGCGTCGCGCCTGCACGTCCTGTGCCGCGCCGGCCGCGTGGAGTCCCTGTTTGATTCCGTGCCGGCGCTCGTGCCCGTCGTGTCCGACGACTCGGACGACGACGACGAGGCCGCGTTCCTCGCGGCGGCGAGCGGCGCCCTGGACGAGTGAGCGCCCTTGCCGCCGCCCGTTTAAGTCTACTATCACATATTGATGAGCGACCGTGACTGCCGCCCCCTGGACTAGGTCACTGGCACGGTAACTACTATTCCTTCTTATCCCACGGCATCTTCGGCATCTTGAACCCTCCCGAATCCTCCTCTTCGTCCTCGGGAGTGTTCGGCGGCACGCGTAACCTTTCCAACGCGTCGGCGAAGTCGTCCTCGCGCTCGAAGACGAGCCAGTCGTCCGCGTCGATCGACGCGGCCGCGACGACGAGCAAGCTTTTTGAGAGAGCGGCCAACCTTAATTTGACGGACCGCGCTTGTGATGAGGTTAATTCAGCCCCTGTGCCGTCAATCACCTTCGTGTAGGTCAAGCGCAGCGTCGAGGGACCGACCGTCGAAGTACCAGTAAGTAGATTCTTCACGTTCGGAAAGGGCCCGATGACCCGGATCACCTCGGTCAACGCGCAGCTCCCATCGGCTTCGAGCGACAAGAACTGGTCTTCCAAATTAGCGAGAGGCACGCGGTGGAGGCCCGTACCGATGAAGCCGACGCCCTCGTCGCTCTTCGCCCAGACCAAGCGCCAGTCGCCCCGCGCTCGGAACCCTATGTCCGGGTAGGCGGGCAAGGCCGCGAGGTCCTTGACCGCGGCGTCGATGGCGTCGAAATCCCGGTTCTCCTCCTTGCACAGCTCCAAAACTTTTGAAGCTTTCTCGTCCCGATCACCATCGTCCATAGCAGCGTCTAACCGTGATTCGAGGTTCGCGGCCCACTGCTCCGTGGCGTCGAGCTCCGCGCCCGACACCTCCTTGAGCTCCTGCAGCCGTTCGAGTTTGCGCGACTTCTTCTTGGCCGCGAGGTTCGTTGGTCGTCGCGTCGGTCGAGTGACGACCCATGCGGTGGCCAGCGGCGCGAGCAGCACAAGTCTGAGGCAGCGCATGTTTTGAGGTGGTCTGCAGCGGCGGCACGGCGCGCGATCGAGTTGCTATTGCTTTGGCTGTTGCTGAGATAGGTCGATCCGCACGTTGATGCTAATCTAGGACTGCGAGGGCAGACGTGCGGCCGGTGACACACTGCAGCTCTCCCTCCTGCTCATGTGCCACGCTGGACCTTAACGGTCTTAGCGTCGCGAGCACGCATAGCCAGACGCTCACACTCCACAGGACTGCTCAGCGATCATCTCTGAGACCCGTCGAACCGACAGCGTGCAAGTAACTGCACCGCGATGGCTCTCTACAGCCTCGCCATGCTGGCCTCGGCAGCGGCGCTGCTAGCGCCGCCAACGCGTACCAAACACAGCACCCAGCTGCAAGCCGTCTGGTCCAACGCCAACGCCATCAAGGACTACCACAACATGCTGAGCGGCGTCGTCAACGAGCGGCTCGACGACGGCCCGGGCGTCGTGCTCGGTTTAGATGGAGACGCCTTCGCGGACGCCTACGCGAAGCTCGCGCCGGGGACGCCGGACCTGCGGATCAATTTTGGGGACGCGCCGCCGGAGACGATCAAGGGCTCGGACGAAGAAGGGGATCTAAACGAGTACCCGATTTATGTGATCTGCATGTCGCCCGACGCGTCGTCGTCATTAGAGTATGCCTTAGATGCCATACCCGAAGACAAGAAGGAAGATTTAGTTTTTTTACAGAGAGGAGACATGATCGAGCCAACCCTCAAGAAAAGAGGCCTGGCGAGAGAAAGGCAGACGCAGGCCGTGCTGTACTACGGCTTAAATGAATTCGGCAAGATCGAGGACGATCGATGCAGCATTGGCGAGGACGCCATGGGCCAGCAGAAGTTCGCGGCCGAGAGTTGCGTCACCGGAAAGTGGGCAGGCGCCGTCGCCGACCGGTGTCGCCGGGCGGGCTTCTTCTGTGCGGAGTTCTTCCATCGAGACTGGCGGCGGCAGATGATCGAGGCCGTGGTCTTTGAGTCTACGTATAATCTGGTCGGTGCCGTCCATAAACACGTTCCTGTGTCGGAGGTCCACGAGTTCTTCGGGGGCGAGGTCGACGACATGCTCTACGAGATCCAACGGGGCCTTCGCGGTCATTTGGCTGTTACTTTGTTATCAGGTTTTGAAGAGAGGATGGCCGCGTACGCGGCCGCGCAAAAGCGGTCGAAGACGGACAATCGACTATCGAGCTGTTCCGGGTCGTCGCCCTACCGGAACGCCTTCTTCTACGCCATTTCGACGGATGCTCTTGCAAGAGAGTTCCCGGACCCGTCGCCGACGCACACGGAGTACTGGGAGTTCGCGCGCGAGAACGGGCTGCTCGCGGACTAAGATTCAAGTGCAAGTTGCTATGGGCTCGCATCGACGGCGTGGGGGTGGCGTAGAAGATTAAATTGTTACAAGGTACAGTGCGCGGCCGTCAGAGCCGGCCGTGGTTCGACACGAGCCGGTAGGCCAGCGCGAAGTCGATCGCCAGCAAACACGCGATCGTCCCGATCAGTGTCAATTTCTCACGAAACACCTTCCAGGCGATCGCTTTGAGCGTCCGCCGCGCGTCGCGCGTCACGCGGCGCGTGTCGCCCGCTAAATCGGCGGACTGCTCGAGCTGCTCGCGCTGGCGCCGCAGCTGGCCGAGCGTCAGGTTGCCGATCTCCTCGGTCTCGTCGTTTGTTTGGATGGAGTCGCCGAGGAGCGACGTCGTCTTGTCGTCCTTCTCCCAGGACGGGGCGAAGGCGTCGTCGTCCGCCATCGTCGGCGGTGGCGCGTGCCGCTGGTGTCCTCGGATTTCAAAATCGGGGCCGCGGGCGCGGAAGAAGGTGCGCAGGTCCTTTGGATGAGAACTTGACTGGGCCGGCGCGGGCGCGCGTCGAAGGCCAACGACTGGCAGCGTGCGTCGGGCAGGAGCTGAGGAGACCTCGAGACGTCCCAGTTGGTCAAAGCCGCCGAGTATTGGCCCCAAAACTAGGATTGACTGCCGGGAGTTTGCTTGCTAGTGTGTTACCACACGCTAGCTGCGCAAGCTAGGCGGCCCGGCCGTACGAGCTTTGTACGGTAGTGTGCCGCACGCGAGGACCGTCAGTGGCCCCATTCGTGCCCACGGAGGGGCCGCACCAGCGGTTCGGGCAGAGGCGTGGAATTCAAGCACCTCTCACGACGTCGCCGCGACAGCCCTCTCTCGAGACGCACCGCAGCGATGCCAGTCCGCCTCGTGATACGTAACTTCCCGCCACACGTCGATGCTGAAAACGCGTCGGCCTTTGTAGCTCAAGCCGCAGCGCGCGGCGCGCCGGTCCGCTGCGAGACCCTGTACTACCGCCGAGGCAAGCCAAAGACGAAGCGCGGCGTCCGCCTCGGCTCGTTGTATGTGGAGGGCGATAATGATGAGGCGCTCGCCGAGCAACTCGCCCGGGCGGGGCCGCCGCCGCCGCCGCCGCCGCCGCCACCTTCAGACGACACGCAGCCGCCGCCTCCACCATCAAAACGGCCGCCCGTGCCGCTCGTCGTCGAACGCGCGGCCTTCGACCGCGTGTTTCGGGCGCCGACGCGCCCGGACCGCCGCGCGGGCACGTGGCTCGAGTCGCCGGAATACGCCGCATTTAAAGCTTATGACCCGCGCCAAGCTCGCCCGAAGACGAAGCGCGACACGCCCGTCGCGCTCCTCGACTACCTGAACGCGCACGGCTCCGTGTTTCGCAAGGCTGGTATAACCGCTAAGAAGCCGAAGAAAAAAAAGAAAAAGAAGGTTGCGGAGGATGGCGCGAAGAAGAAGCCGAAGAAGAAGCGGGAATGGCCTCGGAAAAAGAAGGAGCGGCCCGTGATCCGGCCGCCCGCCGCCGCGTGAGCGCGTCGCGCCGATGGCGTCTTGGCGCGGGCGACGAGTTGCGGGCGACGTTGCTTTCGAGCGTCGCGCCGACAGGGTGCTTGCGCCCCCCTACGCCACCGACGCGTGCGATACCGCGTCGACGGCGGCGTACGTACGCGGGCCGACGCGGGACGGCCCCGCGGCTGGAGGGCGACGCGCCGACCGCCGCGCCTAGACGACTAATTAACGAAGTGTGCACTGAAAGGTGAATTCTTAGCCCCTCTCCAAACTAGGCCTGGCCCACGTTCAGGAAGCGAGCCACCTCGGGCTTCGACCGGAAGACCCGACCAGAAGAAGGATCGGTGAAGATGGTATCACCGCGAGGGTTCTTGCCCACGCTCCAGCCGTCGACTTGAGTCGCAGTGCCTCCTCTAGACACCAGATAAGCGGCGAGATCAGCAACAGTAGGGCCCTTGTCGTCCTCGGTCGCCGTGACGACGGCCGCGACCTCCTCCTTGACCACTGGCGGCGGCGGCGGCGCCACCGCAGCAGCGGCAGCGGCGCGCGCCGCGGCGCCGCGCGCCTTCTTCGGCGGCGGCGGCCCGTCGACCATGTCGGTCACGACCACGAAGCCCCTCGCGAGATCGTACGCCAAATCATCAGGTCTGCCGCCGAGCGCGAAGAACTCCGAGACGGAGGTCGCCGGCGAGTAGGCCTCATACGCAATAGCCGTCTTTCTTCCCGACTTGCTGGTTAAGTGCGCCTTCGGGTTCGGCCACACAAACTTCAGAGGGGCATCTCTCGGTGCTAAATCATCAGACACGAGCTTGCGCCAGTACTTCTTGCGCGTCGACTGGGCCTTGACGGGCGCTGCGAGTCTTCCGACGGGCGCGGGGCCCGTGTCGCGTCTCGAAGCCTGTAACGCGGCCTGGAGCTCCTCGTCGGACTCGTTGTCGTCGTACTCATCATCTCTCGCGCGTTTCGCGCGGGGCCGCGTCTTGCGCGCGGCCGTCGCCGTCGCCGCGGGTTCTTTGGGCGGCCGCCCAAACGCCACCGACAGGGGCCGCGGGCCCTCCTTGAGGCCCTGGACGAAGGCCGCCCAGCCCGCCGCGTCTCTCGCTTGCGGCACGGCGACGCCGTCGACCAGCGCGACGACGTCGCCGGCGCGGACTCGACCTCTCGCTGCCGAGAAGGTCTTGACCGACGCCACGTACACCGGCCCTTCCTCGTCGGCCTCGATGCTGACGCCGAGCGCGCGGTCCGGGAAGGTCACGAGCGTCGCGCTGCCGAGGAGGTCCTTCTCGGTGAGCTCTTCTTCTTTGGGCTGCGCTTCGACAGCGGGCGCGGCGTCCGGCGCCGGCGCCGGTGCCGGCGCCTCCGCGGCCGGCGCGGGCGCCACGACAGCGGCTACGGCGGCGTCAGCTTCCTGTTTCCCTTCAGCTGCAGACATTGTGTTTCGGGTGCTGCGCGGGCTCGTGGGCGCTGGTTTCGCGAGAGTCGCGGGATCCGTGAGCGACCCTTAGTCGCTTCCGTTGGTTGGTTTGTGTTATGCGTGCGCGGCCGCGTCGCGCTGCGTTCTCAAACTCGATCGCTGCGATGGCCTCTGCCCCTCCTTCAGCTTGCAGGTAAAGCTAATTGGTTGCCGTGGCAAGCGAAACTCCGCCGAGGTATGGCCCCTGACACCGAGGGGCGGCTTCAGCCTCCCAGGACCAGGTCACACACAGCCCTCCGCCTCGGCACTGCCCGGCGCGGGAGTCGCGCTCACGCCGCAGGAGGATCAACACGTCCCGCCTCGACGCCGTCGGGGGCGAGGGCAAGGTTTCACGCTCAGGGCCCACGAACATCACGAGCAAAACAAAAATAACTTTACCAAGGCGAGATCCACAGCCCGACCCCCAGCATCACCAGACACCCGAGCCCCGCGAGCTCGCGCTCCTGGCGCCCCCGTCTAGAGATCGCGCGGACGATGCCCTGCCCATAATAAATATGCGTCGCCGCGGCGGCGAGGAGGCCCTGCGTCAGGAGAAGCGACGGCCACGTCCACGTATCGGAAGAAACGTGCCGCCAGTAGGACCACAGGTCCGCGCACAACAGGTCCAGCTGCACTATTGCATTCAATCCTAATCGAAAGGCGTGCCACCTTTTTGATGGATGGTGCACCAACAACGCGGCCGACGCCTCGATGAACGAGATCGCTAACGTCAAGGCCGCCCACTCCCGGTGGATTGCTGGATCGACTCCCAGTAGGACCCAGAGCACGCTGCCTAATACGAGGGGCAGGTGGTGCTCGACGTAGTTTTGTTTATTCCATCGGTATAACGTTGTCATACCATTGTATGCGAGTAGCGTTTCAATGGAGTAGACCACTAACAGTATACACCACTCAATCATCAACTCGCCGACGTCGGTCCGCCCCGTCTTCTGCAAGCGTCTACAATGTTCAATGCCCTGGTCGCAGAGGTAGACGTACGCGACCGCGACGAGGTAGCAAATGGCGGGCGGCGCTGGTTCTAAGCGGTTTGATGGCTTCTCTGCCGGTTTCGCCTTGTCGTCTTGCAGGAGCGGGGCGGTCACGTCGGTCGGCGACGACGTGTGGCGCCGCATTTTCGACCGCTGTGGCTCGACCACAAAGCTGGAGTGGCTCTACTGATGCGCAGGCTTGCAAAGCGCTGGCCAAACTCGCAGCAGCTCTCGTCGTTAGCGTTCAGTAGTTGTGTGAGGAAGCTCGGATGCACGCCTAACCGCGTGTAGCAGGTGAATCTCGGCAGCGCTGCGAGGCTGCCCCCTGCTGAGCAGAGCACGGACCGCTCCCTCCGCCCGGCCCGAGCCAGTCCTGGCCGGCCGGCATCGCTCCGGCGACGGCTCTCGTCGGGTTTTAAAATGGTGCGGGGCTGCGTCCAGCGCCAACATTGGCCAAAAGCTCGAGCTGCGAAGCGGGCGCGGCCGGTCCCCCTGGTGGCAGCCCAGCACGCTGGTAGCTGCCGGTCGCACCGCTGGATCGGCACGCATAAATTGTTGCTGCCGGAGCGCCGCGGGAGAGGCCTTGGGGCAGCCAGAGGCTGGGCAGGCTGGGGCAGCCCATCGCGCGTGCGTGCGCCGTCGCTCTCGCGGGCACTGATCGCCGTCGACGCGTCGACGGCGTCGCATTGAGCAGCCATGGCCTCGGCGATGATGCAGGGCCTCATGAAGGCCGGCAAGAACACCGCGGGCGGGTTCGCGCGGGGGGCGGCGCCCCAGGATAAGAAGCGCGTCGTGCCGCTGAACGAATTGCCCGCGGAGGGCGATGAGGCCACATCAAAGGATGAGGCCGCGTCGCCGTCTAGACGCACCTCCGCGTCCGAGCGCGCCATGGAGGCGGCCCGACGAAGCACCATCATCAAGCGCGAGAGCGCCAAGACCTTCGTGGTCAAAATCCACAACAAGGAACTCGGTCCTTCGAATGACGACAACCCGGACGAAGCGATAAAATGCGTCGTAAGGCATAGGCAATCACAAAGAGAGATCTTCGGCTTCGATGGACTGGAGGAGAGGATGGCCGAAATCCAAGCCACGCGCGGCAAACCCCGTGCCAAAAAGGAGGACGACTCTGCTCCCACAGAAGTGGATGAAGATGAATTAGATCCGAAGCTGCCCTTCCCGATGATCCACCCGACGGCGGACTGGAAGATCTACTGGGATTTGTGGATCTCGGCGTGCATTATCTGGTCGACGCTGACCGTACCCTTCAGTATCGGGTTCCGGACGGCTTATAGTACAAGATGTGTCCCTGGAGTGTTCTTCATCGATAGCACGGTGGACATTTCTTTCGTCATCGACGTTTGTATGGTCTTTATTACCGCGTACCGGGACCCGCTCACGACGCGACTCGTGCACGACAAAAAACAAATAGCTAACCGCTACATGTGCAAATCACCAGCATTCCTCATCGACTTCTTCTCGACGTTCCCGTTTGATATTGTGACGTCCGGGGGCTGCAACCTGACCGCTAAATGCCAGCAGGTCTGTGATACGGTTAATATTGGAGTGCCTCCTAGAATCTTCAAGCTATTACGTATTGTGCGCTTGGCCAAGCTCGCAAAATTAGCCAAGCTCCTGAAGCTGAAGAACAGCAAGGGCAAAGACGACGATTCAGCCGTGAACAGCACGGGACCGTCCGTGAAGGCCTCGATAGCTTTGCTGTTAGTGCAGATGTTTTATGTCGCTCATTGGGTGGCTTGTTTCAGGCATTTCCAGACCCTGGCGCCGACGTACGCCGGTGCTCTTGGCTTGGAGGACGACGAGTCACCAGACGCGGATAGTGGAAATGGCCACCTCAATTATTATATCGACGACGACTGGGACCATCGGTACGGGGGCGACGACGGCGCGCCCTTTGAAGGTCCTCATTTCAGTAAACGGCGGCCGGCGGGCCTGAATTTTAGATTGAACAACTCAACGCAAGGGCAAGTCTGGAACTGGCGCACGAAGATGGAGGCGGCGCGCGGCGAAAAGTACGCGAGGAAAAGCCATGCGTATCTCCTATCGTTGTACTGGGCCTTCACGACGATGACGACGGTCGGGTACGGCGACATTCCCGTGGTCGGTGCCGCGGAGCGAGGCTTTGCGATCGTCGTGATGATTATTGGGGGGGCCTTTTTTGGGTATATCATGGGCACGATCACCTCGCTCATGGAAAGTGTCAATGGCGAGGGCGCCGTGTTGTATCGAGCCAAGGTCGACCAGGTCAAGGGCTATGTTTATGATAGGCAGTACCCCGAGGCACTTTCCAAAAGAATCGTGAGGGACGTCAAGTGGTGTTATTCGAAGCACACGAATTTTGATCAACATAGACTATATGACATGATGCCTGCCGGGGCGCGGATGGACATGATCCAAGTACGACATGCGAAACTCCTCAAGAAGATCCCCTGGTTAAATACCGCCACTCGTCGGTTCACGATCATGCTCGTGCCGGACATGCTGCCTTTGCGGTTGAGCGAGGCGGAGTTTTTGTTCTTTGAGGGCGAGATCGCGACGCACTTATTCTGCGTCTATTCTGGCGGTGCGAATGATGGTGACGAAGCGACACCCTGCCTCGTCTGTAAAACAAGAGGAGATAAAGACCCTCAGCAGATCAATGAAGTACGAACATACAAGGAGGGCGATTTGATCGGCCCCGCGGCGTTATTACTAACGACCACCCAAACGACATGTGTGTATGCTTCACATGACACGGAGCTCTACATGTGCACGAAGGAGCTGTTGATCGAAGCGCTGAACGAGTTCCCCGACATCCACCGGCGCCTGCATCGCCAGGCCCTGCACGAGCAGGCCGAGGTCGACGCCGCGAGCGCCGGGCAAGACGCAAAGGACGCGCCGCGGGCGCCGTTCCTACGACGCTCTTCGTCGATGTACTCGGAACAGTCCCTCGAACCGCCCGAGGGCTACGATCGGACCGACTCGCCGCCGCCGGAAAAGGAGGAGGAGGACGAGGTCGCCGTGTCCCAGAAGAAATCAAGGTTGGCCGCGTTCCGGGCGGCGGGGCGGCTCGTGGGCATGGGCGCCCGGGCGAAGTCGGCGCGGCAGGCGGCGGCGGGGTCGGCGGCGGCCACGGTGACGCCCACGTCGAAATTGAAGGGCATGTTCGGCGGCGCCGCGGCGGGCGCTTCGAAGCCCGCGGCGCCGGCGTCGCCGGCCATGAAGAAGCTGAGCGGTTTATTTGGTAAGGCCGCTCCGTCGCCGAAAACGCCATCCCCGAAGGCGTCATTAAGGGCCTACTCCATCGCCGCCATGTTCTCCCGGAGGAACAAGGAGGAGCCCAAGCTGCTCCCGGCGAACGTCACGTGGAAGGAGTTGTGGAAGACCAAAAGAATTTTCCACCCCGAGGCGCCCTATAAAATAGCCTGGGATTTATTTGTGGCGATGCTGATCGTGCTCAGTGTATTGATAGCGACCTATAGGTTGGGTTTCGAGGTCGAGTTGGGCAACGGCAACGAGAACTCGCTGGGTTACTCCGACTGCGACGGCGGCGGCAAGGGGTGTTCCGACGCGGGCAAGTGGTCCTTCCTGGACGATGTCATCGACGCGTTGTTCGGCTTGGATTTGCTATTTAGCTTCAATTCGGCCTACCAGAACAAGCAATTGAAAATAGTCCACAACCGAAAGATGATTGTGAAATCATACCTTAAAGGCTGGTTCGGCATCGACTTTGTTTCTACGATACCATTGCGGCATTTGGCGAGCGGTGTGCCCGGTCTAGGTGCTCTCAAAATGCTCAAAGCTTTAAGATTGATAAGATTGGTCAAAATTGCAAGAGTACTCAAATTGGACGGCGTGGTGAACGTCTTGGAGGACAACTGCGGCGTGAACCCTACCATCTTCAAGGTGATCATGCCGTTACTGTTGGTGTGCTTCTCGGCCCATTTACTGGCCTGTGGCTTCTTCTACACGGGAGCTACGTTCAGTAGAGTGAAATGCACCTACAGCAAAAGTAGGGACTGGGCCACCTTCCCCCTGAAGCCCGAGGAACGGGCCGGGAGCTGGCTCGACACGACGTGCGTCTACAAGGACTACTGTAGCAACCAAAAAATGTTCGCCAAGCCTGATGATTGCGACAAAATTTACGGAAGGCGGAAGTGGTCGAAGGAGCACCCCTGGCAGTGTTCCGTCTATGGATGCGACAAGCCCAAGAAGCAGCGCGAGGACAACTGCTGGGTCACGCCGAAGCCCGAAGATGTCGGGAACATGTGCTGGCCCGACGATACGACGCCGGCGCCCACCACGGCTACGATCGCGCCTACCTTATCCTCAAATGACCCTTCAGAATTCGTATGTAATGGCTGCGCCCCGGCGAAGAGCGTGCGGCAAGCGCGACGAACCACCCAATACATCACGTCGATCTACTGGGCCTTTACGACGATGACGACGGTCGGCTATGGCGACGTGTATCCCTCGTCAGAACACATGGCCGGCATGGTCTATTGCATCATCGCGCAAGTTCTCGGGACGATGCTCTTCGCGTACGTGATCGGCGTGGTGGTGGACATCATCATGAACCTGGATCCCATCGGCGCGCAGCAACAGGCGGAAAAGGATATAGTAAGAGGCTTTATTAAAGAGCGGCAACTCCCGAAACCTTTAGCCGACGCGATCATCCACAACCACCACTGGAACCAGCTGTTTTCCGGGGTGTTTGATGAACCTATGTTACTTGGCGTTTTAACACCACATATGCGCAACTTATGTTATGCGTTCGCCCACAAGGAGACGCTGGGCAAGACGCCCACTCTCTTATACTGCGAGCACGAGATCCGCGGGGCCCTGTCGGTCGTGGTCGGCAAACTGTCCGCAGCGGGCTTCGCGGCGAACCAGGAGGTCAACTCGCCCCGGAAAAGGTGTCGCGAGTTCCACATGATCCAGCAGGGTGAGGTCCTCGTGCAGGTCGGGCCCGCGAACGAATCGACGGCGTTCATGCCCGAGGTAAGCGAGGCGCCGGCGCCCGCTCCTGATGATGAAAAGGCGGGAGGCGAAATTCTGGATACGTTGAATGCGAGAGACCAGTTCGGCTTCCCCACGTTGTTGGTTGATGACTTCAAGCTCAAAGTACGAGTCGTGACCACAGCGGTGACGCACACGCTCTACCTGACGCGGGACGCCTTAGATGACATCGCGGCGGCCTACGTCGTCGTGGCGAACTACATCGAGGGCTGCGCCGTGACGCGAGAGGAGTTCGACAAGTGGGTCGAGGTCGAGGGCGACGCGCAGACGGCGGCGCATAAAAGGTTGGCGGACCTCGACGAACTGCGGGCGGACATCAAGCGGCAGCAGGACGCCGCGCAGCGCCAGGCCGAGGAGGCGAAGGCGCGGATCGAGGGGCGCGAGCGGCGGGCCGCGGCGCTCGCGCGGCGCGGAACGGTCGTCTCGCTGAGCGAGCAGTCGGCGCGCGTGGTGCCGGAGGAGGGCGCGGCCGAGGCGAAGGGCGATACGTAGTATTTGCGCTCGTAATTTATTAGATATGGTATTACTAGCCACGACCCGCCGCGGTACATTATTTTTTTACACACACGCGCCTCTCTCTATTCTTCGGACGGATCAACCCCGCCAGACCCGTCCTGCCGGACCGGGGGCGGGGCGCGGTGGATGACCCGCGCGCTCTCAAATCGATCTAGATCTAGAATCAGCTCTTCGTCGGGGCAGCCGGAGAGGGCGTAGAGAGGCGTGCGCGCTGCCGAAGGGCACTGCGTTAGCATGTCCAAGGCGAGCGCCACCAAGCTCGACCCCGAGGCCCAGGCGGCGCCGCCGCCGGGCAGCCGCCGCCGGCGCTTCGCCGGCGCGGCCGCCGTCGCGCTCGTCCTGCTGTCGCTCGGCGAGCTGCTGCTGCCGCTCCCAGACGTCGGCGCGGCCGACGCGCGCGTCGAGATCGGCTTCGACGGCAAGGACGTCCTCGTAGACGTGGACGCGCGCCCGCGCGCCGGGCGCGCGTGGCTCCACGAGGTGCGCGTCACGCGCGCCACATGCGACGTCCGGGCCCAGGCCGCGGGCAGGGCGCTGGAGCGCGTCGCGACCGTCGTCGCGGAGGCCGCGGGCGCGGGCTGGCCCGTCCGCGTCAGGACGGAAGCGCGGGCGAGGCTCGTCGCGCGCGTCCGCGACGTCGACTTCGACGTGGCGCGGCGCCTCGCGTCGTCGAAACTGCTCTACGGCTCCGTAAAGTGCGACGTCGTCGCCGAGACGCAGCTGTACGGCGGCCTCTTCCCCACGACCGCCCAGTCCAACGTCGGGACCGCCTGGGAGCCGACGCGCCTCGCGTCGAAGCAAACGCTCTTCAAGAAGGGGTGGCACGACCTCCGGGCGCTCGCCGGCGTCGCCGCGCTCGTCAAGGACTCGCTCGAGCTCAGCGTCGGCGCGGACGGCGCGCTCGCGGCGCGCTGGACCGAGTCGCGGGCCGCGGTGCGCCTCCCGGCGGGGGTGGAGGCGGTGACCCTGCGCCTGCCGCGCGTCGCCTACGACCTGACGGGCCGCGCCGGCGGCGCGGGCACCCTCGCCTTCGAGGGCGCGGACCTCCGCTTCGCGAGCGACGTTCCGACGCTCCTGGACCTGCCCTTCCGCGCGACCGGCGCCGTCGCCGTCGTCGGCGGCGAGGCGCTCGACGCCATGTCGACGCGCGTCGTGGCCCTGAACGCGACGGCGGTCGACGCCGACGCGTTCTTCGGTGCGCTCCTCGGGCCGCAGCACGCCGTCGCGCTGCGCTGGTCGCCCGAGTTGTTCACGCGCGACGAGTCGGCCGCCTGCTACGCGGCGAGATATGAGGACCTCCGCGACGCCTTCTGCACGGAGGACCGCTGCGACACGCGCGCGCTCCGCCGCCACTACAAGCACTACGGGGCGGCGGAGAAGCGGCTCTGGGGGTGCCGCGCGCCGGCGCGGCGCCTCGCCGCCGCTTTGGAAGGGGCGCCGCCGCGGCGCCTCTCCCATGTGTCCTGCGTGCCGGACCACTGCATGACGCTGACCTGGGACGCGGACTACACCTTCACCGGCTGCGTGGGCTTCGAGGGCGAGTTCTGCGCCTCGCTCGAGCGCACGCGCAAGTCGACGAGCGTCGTCTACGACGTCGTCGCGTCGGCGGACGCCGAGTGCTGCGCCGGCGACACGGCGACGGCCGTCGCGCGGCTCACCGCCACGGACCTTCAGGGCGTCGAGAAGTTCTCCGCCGTCGTGGAGGCGACCGGCGAGGCAAGCGACGACAACGCCTACGAGGGCGGCATGGACGGCGCCGTGCAGCTCACTATCCTTGCGGACGGCAAAAACGAGCTCGCGGTGGACATCGGAGGCGACTGGGGCTGGAAGAAGCCCAAGGAGTCTACGGTGCAGGGGTGCACGTGCGAGGGCGAGGAGTGGGTCTATTCGCCCGGGGAGCCAGAGGACGAGGACGAGGAGGACTACACGTTGCGGGAGGGGCGCTGCTACAAATACGACGACATGTCGCAAATCCGCAGCGACGAGTATTCGTCTTGGGTATCAAGCTTTTCGGCCCAAACGTGCTATGACGCGTGTGTGGGTGCGGATGAGACGATGGGGGTCGTCATCTATAGGTACGGCAGCGAAGGCTACTGTGGCTGCAGTTACCAGAGTGGAAAAACCTTGTTTCCGGGGGGAGGCGAAAGCGGAATTCGCGCGCAGGCAAGAGTTCCAACCTATATGATTGGTGGGTGTCGTGTAAGCGACCCACTGGCTCGTCGATAGCGATCGAAGACATGGACTCTTCGATGGACGACTACGAGTCGTACACATGCTTCACCGAGGACTTCGACGCTTCGGGGTATGAGAATTGCTGGGGGGCCTTCGACGCGTCGAGCTTGTACCTGGAAGGCAAGTTCCAGCGGGCTACGAACAGCAGGCGCGTGACGACGGATGCCCAGCAAGATCTTTCGCCATTCTATTACGACTGGGACTATACTTATCCTAATTGGTTGTACCACAGCTTCCCAGGCTGGTGCGCCACGGACTCGTCGTCGTGCGGCTTCTGCGACGGCACGATCGCGGACGGCAAGTGCTGGGACTGGACCGCGAAACGGGGGGTTGAAAACCCGGACACCGACGAGCTCAGCGCCGCGACGACCATGTCGCTGCGTGTCGGCGACGAGGACGCCGTCGACATGACGCTGGGCGCCGAGGCGACGTGGGGCAAGGAGCATGACGAAGACTTCGCGATGAGCGCGACCTTCGGCTTCGACGAGATCAACGCCACGCTGGCGACGGTCTTCGACGTGCGCGAGGAGTCTAACGAGGGTGACGTCGAGATGAGCTTCACGGTCACCGACGGCGCGGCGGAGCGGTTCGCCGTCGCCCTGGCGCTGGCAGGCGCCACGGACGAGCCCTCGGCCCGCACCGCGAGCGGCGGCGGCGGCCTCAGCGGCTCGGCGACCCTGGCGATGCGCGTCGACGGCGAGCAGGTCTTCGAAATCATGCTATCGAGTGCGATCCGGACGGACCACGACTTCTACGTGGAGCTGCGCGTCGAGGACGACGCCGCCGAACGGTTCTTCGTCGACGGGAAGCTCGACTACGACGAACCCGGCGACGAGGACAAAACCCTGTGGGCGCAGCTCGTGGCGCGCGTCGACGGCGAGAACAGCGTCGACGGCGAGCTCGACGCGGCCGCGAAGTGGGGCGACGCCTCGGCGCACCGGTTCGAGGGCGACGCTACGGTCACGCGCGCGGCGCAGCGCCTCGGCGGCGCCACCGAGGAGCTGCTCTACGTCGCGGGCACGTGGGATCACGCCAAGGGCGCCGACGCCGGATCGGTGGCGCTCGACCTCCGAGACCGCGGGGAGGCCTTCGACGGGACCGTGTCGTACGGCTGGACCGAGGTCGACGAATGGCGCGTTGCGGAAGACGTGGAGCTCAAGGTCGTCGTCACCGAGGACACGGGCGCCGAGACGTTCTACGCGGCCATGACGGCCAACGGCGAGGCCGACGACGGCGTCGGCAGCGGCTCGGCGGCCCTCGAGGTCCGCGTCACGAGCGACGGCGTCCAGGAGTTCTCCCTCGCCACGACGATGGAAGGCTCGGCCGATTTAAGCGAGGGAAACGAGGGCAGGCTGACCGGCGCCATGGAACTCCACATCGCGGTTGAGGGCGACGACGCGTTCGCGGCGGAACTTGGGGGCGACGCGGCCTGGACGCCGCCCGAGGAGTCTACGGTGCAGGGCTGCACGTGCACGGACGAGGAGTGGGTCTATTCGCCCGGGGAGGAGCCCGAGGACGACGAGGACTATACGTTGCGGGAGGACCACTGCTACCCAAAAGGGTTCGGGTTCATCTCGGAAATTCACGCCGAAGAAGACTGGAGTTATTACATGGATTACTTCGACCCAAACTTCGGCCCTCAAGGGTGCCTCGATATGTGTGCGGACGCGCCCGGGATGATGATGGCCGTCTACACCAGCTACTACGACGAATGTTATTGCATGAAAGACTACAGTACCAGCTACGACCAGTGGAATTATTCGTGTAAGCGACCCACCAGTGAGTCGACGGCAATCGAAGACATGAACAGTCAGAACCAGTACGCGGAGTACTACTGCTTCACCAAGGACTTCGACGCGTCATTTTTTTCGCGAGATTGCGATTATTCCTATGAGCCCAACTTGTACTGGGAAAACGACTTCCAGGGCCCTACGGACGACATTCGCGTGACGACGGATGCCCAGATGGATCTTGCGCCAGTCCATTTCAATTGGGACTATTGGTACGGCTACGACTTCCCGCGCTGGTGCGCCACGGACTCGTCGTCGTGCGGCTTCTGCGACGGCACGATCGCGGACGGCAAGTGCTGGGACTGGACCGAGGACCAGGACGAGCCGGGCGTCGACGCCGTCGAGGCCTCGATGACGATGAAGCTCAGCGCGCCGGAAAGCTCCGGCGAGCCGCTCGAGGAGGTTTTTGGCGTCGCGGCCGGCCTCGGCGCATGCCTGCAGTTCGACGACAGCAGGGGCTGCCGCGCCGCGCGCGGCGGAATGCTGGAGGCGACGCTGAGCGTGGCGGCGGACGGCGACGACGTCTTCTCGATCGCGGGGGCCGCGGACGCGCCGGAAGACGTCACGGGCGTCGGCCGCACGTGCTTCTACACGGCCTTCGACGCGGACATGCGCGGCTTCGGCAGCGAGGACATGTACGGTGACATGAGCATGGGCCTGGCCTTCGACGACTTCACCTGGTTCGGCGCCCCGCTCGCGGAGAGCGAGGCGTCCATGGCGATGACCGGCGCGGGCAGCGAGGGCTTCACCGTGAGCACCTGGGACGGTGACGCGGCGCAGGGCACGCTGGTCCGCGCCGACTGCGACGCCGTCGTCGACCTCGACCTGAGCCTGTTCGTGGCGAGCCCCGAGAAGCAAGCAGACAACGTGATCGCGGGCGCCGCGACGTTCTCGGGCATCACGGCCGCCGACGCGGACACGGCCGCGGCCCGCGCCGTCTTCCGGGACGCCATCGCGCGCGTCGCCGGCGTCGACAAGGACCAGGTGCGCATCCTGAGCGTGTCCGCCGCCGCGGCCGCGCGGCGGCGCCTGACGGAATCCGTGACCGTCGAGTTCGAGGTCCGTCCCCGCGGCCGCGAGGCCGCCAGCGTGAGCGCCAACCTCCTGGCCGCCGAGGCGGACCCGACGATCGTGGACGCGGCCCTCCAGGCGGCCGCCGCGGACAGCGACGACGAGACGATGGTGGCCCTCTTCGCCGGCGTCAAGACGGAGAGCTTCACCACCGACGTCGAGCGGTCCGCGCCCAAGAAGAAGAAGAAGCGCGGCGAGGACCTCGCGCTCTACGCGATCCTGCTCATCGCCGCGGCGTGCCTCTGCTTTTGCGCGTGCGGCCTCACGGCGCTGGCCGTCCTCTACCTGCGGCGCGGGGGCGCCGCGGCGCCGCCGGCGGTCTGCGCGTCGTGCGGCGCGCCGCTCGCCGCGGGCGAGAAATTCTGCGCGGCGTGCGGCGCCGCCGCCAAGGGCCCGCTGGAGCTCAAGTCTGTCAAGGCCGAAGCGACGGTGTGACGCCCACGCCCCCCCTCCCCCTCTACCCCCCCCCCCGCTCGCGCGGCGCTTCACCGGTTCCCCTCGTATATATCCACATTCGTTACGCGTACCACAGCTTGACCTCGCTCGTCACGACGGAGCACTCGGGCACCCAGAACTTGGCCTTGGACCAGCGCGGCCCGCCCGTCCAGGACCCGGCGGCGCCGCGCGACGCGCCGACGCCCTCGCGCGGCTTGCCCACGCCGTTGGTCTTCATCTTGCCGTTCGCGTCCTTGTCGTGGAGTACCAGCACGCCGTAGTTCGCCGGCACGACGGTCGTGTATACCGTAAAATTCGTATTTTCTTTGTTGTGGATGAGCGCCTCCCCCACAAAAAACGCGCCGTCGTCTTCGTCCCAGTCGTCCTTGTCGGCGTTCCACTCGTCTTTGTTGTTGTGGACCCAGAGCTTCGCCACGCCGTCGTCGTTCTTGAAGTTTCTGGCTTTGACGACGATGAGGCTCGCGCGGCACGGCGTCGGCGCGGGCGTCGGGCAGGGCGTTTCGTCGGCGGCCGCCGTGCAGGTGACGTTGCCGGCCGATGCGCCGGGCGCCCGCGCGGCCGTGGAGACGGCCTCCGTGGCCGAGGCCGCCTCCTCGGCGGCCTCCTGCGATAAGATGTGTACGGCGCAGCCGCCGGCGGCCGCTGTCAATACTATAAACCAAACGAACAAGCGGCAGCACCACCTCGCGCAGCACCATCGCGTCCTTTCTCTACAGTCCGGCGGCGCGCAGCACAGCGCGCGCCACGCGCGCGCGCGCAGCGTCCGGCGCGGTGCCGTTGCGACGCTGGCATCGTCGTCGACCTTCACGGCGACGGCTACGGGCTCGGGGCGCGGCGTACGGCGCGGTACTGTGGCGCCGCTGGCCACGGGCGCGGGCGGGCGCCCGGCGGCGGCGCCGCAGGCCGTGCAGAAGTTGGCGCCCGCGTCTAGGGGCTTGCCGCACGACGCGCACGGCACGGTGAGCGGGTTCGGCGGGCCGCGGCACATGGCGCTACATGCCTTGAGGGCAGCCCGCTCGGCCCGCGTCACTCCTCATTTTAGTGCATTGCATGTGCTGGCTGGGCACAAACCCTCCAAATGCTGGTTCCTGAGAGCAGTGGCAGTGCGTCTGTGTGCCTTGCTTTGCCCAAGTTGGGGCTGCTTGCCGGTCCGTGGCCGATCACACGTCTACGCCTCCTCCGGCGTCCCACGACCGCTCGTCGGCGCCCGGGACGGCCTCTCTTTTTGCGTTTTATCGCTCGCGATACGTACAGTACCTAGGCAAGTACCGAGGACCTTACATCTATATTCTAAAAGTAGGCCGCAGGGTATGTGTTTTATTTATTGGGTCTTTCCCTCATTTTATTTCGTATATAGGAAATTTTATTTTTGTACGTATATAGGTATAGTACCCCGCTAGTGTCTTACAGGCCGCTAGCACCGATTTGCAGCCGCGCAGCCCGACTGCCAAGTGGCCCGCGGGTGACTGACGACTGCTGAAACGCGCATCGTTAGCAACGCACAGCACCGCAGCAACAGCCAGCGACAGCTGCCGCCACACCGAGCACCCGTGACCCTGCTGCAGCCGAACGCAAGGCAGCGATGGTGCGCACGCGCAAGCAAAGAGAAGCTGCGCCGACGCCCGACAAAGCCACCAAAGCACCGGAGGAGGCGCCCAAGCAGAAGAAGAAGTCTTCTAAAGGCGGCCTCACCTCATACCTCAACTCGTCCACGCTCGCGACGTGCGCGGCCGTGGCCTACGTCGCGTTCGCCTACCGCAATTTTTCGAGGGTGCTCGATCCGCTCGCGAACCTCCCGGACGATTACAGAGGTGGTGTCCAAGTCACACCTATGTGGCCCGAGAACTCGACGCTGGACGTGGAGGTCGCGCTGTCGACGTACGCGTCGCTCCCGCACGATTTTATGAGGAATGCATCTTTGTACGACGATTCGACGGTGATCATCTGGCGGGAACAAAACATAGAGCTCAACACGCACACCAAGGACCGCAAGATTGATTTAAGGTTGTGTGCGTCGGAAAGCGCTTTACAGTGCTCCGACGCTGCATTAGCAGCCGCCGAGCGGGCGGCGCAGCCCGGTGTTTTGTCAAGGTTGATCTTGGGCGAGGAGAGCAGTGGCCCGCGGCAACGTATTATACTACCACCAAAGGCCTGGGCGCAGCTCCAGGCGAACGGCACATTATATTTGCACTCGGCCGTGACGCGTATCACCGAAAAAGCCAGGTGGCGCGGCCTCGCGGATAACGATGTCCGGCGCACGGCGCGCGTGCCGTCTATTGCATTAGTAAAATTCGAGGCGGCGCCCAAAGGAAGAGCGGCGCTGGCAAAGAGGAAGCTGCTCTACGACGTCCACCCGACGCTCGGTTCACTAGGACCGCCGGCGCCCTGGGCGCCGACCTACACCGGAGAAGACGGCGAGATGTGCGCCAAGTGGAAGCCCGAGGCGGCGGTGCGCGTCGTCGCAGAATTTCGCGACTGGCCGGCCGACGTGAGTGTGCCGGGCATGCAGCGCTTTCGAGATCGGGCGCCGGGCGGCTCCGTGGTCTACAAGTACGCGCCGCCGACGTACGCCGACGAGATCGGCCTGACGTCCGACAAATATCTCGTGGTGAACAGCACGGTGGACGCGCTGCCGCTCTCGCTAAACTTCCAGCCCTTATCGTTCGCGCGGTGGCAGCTCATCGCGCGCATGGAGGAGGGTCTGAAAGCGCAGCAGGAGGACTTTGGGTTCTCCGAGAACGACATCGATGAAGTCAGGCGATTGATAGCAGACACGAAGACGTGGTTGTTAGCGGTCACAATGCTCGCGTCCGTCTTGCACTTGTTATTTGAATTCTTAGCCTTCAAGAGCGACGTGGACTTCTGGAAGAACAACAAATCACTCAGGGGCTTGTCCGCGCGGTCGGTGGTCGTCGACCTCATTTCGCAGATTGTTGTATTGGCCTACCTCGTGGACCAGGGGTCGAGTTTACTCGTATCGATTCCCGCGGCCGGGGCCATATTAATACAATGCTGGAAGGTCGAGAAGGCGACGGGCGTGCGGCCGGACTTCTCGCGGCCGTTTCCGTGGATAAGGTGCGAGCGGCTCGAGGCCGTGGCCCTCTCCGCGAAGAACGCCAAGGCCGACGACAAGGGCGCGCAGCTCGACGCGGCGACGCTGCGCGTGGACCGCCTCGCGACGCTGTACTTATCTCTATCGCTCGGGCCGCTCGTCGTCGGCTACGCGGTCAAGACGCTCATCTACGACGCCCATCTGGGCTGGTACTCGTGGGGCCTCGGCGCCATGACGAACGCCGTCTACACGGGGGGCTTCATCCTCATGACGCCGCAATTGGCGCTCAACTACCACCTCAAGAGCGTGTCGCACCTGCCGTGGCGGCTCCTCTGCTTCCGCTTTGTGAACACGTTTATTGACGACCTGTTCGCCTTCGTGATCAAGATGCCGGTGATGCACCGCGTGTCTTGCTTCCGCGACGACGTCGTCTTCCTCATCTACCTTTATCAGAGGCGCATCTACTCCGTGGACATGAGTCGGGGCGTCGCGGGCGAGGACGCGGCGCAGTAAGTTAAAGGGCCCCCGAGTCAGAGTTTGATTTTTAGTAATGCGCTCGTGTCTGTGAACACGGCAGTAGAGGAGGGGAGGTCTCGCATCATGGAGCACCGGACGAGCGAGAGGGAAGGGACTGCACCAGGCGGGAAACTTGAGGCCGCGGGCGTCCGTCGTGAGGAGATCGCGAATTTGTTTTTCTTTTCGTGAATTTGGGGGGGGGGAATTTTCTTCAGGCTTCCGGTTCTGGTTCCGGTTCCGGTTCCGGTGCACTCTCGGCGCCCTCCCTCGGCGACGACCGCCAGGACGCGAGGCGCCGCAGCCCGCGCGCGCCCCAGCCCTCGGACACCGCCTCCGCGACAGGGACGGCTGGCGGCGGCGGCGGCGGCTCCTCGGTCGACCACCCGGCGGCTTGGGCCTTGATGGGCGCCAGGGCCGGGGGCGGCGCCGACGGCGAGGGGTACCAGCCTCGCTTCTGAGGGATCGCCGCCAGCGCCGGCGGTGGCGTCGGCGGCGGCGGCGTCGGTGGCTGTGCGTCGCCGACCAGGGGCGGCGTGGGAGGCTTGCGGGGCTTCTGCTTCTGCTTCTTCTGCCACCTCGCGACGCAGAGGCACAAGCCCGCGATGCAGCAGCAAAACCCGACGACACAGCCCACGACGATGCCGATGATTACCGGCATGGCATCCTTCCGCTTCTTCTTGTTGTCCCACCACGTCGTCGGCGCGGCGGTCGGGGCGTCGGTCGCGGCGACGACGGTGGACGTCAGCGATGTGGTGGCGACGCCCGCGAACACGGCCCTTGTGGACGCCTTCTTCGCGGCGTCGTCGATCGCCTCATCAACATCCGCGGGACTGGCGCTCGCGAGGTTGGCGGCGGCATCCTCCGACGCCTCGTGGTCCGTCAACTGGATCTTGTAGTCGACGACGACGCCGGTCTGGAGTCGGCGGCGGCGCGCCGCCGCCACGCCCAGGATCGTTACGTCGCCCTTCGACACGCCCGCGACGTCGGCGATGGCGCCCTGGAGAACGGCCTTGGATTCTTCTCCGCTGGCTTCGGCGACCGAGATGCCGGACAGCGTGAGGGAACCGGCGACGACCGGAGCTTCTGTCGGCACCGGCGTGGGTTTCGGTGTCGGAGTCGGCGTCGGCCTCGGCGTTGTTGGGGTCGGCGTCGGCCTCGGCGTTGGGCGCAGCGAGGGCTCCGGCGTCGGCGCAGGAGAAATATTTGCGGTGAAATAAAAGGTCTCGCCAGAGCCATAGGCACCATTCGAACTGTAGATCTGGACGCCGTTCAGCTCTAGGTAATAGGACCCACCACCAGTGCAAGAACAGGACCCACCACCACAGCAGAGACCGTCGCCATACGAGTCTAATATCTCGAACATGTAGTTCTCGCTCGCACAGAAGTCCGTGGCGACCACGATCTCGTACAGCGTGTGTTGACTACTGTACGACCCTCCTGACGCCGTCACGCTTGCACAAGCAGACGACTGGGTGCTCACAGTCCAGCTGATCTCGCCCGGGTAATAGTCCGTCGTCAGGAACAGCACAAGCGTCTGGTCGCACCCAGCGCAGGGTGTTGGCCTCGGCGTCGGCGTCGGCGTCGGCGGAGCAGCACATGCACAACCCGAGCAGTCGCAGTCATAAGTACCTTCCAGCGTCGAACAGCTGTCGCCATGCGTGGTCCAGTGGTCGCAGGTTTCTCCAAAGCACGTCGGAAAGCACGTGCTGCAGACGACACCGGCGTCCTCGTTATGGCCGCAGTCGTGATTGCCCCAGCCGTCGAAAGAGCACTCGGAGAGCACCGCCTCGTCGCCGGCGCAGGAAACGGCGTCCATCCATATCGTGCCGCTGCCCTGTCCAAAGAAAGCAGATGTCTTGGCTTCCAAGGCGTCCGTCCCGAAGAGCTGCTCGCAGACCACGGTGGCATCCTGAAGATCCCAGTCATCGTCGCACACCGTACCCCACTCATTATTGTGCAAGATCTCGACCCGGCCTTCGTAGGCGCTCGTGCCGTCGACGAGGCGCAGAGTACCCTCACCATCGACGCTTGGCGCGGGCGTCGTCGGCTCTGGCGCCGGGAGCGCGCAGGTGAAATCGCACGCGAGGCCGAGTGCGCTCAGGGCCAAGTCCTCGTAAATGCACTCGAAGTACGCCTGATATTCCGTCTGACATACGGCGGGCCCGTTGGCGCACTGTCCGTTTGAGAGCCACTGCTGGACGTCGTCGCATGTCTCCGGCGAAAAGTCGTCGCTGCCGCCGCTGCTGCTGCCACTGCTACTGCACTCACAGATCGCGTCGCTCGTGCTGACCGATCCGTCGCATCCGAGGTGATAGTCCACGGTACATGAATCATCCGAAAACTCCTCCCAACCGTCGATGCAAGTGAGGCCAATGCCGGAGCAGTACCCGCCGCACGTAGAACCATACATTTCCCAATTTACGAGCGCCTTGCACGCACCGCAAACGCCGCCGCCGTCGTACCAGTCCAAGTCGGGCCATGAGGAAGGGTCGCACAAAGCATCGCCGCCGAAGGAGAAGCTGTAGTCGTTGTCAGTGAAGAAGTCGTCGTCAGCCGTGAAACCGGGCGTAGACGAGAGGCAGTCCGTAAAATCCTCCAGTTCGTCGGGGCACGGAAGGTACGAGTACGCCGGAAGGTACGAGTACGAGTAGGGCGCTTGTGACAGTCCGCAGCACTCCAAGGCCTCCGTGCAGTTGCACCAGCCGGGTTGGCCGGTGCAGTCGCCGCCGCAGTCGCAGTAGTCGGCCGCGGGGAGCCCGGGGCAGAGGACGGCGTCGTCCGGGACGCCGCCGTAGGAGTAGCTGTAGTCGTCGTCGTCGTTGCAGAAATTCGAAAGCTCGGCGTCGGCGTCGAACGTCTCCGTGAAGCAGACATATGATTCGCCCATCCAGGACCAGTCCATGTCTTCGATCGCCACCGAATTCCCGACGGGCCTCTTACACGCCATCCAGCCAGCGTTGTAGTCGCCCGCGGCGAGTTTGCCTGCGCGCGAATCGAACCTTGGTCTCACTTCGCTTGAGACGAGACCGGAAACTTGTCTGTCCACCCGGGCGAGTACACATACACCTGTGGCCTGAGGAGCTGTAACTATCCAAGGGCTCCAAATCGAGACCCATATAACCGGAATTGCCCACGCAGTAAGCGTAGCATTCTTGGGGCGTTCCTGTTTCCGCGAGGTCGCTGCCCATAGACCCGCCCGTGTTGATAAACGGTGCTTCTGACCCAGGATAGCAGTGGCCCGCCTGAAAGGTGTACACCGCGGGCGAACCGCTGACCGGCATCGCCGTCGGGTTCCCGGGCGTGACGCTCGGCGCCGGCGTCGGCGCGGGGACCGGCATCGCCGTCGGGTTCCCGGGCGTGACGCTCGGCGCCGGCGTCGGCTTGGGCGTCGGCCTTGGCGTTGTCGGCTGCGCCGTCGGCGTGAGCGACGGTGCTAGTGTGGGCGCGCGCGTCGGTTGCGGGGCGCTCGCGCAATCGAGGTCGCACCCGGCGATGTTCAGATCGCTCAGCAGCTGGTACTCAAAAAGACATTCGACGTACGACCAGTACTCTGACTGGCACTCCGGGGGCGAATAGGCGCAATGCTCGACGAAAAAGGGGTGCTGCTGTGCTTCGTCGCAGGTCGTGGGTGGACCGTACGAGTAGGCGTACGACGAGGAGTCGAACTGGAAAAAGTCGTCGTCGTACGTGAGGGCCGACGCCTTGAGACAATCAGACCAAGTAGTAGCATCATCGGAGCACGTGTACGAGAACGAGTAGGCCGGTTCATTATACAAGTGCGAGTATAATGGTTCACCTCCGAAGCAGCACGCGTGGCAATCTACCGCGCCGTCGTCTGGCAGACCATCATTGTAGCAGGCGACAGACTCGCTGAAGGACGAGCATTGCTCACAAGCATTCCCCGCTCCGGAGCTACCGCCGTCAAAGTTGCAAAACTCGCCCGTTGCGCATGGGCTGCCGTCGGCATAGCACGCTGTCTGCCCGCGACACTCGGGCCAGCACGAGCCCCCGCCGTCGCCGTCCGCGTCGTAGTGCGCGTAGCCGCTCTCGCACTCCAGGCAGTCCTCGTATCCCGGGCCGTCGCACGCGATGCAGTTCTCGGTGCACGCGCCCGAGTAGGAGTATGAATAGTACGTCGCCGTGCAGTTGAGGTCGCAGTTCAGCGGAGCCGCGCCAGTTAGATCATCATTTATCGCGTCGAGGGCTGTCGCGTACACGCACTCGACGTAGGTGTGCCATTCCGCCGCGCACGCCGCGGGCGGATCGCCGCAGGCGTCCTGGAACTCGTAGTACGTTTGCATGCCGGCGCAGGTGGTCGGGAAACTGGCATCCGCCGCACAGCACGACCATCCGCCGGCCGACGCGTCAACCCCATTTTGGGCTGCCGTCTCCAGGCACGTCACGTAAGCGCTCTCTAAGTCGGGGCAGAGCAGGAACTCGTGGTACGAGTACGAGTATGAATAGTCGTACGAGCACGGTCCCGGGAGCTCCGCGATCGATCCCTGCGTCGCCAGGAACACCCCTGGATCCCCCACGTCGTTCATGCATCTGCAGTCGTTCTGGCAGTAGCAATAGCCTTCCACGTCCCAGTCGGCGGCCACGAGGGCGGAGCCGTACATCGCGTCGCACTGGGCCCAACACTCTTCGCCGCTGTAGAAGCCGATCTCGTAGTCGAGATCCGAGTCGCACCAGCCCACGCCGCTTCCCCAGTACTCGTACGGGTACGAGTACAAGTAGCTCCCGTCGTCGCCGTCGTCGTCACCGTCGTCACCGTCGCCGCCGATGTAGTTCGCGTTCGTGCCGCCGAGCGCCAGCGAGTCGACGAAGCCGTCGTCGTCGTAGCACGCCCGCGTCGCCTCGCACGCCGAGTCGTCCAGGTCCGCGAAGCCCATCCCTTCGAGCGTCGCCTTGCCGGCCGCGTCGACGCAGACGCCAGTGCAGTCGCCGAAGAGGACCATGAGTTCGTACGCGGCGTCGGCGCACGTGATGCAGTCGCGGAAGTCGTTGCTTCCGCCCGAGGGCGCCGAATCACTGTAGCCGCACGTGGCGCAGGCGCCCGGCGCAAGCGCCACCGTGAAGTCGTCGTCGAAGTAAGACTGGTCGCCGTCAAAGCACGCTGCTCCGGAACCCGTGTAGGCCGCGCAGTCGGCGGCGGTCCGGTCGTCATTGATGCTCCCGAGGCGCGAGACGCGGTCCCGGCCTCGCACGGCCCGCTCGGTCCGCCACTCGGGCGCCGCCGCCGCCGCCTCGATATCCGCCAGCGTAAGCTTGCCGGTGGCCTCCCAGCGAGCCTTCAGCAGCGGGTGCGCCGTGTCGACCAGCTGCTTCGGGCTCCCTAAGCGCCGGCCCGCGCTCGTCGTCTTCTTGCCGCCTCGGGTGCCCAGCAGCTTCTCGATTCTGCTCCGGGCCGTTTCGCGCGACGGCTTCCTGGCGTCGGCGCCGACGAGGCAGAGGGCGAGGGCGACGGCGGTCTTCATTGGCCTTTGGCAGCGTCCTGGGAGGGCGTCGGCCGTGTACTTCTGCCAGCCTCTAGGCTGCCCGCCGCATCGTGGGCCACTGCCGGTCGCGCGCGGCAGGAGCAGGAGCAGCAAGGCAAGGCTGCCGAGGAGCAAAAGTTGAACACACTCTAGGCTCGCGGGAGAACAGGAGCGGGCGTTATCGAGGTTTGATCGAGGCTACAAGCTCGTACTAGTACACTTCGAGGTCTTAGTAAAGTGAGAGTAATAGAGGAAAGTTCCGTCGGGTCCGGTCGCGTGGAGCACTGGACAAGCGAGAGGAGCGGACTGCGCCAGGCGGGAAACTTGAGGCCGCGGGCGTCCGTCGTAAAGTGAATTTGGGGGGAAGGGGAATTTCCGGTCGCTAGAATTCGGGAGGTACGCCCTGATCGTCTAGAAACGCCGTCATGACCTTGTTGCGTGCGTACCATTTGTTGAGCGCCTCCGGCGTCGCGGGGAATGGTCCGAACCTGGTGCGCAGCGCGGCGCCCTTCTCGGTCGTGTTGTACCAGCGCTCAACCGAAGCGTGGACCATGTCGACGCGGCGCGGCGAGCACAATTCCTCCTGAGCGACGTCGACCTTCTTGCCGCCCAGGGTGATCGGGGGCGGCGCCGCGGCCGGCGCGCGCCAGGACGCGAGGCGCTGCAGCCCGCGCGCGCCCCAGCCCTCGGACGACGGAATCGGCTCTGCGGCAGGGACCTCCGGCTCCGCGGCAGGGACCTCCGGTTCCGGTTCCATTTCGCTGGTCTCCGGTGCCGGCGCGCGCCAGGACGCGAGGCGCTGTAGGGAGCGCGCGCCCCATCCCACCGACGACGTCGACTGAACCGGCTCCGCGACTGGGGCCGATGGTTGCGGCGGCGTCTCTTCGTTCAGCATCATCCCGGCGGCTTGGGCCTTGATGGGCGCCAGGGTCGGGGGCAGCGGCGCCGACAGATCGGGGAACCGGCGTTGCTTTTTGTGCTCGGGAATTGGCACCAGCGCCGGCGGCGGCGTCGGCGGGGGCATCGCCGCCAGCGCCGGCGGCGGAGGCTCCCGAGCGTCGCCGACCAGGGGCAGCGAGGGCGGCTTGCCGGTCTCCTGCTTCCGCTTCTTGCATCCCAAAAAGCAGCACACACCAATGCAGCCGGCGACGACGACGAAGATGGCGACGGCGACGCCGGCGATCATGCCGACGTTGAGCTCGCAGCACTCGCCTTCGTTCGAGGCGCAGCACTGGTCCTTCGAGCACCCGATGCCCTCGTACTCCGGCAGCGTCCAGTCGCCCCACTTGCCTTTGGCCTCTCGCGTGAAGCCGGTGCACGAACCCTTGTACATTTTCTCCGTACACACGTCCGAACAGCCTCCACACATCCCTGGCAGCTCGGCGATGACATTGTCGCGCGTCGCCACGTAGTATCCCATGCCGTGGCCGAGATCCAGGCACTGGCACTCGTCCTGACAGTAGCACTGGCCTTCAAGGTCCAGGTCGACGGCCACGAGGTCGAAGCCGTGAATTTCTTCGCACTTCTCCCAGCAATCCTGCACGCTAGAGGCGTCGCCCACGTACTCGTCCAGGTCGGAGGAACACCAGCCTGATTGGAACCCCCAATTTGGCTGGGTAGGCTGTCTTGTCGGTTCCCGCGTCGGCGCAGGCGTCGGGCAGACGCTCATTTGCGTTACCCCACACGACGAATAAGAGCACCCAGTGTAGTAAAAAGCGTAGCTTATACTCACGTCGTATTCGAAGCACCAGCCGAGGTACTGGTCCAAGTCATAGGTTTGGTAGAAAAGGTAACCTAAATCCCCCGTCACGGCCCGAATGTTCCAGCCGCTGAGGTCTTGGTTGAAGTCTTGGGCGTTCATGAACATATTGTACATCCTTGTCACCCTAGAAGTATCCCACGTGCTGATGTCGTCGTTAAAGTACCTCGCGTTATACTTGTAGGTCGTGTACGAACTGCCGCAATAGCTTAAGGCGTACCCGCAAAACAAATACGCCATGTCCGTTACCTGACTCGTGTCCCACGTCGAGATGTGGCCATAGGTCGACTCGGCGGAGCTGCGGCTGTAGATCCAATCATACACAGCCGAGTGGATATTGCTGTCGGATGCCGTCCAACCTGTCGTCGCATCGCCGCTGGTGCTGCCGCTACTGCTGCTGCACACGAAAGTTTTGTAACTATTAGGTGTGTCGTTCCACGTGCCATCGCTCCACATTTCTGCATAGTCCTCGTTGCCCGAGTTGTTGGGCTCACCGGGATACCAGTTCTCGTAGTCCCACGCGGTGCCGTCCGACCACGTCCACGTGCCCTCTTGGGCCGCGTCGGAGCCCCCGATCCAACAATTACCGGGACAAAGCGCGTCGACTGCCGCATTCTCACTGGAGCTGTGGATAGACGCGAAGTCGTAGTAGTTTGCGCGGCAGTACGCGCGCGCGTCGTCGTAATACATACTTTGGCTGACGTACACGAAGCTCGCGGCCGTAGTCGGGCAGTCTCTCCTGTAGACGTCATAACTCGCGCAGTTGTCCAGGTTGCCATCAGTCCCGCACTCGTCATCGCCCTCGCAGAGTTCGCCGCACGCCACAGAGTCGTAGCAATTCCCCAGGTCGGAATCCGAAGGACACTCGGAGGTACTTATCGCCACGAAGGTCGCGGAACCGCAAGATTGCAGCCGGCGAAGATCAGACGCGTTGCGTGACGCGCGCACCAGTCCGCGGACCTCGGGACGTCGCAACGCCACCGTGAGCTCAGCCGACGCCAGCAACAAAACCACCAATATGTTAGCAGAGGCCATCGGCTCCGCTCTGTGACTGCGCCACGCAGACGCCCTCCCCAGCACTTACAGATGATCCGGGCTGCCCCGCCCGCTGCGGGGTTGCGTGCGGGCGCGCGCAGGGGGCTCAGCCGCGGGCGCAGCAGAGCGCTGCCCCGAGTGCATGCAGCAACCCATCAAAATTGAAGCCACTAGGCTCGCGAAAGAGCTCTCCGGCCACTACCGAGAGATCGGGAAGCGTCCTCCGTGGCCCTCGGAAAGCAAATAGATTGCGGTGGAGCGAGCCGTACCGAGCTTCCGAGTTGAGGGCAGCTGCGAGCGCCGAGGTTGGGCAGCGGCGGGGCAGCCAAAGCGGCGGCTGCGCTCACGATGATGCTTCGCGCGCTCGTCCTCGCGGTGGCGCTCGCGCCGGCGGCGCGCGCCGACTGCGAGGTCTGCAAGAAGAAGCACGTGAAGGAGATCAAGTCCTGCGGCGCGTTCTGGACGCCCAGCAAGTACGTCGGCGAGTTCGCCAAGCGCGAGGGTCCTGCCCCAACTCCCAGCCCGACGCCCGCCCCAGTGCAGCCATGTTCAGATAGTACGACCGGTTGCTTGTATAACACGTATTATGGTTATAATTGCTATACTTATGACTATAATGGTAGAGACTGCTCATATTATGACAGTAATTCGTATGAGTGCGGCTGGTACGACTGGGATTATTTCAAAGCGAGCGCGCAGTGTTGCGCGTGCGGCGGCGGTACTTCCTGGCGGCGCCTCGGGGAGGCGGAGGACGAGGCGGAGGACCGGCGCTTTCTCACCCACTACTACGACGGCGATGACGACTGGTGGTTGGGGGACGATGACGAGGACGACGACTGGACCGACTCGCGGAGCCGCTGCCACAAGGACGTTTGCTGCGCAGCGCACGAGAACGACTGCTGCGAGGCGGACGTCGGTGCCATCGCTGCCTTCACTTTCGCCCTCCTCGCGCTCGTAATCTGCTGCATCGTCGCCTGCAGCTGCGCGGCGTGCAAAGACTGCCCGGCCGGACAAAAGAGCAACCGCCGCTACGTCGTGCTCGGCTTCCTGGCCTTCCTGTGCGCCGGCATGCAGTGCATCGCCATGCTCCGCGGCCCGCTGTGGGCCCGCACCGTGTATCACATCGAGATCACGGACGACGAGTACGAAGAGGTGAGCTACACGTCGGGCGACCGCGAGTGGGTGGGAGAGTGCGTATCTGATACCTCGACCACTGATAGTAATGGAAATTCTTGCTCGTACTATGATGACTATGATTACTATTGCGGAAATTACGACGACTCGAACTTCGACGCGAACGAGATGTGCTGCGCGTGCGGCGGTGGCAACCGCGACAATCAGTGGAAGAGCGGATGGACCGAGGAGAACGACCTCTGGTTCTGGGTCTACAAGGACAACAGCCACACGGAGAAGCACGTCATCAAGGAGGACAAGGTGAAGGACTGCGCCTGGATCTCGGAGCACGACGATTACGGGGACCCCCGGTCCTGCAAGCTCGTGTCGCAGGCGGCGATCACCGCGCGGTACACCACGGGCATCGCGTGCCTGCTGATGGCCCCGTGCGCGCTCTTGATGCTCCTCGTCGCGTGCGGGTGCCGCTTCCGGTGCTGCTGCCCGGGGTGCCCCGACGACGCGACGCCGCGCATCTTCATGACCCTCGCCGTGGTCCTCGCGGTCGGCGGCTTGATTGCTATCGGGGGCGCCGCGAACTTTAGCGACCAGTACCTGAAGGGCATCGAGTCCTGGGAAAAGCATACGGAGAAGGGCGACGACTGGCGCGACGACGACTACGGGCGCACTTGGTCGGGAGGACAAGACCGGGACGTCGACATGGAGTCCGTCTCCTGCCACTGGGGCTGCGCGTTTTCGATCCTCTCGGGCCTCTTCTCGCTCCTCGTCGGCGTCGCCGCCGTCTGCCTCGGCATGCTCCGGCCCGTCAAGCAGACCAAGGGCCTCTTCAACCCGCCCTCGACGCCGGTGCCGCCGCTCGGCGTCAAGCACACGTGCGCCAAGCCCGGGTGCAAGAAGGCGGCCAAGCACACCTGCTCGGTCTGCGAATCCGTCTACTATTGTAGCCCGCAGCACCAACTGGACCACTGGCCCGCGCACAAGCAGGAGTGCAGCGCGGCTACCCGGGCCGCCCCCAGCCCGCCGGCGACGCCCCTGCCCCCGAAGTCGCCGGCGCGCAAGGCCGTCTGCGCCATGCCCGGCTGCTCCAAGGCGGCCGCACACATGTGCTCGGCCTGCGAGTCCGTCTACTACTGCTCGGCGGAGCACCAGATGTCCCACTGGCCCACGCACAAGGCGGCGTGCCGTCCGAGCGCGACGGACTCGCGGCAGCCGGCAGCGACGGCGCCGCCGCAGAGCGGGAGCTCCCGCGGGCTGGGGCGCTTCGGCTGGCGCGCGCCGGCGCCGGCGCCGGCGACCGACGCGGCCGGCGAATTCGAACCGGAAGCCTAAACGGCGCGCAAAGTCAGAGAACGAAGCCCCTTGCGTCGACGTTCGCGCAGCGCCCCCCAAAAAATCACGAAAAGAATTCACAGACCCCCCCCATACGATGGACGCCCCCGGCCTCAAGTTCCGCCTGGTGCAGTCGTCCTCCTCGATGCCCCCCGCCGCGCCTGCCCGGTGCTCCATGCGACCGGACACGCCGAAACCTTTCCTACTAGTCATAGTATAACACTTCGAGTTAGAAATCTGAAAGCTGTTGTTGCGCCCTTGGCATCAAGCCCTGCCTGGCGCAGTCTGGGGAAGAGGCCCCTACGCGCCACTCTACGCGCCCCAGCCGCCGCTCGTCCCTGGACTAGTTAATCCCAGCAGACTTTGCAGCGTTCGAAAAGGATGGTGTTTACAAAGCGGGCCCCGACTTGGGAGGGCACGACTCAGAGATGATTGGGGGCGCAGCGCGCGCTTCGAGGGAGTTTGTAAGAAGCGTCGGATCGGTAGGCGCGTAGAGCGCGTCGAGAGCTTGAGGGGGGGCTTGTGAATGAGCTTGAGGGGAATTGAATTGAGAATTGGGAGCCGCTGGTCTAAACCTTGCGTGCGGCCGAGCCGGAAGCGCAACGAGGACGAGGAGGCGTCGGAGAAGCTCTACACGCTCGTGCAGCACGTCGAGGTCGCGTCGGTGAAGGGGCTCCAGACGGAGGTCGTGGCCGACGTGTGGGTAAGGGTTGTATCTGATTTCGTGGCCCCTGCACGCCGTCGCGAGGGAGTGGGTTGCGGGAACAGAGTCGGTCACAGTCGGACCAGGAAATTTAACGAGTTATCTAGAGGACTCGGAGACGCATAGAAGCGTCCATGTGAAAAAGAACGGACGTGATCAAGCTGCCACCTCCTCCGCGACTACATTTAGCGAGGGAGCCCGCTGGACCCACCGCGCCGTTTTAGTCGCAGCGCGGCTTCGCGGCCACCGCTTCTCGCACGCGTCGGCCGCGTGTACCCAGAGGGGCGCCTCGCCGCGCGCGCCGCGATTCGAGAATGTGAGCAGTGCGAGCGCGACGACCCGGCCGAGCATCCCCAGACTCAGCAGGATCGGCAGATTGAGCGCGTCGCTCGAGAGCCACCGACCGTTGATGACGCAGACGCCGCCGTCCTTCTCCCGCGAAACCTGCGTACGCCACGCCGTCGAGTCGACGTCACGACGTGAAATTTGATTTGCGCACTGCGCGGGACCACGTCCCGGAGCCAGCCCTCGTGAAACGGGAATCGGTAGAGGATGTAGAGCGCGGAGTGTTTCCATGGTTTTGCGTAGAACAGCGGCGGCATCTTCCACGCGTGCGACAGCCGCCGCGTCTGCGCGGTGAAGAGGGCCTCGCCGGCCCAGCGCACGGGCGCGAGCCAGGCCAGGACTCGGGTGGCGCTGCTCTTGTCCGCCGCGTAGAGCGTCTCGGCGGGCGGGGCGAGCATCGTCAGTACGAGCACGGTGACGACGATGAGCAATTGGGCGTCCTTGAGCGAGCACAGCATGGACGCCACGTAGGCGTAGCCGCTTACGGCGTAGGCGAGCAGGTAAAACACCAGAAAGTAGTACGAGAGCGACGGCGTCGGCCTGGCCTGCGCGTAGAACGGCACCCCGAAGGCCAGTACCATCAGCGCGAGCCGCGGCAGTTGCACGAGGTCCTTCCCCAGGAAGTAGGCCGACGGAGACAAAGCCATACCCGACCCACGCGCGCACTCGCGCCAGAAGACGACCCGTTCGGGCGAGAACACCCTCAACGATGACACGGCGACGACCAGTTGCAGCCCGATGCCCAACCAGAGCACCATCATCGAGAGCGAGTGCGGCTCGACCTTCTCCGATTGGGCCCCAAAGACAAAGCCGGCCGCCGCCATCAAGGACACGTCGAATGCGAGCGTGCCCGGCTTCGCCGCCTCCTGCAGCAGCGCCCGGTGCGCGAAGAGCGCGACCATGGCTAGCCAGCCCCGGGCCGCGGGGGCCACCGGGCCATCGTCGACGCTCTTGCTTCGCAGGATCGGCGGGTGGCTCACGCCCCGCCGCTGGCCCCACTCGCCCGCGAGGTGCTGCGACGCGGCCGCGCGGGGCGTGACGCCGGGCACGCTGGCCGCCGGCGCCCGCCCGCTTGCCGCCGGGGCCTCGCTGGAGGGTGCCGCCGCGCGGCGGCGATCTGGGACGACAACCGCGGCGCCCCCCGAAATGAGTTCCAGGTAGAAGTCCGCGGGATTCGCGTACGGCGGGAGCTCGTAACCCAGGTCGCCGCAGAAGTACGCCTCGGCGGCCTCGGGCCCGCCGTGGTAGACCACCCGGCCGCCGACGCCCAGCAGTAACACGTGCGTGAAACTGCGGAAGATCGGGAAGCTCGGCTGGTGCAGCACGACGACGACGTTGACGCCGCGCCTCGCCTGGGCGTTGAGCGCCTCGACGATGTGCCTCGACGTCGTCGAGTCCAGCCCACTAGTCGGCTCGTCAAGGAACAACAGCGAGGGGTCGCTCACGATTTCCATCGCCACATTCACTCTCTTCTTCTGACCCCCGGAGATGCCTCTCATCTCGGCGTCGCCGATCGTGGAGTCCCAGACCGTCGGCCGGAGCCGCACCGTTCGCAGCGCGGCGCAGACCTTGTTGTCGAGCTGCGCCTTCGACACGGCCCTCGGGGCGCGGATCGAGGCATAGAATGCGATGGTCTGCCGGACCGTCAGCTCGGGCAACATGACGTCATCTTGGGGCACGAAAGCGCTCAGCGTCGACCACCGGTCCAGGCTCGAGCTCCGATGCTCGCCGTTCACGAGCACGGACATGGTGCCCTCGACGACGCCGTACCCGCCCGCCCGCCCGGCGAGCACGTTCATGAGCGTCGTCTTGCCCGCGCCGCTGGGGCCCATGATCGCCGTCACGCAGCCCGAGTCGATGGCGCCGGTGGCATTCGAGAGCACGGTTCGTCCGTCGGACCGGAGCCGGAGGCCTAGGTCCTGGAAGGCAAGGTCGATGCGGATCTCTACGTCGCCGGCGTCGATGGCGACCTCACTAGGAGACACCGATACGTCGTCGAAGGGAATGCTGAGGCACCGGTTTAGTGCCGAAGGCGATGCCGATTCGTCCACGTCCGCATTCGACGCCGAGTCGTCGTCACCCAAGTCGTCGTCGTGCGGAGGCGGGTTGGGGGCGGCCCTGGTAGCCGCGCTGCACTCCTGCTTGTGCGCGGGCCAGTGGTCCAGTTGGTGCTGCGGGCTACAATAGTAGACGGATTCGCAGACCGAGCAGGTGTGCTTGGCCGCCTTCTTGCACCCGGGCTTGGCGCACCTACGTGTCGAATCGTCGCGTCGATGGCGTCGACGCGGGAATGAAGGCGCCTTCGCAGACGCGGAGTCGCACGTGTGCTTGCCGCCGTTGTCGTCGTGCGGCCCCCGGGCGCTCGATCGGTAGAACGTGAGGAGGCCGGCGGCGCCGCAAGAAACGGTAGTAGCGGCGGCCGCGGCCGCGAGGACGACGAGCGTCCACGTCGCGTCGCCCTCCCTGACAAGCACAGCGACGACCGCGACGAGAAGGAGCGGTCCGGCCGTGGCCGCGACCACGACGTGCGACCGCCGCGGCACCCCGCAGACGACGAGTACGGGGTAGTCGTCCCGTGCAGCCGCGCCGGCAACGTCGAAGTGACAGAGGCCGCAGCCGCCGTACAAAACGACGCCGAAGACGCAGAGGAATGCGAGGACCGCGCCGTTGTCAAAAAGCGACGCGACGGCGAGTGCCCAGGCCACCGGCCCCGCGAGCGCCGCGATCCTCAGGTGTACGGCGAAGTCCCCTCCGCCCCACGGCGGCACGTCGCTACCGGCGTCGGCGGCGAGGCCAAAGCGCGCGCGCGCGGCATTCACGATGCGCCGGTCCAGCGCGCGCGGGCGGCCCAACGCGCGCGCCGTCCGCGGGAAGCGGTCGAGCAGGTTGACGGAGAGGACGCCGCGGACGAACAGCGCGAGGCCGGCGACGCAGGCGAAGAACACCCAGCAGGCCCGGGAGTAGTCCGGCCAGTCCGAGGCCGCGGCGCACACCGCGCCCCAGGCGCACCGCTGCGCGTGCGTCGACCCTCGCGGGCAGACGTGTCCGGCGGGGCATTCGTGCATGACGGTTGGCTGGGGACAGTAAAACTTCGCGGGGCAGAGGTGGAGCGACGACGAGCCGGGGCAAAGTCCGCGCGACGGCGGCGCAGACATCGGCCAGCTTCCGCCGAGGCCCCAGGGGAAGAGACAGAGTCCGCTAGCCCAGGACGGAAGTTGACCGTAATCGACGGAAGTTGACGAACTCGGGCAGAAGCCGCCGCGGGCGCAGCGGATCAAACAGGTTTGGAACTCGGGGGCGAAGTAGCCCGGTGGCGCCGCCGCGGTCGATACTGCCCACGCCGACACGTTGTGGACGTCTGCTGAGGCGTTCCCAGGGAGCGAGAGGTTTTGGAGCGCCTCGGGCAAGAGCTTGCGCACGAGGCCGAACTCCGTCGCGGTATCCGCCAGTGCCGACGCGCCCGTTGACTCGTTCCACGTGACGTTGCGCCGCTCCCGCTTTTCGTAAAAGCCGCCCGCGCACGCGAGTGGATCGGTCGCGAGCGCGGCGTCGCCGCCAAAGGCGCAGCGGTCGCTCCGCAGGTTTTCGGGCTTCTTCTCGACGAAGAACTTCCGCAGCAGGGACTCCGGGCAGTGGTTGTCCCAGAACTCCTGCGCCGTTAGCTTGCCCGGCCCGAACGTGTCGAGCAGCAGCGACAGCGTCACATTCGAAGCCCGACCGGGGTCGGCGAGGTAAGGGCGCCAGTCGATCGTTCTCCGCTTTAGGGGATCGTCGCCGAGCTCGGCGTCCGCGTCCGCGCCGAGCTCGAGCTCGGCGCAGTCGACTTTGAGCGCCTTGAGCTTGACCGTTTGGAGCACGTGGTAAGGGTCGCGCCGGAGCTCGTAGTACGAGTCGCGGAGCGACCAAAGCGTGCCGATGCCGGCCGCGAAGGCAAGCGCCACCGCGACGCCCAGGGAGCAGCCACATCTGATCCTGGGGCACCATCGCGGTGGCCCGCAGTTGCTCGGCACGAGGCTCCGGCACGGGTCTAGGGAGCAGAGCTCTCGCGTCGCGCGGTTATCGCGCATTATTGCACCTCCGGGCTGCCCTCCTGCGCCTGCTCAGGCTTGCTCTAGGCATCCCTAGTACCTTACAGGCCGCTAGCTTCCCGCGGAGTTTTTGTGCGGGTTCTTACGGCAGAGTTCGGTTGTTCATGATTGATTGCCGCCCGCCGATCGAGTAAAAACACTAGCGTAGCAACTCGGGTGCGGCCCGGGCGCGAGAGCCGAGATAAACGAGCAACTCAGGACATCTGGCGTCCACTACCTTGACCTGCATTCGCTGCGAGGTATGTTTCTCACCCGTAGCTCGCGAATATACTAGAAGTAGCAAATTAGTATACTCGTCCGGGAGGCGAATGGGAGGGGAAGGGGTAAAATTTTGGAGTCTTCGAAATGGTGCTTCAAATTCTTTGCTCACAAGAGAAGGGCGGTCCCGAGGAGAGCGCCTACGGCCGTGGTCTTGCGAGCGCCGTCTGCCGCGCTGCCGAGCTCACCGGCAGTCTCCGGAGTCTCAGCGGTGTCCGGGCAGGAAAACTCGCACTCGTGGCCGTAGTAGATCCGGGCCCCCAATTCGAATGAGCACTTGGCGAGCGCTCGATGTTCCGTTTGGCAAGGATAAGGCTCCAGTCCGCAATCATACATAGCCTCCTGCAGGTCTTCGCATGTTTCTGTAGCATCAGCTTCAGGAAACTGTGACGAAAGCCCGGTCTCGAAGACGTCGTCGCATTGCCACGTGCCCATGTCAAGATTAATATGGTTGCAAAGGCCCTCCGCGATGTGACAGACGCCAACGGCAGTATTTTTGTCGGCGCAAACATTTTTCAATACGGCATCAAAAACACCTCTAATACTAGGCTCAAATGCGGGAGGCAATGTAACTCCCTCGAAGGTCGGAGGGATAGTTGCGTCGTCATTCGGAGAGATGCCAGCGATGATTTCGTCGAGGGTGGGCACCGTGGCGTTGGGGTCGCACACCTTTCGGTAGATGTGCCTGGGCCGCCCGTCGATCTCGCAGTTGCCGATGTTCGCTATGCCGCATTCGCCCGTCGCTTCGCAGATTTCGCCGCAGGCTGCTATCTTGTCATGGACAAATAACTCAAATTCCCTATCCTCTCTCCCACAACCGTCAAGATCAACGGTCTGTTCACCTTTGATGGCATTGGTGACTATCCCTTCCAGGTAAGCGTCGTTGCAGTCTGATTCGTCTATGGGCACGTAGGAGACACCTGCACTGGCATTGCACATGACGCCGTAGTACGCACTCGGGCACATGATGATCGCGTCGAGGTCGTCGAACAGGCCCTCGACGCACTCGCTCCCCTCGTCGTAATTTGAGATCGGCACGGTCCGCTCCTCCAGGGCAGCGTCGGTCGGGCATCCAGTGGTCGAGTACACGGAGAGCGTCGCATGCTCAAGGGTGCATTCAGTAAAGTGAACCGCGCGCTCGTCGGCCAGCGGCACGTCCTCGCAGCCCGAATCCCAATCATCATAATCAACCTGGCCCCCAATGACTTTGCCAAGGTACGCCTCTCCCGCGCAGCCCGAGCCTTTCTCGTAGAGCTTGAGCTTCCACGCCTGCTGGCCGGTGCACCCATCATCGTCATCTAAATCATCACCGAAGAGACCTTGACATGTAGATGCTGTAGGCACCAGGCCGCCAACCAGCAGCAGTACTTTCAGCTGGCGCCCCATCTGAACTAGACCTCAGCGCCTCGACGTAGCGCCTCGTCGCTGCTCTCGATTGCGGCTGGGCAATAGCGGCTGCATGGCACTGCCTGCAGGCTGTACTAGATCTTACTAGAAGTTGATACAGCTGCGATCGTCGGTACTAAGGCGCGCAAGCAGGACCTTTCCGAGGCCTATCTCGACTTGTGGCTTCCGTCACGTGCGGGTTATACAACGACCGTCCCCGACTCGCAATCAAGGCGCTGGCTCTCGCAAAACCTGCAACAACTCCAGGATGGCGCTCACTTGCTGGTTCGCGCTTGCGGTGGCGATGGCCCAGGGGCAGCTGACGCTGCCCCCGGTTCCCTTCGCTGCCACGCTGCCCCCTGCCATCAATACTGCGACATTTCCCCCGGCGTTTCGCTCCGGCGATCTCACGCTGCCTCCGGCGTTTGCCACCCCTGCCGACCTGCAAGGTGTATGCGGAAGCCAGCTGACGGCCTTCAGCGACTGTGTCTTCGCGGCGTCGGACGCAGGATCCGCCACGGGCGACGACGACTTCTTCGTAAACGGCGTCACCCTGGACGAGGACGACCCGGTGGAGACCTGCGAGGACGCGCAGAGGGTCGTGACTGGGCAGTGCGGAAAGGGCTCCAGCGTGTGCCAGGTGTCGTACGAGGCGTACGTCGTGTGCGTGTACCAAAACGAGGTCAAGACCCGCAGCGACCAAGACTGCGCCTTGAGTTGCGGTTGGGATTGTAAGTCGTGCGATGCTGATGACATGTGGGACGTCAAATGCGGAGCATTCTCAAAAGAGTCTAACAAATTTGGCAAGTGGTACGCGTACCCCGGGTTGTCTGGTGTCTGCCACAAAGACACTTGCTGCGCCTCGGACAAGGAGGACTGCTGCGAGCCAGATGCCGGGAAAATAGCCGGTCTCGTGTGCGGCATCATCGCGTTCTTCTGTATTGTAGGCGTGGCCATCTTCATCATGAAAAAGAAGCCCCTTCCACAAGATGACGGTCCGCCGCCGCTTAAGGAGATTACGGAGATGACCAAGGTCTAGACCCGCGCCTCACAATTCGCGGCTCAATTGCACCTCCAGCTCACTCATCACAAGCCCCCACGCCACCCCTGGGACGTCGTTTCCCCTCCAGCTCTTGACTCGCCCTACGACCTGACGCTGTTTGAGAATCATACTAATTTACCGCATGAATCTATCATCAATACTATATATTTCAGTTTCAGCAAGTTTGCTTTGCTTACTAGTAGTAGATACTCACTTGTACTCCGCCCCCTTGGCCTCGCCGCCGCCGCCGCCCGAGTCCTTGCGGGCCTTGGCCGCCTTGAGGAAGCGCTCGAACTGCGTCTTCACGAGGGAGCCGTCGTCGAGCGAGATGTTGACGACGTTGAGGTGCTCGATCTTGGGCGAGACGCGCTGGCGCGTGCCGCGCTGCGCGTTCGGCGCGAAGGCGAAGACGACGCACGCCTCGTCGGGCAGGTCGTTGTTCTGGACGAAGTACTCGTACCAGGCGCCCGACTCGCTCACCTGGCCCTCCTGCTCGGGGTTGTAGACGAGGACGACGCCGTGCGCGTCGTGCATGATGGCCGGCCAGCAGCCCTCGTAGTCCGTCGAGCCTCCCACGTCCCAGACCTCGACCGGCGTCGCCGGTCCCCCTAGATTCCGCTCGCACTCCAAGATGCGCACGCCGACGGTGGCGTTATATTCAAAAGGGTACTCGAAGTCGACGGCCTCGTCCGACGCGATGTAGTTGGAGACCGTGGTCTTGCCGCCCTGCGTCGGGCCCACCACCACGATCTTGAGCCCGGGCGGCGCGGTGGGGCCCTTCTCCTCGGCCATGGGCAGGATGGCCGAGTGGCCGTCGGCCGTGTGCGCCAGCCTGAGGGCTGCCTCTACGGGCAGCCTGGGTTTGGGGCTGCCTCGCGGAGGTCGGCGCGGCCGTAAGCGGACTACGGCGAGGTTCGCGCGTCGAGCACTGCCGTAAGCGGACTACGGCGAGCTTCGAGCGTCGAGAACTGTGCTCCTTGGAGGGCACGGACGTCGCCTGGCGGCGGCGGGTGCGAGCTCGATCAAATTGCTAGTGCCTTTGGCCGCTAGTTGTAATTCATCACCCACCCCGCAAAGCTGTGGAGCGATGCCCAGCACCGCTTGCGATTGGTCCCTGGGCAAAATCAATTTACAGGTTTTAATTTTCGCATAATTTTTGCATGCAGAGCAAGGGCCAACTCGCTTTCCGGCTGCCTGACGAGCACATATATGCTGTAGCAACCGAAAAGGCTGCCCTCAGCCAGCCGCACCGGCGGCACCGGTGGCATGCGCCTCAGCTGCCTCGCACTGCTGGTGCATGCGGTCGCAGCCAATGACGCCGACGTCGCGACGCAGAAATGCCTCGACAACCAAGACCTCGAATGCACGGAGGAGTGCCCGCCGCGCCGGGTCTACAGCCGCGCCTGCCTGGTTAGTACAGTACCGTTCCGGACGCCCTACAGTCGCGTCAAGTGTTGTTTACGGTGCTGCCTCAAGTACTGGCTGAAGGAATACGGTTTAGATAGGAGGTGGGCCGCCTTCCGCGCGGAACAGGGCGGCGCCGGGCGCATCGACGACATGTTGCTGGGGGGCACGCTGCGGCACGGCCCGAGCGGGACGCTGCCCTTCGCGTCGCGGCGCGTGTCGCGGGACAAGATGCCCTGGGTCTTGGAACGGTGGACGGCGGAGGAGCGCGCCGTCGAGGCTGCTTTAGCTCCCGGTCGGAGTCGAACGCCGGTGGCGGTGACCGACCGCGACCGGAGTGCTACAGATGAATTCCTGTGGGACCGCAAGCGTACGGTGTCGGCGAACGGCCACGCCGGTATTGGAAGGTGGTCGCCGACGGACGCCTGGCTCGAGCTGCACTTCGGGGACAACTGCGGCGACTTTTATAGAGGTAACGCCTTCGGTACTTATATGGGGTTGTCACTCGCCTCACTTCTACGATACTTCCTCCCGGAGGTCGTCGGGAACCGGTCTTTGACCTTGGTCACTTCCTCCGATTGCAACGTGCCCCTGCGACCGGGCAAGGCGTCGCCCTTCCTCGACATGGGCGATTTACTGGACACGGTGAACCTCAAGGCCTGGTACGCGAACAACCCGAGCGACGGGCTCATCGATAGCGCTGGTGAAATAGCGCGGCCCCACCCGAAAATGAAGGCCTACGCGACGGGCGTCCGCGACCCGGCCCAATGGGTCGACGCCTTGGACGGCCGCGAGGCATCAACAGAGCGCACGGGACCGTTGGTCTGTTGCTGCATGAGCATGCTCGCGACGCCCCAGAAGGCTTCGGAGTATGCGGCGCCGCGCGAGTACACCTCGCCACAACAAAGGGTCCGCGACCGCGCGAAACGCATTTTTGATCATGACCGCGTCTTGAGCGAGGAGGCCATGCGCTGGCGCTACGGCCCTAATAGGAGGGGCCTGGGCGAGACCATGTCGCGCGTGCGGCGCTTCGCGGTCCTCGACGAGCTGTCGAAGAAAGGTTTCGACTGCAGTGATCGAACGGCCCGGAGCGGCGACGAGTTGCGGGAGTTGTATTTTGGGAGCGATTTTGTGGTAAGCCCCCAGGGCAAGGGCCGGACGAACTATCGCGAGTGGGAGGCTTTAGCCGCGGGCGCGATCCCGCTCGTCGACTACGATGCTTCATCAGCGATGGCCGAACTTTATAGTGGATTGCCCGTCGTCCGCGTGCGTGACTGGAAGAAGGTCACGCCGGCCTACTTGGATGCCGTGCGGACCCGCGTCTTTGATGCGGTCGCGCAGGGCGGCGTCTCGATGTCGAAATTATATGTGCCGTACTGGCTCCACGAGTTCACGGCCGGTTTAGATGATGCGCCGGCGCCGGCGCCCGCGATCCCGAGACAGCAGCCGACCTGCGCCGTCGTCGTCGGCAATGACCCCATTACACGTATACAACGAATCAATACTTATGATCGCGTCTACCGCGAGCCTACTTATTCTGGAAACGGCAAGTGGACGCACGCAGCCGTCGCGTTCAAGGGGGTGGATTGCCCCGCGCGCCGCTTCGCCGCGGCGGCGCCCGCGGACGTCGAGGCACTCTCGACGATCCCGCTCTGGACCGACGCCTGCATCAGCCGGCAGGAGGCCGTCGGGAAGCACCGCCGGTGGCACTTCGTGCCGCGGCCCCAAGCCCGCGACTGCGAGCAGATGATGCAGCGCCGCGTCAACCGCCTCGAGTGCCCGCCCGACATCCTCGCCGTCGTCGAGGCGCGGCGCGATTGTCGGGAGGTCGTGGTGTTCGGAAGTTTGGACGGAGTCGAGGGCCAGGTCGTCGCGGACTGGGAGGCGTTCGGGCTCGTGACGCTCGTGTCCAATAGTTAAACTTTGTTCTTAGTTACTAGCGCTTTGCCGGCCCCTTGAACGTCTTCCCCGCCTCGCCGCCGCGCGGCTTCTCGACGACGAGGGACCGGTTGCCCGGGTCGATGTCGAACAAGCGCATACGTCGTGCGTCTTCGATTCTTTTTGCGTGGCAGTCGTCCGACGCCGTCACGAGGCCCAAGCCCCGCAGCGCGTGCGCTTCGAAGGTGCAATGGCCGTAGTGGTCGTAGAGCAAGCCAAGCCATGGCGGGGCTCCTTTCCCACTGGATGCGCAGCCCTTCCCGTTCGCTCTCCACGGCGGCCGGAAGGTGCAGGCGCGGTGCGGCGTCGCGAGCGCGTTGTGCGTCGGGATTTCATCCACGTTGAGATAGAGCACGTCCGCGTCCTTGGCAACGTCGTCGCGCGTCGCCGCGGCGACCGCGAGCGCCATCGGGTCCAGCGGATCGGGCCTCGCGTAGACCCGCGCGTTCGCATCGTCCGCGTCATCATCCAAGACGCGGGACACGCTCACGGTGCCGTCCTCGCGGACCTGCACCCGCGCTGCATTTACACTGCGCCGCGCGTGGCTCCTCGCCTTCGACAGGAAGTGCGACTCCCGGAAGTGGACTTTCAGTACTGATTGTTCGACGTCGATGAACTCCCAGAGGTAGTAATACTTCTCAAAATGCAGCGCCGCCGGCAGGACCGCGACGCGGCCCGTGAAGTAGGCGATCGCGAGCAAGGACAGACAGGCCGTTCCCAAACGCTCTCCATTATGAAAGTTCGGCGGCATCGTCGCTATGAGTGTGTCTTCGACGGCCACGTACTTCCTATGTTTTGTAGTGTCAACCCTGAAGTAGTCCCTATTGCCAAACTCATCAATAGCGCCGGGATAGACGCCCAGTTCCTTCGCGACTCGCAAAACCGACGCGTAGGGCGTCGTCGCGAGGCCGCCGCCCCGCGACCCCGCTCGTATATCCCTGGAAGCGGTGAGGTCGTCGTCGCCAGCTCTGACGTGTATGGCAACCGTCGCCCCCGATAATATACTTGGATGTTCGTGCGAGACGACCTGTTCCGAATCCCAGAGCTGGATCTGCAAGGGCCCGTCCCCGTCCAGGTTCGCCCTTCTCAGAGCTTGTTTGGCTTCTTCACCAATATCACCGGAACAGCCCCAGGCCTCCCAGTCGTTGCCTGTTGAGGCCGCGACGGCGCAGCCCACCAGAACGTCGCCGTGGGCCGCGGCGTGGACCGCCGCTTCATTTACCGAAGCGTCGACCGCCTCGAGCAAAGCGTTCGAAGCGTGCAGGAAGACGCGCGCGGCCCGCGCGGCCATGGCATCTCTCCTAAAAGCCAGGACCGCGGCCGTCGGCGCGCCGCCGATGCGCGACGCTCTGACAAACCTCTGGTGCTCCGGCCGCGGGTCAATTCCAAACCGCGCGGCGCACGTGAGGCCGGGGCGCAAGTTCGTCAATAGTGATGAGGGAGGCGCGCCCGCGAAGAACGCGTCGGCGTCGGTCTTGAGGTATATTGCATTGAGAAGCTTCGGGTGGTCCGTGGAAGAAAATATGGCCACGACGCGCCATGATAAAGCGTGGCGCAGCGCCGCTGCTTTCGCGCTGCGGGCGCCGTAGTTCAAGCGCGTGTCGTTCGTCACATGATAGCGCCTAGCCCGCTCGTAGCGCAGCATCTCGCGGCCGTCGCGCCACAGCTCGGGCGCGACGCCGCCCGTGCCGCGCACGCCCAGGAAGGTGCGTTTCTTTCCATGAATATCGGGTCCGTCCAACCCGCCCGTGGCGAGGGCCTGGTCCATGAAGATCGCTCCTTTATGTGAAGGTGGCGGCCGCCAGGCGGCCGTTCTCGCGCCCGCTTTCCGAGCCGCGCACGCCGCTTTCGAACCGACGGACGCCACGACCAGAACCGACGGCGTTGGAGACGAGGGCCGCGCGATGGTCTCGAACGCTTTCATCATATTCGCGGCCGCGTCCGTTCGAGAATCGTCGAGGACGGTCCAGTAGACGTGGGCAGTGACGGAAGAGCGCAAGTTTGATACCGTCTCCCTTATCAAGGTGGAAGCGAACGCTGCCGATGATTCTGATATAATATCACAAGCCTCCTCCGCATCAATACGCCGCCGCCCGAAGGCGTCGTGGAGCCACTCGTAGGCGCACGCGCCCCTCGACATATGAGCATGCCCGGCGTTGACGGCCGCGCCCGGCGCGCACTTCGCGGAGGCGACGGCGCCCGCCAGCTCGTTCCCCGCGAAATGCGAGGCCCAATCACTGGGTGGTGGCACGGACGCGTCGCCCGGCGCGCCCTCGAGCCGACTCCGCGGCCGCTCGACGAGGTTCCGCGCGCACGTTTGTGAGGGAGCGCAGCCTTCAAAGAAGGGCAGAAAACGGCGCCGCGGCGCGGCGCGCTTCAACGCTTGATGGATCGCCGACGTCGCGTGGTGCGCGTCGTGGTGCGTCCGCGAGTGGATGGCCGCGAGGTGCACGAATACCGCTAATACTGCCCCCAGCAGGGCGCCGATGGCTACATCACGCATGGTGCTGATCCGCGTGCAGCGCTGCGGCGGCGCCGGCTGGCGGGCCGCGGCCGCGGAGATGCAGGGCTGGCGCGGCTACGTGGGCAGCCTTTGATGGGCGCCACGCATTTTAAGGTTCACGAAGGCATGCCGGGGCAGCGCTGCGCCGCGTATCGCGACGCGTACGCCCGGCAAAATGCGCCGGGAAGCTGAAACTTTGCGTCGGGTTTAGACCAAAATCGGCACCCCGTGGGACGGCTTTTGGCTTAGCCGAGCCCAAAATGGCTGCCCTTTGACTCGTCGATCACATAAACCACCGCTACGCACGGATAGGGCATCGCTGCGCCCACGCCGTCGGCGTGACATCCAGTAGAGTGAGGATCTCGTGAGTCCCGCGTGCGGTGCGCGACGGCGTCCGCGCTCTCTGCGGTTGACGCGCCACGATGCCGAACCCGCGCTGCGCCTGCCGCAGCAACGACGCGACCGCATCAGGAAAACCGCGCTACGCGCTCGAGCTCTCCGGCGGCCTGCGGACGTTCCTCGTGACCTGGCCAGCATTATCTTGTAATCTGATCGAGCGGAACGGAGGAAGAAGCAACTGGTGGCTGGGCATCGAGTCGCCCTACGACGGCCGCACGCAAGCGAAAGTCGGCGCGGCCGCGCTGGACGTCGTCAAGGATTGGGACCACGTCCATATCTTCGCGGAGGATAAATATGCGACGTGCGCCTACTACGACATTCACGATAGAGATAGATGTGATGCGGACTTCTTCCCGCTGTCCCAGGATATTTGTAGCAAGCGCCTCGCGAAGAGCTCGACGGCGCGGAAGTCCGGTGGTGTCGTGAAGGGCGAGTTATGTGTGGGCGGCATGGTCCAACGCAACAAGACGAACACGAAATGCGACAGCCACTGCCAGCGCAAGTACAAGGGCTTCGCGCACCAGTGGGAGAGCGTCGGGCGGTGCCACGCGGCCCTGAAAAGGTCTCCCGCTTATCAATCGGTGGAGTTCATTTTGCGGACGCGGCCGGACGTGCTGCTGCTCCAGGACTTAGATTTGAATGGAGTGGTTCGCGAGATGGCGGTGGCGCGGTCGGGCGCGTTCCTCCCGTGCGAGACGATGTTTGGTGGTTATATCGACGACTTCGTGGTCGCCAATAAAAGTGCCATGGACGCCTACGCGGCGAAGGAGCCGATGAAGACGGAGGACGGCCACGCGTCGTTCCAGAGGGTGGCCGAGACGCGCGTCGGCAAGGTATTGCAACCATACAATCCTATTGTGAGGATTATCGGCCACGGTATTCTGGATTTACCGATGATCGGGAAATACGTCCGAGCCGGCACGTACCTACCCGTGACCTACCACCACGGCCGATGCGTGGGAAAGGAGGCGCAAAGGGGCGCGTGTCCTGGTATGGAGCACCCGGCCTTCGCGCAGGAGCACTACCAGGTCCTCAAGGACTACGTGCGCGCGCACGCGCCGACGAGGGCCGACGTTTCGGGGCGCGACGTGACGGCGTCCGACGTGCTCCTGAGGCTTAACGCCGTGTAGTTTGTATTTTTCTTTTCCTGACACGCCCCGACGTGCGACGCGGCGGCGGTCGACGTGCTCTTGAGGCTTAATGCCCAAGTTAAGGATGTTTTGTATAGCGTGAGACACTCTAGCCGTATTTGTCAAGCTCGGCGCTGCTGTTGGGGGCTGCCTCGCGTACGCAGCCGCCGCGTAGGAGCGCTGGGAAGGTATATCTCAAGCCCACGCAGTCGCCGCGCCCACGTGTAGGCTGCCCGCCGCCGGCGCTCGTACGTATTGTTGTTGGAAAGCACACAGCGCTAAGATGAGTCTCCACCTCGAGAAGCTCATGGGCCCGGAGATCCGCTCCGAGGAGCAGCTCGAACTGGCCAGACTGGCAGAACTGGAGATCGCGCCGCGGACGCGGAGCCAGATGCGGAATCGATTGCTGAGAGCGGGCGCGGACCACTGGCACTGGATGCGTAGGGGCGACTTCGGGAACAAAAAGAAGGGGACGTTCCGCGTGATTCGAGTGAGGAGCACGTGGCGGCGGCCGGACGACCCGCGGCCCAAGGTCAATTCATTGGTGAGAGACGTGCCCGAGTATCAAAGAAGGGAAGGGTCTCGCTTGGTCGGCGCCGTCGCGCACGCGAACGAGACGTTAAGGACCATCGCGGATCGTGTTACCTTAAATGAGGGCACGGATTTGCACTTGGTGCCGGGCGACGCCTGCTTGTTGACTCGGGCCTGTGCCCGGACGTGTGAAGAACAAGTGAGTCAGACGTGTACGTTATGTGCCGGCGACTTGGGGGGAGACTTGTATGTCGTCTTGAGCGTTGCTAGGACGAACGTCGAAGATACGCTGTTCGAGGCCGTGCGCGTCGCCCAGAAGCTGGGGTTGAAACTCGACGAAGTTTTACTAGAAGCCATTATCGGCGACGGCGCGCCGCCGGGGAAGCCACCAGAGAAAGCTTTTAAGCCCGTGAAGGAGGCGCCGGTGCCCACGAAGCGGCCCTTCTCGCCGCCCAAATCTGTTGTAGACGAGTCGCGGCCCCCTTCTCGGGGCACGGCGGAGCGCTGGTCCGAGCTCAAAGAATCGGCGGCCGCGCCGGCGCCGGCGCCGCCCTCGTCCGTCGACGTCGCGATGACGCTCATCGGGCGGTCGGCGCTCTTACATCGGGGCACGTACGTCCGCGACAGGAACGTGCGCTTCTACAAGGCTAGGTACGAGGAGGACCCCGACGACAAGCCCCGCTCGGCGGGGCCCGCCTCGTCTCTACAATTAGAAAGGGCCGGCGCCGCGGTGCAGGATTTGTTGTATGCTTTACTGATGCTCGACTCGCTCCTGGACGCCGGGCCTCCCTCGTCGCCCCAGGAGTGCATCGAGCGCGCCCGGCATTTAGAACTGGGACGGGAGCACCAAAAATATTTAGCAGGTAGAAGAGCGGATCTGAAACTCGGCCGGGAGCCGAAGGAGGAGCAGTTGCCAGACGTCGTCGGCGTCGAGGAGGAGAAGCGGCCTCAAACGCCGCCGCCGCCGCCCTCGCGGCCGCCGGGCGCGGCGACGCCGGCCGAGGCCATCGCCGCGATGCCCGCTTCGACGCCCGAGGAGCGGAAGGCCAAGGCCACCAAAACCTTCGGCGGCATGCTGTCAGCGGCGCGGGGCTTCATGCGGAGCGGCTCGCGCGAGCGCAAGACGCGGCCCAAGCGCGGTGCGTGGCAGCGACCGTCGTCCCGGGAGAACTCGTCGCGCGAGTCGTCCGCGGAGCGCTCGCGGCCCGGCTCGCGCGACGCCTCCGTCGAGCCGCCGCCGCCGCGGCGGACGTCGCGGCTTCGGGCCGCGGGCAACGCGGTCCGGTCCTTTGGCAGGCGGGGGCGGCCGCCGGCCCGGAAGGGACCGAAGTAAAATTGGTTTTCTTGTACTACTAAGTACAAGTAATATGGTATGGTATGGTACCCTAAATCAAATCAGGTTTTTGGCTAAAATAGCCGCGACGCGAGGCCGTTCTATTTATTACCGGCGGCCCGACTAGATTGCTAATATCTCAGCTATAGTAACGTAGCGATTCGTCAGCTAAATCACCAGCGACAGAGAGATAATAATCTCGGATGGCAGACGACGACAAAAAGCGGACGCAGGAAGGCTCTGAGACCAATTTTACAACCAGAGGCGGCAGACAGGACGAGACCTCTGGCAGCGGCAAGCCGCAGACCTCGCCGTGCAAGAGACGGCCCGAGACGCCGACCGAGGACGCGACGGTCGCCGACTCGCCGCCGACACTGTCAATCACCCGACGTGCTGGGCCGACATCGATTTCCATCCCTGGAACGATGAGGTCCGGAGCCGCAATCCCTCCGACTACGGCGAATGCGATCTGCTCCGCGTCGACTTCAAGACCGTCAGCGACCACAACGATTTTTGCCATCACGTGCGCTTGAAGCGCATCCTCGCCTTCGTGCAGGAGCTCTTCTGGCTGAACGGGCCCACGGCGGAGGAGGAGTAAATACAGAGAACTATTAATACGCCGCCCCCGTCGGGAACGCGACCGGCGGCGCGAGGCCGGGCTGCGTCGGCGGCAGCGTCGGGTCCGCACCGCCGTGTTTCAGGTCGTCCTTCGAGGCCATCGGCGGCGCCATCATTTTGGTAATGAGGATGCCGAGGCCCTCGATCAGCGCCAGCAGCACGCCACCAACTAGCGCGTTCTTGCCCGCCGCCTTCGGGCCCGCGCGCGCGGCCAGGACGCCGCCCGTCGCCGCGCCCGCGAGAATAGAATTCCAGGGGTCCTCCTTGTGCCTCACCGCCACCAGGGAACAGTCGAAGCACGCGAACAGGCCGCCCCACACAGCAAAATTGCCGCCGACCACCGGCGCCCTTACTCTTACCTGCTCGAAGGCGCCCGACGTCGCCGAGCCCTTCGGGGCGTTGCGCCAGCCCTTGACAAAGTGCCAGATCGACCCGCCGACGCAGCCCATCGCGTACGCGCCGCCGATGTCATCCAAAATGCGGTAGGGGCACGGCTCGCGGCCGCTGAAGTCGCCCATGGCTTATTTGCGTCGGCGCGGCTTTCGCGCGCGTGACGCTCTGGCGTTATTGCGAGTGTTTCGCGCGCGCTTTTTTATGACGTTCGCGCTGCTGCTGGCGTTAATGCGAGCGCTTCGCGGGCGGCGAATGGCGGTGGCCACAAAGCAGAGGTATGTGAAGCTTGTTGTAGCGCGCTCCGTCCAAACGAATCGCTGCGTTGCGCGTTGTTATAGATAACGACGTACGCTTTGCGATGTCTCTTTCAGCCGTAACAGCGTCGTCGGCGCGTGACGGCGCGACTCGCTCGACCACCTTGTGCGCTCGAGCGCCCGGGAGCGAAGCGCCGCGCCCCGACGAATCCTCCGCGCAAGCCATTCCCCGAGACCTCTCGGACTCGTCGGCAAGCCTCCAATCGCAGCGCGCAACCCGACACCTATAATGAGAGCATCTCAACGCGCTGCGCTTGTCGCACGCCGTGCACGGGGCACAGCTCGTCGAACGCGTGCGCGCGCGCATCGGCAGCGGCCATACAAGCCACCAACGGCGGGGCAGCCCTCCCACGAATAACCAGCCATGAGCAACCGGGGCAGCTTTAGCTCCTACACCTCGGCGTCGACAGCATCGACAAAAACGCCCCAGGGCCCCTGCCAGTTCCGCCGTAATAGATCCAAGTCCTTCGATAATGAATTGGAAGAGTTCCCGCCGGCGTGGGCGCGAGCGAAGTGGCCCGGGAAACACCCTCGACCACTTAAGCCGTACCTGCCCGGCTTCCTGCGAGGCGAGATCATCCGCCACGTCCAGGAGGTCGATCTAGGAGAGTTCTATTTACAAAAATCAAGAAGGAAGCGTTCTACGCAACCCATCCGGATGCTTAGTGAGTGTCGAGCCTACTACAGCCAAGAGTACAGATTGAACATGCTGCGGCAAGCGCTAAGGAAGGCCATGAGCGACATGGACATGGGCGTGACGCAGTACTGGGCGCTCATCGACGCCGACGGGAGCGGCTTCCTGGACCGCGAAGAATTTGAGGGCGTCATGGCTCTGTCTGGCGTCCTCTCGTCGCAGATGGAGATCGACACGTGCATCGAGCAGTTCAACGTCGGGCCGGAGGAGATCACGCAAGATGTCTACTATGACTGGTTGTTGTCGACGGACACGGCGTGGATGAATCAACCGAGGAGAAGGTCGCAAGGCGATGACCACAGAGATGTCTTACTGCTGCAGCGGGAGGCGGCGCGGTTCGACCCCGACGTCTTAGAGGCGTTGCAGGCGCTGTGGATTCTGGTAGATGCCGACGGAAGCGGTGCTGTGGATAAAGATGAGTACCTAGCATTGCACTATCATTTGTATCAGGCCATGCATCCTCAAGAATTGCTGAATCTATCCACTCGCAAGCGGAAGAAGGCCGAGGCCAAGGCCCTCAAAATGGCGGAAGGCGAGTGGGAGTTCGACAGCCAAGGCCGCGCCGAGATGAACCGCGACAGATTCAAGCTGTCGATGTTTCAGCTCGTGGATGCGTTGATCCCGCAGGACGAGGACTTCGGGCCGCCCCGTAGAGCGTTGGATAGCGAGGAATACCTGAGGATGCTCCAGTGGCTGGTCGATCGGTTGTGTGTCTTGGACGATCAACAGGGTGAGGATGAAAGTGTGATGCCTCAGTTCCGGTGGGACCATGCTGAAAGTGATTGGCTGGAGCAGTTGCCTCCACCACTATTCTCAGATGAAAAAGAGGCGAAGCCGCGCTTGCTCGAAGGCGACCGCATCATCGCCAGACTCCTAACTTTACACGAGGACGACGAGCCCGAAGAAGTGAAGCGTAGGAGGCGTCGTCGTCGCAAGAAATTATTAGGAGAGCCCCTGTCTGACGACGAGGTAGAATTCGTCGAAGGCAAGGTCCCCTACCACCTCCAGCAGAAACGCTCCCGTATTAGGAGTACCGACCTCAATGACAAGCTGGCCCAGTGGGAGGCTAGTCAAAGGGAAGCGAAGGCCAAGGCGAAGGGTGACAAGATACGAGAGCGTACGGCGCGGGCGAAGCAACGCCGCAAGTCCATGGACTCCGCGAGGACCGTTTCGTTTGACGAGAGCATGTCCACGACCTCGTCCAAGAAGGTCTACCTCAAGAAGTACAAGCGGCCTTCGGCCTCGTCTGTTGATCATTTGAAGGGTTTTGTGAAGGGCTCGGTGACGGGGAAGAGTAGCGGCTATGGCAAAGATACGTGGGAACCGTCCGTCGGCGACGAGCTCGAAGGTCTGTCGTCACTCACGTGGCACTCGTGTACCGTGGAGGCCATCGCCGGGATGGCGTACCTGTGCTATTTCCCCCACTCCGACTGTCGAGAATATTTGCCGTTGGAGCATTTACGGCGGAAGATGAGATCCACAAAACGCACCGTCATCCGACGGAAGCTGCCGCCCCAGAAGAAACAAGAGGGCGAACCGAGGTATCAAGTGGATATGGCGTACACGCAGTACGACCGTTCGTTATATTGCCACAACCGGGTGCTTGGGTATCTGTATGCCATGGGTCCCGAGAAGAGTCACACTACCTCGCAGATAGATGCACCTGCACCTCGGTCGACGCGGTGGAGCTGGGAGGCGGAATTGTTGAGAATGCCCGACGCGCCGTCGTTCACGCAGACGGCGCCGGCGCGGCCCGGGACGTGCGCGGAGCGCCGGGCCGACTTCGCGGCGACGCGCGCGGGTTTGGATGCGTTGGATCGGACGGGGCACATCGGCCGGGACTCGTACGTGAGGCCGCGCACGGCCGGCGGTCGCATGGAGCTGGGGCCGCGGCGGCTGCCCCCAAACCTGGATGCGGACGTCACGGGCACGCGGCCGCCGTCGCGCAGCACGTTCCTCGAGCGGCCGCCGACGCGCAACACGCCGGCGCGCGAGGCCGTGCTTGCCGAATTCCGGCGGCGGGCGAAGGAGGCGCGGGACGCGGCGGCGAAGGCGTAAGGGTTGGTATTATTTCTCTTGATTGGCGTTGAGAGTGCGTGCGTCGAGCTGCACTACTTAAGTAGCTACCTAGGTAGTGAGTTGAAAAAAATCGGGTTTTTCAAGCCGAGTCAACTATTACGCCGCGCAAACCCAATATCTCACCGCAAAACGCAAGATGATCCTCACAAACTGCGCCGCCTGCGCCGCCCCACTGGCCCACAACGCGCCGCGATGTGTTAGATGTAAATTGCGCTACTTAGTGTTTTAATAGCCAGTTTCTTGGGAGGAAGTGAATCCCCTAGCGCCAACTATAGCTATTGATTTAGTTGATTATGCCCGTGTACTCTTCAGGAAGCCGCCGGCCTGGTCGTCGCTACTGCAACGCCACTTGCCAGCATGACCACTGGCGCCGCGGCCACAAGCAGATGTGTAAGAAAATACACCGCGGCGGCAACGCAGAACAGTATAATGCAGACAAAAAATACAAGGAGGCCGTCGCGGTCGCGGTCGAGGCGTGCGCCGACGACACGAAGGGCCAGACGTGCTTCATCTGCACGCAGGCTCTCCATTGGAAAACGAAGGAGGGTCTCGTGCGCGGGTGTGCGTGCCGCGGGACGGCGGGTTTCGCGCACGTGTCGTGCTTGGCGGAGCAGGCGAAGATTTTGTGTGACGAGGCTGAGGAGAACAATTTGAGCAATAAGACATTTACTGATAGGTTTGGACGATGGTACGCGTGTAGCTTGTGCGAGCAGGAGTACCACGGCGTCGTGCGATGCGCGCTTGGGTGGGCGTGCTGGAAGACGTACGTGGGCCGGTTGGAGGCGGACTGGGCTCGAGGAGCCGCGATGACGGAGCTTGGGCTCGGTTTATTAGCTGCAGACCACTACGAGGATGCATTGTCCGTGCAAGAGGCCGATTTGGCTACGCTACGGCGCCTTGGCGCACCAGAACACACCATACTCGTCACGCAGAACAATATTGCGAACACGTATCACGAGCTCGGGCGGCTTAATGAGGCCCTGTCCCTTCAACGAGACGTGTATTCTGGGTGGTTGAAACTCTACGGCGAGGAACACGAGAGAGCCCTCCGAGCGGCCTACAACTACGCGTTGTCTTTTCTTCGGCTAAAGCGCTTCGAAGAAGTCAAGGCACTGTTGCGCAGAAAACTGCCCGTAGCGCGACGCGTCCTCGGAAGTGAACACGAGGTCACGTTGTCTATACGCGAGGACCTCTGTCGCGCGACCCTTGACGGAGAATCCTCGGCCGAGGAAAAGCGCGAGGCGCTTCGGATGCTGGAGGAAATCGCGGGAGTCATGCGTCGCGTTATGGGGCCGGCTCACCCCAACACGTTGAATGCTCACAGCATCTTGAAGTTCTACCGAAGGAAATTCCCCTGGCCCACGGCGTAAGAATTTAAACAACACACTCCTTACCCCGCACGCGCACGCCGTCGATGAGACGCCTGCTCCACGGCAACTTGGCCAGCACGGCCGCGTCGTCGCCGAGAGACGACTACTTCTTCAGCGCCGCGCGCAGCTCCTTGAAGCGCGCGACGCAGTCGCGCTTCGACTTGCCGGAGACCGCATCCGCAATCTTGCTCCAGCGCTCGTTCTTCTCCATCGACGCAGGGAAGTCCCGCAATGCCTTCTCGAGCTGCTTCTGCTGCTCGGCGCTCCACCCATCCACGGGCGGCGGCGGCGCCTGGTTCGCCTGCTTGACGCGTTCTGCGTGCTGTTTGGGATCCACCAGAGGCTTTTGAAATTGCTCGATGCACTCCTGCCGCGAACGCGGCACATCTAACGCCAGCTGCGTATTAATATAATCCGCGATCTGCTCCCAGCGCTGCATGGAGCCGGCCTTGAAGCGCTTGCAGGCCTTGTCGAGGCATTTTTTTTCCTCCTCGGACCAAGGTGTTTTCTTTTTTTCCGTCGTGTCGATCTTCACAACTTTTTTTTCCGGTTGTTTACGCTTGATGGGGTTCGTACACAATTTCCTCAGATCAGCCAAAGCGCCCTCGCTATCCTCCTCAAGGCGAGCCGCCAAGGCACACGTCTCCTCGGACGTGAGATTATCAACCGTCTTGAGGAAGTCTAAGTCGGCCATCGGCTCTTCCGAATCATCATTCGCTTTACGGAGCAACTTCTCGGCGCGCCGCTTCGCCTTCTTCCGTTTGATGTTTTCCTCCTTTTCTTTTTTCGCGGCGGACGCTTTCTCGGCCGCGATTCTATCTTTTTCTTGTTGCAGCGCCTCCTGCTCCGCTCGAACCGCATCTTCCTTCGCTTGTCGTTCTCTCTCGCGAGCTTCCCGCTTCTCGCGTTTCGCGTCCTCCCTTCTTTGAGCAAACAACTTGAGTCGCGGGTCGTTCTGTCTAGATCGTTCCACTAACAAGATGATACGCTCCATCTCCTCGCGTTTCCGTTTGGCGGCCAACTTCGCGTTCTCCTTCTTCATGTGGCGCTTTTCATACCTATCCATCTCCTCGTGGATCTCGTTGGTCTGCGTTTCGAGGTCGAAATCCCGCCAGCTTTCAAACCGCACCCAGTAGGCGTAGAAGGCCTCTACCGACCGTTCCGATGAGTCAGCGTCGCCTAGATCCGGTACCGGTAGTTTCTCCGCAAACCTCGCGTTCGCCCGAAACACGGGACCATAAGTAGCATAAAAGTCAAATCCGTCCTCGTGGTCGCCGGACGGGATCGTGTCGTCAAATTCATTCGTGCTATCGTAGGCCCTTCTTTTAGTTTTGTCACTTAGTATGTCGTACGCTTTCTGTACCGCTAGAAAAACAGCGTCCGTATCGTACTTCGCTGAGCCCTTGTCCGGATGATATAACAGCAGGGCTTTGTGGTAAGCCCTTTTGACTAATTCACTATCGACACCAATACCTGATTTCTCTAACCCTAGGAGCTCGTAGTAGTTCGTTTGGTCGAGGTCGTTTTCGTCGATGGCCTTCGTGGGCCCGACGTCGTCGTCGTTCAATGAATTGAGCGAGCCGCTCGTCGCGAGCGATGCTAACGATGCGCTCCGTTGTAGATCCTTGGTGCAGTCCGTCGTCGCCTGTCTTAATCGTTCACTGGCGAGGGCGTGGGCTAATCCGACGGGTACGACGTCTCGTTTGATGCAGCCGAGGCCGCCGCAGATGACGACGGTGGCCATGGCTGCTCGTCGGCGTCGAGTTGTGGTGCTGGAGGCTGCACTTTGAGTGCAGTGTATGCGGCGACGAGTGCCTTACGAATGCGCTAATCTTCGCACGCAGTCGCGCAACGGTCCAGAGCAACTTATGCGAGTAGAACGCCAACGCTGATGCTAGTTAAGGCGACCTATGCTCGTTTGTTGTAAGCACCTCCTCATCGCTTTTTTCTAGTGTCTGTACACGCTAGCTCTGCAAAGAGGACGTCTACCCTACATTGTGCGACGCGTCGCGGCTGCCTCGATGGCTGGTATGGTGTTGCGTGCTCTCCGACAACCGTGCGATGCGACAGGAGAGCAGGATCTGCAGACTTTCGCGGCCGCAAAAACGCCGCATTCGTTCGCTCCGGAACAAACGCAGCGCGTGCGGCCGTCCCCTCGTGGCGCAGAGAAGCACCGGGCAGCGCAAATCCGCAGCCCTTACGCGCAGACGAGGCGCCCGACACATAGATGCCAGACCTGGCTTCCCTGCTGGGCACCGTCGGCGGCGCGGTGCTGGCGGTCTATCTGATACGGTTGTACAGAGAACGGTGCACGCGAACGGGGTGGCTCCGGTCTGGCCAGGAGGCGTCGCATCGATTGCATCGCGCGTAGTCGCGAGCCCTCTGGATATGGCTGTCCGACGCCTGGTCGCGACGCTGACCCTCTGCGCCGTCGGCGCAACCGACTCGTGCGGGACCGCCGCCGGCTGGGAGCTCCTCGACGCGAACCGCACGGCGCTGGTCGTCATCGACGCGCAGCAGAACTTCCTCGACAAGCTGCCGCTCGCCCAGCGCGCCAGCCTCGTCGAGCGCATCGCCTTCGTGATGAAGGTCGCGAAGGCGATGGAGCTGCCCATCCTCGCGACGGCCGAGGACTACGCCGAGGGAGGAAGCAACCCGCCGATGCACCCTTCACTAAGTGCGCTGCTGCCCGCGGGCACGCGCGTCTGGAACAAGTTGGTCTGGAATCTCTACGGGCAGCCGGACATCCGGGCCGCCGTCGACGCGGTCGCCGCGGCGCGCGGCGTCGATACGTTCATCCTCGTGGGCCTGGAGACGGACGTGTGCGTCGCGCAGTCGGCCCTGGGCCTAAAATCCGCTGGCTATCGCGTCGTCGTCGTCGAGGACGCCGTCGCCACGCCGCCGCCCCACCACGCCGCCGGCATGCTGCGAATGCGCGACGCGGGCGTGACCCTCACAAACGCCAAGGGCGTGTACTACGAGCTCGTGCGCGACGTCCCTACCGTCGCGCGCGTGGCCCGCGAGATCGGCGGCGCGCCGGTCGTGGGCGAGGACGCGGCGCCGATCGAGGGCTGCGCGAGCGACTACACGCTGTGAGAGGCTAAGACACTACACACGCCCCCGACTCTTTGTTTTTCTGCTTCTCCGCAGCCAGCTTCATAGCTCCACCAGCTAAAGCAGCCTTGGCCTTGGCGCGCCGCGCGGCAGCTTTAGCTTTCGCACTTCCGGAGGTCACGGACGACCGCGCGCCCGCCAATGCTCTAGACGTCGCGGCAACGCGCTTGTCGCGCGCTACTTTTTGTTTCCACTGCTTGAGAGCTTTCTCCGGGCCCAGCTCCCGGACCAATCTCCGGCCATCGCGCGTGTTGCAGAACTCATCAAATTGCGCAGCGAAGTACTTGTCCCCGGCGTCGGCTTCCTCATCTGATGATGCTTCCGACGAGTCGTCGTTGCCCAGCACATAATTATTATCCTTCTCCGTCCAGCCCGCTCCCTGCAAGCCTCTCCCGGACCCCGAGAGCGAGAACCCCGCCCAATCACAAAGGTCGGGCGCCAGCTTCGTATTTAGATCAGAGAACGCATCTAAGAGAGATGTGGCGAATTCCTTCTTCTCCGTCGGATCGAGTGGCGCTTTCTGGAGGAGTTTACGCGCGTCCTGTAAGGTAGCATCTCGCAACCACCGCTGCGCGTCCCTTAGAGCATGCGCAGTACACCTGTTAGTCTTCTCGTGCTTCCTGAGATATTTCAGGAAGGCCAGCATCACCAAGGCTCGCAACAAGCACGCCTCCTTGCCATCCGTAGATAGGGGCGGCGCTTGTAAGGCAGGTAACACGACCGAAGACGCGCCCGTCAGGTGTAAAGCAGAACGAACTTCTGATGTTTTTGAGACGTCTCCGGAAGATTTCAGGATGAACAAGCAATCACAAGCGGGTAGCAGCTCCTTGACGGCACATAAATGTAAGGAAGGAAAGGTCTGCTCCCAGCCTTGCTCCTTCAATTTCAAACCGTCTCCGTCGATCGATGCCGTGGACCAGTAGACCATATTCGCATCCAGTAGATCGGCACCCGCCTCCTTTCCGGAAGTGTCCATGACCAGGGCCGGGACACTCTTGCAGGGTATGGTCACCTTGGCGCAGCGCCAGCCCTTCTTCACTGACGCATGTTCCAACAAAGCGCCGTCCGTTTGTTGCTCGGGCTTCGGCGCGATTGTTGCGAGTAGCGTGCCTCCCACTTTACTACGTTTTTCGATGGATGCGAGCTCGGCTACACTCGAACCGTAGCGTACCACGACACTATCGAGGAGAGACGCGCCGTTCGCCAAAGGTAAGGCGTGGAAGGGTATTTTTGGCAATCCTGTCATACAGAAGGCCCAGTCTTTTGCTGAGGGAAATACATCCCTCAACTCGTCAATTGCAATAATACGCGCTAAATCTAGAGCCGAAGACCTCGCGGCTTTCCCGCGCGCCCGCATGGCCTGCTCCACGGTCTTCTCCATTGAAATATTAGAAGAAACAAATAGTCGCGCGGTCTTCAGTTTGTCCCCGAAGGCCACGCCAATCAGCTGTTGGTGAGAAACGAAGAACGAAACCACGACGTCGTTCTCGTCTCGTAAAATAGCCTCCAAGTCGCCCCGCGCGTCCCGAGGACCACAAGCTAATTGAACACTCAAGTGGGGCGCATGACTTAACCGCTCGAGGCCCCAGGAACACTGCTCGACGTCCGCGTCGGCTTCTATTAATGAAGCCGTCTTTCTCAGTAGTGCGGGCCCCTCCGCCAATTCTGACAATGATACACTTCTCACGACTTCCAGTCTAGGCGGCGCGGGAGGCGACGCGACTTGCGTCGAGGCCACTAACGCCGGCTTCGCGGCTACTGCTGCCTTCTTCATATTGGTCTCCAAGTCGCGCAGCGCACTTAGGGTCTTGGCATCTAATTTATCTTTGAGTTGCTGGACGCAGGGACCCAATTTCAGAGCCCTTTGAGCGGCTAGTTTGCCTTCCGCGAGCCTCAGTAACAACAACGCATCGGCCGTACCGCGAACTTTGAGCCATTTCCCTTCGCAAAAGTCCCACTTGCACTTCTTGTACTCGTTTTGTATTGCAGTGATTGTCGCATGTACACCAGCATCGGACGCTTGAGTACATAACTGGACGGCCCGTTCACACCTCGATGGGTCCTTGGCCATTGATGCCAGCGCAGCTACCCGCTGCGACGCCTCACAGGCCCGCTCGTAGGCCTCGGCCGAGCCTCTATAATCTTTCATCAACGAGCGGATGGCACCGAGCTCCAAGTTCGTACACGTCGATGCGTCCGGCCGCTTCTTCAATTCACTTCTACAGGAAGAATCGACGCCGGCGCACGCTTTTTCCCAGGCGTCCACTGCCATTTTTCTCTGTCCTAAACGGTTGGCGACCAATCCCAATGCTCGCTCGGTCTCCCGGTGTAGCGTCGCGAAGCGCCACCGCGACGCTCGCGACACGGCTTCCACCCTCTCAACAGCTTCCCGATCGCCTCGCTTCTTCGCCCGTTCGGCGTCCTGCTTCCGATTGTTCTCCTTCGGACGCTCAGCTCGTATTTCCATCTGCAAGGACGCTCGAGCCCGTTCGAGCGCTTTGAGAGCAGTCTTCCTGCCATAGTCCGAGTCCTCTCGCAACGACCCGGCGGCCTCGAGATAATCAGCTTCCAGGGACGGTTTCAAGGACGCGGAGTGGGCCGCCCGCAGCACTACTTCCTTGGCGAACGCTTGAATAAACCTCTCATCGTCCTCGCCCCGGTTCAGGAGGTGGAAGGCCACTCTTGCAGCGTACAATGATGTAGACGCCTGCAGGGTCTGGACTTCCTTTTTATTGCCCGTTCGACAGTCGCTGTCGCATGCAGCACCTAGAGCCTCCAGGGCTCGTCTTAATTCCACGGGATCAACCGCCTCTTTCCGGGACGCGACGGCTCGAGCTTCGAGCGACGCGCCGAAGCGCGCCAGAGCGTCGCCGTCCGCCGTTTTTACGTCCGCACAGGCCTCCTCGAACGCTTCGACGGCACTGCCAAGAGCTTTCAGAGATGCTGGAGGTAGTCTCGCCTCGCCGGCGTCCGCATCAGCTTGCTCTAACCTACATAACCGTAGATACGCCGTGCCCTTCAGCTCCAAGGCCGCAATTCTAGCGACTTTAGCTAGCTCGTCGTCGTCGACGTACCTACTATTCTCCGCCGCGAGATCGGCCAATTCGCACTCCTTCCTGCATAAACTGCGCCGTTGGGACGGCGGCAGACCCTTCCGCTTCAACGCGTCGCCTAGCTTGCCGCACGTCTGCGCCGCGCGCCTCTCTATCCTAGGCCGTTCCGCGTCTAGCGGTCCTCGACCGGCCTTCGCCACACCTTCCAAGCATCGCTCATCATGGTACAGGGCCGACTTGAGCACGGATACGGACTGTTCTTCCAGCCTCAGAAAGGCCGCGGCCAGCAATTCATGAACGGCGAACCAAGCTCTGCAAGATGAGGAGACATCTCGTGAACGCCTTAACCGCCTCGATAAAAACTTGATGGCGCCTTCCGGATCTTCGCGCGGGACGGGGCAGTCCTTGATCGCTAGAGCTTTCGACTGGAGTTCTTCCCAGTCCGTCGGCCGCGGCCGCTTTGGTACTAATTTCCTCTGCACGCGCGCCTCCTCGTCCGTCCCGAAATCGCCCGCATACGCTAATTCATCGGCAGTTAAAGCCACGTCTTCATCTGGCTTTGACCAATTAAACCATGATTTTTTTCTCTTCGTGGGTTTGCAGTCGTGGAGCTCATCGACGGCGTCTTCGTCAGACGATGATGACGACTGCTTCTCGTCAACGCGCCGCCCGTCGACCCAGACCTCCTCGGCCTCCCGCTGCTGTTTCTTGGAACGTTCCTCAATAATTTTTGCTTTCATGGCGCGCTCCTGCCGCGCGGCGCGCGCCTTCGCGGCCTTGATGGCTCTCCTTTTTTCTTGCGCTTTGTATTCCTTGATGTTCGCCTCCATCGCGAGAATCTCCGCATCATCTGACGTCGGCGCCTCCTTCTTGTCCTCGGCGAAGAAGTCCGTGAAGCGGGCGTCGGCGCTCTGCGGCTTCTGCGTCGGCGCCGGTTCCGTGAAGCGGGCGGCGCGCGGCGGCGGCGGCTTCGCCGGTGCCTGCGGCTTGGGCTTCGGCGGCGTCGCGTCCAGCTTCGTCAGGTTGACGGGTTTGAGCGCGAGCGACTTGTCTCCGTCCAATTTCACTTTGATGCGCTCGTTCTGCGCACCGGTCACGGTGCCGCGCTTGCCGTTGTGCTCCGCGGCCCCTTTGAGCGAATGGAGCTCGACGCGATCCCCGATGCAGTAGCCGTGGCCCACGGCCGTGCCGTACGACGGGTCGCTGGGGTCCATCGGTGGAGCGGTGTCGGCTGCCCGCAGTTGTACGATGGCTAGGTTGCGACCCAACACATTGCTTTCTCGCGGCGCCTGGCTGCCGCAACGCGTGCACGCACCGCTGTGTGCCGACCAAAATCCGAACCGGCCAACCGGCCTAGTGTCTTACATCCCGCTAGCGCTTTCCTACGCGCGGAGCCCTTTGGAAGGCGCGCCCCGGACCGCTGCCGGCTGCCACTAGCACCGCCCTGACGACGCCCGGTCCGGGACGCTCCTCGACGCGACGCGGGCCGCTCACCACGCGCGGCGCCGGAGAGAAGACTACTACCCACCATTAGGCGACCCCATCGGCCACGTCTTCGCGAGCTCCTCCTCGAAGGCGCGGACGTGTTCGGGTGCCCCCGTCTCCAGCAACACCCGTCGCGCCTCGATGGCGACCTGGCGGCAGCACTCGATGTTCGCATTCACTAAATCTCCGTCGGCGTCCAAGCCCCGCAGCTGCTCTACCGTCGACGCCACGGCGTCCGAGAACTGTGCATGCGAGATCTGCGCCGGCATCGGCGTCTCCAACGGTATGCGCGTCGCGTCCGGCGCGATCAACTCCGTTTGAGGCGCCAAATAGGTCCTCAAAATATTGTCCCGGATCTGCGCGTCCGGCTGCCTACAGAGCTTGTGCACGAGGGCTCGAGCCGGATCTGCTTTTTTCTCAAATTCTTCCTGGGCCCTCGTGTAGAGGTGGAGCATGATGGAATGCTTGTCCGTGCCCGGGTCTGCGGCTTCGACGTTCGCGTTCAGACATAGGAGTAAGGCAGCATCTGCTTGGCCCTGCTTGAATAACGTGGTGAGTCGCCGGTCCATTTCTAGTAATTCGCCCGCATCCAGCACGTGTTCCAGCCGTTCCTTCGCCTTCAGCATCCGTTTATCGGTCTCCACCGCGAAGGCGCTCATGATGCGCTCGGCGGCGTCCGGTGTCGCTTGCTGTATACTTGCCATCGTCTCGGCGTCGATGGCTTCGAAGTTGTTTTCCACTAATTCGGCGAGTTGTGGTCCCTCGGCAGCTAACAAATCCTCGGCTAAAGCTTGTAGTGCGACGCCACGCCGGCTGTGAGGCATCATGAGGGGGGCGGCCGGCGCGAGCAGCAGCAGCGTGCAGACTGCGCGTCGAGCAGCCATGTTGTGCAGCACGCTGCTGGGGTTCCGATGTGACGTTTTCACGACCACTGGCGCACCGGTGTGCGAGTACTGGCCCAGTTTGCCCTTTTTTGCCTGGGCTGTAGCTAGCGTACTTACATACTAGTTTTGCTGTTCACCAGTGCTACGACACGTCCGTTGAAGCGCCACGAGTACATTGATCGTTCGCACGGCCGCGCAGGCCTCCGCGCGCCGGTGCTCGTCAAGCCTGTTGGAATATTGCCGGCCGCATAAGCGCCCCACGCCGCGACCGCGAGCCGCAGCGCCACGCAGACCACCCGAGCGTAGTACCGTCGCGCCGCCGGCACCGCGCAGAACGACCCCGGGGCGCCAGCGAGGCGCCCAAAAAACAGTCGACCAAAGAGGCGCTGTCAAGCTCCGGCGCGCGGAAAGACGACGATGGCCGCCCTCACGGCGGCGAGCCCGTCCCCCAAGGACGACACCGACCGACGCATCGCCGCATTAACGGAGCACTTCGAGGCCGGGAGGACGGTCAAGGCCGTCGACGCGGCGCTCCAGGCGGCCTGCGCGAGCGCCGACGAGGCCCCGCGGCCGCGCATCACGCTGCGCTTGAAGACCCACGGTGGCGCGATAGAATGCTGGGTTTTGGAGACGCACGATGGAGTACCACAAGCGTTCCGCTGCGACCAGGAGGGCGCGGACGCCGACGTGGCCGCGAGCATGGAGATGGCGCTCGCCACGTTCCTGCGCTTAGCTGCGCGTCGCCTGAAGACTTCAAGAGCGGTCCTCGCGGGCCAATGCAAGGCCTCGGGGCACCGCCGGTCCCTGGAGCGGTGGGGCCCCATGCTGACGGACGCCAAGAAGCGACTAGCCGACGCGCTGGACCTGCGGGCGCCGCCCCCTTCCGTCATTGAGAAGAAGGGCTGGTTTCGGCGGCGGTCGCGGGACTGGCGCTGCGCCGTGTCCGCGCTCAAGTCCCAGACGGTTGGAGGGAGGTGGCGGCTCCGCGCGGAGATCGCGGCGCCGTCGACCTCCAGGGACGTGCGCGTCGATTGTCGAGCGTCTGATATGGAATGCGGCGAGGAGCTGCGGCGGGAACTTGGGGCACTCCAACGGGCCGCGGCGTCGGCGCTCGGCGTGAACGAGGACCTTCCCGACCTCCCGGCAGCGGCGTCGTTCACGGGCGGCCGCGTCTGCCGCATCGCGATCACGCAGAAGGGGAGCGTCGTCAAACTCTCCATCCTTGCGTGCGCGCCCGGCGCTGTCAACGCCGCCCTCACGACGACGTCGCTTGACCTGCGGGAGACGGACGACGTGCACGTCGCCGTGGCAGATATCTGCTCGGAGATCGGCGCGGCATGGGGCCGCCTCACGCGCAAGGAGCGGTCGCGGTCGAAGTCGCCGCTGCGCTCGCCGCTGCGGCAGGTCAACGCCGGGGACGACAGGGCCTGGGAGCCGCCGGCGAAGCAGACGTCCTCGGCGCTCGAGACGGCCGACCTCGCCAAGCTCCACAAGGGCAAGCAGGCGTACCTGGACCGCCTCGTGCGCAAGGCGAACTTCTGATCCACCCCCTGTCTCGAAACTAAGACCCAAGTGTTCTCGAAGCATTAGGCACAGTGTCATTGCGGGCGCGGGCTCCCGGCGCGGCTCCGCGGCCGCGACGCCGCCACCCCGCGCGTCTCCGACTCGACGAGCATGCTCACGGCGTGGGCCACGTCGCCGCGCGTCAGCGCCTTCGCGGCCTGGCTGCGCGAAACTGCTAAACCCATGGCCGCGCAGAGCTCGACGACGCGCTGCGGCGCCTCCGCGTCGTCGGCCGCGCGGCGCCGCTTCGACGGCGGCGCGTCCTCGTCGTCGTCCTCGCCGTCGTCGGTCTCGTCGCCCCGCGGCTGCACGAGGTGGCGCCGCGTCGGCCGCTGCTCGGGTTCCTCCGGAGACGAGCCCGTGTAGCTCTGCCGCACGGGCGGGACGGCGTAGGGGACCTCCGCGGGCGGCCGCTCGGGCGGCTGCGTGTCGTCCCACTCCTCGTCCACGGCGGTCGAGTCTCGTCCCTTGGACCGCGACGCCTCGCTGAGCCGCGTCTCGTCCTTTGACTCAGGCGGCGAGTCGTCCTGCGAGTCTTCCAGGGTCAAGTCGAGGGAGTTGCCGACCCATTCCGCTTTTCTTTTAACTTCGCCCGTGGGACCGGCGTCCTCATCTTCGCGTCTCGGCGACGACGCCGGCGTGTTGGGCGCCTCCGGCGAAGAAGACCGTTCCGGTACTGGTGAAAGGGACTCGCGCGGCGCCAGCCGCGCGTAGCGCCGCTTGTCGTGGCGCTTCGGCTGCTCGTCGTACTGCGTGTCCTGGTATTGACCGGTAGATGTCGAACAAGAGTTCTCCCATTTTCGGCCGGGATTCGGCGGCTTGAAGGGCCAGAGCGCCCGTTGCTTCGACTCCGCATCTAGAGTGCGGCTCTGGACGGGTTCCATGTCGACCATCGACGCGGCCTCGCCGACGGAAGGTAATGATGCCAAACCGTTCGGGTCCCGCGGTTTGTTCGGGTACTCCGGTTCGTCGTCACTCGACGACTCTTCTACTCGTGGTCCCCGATCGGTAACCTCAATGAACCCACTATCAATGTCGTACTTCAGGTCCTTCCGCTGCCCGCCCATCCTCAAATATTCCTGCGCCGACGTCGCCGTCGTGTAGCGCTCGTAGCGCGGCGCGCGGTGTTTCTTCGTCCTCTTAATCGGAGCGTCTCGTGCGATGAGCGACGTGACGTCTTCCGCTAAAGGTGGTAATTCTGTGGAAGGCGGCGCTGTGGAAGGCGGCGGTGCCGGCTCACTCTTAGAACCAAACACGTGGCCGCAGTCGCACTTGGCCTTCCTCGCGTGCACGCGTGTAGCGCACGCGGGGCACGTCTTCGTAGGAGCTGGATTCTTCGCAGGCGACTCGGCCTTGTAGGTCTTGCCGCCATCCACCAATTCCGCGAACCGTTGAGGCCCGCTCTTCGGGCGCCGACCTCGCCCCAGCTCCGCCGACGCCGACGTCCGCCGCGCGGCACCTCTCTTTCTCCGTCCACCTCTAGGATGGTCGCCCTCAAACGGTACGATGGCTCGATCCGCCACGAGCATCCGCGACACCTCACTTCTACTGTAATCAACTTGTGTACCGTCGTCCCAGTCGATCACCACTCGTTCTAGAGATTTGACGGTGCCTCGACAGGTCCCCTCGCGCTGAAAATACTTTTTGACCTTGGCACCCACTCGGACACCGTCAATGATCGGCGGGGGGTCTCGCTGCGTCTGCGTCTCCTCATTCGATGGCTGCGACGCGTAGGGCACGGTGGGCGCGGCGTCGTCGAGCTGCGTTCTCTCAATTATCTGCGTGCCCTCGTCGTCCGACGACTCGGGCAGGTTCGTGGACGTGATCAGCGCCCGCGCGCCGGCGGCTGCTCTACGGAGATCGCGCAGGACGAAGGCTAAATCAGAGGCGGTCGTCGGCTCGACGTCGTCGTCGTCGCGGAAGGGCGGCGCGACGCCCGCTATGCTTTCGAGCGGCTCTATTGATTTCTCGAGGCTGCGCAGGAAGGCCGGGAAGGACTCGGCCATCGTGTTTCGGTTCCTACTGACACACCCGTGCCTTTACGCATATTCAAAACGCGACTCAGTTGGGCTCGCACGCGGCGCGGCGCTGTTCATGTATACGTCGGGCACTGCACAAGGCCGGAATATCCGCCGAGCGGTCTCTGGGTGCCGTGTAAAGCTGCCAATTGTCGACCGCGCACCGCTTGCACCCTAGCGGCATGTAACACACTAGCCAAAACCAGCAACGCAGTCGAATCGACGTCGATCGCGGCATCGAGGGACCCACAGCGGTTTCACGTGGTTGTATAAGCACATTTGTCGTTGTGTCCCACTCGCTACGCTTAGAGGGCGTGCTGCGCGCTCACGAATCGTTCAGCAGCAGTGCAGTGGTCAGCCTGCCGCCGACCGCTCTCGGAAAGCGGTCCGAGCAAAGCGATGGACGCCAAGGAGTCGGCCGAGCACGCCGCAGCCGCTGCGGCACAATACAAAGAGGCCCAGACACCAACTGAGGCAAAAACAGCCACGAGCCCCAAACGCGACCGCACGGCGTCGCTCGACGATGTAGATGATGCGAAACCGATCGTAAACTACCGCGCGCGCGGCGTGTGCAAGGCTGCTCTAGGCAAGTCGTTCCTCTTCGGGCGGCGCTGGACGCCGGGCACGTATGCGGTGGATGTGGACCGGTCGCACGTCGTCCGTTTTGAAGACGACGCCGCCGGCACGTGCTGGGAGGACACGCCGACGAATAGGTACGCGTTTGCTGGTGATTGTGATGTGAAAGAAAGTGGAGACACGTGGGACGCGGTTTTAGAACTTTCGAGGGTCGCGGACTTGCTCGCCAAAGACGCGAAGCCCCAGTCGTTGGCCCTGAAGTTCCCGACGTCGACGCGGCGCGACCAATTTAGAAGGGCCATCGACGAGGCGCGAGCGAAGGGCGATCCTGCCGCGGAAGCCCTGAAATTCGCTCGATCTCAAATCAAAGACGACCACTTCTCTCCGCCTCGCGAAAAGCCGACGCGGAAGGCGCCGACGCCGCCCCGCGACGACAGGAGTCCATCGAGGACGCCGGAACCGAAGAAGGCGCCAGCGTCGCCTAGGTCCAAACTAAGGGAACTGCGCGCGACGCTTGACGACGACATCGGGCCGGCCGTGGCCGTGCTCGCGGCCGGTTTAGCCGACGACCCCGACGACCAGTGGCGGGCGACGGCTAGGGCGAGCGTGGCGCAGCTCAACGGGCGGTTGGATCGGCTGCAGTTCGCGGGCGTCGACGGCGTCGTGACGGCGGACATTGACGATGAAGAGGAGCGGTCGGCCTGCCGCGACGCGCGCAAGGCGTTGAATAGGGATGTGGAGCGCGTCCGGGAGCGCATCCAGGGGCTCCACGTGGAGCTGAATAAGGTTAGTTAGGATGTATCCAAGTCTACAACAGGGCTCTCATCACCGGAGTCCGAGAAGTTCTGGGGCACCGCGCGCTCGAGCGCCGCGGCCCACTTTTCGAGATCGTCTCCTCGTACCACAAGCTTGAGCTTCGACCGGCCGTCGCGCTCCAGGTTCTCGACGACCAACCGGTCGCGCCGGACGGACACGACGGACGCCGCGGTGAGCCTATACAAACTTCGCAGCTCGCCACATGCCTCCGCGCGCGTTGAAGAATCGCACTTCAGCACCCCGATGACCGCGCCGCGCAGCACGAAGTAGCGCCGCTGCCACGCGGCGACGAGGCGCTTCGCGCGCGACCTGCGTGGAAATCAAATTTCGGCCCCCCACGCCATCGACGCGACGTCGTCGCCGTGACGCGTCGGCTCGATGGCGTGGAGGGTCGATAACTTAACTCACTGGTCGATTTCCACACAGTCGGCGACGACGCGGGGAGCTTGTCCAAGTAGCCTGCATAATCGGGCTTCGTCGCGCCCCAGGCGCCCGGCGCGAGCTTTAGCGACCGCTCGACCGTGGACTCGCCGCGGTCCAGAGCCTCCCGCACGTCCGCGAACACGGCGTCCCGTACGGACGCGAAGCCCATGTAGTCGCCCCGTTCATCATCAAAGCGCCGGTCCAACGCCCGCAGGACCGCGGCAAAGCACTCGTCAAAGGACGTCCGCGTGCCCACCAAAGCAGCCCATCGATTTGAGGGAGGGAGCTCCGCCGGCGGCGGCGCCCCGTTCGGGCCCCGCAATCCACAAAGCTCGCAGAGGAAGGCCGTGACTTCGATGCCAGCACAGGCCACCGGATAGAAGCCCGGTTTTCTAGGGTCGAAGTCTCCTGTTATGCGCCGACTCTCAAGAATGGCCTCGGCGTGGCGCGGCGACGTTTCCAAAAACGTCACCAGGGTCTTGAGGCCCAGCAGCTTGCACGCCCTTAGATCAGTTGTAGGATCGGCCCCTTGAAAGCCGAGGAGCTGCCACTTCTGTGAACGTCGTTCGAAGGGCCCGTCGAGGCCTGCCTTCCAGAGCCGCTTCAGCAAGTCGCCATGCGTCGCTTCGTCGAAGGGCGTTTTCAGATCAGCACGGATCGCGTCGAGCGTCTGCGTTTCGGCGGCCGTCGGCGGGCGCTTGTTCGGCGCCATGAGTCTTCGCGATGCGACAACAGCGACGCTGGCGCCGATATACAACAAGAGTGGTGTCCTCGCAAATTTCTCGCTGCCGCACGCGACCGCTGCGCTGAGGGCTAGGCCGGACCACCACCACGCCGGCGGCCCTGCTGCTTTTTTGCTCGAACCAATGGTGACAGATGCTTGGCAGGTTAGTTTATGAATCGCAGATGTGCACAAAGCCAGTCCTTGCTGTGTTTTTGCCAAGGAGGCGCCGGCGGCTCGAGCTAGCGTCTTGTAAGACACTAGCAGGCTGCAGCTTTTTTTGGCCCGAGGCGTGCAAAAACCACACTCGTTGCGCGTGCTGAGCAACAAGAGTCAACCCACATCCGTTTGGGTCGCCTGCACCGAAATCGCGACGCGTTCGGCCTCCTGTCCTGTCAAAAAAGATGGCTGCTCTCGATGCATCAATGGCGGCTCTCGCGATCTCACCGTACACAGTGCGCATTGGCATAATGGGCTGTGCGAGCATCGCACGCAAAAATGCCAGAGCCATTATCAGGAGTGAACGCTGCACGCTAGTCGCAGTCGCGTCGCGCGAGCTGCCAAAGGCGGATGCTTTCTGCGACGAGCTGAAGCTGGACCGATCGGTGCGTCGGATCCAAGGCTACGACGCGCTCCTCGCGGACAAAGGCATTGATGCGGTATACATCCCGCTGCCAACAAAACTGCACAAGGAGTGGGTTCTGAAAGCGGCAGCGGCCGGCAAACACGTCCTCGTCGAAAAGCCAGTCGGTGTGGACGCGAATGAAGTGCAGGAGATGATCACTGCTTGCCGCACAAACGGCGTCGCGTTCATGGACGGCACGATGCTTGTACACCACAAGCGTTCCAAACAAATTGATAGGCTCTTCGCCGACACGACGTGGCAGCCGAAACGGGTCACGAGCGCCTTCACTTTCGCGGCTCCGATTGACTTTTTAGCCGGCGGCAATATCCGGACGAACGGCATGGATCCCCTGGGCTGTTTAGGGGATGTCGGCTGGTATTGTATCCGGTTCGGCCTGTCCGCGTTTGGAGACAAGCCCGCATATGTGCGGGCGCGCGTCTGGGAAGCGACGGACGGCGGAGTGCCTACGGACATGGACTGCGACGTCTCCTTCTCACGAGGCGACCCGGAGAGTACTGTGCTCAGCCCGCGGCTCCTGACGTTCCACTGCTCGTTCCACCATCACCTGCGCCAAACGGTGGAGGCTACCAGTAGTGACGGCCGCATCATACGCATGGATGACTTCGTGATTCCGAGAAGAGAGGAGGTATGCGATTATGTCATAGAGGACGTTCCCGAGCGGCCGCAGCTCTCGCACTACGACACGGTCGTGCGGGGCGTCAAGACGACGGTGCCAGTTTTGGACTGCGCACAGGAGGTAGCGATGTGGGACGCCTTTGCGGCACTGGTGGTCCAAAGAAACCGCACCGCTTACTACGACGTCGCGATGCTCACGGCGCATCGCATCATGGACGCTCTACAAGAGAGCGGAGCGAAGAAGGGGGCCTGGGTCGAAGTTAAGTAGTATTAATTACACATAACATATCCCGAAGGCGCTCTGCGCGACGGGCCGAGCGCCGCCGCGCGTGGGCGCCGCGCACGCTAAGATGCACATGTATCGGCCAAGTCCGCGAGCTCGCGCGCGGTCGCCCGCTTCGACGCGTCTCTCACAAATGCATGGCGAAAGACACCCAGGATCGCTTCATATTGAGCCAAATGAGACAAGGGCCCCATGAGGTCGGCCGGGGGCAGCTCGCCGTCCCCCGTCAGTAAAACAAAAAAGCGCGGCCAGTCGTTACAAGCCATCTCCTCGAACAACTTGTTTCCAGTTAACAGCTCATACCACAAGCACCCGAGGGCCCAGCAGTCGGCCTTTGTAGTTACTTTGGCGGAGGCGTCGAAGCCCTGCTGGACACCCGACAAGACTTCGGGCGCTTGCACGCACTCCGTGCCGTGGGCTTTCGATAGTCGGACGCCGTCGCGCTCGCCTAATGCCCTAGCTTCGCCGAAGTCGCCGAGGCACACACTATCATCGTTCCTCAGCAAGACGTTGTCTGATTTAATATCGAGGTGTAGGATACGTTTCATGTGCATCGCCTCGACGGCTCTACAACACTTGGAGAAGAGTCTAGCTACGTCCGTCACCAGACCATCATTTAGCACCTTATCAAAGCGCCAATTCAGCAATGTATCAGAGCACCGCTCCATAACTAAAACATAGCAGTCCCGCGACAACCCAAAGTCCAGCAATTCCGGGGCACTACCAGTGCCCTTGAGTAGCCACAAAGCGGAGACCTCGCCGTACACCGCGTGACACACGCTTCGATCGCGGTTCGACCGTTCTCGCCGCAATATTTTCGCACACGTGCCATCGTCGACGCCGACGACCCCACCAAAACGCCCCCGCCCGATGAACGCGCCGCGCTGCTCGGCCACCAGCGCCTTCCGTATAGTTGGCGTCGCGCGCTCGTGCAACAGACGCAACAATCGCGACGCGCCATGACTCCGACCAGGCGACGCCATGGCCGCGCCCCAGGCCTCCAACCTACGGACAACGGAAGGAAGCACCCTGTCGACATGTTGTGAACGTTTGGGATCGTTGAGGTGCTGGTGGAGACAGTCGAGCACGTGGAAGCGTAGAGAGTCACCTTCAGTACCGACATCCAGCAAACCCTTGCCCGACCTGATTGACGCAGACAAATCGTCTGGTGTACTTCGAGCAGATAATAGAGCTGAGCGAGCCGACAACGAGCGGGCCGTTAATGTCCTTCGGCCGGTGGCGTTACCCTCCGAGGGTTTCAGCATCTGCAGGGCCGTGGCTGATAAATTCGACGAGGATCTTTTCAAGGTCAGTGTGGTCCCCGTCTCCATGAGTGGCGTCGACGTGCAGAAGGCCGGCTCGAGCTCGCCGCCGTCCGACGCCCGGCCCACACTCAGTACAAGCAGTAGGGTGAGGACGAGGTCGTGGGTCGCATCATCTTCTATGATGGAGGGGACACTACTCAATGGTACGTTGTTGGGCGTCTGGGGGATGTGCCCCACGATCGAGGATAAGGATTCGCTCTCGCCGTCGTGGGACCGCCGCGCCGCCGAGATATCTATGCTAAGATCCGTATGCGATCTTTTGGTAGTGATAAGCGGCTCCACGTCGAGGCACCAGGGCTCATCATCCAACGAAGTTAATCTAGGCGAGCGGCTCGGTTTCGGCCGCTGCAGAGGTACGACTAACGAAGGCTCTCGCCTCGTACCAGGCGCTCTGACTTTCTCCTTGGGTACACTCTCGATACTACCAGTAGATACAAACCGGACGTCGTAGGAGTGCGTGCCGACGCGTTCCACACAAGCGCGGAACCACCTTTCTTTCCCGTTCCTCGCCTCGCCGAGCGCCAATACACTATCATTCACGGAGAACTTGGCGATGGGTTTGAGAGGACTTTCGGGCTGCGACCGTTCCGTCGAGGCATTCAATCGCTTCACGAGCAGCGGGAGGACCTCGCAGTACCGGAACGCATCTACTACATCGGTAAAGTCGCACCGCGCCGCGACGACCAATAAAGCCTCGAGGTGGCACCTCTCGAAGCTACTTTTCAAGGCCTCCGTGTGCAGGGGCACCAGCGTCGATGCGCAGTGCCGGACGTCCTCGTCCCTACCTCTCACGAGGGCATACGTAGCCGTCCTCAAAGCGACATGTGCTGCTTGGGAAGAACCGTGGTCCAGTCGTTCGGACGCGAAGCTTAGTAATGATTTATTTGGCTTCAACGCGTACCGTATCAAGACGGGTGAACCGCCCGCGAGGAGCCTTCGCAAGCATAAAAGCGCTTGGATGGCCGTGTGGTCCTCATCATACAAACAGGCGTCGACGTGCCGCACGACGGCCTGGGCCGTTTCTTCGTCTTCTACTTGCTCAATTTGCTCGAGCGCCGCGCGGCAACTATGCATCGAGCGCCGTCCCTTGCCTTTCTTGAGGATTGTCGAAGCGACCTGCGCATCCTTCAAAAATGCGCACAACAAAGCTTTATCGCCTTCTTCGGCGTCTTGCACGCGGTCGCGGACGTCGAAGCCGCACCTCTTTGATAAAGCCACCGCTTCCGTGATAGAAGAGCGGTTTGATACTGCGGCACAAAACGCCTCGAACGCAAACGCCGCGTCGTCGTCATCGTTACCTGACAGAGCAGCACACGTCGCCCGGAGGACGTCGACCGACTCATCCGACAGACGCGCCACACAAACGCGCCGGACCCAATGGTCGTCCTCCAAACACAATAAAGGCGCCTCCTCATTCTCAAGCGCCGCGAAGGCCGCGAAATGATCTGATGAATGCACCTCGGCCCGCAGCCGCGCCGTCTGAAGTCGATAAGTAGACCCGTCTCTAGCTGACGGCGTGCGCGCCGAAGCACGCGCGGTCCTATTCGTCAACCGCGCCGAGAAGCGCGGCAGCGGCGACATCAGTCCTGGTTTCTGTGTGCCTAGCCTTCCTAGATGCAGGTCGGGCACCTCGTAGCGCTTCGACGGTAATTGGGTTTCACGATCCGGCGACACGGTCACGAGGTCGTCCGTCGCTTCCGACAGCGACCGTCCGAAGTGCGTCGGCGAGCTCTGCAGTCTTTCGACGACGTCGTCGTCCTCGTCGACTGTCTCCTTCCTTCTTGTTTGATGGGCGAGGCGCCGCGCCCACCTCTTGACTGCGGCGGCGTCCTCTCCATCTAAGTCAGTGGATTGGCGCACGGCGTCGATGCCTTCGGCGCCTGCTGTGTCTAGCTGTGCCGCTAGATCGACTGCTGGGGCCACCCGCGCGGCCTTGCTAATGCTCAGGGCCGTCCGCAGGCGCCTAAATAGGCCTTTCTTCTTCGGAGTCGCCATCAGAGGCTGCCTTTCATCGTGGGCAGCTGCCTCTTGGCATCAGGCCGGGCGCTCCACAACCGAACTGCGCGTTTTGGCGACCTCTTTTCCATCCGTGGGGTCCGCAGGCGTCCTCTGCTGTTCCTGTACGAGTGGGTGGCTGGATCGGTACAATTTTGACTAGCGTAATCCCACTAGCCTACAAGTAGTTAGGCTAAAGTGAAACGTAACCTAACTTAGTTAGGATGCAACTTTTTTTTGGCTTGCGAAAAACGCCGGAGCGGAGCGATGTACAAGTCGCCAAGACTCCCTGGACTCTGCGCCGGAGTTGGTGCGACTGGTGGAAGCGCCGTCGAGCCGAGCCGCGCTGATTACGCCTACGACGTCGACGCGGCGCCCGAGGCCCGACGCGCTCGCCGCCGACGCCGTCGACGAGACAATACACTGGCTTCGCCTCGACGAACTATTCGAGCCCTGGCAGCCGTTGGCGTCGGCGCGACCGTATGCGTTAGTGGTGCAGTCGAGCCGCGCAGCGCCGAGTACGCCTATAGTGGAAATCGAACTGTCAGACACGTCCTCTCTTGGCGGCGCAGCCAATTCATTGAGGGTGCGGGTCCAAGCTCTACTGGGCCAGCCATTCGAATTGAGCTCAACCGGCACCAATCGCACACGGTCCGGTGGTGCTGCGGTACGTGCAGTCTCCGGGTCACACGTAGCAGCCCAAATTGCCAGGGCGGCACAGCATGGAGGCTGCTGAAGAAAATCTCCTGAAAGCTTACAACCGCCGGTCGCCGAGCCCCCGGAAGAGGTGGACGCGGCCCTCGCGCCGTCGATTGCTCCACGGGTGGCCGATCGAGCGCCGAACCCGACGCCCGAGGAGCTGGCGCAGCCGCCCGCGCGGCGTCGGCGAAGGCGCGAGCATTCCGAGGTCTCGGCCTTCCTCTCAAATACCTACGCCATGATTAGCGCGCTCGACGGCGTCGTCGGCGGCTGGTCGAAGAACGGCGACACGATGGTCATCTTCGATCCGGAAAAGTTCGCGGCCGAGATCATCCCCCAGTACTTCAGGCACAACAACTTCCGGAGCTTCGTGCGGCAGCTCCACCACTACGGCTTCCAGAAACTGCGCGCCGACGCAAACGCGGGCCCGGCGGCGCAAGCGCAGTGCGAGTTCAAGCACCCGAATTTCAGAAGGGGCCGCCACGACCTGCTGGTGCTGATCGATCGTGACACCCGCCCTGGCCACGGCGGCCCCGACGCGGCGGCGCAGCGCGCGAGGCAGGCGGAACTCGGACGGGAGGTCGCGGACCTGCACTCCAAGGTCGCGAACCTGACGGAGACGCTCGACAAGGTCGTCGGCGTCCTGGCGTCGCAAGGCCTGGGCCTGGACGGCGAACACCTGCTGTCACTGACGCACGCTCCGGAGGACTCCGGCGTCGAGGAGGAGGCGTCAGTCGACTCGGACGACGATGAAATTTGGGTGCTCCGGAGGCCGCCGGCCGAGATCAAGGCCGACGCGATGCGCTTGCACGCCGCGGCGGCCGCGGAGGCGGCCGTGGAGCGCGCCAGAGGCGGCGGCGCCGACGACGCAGCAGAGGATTTTGGAAAGTATCCCACAGCTCATGATAAAACTGTTTGAGCGCTGCATTCCCCTCTCCCGTGTAAATAGCCTTCTATAATATCAATTTAGTACGAGCTGTAGCGCAATTGACCTAGATTGGCATTAACCTGAGGGGTCATTTACCTGTTTTCCGTCGGTAGCGGTCCTGCGGCGTCCTCTGCTGCTGCTCTAGGACTCCGTGTTTGGCTTGGCGGACAATGATTTTGCTAGTGGGACGATCTAGTGATTCGAGGTCTCTCGTACATCGTCGTCTCCAGGTCATAAGAGACGACCCGGCGAGATAGGTGCGGCCAACAGTGTTCGAGACACTCCATCGCTGCAAACGAAGCCGTACGCTTGCGAATCTCGGGCCGCGAGCAGCCTGGGCCCACAATAGCCGCGCTTACGAGGGTCGGGCGAGCAGCGGGTTCGTGGACCGCGGAGACCGTCCGCCTCCGCACACGGTGCGCCGGACCACCGAGGCGCCGCAGCGCTCGCGTATACACAGCGAGACCGGCCACAGGACCCCCAGATTTCAAACAAGAGGCGTACGAATAGCGCGGAGCGCGACAGAGACCACCGCGACGCCGTCGACGCGACAAGACGCGAACGCGTCTCTCCACGCAGGTGCCGGCGCATCATTTGAAGAAGGCGACGAGGACGCCTGGGAGGAGGAAAAGATGTTCTTTGGAGGGGGCGGCATCCCCTTCGGCATGGACGGCGACATGCCCGGCGGCATGGGCGGCATGGGCCGTTCTCGCGAACCGGCGGACACGCAAGCTTTGTATGACGTGCTCGGTGTGACGAAGAAAGCCACGCAGTCGGAAATAAAGAAAGCTTTCAGAAAACTAGCCCTCAAGAAGCACCCGGACAAGGGCGGCGACGTCGAGGAGTTCAAGAAGATCCAGGCGGCCTACGAGGTGCTCGGCGACGAAGAGAAACGGAGCAAGTACGACCAGTACGGCTTGGAAGGTCTGGAGGGCGGTGATATGCCCGAAGGTATGGATATCTTCGACATGTTCTTTGGCGGGGGTCGGCGAAGGCGAGGTGGTGGCGGCAAGAGAAAAGCCGAGGACACGGTCTACCCTCTCAAAGTCTCGCTCGAGGATCTCTACAATGGCAAGACCGCAAAGTTAGCTATTACTCGTAATGTGATGAAGGGCGAACCGAGAAAGTGTAGCACGTGCCGAGGGCAAGGCGTGGTGATCCAGATGCGCCAGATCGGCCCGGGCATGGTCCAGCAGTTGCAAGCGAGGTGTCCCGACTGTTCCGGTGGTTATAAAGTTACGATGAAGAAGGAGCGCCAGGTGTTGGAAGTGAACGTCGACAAGGGCGCCACGCACAACACGAAACTTAGATTTAGCGGCATGGGCAACGAGCAGCCGAACACGGAGCCGGGCGACGTCGTTTTTGTGTTACAGCAAAAAGATCATGCCGTGTTCAAGCGCAAGGGCGCCGATCTGTTGATCCAGAAGGATGTGGCGCTCGTCGAGGCGTTATGTGGGTTCGAGTTCGTCGTCAAACAATTAGATGGTCGATCATTACTAGTGAAGTCGAAACCGGGCCAGATCGTCCGGCCCGAGGTCTCGGCGGGCGTGCCTTATGTATTATGCGTAGATGGAGAGGGCATGCCCAAGGCGGGGAACCCCTTCGACAAAGGAAGGCTCTTCGTGCTATTTACCATAGTCTTCCCGCCGAATTATTCGTTGGGGGACGAGCAGGCCGCGTTGCTCAAACAAGCGCTACCGCCGGCCCTCAACATGGACACCTACGACGCGAACGAGGTGGAAGAGGCCATGCTGGAAGAGATCGACTTGGACGAGCTGGGCAAGGGCCAGGGCGCGGCGGGCGGCGACTCGGAGGACGACGAGGACGGCGACCCGCGGCAGCGCGTCCAGTGCGCGCAGTCCTAGGCGTTCTTATCCCTTCCCCCCGGTTTCTGGCGCCTAAAACCATATGTTCCGAGTAGCTTTTTCCGTCGCATCGACGGCGTATCGACTGCCGCCCGCGTCCTGGGGCGCGTTTGCTTTTGCTTAGAGCTAGGCTGCCTAGCCACCAGTCGCCGCGGGGCCTGCGCGACGCGCCCGCCCGGCCCCCGGCCCTCGCCCGCCCTCGCCCCGAGTGTTAGCTCGGAGGCGACGACTGCGAGGGGGGGGCCGGCCGGACGCCGGAAGCCCAGGGCCGCGGCGGGGGCGCAACGGGGCGTTTATCGCGGCCGGTCGACCACTCTACGACGCCGCCGATGCTCGGCACGACACACGGAGGAAGCCACAAATTGCTGCGCAAAACCCGCGTCGGCCGCCGGGTGGAGGCCTAGCTCTGAGCAAAGCAACCCAGCATTCGCGGGCCGAGCTGAAGAACGAGCGGCAACTCTCAACGCCGCCGAAGCGTAGAGAAAAGGGGAAGTATCAAACGGTGATCTTAGAACAAGCGCTCGCGCGCAAGGAGATATATGAGACAGTCAGCGCTCCATCGACTCCGAGCTTCTAGAAGAAGAATCGTCGGAGACCTTGGACGACGAGTCCTCGTTCGACGAGCCCGGCGGCGAGACGACGCGGTGGGCCTTGAACGCCGGCGCCGTCTTGCGAGCCAAAGGCGCCCTGACATCCCGAGTGACACCATCATCCCCGAGAATCGTGACCGTGTCGTCCGTGAGCCTCCGCCCAACCACCACACCCTCGACGACGCCGTGGACCCAGCCCACGCCCGGCACCCTCGAGAAGACGCGGTCGCCCACGGCCCAGAGCGTCTTGCCCGACCGCGGCCGGCCCGGCTTCCGCTTCGACGACGTGACGATCGCAGGCGGCGACCGGTAGCGCCGTTTCTGCGTCTCCGCGGCCTCGTCGATGTCGACCTCGAGCGCGGCTTCTCTTAGTTTCAGAGGTGCCGCTCGGACCCGCCCATTCGACGACGGCTGCAGGACAATCGGTTCCGGCGACGGCGACCGGTCCCGGCACGGCCGCTTGACGAGCTGTGCCAATTGTGACGGCCGCTTGCCCGCGGGCCGGCCCCGTTTTTTGGGCGGCAGGCGGCGCGGCTCCGGCGCCGCGACGTCCAGCATGCGCGGCGACGCCTGGCGCTGACTCGGCGGCCGAGACGCCTTCGGCTTTGTTTTCGGCGAGAAGACGTAGCCGGGCACGCGGAAGATGTCGAAGGCGTTGTTCGGCTTCGTGTTCACCCGCCGATAGCTCTTCTTGACCCTCGATTTTTTTTTCGCGGGCCAGCGGCCGCGCCGCGGCGTGTTATCTATAAACCGCCTTGATGCGTCCGGCGCGCGACCACACAACGGTAACGCCAAGTGAGCTTCGGCGACGGCGTGCACAAAGGCCTTCCGCAGCGGGTCCCGTTCTTCGCCGTCGTCGGACTCGTCGTCACTAGAGTCGCAGTGCCGATTGGATAATGTTGTCGCCAATACCGCTTCGGGACTGATGTAGTCCCAGTCCTGCACTTCATAAGTCCGCTTGTCGAAGACCTGCAGCGAGCCGTCTCCGAGGAGATAACCGAGGGCCTCGTGGTCCTGTAAGGGTTCCGGCCGTCCTAAGACTCTAATTTTGGTCCGGCCGGCCGGCGGCGTCCAGTTCCGGGCCGCGTCCCAGCTCGAAAAGAGGACCGCGGGCCACCAGGGCCGGTCCCAGGGCCGGGCCCAGGCGACCGTGCCGTCTTCAAACAAGTCCTCGTCCCAGTCCTCCTCCATTGTTGTTCGCTGAGCTCGGCCGGTTTTGAGTGCTGGTCACTGAGCTCGGCCGGCGTGGGGGGGCCGGGTCGGAGGGCGCCGCGGGGTGCCCGCGGGCTGGCGCTGTCTAGCCGCGCTTCCGAGGGCTTACAGCGGGCGCGCCGCGCGTTGTTTCGCGCCGCGCGTCCCCGCCGCCGCGTAATAATTCAGCCTTGCGAAAGGCTGCTTTATTGCTGCCTGGGGCCGCGGGAATACGGAAATTTCGACAGCGACTCGCAGCTGGGGACCGAATGACTCAACAGCGTCGCGCTGGGGTCACCGGAAGTCGGTCTCGCGCCGCGCGCGCCGAGGCGGGGGCAGGGCCGTCTGAGGCGCCGGACCGCAAAAAAGTCTCGTCTTCGGAGGATCCCTCCGCGACGGGGGCCTTCGGAGGGAGTGCCAGATACGAGATACCGGGCGAAAGCGGCCGGCGACTCCGCTAGCTTGGGCCCGCTTTTGTGAGATGCTCTCTGGCAAAAAGCGGCGGCCCGAGCACGCGAAACGGCTCGTTGGCGCGTTCAGAGCCGTTTCGTGAAGCATCAGGCCAGTGTTACCAGCGCTGAGCACCAGAGCCGCTCCGGAGCTGGGCCACATTTGTGCCACAAGTGTGCTGCCACAGTACACGCTGTCGCCGCGCGCGATGTGGAGAGATTATGCGCGACTCAGTGGGCTTGCAGCCATCTGGCTCGTCATGGTCGGCAGCTACTGGACGCACCCGGCGCCCGCGTCGCTGGCCGGCATCGCGCTGCCGAAGGACGTGGGCCGCTGGCTGAACCGCGGCGCGCTGTGTCGCGAGGTCGCTACGCGCTGCGCGAAAGGCAACAGCTGCGGCGACGGCGTCAACGAGCGCTGCGGCAGAGCCGCGTCCGCGGCTGTCTTGCGCGCCTCGGGCCGCTGCCGAAGCGCGCTCGCGGCCATCGAGCCCGCCGACGGCGCCGCGCCGGTCGTCGCACGCGCGCGCGATTGCCTGCGGCACGCGTATCGATACGCGTTCCGGGGTGAGGGGTTGCCGGCGCCGCGGCTTGTGGGCGACGTGTAGTTTGTGTGTTTTTAAGTGTGATTCTTACCAGCGAACTCCTCGTGATTCTTACCGCACGCGATGGCGCCGTCATCCCGAGCCATGTGCGGGTCCGCGCCAGCGTCCAGGAGTTTCTGCGCGACCTCCGCGTGGCCTTTCTGGCAAGCGATGAACAGCGGTGAAACATTTCTGGCCGTCGGTTGGTCAACTGGCGCGCCGTGGGCCAGCAGGACGTCCACGAGGAAGGGGTTGTTGTTGCGAGCAGCAAAGTGCAGACAGGAATACGTGCTCTGCGCGCAGTTCCGGGCTGGCCAAGTCGGCGTGACATCTGCCCCGTGCGCCAAGAGCAGATCGACGATTTCTTGGTTATTCTTTTCACACGCCCATAGCAGGGGGAAGTGACATTCCTCATCTCCGGTGTACCGCCCCATATCAAGACATCTTTTAGGGTCGGCGCCATTGTCGAGGATACATTCTGTGACGATCGTATTCCCGTGGGTAACAGCCATCATCAGGGCCGTGCCGTAGTTGTCGTCGCGTCGCTCAAAGTATCCAGATAGGAACGTGCCGTCTTTGCACCGGGGCGGGACGTGCGCTCCGGGCCTTGGTTGTACCGCTACAGTGCCGCTCAGAAGTCCGTAGATCGCCGCGTACTCCTCGGGGGTATCATCGAAGGCTCCGTGGTCGTGAGCTTTCTTCAGCGTGTCGAGGAAGGTGTCACCGTTCTCCATCACCGCGCCGGGGCGAGTCGGCAGGTCTGGGCTGTGCTCCAGCAGGTACCTGACGCAGGTCGCCGCGCCAGGGGCGCCGCTGCTGACCAAGAAGTCGAGCGCCGTCGTCGCCTGCCCGCCCAGATCGGCCCCCGCGATGAGCAGCGCGTCGAGGCAGTCGCAATGTATGCCGACCGCTGCATGAATGACCGGGGTGTGCTCGGCCTCCGTGAACGGCCTGTAGTTCATGACCGCGTCGACGTCCGCCCCTGCTGCGACGAGCGCCGAGATGACGGCCGCGTGCGCGCCGAGCCGCGGTTTGCGGTCGGGGTGTTCGACTTCATTGCCGTGGTCCGCGGCGGCGTGGAGCGGCGTGAAGTCGTTCGGGAAAAACGCCACCGCGTTCGGATCCGCGCCCGCCGCCAAGAGCTCGTTGACCCTCTCGAGGTCGCCGTCGTAAGCGGCGAGATGCAAGTCTGACCAGCCGTACTCGCGGCCGCCCATGTAGAAATTTGCCAAGAATGCCAACAGCACGACGATGATCGCTTTGCCCCACATCTTTACAACTACTCCTCGACTTGGCTAATTTAGCGCTCGCTCTCTCAGGCCTCTTGAAGTCACGAGTCAAGTGCTTGAAATGCGTTTTTCAAGTTTCGCGGCGAGTTGTTCGGTGCGCGTCGGCAATTGAAACCGTATTTGCCGTCCGTCAGTAAAATCAGGGCCGCGAGAAGGCGCTCAGCCGATGGTGCAAAGGCAAAACAGCACTCAGTCTAGCGTCCAGTAAGACTCTAGGAAGCCGAGCCAACCCTCCCCAACTGGCGTGGCTCACAGGAATAGGCATTTCTCATCCTGAGAGCCTTTTTAGCTTTGTCGCAGTCGTAGTACACCTCGAGGATATGTTGTTGTTAAACATCCTGTGGTGCACAAGGCCAGCAGCGCACGCATTGGTCCCCAGACCGCTGAGGAGGAGGCTCGGGGCCACGGCGGCAGCGGGAGCATGCATTGGCTTGATGCCAGCAGCACCGGCGCGCGCGGCACCGTTTACCATAACCCAGGGAAGCGTGGCGCCCGCGCCGACGAAGCTCATCAGCTCGCAGGCGGCGCTCTACCGCGAAGCCATGGCCGGCGACGCCGCTGCGCGGGTACGAGCGAACGAAGCCGTCTTCGAGCAGGCGTGGGGCACGATCTCGACGATGGCGTACGACCCACTGGCGGGCGTGCGGTTCGACGGCCGGTTCAACGCTCGGGAGTGGACCGCGCGAAAGAAAACAGCGTTTTCGGTCGACGCGCGGCGCTTCGAGACGCCCGCGGGCACGCGCGCGGAGATCGAGACGCTGCTCGACGCGATCGACGACCGGTGGGCCGCCTACGACCCGCCGCCGGCCGAGCGCCCGCCGCGCGCGAGTTCGCCGCTCGAAGACGTCGCGGTCGCGCGCTGTGTGGAAATCAACCAGTGCGTCGGGTGCACTAAGCCACTTCTCGGCGATGGCGCGGCCGTCCTGGCTCGGTCGAGCGGTGAGGAATTCACACCGCCACGCCGTCGAGCAGGCGTCGCGTCGATGGCGTGCAGGGCGACGCGATGATTCAGCACGAACGCGCCGTAAATTTTGATTTCCACACAGGTCGCGCGTGCCGCCGACGCGGGCGGCGCGCTCGAGGTCGTCGCTGTGCGGCCAGGTTCCGCGGCGGAGCGAGCCGATATTCGAGTGGGCGATCTCGTAACCGACGTGAACGGGCGGCCGACGAAGCGGATGCGCGCGCCCGTCGGCGCGCGGAAACGCGCCGCGCCGCTCGCTGCCTACGCCCAGAGCGCCCGGTCGACGCTCGACGTGCAACGCGGCTCGAAGCGCTTCCGTGCGGCGCTCGCGCCGGGCGTGCGACCGGCGCGGGACGTGACGACGGCGCGATTGGGCGACGCGCGGTACGTGCGAATCGCAGCCTTTGAGCGCGGGACCGCCGCAAAACTGGCGGCGCTGCTGCTCGAACGCGACGCGCCGCCCGTGCTCGTGCTGGACCTCCGGAACAACAACGGCGGCGAGCTGCAGGAGGCGCTCCGGGCGTCCGCGCTCTTCTTCGACGACGCGTACTTTCTGCCGCCGACCCGGGCATATCGCGCCGCGCCGTTCCATCCGCCCCGCGGCGGCGGCGCCGAGGACATGACGCCGCTCTGCTTCACGGCGAATTCGCGCGGGGAATATACTGACCACGACGTCGAGGAATTTCGGACGGACCGCCTCTACCCGCGAGCTCCGGCCGGCGCCGCGCCGCGGCCGCCGACGAAGGTGGTGTTGGTGGCGAACCGCGGGACCGCGTCGGCCGCCGAGGCATTCGCCAGCGCCCTGCGCGACAACGGCGTCGCGACATTCGTCGGCGAGCGCACCTTCGGCAAGGCGCTCGTGCAGCACGCCTTTCCGCTCCCGGACGGCGGCGCGCTCCGCCTGACCGTCGCCGAGCTCCTGAGTCCGCGCCAGAAACACTTAGCGCCAGCGACGCTCGCCGACCTTCGCGATCCGGCGGCCGCGCGCGGCGGCCTCGCGCCCGACAAACCGCTTGGGCGCGCGTGCGCGCCTGGCCCCGCGTCGGACGTTGGAGAAGACGCATGTATCCTCGCCGCGCTTGACGCGGCGCGGTAGTATTAATGTTGCTTGTGATTAATATAAGACGGGAGGATGGGGACACGATGTACACAGCGAATATCAAGCTTCCGGCTCGCCTTCCGGCACGACGGCCCGGCAGACCGGGCACGCGAGGGTCGGCGCCTCGCCCGCCCGCAGCGCGTCCGAGTAGGCCAACGCGAACCAGGGCCGGAGGCAGCGGCCGTGGAACGCGTGGGCGCACGGCAGGACGACCGCGTCGTCGTCGAGGCCCGCCTCCTCGCGGCCGTGGTCGCCGTCGCAGAGCTCGTAGAGGCAAATCGGGCACACCTCCTCACTGAACTCGGCCCCCGACACGTCCCGCGAGAGCGTCGCGACCATCGCTGCCGCAGCGGCAATGTCGCCGTCCCCGACGGGTCGTTCCTTTATCGCCATTCGGATCGCCTCGAGCCGCACGGACCTTTTGTGCCGCAGCCAACAGCTCACTGCGGTCCCCACCGCCAATATGATCACGATGACGAGGCCGCCGCTCACGCCGCGGCGGCCGCGCTGGCGCCAGCGGTCGTCCTCGGCATGTTGTGCGTCGTGGTGCCGGGCCTCGGCCGGGTCGCGGCAGTCGAAAGGACCGCAGTTCACGCCTTGACACGTCGACGCGCAGCAGTCGCCGCCGTCGTAGGCGCAGGTGGCGTCGTTGAGCTCGGGGTCGCAGGTAGCGTCGCCGGCCGTCGGACACTCGTCCGCGTCGAAGAGCGGGTTGTCGCACGGCGCTTGGGGACAGCCTGCGTGGGTCGATGCGTCGCGTCGATGGCGTGTTGTGGTTTACGACGCCGGGTACGCACCATCACACTCGCAGCCGGTGCAGTCGCAGCCGTACGTCGCCTCGAGGTCCGCACAGGTGCCCCACGCGCCGCCGTCCCAATGGTCACATGATGCGCCGAAGCAGGTCGCCACGCACGCGTGGTCGGGAGGTCCTCCCGCCGCGTGCCGCGCCCACAGCAACAGAATATGTACAACGGCGCGGGCAGCCGGGTGGGCCATGGCGGAGAATATGTGCAGTTGACCTGGCTGGTCTCTATGTGAAATCTGCAACGCGGTGCAAAGCGATGGACCGCAGCCGCGCAATTTCGAAAATAGATGGAGACGCGCGCTGTAGTTGCTTGTAGAACCGACAACTCCTTGCGCACTCAGCGCATTTTCACAGAGTGACTCGGAGTCGGAGAGCGAATCGGACGGGGTTTGCACGCGAGTCGTCCGGGAATTAGAAATCGCGGGCTGATGGTGTTAATACTCGTATTCTACGAAACGCGGTAAGATTACAAAAAAAAATGAGAACGCGGCGCGCGCACGCGAGACCCAGATGATAGCTATATATATACTACACTAAACACGACGACGGCGACGGCGACGACGCGGAGACCTAGAAGTCCAGGATGCTGTGGCACTTCGAGGGATCGATCGCGGGCGGCACCGGCGGGCACGCCTCCTCCGACAGCGGCCGCGTCTCGCGCCAGAGCCACTGGCGCGCGCGAGCCGCGTCCTGCGCATCATCCAAATTACTGGAAGTCAACAGCGGCGCCACCGTCGCCCAACATTGAGAATGGAAGGCGTCGATCCACTGTATTTCGTCCTCGAGTAACAGAGAAGGGTCCGTCAGCGACCGAGAAAAGGGCAAGGGCGTCAGGTACTCGAACTTGAGCCAAGCTCTCGTACCGTACGCGTACTTCGTCTCCGCCACCACGGCGACCAGGTCCGACTCGATGCGGAACCCAAATGAGCCATCTTGGTAGAAGCCCGGCTCGTCACTGACGTAGTGGCCCCTCCTTATTTCATTCAGATACCTCAGCTTCGCGGCGTGAAAGGCGAACTGCTTATCTGCCGTTACCGCCCCGCCGCCGACGCCGAACGGGCCCTCGTGGACGTTCAGGTAACTCCCCATGCCGTGGCCCGTGCCATGTAAATAGTTTAATCCATCTCGCCACAACGGTGCTCGAGCGAGAGCGTCGAACATGACCCCGGGAGTGCCCTCGGGGAAAACAGCTCGAGCCATCCCTATGTGGCCCTGGAGTACTCGCGTGTAGCACCTCCTTTCATCCTCGGACGGTTTCCCAAAATGATTCGTCCTCGTGATATCTGTGGTACCGTCTCCATACTGACCACCGGTGTCGCAGAGGTAGACGTCCTTGTTTGTTATGGTCGCACAATCATTAGGTGTAGGTTTGTAGTGGATGATCGACGCGTTCGCACCGACGCTACTAATGGTGTCAAAACTATCACCTTTGTAGAGGGGGCCGCCCATCATGCGCCTTCTTCTCATAATTTCGTCGCACGCTTGGCACTCGTCGACCTGCGCGGACATCGACCAGTCAGACGCCATCGAGCAGGCGTCGCGTCGATGGCGTGCGGGGGTGCGGTCGCGTCGATGGCGTGTGGCGCCACCCCTACGCCATCGCCGCGACCCGACACACGCTCTCGTTGCGTGGAAATCAACCAGTGGTTCGACCTTCACGCCGTCGAGCAGACGCAGTCACGGGAAGGCGCCCGAAATTTGCACGCCGCCGCCCACGCGGCCCAGCCGCGTCTCGAGCCAGCCGTAGAACCCGACGAGCGCGGCGCAGTCCCGTCTCCCAGCCTTCCGTAATCCCGCGATCTCGACGTCGTTCTTCACGGCCTTGAAGATTTCGACGGGCGAGCAGTCCACCAACACTCTACGTTCTTCAGGAATGGCCGCGGCCATCGCTAGCGTAGATGTCGCCTTCTCGAGGGCTACTTTCCTACCGCTACATCGCTGGGCACATTCCGCTGCGTCGAAAGATGAGTAAGGCAACAGATTGGCAGCTAGACCTTCGCTCCTGAAATGTTCTAGTAGCGTCGCTTTCAAGACCGCAATACGTTCATCTGATTCGTGCTGCTCCAGGCCGTTACCACATAGCTCCCGATCCAAACACCTCAAATACAACGTGAGCTCGTCCGTCACGACGGCGTACGCGAAGAAGACCGGGTTGCATTCCACGTCGCACCCTCGTAAATTCGTGAGCCAGCAGATCTGATCTAGGGCATTTAAGACTAACGCAGAACCATTGAGCTCCTTCTTGACTCTCTCCAACTTGCTCTTCACAGATTCACCAGTCAATGCGAGAGGCTGCTCCAGACACGGGTTACGGGGCACCTTCGGTCTGCGACTGCCCCAGATCACGTCCACGAAATCCGTAGCGATCGGTACCAGCTCCAAACCCTTCTCCCGGAAGTTTTGGGAGAACTGCAGCGTACACAGACCGCCACAAATGCCGATCTTCGAACCCTGTTGAAGACACCATTCAGGCATGTCCAGTACACCCGGCTCGTGCTGCCGCATCAGTGTGAAGGGCGAGCCTTCTAGTTGTGTGGACGCTTGGTTGAAGTACCTTCCGTCGGTCCACAGCGCCGCCTCTTTCATTGATACAATAGCAGTACCAGCAGATCCCGTAAAGCCCGTGAGCCAGGCCCGCCGCTCGTCGCAGGGCGCGACGTATTCTGAGGAGTGGGCGTCGCCGCTCGGTACGATGTAAGCGTCGAGGCCGTGCGAGGCCATCAGGACGCGTAATCCTCTAATTTTCATGGGCGCTTCTTCCGGCGAGAAGGAGTCGCAGAGCTTTCCGGGGCGGAAGCAGCACGGGCATGATAAATCTTCCGGTCTTGATGACGCGTCGACGGCGTTGTCCAGTGGTTGTTGCTGCTGGAGCGCCATCGCGGCGAAGGCACCCGGCACGTCGGACATGGTGAGGCTGCTGTGGAAGCAGGCTTGCTTGTGGAGCCTGTGCTGCGGACTGCGCTGCGCTTGCGTTGCAGCGCTGGCCGTCGGCCTCGAATATAGTATTAAGGGCTAATTTGCGCGGCTGACGGGCACTCGTACGCGCCAGTACCGCGCGCTTGCCTGCTTAGCTAGCGCACATGGATGCTAGCCGCTGCTTGCGCCTCGGCTCTCGGCTGTAGCTCGCCGCACACGTCTCGCACAGCAAGCAAGGGCCACTGTATAGCCCCCAGGTGCTGGCGAGTCAACGTTGCGGCCACGACAGCGATCCCTGATTGCCCCGCGGGCCAGACAGCAGCACCGCAACCAAGCAAGCCAAAAGCGCCTGGCGAAACGAAACCGCAGCGATATAACGCCGCCGCCGCGCTACCGCAACCATGGTCCTCCAGGAGCTCGGCGGCAAGCTCACGGCGGCGCTCCAGAAGATGCAGTCCGTGACGGTCATCTCCGAGGAAGTGCTGGATAAGATGTTAAAGGACATCGCTGCCGCTTTGTTGGAGGCCGACGTGAATGTGAGAGTCGTCGGCCAACTGAGGAAGGCCATCAAGACGCGCGCTGCGCTCGAGGAGGAAGTTGCTGGGGCAAATAGGAGAAAACTGATACAAAGAGCCGTAGTAGACGAATTAGTTAACATAGTAGATCCAGGAGTAACACCACATGAGGTCAAGAAGGGCAAGCCGAACGTCATCATGTTCGTGGGACTGCAGGGTGCTGGAAAAACGACGACAATCGCGAAATTTGCGAACTATTACCAGCGCAAAGGCTTCAAGTGCTGCATGGTCTGCGCGGATACCTTTCGTGCTGGAGCTTATGATCAATTGAAGCAGAACGCTACTAAGTTGAGATGTCCCTTCTACGGGTCTTACACCGAAGCCGACCCTGTAGCAATAGCGGCGGAAGGCGTGGCGCAGTTCCGCAAGGAGAAGTACGAGGTCATCATCGTCGACACGTCGGGACGACACCGCCAGGAGGCGGCCTTGTTCGAGGAGATGCAAGAAATTAGAGTCGCGATCGAGCCGGATAACGTGGTCTTTGTGCTGGATGCGACGCAGGGCCAGGCCGTGCATGAACAGGCGACGTCGTTTCATGAGGCGATAGATATTGGCTCAGTTGTGGTCACGAAATTGGATGGGCACGCGAAGGGCGGCGGTGCCCTGTCCGCGGTCGCGGCGACGGGCGCTCCGATACTGTTCCTAGGCTCGGGAGAACATTTTGATGATTTCGAGCCCTTCGTCGCGCGCAGTTTCGTGTCGCGATTGTTGGGCATGGGCGACATGAGTACCTTAGTCAAACAAATAAAAGATACGATCGGCGACGATAAAAACGACGAGATGATGGAGAAGTTCAGCAAGGGCGAGTTCACGCTGCGCGACATGTACGAGCAGTTCGAGAACGTCATGAAGCTCGGCCCCCTCTCAAAAGTCATGGCCATGATCCCCGGCATCCCGCAGATGGGCGGGGAAGGCGACGAGGGCGGCAATCGGTTGAAGCGGTTCATGTACATGATGGATAGCATGACGGACGACGAGTTGGATGGTCGAGTTGATCTCAATCGGGCGCCTTCTCGCGTCGACCGCGTCGCGCGCGGTTCCGGGACGCACCCCATGGAAGTGCAGATGTTGCTGCGGTGCCACAAGCAGTTCGAGGGAGTAGTAACCAAAATGGGCAAGTCGGGCCTGATGAAAGGAGGGGATGAACAGATGGTCAAGCACGGTGCATCAATCAAATCGTCGCGACGCGTCTCCATGCCCTCCACGCCATCGACGCGACGCCGGCTCTCTCACCGCTCGATTCGGTCAGCACGGTCGCGTCGTGCACCCGACTCACTGGTTGATTTACGCACAGGTCAAGCAGATGCAGCGCAACCCCAATCAAGTGCTCCAGCAGCTCCACAAGACCATGGACCCGCGCATGTTGCAGCAGATGGGCGGGGCGCAAAACCTCATGAACATGATGAAGCAGATGAGCGAGCTCGAGGCGAAGGGGGGGAAGTGAGTAATACTCATAGATACTATTGGTAGTGATTAACATGACAACATTAGCGAGGGCGGGGAAGGGGCCGCGCCTAGAGGCCGTGCCGAGAGCATGCCGTGTTCACATCAGTTCCGGCGAACGTCGGAGCTCTTGCCACTTCACAACGCGGCCGACCCTCCGCGTTGCGTGCGTGTTGAAACTAGGGGTGGCTCGGCGAGGCTGCGGCGAGCGCGGAATCGAGGTAGGTCTTGATTCCATTAAAAGAGCGCATGGCACTTCCCCGCAATGGGGGGAAATGTTCAGGTGGATAGAGTCTTATCCCGTCTCGTTTCCAAGATTTACCACGATTTGTAAACCCGTATTTCTCTATAATGGATCTCACGTCGTCAATCCGGGTGTTCTTGCCGTAGCCGGGTGTTGTATACACGGCCGCGATCTCTTTCTGGAGTTTCTGGAGCTCGAAGAAGGCGGCGGGCCTGGCCTGCGCAGGATCGGCAGCAGGCTCCGGCGCAAGATCGACCGCGGCCGCGGCCAAGGCGGCGAGGTTGGCCAAGCCCATTTGGGGCTGGGCATGGGGATCATTGGGACCTGCCACATGCACTGTGTAGGGCTGGGCAAAGCCCGGTTGTGGAAGCAGCTGGGCGTTGGGATCCATTTGGTGCGAGGCGTTCGCTGCGGTGGGCAGCAACTGGTGGGTGCCCTGCCGTTTCTAAAGGAGGACAAAAGCTTGCAGCGCACCGATCGAGAGGCTGCCCGATTTCTTTTTTAGCCGCGGCCCGCGCATGCTGTACGCGGAGGGATATCTATACATCATCCACACCAATGATGCCTCGCAAGAGGACGAGGTGCAAAAAAGACGAGTGCCGTCGCGACAACCTTACACGTGGGGACTGGGGACAAGGGGAGGGACAGGGCGCAGACGGACTTCAAAAAATCACACGTTCTTCATCTTCGGGTGGTGCGCGGCCGAGATGCGCCGCATCATCGACGTGAGCTGCTTCCCGGGCGCCGGCTCGTACAACGCGTCAATATCCGCCTTGATCATATCTTTTATGGTATCCTCCCACAAGACGCCGGCCGTGAGCTGCTTGCAGAGGGCGTCTTTGATTTGGAGTGGATCCGAGGCGTGCGGTCGCGCGGTCACGTTCGAGTAGACGGTACGCGACGGAGCGTTCAATGAAACACCATCCAGCGCTTCACGTAAAGCGTCGGCAGCAGATGCCATGAACGGCGAGTGGAAGGCCCCGGACACGGGCTGCATGATCGTCTTCGTGCCCGGCCGCTTCTCCTTCTTGACTGCAGCTTCCAACGCTTTGAGGGCATCCCGAGGACCCGCAACAACTCTACCCTTCGGGAAGAGCTGGTTCGCCACACTCACTTTATCCGGTAGTAACGCCTGCAAATCAGCATCTTCGTACCCTACCACCGTCATCATCCCGGACGGTGATAAATCACAGGCGGCGCCCATGGCGTCCGACCGCACCTTCAACAATCTAACAGCAGTAGCAATGTCCATGACGCCCGCGAACGTGAGCGCCGAGTACTCGCCTAATGAGAAACCGGCCGTATGTGTTACTTTCTGTAGAGCAGTAGGGTCGTCCTGGTGCAGTTTGGCCACAGCAGCCATGCTCGTCAGGAACACGCAGACCTGCGAGAAGCGCGTGTCGTTTAGGTCGGTCTCCGGGCCCTTCTGGATCAGTTCTAGTAGATCTCTTCCAAAAACTTCAGACGCATCAGAAAACATCTCGCGCACGCCCGCGACGTCTTCATACGGCGCCAGCATGCCTACTTTTTGCGCTCCTTGGCCCGGGAACAACAAGACGCGTCCCGTATCGGTGCACGGCGGGAATTTTATAGAGATGATAGGTTTCGAACCGACCTCCGGCAGAGGCTCTTCTCCATCAGCACCGCTCAAGAACTTCGCCGTGCACCAGCCGTCCACCGCCTCCCAGGGACCTCCTTTGGCCGATCTCAAAACCACGTGGGCCCTTACTATATTTTGTTCATTGACGTCCTCTCCAGCGACGTAGCACAGGTCGCCCTGATCTAATGAGATACCCGTCTCCACCGACGAAAGCTCGCAGCCCTTCCTTAACAAAGCGCCGTGCTTGCCCGTGACCGTCTTCTTCGTGCCCTTCGTCCCAGTATGAATAGGTGGCGGCGGCGGCGACACCCTACGGACTTTGGAAGTCTGTACAGAAGGCGCAATAGCACCGGGCGCCGCGCCGCGGAACTCGAACAGCTTCTTCGAGACCCATCCTTCACAAACCTCGCGGGAGCAGCCCGGCGACGTGTACGCGACGACGCGTAAGCGTAAGGTACCCTTACTATTTTCCTTCTCCTCCTCGACGTCGATCATCCCACCCTCTTCCACATCCCACGACGCTAGAGGGCTTTTGAGGTCGCAGCCTTCTCGGACAGCCGCACCCTTCGGCGCCGTACATTCGTAGCGCGCGCGCGGCGGTCCACTGGCAATGGGAGACACGGCGCCGTCGAGCGCTTGCACCACCATCTCGAACCACTGCTTCCTTGCGGATTCGTCGTACACAAACAAGTGGTGGCCCTCGACACTACCAAGTAACTCAAAATCGGGAGCAACACTACTCCAAGTCTCGAGTTTGCTAGAGGTGCAGCGGTCGTCCTGCGTACCGTACACGCCCTTGACCGGGAATGATAGAGGAGCCGCATCACCCCCAACAGGGTACTCGTCGAAGCAGCGGAAGTCGGCCCGCAGCAGCGGCTCGTACGTCGCCCACATCTGGCTCCCGAAGACGACGTCGTTGATGCGCCACTTCCTACATTCCTCTCGGAAGTCGGCATCGTTCAAGTCGCGCGACGGCGTCCAGGGTCTTTCAGAGAGAGGTAGCGAGGGCGAGGGAAAGCCGCTCGCGACGAACACGGCCGGCGGTCTTTTACCGTTTGAGCGAGCAAGTAACGCGAACTCGTACGAACTCCAGCAGCCCATGGAGTGGGCGAACAGGGCCCAGGGCGCGTCGTCCTCAAAAAAGCCTAATGTAGAAGCGGCGTCGTAAGCGCCTTTGGCTACTTCTGCACATGAAGTTAATGCAGTTTCCTTGAGGCGCGCGTCGCGGCCCGGCGGCTGGGCGGCCCAGACCTCGACGCCGGTCCTGCGCGCCCACGTCATCAGGACGTTGTCCTCGCGGCCGTTGAGCTTGTCCACGCCGGTGTAGACGTTCTCGCTGCTCCCGGAGTTCGGGAAGGCGAGGAGGCGGAGGCGCGGTGCCGCGGCGCGCGTCTTCTTGAGCTGGGGGAACCTGCGTCGTGGTGACGGCGTTTTGCGGTGCGGCGCGAAGTCCACTCTCGGGGTTTTGTCGGCGCGCGCGCGTGTGGGCGCGTATGTTCTCTTGCGCAGGCGATCTGGATCGATGAAACGACGCTGCGGGACGCGCCACTTGTCGGCCATCGTGGTTGTGTGGTGTGATTAGCTGTTTTTGTGAGGCAACTTGTCTCGTCGCGTACGCGGCGAGTGATGGATTTCCTTGCCTCGTGCGCGGTGGAGGTCTTGCCAAGAGCAATTTGATGTGCTGCGCGAGCGCTGCGGTGACGCCAATGCCTCGCTGTTGAGATGTCGCCTCCAAAAGCAGAGTGCCCTTCGTCTAGCGTGAGAGCAACACACTAGCCCGAGCGGACTCGCAGAAGTGTGCTCCACACATTCGTGGAGGCGTCGCACCCATGCTCTCCGAGCGGCGGGTTTCGCTGTGCGGAACACCCACGCCGTCGCCGCCGCGCCGACGAACACACGAAATAATAAACACAATATTACCCCTCCGCCATCCAACCCCCGGCGCTATCCGCCACGGCGGGAGCAAGAGCCATCAAACCAGAACGCAAATCGCCGAGCTTCTCCACTAATTCTGGAGGCGGCCTCGTCTCCGCGTCTTCGTCCAGCAAGTTGTCGCAGATGTTCGCCACCACCGACGAAAAGGCCCGCATGCGCCCCGGCTGCCGCGACAACCTCTCGACGTGCAAGCGCAATAACTCCTTCCGCGCGTCCGCATTATTCAACGCTAATATAGACTCCACGATCTCGACGTCGGCCCGGACGTCCTTGCCCCGTTCGGCAATCGTGGCCTTGCGCACGGCATCGAGCACCGCGAGCCACTCCGACGGCTCCCTACTTGGATCACTCACACCGCGCTGTCTTAGCGATGACGCCTCCACAGCCACAGAGTGTTTTATATATGCGACAAAATCATCATCGAGTCGCGCGCGGTGCGTCTGGGCGGCCTGCCTTAGTCCAGCGTCGCCCCGATCTCGGGCAGCTTCGCACAATAATCTTATGGTTTCAAGATGTTGTTTTTCGGCGGCCGCCGCGATCTCCGCGAGTTGTGTAGCTAGCTTGAGGGCCTCCTTATTTAATATTTCAACAGCTTCGGAGTTCTCCACGTCGTCCGTGACGGCCTTCCTCGCTAAGAGTGGAAACGCGTCGTCTAGCAACACGTCTCGGTAGGCGTCTAAAATCAACTGCGGGTCTTCTGATAACCGGAGTTCCCGCAACAGCACGCCAAAACGCGCTGATACTTCAGGTGATACGTCTACATCTGCAAAGTCTAGCACCGGTGCACTCACACCGGCTATCTGTGGTGGTGGCGCAAATAGGTCGATGCCACCCTTCATCCCAGGATCGAGCCGCACCTCGAACTGGGCCTCGCCATTCGCTTCGACGACGTCCAACGCGTCGTCTTCTGGCAACCCGGCGGCCCTCCTGGCCAGCTTTTCGCCCTCAGCAAACATACTCCTGATGCTCTCGTCCTCTTCAGTACTGGGTTCGACGAGGTCGATGACCTCCTGCTCGAAGGCGTCTCCATAAGTACCATCATATAGCGTGTCGGGCATCTTCTGGTTTTGGCGTGGTTGTGGTTGTGCCGGGGGCGGCCTTAACAATGACGCACCAAAGTCCCGCTCCAGATCATGGCGTAGACCGTCGAGTATGCGATCTTCGGCGCTCCGCAGTAAACTGTTAATCGTCGACGGCGCCGGGCCGCCGATGCGCTCGACCACCAATCTCGTCGTAGGCGCGTCGGCGCCGGGCGGCCTCGCAATGACATCGACGCCGTGCGACGGCATCGCCGCGTACCGCAGCCGCAATGCGCCGTCTTGGATGGTTGTTTCGACGGGGAACTGCGGGTCGCTCGCGCATTGCCAGCCTTCAAGCCACACGGCGAGCTGCGCGGCGGGCGTCGCGTCGACGGCGACGTCGAAGAGGGATTCGTAGCGTTTTATTGATGCGCGGCGACTTGTTAGTGGGGGTCGCAGGGCCGCGGTTGTGGCGTAGAGCAGTGCTATGCGCCAGAAGACCGGCATTGTGAAGTGCCGCGTGCAGCGCACACAGGACCCCTTCTCGCGTGGCTTGTTCGGCTGTAGCGTCGAATCAGTGATCGATGCGAATCGTGATTGGGTCGGCAGCACGCCTGCGGGCCGTTGAGGCTCGCACCGCCGATTTTGCTCTGCAGTCGCGCTTAGCGAGACAGACACTCTAGGACTGAAAATTTATGCGGCGCGTCCTCGGGCCAATCGCTCCATACCGCTGCCATCTGAACGCCTTGGTTGGCCGAACCTGACCGCAATGCATTGCCCGTAACGCTGCTTTCAGCTCCAAGGCTGCGCAAAGCAGGCATATGGCAGCCATGCAAAAATTGCTGCTGCTAGCGTACGCCGTCGCCGCGGAGCGCATCAGTGCCAACGACGTCAAAGACGCGGACACCTGGGATGCGGACCGAGAACACGTCTACAAGAAACTTGTCAAAAGCCATATCCAGCAGCGCGCCATACATAGAGAGGGCGTTGGTGTCATGTACGCGGCGGCCGGCTCGCCGGAATTTGTGAGAAGGGAGGTTTTACCGACGGTGGACTACCTCAAACAATTAGGGATCGCCGACGCGCGAGGCGCCCACGCGTCAGTGAGAAAGCACGGCTTCGCACTCTTCACGGAACGCGTCCTGGTCAATGAACTTACGAGTACAGAAAAGGAGACCCTATCGAATTTTTTTGATCGCATTTTACTGTACGAGGACTGGTCCCTCGTTACAACCAAAAGGCTACCGCTGAAAACAAGAGCCAAGTTGGTCAAGGTCCACGCGATGGCCTCAAGTCCTTTCAGTACAACGATCTTCATGGACTTTGATAGCAGACCTTGTTCTGCTTCGTTCCTAGAGAGATTACTCTTAGTGGGCAACGGCGTGGATGTCGCACTGACCAATAAATTCGACGGCCAGGAATCACATCGAGACCATCTCAAACTAGAACACAACTCCGCGCTGATCGTTCTCGATAGTACGTCGCCTCGTACTCAGCAATTCCTGGGGTTCTATGTGGACGCGTTCATGAGGTTGTACGAGCGTACTGGCGAATCGCGGGACCAGCCGTCGTTGACCATCGCTCTCAGGAGAGCCGTTGAAAGTGTATCCTTAAACCATGCGGACCTCGCTTCGGATTTGTTCTGCCGCTCGAAGATTTCCGATGTCGTGTCTTGTGACGCGGGCTGTGCGTTAGTCCACAAACCCCAAAAACACGACCTGTCCTTCAAAACTTTTGCACTGTCGGCTTCCAAAGCGGGCGGTGAGCGCATAGCGATGATGCTGGATGCGTTGAAACTGGAGCCGAGGTGCGACGTCAAAGCCCGCTTGACTGCGTTTGATGATTATGCTAGAAGCTTAGACAGTACCAAAGCTCTAGAAATAGCTCATGACTACAGGACGTTCTACGACGCGCCCTGGAACGCCGGGTCGTTGTATGAGGAGTTGGCTATGCGTTACCCGCGGGCGCGCTTCGTGCTGACCGTGCGAGATTCATCGGCGTGGTGGGACGATGTCGAGCGGGAGCTCTCTTGTTCTACAGTCAAGCAGCGTACTTCCTACGAGAGAGCGAACGGCCTCGGTCCGCTGGATCGGGAGGCGTGGATTCAGGCGTATGAACAGCGAAATACAGATATAGTGGCCTTCTTCGCATCTAGAAACGAGGCGCATCGATTGCTCGTTCTACAAGATCTGGACACGGCGCCTCCAAAAAAGACGTGGGAGGCCCTCTGCAACTTCCTGGAGGCGTGGTCGACGTGCCCTTCGAATCGCATCATCCCTCGGACGCGCGTGAAAACGCGAAAGTGCGACGTGAAGCCCGTCGTCGTCGAGGAGGAGCACCCGCCGACGCCGCCGCCATTGTCTTCGACGGAGCTATCGGTACGCGTCCGGCGTCCACTGCCTTCGACGGCGCGTCGCGTCGATGGCGTATCAGGTCTCGTGGATGCCCCCCCACGCCGTCGCCGCGACGCGTCGACGTCGCAGGTCCTGGAGCGCTACAAGGCTAAAGTAAGAGCCCACCTCGCCCAACAAAAGGCGCCCGATACCAAACCCCCGAAGCCGCCGAAGCGCGTCCACAAGGTCTTGACGAGTGCCGAGAGGAAGAGGCTGAGGAGGGCCTACCCGTCGTCCCACGCGCCGAAGTGGCACCCTTTGTGTGAACCGAAGCATCCCCGCGGCGTCTTGTATAACCGCATCCCGAAATCTGGTTCGGCGTCGATCATGTCGTGGATGAGCGGCCAATTGAACGAGACGGTTCTGCGCTGTGTGGAAATCAACCAGTGTGTCGGGTGCACTACGCCATTTCTCGGCAATGACGCGGCCGTGCTGGCCCCGTCGAGCGGTGATGAACCGACGCCGCCACGCCATCGAGCAGGCGTGAAATTTTGATTACCACACAGGCGAAGCACAAGTTCCACCTACCTTCTACAGATGTGACGTGGTGGACGCCCCACGTTGCCAAACATCGCTGGCTCGACGCTCCTGATCTGAAAAAATATTTGGCGCGCCTCGCAAATTATGGGAAGCAATCCCGGTTCGTGACGCAGCGCCACGTCTACTACCCGGAAGGAGTGGAGACCACACATGCGGATGGTGTTGCCTTGGTGAACTTGATCCGGGATCCTATTGATAGATGTATATCAAGGTACAACTACGAGGCGTTCTACAAGAAACGAATCCCGGCGGTGGATTTTGATGCTTGTTTAGATGGCGGTAGATGCGATTTTAGGAATTGGGATCCGAGGACGGAGAAGCATAGGTACCAGGACTTTCCCGTGCCAAAACGAAAAGAAGGAGCTACTGATACGGAGTGGGATATTTTTCAAAGGTTATCCTACAACGAGTCCATGCGGCTCCTCGCGGACGAGTGCCACGACTATACGGTGAGATGGTTCTGCGGCCACGGGCCGGAATGTAGGGACCCTTCCAGGCCGGAGCTGGCCCTGCAGATAGCGAAGCGTAATGTCCGGGAGCGCTACGCTCATGTTGGCATTTTGACTGACCTAGAAAACACGGCGCAGTTGTTTCGGTTGTTGCTGCCGGACTTTTTTGAAGGGGATCCCAGTCGCCGTCTGTGTGGAAATCCATTTCGGGGAACCCTACGCCATCGACGCGACGTCGTCCCCGCGACCGATAACCTAACTCACTGGTTGATTTACGCACAGGTCGCGATCCCGACGAGACGGATTTCCCCGCTTTGCATCAATCGGTACCAAAAGATAGGGTCAAGGGCGGCAAATCGAAGTCCGCGCCCCTGTCGCCGCACAATTTGGAGCTATTGTACGACATCAACAAGCGGGACATGGAGCTCTACTACTACATCCTCGAATTACATCACCGACGCGTGCGCGTCTGTTTGCGGACGAACGGCGACGCGCCTGGCAAGAACCACGGCGAGGCGGGCGAGGTGCCGGCCTGGGCGACGCACGACGTGGACGCGATCCTCGCCTAGTAGTCTTAATTATTTTGAGGGGTCTTATCACAGGATCCAGGGACGTCGTCACGCGCCGAGGAGGGCCGCGCGCGCGGCATCCCTCTTCGCCACTGCGTGGTCGATGAGTGCAGCAACAGCGACGGCGACGTCGCCATTCTCGCACGCGATCGCGATGTCGCGGGGCGTAGACCCGCCAACAACCACACGCTGCGGGTTCAGCGAGTGGCTCTCCCGCGACTGCATGTCGAGCGGCGCCCCTCGTTCGATCAGCAGGCGCACGACGGCGTCCGCGTTGCTTCGCTTCGCGCCGCCGTATGTCGCGTCCGCGTCCTTCATGTGCGACTCGACGCAGAAATACACCGCGTAGTGCAGCGGGGTCCAGCCGCCAGTCGCAACCATGCTATTATCCACCACTGCGCCGACGTGGGCGCCCGCATCCAAAAGCATAATCAATGTCTCGAGCTTAGCATTTCTCACGACGCCATGGATAAGGGACATACCGAGAGACCCAGAAACCTCCGCCGGCCGCTCCTGAAGGATTCGCTGCGCCATCCTGTGGCGCACGCTCGCGCAGTCGATCATGTTCGTGCCCATGCACCTGGAGAGCGCGGTGTCGAGCGGACCCTCGCCGGCGGCGCTGGCACCATGGAAGAGCAGCAACTCGACCATGCCACGGAATCCCCTCGTCGCGGCGACGCATAGCGGATTAATGGAGCTTTCACGGTGACGGTTAACGGGATAATCATACTCTACGAGTATTTCCATCGACGCGATGTCGTCCGACATGGCACAAGCTACCAACGGGCACACTTCGAACGCGTCCCACGAATGTGCCGACGACGACTGGCGCGCCGTCTCCAGGAGCACGCGGAGGACGGACGAGTGGTGGCCGTCGCAGGCAGATAATATCGCGTTGTCCTCCCGGTTCTCCTGCAGCGCTCTCGCGACGTCGGGGCACTCGCACAACGCGGCGCAGGCTTCCGGCTGGCCGAAGCGCGCCGCGTAGCCCAATGGCGTCAACTCAGGCGTGTCGTTTGGCGTGTAGAGGCTGTAGCCGCGTTCCCGCAAGTGGCGCAGGATGTGGGCGTGGCCACAGATGACGGCCCGCGCCAAGGCCCAGCGGAGCGCTCTTCTTGCGCCGGACCCCTCGACCCAGCCGTCTAGGACCGCCGCGACGCACTCGGCGTGGCCCTGGAATACCGCATACTGGAGCGTGGCCGTTCTACTGTCAACGGCTTCGACGTCGACCGTATCATCGACCACGCTGATGTCTTGGATTGATAATAACTTGCGGACCGTCGAAGCATGCCCTCCCCATGCCGCGGCTTGCGTGGCCAGAAACGTCTCCTTCCGGACGCGCGCCCTAGCAGCCTCGAACCTGCTCCTCCAGCGCTGAGGCAGCCTATTTGCGAGACGCAAGGCGAAGGTCGCCTTCATAGTCTCCACTTGCACGGCGGCGTCGTCGCCGCGGGTAGCCGCGCGTTCGATGACGCTCACGTCGGGCGCGCGCCACCGCCGATCATGGTTCAGGTCCGCGACCATCCCAATCGCCGCAGACATGTCGGCCCGCAGCTCCGGGCTCCTCTCCGGGGCGAGGTAAGCCCTGTCGGAACGGCAAGCTCGCGAGGTAAAGCGGACCACGCCTCCCGCCGCGACCAAGCCGCCCTTCCCCGCCCCCGCGCCCATGAACAGCGCCGCGCCGACGACGTTCCCCGCGGCGATGCTGTAATCGAGCGCCGAACCCATGTCGCCGAACCGCGGTGCAGTGAAGCCGATCGCGTGCTCCTTGAACGCCGGCGCCGCCTGGAGCAAGCGCAACAAAATCTCGTTCTGGCCCTCGGCCGCGGCGGCGCAGAGAACGCGCGCCGCCGCCGGCGTGGCGTCGCTCGCGTAGCCGCGTCTAAGCGCGAACAGGGGAATATCGGCTTCCAGGCCCGTCTGCTCCATCGTGACAATGGCGTTGCCCCCCCCTAACCACGTCCGCGCGAACCGGGCGGGCTCCCACGGGAGGACGCGAATCGATAGATCGCTCCACTCGGGCGCGACGTGCACCGAATCGCCATCGGCGAGGCACGGCAGCCGCTCCTCGGACGTGAGACACGCGACCGCCGCGTCGAAGGCGCCCGGCGCCCCATGCAACTTGAGCCGGCGGAGGACCTCGAGCGCGATCGAGCCGCTGCACCCGAACAGCATGGCGTAGCGCTCGCGATACAAAACTTCCTCATTCTCGCGGGCGAAGATGGCCTCGACGCTGCCGCCGAAGCGCTCGATCACGGCATGCGCGCAGCAGCGGTTGCGGAAGTAAAAGTGCATCTCGAGCAGTGCCGTGTCACATGTGCGCACGAGACAATGCTCCGGAATGTCGTTGAGGTCGTCCGACTTGACATATGTAGGCATGAACGGGAGCAGGGCTCCCCGCAGCGCGTCGCGCCATAATGAGCGTGCGACGCGCGAGGAGACGCCGGCCTCTTGGCACACCGAGTAGAATGCGTTTTCGTCGGCATAGCCTGATGTGGCGACGGTGGGCGGCGCCAGTATAAAGCGCCAGCAAAACGCGGCGCTGATGCGGCCCAGCGTCGCCGCGTCGAGGTGCGCCGAGGCGGCGGCGACCTGGTCGAAGAGTCGATCGATGTCGGGCATAGGCTGGTTCGCGAGCCGCGCGTAGTCGCGCGTCGCCGCCTCGCGCAGGCACCGCGGCAGCGACTCGGGCCCGCCCGTCGGCGCCATCGCCTGCATCAGCTCCGCGGCCACTTCGTCGTCGATCACGCCAGCGCGCGGAGACTGCCAGTTGCCGCCGCAGCGACTGTCGCCCTCGTAGCGGGCCTGGTTCCGGAGGCCGAGCAGGTCGCCTTTCTGCGCCGTCAGGTCGAGCCGCACCACGCCCTGGCAGAGCAGGCCTCGATGGAGCCGCGCGTGCGCGTCCAGATTCTCCTCCGAGAGCGCGATGTCGACGAGGGCATCTTCAGTGGTGATCGCGACCGGTAAGCGAGGGCTCGCGAATCGCACGACGCCCTCGCGCAGGTGCTCCACGTCGCTGCTCCGGCCCGTCACCGGCTCGCTACAGTACGTCGTGCTGAAGGCCAAGCGATCTTTCTGGAGCGTGCCCGCCCGCCGCAGGGCGAATAGCTCCGCGCGGTCCGCGAGGATCAGCCCCCAGCGCAGCGCGTCCGACGTGGTCGGGGCCTCGAATTCAAGGCTCAGGCCCCGAATCGTCGCATGCGTCGTCGCGGAGAGCGTCTCCAGCGTTAGCACGCAGCCGGCGCCCGTGTAGGCGAGCACCTTCGTCACGCTCTCGGACGACTGCAGCACGGTCAACACGTACGGCGCCGCCTTGACGCGTTTCGCGTCTCGCGGCTCTTCCTCGGAGCTGCTCGGGTCGTCGGGCTCGGGCCGCTTCCGGCGGAAGGAGAGCGCTGAGCCCATCGCTGCGCGTGTGGAGCAGCGTCGCCGTGTGAGTGGCCTCCTGAGATGAGTCCTCTAGACGTCGGTTTTACGTCCTCCTATCGACTTCCACGTTGAGCCGAGACTGCAGCGAATCCGTAGATTCAGAATACGGATTATTTTGGGGCAATACGGGCTGTAGAGGCTCGAGTCACAATGCGATGGCTTGTGCTAGTGTCTACACGCCGCTAGCTCGAAGCGTGGAAGCGCGCCGGTACCCCCTCAAACTGGACCTAGCCCTAGGGCCTTGGACGGGTTTTCGCGGTTTCTACGACGAGTCTCCCTCCAGTGCTCCACGCGCCCGCCGCCGATGAATCGGCGACGCGCGATGTCTCCCCCCCAAATTCTAGGTTGGCATTTACCTGAGGGGTTATTTACCCCAGGCGCCGGCCGGGGGTAATTACCCGGGTAATTACCGGTGAGTACGGGTTATTTACCCCGGGATCTTATAGAGGGGCAGGGGGAGGGGGCCTCGCGGGCCACTGGCGCGGGCCTGGGCCGCGCCGGACCACATGACTTGGTACTTGCCTTGGCGCACCTGTACGTATCCAAAAGCTCAACGGGCTGCTTGCGCCCATCCGGAGGGGTCTTTCGCTAATCGCACTAAACGGGTTTAGTCGAAAACCCGTCGGGTAATTTACCGGGTTATTTACCCCAAATCCCCTCCGAGGAGTGATAATGGGTAAATTACCGGTTATTAACCGGTTAATGCCAACCTAGCCCAAATTGTCCTAGCATCCTAGCACCGTAACAACACCGTCTCCACAGCAATCCCACACGGCCCGGGCAAGTGAGTCAAATTCGGGGGCACAAGGGTCTCTTAGCCGGGCGCCGCGCCTACTTCTGCTTCTCGCGCTTGAGCTTCTTGTTCTCGGCCTTGAGGGCCTTGAGCTCGGCGCGGAGCGCCTCCTCGGCGGACATGCCCGAGGCCTTGCGCTTCTTGGGAGCGCTTTCCGAAGCCTGCTTCGACATCTCGTCCTCGCAGACCTCCTTGACGGCCGCCTTCTTCTCGTCGAGCGCGCCTTCGGGAGCGCCGAGCGCCGACTCCGCCGCGCGGCGGACCTTCTTCTGGGTGGCCTTGCCGTCGAGCTGGGCGATGGCGTGGAGCACCGCGGCCTTCTCCGCCGTCGTCAGCGGCGGCCCGCCGTCCTTCTTCTTGGCCGGCTTGACGCGCTGCACGACGCGCGGCGCCTCCTCTTCTTCTTCCTCGACGTCACCTCTCATCCCGGCCTCGCGGCGCGCGCGCTCGGCCCACTCCTTCTTCGGCTTGCGCTTGAGCGCGGGCGCCGGGCCCTGGGGCGTCTCGAGGGCTCTCCCGGCCTCGTCGACCTTGACGAGGTCGCGCTTGCGGCACGGGATCGTCTCCGACGGCTTGTCGCGCGTCGCGTCGAGCTGGACCTCGATCCAGCCCGCGGCTCTTTTCGTGACGACGCCCGTGCGGCCGTTGTGCAGGGCGGCGACGCCCGGCGACGCCGCGTTCGTCGTGGCGACGACTCGCACTCTTCCGGTAATGGCCGGAGCTTGCGGGCCCTTGACGGGCGGGCCGTGCTGGGCTCTGGACTCCTCGCGGGCCTTGCGGGCCCGGATGGCCGCCGGGTTCGTCGAGAAGGCCTGGGCCAACGAGTCGGACGGCGGCGCGCTGTCGAGCAGAGCATCTTGGCCCGGCGCGAACTGCGGGCGGCGGAGCGACTTGCGCTCGAAGGCGCCGCCCTCCTTGTTGGCCTTGCCGTCCATCTCCACCTGCGTCGAACGACAGCGTCGTGCCGTGGCTCGCTCGCGAGACGCGTAGACCCAATGTCGACGCCGTCGAGGCGACGGCGCGGCTCTCTCACGAAACAGCCGCGTCGACGCCGTCGCGGCCTCGCGAAGACGTCTTCATGAAGACCGCGCCAAGTTCAAGGTCATTTCTACACTGGCAAACGGACGGCGAAGTAGCCGCGCTGCTTCTTCTCGAGGACGTAGCAGACGCGGCCCGCGGCCGTCTTGACCTTGACGGAGCCCGTGGGCTTGGGCCCCGGCGACCCGCGGGGGCCGGCCTTCTTCTTCTCCTTGATCGGCTTCTTCGGCGCCTCGCCGCCGCCGCCGCGCCAGTGCTGCTCGACGGCCGCGGGGCTGCGGCCCGTGCCGAGGCGCTGGGCGATCTGGGGCCAGGCGCCGCGGGAGCCGAGCTCGTCGACGAGGCCCTTGAGGGCGTCGTCCTCCTCGGGCGTCCACTTGGGCTTCTTCTCGCCCTCGCGCGACTTCTTGGGCTCGGCGGCGCCCTTCTTGGCCTTCTTCGGGGGGAGCTGGTCGTCCTTGGCCATGGCTGTGCTTGTGTGGTCTTGTTTCGAGTGCTTAGGACGCGCGGGGTGAGGTGCCCGCGGGTGGTTTTGAGCAAATTGGCGGTTCCTCGCCGTAGAGTTCCTTGCGCGCGGTTTTACGGCCTAAAAATCGGGCCGGGGACTCTGCGGGCTGTGGGGAGCTTCTGGAGCGATTCTGTACGTTTGCGGGGCGATATTGGGGTCTGCGCGGCCCAAATATCACCTACGTGCCGCTGTAACACTCTAGCCACTAGCCTCACTTACATACTAGCCTTCACCGAAAAAGGGGGGGTAAGCTGTGTTTGCCATCAGAGCTCACAAAAACACGCGAAGCGGTGCAAATTCGACGCGCAAAGCGTGGCCGAGCAAATCGCAAGCGCAGCAAGCAAGCGGTGCAACCAAATTGCCGCGGAGAGCCCAGCACTGCAGCCTGCAGCATGACCTCGCCGCCGGTCAGCCACGCCGTCGACGCATCGATCCTGGAGCCCTTCGCCTACATCAGCGAGACGCAGTGCATGAATCAATTGTCGCGCCGCGCATCCGCTGGATCATGGCACGCCACCGACGCGACGCGACCACCCGACTCACGCAGGCGAGACGCCCGGCAAGGACGTCCGAGGCGCCCTGATCGACGCGTTCAACGTGTGGCTCAAAATCCCGCCCGAGAAAGTGACGCAAATCAAGTCCATCATCTCGCGCCTGCACAACGCCTCTTTGCTCGTCGACGACATCGAGGACGGGTCGCAACTGAGACGGGGCAAGCCCGTGGCCCACGCCATCTTCGGCGTGCCCTACACGCTGAACGCGGCGAACTACGCGTACTTTGTAGCCTTGGAAGAATGTCATAGATTAGGCTCGCCGGAGGCGCTGTCGGTCTTTGTGGAAGAGCTGCTCAATTTACATAGGGGCCAGGGCCAGGACATCGTGTGGCGCGACACGCAGAAGGTCCCTTCAGAAAAAGAGTACTACAGCATGGTGCTCGACAAGACCGGCGGGTTGTTTCGGCTGGCCGTCGGCCTCATGGCCGCGTTCTCGGCACGAGACAAGAGCGAGTTCCGCGAACTAGTCGATCAATTAGCGCTCTACTTCCAAATAAGGGACGACCTCGTGAACCTCAAGAGCGACGAGTACGCGCTCAGCAAGAGCTACTGCGAGGATTTGACTGAAGGAAAGTTTAGTTATCCGATCCTGCACGCTATAAGGGCGAGACCGGACGATACCCGGTTACTAAACATCCTGAAGCAGAAGACCGAGAATATTGATGTGAAAAAGCACGCCGTGGAGTTCATGGAGTCCGTCGGCAGTTTCGAGAAGACGCGCGCGGCCCTCGCGGCGATCAAGGGCGACATCGCGTCCGCTATTGCGGCATTGGGTGGCCACGACCAGCTGGTGAAGCTCGTGGAGAAGCTCGACGCGCAGGTCGCCGAGTCGTCCAAGCCGCTGCCCGTGGAGCCGCTGCGGCGGTACGACTCGCTCTAGAGTGTTGTAATTACGTTGTCTCGTCGATGGCGTCGCGGTGGCGTGTGTTCTGTCCTGCGAATCTATCCTGCGAGGACTCGTGGGCACGGTCGCGTCACTCGCGTGACTCGCGTCTCTGCCCCGCGGTGCCTGTCGGCGCGCGGTGGTCCCGCGGATCGCGTTTCCCCGAAGGCAATTGGTACGCTGGGACTATGCTTACCCCAAAGCAAGCAGGACGCGTCGCACCATTGCTAGTGTCTCACGCCGCTAGCTCCAGGCGCGGGCGGAGTTTTTGGACCAACAGGGGGCACACGGAGCGAGCCAGACTCTCAGCGCTCGTTCACAGAGACCTGCGGTAGTGCTCTTGGTCTCAGTGCTACAACTGCTGCATTGTCGCAGCTGGCAGCTCTCCTTGGACCACTGGTTTCAAAAAGCGGCAGCCTCCTAGGGCAGCGGAGCGCGGGCCGCGCAGCGCTCTAACAAGCTGCAGCGCTGGGTAGGAAAGCGCATGCCGCGCTGGTTCATAATAATGCTGCGCCTCGCCGCCGCCCTGAGACCCGCGACGCGCCTAAGACGAAGACTCTCGCTCGCCGCCGCGCCGACGCAGCTCGACGGCTACTGGACGAGACAAATAGAAAACCTCCGAAGGCCCGCGGCCCAGGCCCTGAGCGACCGCTTAGCAACGAACGCCCTCGGCTTCCCCCACGACAGTCTAGATAAACCCCCTGCAAATGGAAGGAAAACACTCCTACTGGAGACCTTAGAGTGGAAACTCGAGCACCCCACGAAAGTTTTACTCGTGCGCGTCGGCGAGTTCTACGAAGCGTGGGGCGTCGACGCTACGTTGCTCGTGGAGCACTGCGGTTTAAATCCGATGGGCGACAAAGTAAGAGCGGGGTGTCCCTGGCGGAATTTGCAGCAGACGCTCGATGGCTTGACCCGAAACGGCTTAACCGTGGCGGTCTATGAAGAACGGTTCTGTGCTGATCCTCGTCGCAAGAAAGAAAGGTACTTAGCACAAGTGGTAGCACCGGGCGCTTCCACATATGTGCAGAACCAGGCTCTCAGTAGAAATGATCTCGAGTGGCGCTGCGAGGGGCCGCAGTTCGTCGCTTCTGCTGTTGGTGAATCAGGTGCGTCGGTGATATGTTTGGATGTCGACGCGAGGACTGCTTGCGTCTACGATTCATTGACGCCCGACGGGTGTCGAGCCGCCGTAAGTGCTCGTGGAGGTGCCGCGGCGCCGGCCTTCTATTTCGATTGTAAAGCTAGTGGGTCGAAAGCTCAAGAGATTAATAGGAGGAACGCGGCGAAGCGGAACGCTCTAGCTTTAGTAGATGACCGGGAGCGACTCGATGACGACCGGGCCGTGCGATTGGAGGACCCCGGTACTACGGAAGGTCGCGTACGTTTATTCGCCGAGGAGGTGGCTCGATCCGTCTTGTGCGTCGAGGACCCTTTGTCATTTGCAGAGGAAGTACGGGTATCAACTCCAAGAACACAGCGGCCTTTGTTTGCTTCCACAGCTAGGGACGTCGGCTTGGCTGACGACGAGCTCGTGCCTGCATTAGTTCCTAGGTTACTACCATCTAGAGGTGCTCGCGCGGCCTCGCAGCGATTTCTACGGAGATGGTTGTTAGCGCCACCGTCCGAGCAACCAGCAACAGCGATGCGGTCGCTACTATCAGCATTATTAGATGAGGCGTGCCCGCCTTTACCTTTGGATGATGCGCCGAATCTCCCGAGGCAGAAACTAGTACGTTTGTTAGCGGAGAAGGAGGCGAATGCGTTACTGTTTCGCGACGCCCACAGGGCATCTGTCGCATGCCGCCAGGCGATTAGTGAGGCGCCTTCGTCCATTTCTAGACCTTTGCTCGAGTTACTTGACGCGAGCGAGGCGGGCGGGGTGTTCTCGTTGGAGGGAGACGATCTCGTAGATGCTGCGGCGCGTTTGGAAGGTGTCATTTCATCAGTGGTAAGTATCGACCAGGACGACGCCGTTTCATCTTCTGATAGACTCCCTGCCGCGTTCATTGAGAGAAACGAGGTCTTTAGAGGCGTGGTACTGCGGGACCACCGTCCTGAGGTTAGGGACGCCTACGCTCGGGTCGATGCTTGTCTGACGGAACTCGAGAATGCCGTCGCGGAATTCCCGGACGGCGACGACGTCTTGTATGATGTGGCGAACTGTGTGGAAATCAACATGTGCGTCTCGGCCTAGCGGTGAGGAACGCATCGTCACGCCATCGAGCAGGCGTCGCGTCGATGGCGTGGAGGAACGCGCCGTAAAATTTTGATTTCCACACAGGTGGCGAACAACGTCGTCTGCCTGCGCGGGGCGCCTTCTGGTGATGAAGTAGCACCTAGAGATCGGTTCCGCCAGCCGCTGCCACGACGAAGGACGTCGCAGCGAGCCCTCGACGCCAATGACGCGTACTGCGCTGCTTGTAGCGACGCGTCACTTGTGGTAAGGGCGTCTCTACGTGAATTGAGCGAGACCGTCTACTCTCAACATTTGGACACGGCCGTGGCCTGTATATCCGTGTGTGAATGTGGCGCAGCGGCTCTGGACCACGCCGAAGCTTCTCGAGAGAAAGGATGGTCTTTACCTGCTTCGGGAAAGACTCTGACGCTAAAGGGCCTGACGCCCTTCTGGCTCGACCGTGGTTCGTCAGTCCCGAACGACGTCTCCCTAGCAAGTGGACAAATGGCCTTTTTAACAGGACCGAACGCGTCCGGCAAAAGTACACTGTTACGAAGTACGGCCGCCGCAGCTTTATTGGGAGCGTCGGGTCTATGTGCACCGATCAGTGAAGGTACCGTGCCGCACTGGGACGGCATTCTACTGCGACACGCCACGGGCGACGCGCCCCTCTACGGGAAAAGTTCTTTCGAGCGAGAAATGGACGCCGTGGCGCAGCTCTTCCGGGAATGTTCACCTGATTCATTGGTGTTGGTCGATGAATTGGGCCGCGGGACGTCTTCTACCGAAGGTGCCGCCATCGGCGGTGCTGTTCTAGATGAACTTACGGATAGAAAGATGCGGGGCGTCTTCGCGACGCATCTACATGAGATCCTGGAGGAGGATTCTAGAGATGATGTGAAGAAGTGGAGGATGGGAGGCAACCACAGTTGTGACGAGGGTGTTTGTGTCGACTCTCTCGCGTTAGATGCTGCTGTCGCTGCGGAGGTCCCTTCCAGGATCGTGGAGCGGGCGGCGCTTACGCTTGGAAGGGACGTGCCCTCTGTCCAACAGGATGAGGTGGACCTGCTTGCTTCGGCCTTTGACGCCCTCTCGGACCAAGGGTTGGTACCGGAAACCTTACCTAGAGATAAAGCGCCGCCGCCCCGATTGATAGGTACGTCGTGCGTCTACGCCTTTTCTACGTCCGACGGTTTATATGTGGGCGAGACGGACTCCGTGCGCGACCGCCTGAAGAAGCACGGGCGGACGTATGATATCGGCGACGCCTTAGTGGTTACTGTAAAGGACAAGTCCGCCGCGCGGAAGGCGGAGGCGACGGCTCTTAAGAAGCTCCAGGCCCTCGGCGTGCCGCTGCTCTCTACTTCCGATGCGTCAAATGTGCACTTCGGGGGCGCATCATAACCTATCATTTGTGTGAATTTATACAGTCTAGCAAGCACCGGCACTGTTCCGCGGCGACGGGTTCATCGCCGGCACGAAGGCCTGCACGGCAATATATATAGCCATGATCACGACAACTGGGACGAGCGGTAAGGAAGCGACCTTGTCCGCTAATCTAGGCGAGCACCAGAGGCACGTGCCCAGCGCCGTCGCGATGCAGATGGCCCCGATCGTCGTCCCCAGAATAAATTCCCACCAGCAGAAATGCAGCGACACCACGATCGAAAAGTACATCAGGAAGTCGTCGAGATTCCCGAGCACCGCCACGATGACGAAGCGCCTTCTAGCTTCATCTTTCCCGGGCGACGACGGCTCGAGGCCGCTCGAGAGGCAGCCGACGACGAGCCGCTCGTGGCAGCCCAGATCATCGGCCTCGTCCTCAAAGTCCTCGCCCATCGGCGCGTCGAGTCCCGTGAGGCCGCTCCGCCGCCGCGTCAAGGGATCCTCCTCGTCCTCCTCGACCTCGTGCAACGGTGTATATTCAGACTTGTCCGGCGGGTCGTCACTCTCTTCCAGCTCGCCGCACACCCCGTCCTGCTGCGCGATGTAGTAGGCGTAGAGTAGGAGTAGGGCCGACGCGAAGCACGCGATGATCTTGTCCGCGAGATCCTCGGCGTGCCTGGCGCCGTGGTGGATGGACACGTGCACGATCGACGCGAGCGCGACCGCTATTCCACATATCGTGAAGTTGATGAGGACGTACTTGACCGCGATGACTAGTCTTCCGTGGCTCACCTCGCGCGCCATGAACGGCGCCAGCCAGACGACGTCGTCGATGCCGAAGAGGAACTTGAGCAGGATGGCCGTGCCGACGTAGCCGAAAATTACTGAAGGGGTGCCGCCGCAGTTGCCGCCGTCGCAGCCCATGTTTTTTTTTCGCGTCGGAGTCACGGTCGGACGTTGGGACGTGCTCTTGAGCGAGAGACCTGACCTTACACGGTCGTGATGTTGATTAAGAACGCTCGCCGAGGTCGCGTCGACGGCGCGGCGCGTGGCGAGGGCTTTGCCGCTGCGGGCGAACCAAAAGGCAGAGTTTGTTCCTACGCGTGTACCGGCGCCTCCTGGAGAACTGATATGTCTGGTAGATGTAAAACACAAATCTGACCGCCAGAGACACTACGTGAATAGATGAGGAGCGTGGTAATTTTTTCGCAGAGGCTGCTTGGTTGCTAGTGCTCTTCCCATGCTAGGCCATCGACGCGCTATGTACGATAAATAGACTCTGTTAACCTCTAGAGGGAGCGGCAAACTAGCTCACGACGCATCCTCCCTCCTCAACAACCTTTGGAGAACAAGCGAACCGGTCGCCGACCGCGACCTCCGCGCCGGGCGCGAAGTGCACGAGGTTCTGGCCGAAGAAGACGTCGTTTTTGCGCTTTGGGGCGGCGAAGAACGGATCGCGATCAGCTAAGACGGCCCCAGATCGAAACGTCTTCAGAGTTTTGTTCGGCTCCGCCTGGCCGGGGCCGCCGCCCTCGTCGCCCGTGCCAGAAGGCGCTCCAGTCCTTCCCGTAGCCTGGTCGATGGTCGGGATCTTGCAGCGCGAGCAGGGCTTGACGACCTTCAGCTCCAAGTCGTTACATGTCATGGAACCCCACGCGTCCTCAGCCCACGCCTGAGCGCCGCTCACGACAAGATTCGGCCGGAACCGGTCCATCGGTATGGGTGGACTGTTGTTTTTAGCTAGCCGAGCATTTAAATCAGCTAACGAGGCGTCGTTCGCCAGGAGGATGGGAAAACCGTCACTAAAGGCTGTCTCACATGACCTTTTCGCGTATTTGATGTCTACTCTACGAAAAGCCTTGTCGGGGAAGCGCATCAGCCGTAGACCCGGCGTCTTCAGGTAGTCCGAGATCCACTTTGCTGCCTCGTCACCCTGGTCCACGGCTATTACCGAATCGGACCAGATCCGACACGTCTTTGTGGGACCTTCGTCATTGACCGGTACTTTGAGTAATGGTTGGCCCGGCGCCTTCAAAGATAATGCGCCACCGATGGGGTAGGTGGGCGTCACCAAACATAATTTCGGGAAGCGTCTTTGCGACAGAAACACACCGTGCGCATCGACGAACGCGTACCTCCTATCATCTTGCAGGCCGCACGTCGCATCCAACGAACATGTCGCGAGCTTAACACCCTTGCAGGACTTGACGGGGTAGACCGTGATATGCGTAATCATGACGGTCGCGAGCGGTTTCTCTTCCTCGCGCGGCTTCCTCGGTAAGAGTGCTAGCGTACCGAGAATGATGCAGACCGCGATGACGAGCGGTATCCATAGAGGTGCGGTGGGCTCCTCTACAATGGGTTCAACCTTCCGGCGCGCCTCCGCCAATGCTACTAAGAGCAAGTAGATCATTCGTCCTTCTTTCTCCGCCAACTCCCGTTGTAGTCCTTGTCGGCGACGTAGTGCGCGTGCGGGTCGTCGAGCTTGACGGGGCCCGCGCGCGGCAGGAGGACGTCGACGTACGTCGCGAGGGCCACGAAGCCGACGACGATGGCTAAATTTTGCACGAAGGGCGGGAGGTCGCTCCAGCTGAGCATGGGTTGGTTGCGTTTCAGGTCTGTGGCTCGCGACTTGAGCTCCGCCGGTGCGTGTAACAGCTCCGCCAGCTGACACGCTATCTATGCGCTATGAATCGAGGCTCGCAAATGCCTCTGCACGCTGCTCGCTGGCTTGAACTCGCGACGGCCGCGTCGAAGAGCTAGCGGCCGTAAGGTACTAGCAAGCCATCGATTTTGAGCCGAAAAGCGCCGTAATCCCTCGCACCGCTGCCTCGCTCCAACGCAAACCACGCAAGGAAGAAGCCCCGTACGCGTCGCGGCTGCCCAAGCATGGCTTCCCACCTCGACGGCCTCGAGAGCCGCTTCGAGCAATCGATAGCCGACATCATGGGCCAAATGCACAAAGCCTTGAAGCCGCTGACGCATCGATCATCGGTGAGTAGAGTGTCGCCGGCGGCGCGAGCTTTGTTCATTGTCGGCCAGCCGATCGACGTCACGCGCTCACCAATGGACTTCCCTCAAGCTTTGACAAGGCTGAAGGACCGCAAGGCCTCTTGTAAGGATGCCGATAGTGTGTTATTGCCGTTAGATGTCCCGCCAAAGGGCCTGGACGCCCTCGTTAATGGCCTCGCGCAGACCACCAATTGCGACGGCCTCATCGTCACAAGGCCTCATAAAGAATCAATACTAAGATCGTGCACGCATCTAACGGCGGCGGCCCGAGCGGTAGGATGCTGCAACGTCGTCCGCTTCCACAAGGGTGCGATGATTGGCACGAACATGGACGGTGATGGTTTTGTGGGCGGCTTGATCCAACAGCGCGGCGCCAACGCCGTGCGCAATCAAAGGTGCTTGTTGGTGGGGGCGGGCGGCGCCGCGCGCGCGGTTGCTTACGGACTCGTGCAGAACGGGGCGCGGTCGGTTTGTGTAGTGAACCGCACGAAGGCACGAGCTCAAGCGTTGGCGGCTCGTATCCCCGGCGTCCGGGCGCTCGATGCACTACCTTCTTCGCTGAACGACGTGGATTTGCTGATACAGTGCACGTCCCTAGGGCACAACGCGTCGGACCCGGACCCCGTGCCGCGCGACTTGCTGAGGCCTCCTTTGGTTTGTTGCGAGGTCGTCCACACGCCCGAGGAGACGGCCTTTTTAAGAGCGGCGCGGGAACGCGGTTGTGATACACACGCGGGGACGCACATGCTGAGCGCGCAGCTCGACGCGATCTGCGAGTTCCTCGTGGCGCGGCCCGAGGACTGGCCCGACGCCTGGGCCTTTTCCTCTACCTCCCGTGTGGCGGAGGTGTCCTAACTTGGTTTTTGTCGTCTCGCGTCTCTCGTTTCAAATGTGTCTGGGGGCTCGTCGACTGGCGTGCCCGCGGTGCCTGTGGTTTGGAGCGCTCCCGGCCTTCGCTTGGGTGTTGCAGGGCTCGAGTTCAACCGGGCGCGTGTGCGGTTGAATGGTGCGGGGTGCAGCCCATCCCGCTTTTTGGGGCCATACGCCGCGCGGAGACCCCCCAACAGAGCTAAATCTGCGGCAGGAGCTCGCATTTCAAGCGCTTTCTCGGCCTCCCTGCGTTCCAGTCCCTGCGGACGCCGCCAGCGCCGCACCCAGCCTGCTCCGAGGCACTGCTACTGGGCCCAAAAAGCAGCCAAAAGCCGCCGAAGGCCTCGCGCCGCGGCGGCGACGCGCAAGTCTTGTAGTGTAGAAGACCCCGCTCAAACCTCAGGCCACGCCATGGCCACCGCCTGGCCCCTAAGAGAGCGCCCCGCCGAGTTCTTCGAGTTGAGAGCCCAGAACCGGCAGCAGACCTCGGACTACGTCTCTTCAGGAAATTTTGCCCTCGACACAATTGATAATGATGATCACGCGTTTCATGGCATCGTTTTTGATGTAGAACTCACTGGTTCCGTACCGATCGAGTCCCTGACGATACGAGGCGTCTCCGTCAGAGGCGCTTTGGGCACGACAAAAGTTCTCACGAGCGACCAGGGCTTCGCGCCGTTGCCGGAGGAGCGAGACCGGTTGGAGATGAGGAAATATTTTTCTCCGCTCAAGCCCCCGCGCGAGTGGCGCGTCCGCTATTCCGGCGAGGCGCCTCCCGCCACGTCGGAGCCGAGAGATCTCACCTTCACAGAACCAGTACGCATGGCTCCGACAAGTACAAAACAGCATGCCGCGCTCACGAAGCTCGGTATATATGTACATTCAGAAGACGCCGAGGGCGTCGTCTACAGCAACCAAAGACACAGAGGTGTCACAAGGGAGGACGCGCACCTCAAAGTGCTCTGCGGCGTGGCGCATACCGGCGGGGCCCCCTTCGCGAGAGTAGGCTACTGGGGAGACGTGGCGTGGAGACCTAGAAGAGAATTTGTGGGCAAGGTGACGTATGATGTCCGGCTACTCCTCTGGACGCCCCACTCGCATGCGCAGTTTCCTCCTGCTTTCAGAGCGATGGCTGTAGAATTAGCAAAATGTCGGGCCGCCAAGATGCTGCGGCCCGCCACGGAGATCGGTCTGGGCCACCTGCCCGTCGAGGCGCTGTACTACGTACGGAACCAGTGTCTTACTCAATCACCGCGATCGCTAGACCGCTCGTGCTACGCAAATGGTAGTCGCGACGACCCGACGCAACGTCATCGCGGCAGAGAGATAGAGCGCCAATATTCCCACTTCCCGCCATAAAATGGCGTGCGCGGTGGAGCCCAGCGCGCCCGACACCCGCAGGTCTTGGCTTTTTGCCGCCACGACTGGGCGCCCTCTCAACCAGCGCCGCAACCGCTCCCGAACTGGGAGGACGAGCCCTGGGAGGTGCGGCGCGACGCCTACGGGTCTAGAGTGCTGGTACCCCGCTCCCAGTGCGCCGACGACGCCGAGGAGGACGATTTTGACGACGACGACGACGCCTACGACGACGCCGACGAGGACTACGACGCGTACTACGCCGTCAACACGCCGTCGAACGAGTCGTCGTCCGACGACGACGACGACGACCGCGACACGCCGCCGCGGCAGGAGGTCGCCTGAGCATCTGCCTGAGAAGTTCCCTTTTTTCTCTTTTTCCCGCCTGTACCATATAACGTCCGCACCATTATTTTGGCCTCTTCGGGGATGGGGTTCGCCCGGCTCCCTCTTTCCTTATAAAACACCCGCGCCTCGTTATGCCTCTTCTTCGGGGATGGGGTCGCTCACGTGCGCCTTGCGCGACGGCCGTCGTTCCTTCATCGCTGGCGGGGACGTCGCAAACGCGATGACGCCCGCGGAGACCAGTACGGCTCCACCCCACAAGGTGGCGCCGGCCCTAGGAGCGTCGGCCTTGGCGAGGAGCGTCGCCGAGAGCACGATCGCGGCGAACCGCATCGTCGTCAGCGGCGACGCGTCGGCCACGCCCGATGCGTCTAAGTTCGCTTTCGTGAGAGAACGCACGTCGAGCTTGGCAGGTCGCGCGGCCGCCGCGAGCTTCATTGTCGCGGGCGGCGCGTTGTAGCACAAGCACCAGTCTGAGCCACTTTGGGTTTCAGGCTCACAAATTGTAATTTGTCAAATCGGCCGCCAATGGCGCTTCAGACCAGCACAGGGAGGAGATTCTGGATCTCACACGTCGCGCTACGGTCGATCGGCACGTTTTTTTTTTGCCAAAATTTGCAAATGCTGGGAAACCCGTGCCCTGCCGCGGCGGCTCGCGGAGCTGTCGTGCGAATTTAACGCATCGAACAGGAGTGCGTCAATGCTCGATTCTCATCCGCCTGTAGGATGAGGACTTGCTTTGGAGGTCGCAGTGAGCTGTGAGTTGGCCAGCAAAGTGAATAGAACTCGCACATCGATAGCGATTGGCAAGCCGATATGAGCGCGAAAGGAGCAAAGATCTTTAAAACTAAGTAGCATTGCAGCGTCGCAGCGCAAATCGCTTCCGTCGTGAGTTTGGCATGGCACAACTGGAGAGCAGCACGCAGCACTTACGTGCTCGCGACGACGGACACGAATCAGCACAGCGCGCGTTGCGACGGCTCCCGCGGCCGCGGCGCGCGCGCTGCTGCAAGCGACGCTGCTCTTCCGAGACGTCCGTGCCGCGCGCGCTCGCCGGCCGCCGCGGCGCGCGAGAGACGTCGCATCGATGGCGTCGTCAACACAGGTGCAGCGCCTGCCACACGGTGGACGCCGGCGGCAACTCGAAGCAGGGCCCGAACCTCCACGGCATTTTTGGGAACAAGGCGGGCCAGGTGAAGGGCTACGACTACTCGGGGGCCTTTAAGAATGCCGACGTGACCTGGGACGACGAGGCCATGGACGCCTGGCTGAAGGTGCCGAAGAAGTTTATCAAGGGTGCGACTCCGGCGTTATTTATAGTTCGAGGCGACTCTGATACCCTCCACACGCAGGCACGAAGATGGTCTTCGCGGGCATCAAGAAGGAGAAGGAGCGCGGCGAGCTCATCAAATACCTCAAGGAGGCGACGGCCTAGGCGCCGTGCGCGTCGTACCGGTCGCTGTACCGGTCGACGCGTTGCTTGACGTGAGAGAGCTTGATTGTGTAACCTGTTGGTCTATAATGACGCGGCATCGTGTTTCTTGAAACTTTACAACATTTAGGACCTCTAGACTCTAGTCGACCGCCGCGTCGACGGCGTCGGGGGGTCCGGGCCGTCCGGGCGGACGCGATCGACGCGGCATCTACCCGCGCGGCGCGGCGTCGACAGCGCAAGGCGGTGTTGGCCCCACCAGCACGCCATCGCCGCGACCGTAGGCGTGCCGATCAGGGAAGAGGCGGGTCGGCGTCAGACAAGTGGTCGCCCCGGAGCAGGTACCCGAGCTTGACGAGCGCCTCGAGCCGCGTATTCAAGCCGCCACAGTCCGTCCGCAGGATCGTGTCCTGCCCCTCCTGGAAGTCCGCCCGCATCTTCTCGCCCAGTTCTCTACCGATGCCCTCGGTCCGCGCTTCGAGCCTCTGCAACCGCACGTCCTCGGCGCACTTGACTTGAATGAAGCTGATCTGCGGGCACTTTTCATGAATTTTCCGCCGATGCTTGCGTTTGAACATCGCTTGCGCCACGGCCAAAGGCCTTCTCTGACCGTGGATCTCTTCCATGTTGATAGTATTGATCCGTTCGATGATGCGCTCGCAGTAGGCGTCTCGCTGTTGAGGTGTGAAGCCCTCGCCCCTACTAAGTGCCGCGCGCATATCTCCTGTAAGCCAATCGTCGCCCTCCTCGAACCGATACCCCATCTCCGCCAGCTTCTTACCGACATAGCTCTTGCCGCAGCCCGGTAAACCGTACAAAAAGAACGAGGGCGGCATGGGCTGGATCTCTGGTAAATGGGCCGTGTAGTCGACGCCGTCAAAAATGCCCGCGAGTTCCTTTTTACATCTTTCTTCGGCCGTGAGCTCGTTGGCCGCCATGTGGTCGCGTCGACGGCGTGTGCACAGCGCTGCACTTGACGGGGGCACCGCAGCTGTCGCGTTTCGGCTCGAAGCTGGGCGGGCGCGAAGTGGCAGGCGATAAAGAGAAGAAACCGGTCGTTTGGACACTCGTTTGTGTGCCGCTAAGCCGCCCGAGTTGCGACAAAAATAATCGAGCTAGCGCAACACGCCCACTAGCTCGTTTCTGCAGGCGCTCAACTTTGCCATAACGCCGCCGCTGAGGCACCAGGAACTCAATCGCTGGGTTCTACGTCTTGTACGCATCACCATAAGTCTGCGCTAGCGTTGACAAGGCGCGCCGCGGCCTAGCCCCAACAAACAAGCCTAGCTTCCTCCAACAGCCATGCTCGCCGCGCGCGCCTTCAGGCAAGCCGCCGCGCGGGCGCCCACGGCGGCCGCACGGGCTGCGCGGCCCGGCGCGGGCCGTAGTCGACAAATGTCCTACGCCTCCTTCTACGACACGTACCTCAAGAGCAACTCGTCGATGGTGACGTTCATCGTCGCCGGCGCGATCGTCACGGAGCTTTTATTTTCCAAGGGGACCGACGCGCTCTGGAGCGCGGCGAACGGTGGGAAATTGGTCGAGCACGTCGACTGGACGAAGTGGAGCGCGGACGACGACGACGACGATGATGATGATGATGACGACTAAGGAACGCCGTCGCCGCGCCGCCGACGATCGAAGCCTAATTATCCTTCTTGTTTTTTATGCAGTGCCTCACTGTCGACCAAACCCGTACGAGTTGATTGCGCAAGATTGAGGCGCTCTGCGCACGACGCGTATCGTGCGTGCCTAAACTCACTGACCTGTGCATACAACCACTAATTGCAAAATACCTGCTCGGACACAGCATTGGTTGCAGTGTAACGCTGCAGCCCGAAGAGCAGCAGCCTCAAGCCCTGCAGCTCTTGCAGCAGCGGACGCGATGGCGCCGACCAGGAGCCTCAAACTCCTCCTCGTAGCGGCAGCAACCACAGCCTTGAAACCAACCAAGCTGCCCACGATCCAAAAGCAGGCGAAAGCCCTAGGCGCCGCATTGGCCGCCGTCGGATTAACACTTGCACCCTTGGCAGGCGTGGCCGAAGAGACGAGTGCAGGCTTCGAGGAGTTCGCGGCCAAGGGCGGCACGATGGAGGCGCGGCCGGAATGTTTTTTTGACGAGTGCGGGGACCAATCGAAGGCGTGCTTTACGAATCCCTCATGCCTCAAGGGCGTCACGTGCCTCGGCAACTGCCGCGGCGAGCAGGAGTGCGCGACGCGGTGCTTCGCGCGCTTCGGCTCGGAAAAGTTAAATGATTGGCTGTCTTGCACGCTGGAAGAAAAAAAATGCGTCGTGACGGGCGTGAAACAGGACACGTCGGCCTTCTACGCCACGGCACCTCAAAGGTTAAGTAACTTCGACCGGAAAGCCTTGGAGGGCAAGTGGTGGAAGGTCCGCGGCTACAACGCGAAGTACGACTGCTTCCCGTGCCAGGTTAATACCTTCAGTACTGCTCCCAATGGGATGCGGAATGACATTGAATTTAGAGTACCGAAGCCCGACAATGGGGGCTACTGGCAGAACCGATTAGAGGAAGTGATAATAGATGAGAGAGGTCCCCAGGGCAAAGCCTCGTACACCGTGGGCGGTAAAATGTACGGCCTGGAGTTCCGGGAGCAGTGGTACATTGTGGGAGCTGATAGCAGTTTCGTGTTGGTCGCGTACAAAGGCGACACGCAGCAGGGGCCCTACGAGGGCGCCTTTTTGTATACCCGCAATAAAGACGACTACGACACCAACAGTGGATTGCGTTCCAAGGCCGACGCCGCCGCGAAGAAAGCGGGCTTAGAACCCAGTCAATTCTGCGCCATCGACAACGCCTGCCCCACGACTGGTGTCACGCAAGCCGGCGCCTCCAAAGATGACTTGAGCAAGGAGAAACTCGAGTGGGCGGACGTGTTTGATTTGGCGGAGTGGTTCCGGCCGGGGACGACGGCGAAGAAGGCGGACTTCGACCCGAACAAGATGTAGTAGGTTTCGTCGTAAAAAATACACTTAGTACATGACCCCGCGTCGCGTCGATGGCGTGAAGAACAATCACTCGGGCACCGGCGGCGCTTTTCTGCCGCCCCACTTTTTCGGCGCAGGCAATGCACCGTCGAAGTACAGTAAAGTGCCGTACCTTCCACCAAGTATCAGGTCGTCGACGCCGTCGCCGTTAAAGTCCGCCAGGCAGGGCGCCGGGGCCTCGTGCACGGGCAGCGGAAAAGTCTTCGACCGGCCGAGAGCCTCCAGGTCCAAATCTTGTAGCGGCGCCGTCCAGAAGAGGGGCGTCCGCGCGAGGTAGGGGTCCGCGTCCTTCATGAGTCTCATGTAATGCAATCCGTGCCCCTCGTCGCCGACGGCTATAGATGACGTGGGGACCCAGGTTCTATTTTCTGGATCTAGATATGAGGGCGCGCCCACCGCGAATCGCGAAGCCGGCGCCTCGAGACCCAGTAGATCCAACCGCCTTACATTAGCGTAGCCGTCCCTTCTTACCTCAAATCTTGGGGCGGTTCGTGACCCCACGTTCTTTATCAAACCGACCGAATCGAACAGCCCCGACGCCGCAACTAATAAATCCAGATCGCCGTCGTCGTCGACGTCCACAAAAATAGGACCGAGGTGGCGCCACTCGCTCGTGAGTCGCAATGTGTCATGAAATGGTTCATAGGTCAGGTTGAAGAAGGCTATGGCCGGGTCCGCGCCGCCTACCGCTAATTCTGGGTACGAATCACCGTCTAAGTCAGCTAACGCCGGCGCGGCCATGGCCGCGTGCGCGTGGATTGAGTTCACAAATTCGAATTGCGGCTTTTTGGACGTGCCAGTGTTCTCGTAATATGATACCCTTCCGGCCGCGTCGCCAATCACCAGATCGAAGTCGCCGTCGCCGTCGACGTCGTAAGCTGCCGGCGCCGCGTGGTAGCCCACGTCTATGTCTGACGTGGGCCATTTGAGCTTTGGCGGGGGTGGTGTTTGAACACATCCGGAACCCGGCTGTGAGGGCAGGGGGCAATGCTCGTCCTCATCTACACTTCGTGAAAAGCCATCGTAGGACAAGACGTCGGGGCAGGCCTCCAACAACTTCTTCGAGGGGAAGGCCGGTCCGGAAGCTCGCGCTCGTACTCTAGCTGGCGAGCTCCACAGTCTCTTTCCTGCATTCTCAAGTGCTAGGGCGCCCGTTAACGCGCGCTTCGAACCTTTGGTATAGTAAGGCCGCCAGCCGCCCGGGTGGATGAGCAGATCCCCGGGTTTCAATGTGGTTACCGCAATTGTTGAAGACACGTAGGGCTCGCCGATCGAAACGCCGCGCTCGGCCGGCGTCCTTTTGTATGAAACGAAGCTTGTGATACCCTCGACCTGCAACCTCCAACTAGGCACGCACAGGCTATCAAGGGTTGGTAATGGCGCATCTTTGTGCATGTCTCGTAGTCGGCAGCCGCCGGTTCTACAGCCCCACCTCGCATCTGCCGAGCCGTTCACTAAACGTAAAGAGGGAACGAGGTCCCGCAACCCTTCCCTAATACCAGCATGATGCGTCCAGTTCGTCGCTTCACTTAGTAAAGTGAGGAAGGCGTCGTCGACGCCTTCGACGACGACAGCCTCATCACTCAAGACCGCCGCCACGACGTCCGCCGCGGCGTCGTCGTCCGTCGCATGAATGCGCGCGATGTCTACCTCGTCTTCCACACATTCCTCCGCCGCCGCGGCCGCGAGCAGGACCAGGAGCAGTGTTCGGGCCATATGGGCAGCCTCCACGTGTTCCTCGTCCGAAGGGCTGCCCCGAGACGCTTCCGGGCGGTCGTGAGCGACGCTTGAAACCGCGGGTGCGCGAGCTATGGCACCCGTAAAGCACTCGGTGAGGCAGCTAGCGGCCCGTAAGACTCTAGCCAAGCGGTTGTGTGCTCGGGGGCGCTGGGCTTCGGTCTGTGACACCCCTGGAGACCGCAAGGTTCCCCGAAGAGCACCGCGGGACGCCGTCGACGCGTCGTCCGCCGGGGCAGCCCCAAAAAGCACTTCGCGAGGCGCCATCGACGCTAGTTTGCCCAGGGCAGCCGAGACGCCGCACGATGGACATCGGCCATCAATTAGATAGGATGAAGGAGTCCTTCCTCTGGGCGGCCGCGAAAGGAGGAAGGGAGGAGGAGGTCGAGTCGTTACTGTCGATCGGCGCCGACGTGAACTGGCGGAACGGCGACGAGGGCGAGACGCCTTTAATAGCTGCGTGTCGCTCTGGCCACCGGGGCGTCGCGGCGCTGCTTCTAGCCCATGGCGGCGACGCCATGGGCACGTCTCGGAATGGAGAATCGGCGTTGCATGCCGCCTGTCGGCGCGGCGACGAGGAGCTCTGTGCGTTGTTGGTGGACGCTGGTGCTCATGACGAAGGAGCCTTCGAAGCAGGTATTTCCGCGGGCCACGGCCAGATGGTCCAGCGGCTGCGCGGCTTGGGGCGGCGCCACGCGGCGGCGGCCCAGGCTTCCTCCCGCAGACCGCCGCCGTCCATCCGTAGTGCGGCGTTACCAGCAGTGGAGGTGCCTAGACGCTCACCTAGAAGGCGGGACCCGGCCCAGGAGCTGCTCGAGGAGGTGCGGAGCGGCTACCGCGAGCGGGCCGCCGACGCCGCCGAACGTAGGATGCGGGACGACGAGCCGCCGGCCTGCCCGACGCCGCAGGCTGTGGATATTGTTGCTGCGAGACTCGACGAGGCAGCTAAAGGGCGTAGACAGGAGCAGCAGAAGCGGGAGAGAGCTCAAAGGGAGGCGGACGCGGCGCGCGCCCAGTCGAACCAACTTTTAGCTGAGTTGATGCAGGCCCAGACCGTGGCGTCCAAACTCAGAGAGAAGGAAACTTCACTGAAAAGAGACCTGCGGCGGTTGCGCGGGCGAGGGTTATCTGGTATGGAGGTTGAGGAACTCGCTTCTCTAGAAAGAGACTTGCGGGCGGCTTTACGTAGAGTCACGTTGGCCAAAGAGAAGAGGTTGAAAGCCTCAGTACACGTCCCGGACGGCTACGTCTGCCCGATCACGCGGGAATTGATGCGCGACCCCGTGTTTTGTGGCGACGGCCACACGTACGAACGGGACGCCATATCGGTCTGGTTGATGACGAAGGACACGTCGCCGAAGACCGGGTGTGTTTTGGAAACGAAGGCGCTGATCCCGAACTTCGCGCTGCGGAGCGCGATCGACGATTTGCGCAATCGACGGCGCCTCGCGGACGAGGTGGCGGAGGACGACGACGCGAAGACCCTTCCGGCGAGTCCTGGGTAAGGCCTAGACTGAAAATCGATTTGCTAGTGTGTCTTACATGACGCTAGCTCCCTTTGGTGGCCTCGACAAATTTGTTCGCTGCCAGCCACATCTCTGCATGCGGCTGTCGTTGCTCGGGCTTGGCGCATTTACAGCGACCTCCTCTCACGTCGCAGCCTTCTCAGCAGCGCGCAAACTGCAGTCATTACGCAGACAGACGACTCGACGCACAGCACCACTGCACAAAAAATTCACAGCACTAACCATGTCCAGCAACCCGTCGGCCCTCTACACGCCCCAGGACATAAAGGGCTGGACCGCGTTGGTAACGGGAGCGTCGAGCGGATTCGGCAAGGCCCTGTGTGGAAATCAACCACTGCGTCGGGTGCGCTGCCGTGCTGGCTCCGTCGAGCGGTGAGGAACCGGCACTGCCACGCCATCGAGCAGGCGTCGCGTCGATGGCGTGGAGGTCGACGCGAAGATTTGGCACGGACGCGCCGTGAATTTTGATTTCCACACAGGCAAGGCCACCGCGTGGCGCTTCGCCGAGCTCGGCTGCAAATTGATCATAGTGGCGCGCCGCGGCGACCGCTTGGAAGCTTTAGCTAGTGAACTGAAAGCTAAATACGGCACAGAAGTTTTCTGCCTCGTGCTGGACATGATGGACATCGAAAAAGTCGAAAGGATGGACCAATTGCTTCCCGAGCAGTTCCGGAACGTGGACATCCTGGTCAACAACGCGGGCCTAGCTCTAGGCAAGAACAGCGTCGAGGAAAACGTGACGTCCGACATCGTGCGGATGATGACGACGAACGTGACCGCGCTGATAATAGCTACTACATTATTCACGAAGGGCATGAAACAGAGAGGAAGGGGCCACGTCATCAATGTTGGTAGTATTGCGGGCCACTACGCGTATGGTGGTGGGAGTGGCTACTGTGCCTCCAAGTCAGCCGTCACGGCGTTCACGTCCGCAGCAAGGCACGACCTCGTCGGCACGCCTATTCGGGTCACCTGTATTTCTCCAGGATTCGCGGAAACTGAATTTAGCTTAGTACGGTTCGAAGCCTCGGACAACGCGGCGGCCAAGGCCAAGAGTGTGTATGATAATTTGGTACCTATGGTCGCGGACGACATCGCCGATCAAATTATCTATGCGGCGACGCGCCCAGCACACGTACAGATCCAGGACATCATTGCGTGGCCGACGAACCAGGCGGGGCCGACGAATATCGCGCGCGTCGGGCCGTCGCTCGGCGCGCCCTGAGCACGTCCGTAAGTATATCCGTTTTCCGTCTTTCGCTCGGTCCCGATTTGTGTGGCGACCGGTGCTAGGACTAGAGGGGGAGACACGCCGCGCGTCGCCGATTCGTCGGCGGCGGGCGCGGGCCGCGCCTTTCATGACAGCACACCCCGTGCAGGAGGCATCCCCCGAACAATGGGCAACGTTCGCGCCGTCGCGTCGCGCAGGATAACGTGCGGGGATTAGCCGTTTTGTGACTGCCGAAGCTTGGGCTCGAAACGCTCCGGTTTCGCCCGAGGCAGGTAGCAGGCGTCGCCAGGAGTAGAGCCGTGGCCACCGGGCGCCACGCCGGTCCAAGCGTCCGCGCGCCGGGACAAGACAAGGGGCAGCCACACAAAGGGCAGCCACCCACGATAGCTAGCGTCGACAAGCGCCGCTGAGCGACAACTGTGGGCCAGAGAAGCTCTCAGAGCCAAACGCCATCGACGCGATGCTCAAGTTCGACTCCGATACAATACAGGGCCTCGGCCCGGGGACGCGCGCTAATGTATTAGCGCAGCGGTCTCGCAGCCAGCGCTTCTGGCAGGAGAACAAGGAGCGCAGGCAGATTAGGTTGGAGCAGCGCGCCGCCGCCGAGACGTATCGGCGCGAGGAGGAGGCGAAGCGCGACTGTCGCGACGATCCGGTCCAGCGGCGCGTCGCCGCGCGCCAGCAGGCCGTGGCCAAGGCTAAAAGGCGGCTTAAAAAAGCACCGCGGCCGGTTTTCACCAGTACTCAGAAACCGCTCAAGCCTCGATTGACGTCGGAGGAGCGCGTCACGTTGCAACAGTGGCGCCACCGCGAGCATGCTATTAACCGAGAACAGCAAGATCTGGACCACCGGCGGCAGGTCCGCGCGTCAGAAGAGCTCGTAAGGAAGAGCTGGGAGCAGGAGACGGCCCCCAAGAAGGTGGCGAACCCGTCTCTATTTTCTTTGGACGACGCGCTGGCCGTCGTCGCGCCGGCGTTTGTCCAAGAGGAGGCCTCTCCCACGAGATTGGAGGAGCACACCGAGCATGCTGTCGCTATATCGTCCATTCTCAAACCGAAGGACCCGGTGCCGCTGCGGAAGGTTGTCGCTACGAAATTGGCGGAGTCGCCCGAGCGCGCGTCGGGCGCATCACGGGCGCGTGCGCCCGAGGCGGCGCTGAGTGCAAGTGGGTCGGCAATACGGCCGGCCGGCGGCGGCGTCGCCGCGGCGCGCACCCTCACAAACCCTTACAAGCCAAAGCCGCGTGTTGCTCCCGAGGTGCGGTACGAGCCCGCCGCGGCCTACGCGGGCTCGCGGCCGGGCATGGTCTTTAAGAGGGGCGACCGCGGCGTCGGCTACTACGAGGATCCGCTGGCGCCCCGGGCGCCCGCGGCCGCCGATGCGACCGAGCCTACGGCGGAGCCTACTTCGGAGGCTGACGCTGCCGACGACTCGGACGCCGTCCTCGAGCGGCTCAAGGCCAAGTTGCGACAGGACATGGATGCCGCGGCGCCGCCGGCCGACGACGCTCCGGCGAAGGACGAGTTTCTGCGCGCGCTCGCGGACGCCGACGCGGCCGCCGACGCTGCCGCCCCATCAGACGCGGCCGAGCCGTCGCCCATCGCCAAGCCATCGCCAGTCGCCGAGCACGCGCCCGGGTCATCGCCGATCGACGCCCTCGCCGCGGCCTTCGCGTCCGCCGCGTCGCCCGTGCTCGTGAGCGACGCGGCCGCGCTGCGCGTGACCACCGACGACCTCCCCGCTTCCGAGGTTCGACTCCGCGCCGCTGAGGACGCCGCCGAGGACGCGCTGTCGAAGTTCGACGCCGCGCCGCTCACGGGGAACTACCGGGGCAAGGCCGAGGCGTTTCGGAGTGCTCTCGCCGCCGCCGAAGCGGAACTCGACGAGGCCCTGGCGACGGCCCGGAGCTCGACTTCCGGAGCGCTGGCGGACGGCTCCGACGCGGACGACGCACTGGCAGAAGACTAACTTTGGGAATGAACTTTACGCCGGGGCCTAGAGGCTGGTGGCCTTGACGCCCTCGCGCTCGTGAGGAGTTTCCACTCTCATGGTGGTGTCGACGAGCTGGTTGTAGGCCACGAAGCTCGCGAAGAACTCGAGGAGGTACTTGACGACGACGAAGATGGCCAGATATTTCAACCACGCATCTTTCAAGACTTCGGAAGCCGTCGGCGTGTAGAGGACGTCCTGCTGCGGCACGCGCAGGACCATCGTCAAGTTGAAATTCGCGTAGGCCCCGTGGTTGTCCGGCACGCCCGGCGACGGCGTCCAGACCTTGTATTGCTGGACATAGTCCAGCGTGTTGTTCCGGTTCCGGTACCCAAAAATGATATTGGGCAGCAGCGTCTCCTGCAGCTTGATCTTGTGGTCGCTCGGATCGAGTAAAGGGAACCTTTTATAAGGTAAGTAGTAGCCGCCCTTCGCGCGGAAGGGCCACTTCTGCTTTAAGATATAATCCCCATCGACGAAGAGCGACCCGCCGCCCATGCCGTCGCGGTGCTCCGCAATGGCTAGACTGTCAAAATCCACTCTTGCACGAGACGATAGCTTCGTCCGGAAGAAGGTCGCAACGGAAGCCCCCAATATAGTTTCGCCCTTCGCCAGGGGACACAAGGCCGTGAAGTGGAACTCGTCCGTGACGCCGTCCCTGTTGAAGTCGAGCTCGATGTTCTGGAGGTTGCAGACGCGTAACTCGGGGCCGTATAGATTTTCGACGTCGGTCATGGACGAGAAGACGATCTGCATCTGTCTATCAATACCTCGGATTTGTTTCGTACCTTGTAGCGTACCGAGTACTTTATGCTGGAAGGTTATGGACGGCTGCTCGCGATACGTATGTGTCTTGAGCCAGAAACTCGGCACGTTCGTGTAGGCCAGGAAGAAGGGTAGAATCAATCCGACCAATGCTATGAGTAGGAAGAAGAAGTAGGCGCACGAGCAGCGACTTGCGTAGTACCGCCTACACAGCGGCTCGTGGTAGACCTCGACGGCCATTTTTGTGGGTCGCGGCGGCGCGCCCGTTCAGGTCGCAGCGGCGGCCGCGCGCTGAATCGCCTCAGGCAGCCCGGCCCACCCTCTATGTGCTAGGCCCCGTCGCGTGCGCTTTTTATGCAGCCCCGCGTCGGTAGCAGCTCTTTGCGCACGCGTTACGTGCGTCCGCGGGCCGGCGTCGGCGTGCGCTCCCTCGCTGGCGCGTGCGCGCGTCGACCAGCAGACAGTTTTGCCCCCAAACCCCGCACAGTCTGGTGCCCGCAATTTCCCCGCACAGTCTAGTGCCCTCTACGAGCCGCTGCGGTGGCGTCGATGTCGCGACGTTCCATGGCCCGCGCGGACATCGGCGACTGGCGCGCCGACGCCGCCACCACGCGCTTCCACCCCACGCCGTCGCTGGTGCCCGCTATGCTTAGGCGCCGGCGCCGGCGCCGCCGTCAATTTCCCCGCACAGTCTAGTGCCCTCTACGAGCCGCTGCGGTGGCGTCGATGTCGCGACGTTCCATGGCCCGCGCGGACATCGGCGACTGGCGCGCCGACGCCGCCACCACGCCTCTCCACCCCCACGCCGTCGCCGCGACGCGACGCGCAATAACCAACTACAATATAAGTTACTCCGCATCCCCATCATCGTCCGGCAGCGCGTCAATATCAATATCGTCGTCCGCGCCCTCGAGGTACAGGTCCTCCCTTTTCAACTCCAGCCGCGGGTCCGGCTCCGACTCCGCCTCCGACGCCGTCGCCTCGTCACCACCGTCCTCGTCCTCCTCATCGGAGTCGGGCGCAAGGATCTGTTCCCGGTAGTTCTGGTAGTCCTGCATGCTCATCGCGCCGGCATCAAACAGCTCCTTCGCCCGGAGCAGAGCCTTCTCCATCTCCTCCGACAAGTCCTCGTCCGCTTTCTGAACACTAGAAGACTGGCCCTTCTTCTTGACCTTCATCACATCTGTGGTCTCCGAAAATAACGCCCTTTCTTCCCTTTCTTCGGCTTCCCGTTGTTCGCGCTTCGCCTTCAATTTCTCCTTTCGTTCCTGTTGAGCTTTCTTTTCGTTGCCCGTCAGCGAGTGCTCGACCCTCGACACATATTGCTTCGCCTTCGCACTTTTACCTTTATTTTTGATGCCGAAGGTCTGGTCGGCGGCACGGATGCGCTTCGCCTCGGCGATGGCTTTTTTGGATTTTTGTTCGCTGGGGCCCTTCTTTTTCGAGGGCATGGTTGCTGCACGGCGGTATGCACGGATTTTTTGTGGCGCGACGCGAACGAGTGCCGGCCCGTGAGTTTACTACAAGCTGTAGGCACGGATGCGGTGCCTCGCGCGCGGCTTTTGGGTGGCTGTGTATCACAGGAGGTGTGATAACTTGCGCTCTGGCGCTTCGTTTGCGCTCGCGCAGCAGCAGCGGCTTCAAACCGGTCACTGTATGACGTCAATGCGTCCACAGCTGCAGAAATGCGGCAGCAGCTCCGATTGCGCGTCCGCGGTGCGGCTTGAAACCCGATTTGATTGAGAGCTTTTGTTTAAACGCAAACGTCCAAAAGTTGCCGATTGTCGACGATAGACGTCTCGCGAGGGCTTTGCGACGGCCCATAGGCTTCTTTCGAGACTGCGATTGCTCTGCCGGCGGCGATTCAGCATCAGCAATTAACCTGCCATAACAAGCGCAGCACAAAAAGCTGGAGCCATTCTCAACCGTAGACGGTCCATGCGACACCACTTGGTGTGCATGCCGGAGCGCGAGAAGCGTAGAGCAAGAGCGAGGCCGTACACTGTACGGCAAGCCCAGCAGCAATAATCACGATAGAGATCTAGACCATGGCTCAAATAATAAATATAGCGGGCGCCCAGGCCATCGACGACCCGGAATACCGCTACAAGATGCCGCGCATCATCGGCAAGGTCGAGGGCCGCGGCAACGGCATCAAGACGGCGATCCCCAACATGGTCGACGTCGCGTCGTCGTTGCACCGCCCGCCCGGCGAGGTGACGAAGTTCTTCGGCTGTGAATTGGGCGCGCAGACGACGTATAATGACGATACGGAGCGGTCGATCGTGAACGGCGCTCATGAAACTAGAGTACTCCAAGATAAACTATCCGTATACATCGAGAAGTTCGTCTTATGTCCGGCCTGCAAACTGCCCGAAACGTCGTACAAGATCAAGCATGAAATAATCTACCACAACTGCCTCGCGTGCGGCGCGCGCGAGCCGTGCGACATGCAGCATAAGTTGACGACCTACATCTTGAAACAACACAAGATCGAGAAAAAAGCTAAAGCGAAAGATAAGAAGGACAAGGGCGACAAGAAAAAGTCGAAAAAGGTACTGTTAGCGGCGTCCGCGGCGCCTTCAGACATTACCGGATACGCCGCCGACGCGCCGCCGCCTCGACGGCGTCGACGCGGCCGCATGTCGCCGCGACGCCGTCGTCACGATCACGAGAGAGTCCGCGCGCCTCGCGAACGTACAGAGGCAGCTCCGCGACGGCGTCGCTCCCCCGCAGGACAAGGACGGCGACGACGACAAGAAGAAGAAGGAGAAGAAGGAGAAGAAGGAGAAGAAGAAGAAGAAGTCCTCCGAGGAAGGCAACGGGGCCGCTGCCGTCGAGAAAGCTGCTGAGGAGTCCGAGGAGGACGAGGACGAGAATCCCGAGGAGGCCGGTCCATTGGGCTCGGCGATCCGGGGCATCCGCGAGTTCGTCGCCGGCGGCAAACCCGTCGGCGAGACCGTGTCGGAACTCAGAGCGGTCCAGACCTTCTGCGCGCTGCCGAGGAATGAAAGAGGTTTTATTCTATGTGCTGCTGCTTTTGAAGATGGTTCTACTCTACTGAAGCAGTTACCCGAGAGAGCTCCTCTGCTGAAGGCCTTCGCCAAGGACGCCCAACCTTATTCCTTGATCTATGGCTTGGAGAAGTTCTGTCTCATACAAAAGCCTCCTCTCACTGCGAAGTTCGCGCTCGTCCTGAAAGCTTTATACGACGACGACGTCGTCGAGGAGGAGGACATCCTCAAGTGGCACGATGCCGGTGTCGATGGTATCGACCCGGACGTGCACAAGCCTCCTGCCGTGGATGCCCAGGCGTCGGCGGCGTTCCTCGCGGCTTCGGAACCGTTCGTCACGTGGCTCCGCGAGGCGGAATCCGACACGGAGGAGGAGTAGGCGCTCGTTTCCCTTTTACTAATGACCTATTTAACGTGCGTCGACGAGCTGCTAGGGGCCTGTAAGACACTAGCAAGCAGGCAGCCCAAGCAACCCCGCCGCAATCGCTGCAGAGGGGCTTAGCTATCACTTGGCTGTTTCGCGGCAACTCTTGAGAACCCATTCTTGCAAAGCATTGAGCTTTCCACGACGCCTACGTCTTAGGAAGCGCAAAACCAAAGACTGCTCTCACAATGGTGCCAGTGCTGGTGCGAAGTGCGCGACGCGCTGTCGCCGCGAGACGTCTTCTCTCGTCGCCGCCGAAGATGGTCTCGCGCTTCGTGTTATTCTACGACTACACTCCGTCTCGCGCTGCGTAGAAATTGCAACGCGCTACACGCCATCGACGCGATGTTGGCCCCGTGATTGCGTCTGCTCGATGGCGTGGGAGTCACTGGTTGATATCCGCACAGGGACGTGCTCGAGAAGCGCGACCCGTACAGAGCGGGCCACCTCGGTCTCATCAAGGAGTTTGCGGCCGAGGGCCGCGTCCTGTCCGCGGGTGCGTTCACTGATCCCGTCGACGGCGCCATGTTTGTTTTCACCGACCGCGAGGCCGCGGACGAGTTCAAAGCGAAAGACCCGTACGGCCCGCACGTCGTCGCCGGCTCGCACGTGCGCGAGTGGACGACGGTCGACTTAGACTAGTGTGTAGTAAAATCAATTAAGATTGAAACTTGCCGGAACTACGGGGTGCGAACGAAAAGATGGGGTCGATGAATTGGAAGTGGTGGTCAGGCCTTCTCCGGCGCCGCCTGGGGGGCGGCGGCGGGCGCGGCCGCGGCGCCGGACTTGAAGCGCTTGTCCAGCGTCGCCTCGACCTCTTCGAGGCCCTTGTCGACGTCGACGCAGAAGTAGAGGACCGCTAGCCCGCCGAGCCAGAAGATCGGGCAGACGAGAATCGCTTCGCGATACTCCCCCGTCGTCTCACCCATGGCGAGGAATACCAGGGACGGGGCCCACGAGAGCGACATGGCACTGAACTGGAAGAAGCCCATCATCTCGGCCTCGCACCCGCCGGGTATCAATGCGACCAGTAAATTCCGTTGCGCCGGGTAGACCCAGCCGTTGGCGAAGCCCAGGAAGGGCACGATGGCGAAGACGTACGGGCCCGTACCTGACGAGTACACAAACGCGGACACGCAGCAAAGACATACGCTCGACAAGACCAGGGCTCCAGCCACAGAAGCCTTCAGCGAGAGCCACTCTTTGTCGGCGATCTTGATCGACGTTATCGCCCCTGGAATCGCGCACAGCACAAATAGGAGGGCAATGATAATGAAGTCGCCCGCGTCCATGCCGAGCTGCTCCAATACGTATGCTCCGGTCAAGGATACGACGGCGGTGTTCGCGCTCTCCCAGAAGGCGTAGCCGAGATAGAAGCAGCCGAGCGTTCTGAATTCTGTGCGGAGCGTCTTTACGGTGGCGGCGACGCGGTAGAACCCGATAGACCAGAGGCTCCGGCCCTCAGGCAGTTCCTGGAGCGCCGGCCTACGGCCTAGGTAGCGGAACATTCCGAGGACCATCAACGGCGCCCCGACGACGACAGCCACGACCTGACCGACGCGGGCCAGATCGACCTCGCCCGACGGCCCCTCGCGGGTGAAGAGGGGCCCGACGCCGGCTCCAACTATAACCAAGTAGAGGATAATCGCGAGCGACTCCCAGGCCTTAAGCACGCCCGTCACGCTCGGCACCTCACTCGGGTCGGCGACCATCTCCGGAATATATGCGAAGAGACACGCCTGGTGCGCCATGTAGCTGCCCGCGCCGACCGTGGCCTGGATCAGGCCCGCGGCGAACCAGGTCCGGGGCCCGAGCGAGATCTGCAACGCGTTCGCCGCAATAAGCAGTGCCGCCGTCGCGACAAGGGCCTCCCAGCGCTTCGGCGAGTGGTCGACAAAGGCGCCGACGAGCGGCATCAGTACCGCGCAGCACAAGCCTGACACCGTCGCGACGAATGGGATCGTCGACGCCGGCGACAGCCCGTAGACCTTGCACTGTGGATCCTTCGCGCAGAGCTTGTCCTGCGGGTGCCGCACGTCGCCTGGGTCCTTGCAGTACCAGCGCCCGCGCTCGCGGTCGCCACCCATAAAATCACACAAATCGTCATCATCTTCGTTGGCATAGGGGCAGTCGTACTTGTAGCAGCCGCCTTCCCGTCGCGCCAGCACCGTTAAGCCCGGCAGCACCGTGAGGATGGTGATAAATAACACGGTGGCGCCGATGCGGTCCCACATAAACCCCAGGACCTCAGGGTTTTTGAAGGAGGGGGCGGGGCAGCAGCGCCGCTGGCACGCATTCGCTTTTGTGGTCGGATCGTCATTTTTATCGGCGTCTGCCATCGACAGTGGGGCAGCCCAATCACTTAATCGATGTCGGCAGCCGAAAAGGTGTATCCGGTCGGCGGGGCTTTCTCCTTGAAAGCTCCAGGGCAGAACTTACTGAGCGTGCTACCACAGGAGCAGACACAACCGCCTGTGGCACTCTGGCAAATCCAAAGCCTGTTTTCTAGTGTCTTATGCCGCTAGACCAAACTTAAAGTTAGACACCGGAAGAAAAAGACGCCTCGACGCGCAAACGCCCCGAGAGCACGCCGCGGCTCCGGCCGAAGCGCACGACCGGCTCCCGGAAGCGCCGGCTCCAGTCCCGCGCCGGCAGCGCGACGAGCGCGGCTCCAAGTTCGAGCGCCACGACGCAGTGGCGCGGCGCGCGCTCGGCCTCCACCGACACGGCGCGCGCGGCCCAGGGCGCCGACGCCGTCGCGGCGCCGAGCGAGACGGAAACAGTATCAAGCGCCGGCGCCGGCGCGTCGGGCACGAGGCCAGAAACGAGCCGGTCGAGCTCCGCCGCGTCGTCGTCGCTCGACGGCTCGAAGCACAAGTCTTCGAGCGTCACCCGCAGCGCCCCGGCGTAGGTCTCCGCGGGCGGCTCCCTCAAAAGCGCGCACCGCAGCCGCGCCGGCCGGTGGTCGCTCTGCAACGGGAACTCGGGAGCGTCGTACGCTAAGAGCTCGAGCGCCGCGTCGTCGGCGGGCGGCGACGCCACGAGCACCCGATCCGTCCAGGACGGATATCGCAGGCCCGCGGCCGACGCCGCCTGCGCCGGCGGCGAGCGCTTCCGCCGGGCGAGTTGTAATGCCTCCTCGACCGTCGCGGCGCCTTCGTTCGACTTGAACAGCGTATACGCGTCACACAGCGCCGCCGCGTCGGCCTCCCGACCGGGCAGCGCGACGCCCGGCACCCTTCTAAAAGTCGGCGCGAAATAGATCGGAGCTTCTCGAAAGCCGCAGAGCGCGCGGCCGCTTCGTCTGTCTCTAATCAACTCGTCGTCGCGCGTCGCGGCGGCCCAGGCGGTCTTCGACGGCTTCGACGACGCGTAGGCGACGCGCTTCAATGTACTGTCGCGAGCGTGCGTCAAATCATGAGGCACGGCCCGATAGTTCAAGTCCCCCAGGAAGAAGACGTGGCACCGCTCCTGCAGCTTCACGAAATCATCGCCACCTAGGAGAGCTGCAGCGCAGGCGTTCCGCAACGTGTGCTGGGCGCGACCTCCGGCGTCCGCCGGGAGGTGCGCCCCTAAGAAGCATAATGAGCGCCCTCCAACCTGCACCTCGATGGACACGCCGCCCTTCGTCGACGCGCCCTTGCCGGTCGACCCGACGTCCATGAGCATCTTCTTCGTGCTGACTTCTTCCACTAAACCGTCGTCCACATCACACTTGCGAGCGAAGACGGCCACGGCGATGCGGCCCCGCACGCGCTTCTCGCCGATCTTTTCATATGAAACGAGCGCGTACGTCGAGCCGAGGTGGGCCTCGACGGTCCTCCTCAACTCCGCCCAGCAGCCGCACTCCTGGACCGCCACCGCATACATGTCCGCGCCGCGCGGCAGCCACTTCTCCAGAGAGCTTTTTTGTTCTTCCCCTAACAGCGCCTGCACCGAGCCCTGCTCGGCGCAGTTCAGTGTGGTCGCGAGAATGCGCCATTGCGTTGCATCGGCGGCGTCTCGTAGTGGTGGCTTGCGCGGCCGCAGGATCCAGGCCGTCGCCGCGATTATGACGATGAGCGTGGAGGCGGCCTGGTAGGCATCCATCAGGCTGCCCACTCACCTCGCACAAGCCCGCCAAGACCTAAACGACCGAATCCGTACAGACAAGAGGTCTGGGCGTGGTAGATGGAGCTGCCCTCACCGCTTGCTGCCCTGCCTGCTCTCTTGCTGCCCTGCCTGCTGCACGCAGTTCTCCGGTCTTGGGGCCAGAGATGGTGAAGTATGGAGCAGTCCTATGCGTGTCCCTTTAAGCCGGTGCGGTCGTCCCAGGCCAGCTGTGCACTGGCAGCAAAAATCTGCGGCAAAGGCCAGGAACGCCCCGCACGTAAACCAGACAGGTGTGGAGACGGTTCGTCCCTGCCCCGCACGCGCCCTCTTATGAGTGCCACCTGTGCTCGTCGAGACAGAACCGCGCGATCGACCACGAGCCCCAAATCGCCGTGACGACAACGAAAAGTCAACATAACACATTACCAGACCACGACGTACTGCTGCGCGCGCGCCTGGCGCAATCTCATGGCCGCCCTGGACAACAGGTCGGCCGCATCCACGTCCTTCGCCGCGGCGTGGGCCCGCTCTACCAGTAAGAAGCCGCGGAGGTAGTTGTCGCAGATCGTAAAATACTGGATGTCGTTGACCAGGGCATTCACCTTTGTAGGAGACGGCGGTTCGTCATGAAGCGTCGCCAGGTACTCTTGCACAAAGGCGCGCCGGTCCGATAGTTCGGGAAGGTCCTCACAGTCGTCGTGGAGCGCCCTTGCTAAGTCCCACGCGGCGTAGTCGACGCCCGCCGCGCCCCAGTCGACTAGTCGCGCGTCGGCGTCGTCGGACCGCAGTATCAAATGCGCCGCGGCGGCGCCGTGGCACAGACACACATGTGCCTTGGGCGGCACCCTCGCCTCGAGCTGGTCGAGGTTCCGGACGAGCAGTGCCGAGTCGAGGATCGGAGAGACGTCTTTATATCTCGTCTTGACGAGGTGGCCGCGCTCGCCGAAGCTCAGGGTCCTCGCAGTTTCACACGCGCGCCTCAAACCAATCCACGACCGCGGCTTGTCTGAATCACATTTGAGGGAGTGCACCGCCGCCAGCGCCCGCGCGAGCCCATCAATAGCGTCCGGTTTCTCGTGCACTTTGGCCGGCGTGTGGTAGACGTAGTACTCCTCGACGTGGCCGTTCACAAAGGTTCCGAGAATCTTCGGGCCGATCGCCTCTGTTATATCAACCTCGAGGGCCGCATCGCATCGCAGGGGCTTGTAGAGTCTGACGAGGACGTGGTCGCCACCATCCCAAGTGACGCAGCGGTGCGGCGAGTCCGAGGGCACGATTTGTAGTTTGGTCTCGTGGCCGGTGACGAGGCGCTTGACGGCCTCGAGGGCCGTGGCGTCGTCGGTGACGGTGATGTTGACGCGCTTGATGGGCGTCTTCAGTAGCTGCGCCGCCATTTATAGCATCAATGCGCGCGCGTCGACCAAGGGCTCCTAGATGCCTCTTTGAGTGCTGCCCCTGAAGCTGCTTTTTCGCTGCCCGAAGCGGCTCCAGCTGGAGCGCTGCCGTCTAGGCGATCGATTTGCGTCCTGTCCTTGCAATTACTGCGGTAGATGAGACTTTTGCGCCGCGCTCGTTTTTATAGCTTGCTAGTGTCTTACATGCCGCTAGTTTGATTTCATAAACCCAAAAAAGCCCTGAAGCGCGTCCCACAAGTGCTTATACGTACGCTCTGCACGCGCAGAGGCATCTATCAGCCATACGCTCCACCTGCGCTCGACGAAAAAGTCAGCGGAGGCCACAGCTGTGCAGCATCCTTTGAGAGCCAGCCATCACTCATCTCACTGCGCGCGCGCGAAAGCACGCAAGCAGGAATACCAGCCATCACTCATATCACCGCGCGCGCGCAAGCACGCAAGCAAGCACCATGGCCGCGCAACTAGCCGCCGCCGGCCTAACACCCAAGTTCGCCGACCTGGTCAACATGAATAGGCCGAAACCCCAGGACAACGCCCAATTCGCCGCGTGGTACACATTTAGTCATAGTGGCGGCGAGTTCGAGGTCTGTTTACGACCGGGCGGCGTCTTCTACTCGCCCCAATACGCGGCCGCGTCGCGGTGGTGCGTCCTGCCCAACGGGTCCTCGATAGCGATTAGCTGGGGCCGGTTCGGGGATTATAAGCTCGACGTAACAGATGCCGTGCTAAGGGAGTTGAGTGGAGCGCGCTGGGCGGACAATGCGGCCTGCACGGGTCCAAATGACTGGCGGCGCATGAAGGCTATCAGACCACTCTCACCGGTCGAGCTCAAATTGCTCTCTCCAACGGGAGGCGGCACGGAGTGGAGCTTCGAGTACGCGTCGGGCCGCTTCGCGGTGCAGTTCAGAGGAGACGGCTACAACCACTTCTCGTGCCACTCCTACCCGGCGCACTCGCACTGGTCTCTGTCTGGAGACGAGCTGACCATTAACTGGGGCCAGTACGGTACTTATGTGATGAAGTTCACCTCGGAGACGACGGCCGAGGGCTCGCTGAAGGGCAAGCCCGCGGACTGGCGCCGGATGAAGTACGTCCGCGACCTGGACGCGGTCGAGGCCTCGGAGACGTGCGGCCACGACCACGACCACCACTAGTGAGTAAGGTTATCGCCTAGGCCGCTTCCGCCGGATCGGCTCCTCCTCCTCGTCCTCGTCCGAGTCGTCCGACGCGCCGGCCGCATCCCCGAGGCCGTTTAAGAAGGAAGGCGAGTCGACAGCCGCCCGCGCCGCCTCGCGGCTCATGTGGCCCGTTAAGCGCGCCGGCGGCTCTTCGTCAGAGAACTCCGCGTCCGCCGACGCCTCGACGGCGTCCTCCTCGTCGCTCGCCACGATGAACCCGTCGTCGGACTCGTAGCGCGAGCTCCGCGACCCGGCCGACTCCACATCGCTCTCATCTGGCGCCTGTGCGTCCAGCGAGCGGTGCACGGCTATCCTCAACTCCAACCCGCACTCCGCGTCCACCAAATCCAACACTAACCAGTCGCCGACGCTCTCCCAGGGCTCGCCGCCGCCCCACACATCAACATCGCCGAACCAGGCCTCGCCCCGCACCAACGCCGCGGTCTGCGCCCAGGGGCCCCCGAACGAGGGCGCATTTTCGCCTTCGAGCACCACGCTCCGATCGGCGTGGTCCCGCGCGATCAGGCAGTCGTCGTCTCCCGTAGTCGAGAGACACACGGGCAACGGCTCTGACAGAGTGTCCTCGTCGTCCTCGGCCTTCAGGACGCAGACCCCAAAGTTCGCTGAATCATGGTCGATGTCCCACCGATCCAGCCTTAATGCTAGAGCGATGCGATGCGACGTGCCCTCTCTTCGGACATTTCTAGTACAAACAGCTAATCGTTTCCCGAATTGGATGCGCCGCCACCCGACGGGCGGGTCGTTCGCCGACGCCGCGACGAGGCACTCACCTAACGCGTCGTCGATTTCCCGCCGTCTTTCTTCCGCCGCTTCCTCCGCGGCTCTCGCGCGCTGGATGGAGTCGTCGGCTTCCCGTTCTTCTGCCGTTCTTAGGAGTCTACATGCATTTCTCAGAGGTATGGACGTCGGTGTTTCTTCATCTTCACCCTTACGTAAAGGCGCTCGGCACGCGGGGCACCGGGCGCGCTTCGGTTCGCTACGTAGTCTCAACGTAGCGGCACAAGCTCGACAGTACGCGTGGCCGCACCTTAATGCAATAGGATCGCGGAATAAAGATAAACACACAGCACACGTCATCTCCTTCCTTAATTTTTCAGTGATGTCCAACCCATCGTCCGACTCCTCGTCGTCGTCGTCGGCGCCCCGGTAGTGCTTCTTCACCGCGTCCAAGCTCACGAAGCCCTCGTTGTCGTTTTCATCATTCGTGTAGCCGCCCTGCGCCGACGCGGCGGCGATTTCGGGGTCCTCCTCGTCGAACTCGGACATCGCGGCCGGCGTTGTCTTTTCGTTCGGCGGCGACGGTTTTTCGACACCCGCGCGGTCGTGGCAGCGCTGGCCCTATGCGCAGACGACGCCTGCCGGGCGTGTCCGAGGCTGCGCGGCAATATATGGCGCCGGATAAATCCTGGCCTTGTGACCCGGTGGCTGTGCGTCGCCTACGCTGTCTCACAGCTGCTCGCGATTGGTTGCGCTGCTCTGAGAGGCTGGCAAGTAGCTCTTGTGCAACCAGATGCTGTAGCGGCCACTCCCTCGCGCGCACCGCAAATCTCGTCTCCGATTTTTCTAGCGACCTGTAAGACACTAGCCGGTTTTATTTGGAGCTCCGCCCACGAGTCCTAGCACCGTCACAGAAAGACAGACACACCATTTGTACCAATCTAAACAACAACTCACGCACCAGACGCAGAAAACTCCGGAAACAACCGTTGCACGCCGTCGCCGCCGCCGGCACCCCCGACGAGCCGCCGGTGCAGTTTCTCGTCGAACCACGGCCGCGCGAAGACGAGGTACAGGATCGGCCGCGCGTGTTTCGAGCGGTTCGCGCCGCCCGCGTGCTGCGTCCGAGAGTCGAAGATGATCGCGTCGCCGGCGTCCACGTCGAGGATGGCCGGCGCGCCGGCCGTAGAGGAGCCGGGCGCGTCCGCCTCGGCCTCTAACGCATCGCTCGTCCAGCGCTGGTGCGAGCCGGGCAGGAAGGCCGTCGGGCCGTTCGCCTCGTTCAGGTCGCAGAGCGGCAGGAACACGACCAGCGAATGGGCCGGCTGCGTTCGGGTGGCACTCTCGTGTTCGGCCCAGACTTCAGGCGGAACCCTCGGCGCGTCGGCGTGGTACGCTTGGTCGCTGGCGCCCGGCAGGCCGACGACGAGGCCCCTCCTCAATACGGCATCCTCGCCGAGCGCTGCTCGGACCTGTGGCCATATCGCGTCAAGCGGCAAATCGAACGGCGGCGCTTCCAATGCTCCGCCCAGCCTCAGGTCGAGCCGGAACGGCCCGCGCTGCGACGCGTCGGCGAAGTGAAACCCGGCCGAAGCGTCGCCGGCGTCGGCGCCCCTCGCAGTCGCCCGACGCGTCGCCTCGGCCGCGAGCTCCTCCGCTCTCGTCCGAGCGACAGCGACGGCGTCGCGACAGACTGCGTTCCGTCGCACGACGACGCCCGCATACGCGAGCAAGTCGGCGTCGCGCGCCGAATCGCTGCCGACCTCGAGCGCCGCGGGCGACGTCAATTCCCACGGCAGAAGCTGCAATGGGTCACCGCTTGGCGCTGGTGGACGGAGCCAGTGTTCTACTCTCCTCAACCACGAGGGTGCCTCGGGTGCCGCCCAAGACGTTTTGCGAGCAGCATTTGCAAGCACTGCTGGGTGGCGTGTGATGCGGCGCGTGAGCAGCAGCATTGATGCCCCAGCTCTCCTCAGCCCTTCGATAGGTCACCACTGGGCCTGTGATGAGCTGTGAGTGATCAATTGCTACGCGCAGCCGACGAGTTGAGTCTGGCTCTCCGGGCACAGGCTCTGCCAAAGCAGGATTGCATCCCCAGTTCTCAGCGGCTAGCGGCGCAAACCACGTTCTGGGACGTTGCTGCATCGCTGTGAACCGCATACAGCGCGTAACCTTGCGGGCGGACGGCGAAAGCGTGCCCACCTCACACAAGACAGAGCTCCCAAGCTTGCAAGCCGTGAGGCAGGCAGTGATGCGTAGCATCTTCCTCATCGTGGCCTCGGCCGCAGCGCTCACGCCGACGACGCGGCGCGCCTGGACCCAGTCTCTCGCCGCCGGCACGGCGACGATCGCGACCGCCGCGGCCGCCGAGGGCCCACCGGGCGGCTTCAAGGCCAAGCCCGTCGAGCAGCCGACGTCGAAGGTCAACATCAACACGTCCCAGGCGCCGGCGTACATGGACTGCCCGGGCATGTGATATATGCGGCGTGGCACCGACACCTTCGATCAACATGACACCTTCGACATGACACAGGTACCCGACGATCGCGTCCCGCATCGTCGAGCACGTGCGCTACGAGGGCCGCTTCAAGAAGGTGAGCGACCTCTACGACGCGGAAGACATCATCCAGGGCAACGACAACATCAAGGCCGCCATCAAGCGCAACGAGGCGCGACTGGTGGTCAATTAGCTGGTAAAAACACAAACAAACACTTAGTCAGTCGTCGTCCGACGAGTAGTCAGCGACGAGTCCCTGCGGCGGCGACCGCGACCGGGACCGGGACCGGGACCGCTCGGGGACGGGCGTCGGCGGCCGGTCGCGGTGGGACTTTGGCTTTCGATTGGGATCGTGTTGCCAGAATTTGAGCTCCGTTGGCTCGGGCGCCGCAGCGACGTCGTCGTCGTCGAGGACGCAGGTCAAGGGACGCCCGTCGAAGGATAGCCCGCTCAGCTCCCGCGCGCACTCGCCGGCACTCAGTGAAGACGAGAATTGCACCAAGACCTCGCAGGCCTCGGCCTCGCCCACGGCGCGCCGCAGGGGCCCGAAGCGCGAGCACTCGACGGCGATCGCGTCCGCCGCGCGGCGCACGAACTCATCTCCCGCGCCCACGCCCCACGCATTGCCGACGCGCACCGTCGTCGGCTTCCGCGGCGGCGCCGTCGGCACTCCATGATCGTCGAGGAGCGGGCCGTCTTCCTCATCTTCGCGCAGAAAGTCGGCACAGAGCTGCCGGCCCTTCACGCGGCGGCCGTGGAGCGCCCGCACGCAGCGCTCCGCCGCCTCCAGCTCCGCGAACGCGCAGACGACGTCGCCCGCCGGCGACACGGCCACGCGCCGCGCGAAGCCGAAGCGCGCGCCCAGTTCCCGATAGGCCACATCTAATTCATTGCGCTCCTCCGCCGGCAAGTACGGGTTCGGCGGATCCACAAATCGCTCGATGTAAACGACGCGCGTCGCGGCCGCCGTGCTGACGGGCGGCAGCGCGGTCTCCGTGGTCTCGGGCTCCGGCGCTGGCGGCCTCTCTACTCGCTTGATTGCCTCGGCGTAGGCTTCCTCGGACATCCACGCCGGACGATTTGTTGGTCTTTGGGCCATCTCTGCTAGGCAGTGTTGGTGCGCGCTGTCAGAGCCTGAACCGCTGCTACCGTTGTGCCCTGCTGTCAGATATGCACGAATGAGTTGTTGTGGCCCATCGTGTAGTGTCTAATCGATCGATTTGGAGCTGTGCGTTGTGCCTGTAATGCTAGTGTGTGTCGGTACGCTAGGATTATGCTCTCCGGTGTGCGTCACGAGCTCTGCACGCCATCGACGCGGGCTGAAGGCATCGGTGAATAACTGCAACGGAGTCTCTCGTGTAGCACCCGTGGGCTGAGCAAGTGAGACGCAGCGATGCGTGCTGTAGTCTTAGCACTAGCGGCCTCCGGCGCGGCCGCTCTACAGGACTCACGGGTCACGCCGTGCCCGCTGTACACGCCGAAGATCACGCTCAACCAGCCGCCGCGCGTCGCCACTCTAGCGATGGGCTGATTCTGGCACCCGCAGGGGTCCTTCGACACGACGCCCGGCGTCGAGAAGACCCTTGTGGGGTACACCGGTGGGGAACTGTTCGAGCCAGTGAACAAATCAAATTGTCGCGACGCGTCTCCACCATGCACGCCATCGACGCGACGCCAGCTCGATGGCGTGGCGTCGTGGTCTATTACCGCTCGTTTCAGCCAACATGGCCGCACCCGACTCACTAGTTGATTTATGCACAGGTTCGAGCCGACCTATAAGCGCATCGGCGACCATACCGAGGCGATCCTGATCGAATTCAACGAGGAACTGACGTACGAGGACATCCTCGAGAAGTTCTGGAGGGAGCACACGCCGGGCATCGCGATGCGCCAGTACCGGTCCGCTGTCTTTTATCATGATGAGGCCCAGCGAGAAGCGGCGGAGACGATGCAGGCCCAGCTGATTGCGGACGGCAAGAAGTGGTGCCGCCACACAGCTATTGAACCCGCGATGCCCTTCTGGCAAGCGGAAGAGTACCATCAAAAGTACCTGGCGAAGATGCTCTCGATGAACTCGATGCTCTACGGCGAGGAGCGGAAACCGATCCCGCCGTGAGTTCTCGCGCTCGGACGACCCATGACGGCCGCGCGCCCCTCCCTTGGGTGCGCGGACCCGACCCTGTCGTCCGGCGCGGACCACAAGCGGCGAGTAGAAGTAAGAACCTGTGTTTTACGTGTCGCTGCAAATCCGAGCTAGCGTATTGACACACTAGTTTTTGATCGATGACCGAGGCCACACACGCTGCACCTTGCGCATATTGCATAAAGAACGCTCGCTGGTATTTGCTTGCAGTCTTACACACGCCCGAGCGACTGAGGCAACTCCGACACCCGTGGCGCTTGCCGTGGACTTGAAATCACAGAGAGCGTAGCAGCGAGCGTGATGCTGCTGCAGGACGCGAAGCCGTCGGCTAGGACCCGAGCGGCGAAGCTCTGGGCGACGCTGTTCTACGGCCACGTCCACCGCCCGGAGGACCGCGACGCGGTGGTCAAAGGCGACACGATGCTCGCGCGCTGCTACCGCGCGTCGCCCTGGGCCTACGCGCTGCTGGGAAGCACGATGGTCGCGCTCTCGGCGCGGCTGCGGGCCCGGGACCCGGGTTACAATTGGCAGGTCTTGGGAATGGCACTTGTCGTCGAGAGCGCCGTATCATATCTGTCGGACGTGCGCGCTTTTGGTGATGCCTCTAGTCCGTGGCACGCCACAGATCGCATGCTGGCCAGCGCATTGATGCTAGCCTGCGGACCGCTCCTAGCGCTCCGGCTCGCGATCGGAAGTGTCACGATTCCCCGGACACTTAGGAACGCGTGGGCGCTCGCCGTGACCCTCGGCCTGGCCTGCAAGGCCCTCTCGGGCCGCGCGTCGCGGAAGGGTTGCCTGGACGCGTACCTTATGTGGCACACGCTCTGGCACTTCCTGCCGGTGCTGTCGTCCGTATTCCTGATCGCGTGGGCGATGGACTGGGAGGAGGAGGTTGTCCCTCTGGCGGCCCAATACTAGTGTCGTATATAATGTCTTTGTGTATAAGCCGTAGAGAACATCGCGCCATCGGCGCAATCAAAACGGGTTTCCCAAGATAGCCAACTGCAGAGTCTGTGGCAGCTGCGGCGTCGCGCGTCGGCGTCGGCGGGATCTCAGTGAGAATTTGCTCTGGCCTTGTGGCGCGATTTCCGAGAAGCCGACGGCTCGACAGGACGTCTCAGAGGTGAAACCGAGTGATATATCCGGAGAGCCCTCGCTTGCCACATGGCCGCGGCGCCGGCGCGCATGGAGCGCACGCGCTCTGAGGCGTCCGTCGGCTCGCCCCACTCCACCAGATCCCCCCGCAAGGAGGAGGCGACCGACAACACAAAGGATGTCGTCCCCTTCGACCGGCCCGACGCGGCGGCCGCGCGCTGGTATCAACGAAGGCTCCCCCGGTTAGTGATCGCGCCCGTCGCCGGCCGCGCGCGCCAGCAGCGGTTGAGGGTAGGGCGGTTGTCGCTGGACGTCCTCGCGGCGTCTAGACTACCGGTCGCCGACTTGGGCGGCACGACGCGGCTGGGGCCCGTGCTACGTGGCGTCGTGCATGTTCGGCGCGTTCGATATCGCGCTCGCCATGTCCGGCGCCGTGACGCTCGCGATGATCGGCAACCCGGACGAGTACGAACGCATCGCGGGCCCGATCTTCCAGAGCTACAAGTTCCAACTACGCATCTTCTGCACATCGTGCACCGTATTAATGGAGCTGGCGTGGCGCGGGCGGTACGACCTGTACATCAACTTCATGGACAACTCCATCGAGCGCCTCACGACGGGCTGGCTCCGTCTCAGCGCCGCCGATCTCGCTACTGTGAGGGACATGCAGGGCACAGACACTGTCCTCGGCCTCTCGCTTGTTAGCTTTAACGCTATTTATGGAAAGCCTGCTTACATTTTAGCCGCGCTCGCGAGGGCCATGTCCCTGAACGGCGGGATCATCCCGAACCCGCTTAGCCCGCGGCGGCCGACGGGCGCGCGGCAAGCTCACGAACTGGGTATGCGCGCGATGTTGCGACAGCTTTCGAGGAACGGCGGCGCCCATAGGATTGATGAGGATGATTGGTGGCGGATTATCATCTGGTTAAGCCTCTTCGGTGGCCTCACGGCCGCTTTCTGCATCGTCGGGCCGATGCTCGCTCCGGACGACCCCTACACCAAGATGGTGGACCGGGCGCGCTTGGATGACGGCTTGCTGACGTTCGACGACCTGGAGGCGCGCCGAACGTTAACCTACGCCGTGCCCTACCGTCGCGAGGCGCGGATCGGCGGCGCGCGCGGCTACGGTCGGCCCGGCGGCATGCCGCGGACCGTCGCCCAGATGAACGCCGCGGCCATTCCCCTCGAGACGCTCGGCGGGAACATCCCGCAGCTGGCGCACCCCGCCGACCCCCCGCGCGACGCCCACATTGGTCCGCCGGAGCTCGGGGGCGTTGGCGTCGTCCGACGCCAGGAGATTCGCGACGAGGCAGGCGTGGACCAGCCTCAAAACCCGGCGCAGCGCTAGATCTGCCGGGAATTCCTAAGCAACTTTTCGATATATACCACCAGGAGACCGTGTCGGCGGTGCCGCCGCGAGGCTAGACCGAGTCTAAGAATTCATACTAATTAATTACTCGCCAATTGACGACGCCACCGACGCCTTCGACTCGTCGTCGACAACGCGTCGCGTCTCGGCGACGTCCCGGCGCGTCTGCGCGAGCGCCTCGAGGAGCCCCGCAAGCTCGGCCTCAGACGCCGCGAGGCGCGTCTGGGCAGCGGCCAGGACGGCGGGGTCCTCGGCCGGCTCGGCCGATCCCGCGTCGGAGGACTCCTCAGGCGCTTGCGGAGCCGGCGCCGGCGCCGGTTCCGGTTCCGCCGGTCGCGTCCCGCCGTTGACGGCGCGCGCCTTCGACAGCAACGACCGCGGCCGCTCGACGGAGGAGGAGGCGGCGGTCGAGCTGTCGGTCGACGACGCGATCGACTCCGACTCGAAGGCCTCGAGGCGCGGGCCGAGGTCGCCGCCGTCGAGCGGGCACGCGGCTTCGTCCGCGAGCGGCGGGTCTGGCTCCGTGGCCGCGGCGCGCCACCGCGCCGCCAGGTACGACTCGACGCTCTTGCGCGTGTTGTGGGCGGGCGACGGCGACGGCGGCGGCGACTTGCGCAGGTTCCGGCGGCCGGCGGCGATCTGATCTTCGAGCGAAGAACTGCTCGCCGACGGGCGGAGGCCGCCCTCGGAGGCAGGCTCCGGCGATGGTGATGGCGGTTCTCGCGTCGGTGCCACGCGCTTGAGCGACGCCCGGCGCGACTGGAACTCGTGTCGCGCCGACGCGGGCTCCGCAGGTACCGTGGGCGCGGCCGGAGCGGCCGGAGGCGTCGGCGCGGCGGCCGGTGCCACGGGCAGCGCGGCTACTGTGGGCGCGGCGGGAGCGGCCGGAGGCAACACGGGCAGCGCGGCCGCCGCCGCCGCCTCGGAGGCGGCCTGCGCCGCGGCGTCCATGGCCGTGAACGCGCGGTCGCAGCGCGCCGCCGCCGCGGCATCCGCCGCGGCGCGCGCCGCGGCCGACGCGACGGCTGCCTCCTCGAGCTCGCGCAAGCGAGCGGCGCGCGCCTCGAGCTCGGCGAGGATCGGGGCCGCGGCGGCCGTCGTCGCGTCGTCGCGCGGCGCCGGCCGTTCCGCGGCGCGCCGGAGCTCTTCCATCTCCGCGCGGAGGCGTGCGTTCTCGGCTTCGCGCGCCGCCGCGGCGCGCTCCATTTCCTCGCGGAGGCGCGCGTTCTCGGCGCGCAGAGCTTTCTCGGCCTCGGCCTCGGCTCGTGTTTCCTCGACTGCGGCGCGCGCGGGCGCGTCGGGCGCCGGCGCCTCGTCACGGACCACGCGCTTGAGCGACGCGCGGCGCGACTGGAACTCGTGTTGAGCCGAAGGCGTCGGCGCGGCGGGGGCGGCCGGAGGCGTCGGCGGCCGGGCGGGCGTCCAGACGAAGTCGTCCGGCTCCGCAGGCGCGTCGGCGTCCCGCGCGGCCTGCTGCGCCGCGAGGCGCTCGAAGTCGCGCTTGCCCGCGTCGGTCTTCAGCGCGCCGATGAGGTCGCCGACGAGGCCCTCCAGCTTGGCGTCGTCGGGCCTCGGCGGCGCGGCGGCTGCGTCCGGGCCGTCCAGCAGCGTGCCGAGGCCCTGGAGCGCCGAGCACAGCTCGAGCTGCGCCGCGAGACCGCCCGCCGTAGACGCGGGCTCCGGCGCAGCCGTGTGCGCCGGGGCAAAGACGGGCGCCGGCGCGGTAGGAACGGCCTCCGGCGCGGCGACGGGTTGCGGAGCAGGCGTCGGCGCAGCCACGGGCACGGGCCGCTCCCACGTCGTCTCGTGCGTCTCGGTATGGTACCAGTAGACGTCGCCCGTCGGCGCCGTCAGCGGCGCCCAGGCGCCCGCCGGCGGCGCCGGGGCGGCGGCGGGTTGCCGCGTAGGCTCCGGGACGGGCGCCGCGGCCGCCTCCAGCCTCGCCTCGAGCTCGGCGATCCGGGCGTCCCGCGCGGCGAGCGCGCGGGCCGTCGCCGCCAGCTCCTCCGCCGCGCCCGCCGGCGCCGTAGGAGGCACGGGCCGCTCCCACGTCGTCTCGTGCGTCTCCGTGTGGTACCAGTAGACGTGGCCGTCGGCCGTCGTCAGCGGCGCCCAGGGGTCCTCGGCCGCGTCTCCTACCGGCGACGCTTGTTCGACGCCAGTCCGCTCTGCGGCGTCGTCATCCTGTGCTCGGTGCCGATCTGCCGAAGCTTGTTCGACGCCGGTCGGCGCCACGGCGTCCTCCGGTACCCAGTGCCGATCTGCCACCTGGTTCCGCACGGCGGCGACCTTGTCGACGGCGGCGCGCGTGACGGCGGCGAGCGCATCACCTAAGTCCTCGGGCGGCAGGCGCGCCGAGGCCCGGAGCTCTGCGACCTCGTCCCGCAGTCTCTCAATCTCGTCGTGCGGCTCGGGGTCGCGCCGGACGGCGCCAAGGATCGCCGCCCGGAGCTCCGCGAGCTCGCCCCGGAGCGCGGCCGTCTCCTGGGCCGCGCCCTCGGTCCGCAGCCGGATCACCTCGTCCTCGAGGACGCCCGTGCGGCGCCGGACCTCGTCCTCGAGCCGCGCGGCGTGCTCGACGAGCAGGCCGACGGCCTCCATCGTCGTCGGCGACGCGGGCCCGTCGTCGTCGCGGACATTCGGCCGCGCCGGCGGCGACGCCGCGCTCGATGCGTCGTCGCTGTCGCGGGGCATCGACGCGGACTCGTCGTCGCTGTCGCCGTCGGCCGCGAGCGACTCGAGCTTCTCGAGGGGCGACCGCGGCGGCTGTTGCTCGCGGACGGCTCTGTCGCTCGCTTGGAGGACGGGCGCCGGCGCGGGCCGCGGCAGCGGCCGGGGCCGCGCCCAGACGATGTCGTCGTCGGCGTCCTCGGGCCGGGGCGGCGACCACTCGACGACGCCCTGGTGCACGAAGGGCGGCGGCGGCGGCGACGCCGCGCGCGGCGTGCCGGGCGACCACGCGGGCGGCGGCGGCGGCGGCGCGGCCGCGACGCGCGCCGGCGGCGCGCGCGGCGCCTCCTCGGCGAACAACTGCGCGTCGTCGACCTGGACGACCGTCGTCCGCGTCGTGCGGCGGACGACTTGCGCCGGCGGCCGCGCGCTCCAGCTCGGCACCTTGGCCGGCCCCGGCGCGCGCCAGGCGGGGCGCCGCGGCTTGTTCGCCGGCCGCCGCAGCGATGTGACGTTCATGGTTGCTTGCTTGCTTGTGCCCTACAGGCCGCCAGCCCCACGCGGGATTCCCAAAGCGCGGGCTGCTGCGACCGACCAGAATGGCGCTGTGCAGCCGATCCCTACGCAGATGCAGCGCGGCCTGACAAAGGGCTCGGTGCGAAAGAGCAGAACAGAAAGGAGAACGGCTTCTTGCGTTCGCGCCGGTTCGGCAGCCCGCGCGCGCCGCTTTCGGAGCAAAAAACAGTGTGGGCTGCCCCCCAAAAAGCCAAATTCGGGTTCCAATCGACGCCCGAGGCGTCTGGGCCTCCGAAGGCTCGTCGCGCACGGGCCCATCGCTCGGGCGCGCCTGTCGTTTTAGATTCAAATTCCAAATTCCACGCCGCAGAGAGCTGTGCTGGAGCACAGTCTGAATTGGGACTGCTCTCTGCGCTGGAGACGAACAACTCACCTCCAGGGGCGCGCAGCGAGCGGAATTTACCCCCACCCCACGCCGCCGCCGCGAGGCAGCCTCCAAGCCGGCGCCGCGCCCGCGACAGCCACGCCGAGGGCCAAGCCCTCCCGATAATGATGCGCTGCCTCCTCCTCCTCGTCCTCCTGGCATGGTCCACCGAGGCCGGCTTCCGCATGGAGGGCTACGATTCGGGCGAGCCCGGGAGCGGCCCGTGCGAGAGCCACACGCTGTCGTGGGCCGACGCCCACTGGACGAACCTCCAGAATCCGCACGAAAGTGTTGACGATGTGGCCTGCCTCGACATCTACGAGGACGAAATCCCCGTGAGCATGAGGATCGACGCGTCGGCGTGTTCAGCATGGTCATCAGAGTCGAAAATCTGGATGACGACGTACGACAGCCACGGCTGCGGCAACGACCTGGACGCGTCGTTTAATTTTACCGATGGCCAGTGCCGCAAGCAGGAGACGGACCCGTGGTCCTGCTTCTTCTACCAGAACAACGCGTTTCACTACGGCCGCTGCTGGAACATCTTTTCGGTTCGTTTATCGTGCTGGGACGGGTCCCATCCCACGAGCGACGACGACGACGACGCGCCGGCCACGGCGTCTACCGAGGTCCTCGTCGTTATAGGTGTCCTGCTCTTACTCGTGGGCGTCGGCGCGGGCGTCTTCGTGTCCCGACGGCGGCCGGCGCCGGAGGCGCCGGCGGTCATCCAGATGGCGACGCATGTTGTGGTCGACGACGGCCAGATGGCCAAGGCGGACCCCGAGTCCCCCGCCGCACCACCGATCGTCGCGAGCGCGGAGGAGGTGCCCGCGCCGGTCTGGACCTGATCGATATCCTCCCCCAAGTCCCCTCTCTTGTATTGTCTAACTTACTCCTCCATCGCCGCGATGCCTGTTCCTTCCCTCCCCCATCCTCCCCCCTGTACTGTCTAACTTACTCCTCCATCGCCGCGAGGCCGCCCGCCGGGCTCTGCCGCATGTACATGACGTTGTTGCACCGAATCAAGATCTCGCCGAGCGCGCCCGCGAGCTGGCCGTCGATGTACTCCTTGGCGTCGCCTAATTGCACATTCATGTACGAGTCGACGCTCAGCAGCTTGCCCTCGTACTCCATGCCCCATTTCAGTTTCACGATAACATCTTTTCCCGTGAGGTCGTTGAGGAACCTGCGCGCCGATAAAACCAGTGAGTCTGTGCGCCAGTCGAGCAGCGTCGCGTCCATGGCGTGGCCGCCACGACGTTTGATTGATGCGCGGCGCAGTGCGGCTTGGGGTTGACGATGGACATGGTCGCAGAGCGTCCTCCGTGTCCTCAACTGCTTCACTATCGGTCGTGGACGCGCGCGCCTCTTGGGCTTCGCTTCGCGCGCCTCGCTACCTCGCCGCTGCTGCGCGCTACCGCCTTGGCCTCGCTGCTTATACAGGCCTAAGCTGTCACGTAGTACAGGTGGCCGGAGCGCTGCAGTAGTATCTTTTCTCTTCGGCAGAGCACGAGTGCCTGTTCTAAGGCCTCGCTGTCGAGTTTTGCCGGCCCAAGCCTGTTTGCTAGTGTCTTACACCGCTAGCCCAAGTTTTCCGGCGCACTTGCCCGCCGCAGGGCAAGCCCAGGGACGCCATCGACGCGACCGTAGCTACAAACAAGCTCTCTTAGGACCCCACGAAGTCCGGGTTCTCCGATGTCAGAAGGCTGCGGAGCCGCGCCGCCGCCGCGGGCCCGACGCAGCGCTCCTTCGCCGTCTTCTTCGGCACGCGCGCGACGCAGTCGGGGCCCTCGCTCCGCAGGGCCTCGACCAGCCTCGAATAGGAGGGAAATGCTGTAGAGACGGCCTCCGCCGCCGCGTCAGGTAACAGAGTGTTCAGCGCCGGCGCCCACGCGTCGGCGTGTTTGGTCGGTCGCGCCCGCTTCCAGCGCTTCACGTCGTCGACGCACTGGCCGTGCAGAAAGTCCAGCGGGTCGTCGTTGTTCTTGCCTCTCGTCCGGTCGAAGCGCCGCGCGTACGTCCGCGCCCACGTCGCGACGGCCTTCTGGGCATTGGCGCCCCGCTGGACCCAGATGAGGCGCGTCACTAATCGGGAATGACGCCGCTCCAGCTTGATAACGGCGTCGGCCCACTCCGGCCGATCGACGGCACAAACCAGCGCGCACACACAAATAGAGTCGTCTAGTATTTGGGCGAGCCTTTCATGGGCTTGAACCGCGGCGTCGCGGCCGTCGCGCGCGTCGATGACGCACAGACAGTGGCGCAGCGGCCTCGAACCGCCGTAGAACTCGACGCTCGCGGTCTGGCGCAGCGCCCTTCTAAATGCATTGGCGGGCGGCGCGTCTTTGATTGACTGTGGTGTGGCGAAGGCGCCACTTGCGTCGGGCCAGCGGCTCGCGAAGGCCTCGCTCGCGCGCGCCGTGATCGTCTGCGGTAGTGTTGGAGGCGGTGGCGGCGGCGCTGGCGGTGCCTCGCGCGGGCGCTTGCGCGGCGGCGGCGGGCTCGCGGTGAGGTCGACGGCGTCGACGGACGGCCGCGGCGCGGGTGGCGCCTCGTCGTCGCTGCAGAGGTCTTGCGTCGGCGCCGTGGGTTGCCGTCGCATCGGTGGCGGTGGTGGTGCCGGTGCTGGTGCTGGCGCCGGTCCCCGTCGGCTGCTGAAGAACGCCAGGAAGTCCTCGTCGTCCTCGTCCTCGTCCGCCGGGCGCGGCGCCGGCGCCGGCGCCGGCGCCGCCTCGTCGTCGTCGTCCGCCGGGCGCGGCGCCGGCGCCGGCGCGGCCGCCTCTTCGTCGGACGAGATCTCGATGCTTTCTGGCTGGGTGTGCTGGCGCCGCACCGGTGGCCCCGGCGGCGCCTCGTCGTCGCTCGACGCGCAGAGGTCGACTACCTCGGCCATGGCGCTTTTGTGGGTTCTTAGCAATGTGAGGGGGCCTTTGAAGAAACTCGTCGGGCCGGTCCGGGTAAGGCAAGCACGCGACGGATTCAGACCGCAGTTTGACTAGCGTGGCTGCGCTGGACTGAGAGATTTTGGCGCGCGCGGCCAAACGCAGCTAAGTGAAGAGACATACTAGAGTCCAGAGAGCCTGTGCAAAAACCGGCTGTAAAGTGCGAAATACGCACGCAGGATAACAGCGCAGGTGTTAGTCATCATTTATTTTGCCAATCGCTGCATTCTGCCGGCAGCAGACACGAAGCGCAGTCCTTATTGCTTACAAAAGGCAAGGCAGCCCAAAGCGCAGCCGCAGCGCGAGTAGGAGCCGCGTCGACAAGGACACCGCACGTTTCAGGCAAGCACCACCTGCACGCCATCGACGCGCCACAGCCAAAAGTGCGGCCACAACGCGAGTAGGAGTCGCTCCGGCAAAGGCACCGCGAGACGATGCCGCCAAGAAGAAAGCGCGCCGCGGCCCCCGCACGTAGAAGCGCAAGATTCGCCGAGCAAGACGCCGCCAACGAAAAAGCGCAAGAACACGCCAACAGGACGTATGAGATCGGGGATAGAGTAGAAGCAAGGTGGGACGGCCGGCCCGAGTGGTTCCCCGGGAAAGTGATCGCCATGAACGACGACAAGACCTATGATATACTGTATGACGACGGCGACGACGAGCTGAACGTGAAGCCCTCGCTCATGAAGCGCGAAGGCGAGCCCGATCCACCTAGTGTGGACGAGAAGGTCAAGAGAAGACCAAGACCGAAGTCGCCGCGACCGGGCACGCCCACGAGTGACGGTGAAAAACCGAAACGAAAAAAAGAACCGTATGTCATCCCGAAGCAGTACGACGTGTTGATGGAGGCCCTCGAGACGGAGGAAGAAAATAGGAGGTGGTTGATAAAACAAAAACGAGACGCTTTAGCTAATGACGATTCTGGGATCGTGCGACCTCCCAAAAACTTCGGCATGCATCCCCGGCGATATTCGTCGCGCGAAGGGAACGTCGTCAATTTCCCGAAGACCGACCACATGCCCGACGTGCTGTACGGTGATCAAAGACCTCCACAAGTACCCGATAAGAAGTGCTGCATCACGGGGAAGGTGGCTCGTTACAAATGTCCTAGAACAGGACTACCGTACCACGACCTCGCCGCGTTCAAGGAATTGCGACGGCGGAACGGGCTGTCGGACGGGCCGCTACGGACGAACACGGTCAAGGATTATGAGCTTGTGGATGCGGATGATCGCATAAATCGGGAGAAGCGGCATCCCGCGGAGCTGCCGCAGCGGCCGCCGGTCGAGGAGGACCTCGCGGACGCGTGGACCCGCCTCGGCGTTTAACTAACTAGTTGTTTCTGGTCTTGGAGCGGCCGCTCTCCGTCGCGGCGTCGTCCCGTCGCGACGCGTAGATGTATGAGTCGCGAACCCGATTTTTCAGCCTCCTTTGGCTGAGCCAGACTTGTTGCACGGCGCTGCTCGCTTACACGTCGACGGCGTAGTGTGCAGAGTACCGCGACGCCATCGCCGCCGCTGCTGCTGCACATTGATCTCTGCGAAACCGCGGTGCCTTGCCTGAACAAGCAGCCACTCCTAGCAGCCAGCACACCAGCAAGCCGCGACCGGCGCGCATCGATCGGCGAGGGCACAACAAACGTGCCGCAACAACTAGCAAAGAGATGCTGACCCGCCTCCTCCGACGGCCGCTCGGCCTCTGGCGCGCGCAGCTGCGCCTCGCGCTGCCGCAGGCGTCGCTGCGCCTCCTCGACCTCGTCGTAGCGCCGAGACCCGTGCTCGCCGGCGCCGCGCCCTACGACGCCGGCACGCCCTGCGACGCCGGCGCGCCCTGCGACGCCGGCTCCGCGCCCTACGACGATGCCGCCGCCGCGCCCGCGGACGACGACCATCATCTCTGGTTCGCGGTGCCAAAGTCGCGCATCTCGAGGTCCAAAAAACGCACCAAGGCCCACGGCCGCCTCCAGAACTTAAAATTCAAGCCGCGCAGCGACTGGCGCGTCGACGAGAATACAGGAAGGCCCGTGCTCCGCCACCGGCTGCTGGACTCGGACTTGGACGCGACGGTGGAGCGCGTCCGCGAGGCGAAGAAGCGAACTGAAGAGGAGGTGACTAAAGAAGATAATTAAGTAGCGAGAAGGGGGGTCAGCGCGCGGCCAGCGCGGCCTCGAGCTCGGCGACGCGCGCCTTGAGCGCGACGTTCTCCTCCTCGAGGGACTGCATCTTTTTCCGCTTGCGTTCCCTAGAGACCCGCGCGTGCTGGCGGTTGCGTTCCCGGCGGATGTCCTTCCTCGACTGCTCGGTCGCTTCGCGCTGCGACGGCGGCGGGCTCGAGCTCAGCGACTTCGAGCTCTCGGAGCCGTGCAGGCTCGAGGTTTTGGACGAGTCGTCGTCGTCGCTCGAGATCTGGGCCGCGGGACGCGCGAGCAGCGCGACGGCGGCCGCGACGGCGTCGGGCGGCGCCGGGCGGTAGGCGGCCGCCGGGCTCGCGCAGGCGTCGCTCAGGCAGGCCAGGAGCGCGCCGGCGGCAGTATCAGTGGGCCTCTGGGGGTCCTCACTCTCGGGGGCAGCGGCCGTGGCCATGGCGACGCGGCGGGAGGCAGCCCAAACCCCGGTCGCGCGTGCGGAACGAGGGTTCGAGGTCCTGGGCGCTCGCTGCCGCGTGCGCTGGCGTTTGTGTGGTGCCTGGCACCTTCAAAGGCGAGGCCTTCTTACCTCAATTGCTTCCGCTTCACTTTGCTGCTTCCGCCACGACACTTTGGTTGTCCGCGTTTGTTTGGGGGTCGGGGCGTCTTCCGAGCGGTCCGGAGCGCTCGCCGAGCGCGTTGAGGGCTGTTTTGGGGCTGGAATGGCATTTCGCTCCCCGGAGGCCGTTTCTTTTTCTCGAGGACGTGTCCGGGGCAGTGTATTGATGGTAGGGGTCGGAATACAGGCTCCTAGGTGGTCGGCAGGACTCACTTGCTCTTTGACGTCGTCTTTGAGCTTGGCCAGCGGAGCGCGGCGACGTATTGATTAACGAGAGGCGCCGGGCTAAGCTCAGCGTATCGCAGACGAGCTCGAAAGGCAAGCCAGCCGCAAAAAAAACGAGACGCGCAAGCTATAAAGCAGCTCTGGGGACCAGACTGCTAAAATCCAGCCCCTCAGCGCTCTAAATAAACCCTCGCGCCGCCTCGCGAGCCCGCACAGCCGCGCTCCATCGACAGGATGGTCACCGCCTCCCTCAAGCCCCCGCAAAAGCCGCCGACCGGCGCCGAGGCCGCCGACGGCGCGATCGCCGAGCTCAATTCGCTCATCGAGGCCAAGGCCGCGCCCGAGCCGCCGCCGCCGCCGCCGCCGCCGCCGAAGCCTCCTATAAAAGTCTCGGCGAAGCCCTCGTCTAGATTGAAAGACGACGACAAGGGTCCGCCGAAAGGTCGGAGGGAGAACGGACTGAGGAGGGGCAAGTGGACCGTCGAGGAGGAGGCCTACGCGAATCGGTTGATCCACGAGTTCAAGCTTGGATTATTGCCATTGACGGACGGTACTACATTAAGAACGTTCCTATCGAAGCTATTGAATTGCGACCCGATGCGCATTTCCAAAAAGTTCGTCGGCCAGAACTGCATCGGCAAGCAAGTTTTTAGGAGAAGGCAGCTCGAGATGGACCGTTTATCTCCAGAAGACATCAAACGAGCTAGGTTTGAATTAGCCGAGCTCGAAAGGCGCTTTCTCACTAGAGTAGCACAATCTCATCGCAGCGCCAAGGCGACGGGCAAGGGCGCCAAGGACAAGGGCCCGACCGGAGCGTTAGCGGCAGCCCAGCAGCGGCCTTTGGTGGCCCCCTGGCTCTTGCCGCCGCACGCGCAGCCCTCCGAGGCGCCTACCGTAAGGGCCGGCGCGGGCGCCGTGGCGATCGCGGCGCCGTTTGGCCTACCTAGAGATTATGGGCAGCGACCGGTAGTAGAACCGCCCAAACCTCCCGTGCCGGCCGTCGACCAGGCGCGAGCTAAAGCAGCGTTAGAAGGCCTCAAGCTCCCCACGTTACCGTCGGACGCGTCGCTCTCCTCGTTAGGCCTGGGCGCGCGGCCGCGCGGCGGGTCTTTCGCGTCCGTCGGCGAGCCCCTGCCGTCCTGGCCGTCCGCCAAAGACCTCAAGGGCTTCGAGACGCCCGGGGCCGCTCCGGGCATGTCGTCGTGGCCGTCCTTCTCGAAGCTCATCGAGGCCTCGGGGTCGTCGGCGCCGCTGCCGGCGCCCGTCGCGCTGCCGCCGCCGGCCGCGGCCGCGGCGGCGCCGCCGCCCGCCGCGGCGCCCGTGAAGCGCGAGGCGCCGTCCGCGACCGAGGGCGACGCGAAGCGCCCGCGCGTCGAGGCCGCGCCGCTCCAGTCGGCCGCGAAGCCGATGCGCGCCGAGGTCCGCAACTCGAGCGTCGAGAACTTCCTGTCCCTGGTCACGAGCGGCGACCTGCCCGCGCCGGCGCCGGATCTATTGTCCATGCCGCTCTCGGCGGCCGTGCGCGGCGACAAGGCCAAGGCGCCCGCGCCCGGCGCCGCGGCGGCCCCGGCTCCGGCGCCTGTCCCCGCCGCGCCGGGCGCGCCGGCGGCGGCCGTCGCGCCGGTCGCGCCCGCGGCCGTCGCGCCCGCAGCGCCGGGCGCGGCGCCGGCGGCGGTCGCGCCGGCCGCGGTGCCGGCCGCGCCGCCCGCCGCGCCGCCCGCCGCTCCCGTGGCTCCGGTCGCTGCTGCTCCGGTGGCGCCGGCCGCCGCTCCGGTGGCCGTGGCCGCCGCGCCGCCGCCGACCGCTGTTGCCGCCGCGCCCGCACCACCCGCTGCGGCGCCGGCGCCTCCCGCCCCCTGATTAAGCTTCTTCGTGTAAATATACACTACAGATATCACTTACACACCTCACCCCCCAATCAATCCCCCGCCACCGCTCCGCGCCCCGCCATACAGCTGCGAGTTCCCGCCCCGTCGCGAGAGCGGCGCCTCGCGAGCCGGGAGCTGCGGCCGCGGCGGCACCGTGCGCGGGCCATCGAGGCGCGGGGCTTCGGGTGGCGCGAGGCCGTCGCGCGGCGCCGACGACGACGACGCGCCGGCGCAGGAGCCGCCGCCCTGAAGTTCCGCGGGCTCATCATATGACGTCTGGTCGTCGCCGTCGACGGCGACGGCGTCCGACGGCCCAAGGAGGGCCAATAGGGTCCGCTCCAGCGCGCTTACGGCGATGGCCGCATCTCTGGCATCCACGAGCGGCTCGTCCAGTAAACTTTGACCCGCGGCGTCGTCGTCGGAAACGTAGACGCGGAGCATCGGCGCAAACCGGACGTCCTGCGCGCCGCAGCCCTCCGACCCAAAGCAGGCCGCCACGAGGATCCGAGCACCCGCGGCGCGGAGACCTCGCGCCCGAGCCGCCACCGCGGCCTCCGCGGCCGCCGCCGCGGCCTTGTCCGCGTCGGGCCTCGCATCGAGGTACAGCGCCACGCGCAGTCCGCCTTGAGCATGCCATTCGTCGACGTCGTCCGTGCGGTCGATGGAGCCCGCGACCTTGACGTGGGCCGCGGCCCTCGTGGCGTATGCTAGGAGGCGGTCCGGCAGGTCCGGCGCCGCCACGCGCCCGAACGAGACGAGCCGCGGCGCTGGACCGTCGCCGGCGCCGGCCGCAGCCGCTATCCTCGGCGACTCGCTGAAGCCCGGCTCGAGCGCCTGGCAGATCGGGTCCTCGAAGACGGCCGCGAAGCCCTTGCGCTCGAACTCGACCTTCTCGGAGCCGTGCCCGCCGCAGGCGAACCTGTGTGGAAATTAAATTTCGGGCGCCTCACGCCATCGACGCGATGTTGTCTCCGTAGCTGCGTCTGCTCGACGGCGTGGAGTTTCCAGGCCATCGACGCGACGCTGTCGCCGTGACCGCGTCAGCTCGATGGCGTAGAGGTATCCTAACTCACTGGTTGATTTCCACACAGACGCGAACGCCGCGAAGCGGGTCTCGACGCTCTGGGCGGCCGCGAGCTCTATGAGGGGTGCGACCGCTCGGGACATCATGCACGACGGGTTGTACAGCACGACGACCCACGCCACCGTTTTGTCTTGGGGCCGCACGCGCGGCGCGCCATTCTCATCAACAAGCACGTCCTCGGGCGATAACTCCAAGACATCTTGCGACGTCCCAAAGAGGCGCTCGGCCTTCTCCGCGTCCAACCGGAACTTCTCGCGCGCCTTGGCGTCGCCGCTCTTGAGCCCATCGTAGGCCTTTTGCGCCGTCGCGAAGAGCGCGTCCGCTCTCACCTGCGTGGAAATCAACCAGTGCGTCAGGCGCAACCCCGCGCCATCGAGCAGGCGTCGCGTCGATGGCGTGGGGGTCGACACGACGGTTTCCACACAGGCCCTGACAAGTTTCTCTCCGGGAATCTTGCGGCCGAGCCAGGACCTTTTATCGGGATGTAGGAGCCGCGACAGCTCCCGGAAGGCGCCCTTCACGGCGGCAGGCTCGGCGTTCCGGGCCACGCCCAAGACTTCCCAGGGCGGTAGCGTCGACGCGTCCGGCCGCGCCAGCAGCGCATCGATGCGCTCCACGAGCGCCCCGTCCCCCTCGTCCCCGGCGTCGCATCGAATACGCCACAACCGAGAGGGTAAGCCGTCGTTCGGCCCGCCGCAGGCCTCCCACGTCGCTTGCTCGAGGGCCGGCTTCCCAAACTTCCCGCCGACGAGGCACTCCCTCACAGAACTCTCCCGCGAGATCTCGTAGACGTCCCAGCGGCCGAGCTTGCGGAACGTAAGCGGCGTGCTCGTTTCGTCCGCGTACCGCAGCGAGTCCGAGCGCCCTCCGTCTACAGCGTCGCCGACTGTTGTGTTGGTTTCCGCGTGTGCTAGGACCGCGTCGTCGCCCTCTATATCGAGCCGCCAGCGGAGTGATGGCGATGAGGCACAGGGCTGCAGGAGCAGGCCGTTCCGCGGGCGCCGGCCGGGCTGCAGGTCGCTCTCGCTCTTCACACGGTAGATTGCCGGCTTCCGGAAGCGCGCGGTCACTTTCACGTCGTAGGCGAAGCCGGCCGCCGGTCTCACCGCGTCCACAACGCCGTCGAGCGGCGCGCGAGCATTCCGGACCACGACCGCGTCACCTACTTTGTATTTGAAGGCTCTCGTTCGCCCGCCGCCGCAGACGCAGCACTCGGTTGCGGCGCCGAGCGCCCCGAACTCGTCGCACCAGTCGTCGCCGCGCGCCGCGGCGGCCTCATACTGGGCGCAGCCGTTCGTGCCGTCCGTCCAGGTCGCGCTGTCGTCGCAGGCCGTCGTGCCCTCGGGCGGCGCGAGCGTGGCGTTGATTGCGGCCGCGTCGACGGCGAGGCAGCCGCCGCCGCGTTCCAGGGCTTCGACGCGGACGTCGCACTGCTTGAACGTCGCGAGTTGTGCTGCTGCGCGGGCGACGAGCAGGCCCGACACAAGGCTGGCGCAACGCATGGTTTGTGTCCACGCGTATTTATAGATCGCGCCGGATGGAGCAGCCCGACAGCCTTGTCCCGGCCCCTACCACAAGCCTTGATAGATCGCACCGATGGAACCGACAGCACGAGAGCACTGTCAGAGAATCTTACAAGCGCTGCATTCTTGTTTAATGGCGTCCGGCCGTACAAATCGTACCTCATCAGCCCGCAGGAGTTTGAGCTAGCGTCCGGTAAGACACTAGCAAGTTGGACACACAAATACAACTCCGCCCACTAGTCCTCTAAATACCCCTAATTAGGGGTATTTAGCGAGGCGCCAGCGAGCCGTTAGGGTTCTAACCCGTATTTAACCCGCACCTTTCAAACACTAACCCGCACGTATCAACCCTAACCCGCGTTCCCGTACCACCTGGGGGTACGGTTGCTTAAGCACGTGTGATAGTGCACGTGCTATAACAGCGAATTAGGTTGGGATGCTAATGCTAATCTAAAAGTGATTTAATCACCAAAATCGAACACGAAGTGTTCTTGTGCGCAGGGCGCCGCCGCAGCGTCTAAATCACCGCCGCGGCCACGCACAGCGCGCGCGGGGTGCACGGGGGCTCCTGCGTGCGCGAAGCGCTGCTGCGCGCACAAGAAATGCGCGCGCACAACACGCTGGCGGCGTGGTGTTCGCCAAGGGGTTCGCACGGAGCTCGCGCGTCGATTCCGCGCCGCCAATCGCGCGAGTCGCCGCTAGCGCTTCGCGCACGCAGGAGCCCCCGTGCACCCCGCGCGCGCTGTGCGTGGCCGCGGCGGTGATTTAGACGCTGCGGCGGCGCCCTGCGCACAAGAACACTTCGTGTTCGATTTTGGTGATTAAATCACTTTTAGATTAGCATTAGCATCCCAACCTAATTCGCTGTTATAGCACGTGCACTATCACACGTGCTTTAAGCAACCGTACCCCCAGGTGGTACGGGAACGCGGGTTAGGGTTGATACGTGCGGGTTAGTGTTTGAAAGGTGCGGGTTAAATACGGGTTAGAACCCTAACGGCTCGCTGGCGCCTCGCTCTAAATACCCCTAATTAGGGGTATTTAGTCCTAGCACCGTAACAATGAGCGCGACAATACAATGAGCGGCGGCGACGCCCGATACAGACGCCGTCGACGCAAGAAACGACGACTAGTAGATGTACACACGCCCGAAGCTTAGTCGAGGACGCGCGCAGAGATTCAGACGACGATCACCGCGAGGATGATGCCCCAGACGAAGGACACGACGGCGCACCAGAGGCCCCAGTACCGCGCCGGCAGGAAGCCGTACATGAACACCTTCGCCGGCAGCCAGACCTTGTTCGACGCGAGCACGAGCGCGACCCAGAACTGGTCGACCGACGACACCGTCGCGACGATCGACTCCAGCGACTGCCCCCGCAGCAACCCGAGCGCCGCCACGAAGCCCACGTTCAGGACCGGCCCGCCTACCACCAGATCGAAGAGCAGTTTCGCCGGCACGCTCAGGTTCTCGACGAAGTTGAAGAACACCAATGATAGAGGCGCGACCACTAACGCCGCCACCGCACCAAAATGCAGCGGCTTCTCGTAGTCCAATTCGTCGACCGGTATGCCCGCCAGCGACTGCGACGCGAGCGCCGACGCGAACGACATGAGGCCCGCCTGCGCGGCGTTCGTCGCCACGGGGTACGTCGCCAGGGCCCGGTCATAGAGCCCGACGGGCGGCGGCGGCTTGCGCTGGCCCTTCTTCGAGGACGGCTTCTTGCCGCGCGGCGCGGGGCTCTTCGCGCGCGCCGCGGGCTTCTTGGGGGCCGGGGACTTGCTCCGGGCCGCGACGCGCTTCGTGGCCGTCTGCTTGGGCGTGCCCTCGCCCGAGGCGCGCCGGGCGCGCGTGGCGACCATGGCTGCTGTGGTTGCCTGCGCGCGAGGCGACGCGGTCGTGTCTCGCGGTTGCGTCTCGCGGTTGCTCTCGCGGTTGCGCGTCGGCGGCGTGATGCGTGACGCGCGTGGTAGCGCGGTCTTATGAAGCGGTGCCGCCGTTTGCGCTGTGCCGTAACGAACGCGGCGTGGCACCGCACGATTACAGCGCGCGCACCGGTTTCGAGCCCGCGCAGCGCGCAGCGGTCGGATTTGGCCGCGGTTTTCACAGTGTGGCGAGCCAAGTGATCAATTCGTAAAATGCCACACTGCCCTCAACTGGTACTTACTTGTTTACGCTGTGCAGGACGCACAAGTTTGAAAGTCGAAGCTAGCGTAGCGTAAGACACTAGAAAACATAGCAAGTGGCAGCACGCGAGATTAGCAAGTTGCCACGTCGCCTGACGCCTGGAGATAGTTGCTTGTTCTGCGCAGCCAGCCGGCAGCAATCAGTGCACACCTCCAGCCCGCAGCAACACCCCTGAGCACAGCACTGCTGCAGCGCTGCAGCGCAGCCGCAAAAAATGACTGAGTCAAAACCACTCATCGTGGCCGGCGCGGACGGCTTCGGAGAGGATCTGAAAAACGTATTGGTGGAGCACTGCCGCGCGCAGGGCTACGAGGTCGACGATCTGGGCACGGGCGCGTACTACGACAAAGCGGGCGAGGTGGCGCGGCGCGTGCAAACTGACGGCGCGAAGGGGCTGCTCTTCTGCGGCACGGGCATGGGTGTTGGGATTGTGGCCAACAGGTTCAGCGGCATACAAGCCGCGACGTGCGAGAACGTGGCCGCGGCGCGTTGCGCGCGCGCAATTAATGATTCCAACGTGCTGTGCCTCGGCGGTAAGGTGACAACGCCCGACGACGCCCGCGCCATCTGCGACGCCTGGCTCGCGCAGGAGCACGGCAAGCCGCCGAGCGACCCGGCGCCGGAGTGGTGGTCCGGCGACGTGCGGACTCCGCGTCATTGCTGAGGGGGCCTTCGCCGGCGCGATGGCGTCTCGCGGTCGTCGACGCGCACGCCGTCGAGCAGGCACGTAGGGGAGTCTCGATGCACACAGGTGGAGACCTTCCTGGCGAACAAGTGGCCCGCTATCCACAAGGTCGAGGACGAGTCGCGGAAGCACTGATCGCACCGACGTCGCGGCAATGGCGCGGCGATTAGCCACATGTATGGTATGTCATAAGAACCACTAAGACTAGTCCTTATCCACGGCCAGCGGCGCCGCCGGCACGCGCGCGCCCGGCACGTCGATCTCGGCCGCCGCCGTCCCCAGCAATTGATCTCTCCGGTCCGCGTCGAGCTGCTTGACGGGGTCCCAAAACCTTTTATCCAATTCATTGGAAAGCTTCTGCGCCCGCCGCCTCTTCTCCGCGTTCCGCGCTTCGACCGACGGCCGGTACACCTCCTGCTGGCCGACCCTAAAGAACTGGGCGCACATCGTGCAGACGCCGACCCGATCGTACGTGAAGGCCCGGAACTTCCCCTTGGCGCACTCCTTCACGTGCCTCGGGTGGGGCGTAAATTCCTCGCTCCACATCTTTCTTAAATCATCAATGGCCTTTATTGGCACCTCACAAACGAGGTTCACCCGAGAATATTCCATCCTACAAAGCCCACAACTCTTCTTCCGGGCAATCCCATAGCGCTCTTCCACGCCGTTCTGTTCGAGTTCCGACAGTTTGTGGTGTTTACTGTCGTTCTTCTCGAAGTCGGCCCTGGCCTTCAGTTTATCCAAACTAAGTTTGGTCTCGGCGAACTCGCGCCGCAGCATGCGTTCACGAGTGTCCATGGGGATCCACCTCTCGGCAGAGAGCGACTGCGCTAAATGTCTAGGAGCCCCAGGCTGGACCTTGACGCCGTGTGGTTTTATGACGTAATTCGAGACGGGCCTTGATAGAGTAGAAGGGTTGCCCTCCTTCAGTTTCAGGGAAGGTGCCGGAGGGATCGGTGCTGTTTTTTGTTTTGTCTTCTTCTTCCTTGGCGGGTCGGGATGGCCGTAGTTGCCTCCTGTCCTTGTTAGAGTCGCTCTGAGCTCCGTCGTTCGGGCGCGTTCGGCGCAGGACGGTGCGCTCCTGAGAACGGTGAGTGTCACGGGCTTCCGCATTTTGACCGACGACTCCCGTGCGAGTTCCTTCGCGAGGACCTCGAGGATCGTTTCTACACTCTCGGCGCCCGCCGCCTCGTTCGCCCTCAGCAGATCCGTGAGCCTTATCAATTCGGCCATCGTGGCCCAGCCCGTCATCGTCGGCTTGGTTCGACCTATTTCTTCTGATTCGACGTCCATCTCGGCGAGCGTCTTACTTAACCCTTGCTTCGAGAGGTAATCTCGTACCAACAACTCGGCGAACTCGGCGACGTGCTTCCTTAATGCGGGGCCGGCGTGCGTCTCCTTCGTCACGAGGTGGGGGTCGCGCACGGTCTCCATGGCGAAGTTGTCCGATTGGCCGAGACGGCGTTGTCTTGGTGGCGTGCCTGCCCGTGTCTGTCCCAGGGAGAGGGAGGGCAAGAGGAAGGGGTGCGGCGAGGCGGCGTCGCGTCGGGCAGCTAAGACACGACGCGCAAGGAGCTTCCAGAGCCCTGCCTGACACTTATCTCAGCGAGGGGCAGCGCGTCGCGTCGCTTTGCGGGACGATGGCAGCGCGCTAGGCCGAGGCGGCGGCGGCCACTAGCGCGCACTAGCCCAGCAAAGCGGGCGCCGCCACTAGCCCTAGCACCGTCACGGGAGCGGTGCGCAGCCCTGAGCGACGCCGCGACGGCGTCCGGGCTTGCTCGGGCGTTCACGCGGACCCCGCGGCGGTCATGGCGGCTAGGCGGCCTAGCTCTAAGCAAAGCAAATAAAAGACTACCTTTCCCAGGGTCGTTACTCGGCCGCCGCCGTCGCCGCCTCGGGAGGAGTGGATGGCGGCACCCAGCCGGGCCCGGCCTCGCGCGCGGCGAGTTTTTCCCGCACGTCCGGCGGCGTCGCCGGCGGCACCCAGTCGGGCCGCGGCTCGTCGGGCTCGACGACCGTCCACTCCGTCGGTTCCACTAAACCAGCCTCCTCGTCGGCCTTCAATTGGGCGAGCATGGCCATGGCGTCCTCCCGCGCTTTTGTTAACGAAGGATCCTCCTGCCGCTCCGCATCCAGCCTCCTCCCGCGGACATAGGCTTTATAGCTGTCGAGGTACTCGGGATCTTCTCCATAATACTCGACGTGGTCCTCCTCGTAGTAGGGCGCCGGCGCGGGAGCTGGTGCTTCCACGCACGGCTCCGGTACGGCTTCGCCGAACAATTGGCCTTCGCATAATGGTGGGGGCGGCAGGGGCGTCTCGACGATCAGAGAATGGTGGACGGTCTCCTCGGGCTGCGTTGTGGTATAGGCGTACTTGTAGGAGTTGTAGTGTCTATAAAAAGTTGTGGAGAGGAAGTTTGAGACTTGTGTTACGTCCTCGACACTGTACAGCTGAATACAACCCGCCTCCGCATCATCAACGGAATGCGTCAGCATCTGGTCCTTGAAGAAGGCGTGATTTTCTTCGAGTGGTGTCGAGTCGCTGTCAGGTTCCACGGGAAACGCGTGCTCGAAGACGTTTTTCAGAATAGAAGACAGCGCCGAGGTCTGCTCGTCACTAAAACTCCGTTCCGCAGCGAAGGCCAGGCCATAGTACAAGTAGTCGACGAAGACGCCACTCCACGTGTTGTCCTGATAGTGGTTCACTTCCGTTAGTTCGCACAGTATTTGCAATTTACTTTTGACGTCCGGCGCGTCGGCGAGGGCCTCCATCGCTTCTATCGTGAGGTCCGTGAACGCCAATCCCAATCTCGGCGCTGCCTCCTCCTCGGGCGCCTCGGAGGCGTCTCCCACCGATTCCTCCGGGGCGGCGGACTCCTCGTCGGACATGGCTGCCCCCTCGCAGCGTCGAGCGGTGGCGCCTTTCGTCGGTGTTAGCTGAAGCGTGCGCGTGTATGCGTCGCCCCACGCTCGTCAATTGTTGGGCTGCCGCCGAGCGCTACACTTGGCTGCCTCTAGTAGGATCTCCGGCCGCCAGCGCTCCCGCGGCGCCGGCCCGAGGCGTCGGACGACGGATCGCTCTGCGCGCCGTTGCGCCCCGAGAGAGACACTAGCCTCGCCCGTCCAAGCTCGCAGCGCCAGCCTCTCCGTAGGCGCAGACGCGCGCGAGCGAGCGGGAGGACCCCATTCCCCCGCGCGCGGGTGCGCGGCGGAGCGCCGACGACGAGTAGAGCCGCGAGGCAGCCCAACATCTACGCCAACGCCGCGGTCTTCCTCAAGCCGAGTGGCAGCCATCTAGCCGAGTGGAGCCGCGATGAGCAACGCCTACGCTAATAGAAACGGCGGCCGCCCCGTCTGGGATGCCTCACCGGCTCCTCCCTTATCGTCGTACGACGCTCTCAGAGATCCGAACATGCGCCACTACTTCGAGAATCGCAGCGTCCAGGCTCATTTGTACAAGACGGGCCAGATCGACGCCGCCGGCCGCGTCATCGACATGTCCAAGAACGCGTCGAAGTTCGCCATCATCGAGCAGGAGTTCAAGGCCGCGGAGAAGCTGGAATATTGGCGCAAGAAGGAGGAGGCCGAGATGCGCCACCGCGTGCAGATGAAGCGGCACGAGGCGCTGGCGCGGGCTCGCCGGGCCGAGAAGATGGCGAAGGCGAAGGAGGACCGGCGGATTCGTGCCGAAATTGTCCGATGCGCCAAGGGGATTACGTCGGGGGACATGTCGGCGTCCGTGAGCGCGCCTCGGTCGTCGTTCATCACGGAGGGGTCCGTTTTGGATTAGTGGGGCGTAAGAGGGGTTATTGTAGTCTCCCGTCGCCCTGGGCGCGTTCTATTCTGTTACGGTGCTAGGACTAGTGGGCGGTCCGCGGCGAGGTTCGTGGGCTCGCGCGCGCGTGCGCCGACGAGATCGCCGGGGGGCGGTTCCGGAGGGGTCCCATCGGCGCGTATTCGCTCGACGACGCGGCGGCCCCTTGCGCGTCACGTATTAGGCTTGCTAGTGTCTTACAAGCCGCTAGCAATCGCACCTCGGTGCAGCGGCGCAATTCTCTGGGTTACACTGGCCCTGGCCTACTTGGAGCGCACCGAGTGAGCCGCCCAGCGCGCGCCACCAGCGCTGCGCCGTCGCAGCGCGCGCCCACCACTCAGGGGAAGCAGTAGCACCAAGAAGCAACCATGAGCCCCAGCCGCATCCTCCTCCTCCTCACGCTCATGTTAGTTGGGTTGGTCACATTATTCCAGCAGATCGGCGTGCTCTTCGGCACGTCTTGTTTATTCTCCCTGGTGCTGGTGGTGGTCTTCCTCACGAGCGAAGGTAGTCCCTTGTTGTTCGCGCAAGAGGCAGAGAACCGCTTCTGGACCGTCGTCGCGACGTTACTCTCTTCAGTGGTCTTCTTCGCCGAGGACTCGCCCTTGAGGATTGGCCATAAATCGCCTCTGATGGGCGCCATAGCCGTCGCGGTATTTACGTGCTGGATCAGCTGGTACGACCGCTGGCTGCGGCGGCGACGCTTGGTGCGCGCGCCGCACTTCGCCAAGCCGTCATCTACGGAAAATTTGAGGACGCTCGCCGCCGATCCCGCGGAGCTCGACGCGAGTATCGAGGCGCTCGCGAAGGTCGACGAGGCCGTCGCGCGCCTCGACCACTACTTCATCCCGTCCACCATTACGAGACTGTGGAGAAGGAGAGAGACGGCGCGCGTCGAGCGGTTCATCATCGAGACCCTACAAGACTGCGGGGCCGACGATTTGAACATGATATTGAGAAGGGTCAAGCTCGGTTTACTAGTCTACAAGTTGAAGGATTCGGAGCCGATGAAGTCCTGGGCCGACTACGCGGCGTCTTTTCTGTTTTCTCCCTCTACCAAGGGTGCTCGGACGGAGCTCGTTGATTTGCTAGCAGTTCAGAGGGTAGCTGATCTGAACGTTCGGAGTCGCGTGGTACTCTTAGATGCGTTACAACAGATGCCTCTATCAGCCTGTCCACGACGAGGCGAGTTGTGGGTGCGCAACGTCATGCTCTGGACCAGAGGTGATGAGCTCACGGAATTGAAAACGTTATGCGACCTAAAGGGCGATGTTCATAGTTTGCACAAGCTCGTGTATCAGGACATCCGCGAGTCTTCCATAAGAACGGATATCCTGAAGCACGTCCAGCGGGAGGCGTCCGTGCAATCAGCGCATCGGTTGCTGCGGACTCGTAAAAGTGCTCGATCTAACAGAGGTTCTAGAAAAGTGTTATCTGACCTGGACGACACGTTACTGTGTAGTGGTGGCCACTATCCCGCTGGACTAGATAAGCGATGGCCTCGGAAAGCCATCTACCCCGGAGTATTAGCTTTCTATAGAGAGCTCGACCTCGGCACCGACGAAGGGGATTTTAGAAGCAGACTGGGCAATCTCGTGTTTCTGAGCGCGCGACCCCATGTTTTCTCGGACCTCGCCGAACGTTCCTCCTACGCCAAGTTCGCCCACCTCCTCCAGGCGAAGCGGCTCCACACGATGCCTACTTTACTTACCGGAGATTTGAAGACTGGCGGCGAGATGATGCTCCGGGGGGACATGGAGCCGCTCGCCCAAAAGAAGGCCCAGAATTTCCTGGAATTCCAGGCCCTGTATCCCGAATTTGATTTTATCTTTGTCGGCGACAACGGGCAGGGCGACGCGCGGGCGGCGGAATTGATGGCTGCCGCTTCCTCACCCAGAGGTGGTCGTTTAGAAAGGGCTTATATACATGTAGTGCAGCCCATCGACCGCACGCATCGCGGTAGGCACCACTCGGACCCGGAAAGTGCGCGAGAAGCTTGGGACAAGGCGGGAGTGGTTTTTGTGGAGACTTTTGTCGATGCGGCGCTGGATGCTTGTAGTCGCAAGTTCATCTCGCCACTTGGGCTGCGGCGGGTCGGCGTCGCGGCGAAGAAGGATTTTGAAGTGATACAGTGGTCTCCCGACGACCGACGGAAGGACATGCGGCGCCAGGAGCTCGACGACGCTCTACGACGGTTGAATCGGGCGCTAGTTGTGGACTACGGCTTGGACGCCGTGCCGCTCTGCGAGGCCTGTGCCCCACTCTCAGTGAGGAAGAAGAAGAGCGGGTCGGTACAAGTCGAGGGCACGATCGAGCCGGGCCGAGCTGTTAGTACTCCAATCGGTCCCGGTATTGTACTGTCATCAAGGACGTCCAAGGACATTGGATTAGTGTACGAAGTAGCCTTGGATGAATGGCGGCTCTGCGACCGCAACCCGGCTCGAGCTTATATACCATCGTCCCAAATCGTGTATGAACAGTCGCGCCGGAAAGCGCTGGAGGCCTTCCGGTCGTCGAAGCAGGAGCCGGCGCCTACAAGTGCTTCGGACGCCGACTGGATGGCCCTGTCCGAGGTTCGTAGGCGGACGGACTCGGCCGGGAGTCTCGGCGAGGCGGCGGGGCGGGCGCAGTAGTAAGGGAGTTGTTTGTGTTCATCGGTTTTTCTATTGTTATACTGATCTTTGACCGCGCGTCGATGGCGTAAAGGCGGTCTAGACCCCACCAGCACGCCGTCGCCGCGATCGGCGCGAGTCGGTGGTGTTACAGTGCTAGAGCGGGCGGAGCCCCTGGGGCGAGGCACCGCGCGGGGCCGATTCATCGGCGGCGGGCGCGGGCTACGTCTTTCATAACAGCATACCTATCAATTTACCTATCTCTGGTTTCTAGTGTCTTACAGACACGCTAGGTGCGAATTTTTTACGCGACTTTTCGAGCCGGCCGACGGGGTTGCTACGCCACCGCTGTCACAGCCGTCGACTGCTAAACAATTGCTTTCAAATTCCTGAAGCAGCGCTCGCGACCTCGCAGCCGCCGCGTGTGACCTCGGAGTTTTTGGAGCCCCAAAACCGCCGGCCTAGATCCTTGAGGCCGACGCGCGCGACAGGGCCAGCGCTCTCTCCAAAATGGGCGGCTCCAACTCGAAAGCCGACTTAGCCGATATCCTCGTCGCGCTGGCGCAGAACGACGTCTCCCCCGACGCGCACGACTTCTGGGACGAGCTGTGGAAGCTCGATACCACGGCCGAGGACGTCTTTGAACTCATCACGCCGGAGGACGTCCGGCACCTACGACGAGAAAGACCCGAAAATGTGGTCACACTCTTCACGCAAGCCACGGCGCAGTTGTGCCAAATAGTACACACGCCGGTGCCGATGTATTTTGGTCAAGCTTTGAACTGTGTCAGAGTATTGACGCGCATCCTACCGTTTCTGTTGGAGGAACACGATGAGTTTAGCGAGAAGCTCTGCTGGGGTATTGATTCGACGGAAGATGACGAAGCCGCGGAGCCGCTAGCGCGACTCGTCGTCCATGCGACCTTACATTTGTTATTCCTGCCGGGGTTCACCGTGGACGCCTCGGCTTTTGAAGATGAGCCGGATGATGCGTTGGTACCGTCGCGAGCGCTGTGGGCGCCGGGCTTGGGCGGCCTAGATGCCAGACCAGCCGCTAGCTTAGCCTTGGATAGAAACCGGGCCGAAGTCCTACGCTTGCTACTCGCGGCGTCCTGCGAGCCCCTTTATAGTAGTGCGGAGACGTTTGATCCCTGGGCTTCGAGGTGGCTGAGAGCTGCTACGGCTCGAGACGCGCCAAATGCGAAGCTACTGTTATACGCGTTACTCAACTCCGTCTGCGCCTACGACCCGACGGGTCTCGGTGTGCCCTATGGTGGGCATTTAGCGTCCGACGCGCCGGCCACGGTCGTGGCGCTGGCGGCCCAGGCTTTAGTTGTTTTATTGGATTATGGTGGTGGTGCTCCGAAGACCACCGAGGATATTAATGTCTTCCGCGAATTACTAGCATCTATCAGTGGAGGAGACAACTTCGACTTCCTGTTTCTGGGGTTGGCTCGGTTACTGAACAACGTCCATGAAGCTTTGAATACTACATTACCAGGCTCATTAGCTCAGATCGAGTGCTACCAGGAGATCTTGATCTTGGTCTGGAAGTTGGTCGAACTAAATGAGAATTTTGCGAAACACATCCTGACGGAGTGCGACGTCTGTCGAATAGTCGTGCCTTGCTGTTTTCTGGCCCATCAATCTAGGAAGGACCCGTCGCGCGTGGGATTGGTCCATATCTGCACGTTCATACTACTGAAATTAAGTGGAGAAAGGCAGTTCAGTGTCGCGTTGAACAAACCCTTCGACGAGAAGCTACCGACGGATCTGCCTCGCTTCGAGGGAACCCACGCCGACTTGGTAGTGGTGGTACTTCATAGGATGGTCGTCAGTGGCGGTGATCGATTGCAACCGTTGTACAACTGCTTTCTGACGGTTTTATGTAATGTCTCACCATATGCTCGTTCTCTCTCATTGGTGGCAGCCGTGAAATTAGTCTCATTGTTCGAGTTGTTCACCTCGCCTAGAATCTTGTACGCGGCGGAGGGCAACCAAGGACATGTTGCTCTCTTGTTGGAGATCTTCAACAACCTCATCCAGTATCAATATGGAGGTAATAGTCATTTGATCTACGCGATCGTGCGAAGAAAGAGCGTCTTCGACGCCCTGGACAAGTTGACGCTGCCGGGCGCCATTGCTGCGGCCGTCGAGCGGGAGGCGCAACGAGCGGCTCTGAGGAAGGGCGAGGAACATACGCCGAGTGAGGAGGAAGCCCCATTGCCTCGCGTGGCTCCTGGTACCGCTGCTTTCTTACCTTCAGCGGAATGGCTGAGGAGGGTCAAGGCCGAACTGCCTCTATCTACCATTATGAGGTTGTTGCATCATCTGGCGCCGCAGATCGAGGAGCTCATCGCGAGGGCGGACTACTCGCTCGATGAAGAGGCGATCCTCGGCTTCATCCGCTCCACAACCATGGTCGGCCTCCTCCCGGTCCCGCACGCCATCGTCGTCCGCAAGTACCAGCCGAACACGTTCACGTCGCTCTGGTTCACGGCCTTTTTGTGGGGCGTCGTCTTCCTGCAGAACCAGGCGCCGCCCTTGTTCGACGGCCCGGCGATCAGGCTCTTTACGGTGTCGGTGGTCTAGGCTCGGTTGAGGAGTGGGGGGTAAGGGGTCGTCTTCTACTCGCGTTAGTCGATGTTACGGTGCTAGCCGCGTCGACGTCGCTAGCGGCTTGTAAGACACTAGGAATGCAATGGCAAGCCGGCGAAGCGGCTTTGCAGAGTGTGCCGAGGCAAATCTGTGCAGTCTGCATCAGTTTACATACAGCAGACGTCGTGCTGCAGCAACCGCGACAAATTGAGCGCAGCAACGGACGTGTAAGGGCACGCATACAAAGGCTGCAGCACTGCAGCAGCAACACGCTGCGAGCGCAGAGGTAGGTCAACCATGGGAAAACGACCGCAACAAAACAAGGGCAAAAAAAAGGGGGGCAAGCGCTCCCGCGTGCAGCGCGACTACGACGAAGGCTTGGATGATGACGTCGTCGAGCAGCACATCCCGGCCGGCCCCCGCGCGGCGCGGAGCACGCAGAAGAAGGTCGAGGCCTCCATCGCGACGTGGGAGAGAGTAAAAGAGGCCCAGTTCCATCAGCAGCAAAAAGCGCGCTTTGCCAAACCGCCACCACCGGAAAAGCCCAAAGGGCTGACGAAGGCGCAGCGCCGAGCGCGGCGGCGGCGCGAGCTGCGGGGCCCTGCAACCGAGCGGGCCTGGCCGACGCGGAAGCAGCTCTCGGCCGCGGCGCGCGCGCGCATCGTCGGCGACGGCGGCGACGACGACGAGGACGCGTCGGCCGGCGAGGTGTCCGAGGCATCGTCGTCGTCGTCGTCGTCGGGAGAGGAGGAGTCCGACGACGAGGAGGAAGAAGAGGAAGCAGAGGCGGAGGAAAAGGAGGACGACGACGACGAGGAGGAGGAGCCGGAGGAGGTCGTAGACGACGCCGACGCGATCGGCAGAGAAAGAGCCAGGGCCTGCGACGCGCAGTTCGGCCAATCGTTGACGGCCCAGGAGGTGGCCGCGTTATCAGAGAGACGCCCGGCCGCCGAGTACGCTTCTACATCCATAGAGCATGTGACCGAAAGTGGCCCGCCGGTCGACTGGGCGCGATTGGACGGAGAGGAGCGTCGACTGGGCGTGCGCTTCGACGAGGCGACGTCATCGCAACGCGTTTTTTTGCGGGCGTTATCGACGTTTAAAGACGTCGTGCAGTCTGACGTTGATTACCAGAGACGGCCGCAATTACTACGGGCCGCGCTCGCGCATGTGTTAGATCACGTCACCCGGTCGAGAAGGGTCATGCTGCGCCACGACCGCTCCCGTACGAAGGAGGAGGCGCCCTCATCTCCAGTAAAGGGTGCCAGCCGGTCCGCACCCTTGGTACCTCCAAAACCAACAGAAACATATAAACACCTCGACGACGTCGACGAAGAAGATACAAGGAGGGACCAGGGCCCTACTAGATGCAGAGCTCTGGTGCTGGTGGCCACGCGCAAGGCCGCGTTGGAAGTTTGTACGACACTCAAGGCCTTAGCACACAGTTCGAAGCACACTGGACGATTGGAGCAGGAGTTAGGGGTGGACGAGGACGACCCCGCGATGCAGCGAGAAGGCCCGCCGGACTGGGAGGCCGTGTTTAAAGGGAATACCGACGACGTTTGTGAAGTCGGAATAAGCGTGCGCGTCGACCGATCGAATATAACAGTGGACTTCTTCGCGGGTACGCGCTCGAAATCCGATCTGATCATAGCGACGCCGTTGGCATTGCGCCTCGCAGCCGAAGAAGAAGGTCGGCAGGGCGTCCTGGATCGATTGTCATCGGTAGAAGTTCTACTCATGGACCAGGCCGATGTCTTGTTGTACCAGAACTGGGAGACCGTGGAACGATGTATAAGAGCGGTATCAGGCGTCCCTTCTTCGGTAGAAGCGGACGTGCAGCGGGTCCGGCTGCCCTTCCTCGACGCCCATGGCTCCGCTTGTAGGCAACATATTGTGTTGTCGAGTTTCAACGATGCTAGACTGAGAGCGTTGGTGGACCGGCCGCTACCGGGCCAACTGCGCAATAGAAGTGGTTGTATTAGACTAACGGGGCCGCCACCGTCAAAAGGTTCATTAGCGAGGGCCGTCTCGTCGCATATCATTCATACGTTTAGAGGTATACGCTGCGCGGCGCCAGCTTCATCAATGGACGCGCGCGTCAATGCGTTCAAGGACAAGGTGCTGCCCTCCTTATTGAGGCGGCGCGGTGCTTCCATAAATGGCGCGCGGACACTCATATACTGCGGGTCCTACCCCGAGTTCCTGGCGTGTCGGGCGGCCCTGCGGGAACAAGGCGCGGACTTCGTGTCAATACACGAATATTCCCGAGACTCCGAGGTGTCGCGCGGGCGGTCGCGCTTCTTCCACGGCCGCGCGCCGCTCTTACTCTATTCGGGGCGGGCGCACTTCTACCAGCGCTACCGGATTAGGGGAGCGTCGAACTACGTCTTCGTCAGCCCGCCGGACCACGCCCACTTCTACTCGGAACTCCTCTCGTTCGCGCGCGACGACGAGGCCACGGGCGCGGCGCCGACGGCGCTCTGCCTCTACACGCGCTTCGACGCGCTCGCTCTCGCGCGGGTCCTGGGCGACGCGCGGGCGCGGGCGTGTTTGAAGCGCGACGCGCGCGGCGTCGGCGGGGACCACGTGTTCCAGGGGGCGTCGTCGTAGGTTGTGTTTTATATTCAGGTGCTCTTACGCGCGCGGAGCCTGTTCAGGGGAAAGGACGGTCCTAATAAATAGTGGTAGGGGGAGGACGCTCGGTCTGCTCGGTCTGGAGCGGACGCGGGAGCGCCGACCTCAGGGAACAGGCTCCGCGCGAATGTCGCTGCCGCCCGTGTCGGCGGTCAGGGGCTCATCCGCGCCGCAGGGGCCCGCGATGGACCCTTGGTCACCTCCGAACAATTGCGGGCACGACTTCGAGCAGTAACACGGGACGGTCTCGCCGCGGCCACACACGGGCGGCCCCAGCGAATCATATCCGATATCGGCCCACGTGAACTGGCCTCCCCTCGGTGGTTCCTTGTCGAAGCACTCGTCGTAGCACCTGAGGAGGTATGTGGTGTCGTCGGTGCACTCTTCTTCGAGAGCTAGGGTAGGGACGACTCCCCCACAAACATCGTTGAGCTCGAACACCTTGATCAGGTGGCCGTTGGGGGTCTCCGTGCAGCCTTCGCCGTACCTCCCCATCGCCGCCGCGCCCGGGAGGAGGGCCAGCGCGAGGAGGAGGGACCGCATGGTCTTGACCTGCGAGTATTTTTTGTCGGGCCGGGATTCAAGGACGAGGCGTCGTCGCGTAAACGAGTCGCCTGAGCAGTCAACGCTCGTTGGCGCCGCGGCTCGGCGCGTCCGCCGTTGGCGATCGGGCCTCGTGCGGGCGCCTCGCGCGACCTGGACGATGGGTGGCTGATGCCAGATCTTCGCTGGTTCACAACCCTCAAAAGCCCGGGACGCCAGCGGTCGCGGTGGCAACGGGGCCCAGGGATGACTTTGACACAAGAAAACGACGGCTCGCGGCGCTGGGCGGGTGCGTGGCGCGCCTAAATCGATGCGCGGTCGATGCCACGAAAAAAACCCGCGATGCCCCAACACACTTGCCTTGCAAGCTTTGGAGGGGGTGGGTGCACACAACTACATTACTACGAAGCATCCCCCGCACCAACTTTCTTTCGCTTCTTCCGCGTGTCGCCGCGCCGGTCGCTCGGGACCTTCGTGTTGTCGCGGTCGTAGAAGCGCCGGAACAGGTCGACGGCCTCCGCCTTCCGCAGGCCCCCGACGCAGGGGAAGGCGCGGTCGTGCAGGGACAGGATCGATCCGCATCCGCCGAATTTCTCGTTGGAACACCCGAAGAAGCACCGCCGCAGCCCGAGCTGCGCGAGCGCCGACGCGCACATGATGCAGGGCTCGCACGTCACGTAGAGGGTGGCCGCGCGCCAGTCGACGGCGCACCGCTCCGCGAGCGCCGCGTCCACGGCGACGAGCTCGGCGTGGCGCGTCGCGTCCATGGCCGCGTTCGTCTCGTTCGCGCCGCGCGCGACCTCGACGCCGTCGACGACAAAGACGGCGCCGACCGGCACCTCGCCCTGCCGCACGGCGGCGTCGGCGAGGTCCAGCGCCCTTTGCATCCACCTATCGTGCTGGGACGCGTCGTCGTGCTGGCCCGCATCGTCGGCGTCGGCGGTTTCCATCTGTGTGCGGCAGCGCTTCGGTTTACGTCTTGCTCCGCGCTGCAGTGTGTTGCTGCTGCTGGCAGCCACGCTGTGCCCTGCTGTCCAGAGCGGCTGTCGCTGCCGCAGTTGCTGTGGTGTGCTCGCACGAGTAGAACGAAGACCTATGCTGCACTCGAGGACCTCTGTGAGCTCTAGCAGCGCACGGCAGCAAAACTCAGAGAGGTGCTAGTGTCTTACACGACGCTAGCTGCGCCGAATCGCGCGCGCCGACTTTTGACGCCGCGCCGGCCCTTTTGGGGGCGCAACAGCTCATTTGGACCCGCCACCTCGCAGCTTGCTGGGTTGCACACACCGCTTGCGGTCATTCACTTGCATCACTTGGTCAAGCCCGCTTCGGCTGGCTAGGCGCCCGACAAGACGATGGGCTTGCTCGATCTCCAAGAATGCGAACTCGACGAGGAAATGGAAGAAGAGCCGGAGAGGGAACGGCGCGCAACAATCGAGGAGGCGGCTGACGAAGCGGAGGCGGCTTTTACAAGAGCAGGCCCGACGACGCGGCGCGCCGCGGTCCGCGAAAAGAAAAGGAACGACCGCCCGCCCGCGCCGACGCCCCTGGAGAAGATTGTGGAGCGGACCACGGGCTACCAAACGACGGGCTCTTCCAAGAACGCGTACGCGCCCGACACCCATGTCTTGGCAAGGTGCTCCGCAAATTTAGGACAGTGGTTCGGCGGCACGGTTGTGGAAGGCGGCGAAGATGGAACCTGTAGGGTCGTCTTCCTCGATGGAGCGAAGGAGGACGTACTCATCAAAAATATACGAGTCTGGGACCGGCCGCCCCTGTCGGACTGGCATCGCAAGCACCAGGGGCCCATCAAGTCGCGGTATGTTGCTGATGTTCAAAGCAAGGCGAACACGCATCGTAGTGTCTTGCAATTTGATTTGGAGAGTGGTGCGTTAATAGCGCAGTTCGTCTCGGCGAGGCGCGCTGTGGACAACGTGCCGTCATTGACAGACCCGCAGGAGGTTCTACAGTGCTGCAAGGGTGCTGTCGAAAGCGCGGGCGGCTACAAGTGGACCTTCGCGGCGCCGCGGCCCAAATTGGACGCTGCTGATGTGCAAGAACTCATAGATGGCAATTATGCCATACAAATACAACAGCGGAACCCCAAAAAAGCGGGGACGAAGAGTGCGCTGTTGTATGATCAATATAAAGGCGCTGAAAATATCAGAGACATGCTCGCGCTCGGCGCGAGGAGGGCGGACATACCCTACGACATAAGTCACGGCTGGGTGACGCTCGTGGATCCGACCCTCCAGAAGCGCTTCTCGCCGCCGCCGACGGCAGCGGCGCCTGAGGCCCCTGCGAAGGAGGTTGTTGAGGACGATGATGACGGGTCGAGGCAAGGCGACGACCCCATGGACGAGGACTCCGAAAACGACGAGTCCAGGGAGGACGTCCTGAAGACGCTGCCGCCGCGGCCGCCGCCGGCGCGCGCGCGTTCAAGGGGAGCGGCCGTGAACTACGCGGATCCCCCGGACTTTTAAGTATCATCGTTAGTGAGCTGCGCGTTCTGGCCCTGTTGGGCCTGGTGCTCCGCGAAGCGAAAGCCGACGCGCTGCGTCAGCTTGATGTACTTCTCGGCGCAGCTCGCGACGCAGGTCTTCTCCGTCTCATTTAATGATTGCGACCGGAACGACGTCACGCACTGCAGGTAGCACCTTTCCACCAGGTCGTTGTACATCCTTAATGAATCCTTGGTCTGCATGGCCTCGAGGCTAGCCATGAAGGCCGGCCTCTGGTGCTCGGGGATCTGGTTGACGGCGTTCATCGCGCTTCGGTTTTACGTCGGTGGCGCGTCCTTGCGTCGCGTCGTTGGCGTCGCGTTGGCGTAGTGTTGCTTGCTGGCGTCGCGTTGCGTCGCTTGCGTCGCGTTGGAGCCTTGACAGCGAGGCCTGGTGCTGTGCAAAGGGCTCAAGGCGTTAGTTGGCCGCCCTTATCGCTGCACGGCGGCGACTGGACTGCTATGAGGGATGCTGGAAATCTTTTTGGCACGGCGTAACCCTCAGCAAAAGCAGTCGTTTTGCGAGTCGCGGCGCCGGCAATAGCTAGCGGCATGTAAGACACTAGAGGCTCGACGCCGTCGCGAAGTTAAGTGAACAGTTGTTAACCAGCAGGACCTAGTCCTTCTTCTTCTCATCCTTCTCCTCAGGCTTCTCCTCCTCCTTCTCGGAGAACTCCGCGTCCTTGGCCTCCTCGCCACCAGACGACTCCTGACTGGCCTGGTAGACCTGCTCGCCGATCTTCTGCGCCACCGCTTGCAACTCGTCGATCTTGGCTCTCAAATCGTCCGCCGACGCGTCGTCGCCCAGCCCTTCGAGCGCCGAGATCTTCGCCTCGACCTCGCTCTTCGTCTCTCCATCCAGCTTGTCGCCGTGCTCATCCAACGACTTTTTGGAGGTATACACGAGGGCGTCGGCCTCGTTCTTCGCCTCGGCCAATTTCTTCCTTTCGGCATCGGCGGCGGCGTTCTCTTCCGCATCTTGCACCATTTTGTTGATCTCGTCCTCAGACAGTCCACCGGACGACCGAATGACGACGGACTGCTCCTTGCCCGTGCCCTTGTCCTTCGCGGACACGTTTAGGATGCCGTCGGCGTCGATGTCGAACGAGACTTCGATCTGCGGCGTGCCCCGCGGGGCAGGGGGTATCCCCACTAGGTCGAACTGGCCCAGAGGTTTGTTCTCCGCGGCCATCTCCCGCTCGCCCTGCAGCACCTTGATCTGGACCTGGGGCTGGTTGTCGGCCGCTGTGGAGAAGGTCTGGGCCTTCTTCGTCGGGATAGTGGTATTGCGGTTGATCAGCCTAGTGAACATGCCACCCAGCGTCTCGATACCCAATGATAAGGGAGTCACATCCAGCAACAGGACATCTTTCACGTCGCCCCTCAAAACGCCGCCTTGAATAGCCGCACCCATCGCCACGACCTCGTCCGGGTTTACTCCTTTATGAGGCTTCTTCCCAAAAAAACCTTCCACCGTCTCTTGGACCTTCGGCATGCGCGTCATCCCACCCACGAGAATGACCTCATCTATACTACCTTTGTCGACGCCGGCATCCTGCACGCACTTCTTGCAGGGGTCGAGCGTGCGTCCTACGAGATCTGCTACTATACCTTCGAACTGGGCCTTGCCCAGCTTGACATTTAAATGTTTGGGGCCCGTCGCGTCGGCCGTGATGAAGGGTAACGAAACATCAGTGGTGTTGAGGCCGTCGAGCTCGCGTTTCGCTTTCTCGGCGGCTTCTCTTAACCGTTGCATCGCTAATGGATCGGACGAGAGATCTAATCCACTATCCTTCTTGAATTCGGCTAGGAGGTGCTTGAGGAGCTCCTCGTCGAAATCCTCGCCGCCGAGCATGGTATCACCATTGGTCGACTTGACCTCGAACACACCACCAGAGATCTCCAGTATAGAAACGTCGAACGTGCCGCCTCCCAAGTCGAACACCGCCACCAATTTGCCGTCGTCGGCCTTGTCCAGACCGTACGCTAGGGCAGCGGCCGTGGGCTCGTTGATGATTCTAAGAACGTCCAAGCCCGCAATTCTTCCAGCATCTTTGGTGGCCTGTCGTTGCGAATCATTGAAATAAGCCGGCACGGTCACGATGGCCTTCCCGACATCTCTCCCGAGAAAACCTTCCGCTGTTTCTTTCATCTTGCCGAGGACCATGCTCCCGACCTGGGAAGGGGAATATTTAGTACCATCCCTCACCTCGACCCAGGCATCATCAGAGGCATCAGCTTTCACGATCTTGTACGGTACCAAGGGCTTGATGACGTCGATCTCCGGCTCGCCCATTTTGCGGCCTATCAAGCGTTTTGTGGCATACAAAGTGTTGTCTGGGTTCGTGACGGCTTGTCTTTTCGCTTGGAGGCCGACTAATCTAGAACCGTCATCTGTAAACGCTACGACGGACGGCGTGGTCCGCGCGCCTTCCGCGTTCTCGATGACGCGCGCGGCGCGGCCCTCCATGATCGCGACGCAGGAGTTCGTGGTTCCTAAATCAATGCCGACGACGTCGCCCTGCTCGGTCGCGAGAGTTCTGCGCGCCGTCTGGCGTGCATGCTGCGTTAACCGCTGGGTGGCGCGGCGCAGGAGCATGGTGCTGCTGCTGGTTACGTGTCGAGTTGTTATTGAACGACGGCGTGCGGCGCCGTTCTTGTGCAATCGCTGGCGATTGCTGCGACGAGTAAACGATGCACCGCGTGCGTTCTGCAAGCAATGCGGTCACGCACACGGACTCAAGACTGTGGCGATGGAGCTCTCCTTGTTGGCTGGTGACCAAGTGGCTGAGCGGGCGTCAAACCGAACCAGCGCTCTTCCGCCTACGGAGAGAGCCGTTCGAGGATTTGTTCGAAGGCAAGAAAGCGAGCGCTGCAGCTAGCGCAATAGGCACTAGGTGATTTGAGCAAAACAGTGTTTTGACTGAATTTGGCCCCAAAAAACGCGGTCGCATAACCAAACTCTGCGTTACACCTGTCAGAAGACCGCTCGTACAGACGCTGCCGTACGGCAAAATTTCACGGACGGCCGAGCGCTAGGTGATAAGCAATCGGCCAAAGAGCAGTCCAGGCTGTTCTTCCCGCCGCCGCCGCGCGCGGACGCCCGACACCAACAAAGATGGAGGAGCAGCGCTCCAGCAGCGCGAACAATGAACGAGGAGACGCGCCACCCCCCAAAAAGGAGATCTACACGCATTCGGCGGACTGGACGATTTACGGCATGGGCTGGAGTCAACGGGAGGAGGAGGACCGAGGCTTCCGGTTAGCGTTAGGCTCCTTCGTCGAGGAGTACGCGAATCGCGTGTCTATCATCCAGCGGCGGGACGCGTACGAAAAGGCGGTTGGTACGGGTGTCGGTCGGGATAGGACGGCCCAGGCTTTGCAACGCAAGGCGGGCAAGGACCCGAACGATTCTTCAGCTTTCGTCCAAGTGGCGGGGTTTGAACACCCTTATCCTGCCACAAAAATTCTCTGGTCGCCCGACAAGACGGCTAGGCGAGATCTGTTGGCTACTACCGGTGACTATTTGAGGGTCTGGTCGGTACCTGATCAACGGGAAGCGGCGTCCGCCGCCGACGCGGCGCGCGTGGACCAAGTTGCTTTGTTAAATAACAACAAGAACAGCGAGTACTGCGCGCCTCTGACCTCATTTGATTGGAACGAATCTGAGCCGTCGTTAGTTGGTACTTCTTCCATTGATACTACCTGTACGATCTGGGATTTATCCGTACCAGCCGTGAAGACGCAGCTCATCGCCCACGACAAGGAGGTCTATGATATTGCCTTTGCGCGCGGCAAGGACATCTTCGCTTCTGTGGGTGCTGATGGTTCAGTACGATTATTTGATTTGCGAACCTTGGAGCATAGTACGATCATCTACGAGACGTCGTCGCTGCGACCGCTATTGAGATTGGCCTGGAACAAGCAGGACCCAAATTACTTGGCTACGGTGCTGGCGGACGATCCGCGGACGGTGGTGTTGGATGTGCGCGTGCCGTCGATACCCGTCGCCGAGTTGGGAGCGCATCAAGCTTCGGTGAATTCCGTGGCGTGGGCGCCGCACTCGTCGTGCCACCTCTGCACCTGTTCGGATGATTGCCAGGCGCTGATCTGGGACCTGACGGCCCTCCCAAAACCGGTGGATGATCCGATCCTGGCCTACACGGCGGATGCCGAAGTCAATCAACTCCAGTGGTCGACGGCGCACCAGGAGTGGGTCGCAATCGCCTACAACAACACGGTCCAGGCCTTGCACGTATAATATATTTGCGTGGGAGTCTTAGGTCCGGGGGAGGGGGTCGCGGCGACGGCGTGGAAGGCAGACTGGTAGTGGGGGCACGCCGTCGCGGCGATCGACAAATCAGGGATTGCGGCGGTCCTCCGGCGGGATCAACCTTTCGAGGTCCCGCATGTGGCGCGAGATCCGATCTAACAAGCGCGCACCGGCCGTGCGCGGCCCGCGCGGCGCCTGCGTGCCCGTCAGGCGCCGCAGCCGCCCGAGAAAACGGGCCGCGTCCCCTTCAAAACCGTCCTCTTCACCACTGTCGGAGTCGCCCCGCGCCTGCACGGCCTCGACGGCGGCCTTGCGCAGCGCGTCGGCATCCAGAATATCTCCCGTCGTGACATCGGTACACACAGCTAAACCGTCCCCGCAAGCCACAGCCCAGCGGAACCCTCGCGTCGAGACGCAGCCGCCGCGCCCCGCCAATAAGAATTGATTTCTAGTTGCGTGGCACCTATTACTGCACGTTCTCCTTGTCTGAGCGCCGGAGACCGTCGTAGAAGGGTCAGGTTCATTATCGACGTAGAGCTCGAACGCGATATGTCTTTGTGTCCCTGGTCCCAGTAAACACGCATTCACCCGATCGTAGAGCGTCGCGCCGCATAGACCGCACGTGACGCAGAGCGGTGGTAGTAATTCGCCAGACAACGCGTTCACTCTTAGTGAATCGCGCCACGCGTCCTCGCCCCCCGCTCTTCGGTCAAGATGGCGCGCGCCCGGTGCCCCGGGCATGCTCAATCTCTTCAACGTGGGATGCGTCCGCACGAGCGCATCTAGAGGCGGCTCCCGCCTCGGATGGACCCGCAAGTTCCACAGATCCGTCCAACCTACTAATCTCAAATCTTCAAGTGAGGGTAATGGTGGGGAAGGTGTCGAACCGGACGCCTCTTGCCGTAGCGCCGCGTCGACGAAACCATATAATGCTGAATCGTTGCCCACCGCGGATCTACGAGCCGCTCTTCCAAACTGGTCCGAGTAGGTCGGACACGTGATCTCCAGGAAGCGGAGTCGTGCGTAACCACCTAGACCCAATTGGAACGTGCACAGTCTCAGTAAGCCCGGAGCGGCGCCGCTCTGGTGATATAATGAGAGCGTCTCGAGCTCGGCTAGCGGGGCGGGTCTCGCGGCGCCCGCCGCCGCTCGCAAAGCCACCGCGCCGGTAGCGCCTCGCAAATGTTTGAGATGAGGACACCGCGCCGCCGCACAGGCCGGTAACACCCTTCCGTCCAGATGGAGGTCGACGTCGACCGTCGATCTCCCTACTAATGAAGCGTCGACGGACGACGATTGGAGGGAGCGTGATGCTGATGCGCAGCGGTCTAGGTCCAACAGTGAGGCGTAGTCGAGTATTTCTCTCCACAACACTTCCGGGAGCTGCTCGCCCAACGTGCACTTCGAGGCGACGGCGTCTTTCCTTTCCGTAATCTTGCGCTGTCTTAGTGATGACGCGGAGCAGCCGAGGTCGAGGGCGTCCAATAGGCGACTGCGGCGGTACTGCTGCGCGGGCGTCCGCGTCATTGAGAAGGCGCGCGGGCGCGCGACCAACGCGGCCATCGTTTTCTCGCGTCTTCAGACCTCACCGAAACGTCGTCGGCGCTCGCGGCGAATTTGCTGCTGTGAGAGCACCTCTTCAAAACAGGCCTACGTGGACTTTGAGCGGCTCGGTATGCCAGCAACTGCGATCAAGGGACGTCTTGTTGTCACCGACCGCTTTTTTCGTTCAGTCACGGTGCGATGACCGGACGCAGCAAAGCGGGGCTCTTTGGCTCTGCAAAAAGTGCAAGGTCCGGGTTTTACTGAAAGAAGCGTAGCTGCAAGCGACACGCCCTCTGAAGGTTGCTGATGCACACAAAGACACGCTGAACGTGCTGCACCTAGCTGTGAGACACTAGCAAAGCAAGCAAGCAGTTTGGGCAGCCAGGGCGCGAGCAGCTCGTCCCCGACCGACGAAAGCGATACACGAAGCCGCGGGCAGCCCCAGCTCGCGGCGCCATGGCGGCCCTCATGATGTGCGGCAGCCCCACACCGGTAGGAGAGACAGACAACAATGAAGCCACCGAGGCGCTGTGCCTCGAGGCGAGCGGCGACGGGACGCTGGACGACGTCCAGCAGCTCGTTTTGAGGAATAAGGACCTGACGGGCCTGGCGTGCGCCTCGAAGCTCACGCATTTATCAGTTCTGTCGCTGTCGCATAATCGCCTGACCACGGTAGCGTCCTTGACACCGATAAAAACGTTGGAGGTCCTCAACGTGAACTTCAATCGACTGACAGACCTTGTCCAGTTAGCACAGTGCCCGAAGCTCCAGAAGATCTATGCCTCCAATAACCTCATAACTAATGTGGACGGCCTCGCTTCATTGAAACAACTGAAAACTTTATGTTTGTTCGCCAACGACATCGAAAGATGCGAGTTGGTGCTTGATGCGTTGTCGCGCTGTCCATTGACAGAACTCGACCTAGATGGCAACCCGCTCGCAAGGGAGGAGGGCTACCGGCACCACGCCGTCGCGCGCTTATCACGCTTAGAAGCGTTGGATGGTGAACCTGTGCAAGATCTAGATAGAGAATTAGCGCGGGACTACCGGAAAGGAGGCGCCACGTCACGAGTAGCGACGTCTTTTGATTGGAACTCGCTGCCCCGAGAGTCGCGGTTGTTCGGCGAGGCCTGCGATGCTTTGAATGACGATAAGGTCGCCGTGGACTACCTCGCGGCGCAGGTGCTGCGGAACCCGCGGCGAGGCGTCGAGGGAGAACATTTTACGGCAGAAAAGGCAAAAAGTTTCGTCGCTCGCTTGAAGCGCGAGGCGACGGCGCATCGAGAGCCCAAGACCGTACAAGATGTGGCGGACCCCTACGTCACGATCCGGAAGCTCATACAACTCGTCGAGTCCCTACAAGCCGAATTGAAGACGAGGGACCCGTCCGACGAGTTGCTGAAGGAGATGGAATTACTCAGGGTGGAGAACGGCAACCTTTATATCGTGCAAGGAGAATGCCAGGAGCTGCGGAAGAAGCGGTTCGACGTCGAGCGACTGGCCTCGGAGAATAGGGAGTTAAGGGAGCGACTGAGCGACGCCGAGGCGCAGTTGCAGGCCCATCACCTCGCGGAGATCACTGGTACGCATACGAGATCACGGCCTAGGACAGCGGCGGAGGTCCTCGAGGAATGTGAAGGGGAGATGGATTCCGAGCTTGAGGAATTATTTCGAAGGAACCAGACGAATCTGACGCATATCAAACAGGAAATCGCCGTGATGAAAGGTGAGCAAAGCACCTCATTGATCGACGAGGCGCCTACCCCTGTTAAAGCGCCGCAAGAGCGGGACCCGGACGTTGACACTCCGGCTGTGAGAAGGCCAGTGCGTTCGACCGTGCCTCGGCCCGGCACGAGCGAGGGGCGGCGGCTCAAATGTTCCGCGTCGTCTGTGGCGCGGCGGCCGAAGACGCCGTCCGTCGCCGATATTCTGAGAGGCGTTTCCGGTGATAATGATGACGACGCGCCTCAGTGGTCCGACGCCATCGACCGGCGGACGACGGCGACGGTCTCGCCCGATAGGGTGGTCGCGACGAAGCACGCGTACCTGTTGGGCGACGGCGGCCCGTCGCCGTCGAAGAGCGGGTACGGCGACGGCTTCGAGGAGTCGAAGATGACAGCTCTCTAAAAGTTTAGTAGTATTGGTACATGATCTTACACAGTTTAATGGCGCGCCCTGCAGCGTCGTCTGTGGGACTACCACGCCGGCCCAAACAGTACGGGGTTCCTCGGGTAGAAGGTGTGCATTCCCTCGCCTCTCCGGTAATCTGGAGGGAGCAGCGCCCAGTCGGGGCCTTGGTTGTCGATGACCCGCTGCCTCCATGGTAGTATTGTCAGGGTCCCGGAATCGTCCTCGTAGAAGCCGTGGCGCAGCTCTGCAAGGCGCGGGCGGCTCTCCTCGTCCCGCTCTCTCCACGTTGGATCCCGGGATCGATGGAACCTCCGGCGAGCTGCCCGAAGCTGGACGAACGCCGCGTAGATGTCGTGCGCCCGCCGCGTCCGACCAGCGGTCGGCAGGTCCCGCGGGTCGACCCGCAGCGCGTCGGCGTCGCGGTGGAGGAGCCGCACCCAGACCGCATCACTCGTCGCCTCGGCGCGGAGCGCTTTCGTCGTCTCCGCGACGAGGCCCACAGCGGGCGCGGGCAGCAGCTCGTAAATCACGCGCCGCACCGACTCCGGCAGGCCGAGCAAGGTTTCGTCCGCAACGCCGCCCGTGACGAGCGGCTGTAGGACGTGAACGGCGAAGCGGCGCCCGGCGCCCGCCGCGCCGGCTTCGACGTCGCAGCGCGCCCGTCGCGCGCCACATTCTGCGAAGATCTGCACGCGGTCGAGGACAGGGAGGAAGTCCACGTGCACCGCGTCCTCTGCCGATTCGTGCGCGAGGCGCAGCGTGAGCGACGCGCGGGGCCCGGTAGCGGGCGCACCGGTAGCGCGGTCGTGCCAGGTGCATGTAAAGCCGAGGGTGCTGGCTTCGGCCGCACAGGACTCGACGGTGGCCTCGACTGCTGAGGAAGCCATCTCGTTTTGCGCGGCTTGTCTCGACCCAGGAGCGACTCTAACACAAGTACAAGATCTGTGCTGTCTTGGCCGCCCTATAGCCGAGCCAAAGCTTGGGAGCTCTGGCTTAGCTAGAGTACAAAGCCACTAGGACGCAGCAGATTGGCTCTCGGGAACGGTAGCAAGCGACACGTAGCGCAAGACGAAGGAAGTTTGTTGCCGCGGATCAATCGCGCGCGGACTTCGGTTTCAAATGCACTCTTTGAAACACCTGAAGCCAACAGTACATTCCATTGTTTGCGCACAGCGTCAATTTCCATCGTCACCCACAGCCGCTTGGCACAGAGTCCACACACCGCGCCGCTACGGCCCACGCGAAACCGCGGGGCAGCGCGCTGCCCGCCGGCCGCGATAGGAGCCAATTGGTGCCGGCAGCCCAAAACGCCTGCGATGCGGCGGCGGGCGTCACCGCGCCGCCGCACGCGTTCAACGCGCGCCGCCGCACACGCCTCGCGCGGCCGACGCCGCCACGACGCCCCATCGACGCCCCATCGACAAAACGCGCGCGCCCGTTCGCTCGACGTTGCCACTCACGCCGCCGCGCCGCGCAGACACACACTCCATCAATCATGTCTGGCAAAGGAAAAGGCGGCCGCGGCAAGGGCAAGGGCAAGTCCAAGGGCGGCTCGACGTCGTCGGCGTCCAAGGCCGGCCTTCAGTTCCCGGTGGCGCGCCTGAACCGCTACCTGCGCAAGGGCAAGTACGCCTCGCGCGTCGGCGTCGGCGCCGGCGTCTACATGGGCGCCGTCCTCGAGTACCTCTGCGCCGAGATCCTCGAGCTCGCGGGCAATGCCGCGCGCGACAACAAGAAGACGCGCATCGTGCCGCGCCACATCCAGCTCGCCGTGCGCAACGACGAGGAGCTCAACAAGCTCCTCGGCTCGGTCACGATCGCGTCCGGCGGCGTGCTCCCGAACATCCACGCGACGCTGCTGCCCAAGAAGGTGCGCCGGACCGCGTCTCTCGTTCTTCGAAAACTCCGTGGCGCAATGGATAGCGTATCAGACTTCGAATCTGGGGGTTGCGGGTTCGAGTCCCGTCGGAGTTGGATGTCGTCGTCACGCGCAATTTCCCCTCGCAGTCGGGCACCGGCAAGGGCAAGGGCTCCTCGCAGGAGTACTGAGTTCGCTCCCGCTCTCGTCGGCTCTCCGCCGGTCTTTACCCCGCGTGTCGCCAGGCACCACCCAGTAAATTGCTTTTTTAGAATTCGAACTCGTCCTGATGAGCCTGAGCCCGACCTGCGGCCCTGGCTGCACGAGTTAAGTCGATGTTACGGTGCTAGGACTAGTGGGCGGAGCCCCTGGGGGAGAGACACCGCGCGCTGGACGAGTATTCACGCCTTGCTAGTGTCTTACAGGCCGCTAGCTTACAACGACTCATTCAGTTTTCAGGCTCACGAGAGTCGCTCACGCGCTTACCCGTGCGTCAATTGACACGCCGAGACCACTCGTAACCGCGGAGGCCGTACCCTGGCCGCGGAGCTCACACAACGCCCACAACGCCCGATTGCGATTAGAGGGGCCGCGCTGACCTTGGAGTCGATCCGGTCGAGGCGCCGCACGAGGTCGTCGAACGGGTTGTGGCGCGGCGCGTTCAGGTACGAGTGGACATGATTGAGCCGTAGCACGCGCCCGACGGGCGTCCGCGCGACGCAGTCGAGGAGGTCCAAGATGTCCACATCCCCGTCCTTGTCCTTGTCCAGCGCGCTCTCGCTCCGGGGTCTTCGTCGGCTGCGATCCAGGCCCGGCTGAGTCCGCGCGCGTCGGCGGCGCTCGATCGGTCCCTGCGCTACGAGCGCGTTATATACGACGCCGCGGTAGTCGTCCATGACCGGCGGTGCCTGGCGCACCTCGGCTCCGAGGGATGTGCCGCGCGAGGCGGCCGAGCCCCCCGTTGATAAGGCCATGGATACATAAGCTTAGGCAGGGAGGCACAAAGATCAGCGCTCGCCAAGCACGCGCCCGCCGCCCCAGTTGTGGCCGCCCCGCGGCGGCGCCGGCGGCGCGCGGCGGCCCGGCGGCGCCGCGCCCCGGACGCCCGGCGCCACCGCCGGCGCACCGCCGCCGCCGCCGCCGCAGGCATCAATCAACGCCCGCGGCGTTTTTACAATATCAACACCGTACGCGTCCGGTAACACTTCAATAGCGAAGTAGTAGAGGTGCCCGACGCCGATGCCCATCAATGGTAGTAACAACGAATTCCCGATGACCATGTTGAAGGCGCAGAGCGCCCAGGGCAGCATGATGGCCTGGACCGGGAAGCCGTACAGCGACACTTGCTGGGTCGGGTTCCGCCGCGACCAGACGTAGAGCACCAGATACAACATGGCCTGGGCCGGCGCGACCTGGCCCATGAACTCCGAAACGCCGCAGAGCATCAACGCTCCCAGGAACATCATCCAGATATAGTCCGCCGTGTCGCCGCCACCTCCAGTATTATACGGCGAAATCTCGTAGCCCTTGGAGTACTGTTGTAATAAGTATAAGTTGATGAGGAACGGGAAGCTAAACCCCCCGAAGAAGAAGTAGGGCGTGATCAACCGCCAGACCTCAAACCTATGACGCACGGCGGGCCAGCTCCACAATAGTCTATAGGGGTCGACGAGGCCGAAGCTGATCAGACACGTCGTGCCGAAGGACGCCACGAACCAGACGCGCGTGACCGGTGGTAAGGACTCGAGCCAGTCCTTGACGGGGTTGGCCGGGCCCTGGCCGACGCGGCCTAAGTTTCTAGGGCGGACCATGGCTGTCGGCTGTGCCTAGCGCAGCGTGTCTCGGCTATTGCGCGTGGCGTGCGCGGTAGCAGTGGTTGCTCGCAGCGATGGCGTGCTGGCGCACGAATAGTTTGCTATAGCTCGCGCTGAATTAGCGCGTAGCTGGGGACGCGCGGAGCTTAGCTAGCGTTTGGTAAGGCACTAGAAATCCTCAAGTTTTGCCACAGCCTCGGCACGTGCGTTACTTGCAATTATATGCGGCGCTAGGCATCGATAACTCGTTCATCTATAACCCCTTGCTGTGATTCTTGCAGGGATCCATCCCTTAAAGGCCTTGGCACAACTTGCCAGGGAGAGCATCATGCATCTCACTGCGCTGCTCTGGGCGCACGCCGCCGCGTTGCAGCAGCCATTCCGAGCCGCACCGCGCCGCGCTGTCGCCGCGCGCGCGCGCTTCGAGACTGGCGATGATGTGCCCGGCGGGACGTACGAAACTTACGAGCACGACGGCTGGACGTGCGGCTACCGGCACAAGACGGGCTGCGAGCCGGCGATCGTGCTGCTGCATCCCGTCGGTATTGGCCTCTCGAGTTGGTTCTGGACGAGAGTGATGGCGGAGCTGCCCAATGAGGTCTACGCGCCCGACTTTATTGGGTGCGGCCGCAGCGACGCGTGGGACCCGGCCGAGCGCGGTTTATTTTTGCCGCTGGACTACTCGCGGCAAGTCGAGGAGCTCTGGCGCCAGAAGATCGGCAAGCCCTGCTGCGTCGTCGCGCAGGGCGGCCTGGCGCCCGTCGGGGTCTACCTCGCCTCGCGGTCCTCGGATCGGTGGGACGGCGCGCGGGCCGTGGCGGGCCTCGCGCTGAGCGCGCCGCCGCCCTTCGCCGACCTCGCCGAGGGCCTCGACAGCGCGGAGGTAGCTCGAAACTTGGAGTTTTTGCAGTCGTCGCTCGGGCGGCAGCTCGTCAAACTGCTCCGGAGCGCCTTCTTCGTCAAGTTCTTCTCGGACCTGTTCCTCTTCGCCGACGCGTGCGACGAGGCGTGGATCAGCAACTGCCTGACGGACGATGAAAGGCCGAAATCTATAGAGCCGGTGCTGACGTTCAACGCGGGCGTTGTCGGCGCGCGCGGCCTCTTCGACGAGCTCAAGACACAAATCCCCCAACCCGTGCTGGTCATCGAGGGCGCGGCGGACAAGCGGAGCGAGAAGCGCGGCGGCTACGCCGAGACCGTCCCGGACCTCGAGCGCGTGGCGATCGAGGGGTCCTGCAACGTGCCGCCGTGGGAACGGCCCGGCCTCGTGGCGGACGCGATCGGCGCGCTCGTATTACGCGCGCGGAGGCTCGGGCGGCTCGAGGCGCCTGGATAAGAAATTAATCGAGGATGGGGGGGGCAAGCTCCACAGGGTACGAAACACAACATTACACCGTCCGCTCCTTCCGGCGTCGCCGCCGCACACGGATCCACAACAAGCAGCCGAAGAGGAGCAATACCACGACGTCGAGGGGGAGTCGCCGCCACCGCGGCGGCCGCGCGGGCCCGACGCAGGCCGCCCGGTCGCACCGCGGCTCCGTCGCGAGCAGATGCGCCTCCGTCGTAAACACCCACTCGTCGAGGGGATAGACGTCCCGCTCGGAGAAGAGCAGGTACAAGTACTTCAGCGTCTCCGCGAGAAAGAACGACGGCATCGCATCATCTAACTCGGGCTTTGGAGACCGCACGTCCTTGAGACCCGCGAACGCGCCCGTCGCCTTCACGCGGCAATGCGTGACGAGCGCCTCGAACACGGCCCAGCCCCGGTCCCTGTAAACGTCGTCGCCCGTCGTCCGGTAGAGGTAGAAGAGGCTCTCCACATATTCCGGTCGCAGAGCATACCATCGACTCTTTTCACCTTTCCCGTCCGCGCCGAGGCCCGTGGGGGTGCGATACCTGTGTGGAAATCAACCAGTGAGTTAGGTTATCCTGAGAAGTATTGCGGAGATCTGCGTGAACCCCCACGCCATCGACGCGTGGGGCGTCCGAAATCTGATTCCACACAGTGCGATACCAGTCGCGCCCGTGGCCGTCGACGAGCTCCCGGGCGCGGGCGAGCGCGCGCTCCCGACTTGTCGAAGAGGCGCTCCGCCGGCGCTTTGCAGTCGTCGCGCCGAGCGCGAGCATACCGGGAGCAAACAGCGCGAGATGCTCGTTCGGCAGCGCCTCGCGCATCAATCTAGCTTCCACCCAGTCGTACATGGCCGCGCGCGCCTCCGAGGCGTCGCCGACGAGCTGCTCCTTCAGCAGGTACTCGTGGAACGAGTCGCCCCCCGACCCAAGGCCTCGGCGCGCGTGCAACCGGTTGTTGAAATTGCAGTCCTTGCCGTAGAACCCCTTCATCCACCGCTTCATGCCACCGCCGCCGTCCTCGGCCCAGCCTTCGTGTAACTGGTCGAAGATACGATCGGCCGCGGCCTCGTACGTGAGGTCGCCCGTCTCGCGCGCCAGGACGCGGAGCTCGAGACCGAAGCTGCCTATACCGGCCAGAGACGCGCAGTCCTTGTGCTGCCCGGGCCAGCGCGCCTGGACCTCGTCGATGATACGCGCGACCAGCCACAAGATGGGTCTCCCGTAGGGATCGGCAAGGCGCTGCCGCGTGCGCGTGTAGGCGTCTCCCAATTTGCGCGGGAGGACGCTCAGCACGCGGTCGGCGGCATGGCTCGCCGCGTGGAGCAAGCGCCGATCGCCCGACACCTCGAACGCGCCCAATAGCCCTCCTACGACACGGATGTGGTACTCGAAAACGGAGACAGACTGCCAGAACGGCGGCTCGCCGACGAGCGTCGGCCTCAGCACTTCGGTCACGGCCCTCTCGTAGTCCTCGCGTAGCCCGACGACGTACAAGCTGTCCAGCGCGTCGACGAGGGTGGCTCGGGAGTGCAGCCAGTTGACGCCTCGTCGCGAGACCGGCGCGAGGTCGTCGAAGCCGCTCGCGTCCTTCTCGTAGGCGCGGAAGGAGTCCTTCAGAGCGCCTCTCACGGCTTTCGCGCGCGACGGCCAGTCGACTTCGCCTTGCGCGAGCGTCGCGCCTTGCGCGATCGCAAGCGCGAGCGTAAGGGTTACAAGGGTGGTCTTCATGCTACCACATGGATGGTGCTGCGAGTAGTTACTTCGCTGCACTGATCTGTAGAGGTGCTTGGGAGTTATAACACGGCACCCATGCTGCAGCTGCGCTTGTGTTTGTGCTGTGAGCCGGCTGCAAAGTTGCTGCTCGTGCTAGTGCCTTACAGGCCGCTAGCTCGCTTTTTTAAACCCGCTGGCAAAGGCTGCCCCGGAGTGTAATTACTCGACAAATAATACCAGTCGCATTGATTATTGATTGTGGCTGCTCGAAATATTGCGTGCCAGTCGCATTTAGGCTACTCCAAATATTGCACTTCCATTATTGGCAGCAGAGCACCACTCTCACGCACTTGCCAGCCGGAGAGAGAGGAAGATGAGCGCGTCGTGACTGATGGAGCGGCCGACGCGATGGCGGCCGACGCGGTGGCGGCCGACGCGGTGGCGCCATGGCGAGGCCCGGCCGCCGCGCAGCGTGCCGGCCGCACCACCATCGCGGCACCGGCGGCCCGTGATGCTGCGGCCGGCCCGCCGGCATGTTGCAGCGCTCGCGGCACTACTAATAATCTGGGCCCTCGCCGCGCGCCGCCAGACGCGCTTAGCAAGGGGCCTCGCGGGCGGCGACGGTGGAAGGGAGGGCCTCGCGGCGCTGCGGGCAGCGAGCACACAAAGCTACACAGTGACAGACGCGACGGCAAGCGGCAGCGGCCTCACGGTCAAGTATTTGCTGGACTTCGAGGGCGGCGAGCGCGCGCTCTACAAGCCCCTGCGCATGAATTTCGAGCGAATCGGAGGCAAGGACGTCAAGGACGCGCGGCACCTCGAGGAGCCGTGGGGCGAGGTCGTGGCGTCGGCGCTCGCGCGCGTGCTGCGCCTGCGGAACGTGCCTCCAGCAATCATCATGGAAGTGCCAAGCAGCACGCTCGCGGCGGCGACGGCGCCGCGATCACTCAGGGCGCTCCTGTCGCGCTGCCCCCGCTACATATCAAGGAGGCTCGTCAGGCGCCTCGCACCTTCCATATCTAGAGACGGCTGCGCGCTCCGGGACGACGTCGACATGGTCAGGGGCGCGTTGGTCCGCTGGGAACCGCACGACCTTGTGAGACTTGCTCGCCCTAACCGCTGGTTCCTGCGCGGCGCGCGGGCTCTCTGCGGCGTGGGCGCGTGCCCGCTCTCAATAAGGGAGCGGCGCGCCTGGGGCGACCTGGAGGCGTTTGATGCTATCTTAGGCAATTACGACCGGGCGAACAATATTTTTTATCGAGGGCGCAGAATAGCGCCGCTCGACCACAACCACGTCGGCCGGAACCTCACAATAGCCCGCATTGGTTGGCGCTGGTGCGACGCGTCGCCGGCCGTCGCTCACATAGTGCGGGCGGCCGCGGCCAGGGAGGTCGTCCACGAGGGATGCGCTACTACGGACGGCTCCCTCTTCGCCGCCGTCGCCTGCGAGGCCGCGCCCGACGAGCTCCCGGAGAAATTTCGGAGGATCCTCGACGCGAACGCCGCGGCGTACGCCCAACACCTCGCCTCGCCCTTCTGTCGGCGCCGCCGCCGGGGAGACGTGTCTTAATGAAGTTTTATTGTTCGGAGAGGTCTCCGGAGAGCTCCCGTCTAACCCGGCACGCGCCCGCTCCAGCGCTCTGCCTCTGTCAAAGCTTTGGCAGCCTCTGCCATCTTCTGCCGGCACTGGATCGGCAACCGACGCACCTCCGCCTTAGCTGGAGTTCGGGCAGCCGACGGCGAGTCCCAACGCGCCCTCTGTCCAAGTGCTGCCCGGCGCGGGGCAGCCCGAGACCTGTGCGGCGGCGCCCGGCAGCTCCGTCGTCTGCGAATGTCGGAGAAGGCCGACGACGTGCAAAAACCGGACCAAGCCGCCTGGCGGACCTGGTACAAGAAGCCCATGATAGTCGTCGGACTCCTGTGGTTCGCCGCCGTGCTGTGCGGCAGCGGCATCTGGGCGGGAGCCGGCATCAGCTGCAGCTCGGACGAGGCGAAGGCGTCCTTCGAGCGGAAGGATGCGAGCTGCCGGAAGTTTAATCGGAAGTACCCGACGGTGTCGATGCTCATGCTCCACCGGCCGGCCAAGAATGCCATGCGCGGCTTCGTGATCCCGGGCATCCTGGTGAACGGCGCGGCGGACCTGGGCCTCGCCGCGAAGCTCGGCGACCGGTATCGGGGCGACGGCGCCAAGTGCGCGAACATGGCCGCCGCGCTCTTCGCGGTGATGTCGCTCATCGCCATTTTGATCGGCATGGGCACGAATCCGCGGGGCATGACGCACGTGACGGCCTGCGTGACGTGGGCCTTCTTCCGGATGATCTGGGGCTGGCTCCTGCTGTGCGTCGTGTGCACGTCGTGCAACTGCGGGCCGATCCAGCTCGCGTACACGGTCGTGCGAGTCGTCTACGGAGGCGTCCTGACGTTCCTGGGCATGAAGCTGGCGACGCAGGCCCACTCGGGCAACATGCCGGGCCACCTCGAGATGATGGTCGTGATCGGCGTGTTGATCTTCCAGGTGTCCCTCACGCCCGAGGCCGCGGGCTTGTGGGAGCCCGAGGCGGCCGGGGGGCCCGACGATGTGGAGGCGGCGCCGGACGGAGTGGACGTCGCGGCGTAAGACGGCATTGTAGCTTTTAGTCCGCCGAGTGTCCCTGGAAAAAAAACGGGTTTGGAAAAGAGACAGTACAGGTAAGGTAGCACCTTCCCTGCTAGTAGGTTCGAGCCCGCGCTGGCACTTTTAGGTGGACGCATCGGTCCCGCACGTGTCGAAAGTAGAGTACTGTGCGTCGGGGCAGCGTCTCTCGCGGACGCGGGCGCTCCGTCAACGGTACGGGGCATTTACTCGACGCCATCGACGTGGCGACGCACTGCACGAGATATAAAAACAAGGAGCCGGACCCGGGAGATAGGGCGGGGAAATTTGTGAGGGCACGGCGGAACAAGCATTATCTCGAGTTACCTACGGGTAGATCTACGGGTCTTAGTACAGTCTTATGCAATATAACATTCATGCGGACCTGAAAGCGAAGCGAAGCAAATGCCTGCTTTCGAGGCGCCGGCGGGGCGACGACCGAAGGAAGCAGCTGAGGGGAAACGTCAATGCGACTTCTGGAAACGCGCACCCCGCGGCGTCGCGTCGTCGCAGGCTTCTTGTGCGGCCCTGGCAAACTCAGGATCGGGATGTGCTCTCTTCGTCCGTCGACCCGGAGTCCGCCGCGGCGCGCGCGCGCTCTAGTGGTAATTGAACGTCCTAATCGTGTGGGTGCCCGCCTCCACGGCGTCGTCCGGAGATGGGAAGGCCTGAAATAGAACGGCGGCGTCGGCGCCGTCGCGACGCCTCGGAACCACGGGAATGAAGTGCATCACCGTCGCGACGAGCGAAGGAAGAGGGGCCGCGGCGCGGGTGCGCCACTCGTCGTAGGGGCCCCGCGGCTTCTTCCGCCACTCGGTCCGATGCCTCAGCGCGGCTGGCCGTGCCGAATCGGCCGTCGTAGATCGCGCAGGGCGCCGGCGCCGCCTCCGTGAAGCAGAACTGGAGAACCGCGGGCGCGGCGGCACGTCCCCCCCCCGATGCCGCCTTGATATGATCCCGAGCGCCTCGAGCGGCGCCACCGGCTTGCGCCGCAGCCGAGCGGGTGCGGCAGGATGCCACGCAGGGCGGGCGCTGGCTCTTCGCTTCCGGTTCGCGCCGCGCGCGACCGCCGCGCGCGGCCGACGCCGCGCGCTCGACTTTCGGCGCGCGCCTCGGCTAAAGCGCGGGCCCGGCGCAGCGGGGACGCGGGCCGCGGCGCCGGCGCGGCCGTTCAGCGCCGTCGTGCCATTCGTGCCGCAGCGGCAATGGCCCGACGTTTAACAGTGCATTCGGCTGCCCGGCAGGGCATTGTATGCAGCCCGCGCGCGGGTACGGGGTGGTACTGATGTGGAGGGATGGTCCCAACCCGCAAAGATCGGAGAAGCAATGGGAAGTTGCCCTCAAAACGCGTCAAAGACTGACAAAATGTCTCCCGTAACGTTGCTAGTGTCTTACAGGCCGCTAGCGCACCCGTTTTATCGGTCTTGACGCATCGGTCCCGCACACGTTTAGAAAGTAGAGTACCGCGTCGGGCGCTCCGTCAATGGTACGGGGGCATTTGTGTTCACGATCGCGGGCACTTGCCCGATATACTTACGATCGCTGGTGCGGGCCGATATATGGGCCTACCCCTCGACGCCATCGACGTGGCGACGCATTGCGCGATATAAAAAGCAAGGAGCCGGCGCCGCGTCCGTGAAGCAGGGCAGAGGGCGCCCCGCGGCGCACGCCCCCGATGCCGCCTTGATATGATCCCGAGCGCCTGAGCGGCGCCACCGGCTTGCGCCGCAGCCGAGCGGGTGCGGCAGGATGCCACGCAGGGCGGGCGCTGGCTCTTCGCTTCCGGTTCGCGCCGCGCGCGACCGCCGCGCGCGGCCGACGCCGCGCGCTCGACTTTCGGCGCGCGCCTCGGCTAAAGCGCGGGCCCGGCGCAGCGGGGACGCGGGCCGCGGCGCCGGCGCGGCCGTTCAGCGCCGTCGTGCCATTCGTGCCGCAGCGGCAATGGCCCGACGTTTAACAGTGCATTCGGCTGCCCGGCAGGGCATTGTATGCAGCCCGCGCGCGGGTACGGGGTGGTACTGATGTGGAGGGATGGTCCCAACCCGCAAAGATCGGAGAAGCAATGGGAAGTTGCCCTCAAAACGCGTCAAAGACTGACAAAATGTCTCCCGTAACGTTGCTAGTGTCTTACAGGCCGCTAGCGCACCCGTTTTATCGGTCTTGACGCATCGGTCCCGCACGTTTCGAAAGTAGAGTACTAGGCGTCGGGCGCTCCGTCAATGGTACGGGGCATTTTGTGTTCACGATCGCGGGCACTTGCCCGATATACTTACGATCGCGGGTACGGGCCGATATATCTGGCCTACCCCTACTCGACGCCATCGACGTGGCGACGCATTGCGCGAGATATAAAAGCAAGGAGCCGGCGCCGCGTCCGTGAAGCAACTGGGCAGGAGGGCGCGCCAGCGGCACGCCCCCGATGCCGCCTTGATATGATCCTGAGCGCCTCGAGCGGCGCCACCGGCTTGCGCCGCGGCCGAGCGGGTGCGGCAGGATGCCACGCCCGGCGGGCGCTGGCTCTTCGCTTCCGGTTCGCGCCGCGCGCGACCGCCGCGCGCGGCCGACGCCGCGCGCTCGACTTTCGGCGCGCGCCTCGGCTAAAGCGCGGGCCCGGCGCAGCGGGGACGCGGGCCGCGGCGCCGGCGCGGCCGTTCAGCGCCGTCGTGCCATTCGTGCCGCAGCGGCAATGGCCAGACGTTTAACAGTGCATTCGGCTGCCCGCCAGGGCAATTGTATGCAGCCCGCGCGCGGGTACGGGGTGGTACTGATGTGGAGGGATGGTCCCAACCCGCAAAGATCGGAGAAGCAATGGGAGGTTGCCCTCAAAGGTTCTAAAGACTGGCACAAAGGTCTCCCGTGACGTTGCTAGTGTCTTACAGGCCGCTAGCGCAACCCGTTTTATCGGTCTTGACGCATCGGTCCCGCACGTTTCGAAAGTAGAGTACTAGGCGTCGGGCGCTCCGTCAATGGTACGGGGCATTTTGTGTTCACGATCGCGGGCACTTGCCCGATATACTTACGATCGCGGGTACGGGCCGATATATCTGGCCTACCCCTACTCGACGCCATCGACGTGGCGACGCATTGCGCGAGATATAAAAGCAAGGAGCCGGCGCCGCGTCCGTGAAGCAGAACTGGAGAACTGCGCCCGCGGCGGCACGTCCCCCCCCGATGCCGCCTTGATATGATCCTGAGCGCCTCGAGCGGCGCCACCGGCTTGCGCCGCGGCCGAGCGGGTGCGGCAGGATGCCACGCCCGGCGGGCGCTGGCTCTTCGCTTCCGGTTCGCGCCGCGCGCGACCGCCGCGCGCGGCCGACGCCGCGCGCTCGACTTTCGGCGCGCGCCTCGGCTAAAGCGCGGGCCCGGCGCAGCGGGGACGCGGGCCGCGGCGCCGGCGCGGCCGTTCAGCGCCGTCGTGCCATTCGTGCCGCAGCGGCAATGGCCCGACGTTTAACAGTGCATTCGGCTGCCCGGCAGGGCATTGTATGCAGCCCGCGCGCGGGTACGGGGTGGTACTGATGTGGAGGGATGGTCCCAACCCGCAAAGATCGGAGAAGCAATGGGAGGTTGCCCTCAAAGGTTCTAAAGACTGGCACAAAGGTCTCCCGTGACGTTGCTAGTGTCTTACAGGCCGCTAGCGCAACCCGTTTTATCGGTCTTGACGCATCGGTCCCGCACGTTTCGAAAGTAGAGTACTAGGCGTCGGGCGCTCCGTCAATGGTACGGGGCATTTTGTGTTCACGATCGCGGGCACTTGCCCGATATACTTACGATCGCGGGTACGGGCCGATATATCTGGCCTACCCCTACTCGACGCCATCGACGTGGCGACGCATTGCGCGAGATATAAAAGCAAGGAGCCGGCGCCGCGTCCGTGAAGCAGAACTGGAGAACTGCGCCCGCGGCGGCACGTCCCCCCCCGATGCCGCCTTGATATGATCCTGAGCGCCTCGAGCGGCGCCACCGGCTTGCGCCGCGGCCGAGCGGGTGCGGCAGGATGCCACGCCCGGCGGGCGCTGGCTCTTCGCTTCCGGTTCGCGCCGCGCGCGACCGCCGCGTGCGGCCGACGCCGCGCGCTCGACTTTCGGCGCGCGCCTCGGCTAAAGCTCGGGCCCGGCGCAGCGGGGACGCGGGCCGCGGCGCCGGCGCGGCCGTTCAGTGCCGTCGTGCCATTCGTGCCGCAGCGGCAATGGCCAGACGTTTAACAGTGCATTCGGCTGCCCGCCAGGGCAATTGTATGCAGCCCGCGCGCGGGTACGGGGTGGTACTGATGTGGAGGGATGGTCCCAACCCGCAAAGATCGGAGAAGCAATGGGAGGTTGCCCTCAAAGGTTCTAAAGACTGGCACAAAGGTCTCCCGTGACGTTGCTAGTGTCTTACAGGCCGCTAGCGCAACCCGTTTTATCGGTCTTGACGCATCGGTCCCGCACGTTTCGAAAGTAGAGTACTAGGCGTCGGGCGCTCCGTCAATGGTACGGGGCATTTTGTGTTCACGATCGCGGGCACTGCCCGATATACTTACGATCGCGGGTACGGGCCGATATATCTGGCCTTTCCCTACTCGACGCCATCGACGTGGCGACGCATTGCGCGAGATATAAAAACGAGGAGTCGGCGCCGCGTCCGTGAAGCAGAACTGGAGAACCGCGGGCGCGGCGGCACGTCCAGCCCCGATGCCGCCTTGATATGATCCTGAGCGCCTCGAGCGGCGCCACCGGCTTGCGCCGCGGCCGAGCGGGTGCGGCAGGATGCCACGCCCGGCGGGCGCTGGCTCTTCGCTTCCGGTTCGCGCCGCGCGCGACCGCCGCGTGCGGCCGACGCCGCGCGCTCGACTTTCGGCGCGCGCCTCGGCTAAAGCTCGGGCCCGGCGCAGCGGGGACGCGGGCCGCGGCGCCGGCGCGGCCGTTCAGTGCCGTCGTGCCATTCGTGCCGCAGCGGCAATGGCCAGACGTTTAACAGTGCATTCGGCTGCCCGCCAGGGCAATTGTATGCAGCCCGCGCGCGGGTACGGGGTGGTACTGATGTGGAGGGATGGTCCCAACCCGCAAAGATCGGAGAAGCAATGGGAGGTTGCCCTCAAAGGTTCTAAAGACTGGCACAAAGGTCTCCCGTGACGTTGCTAGTGTCTTACAGGCCGCTAGCGCAACCCGTTTTATCGGTCTTGACGCATCGGTCCCGCACGTTTCGAAAGTAGAGTACTAGGCGTCGGGCGCTCCGTCAATGGTACGGGGCATTTTGTGTTCACGATCGCGGGCACTGCCCGATATACTTACGATCGCGGGTACGGGCCGATATATCTGGCCTACCCCTACTCGACGCCATCGACGTGGCGACGCATTGCGCGAGATATAAAAACGAGGAGTCGGACCCGGGAGATAGGGCGGGGAAACTTGTCGGGGGAAAACCCGTCACAAAAAAAACCCGAGCAAAGCCGGCAAAAATCCCACCGCGCACTTGAAGACTCCGGGGCATCTCCCCGACGCCTTTTGAAGGTTTTTTGAGGCCGCTACGTGGGTCCCGAACGCGAAGTGCCCCCCTTGGTTTATCTCCCAGGCCGAGAAGGTCAAAGCCGGTCCAACTTGCGGTTCAATCGCAGCGATCGCGAGCTACTGGGTCGACGCGCCGGCAGTGGGCGCGTCACCGCTGTTCGCCGCAAAGATCATCGACGCGACAGCCGCGAACCATCGGGCGGTGGCCGCCGCGAGCGGCGTCCGCTACGTCCGCGGCACCGCGGGCCACCCGCGCTGCGGCAAGATGCGGTTCGTTAGCGATACGCTCGCGAAGCTAGAAGAAGGAGAGTGGCTCCTGTTCCTCGACGGCGACGCGGCGCTCAGCTGCGGCGCGTGGTCGGCGTTTACGCGCACGGCCTGTCGTCGGTCCTCGCCACAAGCTGGGTACCGCCTCGCCGAGCCGCTTTCGTTGATTGCGGGCTCGAAGTACGGCGTGTTCCTGGTTAGGAATGACGCGTGGGCGCGGGAATACCTCGACCGCTTCGCGACTGCGCTCGAAGCGAGGCCGCTCCTCTGCGCGACGTCGACGTTTCCCGAGAACGCGGTGGCCGCGTCGGTGACGACGGAGCGCGACCGCTGCCATTACGCAAGGGTCGCGTCCCTGCTGGATCACGCGCCCCACCTCGTCTCCGTCGAAGCAAAGCGCGACCCCGACGCCGTCGAGCGCTTCGTCGCCGGCGTGCGCAACGCGACGGCCTGCTGGACGCGCCACCGGGCACGCCATCGAGCGGCCGTCCTCGACCGCGGGCGCGCCATCCTCAAGCCCGGGATCGCGCCCAAACCCTTCGTGCCGATCCGGTACGAGCCCGAAGGATCTACTACGGTTGCCGCGAGGACCCCCCGCCGCGCGAACGCGAAGGAGCTTCGCCGGGCGTACGAACGCGCCCGCCAAGAGCTCAAGACCATCGAGCTCGAGGCGCGGCCGAAGAGCGATCGGAAGCCAGACCTCCACGCCATCGAGCAGGCACAGCTACGGAGAGAACGACGGAATGAATAAAACTAGGCTTAGGTCCCCCACCGGCTCCGGTACTGCGACGACCGCTGCGTCCTATATTGAGAAAACTCGTCCTCGGGTTGTTGCTGCTGCTGACCAGCACCGACGCCCTGGTTCGACTGCTGCTGCCGCACGTCGATGGGCTCCGCGATGCCCGTGCCGCGCGCGCCGAGGCCGCCCTCGCGCCAGCCCATCTGCTGGAGCATCTGGTGGCCCATGTTATCCGCACCGATGGCCGCGTCCAGGCCCTGGCGCCGCGTCGCGTCCTCGTCGACCCTTCTCGTACTATACCCGGAATCGAGCTGCTCGTAGGCGCGTCGTCGCTTCCTATCATCTTGTTGGGCACGGTGCTCCGGGTCCTCCTCCTCCTCATTTAGGGAAGAAGGCGGCTTCTGCTGCGCCGCTCGTCGTAGTTTGTCCTTTTCCAACAACCTATAAAACTCCTTGACCCTAGCTTCCAACCGCCCGGGCTCGACGGGCATCGGCGCCGCCGTCGGCATCGTCGTCAGATCCAGCGGCCGCCAGGGCTCGTGGCCGCCATTTAATGCTACTTTCACGAGACCCGCCATGACGCCCACGGGAATCGTCGAGAGGTCGCAGCGCTGGTCCTGCACCGTCGCCACTGGTTGTGGTTCATTCTTCGCCGCCACCTTCAGCTCGTCAATCTGCTCACTATTAAAAACCTTCTTCGCGCCCCAGAGCTCGATCACTTTGACTAGTTTCTCTCGGGACGCATCGTCCTTTGCACTTTTCGAGGCCCCGCGGATGATATCTGATAGTACAGGAGCGAAGCTCCTCCGAAACGGATCGTCCTTCGTCCGCGCCGCGAAGAAGATGTCATTTAGTAGATAGACGGCGAAAAGTAATTTCTGGAATCCGGGGTTGTTCATCACATGTTTCTGGAGGGCTTTGGCGAAGGTCTCAGCTTTATCAGGTCGCTGGAGGAGCCACTCCTTGGCTTGTTTGATGCTTTCCTTCGTGCCGGACATGTCGGCCAAGAGCTTCTGGAACGTCGCGGCGTCGTCGCTCGTTGCCGGTGGCGCGGCGGTGCCGAGGCTCATGCGGAAGCCGGACATTGTTTGCTGCTGGGCTGGCGCTTTTTTTCTGCTCGTTTTGCGCCTTCGCGGCGACTGGCGTTCGCGCCCGCCCGCGCGCGGCGAGGCTGCTGCTGGGTGTGATTGGGGTGCAGGGCTTGATTTGCCTGCGTACCGCAAGCGGACCAGCCAAGGGATACGTGCGCGTGCTGAAGATGTGTAGTACACGATGAGCTCGCTCCAGAAGCTTGCGCAGCGCGTTTTTTTATATGGCCAAAATTGCAGCTAGCGTCCTGTAACACACTAGAGATCCAGGGGGCGTCGACGTGGGCGCATTGCTCAGCTGTGGCCGATTGACGCGGCTACGCAGCTTTCAGTAGCTGCTGTCGAGCGCTGCCGAGGCTCTGCCCGCTCCTGATAATAATACGTCAGCACAAGCGATAACAAAAAGAGTGCCACCTGCAGCCACACTGCAGTGTGCCACATCGCGGCGCGCATCGATGGAGGACACACCAACCGCGGAGAAGCAGGGATACCCCGCATTAATGCAGCCCCGCATCACGCAGCCCAAAGCGAGGCCCTTCCGCATCGTCGCGAGCGAGCGCCACTACCCACTCGCGGGCTGGCGCCGCTGCTGGAGCCGCGGCGACCCGCACCCCTTCGAGTTCGAGGACAGCGGCCGGCCCTGCGCCGCGCCGGACGACGCCGGTTGGAGGGTGGAGGTGCGCGACGCGACGGATCAAGAAGGATGGCTATACGGCACGGCGTTCGAGCGGTTAAATGATCACCGCAAGGGCGGTCGCGCGGCGAAGCGCTCGACGGATAGGTGTCGAAGGCGCGTCTGGGTGCATTGCGTCGACGCGGGGCCCGCTCCGATCGAAGACGAGGAACCTCCGCAGGACGACGGCACGTCGCTCTTCTGGCGCGTCTGCCGCGCGACGCTGGGCAGGAGGCCGCTCCAGGACTACCCCATGGACCCGACGGCCTGGTACCGCGTGCGAAAGAGCCACGAGCGCTTCTATGAAGAATGGGTTTCGAAACCGCATCCGGACGTCGCGCGGGCGCAACTTATTGACCTCGCGCACGCGTTTTTGTACTGCCGGGCGGCCTGCGGCGGTGTGGAAATCAACCAGTCGCGTCGATGGCGTATACTCTCCACGCCATCGAGCAGATGCAGTTACGGGGACAGCGTCGCGTCGATGGCGTAGACTCTCCACGCCATCGAGCAGATGCAGTGAAATTTGATGTCCACGCAGGCCTACGGCTTCGCCATGGCCGAGGGCCACATGGACTCGCTGTCGAAAGGTGCCGCCTTGTTTACCTACAAAAAAGTAGCCTATTTCGATCCCGCCGAGGACTGCTGCGGCGCGGAGAACACGCGGGCCCTGCGGAGCATGGCCGGCCTTAGTGAAGATGCCGTCCTCTGCACGAAGTGGTCCATCAAAGCCTACAAACCCAGTTTTTTTGTTTGTCTGGACCATGCGAGGCGGTGGGTCGTGATTGGCATCCGGGGCACGGTGGCGACGCGCGACCTCCTGGCGGACGTGACGGCGTCGCAGGTCAAGTTTAGGAATGGCCGGGCGCATTTGGGGTTTCTGCGGTGCGCGGCGTTTGTGGAGAAGGCTTCTGCAGAAGCTCTACGACAAGCTCACGAGAAATACTCAGACTACACTTTGGTATTGTGCGGCCACAGCATGGGCGCTTCCGTGGCGGCCCTATTAGCCTTGGCTCATGTTGATGATGACAGCGTGTGGCCTACATTCGCCAAAACACGTGTGTACTGCATGGCGGCGGGACCGTGCGTCTCTCGTAACTTGGCCGAAGCATGTAAAGCGTTCTGCCTCGGCGCCGTGCGCGGCCGCGACCCCATCGCGCGGCTGTCGGTGTTGAGTGTCGAAGGTCTGTTAGATGAGCTCGTCGATCAAGGTTTAGGAAGGCGGCTGCAGCAACTCCTCTTCGGCGCGGCGCCATCCTCAGAGGTACGGGGCGCCGTGAGCGTTACTCATACAGACGACATCAATGAAAACGTGGAGGTGCCTTTGTCAGGCCTCACGGCGGACCTGGACGTCTTCGCCGAGGCTGTGGTCGCCGAGAGAGCGCCGTCACCGCCGGTCGTTTCAACTGGGAACTCGCGCGCCATCGCCGCTGCTTTAGCGGAGACGGAGTCGTCCGTGCGCGAGCCGCTTTTGTTGCCGGGCGCGGTCGTGCACGTCGACCGGCTGGCTACGGGTCCGGTCGCGTTCGCCTCATCAGCAAGCGACTACGAGCGTTTATTACTATCGAACGCGCTCCTGGGCCACCACCTGCCGGCGGGCTACTGCGATTTGTTGTTGGAGCTCTCCGGGGCTTATGCTTCTGACGAGTCGCCGGACGCGCTCGCGGCGTTGCGAGCTAGGGTGATCGCGTCGGACTGGGCGCGGCCGGTTGATCGGTCGGTTTTGACATAGTTGTTTTGTGTTTTTTTCGTCTATCTTTTGGCTTTCTTTTTTTGTCTGAGGACTAGTGCGGTGCACCGGTTTGGACGGGTTTTGCCAAATTTGCAGCTTGTGCCGGCGCTCACGCTGCCGGACTTGCGCGCGTATCGTGAGCAACGGGCGAAATACGTGACGAGGAGGCTACGTGGACGACGCTTCTGGGCTTGCCTGACGAGCACACTGGTCACATGCTCCGCGTGTACTGCGTGTACCACGAGTTCAGGCGCACGGGCATTCTAGGAGTAGACGGCACGCGCGCGCCCATCAGCCCCGACGTCGTCTTCTCCTCGACCGCCCTGCGCGCGGCCTCGCCCACGACGCGACCTGGATCATCACCGGCGCCGGCGGCGCGATGGGCGGCAGCCGGTAGCCCTCGGGCCAGGCGTAGAACATGGCTATTGTCCAAGTCAATTGGTAGAGGACGTAGAGGACGAGGAGGCCGCGGCGATCAATGGTGCTTGAGTCCTCTACGGCGCGCACCGGGCCGCCCGACGGCCCGGGTCTAAGAGGATGCGTGCGCAGGTGGAGCGATGCAACTCGGGGCCCCGGTCCCTATTTCGGCGGCCACGAGAATCTCGCTCTATTTCTGCGCCCGCGCGGTTGAGCCTGAGGCGAACTTGGCGCCTTGAAGGCGAAACTTTCAGGTGCCGCGCGACGAAGCGACCAGACCGGTAGCGTTCCGCGTACTAGAGGACGCGACGGCCTCAACGCAGAGGCAGGCGCAGATATAGCGCGGCCTGGCGAGCTCAGCACACTCCGGCAATGCAGCAAACATCGTCGATATGCGGATCGACGTAATCTTCCAAGGAGAGGATTGCGAGCCAGGAATGATGTAAGAACCCCGGGCAAGCGTACGATTGGCTTTGATTGGCCTTGCTAGTGGCTTTACAGACCGCTAGCCTCGGTTTTTCGAGCTCGATTGGGCAGCACGATAAATCCGGAGGTTAGGCTCAGGAACTGTGCAAGACAACGATCGATCAAAACTCGCAGCACAGCAGTCCATACTCTCGCATTGCACTGATCCGCCAAGCACAGCGCTACACCAGGAGATGGCAGCCACGGACAAGAGCTTGCTGGCCGAGCCGACGGGCAGTAGCCACCTCAAGAAACTTGTGATCGACGCACCCTCCACAAGCGACCAACCAAAGGTAATAGATGTGGACGCGCCCCCGCCACCACCAGAAGACGATCTAGAAGTCGAGGAGGTCGAGCCGAGCTTAGCAGATTTGATGATGGGCGACGCGTTACAAAATAAAGCGGAACGCGCCGCCAAGACGGCCAAGGAAGAAAAGCGCATGAAAAAAAGTTTTGGCGACGGCATGAAGAAGGGCCTGAAAAAAGGGTTTTTCGACAAGAAACCGTCGAGCAAGAAGCAACCGGCCAAGCCGAAGCCGAAACCCAAGGAGGACGAGATGCCCACGATCACACGATCGTCAAAGAAGGAGCCGGGCGAGGTCATGCAGTCCATGAAGGAGGAGATCGCGTCGAGTATGGCGCAGGATCGACACCCGTTGGCCGCCGCGCTCCAGGGCGGCGAGTGGGTCACGCCCGATTTGATAAAGGAGATGGCCAAGCGGCCGGTCCTGGCCAAGGGCATGTCGAATCCCAAGTACCAGGCGCGTTTCGCGGCGTCTGTATATATCTACTGGTGTAGCGTCGCGGCGATGGCGTTACGTGAGAGCGATTCGCGTGCGGTTACGCCATCGGGGTTTGCTGCATCGCGTCGATGGCGCCGCGATGACATACGACACGCGCAGGCGGCGTTACAAGAGCTCCAGAAGGACCCGAAGAACGGCGCGAAAAAGTTCGACAGCGATCCGGAACTCAAACGCTTCCTGACGGAGTTCTGCGAGGTCATGGGCAGCCACATGATCAAGCTGGCGGGCGACGAGGACGCCCCTAAACCCTCAACACCAGCTTTACCGACGGAAAAAGAGAAAAAGGAGATGGGCCCCCTCTGCTCGCAAATCGCCGAGGACTGCGCGAATGGCAAGGGCCCCGAGCCCTGCAAAACGAAAAAGGAGCAGGACGAAGTTGATGCGGTGTTGAAAAATGAGGAATTGCGGGAGCTGCTGATGAACCCGAAGACGCAGGAGCTCATGCAGCGGTGCTCGGACCCGCGGGCCTTCCAGGAGGCGATGCGCGATCCCGCGAACCGGGCCATCATCGGGAAGCTCGAGCAGGCGGGCTTGGTCCAGCTGCAACGGTAGCCTAGTCACGGTAAATTTTGAGTGTTATAATAGTACTGATGGCGTGCGGGGGACTCAATCCGTCGCGCGCGTCGCAGCGATGGCGTGCCAGTGGACTACTAGTATGCACAACAGCAATGGGGGACGGTGATGCGCCGATGGCGTGCAGTTGGACTCGGACTCCGTCCGTGTACGTCCCGAGGGTAATCTTCATCATGATGAGTTGTTACAACAGGGGTAGATACGGCGATGGGGATGGGAAAACTAGGCGTCCGAGTCCGTCGCGTCCGTGTCCTCGTGCACGCGGCGCCAGAGCGCGATGGTCCCGTCCACACTACCGGAAGCGAGGCCGCCGCCCGCCTCGGCCGGCGCAAACGCCAAGCAGGTCACGGCGCCCTCGTGGCGCTTGAGCTCGCTCGGGGTTTGTCCCGAGAAACCCCCGCCACCAAGCGGAAACACGCTCACGGTCAGGTCCGCGCCGGCCGTCGCCACCAAACGCCCGCCGGGCGCGAAGGCCACGCCGTGGACCCAGGCGTCGTGCCGCGCCGCGTCGACCTCGACGTCGCCGCGCCAGAGCTTCAACAACTGGTCCTGGCCGCACGACGCTAATAAGTTCAGTTCCGGCGAGAAGGCGACATCATATAAACGCGACGCGTGCGCGCGGAACCTGAGCATAAGTTCGCCCGTGCTCACGACGAACTGGCGCACGTAGCCGTCGTCGGAGCCTGCCCAGACCCGCTCGCGACTACCAGAAAAGGCCAGGCACCGCACGGCGCCCCACTGTTCATTCGTTTCGTTATTAACGGGAGCCCGCAACGCGTGGACCAGTCGTTCGTTGTCGTGCGGCGCCCAGATCCGCACGCCCCCGTCCCTCGCGCCCGAAACACAGAAGGAATCCGACAGCGCCACACTTAAAACATCGCAGCCGTGCCGCAGCACCGCCGCGCACGCCCACGTCGGCTCCGCGTCGTCGTCGTCGAAGGCCACGGACCGCTGCGCCCGCGGCTTCGAGGGCAGCGGCGCGTCCGGCGCCAATGCCAACCACCGCTCCAAACAGCTCCGGTGGCAGCGCTGGCCGCAGCAGGGCAGGGCCACGGCCGGCTCCGTGTCGCGGACGCCGCAGACCACACAAGCCCCTTTCTGCTGCTCGCCGAAGCTTCCAGATCGGAAGCGGCAGGGCAGCTCGCCGTCGGACACGCCGCCCGACGCGTCGCTCACGGCCGGCGATGTTGAACGCATACAAGAGCGCCTCTGGGGCGGGCCGGCGCTTCTTGATCTTCTAGGGGAGACGACGTCGGATCTAATCTTCCGCTCCGCTCTTCGACGTGCGGGATCCACCCGCCGCCAGACGCGCACCGTCTCATCTAACGCAGCGGTCGCGAGCGCGTCGCCGCGTGCCGAGAACGCCACCGCCCTCACGATGGACGCGTGCCCCCTTAATCGGCCGGCCGGCGCGCCGCCGCGCCAGAGCTGCACGCCGTTGCCCGCCGCCGAGGCTAGTAAAGGCTCCGCCTCCCGTGCGTCTAGGGCATAGGACAAAACGCGCAGCCAGCAGACGTTCGGGACGTGCGCCGGTTTTAGGAGTAATAATTTCGCGCAGCGCTTGCGCAGCGCCGGCGGGAAGTGGGCGTGCGCCTCGACGGACCAGGCGCCCCGCGGCGGCGCAAACGCTAAAGCATTCACGGCGTCCTCGTTGGCCAATCTGAGACGGTCCTGGGGGGCGAAGAGGCGCCTCATTTTCTATCGCATCCACCGCAAAGTGATCGGTGCGATGCTCTGGAGCTCTTGTGCTACGCTAGCTAGCGGCCTGTTAAACACACTAGGAATCCGCTTAGCAGCCACGCTTGAGTATCGTTCCGTTCGCTACTGGTCATATATATATTATTATGATAGGGTTGTTACGACGGAGGAAGGGAGGGAGGAGGGGAAGAGTGGATGGGATTGGGCGGGGAGGGGTGAGGGCGGGGGATGGCTGCGGTGTTGTTTTTTTCCCACGCGGTTGTACGCACTCATTGCATCAACACAAACCAAACGTTACTCTCTCAGGAAAAAAGGAAGGAGGACTACGCCAACCGGCTCGCCCCCCGCTCGCCCTCGAGCGGCGCGAACGACGACGAGTCGCCGCCGTCGTAGACGAGCCGCGTCGTGATGCCCAGCTTCCGCTGCAGGTAGCGCTCGCGCTCCATCGAGGACCAGTGCGGGATGCGGTCCCACTCGTAGTAGGGCACCGACACGGCCTCGAGGCCCGCGTGCTCGAGCAGCCGCCGCTTGAGTCGCGTGTGGCCGAGCGGCCGCTTCGGGTCGTCGGCGCAGAAGTGCGACGGCCCGTCGACCTCGACGGCGACCGCGCGGCCGTCGGGCAATCGTACGAGCACGTCGACGGCGAGGCCGCCGTGCTCGTCGTGCGCGGTCGCCACGACGCCGTGCTGCGCCTTCATGCCCCGGAGTACCTTGGACACGGCCTCGTGCCGCGACGACGGCGCCGACGGCCGCCTCGTCCAGGCCGCGCGGGCAGCCCGCCTCAATTCATTGGTCGTCGCGGCGTCGACTGTCTGCAGTTGCTCTTCCGACGCGCCGGCCGCCGCCAGCGCCAGGCGCGCGTGGTGGAGCGCGCGTAGCCGCCGCGTCCGCGCCATCGGCGCGCCGGGCGGCGTCGGCGCGTCGCCCAGCGTCGAACTGCCCACGTCGCGCGCGCCGTCGTCGTCGGCGTCCGCGGCCAAGGCCCCGTGGGCCGCGGCGACGGTGTCGACGGCCGCGACCAGGTGCTGCGGCGATTCGTGGGCCAGGCACGCGGCCGCCCAGGCGACGCTGCAGAGCTCGGCGCGCCCGCGCGTGTTCGGCGGCGCCCCGTCGCTCGCCCGCCGGACGGCACGCGCCCCGCAGAGCGCCGCGACGGCGTCGGCGGCCGGCGGCCGATCCAGCCTCGCGCAGGCCCAGAGGACGTCGGCCACGTCCCGCAGCGACCAGCGGTCGCAGCCCCGCGCGGCCGCGGCCGTCGCGCGGTCGAGGACCTCCGGCGCGTCGACGGCGGCGCTCGCGACGGCCGCGGCCGCCTGCGCGGCGTCGCGCGGCGGCCACGGGCCCTTGATGCGGTCCGCGTTGGCGCGCAGCGCGGCGACGGCTCGTAGTGAAGCCGCCTGGGCGCGCCAGTCCTGTGCGGACATCAAATTTCGGGCGATCCACGCCATCGACGCGATATTTTCTCCGTAGCTGCGTCTGCTCGATGGCGTGAAGTTTCCAGGCCATCGACGCGACAATAACCTAACTCATTGGTTGATTTCCACACAGCTCTCGACCGCCTCGGCGATCTTCGCGCAGGCCCAGAGCGCCGTCGCCACGTCGCGCGGCGCGTAGGGTACCGACCGCGCGTGGTCCGCGAGGCGGTCGAGGAAGGCCGCGACGTCGGCGACCGTCGCGTTGTCCGTCGCCGCGGGCGGCAGCAGCCGCTCGCGCGCCGCAGCGAGGCCCCAGGCCACGTCGCTCGCCTCGCGCGCCGCGAAGCCCCGCGGCGCGGCGTTCGAGAGCGTCCGCAGCGCGTATACCGCCTGCTCGTCGGCGCGGCCCTTGGCGCAGGCGTCGCCGCAGGCCCAGGCCGCCATGGCAACCTCGCGCGCGTTCGTCCACTCCGCGGGCGGCGTCATGGCGACGCACGCGCAGACGGCGACCAGCGCGGCCTCTCTCTCAGCAGTCTCGTCGTCGTCCGCGAGGCGCAGCGCGCGCGCGGCGTTCGCGAGCTGGCGCGGCGCCATGCGGCCCGCCGACGCGCGGCACGCGCCGTAAAGGTACCGTAACGTACTTCGCGAGGCGCCCTCGCGCGCGGCGCGGACGAGCGTCGCGGCGACGTTGACCTCGTTGCCGTCATCTGCCCGCTCCTGCAGCAGCGCGCAGGCGGCGTCGGCCGTGGGGCACGCGCCCAGCGCCCGCTGGAGCTCGCGCGACGTGTGCGGCGGGGCGTCCCAGCGGTTTGGTGCGAGGGCGCTGGCCAGGGCTACGAGGTAGGCGACGCGCGCCATCTCCGATGTGCCGATGTGCAGAGCGTGCAGATGCAATGTGTCTGGTGGACAGCCTTGCTGGACAGTCGGCAGCAAAACTTGTGAACTTACGTCAATAATATGTGCACGTAGTGCCCCGCGTGGTCTTAAACGCGTCTGTATGCGCTCGCGCGGCCAGGGTGGGCACTTTGCCTTGGCCAGGAGCTAGCGCAGTAAGATACTAGCCGAGAGGAGCTTTTGTGGGAAAAAGCGGCACGCGCTCGCCCCAGCGTCGTCGGGGCGCTGCAGCCCATCTGTCGAGTTCCTGCAACGAACGTCGAGCGGCCGTGCGCAGCATATCCAACAAGACAAGAGGGCAGCCCAAGAGAATGCCCCAAGAGGGCTGGCTGTGGGAGAGGAAGGGGGGCACTTTGTGGGGCAGCACATGGAAAAGGCGCTGGTGCGAGGTGAATGGAGGGCGACTTCGCGTCTACGACGCGAACAAGGCCAGGGAAGTGGCGACGATCCACATCCGCGCCGGAACGACGCTGATCGATCGACTGACCGAAGACGAGGTGCGGCGTGTGGGACGAGCGCCGCAGGCCGGTGCCGCCGCGGTCTACTTCCGCCTCGTGGACCGCGTGGGGGGCCGCAGTCCGGACTTCGCGGCCGAGTCCGAGGCGGACGCGGCGCGGTGGATCTCGGCGATCACGCCGACGCCCGTCGGGGACCTCCTAAGCTTCGACGTGCCGGCGCCGGTGCCGCCTCCGCCTCCGCTGCGGCCGTCGCTCTCGCAGCCACCGCCGCCGCAGCCGCCGCAACCGACGCGCCAGGCCTCCGAGCCCGTGCTCGCGACGGGCCGGGTCCTCGCGACGGTCGCCCACGCCTGGGAGGCGAACGAGCCGTGGCAGATCGACGCCGACGCCGAGGAGGTGGTCGAGGTCCTGGGCGGGCCGGACCAGGACGGCTGGGTCGAGGTCCACAGCCCGCGCCGCGGCGGCAGCGGAGCGATCCCGGCGAGCTACCTCGCGTCGACGGCGCCCGCCGCGCCCGCCGCGGTGGCCGAGGCCTGGGAAAGGGCGACCGAGACCGCAGCGCGGCCACCGCGGCCGGACTTGCCGCGGCCAGATTTCCCGGATCAGCCCCTGCTCTCGCAGGGCTCGTCGCCCGGAACGCCGCAGGCGGGCGTCCCGCTCGAGCCCGAGGCGCCGGCCCCCCAGTCGCCGCGCGAGCAATACTTTGCCCTCGTCGCAGCCGTCGTCGCCGAGGGCCTCGTGCACCGCGACGGCGCGAACCTCGTCGACGACGCGGCGGCGCGGCATGGCTTTGGCGCCTCGGAGCTTGAGGCCGCGCTGCGGTCCTGCGGCTGGACGGTCGACGAGTGGAGTCGCGGGCCTGAATATGCCGAGGTCCTCGAGGGCGCGCTGGCCGACGGCGAGCCGAACCTCGACGACCGAGCGATGGTCCTGGACTTCGAGCGCGAGCGCGGCGTGGAGCCGCGGGAACGCACGCGCGCGCTGCGGGGCCTCGGCTGGAGCGATGACGACATTTTCCCGGACCAGCCGTCGCCTAGCGCGTCGTCGACGCGGACGCGGTCGCTGCGGTCGGCGGCGTCGGCGTCGCACTCGCGCGCGGTACAGCTCGCGCTCAGCGACGTCGCCGCGGCGACGAATCATTGGCGGTCACGCGAGCTCGGGCAGGGCGGTTTTGGAAGGGTCTACGAAGGACAATTAGCACGCTTCGGCCGCGTCGCCATCAAGCGCCTGGAGAGCAGTGGCGGCCAAGGCGAGCGGGAGTTCCTAGCGGAGCTCGAGATGCTCGCCGGGTTGCGGGACGCGCGCCTCGTGCGGTTGTTGGGGTACGCCGCCGAGGGCCAAGAAAAGTGCCTCGTGTATCAGTACCTCGCCGGCGGGACGCTCGAGGCGCGCCTGCACGGCACGGCGACGGCGCCGATGACCTGGATCCACCGCCTCCAGTGCGCCGTCGAGGTGTCGCAGGCGCTCTATTATCTGCACCACTGCGCGCACCGAGACACGAACGAGGCCATCGTGCACGGCGACATCAAGAGCGCCAACATCCTCTTCGACGCGGCGGGCGCCGCCAAGCTCGCGGACTTTGGCATGGCGCGGCGCATGGAGGGCGACCTCCAGCACACGATGACGCTGGCTGGGTCGAAGGGCTACTTGGACCCCCACTACGTCGCGCACTGTGTGGAAATCAAATTTCACGATTACTTCCGCTCGATGGCGCGGAGTTCACGCCAATGACGCGACGTTGTCCCCGTAACAGCGGCGGCTCGAGCGATGGCGTGGAGGTTGATGAAGGTCTCCGCAATAAGAGTAACCTAACACAGGTCACACACGGGCGCCTGGGACCGACGTCGGACGTGTACTCGTTCGGCGTGGTGCTGCTCGAGCTGCTGACGGCGGAGCGCGCCTTCCAGCCGACGCGGCCCTCGCCCAACTTGGTCGGGCACTGCTTCTCGGAGGCGGGCGCGCCGCGCGTGACCCTGGACGCGTCGCTGGACGCGCCTTCTGCCTCGACGAAGGGCCTGGTCGACGTCGCGCGGCGCTGCACCCGGGCCGACGTCGGCGAGCGCATGACGCTGGAGCAGTGCATCGAGCAGCTCGTCATGTTGGAGTCGTCCGAGAGCGAGCGCCAGGCCGCCGCCGCGGCGTTCCGCGCCGCGCCGCCGGTGCCGCCGCGCGTCCTCGTTTCTGCCGCAACAACGCGGAGCAGCGAGGCTTCTGCCTCGTTCCGGGACCGGCCGCTGCGCGTGCTGGCCGTGACCCTGAACTGCGGCGACGCGCCCCTCAAGGCGGTGGAGCTGCGCGCGTTCCTGCGGCACGGCCGCGTCGCGCGCCGCGGCACGCGGGACGTGCTGGCGGACGTCGTCGCCGTGACGCTCCAGGAGGTGAAGCTCGGCAGTTCGTTTGCAAGAGTCGGCGAACTGATCGAGGCCCACCTGAGCCAGCACGAGCGCGTCCCGAACGCCTGCATCGCGCACCTCCAGGCCCGCATGTTCTTGCTCGTGTTCCGGAGGAGAGACGTCGCGGTTTCCGACGCGACGCACGGCCGCGTCATCGCCGGAGGCCTCGTCAAGGGCGCCTGCTGCGCGGCGCTGACGTGCGCGGTCGCGGACAAGAGCTACCGCCTCGCGTTCGTCGGCTGCCACTTGCCGGCGCACGAGGGGAAGCTCGAGAAGCGCAACGGTGCCTTGCGGCAGATCCTCGACGCGTTCCAATCGTTTCTATCCGGCGAGGCCGTCGTCTTCACGTTCGGCGATCTGAACTACCGCATCAACACGACCTACGTCGACGCCCTGAAAGACGCGGACGCGTGGGCCACCGTCGTGCGCTTGACGACCGGACGGAGCGTCCCGCGCCTCGCGGCGCTCGACGAGCTCACGCGGCAACCGCAAGTGAACATCGACGCGTGCGGTTTAGCCGCCTTCTGGACGCCGGCGCTGAGCTTCCTTCCGACGTTCAAATGCATCAAAGGCGTCGCCGGCCTCCGATATAACAGGAAGCGCGTGCCGAGTTATACGGACCGCGTGCTCTTCCGGCCCGGCTCGACTACGGACGTGACTTGTGTCGCGCACGAGAACGCGCCGGCGGTGACGTCGTCGGACCACAAGCCCGTGTCGGCCGCCTTTGAGATTTCGGCGGGCGAGCTCCAGTGTGCACAATTCGAATCGGCAACGTCGCGTCGACATCGTCGACGCGTCGACGAGAATGTCCCACGCAGGCTTCGGGAACGTGCACGGTGACATTGTAGATCTGGCGACGAGCGGCGGCGCGGCGCCGGCGTTTCCGCCGGTCGAGGACGACCTCCAGCTGCCGGCGCAGCCCAAGGACGTGTCCGATTTGAGAAAGGGCGACGTCGTGGCCTTCGACGAGGCGCACCTGCCGGGGCACGAGGCGTTCCCTTGCGTGAAACTGAAGCAACTCGGTGCGGCGGTGGCCAAGGTCCTTCAACGAAACGTGAAGGCGTCGTTTTACCAGGGGCTCAGCGCGCTGGCCGACCGACTCATTCTGAGGCGGCCCATCGTGCGCTGCATCGTCGTGGTGCAGGACCGAATACTAGTAGTTGACACGCGCGGCCGGACAGCGCTCAACTACGGCGGCACGGGGACCGTCAAGTCGAACCGCCACGTCTCGACCTTCTCGCACGCGTCGTACCCGCGGACGAAAGATAGGGACGTCCTCGCGCTCCACTTTCGCAATCCCCCAAAGGCGAACTGGTACCAGGTAGCTCAATCGACGGGCCTGCTCCAGGCGATCCAGCGGCGGCGGGCGTCCTTCGAGGTCATGTCCGACCAGCCCTCGCGCTACGCGGCGTGATCTCTCTTTGCTTTTCTCTAACTTTATCTAACAGTCTTACTCACACTCCATCGACCGCCGTTTGTCGATGATTTTCTGCCGCGCGGATTTCCGGCCCTCCGTCGCCGCCGCGCGCCGCTTCTCGGTGCCGCTCTTCTCGAGGTCCATCTTCTTCGGCGCCGTGCGCGCGGCCTTTTTGCGCAGCTTCACGATGCGGCGCGCCTCTTCGTACTGCTCCGGGTTGCGCGACGACCCTCGGACGAGCCCCTTCGGGATAGATCGTTTCTTCGGCGCCCGCGCCTGGAACTTGAGGCGCTTCGCCTCCTTCTTGGCCTTTTGCTGCCGTTCTCGTTCCAAGAGGCGCTCGTGGGCTTCTCGGCGCGCGGCGAGTCGGTTCTTTTTTGACATCGCTGTGATTAGTCGTCCGAGACACACACCTCGACGAGTTATTCGACGCTGCGGGTGCGTGTCCGCACTCCTCGATAAATGTTGCTCCTGGCTGCAGATGCCCTGTGTATCACAGCAGCAGCACGAACTTATACGAAAGTTCTCAACGCAAGCCTGGGATAATTTCGTGCTGTGTCAGGCCGCAAACGGTGTATCTGGCGCTTGGGCAAGCAGCTAGACGCAGTTGAAGGCCTTGTTGCTAGCGGCGTGTAACACACTAGAAGCCTGGCCTTTTCACACAAGCGCCGCGCTCGCAGCCTAAGGCCAAAATATTTAGACAGTTCTCAGCGCACAGCAGCTGTGGGCCGCTGGACTCTCAAAAGTGAGCCAGAGCATTGCACCTTGTGACGTTGGTGACTAGTTCGCAAACGCCAGCCGCAGCGCAGAGAGCGGTAGCGGTGCAAAGAACTGTACTTTACGCACGCCGAACGCTAGCTGTGCAAAGAACTGCACTTTACGGACGCTGAACACTAGCGGTGCAAAGAGCCATGCTAACCGTGCCCGAATACAACATCAATGCAAAACAGCGCGAATTCGCCGGACACACGGGCCGCGTCTTCGACGTCGACCTCGGCCAGGACGGTTTGTGCGTCACGGCATCGGAAGACGGCACGGCCAAGGTCTGGCGCCTGGCGGACGGCCGGCTCGAGGGCGAGGTCGCGCAGTCGCAAACGAAGGATGAGGTCCTACGCGTCGCGTGGGCGCCTCCCATTGTCCGGGACGCCGCCGGCGCGTCGCTGCTGGCCGTGGCCGGCGCGGACGGCTTCTGCAATTTGTGGCGCGGCGACGACTGGTCGGCCCCGAAGTCACTACAGCGGCTCGACCACGGCGGCGACCAGGTCTACGGCTGCGCCTGGTCGGCGTGCGGCGACGCCTACGGTGCTTGGTTATTAACCGCAGCGGGCGCGGCCGTGCGGACCTGGGACGTGAACGCCGGCAAAAGCATAAAGCAGTGGTCCTATCAAGAACCGCGGGGCGACCAGGCTTATGTCTTCGACGTCCAGCCGGCGCCGCGCGACGCGGACGACGCGTTGCGGGCGACGATCGCGTGCGCCGTGTCCGACGGCACGGCGCGCGTGCGCGACGTGCGCCTCGACTACGACGCGCGGGTCCTGCGCGCGCCCGGCGACTCGAAGGTGACGGCCGTCGGGTGGCTGGGGGGCACGGCCGTCGCGTCGTGCTATGGTGACGGCTGCTGCCGCGTCTGGGACGCGCGGACTTGGAAGTTGCTGGGGCGGCTGAAAGGGGCGCATGCCTCGCCGTGCTACGGCGCCGCGAAGACCGACGGATTCGTCGCGTCGTGGGCCGCGGAGGGCTTGGCCTTCTGGAGCTGCGAGGACGCGCTGAGGAAGGCCGACGCTACTAAAAAGGCCACGGCCCCCATCACCGATGCCGCGGGCAACGCCGTGCCCCTCTTCCAATGCGCGTTTTCGTCTTCCAATATCGTGGTCTGCGGCGGCGCCGGCGGCAAGGGCGATGCCATTGTTCCGTCGGTCTTCGTCTACGACCTGTCGAAAAAGCGGAGCCGGGGCGACGAGGAGGACGCGTCAGAGAAGAGGCCGCGCGAGAGCTTCTTCGTGTGAATTTTGTATTATTGTGTAACAACATAGGACCTACTTACAGAGGAGCTCCAGACAAAGGAGCCCCGCCGCGGCGTCGTTCGCCGCGTAGCGCACCATCGCCGGCGTGTACGAGGGCTGCTCCCAGTTCTTGGTCTGCTGGCCCTTGCTCATGCGCTTCTTTGCCAGAATCGCGACGAGCGACCGGAGGCCGCACGCTTTCAAGTTCGGGAATTTTGTTTTGGCGATCTTGTCGATTTCCAGGAAGCTCCCCCGCACGTCGAGGCCAGGACACCGCCTGCTCAGCGTCTGTTCGTCGCCCGCACATCCGACGCCGACCTTGAGCACGGACGCGTCCTCGAGCAGTCGTCTCAACGAATCTGGAATACCACCTATCAAGTCGAGGCGCACCAACACGATCAAACCGCGCACGGCGAGCTGCACCAAGGCCACGTCGTTCGGCGGGCGCCCGGCGACGAAGACCGGCTTCGTCTCCGTGTCGAAGCCGACGACGTCGATACCCTGCACGCGGCCCGCGCCGTCCCTCAGCGCCTCGCGTAGAGCTCTGACGGCGGCGTCGGCGTCCTTTGACGTCGCCGCGACGAGGACGCGCGCGCCGGGCGTCATGTCGAAGAGGTCCAACGCGGCGATGGCGTCCTTGGCGAGGCTCTGGACGCTCTCTTCTCGTACGCCGACGGCGAATTGGATCTCACGGTCCGCCACCTTGAGCGTGTAGGTCACATGTCCCGCGGCGTCGACGGCGACGTTCTCGTCGCTCGTCGTCGCTGTTGCCTTCGCCACGGTCTCGTCCGTCGGTTTCTTCGCCGGCGGCCGATCGCCCGCTCCGAAATATCTCCCGACCTTTACGGGGCGGTCGCCGAGCGCGTTGCCGTTCAACGTCAGGATCGCTCGCAGCGCGGCGTCGTCGGGCAGCGTCGCGATGGCGACGCGGCCGTTGTTCTTTACGAGCAGACTCGTCACGGCGACGTTCGTGCTGACGATGAAGCTTCGTACACTCGCCTCGTCGGTGCCGTAGGGCAAATTACTGAGTTTGGCGCGCGGCGCGTCGGAGTCCGTGCGGTCGCGCTTTACCGTCGGCGGGTCGAGCAGGGCGCTCATTACTTAGAGACGTTCCTTGGCAGACGTGCGCGGCTGGGCGCGAGGAGGTGTGCTGTACACAGCTAGGGTGTGCCTTTGCGCGTTCTGGTGATCCAAGCTGGACCCTTCGGCTGCGCTGATCAATGTTGATCAATGTAGTATTTATAAGGCTCCGATGAGTTGATGGTGCAGCTAGACGATTGCTTGGCGCTCGAGCCTGCTTTTGGGGCTAGTGTCTTACACGACGCTAGCTGTGCTCTTTGCGCTTGGGCAACACAAAACGCCTAAAAAGAGGCAAATAACGCGCTTCCGATCACTAGCAACTGTTTGGGCTGCGAGCGGACGCCCCGTACAGCATTGACCGCTGAGAAATCGACGCCTGTCGCAGGAGCTGGCTGCACCCGTTTTGAACATTCAGCAGTAGCAGCCGAGCAGCCGACGCCGGACAGACCGCACCAGTGAAAGCGCCACACCAGACAAAAAGAAACGATGTCCCTCCCGACCATCCAGAACCCCTTCGCCCCGGCGCAACCGACCTTCGAGGACGAGATGTGCTCGATGTGCCCGTCCATGACCTACCAGCAGCGCCTGATCGGTTTTTGCATTTGTTGTGGGTGCGGCTACGCTTTGTCTTTCATGGGCACGCTCATGTTACTATCCAAGGACCCCTGGAAAAAACGAGTCACGAATTTTGCAATCCTATATGTTTTTGGCAACTTCATCGCCATCGCGGCGACGGGCTTTCTGATTGGGCCACGACGGCAGTGCAAGAAGATGTTTTCCAAAACTAGGAGATTTGCCTGCATCTTCTGGCTGCTCATGCTCGTGGTCACGTTCGCGCTAGGTTTGTCGGGCGTCGACGTGGGCTGGGTTTTATTAGCGTTGTTTATTCAGGTCTGCGCGGGGATCTGGTACTCGGCGTCGTACATCCCGTACGGGCGGCGCATGATCATCAAGCTGTTCCAGGGGACGTGCTTCGCGCCGTGCCCGCAGGCGTGCGACCCCGTGATTAAACATGCTACTTAGTAATCACAACTATCTCTTTCTCCGCCAGACCCCGTCTCGTCGCTGGGCGAGCTGTCTCAGAACAGAACGGAACAGGTGCGCGTCGCGCACATCCCCAAATTCCTGGAGGAGTTCGTCGGTCGTCGGCGGCGTGTTGTTGCGCAAATACGAATCGAGGCGCCGGACCAGCGCCACGGCCGCCGCCGCCGGCGCCTCCTCGTCTCTGACAGAGACAGCCTCATGTTGCGCATCGCGCCGTCGACGCGCGATGGCACCTAATAAGTCCGACGAGTTCAGCTGTACGGCTTGGTTCCGCGTCCGTTCCACGGCCTCGACGGCGCGTAACGCTTCCCGTTGGGCCGCCGCTTGCACACCTTCCGAAGCATTATCAGAGGCCGCCCTGAGCACACCAGCAAGATCACTATCGGCAGCCCCATCCCATAAAGCCTGTAATACATCTCTATCATCATCCTCATTAGTTACCTCTTCATCAGCGGGAGCAGTAGCAGCAGCAAAGTCTTCCGCCTTGACGAGGTTGTCGCCGTCGGGATAGGCCCCCTCGCCCAGCGTGAACAGCTCCGACAGTTCGGACTGCGAGAACAGCCGCCGTTGGCGAGCATCCGTCAATACTCTGTTAGTTAAAGCCTGCTTGAAGATCTGTCTATGATAAATTTTTTCCTCGATCGTGCCAGCGCACACGAATCTATAGACAGTAACAGGCTTCGTCTGCCCGATGCGCCAGCACCGCTCCCTAGCTTGCGCGTCGGTCTGCGGGTTCCAGTCGGGGTCGTACAATGCTACCCTGTCAGCCCCTATCAAGTTCAATCCAACGCCGCCCGTCCGCGTCGTAAGTAACATACAAAAAGTCTTCGAACCGGGCAAATTAAAGGCGTCCGCTGTGGCTTGTCGCTGTGTGGGAGGTGTGGACCCGTCCATCCTCGCATACGCATAACCTCTCTGTTGCGCTAGAGCTTCTAGTATGTCAAGCATCTTCACGGATTGCGAAAACACTAGTGCCCGATGTTTTTGTGCTTTCCACCTTTGTAGGACCGCATCGAGCGCTCGCAATTTTGCTGATCTATCAATAGAACCAGACGAAGAACCCTCGATCGCACCTCCGTAGATGTCCGGGTGATTGCACACAGCTCGTAACGCCGCAATCGCTCGAAATGCGGGAGAACCTCCATGATGCCGTTCGCCCCGTCGCTCCAGCGCTATTCGGACGTCGTCGCTCTCCAATATCGACTTATACAAGGACAATTGATCCGCAGAGAGTCTACATAGTAGAACGTGTTCCGTTTTTGAAGGTAACTGTACACCTTGTTCCGTGTTGTTGAGCGCGGCTTTGGTCCTTCGTAACAGATAAGGTTTCAGCAAATCTCGCAGCGCCAAGGCGCATCGATAGGCCAATTGGACTTTTGCTGGTGTGGCGTTCGCGTAGCCGCCCTGCCTTATGGGCGCGGCGAGTTCATCATCAAAAGCCCTTAACGTTCCTAGTCTTCCAGGAACGGCGAAGTCAAATAAAGACCATAGCTCCGTCAATGAATTCTGGACGGGTGTTCCTGACAATAGATACCGTCTAGGCGTCCTTAATTGTTTGCATAACCTCGTAATCGACGCTTCCGGGTTCCGTATCTTCTGGCCTTCGTCTAGGACGACACAACCCCAGGCCTTTGCTAACAAAGCGTCCGATAGTCGTCTCAACCCTTCATATGAGGATAGGACGACGCCGACGGTGGCACCGTTGACCGAGGGCGGCGACAACGCCCTTGCCAGAAACTCGGCCAAGGGCGCGGGACCTTTCTTGGCAGCGGTATCGAAGGCCGCCGCGCTCCGATGTAAGACCACTACTCTAGCTCTAGGAGCCCAGGTCTCAAGTTCGCGCCGCCAGTGCGCGAGCATCGTCGTCGGCGCCAAGACGAGACACGTCCGGCACTCCTGCTTGTCCGCCACCGCACCGAGAAACGCCGCGACCTGCGCCGTCTTCCCCAGGCCCATCTCGTCGCCGACGACGCCGCCCTCCCTCTGCCTCCAGAGGTCCCAGAGCCAGCCCACGGCTCTTCTCTGATGTGCGTAGAGTCTTGAGGAGATAGATGCCCGCAGGACGAAGCCGCCCGGCAGCCTTAAAGCGTCGTCGTCGTCGTCGTCCGACTCTTCGATATTCTCCAGGCGCGCCCTCAATGCATCGTCGGTGCCGTCGTCGGCGATGGCTTCCGTAGATCGCAACCGCAGCGGACCGTCGTCGTCCGACGAAGAAGCGTCGTCCTCATCATCTGAAGAGGACGCCGCGGCGCGCAGCTCGAGCGCTCTTCTAGCGTCCTCGGACGCGTCGCTGTAGGACTGGTCGGACTCGTCGTCCGCGGCGGCGCGCCGGGGGCGCCGCCGGCCGCAGCGCTCGAGGTGCGCGTCCATCTCGGCGTCGGGGCGCCGCGGGTCGGCGACGGCCACGCGCACGCCGCAGATGGGGCAGGCGACCGTGTTTTGGGCCGGCGGCGGCGGCGATGGCGCGCGCCGCCGCCGCTTCGCCGGCTGCGCCGCGCCGAGCGGCCGCCACGCGTCCGCGCCCTTGGTCCGCGGCGCAGCCACGCGTCGCGCCAGCGGCGGCTCGGGCCGCGCCCCCGGCACCGGCGCGGCGATTTCGAGGCCGTTCGCCATGGCGCGCTGGCGCTCGGCGCGGCGGTGGTCCCGCAGGCTCATGCGCGGCTGTTCCACGACGGGCTCCGGCTCCACGGCCGCGGGCCGCTCCTTCTGGAGAGCTGCCCTTAAAACGGCGGCCGCGAGCGCGTCGTCGCCCACGGCGCTTAGCGCGGCGCGCAGGACCGATGCCCTGTCGCTGTCGCCCGCCAATCCAATAAGTTTGTCGAGCGCTTCTTCCGGGAATGCGTCTTTACCATCAAAGAAGCCGCTCCCGAGGAACGCGAGCGCGAGCGGCGGCGCGGACACGCCCGTCGCGAGCCGCGCGCCGAGGACATTTGCTTCCTGCGTGCGCTCGTCGCTGATCTGGATGCCTAGGGCCGCGGCTAATTCCTGGTCCATGCCGTCCGCGTCGCGCGGCGGCTCCATAGCTCTCTCGTCAGTGTGGCCCACAGGAGACGGCCCACGTTACCAGCGATGCTGTGGCGCCTCCTGGCGATAAATGACGTGGCTCGCACCACTGGTGCTGCTCCAAAAGCCGTGTACACGGCAGACGGACGCTGCTGGCTGGACTCGATTACTAAGTCATAGACACACTAGCAGTTGCTCTCCAAAACGCAAAACCAGTTGCCAGCGCGTCCTCTTGCAGCCAAAAGCAGCAAGACCTGCATAATTACACCCCTCGTCGTGACCCCTCGTCGTACCCCACGCAATCCTGGCTTTGATCGAGCGATAACAAGCTCATCCCATATTGCTCTCGCTAGCGCAGAGCTGCTGCATAAACGCACCAAATTGGCATTAACAGGGACGCTGCCGCAGCGCACCCTTTGACAAAATGGACACCCAGGCCTCCAGCTCCAGCGGATCGTCAGATGTTTCTGGAGGCTGGTCGACGGCGACCGCGATCGGCTGTTTGGCCGGCGTGCCCACGGCTGCGTTTCTCCAGATCGGCTTCATCAAGACCTTGCGGCAACGTAATGTGGCGGTCGCGAAGTCGCGGTTCGGCGTACCTGGTTTAGGGTATGCAGTCGTCCGCGACTGCGCGTACTGGTCGGCGACGCAAAAACAAGTGCAAACGCCAAAGCCGAGCTGGTGGGAGGAGCTCACGATGCAGTTCGGGGTTGTCGCTGTGCCGTTGGTTTGTGATACACTCTCGGTACGCGTAGCAGAAAAGGGTTTCAAGCTCCCTTCGGAACCGGCCAAGGTCTTCGCGGTCGCCTGCCCGCCCGTAGCTTTATTGGGCAGGATGACCTGGATCCCCGTCTACAACTACGCGTATGTCCTGGCGCAGCAGCGGTTTGGCGACGCCTCTCCCATCCACGAGGGCCTGGGCTTGCTAGTAGGTTCGTTGGCGGCGTCGTACGTCGCTTATCCCTTATTCGTCTTCAAGACGAATCTGCTGCTGTGCCACGATGGTGGTGGGGCATTAGATGTGAGGAGGACCCTCAATCTATGTAGGGAGGCCGCCCTTAAAAGTTGCAACGCGTCGTCTTTTTCAGGCTTGAGAAGTGCCGGCGTCATAACCGCGGCAGCAGCAGTGATGAAGGGCGCGAATCCGCATGCCATCGCGAACATCGGTCCTGATGTTTTGTGCATGGGCGCGGCGCGCGCGGCGTACAAGCTGCTCTTTGGGGCGTCGGTGAAGGAGTAGTGGTTTTTGCCTAACCTTAGTTATTTCTCAACCTACATGTCGCGGCGACGGCGTCGCCGCGGGACCGTCGTATCGAGGTCTGCCCAGACAAGGCTGCTGCATCGCGCACGCGCGCGGAATTCACGCCGCCGTTTTTCCTGGCAGCCACGAGGTCCAGGGACGCTCGAGTCGTCAGGAACCCCTCGGCGACCGCGCGCATGGACGCACACACTGGCAGTTTCGGCACTAGAAATTAAGGGCAGCATCTCCCAGCGCCGCCTGCTCTCGCCCCGCGGCCGAGGGCACAACCAGACAAGCAGCAGACCGAAAGGCCTCCCAGGACGCCAACGCCGCGACGGGCGGCAGCCGCACAGGCACCCTCACAGGCAGCCCTCACAGGCAGCCCTCACAGGCAGCCCTCACAACCATGATGACTGAAGAATGGGGAACAACCTCCACATTCAGTAAGCCAGCCTTAACAAAGCACAACAGCAAGGCGAACATCGCGGCGAGATCGTTGGACGCGTCCTTCTTCCGGCCCTCCTTCTCGAGACCGTCGGAGACGACCTTGCAAGGCGACCTGCGGCTGAAGCCGATAAGGGTGCGAGCCGTGCAGCGGTCGCGCATGAAGGAGCCCCAGGAGATCGCACGGGAGCAGCTCGCGAAATTAGAGAAAAAGGTCTCAAAAATGCGAGGTTCAGGAACTTTAAAAGCGGAAGCATCGTTCATGCATAAGAAGCTCCAGGCGACCTTGTCCAAGAACACCGCGACCGAGGAACGCGTCATCGCCCTAAAAAGGACCATGAAGACCTTCCTCAAGAACCAAGGGGCCGAGAGTGAACGGGAGCTGAAGTGCGCGTTTCACAGGGCGGACATCGACCAGTCCGGCGAGCTCGATTATGACGAGTTCCGCGACGCGGTGAAGAACTACGGCATCAAGACCCTGACGGCCGGTTCGCTGAAAACGCTGTTCGACTCCTTCGACGACGACGGTTCGGGTACGATCTCGCACCAGGAATTCATTCAGGGTATTCGCAAATGTCCCGAGCCGCCGCCCGATACGGGCGGCGGCGCCGGCACGCATAAGCGGTGCGGACCTCTGGAGCGACCGCCGCTGATGGAGCCCAAGCGTTTGGGATTTGAGGCCTACCCTGTTCATTTAGCGCTTGGTAATTCGCTCCATGTCGGTGTCGCGTACCGGACGACGCTAACCATCCACAACGTGGGCGACACGTGCCAACGATTGACTGTCAAATTAAGAGGCGATACGGTGAAGAATCCGGTAAGGATCGTGAAGAGACCGTCGGGGCCGCTTGCGCCGGGGATGAGGGCGAAAGCGGTCTTCGAGATTTTAGCAAGAAGACCAGGTGATGTGGCCTGTGACGTCATCGTCGCCTGCGGCTATAATCAATTGGAAGTGCCCCTGAGCGCGCACTTCGAGCGGAGGACGACGACGTCGGTGCCTCTATCGTCGACGTCCTTCGCGGACGACGACGTGGCCACGGTCCGGACCTACCGGGAGCTCTCCGGGAAGCTCCCGAGCTTTGTGGAACGGCTGGGCACGGTGGCGTCGGCGTCGTGCGTGCCGGTAGCCGACACCAAGGACGTCTGGCCGACGCGACCGGAGCACTGGGAGCGGATCCAGCGGAGAAGTGCAGAGGCGTCGGAACTGTTAACGTCGATGGGGCCTTTGCGGAAATGTCCGCAATTAGATATGAACAATTTGTGTCTAAGGATGCGACGGTTCCGCGCGGAAGTCGACGAGAATTTAACCGTACAGGGAGACATGAACAATCAGATCCTATTCATAGCGAAGGGCGTGGCGGACGTTTTTATTGGAGATGAAAATGTCCTTACGATACGAGCCCCGTTCTACGTCGGCGAAGGAGCTATTCTGGAGAACGCAGTCCCAACGGCGACCGTGACGTGTACGAGTGCCTGCGAAGGGTTTGCTTTACAAGAGGCAGAAGCAGCTGTTCTACTAGAAAGAAACAACACCGCGCTGAACCTGATGCACCAGGAAATGAAGAAACGGAAATACGAGCGATACTGTTCCGACGAGGGCGGTTTACTGCATTGCAATTATGATGACGCGAACTTCGTCGACGCGTTGTTAGATTACGTGAATACCCTCCCAGAAACGAAGGAACTCCTCCAAGTGAAAACGAAGTACGCCTGCGAGCACCTAAACTTCGCTAAAAGATGTAGAGATGGAGGTGACTTTGTGGACCTCCTAAGGGAGTGCGACCGATTGTGGTTTGAATATATAAGGGAGAAGGGTTTGTCGGAGCGCCAGCTCGAAGAAACTAAAGGTATCTTCCACTCGCCGCGCAAGGTCAAGGGGAGCACGAAGCTCGGTATTCATCTAGTGACTGATGACCGCGTGAGGACTATGCTCGCTCTACGTTCAAAAGCGAAGGAGTCTCAGTCTCCAGCCATGCTGGTCGAGGTCTACGCTGATTTAGCAAATGAGGTCATCGCCCAAATACGGACAGTCCTGGAGGACTTTGTCTCGACTAAACAATACAAGAGGTGGCTCACGGAGCGGTTCCCGCTGCCCGAGGATCCCGAGCCGGAGGAGGACCCGGGCCGGAGCGCGCGGGACCCCGCGTCTCTAGAACGGAAGTCGTCCTGGCGCTTCGAGCTGCCCGATCTGCAGGACCTCAACGAGCCGCCGGTGGACAACCGGTCGGTGGTGACTGCCGGTTCGTCGACATGGGGCTCGCGGCCGGGCTTCCGGTACGTGCCCAAGGACCAGCGGCCCAGAGCCCCGCCGCCAGAGAGCGACGAGGGGAGCTACGCGAGTTCCTCTTCCGAGGACTAAGTACAATAAATTTTAGGTTTCGGATAGGAGCCGTAGTCGCGCCTCGAGGTCGTAGTATCCCGCGGCCCGCGCGATGTCGAGCGCGTTCCGGCCCTGGCGGTCGGGCTTCTTCACATCTGCGCCCAGCTCCACGAGCTTCGCCGCGACTTTGAGTTTCCCCTCGCCGGCGGCGAGATGCAAAGCCGTGCGACCGTCGTCGGCGGTGGCCGCGTCTAAGGCCAGAATGAGCGGTGCTAAAATCACTGAAATCAAGTACGGAATCGCCGTAAAGAACGTGTACCGTCTAAACTTTTTCGACGAGCCGTCAATTCCGGCACCAATCGGGTCGGTCCGTCGCGTGTCCACCGACTCCCTGTGCACGAGGCCGGGGCCCGGCGGCGCTTGCTGGAACTCGAGGCTGAAGGGGCGGCGGCGGCGGCGGGAGCTGTCCATGATCAATAAGCCGCGCAAGCGCCGGTGACGCACGCGCACGCTGAGGCCCGGCGGCGTCGCGCGCGCTATATATTTTTAGCACAAAGGCAGAGCTCTGCTCTCGGAGGGATTTTGACCGCTTAAGTACTCTCGACTCTGAGGGATTTACTCCACGTCGGCGACGTAGTTATTTGTAAATCTGGTAAATTTTGGCACACTTCTCGGTCGCGGCCGATACTAATATGCGCCGTCGGCGGCGCCTCGTGCGTAGCGCGGCACCTACAGGTACCAGGTATAACTTATAGGTACTTTTGCCTTACCGGTAGCTGGCAAAAAAAATAAAAAATAAACTAGTGGTCACGCGGACCCTGCGTCGCGGCGTCGGCCAATAAGGCAACGAGGGTATGGTATATATAGATAGACAATCACGTACTTAGCTCGAGGAGTTCCCCTACGAAGAGGAATCCTGAGAGTCATCCCCGTCCTCCTGGCGGCGGCGGCAACCAACTCTTGAGAACGCATCACTGAACTCAAAGAGGAACTTCTCGTGCTCGTCGGGCGTCTTGGGGCCGACGTCGTAGAAGGAGAGGACCTCGTCGAGGTCGCAGCGGCACTTCGGGTCTTGGAGCATGGAACAGGAAGTCAAGAGCTTGCTGAGAACTTCGGTGCGGTCCACGCAATAATCGAAAAAGGGGCCGTTGTTCTCGCGGTTCTGGTCGCCCTCTAGCAGCACGGCGCTCGCGTCTCGCAACATGTGCAATTGCAATGTAAGGATGTCGCTGAAATCGGGATTGTGCGTGGCCGACGACGTGTATCCAACGTCCGCTGCGTGAACGTCCCCCCCATTTAGCATAAGGCAGCGAGCGAGCCCAGCGAGCGGGATGAAATGCTCGAGCGCGGCCTTGAACTTATTGAACGGCCCCGCGTAGGTCCCCACGCTGTTGGTGGCCGACTCGGCGTTATATCGCAACGCCGAAAACAATATTGAGAGTGGGGCCCGCCCGAAGTGGTGCGGCTGGGCTAAGCGATTCGGGTCGGCGCCGGCCAGCAGCAGGTACTCGGCGATGCGTAGGGAGTCCTCCCCTTCCGAGTCGTCGTCGTGCATTGCTTTCACGGCCCTCGTGTCGACCAGCAGGTGGAGCGGCGTTTCTCCTCTCTCATTTTGGTAGTCGGGCACAGCGCCGAACGCCAGTAAAGCGCGCACTTCGTCCGTCAGACAGTCGTGGCGCAGGACGATCTCCGACGCGTCGGCCTGGCCCATCATAACACTAAGCTTCTTCATAAAGTAATCCTGGCCCGTTCGGTCTTCCGTGAACTCGCTGAGAGCGAGGAGGAGCCGCTCGCCCGCCGCGCGCGGCGTCGCGAGCGCGTCGGACCCGTAGCCGTGGGCCCGCAGCCACGCCTCGCCTTCGGCCACGGTCAGCCCGAAACCGCGCGCCTGCTCGGCCTTGTCGAGATCAGCTCTAAGCTCGCGCCGCAGCTTGTCTTCCGCCTTCGGAATGGCCACGACGAGCGCGGACGCGTGGCGCGAGCCCTCAAGCGCGTCGCGGCGTTTCTTTTGCCCGTCGTACTCGATCGAGCATGATTTTTTAGATGGCGCCGCGAAGGTGAACGAGGCGACCTTGCGCAAGACGTCCGAAGGGAGCTGGAGAAGATTGTCCGCGGTTGTTTCTTTGTTCGCGGCGGTGGAGGAGGTATTGTCTGCCATTTTTAGCGCGCGCCGACGCCAAAATAGCTACTGAGAGTGCTGACCTACCCTTGTGATAACTCCGCGCGCAGGTCGCAGCGATGGCGGAGCAGCCTCGGAGCAGCGCAGCGGTGCAAATTAACAACGCCCGTGACACTCGCACCAAGCGAGAAGCGCACAGCGAGGGCAAGCGCCGCGGCAAAGGTCGAGCTGTGCTTGCTAGTGTCTTACAACGCTAGTCGAGCAATCTTGGGCAGACCACAGTGCGAAAATAGCGAAAAGACGTAACGGGGCGAACGAGAGTGATAGTTTCGGTGTCGCCAGACTCCCGGCAAGCCACAGGTTCGGCACGAGACCTGGTAAAATCATGGTGGCTTTGATCAACAACCATAGCTTTGGCCTCAAGCTCTGGAGAGTGCTCGGCGTTGTCCTCATGCTCACGCAGAGCGGATGCGACGTCAAGGATAACCGCATAAAAAAACGACGCCTGCGCGCGCGGCGCGAATGCGTCGCGCACCAATTCATTGCCGAGGCCGACGGATTCCGGTGCGAAGCGCTGACGAAACGCGGCGCGGTGCGCTTCCGGCCGTGGCGGCGGACGTTTCGACCCGATCGCCCCCACAACTCGTGCGGCAAACTCCCCGACGTGATTTGGTGGTTTCTCGCGCTCGACATCCTTGTACACTTGGTCACGTATCGACGGAGGAACGGCAAGCGCGAATCGCTAGCTCACGAGTACCTGCACAGCTGGTGGTTCGTGATCGACGCGCTCTTTATCTTTCCGGCTCTAGCTAAGCGGTTCATGAGCACCATCGCGCCGACGCTCAAGCGCCTCACAGGTCTGGATCACCTCTACCAGTTCCTCTGGAAGCATTTGATAAGAAATGGGGCCGTGCGCGATAAGGTCGTACGCACTGCGCGGTGGGCGCTGCGTCACCGAAGACATATCCGTTTCGTGTTGCGCGAGGTCTTGCTAGCCATGGACGCGGTTTACTATCTGGAACGACTCGTGGAGATCGCCGAGCAGTCCTACGAGGTGGTTCGCCGCCGTACAATACTCGACCGCAGCGAGGCGGCGACCATCAAACGAAGGGTACGAGCAAAGTTGCGGGTCGCGAAGATGATGACGAAGCTGAGTCTGCCAGACCACGCGGCGCCAGCCGTCGTCACGCCCTCCACGCCGTCCGCGGCGCCGTCCGCAGCGAAGGGTGTATTCGCGCGGGCCGTGACGGTCGACGAGCAGTCGGACTAATTCACTCCCCGTCGCGGCTGGATAGACTCGGGTCTACTCGGGCCCGGATGATATTAATTCAATCCTAGAAATTACTCACACGACGTACCGGCTGCGAAGAGACCTGCGCGGGTGTGCGCGCGTCCGAGAGCGTAGCGAACCCCTTTTGAGCCAGCACGAGCGGGCGCGCGACCGTGCTCTCCGCAGTTTAAACCCCGTGGCGGCGCCGCGCTCCATTCTGTCTAGAGGCGGTCCGTGGCAGTGGGACGCGTTCCGACGAAGACCAAGGACGCCGCGCGCCACCGCGCTACATGCGCCCCTGCGCCATGAGCACGAGGATGCCCTGCTGCCCGAGCAGGATCTCCCGCAGGAACGAGGCGACGGCGATCCAGACGACGGGACTGATGTCGACGCCGAACGACGGCGGCACGATATCTCTGGTAATTTTGAGCAGCCCCTCGGTCGGCGCGCAGACGAGCACCCACGGCATTTCGTTCACGTCCGTCTCGGGGAACCAGCTGATGATGACGCGCAGCAGCATGATGAACTGGATGATGAAGAAGCACGGATCTAAAACGTTCGACACGGGCTCGACCCAGGCCGGCGCGGCGGCGTAGCACGCGAGCGGCGCCGCGGCCGTCGCGAGCGCGGCCAGCGCCGCGGCGGACCGCGGCCGCGCGTCGTCGAGGGCGTACGGCTGCGGTGCTGGTTCACCGGCGGCAGATCGCTGCGCCGTCACTTTCCCGAGCCGGCGCTGGGGTGGTGCGAGTGCAGTGCCAGTCAGCAGGCATAAGGAAAGAGCGAAGACGCGCATCTTCTCTTCGTGGCCTCGGCTGTGCACTAGCTGTTTCCAGCTTTCAAACAAAAGAGGATGCAGCAATCGGTGCCCCTCGACAAGCACACGCAAGCGCGGCGACGGAGGTGGCTAGCGGCATGTAACACACTAGCGACGAAAAAAAAAGGCGTGAAAGCAGCCGAAAGCGGCATCGGGGCAGCCGCCTCGCACGCACGCATCATACCTGCACTCTCTCTGATGATGGCGCACATGCCTCAGCGGCCGCGGCATCCGCTAGCGCCAGCATAACAATGGACACCCCCCTGCGCCCGCCGCGCCTGCGCACGGGCACGCGGTCGCAGGAGCCCGACGACGCGGCATTAAGAGCTGCGGCGCGCGCGGCGCTGCGGGCGAAGACGAGACGAGCGACCTTTTCGACACGGAACGAGCGCCGGCCGAGCAAGCACGCCTTCGGTTCCAGTTTACCACCAGGAGCCGTGAGACGGCGGTCGCCGGTGCCGGAGCGGCGCCACTCCTACGTCGACTATTTGAGGAACGGCACACCCGAAAAACCGCGGCCGTCACCAGTGGTGTACGAACAAGAGGAGGTGCGCGAGCCGCTCTACCTCGGTTGTAGGGTCGACGTGTTTGATCGGAAGGGCCGACCGAGACGACTGGACTGTGGTGTCCTAAAGTTCCTGGGCCCGACGGCCTTTTCGTCCGGTCGACAGGTCTGGTGCGGCATCGAATTGGACCTGCCCTATGGGACGCACGACGGCGAGGTCGAGGGGCGGCGGTACTTCGGGCCCGTTTCATCGCGCTGCGGTTTGCTGGTGACGGCGGAGCTCTGCAAGCGCGTGCCGGGCCAGCCGTCGGCGTCGAAGGCGGCATACTCTGACACGGATAGCGTGCGGACGCGGTCGCCCGTACCCATCGTTGCCGCACCTGCACCGGTCGTCGTACCACCACCACCTCCATCGAAGCCGGTCCCCGCCGCCTGTAGAAATGACCCAGCACTATCGGCGTTGTTCGCCGACGAATCCTTAGCGCGCTACTTCAAGATGTTGAGTGTTGGCGTGCCGCGCACGGCCGTAGCCCAGAAGATGAAAGATGACGGTGTTGTTGCCGATAAATGCGCCGTCATGGCCGGTCAAGTGAATACCCCGGTCCCTGTCAAGGCCACGACGAAGGCGACGCCCCAACAAAAGGAGAAGGCTAGAAGCGCACCGCCACCGAGAACTGGCTTCCGGCGGCTCCACTGGAACGCGCTGGACCCCCAAAGTGCGGAGCGGTCGCTGTACGCCGCGGAGCACCTCGCGTCGCCCTTCGACAAGAGCTCGAGGGACTTCGCGCGCCTCAAGTCGGCCTTCGGCGAGCGCGCGCCCATCGTGCAAAGCCGCCGCAGCGTCATGACGACGGCTGTTGTCGAGAAGAAGGTCGCCCCTCCGAAGACGACGACGCTGGACGCGCGGCGCGCCATGAACGTGGGGATCATGCTCGGCAAGCTCGTCGGCTCCGGGGAAGGGCGCTTCCCGTCAGCTAGGTCATGTTGCGAGGCGCTCATGGGCGGCGGTTTGAGTGTGGACCAGCTCGAGTTGATCATAGCGATCGCGCCGACGGATCATGAAAGAGAAAAGCTCGTCTTCCGCCCTTCCGGAGTATATGAAGGCAGTACGCAAGCCGAGGCGGCGCTGGCGGAGCTGGGCGCCATTCCCTTATGTAGACAGCGCGCCGACGCTCTGTTATTATTGGAGACGGCGCTCCCGCGCCTCGCCGTCGTGTTAGTGGACGCCGCCCTGCGCTGCAAGGCCTGCCGCGCCGTCCGCAGTTCTCAAAGTCTGGCGCGCTTCCTCGCCACTTTGTTGGGCGCCGCGAACGCGACGCGTTTGAATGAAAGTTCGGGCATCGAGCTCGGGTCGCTGCTCGCCCTCGCGCGCACGCGCGCCGACGGCGAGGAGCGCCACCGGCGGACGCTGCTGGATTTTGTCGTGGACGTTTTATCAAGACGGGGCGAGCGGCGGACGGCGCTGTGCTTCGCCGGGCCCTTCGCGCGGGGCGACGTCTTGGTGGCGGCGCGGTCTCGAAGGCGGCGGCGCCTGGAAGCGTCGAAGAAGGTCACTTTGTCAGATGACGGCGGCGAGTCGGAGCCGGAGGCGTCGTCATCGTCTTCTGATGAAGATGAAGATGATGGTGGCCTCGCGTCGCCATCCCAGAAGCGGCGCCACCGGAGGCAGCGGCGCGATTTGGTGAGGGCGGCGCGGTGGCTCCCGGCGTGTTTCGGGGAGGACCCGGCCTGCGCCGAGACCGTCGTTTCAAGACGCGTCGTCCACGGCGGCCTCAAGCAGTGCGCGCACCGCGGCGAGCCCAACGAGCTCGCCGCCGTCGTGTCCACGCTGAGGAGGAGGGTTGCAGCAGCTAGGGCGGTGGCCAGAGCTGACCGCGCCTCTCAGTTCGAGGGCGAGCGCGCCGAAGCGGAAAAGGCGATCTCAGCAGCGCGGGCGGCCGAGAAACGTAGATTAGATGGTGATCGGGAGCGCGCGGCGAAGGCGGCGGCCGACGCGCGGAGGGCGTTGGACGCCGCTGGTATGAAAGAGCGCGCGGCCATGGCGCGCGAGGAGACGCTCGCATCGAAGGTCCGCACGTCCCTAAAACAAGCGCGGGCGGAGAAGGCGGCCCTCGTGGCCCTGGGCGTCCTCTGCGCGGCCGCGCGCGACGCGGACGCCTACTGCGAGCGCATGCGCACGAAGTCGCCGCCGCCGAAAGAAACGCCCCAGGACTGGGCCGCGAAGCGCAAGGCCCAGGTCGAGCGCGCTCGCAAGATCCGGGCGGACCGGCTGGACTTTGCGCCGGCGCCGGCGCCGACCGACGTCAAACGGCCCAAGACCAAAAAGCACGGCTCCTGGCGGCCGCCGCAGCGCATCGCGTCCGCTATTTTATCTTCCAAAGAGGGCACCGCGCCTTTTGGTGTGTTACGCGCGGCGCAGCAGTGGGCGTCGCACGCGCTACAGGATCGAAACCGGCGCGCTCCTGTAACGCGACCGAGCACCAACGGCGCGTCGTGCTACGCGCCGCCGTCCGAGGACCCGCGGCTCATGGAGCCGAGCGACCCGCGGAACCCGTTCTTTGGGCTCGTCGAGCGCGTGCTCGCGCTGGCGTCGGCGGCCGTTGCGTTCCCAAGTGCGCTTGGTTATCTCGAGGCCCTCGCGAAGAAGCAGCCGGAGCCGCCGCCCGTGGAACGACAACTCTTCACAAAGAAGCCCCCTTCAGTAGACGGCGCGCGGGCCGGGCTGCTCGCGGCGCTGACCTCCAAGCCCGTGCTCAAGAAGAAGACAATTGACCAGGGCCCCCTGCCGCCTCACCTGACTCCATCAAGGCGCCGGCAAGCGGGCGAACGGTTGGACGCCGAGCTAGACGCCTTGGAGGGCGCCCTCGCCGCCGCCGAGGCGGCGATCGCGTGCGCCCGCGCGCACGGCGACGCGCTGCGCGTGCACGTCGGCTGCGCGCCGCACGAGGACGCGGCCGAGGCGTTGGAAGTTATGGGGCAGCTGAGCCGTTTGGTGGACGCGTCGCTCGCGCGGGCGCCGCTGGACCTGGAGACGTCCGACGAGGACGACGCGCCGCGGCTGAGAATCGGCGCCGTCGTCTCGACGAAGTGGGGCCCGGCCGTCGTGGAAGCGCGGCGGCCCGCGGCGGACCCGGCGCAACCGCGGCGCGTCGTCTGCCGGACGTTCTGGCGCGCGCGCGTCATCTGCGAGAAGGCCGATATTTGTAGGGCGCCGTGCCCCGTCGGCTCGCCGTTCGGTCCCGTGGACTTGCTGGACCGCGTCGTCAAGCGGGCGGACGGCACTTTATTATGTCAGGTGCGGCTGCCCGGCGCGCGCGGCGCGGTGCTGCTCCCGCCCTGTTCCGTCGTCTACGTGGCGCCCGTGGCGACGCGCGTCTGGCGCCGGCGCCGGCCCGCGGCGTCGCCGCGGAGCGGGCCGGCGACGCCGCGGTCCAACAGCGTGCCGTCACCACGCGTGCTTTCGCCGCGGAGCGGGTCGCGGAGCGGGCCGGGGACGCCGAGATCGTTCGTCGCCTCAGAATCGGACGACGACTCGTCCGCCGCCTCGGAGTCGTCGGACCTGTCAGACATCGGGGCCCTCGGGAGCTTCCTTGAGATCTGATCTGTTTAACACTGTGTTTTGGTTTTACCCATCTACGCGTCCTCGCCGTCCGAGACGAGATCAGTGACCTCCTCGTCGCCGTTGTCAAGGTCGCTCTCCGCCTCCATCTCGTCCTCCGAGTCCGACGGCTCCAGCGTGTCCCCGAGGTAGGCCGCCTCGGCGAGCGCCCCGGCGGCCAGTCGCAGGGACTTGACCTGCTTCTCGAGGATCGCGACGCGCCGCTGGAGGTAGACCTCGGCGGACCTCCTCGCCGGCGGCAGGCGCCGCGCGGAGGTCTCGCGCTCCATGACGTTTTTCAGCAGCCTGGCGAGGTGGCCGCGGCCGCGGTACTCCCTAGTTGCCGGCGCAAAGTTGACGGCGAAGCGGAAAAGGTGCATTCGAAGATCATCGGTAGCTCTGAAGCGGCAGAAGCCGGTCGGCTGCGTGGCGTAGACGCGGCGACCGCCGTGCGCGCGCGGCGGCCCCGCCGGCGGCGGCGCGACGCCGACGTGGTAGACGCCCGCGCCGTGATTTCCCGTCGCAATTATTCCTTCCTCCCTACCACGGGTAATCGTCGCAACGCCGCGGTCCCGCGGCGGTAATCCGTGGCGCCAGAGGACCTTTATTTCCCACGTCTCGGGACTGACCAGATAGCACGCTGTCTGAATTCCTGCAGCCGCGTCTTCATACGGGTCTGCCTCCGTCACTGCCTCAGGTGGCACGATGGGAATAGGGACATCGAAAGACACGTCCGTCGGTTCCCACACGGCGAGGTGCTCGTACTCGTGCTCGTCCGACTCCCGCGGGAACTCGTCCGGCCGCGCCCATAGACAAGGCGTCGCGTTTCGTGCAAGGCTGGTGCGACGAGGCCGAAACGAGGCAGAGGCGAACGAACGATGCCTATTGGAGATTATCTGCTAGAGTTGGGCAACTCGACAAGCCCGGGGGACCTCTTGAGAGTTTCCGCCGCGGCGAGCTCACGGAGCCGCCGCCTGACGTGTGCATCGAGGGCCTCGAGGTGCTCAAGCCGGGGACGCAGGAGTACGAGGACAAGTTTGGGGAGCAAGATCGCCGCACGGTGCGCCGGGACACGGAAAGAATCCTTAGGATGGAGATAGAGGCGTACGGGTTCGACTACGACGAGGAGCTGGCCCGAGTGCGGGAGAACTCCCCCGGGGCTACATCATTGTCGGACGATGATCTATTCTGGCGGCTCGCGGAAGTATGGCATCGCGCCATGAATTCGTAGGAGAACCAATACGGCTAAGATGAGTAAGCTTATACCCCACGCGCCCCTCACTTCTTCACCAGCGCCGCCGGCCGCGAGAAGACGCCGCGCGACGTCGTCTCCAAAGTAATGGGCCCCGACGCCTCCGAAGCACCGACCTCCGGGTACGCCGACAACGCGTCCTTCCACGCCACGACGTCGCCGTCCAGCCCACACAACTCCCGCAACAACCCCGGCAACGCGGCGATGGGCACCCTTCTTTGCGTCATCGAGTCCCTTTCTCTCAAGGTAACAGTATCATCTTCAACAGTGTCAAAGTCGACGGTCACGCCAAACGGCACGCCTAATTCATCCGCGCGCGCGTACCTTCTGCCAACAGACTGGCCCGACGTGTCCGCCTTCGTGGAGATGCCCGCTTGCGTCAGTAAGTCTACTACTCTTGTAACAATAGGCGGGAACTTCGAACCACTCTGTAGATTGTAGACGCCGCACTTGATGGGCGCGACGACCGGCGCGAACTGGAAGACGACGCGCTGCGCATCTTCCTTTCGGACAGAGAAAGAATGCTCCAAGAGAGCGTGTAAAATGCGCCCAACCCCGAACGAAGGTTCGATCACGGAAGGCGTGAATTTCACGACCTGCACCATCTTCTTCTTGCGCGTAAATAAGACCATGCCCGGTGCAATACTAAACCCGTCTAGCTCGTAAGGCTGACCCGCAGAGTGGGCCTTTTCTACTTCAGCAGCCTTGTCGGAATCTAATCCCTCAAGTGCTGAACAGACGGCCTTCTGGTCCTTCTTGAAGGTCATGCCGATCGTTTTTCTATCAGGCTTCACTGTGAGTTGTAAAACCTCCACAGCTTTGTCGAGCATTTTTTGGGCCTCGACCGACGTATTGGTAGCTTTCGCATGCACCGTCAGATCATAGCACGCGCGGTCCGCGTGGCCCACGCACTCGACCCAGCCATAAGCTGTTAGTATTTCCAGATCCCAGCAGTCCGCGGCGTAGTGGGCCATCTCGGTAGACAGGTGTTGCCGGAATCTCAACTTTTCTGAATTCATGCCGATCCGCAGCATGAATAACTGCGTTCTGGCCATGAAATAAGCTAAAGTTTCGTTGGCGATCGTGCCCTTGGCAACGGCATCACCACAGGTCATGCTCGAAACAATACCGGTCCCGAGTTGCGCGTCGCGGTCGAACAGCTTCATCGTCACGTTCGACACGTTCGCGAACTTGGGGTGCTTCTTCTCGTCGGGCTTGACCTGCGTTTCGTGGAGGGTGAGTCGCGTCGACGGCGTACGGGCTCTCGGCGACGCCATCGGCTGTCATCCGGCATCGCCTCGACGCCATCGCCGCGACCGCGCTCTCTCTGACACGCCGCAACGGCCCGACGCGGTCCGCAACGGCTCAACATCGAACAAGGCGCCGTAGAAGGACGCCGGCAACATACAAAATGCTCGATCTCGGCCATCGTGAACTCGCGCACGCGCAGCAGGCCGTTCTTCGGCGCGATCTCGTTCCTAAAGCCCAAGCCTATTTGAGCGGCAGCAAAGGGCACCCGCCCATTGTTGTAATCTAGTAACCGCTTGAAATTGACAAACAAGCCTTGGGCCGTCTCCGGTCGCAGAAAACCCGTTAATGCACCAGAAGGTCCAATCTTGGTCCCGAACATCAAGTTGAACGCGAAGGGCTTGGTGAGGTCGTTTCCGGTGGTAGTGGCCTTGATGCCGTACTTTTCTAGAATAGCACCTAACTCCTCAGGACTATAAGCGTCGGCCTGCCGCTGGACCTTGCGGTGTTCATCCGCCTCGGACGACGAAAAGTTGCCCTTCTCGAGTAAGTCATCAATATGATCCTCGAGTAGTTTGTCCGCGCGGTAGCAGTCTCCAGTAACAATATCTTTTACCATGAGATCAGTAAACCTATCCACATGACCCGACGTCTTCAACACGGGCTCCGGCGTCAGACACGTGCACTCCATCTCGAGCATCTTCTCCTCGAGCACGAAGTGACGGCGCCACTGGTCCACAATATTTTGCTTGAGCGCGCAACCCGGGGGTCCATAGTCGAACAGGCCCGCGACGCCGCCGTGGATCTCGAAGGCCGGGACCACGAACATCCTCCTCAAGACCGTTTCATCAAACAACTTTCGATCGATGTTGTGCTCCGTGCCCTGGCCCGCGTTGGCTTTTTCCGCTACGGCGAGTTCCGCTCGTAGTCTCTTGAGTTCCTCTACCGCCTTTTCTATTTGATCGGCGGGCTTGCCGTCCTTCTTCATCTGTTTTACGGTACTAGCTTGGCGCGTGCAGGCCGCGCTGAGGGCCGCGGAGCCGCCGCCCGTTGACGGCGTTGGTGCTTCTTTCGGCTTGCCGGGCTCGACGACGCTATATGACCCTGTTTTTGCAAAATGCATGTTGGGCGCGAGGATCGAGGCCATGGTTGCTGCTCGATTGGCTGGCTATGCTCTCCAGCGATTTGAGCTACTCTTGCACGACGGCCTCTCGCAAGCAGCGATGCTGCTGTGCGCGACAGCTGCTGTGATGAATCACTGCTCTGACGGCGTTGTGCTGCACGCAGACGACGTACGGCAGTGGCGATTGCAAGAGGCTTGCGCCTGGCTTGCTAGTGTCTTTTGCCGCTAGCTACTCTTCCTAGCTCTAAGCCGCCAACGAATCGATCAAAATGGAAGGCGTTCTCATGACGCCGAAAAACGACGAGCGGCTCACCGCAATTATCGATACGCTGAGAGCGATTCAGCCGACGCCCCTCGCGGAGACGCGAGTCTTGTGTGCCGGCCGCGTCGACGCGGACGCGGCGTGGTTGCGCGAGCACGGTTACCTCGTCGAAAATATAGACGCGGACGGCGTCCGCGCTCAGCTGATCACGCCGCCAGGCCCGTTGGAACAAGGCACCCTCGTCGCGTTCCACGGCGGTGGTTTCATCGTCTGCTCGGCCGCGACGCACGCCAAGGCCTTTGGGCTCATAGGCGCGGCCTCGCGACTGCGCGTGCTGAACGTCGACTATCGGCTCGCGCCCGAGCACCGCTTTCCCGCGGCTCACGACGACTGCCTCCGCGCGACGCGCTGGGCCGCCCGCGCGCTGCACCGCGACGTCGTGTTGATCGGCGACAGCGTGGGCGGCAACCTATCCCTGTCGGTCGGCGCCCTTCTCATCGGGGCGGACGTCACCGTCCGCGGCATCGTCTCCATTTCGCCGCTCACCGATTTCACGCTGAGCTCGCCGTCGCTGACGACGCGCCGCGCGCGAGACCCGTTCACGTACTGCGCCGGGTTGCCGGAGCTGCGCCAAATGTACCTCGGCGACGACGAGGCGCTTGCGCGCGACCCACGCGCGTCGCCCCTCTTCGCGGACGTTCGCGGGCTGGCGCCGACCCTCGTGCAAATGGGCTCGGAGGAAATCTGCTACGACGACGGCCTCCGCATGGCGGGGAGGATCCACGAGGCCGGCGGCCGCGTCCGCTTCGAGGAGTGGCAGGGCATGTTCCACACCTGGCACCACTACGCGGGAGCACTCTCCGGCGCCGACGAGGCCATCGAGGCCGTCGGCACGTGGGTCCGGGATCGCATCGGGGGACGCCAGGACCTCGACGGAGACGAGTACTACTTCATGCTGGCCCGCGGCGCGTGTCGTGATTAGGTAGATTTTTCTAGGTTTAACAGTGGCAGGCCGGGCGCCCCTTGAAGGCGGCCGGGGGGGAATTTCCATCATCAGCGCCGCGCGCTCTTCGGCGTCGCGCCGGGGTGGAGCCGCCGCTCGGAGTAGGTGAAGCCCGAGAACGTGTCGTCCTGGGGCGTGCTCCCGGGCGGCATCGCGTGCGCCCGCGCCGGCGGCGAGTGGATCGGGAGGGAAGTAAACTCCCGGTCGAACTGGGACGTATCCAGCGACCCGACGACGGTCGGCTGCCAGGGCGGCGGCGCCGTGCCGTCCAACAGAGCGTCCCAGTCGACCCTCGCGAAGAACGTGTGCGCTCGTATTTCATCCGCGTCGCCCGGGCCACTACCCAGCCGTCTGGCGGGGTCCCGCTCCAGCAACGCCCGCAAGATAGCCTTCGCGTCCGGCGACAAGTGCCCGGGGTAGCCCAATTCCCCGTGCTTGATGCCCTCGAACAGCTTCTCCCTATCTCTGGAGTAGAACGGGGGTAGCCCCGTGAGCATTTCATACAATAGAGCGCCGAGCGACCACCAGTCCACGGCGCGGCCGTGGCCCCGTCTCGCTAGGATCTCCGGTGCTAAGTATTCCGGCGTGCCACAAAAGGAGTGCGCCCCTTTCGCGTGGAGCGTCACGCCCTCCTTGCTCAGGCCAAAGTCGGTCAGGCGCACGTGGCCTCGCGCGTCCAGTAAAACGTTTTCTGGTTTCAGATCTCTGTAGACCACGCCTAACGCGTGCACATGAGCCAAGGCTAGGACTAACTCGGCAGTGTAGAAGCGAGCCCGAGGCTCGGCGAACTTGCCCAGTCTTTGTAGATGGCAGAACAACTCCCCGCCCGCGCAATAATCGAGCACGAAGAAGAGCTTATCTCTCGTCTGGAAGGCCATCTGCAGACCCACGACGAAGGGGTGGCGCACGTAGCCTAATACCGAACGTTCCGTACGCGTATGTTCCACTTGATTGCGCTTAACGATGTTCTCCTTCTTCAGCACCTTCATGGCGAAGGTCTTGTTCGTGCGCACCTGTCGCACTAAGAAGACTTTGCCAAACGACCCCTTGCCGATGACTCTTATTATTTTAAAGTCCGCGGCACAAGGCGCCACCTCTTGCGTCGGAGGTTGTTGTAATTCTCTACTAGCAACTCTTTTCATGCCTTGCTTCGGCGGCACGCCCCAGGGTTGGCTTTGCGGTTGTTGCCGCTGGAAGCCGAACGGATCGTTTTGTGGCGGTAGGGACGCTTGCGGCGTCAGCGAACTCCCAGGCACGTACTCGGCCTCCTCGTAGTTCTCGAGGTCGCCCATGGACGCGTCGTCGTCGTCGACGTCGTCGAACTGGGAGTGGCGCTGCTGCACATGCGCCGGGACTGCGTTGCTGCGTCCTGTGGCTTGATCATCATCAAACGGGGCTTCGTGCTCCTCCAGGTGTTTGTCGAACATCTCGTCCATCTCCAAATCGTCCATGGCCGTGTCTTGCATGGCCATCTCCGCCATGGTTGTGATGTACGACTCGTGTCGCAGTCGTGTCGCGGCGCGCTTTTTGCTTCGGCGGCGTTTCGCTGTGGTTTTCGCGGCAGCCGGTGCTGGTGGGCTACGACGATCGGAAAGTGGACAAATTAATTAGGTTTTCGCGCTTGCGTCCCGCTCGCAACGCAGTTTCAGCCCGGGCGATGCCGCCCTGTGCTCAGCCTACACCGCGAGCGCCGTGATTCTCTCTTGTCAGTCAAATCGAAAATATATATAAAAGGTGTGTGAAAGTAGTTGCACAGTTTAAAAGTAGTTAGCTGCGGCGTAATTGATCGAGAGCGTCGATGCCCTCGCCCAGCCCTGTTCGGTCGACGTTAGAGGCCGCACTCCCAGAAGACCTCGGCCCTCCTCGCTGACGCCGTGTCGAGACGGGATCAGAGCCTGCGTTAGCCGAGCGGCACCTGGAGGCGGCTGCTGCCTGCAGGGCAGTGGGACCTCAAAGAACCGTGCAAGTGGCGCTACCGTCTGCCAGCAGTCCTAAGGCCACGGCTAAGCTAACATAGCGTCCATCGGCGCTGCTCCGCTTGGACACCACGAGCTGTAGCTCACGGTGGCGTCGCGCGCACACGCCGCAGCACAGAGATCGATTGGAGACGCGAAACTGGGTGAAACGAACCGGTCTAAGCTCCTTACCCGGAAGCTATAAGATTAGCTGCTACTGATAAATCCAGCCTTCAAAAATGCTCTCTCAAACAAGACACCTGACCGCAGCGATGCGCAGCGTGCACGCGAGAAGCTTTTTCAGCTTCCTGAAGGGCGGCGGCGGCAACACCTCGCCGCCGGCATCGCTCGAAGGCAAGGTCTGCTGGGTGGTGGGAGGCGTCGACACCGTCAGCGGCGGTGCGCAATCAAGTTTACACGACGCCTTCGCTGCGTGGCGTGGCGGTGCAAAAAAGGACTCACTGGTCGATTGCACACAGGTCGGCCGCAACCTCGTCCGCGGGCTGCTAGATGCGGGAGCCCTGGTCGTCGTCAACTCGCGGACGGCGAGCCGCCTGGAACACCTCGCCGAGACGCTGGGCCAGCCCGACCGCCTCGCGACGGTCCACGGCTCCCTGCTCCCGGAAAATGCCGACAAGACCATCTCGAACGTCATGAATCTGACAGCTCAGCGCCTCGACCACGTCGTGGCGCACGCGGGCGTGCGCTGGTGGGCTGGCCGCGGCAAGTGCGACGAGACGAACACGCTGGCCAAGGACCGCCTCTTCACGATCAACGATGAAGACTTCCCGCAAAAGGCCTGCCAATTGGCCGCGCTGCAGTTCTCCGCGGCGCGGCGGCTCTTACCGCGCCTCGACGAGAACGGCTCCTACACATTCGTCGTCGGCGACGGCGCGGACGACAAGCGGTCGGCGCTCGGGGCCATCAACCTGCGGGCCTGCCAGGGCATCGCCGCGGCCTGCCGCCACGAAGCGATCATCGCCTGCAAGGTGAACGAGGTCAAGGTCCAGGTGGCCGCGGCGCCGGGCGACGAGGCGTCGTTCCTCGCGGGCCTCGGCAGCCTTACCGCGGGCGTCGCCGGCGCGGACGCGGCGGCCGCCGTCGACGTCTCCGAGGCGGGCCTCGCGGCGCTGCGCGCGTCGTACCCCGCGCGCGACGACCTGGGGGGATCGGAGCCCGTCCAGCAGGCGGCCTAGGCAAGTTACTGTAACATATTATAGCTCCCCGCCCTTCCCCGCCTCCTCCTCCTCAGAAAAGAGGGAATGGGCCACTGTCCCGTTCATCCCATCACCGACAGGAAAGTGCTCGAGCACGTGAGCCGCGGAATCCGCAAGCACCAACACGACCGGAATATGCACACCGGCCCAGGGCCTTTGCAAATCCAAACGCGCCCAGGCCTCGCCCCTTGATCTATCAGCGCCGGGCACGCAGTACTGGTCGAGGGCCGTGCACTTTCCGTTGTCCGCAATCACAACACCTAACGCCCCCGCCCGTTGCGCCAGCAACGCCTTCGTGGCCAGGGGGCACTGTCCCCGCTTCACTAAAACCACCCGTCCCCGTAGAGGTGCCGCGTTTTTATGTGTAGAACAAGCATCAAGGGGGTCCGCGGCGACGAGCTCCGCCACCGCTTTGTGGCCTCTAGGAGACCAGTGGCAGAGCCAGGCCTGCGCCGAGTAGTCCGGCCGCGCATTTGGTCTTCTATAATTATGTAACGAGTCGTAGACGTCCAAGGAAGCCGTTAAAGATCCACCAATAGAAACCAACGGACCGTGAACCGAGTGCGCGTGCTCGTCAAATAAGTCATCCAAATGTTTCCGCACGTAGTGCGACGCCTCTTCGTAGAGTTTTTTTCCTTCTTCTGTTGCTATTTGTACAAGTTCATCATCAGTAGGAATGTGGTGCCGCGTGTGGCGATCGAAGGCCCCATGCCCATATGATACTGCCTTCTCTTCGTTGTTCGTGGCGCAGGGCGCCGTAGGACCGGACCAAGGAGCAACACCCAACCGATTGTAGGGTGCCACGGAGAACTCGTAGGAGTGGTTATGGCTACTGTCCTCTCGACTTGTCAGTAGTTCATTCGTGACATCTAGCTGCAAAGGCCAGTCCTTCGTAGCAAATGAACCAACATGGCGCCAGGCGCCGGGAAAGTTTTCAGAATCGTGGTGCCTGAATCTGAGGACGAGGCCTTTTATCGTGGAACCGCCATCATCAAAAGGTCTAGGTACTGTCAGCGTGAGGCCCCGTCCCAGAGCTTGTACTGATGAACCAACAATTTTTGACGGTGCGCCGCGCGCCGGTGTGCTAGCTTCTTCGGATGGTTTGGACCAGGGACCTTCAACCTCGCCGTAATACACCCGCACTCGAAACACGTAGCCGCGCGCGGGTAACGTGTCCTTCACATCAACGATGTAGGACTTGTGGTTCGCGAAGACCGTCTCATGTTTTTCTTGACGATGCGACGCGGCGTCGAAGCGCTGCGTACCTTTCTCATCTCCGGGTCCCCACGCCGCGACCTCGCCCAGACTTGCATCCGGTGGCGTGACCTGCTCGAACTGGACCTCGAAGCCAAAGGGCCGGTCGTCGTGCTTCCTCCTCTCATAAGACGACGAGAGTCGCAATTCGCAGCGCTCGCGGCCGGCGTGGACCACTTCGGGGGGTGGTAATTCCGGAATCGTGGCACTCACGACGCGCCAGTTCCAGCGCTGCTCGGACTGCCAGCTCCCGAAGTTCTTGCGCTGGCGTTTGGTTTGTTGGTGCACGGGTTTTTCTTCCGGCGCGGGCCGCGGCCACCTGCGCGGTAATCGTGATCGCGGCGACGGCGTGGCGGCGGACGCGGGCGACGCGCGTCGCGAATTCGCTCCAAGGCATCTCCGAGTAGGACCGCGCCATCACGAAGTCGAACTCGGGGTCATCCAAAGCTGTCAATAACTCAGAAATGACCAAGGACTTGGCGTGGGGGAAATGCACGTCCGGCGACTCCTTCGCCAGGCGTCTTACTGAATGCACGTTCGACGCGTCCACCACACAAAAGCGCACGGCGGCGCCCTTTGATACGGTGAAAGTCAACTTGTCGTCGTTCCCGGGCACGAAGAGCATGGCCTTGGCGTCGTCGTCCAGTTTCGCCGTGCCAAAGGCGCCCGTGGCACTGGCCGTGCCTTTCAGCACAGCATATAACGAATGCGCCGGCTGCGTACACCCATCGTCCTTGGCGCCACCGTACAGAAACAGGGGCGAGGCACTTTCTTGAGACGCATTTCTCAATCCGGCGGCCCGCGCGACGTAATCATGCGCCGCGTAGCGCGGCACGCTCAGCACCTCCAGGAGCGCCGGGCACGCGTCCAATGCTAAGCCCGTCTTCGCGCAGCCCTTGAGAGCCTTATCGACGTCACCGTCGACGGGCGGGCGCGCGCCGAGCAAGGCCGGCAGTCCGGTTGAGAGGTGCGCGTCGAAGAAGTGCTCCAAGTTGGTGAGTTCCGTGGAGGCGTTGGCGTAGGTCTTGAGCGCGGCATCGACGTATGGTAGCGTGATGAGGGCGAGGGCTGCCCTTGCGGCGCGCACCATGGTTTTGCCACAGTGCCGCTTCCAAGTGGGCAGCCTCTCGTCGCGACCCGAATAGATTTTTTGCGCCCGGGAAGAACGATCGCCGGCGCGACCGACTTCTCGACCAGGGAGGGCTTGGCGGATCTTGGGACCCCGCACTGTAGGGCAGAGCTCCGAGGTAATCGATGCAAAAAGGCCGCCGTTCGTCGCGTTCCCACACATACGAGTCGCGAAACACGGCTCTGTTGACATCGCACGGCTGCTGAGAAAAGCCCGCAGCGCCTCGGGCACGGTGTGGCACACACAGCTAGCACACACAGCTGAGGCCTACAGCTAGGCCTACAAGCCGGCATAAAACGCACGGACGGGGCGAAGCGTTACGTCGACCAGTCGATTTCCGGTCCTTCATTGCGCGAGAACACGCCATCGGCGGCGTCAAGAGGGCGTAAGAACGATGCCCGAGGCGTTCGAGGAACTGATATTGGGCCTCACGCGCCAGCCGGGCGAGGGCTGGGGCCTCAACATCAACAACGCGTCCTTCAAGGTGACGAAGGTTGCACCTGAAGGCGCGGCCTCGAAGTCCTGCGACCCGCCGAAAGTCGGCGACCTGTTAGTTGGTATAGCGGGCGCTGACGGCCGCTTTACACTGCTAGATAACAACACGCGAGCGTCGGAGATGCGCGACGCCTTCGTCCAAGCCGGCGACGTCTGCCAGTTGAGGGTGAAGCGGCCAGTACCAAATGAGGAGGAGCTCGACAGCCCCCCACAAAGGAGCAAGTCGGAAGGCATGTTGTCAAGGTGGGGCCGGTCCTTCAGAAGGCGGTCGACGTCCGTCGACGCGCGACTCAGAGCCATCGGCACGTCGCTGACGAACGTCTTCTCCAGCACCGAATCAGCACGAAACCCGGGCGACGTCGTCCGTATTTGGCCGCGCGTCTTCGCTGTCGTGGGTGGGGAAGCGCCCTCTCTACAACACGTCTCGCAGTGTACGCGGCGGGAGTGCGGCGATGTAAGGCACTCGGACTTCGGCCACGGCGACGCCTTGGACGGCGAACCGTTACTCCGAGCGTTGCTGATCAATGTAGGAGATGCTCCCTGCGCCTCCCCAGAACTGTTTGCCGATGGATCACGAGTGATAAACGCGGGCTGGGAAGCCCCAAAGCACGCGCCGGGGCCCGCGTTAGCTCACGCTGCTAGACTAGGCTTGGCGGCCGCCGCGTGGCTCGCACTCGATGATCGCACGTTGATCGTGATTGGCGACTTGACGGCGGGCGATCGAGCTAGGTGCGGCTTAGCCTGTGCCGCGGTACTGAGAGTGGCGTCGGCGGTTTTAGAGTTCGGTGCCTTACAAACAGATATTCCGAGAGTCGACGCGGCTCAAGAGGGCTATGGGGCATATCTGGAAGCCGTGGGTGGTGATGCGAAGCGCCAGTTAGACCTAAAACATTTACCACCATCGTTCGGACGAGGTCTGAAGCATTTGGACTGCGCCGTCGAAGCGAGGTGTCTGCCGAACCCGCGACCTTTGATATTGTTAGGCGCGTCGGTGCGAGGCTTACCTGTGTCTGAGGCACCAGTACTGGAAGTGTGCTCCACCTCGAACAACTGGTCTTCCGAGAGCGACGAGATGGCTGTGGAGTGGGATGGGGACGAAGCCTTTTATTCCCTGGACAACAACCGGGAGCGGCCCTGCGTGTTGCGCGGGGATTTTGCCGTTGTGGTACGATTTGGGGGAAGATACAAGGATGTGGGCGGGGCGGGCCAAGCACCGATCGCGCGGTATGTGGCCTCATCAGGCTTCCTTTGTGACGGCGCCATCGACGCGAGGAAATGCGACATCGACGTCCACCCGGCCTACGCTACGCAGATCCTAGGTGATCGAAAGAATTCAGGAACGGATTTGCGGGTGCGGTTGGCGTTTTGCTACGCGGACGACGAGGGCGACGACGAGCCGACGAGTCCAGTACATTTTTTTGCGTTACCTAGGCGCGCAGAAGCCGCCGTCGACCGCGGTTTAGCCCTATTAGCGGCCTGGCACTGCATCCAACCCGATACTAATATGACATCATCCCTAGCGGCGACGGCGTGCTGTGATAATGATGTCGCGTCGCTGGCGCTGCAGCTTTCGGCGAATGACGAAGCCAAGGCCTTCTCGACGTTATCAGGGTTCCCGACGCTCAGTGCCGCGGCGGGCATGCGTTCAAAACACGGCGACCTCTTTGCTTATGTGAGATCGTCGCGGGCCGCCGTCCCGTACGACGCGCCGCGTGCATCCTTACTGGGCGCGGCCCAGGCCGGGCCCGGCGGCCTGCCGCGCGTGACGACCGCATTGAATCGGTTGGGCGTTAAAAAAGCCAAGCCGCAGCGCCGGCCGTCGCTGCCGCCGGAGCCGCTGCCGCCGGCGCCCGCCGCCGACGTCGCGGTGGCGCCCGCGCTCGTGCAGCCGCCTCCACCAGTACCGGACGCCGGCGATTTATTGACGGCCGAGCTCGACGCTTTGCTAGCGAAGCCCTCTCAAACCTTGGAGGACGTGGCCGTTGCGCCCTGTGTGGAAATCAAAATTTTCCTCACCGCTCGACAGTGCACCCGACACACTGGTTGATTTCCACACAGGTGCCCGGCACGATCGGCGCGGTCGCGCCCGGCGCGGCCTTGTCTGCCGCGCCGCCCGCGGTGCCACCCGCGGCGCCGGCCGCGCCCGCCGCCGCCGCTGCACCGCCGCCCGCGGCCCCGCTCGAGGCCATGCTCCGGGCCCGCGCTCCGCCCAAGCCGGCCGCGCCAGCACCAAAGCCGGCAAATCCGATTGAGGCCATGCTCCAGCGCAAGCAGGCGCCGCCGCCCGCGAAGCTCCAGCGCATCGTCTCGGGCGAGGCCGCGCCGGACCCGAAGGCCGCGCTGAACAATCTCATGAAGGCGCGCGCGGCCACTGATGGAGGCGCCGCCGCGGACGGCGCGCCGCTGCGCGACCACCCGGCCATGAAGCCCTTCGTCAAGTTGCTGCGGGTGGGCCTGCCGCGGCCCGCCGTCGCGCGGAAGATGGCCGAGGAGGGCCTCGACGCATCATTACTAGACAAGGACCTCGACGCGCCGCCCGACGCGGCGACGTTGCGATTGCTCAACAAGGAGGCCCCGTCGACGACGCGGCAGTGGGGCGGCCGCGAGGCCAAAAAAAGGGCTTCTTTAAAGCCCGTGCACTGGGAGGCCATCGAGAACAACACGGAGGGCACGGTCTGGGCCCATTCTGGTGATGGGGTCGACGACGACGACAAGGCGGAGTTGCATCGGTTATTTGGGGTCGACCATTCCAAAACGCGAAAACATGGGTCGTTACAACCAAAACATAAAGCTGAAGAGGAGGCCTGCGAGGCGAAGCGGTCGGCGAACATTGCCATATCATTAGCTACGTTGGCGAAGCCGTTTGACGGTGATCTCTCGGCTATGTTAAGGGCCGCCTGTGAAGGTGCTATCGCCCATGATATTGTGGAACAATTAGTGCCCATGCTGCCGTCCGACGACGAGTTCGCCAAGGCTCGACGCTTGTACCGGAAGTCCGGTCCTGAAACATTAAGAATACCTCAAAAACCCGCCGAATCATTATTTGTGGCAGTGGTCGACTTAGTGCAGGACGGCGAGTTCCAGATAACGTCTCCGAACGACTTGCGGAGCCGCCTGCAGTTGCTCGGCGACGCGCTGAGCGCGCCCGACGCTTCGAAAAAGATCGCCGAGGACGCGCAGACACTCATAGAGGCGGCCGACGGCGCGCGCACTTCCAAAGCTTTAGCCGAGTGTCTGCGGCGGCTCTTAGACGTAGGCAACGCCCTCAACGCTGGTACGAGGAGAGGCGACGCCAAGGGGTTCACGCTGGCTTCCTTAGAAAGGGTGGCCGCGACGAAGTCGACGGACGCCTCGGCCGTAAGTGTTCTGGACTTCGCGGCGCGTAAGGCCCTGACCGGTGACGGGGAGCATGACCTCGAGAAGCTCGAGCCTTTATTACGTGCTGCTCGGAAGTTGGAACTGCGGGAGCTGGAGAAGGAGTCCACGCGGCTCGCGCGGTGCTCGGCGAAAATCTCCGAGAGCGCGTTGGCATCGCACGCCGCGGCGTCAGGGTTGGCGGAGCACGTGGCGGCCGCGTCCCAGGCTTCCTCGGACGCGTCGTCGGCCGTGCTCCAGTGCTCCAAGTTTTTTGGGGAAGAATCGCCCGACTGCGCGCATCTCTTCGGGGCCCTGCACGACTTGGTAGCGCGCTTCCAAGCCGCCCGTCTTAAGGTCAAGGCGGACGAGGAACGCAGGGCGAAGCAGGCCCTGGAGGAGAAGCGGAAGACTCCCGAAGCCAAACGGGAGCGGCGGCGCGAGCGGCGGCGGGGCCGCGCGGCCGTGGACGACGTCCTGCGCGCGGTGGACGCGGGTAAGAAGTAGTGTGTGTGGTTGTTTTGGTCGGCGTTCTACCGCCCTTGCGGCCCAAGTGCCGTATAACATATCCCGTCGACGGGATATGTTACCTTGCGGCCCTACACATCGCTTCGAGCGAACGAGCGCTTGCTAGTGTCTTACAACCGCTAGCTGCATTATATAGGGATGGCATTTTTGGAGGATTACCACAGATTCCCAGGCTTGCGCAATTTGCGGCACACTTCGTGGTTCTAAGCGCGCCCACGTAACGTTTGGCAAGCGTACGCAGCAGTCACCTCACCACCACCCTCTATCACACACCCAGCCTTGGAGCAGCCGTCGCCGCACGCCAGACGCCGCAGTTGAGAGCGCTTCAAACGAGCAGCATGGCCGCCCAGCAGGACCCGCCCAAGAAGCGCTGCACCGATACGCAAAAAGCACTCTTCGCCGCGGCCCGCGAGGGCGATGTCGACGGCTGCCGGCGGCTGCTGATTGCGGGCGACGTCCGCGCGAACGACGTCGTGCACGCGCTGTCGGGCGGCACGGCGCTGCACGCCGGCATTGCCCACCGCGCGGTCGTGAAATTACTGATCGAGGACTTCCGCGCGGACGTTAATTCTAGAAGGCGCGACGGGTCGACGGCGCTCATGGACGCCTGCGAGGCGGGCGATTTGGAGATTGCCAGGGAGCTGCTGGACACGTACGGCGCGGACCCGCACGCCGAGGACCGCGACGGCCACACGGCGCTCGACCTCGCGCGGGAGCACGGTCATAGCAAGGTCGCGGCGCTCGTCGAGGACCGCGGCGGCCTGCCCGGGTTGAAGAAGAGCGTCGCGCGGCCGGCGAAGGAAAAATCCCTCGCGACGGGCGTCGAGGCGACGCCGCTCTCGCAAAACGCGCGCGACCGCCTCTACACGGCGCCGCGCGCCGTCGCCTCGCCACAATCGCGCGAGGTCGCGGCCGTCGCGCGGCGCATCGGCGGCGACCGGCGCCCGGACCCCGCCGCGGCGCGCGACGCCTGCGACGCGTGCGGCAAGACCGTCGCCGAGCTCAAGCGCTGCTCGCGCTGCCGCGCGGCGGCCTACTGCTCCACGGCCTGCCAGCGCACGGCCTGGCCCCGGCACAAGGACCACTGCCGGCGCGCGCCCAAGGCGGCTCCGGCGCCGGCACCAGCAGCAGCCGCGCCGGCGCCCGCCCCGGCGACGACGACGAAGCCGGCGAAGGACGAGTGGGCGCTCTTCGACGAGCACTCTTCGCGGGGGTTTGGGTTTAAGGAGACCACGTAACGTTTTTCAATTTAGACGTCCCGTCGAGCACCGTCGTAGCGCGCCGGGACCGCCGTCACGCCCAAAGCGACTGGCGGATCGTCACCGGCGCCGCGTCGTCGATCAGTCGACTCGTCGTCGCTTCGACGCGACACGACCGTCGTCGCGACGGCTGCGCGCGCTCTTGACGGCGTCCGCGACGCGGTCCTCAGCATCATCGAGTCCTCGTGCCCGTCTGCCGACCGCGACCGCACACTGGCTCCGAGGCCTCGTGTGCGTTGCTCGATCGTTTCGCTCGTCGCGGGCGCCGGGGTAGCAGCCCTCAGAACCCACTGCCAGTGCTGCCCCTTTTTTATGGGTCACAAGGCTGCCCTTCGCTGGCGTGCGCGGCTTGATTCGTGAAGGGAGGGAGCTGCGCGCACGTCCTCGTCATTTCATTGCCCCTCGTCCCATGTTTGCCGCCTCAACTTGCTTTTTGCTATGACAAGGACTCAGGACTCTGAACCGATCTAATTTTTGCCATTGACCATACTCCCCTAGAGGACGTCTCCGAGGGCCAAGATACGGTGCGGGAGCGGTTTTGCAGTTCAAGTTTTATGCAGCCGAGAACAAAACCTGAAAGACAAACGCACGTAAAGCAAAAAAAGCGCTCGCAAACACGCATTCCTGCACGAATGCAGCTCCAGCCCTGCGGACGCCGTCTCCTACCCACAATGCTTTGCTCACGAAAACGCGCTGCGTCTCGAGCCGTACACAGTGATAAATGAGGGTCTACCCTTGAGCTGGGGCAAATTGGCACTACGCGAGCCTCGTATGTGGGACGCAGCAGCTGCCAACACCGACGGCTCCGCACCAGCGGGAACACCGGAGCAGCCGGAACCTGCGCAAGAGTCCAAATCTGAAGCGCCACGGCCGGATCCGCGCGCCGCCGACCCGCGAACGCCTGAGGCACCCGCGCCCGCGGCCGACGAGGAGGACCCGCTCGCGTCCCTACCGGCGGACTTCGCGGCCTTCTCGCTCACCCAGACCCACCCGCGGTCCGGCGAAGCCAAGGCGGAGCCCTTCGAGCAGCAGCGGCAGTACAAGACGCGCATCTGCATCTACGGCGACAAGTGCCCCTACGGCCCGGGCCGCTGCCTCTTCGCGCACGACGAGTCCGAATTAAGGCCGCCGCAGGCGCGCTGGTGGCTGCCCGAGTACAAGACGAAGCCCTGCCGCTACGCCGCCTCGGAGTGCCCCTTTTACGCGGACGGCCGCTGCCAGTACGCGCACACGGTCCGCGGGCCGGCGTCCCATCGCGCGGGACTCGCTCGATACCACCGACGCAGGTCGAAGAGCTCCAGTACTTGCGGCCGCCGCTGGCGAAGACGCAGGACAAGAAGTACAAGACGCGCATGTGCCGCTACGGCGCGGGCACGTGCCCCTACGGCGTGAGCTGCTCCTACGCGCACAGCGCCGTAGTCTTCCGCGCGGAAAAATCAACTCTTCGCGTCGGCGGCGCGAAAGCGGGTCGGTCCGCGCGCAGGAGGAGCTCCGGCCGCTCGAGCCCGACGAGCCGCCGGGCGAGCCGACCGACGTCGTCAGCCGGCTCGAGCGACTCCGCGCCCTACGCAACAGCGGCAGCGTCTCGGCGGCCGAGTTCGAGGTGCTCAAGCAGCAGGTCCTGCGCGAGCCGGGCTCGTTCGCGGCCCAGGCCCCGGTGCTGCTGGCGCCGACGGCGCCGCCACCGCCGCGGCGCCTGTCGCCGCCGCCGCCGGACGCCTACATGCTGCCCGCGATGGCGATGCCGCCGCGCGCGGTGCCGCGACCGCCGGCGTACGAGCCGCCGTACGCCGCGGTGCCGGGGCCGCCGCGCGGGTACGGCGTTCCACAGCTTGTACCTCGAGGCTACGGCGCGCCGCCGCCACGGCGGCCGCCGGTTCCTGGGTACGCACCTCAAGGCTACGCGGCGCCGCGGCCGCCGAGATACGCTTACGGCGCGCCGCCGCCGGATCCCGGGACGTATCCTCGGCCGCGGCCGCCGTACGACCCCTGCGCGCCGCCGAGGCCTCCTCGCTGAGAGCCATCCGGCGAAATTTTTGGATTCGGATGCTACTTTGCCACCAGTCCACTCGTGTCTAGTCGTGTATATAAGAGATTTAGATTATGGCTCTTGGAGGGTTAATAGCCAGTTTCTTGGGAGGAAGTGAATCCCCGAGCGCCAACTATAGCTATTGATATATAAATGATTATGCCCGTGTACTCATCAGGAAGCCGCCGGCCTGGTCGTCCTTGCCGCGCGTTTCGCCTTACTTCGACGCGCGACCCGAAGCCGGTATTAGGTTATGGCTCTTGCATCCGGCGGGCGTCTAGCATTAGGGCGGCGTTTCGCGAGCGCTGAGCGCCGGTCGCGCGAATCGAAACTCCTCCTTAATCGCCGCTGCGAGCGGGTGCGCACCACCGAACACGCGCCGCGCCGTCCGCGTCGTCTCCTCGAGCGTCTCTCTACGGCCGCGCGGAGATCGTCAAGCGTGGCCTCGTCGTCGTTGTAGAGTTGTCACCGGCGCCGCGTCGTCGATCAGTCGACTCTCGTCAGCGCTTCAAGACGACACGACCGTCGTCGCGACGGCTGCGTGCACTCCGACGGCGTCCGCGACACGGTCCTCAGCATCATCGAGTCCTCGTGCCCGTCTGTCGACTTCGACTGCACGCTGGCTCCGAGGCCTCGTGTGCGTTGTTCGATCGTTGCTCGTCGTGGCGCGCGCGGGTTGCAACCCTCAGAACCCACTGGCAGTGCTGCCCTTTTTGGGCAACGAGACCGCCCTTTGCCCACGCGCGCGGCAACGATTCGTTGCGGATGGCTGCTGCGCGCGCGTCCTCGTCGTTTCAGACCTCTCGTCAACAATTAAGCTGGTTGAACTCGCTTTTTGCTGTGACAGAGGGTATGTGCTCAGTAATGGAACCGATCTAATTCCAACTATTGCCGATATACCGCTACAGGACTTCTCTGAGGCCTGAAATAAGGGTCGGGAGGGGTTTTGAAGTTGGAGAACACAGGCGCCCCTTTATCTCTGACGATCAGAGCCGGTCTTAAAACGCGGCTCAGCGCCGGCTGTGGTGCACGATGAGTGGGTTCAAGCTGTGAAAAGGGAACCTGAGACGTGCGCTATGCTTCACGGAAGAAAGCGCTGCGTCGCGAGCCGTACCGAGTGAGTAATAATGAGCTAACGCTGAGCGTGGGTAATTGGCACTACGCGAGCCTCGTATGTGGAACGAACCAGCTGCCAACACCGACGGATCCGCACCAGCGGAGACACCGGAGCCGCCGGAGCCGGCGTACGAGTCGAAACAAGATGAACCGTCAGGGCTGGACCCGCGCGCCGCCGACCCGCGAACGCCTGAGGCACCCGCGCCCGCGGCCGACGAGGAGGACCTGGTCGCGTCCCTGCCGGCGGACTTCGCGGCCTTCTCGCTCACCCAGACCCACCCGCGGTCCGGCGACGCCAAGGCGGAGCCCTTCGAGCAGCAGCGGCAGCAAGGGTCCCGCGTCCGTCGCGTTTACGAAAAAAGAGTGTAAGTCTACGCACCCAGGTACAAGACGCGCATCTGCATCTACGGCGATAAGTGCCCCTACGGCCCGGGCCGCTGCTTCTTCGCCCACGACGAGTCCGAATTGAGGCCGCCGCAGGCGCGCTGGTGGCTCCCTGAATACAAGACGAAGCCCTGCCGCTACGCCGCCTCGGAGTGCCCCTTTTATGCGGACGGCCGCTGCCAGTACGCGCACACGGTCCGCGGGCCGGCGTCCCGCGCCTTCGCGCGGAGTCTCGTGTGTGTGACGACGCGTCCCGCCGAGAGCGCCGCCGTCGCCCCCGCGCGCGACGACGCGTCGTGCCGATGATGTGGACGCACTCGACGCCATCGACGCGGCGACGACGCGTCGCGCCGATGGCGCGGGACCCGCTCGACGCCACCGACGCAGGTCGAGGAGCTCCAGTACTTGCGGCCGCCGCCGGCGAAGACGCAGGACAAGAGGTACAAGACGCGCATGTGCCGCTACGGCGCGGGCACGTGCCCCTACGGCGTGAGCTGCTCCTACGCGCACAGCGCCGTAGTCTTCCGCGCGGAAAAATCAACTCTTCGCGTCGGCGGCGCGAAAGCGGGTCGGTCCGCGCGCAGGAGGAGCTCCGGCCGCTCGAGCCCGACGAGCCGCCGGGCGAGCCGACCGACGTCGTCAGCCGGCTCGAGCGACTCCGCGCCCTACGCAACAGCGGCAGCGTCTCGGCGGCCGAGTTCGAGGTGCTCAAGCAGCAGGTCCTGCGCGAGCCGGGCTCGTTCGCGGCCCAGGCCCCGGTGCTGCTGGCGCCGACGGCGCCGCCACCGCCGCGGCGCCTGTCGCCGCCGCCGCCGGACGCCTACATGCTGCCCGCGATGGCGATGCCGCCGCGCGCGGTGCCGCGACCGCCGGCGTACGAGCCGCCGTACGCCGCGGTGCCGGGGCCGCCGCGCGGGTACGGCGTTCCACAGCTTGTACCTCGAGGCTACGGCGCGCCGCCGCCACGGCGGCCGCCGGTTCCTGGGTACGCACCTCAAGGCTACGCGGCGCCGCGGCCGCCGAGATACGCTTACGGCGCGCCGCCGCCGGATCCCGGGACGTATCCTCGGCCGCGGCCGCCGTACGACCCCTGCGCGCCGCCGAGGCCTCCTCGCTGAGAGCCATCCGGCGAAATTTTTGGATTCGGATGCTACTTTGCCACCAGTCCACTCGTGTCTAGTCGTGTATATAAGAGATTTAGATTATGGCTCTTGGAGGGTTAATAGCCAGTTTCTTGGGAGGAAGTGAATCCCCGAGCGCCAACTATAGCTATTGATATATAAATGATTATGCCCGTGTACTCATCAGGAAGCCGCCGGCCTGGTCGTCCTTGCCGCGCGTTTCGCCTTACTTCGACGCGCGACCCGAAGCCGGTATTAGGTTATGGCTCTTGCATCCGGCGGGCGTCTAGCATTAGGGCGGCGTTTCGCGAGCGCTGAGCGCCGGTCGCGCGAATCGAAACTCCTCCTTAATCGCCGCTGCGAGCGAGTGCGCACCACCGAACACGCGCCGCGCCGCCCGCGTCGTCTCCTCGAGCGTCTCTCTACGGCCTCACGGAGATCGTCAAGTGTGGCCTCGTCGTCGTTGTAGAGTTGTCATCGGCGCCGCGTCGTCGATCAGTCGACTCGTCGTCGCTTCGGCGCGACGAACGTCGTCGCGACGGCTGCGCGCGCTCCGACGGCGTCCGCGACACGGTCCTCATCATCATCGAGTCCTCGTGCCAGTCTGTAGACCGCGTTTGCACACACTGGCTCCGAGGCCTCGTGTGCGTTGTTCGATCGTTTCGTTCGCGCGCGCGCCGGGGTTGCAACCCTCAGAACCCACTGCCAGTGCTGCCCTGCTTTTGGGCAACGAGACCGCCCTTTGCCCACGCGCGCGGCAACGATTCGTTGCGGATGGCTGCTGCGCGCGCGTCCTCGTCGTTTCAGACCTCTCGTCAACAATTAAGCTGGTTGAACTCGCTTTTTGCTGTGACAGAGGGTATGTGCTCAGTAATGGAACCGATCTAATTCCAACTATTGCCGATATACCGCTACAGGACTTCTCTGAGGCCTGAAATAAGGTTCGAGAGGGGTTTTGAAGTTGGTAAACACAGGCGCCCCTTTATCTCTGACGATCAGAGCCGGTCTTAAAACGCGGCTCAGCGCCGGCTGTGGTGCACGATGAGTGGGTTCCAGCTGTGAAAGGGGAACCTGAGACGTGCGCTATGCTTCACGGAAGAAAGCGCTGCGTCGCGAGCCGTACCGAGTGAGTAATAATGAGCTAACGCTGAGCGTGGGTAATTGGCAATACGCGAGCCTCGTATGTGGAACGAACCAGCTGCCAACACCGACGGATCCGCACCAGCGGAGACACCGGAGCAGCCGGAGCCGGCGTACGAGTCGAAACAAGATGAACCGTCAGGGCTGGACCCGCGCGCCGCCGACCCGCGAACGCTTGAGGCACCCGCGCCCGCGGCCGACGAGGAGGACCTGGTCGCGTCCCTGCCGGCGGACTTCGCGGCCTTCTCGCTCACCCAGACCCACCCGCGGTCCGGCGACGCCAAGGCGGAGCCCTTCGAGCAGCAGCGGCAGCAAGGGTCCCGCGTCCGTCGCGTTTACGAAAAAAGAGTGTAAGTCTACGCACCCAGGTACAAGACGCGCATCTGCATCTACGGCGATAAGTGCCCCTACGGCCCGGGCCGCTGCTTCTTCGCCCACGACGAGTCCGAATTGAGGCCGCCGCAGGCGCGCTGGTGGCTCCCTGAATACAAGACGAAGCCCTGCCGCTACGCCGCCTCGGAGTGCCCCTTTTATGCGGACGGCCGCTGCCAGTACGCGCACACGGTCCGCGGGCCGGCGTCCCGCCTTCGCGAGTCTCGTGTGTGTGACGACGCGTCCCGCCGAGAGCGCCGCCGTCGCCCCCGCGCGCGACGACGCGTCGTGCCGATGATGTGGACGCACTCGACGCCATAGACGCGGCGACGACGCGTCGCGCCGATGGCGCGGGACCCGCTCGACGCCACCGACGCAGGTCGAGGAGCTCCAGTACTTGCGGCCGCCGCCGGCGAAGACGCAGGACAAGAAGTACAAGACGCGCATGTGCCGCTACGGCGCGGGCACGTGCCCCTACGGCGTGAGCTGCTCCTACGCGCACAGCGCCGTAGTCTTCCGCGCGGAAAAATCAACTCTTCGCGTCGGCGGCGCGAAAGCGGGTCGGTCCGCGCGCAGGAGGAGCTCCGGCCGCGCGAGCCCGACGAGCCGCCGGGCGAGCCGACCGACGTCGTGAGCCGGCTCGAGCAGCTCCGCGCCCTCCGCGACAGCGGCAGCCTCTCGGCGGCCGAGTTCGAGGTGCTCAAGCAGCAGGTCCTGCGCGAGCCGGGTTCGTTCGCGGCCCAGGCCCCGGTGCTGCTGGCGCCGACGGCGCCGCCACCGCCGCGGCGCCTGTCGCCGCCGCCGCCGGACGCCTACATGCTGCCCGCGATGGCGATGCCGCCGCGCGCGGTGCCGCGACCGCCGGCGTACGCCCCGCGGCCGCCGTACGCCGTGGTGCCGGGGCCGCCACGCGGGTACGGCGTTCCACAGCTTGTACCTCGAGGCTACGGCGCGCCGCCGCCACCGTACGCGTCGGTCCCGCGGCCCCCGCGGCCGCCGGATCCTAGGTACGGGCCGCCGAGATACGCGCACGGCGCGCCGCCGCCGGGCCCCGGGACGTATCCCACACAGCCGCGGCCGCGGCCGCCGTATGACCCCCGCGCGCCGCCGAGGCCTCCTCTCTGAGAGCCTTCCGGCGAAGTTTTTGGATTCGGATGCTATTTTCCCACGGTCCACTCGTCTCCGGTCGTCTATATAATATTTAGATTATGGCTCTTGCATCCGCGCGGCGGCTGGCGTCTACGTGTTTCGCGGCGGCCGCGCGCCCGTCTGCCGCGCGAGCGCCCACATCACATGAGCGGCGAGGACGCTACGTGTCCCCCCCACGAGTCGTAACAACGGTTTCTGAGGTGTAGACTTTAAGCTAGCGGCCTGTAAGACACTAGGCATCCTTACACAAGCAGCGCAAAAAAAACTCTGCAGCACAGCTGCACATAGCGCTGTTCATAGCAGGGCACAGCTTACAGCACTCTACGTGCCAGAAAGTCCAGCGCTGCGGCCAACCACACCACTCGGCAGCGAGTGCAGCGACAGCAACCCTACAGCCGCCGCCGGCGAGCGACCACGCTCTGCGCGCGCGCGACGGAACGCCGCCGCGGCGACACCTGAGCGATGGGCGCGTCCCAGCCCAAGCCCGAGGCCGCGGAAGGCGAGGACGACTACCAGCATATTGATACGGGCGACTCCCTAAAAGTGAAACAAATACTAGACGAAGCCACGGTCAAGGCTGTGCTCGCCAAGGGCTACGACGAAGTGCACTTCATCGATAATCTGAAGATTTCATTGATGATCATCGCGTGTTTATTTGCTTGTGCCGCGCAGTTCAACCCGATCCCGTTCCCGAAGGTCCGGCCGATACTAGGCGTGTGCTGCGGCGGCTATTTCGTGTTTAGCGGCATCCACCAGTTGGTCGTGAAATACGTCGAGAGGGACATCGTGCTCATCACGAAGCCCAAAAACGCGGAACATGGACTGAGGGTGCGGACTGATTTCCCGAAGTTCCAGGACCTGTTCACGATCATTGTGGAGTACGACACGCCGGACGCCCCACCTTACGAGGAGAAGCACTGCGTCGGCAAGTTCTTCGACACCGGGGGCTACTTCTGGGAGGCGGGCTTCGCCGACACCGTCCAGAAGATGGTCGCCAAGTTCGAATCGAAAAAGAAGCAGTAATAGTGGTATATCTTAGCGCTCGGACTCGCGGCGATGGCGTGGGGAGCGATGCGTGCGCCGTTTTCTAGCGGTGTAAGACACTAGCAAAGCTACAGCTCAAACTGCCCAAGGCCTGAGAGCTAGGGATTTGCAAGCGCTGCAAGCCTGGCACGTCCGGAAGATCGCCTATCATTACTGCGAAGGCTGTGGGACCAGCTTCGAAGCCGCACACCGACGCCGCGCCGCAGGAGCGAGTGTGCCGCCTAGCAGAGCTTTTGAGCCCACTCGAAACCGCGCGAGCGTTGCCGCCCAACAACCGGGCCCGGAGGCCTGCGCGACGTCGCCGCGACCGCTGGAGACCGCGGAACCGCGCGAAACCATGGCCGAGGTCACGGACGAGCAGGTCCGCAAGGCTGTGGAAGAAGAAGCCGAGGAGGACCCCGAGTTCCTCGCGAGCCTGACCGAGGGCCTGTCGTCGCAGCGCGACGTGCGCGAGCGCGCCGCACGTAGATTAGATGTGGACGAGGCCCTGCTGAAGCCCTTCAAGAAGACGATCAAGGCCGTCATGACGGATTTGTGGACGGCGCCCGACGCCGAGCCCGAGGCCCTCGAGAAGGCGGCGCCGAAGCCCAAGAAGAAGCGGAGCCCGCGGCCGAAGAAGGACAAGCCGCCGAAGAAGAAGGTCGAGGCGCCTCCAGCAAAGCCCGAGGACGCGCCCGAGTCGTTATTGAGAGGCAAGCTGACCATAGACAAGACGGGGCGCTTGACGTGGAGCGGCGCCTGGGCCTTCGGCGCCGACGCCTGGAAGCGCGGCGAGCGGTCCAAGTTTTTGGTGAAGACGAAGAAGCCCCTCGTGGTCAAGGATATCTCCGAAGCCAAGGTGAGCGGCGTCATCGAGTCCGGTAGATGGCTCGCGTGCAAGGGCTGGTTCTGCCTGAAAACAACAGCAGGACCGCAAGCCAAGGAGAAGGAGTTCCAGGCTCGATTACGTTTTGTCAATGATAACGGCTGGAAGGTCGAGGGGCGAGGCGCGAATAGGTTTGGGAGGTGGGTTTTGACGTCGAAGCTCTGCGATCTAGCAAATGGCACATGTGCGGCGGCGCGGTCGTATGCCACAGAATTGAGTACCTCGGTGCTAGCGTCAGATACTCTACTAGAGGACGATGATGATGATGAGGACTTCGACGCGGGAGACTCTGACGACGACGGCAAGGACCCGGCGAAGCCGAAGCGGGCGCCGCCCATACAATTGAAAGGATCTATCAGAGGCGGTGAGGGCGGCGTCTACACGTGGAGCGGGAGGTGGACGGAATCCAAAAGAAGTGACGAAGGTGGTGTGTTCGAGCTCACGGGGACGTCTACCCGACGTTCAAACACGGAAGATGGTGTGATACCGGCGCATTTAGATCTCTCAGGTGGTTTCGAGATCGGCACGGGCGACACTAAAAGAACGATCCGCGAGCCCGTCGTGTCGCTGCATCTCGAGGCTCCGGATGCGAGCGGTGCACGTACTGCGTCGGGGCGGGGCCAGAACGAGTTCGGCGACTTCCGGCTGCGAGGGACTCTGACAGATGGGGAATTAAGGTGCACGAAGCGCTACTCGAAACCTCGGCCCCCCTCGTCCGACGAGGACGAGTCAGATGATGAATTGGACAAGGACCCGGAAGAGCTGAATCAATTGATCACGGAAGCCGCGGACTTCACGTCACAGAGTGCGCCTAGATCAAAGCGCCAGGCGGCGTCGCACGCGGAGCGCGCCATCTCCCAGCAGAATTTACGTGCTGAACGAGGGTCGTTGATCGCCTGGGACCAGACGAGTCTGCAGAGTGAGGTCGATTCTCTTAAAGCAACAGTGGCCGCGGGCGCGGCCGAGCAGCCCCTCATTATTCATTTGCGGGCCCTCCACGCGAAGTCGCTCACCGTCGACTTGTTGAGCGCGACGGGCGTCGGCAAGGTCGTGGCCCAGCTGCGGAAGCACGAATCCACTAAAGTGAGCGCCATGGCCGCAGCCCTCGTGAAGGGCTGGAAGGCGCTCGTGACGGCGCAGAAGTAGTGAGGCGACTAAGGAGGATACTTATTTACGCCCTCACTTTCTCCTAGCCCTCAGCACCGCGACCGCCGCAAACGCCCCAAACGCGACGAACCCGGCCTTCTTCGCCAGGGACAGCTCCGGTTTTCTCCCGACCATGGCCTCCAGCGTCGAATCATCATACACTTCTGGCGAAGCGGCCAGGCGCTTGGTGTCCAGTAAAGTCGCACGCAACGTTTCCACTTTGGCCGGCGCGCACGCGATCGCCGTGCAAGCGCAGGCGTCGTCGAAGAGCGGCGCCACCCAGGTGCGGATCGCGTCCAAGGCGTCCCTCTCGGACACGGAACCGACCGCCTTGATGAGTTGCCGGTTCCTATCTGAATCTTGATTCAACAAAGCGCGGCGCCACGCCCCGAAAAGGGCCTGGGATCTAGTTTTCTCGCCCTCCACCAACCCCGAAGCCAGAGAACCGCGCGCGTTCGCGAAGTCGTCCGACCTGATAGGAGTAGATCCGTCCGCGTACCCAGCAACAATTTGTTTAGCAGCGTCCAACGCCTCCTTCGGCGACGCACTACGATACAACCCAAAGTAGATCAGCCCATGGACAGAATCCGCTCGGAGCGAAGCGCCGTAGGCCAACCCCGCACCCCGAATCTTGACCCAGAAGTCGCCCTCTAAGGCATTGAGGTACTCCAATGCTACTGCCAGCGACGCCGACCATTTCAGGGGGTCATTGGCCGAGGGCCCCAGCGCGCAGCGATTCAGGAACGCCGAGCCGCCTTCCAAGGAACCGACTCCTACGACGGTGAGGCGGCCCCACCTTATCTGTTGCGGTTTCGCTGGTTCGCTACGCGGTGCTTTACGAGTGCCTATCTGGTCGCATCTCTTCTGGAAGGCCTCCTTGGCTTTCGACGGAGTTTGAGATAGAGTGTCCAACGACTCTGCAGAGATGGGGTTCACTCCACCTAGTAGATCGCCGGCCACCCGACTGATCTGAGTCGTCGGGTCGAAGAGCGCCAGTGCTAATGCACCAAAGTCCCTCATAAACTGTTTTCTTCTTCCCAACAACGTCCCGAGCTTCGACAAGGAGAATCGAGCTTCTCTCAAAAATGCTCTTTGAGCAGCATAGGCCAACAGAGCGCCGTTGTCCGCCACGCGGTCGAAGACTAACGCATGTAAAGCCATCCTCGCGACGGTGCCCCCGTCCCGCAACGCCGATTGTAATTCGAGAGACATCTTTGCGACGGCTTGGTCGACTCTTGCCTCATCAAATATATCAGTCTGCGTTAAGATCGTACGCACGATGTCCGCGCCCCCTTGATAAGATTCGGAGGCTCTATCCACTTTACATCCCACAAAGAAGCCCCACGACGTCCCTGAGCCTAACAATCCGGTGCCGCATCCATAAGAAACGGTTCTTCGTCTGAGCTGGGAGATGTTGTCGTCCGCGCTGACTACGTTACCTTGGTCATCGTACGTCGGCGCCTTCAGCAGCACTTCTGAGAGTAGAGGTAGGAACTCCCGCAACTCAGGTGCTAGACCACGTGTATCGCAGCAGACATCAACCCTACAAAACTGCGTCCCGGCGACGTGGTCCAGGGCCCACTGCTGGCCCGGAGACACCCACGCCTCGGCGCTCTTCGTTAACGTCGTTGAACCGGGAAAGCTCTGGACATCAAACAATTGCGTCGTGGCCTCCTCGAGGTCTGGCTCCGGGACGCAGCTGAGCATCTCCGAGGGTATGTCGCGCTCGTTAACTTCTTGGGCCTTGTCTAACTTATCTTGGAGAGCTTTCAGACCTTCAGGACCTTCCCTCTTGATCGTCGCTTGCTTCCTCGACTCCTCCTCGTCTCTCTGTCTAGACGCTTCCGCCGCGGACGGCCTAGAGATGACCCAGACTCGTTCATCAGCAGACGAGGCCAGCTTCTGCAAATCCGCGTCCCACGTCGCCGTATCTAAGGCTTGGGCGTACTCCAACAACCCTAGGGCGTCGCCCAGCTCCTTCAAAGTAGAAGTCTCATCCCTCTGATCAGCGTAGATGAAATGCTTCAGAACAGGGGAGACTAACAACGCACAGGGGTCGTCCTCGCAGGCCGCGAGCGTCTTCCGTTTCTGCCTCGCGATGATGTCCCGCATGCGCGTGGGATCGATGCCCTTCTTTGATTGCTCTACTAGTGCAGCGTCGAACTCGGCTTGGACCCTTTCTAACGAGTCAGTAGCGACGTCGTCGAACCAGACCTGGCGGTAGCCTACCCTGAACGTGTCTCCGGAGGGAAACACGCCGCTACAAAGACCTTCGTCGACGAACTTTTTCGTCATGGGTGAGGCGGCGCCGTCGCAGAGATACTGCCAGAGTAATGTGGCCCTACAATCGGTGTGAGGGTCGCCGTATTTCGACGCGCGCCAGCCACAGACGACTAATCCCGTTTCCTCGTCTGCTGAGGGGAACACTACGTCTCTAGAAGTATAGGGTAATGACGGGGGAGGCACTGGTGTCGTCCAGGGCCTCGTTAAACCTTTTGATGAAGATACTTTCTCGGCAGGCCAGGATCGAGCTAAGGCCTCGTCCACCACGTCTAGTAATTGGCCCGCGTCGACCCCCCCGGTGACGATCAGACACAGGTTCTCGGCCCGATAAAATTCCGCATGGTACCGCTGGATCGTCTTGTTCTCCAGTTTGCGGATGTTATCGCAGATGCCGCCCGTCTCGGAAGCGTAGCCCGTCTTGGCATATAACGCCCCGAGGCAAGCTCTCTCGGCAACAGATTCGGCGGAATTCTCGCGCCCCTGCATCTCGCAGTAGACGACGCCCTTGTTTTCTCCTTCTCCCGTGACGTGGTGGATCTCCGTCACGAAGCCTTCGTCCGTCAACGTCGGTCGTAACATATGATCGACATAGATAGGTAATAAATTCAACAGCCCTTGCGTGCCCGCGGTCGTCACGGTATAAGCCGTGTGATCCACATCAGTCCAAGCATTTGTTCCTCTTGCTAGACATCTGTTGGCCAATTTATCTAACACGCCTTTGTAGGGGTAGTCTTCACTACCCAAAAACACTAGGTGTTCTAGAGTGTGTGGTAATCCATCATCAGCCTTGCACCACGCCTCTTCGGTAGCTTCGGTCGCTAACACACCATACAGGTTCGCCATGGGGCCTGGGGCGCTCACGAGGCGCACCCTACACCCCGTCCTCGAATGGACCCAGCATCGCACAGTAGCTCCGGACAGTTCAAAGGGCTCCTGCTCGTCGAAGGCCGCGGACTTGGGTTTTTTGGCTGCTCTTTTTTTGGGCTTGGCTTTCGGTGTCGTATCCAGAGCCTTCTCGAGCGCCGTCGAGCGCTGCGAGAGCTGGACGTCCAATGCTTGCTTCGGCGGGGAGATAGCTTTCGGCGGCGACCTACTTAACACGGGCGAGAGGGGCATTTCCGGTTCAAATTCTAAAGTTTTGGCCGAGACCCAGCCGGCCGGGCTTCTCAATCGGCAGCGCTCGCCCTTGGTCTCGACGACGTCGACGGTCGAGCCGGCTGGGAGGTCTTTGATCTTGGACGAGCTCTTCTCGAAGCCCAGGCGTACCAGGGCTCCGTTCGCTCCTACTTTGGCTTTGCGGGCCGGCATGGCTGCTGTGGCGTCTGGGCGATTTGCCTTGATTTGGTCGCCACCACCAATCTCTGTGGGCACGGCGTCTGGCGCGCCGCGTTTAAAAGCAAGGCTTCGCCAAGCTATGAGCTGCTTTTAAAAAGCGCGCTGCGTGCCGTACGTGCAACAGGAAGCTCAGTTACGCGCGGAAAGGCGCCGCGGCTTGTTCTAGTGTCTTACAGGCCGCTAGCCCGCATCTCCATAATTCGCGGGAGGAGCTCGGTGCGGCCGCATAGCAACGATAAGGCTCTACGTTGGAGGCAGTGCAGCCATCTGTGAGCGGTGCGGCCGCCTGGTTACTCTCTGAGAGCGCTGCTTTGATTAACACAGCCTTCAGCAAACTATGCTCCTCCTCCCCCTCTGCTGCGTCTTCATCCGCATCGGTCGCCGGCGCGCGACGCCGCGCGAGATTCTAAGCACGGGCACGGACCGCCGCGATATAAGAAGAGCAGAAACCGCATGGCGCCGCGAGTACGCGGACCGCGCGCCGCCGGTCGGCGAGACCACCGCCGCGTTGCGCGCGCTCGGCGCCGTGCGCGACGGCGACCGCGTCGCGAGCCTCCTGAGGTGGTGCGACGCGCGCGGCGCGGCCTACTCGCCGTCGGCCGCCGTCGCCGCGCTCGCGCTCGCCGGCCGCGCGGGCGCGGCTAGAGCTCGCGCCGCCGCTTCAGACGTCGACGCCGTCGCGGCGGCCCTCACAGCGGACGGGGTATCGCCGCACCTCGCGGCGCTCCACGCGGCGCAGCGGACCGGCGCGCTCGATCTGCACGGCCTCGATCCGTCTGAAGCGACGCGGGCCGTCTCGTTGCTGCTCGACCACCGCGACCTTCTTACTGATGATGTTCTGGTCATCACGGGCCGCGGCAAGCACTCTAAAACAGGCTCTGTCGTCAAGCGCGAGGTCCACGAGCTGTTGACGCGGCGCGGCGCCGTCTTCGTCGAGGAGAACGAGGGGGCGGTCCGGCTACAGACGAGGCCGGCGCTCTGGCTCGACGCAAGACGGGGCGGCCAGGACGTGGCGTCGCGCGGCGTCGTCACCGTGTTCCTCGCGGACGAAGCCTCGGAGGCGGCGGGCGACGTTGTCACATTGATCGCGCGCGGCGGGGACGTCGTCGACGGCGATAGTAGGTGCGTAGGGCGCATCGTCGACGCGTCCACCGGCGCCGAGGCGCGCGCCGAGGTTGAGGCAGTTGTTCGCGGCGGGGCGTACGATCTGTTGGTCCTCGACGGAGCGCCTTCGGAATTGCTCGCGTTCGCGCTCGAGCGCGCGGCGCGGTGCAACGGTATCAGCGGCGCCGCGCTGACCGTGGTGCAGTGCGTCGCTGACGAGGAGGAGGTCAATGCCGCTCTCCAGGCCGGCGCGACGACGCTTTGCGTCGCGGGGGACGCTGATTCGGCCACGTGGGCCACCGCCTCGCGAGAGGCTACGCCAGCCGGTGGTGAGGACGACGAGGGGGAGGACATCGAGGCCATGAACATTGAGCAGCTACAAGAGCTTATGGAAGAAATTGGCGGCCCGCGCGTCGAGGAGATGTCCCTCGCCGACGCTCGTGATGTCGCGTGGCGGTTCGTGGAGGCGGAATTTAGCGCCGAGCACGACCATGACCATGACCACGAAGAGGAAGAAGATGACAGCATCGCCTACGTCGGCGGCGGCAAGTACACGGAGAACGTCTCCGAATTAGACGACATGGACCTCGAGGAGCTGGCCGAGCTGATGGAGAGCGTCGGCGGACCCTCGATAGGGAAGGACATGTCCCTCGCCGAGGCGCGCGATACGGCCTGGGGATTTCTCGAGGAAAATTTCAGCGACGTCTGCGAGGGCGACGAGTAATGTGATATATTGTGAATCGGTGACTAGTCCTTATTTGAGATCCTTACTGCTCTTGCGACGTACGGGCGGCGCCGGCGACGCGAAGACCGAGAAGCCCTGGAACTGCTCGCCCTTGAAGGACAGCGACACCTCGTCGGACCCGCCCTTTTGCTGGGGCGAGTCGCCGTCGCTCGGCCGGTGCGGCCCGAACTTCTTGACCAAACCCTGATCGGGCACGTTCGGCACGCGGCCGGCGCGCGGCGTGAACGGCGGCACGAGCTCCTTGCGCTCGAGCTTGGCGAAATCCAAAGGCTCGAAGAAGCGTCTTTTCGCCAGCTGCGCCGCCGACCGCAAGCGCCGCGACGCCCTTTTATGCAACAACTTCTCGACGGCTGACCTAAATTTCTCGTCGTCCCCGATAATTTGCGGCGCCTCGCGGATGATGTTCAGCATCAACTGTCTAGGAGTAGAAGCCCTAAAAGGCGTCTTGCCCTGGCACGTTTCTACTAACAAAACGCCGAGGGCCCACCAATCCAAGGCAGGCGACGGCGCCTCGTCTCCTTTACGTAACAATTCGGGCGCCATGTACTCCACCGTCCCGGCGAAGGATCTTTTGGGGCCCTGGTTGTTGTTTTCCACACATTTGGCGAGGCCAAAATCACACAAGTGGGCGTGGCCCTCCGTATCTAACAGAACGTTTGCTGCTTTTATATCTCGGTGTAGGACGTCCCTTGCATGCAAGTAGTCCAAGCCTAGCGACAGCTCCGCGACGATGAACCGAGCCGCGTCTCGACCTAAGCCTTTTCTGTCTTCTACTCTTTTGAGAGCGTCCTCCAGACTTCCTCCAGCGAAGTAATCCGTCACTAAATACAAGTCCCTTCGACTCTGGAACGCATATCTCAGCCTCACGAGAAACGTATGCCTGGCAACCAGCATCAGATTCCGCTCAAAAAACGCGTGCTCGGACAACCGGTTCTTGGCATACGTAGCCTTCTTCATCACCTTGAGCGCGAAGAGTTGCTTGCCGTCCTTCTTCCGCACGAGTAGTACGGAGCCGAAGCCGCCCACGCCCAATAACTTGAGGGGCTCGAAGTCTTCAAACGTCACCTTGCCCTTCTCGTTCAGCGAGGCCCTTTTCGCCGCGACGGCCTCGGCCGCCGCCGACAGCTCCGCGGCGGCGCCGGATGCAACGCCGGCAGGCTAGCCGAACCTGCAGATTTGGCTTTTGTCGTCGCCCGCGGCGCGACAGGCGTGGTCAGGGCTTTGACGCGTCTTATTTATTGATAGAGACGAGCTTAGGCCGCCCCAAGCGTCAACTACGCCCCAGGCCTTGCAACAAAAAATCTCTGTGTGCAAAACCCGTGTCGCAAAGCTACCGGTCACACGAAGCAATGGCCATCTAGGACTCTTCGCCAGGAGTGCTCGGATGGCCCGCCGATCCGTGGGCCCGCAGAAACTTCGTCAAGCATCTCCGCCCCCAGCCTCTGCCGGCAGGCAATTAGATCAGCGCATTGATCACTCCCACACTTGATAGTGCGTGTTTTGTGATCGCTATTACCACATTGATCGACACAGCGCGCGTCCTGCAATAAGACATCGTGCGTGCTGCAAAACAAGATGGCCAGCCTCACCACATCCGCTGCACCGCGCCTCGTCTTACATTTCGACGTCAACGAGACGATCATGGTCGCGGACCCCGCGGGCGGCGACAGCTTCGAGGACGTGCTGAACAAGATGCTCGCCAAGACGGCGTTCGTGCGACGAAAGGACGGTGCGTCACTGCACGACGAGTGGAAAGACGGTGCGGCGGCGCCGGACGAGCTCGAGTGGCGAGACGGCGTGTCACTACACGACGACAGGGGCGACCCCGAGCAAGCGCTGTGGCTGCGGTGGGAGAAGCCCGACGACGGCTCGCGCGCGTTTCGCTGGGACGAGGTGCACCGCAAGACGTTCACGGAGACCTTCAAGCGCTTCTCTGGGATAAAACAGGAGCTCGCTGCACAGCTACGCTTACCGCCTGGAGACTGGGATGCATGCTTCAAGACGGACGACGGGCAGCACCACCGCTTCCTGCCCGCGTTCTTCGAAACGCTCAGGGTTCTACTAGACTCCGGGCGCGACGTGTCCCTCGTGATCCGCACGTTCGGCTCCGACGGCCCGACCGTCGCCCTAGCTCTGCGCGCCTGGATCGCCGGCCGCCACCCGACCGTAAAGGCCCCACAACAAGCGCCGGATTGGGTCCAGCGCGACCGCATCTTCGCGGGCAAATACGACGCGGAGGGCCGCTACACGCTAACGCCGCCGCTGAACGACGACGGCCGCGGCGCGTGCCTCGACGAAGCCGCCGCCGTCGCGTTGATGGAGGAGCCGCGGAGCGCCACGGTCATCCGGGACGACTACGCCTGGTGGGCCAAGCACGACGAGGCGCCGGCGGCCGGTAAACCCTTCTGGATCACGCGCGGCAGCGACTGCCACCACATTTTTTTCGACGACCACATTCGCAATTCCGACCGGAAGTCGATCGTCGCGGCGCGGTGCCGCTCGGCGCCGGGCGAGGCCTTCCAGCCGCTGGACGGGCCCGCGACGCGCGCTCTCCACGGCGCCTACCTCGTCCGCGTGCCCACGCTGCTGCCCGTGCGCGACCAGAGGTGGTTTCTCGACCGGATTCGTGAGTGCGAGCAGCGGCGGTTGGAGCTGCTGGGGCCGCTTTTGGCGTAATGTTATCCTGTTCACCATAAACAATATTACGCGACGGCATGGAGCGCCACCCCGTCGCACGCCTCCGTCGCGACGGCGACCGTCGCCGCGTCGACGCGCGCGACGGCCGTCGCGTCGGCCCCGAGCGCCAGGCTCGCCGTCAGCGCGCCCGAGGTCGCGTCGTAGAACGCGAGCCGCTCCGACCCCTCGCCGCCGACGGCGAAGGTCGTGGAGGACAGCCAGGCCGGGTGGTGCATCGCCCGGCGCCGCGCGTCCGTTCTATGATGTTGGTCGAACGCGCGCACCGGCTTTGATGAAGAGCGCAGGTCCCAGAGCTTGCAGGCGCGGTCGGCGCCCGCCGTCAGCACGAACGACGCGTCGCCGGGCCGGAACGCGCACGACTGCGCGCCGTCGGCGTGCGCGTCGAGCGCCCACGCCCGCGCGCTGCTCCGCAGGTCCCAGCCCGTCACGCGGCCGTCGTCCGCCGCCGCCGCCACCACCTGATCCGTGAGCGCCACGGACCGCACGGAGCCCTCGTCGCTCACCTCCAACCTTCTACTTTCGTGCAGCGCCGTCGCCGCGGCGCTCCAGACGACGACGCACCCGTCCTTGGCGCACGTGGCCGCCGTCGCCCCGCGGCAGGCCAGGCGCCAGATGCCGCGCGCGTGCTGCGCCTCGGCGACCTTGGTCAGCGTCCCGTTTTGAGAAGAAGCGCAGTCCCAGAGGCGCACGAGGCCGTCGTTGCCCGCCGTGAGCAGCTTGTCGGCTCCAATAAAACCGCAGCCGCCGACCCAGCCGCCGTGGGCCTTGAACGACGCGAGCGGCGCTGCGCCCGCGCGGCCGCAGAAGACGGCGACGCGGCCGCCCTGGCCGGCCGCGGCGACGAGGCGCCCGGCCGCGGCGACCGCGTAGACCCGCTTGAGCTTGTCGTCCGCGAACGTCGTCGCGTCCTCGCCCGAGACGTCGACGGCGCCGGCCGGGGCGAGGTAGGGCGCGACGGCCGACGGTTCCGTGGGAGGCGGCGGCGGCGCCGCGCTCGCGGTCTCACCGTCGTTGGTGCTGCCAGGGGCGTCGCCGGGCGCCGGCGCGCCCGCGAGGCGCGGCGACCGCCGCGCGGGGCCCGCCGGCGCGCGCGGCGCGCGCGGCCGCGGCGCGCGGCGCCGCTGCGCCGGCGCCGCGCCGGCGAGGCCGCCGCCGAGGCCGAGGGACTGCATGAACGCCTCGTTGCGCGCGATGCGGCCGAGCCGCTCGCGCTCGTACTGCGACAGGCCGTCGTGCGCGGGCAGGACGACCGTCGCCTGCGCGGCCGCCGCGGCCGCCCGCGCGCGCTGCACCGGGTCGGCCGCGCGCGCCAGGGCGCCGCTCGAGCGGTCGATGCCCTCGGCGCCCGCTGGTCTCTCGACCGGGATGTCCTCCGTTGGTGGTTGTGCTTGCGGGGGCGGCGTGGCGGCCGGCGGCTCGGCTGGAGCCGGCTCGGCCGGCGCCCGTGGCGGCTCGGCCGGCTGCGCGACGCGTTTCTGCTTCCTTGCGTTTTCTTTGCCGCCGGCTGTTGCTTTTCTGGCTTTCGGTTTCGCGCCCCACAAGGAGAGGAGGGACTGCTGCTTCATCTTTCAAATTTAAGCACTCAACAAGGCAGGCAGCTGTACTGAGCAATAGAGATGCTTTTGAGCAGCGTTTTCGCGTCACGGCGCTGCGTCGCAGCGATGGAGAGCCAGTGCTGTCGCGTATGACGCAGATGGTCGATCACAGCCACCACTAGCTGCTCTTAAAGTCAAAACGCGGGCCAAGCTAGCGGCCTGTAAGACACTAGCAAGCATTTACCTCAAAGGACACGTCTTTGACCCGTCTATTATTCATCATCTACACCTCGGTGCGCTGATTAGATCAGTTCGCTGCCGCACGATTCGCCTCGATTGTTGCTTTTTGGCCCTCGTTTTTCGCGCCGCGCTTCGCGGAGAGACAACGCCGCGCCCGCGCAACGCTGCGCCGAAGTAACGGCTGGGCCCCCGCCGCGTATACCAACTCTCAGCGGTGTGCGACGCGCAAAACCGCCTGTGTGCGACGAAACAGCTGTGACACGAAGATGACGCTCGACGACGCCACCATCGATGCGATACGCGCGGTCGCCGCCGCCGCGAAGCCGGCGCGCAAGGAACTCCAGCGCCTCGCGAAGCTGTGCGGCATCAAGGCCAACCAGAAGAGCACGGTGATCCTCGAGGAGCTCGAGAAGCTCGTGGCCGCAGCGCCGCCGCCGCCGGCCCCGGCGCTCCCGCGGCGCTCCATCGCGGCGCCGCCCGTCGCCTCGCTGCCGCCGCTGCCGCCGCCCGTGGCCTCGGCCGCGGTCGCGCCGCCGCCGCGCCAGCCCTCGCTCCCGGCCGCGGCCGTCGCGGCGACGCTCGGCAAGATCGACGCGGCCGTGCAGGAGGTGAACCGGGCTCAGCAGATCAAAGCGGACCGCGGCGCCAAGTCGGCGAAGAAGGCCGAAGACCACAACCGCGCGCGGACGGTCGGCGCGATGCGGGACATGCGGCCGCCCGTGCCGCAAGCGCACCGCGTCGGCGCGCAGAACGTGCCGCGCCCGACGAAGCAGCTCCGGCCCCACGGCGAGAAGAAGGCCCACGTGCTATCCCCTCCGCCGCGGGCCTTCCTGTCCACGGCCTCGCCGGTGCGCTCGCCGCCGCCGCCGCTCAGCCCCGCGAACGCCGAGCCGTGGCGATTGCCGCCTAAATCGGCAGCCAAGCGACCCGAGGCCGCGCGCGAGTTCCGCCGCGACCTGGCGGTCGCGGCGTCGAAGGCGTCGCGCGGCGCGGCGGCCGACGCGCGGCGCGGCCTCTAGGCTCTGTCCCCCCCCCCGCTTCATAAGGAGGCGTTCGTACTACTACTTGCCTCGACGCCGCCGACGCGCCGCGACCTAGAACAGTGCCTTACACCACAGACGGGGAGGAGGGTAGGAACAGCGTCACATGACGGCGCAGCCGCCGCCGCCGCGCGCGGGCCGCGCGTAGGGGTTGCCGTCGGCGTCGCCGTGGACGGTCATGAGCGGGTCCGCGGCCTCGCGCGCGAGGACGCTTTCCTTGACGGCCGCCGCCGCCGCCGCGGCGTCGTCCTCGCGCCGCGCCGCGAGGCCCGCCAACTCAGACTCCCACAATGTCTTGCGCGCCTCGGCTCTCGCCAGGTCGCTCGCGAGCTTCTGGCTCGCGGCGTCCGCCATTTTTCGCTGCGCGCCGGTGGGCTAGACGCCGTCGACGATGCCTTTTGTGGTGAGTGTTGTGCCTCGGAGGCGCGCGCGCGGCTGCCTCGCCCGCTCGCGACGAGAGCCGGTGTGGAGCGCTCCTTTTCGCCGCGCGGCGCGCGTCGGGGGCAGCCGTATGGCAGCCCTTGCGTGCGTTTTATGGGGCTACAAGGTACAGAGGCGGCCCCGCACCTTAGGATCCCCACGGCCCTACAGACGTGGCTAGGAGACCTGTTTGGAGAAGGAGCTGGACGGCTGTGGCCCTTAGCGTAGGCTTGCTAGTGTCTTACAGGCCGCTAGCCCCAGGTGCGCGCGGCCAAAAAAACGAGCCAAACAAGCTTCGTGCCTGTAGCTACAACACACGAGAGCACCTTTTGTAGCTGCCTTCACGAGCACAGGCTGTTTGTGGGAGCGCTAAGCCCACACCGACCTCCGGAGCCCTGCCCAAGAATCTTGCTCTAGCTCATACGCGCAGCGCGAGAGCCACAGGAATTCTCCGTAGCCAGTCGGATTCCCTGCCTGCGCGCAGCGCATGCGAGCCATCGAGTGCCTCTGCGCTTTCTGCAAGTTCTGCGTCGAAACGCGGCTCTGCGAGTGCCTCTGCGAGTGCCTCAGACAAGACTGGGGCCTCGGTCCCTACATCGCGCCCTTGTGCAATCCACTCCTCGAAGCTCTCGCGACACTCTTAACAGCCCTCGCGACCATGATTACGAGAGCAGTCCTCCTCTTCTCTACAGTGAGACAGTATTTACTGAGACAAATAAAAACCAGGGCGCCTTTAGTAACGGCCGTGCTCCACGCCGTACCGGTCAAAACCCTCGCCTTCCTCAATGGAGCTGGTGTAGTCTCCGTAATCTTCGCGTCGGTACAAAAGGTCCAACTGGACACGTTCGGCGCGGCCTGCGGCGCGTTAGCTTGTTTACTACTAACATTGTCGATGCGCATCGCGACGGACGAGAGGATGACGGAGACGTTCGGGGGTATTATGACGGGTACCTTGCGCCAGAAGACGCGAGCTCTACATGATGGACTATTGTACGGCGCGGCAGGTCTGGCTTCCATTGGCTTCGCGGTCATGGGCGCGGAACGCGTCGCGGAGCACGTGTCGGACGTGGCGCCTCCATTGGATACGACGGACGTCGTTTGTTTGCTCGCATTAGGTGCGCTTGCCTTACAAGTGCTCTGCGCGTCGCCGTTTGATGCGGACGACCCCGCCCACCTCGCGTTCGCGGTCTTCGCGCACGACTGGAGCGCTCTGGCCCAAGCGGTGGCCGTGTCGACGCGCGGCGCGCTGAGCTTCGCTTCTTTGATGGTCGTGGCCTGCCTCGTCGTCGCTCATGTCGCGAACGCGGCGCAGCTGGATAACGCGCGGCGCGAGCCTGCCGGCGAGGAGCCGGCACCGACGCCGGAGAAGCCTCCTCCGGTAGACGACGGCGTCGAGCGGGCGTATGTATAAGATGATATACGTATAGCTTAGTAGAGATAGGGGACGGACTACACTCCAGTCGTCCAGCCCGACGCGTTCGTCGCGGTCACGTCCATGTCCGACCCGCCGGTCCCCTCCTCGGCGACGGGCGCCATCTGCGCGAAGCCCCGCTGCATCAAGCCGGCGAGGCCGTCGGGCTGCTGCTCTGCTTTGTCTTTCTGGTATTTGTTCGGCAGCGAGGCTGATTGCAACGTCACGCCCGCGATGGCGGCGACTAAAGTCTTTGGTTCGTCGAGTAATTGTGAAGAGACGTCCTTTGCTAGTTTGTCGGCGTCGACCCTGCAATCTTGTTTGGCCAGCGCGTCCTGGACGGCCTTCTGAATCTGCGCCGACGTTATTTTCGAAGATCTAGGATCCAGGAACGCGTGACACAGCAACGAAGAAATCTCCAGCCGTTGCGACGGTTCCCGTTCGAGACACCCGCGGACGCAGTCCAACGCGTCCGGCGTCGCCAGCGGCGTATTTGCCGGTGTAGCTATGGCGTGCCTCGCGTCGGTAATCGCTTGGAGCTTCGCATATAAATGCAGGTCGCCAAACGGCGTTTTGCCATACACCATCTGGTACAAGATACAACCCAAAGACCAGACGTCGGAAGCTCGCCCGACCTTCATCGTCGGTCTCCTTTTACCGGAGGGCTGCGGCGGCCCCGCGCCGCTATCTCGAATGGCCTCGGGCGACATGTAGTTCAGCGTGCCGATCTGCGTGTCCCTATATATATTCGTCGTGTCGTTTTTTATAGCTCGCGCAATCCCGAAATCAATAAGCTTCAGGCGGCCCTGGACCTGTGAGTGTGAAGGCGTGAGGGTGGCCATCGACATATACATCTTTCCCCGATGGGTCGCGGCGACGGCGTGCCGGTGGGACGGGCGTACTCTCAGCTCCGCGCGACGCCATCGACGCGGCCCCACGGCCCCGACGCGGTCCGAAACGCCTCGAAATCGAAAACGCGACCACCCACGTCATCGGAAGACGGAGACGAGGACGCCGGCACGCACGAACAGGAAGTTCGCCGGCTTCAAATCGCCGTGCACTATCCTTTCCTCATGTATGGTTTGTACCGCTTCAAGCATCTGCTGCCAAGCTAATCTAGCGAAGTTGCCCTCGACGTAGCCCTTTTCGTTCCTCGTACGTGTGAGTACGGTCGCGAGGTCCGCCTCGCCGGCCTCCATGACCATGTGTATGCTACCCGTCTGTTGTTGGACGTCGGCCGCGAACAACCTAACAATGCCGGGCTTGCCCGCTAGTCTCCTCAGTAAAGTGATCTCGTTCGCATAACCGGCGAAGGAGTGGTCGATCTCCTGCCCTCTTAGCCTGATCCTTTTTAATGCGAGGACGCGGCCGTCCGATGACAATACGCGAAAGACCTTGGAGGACCCGCCGCGTCCCACGAGAGCGAGCTTCGCGTAAGTAGCGCCGTCCACTGAGACGGCGTTCCGCTCGCCCACCAACTCGGCGAAGGGGGAAACTCGAGACGACCCACCGGTGTCGGAATCCGAAGAGTCGTCCTCGTCGTGCAAGGATCGAGTCGTAGACGACGAGGACGTGGTCTTGATCGTACTGCGCGGCGCTTCCGCCGTCTCGTCCTCGGGCGAGACCGACTTTTTGACGGCCGCGCGCCTCGTAGTAACAGGGGGCTGTTTCCGTCCGAGCGAAGGCTTCCACTTCAGCATATAATCGATGTCCTCGCGCTTCATGGGCGCCTTTTTTGTGGCCGAAGGCGCGGGCGGCGGTAAGACCACGGTATCGTCGCCGGTGTCCATCTCACCTCCACGAGCTTGACCGACCCTTACAGAAACGACGCCCGTCGCGTCCTCTTGGACTTTCACGGAGCCGGCGAGCTGCGAGCTCTTCGTCTGCAATTCTTCATCAGAGCACTTCGCTAGAATTTGTAATGAAGGCCGCTCTCTCGTAGGTAACGCCCGTAATCCGGCCTTCAGCGCGTCGCGGCCCTTCTCTAGATGACCAGAAGCAACCTCACAGAGCGCCCAGGTCTCGTAGAAGGCCCTCGACCGTTTGCCGATGCCCTCGGACCGCATATATTCCAGAGCGTCGGCGCCCTCTTGCCTTTGTCCGAGCTTGGCCTGCTCCACCGCAAAACCGAGCCAGATCGAGACGTACGCTTCGGACTCGTACAACTCGGGCCGGTTCTTGGGGATGGACTGCGTCGCCCGTCGGAACAGTCGGCAGCGCGCGTCGGGCTTGATCGCCTCCGGGATGTTCTGCAATACGGCATACCAGGCCGCGGGGTCGTCGGGCCGCTGGACGACCCTTTCTGCTAAAGCTTTGCGCTCCGGGCAGTCGGGCGAGAGGAGGAAGAGGCTCTCTAGCGTCTCGCCCCAGCGCAGGACTCCGCGGGCGGCGCGCTTGCTCGCTCTTGCGGCGCGCGACGTCGGCGCGGCGTTCTCTTTTTGCGTGTCGGCCATTCTTTGAACGCGGTGCGTCGTCTAGCGGCGGCGAGGCGTCTCAACTGCGCGCAGCGCTGATTCGTTTAGCGGCGGCGCGGCGTTTACGCGGCGCAAACCGTGCGCTGGCGTCGGCTGTTTATTTTTGATCCCGTCACCGCGCGGCGCGGCGATTTCTGCCCGCCGCTGGCGAAAAGAACGTCTCTGGCGGCCGCTAGAAGCGCTGCAGCGCTGCGGGCGTCGTTGCGCTCGCGTAGCGCGTGAGGGCCAAAATGCGGTTTGCTTTGCCTCCGCGCACAGGCCAGTGCCCTCGCAATTTGCGCGCGCCCGAGAAGCTGTGAACTGCCCGCTGGGCCTTTAACAGACTAAAGCGGAGCGATGGACCCGCCTCTGAGTGAGAACCGGCGCCGACGCGACAGTATAGGCACGGACACCGGCGCCACAGCCTCAGCGCTAAAAAAGGCCGCGTCGCCGGCGCGCGCGGCGGCCTCCCCGGCCAGGTCTCCGCTGCGGTCGCCGCGCCGCGCGCCGACCGCGGAAGAGGCGGCCGCGGCCGAGCGCGCCGCCCGCCGCGCCTCGGCCGACCGCAGAGCCGCCGCGCGCAAGGCCGCGGAGGACTTTGCGCAGGAAGACCTAGACGAAGCGCCGACGCAACCGACGCGGACGCGCCGCGGCTCCGTCGAAGCCCTAAGGTCGACGGGAAAGGTAGCTGCTCTATCCCCACGCCTCGCGACGGCGTCGCCGCCGCGGCTGTCGCCGCGCCCCGCGTCGCCGCGGCCTGCGTCTTCTCCGCGCCCGCCGCCCGTGGAGACCACCGAGGAACAACGGGCCGAGGCCCGCCGCAAATCGGCCGAACGCCGGGCCGCCGCACGGAAGGCGGCCGAAGAGTTCGCCAACGAGGACCTCGACGACGACGCGCCGAAGAAGCCCTCACGCCGCGGCAGCGTGGAAGCTCTACGAGGTGCCGGGAAAGTGGCCGCCCTCTCGCCGCGCCTGGCTACGGCGTCGCCGCCGCGGATGACGTCGCCGCGGCCGGCGTCGCCCCGACCTACGTCTTCGCCGCGGCCGCCGCCCGTGGAGACCACCGAAGAGCAAGTTGCCGAGGCGCGCCGGAAGTCAACCGAACGGCGTATCGCGGCACGGAAGGCTGCTGAAGAATTCGCCAATGAGGACCTCGACGAAGCGCCGAAGCCTCGGCGGCGACGCGGTAGTGTCGCGGCATTGCGCGGAACCGGCATCGTCGCCGCGCGATCACCGCGGGCGGCGTCGCCGCAGCCCGCGGTGACGCAGTCGCCGCGGCCGGCCTCGCCGCGGCCCGTACCTGCGGAGCCGACCGAGGAGCAACGAGCCGCGGCGGAGAAGGCGCGCGCTGAAGCTAGAAGAAGATCGGCCGACCGCCGAGCCGCCGCGCAGAAGGCCCACGAGGAGTTTGTGAACGAGGCCGACGAGGACGCGCCGACGCAGCCGCCGCCCTCGCGCCGCCGGCGCGGCTCGGTCGAGATGCTGCGCGGAACGGGCATCGTCGCGGCGCGGTCGCCGCGCGTGGCGTCACCCGCGCCTCAGCCGACCCCGAAGGCGCCGACGCCGCCGCCGGTGTGCAAGCCGACGCCGCCGCTGCCGTCGCCCTTCTTCACGGTGTCGAGCCCGGCAGCGCCGCCGGCGCCGTCACCGCCGGCCGCTGCTGCGCCATCGCCGGCCGCCCCGGAGCCACCGGCCGCCGCCGCGGAGCCGTCGATGGCGCCACCTCCAGTCGCCGCGCCGTCGCCGGCTCCCACGGAGGAGGAGCCGCTCGAAGATCACTTGAGCGACCTGCTGGCTTTGCCGCCGGCGCGGCCGAGCGTCGTCGACGCGTCGAGGCGGGAAACGGTCCAGCTGGAAGATGATCTTGGTTCTATGTTGGCGGCGGTCGGGGAGGAGGCGCCGATGCCCCCGCCGGCCCCGCGGCCGTCCGAGATCGACGCTTCTCGACGGGAGACCGTGCAGTTAGAAGATGACCTTGGATCCATGCTGGCCGCGGTCGACGAGGCGCCGCCGGCACGACCGTCCGAAGTCGCCTCCTCGCGCCGAGAGACCGTGCAATTGGAGGCAGACCTCGGTTCGATGCTCGCTGCGGTGGACGAGGCGCCGCCGGCCGCGCCGCCGGCCGCGCCACCGTCGAAGAAGAAAAAGAAGGAGCAGCGGGGGCTGTTTCAGTCGCCACCAGTACCTTCGTCGCGGAAGAAGGTAGCCGCCCCGCCGCCGCCGCCGCCCGAGCCCGCGCCGATGGAAGCCGAGCCCACGACCGCGCCGGAGGCCGCCGCGGCACCGCCGGCCGAGCCGTCGGCCATGCCGCCGCCCGCGCCGGTGCCGCGGCCCGCGGCGCCGCCCGCCGTGGCACCCGCCGCGGCGCCGTCGAAGAAGCGCAAGTCGTTGGAGGCTCTGGGTAGCGGCCACGTCGCCGAGCTGCGGAAACGACACCTCGCGAACGTTGCCGAAGATGCGGAACGGCACCGTCAGCGGGAAGCCGCGAAGGCGCGATCGGCTGAAGCGGCCGCCGACGTTGGAGGTCTCGTCGGACTGTTCGAGGGCGCCGTCGAGAAGCATAAGCGCGATAAGGCGCGACGACTGTCGACGGTGTCTGATCTCTCGGCCGCGGCGAAGGCGCGGCGGCGATCGTCGATCGTCGGCGGTGGCATGCGCTGCACCTTTACCAATGTCTCGCAGTCACCCGCTGTCCTGATTGTGGCCGTGGAGGCGCCGGCTGGCCTCGTGCTCGAGCACGTCCACCGTTCTCTTGATGACGATTCCGAACCGGCCTGGATTCGCGCCGACGACAATCGTATTGAGGTAACGATCGACGCCCCTGGCGCCTACGTCTTCGCGGCGCGCGGAGTGAATGTGGCGACGGGCACGGTCCTTTGCGAGGCGCGCACTGCTGTCTTCGAGTTGAATGAGCCGACCGCTACGCTGGAATCGCTCGCGCCGCCATTGAAGGACGACGCCACGGCTTCGGCCGTGAGGCCCCGCGCCGGACGCCGGAGCTCCGTCGTCCTCGACGTCGGCGCGAAACGGCTGTGGCTCTCCGAGCACGTGCGATTCCACGGCAACGCTACGACGATCCATGAGGACTCCTCAGAGCTCATCGATCAGTTAGCTTTGATGCTCCGCACGCATCCGAACGTCGACAGTGTGCGGTTAGAAGGGCACACGAATTCGAAGTGCGGTCTCGACTGCGTCGGCGGCGACCACAAGTGTTCGAACGGAGTTTGTCAAAAACACTTCGGCGGCGAAAAGGGTGGTGCCGTCGCATTCTCGCTGGGCCGGGCCCAGGCCGTTGCTGACGCGCTCGTGGCGCGCGGCATCGACCGCTCGCGCCTCAACTGCGTCGGTCTGGCCGGCTCGAGGAGAGTTGCCGACGACACCGAGGGCTCGGCGAACGCGTCGAACCGGCGCGTAGAAATCCACTTGGCCGACGAAGAGCTCTGATCCCATGACCCCCATCCCCTCCCCCGGAATAAGAATCCGAGTCCAGAGCTTCCTCAATAGCGGTGCGATAGTGACTCGCTGTAGTCTTGTGCTTCATCAGCCTTCATGCCATATGTCTTCTACAACGTCTCGCCTCCTCGCCTCGTGCGGGGCCGCGGCTTCGAGGCGCCTCCTCCGCACGTCTTGTGCCTGCGGCGGAAACGCAGCCCATCGCACAAACGCGCTGAACACACTCTACTGTGCCTCATCTGAGCCCCAGGCTAGCTCTGCCGTGGCCCGTTCGCGTCGGCAGGCCATCCGGCAACACCCCATCTACAGCCGAACTGGAGAATTGTTTTATATGGCGTCGCCGACGATAGCAACGTCGCTGCCGCCGGACGCGGCCGTCCGGACGCTGCTGACGGAGCTGGGTCTGTCACACTTGATCGGAATTTTTGCCGAGCACGAGGTCGACGACGCGGCGTTCCTCCAACTGAACGACGCCGACCTTCGCGAAATCTCCATTGCCAGGGTACCCCGCCGGAAGATCCTCGCCGCGATACAAACGATCAAGGATAGGGAGCGTCAGTGGGCGCCGTCGGTCGTGACGCCGCCGCGGTCGCCTCCGCGCCCCGTGGAGGCGGTGGACGCGGAGTGTAGTATCTGCATGGACGTTAGCGTCGAGGTGCGGGTCGTGGGCTGCGGGCATACGATGTGTTCGTCCTGCGCCGCCGGGTGGTTCGCACGGACGCCCGCGGGCCACGTGACGGAGTGTCCTACCTGCCGCGGCCCGTGCACGGATTTTGAGCCGCTGGTCCCGCCGGCCCTCGAGCCCGCGACGACGCGACCCTCGCCTGTACCGATCGTCCAGTCGGCCGTCGAGCCCACGACGCGGATCTTCGTTGGGAGGGCGTACGACATGTCGACGCCGCAGTTGATAGAACTCTACAAGGAATTCGGCCGCGTCGTCGACGCTTACATCATGCTGGACTCGGCCGGACGAAGCAAAGGCTGCGGCATGGTGGAGTTCTCGGAACCGGAGGCCGCAGCTCGAGCCATAGAAATTTGGTCCCAGAAGAGACACCCGAGGTGGTCTAAGATGATAGTGGAGCGGGCGCGGCCGCGGCCGGGCGCGGGTGCGGGCCCGGAGACGCGAGCGGTGGTGGCCGGGACGCGAGTGCGTGCCGCCTCGGTCGAGCGCACCGACCTGGACGTGGCGAGCGAAGCCCTTTTGTGTTATGAGGCCGCGGAGGCGCGAGCGGTGGCGGCAGAGGCGCGAGTGGCGTTGACCGAGACGCGAGCGCGTGCGGCCGAGGCGCGAGCGGTGACGGCCCTCACGCGAGCGCGTGCGGCCGAAGCGCGAGCGGCGGCGGCCCAGGAAGATCGGATGCGGGCGTATGTCACGGCAACCGAGCTCCAAGCAGCGACTTCCGGGCTCTTGGCGAAGCTTGACGCTTCTGAGGCGGCCGCGGCCGCTGCTACCGCGCGCGCGGCCGAGACTGAGACCTTACGGGAGAGCCTCGAGAGCCAGCTGAAAGCGCACCAGGGCACGATTTTGAGCGTCCTGTCGAGTGGGGAGGATCTCCCGGACCCCGACCATGATATACCGTACGAGCCCTTCCCCATGCCGTTAGCCTACGTGCCGGGGGTGTCGCCCCCCGTGGTCCTGGGGCCCGTCGCGCCAGGGACGCACCCGTGGTCCTGGGCCCAACCGCCGCCGTTAGCCTACGCGGAGCCGCCGCCGCCGGACATCATCTTCCAGGGCACCGTCATTGATCTCGGGACCAAGGGTGAGGCTACGGCCAAGCGCCGCTACGGGTTTATTCGGCTCGATCACACGCAGAACCTAGTGTTTGTGAGCCCGAAGGACGCGCCAGACGGTTATGTGTCGGACGGGGATAGATGCTCTTTTCGCATCGTGGAAGACAGAGAACAAAAAAAGAACAGTATGGCTCCATCCCACTGGGCGGGCCGCCAGTGGAAAGCCGTGGACGTCGTCTGCGTCCAGCGGGCGGCTCCCAACAAAGGGTGGCGTCTGTATCCCCCCCCCCCCCCCCCGCCGCCGCCGCCGCCGCCGCCCTGCCCCCTCCCCCGATGTCGTAACGATGTTGAGCTGTATCTACGAGTGTACTAATTTCAGGCACATTAGATAGTGTACACAGCGGCCTACTAGGCAAAGCGCCACGTCTTCGCGAGGATGTCCGCGTAGACGCGGTCGTCGCCGTCGTCGTAGCGGACGTGGTGGCCCAGGTGGTCGTGTTTGATGACGACGCCGCCGTAGAACTGGCCGCCGCTCCAGCGAACCTCGATGCGGCGCCCGACTAATTCGTTGGGGTCGTCGTCGCTGTCGTAGCTCACGACGTCCGTATCTGTAGGGAGCGCCCGGATTCTGGCGAGTAGTTCCCGGCGGAGCTGACGCCGCCGCGGCAGGTTCGGGTGATAGTTGTCCTCGTCCTCACCATCACCATCATCATCATTCCGCGCCCCACGATGGAGTGGTGTCAGCGGCGGGATCTCCCCGCGCGGTGAGAGAGGACCAGCCATCTCCCGACCCTCGGCGAACGCCTCAAGCCATCGTGGCGCGCCCGAGTCGAGCACGGCCGCTTTGGCTCGCGGCTCCCTTTTACACAATTTGAGGATGGCGTCGACCTGAGCCTTGACCTTGGCGTCCCTAGCACCGCGACGAAATGCGGTCTCTGCCGTCTGTAATGATTCTCTGACAACTAAGGAGATGCGTCCGGACGTGTGCTTGTCGTCGACAGTAGCCACGATGGCCAGCGCACGACAAGCTCGCCGCAGCTGGCGCGACGACCCGTACGGTCTACCTCGATCGAGGCGATTGCGAGGTGGTGGTTGATGCCAGCCCTCAATCTCTTCATCAGAATCCTCATCTTCCGAGGCCGACGACTCGTCGGGTCTTGCCGTACCACAGCGTTCCACGCAGCCTCGTAACGCACTGATAACAACCTTCGACCGATCCGTCGAGTCAACCACCAGAGCCTTGAGCACCGCGCGCGCCGCGGCGCCGCGCCGCTTTTGTTCGTCGGTTCCAGCGCGCGAATACGTGCCTCTGTCTAGACATCCGCAGGTCGCGAGAGCGAGGGCGCCAATTTGCGCGTCCGACAGCGAATCCAATGCAGAGGCGTCCGCACTCAATAACGCGGCGGCGGCCTCCGCCCGCGGCGCGAACGCACCGCCCAGGAACGGCGCGGCCTCCAACAAAGCTCGTAACGTCGTCTGCGAGAGGGCTTCTTCGGACACAGCACCGCCCGACGCTTTGACGCAGCCTTCGAGGACTTCCCGACACCCGCGTTGCGCGCCGAGCCTGGCTAGAATGTCGCACGCAGCCCTGGACGCGTCCCGTTCGTAGTCGTGCGCACGTCTCCCGGGTACGGGAGGCGGGCACTCGCTCGCCACACTTAGTAAATTGGTCAGCGCCTCGTCGAACGGGGCCGATTTCAATACTGCCGCGCACGCGCCGCACAGGGACTCCCGGGCCGCCTCGTCCGACGCGAGCTGGGCCGCCCGCCGACATAAGGCAGTTGTGGCATCCGTGTCATTTAAACCGAGGCCCTTGACGGCCTCAGAAGCAACATCTGAGTCGAGATTCGCGAGCAAGGACGCGGTCGATGCCAGCCTAGCAGCAGCGTCGTCGCCGCGCGCCCGAGACAACGTCCGGGCCACGAGCGCCCCAGCTAATAAAGCGGCGGCCCTCCGCGTCTCGATAGAATCAGAAGAAAAGGCCGCCTTGGCCACAGAAGCGGCCACGACGATGCCGTTGTCGTCGAAGGCCGCGCGCGCTCTTCTCAGGGAAACGTTCTCCCGCGCTATTCTCGCATCCACGGACGCGGGCGGCGCCGGCGACGCCCAGCTGTCCTCGGCTTTATCGGACCTCCGTTCATAAGACAGTAAAAAAGCGTTCCTGGTGCGTTCCCGCGGCTGCGACCGCCTACCATACGAATCCGTAGTAACGTCTTCATAGCCCCCAAAACACTCCGCCTCCATCTCGCTCACGTCGAAGGGCGCCACGTGCGAGTCATTAAATTCCGTCCATTGACTACCAGTGTTGACGAACGAGTAGTAGTGGCCCGACTGCGCCGTTCCGCTATGTACTACTACACCCTTGAGATCATATAATATTGGTTCTCCTTCATCACTCATGAAGGGCCTTAAGTCAAGTGTATGGGGAAACTCCAATCTAGAATTATTCTTTCTGGTGGATAGAGTCTCCAAATCAAACTGGAACCGCTTCAGGTGCAACAGCAAGTTAAATGGCGCTTTTTTAATACGAACAGTTTTAATAGAAGGCAGCATGGCCTCGCCTTCCACAAACCGCAACTCGACCTCCTCGGGAGCCACGTAGTGCCTCAAACAATCCGCAATATCATTCCTGTCTTTCCCGAGCTCCAACGGTATCCCATAAAAGGGCACCTCCCGCGGGTCCCCCTTGTGCTTGCCGTTCACGGACTTGATCTCCTGCAGCAAGACACATCCAAAGGTCCGCTGGATTAACTTCGCCGCGCTTATATCTGTTGCTGATTTCATCCGCTCTACGTCTTGCATCAATTTAGCTAAGAATTCTGTGGCGTCCTGTTGTATGCGGACGTCAATCGCCTCGCCGTCCTGGGTCGTGTTTTGTTGGATGAAATCTCTTGGGGAGATCGACGACGCGTCCCTGCTGCGCATCCGCGCTACAAGTAGTTGGAGTTCTCTCGCCAATGAATCTTGTGACGTATCTAAGGAGAATACTGTCTTTCTGAAGAGAGGTGCCGAACATATGACTTGTAATGTGCTGTTGAGGTAGCAGGTGCAGCCTAAGTTATCTAGTCCAGGCGTGTCCGTCTTCCTGGCTGATGGTACGCTTACCGCATTGCTTGGGTACCGTTCCCTTCGACGATCGTCTAATGGAGGTGGCCCATGGACACGTAACCGTTCCACGGAAAAGCGCTGCTCCGTCGACGGGATGGCTCTCACTACATCAGCAGCTTCCAGTCGCGACGCGACCGACGTCTCATCTCTCAAGTCCTCCGTGAAGGGTGGCGGGCCGTGCAGTTCAGCTAAGGCTATACAAGTCGCTCGTGCTGCGTCATCATCAGCATCACATAGGGCCGCCAGAGCTTGCAACGCTTGCGCGTTCGCCGCCGACCCATCTAAGCCACCTTTGGCCATCAGTTGTTGCGCTACTACAGTACTATTTGAGGGCGCTTTCGCACCGGATCTTAATAGCGAAGCGAGTAATTTCAATCTCGCAGACTCGGCGTCCGCGTCCTCGTCGTCGTCACTCACGTCGCTCGTCACTAGAGATTCTACGGCCTTCGACAGCATGGTCTCATCATCTGAAGACATAGAGCACTGCCGCGCCGCATCCACAATAGCCGAGGCGAAGGCCGCGGCGGACGCCGACGGTCTTGCAGACACGGCCTCTAGAGCCGCTCGTCGCAACGCCGCGCCGCACTCCTGGAAGTCGCCTGCTATCGAAACGGCGTGCAGTCTCAATGCGGCCCTAGACGCCGTCGCCGGCGGCGCGACCATGACGTCCACCAACGCCGGAGAGACCTCTGATATTTTCGCGAGGGCCTCCGGGGCGACGCGGGACAGACCGATCAGCAGGTCGCCGGACAACGCCCGCGCGACGCTATCGCTACCTTGCTTCACATAAACTCCCAACGCTTCCACTAAAGTGTTGCGCTCGTCGCCCAAGGCTCGCACGTCGAGGCCGTCCTCGGTATCTACAGGCGGCCGCGGCGGTTGCACAGGTCTGAAACTGGTGGTAGGCGTCGGCGGCGTCGGTGGTCTATCTGCTTCCGTTCGTTGCAGCGCGGACGCGACTAATCGTAACGCAGCTCGTAGGGACTGGTGGTCCTCCGTCTGACACAGTTGAGCACATCGCGACGCCGCTCGTCGCGAACCGCCATGCTGTGCGAACCAGGCCGTATGCGCCAGGGCGCAGGCCTGGGCGACACGTAAACGAGGCCCGAGCAACCCTCGGTCGCCTTCGAGCAACAGCCACTGTGAGGCTTCCGCATCGAGGCCGGGCGGCGCGTCCTGGGACGACCTTCCTTTGAGAGCTCGTCGCACGATGTCCGCGGCTCTATCCGCTTCCTTCGCTTCGTTCGTAGATCTTAAAGTGTCAATACCGCGCGCGATGATCCTACCTCGCAGGTCGGACGTCGCGAGGCGCGCTAACAGAGCGTCTCTTCTCTTAGAAACGGCGTCGGTCTTCAGACAGATATCTAATAAAGCGTCGACGCGCTTATGTCTATTGACAAGAGGTTCTTGCACGGGAGGCGGCGGTGTTAATGAGTCCGACCCGTACGCCGGGGGCCGAATTTTCGTCGATGAAGGCTGCTCCGCCGCTTCGTAGAGCGACGCGGCGGCGTCCGCGACGTATGACGATGGATTTTCGTCGTTTGCCAGCTCTACTAAGGCTGCGTCCGCCGCGGACGGTTCTAATGCTAGACGCTCCGCGCAGGCCGCCAACCACCGCGCGCACGTGTCGTCGCCCGCTTTGTAGCACGCCTTGATGTCTCTCGCCCGTAGGAAAGGTAGCGGTTCTTCACTATCTAAACCAGCAACACTCAGCAAGGCATCCGCGGCGAGCTCTATTGCTAATCGTAGAGAAGCCTCATACGATTTGATAGAGTGCTTATGTCGGGCGGCGCCGGCGACGGCCACATCTAACAAAGACGTCTTGAGGCCCCGTTCTATCCTCAATCTTCTTCTTCTACGAGTGTCGACGGGCGACGGCTGCCGGTACGTGTTATCCTCGCCAGAAGCCACAACTAAAGCTGCCAACAATTCCGCCGCCCGATTCAATCCCGGCGAGTCCTCTCCTCCCAAAGCGTCGACGCATTTCTGCGCGATCAACGATGCCGCCGAATCCAAGTGCGTCGCACCTCGCAACAGATGTCTCAGCGATCGTGTAGCTTGACAATCGTCTTCTTCTGGCGATGAGGCCCACCGCCACAACAACTCCAGCCCACCATCTAACTTATCCTCGGACGACACTAATCTCTCGGCGGCGCACTGCGAAAACCGCGCGACCAAATGCACGTTTTTTGGAGTGGCTTTCTGGGAAGAAAAGGCGTCCTCCAGCACGTCGCGCTGCCTCTGTACCAATGTCGTATCTTCCAAATGGCGTGCGAGGGCCCAGCAGCACTGCCACGAACTAGGCCCTTCTGAGGAAGGTGGGTCGTCGCCGGCCGCGTCCTCGACAGCCAGGGACGTCAGATCATCTACGACTCGACCGGCAATCGTCGACCGTTGCGCCGCGAGCATGATGACATGCAATCCACTACGTAAGGCCCGTCGGTCGTCTTTCGCGACTTGAGCTATTCTTGCGACGACGCCAGACTCCCTTACCTTAAGAGCGACAACTTCTTCGGACGTCTCCCATCTCGTAGAGCGTGAACTCCAGGGCGGGACCTCCGACGGTTCCGAAGCGCAGCAGCCTCGTACTACACTGCTGAGGTTCCTCAGGCCTTTGAGTCGCGCGTCGGGCGTCCTTTTCTGATCATCAAAGGCCGTTAACGCATGGGCCCAGACGAACCGTTCGGCCGAGAGACGTAGGGCCTTGGAGCGCGCGTCGATCGACGGCCCGGACGCCCAATAGGAAGCGACGTGCTGCGTCCAGCTTCTAGGCGTCTGTTGCGTTTGTTCGCCAAACGCGTCGGGTGCCAGTTGGGCCAGACACCTAGCGAGTCGGTCGCAGGTCCTCCTTATTTTTTCATCGGCGTCCCAGCGGCCGTCTAGATCCTGTTTTGTCGTGTTTGTTACTTGTGACGCTTCCCGTCTTAATCGCGCGTGGGCCGCGCGCTGCAAATGCCGCGCATAGCTCAAAGCGAAGTGCGGAGCCGTGGTCGGAGCGGCCCGGTCGCAGACGATCTCGAAGGCTCTCAACAGTTCGCCCAGTTTTTGTGCGGAACATTCCAGGCCTGAACTAGGCGTGATTCTCGCTAATAAAGCATCGAGGCCGCCACAGATCAAAAAGTGATCTAACATCTGCCCGCAGCCCGCCTCGCTGTTCTTGAGCAGCCCTTCTGCGCCCTTATCTAAAAATTCGTGACTGGTACCTTGTTTGGTACCTCGCCCTCGACAGAAACTCACCTGCTGCGGGTGGCGCTTTGCCAAAGACGCGTATTTTGATGGGTTTCTGACATCTAACCCCTGCAGGGCGTCGGGCGGCTCCTCCTCGTCATCGCTAGGCGGGTCTCTGGATACACGTAGTTCTACCTCTTGGAGAGGTTCACAAACATCAGAAGAGGCCTGCGCCGCCTGCAACAGACTGCGAGAGGGCTTCCGGATGCGCCCGAAGAACGACCCCTTCTTCTTCGGTTGGTCCGGCGACTCGAGGTGCGACGCCTCCTCGAGGATGTCGTCGACGGGCGCGCTCTTCGCCGCGATGAGGCCCCCGCCGCCAAGTGCCGCAAAATCAAAGCACCGCGGGCAGGCGTCCGGGACGACGCCGTTCGACGCGAGGCGCTTCGCTACGAGTTCTAGCGTGCGTCGAGCCACTCGTATCGTCTTCGCGGCCAATTGGGAAGAAGGATCCGCCGCCGACGCCTCGACGAGTCGCTTCAGCTGCGTTTCATGAGAGCGCCACCAGTCCTCTCCCGTAACTTCTGCTGATGTAATCTTTGCGACGACGTCGTTTTCTATGGATTGTGCCTCTTTCGCCGTGGGCTCTTCTGTAGTAGGTCGCATCGCTTCCACGTCTTTGACTCTCGTAATTCTAATACAAGCGCCGCTCTTGAGCACGACGCCATCATCGTCCTTGAAGTCGCCCGTTAACTCCGCGATGGGATCTTGACCAGCCTCTCTCAGAAATGAGAGCTGCTCGCCGGCGCCCAGATCGACCACTTGGACATGCTCCAGGGCGCCTCTCACGACATTCGTGATCGCCGTCTCGCCCGGCGCGCCCCTTCGACACCAGAGGAAGGCCGCATCATCAGAAATGTCCGTGGACTTGTCGTCCTTGCCTCGATGTAAGTCGAAGACGCCGCCGTCCCTCGTGGTGACGCGGCTGTAGCCCGCCGGGCCGAGCACGTTTCCTCTTGTGACTACTACGTCGACGACGACGGGGATTGGTGGCGGCGCCATCGTCCGCCCGCAGTATCGGCGCGGAAAGAGAGCCGAGCTCTGTGGTCTTGTTTTTTGTTTGCGCAATTTGCTGGCGCCGAAGCGCTTGTTACCCGCAGCGCGTCTCAACAGACGGCTTGGCGCCCGCCACGCCTTGGCTCCGGCCGCGCAATGCGCAATGCGCTCCTGGCGCCTCGGGTCTCTGTTGCCAGCTAGTGTGTCGATACGCTAGTTCTAGCGCTCATTTGGGCGAACGTTGCACATTGTTCGGGGGGGTTTGCCGAGGCGGTTCAGCTTAGAAGGAGGTACGCTGTTATGAAAGAAGCGGCCCGCGCCCGCCGCCGATGAATCGGCGACGCGCGGTGTCTCCCCCCCAGGGGCTCCGCCCACTAGTACTAGCACCGTAACATCGCCTAGCACCGTAACATCGACTATCCTAGCGCTATTTTCTCCCGCTTGGACGATAAATAGACACATTAACACTACTACCTACGAAGACCGGTCCGTCGCCGCCGCCGCCGCGTCCTCGAGAAACAGGCCGAGCGACCAGTCACAGCTGACGTCGCCGACTTGTCGCGCGAAGTAGAAGCTTGAGCCCTCGGGCAACCGTTCGACAACCGCTCGCGTTCGTGCGGCGTTGAACAGCGTCGCCCGCCGTAAGAGCTCCGGGTCCAGGTGATAGGGATTCGGCGCGCCGACGGCGTCCCACGCCGGACCGGGCGCGGACGCGGCGCCGACGAGCGTCTGTAGCGCATCTCGCACCACGTTGCGCATGACGCGGCGACCGTCGACACCGGCGAGCGCCGCCGCCGAGGCGTGCATCGCGAGCCCGAAGACGACCTCCGCCTCGGCAAAGCCGCGGACGTCGACGCTCGCCAGCTGTGCGTCTATATTGTCGCGCCACTGGCGGAGAGCAGTCTCGTCGCCGGTCGCCGCGGCCCTGTCCTCGATGCCGAGCAGGTCCGTCGACAGCGACGCCACGGCGCCGTCGCCCGGTGCCGCGAGCTGCATCGTGGCGCCGCCCGAGCCCATCGTGCCCACGCGGTCGCTGTGGACGCCGAGCGCCGCGTGTGCGCAGTATCCGCCGCCCCGGCGCTCGAGCCTAGCCTCGTCGGCTCCGGACAGCACTTTCAGAGTCCGCGTCGGACGCTGTATTGACGCGAAGAATCGGTCGACGTCTGGTCTCGCGAGGTCGCCGCGCGCCATCGCTGCTCGCACGCCGCCCGTCAGACCAATGCTGAGCGGAGGCGTCGCGGTCGTCACGAGCTGAGAGAGGTCCGCGGCTCTTACGGCAGCGACAGCGTCGGCCTTGGCGCGCGAGAGCTGCTTCGATTTCACGGATCCGGGAGCGCAGCCGTGTGAATCGAGCGTGCACTCGTACACCGTTAAGGCCGCTTTGCCCGAGCCGCCGTCGAGTACGGCGCCTCGGAAGTCGTCGATGGCATCAAATCCATCATCATCGTAGACCGCGCCGTGCGTTGCTGGCGTTTCACCGACAATTAAGTAGAGGGCGAAGAGGAGCACCAACAGCGTGAGCGCTCGAGTTGCTTTCGTCCAGCCCCAGGCTGGGCTCCTGAAGTTTGGAGGTGGCGGGGGCTCGAGCTCCATCGTCGGTGGCATGCAGTAGCTGGTTGCTGCGAGATATTTCCGACGCGTGCCTTTGCTCGTCGACGCTGTGTAGTCGCCTCGGCTGGCTGTTGAGCGCAGGCGTCGCAGCAGTTCGATGGAGCGGTGGAGCGTAGATGCGGTGCAAGACAGCGGTACTCTGCAACCTCTCGCGCGCGGGTAAGCTCTCAGCTGACGCGCTTTTTGCTTGCCCATACGAGCTAGCGTAGCTCGGGCTCTAGGACTCTTGCTGCTCGTCGCTACGCTTTTGCGGCTATTAGAGGGCGACGCATCGTTTCATAACAAAATTGATAGCGTGCTAACGCTCTGGCAGCGTAGCTGTGCAAGTTACACGTCCACGCGCACGGCAACAAAGCCGCAATCGCCGCTGTGCAAATTGAAGCACTGACACTCAACCATGCGCCGAGCGTCGCTGATCGCCGCTGCCGTTTTTAACGTGCTGGGCTTTGCGCCTAACGTCGCGCTGCCGAAGGGACGACGCCGCAGCGTCGCTCCGCGACCGCAAGCGCCACGACCGCAACCCCAACTGCGACAACTAAGACGAGAAACGCTCCTCTACGTGGCCATCGACGACGGCTCGTCGATCAACAACGGCTCCGTGACCCCGATGATCCACGCCTGCCTCAGCCGCCAGCCCAACCGCTACGAGGCCGTCGTCACGCTCGCAAGGAAGGCCAAGCAGCGCACGTTATTGGACCAGGTCGCGGGGCAACAGAACACGGAGGGCATTAAACCGCTCCTGCAACAAATGCGCGAGGAGACGAGGCTGTGGGACGAAGACCCACAACGCGACGAGCCCGGCGAGGCCTTCTCCTGGCCGCCCAAGATCGGCGTGACCTGGACGGACGACGGCAAGGCGGACCTCGAGGTGATGGGGTCGCAGACGCGCGTGCCGGGCGAGGACGGCTAGTCTCGCGGCCTTGCCGTTCGTGTAAGTACGTTGCTTTCCCTCTTGCTTCTTCGCGGCGATGGCGTGATTGTGGTGGTAAGGGCCTCTCCCCCACGCCATCGGCGCGCTCAAGTTTCCGTCGCGCGTGCAACCCGTACGTCAAGAGCAAAATTCAGAGCGTGTACTTTCGTGGCGGTTTTGCCCGTAAATCGCAGCGCAACGGTGACATTGACTCGCAGCTGTTTGCCTATACTATCGGTCCCATCGGCGCACTGCTCCACACAAATTTTTACGCGAAATTTTACTGCGGAGAAGCAGTCAAACAGGCCAGAGAAGCCAACAAATGATGCTACCCTCTATACGCACCGCAGCGCGCCGCGCTGCGCGCACCACCCAGCCCCTCGCGCGCTCATACGCGCCGTCCATCACCTACTCCGGCGGCCAGGCCTCCGAGGGCCAGGGCGGCTTCTACGGAAGCGGCGGCGCGCGCGTCGCCAAGGGCCCCGTCTCCTGGGACACGAAGGCCGTCGCGAGCTCGGAAGCGATTAGTACCCTCACGGGCCTCATGGAGGAGGCCTTCAAGCTCGAGGAAGTCATCCGCACGGGTGACGCGCTCGACGAAAAAGTAATCGAGGCGAAGGGAAATCTCAAGAAGCTCATGACCGGCGACGAGGTGACGGAGCTCCTCGAGGGCCTCGAGATGGGCGGCGAGCCGGTCTGGGGCCTGTCGACGAAGGAGCGGCACCTCGTGCGCGAGGCCAAGGAGAAGATCCACGCCGTCTAGGCAAGCTGTGCATCCGGCGCGCGGGAGCGCGTTTCCCCCCCAAATATCTGTGTTACTATAACATTCTCATTCTTACTAGTACACACGCCGTCAGGACGCCTTCCGCGCCTCCATGTCCGGCCGCGCGAGGTCCAATCCGGGAGCGTCGAGCGGCCCGCAGCCGCGCCCGTCGGGGCTGCAGCCCTTCGGGAGCGGCACGGTCAGCTGCGGGAGCACCTCGCCGTCGCCGCCTGTGTTGGGACCGGTTAATTCTTCACAACTCGTTTCTCGGCGAAAGCGTCGATGGCGTCAGGCCTCACGCCATCGAGCGGACGTGTCGCCATAGGTTCCGCGCGGCTCGCAACCGACGGCCACGAGCGTCCGCAGCGCGCCCTGCGCCGCGTCGAGGTCCGTCGCCGCGGCCGCGAGCGCCCGGTCGCTCCCGTCGATCTCGAGCCTTCTCAGGGTTCGATCCAACGCGTCGACGCGCGCGATGGCGTCGTCGTACTTCAGGCCCGCGTCCGACGTCTTCGTCAGCGTCGCGAGGCGCCGCCCCTGCGCCCGCAGGCCGTCCAGCGGGTCCCGGCGCAGCGCGCCTCGGATGACCGCGCCGCTCTCCGCCGTCTCGACGCGGTAGGTGTCGAGCTTTTCTGACGCCCGTGTAATCGCATCAAGCGCTCTCAAACGCATGCGGGCCCGCTTCTCGGGGCTCGCGACGTACTGCTCGCAGCCGAACTCGATGCCGTTCTTGGATTGCTCGTCGCTGATGCGGCAGAACTCTTCTTTGGTGTAGTAGAGCTCCTTGGCGCCCGCCGGTGCGGCCGCCGCAGCGACGGCGTAGGCGGTGTGTTTGAGTGCGGCGCGGCGGGTATGCGTCACAGCCGCAGCGACCGCTAAGGGGAGCATCAATGCGACGCGTTGCGCCATGATGCGACACCTCTGATGATGATGGAGTGTAGGCGTCCCGCTTGGGCTCCGTGCGACTACGTAGGCCTTGTGCGCGAAATTCTGAGGCTTATTGGGGATGACGGCTGTGATTGTGTGGCCGTTGGCTAGCAAAGAGAGCTGGCAAACAGCTGTGCAAGGATGCCAGCTCAAGCTAGCGTAGTCGACCACTAGGCTAGCCGCAGCCGCGCCAAGATCAGAGCCGCAGCGATCGAGGGCGATCGACAGAAGCTCAATTTTGCCTATTCGACATCACCGCCCAGCGCCGAGACCGCTGCGGCACTGCTAAAATGGTGAGGACCAAGACCAACCCCACGACAAGCAATGACGCCGCGCCCGCGGCCAACTCCCTGGCCGCGCCAGCGCCGGAAGCCCCGAAGCCCGTACGCCTCCGCGTCCGCGGCCCGACCGGACCGGTGACGCTCGACCTACAGACCACGACGCCGCTCAAGGACCTCGTCGAAGCCTGCGCGAAACAGCTCAATGGAGTCATCGCAAACGTTAGCTTCCGCGACCCCGCCGGCAAGCCCGTTACTTTATTAAGCGAGGGCGCGTACCCCGCCGGCGGCGCTTTACTGATCGGCCCCGACAGCACTTTGAATGAAGTGGGCCTCGCGAGCGGCGACACGCTCATGGTCCAGGTGCAATCCAAGAAGCCCGCCCCGAAGAAGAAGACGAAAAAGAAGCGCCCGCGGGACGATGATAGTGACGAGGAGGACGTCTGGGTGCCGTCGGACGGCGACGACGACGACGACGCCAAGGCGCGGAGATTATTAGGTGCCCGGGCTTCCGCGGTTCTAGATGGAGGCGCTCGACAAAATGATGACGCGGCCACCGTGGCCGCGTCGTTTATTAATTGTCATGAAGCTCCGGAGGGCCTGATGGGCGCCGCGGCGGGCATGTGGACATCCCAGGAAGCCGCCCGCCGCGTCGAGGCCGCGCGCGCCGGCCGCGTCCGCGTCCGCGCGGCGTCTTCAACATTGCAAGTCTACTGGCGCGCGACGGCACGCGCCAAGAAGGAGACCGAGGAGCGCGTGCGCCAGTTCTCGGCCGACGAGTCCGTCGCCGTCGTCTGCGCCATCCTCCACCGGCAAGCCGGCTCGACGCGGCGCAAGCTGTCGGGCGACAAGCCCTCCACGCGGCTGCTGACGCCCGAGGGCGTCGCGACGCGCTGCCCGGCGCTGTTCTGGTCGCTCTACGCGTCGTCGCGCACGGATCCGGATGATGAATCTTCTCCAGGTGATGTCGCGTTCGCGCTGGAGCACGTCGTGTCCCAGGCCATGGCGAAGTACGAGGCGGATGTTGCCGCGCTGCAGCGGGGCGCTGCTTGAGTAAGAGTGTGTGACTAGATTACCGATGTTAGGCCTACTACTGACGAATGGTGCGATTTTCAGTGGTAGTCGCCCTTGATGACGGCGCCGAGGTCGTTGTCGACGATGACCTTGTTGAGGTCGTCAAGCTGCTTCCAGTCTCGCGCATCGATTTTATTGGGATTTTGGCCGAAGGCTCTCCGCACCTCCGCCGGAGAGGCAGCGAACGGCGACGCGAAGTGCGACGTCACGACGCGCTCGAAGGGCCACCTACACACGTCGTCGATCCACGCTATCGTTTCCGAGGGAGCCCGGATGTCCGCGAATGCAGCTAGGATAGGAGCCCGCACGACTTTGTCCGTGATGGCGTCGTAGCCCGGCCACCTCTGGCCATCCTTCCGCAACGATAAGAAAACTGCTTGTAACACCGACTTAGGCCAAAAGTCGTCGTTGTCGTATGTTTTGTCATCGAAGGACGTCCGAAAAATGTTGGGAGCTCTAGATAGTCGTGGAATCCAGGACACCGCATCCGTCACGAACAGAGTTTTGGTATCCTTGTGGAAGAAGGCCGCCTCGGCGACCGGGCCCGCGTTGCCGGGTAAATCAACGTAGAACGTCTTGGTTTCGATTTCCGACGACCAGGGCGGCTGCTTGTCCTTCTTCGTCCGTGGTAACACGCCGTCGACTCGAAACGGCAGCGTCGACGTTTCTGGTGAGAAACCGAGCGTCCCGAAGGGCCCATATTGGCCGGGTGCGGCCCACACTGACGCGGACGGAAACTGGCGCTGGAAGGGCCCGAAGAAGGCCTTGTGCTCCAGTGCTGTGACCGGTAGGACCAAGTGTTCCACTTCTCCGATGTCCTTTAGGAGTGATAAACACTCACCGGTCGGCGCCACTGGTGCGACGACCCACAACTTCCCGTTCCTCAATCTCTGAACGTTCATCCTCACCGTCGCCGACACGTTCTGGAACCGCAATAATTGCTCAAAAGCATAAGCGCCCCGCCCGAGGTCGTAGCGGTACGTCGCCCTGCCAAAAGGTACGGGCGGGAGGATCGCCTCGCCGAAGGCGCGGCCGGCCTCCGGTCGCGTGACGGGCGCGTTCTGGTCCGTGAGCTGCGCGGCGTGCGCGGCGGCGGGCGTCAAGAGTGTCGCGAGGGCTGCTCGCCTCGGCAGCGCCTGCTGCAGCGCTGGCCTCAAGTTTGCGCGGGGTGCCGCGGCGTCGGCCAAGAGCACGCCTAGTGCGAGAAGTGTCGCATAGCTTCGTCGTCGACGCATGCCTACGGCGAGTATGCAGCCCTGCGGCTCGCGACGTGGCGTTGTTGAGCCGGCATCGCTTGCTAGCGTCTGTAAGACACTAGAGCCTGGATTTGAACCCCTCGAGCCCTGTGCGGGCCGCGTAAGCAGCGACAGAGTGAGCCTGCAAGCCCCTAAGCCTCGGTCCGAGCGCTTGGGCAGCCGTTTCTCGCGTGCGAGTGGCCGTGCGATACTCCCTTGGACCCGTGCTGCACGACGCGTCGGGCCAGCATTCACCATGCGCCAGCTCCTCATGGACAAGTTCGCACGGCTGCAAACCGACGATGGCACGCCATCACCACCAATGAAACGGTCCCGCCTGTCGTCGCGCCTGGAGACGCTGCCGCCGGAGCTGCTGCGACACACGACCACATATGTCGCCGGCGACACCGGACTCGTCGAGCTCCACGCGTGCGCGCCGGGCCTGCGGGACGCGCTCGCGGCGCTGGAGGTCTGGCGCGACGACGAACGATATGCCCCGGCACTTTTCTGGCGCGCTCGTGCGTGGATGATGCGTCCGCGCAAGCTGTTTGTGTTTCTGGAGTCGATGCTGCGGCGAAACGAGACGAGCGCGCTGCATAACCTGGTCGAGATGGGTTGCGGGCTGCGGTCGCTGGTCGAATTGCATATCAGCTCGGAGCGGTGGGGCCAGTCGTGGCGAGACGACGTGACCACGCGCCGCGATGTGTTCTTGTCGTTCTATTTGAACAAGGCCGCCGTCAGCGAGTTCCACGATTGGCGCACATACTCGGGTCGCGACTATCCGAAAGATGCCGCCGACCGGGTCAGGCCGGCGCTGCATTGCCTCGGCATGGGCGGGCACGATCTACTCGCTGCGGTCGTCGAGGTCACGCCATCCTGGCACAAGCGATGGATAGGCGACATCAAGGAGTACGAAGCCACGTTGCGCTGGTTTACGTACGACCCGGAGGTTCACGATGACGACGAAAATTTGGACCAGACCCCTGAGGGATATGCGTGGATTTTTCTTCCGGAGGCCGTGGCCATTATGAGCGGGGTTGCGCACCTGGTCGCGTGGCAGGATCCTGCGATGGGCCCGCTGACGACTCTCATTGACATTCCCGAGCACCTGCAAATCGCGAGTTCGAGCGACGGCGTGTGTACTGAAGATGAGGCTACCGACGAATCGAGCCTGAGGCTCCTCGCGAATCTGCTAAGCCTGCAGTATTACGGCGTTCTGGCACTCGCAGAGACGGGGTGGGAAAATCCCGACGAGGAAGTCATGGATATGAGGCCACTCGCGGATGCGCTCCGCTATTTCCATCGGCGGATCGGTTCCTTCCACGTTGCGCGGTTGATCCGCGACATCGTCGAATCCTGGGGAAATTATGATTGGGGCCCGGTTCCGCGGCTCATGCTCCTCGCCCACATGCGTGTCAAAGACCCGCAGATATCGGCGGCGATCCGCGGCAAGCACTGCAACCCCTACTCCGGACGATTTTCTGATATTAATCCACGAGGCGACTTCGACAGGTTCGTACGCGATCTCCACGGCGAGCTTGGCCTCATTCGTCCAGAATAATGTAGTTTCTTACACACAGTCCCCGCCCCGGGCAGCAGTCAGTAATTCACCATCTGCGGCACCTCCGCCCCGTGGCCGCGGAGCACGTCCGCCAGTTCCAATATCGCGCGCGGCCCGTAGGCCACCTCGCCCTCGTCGCCCACTTCCAACCAGCGGCCATTCACCAGATCCGCCACGAAGGCGTCGAAGGCCGCCGCCGAGAGCTTGCCCCGCGCGCCCTTGCGCAGCTCGGCGAGCTCCGCGCCTTCACTAGAAGCGAGCGCCTTGAGGATTGATTTCAAGCACGTGATTTCCTCCTCTTTTTGGGACGCGCCCGTGAGCTTGGCGACGTCGTCGCTCGCGAGGTTGATCAAAGCGATGTGGATCTTCGGCGGCCCGTCGTCCTCCTCACTACTATCAGCGTAGTAGCCGCGGATCTGCAGATCAGCTGAGGCCAGCTTCCTATTCAAATTCGCGAGCGTCGCCCGCAGGTCGGCGCGCGCGTCGCCCGAGCCGCCGGCGTCGAAGGCGCCGAAGCCCCCCAGTTTGGACCCGACGGCGTCCATCGCTTCCAAAGCTTCGCTTTCTTCCAGCACTTTGCGCTGCGTGAGGAGCTGGAGGAAGGCCTGGTCGGCGGCCGTGATGGGCGCCATGCTGGATCGGTCCCTGTGGGCGCGGCGACGGCGTAGGGATCGCTGCAGCGGCCCAGTCGTGGCAGAAGCACTGCGGCAGATGCTCAATGCAGCACTGGTTCGCCCGGGGGCTCAAACGCGAGACCGCGCGGACTCGATTAGCTAGCGGTGTGTAAGACACTAGACGGCTTTGCTTTTGCCGTAAAAACGCCCAGTGATCCCCTAGCGATCGTTTTTGAACTCGTTTGTGGCTGCCGTTGTCTCCACGCAGCGGTAGGAAGCGCCACGTGCCTCGACCGAGGGTCCCTGCACCGCTGCAGAGCCGCATGCGCAGCGCACGCACACTGCGCCTCGCCTCCACCACCCTGATGGCCTCAGCGCTCAAGCCCGCCCTGGTCGTCGACCCGTTCTGCCTGCGCCAATTTGATAAGACGTCGGGCAAGGCGCCGTTCCTCGACGTGCCCGTGGCCGACTTCGAGAAGCGCGTGAATGAGTTGTATGAGGCCGCGGGCGGCGAGGCGTGCCTCGTTGATGGTTACGCGCCCTTCTGCAAGCACGTCTTCGTCGAGAACTTCGTGAATGCAAAGGGCGCGGTCGCGGCGATCACGCCGGAGAACGAGCACCTGCTGAGGAGCGGCTACTCGGCGCGGACGGAGAAGGAGCTCGCGGTATTATCAAGGTGGTTCCCGAAGGAGTCCATAGCAGCACCGACAGCAAAATACTTGGACCTGATCCTGTACTCGCGGGAACAAATAAGAATCGAGAACGCGGCCATGGGCGAAGATAGCGGTAGTGATGCACCCTGGGGCATCGTCTCGGTCAAGGCCCAGGACGTCGACAGCGAACTGCCCATGCAGCCCATCACGATGATGCGGAACGCCTTGGGCGCGGACGAGGGCGGCAGCGGCGTCGCGCTCGACGCGGCGAAGTACCGCGAGAGCGTCGCGTACTGGGCGGGGCACGCGCCGATCCAATGAGTAAACTTAGTACGGTGAGTGTCGCTTCTCTCTCTCTCGCAGCTTATCGCTTCTCTTCTGGCAAAGCCGCGCTAGCGGCTGTAAGACACTCTAGAGCAGGCAGCATGCCTGTGCAGCCTCGAGAACGCAGCGTCCGCGGGCAAACTGAGTGAATTTAGTGATTGTAGTTTCGACTATTATCACAAACTATCGAACCCGTCGAGCATTTGCAGCAATAAGCCACCAAAAGCCCACCCACAGCTGTCCAAGCACAAGCACTGCCGAAAGCCGAACATCGGGATGGTAGTACTCTGGGCCCAAGACGGCGTCGACGGCGCGGCAGGCCCCACCGGCTTCGCTCAGAGCCGCCGCTCGGATGACGAAGACACTAGCGACGCCGATTCCCTCTCACAATCGGAAGGCGGCGCGCTGGACGCGCCGCTGCTGCCAGAAAACCCCGATGAGGACGAGGCCGACGCCACGGCCCGGCGCGAGGCGCTGCGCGCGTGCTGCGCGCGCGGCCTGATGTTGGTCAAATGCTTGGCGGCCTACCTCCTCGTCGTCTCTATCGGCGCGGGCGTGCTGGCGTCGATCGCGGAATGGGTCGTCGTCGCGGCGCGCCGGGCCCGCGGCACGGACGACGACGACACGCACGAGTGGTGGAGCTGCCTCTGCGAGCAGTCCGTCGCGGCGCATTGGGTCGACAGCTCGCAGCCCGAGAAGATTCCCGTCGTCCTCTCGGCGACGTTACTGCAGAGTATTATCCTCGCGTCTGCCAGCTTGCTCGTGGCGCATCGCGCCTGCGTTCGCATGGAATGGCTCGGCTCGGCGGTGGTCAACGTGCTGTTCCTCACTCTCGCTATTCTTTTGCCACCGGCAGCCTCCGGTTGGCCTGCACCCACCGCGATATCCTCCAGCCTGGCGACGCTGGCTTCCTGGGCATTCCGCCCCTTCGGTGATGACGGCTGCAAAAGTTCGCGGCGGTTCGCCCGGTGGTGCGTCGGCGTCGCGGCCGCGGCGCTCGCGACGAACGCTGGCGTTTTAATCTTCCTCGTGTGGGCCGAGCGCCTGCGCCGCCGCGCCGCCGCCGCCGGGGAGAAGCGGAGCAAACCAAGGGCCGTCGTCGCGCTGGGCGGCCTGGCCCTCGTGGGCTACGCCGTAGCGGCCCTCGCGCGGCTGGGCGTCTCGGTCCTCGCGCAGCGGTCCTTCGACGCGTTCTTCTTCGATCGCTGGAGCGTCGTGGCCTATGTGGCCGGTCAGCCCGGCTTCCAGCTCGCCGGCGCGACGGCGTTCGCCTCGGTTGCGATGGCGGTACGTGGCGTCGCGACCGGGGACCGCGCGCACCTGCGGGTCGCCGCGCTGCTCGGCGCCGTGGCGCTGTATATCAATCTGCCCGCATTCGTCGCGACCTGTGTGGAAATCAACCAGTGTGTCGGGTGCGGAGGACGCACGCGCCGTAAAATTTTGATTTCCACACAGATCGCGACTGCCGACGCGGCGCGGCGCCGCGGCCTCTGGCTCGGCGGCACAAATCATTGCGTGGCCGACTACCTCGCGCGGCGCGACGCCTCGGACATGTACGGGCGGCCGTCGCCGGCCCGCGCGCCGCCTCTGTGTCGCTACATCATCACGGAGATCTGGGGGACCGCGCTCCATTTGCTCTTCTTGCTGCTTGCGACCATTGCGGCGGCGGCGGCCGTCCGCGGCGACGGCGCGGTGGCTGCGTAAGCTTTTTTTGTGTGTTTCGAGCGTGAGGAACACCCGTCGTGAACCTCGGCATGTATTCTCTTGGATTAAAATTAAGTTTACTTCGTAGATGCGTAACATATCCCGTATCCCATCGACGGGATATGTTATGCGCGAGCGAATTGTTGCGTGCGAGCGAAGCGATTACCCCGTTGCCGGCGTCGCGAGGATGCTGCCGATTCTCATGGCGACGCTGGCGACGAGGTCCCGGCGCGCCGCGAGCGGCGCGGATCCGAGGTCTGCGAAGGACTTATGCGGCTGGTTTTTCGCGCAGCATTCGTTGTAGCAGCACGTGAACTGCTTGTGCGTGAAGGACGCGCCCCCCAGAGGCGCGTTCGACGCGTCCTGGAGCTCGTAGTGCCAGTCGGGGTGCGCGCAGCACACGCTCAAGCAGATCGGACCAAAGAACGTGATCCAACAAAGACAATCGCACCACGCGCGCCGGCACTGCGCCTCGTTCCGCTCCTTCGACGCGAAGAGCCGGGTGGACGCGCCGCTCGACCGCTCGACCTTGTACTCGATCTCCTTGTCACACTTGGGACACCCACACGCGCCTGTCGCGCCGCCCGGGGAGCCGCTCGTAAGCGTGAGCTGGTCGCCGCGGTCCATCGATTGGACCGGGGGGCAGGACTTCTTATTGTACATAAATTCCTTCCAGTCCATCTGGCCCGAGCACGTGATGGTCTGCACGACGCGGTTGTCGGACCCGTCTCCTAGTACGACGTCCGCGACGAAGGCGCCGAACGGCTCGTTGTTGGCCAGGTTTTCCCCGGGCCGCGCGCGGTCGTGGTTGACGAGAATGGAGAACGCGTCCTTCGTACCGTCCGCGTCGACGCGAAACGTCGTGACTTTTCCCTGGTGGACGTGTTGCACCATCCGGAACGTTAACCGAGCAGCATTGCCCAGTATTGCGTCGTAGGCCTCCAGATCGGCGGCGCTGGGCGTAGGGCCAGCCTCGGCCGGCAGGACGCGGGCCATGTCCATGCGCCGGGCTCTCCGGGCTGCGTTCGCGAGCTTTCGGGCAGCGTCTAGGCGTCTGCGGCGACGTCACTGCAGTCCTTGCCACGTCGCAATGGCGACATAGAAACCCGCAGTCCTGGCCACGTCGCGAGTCGGTCATAGAGCTAGCGCACCGTAAGACACTAGCATACACTCTTGGCCGAGGGCAAAAAACGCGCGACCGGCTTGATTTGCGACGTTAATCTACATTTGTGATCCATTCGCATCCCTAGCGCTGCGGCGGCAGGCTGCTGACAGCGTCGCTTTACAGGCTACACCCTGGGAGTAGCCTTGTGCCTGCGCTGCGATGGCGAGCGCCGACCTGGAGAAAGCGTGGCGCTGCGCGCTACAGCACGATGTCGTGGAGCTGGCCTCCTTCTGCTCGTTCGCAAGCGCATCGAAGACCGCGCTCCGCTGCGCGAGCGACGCGGAGGTCGACACGCTGCGCTGGCGGCCGGAGTTCCAGCGCCGCTTCCCCTTTCTCTCGTCGACCCAATCCCGGACCCTAAGCGTGGCGCGGTCCGCCAAAATATGGCAGGGCGAGGAGTGTCGTTTCTCGACGTGCTGGCGTCGCACATACTTGAGCTGTGTCCAGACGAAGCTGCGCTCGGTCAGGCTACGCGAAGGCACCTTCAACACGATGCTCCAGCACTACGTCCAAACCGGCCAGTTCGATAGGGCGTGCAAAGAGGTTGAGCAGGGCGGTGCCGCCTTCGAGGACTTCGATACGGCGCTGGGACTCGCCCTCCGGCCCGCCGAACTCCTGACCCCTGATCTCGCGCCAGAACGGGATGCTGCGCGCGGGTTATTCGTCGCGTCGGTCCTAGCGTCGCAGTCCAGGCCCCTCTCGGAGGGCGCCGATGGTGGTTATGTGCGTGGTGCGCTGCCGCCGGCCGCTAGCCACCTGCACGTCTCCGCGGTCCGCACGATCCTCACATCGCAATGGTTCCGAGCGTCGACTGTCGAGTACCGGCGAACCCAGATCAACCAGGCGATAGACTTGTCTCGCTTAGCTTTTGATATTGACTCCGCCGTTCGCCAGCATCCCCAGCGCATGCTGCAAGAGGGCCAGCCCGGGTATGACCGGAATGCGCCTTGGGTCACCACCCTGTCCTTCCTTCGGTCGATGAGCGACGACTATCGGGAGAATTTGTGTGTTCTCTACCGCTGCGCAACTACGATCGGCGAGATGCTCCGCGGCGTCGCCGATCAAAAGGCGGGCGACGACGTCGCCGGTATCGACGCGCGGCTCGAGCTCCTCCGCATCGCCACGGCCAACCTTGAGGAGAATGCTGGCTACGTCCATGACGGGAACGAGTGGGTCCGCGCCGAATAAGCACCTTTGTATGTAGCTTTTCTTGTGTGATCCAAGCCTGAGGAATACCCGTCACCTGCATTGACTTACTCACCCCGACTACACTGCAGGCAGCCTATCTCCTCGCCAGTACGTGAGGACGTGCCAGACGGTACTGTTCGGCAGGCGCACAAGGCGTGCGAGGAGGGAATCTTTCGCCACGGCCCGACGGCGCACGACGATACGTCGGCACCGTGTGCCACGAGGAGCGACACCATTTTTGCCGATGCCTCATTGGATGCACAGACCTTACATATTCGTTTCAACTCGCCCCCAGAATCCTCATAATCCCATGTGCGTCCACCGCGCGCGGCGTAGTGCAGCGGCGTCATGGAACAACACGCATTGGGGCTGGAAAAAGGCGAAGGCCCTCGGCCACGCGCGCTGGGCGACGACGGGCGCACTCGCTCTGGTAAGCTGTGCGCCGGCGCGGCTCCTCCTGAAGCGGTGGTGGGCCGGCGCGAATCACCGAAGCGATCAGCGGGAATTCATCCGAGTATTGGGGAGGGAAGAACGTGTCTCCGTGATCGCCGAGGAGAGCTCGCCGGGCGGCGCGTATAATGCGTCGACCTACGTCCTGCACCGCTGCGGCGGCTGCCGCTGGATGCCTCCCCTCGAACGCCTCCTCAACGCGTCGCGCGTGGCGAACGGCGTCGACGACGCGTCGGCGGCGGAAGCGCTGGTCGCGGTCTGGGAGACGCGGGTGCTCTTCACTGGCAAGCTCTAACTATGTACATTTTATCTCACAACAGTCTCGAACGCGAGCAGGAGCGCGGCGCTCAGGGGCCAGCGGAACGTCGTCACGAGGGCCGCATTCCTCAGGCCTCCTGCGAGCGCGATCTTCGCGCGGTCGAGCGGAAGTTCGGCGGCGAGCGCAACGGCCGAGGCGCCCAGCGCGCGGGCCGCGCGGTCACTCAAAGGCGCGTCGGCGCCGCCGGGCCGCAGGAAGAGCCCGAACGCGCACGCGCCGAAGGGTATGGAACTCCACGCGAACACGGGTCGGCCGGCTGTGCCCGTCGCCGCCGTCGCCGTCTGCCTCACGAAGTCCAGAGGATAGAGAACCAGTGCTGCGAACGTGCCGCTCACGGCGCCGAGAACGGCTGGTGCCGGCGACCGCAGCAATGCGTCGTCGGAGAACCCAGCAGCGCGTAGTTGGCGCAGTGATGCGCCGCAGAAGCCAAACATCAGTGCCCAGTCTGCACAAAACATGTCATCAGCGTCGGACAGTCAGTGGCAGCAAAATGTCATCTCAGTGTGTGGCAGGGAATTGATGCTCAAAGCACCGGCGGTGCAGTTCAGATTGATTAATATGACGATGCACCCAGAATCGGTACAAAAAAAAACCAGGCCCACAGCGGGAAAGCGTTCTTGTCAACTGCAGCGTCGACTAGCGTCGTATAGACATACTAGCTCTCGGATATCGCGCAGACCAGGAGTAAACGACGAGAAAATTACACAAGCCCCTCGGTAGACACCTGCTGGTAGAGCCGTGGCCGCGACGACCGCGCCTTCCGCCGCCGCTTCGCCTCCACAAAAACCGCCGTGCCCGCCAGGAACACGAGCGCGCCCCGGACCTGGGCGCCTTTGATCGCCTTGCCCTCGATGACGACCAGCGAAAAGAACAGCACGACGCCCTTCCTAGCGGTCTTCGCGACTTCGGCATTGGTGGCCCCGTAGTGCGCGACGAGCCGCACGACCATGCTGATGGAGGCATAGCCAAAAATTTCGGAACAAAACATTTTTGCTAATAAAGTAGGATTCGCCGAGAAGAACGTATAGGCGTGCTGCGGCTCGTCACTCGACACGAAGACCAGGAAGGATTGGAACGCGGCCATCGCGTACGTGTACAATACTAATTCAGCTGGAGGCGGCCGCGTTTCCCTTGCAAATATAGTGCACTGCTCGAAAGTTGAGACAAACGAGTCGGCGAGGATGGCCAATCCAGCAAGAGAAGCCCCGAGCACCAATCTGGGTGATGCTTCGCCTCCAGCAAAATCGGCCCCGTCGAGCGTCGCCGTGGCCAAGCCTAATCCAAGCACCAGCGCTCCCACATATTCCCAGACCCCATAAGCGGCGCGCTCTCTTCCTAACATGATCCTGGACAGCGCCATCGTCGGCAAGGGTTTCAGACATTTCACCATAACACGCGTACTGTACTGGATGTATCCCAGCGAGGCATTCGCCAGGAAAACGCTCAGGAAGCAAAAGACGGCCACGATGGCGTAATCTCGCAATGGCGTCGTGCGTTTTGCGGGCGACCAGCCGTCCCGGAACAGCTCCAAGCCCGCAAAACAGCAGTAGGACGCCGAGTGACACAGCGTCAGGAACCCTCTATGCAAGGGTTTAAAGCCCGGCGTCGACACGATGAGTTCCTGGGAGGCGGTGAAGCCGCAGCTCGCCGCGAAGAAGACCACGAAGAAGAGCGCTCCCTTTATCAGCTCGGCTGCTTTCGTGGGCGCGAGCATCACGTGGTCCTTGGGCCCGGCGGCGGCTTTTTCGAGGAAGACCTCCTCCTCCTCCGTGTTCCGCGGCGACCGCATGCGCGCGGGTTGCATAGGTTGCGCTGCGTCGGCGTTTTGAGGCAGCCAAAGCTGTGGAGATAGCTGCTCTTTACTGCCGCAAAGATGCAAAACGCAGCACGCTGCACCAGTTGCCGTATTGATGGCGCGTCTTGTGCACCCACAGGCTACCCAGCAGTTTGCACTAGTTGTCAAATGTCAAAAATCGAAAAATTAGGCCCTTAGCGTAGCATAGAGACACTAGCGATGACAGCCACGCACGCGTTGGCTGCCGGCGCAGCGAAGGCTCGCCCGGAGCCGCTCCCCGGACCCACCGCAGACACAGAGTTCAACACCAATCCCTTACCCCCGCGCCGTCAGCACCGCGTAGCGCAGGCAGAAGAAGAAGACGACGACGGCGCCCGCGACGCACAACCCAAACCGCGCGCCGCCCTGGGAGCTCATGCGCTCCAATGCTGCCATCGTCGAGTCCAGCGCCGAGCCCGCGTTCCCGAGGCCTCCGCCCATGGTATCTAGAAACCGGTTCTGGCCGGCGACCTCGCCCTCGATCTCCTGCGTCAGGCCCTTGAGCAGCGAGACCTTGTCACTCAACGCATCCAAGTGGGCGCTGTTCTCCCTTAATCCGAGCTCGACGTCGCTCGCGTTGGCCTTGTCGCGCGCCGTCTGGCCATTCCCGCGGTAGGACATGCCCGCGCCGCGGCCCCGCTGCATTTAGTAGCGGCGGGCCGCTTGTTTTGTGGCTATTGGTTTCGCGCTGCCCGGCGCGCTGGTCGCGTAGATCCTCGTGCGCGCTAACTGCGCCTATCAATGCCGCAGATCGACGAGAGTGTGATCACAGCGGCAGCTTAACGAAGAATTTGGCTCCTGTTGATTCAAGCGGGCGGTAAAAAGCCACCAACCCCGCAAAGCACGTTTTTTTGCTTCCTAGTGTGTCGATGACGCTAGCTAACGCGGCGGGCTAGCGGCCTGTAAGACACTAGCAAGCACGCGGCGAAGCACAGCTCGCGGCGTCCCCAGCGGACCTCGGCTTGCAAACGTAAGCATTAGGCCGCAGTGACAGTGCGCTGCAGGTGCCGGACAAGTGCACCGCCATGCGGGTGCTCTGGCTGCTCCTGGCAGCCAGCGCGCACGCCTTCCTCGCGCCCACAAGCCGTAGAACATGCGTGCGTCAAAGGAGCATCGAAGATGATTTAATTGCCGAGCTCGACGCCACCGCCGAGGATGTAGAGGAGGCGCGTAATAGCATCGAAGAGGATCTAACCGCTGAGCTCGACGAGGCTGCTGAGGCTGAAGAGGAAGCAAGGTACCAGGCCGAGCTCGAAGAAAAAACAAAAAAAGCCGCCGCCGCGACCTGCTGGGAGGGCCTGCCGGAGACCGTCCTCGATAATCTCGCGGCGCACAACATAAACACGCCGCTGCCAGCCCAGGATAGAGCTTGGGGCCCTCTGGTCAACGGCCTCGACGCGATCGTCAGCTCGCCGACGGCGACGGGCAAGACCCTCGCGTATATGATACCCCTCGCGCAGCGGTTACTGGAGAAGCCCCGCGAGATGCCCACGAAACGGGGTCCCGCCTCACCTCGAGTAGTGATCATGGCGCCGTCTCGAGAGTTATCCTCGCAAATCGCCAAGGAGTGGGATGAATTGGTCAAGGGCACGTCAGCCATGAAGTGCGCGTTGACCATCGGCGGCGTACCTTTACATAGGTGCATCTCTTCATTACGTAGAGGTGGTGGCGCGGATGTTGTTGTAGCGACGCCTGGGAGATTGGCGGAGCTCATAAGGCAGGGCCGCGGCCGGTTCGTGGACCAGGAAATCGTATTATCGTTCGACAACCTCGAGACCTTTGTGCTAGATGAAGCTGATGCTTTACTCAATGAGGAGGACGTCCCGGAAGTCAAGCGTTTTTTGGACGGCATGGACCACGACTACCAGCTAGCATTGGTGTCGGCGACCATCACAAACAAGGTAAGGAAGTTCGCGCGGGGCGCCATGGAGATCGTCGATGCGGGTGATGTAGATATCAATCAGTCGAGGAGAATTGTGGAGCACGAAAGTATCGCAGCCCCAGAAGCCGAGTGGCCCCAGGTCGCGTCCGAACTAATACAGGGGTGCTCAAGTAATGCGGTGGTCTTCTGTCGATCTATAGCGACGTGTAAAAGTACAGCGGATATTCTGAGAAGATCTTTACCCGCGCAGACGTCCATCATATTGGAACTGCACGGTGATTTGGATGCGGCCGCGAGAAGGCGCGTCTTCCGCGAAGCCCGTCAGAGTGAAGATAGATCAATCATTCTCGTTGCGACCGATGTTGCTGCGCGAGGCTTGGACATCGAGGACGTGGGTTTGTGTCTGCAGCTGGGAGCGCCTTTGAAAGCGGGTCGGCGGGGCGTTTTAGATCCGGATCTCTACGCGCACCGTTTTGGAAGAGCGGCGCGCGGCGGCGAGGCGGGCGCCTCCTCCATCGTCGCGTTCGACGCGACGGCCGGCGAGGCTCCAATGGTTGAGGCGCTGTCCGAAGACTATCCCGATTTGTGGCCGTCGAAGCCGCCGCCGGCTCCGTCAAAGGTGCGGGAGGCGGCCATCCGGCGCGCTCTTGGCGCCTGCGACCGAGTAGACGATGATACTGTGGCGGCGGTCCTCGGCGACTTGCCGGCCCTCTCTGATAATGAGGCGAAGCGGTTGTTGGCGGCGGCGCTGGCGGCTTTGGCAAATGTCAAAGTACAAGGCCGCCGCTCACGAGAAACGGGCAAGGCGAGCGACCGCACTTTAAGAGTGACGGCGTCGTCTGGAGGGTTAGCGCCAGGTGCTGTCGTGAAAGCATTGAAGGCGCTGGGCTCGGGCAAGCTCGGCCGCGTCCGCGTCGTCGACGAGGGCTCAGCCGCGTTTGTCGAGGTGCCGGCGAAGCGCGCCGCGAAGGTCCTCGCCGCCGCGGCGGAGAGCGGCGCGCTGCCGGAGGGGTGGGGGCTCGCGGAGGACCTCGAGTAAGTGTTTTGTTTGTCCGTCGCCCCGGAGTTTTGTTCGCGGCGCACCAGTGGCTCCCTCGATGGACGTCTGGCGGTGGCCGATTCAAACGTGACATGCAGCTGTTTGAGTATCGTTCGGTTCGATACTGGTCCAAAGAGAACAATGGGACACTTACTGGGGGCCGAAAAAAATAATTTTTTTAATTCGCGATATTGACGGTCCCGCCACGGCGGCCGCGTCGATGGAATCCTGTCGATTCGTGGTCCGGAGGTCTCCCTGGGGCCGCTGAGGGATGGTATTAGACGTGCGCAAGCGCCTACACCGCATGCGCCCGGGCTCGGGGCATAATCGACCAATTCTCTCTCCATTGGAGCTCATTAAACCATGAATAGCTTGGCTAGTTGGTTCCAGAGCTCTCGGGGAGCTCTAGACTGCCGCATCGACGGCGTATGCGGCACAGGTGACTACCCACCACTAGACCTACCTCGAGAGACCTCCACGGGCCGATCTGCATCCGAAAAAAGTGTGTAATTTGGTCCCGATGGCGCCTCATTCCCGTCAAAAACGTCAATTACCAGAGGCTCCCCAGTAGTCGCCGTAGCGGTCTCGCTGGACCCCATACTACCCCAGCGATAGTCAACTACAAGTATATGACATCTACATTATAAGAAGGGTACTTTTGGCTGCCCACGCTCGGGACGTGAACATCTTGATCTGGACCTCGCACAAGTCGGTCGGTCATGGAACAAATGATCGCGTCATGGTCCATGGTAATGGTACACGGGCTGATGACCGCAGGTTCAAGTAACTCGCCCCAATTAGCCAGATAATGGGCTCGTGGGATGGCCGAGCCGCGCGGAGCATCGTGGGGCCTTGAGCAATTTGATACACGTCCATGCCGGTTATCTGGCCCGTCCCACAACCGAAGCGCCTGAAACACAAATTTATTTTATAATCCACCGGTCTGGGGCCAATTCAGTGCCCCGCGTACGCACCATCGTCCGCGGAGAACGGGCAAGTCGGTCGATTGTGAATAGAACAACGGCGTTATGGTCCATCTGGATAGTGTCGTCGCTGATACTCGCAGCTTCAGGATTCGTGCCTTTATTCATCTAAACGTAGGGGCCCAAAGTCGACGTTTCGCGCGGCTCTAACGGGTCATCTAAAATAGCTCAGTACCTGCTGATCCGGGCTAGATGGACTCTACCACTAACAAACGGATAAAAACGAACATAAACGCGAGAGTTGTCTAGTAGAATTCTTCTCCCGCCCTCCGAGCGCGGGCCGTCGGCTCCGGTTCCGTCGAGTGTGCATGAAAACTGGGCTGGAGTTGATATGATGTACTATTTGGACGGTAGATGGCGGCGTCAATCGCTGGTGTAAATTGGCGAGCCGCAAGACCTGGTGAGCTAGCGTATGGACACACTAGGACGGCAGTGACGAGTTAACGCCATCGACGAGGGCCCCCCGGGACCCCCCAGTTATCATTCCGCACACATATTAGTCCCGCGGACGTGGACTTGCGGACATCTTGAAGCCGAGCTGCTTCGCCTCGCGCTCGAGCCGCGCGCGGATCGCGTCGTCGGCCTGGCGCTGGTACTGGGACGCCTCCTCGGCGGCCGCGGCGCGCGCGCTCTCCGCCGCCCTTTGGAAGGCCTCGCGCGCGCCGCACGCCTCCGTCGCGCAGGCCTCGTATTTGAGCACCAACGCGTCCATCTCGCGCTTGATGTCGGCGCGCCGCCTCCCCAGCGCCGCCTCGCGGTCCGCGAGGTCCCGCCGCAAGTTTTCGACGTCGCGCTCGACCCTCGCGTCGAGCTGCGCCCGCCTTCTCGAAAGCGTCGCCGCCGCCTCGTCGCGCAGCTCGCGCTCGCGTCTTTGTAAAGTGAGCGCCGCGCGCTGCCGTCTGACTTGAGCCATCTGCCTTTCGAGAGCCTCGTGCTCGGCCGCGATCTCGCGCTCGCGCGCGTCCAAGTCCGCGGCGCTCGGCGCGGGCGGCGGTGGTTGCTGGGGCTTGGGCGGCGGCGGCGGCGGGCTCGGCGGCCGCTTTCGCGCGTTGGGTGCGCCCGCCGGGCGGCCGCCGCGCTTCTCGGCCGGCGGGGCCCTGACGCCGTGCGCGGCGCGGACGCGGTCGATGAGCGCGCGGACATCTTTTGTGGTTTGCGACTCCTGCAGCGCCTTCGTCGTCGCGGGCTTGCGCCCTCGCGGCGGCTGGCGTGCTTTCAGGGGCTTGCGGGCGGTCGGGGGGCGCATCATGGTTTGCTGCCTTTTGTGGTGCTTAGTGTGTGGTGTGTTTTGGCTGCCTTTTTCGCGTCGGCGGGAGTGCGGTTGGTACCGCGGTCAAGGCTTATGTTTTTGCTTCCCACAGTGCACAGATGGCCGTCAATGGGCAGCCAAATTATGCAAATGGTGTCGGCTTAACGATGCTGCCCTAGTTAAGGCGGAGTGCAAGTTCGCGAGGGCAAGAAAAGCAGCGCCTTGGTTGCAGAGACGACGGTTTTGGACCACTGGGGCGAGGATTTTTGGCTTGGCTGTTTTTTCGCGTGACCCCGCACGTGAACCAGCGGCGTCCTCCGCTAACTTTGTCTTTGATCTGCGTATCGACCGCAGACGGCGCCGCGGACCCAGTCAGTTCTGCCGCAGCATCCTGTACATACCCTGATCGCTGCCAGGGACTCAAAAGTCCGCCGCTCGTCGCACAACAATAAAAACAGCACTCCCTTCAAGAATTCCGGCTGACCAAACAGCCTATTGAAGGGGCGCGGGAAAGCATTTCTCCGCACCAACAGCAGCAAAATGGGCGTCCTCATCGACATGTTCACGCGCGGCGGCCCCGTGCGGCCCAAAGATGTATTGGACGCGGTCGCCCGCGACCCGGTGTGCTGCAAAGACACTGATGAGAAGACGGGCAACACGCCCCTCCATTTTACTTGTTGCAACGGCGCACCTATCGAATTGGTACGGGCGTTATTGCGCGCCTACCCCGGCGCCGCCTCGGTAGAAGACGGCGACGGGAATTTGCCCCTCCACGGGGCATGTTCGTGCGGCGCGGCACCCGACGTCATTGAGATGCTGCTGGAAGCGAACCCCGGGGCCGCGAGACACCTGGCCAACGGCCAGACGCCTTTACACTATGCCTGTTGCCACCAGTGCGATCCTAGAGTGGCCAAATTACTGGTGGATAGATATCCCGAGGCCTGCGGCGTCCAGGACCGGGACGGGAACGCTCCTTTACATTTCGCGCTGATCCGGAGCGCGCACCCGGCCGTCGTGCAATTACTCGTGAAGACGCATCCTCTGGCGTGCGCGATGCGCGGCTTTCTCGGGAGGCTGCCTCTGTCGTTGGCGTTGCTCTACGAGGCCCACCCTGCTGCAATCAAGGCCGTGCGCGACGCGTACCCCGACGCGTGCTTGACAGTGTATGAATCAAATCGTCGACCACACTGACTCACGGGTTGATTTGCGCACAGGCACCGGAACGAGGAGATGGTCGCCGACTACCGGAACCACGGCAAGCTCGCCGACTACGCGCGGTGCGCCAAGTGCGAGCCGCGGCCGCCGCCGCCCTCAGACTTCGGCCCGCCGCGCCAGTTCTGAGGCCGCAAATGCCCGCGCGGACGGGGTCCTAGACGCCCGTCGCGCCCCGCGCCCCTACGGCGCACCAACTTTCTCTCGCAGTTCGAAAACGCACTCGACAAAGTATTATAACAGCTGTTGTCCACTAGTCTAGATACGTGTCGCGGCGACGCCGCGACGGCGTGCCTGGGCATCTGCGCGACCCACCGGCGGTCCCTCCGGCACTCCCTCCGGCGATCCGCGCGAAGCTATACACACGGACACTGCGTCTGCCACTGCAAGTGACTGACTGGCAGGCTGAAATAGCAAAGGCCCCGCCGCCCCGGGCTGGGCCAACTTGAAAAGTGGCCTAGCTCTAAGCAAAGGAAGGCGACAGATTATATAACATGACCTTAGGCCCAAGACCTCTGCGCCCGCCGCGGCTCGACCCCTGCTAATTTGTCCGCAATGGCAGAAACACCGGGCATCGCGAGCACGTCCCCCAATACTGGCATCGACCGCATCGCGCTCAGCGCGATCGGAAAGAAGTTCGCAAATAAATTCACGAACCCAAAGCCCTCCAAGCACATGCCCAGCAGCGGCCGCTTGAAGAAGACCACTAGAATAACACCTCCGAAGAAGCAGCCGACGCCCCGGAAACCCGAATCCTTGGCCTTCTTCACGAAGAAGCGTTGACTACGGGACACGCCCATCGTCAACAATAGTCCGCCCAAAAACATGACATTTCCTAAACTCAAAAACATCCTGTCGAAGAAGAAGACGACGCCGAGGACGATAAACAGACAGCCCAGGCCCAGCAGGGCCGTGCCGATCTTGGCGTTGTCGTTCATCGTGTGGTCGAGCGCGGTCGCTACGAGTGGTTACGTTCGCGGTCGCGCAGCCGCGGCGGCAACTGTGGAGACTGGGCGCCAAAGGGTCAGGCGTAGGGATGGCTCGAGCTTGCGAACAGCTGACAGCGCGCAGCGCAGCGGTAGTTATGCGCGCGATTCGTAGACTGTGACACGCAGAGATTGCACACAGGCAATTTATCCACGCGGACGCGGTCGCGTCGAACTCTCTTAGTATGTTACTACGTTAGCTCACCGTCGCGCTCAACTCTCCGCCCAGTCTCACCGGTCGGCGTGTGACCGGCCAGATGGCGGCATTGATACCCCCTGCAGCAGCCGCGCCCGCAGCAGCGGCGCAGGGCAGTAATGCGTCGGCATCGATGGACGCCATCCGCAAGCACGCCGCCGACGCGCGCTGGCTGGACGCGCTCGACGCGCTTGACGCGCTAAGCGCCGATGAAATTGATGATGAGGCGCTCGCGGCCGAAGTGCGGCACCACGGCGGGCGGTTTCGGAGCGCGCGCGCCGCGTTCGAGGACCCGGACGACGACAATCATCAGTGGCAGGGCCGGACGGAGCGGTTTGGGGTGGAGACGGCTTTCAGATATGACGAAGACGGCTTGTTGTGGCTCAGAACCGCGGGAAATATGGAGGACGTGGACCTGTTCCACACGGTGGCCGTGCTGCGGGAGATCCAGCTGTTCGGCGAGTGGATCCCGTTTCTGCGGCAGAGCTGCGTCGTCAAGGCCCAGGACTTCGCTCGCCTATTGGCCCATTTCACGATTGGGGTAAGAGGCGTGCTGAGCCGCGACTGCGTCTTCCGCGTCGCGGCGTGCAACCACGCGCTGTCGGGCGCTTCATTATTTTTCGAGGGGCGGAGCCTCGACGACGACGTGACGGAGTGGAACGGCGCCGCGGTGCCGCCGCGCGACCGGTCCTGGGGCATGGATAGAATGGTGGTGCGGGACTTCTACGCGCGGGTTCAATTTTTAAGCCAGTTCGCGCAGCGGTGCGAGGTCGTGGTCTGCGTCGATCTGCGGACGCGGCTGCCGCGGGCGGTGCTCGACTTTTTTATGAAGAGGTTGGTTGGACTATTTATATGGTTGTGGCGGCGCCAGAGCCGCTACGTCTCCGCCCACGAGCAGTGCCCGCACCGCGACGCCATCGCCAAGGATCCGGCCTTCTACGACGAGTGGCTTCGGCCCAAGTTCGTCGAGTTCTGCGCGGCGCAGGGCTGGGACGGCGGCGAGCTCGTCGTCGATCCAGCCGATATAGAACCCGACGTCGTCCACGACGAGGCGCCGCCAACAGGCCTCTTCGCGCGGCTGAACCCCTTCGGCTAGTTTCTGTGGCGTACAAGTAAGTGTGTATGTGAGACTAAACGATGTCGATTGTTAGCACGATCTACCCGGACCCCCGCCGGTCGCTGGCCCGCGAGTCTGCACGATGCCGCCGGTCGCCGCTGCCCCGCCGATCATTGGAACCTTGGGACGTCGTCGACGACCGGTGCGAGCCATCGGTCTTCGAGCTGACGCGTCTCGAACCCCTACGTAAAGCCCCAGCAAACGCAGACTCCCGCCTATCGGGATTCGGCTTACTTCCAGGGTCACCGTCAATCGCTCGACGCCATCTTTATCCGCGCCCATCCTTCTAGCTAGTGCCGTGAATCCCGAAGCGTCCGCGAAGAGGACTGCTCCTCTTCTTTCTGTTGTAGGTCTGACACATCTCCTGATGTCGCTCCGCGCGCTCTCGGGCACGAATGACCCTACAACTTTTGCGGCGATTTTCAGTTGACTCGCGTCGGCCCGTCGTAGTTTCTGTGCCAAGGCCACGTGGGCCCCTAACACAACTTCGCTCAGGCCAAAGGCTTCCGGTGCCGCCGCAAACAAGTCGCCGCTCGTCTCGATGCGTCTTAGCAAGCGCTCGGACGGCAGGCGGAGCGGGTTCCGGTCGCTACCGCTCGAGTCGCTCACTTTGAGGTCGCTCCCGTCCATCGTCTGCTTTGTGAGGCGCCGTCTACTGGAGCTTTCCAGTGAAAGTCTTGAGCTCTGTGGCACGGCAATTAGATCCGCGTCGGCTCGTCGATCTCGCGTGGTTTGGGCACTCCAAATAAGTACCCCGGCGACCAGAGGAGGCCCGCCGCGGTGGAGCAAGACTGCCGCAGATGCCAAATGTGCCTGTGTTTCAGCGGGTTTTGCGCGCCGATAAAAAACCGCCTGGACGCGTCTACTACCTTTGCCAGGCGCCTTAGAGACGTGATCTATCGCGCCGGCGGGGTCGAGCCGAGCCGCGAAGAGCTCGAGCTTATGCTCTGTGATGCGAGCTTTCAAGCCTCTGCACAAGCCCCACAAGCCATACCATCCAACAAAAACGCACGCCGCAGCGTCCCATCGGTGGCCTTTCTCGGCCCATGAATTGTGCCCAGCCCAGACGCGCGCGTCGAGCCGCACCAGCCGCAGAGCTCGGAGGGTGTTCTTCACTCCATACGCGCCTTTCATACCAGCTATCGATCCCAACACGTCGTCCGAACGCAGGAACATGATGCTCGACGCCCTAGCACCGGAGTTCCGGCCCGAACACGCGGGCCTAAGTCCCGCCGACGTCAACGAGCTCGAGGAAGTAGACCTCTGCAACGAGACGCTCGCGCGGCTCGAGCTCCTCGAGCAGGAGGACTCGATCACGCGCGGTTTGTACGAGCTCATGGCCCAGGACTACCTCGCGGCGACGGGCGAGCTCGCGGACCCGCCGCGCCTCACGACGCTGTCATTGGCGCCGGCGCTCGACTACGACTCGGCGTCGCCGCCGCGGAGCCCGCGGTCGACCTACCGCTCGATGCCCTTCGCGAAGCGCGACGCCAAGGTGAAGCACCTCATGCACAAGGAGTTCGGCCGCCGCCGCTGCTGAACAACAATCGTCGTCGTGATCCAACCCCTTTCGTGAAAAGTCCCTAGTAGATATAAAAAATGTAAACCTAAGCGTACCTCCGCTCCGTCTCCCCGAAGTACTCGTGCGGCTTCAGGCGCCGTTTGGGCTCCGCGGGCAGCGCCATCTCTATCGGTAATCCCTTGTCGCGCGGATCTGATCGTTGGAACCGGTCGAGGCACCCCAGCCGCCCGTGGTCGCCGTTCCCGAACGTCCGGAAGGTCCCGTCCTCCATCGCTATCACCGAATGGGCCGCGTGCGCGGCGACCGCCACGGCCTTTTGATCCAATTGCACGAGCGTCGGCGCCCAGACCTGTGTGGAATCAACCAGTGTCGAGCAGTGATGGACCATCACCGCCACGCCATCGAGCAGGCGTCGCGTCGATGGCATGGAGGTCGACGTGACGATTCAACACACAGGCAAAAACGTCGCGCGGCGAGCGCTGCCCCGCGCGGCCGCCGCGGCCCCAGGCGTAGACCTCGCCGGAGGCCGTCAAACACAGCGAGTGCTCGCCGCCCGCGGCGACCCTTATGATATCGTTCGGCAGCCCGCGGACGCAATCAAAGACGGCGCGCTCGACCGGCGGGTTGCCGCAGGGCACGCCGGCCCTTCCATTCAATGTCGTGCCCAGGGCGTGGACCGCGCCCCTCACTAGCACCAGAGAGTGCGCGCCGCCCGCGGAGATATCAGTACAAACACCCTGCACGAGCTCGACGCGCCGCGGCCGCCAGGCCGTCGCATCCAAACCCGTCGCGCCGTCCTCGCCAAAGCCCCAGGCGTAGAGCCTCCCATTGTTCGTGGAGGCGAGGCAATGATGGGACCCGGCGCTCACTTGTGCGAACCGTTCATCAGTACGACAGGGGCCCGGGTCCCGGCGCACCCTCACATCAGCACCGAGCTCGCCGAAGTCGCCGCGGCCCCAGCTCCAGAGCTCGCCTTTTGTGGTGATGACAATAGTGAAGTCGTCGCCCGCGGAAACTTGTAGAACGCGTCTTTGTAACAAAACGCGCTCGGGCCGGAAGCGGCAGGGCCGCCGGTCGCCTTGCGCATCTTTACTCCCCTCGCGGCCGCCCGCGCGGCCGCACTCCAGGACACACCCGTCGGAATCCAGAAAAGCCGTGTGCTCCCCACCAACCGCCACGGCAACAATAATGGACGGCTCCAGATGGTTCACACATTGTGTCGTGGGCCAGCCGCCCGGGCCCTGGCCTATTTTTGCATCTCCTCGTTGTCCGCCATCGTTTTTTCCGCAGGTGATGATCCTTCCTTTATTGATGACCACGGATAGGTGCGACGCGCTCCCGCGACCAACGCAGTCCCACACGCTGTTCACGGTCCGCGTCGCCCGTAATCGTTCCATGGAACGGCAGTACGACGGCGCCGTCTCGAATGGTAAAGGCGCCCAGAAGCCGACTCTTTTGAGACCGTAGGTCTCTAGAGCACTTGACCAGCCTTTGCCAGACGCGCAGACCGCGCAGACGTCGTCCACGGAGCAGTAGAGGAGACAGAGCCCGACGCCGGCCGGCGGCGCCGCAAAGGGCCACGTCGGTTCCTTAACCACGGGCGGAGGCTCGGGTACAGGTTCACTTTTGACATGTAAAGACGCCGTCCGCAGGTGCGATTGGACGTCGCGCACGTCGGCGTCTTCTGGAATCTTGATGTAGGTCTGGAGCCACTCCCTCGAACCCTTTCTGGGAGGATGCTGCGGCCGCACGTGCGGGCCCGCTGCATTCAACGCCGCGTGCGCCAGTCGAACTTTCCGCTCCGACGCCGTGTAGGCCTCGACGACGGCGAGCTCGGTACCATAATGGGACCAGGGGTGTCTGTGCGGCGGGCCGTCCCTTAAAAAACCGTGGGCGTCGCGGCGGCGGCCGGCGGGTGGTCGGGAGGTGAGCGTCGTCTTGCGCGACATGGGTGCTGCCCGGTTGGGGTGCGGTGCTTGTTGTGGCTGTGTGAGGTTTTACTGCTTCGGCTGACTGCCTTCGGTGTCCGTATTTGCGTTCGACGCTTCGCAAACGGTTCGGGCAAAACCTAGTGTGTCGAAACACTAGCTTGGACAGGCGCTTCGCGTCAGCTCTAGGAAGGAGGTGCCCTTGGACTCCAATTGACTTGCTTGCTTGCGCTTGCTTGCTTGCTTGGCGTCCCCTTTACGCCATCGACGCGACGTCGTTCGTTCTGTTTTGTGGGGCCATCAGTTGATAGATAAAACGATAGAACATTAAGACCCGCTTCCCCGCGGCGCCTCGGACGCCTCCAGCCCCCCGACGCAGGGCCGCACGAGCTTCTCGAGGACGCCGTCCAGGACGTACGCGGTGAGCCCCCATATTTCTGCGGGACCGCCGTGGAAGACCGGCAGGCGGCCCCGGTTCTCATACATACGCTCCTCCCGATTGACTGGATCCAGTAAATGCGCCACCGGTAACGAAAAGACCTCTGCCACTTCGTCCTCCTCATAGACAACGTCCCGCCCCAAGTCCAAGGGCCGAGAACGACACGCGACGACGGGCGTCACGACCGTGCCCGTCACAGCTAAAACTTCTCTACACTCTGCTACCACTGAAAAGCCTGACTCAAAATCGGGACCGAACTCTTCGCGCGCTTCCCGCAACGCCGCCTGCTCCGCCGTCTCGTTGAGCTCGATGTGGCCGCCCGGGAAGCTCACTTGCGACTTATGCGTGGACACTTTATCGGATCTCACACTAAAAACGACGTGCGGCTCGTCATTGACAGAAGCGATCGGCACGAGCACGGCCGCCGTGCGCGCTCCATTACTTCGTCGGCGCTCGATGGACTCCTGAACTTTTCTGGTTACGAGGGGCACGGGGCCGCCGCGCTGCTCCGCTCGTCTCAGCATGCACCGCTGGATCGTGTCCATCGGCGCGGCGCTCAGGGCCCGCGCGCAGCGGATGACCGTGCCGCAGAGCACCGTGCGCGCTGCGGCCGTGCTGCGGCGCATCTTTTTGATAACTGTAAGCCGCGGCGTCGACCGGTGTGGCCCACACAAGGTTTGAACCCAGCTGACCCTCTCTGCGCAGCGCTCCCTACGGCAACAGCCAGCGCGTCCACGTGGTGCTGTGGCTGAAAGGTAGCTGAGGAGCCGACAAGTGATCGAATTGTACCAAGGAGACAGCGGTAGGGCAGCCGCGGCGCGAGCTAGCGTCCTGTAAGACACTAGCAAGCGAGCAAACCAGCCGCGACGCCGCCGCCGCGAAACAACAAACTAAAAAGCATCCCTCCTTAATCGTAAAAACACCTCTCTCTTTTGTGACGACGGGCCCTCGGCACGGCGGGCCGCTCCCCCTCCTTTCGCCTACGCTCAGGCGGAGTAGTACTCGCGCACGCGCAGCGGGCGGCCGCCGAGCTCCTGGCCTTCCAACCCGGCGATGGCCGCCTTGGCCTCGTGGTCCGCCGAGTACTCGACGATGGCCGAGCCCGACGGGCGGTTGTTCCGGCCGCGCGTCAGTAATTCAGCAGCGACCACCGAACCGTACGAGGCGCAGTGGTCCGCGAGCTCGTCCTCCGTCGTGTCGAAGTTGAGGTTCATGACGAACACCTTCGTCGGCTCGACGACCTTGTCCTCGTCGGGCACGCGCTCGCGGCGCGGCCGCTGCTCGCGCGGCGCCCGCTCCTTCTTGGCCTTCGGCGCCGTCGGGCCGCGGTCGACGCGCACGCGGATCTTGCGGCCGCCGAACTCGAGCTCGTCGAGCTGCTCGATGGCGTACGACGCGTCGGCTTCCGACGCGTAGGCCACCAGACCATAACCGAGCGAGCGGCCGGACTTCGACGTCTCCACATGAGCGCTCGTCACCGTGCCGTACTGGCTCACGAGCTCGAGGAGCTGGGCGTCGTCGGTCTCCCAGGACAAATTGCCCACATAGACGTTCTTGCCGTCAGCGCCGTTGACGCCCGCGTCGTCGATGATGATGGACATCTTTGTGTTCTGCGTGGGTCGGAGTGAGTGCTGTGTGTGTGTGGCGTGGCGTGGGGCGGGGCGGCGTGTGTGTGGTGTGTGGGCTGGGGCGGGACGGAGCGGTTTCGCCCGGTGCGGCCGGCGCAGGCAGCCGTGGTCGAAGCGGGTCCCGCGGCAGCGTCCTGATGACTGCCGCCGCCCATCGCCGCGGTATGCTGCGGCCGCGCGCCCCGCGAAGCGGAACACGTGCCAATATCCAGCTCTCCCTTGTTTAGGCTATAACTTTCCGGCGACAGTGCGGCGGCAGCCGCGCTGCAACGAGCAGCTTCCTGGGGAGTCGTATAAAGGATTGCGGACGCTGAATGGTGCATTCAAGCTATGAACAGGGAGGACCAGCCGCTCCGCGTCGTAGAGGACGGCGAGCACTAGCCTTGGTCCTAGTGTGTCGAAGAACCGCTAGACCGAGTTCCTTCAAGTTTCGTCGGGGTAGGCGGGAGAAAGGTGGAGGGAGGAATCCGACGCGCGCCGCGACGCGGGCGACTTGGTCCCCGCGGGGCGCGCGTCGTCGGCGGCGCGCGCTCACGCCCTCGCCGCGACGTACTTCAGGCCCAGAGCCGTACCGAGCGTCCAAGCAATAGCTTCGGCGGCTGCCTTGTCGGCGCCGCCGCGCGCGAGCGCCAAGAGGTCCGGGGTCGAGGCCAAGAAGAGGCACGCCGCCGTCGCCGACGCCATCGTCGCGATCGTGCCGCCGAGCGTCGAGCCGTGGCCGCCTTCGAGAGGAATGATCGTGCGGTGCTGGTAGTGCTTGATCGGGTCGACGAGGTACTTCTGCGCGAGGTCGATGGGCGTGTTTAGGACACCACGTACGCCCTCGGGGACCTCGACGCCGACGAGCGGTACCTTGGCCGGCACGCGCGGCAGCGTGAGCAGGCCTTGCTTGGCGAGGTAGTCGCGGACGGACTCGAGCGTGGACAGGAAGAGGTTGATCGCCGTGAGGACCACGTAGACCACGAAGACCTGCGTGGAAGGCATTGGCGTGGCGCTTCGACGTGACGACGTCGTGACACCGCACGCTACGATCGACCCGATCGTGACAGCCAAGTCCGCGAGCGTGTCGAGCGTGCCGGCGTCGCCCGTCGCGACGTCGCGCGCCGTCGCCGGGAGGGACATGGCCGTGTCGGCGCCCCACGTGATCACCTGCGTCGACGGCGTAACGGTGCGGATCTCTCGTCGCGTTGATTTCCCGCACAGGCGACCACGTTGGCGACGACCTGCGGCCCCGCGGTTATCCAGCCAAGGACACAGCCGAGCGTCTCGACGCCCTTGTCGAAGACCTGCGCGACAGGCCCGCCGAGCCACGACGGCACGAAGCCGAGAATCGTGTCGACGATGCCCGGCGCCGGCACGTCCTCGACTTTTTTGGCCGCGGCGGCGACCGTGGCGCTCGCGAGAAGCGTTGCGAGGGAGATCATGCTTGTGACTGGTGGTTTAGAGCCTGCGGAGTCGCGAGCGTCGCAGCAATCTGGTTCTTAGTGGGGCTCTGACCTTTGAAACCGCCTTTGCGCGCGGTTCTCGGTAGCTTGGGCGGTGTGTGAGTAGAGTGTACGTAGAAGAGGGCCGGCGGTGAGTCCTTTCGAGTGAAATGACGCGCCGTGGTCGATTTATTGATGTGAAAATCTGTTGCTAAACCCGTGCGATGCAGCAACAGCTCGCGAAGACGCAGTCAACACGACGTATACGGCCGTATGGAAGATCCGAATCGAGCAATTCTGCAGCCGGGCCGATGAGCAAAGTCTCCGTCCAAGCTAAAGTCTCCGTCCAGCTTGGTCTCTGCGCCTGAATTCGACGCACATCAATCGATATCGATGGATCGATGAAGCTCAGAATGCCTCTCGAGACGTACGGCCTGCTGGCGGTGGCCCTAGCCGACGCCGTGATCACTGTGACAGCAGCAGGCTTTGACCTCCATGCAGTGCTGCGGAGCAAAATCGCGCTGACGACGCTGGCATTGATGCTCATTCGCGCGGTGCTGGCCTCAGTAACCGCCCACGTCGAACAGCTGCACCCGGCCGCCATCGTCGTCGCCGTCGCCTCCGCGACCGCCGGCGTCGCCGCGGCGTCGCTGCGCAAGTTCTACGTCATCGACGCGTGGGCTTTGGTTGGTGCCATCATAGAAATAGGAGTGCTGACGCGACGACGACCGAAACCAGAGGAAGCGATCGACGTCGCGCCGTGGGCAGAATACCTCCGCGGCGCGCCGCCGGTCCTCGACTGCCCACGGCAAACGGAGGAGCTCGCATCGCTCGAGACTCAGATCGATGACGACTCTCTGATAGCGGCCTTCGTCCGAGTAATAGCGCACCACGCGCGCCAGGACGAAGTTGTGGTCGGCGTCTTCGACGACGGGCGCTGGACGCCTTTACGGATAGCGTGCGACCGCAATCAATCGGTCAGGACGCTCGTCGAGAACGTGAGAGCGGCTCGTACAATGACGGCGGATTTTGGAAGAGCGCCTTCACCAAACAAGATTGCGACGGCTCTTGGACATGAACCTTTCCAGGCGGGCGTCGCGCTCGCGAAGCCGCCTCCAAATGCTCTGGACGTCCTGGTCGTCAAGACCAAGTCCGGCTTCAGAACGACGAAGCGCCTCGCGGACCAGCTCGAGACGTATCTTAGAGCGTCTGGCGACGACGTCGCGTCAGAAGTATCGCTCGTCGACGACGTTACTAGAAGAAAGATCCTGGCGCTGGGCGACGGCCCGAGTCCGCCCTGGGATTCTCATACAACAGTGTGGGACCGCATGCTCGCGTGTGGCGACGGCACGGCGTTGTTGGACGTCAATACCTCGACGCAAATTACATATGATCAATTTCACAGAGCTTCACGATTCATTGCGAACTCGATAGATTGTCAACCGGGAGATAGAATAGCCATTGTGATGCGACGATGTCTCGCCCTACCGGCAGCCGTCTACGGTGTTCTGGGCGCGGGCGGCGCTTATGTGCCCGTCGACCCCGACTATCCTCACGAGAGGAGAAGGGCCATCTTCGAAGATAGTGAACCGGTCGCCGTCGTGCTTACTGCAGGACTGGAGGACAAGGTGCCCTTGCAACTACCGACAATTGTCGTCGACGATTCTATCTACGACGCCGCCGTCACACCAGTAATACAAACACCACCAACACCCCAAGACTGCGTCTACGTGCTCTTCACGAGCGGCACGACGGGACGACCGAAGGGCGTGGCCGTGCCGCACCTGACGTTGGCGCGGCGCGTGGCCTGGTTCCAGCGGCGCTACGGGGCGCAGCTGACCGGTCGTAGCACACCGCGGGACGGTTCATATGAAGACGCGAGCTTTCATGAGAGTAGAAGGAAGCTCGGCTGCGACCGAGGTGTGGTACTGCAAAAGACGCCCTTCGTCTTTGGCGTGAGCGAGTGGGAGCTCTTCTGGCCCCTGACCGTCGGTTCGTGCCTCGCCGTGCCTCCTCATGGCATCGAGCGCGACCCGTCAGCCTTATTGCACGCGTTACAAAACGTCACGGTGGCGTTTTTCGCGCCCTCGCAATTGGGTGCCATTCTAGAAGTCAACGAGAGCGCTTCGTTGCAGTCGTTGCGCTTGGTCGTGTGCTGTGGCGAGGCTTTACCACCCTCAGTGGTAACCCAGTGTTCGACAGAAGCGCCGCGCGCGTTATTGGCGAATGTTTATGGCCCTACGGAAGCGGACATCACGTACTGGGAGGCGCCGGCGCCGCGCGGCGTCGGCTGCGTGCCTCCTCCTATTCAACAAGTGCCCATCGGCCGCGCCGTGGACCACGTGCGCGTCGTCGTGTTGAATAGTAGTAAAGACGACGTCGCGGCGCTCGGCGTGCCCGGTGAGTTAGCATTTATTGGAGACGTCGCGTTCGGCTATTTGAATAATACTGAAGCCACAAACAAGGCCTTCAGCAAGGCCCCGCCGAAGCTAGCTCGAAACGAATCGGATCGCATGTATCGAACCGGCGACGTCGTCCGATACTGTGGTAACGAGTTGCGGTTTCTGGGGCGACAGGACCGCCAGATCAAGTTGAGAGGTTTAAGGATCGAGTTAGGCGAGATCGAAAGCAAACTTAATCAGATACAAGGTGTGAAGGAATCGGTTTGTACGACGACCGGTGAAGGCGCGGCGATGGCGCTAGTAGCCTACGCTAGAACTACTTTGGATAGCGATATTCTACGCGAGCAACTCGCTTCATCATTACCGAAGTACATGGTGCCTTCACAAATCATCTGCGTCTCCGAATTCCCGCGCACCGATAGAGGCAAACTTGACCTGAAGAAACTGCCTTCTGTAAAGCGTCATGCATCAGAGAAGCCTTCATCAGAATTGGAGGCGTCCCTCGCCACGATCTTCGCGGAGGTCCTCGGTATAGATAGTGTAGGTGTTGATGACGATTTTGAAACATTAGGAGGAAATTCGTTACTCGCGGGCCGGGCCACGAACCTGATACGGAGGCGTGTGGAGGGTGCATCATCAATACCGGGGACGACTCTCTACAAACATCCCACTGTTAAAAGCCTCGCGCGCGTCATCACTGAAGAACGGTCGCGCCACGTCCATGACGTGCCCGTGCCATTAGTCCCAGATACGACGTATCATGCTCGAGACCCGACGCGTTGCGTATCACTATTGATTCAAATTCTGGGAGTCATCACGGTCCTCGGTATGAGATACATGGACTGGCCGGCGTGGTACGTCTTGTGGTACCTGTACCTGTGGCTGCCCAAGGTTTATGTGTTCGCTTGTGTTCCGCTCTTTCTCGCATTGACGGATTTCGGGGCTTTTATCTTTGCTTGGGTGGTGCAGAGGGTCCTGCTCGGTACTACAACCAAGTATCGAGAGCAATGTAAAAAGCAAGCCCCATTGTGGTCCCTGCAGCACCTCAAGTGGTGGCTCGTCGCTCAGATCCAAAGCATCGTCACGCAGAGATTGGAGAGGGTCCTGCACGGTACAAGATTAATGAACGTCTACTATAGCGCGCTCGGCGCGTCCATAGGAAAGGACGTCGTCTTGGAAGGCAGGTTGGCGGACCCGCCCCTCGCAACGATCGGTGATCGATGTACCATAAGAGCGGGGGCCGAGATCGACGGCCACGCCATGTGCAAAGGTAGATTAGTGAGGCGTTCTACAAAAATAGGAGAAGATTCATATGTGGACCTCCACGCCTACGTCGCGCCCGGGACGAGCGTACCAGCTAATGCTGAAGTAGGCGCCCTCTCGACGACGGACAAAGTCGGCTCGAGGGTTACTACATTAAACAGACCCCGGGACCCCTTCGACGCTATGGAAAGGAAACGATTGCTAAATAGAAGGACATATCTCGGTGTGCCCATCGCCTACATGTTACAAGCCCTACCTTACATACCTTTTGTTTACTTTCTGGAGTGGTGGTTTTACTTTTTGTTACAAGAACGAAGGGGCCACCTGACGTGGCCGAAGGCGTCGTGGCTGTTCTGGTTCGCTTATCCTTGGGTCTGGCGGATCGGTTTCCACGAGTTCTACTTTTGGACTGTTGTCATTTACAAGTGGGTGTTTATTGGTAGATTTTCGGAGAAACGTGATGAGAAACCTCTGAGGCGATGGCTGCTCGAACGGTTGGTCGAAGCGGAGGCCTTCGAGCATTGTTTGAAGCCCTGGGTCTCGACCGAATTGTTGTGCTGGCGCTACCGGTTCCTTGGTTGTAAGATCGGGAGACGGGTGCACGCCGACTTCTTCCGATGTGTGGAATTTGACTTAGTAACTGTCGAGGACGACGTCGTCTTCGGAAGCCTGGTTAGATTAGCTCCTAGAGCGGACGCCCACTTGCATGGTAAAGCTGAGAGGATCGTTGTGAGGCGAGAGGCGAATGTGTTGGACCACGCGTTAGTGCTTCCTGGTTGTGTTGTGGGGGAAAGAGCAGTATTAGGAACGTTCTCGCTGGGAGCGGCGCGCCAGGTATTTCAGCCTGGAAGTGTAGCCACGGGAAATAAAAAGGGGCAGGCCGTCGTCTTGCGAAAGCGGCCCGAGCTTCCCTCGGGAACTACACCGTTAGCGCTGCTCGAAGCGGAAGCGAGAAGGCGTCATAAGAGCATAAGGTGGACTTTACTGTGGAATACGGTCAACATACTCGTAGCTGCTATTTTATATCCTTTACGGGACGTCTTCGAAGTGTGCATCATAAGCTGTGGATACATGCTCTACTTCTACCTGTCGTGGGACGGGTACTACGCTTATTTAGGCTGCTTACCTTTGTTAAGTGCGGTGACGGCGCTGTTACATTGTGTCCTCGTAGTACTACTAAAAAAGCTCATAGTGGGAAAGTTCACAAAGGGCGACCACGGCTTCTACTCGCGCTACCACTTCTGCTGGGCCTTGATGATGACGCTCTTAGCGCCCGTCTATCCGCTCATCGAGGCCATGCACGGTACTGTATTGGCGGTGTGGTTCTATCGCGCCATGGGGGCTTCAATTGGTCATAGAGCGTGCGTCCACGGGAAAGCGTTGGAGTTTGATCTGTTGCAAGTGGCCGACGGCGCGTCGATCGGACGCTTGTGTGATACGACGTGCCATACGGTGGAGAACATGGTGATCAAGCTCGCCGACGTGGCCATCGGCCGCGCCGCGGACGTCGGCGCGCGGTCGGTGGTCATGCCGGGCGCCTCATTGGGCGACGGCGCTTCCTTATTACCGCACTCGCTGGTGCTCAAGGGCGAGGCGGCGCCCCCGGGGTCGACCTACGCGGGGCTGCCCGCGGAGGCCGTCTCCCTCGACGCGGCGCCGAACGCGGACGCGGACGCGTCGGCGCCCCTGCTTGTGTGATTTTTGACATAATTACCATTACTGTATCACATCCCACGGGGCCGCGCCGCCTATCGAGAAATCGTCGTCGTCGTCGGCGAAGACTACTGGCTCGGGTTCCCTCCAGGCGTCCTCGTACACGGGTGGCGGCGGTGGCCTGGCTGGCCTGGACGGCGCCGCGGGCGCCACCCTACCGTAGTCTAGGCCGTCCTGGCCCTCGAAGCGCGCCATCATTCGCGCCAGCTCCGCGTCGCCCGAGCTGACGTCTACGACATCCTCGTCGCGCGGCGTCGCCGTACAGGCGCGCACGGTCCGCTCGCGGCCGTTACGCGTGATCTTTACTTCACAAACAGCACAGGTCCCGGCGCAACACGACCGAGGGATGTGGACGCCCGCCTCGTCAGCGATGTCCATAAGCGTGGGCCGCTTCCGGCCCATCGCTACGGCCTCGATGGGTGCGCTCACATCAATTCCGCCGCCAGTGAAGCGCACGGTCGGTTTTGTAGTGGTCGACATGGCGCTGGCTGCCGCCGCAAAAACAACGCACGCCCTCATCACGAATTGCGCAGCAGCAGTAGACCAGGCACACCTGCTAGTTCAGTCGCTCTGTTCCACCGATAGAGCGATAACACGCTCGTTTCATAGTTGCCAAATAATTAGCTAGCGTACACAGAGACACTAGAAACACTTACCCGCCCCACCGGTCGTCGCGGCGACTGTTGCTATCGTCGAACTCCGCGAAGTAGTCGTCGTAGACGCCGTCGCCGCCGCCCGTCGGCGCCCGGTCGATGATCTCGCCGCGCTGTTCCGCCTCGATGCGGCGCGGCGACTTTCGCCCCACATTGTTCAAAGCCATGCCGGCCACGAGACTTCCGATGCACCCGACGTAAGCTAGCGCCGTGGCGATCATGGGACCGCCCGTCATCCGGTAGTGCGCCGGCGGCGGCTGTGAAAATCCGAAGAGCTGGCCACCCACCTGGAACGCGCCCGAGAGGAGCACGAGATAGAATATGGGATTGGCAATGGCTCCGGAAGCCGCCAAGCCCACGCCGCCCACCAGACCGAGCGCCGGCAATGCCGGGTGCAACGCATCCGCGACGCGCCCGCCGTCCAGCCCCCCGATCGGCAACAGATTGAACAGGTTGATCATGAAGCCCCAGTCCCCGAGCGCCATCAATAGCTGCGAGCCGGTGGCGTGCCCAGCAAACGCCGTCGCGCCCGCCGCGACGCCTCCAACAACAGGCCCGGCCAGGGCGACGACGGCGCTTTGCGCAGCAGTCGCGGGAAGCTTCTGCATCTGGATCACCGCGCCCACGAAGGGGATGAAGAGCATCGGGCTGAAGGGCAGCCCGTAGTACCGCATCGCGAGGATGTGCCCGCACTCGTGGACGAAAATTAAACCGACCATGCCGCAGCCGTAGGCCGGCCCGAAGATGGCGCTGTAGGCGAGGGACGACGCCACCATCGAGAGCACTGGCGCGAGCTTCGTCAGCTTTAGAGCGACGAGCACGTACTTGAATTTTCCCAGGGCTACTGCAGCAAGCCCAAAAAGCGCCCCCACACGGCCGCCGCCGCCCTTCCGACCGCTCGATAGCTCGCGCGTTGCGTAGGCGGTTAACACGGGCCGCCCGGCGCCGATCCAGGTGACGCGCGCCTTCGCTGGCGCGCCGGCGGTCGCGCGCGCGAGGCCGGCGATGCTGCGCGTCACCGGCCGCGGCCGCGCTACTATCAGTGCATGATTTAAGGCTTTCGCGGGTCGCGCCGCGATCGATGTCGACTGCCGAGCGCCGAGCCTTGATGCAGCCTCCTTGCGTGCGGCCGCACCAGTGAAATAGGTGGACCTGGCAACACCATGCACCCGTCCAGCTTGCCTTATAGCGAGCCGTAGCATCATTTTGCACAGGCTAGTCACAAAAGCTGTGAGGGGCTTGAGATGTGAGGTAGCGTAGCGACACACTAGCATTCTTCGTTTCTGATCTTACAGCTGAGCGCGCTGTGGGCAGCCCCAGAACGCCATCGGCGGCTCAAACTACTCATATCTCACAGCTGAGCGCAGTGGTTAGCCCCAACGCCATCGACGCGGCTCCAAACTACTCTCAGATGCACCATGCTTAGAGTCCTCGTCGTCGCCGCAGTCGCGACTGCCGTAACAAAGTCCAACTGGGCGCCGGGCTACCGCACGGCCGGCAACGCCACGACCATCAACGACGGCGAGGCGGAAGAGACCTGGGCGGCCTACGACCACAATTACAAAGCACCAAATGGCTGGGAGCTCCAGCCCTTTGCTTATCAAAATCCTGACCGGTATACGGGCTGGTATGCTGATAAAAGGAGCAAGTGCAAGTGGTCCTCGCCCGTGTCGGTCTTCGCGCACACGAAGAAGTATCTGCGAAGTACTTATGGAGGTGCCTTCACGGGCAGCAAGTGGAAATCGAGGAACATGTACAACCAGTGGTCCCAGAGCTTCTTGGAGGCCACGGTGTGCACGCAGACCTGGGAACAGGATGGCCATAAGTACCAGCTCGACATTACACGCTTAGGTCCGATCACACTGAATCCCGGGAAGATCATCAATACTTTTTTCGTGCCGGCGGCGCCCCTGGACGACGACATGGCCTATCTCGTGGAGGCGGTCGACGGCTACCTCGACGACAACCTGCGACCTTTATCCTACCCGCCCGTGCACCCGCACCACTCGGCGGTTTATGTAACAGGCTTCCCAGAAAAATTAGCGTACAACAACCCGTCCTCACCGTTCTTCGGCTTCAACCCCATCGCGCGCCTGCCTCTGTCATCAATGAACGAGCAGGGCAAGAAGAGCAACGGAGACGACTGGCTCCAGACGTCGACGAACACGCCCGGTGCGCACGCGGTGTCCTCTTGCAACGCGTCGACGGCGTCGAGGTGGCTCCATTGACGCCAGCGACGCGACGCGCTCCCTCGGTCCGGCTCCACCTCGACGCCATCGTTGCGACGCGCCCTCTCAGTCCAAACGGATCGCTCCTTGACGCAGGTTTCAACAACGACTTGTACGGCTGCGATCCCCATTTAGAGGACCAGGCGACGCCCTGCTACTACGCCAAGGTACCTGATGGCTACGGCTTCCCGCGCTACAAAGGAGAGGACCACTGGGCCAACAGTGTCTTGGAGCACGTCCCGCCCGGAGGGGCAAGAAAAGTTATCTACGAGTATGGTAGAGTGCACACTTCCAATAAACAGCTGAAACCGGTGCACATTTTAGATTTCGGTGTTGGTGGGGATGGGGCTTTGTATGATACGAAGGGCGACGGTGTCGCGTGGTTCACGTATCGCATGCCGGTGTCCGGAGTGTTCACGTCGAGTTGGTTCCACACGCACCCCGTGGCGCCCTCGGACTTCTGGGTGCTGGACGTGGATGCGGAGGCAGTGTTACCTCCAGAACTAGTAAAGAGCTGCACATCTTGTTCTTCAAGAAATACAATCGGGCGACTCCATAGAAACTGGGCGTCGAACAACAGCGGCACGTGCGAGCGCGACGTGCCCCTCCCAAGCGGCATGACGCGGTCCCAATTGATGCGCCGCATGCTGGACGAACATTCAAGCCATTTACGATGCTGGTGGCGTACTCGCACCGCGTACTCTCCCTCTGCCGATAGGTTCTATGGGAGAACACCATTACGACACAAGGACTACACGGGGTGTGATGAGTGGCGGTTTGAGAAGGGCCAGGTCGTGTCGCTGATTGCGTTCAATGGCCCGGTACCGCCGCAAGTCCTCGCCGCGGTGCCGCCCTCGGTCCGGAAGCGGGGCGCCTTTCCCCAGCACCACCGCTGGTGGCCCGCGGCCGTGCTGGATTTTCCGTTTGAGGAGTATTATGGGGCGTAAGTTTTGTTGTTCTACTTCTTTTTGGACGGGAGGCAGGCTAGAGGGGCTAGGGTAAGAGCTTGGGGAGCTTGGAGGGGGTGCAGCTTAGCTTTGCTTTGCGAGCCCGGCGCGGGGATCGACGCGACGTTCTGATCATATTCCTAGGCTCCATTGCTGTCCCATAACCGCCGCAACCGCTCGTATCGGTGAAACATCTCATAAAAAAAGTGCTCTCTCTTCACTTGAGAGCAACTGGACAGTGAGACTTGAGAGTACAAGGCCAAGTACACTCACTGCAAGTAGACGAGTATCGACCGCCGCGCGCGACTCAGGGCATGGCGGGCGAGCAATGCAGCATATGCCTCGAAGCCCTCGACGGCGGCGTAACGGCGCTCGCGTGCGGCCACCGCTTCCACGCCGCGTGCCTGGCCCGGCTGGCGAGCGCGGCCGGCACGACGGCGACGAGGCGCGGCGCGCTCACGGCGTGCCCGAACTGTCGTACGGTGTCTCGAGTGGCGCTGACGCCCGTCGCGACGTTTAGCGTCGGCGACCGGGTGGAGGCGTTGTGGGGACAGAAGTGGTATCCGGGCGAAGTGGACGCGGTCGTGGACGGCGGCCGCGCCTACGAGATTATTTGGGACGACGGCGACGACGGCGAAGTGCGCGCGGCGCACGTGCGCGCGGCGCCGGCGCCGGCTCGGACGGCGCTGCCGCCGGTGATGGCCCCACCCGCCCCGCCGCCGGTGCCCCCGCCACTGGCTCCGCGCGACATTGTCCCTGCGGCCGTTGCGGACGGAGACGGCGGCGCGCGGGGAGCGCGGACGGCGTCGTCGCGGTTCTGGGGCGTGACTTGGTATCGGAGAGACAAGATCTGGAAGGCGTTTTATAGAGACGCGGACGGCAAGTGCCGCTTGGTCGGCGTCTTCGACGACGAGGAGGAGGCCGCACGCGCCCGCGACCAAGCCATTCGCGACGCTGGCCTGGAAGGCAAGCGCCGCATAAACGCTGTCGATGCGACGGGCGCGCTGGTGCCGCGCGGGTGGGGCGACCGCTCCGCCGTCGTCGCGCCGGACCCGGCACTCGCGCTGACGGAGACGACGTCCAAGTTCTGGGGCGTGAGTTGGGACAAGACCAGGCGACGGTGGCAGGCGCACTACACCGACGCGAACGGCAAGCTGCGCACGGTCGGCCTCTTCGACACCCAGGAGCAGGCTGCGCACGCCGTCAACGCGGCGATCCGGGCTCTTCCTCAACACGTCCAACGTCGGAGGAACATCAACCCGGTCGTCGACGGGCAACTCGTGCCCAAAAAGCGCAAGGCGAAGGGTCACGCGCCGGACTACGCCACAAGGAAGCGCCGCCGCGACGAGCGCGCCGCCGCCGCGCCGTCGACGCGCACGCGCCGGCCGCGCCGAGCGGTTAGCTACGAGGAAGACCCCGACTTCGAGCTGTGAGGTCGCCGTCGGACGCGGACGGCTCGAACTAGACGTCGCGTAATTTCTCTCCACTCAAGGCTGTCCATGATCCTTCCACAGCAGCTTGCTAGTGTCTTACCGGCCGCTAGCCCACGCGAGGTTCAGCTCCCCGATAAAAAATCGGTGCGCAGTGATGGAATTTTGACTTGATAGTGTGTGAGCGATCGCATGACTGCTCAGCACGCTGCTGCCGGACAGCTGCAGCTCAACTACTGGGCCGAAGCTAGACTGCAGCGCTGGGGCCACATTGCTGTGCCACTGAGCAGCACTCGCGTAGCTATTCATGGCGGCTACGGCAGGGATGGCAAGAAGCTGCGCCGCCTCGACGACGTGGTCATCGTGAGCAGCGATGGCACCGTCGCGCCCACCGTATCGTCGACGCCGCGACCGAAGGCGCGCGAGCGCCACGGCGCCGCAGCCGTCGAGGGCGGCTTCGTCATCCACGGCGGCCGCGCCGGCGGCGCGTTCGGCGACGCCTGGCGCTGGCACGACGACGTCTGGAGGGAGCTGCGCTGCGAGGGGTCGCCGCCGGCGCCGCGGTGGTCGCACGCGTTCGTCGCGCTCCCAGGCGATGCATGCCTCGTGTGCGGCGGCCGGGGCGACGCGGGCGACCTCGATGATGACGCCTACGTGCTCGACCCGGCCACGCAAACGTGGAGCCGCGTCGCGGCGCCCGCGTTTCCCGTGGCGTTCGCGTGCTCGACGTCCGATGGGCAGACAATCGCTTTCGGCGGCGGCCGCGCGGCGCGCTTCGCCGACGCGGCGTGGAGCGAGCTCGCGCTCGACGACGCGACCGCGGCGGCGTCGCGGCGCCTCGCGGCCTGCGTGTGCGCGACGGCGCGGCCGGGCGAGCTGGTCGTCGCGGGCGGCGTCCCGGCGGACGAGGGCGAGGTCGGCGGCGTCGCGGTGCTCCGCATCGGAGAGGACGTAAAGTGCGTCGCCGAGGCGCCGCTCGACGTGATGCGGGCCTACCCCGTCCACGCGGCCGCGGCGTTTTCCGGCGACGGCGTCGTGGTTTTCGGCGGCGGCGTGCCGTGCCTGTCGTTCGCGCCCGTATTTGGAGATAGCGTGCGAGTTGTGATGACCTAATGTGCTCGTTTTTGTGTTTCCTTGAAGCGTCGCGGAGGCTTTTGAGGCTGAGGCTAGTTACGTCGCACTTTGCGCTAGTGTCTTACAGACGCTAGCAAGCTCACAGCGGCGGCGGCTTACTCGAGCTGCGGCTGTAATACTGGGCTATCCCCAGAGCCGACAGACCGACGACAGCGGTCTAACACTGTACGACAGCGCTGCGACGAGGCGCGCCGGACGCTCCGGCCTCCACGAGCCGAACACAGCGCAGCACGCCGAGGGGAAAAAGCGCACGCCGCCGCGACACGCGGCCAGCCGAGAATCGCACAAAGCCATGGCCCTCGAGTTAGATGGAGAGGAGGCCACGACGCCGCCGCGGCCGCCCCCGCCACCCTCTGTAAGACCGCCGCCGCCCCCGTCGAATGAGCAGGACGCGATGCGCGCTTGGCTTAGAGTCCAGACCGACGCGAACGCTCCGGATGGGGCCGGCCCGTGCCAGCGGTCGTTGCACGTCGCCGCGGTCTGGCGCGACCGCATGCTCTGCTTCGGGGGATACGATGGCTCGCACCGAGTCAACGACTGCTGGGAATTTGATTTTGGTAAACGGGCCTGGTCGACGGTGCGGCCGTCGTCGGGCACGCCGCCGTCGCCGCGGGATCGCCACGTGGCAGTTGTCTGGGGCGGGTCGTTTTATGTGTTTGCCGGGTTTGACGGTACCTCTCGCGTCAACGACTTCCACGAGTTCGCCGTCGCGGAGCGAGCTTGGAGTCCCGTTAGAGCGTTGTCAGGACTGCCCCCATCCCCGAGACACTCGCACGCGGCGGTCGTGCACCGAGATTCGTTCTACGTGTTTGGAGGGTATGATGGGAGTTATAGATGCGACTTCCACGAGTTCAATTTCGTGACGCGGGCCTGGGCGCCCATTACTGGTGAGGGTCGAGTACCGAGAGCGCGTTATAGAGCCACATGCGTCGTCCACGACCAGGCCATGTACTTGTTTGGCGGCCACGATGGGACAAGGCACTTAAATGATGTGCACGTCTTCGACTTTTCAGCTAGAGCTTGGTCTGCCATGCAAGCGGATGGCCCTGCACCTATTCCGAGAGATTCGCACGTCGCGGTCGCGCACGGCGGGAGCATGTTCGTTTTTGGCGGGTCTACCGGTAGCGCGATGAACGACTTCCACGAATTGAGACTCGAGGCGAAGTGCTGGGCGCCCGTGCAGGCTTCTGGGTACGCGCCGGGGCATCGGTTCTGCCATGTTGCTGTGACACACAAGGACTCGTTGTATGTCTTCGGTGGGTATGATGGTTCCAATAGACTGAACGACTTCCTGGAGTTTCGGTTTGGTTTCGGTGGCGCGGACATTCCGGCTTCGTCGCTCGTGACTGACCTCAAACAACTGGTCAATTCCGAGTTGTTGTCAGATGTCACCTTCGTCGTCGAGGGCCAGGAGGTCCCGGCCCACAAGGTTCTGTGTTTGCGGTGCCCCTACTTCCGGGCTTTGCTCACTGGAGACATGCGAGAGTCGCTGATGGATAGGATCGCGATAAATGACGTGCGCAAGGACATCTTCCTGCGGCTGCTCGAGTACCTGTACACGGATGATGTCGAGGTGGACTTAGATATGGCCATGGAGCTTTTCCAGGCCGCAGACCAATTTGGGGTGGAACGGCTCAAAAGAATGTGCGAATCCAGAATGTTGGGAAGCATCCACGTCGAGAACGCGGCCACCATCTTCCACGCGGCGGACCAGCACGCGGCGGCTTCCTTGCGGGAGAAGTGTCTGGCCTTCGTGCTCGCGAACTTCGACGCGGTCACTAGGACTTCGGCCTTCGAGGAGATGGGGCGGGTGAACGTGGACCTGGTCTTCGAGATCCTCAAGGCGCGGAACGGCTAGGCCGCACTAGCTAGTATACAAGACATAGTTACTCACTGACAGTGACAACATCGTCCTCGTCGGACGACTCGGACTCGTCGCTCGAGAAACCGCCCGGGGTAGGCGGTGCGGGCGCGGGCGCCGGCTGAAAGACGTTGCTGGCATATCTCGCGCAACGCCATTCGTTCTCATCGCGGTTAAGTTCCCACTCGCCCACAAATATCGTGACATTTCTGTGGCAGAGCTGGTGAAACGCGAATAGACGTTCCCTCGACGGGCCGTTATGAATAGAAATCCGCGAATATTCTCTTGCTACCATGCGCCGCGGGGGCTGGCGAATAAGCTGTTCCACGAAGGCGTCGGTCAGTTCAGGACCCCGCAAATCCAAGAACTTCAGTTCTGGACAGCTCTGCAGCATAGGAATGATGGACCGATCGGAAACGCGTCGCGAGGTCAAAAACAGGTTCTCAAGGCGGGGGCACCCCGAAGCCAGCAGGATGACGGACGCGTCCGTGACCGCATCGCAGCCGAACAGGCCGAGGTACTCCAAGGCGGGGCAGTTGCGGGCGATGGCCTCGACCGTCGCGTCGCCGACTGCAGAACGAAACAAATGGACAGTGTGCAGAAGACCCGACGTTCCTTGAATTATAGGCACGACGGACACGTCAGAAATGCGATTAGCATAAGACCCTAGATTGTTCAAACCGAGACTCTCGAGATCAGTCATGCGCTTACCTTTGAACGCCCGGAGGCCGTCGTCCGTTACCGCGCATGATTCCAGTTCCAGCTCCCGCAGCTTAGAGCAGCGGCGCGCGAGGGCATGGGCGGCAGGGTCGCCGATTAATTTACACTCGCAGAACGCCACCTGCTCCATCCGCGGCAGGTAGCGGGCGATGGCCTTCGCGACCGCGTCCGTCACGTAGTCGCAGCCCCAGAACTCCACGACGCGCAGCGTTCGGCATTTCCGGAGCAAGTAGACCGCGAGGTCGTCGGTGACCAAGTGGCTGCTTAGGTTTCCGAACGAAGCCGACCGGAGGGCCGTCCACGACCGAGCCAGCGCCTTGACGATTGGCTTCGGGTCGCGCTGCACCGGCCAGCCGAAATCCACGCGGCTCAGGGTCGACAGCGTCTCGCGCCGGCAGCGCGTGCTCGCGAGCGCAAGGCGCGCCATGTCGCCGAGCTCGAGGTGCGCGGCGACCGCCTCGACGAGATGCGTCTCCAATACCGCAGCCGAGGGCGTGGCTGGTTCGTGCTCATATCGAGTGCTGCCAGGCAATAGCCGCCGGAGCTTGCCCAGCGATGCGCGTAGGCTGCGGTAGACTCTGCTTAGCATCATATGAGTTTGCCACAGCTATTTATTGTTTGAGCTTCTGCAGCGCAGCAGCACAGCTGCGCGAGCTCACGCGCGCCGTCGGGTGTATAATGTGCAATGAATGCTGGTGCTTGGCGCCTTTTTGTCCCCAAGGGAACGCGCTAGCGTGCTAAGACACTAGTGGCATACGGAGACACATAAGTCTAATCATTTGTCCCCGCCCAGCGGTACCTTCCAAAACGCCCCCCCCCACGTCCCGATTTTTTGGCCAGACTTGGCATCAAACTCCGCACACCATCCGCACACTTTCAAACTCAAAGTGTCCGCGGTGCGCCTCGCATCGCGCAAATGTATGCGGTCGCATTGATTTGAAGAGACGACCTCCGACGCGAGACGATGAGAGGGCCAATAATCGAAAAAGCACTGCTATGGTTACTCGCTGTGAGCGGCGCCCAGGCGCGCAACGCGACGAACGCCTCAGAGACATGCGACATCATCGTCCGCATCGGCTACCCCGAGGGCCTCGCGCCCTACGCCGTCGCGGCGCCGACGCGGTGGCTCGACGGCGAGGGCGCCTGCTTCGCGTTCTATCGGCACCAAACGGGCCAGCGCGCTCTTGAGAAATTGGAGGGCGGCGACCTCGACATGGCCATCTTCGGCTCTTCTGTCTTCGGCCTGGCCGTCGAGCGCGGCGCGTCGATCACCGCCTCGCGCGGACGGCGACGCAGCGGCACTCGCCGCCGTCGTCGGGCGCGCGGTCGCGGTCGCGCCTGGACCTCTTCCGGTCGCCGTCCGCGGTCCTGCGGGGCCTGTCGACTCGCACCACGGTGAGCGACTCGACGGGCGGTGGGACGGCGGAGTCCATCAGCCTGGCGCCCGCGCCCGCCGACGACCTCTGGGCCAATTCCCCGCCCGGCTCGCGGACGAACGCGTCGACACCGCGGGAGGTCTCCTGGACCGACCCCGAGGCCGTCGAGCGACGCCACATCACGCTCCAGCCTACCCTCCCGAAGACGCCGTCGCAGGAACAACGGGGGCATGTGCACGTATAAATGCCATTATCACTATGAATACTTCACTCTGCCTAACCTAGCCTAGCCTTTCTTAACCAACCAGAACGGGTTTTGCGGACCCCTGCCCGCCCCAGGGGACTCGTCGCGGAGATCGCGTGATTACTAGTGTCTTATAGGCCGCTAGCTATTAGTTTTTGCGCTTGCCCAACCTCGCACGGCCGCGCGCCGCCCCTACCGGGCTGATCACAGCGCGCTTGTCTCCAGAGGACTGCCACAGCGCAGCCAGGCCGCCGCTGGTCCCCCCGACGCGCCGCCGCCGGTTGTTGTTGCCCACCCTCACGCAAGCCGCCGCGCCGCTGCCGCGCCGAGCAACCATGCCCCCCGTCCAAGCGCCCGGCGGGAACTTCATTACACACTTCATCGCGAGCTGGATGGAGAACAACGACGCGACGGAGAAGCGCATGATCGACCACACGCTGCGGCTCCACGCGGGCTGCCTCCGCATGCGCCAGTCCTGGACCGAGGCGCAGCACACGCCGGCGGGCTGGAAGCCGCAGCGCAAGGAGGCGCAACCCTACTTCCTCGCGCTCACGTCGCACTCGCAGGCCGTCCAGAAGACGAACTCGTTGGATAGTTTGATCGCCTTCCACGAGGGGCAGGCGCCCGACGCTAAGTAGCTTTGTGTATTTCTCCCCTCGACGCCGTCGACGCGCCCCCTCTCGACGCCGTCGACGCATCCCCTCTCGACTCAGACTCGAGACGTCGTCACGGTCTAGGTTGCCATTAACCGGTTAATAACCGGTAATTTACCCATTATTACTCCTCGGAGGGGATCTGGGGTAAATAACCCGCTCAATTACCCGACGGGTTTTCGACTAAACCCCGTTTTGTGAGATTAGCGAAGTCCCCTCCCGGACGAGCGGATGGGCGCAAGCAGCCCGTTGAGCTTTTGTATACGTACAGGTGCGCCAAGGCAAGTACCAAGTCATGTGGCCCGGCGCGGCCGCCCAGGCCCGCGCCAGTGGCCCGTGAGGCCCCCTCCCCTACCCCTCTATAAGATCCTGAGGTAAATAACCCGTACTAACCGGTAATTACCCGGGTAATTACCCCCGGGCGGCGCCTGGGGTAAATAACCCCTCAGGTAAATGGCAACCTAGGTCACGGTCGACGCGAGAATTAACGAGACCAACTTAGACAAGGATGCACGCGCCGCCCGCGGCCTTGATCTTCTTCTCCGCCACCGCGGTAAATAATTTGGCCTTCACGACCATCGGTTTCGCGACGAGGCCCTTGCCGCCGACCTTGAAGAAGCCGTGCTGCGTCACGTCGACGACCGGCGCCTGGCCGGCGGGCGCGACCGTGCCCTCGGGCAGCGTGCTCCAGAGCATCTCGACGTTGATCATGGGGCAGTGGTAGCGCGCCTTCGTCCGGTGGAACTGGCGCATGCCGACCTTACCGAAATAACCCGGGTGGAACTGATCAAACAACGTTCGCATGTGGTGCTGGCCGCCGGCGTTGCCGCGGCCGCCGGGGTGCTTGCGGTGCTTGCCGATGCGGCCGTGGCCCGCGGACACGGAGCCGCGCTTCTTGCGGTTCTTGCTTAACCGAGTGAGCGGCTGCGTTGGGGGAGGCGGGGTTAGTTACGCGCGCGCTCTCTCTCTGGGGGTGTGCGCGCCGCGCGGCCGAGCGTCGGTGTTTGCGGCTCGCGTTCGGAGTCGTCTCGGCGGGCGCGGTGTGTATTTGGGAGCCGTCCCGCGTCCAGCGCTCGCTCCGCTGCTTCCCGCGGCGGCTGGCGTCGGCGGCGACGGCCTGCTAGGCAGGCGCGCGCGGCGCTCGAGCGCTCGGCAGGGCTTTGCAGTAGCAGGGCTGGCTCTCGCGTTTTTGGCGGCCGCGAGCACGAAATCGCTGAGCGAGAGCCACCACCCATCTATGAATGTGCTTCCTTTCGTCTGCGGACGCCGATTCATGCCATGGTTGCGTCTGTACAGCTCCTGTCTATGCGCTCGCGCTCGGCGACAATAGTTTGGGTGCTAGGAGCTGGACCCGTCTCAGACGCCGTTCCGCTAAGCTGGACAGCTAGACGCACCGCTCTGCAGACCGCAAACGGAAGTTGGCGATTCGAGCTAGCGTCTGTAAAGACACTAGAAACAAGCGGCGTCTCCATCGCGGCCGCCTAATTGCGCCAAAGGAACACTAGTTACTCCGAACGAACTGTCCGGAAGCCGTCTCAGAGGTGGAACGAAACGGCGCGGTACGCAGCTCGATCACTGGCGCAGCAGCGTCGCCCCCAGCCCTGCCTCTCCAGCCGGCTGATATAACAGGCGCCGCGGCCCGCCGCCCGCGCGACGCACCGCTCCGAGAGCTGTGCTACACGGTCAGCGACGCGCACCACACGAGCGCCCACGCGCTCCTCCCAAAAGCAGCCGCGCAGACGCAATAACATCACAGCGCTCCCCACGAGAAGAGAAGACAAAGGTAAGCCAAGATGGTCTTCACGGGCCGCACGCACGCCATTAAAAGGGTCCAGTTCGGGATCCTGGGGCCCGATGAGATCCGGAACATGTCCGTGACCCAAAAAACGAACGCGCGCGAACGCGCCGTCGACGCGGGAATTTCAAAGTATGAGACGTACTTGGACGGCAAGGGCGTTTACGGCGGCGTGAATGATCCTAGAATGGGGTCGCTAGATGACAAGGAGGACCCCGGGCACTTCGGCCATATAGAATTAGCGAGGCCGTGCTACCACCTCGGTTACCTGAAAGAGACCTTGATGGTCCTGCGGTGCGTCTGTTTTCATTGTTCTAGACTGATGGCCGATCCCAGCGATTATCGAGTCCAGGCGGCGCAGAAGTTGAAATCTCAGCGAAGGTTAGAAGCTATGCACGCGCTGTGTCGGACGCAGAAGCGCTGCGAGTTCGCGACGAAGGAGGAGTTGGACGCCGCTATCTTAGAAGGCGGCGACCCGGAGCAGGCGTCCTACGGCTGCGGCGCGTTGCAGCCCCAGTTCCGGAAAAGGAACGCGCAGAGCATCGAGGTCGAGTTTTCAGCTGATGATGAGCACGTGCCCGGTTTGTGGCGGCGTCCTGGTTGTGACCTTCCGGTGGACGGCGTCGCGTCCCTCGCGCGAGCGCCACGCGTCGCGACGCCATCGTCGCGTCGACGGCTTCTCGTGGTGGACGCCATCGGCGCGGCGCCGCCTGCGCGTCGATGGCGTCGAGCGCTGGAGCCGCACAGAGACGCCGCCGGCGCGCCGTGCGTCGAGAGCACGCGTCGACAGCGCGTCGCTGGCGTCGCGAGAGGGAACCGCCGTCGACGCGAGACGCTCACCCTCGAAACAACGCAGGCTCCGGCGACCGCAAGCAGATCCTGAGCGCGCACAAGGCGCACGAGGTGCTGCGGAACGTGTCCGACCGCGACGCGAGACTGCTAGGCCTGGACCCGCGACACGCGCGGCCCGAGTGGCTCCTACTCACGGTATTACCGGTGCCGCCGCCCCACGTCCGTCCCAGTGTACAACTCGGCGACTCGAACCAGCGGTCCGAAGACGACCTGACGCACCAGCTCGTGAACATCGTGAAAGCCAATAGAACTTTGGAGCAATTGTGTCGCGCGGGCGAGGCGCCCCACATCGTGTCCCAGTTCGAGGAATTGCTCCAGTACAAGGTCAACGCGTTGTTCGACAACGAGGCCAACGCTAAAGATGGAGTGCAAGAAAAGCAGCGCGGCGGGAAACCGTTGAAGACTATTAGACAACGGCTCAAAGGTAAAGAAGGTCGTATAAGAGGTAATTTGATGGGGAAGCGCGTCGACTTCTCGGCGAGAACCGTGATCACGGCCGATCCGAACCTAAGTGTGGACCAGGTCGGCGTTCCTCGGTCCATAGCGAAGACCTTAACGGTGCCTGAAAGAGTAGCGCCGTACAACGTCCACGAACTCTCAGCTCTCGTAAGAAATGGCCCGGAGGTCTGGCCGGGGGCGCGCTACGTCGTCCACGCCGACGGGCGACGCGTAGACCTCCGCTTCGTGAAGCATTTGAATGATCTGGCGTTACACACGGGGTTCGTCGTCGAAAGGCATCTGCGCGACGACGACCTCATCGTGTTCAACCGCCAGCCGTCGCTCCACAAGATGTCGATCATGGCGCACCGCGTCAAGGTGCTGGACCACTCGACGTTCCGACTGAACCTCTCCGTCACGTCGCCGTACAACGCCGACTTCGACGGCGACGAGATGAACTTGTGCGTAGCGGCGTCTGTTGTACTTTTCATGCGTCGCGGCGACGGCGTAGGGGCGCCACGAGACTCCGACGCCGCGGGCACGCCATCGCCGTGGACGCCATCGACCCTTTGTTTCCAACACAGGCACGTCCCGCAGTCGGTCGCCGCGAAAGCGGAACTCGAGCAGATCATGATGGTGCCGAGGAATATCGTGTCGCCCCAATCCAATAAACCGGTCATGGGCATCGTGCAAGATTCGCTACTAGCCTCTGCGAGAATGACGTCCCGAGACACGTTCATCGAACAGGATTTACTCTTCAATTTACTGATGTGGGTCGGCGACGACTGGGACGGCGTGATCCCGCCGCCGGCCATCCTCAAACCGAAGCCGTTGTGGACCGGGAAACAGGTCTTTTCCCTCATCATACCCAAACTAAACTTCAAGGGCAAGGGCAACCGGTTCCCGAAGAAGGGCGCCGACACGCTGAACTGGTCCGACGGGACCGTACTCATTCATCAGGGCAAGCTGCTGACGGGCGTCATGGACAAGAAGATCCTTGGGACAAGTGGTGGAAGTTTGATTCATGTGACCTGGTTGGAAAAAGGTTCGGAAGCGACCATGTACTTGATTAATCGCGTGCAGACATTAACGAACAATTGGTTGGTGACGGTATCATTCAGTATCGGCATTGGGGATGCGGTCGCGGACCAGTCGACGATGCGAAATATTGAGTCGATCATTGATGAGGCCAAGGACAAGGTCAAACAACTGGTACAACGAGGGCAGAGAGGAGAACTCGAGTGCCAGCCCGGGCGGACGATGATCGAGTCCTTTGAAGCGATGGTGAACCGCGTGCTGAACGCGGCGCGGACGTCTGCGGGTTTATCTGTCCAGGATAGTATCAGTGAGGCAAATAACGTGAAATCCATGGCCATGGCCGGGTCCAAAGGTAACGACATCAACATCAGTCAGATTATTGCGTGTGTGGGCCAACAGAACGTCGAGGGTAAGAGAATACCCTACGGCTTCCGGAGAAGGACCCTACCTCATTTCGCGAAAGATGATCTGGGGCCCGAATCGAGAGGGTTTGTGGAGAACTCGTATCTGAGAGGTCTCAGCCCGCAGGAGTTCTTCTTCCATGCCATGGGCGGTCGGGAGGGTCTCATCGATACGGCCTGTAAAACGGCCCAGACCGGTTACTTACAACGTAGATTGGTCAAGTCCATGGAGTCGACAGCTGTCCAGTACGATGGCACGGTCCGAACGAACCAAGGCCACGTCGTGCAGTTTCTGTACGGCGAGGACGGCGGCGACGGCGCCTGGGTCGAGAAGCAAAAGTTTCCCTCTCTTTTGTTGGGGGATGATCAACTGAGAAAGGCCTACTCCATCAACCTTGCGGAGGGGAGAGACAAGCAGGGTCCCGTGACGCAAGGCGTTCCTCTAGATGTGGACGTTGCGGCCGCTTGCCGGGCCGATCCGGACCTCGAGACGTTGCTCGAGGCGGAGTTAGACAGGTTGAAGGGCGATCGCGATGCGTTGCGGGCGATCTTCGCTTGCCGCGAGCCGGACCGCGACGCGGATCCTTTTGCGCAGCTACCTGTGAACTTGGAACGGTTAGTGTGGGCAGCCCAAAAGCAGTTCGAGTGCGGCGAGCGGTTGGATACGGCCGTCCTAGATCCTCGCGTGGTTCTAGAGGGCGTCACGCGCTTGTGTGTCCGCATCAGGACTTGCCGACGGGACGTCGGCGAATCGAATGAGCAATCGCCCGAAGCTACCGCAGCGGCGGCCGCCGAGGCCGACGACGCTACTCAATTATTTGTGATTCTAGTTAGGTCCACGCTGGCGGCTCGGAAGGTGGTGTTCGAGCACCGGCTGAACCGGGCGGCCTTCGACTGGTGCTGTTTGCGGCGTCCTTTGCTTTTTACTTCTTTGCGGCGTCGTGTCGGCTCGATGGCGTCATATGATCACGCGGCCGCCGCGCCGTCGACGCGATGTTGTCCCTGTGAGCCCGGCCTTGGCGCGTCCCGAGCGCGGCGCCGCGGCGCGCCTGGCCTCCGGCCGTCGCCTCCGCACGAGGGACGATTCTACACACACATCGCCGGCCCGTACCTCCGCCGGGACCTGTGTGCCTGGGCCGGGCCTTGCCTAGCGCAGGGCCGAGCCTACGGCCGAGCCAATGGCCGAGCCCACAGCGAAGCCCGCGGCCCGGCCTAGACTCCACAATACGCCATCGACGCGACAACCGCCGACCCGTTGTCAACGCAGGTTGGTGGGAGAGGTCGAGGCGCGCTTCGTCCAGGCGCGCGCGCACGCCGGCGAGATGTGCGGCGTGCTCGCGGCCCAGTCCATGGGCGAGCCCGCCACGCAGATGACGCTCAACACCTTCCACTTTGCCGGAGTGAGTGCGAAGAACGTCACGCTCGGTGTGCCTCGACTCAATGAGATCCTCAACGTCGCGAAAACGGTCCGAACTCCATCGCTCACAATTTATCTCGCGGACCACTGCAAGGAGGACGAGGCGAAGGCGCGAGGCGTCCAGGCCAAACTCGAACATACGACGCTCGGCGACGTGACCGTGAAGACGCAGATCGTGTACGACCCCGACGCTACTGACTCTGTGGTATCTGAGGACCGCGAGTTCGTGCAAGCCTACTGCGAGGTGCCCGACGAAGATTTTGATGCGAAGGCTATGTCTCCTTGGGTGCTGCGGTTTGTGTTGAATCGGGAAGTGGTCGCTGACAAAAAACTGAGGATGGCTGATGTCGCCGCTACGGTGGCCGACGAATATGGGGCGGACTTGCACTGTATTTACGCTGATGATAACGCCGACCAATTGGTACTGAGAGTTCGTATACGTACTGGTGGAGATCAGCCGCAGGACGAGGACGACGACGATGAGTGGCAACTGCTCAGAAGGGTCGAGCAGTCGATGTTGGCTGATTTGAGACTAAGAGGCATCCCGAGAGTGACGAAGGTCTACATCAAAAAACAAAAAACAAATATCTGGGCGTCCACGGGCGCGCTGGGCAACGGGGAAGAATGGGTGCTGGAGACGGACGGCACGAACCTAGCTACGGTCCTAGCGGATCCCGACGTCGACTGTACGAGAACGGTCTCGAACGACATCGTGGAGATTTGTAGCGTGCGTCTTGCGGCGTCCCATGTCGTTTCTTCTGCTTCGCCCTGCGGCTGTCGAGCCCGCGGCCGCGCTTACTGCGGAGCCCACGGCCGAGCCGCCGGGCCAGCCCACGGCCGCGCCGACGGCTGGGCCTACGGCAGAGCCCGCGGCCGCGCCCACGCCGCCGACGCGACCTACACCCGGTACGCCGTCGACGCGGCGCCCCTGGATGCGAGAGCGCCTCGAGCTACCGTCGCGAACGATCTTTCAACACAGGTCATGGGCATCGAGGGCACGCGGCAGGCCCTGCTGCAGATGTTAAGGGAGGTCATTTCGTTCGACGGCGCCTACGTGAACTATCGGCATTTGGCGGTGCTCTGTGATACGATGTGCTTTCGAGGTAGCTTGATGGCCATTTCAAGGCACGGCATCAACCGGGGCGACTCGGGGCCGCTCCTGTCGGCTTCCTTCGAGGAGACCGTCGAGGTCTTGTTCAAAAGCGCGATCTTCGCGAGAAAAGACGACGTCGACGGCGTCACGCCGAATATCATGCTCGGGCAGCTCGCACATGTGGGCACTGGTGTTTCTGACTTATTGCTGGATTCCGCGCAATTGGAACACGCCGTGGAATTGGAAGCCCCGGACCAGCAGCAGAACGCTTCCCTGAGGGAGTGGGGCGACGCGTCGCCCGACGCGGTGCCTGGCCAGGCGCCGGCGATGACGCCCTACGCGTCGTCTCCGGCCGGCTTGTACGGGGCGTCTCCCGCGCGCGGCGGCGCGACGCCGGGCTGGGGCGACGCGGCGTTTTCTCCTACTGTTGGTGGAATTTCTTCCGTCTTGTCGCCGGTGCACGGCGCGTCGCCCATCTACGGGGCGTCGCCGGCGTATGGCGGCGTGGCGTCGCCGGTGTACGGCGGGGGGGTTGCGAGTCCGGCCTATTCGTGCGTTCCGGCGTCCGCGATTCTCGTCACGTTTATCGTTCGTACGTGCTGACTGTCATGCGAGCCGCGGGTCGGGTCCCTCACCGTTCGTATCCCTCGCAGGCCTACATCACCCGCTTACAGTGCCGTCCGGGCGTCTGGAATCAACCAACAACCTCGGGCCGATTCCCTGATTGTTCGTATCCCTCGCAGGTCCTACAAGCCCCGCGTACTCGTGGCGTCACGGCGTCCGGACGGAGCCTGGTTGCTTTGCTGACCGTTCCTTTTCCACCCAGGCCTACATCGCCGGCGTACTCGTGCGTCCCGGCGTCCGGACTCGCGATTCTCATCACGTTTATCGTTCGTTCGTGCTGACCGTTTCTTTTCTACGTAGGCCTACGTCACCCGCGTACAGTGCCGCACTGGCGTCTGGAATCAACCAATATCCTCGGGCCGATTCCCTGATTGTTCGGTTTCCGCGCAGGTCCTACGAGTCCCGCGTACTCGTGCGTCGCGGCGTCCTAACTCAATCAAGCGCCTCGAATCGGGTCCCTCACCGTTTTTTTTCTACGCAGGCCTACGTCACCGGCGTACTCGTGCGTCCCGGCGTCCGGACTCGCGATTCTCATCACGTTTATCGTTCGTTCGTGCTGACCGTTTCTTTTCTACGTAGGCCTACGTCACCCGCGTACAGTGCCGCACTGGCGTCTGGAATCAACCAATATCCTCGGGCCGATTCCCTGATTGTTCGGTTTCCGCGCAGGTCCTACGAGTCCCGCGTACTCGTGCGTCGCGGCGTCCTAACTCAATCAAGCGCCTCGGGTCCTCAATCGAGCGCCTCGGGTCGGGTCGCTAACCTTTCGTTCTCTCCGCAGGCCTACATCACCGGCCTACTCGTGCGCCGCGGCGTCGTGAATCAACCAAGAGCCTCGGATCGGGTCCCTGACTGTTCGTTCTCCACGCAGGCCTACGAGTCCCGCCTACAGTCCATCGAGTCCCGCAGTGCGTTTCCAGCGCCCTACACAGCACTTCGACTTCGTTGTGAGACTTAGCACTTCGTTCGAGCCCGAAAAGGGACGTTACGCCTCTTTATCGGTTCCACAGCTCACCCATCTTGTTTCTACACAGTACTCTCCGACGCACGTGTTTCGGTGTCTTATAATGAATCCAGACGACCTACGAAGTGGCCTGAGGAACCAGTGGCCGAGGCGATGGCCGAGGCGGCGGCCGCGGCCATTGCGCCAAGGCCACTGCTGATCGTCGGAACCGCCTCTAGCGGTCCTCGGAGCCGACCTCGGATCCGACGACCGAGGCCCGCCGTGTTTTGCGCCAGGACGACCTACGACAATGCTTTGCCGCGCGATCACCGTTTCGTTGCCACACAGGAGCCCGGCCTACAGCCCTTCTTCGCCTGCGGCGTGTGGCAGCGTCGCTACATGGCTTTCCTTCGCCGATCGTTTGCCGATCGCTTCGCGACAGTACGCTCGGCGCTACGAGTTGTTGTTCGGGAGACGTCTCGCGCGCGGCGCTCCGAAACCTAACCCTGCGCCCCCCTACGCAGTACTCACCTACGAGCTTCGACGGCGCCGGGCAAGCGTCATCCTCGCCGAGCAGCTTCGGGGCGGACTCGACGCCCTCCACGGGAGCGTATTCCCCCGGCCAGGCCGCGTACGAGCCGTCCGCTCCTCCGCCCGACGAGAAGGAGCCGAAGAAGGAGAGCTGAACCTCACCTCCCACACCCATAGTAGGTTGGCGCCTAACACCTAGTTACACGAGGCCATGAGTCCCGCCGGGCCACCGCGTTGGTCAATGGTCACGGCGCGCGGCGGACGTGATGAGGAGAGACAGAGTCGTCTTCGCTGCCGTCGAAGAACCTGATGTGGTACATGCCGTGGCCCGGCGTGATACTCTAGGAGCGAAGCCATACTCAAGGACAAGCCTTAGGAGGGGGGGGACTGACGCGGCCGCGACCATCGCCGAGCGCGGCCGCGACGCGCGTGCATATCCGTTTAATCGTGGTACGCGCTGCGGTGGATCCGGTTGATCTGCTTGTTTTCCTCTGTGTGGATGATTAGTAAACGCGAAACGAGGAAAATAACAACATTTGACACTGCGGCATACCGAGGGCTTGCCGCGCAGCGTTGGCCGCGGCTTGGGCCCTGTCTACACGCTGCTGGTGGAGCTCCGCGGCGGTCAGAGCGGGAGCCGGCGCCGGCGCCGGCGCCGCCGCCGCCGCCACCTGATTGGCGAAAGCATCAAGCGTGGATTGCTGGTCGACCGGTGTCGCGTTCGCGAACGCCGTCGACGTGAGGTGCGCGCGGTTCGCCGCGCTGAGCAGAAAATTTTGGAGGAGCGCGTTCTTCTGCTGCGCGATGCCCGGGAGCAGGGCGGGGGGGGCTCCACCTCCACCTACACCTGCCATCTTTGGCCTGTGGCAAGATACTGTGAAAAATGACCGTTAGAGCGCGCGTTGTCGCGGCGCGCGCAGGTACGACGAAAGTGGAGGACACGAAGTACGTAGCGATCGTGAGTCTCGTTTTGCGGCGCGGCAAATTCGCTTCCTACAACAAAAGCAGGATAATGTCGCCATAGCACAGCGATGAGAGACCAGCAAAAATAGACTTACCCTCGCAGCACATTCTCGCACCTCTACAACGTCGCTAAAGAGTTCTCCAAGGGCCTCGCGGAGATCCGGATAAAACCCGTCCGAAAGGGCGAGAGTGGCAGCTGCATAGGCGATTGCTCCGTCGCAAAACGTTTTGGCAACAGTTGTAGCATCGTTTACTGACCTACATCGACCGTTGAAAACAGCACAACTGCGTGCGGCCGCGCGCACAAGCCTACTGCATCAATCGAAGGAGGCCAGCGCACGATGAGCGCCGCTGCGCCGCCGCCGAACAGCGAGGAGTCCGTACCTTTAAGCGTCGTCGGTCAGATTACATTGACGGACAGGCTGGCAATCGTCGAGGAAGAGAATGCTAGCCTAAAAAAAGACAACGACCGGCTGCGCGAGCGGGCCGCCGCGGCCGAGGCTTTGAATCGGGAGCACGTGAGGGAAAGAAGGGCCATGACTATGTTCATGGGAGATCTGGCGACATGCACAAAGGCGCGCGAACGCAAAGACATGTTCGACCGACGGGATACGCACCTGCTACAAATCATGGACTCGTTGAGCAGCACAAACCCCGAGGACGCGCCGCCGCCGTCGTCGGGAAGGCGACGGACGCCGGACGACGACGACGACGACACACGCCGGCGACGGACGTTGGAGACGCCGCCGCGCGGTCGGCAGAAGAAGAAGAAGAAGAAGCATAGGAGGGCCCCGGGGCGGGACTTAGAAGCCTTAGAAGCCTACCTCGCGATGACCGAGGGCCCGCCGCAGCCCGCGGCGCCGCCGCCGCCGCGGCCGGCGCCCTTCCGGCCGCCGCCGCCGCCGCCCTTCCGGCCGCCGCCGCCGCCGCCGGCTTCAAGCGCGGGCCGCTCCTCGGACGAGGACATGGAGGGCCCGGCCGACGTGGCGGCTTGCCAGTCGTTGGATGAGGAGGACCGGCCGCCGCCCCTGTCCTCGGCGTGCACCATTTGCTACGAGACGGGCGAGTGCACCATTTGCTACGACGACGGCGTGAAGCTGGCGACGGTCACGTGCTGCGGCAACAAGGCCTGCGCGTCGTGCCTTGGGAAGCTCAAAGAACGAGACTGGAAGTGCTACTGGTGCCGCGAGCACGTGCCGGAGCGCGTGCTGCGCGCGATTCTGAACGGCGACAAGCGGATCTGGCCGCCGCCGCGGCCCAAGTCCGCCGCGCGGAAGACGGACGAGCAGCGGCGCGTCGCGCCGCCGCGCGAGCGCGCCGCGCCGCCGCGCGAGCGCGTCGCGCGGCCGCGCGAGTGCGCCGCGTCGCCGCCGCCCCGGCGGGAGTCGAGGGTGCGGCGCATCGAGTCCGAGGATGATGACGATGACCGCGCGACGGCAGTCGCGGCGTCGCAGCTGGCGCTCGTGGCGGACCCCCGGCAGCCGCCGTCGCGCCGCCGGGGGCCGCCGAGGACGCGGCGGCGCATCGCGTCCGCTGATGACGAGGAGCTCAAGGCGGCGTTCGCGGCGTCGCTGAAGTCGCTCGAGGCGGACGAGCAGCGCCGGGAGGCGGGCGGCGCGGCGACGCCGGCGCCCGAGGCGGACTTGAACGACATGCGCGGCGTGCTAGGAACCGACAATGACGACGACGACGACGACGACGACGAGAACCAGTGGGGGCGGTCGCGGGACCAGGACGAGGACGAGGTAGAGTCCGATTCCGAGGAGGAGGAGGAGGAGAAGGAGCAGTTGGCGGCGCCGACGCGCGGCGCCGACGCGCTGTCGTCGGCTGTGCCCTGGCAATTACCGGCGAAAGCAATTCTTAGAGCGTTGGAGGAGGCGCAGAGCAAGAAGATAGCCAATCCGCTCGAATACCTCAAGGACCTGCTGAAGGGCTACGGCTTCTACGGTTCTACCTTCGAATGGACAAATAGTCATTGCACCATCCATGTGCCGGACGGCTTCCCGAACTACTGGAAGCTCTGGGGGAAGGACAAGAAGAGGGCTGACCCAGGTCGTCATAAAACTTTCTCGACGCCCCGAGACCTCGTTAGCTACCTCGAGAAAGCGATCAGGCTCGCCGACACCGGCGTCGACCTGCCCCTCGAGAAGGAAGGGATCAAGCCACCCGGGAAGATGCTCTCGTCAGTCAGAGGTTGGGGTGCTGATGACAGAAATAACAGGAGGCCGCTTGACCCACGTGTGGTAGATGCTGCGTTGCCCCCCAATGCACCTCCCTTTGCAAGACCAGTCTCTGAATTCTTTGGAGCGTCTTGGCGTTACTTGTTTCAGTGAAGAGGTCGCCGAGGTCGCGGCCGAGATCTACGCCCTTGAGACCGCAAGAGACGACGGCGAGGGACCACTTCCCGCCCTCACAGAGGCCTTCTTGACTTGTGCTATTGAAGGCCTGGGTAATGATTGCGTCTTCGACGCCATCAAAGAGCTCGCGAAGAAAGCGCCCGATGCCAATCTACGGCTAGCACTTGCGTCCAACACTGGAGCCTTGCGGGACGTGGCGGGCGTCTCCGCGGGCCTCCCGGTCCCCATCAACGGAGACGCACTCGAAAGGATTGGCAAAGCGCTCGACGAGCGCGCTGTTGTCGTGTTCAGTGATACTGGCGCGACGACCATCCTCGGAGATGCGTCGCGCGGCAATTTTCTGTGTCTATTTACCACTGGGTCTGGCCGTCTCATGCACGTTATACAAGCTGCTATCGCTGACGGGGCTCATTTTATTGTCAAGAACGAGGGCTTCTTCAACAACAAGTACCTCGGCACCGCAGACGAGCCGCCAGGGTCGCCTCGGGATGAGGAGCCTGAGACGGTTGGTAACGACGACGTGTCCAACAGGCGGAACTCGTTAACTACGGACGCCGCACCGCGCGGCGGCCCAAGCCGGAACAACCCTTGCGGTGGTGAAACTGCGCGGACATCAAATTCCCGTGGCCTTCGTCAAAATCGTCGCGTCCGTAGACTCGACGGCGTCGCTGCGCACGTCACCGCTCGACTCAGACAGCACTGCCGCCGCAGCGCCGCGTCGGCGCCGCGCATTGCATGCGTCTCAGGTGTCGATTTCCGCACAGGCGGCGAGTGGCCCACAAAACCGTCGTCCAACGCCGACGCGGTCAAGCGGCTCGCCTGCGGAAGAATGGCGTCGGCTTGCTGTGCAACCATCGAAGGACGACGGCTTTTGAGACCTGAACGCCACATTACGATCGATACCATTGTGCGCACGTGCGCCAAAGCGGAGGCGGCGTGGGACAGCCTGACCCCTCTAAAACGGCGACGGGCTGCGAAACTAGAGCTGGCGGGCGAATGGATGATCGACAATGGTGTGAGAAAGCTATATCTTCACCGTGCGTGCTATCGGGCCTTTGAACATCTCAGGCTCGAACGTCCACTCGCCAGTGTCAGGGTCATCGAGTCAGACGTGGTGATGACCGACGCCGCGGCACCGCTCGACACGTCCGGGCCACCTACGTGGCCTGGCAATTTTCCAAAAGGCGCCGTGGCGACTGTTTTACCGGCGGGACGAAAGGTCGTGATTCGTCGGGACGGCGGCGACGTGGTCCACTTTCAGCTGGCGCAGGATGCTAGTCAGCTTGAGTATGGTGAGACGAAGAGTTTCAAGGATGCCTCGATCTATGATAAGGAGGGCGTTTTAGTCGCGGGCGTGAGAAGGGACGGAAACGGTGTCATAATCGAAGGCACCGGCCTCACCGGACACCCGGACCCGAGGGCGGGGAATAACGGTTATCCCGAGAGTCAGGTCAAGGTCCTGACAGAAAAGGATGTCGCCCTTTTCGAACCGTTCCTGATCCAGCCGCCCGCCCGTGGAAAGAAGCGGACGGTGCACGCCTACGCCGCATCTGGAGACGAGATGGCCACTGTAATCTTCGCGCCCTCCGACGGCAGAACAGTAGATTCGTCGCAGTTACGGGCCTTAATTGACACGGCGTTTAAAAAGGTCGATGAGGCGCTGCGCCAGAAAGGGCTCAAGAATGACCAGAAGACGGGCGGTTCTTACTGGCCCGCCGGAGTTGCAGGCAGCTTTGTTTCAAGTACCACGGGGCCGAACCCCACGCGCACCATCAACACCGGAACGGGCACTGTTGTCGTTCCCTGGATACGCGCGGACACGCACAAGCCAGTCGTGGAGTCGGTGATGGCGGCCGTGGCTCCGGTAATCGGACAGTGCGCCGAGATTATACACCGTGAGGTTCCCGACGTACTCGAGGCTATGTCCCAGGTCGCAAATCATCCGGTCATGCACGACACGCTCATGTTCCCAACCCACGACATGCAGCACCCGGACGACGACGCGCGCTCGAAGCACTCCCTATCTGTGAACCAGGTCGTAGTCCGCGTGGCCGGCGAGCCTCTCGGTCTGGAAGCTGGCTCCCGTCATGTGAAGGAGAGGTCATTTCAGCCCTGCGGGCTGCACGCCGACAGCGGGGACGTACGTCACCCTAGGGGCTCGCCCCTGATCTATGCGTACGTGAAGGAGGAAGGCGCGGCGCGAGTCAAAGGGCGGCCACTCAAAAAGAATGATCTCATGATCTTCGAAGACGAGTCTGGAGGTCGATGCATCCGTATTCAGACCGCGTGTCCAAACCACGTGTGCATTGCTATCTTCTCGAGCGCCACGCGTCTCCACTGCAATGTTTTTCCGAACTCGCCTGAGCCGAGGACGCCCGGCCACACCCTCCTACGCATCGTCCCCTACACGCTCGGTGGAATCAAGGAATTCGCCGACGCGGTCGAGAATGACCCGGAACTATGGCAGGAGGTCCTCGACGGCGACTTCGACGAAGGCTTGAGGGACCGCTATGAGCGACTTGCGAAACATCGAGCTTCGCCGCCAGCGAGGTAAGTTGTTGCAAGTGTTATTTTTACTAGTATCTTGGCCCGCGAGCGACGGCCTCACGGCCGATGATGTACTCTATCAACACGTTATGGGTACGCTGTTTGTGTACGACGAAAATGGAATAGTGGTCGAGCTTTGGCAGCTAGAACATCGTCTGGTCGTCGATTGTGTGAAAACGTCGGGTCGCGAGCGCGGGCCGTGGCTCCGGTTCCGTCGATTGTCGATGAAAACTGGGCTGGAGTTGATATAATGTACCATTTGGACGGTAGATGGCGGCGTCAATCGCCGGTCTACTTTGGCGAGCCGTAAGACTCATTCCACGATTGCTCCTGCCACGTCTGGTAAAAACTCGGAAATGCTCTGGCGAGTCGGTCGATCGTGAAGAAAGCAACAGCGTTGTGGTCCATCCGGATGGTCGCGTCGCTGATACTCGCAGGTTCAGGTTCTAAGTCGTTTGTGTGAAAAACCTGGGCTTCGCGGGGGTCGCGGGGGTCGACCGTCGGCTCCAGTTCCGTCCAACTTGTATGAAAACTGGGCTGGAGTTGATATAATGTACCATTTGGACGGTAGATGGCGGCGTCAATCGCCGGTCTACTTTGGCGAGCCGTAAGACTCATTCCACGATTGCTCCTGCCACGTCTGGTAAAAACTCGGAAATGCTCTGGCGAGTCGGTCGATCGTGAAGAAAGCAACAGCGTTGTGGTCCATCCGGATGGTCGCGTCGCTGATACTCGCAGGTTCAGGTTCTAAGTCGTTTGTGTGAAAAACCTGGGCTTCGCGGGGGTCGCGGGGGTCGACCGTCGGCTCCAGTTCCGTCCAACTTGTATGAAAACTGGGCTGGAGTTGATATAATGTACCATTTGGACGGTAGATGGCGGCGTCAATCGCCGGTCTACTTTGGCGAGCCGTAAGACTCATTCCACGATTGCTCCTGCCACGTCTGGTAAAAACTCGGAAATGTCTGGCGAGTCGGTCGATCGTGAAGAAAGCAACAGCGTTGTGGTCCATCCGGATGGTCGCGTCGCTGATACTCGCAGGTTCAGGTTCTAAGTCGTTTGTGTGAAAAACCTGGGCTTCGCGGGGGTCGCGGGGGTCGACCGTCGGCTCCAGTTCCGTCCAACTTGTATGAAAACTGGGCTGGAGTTGATATAATGTACCATTTGGACGGTAGATGGCGGCGTCAATCGCCGGTCTACTTTGGCGAGCCGTAAGACTCATTCCACGATTGCTCCTGCCACGTCTGGTAAAAACTCGGAAATGCTCTTGTCGGCTCCCGTCCAACTTGTATCAGACTCGTAGAATTCTCCTCTTGCCCTCGGAGCGCGGGCTGTCGAGGGGTTGGTGGCGGTCTAGGACCACCTACTCTCTTTCGACCTAAACCTTACACTCCTCTTACACGCCCTCCTACGCGTCAATTCGACGGGATTTGTTCCTTCGCTCCGCGCGTTGGGCCCGTGTCAGCGGGGCCTCCTCTTCGCCGCAATCCGTACGAATCAATAGAGTCCAGCCCTCCTCCGTGTAAGTAATCTCGTGCTTGCTCTTGCGAGCCGCGCCCCGCATAATGTAGTACGTCCCTGGACTTTGCTTGAAGATAAACTCGCCATCCTCTCTGGCACCAGATCGGCCATCGTCGTAGTTAGGGACCAGGATCCTTGCATAGCTTTCACCCGACAGCTTCACAACGATGATAACATTCCTCAAGCAAGCACAGTCAGCGTGCAACCCTCCAACGCCCTTCTTGTGCTTCATCAATTCCATGACATAGGTGCCACCATTGCGTCTGAGCACTGAGCTGCCCAGATTTTCATCGGCTACAATATTCTCCAGGATTGCATCTACTATTTGATGCATCCGTTCATCGCTGGTGAGCGTAGAGGCACCGAGCATTCTCGATGCATGACTACAGAATTGACGTTTATCCGTCCCTGCGGCCGACGTATGAAGCCCATTTTCCAACTCGTCACAAACCGCTAGAGGCGGATGGCGTCCTGGAGTCTTCCAATACCGCACAACGCTGAAATATGTGTCGGCGAATCGGCCCGAGCCTTTAAATTCAGCTATCCAGCGCCCGGTCCTTGACGAGAGGAAATTTCTTGCAGCTCCAGCTAGCCATGCAAGTACCACTTTAAATAGGCTGTTTCCTAATCGGCCTCTCAATACGCCCTTCTCTCGGGCTGCTGTAGCATCCATCTCCTGTTCTTTGGGGGGTTCTGGAGACCCGTGGTCCTGGAGTTGATACTGTTCAATTGATCGACCTTCATGACCGACAAGACCTTCTGCGTACGGGCCAAGCTCCGCTTCAGGCCGCCCGTGTGGCGGACGACCTGGACCACGCTCGGCGCGATTTGATGCTTCGAATTGTAGACCGCCGCGTCGTGTTTTAGCTTTGTTGCCTGCCCCGCAGCGAGCTACTCGTTTCTCTAAGGTCGCGCTCGGCACCTGCCTCTCCGCCATGGAATGTTGTCCTGATCGCTAGCCGGAGGAACGCCTAGCGCTCTACGGGCTGGCAAATGGGGGCTGTGCCCTCCTTCAAAACCCTTACGCAGCGTGCACTTGCGGGCGTGTGCTTCTTTGTGTGCTTGCTCCCCAAACTCGCTGCTAGCGGCAGTAAGACACTAGGTGAAAAAACGTTCTGTGTTTTTCACCTGGCGTAGTGCTGACTTGGGCAAGATTAGGTACGGCAGTCCTCGGTCTTATCTCGTATACAAGTCACGTACCCTCCTACCCGTCGCGCAGCGCTGCAGACTTGCTGACGACTCTCAAATTAGTATGTTCTCGGGTCATCTCGACGAGTCGCTCTGTCGGCGACCGGCTACGAAGCCTTTGAGTCCATCCTATCAATCAAGGTGCTGGAAGCATTGTACAACACTCGATCTGGGTCCCGAGATGGACGATCGTCGGGTCTCGGAGCAATGTAGTACACAGTCAAGCCGGTTAGCTGGCCTGTCCCGGAACCGAAGCGCCTCAAACGCGAATTTATTTTACAACTCACCGGTCTGGGGCCTTTCCAGTGCCCCGCGTACGCACCGTCGTCCGCAGAGAACGGCCAAGTCGGTCGATCGTGAATAGAACGATGGCGTTATGGTCCACCTGGATGGTGGCGTCGCTGATAGTCGCGGGTTGAGGTCTTGAGCTCTGTTTTATATAAACGCGAGGTCGCGAACTCGACGAATCACGCGGCTCTAACGGAGTACATGATCATGCTGGCCGATGTCCAGGCGGTCAGGATGGACTCTACCACTACCAAACGGAAGGAAACGAACATAAAATCGGGAGTTGTCTAGTAGAATTCTTTTCCCGCCCTCCGAGCGCGGGCAGGCGGCTCCGGTTCCGTCCAACTTGTATGAAAACCGGGCTGGAGTTGATATGATGTACTATTTGGATAGTAGATGGCGGCGTCCATCGCTGGTGTATTTTGGCGAGCCGTAAGTGTCATCCGCGAATGTCGCGGTGCCGCGAGGGTATGTTCCTCGGCCGCTACTGCGAAATATTTGGTCTTGGCAAACGACTAGGATGAATTCTGAATTTGGAGAATTATTTGCATCAATACCCACAGGTCTTTGGCCTCAAGTTGTCGCCGCACCACTCCTACAAATGCATCAACCGATGTTCACTCACCAACATTCGACGGGACGAGTCCTAAGAATAAACTCGCTCATAGGATTCTTGGCTTGATGAGGTCATGCACGTGGACACGAGTCCAAAAACTGAAAGTAAAAACCCGACACTGCCAGGCCGCCAGCGCTTGGCATTGCAGCCAGCGGCAACGCCAGTCCCGCGCTGCCCACGGTCTTCAGGCAGCCCAAATCGGAGATATGCCTTGCGGGGCACGAGGGTAACGGCTGCGTGCGCCCCGGAAGCCCGGGCGCATTTCAGCAGCCAGTTAATGCCTACTTGACAGGAAATGGCAGAGGAAGAAAAGTGTGACGAGTACGGCTCCCGTTACAATGCCGACACGCTCGATGCGGCTTTTACGCGTCTTGGCGTTAGTGTTTTCAGCAGTGAGCACGGGAGAAACATTCCCTTCGTCGCCGCCGAGATCTACGCCGAGGCCGCCGAGGCCGAAAGAAAGGCGGCTGTGCTTGCAGCGCGCGCGAAGGCCAAAGCCCGTCCTTCGGCGAACGACAGGGCCGCCGAGGCGGCGGAGCGCGAGGAACGCCTGCGAGAGCGCGAGGCTGAGGCAGCCAAGCGCAAGGCGGCGGCTAAGGAGAAGGCCGAGGCCAAGGCCAAGCACGACGCCAAGATCGCGGAGCGGTGGCGGCGGGCGTTCCGCGAGGAGAGCGCGTTGCGGGCCAAGCAGTGCGCAGAGCTGGGCCTGCGCACGATCTCGGCTCGCAAGGCCCAGCAGAAGGCCGCTCGCGCCCTTGCTCGCGAAGCGGCTCGCGAGTGCGCGCGGCGGTTGGCGGCCGCGCGGGAGACGGCCCGCCGCCGCGAAAAAAAGAGACGGCGCAGAGAGCGGCAGCGCGGGGCGCGCGAGCTCGAGGCCATGGCGCACGAGGACGTGGCGACGCACGGGCGTGAGGACGCGGCGTCGGACGCGTCCGAGGACGCAGCGGCGATGGCGCGCGAGGACGCGGCGGCGCGCGAGGACGCCGCGTTGCGCGCGCGCGAGGACGCCGCGGCGGCAATGGCGCGCGAGGACGCGGCGGCGCGCGCGCACGAGGACGCGGCGGCGGCGCACGCGCGCGCCGCCGAGGTCGCGACGGCCGCGCGGCGCGACCGGCGCTCGGAGGCGCCGGCCGTCGTCGCGAGCTCGCCAAGGCCCCCGGCGACGTGCGCGCCGCTGCAGTCGCCGCCGACGACACCGACGTCGCCTGGCGCCGACGCGCTGCTGCCGCCACGCGTGCCCTGGTCGCCTATGGACGAGGTCGACGCCATCCTCGGCAACGCCGCCACGTCGATACAGGACAAGATCCTCGCGATCAACCGCCTCCCTCTTCGTCGGCCGTTGAAAATGGCGGGCATCGTGGCCGCGTCGATGCGCGAGACCGAGCTTCCGCGTGCGCGTATTGCACACGCGTGCGACGCCCTGAACGAGGCCCACTCGTTAGACGACGACGTCTACGGCCTTACAGCGCTCGCGGCAACCCCCTCGGACTCAGAATGCAACGACGAGGACGACCAGGAGCGCGTCGAGACGCTCGTTGAAGACGACGCGGCGCCCGACCGCGTCAGCCCGGCGATGGCAGCCCGCGCCGCGCGCTTTGCTCTCTGCACGTGCTCCAGCCTCGCTGCGGCCGCACGGTGGGCAATGAGCTGCTGGAATAGGCCTTCGCCGGGCGAGGAAGGACTCGACGACGACGACGACGACGCGCCGTTCTCTGGGGGGTGTTTCGGGAGGATCTGTCTCAAGCACGATGAGTTCCTGGGCGGCATGCCGCCCGCAGACGACGTGGGCTCGGACACACCCCCCTATTTATGTACCCTGCTCTACCCATTGCCCACGCGCCCCCTCGGAATCGATGAAATGCCGGCGTACGTTATTCAGTACGGTCCGGGACACTACTACGAAGGAAAGCATGCAATCAAAGTTAAAGTATATAAAAAAGGCTGGCACCGCTGCGGTAAATACGACTACAAGACATACATCGGTGAGTACGACACCTGGAAAGATGCGGTCAGGGACATGCGTCGACGAAGACAGGAATTAGAAAAGGAGACACGCAGCGAGACCCGGGCCCCGACGGCGACTGTTCCTCCACGAAGTACATCGAAACGTAAACAAATTGACTGGGACAAGGTTATCCGCGCCGAAGCTATTGCCGAAACGCAGCGCCGCGCGCTGGTGCAAGGACCAGATGCTCATGCTGACAGCGACGACGGGTTTGAACCTCTTGCCTCCCCGGCCGACGACGACGACGACGAGGACACGCCATGGGAGCCGGGGCTGTCCCAACGACTGCGGCCGCGCCAACCAGCAAACAATCATTCTGAACCACAAGTTTACGAAGATCCTCCAACGGCCGAGAGGACATCTCTACGGGGAGACGCACTACTACCTCACTTGGAGAAATTTACCACTCATGGCTTGAATAGAAATATAGTACACTTCGCATATGCCCGTTTTTTCGGTAAAAATATCGAGAACGAAATAAAAGAAGAGACCGCGCGAAAGTTCGAGAATACGGTGCAGTCTGTGCGCCTTACTCCGCAAGGTGACGTGGAAATAAAGGACGTCATGGAGGCGTGTCGCGGTGCGCGGGAAGTGGGCGAAGAGAAACTACAAGAGGCGGTCTCGAAGATCAAACACTTGGAAGGGCATATCTGCGTGCTATACGTTTTCGGCTCGGCGCGAAAATCTAGCAACTTGAAGGACGACACGTGGGCGTATAAAGGGAAAGGGTGGGTGGTCCCTATCCGTGTAGAAATCAAATTGTCGCGGCGCGTCTCCAACACTGCTGAACATGGCCTCCACGCCATCGACGCGACGCCTGCTCGATGGCGTGGCGATGTGGTGCTGAATCGTGACCTCCACGCCGTCGACGCGACGCCCGCTCGACGGCGTGGCGATGTGGTCCATCGCCGCTCATTTCCAGCCAACACGGCCGTCATCGCCGAGATATGACTTCTCGAAGAATTACCGGGTGCACCCGACGCACTGGTTGATTTCCACACAGGTGCCCATCGACGAGATTCTCGTCCTGCAGCGCCCGGTACGCGAAGTGGTGTCCGATGCCGCCAGCTCGCAGCGAAATAGGATTGTGATGGTCCAGAAGAATTTCGGATCTTACCCGCTGGATCACAAAGGCGTCACGAAGACCGAAGGCAGACCCTATGAGTACAAGACGCGGGAGCTCGTCGTGGCCGCGCTCAGGGACACCCTGAAGAGCGGCGGCACGCTGAAGCCGCCTGCCGAGCTGGCCAACGAAGCGCGGATGCCTGCCGCCTGGAAGAAGCCCCCCAAGAAGAAGAAGAAGAAGAAGAAGAAGAAGAAGGCTCCCAAGAAAGCGAAACCGAAGAAGGCGGTGAACAAAATGAGTCCCAAGACACGGCCGGCACAGCGGAAGGCCGCGAAGAAAGCAGAGGAGGCCCTGGACGAAGCACGAGCAGAACGGCGCGCTCAGGATGAATTGATTGACGAGGACCGACCGCGCCGCGACGTCGTCCTGAGCGACTTCCCGGCGGACTACTGCGCACAGCTCGTCGCTGCCCGCGTCCTTATCCGCAGATGCCTTCGGTGCTGTGATGTGGGCGTCCGCGCAGGCGACCCTTAAGCTGAGCCTCCGCAAGTGGGGCGTAAGCGACGAACGGGTTGAAGAAGCCAACCTCCGTGTGCACCGCCATAGTCAGAGAAAGACGCCAACCGGGCGAGATCATATCGATTGGTATTATGAAGCAGACGGCGAGATCTTCAAATCTCAAGCTGCCGTGGGGAGGAAATTGGACGGGAACGTGCCGAACCACGGCCGGAGCGGCCACGGTGGCCGCACGCTCGAGGATTTGGAACAAGAGCAGATCGGAGTGTCGCTCCGCGGGAACAGGATCGTCGACGCCGGGACTATGCCGAGGGCGTCGTCCAAAGGCGTCGGTATCGTCGAATGCTGTGGTGGTGGCGGTGTCCAAGGCGCCGCGCTGGCATTGGCCCTCGGATGCCACGTGTGCATGTGCTTCGACAAGCAGGCGGGCAAGATCAAGCTCGCTCTCGCCAATTTCGGCAAGGGGCGGGCGCGTGCCGAGAAGGTGGACGGCGACAGCTTCCGCCGGTTCCTTAGGAACAACCCGCAGGCCGAAATCATTGCTCTCGAACCTCCTTGCCAGCCGTGGATTCCTGTCACAGGCGACGGCGACAAGTGCGATGACGTCTTACTCGGTGTGATCATTCGACGGCGCCTTCTTACTTGAGGACATCTGTGACAGGACGTGGGCAAGCAGAGCGTCACCGCCCGAGCGGACGGAGAACGCGCGTCTCCATACGAAAACGATTCGATCTGCGCCCAGGCCCTCGTGTCAGAAGAGTTGATCGAAGCCGCGCTCGAGTCGGACAGGAAAGTCATCATTGTTGAAAACTCTAAGAACGCGTTTAATGGCGAGTTGTACACGAGGCTCTTCAAGATGGCCGTGGACTTGGGCTACGTCGTATTGTTGGTGGAGCTCGACGCCCGCGACGTCGCCGACGCCAGTCCTGTTTTTTACATGAAGACGCAATGTCAGGCCATCTTTCTCAAAGTCGGCGACGGCGACGCAAAGGATATCGAAAGCGAGGTTGTGCGTGCGCAGCGGCGTGACTGAGTAGTGCCTTCGACCGTGGACGACTGCGCGCGCCGCTGGCCGGGTGGGGACAAACATCCCTCGAACACAGGTTTGTGCGAGCGACGCCCGCGATTCACGAGGTGGGAGGCGACGTTGAGGGATGCTGGTATAGACGGGCCGAGTATTATGTGGTACAACGATCGACATGAAAGAGGAGAAAGGGGGTATAAGAACGGCACGAGCGTCATCATTCCTGTGGACAAACCGCTCGTCTCCTCGTTCAGTACTGGCAAACTCAAGGGTGGACTGCGAACATTTTGTCGTGGACCAGTGAATTCGGCGCTGCAACGTGCCGGAACCGGCGTGGGGGAGGACCTCGTAGCGTTGGCCAAGGCCCACGACGGTTATATGCGGGATAGTGACTTCGGTTCTGAGGAGCTGCGCGTCCTGGATCCGAGCACCGGAACCATGCTGGTCCGCACGCCGACGATCATGGAGATACTCGATCTGATGGGGCTGCGCAACTATAAGCTTCCGTCGGACACTACCATCTCAGAACTGATGGAGTTGCTCGGCGAGATGCATACCATGGACGTGGTGATTGAGTTCTATCGCCACATGGCACCGGCCATCAATGCAGCCCTCGCGCGTCGTCCGGCGCCGAGTGGGCAAGAGGTTCCTAGAGGTGCCATAGTGGACATGCGATCGCAGCGCGGCGCGCCGCGACCGGACGCCGCGAAGAAGCGAAAGCGGGCCCAGTTGAAGAGAAAGAAGGCTGTAGGGTCGGAGGAGTGCGAGAGGAGGAGAAGTCCGAGGAGCGGTCCGAGGAGGAGTCCGAGAGTAGGTAATGTGAGTGAATAATTTCCAGACTTGTTTATCTTAGTCCAGCAAAGAAAGGCCTTGAAAATGCACCGATACAGGCAACCCGCGTAGGATCAAAACCAAAAACTTACTAGGTGTTGGCGCCTGCAAACACTCTGAGCTAGCGAAACGACACACTAGCTTTGGCCGCACAGCCCTTAGTTGTTGGACGCTTAGAGCTGCATCCAGACGGCGCCACATGGCGCAAGACCTAGCAGCGCTCGAGTCCTACGGCGCGCGCACGGATTGGGCATCGCTGGCCGCCACAGACCCGAAATTGGCAGCCTGCACTGCGACCTTCAAAGGCGAAACCGGCGTCGACTGGACGCGCCCGGAAGCGCGGGCCGTCGTCGCCGAAGCGCTGCTGCGCCACGACTTCGGCATCACGTATCAGGCGGCGCCCGGGCATCTAGTGCCCTGCGTGCCGAACCGGGTCCGCTACGTGGCCTGGGCCGCCAAGGTCGCCGGCGACGGCGTGACGAACGCCCTCGACGTCGGCTGCGGCGCGTCGTGTATAATTGCGCTGTTGGCGGCGCGGTGCCGGGGCTGGCGCGTCGTCGCGTCCGAGAGCGACGACAAGGCCTGCGCCGAGGCGGCGGCGCTCGTGGCGAAGAATTCGGACTGGAACGCCGGCGCGCTCGTCGACGTCTTCCGCGTCTGTGCAACGGCCGCCTCTCAACGGCCCGTCTCGGCGGCGCTCGACGCGGCCGGCCGCGCGGGCGTCGACGTCGTTCTGGCGAACCCGCCGTGGTTCGAGAGCGACGACGAGCGGCGCAACGCCTGCGGCGGCGCGCCGCGCCGCGACGGCGCCGCCGAGGCGACGGCGGCGGAGACCGTCCGGGACGACGGCGAGGTCGGCTTCTGCGCGGCGCTCATCGAGGACGCGCTGCGCTTACAGAGTCGCGTGGCGTGGCACTCGGCGCTCCTGGGCCGGAAGCAGTCGCTGCGGCGCGTCCTGGCGCTGCTCCGGGAACGAGGCATTTCTCGCGTCGCGACGACGACGATCGATCTGGGCCGGACGACGCGCTGGGCCGTCGCCTTTTCGGTGGCCGCGGGCCCGGCGCCACGGGGCGACGCGCGCGTGTTCGCCAAGAAGCGCGACCCGGCCCGCGACGTGGCCGTGCCCGCGGACTGCTCGGTTCCGGAGCTCCGCGACCGCCTCGCCGCCCGCGCCGTCGCGTTGCATGCCGACGCCACGGTTTCTGACGTAGACGCGGACGGCGCCCTCTGGCGCGTCCGCGTCGTGTCCCGCGGCGCGCGCCTCGACGCCGTCGTTTCTGCCACCGGCGCACGCGGCGCGTACCGGCTCCGCGCCGTGCCGCAGGGCGCCGCCGACGCGCTCGCCCGATTTTGTGATGGATTGCCGGGCGACCTCGCGCGGACGAATCGGCGGTGGCGGCGGAAGCTGGCTAAGTGATCTGTTGTGCTCGTAGCATGGCGGGTTTCTCATGAAACCCGTAAAAAGCATCTCGCAGCGCGCAAAACAGGCGGCTCGAGCACAGATACGCATCTGGGGCAGCCGCACCAAGCGCAAGAATAGCAAAATCTTACGTATCACCGCTCCGGGCAGCATGCGTCGCGCCCTCGCCGCCCTCACCCTTCTCACAGCCCATGCAGCCAACATCGCCTCGGAGCTCGAAGCATTCGTCGACGCCGCGGCCGGCGCGCCAACGGCCCCGGCGTCGGACCGCGTTGTCTTCGTGAAGACGTATAAGACGGGCTCCACCACCGTAAGCGAGTTCCTCGCGCAGATCGGCTACGAGCGCGGGCTGCACGCGCTGCACCCGTCGGAGAGCGGCCACTTCAAGGCCGGCGAGCTGAAGCGCCGCGCGGACCGGGGCGAGCGCTTCGACTTGTCGTTCCGCCACCCGACGCCGACGCTCGACGTTTTGAGTTTGGGCCGCCTCGTGCCGAACGCGCGGTGGTGCACGATCATGCGCGAGCCCGTGTCGCGCTTCGTCTCGACGATGCGCTTCGTGCGGCGCCTGGACGAGCGCTTCCGCGGCAACGCCGCCGCGTTGGTCGACTCGATCCAGAAGAAGCGCCTCCCCGACGGCGACGCGAACACATTCTGCAACAACGTCGCGTGGGTTTTAAGCGGAGAACAGCGCACGCTCGCCTACGGCGTATCCCGCGAGGAGCAGCTCGCGGCCGCGGCCGCCATCACGGCGCGCCTCGACGCGCACGAGACGCTCGTGCTGATGCAGAAGGACATGTCCGCGTCTCTCGCATTGCTCGCGTCGTCGCTGAACTGGGACCTCGCGGCGTCGCCGGCGAGGCTCCGCTCGGCGCGAGTCGCGCGGGGCCGCCGCGGCGCCGCGCGCTGCGAGGACGCCGCGTGCAGGAACGCCGTCCTCGCGTGCAACGCCGCGGACTCGCAGCTCTACGAGACGTACGAGCGGCGCTTCGACGCGGAGATCGCGCGCCGCGCCGGCGACGAGCGCTTCCGCGCGAACAGGCGAGCCGTCGTCGCGGCGCCCGCGCGCAACGCGCCGCCCTTCGCGTCGAAGTACCCGATCAACTGCCAGCAGCCGAACACGGGGCCGCCGGAGCGGCGGCGGTGGAAGCTGCTGAATTCGTGCGGGGGGCGGGTGGACTAATGTGTCACTGTGTAGTGTTGCAACGTAAGTGGGCGACGGTCGGTCTAACAATTTATGCACTCCCCGGCGGCGGCGGCGTTTCGCAGACGCGGAAAGTTGCTTGCAACAAACTCAGGGATCGCTCAATCCCCGTTGTGATCGGGTGCGCGCCGCCGAGCACGCGCCGCGCGTACGGTGCCAACTCTTCGAGCCTCGTCTTGGCCTCGCGGAGATCGTCGAGCGTGGCGCCGGGGTCCTTGTATAGCGCCTCCGCGTAATTCAACCGCATTCTGAGCGTGAGATGATGATTCTCTCCGAGAACGCGTCGTGCCACAGGCATCGGTTTGCGCAGCAGCGCCTTAGCGTCTTCGAAGCGCTCTAGATCACGAAGGGACACCGCGTAGTTGTTGGCTGCTAAATTGTTCTCCTCGGCCTCCGCGACCAAAATCTTCGCCTGCTCCGCCAAGCACGACACGTGCGCGAATCCCGCCGTCCCGCGGCACGCACACCCGCGCACGAGGCCCTCCTTCGTCTTCCAGTGGAGGGCCTGCGTGCAGATGTAGCACGTCTGGCCCTTCGTGTCCTCGGCGCACGCCTCGACGGCCTCCGCGACGGCCTCCTTGTATTTTTTGTCTGCATTATACTGTTCTGCGTTGCCGCCGCGGTGTATTTTCTTACACATCTGCTTGTGGCCGCGGCGCCAGTGGTCATGCTGGCAGGTCTGGTCACAATACCTCATTTTACATCTAATGCATCGCGGCGCGTCGTGGGCCAGTGGGGCGGCGCAGGCGGCGCATATTGTGAGGATCATTTTTGGTCTGGAGGCGAGGCTAGAGGCGAATCGGCGTGCGCGCGGTGCCCTCACAACGGGTTTTCTCGACATCTTTTTTAGTAACTTTCCCCCGCCGCCCCCGCCACCACTCGCTCGGAAACAGGCAGCTCGTTCCCGAGCTCCTCCAGGTACCCCCGCGCGCGGTCCCGTTCACCGCGCGCCGCCGAGAGCGCCTCCCGCAAGGACGCGATCTCGGCGTCCCGCGTCCGCAGGAGCCGCCGTATTTTACCGTCGAGGGCGTCCATCTCGGCCTCCGTCCGCGCCTTCCAGCTGTTTTTCTCGGCCTCGTGCGCGGCGCGGTCGGCCTTGCGGACGCGCTGCGCCGCGGCCAACTCGCCGCGGGCAGCGTTCCGCGAGGCTATCGCCGCGTCCCGTTCCCGCTCCGCGCGCCGCGCCGCCTCGCCGGCCGCGGCCGCGTCGCCCGCCGCGTCGCGTGCGGCCTGCGCGCTCCGCTCGGCCTCCTTTTGCCGCGCCTCCGCGGCCGCGCATTCTTGGCACGCCTTCTCGAGATTCGCCTCGGCGCAGTTCCGCGCCGCCTCGGCGTCGCGCCGCGCGTCGGACTCGCGCCGCATCGCTCGGCGCGTGGTTTTGAGCTCCTCGCGGATTGAGTCAGCCGCGCGCGCAGCACTAGCGACGCACTCCGCTCCGCGCGCGTCTACGCAGGCGACGGCCCCGGCGCTCCGCGAGCGCTCGGCCTCCAGCGCGCGAGAAACGGCTTCCGCCGCATCAGCTCGGGCAGCCTCCGCGTCCGCCCGCGCCGCCGTCAGGGATTCTTCAAGAACAGCACGCTCCGCCGCCGCATTCGACGCCGCCGCATCAGCGCAGCGCGCGTGCGCGGACTCGAGCGCGTCGAGGAGACCAATCACCTCGAGCTCCGCCGCCCGGCGCATGCCCGCGACCTTGAGAGCCGCTCGCAACCGCTTCGCCGCCACCGCGGCGGCGGCGGTTCCATCGCTGGTCGGCGTCGGCGCCTTTTTGCGTGGCTCTGATGGGGGCCGGTTTGTGCTCCGGCTCACCGAGGCCTGGAGCTCCCGCAGTTTCCGGCGCTCGAGCGCGTAGTCGTCGCCGGCGAACGAGGCCATGATGTCTTGGGCTGCCTCGCGACGCGTGCGGTGCGATTGGGCAGCCTGCGGTTCGCATGGGCAAGCAAACCTCCAAACCCGAACATCCCGATTCGGACCGAACGTCATCAGAGGATATCGCAGTTGATCTCGCGTCGACGGCGTAGGGGAAAATTCAGGAACGAACATGCTTCTTATTCTACTGTGATTGCGAGGGGGACGGCGCGGGCCGCGTCAGGTTCTTCACGCGCGCGAGGACGGCGGTCGCGTCGCTCGCGCCTTCACCGAGCGCGACGGCCCGCTCGCAGAGCGCCGCGACCTCGTGCGCGGCCAGGGCGTCGCCCCGCGCGCCCAGGACCACATCAAAACCCAGGTCCGGCGCGAAGAAGGCGACGTGGCCGAGCGCGGCCACGACGCCTCGCGCCAGTACAGAAGACGCATCAACATCATTTGCGGCGCGCGCGAGGATCGCCGCGACCGCGCGGCCGTCGCTTTGATACGAGAGCCGCGCCGCGCCGCGCCGGACGTCGCGGCCCGCGGCGCTCCCGCACAACGCAGCGACGCGCTCGAGCGCGGGGCCATCGCTTTTCTCCGCGCAGCGCGCCGCGAGCGCCGCGACGGCCGGCCAGACGTCGACCTCGATCTCCGTGTCACCCTGGCTGTGGGCCACGGCCGCGGCCAGATCCAGCGCGTCGGCGGCGCCGTCGTTTGGTGATGCGGCATTCAACGCCTCGGCGGCGCGCGCGCGCCACCACGCGGCGGTCTGCGCGTCGGCCGGCGGTAATGCACAGGCCGCCGCGGTCGCCGCCGTCGCCGCCGCCGTTGTCCGCAGCGGGTGCTCCGCTTTGGAAGCAATATCTAACGCTATCGCGACGCAGCGGCCGCTGCCCGCGCGCGCCGGCGCGGCGGCGGCCGCGGCCGCCGCGCCGCCGCCGCAGGCCGCGCAGAGGTCCGCGGCGACACCTAACGCCGCCCGGGCCCTCTCCACAGCGTCCTCGGAACTCTGCCGCGACGCCGCCTTCGCCGCGACGGCGCCGAGCGCGGCGAGCGCCGCCTCGACGGCCGCGCCGCGGTCGCCGGACCCCGCGAGGCCCGCGCAGGCCGCGCGCAACGCCGGCGACGCGACGCACAGACTCGCGACCTCGTCGCGGCGCTCGCCGAAGACGACGCGCAGCGCGTCGTCCGCGGTGGAATTCCGCGGTTCTGATGTAGAAACGTCTTCCATGGGCGTGTTGTCCGGCGTCGGCGAGGCTGCCGCGCGGTTCGCCGCGGCCCGTTGCGACTCGAGCCGCGCGACGCGCCTCCTCAAATCTCTAGCTTCCCTTTCCAAGCGGTCGCGGGCGAAGCGGCCCTCCGACGCCGCGGCCTCGCGGGCGCGTTCGACCTGGTAGCGCGCGTCCAATTCGATGGTGGCCATTTCCGCGCGCTGCTCGAAGATGCGCTCGTCGGCCGCTCGTAAGCGCGCCGCGAGGTCCGCCGCGGGGCCTTCGGACGCGGCCAGAGCCGCTTCTCGCCTTGCTACGTCCGCGGCTCGTTGCGCCATGGCCGCCTCGCGCCGCGCGAGGTCGTCGGACCGCGCCGCTGTGCGCTGGGGCGGCCGCGGCGGCTGCCGTAGAACAGGCGGCGGGCCCGTCCTTTGCGTTGGCTGCGGCCTTCTGGGTACGGGCGGGCCCAGATTTGTTGTGGTGGCTTGGCTCAGCGGCAGGCGCGGGGCCGCGTACGTTCTTGCTTTGCTCGATGGCATGGCTATTCGTATTTTGACGATGTCGCACGGACGCTATTCGTATTTTTAAGCGCGCTCTCTTTATGGTCCAGCAGTGCTTGATTCGTGGGCGCGCGCTCTCGGGCTTAAGAAGTGAGCCTTGACAGCGTGATAGGCCACTCCTGCGCTTGTCCTTGGCTACGGTACAGGACAGTGAGCTCGTTTAGGCGGTGAGCGCGCCTTGGCCGTCCAGCTTGCTAGTGTCTTACTACGCTAGCTGGATTCACACAAGGAGTTTTTGCTGATTCTTGTCTATCGTGTCCGTAGCAGTTACGGATCATTGCAGAGGGATCTAAGGAATCAGAGCTAAATTAGCCTGGCATGCACCACAAATCGGAGCCACGCGCATTGTCGCCCACGCGACGGTTTAGGCCTTTTAGAGGGACAGTTCACCACTGTTTCACTGCGCAAGACGGTGGCCAAGCGGTGTCGCGCCGCAGGAATCGTTTTCCTCTGAGATTCATCAGCGACACAAATCCCGGATACACCGCGACGCGCGGCCTCGCGGGAAGAGATTAGAACTCCCCGCAGTACCGCGGCGCCTTGTATCATTATTCAGGCGCCTTGGAAGGCCAAAAACTACTTGAGATGCAGCTCGACGCCGACCGCTACCCCTTGCTCTACAGCTTGCGCGGCGCCCTGTCGCCGGCGCGCAAGAACGCCAAGGCCGCGCGCCAGGCGGCCGCCAAGCGGAGAGCGTGGACCGCCGAGTACAGTCAACTCGTCTTTTCGCTCATCGACGCTCGTCGAGAGGCGGAAGCCCTGCGGGAGGCCGGCGCGCCGAAAGCCGCCGTCGACGCCGCGGCTGAAGCGCGCTGGGCAATAGAAAAACGCGTGCACGAGCGGTTTCCGGGGCTGCTGAGCCGCGACAGCGGCGGCCACGGCACCTACGTCTCCCGCGACGACGATCACGCGCGGGAACCGAGTTCTCCGACGTCGCCGCTCGACCGGACCGCGCCGCCCGACGACGCCGTCCAGATGGCCAAGGACTTCGCGCGCGAGGCCGTGATCGTGGGCGGCGTCGAGGTCCAAGGCTGCGTAGAAATCAAATGTCGCCTCTCGACTCACTGGTTGATTTCCACACAGGTCCAGGGCGGCGACCTCGAAGCCAAAGTCCGCGACCACTGCTCTGGTCTCAGAGCAATCGATGACAAAAGCGACGTCTTCCCGCCGCAGCGGCCCGAGGCGGCCCAAGCGCTGGCGACGGCTGCTTTGAGAGCGGTCTGGCGCACGAGAGTAGGGTTGGACGCCTGGGCCCGCGCGCGGAAGCACCTCGAGCAGCGGCGCGCGGCCGACGCGGCGACCGAGGCCCAGGTCGCCGAGGTGTTGTCGTCGACGTCGTCCCGCGCGCCCTCGCTTTGTGGAGACGGCTCGACCGTCCAGGCTTCTGATGATGATGAATACAGCGACCTCGAGGACCACGCGCTCGTCTCGCGGCCGACGGAGCCCCCGACCACGATCGACGCCTTCGTCGACGGCCGCGTCGTCTGCACGGCCTACTCGCATCTAAGCGAGGTGCGCTGCGACGACACGGGCGAGCGGTCCTTCATGCACGTTGCGGTCAGGACGACGTTCAAGTTTTCCGCGGCGGACGGCATCGACCTATCCACGGAGCGCGACGTCTTGTTTGTAGCTCTGGACGAGCAGAAGCGCGAGCGCGCTCTCGAGGAGGCGACCGTGACGCCGTCTCGTCACTCGTGGTTCGGAGGAGCGCCGCAGAAGAAGAGGACCTTTGCCGTGTCGGTGCCGGAGGGCGCCGGCCCCGGCTCGCGCCTGCGCGTCCGCGCGCCGACGACGGGCCAGGACATGACTGTGACGGTCCCGGCCGGCGTCGCGTCCGGAGGCCTCTTCGACGTGCCGCTGCCCGAACCCCGCCTGCCTTCTCTGGGGGAGTAATTGACTTCATGGCGTTGGACGTACTCGAATGGACCACGCGCCGACGGCGTATTGCGGCGCCGGTCCACAGCCCCTGGGCGGTGTCCTTGTGAGACTCTGAAGCGTTATTCTGCCGGCGCAATCAATCCTGGTCCCGTCGGCCTAGTTCATAGACATACTAGTATTTCCAGCCTGGTCGCGCTTTGTAATTCACCCTCTGAGTTTGCATACTAGCGCCTCAGTACCGGCAGAGGGGGTCGGCGAGCGGCCTCTCTAGGGCTGTGAGAGGACTCAGAAGGGGTGGCAATACCTGCGCCGCGGACAGCACCGCAGCGCCAGGCCCCTCCTGTCCCTCCGGGTCAATTCGACGTAGCCATGGCGGAATCGATCCCGAAGGCGAAGAGCGCCTACGCCTTCTTTCAGGCGGCCATGAACAAGCAGATGGTGGGCGTGCCGCTCGGCATCACACCGGCGTCGAGTCTCGATACCGTCGCGGCGCCTTCGTTTGAATTCAACCGGCGAACAAAGGCGGACCGCGGGCCCACCGCAACAGAAACGCGACCCCGACCGCAGGCGAGCGCATGCAGGAGATCTCGGCGCGCTGGAAGGCCCTCGCGGACAAGTCGCCCTACGAGGCCCAAGCGGCGGCCGACAAGAAGCGCTACGACGAGGCGTCCGCGGCGCGCGACGCGCAAGTCCTGGCCGAGCAGGAGGCCAAGCGGAAAGCTAGAGAAGGCGGCGGCCGCGGCACAAAACGAGCGGCGGCGCCGGTCTCGGAGGCGCCCAAGCCCAAGAAGGAGCGCAAGCCCCGCGTGCTGTCCGAGAAGCAGCAGGCCGAGCGCTCGGCGAAACAAAGCGAGCGCTCGGCGCGCGAGTCGCGCATGGACGCGGAGCGCGAAGCCTTAGATGGTAGGTTAGCTGACGCGGCGCAAGCTAGGTTAAAGTTCCTGCTGTCGCAGTCGGACATCTTCGGCCACTTCGGCGCCGGCGCGACGGCCGCGGCCGCCTCAAAAAAGAAGGAGACGCAGGAGGTCAAGTCGCCCGTCAAAAGACGCGCTAGAACGCTCGAGGAGGACGACCTCGAGACCAAAGAAGAGGCAGAAGCGACCACACGACTATCAAGGCAGCCCTCGAACATAAAAGGCGGCCAGATGCGGCCTTATCAATTAGAAGGACTGAACTGGATGATCCGGCTCTACGACCACGGCATGAACGGCATTTTAGCTGATGAAATGGGTTTAGGGAAGACGCTGCAGTGCATTTCTATGTTAGCATGGCTGAGAGAAGGGAGGAAGATCGAAGGACCTCACTTGATACTGGTACCTAAAAGTACATTAGGCAACTGGATGAATGAATTCGCAAGGTGGTGCCCCGAGATCCGCGCGGTGCGGTTCCACGGTCCTAAACCTGATAGGGCCGCCTTCGTGAGGGATGTCCTCAAACCTGGAGCTTCTAGAAGAGACTATGACGTCGTCGTCACGACGTACGAAGTCGCGAACGCGGAGCAGAAGTCCCTGGAGAAGGTCTCGTGGCGCTTCGTCGTCATCGACGAAGCGCACCGCATCAAGAACGAAGCTTCCTTGTTTGCGCGGACGGCGCGGTCCTTACGAGCGGAAAGGCGCTTGCTCGTGACGGGCACGCCCCTCCAGAACAACCTCCACGAGCTCTGGGCTTTGCTGAATTTTCTATTACCGGACGTCTTCGCCTCGTCGGACCAGTTCGACGAGTGGTGTGCGTCAGCGTCCGTATCACGCGACCTCGTCCGACGGAGCCGACGCGCGCCGACGGCGTAAACCGCGCGCAGGTTCGATCTTGATGTTGATGACGACGACGCGAAGAAGACGATGATCTCGCAATTGCACAAACTGCTGCGGCCCTTCGTGCTGCGGCGGCTCAAGGCCGACGTCGAGCGGAGCATGCCTCCCAAAACAGAAACGATTCTGTTTGCGTCGCTGACGAAGTGCCAGAGAGACGTGTACAAGTCGCTGCTGAAACGCGACGCTTCCTTACTAGGCAAGGAGGACGGTTCCTGCTCCAGGGCGTCGATCGCGAACATCGCCATGCAGCTCCGGAAGTGCTGCAACCACCCCTACCTGTTCCAGGGCGTCGAGGATAGAACCCTAGACCCGCTCGGCGAGCACGTCATCGACGCTTGTGGGAAGCTCAAGTTGATGGACAAGCTACTGAGTAGACTGAAAGAAAAAGGTCACAGAGTACTGATCTTCTCGCAGATGACGCACTTACTAGACGTGCTGGAGGACGTGATGGCGATGCGCAAGTACGAGTACTGTAGAATTGATGGGAACACGTCCTACGACGAGCGCGACGAGTTCATCGAGGAGTACAACAAACCCAATAGCTCGAAGTTCGTCTTTTTGCTATCGACGCGAGCCGGTGGTTTGGGGATCAACTTGCAGACCGCGGATACTTGTATTTTGTTCGACTCGGACTGGAACCCGCAGGCCGACTTGCAGGCCATGGATCGGTGCCATAGAATAGGTCAAACCAAACCCGTACATGTGTACAGATTAGTCACGGCGGACACGATAGAAGAGAAGATTGTGGAACGGGCCAAGAAGAAGTTGAAATTGGACGCCATGGTCGTGCAGCAAGGGCGATTAAACCAGGAGAAGAAACCACAAGGACCGTCGAAGGACGAGATGTTGGAGGCTGTTACTTTCGGCGCTTCTGCCATCTTCCGGGCCGAGGGTGATGTGAAGGATGAAGACCTAGATGCTATCTTAGAAAGAGGTCGGGAGCGCACCAAACTCTTAGATGAGAAGTTCCAGCAGGACGACAAGGGCGACATGTTGGATTTCAAGCTCGACGGGGGCCAGTACACCCAGACCTTCGAGGGCGTGAACTATGCTCAGAGACAAAAACAAGATTTGGACGCGCTCAAGACCGCCGCGGCGGTCACAGCTCTAGAGGGTCCTGGTGAAAGAAAAAAGTCCGCCTACAACGCCCAGGCCGTCTTGAATGCGCAAGAGTACCAGGCCAAGGAGGCGGCCAAAAAAAGGAACCCGGTCCCGCCCAAGCACCGCATGCCGCGGCTCGACGACTGGGCGTTTTTGGACGTGGCTCGGTTGTCGGAGATCGGGAAGCTCGAGACGGAGGGGTTTACGGCGTTGTTGTCGGATCCGCAGAAGTACAAAGAAGTAGGGAATAGCGAGTGTGGTGTCCTAGAACCGTCAGTGTCGGAGGAGAAGAAGCGGCTGTTAGAAGCAGGGTTCCGCCAGTGGACCAAAGAACGCTTCATGCAGTGGCGGCGGTTGTCGGCACAGCACGGCCGCCACGCCCACGACAAGATCACGTCTGGTTTACAGGCTGTGGCGCCCGGCATCGAAATATCAGAGGTCAAAGCTTTTCATGAAGCGTTTTTTGACCAGAAAAAGGCGGAGAAGTGGAGAGATCAAGCGGAGTATTCTCGCGCTCTCAGGCAGATCGAGCGAGGAGAGAAGGCGACGATCGATAGCAAGAAGAACGACAGTGCGTTCGAAGAACTTGTGTCGAGTGCTGTGGAAGAAGGTAATGCGTTGGACGCGTTGCCCATTGACGGTGGGGGTCCTGCTACTCAAATCAGAGATGATGAACGGCCCTATACTCGCTCCGAAGACCGCTTCCTACTCACGGCGTGCTACCTCCTCAAGGATACCGACGGTCACGCCCTATCTGCGGCCATGAGATCGACGGACCGGTTCCTATTCGATCGTAGGATCCTAGGAGCGTCGCACAATGACCTCGCATCGAGATGCGTCGCCCTCAAGTCGAAGTGCGAAGGCGTCCGGGCCTCGCGCGAGCGCCAGGCGCAAAAAGCACTCGAGAAGAAGCGCGCCGTGCGGCCGGCGCACGTCGTCGAGGCCGAGTTAAGGGCGTTGGAGCCCAAACTCAAGCAAGCGAAACGGGAGGAGACCCAGGCTACTGATGAGTGGCGGAAATTAGAGAAGGAAATTAGGGGCCTGTCGTCTCGAAGTGCGCCGCGGCCGTCCTTGCTGAAGCCGGAGCCTCGTCAATTACGTCTGAAGCCCTTCGTCTACTACGTGCGCGAGCGCGGGGCTTCGTTGGTCGCTTCAGCGGAGCTGCCGGAGCGCGACGACATGGAGCCGGCCGTCGAGGAGACGCTGGCCATGCTGGAGACGAACTGGGGCGCCGAGGGCGATGCAGCGAAGGGCGAGTTGCTTTCCCGCGTGCCGTCGTCTTCCTAGGTCGTCTCCCTCCCTCATACTAACGTGTGTACCTTACGTCCGTGCCGCGGCGACGGCGTCGAAGTGCCAATTTTTTTCCTACGCTCTGAAGCGTAGTGCCAGGGCTCTACGACGGCCACTCCTGCCGCGCAGAGAGCTGCCCCGTGATCCTAGTGGAGCTGAACGAATAGCAGCTTGGCAGACTCAAATCTGAGATTCACCCAACGCGGCCGCGCGCCCGGCGGACGACACGGGGCGTCGCTCGTGTCAGAAGCCACCGGCCGACAAGACGGCGCGGGCCCTCGCAAAACGCCGTCGGCGCGGCGTTTGGACAAGCTGCCCTCACCTGCGCTGAGCGCAGGCTGCCCTGACTCGGGATGTCGCGGCGCTCCTTCGACGGCACGCCGCCGGCCGGCGCGGGCGCGTTCTTCGACGGGCCCCCGCTGCCGCTGGCGTTCCGCGGGGACGACGGCACGCAGCCGCCGGCGCGGAGACGGCCGGCGCCGAACACGCGGCAACTACTCATCGTCGCAGCCATGACGCTGGTCGTCCTCGGCCTGGCGTGGCCCGGAACTCGCGCGAGGAGCCCCGGCAGCGGCCTCGTCTTGGGTCGGGACCGGCACTGGGGCAACCGGCTGCCCCTGCTCTATGGGTCGGCCTGGAAGGAGGACCAGACCGCGACGAATGTGGTGGATGCCGTCCTGGCGGGCTTCCGCGGCGTCGACACGGCCTGCCAGCCGCAGCACTACCGCGAGGATTTAGTAGGGGAGGCGCTGCGGACGCTCGCCGCCAAGCACGGCATCGGCCGCGAGGCGGTCTGGCTCCAGACGAAGTTCACGCCCGCGCTGCACCAGGGAGAGGACGTGCCGTACGACCCCGCGGCGCCGCTGTCAGACCAGGTCGCGCAGAGCCTCCAGGTGTCGCTCAAGAATCTCCAGGTCACTTCCGTCGACGCGCTGCTGCTCCACGGGCCGTTGGAGACGCACGAGCGGACCATGGAGGCCTGGCGCGCCATGGAGCGGCAGGTCGAACTGGGCTTCGTGACGCAGTTGGGGATTTCGAACCTCCACGACGTGCGTCGCTTCGAGCGGATTTATCAGGAGGCCGCGGTCAAGCCGCGCGTGCTCCAGAACCGCTTCTCGCCGCAGCTCGGCCACGACGCGGAGATCCGGATCTTCTGTCAAAGGCACGGTATAATCTATCAGCCCTTCTGGGTCCTCTCCGCGAACGGCCAGCAGCTCAAATCGCCGGCCGTGACGGCCGCGGCCCTCGCGCACCACGTCGATCCGGAGCAGGTCCTGTTCAGCTACCTGCGCCAGCAGGGCGCGCAGCCCCTCTCCGGGACGACGTCGACGGTTTATATGAAGGACAACCTCGCCTCCAGTGACTTCGCGCCGAGCCGCGCGGAGATGCGCGAGCTCGACGGGATCTTCCTGCGGCCGCGCGGGGACTACGCCGCGCCGCGGAGACGCATCACGACGTGGCGCGGACCGAGATAGAGCCGCGCCGCCCAATTCATCATGCTGACCCATGCTCACTCCTACGCCTGTGTGCGGCCGCGCCGCCGCCGCCGCCCAATTCATCAATCTATCCCATGCTCACTCACACGCCAAATTCACCAGCCTGACCTATGAAGACTGTGTGTGCTGCGCAAGAGCGCGCACACGTTCCAGATCGCGCTCGCCGCCCGCCGGCGCGATCGCTAACCTTAATAGTCTTGAAACTGGCTTAGGAAACATGGGGGAGGGAGCGACCGGTCACGTGTCCTCGATCGACGCCGCGAGGGCCTGCGCTTTTCTTGGCCTCGGCCGTTCCTCCGGCAAGCGTACGGTACTAGTAGTCCGAGTCCGAGTCGCCGACTCGCCGTAGACGCCGCGGGCCCGGGCCGAGTACTAGTAGTCTTGAAACTGGCTTAGGAAACATGGGGGAGGGAGCGACCGGTCACGTGTCCTCGATCGACGCCGCGAGCGCCTGCGCGAGGAGGAAGTCGTCGCCCGCCGCGGCGTCGGCCGCGGAGAGGTCGATCGCCGCCGCGAGGTCGGCGTCGCCCTGCTGCGGCGCCGCGTCGGACGACAGCGCGATGGCCCTTGCCAAATCGTCGTCCTCGGCCCGGCGCAGGGCCGCCGCGTCGAGCTCGCTCTGCAGGTCGCTCGTCTCGGCCTCGCGCTGGGCGCTCAGCGACGCTTGGAGGGCGGCCTCGAGGTCCGCCGCGCCGTCGTAGGCCGCTCTAGACGCACTCAAGGCTTGTTCCACGGCTGCTCGTTCCGTAGCCTCCGCGTCCGACACGGCAAGAGCCGAAGAAGCGTCTGCATTGGTCTTGCGCGCTCTAGCTTTCTGCAACGCGAGTAATTCGCGTGAACCAGGATCGGCCAGCGGATCGAACTCATCACTATCATTGACCAGCGAGTCGTAGTGGCCGCCGCCGTAGTACGACAGGCGCATGACGGAACCACCCTTCGCGGCAGCATGAAAAGTCCGCAAAATTCGCGCGCCGCCTCCTTTCCGAGGGTCCATGCCGGCGTCGTAGGCCCAGACCTCGCATGGCCGATCGTACAACTCGCAGAGCGCCTGGATCTCGGGCTCGTCGCCCCAGGAGCCGTCGCGCCGCTTTTCTGATATATATCTGTCGAAGGCGTCGCCGTCGCCCTCGACGAACGACTGGAAGAAGGGCCTTTCTAAACTCATGTAGTCGGCCACACTCCTTCGAGCTAAACCGTGGTGCTTGTCATCCCCATAAACTTGGTGCGACACCGATCGGAACAGACAATTCCCGTCACCTTCGACTCGATGTACTCTCAGACCCCTTCGCTGCAGAGACTTGCGGTATCTTTCAAACACGTCGCCCTGGACCTGGCGTTCCCTGAGTTTCGGGCCCTTCACGCCTAACACCTCGACCAGATCGTCGCTATCACAACTTCGCGCGACAACGTCTCGAGAATCGATCTCCACTTCCCGTCGAGGCTTCGTAGAACCGAAGGGTCTCAAACGACTGCCTTCTAACGGCAGCCACTCGTCGAACTTTCGATGGAAGCCCTTGTAGTGGCAGAACGCGGCATCGTCTCGCACCTCCAGGACCTCCGCCTCCAACCACTGGCCTCTGTCATCTTTAGCTTCGATGCGCTGGCCCGGCCGTGGTCTCGCGCCCGCAATATAAGTCTGGGAGTGGTGTTGTGATATACGTTCATCATCCCATTGGAGCCACTCGTCCCAGCGCGCGCTCCAGCCCACGTAGGCGACTTTGATCCTCCGTCCTTGCGTATCGACCTTAATAACGTCGGCCTCGGCCCACTTGTTCACCGTATCTAAGACGTCGACGCGCTGGCCGGCGCGGTAGGGGCCGTGCTTTTGTCTGCTCTGGCCGGTCGCGTCGCGCTTGCGGCCCGTCGCCGTGTCCGGGGGTGCGGGCAGGTCTAGTTGGGGCTCGGCGCCCATTCTGGGTCTTTCGGATGCGCAGGCGGCCTCGACGGCGCTTCACGCGCCCCTCGTTTTTGTGTGATTTGAGTTATTCGTGGGGGTGACCTCACCCGGCTGTGTTGACGTCCGAGACAGCGTTGCCCCGTGAATTTATGATCTCACCCAGCTCTATGAATATTTTCTGGCAGTTTTCAAGTGCCAGTGCAGCTGGCCGGTCCTCCGACGGCGGTGAACCAGGGCTCGTTTTGCCAAGTGCAGTGGGCGCTTTGGCCGAGACCGAGCGCCTCGATTCGTCCGCCGACCGAGGATTACTCCCGCCCACCGGCTGCTGAGTCGCCTGCCGGACCCGTACCGTACTTCGGCCGGGCGGGCTAGTGTGTCATTACAAGCTGCCCTCGATCTCGAAGCCGCGCCTGCCTCTCCGGCCATCGGTGCAAAGCAAGGAAGGCAATAACCACACCAAAACGCCATCGACGCGGCTGCCCCAATGGAGCAGCAGCCCACAGTAAACATAGCCGGCATCGAGGTCCCCATCCGCGGCCTGCCCGAGAAGGACCCGGTCCAAGGGACGTCTAAGAAGCCGCCGCCCAAGAAAGAAGTCTTATTCTGTGGCTACTGCGAGCAGGCCTGCCGGCGGGTGCTGCGGTGCTCGAAATGTAAAAGTGTGGCCTACTGCGGCGTCGACTGCCAGAGGAAAGCGTGGCCGAACCACAAGAAGCGCTGCGCGCCGCCGCGGCGTACGAAGAGCCTGTGTGCCTGCTGCGGCGCTTTGTCTGAGGTCGCGAACTGCGACGCCTTGGTCGCGGTGGGTTCCTCCACGCCTTGTAGGGTTTGTGGCGAGACGGGCACGGGGGACCCCATTCAAGAACATCAGCGATTGCGCGAGCTACTAAAAAAGAAACCGACGGGGCCCCACGCGTCGTTAGCTAGAGCATTGGTAGGCAAGTACGCTTTGGATCGGTATCGCGAGAAGCCGGAGCGTGAAGATGACGACCCGGAGCGATTATTAGCTTTAGAGACGCTGACGCTGTCCGCTAGAGCCGGCGTCGCGGCGGCGGCGGCGGCGCTTGGGCAGCTGCACTACTACGACGCCCTCGACGCGCAGGAGGCCTTTGATGTGTTGTGCAAGGCGTCCGGGAATGAGGCGGGCGTCGCGCCGCGAATCCCGGACCACCTCAATCTCGCGCGGGGCTGGTACAAGGAAGCGCTCGAGTCGCGCGGCGAGTACCGGCTCTCGGACGCGGAACGGGATCGCGTCCTCCGGCTGCCGCACGTGCAGAACATTGTGGGGGTCGGGCAGGGCACGGTGGCCGTGTCTACCAGTTAAGTTGAGTTAACATCAGAGTAGGACGCGCGGGGTAGTGGAACGGGGAGGGTCTTTCGGGAGCGGGGCGACTCCCGAGTATGGACATGTGTCTAGAGCACGTAGGCGACCGCGGCCGCGGCGGCGACCGCCAGGCTCGCGCGGCCCGCGGAGTCCGACTCCTCCATGGCCGTCGGGCCCATCGTCGGCTCGTCGTCACTCCCGGGCATCAAGACCGTGTCGATGACGTGGATTACACCGTTCGTCGCGAGCACGTCCGCCGGACCGATGACCGAGTCGCCGTTGATCGTGGGCGTGAATTCTCCGCACCCCGACAAACTGGTTGATTTTCACACAGATATTCACCAGTTGATCCTTGTTCTCGGGCTTGAGCAGGTCGTCGACCGTGCTACCCAATGCGGCGAATGCATCGTTCGTGGGCGCGAAGACCGTGAACGGGCCGGGGCCGGACAGCGTGTCGACGAGGTCCGCGGCGACGACGGCTTGCACGAGCGTTGACAAAATATCGGTGTTTTGGGCCGTCTCGACAATGTTCATCGTCGGCTCATCGGGCGTCGGGTCCACCGGCGCGCCTTCGCTCGTGATCGCCACGCGCTGGCCCGCGTTGCAGTGGCTGCCGACCTCGCACGCGTAGTACTTCGTCTCGCCGGCGGCGGGCGCGTCGACGGTGACGGAGCCGCCGGACGACGAACCCGCGATCTCCTTGGCGCCGGAGAAATCGCACGAGTTCATTGCAGCCTCGCTAGGCATCTCGTAGACGTTGTGGGTAAAGCTCCACTTGAATGTTATCGTCGAGGCGACGTCATTCGACGGGTCCACGGTCACGGGTGGGAGTTGCTCGGCGCCCGGAATGCGCCAGTCAATTTCGATGGCTTGCGCCGTGAGCGCGAGCGCGAGGGCGACAACACACTTCATGCTTGCAAAATTGACCTGCGCGAGAAGGGTTAAGCGGGCACGAACTACGTGAGCCATTACGATGGCCGCGATGTCGTGTTCTATGGCCGCGATGGCGCAAAAACGCAGTCTAACCAACTCTGACACACAAAATTGAAGTCTTACACTTCGACACGCAATGCGCTTCGAGTCAAGGGTGATTAATACGGTTTTGAGACACGACACTGGACACGTACTGGCGGTTTTAGAGGACTTGTTTATATGACGTGTGCTCACAGACACCAAGACTTTGCTTGGCCTGATAGCTAGCACCTGTAAGACACTAGCAAAGCGCGTTGCGCACGCGAAAGACCGCTAGTTTTCAACAACTTACTCAGGCCTCCACGAGCTTTCGGTACTTGAAGTTCGAGACCTCGTCGCCGAGGCCGCGCTCGAGGCGGTTCGCCGCGTACTCGGCCCAGTTGCCGTTGAACACCTCGACATGCCTGCGGCGGGGTACGCGCCTCGGCACACGCCGTCGACGTGACGTGAGATACTGAGACTTCCATGTGACACTGCCGCCGTGCGAGTCCCCTTCAAACGCCAGGATGTGCGTGGCGACGCGGTCGAGGAAGAAGCGGTCGTGCGACACGACCAACACCGTACCGGCGAAACCCAGGATCGCCTCCTCCAACGCGCGCAGCGTGCCGACGTCCAGGTCGTTCGTGGGCTCGTCGAGGACGAGGACCTGTGTTGGCAGCGACCGGTGAGACAATAACTACGTGAAGGACGCCAACCGCACGTTGCCGCCCTCCCGCACGACCGAAGCCAGCTGCGCCCGGTTCCGCTCGCCCCCAGAAAGATCTTTGATCTTCTTCGATTGCTCGCGGGACCGGAAGCCAAAGGCCGATACATATGCGCGCGCGTTCACCTCGCGCTCGCCCAGGTCCAGCGTCTCGCGCTCGCCGCAGATGGCCTCGAAGACGGACTGGCCGCCCTTGGCGTCGAGGTCTTCGCGCGCCTGGTCCACCGACGCCAGCTTGACGGTCCCTCCCACCTTCACTTCCCCCGCGGTGACGGGCTCCTGGCCCGTGAGCATTTTGATGAGTGTGGACTTCCCCGCGCCGTTCGCGCCGACGATGCCGACGACGGACGCCCGCGGCACCTCGAAGCTCAAGTCGTCGATGAGGACGCGGTCGCCGATCTCCTTCCGCAGGCCCTCGGCGACGATGACCTCCTCGCCGAGACGGGGCCCCGGCGGGATCCAGATCGCGCCCGCGCCGACGGAGGCGTCGTCCGCCGTCCGCGCGGCGTCGACGAGCGCATCATACGATTTGAGCCGCGCCTTTGTTTTCGAGCCGGCCTTGGCCGACCGCAGCCACTCGAGCTCCTTGTCCGCAGCTTTCGACGCGGCGTCGGCGGCGCGCTTGCTCTCCGCTCTTCTAACGGCTTTCGCGGCGAGCCACTCCCCATAAGAACCTTCGAAGGGCAGGCCCTTGCCATTGTCCAATTCCAAGATCCACTCCGAGATGTTCTCCAGAAAATAACGGTCGTGCGTCACCGTTACCACTGTCCCCTTAAACTCCGCCAAATATCGCTCCAACCACAGCACCGACTCCGCGTCTAAGTGATTGGTGGGCTCGTCGAGCAGCAGCAGGTCGTGGCCCTCGAGCAGCAACCTACATAACGCGACGCGCCGCTTCTCGCCGCCCGACAAAACTTTTGTTTGCGCGTCGCGCGGCGGGCATCTGAGAGCAGCGCACGCGACGTCGACGCGTCTATCTAAATCCCACAGATCGCCCGCGTCGATCTGATCTTGAATGCGCCCCAATTCCTCCATGGCGTCGTCCATGGCGTCTCCTTCCAGATCTCCTAACGTGGCGGACAAGTCGTTGAACTTGTCGAGGATAGCTCGGGACTTGGCTATTGCGGGGGCTATGGCATCATCGACGGTCTCGCCCTCCAGCGTCGGCTCCTGGGCTAAGTACCCGACGGACGCGCCCGGTGCGGGTCTAGCCGTGCCGTCGAAGGCGTCGTCGACACCTGCCATAATTTTGAGAAGGGTAGATTTCCCTGCTCCGTTCTGGCCCACCACCCCAATCTTCGCGCCCGGGAAGAAGCACAGGTCCACGCCATCGAGAATGGTTCGCTGCGCGTCCGGCGTCTTCTTGGTCAGGCCCGCCAGAGTAAACATGTACTGGCGCGTGGCCGCGTCGAAGCGCTCCTCCTGCACCTTCTTCTTCTCCTGCTTCGGCTGGCCACTCGTTTTTTTGAACTTGTTGGCCTTTTTGCCCTTTTTGGCGTACAGCGTCGTGGCCGGTCGCTTGGGTGCCGGCAGCACGAAGGCGCTGGTCGCGGCGACGGCGTAGAGGAGGAGCAGGCGCGCCATTTCACGGATTTATTGCGTCGTTCGTCGCGCGTTTGAGATGTGTGCAGTGCAGTGCGTGCAGCTCTGAGAGCAGCTCTCCCAAGTACTTGTCCGATGACGGTTCCGGTTGCAGCGCTACTGTAGCTATGCAGCAGTGGTCCTGCACGTGTAAATGACTGCTATGCTCCCACAAGCGCAACACACTGACTGCAGCCAGCCTCAGCTGAGGACTGCCAAAAGGACTGGAGTAGGCAACGCGAAAGGGTGCATCATACGGCTCTGAAGAGGCCTCCAAGGCTCCTCATATCGAAAAGAGGACGGCTGCTGATTGCTAGTGTCTTACAAGGCCGCTAGCTAATCCGACACCTGGAGCTGGAGCCGCAAACGTGCCAAGCAGTGCTAAAATTGCACGCCGCCGGCGCTGGTCACACACCTTTTGCTGCCACGCTACTTCGCTGCAAGCGGTCCTGCGCGACACTGCCTAGTTTGAGAGATAGGCTGCCGGCACATTTTCCACGTGCAGTCGCGGAGAGCGTCGTCGCGCAGGTCAACGATGAAGCTCGCTCTCATCGCGCTCCTCCTGCCGAGTGCGCTAGCGGCGGTCAAGAAGACGGCCGCGAACGCGAAGGAGACGGCGTTCCTCGAGGAGTACGCCACGGGCGAAGGAACCCAAGTCACGGACTCGGGCCTCATGTACCGCGTCCTCAAGGACGGCTCCGGCGGCTCTCCCGAATTGGCGACGCCCTGCTCGCGCGCGCGCGGCGTCCTCGTCCCTTCGACATGCGAGCGTCCCCCGACGCCGTCGCCGCGACCCGCCGCTCGCGCAGGTGCCACTACGAGGGCCGCACGGCGACGAACTACCCGTCGGGCAAGACCTTCGACTCGAGCTACGCGCGCGGCCAGCCGACGACCTTCGCGCCGCGGCAAGTCATCGCGGCCTGGACGGAGGCCATGCAGAAGATGAAGGTCGGCTCGAAGTGGGAGCTCGTCTGCCCGCCCGAGATCGCGTACGGCGGCCGCGCGATGGGCTCGGATATTCCTGCCAATTCCGTTCTGGTCTTCACGATGGAGATGCTGAGCTGCCAGGGGGTCTCGGCAGAGTTGTGAGCGCGCCCTCGGGGCGCCTCACGACCCTGGCGCAGGTGCGAGGCGGAGGCGGGCTGCGGCGGCCAGGGCTCCGAGGGCACCGTCGTCATCCGGCGAGGGGCTTCGAGCATGTGTGATCGTCCGACAACTAAGTGTTATTTAGATTCCTGACCGCGGCATCAAATCCCGCGCCGGCACAATCCTCGTATGCAGCCCACCGGTCCCGCGCGAGGGCCGCCATCTCCGAGCGCTTCTCCGGGAGCGTCGCCGCGGCGAAGGAGAAGAAGATCGCCGCCTCGAGCCACGTGAGCGGCTCGAAGAGCTTCGTTTCCAAGAGGCACGCGTCGGCGGCGCGTTGCGTCGCGCCTTCGCCAAGATACGCCTCCACGAAGGACAGTAGAGAAGCGTCGGACGCCGCCGGCAGTTTTGACGTCCGAAAGAGTTTAAAGATGTCGTATCCTCTATAATTTGGGCCCGCAAGCTCGAAGTCGATAAAGGTAATCCCGCCGCGCCTTAATCGCAAGACGTTCGACGGCTTGAGGTCGCCGTGGCCCAGCACGTCGGCGTGCGTGCAGGCCTCGACGGCGTCTCGCATCCGCGCGGCTTCTCGCCGCAGCAAGCTCGCGTCGAGCGCGTCGCCTTCGCAAGCGAGCATCGCGTCGATGCCGACCCAGAGCGCCGGCTTCTGCGGCAGCGGCGGCGGAATGGGCAAGGCGTGGAGCTGGGCGAGCTTCGGCGCAATCGTCAGCGCTGTCTCTTCGTCCTTCAAGTCGCGCTCCGTCAGCGTCTCGCCGTCGACGAACTCGGCCACGAGCGCGTCGTCCGTGCGGACGTGTATTTGCGGTCCGAGGCCCGCCGCGCCCACGGCCTCGTCGACGACGCCGCGGCAGGCCGGCGCGCACCGTGCTTTGGCCATGGCCGAATAGATCTTCACGACGACCGGTTTCTTGTGCGTGTCGACCCGATAGACCGAGTTGCAAAAGCCGCTGTCGAGCTCATGGTAGCCCGTGGCGCCATCGATGCGGCCCAGTTTGAGCAGCGTTTTGATCTGGTCCACCGGGGCGAGGCTCGCGGCCAGCGGCAAGCAGAGGAGCCATGAGTGGCGCATCGATGGCATCGATGGCGTAGGGCTCGCCTCACGCAGCAGCTGATCTGCTGTATGCAAGCAATTGAGGCAGCGGTGCAGCTGGACGCTGTGCGCTGCGACTAGCAGTGCAAGCGGTGGTCGCGAGCTGCTCTCTTGCTCCTTACGCCGCCCTGCACAGCAATAGCCGTTGTGCACCGCGAGCTTGGGATGGTTGGCTAGTATGCTTATACGCTAGTTTCGATCGAGCAACCTCCGCACGGCTTGATCTACGGGCTGCGAATCAATCTAGGATTGGTTTTGCACCCAGCACGTCAGCACCGGAGTGATCATTGTGGATTAAGCAACGTTCAGAGCAGCAGTGCAGTGTTCAACCTGCAGCATCTAACCTGCCTGCAGAACACGCCGAGGTCGGGACACGCCGAAGTCGGTCCAAGGACGATAACACTATAATGAGCGAGAACGATGATGAAACCGTCGGCGGCAGAATAATGGAGGACGCCGTCAGAATAATGGGTGACACCGTCGGCACGGAAGGCTTCACACCCAACTGCTGCGTTTTAAGCTGGCGGCTGCGCCTCGGCTACGCGGAGTTATATGCCACCCTCGCGCCGAACAATATCAACGCCGTCATAACTCGGGCGCGCGGCACGCAGCCGGCGTGCACTACTGTCGATGAATTGATCGAGCGCTGCCGCGAGATCTCGAAGCCATTGCTGGGCAAGGGCGATTTCGAAAGCGTCATCCAAGCGCTGATGGCGAAGCTGCCCTTCGACGATCCTGACGTCGACGCGCATGCCCAAGAGGTACTCATGACGGCGATCACGCAGTTCTACCCGGAATTCGTGCTGGGCCTAGGCGATGAAGCGACCACTCTGTTGCCGAGCGGCGGCGGCGATGCGGCGGCCTTCGCGGAGAGGATGATGCCGGACGTCACGAACCTCATCATGCGCCCGATGGCGCGGGGGATTGAATTACCCGAGCGGCTGCGTGGTGGAACGTTCATGACCGCCGTCGCGACGCTACAAGGCAAGCTCCTGGCTGAGCCGTCGCTGGCGCCGTTCACTCTGCGCGCCGAGGCCCGCGCGCTCGCGCGGAGGGCTCTCTGGTGGTATTACTCTGCACCCGACGATTTGACCGAGAAGAACGCGATCAGCGCGGCGCGCGACGCGATCCAGGAGCGGATCCAGCGCGAGCAGCTGGACCGGCACAAATTTACATATAAGGTTATCCTCGAGCAGCCCGCCGACAAGACGAGCCTGCGCGACGCATACGCGCCGTTTGTCGCCGACGATGTGCCTTGGGAATGCCTAGAGCAAAACCTGGTGCCACCAGCCGCGTCGCAACAGGACGCCCTCCGACGCGAAGATCTCCTCGTGCACATTGCTGGACACGCGGACACGGCAATGGCCCTGAGCGCGCGCATCCGCGCCATCGCGCGCTCGCTCCATCCCGCGAAGCGCCTCTGTTGGTTTATGAGCACGGTCCAGTACTCGCACAACGCCATCGAGGACGTGCGCCTGGGCGTGGGCGAGGAAGGCGACTTCGCCACGTTCGAGTCGTGGGCCCAAGAGCTCGAAATTGTCCTAAGGGCCAGCCGCTCCGCACTCGAGATCTGCGCGGCGGCGTCGCATCTCGGGGCGAAGGGCTTTATCCGCCGCAGTACGGCGACTTGGCCGTGGAGTATGCTTTTGCAGTTGTTTTCGGAGGAGGACGTCGATGATATCTTTGGAGGGGCGGATGCGATGCATGCTCTCATGCGCGACCCCGTCTTCGGCCACAGCGCCTCTTCGTGGCTCGGTGAATCGGACGCGCCGTCGCTCTCGGACGAGGCGAAGCGCCGGCGCGCCGATGACCCCGCGGCGGGGACCCGGCTGATGGAGTGGGCGTGTGGCCTGCGAGCCCTCTTCTCCGTGCCGGTATACGCTGCGTTCGCCGAGTCGCACGACTATGTGAAGCGGGTGCTGGGCCTCGAGAACGTCCAGTGCGCCTCCGAGCACGTGGACGATTCTTATATTGCGACGCGGCCCTGGGATGAGGTCCTGGCCATGACGGCGTACGATGGTGGGGGCAAGGGGTTATCCTTTCTGGATGTCGCGGTAGAAGCGTGCTCGCGCGTTGCCAACGGACGAGTTTCGTGCGTGCACCTGACCTATGCTACGACTGACGAACGCTACCTCAAGGGGCGGGTCCTCGCTCCTGTTGTGGCGGCCCGTGATCTTTGCTGTGTGTGCCTAGAAACGACGCCCCTCGACGCCTGCCTGAAGCCGTGTCGCCACAAAGTGTGCGGCGCGTGCGCCCGGAAACTAGGAAAATGTCCGCTTTGCCGCGAGCGCGTCGTTGAAATTGAAATGCAGGACGAGACCACGACCAGTGACCTCGCCGAGGCCATCCGAGACGATGATTATCTCAAGGGTATGATGAACCGCCAAATGAACGGACTGACCGCGCTGCGAGCGGTCGCGCGGCTGCCGCGATGCGCTCGACAGGCGCCGCCGACGGCGCCAGTGTTTGCGACGGGCGCGCCCGAAGGTCTCGCCGCCGCGACGCATTGCGCGGTCACGATGAATCTTGAAGGGGGACGAAAGGTTACGTATTGGGGGGCGTGCGATGACGTGGAAGCGATGGACCGCCCAGGGCCGAGCCGTACTCCCTTCTCAGTGGTAGCTGTGACGGACGTCGACGGCGCGGGTCGCCGGGAGTGCAGCGCGATGGGCTGCCCGAATCGCCAAGGCGGCGACGGACTGAGTCCGTTCTCGCGCTGCGGTCGGTGCCGCATTTCGACCTACTGTTCCCAAGAATGTCAGAGGCGCGACTGGAAGCATCAGCACAGAGACCAGTGCCCGAGGTTCTGTGCGCTACCGCGTGGCCCGGCGGCGGCGGCGACTGCTGCCGGTGGGGCCTAATAATTCGATTTCTTAGTTGTGCGCCCCGAGCGCCGGGCGCTTTTTGCAGCCCCCCTCGAAGGCGTCGACCACGTTCCGCGAGAGCATGTCGTGCTTCAAAATATCCGCGATGCCTATGCCGTCGTGGTCCGGGGAGATCTCGCTCCGCAGTGTGCCGTGGACGGTCCGAGACGCATTCAACGTGACGTAGACGCCGCCCGGGCCCGACAGGTCGACCAGTAGGCCCGCGCCGGGGATCGCGAACGTCCAGTCCGAGGGCGCCCGGCGACACGGCGGCCAGGCGATCGACTCCCAGGCCCACTTGCCCGAGCTGTCCAGGTGCTGCGACGAAACGTAGCCCTGGGACAACGCCAGCGTCACGGACGGCCCGATCTCCCGCGGGAAGCCACCGACGATCGCCGGCGCGTTGATCGCCGCGGAGACGGCCAGGCGCGCCCGATGGAGGCGCGGGGAAACCGCAGCCTCGAGTGCGGCCATGATCGTCAGGACCGTTTCCAGCGGGGAAATGTAGCCGTCATAATTAGCCTCCGCGGCGGCGGCGCGGTTAATTCTGTAAGTGTCGATCCGCCCGCTGCCGCGCTTCTTGCGCTTCTTTAGCTCTTCCGCGGTCCAGCGCCTCACGAGCGCGCCGGCCATGAACATTTTGCCCCTCCGGGTGTTCGAGCCGCGCTTCGCTGGATTATGATGGCGCTCCATCGTATCCAACAACACCTCGACCTGGTCGACGGCAGCAGGGGTCCACGCCGCGCGCGTGGTCGCCGTGTTGATCGCGACGACGGCCACGACTTCATACGTGTCGAGCGGTACACCGTTGTCGGTGCTATAGGCGACGACGCACGGCTTGCGGACGACGGTGTGCCCGTACTTGCGCTCTAGCTCCGTTCGCGCGAAGTCTTGCTTCGTGTCCTTGAATTGGCGTTGGTACGCAATGCTTGCACCTCTATCTACCAGTATGATGTCGTAGCCTTCGGCGTTCAGCCTCTTGAGGTCGATGTCGCAGTACTTGCGCTTATCACCGAGCCAGGACGATTCGCCGCCGAGCTCGTGGAGCGTCGTCCGTAGCTCGTCCGATCCGGGGATTCTCAGCTTCCCCGCATGACCCCACCACTCTCCATGGCGGCTATGGACAATGCGTAGCTTCGGCGCCGACGTCGCAGATGCGGGCGGTACTATACTTTCCGGCCGTGCCGCCAGAATCCGCGCCCGCATCGCAGCGGCGTCGATGGCGCCGCTGCCATCAACGGCGGCGGCTCCTTGGAGAGACAGCCGTGAATCCTGCGACGCGTGCTGCGACGTGTGCTGCGACGGGTCGACCACTTGCGACGACAGGTTGGCCACGCGGCGGTCATCTTCTTCGTCGGATTCTTCGTCCCAGTCGTCCTCGACAACGGCGGCCTCCGGTGTCTCCGATCTTGACACCGCGGTCGGCGGCGGCGGCAGGTTCGACGCCTGGTTCAGCCCCTCGTCCTCGTCGCTGCTCGAGGAGCTCTCGTCGTCGTCGGCGGCGCCGACGGCCTCGTCTAAATCTTCGGCGGCGTCCTGCACGTCCTCCTCCTCCTCCTCCGAAGAGCTCGACTCCTCCTCCTCCTCCTCGTCCTCCTCCGAAGAGCTTTCGGCGTCCGCCGCCAGCCGGACGTCGGCTGCGGAGAGCTGGTTGACCCCGCCGCCGTCGTCCCAATCTACCATGTAGGCGAGACCGCCACGACCATCGGTGATGACCTCGTCGACGGTGGCGCCGCACCACTCCCCGTCCCATATCCCCCGAACTCTGTCGCCGACGGCGAACCGCGTGGGTGCCAGCTCGTTCCGTGGGTTCGCGTCGAGCCACGCCTGGCGGTAAATCCTCGCGTCCGCGGCGCTCAGGACGGAGTAGTGGTCCTCCGTGGTATCAACTGAGACGGGGCGCGCCGCTGCACGGCATGTCCGCCGCGGCGCCCGCGACCCGCGGACGGCCGCGGTGCGCGCCAGGACACCGCCCTGATCATCGTCGCTGTCGTCGTCGTCCCTGGCCAAAGACCAGCGCGCCGAGACGACGGGTCGTCCCCCGACGGTATCAATTTCTTCGATCTCGCCCCTCGCGCCCTGCCACTCGGGCTCGGAGCCATTGTAGAGCAGCCGGTCGCCTTCTTTCAGCGGGCTGTGAGCCATGTCGAGCCACCGGTACGCACCGCTGCGACCAAAAGCGCTAGCCGCCGTTTCGTGTGCTCTGTCCGTCCGGCGCGTCGCGACGCAGCGCGCGCTGTCCGATGAACAATTGGGTGGCCTCAGTTACTGCAACCAGCGGTGCCACGTGCTCCGCGCACGCCTATGTGCTCGGTGCGCCCCGAGCCGGTCGAGCCGCACCCTTCCCGCGTTAATAACTAGCGGTAAGACACTAGCAAGTTCACAAGCCACAGTCCTAGCACAATTTCACAAAAGCCCTTACACCCCCAGCGTGCTCGCCCGCGCCGAGTCGTCGCCAACGACCATGACGCGCCGCCCCTCGCGGAGCATGTTGTCCTCCCAGTCGTGCAGCAGCGTCACCTCCGTCTCCGACCGGGGTCTACGTGCTGTGACGCCGTTGTAGGTCGTCCGCGGGCCGACCATCTCGACCGTCCCCCGGTTCTCGAGGTAGCCCTCGGTGTCGGCGATGATCTGTCCGTCCTCTAATAACATGCCGCCGTGGTTGACCACGCGCGCCCACATCTTGAGCTCGCCGTCGGCGACGACGGACGCCGCCCGCAGGTGCAGGTCGCCGCCACCGCTCACGGTCCCGCCGCGCCACGTCGTCTGGCCGCGAATATCGACGTGGGACCGATCCAGCGTGTAGGGCCCCTGGCAGGGGTGGTTCGGCGCCTGTGCGTAAATCAACCAGTGAGTCGGGTGCACAATTGCGATCTTGATGACTGAATCGAGTGGTGCAAGACCCACACTGCCACGCCATCGAGCTGGTGTCGCGTCGATGGCGTGGAAGTCACGATTCAGCGGTGGCGGAGACGCGCCGCGACAATTTGATTTATGCACAGTTCGGCGCCTGTTCGCGCGACGGACACGACAGGTGAAACCTACTCGGCTCCGCGAGCGAGTCGCGCTCCGGAAAACGGACCCGTCCGGTATTCAACAGGTGGAAGCGGCCGTGCAGCGTGCCGTTCGTCGCGTCCGCGAGAAAAGATAAAGTGCCGTTCGAGACCGTGACGTCTGCCGACCTGTGTGGAAATCAAATTTTACGGCGCGTTCTCCACGCCATCGACGCGACGCCTGCTCGATGGCGTGGCGCTGCCGGTCCATCACCACTCGATGGAGCCAGCGTGGCCGCGTCCTCGCCGTGAAATGACTTTGTGAAGAATTATTGGAGCACCCGACGCACTGGTTGATTTCACACACAGCCGCCGACGCCATGAGGACGCGCCTCGCCCGAAAGGCCGCCTCGCCGCCCGACACGTTGAGGGACGGTTCGATGAGCGTCGGCCCCGGTAAAAAGAGCCGCCCGCCCGTGATGCCGAGCTCGCCCTCGCCCCGCAGCTTCACCCGCTCGAGGTCCAAGAGCCCGTTGCGCTGGGACACGCGGCCGCCGGCCGCGATCTGGAACGTGCCGTCGCCGCCGCCGCCGTCGCCCAGCGTCAGCGACCCCTGCGCATCAAGAATCCCGCGCGCGAAGAGCGTCGCCTCGACGACGTTTGAGCCCTCCACCGACAGCGTCCCGCCATTCTCGATCTTCACGAGCGGTGGCCGCGCGCACGCGTCGCCGCAGGCCGGGTTGCTGTACCAGCCGCGGTCGTTCAATGGATCCTCCTGGCGGCCCGGCGTGCGTTCCGGTCGTGGTGAGGCGAGGACGTTCGCCGACCCGCTCATGGTTAAGGTGGCGGCGACGTCCAAGCCGGCGCCCTCGCCCGTCACAATATCACCTCCTTGAAAGGTAGAAGCCCCCGCCAGCACGACGCGCGCGCAGTCCCGGACGTGCGCCGGCCAGAGCGTCCGGTCGCACTCCGTGTGGTTCACGCAGGTGTTTATGGTGGCCGCGCCCTCGACCACAAGCCGGCCGTTGCCCCTTATACCACCATTGCCCGTCCAGGATAAGGTGCTCTCGAAGGTGACGGAACCATGGGGCGGTCCCCGCGAGTACGAGTCGATGAGCCGCTCCGAAGCCATGCGTATTTCGCCGCCCGATAATGTCACAGCACCAGTGACCTTGTGGCCGAAGGACGGCCCCTCGCGCAGCGCCAGGGCCGCGCGCCACTCGCGGTCGTAGGGCGCCCACAATAGGGCAGCGGCGTCGTCGCCCCGATAGCCCGGACCGGCGAACGTGACCGTGCCCGCCGACACCTCCAAGGTAGAATAGGAGGCGGCCGCGGCGGCGACGTCGACGCGCGCGTGGTGGCCGGACACCTTCACGTCCGTAGCGGTCGCGGACAGCCGGTGCCAGCCCTCGCGGAAGTCTAGGGTCGTACTGACCGCGGTCTCGCCGCCCTGTTGTATACGATCGACGGACCCAAACACTCTAGAAAGGCAGTAGTCCCCGGGGTCGCCGTGCTTCGCTGCATGAACCGCCACGAGGTGTGTTCCTTGGTTGTCCGAGGCGGACGTCGGGTCGCCGCTCCACGAGCAGGTGCCGGCCGGTTTCGTATGAGCTCTGGCAACATTATCCACGCAGCCGCAGTCACCACCAGTTGCTAGAGAATCGGTCCCGAAGTCATTTGACCCTTCACAATCAAACCGCAGCGTAGGTACGGTCGCCGTCTCGGCACTATCATACGCGATCTCGTAATGAAAGGCATGGCCCCAGCGGTGGCTCCCGTCGCCCCTCCTGTTGACCGTGGCGCCTCCAATGGAACTGATTGCTGTCAAACCATTGACGGCGTCCGAGACTTCCTTCGCCGAGGCGTGCCAGGGGATGCACTCCGACCGCTCGCTACCGACCGATAACCTATAACTCCCTTGGGCCGGCCCCAACCTATTATTCCCGCGACCGTCGAGGACGAAGGCCGACCTTTCTAAAGTCATGAACTCGTCCTTCGCGCCGAGTGCGGATTCGAGTCGACCCTTGAGGCCATCAACACCAGCCATCGGACCACTCGTCTGGGGCTCCCCATAATTACTGTCGAAGTCCCTATAACTCCCAATACCTCGAACATTCCCGCGCTCGTAATAGTCGTTCTCGATACTTCTGAAATGCAGGTGGGTGTAGCCCGCCGCCCGTACTGCACTGGAAGGCCAGTCGCGCCACGACCGCTCGGTCACCGTCACGACCTTCTCCTTAGCGTACTCGAAGTCCTCGCGAATGACCGGCGCGTCCGCTTTTAAGCGTAACACATCTATTACAGGCGATCTCAGGGAAAGGCTCTGGCCGTCTATTACGATGGAGGTGCCGCTTACTTCGCCTCGACTCAAATCGCCGCCGCCTCCTAGCGAACCAGAACCCGTGACCTTGTCGGCGTAGACGGGCCAGTCGCACCGTCCATTAGACAGGGATAGCGTGTTTCCAAGCACGCGGCCGCCATGTCCCAGTAATCGCCCGCTCAGCGTGAACGTACTTGATATGGTAAGCCAGGCGCCGTGGACGCCCGTCAGGTCCGTAGTTAATGAAGACGCTTCCAAACCGGCACCATCTAAGTAGCCGTCTCTATTGGAAACTATGGTACCTGGTTTCACGACGCCGCCGCCTCTTAACACACCACCATCCTTGAGCGTCAACGTATTCGACACAATTAACGTGTGCTGCTCCGTGGTCCCTCTTCTTGTACAGACGTAGGGTTTATGAGAAGTACAGTCGGCCGACGTCCACCGCGCCCTGGCTTGCGACGCCGGGTCGTAGCCCCGGTGTAACGTGGCCGCGCACGTCTCCGCCAGTCGATATCGCGGCTCGTGGCGCGCCCAGCTCCGGTACAAGTTCCCGTGGAAGCCCGCGACGCCGTCGTCGGCGGGCGGGACGGCGCCCTCGTCGACCCAGGCCCAGTTGCCCACGTCCGCGTGTTCATCAAGAGACCACTGCGTGTGATGACTGCGCTGCTCCGGCACGGGATTAGAGCCCTTCGCCCCGTACGCGCGATGCTCGCCGTAGGCGCCACCGTCGCGGAACGCCCTGTTCTCAAACATTTCATGGGTCATGGCATCCCCATCCAAAGCCATGCTTAATCCGATCCAGCAGGCGTCGACGTCGGCCATTTGCTGGCCCATGCTCTCTGCTCGCGAATTTTCATACCTCAGAGACGAAGCATTGGAAGCCTCCGCACACAATATTGACACGATCCTATTGGTCTCCTCGTCCCCTATCAGTGCTAAATGCCCGCGATACCCACCATGGATCGACCCGCCCTCGTCATCTTGAGTCCCGTTCGACAGCCACCTCGTGTATTTCTCCCTTGCCATTTTGCCGGACGTTTCACGGTCTTCCACTCGACACACGCGCTCGCCCCGACTATTGGTGTAGCAGCCCGTTCCGGCCAGCGTGTCCGAGGAATTCGCGCGCCAGACGCCGCCTCTTCCTCTCACTCGACAATCAAGTTCAGCGTCGTTCCAGCTCCTTGCGTCGGCAAAGGCCTTCGCGCAGCCTTCCGAGTTGCCGTTACCGTCTCTTCTGAGGACGGCCCAGCCTTCCGGGCATTCTGTGGTCGCGAGGACGACGCGTCCCGAGTCCGTGACCTCCAAATTCGTGATCGAACGGTCCTCGGTGAGGTAGACCGTGCCCTGTCGGATGACGACGGTGTCACTCGACGTCGGGACCGAGCCGCTGTCCCAGAAGCGGGGCTCCTTCCACCTCCCAGTCCCGCCGAGCCAGGTGACCGTGGCTGCTCCTACTACCTGTGGGAGGAGGAGGGAGCACAGCATGGTAGTCGTCGGATGCATGTTTTATCGGGCGTCCGGGCTCTCCATCTTCATCGTCGTCGTCTTGAGCTCACCATCGATGCGATTCTAGCCGTCCCAGGAGATTCCCAGGCAGTCGATTTGCTGCCCTCCACAGCGGCTCTCTGCTTGGCTTGGCGTGCGGGGGCAGCCTCGTTTTGCTCGCGCTCTGGTAGCGGTCTGGAGCTAGTCGTCGGAGGGTTCGCGTGCAGGGATGCGTTCGGGTTCGTGCTAGTGTGTCTCGACACTCTAGGTACAGCTGTGTCGACTGTATCGATCGGTTTTATCGTCCTGCACGGCGCAGCACAGGCTACGTTATCATCTAATAGCCACTTGTGCAACGCTGCAGCTATACCGGCCGCGCTTGCTGCACTAGCGTGCAGGTTCAGGCTGCCTGCCACACGCTTACGCAGTGCACGCAGTCGCGGCGTGAATGCGGCGCATATCAGCGTTGTGCGCAGCCGCGGCAATTGGCTGCGCCGACGGACTCGCGGCGATGAACCGCGTAGGCGTCGTGTTTGATATTGATGGTACATTAGCCGACAGCTTCCGGCTCGGCTTCGACGCCACGAACGTGGTGCTGCAACGGAACGCCTTCCCCCCCATCAGCGAGGCGGACTATCACGACAATTGTATCTACGTGACGCCTGAGCGCATGGCGCGCCACGCCGTCGGCGAGCACGACGAGGACCTCGGGCGGCGATTGGGTGCTGAGTTCGATCGGGAGTACATTGCGTTGGTATCGACGGAGACGGCGGGCTTCTATCCCGGCTTGAGGCCGCTACTGGAACGGCTGCGGGACAGCGGCGCGGTGCTCGGCGCTTTAACGAACGCAGCCGTCGCGTACGCCGAGGCCGTGCTCTTGGTAAACAACGCGCGGGGCGCGTTCGGGTCGGTCCACGGCGCCGATTCCGTCGAACGCGCGAAGCCGTTCCCGGACGGCTGCCTCCGCGTCGCTGCTGATTTGGGGCTCGAGCCGAAGGGATGCATATACGTGGGCGACGCCCCTACTGATGGAGCCGCGGCGCGGGCCGCTGGATACGGAGCGGCCGTTGGCTGCAGCTATGGCAGCCATGCCGCGTCGAAATTGGAGGCGTCGGGGCACTTCGACGTCGTCGTGCCCGACGTCGCGGCGCTGGAGAAGGCGTTGTTTCCAAAGGGGTTTGATGACGATGATGATGCGCTGGCGAGCGTGGTGAGGGGTAATTAATTACTTATTGTTACGGTGCGTAAATTAGGAGCTTGTGTAGACACACTAGAATTCCCGAAGAGCAGCCCTCTTTTTTTGCGGAGAGCACTCGTTTGCAGCGTGAGAGTTTCACTTCGAACGCAGCACAACTAGAGCGCACAACTCTTTTGCAGCCTTGAGACTAAACGGTCGTACTGCTCGAACGCAGCAAAATTGTAACCACTCAGCAAGAAGGCATGGATTAGTGCAGCAATGCCGCGCAGGACTCCTACTAAATTCAGACCGCTGGCTGCTGCCGACGAGGCGCCGCAGCCGCGTCGTGTTGATCATGCATTAGACCTCGACGCAGCGGCCGCAGTCGCGCAGGCGCTGCGAGCGCAGCAGCAAGCGCCGCGCGTTGAAGCGAAAAAACCGCGAAGCGGAGGAGCGTTTGCGAACACGGCCGACGAGCCGCAGCGACCGCAGCAGCGGTCCGCAGCGCAGCCGGCGCAGCCGGCGCTACGTCGCCGTTTGGACCTTAGGGAGGACATAGCCGCCGCGCGAGACGTCGAACCGCAGCCCACGCCGGCTGAGGACGCGCACGAGCAGGACGCGGCTATTCACGTTCGGCGCTACGCGAAACCGAAAATACTCGAAGTACCCGGCGACGACGGATTATATCGAGCGATCTTCGGCGGGCACGCGACGACGGAGCCGGTCGTCATTTGCCTATGCGAACGGTGCGGCTACGGGCGGCCGGCGACTGACCTCGAGACGCCGTTCAGCAATGGCATCGGCGAGCCTCACTACAACATGACGTTCGGCGAGGGTATGTACGCCCAGGGCGCACCGATACCATTAAAGCAGCCCACCTTTATCTGTAGACGGTGCCCGAGGTACGGCTCGCGGCCCTATGGCGTGGGCGGCGCCCGGCGCATCGCTCCGCCCGCGCCGGAGATTGCGATCGCGACGCCGGCCGCGCCAACCGCTTACGAAGCGACTCCTATAGTAGAAAACCTTCAGAATATAGCAAGCCGCAAATTATGGGAGGAGTGCGTCGCAAATAGCAAGAACCCCGAGTATCAGAGTGCTCTCAACGAGTCGAGAGCGACTGCTAAGCAGGAATTAGACGAGAGGCGCGCGCAGCTCTCCGTCTTCCAGGGCCAACGCATGGCTTGTAAAATGCTCGACTTGGTCAAGCTAGACCCGCCGCGGAGGGAAGGTTTACGCGCGTTAAACGTCGCGGCACTGCTCGAGGACTTTCGAAGCCTCGCGAAATCGAAAGGACTCCCGTTCTGCATTCGCTTCGCGCTGGAAGCCGCACTTCTCAAGAACGAGCCGCTCAAGGACCAGGTCACGTGCGAAAACGTCGCAAGGGCGTTCTCGACCAAGGTCGTCACCACGGTGGCACAGAATTGGAACCGCCGGCGGCGCGGTCAGCTCGAGTCCTGGCACACGGCCGTCGCGCTCGGCGATCCTCTGGCGGCGCTCGTCGGACGGCTCGCTGAGGAGCGCAAAGATACTAGATCGCCCGACGAAGCTCTGCGTCTCTTCTCGAGAGCTACGGAAGCGGCAATGGACGACGCGCTGCGACATCGGATTTCCAACGAGCGCGCGCTCTTCTCGGGCGGTGCAGATACGTCGGCAAAAGCACGAGTGCAGGTGCCAAACCTGCGGGCGCGGCTCGACCACGACATGCAGACGGGCACGGTCATTCTTGTGCCAAATTCTATCGAGTTCCGTGGGCACTCGAGGGCGACGCACTTTGAGTTGGCGGCCGCAGACCGCTTTGTGAGTTCGCGCATCAAATTCGACGCGGGAGAGATCGTCGAGCACTTCACGAAGCGCGGCGGCGAGCTCGCGCCGATTCAGTGCTGCGACGAGGACTGCTACTACCTCTTCGACAAGGGCATCAGCCCTACTATTCATTTCCTCCGGACGCGCCCTGAAGCCGACGAGCTGGACCGCTTCTATTCCGCCGAGAACTTTCTGCAGTCGCTCGGCGACTTTACAGGCGTCAAGGACTCGAAGCTCGGCCACCGCGTTTCGTTAGCGTTCACGGCTACCATCCCTACGGTGACGCTGGCGCCGCACCAAATAAGTGTCATCCCGGACGTCTGGCGAGCCGGCTACTGCTGGTCCGACGGTTGTGGCGTCATATCTCAGGGGCTGGCAGACCTCGTTTCGCGGGCGATGGGCACGCGCGTCACGGCGTGTCAGATTAGAATCGGTCTTTGCAAGGGTATGCTGGTCATCGACCCCACGCTGACCGGAGTCCAGCTGTTGTTACGACCCTCGATGATTAAGGGAGCTTCAAGCAAGGCCTGTGCAGAAATCGAAATCAAATCGCCATCGCGTCTGCTCGATGGCGTGTGTTGAGAGTACACTCATGGGCTAATACCGCGCAGGCCACCGCTGCCTCGAGGTCAAGGCCGCCGCGAAGATCAAGAAGGCGGGCAACATGTTGTTCTGCCAGGCGATCATCGTGATCAGCAACATGTTGATGGACGAACGCGACCGCGCCGGCGGCGACGTGCGGTTCCTCCACGAGTTGATGAACAAGTTCATCGAGGGCACGCTGCTGTGGACGAAGGCCGACGGCTCAGATGGGATTCTGGACGAGGGCGCGACGCCCGATCACCTCGCGAAGCTCGAAGCTGCGTGTCGGGAGATCGAGATCCTGCCGGAGACGTTCATCGGGGACGAGGACGACGCCGACGACCGCGCGCGATTACTGGAGCGGCGCTGGCGATCACCCTTTAGCAACGACGGCACGCCCGAAGATCTGAAAGTGCTGAAAGCCATCAGCCGCGCTCTCGTGGCGGCCAAGGCCAAAATGAACATCCCTTGTGGCGTGAACGCAAGCGGAGAGAGCGACCTCTGGATCGCTCAGGGCGTCTGCGCCGCCGACGTAAACATAGAGTTGGCGGAAGGCGAGGTGTTGTTAGGTAATGGAGCTTACGTCGGACCCGTGCTCTGCTTCCGGTCGCCGTGCTGCAACAAGGGCGACGTACGTAAATTAATGGCCGTAGCGGGCCGGCCGGCGTGGCGCCACCTATGTGACGTCGCAGTCTTCAGCTACCAGGGCGAGCGCCCCGAACCCGATAAAATGGCCGGCGGCGACAACGACGGAGACGAGCTTTATTTCGCGCTGGCCCGCGGCGCGTTTTATCAGATTGTCTTGCTCGCGAAAGAGGCGGCGCCTGCGGCATACGCTGCGCGCGACCCGCGCTCCGATGACGAACTACGCGCGTGGGCCGCGGCCGATGCCGCGTTGAAGGCGACGACGGTCTTCTCGCCGAGCACCAGGGCGTTCTCCCCCTCGGCGACGGCGATGATTAGCAGTCTGCGCCTGTGTGAAATCAAAACTTCAGACGCCCCACGCCATCGACGCGACGGCGATAGCTCACTGGTTGATTTCCACACAGGTCTGCGCATCCTTTTGGATCGCGGGAAATTGGTTCCTCGGTCGGCCATCAATTGGTTGCTGGCCGTTGATCGACATGGGGTAGCTTCGGACGCGGCAGAACGCTGGGCGCGGTGTCACGAGCTGGCGTTGGATGTGCGGACGACCGGGCGCGGCGACGCGCTCCAGAACGCCTTCGACGCGGCGATGCGGTGCTCAAGGTCGTCGTCGCAGCAGCAGCCACGCTGGATTCCAAGCGGTGCAGCGGCGCCGCGGGGCAAGCTCGTCAACGGAAACCATGATATCATGAGAGGGATGTTCTACCGCTACGAAACAATCATCAATGCCGTCGAGAAGCGCATCAAGCAGTTACAATTCGACGTCGATGACCCTCTAGCGCGGAGGGCGGAGGCGAAGCTCGTGGGCAGCGTGCTAGACCTGTCGAGGGCCGAGGAGCCGGAGACGGCGGCGCGGCTCGTGCGGGAGCAGCGCGTCAGTAGCTTTAACGACGCGTTGCGCGCCGCGAAGATGTTCGCGGACCTCTACAAGGACCCGCGCTTCGCTGATGCCCGCCGGGAGCTACAGCTTACTCGCGAGGTGCGAAAGCGCCTGCATAGTGTGTTAGATGCCGACGAACTTTACGCGCCGGTGCGGCACGTGTCGCGCGGGACGGAGCCGAAGAAGCTCGTCTTGACGTTTAAGAAACAGCGGCGCAAGGACTTCCCGGACTTGTTACGGCTGCTCCCGGACGACGGCGCGGGCGACGCCGACGCGTCACTCCGGGAGAATTTTCGCGAGGCCGTGCGCTTCGCGGAGAGGGCCTCAGTCGGCGAGGAGAAGAAGTTCGTCTTCGAGGCTCAGCATCGGCGACGAGTCCACGACTTCTTCGACTGCCCCGAGTACTGGCACGTATCTCATCAGACGGTCAAGGACAAGATCCTCTTCAAGATCAAGTGGTCGCCGACGGCTGCCGACGATCCCATGCGCGCCGTCGCGCACGACCATCCCGACGGGATCGCGAAGGAAATGCTCGACGTCGAAGAGGCCGTCAACAGCGTCGACCGCGCGGCGGGCGCTGCCAACCGCGCGCCGGCGCCCGAGATCGACGAGCGGCGCGCGGTCGACGACGCGGCGGCTCCGGCGAGACCGCCACGGCCGCCGCGGCGCGAACCTGAACCATTAAGCGAGATGGAAGCGCTACGGCGCGCACAGGAAGCTAGCCTCGCCGAGGCGCGCGCGCGCGCCGCCCTCGCGGACAAGTTCGAACAGGACGTCGTGGCGAATAGTCTAAAAGACGAGCAACGACGCGCCGACCGGGCGCGGACCTTCCGGGAGGTCAACGATAACTCGGAGCTCATGGCGCTGGCGGCATCGCGGGAAGCCTACGAAGCCTACGAACGCGACGAGCTGAAGCGACAGGAACGTGAACTCAGACGCTTCGAGCGCGAGCGGCTCGCGAGGTTACACGGAGTAGGCTACGAGTCCGACGAGGTGAAGGACGAGGAAAAGCTAGAGCGGCGGGCGCGTGACGAGTTAGTCGAAAGAGGAGTGGGAGGCGTGGCGGAGTCGAAAGAGGAGCCGCCGGCCGAGCCGGCCGAGACGACCGAGGATTTAGGTGCGGCCGTGGCGGCGTCAATGGCGGAAAGCGAGGCCGACGCGGCGCGGCGCCGCGCGGCAGAAGACGCGGAGATGGAACGGGCGCTGGCCGAGTCGAAGCGGCCTGCTGCGTCGCTCGCGGCCGATGCAGCCGTGGCGCCGGCCGATCTAGAGCGCGGCCTGGACGCGTCGTGCGCTGAGAGCCGCGGCGACGACGGCGACAAGCAACTGCTCGCCGCGCTGGAGCTGAGCGCGCGCGAGGCCTCGGCGCCGGCGCCGGCGGTCGCTGACGAGCCGGAAGAGGACATCGACGCGGTGCTTGCGGCCTCGCTCGCCGCCGAGGACGCCGATGCGGCGCGGCGACGCGAGGCCGAGGACGCGGAGTTGGCACGGGCGCTGGCCGCGTCGAGCACGGCTGCGGCGCCGGGCGACGCGGCGGGAGGACTGGCGGCCGAGCTACGCGACGCCGAGGAACAAGCACGCCGGGCTGTCGAGCGCGCGCGCCAGCTCCGCGAAAGGATCGCAGACAAGGAGAACATCGCTAGCCAGGCGAATGAGATATCGCGCCTGCGCGACGAGAACCAGAATCTGCGCAATCTTCAGCAAATTGTCGCCGACGGGCTCGGAAGGGTCACGCCCGACGTCGCGCCGACCGGCGACGTCGCGCCTGATGGATACGCTCTGGTCGCCGTCGCACTGGCGAACGAGGGTCTCTCGGGTCTGCTCGAGCTGTTCATCGAGAACGAGATCGACGACGACGCGCTGGCTCACGTCTCCGTCGAGGACCTCGTCGAGGTGGGCGTGCCGGCCGGCGCGGCGCGGCGCATCCTGTCTAAGTGAATCCCATGTTATGCGATCCCCCGTTTTAGTTCTTGCGCCGCGTCAGGTGGTCGAAAATCGTCACCTGGAGGTAGTCCTCGCACTCGAGCTCGTTCCTTGAGGAATTATCTCCGGGAGGCGCCGCCGGGTCGACGTTGACCACCTTCCGGTCCCGCTTGTTTTTGAAGAGGAGGCCCTCCTGGTCCGCGACGACCTGGAAATTGGGTGTGGAGTTGTGCGTCGAGGCCTGCGTCTCCCAGTTGTAGTAGGATAAATCTGTCGGCTTGGGCATGAGCTTCTTCTCGCCGGCGAAGTAGGGGCCGAAGTCCTCCGTTTTTAACCTATGCGCGTAGTCGATGTAGGCCGAGACCTGTTGACCCTTCGCGTTCGTCGTCCGCACGAAAATGATCGAGGTCAACTTGCCGTTCCTTACGAGGGCTTCTCGCGACGCCAGCGCCGCCAGGAACGGGTTCCCTGATAGATCCTTTCCATGGGAAGCCAATGCCTTGGGCACGTTCGCGCGCTGCGTGCCTCGTTCTCTCAGCGCTCGACGCCTCGCCTCGAACTCGTCCCTTTTTAACGTGTCTCCGGAGCCACGGTAGCCGAGCTCGACCAATTGCCGGGCCATCTCCTCGTCCTCCAAGTAGTACATGTCCGTCTCGGAGACTTGGCTGTCGAGGTAGGCCTCGTAGTCGGCGAACTGCTCCAAGGCGTCGGCGCCGACGGCCGCCATCCTTGGCTTGGGGGTGCTGTGTCCTCTCTGGGTGGTCGCTCGGGCTCCGCGTCGAGAGGCAGCCCGGTGGTGATTCGTTGAGACCTGGGCTTCGCCCGACCGACGCGAGGCAGCCGTACGCCCACGGGCTAAGCCGATTTAGCGCTGGGGACGGAGGCTAGCGCCACCGCCTCGTCCGCGAGCCGGCCTTCCGGTAGCTCTCGCCGCAGCCGTCGGAGGAGTCGTGGGCGAGTGCGGATCAGGCTGCGAGCGAGTCGTGCTCGAAGACCTAGCGTGAGAGCCACACTAGGAGAGCAAGCGGCTGAAATCAAACTGAGCCGCTGCAAACACGCTCTGTGAGCAAGCAGGCAACAAGCGCGCTCACTCGCGGCTTCCTGTACAACCGTTGTCACTGCGGGTGCAAGAGGTTTGGCGCGCGATACGCAGTTGGCGCGTAAATCACTGCGCCGCTTCACAGAGCCGCGCACGCTCCAAGCGCGACGCTCGCGCCATAAACGCCGCGCACGCAACTCAAGCGCAGTACAAACGATGGACTGGACCTCCCAGGACGACATCGAGGGCGAGTGCGCGCCGACGCAGCTGGTTCCCGCCTCCCAAGCGTGCGACATCGCCGAGGAGAGCGCGCTCGAGTTCAATCCCGACCAATCCCAGGACGCCTGGGGCGCGCCCGAGTCCCTGGACGCCTGGTCGGCGCCGTCGCCGGTGTCGCCGCCCAGGACGGCGACCTCGCCGCCGCGCGCCGAGGGCTGGTCGCCGGTCCCGAAGGCGCCGACGCCGCCCCCCAAATCGCCGCCGCCCAAGGCGCCGTCGCCCGTCGCCGTGCAGTCGCCGAAGATCGCGGCGGCGACGGAGCCGGCCGACGACGAGCTCCGGCGCTGGGTCGCCGCGCGGGTCTCGCGAGAAACCGATTTGCAGACCGTGACCGTCAAGACGATTACCAATGAATTGAAGGCGGCCTTCGGCGGCATCAAGGTCAAGGGCGCGCGCAAGGCCCTCGTCAAGGCCGCTATTGTGGAAGCATTGGCCCAGCAGGCGGCGCCCCAGGAGTCCTCGGAGAGCGACGACGACGAGGCGCCGCCGTCCGAGGCGCGGCGCCTGGGCTTTGACGACCTGGTCGAGGACGAGGAGGAGGAGGAGGCTCCCGTCGTAGCCGAGGACGACACGGAGGAGCGCCCGATGAACCCGTATTTGTACTTCTCAAAACTCAAGCGCAGCGAGGTGCGCGCGGAGGTCGACGGTGACGAGGCCTTCGCCGAGCTGTCGGGGGGCAAGCGCAACGCCGAGGCGACGAAAAGGTTAGGAGTGCTCTGGAAGGCTTTGTCAGAGGAAGACAAGCGGCGGTATAAAGATGAAGCTCCTATGATCAAGTGCAAGAAGCGCAAGTCGACGAAGAAGCGTAAGTCGGTGGAAGCGGCCGACGCGCCGGCGTTCGATCCGGAGGCCCACGCCGCCGAGTACGCCCAGCTCTGCGAGACGGAAGACAAGCCGCAAGAAAAGCTCCCCGAGGAGGTCGCCGAGACCGAGGCCCAGCTCGAGGCGGCAAAACGCGCCGCGGCCATCGAGGAGGCCATCGCCGCGGAGGAGGCGGCCGCGGACCAGGAGGCCGAGGCGAAACGAGAAGCCTTGGCGGCGTCGATCAAGCAGCGCTTCGAGGAAGATGCTCGTAAAGAGGAGCTCGCGGCGCGGGCGACGCTCGCGAAGCTCATGAAGGAGGAGTCTTCTGATGACGACTCCGACGTCGAGCTCGAGATCGTGGGCGCGCCGTCGCCGGCGAAGAAGGCGCGGCGCGAGTCCCTGTCTCCTTCCAAGAGCACGACGGTCGAGGCTCTGAAACGAGCTAGGACGAAGCGAGCCGGCGGTCGTAGAGCTTTGCGTGATAAATTACGAGCGAAAGCGGCCAGAGCGGGCATGGTCAAGTACGCCGAGCAGGCGTCCGTGGAAGACATCTCGGCCGATGACTACGTGAGACGTTTGGAGGCGTTAGATGCCCAACGAGTGGTCGAAGCGCGGGAAGCGGAGCGTAGAGATAGGGAAGAAAGGGAATTAGAACAGAAGCTGCGGGCCGCGGGCCGGCGCTTCGCGGAGATCGACGCGCGCGAGGAGGAATTGTTTGTTCCGGACGCCGAGGACGCCTTAGCGATGGATCGGGCCGCGGCCCAGGACGCGATCCAGGCTTGTTTAGATGCCGAGCGGCGCTTGTCGACGGTGCCGGAGGAGTCGCCCGAGGCGTGGTCTTCTCCCTCGCCGGAGCCGGCGCCGTCGGCCACGGCGCTCGCCGAGGACCTCGCGCCGGCGGCAGATGTGCCCGCGGAGGCGGCGGACGGCGTGTCCGCGGAGCAGGCGGCCGAGGACTCGGAGATGGCGCCGGCCGCGTCGGCCACGGCGCTCGCCGAGGACCTGGCTCCAGCGGCGGAAGACGAGGCGGCGGACGGCGTCACGGCGGCCCAGGCGGCCGAAGACCAGGCGCCCGTCGAAGACTCGCCCAACAAGGCGGCCGAACCTGTCGCCGTCGCCGCGCCGGCCGAAGGCGCCGACAATGATGACGACGCGGCGCCGCGCATCGAGGACATGGATATTGAAGAGGACCAAGACCAACCCAAGAAGGACCGGAACGCCGCCTACAAGGCGATGCTCGAGGCCGACGCGAAGAGGGCCAAACAAAAAACCGCGCACGGCATCGAAGGGGAGGCCGAGGAAAGCGACGAGGAGGGACAGGCCCAGATGGGCCTCGGGGACTTCGGGTTCGGGGTCTCCAAGCCGAAGCAGGACCAGGAGGAGCAGGAGGACGTCAAGATCACGGAAGATGACCTCGAGGCCGTCGTCGACGAATTGAGTGATGGCGAAGGTGACGAAGAAGGCGCGGAGCAGCAGCGGGCCAAGGAGGAGCGCAAACGGGAGCGCGAGGAGATGGCCCAGATGTTGCGGCGGGTGCGAGACGGTTTCGGGGGCCAGGACGCGCGCGGCGGCGCGTTCCGGATCGATGATCTTGTTGGTATGGACGCGTCCGCAAGGAAGGAGGCCAAAAGGTTGGGACTGGAGGATTCGGATGACGAGGAGATCCGCAAACTCAGAGCCGGTTCGGATGATGAGGAGGAGGAGGACGGCGACGACGAGGGCGACGAGGAGCGCGGGCTAGCTGCTTTGATCTCCCAGGAGCTCAAGAACCGCCACTTGGGAGATAGATTGAGGAGGAAGCAGGAGCCACTCATCTCCGAGAGCGAGTCCGAGTCCGAGGACGAGGCCGAAGCTGTTAAGGCTGGATCGGATTCCGAGGAGGACGAGGTTGCCATCAAGATTAAGTCAAGACAGTGGGCTAGAAGAGCCAAGATGCGCCGCGTGCTCGACGAGAAGGCCGCGCGGGAAAAAGCAGAAAGGGAGGCGAACGGCGAGGCGTCGCAGGGCGGCGCCGCTCTCTTGGATGCCGACGAGGACTCGCAGCTCATCCTGTCCATGCTCTCGCGGACGCAATCATCTAGATCGGTGTCGTCGCAGCGGTCGGGCGAGCTGCCTTCCTCCTTGGATCGCGCGCCATCACTCATCAGATCCGCCTCAGACTCGCAAGCGGCCTGGCTGCCGGCCGCGAAGAAGCCGCGCCTGGGGACCGGCGTGTCGCAGCAGGCCGAGGACACTTTGCTCGGGCGATGCGGCTCCTTCTTCGCGGCGTTAGATCGGTCGCACTCCGCCGGCGCGCCCTCGGCCAAGTCGCACGCGGCCAAGGCGGCGAAGACGGCCGTCAGCCTCTCGTCGCTCTTCGGCCTCGACGCGTCGTCGCAGGGCTTTCCCTCCTCACGATCGGGCGCGGGCAAGGCGCCGGCGAAGGGCCCGACGAGTTTCGCGGGCATCGCGAGCGGCGCTAGTTAACTTCCCCTATCCCCTATAAGTCATCGACTGTGAATTGCGTAACATAGCCCGTCGGCGGGATACGGCGTCGACGGGGCGCGGGGCTTGCAGTGCACAATGGCACGACAAACCTCGACGCGAAGAAGTCTGACCAGGCCAAGGCCGCCGACCTTAGCGGCGACACCGGCAACGGCTAGGCACCATCACGGACCTCGCGCAGCCAGCTCCTCCAGAGCCACTCGAAAACATGCATCACACTGAGCGTCGCCCCCACATCCCCAGCTCTGCACTAACGTCGATATATAGAACTCACTTAGATATCACATGAACCCCGCGAACTGCGCGGCGAGCGCCGCGGGCGCCGTCTCGCCGATCGCCGCGCGGAGCGCCTGGCGCCCTTCCGCGCGCACCGTGGACCGGTCGAGGTCCGACGCGTCGTCGTTCAGCCGCACGAGCGCGTCGGGCAGGTAGGACCCGTCCGTGTGCTGCAGACACCGCTGCCAGCAGCGCCAGTCCTGGCCGTACGGCTCGTCGCCGAAGAATTGAGCGTTTCGCAGCACGGTCATACACACGACGACCGACGAGCACACCACGCAGTTGTGCTGCATGATGTCGCCCAGGACCAGGCGCCTTCTACACGGCACGGCCGTCCCGACCGCCGCCGTGCAGCAGAACCTTGTCGAGTCATTACGCATGGCCTCTAATTGCAACCGGAGCTTGTCCGGCGCCCACACGTCGTCGTCGTCCAAAAACGCGACCCAGTCGCCTCGGGCCGCGCCGCAGCCCCGGTTCCGCACGAGGCCGGGCCGGCCGTTCGACGGCTGACCCAACGCGAGGACGGCGATCTTACAGGGACCCGGCGGTGGTCTAATGCTTGCCGCCTTTTGAGCGTCGCCGTCGACGACAACAATAATCTCGTAGGGAGGCAGCGTCTGCGCTAATACCGAACGCAGGGCGCGGTCGAGCTGCTCCGGTTTCGTGCCGCGCGTCGGTACGACGACCGAGACGCGCGGCGCGAGATCCAGATTGATCGCGCCGAAGGCGTTCGCGAGGAGGTCCGCCATTCGTGACGGCGCGCGTCGGCGGCGTCGGCGTGAGTCGGCGTGAGTCGGCGTGAGTGGTCAGTGGAGGTGCTGGCCAGATGCTGGAGGGGCGGCGCGTAGGCGGCCGCGGCCTCGTTTTTCGATCGCGGCGCTGCGCAGCGGTGCCGTGGCTTCACGCACTGCACAATTCGCGAGTGATGCGTCCGTCCAGCGCCTGCAATAGCGCTGGCCACTTTGCTGGAGCTGGAGAGCGACTTTGGCAAAGGCGCCACGGCTAACGAGCGAACGCAGCGCTGCAACTGTGGCACCGGCCGCTCAATCGCTGGCGCAAGAGTGGCCCCAGGTTACAAAAACGGCACGACGACGCGTGGTGACAGCAGAGGGACAGCCTGGTGACAGAGAGCACCACACCACACGCCGTCGCAGCGATGAGCGAGCTCGCGAGCCGGCCGCGCGCCAACTCCCTCTCCCAGATCCAGGCCGACGCCTGGTCCCGCCGCGACGCGCGCATCTCCGAGATCAACGCGCAGTGGTCCGCGCGCCTCGACGGAGCCACAAAACCGCCTCCCGCAAAAGCCGTCGAGTGGCCCGCCGAGTGGCCTTCCAGAAGAGCGCCGCCCGCCGCCGTCGAACCTGTCACAAATGCGGGCGGCTCCTTGCCGCCGTCCACGAGCGTCGAGGCCATCCCGAACGGCCGCGCCGCCGGCTTGTCCGCCTACTGTGCGACGGTTGTACAAAAAGCGGGCGCGGACTTCGCCGGACCCATGTACGTGGTAGACCTCGGCGCGGCGGAGAGGCTGCTCGAGGCGTGGCGTTCTGCCTTTCCGCGCATAGAACCTAGATACGCCGTCAAGTGCTTCCCGGACTCTCAGTTAATCAAGGCCCTCGCTACGAAGGGATGCGGCTTCGACTGCGCGTCCGAGAAGGAGGCTCGGTTGGCGCTCGACGCGGGCTGTCCCCCGTCGAGGATTGTCTTCGCGAACCCCTGCAAGCTGCCCTCTGATATAGCGTTCCTGCACGCGTCCGGCATAGCGCTGACGACCTTCGATTGTATCGATGAATTGGACAAATTAGAGAAAACGAACTGCCGCGTGTTGCTGCGGATCCGCGCGGACGACTCCGCCAGTCGTTTACCCTTCGGTGCCAAGTATGGTTGTTTGGAGGGCGAGATTGCCGGACTCATAGAGGCCTGTGCAGAACGATCTATTAACTTACGCGGCGTCGCCTTCCACGTCGGGTCCGGCGCGCGGTCGCCGAAGGCCTTCGCGGACGCCGTTTGTGCGGCGAAGCGCGTCTTCGACCTGTATACTACGTTAAGGCCGCATGCTACACCTTTGGACGTCTTAGACGTGGGCGGTGGTTTTTGTGGTGGTTTTAGTGATGATGGCAATGCGGCCGTGTCGGCGTCCGGTGATACTACTGTCGTAGATGCGCTTAATCAAGCGCTGACAAAGTACTTCCCGCTGGAGCAGTATCCCTCATTACAAATCATCGCGGAGCCGGGCCGCTACTTCGCCGAGGCGTCTGCCGCGTTGTGCTGTCGGGTGGTCGGTTCCAGAAGCAGGGAGCTCGTCTCCAACGACAGTAGGAGGGAGGAGCGCCAGTGCTGGATCTCGGATGGGGTCTACGGCGCGTTTAACGCGATCGTCTACGATGGCTGGCTGCCCCACGCCGTCGTCGTCGGCGGTTCGAGCGTGGACGGGTCTGATGCATTGACAACGGTTTTCGGGCCGACGTGCGATTCGCTGGACGTGGTCTTCTCGCGCGTCGAAAACGCTCCTGAAATACGGCGCGGCGACTGGCTCCTCTTTCCCTGCTGCGGCGCCTACACGAGCGCCGGCGCCTGCGATTTCAACGGGTTGCCGGCGACCGCTTATGCAGGGGTACGGACGCGGTACGTGCGGTCGGCGAGCATGGCGTCTACTCCGAGTGATGCTGAGCTGCCGGTGATTTATTCCGATAGGCCTCCCTGCGAGGTCCGACGGTACTTCTAGTTTGTTAATTTGTTGTTCACAGAAAACATTAGAGCCGTCTCCCCCTCGACGTGAAGGCGTCGATTATTGTCGCGCCATGGCGCAGCGCGTGCGAAGGTGACAGCGGCCGCTCCACCAACACCGTCGCGTCGTCGAGCGTTTTCGAGGGGCAGCCGTGGAAGCGCGCGCACGCGTGCGCGACGAGGCGGCCGCGCGCCGACGAGCCGTAGGGCGCCTCGAGCTTCAGCCCGTTCTGGGCGAGCATCGACGTCGGCGAGAGCGGTCGTCGCCCGTCGCCGAGCCACTCGAGCAGGCGCCGCTCGCATGCGGGCGTCGCCACGTCGTTGAGACCGCCGCGGAGCGCCCGCTCGCAGCGGAAATACCCCCGCATCGCCTCGCTGGCGCGCGTCTCGGGCCCCGGCGCCTTGGTTCGTCGCCGCGCCGGCGCCGGGCAGGCGAGGAAGGTCTCGACGGTCTCCGGCTCCGGGTACGGCCGTCTTTCGTACAGCTCGGCGACCTCATCGTCGGCCGCCTCGTCGAGGGCGTCTCCGAGAGCTTTGAGCGTCGCCGCCAGTGCGGCCTCGTGGTCCTTTCGGCGTCGCGACTTCCTTGACGGGCGCGGTTCGCGTCGCGGCGGCGGCGTTCTCGAGCGCGTGCGCCTTGGCGGTTCTGCATCGATGGGTGTGATCGTTGGCGCGTCCGCCCAGCTGATTGAGTGATGCTGCTCGCCTCGGAAATCTAGTAGTGCTGCCATTTTTGTGCTGTCGTTGTGTAGCAGCCTGGTGTGATCGCGCTCCTGCAATCCGACTGATGCCCGCGCTTTTACAAGCTCGTACTCAGCAGAGTGCTGTATGTGCTCTCGCAAAAAAATGCCCCACAGCGGTGCCGAGCGCTTAAGATTTTGGCAGCAGTGAAAATGCTACACAAGAGGCGTCGCGTAACTGCGTCGCACGGCGTCTGCGGTTGCTCGCGGCACACAAATGGCCAATGCCAGCCTGCCTGCCAGCCACAAGAGAGTTGCTCATGGTCGAGCCCGCTTTTGAGCCTCCGCGTCACCGTATCAGTATCCGGGGATGTGAACGGGTCCTTCCAAGGCTGATCGGACGAAAAAAAAAATGGTAGTCCCAAACCAGCAGCTGTGACGGCATTCAGTGCGCGGTGGCGTGTCCGAGCCCAGAGGCGTCGAGCTGGAAAGGGAGTGGCTGCGAGGGACGCCATGATGTCCCGGCGGCGGCCTCTGCGAAGGGCGCTGTCCCTAGCTCTACTGGTGCTTCAAATTCAAAGCTTTCAGTTGCCAGACCCCAAACTCCACGCCGCGGAGGCCCAACGGAGTCGACGACCCCACAGTACGGGCAGCCGACGACCCCCCGCCGCGGGCCCCGCCTTGTCGGGGAGGCGACGACGAACGCCGTGCGCGCCGCTGTCGGCCGCCCCCTACGACGCCGCCGAGGCGCTCTACGCGTACATCGCGTCGCCGTCGCCGGTCCACGACGCGCTGCACGCCGCCGGGACCGCGTACGCCGGCCTCATCGACGCGCACCCGCTCGCGACGAAGAGCGTGACGAACGCTGTTGTAGGAGTCACGGGCGACGCCATCGCGCAGCGCGGCCAGGTTTATGACAGGCAGCGCGCGGCGCGCTACGCCCTCAAGGGCCTCGGCGGCGGGCTGCTGTGGGCGGTCTACTTTGATTTCGCGGACGCCTTCGCAGTAGAAAATGTAGACGGGCCCGCGGCGCGCGTGGCCCTGCAGATGGCGCTCGAGCAGTTCTTCTGGGTGCCGCTCTACGTCGCGTTCTACGATTTGCCCTTCGCTTCTCGTTTAAACGGCGTGCCCGCGCGGCGGGTCCCGAACGTCGTGCGCGACTCGTACGTGTCGACACTCGTCGCCTCCGCGAAGCTCTGGACGCCGGCGAATTTGCTGGTCTACTCGACGCCGGTCGAGTACCGCTTACTGGTAAGCAACATCTTCGACCTCGCGTGGAACACCGTCAACAGCGACATCGCCGCGAGCTGCTCGGAGGAGTGCCCCGTCGGCGACGGGCCGCCGGGCGCGTCGCGCATGTGCCCGCCCGATCGACCGCCGGAGGCGCTGCCGACGTCGCGATAGCTTTTTCGGGCTGCGCAGAAGCGCACGCCCCTGTGTTTCGTTCGTCCGAATATTTATCGTAGTTTGAAGTAAGAAAGTTTCAAGTAGTCACTACATAACGCAACGGCACTACCGTCCCAGCGCGTCGCCCCGGTCGCGCATGGTCGACTCGCGCACGAGAACGAAGAGATGATGAGTCGCGTCGATGGCGTATGAGCTGTGCTAAACTCTACGACCAACGCCATCACCGCGACGATCGCACGAAAACACACCTACCCCACCTCACGCCGTCGCCGGACGGCTGGCCAAAAAAGCCGTCCAAGTCCATCCACGAATTACTACAAGCCACTTAGTCCATATTGCCCTTGTACACCGGCAACATACCGCCTTTCCCCGCGAACCAGCGCCGGACAAACACCAACTGGAAGACCGAGCAGAGCACGTAGACGCACGTCTCCATGAGCGACGCCTGGACCATGCCGTCGTGGCGCGCATCATAGAGCGCCCGGTGCTTCGCGAGGCGCCGCCGCTCGCGCGCCTGCTTGTCCTTGAGCGTCGCCAATTGCCCGCGCAGCGCGACGACGCGCGCCTCGACCTTTTCCACATTCTCGCTGTTCCGCCCGCCCTTCTTCTTGTCCTTCTTGTGCTTCACGGCGGCGTTGCCCTTGTCTTCCGACGTGCGCACGGCTAACGAAACGACCTTCTCCGTGTACCTGCTTCCCGAGTTGTCCAGACATATGGAATAGGCGCCCGGGCCGTCGCGCGGCGCGGCGAGCGCCACGTGTGTAGGAGAAGCGAACCTATCTTCATTCACGCCGCCGCTCTTGACCGTGACGCGCGCCGCGGGCTTCCCGTTTTTGGCGGGCAGGCCGCTGACCTCGTCAATTTTCAGGGGCCCGTCGACGGCGACGTCGATGTCCATCTCGCCGCCTCCACTCAATACGAAGACCTCGAGCGTGCCGCCGACGCCCTCGGGCAGCTCCTCATATATACATCTCGTCTGTTTCGCGGCCACTCTCAGTTCGACGCCCTCGTCCTGGAGGCGGTCGGCGCTCGTTAAAGTGGCGAGGGCGGCGAGGAGGAGTTGTCTTCGTCGCGGGCGGGGCATGTTCTTTTTTGTGGTGGAGCTCGGGGTAGCGGCTCCTTGCGCCAACCGCGGCGGCGCGCCTGTCGCGCGCGCGGCGGCGGGCTAGGAAAGCGCCTTTATGACGGCTACGCGTTTCAGGCTGCGCTAGCGCAGTGATCTCGATAGCGTGAGAGATCAAAACAATGCGTAAGCAGGCGCGCTGGCTCGACACACGGCCAGCCTCCCTGAAAAAGCAAAAGCTGGAGTTTGGGCTAGTGCCTTTACAGGCCGCTAGCTAACAGATTGCCGCCCCCAGAACCGCTTGCAGCCGCTGGGACGCCAGCAATTGCATTCCTGTTGCTTTGAAAGTACTCTAGGAGCCGGCAACGACTGCTGTACCTTCGAAACCCAGCTCCTCGCTTGGCTGCCATGCGGCTCCTTCTCCTGCTTGCGAGCGCCGCTGCGATAAGCAAGGCCCCGAAGAAACCAACAACCGGTCGCGCGGCGGCGCTTAGCAAGGCACCGAAGGCACCAACGACGGGACGAGCCGCAGCTAAAACCGTAACAGAGAAACCGCTCGCCCTCTCTGGCGGCGCCAAGCAAAAACAAGTCTCGTACGCCTGGGCCGTGCTCCACAACTGGCTCTACTTCCTGTCGCTGGGACTCTGCATCCCGGTGCTGCCCAAGGTCATCGCCTCGACCGTCAACGACGACGGCGCGGCGGTCATCACGTCGAAATCGGCCAGAGTCGCGGGCGATGTGGAAGGCGTAGACAAGCTTTTGACCTTCCTCTTCGTGGGAGCGCTGGGCGCCTGTTCCGACGGCGTCGGCAGGAAGCCGCTCATCGCGTTGTCGGCCCTGGGCTACGCGACGACGGTGTTAGTACAAGCGCGCGCCACGAAGGTCGCCCACTTCTTCGCCGCCGACGCCATCGACGGCCTGACGAGCTGCATGAACGCTGTTTGTGCTGCGTTTGTAGCTGATGCCACTTCACAAGATTCAGGAGCCGCAAGAGCTGCCGCGCTAGGCGTCTTTCAAGGTTTATCTGTAGGAGGTGCATTTATAGTGGGCTTTCCCATGGCCGCCGTCTTATCCAAGGGCGGCCAATATCGGAAGCCCATGTACCTGGCGGCGTCGTTGCAGCTCCTCAATGCGTTCCTTGCTCTCTTCATCACGCCGGAAAGTGCGCCTGCTTCAAAGGGCATCAAGTGGGACGAGGCGAACCCCATCTCGTCGTTAGGCCAGTTGGACCTCTTCAAGAAAAGTACACCTTTAAAGAAGACGGCGATCGCCTTCTCATTAGTGTGGCTGGGCAATCTCGCGCTGAACGCGTGCTTCGTGCCCTACGTCGACGCGAAGTTTGGCTGGGGCCCGCAGCAGTCCGGGCCTTTATTAGTTGTAGTGGGCCTGATGCTGGCCGTCGTGCCCAAATTAGTTGTTCCTAGATTGGGCGTGGTCGGCGCGGCGAACTTCGGGTGTCTGGTCTATGCTCTTGGTTTTATCTGCGCGGCTCTCGCGCCGACGGGGCCGCGATACGTCGCGGCCATCGTCGTGTGCGGGTTCGGTGCCGTGGCCGTGCCGGCCTTGACTTCGATTGTTGCTGGAGCGGCTGATAGAAACTCAAAAGGAGCGGTCCTGGGCGGCCTGCAGACGCTCCAGGAGCTCGCGTCGGCCGCGGGCTACCCGTTGTATGGAAGGTTGCTGGCGCGGGGGCTCGACGGGGACACGGGCATTCCGGTCGGCGCGCCGTACTTCGCCGCGGCGGCGTTCCTCGTGCTCGGCGCGCTCCAGGCGCGCCGGCTCTAGATTTGGCCGTAAGGACTATACCTACAAACTTATGTACGTTACATTCAAGCCCAACCACAGGTACACCCGCAGCATCGCCCGCAGCACGTCGTCTGGGCCTGCTGCTCGGCGATGTGGCGCCGCAACACGGCCTCAATATCGGCCTCTGTCGGCGGCTTGCCCGCGACGCACGCGTCGACGATGAGCTCTCGAAGATATTTGAGCGGCAGGCGGTTTAGGCGCGCCTCTGAGTCCGGGAATTTTGGCAAGTTCACGTCTTCGGTGGGAATGCCCAGTCCCTTGCCGTCCTCCTCGGCAAGAGCGAGTTCCGACTTCATCGGCGGGCGGCCTGCGTGGTGTACCATGCTCGGCGCCGTCGCGAATCGGACGCGGGCGACGCGCCCAAGAGATCTTTGCGCGGCTCTCGTTCAGCGCGGACGGCGGCGAGCTGCAGGAGCTCTGCCAGCAGGGCCAGGGCGATATTAATGGTGAACCCCTAGTTGAACCCCGAGGGGATTACAGCATCTTCAACCCCAAGTGCTGGATTGATTTAAACCAGCTGATGCATCAAACCAACAGGCAAGCTTTTGCGAACCGCTTCGCCGTCAACGACCCGCTGCGGACTTGTGACATGCGCCAGACTCTTATCGCGTTTCTGCATTACTCGTTTGAGGTCTTCACGAGGGGGGGTCGCGACTACGGCCCGTGGGTGCTGATAGCAATCTGATAACGGTCCCTCTGGTAGTAGTCTCCGAACGAACCAGCCCGATTAATAATATATATCTTACGGCCGCTAGCTCCCGTCAAGCGCATCCAAAAACACATCGTCGTCGTCGTCCTCCTCGGGCGGCGGCGCGGGAGGCGGGGGCGGCGGCGCGAGCGTATGAGTCGGCGTCGTCGCGGTAAAGCCCAGCGAGATCCGCGCCCCGAGCTTCGAGTCCTTGACGCCCGTAAAGTCACCGAGCGACTGCGGCGCAGGAGGCGGCGCGCGCAGCATCGGCTCGGGCCGCGGCGGCGTAGGAGGCGGCTCCGCGACCGGCGCCAGCGCCTCGCGCAGCCGCCGCGCCGCGCCCGCGACCTCGTCCTCGCGCTGCTCCGGCTGCTTGGCCTCCACAACGACCGGCGCAGGTTTTTGTCGAGGCGGCGGCCGCGGCGCCGCGCACGTCGTGACCACGTCCACAAAGGCCGACACGGAGGCGCCCGGCGTGATCAGTGTTAAAATCAAAGACGTCCCATCTCTACTTTTCAGAGACACCGCATTGGATTTGAGCGGCACCGGAGACGCGACCCGAGACGCCTTTGATAAATCAGCATGAGCCATCCGGATCAACTTCTCCTCCTTTTTCGACGAGAACGAGAAGAAGGACGACACCTTGCCGACGAGCGACGGCGCGAAGTACGTCGCGTCGCGCGTCACCCAGACGGTTCCCGGCGTGACACTATCCCTCGTACACGCGAAGCGCACGAGCACGACGTCCTTCGTCAGGGCGGCGACCTCGTCGACGCGCCACAGGTCGGAGGACGGCGCTTCCGGCCCGATCCAGGCCCCCGCCTTGACGGCGTCCGCGAGACTGTCGCACATGTCTCTCAGTCCCCGCTTGACGGCGGGCTCGACGATGTCCACGAGGTCGCGCTCCTGCTTCCGCGCGTCCTCCGCGGCCTTTGTATGTGCGCGACTTTCCAGAGCCGCGGACGCCGACGAACACGCTCTTCGTAACGAAACGAGTCGGTCCGTCTCATTCACCGGCAGGTAACTCACGGCAGCTTCTAGAGCATCACTTCTAGCGTCCTCATCGACACAGCCGTCGCGCCAGTCGTTCGACGGCTTATCAATGTCCGGGATTTGTACAGATGGCACGTCCAAGCGCGCGGCCGTGTAGCCGGGTTGTACTAATTCTCGGACCTTCTCGACGCGGAGCGCCGCTTGGTCGAGGCCGCTCCGCACCCTTGCAAACGCGTCGCGGTGTTTTTGTATGGCTTTTCTACGAGCCGCCGCCGCGAGATCTAACAGAACAAACACGTCCGGCGGCGCCTTCGATCCACTCTTCCACAACTCAGCACAAGCGGCGTCCTCATCCCTTAAAGCCTTGACCGCGGCTCGGATCGGCTCGCGGCAGTCGCCGTCGCAGGCGACGACGACGTGTCTCTGGCGCGTCTCGGACCCGGATGACGTCGCAGCGGCGGCCCGCAGCTCGAAGATCGGCGGCGCCGGTCCCGGGGGCGTCGTTTTTGCTGTTTCTAAGGCGTCGCGCCAGGCTATCAAAGAACGAGCGTCGTCGAACGCAAAGGTCCACTCGTCGTTCACACTTAGCGTGTGGGGCGTCGGCGCGCCGGCGGGCCCGCGGAAGTAGGCGCCATCCTCGTTTTCGGTCGCGATCAGTGAAGTGTCCTTCGTCACTGACAATCTCCCGCGCGCGCTCGTCGACACCATCCAGTCGTTCGGCTTCTCGAAGTAGGCGAGCTCGCCCCGCGACAACGTTAATGTGCGTTTGACCCACAATTCGTCCGCCCTTTTGACGGTCCCCACGAGGCCCTCGCGGCGCTTCCAGGCGGGGCCGATCCTCTCGAAGTCCTTGGCGATGGGCCTTCTACGAGCATATAAAGCTCCGTGGTCCTCGGCGAGGTCGCCGCCCAACGACTGCGTTTTGGCGGCTATAGCAGCACGCACGGCGCTCCACGAGGCGTCGAGCGCCAGGGGAAAGGCGACGACCGTCCTTAACCCGCGCGGCGGCAGCGCGCCCGCGTCGCGCCAGGCCTTCAGTTGCTGCGGGTCCGTGACGACCTCGCCGCGCGGCGACTTGGCCTGGGCCGGCGCCGGCGGCGCGGCGCTCTCGAGCTCGTCGAGGTTCATGGCGCAGAGGCGCCAGGGGCGGGCCTTGCTGGGCTGGCGCGCCGGCCTCCCTGGCATCCGCGCTGCGCGGCGCGCACGCTACCCTTTAGCGTTCGCGCTCCGCGCCGCGCCGGAGACCGAGGCTGGCAGCTACCGAGGCTTGCAAGCCCTGCGGACGCGTTTCGCTGGGCGAGGCCTTGAAGCTGGCAGTCGGTAGGTGCGCAGGCGAGCAGGTAACCCGTAGGACTGCCACCAATGCCGTCGCAAAAGCTCAGCCAAAAAACGCTGCTAGCGTAGAGTAAGACACTAGAAAGTACGGGTTCGATGCGATTTTTGGTGGCTGCTCCGCTAACGCCATAGACGCGGATAGCTGCCTCCTCCCGACATCGCACGCGCCTCCGTTATAAAAAGGCTGCCTCGCGCCCGCGGACGCTGCCCGGAATGGCGTCCTTCGTGCCTCCCGTCGCCACCCTCGCGTCCACCTCCGACGACAAACCGGCCGCCTGCGGCACATACGCCCTCGAGAGCGAACAGGGAAAATCCGGCGGCGCCACCTACTACTGCGCCACGAATCGATTGTACCTCTACGAGCGCTCGCCCCAGAACTGGTGCGTCGGCAAGAAGGCCGGAGGCAAGTCCTGCAAGGCGTATGATTCGAAGGGCTGGCACTTCTACCTCGAGAAGCAGTGGACCAAGCGCAGCGACGTGACGCTGACCTTCGGCTCCGAAAGCACGTCGTCAACGGACGTAGAAGCCTTCGCCGTCGAGTGCCGCTACTCGAACCTGGCAGGCGGCTACAAAAAGACCGACCGCGTCGAGTGCGACAGGCCCGTCTTCCGCAACGAGGAGAAGAGCAAGGACCTGTGGCTCGCGCCCGACGGCCAGTGGTGCTTCGCGGATGCCGCTGGTGTGGATGAGGAAGGTGATTACGACGCATTCTTAGAATCGGCCGAAGGAGAGAACGCCGCTTCACCCGAAGTCGCGGACTGGGCCGACCAGCACGTGCACATCCACCCCGTCGATATCCAAGCCATCGAAGCCTTACATAAGTCGATGGAGGGGGACGATTCAGGCTACAAAGATCCGGACTTCGTGCCCGGCCCTGCCATCTTGGACGCGGCCCACGGCGACTCGCAGTGGATTCGAGCGGCCAAGCTGTCGGGACCGGACCACGAGCCCCAGCTCTGGGACGGGGTGGAGCCCTCGGATATTATGCAAGGGGCGCTCGGCGACTGCTGGTTGCTCTGCGCGCTCTCGGCCGTGGCCGAGTTCCCGGGCTTTGTCGAAAATTCGCTCTTTAAGACGCAGGAGGTCTCGCCCGACGGTAAATATGTCCTACGCTTGTACGACGCCAAGGCGCGGAAGATGACTCACGTTACTGTAGATGATCGTGTGCCTTGCGGCAAGGCGACGTGGTGGGAGGCTCCCCGACCGCTCTTCAGTCAACCACATGGAAATGAGATGTACGTACTCATCCTGGAGAAGGCCTTCGCTAAGCTCGCGGGAGGATACGGGCGTTTATCAGGCGGCTACCCTGTCTTGGCTTGGCTCACCTTGACAGGCTGCGAAGATTTAAGTATCTGGCACGCGAAAGATGCAGGGTGGGAGGAAAGTGTGGTGGCCCTCGAGGAGGTCAGAAAAGATCCGCACGACTACCAGGCGCTGTACACGCAGGCCTCCGGGGAGACCAAGGCGTCGAAGGACATGTTCTCGTACCTCTTACACTGCGACCAGTCGAATTACATGTTCGCAGGATCGATTAACAAGGGCACGGAGATCGAGAAGCAGCGCGACGATGGTTTAGTCGAGCGCCACGCCTACTCGATCATCAGAGTGGCCAGAATCACGTCCGTTCCCGGATTCATTGGGTTGGTCCAGTGCCGTAACCCCTGGGGCAACAACTTCGAGTGGAACGGCGATTGGTCAGACAGATCTCCGCTCTGGGACAAGCACCCGGAGGTCGGTAAAGAGATAGGCCGCAAGTACCTCTCGGCTGATGACGGTCTCTTCTGGATGGCCTGGAAGGACTTCTCGAGGATTTTTGACACGGTGCAGGTTTGCGCGCGCCGGATGGACGCGCCGCGGGGCACGCACCGGGGCGTCGGGTCTCGCGGCACGACGCCTATGACGTCGCCCGTGACGTCGCCCGTGCGACCTCGCAAGGCGGGCGCGGTCCGTTCCGAGACGGCCGTCGAGGCGGCGCCGCCTTCAGTAGATGCTGATCTGCCGCCGCCCCCGCAGCACCACCACAGCATGGAGGACGCGCCCGCGACTCCGCCTGCTGACTGGCAGCCGACGCGCCTCGGCATCTCCTACCGGCCGTGCCGCCTCGCCGTCGAGTACGTGTCCGCCGGAAAAGCGTACCGCAAGCTCATGCCCGTCAACGGGGGCGCGGACGACACGCCCGAGCGCGTCCTCACGGGCCTCGAGCGCGACTTCGGCGCCTACCTCGACTTCGAGGAGAAGCTCTCGCGGTCGCAGACGCTGCGCCTCGTGGAGATGCGCTGGCGGCGCTGCCTGAGTACTTCCCCCTAGTACTCCAAGTAATTCATATATATACTTAACCGACGGGCGCGCTGCAGACGATGGCCGCGAGGAGTGGGTGGTCGTAGCCCGCCGGGAGCGGCGGGATGGATAGTACCGCGGCGTCGTCGTCGAGCCGCCTGTATAGCTTTGAGGCGAGCTCGCGGTCCTGCAAGGTGAGCTCGTCGCCAAACACTTCGCCATATTGAGCCAGGTAAAAGCCAAAGCGCTGAAGAGTACGCTTCGTCAATTCCTCGTTCAACGACCCTACCTGCACCCTACCTTCTAAAGGCACGTCGCGTGCCAGCGCGCGCCCGAGCACGTCCAATATTTCAGTCCTAAGAGCTTCCGACAACCATAACTGCTCTTCCGGCGGGTGCCGGCCCGGATCGCGTCCCGAGATCGACGACAGCACGAGCGGTGGAAAGACCTCTCCGTCGCCCTCGCCGCCGAATACCACAAGTTTACCCTTGTAATTGCAGCACGAATGATAGTACCGGAACTCGGGAAGGCTACTGACCTGGCTCCAACCGGCAGGCGATTCCGGACTGAACACGATGACACTCCGCGTCAGGTTCCGCGACTCGTCTTTGCCGCCCACAATATAAAGCCTCCCGTCGCACACACAGCCGGCGCCATAGTAACGCGGGCCGGGCAAATCCGGTCCGAGACTCCACGTCCTCGTCTCAAAATCAAATACCTGCAGCTCGTCGCTCGCGATGCGCCAACCCCCTACCCAGCGGAGGCCGCCCGCGACATATAGTTTGGTGCCGATGACGCCTCCCACAAAGTTGGAGACGGCAGATGGCATGGGCGGCAGGTCCGTCCAAGCCTGGTCTGTCGGGTTGGCCAGCATCTGCATCGTGCCGACCTCCTCGTCGAAGTGTCCATTATTTATGGCCGGATCAGGGTCTAGCAGATCTCCTCGCACGCGCCAGCCGCCGACGACGACGAGCGCGTCCGTGGTCGGGTCGACGGCGGCGTATGCGCTCGTGCGGCGCTCACACTTCGCCGGGAGGTCCGTCCACTCATCTGTCGCCGCGTCATAACTCACGACGTCGCCCACGCCCGTCCGCATCGACCACGCGTCTTCCTCATTCTTCACGGTGCGCGTCCCGCCCACACATACTACGCGGCCGCGCCAGCTCACCACCGCAGAATCGCAACGTGGTTTGGGATCGTTCCGCATTTTGCGCCACTTGCCGCCTATCAATTGCCAGCAGTCCTCGCGGTCGGGCGTAGGATCCGACTCGCCTCGCTCGAACACGCTGTCGCCGCCGCCCGCCACTATCAGTGCTGTTTCAGTCCAGCCGCACGTGGCCCGCAGGCGCTGGAGCCCGACCCTCTCCGCCGCTGCCCGCCACCGCTTGCTCACGCACCGTAAAGCGTCGTGGTCGGCTTTGGGCACGCGGCAGGCGATAAGCTGCATGTATATCGATCTGAGGCTGTCGCCGCTGCGTCGTCTCTTCGCTTTCTCCGCATCTCTGGTGACGCGCACCGGTTCTTCTGTCTTGCTCTTTGTTTTTTCCGCATCCCTGGTGCCGCGCCCGGTCCCTCGCGTTGTTTTTTTTGGCTGGCTCTCCATGGCCCAGGCTTGGAAAAGGTGCCGCTGCGGCTCTAGCTGTCGCTTCTCCGCAGCAGGCAGTTCTTCTAGGATGGTGTGTTGAGTTGATGGCTTTCTGGAGTTCTTTGCGCGATGCGATGTCCGACGCTGCGCTGCTCTGCTGCGGAGGCAAGGCCGCGCCCCGCGTCGCAGCCATGCCTCCACGGCCGAGACGCATCCATCATACCGGTCTATGCGAGCGGCGGCCCCCTCGCCGCCGTCGACGGAAGACGCGGCGGCGACGACGCGGCCGGACGGACTAGTAACCCACCACTACTTACTTCGCCACGATGTTCAGGATCTTCCCCGGCACGTAGATCACCTTCTTGACGTCCTTGCCCTCCGTGAATTTTTGCACGCCCTCCTCGGCAAACGCCAGAGCTCGAGCGTCGTCTTCCGCCGCGTCCGGCGCGAGCGAGATCTTGGCCCGTACTTTCCCGTTGACCTGCACGGCCATGGTCACGGTCGCGTCGACGCACTTGGCCTCGTCCCATTCCACCCAAGCGTGACCCGCGAGACTTTCAGAATGGCCCAACACGGACCAGCACTCCTCACCCAGATGCGGCGCGAAGGGCGAGACCATCAATGCCAACTTCTCACAAGCCTCGCGAGGAGGCTCCTTCATCCCCTCCAAATGTTTTGAGAGGACCATCAACTGAGATATAGCAGTATTGAAGCCCAACTGATCGATGTCCGTCGTAACCTTCCGCATCGACTTATGTAGTAATACCTCAGTCTCCTCATCTATCGCAACATCAGCCGCCTTAGCACAAGCTTGGAACACCCGATCCCGAAACCGCACCACTCCCGAAACCTGCGCCGTCTGCCAGGGCTTCACGGCTTCGAGCGGCCCCATGAACATCTCGTACAGCCGCAGCGCGTCGGCGCCGTGCTCGGCGATGACCTCGTCGGGGTTGACGACGTTGCCTCTGCTCTTGGACATCTTCTCGCCGTCGGCGCCCAGTATCAACCCCTGGTGCACTAATTTTTTAAAGGGCTCCGGGGCCTGGACTTTCTTTTGATCATGTAAAAATAGGTGCCAGAACCGCGCGTAGAGTAAGTGGAGTACGGCGTGTTCAGCGCCACCAACATACAAATCGACCGGTAACCAGTCCTCATCTGACTGGGGAGAGATGAACTCGGCATCATTGCCATTATCCGCATACCTTAAGTAGTACCAGCACGACCCGGCCCACTGGGGCATCGTGTTCGTTTCTCTCGCTCGCCAGTGGCCGTCTTCCACGTAGAAGCGCCAGTCCTTTATTCTAGCTAAGCAGCCCGCGGGGTCCTCGCCGGGTGCGTAGTCGTCCGTTTCCGGGAGCTGGAGAGGTAACTGAGATACGGGCACGGCCTCCGGCTTGCTGAAGTCGATCTCGAAGCCCTCATCCGTAACGCGAGGGTCCAGCGCGCCCTCCGGTAACGGCGCTCCATTTTGATCAAGTACCGGAAACGTGATGGGAATGGGCTCGCCCCAGTACCGCTGCCGCGAGAAGACCCAGTCCCGCAATTTGTAGGTGACCTTCTTCTCCCCCCTCTCGAGCTGGGACAGCTTGTAGGTCACGGCCTGTGTGGACATCAAAATTTACGGCGCGAGAGCCAGCACGGCTGGTTGATTTCCACACCGGTCACGGGCCTTCTTCGCCTTGCCCGTCTTCAACCCGTCGAACTCGCCACTGTTCACACAGACTCCTGGGTCGGTGTACGGCAGGTCGCCGCCGTCCACCACCCTTACTATAGGCAGGCCAAACGCCTCGGCGAACGCATAATCCCGCGTGTCGTGCGCCGGGACGGCCATGACCGCGCCGGTCCCGTAGGCCCCCAGCACGTAGTCGGCGACCCAGATGGGGACATCTTCTCCACTTATCGGGTGCACCGCGAAAGAAGCCGTCGGAACGCCCGTTTTCGTTTTCGCGTCCGCGGTTCGGTCCAAATCCGACTTGCGGGCCGCGGCGTCGGCGTACTCTTTCACGGCATCCTCATTTCCTAGTTTGAGGGCGAGAGGGTGCTCGGGCGCCAAGACGACGTACGTCGCGCCCATCAACGTGTCCGGTCGCGTCGTAAAGACTTCGACGTCCTCACTAGAACCCTTGACCTGGAACTTCACAGAAGTGCCTTCGGACCGGCCGATCCACTCCCTTTGGGAACGTAGTGTCCCGGCGGGCCAGTCTAGGCCATCGAGACCCGCGAGTAGCTTGTCCGCATACTCGGTAATTTTCAGGACCCACTGGCGTAAGGGTGCCCTTACGACGGGGTGGTCTCCTCTTTCAGATAAGCCATCGATCACCTCCTCATTCGCTAATACTGTTCCTAGCGCCGGGCACCAGTTCACGGGAACCTCTTTTTGTTCTGCCAAACCAGCCTCGAATAATTGGAGGAAGATCCACTGCGTCCACTTCACGTAGTCCGGGTCCGTCGTGCTTAACTCCCTATCCCAGTCGTAGGACAGGCCCAGAGCCTTGAGCTGGCGCTTAAAGGTCCCGATATTTTTGAGGGTCGTCTCCCGCGGGTGCGTGCCCGTGTTGATCGCGTGCTGCTCGGCGGGTAGGCCGAAGGCGTCCCAGCCCATGGGGTGGAGCACGTCGAATCCTTTCATGCGCCAATACCTAGCCATAATATCGGTCGCCGTATAGCCCTCGGGATGGCCGACATGTAGGCCAGAACCTGAAGGATAGGGGAACATGTCGAGGATGTACTTCTTGTCTCTATCAGCATTTCTTTGACTTCTAAAGGTCTTGTCGTCGTCCCAAAACCGCTGCCACTTTTCTTCGACTTGCGCGACGTCGTACGCGGCGCGCCTCGCGACCAAGGTTCTTGTTGTTGTGCGGAGCGCCGGACGCAGCGCGCTCGCGCCCCGCGCGGCGAAGCACAGCATCAGCGCCCGCATCGACGACCGCCGTGCGCCGCTCTGCCTTGCAGCACACAGACTTGCTCTCGCGGCGATTTGCGGTCCAGCAGCGTCTTCGAGCGCACGGATTGCAAATAACGCACGCAGTCCTGCTTAGTTGCTACTGCACAACAGCCACAGCAGTGGTAATGCGATGAGCACTGAGCACAGGCGTGGTTTGAGGTTGCTGTCGGGGGCTAGAGGCTGTATGACGCTAGCAGGCCACGGCTGCGAGCAACTGGGATGTAACTACTCGTGCACCACCCGCCCGCGGAGGCCTCGCCGCATTTCCAAGGAAGGCTCTCTGCCGAAAAAACCGCAGGCGAATCGCGTTACGCGCGTACGTCGCCCGGCTAGCACTACGGAGTAGTCGCCAATAGGCACGAGGGGACAGAAAAAAAAGCACACATAACTTAGTACGCACAGGAGCAGGACTAGGGCGTCCCCTCCGAGAGCGGCGGCGCGTCGACGACGGCGAGCTGCGCGCCGGGCAGCCAGTTGTTCTTCGCGCCGTCGCGGTCCCAGACCACACAGACTCTTTGTGACTTTTGATCACCAGAACCGACAACGGTCCCCAGGTCATTGACCTGGACCGAGCCGTACGCGACGCGCGCCGCCACGCGGTCGCCCTTCCTTATATCACTACCGGGGACGAGCGGCGCGTGGGCCAGATCGCCGATTCTGCTCAAAACGCATCTTCCACCAAAATCGACCCTCAAAACTTGATCCGTGTGGCCAATCACGATCCCTCGCGCGCCCCGCGGGATGCCGTTGTGCGGCCTTGCAGAAACAACTTTGTCCTCCTTGCTGAAACTGCCCGATTCCGTCGCGTAGGTCAGTTGCGACGGCGTGTAATTGTAGCATCGTTGTTGGCCGAAGTCCACTAGTAGTCTACGCGCGGCGTTGTCGAGCGCCGAAGTCGAGCCGGGGCCTACAATCATACCAGTGTCGCCGATGCGCACCTGTTCGAAGGCGACGCCCGCCACGACCCGATCACCTTTCGCCATCAAGCTTCCGGTGGTCAGCGGGGCATGGGCCAATCGCGACGCATCGACACTTCGTTCCCCTGCCTTGAACCGTACAATGACTTCGGTGGGCGGCTCGTTGGCGTGCCGTATGACCGTGCCTCTACTATGACTTGGAATGGCCGCGTCGACTTTCTCGAGGCACGTCACCTGGTCCCCAATCACGAGTTCAAAACCGGGCACTAACGGTGCTCTGACGCACATCTGGCCCCGGCCGTAGTTATAGATACCTTTGCCCGGCCCAAAGTCCACGGCGACCCGCGAAGGATCTCGAGCCGGCTTCTCCGCGACCGTGCCCAGGTCTCCCACTTGTACACTCTTGAATGACACTTTCGCCACGACTAGATCCCCGGCCTTGAAGTCGTAGACCAGCGGTCGGGCGCCTTCATGGGCGTGCAAGATCGGGTGCATGCCCACCAAATCTCTAGCTAGGTCCATCCTTTTAGTATCACTCGGGTCCGCCAGGAGCGAGTCGAGGGGCGCGAAATTACCATGAGTCAACTGCTTTGCCACATCATCATCAATGACCGCTCCTTTCTCCAGCAGATACCTCGCGACGTCCACCTCACAGTTCTTTACCGCAGATGGTAGAGCTAGGGACGGGTCCGCGCCTCTTTCTAGTAGTAACGATGCAAGATCGTAGTGGCGACCGCTACAGGCGGCGTACAACGGCGTCGCGCCGCTCTTCGACGGTCTGTTTATGTTCGCTCGATGCTCGAGCAACAGAGAAACGACGTCACCATGGCCGTTGCGGCACGCCGCGGTCAAAGCGCTCCGACTATCAGTCATGGAGTTCGGGTCGGCCCACCGTTCCGTAAGTAACCGGACGCACTCTTTGTAATCGCCTTCGGCCGCCTCTTCCACTAACTGCCGGCAGTTCTGCCATAAATGTTTTTCTATATAAGAATCGACGTTCGCCCGCGCTTTCCTCACGGCTTCGGCGCCCGCGTGCCTCGCTAATGTCGCCACCGCTCGCGCTCTAGATTCTTCTTTTGACGATCTCAGTAGAGCGAAACCCAGCGTCAGGGCACAAGCGCCCCGGTCACAAGCCACCGAATGGTCCGCACTACCAACATCCAATAAAGCCCAGACCACGCGCTCGTGACCTAAACGAATAGCGGCATGCAAAGCGGTCTCCCCATCAGTTGCCGGAGCGTTCGCATCCGCACCAGCTCTCAGCAATCTCGCAACAATTCCCGCGTGCCCTTTCTTGGAAGCCTCCGCTAACAAGGTGGAAGCCTGCGTCCTCAACAAATCCTTGAGCTGGGAGCAGTGGCCCCAAGATAGGGCCGTGTCGACCCTTGTTGAGTCACCATCCGCAACAGCCGCCTTGAGCTCCCGGATCACCTCGAAGGTCCGGTGGCCCGTCGTGGCCTTGGCCCGCATGTACAGAGATGTGGTCAATTGTAATTCACATAAGTGGTTTTCATGAGATACTACTAATTGGATATCTCGGTAGTCTCCTAGAGGAGTCTGGTACCTATCGTGCGCCTCCTTGACATGATCCCCAAACGCATCCAACACACTCTCAAACCCATCATAGAGCAACTCCAGAGAGGTGTAGGACAGCGTACATCGCACGACGTCGGTCAAGCGGTGGTAGGCCACACCTGTACAATCTTTGTACTTGAACAGGGCCTTCATCCTCGCTCTTGTAGAGCATTTCTCGGCGCCGGCGTGGAAGGTGGCTTGGGTCTTTACCGCTAGATCTTGGCACGTCGCGAAAAAGCCCGGCATCGCTCGTCGCGCGTCGTCGTAGAGCTCGTCCAGATCCTCGACGAAGCGCTGATTCACCAGTGCTGTACTAAATCCTCTCCTTTCCGTCATCTGCAGGTCCGCGAGCTCCTTTTCTAAGGCATCATCTCTAGTTCTCTCGATCAAAGCTTTGGAGCGTGCTCTGTAGCCATCTAACGCGGCCTGGCCGCCCAGTTGTTCAAAGGCGGCGTCGTAGGACAGCGGTTCCAGGGTCGTGTTGTCGTGCTTCGGCTTTGTAGGTGTCTTCGGCTTTGTCGGTTCTTGTGTTAGACGGGCTTCGAGCGCGGCGACCTGGGCGCGCAGTTCTTCTAGTTGCCCCTCAAATCTAGCGTGGAGGCGCGCCTCGAGGCCCGCGTCTCTTGATTCTACAGCGGCGTGCGCGGCGCGCATCTCTGCGTGTGTAGGTCAAGTCCACTCTAGCAGCCGCCGCAGAGCGCGCAACGCCGAAGCTGCCCGCCGCGCGTCGGCGCCGTCGGCGAGCGCACCGATGCGGTCGCGGCCGCCTGCCGCCGCTGGGCTGCGCGGCGCCTGCGGGTAAGCGCGCAACAAGGCCCACTCAAAATGCCCGGGATGGTCTAGTGTCTTTACGGGCCGCTAGCTTGCGCACGGCCGCCAGTTTTTTCACGAGTCGTCCAGGGCCGCCGTGGTCGAGCGGCCAGGAGTCCTAGCAGGCTGCAAAAAAACCCGTCAGTCAATCTGCGCCGGCAGAAGCTGCTCGGCAGAGCGTCTGGCAGAGGCAGCGCGCTGGGGTGTGTAGAACCGGTTCCGTAAAGGGGATCTTGCGAAAACGTGATCGATATCACGAGCCGGCAGGCTGCTTAAGGCTTTGCCTCCTGCCCCATGGCAGCCATGGCTATCTCTGATGCGCTGAGCCAAGAAATAAAGGGTTTAGCCCTAAAAGTCTGCGATGCCGAGCAGCGAGCCGCCACAGCCGAGGCCAAGTTACAAGCTCTCGAGTTCCGGGAGGCAGCCCGCCTGGCGGCCGCGCGCGCTGGACTGGAGGAACTAGCCGTCAACGAGGCGTCTCGTCTGGTCTCCTTTGTGACGGCGGAGGGTGTGAAAATCCACGTCTACTACACGTCGAGGACCGTCGCCACGTGCCTCACACACCCGCAGCAGGGCAAGACGCAGCTCTTCCGTCGAGATGTGGACCTGGAGCTCCTCAAGCAACTATTTCGTAACCCGCGTCAGCACACGGGCAGAGGATACCACCGTTGTCAGCCCGAAGCTCGCGCGGCAACCTTTTATCCAAGCCTATGTGGGATCGTCTGGGTGAAGGTGGGCGGGTGCCTCGTCGCAGCGTCGCACGACCTTGGGACTGCCTGCCTCGACAAGCGTTCCTTTATTGATCTTGCTTTTGTCGCGTCGCTGCCTGATGGCGAGCAGTTGTTAGCGTCGCTCGTGCAGCCAGTTCCAGCTTGCACCAGCCTCGATGGGACGAAAACCTCGGGTGAGGTCGTGCTGGGCATGCTTCCTGACAAGTTGAACATAAGCGTCGTGATGTCTGGCAAAGAAACTGGCCTCATGCTAGCGCTCGACCGCGCGCTCGTGGTGGACAAGCTGCCCGTGCCCCTCCACATATCTGTCAAATGCGTTCACATGTCGAAAATGAGCAAGAGAGAAACAGATATCTACAACATGGCGTTCGCTTGCATCGGGCACGATTGGGACTCCAAATTCAGCGTCCAAAATTTTCCCACCAGCTACCAGGACCACGCGTACTGGAAAAACGACGGCATCCTCTACCTTGGCGCGGGTCTCGAGGATCTTGCACAGCTCATGATGCCCAAGACACGGGTGGTGCCACAGCGGGTAGCTCTGCTCGGCTCGGCTTGGCGACCGGGTGACTGGTCTTCGTGGAGTGAAGGGTGCGACGTGTTAGCGCAGGTGCCTGCGGATGGCCTGGATCTTGAAGTTTACGGGACCGTCGCCACCTTTGAGAACGAGTTTCCGTCGAGCAGTCGGGCCCTCTCGGAGTTTTACGAAGGAGGCGGACGCGTCGTCGTGTTCCCGGCGGGGGGCAGGTTTGACTTCATCAAGGATACAATCAAGCCGCTATTCAACGTAAATTGGAGCTTCAGGTCGTACACGAGGCATGAGTTTGTGCTCACCGAGGCTGGGGCGCGAATCGTCGGGGGGGTACCTGGCGAACTGAGTGGCGAAATTTTCCCGTACGAAAAGGGCTACTTCCTGGAGGTGCCGGAAGGGGAGTCGATCCTTCTTCCGAGGCACGATTTCAAACATGATTATGGGTACGATCCTGACGACACCAACCACGAGTGCTACGACGCCGAGGAGGTCGAGGCGTGGCGCGAGAACAGGCCTCGCGACACACCGATTGCTTTTCACGAAAGTGAAGCGCACGGCGGGCAGCTTGCATTTGTCGGCTTCAACCACTGGAAGGGCCACCCAGAGTATTCGCAGATCACAGAGAGGCTCATCCGCCGCGGCCTGAGCCTCGACGACCCTCCCTATATTGAAGGGAGACCACAACAGTAAACTAACATCTGCCGCCGCTTTCCTCGTCGCCCCACCCTCGGGGAGACAGATCCTATAAAACCCGCACGATATCGCGGAGCCCGTACTCGGCGTGCGTGCTCGTCGCGTGCTGGAGCTCAGACGGGCGCAGTGAACTACGGGCGTGTTGCGAGAGCCCCTATCAGTAGCCTCGAACGATTCAGCTGCGACGCACCGCCATATACATATATTAGCTTCAGAGAGCAGCTCTCTAAACACGGTCGGAGAGCAGCCATGGACGCCGGCCTCCCGACCGGCTTATTAGAGCGCTACCCCCACCACCGCGCAACTTTGCAACGCCTCGACGCGCTCGACCAGCGCATCGACGACTTGGAAAGACGCGCGGCCGTGCGCCGGAGTCAACGCGGCACACCAGGCTTCTCCGCAGCAGCCAGAGCGCGCGGAGTACTAAGAGTGTGGTGCTCCCACCGCGTCGCCACCAGAACGTCAACCCAACCCTCACCGAAGAAACGCGCCAAGACGGAGAATGCAGGCGAGGAGCACTTCTGGGAGCTGACGATTGATGGCAAGGTCATCGATGATGGTTGTGACGGCCAAAATCAAATCTCGGCCGACGCTCGGACCTTCGGCGACCTCGTGGATCGCGTGGAAGTAAGCTTGGACCGCAAGCAGGGCAAGGGCGCGACAATCTGCTGGCGGCCGTCGCCGCGAGATAGACGCGTCGACGGTTTGGTCCTATCCAGAGCCTTTAAACCGGGCGCGAAGGCGTCTTGTTTAATTAGAGTCTCAATCTTCGCGCGGCGCCGCGCCTTCGACCGAGACCGGGTGAAGCTGGGTCCATCATTACAAAAGCTCATGCGCATCACGCGGGACGAGGAGACGCGCGACAATGTGGTGCGGGCGATTTCGCGATATGTCGACGTGAAGAACCTGCGGGACGCGCGCGACGGCCGGCAGATTCAATGCGACGCGGTCCTGCAGGGCTGTCTGGGCGTCCCGTCGTTCAATTTCACGCAGCTCGAGGAATTATTGCAGCCCCATTTACTGGTGCCGGAGCCCGTGTTTTTAGATAGACAATTATCTGCTGGCGACGCGGACCCGGAGCCGCAATTTATGGACGTGCCCGTGGACATTCCTATTAGAAGGCCGCTCCACGCGCCGCTGGCGAACGACGACCACCGGGGTAGGGATTTGGAGGTGCTGCTGGTCGCGAGGGCGCGGGCGGCGTGGGCGGCGCACGCGGCGGCATCGTCGTCGTGAGGCCGGGTAAGTCATGTTAACGTATGCGGAAAGAAATCCAGTCTCACATCGAGGATAGATGTTGTTACGGTGCTAGCCCTTCATCGAGGCGCGCTTCCCGTGCCTCGCGCGGCTAGCAGCCCGTGAGACACTAGGCATGCCCAAAGTTTTGGGAGTCGTGACAAGCCCGCCAGACGCTACAGCTGCATCGAAAAGCTTCGTCTGCAACAGATTGGTCGCCGCAACGGCATCGGGCAGCCTCTCTGCATTGTTTCGCGGCTGGCAGCTACCGGTGCGCTTCGAACAGCTCGGAGGGAGCCGGCGCGCGTGCAAGCTCAAAGCATTTTTGGAGGTGACCGCCGAGCGCGGACGGCAGATGCATAGGAGGGCAGCATGCGCGCATGATAGGCTGATACCGATGCGTCTGGCGCTGGCAGTCGTCCTCGCCTGCGGTAGCGCGGACGAAGCGAGCCGCCGGCCGGCCCGGCCGATGCGGCAGCGAGACGTGGACCGCTGGCGCGCGCGGCAGAGGCAGCACACCTACAAGCCACCAGCGGGAGCGCGCGGCGATTTCAAAGAACAACTCGCGCGGCTGCGGCAGCAGACCATTGACGCAAAGCACACGCAGCAGCCACCGCCGCAGGCGCCGCACCGACCGACGCCAATACCGGTCAATATCACGTGCCCGGCGACGCGCCGCGGCTGCGCGTACGACCGCGAGGGTGGCTTCGGCGCCGGCCTGTGGGAGAGTGCGATACCGCGCGAGGACGGTTGGATGGAGCGTTGGAACTGGCGCCTGGGGACCCAGGCCGAGTGGAATCGGACGCGCGACGCGCTCGCCTGGCGCTGGCGCGCGACCTGCGCGATCTGTGCGATGACGCCGCCCGCGGACCTCGTTACACCGGAGCAGCTCTGCGCGCGCTTCGCAGAGGCGCGCGTCCGGCGGCTCCTCGTCGTCGGCGACTCGACGTCACAAAGCTTCTACGACGCGCTCGTCACGCGCCTTCGCGCCACCAAAAAAATGGGTATACCCTTCCCTGGCGACCCCAAAAAGAAAAAGTTCGCGATGACGCGCGGGGACGCCTGCGACACTTCGCTACGAGTGGCCTTTCTGCGCGACGACTACCTCTGGGGCGACGACGCCATCCTCCCGAACGCGACCTGCACCGCGCTCGCGGCGCAGGGTCTGGCCGTTCTCGACAAGTGCGGCGACAGGGGTAGCCCACGCTGCCACGGGCGTGGAGGCGGGAAGCAGGCCTGCCGCGACGACGTCGTCGACCGGGCGCACTGGGCATTATCATTACTGCCGAAGTGGGATGTGGTGGTGGCCAAAACCTGTGTGGAAATCAAATTTACGGCGCATTCGACCACGTCATCGCCGGGAAGACTGAGTGCCTGACACACTGGTTGATTTCCACACAGGCCAACACCGGCGCGCACCAGGGTAAGCCCGGGGCCATGGCGCACGCTGTTCAGGTTCTCGCGGAAAAGCTCGCGAACGGCACCGGCGCTACGACGTTCCTGTTTCGCGGTATCTACCGTCCCGTCTACGGCTGCCGGGAGACGTACCTGGCCGGGCCGAGCACCCCGGAAAAAATCGAGGCCGTCGAGGAGGCGGTCGCGTCGCGGGCCGCTGATGACCCCCAGAATCGAGGCAGTCCCGAATACAGAGCGCTCAAGGACACGTATTTCTGGCGCAAATTCCTCGACTTCGAGGCCATGGTCGCGGAGGAGCTTCTGCCGAAGGTTGAAGGCGCGACCCTGTACGACGTCGGGCCGCTCGTGACGGCCCGCACGGACCTGCACGCCCGGGACTGCCTCCACTTTCACGCGCTCCCCGGGTCGCGGACGGGCGTCTTCAAGTGGTGGATCCCGATGCTCCTGGACTATGTCACGGAGATGCGTCGCCCGGGCGCCCCGCCCATGAACTATTCGAGCGCGCGCAGGAGCCAGAAATTGGGCTTCAACGCGTGGCGTGCGGCGCTGCGCGAGCGGGCGGCGACGAGTAATGGTAGTAGTGTGTAGTACGACCCCCCCCCTCTCCATTCTACAAGCTACAGCTTACATTATCACGCAAAACAAGCAGCGCTGAGCGTAAAACGCCGTCCGCGCGGCCGCGAGGCAGCCATCGGTGGCGGAACGAGGCGTTGTCAAGTGCTCACGGAGCAGCGCGAGCTGCCCGCCGCGGAAGAACCGGCGCCAAGGCCTTTGTGAGGCAGCCCATAGCATAGAGTAGCCCGGAGCAGCCCGAGCGTAGAGCGAGCTGCCCAGCATGGAGGACACGGCACCCGACGCGCTGCCGGTGGAGACCGAGGGAGTTGCGGCGGCCCCGGGCCCGGCGCCCGGCGCGGCCGCGGCCCCGGCCCCCGCTGCGATGTTCCAGACCTTCGTGCCGAGCCCCACTAGGAAGAAGTCCGTGACCGTAAGACGCCAAAATGAGAAGTACCGGCCCAAGAAGACGGTGCTCGTCGCCCGAAAACCGAGAGAGGACGACCTGCTGGACCGCAATCGCATGAGCAACGTGGCCTCGCCGGCACGACTCAAGGGTCTGAGACGCCTACCAAGGAACGCGGGCGTCATCGAGCGAAGTGTGCTCGGCGAGGCCGACAAGTTCGTCGAGCACGAGGTCTACTGCAAGTACGGCGACGACGGAAAACCCGACACGCCGGCGTCCTCGCGCGCGCGGACGCCGTCCGACGTTTTTCCTGTGGAGGCCTTTTCGGCGGGGGATTTGACGACCGACGAGTCTTATGTGGATGCGCTCAAAGCGAAGGCGGCCGAGGTCGAAATCATTCAATTCCAGGAAACGGCTGCCCGGGACGACTCGACCTTCATCCCCGACGCCGAGGACACCTTTGGAGGTGCGAGGGAAGCGAGAGCTCTCAAGCGGTGGAAGGAGCAGCAAAAGGACTGGCGGCGACTCACCGCAACTTTTGCCAAAAAACAGGGCAAACCTGCGGACGAAGTGCTCATGATGAAGTCCTGCGAAGATTATCGGGAGCAGTCCGAGAACTTCCAGATCATCCAGGCCTCCATTCCGCAAGAGGAAAGCGCGGGCGAGTCGTACTGGGAGATGAACCTGCGGGGCGAAGGGCAGCGCATGGTGCGCGTCGGGAATTTATTTTCGGGCTTGTATTGTCCTCTGAAGAAGGGCGAGAAAGCCCCTCAACAGATCAGGAGGCCGAAATTACCTGGTTCGGCCGCGGGCTTGACAACACGCTCTTTGGGAGAAAAGAAGGACTGGCGGTCGGACCCCTACATGCTGAAGCGCAAGAAGCAGTGGGAGAAGGGCCTGAAGACGCTGCAGCCCCACTTGGTTGGCTCCGGTGACGACGCGACGGAATTGGCGGTCGTCGGTACGGACCTATTCCGGTGGGCCGCGGACGCTTCCGAGGACGTCCTCAATGCCAGAAATGTCGTCAGCGAGCCCCCTACGATAGTAGAGGAAGAGCCAGAAGTGGTAGAACCAGTGGTCAAGCCTTTGCCAAGACTCGAGGTCGTCGGGAATGCTTTGCTGCACTTGGAAGCAACCCATTCAGGCAAAGCCGGCAAGAATTCGGTGACGCTGAAAAATACGAGTGACAAGGTCATGTTCTTCGAGTGGCGGCTCAACTCGAAAGGTCCGGACCGGGCCCCGGACGACGAGCTCTGGGTCGAGCGCGGTCCCAAGTACAAGGACGGCACGCCCATGGACGACAAGGTCTTTGCGACGAACAAAGACTGCTTCTTTCAGTGCATGACTCCAAGTGGTTCCATATTACCTGGTTGTTCTACTATTTGTCGCTTCGCGTTCAAGTCGCGGGTGCCGGGCTGTTTTGTCGAAGAGTGGCAGCTCAAGGTGCGTCCTAAAGCGGAGATTACGGGTCTCATAAAACTCAGTAACGCGAAGAAGGGCAAGAAGTGCAAGAAGCGCCAGGGCATCTCCCTACAAGGCTACCAGCAGCCGCCCGAGGACAAGCCGCACATGCGCGACCATGTTGATGCGATTCTTGAGAAGCACGTCGGGCCGGATATTTGCAGAGAGATTTTGTATGAGGTGTTGTGGGATATTGATCTGTCTCCCGCCGGTGCCGAGAGGGCGCGGAACGCGTCTCACAAGGCAAAGCTCGAGGCGCGGAACGCTTGTCGAGGCCTCGTGTTCACGCCTGATCGGTGGGCCGCCTTCGAGGAATTGAGAAAGGACGCGCGCGTCGCCAAGAAGGAGATCGAGGCGCCGGAGGAAGAGATAACCGAAGAAGAGGCCTGCGCGCCGGCGCCGGCGCCCGGGCCGGCCCCCGCGGTAGAAGAGGCCGCGCCGCTTCCAGCACGTCGACTCGAGCCGCGCGAGGTCGACGTGTTCGGACACAAAGCCGACCAGGACGTAGTAGCTCCGCCGCCGCCCGTCCCGGAGGACTGGGACCCCGAGGCCCTGGGCCTGCCCGACTGGATGCCGCCGGTCCCGCCCATCGACCCGACGTGGGGTTTGGGTGCCGCGCGCGAGAAGTACCGGAAGCGCAAAGAAGCGGCAAAGCCGGATCCGGATGAGTGGGACGGTGATATAGACGCCATCGAGGCGCTGATCGCGTCGATTTCCATTCCCGAGGCCCCCGAGGACGAGGCGCTCACTGTTGCTACGAGAGAGAAGGGTTCCGACGACGATGAAGAGGAGGACGAGGAAGAAGAGGAAGAAGAGGAGGAGGACGAGGAGGACGACACTCTGGCCACGGGCGCGCCGCCTCGAAAGCCGGCGCCGCCCGCCGACCCGCGCGAACGGCGCATCCTCTCATTGAAAATGAGGTTCACGTCGTTGTTGGCGTCCTGCTCCACCACGGCCGACGAGGACTGCGCTATCGACGCCCTGAAGCCGCACCTCGATGGAGTAATCGAGAAGGCCGCCTTCGCGCTCACGACCTGCGAGGCCGTCGCGGCTCTGGAGGATACGAAGCCGCCCGCGGCGCTCGGCGAGGACCCGGACGCGCTGAATGGTGCGTTGGAGGCATCGATAGCCGCGTCGGACGCCGTCGCGGCGCTCCCGCCGCCCAAGGTCTGGGACTCGGCCCAGATGAAGTATGTGGACGGACCCAAGGTCGTCCAGGATTTAGCAAGAGAGGAGGGCCTCGAGGACTTCGGCGCCGCGTGCGTGACTGGAGAGGGCCAGGACGCGTATCGCGCGGCGGCCTGCGCGTCGGTCAAGCGGTTGCTGGCTGATATGATAGGGCCGCCCTCTCCAGATGAAGAGGACGCCCCGGACGACGCGACGGCGGCCACCTTCCCGGCGCCGCCCGCGCGGCGGCCGAACGCGGTCCACGACGCCATCGCCCAGCGGGCCGAGGACATCGCCTCCATCCAGGCGGCGCGGCCGGAGGACGTCGATGGGAAGGTCGTGCTCCTCCAGGCCGACCTCGACGTTTCTGTGGATGAAGATATAGACGAGGACGACCTCCCGGAGGCCTTCCAGCGCGTCGCGAAAACGCTCGAGACGCTCACGGCGGCCAAGGCTGTATTGATAGTGACGGAGCTCGCCGAGGGGTCGACGAAATCCTTGGTGGAGCCGCTCATCCACGCGGCCGGCCCCGACTGGGCGCCGCGCTTCGTCGGAGATATTGCACGAGCCAAAGCCATCCTGGAGAAAATGACTGATGAGGACGAGGACGACGCGACGCCTTTGTTCATCCTGGAAGCGCGGAACTCCGGGCCGGCGCTGTGCACGGTCATCGATCGCGAGATCGTCGTCGACGAGGACGCGCCGGCGCTCCCCTACTGGGCCGACGCCGACGACGCCGAGGCCGCTGAAGCATGTGAAAACGCCTTCCGGGAGAACGACGCGGGCTATCGTTTAACAGAGCTCGCCGATATCTTAGTGCAGGACTCGCTGAACGCCTTCATGCCAACATACAACGTCGAACGGATGCACGACGCGGACGCGCGTTCATTACAACTTTGCACGCTGCCGCGGAGTCTAGGATTGAACGCCCATTTAGATACGGCGACCGTCTCCAGGTTACTCAGTGGGCCGCGGCCCATCGTCGCGGTCGTCGGCGACGACCGCGTCCAGGGGTGCGGCTTCCTGCGGCAGGCCCGTTTAGTGGATTTCCTGCTCGACCACGCCGACGAGGTGCTGCTTTCAGGATTATGCGCGCGGGAGTGCCTCGCGGCATTGAATGTGGATGTCGGCCGCGGAGTTGTTGACGAGGCCGTCTTCCCCGTCGCCAGGCGGCTGATGGCCAAAGCTGTCAGGCGCAAGGTCGCGTTACGCTTACCCTGCGACTTCGCGACCGGTGATATCGACGTCGACGAGAAGGGCCAGATCAAGGTGAGTGAAGACGACGATGACGAAGAGGACGAGTCCGAGGAGGAGGAAGAGGAGGAGGACGACGACGAGGACGGCGACGCGGGCGGCTTCGAGTATGACGGCGATATTAGTGATGCTGCTCTAGAGGGCGCGGGCGCCAAGAACGGCGTGCCGCGCGACGTCTTCGCGCTCGACATCGGCCAGCAGACTATTGAATCTTTCCGGGCGTCGCTGAACCGCGCTTCGACCATCTTCTGGTCCGGCGCCGTCGGCAGCGTCGAGTGCTCGGCCTTCCAGCAGGGTACAAGGGATGTGGCCGAGGCCTGCGCCGAGGCCGCGGCGGAACGAAAAGCGCTCGTCGTTATTGCAGGACGGACCGCGACGACCTGGGCGCGGAATTTCGCGGGCGATGCTGATGATGATGAAAATGAGTCGGGCGTCTGCCTCGTCGACGCGGACGGGCGGAACGCCTTCGCTCACATCTTGTGCGGCGGGCCCTTCGCGCCGTGCCTCGACGCGGTCCCGCGGCGCGAGCCGACGGACGACGAGCGGCTGCTGCCGGCGGAGCTCGCGCAGAAGCAGCGCGAGGCGGCCGAGGCTTCGGATGCGGAGGAGGACGACGACGAGGAAGGGGACTACTAAGTTTAGAGTGGTATTTTACGTCGGCGTCATGGCCTCCAGCTCGTCTGCGAGGGAGCTGACGTTGAGTTCGCGGGCGCGGGCCGTTGCTCGCGCGTTCCGCAGGCGTAGCTCAGTCAATCCTACGAACGGGTGCTTGGCGCCGAGCACGCGCCGCGCAATCCGTCCCACGTCCTCGAGCGTCGTCACGGCCTCGCGGAAATTGTCGAGCGTGGCGCTGGGGTCGTCGTGGAGCGCCATCGCCAAACAACACCTCATTTTAAGCGTGATCAAATGGCTATCTGTGAGAACGCGTTGCGCCACGGGTAGCATTTTGCGCAGGAACAGCTTGACTTCTTCGAAGCGCCGTAGGTCAAGAAGGTTCATTGCGTAGTTATTGGCTTCTATGAGGGTATGTTCCTTTTCCTCGCCATGGAGCCTCAGAGTTCCAGCATATACGTCTCGTCGCAGGCGCAGGGCCTGTTCTTTTTGTCCGAGTTGACCATATAAATTCGCAAGATTGCCTTGCAAGGTAAGTATGTGCTCTGCTGGTCCACCAAGCCGCCGCGCCATAGACAACGCGGCCTCCCTCACGGATAACGCCTCCTCCAAGTGTTGTGCTTGGTATAAACCGACCCCAAGCAGGTTCATCGCCAGTTGTCGAGGAGTGTCCGACTCGGGTCGCCCCGCATACGTGTTCCAGCACGCCCACCCGAGTGCGCACGCCACGGCGCCGTGGTACCGTTGCTCGCACAGACTACACGCGCTCCATCGCGCCCACCTCGCCCGCTTCACCTTCAGGTCCAAGTTGTTCTCTTCGGCCTCCGCAACCAAGATCTTCGCCTGCTCCGCCAAGCACGACACGTGCGCATAGCCCGCCGTTCCGCGGCACGAGCACCCGCGCACGAGGCCCTCCTTTGTTTTCCAGTGGAGGGCCTGCGTGCAGATGTAGCACGTCTGGCCTTTCGTGTCCTCGGCGCACTCCTCCGCCGCGACAGCTACAGCCTCCGTGTACTTCTTATTTGCGTTGTATTGCTCAGCTCCGCCGCCTTTCCTTATCTTTCTACAGAGCTTGTCGTGGCCGCCCTCTTCCCAGTGCTTTTTCTGGCAGGCCACTCCGCAGTAGCGCGTCTTGCAGCGGCTGCATTGTTTGGCTGAGGTGGGCGGCAAAGGGGCAGCACAGCATGGGCATTGGGTGAGGATCATCGCGGCGAGCCCAGGACTCGCAGAGGCAGCTGATGGTGTATTTCTGAGTGAAGGGCAGCCAGTTGACGATCTATAGATAGCGTCAGTCTCGCCGCGGATGCCGGTGTGAAAAGCTAGACGTAGACGTACTAGAACCGCACAGGGCTGCCCCTGCCACCGCAGCAGCGGCTGCGCGCCGCGACGAGCCATGCGCCTCCTCCCTTTCCTCCTCCACGCCGCCGCAGCGAAGCTACAATTCGGCGCCGACGCGAACAACACGCGCAAGGGCTCGAAGCGGAGACGAAACATCGAACGCGTCTACGCCGTCGCGCGGAAGGCCCTGCCGCTCGAAGAACGAATGGAGGCTGAGGAGCGGTGGGAGCGGGCCAAATTGCTAGGAAGAGGAAGAAGGGCCAAGCTCGCCGCCATCAAGGTCAAGGTGCCCCGCCGCAACTTTTCGTACGCTGTGCCCGACCCAAAAAAACTGTTGGACATCAGGGCCTACAACCTCTCGTCTCTATCGAGCAACGGCACGGCGATGAACGCGCGGCACTACCTGACCATGTGGGAGCAAGCGAAAAATTCGGTTGAAATGCAGGAGAAGCTCTGGAAGATGAATAACCGGGCGGCGCCCCAAGATAGGATCGGACTCTTCGTGAAGCGGGGCTCGTGGGATTCCGATGGGTTTGCTTCTTTAGGAAGGTTGCTGGGCGTGGTGGTTGGCATCCCTTTGAGGGTTGTCGTGTTTGTCGTCCGAAGGTGTTGCGTCCGGCCGTTGCGCGATCGCTGCGTGGGGACGTTCCTGGAAAGATATGCAAATTTCACGGACGACGCGTTGCGGCGCGGGTTTGCGAAAGCTCTGATCAAAGCTCGGGAAGAAACGGTCAACGAGCTCAACCAGGTCATGCATAGATATGAGGGCCCCATCGAACGTTTTTTTTCAAGATACTATGGCTTGATGGTGTTAAATACAAGAGAGATCAGAATCGTGCTCAAGACGGCGTGGCGCCTGCCGCGCCAGGCCTGGCTCTTCGTTAAAACTTTACGGTACTACGCCATGCTTTACTTGCGGTCGACGCGCTCCCTGAACTATGTCTTGGTGAAGGCGTACCCAGCATCAAAGACGTGGCCGAGGCACGAGCGCCTCGAGGCGGCATTATTACGGGCGCTCCTGGCGGAGTGCCGGGCCTACGAGGCGCGGCTCGGGCCGAAGGCCGCGGCGCGGCGGAAAAGGAGGCTGGCGAAGTACCACGAAAAGCTGCGAGCTGCTGAGCAAGCCAAAATTGGATCGTCGCCGCGGGACGAGGTCTAACCTATTTGTTGTTACGCGGGGACGTCGTAGGCGCCGTCCCTGCGGACGCCCTTGAAGAGCGCGGCGTACGAGTCGCCGTGGAGCCGCGGGAAGGACTCGTCGGCCAGGAGCTTCTTGAATTTTCCTTCGCAGGGCTGCGCGCCCTTGGTGTAGTAGAGCTCGAACGTCGCGTCCCGCAGGGCCGGGCTCGCGCACGCCTCCACCGCGACCTCGGCCAGATCTTTGCGCGAGATTATGCCGGCCAGCGCATCTCCCTGCGGACGGGTCGCGTCGATGGCGTCGAGGCGGAAACAATGAGGACGCCGCGGCGCACCTGCGAGATCTCCAGCGCGCCGGGGCCCTGCACGACGTTCTCCTTCGGCTCCTCGAGACCGCCGGGGCGAATGATGGTGTACGCCAGGTCCGAGCCGGCGTACGTAGCGTAGACGCCGTCCTCGCCGAGCTTCTTCTCGCCCATAATCTTACCATACACGTCGGTGAACTTATATCCCAGGGACTGCGGCCGCGTCACAGCCGTCGACGAGATGACGACCAGCCGCGGCACCTTCGCCGCCACGCACGCCTTCGCCGCGTTGACGACACCTAGATTGTCGACCTCGTGGGGGCTGCCGCCCTTCTTGCTGCCCGACGCGGCGTAGATCACGGCGCCCGCGCCAGTCACGTCGATGGTGCTCGGGTCGCGGACGTCGCACGCCGCGATGCTGAGCAGCGGGTCGGCGTCGACGCCCGGCGGCGCCGAGCCCGAGCGCGACAGCGCTTTCACTGCGAGACCGCGCTTCAAGCAGGCCGCGACGCACAGCGATCCCGTGCGCCCGCCCGAACCAATGACCGCGATGGGCTTGCCTGCTGCGAGAGCCGGTCCACCGGTGGCAAGCGCTGCCGCGGCACTGCCTCCCAGGGCCTGCCGGCGGTTCAGTGCCAGGCCGTGAGTGGTGCAGGCCCTCAGCAATGCAAGCAGTGCAAAACGCATCGTGCTTGCGAATCCCTGTGGCCTAAATCGCACGAACTCGTTGAGGTGATACGTCTGCGTAACTGGGCAACGCTCGCAGTGAGAGCACAATATAGCAGTGCCTGGGGGCAGCGGAGAGCATCGATGCTCTCACAGTGCGCTAGCCAAGGACTCTAGCCGCAAGTATTATTCGTCCCAAGGGCAGCCAACCACGAAGAGCTCGGGACCGCTTGTCCCGGACCCGCTCGCGTTCAAATCTTCCCACTAGCTTGATCTAGAAGAGCTCCAAGAGTTCGACTGTCACACAGTGGACTTGCTTGCAGCGCTCGCAAGCCATTCGCAAACAACAGAGGCGGCTGCCCGTCCTCCTCGCTCGCTCGGCTCGCTCGCTCGCACGGAAGGGCAGCCCTTTGCAAAGGAAGCGCTCGCAAGAGCAGCCTCACCGACCTCGACCGATCGATTACTCTCGTGAACAACCATGTTCTTCGGCGGCATGCCCGGCGGCGGCTTCCCCGGCATGCCCCAGAAGCGCGAGCCCGCCGACACGACGAAGCTGTACGAGACGCTAGGAATCGAGAAGTCGTCGACGGCGGCGCAGATCAAAAAAGCCTATAGGAAAAAGGCGTTGAGGATGCACCCGGACAAGGGCGGCGACCCCGAAGAATTTAAAAAATTACAAGCGGCCTACGACGTCCTGTCTGACGAAGATAAACGGAAAACGTATGATAAGTATGGCCTCGAAGGATTGGAGGAAGGCGGCGGTCCGGGAGGAGGCATGGGCGACATCTTCGACTTGTTCGGGGGCGGGCGACGAAGAAATGGCAAGCGGAAGGTGGAACCCCTGGTCTTCACAGTGAAAGCTTCGCTAGAACACCTGTACTGCGGCAAGACCGTCAAGCTCGCCTATAAACGAGATGCGTTGGTGGGCGAACCGCGGAAGTGCGCGACGTGTGGCGGCACTGGAATAACAGTCCAAAACGTGCAGATCGCGCCTGGGATGGTTACGAGGGCGCAAGCGCAGTGCTCGCAGTGTAATGGCGGCTACCGCGCTCAGATGAAGAAGGAGCGCTGCGAAGTTGAAGTCAGAATAGACAAGGGCGCCGCCGACAAGTCGAAGATCAAGCTCAAAGATAAAGGCTCGGAAGCGGCTGGGGCGGAACAGGGCGATGTGCATTTTGTGATTCAGCAGAAGCCCCATTCCCTGTATAAGCGACACGGGGCTGATTTGTTGATTAGGAAGGACATTGGCCTCGTGGAGGCCTTGACAGGGTTCAAATTTGTCGTGCCCACGCTAGATGGTCGAAAGTTGAGCGTACAAGCGAAGCCGGGCCAGATCATCCGGCCCGAGGTGCGGTCAGGCGTGCCCTACGTCATGTGCGTCGACGGCGAGGGCATGCCGAAGTACGGGAACCCTTTTGATAAAGGGAGGCTGTTTGTTCTATTCCACATCGCCTTTCCGACGGACGGTTCCTTATCATCACAAGCAGTAGCGTATCTAAAGAAAGCTTTGCCTGCGCCCTTGGACCATCCCGTCGTCGGCGCGGATGCCGAGGCTCTGAAGAAGCTGGCCGAGAAGAACGAATCGGTGAGGGAACTGCTCGGCCACGAGGCCGAGGAGGCCTTCCTGACGCGTGTCGAGGGCGGCATGGACGATTTTGGAAGGGGCGCGGGCGCCGATGGTGGGGACGCGACGAACGAGGACGACGACGACGGGCGCCGGCGGCGCGGGCCGCAGGTGCAGCAGTGCGCGCAGCAGTAGCTCGTCTTGGGAGTTTAAGTTTTAATGATAAAATGAGTATGTCGCCTCCGAGCTGACCCTCGGAGCGACGGCGTAGAGTTTTGCTAGTGTGTCTTTCCGCTAGTTAGGCAAAAAAATAGTGACGTTTTTGCAGCACGCGCAGCGAGAACGCGCACATTCATTCGAGTTGTTGAGTGCGGCAGTGTTTAATTGCGTGTACGTCACAACATTGTGCAGCGCTGCAATCGTTTGGACTGAACGGCACGACAACATCGTCCTAGCAAGAGAGCCCCATGGCCACGTCCCAAATCGGCCGCATCATCGGCGTCACATCCTGCAAGGGCGGTGTAGGTAAATCTACCGTCGCCTTCGAGCTGGCGCGACGCCTGGCCGGCCGCGGCCGCCGCGTGGGTATATTTGACGCGGACGTGCACGGCCCGTCGCTGCCGACGCAGTTAGGTGAAGACAAACGCGCCACACCCACAACTGACGGCTGGCGCATGGCGCCCGTCGAGGCTGGTGACATGAAGCTGATGAGCTTCGGGTTCATTGGGGAGTTGTGGGATTCCGAGGCGGACATCGACCCGCGGGGCGCGGGCGGCGCGGGCGAGCTCGCCGTGCAGCTGCTCCACACGACGGACTGGGGCCGGCTGGACGATCTTATAGTGGATACGCCGCCGGGCACGGGCGAAATTCCCCGCGCCTTAGCGGCGCGGGCGCACTATTCCGGTTGCGTGGTGGTGACGACGCCGTCGGAGCTCGCGGTCGCGGACGTCGTGCGGGGCGTGAGCATGCTGCGCAAGTTTAATATACCGATCCTGGGCGTCGTCGAGAACATGGCGACGTTCGCGAGCGACTGCGGGAAGATCTATCGGCCCTTCGGCGACGGCTCGGTCAACGAGGTGCTGGCCGTCGTCGACGACCCATCCGTCAGAGCCGTTGCTTTACCAATTTCGAAGGCGGACAAGGCCGCGCTCGGCCCGTCGCTCGATCCGTTACTAGATCGGCTGCCGGCGGATGCGACCGTGGAGCTGCCCCAGCTGAATTGGCACGAGAAACCGCACTGGCCCGACAAGCTGTTCTTCGCGGGCCGCGGACATAAAAGGAGGCACGCGGCCGACGCGAAGTTCGCCATCACGCCGCCGCGATACGATAGAATGGAGTAATAATCTTGTGTCTTACTACGAAACGTAAGAGGGGGAGGGCGCGTTCTTCACGCGTGCGGCACCTGGGGCTGGCCCGGCGTCAGGTAGTGGTACATCTGGTCGTCCAAACGCACGCGCTGGTGCGAAGACACCGACGTCCCGTCCAAGACCACATTCACCTCAACGTCGTACGACAGGCGGTCGTTAACCTTAAATGACAAGGTACCCGAGATAGATTGGCCGGGGTTGACGGCGATCGGCCGTCGCAATAGTAGTCGAGACTGGTACCAGTGCGTGCCCGGGGCTTTCGGTGACGTCGAGAGTACTACCCTTTCCGTCGACCCGTCAAAACGGGCATCGAACCAGCAGCCGAAGCCGTGGAGTATTGCTGTTTTCGTAATGCGGAACGAGAAAGGAATTTCGAACTTCCGCAGGTCTTGCACACTACAAGTGCCAAAATCAAAAGCGTACGTCGCGACGTCGTCACTTACAGCCGCCTCGGGCGGGTAATAGCCGACCACCGCCTGGCCGAAGTACTCGTCGAGGGCCGCATCATGTAACGCCGACAGATCGACCCCATGGAAATCTTGGGAACGCCAGAAACTTGCCTTGGCTTCCTGCTCTTGCCACAACTGACCATCGGTGATCGGCTGCGCAAATATGTCGCCCCTCGAGGGCATGACGAGGCCTCCACTCTTCAAAAACCTATCTCTTGCATTAATAAAGGCCTCGAGCATGCGCTCGTGGACGAGTAAGAAACCTATACACGTGAGTGAGATTTTATCGCGACATGGGGATGTGTGTATATAGTAAGTAACCCGTCGGAATGAGCTGAGTTATGTGCGTATCTCTCAAGGCCGTTTTGGCTCGGCGTAGGATTGTTTTGCGTGTGTCGTCATCCGGGTTGTTTGTATTGACGTAGACGCTGTGTTCCGTGCCAAGAGGTTCTGATATAATAACATCCACGTGTTCAGGTATAGTAACATCTTCCACCTTGCCCCGGACCACGTGGATGCGCGCCGTCGGGTCCAGGGCGTCCCAGGCCGCGTCCGCCGAGAGCTTCGACGTGGACAGCGCGCCCGCTTTTGCTCGAGATTCGTCCGGCGCGTAGCGGGCTAACCGAGCGTTGCCCTGCGACGCTGCTAGAGATGCCGCTCTTTCCGCCATGGCCGACGCCTCGACGGCGTAGACGCGCCCGGCGCCGGCCTGTGCCGCGAAGAACGACAGAATTCCCGTCCCAGCACCGACATCTAACACAACCTTCCCCCTAAAATCATCCGCGTTGCCCACAATAGCCCTTCGGTACGTGTCCGTCCTTACCACGTCCTGCAGCATGTTCTGCTGGTGCTGCAGCCGCGCGTAGTAGACGCCGAAGGCACTTGGGTCGGGCGGCCGCTCCGTCTCGTCGGCCGTGGCGCGGTCGAGGGCCGACATTTTAGGTTGGTGCTCTATTTGCGTGAGCTTGTCGCGGCCTCGCTGCTGGGCCAGGTGCACTGCTCGAGTGCTCGCGGGGACGGCGTGCTGCGCGGCGTTGCACGGCTCGCGCGCCGCAGCAATCCGGCTCGCCGCAGCAGTGCACTATTTTTGCGCGCCTTCTCTGCCCGGGCTGGCACCCTTAACGCCCTCGCGAGAGCAGCCTCGCAGCGGAGCTAGCTAGTGCGCAAACATACTAGGACTAAAAAAACCGTAGCCATCCGCAAAAGACCCAGCCGCACGCCGTCGCTGCCGCGCCATATCATCATAAACGTTACACTTAAGGAGGGGACCGCGCTCACGCCGCCCCGTTCTGCGCGAAGCACACCCGCAGCGTGAGCGCGACGTCCCCCGGGAAGACCGGGTCCGTGACCGTGATCTCCGCGTTGTTCGCCACTAAAGCTGACAAGGGCTTGTCGAGGTTCGGCCGCGTCGCGGCTTCGAGCGACTTCGGCTTCCTCAGGTACAGAGTAGCGTCGGCCGTGGCTAGAGAAGGAGCTTTCAATTTGAGGGGCTCTTCCGTTAAATCCGACACGAGTTCGCCCAAAGTTTTCGTAGCAGAACAAGTCACCGTACGGACACAAGAAGAACACACGGGGCAGTCGTTCTTTTTCCCGTAACAAAAGGTATGCGAATAGATGCCCGTAGACCCCATGTACATGTGGTACGTGTTGAGAGTTTGCGACGACAAGGACATGAGCTTGAACACCTCGTTGACGCACATCGCACTTACGACAGCGTTCGTCGACGCCACGGCGGGAATAATGTTCTTGACGACGCCCATCGTCTTCATGTAGGTGACGCCCTCGATGTTGAACTTGGACGCGCGCTTGGACGCGACGTCGAAGAGCCACTTCATGTCGTCCGGCGAATCGGTGTCGATGGCCCGTTGGTTCGTTTTTGGCCACTCGACGAGCTGCGCGTAGCTGATGCAGTGCTCCGGCAATCTCGGTGTTTCCGCGATGGTGCAGAGTGGATACGTTCGCTGCGGCGGGAAGGAGTCCAGCGAACACTCGAAGCACGACGTGAATCGAGGAATGATGACTCGCGCTTGGCCCCGAAAACCTTCCGTACCCCCATCAACCATGGGTATGATTTGCGACGGATCTATGACGTTGCCCTCATCATCCACTTCCGCCAGGCCGACGAGCATGGCGTTGAGCCACCTTCTCGCTTCGACGTTGTCCAATCCGCTACAAACCACGTTGAATCGCGAATAAAAGTCCGCGTCCTTGTCCTGGACCTTGCCCACGTGTGCGATCACATTACACTGCGGCACGCGTTCTCTGATGAACTCGGCGGCGACCTCGGCCTTCGGCCTTCCGACGTCTTTCTGTCGAAATAGAAATTGCCTGTTCAAGTTCGAGACGTCGATCGTGTCCATGTCGATCACTTCTACATCTCTAAAGCCGGACAAGGCTAGATCTTTGAGGACCTCGCAGCCGAGGCCGCCGGCGCCTACTACCAAAACCTTGCAGGTCTCGGTGAGGAATTCCCGCGTGTCATTGCCCGGGTCAAATTCACCAACAGCCAAAGCGCCTGACTCAGATCCGAAGGGCGTCGGCCTCAGGAGTAACTTGTCGATGTCGGTGGTCGCCATGGTCGTGCTCTCGCGCGGCGAGTCAGCTGGATACGAATTATGCGCAGCGTACGCGACCGCAGACCAGCAGCGATCGCTGCCGCGGTGTCTTGGGCCTCTTTGACGATGCGGTGAGCCCGCGCGCCCTGCTCTTTGCACCGCTGCGCTTGCCGGGGCGCAAAAGGCTGGAAAATACTAGTGTCTTACAGGCCGCTAGCGCCAAAACATAACTCTTCGCAAAGCTGCTTGGTGGCGTCTTGACATTGCAAACGCAACGATTAATGCCGATAGACGCAGTGCTATAGCTGCGCTGCGACCACGCCAAAGCTGCGCCAGCTCTGAGCAACCATAAGCGAGAGTGCTGCCCCACCCAGGCAGGAGCACTGGACTGCAAGCGGCATCGCGGCGCAACCACGTACATAACATATGCGCCGCCTGCTCATGCTGCTCCCCGCAGCCTTATCACTCGTCGCGAAACGCGTCGCGCGCCGACCGCTCACGCGGCGACACCTGAACCGCCTCTTCCTCACGGCCGAGGAGGCGACAGCGCCGCAATTGACGTTGGACGCCGCCGACCGGCGCGCGGAGCACGTGAAAACAATCATCTGGCGCGGCGCGCCGCCGCCGAACGCGACGCTGCGAGTCGGCGTCCTCGACGGAGGGGCCGCGGACTGCGCCGCGGCGCTGGACGGACAAGGGCGGCTCCGGCTCGAGCTGCCCGAGGGGTTGGCGACGCCGGCGACGCGCCCCCGCCTGGACGTGATCCTGGCCTTGCCCGCGCCGCTGCGGCTGAAACGCATACTGCCGACGTTATCTTCGCTCGGCGTGGATAATTTGTGGTTGTGCGGCGCGCAACGGACGGAGCGGAGCTACTTCGGGGCCAAATTCCTCGAGGGCCTCAAACGGGACGCGGTGCCGCGCGCCGCGCCGGCAGGGAAGCTCCGCGACCTGCTCGTCGAGGGCGCCGAGCAGAGCGGCGACGGCGCGCTCCCCAGAGTCGCGCTCGCGGGGTCGTTGCGGCCGGCGCTGCGGGCCGCGGCGGAGAACGACTACGCACTCCGACTCGCGGCGCACCCGGACCGGGGCGAGGGCTTCGAGGCGCTCGACGACGCGACGGGCGCCATGACCGAAGTGCCGCGCGCGCGGCGGCTCCGGGAGTTAGTGGAGGGCGTGGACGCGAGCGGAAAAGCGGTCCTGTGCGTCGGCCCCGACCGCGGCTGGGAGGAGCCCGGGGAGCTCCTCGCGCTCCGGCGGCACGGCTTCGACCTCGTGACGCTCGGGCCGCGGACGCTGCGGACCGACGTGGCGCTGGTCGGCCTCGTGGCGCTCGTGCAGGACTGGCTTGACTCGTAGTTTTTGTTTAAATTACCGTGAAATACACACGCATACAACTTACTCCGGAATCGCGTCGAGCACAGCCTGAGCGAGGCGTGCGCGGTCATCCGGCATGCCTGCGAGCTGCTGGAGCACGGGGCGGGCGGCCCGAGCGCAGGCGTCGAACGCAGCCGCCCCCTGATTCTGCGAGGACTCGGGCGAGGCCGCCGCGCCGCGCGCACGCTTCCGCGACTGCGGAGACGATTCCGGCGGCGGTGACCGGCTTCGCGACCGCTTGCGCTTGTCCACGAAGCCCTTGCGCACGTCGACGAATCCGGCCAGAATGTAGCGCACCCCTTCCGTCGTGGCGACGCCCCGGTGGCGATTTTTGCCCGAGAAGAGCAGCGCCGCGCCGACCGCCGGCCGGAAGATCGGCGCGCCCTCGAGCTCGACGAACTGCGTGCCGCCCCCCTCGAAACGGTCATTGAGCGGCACGACGAACGACCAGGGCGAACCGTCCTCGTGTTCCTCGAGCGCCCGCTGGCCATCGGCCGCGTAGCGGGCCACGAAGAGGTCGGCGAGTACTAGATCATCAACGCCGAATAGCTTTGCGAGCAGCGGGACGACGCGCTCTGAACACGCGGCCGCGACCCACCGGAGCTGTGGTACATCAAAACAGGACACGTCGGTCGTCGCGTGCGCGGCATGCCGCGCGCCCCGCTCCAAGCCGTGCGCCTCGGCGTATTCAATGATCTTGCTACACTCGTGTGGCAGGAAGGCTCCCACTTCGTGGACGGCGCGGTCCGCTTCCGGCAGCGGTGCCGAGTCGCTGATGCTTCGCTCGACGGCGGCGATGGTCTTTGCCGCTGCGGCCGCCGCGCCGGGCCGCTGTTGCGCGACCGCGCGCAGGAACTCGAGGCAGTCCTCGGCCTCGTCGAACGTCACGACCGGGTCCTCGCCCGCGTCGGCGGCCGCGCACGCGAACGCGTACAGAAGCGGCGGCACCGCGGCCTCGTCTCCCAGCACGAAGGGACCGCATCGTACTCTGTCCTCCTCGACGACGACGGATCGCACGCCGTCCGCCTCCCGGAGGCATTGAAGGCGATAGTCTCGTGTGACTATGTCCGTGGGCAGCGCTACCGTCAAGAAGACCTCGTTGTCCGCGTTCATTGCTGCCATGAGCGCGTCTCTTGTGTGCTCAGCCTTGAGAGCACCGCTCTGTACAGGCTACAGGCGTAAGAGCGGTTCCGCAGACTGGCTGGTCACACCACGTATCGAAGATTGGTGCGAAAACGGCTACTAGGCTTGTCGTGCTGAGCGCAGCACTAGTGAAGAGCAACAAGTGAAGAGCAAAGAGCGGAGAGCAAAACTAGCGCAATGACATACTAGCACGAAGCGCCGCACGAACCTGAGCAAGCACAGCTCGGACGGCGCTCGGGTAGCGGCCAAAACGGTAGGGCTCACAGCCATACTGACACACGCACGCAACCACTGCGTGCGCCGCAGCCCACCAAGCGACCCACACTCTGCGCCCCACACCAGGAGTCGTAAGGGGGCAGCCCATTTACGCCACCGGCGCGGTCCCGGAGGCGGCAAGCAGCCCATTTACGCCAGCGATGGCCCCCGGCCTCAGGACCGCCCTCGCCGCCGCCCTGGCCTGCCTCCGGATACGGGCCGAGGACGCGGAGCTCTCGATGGGAGAAGTGTATCATGGGATGCTCGACACGGACGAGGACGGTAGAGTAAACAAGCCCGAGCTCGACCACTTCGTGCGGGAGATGCTCAAGATGAGCGGGGCGCCGCACCTGTCGCGCGACCCCGATTTGGAGCCGGTGCTCGCCGAGGCGTGGCGTATGTCCGACGAGGACGGCGACGGGGACCTATCTATAAAGGAGGCGGGCAACACGAACGCGGAGCTGAATCGCATCGTGGGCGCGTACATGGCGGACAAGCTGCGCGGCGACCTGGACGGCGACGGTATTGATGATTTGACGGGCGACCGGTTGACGATGCGGGGGCGCGTCGACGCCCAGGGATACATTGTGCACGAATCTTAATTTTATTACAGTTCAACATAGCGACAAGAGATGTAAGAATGGTACTGATCATCAGAAATGTCCTGGGCCTCCATTTTTGAACAGAGGGGCGCCAATCTCGCGGCGAGCATGTGCTTGCAGAGCACTTTCGTAGAAACGCGCGCCGCCGCCTCCCCAAATTTCTCGCAGGTGCAGAAGTCTGTCCAACATGCGTAGCGGCCTCCATTCGTCCCGCCGAAGGCCGCATCCACAGCAACGAAGCTTCGCCCCGAGGGCCGCGCCGTGACGCGCTTTAGGGTGCGCGTCTGCAGGACGTCGATCGCGTCGTCCATCAGATCGCGGCCGGCCGGGTCGCCTCCAAGAAGATCGTCCGCGACGCGCAGCGCGGCGTCCCGCGCTCGTACCTTGCCCGCCTCGTCGTCTTGCGGAAAGCTTTGATGGATGTACGCGAGCGCGTCGTCCAGCGTCGCGAGGAGGTCCACTTTCAATAGATCCTCGTCGCCGCCGTCGCTGGCGTCGTCGTCGTCTTTCGCGGGGGACGGTGGCGTGGGGTCGGCCATATCTTAGCGCCTCGAGGCTGTACAGCCTCGTCTGCGACCTCCGCTTCCCTCGAGGCGTATTTATGCGACCACTGTGCGCCGCGCGCCCTCTGGCTTTGGAGCCTCTACGAGAATATGCGTGCGAAGAGAGTCGATGCGCCAGCGCTGTGCGTCCAGGCGATGCCGTGGGCCACTCGTGCGACCGCTGGCTCGTCTAGACAGTTGTATATCACCCGGATTTAGGAGCTTGGCTGCGGAGCTTGTGTGTTTGCTAGTGTCTTACTGGACGCTAGCTTCAGCCGCCGCCGCCGAAGGCAAAAAAGCGCCGTCTCGGTGTCTGTGGCAGTCCTGGATCGTAAGGAAGTAAACCAAGTGACAGGCCCTCGAACGGCGTAGCCAGCGAAGCATCTCTGGACGCACGGATAGCACCCAGCAGCCGAATACAAAATCACAGACAACACGAAAAAATGCCGCTCGAGCCGAACGACGACCCGACAACCACCATAGCCCTCCTCCAGCGACTAACGATGCTGTCAACAATGGAAACCTACGCGCTCGCCGCCGGCGCCGTCGCGGCCGCCTACGCCGCCGCGCGGTCCTGCGGGCCCGAGGACGCCGCGCCGACGACGCCCAAGGGCACGGCGCCGCACACGGAGGGCCAGTTTAAAGCATTTCAGCAGTTTAGAAGGTTGTCCGTCGCGGGGTTGGCCTTGGGACTGGCCGCGGATTATGTGGTTGCGGCCCAATTATACGCGTGTGTGCGCGACGACCTGCCGCTGATTGTGGTCGCGGAGCTCTTCGCAACCTCCTTCGCCACGGCCTGGGCGGCGCGGACTTGTTTAAGACCGGCGATCGAGCGGGCCTTGGGGTTGAGGGGCGCGTGCGGCCTCGCATTAGTCTGCGTATCGATATCCGCGATCACGGCGGCGCTGCACGGGTCGCGGCACGGTCACCATATTTATTTGCTGGCGGGCCGCGTCTGTTCGGGTATCGCGCAGCCGCTGCTACAATTGACGTTCGAGGGCTGGCAGCGGGCCGTGCACGCTCACCAAAGCTGGCCGGCGCTCTGGCGCCGCGAGACCATGCGTAGTATAGGACGGTCGACGACGCTGGCTGCTTTGTTGAGTGGGGCCCTGTCGGAGGTGTTGTACCGCCTCTGCGACGATAGAAGGGCGCCGCTGTTAATGAGCGCCTTCGTCGCGCTCGTCGCGGCGGGCCTGACGGTGTCGACGGCGGACGCGCCGGTTCTTGGAGAAGCGCCGTTGTGTGGAGGCGACGCCGAGGCCGGCCTGGGCCGCTTCTTCGAGTTCCCGCGGGACACGAGCGGCGGAAGGAGCGTGCGCGGGGCCGTCGTGACGGCCGGCGCGGCTATTGTGGATGCGGCGGCGGCGATCGCATTGGTCGCGTGGGCGCCGACGGTGTCCCGGGCGGACCCGGACGCGCCCTTCGGTTTCGTGTTCTCGCTGACGATGGCCGCGGCCGTCGCGGGCACGCAGGTCTTCGGCGCCGTCGCGGCGTCGTCCAAGCGCTTCGAGCACCTCGCGGCGGCCTGCTGCGCGACGGGCGGCCTGGCCTTCGCCTTCCTGGCGACGCAGCCGGCGGGGCTGGGGGCGGCCCTGGCGCCCTTCCTGGCGTTCCAGCTGGCGCTCGGCGCGGCGAAGCCGTGCCTCGCGGCGCTGCGGGGCAAGCACGTGGCGCCGGACCAGCGCGACGTCGCGGCGCGGGCCCAGGCCGCCTGCGCGACCATCGCGTCGGTCGTCGGCGCGCTGCTCTACGCGGGCCACGCGCCGATCGTCTTCGCCGCGTGCGCGTTGGCCTGCGCGATGGCGTCCTCGCCGCTCATGCGACTAACGGCGTGATTTACCATTATTCTTTTACTCGGAGAGGAAGTGCTCGTAGCGCGTGCCCCGCAAAGTCTCCTCGACGGCTTCCCAGTTCGCAACGTGGCTCGAGACCGGTCCGACGTGGACTTTGAGCGTCGTGTTGCGATGGTCCGGCGCGCATCGTCGAGCGCCGCCCGCTCGTCATCCAATAGTTTTATGAGCTCGGCGCCCACGGGCATGTCCATTTTCACATGCGACAGTCGATTCAATTGCTTCTCCGTACCTGTGTGGAAATCAAATTTCGGGCGCCCACGCCATCGACATGATGTAACCTAACTCACTGGTTTATTTCCATGCTCACGAAGTACAACTCGCGCTTCGGGCTGCGGTTCCTGGACCTGCCCGCTACTCTAGCGTTGTTGGACGCGAAGGCCCGGGGCGAGGTCGCGGTGGGGGTGTAATAGACTAGACCTATATAATGCACAAAACTAGGGCGTCACGGGCCGCGACGGCTCGGAGGGCGCGGGCGGCGGCTCGTCGGGCCCCAACGCCATCGCCGCCGCGCCCAGCAGCGCGTCGACCTCGTCGTCCGTCGCGTCGAGCAGGTGCACGTCCTCGCCGCACCAGCCCCGCTCCGTAGACCTCAAACGCAGGTCGACGCGGCCGCCCCGCGGCAACTGCTTCTTCGCCGAGGCGACGTCGCGGGCATGCACGAAGACGCGCGTGCGCCGCGCGTCGCCGTCGAGCGACACGCGCCCCCAGCCCCGGCCCCGGTCCCAGAACTCGACGCGCCCTTGCCTTCGCTCCCCATCCACAAAGGCGTCGTCGTCGGTCATGTCCGCGTCGTCGCGGCTCACCAATCGCAGCTCCACATTCGTCTCCCACGAGCCGACCACTTCAAACACGTCCGCGGGCAGCGCCTCGCACCAGGCCCGGCAGCCCCCCAATACCTGCTTGACGTACGTGCTCGCCGTGCGCTCTTCTCCCCGCTTCGTGAACGCGCCCGGCGCCACGGTCCGATTCAGTTCGTGGACGAGGCCGCGCACATTCAGAGATCTCGACGGCTGCCTTTCTAAGATCGAGTAGCAGCACTGCAATAGCAGCGCCTCGGACGCCTCGCGGCTCTGGTCGAAGGGGATGAGCGAGTCCTTGAGCTTCTGGCGCGCGTCGTTGGCGTTGGGGTCGTCGGTCTCGTCTATTGAGCGCTTCATCGCTGTTTGTGAGCTTTCCGGTGGCTCTTTGCTGTCCGATTCTTTTGGTGTGGCCACGCGCTGGTGGCGTCAATGGCGTGCGGCGGTTGCGAGACTGTCCGGTGCGGGCGCGCGGCGTTCAGGGCTGAGAGCTTCAGGCGCTGTGCTGTGGCTTTTTTGTTACGCGTGTTCGCTCGACTTGCGAAGCGCAGCAATCGAGGAGGCGTTAGGAGCAATGAAAACAACCACTCGCGCACGTCTGCACGTAACCAGACGTCGCGACAGGGGTGCGCTGCGCGAAGGAGCTGACAAACCCTAGTGTGTCACTACGCTAGAGGAAAGGTACCTGCAGCCTTGCCATCGTTCTTCAGCACTCCGACGGTGGCCATTCACATTACCAATGCTAAAAAAAAAATAGGTCGTCGGACTAATAATTTTTTGGGCTACGCAGACCCGGTCAGCTATTGGGAGCTGCTAACTCGCCATACAGCAAAGGTGCGTGACTATCCGCTCGCGCGCGCGCTTCAATTTTCGCCCCAACAACGTGGATGCAACGAGCCGGCTCTTACGCACGGTCCGACGGCGATCGAGCACATTCATTTTTTTGGCTAAAAAAATTCAGTCATCCGCGGTACGGTTCAATTGGTGCAAAACAAACGCGCCAGGCCGAACCCGGTGCTGCGCCGACCGCCGCGACGCGGTTTCCGCGGCCGCGCGGCCCGACGCGCCCCCGAAACCGACCCGCCGGGTCGCGCGCGCGCAAACACACCTCGCAGCCACCACGACCCCCCAAACCCCGTCGTCGCGACCAAGCCCCCGACGCCGGCGCCGCGCGCAGGCACAGAGACAGAAACAAAGGCCCCAGAAAAAGAAAAAAAACACAGGGCCGAAATGGCGCAGTACGACGTCAAGATCTGCTGCATGGGCGCCGGCTACGTGGGCGGCCCGACCATGGCCGTCATCGCGAAGATGTGCCCCCGCATTAAGGTCACCGTGGTTGATTTGAGCCAGAAGATCATCGACGCGTGGAACACGGGTAATAAATTGCCCATCTACGAGCCTGGGCTCGAGGAGGTCGTGGCGGTGGGTCTCAAGAGAGGTAATTTAGTGTTCTCCACCAAAATCAATGAAAGTATTGCGGAGGCTGATATTGTGTTCATTTCGGTCAACACGCCCACCAAAACGGCCGGCATCGGCGCCGGGCGCGCGGCCAACGTCAAGAACTGCGAGTTATGCGCGAGAACGATCGCGGAAGTGTCGACGTCCGACAAGATCGTCGTCGAGAAGTCGACGGTGCCCGTGCGCACGTCGGACGCCGTCCGCGCGGTGCTCGAGCATGGCGCTAAACCGGGCGTCAAATTCCAGGTGCTGAGCAACCCCGAGTTCCTGGCCGAGGGCACGGCCGTGCCCGACCTCGAAACGCCGTCTCGCGTGTTGCTGGGAGGCATGCAGACCCCGGAAGGTCTCAAGGCCCTCGAGACGGTAGTAAACGTCTATGCGAATTGGGTGCCGCGCGACAAGATCCTGACCACGAACCTGTGGTCTTCTGAGCTCTCGAAGTTAGTAGCCAATGCTATGTTGGCCCAGAGAGTGTCCTCAGTCAACTCCATCTCTGCTCTGTGCGAGGCGACGGGCGCGGACATCAGCGAGATCTCGAGAGCCTGCGGCACGGACCCGCGCATCGGTCCCAAGTTCCTCCAAGCTTCGGTAGGCTTCGGCGGCTCGTGCTTCCAGAAGGACATCCTCAACTTAGTGTACCTCTGTGAATCCTATGGTTTAAGGGAGTGCGCCGAGTACTGGAACTGGGTCGTGCAGATGAACGAGTACCAGAAGTCCAGATTTAGCTTAAACATGGTGCGCTCCATGTTCAACACGGTCACGGGCAAGAAGATCGCGATCTTCGGCTTTGCGTTTAAGAAGGACACGGGCGACACGCGCGAGACGGCGGCGGCCTTCATCGCGCGCGACTTGGTCGAAGAACAAGCTAGGGTCCACGTCTACGACCCCCAGGTCTCCAGAGAGTCCATGTTCGCCGAGTTCAAGTACACGCTCAATCTCTCGGAGGAGACGAAGCCGGGCTTGGGCGAATTGGTGGTCACGTCTCCCGACGCCTACAGCGCCGCCCAGGGCGCGCACGCCATCGCCATCGCTACCGAGTGGGACGAGTTCAAGACCCTCGACTACAAGAAGATCTACGACTCCATGGCCAAGCCGGCCTTCCTCTTCGACGGCCGCAACATCGTCGACGCGGCGGCGCTGCGCGAGATCGGCTTCACGGTCTACTCCATCGGCAAGCCCGTGGGCATGAAGTAGACGTCCCGTCCCCCCGTTCCCGTGGTCCCGCGGGTAAAGCTGTACTAAAACTCTCCTAGGGGGTCGCGGCGGCGGCGTATAATGACTAGATACTTACCCAGGCGCCGCCTCGGGCTCGGCCTGCGAGGCCTCGGAGTCGCGGCTGGCGCGGGACGCGCGCGCCGAGGGCGACGCCGACGGCGCCTCTTCGCCCGCGCGCACGGCCTTCGTCTTCCAGACGTAGTACCCCGTCCGCTCCTCCCACGACGCCAGCGCGTCGTCGCCGTCGCCCGCCGCGTTCGTCAGCCCCGAGACGTCGCCCATCTCGCCGCGCAGCCGGTCGCGCCGCTTCTTCTCCTCGTAGGTGAGTGGCGTCACTTTGTGGGGCTTGGGCACGACGTTGTCCGGCGTGCGATTATCCACAATACACTGGCCCGGGATGAGACCCTCTTGTTTCATGTAGCCGGGCCACATGTCTACTACTTCTTTCAATCCTATCTTCGGGATGCCGTTGCGCCGATCTCGCACGCGGCCCTTGAAGCCCAGGCGATGCTCGAGCGTCTCCTCGAGGGGCACGGGAATAATCTTTCGGTTGAGGTGAGTCCCGACAAAGTCGCGCTCGGGAGAGTCGTAGCCCGACTGCGCCGCGCGGTCCGGGAACTGGCGCGCGACCTTGTGTCTATATTCATCGCCGCCCCGCGGGCTCTTGAGGGCCTTCTTGCCGTGCGGCGGCTCGCCTTTCGACGGCTTGGGGACGAGGTAGCGCCGCGGGTTGCGCCAGACGGCCTCCTGGCCGTCGGGCCGGCCCGTCAGGTAGCGGCGGCCCGTGGGCTTCTCCGGCGGCGCGAGGTCGCCGAGGGAGACCATGGTTTGCTGGGCTGTGGGTGCTCTGGCTTCTCGGGCGGCGCGAGGCAGCCCGGAGCAGCAATGCGCAGCCGAGGCAGCGCTGCGGCGGCGCGAAGCGTGCGCGTGGTTGTGATTGCGCGTTTTGCCGCGGGAGAGCCGGCCAAACACAGCGCTCGCATGAGAGTAGGGCTAGTGTGTTTTGGGGGCGCAAGGCCTCTCCGCGGAGGCGTGCCGGCAGTGGTCCGCGCGAAGGGCAGCCCTCCGAAGCACTCTAGCCACCGGGGTCCGCAGTTGGTGGGCTGTGTGTTGGTGTGAGGCCACTTCCAACAGAGCAAGACGCACGGCCGCGGCACGAATTGACGCCGCCAACCACGTCAAACACCGCCGACACCAAAGCAGACCGGTACCATGGGCACCGTGTACCGCCCGCCGCAGTACGACGTCGACGCGAGCCAGCAGACCTACCTGGTGCAGAAGCTGCGGCCCGTCCAGGACCCGCGCGCGATGCCGAGGGTGATCGGAGGGCCGGACTGGAGCCCCGCGGCGTCGCGCGTCGGCAAGGCCTTCCGCGTCGCGGCGCCGAACGGCGCGACGGTGCGCGCCGGCCCGGCGCTCGACTCGCGCGAGGTCGCGGTCCTCGCCCAGGACGCGCTCGTCGAGGTCGTCGACGCGACGGCGGACGAGCGCCGCGTCCGCGTCGAGGCGGAGGGCGGCGAGGGCTGGGTCTCGGCGAAGTGCCTCCTGCCCTTCAGCGAGGCCCACGTGGAGAAGGGGTGCAAAGTGGCCCCTCAACCGGTCCCGCACACGGACTGGGTGCGCGCCGAGCTCGGCCTCGACAAGGACGTCGACGCGGCGACGCGTGCGAAGCTCGACGCGCTCAAGGCGCGCCCTTCTTCCACGCAGAAGATCTTCTAGGATCCTATTCCTGTAGTAAGAGCGCCTACCCACAACACAACTTAAGGCAGCACGCGCCGAGCTGCCGGCCCGTCCGCGACCGGTCCGTCGGCGAGGGCCGCGTCGACTTCTCGATGCGCCGCCAGAGCAGCACGGCGTCCTTCAGCTCGTCGCGCGACAGGTAGGCGACGTTGCCGTTGTCGTTGCACTGCTCCATGATGAAGTTCGCGTCCCCGAGGTTCGGCTTGACGAAGGGCCGCTCCCGCGGCGGCGTCAGGTCCCAGAGCAGCTTCACGAGCTCCTCGGCGTCGATCTCGCCCGAGTGGTCCGCGTCGTAGCGCGTAAAGAGAATATCGAGCTTCTCGTCGAAGCTCGGCTCGAGGGGCTCCTCGGGCTCGACCTTCGCGCCCTTGAGCTTCTTGAGCAATTTCCGAGAAGAGCTCCGGAGGGAATCCAAATGCTTTGCGAAGCCGCTCGTGAGGTGCGCCTTCTTGGCGCGCAGGCGGTGGGCGTGGTCCTTGTGCTTGGTCGCCACGCGCTTCAGGCCTTGCGAGCCCCTGTAGTTGATGCCCCTGCTAAAGCCCATGTTGCCCACACGGATGCGTCGAGTCTGCAGCGGCCACTGCCCTGCCTTTGCCCACACACGGACGCGTCGACGGCGCGGGAGGCTGCAGCGGCCACTGCCCCGCGGAGAGAGGCTGCCCCGCTCCTGCTTGCGGCTCAACGTCGATCCATGGCGGCGCTCTCCCGGCTGCCCAAAAGACAAGCTCTCTGGCAAAGCGCAGAGCAGAAGGCTAGTGTGCGTAATTCGCTAGAGCAGTCCGCGGGCTCGTTGATCGTATACGGCCGTGCCGAATTTGAGCCGCGGACGCATCTCGCCGGCTTACATGTCCAAGTGAGCTAGCGGCATTAATGCACTAGCCTGGCACGAGTGAAAAGTGCGCGCTGGCTTTTCTCCTCTAGCGACGTGCGTAAGAACCACTGCCACAGTCCTCTCCCAGCGCGCCACCCAGCCGCCGCGCGTCGTGCCGCGCAAGGAGAGAACTGAAAAGCCTGACCCAAAAAGAGTGTGCCAGAGCGCGCTACTCCGCCGACGCGCGCCGCTGCATAACAGCCATGAGCCAGATCCCCAGCGCGAGCGACCGCTTCGGGCGGAAGAACAGCGCGTCAATAAAGACGCCCGCGTGCCGCGCGAGCTCGAAAGAAATAGAGATAGACACCGAGGAGGACAAGCAGGACCCGGCGGCGTGGCGCGACGAGATCGTCAGGACCATATTTGGGGACGTCGGGGCCATTCGGAGGGACTTCTCGTGCGCCATCGAAAGGAAAATACTGTTGCACGGTAGACTCTACGTCACGGAGCGGTTCATCTGCTTCTATTCCAACTTATTCGGCTTCGAGAAGAAGATCAAGATCCCCTATTCGCACGTGACCTGTGTTACGAAGGAGAACACGGCGGTGTTCATCCCGAATGCCATTGCAGTAATTACCGCAAGAAAAGAGTACGTGTTCCGGAGCTTCTGGGACCGGGACGACTGCTTTAACTTATTGAGGGCCTACCACGAGATGTATAGAACGGTATTGGAACCGGCGTCGAGCCACGTGGAAGAGGAGGAGACCCAGCAACAGGAGTCCAAGGAGGAGGCGGAGAAGTTCGAGACGCACGTCGAGACGCCCGTCGCCCGGCAGGAGTCCCTCCCCCAGCAGGACCTCCTGAAGCGCATCGAGGGCATCGCCGGGCCCGACGTCCAGGAGCGGCCGTCAACGCCGGACGTCGCGGACACGCCCGAGCACGCGCGGAGCACGGCCAAGGCGTTTGGTGCGGAAGTGCACGCCACGAAGCTCGCGGAGACGTTGCATACGTGTCAACTGCCAGTGAGTGTCGACGAATTCTTCGCGCATTTTTTGGCCGATGGGTGTGGGTTTCCGCTCACAAAATTTCATGTCGACCAAGGTGATTTGGAGGTCGCGTGCACGCCGTGGGCGTCGTCCGACGGGGAACACGACCGCGAGTTGAGATTCCGGCGGCTCCTGAACAACCCGATGGGCCCGAAGAGCGCGCGCACCACCAAAATCCAACGGTGCCGGGCCTTCGGCCGCCACGGCCTCGTGCTGCACGGCGTGCTGTCCATGGAGGACATTCCGTACCGAGACTGCTTCGCGATTCATGATCGGTGGGTCGTGACGCCGCGGGATGACGGCGTCGACGTCGCGTTCGAGTTCGAGGTCAAGTGGAGCAAGTCCACGATCTTCAAGCGGAAGATCGAGAGCTCGTCGCGGAGCGACCTGCAGGCCTACTACGACGCCTACGCGGCGGCTGCGCGGGCGCACCTCGCCGCGGCGCCGTCGTCCGAAAGGTCGCCGCCGCCGCCGCCGCCGCCGCCGCCGCCGGCCCACCCATCGTACCTGCCGTGGGCCGTCGCCGCGGGCTTCCTCTGGCTCTACCTCGCGCAGCGGTCGGCGAACGCGCGGCTGCTGCTGGAGGTCCAGGGCCTGCGGGAAGATATCAACCAGGTGCTGCGGAAGGACCACTGAGCGGGCTCATAATATTTGTATGCTTTTCTTTACTAGGCGCCTAGCCCCGTCCCGTCCCCGGCCCTCATATTAATCACACGCCGTCCCAAGAAAGACGCCATTACTCGCGTCCGACGGCCGTTCGCAAGTCAGAAATATACTACAATGTGCTTATCACGAGAGGGAAGGAGGGGGATAGGAGTGAACGTGTTGATATGGAAGAGGGGAAAGGACGCGCCTAGTTGTCGTCGTCCGAAGATCATCAATGCCACAGGCATTTGCAGTCACATTTTTGCACACATTTAGGCGTGTCGTGGGCCAATGGGGCGGCACAGGCGTCGCATTTATAGAGATCAACTTCTATTAATGACGAGTTCGGTGAACGGAGGCTGGCTTATACTTATTCTAAATGCGGTGAAAACCCGTGTTTTGGAGCCTGCTCCTTTACGCAGTTATCAGCGACCCATAGGGACGCTTCTTACTCCTCGAGAGGAGTCCTTGTTAGCGCCGGGGCTTGTCTGGACGAGTAGCGAGTTGGTCAATATTGACATCACAGCCTTTTTGTCGGCTCACCGCTCGCCACGGCGGATCGCCGGGCTCGCCTAGCACGTAGAAAGGTCTACGCGACCGAATTAAGCCGGCGTCGCCGCCGCGCCGCCCGCCGGGACGCGTGCTTCGAGATGTTGTTGATTGTAGAGATCACACGCCTCTGCTGCGCCCAGCTGGGCGTCCATAGATGAGCGGGAGGACCAGGACTCCTACGGCTGGTGATGGTGACGCCGCAGCGCGCGCGGCGGACCGCGCGTGTAAAGTTTCGTGCATTGCTCGGCAGGCCCTGCTCCCAGACCTGACGGTGACGACGTGACGCCGGATCCGGGCCTTTAGAGGCTTGGTTCTAGTGCGTCCATCCCCCCGGGACTAGGCTAGCGTCCCCAAAACCGAGTAAGCTTCTACTACCCCAAATCCACAAAACGACGACGCTCTTAGTCACCACAGGTCTTAGTCGTCATATACTCTCTTCCCCGAGGGTACCTTCTTCGCCGCGACCGCGCGCGCCGACGCCCGCCCGCGCGCGGCCCACTCCTTCGCCGACTTCTTTTTCTTCTTCTCGCGCAGCTTCAGGGCCTTCTTCACCTTCGCCGGGTCGACGGCGGCGCGCTCGCCCGACGCGACGCGGAGCGCCTCGTCCCACTGGCGGTCGTCGGCCGCCGCGTCCTGGCCGCTCGCGCGCAGGTGCCGGACCTCCGCCGCGTCGCGCTCGGCCTGCTTCAGTAGTCCCTTGAGCTTTCGGGTTTTAGACCCAGGAGCGCCCTGGACCATCTTGGGCGTCGGCCGGTCCGCCCGCGCGTCGCGCAGCGCGCCAACCTTCGTATCCTCCGGCGCGTCCGTGCGTGCGTGCTTCGCAGGGCGCTCGTCCGCCTTCGTCTTCTCCTTGCGTTTCTTCTTCTTCTCGCCCGCGCCGCGCGTGCCCTTGAGGCCCGCGATCCGCGCCTGGAGCCGCTGCCGCACGTCGGCCATCGCCTCGCCCGTCCGCTCGACGGCCGGCGCCGGATCGTCCTCGGCGTCGCCCAGTCCGTCGAAGTCGGCGGCCGGCGCGGCGCCCGCGCCGCGCCGCTTCGCGTCGCGCTGCGCCTTGGCCTCGGCCCGGCGCTGCTTCGACGCGGCCCGGCGCTCGGCCTCGGGCGCCTTCTGGCCCTTGTTCTTGTAGAACTTCTCGGCGGCGGCCTCGTCGAGGTCCGGCGGCGCGACGAGGTGCGCGGGCAGGCGCGCGAGCAGGTCGCGGAAGTGGGCGTCGTCGCGGCCGATGAGCGTGGCGCGGGCGGCGGCGGCCATCGTTTCTCGTGTTATGAGGCGTGCGCAGCTAATGCAGGTATGGCGCAGCCCAGGCGTGCGCTGCGTGTGTAGCGCTTCTTGGCGTTTGCGCTGGTTTTGCTCTCGTCTGCACTTGGAGGCAAAAAAGCTGGCCACCAAATGACTGCGATTTTTGCGACTGGCACTGAGAAGCGGTTTACGTTAGGTCCTTTCAGGAATGTACTACGTATAAATGGGTCAGTTGGTGCTGGATAAAATGCAAAAAAAGACCGTCGCTCTCTCACTCTAGCGTCGTGTAGGCCACTAGCCGGCGCCAAGAGAGGGATGCATTTTATTATAAACTGGACTACTTTTACGTCTTGGAATGTCCAATTAGCATCATCAAGCCTCTCTCTACAGTAAAAATGCAGCCAGACCTTGCCACATCGCTGCCAGCCCTCTCCCTCGACGAATTGCAGCCCGCCACCGCCGCAAGCACTCATGCGAGCAATGTCGTCGTCCCCGACCCGCTGCGCAGCCTCATCGATGCAGGAGATGTGCGAGGCATCGAAGCGCTGGGCGACGTCGACTTCCGGCAGCCGTACGACGACTTCCGGACGCCGACGCTGCTGCACCGGGCCCTGGACCTCGGCCACGAGCGGCTGTGCGCGCACATGCTCCGGGCGGGCGGCGAGGCGCTGGCGCGGGCGCCGGGGCTGCACAGCGCAACGCTCGCACACGTCGCCGCGCGGCGGGGCAACGTCGAGGCGCTGCGCACGATCCTGCGCCTCGTGCCCGAATTCCTGCACGCCGAGGACGAGCTCGGCTGGACGCCGCTCCACGACGCGGCGATGGAGGGAAGGCTCGCGGTGACGGAGTACCTTGTGCGGAAGGGAGCGGATCTCGAACACCTCGACCGCATCACGCGCGACGGCCAGAAGCCCGGGGACCTCGCCGAGCAGTCAGAAGCAAGGGATGCCGCCGCGGTCGCGGCCTACTTGAGGCGCGTCCGGGCCGGAGGCGGCATTCGCGTCCTCGTGAGGGAGGCGCGGCTGCCGTTCGTCGAGCTACGGTGGCTCGTGGCGCAGAATCGCGCAAGGCCCGTCTTCTGCGTCGAGCCGGAGACCCTGGCGCTCGCCGCGTTCCTGCTCGAGGGCGACGGCGCCGAGCCTTCGAGACCTGGGCTCCCGGAGGGTCTCTTCCGTCTAGTCATGCTGTTTTTGTGTTAAGTTTTGTCAAGTTTTTGCTTTGCTTAGAGCTAGGCAGCCTAGCTGCGGAGCCGGCGCCTCCCTGCGTGACCGCACGCCCCGGGCCAAGTTTCAAGTTCAACAAAACATCAATTAGGCCGAGTCCTCCTCCGGCTCGTCCCACGTCTCGTCCCCCTCCCCGAGCGCCAGCGGCATGTCCGTTCCAGACGCCTGCGACGCCAAGAACAGCTCCGACGTCGTCCGCAGCAAGCGGCGCATCGCGAGGAGCTGTCTCCTCAGGTCCGCGTTCTCGTCGCGGAGCGCGGCCGCCTCGTCCAACAGCGGGTCCGGCGTCGCGGCCACGAGCGCCTGGTGCGCCGCCGGCGGCGCGAGGCGCGGCGGGTCGTCCGAGAGGGGCGGCGGCAGCGCCACGGCCGGCGGCGGCAGGAGCGACCGGTCCCCGGGCACGCTCACGACGTCGACCGGCCAGGCGACGTAGAGCGCGTCGCCGGGGCCGCGGCCCGGCGGCACGGCCACGACGACCCGCAGCTGCGAGTCCGCCTCCGGCAGCGGCACGGCGACGGGCGCGCCGACGTAGGACCCGCGCGGCACCTCGCACCGCAGCGCGCCGCGCACGCGCAGGACGCAGCCCGCGCCGGCGCCGTCGGGCACGACGATCTCGACGTCGCGCTCGTTGTCGACGCGCGCGCGCACGACGTCGCGCGGCCGCGCGCCCGGCCCGAGCACGACCTCGAAGGGCGCCGGCTGCCACGTGGCCCGCCGCGGCAGCCGGCTCCGCAGCCGCCGGTTCTCGGTGCGCAGCGCGTCGGCCTCCTGCCAGGCTGCGGCGGCCGCCGCCGCCGCGGCGCGCGCCGCCGTCTCCCCGGACGTCTCGGCGAGGTCCCGGGCGGTCTCGGCGTGCGCCAGCGCGGCGCCGACGCGCGCCTCGGCCGACGCGGCGCGGCGCGTCGCGGCGGGGCGCTTCTTCACCGAAGGCGGGTCGGCCGCCTTCGGCGCCGCGCGCTTCGGCGCCCGGGGCCGCCGGTGCGACGCGAGCGACGTCGCGTTCTTCGGGGGGCGGTCCCGCGGCCGCGGCGCCTCCGGGACGACGTCCCAGTCGACGCGGAGCGCCCGCCCCAGCACGCGCGTGCCGTGGAGCCGCGCGGCGCGCGCCGCCGTCGCGCGGTCCTTGAAGTCCAAAAACGCGACGCCGTCCTTCGGCCGCCGCAGCTGCAGCGGGGGACAGCCCGCGTCGGCGAAGACGCGCCTTAATAAATCGTCGCCGCAGGCGTAGGGCACGTTGCCCACGACCAGGTGCGTCGACGCGCCCCGCGGCGCGTCGCGCCTCTGGACGTAGGGCTCGCAGTCGAGCGTCCGCTCGCCGGCGCCGCTCCGCACGCGCACGCTTGTTTTTGTGGCCGCGGCGGCGTCCTCGCTGCGCTCGAAGACGACGTAGGCGACGTCGCCGGGCGCGACCTCGACCGACGCCAGGGGCCCGAACGCGTCGCTGAGCACGTCGCGGAGGTACGCCGCGTCGGCGCCGCGCGGTAAATGCTTCGCGACGCACTTGCGGTCGACCTCATACACAATCTCGGGCTCCGGCGATCGGCGCCACTTGCTGACGATCGCTTGGTTCGTCCGGCGGTCGCTCCAGCGCTGCCGGCCTGCAAGAACCAAGCGGACGGGTGCCCGTCGTTGCTGTCGCGGCGCGAGGCGCGGCAGCAGCGCCGAGGCTGTAGATAGTAGCGCTACGATGGCGTACGGGTGCGGCATAGTGCGGCTACGTGCGGCGAGGCGTCTTGTTTGTCCCGCGGCGATGGCTTCGCGGCGCAAGCGAGTTCTTGCGGCACCGAAGAGTTCGCTGGCAGCGGAGCTAGTTCCGCGCGGCTCGGTGGCTCAGCACTTGCAGCGCGTCGATATATGTGAATGAATGGGTGTGCGTGATAGGTCGTCGGCTCTAAAACTGCCGCTTGCGCTCTGCTTTGCGGCCTGTGTTGCAGCTGCACTTGTTGCTAGGCATCCCTAGTGTCTTGCAGGCCGCTAGCTAGGGGGCAAAACCGACATCATAAATTCGTCATAAGAATTCGTCGAGCAAGACTCGGGAGTCGTAATTGAGGAAATTCGTTTCTCGGAACTCGCTGCCAAAAAATTCGTAATTCGTTCTTCGTCGCGGCCGAATTCGTTATTCGTAGGTAGTCCTTACTCACCGCTACTCGCGCGATACGGCCTGGGCGAGCTTCTCCGCGTGCGCGCGCGCGTACGGCGCGATCGTCTTCACGAGGTCCTCGGCGTCGCACATGCCCTTCTCGGCGATCTTCAGGTCCTCGGCGTCCCACTTGCAACCTACGTTTTTCTTGTAGAGCTTCTTGCCGGCCCGTTTCGCGAGCACGTTCAGCAAGAGGTATTGCGGGATGTTGATCATGTAGTTCGGCTCGTTCATGAGGAAATTGAACGACCCGTCCTGTGGGAGGACGAGGAAGAGGTAGTTCGGCACGCCGCGCGTCCCAGCTGCCTTGCAGAGGTTGGTGGCGTACTGAGATTTACCAGGGATGTCCTCCAAGGCATGGGAGTCGATCACGACGACCACCGCGGCGGCGGTCTCGCGCGGGACCTCGACCTGCGTGCGAGGCGACGGTTGGCGCTCGACGTACGAAGCGAAGTGTCACGAATTTTGATGACGCGGCGTCGCATGGGTAGGGTGCTCGATGTAATGGCAGTCCTCTGTGCGCGAGAAGTGGTAGGCTCGTTGACAGAGGCACGCAGCGTATGGCCTTGGCATCTCCAGCATCAGGCTTAAATCCGCCCGGCCCCAGCGTGCGCCTCCGGTGAGAATTGTTGCCGTGGTGCTCGAGTGTCACTACGACCAATCCGGCAGCCTTGGCGGCCGCCGTAATCTTCGAGGAGTTCGCCCTTCGACCGCGCGTGTTGTCGTCATCGTCGTCGTCCGATTCGTTGTCGCTGACAACGGCAGCATTTTCGTGCAAAAAGGCGGTGGGCTTCCTGAAGCGAGAGCTGTGGTCCCCTACGCTCACCACTTCCAGCCCTTCTATCAGCTCCCACGAAGGGTTGTCCAAATCGCCAGGATAAGGCTCGCCGTCGACTTCGTACCAGTACACTTTGGCCTTGGCGCCCTTTGTCTCCACGACGATGCCCATGTATGTGCCCGCCTGCACTGGATCGTCCCCAGCTTCCATGCAAGCCGACCTTGTATATTGCAGTCTGACAGTGTCGTTTGGCCCGGGCTCGGGAGGAACGGCGTGGACCGCCGTGGGCTCTGGGGACGGCGGCCTAGCTTCCGTGCGCTCCACGGGTGCAGTGAGCGCCGGCTGCGGCGGCAGCGATGGCCTCCCATCCACAACCTCGTCTCGCGAAGGAGTGCGCCGGCGCCGCGACGGGGTCGCCGTCAGCGGTCGTGCCGGCGGGACCACGGGCCGCACGGCCGGCGCCCGGGGCGCCGCGGCAGGCTGCGCGTCCTCGGCGTCGTCGGCGTCGGCGCGCGGTCGTTTTTTCGAGTAGTTGGCGCGTAAATGCAGGATCCGAGCGTGCGTCTTGGCTTTCTCAGCGTTTTCCCGTGCTCTTTCCTCTCGCTTGTACAACTTCTTCTGCTCGCGTCGCTTCGCCTTGCGCTCCTCAAGTGTGGCCATGGCTGGACCCCTTACTGTCTGGGCCGGCCGGCAGCCCCCGGCAGCCGAGTTTTCAACTAAGCGCGCTTAGCTCGCGCAAATGACGGGTTCCGCATCCTCTATTTTTGCCGCGCGGACGCGCCCACGGCCCACAGGACGGCAGGATGGGCGCTGTGTTAACGTGCGGGTATCGCCTGAAATCTGAGCCAGTCCGAGGTGTGTTCCGGCCTCAAGAGCAGTTCTTTCGAGCCCTCCCTTCCTTCCCTTAGGTCGCGTGCGGGTTGCGTAAGCCGCTCCCTCCAAAGTCGATAGCTGGACTGGGCAATTGCAAGGCACAAGGCTGGTGGACGGAATCAGCACCGCGCGTAGAGGGCGCTCTCAGGAACGCGAAAGGAGCACGCGAGCAGCGCTATTGCCGATTTGGTGGTCTCGAAGCAGCGGCGCCGCTCCTGAGACAGGAGCAACCCAAAAACTAGACTGCTGAGAGGAGAGCTGAGTATTCAAATCGAGCGCGGACGACGCGCTTTGTCATGAGCGCTATGGCATCGATGGTGACCGACGACAATGGCGACGGGACTCCCACCAACGTGCTGCCGCCGCCAGACAACGACGACGAGCTGCTCTTCGAGTCGGCGTCGTCGGACGGCGAGCTGCGCTTCGCGGAGGCCTCGTCCGACGACGAACCCCCGCCGGCGCCCGCGCCGCGGCCGAAGCGGCGCAAGCACGACGTCTCCTCGGACTCGTCGGACGACGAGGCCGCCGCCCCGGCGCCGCCGCCGCCGCGCAAGAAGCCCCCCAAAGCCGAAACCATCGACGTCGACGCCGAAGCACCGATCGACGTCGACGTCGACGACGACGCGCCCGCGCCGACGCCGCCGTCGCCGCGCGCGCCGCCGGAGACGCCCATCGACGTCGACGCGCTCGACTCGGACGACGGCGCGCCGCCGCCGCCGCCGCCCGCGCCGCGGCGCCCGCGCGTCGACGACGACCTCGAGGCGCACGCGCTGTCGCGCGGCGAGCGGCCCGGGGGCGGCGCGCCGTTCGGCGGCGGCGAGGCGCCGCGGCCTGAACGCTACGCGCCCTTCGGCGGCGACGCGGAGCTGCGCCGGGCCCCCGCCGAGTCACGGCGGCGGGACCTCGAGAAGTTGTTTGGAAGACTCCGCCTCGTAGGGGAGATCAATTTAGCTGACACGCGGCCCAGCTCGAAGCCGGCCGAGATTCCTGGGTACATGGCGAAGGTGTACCAGTCCGGCGACAAAATCGCGCAACTCTGCGGTGTGCGCCTCGCCATCGACGGCGGGCGCATGGTGCGAGGCGCCGACAAAGTGGTGCCGCACATTTTTCATGACCCGATTCACCCGAAGGTCCGCAAGAATGTGCCGGCCAACGACGAAAAGCGCCGGAAACAGGACCGCGGCTCGTTGATGGCCGTCGTCTGCGGGGAAGTTATCGCGCGCTTGAGGTGCGGTGCCAAAGGTGTCGTCATCTGCCGCGAGGGCTGCGACTCCACTGGTGACGCCTGGACCAGCACCGAGCGCGACGTGTACGACGAGCTCCGAAGACTGAACGTCGTCGAATGCATCTGCGTGAGAGGCGTGCCCGCCGAGGTGACGGCCGCGGCGGTGGCCGCGACGGACCCCGACTGCGTCGCGGACACTGTGGACCACAGCGACTGCTGCGCGGCCTCAGTTGATGGTTGCTCGTACGAGTTCGTCTGTCAATCTGCCTGCGGGGCCGGGTGGTACTCCCTCGAAAAAGTGAGGACGAACTACGCCAACGCCTCGCTCCGTGTTGTTACGTTTAGCCTCGAAGGCACCCAGATCGGCCCCGATCACGCGTTGGCATTGTGCGCGTGTCTGCTACGCGACGACGAGGCGCGCCATGAAAGGAGCTGGTCCCTGGTCTCGCTCGTCGCCGGCGTCCGCTCGGACTCGCTAAAGCGCCTAGACAGAGAGCAGGACGCTTCGTACGTCCCGCGGACGAAAATGGCGCGCGTCGCGCGCGAGAAGGTCATGGTCGTCTTTGCAAGCGCGCTGAGCGCGTGCAGCGACCCGTTGGCGAAGTTCCGCTCGATGCTCACGGAGCGATCGAGGGCAGTGGACGTGACGTCGAGCCCGCCTCCGTTCAACGCGGATCTTCGCGGCGACGCGGCGCTGGCGAAATGCTCGGCCGGGAACCGTGAGGGCCGCGACGCGGGCCCGCGGCTCGTCGCTTCGCGATTGTACTTTTTGGAAGGAACCGTCCAATCACGAGTTCCGAGTCTTCGTGGACGAGTATTTAATTTCGAATTTTATGATGTCGTTTTTGCCCCCCATAGCGGCAAAGCACGGCGCTAAGAGGTGCCGCATAGATGTGATTTCTCTGGCACATCGATCCAGGTACACCTCTCGAGAGGCCTCATAGACGTGATGCGTTTTAATCTTGCTTTTGCTAGTGTCTTACAGGCCGCTAGCCCCCTTTGCATTAGTGCGCTCACCGATCTGGGCCGCGTGCGAGGCACCTCCGGCCTAGGCTAGCTTCGCGGAAGCTACAGTTGTCGGCCGAGTGCTCAAGAAACGTGCTGCATCCATTGGTGCGCGCGTTGCGGAGTAGGGAGAGCACCATCATCTCGCCAGAGAGGAACAGCGGTGCGCAGCGATGCCGTCGTTCCCCGGACAGCGCCTCCTGAACCAGACGGCGCATTTCATCGGGGAGCGCGCCCAGCAGCTCCAGCATCTGAACCGCCACGATCTCATGAATGAATACACGCCGGCGCCCCTGAACAAGTACTGGAACGCCGCGACCGTCAGTTGCGTTACATTAATATTACTCCTCGCGCCGGGGCTATTTGTCAGAGTGCCCTTAGCCGCGCTCTGGGTGGGCCTGTCCTTCGTGCTGGCGTGCATCCAGGGCGTCTATGTCGTCTATCAATTGGTGATGATCGCGCTGTCGCTATCACTGTTGATATTGTTGCGGGTCGCGAAGAACGCGTACACTTTGATAACAAAGCTGTGGTACCGCCAGCCGCCGTGGCGGCGACGGTTAGAAGCGCTGCAGACGGCGGACAACTGGTCTGAATATGAAAGGAACGCGTCGGAAATAACGGAAGATGATTGGGTCGACGACGAGAGCGACATGCCCGCCGCGGCTCTTTTAAGGCGAGCGATCGACGATTTGGCGGCGGCCCGGGACGCCTCGTCGCGAGACGGGTTCCGGACGTTGCGGTTCGCGCTGTCGGGCTGCGTGAAGCGAAACCACCTCGGTATCGAGGACCGGCAGTGGTACCCCGCGCGGTCGCCGTTGCGGACGAAAAGACTTGTGGATGCTTACTTGGACGAGGTCTGTTCGTCGCTGGAGAAGGTCGCCGCCACACAAAGTGTACCTGTAGATGAGAAGGCTCGGTTCTTCGATCAAGTGAGGAGGACCGTCGGCGTCACGGCGTTATGCTTGTCAGGGGGCGGCGCCGTGACCATGTACCACGGCGGCCACATCCTGGGGTTGATCGAGGCCGGTTTGTACGAACATATACATGTTGTTAGTGGCACTTCCGGTGGTGCCATCATGGCGGCGATGTTCGGCTGCAAGACCCGCAAAGAGCTGTTGCGGGACATCTTGGTGCCCCACGTGTCGACGGACTACAAGCGAGATGGTACGCAAAAGTCCGAGGGATTGCACTTCTTTCCTCCTCTCTTCAGACAGTTGGTCACGTTCGCCTCGAAAAGAGTTTTAGTTGATCGGGACCAGTTCAAGCGTGTTTGTGATTTTTACTGGGGCACGATCACCTTCGAGGAGGCCTACAACCGCACGAAGAAGGTTTTATGTATATCTGTCCAAGCTCAGAGGGTTTTAGGGGCCGGTTCGGCGCAAAGACTGCTCATGAACCACGTGACGACGCCGCACGTCACTCTGAGTTCAGCGGTGGCCGCATCTTGTGCATTGCCGGGCATCATGCGGCCGCAGCGCCTCGAAGCGAAGGACGACCAAGGAAACGTAAGGCCTTTTGAGGTCGACGGCGTGTCGTGGATTGATGGTAGTATCCAAGCAGATGTCCCGTTCAAGCGCATGGCGACCCTCTTCAACGTCTCGAACTTCGTCGTCGCGCAAGTGAACTTCCACGTCAAGCCTATTGTGGACGATAGCGCTCGAGTCGAAGAGCACTGGGCCGTGCCGTCGTTAGCTAGGCACTATGAAAGGTGGACCGGCGCCGCCGAACTGTCGGTGAGGATGCGCGCGACGATGCTTTCCCAATTGGGACTGATGCCCACTTTATATGGCAATTCCGTGCGAAAAGTCTTCTCGCAGAAGTACCACGGCGACGTCACGGTGTCTCCGCGCTTCACCTTCGGCGAGAGCGTCGGATTTAAAGTGATTTGCAACCCGAGCGTCGCGGACATGAAGCACTACTTAAGAGGCGGGAAGCGAGCTTTATGGCCCCACGTCTGCCGCATCACGCGCATGGTGCGGCTCGAGTCTTGTTTGGCCGACTGCTGGGCGACGCTGCGTGCGGAACGACGACGGTCCTTCGGGGACCTGGGTGCACTCGCTCCGGAGAACAATTTGCCGAATTCAGCTATAGGCCGGGACGTCCACGGCGTGGGGCACGACGACGGCAGTCCGGAGCGGCGGAAGGTGGCTTTTTCGACGACGGAGGTCCACCGGGATTCACCTTCTTATAGACAATTGGAGTGGGAGTACCGTCGTTTGCAAACTAGGTTAGAAAGGCTGCGTTCCGAGAATCTGGATTTAAGGGGACGGCTCAAGTCGGTCGCGGCGTTGTGTGCCGTCCAGCCGCCGGCGCGGCCCGGCACGCCCGCGTCGCGCTCGAGTCCGCCGACGCAGATCATCGTCGACGCGGCCACCACGTCGTCACCCTCCAGAGCCTCCAGAGTTTGCACGAAGCCGCAGTCGCCCGAGCGGCCCGCGTCGCCTCGGGAGATCGGGTGCTAACACTCATCACCTTATTATTTCTCGCCTAGTCGCCGCCGCTTCCGCGCGGCCGCCTTCTTGTGGGCCTTCTTGTAGGCCTGCTGCAGGCCGTCCTTCTCGGCCTCCCAGGCCGCATCTAATTTTGCGGAATCGGCCTGGGCCGCGCGGAGCGACGCCAGCGACAACGCCTGCGCTTTGTCGAGTCCGGCCCAGAGGCCCGTCGTGCCCTTGGTCGCCGGCGCCGGCGCCTCCTCCTCCGCCACCGCCTCTACCTCGGCGTCGAACCCGAAGCTATGCGCGACCGCGCCGCCGGCCGCCGCGAAGGGCAGCGCGACGGACGTTCCGTCCGACCCGACGAACTCCTTCTTCTTCGTGCTCGAGAAGATGTCGCGCAAGGCGCGCCACGACGCCGTGCCCGGCAGGACGGTCCCGCCATCCGAGGGCTGTGCGGGCTCTTCCGCTTGCCCGAAGCCGAAGCTGAACGTGCTCGGTGCGGGGGCGGCGGCGGGCGGCTCGGCGGGCTCCTCGTCTTCGTCGGCAGCGTCGTCGTCGTCGCTCGCGCTCGCGGCACGCATGGGCGGTGGCGCCGCGGCGGCGGTGAGGGCATCTTCCCAGGCGGCGTCGTCGGCCGTGGCGACCGCGCCGTCGCCGCTCTCGCTCTCGGCCCGTTCCGGGGGCGCGTCGGACTCGTCCGTGTCGCTGTCGCGCTCCTCGCCTCTCCTCGCAAGTCTTGCTGCCGCGGCCGCCGAGCGTGCGTATGGAGGTGCCGGCGCCGCGCCGCTGCTTTCGCTTTCGCTCTCTTCCATCGCTGCCGGGGCATCAGCTTCACGAGCCGCGCCGTCGTCGCTCTCGCTCTCCGTCTCCAGAGGGTCAGATTCGCGAGCAGCGTCGCCGTCGCTCTCCGAGCTCTCACTCTCGGAGCTGTCCTCGTCCTCGCGGAGAGCAGCCACGCGGCGCCGCTCCTCCTCGACGCGTGCGCGCAGCGCCGCGACGGCATCGGGCCCCGCGCCATCGCCGTCGCTCTCGGAGCTCTCGCTCTCCGAGCTGTCACCGTCGTCGGCCTCGCGAAGCGCGGTCACGCGGCGTCGCTCAGCCTCGACGCGCGCTCGCAGCGCTGCGACATCGTCGGGCGCTGCGGGCGCCGCGGGCGCCAGGAGCTCTTCGAAGATGCGCTGCGCCTGGCGCCGTTCGGCCTCGAAGTCGACTGGGCCGCCGTCGTCGTCCGAATCCGCCCGCGGCGCCGGCGCTGGCGGGGAAGCGCGCAGCGCCGGCGCGCCGCCGTCAGACTCCGACTCGGAGGATTCCGGCGCCTCCGGCGACGCCGGCGACGCCGGCGCCGCGAGCGCGGTCGCCGCGCCGCCGTCCGACTCGGACTCGGACTCCTCCGGCGGAAGCGGTGTTGACGTGACCGTCCGCGGCGACCGCGCCCGTGGCACCGGCCGCGGCACGGCGCCCCAGTCGAGGGCCGCGAGCGGCGCCGGCTCTATATTAGCGAAGCGCGTCGACACACGCCCGCGGAAGCAGGGCGCGCGGCGCGCCGGCGGCGGCCGCACGACGACGCGGCGCCGCCGCAACCGGTCGGCCCGCGCGTCGGCGGACTTTGCCAGCGCCGCCTCCTCGTCGTCACGCTCGAGCTCGCGCCGTCGCTTGAAGTCGGGCCGCGCCCGCGCGACGGCGAGCTTGCGGCCGCCCCGCCACGTCGCGTTGTCGTAGGCCGCGACGCAGGCGTCGGCGTCCGCGGCGTTCACTTCTACGAACGCGTAGCCGCGCGGCAGCTGCGGGTCCCGCGGCGGCGGGATCGTCGCCTTGGCGACGCGCGCCACGCCGGAAAACAATTGGCGGAGGTCGTCAGCGCTCGTGTTAGGCGCGAGGCCGGCAACGTGGAGGCGCGTCGTGGCCATCCTGGGCAGCAGTGCGAGCTGCCGCAGAGCTGCTGCGCTGTGTGGCACAAACGCCAGCGATCTCCTCGCGCAGCAGCGGTTGACCAACTGCGTGCAGTGTCGTAATTGTGCCGAGAGGCCGCCTACGGGGGGGTTGCACTCACTACGCCTACGCGCACAAAACGCAGCTAGCGGCCTGTAAAGATACTAGCAAGCATTTTATTTCCTACGAAGACCTCCGGGACGGGTACGGAGGATGAGGATACACGCCCAGCGGGCTGCGAGAGGCCCTGGAGAGATCCGGATCCGCCGCGCCCATGGTGCAGTGAAACCGGTTAGGTCTTGGTGGACTGGTCTTGCTGGACATTTGCGACCAGTGAACATCACACCGTGCACGAGGCCAACCCACAGCTGGTGGAGCCGCCCACGAGCACCCCAGGGGCAGCCTCCGCGGCCGGCGTGCCGCCAGCCGCAGCGTCAAGACGAGTGCGGCAGTGCGCCGAGACGCCGGCCTCGACGGCGCGGCCCTGGCGCACCAGCTGCGCGGCCCGTTGCCCCGGGCGACGCGGAGTCGGATGGCCCAGCCCATCGACGCGCTGCGGGACCTGGGCCCGCGGCGGACGCTGTTTGGTGCGGAGGCGCTGCCGCGGCTGCCCTCGTCGCAGAAGCGCGAGCCCCTGCGCGACCGCACGAATACTACTCAGAAGTGGTCATCAGAGAGGAAGAAGCGGCCGCCGAAGCCGAAGCACAAACCCATGAAAAGGCCCGACACGGGCGCGGCGCCGCCGAATTTGAGGAGGCGGCGCGTACGAATAGCGACGATCTCGCCGGAGTCGACCTTGGAAGCGCAGCACGTCGAGCTGAAGCAGCCGTCGCCGGCGCAGAAGAGAAGAGCGAGACGGAAAGCGAGGAAGCTCAACCGCCGGTCGAACGCGTGGGATTTCGCGTCGCCCGACATCGGGAAGAAGCTTGATCCACAGACCGTGACGCCCTCGCCCGAATTCGAGGGCACGCCGAACCGGCGGTCCAGGAGGGCGCCGCGGTCCGCGCCCTACTCGAATTCCGGGAGGCACGACGGCGCCTTGGTATTAACATCACTCACGCCGGGCTCGGACGAGCGCCTCAAGCGCACACTAAGGCGCACGGCGGCCGTCGCGCCCGCCGCGACGCCCCACCAGCTGCCGCTGATCAACGACGCCACGCCGATCATCAACGACACGCCCCAGACCGGGTCGAGTCCCGAGGAACTGACCATCCTGGACCCGTCGCCCATGCCCACTCCAAGAAGCCCGACCGTCGTCTCGCCGCAGACGTCGCCTTCAGTGTTATCTGCGTCCGCCAAGGAGGCGTCGCCCGAGGTTGACGCGCTCTTCGAGCCGGCGATGATGCGCTGCGTGACGCGCACGAAGCTCCTCGAGTATTTGGAGGAGGATTGTGAGGATACCGTGCGGCTCGAGGACGATGACTGCGCCTCCACTGAGGAAGATGAGGCCGAGCTGACCTTCCGCGGCGAGACGCCCTCGAACAACACCGACTGGAGCTGGCGTTATGATTTTATGGAGGAGCAGGCGGCGCCCGACGACTCGGACGACGATGACGACCGCGTCGCGAGTCCGCCCCTCAACAAGGCCGACGACGCGCTCGACGACATGACGTCCGGTGACGACGACCCCTTCGCGGCGCCGCCGCCCCAGCTCGCGGCGACGTTTAAGGTGAACGCGCCGGTCAAGGTCTTTCCCTTGTTCTCTCAATTTCCGTCGAACGCCCTCGGCAACCAGCGGTTACTACCGATCGACGAGGACGCGCCGCTCCTCGTCGACGTCAACGGGGACCCTTTGTTGGATGCGGACGCGGTCTCGCGCGAGACGGCGCGGCGGCGGTCGCTGCCGCCCGGCTCGCCGGCGCGGCCCCAGTTCCGGCGGCGGGCCGCGGCGCTGCGGCGGCGGAGCGTCTGACGGCCCTTTAACTTGACCATAATTAGAGAATTCTTCCACCGCGGCCGCCGGCCGTTCGAACGATCGGCTCCTCCGAGAAATTAGCGCGTGGCTTGGGAGGCTTGGGAGGCGTGGTCGAAACTCGCAAAAGTACCAGCCCACGCAGCCGGCGACGAACTAGGACGCGCTGCGCTCCTCCCCCACTCTTCGCTGGCAGCGAGCCCACTAGCCTGGAAACTCGCGTCTGGAACTCACACGCCGACTCGTTGGTTCTATGAAACCAGCGGCGTGCGACGCGAGGGCTGCATCGGGCAGCCCGCGGCCGCCGCAGCGGCCTACCGCCACGCCCGCGGGCAGCGCGCCGGCGCCGCAGCGGCCCGCCACGGCGCCAGCCATGTCGCAGGACGCGCGGCTCACCGATTGCTTGAGGACGCACGTCCTCGGCTGGCACAGCTTCGCCTACTCCGCGGACCCGCGCCGCAGCACGCTGCAAGACGCGGCGACGGAGGTGCGCGAGAGCTGCCTGAGGGACTGCGCGCGCGTCTGCCGGAGCTGGCGCGGCTTCGTCTCTCCTATACTGGCCCGCGAGCGGCGGCGGTTCGTGGACGAGACGCATTTACTAAGGGACGCCCGCGTGCACCCGCTCGTCAACGGCGTCCATTTGGCGCCCTGCGCTTTCCAGGCGACTGCCGCCGCCGCGAAGCGCTTCGCGCGGTTGCCCTTCAAGGACGGCGACGTGGTGCTTATTGATTGTGCGGTACTACAAAAGGCGACGCAACGGCTCGCCGCGGCGCACCCGAGCCATCCGGTGTTGCAACGCGCCGCGCGCGCCACGGCGGTCCTATTCAGCAAGCTCCCGCGGTGCCGGATGCGCATTTATCAATGCCACGCCGTCGGCGTGCCCCGCGGGCTTGAGCAAGCGCGGGGCCCTGGCGGCCTCGTCCTCATTGAAATAGGGGCGCCTCCACGAGTCTGCCCGGTCGAGGCGTCTCCTTCCGAGGATATGCTCCACCACGATACCCTCGAGCTGGACGAGCAGATACCAATGGCCGCGGCCGCGCTGCCGCTCTTTCCCCCGTCTCCCGCGGGCTGGCGCTTCTCGCTGCCGCTGCCTCTGTTAGAACCCGGCGTCCTCCGCCGAGTCGTACCGTGCACGTATCGCCCCGTCGCGCGGAGCCGCTGGCCCTTCGCGTTTGGGTCACTCAAAGGGAGACGGCAGCTCCCCCTCGGCGTCGTGGCGACGCGGACGGCGCGGGGCGCGGGGCAATTGCTCGTCGTGCGGGACGCGAAGAGTGGAAAATCGGCGACGGGCGACGCGGCGACCTGGGGCATGGAGGCCTGGGCGCGCGGCGAGTTGGTGCTCGGCGCGCACGACGCGTCGCCTGAAGCAGCGCCGGCGGCGCTGGGGCACCTCGTCCTCGAGCCCGCCCCGGACCTGGACGAGCTCGAGGGGCGGCTCGCGCCGGCGTTTCACGCGTAGACGCCATCGGTGCCATGCGCCGGCGTTCGCCGCCTAACGCCATCGCCGCGATGCGCCGGCGTTCGCCGCCTAGATGCCATCGCCGCGATGCGCCGGCGTTCGCCGCCTAGATGCCATCGCCGCGATGCGCCGGCCGGCGTTCGCCCGCGTTCGCCGCCTAGACGCCGTCGCCGCGGCCCTAGAGCCGCGCCCCCCCCATAAGAACTAGGTTATTTGCTAACGTTAAATTTGAACTCGATGATGTCGCCATCTTTCACGACGTAGTTCTTGCCCTCCTGGCGGTACTTGCCCAGAGATTTCAAATTGGCCATGGACGCCTTGCCGCCGCAGTGCTCCTTGAAGTCGTCGTAGGCGCAGAGCTCGGCCTTGATGAAGCCGCGCTCGAAGTCCGAATGGATGGCGCCCGCGGCCTGCGGTGCTAATGAGCCGTTGTAGATGTTCCAGGCCCGCACTTCCTTCTCGCCCGCCGTGAAGAAGTAGATCAAATTCAGTTCCTTGTAGCCGCACTTGATGATCCGAGGTAGGACGGACTTCGTGCCCTGGTGCGCGGCAATGACTTCCTGCTTCGCCGCGGCACCGCCCGCCTGGAAGGCGCCAAACACCTCCTCCTCGTATTCCACCGAAAAGGGAATGACCGTGCCGCCACCATGACTGGTGACCCAGTCCGCAATTCTAGGTAACCATTTCGATTTTTTGGCGATGAAGTTTTTCTTCGAGAGGTTTACTAAGTAGATGATGGGTTTCGTCGTTATCAAGGCCGGAGCGCAGACCTTGAAGTCGGCGATCTCGCTATCCGTGAACCCCGCCATGAACGCCGGCTTGTCCTCTTCCAAGTGAGCTACTATTTTATCCCTCGCTGAGATATAACTTTCTGATAGTTTGGGAGCCTTCTGGCCTTGCTTTGCCGTTTCATGCGCTGTGATTTGTTTCTTGACGTAGGCCAAGTCCTTCTTGCACAACTCCGACTGGATAGTCTCGAGATCGCGCACGGGATCCACGCTATCGTCGACGTGAATCACTTCGTCAGACTCGAACGCGCGAACGCAATGGTAGATGCCGTCGACGGCCTGGATGTGTGACAAGAACGCATTGCCCAATCCAGCACCTTCTGAAGCGCCCTTTATGAGCCCAGCAATATCAGTCACCAGTAACTTGGCCGGGACCTTCGAAGGAGGCTTGTAGAGATCACAGAGCCACTTGAAGCGCTGATCAGGCACGCCGCACTGCGCCTCGTTCGGGTCGATGGTGCAGAACGGGAAGTTCTCGGCGGCCGCGCCCTGCTCCGTCAGTAAGTTAAATAAAGACGACTTGCCGACGTTGGGCAGGCCCACGACGCCCATCTTTAAATTGGTCTTCACGCGGCCCCACTTCGAGGCGCCGGCCTGGCCGGCCTCGTTGACCTCGCCTTTACCCTTTGCTTTGGGCGGCATCTTGTATGGTATGAGGTGTGGCTTGCTGCCTCTGCAAGGAGTTACCTGCTTGTACGCACGACACGCTTCGTGCAACGAGCTGTGTTGTAGCTCGACGGCGTATGGATTGCACTAGCAATTCGACTGGTGCAAGTGTGCAGCGCTCGCGACGTCGATCGATTTTGTCGACAGGCTCGCTTGCTAGGCATCCCTAGTGTCTACATGCCGCTAGGTTTCGATGAGTAGTGCTCTTCAGAAAGCTGCCCTCTTGGACCCACGCATACGCGTCCCGTGAACCTCGGGTGCGGGGCGTCGCTCTCGCGCCCAGTCGGTTTGAGTGGGGCAGCATCAAAATTGAGTCCCGGTCCATTGCGCTTGCCTCAAAAGGGACTCTGTCCATTGCGCAGCCTCAAAATTTGGTTCGTCCATTCGCGGCGGGGACAGCATCAAAATGCAGAGTGAAGCGACGATGGTAATGCATAGAGGCAAGCTAAGGTACACAAGTAAAGGGAGCAGCGGCACCTTGCAGGCGCTGCCCGACAGCTGCTGTGCCCGAGCAATGAGCTACCTTGCGCTGAGAGAGGTCGAGCTAGTCGGGGAATGCAGCCTCAATTCTAAGGTGAGGGCGTGCTCGCGGGAGCTTTGGCTCATGCTCTGCGAGCAGCAGTGGCCGGCCGTCGCGTCGTCGGAGGCGCTCCGGAAGGCGGTGATGATGCGCCATCCGCGGGACTACTTTATCCACAAGTACCTCGATTGCTATTCGCCGCGGCCGCTGCTGGACCTCGACGACCACCTTGTGCACGTCGAGATCCGCCAGAAGGGCCGCTCCATCTGCTCGGTGGCGCGCGAGGCGCGGGACGTGTTCCGCAGCGGCGTGACTGAGTATCACGAGCAGGACGGCATACTCATCGAGGGCCTGCGTTGTGCGGTCGATTGCTCCGACGACGATATGTTTCCGCCGGAAGCCTCACGGCTCGGGGTCACGTACTACGTGATCCGCAAGAGCGACGGACGCGTGGCCATTCTCGGTAGGGACTCTACCTTTGGAACACTCTCTGGGGGCGCGCCGATAGGTGAGGGATACTTCAAGTGCTTTCCTCAGTATCCCTCGCTACGCGGAATGCTCCCTATGAACTGCGAACTTTTCAACAGCTTTACGCCGTACGTACGGGGCAGTGGTGCAGGTATCGGCTGGCGTGATACTCGTAAACGAGACAACTATTTTGAAATCTCTACCGCTGTATTTGTTGGGACCGACGCCGACAGCCCGGGCAATGACAGGGTACCCACTCTCTACGGCGCGGGCACCGGAAAGCCGCCCACCGTGGTCGTTACGAAAGGGCAGGTCGAGATTCGTTCCATCTTCATGTCGTTCTCTGGCGACCTTTTCCGGCAAGAACCGACGAATACGCGCGACCATGAGCAGTATCTCATTTCCTCCGAAGAGCTAGACCTCGAGGACATCCGCAGCGTCCTCGCCCAGCACCTCCGGTTCGGCTAATAATACAACTTATAAGTACTCAGCTCCCGAACGCCGCCGACACGCCGAACTGGAGCCCCTTGGCGACGTCGCCCGGCCGCGCGCGGAGCACCCAGCCGTAGTTCAGCTCGAGGCGCGCGAACGCCGCCGGCGCGAGGGCTAGGCCCAATCCGCAGGAGAGCCGCGTCTCGGCCATCAGCGATGTGAGTGAAGCGCGCGCGCCGGGCGCGAGGAGCCCGCCCGCGTCGAGGAACGCTAAAGCTCGCAGGCCGTGCCTCCCGAGGTCGCCCGGGACCGGCGCGCTTAATATGAGCGACGCCGCCCAGAGCAGCGCGCCGCCGACGGCCGGTAACGCCGTCGCGTCGCCCGCGAGCAACGGGGCGCCGCGCGCCCGCGGCGACCGCGCGCCGACGCCGCAGCGCTCGAAGGCCCGCAATCGCAGCGGCCCGCCCAGGTAAAACCGGTCCGGCATGGCGAGGTCCAACACACCATTCCCGAACAGCGGCAGGGCCGCGCCGACGCGCGCGACGCCGCCCAAGGCCACGAAGCCGTTTTGTAGTTTTGTCACACGGATGTGGTTCTGGAGGGCGCCCTCCGCCTTGACGAAGCGCGCGTCGCCCGCGTCGCCCAAGCCCGCGACCTCCACGCTGGCGTCAGCGCAGGCGCCGTCCGTCGGCGCCGCCGCGGCGTCGCGGCCGTCCGCTCTGAGAGCATAGGAGAGGGCGCACTTCGTCGACTCGGAGAAGGCGTCATCATCCACACCAACACGCCGCGCGACCTCCACCACCAGCCGCCGGCTGCCGTCGCGCGCCGCGCACGCGCAGCGCACGGCCCGGCCGTCGACGCGGCGGCCCGGTGTCGATGAGGTGGCCGGCGCCCACGGCGCCTCGCGGCCGCCCACCTCGACGTCGACGGATACGATGGATTCGGCCAGGCCTAGTACTGCGAGCGGCGTCGCGACGGGCCGCCGCAGCCCGAACGCGAGCTCCAGACCGTGCTTCGGCGACTTCGTGACCGTCGCCGTCGCGAGCTCTCCCATGCGTAGGAAGCCGCGCAGCGTGCCCGCCGCCTCGTAGCGCACCTCGTCGGCGGCGCCGGAGGTGGTGGCGCCGACCTTCAGCTTGTACGGCTTCTTCTCGCTCAGGTGGATCGTTACATGTACGCCCTGCGCGTCGGCGCCGCCGATGCTCGTTTTTACGTCATCGAACAGGTCCGTCTGGTTCAGATTTTGAGTCGCGGCGTCTATTTCTTCCAGCAGCGCGCCGAAGGTCTGCGCCTGATGTACTTTTTTGAGCTCTTGCTGCACTAAGGACTGCGGGTAGCGGCGGAGGCCCGTGATCTTGATGCCTTGCACTGCGATTGGCTCTTTCTCCATCGTTTGGGCTACTGGGCTGGTGCCTGGTTTTGCTCTCTAGATGGGTCGAGCTCGGTTCCGTCGCAGCGATGCCGCCGCGTCGAAGGCGTCTCGCGCTACGCGTTGTATAGCAGCCTTGCGCGCTGCTCGTTGCGCTGAGGCGCTGAGCGGCTGAAAACGCGAGCGCGTCTGAAATCTCGGCGCTAGCGCGCCGTAAGACACTAGCAGACGCTTCCACGCGACCCGTGCGTAAGAAACGTGCACATGAAGATCCACAAGCAATCGGAGGTTACTCACTCGGCCGCGGCGAGCCAGTCCCAGGTCAGCCCCAGGTAGAAGCCCGCGTCGCGGGCCTTCGCCAGCGCGTTCGCCCGCGCGGACTTGGAGGCCGCGCGGCACCGTACTGATGACGAGGCCCACCATTTGTCGTCGCGCGCACCCAGCGCGTCGTTTTGAGTCATTAACCACGCCGTCAAATCCCCATCAACCACAACACCGCTCCTAAACAACTCGTCCCGCAGCAGGTCGATGTTCAAGTGGGGCGGCCGGCACGACCGCGACGGCCGGAACATGGCCGGCCACTTCTGGGCCAAAGCCTCCGCCGCCTGATCCAACCGCTGCCTCAAATCCTCCGACGCGCCGTCTTCGGTCGGCAAATCAACTAGCGGCACCGGCTCGCTCAAATTAATCTCCGCGAACAGTTTTTTAGCGTCGTCGTCGGATGTGGACGGCCGCACGTCGACCAGAATGCCCTGCAAGGCTTCTGGTAACGAATCTTCCTTGGATAGTAACCAAGCCGCGCCCAGCCTATGCTGGCCGTCCACCACGGCGCCTACACCTTCATCCTGGACGACGGTCACGACGCCGGGCCAGCCCCCCTCGGGGTGCTTCTTCTTGTAGGCGGCGATCTCGGCCGCTCTGGCTTCCCGGAAGGCGCGCTGCTTCTCCCACAGTCTCGTGCCGGCCCAGAGCGTCCGCGGGTCCGCCCGATACACGCGTTGTGCGGGAGTAGACAGCAGCAACCGCCCGAACACGGGGTCCTCCATGCCGGATTCGTCCTCGAGCAACGTCTGCGACGCGGTCCTCACCAACTGCGCGGCGTCGATGGCGTCGCCACCTCGCGCGCCGCGCGGTTCCGACTCGAGCGCTTTCAGTTTAGCGTCGCCCGTCTTCTTGATCATGTCGTCCCTCGCTTTCTTCAACTCTAGCTGCGCCCGCTCGAGCTCGCCGGCCCGTACTCTCGCCGAGCGCTTCGCCTCCTCGAGTTCGCGCTCGAGGGCCTGGCGCGCGATCACGCCGTCCACTAATTGAGAACCAACACTCTGCGCGCCGCGCACGACCGCTTCGCTCTTGGCCTGCTGCACCGTGGCCTCGGTCGCGGCGAGCGTCGACCGCGCCGCGGCGAGGTCCTTCGTTAAGGTGGAGATGGTGGCCTGGGCCGTTCGTAGTTCGGCGGAGGCGGCCTGGCCCATGGTTGCTGGTGTTTGTTGCGTGCGTCGCGCGGCGGGAATTCGTTTGCGGAGGCCAACTGGCGCTTGCTCTGGTCGTGGCTGTGTTGTCGGGCGCGCCGACCGTTCGAGCTTCTGGCTCGTCTAAGCGCGTGACAGGGGCTGTGAAGCGCTGCTGCTTTCTTTTCGGCGCGCAAAAGTGAGCCAGCGGCCTGTTTGGACCCTGCGCAAAATGCTCACTTTGCCGCAAATTGCTCCTCAGCTCACACCGCGGCGCGCCCACGCCCGCGGACTGCCTTTTCTTTTTGAAGACGAAGCACGACTCTCACGAGCGACGTTGCGCCAACTTAACACTTCGCGGCACGCGGCGCGCACCAAATTGCGGTCCAGGGCAGCAGCCCAGATACTGATGCCGACGACGCGCCGCGCACTCAGCGAGAACGAGACCATGGACGCGAGTCAACCGCTGAAGCGCTCATCAGACGCCGCCGCGGCCGCGCTGTTCGAAGGTCTGCCGTCGCCGGCCGCCGACCCCGCCTCGGCGGACCCGTGCCCGCGGACGCTGGCGTTCGCGCGGTCGGAACTCGAGGCGCGCGGCGAGAGCCACGGCCTGGCGCACGCGAAACGGGTCCGCGCGCTGGCGCTCGCGATCTATGCTGAGCTCGGCGGCGACGACGCGCGCGTCGTCGAGGTCGCCGCGCTCCTCCACGACGTCTGCGACCACAAGTACGTCGACCCGGCGACGGACGCGGGCCGCGCGTGTATTGAGAGACGAGACCGCTTCCTGGCGGAGACCTTGTCGGCATCAGACGCGGCCGCCGTCGTACAAATAATGGGCGCCGTGTCGTACTCGCGCGAGGCCAAGGCGCTCGCACGCGGTGAGGTGCCGGCCTGGGCCGCGCTGCCACAACATTACCAGGTGTTGCGGCATTGCGTCTCTGACGCCGATAAGATCGACGCCATCGGCGTGCGCGGCCTCGAGCGCTGCGCGGCGTACGCGCGAGAGCGAGGGGTACGCGGGTCGTTAAATATCGCGCGCGAGGTGGCGGAGCACTGCGACGAGAAGCTGCTGCGGCTGCGGGACGAGTACGTCCGGACGGCGCCGGGCAAGCGCCGCGCCGCGCCGGGCCACGAGTGGCTCGCCGCCTGGCGCGAGCGAGCGCGTGAGGTCGTGGGGTTTTAAATTCAACACAGATTAGGTTCTCCCAGCGGATGCGACGAGCAGCGCCGCGAGCGCCGCGTGCGCCGGGTTGCCGACGCTCCAGACGGCCTCGCCGTCCGTCGCGGGCCGCGCGATGAGCGCGAGGAACTCCGTCGACCCGTCCGAGTAAAGCCAGCCGAGGTGGACGACGCCGCACGGCGTCGACGCGCCGACGACGCGCCAGGCGTAGCCCTCGAACCACGAGTCAGGATGAGGTGCCGCCGCATCGACGAGCAGCCGCGGGTCATTCCTCGGCCACTGGACCGGCGCCACGGAGAACGGCAGCTCGGCCGCCGATAACCGCTTCGGCTGCTTGAAACCGTACAGCGTGACGCGGGCGCCGCCCGGCGTCCTCGCGGACGTTACGCCCTGCAAGGTGTCGCCTTGGGTCTTGAGCGGTGAGAGGTATGGTCGCTCCAGCAGGTCGGCGAACGCACCCTCGGCGCACGTCGCGTCTTGGATGTGGGGGTTGGACGCCTGTTCGACGAGCGTCTCGGCGTAGCTTGTTGTGAGGAGCACGAGGAGCAGCTTCATTTGTGAGAGCAAATGAGGCTGCGGGAGGAGCGTTGCGCGTTTGCACGGCTGTAAGGCGGCTGCGAATGGATCAGAGAGCAAGCGCTACTGTTAGCTAGCGTGAGTAAGACACTAGCCGCACGCTTCAGGATTGCTCGGCCTGGTGTGCGAGGGCATCTCTCTCACCACTTGATTTCCGGCTCGTCGTAAAAGAGGAGCCAGTGGCCAGTTCCACATCCTGACGGGGGTCGTCCCAAAAGAAGGGGGGGCGTGCGAGTCCCTGTGACTCAGCCCTTGCGTCCTAGTCCAGCCGGACGGGTGGGCCCGGGGGGAGCGGGAGGGGTACGGGGAACCCTGCGACGTAACTAGCCTCAGCCTCAGCCTCACGAGCCTCAGCCTCACGATTATCGATATACAGCAGTATCCCACCCAGCGAGCAACGCAGAATAACGGAACAACTCTTACCTAGTAATCATCTCCTCCTTCTCCTCCTGCTCCTCGTGGCGTCGCTGCTGCTGCCGCTCGACGAGCAGGTCGTTCTCTAAGTTGTCCAGCTGCTCCGCAAAGTCGACGGTCTCGAACGCGGCGGGCGAGTGTTCGGCCGCGGCGAGGCCGAGCGCCGAGCGTCTGTCGGGAGTCCAGCCGTCGACGGGCGCGCCGTAGGACATATCGTCGTCGACGGCGCTTGGCGCGGGCGGATGGCCTTGTTTTAACTTGCCACTGAGAGGCTTTTTGTTTACGCCCAGAGATGCGACGTTCACTCGCGCTTTGAGACGTGTGTAGCGGTGGTCGCTCTGAGTCGATATGCGCGCTCGGGCGCCCGGCGCGCGGTGTAAAAAATGGGCACTTGTCTTGCTAGTGTCTTACAGCCGCTAGCCCGCATTTCTCCACGAGCCCTGAAAGCGACGGTTTAAGTAAGCTTACTCCTCCGAAGACGAATCCGCAATGATCCCCGAGATCTGCGCCAGCCACGCGTCGTCGCTCTCGTTCTCGTAGTTCGCCTTGCACAGCTCGTCGAGCGGGTCGCACGGCTCCTACGGCGCATAGATTTAACCTGAAGTACGCCGTCGGTCTCGTTTTCGCTGGAGCGCAAAGTTCTCTTAAGCATCGTCCACTCGCGGAAAGCGCGTGGGACGAGGTTTCACGCGATCCCCTCCGTGGGCCGACGAAGACGTAGTTGACGTGCAGCTCGTTCCGGAAGCGCTCGAGGAACGCGGCGTCCTCGTCGGGGAGCCGCTCCTCCCAACCCCTGAAATTGTCGTTCGTCACGATCGAGCCTGTGTGCAAATCAATCAGTGAGTCGGGTGCGCCGTCGCGAGATTTGATTTGTGCACTGGATCGAGCAGTGGTGCTCCTTCGACTGGTGGAGCAGGAAGCGGTCGTCGACGTCGCGCTCGCCGTCGCGGCCGGCCGCGACGGCGACGCAGTCCTTGAACGGCCAGTTCCGAGGCATGGGGTTGCGGTTATTGGTATGAACCGACAGAAATCCGCTCGGTCTGAGGCCCTTTCTTTTATAATACTGAAAAACCTCCGCGACCTGGTCCCAGTTGAACGTGACCCCACTGTCGGACGATGCGTTCCAGTGGCCCACGTTCGCCACGTCGATCACGATGCGGCTCGGCTCATTGCGCCGCTCGAGGGCCGTCCGCGCCTCCGCTAGCCGCGCCGCAGCAAGATCGCGCCGCGTTGCAGCGCGCTTCGCATCGCGCGCCCGCTTTGCTTCGGCCTTGGCCGCGGCGTCCGCGCGCTCGCGGCGCTCGCGCTCCTCGCGCTCGGCCGCGATCTTCGCGCGCGCCGCCTGGCGGGCCGCGGCGCGCGCTTGCTGTTGCGCCGCGGCGTCGTCCAACAACTGGCGCTCCCGCGCCCGCGCCTCGTCCTCGCGCGCGCGCCGCGCCGCCGCCCGCGCGTCGTCCGCCCGCAGCTGCGGCGGCGTCCACGGCCCGACCGCCGGCAGCGCGTCGTCGGCGCCGCAGACCCAGACGACCGGCGGCTTCGCAGTTTTCTGGAACTGCACGTGCAAGTCGAAGCGGCCGCCGAAGGCGCCGCGGACTAGGTTCTTGCCGGCGGCCCCCAACGCAATGAGGGGCCCTCGCGCTTCGCGCTTCTGGATGTTGAGCAGGTACATCCTAGAGCCGGCCCTTACCTGTGTGGAAATCAAATCAGGCGCCCCGTGCGTTTCACTGGTTGATTTCCACACCGACTGTTACGCCTGCCAGAGCTCGCACTTGCTTCCTGTTGGAAGAACAGCCGAGCACGCACTTCGCCAGGCACTCCCGCTCCGTCGAGGAGGACCTCGCGCCGCTGGAGCTTCCGCCGCAGGTCCTCGAGGCTAAGCTCCTCCTCCTCCTCCTCCTCCTCCTCCTCCTCCTCGCCCTCGTCGTTGTCTGGTGCCGCAGGTGGGCAAGCGTCGGTGCTTGAGGCGGGTGGTAGCGGCCGGGAAGAGGGAGCAACATGGGCCGACTTTCGTGCAGCGGATGCGGCTAGGCTGGCCATCTTGTGGTGGTTGTGCTGTTGCGAGGCAGCGTCAACGCGTGCTGGTTCGATTAATGTGGTGCCTGCGATGCTCTGCACGGCACAGCGATGCCGGAAACTGATTAATGTCAGTGCCTGGGACAGTGCGAGATGCCCAAGTTGTGAGATTGTGATGAAAATCCGCAGGACCATTGCTCGGCGTGGCTCGGCGGACCTTCCGAGCACTCCTCCCGAAGAGGCCTGGCTGCACGACGGCACAACAAACCAGTCGTCGCGGCACATAACGGAACACTCTTTACTCAATAGTCGTCGCCACCGCCGTCGCCGCCGAACATGTCCATGCCGCCGGCCATGTCGATCTCCTCCTCCTCTTCCTCCTCCTTCTTCTCCTCCTCCTTCTCCTCCGCGGCGTCGCCGCCGCCGCCGCTGCCGCCGCCGCCGCCGCCGCCGCCGCCGAACTTCGCGAGCTTCTCCTTGCCCGCGGCCATGAGCTCCGCGAGGTCCTTGCCCTCGACGCCGGCCAGGAACCTCTTGAGGTCCGCCGCATCCACATCAACGCCGACCTTCTCGAGGGCCGCCGTCACGTCGGCGGCCGACGGGCTGTCGTTGCCGCCCATGACGAGCATCAGATAGGTCGACACGTACTTCATCGTCTCCGCGTAGCTACGTCGGTGGCGGTCTGGTCCCGTCGCGCGGAGCCAAACGTGTTTAAGCCGGTGACGGACCTGCGTTGCGAAGCGACGGTGAGCGTGTGCGGTCGCGGCGATGGCGTCTCGGCGAGGCGTCTCGGCGGGCCGACGGTGAGTGCCGTCTGCCGCTCGCGCTGCTTTTAGCCCCTCTCCGCTCGATGGCGTCCAGAGGGCTTTATACGGCGAGCGAGCGGCTGAGCTTCGCACCAAGGCTGCACACGGCTCGAAGGAAACGATACTGAGAGCACCGGCTGCTCACAGGATGTAGCGACGACGCTGGGGCGCACAAAAAGTCAAGTTTTGGTGAGCCTCGCTGTCAAGCGTGCGGGGTTGTGCGCGAGCTCCGTTGGCCCGCTAAGAGTCATAAACCGATGCCTCCCGATGCGATGGGAGCGTCTCCGTGTGTTTTTGTGTCTGACCCTAGCGGCTGTAAGACACTAGGCATCCTGAGCTAGCAGGCGACGAGGCTCTGATAACTCGCACTATTTGCACCGCTCGTACCGTAGAAATACGCATTGATAGTAGCAAAGCCGCTGCTGGCACTGGCAGAGCAAACGGCAATTATTGCCAGTCACCCAGAGAGCACTGCAGGCTGCAGGGGCTGCACGCACGCTGCACGCCGTGCAACGCAGCGGTCGACAACAAACAAGCATAAAATGGCTGCCGCCGGCCTCCCGGACCAGGCGCGCCTCGCCTTCCGGGGCCGCGCCGACGCGAGCCTAGACGAGCTCTTGCCGCGCTGCACGATCAAGCGGCGCGCCGAAGATTTCGTCGTCGACGAGGTCGACGAGGACGGCCAGCGGGCGTCCGAGGCCATGACGCGGGCGCCCGAGGCGACGCTGAAGCCGGCGCTGGAAGACCTCGCCGCAAAGCTCGACAGTCGGCAGCAACAACCGGCCGCGGAGGCGAACGAGAGCGATGGTGAGGACGCGCTCGCGACGCTAGGCGAGGCGACACTAGACGCGCTCCGGGCCTTCGACGCCGCCGCAAAGGACCAGGTCCTGCGCGACGGCGTGGGAGCCTCCCCAATATCCGTGGCGCTGCCGGACGGCGGCAACCGCCTGAACCTCCGCCTCGCGCTGGAAACGGGGTTCCCCTGGACGCGGGTCCGGCTCGAGAGCGGTGTCGTGGAGGCGGATCTGCGCCTGAAGCCCCTCGCGACGATCCTCTTCGCAGAAGACGTCGAGCGGCTCCAGCGCTTCGGGCGGACGCGCGGCAACAAGGCCACCGCAACTATTGAGGCCCCCGCCGACAAGGACGCGCGGCGCGCCGTGCACACGACGCTGGCCGCGGCGTTCCGCGCCTGCGAGACGAAGACGCTCGACGCTGTGTGGAAGTCAACCAGTGAGTTAGGTTCTACGCCATCGAGCAGGCGCGGTCACGGGGACGACGTCGCGTCGATGGCGTGGGGCGCCCGAAATTTGATATCCACACAGGCTCGACGGGGGCACGATCTCGGCGCGCTGGCGCGGCGGCCGGAAGCGGCGGCGCGACGGCCCGCGCTGGCCGCTCGTCGTGCGGTGCGTCCTGGAAAAGCGCAACGCCGAGGCCTTTGCCGTCATCCGGGCCGCCGGCCGCCGCCTCGGCCTGCCGGCGGGCGCGCTCGCGACGGCCGGCGTCAAGGACCGCCGCGCGGTGACGCGCCAGTTCCTGACCGTGGATTTGGGCAAGTCGCGCGACGCGACGGCGTGCCGCGTCCTGGCGCGCGTCGTTGCGGACGGCGGCGGTCTCCGAGTGGACGACGCGACGCTCTGGCCGTTATCTGTCACCGAGCGGGCGCTCAACGCCGGCCGGCTGCGGGGCAACGCCTTCCGGCTCCGCGTTGTCTCCGATGACGCCCGAGATCAGTCCCTGAAACGCTTCGCCGCGGCCCCGCGGTGCCTCAACGTCTTCGGCCCGCAGCGCGTCGGCCGCGACGACGCTCAGGAAGGAACGCCGCCGGCGACCTGGAAGATCGGGCGGGCCCTGTTACAGGGCGACGCGGCGGAGGCCTTCCGCGTCGTCTGCGCGTCGGCTTTGTCCGACTTCGCCACGAACGAAAATCTAAGGGACGTCGTCCAGGGCATCTCAACTGATAATTTCGCTAGAGCTGCCGCGAAGAAGCTCTCCAACGCGCTCCCGCGCTCGTCCCCGGCGCGGGACGTGGCCCAGGCCTACGTGCGCACCGGCGACGCCGCCAAGGCAATCAAAGCGGCGCCGCACGCCGCGCGGACGATGTGGGCGCACGCGTACCAGGCGTTCCTGTTCAATCAAGGCGCCGCGGCGGCGTGCGGCGCCGGCGACGTGCCGGCCGCGCTGCCTTTGATTGGCTCGGCCGTCGACGCGCCGGACGAATCCACGCCGGCGGGCCGCGCGATGCGGGCCCAGCTCCGCGCGGACGGCCTCGACAGCGAGTCCTTCCGGCGCCTCGGCGTCAAGGGCGCGACGCGGGAGGCTGTTGTGACGGCCGGGGCGTTTTCCTTCGCACACGTCGAGGACGGTTTCACGTTGGACTTCGAGCTGCCGTCGGGGGCGTACGCGACGACGCTGCTGCGGGAGCTTTTCGTGGAGGTCGTGGCGGCGACGGGGGTTGAAGAGTCCTCGTAGTGTGTGTGTAATTTGTACTAAGAGTACTGGAACTGACGGGTTTTTTCACACTTTTTCCGTGCGCAGACGCCGAGCATAGGCGCTAAGAGAATAGTTGGCGACGAGTCCTGGGCCTCATCATTTCCAGCCGTCACCAGCTTACCGTCTTCCGACTCCGCCGGTAGAATTAACTCTCAGGCCAAGCAGCTGTAGAATGGAGAGCTATGGCACCATCGACGAACGCTCCGCCGCGACGCCGAAGAAGCTAGTAGGGCGCAGAATCATCGCCGCGGTCGCCGCGGTCGCCCTCGTCGTCGGCGCGTCGGCGGCCGTAAGCGTCAACCGGCTCCCGGGCGCGAACCTTTTCATGTGCCCCATGATATGGGCGCCCGTCTGCGGCGAGAACGGGAAGACGTACGGGAACGCTTGCCAGGCGCAGGGCGCGAGAATGCCGTTCACGGATGGCGAATGCTCTCCGGACGCTCAGGCTCAGACCACGCCGTGTACCAGGGAGTTCATGCCGGTCTGCGGCTCCGACGGCGTCGAATACGTGAACAAGTGCTACGCGGACAAGGCGGGGGCGACGTACACGGAAGGACCGTGCACGAAGCCGTGCACGAGAGAGTACCGCCCGGTCTGCGGCTTAAGAACCCGGACGACATCGAGTGCCCCAATGGAGGCTGCGCGTCGCCAGTGTCCTATTTTTACGTAGACGGAACTCACCGGTCGGTTCACAGGCGACCAGAGCAATACTGTCACGACGGGATCGGTCACGTGCTCGGGAGGGGATTGCATTCAGACGGGCATCACCGCGGACGGTTCGATCAGCTGCGGCGGCGGCGGCTGCCCCCAGACCGGGTCCACCGCGAAAGGTGGCATCACGTGCCCGGACGACCCGTGCGCGAAGTGTGGCGAAGGGGGTATGACCGGGCGGCCGCGGGCGTTTTACTCCCCGCCGGGCCAGCCTCCGATTCCCGTCCCCAACTGTGTGTGGAAATCAAAATTTTACGTGGCCCGACTCACGGGTTGATTTGCGCGCAGGTCCCCAAGGCTCGCTGCGCGAAGGGGATCAACGGCCTCACGGACTGCACGGACCTGTGCCAGAAGTTCCCCAACGCGCCTCATACGACGACGTGCTGCAAGTGCTATCCGGCGTGCTAGGCTCCCATCCTTAGATCGGCACGAAGGCCGACCCCCCTCCTTCTCTGTGTCCATAGCGTAACATGCCCTCTTACACGCACAACAGAGATCACACGGCGTCCGCCACGATGAACACGACCCGCTCCTCGAAGGCGGTGGGCCCCGGCGGATGCGCCGCCGCGACCTCGGCGACGCCCGCGGCCAGCTCCCCGTCGGAGAAGCCGGCGAAGGTCGACCAAAACCTATTCCGCATCATCCCGAGCCAGACCTCCCGGTCAATCACCGCTGGATAAGCCGCGACGTCCACGCGGCATGAAAACCCGTGCTTCTCGAAGGCGTCGACGAAGTGGTCCGCGGACGGCTGCGCCGCACGCCAGACGTCGCGCGCGGCCTCGAAGAACGGGTACTCGACGTCGTCGCGCGGCCGCGTGCAGACGACCACGCGGCCGTTCCCATCCAAGGCTTTGTGGAGCCCGGCGCAGATCGACGCGAGCTCGTCATCACCAAAGTGGTGGACGACCTCCTTCAGTAAAACGCGGTCCAGCGCCTTCGGTGGCAGGCCGTCGACGTAGGCGCGGGCGTCGCTCTGCACAAAGGCGACGTCTTTGCGTTCACAAGCTTCGAGCATCGCAGCGCTCGGGTCCACACATATCGGTTTTGTAGAAAGCCCCGCGGCGTCCTTGAGGAGGCCGACGAAGCGACCCGTGCCGCCGCCAACGTCGGCGACGCGGTGGTGCGGCCGCAGTTCCAAGCGCTGCAGCACCTCGTCGCGCTGCCACATTTCATAAGCGTCGCTGTAGAAGTAGGCGTCGTGGTAGCTCGCCGCGACGCGGTCGTAGTGCGTCTTCGTCGCTGCCATGCCGCGCTTGGTGAGTAATGTGAGCGCGCGTCGCATCGATGGCGTAGCTTGCTCTTGTCTTTTGCAGCACTGCCTTGCAGCGCTTAGTGTGTGGTGTGCAATGCGCACGTAGCGTTCGTGTGGTTTGCCGGCGTCGTCCCCAGCGAGCTATGCTGATTGAAGCGACCCCAAAACGACCGCAACCTTGCACTGTATACTGATGCAAGCCAGCCACACCAGTCTGGCAGCTTGCTAGTGTCTTACGGCCGCTAGCGCAAGGCAGTCCGAAATATCTATGAGAAATTATACGCGGGAAGCATCATATGAGCGGGGAACTCCGTCCAGGCGGAGGGCGTGGGGTTCTTCGCGAGGCGCGAGAGGCGCGCGACTCGCCGGCGCGCGGAGCCTATTACAGCTCCTGCGTCGTCGGCGCGGCCGTCGGCTTGCGCTCCGAGGTCGGGACTCCCGTGGGCTTGAGCTCCGTGGTGGGCACCGCCGTGGGCTTGGCCTCAGTAGTCGGCACCGCCGTCGGGACGCGCTCCGAGGTCGGGACTCCCGTGGGCTTGAGCTCCGTAGTAGTGGGCACGGCCGTAGTGGGCACGCCGGTGGGCTTGCACTCCGTGGTGGGCACCGCCGTGGGCTTGGCCTCGATAGTCGGCACCGCCGTCGGGGCGCGCCCCGAGGTCGGGACTCCCGTGGGCTTGAGCTCCGTAGTAGTGGGCACCGCCGTGGGCTTGCACTCCGCGGTGGGTACCGCCGTGGGCTTGGCCTCAATAGTCGGCACCGCCGTCGGGGCGAGCTCCGAGGTCGGGACTCCCGTGGGCTTGAGATCCGTCGTGGGCACGGCCGTAGGCTTGAGCTCCGCGGTGGGCACGGCCGTGGGCGTCTTGAGGTCCTGAGTAGTCGGCACGGCCGTCGGCGCGCGGTCGCTCGTAGGCACCGCGGTGGGCTTGCGGAGGCCGCTGATCGTCGGAGCCAGCGTCGGCGCGGCCGTCGGCGCCAGGCACCCCTGGGGAGACTTGGGCGCGCCGATGACGGCGATGCTGAGTAGCACAGCTAGAGCTAGGGAGAGGTTTTTCGCCGTCGAGGCGGGCGCCGGGGCGCTCTTTTGTGTCGAAGAGACAGAATGGACAATTGTCGACGTCTGAGACATGGTTGAGGAGGCGGAGATCGTTGTGGTTTTGCGCGAGCGCTGGGAGAACAAATGGCACCAGCCTGCTGCAAGTGAAGCAAGAGCGCGAAGACGACAAGATAACTAAGACGACACCTTACCCAAGGATAAGCAAGCCCCTAGAAGTCGCCCTTGAGCGCCGCCGCGTACTCGGCGTCGTCGCGCCGCGCGCGCCCCCACGCCCTCATCATCGGATGTAAGAAGTCCTTCTCGAAGAAGCGTACCGAGTGCGCCAGGGACGTCTTGTCCAGGTCCAGTACGTCATCGCCGGAGTGCTGATCTAGTTCATAAGCGAGCTGCCTTAGTGTGACCACAGTCGTAGGATCGAACGTAGACACCTTCTTAGCATCAAAGGGCACACAAACCCGCCCGGTCTTCGGGTGCGCCGCGAAGGGGCTCTTCAGCAAGTGGTTTCTATGTTTGGACACGTTCTCGTCTAAGCGGGGATAGCACTGACTAAAAACGGTCTCGTACTTCCAGAGTTCGGGAACAGACGTGCGCTTCTGCTTCTTCGCTTGATTAGGTTTCTCCGAGACGCATAATCCTTTCAAGGCCTCCCACTTCTCGAGCGGAGAGGTGTCATTTCCATTTTTTTCCCAATGCTTCGAGATTTGGCCGCCGATCTCTTCGGGTAGAGTCTTGAGTAGCGTCTCCCATCTCTCTGATGAAGCAAGTAAACCTTGACCGTTCTCACCGATGACGTGCTCCACGAACAACGGCTCAAGCAATCTGTAGGCGCGTTCCAGGGAAGGGTGCAAAGGGGAAGATAACTGCGTCTTCTTCGCTTGATTTTCATTTCCTGAGACCACAGAAAAGTACTTGATGATCGCTAGACGAGCGTCGTTCGTCAACTCGCGAGCCGTCTCGTCGCAGACCCAGCAATGGACACCTCTGCGACCCGAGTAGATCCACACAATGTGCTCAAATCCAAAATCCTCCCGCAACGCACTCTCGCAGACCTTGACGGCGCAGGTCATGTACTGCCAGCATTTTTTACATACGGTAGCGCCCTGTGTGGCACGGACGCCGTCGCGACCGCGCGCTTTCTCTCTCTCCGACGCGCCGCGGTCCGGAACGGCTCAAAATCGAAGCGCGTCGACGGCGTAAGCACCAGATTGAAGCGCCTTTCCACGCCGCGTCGCCGACCTGGCAGCACGTCCGCACGTCGTCGTAATCCGACAGGTCAATGTCGAAGACCAACTCCCTCGATTCGGGCCGGAAGTTCTTCACGCTCAAATGATCTCGGGGCACGCAGTTAAACACGGCGCCGATGTCGATCTTGTGCGGCTGGCGCTTCGTCATCAACGTCTTCATTTCCTTCGCGTTCGTGAAGCACTGGTAGCGGATGTAGACGTCGTCGGCCAACGTGAGCGAGAGCTCCCTTCGCGCTAGTTGGGAGCCCGTGCCCGGCTCGTCGCTGTTGTACGCCATCCACTTACACCACTGGTCGTACGGGAAGAGGCGCGCGTAGTACAATCGTAATAAGTCGGGGTCGAACTGGGGGCCCGAGGCCCAGCCGGCGCCCGGTTGATCGAGGTCCATGGCGGACATTTTCGGTTTTGCGCGCTGCTGCGGCGTCTGTGGGCTGAGCGCGGCACAGTTGTGAATGCGGGGCGTAGGGCGCGTTTCGCGGCGCGGATGCGCGGCGCGGCGTCGGAGCGCTGCGCAGCTATACAATGCAGGCTCGCTGCGTCGAGCGCGGGCGAGAGTGGCGAGCGGAACCGGTCCCGCTTTTCAAACTCGACTAATCCCAGTTAAACCTAGCGTATCGACACATACTAGTACGAGCGGGAGGGGTACGTGGGACCCCGCGACGTAATTAGCCTGAGCCTGAGCTCTCCCCGGAGCGCTCGCCGGCGGGGGGCGGTAGATGCTGTCGACGCCGGGCGCGCCCACGGCGGCCAGAGCGGAGATTAAGGGAGATTTGACTATTCTGGCATAGTAAACTATTGAAAAGCTTTTGAAAACCGGGAAGGGTTTTTGAAAAAACTCAGGGCTCCGGGGGCTTGCACTCCCTCCTATAACGCGCGGTCGCGCGGCGGCGCGGCGGCGAGCCACGGGCCTGTCTTCGGCGAACGAAGCGCCATGCAGTCGTATGAGTATCGTTCGGTTCGCTCATGGTCCAAAGAGGTCAATGGGACACTTACTGAGGGGCGAAAAAATTAATTTTTTTAATTCGCGATATTGACGGTCCCGCCATGACCGTCGCGTCGATGGAATCCAGTCGATTTGCGGCCAGCAGGTCTCCCTGGGGTCGCCTAGGGTCGGTGTTAGTCGCGTGCAATCGCCTACGCCGCGTACGCGGGCGCTTCCATCGGTGGATACATATCAGTACAGGTCCTCAGCCACACATCTGTCTCCAGCCCAAGTCTCCAATGTTTTGGATCCAGAGCTCTCCGGAGAGCCCCAAGAACCGGCGCATGCGGTCTAGGCGACTACCCGACCCTAGACCTATCCCAGAGAGAGTCCGCGAGCCGATCTGCATCCGAAAAAAGTAAATTATTTGGGCCCGATGGCACCCCGTCACCGTCAAATACGCAATTACCCGAGGGCCCCCAGTAGTCGCCGTAGCGGTCTCGGTGGGTCCCATACTACCCCACCGATAGTCAATTACAAGTATATGCCATCTACATTATAAGAAGGGTACTTTTGGCTGCCCGCGCTCGGGACGTGAACATCTTTATCTGGACCTCGCGTAAGTCCGTCGATCATGAAACAAATGATCGCGTTATGGTCCATGGTGAAGGTACACGGGCTGATGGTCGTAGGTCCAGGCAAAAAATCCATCTGAGCGAGATCTTGGGGCGCGCAGTGGCCGAGCCGCCGGGAGCCTTCGGAAGAGATAATTCAATGTAGTACATGTTCATCCCGGTAGGATGGCCCGTCCCATAACCGAACCGCCTGAAACGCGAATTTATTTCACAACTCACCGGTCTGGGGCCAATTCAGTGCCCCGCGTACGCACCGTCGTCCGCGGAGAACGGGCAAGTCGGTCGATCGTGAATAGAACAACGGCGTTATGGTCCATCTGGATGGTGTCGTCGCTGATACTCGCAGATTCAGGATTCTAGCTCGTTTTGGTACAAACGTGTGGTCGCGAAGATGACGAATCGCGAGGCTCTAACGGAGCCCCTAATGTAGATGAGTACGTGTTCATCCGGCCTAAATGGACTCTCCCATCAACAAACGGAAGGAAACGAACATAAACGCGAGAGTTGTCTAGTAGAATTCTTCTCCCGCCCTCCGAGCGCGGGCCGTCGGCTCCGGTTCCGTCGATTGTGTATGAAAACTGGGCTGGAGTTGATATGATGTACCATTTGGACGGTAGAAGGCGGCGTCAATCGCTGGTGTATTTTGGCGAGCCGCAAGACCTAGTGATCTAGCGTATCGACACACTAGGAATCCGTATATATATATATATATGTATGTATATATAAATATATATAGTATACATGTATACAGGCCTTGGCGGATGGCTTTTGAAAACAGACCTCTCCGACTGACCCCCGAATAGTGAAGTTCAACCGGTAATCTCCGCTCTGGCCGCGTCGTCGAGCGAACCCTCCGGAACCGCTTGCCGGCGATCTCGTCGGCGCACACGCCCGCCAGCCGATCGACGTACGCGCGGGCCACCGCTAAAAAAAAGAAAAACACAGAGACTATTACGAAGCGTACCACGAGAACGACCCCGGCCCGCGCTGACCGACGTCGGGCGGCGGCGCCCCGATGTTATGAGTCCGCACTGTCCGCGGCGCTCGTCGAGGCTCCCGATCCCTCCCCGCCGCGCCCCTATTGTCGCCGTCCACACTTATTGAAGGACCGTCCGTGCCGCCCCGATGTAACAAGAACAATTCGGTAGCGTCCTCTATAAGTGATTGAGGCGCGTGGACGCCGCACGGGTGGCCGTTGCACTTATCTAGTAATCGCACCACTTTCGCGACGGACTCCCCGTCGGACACATCTAGAGGTTCATAACACACCAACGAGAAGTCATCGACCAACTCGCAGATCTTCCCTGAGAGTTTTTGCAGTTGTCGAGCATAAGCTGACGGTTCCTCTTCGACATTATCCTCATCTAGGCTACAAGGCTGCACGCCGCAGAACGGCGCGATGCGATGCAGCTCCTGGGCCTCTCTAAAAAATTCGAGGGGCATGGCCAGGTCATATCTATTAGCCATGTCCATCTTGGTCAAGATATTGATATGCGGTAGTTCCAACCGCAGCATCGCCGTCAATGAGAGTAAACAGGCAGCAACATAAGAAGTAGGCACGGCGCACTGGGCGACGTCCACCAAGTGGGCCGCCGTGAACCGCGCGTCGAATTCTCTTCTGACATCATCGAGGATGCCTCTTAGTGAATGGTCGTGGACGTAGAGTTCCGTCTGCCCCGGACAGTCAAACACCACATAAGGAAAGCAGTCGTCCTCCTCCAAACTTGTAATTTGATCCTTCAACCAATTGCTCTTCCACAGCTGTTCTAGACAATACCGCAAGGCACCATTCGGGCCCAGCTTCTGGTCTTTCATCACAGCATCAACACTCACGAAGTCCCTTACATCAATAGCGAACTTCGTTAATCCTTCGCCTTCACACGCGGGATCCAAGTTGACGAGCGCGCAGGGCCGCTCCGCTAACGACAAGTAGCGGCACAGGCCCGCGCAGAAGGTCGACTTGCCCGCGCCGGGCGGGCCGACGACGACGGCGCCGTATAAAGGCATCGCTGGCGTGCAGCGCGGCGGCGGCGCGGCGGCTGGATGGCTGCTTGCTGGTGCTTTGGTGCTGCGCGATGCGAGAATCCGACGCAGCGCCGCTCGTAGTTTGTTGGGAAGCGATAGATGCTGTCGCTGGCCTTCGTGTGCCGCCAAACTGGATCAATTTGGCGAAATTTGTCCTGGGCTTTTGCTTGCTAGTGTGTTACGGCCGCTAGCTGCGGGTCGTTGCGCATCCGCCGCTTTAGGGCCTCATTGCGCCTTAAAAACACGTGCGCGTGACGTAATTTGTCAACGCGTCGGTGCCTTACACGACTGAGGTGTCCTAGGGCCAGCGCGAGACCCCGTCAACGCGTACAGAGGCTAACAGCCCAACGTGCGCTGTGCGAGACGGCGAAGTACTCGCCGCCGCCGCCCGCCGTCGAGGCCCCGGCGCGGCGCGAACGTTTGGAAGGCCAAGCGTCGCCGCGCCGCCGGTCCGCCAAGACACCGATGATGGCGCCTGTACAAAGCGAGCCGCCGCGCGAGCGTAAAAGGATGGGCCTCTACGCCGCCGCGGGCGCCGTATTGATCGGGCTGGCCGTCATGATCGGCGCGCGGTCGTCTTCATCTCGGTTGGACGCGCTCGAACGGCGGGCCGCGGCGACGCAGCGCGAACTGGACCGGACGAAGCATAAGTTGGAGGAGACGACGAAAGCATTTGAGGCCTATCGGGAGCAGCACGCGATCGTCGTGACGGACGAGTCATTACAAGAAGAGGTGCGCCGCGCGCTCGACGTGGTGGCCAAAACTACGAAGGCGAGCGAAGCTAGGCAGAACGCGACCGCCGAATTACTCGTGAGAACGGTCCACGCGGACGTCGATCGGCAGACTGCTGCTGATGAACAAAAAACATCTCTGATAATTGAGCGGCATAACACTGATTGGATACAGCGGGCACAGCAGTTCAATTTATCATTGGATACCGCGCAGAGGGAGATGCTCGCCGCCTCACAACAAGCTACGCAGTCATCAATCGCGTTAATCGCCGACGCCGCCACTTCCGCACTGATCAAAGCCCAAAGGGCCCAGAACGCGTCTGAGAGCGCTTCCCAGAGCTCCGCCAAGGCGGCTCTAAGGTTGCAAGCGGCCGCTGATAAAGCTGATAAGCTCGCATCACGTTTAGAAAAAGGTCTGTACGAATCCATAAACCGCACGGCCCTCAAGGCCATTCATCAGTTGAACGAAGAGGAAAAACGCCACGAAATACGACTGGCCCAGTCGACCAAGGACTTGGAGACGGCGGCGCAGACGATAACAGCTCGCGTGGCCGCTTCGGAGGCTGAGGTGAAGAGAAACGAAGAAAGAAATGACTCTAGATTCATGCACCAGAACACGTTGTTGAGGGTCTGGATTTCGGGTTTCTTCGCGTTGTTCGCCACCATCCTCACATTACGACATGTGTATGCTCATGCGACGCAGATGGCGCGGCCGGACGCGCAAAGGAAAGTACTAGCTATCCTCTGGATGGTTCCCATCTACGCGCTGTGTAGTTGGATGGCGATTGTCTTGCCTAATGCCGCTACGAAAATACTACTCGTCAGCAGTGTTTATGAGGCCTATTGCGTCCACATGTTTTTTTCATTTTTAGTGGCGGTGCTGGGGAACGGTCATGGCGAGGCTGCCGCTCTTGATGAGTTACCGGCTACCTTGGAAGCTCCCTGTTCTCTATGTGGGCGATTACGAGTACCCGGTAGGACGTTCCTCGAACAGTGCAAGCTCGGCACGCTCCAATTCGTGGTAGCAAAACCTGTCCTATCTCTGCTCGACTATTTACTAGATGACGGCTCCGAACTCATCGATTATCGAACGGCGTCCTTCTGGATTTTAGTTTTACTGAATGTCTCCGTGTCAGTAGCGTTGACCGCTCTACTAAAATTCTTCCACGCCACCCATCTCAGTCCGAGGTTAAGAGCTTATCGGCCGTGGCCGAAGTTCCTTGCGGTGAAAGGCGTGGTGTTCATGACGTGGTTCCAGGGCGTGGCCATCCAATTAGCCGTTAGGTTCGACGTCCTTGGCAGTAGTACGAACTTGTCTGATAGAAGTGCAGCTCTCGCGTTCCAGAATTTTCTCGTTTGTGTGGAAATGTTCCTGGCGGCTTTGGCACATGCCCACATCTTCGGCGCCGACGAGTGGCAGCCTGATTATGTCCCCGTCCATCTGCACGCGTCCGTCGCCGATAACTTGGCCATCGACGACTTCGTGAAGGACTTTCGCTCAGTGCTCCCTAAAAGATTGAGGAGGTTGCGGCGGCCGCCGGCCGAAGCTGTCGAGGAGGGCGTCGAGGTGTCTCCCCCTCCAGTCGAGCCGTTGTCGCCGGACCCGTTGCTCAGGGCGCGCTCGTCGGGCTCCGAGGGGTAAGCAGTTGTGTTGTGGACTTCGTGTCTTCTTCTCCTCCGCCCGTGTGCTAGCGCACGGGTCCGTCATGTCGCCCTCTTCGTGATCATCAGAGAGTCTACGCGTCTCGCGCGGGAGCCGCGGCCGTGTTGCGACGCTGTCGTCGGTCGCATTTGTTGTTGCGGTGCTCGAGGACTAGTGCGCGGAGCCCCACGCTTCGATACATCTGCGGCGCCGCGGCGCTTTGAATGCAGTGCGGGGTGTGCCACAGCGCTCTCTGAGAGCGTCCTTGAAAGGCAGCCCAAACTGGCCCCGTCCGGACGGCAACGCGCGGGAGAGCAGCCAGAGCGCCCCCGAGCCGCCCTCGACGCGTAGCGCCCTCGACGCGTAGCGCCCTCGACGCGTAGCGCCGGTGCTCAGGAGGCAAAACCGAGAGCGGGCAGCCCCACGCCATCGACGAGCCGCGAGGAATCCGGCATCGCGCGACAAGCATGAACCTCGCCTACCACGTGCCCGTCCCGACGCACTCCGGCGCCGCGCGCAAGCACGAATTACGGGAGGCGGCGCGCGTCGTCGAGGCCGCGGCCCACGGCGTCGTGAGACAGAGGCGGCGCCTCGCGGCCGACCGCGGCCGCATGCTGCACACGTCGACGTACGCCCATCTTTTTCGAGACCACACGCGGACACAAACGCCGCCTCCTTCAGTACGTGGCAACGACTTCACGTCGCACAAACTCATGAAGGAGTGCATGGGGCGGCATACGAGAATAGTCGCGCCGCGCCAGTTCGGCCCGGCACCGACGGCGTCTTCACAGTACGGGAGGCCCTGGTTCTCGCCAGTACGCCCGATCACGCCGCCGCCTCCGGAATTACTCCAGTCGCGGGCGGCGCGCGCGTGGTTGGGGAGGGGCCGCCGCTGCTGCCGCGAGACGGCCCACGTCCAGAAGCAACTTGAGACGCGCTACGCGCCGCTGCGCGGCGGCTTGGATGGCGCGACGCAGTGGCACCACAACAGCCACATGGCGGACCCGCCCGCGCTCGCCCAGGGGCTCGCCCAGTCGTCGCGGAGCCTCTGGTAGTAACAGACTATGTGATCAATCAGGGCTCGACTCTACCCAGACGGGAAGGAGGGATACAGGGGAGGAGCGACAGGCTTGTGGTAGGCGACCCCTCACGCGAGGACGCAGCAGCCGACGCGCACCCCGGGCGCCTCCGACGGGTCGTCGCTGGTCGGGTTGCCGCCCTTGTGGACGATCACGGCGTGGCCCTTGACGCCGCAGTCCGCCGGGTCGTCGCTACCCCCCAGCACCGCCGCCAGCACCGGCGGCAACTCCTCCACGCGCGCGCCCGGCACCGCGCCGATTGGCAACGCATCGCCGGGCTGCAGCACGACCAGCGCCGCGGCGTTGATGCAGTAGTAGTCTTCCGACACGCGGTGGCCGAGGTGGGCTCCGGACCGAGCGCAGAGGCACTCGAAGGCTGTGTCGCCGTCCGGTTTTAATACGACGTGGTCCGGCGCGATCGGTCGCCGGAACGCGGGCCAGCCCGAGGTCAGGTCCAATGCGTCCTCAGATGAAAACACGGGCAGGCCTCCCAGCGCCGTCGCGAAGATCGCCGGTCGTTTCTCGCGGAAAATTGGCCGCAGCTGCTCGAAGTAGAGGCCGCACGCGGTCTCGCCCTGGTTCGCCGGCTCCGTGCCGCCGGCAAGAACGTCGCGCGAGAGCGGCGGCAGCGCGCCGAGGTCATCCTCGACGGCGCGCGAGAGGTCGTAGCCCAGCGATGACGTCGCGGCGCGCCGCGACGATGCGCGCGGCCTGGGGTTCGGGTAAGGCCGCAGCGCCGACGCGGCCAACGCCATCAGCATCAGCGGAAGACGCATCAGTGGGCTCACTCGTCCTTCTTCGCCTTCTTCCTGGCCTCCGCCGCGGCGAGCTCTTTCTGGTACTGCGCCGACGAGTTCAGGAACGTGCTCAGCACCGAGACGAAGAAGAAGACAAAAACGAAGAGGAGGCACGCCGCTACATAAGGGTGGTCTTCGGCCGTCTTGGGCTCCTCGTAGTTTATTTTGTCAAAACGCCGGCGGATGGCCTCGGCGTCCGGCATCGCAAGGCTGGTGGTGGTCTGATTGCTGCCGCGGCGCGTCGATGGCGTTTTGCTGGCCACTTCTCTGCAAGGCAGAAATCTGAGATGCTGCGGCGACGCGTCGATGGCGTTATGCTGGCCGCGTCCTTGCAAGCGCGGGTCCGAAGACGCAGCGATGCGCTCAAGGCAGCGATTTCTAAGCTCGCGTTTTTAAGCTGCGCCCGCGGCCCGGTAAGGTATCGGTAAAGTACCTCATACCTCGGTGGTAGGCCTGGTCCGCGCAGGCTGAAAAAAAGCCGCACAAGCAAGATAGCAGACACATCTTAGACGAGGCACAGGGGTCTACAAGGGGAGGAACAGGGGGAGGGGATATGTTGTTCTAGAAGCCGTCGAGGACGTGCGCGCCGTCCCAGCCGGCCGGCGGCGCGTTGTTGTAACGCGCCATGACAGACAGGAGGTAGGCGGCGGGCCCGTCGCCCGGCTTGAGGCGGGCCGCCTCCGCAAACATCTTTCGCGCCAGAGCCCAGTCGCCTTTCAAAAACGCCTCGTAGCCCTGCTTCCACGTCGACCGGAACAAGGGGTGGAGCGACGCCTGCACCTTCAAGACGTCGGCGTGGGCCCAGTCCACGAAGTCGCCCTTCGAATCTTCGGCGTCGCAGAACTGGCGCCCAAAGTTCGACACCCTGTCGGTAACATCTAACGCAAACACGTCGAAGGGAGAGGACACGCCGTCGGCTTTTAAGCGCGCCACCGGTCTAGTTACGGCAGATAATGACGGTGAGGCCAAGTTCCGCAGCCAATGCGACAAATTGAGGGGCGTGCCAAAGACCTTCGACGCGGCCTCGAGCCGATCACTCATCTCCACATGCGGACTTAGATAAGTGGCATCAATCTTCAAAGACGAACCAATAGCGCCCTCGACGGCCCAGCCCACGTGCATGCCGAAGCCCATTTTGACGGCGAACCCATTCCCGAACCGTTGTTGCACGGACGGCCGTTGAGAGTACTCCCGGAGCTCGCCCTCGCGATTCGCCTCTTCCAAATCTAATTGGCATCTTAAAAATGAACAGATGGCCGCGTCGGCCAATTGAGATGGAGACACTTTCCGCCCCTTGCCGATCGAGCACTTTATATCTTGATTAGCCTTCAATCTCTGTTCTTCCGACGCTTGATCGTCAAAGGACGAAAAACCACTTAGTTCGCCATCGCACAATTTCCACGACACCAAGAAGGCGTCGCCGACATTTTTGTTCGCGGCACCGAAATAACTGTGAGCAGAGCCGTGCACTAAACTACCAAGTCGATTCACGTAGGCCATGACGTCCTCCTGCAGGCACTCCGTCGTGTCCGTGAACCGCCGAATGTCACAAAAGCCGTAGATGGCCGTTATTTTTTTACCCGGCACCATCGGATTCAAGGACGAGTGCACGGCCATGTTCTTCCCGATGATTTCGGCTCCGGCGGCCCCAAACCCCACTTGTAATAACTCGCCGACTCGCTCCAGCGTCTGTTCCAACAATACGGTCTCGTAGCCTTGGTCCCTCACCTTTTTGTCGTCATCATAGGTGAGGTCTAGGTGTGTAGCACCTAATGGATTTTCTGACAGTTTCTCGACGAGAGCCATCATCCGCTCGATGGGACCGATGACATAGACCTGGGCGTCGGCGTTGAAGGCTACACTGCCACCCACAATGAGGAGCATAATCACAAAGGTCTTCACTAATTGCAGACCAGCCAACAGTCTAGTTTGCGACCGTAAGGAGAAAGCCGCCGTACTGACACAAGTGGGCTGCTCCATTTTTGAACGATAATCATCAAACTTCTCGGCCGGTTTCTTGCAGTTCCCATGCACATCACATCGCGCGCCGCGGCCCAACGCGCCGCCTGCTGTTGATTCGGATATCTTCGTCGGTTCTCTCGTAAGGAAACCATCCATGATCTGTGCTGAGGCATTATAACAACCGACAACACTTGCTACAAAGTACTCCATATCTCTATGCTTCAGGCGCTTCAATAACACGTTCCGCGCTCGCCTTCTCGCGCCGCTGACCCCCGGCTTGTCAAGCCCATTGACGGGGTTCGTCACTAATGAACTCCATTTCTGATCACCTTCGGTTAACCAGCTTCTCAGCTCAGAGTGTTCAAATACATTTATATGACCGTTGCTCCGGCACGACGACCATCTACCATCTGAAGGTTGGGGTTCGCACACTTCGAGGTAGGCTAGAGGATAGCCCAATTCGTACGACTCCCTTCCATAGAACCGGACCTGCTCCCGGAAGTCTTCCACAGAAATACCTCCACTAAAGTTGTATGCCTGCGGGTACTGGTGGAGATGCTTGAGGAAGTCGTGCTGGAAGTTGTGCGCGTTGTCCAATAACGAATCCGTATACAACCAGGGCAGCACCAATATCATGGACAGCATCATGCTTATTAACCTTACGGTTTGTCTCTCAGTTAATTTTTTGCCGACAGAAGAAGGCTCCAATGAAGAATCATCTCTGCGTAGCTCGTCGACGTCGCCCGTCATCCTGTATAATTTGACGACGCGGACCATCCTTACTAAACGTACGATCCTAATTATTTTTGTCGCTTTGGTACCGACCCTTCCAGCCTGCGTGGGTGACGCGTGAGGCTTCGATCCGAGGCTCTTGTACACTCTCTAACGGCCGCGGAGTGACGGGAATGCCGTGCGACGACGTCGAGGCGTCGCGGCGACGGCATCGCGGCGCGGTCCGAACGGCCCCGGAATCGAACGAACGTCGCAGAAAGGTCAGAAGATCGCACGAGGACGCCGCGCAAGACCTTGCCCGCCTTGAGCATCTCGGCGCTCTCGCCGCCGCTCCCACCGACTAGTATGGCGACCTCCGCCATCACCGCGGGAATCTCAGTAAGGATACTGAGAGTGGAAGCGAGGTCCACCCAAAAATAAAAGCCCCGGAAGTACCACGCGTAGGCGAAGCACTGCAGCACGATCTCGACGCCGAAGAAGATGATGCACATGATTGCGGCCACGACGAAGGCATCGTCCGCGGTGCTATCGGCCAGACACAGCTTCGCGTCGTCCCCAAATAAAGCGTAGAGCGTCAGCACGGTCATGAAGGTCATGAATTTTGAGGATTCGCAGACCGCCAGGGACCTCGCTCGTAGTTGCTCGAGGACGCGTTCTCTCTTCGTCGTCGGCGCGGCCTTGGACTGGCGCCGCTCCTCTCTTAATGTTTCGAGGTCGCTCCAGATCTTCGAGGAGCGGCGCCGCGCCTCGGCCTTTTGACTCTTGCGCGTCAGCGTCGCGCGCATCATCTTTGCCTATGTCCCTCCTGTGGTGTTCAGTCGTCGCGGGCGCGTCCGCGCGGCGTCGGCGCTGCGCGCGGGCGGGCGCGCGCCGTCGGGACCACGCGCGCTGCAACCGGCGCTGCGGTGGGCAGCCGTGCGCGTCGAATGCAAGGCGTCTCCCTGATCACATGTACCTTGTAGCAAGCTCGCCCCGCACGGTTGTTCGGGAGGGCGTGCTTGGCCTCGCGGCGCGGCGTGACGGCTATGAACGCAATTTCTACGCCTTTGGACCATCGCGTTCAAACTGCTAGTGTCTTACGGCGCTAGAGTTAATTTGGCGCGTCTTGTCAGTCGCTTTAGCTCGCCCATCGGTGCGCTGTGGAGGTGGCTGAGCACAGCAAAGTGCTGCGCTGCATTGCTGTCGCGCTGCGCGTGCGTAACCGCAGCGCTCAGTGTCCAGGAGGACCGGTCTCAAGCGCATTCGCCTCGCCGCGTACGCGCGCCGCAGCGATGGAACCCGCGGCGCCGCACCCGCCGACAGCGATGGAGACGGAGCCCACCAAGGTCTCCATCAAGACCATGAAGGAGGTCATTCGCAGCGCGGGTCTCGCGACGGCGGACCTCCTCGAGAAGCGGGACATCGAGGCGCGCTACAAACAAGCCCAGGCGCGGCTAGAAGAGGCCGAGCGGCTGGAGCGAGAGAAGAACCAGCCGAAGAAGAAGCGCCGCATTATTGAAGAGAGCAGCGACGACGACGACGACGGCGGCCGCGACTCGCTGATCCCCGAGGCGACGGGCAACAAGAAGAGCAACGTCGCGCCGTTCGCGAAGTTCGCGTACCAGGAGGAGGAAGAGGAACCCACGCCGTGGATGAGCAAGCCAAAGACCGACGCCGAAGTGCGGCGCAACGCGCGGAAGGGCGCGGCGCACCTGGCCCGGGAGAAGGCCTCGAAAACCAAAAAGCCCCCGCCGAAGAAGCGGCGCGGCGCCTTCGCCGAGGAGAGCGAGGAGGAAGAGGAAGAAGAAGCGGAGTACCTGGGCGACACGGACGACGATTCCGAGGAGGACGAGATGCAGTCGCTGCCGAGCGACTCGGGTTCTGACGTCGAGGTCGTTGCTGATGATAGGAAGTCGAAGCTGGACGCTCTCGCGGCGCGCAAGCGCGCGGGCAAGCCCCGGGAGCGGACGCCGCGCGTCGTGGTCCAGCCGCCGCGCGTGTCGCCCGAGATTATCGACGTCGAGCGCGAGCCGATTATTGATGTGGAGCGCGAGCAGCATGTAGACCTCGCGGGGGATTTGAGCGACGGTCACCGGACGTCGGATGATGAAGAGGAGGACGACGACGCGGCGCACAAAAGGGCTGAAAGATTATTAAGTGAGTGCGGCGCGTACGCGGCGAAGCTGATCACGGAGCTGAGGTCGGCCGGTCTAGCGTCGTCGACGCGGCACGGCGCGTTGTGTGCCGGCGAGATGGTCTCCTCCACTAGTTCCACAGATTTTAAGCCGCTGGACCAGAATGAGGTAAAACGGTGCTGCGGGCCGGACCTGAAGCTACGGCCGCACCAGATCGTCGGCGTGAACTGGTTGTTATTACTGGAGCGCGTCGGCGCGAACGGCGTCCTGGCCGACGACATGGGCCTGGGCAAGACGATCCAGACCATCGCTTATTTGGCGGCGTCAAGGGCGAGAAAACTGGCGCAGGACCCGGGCTACGACGGCCGGGACGTCGTCGTGGTGCCGGCGTCTACTTTAGGAAACTGGCAGCGCGAGTTTTCAAGATGGGCGCCCTACGAGAAGCGCGTCGTCGTCTACCACGGCTCGCAGCAAGAAAGAGCACACTTGCGGGCGGACCGCGACGTGCGAAACGCGCACGTCATCCTCACGACCTACACGTGGTGGGAGCGCGAGGCCTGCGAGGAGGACCGAGCCTTTTTTCGTAGTAACGCGCCCTGGGCCCACGTCGTATTAGATGAGGGTCACAACCTAAGGAACCCGGACGCGTCGCGGAGCCGCCACTTACGTCGGTTAGGGGCGCGGTCGCGGACCGTATTATCGGGCACGCCGATCATGAACCGGCCGCTCGATCTACTCTCTTTACTACTATTCCTGATGCCCGATCTATTTCGAGACTGCCGCGTGACGGACCGGCTCGAGGAGGTCATCGCGGCCATGGACTCGGTCGGAGGCGTGAAGAAACTAAGGGAGCTGCTGGCGCCGTTTTGTCTGCGGCGGGTGAAGCAGGACGTGCTGCAGTCGCTGCCGCCGAAGACGTCGCACATCAGGTCGGTCGAGCTCGATTCGAAACAGCGCAAGGCCTACCTCAGCGTCGTCGGGAAGACGAAGGAGTACGGCAGCGACCAGCACCTGTTCACGGCGCTGCGCAAGGCGGCGAACCATCCGTTATTACTCAAGCTCGACAAGTACACGGACGAGCAGCGCGCTCGCGTCGCCCGGGAGTGCGTCTACGCGGGCTTCTTCGGGGCCCAGGCCGACCTGAGCCGCGTCACGAGCGAACTTGAGAGTTACGATGACTTCAGCATCCACTGCATTTGTGCGGAGGCGTCGATGCCGGGGTTAAGGGACCTGTGCCTGAAGCCTGAAGTCTTGTACGAGTCGGCGAAGTTCAAGGAATTGAGGACGTTGCTGCCCGATTTGGTGCGGACGCAGGGCCGGCGCGTGCTGCTGTTCTCGCAGTGGACGCGGCTGCTGGATTTGATGGTCGAATTATGTAATGATCTGGACCTGGGCACGTGTCGGCTGGACGGCAACACGCCCATCGCGGAGCGCCAGGGCATGGTCGCCGCGTTCAACGACGGCACGTCGTCCGCGAAGATATTCCTGCTCTCGACGCGCGCGGGCGGCCTGGGCATCAACCTGACGGGCGCCGACGCCGTCGTGATCCACGACGTCGACTTTAATCCGGAGATCGACCGCCAGGCCGAAGACAGAGCGCACCGCATAGGACAGACGAAGCCCGTCGACGTGTACCGCCTCGTCGCGGAGGGAACGGTCGATAGGGACATCCTGGACCTGGCGGCGCGGAAGCGCGCCGTGAACGAGCGCGTCATGGCGTCGGGCGACCCACTAGACGAGGTCGGCGCCGAGGCGGCGCCCGACGCGGCGTCGGTCGCGGCCGCACTCTCGAAGGCGCTCGAGGAGTATAGGACGGCGAATGCCGAGGCGGACGACCTCGAGATCGGCCCGCAGAAGTCCGCCGAGGAGCTCCTCCGGGAGCGCGAGCGCCTCGCCGAGGCGCGCGGCGACGTCGTCGACGTCGGCGCGGACGACGCCGACGCCACGATGCCGCCGGTACCGGTCCCAGTGAAGCCCGAGGCCATCTCCAGTGAGTGAGGAGATATATCGGGAGGCGAGGCGCCATATCTATTATAGTAAGTAGTATACAGTATCTTCCTACGACTGCTCGCGGATGCGCCGCGCCGCCTCTTGCTTGGCCGCGCGGCCGGAGCCGGTCGCCGGCGGCGGCGCCTGCTCGGAATTCTGCTCGGGTGCCGCGGGCTGACCGAACCCGAGCATGGCGTAGGAGGCCGCCGGCGCGGCGCGCGCGTTGGGCGACCATACGGGGGCCTTCTTCGGCGCGGCACCGCGGGCGGGGGACGATCCCGGCGCCCGGACGGCCTGAAAGTCCGCGCGGTGGAAGACGCCCGGGTCGTCGATCCACTCGACCTCGTAGACGTCGCCGGCGTATGAGACGACGGCGTCCCACCACCCACCATCCTCGGGGTTGCCGGACTCGCTCCACCAGACCTCGACGCGCGTCCCGACCGGAAACGCCTCGTACTTCTCGCGGTATTGTACTGCGTCGGTGATCTCATCACTATCGGGCGAGAGCATCGTGATGACTTGACGTGTGTCGTACGTCTCGGGGCCGGTCCGCTCGTCCCAGGCGATGACGTAGTGGCCCGGCCTGCTGCAGCGCACGACGTCGCCGAAGTGCCATTCGGAATAGCACCACTCCGAGTAGGGCTTGCGCACCTCGCGGCCGACGAGGTTGTGCTTGTCTTGGGGCGGCTTGGCCTTGGGCGGTGCCTTTAAGCGGACGACCGTCTCGCCTTTGCCGTTGACGCGCGCGCCCAGGGGCGGCGGCGCGGCGTTGAGCACGTCCAGCAGGGTCGGCGACTTGACCGGGGTGTCGAGCGACATGCGCCTCGGGTCGGCGCCCGGCTCATCGAAGAACGACTGGAAGGCCCGGGCGAGGCCCGGCTCGTCCACGAAAATGTCTCCGACCTCCTGCGAGAGCAGTTGCGCGGCCGCCGCGTCGCGGGAGCTCGCCGCGTAGATGGATAGTGCCTTCGTGAAGCGCGAGTGCGCGACGGTGCCCTTGGGGTACCGCGCCTTGAGCGTCGCGATGAAATCGCCGGTGGTGCTGCTCTTTTCAGGCCGCGGCGTGCGCGGAGGCGCCGGGCTCACGATGCGGCTCCGCCTCACGGCCGGGAGCACGGTCACGGGCGGTGGTAGCTCGGCCGTCGAGTCTGATAATGAGCGAGATGTCTGCGGCGCGATGCTGACGCGCCGATCGGGGTCCCGCGCCATCGGCTCGCCGCCTAGCGCCTCTAGCGCCTCCATAATTTTCAATTGGCACAAAACCGCCGAGCACAATACGAGTTGTAAACGCCGCCGATTGAGGTCGTTTGCGCGGTCGCGTTTGTCAACGACGATTCAACGTCTCACGCCCACCGTAAGGTACGTATGCGCGCGCTCAAAAGTCGCAAAAGCGTGAAAAACCCGCAAGCTCCGCGCTGTGCTCGCATCTCCGCTATACCACCGGCACTCATCCATTATAATGGCACAATCTTATGGCACAGATACTACCTGGCGAGAGGAGGAGGGCCCCTCAGTCCGGCGTCAACCCCGCCGCGCGACCTTCGTCAGAGCGAGGAAGAGGCAGCCTCAACAGGCGTCACCTTGTGGACCTTCGCGACAGGCGTCGGCTCCGGCGTCGCCTTGCGCTTCGAGCGCGTCGCGGCCGGCTGCGTGAAACTCGCCGCGACGATGCAGGCCGTCGGCTTGGGTGTTACCCCAACGCGCCGCGAGGGCGGAGCCCTCGCCTCGCCCTCGCGGTCGGACTCCGTGCGGTACGCTCCACCGGCTTGAGCCAGTGCCAGGCAGCCCTGAAAGTACTTGGTGAGTTGTGGCTTCGATCGTATCACGTCCTGCATCGACGTGTAGTTCTTGCCGGCGACGTCGTAGTAGCAGGGAAAGGTCAGCGGCACCGAGATGTCGTAGTACGACTTTCCCGCCACCGGATTGCCGCAGCGGAAGCCGGCACCCACGAGCCGGCCGCGCATGCCCATGATGCCGTTCCGCGATCCCCCGACGGCGGCGAGTAGATCGGTGCAGACTGCGAGCCACGCCGAGGTCTCAGACGCGACGTGCGGCTTTGGCGCCGGCGCCAGCGGCGCGGCGCGCTTGGCCGCGGGCCGCGCCCCATTCACCACCTTGGCGACCATGTCGACGCCGAGGCGCGAGATGGCGCGCGGCCCCTTCCAGGCCACGGCCGCGGCCGACGGCGCTTCATCAGGAGACGAGACGTGGGCCACGACCCGGTCCAGCGTCTCGCGGACCTCGCGGGGCGGCCCCGAGGCCTTCTTCGCGGCGTTCTTCTCGCGGACCCCGTGCCAGGCGTTGAGCCGCTTGAGGAGCTTGGCGGCCTTGGGGTTCGGCTGCTTCGTCTTGATCTGGACGCCCGGCGGCGGCGCGGCGAAGAGCGTGTTCGCCAGGATCGTCGCGCGCGAGCCGTCGTCATAAACGACGTCGTACTTGCGCTGGTCGCCGTAGCCGCCGGTCTCTTTTAGTACTGTGGCGCCCCACCACTTCTGGACTGCGGTCCCTTGCGTCTCGAAGAGGGCCCACACTCTATTAGAATCCGCGTCGACCGGATTACTGAGTAGCCGTCGGTCCTTCGCAAAACATAACGTAGCCGTCCGCCCCGTAGCTTTGGCCGCGAGGCACCACTCGCGCGTGGCCGCGGGGGAGAGACCGTACACTATACCTGCTGAATTGGGCGAGCAGTACGTGCGCGCCACTTTATTATCGTGCGTCACCAGGACGACACTAATATCCTCTGTACTTGTATGGCAGGGGCACGTCTCGTCCTCTTCGAACGAACACTGCGGCTTTTCACAGGAGACGTTGAGAGCGCCGCACCTCCAATCATCCGGCAGCGACGCCGCGGCGACGCCCTTGGGCAACAAGCGCCACTTCTCGCACCGCGAGCACTGGGCCCACTCGGCCGGATTCACCAGAGGCGCCGGCGGCGGCGCCGGCGCCGGAGCTGTTCGGGGCTTCGCCACGTCGAGGTCCGCGCCCACGAGCCGCGCGAGCGCCGCTTTCAACGTAGGCACGTTCCGGCCCCGTCGTAATGCATCGAAGGCCGGGTCCCGGACGACCGCGTCCCAGTCCTCGCCCCCGTGCTTGTGGAGCGCCTGGAGGAGCCACTCGTCTGCATTTGGGTGAAGGGGCTCCAGCGCGCCGAGGCGCACGAAGGCGCCCACGATGTACTGAGTGGTTGGGCGGAAGTAGTTCTTCTGCCCGCGCCACGCGAGGCACGTCGGGTCGGCGACGGCCAGGATCACGGCCAGCAGGTCGACGTGCCGCGCGCTCTTTAGGCCGAGGCGCGTCATCAGTAAAGTTATTTTCCGGCTCGCCGCCTCGTAAGAAGAAGGTTCCTTGTGGTCGCCGCCGCCGATCTTGAAGAGCAGGAACGGCTGCCCCTGGTGGCCGATCGAACACACCATCGAGAGCGAGCCACAGTCGCAGCCGTTCAGCTTCTGGACGGCGCGCACCAACTGAAAGCGGCACGTCCGGGCTTCGAGCGTCACCTTGAGCCGCTCGTCGCTCTTCAGATCGAGGTCGTCGCGGTCAAACGGCGCGTCGTAGCGCGCCGTAACGATCCGCGCGCCCCGGGCCAGCTCCGCCGCCAAGAGAAACAACTCGTTCTTCGCCGCGGGTGTACAAGAAGGGAGCTCGGCCATCGCCGCCGCGATCGCCCGGGGCCGCTCGTAGTCGCCCTGGGGCGTGCCGAGGGCCACGCGCATCGCCGTCGCGAGCTTCGACGGTCGGTTCTCCACGGCCGCCAGGTGGCGGATGGACGCGGGCGGCGGCTGCTTCCGGCGGGCGCAGAGCGCCGCCGTCTCCGCGTCCAGCTCCCACCCGTCCGTCGGCCGCGGCGAGTTCGACCGCGACCCCATTTCGTGGCGCCCTGCTCCAATTCTCTGGATAGGCGACGTGGCCCGCTCGACGCGCGGCGGCCGGCGCACCGCGCTCATGCCCAGCGCCGCTCCATAAAATTCGTCGAAGGCCACCGCCAGGTCCGGGCTCGTGATGAAGCAGCACGACACCTCGCGCACGAGCAATTCCTTCGCCGCCGTAGTTTTAGGCCCCGCACCGTAGGCCGCCATGGCGATTTTGAAGTGCTCGTATATTCTTGTTCCTTTCGGGTAGCGTTCCTTGACCGCGTCGAGGAACGCTTGCGCGTCGGCGAACTTGGGCGCCGCCGGTTCCGGCTCGGCGTCGAGGCCGACGAGGGCGGCGAGGGCGCCCATCACTGCGGCTTCACTATCGCTGCGGTCGCGTGCGCGCGCGCGGCGACGATTGCAATGCACTAGTGCACTTCCCCTTTAGGCCGTCGGTGTGGCCTCAGCGCTCGACGAGGGCTCGTTCACAGCCGGGGAGTGCTTCGCACAAAGACTGGTTGGCGTTATCGGGCAGCGCACGGCCTCTAAAAGCCCCGCCGCCACAAGTCACAGCCGAGCTAGCGCTCGGTAAGACACTAGCGAGGTAATTCGCGCGATATCTCTTTACAGTCGTCTTCGCGATGCAAAGCCATCGCAAACGCCATAAGCACGCCCCCCCGTGCGGATACGAGAGGTTTACGCGCGCCGCGGCCGCTCGCGTTTGACCGCATCGCACTACACAACCGCACACATTACTCAGAGCCCTTCTTCTCGCGCCACGGCCGCGCGCCGCACGCCTCCGCGTCGCCGCTTTCGAGGCGCTTCAGGAGCGCCCCCAGCGCCGCGTCGCGGTCGCCTCCCTCCCTTCGCATCGCGCGCGTCCGCAGGCTGTTCTTGTTCTCGGAATGCACCGAAATTTTCGGGTTCCGCTCGGCGCAGGCCTCGATGCCCTTCGCGGGGTCGACTATCTCCAGATCGTCGCGCCGCAGGATCGCCGTCCGGTTCGCGAGCGCGAGTAACAAGGGAGGCTGCTGGAGGCCGCAGGTCCACAATTTCGAGCCGTCGCCCCGCGTCTGGCGCTTCAGCGCGTCGACGACTCTGTCCGCCACACCAAGCTCGCAGTACCGTTTTAATGAGGGCACGTGGAAGCAGTCGGCGCGCCACCGTCGCTGATCCAGGTCGTACAGAGTTTTACCTAATCGTTCATAAACATAAGGCAGGTCCTGGCGGAAGCCCTCGCTCCAGTTCGCGCCACTTAACCCCATCTTGCGCTCCCACTTCGTCGCGCCCGCTTGGACACAGCGCTTCCGCCGCCGCGCCAACGCGACCGCCGTATATTTTTCTGACGCTGCGTCGTAAAACTTCCCAAAATCCGAATCCGGCCAGGCGTCCGCGTCCAGGTAGACCGCTCGCGTCACGCCTAGCGGCAACAGGAACTGGTCGATGGCGTCCGGCGCGAGATTAAACAGGTTCACCAGATCCCCGCGGTTCGTGCAGTCTCCATGTTTCCGCGACTTGAAATCTAGTTCGGTAAGCCGGTAGATCTCGTCGAGCACGCGCGGCGATTTCACCAGTTCGATGGTGTTGACCGTGGCGAGGTTTTTTTTGCCTATTTCACAAGACGTCTCTTCCCGCTCATGCGTGAAGGTTGAACAGCCCTCGAAGTGCGACCCGAGCGCGAGTTTCGACGCGGCGCAGATCTGCTTCGAGGTTAATGGATGGCGGTGGAGGACGAAGAAGCGGTAACTTGCGTTCGTGCGCTCGTACGCCGCCCGCATGGCGCAGGCCACCATGGCCAGGTAGTAGGGCGCGTCGATGGCGAAGAAGAGGTCCACGGGCTGCGTCGTCGACGCGGCGCGGGCGGCGGCGGCCAGCAGGGCCCATGCTATGCCTCTATTCATCATCGGTTCCGGCGCATGGCTGCGAAGGGTGCAGCCGGAGGCTGCCCCGCTAATTTTTCGAGCGCTTCCGCGCCGCGCACGGCGTTTTTTTGCGCGTCGCGCCACGCTAGCGGCCGGTAACATACTAGCAATTTTTGTTCGACGAGCTCGGCGTTACGCGCACGTCAGCGCCGCGTGCACTGCGCAGAGGTTGCCAGCAGCCTAGGGGCAGCCAGGAGGGCAGCCCAGGATGGACGTCGACGCGTCGCTAGCCTTGGTCGAGGCGGCCGCCGCGAGCTTCGCCGCCTCCGTGCGAGCTTTGGAAAGCTGTGGCAGCCTGACGCCCGCGCAGCGGCAGCGGTTAAATGAAGCGAAGCGGAAAACGCAGGGCTCGGACGTCCCGGCCACGCCACAGACAACAATGAGTGAACCGCCGACGCCACAGACGCGACGCGAGCGCATGGCGTCTTGGCAGCAGCAGGCGTCGGCCAATAAGTCGCACCGGCACCTCTCGCGGTCTCTGAACTTCCAGTCCAAATTACGGCTCGTGGCAGACGCTCATGAAGAGGGTAGAAGCCCCGCCGTGCACTCGGCACTAAAAACGTTGGATAGACACCGCCACGACTTCGAAAGCTGGTGCTGCAAAAAGAAGAAACGTCGAAGAGTCAAAGTGCAACCGACGTCGATCATGCACGGCGAGAACGCGAGCCAAGCGATCCTGGAAATGACGGCCAAGCAGGAGGAGTACAACACCTCGAGCGAATGGGTGTTTGATCCGCAATCGAAGGAGCACGCGGCCTGGACGACGATTATTTTTTTGCTGGTTTGCTACACCATGGTCGTCGCTCCGATCGAGATGGCTTTTTACTCCAACAGGAAGGTTCCTGGATCACTCAAGTCGATCAACGTCGTTGTAGAATTATGCTTTGTGGTGGACTTGGGACTGGGCTTTGTGACTGGATATAGAAGAGGAGCAGAAGTAGTCATGGACTTGAGGCTGATCGCGCTGAACTACCTGAGAGGGTGGTTCTGGGTCGACTTTATTGCCTCGATACCTTTGGATACTTTGTCTGTATTGTTTGGGGACGACCAACTATGCATTGCGAAGATCTGCAAGTTCATCCAGATGCTGAAGATTTGTAAAGTGTTCCGCATGCTCAAGATGTTAAGGGTCAGGGACGTCGTCGACGAGACGATTGACTTAGGGTGGTTGACCCCTGGGACCTCGAAGATGCTTTCTATTGTTTTTATTTATTTTCTTGCCATGCACTTCATTGGGTGCGCATTCTGGGGCGTCGCCAGTAGGACGGAGAACGACTGGGGTGGTAGTGTCGCGATGCACCGGCGCTTCGCCCCGCCCGAAGCGCTCAAGGACGCGTCCGTCGGGCGGCAGATCCTGTTCGCGCTGCACTGGGCCGTGCTGGAGCGAGCCTCGGCGTTTTTGTTCCATCCAACCGCGAGGCCGAACCTCCTGCAGTCCGTCTTTCTGATTGGGGTGAAGATCGTGGCCATTGCTTTTATCGCGATCATCATCGGCCAGGTCAAGGCCGTCATGGAAGAGATCAGTTCTGACGACCCCGACAAGAAGGCCCAGCTCAAGGTGCTTGATAGGTACTTGGAGCGCCACGCCGTGCCCCAGGAGGCTCGAACGAAGGCACGAGCTCATTTAATCTTCATGCATAATCGATTACTGACGGCCAAGTACACGGGGTTGTTGGCGAAGCTACCGCCGCGCTTGAGGACGCACGTCGAGGCGGCGGCGCGCGTCCAGGTTTTGGGGAGATGTCGTACGTTCGCCCCGGCCAAGAAGACCATGGCCTTGTTAGCGGTGGCGCGCTGTATGAGGGATGAGCTCCACGGCCCCGGCGACCACGTTTTTGATCAAGGCGCGCCCGCGGACGGGCTGCGGGTGGTGGCGGACGGTCGGTTGTTCACCTTCCAGCGCGCGACGCCCTGGCCGAAGTTATTAGTGTTCTGCGGGAACAACGACGCGATTGGAGACGACTGCTGCCTCCATACGTCGGCCAAGGTGTGGCTCTACGGGTGCAGCGCGAAGAGCCACTCCCAGGTCTACTTCGTGCCCCTCGCGGACCTCCTGCATATTGTGGAGGAGTATGCTATATTCCGGACGGCGGCGACCGCGGCGGCGAAGCGGTCCTACGATCTATTGGTAAGGCAGGTCGCGGCGAAAGTCATTAGACCGAAGTTCCGCATGCTGCTGGCGCGGAAGCGACGGGGGCAGGCGGTGGAGACGTCTTAATTTTTGTAAGTTTTATTCGCTAGTACCGTGTCTGCCGCGTGCCGACCAGAGTGATAATCTAGTTTATCCCGGCGAGGTTACTGCGGTAATGCCAATAATAATGGCAAGGTATACCAGGTATACCATATAAGGTACCTACGGTACCACCATACCGTACCTCGTAGAAACCACGCCCGCGGCGCGAGCTTGCGTCTGTCCGCATCTCAAAGCGCCCGTCTGCCTGGGATAATACTTCTCTGAAGCCGTAAGAAACGCCTCCGACCGCCGACATTGGAAAACCCAGGGCTAGATATCTCACGATAAAAAAGGATGAAATAGCGCGCCGCATCGAGGAGGGCGGCCTGAGCGCCACGCCCACGCCGTCCGCCACGGACGCGACGGAGGCGAGCCCCTTCGGGCGCGTGCCCGGCTCCTGCGGCAAGGAAGCGACGGGGGCGAGCCCCTTCAAGCGCCTGACGGGCTACTTCTCGAAGGCGCCGGAGCCGGTCACGCCCGAGACGAAGCCGACGCCCGAGCCGTGCAACTGCCTCGTCGCGCTGCGCCTCGGCATCTTCTTCGTGGTCTACCCGGCGGTCATTGCGTACTTGTGGTTCTACTACATCCCGACGCGCTCGATCCCGAAGTAGTAGGCCCCGCGCGCGATCGCGACCCCCCCGCCCCAAGTACACGTGTATATACTTATAAACAACAAAACTAGCCGAGCACCTCCTTGACGCCCGGCGCGATCGCGTCCTTCACGAGGACGCAGATCGTCAATCTGGGGGCGACGGTCGCGCAGCGCGCGATCGCCCCGTCGAGGAACGCGCGGGGCCCTTCCCGGCGCAGGATCTGCCCCACGCAGTCGAACGCGCCGGCGTAGGCAAACGTACTGGGGTCGGTTCGGGCCACCTGCAGCCGCGTCTTCACCAGGTCCATCGGGTTTGTTAAAAAGCCCGCCGCAACGCCAGCGACCACGCCGCTGCCCAGGCCGTGGACACCGGCGTCCTTGCATGCCTCGTAGATGGCGAAGAACAGGCCGTTAAACGGGGCCCAGGTCGCCTGGTGGACCCAATACGCCGGGTAGAATCCCCGCAACCCTTCCCGCCGCAGGATCGTTCGGACCGCGTTCCAGGAGCCGCCGAGCTCGGCCTTGGACCCGCGCTTGAGCTGCCCTTCTACTTGCAGCCGTTCCTTCACCGTATCCATCGGCACCCAGCACAAGGACCCGCAGAGCTGCGCGACGCAGCCAGCCGCGAAACTGGCGGCCGCCGCGGGCAGGTGCGGCCGCAGCGCCTCGCGCGCCGTGTCGTTCCCCAGGAAGAACAGGCCCTGGGCTGGTGCCGCGGTCGCCACGACGACGCCGACGCCCTTGTAGAGCGCGCCGACGCCTTCTTTTGTTAAGATTCGCGTCAGGCCCTGCGCGACGCCGCCGTAGCGCGTGAGCGATGATGCCGAGGCGCCCTGCACCTGGAGCCTTGTCTTCACCGTGCCGAGCGGGTGCGTGGCGACGTCCGCGACGATGCCGGCTAGGCTGCCACTTAGCAAGGAGTCCATGCTGCCGCACTGCTGCACCGGTTGCAACCAAAGAGGTGGAGTCGCCGAGTGGAGAAGAATAGAGATCGGACCGAAACGTATCGCAGGCCGTGCGCAGCGTTTGGGCAGGACTTGCCATTCAAAGGAGGAAGCTTGCTAGTGCCTTACATGCCGCTAGCTCGGGGCTCACTAGTGCACTAAACTCTGTCGGCTTAGAGGATAATGCGCAGATCCGCCGCGCCTACGCTACGCGAACACCGGCGTCTTTGGCGGCCGGGTCGCGGACCTCTTGCGCATGACGCAGACCGCGTTGACCTCACAAAAAACGTCGGGCCGCACCGACCAAGGCAAGTTCACGACCTACTTCACGCGCGGCGTCGCGGGAGAGTCACGCCTCACGCTCGACTACTGCGCCGAGCTTGTGACGAACGCGTTTCGCTTAACGCCGTCGGCGCGCCGTAAGGACGCCCCGGAGGACTCGCTCCTCGCCGGCGGCTCGACGGCGTGCCTTTTGCACTTCAACGGCCCCTCGAAACACTTCTGGCGAACAAGACTAACGTAACTATCAAGATTTAACGAACAGGGGTGGCCTACTACCTACTGCAGGCCGATGATGAGCTCGAGGACCATGACCAGGATCAGGATCGCGATGCAGACGTACATGTAGAAGGTCTGGCCGCTCACGGCGACGTCTTCCGCGTGCTTCGTTTCCTCGCGGATGCCGGACGTCGTCTTGTCGACGTCGCCCTCCAACTGATCCAGCAAGCCCAGTTGTTGGCGGGTCTCGTCATGCATCGTCTCGCCGAGGTTCCGGATGCGGTCGACGCCGGCGCCGAGGCGCTCGAGCTGCGCGTCCTGGGCCGCGAGGCGCTCGCGGGCCGACATGGCTGTCGCGTCGGCCGCTGGTGCGGGCGCCGGAAGAGTGCTGCTGAGCTGCGCACTTGTGTGGCGCGCCTCCGGTCCGGCTGAGTCCGCGTGAGGCCGGCCGGGGAGGAACTCGTCAAAGCGCGTCCTCCTCGGGTGAATGCGTCTCCTGTCCGAATGAATGCGCCTAGTGTTTGGCCCGCGCGGACTGAGCATTATTTGGAGCTATCTAGCGGCCTGTAAGACACTAGCAAGCGCAGCGCCTCCTCACCCGCCGGTCCCCCACGCACTACATGCCAGTGAACGGACTGCTGGGACAAATCCAGCGACAAGTCGAGCGCTAGAGGACACGGTTGGGCTCAAGGTGTGTCGTTTGCGAAGGGCTGCCCGTTCGCCGCTGGGCTGGAGGGCAACCCAACAGGCAGCGAGGACCATGGCGGACCTAGCGACCGGCGAAATCGTGGCCGACGTCATCGATGGCGCCGTCGCGGAGTCGCAGGCCAAGGTGCCCAAGGCTGTCCCCGTCAAGGGCGACGAGAACGACCGCCAGGAGGCGGCCTTTCGATGGGCCCCCGAGGACATCCAACATTCGCAAGCGGAGAAGATCGATCGGTTGGAGCGCGAGGCAGCCGCGGCGATGCGGGACAACGAGCGGCTGCGCAAGCAGGTCGAGGTCGAGCGCGACGAGACCATCGCGGCGCTGCGGGACGCCGAGGCGCTCAGGGCAGCACTCAAAGACGCGAGCAACCGCATGGCGGACGCGCGCGCGCGGTCCGTGGCCGCCGACGCGGGCCGGGCCGCTGCGGAAGCTAGGGCGGCTTCTGCTAGAGCAGAAGCCTCTCGCGTCCGCGAGCGCACGACGCGGACGCGGGGCGACGCCGCGGCGGCGGCCGAGTTGGCGCGCGCCAAGGACGCGAAGGCCCAACGTTTACAAGCTGATTTAGATGCATTGCGGAAGCGCCACGACGCTTTGTTGGACTCGACGGTGCTGGCGGCGGGCGGCGGCCGCGTCGCGCAAGTGTTGCGGAGCAACGTCGGGCCCGCGTCGAAGCCCCTGGACAAAGTCGTGAAGCCGAAGCAGGAGCCGCCTCTTCAGAAGCAGGACGACGTCGCGGCGTTGCTATCTCGAGTCGGCGCGCTCGAGGGCCAGGTCCTGGCGCTGCGCACGGCGAAGAAGGCCGAGGCGCAAAAACCGCAACCGAGGCCGCCGCCGCCGGCCGACCCGGACCGGCCGGTGCCCCAGTCCAAGGCCCTGGGCGCGCTGGCCGTCGTCGTCGGCGAGCAGATGTCGACGGAAACAGATAGGTTGCGCGCGGAGAACGAGAGGTTGAGAGAGGAGATGGCGCGGCTCGTCCTCCGCGGCGTCCTGCCGCCGCCGCCGCGCGCGCCCGCGCCGCCCGCGGCCGCCCCGCCGCCGCGGCGCGAGCGGCCCGCGGGCTACTTCGCCGAGTCCTCGGACGACGAAGGTGGCGACCAGCAGGACGATGAGGACGAGGGCGTCGTGCTGCCGGAGCACGACGGCGAGCGGCCCTGGGAGTCGACGCCCGCGCCGACGCCGGCCGTCGTCGTGCGTCCGGCCGCGCCGACGCCCGCGGTCGCGCCGGCCGCGGCAGCTGCGCCGACGCCGGCCGTCGCGCCGGCGGCGGCCGCCGTGACGCCGGCCGTGCCCGCGCCCGCGCCGCCGGCGGAGAAGACGCGCGCCGCCGGCATGCCGCCCGTGGTGACGCCCGGGGACACGGTCGTCGTGCCCGCGTCCACGCCGGACGACGCCTTCGCGGCGCGCGTGCGGCCCGGCGACGCGGCGCTGCCGGCCGTCGCGGAGGCGCCCGCCGCCGAAGAGGCGTCCGGCGCGGAAGCCCCAGCGTCGGCAGTGGAACCACCGGCAGCTGAAGATCCGGCCCCCGCGCCTGCGGAGGAAGCGGATTCCGCTCAGGCGGCCCCCGCGCCGGAACCGCCCGCAGAGGCCGCGGAGCCGCCCGCGCCTTCGGAGGAGTCCAAGCCGGCCGTCGAGCCGCCAGCAGCGGAAGAGCCGTCCGCGCCGGAAACTGCAGCGCCGACGCCAGCCGCCGAGCCACCGGCAGCGGAAGAGGCGGCGCCCGCGCCCGCGGCGGAAGGGACGGCGCCGGCGCCCGCAGCAGAAGAAGCGGCCCCCGCGCCGGAACCGCCCGCGCCGGCACCCGCCAAGGCCGCAAAAGTGCCCGCGCCGGCCGCAAAGGCGCCGGCCCCGGCCGAGCCGACGCCCAAGAAGAAGAAGTCCATGTGGGGCAAACTCCGCGGCGCCGTGCGCGCCTCGCCCAAAAAGTCGCCAAAGACGCCCAAGGCGCCGGCGGCCGCGCCCGCCGCGGCGCCGGCGGCCGCGCCCGCCCCAGCCGCCTCCACAACCGAAAGCGCCGCGCCCGCCGCGCCGGCGCCCGCGGTCGCGCCGGCCGCAGCGCCCGCCGTGGACCATCGCGCCAGGCTCGTGGCCTTCTACGAGAAACACAACCCCGCCAAGCTCGACTCGATCGACGCGACGCTCGCGAAGTATGCCGGGAGGGAGTCGGAGCTCTTCGAGGCGCTGCGCGCGAAGTACGAGGCCCCTGCCGCCGTAGAGGAGAAAGACGACGCCCCGGCGCCTGCGGCTCCAGCCGCCGCTCCGGCGCCGGCGGCCGCGCCGAAGAAGACCGTGCCGCCGATCAAGGTCGAGCCGCCGTCGCCGTCGTCCGCCGGCAGCGCCCCTTCGTCGACGACGTCGCGCTCGACCACAGATCCTACGCCCAAGAAGAAGAAGTCCATGTGGGGCAAACTCCGCGGCGCCGTGCGGTCCTCGCCGCGGACGCCCAAGACGCCCAAGTCGCCGCCGCCCGACAAGCTCCAGGCGGCGGCGCGGCGGCGCAGCGCGCCCGGAGTGCGCCCCGGACAAGCTGCAATGCCGGCCGCCGCGCCAGAAGCCAAGGCTGTCGACGAGGCGCCCGCCACGGCACCGGCAGAGGCATCCGCGACATCGGAGGCTCCCGAGGGTGCCGCGGCCGCCGACGCGCCCGCCGCCGATGCCGCCGGGGATTCTACGGACCTCCCGGACGAGGACGCAGCGACTGCCCCCGAGCCCGCGGCGGCGGCGCCCGGCGCAGAGGTCGTGCGCGAGACGCCCCTCCAGCAAGAGGCTCCCGTCGAGGAGGAGTCGGCGGCGGTCCACCACAAGCACCACCACAAGGAGACGGCATCCGACGACGACGAGGCGCCGCCGCCGCCGCCGCCCAAGTCGGGCTCGCCCTTCGTCGAGGCCATCGCCAAGCGCCGCGAGAAGGAGGACGACTCGCCCACGACGCCCCAACCGAAGGCACGCGGCGACAAGCCTGTTGGGAGGCCCTACCGGCCCGACCCGACGCCGAGCCCGTCGCCCGAGCTCGAGGAGCTGACGCCGTTTGCCGCGCGGCGGCGGAGCCTGGGAGCGAGTCCGACGCCCACGAGGCGCTTCCTGCGGCGCGAGAGCTCGTTCAGCTTCGATCCCGGCGACGTGTCCAGTCCGCGGCGGCGGCACAGCGCCCTGCTCGGGCAGATGCGCGACGTCCTGTTCGACTCGCCGGCGGGGTCGCGGCAAGTGTCGAGGCAGTCGTCGTTCGCCGACGACGCCGACGCCTTTTTGAAAGCCAACTCATAAGGCTAAGAAAGTTAGTAGAGAGGGCTACTTGCGGCGCCCGCCGCCGCGGCGCCCGCGCGAGCGGCCCGAGGATTCGACGGGAACAGCTGGTGCCGGCCCGCGCGCGATCATCGCCGCCGTGGGCTTCGCCGACTTGCCCGACGGGCCCCGCACCTCGGCGCCGTGGTGGGCCCACCAGACGAGCGCGAAGGCCGACGGGTTCCGCGCCTTGGACATGTCGCACGTCGCCAAGGCCTGCCGCGAGATCTCGCGGTCGGCGTGGCGCAGCTCGTGCGCGCAGGACGCGTCCAATTTGTGGTCGCTGATGAATTGCTCCAGGTCCCTCATCAAAGGATCCTCGGGCTGTTTTTGGGGCGGCTTTTGTGGCGCGGGCGCGGGCGCCGCCCATTTCGGGGGCGAGGGCGCCGCCGCCGCCGCCGCGAACGACCCGGCTCGGGGCTTCGGCTCGGGCGGCGGGGGAGCGCCTCCGTTCACGCGCGGCGCGCTTAAAGAGGAAGGCGCCGCCAACGGCAAAACCGCGCCGTCGTCGCCGTCGCGCAGCTCCGCGAGCGCCGAGCGCTGCGGCTGGGGAGTCGCATTTAAACCAAGCGCGCCGAGCCCGGGCAGCAATGCCCCAAAATCGGCCGGCAGCTCGCCGCTCAAGCCTAGAGACCGCGGCGGCGGCTGCACCGGTGGAGCATCATCTAATAAAGATCGCAGGCCCCCTCCTAAAAAGAAGGCGTCCTGCGCCGGCGGTGCCAGGCCCGGTGGTGGCGGCGGCGGCGGCGGGGCCGGCGCCGGCGCCGGCGGCGCCGGCGGCCGCAGCGCCGCCACTATCCTACCGGCGTGCGCCGGCCGCAGGCCCATGTCCGTTAAATCGCGCTCGGAGCAGAGCTTTAACGTACCCAAGTCGAGGACCTCGCCCTGCCTTAATGTTTCGCCGCACGCCGCGGTCAATCCTAATCTGTCCAGTAATTTTGTGACCTCCGGGTGCAGACTGCTCGTCGTCTGTAAAGGTACTGTGGGAGGCGACGTCGGCGGCTTTGGCGGTGCGTCAAAGTACGTGCGCCAGGGCCGGGGCGCTGGCTTTCTTCGTAACTGAGACTCCGAGGCCCACCCGGGCAGAACACAAGCACTGTCGTCATTCAACACCTTGATAGCGGCATCACCAGTCCGTTCGTCGATGGCGACGCGCCAGCGCGGTCTATCGCCTTTGCTGGTTGCGGCGTCTATATCCAAGACGAGTTCCACTCTAGCTCCTAACGAAGGGAGCTGTCTAGGTGCCAGCCAGGCCTCGTGGCAGTAGACGTGCCGGTCCAGATCCCCTAACGCGATCCAGGCGTCTCTCCCACCAATAGATCGGTTTCTCGAGGGGGCTATGGCTGTGAGGACACCGTGGGCGGTCATACCCCTTGTGCGTCGATTCCCTTCGAGGTACTTCCGCTGTTTCGCTGCGTATGCCGCATCTTCTCGCAACCAAGCGCCGTCTCGTGCGACCCACAATGCCCCATCTCGATGGTGCGGCGTCGAATGCAGCGCCGCCCGGAACACGACGCGCTCGTGCAGCGCAGGTAAGGTGGGAGACAACTGCGACGACAGGTAGCACTCCAATTCCCCGTCGTGGTCCACGGCGATCCAGACGCCTCGGCCCGTCGTCGCTTTTTTGGACACGACGCCGACGACGAGCTGGCCGTCCTCAATCCTATTTTTCACATTGGATCTAGCAGGCGGCGCCGGCGCGCCCGCATACCTCTGCTCGAGCCACTCCTTGGGTGTCTGGTGCGGTGGGGGCTGCTTCGGTGGCTGCGGCTTCGGCTGCGGTTGTTTCGGTTGTTTCGGCGCCGGCTTGGGCGCCGGCTTCGAGGGCCGCCGCTCCTTCTTTTTTGTACTGACGGTGGACCAGCCGTCCGACATCGTCGTGTCGTGCCGCGGCGTCTAGAACGACGGCGGGGCCGACCGGTGCGCTGTGTGCGCTCGGTGCGCGCGCGCTGTCTTAACAGTACAGCGGCGGCGGCCGACCGGTACTCGCCGCGGTGCCGTATGAGTTCAGAGCCGCGCGCGCGGTCTGAACAGCCAGCTGCCCGACAGGACCTCGCAGCGATGTCGCGGAGTGTAAGCCACGGCTGAATTGTGCTTCTTAAGCACAATCTTGTGACCCAAACGTCACACAGCGTGCCGTACGCGGGAGGTTCTCAGCCCCGGGTTAAAAAATCGAGCTGCTGGCTAGTGTCTAACGCCGCTAGCTGCGCTGATCATTCCTCCTATACTTATCCCAAGCGTAGCGCGACCATCAGAGCTCCGACCGCTTCTTCCTCCGCTTCTTCGGCGCGCCGACGTCGTAGACCGCCCACCTTCGCACATACTCCTCGTCGGCTGAACGTTTCACGACGCCGTCGCAGCCGGCGTCGGCGCAGCCGCACGCGAAGGCGTCGTCGTCGGCGCACGGTCTAGCGCACCCTCCATCGTTGACGGCCGCGCCCGACGGTAAACTATCAAACGCAAACGCGTGGCCGTCGTCGCCGACGCGCGCGACGGCCACATAGCGCTTCTTTTGGGAGCGCGCGTGATTGAACGCGGCCGACGCCGACGCGCCCACCACACCACCACCATACACCTTCTCGGCAGGTAACTGGTCCTCCTTGCGATAACATCCCACATAAGTAAGCTTCTCGGTAGGGGGTATTTCACCCTTGCCCTCTCTGGCAGACATCTTCTCGTGGTACTTTTTGGTATATTCTTCACTATCTTTGTCGCGCGGGCCGCTGTTGAAGTCTTCCAATTGCCTAAAAGGCTTCCGCAGATCAATCAACCACCGCACGGCCGGCGGGTACTGGCCGGGGCAGTACCAAGAGCCAGGGGCATCACATAATAAGTTAGTGGCGTTCTTAACCCAGTTCTTCGACTTCTTCGAGACCTTCTTGATCTTGAAGATGCGCACCTTGCCGTACTTCGACTGGTAGACGGGCTCCCATCTCGAGGTGTTTAGTGCTGGTCTTCTGGGGTCATGCGTCGTCAGCTTATACAACAAAGAAGCCTCCATGGACGGCGTCGGTCGTCCACCCTGATAGAAGCCGAAGTGCTGGCACGTCGGGTCGTCCGGACAGAAGTGGTGATAAATCGAGTTCCCGATGCGAGCCATATGAGGGCTTTTAGCTAAGTCATCCCCACCACCGCCGGCCCACACGAGCACATAATCAGCCAAATGTTTCGCGATCTTGTGGGCCTGGTCCTCGGGAGAAGTTAAAATGTACCCAAGAGTAGCGATGTGCTCGTGGTTCCACGTATTTCCATCGGCCAGAGTAGTTCTCTCCCCGATGCCCGTGATCTGGTACCCGTAGTCCCACCAGGCCAAAATCCTAGAATCTTTCGGCGTGTGATCTCTCAACCACCAGTAGGCCTCCCGATAGTCGTCGACGATGATCTCCGTTCCGTCCCTCAGCCGAGCCTTGAACATGATGGACGGTTGCGATAAGCCTTCTGACAGTTCTTCGCAATATCCTAGAAAGTCTTTGTATTTTGGTTGTACGGTATATAAGGCGAAGTACAACGCTAGTGCGATCCTTGCGATACATACGACCGGGTGGCGGTACGTCCCTGCTAGTCCGCGTCTGATTTTGACGGGGAGCTTCTCCTTCTTCCTCGTAGGCTTCTGTTTTTGACCGGGGAAGAACCTCGCCACGAGCGCTTGGACAGAGAAGAGAATGCCATGATCAAAGGCCGCACCTAAGGCAACGCCTACTAACGCCGACGCGATGGGCCCGGCCAGGATCATGAGGCGCGCCATTTTATTCGCGAAGTGGTAGGCGATGCCGAAGTAGATCCATAATAAAGGCGTGGCGTCCGAGACCCTTAGTAATGATAACCCTAACCCGTATGGTACCAGATCATACGCGTGGCTCAAATATTGGGTGTAGGCCTGCTTGCTCGTGGGCTGGTGCTCCGCTACGGAATCGACGAGAGGGTTTCCTGTCCTAGTGTGCTTCACGAAGAGACCTCGCACCCGACTCGAGGGCGGCCCGAAGTAGCCTCTTGGATATAATATGAAGCCGATACCCAGCAATACCGCTACTAACACGAGACCATGTGCCGCAAGGACGAGGAGCCCTTTCACCATACCACACTCGTTTTTACGGATGTAAGCCACGGCGCGAGCCTGGACCTGCAACCCCACAAATACTAGTAGAGGCGGCAATAGCTCCATATCTTTCAAGGGACGCCACCCTACCACAGGTACTAAGATAGCACCGATAGTACCGACCACATAGAACAAAGAGTAGGCCACGCGTAACTTCTCCGTATATCTACCTACCACCGCGAGACAAAAAGCATGACATCCAACCGCATTAACCACAAAGGTGAACCCGCCCCACGCCGCGACCATGTAGGCATAGGCTAAGCCCGCTAAGACGCCATATATATAAGTATGTTTCGACGCTTCGTAGGGACCTGTGTGGAAATCAAATTTTACGGCGCGATCATGCTGAATCGTCGTCTACCTGCACGCCATCGATGCGACGCCTGCTCGATGGCGTGGCGATGCCGGTTCCTCACCGCATGCGCCCGATGCATTGGTTGATTTCCACACAGGTAGGGACCCCGCAGCGATCGACACCACAGGTAGAACGTCGCGCACATGGCCGTTAGGGCTATTGACTCATTATCGTAGCCGCCTCCCACAGACCTCATTAAGTGAGCAGGGACCGTGGCCATGCACAACGCCGCGCAGGCCGACGCCGCGTAGGAGTTCGTCGTTTCTAGGGTGAGTAATCCAAGAAAGACCGTGGCTAGCGCGCCGAACCACGCCGGGACCAAACAACAGACGTCGTTCAGCGAGATGGGCGCTTTCTTCACATGAGCGTACCATGTTAACAATCCAAGCTCCCGTAACCGCCCGAGGGCCTTCCAGATGAACACGGACGTCATCTGCATGCCCGGGTAGATCGTCGTGCCGACGGGTCTTCCGAGAGGGTACCAGGCCATGCGGTCGAACCACGTGAAGAACTTCCGCAGTCCATTCGCGGCGAGGTACTCCGTGGCTCGATAATTAAACCAGGGGTCGAACTCGTGGATCACATAACCGTAGGTCTTGATGGCATGTAAACGAATATCATAGGCCTTGCCGATGGCTACGGACATGGCGTAGAGCCACGCCGCGACCGTGACGATCGTTAATAAGCGCTTCGCCCGCGGCTGCGTCGGCGGCATCGGTTCCAACAGGTCGTCGACGCTGTTCGAGGGCTTGCCGCGCGGCATGGGCTCGTCGGCCGCGGCTTTCGCCGTGCGGCTGCGTGGCGGCATGGGCTCGTCGACGCGAGTGGTCTGGCTTTCGCCGCGCGGCGTCCCGGCTCGCTGCCACGCGTCGCGTCGCGGATTCGTGGATTCGGCTTTCGGGCGCAACGCGGCGCGTGAAAACGCAATGGGTTTGCACTCCCAGCGAGGGTGAGGCCGTGGCACGTCGCAGCGCCGTCGCGGGGTGCACAAAGGCAGCAATACGCTGGCTGCCGACCTCCGAGACCCGCTCTTGCTAGTGTCTTACATGACGCTAGCTGCAAGCTTTTTACACATTTGCCTAACGCTCCGCTGGTGGCGTAGAGCTACTCTGAGAACAGCGAGGCGCATCGCTGCTGACGCTGCGACCGAAAGTTGCGAGCAGCTGTGCCATGAAGCCTGCCCTACTATGGTTGCTGCTTGCCAGCACGGATGCGCTGCGCGTCGCGCCGCGGCGCGCGCCATTTGCCAGTACGGATGCGCTGCGTGCGCCGCCGAGGCTGCGCATAGCTTTGAGATCGGAGCCCGAGGAAGCCACGCCCGAGGTCGACACGACGGCCGTCGAGGCGCGGTCGCGCGCGCTGGCCGCGTCGAAGCTCTCCGTCGCGGCCGTCGTCGCGAGCGCGGTGCATAGCCCCGTCGCCGGCGGCGCCGCGGCGCGACTCGTCGCCGGCGCGGGCCTCGTGGCGGCCGCGCCGCTCGCCGCCACGGCCTTTGCCACGCTCGCCGACGGCGACGCGACGCGGCCGCTGCGGGCCGCGCTCGCCGCAGCCCACGCGTCCGCCGTGTATGCGGCGTGCCGGGCGGCGGGCGGCTTGACGCGCGGCGTGCTCGTCGCGACGCACGCCTACGCGCTTCTGGTGGCCGCGTGGCCCTTCGACGGGCCGGCCGCGGCGTGGAGCGAGGCGACGCGGCCGGAGCTCGACCGCCAGTGGGCGGCGATCGCGCTCGCGCTTGCGGGCGGCGCGGGCTACTGGCTGTATGCAAATGCCACGCCCCTTGTGCTCGCGCTGGCGCCCTGGGCCGGCGTCGGCGCCGCTGCGGCCGCGCAAAAGGCGCGCGCGCCGTCAAAGACCCTCGCCGCGGGCCTCTACGCGTCCGGCGCCGTCGCGTTCCTGGCGAGCGCGGTAGCCGCCGCGACGACGGGCGCGCGCGGCCTGGCGCCGTTCGCGACGCTGGCGACGTTCGCACTCGTCTGCGTGAAGGCTTAATCTACTGTTTTGTTACGCCACCGGTCCCGGTTGCTCTGCAGCGAGAGGATCGCTACGAGCGTCAGCGGCGTCCGCAGCGCGAGGTAGCAGCGCGGCGTCTGGCCGGCCACCCACGCGGCCGCGTCGACGGCGTAGGCCAGGCCGAGCCCGGCGCTCAGGGCGTCGAGCGACGTCGGCGCCGGCGTCGACGCGAGCGGCCACGCGATCAACGCCGGCGTCACGCCCCAGATCAACCGAAACGCCGTGACGCCGCGCGGCGCCGCTGTTGACGAGAGAGCCCAGCCCCAGTGCGGCGCGCCGAGGAAGGACAGGATCATGCATCCGTACGTGACTTGGAGTTCCGTCGCGTTGAGCGACGGCCGGCCGATGGCGCTTCGCAGCGGTTTCAGCAATGCGTCGAACGGCAGCACGAGCTGCACGGGCGCGCTCGTGGCCAGGAAGGGGATGAGGCCTCCGGCGCCGAGCGCTCCGGCTAAGGGTGGTGGGAAGAGGGACATTGGTGCTTCACTACGATCTGTGCTTAGCTCTGCCGCTCAGAGAGGCACGATGCTCTCCCAGAGCTGATTTCTTCAGTGCTGTACCTGAGACATGCACAACCGTGCCGCTCGATCGCTGTGGTCGTTGCAGTGCTGCGTAGCCCCAACTCTTGATTAGAACGAGCTCGCTGCGCTGGCAGCGCTTTGCCCAGGTTTGCTCGTTTTGCTAGTGTCTTACAGCACGCTAGCGACGCCAACGAAGACGCCGTCGCGCAGGCGCGAGGTTCTATATAGACTTCTTAGATAAATAGACTTGTTCTTGCTAAGGTTTGAATTGGCTTGGACATGAGTATGTTCACGAGAAGACGGGGACGGACTCCGGGACCTCGCCGGCGTAGCCGTACGGCTGGTAGAGCGCGAAGCCCGCCTGCTGGCCGCCGAAGGCCACGGGCGTGAAGACGCGCGGCGGCGGCGGCGGCGCGCGCTCCAGGACCTCGACCTTCGTCGCAGCCGAGCGGCCGCGTCGTTCCCCGATGACGAAGGAGACCTTGTCGCCCGCTCTTAACGGCTCCGTCACCTCGGAAGCGTGGACAAATAAATCGGTCGCGGCCGCCCCGGGCGCCTCGATGAAGCCGTAGTGTTTTTTTTCCGTGTACCACCGCACGACGCCCTCGTGGCGCTTCGTTGTATGAGAGCGCACGGCCTCCAAGAGCCCTTCCGCGTTGTCGACGGACATCTTGCGCGTCGTGGCCATGGCGATCCATTGGGCCTCGTAGTCGTTGAGGCAGGCGGTCGTCGCGCTCGTGGTCCTCGTGAGGATTTTGTTGGAGGCGTCGGTCGACGGGCTTAAGGGCGGCGGCGGCGGCGCCTCGACGGGCGAGGCGCTGCGCGAGGGCTCCGTGGACGACCCCGACCGGGAGTTCGGGCTGCGCTGGCGGCGCCGGCGCGGTCTTCTGCGTCTTTGATTGGGCAGGGGCGTCAGGACGGGCGGCGCGAAGCCGTAGGGCGCCGGCGCCGGCGCGCTGTAGGCCTGGGGCGGGTAGCCGTAGCGCTGCGGCAGCTGCGGCGTGAGGTTGGCGGTCTGTGGCAGCTGCGGCGTGAGGCCGGCGGTGTACTGTTGTTGCCCATATGACGTTGGTGGAGTTTGTGGGCGCTCCATGGTCCGGCGAACACCGGGTTCCAAAAAAAGTATCGCCTTGCAGCCTTGTCCAAAAAAGTTTTAGGCGTGCCGCGAAGCGCTGCTGCTTCGAGAGAGCGTCAGCGGGACCTGGTTGAACGTTTTGCACAACTTTTGGAAAAAGTCCGAGCCGAATAATGCTCTGTATGGACAGCTTTACCTGACGTGCGGCAAACGAGTAAGGAGACGAAGCTGACACCCAGCGAGCCGCTAATGGTTCAAAAAAAGCCAGACCGCAGATTTCAATCCGGAAGCGTCCCGTGGCCTTCTGCCAGCACCGCCTCGCTGCCTGGAAGCGGGGAAATGCGCCAAGGCTCCCGCGCGCTCCCCGCGTCTCACCTCAAGTTGGAGCAGCAGGCGACTCGAGTCAAAAACTCGCGCCACAAGACTCCTAGCAGCCCCTAAGAGCTAGCGCCGGACCATGGCTGTTAACGCGTCGGCTCCGCGGCGAGGCGAGGCAGCCTAGGCTCTAAGCAAAAGCAAACAAGCAACTCTAAGTTATGTTCAGCGAATTTACGACACCGCGCAGCAGCCCTCGCGCGGCGTCAGGTACGACGGCTCCGGCCCCCGACTATCGTCTCCAGGTAAATCAGGAGGCTCCTTGTACTTGCCGTTGCAACAGGCCCGGCCGCAGCAGCGCAGGCCCTCAGCTACGAGGGGCGCCGTCCAGCCCGCCCCACCTTTGGACGGCGGTCTCAGTCCTAATTCGAGGAGTCGGTCGGCACTTTCGTGCGCCGCGGGGAAGTACCTACAAGGCCCAGCGGAAGGGAAGCCGTAGTCGACAAACGTCGACCCGTCCTCGAAGTTCGCCGCGCCGAGTGGTCTTCGAGCATGTGAGAAATGCACTTCGGCCTTACATGGCGGCTCGATGTGGATCCATCTTGCTGAGTGTTTACCTAATGTGATCGCGGCTCGCGTGATCTTTTTACCTTGCAGTAAATTCCGGAATGCTTCGCAGGGCACGCCCTTCTCGAAGTCAATATCTGTACCATCAGGATGCAGTGCCAAAGGGTGATCATCACAAATGCGCACAACGGTCTCATGCGACCGCAGCCGCTCCACACTACACTCGCAGAAGATCTCGGACGTGAAGGTGCAGATCATGTTCGCATTTGTATCAAAAGCTAAAGGGGGATGCTCTACGACGAAATTAACGTCTTCGCCATCAGACTCGTCCTGGCCGAGGTCGCCGCTCAACGCCCTTTCTCGTTCCTCGACCTCTTGTCGTTCCGCGTCGGCGGCCATGGCCGCCTGGGCGACGCCGGCCTCGTCCGCTTTCGCGCCCCGGCTCGTGAGGTCCATGAGGCTCGAGGTCGCGCTGCCGATGCTGCCGAAGGAAGATTGCGTGTTGTCCATCCGGTTCTTCTTCGGCGGTGTCCTGGGCGGGGGTTTTATGGTGACCATGCTGCCGCGCGGCGCCCGTCGCCGCGGCGGCGGATTGGGCGGTTCCGATGTCGGCAGCCCGCGACGGCTGCCCGGGGCGCTCGCTGCTGGTGCGGACCGCCTTCACAGCACAATGATCCACCAGCCCTCGGCGGCCACGCCTCGCCGCGCCGGCGGGCGCTCCTATTGTCAAGTTTGTTGTTTGGGGTCGGCGAACCCGAACCCGAGGCCGGCCGGCGACCTTTGCTCCGTCGGGGTCCCACGCGTCCGCCCGAAGCCTCCCCTACGTAAAACACGACCGCCGTCCGAGACGGGACGGGGGCCTGGCCTTGGCAATAACGCGCCGTGTTGCGCGCGAGGAGGGCGACCTAGGACTGCCCGTCGCGGCTTGAGACGCGCGCAGAGGGAGCCACGGACGCCGCCGCTGCGACGCCTAACTCGGAGTGCCACCTCAAGGGACAAGTTGCCCCCAGCACCCTACCAGGAGAGGCTGCCTGCCCCCAGCACGCCACCGACGCGAGACGCGACATAACCAATGGACAACCTCGCCCTCCCGCCGGAGGTCCTCACGCTCACACACCAGCTCGAAGCGGCCAAGCTCGAGGAGGCGACCACGCAGCTCGAGGCGTGCCGCCGCGAGAACGAGCTGCTTAAGGGACGACTAGAGAAGAGCGAGCGCGACACTCATGAATTTGTAGCGTTCTTCCAGCGGGAGGTCGGCGGGAAAGATACACTGCTGAAGAAAGCTCAGAAAAGGGTCGAGGAACTTGAGTTACTCCGAGAAAAGGAAAACAAGGAACATGACAAAAAGTTCCGGGAGCGGGAGCGGGAGCTCACGACGGAGTTGAACGACCTGAAAGAGTCGTCCTCCAAAGAAATCACGTTCCTCAAAGATGATTTGCGACGCTTCAAGAACTTCAAGAACGCGCGCGACGAGCTCGAGGACGAGAAGAACGAGTGCGATCTCGGCGTCCCGTCGTGTGGAGGTGCCTTCACTTCAATACGACTCGTGTCCATCTCACGATGACGTGGGTGGTTTAGTTTTCGAGTTTGAATGCTCCGCGCAGGTTCGCGAGAAAATTAAGGCAGTCCATCGAGGAGCGGCAAGAAGAGAGAGATGCCACGGAACGGGCTCGCATCCTCGAGAAGGGCGCGCTCCAGAAGGACTACGAGCGTCGATCGAAGGAGATCCGTAAGGAAGCTCGGCGCGAGATGGCGCGCGGTCTGGACGCCGATACGCTCAAAGTAGTTGCTCAAAATAAATCATTGTCAGAGGAATTGCATTTTCAACGAGAGATGAGTGAAGATCTGAAACACAAGGAGAGTAAGTGGAAGGCGTTGGCCACGGAGGCGCGGCGAGACGTGGAACTGCTGCGCGAGAGCGAGAAGGAACGAGCCGCGATAGCTGTGCGCAAGACCAAGGAGGCCAAAGCTAGAGAAGAGAGGATCACTGCTCTTGAATCACAACTTAAAGAGTTGAGGAAAAGTACGCAGGCCGAGACGAGTAAATTGCGACGGAATCTCGAGAACGCGCTCGAGGAGCAGACGCTCGATGCGGCGGGTCTGCGGCAGATGGTGCGCATCAAGCAGAAGGAGTTGTCTAAATTACGGAAGGCCGCGGAGACGGTCTTGGAACAAAGAACCGAGGTCGAGCAGTTCTTCCTCGATGCCCTGGAGAGAGTGAAGGCCGAAGTCACTGCGAAGCGGGAAGCGGCCTACGCGAAGGACGTCCAGGCTTATCGGACGTCCATGCGGACGGCGTCCAACGACCCTAGCGGTACGGCGACGTTTCCGAAAATTCGGGCCCTACAAGCGGGCAAGGACGTCTCGCGGTTTGGTTTAGTGGAGACCGAGCCTCCAAAAAGATATGAAGGGCGGGTCCAGCTTTCCGACTTGACGGCTGAAGATAGGGAACATGTTCTACGGTTACTCTTCGCGAAGATCAACGCCGTGCACGGCTCGGTGCAGCCGCGGCCGGAGCACACGATGGCTGCTGATGGAACGTTCCTGACAACACCGATGGTCGCGCTGCCGTCGGCGCCGCCGCCGCCGACGTAATCATAGTTTCGGTAGTTACGTGGGCGGGGGGGTAGCGGTATCGTCGAAACCGCCTACTCCTTGGCGAGCCAGGCTGCTGGCACTAGGCCCGGGTCCTTGGCGGTCGCCTCTTCCCACTCCTGCTTGGATACCGAGCCGTTCCCGTCGGCGTCGGCCTTGGCGACGATCTCCTGGACGCGCTCGAGGGTCACGTCCGGATTATTCTTCGAGAGCGCCTCGAAAATTTCCTCGGCGGTCAGCTCGCCGTCGCCGTCGGCGTCCATGTCATCGAAGGCCGGCGGTGCGGGCAGGGGCTTGCCCATGAACTTGAAGAAGCAGGCGAAGCCCAGGTCGCCGCCCTTGATCAGCTCCAGGAGCGCGGGCGTCGACGCCGCGGCGCCCTCGACGCCGTCCTCCTTGATCTCGCCGACGTAGAGGCCCTGCTTGACCTTGCCGCCCTCCATCGTGTACTTGCCGACCTCCACCTGTGCGCAAGTCGACCCGTGCGTCGGGTGCGAAAGCCGCACCGCCGCGCCGTCGAGCAGGCGTCGCGTCGATGGCGTGCAGTCACGATTCAGTCATGGTCACAAGCGCCGCGAAATTTGATTTGCGCACCGCCTTCCACGGGTAGTGTCATCTCGATCTTGGCCTCGTCGGGGAGATCCGCGAGCTTGACCTCGGGGAACGGCGTGCCCTCGATCGCGGGCAGGTCGGCCTTCATGGCGCCGATGACCTGCTGCGTGAGCACCGAGTACGTCCCGTCGTCGTTCTTGGTGATGCCGAGGCAGAGGCTCTTCCAGTCGGGGAACGCGACGACCATTTTTCCACAGATGCCGAGCATCGCGTCCATGGGGAGGGGCGGCGCGCCCGGCGGGCCCATCTCGCAGCCCTCGGCGCACTGCTCCTTGGCGGAACCATCTGCGAGGCCGGTACAGAACTTGTAGATGGCGATCTCGTCGTCGGTCTTGCCGGCCTCCTTGGCAGCCGCCTCGTCCGCCGGAATGCTGCCTGCTGCGCCCATATTGGTTCTGGTGCTTGGAACTTGGGTGCTGTGTAAAGGGCAGGTGTGCGCTGCCCTTGTGGTGTCTTTTTGTTGGTATCGACGGGGTGGCTTGCGACCCTCCGCGGCGTGGTGCTTTGGTGCTTAAAAGGGCAGCAATGCGAGCTCCTTTTTAAGGTCCTCGTGCTCTGTATCAGATTTTGCTCTGGGGCGCTGAATTTCGGTACGACGCTGCACCGTTCGTTGGCGGGCGCAGGCCCACGGAGAGGTCAGTGCAGCACTCGTGCGTTCGCGATCCGTGCGCCGCGGAACTAGTGGCGCTCTCGCTAGTCTCGGCCAGACTCTGCAGCGCCAAAGTGGTAAAAGAGCTCCCACAGAGCTCGCATCGCTGCCCCCAACCTCCAAAAAGCACCACCAAAGCACCATGGGCGCCGGCGGCTCAATTCCCGCGGACGAGGCTGCTGCCAAGGAGGCCGGCAAGACCGACGAGGAGATTATGATCTACAAGGCGTCCCAGGGCTACCAAGACGGCTCTTTTGCGAACTACTGCACCGAGGACGCCGAGGCTGAATATCCCGGCGCGCCGCCCTTCCCGGTGCCCTTCATGATGGGCATCACGACCAAGTTCTCAGGCGCCTTCCCCGACTGGAAGTCGCAGTGTCTGTCGATCACCAAGAACGACGACGGCACGTACACGGCCCTTGAGCAGCAAATAGTTGGTGCTATGAAGGCGGACATGCCTGCCATCGAGGGCACGCCGTTCCCCGCGGTCGCCGTCGCCGAGATCCCGGACTCGGCCAAGGTCGAGATGGTGTTCCCCGTGGAAGTGCTCAAGTACACGCTCGAGGGCGGCAAGATCAAGAAGGCGGGGAGCACCGGCGAGACGAAGCCTCCCGCCGAAGTCGAGGGCGCGAACGCCGATGTCACCCCGTACCTGCAGGAGCAGTGGGACGCCGGCAAGGGCGGCTTCGGCGCCATCTACAGCATGCTCGGCAAGCCCCTGCCCGAGGCCCCGGCCGAGGAGGCCGAGACTATTAGTGCCGCGGCCGCGCCGGCCGAGGAAGCACCGGCGGCCGAGTAGGCGACCTCGACGAGCTCACTACCGCCCGCCCGATACCCGCTCCCCCGTTAATCTTAGCTTACCTTTACGTAGTTAGTCGGCGGAATAAGGTTAGCGCGCGGCGTCTCGGGAAGCGGAATCGAAGCTGGAGCTGGAGCTGGAGTTGGTGCTGTGGAGTTGGTGGACGTACACGACGCCTACTCCGCGGGCGCGGCGGAGATGACCTCGGCCGGCGCGTCGTCCGCCGGCGGCGCGGGCAGCGGCTTGCCGACGAACTTGAAGAAGCCCGCGAAGCCCTGGGTCTCCGGGCCGGCCTTCCACATCTCGACGAAGGCCGGCGTCGGCTCCGCGGCGCCCTCGACGCCGTCACGAATCTCGCCGACGTAGAGCCCTTTCTTGACCTTGCCGTCCTCCATCGTGTACGTGCCGACCTCCACGGGCAACGTCATCTCGATCTTGGCCTCCTCCGGGATCTCGGCGACCGCGACCGCGGGGAAGGGCGTGCCCTCGACCGCGGGGAGGTCGGCCTTCATCGCGCCGCAGCACTGCTGCGTGAGCACGGTGTAGGTGCCGTCCTCGTTCTTCTCGATGCCGAGGCAGAGCGACTTCCAGTCCGGCAGGGCGCCGACCATGTTCTTGCAGATGCCGAGCATGGCGTCGATCGGGAGCGGCGGCGCGCCGGGCGGGCCGAACTCGCAGCCCTCGGCGGAGACGTCCTTGGTCGAGCCGTCCTGCAGGCCTGTGCGCAAATCAACCAGTGAGTCGGATGCGCTTCACTACGTCCTGAGAACGGCCACGGGTTCATTCATGCGCTGCTAGAGACCGACGCAGAACTTGTAGATGGCAATCTCGTCGTCGGTCTTGCCGGCCTCCTTGGCAGCCGCCTCGTCCGCGGGGATGGAGCCTCCGGCTCCCATGATTTCAAGTGTCGGCTTGCGTGCGCTTCGTGGGCAGCGTGGGGCAGCGTGCGATTATGGGCGCTGGCTCTGGCTAACTCGGCGCTGAGATACTAGGTATAATATATCGAAAATTCGCCGGAGCTCGTCCCCAGGCGTCGTCGGCGCGCGCCTCCGAGTCTCTGGCGGGGCTAATTCGTATTCGGACCTACTAGGCGACCATTTGGCCTGGCGCCGCTTGCTGCTATTTCACGTGAGATTCAAGCCCCGCTGGGCAAGATGGATCATGTAGCTGCGCCACAAGGCGCAGCGCACGCGCCGGCCGACGACCAGTGCAACTGCACGACCGCGCACATCGACCCGAACTGCTACTGTCCACCCGACAGTCCCAAAGGCCGCGCCTCAAGCGGCGGCGCCGCGGCGCCGCACGCCCTGACCCACAGCCACGAGTCCCTGGGCTCCTTCACGCGCAACCTGAGCGCCATGAGCCTGGATGACAGCGCGACGCCGAAACCGCCGGGTCGGGTCTCGCCAGACTTCCGCGGAAGCGAGGGCCACGCTCTGACCCAGGCGGCGCGCACGCTCTCGAACATTTCCGCGGACGCCGGCGTCGCGCCGGCGTCGGCGCCGGCGCCCTACGCGCCCCTCGCGCCGCCGTCGGCGCCCGCGCCCTGGCCGCCGGCCGCCGCGCCGAGGCCCGCGGCGGCCGCCGCGGCGCCACCGTGGGCGCCGGCGCCGGCCTCGGCGCCGGCGCCCTGGCCGCCCGCGACGTCGCCGCGCTACCGCGCGACCGACGAGGCGCTGCGCCGCGAGCGCGCTTTGACTTTTGACGAGTCCGACGGCCACGCTATGAAAGTAGACGCCTGCGACGCCTGCCCCTACTGCCACGACACGTGCGCCGACCCGGACTGCCCTAGATGTGCGGTCTGGCGCTTGCGGCCTCGCAAAATGTGTAGGGGCTGCGCCGTCTTCTCGCCCTGCGAGGTCCGGCGCCACGCGTCGGCGGAGTCGTGCTGGCTCGTGGCCGGGCGCGACGTTTTTGATGTCACATCATTCCTGCCGCGGCACCCGGCCGGGACGCGGTCCATCGTCCGGAAGGCCGGCGGCGCGGACTGCACGGAGGACCTCGGCTTCCACTCGGCGAAGGCCCAAAAGCTGTGGATGCAGCACAAGATCGGGCGGCTGGAGCCCTGCGGCGCGGAGAAGAATCCGGACAACGGCTGCGCCGTGGCCTAGCCGAGACGTACTGTGTAATCGTGTTGATCGTTATTAGCCACGCTTTGCGTCGACAGCGTGCCGTTGACGTCGGATCGCGCCGTCGGTGCCGCGTCTACGAGTCATGAACAGGTCGAGCCGCCGTCGGAGACCGACACCGAGGCCGACACGCCGACGCGCGCGATCAAGCCGCCGCGGCCGCGCACGTCCAAGCTCGAGGGCAACGCCGCGCGGACCGCGGTCGTCGCTGTGCTCGTCGCCGTGGCCGTGGCCGAGGTCCGGCGCCTCGACAAGATCGTCGCGCTCGTCGGCGGCTTCCTCGGCATCCCGCTTGCCTTTGTCTACCCGCTCGCCGTACACCTCAAATTGGTGCCGAACGCGCCGCCGCGGACGCGCGCGCTGAGCGCGTGCGCCATGGCCGTCGGGGCTGTTCTCGGGCTTGCGTGTTCGGCGGTGACGGTGCTGACGTGGAATCGGTCTTGACGTCGTTTTCTCTCCGCGCCGTTCGCCGCCCTTAACTTATGTTGTTTATTCCGGATCCCCGGAGACTGTGTCCTTTGTTGTTAGCACACTTATAAACGAACTTACTTCTCCAAGCACGCCTTCTGCCGCGACGCCTTCGCCCGCGTCGCGTTCGTGATCAGCACCTTTATGTGTCCGAGGCGCGCCGGGCCGATGTAACGCTCCAGCCCCTCGAAGTCCGACTCGCCCTTGAAGAGCTCCACGAGCGGCGTCGGCCAGAGGACGACGGATTCCGAGCAGGACGCGCCGCCGTCGTCCAAGATGACGTGGAAGCGCCAGGCGTCGCGGTAGTCCGCGAGGTCCTCCGCGCCAAAGGCGTAGCCGTGCAGCGCGCTCAGGGCCGTGTCGCCGAAGTCGCACTTCCACGCCTCCTCGTTGAAGAGGTCGTCCAAATCTAACGTCCTGTCCGCCTCGTACGCCCTCATCACCCGTCGCCAGATCACCCTACACTCGTCCTGGGAGCCGTCGTTCGCGCCGATCCACTGGGCGGGATGCATCGGGACTGTAATTTGAGGCGCCACGAAATCTGGTAAGCCCATCGCCCCGATGAAGCCGGCGTAGGCCGCGTCCGTTTCTAAGAAAATCGGTTCCAGCTTGCCCGTCGGCTTCGTGAGGAAGTGGGCCCGCTCCCTATAACAACTCCGCATGTCGTTTTCGAACAACTGCTGCAACTCGAAGGGAACACTAAATCTGTTGACGACGGCAAGCTCCCTAAATCCCTGCAACCACGACGGCACGCGTTTCTTGAGCGACGTCGACGCCTTGCGCGGCGCCGGGGTCTTGCGGCGCTTCGGGGCCTTGCGCGTCGGGGCCTCCTGCTGCGCCGGTCTCGCCGCTTCCGCCGGATCTTGCGTCAGCTGTTTCAGCGCCGCCCGCCCGCCCTTCTTCAACGCCCGCGCCTTCTTCATCACCGGCGGCGGCGCGTCCTGCGACGGCGACGCCAGGACGGCATAGGGTCTCGGCTTCGGCGCCGATTGGCCGGTCTGCTTCCGTTTCTTCGCCGCGGCGGCGAGATCTTGCAGCCGCCCGCGCCCCGACGCGGCGACCGACGCCTCGAATAACCTCCGATTCTCCGGGTTGTCTGGCAGCGTCCTCTCTTTGAGTTTACCCGCCCGGCATTTGATCGTCTTGGTCTTGGTGTTCAGAATGAAGGCGTCGTGTTTTTCAATGTGGTCTTCTACCCTTGCCGCCTGGGTTTTTCGCTTGGCCTCCAGCCTGGCCTCCTCCTCGTCTTCCGCCTTCTTCCTCCTCGCCGCTTCCGCCTCTTTTTTGGCCAAGATCTCCGGGTCTTGGCCGCGTCTCGGGCGCTGGCCATCTTCCGTCATCTTTTTTTTATAAGCGATGCACGCGCTCTCGTAGTCGCGCCAGACTTTGTCGCGGTGGGCCCACGCCTGCTCCTGAATGTCTTTTTGATGCGAGGTCTTGGGCGCCAGCAGCTTATCCGCCCACGCAAGTGCAGTTGTGTCTCTATCTAGTTGCTGCTCGCCGACGAGCGAGGGTCGTGTGACGAGGACTCTAGCGAGTGCATGTCTGCTGGTTTTCCCGGTTTTGGCGAACGGCGGCTTCTCCGGCTCCTCCATAATTGACGCCATATTGATGCGAACGCACGCCTAATTCGTCCGCGGAGACGGTACGAGGTACAGCCCGTTTACTGCGCGCAGCGGCTTCGCGTAACGCGGCGCGGCGGCGGCGCCCGTTTGCTGCGCGCAGCGGCTTTGCGTAACGCGGCGCGGTCGCAGCGCCCCGCGGGTTCGTGGCTGAGGTGTTGCCGGTACTGCGAGGCCTCGCTGAGCTTCTGGTGCCTCGCAAGAGCAGAGAATTGCGACAGCGGCACGCAACAGCTTTTTATTATGCTAGCGGCCTTTAAAGACACTAGCAAGCCACATCGTGGGCCAATTTGCCGTCTCTACGGCCTCCTCGCTGTCATAAAGCTACTAAAGCTGCCACTGAGGATCGATGGACCAGCCTCACAAAGTTCGCGCATTGAAATCGGTCACCGCGGCGTCGTACACGACGTGTGCTACAGCAGCCCTGCTCGGCCGGCCACCAAGCAGCGGCGCGTCGCCGCGACGCTCGGCGCAGAGCCGTAGCATATCGTACACGACTCAAAAGAAACAAGATCCCACCAGCGGCATGTCCTCTGGAAGCGTCACGGTCGCGGGCAAATACGCGGGCGGCTCGCCACGAGCGAGGATCAGCAAATGCTTTTGTGAGCGTCGCATGTGTGCGGCCTTAAAGCGCCATGGGTCTCGGATGGATCTTCTTGTCACGCGTTCGAGCGCGAAGCCGAAGAAACGCGGGCGCCCAGTTAGCCCATAAACGACGGTCCGCTTCAGACTCACGCTCGCCGTACGACTACGCGTGAGCGTCGCCCCTCGGCGCGTAGTCGCAGACAGCCTAGACGTGGCGCCTCGACCTGCGACGAGACGGCGATGGGCTCATGCTTGCTGTTTCGCGGGTACCAATGCCTTGATAGGCTGGCCGCAGCCCCAGAACGAGATGCGGATCACGGCGCCACGAGCGCACCCGATCTGGCACGTCGTCGAATCTGTGGCGCACCGTCGAGTACATGACCACCGTGACCTACGCGACTGGCAGGCTTCCCTGGGCAAGGCTCGACCTCGTTCCGCAGGAGGCTTCCCCTAAACGTATGGGGCTCCTGATCCCAGGAAGCGCCGGCGACGCGGCGTCTGCTCGACGGCGTGTAGCGGGCAATCTCTACGCCATCGACGCGACGTCTGCTCGATGGCGTGGCGACGCGCTCACCTGAGACGTAGCGCGGACCCTTCGGTTTTCTTGTCCCTTGGGGGAGCGCTCCAGTCTAAGACAAAAACTTACACTCCTCGGGGACGTCGGCGGGCAGTGGGAACTCGTATAGGGTCACCCGAAAGTAGTACGGACCACTGTACCGCTCAAGTCCACGTTTTTTTTGGCAGACCGGGCACTGGTCCCACCGCGCTCGATCGGAAGGCACCGAGAACCACGCCTGTCCGCCGACAATTGTTCAGTGTGTGTCGCGCGACCGATTGCGGCGTAGACGAGACCCGACGTCACTTCGGCACGGTCGTGGCGGCCGCCGCCCGCGTGCGCCCGTGCGTAAGAAATCCCTAATCGCATCCTTCACCGCGTCGACGCCGCGGCCACTAGGAGCGGGCGTCATCCTTCTTTGCGAGATGGGGCATACCTCGCGGCTGTCGCGCCGCTCGCTGCAGTCGCTCTCCGGCGCCGCGACGACGGCCGCGGCGAGCGACGCTAAAATGAGGTAGCTCGTCTTCATGGTCTACTACGGCGGAAAGAGCTGCGTTTGTCGCATCGCTTGCGAGAAGACTAGGCGAGAGGCTATATATGTAGTCTTGCTTGCTCGCGTGTGGCGTTGATCGCAGTATGCCCTGTTTCCTGCCGCAGCAACGCTAGTGTGTGCTCCCCGCTAGGTATCAGTCAGCGAAATTGGGTCCGCGAAGCACTCTTGGCCGCGGACCGCTTCGCGAGCTCGAACGTCGAGACTGCGTGGTGGAGCTTCTTCTTCGGCCGCGTCCGGCGCTTTACCGACGAGCAAACGCGCGCGCGGCCTTCCTGACAGTCAGTGATTTACGCGCAGAACGGCGGAGCGCGCCTAGAGGAGGAGCCGGGGGACGACGTAGCACGCCGCGCCCAACATGGCCGCTTCCAACGCGTGGCGCTGCTCCGGCAAGCGAGAGGTAGACGCGCGCCACGCGCCCGTGAAGGCCAGCGCCGACGTCGCCGACCCGCACGTGACGAGGTGGGAGCACGACGCCCGCGGGAAGCTATTCAAAGAACCATACATGTGATCCAGCACGCCCCCGAGCAACAGGGGCAGCACGCACCCCATCGCGACCAGCAACGCCCCTGTAATTCGCCGATACCCCGCATCTGACGGCGGCGCGAACATTCTGAGTTCTTCCGTCATCATGAGATCCACGAAGAACTTTTTGTACGACGCCAGCAGATCGATGCACCGCTCCGCGTCGGGCTTCGTCAGTCCTTTGTAGCACCAGAGGCCGACCATCTCCGCGCGCTCCCCTTGGGCATAATTCTCGAGCTCCCATTCTTCCCGCTGGCGTTCTCTATAATAATGCCTTGCATACCAGGTCTGCGTCGTCCATTCTCGGAGAGCGTGGGCCGTGGCTAGGGATAGACCGATCGCGACGAGTTTTTTTCGCTCTAGTGAACTTCCAAACGCGCTCTCCAGCAATATAGCTAAACACAGCCCAGCTTGCAACGCATCGACGCGCCGATAGACCTCGACGGCGGCGTCGCCCTCGCCGTGCCCGTCTTCTTCCCAATCTCTGATGGTCTCGTCGTGGGCTTGCTTGGACGCGGCCGCATCTTGATTTGCGAAGGCGCTCCTTGTCTCAGAAGCTCGTTGTTTCAGGGCCGGGGAGATCGCGGCGCGCGGCGTCTGCTGGGCCGTCATGTTACTGCCTGAGAGCTGCTTGGCTCTGCCGGGGCTTTGCGGGGCCTCGCGGGGCCTTGGCAACGCAGAGCTGGGATTCCGGGGCTGTGAGGTTCTTCCTCTAGTCACGGAAGAAGTGGAGAGGGCGTCCTCGCTGGCAGCCAGGGCTGTTTTTGCTCGAGCTCGGTTGCTAGGTCTAGTATGTTACTACGCTGGTGCAAAGCCTGACGCTTCGCCGATTGAGGACACCCGCACGCACCCGGCGCACTCTCGAACACTGGCTCATCTCCAACCAACCGTTCCGCGGGCGACACCCACGTGAGGGCTCGGATGGGACGAGGACGCCATAACGACCAGACTACCAGTGAAACAACTTACGAGTCGCGCCGCTTCTTCTTCTTCGAAGACTTCTTCAGCTTCTTCTTCGACGACGGCACGGGCGTCTCGTCGGCCCGGCGCTTCCCCACAACCTGCACCAGCTTTCCGGAAGCCGGCGCCGCGCCCGCGGCGGTCCCCAATTGCTTCGCTTTCGCGTCGTCGATTTCATAGGATGGCGTCGCCGCCTCCAAGGCATCTAACAACGACACGCCTGTCTCGTTGGCTACCGGCGCCGCGACCGGTTTGACAACAGCATCATCCGCCGGCTCCAACCTAGACATGTAGGCTCGTTCCGACGCTTCCCGTTCATCAGTTAAACCCAGTTCCACATCTCTGACATGAGCCTCCCTGACTTTTCGAATCGCGGCCGCGAATTTTCGAATAGCTTTATTATATAAAGCTAGTGCCTGGGACGTAGGTAGATCTAAATCTTTGGCGATCGTGCCGATCTCCTTTCTCTGTAAAGCCAAGCCCAATACGATGGCAGCCTGCAGCAAGGACAGCTTCACGTCCAACCTCCCACGAAAACACAACTGCCCTAGAGCTGGCAATAGATCAGCCACCAGGTGATGGTCGACCATCTGCTTCGCATACAGGTCTAATCGCTGGAGGTCGTGGGGCGTGAAATGGGCATTTAACTCCGACGCGTCCGCGATGCCCTCACTATCATCAGAGGCGAAGACGCGCCGATGGAGCGCGCTGTTCGTATCGCGCGCGCCCAATAACCCCAATGACAATGCTGGAGGAAACGCGGCGAAGCACGGCAATCCCAATAGAGTAGCACACCGTTTGCGGAAGTCGTCGACGAAGGCGTCGGACCAGCCCTTATGAACACCTTCGGCGTTTGCTAGCTCCCTCAAACATATGGTGGTATGTTCCCCTGTGACGTCATTGGCCGTCTGTCTCACGTAGCAGGGCCTCAAACCTTCCCTCGACCAATATTCGAACAAGCCCTCAGTCAAGCCGTACGACGCCGCGACCCACTGGAGCGATGGCGGCTGCGTCGCCCCGACCGGTGCCAAGAGAGGCGGCATCTTCTTCCTTGGTTGCAAGGATTCCGTCCTGAGTGACGACGGTTCTTCATCATCATCTGATGATGAGTCGGAGTCGTCCTCCTCGCGCTCGTCGAGCTCGCCCTCGAGGTAGCTTATTAATAACTTGAGCGCTCTTGTACCATATCCTACTCTTTGAGCGTCGGGGTGCGTGGCTACCCGTACAATGCGAGCACCGGACAGCTTGGCGAAGCCCGGGTCGCAGAACTGTTGAGCTAGCGTCCACGGAACTAAGTCGCCGGCCCCTCTTTCACCTCTGGATAGAGCCGCCTTCACGGCCTCGGCCTGGATCGCGCCCTCTAATGCGACCTGCACGACCACTAGTATATCGGGCAGTTCGCCCGCTGACGCTTCTTCATCCACAGGACCTAGTAATACAAACAGCCGATGCGCCGGCGCGTCGGACAGTAGCTGTAAATCGTTCGGGGAATTCTTGTAGTGCGCCGCCGTATATAGGGCCATGACCCGCTGCAAGAAGCGTTCTGACAACGCGTGGTAACTAAAGAGCGCATCTCTATTGACTTCGTACAAAGAACAGTGCACCGGTGCCGGGAGACCCTTCTTCAGCGCATATACTGATTTCGTCGGGGAATCCAGACACAACGCGCGATGCAGCCACGCCTCCACCGCATCACCGGAAGCGTACCGTACGGGCGCTTCGAGCGTTAATTCTCGCAAGGTGGACTTGGTCACAGAATTCTTAGCAGCTTCGGAAGCTTTGGCCCAGCGCTGCTCGTGGACCTTTTGCTGGCCCTTCTTTTGTTGACTGTTCCCTTCTACCTCAGAAGCGGCTTGTGTAGCAGCGTCCGTGACGGCGCGTCGCGCGTGAGCTTTCCGTAGTTTAGCTAACAACTTCAATTGTAAGGCCCTGCCCGTACCTTCGTAGCCCGTCACGGTAGAAGCTAAGAACACGACGTAGGGCCCGAGCAACTTTTCCACGACCGGTAGAGGCAGCGCCGCCGCTTCGTCGACAATCACGAGCTCCGCGTGGGCCAGTCGGTGCGAATCGGACGGCGACACGTACTGGACCACTTGCCGCGTCGTCGGTCCACTATCGTTAGTTTGAAAGACGTCGACGCGCGCGGGGACGTCTACGCCACTTTCCGTTTTGTGTTTCAAAACTTCATAGTCCGTCTTTTCGTCGTAGTGCAAGGCCTCCAAGCCTTTCAGTAAGAATTCAAACACCGTCGCGACGTTGTCCACGGCCGGGGCGGTGACGAATATCGACGCGTAGCCCGTGGCCACCGCAGCAGCTAAGCATAAACCGAGAGCGGCACTCTTGCCTCGTCCCCGAGGTGCTGTGAGTGTCGTCACACTACGAGCTCGTCTTTCAGCCAAGGAATCGATGAACGCCAAGATCGCCCGCGCCTGGTCCGGCGTCCGCGCCAAGGCCACTAATTCGCCGGCCGGCGGCACATCTCGCAAAGATGAAGCTAATTCCGAGACCTCGCGCCGCTCTTTCTGTCTCGAGGACTCTTCAGCATCGTCTTGTATCGCATCGAAGCGCTTCACATGCTTTTTACTGATGGGTAGGACGTTGAGCTCGTCATCAAGTACTAAACAGCGAGCACAATCGGCTAACGATAGGATGAAGCGCTCGTTGAAGCGCGGCACCAAGTCGGCGTTGGAATGGGCGCCGCTCCCCCTGAATCTAGCATGAACGTCCATAGTTTGAGCATAGAGCTGCCTCAGGCTATTGACCGTCCGCAGGAGCAACACGACGAGCCCGCCGCCTTCCACGGTCTCGATCGTTCTAGCTAGTAGATTGGGAGTCAGAGCTTCGAAATCTTGTAATACGAGACAACCGTACGTACTCCCCAAAATTTTCTGCGTGTCGCGGTAGTAGCACCATCTTATGCGTGTTTGACTGATGAACAGTTCGAAGGGTTCGTCGGTCGTCGCGTCGTGCAACCCTCGAGCGACCTGTTTCTTGATCTGCTTCATGCGCTTTTTCCGATGCGTCGAGAACCCGAGTTCCTTTTTGTAGCACCACAATACGCTCGGTCGCGCGGCTACCCTCGCTCGTGCCAACATTTGATGTAAATTCACGACTTGATCTTTCCCATGGTCGCCGACCAACACGATCAAAGACCGTTGTTCGCTCCGGACGCCTTCCTCCACAAAACGTTTCACGCGGTCGTCTACTCGCTTCTTGACCATCTTGCTTTGTTGGTGCTGTTTGCGGCGCGCACTGCACGTGGAGTGTTGGTAGCTACGATGATTCTTTTGCGGCGACGCACTGCTGAGAGCTGCAGTTGTAGTAAGCTGGTTTTGGCGGCGCAGGCGTGCGTCCGACCGCGCGCTGCAACTGCGTATCACTTCTGCGAGCTGTACTACGAAGTCTGCAGCGCAGGCGTGGTCGCTTGTTGCCCCCTAGGTGAATAGGCGATGAAAAGCGGCAAGCAAGAGCTAGTGTCCTGACATACTAGCGCTCCGGGCTGTGAGCGCAGTTTTTGGGGCGCAGTGCTCCAAGCTTCGCCTAAGAACCCGTGCTTGACGTCAGGCAGGCTTCCAGGTAGAGCGCTCCAGCCGCCGGAGGCCGCGCGTCCGCCCACGCGCCCTCAAAATTCGAAGCAGCGCCACAACGGCATGGCGCTTCTCGTCGCAGCGGCGGCCCTCGCCACGGTTCACGCCGCGACGACGCGCGTCGCCGTCAACCCGACGACGGCCGCATCAGAATTCCTCGGGCTCGGAACGAGGCCGCGCGTCCGCGCGCTCCTCGACGCGAACGAGAAATTGAGACGTTTACAATTACAAGGCTTCGACTTCCCGAGGATTGTGGTCATTGGAGACCAGTCCGCGGGCAAGTCGAGTGTCTTAGAAGCTATCTCTGGTGTACAATTGCTGCGAGGTACTGGGGTGGTGACGCGAGCGCCGATCGAGCTGAGGCTGTCCAATAGCCAAGAGACAACATGCAAAGCCTCGGTGGAAGCGGACGGCGTCCCTGGTTGGGAGGGCCCCTGCGAGAGCGTCGGAGAGGCTCTGAACGCCACCATGAGAGCGTTGCCTGGTCTCAAGCCTTCGCAGCGAGGCGCGCGCCGAGGCATCACCGAAGACATTGTACATCTGCGAGTCACGGCGCCGGGCGCACCGGAACTCACGTTGGTGGATTTACCTGGCTTAGCAAGAGTGGCGACGGAGGGGCAAAGACCCGACGTCCCGGAACTGACGAGACGCCTATCGAAGACCTTCATCGAGCCTTCCCAATCTATTGTGCTGGTCGTCTGTGCGTGCAACGCTGATTTAGCCACGGCCGAGGCTTTGAGATTGGCGGCGGAGGCGGATCCCGACGGCGAAAGAACGGTCGGCGTGCTCACGAAGCCCGACCTCATGGACCCCGGCACCGAGAGTAGTGTGCAGGACATCCTGCGGGGGAAAGTCGTTAAATTAGAGAGACACGGCTACTTCGTCGTGCGGAATCGGGGCCAGCTGTCTCGGAATGTGACGCAGGGTCAGGCACTAACAGATGAGGCGCAATACTTCTCCACTCATTCGATATTCGGGAAGCTCGCGCAGCGCGGGAGGTTCGGGGCGCCGGCTTTGGCCCAGTATCTGGCCGAGGTGTTGCAAGATGCGATTGCGCGGGATGTCCCGGAGGCTCGACGGTTGGTGGATAGCAAGGAACGCGACGTCATCGCCAAGTTACAAGCACTAGGCGATGCTGCGGATGTCGACCCGTCCAAAAAAAGAGCTCGTTTGGTACGAGTCGCGACGGACTTTGCGCAAATGGTCCAGGAGGCGTGTTCCGGGAGAAGCGACGGCGAGCGGGGCCTGACTGCGGATGTTTTGGCTCTATACAGAGGCTTTGATGCCGATGTCCGATCCAGAGCGCCGTCGAGAAATGCTTCTTCGTACTCGGCACGAGTGAGGGAGGCCGTCGCGGAGACGCGGGGCCGCGAGGCGTTCTACGGCTTCCCGTCGGCGCAAGTGTTTGCTGGTCTCGTGGCGGATCTCGTGGACGACGTGCGAGCGCCAGCTGAACGAGTTGTCAGTGATGTCAGAGCAAGGGTGCTGGTTGCGGGTCGAGCCGCGGCTGCGGTAAGCGCGCGGCGCTTTCCCGCTTTGCGCAAGAAGCTTGAAGAATTGGTGGGTGATGTCGCTTCGGAGAAGTACGAGGCTGCAAAGGATTCAGTTGCGTTGTTTCTGGACGCCCAGAGGCATCCCTTCGCGCAGGATCTGCTTGTGTCAGAAGAGCCGACACCAAGACCCTCATTCAGGCCGCAGTCGCGGCCGACGTCGTCAAATGATGCCTTCGAGGGCCAGGTGGACTTCGTCGCACGGCAGATCGACCGGTACTTTGGCATCTTCGCCACGCGGGTCAGTGATGTGATCCCGATGAGCGCCGACTACGCGCTCGTGCAGAACCTGGGGCGGGACCTGGCGTTGCGCGTGGCCGACGCGGCGCATTCGTTATCGGACGAGGCCGTGTCTCAATTACTAACCGAGGACCCGGACGTCGCGCGGCAGCGCTCCGAATTGAGGGATGAGCTTTCTCGGTTGTTGGCCGCGCGGGAGACGCTTGATGATTATGCGGCCGGGGAGGTCGTGGCGTAATGCTCTCATTGTCCATGAGCTTCCTGTTGTGGAGCTGGACTCGTAGTAGAGGCTCGTGGGCGATTCATCGGCGCGGACGGGCAGAAAACCCGCAAAAAGCGCGGATTTGGCTTCTACGCGTCCAGCTGTCGGTGGAGCGTCGGAGAGGTCGTAATCAGGCTTCGATGAGCTCCATGCGCACAGGTCGAATCGATGCGGCCGGCCGGCGCGCGTCCATTTTGGGTCTTTTTAAGCAGCCAAAATCGGCCGTGTCTTCGTGCCGCGGAACCTGTGCCAGCCCTCCGCTGGCGAGCACTCGGCAACACCAGCGCACGACCACGGCTGCGACTGCATCCGTCGAGCACATTCCAGGCAGCCAAGCCTGAGCCCAGCCGGACCCGCGCCGAGCGCGCACGCGCAGCGGGCCCTCCGAGCAGCCAGCACTCCCCGAGACGCAGCCGACGCGACAATGCCCCAAGTACAGCGGAGGTCGGTCGAGGGCGACCGCCCCGGCGGCCCCAAGAAGTCGACGCTGGCCACCATACAAGCGATGGAGCGGGCGCGGGAGGAGCGAAGGCAGCAGATGGAGGCCCGCAAAGACCGGAAGGAGCGCGAGAAGCTTAGTAACGCCGAGAAGGGCGTTGTTGGGGATGTCGACTTTGTCAGGATGATTTCGGCGTGGCGCGACGCGAATAAAGACCAAGCGAAGCCTCACGCCACGTTCTCAACCAATGAAGCCGAGAAGAACGCCGGCGGTGCTATATGTATTTGTGTTCGGAAGCGACCCATCTCGAGACGAGAGGTAAACAACAAGGATCATGATGCGGTGTCCTGTGTCCACCCGTCCGTCGTGGTCCATGACTGCCGGCTACGAGTCGACGGCATCTCCAAATACTTAAATAATCAGCAGTTCGCGTTTGACCACGCCTTTTCGGAAAACGAGGACACGGCTGAGATTTACAGGTGTGTCGGCGGTCCATTGGTCGAATTTGTGACCAGGGATGACGGGCGGGCGTGTATCTTCGCCTACGGCCAGACGGGGAGTGGTAAAACATATACCATGGAGGGCGTCCAGGCGCGGGCCGCGGTGCAGGTGTTTCAGGAGCTGTCGTCGGAGCGTTCAGTAGGTGTGTCCTTCTTCGAGATCTATGGCGGGCGGTGCCAGGACCTACTACGAGAGCGAGCTCGGTTGCAAGTGCGAGAAGACGGCCGCGGCGACGTGCACGTCGTCGGTCTCGCCGAGACGCCGGTCGAGGATGCCGAAAGTCTCTTGGCGGCCATCTCGCGAGGGAATGAACTACGGACGAAGCAGAAGACGGAGGTCAATGATGCCTCATCAAGATCACATGCGGTCTGTAGAATATCAATCCGCGACAAGGACGGCAAGCAGCGAGGATCATTATCTTTGGTGGATTTAGCGGGCAGCGAACGGGGCCAGGACACGCGAAGCCACAATAGGCAACTGAGGACGGAGTCCGCGGAGATCAACAAGAGTTTACTCGCGTTGAAAGAATGTATCAGAGGCCTCGCGACGAACGACGCTCACGTCCCCTTCCGAGCGTCAAAACTCACCATGGTCCTGCGCGATTCTTTTGTAAGGCCTCGTTCTAGAGTAGCGATGATCGCCTGCGTCGGTCCTAGCGTTTCCTGTACGGATCATACGATAAATACGTTGCGATACGCCGACCGCGTCAAGGAAAAGCCCGCCACGCAACTCTTGAATGCGGCCGCGGCGTTGCGGGAGCGGAACGAGGAGCCCAAGGAGGTCCCGGCTCGTCCTCCTCCTCCTAGAGCGCAGAAGCCTCCAGCGAGGCCGCCGTCGCGGAAGCCCGTACCTCCGAAAAAAGCGGAGGCCAAGGAGGTTCCCAAGCGATCAGAGGCGAAGCGCGGCGCCAAGGAGGCACCGAGACAACCGAAACCGCGGGCGCCGCCTCCGCCCGCGCAACCCAAGGAACGGCCAACGCGGCAGGACGACTTGGCGTTGTTGCATTCTACCCTAGAACGGGGCCAGGACGTCGCGGCATTACATAAAACGGTGGACTCCTTATTCGAGGCCGAAGAGGCTTTGTTAAATGCGCACATGACCGTGATCCAGGAGAACGCGGAATTGTTGACCGAGGAAGGGCGCATGCTCCAGCAGGTCCAGGGCGGCGACGTCGTGGACTATGACATTGATACTTATGTGGCGCGCCTGGGTGCGATCTTGAATCGGAAGGCGGAACAAATAGCCGCTCTGCAAGGGCAATTGGCCGGGTTTGCTGCCAAACTAAGGGAGGAGGAGGACCAGTCGCGGCTGGTGCGGCGCATGCCGATGTGGTAGGCTTCCGCGTAATCGGTCCGTTTTATTAGCCTCTAGACTAGGCCCTGGGATTCCGGCGTCCGGCCTGCCCCCGCCTGAGGGCCGCCTCGCCGTCGTCGCCTCCGAGCTCACACCCGGGGCGACGGCGTATGACTCGGAGGGTGTGGTGGCTGGTGGCTAGGCGGCCGAGCTCTAAGCAAAGCAACGTGAATTGCATCCTCAGTCGAGTTAGTCTAGTAGCCTATGCGACTTCCTGTGCGAACCGCGGCGGCGGCGGCGTAGGCCCGAGAAAGCATCCCGCCGCCGACTTCGCGCGGACCTACGGTCGCGGCTCGGCGCGGAAAATGAACTTTACGCGGTCAAGGTCGCGGCGATGGCCTCTTCATGAGACCACGTCGCCGCGACGCCGTCGAGCCGCGACGCCGTCGCCGCGGATGTACTAGTATTCGGCACCAAACTTAAAAAAGGAAGCTACCAGCCGCGGTAGCCCTTGTACCCCTTGCCCCGCCGGCCGCGCCCGCGGCCTCTACCTCTACCGCGCCCCTTGCCCTTGCCCTTGCCGCGCACGTTGACGCGCTTCGCCGAGACCTTGAGCTGGCGGCCCTTGAAGATGGAGTTGTCGAGTAAAATCGCGGCGGGCACCGCGGCGCTATCTTCGAACTCAACGTAGGCGAAGCCCTTGCTTCGACCCGTGAACTTGTCGCAGAGGATCGTCACGCGGTTGATGGTGCCGCAGTTCGCGAAGTGGGCCTGGAGCTCTTCCGGCGTCGCTTCGTAGTCGACTTGTCCGACGTAAATGCTCTTCTCGTCCGTCTCGGACGCCTTCTTCTCCTCTCCACCATCACCGTCGGCGGCCAAATCCTGCTGCATGGCCTTCAGCTTGTTCGCCTCCTCCTCCATCTCCTGGACGCGCCGCTTCATGTCCTCGAGCTCGGGGTCCTCCTCGCCGTCGCCCGCATCTTCCGTGAGGCCCTCGATCACAGGTTCCGGCGCGGCCTCCTCTTGGTCGGCGTCGTCGGCCATCGCTGCGGCTGTTTGTTTCCTAGTCCTGCGGCGACGCTGCCTGTTGAGCAGTGCCGGCGCGCGCTGGGAAGCTGGGCGTGCCTCGCGCGCGGCGGCGGCGACGTTTCCTGTGCTGCTGCTGTTCCTACGTCCGCGAGCTTGCGGGCGGTTGGCGCTCGGCGGACTATGGCGTGACGGCTATGGTTAAGTCGTAGCACAAGTCTCACGTAGTGCAGTAAACAGGCAGGATGCTCAGCCTGTTTTTTGTCAGCACCCCAGTAAAGCTAAGTCATAGACATACTAGCATGAGACTCGATTTGAGTGTTTTTGACCTGATAGCTGTCTGGCATACCGAGGAGGCGTCTGCATCGCATCAGAGGAGGCCAGCTGCCCCATCACAAAAGAGGGAAACCATCTTGCGAGCAGTTTTTGGCTGCCCTGGAGCTATCACCTCAGACCAGGCTGCCTGATGGAGCCCCCGCCAATCAACGAGCGCTTCGCGCCGGCCGAGGGCTACACCACGCACGAGGCGCTCAAGGCCATCTTCCGGCACTACGCGGACCTCGGCCGCAAGCCGCGCGACGGCGTCGAGCGCGGCGTCGACCGCACTCAGTGGGCGAAGCTGGTGTCGGAGTCGCCAGACCTCCCGGCGCGGCTCGCGACGGCCGACGCCGACCTCGTGTTTGCGAAGGTCGCCGCGCGCGGCGCACGGCGGCTCGAGTACAACCGGTTCCTCGAAGCGCTCGCGCAGACGAGCCTGCGGCTCTACCCCACTTTGGACCCCTGCGAGGCCTTCGCCGCACTCTGCGCCGAGCACATCTTCGGCCTCGTCGCCGTCGAGTCCGACGCGCGCGGCACGGTGCAGCGCGTCCTCGACGACCTCGAGCGGCCCGCGCCGGCGCCGGTGCCGGGGCCGCCTCCTGGGCCGCCTCCGGGGCCGCCGCCGCCGCCGCCCCCACCGCCTGAGTAAAACCCCGCACGAAATAAGCCACACCTAAGATTCCTTACCCGCCGCCGCCCCATCATCCAACAGCCCCGCCGCCACCAAAAATAGCAAGGACGACACGACGTAGGCCGCCGCAACAGCAAAAGCCACGGCCGGCACGAGCTCGAGGCCCCCGTCCGAGCGGTCGACGGCCGCGCCGACGGCGAGCGGCGCGAGGCCCCCAACCAAGGTCAGGGCCGTGAAGCAGCCCTGCGCCGCGCCGCGGCTCGCCGCCGGCACGGCCTGCTGCAGGAGCGCGGTGGTGGGGCCGATCCAGCACTCCGCGACCAGAAACTCGGCCGCGAGCAGCGCGATCGCAACGCCATAGGACGGCGCCTGCAGCGCGAGGACCCAGAGCGGCGCCGCTACCAATGAACCGGCCGCCGGCACGAGGGCCCGCGCCGCGTCCCTTCGTTCCGGCGGCGCGCGCACGGCGAGGCCGTCGGCCGCGGCGCCGCCCAACAACGCCGACACAAACCCAAAAACGCCCACGACGAGCGCGTAGCCGCTCCCGACGTCATTTCCCGCGAAGTTTGCGCGCAGACAAGGAATAGCCCAGACGCCAATGGTAAAACCCGCCGCGAAGCGCACGGCCGTCGCCGCGAGTAAAGCGACGGCCGCCTTCGAGGCGAAGACGCCGCCGAAGCCGCCCTCCTCCAGTTCTTTGGTCTCTGGGTTCAGTGCCGGCCCGAGCTCGGAAGGTAGCAGGAGGAAGGCTATCAACGCCACGACCAGGGAACTGGCCCCGGCCACGGCAAAGGCGCCGCGCCAGCCGATGGCATCATCCAAACGCGTCGAGACCGCCGCTAAAGCCCCGCCGGCGCTCACGGCCGCCGCGTAGCGCGACGACGCCGTCGCCAATTTATCGGGAGGGAAGGCCCTTCCTAAGAGCGCGTAGCCCGCCGGCGCCGTCGCGGCCATGGCCACGCCCTGCAAGGCCCTACAAGCGGCGACGCCCGCGAATGAAGATGTGTAGGCCGTCGCGACGGTCGCGAGGGCCCAGAGGCCGCAGCTGGCGTAGGTCAGCTTCACGGCGTCGGCGCGGTCCACGAGTGCTCCCGCGGCTAAAGAGCACGCGGCAAATAACGCGTTGAACGTCAACGTGGAAAGGAGCGCGTAGTCGGCGCGCGACAACTCTAATCCAACATTCAAAAACCGAAAGGCGTCGTCGCTCGTGAAGTCCACCGTGCTAAACAACAGCTGGCGGCACCACTGGTTGCTCGTGTAGACGCCTATCAACGAGCCGAGCAGAGCGGTCCGCTGCGTCGGCGTGAGGTCCGTCGCGCCGGCTCGCAGCTTGGTGCGCATCTTCGGCGCGGTTACTCGCGGCGTTGGCGTGAAGGCGTAGCTCGTCGCGACGATGGCTGCTATGCACGTGACGCGCATGGCCTTGTCACGCAGCCAATGCGATGCAGCTAGCCGCGTTGCGTGAGCGATCGGTTGCAGCGTCGCGTTGCGTGGCCAGAGAACTCGCAATGAGCAAGCAACGCTATTGCAAGTGATTTATGCGCGAGCAGTACGTGTACAAATATCAAATATACACGCTGGAATTCACACCTTGATGTCTCAAAACGGGTTTTCAAAGATTTGTCGTTTCAGGCTTGTAATGGCTCGGGGGCGTCTCCCTGACGCTCCAGGGACGTCGAGCAAAGGCCCGAAAACCCGCCCGCAGCGCCAAAACGGAACTTTTTGGAGGACGACGGAGAGCAGGCGCGAAGGCAACGCAGCAGCTGTTGCAACGCGCGTACTGGTGCCGCAGGAGTCCTCGTGTGGCTGCCCGCAGGCATAACAGCGAGGAGCGCTGCTGCCCCGAATCATCATAGACAACTCCGCACCCGGGCAGCATCCAAGCCACCATGATGGTCCTGCGCCTCAACACGTTGATGGTCCTAGCGGTCGCCGCGGACGAGTGCATGTGTCAATTATTTCCGGTGCGCGGCGGCGACGGGCAGCTCAAGTTCGCGGCCAACGACGACGGCAGCTGCATCGCGGAGAAACTCTTCCGGGCGCCGCGGCTCGAGGCGGGCGAGGAGCTCATCGTCGGAGACACTAATGTTATGGACCGAGTAGAGTCCATCCAGAGTAAAGCCCTCCAAACGCGGGAACAGCTGGACGCGCGTGACGCCGAACTGGAGCAGGCACTGCAGGACACGTTGGAATACTTAGAAGCCAAGTCCCTCGGATTACAGACAAACCTGACCGCGACGCAGGAAGAGCGCGCCGCGGCACTTCTGGAGGAGATCCAGCGCATCGAGTCGCAGGAGGTCTCGGACGCCGAGAGCTTCCGGACGTCGATCGAAGGTCTGAGCGAGAGCTTGGACGCGCACAAGGTCGCGTCCGACGAAAAGCTCGAGTCGGTCTCGCTAGCAGTTCGCGAGTCCGCCGAGGCGACGCAGACCTACCTCGAGGAGGCAATCTCCGAGTGGGATGTGAAATTTGAAGAAGAGCGGGAGAGGGCCGCAACAGTTGCGACGGAACATGCTAACGCCCTCGACGCAAAAATCACGGAGGTGGAGACCGTGCGAGCCCAGGCGGAGGCCGTGCGTGACGAGGCCGTGCGGGAGCGCAACGCCCAGGTCGATGCGGCGTTTGTAGACGCAACGACGTTGATCGAAGCAAATAAGATCATCGCGGCCGAGGACCTCGCCGCGGCCACGGACGCGTCGGAGAAGCGCTTCTCGGCGGTCGAGGCAGCGGCGGCCGCCGACAAGGCGGCCGCGGCGGAAGCGCTCCAAGCGCAGGAAGCGATGGTCGCTGAACGGTTCTCTGGGGTTGACGAGCGGTTCACTGCCGAAACTGCGGCTCGACAGGCCGAAGCACTAGCCACGAAAGAGGAAATCGACCAACAGCTCAAAACGATGGAAGAGGAGCGCGTGAAGAGGGATGAAGCCTTCATAGCTGACCAGGCCGCGAAGGAGGCCAAGCGCGCCGAGGCCGACGCGATCCGCAAAACGGAGATCGACACAGCGATAGCTGAGGTCGACGAGCGGCGCGCAAAAGACAAGACCAGTGCCCAGGACCTACGGACAGCGGACCTCGCCACCATCGAGCAGCGCAACGCCCAGGTCGACGCCGCGCTCGAGGCCGCCCAGGCCGAGGTTGATGACAAGTTCGCGAAAGCCGAGGCGAGCCAACTCGAGGACAAGGTCGAGCTGCTCGAGGCGGCGGCCCAGAGAGACAAGGTCGTGGACGAAAAATTTGCAGCCGCTGATGATAAATTCGCGGCTGTGGAGGCGCAGAGGCTCGAGGACGCGGCGGCGGCGGCCACCGCTCAGGAGGCGCTCAAAGCCGAGGTCCAGGAGAAAGCGGCGCAAGCCGCGGTCGACGAGAAATTTACGCAGCTCGAGACCGTACGCCAGGGCGATCTGCAAGACGCGGAGGAGAAGCGACGGCTCGCGAGTGAGGCCGTCGAGGCGCGCTTCAGCGCCGTCGACGAACAGCAGGCTGCGTCGACCACAGCTACCGAGGAGTTATCCAAGCGGCTCGCCGACGTGGAGACCGTTGCGGTGCTCGCGGACGAGACGAACGCGGCTCAGGACGAGAGGCTGTCGACGCTGGCGACCGAGACGGACGCCAAATTGACGGCAGCGCAGGAAAAGGCTCAGGAGGTGGCGACGGCGCAGGAGCAGGCGATGACGGAACGCTTCGAAGGGCTTGAGGCTCAACGGCAGGAACGCGAAGCAGCTGCTCTAGCGGACCAAGCCAAGCGCGACGAGGCGGCGGCCGCCGAAGCACAACAAAGGCAGGAAGCCCTGGACGCGCGCTTCACGGCCATGGACGAGGCGCGTGCCGCGAAGGACGCCGAGGAACGCGAAGCCCTCGACAAACGGTTCACGGAGCTCGATACACAGCTTGACGAGAGACAGAAGGCGACGGACTCTAAGTTCGAGGAATTATCAGAGCGGCAGACGGCGATGCAGACAGCGCTGGACACTACGTTCGAAGATCTCGACAAGCAACGGGGTGAAAAAGACAAAGAGGTCCAGGACAAATTCGAGGCGATCGGCACCACGATCACGGAGCTCGAGTCCCAGCGCGAGGCCCAACGCACGCAGGACGAGTCCCAGCGCGAGGCGCGCGCAAAAGAAATCGACTCGAGGTTCGACGCCGTGGAAGAGAAGCGGCTGGCCGACGACGAGCGACACGCGGCGCAGACCGCAGCCATCTCCAAGGAGTTTGAAACGGCCGAGGAGAACAGGCGGACCGCCGCTGCTTCCGCGGCGGAGGCGTTACTCAAACGCGACGAGGTCGTCGACGGCAAGTTCCAAACGGTCGAACAGACACACACTGAGTTCGTGAGCGCCATGGAGGAAACGTTCGAGGCCCTCGACGTGGAGAAGCAGGAGCTCGTAGGCCGCGTAACCGATGTGGAGGCGATCGCCGTGCTCGCAGATGAGACTAACAAAGAGCAGGCGACGCAGATCGAAGCCGCTGAGGCCAAGGCCACGGCGGTTGCTGAGGCGACGGCGGCGCGCAACGCCGAAGTCGACGGCCACCTGCAGCAGCTGCGGGACGACGCGGCCGCCGTCGCGACGGCCGATGCCGAGAGGCAAACGGCGCTGGACGCTCGGCTGACCGAGCGCGACACGAAAGTCGACACTGCGCTGGCGGAGACGGAAACCAAGCTCACGGCGGTCGACACGCGACACGAGGAGTTCGTGGGCGCGATGCAAGAAACATTTGAGGCGTTCGACGTCGAGTCGAAAGCCATTGAGACGCGCCTGTTGGAGAAAATGGACGCGGTGGAGGCGGACCGGCTCGAGCGGGAGGTGGCGTCCGCCGAGGCGCTCGAAACTTGGTTCACGACGCTGGAGGCGGAGCGTGTGGAACGTGAGGAGGCTGCAGAGGCGGCTCGGGTCGAGCGTGAGGCGACCGCGGCGGCGGCGCTGGCAGAGCGGGAAAAGGCCCTAGAGGAGCGCTTCCAGAAGCTCGACGACGAGAGGATCGCAAGGGAGACAGCGTCCAAGGCCGAGCTCGAGGAGCGCTTTGCTACGCTCGATGCTGAGAGGCTCGAGCGCGAGGTGGCGCTCGAGGAGCGGTTCCAAAAGCTCGACGCCGAGCGGATCGAGCGGGAGGCCGCTGCTGCGGCCGAGGCCGAAAAACGGGAAGCCGCGCTCGAGGCGAAATTCGCGGAAATCAGCGCCGACATTGACGCAAAAGCCAAGGCCGCGGAAGACGCGGCGGTCGCGCGCGCCGCGGAAATCGAGGCCGCACTAACGGGCGCCCTGACGGAGCAGGAAGCAAACTGGACGAAGCGAGCAGACTTCGGCGACTCCATCTCCACCGCGCAGCAGAGCCTCCTCGACCAGGTCCTGGCCGTCCTCGCGCGCGACACGGCGGCCGAGGTGAAGGCCATGCGCGACGCGCGGGCGGCGATCGCCGCGGTCAAGGCCTAGGCCCCAGTTTAAGAATTACGATAGACCCATGTTACACGAAGAGCTTCCGCCGCGCCCGGACCGAATCCCGCCACCCCAGGCCCTCCTCGGCCTGCGGTCTCACTAAAGTCAGCCGCCGCTTCTTGTTGTCCCTCCGTAACAACGAGAGCAGCTTCTCCGCGGGCCCCGCCGTCCCGTTGACGGCCACTATTCTATCCCCCGCGCGCACGCCCGACGACGCCCAGGCCTGCTGCACCGTCGGCACCGCGAGCGCCAACTTGCACCCGAGAACAATCAGGGACCCCTCGTATGTTTGTGAAGCGAAGACGAAGGGCTCATCGGCCGCTGCGACCTCTAAACCGGTCGGGCGCCGCTTCCCGGCCGACGCCCTTTCCAAAACCAAGAGATCGAAGCGGTGGCCGCCGTCGCGGACCGAACAGTTGATATCGACGGGCGCTTTGATCGTCGTCGCGGCGGTCTTCAGCTTCGCCGCGAGGACCGTGGACTTGGCGGGCTTCTTCCGGTCACTCGTGACCTGTGTGGAAATCAAACAGGCGTCGCGTGACTCGCGTCGACGGCGTAAGACGCTCTCGCCGCCCGGCTGCGTCAGTGAAGCAAGAAACGCCTCGTAGTCGCGCCAGGTCTGCCGCTCTTTGAGTTGTTGCACGCGCGCGCGCTGGACGTCCTCTTGAGCTTTTCTAGCGTACCAGGCGCGCTGGATGAGTTGCGCTTCCGTCTCGAGCACTCCTAGATCTCGCGCGACGTCCCGCGCCGCGTTGCGTCTTCTGGAAAGCCACTTCCGCGCCACGCGCTGAATTTTTAGCGAGGCCTCGTACTCGTCCCGCGGCGCGAGCTCCGGCGCGAGGCTCCGCTCAATGTCGTAGTTGCGCCAGTACCTGCCTTGGTCCTGATCCGGCTTATCCACAAAATAGTCCGCTATGGAAGAACCGTCGTGGCGCGGCGACGTGCGAGTAGAGAAGAAGCTCGTGCCGTCGCTTATACGGGGCCCTTTGTCCCCGCGCCACGGGCCCTCTCTGTTTTCATACTCGCCGCGGATGCGGGCCTGCGTCTGGTGCTCCTTCTTGTCGGAGATCTGCTTCATGTCGGCGCCGTGGGCCCCGAAGAGGTCCACGCCGAGGAGGGACTGCATCGGCCTCGTCTAGCGCCGCTGGTCAAAAAAGCTCTCTGAAACTATTTTGTAACCGCTGAGCGGCGGCGGCTCGTTCTGAGCGTTCCGCGACAGTGCGGGAGACTCGGCGATTAACCGCGGTCTAAAAATGAGCGAGCGCCGCTCACACACGAGGTACAGAGCTAGAGGTCACGCCAATAATAACCAGCTAGCGGCCGTAAGACACTAGCAAAAATCGGACCGCAGCGGGGCAGCCGCGGCAGCCGCATAGTTCGTACCGAAAACATCACATAGATGCCGCCCCACCGACGACGACGGCCACTCGCCCTACTCACGCTCGCCCTCGCCGCCGCCCAGCGCGACAACCACGACGCCCCTGTATACAGTGACTGCGAGCTCCACTGCGACGGCGGGTCCTGCGCCTACCGGCATTGTGATGATATAAGTTGTCGGGGCGGCGCCTGCCGCTTCGAGGACTGCAAGCGGCCGTCGTGCGACGGCGGCGCGTGCACGTTCGTCCGGTGCGCGGACCCCAGTTGCCGCGGCGGCGGCTGCGAGTTCACGGACACGACGACGACGCTGGGCTGGGGCTATTGCGACGGCGGCAACTGCCGCGTGCAGGGCGAGGAGTGGCCGTCGCGCGTCGCGGGCGTTTTGTCGTTCTGAGACTCGCGTGTGTAGTAGTAAGTCATGGTTAGTAGAGCTAGGGGCGAGCTCCTAGGCCGCCTTCGAGGCCTTGTCGGCCGCGGCCATGGCCTCGTACTTGGACTTGTCGCCGACGCCGCGCCACTCCTCGCCCAATTTGGTCATGACGAGCGTGTACTTGAAGTCGGCGCCGAGCTGGGCCTTGAGCTCCTCGGTGAGCGACGGCCGGCGCTCGGCGCAGAAGTGCATGTAGGCGCTGAGCGGCCGCTTCGGGCCCTGGGCCTTTTTCTCGGCCTTCGTGAGCACGCCGGCGGCCTTGAGCGCGGCGTCGTACCTCGCTTTATCCTCCTTAGCCTGTGTGGAAATCAAATGTTGGGCGGCCACGCTGCTCGACAGCGTCGAGGTTCCACGCCATCGACGCGACGACGATCCCATTCCTGCGTCTGCTCGATGGCGTGGAGGTCGACAACCTAACCCACTGGTTGATGTCCACACCGCGTCGTGCCTTCTGGTTGTAGGTCGCCTTCTGCGCCTCGGGCAGCTCGCGCCAGAGCGCCCCGAGTTTCGTCATGACGAGCGTCTGCTTGAACGAGTCGCCCGCCAGCCGCTTCTGCTCTGCCGTCACCGTGGCCCGTTCGTCGTTGCAAAAATGCATATAGGCGCTCAGCGCTGCCTTGATGGGGTTGCCGTTCGCGTCCGTGTACTTGGCCTTCAGCGCGACGCTCCTCGCTGTTGCCCGGAGGGCCGGCGCGAAGCCGGTGACCGGCGCCAGCGCGGCGGCGAGCGCCAGCGTCCGGTACATATTGGCTGCCGCAACGATTGGTGCGAGGCGAGGGCCACTCCACGGCTCACAGCGAGAAACAGAAGCGCGAAGCGTGCTAGCTAGTGGACAGACATACTAGGATCAGCTGGCGCCAGACATGTTATCTGTAAAGACGCATTCCGCGCCTCGAGACGCTACCAGGACGCCTCGACGCGCCACAGTGCGTAGAGGCTACCAGGACACCCTGATGGGGGAGGCCCATAGCTCGCCGCTCGGCCCGGAGGAGGAGCAGCTCATCATGGACAGGTAGTGTGTAGTTTAACATTCATTACGCAGGCTTCTCCGCCGGCGCGGGCGCGGGCGCGGGCGCGGGCGCGCCCGCGGTCGCCGCCGGCACGGCAGAAGGCGCCGTCGGCGGCCGCGACGGCGCCGTCGCCGCCGTCGCCGGCCGCGAGTCACTCAAAAGGAAGCCCCTCTTGAGGCCCCGAAATTCCATCTCCTGGGCTTCCGGAGCTACTTTGCTGGTCCGGTGGGGCTTCTTTTTTAAGCGGTCCGGCAGGGACTCGTACCACGCGTCTTCGTCAAACTCGACGAAGTTCTCCTTGGCCTCCTTCTTCGCGGCCTTCTTCAATCGAGCTCTTTCGGCCTTCCGTTTATTTTTCTTCTTGTCGATCGCGGCTTGTTTGGCGGCTCGTTTGCGCTCCTCGCGGTGCTTGAGGAAGGCCCTCAGAGCTTTATCCCTTTCCGCGTCGTAGTGCGGCTCCCAAAAGAACGCCGCGTAGACGGCCCCGGGGATGAGGAACGGGCAGAGCGCCAGCGAGATGAGGTGCGGCTCCGACCCGCATTCATCATAATTCGCCACCGTGTTGCATTGACAGAAGATACGCTGCGCGAGATTTGGGTCCTCTAAACCATTCCCGCAGCACGCGTAGCAGCACGCGTTGACTACGCAAGGGTGCTCGGGAAATTCCCAGTACCTGTCGATGCAGGCGGGGAAGATCTCGCAGCAGATGCACATGGCTTTTTTGTGGGTGGCTGGCTACATGCTATGGTGTCGCGTCGACGGCGTTCGAGAGGCAGCCCTTCACGCAGACCACAGCGCCGGGGGCAACGCTTACTAGTGTCTTACCGCCGCTAGTAACGAGAAGCGTATGGGGTCCGTACTACCTGGGGGTGGGTTCAATAAGTGGCTCTCTCTCTCTCTCTCTGAGACACAGTGGCGAAGCGTTCGGGGTCCATACTACCTGGGGGTGGTTTCAATAAGTGGCTCTCTCTCTCGAGTTGAATTGCCGTCGAGTTGAATTAATCCCTCTTAGCCAAGCCACCCCCCGAACACGCGGCCCGTCACACCCTGCGCCGAGTCGCGCTCCGCGTCGACGGCGCCAGAGCCCCACCTCGCCGGCCCGCCGGGCGCCCGGCGCGGCGTCGAAGCCTTGAGTTGTGCTTCGATTTCCGCGAAGTCCGGCCGGTCCGCCGGCTGGTGCGTCCACGAGCGGACCATGAGCTCCCGGAGCTCGGCCGGCATCCCGGCCGGCACGGGCGGCCGTTCGCGCTTGTCGACGACCTTTCTCATGATCTGCATCGGCCGCAGGTCGCTCCACGGGACTTGGCGGCTCCAGATTTCCCACAGCACGATGGCGTACGAGTACACGTCGCTCTTCTCCGTAAACGTGTTGTCTTCCAACAACTCCGGCGCCATGAACGCGCTCGTGCCCGCGGCGCCGCCCCCGCCCTGTGTGGTTTGCGTCGTGCGCAGGTCGTCGCATTTGGACAAACCAAAATCCGTCACCTTGCCGCGGAGGTTGCTCGTCAGCAATACGTTCAGCGCCTTGAGGTCGCGGTGCTCGACGCCCTGCGAGTACAAGTGCGCCATCCCCAGGGCCACGTCGAGGCCCCAGACGCGCTGCAGGTCGGCGGTGACCTTGCCCGATTCGCCGTCGAGACACGCGCGGAGGGACCCCCCGGCGCAGTACTCCATCACGAGGCCGAGGAACGTCGTATCCGTCGTGACCACGCCGTAGAAGCGGGCGACGCGCGGCGACCGCAGCTGCGTCATGATCGCGAGCTCGCTCTTGAAGTGATTGAGCATTCTCTGGCGCTTGGTCGCCGTCATGCCCACGAGCGACATCTTCTTGAGCACGACGCTTTCGCCCTGATACTCGGCCATGAAGACCTCGCCCTCGCCGCCCTTGGCGAACCTGTGTGGAAATCAGCCAGTGAGTTAGGTTATCATTGCGCAGAAAGCACGTCGCGTCGACGGCGTGGGGCGCCCGAAATTTGATGTCCACACAGTCGCGAACGGCTCGTCCTCGACGTAGTCGAGCTGACGCTCGTAGCGCTCTAGTTGAGCGTCTTTGAGCTGGCGCACGGCCTCCTTCTTCGTCTTCCGCCGCAGCGAGTCGCTGAGCCCCTGGACCTGCTGTTTCAGGTCCGCGTCGCGCGTTGCGCCGGCCTCGACGGCCGCCAGGATCGCGTCGTCGCGCGCCGCGCTCGCCTCCACGGCCCGCAGCAGTTCTTCGTCACGCGCCGCGGCCGCGTTGACGGCCGTCGCGATGGCGGCGAGTTCCTCCTTGTCGCCGTCCCGCCCGGCCAGCATCTCTTGCATCTTCTTGTCCAGGTTCCCGAGGCCCTCCTTGACCTCCAACCTGAACTCCTGGAGCTCGCTGGACAGTTCCGACGCGGCCACGCGGCCATCCGCGGCGACGCGCGCGACCGCCGCGGGGTCGTCGGAGAGCACCGCCACGACCTTGCCCTCGGGGTCGCCGGTCGCGCGCACGCGCTCCGCCACGAGCTGCCCCACCGACGCTTCGATCCGGTACGTCCGCTCCATCATGAGATGGTCGACCGACCTGTGCGCAAATCAAACAGTGATGCGGCCGATCGAGCTGGAGACGCCGCGACAATTTGATTTATGGCACAGGCACCGACAGCCGGTAGACGTCCCGGAAGATCTGCAGCTGCGCGACGACGCGCTTGTCCAACCGCCCGAGCGTCTTGACGTGGCTCTGCATCTTGAACGCGCGCTTGAGCCAACCTTTTTTGCCGAACTTGCGAACGGCGGCGTTGAACTCGACGAGCAGGTCCACGAGCTCCCGCATCGCCTGCTCCACCAACTCGCGGCCCTCCGCGAGATTGTCCACGTTCCGGACCATCATCTGGACGACGTTGAGCACGTCGACGACGCGCTTCGCCGCGACCAGGACGTCGTCGGCCTTCTCCGAGAATTCCTCGGCCGAGCCAAGGCAGGACTGAGCCGCTTCGCAGAGCCGCCCGACGAGCGGGAGGCTGCTGCCGGCGGAGAGCAAAGCGCTCGCGACCGTCATGCCGTTCTGCACGACGCTCGACGTCTCGGCGTGTCTCTTGAGCGCCGACGGCGGCGGCGCGTCCTCGCCCGCCGGCCGGTCGCGCCCCGTGAGCGAGGCGAACCAACCCCGCTTGGGCGCCGGCGCCGGCGCCGGCTCCGACGAGCCGAACCAGCCGCCCCCGGGCGCCGGCGCCGGTGCGGGCGCGGCGGGGCTCGGCGCCGGCGCCACCTCGCGCGCGGTGCCCGTCGGCAGCGGCACGTCGACGTTGACGGATTCGCCCGCCTTGACGCCCTTCGGGACGTTCACCACCATCGAGACGCCGTCGACGCTGATGCCGAAGCTCGTCGCGGCGCCGAGGTTCGGGGGCACGACGACGCGGACGCGCCGCGTGCCCGGCGGCGGCGGCGCCGCCTCGGGCTTCTTCCCGCTCTTCTTTTTTGTCTTGGACCCGAACCAAGACGAGCTCTTCTTTTTGACGGGCTGCGGCGCCGCCGCCGGCACCTGCAGGTCCAGCGTCTGCCCGGGCCGCGCACCGGGTGGTAGTGGAACTTCGTGTACGGTACCGTCGAGCGTGAATCGTATTGTTCTAGAAGCCGGTATAGTCGCGGGCACGGTGAGCCGCACGGCCTTCATCGCTTGTACATTGCTGGCGGCCTGCGGCGGCAAATTTTGTGTCGTCCGCGGCGACGCCGCGGCCTGGACCGCGATGCTGATGACCTGGCCCGGCACGACGCCGGGCGGCAGCTGGACCTTCACCTGTTGGCCGTTCGGCAGCGTCGCCTGCACGGTGCTGCCCACCGTGGCGCCCTGCGGCACTTTGACGCGCACGACCTGTTGCTGGGCCGCCATCGTCGTCTCCCCCTGGCTCTGGTCCATCCGGGCTGCCCAGCGCTGCCGCATCGAAGCGGCTGCCGCTCAGGCACGCGGAGTATCTTCCACCGGGGTGAAGACGCTAACACCGGTCGTGTGATCGAAATCGCCGGTCCGCGCGGCGTGGAAGATACGGCTGTCGATGACAATCCTTGCTAGTGTCTTACATGACGCTAGCTATTATTATTAGGCCGAGCAGCAGCACGGCCTGTTTGCAGCATCCACTGCAACGCGAAGCCACGCAACGAGCACGCGACCCCTGAGACCGTTTCCACCACGTAGCCGAAGCGTGCCGAAACACTAGACAGCATGCGTGCCGTTCTGCTACTATGCTCTGCGGCGCTCTGCGCCGCATTTGTGGCCCAGCCGTCGAGGCCGAGGCTCACAAAGGCCTACAACGCGGACCCCCGGGAACGAGGCAACGTGGGCCCCCGAGTCTCTGAAAATACACTGATAAACTGCCGTTGACGCCGGCGACGACGGTCCGCGCAGGTCGACGACGACCCGTCGTACGAGGACGTCCTCGACAGCGGCATCGACTACAAGAAGGACGCGTCGGGCCGCGTGACGCCGGCCGTACGACCCGCGCGGAAGGCAAAATCTGAAACGTGGACGCCACGCCGGATTATAGAAGTCACATCCGAAACGCAATCGACGCGACGTCCCCCGCAGGCCATGACCGTCGGCGAGGGCATGGCGCTCAAGGACGTCATCGCGCCCGAGCTCTGGAAGGACTTTGGCCTCGACGAGAACGGCGACCCCATCGAGCAGTAATAATAACTTATGAAGACTAGTCCATGCGCCCCTTGAGCGACTTCGACGTGATCCCCTGCGGCGTGATCACGTGGACGACGGCGCCCCAGCCCGACAGGGCGTCTCGATCGACGGACGCCAGGAGGCACTGGGAGATCGTCTCGAAGAGCTCGTCGGGCGCCATGTCGGGACGCCACATGGACTCGCACATGCCGTTGAGGTTCGGCGTGCACGTGCCCGAGACGACGTAATCATCAGTGTACACGGGGGCACCGATCAGGTCCATGCCGCAGAGGAAGGGGCTCCCGTCGTCCTTCAGGCCACACACGACGGGCTCGACGAAGTAGGGCCCGAAGCGCTTCTCGTAGAGCATGTGTGATAACAATGCAGAAAACGCTTCCGGCTTCATGACCCGTTCCTCTCGTAACTCGTAGAGGGCGAGCTTGAACTTTAAAGTGTTTCTCAGAGTTTGGACGTCCGTCGCCAGCCCCGCCAACCCCACAAACATCCGGTCGGACATCTTGAAGACCTTCTCGAAATCACACGCTACTGTTTGTTGTTGGAGGCCGAAGCGCGTGTCGGCGGCGATGGCCACGCAATTCTTGCCGGCCATGCAAATTATTGCGGCCCCATTATGCTGGAGGATGGACATGATTCAACGCGCGGCGGCGGCGTGCGCGGCGTCGTGTGCGCGCGCGCTGCGCTGGTTGGGGGGGGTCGCCGCTGACCGCCTTGTGGCTTCGCTGTGCGCGCTTTTGCCCGCGGCGCGAGTAGCGCTGCGTCTGCGCGTTGCGTTGAACGCGTCTGTTGTTGCCGCGCAATCTATGCGCCCGCGCTTTGAGAAAAAGCCGGCGCCCGCGCGAGTCGAGAAAAAACCCGATTTGTTTGTCGAGAAAAAATTCACAGCTCGATAGAATCCTCCCCGGGGTCGATTTAGAAGACTCCGTGCACCGGTAGTTCTCATGCGTTTCCGAATTGCTCCATTCCATGATGGGGTGATGACTTAGGTGCTGCCCCTGCAGCCGCGAGCCGCGCCAGCGATCGCGAACACAGCATTCATGCATGAAAAGCCAGAACAACCATAGTGCAGTTACCATACCACTGCACGCAGCATCACTACTCCATTCTCCGTGCGCCTCAATCGCACAGCAGTGAACAATGGCCACGGCGGGCCTCACCTATGACGAGGTCATGGCCCAGAGTGCTCAAGCAAAACCACAGCAAGGACTAGTGCTCGACGAGGCCTTTGACGTGATCCACCAAGACGACGACAAGTCCGAGGAAGAGGACTTTGAAGACATCGAGGTCGAGATCAAAGATGATTATGTGGGGCGGTGCACTTCGGTCTTCGTTCAGTACCCGCGGCGCGTCGTGGTGAGCATATTACTGATAACGGTACTCGCTATGTACGCGACCTACTTGGATAACTTCTCGATCACGGTCCCGTCGCCCTACGACTGGGAGTGTCCTGATGACGAGTATACTTTGTTGAGGGATGCCATGATGAGTGCAGAGGACGAGGCCGACGAGTCGAAAGCATTAACTACGAGGGGAGACGCGACGTTTCCCTTCTACTACTTTTACGACTCCGAGCCGTGGAATAGGGATGCGAACTGCGACGGGGGCATCTTCACGCCCCAACGGTTGCGGGCCATGTGCCTCGCCGAGGAGATCCTGACGTCCAATAAGGAGTATCAAGAGGACTACTGCTTGCTGGTGAACGGTACTTGTGCGACACGTAGTGCGTCGGTGCTCCAATTTTTTTATGATGATGCGCCCTGTTCATTGTTGGATCAAGCGCGAATCGACCAAGGGTGGGCGGCGCTCCAAGGCAATGTCTTCTTCGTGGACAAGCACGCATTCCAAAGAGGCTACGCGTGTAAAGCAAGGTCCATCATCTACCTAGGAACACCGCTAACAGGCTATGACGAAACCTCGAAAATAGGCGACGACCAGGCCCTGGAGATGCAGGAAAAGTTGGGCAGCGTGATGGAGCAAGCCTTGTGGCGCTCCTACGACATGGAAGGCCACACGCTCAACAGCAAGTACAACCAGGCCGCTCGATCGTCAGGTATGAGTGTACTGTGGTTCGCCCAGCCTCTGGCGCAGCGCGAGTTCTCTAGATTAGTGAATGAGGACTTTCTCGTCGCGTTCGCGTCGGTGCTATTTGTCTGGTGCTATCTCATGTATCATCTGGGGTCATGCTTTGTGGGGAGTATGGCCATGCTCCAAATAAGCGTGTCGCTACCTCTGTCGTTATTCTTTTACAGGGTAGTGTTCCGCATCAGTTATTTCGCGGGCATGCAAATTCTTGTAGTCTTTGTCATACTGGGCATCGGCGCGGACGACTGTTTCGTTTTTGTGGATGCCTGGAAGCAGTCATTGCTTTTACACGATGATACACATAAGAGGTTGCAGTACGCCTATGCTAGAGCCTTACAATCGATGGCGAACACGTCATTGACGACGGCGGCCGCGTTCCTAGCCACGGCGATTAGTCCGATCATGCCCATTGCCGCGTTTGGGATTTATGCTGCTATATGTGTCCTGATGAACTATGTGCTGGCGATGACGATGCTGCCCGCCGTGTTAATTTGGCACCATAACTCCTCAAAGTGCTGTACGTGTAGTCGCACGGAGATCGTGGAGGGCGGTACGTGTGTTGAACGTTATTTGACCATCCTTTCGTGGAGGAAGAAAATCATAGCCAAGATTTTGGTATTGGTGCTAGGCGGCCTCTCCTGCACGGCGGCCTACCTCGCGTCACGCCTCGAACCACCGAGAGAACCGGAAGAGTGGTTCTCGCAGAAGCACATGTTCCAGCAAGTCGCCGACTTGATAGGCGGTAGTAATGGAGGCGCCTACGGCGCCAACGAGGACCAGGCCTACGATGCATTTCATGTCGTCTTTGGGATCGAGGGCGTGTCTCGGGATGATTTTGATCCGTATGTGCCTTCGAAGCGACTGGCGTCCCCTGACTACGTCGCTATTGACCTATACGAGGCGCAGGACGCCTTCCTCCAAGCTTGTCATCTAGTGGAGACCTTCGCGGCGCTCGTGCGGCCCAATACCACTCTATGTTTTCTGCGCGAGTTTCAGCAATGGCAAACGGAAACGTATGCTAGTACTGCAATGGACAGGGCGACCTTTGATTCGAGGTTAGCCCTCTTCCGTGATTCCACGCAACCTTCGAACAAATTACACGGCGCCTGGAAGGCGCCTGTTGGTATCGTGAATGGTGAACTCAAATACGTGAGGATCGACGGCCGCATCTCGATGACGCAGGGGGCGGCCATTGATGAGAGAAAGAAGACGTTGCGGCGGGCTCAAAAGTTGCTTAAAAAAATACAACAGTTGGACGCGCCGTTTTTGCGACCGGACAAGGCGTTCCAAGTGAGCGGGGCCTGGCTCTGGTACGAGACCCAAGTCGCGTTGGTGCGAGGGCTGACGACGGGGATTAGTATTGGCTTTCCCGTGGCGTTTCTGGTGTTAACCGCAGCGACGCGGAACGTGATTCTCTCTTTATATGCGATCGTGGTCATCGGCTGCGTCGTTTCTGGAGTATTGGGGTTGTGCTATTTACTAGGATGGTCGCTGGGCATCCGCGAGTCCGTCGCCGGCGTCATCGTGATTGGATTAGCTGTCGACTACACGATCCACCTGGGCCACATGTACGACCACGCGCGCTTCCACGCCCATCTGGCCACGAGAGATGAAAGGACCGCGTACGCGCTGCGGAAGATGGGTCGTACCGTGTTTGCGGGCGCCGTGACGACGGCCGGCGCGGCGTCCCTCATGTTCGCGTGCCAACTCACGTTCTTCGTCCAGATGGCCTGCTTGATCGTCTTCACGATCGCGCTGTCTATTTCATTAGCGCTGGGTCTGTACGTGCCCCTTTTGCATGTGATTGGGCCCGAGCGGGAACAGGGCAACCTGTGGTTTCTCTGGCGGCGGTTATGTCCTCCCAAAGAGAAAGCTGCCGCGTCCGAAAAACGGGCGGCGTCGTGGCGCCTGGATCCGGTCGCGACGACGCCGGCGCCGCGGGGGCTCGCGCGGCCTCCAAGCGCGCCGGCGAGTGTAGACTCTCCGCCTTACGGAGGGGCTGAAGCATAGTAACTATTGTAGTATTGACACCGGCCCCCTTGCTAAAAATGGCAGCTGGAACTCGGGGTTCGGGCAGAACTCGTCGCCGATGAACGTGAACGAGAGCACGTGCTCCTGGAGCCACCTCCGGAAGGCCGCCCGCTGCATGAAGGGCTGCTTGTCGACCGCGTCGCGGAACAGGTCGTTCGAGATGATGACGCCGTCGTGGTTCCGCGCGTACTCGATCTGGTAGGCATCATCATAATCCTGCGACGGCGTGCCGAAGAGGACGCCGCGCCTCTGGAGGCCCTGCAGGTAGACGACGTCGTCCGGCGTCTCCGCGGGCCTGCCACCTAGCTTCTTCTTCGCGGCGACCTTCCTCGCGTCCAACAAGTAGTCGGGCAAAAAGAGCGCGACGCGCGCGCCCGGGAACCGCCTCCCCAGGTAGTCGAGGCAGATCTCGACGCCGCGACAGCTGAACGCCTCGTTGCGGCCGTGCCTCAAGGCCACGTTCGACGCGTCGACCACGAACAGGAAGGGCGGCGCGCCCGGCATCGGGAGCACGGGCTGGACCGACGGCGCGGGCGGCGGCGGCGGCGGGGCCGCGGGCGGCGCGGGCGCGGGCGGCGCGGGCCGCTGCGCGGGCCGCGACCAGGGCCGCCGCGCGTCCGGCGCGAGGCCCGGCTCCGGCAGCGCCGGCGACCGGCGCCCTTCCGGCTGCGCCGCGGGCGACCGCGGCCGCGTCCAGGGCCGCCGCGCCTCCGCCGATGACTGGAACGCCGCCGGCGGCGCGGGCACGGCCGCCGCCAGGTGCGCGCTCGCGGCGGCCTGTAGTAAGTCGGATTCTGCGCGGTCGCGCGGCGCCGGCTCGTAGGCCGAGGGGGCGGTGCGCGGCGCCGGCGCCGGCGCCGGCGGCGGCGCGACGCCCAGGGCGTCGAGGACGCCGGCCATGTCGGACGTCTTGAACGGCGCGGGCGCCCCCGGAGCCTTTACGTCCATCTCCGCCGCGAGCGCGACGAGGCGCCGGCACCGCTCCGCGTGGCATCTATCGACATTCTTCTCGACGGCCGTGACGTCGGTCGTGCGCAGGCACGGCGCGTCGTCGAAGATGCCGGCCGTGCGCAGGTCGTCATCTAATGAGCATGCGGCCGAAGACGCGTTCGATGGACAAGCCCGCGCGAACTCCGCTAGGCGAGCCGCGGCCTTGCCTTTTGGTGCTCTATAAGTCGTCGCCGCGAGCCATCTTAGACCAACGAGCGCGGCCGGCGCCGCGCGGCGTTTCGTGGAATCGTTCGCCAGGGCCCCATCCAAAGCCGCCTCGCAGATCTGGTCGCACACTAAATGGGCGGCGGCCACCGTCGGCGCGTCGCAGGTCACGGCCGCGCGCCGCGCTAACACACAAGCCGTCGCGACGACCCGTGCCAAATCGTCGGCCTGCGCTTTTGATACCGTCCGTCTCAAGACCGCTCTCGCTTGCCCGCCGGCCCGCTCCAGCTCCATCAACGCGTCCGCGGCGGCGCGCTCCCGGGGCCCGTGGCAGACGGCGCACGCCGCGGCCGCGAGGTAGGCCTCGGCGTCCTGTATCCGCGGCTCCTTGATAAATGTAAGGCGCCGCTGGGCCTCCGCCGCGGCCCGTCTTAATGCTTTGGGCGCGTCGCCATAGGGCTCGCGCGCGCAGCCCGCCCGCAGGTACCAGTGCGCCGCCTCCTCCGGTTTATCAGAAGCGTCGCAGAGCGCGCCGACGTTGCCCGCGGCGCGGCCCTTCGCTGGTTTCAAACGTAACGCCCTCAAATAACAGACGCGCGCGCTGTGACCCCCATTATCCACGAGCGTTTCTCTATACCTTTCGAGATCACCTAAAGCCATCAACAGCTCGTGCGCCTGGCCGACGCGGTTGCCTTGCAACGCGTCGCCCAGGATCGGCGCAAAAGCTTTCACACCTTCATCGACAACGCCGCGCAGCGCCGCCTTGCCCTCGGAATTCGCTTGCCGCGCGACGTGGAGCGCGGGCTGTAATAAAATGCGCTGCGCGCGCCAGGCCTGCCGCGCGGCGTCCTCCAGCCCCTTCTCTCCATTTGAACCGCTGCACCCGCTCAACCGCGCGTCGCGCACGGCCCGCGCCAAATGCGCGGCCGCCGGCACGCCGGCTCGACTCGACTCGACGGCCGCGAGGCGGCGCTCGCCCCGCCGCACGGCCTCGAGGCGCGCCGGGCCGGAGGCGGCCAGGACCTCGCGCGCGACGGCGTCCATCTCGGGGCCCGTCGGCGGCGGCCGCTTCGGGCGGCGGTCGCCTCCTCTCGCGGACGGCATTTTTTCTTCCTTTTGCGGTCTCGGCTTGTAACTGTAGACGCGTTCGGCTTTTTTGCGCTGCTTGGCGGGCTTCGCCTTGCGCTTCTTGGCGGTCCCGGCCTTGACCTGCTTCGCGAACTCCGCGCTGCGCTTCGTTGGCTTCTTTGCCTTTGCCATAAATGGGCGCAGAGTTGCGCCACCTCCTCTGTCTCTACTGCAGCTGCTGGTCTCGGCACCAGGGCTGTGGAGCTGCTGTGGGGCTGTGGTCCTGTGTTCCTGCCTCTGCTCAGCCGGCGCGCCTTGCCGTGCTGCAGCGCTGGTGCAGGGCTGCTCGGAAACACGCCACGAGACTCAGGAAGGTGGATGGCTGCGCAGTTGGCGGCAAAAGCCCAAAACTCCAGGTGGATAGAGCTAGCGTGACTGAGGCACTAGCGAGCTCAGGGGGGTCGAGCGCCGGCACGAAATCGCTGCCCTATTGCCACATGGAGGTCCGCATGAATGCGGAGCTGCCGGCCTTCGACAAAACATTAGAAGACAAGGCCTTCGCCGAGGCTTTGGAGGAGGATGGGCTGCCTCCATTATATCCCAACCAGCCGCGCTGGGCCTTCGAGGACGGCCGCGGCGGCGCCGAAGCCGAAGCCTTCGCGCAGCGGCGCAGCGACGCCGCCTTCGCGCACGTGAAGTTACTGGCAAGGCGGAATCGCGGGAAAAAACAACCGCCCGGCGACTGGCGCGCCCTCTTATCAACGGCGGGCCTGCGCCCATCGGAACCGACGTCAAAAATCTTCACGGACACGAAAACGCCGATCTCCGTCGACGCCTTCATGGGCGAGTTGGTAAGGACGAACCAGCTCGCGTTCGGGCCCGACGCCGGTTCAAATGTCCCGCCGGAGGCTAGGTGCTGCGACCGCTGTGGCGCGGTCACGCCCTGCGTCTGCGCGTGTGGTGTGTCATTCTGCTCGCGCGTGTGCTTGAAGGAGGCGTGGCCCGAGCACGCGCCGTCGTGTGCGGTTGTGTTCAAAAACGGGCCCGTCGCGTACACGACGTTAAATGAAAGGGAGTTCGGCGACGCGCGGGGGCCCGACGACCGACCGGCGTCGGAGAGCTGTGCCCACTGCGGCGTGCGCGGCGCGACGGCGCGCTGTGGACGCTGTAGAAAGGTCGTCTACTGCGGCCGCGCGTGCCAGGCGGCGGCCTGGGGCCGGCACCGGAAGCTGTGTAAGTAAGATTGTTAAGAAAACTGGAATTGGAAACAGGAGTAGAATTCAGGGGGCCACGTACTCGCCCGCCACGACGACCTCGGCCGGAGGCTCGCCCGCGACGACGACCTCGACCGGAGGAGCCTCGTCGGCTTGTACCACCTTGAAGAGCAGATAGTATTCATACCAGCCGCCGCCGTCGCCCGAGCTATGATGATACTCCTCCTCGCGCGACACCGCGACGCCGACCTTGCCGTACTTTGGCAGGAGGCGCCCCACCTCCTCCTCCACCGCGATGTCCCACCTTTTTTGATACAGGTAACTCACGGGCCAGTAGTAGAGGAAGGATGCCGCGAGAACCGCAAAAGTAAGACCATTTTGACCTTCGAGCTTCGCGTGCAGGCTGCCGGCGATGGCGGTTAAGACCAATATAAGCAGTATGAGTATACGCCAGTCCTTCATGCGAAACAAGACCCGGGTCGCGGCCCGCACGTGCTCGTTCACAGCCTCGATGTCGGCGGCGAACGCAGCCTCATCGATGCCGCGGGCGGCGAGGAACGGCGGGTAGGTATCCGGAAACCGCCCGTGATCGGTGAAGCAGCAATTCTCCTCCCCTCGACAGATGGCCCCGCAACTAGGTTCCTTCCATTTGAGCCACCCGGCCGGTTTTTGCTGCCCTTGGTTCGAGCAGGAGTTGCCCATTGTTGGTTGATCGACGCTGCCCCGGCTATTGATGCTTGGCAGAGTAAGCCAAACAGCTGTTCCGGAGCGAGGGGACGTGTGCGGGTCTCTGCTAAGCTTGGAGTGGCGATTGGGCTGCCTTTTGCGACCGATGCATATGCGTCCAGGCCGGCTTGCTAGTGTGTTACAGGACGCTAGCAAGCCGAGTCGGGCTCGGGGGACAAAAGCGATCTCTCCTACCGCCCAGTCGTCGACAGCGAAGCATTCCTCGTCCGCCTCGGGCTGCGCGAGTCGTTTTGTGCGGATTCGCATCACATCGTCTAAAAATGATCAATGTCGTCGGTCGACCGCCGCTGGACGCCGCAGGCGTGCGGCTCTGCACCTTTGAGCATGTGCTATGCGACACGAGCAGCATGCCCTGCGATTGGCTGCCGTGCCACACCGAGGAGCTGCGGCGGGATGCCATGGTGAACGGCACCGTGCCGATCACGCTCGAGAACTTGGGACAGATCCGACGAGATCCGTGCTGTAGCGCTGAGAATTTCGTGCTCGACTCCTGCGACGACGCGGCGCGCGAGCTGGAGTCGGCCTTCGGTGCGGAGGGCGGCGCGGTCGTCTGCGACCTCACGACCGTCGACGAGGGCCGCGACGTCGATGGGCTCGCGCGTGTCGCGGCGCGGCTCGGTGAGAGCGTCGCGGTGTGCTTCGGGGCGTCGCTGCCGGCGGCTGACGTCGCGCGCGGCAGCGAGGACGAGATGCGAGTCGCGCTCGAGCGCCAGCTCGTCGTGGGCGTCGACGTCGCGACCGACGTGGCGCGTAATTTTGCCGCTGGCGCGCCGGCCGCGCCACGGGCCGCGTTTGTCGGGCCGCTGCGGCCGGCGCTCGACGAGGGCACCATACCGATCCTCTACGACGGCCACCCGGACATACCCTATATACGTGCCGCGGCCGCCGCCGCGTCGCGCCAGGGCGCGCCCGTCGTCGTGGTCCTGCCCGGATACGAGGGTGCCCAGCTCCGAAAATGCGTGCGCGCGGTGATAGAGCTCGCGGACGCGCCGGCCTGGGTCTTCCGGGTCGCGCGGCTCGACGACCAGCACCACACGGGGGACCTCGGCGACCTGCTCGAGCTCGCGCCGAATGTTTTGGTCGTCGCCGACGGCTGGTATCGGCCGTGTGATCAGGGGCCCCGGCCGCCGTCCAAATATCTCTTGAGTCATTATATCGCGGCCCAAGATCGCATCGTCGTCGCCGCCGGCGTGCGGTATCGGACGCAGCTGCGGAGGTACGGCGGCGCCGGTTATGGCGCAGGCCTCATCGCCGTCCGCGACGCCACTGATCGGGATATCAACTTCGCCGCCGCCGCGCCGAGCCTCGCCTGGTACCGCCCGCCCAAAAAGCGGCCCGCCGACGTCGTCGAGTTGCAATGCTCGCGCTGCGGCCGGAGCTTCGAGGTGCGGCGTGGCCACCACTACGGCAAATTCGACTTTGTGTATTGTGGTCGCGGCTGCCTCGACGCGCACCGGGATGCGGGCTTCGACGCGTCCGAGGTCACGGGGCCGACGGCGTCGGCTCAGGGGGTATAAGATTTGTTCCGAGTCGCGCGTTCAGGTATGACGCCGACCCGCGGCCCGCGTGCGGGGCAGCCTGCGAAGAGTTCGGAGTTTTGGCTGCGCGCAATTAAGGGCTGCCCCACGGCACCCATCAGCACACCAACACCGTCGGCAGCCCCGCCACCCGGCGCTACCTCCCACCAAAGCCACCGCTCCACGCCGCCGACGCGCCAGGTGCACCACCCAAGCGGACCAGTGCCACAGAGAGAGACACCAGCATGTGGAAGCTCCTCCTCCTCACCGCCGCCGCGACGGCGGTCGAACTCAAGCAAAAAATGATCATCCGCAACACGGGGAGCGAAGATCTGGCGGTCTACTTCATGGGCGCCCTGCACGAAGGCGACCTCAGCCTCTGGGACGGCTCCGAGACCTTAAATGATATTGTGAGCCCGGGCCAGGTCACGGCGAGGTATGTCAGATACAACGACTCCTTCGCCGTGCGGTCCGGCGACCTGAAGTGGCGCGTCCGGCTCTCGCTCTACAAGAACGACGACGCCGAGCAGCCCTACAAGATGACGTTCCACAACGTTATGACGGACGAGAAAGATCAACCAGTAGAACTCAAGCACCACGCGGCGGGCTACCTCTGGATCGAGCCGAACCACCACGTCACGCACAGCGCGGCGCAGGGCCACGAGTTCGCCCTGCGCGATAGGGAGTCGAAAGAAAGATTGGCCGTGTCGGTGCACGCGCTCGGTAGGGATGAGTTGTAAGACTTTACACTTGGGCGTCGACGCACCGCTGCTCCCAGGCGTCATGTAAATGAACCTGGGCGTTCGCCGGGTCCAGCAGCTCGTCGGCCGCGTCCAGCAGCTCGCTGCGCGCCTTGTACGCCTCGATCGCCTCTTCGACGTCGTCGCCTCCCACAAAACGTAAAGCAGCAGCAACCGGGTCGCCGCCCTCGGAATCGCCCTCCTCCCGCGCCTGCTCCCGCAGCTGCGCTCTAGCGCGTGCCCTCAAAGCCGCGGCGCGCGCGGCCATCTTGAACGAGAGGCCCGACGGCGCCTTCACCTCGGCAGCTGGCGCCGGCTCGGCCGGCGCGGCCGCCGCCTCCGCCGGCGCGGGGTCGCCCCACGCGGCGCGGGGCCCCTCGGCCGGCGGCGCCGCGTCGATGGGTGCCGCGGGCGTCGCGGGGCCGAAGGCGCCGGTCGCGGGCCCGGCATTCGCGGTGCTCCGCGCGCGCGAGGCCGCCGCCGCGAGCATCCCCGCGGGGCCGAACTTGAGCGTCGGCGGCCGCGGCGCCGTCGCGGCCGGCCCGAAGTTTAGGGTCGGCGGCTTGGGCGTCTCGGCCTGCACCGTTGTGGATGGGCCGAGCGCCGGCGCCGCGTCCGGCTCGGCCGGCGCGGCGCCCGCGGCCGCGCGGCCGCGCGCGCGCGCGGCCGCCGCGCCCAGCAGGCCCGCGGCGCCGAAGCCGACGCGCGGCTTGGGCGCCTCGGTGTTGAGGACCTCGGGCGACGCGAAGTCGTCGCGGGCCGGCGGCGCCGGCGTGCTCGGCGCGGCCGGCCCCGCCGCCGCGGTCTCCGGCGCCGCGGGCGCCGGCTCCGGCTCGCCCGGGCGCCGCGCCCGCGCGCGCGCGGCGGCCGCGCCGAGCAGGCCCGCGGCCCCGAGCCCGAGCCGCGGCTTTGATGGACGCGCCGCCGCGGGCTCCGGCTCCCCCGCTTCGGTAATGGGGCTCCCCGTCCCCGCGGCGGCCGCCCGCCGCGCCTTCGCGCGCGCCGCGGCGGCGCCGAGCCGGCCCGCGGTGCCGAACCCGAGCCGCGCGGCCGGCGCCGGCGGCGCCGCCGCCGGCGCGAGGCCCCGCCGCGCGCGCGCCGCCGCCGCGCCGAGCATGCCCACGGCCCCGATTGTCAATGAAGGCTCCTCCGCCTCTTCCAGGTAATCGGCGGCGTCGGGCCGCGCGAACTCGGCCACGCACCGCGCCGCGAGCGCGTCTCGACTTTCATGCTCCTGCTCGCTTAATGGCGGGCGCTCGCTCTCTGGAGTATCAATACGGCCGACCTCCATCGACGCCAATTGGGCCGCGTGCTTCGCGAAGCGCGAGTACCTCGCGCCGCCCTGCTGATTGTTGCGACTGTTTCCACCAAAACCGCCCCGCGGCGGGCCGCCTCCACCATCACGTGTCCCGGTGTCCCGCGCCGCGCCGCCCGCCGCCGAGGGCCGGCTACTACCCGCGCGGCCGCTGCTTGTTGAACGGGCCGGCGGATACCTTAATAACAACCGCGCGAAGGTGTCGTCCATGCGCGCACTACATTCTCTGATGAGCGCGAGGTCCTGGTCGACGTCGACGGCGGTGGCCGGCTCCTCTTCCTCCTCGGCCTCGTCGTCTTCCTCGTCGTCCTCGGCCTCATCGTCCTCCTCGTCGTCGTACTCGTCGTCGTCGCTGCCGCTGTAGTCGTCGTCGTCCTCGTCGCTGCTCGACATTGTTTGTGTGGCTAAGCTTGGGCAGCCCTTCCGAGCGTGCGCGCCTCACGAGCGGTGGACCCGCGCGTCTACGAGTTATATGTTTTCGCTTTGCGCCGTATTGGCAGCCACACGTATCGCGCTTGGCGGATGGCCGCAGGCCGGTGCACGATTAATCGATTTTGAGTTTTGAGGCCCGCACGTCGTGCGCGCGTCCCCGGCTGCCGGGGCTCTGCGGACCACCGGACCCGATCCTGACGCGTCGGAGAATCGGGCGCAGCTTTCGGACGATATCGTGCGGGGGCTCCCAGGCGCCTCCGTACTCGATGCCGTACGTCCGCGCGAGGCAATTTGCACGCTAAAATTCGCAGCGCGCACGATCAGGAAGGTCCTTGCACGCCCTGCAAGACGATCAGCACCAACCCGCGGCTGCGCAGTGGCTGTAGCACCGCAAACGAAGTGTCAGCGACAAGAGGCCGGATAGCGTCGCGCGACGCCATCGACGCGCCCAAACGCCGCCGCAGCGTTCACGCACGCAGCGCGAGGCAGCCGCGACTCGGCACCGCGAAATAAACGCTTGCAAACCTTGCTGAGCAAGGAACCGTAACAACAATGGCGGCTCAATACGCCAGCATGGAGGAGGCCGAGGCCGACGCCAAGGAGTACATCGAGACCACGGTCAAGAAGGCCTTCGACCACCTCCAACCAATCGAAGACACGAACGAGCCTTATAAGGCCGGCGATTTGGTGCTTTGCGTCCAAGAAGGAGTGTGGTACCCGTCATCACTGGTCGAACAATCGTCACGCTCGAAGAACAGAATACATGTGCCGATCTTCAAGGTGCACTTCGACGGCTGGGCGCCGCGCTGGGACGAGTGGGTTGAATCCGACGCCGGACGGCTGAAGAGACGCACCGCGGAGAACTTGGCCATGGCTCGAGCATCGCTCCAAGAAGCGGAAGAAGAAGCGGCCCAGGAAAGACTAGAGGAGGTCAGACAACGCTTCGCGAAGCAGGAGGAAGCCGCTCGCAGAAGAGCGTCGGGCGAGCGGCCCAAGCGGGAAACGAGGGCCAGTCACCCGCCCTACAACGAGCTCGTGTGTCGAGCGGTGTACGACCTGAAAGAAAGTTCAGGATCGTCAGTGCAAGCGGTCGCAAAGTGGCTAAGGATGCGCTATCCCGTGAACGAAAATAAGGTGCGGACCTCCGCCCAGACGGCCCTGAAGAAGTGCGTCGCCGAAGGGAGCATGACCAAAATCCGGAACTCGTTTAAGTTGAGTCCGAGAGAACAACGTAGGAGGGACGTCGCGGCCGGCGTCGAAGTGCGAGCCGGGCGCGATGGGAAGCCTGACGATCTAGATGTCGAGATTTCGGCACGACAAGAGCTGGGCTACGAGCCGCCGCCCGTCGTGAAGACGAAACCTTTGTTGTCATTGGCGCCGGCGGACTGCGCGAGTGACGCGGTGTGCGTCGCGGAGTTCTGCGAGCGCTTTGACGTCGTGGCGCTGGGTGGTCAGACGGGTCGATCTCGGTTGACTCTTGCCGAGTTGGATGCGGCTTTAGCCGCGTTGCCGGACCCGCGAGGCTGGCGGACGCCTCCTCTACTAGCGAGACTAGCTTTAGCATTATTGAGAGTGGTCTGCGGGCGAGATCCAGCCACGGGCGACGTGCCGAGTGATCCGCGCGTGTTCAACTTGTGCGAGAACGAGTTGTTTGTTGGCCATCGCCAGAACAGACGCGTCTGGGGACACGCGTTGAACGCGTTGACCTGGGCCGATATTTTTAGGAGGCACTTACTCGCGTCCCAGAGACACAGAAGAAGGGCTCGAGACGCGTTTCCGGCTCCTTACGTGCCCAAGCCCCCAAAGTGGAAGCATCCCGACCGGGCCGCCGCGGACCTGGCCATCGCCGCGGCTGCGGCCAAAATTGCGGCGCGGAAGAAGGCCGAGGCGGAACGGCGGGCTCAGAAGAAGAGAGAAGAAGAAAGAAGGAGGGCCGCGGCAGCCGAGGACGAGGAGGCGCGAAAATTAGCTGCTGATCCCGGAGCTGCCGCTATCAGAGAAGCCTACGCGCGCGAGCAGGCCGCGGCGGGCAAGGCGCCGCCCGCCGCGCCGCCGCCGCCCGTCGCGGCGCCGCCGCCCGCGGCGAACGGCGGTAACCCGCCGGCGCCGCCCGTCGCGCCGCCGCCGCCGCCCGTACCGGCGGCGCCGTGGGCGCAGGCCGCGGCCGCGGCGGCGCACGCCATGGCGACGGAGCCGCCTTCGTCCGGTGATGTGCTGCACGAGAGAGGAGGCGGCGGCGACGACGCCATGGACGTCGACGCGCCGGCCGCCGCCGCGCCGCCCCCGCCCGCGGAAGCCGCACCAGCGCCGGCGCCGGCGCCGGCGCCGCAGGGCAAGGGCGTCTCGGCCGACGGTAGAAAAGCTCTCGAAGCGTGCTGGGCGTTAGAATTCCCAGCTCTAGCGGACCCGAACCCGTTCCGGACGCGGCTCTCGCAGGAGATCTGCGAGGAGATCGGGTGTCCTGATTATCACGAAAAGTGCCCGAACGTAGCTGACTTAGCTCTATGTAAAGAAAAGCTCGAGAAGTATGCGGATGATGAATCATTGAAGAAAGATATCAAGCAAATAGCACTCAATTCGAGTACGTATCACGGGCCGGTGTCGCCCTTCACGCAAGCGGCGGAACGACTCGTGAGGACCTTCGAACGCGTTTTGAGAGGTGAGAAGCCGCCTCCGCCGCGCATCGACGCCCCGAGGCAGATCGTGAAGACCTCGCAAACGGTCCAAGACCGCAAGGGCCTCGAGGCGCGCATGGACGCCGACGGGTGGACGAGGGAAGAAAAGCCCCGGCCCAATTCTACCCATGTGGACAAGTACTTCCTGCCTCCCAATGGTGGTCGGAAGTTACGGAGTATCGTGGAAGTCGCTCGCACGGCTTATCCCGAGTTTCTGGTGGAAAGTGGCCCTCGGAAATCTCATCTACCAAGGGCCAAACGCGTGAAGATCGAACAGGTGCCCCACTACAACCGCTTTCCCTTCGACGACGCCGTCGATAGCGACGATGGGGCATTAGCTGAAGCTATCTACTTGTTCGCGGAGAAGCGTAGAAGCTTTGCAGCTTTGCAACCTAGGCATGCCGCCGCTTTGCTGAAACACCTCTGTGATGATGCCTTACTCACGCCAGCCTTGCAGGAGGCTATACGTAGAGTCATCGACGGCATCGAGGACCGGTCCAAGGAAGCTAGACAAGCTGCAAGGCGTGCAAAAGACGCGCAAAAACAATTAAATGATTGCGACGACCCCGAACGTGCGGGTATGTTGAACGACGAGCTGCTGCATGCTCGCGCCGACGCGGACCGATGCGCGGAAGCGATTGACGAGTTGCGGTACTCGCAGCCTCTCAGAAATGACATGCTCGGGGATGACCGGAGGTGGTCTCGCTACTTTTCGCTGAAGTGTGATGCTCCACCTTCCCTTGTAGTTAGGGTCAGTTCAAAGGACGACCGGGCGCACCCGACGAATATCTGGCGGACGGTCGAGGAGGGCCCTCTACCGGTGCGGAAGAATCTCGACTGTCGAGGCCATCGCGAGAACCACCTGGCGGAGCAGATCGACGGCACGTTTGCGGCTTACCTAGGTGCCGGTGGTGTGGAGCCGTCGCCGTGGCCGGTGAAGGAGGATGGGGACGTTTCTAGGATAGAAGCTTCTCGGTCCGTCGTCGAGATGTCGCGGTGCGCGTCGCTGCCCTGGCCCGGCTCGACGCCCCAAGCTGTCGCTATTGAACCGGAGGTGGCCAAGCCCGTCTCGTCGCGCATTCGGACCCTCGTCGGTACGAGTGGAGAAGTGAAAATGGCGGACGTCGACGCTTATGCGCAAGCAGCTTTAGAGGCAGCGGCGCCCTGGCGCTGTCAACTGAACGACGTCAACGCGTGCGCGGGCATGAACGCGGCGGAGTTGGACGATACTCTCGTTAGGATCAAGGCTTGCAATGACGGCGAACCCCCTCCAGCGGAAGTCGTAAGCGAGCAGCATCCGTCGCTCTCGGAACTGTGCGATAAGGCGCTGGAGGTGGAGGCGGGGCTGTATGAACTCGTGTATCACGGTCGCGAAGCTTTGAAACAGGACGAAGAACCAGATCAGATTCTAGATATACATGCTCGAGTGGAAAAGGACCTGGAGTCCGAGCGCGACTACTTCGAGATCGTCGGGGCTTGTAGCGACCTGAAGAATCGCGACGTGGGGAAGCATCGGGATTTGTGGCGGGCTGGCGTTGCTAGGTTGAAAAGAGTACATCACACGGAAGCTCCTGCTGCCGCCGCTACTTTTCAGTGTTTGTATCAAGGTTTAAGGGAGCAAGTCGCGAAGCACCTGGGACCGCTGGAAGCGCGCGTGAAGGCGGCTCATAGTCTATTAGCGTCGGGTAACGCGCCGACCGCGGGCACGGCGGCCGACGGCGCCGGTGCGGTGTATATTCCCTCGAAGCCGACGGGCGAACTAGTGTGGGCTCGGATTCGAGGGTATCCGTGGTGGCCCGCTCGTAGACATGAACCTACTCGTCAGGACTTCAAGGAAGCTTTACAAGCAAGGGGTCGGTCACTCATCGTTTTCGTGGGCGAGTCGGTCCAGTACTTCATGCCGTCGTCCGGTCTGGCGGAGTTCTCCGGCGTCGAAGGTGATGTTCATTTGCCAAAACCAGGGAAGGCCACGCCGCAATTAGCGGAAGCTATTAGACACGCGCGGACCTCCGTCGGCGTGTACTACGACCCCATCTCCAAGGTGTACAAAAAAGGAGGGAGGGGCGCGCCGGAGGCTTTGGCCCAAGCCGCGGCGGCGGCGGCGGAGGCGAAAAAACAGTCGCCGGGCCGGAAGCGGACGATCAAGGAGATCCTCGGGAGCTGGTAAGGTATCTATATCTATATCTGTTACGGTGCTAGGACGACCCAGGCTCGACGGTTGCTCGTAAGTTTTTCTTGATCCATTAGCCGAGATACTGGCTCAGTTGCGCGGGCGCGTCGACGGAACCGCCGCCGTCGTTCGTGGCCCTCGACTGACCGACGATGATAGCGTCCAGCTGGGCGAGTATGTGTGGGGGCGGGATCTCCATCTTCTTCGTCTCTCGGCTTCAGAGAGTACTCTCAAGTGTGGCTGCTCTCTAAGTGAAGAGAGAGCACTTGTTCTTTTATTGCTGTTTCACCGAGTCGCGCGGCGCGGTTGCGGCGGTTACGGACGCGCGGCGAATAACGGCGGTAACGCGTCGATCCCCCGCTCGGTTCGCAAACCAGAGGCTGGACGCCCAGTGGAGAAAACCCGACAGGGCCCTCCGCCGGTTAAGTACACGAATGCGTTTTTACGAGGGGAACAACGCCACCGCCGTGCCTAGGACGTCAGCTTCATCTGGACCGCCTGGCCGTGGACGTCCGCGTCCTTGAGCGGCGTGGACGCCATCGGCGCGAGCTGCCGCGGCGGGAAGCCGCAGAGCAGGTCGAAGCCGCCGGCCGGCTTCGCCTCGGCCTGGACGTACTTGAAGAGCGCCGCGACGGCGTCCGTCTCGACGAAGCGGCGTTTTCGCTGGATGCCCGGGCCGCGGAACGCGACCATGACGCCACCGGCCGCGGGCTCGGGCGAGAGCACGGCGTCGGCCCAGGGGTCCGCCGGCGGCGGCGGCGGTGCGGGCGGCGGCGGCGGCGCGGCGAAGGCCGAACCCACGCCGCCGCCGAGGGCCGCGCCGCCGACGAGCGGAGCCGGCGGGGGCGGCGTCGCCGCGCGGGGCGCCACCTGGACGGGCGCGAGCTCCTCGAGCGAGTGGCGCTCCGTGATGTCCGACAGCAGCTCGACGAGCCGATCCCTGGACACCTTGCCGTCCTTGGTCCAGACGCGCCGCCCGGTTCGCGGGTCGACAACAGCTAAATGCGGGTGCACAGGGTGCGCCGAGTAGCCCCCCTGTAAAGGCAGCGCGCGGTCGCGGTCGTAGCGGTCGCAGTAGGTCGAGGCTTGGGGGTCCGTGTGCGGCCGCAGCCACAAGATGAACGACGCCTCGACGACGGCCCGGACCGTGTCGTCGCTCCAGCAGTCGCGATTCATCTCGTGGCACGCGAACACGGCCTCGTTCGTGATTACTACTAATAACCACTTCTTCTGGGCCTTGCCGTCGGCCCGGGCCTTCTGGAAGTCTCCGGAATGCGTGAGCTCCGTCGGCGGCGCGAAGATGGACGACAGGCCGCCCGCCGGCTTTTCCGCCTCTTCGTCGTCCTCGTCGTCGTCGAACGCGCCGGCGCCCGGCGTGTACGCGTCCTCGTCGTCGTCGGCGCCCGGGAAGTCCGCGAGGAGTCGCCCTCTTTTGACAGAGTCCGGCGCGCGGACCTCGTGCTCCATCTCCCGTGCATGTAAAGCTGCCGCGACCGCGGCGTCGTCCTGCGGCGGCGGCGCGGCGGCGCCGCCCGCATTGTTGCCATCCAAAAAATTGCCCACGGCGAGCTCGACGTTGCCGCCCGCGGCGTCGACCCAGAAGCGCGCCGTGTTCTCGTCGGCCGAGCCGGTGATGGCCATGAACGACGCGATCGCGGCGTCGGCGTCGGCCATCGTTTCGTAGGGGCGCGCGGTGACCTAGGTCTTCGACAGGCCTCTTGTGACCCTGGGTCGAGAACGGGCGCGGGGCGGGAAGTCGTGCGGCGCGCCTGAGATTTGGCGGTCGCAGCGCTGCCCTGAACTCCTCAGGAGATCGATGCGTGAGCCGTAGGCGCGCAGCGACCAGGCCGCGGCTGTCTGCTTTGCTTGCTAGTGGCCTTACATGACGCTAGCTCGTTTTTTTATCCAAGCGCTGCAAAAATTAGCGCACGAGCCGGTGGGCTGCCCTTGAGTTATAAGTGTATCGCATAAGTCGTTTCTAGCCCGTGCGCGGCGGCTGCCCAACTAGCATCCCACAGCACGCCATCGACGCGGGCTGCCACAAACAACACCAATGGCTCACAACGGCCGCGACGCGAAGTTGAACCCTAGGGTCTTCTTCGATATATCGATCGGCGGCCAGAAGATGGGCAGGATCGTGATGAGTCTGCGGGCCGACGTCGTGTCGCGGACGGCGGAGAACTTTCGATGTCTCTGCACGGGCGAGAAGCGGGATGCAAACGGCAAGAAGCTGACGTTCAAGGGGTCCGTTTTTCATCGCGTGATCCCGGGGTTCATCTGCCAGGGCGGCGACATTATTGATGGGACGGGCGCCAATGGGTTGTCGATCTACGGCGAGGCCTTCGCGGACGAGAACTTCGCCTTGAAGCACGTGGGGGCTGGGATTTTATCGATGGCGAATAGAGGAAGGGACACGAACGCGTCGCAGTTTTTTATCAACTTGGACGTGCACGACTGGCTGGATGGCAAGCATGTGGTGTTTGGGTCCGTGACGGACGGCATGGACGTCGTGAAAGCGATCGAGCACCAGGGCGGCGTGTCGGGGAAGACGCGGGCGCCGTGCGTGATCTACGATTGTGGGGAGCTGCCGCCGCCTGTCAGGGATTATTCCTAAGTTAAGTTTTGTGACATATATCGTTTCCCGCACGTTTAGGCTAGCGGCCGTAAGACACTAGCAATCTGCACAGGAGCTGTGACCGCTGAAAAGCAGTCAAACAACGCCACCGCCGCACTCTGACACAGCTCCGTACACCTCCTGATTTCCTGCGGAAGTACGAGCACCGCTTCGTGCCGTACCGTCAGGACCACTCTACTTGGCAGGAGAGCTGCTGCCGAGAGCAGCGCATCGCTGCCGCGCACGCCATCGACGCGACCCAGCGTGACGCCATCGACGCGCCCCAGCAAAATGTCCGCCTACGCGAGCACGACGAACCCCGTCGTTTATTTTGATATGACCATCGGCGGCCTCGTGGCTGGGCGCATCGAGATGACGCTGCGCGCCGACGTCGTCCCGAAGACCGCGGAGAACTTCCGGTGCCTCTGCACGGGCGAGCGGGGCGTCGACGTGCGAACCAATAAGCTGCTCTGGTTCCGCGGCTGCTCGTTCCACCGCGTGATCCCCGGCTTCATGTGCCAGGGCGGCGACATCACGCGGGGCAATGGCACGGGCGGCCTCTCGATCTACGGCCCGCAGTTCGACGACGAGAATTTTAGGTTAAAGCACGCGGGCGCGGGCACGCTGTCGATGGCGAACGCGGGCCCCGGTACCAATAGTTCACAGTTCTTCGTCTGCACGGGGCCGACGTCCTTTTTGGATGGAAAGCACGTGGTCTTCGGCAAGGTCACGAAGGGCTTGGACGTGGTCAAGGCCATCGAGCGCGTCGGGTCGAAAGAGGGCAAGACGGCGCGGACGGTGCTTATTAATGACTGCGGGCAGATCGCTTGATTTTATTGCTTGCTTGCGAGCTAGGCCGTCTAGCTACCTGGCCGCCGCGGGCGCTGCGTGACCGAACGCCCGCCCCGCCCCCGCCCTCGTACGCCGTCGCCCCGAGTGTTAGCTCGGAGGCGACGACGGCGAGGGGGAGCAAGCCGGACATCGGAATTCCAGGGCCGCGACCAGGGCCGCGACGGTGGCGCGTCGGGGGTCGCCGCGCGATAGCGGCGCCCTACCCGGAGGGGCGCGCCCGGGGTTCGTGCCAGTATTATTTTTGTTGTAGTTTATTTATAAGCGGGCGCGCGCGGGGTGGTGGGGAATGGTGGGGAAGGTGTGGCCTTGGTGCCAGTTGCTGCGGTTGTCTAGACGCGCTTGACGATGTACTCAGTACGGCACTGGTCCGAGTACACGTGCTTGTTGTCGCTAACGGACCCTTTAACCGAACCGATGCACAAATCGCTCGTCAGATAGAAGTCGAGCTTGCCCTTGGCGTCCTTGCGACCACTTCCGGGAATCTGGACGTTCTGGCGCTGGCCGCCCTTGTTATCATCTAAGACACAATTTTGCATCTGAATCGGGCTTCCACCGCTGGAGTAGCCGTTGTTCCTGCCGTAGAGGGCGACACAGCCGTTGTAGTCGCCGCTTTTGGATTTGAAGCGGAGGCGGCTGAGCGTGCGGCAACCGTTGGGGCGGCCGGAGGGGGCCCAACCTCGGATATTGGCGCTGAACCTGCTAGGGCTCGGTTTAGCCGCTGTAAACCACGACAACGACGCATTACTTGTTAAAGAGGCAGAGTTGGCTACGGCGCGGCGCCTTGGTACATCAGAAGTACACATTCTTGCCATACAGGGCAATCTCGCAACCACGTATGAAGAGCTTGGACGGTTTGAAGAGGCCGTTCGTCTGCGACAGGACGTATGTTCAAGACGTCTGGAGCTTTTTGGCGAGGAAAGTGAAGATACCCTCATGGCAAACAACAACTACGCGGCGACGCTGCATGACCTGGAGCGCTTCGAAGAAGCCAAATCACTTTTTCAAAAATCGATACCCGTGGCGCAACGTGTTCTCGGAGATAGTAATGCTCTCACGCACAGGATGAAGTGGAATTACGCGAAGGCGCTCTACAAAGACGACGGCGCTACGCTCGATGATCTCCACGAGGCGCTGACGACGCTCGAGGAGACGGCGCGGCTCGCGCGGCGCGTCCTCGGGAGCGCGCATCCGCTCACCAAGGACATAGAGGCCGAACTACCAAAGTCGCGAGCCGCGCTCCGCGCCCGCGGGACGCCGCCGGGGAGCGCGTAAACGGTGTACTAACAAAACTTACGAAGAAAGACTCGGCGTAGGCGTCGTCCGCAAGGACCCCCGCACCGACTTTCTCGACACCGTCGGCGCCGCGGCCTGGAAGCGGAACATCGGCCCCGGCGTCGAGCTGCGGTCCGGCGGCGGCGCGGCGCCGTACTCGTACGGCGCCGTCATCTCGCCGACCTTCGCCGCGGCTCGCCTGGGTGAGAGCTCCCGGACCGTCGGCCACTTTTCCGTCGACGTCTTTTCGAAGGACTTCAGACCGTCCGCGAGCACCTCCTGCGTCGACCGTAGTAATTCGGGCTCGATGTCCCAGGGCTCTCTATATGTGCCATCTAAGCGAGCTTCGCGCAAAGCGGCCGCTTCTTCGCGCCGCGTCCGCGCGAACGTTTCCGACATGTCGCTGATCTGCGCGCCGCGCACGCCCACTAGACTGTGAAGAGCATCGCCAAGATTCGAGTGGATCGGCCTGCGGTCGTCGTCGCGGACCATTTCCTTCGCGGCCTTGTAGCCCGGACCCGCCATAACGACCCCTGCTTTCGGTTCTTTAGGCTTGAACTTGAAAGCTGCGTCAACCTCCTGTTGTTTAGGTTTATAGTTGCCCGGGAAGCCTCCCAACAACATCTTATTTCGTTTTGTATCATCTCGCGGGTCGCGCATTGTGTTCCTCCCGAGCTTAGCTCGTCTCCTTGCGAGACCCACAGCGGCCAGGTCCCGTCTAGCTTGGGGATCCAGAACAGGCGGCTTCGAGTCGTCGCACTGCTTCGCGGGTAATTCCAATTTTGAGCATTCCGGCAGGTTCACTCCTAACAGAGTTCGGTTCAAAGTCATCGAGGGATAAGGCATGAGGAACGGCGTCTTCGCCACGGCCTTCAACTGGGTGATCGAGGGCGGCCGGACCTTCTCCTGGCGCATCACATAGTCGTGCTCGTCGGGCGGCAATAAAGCTTCGCGCTCCTCGGGCAGGACCTGGGTGGACATCAACCAGTGAGTCGCGGCGATGGCGTCTTGGTGGGGTCTCGATCACCCGTGCGGCGACGGCGCGCGTCGATGGCGCGTTCATTGAAGGTGGACGCTGGCAGCGAACCTCCTTCCAGTGCTGCAGCGGCGACTTCACGCCGCCGTCCTCCTCCAGCTCATCAAACAACCCCGGTAAGGAAAACGATCCTAGCGCACCCGTATCGGCCAGCGACACCTCCATCCGGATCTTCCGCGCGCGCGCCGCGGCATCTTCCACGTCCGCGTCGTCCGGCGGATCCACCACCAAGTCCATAGCTAATTGTGCTTCATCAAAATCTAAGACAGCACCCGAGTAGAAGGACGGCGGGACGCATAACGGGTTATTGTCGTCCGTTCTTAATGCCTCAGCTTTCCAAGGCAAGTCCTCGGCGCCCTTCGCTAGGACAGCACCGCAGGACCAGAGCTTCCAATAACGACTTCCTGTGAACTCCGGAGCGGCATGAGACAGCCCCCCCGTGACGACGGTGGACTGGTCGTCCTCACCGAGCGACAGCCGCTTCTTCCGCGCGCGATTCCTCCTACGTCGAACCTCGCAGCGATGCTTCTTGCGCTCGTCGAGCCACGCTCTCTTAATCAGAGCCGCTTTCTCAAGAGCTCGCTTCTCCTCGGGCCGCTGCGCCAGGAGCTTCTCGAACAACTTGGCCGAGATCGCGAGAACGCGCGTCCCTTTTCGTATTCTACGTTTGCCCGTGCCCGGGTCCACGTCTTTTTCTGCTGCATCCAATTTCAGATCATCATCATTCACGCCAGCATGGACGGGCAAATCCCCGAGCGCCGTGACCTTGCAGTACTGCTTCCTGCCAAAGCCGTCGATCGACGCGAACTCACCCACCAACACAGGCGCCGGCAAGACAGCTAAAGTGACCGTGTCCCGGAACAAGCCCTTCTCGACGGCGGCGTGGACGCCCGCGTCGTCGTCCTCGTCGAGTTCCCGTCGCATCTCGATGGCCACGGTGCCGTCCAGCGTCAAAAAGACCTCCGAGGGCTTCGTGCTTTCGTCCACCAGTAGATCGTTGCAATCTAATTCTCTAATTTGCGCGTGTGGTGCGAGAAAGCCCAGGCCCCGCGCTCGTAAAGCTAGGACTTCCGACGGCGTCAATCGGCCGACCGGTCCGGGAGCGACTGCCGGTTCTTGCGCGTCCTTCCAGAGCCGGTCCCACGACCGTCCGGTCCTGAACGACAAATATTCGGCACCAGCAGAAAACTTGGCCCCCAGGGGTTTATCCCACGTCCAGTCCTGCCACGAGTTGTCCTCGTCGGGCTCGTCCTCGGCCGCGTCCAAACCTGCGTGGACATCAACCAGTGAGACATCGCGTCGATGGCGTGGGACACGGATCCAAGCCGAACCGGTACTCGGGCTTCACCTGCTCCTCCAGAGCTTGTTTCCAGCGCGCCTCCCGGCGCAGTCGCTTCGCCTCTTTCCGCTCCAGCGACCGCTCCTTGTCCCTCCGAATCTTCCGCCACCGCCGACAGCACTCCGCTAATTCTTTCAACTCGATCTCCCCGTCGGAATTCACATCCAATGATTTGAACTGCTCCAGTAAAAAGTTGCCAAATAATTTATCAGGAAAACCTGGCAAAGCGGCCTCGATCTCCACTATAGCCAATCTTTGGTTCTGAGCCATGACATCGAGTGACTTCATCACCCTAGAAGCTTCGGCGTGGTCGACATCAGACAACGCGTCCTCGTCCGCATTCGCCTCGTCCCGTCTTTTTATGACATCAGGATCATCCGAGTCCTCGTCCTCCGAAGATTCTTCCTGGGGAGGCTCTTCCTCCTCCTGTGGAGGCTCTTCAGCGGTCAGGAAGGTCGCGTCGCCTTCTCGAGGCGTCCTCGTCAATCCAATTTCAATGGGAAACCCTTCCTTCACGAGTAACGCATCAAACTCTATTGAACGGTCGATCTCCTTCAGTAGGAAGGACCGGAGCTTCCTAGCATCGGAACAGGCCTTCGTCAGGCATTCCTGGACGGCGTCGGGCACCTTGAGACACCCGAACACGTGCGAGGCCCTCCGCAAATCGTTCGCAGGATCTTTCCTCCAGACCGGCCCCTCGACCATGGCCTTGTCTGTCGCTTCCTCCTCAGAAGCCATCGTTCCTCCAGAAGGTGTCCCCCCGCCGTCCGACGCTTCGACGACACAAGCGGAACCTTTTACAACAACGTACATCTTCTCCTGCTTCTTGCCGACGACCCACGCTTCCCTATCGAGAGGCGCTCGTCCGAGACAAGCCCGCCCACAGAGCTCGCGCTGCATCAAACAATCCAGGGCCAGCCAGAAGGGAATCTCGAGGCCCATCTGTGTTTGAGAATTAAAGAACCGCCAGATCTGGGCCTTCTGGTGGTCCGTCATCGTCGCCTCCATCGTCGCTACTGTCGAGGTTCCCGTCATGGGTGTGGCCTTGCCCTTGGCGATTTGCTGCTTCCGCGCGTCGCGGAACGCTTCGAGCAGAGCTGCTCGTGCCCCGAAGCGCATGGCCAGATGGGCTGACGTGCGATCCGGCGCCATCTGCTTGCCCATGCGCTTAATCCGCTTGAGGCCCTCCGGTTCCTCCTGGCGCTCCGCCCAGGACCGCTCGGCCATCCTCTTGGCGAGCTCCTCGTCTTCCGTTAGAGGGCGGTCGTCCTCCTCTTCCTTGTTTTGATGCGCCGCGAGGCGCTCGGCGAGGCCCATGCTTGTGCTGCTCGCCGCGGCGGCGTCTGGCGGGGCGCCCTCAGGTGCTCGCGCTGCCCCGGGCCGGAGCTCGAGCGCTTGTGGCTGCCCGCGCCGGCGGCGACGGCACAGGGGTCGCCGCGCCGGAAGCGCCGCGTCCGTGGCGCGCGGAAGGGCAGCCCTTGCCCGCCGCTCTCCGAGCGCAACGCGGCTGGCAGGGCGACCCCGCACGAAATAGCTCGACGTTTCTATCCTCCCCCGCCCATGGCAGCACGTAGTCCCACCCCACCGACGGCTCCGCGAAGCCGCCCCAGCTCGTCACCTCGACAAAGTTGGCAGTCGCCTTGTCTTCGTGTTTTGGCTGTGAACGGCACGCCAGCGGCGTCAGAAAATGCAAAGGGCTGCGCGCGAGACCGCCGCGATCACGTTCTCGCCGCGCGCTACCACCTCGCTCCGTACGAGACCGCCACGCACGCAGGCAGCGCCCAAACGCCAAGCAAAAATGGAAAAAATGGCGCGTTACACGGCCACGCGCCCGCAGATTCAGTCCGACTTCATGAAACAGTCCCGCGGCCGCGTCCCACGCGCACCCGCGTGACAAATCGCTACTGTAGGTACCCGCGCGACTGCGTGCCGCCGCCGCCCGCGGACTGCCCGCGCGTGAGCGGCCCCGCCATCACGAAGTTCCGCGACTCCATCGCCGTCGACGAGGCCGCCGGCACGATCACGGCGACGGACGCGTGCGGGCGCGTGCACACGTTTTACAAGGTGGCCTGCACCGAGACGCGCCCACCAGTGTCCTCCACTTCACACAACCGCTCTGGTCTAAAGGAATGACTCGGGACTCTAGTTCCCGCAGTGGGGGTTCGATTCCCTCGGGCGGTTCTCCTGTTTTTGTTCTCGCGCGACGGGTGGCGTTTCGCGCGCAGGCACGCGGGACTCCTGGCGAAGCAGCAGTAGGCGCCCCTCCCCGGCCCTCCTCAACGTCATCGGCGCGCTCCGGCGCGGGCGCGGGGTGCCTTCGGATACGTCGACGGCGTGCTGCCCCCTACTCGGGGCGCGGCCGCGTCGTTGACGGCGCGAACACTTGACCGCGCAGGTTATCCGGCCCCGCCCGAGCGTATGACGGCGCGACCCGCCCGAGCGTAGTTGTAAGAATGAACGGTAAAAAGTCCCTCGCGCAAAAGTTACTCAGGAAGCGCAACTCTAGCCCTCCTCGGCGTTGCCGCCCTTGGCGCAGACGTAGATGTAGTGCACGCTGTTCGCGTCTTTCGTGTCGGGCACGGCCGTCGCGGAGACCGTGGGCTTGGGCACGGTGTGCGTCGTGACCGTCCAGGAGTAGTCCTCGTTCTCGAGGTACTGCATTCTATTATCCGGCACGCCGTAGCTGACCACGAACAAGATCCCGGACGGCTTCAGCACCCGCGACACCTCCATGCACATCTTCGCGACGTTCGCCGTCGAGCCTTCCCCACATAAAATGGCGTCCATCGTGCCCTTGACGATGACCGCGTCAAACGATTCGTCGGGAAATTCGAGACTACACACGTTCATCTGCTGGAAGGTCAAAGCAGGCTTGTCCTTGTACTTGTCGCCCATCTGGTCGATGACCACTCTTGAAATGTCGACGTTGGAGATGTTCGCGAAGCCGTCCTCGAACATGTCCTCGGACAGTCGCGAGTTGCCGCAGCCGGCCATGAGCACGGCGTCGTCCTTCTTCACGTACTTTTGCAGTAATTCCTGGATGCCGGAATAGCGCTGGTACCAATCAAACGGCTCGGGGTCCTTCGTGTAGCGCTCGTCCCAGTAGGACGTCTTGCCTACGGAGGTTGGGCGTTGCGCGGGCGGCGCGGCCGCGTCGGGGGTGGGGCGCCGCGGCGGCGTCTGGGGTGGGTGGCGGGGCGCGCGCGGCGCGTGTGTGCGGCTTGGGCGGCGCGGCGCCGGCGTCGAGCCGTCGCGCGACTCCTTCTGTGGGTCTCATCCGGCAGTGTGTTTGCCGGCTGTGGCTCACGGCAACGGCTCGTCTCGAGGTATGATGGAGGTGACGTACCATATTGAGCCATCGTGTCCGCAAAACGCTACGAATCCACTCGTACGAGGCTCACGCGCGCGCTCCGCTTTTGGAGGCCGCACAACTGCTGCGCATTCGGGTTTTGTGGCCTGCAGGCCTGCGCCCACAACTACACGCCAGGGCCTCTCGGAGCAGCCGAGAGCCCTCAGAAACGCACAAGAGGCCCGCCACTAGCGCCGCCGACGCGAGGGCTGGCAACAAGGCTCAGTGGGCCAAAAGACGCAGGGCGTACGCGCGCAAGAGCTGCCCTTGGCCACGAAACGAGCAGCGACCATGGCCGCCGTCGGCCTGGACCTCTCCACGGACACGAAGGAGCTGCCCGCGTCGCCGCTCGCACCGACCAAGGAGGAGATCCTAGCACACACATCTGAAGAAGACGACGTAGCACCCTTGAAGCCGACGAAGGTCATCAAAATGCGGCGCCAGACGCTGCGCAAGCGCGCGGCAACCGCGGCCAACCGCTTGGCGGGCGGCCGCTCGACGCGGGATTGGGACGTGCACGGCAATAGTGCCAAGAACCTGAGCAAGTTGGAGGAGCTCGTCGCCGGTTCGTCAAAGGACATGAACGCCGCCGAGGCGTCCATGCGGCTCGTGGCGATGATGTCGGGTGACGTCGTCGAGCAGACCGCTAGTCGTCTGAGAAAGTCGTTCGGCGATCTCGTAGATGAAGAACTGTTGCGCGTGTTGCGGACGGAACCTGAAGCAAGAACGGAGTACGACGTCGACGTCGTCGAGCGACACGTGTCGTGGCACTCGATCTTCAAGGACCTCAAACCATTGATGCGACGGAAGATGTGCCGGGCGCTGAAATGCGCGGAGTATGAGTATGGCGATATAATAGTAGTACAAGGAGACGCCGCGGAGTCGTTCTGCATCGTGTATCAAGGCGAGGTGAGCGTGCACTGCTGGCGGGAACGGAGCGAGGTGAAGCTGATGCTCAAGGAACGACCGGCCGGTAGCATCGCGCGGAACAAGAGCGAATTGATGGAAGAAGCCCCTTATGTCATTGGTGGAAGAGTTGGCGTGTTACGGCAGGGCAACTCGTTCGGCGAGAACGGCATGGACCCCTCGGGCACGGCGAAACGATCCGCGACGTGCGTGTCGGCCTCGTCTCGTACGATTCTGCTGGAGCTGTGTCGCCACGACCTCATGGGCCATCCCATTACAAGTTCATCAATTAAGCCGCCTTCTCGTGCATTACTTGAGACATTGAAAGTACCTCCATCGGAAAGAACGGAGTCGAATGTGGCGGCCATCGACGACGCGGTGGGAGGGCACCCCTTCTTCGCTTCTCTGTCCAAGGAGACGCGCCTGTCGCTCGTGCAGAATCTTACCGTAGAGGCCTTCCGGAAGGATAGAGCTGTTGTGCTGCAGGACGACCGGGCGGACGCGTTCTACGTTGTGTTTAGCGGCGACGTCGACGTCTTCATTTCCGATGCTACAAAACCGCTCAAGGAGTGGAAGAAGGACGTGTTGGCTTCTCGTGTTGACCTGCTGAAGAAGGAGATCAGTTCCTTCGAGCTGGAAGAACGGAGACGGCTGTTAAGGGAGCGCCACGCGCGGGAGTGCGCCGAGAGGGACTACATGGCCATCGAGGCTTTGAAAAGTGCGGGTATGGAGTACGAGCACGTCGAGACCGTGGATGAGTATATAGAAGAGAACCCCGACGTGTATACGTTAGATTTACCACTACCCGAGCGGCTCGTCGGACGGAAGGTCGCGACGCTCTCGCAAGGTGCGGCGTTCGGCGAAAACGGCCTACATACGTCCATAAACTTCCGAGCTGCGACCGTGGTCGCTGCTTCCGATCGAGTGTTGCTCCTAAAATTGTCGCGGGAAGACGTCCAGACCGACGTCTTCGACAGTAAAGAAGAAGACAGCGATGAGGAGGAAGAACCAGCTCTAGATTGCAACTTCGAGCCCGTGAACGTGGCGCCCCTTCGGAGATTGTCGCTGAAAAAGTCCGTCGGCCCGGTCTCAGTACCGGTAAAGGCGGAGGAGCCGACACCACCAACCACGGGGCGCCGGACGAGTTTATTGAGCATGTTCACGCCCTGCCCGCGCGAGGCGACGATCCACGTGACCTTACAACGACGCAAGCGGCGCGGCACGGTCTCGCCCGTCAAGAAGCTCGCGAGGGCGCGGGCGCTCGACAAGGCGCTCAACGACTAGGCGCCGCCTCCCCTGTATGTATTTCATTACAATCAATCTTAGGGCACAGGAGGGGGGCGCGGCCCGCGGCGGCGGCGTGTCAGGGCACGCCGTCGCCGCGACCCACTACTACAGACAAACGGGGGTGGGGACAGTCACTTCATCCTGGCTGAAGATACTTGCCTTCACAAAGTCAAAGGCGCGTGAGCGGCGCGAGGACCTCGTCGATGGACACCGACGGCGCGCTTCGGCACCGTTCTGGCCACGGCACCACGTCTGAAGCTTGCGTTTCCGGGAACACGAAGAACTTCCTTGTGGTAGGATGCGGCGAGCCCGGCGGCGAGACGGGTGGCGGCGGCGCGGCGAGCGGCGCCGTCATCTGACACTCGAGCGACGGTGAGCGTGCGTATGTCACTCGAGGCTCGAGCTCGAGCTTGGCTACTTGCCGGTGAATGTGGTGCACGGCCTGGTCTTGCGGAGGCGTGCGCTGGCCGGCGTGAGCGTCGATCTGGCCGAATTCGGGCGCCGACGCGCGTCGCGCGGCCCGCGCGGCCGGCGGCGGTTGAGACATCGTCTTGCTTTTCTTCTTACAGCGCTGTGTGCGCTTTGCGTAGCCTCCTTAGGCCGCGCTCGTCGTTCCGTGGGTGAGAATTCGCAGTGAGAGCACTGCCAGGAGATCTCTTCAGTGGCTGTGTTCTGGCTCGTTTATGAGGCGCCAAAGGCCAGATGCGAATGATATCAGTCCTTGCTACTCCTGCGCGTGGCCGGTGGGTGAACCAATGTCTATGCGCGTCGCTGGCGCCTCGCAAAGTATGGTCTGAGAGACTGCCACAAACTGGAGCTTTCACGAAGGATGGCAGATCGCCACCTCAGACAAATAAAGAGGCCTCCCACACCTCCCTGAGCGGCCTCAGACGCCTTCGAGACGAAAAACCGGGAGACCTGTGCCCAGCCCAAGCCGCCGCCGCTGTGCACAGCGTGCGCGCATAATTGGGCTGCCTCAGAGCCGCATCGCTCGAACAAATACGCACTGAGGCGCCCAGCAGTCGCACCGATCGCGCGACAGCGGAGTTCAGCCCCCAAAGCACCCCCACCCAAGCCAGGGGCTGCCTGAGCACAGCCATGATGAAATCACCGAAAACAAGAGCCTCGAAGGCCGTCCTCAAGGCGCGAGCAGCCAGGGACCTCGCCGCCATCGACGGCGACCAGGCCGTTTTTAGAATAGAGGAAGCTCAGAGGCGGCGCATGGTCGCGGAGGCCAGAGAGCAGTACGAGGAGTTGATAGAAGTTGTGGACGACGAGGAGTTCGACCGAGCCTTGTCGTTGCGGACGCCCGAAAAAAAGTTAAGGCAGATGTCTACGTATACTGGGCCTCGGATAGATGATTATCAGGGCCACCAATATGATGCATTTCCCATCACTCAAGCAGATCATGATGACCATAATCATGATGGCGACTTTCTGAATTTGAGTTCGACGTCGGATTTGTTCGAGCTGGACAAGGTCATTCTCAAGAGGAAAGACACGTTGACGGGGTTAGATCTGTACCACTCGGGGATTGATGATATCTCGCTCAAACAACTCTGTTCTGCTGCTGGTAGATGCCCAAAACTGAGGGAATTACACTTAGGTAGGAATGATTTCACGGACGATGGGGTCGACTACATATGTAACAATCTGAGAGACCTGGATCTGGAGGTGTTAGATGTCGGGTGGAACCGGGAGATCACTACCGTGTTTGCCCAGACTTTAGCTTCTTGTGTCGTGTCGCTGCGGAGACCTCCCACACGTTTGAGGATTGGCCGGTCGTGGCTCCCCGTTGATCAGATCTTAGATGGTGACTTACAAGAACTCGACCTGTCCAAGGACGTCCACCCCGACGTGGATGGCGCGTTCATCGCTGTCCTTGTGTCGAAAGCTTCGAAGCCGCCCCACGTCCTGTGTCTGGACGGCGCGCCGTTACCGATCTACAAGCTACTCTATGGGATGAAGGGTGAACCAGATAAAGATGATAACGTGGACGCTATTGAACATGAGGCCGCCGAAGAATCTGCAAAGCAAGCGAGAGATGTCAACTTACGGGGCGGGCACTTAATTTTACAGGACCTGTCGCAGGCGGACGCTTGGTTAATTGCGGGCACGCTGTCCGCGGATCTGCGACCAGGTTTAAGAGCCTTAACGCTGGACGGTTCTGCAGTGCACGCGTCGGGCTGCGAAGCGATAGGGCATGCCTTGCGGACGTGCCGCGCGCTACGCGTTTTACGAATGAACACCTGCCAGCTCACGGACGGCGGCACGGACTCGAAAGGTGTGAGACAACTCGCGTATTCCATCCGGGAGCCGCTGTGTTTACTGGCAGAACTAGAAGCCAGAGACAACGACGTTGACGAGGACGCTTGTAAGTTCATCGCTGACGCACTGCTCGAGGGAGACGGTCTAAGATGCCTAGATCTGAGGGATAACCCCATTGATGATGGGGTTGGTGGTACGGCGTTAGCAGCAGCTGTGGAAGAGTCGGAGCGACTGGTCGCGCTCAACGGGATCGACATAAATGGTATACGTGCAAATTTAGCCTGTTCCCAGGCCGACGGCTGGCAGCCCTTCGAGGTCACGTTTCTATGTAGACGATTGCAAAAGTGCTCTACTTTGAGGTACTTAAACCTGGATTCCAATGATTTGGGACCTATTCATTTGGAAGCGTTGGCGATGGGTCTTGATTCTGCCGAACACATCCGAGTTGTATCACTCAGAGATAACAAGCTCCAAGGCACCTTTGTCGATGATACTGGCATAGACCGGGGCTGCTACGATGGCAGGGGTGTCAAAAGGCTAGCCAAGCACCTCGCGCAACGACGAGGCATGCGTTCTCTAGATTTGCGAGGTTCCCACATCGACGATAGGGCCGGCAAGGACGGCCTCGCGCAGGCTATCTACGAAGGCTCGCACGCTTTAGAATGTCTGGATTGGATCGACCTGCGGGAAGGTTCGGGTGTGGAGGACGAAAGTATTGTCAGACCAGCATCTCCCGGAGTCATATTGGACGCCAAGGGCCTGGACATGTGCACTTCCGCCTTCTTAGCGCGGGGGCTACGGGCGCAGCCTGAACTCGTCGCGGTGGAAGCTCCCGGCAATGGCGTTTGTGTCCCTTGGTCGTGTGACTGTTTGGCCGAGGCCCTGCGGACGCCGAAGTGCCAACTGATAAGGCTGGTGTTAAATAAAACAATTCTCAGAGTGGAAGGCGCGGTCCCGTTGTTCGAAGCCCTTAAAAAATGTTGTCCTCCTTTGGAAGTCTTGGAGCTCTCCCACGCGTGCTTGTGCGACTCCTGGGTCGGCTACAATCGGGAACGGTCGTTAGATGCGATGAGGGAGTGCGCGTCGGCTTTAACCGCGCTCAAGTGCAACCTCAAACAACTAATACTGGACTTCAACAAGCTCCAGGACGATGGGTTGCAGATCATCTCAAATGCTCTGGAGCGAAACTTCTCGCTCGAAACGCTGGGCCTGCGCTCCAATGCCCTGAGTGAGGGCGTTGACCTAGGAAGGATGCTCCGCGCCAATAGAGGCTTGACCTCCCTGGATCTGTCGCGGAACAAGTTCACGCAGAAGGGCCCCGAGGCGCTCGTGGAGGTCGCCAACGCGTTGGTGAAGAACCGGTCGCTGAAGACGTTGGATTTAACAGGCTCGGGCGTCGATTCCGCGAGCGGGCCGCGGCTGGCCCTGCTCGAGCCGGCGGCGGTCGCGCTCGCGTACTGCCTCGACGAGAACCCCGTGCTGAAGCAGGTGCGGCTCTAGACACTGTTCGGTGGCGTCGATGCTTCTGGGCCGCGACTCGGAATTTATTTGCTGAAGCAGGTGCGGCGCTAGGCGCTGAGACTGCTCGATGGCGCCGAGGCTGGCCAGGTATCCTCTGGGCCGCGAATTGCGCGGGCCATAATGTGAGTGTGATATATACTTAGGTGCTCAGAGGGGAGGCGCCGCGTGGCGCGATTTCTCGCGGCTGCGGGGGAGATAGATACGTGCTCTGCATTGGGCGTCGAGCAGCAAGGGGCGCGGTGATTGGCGGTGCGTTTGTGCATGGTGTTCGCATGCACCAGTCGTAGCGAGGGATATGTAGCGGTGCTCTGCATGTAGCGTCGAGCACTCAAGAGTCAGACACGACGGAGAAGCGGTAGCGCGGCAGCCAGGCCGTGTAGGCGTCGAGGACCCGGACCTCGTAGGCTCTTCCGTCGTAGTCGAGCGCCACGCCGAGCACGTGCGGGCCGTCGTCGTCGGGCCGCTTCTGAGGGACCTGGGACCAGTCGACGTCGTCTCTGGCAATTTTCACGCGCATGCCGCGGCGCTCGGCGTCGGGCCACTCGTTGGCTGGCTCGACGACGTCGATCGTGTCCACATCGCTGAAGGAGACGCTGCGCCGGTGCGGCGGCGGCGCCTTGGGCGTACAGCAGGCCGCGCAGACCGCCATCGTTACCTCGGTGCTCGACGTGTGGTCGTAGTTGCAGGATCGGCAGGTCCAGCGCTGCGGCGCCGTCGAGGGCAGCGCCCCTTGCGTGGGCGTCGTCATGGCACGCCGCGCACGACGGCGATTTTGACGGCGAACAATTGCGCAGTGCGGGAGACGCTCTCCAAAGCTTCCGAGCGCACGCGTGGGGTTCCAAACCTTGCGGGGTTGGAACCCCGTCGGCGACAAGTGCCTGACGGCTGCCAAACGCGACTGCTTCGCGTTCAACTGCACTCAAAGGCCAATGGGAGCCGACGCTTGCTTGCTCCACAGGCAGCTCGTGTCCTGGGCCGCGAACATCGAGCAACCGGCTCACGCGTCCCTCGCGACGAACGCGTAGCACGCCAGGGGTCAGATCGTCGTCGGACGCCTAGCCGTGCGTTTCGCGGGTTGTTCGCGCGCCGCGGCCGCGGCCGCGGGGGGCTAGCCCCAATGAGCGACTCCCTATTCCGCGGTCGGATACTTAGCCCCCCACAAACGAAAGCCTAGGGGTCCGCCACGTTGGGATGCCCCGGCCCGCGCACGCGCAGGCCCCGACGTACAGGCTTCGACGACACCTTCTTCTTTCGTACAATAGGCCGTTCCACCGGTTCGGGCTCCGGAGCCGCGGCCGCCGCCTCCCGCAGGAACTGGTTTAGGTCCTCCTCCCAGGCCGTTTTGCGGGTTGTGACCTTCTTCTCCGCCGCGCGCGCCTCCTTCGCGGCCTTGCGCCGTCGGACGTCCTCATCTAACCGTTCTAGGAAGGACGGCCCCTGCTCGACCTTCGCTCTTAGTTCCTTCTGGTACTTGTTCATCTTTTTGAGCGCTTCTTCCGAGCCGAACTCGTCCTTCCTCAGTGATTGTTCGTGCCGCCGCACGAGCTCCTTGCGCCTTTCCCGTTGCGCTTGCAACTCCTTGTCCTGCCGTTCGAGCCAGGCATCCAGACCCTTCGACCCGGCGGGCCTCTTATGTCTGTAGGGCACGTGGCATTCCTGGCAGTTCCGGCCCTTCGAAAAGCGCTCTACGTATTCATCATAACTCTGGACAGCACCACATTTTGGACATTGCTTCTTGTCCAATCTATAGCTATATTCCTGCTTCCCAATGGCCTCCTCCTTCGCTCGTCGACTATGGCGCGCACTCCGAGCCAACCGCTCGACAAATTCGTCGCCGTCCGCCTTCTTACCACTATCCCTCGCAAATTCATACCCGCAAGCTCTCTGAGCCCGCAACGATTCGGCGGTAGCTACTTTGGGCTGGAACGTGCAATTTACTGCATCATCTTCGCGGAGCCATCCACCGGGCTTTCGGAGCTCGGGCCGTTTCAGCTCTCGCTGCGTCGATCCGAGGTAGTGGTCGTCCGGTAAGCCTTGTCTACGAGCCTTCCTTATGAGTTTGTTCTGCGTGACGGCGTCCAATCTTGTTGTAGGTTCCGCTTTCGCCTCGTCGCCGAGGCCGTCAATGCCCGCCTTCTCCGCGGACTCGCGATCTTCGCGCGCCTTCCTCTCCCGCTCGACGCGCGCTTCCTCCCGTCTCAACATCTTCTCGGCCTCGTAGCGCTCCCTACTGAACTTGGCTGGGTTGGGTTCACTCAATATGTCGATGGTATGTTTCTTCACGGGGGCCTTTCGGCCCTTCTTGAGGGTCTTGTCCGCGCGCGCCATCAATTCGTCCTCGTCGGCGACCCTCATCAATTTAGCTTGTTCTACAGATAGTACTAACGAGCCGATTTTCAGGGGCCGATCGGCCGTCTTCTTCGGTTTCTGGGGAGACTCGTTGAAGTCGTCGTCGTAGCCATCATCCTCATCATCGTCTATGGACGATCTCGCGGGCGTCGCGGCTTTGGGCGTCGCGGATTTGGGCGTGCGCGGCTTCGGGGTCGCTGCTTTCGGTGTCGCTGCCTTCGGAGGGCCGGCGCCGACGTCGCGAATGGGCGAACTGGTCGTCGTCTCCTCGAACTGGTCGTCCTGCGAGTCGTCGCCGTAGGGATCCTCGACGACGGGGCGGCCCACGACGCTTGGAGACCCTGGGGAGGTGGGCATGGTAGTAATATACGTTCCGGCGGCCGCGTGTCGCGGCGGCGGCGCGGCTCGACCGGCAAGATGCTAATGGCAGCTCGTCTCGGCTGCCTTTTCACGAGACCAGCGTGATACAAGCTCGTAGACTGCCAACGTGCGGCGCCGGCCGCACCGCGAAACGTACTAGCCCAGCGCCCTAGTCTGGCTGGATCGTGATCGATCTAGTCGTCGCTCGTGCGCCCGGGACGGGTGCGCGGGCCGCAAGCTCTCGCACAAAACCCGCGACCGGCATGCAAAAATTTTTAAGGCGAAGCCAGCACACAGCCTTTGCGCGCCGAAAGCTGCACGCCATCGACGCGTTGAAGCAGTGCACTTTGCACGCACGCGCTCGTTCCGGCAGCCCCACACACCACTAGCACTAGGAAGGGCAGCCCACAACAAAAAAACATGCTCAGTAGCTCCACCTGGGTCGACGCGCGGGCCCTGAAGTACGCCCAGAAGAAGTATAGGTATAGGAACCCGTATTTTGATAGAAGATACCGTGGTTTAGTTAAGATAGCCATCGTCATCGGTTTACTGGGCGCCGGCATCCTCTATAAAAATAGGCGAGCCGTGGAGAAGAGGCTCCACCCCTTGCTGTTGTCGCGGGACGACGACGCGCAGTACGGCAACGAGTACGACTTCAGCCATGAGCTAGCGGGCCGCCATTCCAGTCATCCCGAGAGACCGGAGCACGAGAAAAGCAACGAAGTGTGCAGTACAGGATTACTCTCGGACGAAGGTCGGTGGCCCGGCGTGCGCGCCTGCTGCGCGCCGCACTGTAGTAAATGCGCCGCCTCGGAAGATAAGGCCTGCAACGCGCCCGGGATCATCAAATCGGGGATCGTGTGCCGGGGCCCCTTCGACTCCCAGTGCGTCTGGCCCGAAGATCATGAAGCGCACAAGCATAAATATAGAGGGTCGGCTCTCACATTGCCGGCGGGCGAGCCCACGGACTACGAGCTGGACGCGAATTCGCCGCTCCTGAAATGTTCTACCTTGTCGTGCTTAGATGCGGCAATCAGCGAACTGCCTGTCTCACGACGTAGAGCCTACGTGCTCCACATGGACCCGTCCATCTATCAATTAGGAGATCCAACGAGAGGCAGCAGCGTGCCGCTCGCGCCCCAGCTCAGCTATCTGCCGAAGCGGCTCGTCGTGCACTTCGGCATGCGCCTGCGGTTGCGGGACAATTCCGAGGTGTTGGCGCTGGGCGGCGCCGTGACGGGCGTGCGCGTCTACTGCGTCGTCGTCGCGTGCCGCGACGGCGACGCCCTGCCGGACACCGTGGAACTGGTCCCTTTTACGTCGGTGGCGGACATCATGGGCCACTCCGATGCCGACGTGGCCCAGGCCGCTCGAGCCTACCGGAAGCTGTGGCGCGCGGACCCCGTGCTGAGGGACGTGTCCTCGGCGATGTACGCGTCGCACCGGACCTTCGACCAGTCCTAAGAAGCTATACTTATCTCCGCTTGCCCCCCTTCTTCTTCTTCTGCTTCTTCAAGGCCCTCCGCTCGGCCCGGTTCGAGGAGCCAATGTCCGCGTTGACGGCGTCGGGATCCTCTCCCGCAGCAATGCGCTGCGTGGATTGGCGCATGGCCTCGAAGTCCGCCAGGAAGAGCGCCACGTCCTTTTCCGCGCAGCCCGAGTCCTTCGCGACGCGCTGGATCAAGGGGCAATTTTCGTCGGTGTTCTCGACGTCGTCAAGCATGATCTGCGGGTCGGCGCGCTCCGCATCCGTCATCGCATTGACGATCTTCTCATGAATTTCAAATTTCTTCAGGGTCTCCTGGACCTGGTCGTCCGTGAGCGTGCCGGGCATCCCTGGCACCTTGCCTTTGAACTGCTTGAAGGTCCTCCCTATTTTAAGGAAGTCCTCGAAGGAGACGTCGCCCGACTGGGCGCGCTTGTCGATGTCGGAGATGACGCCGGACTCCTTCTTCGCGGCCGCGCGGCCCGCGGCGACGTCCGTCGACCGCACGTCGCGTGTGCTATCGGTGCCGCCGCCTTGCAGGCGCTCGACGGCCTCCTGCACGCCGCCGAACAATTGCTTGAACATGGCGCCTCCCAGCGACGTGGGCTCGTCGTCGGCCGCGCGGACGCGCGTGTGTTTCGTTTGTCTCGCCACGGGCGGCAGAAATGCGCTCGCTTGGGCCGCAAGGCAAAGCAGGAGTGCTGACCGATGCATGATTACTCCACGTCGCGCGGGCGTTCGTGCAAGCTGCTGCAGGTGATGAAAGGTGGCTATGAATGCTACGCGTGAATGATCGCTTTTAGCCTGCACCGCTGTGTGTGCGGAGATTGGCAGGCCTCAAGTTTGCCAGCGGTGCCAAGCACCCGCACTGTCGAGGGCTGTGCGCGCGCGCTGCCGCGGGCATAACGACTGTGCACGCGTAAGCAGGGGCGGCATTTTGATCCCTCTAACACCTACTGACGGCCTCTGCGCTTGGCGCCATCGCTACGACTCTAAGATGGCTGCAAACCAAGCTGCAGCCATGCACAGCAAGCAGTGCGACGCCGACGCCGCGCCGTTACCACCAAAACACTGGCCGCACGAGGAAGCGACCTACACGGACCGCAACGTCTACGACGGCCCGCCGAAAATCATTATTGGACTGCCCGGCGTCACGCCTCGAAGAATCGACGACCCGCGTCATCCGTGCCACGGCGCCTTCGGCTTGTTTGCCAAGCGCGCCTGGCAGCCCTTCGAAGTGGTCGGCGAGTACGTCGGGCGCGTCCGGCCGCCGGACGTCGAGGGCCACTACGTGTTGGCGTTGGAGAGCGACGTGCCGCATCTGGAGTCGTTGAGCATCGACGCGGCGTCGGTGGGCAACGAGCTGCGCTTCGTTAATGATTTTAGAGGCGTCGGCCACGAGCCGAACGTGACCTTCCAGTCCTGTACCATCGCTTCCCGACCAGCACAGTTACTGGTCGTGACGAAACCGGTGCCGACGGGCGGCGAGTTGCTGACGGACTATGGGGTTGACTACTGGAAGGCCACGGTGGGCTTCGTGCCCGCGCCGGCGCCCGCGCCGCCGCCCCCCATTCGGCGGCGGTCGCCGTCGCCCGTCGTCTGCGAGTCGTCCGACGACGAGGAGTGCGTCACGCGCCAGCTTATGCGCCTCGCGGGCATCTCCTGAGTTTTTTTCTGTGGTGTGCACCTGGCCGACGCGGACCGCGCGCCCGTCCCGCCCCGGCCCCCACACGCCGTGTTGTCATGTAGTAGATAAGCTAATCTTAGGTCGAGCGTATGCTCTAGACAGGGCTCCCAACAACACAGAGAGCCTACTTGTTGTACTTGGCCTTCTCGGCGTCCGAGAGGCCGCGCCAGAGCTCGCCGAGGCGCTTGCCGATGCCGCCGAAGGTCAGGTCGGGGTCCTCGGCTTTCACCTTGGGGCGCATCTCCTTCGAGAAGAGCATGAAGCCCTTGAGAGGCTTCTTCGACTTGGGCTTGGAGTCCTTCTTGGCTTTGGCGGCGGGCTTGGCCATGATTAATCTGCGGGCGGCGCGGCGGTCCGCGAGGGTCGCGCGGCGCGTGGGGTCGAGGGCACGTCGGGAGGTGGGATGCGGTGCGAGGCACGCGGCGACGGCGCGCAGCGGCTCAAATCGCAGCGGTGGGCGAGCACGCGCCGCACGAGCACGGAAAATCCAGCAGGCACAGAGCTGGGATATCTCCTCGCCGCGGCAGCGTCAGGCGGGTGCCGGCCGCTCGGGCGAGTAGTAGGGTGAAGAGGCCAAGTGACGAAACGGGTTCGAGGCCGCTGGACTCCGGCACGCGCCACAAAATCCGCAGCGAGTCGCAGCAGAGCTTCGATAATCCCAGGGCTGCTAGAGTCACAAGAACACTAGGATTTTTGCAAGCCGGCAATTCGTAACCAGGGCTGCATTGCTGCTCAAATTGCAATCAGGGGTTGCAAAGAACGATGTTCATCAGTCCACAAAGACGGCGCCGCCGCCAGCAGTCGCTGCTCTCGCCGGACATCTCGCCTCAGCCCTCGCCGCTCGCGCATGCCGCCGCCGCCGCGTCGAAGGCGCGGTCGGCGCTCGCACCGACACAGACGAGCAATGATGATGCGGCGAGCGTGGACAAGCGGCAGCCCGACGCGTTCAAGGCGTTTCTGGACGTCGCCGCGGACCTGCCCGAGGCGGCGCCGCCCGTGAGCAAGCCGCAGACGCGCGGCGAGCTGAAGCGGTTCCAGCGCGCGCGGTTGGCCTGGGAGGCGGCGCGGCCGGACCGTGAGGCCGCGCGTTTGAGACGGGAAGAAATAAAAAAGGAAACCGAGGCGGTCGCGCGGAAGTTGGTGGAGGCGCGCAAAGAACTGGAAAGGACGATCGCCGAGACGCCGGAGCCGCCGCCGTCCGTCGACGAAGTATATGCGCAAGTACAAGCGCGGCGGCAGGCGGCCGAGGCGGCGGTCGAGGCGTCGAGCACGAAGGCGCCAGCGCCGGCGCCAGCTCCGAAGCCGGCGGCCTTCGGGTTCGGCAGTCCCGCGGCCGCACCGGCGCCCGCTGCGGCAAAGTCGAGCTACCCGCCGATGCCGTCCAAACCACCGAGCAAGCTCCCCTTCGGATCTCCGGCCGCCGCGAAGCCGGCGCCGAGCGGCTACCCGCCCATGCCGTCGAAAGCGCCCAGCAAGCTGCCGTTCGGCGCGCCCGCGCCCGCGCCGGCCGCGAAGCCAGCCACATTCGGCTTCGCGCCGGCGGCGGCCCCGGCGCCCGCGAAGCCGACCTTCGGTTTCGCCCCCGCGGCGGCGCCCAAGCCGGCCCCGGCGGCATTCGGCGGCTTCGGCTCGCCCGGCGCGGCGCCGACCTTCGGCTCGGCCTCAAAGCTCGGCACGGCGCCCACGTTCGGCTCGCCGGCGGCGCTCGGGTCAACGCCGGCCTTCGGCTCGCCGTCGGCGCTCGGCGCCGCGCCCACGTTCGGCTCCGCCTCGAAGCTCGGCACCACGCCTACGTTCGGCGCGAAGACCCCAGAAAAGGAGGACCACCGCGCGAAACTCGTGGAGTTTTACCAGAAGCACAACCCCGGGAAATTAGATACGGTCGACGCGACGCTCAAGAAGTACGCCGGCCGCGAGCACGAGCTCTGGGCGCAGCTCAAGAAAAAATATCAGGAACAAGCGCCGGAAGCGGAAGGCACCGGGCCGCGCTGCTTCTTGGAGCTCGAGAAGGACGGGGAAAAATTAGGACGGTTGGTCATACAATTGTTCGCCGACAAGGTCCCAAAAACGGCCGAGAATTTTCGGATGTTGTGTACCGGCGAGGGCGGCTATTCCCAGGCCACCTTCGCCAAGACTAAAAGGTGCTACGCGTCAACAACGTTCCACCGCGTCATTTCCGACTTCATGGCCCAGGGCGGCGACTTTACGAGGGGCGACGGCACGGGCGGCGAGTGTTGGCAGGGCGGCAAGTTCGCTGACGAAGCTTGTAAGATGCGCCATGATCGACGAGGTTTGCTGAGCATGGCCAACAGCGGGCCGAACACGAACGGGTCGCAGTTTTTTATTTTGTTGGCGGCCGCGCGGCACCTCGACGGCAAGCACGTGGTCTTCGGGGAGGTCGTCGAGGGTCTGGAATTACTGAATGCGTTCGAGGCAGGCACGCCGCCTGCTAAACCGGTGAAGATTACGGCGTGCGGCGTCGCGGAGGCCGCGGCTCCCGCGAAGTCGAGCTACCCGCCGATGCCCACGAAGGCGCCGAGCAAATTACCCTTCGGCGCGCCGGCGCCCGCCGCTGCTGCGAAATCGGCGTACCCGCCCATGCCGACGAAGGCGCCGAGCAAGCTGCCCTTCGGCTCGCCTGCCAAGGCGCCAGCGCCGGCCGCAAAGCCGGCGACCTTCGGCTTCGGCAGCCCAGCGGCCGCGCCGGCGCCGGCGCCGTCGTTCTCCTTTGGCGGCGCGGCGGCGGCGAAGCCCTCGTTCTCCTTCGCGGCGCCCGCGCCCGCGGCGGCCTCGTTTTCCTTCGGCGCGCCGGCGCCGGCCGCGGCCAAGCCGGCGTCGAGCGGCTACCCGCCCATGCCGACCAAGGCGCCGAGCAAGCTACCCTTTGGGGCGCCGGCGCCGGCCGCGGCCAAGCCGGCGTCGAGCGGCTACCCGCCCATGCCCACCAAGGCGCCGAGCAAGCTGCCCTTTGGGGCGCCCGCGCCGGCACCGGCGGCCGCCAAAGCCTCGGGCTATCCGCCCATGCCGACCAAGGCGCCGAGCAAGCTGCCCTTCGGGAGTGCGCCGGCGCCCGCCAAGGCCTCGGGCTATCCGCCCATGCCCACGAAAGCCCCCAGCAAGCTGCCCTTCGGCTCGCCCGCCAAGGCGCCCGCGCCGGCCGCCGCCGCGCCGGCGCCGGCACCGTCGTTCTCCTTCGGCGCCGCCGCCGCTGCCAAGCCGTCGTTCTCCTTCGCGGCGCCCGCGCCCGCCCCTTCCTTCGGCGGCGGCGGCGGCGTGGGCGGGTTCAGCTTCGGCGCGCCGGCGCCGGCCCCCGCCGGCGGCTTCAGCTTCGGGACACCGGCGACGCCGGCCGCCGCCCCGGCCCCGGCGCCCGCGCCGGCGGCGCCGGAGCCGTCCGCCGGCGACTCGGCGGAGGCGGCCAAGGCCCGGAGCGCCTTCGACGACGTCGACGCGGCCACGAGCGGTTCATTACCGGTCGACCGCTTCGAGGACCTACTCGACGCCGTGGGCGAGGGCTTCCACGGCGACGAGCTCGAAGCCCAACGGGCCAAGGTCGACGACGGCTCTGGCAAAATTACGAGAGAGGCCTTCGCGCGCTACTACGTGGCCCTGGTCGAGAACGCGGACGCCAGCGACGACAGTGGCGACGAGGAGGAGCGCGAGGAGGAACGCGGCAACGCGCGCGAGGCCTTTGACACCGTCGCGGACGGAAAAACGGAAGTGCCCTCGAGCAAGTTCCAGGCCCTCATGGAGGCGCTCGGCACGACGTACTGCGAGGAGGAGCACCGGCGCACGCTGCGCAAGCTCGCGCCGGGCGGCACGGTCGCTCGCGACGCGTTTGTGGAGTGGTACGTGGACTGGGTCCTGGGCGACGGCGATTCTGATGATGACGCCACGGCCACGGACGACGACGACGACCCCGCGGCGGAGTCGAAGGCCGCGGCGACGTGGGCGTCGCTGACCGCGGCGAAGGAGGGCTCCTGGAAGTGCGAGGTCTGCGACGTGCGCAACGACAAGGACGCATCAAAGTGCGCGGCCTGCGAGACGCCGAACCCGGCCGCGCCCAAGGCCGCGGCCGGCGCGACGAGCGCTCCGAGCGCGCCCGGGAGCGTCGGGCCGGGCGGTTTTAGTTTTGGCAGCGGCAGCGTCGGCGCGGGAGGCTTCAGCTTTGGCGCGCCGGCGCCGGCGCCGGCTGGAAGCATCGGTGCGGGCGGGTTTAGCTTCGGCGCGCCGGCTCCGGCCGCGGCGTCGCCGGCAGCCGGAGGGTTCAGCTTCGGGGCTCCCGCGCCCGCGCCCGCGGCGGCGCCCGCGCCCGCCGCCGGCTTCAGCTTCGGCTCGCCGGCAGTCGCGACCGCGGGCGGCGCGGACGGCTTTCGCTTCGGCGCGCCCGCCGACGAGGCGCCGAAGTCGCCCCAGGAGCAGTGGGACGCCGCGCCGCGCGCCGACCCGGACGCGCCGCCGCCGGAGCCGTCCGCCGGCGACTCGGCGGAGGCGGCCAAGGCCCGGAGCGCCTTTGATGAGGTCGATAGCAGCGGCGTTGTACCAGTTGACCGGTTTGAGGACCTACTCGACAGCGTGGGCGAGGGCTTCCACGGCGACGAGCTCGAGGCGCAGCGCGCCAAGGTCGACGACGGCTCCGGCCGCATCACGCGCGAGGCCTTCGCGCGCTACTACGTCGCGCTCTGCGCGAACGTCGGTGAGGACGACTCCGACGACGACGCGGAGGAGCGCGAGGAGGAAAGCCAGAGCGCGCGCGAGGCCTTCGACACCGTTGCCGATGGTGCGACGTCCGTGCCTTCATCAAAATTCCAGGCGCTCATGGAGGCGCTCGGCACGACGTACTGCGAGGAGGAGCACCGGCGCACGCTGCGCAAGCTCGCGCCGGGCGGGACGGTCGCGCGCGACGCTTTTGTGGAGTGGTACGTGGACTGGGTGCTGGGCGACGGCGATTCTGATGATGACGCCACGGCCACGGACGACGACGACGACCCCGCGGCGGAGTCGAAGGCCGCGGCGACGTGGGCGTCGCTGACCGCGGCGAAGGAGGGCTCCTGGAAGTGCGAGGTGTGCGACGTGCGCAACGACAAGGATGCATCAAAGTGCGCGGCCTGCGAGACGCCGAACCCGGCCGCGCCGCAAAAGGCCGCTGCCTCCGGCAACGCCGTGAGCGCGCCGGGCAGCGTCGGGCCGGGCGGTTTTAGTTTTGGCGGCGGCAGCGTCGGCGTGGGCGGCTTCAGTTTCGGCGCGCCAGCCCCGGCGCCGGCGGGGAGCATCGGCGCGGGCGGGTTCAGCTTCGGCGCGCCGGCGCCGGCACCGGCGGCGGGGAGCATCGGCGCGGGCGGATTCAGCTTTGGCACGCCGGCACCGGCGGCCGACGCGCCGGCGCCGGCGCCCGCCGCCGGGTTCAGCTTTGGCACGCCCGCGGCGGGTGCCCCGGCGCCCGCGGGCGGGTTCAGCTTCGGCGCGCCGGCGCCGGCCGCGGCGCCGGCGCCCGCCGCGCCAACCGCGGGCGGCTTCAGCTTTGGGGCGCCCAAGGCGTCGGAGGAGGCGCCCGCCGCGCCGAAGCTATCCTTCGGCGCGCCCGCGCCGGCCGCGGCCAAGCCGGCGTCGAGCGGCTACCCGCCCATGCCGACCAAGGCGCCGAGCAAACTACCCTTTGGGAGTGCGCCGGCGCCCGCCAAGGCCTCGGGCTATCCGCCCATGCCCACCAAGGCGCCGAGCAAGCTACCCTTTGGTGCGCCGGCGCCGGCACCAGCGCCCGCCAAGGCCTCGGGCTATCCGCCGATGCCCACCAAGGCGCCGAGCAAGCTACCCTTCGGTTCGCCCGCCAAGGCGCCCGCGCCAGCCGCCGCCGCGCCCGCGCCGGCACCAACGTTCTCCTTCGGCGGGGCGGCGGCGGCGAAGCCCTCGTTTTCCTTCGGAGGCGCGGCGCCCGCGCCCGCGGCGCCGGCCCCCGCGCCCGCGACGCCGTCGTTCTCCTTTGGCGGCGCGACAGCATCTCCGTCGTTCTCCTTCGCGGCGCCCGCGCCGGCGCCGTCGGCCGCCGCGTCGGCGCCCGCGCCGTCCTTCTCCTTCGGCGGCGGCGGCGACAAGCCCTCGTTCTCCTTCGGCGGCGGCGCCGCGCCCTCCTTTTCCGGCTTCGCGGCGCCCGCGCCCGCGGCGGCGCCCGTGCGCGTCGGCGACGACGGCGCGCCGTCGAAGGGCTTCTCCTTCGGCGCCGCGGCCGTCAACCCGAACCGGCCCAAGGACCCGACCAAGTTCTCGCTCGCCGAGACGCCGTTCTCCTTCGGCGGCTCTACCGGCGGCTTCTCGCGGACGCCGCCCGGCGCCCACCGCGGCGACGACAACTCCGAGGACGACGACGACGACGACGAGTGCGACGCCACGGACCTGGAGGGCTCCGACGGCGAGGACTCGTGGGTCACGGACGCCGACGAGGAGGAGGACGGCGCCGACGCGGCGGCGAGCTTCTCGTTCAGCCCGCCGGCCATCTCGCTGGGCGGGAGCCCCGCGGGGTCGAGCCCCGGCGGCTTCACCTTCGCCTCGGGCCAGGCGGCGGGTGGGTTTTCGTTCACGCCACCGCGGATGCGCGCGGGCTCCGAGGAGGGCGAGGAGTCGCCGACCTTTTAACTTTATTGTCATACACTTGGGCTTAAACTTTTGGTGCCGGCGGGTGTCAGCGGCGGCCAGTCTACTCTACGAGGAGTGGCGCGCGAGGGAGGAGTGGGACTGCGAATTGAGGGTGGATCAGGCGATCACGGCCACGCTCTGCTTCAGCGCGAGCAGGGCCGACACGGCGGAGTAGCGGTCGCCGAGCTGGGCTTTGGGCCGCGGCGCCGCCGCCTTCCGTCGCACGACGTGGCGGATGCCCAGGATCGCGTCCACCGAGTCGATGCGGCCGCCGGCCTCGGGACTCCTCCTATATATGGTGACGCCCGCGCCCGCTTGCCGATGAAACCCAAAATTGTTCAACTGTCGCTGGAACGAGGCGTACTTCGAGTGGCGGTAGTATTTGCCCAGGATGCCTTCGAGTGCTGAAGGCGACGGGATGACGACGCAGCCCTCCTCCGCGTCCAGCCGGATCAGCTGGGGCGCGTCGCCGAGCATCTTGTGCAGCGCCTTGGCGAACGGGACTGGCGCCTTCGTCGGCGGCGCCGGCGCGCCTTGCTGCGGCGACGGCGGCGCCGCGAAGGGGAGTTGCTGCGGCGACGGCGGCGCCGCGAAAGGCAGCCGCTGCGGCGACGGCGGCAGGGCAAAGGGCGCGGGCGCGGGCGCCGCCAGATTATTTTGGCGCGCTCGAGGTGAAGCGATGAACAGGGGCACCGGCGGCGGCGGCAGGTGCGCCAGGGGCGCCGGCGGCGCCATGGCGACCGGCGAGGCCCGCTGCACCTCCATGGGCAGCCTTACGGCCCTGCTGGAGCCCAATTTCTTGCCTTGCAGCTGAGAACGAGCACGTCAGAATTTTAGCTGAGTTTCGGGCCTGAAGGAGCCGCTGCCAGGTCGCCGCGCAGCGCTCCCGCGCGTCTGGAGGAGTCCTGGACTGGTGGCGACTAGTTCGGGTTCGGTCTTCGGGTTCTCTTGCTAGCGCCCCGTGCGCCCTCCCCGCTCCCCCATCCGTCGAGAGGACTCTCTCGCTTGCTCCTTGCGCGGGCCCGCACGGCGCTATGGCCTTGAATTGCTGCTTGCTAGTGTCTTACAGGCCGCTAGCTTGTCGCAGGCGCACCCAAAAAGCAAGCCCTGGCTGCTCACTTTGCAGACAGCCTGTGGTTGTATCGGACGCAGTCCATTAATACGTGCTTCTCTCGCGGAGACGCTTGCCTGAGCGGATTTGCAACCTCCGCAGTTGCAACTCCAAGTGGCGAGAGTAGCTGCAACCATGCCGCGCCGGACCACATACCTCGCCGCAGCATTACTAACAGCAACGCAATGCGCAGCCTTCACGGCGCCGGTCACGATGGGCCTCAAACCCCCGGGTGCGAGGCGGCGGCGCTGGCGGCGCGCCGGCACGGCGGCCGCCGGCGCCGCCGTCGGGCTGCTCACTCCCTTGAAGGCCGGCGCGCGCGCCCTCGTGTCCAACGAGGTGATCAAGGCCGCGGCCGAGGCGCGCGCCGCGTGCAAGCCGGGCAGCATCCGCGACCGCATCATCACGGACCACATCACGCTGCTCACGACGACGCTGCGGACGTCGGAGCTCGCGCGCTACAAGGCCATCTGGAACTTGGTCGGGGGCACGCTCGTCTTCAGCGTCGTCTTCGGGCTTTACGTGAAGTGGAGTACGAAGACGGCCGAGCGGCGCCTGCGCGAGGCGGAGATCGAGACGTTCGGCGAGTACCGGGCGGCGTCGACAATCGTCGCGGACAAGGATGATGATGACGACGACGACGACGACGACGACGATGACGACGACGACGACGATGATGATGAGTAAATATAGTTATTTCAAGCTAGGAGGCTTGGTGCAGCGGACTCGGACCCGTCCTGACTCGGTGCAGGTTGTTCGTCGGCGTCGACCGCGCTCGCATCGCCGGACTCGTCAGCGGCGCCCGGGGACGAGTCCGCCGCCGCGGCGCTGCCTGGCGACGACGCCGCGTCCGATTCTGCCGCCGGAGATGCCCTCGCCGCGTCCTCGCCGCTCGACGAGGACATCGTCAGCGTCGCATCCGAGGCCGCCGGCGACGCCGCGCCCGCGGAGGCCGGCGAGGGTGCACCCGAGCCGAACGCCGCACCAAATTGTTCAGGAGAACACGTCGACTCCGAGTCGCTGGACGCCGCCGCGCGCGCCGCCGCGGCCAGCAACCGGTCGCGCTTCCGCTTGAGCTGCGCGGCCAAGTTGACGCGCTCGCGCGGGGGCAGGACCTCGTCGGCCGCCGCGAGGGCCTTGACGCGGCCCGCCAGCCGCCGGTGCGTTCGAGCTTTCTCGGAAGCCAGCGCGGCCTGGAGCTCCGCGGTGTCGCAGTAGCGCCGGCGCACGTCCGCGTCCCGGTGCTTCGCCTCGGCCGCGGCCTTTTCCGCGGCCTCCAATCGCGCCCGCAGCCGCGCCGCGGCGTGGTCCAGGGCCTCGACGTCCTTCTTCGACGCCTCCTCTTTGGCCTCGGCTTCTCTCAGCAATTGAGATAAATCGGACGCGACGGCGACGGCGCGCTGCAGCGACGACGCGTCGTCCTCGGCGCGTTTTGTAGCTTGGAGCTCGGCCTGGCGCGCGCGCCGCTCGGCGTCGGACGCCTGGTGCGTCAGCGACGCGCAGGTGCCCTCGAGCTGGCGGATCGACACTTCGGTGGTTTTCCGTTTCTCGGCCGCCGCCCGCTTCAACCGAGCGTCGCGGGACGCTAAGCAAGCGGCCACGGCACTCAAGGCGTCCTTGGCCGCCGTGGAAGCTTGCAAGCGAGCCTCCTGACTAACCCGATCCGCCTCCGCGGCCGCGATGCGCTCGAGGTGGCTCCGTCGCCTCTCGACCGCCGTCGCGACGGCCGCCCTTCTCAAATCCACGTCGCGGCCCGCCTCCTCCAGCACGCCGCGCGCCGCGTGGGCCCGGCGCTCCGAGTCGGCCCAGGGCGCCGGCCCGCACGCGTCCAGCTCGCGCTCGCGCTGCCGCCGCACCGCCAGCAGCGCCTCGGCCTCGACGACGAGCAGCGCCTCCTTCTCTTGGCACTTCGCCGCCGCGGCGCGGCCCCACGCGAGCAGCGCCCGGCCCACGACCGCCCGCCGCGCCGCGGCCGCGCACCGCTCGACGCGCGCCGCGGCGCGTGCGCGGCGGTGCGCGCGCGTCCGCCACGTCCGTACCAAGGCCCGCGCGCGCAACCTTAACAGCCGGTCGGGCCCCGCCGCATCCGTGAGGCGGTGGCGTTTGTATTGGACCGCGCGCGCGGCCCACATCCTTAGTGACCGCGCCTTCATTGAAGACTGCGCGCGGTCCATCAAAACGCCGTCGAGGCGCCGCGCCGCCGCCCGCGCCAGCCGCACGGCGCGCCAGGTCCCGAGGCCCCGCTTCAATGAGCGCCGCGCCGCGAAGGCCCCGGCGGCGGCGTCGGTGACGCGCGGCGGCGGCGGTACCGGCGGCGACGGTGGTGCGGCGGGCGCGGGCGGCCGCGCGGCGGGCGTCGGCGGCGGCAACCTCAAAGCCACGGGCGTCACCGGGGCGCGGTCGACGGCCTCCTTCGCCGCCGGCGACGCGTGCGCGTCGGCGGCAGGCGCGAGCGCGCGCATGCGCCCGCGGTGCCAGGCGCGCGCGACGGCGTGGAGGCGCCTATCTAAGGCCGCCGCCTGCCACTGCTCAAAAGCCTGCCGCCGCCGGGCCGCGGCCTCGCGCGCGTGTCGCGCTTTCAATGCCGCCTCGCGCGCGGCGCGCGCGGCCTTGGCCGCGCGCGCAAAATGCGCGAGGGCCCGCAAACCGCGCCGGCGGCGCCGGCGCCCGCGGTCCACGTCCGCCAGCGCGTTCGTGATCGCGCCGCGCCGCCACGCGCGCAGGTAGCGTCGTGCTTTCCCGCGGAAGGCCCGCGCTTGCAACCGCCGCAGGCCCTTCTCCTGCGTCGCCGCGCGCGCCCAGGTTGTTATAAAGCGGCGCAATGCGTTGGCGCGGCGCTTCCGATCAAAAGCCGCGAGGGGCGCCTCGAGCGCCCGGCGCCGCGCCTCTTTCATGGAACGCCGCTCCTCCCTCCTATCGACGCGCGCGGCCTGGGCGCCCCGCGCGAGGGCGCAGGCCGACGCGAGGCGCCTCGAGTCTAATGCTTCGGCGTCGAGAGCGGCCGAAAGCGCCTCCGCGTCGCGCGCGGCCTTCGCATCCTCCGCCGCCTTGCGCCGGGCCGCGTCTCTATCAGATTCGGCTCGGAGCTGCTGCGCCTTCGCCTCGTCAGACGCTTTCTCGGCGGCCTTTTTTTCTTTTATTAATGCTTCGCGCGCGCCGCGCTTCGACAGCCGATCCAATTCCGCGCGCCGCGCCTTGGCGTAGGCGCACTGGGCCTCGACGTCGTCGACGCGCGCGCGGTCCTTCTTCGCTCTTTCAGAAACGCGCTCGGCCTCGTCCTCGAGTTCGGAGCCGACCGCTCTTAGTTCATCGACGGCGGCGTTTGACGCTTTGAGTGCTTGTTTGAGCTGGTCCGTGGCGTGGCGCTCCTCCTTCTCGAGGCTTTTGGCTAGCGCACGGCGGCCGCGCAGGTCGACGGGCTCGGCTGTGAGCATTCTCGCGTTCTCGCGTTCGTGTTGGCACAGCCGGTGCCAAGCTGCTTTTAAACTACGCGTCCATTAGCTGTTACCGACCCCATCCCGGGGCCTCGGCAGTCACCAGGGCTACCCTCTGTGATTCTACCAACGAGTGATAGCTGCGTTGCCGGCGAAATTGCCACAAACCGCCGAGCTTGCGCGCTAGCGGCCGGTAACACACTAGGGATCCCCAGCCTGGCAGCGCAGCCAGCCTGCACGCGCAAATTGCTGCACTAAATTGGTCGCGGCATCGAATCAATTCCTATAAATATCATTCTCTGCCACGCCTGCAAGGAGACGCCGTCTCGCGTGTGTGCCATCTGCACCTGTGCCTCAGCATCTGGGTGTGGCCGCCGCATACGCGACTGCTGTGTGACAGATATAGTTGACCTCACAAGATGCTGCGAGTGACGCCGCTGCTGGTGCTCGCGAGCGGCTTCGCGCCGCGGCACGCACCGTCGCCATCGACGCGGCATGGCGTGAGACGGCGCGTCGGCCCCGCTGCTGACGAGTGGCCCGAGCTGACGAACGTCCCGCTGCCAGCGAAACTGGCCGGCGGCCTCTTTTTGTTTGCCGCTTCGGTGCCGCGGCGGGACCGCGCGCTCGCCGACGAGCTCCTCGGGCTTGCGAAGGTCGCGTTGAACAACGACCCAGCGGTCACGTCCGAGCTCGGCTATGGGCTCGAGCCCGGGGGCGTCTACGCGAGCGCTCGGGCCGGCGATCGCCTCGCGCTGCAGTTCCAAATCCAGGGCGGCAACCTCTGGGCGCAAGGTACGGCCCGCGGCGTCCAGACGGCGGATGGTGTACAGCTCGCGGAGCTCTACGTCACAAACATGGACGGAGCGATGATGGGGGACGGCGGCGCGCGGGTCCGCCTCGACGTGTGATGTGTGTGAATTAACAAGTGAATTAACTTAAGCCCAAGGATGCCTCGGCCCCGCGTCCGCCTTCTCGGGCGCGAGCGCATCTAATTTCCGCTGGATCCTTCGGACCGCGTCTTGGTCGCCCCGTTTGTAGGCGTGCTGCTGCTCGGCCCGCAGAAAGTCCGCCTCGCGCACGTCCTTCATGCGGTCGCCGTCGCGCGCCCGGTCCCGCAGCTCGGCCTGCTCGGCCGCGCGGTCTCGCTTTTCGGCCTCCGCGCGCCGCTCGCGCTCCAGCTCCCGCTCGTCGTCGAAGACGGTCCGCTCCTTCGTCGAGGCCCGCTCGCCGCGCAGCTTCCGCGCGTACTCGGCCGTCTCCCAGGCCTCGAGGTCGTAGTACTTATCCGAGGGCAGCGTGCACGTGTTGAAGTCCTCGGCGTACTCGCGGAACAGCTCGAGCTGCTCGCGCTTCGAACCGCTGAAGCCGGGCATCTGCTTGACCTCGCCGAGCCACGCCTCGAACTCGCGCCGCTTCCGGAAGAAGTCGCTCTCGCGCACGACTCCCCGAGAGCCGAACCGGTCCTGGTCGCAGGCGCCCGCGTTCTTGGCTTTCGACTTTTTCTTCTTCTTCTTCTTCTTTTTCTTCTCCTGCGTGGGCATAGATAGAGTGACGACGGCGTCGCGCTGCGAAACGCGTACCTTCTTTTTCTTCTTGTCCTTCTTGTGCTTGTGCTTGCGCTTCTTGGATTTCTTCTCCTTCTTGCGGCGCTTCGCCGGCGCCGCCTCGTCGTCGGAGTCGGAGCCCACGGTCTGGAACTGGCGCTTGCGGCCCTGGACCTCCTCGCGGGCGCGCGCGCGCGCGGCGGCCTCGCCTCCCTCTTCGGATGAGGACGAGGACGAGGAGCTGCTGCTGCTGCTCGAGCTGCTGCTCGACGAGCGGCCCATTGTTACGCGGCGGCGCGGCGCGGCGTCCACGCGGCTTTTTCGCGGTGCAGCGCGTTTACTGATTCACGGCGCGCGTCTCCGGAGTCCTTTGCTCCCGCGGCGGCTGTCCGCAGCCCAGGCGTCCGCAGCGCAGACCGGAGCTATTGTGCTCTCTGAAGCCGCAGCGAGGTCTGGCGTCTCTGCAGCCGCTGCAACGCGTTCAGAGCTCTCCGAAATTGCTTCTGGCAATCTATGTGACCGTGAGGTCGCGCGATTTAAGTGAAATGCCCAGCCGGCAGGCGGTTCCTAGTGCCTTACACCGCTAGCCCTGCATCGGCGCACGCGCAGCGCTTGCTCGTGTAGGGCTCATACGTCGAGCTTTGAACTACGCATTGATCGTTTCGAGCCCCCGCGCGCGCACCTGGACCGCAGAAGGAGCCGCCAGCTGCACCCTATATATACACCGCTGCCTGTAAGCCATGCTGCAGGCGATCGCCCAGAGCATCGATGGCACCGCGTTGAGTTGGGCCGCGGGCTGCTGCCTCGTCGCCGGCGCCGCCTACGCGGCGCTCCGGAAGCATTGGGCGTTCAGGACGCGCTTCGAGGCGAGCGTGCGCGCCGTCGAGGCGGCGCAGGGCGCCTACGTCGGCCTCAGCGCCGCGCATCACCTTCTGATGAAAGGCGGCCCGCTGCCCGTGGTTTTAGTCCAGCGCATGGCGGGGTATCTGTGGTTCGACACTTTATATGAATGCGTGCTGCCCCTCGTGAAAGGGACTTCCATCTCAATCCCGTTCCTCGCGCACCATCTTGTCGGATTGGCGGCGCACGGCCTGGCCAAGACGCACGGGCCCCTGCGGGCGGTGACGGCGCACGTCTACCTCGCGGAGCTCTCGACGCCGTCTCTCCACATTTCCTGGTTCCTCAAGCAGCTCGGCCGGAGCCGTACAACTTTATATTTCGTCAACGGGCTCGTCGGCGCCGTCGCCTATTTAGTTTTCCGCGTCGCGTGGCCGCCGCTGTTTGTGTACTGGAACCGCGATGCAAAGCCGTGGGACGCGGCGCGGGCGGGCGTCCACACGGCCTTTCTGATGTGCTCGGCGGTCTTCTGGGCGCTGAATCTGTTCTGGTTCCGGAAGCTCGTCGCGATGGCGCGCGGGGCGCGGCGGAAGGCGACGTAGGAGCCCTGTGTAAGTATCGTCCCTGTTCTTCGGCGCGCCGGTGGCGTCGGGCTCCACGCCATCGCTGCGGCGTCGTGCCACAGAGGATTCACAGAGAGTGAGCACCGCGGGACCGCTGGTCAATTCGCAGATGCTGGCTAGTACTATTCTTTACGAATAGCGCCCAAGGAGCAGCAGCAAGAAGCTAGCGTGTGACATACTAGAAAATCTAAAGATACGCCTCGATAGCGTCAAAAGAATGACCCAAATTCAGAATACATCCTAGTGGTTCGCCGAGACCAAATATTTGAGAGTATCGGTCCGGGAACATACCCTCGCGCCTCCCGGAAGGCACCGCCCACGACATTCGCGGATGAGTCTTACGAGTTTTCAAAGTAGACCAGCGATTGACGCCGCCATCTACCATCCAATTGGTACATTATATCAACTCCAGCCCAGTTTTCACCGACAATCGACGGAACCGGAGCCGACGGCCCGCGCTCGGAGGGCGGGAGAAGAATTCTACTAGACAACTCTCGCGTTTATGTTCGTTTCCTTCCGTTTGGTAGGGGTAGATTCCGTCCTATTCACCTCAGCGATCGTGAGACCTATTAAGGGCTCCGTTGGAGCCGCCCGATTCTACGACTTGGCGACCCCGCGTTTGCATGAAGATTGGCGAAACTACTAGAACCGCGACTATCAGCGACGCCACCATCCAGATGGACCATAACGCCGTTGTTCTATTCACAATCGACCGACTTGACCGTTCTCCGCGAACGACTGTGCGTTGACGGAGCACCAGAAAGGCCCCAGACCGGTGGTTTATAAAATAAATTTGCGTTTGAGGCGCTTCGGTTACGGGACGGGCCAGATAACCGGCTTGAGCGTGTACTACATTTGATTTCCTATTTCCAAATGCTCCCGCGCCTCGTTGGTCTTGCGGCCCCACGAACTCACATAGACGGGCGAATTACTTGGATCTGCGGCCATCAGCGCGTGTACCATTACCATGGACCATGACGCGATCATTTGTTCCATCATCGACTGACTTGCGCGAGGTCCAGATCAAGATGTTCACGTCCCGAGCGTGGTCGGCCAAAAGTACCCTTCTCGTGGTGTAGATGTCATATACTTGTAATTGACTATCGGCGGGGTAGTATGGGGTCCGACGAGACCGCTACGGCGACTACTGGGGGCCCTCGGGTAATTGACGTTTTTGACGGGAACGGGGCGCCATCGGGCCCAAATTGCACACTTTTTTCGGGGGTAGCTCGGCTCCTGGTGGCCTCTCGGGGTAGGTCTGGTAGTGGGTAAGCGCCTGTACCGCACACGCTGTCGACGCGGCGGCCCAGTGCTCTCGGAGAGCCCTGGAAGCAAACCATGGGAAATAGCTGCTATTTATCTGTGGTCTGCTGAGAGAAATCGACCAAAAATGATTGAAGCGGCGGCGTATGCGGTGTAGGCGCTTGCACGTGTATAGTACCGGCCCTATGCGCCCCCCGGGAGACCTGGTTGGCAGGGATTGACAGGATTCCACTGGCGCGGCCGCCATGGCCATGGGCGGCTCGTCGGCCGCGAATTAAAAAAAATAATTTTCGGCCCCCAGTAAGTGTCCCATTGATCTCTTTGGACCATTAGCGAACCGGACGATACTCGAACAGCTGCATGTGCGTTTATCTTTCTAGTATCCTACCGTCGCTAGCTGATTATCAGAAACGCTTGCGCTCGAGCGTGCGGCCGTTTGCACTTCGAACCATCTACACGCGCGTGTCGGAGTCAATTTTGCCAGCGCAAGCTCGCTGTATCGCTTCCGCGCGCGAGTCGCGACAACTAGCGAGACCTTTGAACTTGCAAACCGGAAACTCGAGCTCAGGGGGCGCCGTCGACGCGCGAGGACCCCGCTGGAAGTCAAATGATCGGAAATCATATCTCGCGCGCGCGGGGGGCCGCTTGACCGCGCGCCGGGGCGCGGGGGGCCGGGGCGCGGCCGGCCGGCACGGGGTGAGCATGGCCGTGACGGACGTCGTCCCCGACCGCGAGGCGGTCAAGACGGGCCTCGACTATTCCATGCACGGCATGTTGGCCCACCACGGCGACGACATGGACGCGTACCCGAACCGCCCGGACGGCCGCAAGAAGAAGCCGATCGAGCCGACCGCCGAGATGGACGGCTCCGGCGCGAAGATCCAGGTCCAGCTGCCGGCCGAATAGACGCCGCGCCTCCCCCTCACTAAAACTCGTCCCCAGTCTCACCTCGGAAAGTTCGTTTTCCCGGGCAGCACGCCATCGATGCTGTGCGTTTATCCGTCTAGTGTCCTAGTCGCTAGATGGCGGCTCGATAATAACTCTCGCAGATCACGCGTCGGCGCTGGATATCGAGCCCATTTGTGCCCGCGAAATCGCATAGACACGTGCGCGCAGTCCACAAGTACTCCGCAAAGCGCTAGAAAGCGCCAGCGCACCACGCCGTCGCCCCGCGGCGCAGAAAAAGCCTGAAACCAAGGAAAGGCCGCCAGCGCACCACGCCGTCGCGCCGCGCCGAACAAAAAAAGCTGAAACCAAGGACCGGCCATGAGCCGCCCCAAGCTCCACCGCGCCCACAGCAGCGCGGCCGTGGACCCGGCGCCGCCCTCTCGATTAGCGTTGTGTTGCCTCGGACCGATATTGAACCCGGAACGGGACAACCAATATTATGAGTTATTAGGTGTGGACCGGAGGTGCTCGCAGACGGAAATAAAGAAGGCCTACCGCAAGATTTCGCTGGAAATGCATCCTGATAAACGTAGGCAGAGAGGCATTCCGGTCACGCAGGAGGACCGGGAGCGGTTCATCCGCGCCAAAGAAGCGTATGAGGTTTTATCTGATCCGAAGCGAAGGAAGGTCTACGATGCCCTAGGGGAACTAGGCGTGCAATTGACAGAAAACCCGACGAGTGTAGATCAGAACAAGGTCATGCGCACCATGTCTCATATGAGTGAGACGACGAGATGTTCTATTCTACTCATTGCTCTGGCCTTTGTGGGCTTCTTCGGGCTGTACTTTCCCGTGTTACTATCAACAAATGTGCAGAACACCACGGATATACCGTGGGGCTGGGTCTTTTTACCTGTCTGGGTTATCGACGCGTTCGTACTGTTGAACCACCTGGCCTTCGTTGGGGAAGGATGTTCTGGTGAGGAGGAAGGCGGCGCGCCTTCAGATCCCGAGAACCCTACGGATGAAGATTTTGACGATGATGATGCTCATGGTGACGACATCCCGGTTTCCGCGCGGATCTTCCACTTGGTTGTGTTCCTACTCCTCGTCATCTTCCAGATCTTACTGGTGTGGATGATCTCGACGCCGTCCGAGGACCGGGACAACTGGGGCGGCGTCTTCGCTCCTCTATTCTTGTCCGAAGCGTTGAGGCTGTGCGTCCTCATCCCGGGAGCGTGCACGTCGATCCCGCCCATCGACCTGGGGGACACGTCCGATACCTCTGATGAGGCCAACTTCGAGCGAGAAGTGCAGATGATGCGGGCGGCACAAAATAGAGCGATCCGGTCGATGCACCGGAGGGCCATCTTTGGACTACTCTTCAGAGTATTACAGGAGATCCTCATAGTCGTAAAGCTGATGGGCGCCCAGATGAGCTGGTACGAGGTCTTCATTCCCATCTGGGTCTACTGCGGGTCGCAGCTGTTGGGAGGATGCGGCTACTGCGCCTTGTCGAACACGATCCAAGCCACGATCACGCCGCCCCCGGAGGGCGCCACCGATAACTCCTGGATGACGCCGGAAGATCGGGTCAAGGCCCAGGCCGCGCAGGAGGCGTCGGCGGCGGGGACGGCCGCGTGCTGCTCGTTTGTCTGCGTTTTTGTCGTCGCGATCTTGGTCGCGGTCAAGGCGCAGGATTACTCTTCTTTCCACGCGATTATTATCTTCATTCCCTTACTCATATGTCTGTGCCTCTGCTACTGCTGCACGTGCCTCTTTATTTGTACTTTTAGGGAGTTACCGGAGGAGGAGCCGGGGTCGTCATATGAAGCACCTGAAGCACCGGCCGCGCCCGTGGCGTCGCCTACCCCGTCGCCGATCATTCCCCAGGCCGCGCCGCCGGCGCCGGCGCCGGTCGTCGTGCCGCCGCCGGCGCCGGCCGTGACGAAGGAGCCGGAGAAGATGGTGTCGCTGGACTAGACGACGTCGCCGTCGTTGGGGAGGCGGGGCATAATTCGATCCAGAGTAAACCGCGCTAGCGGCTTGTAAGACACTAGCAAGCAAGCAAGCTCTCTCTGCTTTTGGGGCAGTTTTCAGCTGCACAGCCAGCCTCGCACAACTGCGAGGTGTCGGTATGATACCTCCACCATGCGGCCATCCTCGTGACTCGGAATTCTGATGCGTTCGGCAGCCTAGACGCCGTATGATGCGCCGTGCGGTAACACGCCTAGCTCGTCGTAACTTCGGCTTCGCCGGCACACAGATCAAAACGCCGAGCGACTGGGACGCCGCGGCGACGCAAGCGATCGCCACAGCACGGACGCACGCCGACGCCATCAATGGCAAGAACCGGGACCCGCTGCTCACGCTGCGACGGCTCGACGCCGTGTCGGTGGCGCTGTGTAGTGTGCTGGACCCGGCGGCGTTGTGCGTGGCGGCGCACGACTGCGCCGACTGGCGCGCGGCCGCGTCAGGCGCAGCAGCGAGGGTCGAGGGCGTGATGGAGGAGCTCAACGCCAGCGCCGCGCTGGCGTTGGCCGCGGCCGCATGCGCCGCTGGCAACGATCTGCCGCCTTCGGCGCGGCGACTGGCGGACGCCTTCCATTCCGAGTTCTCGCGCGACGCGGGCGTCGCTCCGGCGAGAGCCACGGAGCGCCAGGCCGTCCAGCTTTTGTTCGCGACGGACTTCGACGAGAGCGCCTCTTGGATACGCGTGCCGTGCGTCGGGGCCGAGCGCGTCGCGGCCGCCGTCGACGCTGCGGCGCCGGGCTGCGCCTCCCATAATGGCGACAGCGTCGACCTCTTTTCGACGTGCTCGGCCGTCTCCGCCTTCCTGACCGTCTCGCATGACGCTACTGCTCGAAAGATCGTCTTCGACCACCACGAGGCGGCGCTGAGCTTCGACGCGCTCGACGTTCTGGCGTCGGCGCGCCGGGGCGTCGTGACCGCCCACTCAGCCCTCGAGGGTTCGTTGATTGGCGGCGTCGACGCGGCCAAGGCGTTCGTCTACGCCGCTTTGACCACAGCAAAACGCCGCGCGGCCTTCGAGGAGCGACGAGGCGCGGCGCTGTTGGGCTTGGAGCGGCTCGAGCCTTCGGACCGGCTGGCCGCGGCGCACCGACTCCGAGAAAGGCAGCCGACCGACGATGGCGACGTAGTCACCGCGATCTGCGTCGCGCCGCCTGGTTTCACGGTCGACGAGGTCCCGTGCGGCGCCGACGAGGCCTGGGCGCCGGGCGTGCGGAAGCTTGTGGTTGCCGGTCGCGGGACGCGGGCGACGATCTACCTCGACTTGGAGCCGCGGCCGGGAAAGCCCACCGGTTGCGCGCACTACACCGTGGCCTGCGCGTGCGACGTCGACGGGAGCGGCGCGGACGCGCCGGCGGAGACGTGGGGATTACTCACGCCCTCACGGCTGCCGGCCGTCGGGGCGATCGTCTCGTCGAGCCCCGACGCGCGCGCCCTGGCGCACGAGTGGGGCCACGCCCTGCACGGCGCCATCCACCGGTCGACGAGTCAGCACCTGGCTGGGACGCGCGGTTCCACGGACGCGGCGGAACTGCCGGCGACGGCGCTAGAAGTGCTGGCGCCCCGGCGCCGGCGCAACACGCGCGGTATGGAGGCCGTCGCCGCGTTGCGCGGGGCCGTGTTCGATCTCGCACTCCACGGCGCCTACGGTTGCGACGTCTCTACTTACGCGGCTCTCGCGATCGCAGACGCGCGCGCCGGCGCGGGCCGCCGAGCGGATATAATCGACTGGCTGCCCCACGTCGCCGAGGCGCCCGCCGCGCTATACGCCTACCCGTGGGGCCGGGCGCGGGCGGACGGGCTCTGGCGGCGGCCCGACGCGGAGAGCGAGCTGTTGTGTGTGCTTGAGGGCGATGAGGCGAGGGCTTTAGATTGGTAATGTTGTTGACATGTTTTACACATAATACATTCAGTAGAGCGGATCCCGCGCCGTGCGCCAGTAGCTCGCGACCTTTCCGACCATCGGCGGCGGCAGGGCGACGAGTCGCGCCATGAGCGCGTCGGTGGGCCCTTCTTCGGTGGCGTCCGTCGGTGGCGCGCGTTTCCGGGGCCGCGTCACCTTACAACCGCTTGTCGCTTCGAGCGCCTCGACCGACGCTGGGCCTCTGGCGTGGTCGGGGCCGAGTGCAGTCACAGGCGAGGCGCGGCCGGTCGAGCAGAGCTTCTGCAGCAGAAGTAGCTGGACCCGCCACGCGCCCACGTAGCGTTTCCAGGAGCCGGCGGTGCGAACATCGGCGAGCAGCTCGAAAATACGTTCTGCTTCGCCGGCGAGGCGCCAGTCTTGCAGTTCCCACTCACCGCGATCCTCGTCGTCAGGAAATTCATCTCGGGTGGGTCGGCTCAGAGCCTTGAGCGCGTAAGCTTGGGCGTCGCGGTTGGTTGCATTCGTCGCAGTGAAGTCGGCACCGCGACTCAGCAACACTCGAACCACCTCGGCGGAGTGCGTACTGGCGGCGGCGCACATCAGAGGCGTCGGTGGGTTCAGACGTTCATCAAACTCATCCTCAGGAGCCACGCGCAAGTTCGGGTCGCCGCCGCAATCAAGCAATGCGCGTACGACGTCGACGTGACGCCCTTGCGCGGCCGTGTGGAGTGCTGTCCAGTTGTGCTCATTGACGTGGTTTGGGTTGGCGCCGCGGGAGCAAAGCTCGCGGACCACGCTGGCATTGGAGAAAGTCGCGGCCCTTACAAGATAACTAGCTTCAAGGTACACGCCCTTCTTGTCGGTGAAGTCGAGCTCGGCAGCCGCGATGACTACCGCCTGCTCTCGGGTGATTTGTTCCCTGATAGTAAGAGATAGCACCTTTTCACACAACTCTTTGATCAACACCTTCCTGGTGTCGAGAGAGCGTTCCGGCGCGCCCAGGATCGCCTCGGCCGCGCGGCGTATATCCTTCTGCACGTCGGACCCGGCGGCCTGCCCGACGGCATAGAGCACGGCCTTGTGCTCCGCCCAGCTGAGCGTAACCATCCCGCTGTCCAACACTAGCGATATGAATCTGAGGTTCGCCGCGCGCCGGCTACCTAACAAGTTCCAGAATAGACCAAGAGCGTCCTGGCACGTCGCCGTCGCGAGCCAATCCCGCACCGGCGCGACGTCGCCATCGCGTACGTGATCCAGTATGCGCTTCGGGGTGGACATGTCCAATATAGCCTGGCCTTGCTGCGCTCGAGAGTGATGCGTGCGCTGCGGCTGCGTGGCGCGTGGTGGCAGCACTCGAGCCTCTGTGAGCCCACAGTGCGCTCTGTGGCTTGCACAAGTTGTGACAGAGAACACAAGCGTGTGCTGCCAGTACCAGAGAGACGCGTACACAGCGTAAACACAAATTACAGCGCGCTCGTCCGCGTGCAAAATCGACCAAGCTCTGGTCTAGAGCTAGCGGCAGTAAGACACTAGCAAGCACGGTTCTCTCACCCAGGGATCACAAAAAGCCTGCTTTTGAGCCCATCGCCTCAGAATCACATATATAGCGGGGCTGGAGTAGACCTGTTCATTCAGGCAGGCGGACCACCACCGCGGCGGACGGAGGGTGTGTACGTGGGTGTGTAAGCCTTAGCTATCACAGAACAAAAACTTACCATCTCAGTAAAGCGGGTCACGCGCGGTGCGCCAGTAGCTCGCCACCTTGCCGACGAGGGGCGGCGGCAGGTCTACGAGGCACGCCATCAGCGCTTTGGTAGTCCGCCATTCAGTGCTGCTCGCGTCCTGGTCCCTCTTCCCCGGCGTCACCTTACAACCGCTGGTCGCTTCGAGGTCCTCGATCGACGCTGGGCGCCACTGGTAGTCTCGGCGACGGACTTCACCAGGGTAGGCGCGGCCGTCCGCGCAGAGCCGCTGCAGCAGGAGAAGCTCGACCCGCCACGCGGCCACGTACCGCTTCCAGGAGCCGGCGGTGCGGACGCCGGAAAGCAGCTCGATGATGCGCTCGACCTCGCCTTCAAGCCTCCACGGCTCGTCGAGGTCGTCCCAATACTGGATGGCCTGGGCCACGCTGTCGTAGTCGTACTCCGCGACGGCGTCCTCGATGCTCGCGACGACAGGCCGATCGAGCGTCGCGCGCGCGTAGTCCTCGGCGCTGTCGCCCGACGCACTCGTAGCCGTCACGTCTGCGCCGCGCGAGAGGAGCACCCGGACGATCTCGCACGAGAGGCCGTAGTCCGCCGCGCACAGCAGCGGCGTCGGCGGGTTCGGCTCATCATAATAAGGCTCGCCGTCCTCGTCGTACTCTAACGAAGTAAACATGCGGGCGTTCACGTCGGCGCCGTGGTCGCAGAGTTGGGCCACCGCGGCCGGCCCGCTCCGGTCCTTGATGAGGCTCCCGGCAGCGGCGTGTAAAGCAGTCCAGCCCTCGTCGTCGGCGTAGCTGGCCTTCGCCGGTCGCGCCGCGGTCAGGAGCAGCTCGACCATCGCAGCGCCGCTAGTGCAGGCGGCGAAGCAAATCAACGCCGTGCCGCGTTCGCTCAGCGCGCTCGCGTCGCCGCCGGCCTCGAGCCAGGCCCGCACCGCTTCGACGTCGCCGCGGCCCACGGCCTGAATGATAGGCTGCGGGGCGATCATGCTGCCTTGTTGCGGAGGGAAAAAATGCTGCGGGAAGACCGGAGGCATGATAAGCTGCGTCGCCCCGCTCATGATGCTTGTCGCGCGCACGGTTTCGGGTGCAGCGTCAAATGCCGTGATGCAGCGCCAAAGCGATGTGGCAGAGAAATCTGCGGCTATCACGGTAGTATGAGAACGGTAATTATGCGTTTTCGTTGATGAAACGGCCACGCTTGGCTTGCCTGAACGATTCGGCCGAACTCGTACCTAGCGTCGTCGACATACTAGCCCCGCGCCAAATCGCCGCGTGCGCACCCGTGCAACAAAGCAGGACTCTTCGGACCCGTCCGACCTCGTGTTGGATGGTTCCTACGAGCTTGTCATTTTCTGTGACATCACGCGGTCGAGGAGGATTTAGACCGTGATTCCTCGGCGACCCGCGAGAGTGTTACGACCAGCGTTGCAGACACTATTCGCCATGACTTCAGGAACGCGCGGGCGGCTGCGCGTGCAACGTGGCTGTCCCTAGGGTTCATACAGCGAATTTTGGCCCCAGCATCCGTCGGACAGCCGCGCGGCGGCGCATCTATTAACACGAAAGCATCGCGAGAGCGCACGACGCCGCTGCGCCGTAACACACAAAACACGCAGGCAGCCATGGCGAACTTCTCGAAGACGACGCCCGGCAGCGGCGGCGACCTCGACAGCGAGTTCCACTCGCTGACCGAGTACCTCATGACGACGCTCAAGGACCAGGAGTTGACCGTGCTCATGAGCCAGATGGCCCTGGCCTGCAAGGCCACGAGTAGAGCGTGCGCGAAAGCGGGGATTGCCAATCTCTTTGGGATGGCCGGCGACCAGAACTCGAGCGGAGACGACCAGAAGAAGCTGGACGTCCTGTCGAACGACATCTTCGTCAACGCTCTGCTGAAGAGCGGCTCGTGCTGCGTTTTGGTGAGCGAGGAGAACGAGGAGCCGATCATCGTGCCCGAGAAGGACGCGGGTCGCTTCTGCGTCTGCTTCGATCCGTTGGACGGGTCGTCGAACATCGACTGCAACGTGTCGACCGGTACGATCTTCGCCGTCTACGAGAAGAAGACCCCCGGCAAACTCGGCAGTGTGGCGGACGTCCTCCGAGTCGGCTCAGACATCGTCGCGGCCGGCTACTGCATGTACGGCGCCGCGACGGAGTTGGTGCTGTGCTTCAAGGGCCAGTCGGTCCAGCGCTTCGCCTTGGACCCGTCGCTCGGCGAATTCGTGCACACGCATTCCAACGTGACGTTCCCCAGTGGCGGCGGCAAGAAAATTTATTCGTGCAACGAGGGCAACTTCCCGTACTGGGACCAGCCCATCAAGGACGCCGTGACCGAGTTCAAGGCCAAGAAGTACGCGCTGCGGTATGTCGGTTCCATGGTCTCTGACGTGCACCGCACGATCCTGTATGGTGGCGTGTTTGTGTACCCCGCTGATAGCAAATCGCCGAAGGGCAAGCTCCGCGTTTTATACGAGGGCTTCCCCATGGCGTTGCTCGTGGAATGCGCCGGCGGCAAGGCGTCGACGGGCATGTTCAACGGGTCCGTGCAGCGCATGTTGGATCTGGAGCCGACGCACGTCCACGAGCGGTGCCCCGTGATCCTCGGGTCGCCGCGCGACGTGGACTTCATCCTCTCGAAGTACAACTAAATGGGGCGCGTCGGCCGGCGCCCGTCGTAACTATGACTATGACTAGAGTGTTGGTTGTTTGACGGCGCGTCGATGGCGTCGGGGGTCACGCGTGGACTATGACTAGTGTGCGTTGTCGACGCGCCTCGGCGGCGCCGGGTGGGCGGGTCCGCGTGCTGGTTATTAAGTCTGAAATTATACTTATTTCATTTTCCGATCACGCGAAGCTTGGACCATGTTGCAAATGCAATTCACAACGAAACACGCCATGAATAGAACGAGAGAAACGATCCCGACACTCCGAGCATAAGCAGGGCAGAAACGATTTGCACCGATCATGGATAGTAGGGGAACCAAAGGAGGTCCGATCATGACCGGGAGGGGTCGGCGTACGGGCCGATTGTAGGAGATAATGGCCGCGCTCACAAAGAGCCCGGCAAGGACGAACACGGTCCTTGCGAGATAAGTGTCCACGTCCGGCTGCCGAGACCAGAAGAAGAACAATAATAGCCCCGCTCCCAGGTAGCCCGGAGTATGAACCGTGGTGGAGAAGGCCAAGATTGTGGTCGCGGAGGCCGATTTGGGGGATGCGTTTTATGAGAGCTGGAAGCGGTGGGACACGTGTAGCCTGTGCGAGCAAGAGTACCACGGCGTCGTGGCGTGCGCGCTCGGGTGGGCGGCCTGGAAGACGTACCTGGGCCGGCCAGCGGTGGACTGGGCTCAGAAGAGCGCGATGAGTATGCTCGCTACCGCTTTGCGCGATGATGCCAGGTACGAGGAAGCACGTGTGGTGTGTTTGGCGGGGTTGGCCGCCTGTGACGACAACTTGTCCTTTATTCTCGATCTTCTCGATGGCCTGGCAAGTTGCAACCGCGCACTCGGCCGATACGACGACGAGCTCGAAAATCTACGTGAAATTTATGCCAAGACAGAAGTAGCTTACGGCCGGGACGAGAAGACATACGCCGCGGCCCTTCGATACGGTAAGGTACTGGTCGAACAATCTTATGTTCACGACGCATTGTTACTTTTGAACGAAGCAAGCCTCGATTCCGAGGGGGACCTGGGGAGTGAACACGCTCTCGTCGTCGACTTGCATCATGCGTGGTGTCTCTCCCTCTGGTTGTATCACTTCTTAGGACATAGCGACTACCGCAGCGAACTCCGAGTTGCCGTGCAAGCGCCCCTACTTTTACTCGCACGTACGCAAGACGCTGATCAAAAGCGTGAGATAGAATATAATTTGTGCATGGTGTTGACACACCAGCTCGATTGGAGTTTGGACGACCTCGAGCTCGACTCCACTGACCGGCAAATTGTTGACAGAGTTCTCGCCGACTTGCCGGCGCCAGATTTTGAAATAGAGCTCAATGATAGACTACGCACAGTAATCATAACTTAAAAAAGAAGGCGTAGGAAACCCGAGAGAGTCGCGCGCGCGTCCGCCTTGGTGGCCGACGCGCGCGGTCATGGATCAAGGTCCCCCCGCTCCTTCAGAGCTCGTCCTTCGCCGCCGCCGCCGCGCCGATCGTGTCCGCGAGGTACTCGACGATCGTGTCCTCCGTCCAGCCCCCAATCGGTAGAGTCTCGCCGACGTCGCCCTCCTCGTCGACCAGCACGAGCCGCGGCTTCTGGCCCTGGCGGTAGACGACCTCGAGCTTGTCGTAGGCGGCCGCCTTGTTCTCGACGAAGCCCGCGACGACGGGGTAGTGCTTGAGCTTTCATTCGCAGACCTCGAGCCGCGCCTTGACGTACGTGACTTTGTCGTCGTCGGCGCAGCAGGACCGGCAGTCTTTCACAATGTCCTCGTCGGGCACGAGCGCTTCCAACGTCGCGCAGGAGCCGCAGCGCAGCGACGGCGCGAAGCCCGCGGCGACGCAGTCGACGGCTTCAGAGTAGCTCAGGCAGAGCGCCAGCGCGGCCGCGCAGGCGTGACGGCGGCGCATCGCTTCTCCTCCGCCCGCGCTGGCGAGGCCCGCAGGGATGGCAAGCCCGCCGCAGAGAGGCTGCAGGCAAGCACCACCAGGGCGAAGCCAAACGCGTGCCGTACGCCCGCGTTTGCTGGACGCCAACGGCCCGGGCCCAGACGCAAATCTGAACGACCCGGGACGCGCTAGACGCCTCGCGCAGGAGCTTACGCTTTGCGCCCTCCCTCCCGCTGCTTACGCACCCCGCACGCTAGCCGACCTGCGAGAGCTAGCGAAGCTAAGACACTAGCAAGCAGCGCTTTTTGCACAGTGTGCGGCAGCGCTGAGGGGGCTGCCTCCGAAGCAAAGGCAGCATGATCGTCCCCGAGGAGGAACTCCCTCCGATGAGCGAGGTCGAGCGCATGGCACGACGAGAACCCCCGGCCCAGTTCACGCAACCGGAGCACAAGCTCTACGCGCACCGGCCGCCGTCCGCTTTATTAGTCATGGTCTGTCGCGCGCGCGACTTGATCATGTGCGACTACAACTGGTTGACACGTACGGGTAGTAGCGACCCGACCGTAAAATTACAGGTAGAAGGTAGGGACGAGGTCGAACAGACCTCGACCCAGTACAAGACGCTCACGCCGGAGTGGGACGAGGACTTCCTGCTGCCTTGCGATGATCCCGAGGAGACGCTACGAGTGACGGTGGAGGACTATGACCGGTTTTCAGGTAATGATTTTATGGGTTGTGTGCGCATACCTCTGTCGGCGCTGAAGCACCGCCAGCTGGTGGTGAACACCTATCGTTTAACTGATACTAAAGGTAGAACGAAGAAGAATAGGGGTACTATTGATCTACAGCTGAGATGGGTCCATTCCCCCGAGCATGCTGTCGTCATCGATCACAAGTACGACGAGAAGGAGGCCTTTCCGGGTCGAGAGGCCAATGCTGTTCGTATATTACTCATAAGAGGTCGCAAGCTCCCGGCGATGGACCGGAGATTGTTCGGGAAGGAAGGTACCTCGGATCCGATGGTCACCTTCAGACTCAAAGATAAGCAGTTGGAAAGTACCGTAAAAAACAAACAACTCTCGCCGGAGTGGCTGGAATCCTTTGAGCTGAGAGCCGACGACCCCGACGACTCGATCGTAGAAGTAATTGTAGACGACTGGGATCAACTCTCAGGGAACGACTGCATGGGGAAATGTTATATTGATGTGAAAGAGCTTAAAAATAGGAAGCTACATCGGAGGTGGTACGCACTACTGCCACCTAACTCCAAAAAGCCGGACCAGGCCGATGAATCAGATGTCAGTGAGTACTCCTCGGAGGGTGAATATGGGGCCGAGTTCATGGATCACGCTAATAAAGCACCGTTAGGAAAGTTGGAGCTGGCTTGTAGGTGGTTATACCTACCGGACTTCGACCTCCCGGTCCCCGACCAGATGCTGCGAGATACGTATCCGCATGATAAGATCAACGCGTTACATATATATCTGGTGCGAGGCACGCACCTCCCGGCCGTGGATACGGATATTACTGGTAACAGAACGTCGGACCCTCTGGTGACTTTTGTGCTAGAGGAGGAACGTAAAAATAGCAAGGTGAAGAAACGGACTTTGGAACCCTTCTGGAAGGAGTATTTTGACGTGAGCGTCGAGGGCGACCTCGAGCCGCAGGTTTTGAGAATTGTTTGTGATGATTGGGACCTGGTGATTGTTCAGCGTCGAGAATGGCGGTTCACGAGACTCACGATAAACAACGCAGGTCGGCGGCAACGACTTCATGGGCCAGTGCGCCGTTCCTCTCACAAAACTGCTCGATCGCCAATTACATCGGGACTGGTTCTGGCTCATGGGCGAGGATAACGAAGACGACCGGAGTCGGGGCAAGCTCGATATCGCCCTGAGATTGTACCACAACCCCGAGTACGTCTTCGCGACGCCCGAGATTTTACTGGATACGACGAACCGAGCGGATAGAGATGCCAATTGTTTGTTAGTTCATGTGATTCGCGCGAGGGGTCTGCCCGTCATGGACCCCTCGATCCTGGGCGCGGGTGGCTCCGCGGACCCCATGATACGCCTGCATTTGTCGGGAGAGCGGGAAAAGACGCTCATCAAGAGAAAAACGCTGGCCCCGGTCTGGGAGGAGACCTTCTCCCTCAAATGCGACTTCCCTTCAGAGGTCTTGGAGCTCACGCTGTGGGACTTCGACGTGACGTCGGCCAATGACGAGATCGGGGCCGTTTATGTTCCTGTGGGTTCGTTACAAGACCGGCAATTGCATCGGGCATGGTACCCCATCGGTCCTGTAGCGTCGGAAGATGGGTTGGTCGACAACCTCGAACCCTTATCAAGACATGCTTTGAAATGCGGCGAGCTAGTCGTATCTTCTAGAAGTGTAGTGGACGCGCATGTGTCCGCCATCGTGAACGCGGCCAATGAGGGATGCTTGGGTGGTGGCGGGGTCGACGGCGCGATAACAAAGGCCGGCGGGGAGTTGCTGGCGGAGAAACGACTCGCGCTACCGGTCCATCACAATAAGCGATGCAAGACGGGCGACGCCGTCGTTACTACCGGTGGACCCTTCGATCAGTTGAAATGCGAGTGCGTGATTCATGCCGTAGGGCCGGATTACCGCCGACTACCTCCTGCTAAAGATGATGAGGACGACGACCTCGCTCGAGGCGATCAAATACTAAAAAATGCCTACACCGCGGCCATGAAGCGCGCCAAGGAGCAGAAGTGCAAGACTGTGGCCTTTTCGCTATTGTCCGCGGGAATCTTTCGGGGGAGGCAGTCGCTGGATAACGTCCTTAGATGCGCCGTGGAGGCCATCGGTGATGCGACTTATCCTGGATTACAAAGAGTGCATCTCGTCGCATTTAGCACCAAGGAGCAGGAAGCGCTGGCAAGAGTCATAGAGTACCCTGAAATAAAACGAGGGAGATTGGAACTCGCACTCAGATGGCGCTACGACAAGAACTTCTACTGGGAGGAGCCCGAGTCCATGTTGCTACCCGAGAAATTTCCTGACTTACTACCGAATAGACTGGATATATTTGTCAGTCGAGGGAAACACCTCCCAATCATGGACTGGGACCGGAATAGTCCATCGGGCGGTTCGTCGGATGCGGTCTGCACGTTGACGATAGAAGGCGACCAGAGAAATACGTCTGTGAAACTCACTACTTTGAATCCGACGTGGGCCGAAGCGTTTGAGTTTGATGCCTTTGCTGGTGAAGTACTGAAAATACAGTTGGACGACTGGGACGAGGACGGGAGTTTGGATCGGATCGGTGATGTTCTGATACCTATAGCGTCCTTGGCGTCGCGCAAGAGTGAGAGGAGGTGGTACGCGATACAACATGATGGACCTCTATCCGAGGGCCAACCCACAAGGGGCTGGATCGAAGTGGCGGGGAGGTGGTCCCACGACCCGGAACGAGCTTGTGACTTACCGGGAGAGTTGGGCGAGGACAAACCTAGATATAAGTTGAGGCCGAACAAGCTGCTATTTTATTTGATACGAGCGCGAGGGCTGATGGCGGCCGATCTTGGCAGTGATACGCAAAGACCGTCGTCGGACCCCGCCGCTATCCTCACCATACCGTACCACCCCCAAACGAACTGGGAGAGTGCGGCGCGGTGGACGACGCTGGTCCCGACGTGGTGCGAACTGTTCGAATTCGAGCAGTTGGACGACCTGGGCTTTCCGCTGACTTTAACGGTCGTGGACAAGGACGAGGGCGTGGACGACGACGACGATGTATTGGGGGAGGTTTCGTTTGACCTGGAACGGTTAGCTGACAGGAAGACGGTCCGGGGCTGGTACCCCCTACTTCCACATATCGATGCCGATGAGTACTGGCAGCGACGGTGGCAGGCGGAGCGGGAAGATCAATCACCTAGAGCTGGAGAATTATGCTTAGCAAGGGCTATTCAAGCCTTCATACCTGAAGGTAAAGAAGATGATGCGTCTTTTCTGAAAGAGATGGGCATGGAGGAGCATGCAACTGTCGTCGTTCTGAAGGATGAACTTGTCGGCGAGGGCTGGATCTTCGCTCTGCGTGATAATGATGCGGGATATGTACCTAGACATTACTTGACGCCACAAGATTATCTGGGGAAGGTTGAAGTGGCTTTACGATGGGTCCACGACCCGTTGCAGGTGGAACCTTTGCCCTACACGTTCCTCCACCCTAAGGATATAGATAAGCCGGTCAATGCTATACGAGTACGTATCTTCAAGTGTCGCTCGGCCGTGAAAGCACCTGCTACACTACGCTGCGACGTCTGGCTGGATCGGTATGGTGAAGTGGCGCACAAGCATGCCACGAAATCATCAACACGTGTCCAAGGCACGCGCTTCACGACCTGGGGCGACGACTTTTTGTTACCGCTCGACGAGTCCGACCCTTCCGCAATCGTCTTTCATGTGCGCGGGGCCCAACCAAAGGTCTACGAGTCCTCGGAGGAGGACGAGTATGAAGATTTACAGAGCGTTGAGGAGGAGGAAGATGTGGGCGAGAGCGTCGGGCAGCTACAGATCCCTTATGAAAATCTGAAACGATGTATCGTACGGGACTGGTACCCCCTCTCCAGTAATGATGACGACGCGAAGATCAAAGCGCTGAAGGAAGCCAAGGCGTCAATGTCTGTGGAGGAATATAAAGTTTTCAGCAAAGACCTGCTTGCAAAACAAGAGCTTGAAATCGCTTGTCTATTGGTCCACGATTCGCGCGTCGAGTACGAATCTGATTTTAGGAAACATGTGCAAAAACTAAGAGCGCAAGAGGACGAGGAACGGGGCTATACGGTTGCAGACCAGACGCAGCATGAGGATCGGTTTTATTTGCGCTTCAAGTTCCAGGAAGGGAATAGGATTAGGGGCGAGTTCGACTCCTACGCGCCGTTATGCTCTAGATGCTTGCTCAAGGACAAATCAGTATTTAACCAACCTCTGAACCACTACGACCCGTCAATCAAGAAACAAGACCCCGCGGTCATCCTTACTAAACCGGATAGTGAGTGGTACGTGTATGAGGTACCTTCTCACGTAGAATTAGCACGAAAGTTCCACGCCCATCATATGGAACGTAACCTCAAAGAGAACATGATGAGCTTCGCGCGCAAGTGCTTTAACTCAGGCTATAGGGTCGAGGGGTCGAGCATGGTGGAGGCCGACGAGGCGCACCTCGAGGCGGCCATCGACATGGGGAGGGACTTCGCGCTGTACTTAGATGCATCTAGAGAGTTTTTTGACGAGTGGGCCGATGATGTGTTTGACGTCTACACCAAGACCTACGAGGAGCCCTTCGAGATCGACGGCGTGAAGTACGATCCCAACGAGAACCCGCCGGACGAAGACGTACCCATGGTCGTGAAAGGGGGCTGGGTGTCGGGCTTCGGGGACGAGCGACGGGCGTGGGAGAGGATCGAGGCGGGGCAAAGGGAGCGGAAGTGGCGGGAGGAGAACCCGCATGCGGACGCAAACGAGATGTTCGAGAGATACGAGGAGAAGTTTAGGAGGTGGAATATGGAAGAGGAGAACGACCCGGCGGCGATCGAGCGCAGAGCTAATGCGGCCGAGGAGAAGAGGAAAGAGGACATGATGAAGGGGATGTGATAAGTTGTTACTAAGACTAGAGGTAGCCGTCGTCGTCGTCGTCGTCAACTTGAGCAGTCCCTTTGACCGAGTCCTGGTTCAAGTATAATTCAAGCACTTGGTCGGACGTCGTCGCCTGGTCCGCGGCCTTGTCGTCCCTAGCACGTAACAAGCGAGGGAACCGCAACCCGATACCTCGTCCCGCATTCACCCTCCCTAAAGCGCCTTTATGCGTATCCGACAGACTCAAATCAGCAACCTGCACTTCCCAGACCATCTTCGGCTCGAGCCAGACGATGTCCTGCTCCAACGCATCCCCGCAGACCACATTGGCAGCTTTCTTCGGGATGATGAGAGGTTGCGACTCGTTGTGGAACTTCTTGAGGTCTTCATCACTAAAACCGGTCCCGATCTTGCAGACGCTTTGGAGGTCCCCCGACTCCGCGTCGAGGCAGGCACAGAGGTAGGCGCCGAAGACGCCCGTACGCTTGCCCCGGCCCGTGTAGGCGCCCACGACCACTAAATCTAGACTGTCACCGACGCCGTCGAGGTAGTCCTTTTTCAGCTTGAGCCAGTTCAAGCTTCTTTTCGAAGGTTCATACGTAGCGTTGTCGTCCAAGGTCTTGACCATTAACCCTTCGGACTTCGCGGTAATCGCCTCCTCCAGCGCTTGCTGGATCTTTTCCGCTGCTACCACATCGTCGCCGTCGCCGTCGACGTCTACCGAATCGGCGAAGGCGAAGCCATTCTTCACGGCTTTGAATGAGGCATGTAAACGCGTTCTACGTTCCCTAAGAGTGTTTCTGAGCAAAGATTCGCCATTCAAGAGTAGCAAGTCGAACGCTAAGACAATCACGGCAGGCCCGCCCGATTCTCCTTCCGTGACTTCCTTCTTCCTCGTACTCAAACGTTGGAAGGGCAATAAGGCGCCCGTCGACGTGTCCACGGCGACAACCTCCGCATCCAATACAAATGAGGTAGTCGTATCGACGCAAGCCTCCCGCAGCACCGACGCGACCTCCGGCCACTTCTTCGTCGTGTCCTGCAAGTTCCGCGAGAAGACGCGGACGGACCCGTCACTCGCGAGGTGTGCTTGGAACCGCTCCCCGTCGTACTTGTGTTCGCAGGTGAAGGCCTTGCCTGATAATCGCTTAAGTACTTCATCAACCGACTTCGTGGGCTTGGCAAGCATGGGGAAGACGGGGACACCAACACCCAACGCGCACTTCGTGTGTAAATTCCACAAAGGTGTCGTCAGGGCGCCTTGGCACAATGTCGAATACGAGGGCGCCTCCGCGTAGCACTGCTTCACCACAGCTTCCGCAGCAATCAACCGTTCATCTTTCGTCAAACGCTTCTTTCCTAACGTAGAACCTCGAGACGCATCGATCTTCAGCGCGTGAGAAGCCTGCGCTCCCGTGATCTCGCGAGTAACAGATGGTAACTTCTCGTCCGTCTCCATCAGATCTGATGAAACGGGAGGCGATCGCACTAAGGCGTGGGCGAAGGCTATCAATACTGATGTTTCAGCTAGGCCAATTCTCAATTTGCCTTGCAGGCCCCGCGTCACGTATTTCGCCTCGCAGGGAGTAGCACTAATCATGAGCTTCTGCATCTTGCCCACCTTCTGGTCCTGCGACTTACTTCCGGATATGGAGCAGATGGCGCGGTAGGCCTCGAGGACTTGTGATGCTTGGAGGGGCTTCGGCTTGCTCCCGAAGCCGAGGAACTTCTGCTTCCGTCGCGCGTCCTCGGCAACCAATCCTAAATCACCCTCCCGCTCGTAGGCGCTCTTCACGTTCTTCACCTCCTTCCCGAACGCCCGCGCGATGGCCTTTTGTAACAGAGAATCCCCGATGCCCATCTCGAGGTTGTCGAACGCGGGCGCCACCTTGTTGCACAGCAGGAACAAAATGGCCTCGAGGTCGTTCGGGGCTCGCGCGATCGTCTGTTCCAGTAACTCGCACACGATGGCTTGGATCTCCAATCTCTTGGTAGTGGCCTCGATCCTTGAAAAGGTAGCCGCCACGGCGGCGTAGGGGACCTGGCCGGTCCACTGGCCGTCCGCATTGGTCGCCGGTTCGGCTTTTTGGGCCACGGGCGCGGGCTTGGGCTTCTTCGCGGCCGTCGCGTCACTCGTGTCTTCGCTCGGGCGCTTGACCGCGGGCGTCTCGGCCTTCTTCTTCTGGGTGGGTTTGGGTTTGAAGAAGGCCTGGAGCGTGGCGGACTTCTTCTGGGGCTCGTCCTTGGCCATGGCTGCGTCTGAGAGCGCTTTTAAAATGCTACGCGGTTACGCGACGCGCGGCGGCGGCGTCTTGCGCAGCGCTGTCAATTGTGTGAACGGAGCTCCTGCACAGCAGAAAGCCCGCTCAGGTGGTCCGGTGCTCGAGATTTAGCACTGCTTTTTTGATTTCGAGGCGCGCCAGCTAGCGTCCTGTAAGACACTAGCCCGCGCGATGAATCGGTGTCTCCCTCCCAGGAGCTCCGCCAACTAGTCCTAGCACCGTAACAAAAAAGGTGACCTCCCTCACACCCAGCCCGAGCCCTCAAATAAGAAACAGCCTAGTTTACGCCGCCGCCGAGGCAACCCACTACTACTTCCGCGCGTACAGGTAGAGATACGCCAGCTGGACCGGAGGGCTCTTGGAATGGGCGACTTTTTCATCGTCGAAGATGACCCACCTTCCATCTTTCTCCCGGATGTGCGCGACGTAGTGGCCGCAGCCCGTGTTCGAGCCGATGTGCGACACGAGGCCCTTCAGCTCATAATGAGGCGGGCCGTCGTCGAAGTCTGAGGGAGCCGCCGGCGCCGCTGCAGCGGAGGGCCCGTCCAGCACGTCGGCGACGGCCTGGTCCCGGTTTTCCCCCTGCTCGAATAACCAGTTCGCGGCGTGCTCCTTGTTCCCACTACACGCCACGAGCGCCGCCTCGGCCTCGCGCGGCGTGAAGCCGAACATCACGAGCTCGTTGACGGCCGCCTCGTCCACCTTTTTCTCTGAGGGCGCATCGTCATCAACGAAGGGCGCGGAAAAGTCCGCGTCGTCCATGTGACTAAAGACCCACTCGGACGCCGCCTCCGGCCCGGCGTTATTCGTCGCTTTGCACGCGCGCTTGCAGCCGTTCTCATCGAAGCCCATGGACAGTAACTGTGCCAATATCCCAGGGTCGGGCACGAACTTCTCTTTGGGAGGTGCGGCGTCATCTGGCAGCTCCTCCTCGCCCGCGGGTCTCGTAGATGGAGCTCGTAATTGAGACAGATCTAATTTCTCGGGCACCTCGACGAGCACATCCAGTTTCTTTTCAGTCCAGTCGGCCGTAGCGTAGTACCGGTTGATCTTCACTAGTAAATACCTTGGACAGGTCTGCAGCCGCGTATGACGCGACGCCTCGCCCCTGAGACCGGTTGCTGGAGAGGTATAATCTACGACGGATTCGGTCGCGGCCCAGTGGGACAAACAAGCATCTAGAGGACAGCGCGGCTTTGCGACGTCCTCGAGCTTCGGTTTTTTCGCCTCTTGTTCTACCGTGGGTCGAGGTACTATGCTCTCAGGCACTTCTAACGCTAAAGTAAACTCGGTCTGGGCCTTGTACCGCACTTTTTGAGATTGTAGACACGTCGTCTTCTCCTCGACCTTGAACGCAAACAATTGCTGTGTAGGTTGAGAAGAGAGGACGTCGTAGGGGCCGTATTCCACGGGCTTTGGACCTGGTTCGTTGTTCGCCTGCTCCGCCGCTTGCGTTAATCGCCCGTCAGAAGCGAGCGCCGGCGCCTCGGCCTTCGATAAAGTGTCGAGGACGTAAATTAAGTACTCGGCGGCATCCTGCTGTCGCGGCGTACTAAACTCGACGTGGCCCTTGCCGAACAAGGCCCGGAAGCCTCTAGGTGCCACCGTCGCGGCGGCAGCTTTTGTGGCCACATCACTCGAGAGAGTCGGCCTTTCGGCGATGGCTAAGGCAGGATCGATTAAACTTTCTGCTGGTTTGGCGTAGCGCTTTGAGCGCAATGCGGAGATGAATCGCGCCGTCTGGGCCAAGTGATCGGATGACGGGTCTGCTACGTTAACGAGCGACAGCGCCGCGGGTCCGAGTTGGTCAGTGTCATCGACAAGACCGTGGTACCTCCGACCGATCTCCGGCACCGACGCTAATAAGTGTAAAACAGAGTTCATGTAGCATGAATTACCGAGGTTGACCAGACCCGTCAGCCCCACGCCCGACAGAGGTGTTAACTGTGAACCAGCTTCTGCGATCGCCGACCACTCGAACTTTTGATTGGCGTCGACTTCTAGTTCAGCCGTCGTCTTTTCGGTCTTCTCGGACGACATAATATTGATGCCCCAGAAGCGCAGGTGGTCGGCGAGCTTGGGATCGAGGACGGGGCCGTCTTCATCCGGGGCATACGAATACAGCTCCGCGCCCGCGGCAGAGATCGTGCCCAACTTCACAACGAGCGGGTACTTCTTGCCCGTACTTTCAAAGTGCCTCAGGGCACCGTTCGAGCCCTTCGGCCCGCCCCACGCGCTCTGGTCGCGGCCGCCCCCCACGTAGCCTGTACTGAGATTCAACCAGAGGTTCTCGGACGACCCATCCAACTCGCACCGCCACGACGCCGGGTCGGGATTTAACGGTTCAGATCTACCGCCTTCCTCCGGTTTCAGTTGTATTAATGTATCAGCGTATTTTGACGGTTTCGCTTCATCTTCTACAAGAGCCCAGGCTCGATCGGATTCTGCGCTGCCGGACTCGTGGTCCAAGCAGGCGTCTACGAGCATGGTAACATACTCCGGTATGTCAGAACAAGGGAGTTGTATCAATATTACATCATCAGCAACCACAGCCAATGACCGCACCTTGACAATATCATATCTAGCGTCCTCAGATTCAAAACCGCCCTGGACGCCCACACCCAAAGTCGTCGGTTCACTCATCTCGACGTCCTCTTTCGGCATTTTGGTCCAGCGGTGGTGCGCGTACAAAGTTGTGGACGATCGCGCCGCGTCCTGTTTCACGAAGTCACTGCCACATCCGGCGAAGGTCTTGAGGTTGACGAACAGCCCGCCCTCGGCGTAGGGCGAGTCGAAGGAGTACGCGCACTCGCGGTTGCCTACTTTTTGTCTCGCTTGTGGCGGCGCGAGGCCGGCCATGCCGCCTCGTATTTTTGTGAGGGTGGCGGCGTCCATCTGTAGTGCAGTGCTCTTGCGTGCGCGCAGCGGTTTGGCAAATGGAGCTCTCTGGGTCAGGCGGTCTGACCGGGCTCCCTGTGCTTTGTTGGCGCGCGCGTTTGAAACTGCGCGTGCGGGCAGTGGCGAACTGATCGTACGAAGCCGAGAAAGACGCGCGCTGCAGAGCAGCGTAGCAATTACGTGCTCTTAAGCTGCGCGGCGCCGGGCTCGTACCGTATCGTATGTACCTAGGTAAAGGTATACTACCTTCCTATGTGATCCCTGCGAAAAGCGCGAGCCGCGCTCCACGCCCGCGAAACGCCGTCCGAGTCGTAAACTTTTATAGTTGAATACCCCTTAGGCGCAGAGGCAACCACAACAACGCTCGTTCCGCCAGCGCGTCCCACGAGCCGACGGCCCGCGCCGACGCCGTCGCCCACTAGTCCTAGCGCCGCAACGACAGCACCCCCCACGCCGCCGCCGCGACGAACCAGAGTGTGCCATCTTACGCATAGGAATGCAGACGCACAGGAATGTGTTCAGGAATGTTCAGCAGGGCACCGTCTCGTCGCCGAGCCCGACGTACGACAGGTAGCGCCCCGGCTCGCCGACGGTCGCATCGAGCTGCAGCGCCAGCGCGCGCCGCACGGCCCTATTTTCATCTTCGAGATCCGTCACGGCCCTCGTCAGCGTCTCAATATATACCTTTTTTCGGTCGCGCGTCATCTTCGCGTGGAGGCGGTTGCGCTCGCGGCGCATCTTGTCGAGCTCCGCCGGGCTCAAGTCCTTGCGCGCGCCGCGCGCGTCGAGGGCGTAGCCCGACTTCCAGTGGATCGTCGGCTTATTTACAGGTTCGTCGTCCGTCGCGATCTGTTGGAGCGCGGACGCGGACCTTTCTAGGTCCGGGTCATCCAACGACGACTTCGAACTTGATGGAGACACGGGCCGCACGCGCGGCGAGCCCTCGTGGTCTCCTTCACTCACGTTGTCGCTCATGGCCTCGCGGAGCGACGCGTCCTCCCGGCTCTTGAAGAGATCGGAGACCGTGCGCGCCATGGCCGGGTTGTTCAGTCCCAACAATATATTGGCCGTGGAGCAGTCCTTGAAGGCCTCCTCCAATCTCCGGCCCTCCTCCTGCAATTCCGCGACTCTTGATTGTAGGGTTTGCAACTGGGCCTTCTTGCGCTGCCGGGTCCGACGCGCGTGCTCGCGATTCCGTTCGCGGGACCTTCGTAAACGGTCCTCGACGGACATGCCTTCGAGGCGGCGCTTCTTCGGCTCGGGCTGGTCCATGGCGCGCGTCGCGGCTCGTCAGGCGATTTTGGGGGCGTTTTATGCTGTAGCGCAGGTGGCTGGGGGTTTCCACGTCGGATGCGCGTGTGTCGGAGCAACGAGAATCACCCTCGTTTGCGAGACTCCCGTCTTCTGCTTTTTGCTTTTTTGCAGAAGATGGCTATCCCGCCGTTCGCAAGACGGATTTCTGCTGTCCCGCGGTCTCGCGAGGCTTTGTGGAGCTTCGCGCGCTGCCGCAATCAGCTTTTAAGCATTCACACGCCGAGCTCTCTATAAAGACGTACTCGTGAGCTGGATTTTGCTAATCCTAGTGTTTAAACCAACTAGACTTTCAAAAACTGATCCTACTCTCATACCACTACTGACACACGAAAGGACGACGTCGACGGGTGTTCCGCACAAGTTCTAGCGAGACGCTCAAAGAAGTGCTCAAAGATAGGAAATAGAAAGTGCACGTACTCGTACACGAGGCTCCTAAATAGGCTTGCCAACACACACGAAAAAGCCCCCCAACGCGCCTTGCCTTTCACCTACACCGTCGGGCAGCCACACGATGCCGCAGGGCGGCAGCGCAGGCCCAAATATGATCGATCTCGCCAATGGGCAGCCTGCCCCATCGGAAGCCGCAACCCGACGACGTGCGGCCGCCTGTCCGCGTCGTCGACGCGCCGACCGCGACGCAGCGTTTCTCGTGAAGACAACTTATTGTTGTTCGACGCCGGCCGCGATCGCGTCTCGCGGCGCGCGGCAAGCAGAAACAGCTCCTACCAACGGGAGACCCAAGGCCGCCCGCGTCGCTTCGCCTCGACGCCGCCGCGCGCTCGTACGGGGCACCCGATACTGGCAACTTGCGAGGCCCGCGACCGCGCGCCGCGCGTGCCGACCGGGCAGGCATCCGTCTCAGGACGCATCCGTCGGAGAAGGCTGCGTGCGGGTGCTAGAGTCCCTCGCGCGGGGTGAGCCTTGGTTAACTTTTATAGTTTAAAGTGCTGTCCGCAGAGCATACTCGCTGTCGCACCGCGGGACCGCCCCAAGAGGCTGCCCGAGAGGCACTTTTGGTGACGTTTTGCATCTATAAATCACATCCGTGCCCAAGACCCACAGCTGGCTGCCTGCGAGCCGCGCGGCACGAGATGGAGGTCCCAGGGCCGTACTACGATGGCGCGAAGGACGTGATTGTGTCCTTGGTCTACGAAGGCAAGCACATCCAGGCCAAGGTCGTGAAGATCAATCGGCCGAAGACGAACCGGCGCAGGACGGCCCAGCGCCAGCCGGACGACGCGCACAACGTGCAGCTCACATTGACGTGGCCTACCGGGACGTGGGACCAGGAGGTCGAAGAGGAGCACCTGACGCTGCTCGACGGCTCGCGCTTCGAGACGAAGAACTACGCGTGCGACGCGCTACCGGCGCGGCGGCGCAAGCCGGCAGAACGATTGAGGGAGGACGACGAGTGGCAGACCCGAGGCCTGGCCCGCGGCGGCAAGAAGAGAAAGCCGAAGCAGGAGCGCTTGACGCCCGAGGCCATCGACGACCTCATGTTGTGCTATTACAAGGAGCCGTGGTGTGAGTGGTACATCGCCCGGGACAAAGACGCCGAGACGGGTAAATCGCGGCTGGCTGGTCAAGAACGGGACGACTACTTCTACCGGAGCTTCGGGACCGGGGCGCTGGAGGACCTCAAGTGGGGCCAGGGCAAGCGGGTGAAGAAGGGCATCCGCATCGTCCGCAGATCGCAGAATGCGGTGACGCTCGAGGGCGAGGACAAGCCGCTCGTCTTCCGACTCTCGGGCGAGATGCACGACGGCGAGCCCGTGTACCGCTTCCTCGCGGGGAACTCGCAGCGCAAGCGGGCCCGAGTCGCTCCGCTTGTGCTGGCGCCGCAGCCGCCGCCACCGGCAGCGCCGGTCGCCGCGCCCGCGGCGCCTCCGGCCGCCGCCCCCGTGCAGCCGGCAGCACCGGCCGCGTCTTCGCCGTCCCCGCCGCCGCCGGCGGCCACGGACGACGACGAGTTGATCTTCGAGGAGCCGGACGAGGACGAGGACGAGGACGAGGCGCTGCCGCAGCCGCTGCCTCAGCCGAAGGAAATCATCGATATCACGATGGTCTCCTCTGACGAGGAGGCCGACGACGACGACTCCGGCGACGAGGTAGCCCCGGAGCCGCCGGTACGAGCCCAGCCGCAGGCGGTCGTACCCGAAGCCGCCGCCGCCGACGTGGCCGAGCTGCGGCGCGTCGTCCGGATGCTGGACGCGAGGGGCGCCCTGAAGGAACAGCCTCTTTATTTCGGCGCGACGAGACTCGCGGGCACCAAGGCGAGCGAAGCCACGCGGACGCACGAGGACGCCGCGCGAGCGATTGTGAGCTTCTACCGGAAGTACCGCCCGGTCGACGCCACGAAGCCGGGCACCGGAACTTTCACGTCGGTCTACATCTCCAAGAATAACGACGGGAGGTGCCACACTGACGACGGCAACGTCCGCCTGAATTCTATTGTCGCGCTAGACGGCCGCGCGCCCTTCACCGGCGGCGAGCTCGAGCTCGGCATCGGCCCGGCAGCGAAGTCCGTGGACGTCCGGGCCTTTGCGCGCGGCGACGGCGACCCGCTTTTCGACTTTGACGCGTGGGCTTTCCGCTGCCGCCCTCCGAGGCCGAGCGCGAGGCATACGACAAAAGAATCCACGGCAAGCACCTTGCGGGCGACCGCGCCGCCACCGAGGCCGCGGAGAAGCGGCGGCTCGCCGCAGCGTACCTGGCCGAGGCGGAGGCACTCGAGGCGCGCGCCGAGGCGGACCGCGCCGCTTGAGGCCCCCGACCCGTGTAAACTCGCACTTACTACTCGAGCCCCCCCATCCGCGCCGCCCACAGGCTCTGCAGCAGCAACAACCGGCTCTTCTCGTCGGCGAGCTCGTCGTTCGCGTCCATCATCGTCGCGGCCTTCCACTCGGCGAACGCGTGGCGGCGGGCCACGTGGCGCGTCGCCGCGCGTTCGGCGATGCGACGCAACGCGGACGACCGGACGGCGTCGATGAGCTCGCAGACGTCGTCGGCGCGCTCCATCGCCGCGACCGCCGCCTCGTCGCGGCGCGCGGCCGCCACGACGTCGGCGGTCGTCCGGCGGCGCCAGCCGTGGAACGCGCGGGAAAGACGAGGTCGTGACCGCCCCGCGAGACGGGCGAGCCACCGCGACGCCGCGACCTGCCGCAGCGACACCTGCTCGGACACCTTCGACGTCTCGCTCGCCCGGTGCCACTTGTGGAGCCGCGCTCTCAGGACGCCGCCGGCCGCGTGCGTGCCCAGCCGCTTCGCCACCACGGACGCGACCTTCTCGACGCGCGCGCTCCGGCGCTCGACGGCGCCGAGCACCTCGCGCGCCTGGTGCGCGTCGACCTCGGCGTCGCGCATCCTCTCCGTGGTCTCGCGGTGCGCGTGCTGCTCGTTCACCGTCTCGTCCCGCGCGTCCGTCGCCGCGTCGGCCGCCAAACCAACGTAGCAGTGATCCGCGACGCGCCGCGTGTTACTGACGGCCGCGGCGCAGCGCCACCGCGCCGCGAGGGCCCGGCTGACGGCCGCGTCCGGTATGGATGCTCGCATCGCCGCCAATGCTTTTTTCGTCTCGGCCTCAGCCCGCACGGCGCGCGCGTCGGACGCCGCGACGGCGCGCTTCGCAGATTCGACGGCATGTTGCGCCGCGGCCTCCGTCTCGAACGCTTCTTTCTCCGCGTTCTGCACGCGGGCGCGGGCGACGGCGACAATCTCGCTTGCAGAGGTCTCTGACGCATTGGCCCGCGTCTCGGCCACGGACGAAGCCTTCTCGGCCGCCGCCACGCGCATGTTGGCGGCGTCGGTGGCGACCCGGAGCTCTTGCTCGGCCGCCCACACGCGCGCGTCGGCCGCGTCGGTGGCGTCGCGGAGAGCTTGCTCGGCCGCCGCCACGCGCGCCGCCGCCGCATCGGTGGCCTCCCGCGCCTCGGTTTCCGCGCGCACTCGGCTCGCATTCGCCGCGGCCAACCGCGCCGTGAGCAGCGAATTGTCCGCTTGCGCCGTCGCGCCCGCAGCCGCGGCCGCGGCGGCGCACGCCATAACGACGGCGTCGGCCGCGCGCCCGACGCCCCGCAGAGCCACGCCGTGGCCGCGCCGCTCCGAGGCGGCCGCCGTTCGCGCCTCCGACGCGACGAGCGCCTTCACCCAGCGCGGCGGGCTCTTGGGGCCCTCGCCGGCCGCGGCCTCGCGGCGCGCTATCGCGGCGGCGGCATGCTCGGCCGCGGCCTCCCGCCGTCTGACGGCAGTCGCGGCGCGTTCTAACCGTTCGTTCGCCACGCCGACGCGCAGCGCGTGGAACCCAGCGCGCAGGCAGCGGCGCCGCGCCGCGCGCGCGTCGCCCGCGCGCAGCGTCGCGAGCGTCAGCTTGGCCGCGGCCACGACGTCAGGCGCCTGCTTCCTATGTCCGTTCGACGTCGTCCGCGGCGGCTCGACGCGCCGCGGCGGCGGCTTGGGCGGGCGCAGGCGCACGCGCGCCGTCGTGGTGAGCGTCGGGGCCATCAGCGTGAGAGCTGGGCACCCTGTGGTGTCAACAATGTGGCTGTCGTGGTGTTCGACGACGACTCGCCAGATAACCGCGTCGGCTGCCTCTCAGGAGACGTATGACGAGCTTAATGCGCCGCGGGCTGCCTCTCGATTGCGCTGCGCGCGGGAGAGCGCAGCGGCAAGCTTGTTGCGCTGCGGGCTCACCCAAACGCGAGGGAAGGGCTCGCCGACCCCACGAGGGCGTCAAAGAGCAGCTTCTGCGAACCACAAAGGATGCGGTGGTTTCGTCAAAAACCCGCCGATTTTAACTTAACGCGAGCGCTCTCCGTAGGCCAAAGCCAGCCAAAGCGGCAGCTGCGCCGGGGCAGCCGTCCGTGGAGGCCAACGCACGACGGGGGCAGCCGGAGCGGGCGTCCCGCGCGACGAGCCGTCGTGCAGGCAGCGCTAGGCTGCAGTACATTGCCGGCAGGGCAGCATCCACCATGCCGCTGCAGGAGCAGAAGTACTCGACGGGCCGCGTCATCGAGCACAAGAAGCCGTCGACGCACGCCGAGCATGAGCTCGTCATACCCTTCGCGCAGTTACGAAGTGTAGTAATCCGCCTGCAGGACGAGATGCAAAAAACATCGGCAGCATGGGACACGAAGGGCTCCATGAACAAGAACTGGGAATTGTTGTTCAAGCGCCTCGACGCCGACTTTTCTGGGAGGTTAGATTACGCGGAGTTTGTGAAAGCTGTGCGCGAGGGGCTACGACTAGACACCTCAGATAAAGAGTTGCAGGCTTTATGGACTTATATAGATCACGATAAAAGTGGGGAAGTCTCTCTCGCAGAATTCCAGCACGGCTTGTATTTACTAATACTAGAAGGTTGGGAACGGATAACAGACGACGACCTCGAGCGCGTCGTGCTCACGCTCAACGCGGCCGGTAAAAAGTGGTACCACGGCCACTTCAGCTGGTACAAGATTTTTAAAGCTATTGATACCGACGAAAATGATAGGTTAGAGTACGACGAGCTGGAGCGAGTAGTACGGGCGAACGGCTCGCAGGGCGGCCTGAGTTTGGTACCAGAAAAAGTCGCCGATGCCGATTTGAGGGGCCTGTGGCGGCGGCTCGACGACGACTGCTCGGGCGGGGTGAGCGTCGAGGAGTTCGTGGGCTTCATGCGGCGCGAGGAGGCGGAGCTGCCCGAGGTCGAGTTGACACAAGACGAGTTGACAAGGGAGGAAATGCGCGCCGCTGCCGAGAAACGAGCGGAAGAGGCGCGCCAGGCCCACGAACGCTGGCTCGAGGAGCAAGGTATTGAACCGAAGCAGAAGTACGCCACGGGGCGCGTCATAGAAAATCAGAAGCCCTCGACGCATGAAGAACACGAACTAGTGCTGCCCTTCGAACAATTACGTGGAGTAGTAATCCGCCTGCACGACACGATGCAGCGGGTCTGCGCGACCTGGGACAGCAAGGGCTCCATGGACAAGAACTGGCGCACGCTCTTCGAGCGCATCGACGCCGACTTTTCTGGTAGATTAGACTACCTCGAGTTCCTCAAGGCCGTAAGGGATGAGCTCAAAGTCCCAGACACGACAGAAGAGGAACTCAGAGCGCTCTGGACTTATATAGATCACGACAAGAGCGGCGAAGTGACCATCGCCGAGTTCCAGCACGGCCTGTATTTATTGATCCTGGAGGGCTGGGCCCCTTTGATGGATGAGGACCTGGGGAACCTCATCCTCACGATCAACGTGGCGGCGAAGAAGTGGTACCACGGCCACTTCAGCTGGTACAAGGTCTTCCGGGCCATCGACACCGACGAAAACGACCGCCTCGAATTTGACGAGTTTGAGCGCGTCATCCGGGCGAACGGCTCGCAGGGCGGCCTGAGCCTGAAGCCGCACGAAGTGAGCCTAGAGGCGTTGCAGGGCCTGTGGCGGCGGCTCGACGCGGACTGCTCCGGCGGTGTGAGCATAGATGAGTTCATGCACTTCATGCGGATCGAGGAGGCGGCGCTGCCGGAAGTCGAGCTCACGGCCGACGAGAAGCTCCAGGTCGAGATGCGCGAGGCCGCGGAGCAGCAGGCGCGCGAGGCGCGGGAAGCCGCCGAGCGGCGATTGGCGGGCCACGCCGAGCCCAAGCAGAAGTACGCGACGGGGCGCACCATCGAGCACAAGCGGCCGACGACGCACGCGGAGCATCGGCTGTTAATGCCCTTCGAACAGCTGCGCGCCGTCGTGCTCCGCTTGCAGGATCAGATGATGAAGGTCTGCGCGGCCTGGGACACGAAGGGCTCGATGAACAAGAACTGGGAGTTGCTCTTCAAGCGCCTGGACAAGGACTTCAGCGGCCGCCTAGATTTCGTAGAGTTCGTCAAGGCCGTGCGGGAAGAGCTGCTACTGCCGGACATGAAGGATACGGACCTCCAAGCGCTCTGGGCGTACGTGGACCACGACCGGAGCGGCGAAGTGACCATCGCCGAGCTCCAGCACGGCTTGTATTTGCTCATCCTGGAGGGCTGGGCCCCGCTCACCGACGAGGGCCTGGAGGAGGTCGTAGGTATACTGAATACGGCGGGCAAGAAGTGGTACCACGGCCACTTTAGCTGGTACAAGGTCTTCAAGGCCATTGACACGGACGAGAACGACCGCCTCGAGTATGATGAGTTCGAGCGCGTGATACGGGCGAACGGCTCGCAGGGCGGCCTTTCCTTAAAACCGAACGAACTAGCGACGTCCAAGATCCAGGGCCTCTGGCGGCGGCTCGACGAGGATTGTTCGGGCGGCGTGAGCGTCGAAGAATTCGTCGGCTTCATGCGCCTGGGCGAGGCGGAGCTGCCGGAGGCCGAAAAGACGGCCGAGGAGCTCACGCAGGCGGAACTGCAAGAACAGGCGGAGCAGCGCGCGCTCGCGGCGCGCCAGGCCGCCGAGCGCCGGCTCTCGGGTCTTGATGATGAGCCCAAGCAGAAGTACGCGACGGGGCGCGTCATCGAGCACATCAAGCCGACGACGCACGCGGAGCACGAGTGCGTGCTGCCCTTCGAACAATTAAGAGCTGTCGTGGTCCGCCTGCAAGAAACGATGACCAAGGTGCGTACCCGGCGTCTGCCATTTGGCCGATATATATATATATATATATGCACATACACATACATTGCTCGGCACACGCACACGATATATATATACCAAACGATCACGCTACACAGGTCTGCGCGTCCTGGGACAACAAGGGCTCCATGAACAAAAATTGGGAGATACTCTTCAAGCGCATCGACGCCGACTTCAGTGGCCGCCTCGATTACCCCGAGTTCGTGAAAGCCGTGCGGGAGGAGCTCAAAGTGCCCGACACGACGGACGAGGAACTCAAAGCATTGTGGACTTATGTGGATCACGACAAGAGCGCGGAAGTGACCATCGCCGAGTTCCAGCACGGCTTGTATTTGTTGATCCTCGAGGGCTGGGCCCCGCTTGAGGATAAGGGTCTGGAGCGGGTGGTGCTTACGATCAACGCGGCCGCCAAGAAGTGGTACCCCGGCCACTTCAGCTGGTACAAGGTTTTTAAAGCTATCGACCAGGACGAGAACGACCGCCTCGAGTACGATGAATTTGAAAGAATGATCCGGGCGAACGGCTCGCAGGGCGGCATGTCGCTAAAACCGCACGAAGTGAGCCTCGAGGAACTCCATGGCTTGTGGAAGCTGCTCGACGAAGATTCGTCAGGCGGCGTGAGCATCGACGAGTTCATGCACTTCATGCGCACGGAGGAGGCGGCTCTACCTCCGGTCGAGCTCACGGAGGATGAGAAGCAGCAGGTCGAGATGCGCGCCGCCGCGGAGAAGAAAGCGGAGGCGGCGCGACAAGCCGCGGAACGCCGATTGTCCGGCCATCATGAACCCAAGCAGAAGTACGCGACCGGTCGAACGATCGAGAACCAAAAACCATCGACGCACGAAGAACATGAGTTGGTGATGCCCTTCGACCAACTACGCGCCGTCGTGGTTCGATTGATCGAGACGATGACTAAGGTATGTGCCTCCTGGGACAACAAGGGGAGCATGGCCAAGAACTGGGAGACCTTGTTCAAGAAAATTGACGCTGATTTCAGCGGGAGACTAGATTATCCTGAGTTCACGAAGGCCGTGAGGGATGAGCTCAAAGTACCACAAACAACAGATAAGGAGCTGCAGGCCTTGTGGACGTACATCGACCACGACAAGAGTGGCGAGGTCACACTTAGTGAATTTCAGCACGGTTTATACTTGTTGATTCTCGAGGGCTGGCCGAGACTCAGCAAGAAGGGTCTCGATGATGTGATCAAGGTTATAAACAAGGCGGCTAGGCAGTTCTACCATGGGCACTTCAGCTGGTATAAAATTTTCAGAGCCATTGATGAGAACGAGAATGATATGCTCAGCTTTGATGAATTTGAAAGAGTAGTAAGAGCGAACGGCACGCAGGGCGGTTTGAGCTTAAAGCCGTCGTACGTCTCGCTCGTCGCCTTGCAGGGTCTCTGGCGGGCTCTAGATGAGGATTCGTCGGGCGAGGTGTCGATTGACGAGTTCATGCACTTCATGCGCCAGACGGACAAGAAGGAGGAAAAGGTAGAGGTAGAAGAAAATCCTAGGGTTATAGCAGCGCGCGAAAAGGCCAAGGAGCGCGTCGATTCTCGAAGGAAGCGCAAGGAAGCGGAGGAACTCGAGCGCAAGGCCCTGGAGGCGGAGCGCGAAGCAGCACAATTTGAGAAAGACGCTCGAGCCGCGGAGGCGCGGGAAAGAGCCCGATTGCGATCTAGAGATGGGACGCCGAAGCGCAAGAAGAGAAGACCGATCCAGGACGACATCTCCATCATGTCCTGCGACAACTACGAGGCCCAGCTGCGAGCTATTTTGTCGGATATGGAGGCGTGGGACGACGGGCGGCCGGCGTCGCCGGATCCCGTGAAGAGACCTAGAGGCAAGGAGAAGCCTACTTATTTCGGGTACGGTCTGGCCTTTCAACCACCTTCCACACCTCGGCTGCAGAAACTAAGGCCGCCCAAGGCGTCGCCGTACAAACGGAAGCAAAAACTAATTGTATCAATAAGAATGAGGCGCAAGAAGAAGATCGAGCAGAGAACCTCCAAAATCTATTCCTCGACCATCGATTTGAGCATAAGGCAGGAGTCGCCCATGAAGAAAGTAAGGGTGCGACCGTCGACGTGCGGCGTCGACAGGGACGAGGAGTCCGCCGCGGGGTTGTTTGAGCGAACATCCGTGTATGGACGCTCTGCCAGTCCAACAAGACGACCCAAAACAGAACCTCGACGCAAGCGCCCGCTGCAGACGCTGAGCCTCGAGACCGAGGAGGAAGCACCAAGCCCGTTCGCGAGGGAAAGACAACCGTCCCTCGTCAGTCCAGCCAAAGCTTCGGGGCGCGAGCTGCGCACGGGAAGAACGGGCGGTGATTTAACCCCGTCGCAACAGAAGAAGAGTTTTTCGTCGTCCTTTGACGATAGCGAGGCGATGATGGACGACGCCTCGTACGAAAAATACGTCCTCAAGGCTTCTAGAAGGGATTCCATGGACTCGGAGCAGGCTGTGCGTCGATCGTCTGATGATTACGGCGACGCTTTACGTAGTGCGGGCGTCTACGAAGATGAAGGCGACGACGCGACTACCTCGCCAGATGCCCTGGAGACGTACCTCAGACGTATCTTCGATCGCGTCGATAGTAACGGAGATGGTCATATAGATAGGGAGGAGGCCGTCACCGCTGTTAGATGTGATGAAGAATTCGCGGCGATGCTTGGCTTCGACTCGGACGAAAGCAGTACGCAGCTCGAGAGTGCTGTTGCTGTGATGTCGAGTGGTCTTGATCGGATCTCGTGGCAGGAGTTTCGCGCGGCGTTCTTGCCTCCAGTAGATCCGTTTGCCGACTACCTACGAGACTACGAGACGTATCTCAGAGCTTTATTTGAAAGAGCGGATTCGAATAGCGACGGTGATTTGTCGTATGCGGAACTCGTGACAGCTTTAAACGACCCGGACTTCGCGGAGGTTGCGGTCGATGCGATGGGGTTCGTTGACTCTGGCATTACTCGGGAAGAGTTCGCTCAACAATTCCTGGAGGTGTGCGACTGGAACGAGGACTACAAGGTGCAGTGGGAGGAGTTCCGGGAAGCCGCATTAGCGTCAGCACTAACTGCGATGCACGAGGGCCGCATGGAGGCGGCTCTGCGAGATGTCTTCGACCGGGTCCAAGGGGGCGACGGCACGATAACTATTGATGATGCGGTCCAAGGTCTGAGAGATGATCCGGACTTCGCGGAAGTCCTGGGCTTCTTCTCCACCCATCAAGCGAACGAGTTCGACGGCTCGCTCGAGTACCTGATCGAGAAGTTGGTGGAGATGGATACGAATCAGGACGGCGTGATCGAGTGGAGCGAGTTTAGAGCTGTTGTGTTCCCCCCACCTCCATCAGAAATGGACATGTATATGCAAAACTACGAGAACTACCTCCGAGCCGTCTTCGAGCGGATTGATGAAGATCAATCGGGATCGTTATCGTACGGGGAAATCGCCGAGGCGCTGCGGGACGAGGACGTCGCCGACGCCCTCGGTTTATCGGGCAGCGGTCTTACCTCAATCGAGTTTGTTGAGAGGTTGTTATCCTCGTTAGATTGGGACGATGATAATGAAATCACGTGGGACGAGTTCCGGGTGCCGGCTTTAGCTGTCGCTGTAGAGGCCTTCGCGAAGACGCGGCTCGAGATCCATCTGAGGAATGTGTTCGAGCGCGTCGATAGGGACGGGTCCGGTTTTATTTCAATCGAGGAGTGCGTCGAGGCGTTACAATGTGATGATCAGTTCGCTCAATTACTAGGCTTCGAGGGGGCTACACTTATACAGACGGAGGGCGAGATGACGCACGTGGCTGTCGTCCTGGCGGCGCTGGACGAGAACTGCGACGGGAAGGTGTCCTGGGCCGAACTTAGAAGCGCGGCGCTCGGCGAAGAAATTACTGTCCAGGATCCGTTCGCGGAGCACATGCGAGAATATGAGGAGTACCTGCGCATGGTCTTCGACAGAGTAGATAAGAACGGCGACGGGGAGCTGTCCTACGCCGAACTTGTACAGGGTCTGAAGGATCCCGAGTTCGCGGACGAGGCCGGGTTTTATGGTTCAGACATGTCTCGAGGCGAGTTCGCGGCGGAATTTTGCGATGCATTGGATTGGGACGGCGAAAAACGGGTCGTTTGGGCCGACTTCCGGGACGCGTTCCTCCAGAACGCTCTGGACGAGATGCACGAGCGGCGCGTGGACCAGCACCTGCGCCGCGTCTTCGACAGTATCGACGTCGAGTCCAAGGACTATATTACGATAGAGGACGCCGTGCGCGGGCTGCGGGAGGACGAAGATTTTGCCGAGGTCTTGGGATTTTGGGGCACGCACCGCGCGACTGCGGACGACGGGTCGCTCGACGTTTTGTGTGCGACGCTGGCGGCCATGGACGTGAACGAGGACGGCGTCGTGTCCTGGCGGGAGTTCCGGTACGCGGCGCTCGGCGGCGAGAAGCCGCGGGAGGCGGCCGTCGAGGCCGAGGCCGAGGCTAGCATCGAGCCTGCCGCCGAGCCTGCGGCCGAGCCTGCTTTGGAGCCCACTGCGGAGCCCACGACCGAGCCCACGGCCGAGCCTCCGGCCGAGCCTCCGGCCGAGCCTCCGGCCGAGCCGACCGCGGAACCTACGGCCGAGCCGACAGCGGAGCCCACTGTGGAGCCCACGGCGGAGCCTACGGCCGAGCCTACTGTGGAGCCCACTGCGGAGCCCACGGCGGAGCCTCTGGCCGAGCCGACCGCAGAGCCTACTGTGGAGCCCACTGCGGAGCCCACGGCGGAGCCTCTGGCCGAGCCGACCGCAGAGCCTACTGTGGAGCCCACTGCGGAGCCCACGGCGGAGCCTCTCGCCGAGCCCACGACCGAGCCTGCGGCCGAGCCAACGGCCGAGCCGACGGCCGAGCCGACGGCCGAGCCGACGGCCGAGCCGACCGAAGAAGAGGCCGCGGAAGCAACTCCAGAGCCGGTCATTCCCGCCGAGGAGAGCCCCACTGAGCCCGAGGCTCCGAGCGCGGAGCCGACGGCCGAGCCGGCCGAACCGACGGCCGAGCCCGTCACTGCCGAGCCGGTCGCCGCGCCGCTCGCGCTGCCTCTGGAGCCCGTAGAGCCGGAGCCGGCCCCGCGGAAGCCGGTCTTCGCCGACGACGCGTCCGAGATCACGGCGCGCGACGACTTCGAGGTGTCGACGTCGCGGCCGGCGAGCCCGCGTTTGGTGGAGGCGCCCGTGCCGGCGCCGGTCAAGACGTTTCCGATCGTCGTTGAAGATGCATTACTAAATGGGCGGAGCTGCGCCGTCACGTGCTCGCGGACGGACGCGGCCATCACCTGCGACGTCCTCCCGCACGACGCGGGCAAACCCTGCCATTTGGTGCTCGGTGCGCAGGATCTCGACTGGGCGCACGCCGCGCTCGTCGGCAAGGATTGGGCGGAGGACGCGTACGACGTGGGGCGCGCCGTCGTGGACCACCTGCTGCTGCAGGGCAAGGGCCGGTTCACGAAACTCAAGTGCCAACTGGTCAAGGTCGTCCGCGTCGCGCCGAAGCGGGTGGACTACGGCGACGAGGACGCGACGCTCAGGGCCGCGCTCGGCGCGCCGGCGCCGGCGCCGGCGCGCAGGGTCCTGTCGCCGCTTGCCGTCGCGCCCGCGCCGATCCCGGCGCCGCGCGACGTTGTCCGCGAGGCGCCGGTCGGGCCGTCGCCGCGGCTCGTCCCGCTCCTCGCGCCGCCGGCCGCGGCGCCGCCGCTGGGCCTCCCGGTCCTGGCGCCGGCGCCGGCGCGCGCGCCCGAGGCCGTGCCCGAGGCGCCGGCGCCGGAGCCGGCGCCCGCGGTGGAGGCGCCGCCCGTCGCGCTGGCGGCGGCGCCCGCGCCGCCGCTGGCCGTCGCGGAGAGCCCGGCGGCGGCTCCGGAGTACTTCCCCGCCGAGGAGGAGGAGCCGCTCGACGAGCCCACTCCCTCGGAGCCCGCGGAGGAGCCGCTCGACGAAGAGCCGACGCCGGAGGAGCCCGCAGCGCCGACGCCGGAGGAGCCCGCCGCCACCGACGCGAACCTGAGCGCGCTCGAGACGTACCTCCGCCAGGTCTTCGACCGCGTCGACACGGGCGGCGACGGCGAGATCTCCGTCGTGGAGGCCATCAAGGCCCTGCGCACGGACGATGAATTCGCCGAGCTCCTGGGCTTCGAGGAGGCGACCCGGGTCAAGGCCAGCGACGGCTCGAAGGACCGCCTGACGCTGGCGCTGGCCGCACTTGACTCCGATGGAGACAAGTGCGTTTCCTGGGAGGAGTTCCGGCGCGCGGCGCTCGGCGAGATCGAGGAGGCGGACGCCCCCGTCGTCGTCGTGGAGCCGGCCGCGGACGAAGCGGCCGCGGCGCCACCCGCGGCGGAGGAGGAAGTGACGGCGGCGCCACCAGCGGAGCCGACCGAGGAGCCTGCGCAGGAGCCCACAGCCGAACCGGACACTGAGTTGCTTGAGGAGGAGCCTGCTGAGGAGCCTGCTGAGGAGCCTACTGAGGAGCCTACTGAGGAGCTTGCTGAGGAGCCCACGGCCGAGCCGGCCGAGGAGCCTACTCAGGAGCCGGCGACCGAACCGACCGAGGAACCCACAGCTGACCCAGCCGCGGAGCCGGCAGAGGAGCCTACGGCCGAGCCGGCCGCGGAGTCGGAGCCGACCGAAGAGCTTCCCCAGGAGCCCACGGCCGAACTGACCGCGGAGCCAACGGCGGAGCCGACCGAGGAGCCAACCGAAGAGCCTGCTGAGGAGCATACTGAGCAGCCAGCGGCCGAGCCCACGGCCGAACTGGACGCGGAGCCGACTGCGGAGCCCACGGCCGAGCCGACCGCGGAGGAGGAGCCTACGGCCGAGCCGGCCGACGAGCTTACTACTCAGGCCGAGGAGCCTACTCAGGAGCCTGTTCAGGAGTCGACGGCCGAGCCGGTCGAAGAGCCGACGGCTGAGCCAGCCGCGGAGCCGGCGGTCGAGCCGACCGAGGAGCCTACAGCCGAACAGGACGCGGAGCCGACCGAGGAGCCTACTACTCAGGCCGAGGAGCCTACTCAGGAGCCCACAGCCGAGCCAGCCGCGGAGCCGGCGGTCGAGCCGACCGAGGAGCCTACAGCCGAACAGGACGCGGAGCCGACCGAGGAGCCTACTACTCAGGCCGAGGAGCCTACTCAGGAGCCCACAGCCGAGCCAGCCGCGGAGCCGGCGGTCGAGCCGACCGAGGAGCCCACAGCCGAACAGGACGCGGAGCCGACCGAGGAGCCTACTACTCAGGCCGAGGAGCCTACTCAGGAGCCCACAGCCGAGCCGGCCGCGGAGCCGGCGGTCGAGCCGACCGAGGAGCCCACAGCCGAGCCGGCCGCGGCGACGGACCCGGCCGCGGCGGCGCCGCGGGACCCGACGCCCGAGTTCTACTGGCTCGCCCGCCGCGAGATCGAGCCCGACGCGGCGCCGGCGAGCCCGACGGACCCCGGCCGCGGTCTCGACGTCGTCATCGCGCGGAGCGCCTTCGCGGCGGAGTCGGCGGCGGAGATGTCGCTCGACGCGGGCGACCGCGTCATGATAAACACGGCCAAGCGCGCGTCGAGCGACGACTGGGTCTTCGCGGCGAAGTCCACGCGCGAGGCGGGCTACGTGCCGCGGCACTTCCTCGTGGCGGCCGACGACGAAAGAGCTCAGGCGGCGCCGGCGGCGCCGACGCCCGAGTTCTACTGGGAAGCCAGAAGGGACGCCGAGGGCGCCGACGCGCCGGACGGCGGCGCGCTCGCGCGCGCGCGCGCACGTAGAGCTTTCGCGATGGAGGAGCCGCCGGAGATGGACCTCGCCGAGGGCGACACGCTCCTCGTGCTGGTGGAGGAGCACGCCGACGAGGCCCAGGGCTGGATCTTCGCGGCGAAGGCCGCCGAGGCGGGCTACGTGCCGCGGACCTACCTCGAGCTCGCCGCCGACGACGCGCCCGCCAAGGCGCCGACGCCCGAGGTCACGGACTCGAGCGGCGGCGAGGAGATCCTGGAGCCCGTCACGCAGCCGCGCGCCGAGTCGCCGCCGCACCCGCTTGTGCCTCCCTTGAGTCCCATCGCGGGCTCGCCGCCGGAGACGGCCCAAAGTCCGCAGCCCCAGGGCGCGCTCGAAGACTACCTCTGGGCCATCTTCCAGCGCGTCGACACGGAGCGCGAGGGGACCGTGGCCACGGCGGAGGTCGTCCAGGCGCTCCGGGACGACGGGGGCTTCGCGGGGGCCCTTGGCTTCTCCGAGGATGTCCGCGGCGGCGAAAACGACGCGACGGAGTTCCGCGCCGACGTGGCGAGCGCGCTCGCGGCGCTGGACGCCGACCGCGTGTCCTGGGACGAGTTCCGGCGCGCGGCGCTCGGCGAGGAGGACGGTGAGGGCGACCGCGAGCGCCAGCTCGCCGACGAGAACGCGGAGCTCAAGCGGCGCCTCGCGCGCGCGAGCGGCGACGGCCTCGGCGGCCAGCAGTGGGGCTCCATGGCGGGCGGCGACGACGACGACTCGTACTCGTCGCGGTCGTCGCGGTCGTACTCGTCGCGGTCCGGCGACTCGCTGTACGACGAGTTCGAGGACTTCCAGTAGGTCCGCGGGACTGCGCGCGCAGTTTAACCCCGGCGGACCACCCACCCAGCACGATGCACAAGGCCCAGTAACATTCATTGATGTTTACACGTAACGTTGGGGGATAGATAGACAAGGGCGCGCGGGGAGGGAATAAGGGAGGTTGCTCAGGCGGAGCCCTTCATGAGCGCGACGAGGTCCGCGACGGCTGCGTCGAGGTCGACGGCGCCCGACGACGTCATGTGCATCTGGACGCGCGCGAGGCAGGCGTCGGCGCCGAGCGAATCGACGAAGCCCATCGCCTCGAGGCTGCGGAGCGCCGCCAGGACCTTGTCGTCGCCGACGTCCTCCCACCCGCTCGGCGGCGCAGGCGGGGCGTCGTCGAGGGACGCCTGCACCGCGATGCGGAGGTTGTCGAGGCCGAGCGCCGTGTTGCCCTCGGGCTCGGCGGCGGGCACAGGGGCGCCGGCCGTCGCCGACTCGAGCGACTCGCTGACGGCGACGCGCTCGGCGGCCGCGGCTGCCTCGTCGGCCGCGGCGATGTCGGCGGCCGCGGCCACGGCCGCGGCTTCCATAGCCGCCGACGCCTCAGCGGCGGCCTCGGCGCAGGGGGCCGGGCGGCGGCGGCGGCAGACGCGGAGCTTGGCCGCCGGGACGCGGACCTTGGGGAACGGCTCGGCCTCGAGGGAGTTGCAGCGGACGCAGAGGTCGTAGTCATCTCTCACGAGGCACTTGTAGCGGGGCCCGACGATCGGCGACATGTTGCAGCCGTCGCAGGTCACGTTGACGTGGACCTCGCCCGCGCCCGTCGCGGTGGCGGCCGTCGTCGCGGCGCAGGCGCGCACGGCGCCGGCCGCGGTGCCCGGGGGCGCCGCGACGAAAGTCGCGACTCCGTCGAGCGCCCGCGCCTCGCGATCGAACGAGGCCTTGAGCTCCTGGTCGGTCGTCACTTTGCAGACGTCCTGCTCGTTGTCGACGTAGAAGAGGTCGAGCGGCTCGGTGGTGAGCGCGCTGACGGTCTCGCGCAGCTTGACGTAGGAGGAGCAGCGGTCTCCCAGCTCCATGCGGTGCACCACGGCGCCGCGGCCGCTGAGGAGTTTTAGCTTGAGATGCATGCTTTTGGACAGATGCGCAGTAGAGAGGGGGTTGCGCGCGCAACACCGAGAGAATGAGACCCCTAAAACGCGGACGGACTCGCGGTGATGTACACCAGGGACGACGAGCAGCGCAGCGCGGAGCGCAGCTTGTTCGTCGGGTTTCTTCGAAGTCGATCGTCCTCCAAGCGCCACACAAGGCCCAAAAGCGAAGAAAACGCATCCGAGAGGAGTGCGACGCGTCCTCAGTGCCCGGACGAGACGCCAGCGAGGCGAAGAAGCCAGCGCTCGATCTGCAAGCACCAAGTATGGCGCAGGGACTTCTGCAGGCTGCCCCCTCCACACCACCGCCCCGGGGGTTCCACACAATGAAGCTGCAACTTTCACCTATTATCATACTAGACGAAGGCTGTTCCAATCGCTGCGGGCGCCAAATTCCGCCCACGCTGCCCACCATGGCGGAGGCCGCGGAACCCACCAAGAATGATGTCATTGACATGGCGCAGGCGCGCCCCGAGCGTAAGCTCTTGGAGAACCCCCTGACCTGGTGGGGGGACACGCCGTGGTTGCTGTGGAACTTTAACTACGGTGCGTCCCGCGCGCCCGCCCCGTAAACCCGCCGCGCCCGCCGCGCGGCGCATCATCGATGAGACCCACCGCTCGCCGCGCTGCTCCTGCGCGCCGGCGCTCGGAAGGGAGGGGACTCCTGCGCGTCTCGCGGCCGAGGCCTCCGGCCGTTCCGAGGACGCCGCGCACTTCGAGAGGACACCTCGCGCGCGCCCCCTCACCCCATCGCGACCGCAGGCGGCATCGGCGGCATCTGGGCCGGCGCCGGCGAGGCCGAGGCGCTCGGCGAGCTTTTCTTCGACTGCCTCGCCACCCTGCTGAGCGTCACGGACTTGATGTTGGGCTTCTTCCTTAACGTTCTCGTCTACAACGGGGCGGCTGGCATCAGCGAGGAATACGCCCAGGCGATCTCGGACCGGTACACGACGCTGTACTACGAGCGGTGCATCCCCGGCGTGTCCATCGGCCTGCTCTTCGGCAACGTCTACTACGCCTACATGGCCGGTCGACTGGCCTACAAGGAAAATAGGGATGACGTCACGGCGCAGCCCTACGGCATTAATACCACGGGCGCGTTCATCACGCTCGGCGCCATCAACCTCGAGGCCCTCTTCGCCCAGGTGTTCGACCAGAAGAACATAGATAAGGTGTTTGGCAGCGGCAACGACGACGGCAACCCCGCCGAAGCGGGCCATGACGCCGCCGACAAAGCCTTCGCGATCGCGGTCGCCGCGAACTTCGTCACGGGCATCTTCGAGATCCTCGGGTGCCTCTTCGCGGAGCCCATCCGCGCGGTCATCCCGCCCCCGGCCTACTACTCGCTCCTGACCGGCGTCGGCTTCGTGTACCTGGCCTTCAAGCCCATGATTGAAATCGCGGCCGAGCCGATCGTCTGCCTCGTGCCGCTCCTCATCGTCGTCTGCGGCTTCTTCGGCGGCGTCAAGTACAAGATCGGCAAGTCGTTCACGATTCCCATCGCCGTGGTCGCGATCTTGGCCTCCATCATCTTCGGCTGGGCCGGCGGCTGCGCGCACAAGAACGGCGCGGTCGAGATGTACAACTACGGCGACTCGTGGTCGGAGGTCGCGGACAAGACGGACGGGATTGTGTTCTTCGGCCACCGCTCGGGCAATCCCGGCAACCGGCGCATGTACGGCAACTCGAAGAAGTACTCGACGTGCGCGGGCACGTCCAAGCACGACGCGTCGTACGCGTACCGCACGTTCGCCGGGGACGTCTCGTCGTGGGGCGGCGGCATCTTCACGGACGTTGGGACAGGCATCGGAGAGATCGGCGTGTACATGGGCCTCATCCTCGTCGTGGCCGTCGTCGGCTTCGCGGCGTCGCTCGCCGGCGTCGAGTCGGCCTCCGCGGCCGGCGACGACTACCCCATGGCCGAGACGCTCGTCATCGACGGCGTGGGCACGTGCCTCGGCGCGCTGTTTGGCTCGTTCTACGGCACGACGGTCTACATCGGCCACCCCATCCACAAGACGTTGGGTGCCAAGCGCGGCTACTCGGTCATCAACGGCGTGATCTACTTCATCTTCCTCACCAGCGGCATGTTCGCCACGATCTACAGCGTGATCCCCGGGTGCGCGAACGGCGCGCTCCTCATCTTCGTCGGCCTGCTCATCTGCCGCCAGGCCATCGAGGACAACCCGCCGGACTACTACCCGGCGATCTTCTTCGGCCTCTTCCCGTGCCTCTGCAACTGGGCCAAGCTCCGCATCGACCCCGGCGTGACCTGGAACAACTACGCCCGAGCGTGGCTCGAGGACGACTTCATCCTGGAGCAGTACGGGAAGGGCGGGACGTCGGCGGGGCCGGGCAAGTGGTGGGACAGCGCGGACGCGGGCAACTGGGGCGCGGTGGGCATGGGCATCGAGATGATGGGCCAGGGCGGCGGCGAGTGGTTCACGCTCATCATAACGTCGATCTTCTGCTACTGCACGGACCGCAACTTCAAAGCCGGCGCCATCATGTGCGCCATCGCGACGTTCCTCCAGCTGGTCACCGGCATCCCGACGGTCTTCAACGCGACCACGTACGCCAACGACGGCACCCCCAAGATGGGCCCCGAGCGGATCGGGTACTATCCCAAGAAGAACAAGGACACCAACTTCTCCTGGATGTGGACCGTCGCGTTCGCCATGTCCACGGGCTTCTTCCTCATCCACTTCGCGCTGCAGCGCGCGGGGATAATCGATCCGCCGATCGTGCGCGAGAAGCCCGGCGGCCCGTCCAAGGCCGCGGTCGCCGACGCGAAATCGGACATTGTCGAGGCGTGAGGAGAATCACTTGCCGAGGCTCGAGGGCTTACCCGGCGCGGGGCGCAACGCCTCGTCGCTCCGTACACCTTTCCCCCCTCCCCCAAGTCGACCGACACACTGCACATGCCCCCCAACGGCAAGGTTCCCCCATAGCCAATAGTCCCAGCCCAAGCCGTGACTATGTCTATAACTACATGCTGCTTGAAGTCTTCCTTAGCTAGTATTCACTCCGCGTCGACCGCGATGGCGACGCGGGCCGCCTCCTGCGTCGGGTCCACGCCCCCCGACGCGGACGCCATCGCGGCGGACAGGTAGTGCCGCGTCGACGCGGCCGCGCCCTTGGTCGTCCGGAGGTGGTGCGAGTGCCGCTGCGCCGTGGACCCGGGGGAGAGGTCCGGCAGCGCGCGGCGCCAGATCGGATTGCTCGCGTCGGCCTCGCTGAGCTCGACCGCCGTCTCCACGGCCCGCAGCAGGTCGCCGAAGAGCGTCTCCTCCGCGCTTTCGACCCCGCCGTCCGCGCCGTGGTACGTGTAGGAGAACGTGCGCGGAAACAACGTTTCTTTGATCGGCGCCAAGAACTCGTAGGCCTCCCGGCCCCGCGGCGCGTGGCGATGCCGGAAGATCTCCGCCTGTGTGGAAATCAACCAGTGTGTCGGGTGCACCCGACAATTCTTCACTAAGTCATTTCTCGGCGATGACGCGGCCGACCTGGCTCCGTCGAGCGGCGAGGAACCGGCATCGCCACGCCATCGAGCAGGCGTCGCGTCGATGGCGTGGAGGACTACGCGATGATTCAGCACGAACGCGCCGTAAAATTTTGATTTCCACACAGATCTCCGCGTATAATCCCAGCAGCGGAAGCACCAACGCTTCCCGATCGCAGGGGTCGCCCCGGGCGTGGTGGAGCCGGCAACACGTGAGGTCCCCGCCCGCGACGTCGATCGCCTCCCGTAGCGTCGCCTCGTCCAGCGGCCGGAGGCCGTCGCTGGAGCTCAACCACATGTCGCCCCGGCCGTTGCGCGCCCAGCAGCTCATGACCTCCGCCCGGCACCAAGAGCGCTTCCGGTAGGTTTCCGCGTTGCAGAGGCAGCCCGTGTCGGCGTGTTTGGCGGCCGGCGCAACTATCACGAAGAAGTCGCACGAGGACCTGCGTACAGATCGATCCGTGAGTCTTGGACCAAATGCCCCGTCAAAGTTGATTGGCGCACCGAAATAAAGACGCGAACGTCGGCAGCGACGCGATCGAGAGGCGCTGCTCGGACCGGTTCCGCTGGGGGATCGATATGAAGTCGACCCAGACGCGGAGCGACGCGAGCGGCACGCCCGCGGCCGCGGCGACCGCTCGCACGGCCGACTGCATCGCCGTGCAGTGGACGTTCGCGGGATCCGGCGACGCGAACGCAAGCCATTGGTGGCTGAGAAACACGAAGACGAGACCCTCGCGTTTCGCGGCGGCGACGTCCGCGATCGCGTCGTAGACGACGAGGTCCTTTCGTAGCGCCTCGTGCGGCACGAGCTTCTCCAGCGCGCAAAACGCGTCGCCGGGGAGCGTTGCAAATATTGCCTGGAACTCCTGGATTTTCTCGACGGCGGCGGCCACCTGATCTCTCACCTGCAACGCGCGCGCCATCTCGAGCTGCTGCTTCTTGCGAACGAACCGCACCGCCGCCGCGAGGCAGTAGAAGAGGCCCGCCGCGACGAGAACGCAAGCGACCACGACCAGCGCGACCACGGCGCCGGCGTTGGACACGCGCGTGCCGCCGTCGTCGACGGCAGCGGCGAGGACGTCGAGCTGCAGAGTCGCTTGCTGGGCGACGAAGGCCCGGTCGCACGCCTCGACGTCGAGGGCGACGGTCGGCGTCAGGTCGCGGGTGACCTCGTCGCTGCGGACGGTGACCGCGACAGTCACGACCGTTTGCGCGTCGTAGAGCGTGATGGTGGGCGGGTCGAACGCAAGGCTCATGTTGCCGAAGCCCTCGAGTCGCGGTGTGATCCACACGGCGCCGCGCAGCGGATCCGCGCCGAGCGAGACCTCGAACGTATTCGAGTAGCCGTTGGCTTCCGAAAGCTCGACGACCAGGGGCGACGCCGCGACGACGGCGCCGAGCGCCGCGCGCGTCCGAGGGGGCAGTCCCATGTATGCGCCGCCGACCTCGCGCTGCACGAAATTGTCCGCGTGATTGGCAGGAGGCTCGTCTCCGTAGAGTAAGCACGTATTGGTGAGACTCGCGCCGACCACCCATGGCGTAAAGTGCATGCAGGATTGGCACTCGGCCTTCATCTCGCAATACGCCACACATTTCTCCTTGGACTCGACGGCCTCCGCCAGAAACGGAGAGTCGGGCGTGATAGAGTCGAGAGTCCGCATGTGGTCGAACAGGCCAGCGATGATATTGTCGGCGTTCGTTTCTTCGTATATCGCGTCGACGACGCCGGGCTCGTCCGGCGACAAATCACAGAAGTAGACCCCGGCCCGCGAAGATGCTTCGCGTCGGCAGCAGACATCGTCAAAGCGCGCGGTGCTCGAGGCGTCGACAAAGTTCCGCGTGACCCCGTCGCCCGTGGCCAAGGATACGTCACGCAGCGCCGGCAGCGATTCCAGAGCTTCGGGAGCCAGGTGCTTGACGCCACTCGGCAAGACTAGCACTTCGAGACCGTCAAGACCGTCGAAGGCGCCCGGGCCGACCAATGTGAGCCGCGGGTTGTCCGAAAGGTCGAGCGTCGTCGCGTCGGCGCCGGCGGCCGCGGGAACGGTCTGGAGGTCCCGGTCGCGGCAGTCCGCGGTGCCGTCAGCGCAGGTGCAGACCACACAGAGGGCCCCGCGCTTTGCAGCGGACGTCGCCCAGAACGCAAGGACGTCGACCATCTCCGCGGCTGGGATTATGTCTTCGTGTGTTAGCGCGTCGAAGAGGTAGCACCTCGGAAACGCCACTTCCCAAGAATCGTAGGTGGTTTCGATCGCGTAGAAGCGACACGCGGGCTCGGCCGCGCACAGCTCGTCGCACACGTCGGTCTTCAGGGTATGGCTCGCAAAGGCACTGGCAGTCGCGTAGCGCACGCCAGGCACGCTCTCGCTCTCGAACACGTCGGGCGCGGCGCAGGGATCGACCCATTCGTCCGGCTCGACGCACGCCAGGTCGTCGAACTCGATCGCACCGCGCGCCACCTCTTCAACACGATCGGGGTCTGCGGTAAAAGCGAAATTATATCCAGTGAGCTTGTCGCGATCGAGCACGCCGTTGCCTCGAGCCGCCCCTATCATGTTGAACGCCAGCGCGCCGTGGCACAGGGGAAACCGCACCTCCTTCCATGCGCCGGTGGTGTCGTCGAGGACGTGCGAGTCCCTGGCCCCGTACAATTCCCAGGATGGGAAATTTTGCATGAACAATTCCATCCTGTCATCAGTCAAGTTGGAGGGCATATCGAGAGGGCTATCGACGTTGCTCACATCCCACAGATCAATCCCCCAGACGGCTAATCCTTGGTCGTTCTGCGGGACGGCGACGCGGTACTTGATCGAGAGGTGCGACGCGTTCGCGCACGGAAGATAAGACCCCAGAAAGGGCACGGCCGACGCTGACGCGGTCACCCCGATCACTCCCCACCAATGCCGCCACGCGACCTCGTAGTCGACGCGGAGCGCCCACGACCCGCCGAGCGAGGAGTTGCGCGGCACGAGACTCAGGTTCGCGGAGCCCGTCAGCGGCTGATTTTCCTCGCCGAGGCCCCAGAACTCGCCCGCATCGACGCGGGGCCATTCTATCGTCTCGAAGTCGTCGATTAGCCGCAGCCTCTCGGCCGCCGCGCACTGGAGCGCTGCCATCCACACGACGAGGCACCATCCGGCACGCATACTTCCCGTCGCTTGCAGAAGCGGCTGCCCCACGAATCAGCGACCGAGCGGTGGCCTCGATATGTTAGGAAACACGGCCCTGCTACGCAGCAGCACACTGATAGTTGCCTGCGGTAGCGCCAGATCAAAATCCTTCATCATTCTCTCTAGTGTCTCTACCGTAGTCTGGCTCACCTGCCCCGTAATACGCAGGATATCTAAGGACGCATCGATACCAGTCTTACGCACTGCGGCCGAAACCCGACACTCAAAATGACAGAGCGTCTCGCATAACAAGCACAAGCTGCCCCGAAACGATGCGCTGCATCCTCGCCGTCTCGGGCACGCTGCAGGAGGGCTTTCCCCTGCGCAAGAACCTCGACGCCCCTGGCGCGCCGGCCGTCCACCTGGGCAGTGGGTTGGTGCGGGGCGTCCGGTCCTACCTCGACGTCAAGGAGCGGGGCTGCCGCGAAGAGGATAACGCGCCGAACCCGGCCTGCGTCGTCACGGGCGACGCGGCCGACGGCAACGTCTACGAGCTCTACCTCGTCGATGGCGCCGCGTGCCTCGGGGCGCTCCTCGGCGAGCCGCGCTACCTGGCCATGGCGCCGGACGCCGTGGTCCTGGACCTCGAGGCGGCGGAGACCTGCGACGCGGTGCGGAAGTTGGCGCGGCACGTGCTCGGCGACGCCTCGGCCCGGCGCTGCTCGGTGCTCGCCGTCGTCAGCGCGGCGCCGGCGCAGCCGTCGTTCGTGCGCACGCCGTCCGACCGGAGCGACGGCGTCACAGCCTTTGCGTCGGGCGCGGCGCTCGCGCGGGAGCGCGGGCTACTCGCGCCGACGAGCGGCGCGGCAAACGCGTGGCTCGGCGGGCGCGGCGCCCGGCTGAACAAGCGGCTGTCGGACGCGGACGCCGCAGTCGCCCTGGCCGCGGCGGGGCTGGCGGAGGCGGCCGCGGCGCTGCAACGCCGAGACGCGGCGCCGTTGCCCCTCGGCGCGGTCGCCGCCGCCACCGCCGTCGCGGTCCTGGCGCGGAAGTCGCCCCAGTGTGCGGCTTTCGCCGCTGGCGCGATCATATCTTCCGTCGCGCACCGCTTCCTCGCGCGGCGCGCGGTCTGGCAGGTCTGGGCGGCGGGCCGCCGCGAGGCCGTCGAAGGCGCCGCGGACGCGCCGGCGGACGCCGCGATCCCGTGCCGCCACGGCCGGCGATTTAGTATCGCGCGGTCGGACACGGCCCTCGTCTGCATCGACCTGCAGCGCGACTTCGTCGAGGCGACGGGGCGCATCGGCGGCCGCTACGCTGATCTCAAGAACGTCGATGCTGCGGTGCGAAAGGCGTCCGATTTACTCAAGGCGGCGCGCACCGCGGGGCTCACGATCGCGCACTCGCGGTCGCACCGCTACGGCGCCTCCATCCGGGACGACCTGATCGGCGACCGCGGGTACGAGCTCTGCGATGCGTGCAGCGCGCAACCCGGCGAGATCGTCGTGGACAAGTGGACCTTCGGGGCCTTTGCGTCGACGGACCTCGAGGCGCGGTTGAGACAAAGGGGCGTCCGGCGCATCCTGCTGTGCGGCGTGCTGACGAACGTCTGCGTCATGGCGACGGCGGTCCAGGCCGTCGACCGCTTCTTCCGCGTGTGTTTGGTCGAGGACGCCTGCGCTGCCTTCGACCCAAGTTGGCACGCGAAGGCTGTTGATTTGATCAACGAGCCACAGGTGCGGAAAGGCCACGCGGACCAGCCCGTGGGCCTCTACTTCGGCGAGGTCTCCTCTTCCCGGGAGGTCGTCCGGGGCCTAAGGGACATGTGAACAACTTTAAGATCGGCGCCGCCCCTTCTTCTTCCCCCGGCGCGGTGGTGGTTCTGGTGCAGCGGCCACGCCCACGACGGCGCCGCCCGCGGCCTCGGACGTCGAGAGCTCCCGGCGGGCGCGGCACGCAAATTCGATATCCGCGAGCTGCGCCTTCGCCTCGGCCAGACTCGATCGCGACGCGTGGCGCACGTCGGCCGCGGCCGCGCGGCCCGCGGCGGCCTTGGCCTTGGATAAAGCCGCCGCCCGCCTTAACCTCTCGTGCGTCGCGCGCGTCGCGCGTAGTTTAGCGTCCGCCAAGGCGGCCCGCGCGGCCCAGGCCGCGGCCGCGGCTTTCGCTCGGTCGCACGCTTTCGTCAGAGCGCCATCGTCGCGCGGCGGCGGCGGCGGCAGGGCCCTTAATCTCTCCTCGTAGAAGCGCCGCTGCTCCTCTAATCGCTCACAAAGGACGCGCTCGTAGCGGTCCGCCAGGCTCCGCAGCTTCAGCTGGGGGAGCTCCCTCCGGCACGAAATCTCGCCGCTGGACCGCCGCGAGCCGCGCACGCGGTGCGCGAAGCGGTCGCCGTGGTAGTCCCAGACGCGGCCCGTCGCCGCCTCGAGCGCGAAGCCGTGGCCCGTCGCCGCGGCGTGGTCCTTGGCGTGCTCCCGCGCGTAGCGGCCGCAGCCCAGTTCGCCGCACACGAGGCAGGCCCAGATGTGCTTGCTGTCGTTGCACCTGACGCACCGCGCCGTCGACGGGTGCATCATGACCCGGCACGTGGCGCAACTACCGTTGGGCTTGCGCGGCTCGCGGTCGTCGTCGTCGTCTAGATCTAGCCGGTCGAAGCAAGACGCGCACGTCGGCAGCTCCCGTACCGCATGGTCGTCCTCGTCCACGTCGTCGAGGCGGTCGTCGACCACGATGACCCGACAGAGGTCGTCTTCCAGGACCCGCGCCGCCGCGGCGAGGCTCCGCGCGTCGCCGAACGCCAGTAAAAAGTGTTGGTCGACTCGTGATGCTCCTCGCAACCCGTCTCGCCACCCTTCCTTGTTCTCAAGGCTCTCGAGCAGCTCCGCGACGTCGCGGTCCGGGGCGCCGATAACTAATAACGAGGCCTTGCGCGGGCTCTCGTCCGTGGCCTCCAGCATCTGGAGCAGCCGCAGGCCGCTTTCTGAGGACCGCACGGGCACGCCGCGCCACGGTGCCTGGTCTTGCCATCGCGGCGGCGGCTCTTTGGCTCGGACCAAGCAGGCGGCGTCCATTGCTATGTCATCGATTTTTACGCAGAGGACTTCCAGAGGGCAGTAATATGTGAACTAGCAGACCTTCTCGGGCCAGAGAGCTGTTTTGCTTACTGGTACTTGCTATCACGGTACTACGGTACCGTAGGTACCTACCGTAGGTACGGTACCATGGTACCTACCAGTAGTCCCTAGCATAAGCACACCCCCCCCCTTGCTACCTAGAATAAATAAATAAATAAATAAATTAAGGAAGACCTAAAAAAAGGAACAAGCTCCTAAGAGCCTTCTCCCTGCTCGGTCAGGATGCCCAACCGGGTAGGTACCTAGGTTGTGTCTTACAGGCGCTAGCTCGCCGCGTAGCCCTGGAGCCGCGCCACGGGGACGTGGCCCCTCATTTATAAGCGGGGTTTAAAGGGAATATTAAGGTTAAGAGTGGTGGCGCAGCGCGGGGCGCGCCACGAGGAGGCTATTCGGATCGGCGTGCGCGTACTAGAGCGCATCGCGAGTAAGGTATTGGAACTTGTAGAGGGAACTTGAACTTGAATTGCTAGACGACGGGTATCCTCCTTGGTCAGACGGTACTCTCCTTGGTTAGACGGAGTCGTTCTCTCGCCCTGGGGCGGAGTCGAGGAACGCTGTGACCACGGCGTCGTAGGACGACCAGGCGTTCAGGACCTCGGGGTCCCGCGGGAAGTTGCCGTGCTTCGCCCTCAGGGAGCGCTGCGCCGGCGCCGCGTACCAATCGCGCATCGGCGCGTGGATCCGGCGGCAGTTCTCCAGCTTGATACTATCGGGCGGGACGCCGACGCCGTCGTCGTTCTGGCAGTACGCGAGTATGGATTCGCCTGGTGCAAACAAATAGCAGCACATGGCGACGAAGAGAACGATGGCTACGACGAGGCCGACGATCGCGCCGACGTTCGCCTCGCAGCAGTCGTCTTCGTTCGAAGCGCAGCAGACGTCCGAAATGCAACCATCCAGCGTAATCCAGTCGCCCCACTTGCTCTTGGCCTCCTGCCAGAAGACCCCGCACTTGACGTCAAATCCTTTTTTGCTGCACACGTCGCAGCTGGAGGCGGCGCCAACCGCGAGGGCGACGAGCGCGAGGAGGTGCTTCGTAATAAACATGGTGGCGGGGCAGCCCTTCGGCGCACGGGGGCAGCCTTAAGCGAGGTTGAGTGTCGCTTCTCGCGCGAGTCGGAATCGAGCAAATGCTACACGATAGAGCTACTAGGGCCCAAGCAAAACGTCCTTTCCAGCGTCGAAAGAAGCCTCGCGAGGCCGTGGCACGCAGTGCACGGAAGTATCGGGGGCTAGGGGGCCCAACTCTTGCGAGAGAGGTGCATGCAGCGCCTCCAGCGGCTCGAGCCTGCTCCCACGCCACAACCGGAGCCCCCGCGCCCGGACCGATCGCCGGCTCCGATCCCGTCAAAAACGCGGCACGCAGCCCGCCGCGCGCGCGGGCTGCCCTAGCCATGGGCGCTGCCCCCAGCGCCAGCCAGGCCGCCGCCGACGCGGCCGTCAAGCGCGCCATTGAGACGCACCAGGCCGCCTGCGCGAGCCCGCCGCGAAGGCTGCGGCAACGGTCGTCCTACGCGCCGGACACGGGTTCGCAGCTCTCGATCGCGGGCCTCGCGCAGTCGTTTCGGCTGAGCCTCCCGGCGAAGGTGCCCCAGGCGGCCTCGCCGTCGCGAGTTGGGTTGGCGCCCCCTTCGTCGGTCTTCGGCGCCTCGGTCCTCGTTGATGGAGAGGAGGAGCCGCAATCGGTGCCCAAGCTCCGGGTGCCTCCACTCAATTTCAACAGGGTCCCTCGCAAGGGTAGTCTGCGGCTCTCGCGCGGGTCTCGACGAAGTGGTGGTCAGCGGCTCCTAGAATCGTATGAGGACGAGGCGGACTGGATTCAAGTGGACGAGAGCGACCACAACGAGAGCGAGGACGAGTCCGTGTCGTCGGCTAGAGCTTCACTGTTAAGAAGGGGCCGCTTTAGTAATGGGTCCTTCAAGCGGAGCGTGGAGGTCACTACACAAGACGAGTCCTTCTATTTCACGCGGTCTGGAGCCATTCGGTTGGACGGCGTCGCGGACAAAATACGGGATTGCGGTTTAGAAAGCACACCAGAAGAGTCGGTCCCGGTGACTGATAGAGTTGTGGTCTTGGAGAAACTAGGACAAGGAGCGGCTGGCAGAGTGCACAAAGCACTAGACCTCAAGAACTTGAGATATGTCGCGATGAAGGCGATACCAGTAGTACAGAGGGATAAAAGACGGCAGATGGTCCACGAGCTCAAAGCGCTCCATGGGGCTTTAAGGGATGACCAATCTAGCGACAGGCAGCACGTCGTCCAGTTCTACGACGCGTTTGCCAACATGTCTACTGCTACTGTATCTCTCATGGTGGAATACATGGACGGAGGGTCCCTGCAGCAGATTTGCGATAATGGGGGGTTGAGCGATGAACGAGTGTTGGCTTCTCTCTACAAGCAAGCGGCGAAGGGCCTGCGGTACCTCCACTCCACCAAGCACGTGCACCGCGACCTCAAGCCTGCGAACATGCTCATCAACCGCAAGGGCGTCCTGAAATTGTCGGACTTTGGCGTCGTCCGTAAGTTGGAAGAGCGAGATCATGTTACCGAAGAATCGACGCCGGAGATGCTCGACCCTGGTGTGGCCAGGGTGTCGCTCGACGCGAAGACTTCTCGATTATGTCCGGCGCGGTCGTTCGTGGGCACCGTGACGTACATGTCTCCTGAAAGAATAGGTGGTCTCGAGTACTCGACGCCGGCGGACGTCTGGAGCTTGGGCTTGTCGTTTCTGAACGTCGCGCTCGGGAAGCTGCCGCTGGAGAATGATGACGGGTACTGGTCGCTCCTAAAGTCGATACGCGACGAGCCGCCGCCCCAATTGCCGGACCACTACTCGGAAAAGTTCCGAGCTTGCGTCGCGAGATGTCTGGCGAAGGATCCTGCGGAACGGCCGACGGCCGACGACGTGGTCAAAGACCCGTTCTGCGGCATCGACGACGACGAGTCCGTCTGTTCGACGACGGATTCCGTGAAGCGGAGGTTGCATCGGAGGAGCGTCGGGGAGCTGGTGGCCACGCTCCAGGCCTCGGCGTGCCACTTGCGACAACTACACGAGCGCGGCGCGTCGTGCGGCGCGCCCTCCGACGCGTCCGCGGCCGACGCCGCGGCCTGGCTCGTGAACGAGGTGGCGCTCGATACGCTCGCGGACCAATTGGACTTGCCCCTTGACAAGGTCGATACGGCCGTTGCGGCTTTTGTGGATGCGTCCAAAAATAATGAAGACGCCGCGGCCGCGACCAAAGCTGCCATGGACTGCGGCGACGACTCCGACGATGAATTAACTTAGCGATTTAGGACCCTAGCGCCGATGTCGTCGACGATCCAGTCGATCCCTTCCAACAGCCCCGTCCCGCTCTGGGCGCTACACGCCTTGATGCAGTAGTGCCTTTTTTTAAATTGCGGCGCGCCGAGATCCAGGTGCTCGGCGATCTGGTCCACACTTAGGGCATCAGGTAAATCCTGCTTGTTCGCGAAGATTAGGAGAGAGGCCCCGCCGAGCTGCTCCTCCTGCAGCAAATCTTTGAGCTCATCTCTACAAGTATCCAGGCGCCACCTATCGGCAGAATCGACGACCCAGACGAGCCCGTCGGTCACCTCGAAGTAATTGCGCCAGTACGTCCGGATCGTCTGCTGGCCGCCGATGTCCCAGATGTTTAGGGTATATTGCTTGTGCTGCAAGGTCTTGATGTCGAAGCCTAGGGTGGGGGCAATCGTGTCGATGGGCTCGCCGTTAAACCGTCTTATTATGGTGGTTTTTCCCGCGTTGTCGAGGCCGATGATCAGCAATTTCATCTCCTTTTCCTTTTCGCGGAGCTTCCTTACTATACTAAGGAAGCCCATGGTACCTATATCTACTTTGTGAGGTATGTTTTGGTTGGTCGTAATGTGTGTGGTCGTAAAGGGTCCTCGGCTAGAGCTAATAAGTGTGTGCCACATGCGTAGATATTCGGACTCGTCATCTGTGGGGTCGTCACGGGACCTCTTTTTTTTCAATCAATTACGGCGCGGGCGCGGGCCTGCGTGTTGTGTGTTGTGAGCGGGCGTCGTGCGGAAGTGGCGTCGTCGCGCGATATTGACTGCTCAGAAGGAGGTAGTGACGTTTCGGTGGTATCGCCAGCGCCCGGAGGCTCGGTGTTCTTTGTTCCGATGGCTGTAATCAGTGCAGCGACGCGAAGGGTTGGGTGCTCGACGCCGGTGCGCGCCTGTGGCTTTTGTGCAGCAGGGCTTTTGCGCTGCTGCAGCGGAGCAGGCGATGGAGCTTGGACGTGCGTGCACCTCTACGAAGTTGTGGCGCCGCTGTCGTGCGCTGAGGAATGAACTACTTTTATTTAGGTCGTAGTACAGCGGTTGGCAATCGCTGCCGGCATAAAGCCGCGCACCGGCCCAGGCTGCTCAAGCTTGCTAGGGATGCCTAGTGTCTTACAGGCCGCTAGCTACTCGTACTAGTCCTAGCACCGTAAACGACAGGAACAACGACGACTCCGTTGCCGGACGACGCGAAGACACACGCAGTAATATAAACGGCCCTGATTAAACGAACGAACACGCCGGACACGCGTCGGAGTTAGGTCACGCCCTCGGGTCCGATGGAGCACACCGCGAGGACCGTCAGCGCGGGGTACGCGACGGCGCACGCCTTGCCCCACTTGAGCGCGAGCGCGCGCGCTGCCGGGCAGACGAGGTCCTCGCGCGTCTGGCCGCGGAACTTGTGGCGCACGGCCTCGCGGCCCCACGCGCCCTCGAGGAGCGCGCGGTCGCCGCGGCGGCGGCGCGCGAGCGCGACGTCGTCGCCGTCGCTCAGGTTTGTGCTTGGAGTCGGGCCGTCCGAGGGACTTCCGACGCCGTCGTCCTTTGACGTCGCCCAGCCGAGCGAGTCGTCGCCCAGGTCCCAGCCGATCGGGCGGGCCAAGAGCCGAGGCGCGCCCCAGGTGGCCTTGGTAGTGGCACGAGGCGCCTTAGCCGGCGCCTGGATGAACGCCGTCACGCCGCTCTGGGCGAGAAAAACCACTGATAGGGCTGCGACGTAGATGAACATACTTGCTTGTATGTTTCACGTCCGGACACGCTCTCTGCCTAGGCTTTCTTATAGGGAGGCTCTAAGTGGCTCTCTGGTGGTGCCTCTGGATTTGTTGCTGCGCTCACAAGGTTACGGCAATTTACAGCCACACCCGTTGATGCTATGCCACTGAGGGGTGCCGAGAACCCGCCTGGTGCTGCTTTTGAGGCGCGCGGCCTGATCTCACGGGAGATATTTATGTGCTGAGCGGCAAGACCCTGTGAGCCGCAGCCGCGAGCGAGATGGGTGCCTGTGGATAGCGTCGAAGACAGCTACTGCGCTCCAAATAGAAGGGTGCAAAGCTGCGGCGCTAGCGGTGTAAGACACTAGCTCGACCACAGCTGTGCTTTTGTCCTGGCTAGCTGCCGCATTAATCGAATTCGGTACAGATATTGCGTTTGTCGGGTCGTCAATAAGTGCTGCTCGCGCACAGCACTGCGGATCTAAAATGTCACCCGCGGAGTGGGCCTTCCTAGGCGCCACGGCCCTCTGGAATGCGATCCTCCTCTACACCGCGACGCCGCAGGGCGGCGTCTTCGAACGGCGCCTCTGCTGCGCCGCCTGCCCGGTGGCCTGCGTCCTTTACCTAGCGCTCGGCCAGCTCGCGCTCGGCGGCGGCGCGTGCTACGGCAGGGCAGCGCTGGCCGCGAACGATGAAGACACGGAGGTCGCGGCCACGGTGCCCTGCGCGCTCTTCGGCGCGCTCTTCGCGCAGAGCGTCGTGCAGTGCGCCGTCGCGCGGGCGCGGCCGGCGAAGGGCCGCGTCGCCGAGGCGGCCGCGTGGCCGTGCGCGGGCGTGCAGGCGCTGACGCTGCTCTACTACGTCGTCGAGCGCTCGGACGCGGCGTGTTTGGTGATGGCGCCGCCCTTCCTCGCCAATATGTCAAGCGTCACGGCGCGGCCGCTCCACCTGGTGCTCTGGACGTGCTCCGTGAGCGCGCAGGTGCTCGCGATCTACAGCGTCGAGCGCGAGCTGTCGGCGCGCATGCCGCGGCCGCCTCCCACAAACGCGCGGCGGGACTGCTGCGCCGCGCTCGTCGCGGTGCAGGTCATGTGCTGGTGCTCGGCGCTCCTCGACGCGCGCGCGCCCGGCGCGACGGGCTACGGCCTCGCGCTCGCGGCGCTGTCCTGCGCGGCGTTCTACGCGCTCCTCGCGAAGGGCGTGCGCGGGCCGCTCGCGCGCGGCGCGGCGGCGGCGCGGCGCGGCAAGGACGAGCGCATCGCCGCGCAGCTCGAGCGCGCGGCGGTCTTCTTCACCGTCGCCTGGCACGGCTTCCCCCTGGTCTGGGGCGCCGGTGTTTTGGGGGTGGTGGGCGACGCGCGCGTGCGCCTCGGCTACGTCCTCTGCGACGTCGTCGCCAAGTTTCTGCCGGCGTCGATATATGTCTCACTCGCCGTAGACCCGTAAGTTTTTAATGAATTACACTCCTGGGCCGCCGTCGAGGACCAAGCGCAGGTCGTCGGGTATGGGTCCCGCGAGCATCTTGGCGAGCTGGATGTCTGCCCCTTCCCGCACGCTCCTTCGACCCATGATCCAGTTGCTGAGCACGAGGTTTGGCCCGAAGGCCTGGTAATACCATGCCTGCTGGTGATACTGGGGCAGCGGAAAGAAAGCGATCATGGTTGTTGCGCAGAAGACGTTCACACTCACGAATAGCGCTATGCCCATGCCGCAAACTATCCACCCGAGAACTGCCCCGTTCGCCCTGGCCAACGAGTGCAAAACGAACGCCGCAAACGTGAGTATGGTTCCATTGAGGAGGTAGAACATTGCCCACCCCATCATCTTGCAGCCGACGTAACAACACGTCAGGTCCGGCGTCGAGCACATCATTACATTGCTCGCCGAAAAAATACACGCGACGACGAGCCCCAGCACGGCGAAGGATCCGATGCAGGTGGCTACGACTCCGAGGTTATCGGTCGCTTCGAGGTCTGGCACCGTTGACGCAAAAAACAACATCAGCCCGGCGAAAACGCAACAAACCTCCCCGACGAGCCACAGCCGATGGGACCGTCGCTCGGGTGGAAGCAAGGCGCAGTCCATGAAAAAGGCTGCGAAACCAAGCGGCGCTTTCCCTCGTACGTCTGTGGAGAAGAACTGTCGGAACGCGTCGCCTGCCATGACGTCCATGGGATTGGACGCGGAAGCCGGCGAGACGCGGATGCTCGTCGACTCGCCCGGGACCTTGGTGGCGGACAGCATGCTTGTAGGCACTAGGCTGCCCAGGGGAGGCAAGCGGTGCTTTTTCACTGGCTCCCCAGCAGTATTATGCAGCAGTTGTGTTGTCACAACACGTGTTGCAATACGGCTGCCGGGTCCACTGCGATGAGTGCGGCGCTGCAGCTCTTCCCTCTGGCAGCCTCTGCATGCAGGCTCGCGCTAGGCATCGCGCTGCGGCCCCAGTGTGGGGGTGGGATGAAATCTTATGAGGAGGCCGGAACTTGCGCCGAGATCTATATCAGCCCAACTAGACGTGTGGTTACGCCGCCTCGATCTCGTGTCCCTCGCCGAGGACCCGGGGCGTGGACCCATCGAGTAGGGTACATGTAATAATAATAAAATATATTAATGAAAACCTAAAAATAAGGAACGAGGTGTGTGCGCGTTTTCAAATTTATTGATTCACTTCTCGCCGGGCCCGCCGTCGAGGACCAGGCGCAGGTCGTCGGGTATGGGTCCCGCGAGCATCCTGGCGAGCTGGATGTCCGCCCCCTCCTGCAGGCTCTTTCTCCCCATGATGTAGTTGCTGGCCGCGATGTTTGGCGCGAACGCCTGGTAATACCACGCCTGCTGGTGATGCTGGGGGAGCGGATAGTAAGCCATGACGATTGTTGACATAAACGCGTTTATACTCATGAATAGTGCTATGCCCATGCCACAAACGACCCACCCGAGGAGCCTACTTTTCGCTTTGGCCAACGCGTCACACACGAACGCCGCAAACGTGAGTATGGTTCCATTAGTCAGAAAAAAGTTCGCCCACCCCAACATCTTGCATCCGGCGAAAATTGAGGTCAGGTCCGGCATCGTACACATGGTTACCGGCAGCGCCGAAAATAGACACGCGACGACGAGCTGCAGCACGGAGAAGGATCCAATGCACGTGGCTGCGACGCCGAGGTTATCGGTGGCTTCGAGGTCTCCAACCGTTGAGGCGAAGAATAGCATCAATCCTGCGAAGACGCAACAGACCTCCCCGACGAGCCACAACCTATGGGACCGTCGCTCCGGTGGAAGCAGGGCGATGTCCATGAAAAACGCAGCGAACCCGAGCGGCGTTTTGCCTCGCACGTCCGTGGAGAAGAACTGCCTCCAGGCGTCGTTGGCGATGTTGTCCAGGGGATTGGACGCGGAAGCCGGCGCGACGCGATGGCTTGTCGACTCGCCTGGGACCTTGGTGGCGGCGAACATACGTGCAAGCACTTCAAATTGCTGAGCTAGAGTCGATGCGTGGACCGATAGGCTGCCCAGGGAGGCAGGCGGTGCTTTTTCAGTGGCTGCCCCAGTATATATGCTTAGTTGTGTGGTCGCACGCGTGCTGCCCAGCAGTATTATGCAGCAGTTGTGTACTCGCAGCACGTGTTGAAAATACGGCAACCTCGGGTCCACACAGCGCGACGCTAACCAGGCTGCCGATCCTCTGCAGCGCCTCGTTTGAGTTTGATTTTTTTTTTAGTGCTTACGCGCCGGGGACGTCGAACACACCTCCAGCCTCGAGACCCTCGTCCTTAACCGGCTGCCCGCTCGCGGCGGAGCCGTCGGGTGCCTTTCGCCGGGCGACCCACACTAATCGGCCGACGAAAATATAACACAAGAAGTTGAAGAACAACAATGAGTAGACCGTCGCGTGCGCAGCCCGCTTGGAAGGTCGTCTTTGCGACAAAACATATCCCGCAAGGCCGGAAAACGCCACGCCACCGACCGAGGCAACCGCCGCGGCCTGCAGCGGAGAGAGCCGCAGTTTGGCGGCCGCGCGGCCGTCGACTGCACAGACGTCGAAGATCGCGATGACGTAGATCCACGCTATTATCAAGTTCATGCTGAAGCTGAACGTTGCGTAAACCCGAAGGAACGTATCTGCTCCATCGATGCCCTGGGCCACGGCAGACACGAGGAGCACGATCTGGAAAGCACCGAGCTTGAGCGCGCGATTTGTATAAAAATGTGCTTGGGTTGTGAGCGAACCCTTATACCTCGTGCGCAAGAGCTCGCGCATTGAATCTAGTAGCCAAGGGTAAAAGATAGCATTGATAACCATGTAAAAAACCAGGAGCACGGCATCTTCGTGCATTCCGGATGTCCAGTAGAGCGGTGGGATGATAATAATCAGGGTGATAAGCCAGCCGCGGAGGAGCTTTATGGCCCGCCTCCCCGCCGCCTCGGAGTCGAGCGCGCCGAACACGAGGAGGCCGCAATTCGCCGTGAAGCAAAGAGGATAGACGAGATATTCGATCTGCGAAAGATTGCCCTCTACCCCGGTCGTACATATGGAGATGACCATTGATACGTTCACGTAGACGAGTAGGACGAGCGTCACGTACGTTATCCGTGCGTACTCGGCAGCGGGCAGGTCCGCCTCCTCGTCGACCGCAGCTGGATTCTCCCGGAGCTTAGCAAGCAGGCGCTCGAACTCGGCGAGATCATCGCGCGTGACTTGCATGCCTGACTGGCAAGGCTGCCCAGCGGCGGCGCCCTCAGCGGTGCTTTTTTTGCATGGAACGCCGCCCCAGCGGTATCATGCAGCAGTTGTTTGCTCGTAACGCACGGCAGCCCCGGACCACCAGCCACAGCGCCGCACGCAGCGCGCGGGCGTGCCAGCGCCCAGACTTGAATTCTTTTTTACGAGTTGTAGGCGACCAGCGAAATCCCAGAACTACTAGACTTGTAGTTACGCGCCTGGGACATCGAACACGCCTGCCTCGAGGCCTTCTTCCTTGGCCGGCACCACGCTCGCGGAGTCCTCGGATCGGGCCTTTCGCCGAGCGACCCACACTAGCCGGCCGACGACAATAAAGCAAAATTGGTTGGAAAACACCATGCTGAGGAACGCCGCGCGCGCTGCCCTTTTGGACGGTCGTCTCTGTTCAGAAACAATGTATCCTGCGAAGGCAGATAAAACGACGATGCCGCAGGTGACAACCGCCGCGGCCTGCAGCGGCGAGAGGCGTAACGTGGCGGCCGCACGGGTGTCTACTGCACAGACGTCGAAGATCGCGATGACGAAAATCAGTACTGTGCTCAGGTTTAGGCTGAAGTTAAAGGTCGCGTAAACCCGGGGAAACGATTCCTTTCCCTCCAAGCCCTGCGCAATAGCGGAGACGGCGAGGACGATCTGAAACGCACCAAGCTTAAGTGCTCGACTTGTATAGTGCTGCGACCATGCTGTGCGCGAACCCTGATACCGCTTCCGCAGGATTTCGCGCATTGCGCCGAATAACCAGGGCCAGAAGATAGAATTGATAGAAAATCCAATAAACAAGAGCACAGCATCCACGTACATATCAGACGTCCAGTACAAATAGGGCACAATAACAATTTGGGGGATCCACCAGGCGCGCATGAGTTTAATTGTCCGTCGTCCGGCGGCCTCGGAGTCGAGCGCACCGAAGATCAGCCCCGTGAACGCAGTAAAGCATAGCGGGTAGACGCAATATTCGATTTGCGACAGATTACCGTGCACTCCCGTCGTGAAAATGCTCGCCACCATCGATACGCAGACGTAGACCAGCAGAATTGTCGTAACGCACGTCACCCGGGCAAACACGGCGGCCGGCAGTTCCTCCTCCTCCTCCTCGACGCGCGACGGCTGCCCCTGGAGCTTGGCCAGCAGCCGCTCCTCGAGCTGCGCGAGCTCATCGGCCGTGACGGCCATTATTTGTGGCCGCAATCGCGCCGAGGCTGCCCCAGTGGTCGGTTCTGCAGCTCTTTGGTCGCACCGCTGCAAATAGGCAGCCCCGGCGTGCTACACAGCGGCGCCGAGCGCGCTGCGAGCAGGGTTCGGGGATTCGAACGGGCGCCGCGGATTATCCCTACGACACACCTCACCACGCGGCAGGAGACCCTTACGCCACGCCTAAATCAGCCGGCGACGCGCGTCGCCGCCGTGAGCTCCGACACGAAGGACAGGTCCGCGACGGGCGGCTGCGTCGCGCGCGAGCTCGTCGAGCGGCCCGACGTCTCGATGAGCTTCTTCGTCGGCCGCGGCGGCGTCTGGGGCGCGCGCACGTCGACGACGATCGGCGATTTTTCTGTTGAGAAGCGCGCCGCCGCTCTCAAACATTTCCGCACGCCCGACCGCGCGTCCTTTAAGTAGGAGGCGACGCGGACGTCCGGCGCGTCGCCCGGCAGCGCATTTCCGGACGGGGGCGTGTAGGCGTGTATTCTGGAATCGGGCAGGCGCAGCTCGAAGCAGCCCGTGGCCAGCGAGTAGCGCGCCGCGCAGCCGTCGCGCCACCGTAGTCGGACATCCGCGAGGGGCCCGTTGCTCATGAGCGTGCACTCCACGTGACCGTAGCGGCAGACGACCCGCGGCGTCCGCGACCGTACTAATGTGATACACTTCGCCAGATGACCGTATAAAGCTTCAAAGCGCGCCGGCAACGCGTCGACCGTCCCATTATATAATTGGAGGCCGTTCGCCGCGACGCGCACCCTCTCATCGGACGCCTCCATAGTTACCTGACCGCGCGCGCCGAGCCACGCGATTCTCGCGACGCCGTCTCGGATGCATACCTGCTGTTTCGGCGTCGTCGCCTCGAAGTCCAAATCCGAACAGTCCGCATTGACACGTTCCGACGCCTTGGCCTCCCACCTTTCATCTGTTGTACTACGCCACGCGTCGCAGAGGAAGGGGTCCCTTAAAGCTTCGGAAGCCGACGGCCGTTCGGCAGGATCCTTTCGCAACAACCTCCTTATGAATGACGCCGCCGGCGCCGATAACGAGGGGGAGATGTCACCATCCACAACACGATTCTTGCCACCCAACGCCGCGCGAGCCTTCGCCTGCACCGGCGCCGGGCAGCCCGCCAACAACGCATGAGCTAGACACCCGACACTCCACAGGTCCACGGCCGTGTCATGTGCTGTTTCACCATTGACAATTTCGGGAGCCACGTAATTTGGCGTGCCACACAAGGTCCACCGCTCGCCCTCATCTATGGACGCGGCCACCCCAAAGTCGCAGAGCTTCGTGCGGTGCTTGTCATCGAGCAGAACGTTCGCTAATTTTACGTCGCGGTGGACGAGATTTTTTGAATGTAAATATTCGAGGCCTTCGAGGACGCCCCGCAAGTAAATCTTGGCCTCCTCATCCGACAACTTACCTTTCCGCTTCAGGAGCTGCCTCAGATCACTGTTCGAGCAGTACTCTAGAATTAAACAAACGCCCTCGAAATTATCCTGCGAATCGTCCTCCGTGCCCAGGCGTTCTTCGTTGAACGCAAAGCTCCCTTCGCACCTTACGATCCGTTCGTAGTCACAAGCGGAATGAAGGGCGACCTCCCTTTCTAAACGCTCTCGGTCCACTCCGGCCTCGCGCAGCTTCCTGGTATCCACGACTTTCAGCGCGACGGTCCTTCCGGAAGCGCGCTCGACGGCCCTATATACGGTAGCGAAGCCGCCGCGCCCCAGGTAGGCGCCAACATCAAAAGCGTCCATAGGGCGCGCGCTTGCGGTGCTGCTCTAGGCGGTTTTGCGGCGCCGGCGGCTAATCGCGGTTTCGTATGCAGCGCGCAGCACGAGGAGGCCACTGTGCTTGCTACTTTGTCGTTTGCTGGCTTTGGTGGGCCCAGCTGTTTGAATTTTGTGAGGTGCGCGCCAGGCTAGCGTCGCCTTTGACCTACTAGAGTTTGAACGGGAAGCCGCGTAGTCTGCCCCAAGCGTCGTCCATTCGCTCCGCGAGGACTCCTGGCTCGCGCACGGGACAAACACGTGCAATTTTCTAAACATTAGTCACGACGGCTTCCGCCGCCGCGCGGGCAGCTCACCACTAATCCGCGCGCGCGCGAGCTCGTCGCGCCAGTAGGCCCGCGTGAGCCGCCGCCAGTCGAAGGTCCGCGTTTTTAGTTGAGCGAGCTCCCGTTCCAAGAACGGCGCGGAGACCTCGGCCCACGACCGCACCATGATGTAGGGCAAGCCAGACAACAACTCCACAGCCAAGGGCGAATACTCTAGGAGAGGCACGGCGCCACATAATAGGGCTTCGTAGTGGCGGTAGCAGTCGACGCCCGACCCGGGCGGCGACAGCACGATCGCGTGGCGGAAGAGGTCCCCGACGTATGTTTGCGTCCCAGAACGCAGTGCTGCTTTCCCCGCATAGGCGTTGGGCAGCGCCTGCCCCAGCGCCCGGCGCAAGTGTCCCAAAATGCGCTCGCGGTAGGGTCGGGGCTTGTGGTTCACATATATCTCCGAACTCCGAGGGCCGCGCTTTGCATTAACCCAGGCCGCCTCCCGTTCTAGATGAGGCGAGAGCGCCCTTGGTAAACCCAGCGGCACGTGGTGCAATTTCGGGTGCAGCACCCAGTCCGTCGACCGCGTGACGTCGCCCACCGCATCATTACTGTAGCGGCCCCTCCCATTTCCACCCGTAATGACCACTCGCGGAAAGTGCTGCGCCACGAACCACCTTCGTAGTTTTGGATCCAAGAGCAGCGCCTCGAGGTCGCGGTCGGTCTTCCCACACGTCCTCCCCAACGTTCTCAACGTCGCCGGGTGGAAGGGGCTGCCGAAGGCCGCCGACCCAAGGCTCAACAGGACGTAGGCCTCGACGTGCTCTGGAACGCCCACCTCCAAAAACGCACAGAGCGCCGAGCAGTTCTCGAACGTGGCTTGCAGGTCGATGACCGGGACGTTTGACGTGATGCGTCGCGAGAAGGCCGCCACCACTTTATCGGCGTCGCCGGCCTCAAAAGTGTAGTCCGCGTTGTCTCGCAAATACTCGAAGCGGTCGTCGACGAACGTCTCGGCGAGCGCTTGCGGCGTCGCTGGTTTTCCGAGCGCATGAGTTAGTTGCCTCAACAAAACGTCGTCGTCGGCGGTGGCTGCCGCGAGCAGCAGCAGGACGAGGGGCTTCATTTTCCCATAATGTCTTTGGGGGCAGCCGGGGGCAGCCGCACGAATGCGTCGCGGAGCACTGCTTTTCTGGGTCTTGCGGCGCACCAGCTAGATGCCTGGCGGACGAATGTCTGTGTGCAGGCCTCCGCCGCGCTCGAGTCTAACAGAGCTAGTGTGTCGCTACACTAGGTCTCACTCCTCTGTTTTACCGCTGCTAGAGCGCATCGATGCAAAAAACGGGCCCGCAGTGCATGCCAGCCTCTAAATTTGATCGCTGACTAGGCAGCATGCAGTCCGACGGCGATGCGGCCGGCAGCGATGCGGCCAGCAGAGTAGACCAGGCAGACAGTGTGCCCTGGGCCCGCGTCACAGCCTGCGCTGGCGTGTACACCGCGCCGACGGCATTAGTGGTGGCACCAGCGCTGGCCGATGCGCGCGTGCTGGCTGCGACGGGCTGGGCGCCGGGCGCATTGACGCTGGCGTCGGGACTCATGTTCGTCGCGAGCGCGCCGGGCGCCATCGTCGGCTCAAGTGCAGCTGACCGCTTCGGCCGGCGGCCCGTCGCCTTCTGGACGACCCTCGGCTGCGGCATTTGCATCGCCGTCGGTGCCGCGGCGCCACGACAGGGTGCTCTGCTCTACGTCGCCATGCGCGTGATAGGTGGCGCGGTCAGCGGTGGCACGGCGCCGACGGCGTTCTCGTGGGCGATGGAGTTGACTCCCCACAAAGCGCGCACGCGCGCGACCACGGCGATGAACGTGCTGTGGGTGCTGGGCCCGCTCCTCATCGCGGCGTGGCACGTCGTGACAAGGCGCCTGTCCTGGCGCGTCGAAGCTCTGGGCCTCGCGGCGTTTCCGCTCGTCGCCGCGGCCGTCGCGCGTGTATCCGTACCGGAGTCGCCGGAATTCCTCGCGACGCGCGCGGCGCCGCCGCCGCAGCGCGAGCCCGAAGTCTACGGGATCGTGGGACACCTCGACCCCGACGTCGCCGCTGCCGACGCCGTCGCGCCGGCCGAGCCGCTCGAGGCGCCGCGCTCGCGCTCGCCCCTCGCGCGATTGTGGCACGAGCATCGGCGGCCGCTCGTGCCGCTGATCCTCAGCTGGGCCTGCGTGTCGGCGTCGTATTACGGCCTGGCCTACTCGGCGGGCGCGCTGTCGAAGCGCGTCGTGCTGAACTTCGTGCTGCTGAACGTCGCGGACGTGCCGGGATACTTCGCCGCGGGCTACCTCACGAAGCTCGGAGGTACGGAGCCCGTGATGGTCCTGTTCTCTTGTCTAGCGGGCGTGAGCCTCGTGCTCGTCGCCCTAAAAGCGCCGGCGGGCGTGGGCATCTTCGGGAAATTCTGCACGGCGGGAATGTTTCAGCAGATCTACGCGATGACGACGGAGCGCTTCCCCGCCGAGGTCCGGGCCACGGCGTTTGGCGTGTGCCGCGTCGCGGCTATGTTGGCGACCTTCTTCGCACCACCGCTCGCGAGGACCGCGGAGAGCGACGCCGCCGCCTTCCTCGTTTTCGCATTGATGGCAGGCGTAGTAGCTGTCTGTGCGCTCGTGCTCCGGCCGCGACGGGCGAGTAGCTCCCCGGGCGGTGGGGGGGGCTATTAGCGCTCCGGCCGCGACGGGCGAGTAGCCCGTCGAACTAATGTAGTATCTTGTATGTTCAGGTTATGGACAGGACGACGGGGGACAACACAGGGGCGGGAGCATAGACAGTCATGGGGGAATCAGAGGAGAACGAATTTTCAGCGCGCCGCGAGGACGCCGACGGCCCCTATCGGCGTGCCGTCGAAGACGTCGACGCAGCCGTCGGGCACGGCCTGGTCCACGAACATCGGCGAGAGGCCCGACGCCGCGCCGAACGCGTCGAGGAAGTGGTCGCGGCCGCGGCGGCCCGGGTCGCAGACGACGAACTCCGGCGCGCCGGCGCCGCAGGCCGCCGCGCCGAGCAGCGCTCCTAAGGCGGTGGCGACGTCCGTGTCATACAACATGTCCGCGCACACGACGACGTCGAAGCCCCTTATATCATCGACGGCCGCGTAGGTGACGTCCAGGACGGCCGTCGCGAACGACCCCGCGTCGACGGGCGCGTGCGCGCTCCGGGCCGCCTTCAAAAACGCGAGCGGCACGGCCTCGACGTCGGTGGCCACGACGCGCGGCGACTCGAGGACGATCGACGCGTACAACGACGGCAGGCCCGCGCCGCAGCCGAGCTCGAGCACCGTCGGCGGCCTCTTGCGCTCCGACGCGATCCTTTCGAGCGCAGCGCACGCGGCATAGGCCGACGGCCAGACGCCGAGCGCGCCGTGGGGATCCTCGAGCTCCTCGAACGCCCTATAGCGCGGGTGGTCCGGGTGGGCGACGCTGTGGAGGTTGTCGACGCTCGGGTCGTCGCTCACCACCAGACACATGAGCTCCCGGCCCTGCCACGTGCTGCGTTTCGGCGTGACGGCCCAGCCATCCACCGAATCGGGCGCGACGGGCGCGCGGACTGGCCGCGGCGCCGTGGCCGTGTAGGCACAGGCGGATAACGCCAGTAAATTTAAAACAAAGCCGCGGCAGACGCTGCGGCGCCGCGCGCTGGCGGCGTACAGCATTCTGCACGGCCTCTGTCACCCCCCCTCTACTTGCGGAAGGCGCTACGGCCTTTTTCCGTGTTGGGTCGGTCAAACTTTCTTTCGCCTGAGCCGTTGATTAGGTAGCTATAACACACTAGGAAATGGATCGGAAAGTGAACGCTTGTGGATGGTAAGGAAGCCAGGAAGCGCCCTGTGGGCCTCAACTCAAACCGCCTCCGCCCAGTAACGCGCGCCCGCGCACGGCGCGCCACATGAGACGGGATAGAGAGTAGATAGAGAGACAGGATTTCCAGGCAGGCGCCGCCCGCCGCACTCCCCAGGAAACTAACACATCACGCCTTACCCTCTTTCCTAGCCTTCTTCGCCGCCTTCTTCCGCCGCTTCTCCTCCTTCCGCGCGCGCCGCGATTCAGCGTCCTCCTCAACGGGACGCTTCTTCGTCGGCGAACTCCCGCCGAGGATAGCCCTCATGTCATCGCCAGACACGGTCCGCACGTCCTTCTTCTTGTGGTGCGCGCGCTTCGCGATGAAGCGCCCCCCCGCCTTGCGCGGCGGCGGCGGCGCCTCCGCCTCCTCCGCATCATCGCCGCCGTACTTCGACGACAGCGCGGATAACGCAGCAGCAAACCCCGCGCTCGTCGCGCCGAAGGCCGCGTTGCCGCCACTATCGCGCGCGTGCTCCGCGCCAAGACCCTCGTTTTCTCTCCTCTTCACCACAGCGACGTGGTCCGTGATGCCCTGCTTGTTCTTGCCCAGGCCCTCGCCCTCCTTCCAGCCCATACTTTGCATCATCTTCTCGGCTAGCGAGCCCTTGAGCGCCGACTGCTTCTTCGTCGGGACGGGCGGGCCCTCGTCATCACTATCAGCGAGGGCGACTTTCGGTGCCTTACTCGAGCGCTTCTTGGGCAGCTTCTTCTTCTCCTTCTTCTTTTTGTCGGTGGCCATCGCGGTGCAGCGTGCAGCGTCCGCAGTTTTATGTTCGTTCGTGTGCTGCTCGCACAGCGAGCAGCGTGCCGCAGCGATGTCGCTCGATGCGGCGGCGACGGTACCAGCTATGCCTTCGCGCGTGCGCGTGCAGCAATATCGCTCGGTGTGTGGAGTGCTGCAGTTGTGGATTAAACGCGTAGCCGCAGGCGGCACTTACTGTGCTGAGCAGTAGCGCGACCAGTGCGCCACGCGACCGTCAAATGCACCTCTGTTGGGGGCTCGCACGGCAAGTTTGTCGACGAAAAACCTAGGTGTCGACACACTAGTTTTCACCACGGCCGAGCGTGGCTGGTTGGAGGGGACAAACGAAGGCCTGAGAACGCTGAGGACTCGAACGTATCCAGCCGTACCGCTTGCGCCAGTCCTGCAGCCCCAAATCGGCCGAGCAGCGCTCCAGCTCTCTCAAGCTAGGTGCTCTCCCAAGGCGGAACGCGACGACGGCTCGACCACGATGCTGCTGACTCGCAGAGCGGCATGTGCGGCGCGACAGCACCAGCTCCTCGCGTCGCGAGCAGTCGCCCCGCCGCACGCCCGATGGCGCGGCCTCGCGACGGCGCGGACCAGCAAAAGCGGCGCCACCCCATCGCCAGCACGCAAGGCCAATTGGGCCTCGGACGAGGTCCGCCGCCTCGCCGAGGGCGGCGACGTCGCGAAAGCGCTGGACCGCGCGAAGGCGAGTCGCGTGGACCGGCGCGCCTGGTTTACTGTATTGAAGGCCCTGAACCGCCGGGCCACGACGCATACTATCAGAGGGAGCCGCATCCCGCGCATGGCGCGGCTCGCGTTAACGGAGATGGCGCGGCAACGAATGCAACCGGAATCGCGCGACGTCACGGCGGCGATCAACGCGTGTGTAGCAGCCGGTGCGCCATCAGATGGGCTCGACCTCTTCCGCCGGTTCGGTCAGGACGGAGACACGCGGCTGCGCAACGCCGCGCTGCGGGCGGCGAACGCGGCCGACGACTTCGACGAAGGTGCGATTATACTGGAAGGCATGGACGCCTGGGACGACTGGACGTACGCCTACGCGGCGCAGCGCCTGGCCAGGAAGGGCGACGTCGACGCCGTGCGGCGCCTCGTCGATACGGCGAAGGGTGAAGACGGCGCGGCGCGCGAGGTGCTGCGCAACGCTTTAGTAAGAGCCCACGCGAACTGCGGCGACGTCGACGGCGCCGTCGAGGCGGCCGCCACATTGTTCCCCGGCGCGCTGCCGGCGCGGACGCGGTCCGTGCTCTCTTCGCTGCTGAGCGGCTCGTCGGCGGCCGGCGACGCCCATCTTGGGGAAGAAGACGTCGAAACGGACGACGTCCTCGACGCCCGGCGCATGACGGTGCCCGACGCGCGACGGGCCGTGCTGCTGGCGTTGCGGAGACGGGGCGAGGCGGCCTTCGCCGGCGCCGCGCTGGAGCCGCTCGTCGTGCGGTGCGGCGCGCCGCGCGTGCACTCGCCGCCGCGACGGTGGCGCCACAAACTCAAGGACCGCGGGGCGCTGCGCAGTGCGTGAATCAAATTGTCGCGGCGCGTCTGCCGAATCATGACCTCCACGCCATCGACGCGACTCACTGATGGATTTATTTGCACACAGGCACTGCGGCGCGGCGTGGAAGATCTGCTCGGCGACCTCGGTCTGGCATTTGTGGGGGGCGGCGTCGGCGTCGTGCGCGTCGAAGTAGAGGCGTTGGACGCGTACTTCGAGGCGCTCGCGCTGCGCCAGACGCGGGATTCGCTGATCCGCGCGTCGCTCGTGCGCCACGCGGCGCTGCCGGGCGGGGCGCTGCTGGCCATGCTTGTGGCGCCCAAATTGCTCCCTTTTGTTTGATTGATTAATGTGTTATTCTTCTACGGCGAGCGCGTCAACCAACTCGTCGCACGCGTCAAGCGCCGCGTCGACGGTCCAGCTGCCGCCAAACGGGTCCTCGAGGTCGTCGACGAAGCTCTCGAGGAGGTAGAAGGAGCACGCGAGGACTGCGAACAAGATCGCCTCGAACTGAGGGCTTCCCAGGTCGACCAATAAGAAGGAGGCGAGCACAATCGTCGAGATGGCCTTAAAAGAAAGGTCGAAAATCCTCGGAAGCGTCGTCGCGAGGCTCGCCGCACGCGCGACGCGCGCGGCCGCGACGCGCCCGTAGGCTGAGGAGAAGTATTTCCCGAGCTCCTGCGTGGGGTGCGTGTCGCGGCGACGGCGTCGAGCAGACACTGAGTCGGTACCGGCGCCTCGACGGCTGCTACTGCCTCCAATTCCGCGACCACGCCGACGAGGTCTCCGAGGACCTCTTGGCCATCGTCGGCGCATGGAACAAAGCCAGTATCTCGTAGATTGAGCGCATGCGCCTGCAGCGCGAGCGTCGTCGAGACCGAGTGGTTGCCGATCGCGCCGCTCAGCTCGTAGAGGTCCCGGACCGCGTAGGCCTCCGCGAAGAGGTTCGATAGAATCAATTCCTGGCGCGACAGGTAAAACGAATAGATATTCGAGAGGATCGTCGAGTACACCAAACCGAGCAGCGTCGCGAAGGGCCCGAACGCCGCGACGGACTCCGATCGAGAGATGCCGAGCTGCTTGACCATCGTCGCGTCCAGCGCCTCGGAGCCCAGTATGTACGTCGTGTAGGCTGCGGCGCCGACGCCGGTCATCGTGACGAGCCGCTCGAGGCGCACGCCGCCGACCTCCCAAGGGCGCGGCGCCTCGTCGTGTTCGTCGTCCTCGTCGTAGAATCCTTTCGCGACGGGCAGATCCCGCCGTCGTTGCGCGACCGGCGGCGGGACGACGAGTGCACTAGCACATGAAGCAAGCAGGATGAGTTTCATCAGTTCTGGACGTCAACTAATGCTACTTTTGGGGTGACATCTCGCCAGGGCGATCGAACGGAGCCTGGCAAATGCCAATGTGTCTTGACGAGGCAGGACGAGCCAAATTTTGCGAATATCGAGCTGAGAAAAACCCGTACAGTCCGATACGGATCGGTCCCGGGGGAGCGGGAGCGCCTAGGGGGCGCGCGACTAGAAACCCGAACCCCCAATACGCCATCGACGCGAAAGATGACCTATGTACCCGCTTCTTACGCCGACTAGGACGCCCCCGCCTTCGCCGCCGCGAGCCGCCGCGCCTCCTCCTGTTCTCGCCGATACGCGGCCCGGATCTCCTCGACCTTGGCGTCGGCTTTTAGAGGCGTGGGTTTCTCCGAAGCGTCGTCCTCCGACAAGGAAGGTAGTTTGGGCGGCGCCCTCTGTATATTCGGCATGCCGCGATGCAGCCCCAACCCCCGCAACACGTCACCGTCGTCCCGGATCTCGAAGGGCGCCGAGAAGTCGAAGAAGACTTCACGACGATCGTCCGTGACTTCGCACCGGACCGTGGTCGACGCGGGCGTCGCCACGACGATGAACGGCAGAGCGAGCGTCGCGTTCGCCTCGGCATCCCCACCATCCTCGTCCATCAGATCTTTTGAATTCTTCGCCTCGAGACCCCTTCTCTTATTCAGCTTCGCTAAGTTTTGTAAAGATGCATGTTGAGTTAATAGCTCTTGCAGATGTCGCCGTTTTCTCCGCACGTCCACCGCGGCGCGATCCCTTCGTCGCCGAGCGTCCTCGCGCATGGATTCTTGTTTCGACGGCAGGCCGCACCATCTTATTTCTTTTTTCTCCTTGCTAATAATACCCATGGCCATCAAGACATTAAGAGCATCATAAACGCGTCGCCGGATGTTCTTCTCGTCGAAGGACGCGCCGTTGCCTCGCAGTGACGTGAACTCCTGCACGAGGTCGTCGGCGACCTCGTTGTAGGTCGTCACGCCGCGTTCTTCGACCTTCGCACATACTCTCCTCGAGAAATGCCGTAAGCCTCTTTTATCAGCGTCTACTTTCGGCGTCTCCGTTCTCCGGCGCTTCGTCTCCGAGGGCGGGGCTTCTGCCCTAGAAGATCGACGGGTCTCTCGGGGAGACACTCGAGTGCCTCTGCTCGAGGGTCTTCGCGCCGGTGGATCGATAGCAACAGGTGGTGGCTTCGGCGCCGTCGGCGTCTCGGGCGGCGGCGGCGGGGGTGAGGCCTTGGCCTTCGGCGCTTTCGGAGTGGGAGGCGGCTGGACGTAGGCCGCCGGGAGCAGGTTGTTCGCGTCGACCAGCCCGAGCTCTCTTGCTACGTTGCCGAAGCCCGTGGCCTCGATGAGCTTGACGAAGTCCTTGTTTTCCATGGCTTGTTTGGTGCTGCGCGTCTGGGTGTCGACGCCTTTTGCTCTTGCTGAGCCTGGGGCCTCGGGAGAGTGCTCTCCGGTGCGTTCTGGGCGCTGCGCGTTCTGGTGTGGCCAGCACGCGCTGGTAGATGTTTCTTGAGATGATTTCTTCGGTGCTTGCTCCGGTGGGAGGTCGCTGCAATTGAGAGAGCTAAATGCGCGCCGGCGCCAAGGTTGTCAAACGAGATGGCGAGGAAGCCGTCCGAAAGCGTATAAGCAGGATTCTTAGAGGTCGAATTGACAGGTTGTTTGCTCCTCAGGGCCGCTCGATATAGTGCGGGTATTCACTCATTTGGTTTGCCATCAAGCAGCGGCCGTAAATCAGCGCACCGCAATCACCGGTGCGCGGAGACCGGCCTCGCGCAGTCTATTTAGACTGCAGATAGGCCTGCGCGCTAAAAAACGCGCGCGCGCCGACCGCTCGGCTGCGCAAATTCGTATTCAAAACCAAGCTGCACAACCGAACAATGTGCCGCATCGCTGGAATCAGCGGACGCGCGCCTCCCTGAGGGCTCAGCAACGATCCCGTGAGCCGCCGCGGACCACTAACAGCCAGCGCGCGCCTCCGTCAGGGCTCAACAAGCACGTGAGCCGCCGCGGGCCCCGCACAACTCAAAATCATGGCCGACAACCACGCACTCGCGCCAGCCCCGAAGAGGCCGCGTTTAGAAGCCGCCTTAGTGGAGGCGACAGCGGCCGTCCAGGAGGCGCGCGGGCCCTTTACGGCGCAAGAACGCGACGCGCTCGTCGAGGCCGTCGAGAGCTGCGCGCAGGCGCTCTGGAGAGATGCGGATTCACAGGCGGCCCGAGCCCGAGCCCCCGAAGCCTCGGTCGACGACGTCGCCCAAGCCCACGCGCGGCGACGGCGGCCTCCGTCGAACGGCCCAGACTACTGTCGCATGGCGCTCAGACTGTCCATGTCGGCAGGTGCTTTACGAAACGTGCCGACTCGCGAGATTGCTAGAGCTTGCTCTTGGTTATCACCGAAGGATTTAGCATCTCTAGTGTCGCTGTCGTGCTGGCGCCTTGCGGCGGACCCGCACGGGCTGGGGGCGCTGACGGTGTCTTTATCTGTTGCCGAATCCTGCAGGACTCTTGGAGCTTCGTGGGTGCCGCCCCCCAAGCAGAACGTGTTGCAGCCGCTCGCAGTCGTCGCGGAGGCCGACAGGGCTGTTGGTGATGGCGCTCGGTGCTTAGCTGCGCTGGACGCGCTGCGGCGGGATTGTGGCAGAGCGCACCGGACGGCTATGGACGCCTTATCGACGTTCAAGAGGACTCTCTTCGGGCGCCAGGCGCCGTCGAACGAAGACGCGTCCGACGACCTCGGGGCACTCGTGGCGCTCTCGACCGCGTCGGAGGTCGGCGCCGCCTCTACCTTGTCTAGAAGGGTCCGTGCTCTCAGTTCTCTGGTACAGCGCTGCGCCCACGACGCCGCCGACGCTCCCAGCATACAAGCGCTGCTCGACGCCGGCGTCCCCGAGGCGCTGAAACGGGCCTGCGACGACGCCGACGACAGCGATGATGGTGTTGATGCCGCGTCCGAGGCCGTCCAGGCCGCGTCGGTCCTACTGCGGGCGCTGCCTGCGTCGGCCTCGTCGGCGGCGAGCGACCGCCTCTTGAAAGTGGGTGGCGCATCTGTTCGAGCTTTGGCCAAGGCGATCGAGCGCGGGTCGAGGGCCCACCGCCGCGTTTTGTTACTCTGCGACGCCTGCGAGCAGGCCCTCGGCGGACCTTCTGTAACATCGACGGAGATCACGTCGGAGACGCCTGCCTGGGCTAGGGCGGCGCGGACAACGGTGGCAAGGTCGCTCGTCGCCGACGAGCGCTTCGAGACCATCGCTCACGCGGCGCTGAATCGGGCGGACTGCGCGCAGCGCCTCGCGACCGTGCTGAGTCGCGTTGCCAGCGGGTCCGACGCACGCGCGGCGCTCGCGTCCGCTCCCCGCTGTATGCAAGCCGTGGAGCAATTGGCGAGGGCGCCCGCCGCGGCTGGGGCCGCTCGAGACGCGCTCTGCGATGTTGCGGCCGCTTTGGCACGCGCGACGGTGGCGGCCGCGCGGCGGGCGGCCCGAGACGAGAGGCGCACTTCACTTGTGGCGTCGCCGTCACCGGAACATTATCAGATCTGCGACACGTACGCGCCGGACTCGGACGCTTCGGACCCGGGTCCGAAACCGAACCTCCGCAAGCCACGGGCCGACTGGGCCGTCATCGGGAAGCTGGAGTTCTCCGACGACGATGGCGACGGCGCGCAGCCTTGACGTGCGGCGGGCCACCCTCTTTACGCGTCGCGTCGACGGCGTGGTGGAGCACGCCGCCGTCGCGCAAGCAACTAGTAATTACCAGACAACGTTATTTATAATAGATGCGTCTTCTTCCGCGTAGACCTCCGTGGGCTTCGCGGGATGTTGTTGTTCGACGTTCGCACGGGCGGTGCGTCACTCTTCCGCGGACCAGGCGCGGGATGTTGTTGTTTCGACGTTCGCACGGTCACCGACCGGCTCGCCGCGAGCGCCGCGGCGGCGGCGGCGGCGGCGGCGCCCGCCCGGCCGCCATCGCCGCGATGTTGGCCTCCTTGCGCGCGGCCCACATCGACCTTTCGTCGAGGTCTACAGCAGCGAGTTCGGCGACGCGCTGCCGCTCGTCCTTCGAGTCGTCGCCAAGTAAAGCGACAGCCGCGGTATAGCCCGCCTTCAGCTTCTCCAAACCACCTCTTTCCAGCGTCGCGGCCGGGTCGTGCGGCCCCCGCGAGTCGAACGTGCGGAAGGGGTCCTCGACGGACAGGCGCCCGAGGCACTGCCTGCGACTGTCCTCGTTCTTGAAGGTCCAGCGGTCTTTTGAGATCAAATACGCGCCCCTATCTCCATCATTCCTCGAAGCCGTCGGCCTTGCCCTACAACATAGGCAATACGCGCCGTCGTCGTGGATGACACTATTCATATACTCAAAATAGCTCCTCACTAATTCGAACGAAGGCTGCTTCGGCGGCGACCAGCCGACCTCCTGCCACGAGACATCTATATCCTCCACCATATTAACTGGAGCATCATGAAAATCCCGCGGCCAGAGACCCTTGACGAGACAGAAATGCAAACACGTCAGAGCATGGGCGTAGGACGACAGGTAGCCCTCGGAAGCGTCGTTCAAACCCCTCGACTTCGCCCAGGACTTCACTACCAATACTAGAGCTCGGAACGCCGGCGCCTTGTCGCCATACGCTTTGAGCAGTCGAGAATTGGCGTGGGCGACGGCGTTGCCCGGCACGATGTCTAGGGCAATCTCTGAGAACCCCCTCTCGTTGGGGTTATAAACGCACTTGACCAGAGGTACGCGCGCGTGCCTCACGACCTTAAAGTCGCCGAAGCCTCTAGCGCGCTCAAGCGCACTTTTCATAGGGTAGACGCAGCCCGCGTTCTTGAACTTCTTGTCGTCGGCCTGTTCTCGTAATTCCATCACTCTATCTATGATTGAAGTATTTGCTTCCTCGAGTTCCCGTACCACCTCCTCCAATTTCGGGATCTCCTCGCAGACCGACCGCCACTTGTCCTCGTGTTTTTGCACCTTCTCTATCGTATTGCCGGCGGCCGTCATCTCGACGACCATTTGGGCCTCGCGCTCCTTCTCTCGCATCGCGACGTCGAGCGCCCGCCGCGCCTTCTTGAGGCGCGTGCCTCGCTCAAATAACTCGCCATCAGCATCGAGCTCGCGGGCCTCGCTTAGCAACGCCCGATACGCCGAGGCCTTCTTCTCGATCGCCGGGTCGAGGACACAAAGGTCCAGGTCGGCCGTGTCGGACGTCCGCAGGCCCGACGCGGCACTCCCGAAGACGCCGACGGCGCACCTTCGGAAGGAAACGGCTTTCTGTAAGACGCTCTGGACCCGGGCCCGGATGTCCTCGTCTCGGCGCTCGAGCCGCGGCCGGAGCGCGTCGGCGCGCGCGACGAGCGCCAGGATCGCCGCGGCGCCGTCCGAGGCGGGCGCTCCGATCGGCGCCCACGCGGCCGCGGCGTCGTCGTCGAGCTCCTCGAGGAAGAAGCCGCCGTTGACGTCCGGGCGCTGCTGGAGGCCCTGCGCGGCGAGGAGGTCCGGAGTGAGCCACGCGGAGCCCTTGGGCTTTCGTCCCAGGTGCGGGTGCTCTTTGTAGAAGGCGTCGAGGTTGCGTGAGTGGGTGCGGTCCGGCCGCCGCGCCGCGACCCAAGCACTCAACGCCGCCACGACGGCCTCGCGCGACCGCGCGCCGGCCCGGGGCGACCCGTTGGACGACGGCGGCGCCGGCGGCGTGGCGGGCCGCGGCGACACGCTTCGCGGCTTCCGCGGCGACACGCGCGCCGACAGCGTCCGGCCGGCGAGCTCGGTGCCGTCCAGCTTCCGCGCGGCGGCCTCGGCCTCGGCGAGCGACTTGAACGCCACGTCCGCCGACAAAGCGCCCTTTTTATAGAGAATGATGCGGCCGACCGAGCCGCGCTCGGTGACCCGCTTGACGTGTTTCGTTACGTCGCCGGTCTTCGTCGTGGGCGGCAGGTTGCGGAGCGTCACGATCGTCTCGCCGGCCGCGGTGCTGTCCCGCTTCACCGACAGCGAAATCGTCCGGCCGTCGAGGTCGGTTTGGTGCACCTTTTCGATGACGGCCTCGGCCTCGGCGCGCGACGGGAAACAGACGCGCGCGCGGCCGCTACTCCTGCCGTCGGGCCGCATGAGGACCTCGACGCGGTGCTCCGCGACCCCGAGATGCTCCGCGAGCCCGTCGCGCTTCGTCTCGAACGACAGGTTGTGGACGGTGACGAGCACGGCGTCGCCCGCGTCGCCCGCGTCGGCCTCGGAGGGCTGCATGCCGGCCAGCGCTGCCCTCACTGCGGTTCTGGTTGCATAGATGCTCGCGGCGGGCGCGGTTTCAGTGGCAAAGACCATTCACGGTGTGAAACCCTGCCCGGGAGAGCCAACTCGTACTTATTTGAATTCTATCGGATGGCTTGCAAAGCTGCTCTGCCGCAGCGCTGCTGAGGGCCTTGGAGAGTCACCGCTGCGACCTAGACGTGCCTAGGCGCAACACTAAGCCGCTGGCGCGAGCTTGGCCGCTCAGGTGTTTTCTAGTGTGTTACTGACCGCTAGCTGCGCAAATTGCGGCGCATCGCCTTGTGCGTGCAATAGTAGCTTCGATTCCTCCTCGCGGCATCGCGTTGATTGCTAATTGTCCTGCGAAGACGGTGCTTGAGCCGTGCGGCAACAACACACCAGCTACAGCCTCCACTCTCACGAGGATGCTGCTTGTCCTCCGGCGCGCTGCTCCCACGCGTGCGCTATGCAGCCAGGCGCAGCGACCAGCATTCGCGGCGGCAGCCTGCCGCCGCTTCGCCACCGCCGCGACAAAGGAGGACGACACAGTCGTGAAAATCTACGAGGGCCCGCTGAACGCAGCCGTGAAACGCATCCGGCTCGTCTCGCTCACGACGCTGGCGACGTCGCTAATGCTGCCGCCGATGGCTCTCATCTTCAAGTCCTCGGCCACCGTGTCGCTCATGGGCAAAGTGGCCGTCGGCGGCACGGCGATGGTCGCGGGGGTCGGGTCCACAGCTGCATTGCACTTCTGCACGCTCCCGTTCGTCTTCGAGATGTCGCGGGAGGGCGACCGTATCGTCGCGACGCGCATGGACATCCTCGCGCGGCGCGTGACGCACGAGTTTCGAGAGGCGGACGTGAAGCGCGAGCCGACGACGCTGCGACCGTTCGTGACCTTCGAGGCCGCCGGCGAGTCGTTCTTCGTGACGAAGAGCGGCTTCGCGGACGAGGCGGACGCGGATTTGTTCGGGAGTAATTCATAACGTGTTAAGAACCGCGCCAGCGCCCGACGACGGTCCGCTCGCGCGTGCGGCTGGCGACGAGGTGGTGCGCCGCGGCGCCGTCCAGCAGTGGCCGGAGGCGCTCGACGTAGGGCTCGGCCCGCTTGTCGTTGAGCGCCGTCGACTTCGCCGGTTGCGTCAGTTTGATGGCGAGCACGACGAGGGCGCCCGGCTTTAGATGCGGCGCGCAGGCTTCTAAAGCGGCGACTGCATCCCCAGGCTCATGCAAACACATGTCACACACAAAGACGTCGAAGCGTTCACCGTCCAGATCTCCATCATTGCGCGCCGCTTGGGACTTTTTTTGTATGTGCCGGACGCCTGGCCTGGCCCCCACGCTCTCATTCAACGCGCCCGGGTCCACCGCGACGACGCTCGCGCCGCGATCGAGCAGGCTCTCGGTCCAGCCTCCGGGCGCGGCTCCGAGGTCCAGTGCATGTGAGCCGTGGAGGTCTTCAACCCCGGCGAGGTCTAACGCTTCTTCGAGTTTGAAGTAAGCCCTAGAAGCGACCTGTTTCCGCCGCGCCTGCTCCCTGTTCGGCGCAGCGACGACGCCGCAGACGTACGCCCGGTCGACGACCGCGACGTGGGCCTCGAGGTCTGCTTGGCCAGGAGCGAGAGCGTACGCCGTCGCGCCCTCGAGGCGCCGCGTGATTTCCGCCGCCAGCGCCGGGGGCGACGTCCGGACGCGGACCCGCGTACTGGCGCCCGCGGAGGCGTCGCGGAGCAGCTCGTCGATCTCATCAGCGGCCGCGGCGACGTCGGTCACTGGCTTGTGGCCATCGAGCGCGAGGGGCACGCAGACGCCAGCGAGCACGGCGTCTGCCGAGGTCTCCGCGGCGAACGCTGCCGGGTCGCGCGTCCTAAGCAGCAGGAGGCGCTCGACGCCGACCTGCTCGACCGCCAGCGTCTCGTGGCCGCGCGCGGCGAGCCGCGCCGCGACGCGGTCCGCATGGCTCCGTGGGACGACCGCGCCAGCCGTGACGCCGCGAAGCTTTGCACAGAGAGCGTCCCAGGCGGCCGCGGCCGTCGCGTTGCGGTCGTTGATCGACGCGTGCGCCCGCTTCGCCTCGCGGTACGGTCCATTTTCGAGCGCTAGCGCGCGGTTTGCGTCGGCATCCGACTCGAATTGAACGAATGCGAAGCGCGTGTGCGCGTCGACGTCGGTCACGCAGCAGCCGTGCGCCGCAAAGTGCTGCAGCAATGCCTCCGCATTTACGGTGGGTTTCGCGAGAAAAAGGGTCTTTGTTGGGGCAGCAGTCGTCGACAGCGCATTAATGCGAGTCAGGGATAGTGCTAAAACGACGCGTATGCAGGCCATCTCATCAGCGGCCGAGTGAAGTTGAGCCGAGCTAGCGTAAACCCACTTAGAATAGAGCATACTAAAGCTGCACAGCCAGATGGTGCATAAATAGCCGCAGGCGTGCTCCTGTAGTGCTTTTTTCAATCATTGATCGCTGCCATGCCGCCACAGTCACCGCTCGCACTGGCTGCAGCAGCCGCTGCGGGCGCCATGGTCGCGACGCTGCTGGCGCGACGCCGGCGGACGCCTGCGCCATCACGCGTGCGCCACATGGTTTTAGTAAAACTCAAGCCCGGGACGCCGTCGGATGCCGTCGACGCGATGCTCGCCGCGCTGCGCCGGCTGCCGGCCCGGATCCCGACCATTTTAAGGATGGAGGTCGGCCGCCAGGTCGCGAGCCTCGACGACGGCCGCAACGCGTCGATCGGCGGCCTCGTCGAGTTCGCGTCGGAGGGCGACTATAAGGCGTATGCGAAGCACGAAGCGCACATAGCCGTCATCAAGGACCACATCCTGCCGCACATGGTCGCGGGCGGCCGCGCTGCGCTGCAGACTGCCGTCGACGACTGGACGCCGCAGGCCTGGACGGGCCCGGCGCGGACGCGGAATGGACGGCGGCGCGTCGCGTTCGAGATGCGTTTTGATAAGACGAGGCTGGCCGAGTACAAGCGGCGCCACGAGCGGGTCTGGCCCGCGATGCAGGAGGCGCTGGTTCGGAACGGCTGGCACGAGTACTCGCTGTTCTGCGGTTCCGACGGGCGGGCCTTTGGTGTGTTCGAGAGCGATGCGCCCTTCTCCGAGTGCTGCGAAAGGATGGCCCGCGAGGCGGTAAACGAGCGGTGGCAGCGCGAGATGGCTCCGTTTTCCGCGACGAAGGAGCACCCGGACGCGGCCGCGGTCGAGCTGGAGCACTACTTCTACCTCGGCACCGATACTGTGTAATAATACTAGGGAATAGGCTTAATCTTGAAGTGCAGCGAGATCAGGGAAAAGACCGCGCACTTGAGGTCCTGGACGAGGTAGTAGAAGCACCGCAATCCTTCCGGATCTTTCGATTCTTGGACGTCCAGCAGCGAGCCGATCTTGGCGCAGGTGAAGGAGATGTGCTCTCCATTACTAATGACCTCGAGTTCCTGCCTTCCGACCCTATCCGGCTCGGGCCACTCGGAATCGTCCTCCTTCGTGATTTCCGCGTCCGTGATAATCCTTTCTATTTCATCTAACACAGCATCGGACACCGTGACTTCCTTCCTAATCATGGAGTCGTTCTTGTAGTTCGAGTTGTTCGCATATCTCAATTTACCAGTGGAAGCGAACTCGAACTCCATGAACTCGTGGCCGAACTTGCCGCGGTGGCCCACGTAGTAGCGGAGGTAGAACTCGGGTCTCGGCATCGCGGCGACGGCGTGTTTTTTGGCTTTTGGCTGCTCTCTCGTTTGGCTCCGCTCCTCTCGCCGCGGCGGCGTGTTTTGGCTGCTCTCCCTTGGATGACGTCCCCCGGGTGTCGCGCTTTGTGGCGAGCGTTGCTCGCTGGCACGAGGCGTGTCTGGCGTCAGCGTATCGCTTCTAAAAGCGCACAGGACTGCTGTGTGGCACGCAAAAAAGCCGCGGCCTCGGCGCCGAGGCTAGCGTCGGTAACACACTAGGACGGTTTACAGGTTGTAGTCTCGCTATCATCCACACCCAAACCGCCACCTGATTTGCCGCCGCCGCCTCGGAAAACAGGAGACACTCTAGGCCTACATCCAACATGGTCCTGGACGACTGTGGACGTGCCAAAAGGGTACCGGGTTTACCGACGGCGGACTACCGGACGTCGAGTCTACCGAGCTCTGGAACGACAACGGCTGTCTCCAATGCAAGGCCTACAACTCCGCGTGGGATGACTTGAAGCTGGGATATCAGGACCTATGCATGGCGGTTTCCCCCCATTGGGTCGCTTCTCTCTTCGATCAATGAGGGAGCCCCCCTGGCCGGAAGAAGAGGCCCGAACACCCCCAAGACTCCGATACATCACCATCAGTTACCTAAGTACTTACGGTCACCACCTAGAGCCCCAAGACCTCCGCCAGGAAGGCATACGTCAGCGCCCACATGTAGGCGCGTTGCTTGTTGTCGGCGGCGCCGCCGTGGCCGCCCTCGGTGTTCTCCCAATATAAACACAAAGGTACTTTTTCGGAGGGAGCGTCCTCCAACAGAGCCTTGACCATCTTGCGCGCGTGGCCCGGGTGGACGCGGTCGTCGCGTGTAGATGTGGTAAACAAGACCTTGGGGCACGTCCACTTGTCATCAGCTGTACGATCTTCACCATCTTCAGCAATACCGAGGCGATCATGTCTCAGTAATTGATACGGCGAGTGCTGCCGCAGAAACTTCCACTCGTCCGTGTCCGGGTCGCCGTATTCAGCCATCCAAGAAGCACCGGCCAACAGATGCGAGTACCTTTTCATATCTAACAACGGCACCTGGCAGACGGCCGCCCCGAACAAGGAAGAAGCGACCGGTCTCGTGATCATGTTGCCGACCATGAGACCACCGTTCGAGCCGCCGATCACGGCCAACTTTTCCGTCGACGAGATCCCGCGCTTAATCACATCGGCCGCCACGGCCTCGACATCTTCATACGCTTTATAACGCTTCTCTTTCAAAGCAGCTTGGTGCCACGAGGGACCGTACTCCCCACCACCTCGCACGTTCGCGATTACTTTACATCCACCTCTTTCTAACCACCCAATCCCAACTCCAGCACTGTAATGAGGCGTCATGGAGATCTCGAAGCCGCCGTAGGCATCCACGAGAGTAGGCGTACTCCCGTCGAACTTCATGTCCGTTCGACGCTGGACGAAGTAGGGGATCTTGGTGCCGTCCTTACTGGTCGCGAAGTGCTGGTCCACGGTCAAGCCATCACTGTTGAAGAAGCCGGGTTTCGTCTTGACTTGTTGAGTCTTATCTAGTGATGCTGCATCACCAATGTCGAGGGCATCTACTCTAAGGTAGCCGTCGCGCCAGAGCCACACGCGGTCATCTTGATCCGAGAAGCGGTTCAAGCCTTGCACCGAGACATCCTCGCCCACAGCGATGCCGCCACCCGTCGAATGCTCGACGAATTTGTCATTCTCAAAACGCCACGTGACTAGAGTAGAACGGACATCTTCCAGCACCTTCAGCACGAGATAGTTCTTCGTGGCCGTCTCCGACTCCAACGAGCGTGACGCGGTGGGCTCGAACAACACCTGGGCCTTGGACAGATCAGAGGCCATGAGGTCGGAAAACTTGCAACTCAGTAACGACCCCTGCTTGAAGGTCCTCCCGGACACGGTCCAGTCGCTCCGCAGCGTGATCAAGGCCATGGATCCGAACGTCGAGACCTGGGCGTCTTCTTGAATGGGCACTTCCGCGAAGGGCGTGTCGTCATCTGCCGCGGACACTTTGTCCAGATCTGAAGGTGTGCGGTGCCAATATTTAGCAGTATAGAACGTGAGCGACCGTACGCGGAACTCGTGCGCCACCCCATGATCCGTGTACGCGTACTGTGAAGCAGAAATATCAGATTTTTCGCCTTCGAAGACCGTCTTCGCTTCGGACAGGGGCGTGCCGCGCTTCCAGCTGCGACAAACCCGGGGATATCCGGAATCGGTCAGACACTCCCCGTCGCCATCAAAATCCGTGCCCACGAGCACCTCATCCCTAGAGCGCCAGCCGACCTGCGACTTGGCCGGCTCGAGCATCTCAAACCCACCCTCGACAAAACTGTTGGACTTGAGGCAGAACTCGCGCGTCGTGTCCGCGTCCGAGCCTCCTGGGGATAATGAAATTAAACAGCGGTCGAAGTTCCCGTCATCCAACAGGTTCGAGCCGTGCCAGACCCAGGTCTTGGCCGTGTCCTTTGTAGGTGGCGGTAAAGCATCAATGTCGAGCACCGTCTCCCACTCAACATTATCGGACTTGTACGAGTCCAATGAAGCTCGGCGCCAAATGCCCTGCACGTGCTGATCGTCCTGCCAGAAGTTATACAGCTTGTCGCCGATCTCGTAGGCCGCCGGGATCTTGTCCTTGGAATCGAGGGCTTCGAGGATGCGCTCGTAGGTCTTCGTGCCGCGAATTTCACCTAATCTATCTACCGTGACCTTGTTCTGCTGTTCGACCCACTTGAGGTTGTCCTCGTCGAGGACCTTCTCGAGACTCGCGTGCGGGTCGGTGTCCGAGACGCCCTCGGTGAAGGCCGCGCGCGGCATGATGTTCGGCGGTCTACTGCCGCGTGCGCCGCCCAACCGGAGGAGGAACAGAGGGAGCCTCGTGGTTGCTTCGCAACTCTGCGCGCCGCTGTGCGCTGGCGCGCGTGCTGTGGTGGTGAGTGGATAAGTGTCTTACTGCACGGCGCAGCTCGTAGGGCTGGCGCGGCTGCAAGAAGACGTGCTGGGAGGGCTCAAAAAGCTGCGCTGCAAGCTGTATGGTGCTCGTTGCGCAGGGCTCGTGCAAAATCTCAGAGACCAGCTAGCGGCATGTAAGCCACTAGAAAACCGCAGCGGTCCTTCTGCGCGACGGAGCCGTCCCTCCAGAGCGCCGGGGAGCGCTTGGACCTGCGACCAATGGCCGGGAGCCAGGGCCCAAAGTTGCTGTGATGCACTTTTGGAGACGCTAAGTCAGCCGTGCGCAGCGATACGCTGTAGGCGTCGTGGTGCTCGGACTACGCTGTCTGACGGTCTCGACAACGCGCTGCCGCAGTCGTGCAAAACGCGGCTCCAGCTGGACTAGCAGATGAGGAGGACAGCAGTGATGCTGCTGGCAGCAAGGCGGTGCGCGGCGCTCCGACCGGTCGCGCGCCGGCTGACCGTGCCGAAAGCGGCCGCCACCGAAGCACCGGAAGTTGTGGCGGATGAGGATAAATACCGCGGCACCGTTTTGCTCCCGGACACGTCGTTCCCGCAGAGAGCAGGAGCCGTCAAGACGGAACCGAAGATCCAAAAATTTTGGACCGACACGAACATCTACGAGAAGCTCTGGGAGAAAGGCGGTACGGCATTCACGCTGCACGACGGCCCGCCGTACGCGAACGGCGACCTGCACATCGGCCACGCGCTCAACAAAATCCTCAAGGACTTTATTAATCGCAGTCGCATGTTGAGAGGAGATAAGGTCCGATATGTGCCGGGCTGGGACTGCCACGGCCTGCCCATCGAGCTCAAAGTTTTACAGCAAATTAACGACAAAAACAAAAAAATAAAAAAGAAGACGGGCGAGATGCCGCCGCCGCTCACACCTCTACAGTTAAGAGAACGAGCCGCCCAATTCGCCCAGGAGACCGTCGAATCGCAAAGGGAGTCATTCAAGAGGTATGGCGTCTGGGCCGATTGGGACCAGCCTTACTTGACCTTGCAGCCGGCATATGAAGCAGCTCAATTGCGGGTCTTCGCGGCGATGTTCAAGCGCGGGTCCATTTATCGAGGCCTGAAGCCCGTCTGGTACTCGCCGTCCAGTCGCACTGCCTTGGCCGAGGCTGAATTAGAATATCCTGATGGTACTTGTTGCCGGCGTCCCTTTTTGACAAGGTCGCGGCGATGGCGTCGGCGTGGCCGTCCGAGAGTCTACGCGTCTCACGCGTCGCGCGAACGCAGGCCACACGTCGCCCTCCGTCTACGCGGCGCTCGACGTCACTTCCAAGAGTGAAGCATTGCAAAAGCTCACTAGTGATCCAGTGCAACTCGCGGTCTGGACGACGACGCCCTGGACCCTGCCCGCGAATTTAGCTGTTGCTGTCAATGGTGATTTGACGTATGCCGTAGTTGATTCTGGTGAACGAAAGCTCATCGTCGCCGAAGATTTGGTGGACGAACTAGCGGCGAAGTTCGACACTCCATTAAATGTGATTGGCTTGTTGAAGGGCGAGGCGCTCGTTGGGACTACTTATAGCAGACCAGTACCAAATAACGCGATCCCAGGAGACGCGTCCGTCGTTTTGGGGGGAGACTACATCACGTCCGAGGGCGGCACTGGTTTAGTCCACACCGCACCAGGACACGGCCAGGACGACTACCAGACCGGTCTGAAATATGACTTGCCTCCCTTCAGTCCTGTGGACGCTGCGGGCAAATTTACGAGTGAAGCCGGTGCTGACTTGGAGGGCCTACCCGTACTAACGAAGGGGTCGGAGGAAATCACGGAGCGCTTAGGCGACAAGGTTTTATTGTCAGAACCATATGAACACAGATACCCCTACGACTGGAGGACCAAAAAACCGGTGCTGATGAGAGCGACGGACCAGTGGTTCGCTTCTGTTGATAGCTTCCGAGAAGACGCTCTGAGAGCCATCAATGAAGTAGAGTGGACCCCATCGGTAGGTAAAAATAGAATTAGCGCGATGACGGAGCTGCGCGGCGACTGGTGTATTTCTAGACAAAGATCCTGGGGCGTACCTTTACCTGTATTCTATCATAAGGAGACGGGCGAGCCCTTAGTTACGGATGAGACCTTGGATAGGATCGTATCACTCGTCGAAGAAAGGGGTACGAACGTCTGGTTCGAGCTCGAGGTAGACGAGTTACTACCTGATACGATATCAAATAAGGGCGACTACGTCAAGGGCACGGACACGATGGACGTCTGGTTCGACTCCGGGACGTCCTGGGCCGGTGTTGTTGGTCAGAGATCCGAGCTCGGGAAGAGCGACGACGAACCGGCCGACTTGTACCTCGAAGGGAGCGACCAGCATCGGGGCTGGTTCCAGTCTTCACTACTCACATCCGTAGCGTGCAGAAATAAAGCGCCCTATTCTTCCGTATTGACCCATGGTTTTGTACTGGACGAAAAAGGGTTCAAGATGAGCAAGTCCCTAGGCAATGTGGTGGATCCGAAACTAGTGATCGAAGGAGGCAACAACCTGAAGAAGGAGCCGGCGTATGGGGCCGACGTTTTGAGGCTGTGGGTCGCCACGGTAGACTACTCGTCGGATGTCCGCATCGGGCCGAACGCCATCAAGCAGGTGTTTGAGCAGTACCGGAAGTTGCGCAATACGTTGAGGTATATGGTCGGCAACGTCGCTGATGTTCCGAAAGAAGGTAGTGCTGATTTTGCTGCCTACGACGCCTCTGCTCAGTACGATACACTACCATCGCTAGACAAGTGGTTACTGGGACGGTTGAACGCCCTCGAAGTAGAATGCTACGACGCCTACGACCAGTACCAGTTCCAGCGGGCTGTTAATGCCCTATCTGCGTTCGCTACCAACGAATTGTCCGCGTTATACCTCGACGTCGCGAAGGATCGGCTCTACGTCAGTCCGCAGCACTCGGCGCGGCGGCGGTCGTGCCAGAGCGTCTTGATCGCTTGTTTGAATACTCTACCAAGATTATTAGCTCCTCTATTGCCGCACCTCGCCGAGGAGCTCTGGCAGGCGTTACCTTACAAAGCCGGCGACGCGTTTTCTAGCGAGAGAGGCTCGGTCTTCGACCTCGCGGAGCCGTGGACGCGGGGTTCCTTGGCGCCCTTCCAAGCCCACGACGAGGCCAAGTGGGACGCGCGGCGGCAATTGCGCGATGACGCCAATCGGGCCCTCGAGGCGGCGCGCCGCGACAAGCTCGTGGGCGCTTCGTTGGATGCGAAGGTCGTCGTGGCCCCTCCAGCTGACGCAGAGAAGCGCGCGGCATTCGACGCGTCGCTCGCGGGCCTCGCGGACACGTCTCAGGTCATCGCGCCGCACGGCAAGGACGTCGCCGACGCGGTCGACGACCTGCGGTTTCTGTTTCTGGTGTCCGACGTGGAGGTCGTCGCCGATAGCAACGCCGTCTGCGGCGTCTGCGCCGACCAGCACGTCGTCGCGGCCGCGGACTCGTTCACGGGCGCGACGGTCGGGGTCGTCGAGGCGTCGACGGCTCGCTGCGCGCGGTGCTGGTACCACGATAGCACCGTGGGGTCTCTCGCAAACCACCCGGCGCTCTGCGCGCGCTGCGGCGACGCCGTCGGCGACGATGTGTGAGGTAGTCGCTGGGTAACAATCTTAGCACAATTATTCGAGGCCCGCCTCGGCGCGGTCGTCAGCAGCCGACCGTTCCCGGAGCGCCGCCGCGTCGTCGTGGAGGGGGCTGCTCGAGCGGAATCGCGCCGGCGCGAAGCCTGGGAGATGAACCGACTCCCGCGGATGCGGAGGCGGCGGCGGCGGAACTCCCGCGGCCCGGAGCGCCTCGATCGCGGTCCTTGCCGCCGTCGAGCCGCCCTCAACCCAGCCTTCCTCGCGCGGCGCCGGCGCCGTCGCCGGCGCGAAGCCTGGGAGGTGCGTCGACTCCCGCGGTTGCGGCGGCGGCGGTATACCCGCGGCCCGGAGCGCCTCGAGCGACGTCGGCGGATCCCGGACCCGGAGTTCCCGGAGTTCGTCCGCGCGCGCCCGTCGTGCCAACTCTTCGGCTTCTGCTCCCGTCACGACGCCGGCGGCGCGCAAAGCAGCGAGCCTCACAGCGATCGAGCCGCTGTCAACTTCGGTGCGCGGCGCAGGTGCCGGCACCGGCGCCAAAACCGCCGCTAACGGCGCGGGTTCGACGGCCGCCGAAGGCGCCAGAGCCGCGGTCGCGCCCGCCAGCCGTGACAAGTCCTCGGCTTCTGAAAAGAGCGCCCATCTCTCCGGCCTGTTCACCGTGCTCAGCAGCGTAAATACGCCGCACTTGGCGTTCTCGTGGACGACGAGGCCGACGCTTCTGGCTTGCGCCCTAATCGTCTCCTTACTGAGGCCAAATCGCGCTTCGTCTGGGTCCTCGTCGTCCTTACTGAGCGCGAGTCTTCCCTGCGGGCACTTGGCGACGAACGCCGCGAGCGCGCGCATCCCCTCGGTGTCGCGGATCTCGGACACGAGCGGGATAGTCTCCCGGCTTGGCGCGGGCTGATCGGGAAAGCTTCCCGGCGGCGGCGCCTGCGCCAATCTAACGACGCCGCCGCCCGCGTCCTCCCACTCCAGGCCCGGCATCTCCCTCACGAACGCACCAATATTCGCGAAGCCGAGCCGCTTGTAGTCGAACCCGCTGCCGTACTTTTCCCGATAAAGTCTGGAGAGGTCCGAGATGTAGATGCTCCCTCGTTCTGAGAGGAGCTCGCGGACGTGGGTCATTGCCCGCGACTCGAGACGGCGTAGTGCGGCGGGTTCGCCGCGGCGCGAGCTCGACGGCGGCGGTGGTGCCGCGGCGCCGTCGAACGCGGCTTCCACTGCTTGCCGTTGGCTCGCGAGCCATTGATCGCCATCGACCAGGACCCAATGCTCGCCGTCGGCTCGGTCTTGGAAGCGCAGGCCGTACTGCTGAGCACATAGCTCGATAAGCTGCTTGCGCGGCGTCGGGAGCTTGGTCGCGCCTGGCGCGTCGTTTCCGAGCAGCGCCCCGGCGCGATCGACGTACGCGCGGGCCCGCGTCATAAAGAGCGCGAGCGGGTCCGTCGGCTCCGGCGCTACGGGTCCGTCGGAAGCCGGCGCCGCCGGCACCGCGGGAGCGGGCGCCGACGTCGCCGTGGACGGCACCGGCGCGGGCGCGCTCGCCGCCGCCGCGACTTCGATCCAGAAAACGCCCTCAGTCGCGCGGCGCTTGCGGAGGCCGTGCGGCGCGAGCTGGCCGACAGTCAGCCAGTCGAGGCCCTCGGGCACGACGTCACTTCGTGCGCGGTGCCACGCCAGCCAGCGGTCCACGTCCGTCGACCGTGCGCGCGGGTGCGGCAACCCGCCAATCCACGTCGCAAGCGCGTCGACGACTCCATCGCGGGTCGTCGGCGCTGCGGGAGCGGCCGGCGTCGTTGCAGGAGCGGGTGCCGGCGTCGCCGCGGACGGCGCCGCGTGCAAGCGCCTCACATAGGGAGGGGCGCCGGGTTTGGCGACCCAGATGAGGGAGGGCAGCTGCTCGACGAGCAGCTTGAACTTCTTGAAGCCCAGCGCGCGGTAGTCGATGTCCTTGCCGTGGGCCTCTCGGTAGCGGCCGCAGAGTTTATCGGCCATGATCTCGGTCCCGTTGTTGAGCCCGTGACCGTCGATAATCGTCAGGATCTCGCGTTCGACGGCACGCAGAGCCGCCGGCGGCCCCACGTTTTGCGGCGCCGTGCCGCGGGCGTCGCGCGTCGTCGGCTGGTCGCCGGCCACGGCGCGGCGTAGGACAGCGTGCACGGGCTTTGACGTGACGCGCGGGTCGAAGTCAATGCCCGGGAGGTGCTCGACGAGCAGCCTCAGCCGCTCGAAGCCCAGCGCGCGGTAGTCGATGGCCTTGCCGTGGACCTTTCGGTAGGCTTCCGCGAGTTCTCCGAACGCAATCTGGCCGCCGCGGTCGTCGACGACGGCCAGGATCTCGCCCTCCACGGCGCGAAGGGACGCCGGCGGCGCCGCGGCGCCGACCGTCGGCGCGACGACCTCGATAGCATGCTGTCCATTAGTTCGCTGCACGATGCGCAGGCCCTCCGCCGCGGCCACGGGCCGGAGGAGCTTGAGGGGACCGCCGAGGTTAGAAATGGCGAGCGCGCCCCTTCCGCGCGCCGCCGGACTCTTATAGAACTCCGCGAGCTCGTTCGCCTCGATCCGGCCACCTTTGCGAGAAGCGATCCAGCCGCGGAGCGCGCGCGCGAAGGCGACCGCAGTTCCGCCGGACACGCTTGGTTCAGGGCTTGGCGCCGGGGCGGTCTCGATGACGTACGCGGAGTCGGTGGTCTGAGAGACGCGCAAACCCGCTGCCGCGGCCACGGGCTGGAGGAGTTTGAGTGCGCCCTTCTTGGGGATCACGAGGCCGCCAGCCGCCTCGCTTCGGTAGAACTGCGAGAGTTCCGTCGCCGCGACGCGGCCGCCCCTCGAGGCGACCCAGGGGGCGAGCGCGCGCGCGAAGGCGGCCGCGTCGACCTCGGCGTTTTGCGGCGGCGGCGTCGGTTCGCGCCGCAGGATCGCGGTCGGCGCTTGCCGTCGCCGGCGCTCGCGCTCGGCCGCCTCGGCAGCAGCGCGTGCGGCGGCCGCGACGCGTTCGCGCTCGGCCAGCGCCGCCGCGGCGGCCCGCTCGCGCTCAGCCGCCTCCCGCCGCTCGGCGAACGCGAGCGCTTCGATACGTTGCCGAGCCCGCGCCGCCGGCGTCCCGGCGCCGCCCCACGCGGTCACCAGTTTGGTGAGGGGTCTCGGCGCTCCAGTCGCGATGTCGACGGCCTTGACGACTGGCGCTCGACACGTAGGGCACGAGGTGTGCGCTTGTGCCTTAAGAGCGGTCTGCTGCGCCCACCTATCCAAGCAGTCGACGCAGAACTCGTGCGCGCCAGAGCACTCGAGGCGCACCGCGACGGCCGAATCCATGCAGATCTCGCACAGGGTGCCTTCGCCCGGCGGCCCCGTCGGCCAGAGCGTCTCCCCGGAGGCGTCGCGCGGTGGCGCCGGGAGTGGCGGCGCGGCGGCGGCGGGCGGCTGGGCGGGCTCGGGTCGTCGCGGCGCCGCCGGCGAGGGCGTCACGGGAGACACTTCCGCCGAGCCGCGGCTTCTCCGGCGGTCGGCGAGCGCGGCCTCAAATCTGCGCGCAGGACCGATCGGCAGGCCAAGCTCCCTAATATCATCTCTCTCGAGCGTGTCGAGGCAGTCGTCGTCGATGCATTCGCGCCGGCAATTCTCCAGGTAGCGGGTCAAGCCGAGGCGCACGAGGATGGCTTCGAGCTCGCGGGTCGCCATCGCGCAGGCGCCGGCGCTGGTGCTCGCCGCTGTCCACCTGGCCTAAGACTGGCTATGAGCCGGTCGCATGCAAATCCTGGCTCCAGCGCTGCGCAACGTGGACACCAGTTGGCAGCGCGAGATGCGCGCTGTCGCACAGCGCTGCTGGCCTTCCTGGGTCACTGGGCTCTCTCAAACGCGCAGATGGCGCCTCTTTTTGCGACCCTCGTCTCGAGCTAGGCGACATGTAAGACACTAGCCCCGAATCAGCCCTTGCGTCCTAGTCCAGCCGGACGGGTGGGCCCGGGAAGAGCGGGAGGGGTACGGGGAGCCCTGCGACGTAACTAGCCTCAGCCTCAGCCGAGCTTATGTACCCGTGTTACGCGCAACGACAACTCAGTAGAGCGGCCCCGGCGCGCGGGCACTAAACAACCCCCACGCAAACACGGCCTTGTCCTTTTGGATCGCGACGCGGTCGGTCAGCGACGCGACCCACTTGTCGAGGTAGGGCTGGGGCACGCCGTCCTTCACCATGGCCGCGCCCTGCTTGTGGCACACATCCAACATCGCCGAGAAGTAGGGCAGTAAGTGGCCGGATCCATCAAAGAAGCCCACATGGCAGAACCCGGCGGCCTTCAACCAATCGAGGTATTGGGAGGGACGGGCCATGGCCGTCGTGGCGTTGCGGTCCGTGAAGTCCTTCAGAGCCTTCTCGTCGGCCCCATCCGCGCCCATGATGTCCGTAAAAACTAACGCGGCGCCGGGCTGCACGATCTTGCGCACGTCCGCGAGCAAATTAGGCTTCGAGGCGGCGTGGCAGAAGACCTCACAACTAATAACGTGGGTCACCTCGCCCAAGTCGGACGGGGGAAAGTTCGCACGATCATTAAAATCGCCACACCTCACCGAGATGAGTTCGCCCACACCTAATCTTTTAGCCTCGTCTAAATTCATCTGGTTTTGTTCCGGCGAGATGTTGAAGGAGATGACTTTGCAGCCGAAGGTCTGGGCGATCTCGTGCGACAGGCCGCCGTGGCCACTGCCCAGGTCCAACACTACGGAGTCTTTGGTCACCGGCCGCGTCTGATCTAGTAACCGCAGCAGAGCGGCGTTCGTGTTTTTTGAGGATTCAAAAACACCATCGGTAGCGGTCCTAAACATGCCGTAGTGGATGTCGTAGCCGCCGCCGCCCATGACGTACTTGTAGAAGGTCCGCGCGTGCGCCTCGGAGTACTGCTCTATCACCTTATTGGCGACTTCCTGCTCGCTGAACTGCTTGTTCGTGAAGTCGCCGGTCGTTTGGGGGGTCTGGGCGGCCATTTTGGATGTTTCGCGGTGATGGCTTGTGCTGCTGTCTGGCAAGGCTGTGCTCGCTGTGCTTATTGTGTGTTGCAAATGCTGCGGCGATTGCGTGCAGTTGGTGTGGTGCTGCAACCGTTGCAAATGCAATGCGTCGCGCACGTCTTGCAATCGCTGGATGCTGTGCAGCCTCGATTTTTGTCGAGAGGCAGCACACGTTGCCTGCTATCGACCTCGCCGGTTGGAACCCAACGTCGGATGCGTCGTTGGTCCGTCTGCTGAAGCTTCGTTCGACGGCTAAAGAGGTAGCTGGCTGCGCAACAAAACCCGGCATGTAGCAGCTGCAGCTAGATCGCGCGGCTGGGACGCAGCATATTAATCAATATAGCTGCCTCAGAGCCAGTGAATCGCACTACTGGTTGCCGCATAACTACGCCGCAAAAGTTTGCGCTTCATACAATTGACAGATGGCGAGGCATACGCGATATGCGCTCCTGATAGCCGCCGCGGCGGCGCTGCAGGCGCCGCAGCGACGGCGAACAGCCGTCACAATGGCCGCCGTGCCGCCGGGCGGCCGGGTCTTGGCCGTCGGCAACGGCCCCGTCTTTTTACTAGCAGCAAAAACGGCGGCGAAGATGGGCTACAAGACGACGATCGTCTCTGCCAGGGAAGAGCTCTTTACGCAACTGTTATGGTCCGAAGCTAGGGAAGAACCTAGAGACCCGAATTTGACAGTGCTCGGCGTCACGCGCGACGAAGATGTTGAAGCCTTTAACGACGCCGTCGCGAACGCCGACGGTCTGATCATCGCCTTCGATGCCGAGCAGACGCTGACGGATACTCTGTTAGATGTCGTATTGCCCGCTACTGGTGGTGCTAAGAGGGTAGCGTGTCTGTCAAAACATTTAAATGGCAAGGGCTATGGTCCCTTCGTCGCGGCCTCGAAAACGGCCGCGAACAAAGAGGTCTGGGCCGCCTCGGACAAGCAGGTCCAGATGTACCGGGACTTCGAAAACAAACTCAAGTCCAAACTTGCCAGTAGAGAAGGGTCCGGTTTGACCATCGTAAGATGTGGCACGCTGAAGGGCGGCGGGCCGGCGTCGCCGGACGACCCCATTCCGGATGACGTTCCGACGTTGTCCGAGAAGCTCTATGATGACCTTGCGAAGGACATCGTCAATTGGCAGTTGCTCTTCGACTGCGACACGCGGGGCGTCGCGTTGACGCCAGGCGACTCGGCCGAAGGACCGGGTTTAAGGGCCGTCTTCACGGCCTGCGCGTCGGACGCGTCGCCGGGCGATTCGGGGCGCGTCCAGGTCTGCCAGGCGCTGGTCAGGTCACTCGCGCGCGACGACGCCGAGGGGAAAGAATTTGGCGTCACGACGGCGGCGGCCGAGAAGCACTCTTCGGATGCGGAGTGGGCCGCGGCGCTGGATTCCGTGCTCTAGGGCGTTAACTTATATCGTTGAACCAAACTTACTACAAGTATCATGAGAATACTGCGATGCATAAGGAAATAGAGTGTGTGGCTCCGGACTTCCCCGGCAGCGTAGTGTAGTCGTCTAACGAAATAGTTTCTCCCATGTTTGATGGGGTTTGTGACGGGGAATTGCGTCCGTCAATAAAAGTGACTCAGGATGATAATAGTTAGGAGTGAGAGGCGACTTCCCCCTACTAAGGGGATATCGGAGTACCCTAGGATGGGAAGTAGCCTAGGCGGGTAATACAAGTACGGGTTGTGCTTGGATACGTCTCAGTTGAACCTTGGGATCCTACTAGACGTGTATTTCCATTGCACTCCCCCATTGTCGTGATCGTGATCAGATTGCGATAATCATGAAATCGCGGCAAGGAGGATAACATTTTTAGATTAACATTTCAATAAGGTGGATCATCCTGATGGTACCGCAGTACCGACAGTTATTCAATTAGTAGTTGGTCATTTAGTGGTGTGGTTGTTTTGTGCGTTTAGTTGTTTTTGTTTTTGTCATTTAGAGATTATTTCTTTCCAGAGAAAATGGCTCTTATCTCTTTTGGAGTTACCTCTTGAACCTTGAATGGAGTGACTCTCCAGTCACCTCCCGCTGCCTCAGTCGTAGAAGGGCGGCTGAGTAGTCCTGGGAGACCATAGAAATCCACCTCTCGCGCGAGCTGGTCCGTCGGTCGGGTCGCGGGGGACCAGCGGCTTCGCGAACGGGTCTCGTAGATAGTTCAGGACGTACCGGAAGGACGGACCGTCGCGGTCGATGAACAGCACCTCGCCGTCGCTCAAGGCTTCGGCCAGCGCGCCGAGCATGCTGCCCTCGACTCTCGTGAGCGTGGCCAGGGTAGTCATGTAGACCGTGCCTCCGACGTTGACGGTGACGGCACCGGCGGGGTTCGTCAGCGCAGCCATGACGATCACGCGTTTATGGCAGCTAGTGAACTACGAGGCAGCCTCGCAAGGAGGAGACGCGAACGATCACGCGCGCGTGGCAGCTAAGCACTCGAGCAGCCTCGTGAGTATGTGGATCTGGCTCCCTTAGGGCTGCCGCGGCGAGGGCGTATGGGGCAGACGTTGCGAGGCGTGCGCTGACACCCACAGAATGCTGCAGCGCACGGGGAACAGCCCAAATTAGCTGCAGAGCTTGAGAGCCGTGTTTGCTAGTGTCTTACTGCCGCTAGGCCCGGCTGTCGACTCTTGATGCAACTGAGCCGCAGAGCTGCACAGCGTAGCTAAAAGCGTGTGCTTGCGGCAGGTTACGCACTGATACAGCGCTACGACAGCTCACGTACGCACGCAGCGACCTCTGCAGGACACGTCGCCGGGAGAGCCAAGGGCAAGTGCTGCAGCAGTCCTGCGCACCCGCGCGACGCTCACAAAAGGAGGGACCGGGCGAGTGCGGGACGCGCGCGGCGTCGATCCATGCGACCAATCGTCGTCCTCATGCTCGCCGGCGTGGCGCGGGCCCTCGTCGCCCCGGCCGCCAAGCGGCCGCGCTTCACGCGAGCCTTCGCGGCCGCCGGCGACCCGCGCGAGGTGCTCGAAAAGGCCGTCGCCTCGGCATTGGGCGCGGCCTTCGGGCCTGAATATAATGACCCCTCAAAAGCAGCACTAAGGCCCGCGACAAAAAAGACGTTCGGCGACTTCCAGTGCAACGCGGCCATGGCCATCGCCAAGCCCCTGAAGAAGAACCCTAGAGAGGTCGCGACGGAATTAGTGGAGCGGTTGGAGGCCGATGCTACTGTTCAGAACACATTAGCGACGCCCCTCGAGGTCGCGGGCCCGGGTTTTGTGAATATGAGATTATCGGACGACTATCTCTCGACGACAGTGGAAGCCATGGCCACGGAAGAAAACTGCGGACTCCCGAAAGCATCACAAAAGCAGACGATCGTCGTCGACTACTCGTCGCCGAACATCGCCAAGGAGATGCATGTTGGGCATTTACGATCTACCATTATTGGGGATGCCCTCGCGAACTGTTTGGAATTGAGAGGCCACGATGTCATAAGACAAAACCACGTGGGCGACTGGGGCACGCAGTTCGGTATGCTGCTCGAGCATCTCGGGGACAACACGGACGCTTCGATCTCCGACCTAGTTGCTTTCTACAAGGAGGCGAAGCAGCGCTTCGACAGCGACGGCGACTTCAAGGAGCGAGCGCGAGAAAGGGTCGTCTCGCTGCAGAAAGGCGACGCTGCGACGCTCGACGCCTGGCGGAAGTTATGTGACGTTTCTAGAGTAGAATTCGATGCCATTTATGATCGTTTGAGTGTATGTGGTTTAGAGGAGAAGGGCGAGTCGTTCTACAACGACCGACTATCGAACGTCGTCGAGGAGCTCGAAAGCTCAGGCGTCGCGGAAGTTTCCGATGGCGCTCTGGTAGTGTTCGACGAAAAAGATAAAAAGAAGGAAAAGGTACCCCTCATCATCAGGAAGTCGGACGGTGGGTTTTTATATGCGACTACTGACTTGGCGGCCGTCGACTACCGCTCCAAGGAGCTAAAAGCTAATAGGGTACTATATGTGACAGATGCGGGTCAGTCAGGACACTTCAAGGCCGTATTTCAAGCAGCACAACGATCGCAAGAACTCGGAGATATGTCTCTGGAACACGTCCCCTTTGGACTCGTGCAGGGCGAGGACGGCAAAAAGTTCGCCACGCGAAGTGGTGAAACGGTACGGCTGAAGGATCTACTCGACGAAGCCGAATCAAGGTGTCTGACGGAGTTGCAGGAGCGGGATTCGGATGCCGAGGATCTCACAGAGCTAGCGAAGGTTGTCGGAATTGGTGCGGTGAAGTATGCTGATTTATCTCTCAATAGGGAGTCGAACTACAAGTTTTCCTACGAGAAGATGTTGAGTTTATCGGGCAACACCGCGCCTTACATGTTATACGGTTATGCTCGGATCAACGGTATAAGAAGGAAGGCCCAAGAAGAGGTCGGCGTGGGAAAGGTTGTGCTAAAGGAGGATGCCGAGCGCGATCTCGCGAGGCACCTCGCTCTCTTGTCTGCCACGATTGTCGATCTGGAGAGAGAACTACGGCCGAACGCGCTCTGCGACTACTTGTTCGAGCTGGCGCAGATCTTCAACCGCTTCTACGAGAGCTGTCCCGTCCTGAAAGCGGAGAGTGATGACATAAGGGCGTCGCGCGCGACTTTGTGTGCCGCGACGGCGGCTGCTTTACGGTTGGGGTTGGAGGAGGTGCTGGGCATCGGGCTCGTGGACCGGCTGTAAGGTCTTTATCTTATTTCTCTCTAGCGGCGCCGAAACATCATGCGGAAGGGCGCGAGCAACACACGAACCGGTGCGAACAACGCCTTGAGGAAGGCGTTGCCCAGCTTCCCCGCGACGCCGTAACCCACCTCTTCGTGCACGACGAGCGCAGTACTTTCAGACGCCGCGACGTCGGCGAGCTGCTCGATGAGAATCTCGTCGAAGGGCCGCGGCCGCGCGGGGCAGACGGGCTGGGGAATAGGCCGCGCGGCCTCGTAGCCCGCCCAGAGGAAGCAGACGAGGACCCAGAGCGGGACGCGGCGTTTCGGCGCCGGCGCGGCGGGCGGCGGCGCCGCCGCTTCTCGTTTGATAGACGGCGCGGCGCAGGGGCAGGTCGCCTCGTGCGCCGCGACGGCCGCGTACGAGCCCGTAAAACTAAAACAGTGGTCGCAGCGGTAGACGGCCGGTTTCGGGGCTGGTTTCGGCGGCGCGGCGGCGGGCTGGATGTTGTTGGTGAGGGTCCCGAGCGGGCGGCGGGCGGCCATGTCTCGTCTGTTGCCTCCGCAGCGTCTGGGGGTTTCCACGTCTTCTGAGGCGGCGTCGTTCGCAGGCAGCGGTCCGCGGGGTCGCAGCGCGCTGTACGTCGACAGTCAGCCCGATCAGCGCGGCGTGGGCCGCAAGCGAAGCGGCGTTTGTGGCGTTTGGCAAACGTTTTTTGCTAGCGGCCGTGAGACACTAGCCAGCAAGACCCATCCCGGGAGGCACGTCGCAAGACATGCCGTCACCCCGAGGAGTCCTCTACCCGCGTAAGATCCCCGCCTGCAGCCCGCCCGCACCAGCGAGGTCCCCATTTCAGAGGCAGCCGAACACCTTGCCATCGCAGCCGAACGCGCGTCAAATCCCTTTTGCCGCCGCCGCCGTAGCACGCCGCGACTACAGTGTGCTGCCCCGACGCGTCGGGACCACCGCCCGGCGCCAGACGCAGAGCAGGGCTGCCCATTTCGTGTTCTGGTGCCTTGTTATGGCCGATGTGCCGCCGCCCAAGCGCGCGCGCACGGCCGCGCAGGAGCCCCCCAGCGTCACGCCCGCGGACGTCGCGCCCGAGGCGCAGTCGGACCTCGCGGCCTTCCTCGCGCGGCCCGCGGCCGCGCGCACGCCGCCGGGCAAGGCCAGGAGCCCGGGCCCGCTGCCACCAGGCCTCGCCGCGGCGGCGGCCGCGTCCCTAGAGCGCTGCTGGGCCGAGCTGCCGCCGGCCGACGCGTCCGTCAAACCGCGTCCCGACCCGTCACGCGGCCTGACTCTCGTGACACGCAGGCTCGCCCTCGCCCACGTCCAGGTCCCTCCCGAGACGCTCGACGAGGTCTCCCGCGCGTTACTTGCGGCAGCGCTAGCGGCGCGCGGCGCCGTGCTGCCGACGCCCGAAAAAAAGACGCAGACGCCCTCGCCGCTCCAGGCGCCCGCGCCGGCGCCCGTGACCGTCGCCGCGCCGGCGCCGGCACCGGCCCCGGCGCCGGCGGCCCGCCTGCGCCCGACGGAGCGCGCGAACGCGCGGCGGCGCGCGCACGAGCAGGCCGCGGCGGCGCGGCGCCGGCGCTGGTGAATTCGTGTCTCCGCCGTCGTCTCTGTCCTCGTTCTTTGTTCCAAGTTCTCTTGTCTCGCGGGCGCGGCGTCGTCGTCGTCCTAAGTTGTACTGGTCTCTGAAGTGTCTCTCGGCGAGGTCGGCGACCGCGGCCACCTCTTGCGACGAGCCTTCTGGCCAGAGATGTTTTTGTGGGTGTTTGCTGAGTTTGCTGAGGATCCCTAGTGTCTTACAGTCCGCTAGGCTCCCAGCTTTTTGTGCTGATTATCAGCCGCAGCCGCCATAACGCATTGAGTAGTGATTAGTAGTGTTCAAACGTCACATCCATACGTGACCCAAAAGCTCCACACAGCTGCCATGGCAAAAGCGTGAGGAGAGCAGCCCTGGCAAGCACAAGGTCTCGCAACACAAAGTGAAAGCGCCGACGCGCGCCAAGCAAGAAAGATGAACCTCGCCTGCGAGCCCACCTGCGCCGGCCTGGAGAAATTCGTCATCTACGAGACGCAGCAGCATTTGTATGTGGTGGGCTGCGACCGCCAGCAACTCAAGTACCGCGTCTTGAAAGTCCTGAGAAGAAGTGCGCCCTCTCTCATAGACTTAGCTCAAGAAGACGCGTCCTCCTACTCGAAGGACGAGTTGCGAGATGTGCTGGAAATGGCGCACGAGGGGAACAAACAAGGAGGCGGGTTGCGGCGAGTAGCTACGGGTTACGGCATACTAGGCTTCGTGCGCTTCTTGGACTGCTACTACTGCGTGTTGATCACGCAACGGAGAAAGGTCGGTAGAATTGGAGGTGCCCCGATCTATGGCATCAAGGCCACGGAATTGATACCTATCCGACCCGCAGCAACGAAGTCCGACGATCGCTCCTTAATCCGCTCCTTCGTCGCGGAGACGAATCGCAGATTGAACCCGACGCAGCGCGAGACCGCGGAGCAGCGCTACGTCAGTCTCTTCCAATTCGTGGATCTCTCAAAAGATTTCTACTTCTCCTACGCGTATGACCTCACGCAGACGCTGCAGCACGTGATGCATGCCCAAGCACCTCTGTCAAGTCAGGACCCGGCTTCCGATATACCACCTCTGGAACCATCGCGACGGAGCAGTTACGCCTGGAACCACAAACTTGTGAAAGAGTTACGAGACGCCCTCGGTTCCTCCGCGGGCCGGTGGTGCGTCACATTAGTACATGGCGCATTCGTGCAGCGGACCTGCGCGCTCTTTGGGAGGAGTCTCGTCGTGACGCTGATCGCGCGCCGGTCACGACACTTCGCCGGGACGCGATACCTGAAGCGCGGCGCGTCGGATACGGGAAACGTGGCAAATGATGTGGAGCTCGAGCAGATCACGCACGCGCCGGGTTATGGGGCCGGCGGCTTCGCTTCGTATGTCCAAGTCCGTGGATCCATCCCCATCTTCTGGACGCAGGCGACGAGTGTTACGTTACCGAAGCCTCCGATCATTGTGGATCGCGTCGATCCTACCTATACGGCGTCGCAAAAGCATTTTGCCGATTTACTGGAGAGATACGGCGGGCCCTGCATGGTTTTGGACTTGACGAAGCATGTGGAGCGGCGCGCCCGAGAGACGGTCGTCAGTGCGGAGTTCCGGAGAGCTATTGAATGTGTGAACACGAGTTTACCTTCAGAGACCAAAGTGCGGTACTGTGCTTTAGATTTCTCGGCGGCTTCTAGATCGAAGAAACCGACAGTACTGGACGCTCTCAGTGATGTGGCCGCGTGGACGCTCGACGAGACGCGGTTCTTCCAGTGTCAAGGCACGAAGGTCCAGCTCCAGCGAGGCGTGCTGCGGTCGAATTGTATTGATTGCCTAGACAGAACGAACGTGGCGCAGTTCGCTGTTGGGGCTGTGGCACTCGCGAGATGTGTTGATGCGTTAGGATTTGTCCGAGGCTCGTCCTTAGAACCGGGTTCGCGGTTGTTGCTGGTGCTCATGGAGCTCTACTCCGCTGTGGGAGATGCTCTTTCGCTCCAGTATGGTGGGAGCGAAGCCCACAAGCGCGCGGGCATAAGACGAGGCGAATCTGTGACCGTAGTGCCCAAACACCAAGAGTTGCTTACCTCAATAAGAAGGTACTACTCGAACGCGTTTACCGATAGATTGAAGCAGGACGCCATCAACGTGTTCCTGGGGACGTTTACTCCCTCAGAAGAAGATATACCCCTATGGGACCTCGATAGTGATTACTACCTCCACAACGTCAAAGTGCAAGAAGGGTGTCTCCTGACGATGGCCGTGAAGAAGGATGCTTGGTTATCTGATAGTGAGGAAGATGATAAGGGTGATGTTCGCGCGAGGGTTGTACGAAGATGCCATCGGCGCGACGACTTGCTGTCGAAGTGGTGGCGCGACGCGCTCGAAGCCTATGACGCATCTTTACAAAGTACTGAATCGTCGAACTTGGAGGAGGCCTCGAAGCACCGTTTTGAACGAGTGCATCAACCATCAAAGCTCACGCAGTTCGACAAAATACTACAAGCTGATTCTAGTACGCCCGTGCCGCTCGCGGCGGACTTAGACGCGTCTGGTACGGTGGAGAAGCGCTTCCTGGCGCTTGGTTCGTCAAATGTGGCGGCTCTGGCGATTCCCGAGGACGACGACGATGAAGGGATAGCTATCGAGGAAGAGGTAAAAGTACCAGAGACGCCTCCGAAGCTCGACGACGATCTGCGGGAGCGGGCGTCGCCCGTGTCGCAAATCGAGGAGGAATCGGACGATGACGACCCGTGTCAGAAGGCTGAGCGGTTGGTGCGGGTGCTGTTCGGTGCTACGCCTGTCACGGTGGAAGGTTTGGAGGCGCAGGCGGCGGCCTCGAAGGCGGCGCTGGATGCGTCCATCAAGTCTGATTCTACTTTCGTGGGAAGGCTGCAGTTCGACGTCGATGCTCGAGGCGAGAGGCAATATGGGGAGTACGCTCGCGTAGCCGCGGACCCCGGGTTGCTGGAGCGGCCTTCACGTGGTGATGTGGACGCCGAGGCGCGGTCGAGACGAGCTGAAAGAGCTCACGAAGACTTCACGGAGGCGTTAAAGGAGCGCGATTTGACACCGTCGGATTGCGCCGGGGTGCTCGAAGTCGCGAGGGCGGCGGGCGTGTCCAAGATACTAGAGAGTGGTAAATATGAAGGACTGCCCCAGTCTTGTAGTGCGAGGGACGTCTGCGCCGCGGTGTTGGGCGAGGTCGAGGTCCTCGCCGGGCCTGTGAAAGGCGACCGGCCCAGGGACGACGTGGATCGAGACGCGTTACGCAAGCGTCTTTCACTAAGACCGTGCGCGTCCCTGAAGACGGACGCGCCGTCACTCGATGCGCCGGGCGTCGTCCACCAAGTGGAGCAGCGACTCGAAGAGCTAAGGGAGGCCCACGCGTTCTATGCACGAGCTTTGGATCCGGAGTTGCTCGCGCGGCAGCGGTCTTCACTGTCGACGGACGCGAGCGTCGCGTTGTACTGTACCCACGCGCGGTCCAAGGACTGGCTGCGGGACGGAGCGCTCGCGCACTGCCTGCGGAGCGAACGGGGCCGCGTGCCGGCGCGACCGCGCAATCGGCGCGAGGACGCCCTCGACGCGTTCGATAGAGACGAGGCCTCGGGGCTGTATCAGCGGCGCGACAACCGGTACATGCTCTTCAACGAGGCCGGGGCGCGCGCGGCGCTACCAGCTCTGGAGGCGGCGGCGGCGCGGGCTCGGGAGCAGGAGGTGCGCGAGGCGGCGGGGCTGGCGACGGCTTAATTTTGTTTGTCTGTAGTTGTCTCTTTCCCGTGAGCGTCCGGTTGTTCTAGTCGCGTCGACGGCGTCGACGGCGTCGCACCGTTCCAAACAAAACGGGTTTCCTGGGCAGCCTCGAGTATCTAGATATATCTAGCTTTTGCGCGCGGGACCACGACAGAGATTAAAAATGATCTTGACCACCTGCGCGGCCTGCGCCAAGCCCCTCGAGCACGACGCCCCCGCGCACTGTGTGAATTGTCAAACAAGATACTGCAGTGATCGATGCCTCCGCTACCACGCGCACCGCGGCGGCCACGACGACGAGTGTGATGAAATAGCCAGCGGCGGCGGCGCGGAACAACACCACGCCAACAAAGAATACGAGGAGGCCGTCGCGGACGCCGTCGAAGAGTGCGCGAACGACACGCAAGGCCAGACGTGCTACATCTGTCTGGAGGACGGCTCGCAGGAACGCTTCTCCCCACTCCCTCTCTCCCCACCACTTAGTCTAATGATGGCTTCGGTCCCTTACGCTTCGCGCCTCCGTGATGCTCTACTGCACGAACTTGCAACCCCCCCGCCGACACTTCGGGCACTGCACCCCGAACTCTTTCGACTCGAGCACGGCGTCGTCCTTCCAGACCCCGTTCTGCGGGCAGTATAACCACTGGTATTCGGAACCGCATGCCTTCTTGTACGGGCAGTTCGCGCGGTAGCACCGCATCTCCCGGCCGTCCTTCTCGTCTCGCTTGCGCTTCACACGCAACCCTCCTCCCGGCGAGGACGCAACCTGGCCCGCGGGCAGCCAGCGAATCCCTTGGAACCCGTAGTCGATCACGTACCCGGGCTTCTTCGGCAGCGGAGCTAACGTGAGTTCGTCGAACGACGCCACGCCCGCCAACCGCAAAAAGTCCTTAGTAATCTGCCACGAGGGATCCCACTTCTTCAGGTTCTCGAAGGTGTGCTCGTTCCCGTAGAAGACCTTTTTGAAGACGAACCCGATCTCGACGCCCTTGGCCACGTCCGTAGTGCCGCGGGAGAGGCCTCTGCCGACGTCCAACGGGACCACCAGCTGGTTGTACTCGAAGACCGGAGACACGGCCCCTCGGCTCGTCTTCAACGAGGGAATCTGCCCCGCTGCATCTAAGGCTTCGTAGAGCTTCGCGTCGACGCGGTGATGCGCAACGAACTTCTCCCAATAATCGGCGTCCGCGCGGCGATCCTTCGGCGCAATGTCTTTGAGGGAGCAGTCCGACGCGTCGTAGTCCGTCGCGTCGAACACCTTGCCGATGAACATGGGCGGATTCAAACCCTCGGAGTTTCTCTTGAGCGCGTGCTTGATGTAGTGCGCCCCCGAGACGCCCACGTACATCACGGCGCCCTTCTTTAAAGGTGCTTGTAGGAGATCCCAATTCCGCGCCTTCGCGTCGCGCGGGTACTGACAGGCGTCGCAGAGCTCTTCGTCCCCAAAGAAGCCCTCGGCCCAGTTGAGGGCCAGCGTGCGCGTCGCGCTGTACTTCGCGAACGTGCAGGAGAAGCGCTCCGGGATCCACTCATCCAGGTAGTCCAGCCGCACCGCCATCTGTACGCCCTTATACATAAGGCAGGTAATGTCGGTCCCGAGGTGCCAACCTGCACCTTTCTTCACACTCGTCAGCTGGCCGTGGCGCACTCGTTTACCCTCGCTCACATGAGAGACGACCCTGTACGGGCCCTTGACGCGGCCGTGAAAACTAGTCACGCCGAGGCTCTCGTAAAGCGGACATAATTGCAAGGCGACCTTGTCCGATGCTTTCTGATTTTCGGGATTGGACCGCGGATTTTTCCACCATGCACACCGCTGAAGAGCCCATTTCGTACAGCGCTTCCACATCATGAACGTGGGCGCAGCGCTCCGCATCTTCGTAAAACAGTCCGTCTCCCGCGAGAGCGTGACGTGGTTCTCGAGCTTGATCGTCAAGGCTTTGTTCGTCGTCTCCATCAGATGAGCCAACCCGGTCTTGTCCGGCACCACGTTGAACGCCTCGAGTACTTTCTTCGTCGCTTCTAGTTCTTTAGTCTCCGTGAGAACGCAAGTGTTGACGAGGGGGTCCACGGGGTCCTCCTCCTCATCATCAACCCTTCTTATGCGCGACTCGGGGACACCGCTCTCGGTATCGCCGTCGTCATAAATAACATACCACGTGCCTTCTTTCCTTTGGCGATCCAACTTCCCCGGCAACCAATCCTCGTTGACCTTCACTTCGACGCGGTGACCACGTTCGTAGGGGTCGTCTTCGGCGTTGTCCTCGGAGCAATCCTCGCCATCAGTAGGCCACCGGACGCGCGACAGCTCGATGCCGGACTCGCTGTTCTTCCCCGGCGGGGGATAAGGCACCTTGTAAAAGACTGCTAAACGACCGTCTGAATCTCTCACTCTTTTTACAATCGCGGCGTAGTACCTCCCGTTAACTTTCACCTCGACGGCGTCGCCGGGCTTATAGAGGCTCATCGTACAGTCGCCGTCGCCATCATCCTCGGGGCCCTCCGCGGAGCAGGTCTGGCCGACCTCGTCCATCTTGCAGTCGTTCTCGCACGCGCCCTCGCAGGGGTCGTCGGCGCCGTAGGGGCAGACCTCCATGTCCCGCGGCACGTCGCAGAACTGGATGCTGTGCACTTCTAGAACATGACGTTCCTCCGTGTCGTCCGGGAATTTCATGACGAACTCGTCCGTAGACTCGTCGTAGAATACTATCTTTCCCTCCTTATAATTCTCGGAGCACATACCCTCGTAGACCTTGATCGTCAAGCCTACATATTCTTCCTTGCAAGGTATGATGTCCGGGTTCTTTGAGAGGTCGATACGTTCGGATTCTTCAGAGCAGTGCCCTCCGTCCTCGTAGCAGTCAATATACGTACAGTCGTGCATCTTGGACGTCTCATCATAATGAATGATCTTCATGAAGTAGTAGTCCTCGCCGGACGATTCCTCGGCGGACGATTCCCACCACCTGAGGCACTTTCCAACTACTTCAACCCCGGGATGCGGTCCTCCGTCCCTCTCGAGACGGCTAACAATCCCGTCCAACCTTCTGCGTACCGTCGTGACCCATCTTTCGTCGTCGGCGGCACTGACACCGTTGACCGACGTAGATAAAAGCAACGGTACTACCGCGCGGCGGGGCCCGGCGCACGCCGCCGCCAGAGAACCGAACTTCAGCCACGGCATCGACGCATTCACCGTAGCGCTGACCCAGACCATGGCCTGGGACTCCTCGACGTGGGAACCGACCAGGGAGCGCGCGTCGCTGAGATTGCAGACGTCGTTGAGGACGGAGCCCCGAATCGGCCCCGAGCTCGCGTTGTAGTGCGAGAGGTTGGAGATGCAGGCGTGATCGACGGCGTCGCGCTCTTCTATGCGGTGCGCCTCGGCGCGCTCGCCGACGAAGGTGACCGCGCAGCTGCCTTCGAGGCCACCGTTCGCGCCGTGGCTGGGGACGATGACGCAGTCGCCGAACGGGCTGCAAAGCACCGTACCGTTTGACAAAAAGTCTTCTAAGGTAGCGCTGGCCGAGGCCATGGCCTGGGGCTCCTTGAGGGCGTAGCCGACGTAACTGAGCGTGCAGATGTCTCGAGTCGGCACCGCGCTCACGTGGTGCGAGGGCTTGGAGTTGCGGCCGCGGAGGTGTTCTAACACACACGCATCAGTCCAGAAGCGGCTTCCGTACTCGCCCGCATCAGTCCAAACCCTATCCCTCGCCCGCTGGCGCGCGCGCTGGTAGGCCCGCACGTGGGCCGCCGCCGCGCCGAAGCCGGCCTTCGCCGCGCAGACGCCCAGGACCACCACACCAGATCCATAAAACAAGAAAAAGAACCTGAGCAAACGGGTACCAATCCAAGGGAATGACTCGTAGGGCCGCCGTGCGGCTTTTTGCCTCTGCTGAGACATGTCTATGAGACTCTGTATGTGTGCTTTGTAGAGAGGTAGACGTCGCGATGTAATAAGAGCTCGCTGGAGCGACGTCAGAAACAACCACAGATCAGCGCTGAATCGCTTCGCGTGGCCCCGCGTCGCATGAATAAATCGCTGAAAACCCGCACGTTTCGCTAAAAAATACACCAGCTCGGGCCCGAACTCGTACTACGAGGCGACCTACCACCACGATGAGGCGTGGAGTAGGGCCAGAACTTGTAGAGAACATGTCTAGTAGTTCGTGGCGGCCACCGCCACTTGTCCAGCACACGCCGCCACATGATGTACCACTTCATAATCGAATCGACGCTGCCGCACGTGAAGCCCTGCACGGCGATGCAGAAGCGCAGTCCCTTGACAACAAATGACTAACCACGTAAAACGCACTATCACTGTGTCCGGTTGTATTGCTTCCACATCACTGTAGGTATACATAGTACTCAGACGCCGATCGTCAGACCGCTGCCGACGAGGCGATGCCCCAGTGGTCCAACTAGGTGTGGCTTAGAGCTTCCCAAAATCCCAAGATGCAAGGAGGTAGTACCCCTCGTTGTACCTGCGCATGGATTGTTTCTGGGCGCGATTGCGTCTCTAATACTAGACGCTGCATTGCCACACGCACCCGGGACGGAGGCCCTTTATGTAGAAGACCCCCTTTGGGCCGGACGCCGGCGTCCATCGATTGTGAGTTCCATGTATACACGGCCGCCACCGTACCGCCGTCGCGAGGCCGCGCCGTCGCCGTCAAGTTGAAGGCCGTGCCGTCGCCCGCGCCGCGATCCGGGCTCGGCGCAATTTGAAGGCGCGCGGTCGCATACAAATTTGAAGTGTGCCGTCCGCTTCTCTCGTGCCGGCCGTGTCGCGTCGCGCTCGTAGTGTGTCGGTAGTGTGTGTGTGCGACGCCCTCGTCGCGCGCCGCGCGTTTTTGTGGCTGCAGTGTGTGTATGGCGGTTCATCGTGCTGCCTTAAAAGCGCGCAGCGGTTCGCCGGTGCCCCTACAAGCTCGTCGGGCATCGCGCGAGGTCGGCCGTCTTGATCGTATACAGTCGTCCATCCGTCAAAGGAATGGGCGCGCGCGCGTCGTCGGGCAGCGCCGCGTCTCAGTAGCTGTCTTGTGGAGGGGCAGCAGCTCCCCGCCATCGCTGGCGTCGGGCAGCGCTGCAGGCGGCGGCGAGCGAGCGATGCGTTGTCGAGAGCGCGCTGCCTTTGGTGAGGCGCCGACGTCGCGCACCAGGCCGGGGACAAGCCGTCGTTCCATCCGGATGGAGCGCTGGCCTGGGCCGGCCCGCCCGGGGCCTGGAGCGGCCCGCCCGGCGAAACGAGGAAGGTCTATCGCCCGGGAGAGTACGACTGTACGGCTCTTTCTGTACAGTTGCGGCACCAGGGGCGGTTGACTTGCAGTGGAGAGCGACGGCGCGGGCCACGGAACCACGAGGACGGCCGCATCGTTGGCGTTGCACGGCCGGGTGACGTCCTCCCACGGGTCGCGGTCGGTAGGAGTACCCGGAGCGGCGCGGCGCCGCCGAACTGTAATTCGCGGACGAGCGGTCGACGGAGTAGCGGCGGATATTACAGTAGCTCATTTACACAGGGCGAATGGAGCGAGGGGGGGGGGGCGCGACGAGTGCGAACAGACTCATTCACTCCGCGCCGGCGCCTTGGACGCCTCCGACGAGCACCCAGCGCAGGCGGCCCCGCATGTTCTGGCTCCGCCAGTAGTTCGACAACCACAAGCAGAGGCCGCGCACGCCATTGATGTAGATGTTGGGCTCGTTTCGCTGCGGCGCTGCGGCCTCGAATGTCACGAGGCGGCCGAGGACGTCCGCGAGATTCTTGGAGATGGGACCATCACGAGCGAAGCTCACTGATAACAGGCAGACGAGACAGAGCGAGACGACGACGGCAGCTTCGAGCTGCGGGTCCTTGTCCATCTCGGAAAATCCATCTCTGACCGGTTTGACGACCACGTCGGTATACAACCAGTAGCAGAACGGCTTGAATTTGTAATAGATCCCGAGGATGACGCTGAGCGTGAAGCCGACCCACGCGAAGCGTAGAGGCTCCAGGAGCTTCCCTTCGCTGAGAGCATAGGTAGCCGCCGCGAGGACGGCGGACTGGGCCCAGCTGCCATTCAACCAAAACTGGACGACGAACACTCCAAAGACGACCAGAGCCGCGTTGTAGGGACCAACTCCCAGCTTCCACGCGGAGAAGCAGCCTTGCGGCTCGGGCGCCGCTGCTTGCGCTGCGAGCGCGGCGGCGCGCTGCTCGGCCATGCTGCTGCGCCAATTGCGGCGGCGGCGGCGGCCAGGCGATGCTCGCGGGAGAGCGTTATCGATGCTGCTGGCCGCGGTGCCCAGCGCGCGCTCGTATGCAGCTCTGCGCATGCGCAATTGCGCTCTACTTTCAAACACTCACCTTATTGGCCGCCTACCGGCCGGCACCCGCGCCCGCACAAGGAAGTAGTGTGAGCGGTGTGAGCGCCGCCGAGACGTCGTTGCACCACGCGTCGTCGCGCACGTTGCCTGTCTGGCGCGGCAGGCGGAGGTCGCGGTCGAGCGCGGCGGAGAGCAATGCTTTGAGCGGTGGGACACGTGCCGTCTGTGCGAGCAAGAATATCACGGCACAGTAATCTGCGCGCTCGGATGGGCGTGCTGGAAGACCTACGTGGGACGGCCCGAAGCGGATGAAACTCTGGGCCGCGCGATGACGACGCTTGGGAACGGTTTATACGCTGCATCCCACTTCGAGGACGCGTTGTCCGTGAGAGAGGCCGAGTTGGCTATGCTGCGGCGCCTTGGCGCACCAGATTACCAAATTGTCGTCGTGCAGAGCAATCTCGCGAACACGTATGAATTACTTGGACGGGAAGAAGAGTCAATGCATATGCGAGAAGACCTATACTCTAGAACTTCGGATATCTGGGGCGAAGAAGATAGAGAAACGCTCCTAGAAGCCAACAACTACGCAATGTCTCTTGGTGACCTGCGGCGCTTCGAAGAAGCCAAGGCACTGTTGCGCAAATCTATGCCAGTGGCGCGACGCGTTCTGGGACAGGATGATCATCTCACGCTCAGGATGAGGTGGACTTACGCCGAGGTGCTCTACACGGACGACGGAGCAACACTCGACGATCTCCGCGAGGCCGTGGCGACGCTGGAGGATGTGGAACGGACCGCGCGGCGTGTGTTCGGTGGCGCGCATCCGGCCACATTACAGATTGAGAAAGGATTTCGAGACGCGCGAGGCGCGCTCCGCGCCCGCGAGGCGTCGTCGGGGGTGGCCACGAGGACTCGCGCCGCCCGGGCGCGTCGGTCGGAGGAGGAGTAACTGAATAGCTTCTAGTAATTTACTCGGGCGGCTCCTCGACCACAACCTGCCCATCGGCAAAAGTCGTCTCCGTCCCACCATCAGCCCTAACCAATTTGACCGTGCCGTCCGGAAATCTAATTTCCTTTTCACCAGAAGAAAAGTGCCGCTCGAACTGCCCGTTCGGGAACTCGAAGGTCTCGATCCCGTTCAGTTCATCGGTTGTGTGCGTCGTGTCGGCCGCGGCGTAGAAGTAGACGACCGTGCCCTCGGGCGAGGTGGTCTTCGTATCCCCGTTCTGGAAGGACACCACGACTTCACCGGAAGCGGAACACCGCTTCGTCGTGCCGTTGCGATATTTCACCTCGCGCGTGCCATCGGCCCAGGCCCGCTCCAATTTCCCGTCGCGGCCCGCGGGCCGCCAGGCCGGCTCCGTCTGGGATTGATGGATTGGTGCGGGCGGCGCGGCGAAGCTGTCCTGGCTCCGCGCGACGCTGTCCTGGCTGCGGCGCAGCGCGAAGCTGTCCTGGCTGCGGCGCGGGTCGCCGGCCGACGCGCTCCGATCGTCGCCGCCGTCGTCCGACGCGTCGTCGTCCTCCTCGTCCAGCGGGGTCGAAGCGTAGCGGCCCGCGTCGTACGAGGCCTCGAGGCGCGTTTCCGCCTCGAAGAACGTCGTCGGCTGGTCGAGGAACGTTTCTGATGGTTGTGAAGACGCCGCCGTCTCCTCATTTAATGAAGACCGCGTCCGCATCGTCTCCTCGGCGTCGGCTTTAGCAGCCGCGACCTCGGCCGCCCTTAATCCAAACGCGTCGCGGTCGGCCGCGCGCACCGCCGCGCGCCGCGCGCGCTTGGCCGCGGCCTCGGCGTTCTGCGTCTCGAGTAAGGAAAGCTGCGTCGCGAGCTCCCTTGCTTTTGCCTCGGCTTGCGCGTTGCGGTCGCTCAGGCGCCGCTCGGTCAACCGGTCGCGCCGCGCTCGAGCTTCTAATTGATCCCTTAACGCCGCCGCCTCCTCCTTGAGCCGCTCGACCTCCTTCTTCTTCTGCCGATCGAGATTGACGCGCTCGTCCCTACGACTGCGTCGATCCCTATGCAGCGCGAGGGACTCGCGCTTGCAGACGTCGCGCTCCCGCGCGATCCATTCATCGAGCTCCTTCTGGCGCTGGCTGCGGACCGACGTCCGCTCCGCTAACGATTCCGTCGCGCGGCGCTGCGCCGCGTCGACGTCGGCGCGCAGCTTCCGGCACGCCGCGCGCGCCTCTGCGAGTTCGGCCTCGGTTTTCGAGAGTTCGCCTTCCAAGGCTTGCCGGTCTTCCATGGATAATGGCACCGGTTGTGGCGGCGGAGCCTCCGGTTTCTTGGGCGCGGGCCTTTTCCCGAACAGCTTGGCCACGAGCGCCGACTGCGGCGGCGGTCCCTCATCCACGTCAGGTGTCTTCTTTTTGGGCGAGCGCGACTTCCGTAATCGCGAGAAGCGCTCGAGCTGCTCGCTCGACCGCCTCGCCTTCACCGGCGCGGCGTCGAGGTCGTCCAGGGCCGTCGTTTCTCCTTCCTCGTCGTCATCAGCCCAGGCCGGCTTCGAAGCCTTCGAATTCTGCCAGAGCGTCGTCTCGTCCGGGTCGTCGTCGGCCCACGGCGGCGGGCCGTCGGCGGCGAGCGCCGCGAAGGCCTTGGCTTCCTCGGCCGCCACTCGTTCCTCGCGGGCCCAGGCGTCCGCGGCCGCGAAGTCGTCGACGGCGTCCGGCGCGCGCGGCGCCGCGTCTTCATCGGTGTCGTGCCACGCGCGCGGCGCCGCGTCGTCGTCGTCGTCGTCGTCTTCCCATGGTGGTGGTGCTGGCTCTTGGTTAACTCGCGGCGGGGGCGGCGGCGGCGCGTAGCTGTCCTGGCTCTGGCGCGCGGCCGCGTAGCTATCCACGCTCGTGCGCGCGGCCGCGTAGCTGTCCACGCTCTGGCTCACGGGCGGCGGCGGCGGCGGCGCGCTATCCTGGCTATAACGCAGCGCTTCCCGCGCGGGAGGCGGCGGCGCGTAGCTGTCCAAGCTCTGGCGCACTTCGCGCGCGTCGGCCTCGGACGCCGGCGGCGACCAGTCGGGCGGCGGAGGGCTTTCGCTCCTGTCTGACGACATGACGCGAAGGAGATCACGACGGCTACCGAAGCGTACCCAGGCCACAGGCGTTTCAAACGCGTCGAGGCGCCCTGTTTGAGCTAGCGTCGTGTAAAGACACTAGCATTTTGCTAGTGCCTTACACGACGCTAGGCGGCTCCGAGCTCGATTCGCCTCGCGGGCCTCTCTTGCGTCCTCTGTGGACCCAGGAACTGCCAAACCGGCTGCGTCAAGTCATAATCATCAACTACTGCCAGCGCGCGTGCCCTGCGTACGCCGTACTCGCAAAGCGCATTCTCCCTGAAAGAGAGCTCTCTGGAGCAGCGCCAGCATGTCGCACTACGGAGGCGGCGGCGGTGGCGGACGCTACGATGACAGAAGGGGGGGCGGAGGCGATCGCTACGGCGGCGGCGATCGCTACCGCGGCGGCGCCGGCGGCTACGGCTCGAACGACACGTACCGCGGCGGCGGGGGCGGCTACGGAGGCGGCGGCGGCGGACGCTATGACGATAGAAGAGGCGGCGGCGGCGGGGACCGCTACGGAGGAGGTGGCGGCCACTATGGAGGCGGCGGAGGGGGTTACGGCGGCGGAGGCGGCTACGGCGGGGGCGGCCCGCCACGAGGAGGCGGCGGCGGCTACGGCGGCAACCGCTACGACTCGTCGCGAGACGCCGGAAGGAACTGGCGCGACCGCGAGCTGGGCGGCGCGCGCGGCGGCGCGACGCATCTCGCGCGCATCCACGGCACGGAGGAGGACAAGGTGAACTGCCCGTTCTACTTCAAGATCGGCGCGTGCCGCCACGGCGACCGGTGCTCGCGCCAGCACCACAAGCCGCCCTTCTCGCAGACGATGATCGTGCAGCACATGTACCAGAACCCGGCGTCGCAGATCGCGGCGGCCGGCGGCGACCCGTCGCAGCTCGACCCGAAGAAGGTCCAGGAGGAGTTCGACGACTTCTACGAGGAGGTCTACGACGAGCTCGCCGGCTACGGCGAGATCGAGGAGCTCAACGTCTGCGAGAACCTGGGCGACCACATGGTCGGCAACGTCTACTGCAAGTTCGCGGACGAGGAGCACTCGGACGCGGCGCTCAAGGCGCTCTTCGGCCGCTTCTACGCGGGCCGGCCGCTCGTCTGCGAGTTCTCGCCCGTGACGGACTTCCGCGAGGCGCGCTGCCGCCAGTACGACGAGGCGGTGTGCACGCGCGGCGGCTACTGCAACTTCATGCACATTCGCACGCCGTCGCGCTCGTTGAGAAAGGACCTGGAGAAGCGCTACAAGAAGAAGTGGCGCAAGGCCCGCGAGAAGCGCGAGCGCCAGGAGCGCGGCGAGAGCGTGTCGTCGAGCGACGACGGCAAGGGCTCGCGCAGCCGCTCGCGGTCGCGCAGCCGCTCCCGCGACAAGGGCCAGGAGAAGGACCGCTCGCGCAGCCGCTCCCGCGACAAGGATGACAAGGAAAAGGCGGAGAAGTAGGCCCGCGTAACACTACAGCAAACACTCGGCGCGACGGCGTATGAGGGTTAAGCTCTCTAAGCAAACTAACTTAGCTACTCATGTCCGCCAGGACCGCGTCCGCGAAGCGGTCCCGCGCGAGCGCGCGCCGCAGGCCCCGCTTCGAACCCTTGCACGAGGCGCAGAAGTCGCGCGTGCCGTCCGTAAAGACCTCCGCGTCTCCCGCCAATAGCTTGCCGCACTTCGCGCCGTCGCAGTAGACGCCCTCTTCCTCCTCGTCTTCGCTATCGTCCTCGGAGTCCTCGTCCGTGACTATTAAGGGAGGCAACCCATTCGTCAATCGCGTCGCCGCGACGTCGTCGAGGTTCACGGCCGTCCGCACTGCCACGATCGTGTTATTGGTGGAGAGGGCCTCCCTAAATGCCGCGTCGCCCGCGTCATTTAGCGGGCATTGCCTCAAATCCAACACGCGGCAGCGCGCGTTCCCTAAAGCTGCACCAGCAACAGCGCCGAGCGGCGCGGACGTCGTCGCCGCGAACGCGTCCAGCGCCTCGCCCTCCGTCTGGCCGAGGGCCTCGACGACGGCGGCATCATCCAAGACGCCGCTTTCGTGCGTGACCTCGGCGCTCTGCGCGAGGACGAGCTCGGGCTCCTCCGGCTCGGTTCGCTCCTGCCTGGGCTGCTTGGCCTTTTTCTTGTCGACGGTCTTTCTTTTGGCTGGTGCTTTGCTCTGCGACTTCTTTGGCATGGTTACTGCTTCTGTGTGCAGTTATACAGTTACATCGCCCGCTAGCTCTGCCTCAAGATTAACTAGCTGTAAGACACTAGCCTGTAGCATTCTCGAGGATAACTCGTGACACTGGGTTCGATCATCAATTTTTACCCGTCCCCCGTCGCGGCGACGGCGTCGGCCTCGCACCCCGGGTCGTCGGGCCACGCCGAGCAGTATTCCAGTACAGTATCCAAAGGCCGCGGCCCGTCGCGGTCCCGCTCCGGCAACACCGCTCCTGCGGCCGACCACCGCGACTGCGCCCCAAAATTCAGTTCCGACACGAGCACGTCGACGCGGATATTCTGGCCGGGAAACCCTTCGTTCCCGAAGGGGTCCAGGAAGGACTTCGAGAGCTCCAGGAGGCCCTTGAAAAAAAACGTGAGCAGGCCGCATAGTGGTATGGACAGCGCGCCGAGCTTCGCGTACAAAGCGACGGGCGCGATGATGACCAGCGAATCAACTAGCACTTGTACAAGCTGTACATAAGCCAAGGGCATGCGCCCCGCCTGGAAGTCGCCGATCGAGAACATCTCTGCCCGGATCTGCGTCAGCTCCCTTAACAATCTCTCCTCGAAGCCGGGAGAGTCGCGGAGCGCCGCGTGGTCCACGCCTTCGAGCGCATACTGGCCGACCCACTCGAGCAGCACGCACCAGTACTGGGACGGCGGCAGGCCCGTCTTGAGCAGGGCCGTCCGCTCGTTCGCGGTGAGCTGCCCGGCGGCCACCAAGCTTCGAAGCCCTTGCGGGCTCAGGAGCTCGGGGCCCGCCTGGACGCGCTCGGACGGCTCGAGGTCCGTGGGGCCGTCGCCGTCCACCAGGCCGCCGTCGCCCACGCCGTCTGAGGTGGTGGGCGTCGTTGCCCAGAAGAACGTGTGACATAATCGTATCAAGCGCGCACAAAGCGTCACGAGCGCCGCGCCGTCGTCCGAATAGGTCGAGGTCGCACCCTCGACCTCACCACGAGTAGCACCGACAGCCAACAACAGACAGACGTCGTTGATGCGCCCCTGGATGGCTCTTGCACAAAAATAGACCGACCGGTAGTGCGCGTAGGCTTGTTGGGTGAAGAACGTCAGCACGAAGATCGTCAGCGTGAGCTGGTACTCCCAGAGCGTCGCTAAACCGCGCAGCTGCGAGATCAAAGCGTCCTCCGCCGGCGGCACGCCGAAGAGCGACCAGTCCGCCTCCGAAAACGCGTGCGCCAGGATGTCCGTCGTAACGGTGAGCGACATCGACGCGAGCACCGGCACGAGGACCATCTGGAGCACGGTGCCGCGCCACTTCGACCAGAGCCAGCCGCCCTCCGACCTATACTCGCACATGACCGGCCGGTTCGCGCGGTCGCTCGTGGCCCAGTCCGTGAGCTCGTCGAGGCGGCCGGACTCCCAGCCCGGCGTCGAGGGCATGCCCTGGAAGGCGCTGCCCGGCGCGCGGTATAGAGGGGTGACGGGCACGTCGTCGAAGAGCGTGCTCGCGAGGCGCACATTAGTGCGCGGCGGCGCCAGGCCCTGCATTTTCGACGACGTGCTTGAGAGCCGCACGGCGCCCCGCGGCGGCGCCAGGCCTTGCGCGACCGAGGACAAGGCTGCGGCTGCACTGAAAGTGCTTATCATATGATGCATCGTGTCTCACAAGTAGTCAACGCATGAACGTGAGATGGTAAACGACAGCCCGGCCGTATGATGGCAGTAATGCGATGCAACGCTGCCCTAGGTGAGACGTAGGGATGTCAGTATGCACGCTTTTGCAGCGCTTCTCTGCTGCGAGGTTAGTCTAGTGTGTCAATACACTAGCAAACGATGTCTGCTATTAGTCCTAGCACCGTAAAAAGCTAGGCGGCCTGCTCTACTAAGCAAAGCAAAAAAGTGAATCAAGTATGCAATGCATTACGGGGGGAAAAGGGGAACTCCTCACTCAAAACGCGAGCGCGGGAAACGCGTACGCCGCGTCGCCGAGCGCGTCGTCGAGGCGCGCGAGCTGGGCGCGCACCCGTGGTGCCGACGGCGCGGGAATGCGAGCAGCGAGCGCGTCGGCGCCGTCGTCGGGCAGGGGGAAGTCGGCCTCGCGTGGCCGGAGCGCGTCGAGGCGCGCGAGCCACTTGCCGTCGACCTGCTTGGGCACGACGCGTCTACGAGGTTGGGCGTCGAGGCCGACGGGCACCAGGTTCTCGGGCGCCTCGTAGGCCCGCTGGCGCCGGGACTGGGCATCGACGTAGTCGCGGGCCCGGGCTTTGACCGCGGCCTCGGCCTCCTTTTGCTTCGTGGCGAGGGCCCGCGCCCGCGCGACGGCCTCCTCGACGCGCAAATCGTCGAGCGTGCGGTCGCCGCCCGGCGGCGGTGCATGCGCGAAGGCCGAGGCGCATTCGGACCGCGGCGGGTTGCCGGGCGGCGGGGGCGGAGAGGGCGCGCGGCTTCTGCGCCTCACGGGCGCCGCGGCCGGCGTCGGCGCGCGGCCGCGCGGCGCGGCCTCCGGCGAAAGCGATCGCCGCGTGCTCGACAGGGACCGCCGTGGGCTCGCGGACCGCCGGGGCCGCCGCGGGCCCGCCGCCGGCCGCGCCGGCGCCGGCTTCGCGGCGCCGCGGCCGCGCGGCGGCGCGCGGCGCGGCGACAGCGAGGTCCGCGGCGACGCCGACGGGCGGCGCGGCGGCGTCGCCGCCGCTGGCGGCCGGCGGGCAGACGGCGAGGCGACGCCGCGAGGCGAAGCCGGCGCTTCGGCCTCGAAGAGCGCCGGCGGCGGAGGCGACCGCGGCGGCGACGCGTAGCGGCGCGGCGACCGCGATGTAGACGACGGCGAGCGGCTCCGCCGCGGCGTCGTCGGCCGCGAGAGCCGCTCGAAGACGTCCTCGGCCTCGGGCGGCGGCGCGCGCGGCGGCGCGAAGGGCTGGAGGAGGGCGCCGTCGGCGGCGACGGCCGTCGGGCCGCCGGCCTCCGCCAGCCCGCGGAGCGCCAAATAAGGCGCCTCTCCTTTCATCGAGCCCATGGGCACGAGCGAGCCGCCCTTCTCGAGGCCGAAACTCATGATCGAGCCCTGGTCGTCCGTCGCGACGACGGCCGCCTCGCGCGCCTCGAGCCGGACGACGCGGCGCCCCCCGTCGTCGCAGAGCGATCTTAATGAAGGCTCGTCCTCGTCGACGGCCCAGACGCTCACCAACCCTTCGGCGTGGCCCACGGCGAGCAGCATCTCCGTGCGTTTTAATGGACATATAGACGTCGGCGTGTGTTCGCCCGTGCTCAATTGGCGCGCGAGCGTCAGCGCAAAAACACCTTCGGCCTGGCCGAAGGCCCAGACCCGCACCTTCGCATCGACACCGCAAGAAATGACCACGCGCGCGTCGAGCGGGTCTCTTACGAGGTAAACGGCGGTCACGGCGCCCTGGTGGGCGCGCGGCGCCTGGGCCGTGCCCTGATCTAATAATAAATCGGCATTCGCCATGGTCTCCTCGCTTCGCGCGCGCCGCTCCACGTTCAGCGGATCCGCGGCGTCATATCCCGTACCGAGCGCGTCGCACGACAGCGCCGCAACTCTCACATCGCCGGACACGTCGCCCGTCGCGACGGCGACCGTCGACGCCTCGGACACGCACGTGATGCGTCTTTCGTGCCTACAGACGACTCTGACAGATGCGCCGCCCAGGAACGTGTTCTTGTTGCTTAGCGAAGAAACGCCCTTCAGGGACGCGACGCAGACGTCGCGCCGCGCCGCGCCGACCAGCAGGACGTCTCCATTTCTCGTTCCCCGGACGCAGCGCGCCACGGCCCACGGCCGGCCGCCCGTGGCGCCCGGCCGCGCGGGCTCGTTGACCGAGCCCGGCAGACGGAACACGGCCTCCAGGCGCGTGAGCGGCGCATCACTAAGTTGATGGTGCGTCTCGAGCGCGCCCTTGGCGCCGCCGTCAATCTCCCAGACCACGCCGGCGGCGTCGCCCACGACCAAACGATCCGCCGCCTCGTCGAAGGATGCCGTCGCGAGCGGCAGGCGCGGCGCCGCGTCGTCGACGTCGTCGTAGCAGCAGAGCCGCTCGCCCGTCTCGGGGACGAGGTCGCTGTAGCAGTCCGAGAGCATCGTGCTTGTTTACTGGAGCAGCGGTTTTGGGAGAGCAGCGTGGTGTTAAGCGGCAAGAGGTCGCGCGGTGCCGCTGCTTTGCAGGCAAGCGTCGACGCACAGCGTCTTGGAGCTACGTTTAAGCCGAGACGTATTTGACGGCCAGCAGGCGCCGAGTATACCGTGTTTTAGCCTGCTTTGTTTGATTTTCAAATATACCATCCCATACCATACCATACCATACCATACCATACCATACCATACCTAGCTCCACAAGACGACGAGCCCGCCGCCGAAGCGCGCGCGCACGTGACCGACTCCGGCCCCTGTGTTATACATATGTTTGCTTATAGCTGTCGGGCGCTCCTGTCCTTTCTTCCGTCACCCAACGCGCGGGCCCGGGTGCCACTGTTTCTTTGCGAGAGCCGGGCTCCCCGAGAGGCTGCCCCAGTGGCAGTGCTGGCCATCAGGTGTGGATAGCCTTCGGCGTCGGACCTACAGGCGTCGCTACGGCTGCCCATCGGGCGCGTCCTGAGCTGGACGCCAGAAACAACTAACACCGCTACACGCCGCCGCTGCGCCAAAAGGAAGCGCAACGATGGGTAGAACTAGAAACGCCCACAAGAAGCGCCTCCTCGAGAGGCAAAAGACGACGGAGAGCGAGTTTTATCGACGAGGCCATGAAGGCCTGCGGCCACTTAAGAGGGTCGTCTGCTACAAGGACGCGGACGAGACAACTGATGACTCTGATGGAGATTACCTTCAAGAGAAGACGACGAGGAAGAGGGCGCGGACGCAGACGCAGCCGCGGACGCGACGCGAGGTGGTAGTCTTTACGAGGATGATGACCCGCGGGTGGCGGCGCCCCACATTATTGCAGCTTACCTACTACGATTGCCCGTCCAGCCGCATGCGCGCCATCAAGGTGTGGGGCTCTGAGATTCCGGCTCCGGACCGAAGGCAGGCGACCCAACGCCGCGTGTTCGAGGGGAAGTTCATCAACGGCAAAAGGGTCATCGGCACCTATGCTGATAAAAAGTCAATGACCTTGCACACGCTGGACCAACCGTCAACAAGCGTCTACAGTGGCGGACGGCCGTACGTTGCAACGGGACCAGGAGAGGACGAGCGCGAGAACACCGGGTCCCACCTGGACATAAGCCTGCGTCTCATGAGTTTTCCCGAGGAACATAATATGGTGGCCTTTGCGCGCATAGAAGAGGCCATGAAGCGTCGCAAAAAAGACACGCGGCTCGTCCGCTTCATCAACCGGGCCTTTCCCTTTGAGACGGCGTGCCGCTTCCTGCGCGCGGCCATCAAGGAGCACGGCGCCGAGGACAAGTACGTCGTCCAAATGTCCGTCTGCGGCGCGATGCTCAACGCCGGCGGCGAAGCCGCGCGCGCCGTGGCCGGTCCGATGTTGCTCCTCGCGAAAAATTACGAGGCGTGCCGGACCTGCGAGGCGTTCCATAACGCGCGGACGGAGCTGCGCGGTGAGGCCGAGGTCCAGAAATTCAAGGCCGTCGTCCTGGGCGAGGCGGGCGACCGCTACGTCATGGACATCGGCGACGGCCGGGGCGAGGCCTGGCACGCCGTCGACTGCACGTGGGATCAGCTGGCCGCCGACATGAAGAAGTCCCTGGACGACGTTTTGAAAAAGCGGAACCTGCGGCGCGAGAACGTCTTCGTGTACTGCGACGCGACGCCCCCGTGCTCCGGCATCTCCCCCGTGAGCCACCCGTCGGACGAGGTGAAGGCGTCGTGTATGAAGCTCATCAAGCAGACCGACGCCTTCGTCCATCGGATGCACGCCGCGGGCGTCTTCGACGCGGCCTTGTTCGAGAACGTCAAGGCGTGCATCGACGCTTGGTAGGCGGGCGTTTTGAGAGGAGAGGAAACAAAACCGAAAGTGCCGCCGCGGCGGCGGCGCTGGGTGTAATGCGAGCAGGCGGGTGGCAAGCCGCGAGGCGCGACGCAGAGTCGTGTAAGCATTATTGCTTTGCTTCGAGCTCCACTCTATAGCTCCACCGGTCCTAGCACTGCTGAGGAGGAGGTATGCGGTAGAGCTATGCGGTAATGAACGCCCACTAGTCCTAGCACCAGTACGATAATCATAATGTTCTTGAAAGGCCAGGTTCGCGTCGTCGAGAGTATATATAGACAGGCCAAACATTACTAGGATACTATGAATCGCCACCACCACCGCCTCCGCCACCACCGTTCTTCCGCCAGTTCTTTCCCCCTGAACCGCCGCGCCCGCCGCCGCGGCGCCGGCCAGAGCGACCCCTTCCACCACGCTTCTTCTGCGACGAAGCTCCGGCCGGAGCCACGGGCTCGTCCTCCCAGTCGTCTTGAATGCTCAAAGGTTTCAATGACACCTCCTTCTCCACTTCTTGATCGTCAAAGGCTGACGACTTGTCCACCCGCTTCAGCGCGACGGTGTTCGGGTCCGGCCGATGGACCTCCGGAATGGACTTGAGGAACTGGCCCAGCGAGCCCCGGCCTCGGTACGACGTGTGCTTCGCGAGGTCCTTGACGTTCAAATCGAATCCTACTTCATTTTTGAAGGCTTGACGTAATTTGTCCAACACTAAAGTCTTGCCCGGCGCCGCTTCCAAACATCGCAGTATAACAGCCTTGGCGTCTATTTTCTCGACCTTGGGCGGCCTCGGAGCACGCACGGCAGTGGCAGCCCTCAGCGCCCTTGGTGGTTCTGGCAATCTACGAGTAGCATCATATTTATCTAACAGAGGCTGCAACGCGTTCATATCCACAAAATCGTCCGGGAGCCACTTCGCGAAGACCGCACCTAACGCGCCTACCAAGTCGATGTCCTGGCCGAAGGCGCCGCGCATCGGCGAGCGCCGCCCCTGCAGCGCGTCCTCGGCGCCCATTCTAAAAGCGTCGGCCTTCCGCTGTAAGTCGGGAGATAACCCCTGCTGGAGCTGCACTTCGTAGGACGAAGAAGGTAAGGTCGCGGGGTCCGTCGCGCATCTCAAACATAAAGCAAGCCACTCCTCACCAGGTGGCAACAATGTTAATTGTTCCGCCCGCGCACCGCCACCGGCCGTATCAAGCATGGTCCCCGCCACGGCGTACACTACTTGGTCCTTTGTAGTTGAGTGATGGACCGCAACGGCAGACAAAGAGTGAAACGGCATGAGGACTTGGGCCGAGGGCGGCGCCGCTTGTTGGGTCCCCGGCGCGAAGACCAATTTGTAGGCAGGTTTGGGCACGTCCAACTTCACGGAGACCTTATCACGTCTCGTAAAGCCGCCGTTCGGCCCCGGGAACCACTGGTTCGCCCACAGTCGTAGCTTGGCGTCGCGATACCCCTGCTGCATCGCGCTCAGCAGTCGAGCGCCGATCGGCAGGTCATTCAGCAGAGGAGCTTCGGACGGTGCATGGCCGTCAGCCGTAGTTAAGGGTCCATCGGGGGCGAACACGAACGCCGGTTTCGTGTGTTGCACTTGCGCGCGCCACCCCCCGAAGCGCCCCGCGAAGAAACATGCATCTAAAGCTCTTTCAATATCTCCGTGTTGCGAGGGAAACGTCGCGATCGCTTTCAGCGAACCTCGTGACGGACACTCGACCGCGATCACGGCAGGTAGTGAGTCCATGAGACCCTTGAGAGCTTGGACCTTCTGCTTCGAGAGGGACGCGTCTAGTAATACAAAAGGGTCCTGGGAATTGCCGCTGTCGAATTCTCTCGCTCTTCTGTCGACTTCTTCCCGCCCAAAGATCTGGTCGAACAACTCGGCAGCACCAGGAGCGTCCAACACATCGCGACAGGCCCACGCCGTTATATGACCTTCTCCTTTCTTCCCGGAAGGGTAAGAACACCACGCCGCCGCCAATTCGAACTGTAACGCCAGATCCTTCAATTGAGGCGTGATCTGTTGGGGCGGTAAGGGCTGGACGTCGTCTTGACTTACTAAATCCTTGCGCACGCCTTCATCATACCGAAACAGACTATCGGAAGGAAACAGGCGACACACATCGCCCCCGCGAATCGCATCCGCACCTTCGCCGCCCAATTCCACGCGAGCGCCCGGCTGTTCGGCTTCGACCTTCTTCACAGGTCTCTTCTTGTTCTGTTGGGGAGCGTTCGGCGCTCTTACGGCTTTTGTTTTTACGAGCTGCTCCTTCATCGTCCACACGAGCACGCATCGTAGAGCGTGCGCTTGCAAAGGGTCGTGGAGTTCTTGGACCGTTACTGGTCTTGCGGCGTCGCCACCTAGTGCTGCCCCTACTCGTTCTCGTAAATGATAACATGCTTGAGCACATTGTTTGGCCCTACCATGGGCTAAGCAGTGGGCTCGACAGAAGGAGGATCTATCTAGAGATGACGCGTAGGCCGCGTCTAGCCTTGCTAAAGCTAATGGTTCACTGTATGATCCTGCATCGAAGCGTTGTCTTGCTAATAAGCCATCCCTTACTAAAGCGTTGTACTCGTCCGGATCTTGATGTACTAGGGGGTTCGCTATTCTGAGAGGCGATCTCGGTAGAGATAAAACAGCCGCAGCGGCAGCAGCTACCGGCCCACAACCCAAAGCGTTGCCGACGGCAATCACTCGTCCTAGACGCAAGTCGACACCTATGAGAGCCACAAAGCGCCCCTGCGGCGTCAGCAAGCCCTCCAGAGCTTCCGCGGCCCGTCGCGCAGCAGCGGGATCACCATTGGTATCTTCCCAGTCGTAGTACTGGGCCGCCTTCGCGTCGCCCCTAGGTTCGGTCAGGAAGCCTTGTTTCCGCAACGCTGTTAATGAACGACCAACATGGTCCGCAGCCGGAGGTTCCAACGTCTGCGCGAGCATCGGGCCTACTGGCGCATCTAACATCGATCTCAGGTTTAGTACCACCGCATCTAGAGGTTGTCTGTGTATTTCGGACAGCTCATAGGGTCGCAACAGCTCGAACCTCTGTCTGCTATAAAGTCGCCAGCACCGGCCCGGTCGCACGCGACCCGTTCGGCCCGCTCGTTGCGTCGCCGAAGCTCGGGACACCCAGGCCGGCGCCAGTACCGCTCTATGCGACGCGGCGTCGTACCTCAAAGCTTTGTGCGTGCCCAGGTCGATCACGTCGTCGCAGTCTGCAAGTGTTACTGAAGATTCAGCAGAGTTCGTAGCAATGACGACCTTGAAGAACCCTTCTTCCGCTGACTCAAAAGCTTTCAACTGTTCCTCGTGGGCGATCTCCGAATGCACGGGTACTAAGTCGAAGCGCCGCGGCCCGCAGAACCCGCCTAAATTAGCTGACTCGAACTTCTCCGTCAGGTCCACGATGTCCGCCATGCCCGCCACAAATACCAAAACGCAGGACTTGCGCGGGTCTCTTGCTAAAGAACGAACTAAGTGCAAACACGTCTCGTGCTGCGATTTGCCCAACTCAGTGTTAGGGGCGTCCTCACTGATGTTCTGGAGGATCGCCGCATCAGACCCGCTCCGCTTGAGCTCGTCCTTCTTCTCGGCCGCTTTCCTTTTGAGTTCCTCTTTGCGCTTGCGTTCCCAAGGGGCCAACATAGCATCATTTCTCTCATCTTCTGGTGATGATAAACGTAGGCATTGAGCAGCCGTCTGTTGCGCCCGAGGGGCGAGTCTTTCCGGTAAAAAGCGATCGGCCGTACCATCAGCTAGATCATCAGCGAAAAAACAATCCACTGGAAACCGTTTCGCCCCCACAAAGATCGGTAGGGGAGATCTAAAGTAAGAGCAGTACAACTCCCCAGCGAGCGTGGCGGACATCAACACGACTTTGAGTCGTGGCGAGGCATCTAACAGTCTTCGTACTAATAAACATAGGATGTCGGCGTCGACGGTACGCTCGTGAACTTCATCAACAATGACGTGACTATGTTCTCTTAGGGATTCCGGGTGGTGTGCTACTAATCGTACGAGATAACCACACGTCACGAAGATGATCCTCGCGTCTAGTGCTTCGTCCCTGACACCATGACCGAGTCTCAGAGCAATGTCGTCCGGATCCGAATGCGTGTCTCGGACACGATCACACAGCGCCCTCGCCGCAATCCGTCGCGGTTGGCTCACGAACATCTTCGCATCGGGGTCGGCCTCTAGGAGTATGAGAGGCACGCGACTGCTCTTCCCGCAGCCGGTCTCTCCATGAATGACGGTGACGCGGTGCCTTGCGACATGTTCCGCGATCTTGTCGGCGTGGGCATCTATCGGTAAGGCCATGATCACTGATTCGCGTCGCGGCGGCTGGTTTGGCTAGGAGATGGTGAAATCGCTCTCCGGCACTTTGTGCTTGCGGAGCGCAGTTCTGCTTGCACTGGCGGCGCGGCGCGGCTGCTGTGCGCCTTTTGTACGTCTTCTGTGCTCGTTGCCAGCGCAATATACGACGCTGCGGCGGGACGGGCGACGACTTTGTCGAAATGCTAGTGTCCTTATGCCGCTAGCCCGCATCGCGCACATCCAAGCTCTCGGCACAGCTCAAGCCTACAATGTGGACGGTTCCAGCCCGAGCGGACGGAGCGGACGGGGTCCGCCTTTGGACCTGGGGAGATGGCCGCTGGATGGGCATTGGGAGCCGCAAAGCTGCCCTCCCGCGACGATGGAGCACAGTGTACACATGAAACGACGATGAGTTGTCATAGCTGAACCGCTGGGAACCATGCGTCGACGAGGTCTGCTAGGGCTGCCCAGCGCCCTGGCAGCCCCTCTGCGGCTGCTGGTCCTGCTGGCGCTGCTCCCGGTGACGCGTGCGATCTACACGCTCGAGATGTTCCGCCAGCCGAGCGAGGCCGTCGCCGGCTTGCCCTTCGGCGTGCAGCCCGCGGTCGCGCTCTACGACGACGACGGGCTCCTCGCGGCGTCGTACGTAGGATTCTGCTCGACGCTAGGCTACGTCACGCCAACCGGAACGGAGCAAGTCCTGAGGAACGGCACGGCGGGCCAGGACGCTACACGCGTAGCTTTTGTGGACGGGTACGCGGTGTTCGACGGGCTGTATATCAATGTTGCCGGTCTCTACGAATTGCAATTCGTCGCGGAAGACCCCGAGCTCTCAGCCTTCGCCTCCGCTTATAGTGATGAGTTCACCGTCGCAATAGGAGAAGCCTACGAGATCAGGGCCACGGCCTATCCCTCGGGTGGCGTCGGCGGCACGCCCTTCAGCATGCAACCGCAAATAGCCATCTACGACGAGGGCGGCAACGTTATTACGAGTTGGAACACGGGCATGTTGGTCGTGTCGATCATGGACACGGAGGAGTATCCGAACCCTACCGGTGCTACCTTGAAGCCAGAACGCAACACGGAGGCCTATTTTATCTTCGGCGAAGTCGGGTTTAGCGGTTTGTATATCGACGAGGCCGGCGGTCCTTACTACTTAAGGTTTACGGCGATGGGCTTCGGCGATACGATATTGCCGGGGGGCGCTACGACGGACATACCGGGCTTAACCGTATATGTGGGTTCTCCAGCTGTGATGGAAGTTTTAGATCATGCCTCATCGAACGCTTTAGGCGGGTCTGCGTTCCCGCAGCAGCCTAGGTTACGCATCGCGGACGCCGGAGGCAACACGGTGGAAGACGACTCGTCTTCACTAGTCGTGGCTACCCTAACGCAGAACCCCACATTAACGACGTTCAACTCCTTCGACCATTCCTATCAACTGGCGGAGTTCGGCATGGTGACCTTCACGAATTTGGGGATTAAGTCTGCGGGCAAGCAGTACGAGATCACGTATACGCTATTCTCTTATTCGGCATCTTCTCAGAAACACACGGAAACCTCAGTAAAAGCCGTCTCGACGAAGATCGACATCGCGCCGGGGCCCGCCGCGAGGTTAGGCGTGATCACCTTTCCGAGTGAGGCCATCGCGGGCGGCTCGGCGTTCGGGACGCAACCCGCCCTGGCACTGCAGGACCGAGGCGGCAACGCGTTGGCCTGGGCGTCCATCGCCGAATCGACGTATGAGGTCGAGGCGGACATCGCGCCGTCCCTAGGCGCGGACTGGGTCGGGGTCGTGTCGACGGCGGGCGACACGCCGCCGGGCGTCATCGATGTCAACGTCAGACCAGGCGCGGGCACGAACCCGACGGCGGCGGGCGATCCCGGAAGTGTGGACAATCTAGCGACGCTCGCGGCCGGCGATGTTATTGATGTGGAACTCACGTTTAACTTTGACGTCGTCGGCCACGAGGACCGAGGTATACCTTCCCTAGAACTCAATATCCGGAACAAGACGGGCGCCTATGCCTTAGCGTATTGTGTTTCTCTCGGGTATTGGAATACGATCCAGACTTTTAGATATGTGGTCCAAGACGGTGATTCATCATTTGTCCAAAGAGGCAACGATACGTCCTACCGCTTGGACGCCAAGTCCAAACGAGCCTTTTCTGCGAATGGCGGGCCCTTCTGGGATCCCTACTACCGGGCGCTGGATAACATCACGATGCCGGTTGGCCAAGATACTATAGCGAGTATGGCGAACAATACGCCTTATGCGGTGGATACTTCTAGACCAAGGGCGACGAACGTGTCGTTGAGCTACCCTTCTTCACCTGGTGTGTATGCGCCGGGTACCACGTTACGGTTTAACGTTACTTTCGACGCGGCGGTAGAAGTCGTGTTAGGCCCGCAGCCCTCCGCTGCGGTCTTCTTACCTATATTGATCGCACCGTCCTCACCGTCACCGGCGCCAAGTGTTTCGCCGACGCCGGCGCCGTCCAGAGATACGACGGTGAATGAAACGCAGGGCCCTACTCCGGGCCCCATCGATTATGGTGAAATTTCGTATGCTCAGTACGCGTCTGGTTCTGGAAGTCTGGTGTTGGTGTTTGAGTATCTGGTCTTACCAGGCCAGGACTCGGGCGGCACTCCTGTGCGATTACCGATCAACACGACGTCGGGCGGCTTCCAGCTACGACTAGATGCTGGCGCGCGCATCTATCGAAGGAGTTCCGTGCCTGCGACCGTGGCTTACTCCACAATAAACGCTTCTTCCGTCGAAGAAGCGGGCGTTATTCTAGACAACACGAAGCCGGCCGTCAATCGAAGTTATGGTGTGAGGTCATTGTCTCCGAACGGTACTTATTATGCGGGCGACACCATTTTACTAAGTGTGGGCTTCGATTCGATCGTGGAGTTGAACCCGGCGGCGCCTCTCGCATTATCATTGGATGTGGGCTGGCGCGTGTCCGCCTTCTACTCGTCGGGAGCGCCGGGCAAAATCCTCACATTTACATATGTAGTAGCGGAGGACGAACAATCGAGTCACTTGAATATCTATGGTGATGGTTCCCAAGCTCTGGCCTTTTCAGGCTTAGGTGGCTACCTGCGGAAGGCCTCGGACGCGCCTTCTGTGGATGCCGACCTTAACTTGAGAGCAGCGAGGTTTTCTCTGTTGAATACTTCGCATCTGAAGATCGACGGTAGAGCCCCTCAAATACTAGAGTACGGCATCAGCAGAAGAAGAACACCGGACGACACGGAAATACGAAAGAAGAATACCACAGTCGTCGATGACATCGTTACGATCTACTTCACGTTTGACAAGCCTGTGGTGGTGTTTGGGAAGCCGACGCTAGATCTAGATGCGTACGAACCGGAGGTCGCCGGCAATCCTGACAGAGTCGCTACTTATGATGCTGGTAATGGTACTGCTACCCTAGAATTTGTATATATACCAAAAATCGGCGACAAGACGCCGCGGTTGGGCATTACCACTTCATATACAGAGACATTACAAGGCTACCAGGACGGCGCCTTCGGCGGAGAAGGGAGTATTATGCTCGCGTCGGAGAATCCCACGGTCTATGCCAACACACGCCTATACTTAGCTGCGTCCGCCGATAGATATTATGGTAATCCGTTACATTTTGGTGGCGTGCAGAATCGACTCAAACAAGCGAATGCTACTAATTTCACGGCCGTGCGAGCGACGGAGCCGCGCCCGACACGTGTAGCAGAGGTATCGTTTGGCACTGATGATGGCGTGGGTGGCACACCAGGAACGTACGGTGCGGGCGACCGCTTCAAAATTAAGATTAGGTTCACGGACGAAGTTATATTTTCAGATCCCCCGTCCATATTCCTAAATACTGGTGGAGAAGCCTTGTACACCTCAGGAACGGGCACGGACACGTACGAGTTCATCTACTTCATCAAGGAGAGCGATGTGGAGGTGGAACAGTTCGGCGTCGTGAATATCCACTCCATCTTCGACCCTGGTATCCCGGGCTATCCGTCCACCTGCATCTGGTGCAACACGTCGGACACGTGTGGGTTGTTCGATCGTCTTGGAGTCGCGGTGAATATGTCCATGGGTAATTTGTCAAAACCCTTGCAGCTGCCGCCCGGCTATTCGATTGATGTCACACCGCCTTACATCACCGACGTGTGGTGCCGCACTCCGAAAAGCCCTTATCCCCCGTTACCGTACGGTCCTTATGGAGGCGACGCGAACTGGTACGCCGTCGGTGAAAGGTTAGAGTTTTCTATCTCGTTCCACCGCGACGTGGCTCTGACCGAGGAGGCCCCTCTGTTAAAGCTTGGGTTGGGCGCGAACGCGCCGTACCCCTACGCTACCTTCTATGAGTTTGTCGGGAAACGGATTATGAACTACGAGTACACTATTCAAGCCGGTGACTATACGCAGAATCTTACACTGAGAGCTATTACATCACGAGTAGATTCTGTATACCTGGACGCCTCCGTCACGACAACTCTAGCAAATTTATCATTGGACCACCACGGCCTCCAAGGCAAGCAACTGGGAGCGAATCGGTCGACGGAACCGATCGTGGTCATCACGGATCGCGCGCCCGTCGTCTCCAACTGCAGCTTCAAAGATGTGGTGGAGGACACGAAGTTAGTCCCGGGCGATCAGATAACAGTCCAATGCGCCTTCTCTTCGTCCGTCAGTGTCGTGGGCACTCCTGTATTGATGCTGAATGCGAATTTGGATGCCGAGGCGCAATACCGACGAGGTTCTGGTACTGCTATACTCGAGTTTGATTATAGAATAGAACCGGGCGACGTGGTACTGAGATTGGCTTATACCGATGCCTTTGCCATGCGACGGGGCAGAATCCGGGCGGACGACCACGCTCAAGATAAGGTGGAAGGACGAGGCCGCATCACGGCTTTGGGGTATACGCCGACGCAGGACGCCGATCTGACGCTACCGCATCCCACGACCAAAGGTAGTCTGGATTATGGAGACAAGATGCCCGTCGTGAGTGTGTCGTCCAACGCGCCTCGGCTTATATCATTAACAGCGGCAGCGACGTCGGGCGTGGTCCTCAACGCGGGCGACACGATTGTTTTTATTGCGTCGTTTTCCGCTCCTGTTTGTGTCTCGGGTAAACCAAGGCTCAAACTAGAAACGGGCAACATCGATAGATACGCTTCGTATATAAACGGGTCGAACACATCAAATATATTGTTCTCCTATACGGTGTCGCCGGGCGACGACAGTGATCGACTCGAGTACTGGAGTGACGCCAACGACGAGCGAACGGCTTTAAGCTCCTTCGAACTGCCGGACGGCGCCTGGATCCGGCTCCTCAGCAAGCAACCGATGGTCGACGCGGACATCAGATTATCGCCGCCGAACGCGGTCTTGATGTCGGCGTCGGGGACCTTGTACACGAAAGGCAAGACCGCGAAGGTGAACGCGTTGGGACCAGCCGGTGTGCAGTACTTGGACCTAGCAGCGGCGAACCCCGGCAAGCAGTGCATGATTCGATACAGTGCGGAGCACGAGTCCATGCCGGGATTTGTCTTTCGGGCGTCTACCTCCATAGATGTGGCTGGTAGTGCATCCACAAAGTTGCAAGTCGGCGACGCGGGGATCTTTGACCTCATGGAGGCGTCTCATGGAAGTAGAGACGGCGCCGGCCGAACCTCGTTGATGTCGCATAACCAGGGCCCCGGCGACTTGTTCGGCTGGTCCGTCGCGGCAGATGGTTCTTCAGGAAGGTTAATAGCGGGCGCCCCGGGCAAGGAACAGATCCAACCGGAGATCCAGTTGCTCACGGTCCAAGGAACGGCATTGGAGCCTCGACCGGAGGTCCAGGCCTATGGTGTGGGTGTCTTAGCCCAGCCGGCGGTCCAAAATTTCACCATACAAGCCAGTGCGGGTGCGGAGGTCGGCGGCACGTTTATCATGCAGTATTCCGATAAGGATGGCAATCTCCTGGCGGCGCCGGCGAACATACCCGCAACAACAAATCCGGACACCGCAGCAGCTCTACTCATGGACGCCTACCCCGACCTGGGGCTCGTGACGGCCTCGAAGACGCCCTACGACTGGTGCGCTTGCATTGGTGGCGCCGTGTGGTCCATTACGTTTGATGGGTTGCTTGGTATTGGTTCTGGGGAAACGGGCACTCTGGTATTAACTCCGGACGGCCTGACGGGCACGGGCGTATCCATCTCACCCATCACGAGAATTCACGAGTCTTCCTACGCCAATGGCACTTGGGTTTTGGAAGACGAGAGCACTGGCAATCGGACGGAGCCGCTCGACGCGCAGGCGACGGGCGACGACGTCAAGTACGCCATCCAAGATGCGCTGGGCTACAAGATCTCGAATGTTGATGTGAGCGAATATAATGATTACGGTAGTAGAAGGTGGGCCGTGACCTTCGCGGACATTCCTGGCGAGTCATCGCCAAAAAAGGCGCTGACGAATGATACGGGCTTATTTAACAACATCCCGCTCATCCAAGCCAAGAAATTGTCATTGGGTGGAGGCCCCGGCGCGGAGGCCTGGACGTCGAACATTCAAGATGGCGGAAGTCCGGTCTGGGGCCACTTTGGCGTCTCGCTCAACGGGGCCGGTCCTTCCGAACCCATATGGCACAACGCGGAGCCGGCGGAAGTCAAGGAGAAGCTCGAGAAGCTCGACTCTATTAGTCATGTGGAGGTGAGCAAGGTAGACGACTTGTTTGGCGCACGCAATGGCGCCCACACTTATCTCGTGACCTTCGCTGCCGTGTTACGCAAGGACGATTTCGGCGAGTGGGTCGGGACGCACGTCTACGACATGGAGCCCGTTCAGATAGACCATAGCATATTATACGGGTCGGACGCCGAGGTCCAAGTATTACAAGGCGGCTACGACCCGATCACGGGAAACACGACGCCGGTGTGGACGGGCGCGAGACGAGGGAAGCGGGGCGCGGGCGGCGGCGCGGCCTTCGTGTACTCTAGATCCGTGGTCTCCTCGAACGATCCGACGTACATGTGGTCGCCCGAATTTGCTTTGAAGCCGAACCCCGAGCACTACGCGGGCGAGCGGGCGGCTTTTGGGCATGATGTGGCGTTAGGTGCCGGGGGCAATACGGCGGTCGTCGGCGCGCCCTACTCCGAGAACCACGGCGTGTATGAGCAACAAAATATAAGTTGTGTTGCGGCCGGCGGCCATTTCCGGTTGGGCCTCATGAACGCGTGGACGCCCTGGGTCGCGTGGAATGCTACTATTGGAGAGCTGAAATCGGCTCTAAGGGGGAGGGTTTATGCGCCGGTACCCGGCTTGCATCCCTCGCCTAGGATTGAAATAGCGTCCGACGACGAATATGTTTGTAGCAATGTCAGTACGCAAGTGCGGATCACGTTTTTTGATCCACCCACCGGTCCTGGGTTTCAAACGTCTCGAGCTGATCTAGACCCTATGAGTATTGATCTGACTGGCGACTACGTGTTAGGTATCGAAGGTTTATATGGTTCTTCTTCCATTCAAGCCTCATTATCTGTGAGTGAAGTCAGAAGAGGTACAGCACAACCTCTAGGCTTAGATTCAAGAGGCGAGAACGCGGGCGCCGCCTTCGTCTTCAAGCGCGTTCCGGTAGACGCCACAATCTATGCGTCCGGGGGTGCGTGGGTCCAGGAAGCTCGACTCTCGGACGTCACGGGTTTTGTGGGAGACCGCTTCGGCTGGTCCGTCGACGTGCTGGACGATGGTACCACGAGAGTAGCCGCGGTCGGCGCGCCCTACGCCGGCGACGACGACGCCGGCGAGGTGCACATTTTTGCGGACTCTGGCAACGGTTGGGCCGCGATCACGGGGCTGCCCGTGCTGGACACGGAGGTCTACGGCCAGGTCCAGGGCGACGAGTTTGGTTTTTCTGTAGCCATGTCGCTGCGCAGTTCTGGTTTAGCCACTTTAGTGGTCGGCGCGCCGGGCGCCGACGACGACCGGGGCGCCGTCTACGTGTATACGGCGGAAAACATGGGCAAGGCGAGTACCAATGGTTTCTCGCTGTCGCAACGCCTGACGGCCGACGACGGCCCGTCGTTGTATAACGGACAGCGGTCGCGGGGCGACCGGTTCGGGTGCTCCGTGGCCATGGATGAAGATGACATAGTTATCGGAGTGTGCGGCGCCGCGGACCGTCCGAGAAGGCGCGACGCGACGCCGGAGCGAAGTGGCGCGGCCAAAGCTACCGGTGCTGTCGTTGTTCTCGCAAGGCACTGCGCGCTGTGTCGATGGGTCTTCATCGAGCGATTAGTAGCGACGAATGTGGGACGGGGCGATCGACTGGGCCATCGCGTCGCGATTGACGACGGCATTATTGTCGCGACGGGCGTGGGCGACTTGCAAGGCGCTTTTGATCGAGGCGAGCCGCCCGACCTTGGTGGTCTAGGCCCGCAAAGATCCGTCTGGCAAATACGCACGAAAAAGAAGTGCGAATTAACGGGACATCTCAGGAGGCAACTTCGGAAGAACCGAGGCCAGTGCGACATCGGCGGACGGTGGAAGGTCGGCTTCCGAAGTACCAATAGGTCGAAGCTCGAGATGCTGTGTGTCGACGACGCGCACTACTCTACTCTTGGCTTAAGAGTCTGCGAGGGCGTCCACGACATTGTAGGTGTGGAAAAACGAGTGAAGGACACGATCATCATGTCGGATAACATGACCGAGGGCGAGCGCACGAGGTGGTCTCAAGAAATTGAAAAAGATGCTGACTATTTAGCTGTCGAGTATGCTTTAGAGAGTGAGTTGTTAGCTGGAGAGGTCACGGTCACCGGTTCGGCACCTGATAGTGAAGGCCAGTACAAGTGGAACGTCACGTTCTCGGGTACGGAGAGTGGGGATTTGGAGATCCTACCTGGTTTGGAGGCGGATGGCTCTAGACTACTGAACGGCTATACGGAGGTCGAGGAGCTAAGGCCGATGCCCCCTCGTTTAAGGGGCGTCGCGCACATGTTCACGCGGGAGACGCAACCCGGCGAAGTCATTGGGACCTTCGTCGAACAAGCGCTGATGCGGCCGTTCATCGCGCAGCGCCAGGACGCGTACGGCATCGGCGCCGCGGTGTCGGGCGACATCGCCGCGGTCGGCGCCCCGAACACGGATAGTGTAGAGTCAGGCGACAATGCCGGCGCGGTCTTCGCGGCGGACATCAACTGGGTCACGCTAGGCTTTGAAAGTGCCAAATACTCTGTGGAGGAGGGTTCCTCGGTGGATGTCGTCCTAGCGAGGAGAAGTGGAGAAGGCATCCGCGACGACTCCGCACCAGAAAGACCCATTTCGTTCTTCCTGTGGACCTTTGCTCGCAATTCCGACAAAACAACACAAAAGTGGCTCGCGGACTTGTATGGCCTCTGGGGCGACCGGGCCGTGCCCGCGGCGCAGACGGCAGCGGAGGTCGTCGGTGCGGGCAAGGCTCATGCTAGAGCGTCGTGGTACGGCGGGACATCCAATAGTAGTAGGTGGGTGGACGGCGGGCGCGACGACACCGGGGCGTCGGACTTCGTGCCGATCGGCTCACGAGGGCAATTAGCACCTATCTCATTGGAGAACGGGCGGTTGCCCGATTCATTGACGCGACGCTATTCCTTAGCGGTAGAAACGACGGACGACTTCATCTACGAGAAACCTGACGAAGAGATCATTGTCGGCGTCTGGCTGCCGGGCATGTTCCCGTCGCCCCTCGGGCATTTGCGTACTTCGGTAAAAGTGGAGGATGACGGCGACGGGTTGGATGGTAGTGTGCAGGCCTTTGAGCGGTTGGGTGAATCAGACAGTATGGAGGATTTAGGCATTGCGCAGCCGGACACCACAGAAGATGACAAACGGGGCGCCGGCTACTCCGTCGCGGCGTTTAACGACACGAAAGGACGGGTGTATAGGGACGATAGTATGACCGTGGAGATAGGTAGGATACAGGGCGACGACCCGTGGTACGTCGAAATGATTTCAGTGTTAGGAGCGCCGGACCACAATTCATCGCGAGGTCAGGTTGTCATTTACCGACGGAAGCGGGGGTCCTGGTCGTATGAACAGTCTTTGTCTCCCATGGATGTTCCTCCTGACAGATGGAACGTCAATACATCGACTGGACGAAGGCCCTTCGCGGCGACGATGATCGAGGATCGGTTCGGGGAGAGCGTCGCGGGTTCTGCTGCGCATGGTCGTAGAAATGGAGCCACTATATTAGTGGGCGCGCCCGGCGCGGCGCAGGTCTACGCCTTCGTCCGTCGGAACACCACGGAAGGCTTACCGTTGGTCATGAACGAGTTCAATAATGTAACTTTACAGAACAAGACGGAAGGTACATTGAAGTGGACGCTTGAGGCTATTTTAGAGCACCCCGACGCCTACAGGGCCAAGCACAACTTTGGCGGGCGCGGGGCTATTGCCATCGACGGCGACTGTGCCGTTGTGGGTGCTTCGGGAGTGGAGGCGGCCTACGTCTACCGGCGGGTCTACCATCACACTCATAAAAAATTTAAGTGGGAGTTCACGGAAAAATTACAGTCGTCAGACTATGATTACGACGTCTTGTTTGATGGGTTGATCACAAAGGTGCACGAGCAGGGCTTCGGGTCGTCGGTAGCCTTCTCGGAGAACACGATTGCGATTGGGGCGCCCTTTGCGGACTATGGGAACAAGGGTGTCGTGGGGGACGCGGAGACGCGCGACACCGATGGTACCGACAATAGACGCTTAGGCAGGGGCAAAGTATACTTGTACTACTCGACGCCGCCGGAGGTCGTGGTCACGTTGCGAGCGGATACCGTGTTATCGAATGGTACGTGGAAGCTAGGTCTGGACGACTACCGCAATGCCTCGTGTCTCACGAACGAGCTAGGCTTAACGCCGACGGCGGAGGTGATCAAGAAGGAACTAGATGACGCTTGTAGCTCATTATTAGCGGGGATACAAATCGAGGTCACGAGGCAGGATACGGTACTACCCACAGCTTCGGGCGGCGGCCGACTCGCGTGGACGGTGACCTTCTTCGGGGAAGCCGGGGAAGCGCCACCTCTCAAGCCGACGTGGCGAGGACGGGGCTGCTGGCAGTGCGACAAGTTTAACGACGGCTGGGCCCAGATGCCGGACAAGCAGGTGTTAGCTGAACCGAAGCCAGACGCGGCCTTCAAGGGCCACCGGGGGCCCTTCTTGGAAGTGGGGAAGCTGCAGGCCGAGGACCGGACGTCCGGATCGCAGTTTGGGGCTTCTCTGGACCTAGATAAGGATGCTCTCATCGTGGGAGCGCCGCGCGCCCCGGGCGTCGCGTCGACGACGTGGGATTTTGAGACCGGCGACTTGACGGGCTGGCGTCAATCAGGAGACGCCTTCGTCGAGCAGCCGACGTTTGGCGATGGTCCCAAATTCAGGCCGAACTTGGAAGGTGGTTATGGGTCGGACGGGTCGGCACTCATCGGCGGGAAGCCCCAGGCGGCCTTACCGCGCGGTCGGTACTTCGTGGGCACAAAGGATGATAGAGGAAGGAAGTCGGGGACGTACATTGATCCTTCTACCAACGCCGCGGGTACCTCGCAGGGAGACATACCTACGGGTACATTAACGGCGGAGCCCGTGACGATACCCTACGCCCAGAGTACCATCAATCAGTACGACACGTTGACCGTGTCCTTTCTCATTGGAGGGGGTTGTGATCCTAGAACGGAGTACGTGGAATTATTGATCGATGGGGTGCCCGTCGATCGAGCCACTGGAAGTTGTCACGAGCGGCTGAGGAACGCGTCCTTTGACCTGACGCCGTTCCAGGGGCGGACCGCGGTCCTGAGGGTCGTGGACGCGTCCAAGTCGAGATGGGGCCACGTCAACGTCGACCACGTGAAATGGAATTGGCCGGCGCGCGGCTTCGGCGCCGGGCGGCGCGAGGGCGTCACGGCTATTAAACCTACGGACGACGTGTCGTTGATACACGAGGAGAAGAACGAGCTGTGGTCAACAGGAGGTGGGTTCGCCGGCGAGACCGCGCGAGCGGGGGCGGCCTATACTTACAGGCGAAGGGACCCCGACGATCCTAATAGAGGCTGCTTCGACGAGAAGGAGAAGTGCGTCTGGGAGCTCGCGTCGAAACTGCTGCCGTCCGATAGAAGGCGGGGCGACTTGTTCGGGTGGGACGTGGCCATCTCCGATACCACTGGTAGAGCCGCTGTCGGCGCGCCCGGCGCCTCGGCCACGACGCACTGGAAGCTGCCTCCACCGAAAAGGCCTGTTGGTAGAGCACCACCTAGAGATGCCCCTACAGCCTGGACGCAATATCTCAAGGACTACGAGACGGCGCACGTCGGTTCGGATTACATTGACCGAGGCGCGCCGGTGCGCCTGCCGATGGACCGGCACGACACCGAGAAATATTCCAGGGATCTGCGGATGGCTTCTAGGCAGGACGTGCCCGCGCGAAGTGGAGCCCAGGCTATTTGGTCTCAAAGACGGAGGGACGTCGCGGAAGGCGTCGAACCTCAGCACTCGTCACCTGCTATAGATGAAGCCAAGCAGGCCGGCGCCGTCTACGTCTTCGAACGGAGCATCGCGGACGTCAATCCTGTGACTGGCGAGACGCTGATACCAGCGAGGTGGGCGGCGCTCGAGACGGCTCGATTGCAAGCGCCCGAGCGCATGGCGCGCGCGTTTCTTGGAAGTGGCGTCGCGTTCGCCGGGCGAAGCGTCTTTGGCGGCCAGCCGGGCTCCATGGCCTTCGGCAGTAGTGCGGGAGATGCGTTAGTGTGGGACACGGACGTGCTGAGAGTGCGCTTCTTAGCCGCGGAGTTCGCGGCCGTCGAGGGCTTCCAGCCGACGGCGACGATTACCATTGTGAGAGACTTTGAATATGCTCAAAATGAACTCACGGTGGGCTACTCGACGGAGGATCTCACCGCGCGCGGCATCGACGACGACGCCTGGCTCGGGTGCTCCGGCGGCCCGGTGGACTCGGCCCCGACGACGGGCTGCGGCGACTACGTCCAGACCGCGGGCGTGACGACCTTCGGGAAGGGCGAGATCGCCGCGTTCTTCTACGTCAACATCGTCGACGACCCGTGCACGGAAAGTGCCGAGTACGTCCAACTTTCAATATCGGTGCCGGGCGCGCCCGCCTTGCAGGGCGAGCAGTTCCTCGCGCGGCTGCGCATCGACGACGACGACTTCCCGGAGCTGGCGAGCTCGGAGCTCTGCCCCGATACGGGATTCAAGGCATCATAGCTCGGAGCTTAATTTGATGGTTATGTTAGTTATGCTTCATTTACATTTACTTATAGAGCCCCCTTTTCCACGAGCCTCTGCTCGACCTCCTCGTAGAACGTGCGTTCCCGCTCGACCTCGTACAGAATATGGACCTTGTGGCCAAAGTCGTCCATCACCCGTAGGCAGATCCCCAGCTCGCAGACCATCATCACGCCTTCGCTCGCAAATGCGATGCTCAACTTTATGTCGCGGAAGCCCTCCGTTTTGGTGAGAAAGGAGTTTTTGAGGCGAGCGAGCCCGACGAGCCCGCTGTTCGACGGCGCGTCCTCGCAGAGCGCGAGGGCCTTCTTGACGGCCGCCTCCATTTCCTCTGGCGTATTGACTACAAGACGAGCTCGCACCAGGTCAATGATGTGGGCCGACGTAGGCCAGGCCTTGTCCCCGTAGTCATTCTCGGCCTTGGCCTCGGCGCGCTCGAGCGTCTTGATTGGGCCGGATAAAACCTCCCCGAACGTCATGAAGTTTGTCTCCACCCAGGCCTGGTACTCTCCGTTGACCATCCGCGCCACCAACATGAGCTTAGGCAGATAGACCTTCATGTCGTAGAACTGCCGCGAGGCCTCGTTCGGCAGCTGGTCGGCCGTAAAGTCCGGTTCGTTCGTGTCCAGCTCGTCCTGGCGGAGGATCTCGTTTTGGTTGGGGAACAAGTCGGGCTCGGAGAGCCTGGCTATCCCGGTGGCGAAGGGCTCCAGGGACCGCACCAGCTCGGCGTTTATCGTCTCGATTTCCGTCGCCGCCCCGGCCAGCAGCGTGTGGAACAGGAGCTCGCCCTTTGCCGCCTCGTTCGTGCTGCGCCGAAACCAGATGTTGCTCTTGAGCAGGCTTTTCTTAAAGGCCTTCCACACGTCCTTGCTGATCGGAGGCTGCAGCGTGTTCTTGGCGGTTTCGATTATCCTCTCTTCCAGGCCGGCCTGGTCGGCGTGGTAGCCGAACGCAAGCAAGTCCTTCGACACAGAACTGAGGCGCTTCCCCGTCTGCGGATTTTCCAGGACGCTCGCGAGCTGCGCGATGAAGCGATCCTTCTCCAGCGCTTCCCCGAGCGTCTCGCCCACCGCCGCCGCCAGCTCGTGCTCCGCGATGACCTCCTCCACGCGCTCGGCGACGCGCAAGCCGCGCTTCTCCGCGGTCTCGCGGCACTTGATGCCGGAGCTCTTCATCAGGCGCATGAGGTTGGCATCCGTGCTTGCGCTCGAGCCCATGACCTTATTGATGTCCGCCGCCTTGAGTAGGTACTTCTCGGCCCGCGAGTGGAGCTGATCGGCGTCGCCATAGGCGCCGGCGTCGAGAATGATGCCTTCGACCACCATCTCCTCCATGAACCCGTAGACCTTTCCGAGGTCCTTGCAAATATTGGCCGTCTCGGCGGTGGACTCGAGCCCCGCCGCTTTGCGGAGCTCAATCGCCTCCTCCGAGAGCCGCAGACTCTCCAGGCACTGCGCCGCACCGTCCATCCCGTCGAGGTCGAATGGACCCGTTCGTCCATGGAAAACGGAGCATCCAGAGCAGTAGTACAGTTCCCCCAGCGCCGCCGCGCAGGCGCCGATGGCGAACGGCTGCGCGGCAGCCGCGTGCGTTTCGAAGAGACGCTGGGCGCCCTTCAGCTGCCGGACGCCCTCTTCGAAGGCCGTGACCACATCGCTGAGTCCAAGCGGCTCGAGCACGTAGAATTCCTGCTCCATGGCGTCGAACGCGTTGTTTTGCGCCATGACCCCCAGGAGCTGCCCGAAGCGCAGCTGGACCTCCGCCAGGCAGAGCCCGACGACGGCATTCGTCGGGTCTCCCCGGTGGTGGGCCCCCAACAACTCGAGCGCGTACCGCGAGGCGAGGCAGCCGTCGGTCATGGCGTCGTTGCCCCCCGTTCCCACGAAGGTCTGGTTGTAGATCGCGAGCACGGCCTCGTGCGTGTGCTTCGCGAGCCGAGAGCCCGTCTCCACGGCGGCGTGGACAGAGACGCCGCTCGCAGAGGGCAACGCGCCGCCGCCACCAAACTTCTGGGAGAGCCGCACGGCATCTTTTCGCGCCGCGTCCGGGAGCTGGGCCAAAGTCGAGGGCTCGGTGGCCTCTTGCTCCTGCACGGAGGCACCGGCACCCATGATAGCGGCTGCCCAAGCGCCGTGCGCCTGCAAACCTAGTGTGTCTCCAGACGCTAGCGGCAAAGCACTCCATCGACTTGAACTCGGCGTGTGAGCTGCAAGATCGTCGCACGACGTCAGAAAGAGCTCGCATTATAGCTCCGTCCAGCGCTACACATACCGCATCATAACCAGTGCCTACATTGCACCACACATGCGACACTGCATCTGCTCCATGCTGCTGCTGCTGAGGCTGGCGAGAGGCCTCCAGCGCACGAGTGCCAGCGCACGCTTGACGCCGCGAGGCCTCCAGCGCACGAGTACCACCGCTTGCCTGACGCCGCGGCGCGCGGCATCCGCAGCCGGCGACTGGCTTGGTCACCGCAGCGATCCGCTCGTGCCGGCGTCGGGTCCCGGAGACGACTGGATCGCACGCATTGCTGCGGACGACCACCCCGGAGGCTTCGCCGCGGCGAAGTCGTTCGTGCCGAAGGGTGCGACGCTCACGCATCCGCCACGCATCCTCGTGCTGCACGGGTCGCTGCGCGAGACGTCGTTCAGCCGCAAGCTGGCCAACGAGATGGCTCGGCTCCTAGAAGTGCTCGGCTGCGAGGTGCGGTCCTTCGACCCGAGCGATTTGCCGGTTCGGGATCCCACAATAGAGGACCACCCGAAAGTTGTCGAGTTACGAGCCCTCTCGGAGTGGAGCGAGGGCCACGTCTGGGTGAGCCCCGAGATGCACGGTTGTATCACCGGCGCGTTCAAGAACCAGATCGACTGGCTGCCCCTCAACACGGGCTCGGTCCGGCCGACGCAGGGCCGGACCTGCGTGGTTTTACAGGTCAACGGTGGATCGCAGTCGTTCAACGCTGTGTGGAAATCAACCAGTGAGTTAGGTTATCCTGAGAAATATTGCGTGGACCTTCGTGAGCCTCCACGCCATCGAGCCGACGTGGCCACGGGGACAATGTCGCGTCGATGGCGTGGAATCGCCACGCCATCGCGCAGACGCAGCTACGGAAAGCACGTCGCGTCGATGGCGTGGGGCGCCCGAAATTTGATTTCCACACAGGTTCAACGCCGTCAACGAGCTGCGGAGGCTCGCGCGGTGGATGCGCATGCCCTGCTGCACGAACCAAAGCAGCGTAGCGAAAGCGTGGAAGGAATTTGATGAGGAGGGCCGCATGAAGCCGTCGGACTTCCGCGACCGCGTGGTCGACGTCGCCGAGGAGTTCCACAAGTTTACATTAATTATGCGCGAGTACGCCGACGACCTCAACGACCGGTTCTCGGAGCGGTCCGAGAAGTACGAGCAGGGGAAGCTGCTGACGCAGGCGGAGAAGGAGAAGATGCGGTCCGCGTAACGTGTTGTCTATGTTCTTTTTACACTGAACTTACGGTTCCAAGCGAATCGGAAGGAGGGGATGGGGTCGTGGCAAACGGGAAGGGGGCTCGGTCGGCGGCCCGCGCCCGGCGCCCCGCCGCCCGGCCGCGCCGCGCTCTCTCCAGGAGGAGCGCGTCGCGTGGCGGGGCGGCGCGGGGCGGCGGCCGCGGGCCGCCGGCGCGGCCCTTACTTCGCCGGCTTGCCGGCCTGCCGTGCCGATCGCCGCGGGCCCGCCGGCTTGGGCGACGCGGGGGCCTTCTTGGCGGCCGGCTTCTTGGCGGCGGGCTTCTTGGCGGACTTGGCCGCCGGCTTGGGCGCGGGCGCCTTCTTCGGCGTCGCCTTGGGCTTGGCCACGGTCTGCGGGGGCGTGGCGCGTAAGCGTCGGTCGATCGGTTGCGCGAGCGAGGACGAGGGTACGGCATCCACGCCATCGAGCGGGCGCAGTCACGGGGACGCCGACGCGGCGACGGCGTTACAGGGGACGCGGCACACGCGCCTTCTTCTTCGCCGGCGCCTTCTTGGCCGCGGGCTTCTTGGCCGCGGGCTTCTTGGCGCTCTTCTTGGCCGGCGCCGGCTCCTCCTCGGGCTCGGCGCTCTTGAACGGGCTGATCGACTTGAAGAAGTTGACGATGGCCGCCATGGTTGCTCAGTCTGGGTTCGCCGGGTACGGCAACGCGCGACTTAGCCTGCGTGGGTTCCGTCAAGGGTGCTGTCCTGACGGCGGTTTCGTGGTGTTGGGCGCGTGTGTGACGGCGGGCCGTTTCGGGCGCACGCGCTGTTGTGCCGCGGCCCTTGCGGCAGCGCCGCAGCAACGCGGCCCAGCGGTACCGCCGCGGGGCTCGCGCGCGCTCAGTCAACCTCATTTACGGGTGCTAACTGCAGCCGCCCGCGCAGCGCGTCTAGCACCGTTTGAAGCGCGCCGTCTTCGCGTTGTATCCAAGCTCTCGTACAGTACGAAGCATAACAAGGTCGAAACGCGGTCAGGCGACGTTGTGTTGCGGCGTGAATAGCCAATTCAGTGCAAAAAACAGGCGGTTATAGTATGCCTTATAGTCACTAGCGCAGGCCGCGTACCCGTCTCAGCGCCGTCGCAGCCTCTCTCCCGAGCCCTCCCGTGGTCCGGGCGAGCACGAGACCGCTCGACCGCCTGTCCGCCAAAAACCCACTAGCCAGCCGCGCTCGCGAGATTCTACAAGGACCCCTCCCCCTCCAAAAAAACGAAACACAAGAAAAACCTCACTCCCCCGCGAGACCAGCATGCTCCGCCGCGTACGCCGCCAGCGCGTCGACGAGCGCCGCGGCCTCGCCCCGCACCTCCGCGAGCCGCGTCGCCGCGTCGTCGCCGACGGTCGCGGTCCGCAGGAAGTCCACGACCTCGCCCCGGATTTCCCCGACGACTTCCGGGGCGAGGGCCACTTCCGAGACGAGCGCGTCCGCCTCGGCCTCGACCAGGTCCGCCACATCAGGAGAGACGTCGTCTCGCGCCCGCACGTACTGGCCCACGGCTATATCCAAGAACTGCGCCGCCTCGACGCGTCCACTACTCTCGCGGAAGGCCTCGACTGCGTCGACCAATTCCTCGCTATGCTCGCGCCACACGTTTCTGGCGACGCGTTGCACGTCGGACGGTGACAGTACGACCACTTCTTGCCGCGCGGCGTGCTCGCCGGGCGCCCAGCGCGCGCCCAGAGTTGTCTTGGTAGAACGCATCACCTCGTGCCGACACCGCAGGTAAAACAACAACGCGTCGGCGTCCCAGGTCTCGGCGAGGAACCTCGCAAACACCTCGGCCTCCTTATTGTGGATGCGGTGGTGCTCGGCCGAGCATAATAAAGCCCAGCACTTCTTTTCCACGATACCATCGACGCCGGACTCGCGCATGAGGCACGCGATGACGAACTCCGGGAACCGGTCCACGTCCACATTCTTCTGGAGCGCCGCGGCGTCGCGCTTGTAGCGCGCATCATATATACTTTCTGCTGTTCTCATCAACCACGGGAGCGGCTTGACCTCGGCGGTCGGTGAGGTCCCGACGGCGCGCCAGATGAGCGAGGCGAAGCGGGGATACGCCAAGGTATTGATGGACGCGACGTCGGGCGGTCCTTCATCAGATTTGATGGCGCGCGCGAGGCGCTCGCGCAGCGGCGGCTTTGCCTTCGCCGCCGGCTTCTCTGCAAGTGCGGGCGCGTCGACGCCCGGCGCCAAAATCCGCAAATTCGCGACCCAGGCGTCGCCGTCCTGCCGCGACTCGACGTTCCGGTTGGCTAGCATGGTCACATACCTTCTCCGCGCCTCCGGCGCGAGCTCGCGCAGCACGACGGCGCACCGCGGCGCGAAGGGCGCGGCGTCCATCGATGCGACTGTTTCTGGGTTGTGGGTGGCGTGGGGCTGCCTAAACGTGCGCGCCGCGCTTTTGCGACAGCTAGCGGCTGTAAGGCACTAGCCTTTTATGCCTGGCTCGCGTTTGCAGCATTTTGCATCGTAGGGCTGCCCCCCAGCGATTTGACCGTAGAAAAGATGATCCTCACGCAATGCCCCGTGTGCGCTGCCCCCCTGCCGCACACCTCAGCCAAACAGTGCAGCCGCTGCAAGACGCGCTACTGCGGGCCGGTCTGCCAGAAACAACACTGGGAGCAAGGAGGCCATGATAAGCTCTGTAGAAAGATAAGGAAAGGCGGCGGCGCCGAGCAATACCACGCAAATAACAAGTACGCGGAGGCTGTAACGGTCGCGGCGGAGGCGTGCGCGGAGGACACGAAGGGGCAGACGTGCTATATTTGTACACAAGCGTTGCATTGGAAAACGAAGGAGGGCCTCGTGCGCGGATGCGCGTGCCGCGGAACGGCGGGCTTTGCACACGTGAGCTGCCTGGCGGAGCAGGCGAAGATTTTGTTCGCGGAGGCCGAGGAGAACAATTTGGACTACAACACGTTGGGTACGAGGTGGAAGCGATGGGACACGTGTAGCCTGTGCGAGCAAAAGTACCACGGCGTCGTGCGATGCGCGCTCGGGTGGGACTGCTGGAAGACGTACCGTGGGCGGCCGGAGAGGGATGAATTTCGGATCACTGCGATGAGGATGCTAGGGAGCGGCTTAACCTGTGCAGGACATGACGAGGACGCGTTGCCCGTGAAGGAGGCGGAGTTGGCTATGCTGTGGCGGCTTGGCGCGTCATTACATGAAACTCTCGTCACTCAGAGCAATCTCGCAAATACGTATATGAAGGTCGGACGGCTAGAATCGGCCCTACAGATCAAGCGAGACGTGTACTCTGGACGCGTGAAGAAAGACGGCGAGGAACATGAATATACCCTCATAGCAGCCAACAACTATTCGTCGTCCCTTAATAGTCTCGAGCGCTTCGAAGAAGCCAAATCACTGTTGCGCAAAACGATGCCCGTAGCACGACGCGTTCTCGGGGATAATGATGAAAACACGCTCAGGCTGAGGTGGAGCTACGCGAAGGCGCTCTACAGGGACCCCACCGCCACGCTCGACGATCTCCACGAGGCCGTGGAGACGCATGAGGACTTGGAAAGGATCGCGCTGCGCGTCTTCGGGGGCGCGCATCCGGCCACCGAGATGATTCAGGGCTCGCTACGGGAGTCGCGAGCGGCGCTCAGCACCCGCTCCGTCTGCGAGGCCATGGCCGCGATGACGCCGCCCGGGGACGCGTAAAAGCAACCGCCTATACTTACGTCACGGCTGGGGGATCTTGGGGATCGTCGGCACCGTGCCCAGCAAAGTGCCGGGGTCGAAGACGAAGTCCTTGTCGAGCTGGTCGGCGTTCGGCGTGTGCTTGGCCAGGATTCTAGGGGTGGCGAAGGACGGCGGCGTCTTGACGGCGGCGGAGGACACGACGGGCCGCGCGACCTGCTCGGGCGGCGTGCCCGACCGCGGCCGCGCCGCGCTTTGTAAAGACGCGTTCGCCGAGAGGCGCGCGACCTCCCGATCTTCGCTGTCTTCGCGGTCCGCCCGATCCACTAAGAAGACCTCGATGGGCGCGAGCGGGCTCCTCAGTCGCAGTTGGTACTTCGCCGTGCTCGTGCTATGGGGATCGGGCACTTCGAGGTCCGTGCCCGGCGGCGCCCGCAGCGCGATGATGGTCTCATCGCTCAAGCCGGGCACGGCTCGCAGATCCGCATGCGTCACTGATAAATCAGATGCGTGTGTTCGAGCGAACTCCGCCCGCGCCCTTTCCAAATGCTCGACGCAGTTATCTAAAGTAGCCGCTTCCGCCCGGAGCGCCTCGGCCTCGTGCCGCACCCGCAGCGTCTCCTCGTCGTCCTCGTCATCCGAAGAGTTGGGCTCGTCGTCCGGATGCGGCGTCCGGTTGCCCTTCCACGCGATATTGTTCTTCGTCGTCTTCTCGATGAGCCCAATGCCCTCCAGGACGTTCGTGATGTCGTAGATGCGCCGTTTTTGGACGCCCAATTGCGCGGCCGCGTGGTTCAGGTCCAGGCTCCCGTGCGGCTGGCTCTTGATGAGCGCGACGAACTTCTTCGTTAGGAGGCCTAGCGAGGAGTCGTAGCGCGCCGACGAGGCCGGGGCCTCGGCCATGCTTTCTGGGCCTGCTGGGCCGCGGCGAGGGCGTGCTCTGTTTGGCCTTTCCTGGGGTTTTGCTAGCTCGCGGCGGCCTGTCGCAGCGTCCAGGAGATTGAGGGACTCAGGTGGGCTGTGGACTGCGGACAGCGAGTCAAAGCTTGCTCCCGGGTGCCTGTAGGGAACCAGGGATTGCCAGTCGTCTCGGAGAGGCGCGGGGCGTACTAGCCTTTGGCCTAGTGTGTTTGTACGCTGGTGAAAACGGATGCTTTCTTTAGATACTACTACTCCCCTCCAGCCGCGCCGCCTGGTTGAAGCCGCTCATGACGACGTTCCAGCAGAGCGCAAGGCTGTTGACCCAGACGACGCGCAGGTGCGGCGGCACGGCTCCGAACGTGAGCAGCTGCGCCGGGGCCCAGACGAGCCACGAGACGGGGCACGTCCTTGGAAGCATCGTAAGGCTCCGTTGTATGCCCTCGGTCAAACCTAATCCCTCCAGCAGCGCCATCCACACGAAATACACGAAGTCCTTCGCCGGCAGCCAAATGGCCAGGTCCAGGAACGTCTTCGTCAGCAGGCGCCGCCGGTCGCCGTCGACGTGTTGATTCACCCAATTCTCGAGCTCGCGAACCCAGACCGTATAACAACGTACGACGCATATTCTGAACCCCACAAATCGTAACGCCCGCAGGTGGTCGTAGGCGGGGTTCTTCTCGGCGGCTTGCATGACGAAGTCGCCCGTGAAGGCCAGCAGGCCGCCCGTCACCATGTTGCCAATGACCGGCTTGGTTTCAAGGGTCCGCGAGTAGCTCTGCCAGAGGTTCTCGCCGCCGCCGCGCCAGCGCCGCGTCCGCTCGAGCTGCGTGGCGGCCGGACAGAGCTCCGTCGGTTCGCGGCGCTCGACGGTCGGTGGCTTGGCAGTTGTGCCCGGGTCGCGGCGCGTCAGGGGCGGACTGAACTGCCTGGCGGCGGCTGCGCCGACCAGTAATTTGAAAATCATGGCTGCGGGGCGTCTAAGCGCGAGTCAACCGCTGTTTGCGGCTTAAATTTTCGCGGACGGCGCAGGCTTTGCGCGCGACCGACGCAGCGATGAAAAAATACAGCACACAGCGCGTTGAGACCCGGCAGAGCGGCTCGATGCGCCCGCTCCCAGCGGTTCCGCACGGCAAGTTGCTCCGCCTGGAGCTAGCGTCGTGTGACACACTAGGGATGCCTAGGGTTGCTCAGCAAAGCGGTAAAACGGACCAAAAGGCATCGAATTGGTGCGAGAGCAGTGAATCGGGACACCATCCGTCTCGACGGGCCTGCTTCCAAGCCCTCGTGCAGCGCCGTACCTGCCAACCACTAGCTGCTCAAAGACCTCGCAAGACCTCGCAGGACCTCGCAGCCATGAATCCCGCCGACCAGCAGCGAAGGATGCTCGAGATGCAGCACAAAATAAGAAACGACGCCCAGCAACAACAGCACTACCTGGGCGAGTTCGCCGACTGGAATCGGGACATCGCGAAAAAAGACAAGGAGCGCCGCGCGGCGCCCACGGACCTGCCGCCCGTGCGCGGCGGTATGAGGGTGGGCGTGCGGAACTCGGCGGCTAAGAGTGATGCGGGTGCCGCGCAGCATCGAAAACAATCAGCAAAAGCGCCGGGCGCCCATGTGTATGACAAGGGCTACAAAAAGTGGGAGCAGTTCGACGCGGACAACTATGATATTGATGAGGAGGCGACGACCGTCGTCGAGGAGGTACAAATGCGGCGTCCGAAGATCATTGTGTGACGACCGCGTCGAGGTGGCATCGACGCGACGCGACGAGAGTGCGCGTCGGTTAGCGGCGAGGGCGTACGGGGGCGCCAGACGCCATCGACGCGACACAGCCTCGGACGCCATCGCCGCGACGCGGCCTCGGGACGCGACTGGAATGAACCAAACACAGGTCCCCGCCGACGCGCGCCCTCTGGCGGAACCGGAGAACCCCGAGGAGGCCCAGCGCCGGTTGGGCAACGAGAAATTTTCCAAAGGCGACTACGAGGGCGCCGTGCGGAGCTACTCGTTGTGTCTGGGACTGAAAGCAAGGAACCACGTCGCGTTATCGAATCGCGCGATGGCCTACCTGAAGCAGAACCAGTACAACAACGCCGAGGCGGACTGCGACACGGCCCTGTCTTATGAGCCGGACCACTTTAAGAGTTTGCAGCGCCGCGCGACGGCGCGGCACGCGCTCGGGAAGCACCGCGCCGCGGCCCAGGACGTCATGCGCGCCTTGAGGATCGAGCCCGCTTCCAAGGCTCTACTGGCGCAGCAGCAGCGCATCCTCGCTGCGTTACGGTCGGCCGCCGCGGACGCGCCGTTCGTTTCGGTTCGAGCGGCGGAGGCTTCGTCCTAAGGTTTTGTTAGTAGTCCTTAAGGTGGTGCTGGACGTCGCATTGTGGCGTTTTGGAGCGGTCCGTCAGCTCAGCTTAGCCTTTTTTTATCGTGGCTCGGGCTTGGAGGTTCATGTCATATCTCGTCGAGCTTTTACGTCGCCGCTGAACGTTAGAGCTTTGTGCGCGTGTCCATTTGACCGCACTGGACCGCACTGACGCGACGCATCCGAATAACGCGTAGATATCGCTCTGTGGCAACTTTGCTCTCACAACTCTGTCGGAGACGCGGAGCAGCAATGCCGATCCGACGACGCCCGCTCGGACGCGCGCTGACGGCCGCCGTGATCCTGCTCGCCGGCCACGCCGCGGCCGCGCAGAGTCAGACAACTCCGAGAGCGTCACCGGCCGAGAGCGGCTACCGGCACCCTGGGTGGCAGGCGACGGGGTGGGGCGCGAGCATGCCTCACCCGACCACCGTCCACAACGCGATGCCGACGACGGGGGCTCCGGCGCCGCGCGAGTCCCGCGACGAGCCGCCGCGCGAGTCCCGCGGCGGCTCGTCGCAATCAATCGACCCGATCCCCATCAACACCTACTACATGGGCCCGCGGCCGCAGTAATGATCTTCATATGTATCTGCGTTGGTCCGCCTTTCCCCATTACTACCCTCTCAGGATACTCATACAGAAAGTTACAAAAAGCCGGGCGGCCCGACTTGCGGCCCGGGTGCTCGTTGCCAGGGAGGACGAGCGGCAGCGGCTGCCACGGGTTCGACGGCCGCGTTGGCGGCGCCGCCCAGGACGCCGGATCCGCGCGCGCCCTTCAAATCCGCGGCTCCTCGGCGCCCGGGCGCCCGCGTCCGGTCGGTATATGCGACTGCCGGCGCCGCCCTGGGCGGCGCCCGCGCGAGGGTCCGGAGCGCGAGCGCCGCCGCACGCTCCTTGGCGTCCTTCTTGCTCCGCGCGGTCCCCACGCCGCACCGCGACCCGTCGACGACGCACTCGAAGGCGTAGGAGCCCCGGGGCACCGCGTCGGTGACCGCGGCGACGGTTAGACTCGCGCTGAATTTGTCGCAGAGTATCTTGAGCTGCTGCTTGGCGTTCTGGTCCTCGGCCGCGGCCCGCCCGATCGCGAAGGTCGCGGCCGACGGGTCGACGCGGGGCGCGGACGCCGTCGAATGCGTCGACGGCGTCGTCGCCTCGGTGAGCGACGACGGCGCCGCCATCACGCCTCGGCGCTCTAGGCCCGGGGGCCCGGGCGTTGGGCCAGGGGCGGGCGCGGGCGCGGGCGCCGGCGCCGCGGCCGCGGCCCGGAACTCCCGCCGCGCCTTGCGCCTCGCCTCCTGCCTCGCGTCTCCGTTGTCGTCGGCCGCGGCCAGCATCCTATCCATTTCCCGTTCAGCGCGCAGCCCATTCTCCACGCAGGGGGTGCATGACCAATTCCCCGGCTTTTTCCGCTGGTTTTTCGAGTACTCGTCGCGGGGCAGCCAGGTGCCGCATTGCGCACAATGCTTTCCACTCGTCGCGCGGTCAGCGGCCGTCACGGCTGCCGACATCCTGTCTGCGGCATGGGCATCGAGATCATCTAGAAGCGGCGCACGGCGCGGGCCGCAAGCGCCACTTGGATTGCGCGGAAGTCTGAATCTAGCGCTAGCATCCGCGACAGGACTTTTCGCGAAAAGCCCGGAAAAACCCGAACTTGGCCGCAAAACGAACTCCGCCGCGCAAAAGCACGCAAACACCCCACTCGTCGAGCAATTGGACGTATAGATAAAACTCGTTAACAACCCAGTGGAGCGCAGCTGCACACTTGCAACCGGCACGCCGTCAACGCGCCTGCTGCAAAAGGAGGCTGCCTGCTTGCGAACGCCACGATGGCCGCGCTCATGGGCGACGACCTCGACGACCTCGAGAATTTAGATGAAGATTTAGGAAGGCAGCGCCGCTTCCAGGGCGCCAACGCCGGCACCCAAAAATTAGATGATATTCGCGGCACCGTCTCCAAGGGCAAAGGCCGGGAAGAGAAGGAGAACTCGTCTCCCGACATGATGGGCGCCGCGGACAAGGTCAAGGCCATGGGCATCAACAACCACGAGATGCGCGGCGTGCAGGACTGGGTCACGGCCCGCGACGACGAAAACTGGACTCTGTTGCCGGAAGGCGTGGTGTGCATCAACGTCACACACTCAAACCTGAACCAGAAGATGCTCGAGTTGCGCTTTGACTTGCATCAGACCATCGGGGAAGTGAAAGCGCGATTGCACCTCCACCACGGCACGCCGTCGCAATCGCAACGACTCACGTTGCGAGATGGTGGTGTGGATATCGCCCAGCTCGATGACGATTCGAAGATGCTCGGGTTCTACTCCGTCACGAGCGGCATGTTCATCCACGTGACGGACGTGGATCCGCATTCCATTTCAAAGGGCGGAGCCCTCGAGAACGTGAACCTCGTAGAGAGGTACCGCATGGACGAGGAGACCTACGACAAGCGCAAGGGCACGGTGCGCGAATGGATCCGGGAACAGCGGGCCAAGGACCCGGACTGGAAGCCGCCGCAGATGCCCGGCGCGCAGATGGCGAACGCGAAGACCAAGGCCCTGCCCTGCACGGCGGCGGACGCCGCGCACATTGTCGTCGGGTCGCGGTGCGAGGTGCAGCCCGGTGGCCGGCGAGGCTGCGTCAAGTTTTGTGGGGCGCTCGAAGGTAAAGAAGGCGTCTGGGTCGGCGTCGAGCTCGACGACCCGCTGGGCAAGAACGACGGGTCCGCCGGTACGGTGCGGTACTTCACGTGCGCCGAGAACCACGGCACCTTCGCGAAGCCGACGAACGTCCAATGTGGAGACTTCCCGAACGAGCTCGACGACTCGGATGACGACGAGATGTAGGGCCCTTTTTTTAATCGTTCGTTTCCGGTCTTACTAGGACTAAGCACCTTAGTCAAAGCAGCGAGTCGTCTCCGCAGACCGTCGTCAGCAGCCCGCGGAGGTCCTCGCTGACGTGGGGCAGGACGCTCTCGGGCCAGCCCGCGCCCGCCGCGGTAATGGCCCGCCGCACGAAGCGCGCGTCGCCCCGCAGGCGCGCCGAGGCGTAGCGGATGAGCGACGCGTCGCGTTTCAGAGCCTCGTGCACCAACGCCGCGTTGTCGCGGAAGTCCTCAGGACACCCCACAATGGCCAGCGGGTCCCGCCGCACGGCGTCGAAGCACGCGCCGAAGTCCGTCTCACCAGAACCAGTAGAAGGCGCCTCCAGGAGATCGCCCCGCGCGACGCGGCGCCGCAGCGCGTAGAAGACGCGGAAGGCCGTGATATACGGTCTTTCGGCAGGGAACTGCCTCACGATGAGCGCGAAGTCCCTCCTGCTCAAAAGCTCGAGTTCCACATAATTTAAAGCCCTCGTGATCAGCGTGCCCGCCTCCCTGATTTCATCGCACTGCAGAAAAAAATCCGTGTTGAGGGCCATGCCCCGCGTGTAGATGCGCCCGTCACTACCTACCACACCCTGGTTCGCGATGATCAATAATCTGTCTTCATGAATCAGCTCCTGCGGCACGTACAAACGTCTCGTAAGCGCTTTATATATGGCGAAGCGAAATCTATTAGTCCTGCTCACGAAATAGTTGACCTTGCCCAAGGTTCTCGCACTAATTTCATCACACATAAGACCTTGTAACTCGGGAGACAGGAACTCAACTAATTCGGAGTACGCGTCCCTTCGTTCCATCTCCTCGGATTGGAACATGAAGCTCCGCACGCGCGCGGCCGTCGAGCGGTCGATGGACATGTCCACGAGCATGCTATTGATCTGGTCGTACAACTGCTGGTGTTCTATCTTTTTTATGTCGAGCGTCGCGGTCACGGCGCAGACCGCCCCAATAATATAAGCCCACATGAAGCCCCCGACGAACATGATAATAACCATTAAAGCGTATTCGGGTATGGTCGTCGCGAGGACATCTCCATACCCAACAGTAGTCAGGGTCATAATACTGAAATACAACGCGATGACGTACTGGTGCTTCGGGTTCCGAATGTTCCACTTGTACCAGGGGTTCCCCTCGACGTCATTGCCTTCGAAAGCGCCCATCCAAGAATTGTGGGGGAAATCTTCACTGTTCGACACTTGGAAGTGCCCGACGAAGCCCCAGACACAAGCCATCCAGTGGCAAAAGAGCACCGCGAGTAGTACGAATCCTACCAACTGCACGACGCCGTACGACACGGACATGTCCGCTCTATACCTGTTGACCAATCTTGAGGAGCGGATAATTCTGAGCAATTTCGCGAGTCGTAATAATCGCAACAATCGTAAAGCCTGGGCGTTGCCCACCGCCGGGAAGGCCAGCGTCAATGCCCCATACGGGATGGAGGACACGAAATCAATACAGAACGACCCGTACAGATAGTGCTTGATGATCCTCCTATGATTCCGGATCCAGGTCCCCTGCGCGTCTTGATAATGTAAGAAGAACTGCAGCCCCACGTCAAAGATGAAAACTAAGTTGACAATCTGCGTGCAGGCGAAGAAGGCCCAGTAGTACTGGATTGTCTTTTTGTTCCGGTCGTGGATGAAGCCGACCTCCGCCGGCGTCACTAGAGCCGTGTAAATTAACGCTACACATATCGCCACGTCCCAATTCTGCACGGCGCGGCTCCTGTCCGGCGCGATCGTGTAGTTTCCCGCTTCCGTATGCGCCATCGATTTCGCGGCCTCGGTGGCGCACTCGATCTCGGACCGCGGCGAGAACGGCATATCATCGCCTCCTTTGGGCGTCGGGCTCGCGAAGGCGCCGACGCAGATTGACTCCATCTCGACGCCGTCCGCTTTCACATTGGGTGTGGCTGCCCCACTGAATTCGCCCCTCATGGTAGTCGTGTCGCTGGCCCTTCGCAATTCTGGGGCGCGGCGGCGACGTTTTCAGGGGCTGCCGTGTGTTGGCTGCCCTCTCGGTCCAGTCGTTCGCTGGGTCTGTCGCACGAACGCGCGCTTGCGGTCCTGGGGCGCGTCGGCGGCGTATGAGAATGGCTGCCCGTGCGCCGCGGATTCGCACGCGCCACGAGTGTCAATGCTGCCAGTTTGCTGAAAGGTTGTGAATTCTTGTGAGCCGGCGCCCCCGCGGATTCGTGCTGGTACGGCGTTTTGTAGCCTTCGGAATTGTGGTTTACCAGGGCAGAGAAGCGTCCTTTAAATCCGCAATCAAAACAGGTTTCGCGCCACCCTGGCCGCGCGCTCTGCGCCATACGTCCACATTGTCCACATTGATTGCATTCACGCTAGGAAAATACTTGCACGCAATGGCAAAATCAGCTCCGACCACGCGTGTGCCAATTTCTGGCAAGAAAACGCCCGCCAAAGCATCGCACTCGACCACTGCCAAAACAAAGCAGGCGAGCACGGCGCGCAAGGCGACGACGAGCAAGAAGGACTCGAGCAAGAAGAAGCCGCGCGGCAAGACCGAGGCCGAAGAGCCCTACCCGACGTGGGCCGCGCCCACGCCGGCCGCGGCCGTCGAGGCCGTCGCGCGCCTCGCGACGGTCCACGGCCTGCCGTCGCCGCCGGAGCGCAAGTCCATCCTAGATTCGCTGGTACGAACGATCCTGTCGCAGAACACGACGGACAAGACGAGCGCCGTCGCCTTCGCGCGGCTGAAGGAGGGCCTGCCAACGTGGTCGCAGGTGCTGGATGCGCCGGAGGGCGTCGCCGAGGACCTCGTGAGGTGCGGCGGCCTCGCGGAAGTCAAGATGGAGCGCGTGCGCGCCATCCTGCGCGACGACCGCGTCCGCACGGACGGCGAGCCGTCCCTCGAGTGGCTCCACGAGCGCGACGACGACGAGGTCAAGCGCGTGCTGACGTCGTTCAAGGGCGTCGGGCCGAAGACGGTCGCATGCGTCATGATGTTCACGATGGGCCGCGCCGAGTTCCCCGTCGACACGCACGTTTTGCATATAGCGAAGAAGCTGAACTGGCTCCCGGCGGACGCGTCGCGCGAGCAGGCCTACGAGCACCTGAACCGGCGCGTGCCCAACGAGTGCAAGCTCGACCTGCACATCCTCCTCGTCGAGCACGGCAAGTGCTGCGCGAAGTGCGCGAAGAACGGCAAGCTCCAGAAGAAGGAGTGCGCCGTCGACGCGTGCCCACTAGTAGGATTGTAAGTTACTCCCCCGACAACTCAGTGGTAGTAGCCCCACGTCGACGAGAGCATCGGGTAGACGTCCTTCTTCTCCTCGACGTCCTCGGAGGTGGCCACGACCTTCTCCGGGTCCGTCGACAGCGCGAAGCGCGCCCCTCGATAGTCGTCGCGGTCCTTCCACCAGTCGGGGTCCTTGTCGTCCTCGCCCTTCTCGCCCTCCTTCTTTTTTGAGGAGGAGGGCGCCTGGGCCTCCCACCAGTTCGGCTTGCTGAGCCAGAATTTTGACTCCTTGGTCTGCTTTTCTTCCGTGACTTCGCCCTTGGCGTCGACGTCGATCTTCGTCCTTGTCAAATGTAAATGCGTCTCCTCGACGGCTCGTTGCAACGAACCCAATCTCCAGAAGGCCGCCTCGCGATACAAAGGTAGAGCCAGGGACGGAGAAGCCGGCAAGACGCCGTCCCTCAGAAACGCGAGGACGTGCCGGAAGGTCCACCAGTCCCGGTCGACATAAGCGACGCGTTTCCCCCGATCATCTCCGAACAACGGGCAGTCCTCGGCCGCCAAGGCTGCCAACAAACTGTCGGGGTCGTTGTCTAGCTTCGCGACGTTGATCTCGAAGATCTGGCCTCCGACATTCAGTCGAAGTCGTTTCTGGGGCGTCGCGTCGAGGTAATCGCGGGGAAACCAGTCGTCCTTGTCGCGGTGTTCCAATTTGGCTGCATCTCGAATGATAGCCTCCTTTTCGTCGCGCGCTCGTTTTCTCTCCTCGCGCAGGAACGCCCGTTGCCGGGCTTGCTTCCGCGCCTCTCGCCTTAACTCCTGCGCGCGCGCCTCGAGCACGGTGTGCTCCAACTCCAACCGGCTCGAGAGTTCCCGTTCGAGTCCACCTAGATCTTGCGTCATGGCGCCGCCGCCGCGCGCGCCGTAGGCCATCGTGCTGCCCCGGTCGTTAACGGCTGTCGCTACGGTGTGACGCGCTGTTCAGCTGCGTCTTTGTGAGGCCTCCCGGCGCGTTTGCAGTCCGCAACGCGTTTGCCGCTGATGGTGGGGCTGCCGACAACGTCCGGCCGCGCGCACCGTTTGCGGCAGCCGCCTAGTAGGTTCCCGGACGCGAGCCTTGCGAGACGATTCAAACGACCATTACAGACCTCCGGACAACTGTGAGCGAACCCAGCTACGTGCCGGGATGAAATGTGCGTGTGAGGAGCAATTCAGAGTTGATGCCAAGAGTACAAACCAGGGACGATCTCAGAACGCTTGAGACCGCGTTTTCAGGCTGCCTCGCAACTCCTAAGCGCCTAACATGGGGTCCTAGCAGCACTAGCACGAGGTTTCACTCCTCGGGCAGCCGGCGTAGATGTGGCGCGCCTCACCAACCAAAGTCTCACCAACCAAAGACGACGTCGAAGCGCCTCCGTCACCGACGCTGAGGAGGCGGGAGGCGCGCCGCCGCGCAAAGACGACGTCGGCGGACAGCTCCATCGCGTCGCTGAGTTCGTTCGTGGCTGCTGCCAGCGCCGCGGCGGTCGCGTATAGCCTGTGTGTCTTCCTTCCGGCCTGGACGCGCATCGGCGCCGCGCGCTGGCGGCGCACGGTCACGGTCTGCCCGCGGCCGTCGATCTGCGCCGAGGGTTGGATCGAGGTCCTGCTGCTTGCGGTCGCTCGCACGACGGCCTACGCGGCGCTCCCGTACCTCGTGGCGCTCTTCTTGACGAAGGCGCGCGTGTCAGCGGCGCGCTGGGAGGAGAACGTCGGGTCCATCCTCGTCGCGGCGGACAACCTGCACGAGACGCACGAGGCCTGCGGCTGGCGCGTCGCTGGATTTGCCGTGTTGCACACGATCGCTCATTTCGCGAGGTGGCTAATACGACGGGAGCTGCGGGCCAAGCTGGGCGGCGGTGCCGGGCGAAGTGGCCTCGCCGCGATGTGCTGCTGCGCGCCCGTCCTCGTGCTCGTGACAGCTCGGGCGCTGCGCCCTCGTGTCGTTTGAGATTCGGAAGGCCGTGCACGTGCTGCTCGGCATCTCCGGCACCGTGGCCGTCGTGTGCCACACTCGCGTGTGCGCGGCCGTCGCGGGCGCAGCGCTCGCCATCTACGGCGCCGACGCGCTCTACGCGCTCTGCTACCGCGCGTTGCGCGTCGAGGACGCCGTCTTCGAGCGGCTCGGTGCCAGCGTCCAGGTCTCGTTTCAGAAACCAGAGTGGTGGCACGACAGCGTGGAGGGCTACGTGTACGTGCTGATCCCGTGGCTCTCGAGGACGCAGTGGCACCCCTTCTCGGCGTACGGCGCCGCGGCCGGCAAGAAACGGGTCAGCCTCTGCATCACGGCCGCCGGGGACTGGACGCGGGCGCTCCACGACGCGATCGAGCGGCCGACGACGCGCCCAATCTGGGTCCAGGGCCCGTTCCCGTCCCCCTACGCCGCGTACGCCGCCGACCGCGATAATTTGCTCCTCGTCGCGACGGGCATAGGCATCACGCCGGCGCTCGCGACGATCCAACGGCACGCCGAGACCCGGAGTATGTCGTTACTTTGGATGGTCCGCGATGCGGCCCTCGTCACGTTCTATCTGCGCGAGGGCTTGCTCGACGCCGTGGACATCGCGCTCGTCTTTTACACGGGCAAGACGCCGCTTTCGCATCTCGAGGCGGACCTCCGGGGGCGGAGCAGCGTCTACCTCGTGGACGGCCGCCCAGGCGATCTCGGTGAAGTCGTTCTCGACGTCGTCGAGGCCGTCGAGACGCACCAGGCGCTGCCGGAGTGCCGTTTCCGGCCCACGGAGCTCCTCGGGGGCTACGGCGGTGGCCCCGAGAACGGCGCGCCGGCACGGTTCGACGCGCTCCTCCGGCGTTGCGCCGCGCGCGGCATGGGCGCTAGCGAGATTTCGGCCTCGTTTCGCACCGAAACGCTGCACAGGGCGCGGTCCCGCAGCCTGGCTGATAGGCCCCGACCCGGAAGGGCCGACGGGCGCTTACGACGAACCATGGGCCCATGGGCCAACTTTGGAACTGTTGACGGCGGCGACGAGAGCGACGACGACGGCGATCTCGTTTCCGAGGAAGATATCGCAAGTGGCATCGATCTCTTGAGCACGTCGCAGATGCTCGTCGAAGACGACGACCTCGGCGACATCTTGCGGCATATAGCCGCAGGCAAGCGCGCGCTCACGTATTCCGCGCTCGTCTCCCACTGCGAAAGGGTGTGCCGCGGAACGCAGGACGAGTTCGAGCTCCTGATGAGCGTCGTGGCGTCCGAGGAGCCCCCGCGTCCGAAGCGCGCGCCTCGAAAGCTGTGTGCGAACTGGGGCCTCATGTACTGCGGAAACGTCGTCCGCGTCGAGCGGGACCTCCGCGCCATCGGTCGGCAAATCGACGCCCCCGTCGCCGTCGAACGATTTGATTGGTAGCTAGCTTAAGTTGTGTGTGCGTCAACCCCCCGAAAACACACACGACGGGAAACGAGCTTACAAATATTGACACGACGACTGACGGGAGGACTATGCCGCGAAGTCCGCGGCGCCGCCCTTGAGCAGTTCCCGCTTCCGCGCGGCGAAGTGCTTCTCGGCCCAGCACCCTCTAAATTTGACAACGTCCTTCTTGTACTCCACGCAGATCTCGTCTGATACGGTCGCTAGAGGCCTGTTCGTAGCGTACGCTAGACATTGGACGTGCGCGCACCGCTCCAAATAGTACAATTCATCGAAAGCCTCGGCCACCGAATCACCGCAGGTGATGACGCCGTGGTTCCGGTGCATCAGCACCCTGTTCGAACCCATCGCTTGTGCCATTCGATCGCCTTCGACCGTCCCCAGCACTAAACCTTTGTAGTCCGTGTCGTATGCCACTTCGTCGTAGAACCGCAAACAGTTCTGGTTGATCATCTTCAGTTCCATGTCCTCGAGGCAACACAGCGCCGTCGCGTGTGGCATGTGCGTATGGAGCACACAGACCGCATGCGGGTGTTTCTTATGTATCCGAGAGTGGATGAAGAAGGCCGTCGGGTCCGGGGCTCCACTACCTTCCAGGACCTTGCCCGTCTCATCCAGCAAGAGCAGGTTGGAGGCTGTGACCTCGGACCACGCTAATCCGTACGCGATGCACAAAAATCTCAGCGGTTGCGTGCCCGGGACCATGACCGTTAGATGATTATCAATACCTTCGTTTAAATTCATCCTATCTAAAATTCGATAGCACGCCGCCAGATCTACTCTAGCTTGCCTCAAGACGTCCGGCGCGCAGCCGTGTGCGGTTGAGGTAATGAGGCCGTAGGGCCCGACGACCTCGACGGGTTCGATTTCTCCAGCCTTCCGCTTCTTCTCGTTGCCGCCGTAGGCCGTCGTGGCCACTACTTCCGTTGCCGTGTTGCTCATGGTGGCTGCTTGCTGCGTTGAGTGCTTCACAGTGATGCTCGGATGCAATGCAGCGCTTTGCTGGAGCGGCGCACTGTTCGGAGCTGCTGGGTGACAGCGATGTCTTAGCCAGAGCCGCTTGGCAAGCTCTCGCACGGCGGCACAATGTCTACGTAGGCATGAGGTATGGTACTTTATGGTACCGTAGGTACTTGTATGGGGGTTTCCAAAACAAGCGTTTCCAAGGGCCCAAATGCCATTGATCAGCCTCGCGAGACATCTTCTTTCGATGCGAATATCTCTCGGGAGGCATCAAAACGGGTTTTTCAGGGTGTTATTTTGTGCGCTCGCGCCGCGGATTAGGCGCAGTGGTCGGCCAGCCAAGACCTCAGAAAACGCCGCCGCGACGACCCTAACGTCGGCGCTCACTCAGCGCTCAGATTTCCTGTAGCAAAAAAAGTTACTCCAGTGGTTCCTATCGGCCCAAGTGCCAGCGCCGGGCGCCGCGGCGGACGCCACGCGCCCTCTTCACGCGTGGGAGCCACAGGACCCCACCGCGGTAGTCGACCCCTCGAGAGGGCCGCCGCGCCGAGCGCTCGTCACGATCGATTGATTCAGAAGGATTGTTAGATCGCCGTGCTGCACAGCCGTCGCCGCCGCCGCGGTAAAAACTGCGCCCGCATCTTCGAGAGAATTACGCCAGCTCTCATATCGGCAGGGCAGGTGACATCGATGAACCTCTCCTCCATCCAACCATGCCCGAGCGAGTGCAGGCGCACCCTGAGCACAACTTTTCCTGCGTCCGCGGCCTTTTCCGGCACGGATTCGCGGGCGCCCATGCTTTGGATTTTAGGAGCCTTCGCGCTTTGTTGAGTCTCGATTAAGCGCGGCTTTGATCTTGCTCGCGCGTCGCTCTGAACGCAGAGGTCTCCTGTGCTTTGACAGTGAAATTTGTGAAATTTGTGATCCGTGGATCGACGGCGACTGGCGTTTCACGCGCGCCACGAGGTCGACTTGGGCGCGCGCTGAATGCTGTCGATTGGCTGTCCGTGAGCTAGTCTGCGCGCGCGCGGACAGCAGGGAGAGCGGTCTCGATCCGCTCTCCAGTGACCCGCACGAGCTACCAGTCCGTCTAAACAACGATCCTGTCTGGACTAAACAACTTACCCAAGTTTCGCCGCCGACGCCCTCGCCGGCCGTTTCTTCTTGGGCGCCGGCGCGGCGTCGCCGCGCACCTCCCTCCTAACCTCCTCCTGGAGCTGCTCGAAGAACTTGCCCGACCGGCCGTACTTCCCCTGGTCCGAACTTTCTGAAGCCTGCTGCACCCTTCTAACAACTCGCTTCGCCTCGTAGGGGTTCTTGAGGTCCGGCGCGACCTTGGCCACAATACGCGCGTCGGCCCGCAACTTCTTGCGCTTCGCGTTCCGCGCCTTCTTCTTCGCTAATCTTTGAGCCTTTCTCTCGTCGCGCGTCGCCTCCTCCTGGGACCGCTGCAACTCCTCTCTACCCCGCTTCTTCGCGCGCACCTCCTCCGGCGCTAAGCCTTCCTCCGAAGTGTGGGCCGCCGGCGTCGCCTCCTCGAGCTGCACGGCCGAGGCCTTGGTTCGAGCCGCGACGACTTCCTCGTCGAGAGCCGGTCGCTCCAAAGGTGAAGCAAAATGAGACAACGCGTCCAACCGAGACGCGAGCTTCCGCCACTTCTCGTCGAGTGCTTCATCTCGCACAGGTTTATCAGATTTCTCCCCATTTTCTTGCCTTTCCACGTAGTCCCTCTCATATTCCTCAGACAACCCTAGCTTTGACTTCTGGCCGAGCGCACCATCGTCCTGATCCTCGACCTTACCCGACCGCCGCTCACGATAAGCCTGCTCGACCACGGTCTGGGGCACGATATCATCAAAATTTTGTGCGAGAACTCGTTCCTTGATGACCTCCTCGATCCGCAACCCAAAGGCCGCGTCTAGCGGCGGCGGGTCCTTCGACACGCCGTCCCACGTCGCATCCAAGCCTAATAATGAATTGCGAGGTCGATCCTTGCCCTGGACCTCGCCCCTTAGTTCCCACGGCCGCTCGGACGGATCAACTATATGATCTTGCTCCAGCGCTTCGATGTCCTTCCGATGTTTCTCGTTGATTGATTTCTTCTTCTTCTTCGGTTCGTCGTCGAAGAAGTCGGAGTACTTCGCCGTCCTCCCCCATTCTTCGTCCTCTGAACCCGCCCAGCCGTCGTCGCTCTCGTCGGACTCGTCTTCATCTGAGTCCGAGTCCGAGTTCTGGGGCGACGGCCCCGCCGCAATAATAGCCTCGTCCTCGGCGACGAACTCCTCCATGCCCGCCAGGCTGAAGAAGCGGTCCTCCTCGATGCCCGCGCCTTCGTGTTCGTCGTCGTCGTCGTCGTCCTCATCGACATCGTCCGCCCACTCGTCCTCGTCCTCCTCCTCTTCCGCGTCATTCTCCTCCTCCGAGGACGAGGACGCGGACGACGACGCGGACTCGCTCTCCGCATCGTCGGCGGCGGCCTCGTCGTCGGCCTCGGCCTCCTCCTCGCCGTCGCTCGCCTCGTCATCATCATCAGCGGCCTCCGCCTGCCTCTGTAAATAGTGCTCCGCGGCGACGGCGTGGCGGTCGCCGTCGCGGCCCCGCAACCGCAGCTGCTGCCAAACGGTCTCGGCGTCGCCTAACACGAGCTCCGACACCTGGGCGCCCCTTCTATGGTCGCCGAGCAGCGCCGCCGAGGCCGCGGCCGCGCGGCTCCGCGCGAGGGCGCGATCGTGCGCGCGCTTGAGCGCTTCTCGTAATTGCTTCGCTCTCTCGGCGTCGGGCGCGGCGCCGTCGCCGTCCGGTGCATTTGCTATGAGTGCCGCGAGGTCGGTTGCTGCGGTAGCGTCGGCGTCGGCCATCTTTAGCGCTCTTTTAGCGCTGCTGCAGGCGTGAGTGCGCTGCTGCAGCCCAGCGATGGCACTTGTGTGCAGCCCGACGAGGCGTCCCGCGGCCCGGCTGCTTGCACGGAGCACCAGTAGCAGTAGAAGTGACACGACTGCTGGCACAAATGCGCAGGAATAGGGGAGCGACGGCGTCTGCGGCACCGCAGCCTTGCTCTACAACTAGCGGCGTAAAGACACTAGCAAGCCATGGTAAAAGTTACGGCAGGCTGCCCATTTCGCTTCGTGGCCCAGTGCGGTGCGTAATACGCGGACCGATGATGCGACCCAACCCCTGACGCGATGGCGCGGCGCCTGCTGCTATTCCTGGCAGCCCTTCAGGCCGTGGGGGCCGACCTCGACGCCGCCCGCGCCGCGGCCGAGCGGGCCCGGAACCGGGCGGGCGGCGGCGCCTCGTCGACGGCGGCGCGGGCCGCGGCCGCCCGCGCGCGCCTCGAGGCGCTCCGGAAGCCCGCCGCCGCGGCACCCGCCACGCCGGAGGCCGCCAAGCCGGAGGCCGAGCCTGCCCCTGCGGAGCCTGACGAATCGGCGCGCCTTGCGGCGGAGCAAGCCGAGCGGGACCAAGCCGCCAGAGCAGCGGAGGCGGCAGCAGCGGACCGCGCGGCCGCCGAGGCTGCCGCACAGCAGCAGGCAGCAGCGGACGCGGCAGCAGCGGCCGAAGCGGACCGCATCGCCACGCAAAAGGCCGCGGCGGACCGCGCGGCCGCGGAAGCCGACGCCGCGGCCCGAGCGCACGAAGCTGCAGAGGCTGATACTCAATCTGCGCGGGAAGCGGAGGCCCAGGCCGCGGCCCAGACGGCGGCGGGCGAGGCCGCCGCGCTGCGCGAAGCGGAGCTCCAACGGGCCCAGCTACAATTGGAGGACGACGCGAAGGCCAAGGCCCAGGAGGCGCTGAAGGAACGCGAGGCCAAGGCCGCGGCGATCCGAGCCAAGGAGGCCCAACAGGCCCAGGAGGCCGCGCAAGAGGCCGCGGACCGGGCCATTGAGCAAGCGGAAGCGACGCGTTTACGCCTGGAGGAGGAGGAGCGGGCGCGGGAGGAGGCGCTGAGGGTGCAGATCGAGCGCGAGGCGAACGCGCTGGTCGAGGCCGAGGCTCGAAGATTGGAGCAGGCTAAGGTTCAGCTGCTGGAGGACGAGAAACGCGCGGCGGAACGGAGGGAGGCGGACGCCATCGAACGGCAAAAAGCTGCCGAGGCCGCCGCCGCGTCGAGGCGGGAAGCTTCCGAGAGAGACGCTGCTGCTGCTGCTGCGAAGCGAGAAATGCGCGAGGCCGCCCTCGCGGAGGAGGCCGCGCGCTTAGCGGAATTAGAGGAGGTCAAACGACGAGAAGCACTGCTCGAGGCTGAACAGGCTCAGATGCGTCTGGAGCGGGAGGAAGCGGCTCGCGCTAGAGCAAGAGAACAAGCGACGGACAAGCAGGGCGGCAAGGCCCCGCCGGACATCTACAAGGATGTCGAAGACGTGGACACTTCAGAACTACTTGATGTCATTTCCAAGATTCCGCTGCGAGTGTATGAATTGGAAAAAGATACGATGGAAGGGCGTCGAAGGTTCGGAGTGATTGGAGAAGAAGTAGAACAGCTCGTGCCCGACGCTGTTCGCGTAGGAAGGAGGGCCTTCTCGCAGGGGCCCAAAAAACCGCCCGTGTTCGTCGACGACGTGGCCATTGTCGACGATCCCGTGCTATTTATGCATGGTGTCGGCGCCGTGCAGCGGTTATGGGAGAAGCAGGAGCATTTGCGCGATACTACTAGATTTCTATCCCACAGAGCGAACGAGACGGCTTCTCGCTTCGCTGCGTTGGATGATAGGTTGCACTTGGAGCCGCGAGAATTGGACGAGGAGCGCTTGATCGAAGCTAGAAAAGACCACGAGAAGTTCCGCGAGAACGAGGAGTTGCTTGATAAAGAGGCTGTCAATGAGAAGAAAGCTTCGCTACAGAGACAGAAGCTCGAGAACGCGACTCTGCGAGTAGAAGACGCCGCTGCTAGGGATCGCAGTAAAGCGGAAGACCTCGCGGCTCGCGACCGCCACGCCGAGAAACTGAGACTGCAGGAGCAGTCCGTCCGAGACCAAGAAGAAGTTCGTAGAAAGACCGACGAGGCCCTCCTGAAACAACGGCTCGAGGACGAGGTCAAAATAGAAGCGCTGCGGAAGGAGGCGGAGTTAGCACGGGTCAAGGCCGAGGAGGAGGCGCGAGCGGCCGCTAAAAGAGCAAACGAGGATATACATCTGCGGGCGATGCGGGCGAAGGCTGCGGAAGACCGGAAGAAGGTGTTAGAGGCCGTGCAGCTCGTCGCCCAATACGCCGGGAGGGGCGCGGCGACTTTATTGGACGATCCGAAGCTGCTCATGACTTTAGTCGGTGCGATCGTCGCGCTGGTGGGTGGGGGGCACTTCGCGCGGGAAGCGGCCATATTGACTCGTTCATTAGCGGAGGCTTATTTAGGACGACCTAGATTAGTCAGGGAGACGTCGCGGCGCTATTTCGGCAAGAGTACGACCGCGCTGAAGGTCGTGTTGCGGTTGTTGTTTTATCCAGTCTTCTGGGTGGGTCGAATGCCTTCCCATATGATTTTCCTGAGGCATCGCATGGTCGATCTGAAACTGTGGCTCGTCTATGGATGTATCGTGGCGTACTACTCTATCTGTTTCATGCTGGGCGAAATGTATCAATCAATAAAGCACCAGGGCAAGAAGCTGGCGTTGCTGATTGAGAGAAGGAAGCTCGCCAAGAAGACGCGCCGCCAACTTACTAGGGAGGACGCCGAGTTTTTTCGAGATGTGAAGAAGATGCGTTCTGATGAATACGCCAAGGCGTGCCGAGCGCGGGCAAAGACCCATGACGACGAGCGGCGGGCCGTCCAGGCATCTAGAAATGAGATTCATCAGAAGAACCTAGCGATGGAGCGAGAAGCCTTACAGCGGGAGCGCCGCAAGGAGGCGGCTTTCCTCGACGGTGTCGTCTTACCGGACGAATTACGACAGAGAGTCTTGCAACTCGCCATCGCAACTAGAAATGCCAAAGCCAATAGAGCGCCCTTCCGGCACATGCTCTTGCACGGCCCGCCGGGCACCGGTAAGACGTTAGTCGCGAAACGACTGGCGAAGGCGTCGGGTTTGGAATATGCGCTGATGAGTGGCGGCGACGTCGGGCCGCTCGGTTCCGACGGCGTCACGGCCCTCCACACGTTATTTAGGTGGGCTCGGACGTCGGAAACGGGCGTGCTCGTTTTTATCGACGAGGCCGAGGCTTTTTTAGCCTCGAGAAGCAGAGCGAAACTCACGGAGCACATGCGCAACGCGCTGAACGCGTTCCTGTACCAGACCGGCAGCCCGACGACGTCCTTCGTGCTAGTCTTAGCGACGAATCGGGCCGAGGATTTAGATGAAGCCGTACTGGATCGCGTCGATGAAACTTTATATTTTGGGCTGCCGGCGTTCGCGGCGCGAGATAAGTTGGTAAGGCTGTACTACGACGTCTACTGCGCGTCACTCATCGAGCGGAAGCGCCACTTCTTAAAAAAGATCTGGGACGCGGTGCGCCGCGCCCCGGCGTCGCTAAAAGTAACAAAAGATGTGACGCCCGCCCTGCTCGGGGAGGTCGCCCGCGACACGGACGACTTCTCGGGGCGCGAGATCGAGAAGCTGTTTGTCGCCGTACAGTCCGCGGCGTACGGTCGCGACGGCCGCCTCGACGCGAACACGATCACCACGGCCGTCGCCGTGAAGCGGGGCGAGCACGACCGCAAGAACGCCATGAACGCGGCCGACAGTACGCTGCGCTCGTCGGCCGTCGACGCGGCGATGAACTCGCCGCGCGCCAATTCCAGGGACGGGAAGCAGCGGTCGCCGCGGCGGAGGTAGCTAACATAGTTTACTTGTTACCTAGAACGTGCGCCTTGTAGCCTCGCAAAATGTCCTGGTAGGCGGGAGATACGTGGGGCCGCACGGAGATGAGCTTCCTATAGATCTCCGCCTCGTCGCACGGTATATTTGTGTGACCGAGCACGTGGTGTCTGTACAAAAAGTGGCACGCCGTGATCATCGCGGCCCGATGGATGCCCGCGAGGCAGTGGATCGCGACGGTGCCGCCCTGTTGCAGCGTGGCCCACATGCGCTCGTTGATCCTATCGATCTTCTGATTCGTCCGTTCGCGATCCGTCGAGTACCACGTGTGCACCGCGTGCGCGACGACGTCCGGACTCTTATTGGAGACCCAGGGCGCGCCCGCCCGATACGCTCGACCGGGCCGGTCCTGGTGGCAGTTGATGACCAGCCGCAAGTGCTCGAAGATGCGCTCGTCCGGGAGCTCTCGGCACAGCGTTTCTTCATCGCTCAGGATGACCGCCGCCGTCCTCCCGAGACACAACCAGGGCACGACGCTATAGTTCGTCCACGTGCCGTGGGGGGCGAGCTCCGGATAGTCCCAGAGTGTTGTGGGCGTCGCGTCGATGTGAGCTAGGCTTTGCGTTTTGCGGGGCCGCGCGTAGAAGAGGCGGCCTCTGCTTTTCACTTCGACCTCGTCGAAGACGCGGAGCGGCGTCTGGCCCCGTAACACGTGGGCAAGACACACGAAGTCGTGACGGCCGTCTTTTTGCTGGTGGATTGAAATGTAAGTAGTGTCGTCGCCGGGGCTCTCTCGTAGTTTTGCGAGTGATATAGACCCGCCGGTCGCCTTCTCCGTCGCGCGCCAGGTCGTCGCGTCGAGGCGCGCGCTGCGCTTCAGCTTGAGCTGCGCGATCAATGGGTGCTCCAGCTCCGCGACGAGGAGGCAGTCCTCCTCCTCGCGGCGGCGGGCGCGGTAGGCGTCGGCGGCTCTCATTTTTACGGCCCTTTTGCGAGCTGCTTTGGCGTTCGGCTGCGCCAAAACGCTAGCGACGGTTAGCTGTAGGAACCGTGCGGCCGCAGTCAGCGCCAGTAGGTGTCACAAGGAGGCTGAGCGTGCAAAAGCTGCCGCGCGTTAACTAGCGTCAGTAAGACACTAGGAGCAGGCTCACAATTTTTTTCACAGCGTAGGCGTACCGTTGCTCGTCACCTGCCCTGGCACACATTTCTGGCACCTCTGACGCTGTGCCGCCGACGACCAGTGGTCGAAGACGTGGCTTGACTCGTGTTTGAGTAACCTGCTCTCCGAGCAGCCTGAGAGCAAGCGGAGCTGCCGGCGACGTGGCTTGACTCTCCCACTCCACTCTACGGATGCGCAGGATCGCAGCAATCCTCGTCGTCGCGAGGCGCGCCGCGGCGCTGCAACGACCGCCGGTGCGAAGACGCATGGCCGCGAAACCGCTCAAGGCCGCCGTCGAGGTCGAGGAAAAGTTCGCGGCGAGCATCGAACCGGAGGCCCTCGAGAAACGAGTCAGGGAGCTCGGCGGCGAAGTTCTAAGGACCGTGGAATTCTACGACGAATACTTCGACACTGATGATTTAAAGCTGACGACGCGCGACACGTGGCTGCGCCGGCGGGACGGCGCCTGGGAGCTGAAAATACCTGCCGAGGCGCGGCGACAGGCGACGGGCGGCGAGACGACGGCGTTCCGGGAGATCGAGGACGTCCCCGCGATTGCGGCGGAGCTCGCGTCGTTGGGTGTCGCGGGCTTTCCCGACGACACCACCCTAAAGCCCTTCGCGGCGTTCGGGACGCGCCGGGACAAGTATGCACTGAATGAGGTCTCGGTCGACGTCGACGCGGCGTCGTACGGCCACTCGATCATGGAACTCGAGGTGATGACCGACGGCACAGAGGGCGACATCGAGCGCGCGAGAGGGCTCATCGCGGCGGCGGCGGTCGACCTGGGCTGCGAGAAGCTCGGCGAAACGGGCGGCAAGCTCGAGACTTATTTAAGGCGGTTCTGCCCGAGGCACGCGGAGGCGCTCGGGTTCCTGTGAAGTATCGCTTCGCCGTCACACGGGCGGCTCGCGTCGACGGCGTCGGGGGCGCGTCTACAGTCTAATACTAGTACAAAGGTTTAACTTAATCCCGTCCTGCATGAACCCTTTCAGCAATGCCAGTGGTCCTGGGTCACGATATCTGTCACGATAAGCTCAATAACATCCCCCATAAAGAGCCTTCGTAGTTTTGTCAGAAGTGGCGCTCGTCAGGTCCGCCTCGATCGTGGCCGCCGGCAGGTCCCCCGCCCGGCACGCACAGCTCCATCCATGTTGCGATGGGCGACCCCACGGCCACGCCAGGAACGGGCTCTCCCTTCAACCGGTAACGAGTGGCCCCGAATTTGCCGGGCTCTGGCTCCGTTTCCGGCGCGGCCTCTGGCTTGACGTTCAGCGCCTCGGCCAGCCGGAGCAGCATATTGAATGAACCAGGGGTGCCGGATGGGATTTTCGCGGCATCCCCGACTGCTGCCAACGTCACAATCTGCTTCAAGGTCGTCTCACTGGCGAGTATTGCTCTCATTTTTGTGCCGCCGCGCCGCCAGTTTGCATCCTCGGGGCCGTATGCGAGGCCGAGGCCGAAGCGGCCGCACTTAACCCATGGCACGCCGAGCTCGCGTTGGACGAAACCTGTTGCGAATTGTTCGGCGACCGCGTTGAAAAGCACGTTGCTCACGAGCGAGGAGTCCCGGTCCATGTGGGTAAGCTGCACCGACTTGGCCGTGCAGATGTCCCGCTTGGCATTCCGCAGCAGCTCCGCGCGGCCGTGTTCGTTCGTCACGAGCGCCCCGAGCCGCTTCTCCGACAGCGTGCGTAGCACCATCCGATTCCCGCGGACGGCGAACAACGCAAAATTGACCGAGCCGGAGAAGTCCCTGGCGCGCCACCCAGCACGCTGCCTTCGAAAGAGCACCGTGCCCGCCGCGAGGCCCACGAGCGGCGGCAGGATGAACGAGCCGGCCTCGATAGACACGGCCGGGTCGTCGCGGACGGCCGCGAGCGCGCGCCTCGTGTCCAATCTCAGCAGCTTCGTGAGGAACACGGCCCCGGCCGAGGGGTCCGAGCAGCCCCGCGGTATATCCCGATGGTCGTCAGCCGTTTTGCCTCCCTCAGGTCTCATCCACGAGGGCAGCATTGATTCCTGCAAATGGCAGCCTTAGAAGCGCAGCAAAGAACTGCAAAGCAACTTTTAGCCTCGTCAAGCCCACGTCCAATCCACTAAAACGCCTGACGACGCGGCGCCGCGGGTTATAATTGTAGGCAGCCCCCGCGTCCGCAGGTGTGGATTGGCAGCCTCCCGGCAGCTCGCAGAGCCACTCGTGCGGGGAGCCGCGACGGGATGAGTACGAGTAACACAGAATTCTTAGCAGCACGCCTTGCCCCCATCATTGGATCGCGCGCGGGAACCGGGCCCGATCTTGACGCCCGACAGGTCCCCGGCCTCGATCGCGCCGGTCGCGAGCAGCCCGTGGATCGCCTCCGCCGGCCGCACGAAGGCCTCGTCGACGTGCTTCCGCTGCTTCGCGGAGGCCTCGAGGAAGAGCAACCCGTGCTCGTCGGCGAACGCGCGGCCCTCGGCCTCGGAGACCGCGCGCGTCGATTCACTTAAATCCGACTTGTTCCCCACGAGGATCACGACCATCTGCGGGTTCCCGCACGCTCTCGCTTCGGTCAGCCACGTCTTGCAGTTGCGGAACGTGGCTCGTCTGGAGATGTCGTACACTAACAAAGCGGCTGCTGCCCCTCGGTAATATGAACGCGTAATAGAACGAAACGACTCCTGGCCCGCCGTGTCCCAGATCTGCAGCTTCAACGCCTGGCCGTTGACCTCGACCCGTCGCACGCCGAACTCGACGCCGATAGTCACGTCGTGCCGCTCGTTGAAGGTCGAGCCCGGCTCCGTGAACTGGAGCAAGAGGCAGGACTTGCCGACGCCCGTGTCGCCGATCACAATGTATTTCAGGAGGTAGCCTGCGCGGGAGAGCGTTCTTCTCGGAGACGTCCCAGGTGGCGTCCGGAGCGCGCGTCCGTTCTGTGGCGGTGGCGCGTCCACACGCGATTCTGAAGGGGCCCACTTCCGGACGGCTGCGTCGGTGTCGCGGCCGAGGCGAATTTTGTGCTGGGGTCACGGTCACGAGACGCTGCTAACTCGCTATAGTCCTGCATACTCGGTTCCGCTAGACTGAGTGATCGCTGCTGATGAAAACAAACGTCTTGACTCGAGGGTGCCGTACGTCGGCTCAGACGACGAAGCCGCGCGGCCGCATAAAATTACTAGTAGGCATCGACGCTAGCTGAAAAACGCAAAGCAGTTGGAAATGTGGAGAGGAGACGTACTGGCCTCCTTGAACCGTCCGAGCGAGGCGTCAGGGGCGGTACCTTGGTGGCATGGAGGCCGCAAAGCCGTGCTGGCATAAAGGTGGGGCAGGGCCAATTATTGCAAGCCTCGGAGGCCTCGTGCGCCCTGGTACGCTCGCCCGGTAGCCAACAAATAGGCCAGGAGCAGCGCCCAGCGGCGAAACGCATCTCGCCGCGCAGGGCCGAGCACCAGTGGTGTAACAGCCTCGGGAGCCGCCGATAACGATGGCGAGCGAGAAGAAGGACGACCTCGCGACGGTGGAGCTGGGCGACGACGACGAGGCGCCGCCGCGCGCGAACCCCTGCGAAGGTTTGAACACTTTCCTGAGGAACAACGCCGAGGTCCTCGAGCGAGCCAAAGCTCTCACGGCGCGGCTGTCGTCGGCCGCCGGGCGGGCCCGCGGGTTGTTTGCTGCTCCTGCTTTAGGTAGAGATTATGCCCAGGTCGACGTCTTGGACGTGACGGTGGAGAACGGCGCTACGACTGGTACCTTCTCGCTGAAAACGAGAGCGCGCTTCGAGGGCTGCGCCGTGGACCTGACCATTGCGGGTAGCTCGCTATCGAGGACACCTAGGGACTTTGAATGGCTACGGGGCTGTCTGCGGGACGAGTACCCGGGATGCGTCGTGCCGCCCATCGCGTCGGACGTCTACGCGAACGCGCCGACGGCCGCGGACGCTCTCGAGAGATTCTTAGCGCAGTGCCTGGCCCATCCCGAGTTAGGTAAGGCTCCTGAATTAGCTTGCCTGTGTGCCGCCGACGCTACCGAGTTAAATGATGCCCGGTCGGCCTTTGCTGCGGCGAGAGAGCAGTCGCCGCTCCATGTGAGATGGGGCGCCGTCGTGCTGGATGTCGTCGGTAATGATACCGCAGTAGGCCAAGAACTCATCGAGGACGACCCTGCGGCCCTAGCCACGGCGAAACGCCGAGAAGCCGATGTGAGGGAGCTCTACACGTGGGCGCGGGCCCAAGCTTATGAAATAGGTCGCGCCGAAAGGGAAGCGACGCGGGGAGCCGACGCCCTGCGCCAGTTCGAGGAGGCCGCTGGAAGAACCAAAGCGGCTTTAGCTGCCCGCTTCAAGCAGGGCAAGGAGACGAGGGTGGGTGAGGTGACGCCGAAGGCGGAGGAGCCGGCGAGCGGCGTCTCCGGGCCGGCGACGTCGCTCGCCGCGCTGCGCGAGATGGTCGGGCTGGCGAAGGCTTTAGCCGAGGCCGTGGAATCCCGCGATCGGGTTAGATTGCAGTACGTGTGCGCGAGGAACGCCTTACAGCTCAACAAGGCTTCTAGGACCGCAAGAGATCGGTTAGGCACGGTGTCCGAGACGACCGCCGAAAGCGCCGAGTCGTTAGCTGCGAAAGCGGCCGAGATCGACACGTCCGCGCCGCCACCTTCTACAGAACCGCCGCCGGCGCCGACGCTCGCCGAGGCCGCCGCGGAGGTGCGCCTGGCCCAGGGCGCGCCCGAGGACGAGGTCGTCCAGGAGGAGGACTACAAGCAGAAGGCCCTGCAGTTGTATGGGAGTTTGCGGGAGAAGGTCGTGACCTACGCGTCGACGGGCGCCGAGTACGTCCGCGAAAGATTGCCGGACCAGGTTCCTGAGCGGCAAAGGGTCATCGCCATGGCGCAGAAGGGCGCTACCATCGTGGCGTCGTTGGGTCTGCGCGTGGCGTCCGTCGCCGCGACGGGCTCGGCGCGGCTGCAGGCCGACGAGGAGTCCGTGGAAAACGCGGAAAAATTGGTGCGAGACCTCGCGGAGCAGTTCGACGCGGCGGACGCGCGGCTGCGGGCCGACGCGCTCAAGCTCAAGGCGACGTGGGACGACCTCCAGCTCCAGGCCTACGACGCGTTCGTGCGCGGCGAGGCGTCGCGCGCCGACACGGCGCGCGCGGCGGCGGACGGCGCGGCGCTTTCATTGGTCCACCTGAAGCACGAGGCCTCCCAGGAGTCGACGGACTGAGCGCTCGTAGGTTCCCCTCCCCCCGTAACACCACGAGTTCCCATGAAGCAGCTTTGCGCGTCCTCGTCGGCCTTGCCGCAGAGCTGTTCCGGCGGTTGCCGCGACGGCGTGACGGTGCTAGGACTAGTTGCGCGCTGAAAAGATTTCTAGTGGTCTTACATGCTAGCTAAACTTCACCGCGATAAGTGAGCCCCATGCACTCGCTCGCAACCGAGCCAACTCGTGCGTGCTGAGCTAAAAGTACTTGGCATCGCTGCAGCTCGCTACGCCGACGCGACTTGACGAAGAGTGCAACAGCGCGCAGCACTGCAAGGCAGCGACAGCACAATGGCCAAGAAGAGACCGCAGCAACGCCAGCCGAAGCAACCGAGCAAACGGGCGCAGCGCGAGGCCGCCGCAGCTAAAGCGACGTTCGAAGACGACGAATCCATCTCGAGCGCTTCCGAGGACGACGAGCTCCAGCAGCCGCCCGTGACGGACGAGAGGGAAGAGACGGTCGAGGAGGCGCGGCTGCGGCGCGCGCGGGCCTACGTGGCCGAGCAGCGCGCGGCGGCGTCGGATTCGGATGAGGATGATTTAAATGAGAGGCTGCGCGAGCAGCGGGAGGCGCGGTCGCAACGGGCCTTCACGCGGATCGACCTCGACGACTTTGACGGCGAGGCCTGCGCGCGGCGCGCTGTAGTGCTGAAGGGGCACCGGGGCCCCGTGACGTCGGTCTGCCTCTGCGAGGCGCGGAACTGGTGCTTCTCGGGGAGCAAGGACAATGGCCTGCTGCAGCACGACACCGAGACGGGCCAAAAAGTAAGGACGCTCCTGCCGCGCTGGCCGAAGCCGGCCAACGCGGCCGTCGAGGAGGCGCGGTCGAGGAGACGCGGCGAACGATCTTCGGGAGGTGATGATATCGCGGCGCGCCAGGCAAGAGAAGCGGAGGTCCTATGTGTGGCGGCGTCGTCGGATGGACGGTTGTTGGCGTCGGGGGGCAGCGACCGCCTCATCCACGTCTGGGACACGAGGCAGGGCACCTTGGTCCACTCGCTGCAGGGCCACGGCGGCGACGTGCTGGCGCTGGCGTTTCGCGACGCGCTCGGGTTCCAAGAGGAGGACGACGACGACGAAGAGGATAACGATAGGGAGCAGCAGCTCTTCTCGGCCTCCTCCGACCGGAACGTGAAGCACTGGCAGGCGGAAGCTGGCTCCTATGTCGAGACGTTGTTCGGCCACAGCGCCGCCGTGTCTTCGTTAGATTGCGGTTTCGACGAACGACCGTTATCGGGCGGCCGCGACCGGTGCGCGCGCGTCTGGAAGATCCGGGACGAGACGCACTTGGTCTTTCGGGCGCCGCACGATTCTGGATTGGGCGGCTCCGTCGACGCCGTCCGCGTTATTGATAGGGACCGGTTCGTGTCCGGCGGCGACGACGGCGGGTTGAGCCTGTGGTCGACGCGGCGCAAGAAGCCCGTCGTGACGATCAAACGGGCCCACGGTTGTGGCGCGGCGGTCCAGAAGCTCGGCGAGGACGTCCCGGGGCCGATCCCGCGCTGGGTGTCTTCTGTTGGCTCCGCGCGGCGCTCGGACTTGGTTGTGTCTGGATCCTGCGACGGCGTCGTGCGGCTCTGGACCGTCGGCGCGCGCGACGACGCGGCGCAGAGTTTGGACGCGCGGGGCGCCATTCCGCAGCTCGGCTTCGTCAACGATTTGGCATGTCCGGCGTCCGGCGCGTTCGTCGCCGCGGCCGTCGGCAAGGAGCCGCGGCTCGGGCGCTGGGAGAAGGTCTCCAAGGCGCCGAACGCCGTCGTGCTCCTGCCCCTCTCCGGGTCTTCTTAATACTGTCGTGTACTTCATTCTGTCGTGTACTTCATTCTGTCGTGTACTTCATTTACAAATTTACAAGAGGTCAAATTCCACGCCCCGCTCGCGGAGGAGCGAGTCGTAGCACGCCCGGAGCGCCGGCGCGACGGCGGCGTCTCGTCGCACGAGGCGCCGGAGATCCCGCAACGTCCACGCCCGCGCTACGGAGCCCTCGTCCAGGACCACCGTCGCGCGCGCGAGGGGCGGCGACGAGCCGCCGACGATGGCCCCCTCGAGGACCTGCTCCGCGTTGAGCAGCGCCGGGCCTTCGAAGGCCTGGACCCTCACGCCGTCGACGAACGCCGCCGCGCCGCCGGACTCGAGGACGACCAGGTCCTCGGCGTCGCTATCCTCGCGGATCACCGTCCTCGCGAGCGCATCGCCATCCGTCGCCACGGGCGCCGCCGCCTCGCAGAGCGCCGCGAAGGCGTCGCTGCCGACGCCGAGCTTCGCGAACGTCGATTGGAAGAGGCGTTCGTCGTCCGGCTTCATGATTTTGCGCACGACCACCGCACTCGCATCCTCTTCGTTGTTGCGCTGCGCCAGTAAAGCGCCCGTCGACGCTCTAGCTGCGCCGAGCTTGTGCGACAAGGTTCGAGCAATCGCGAGGCGCATCGCCGCGGCGAAGGCCTCGTCGGCGAGCTGGAGCTCGTAGAGCGCTTTCTGGGAAAAGGCCACGTATCTCGAACCGGGCTCTGCCAGCACGGTCGCGCGTGCGGCCTGGTGGAACGCGCCGTCCTTAGACTGGAGGTTCTCCAGCAGTGCTACTTCCCCAATCACTTGATACTCGGGCAGGGTGGCGACCCGCCGGCCACCGGACACGACGTCGAAGTCGCCGCTCACGGAGACAAACAACTGCGTGACGGGCTCGCCTTCTACGGTTAATGGCGTCTCTTCGGTGGGTGCGCACCAGACCGCGTCCCTTAGTAGCTTCACATATTGATACGCTCCGACGCCGAGCGGCTCGAAGCATCTTTTATATAATTCGGTCTCCGTCGCGTCCAGCAGCCCAAGACCGACCATGTCGCTCCGATTCAGCGCCCACCGCAACACATAATACGAATTGACGATGATGAAAATGATGTTGTACCCCTCGGGGATCGCGTCCTCCCGCAGCAAAAAGGCGCCGTCTTCCACGCCGTAGGCGAAGATCTCCAGGAGAGACGCGAGGATGGCGATCGCCCTGTACACAACCTGATCGCCCGCCGCGTAGGAGAAGAAGGTGGCGACGTAACTCAAATGTTGGGCGAGCGCCGTCGACGGCTCGATCAGCTCTTGCGAGACGATGGCCAGCCCGATGAATGTGCTGCAGACGATCACTTTGTCCGTGCGCGTGAGGTCGCGATCCACCCAGGGCGTCAGGAATTCCCAACGGAACTCGCCCCTGTCCAACGTCGCGAGCGATTTCAGCGCGCGGTCCCGCGAGATGCCGAGGGTTTGTAATAGCGGCGGCGCTTTGGGGCGCGGCCACGCGGCGTCGTCGACGGACGAGCGAAGCGTTGTTGCTTTTTTCGTGGTGAAAGAGGGGAGCTGCAGCGCCGCTGCACTGACGAGCAGCGTGCAAATCAGCCTTGCGGCGGTCATGTTTGCTGTGGCAGTCCACCAGCTTGTGTGGAGAGCGGTTTTTAGAGCGAAGCTGCAATTGCACGTTCGCGTGCAGGCTATGGACGGTCCGCGCGGACGGTGTTCGTCTCCAGCCGACGTGTAGCAGGCGAAGACCAGACCCAATTAATATGGCTGACAGTGCTGCAAATACTTTTTTGTCGAATTGTTGGACCCCGAAGGAATTCTCTCCAGGCGTCTCGCAGGGCGTAGATTATGCGCAAAGCACATCCGTTTTTAGCCTGAGCTAGTGGCTTGAGACACTAGCAAAGCAGCAAGCCTAATTAGCAAGCGGCCAAGCCCTCCAATTAAGGGCCATCAGAAGTCGGAAGTGTCATTCGCGTCTCGCATTAATCGTTGCCCGGCCAGAGAACCCAGCTCCGCCGCGACCGAGCACCGCTGTGGCCACAAGCAGCCACAAGCAGCCTGGCGCCGACCGAGCGCACGCGACTCATGGAGGCCGAGGAACGACCGCCGCTGAGCGGCGCGTTAGTCCTGCTGACGGTCTTCGCCGTGCTCGGCGGTTTCTTGTTTGGCTACGACACGGGCGTCGTCTCCGGCGCCGAGGTCTTCGTCCAGAACGACCTAGGCCTGAGCGACGCGAAGATCCAGGTCGTGGTCAGCGTGACCGTGCTCTTCGCCGCCGTCGGCAGCGCGCTCGCGGGCGCGCCGCTGCAGGCGCGCGGCCGGAAGCCCGTGATCATGGTTGCGTCGTGTTTTTATTGTGTCGGGTCGCTGACGGTCGCGGCCGCGCGCGGCTTCGGCGAATTGGTGGCGGGCCGCGTCGTGCTGGGGTTAGGAGTTGGGCTGTCGTCGATGGCGATTCCGGTGTATGTGGCCGAGGCGTCGCCGGCCGAGCTCCGCGGGCGCCTCGTGTCGTGCTACAATTTGTTCATCGTGCTCGGCCAGGCGGCGGCGTGCGGCGTCAATATTGTCTGCGGGACGTATCTAGGAACATCATCGAGGTGGCGCGTGAGCATGGGCGTCGCCGCGGCCCCGGCGTTTCTCCAACTTGTAGGCTTCTTCTACCTCCCGGAGTCGCCGCGTTGGCTCGCGCAGACCGGAGACGTGGACGGCGCGGCGCGCGTCCTGGAGACGCTGCGCGGGCGCGCGGCCTCCTCCGAAACTATCGAGCGGGACCTGCAGCAGCTGCGGGCGATGGAGCCGGAGGACGTCGGCGACTGCGCCCAGGGCCTCAGCGAAGTGCGACGGACGCCGCACCTACGAGCGACGTTCGGCCTCGGCTTGGGCCTCATGGCGCTGCAGCAGTTCTCGGGGGTCAACACGATCATGTACTACGGTGCGGCCATTTTAATCATGTGCGGCTTCGAGGAGAAGGACTCGGTCGCGCTGACCGCCGTGCTGGCGCTCGCGCAGGGGCTGGGCATCGTCGTCTCGCTGCCGCTCTGGGAGAGGTGCGGGCGCCGCCGGCTCCTCATCCCGTCGGCCCTGGCGGCGGCGGCGGCGATGGCGTGCGTCGCCCTGGCTTTTTGGGCAGGTATAGACACGTACAAGTACGTCGGCCTCCTCGGCGTCGTCACCTACCTCGTAGGCTTCGGCCTCGGGCTGTCGAGCGGCCCGTGGGTCGTCAACGCGGAGATCTACCCGACGCGCCTGCGGGGCCTCGGCCAGGCGTCCGCGTGCACGGCGAACTGGGCCGCGAACTACGTCGTGGCGGCCTGTGTGGAAATCAAACCAGTGCGTCGGGTGTATTCTTCACTAAGTCATTTCTTGGCGAAGACGCGGCCGACCTGGCTCGGTCGAGCGGCTAGGAACCGGCATCGCCACGCCATCGAGCAGGCGTCGCATCGATGGCGTGGAGGACGGCACGGCGATCCAGCACAAACGCGCCGTAACATTTTGATTTCCACACAGGTCGCGGCGACGTTCCTGTCGCTGTGCAAGGCGCTCGGCCAGGCGTCGACCTTCGCGCTTTTGAGTTGCATATCGCTCGCGGGCGCCGCCTGGCTGCACGGGGCCCTGCCGGAGACGGCCGGCCGGTCCCTCGAGGAGATCGAGGACCTCTTTCGCGCGCGCTCCTACGGGCAAGTCCGCACGGCCGACGAGGACGAGGTCCGGAACCCGCTCGGCGACGACGAGGCCATGTAGTTTGTTATTTATGTATACTTAGTCACGCGACCTTGGACAGGTCCTTCCCCCGCTCGGCGGCGGAGTCCTCGGCGGCGCCCTCGACGAGCTTCGACCGGTACTGCTCGATCATCTCGATCTGCTCGAGTTCCGTCCCCGTGAAGGCGCCGCCCTCGACGCCGTCGCCCTCCATGGCGCGCTTGAAATCGAGCTCCTCGCCGTCGAGCTGGTGCGGCACGCTCTCGTAGCCGACGCCGCTCGCGGACCGCCGGGACCCGCAGCAGCAGCAGAGCCGCCGGCAGCACAAAAAGAGGAGGACGACGGTCGTCGCGCCGAGGGCCAGTGCCGCGACCGCGAGGACCGACCGGTCGCCGTCGCTCAGGTCGATGCCGACCTCCCAGGGCATCGTTCGTCGCGGAGTCTACTTGTACCGCTGCGGAACAGCGAGGCAGTCGTACACCACACAGGCGCAACGTTACGGTCCGCGCCCGCGCGCGCTCTCGACACCTTCCAGAGAGCTAGCACTGTGTGAGATCTGTGTGGTCGAGAGCGAGCTGTGAGCTCTGGCCCGCAGGTCTACTGGATGAGACTCGCTGCCTACCACTTCTCGCGCACCGCCACGGAGACGTGTAACTCTAGTCTAAGGCCGCTTCGGGACTCGAGCTAGTGTGTCTCGAAACGCTAGCTATCGGGCCTCAGGGCACGCATTACTACTGCACTTGAACGCTGCCCCACAGCCCCATGCGTCATGCCCTCCGCTGGTGCGCCACGCTGCTGGCGCTCGTGGCCGCGGAGCCGCCCTGCTACGCCACCCGCGAGGCCCGCGTCGCACCCGTGCGGGGCGCCTGGGTCGCGCGCGTGGAACGGCAGTCGAGCTACCGGAACCTGTCGTGCCCCCTCGAGTGGTCCAAGTACAGCTGCGTCCACCAGGGCCAGGCCGCGCGGGCGGCGGCCGCCGCGGGCCGGGGCTTCGCGCCCGCCGGGTGCGCGCTGGGCGGCGCCTGGCGGCCGCGGGGCAACGGCACGCGCGTCTTCTTCTGGGGCGACTCGCTGCTGCGGCAGGTGTTCATCGCGATGGCGTGCGGCCTGCACGCGGCGGGGCGCGTCGTCGACGCGGCCGCCGACTGGCCGCCCTGCGGCGCGGCCGAGTGGCCCTGCCACGGCGCCGCGCGCTGCGTCCGCTGCGGCCCGGGCTCCGGCTTCTTCGGCGCCACCGTGACGCTGGCGACGGGCGCGGAGCTGCGCACCGTCTCCACCGACGCGCCCGGGGGCGCGGTCGCCTTCTTCCACGACGTGCAGCCGGACCGGGACGTCGTCGTCGTCGAGGCGGGCGTCCACGGGGGCTCTCCGTTCGCGAACGCGCAGCGCGTGCTCGCGGCGGCGCGGCCCCTGTTCGCCCGGTCGGTCCGCGTGATCTGGGTCGTCACGCCCCAGGACGCGTTTCCCTCGAGGTCGGGCGACGGCCGGTTCGAGCCAAAGTACCTTCGGTCCCATCGAGGGGGGTGCGTGAAGTCGGTCGCGCCGGCGCGGTCCAGCGAGGAGTGGCGCGCCCTCCGGGGGGACGCGCGGGCGCTCGACGCCCTGTGGGGCGTCATCGACCTGGCGGGACTCGAAGACCAGGGCGACGCGAAGGTCGGCGCGGGCCTGGCGGGCGGCGACTGCCAACATTACTGCATGCCCGGACCACCGGACGTGCTCGCGGCGGCGCTGGACGCGATGCTCGCGGCCCTGCCCGCGTAGGACGCGCGGCGCGCGTGTGTGATACTCTTGTAAACGCAGTTGTAAGTTCGTATAAATACACTCACACTTACTCAGGGCGCCGCGGCGCAGCACGCCAGCGACCGGCCCCGCGCCGCCGCGCGCCGCCGCTCGGCCACCACGGCCGACCCGCCCGGCGCCTCGCAGCCGCACGCGACGGCCGCGTCCTTCACGACAAGCTGCTCGCCGCCCCCGAGCACGCGCCGCTCGTCCTCGTCCAGCGTCGCCACGACGCCGTCGAGCAGCGGCTCCCACCAGGCAAACTCCGCCGCGAAGGCGTCTCCGTCCAGGACGTCGACGAGCAGCGCCCGCGCGCGGTCGTCCAGAAGCTGGGGGTGGTGCTGGACCTGCCACGCGTAGAAGTCGGCGAAGGCGATGGCGTCGGGGTCCCGTAGAACTAAAGCAAGCGCCGCCTCGACCTCGCTTGCCTCCATACACAAACCTTTCTCTGCAAGGGCCGCCACGAGATCCGCCGCGCAGAGGCCGTTTCGCGGCGGCGGCGCCTTGTCCTCCGCCGCGCTCGCGTAGTAGTCCGCGATGCCGCGCGCTCGTAGGAGGTGGCTCCGCGCGTCTTTGTGCGCGGGATGCGTCGCGCGGTCCGGTTCGTCGCGACGGCGCAAATCGTCGAAGACGCGCCTGAGTCGCGAATGGAGCCGCTCGTCCGCGTCGGGGACTTTAGGCGGCGCGCGCTCGACGCGGGCCGGGTCCTCCACATCCTTTGTCCGCGGCCGGCCCGCGCGTAATCTTCTGGACGAGGCTTCCACGTCGTGGACGTGCCAGGCCTGGGAGTGCGCGTACTTCGCGTCGATGGGCACGCGGCCGCGCGTGTCCCGCCTTAATGCCCTCTCAGAAGCGTGCTCGCAGAGCTCCTCGTGGACGATGCTCCCGCGCGCCGCCTCGCGCCGCAACCCGACGCCGGCGAACAAGCCCGCCAGGCTTCGCTGCGGCCGCTCCTCGCCTCCATCTTTCCTCCTGAGGACCTGGAGCAACCTTCTTGTTTGAGGTTGGATGGGCACGTGCGTGTGGTACTCCTTGAGCGACGGACCCTCGAACCACCAGCCCGTGTCGAGGGCGTGGTGCTTCTTGTGGTAACTCCGGTGGCCCTTCGTGCGCCACGGCGGCTCGAGGCCGTTGAGCCACCGCCGGTTCAACGTCGACTGCTGCCACCAGAACTTCTTTTCGTGTTTGCCGGTCTTCCGGTGATGTACACGCTGCCACCACCAGCCATCTTGCACCGGTGGTGGGGGCGGGGGCTTGATGACTCCGTAGGTGCCCAGTATGACGGAGCTGAGGTCGGTGTTAGCCATGCTGCCTTAGGGTTGAGCTCCTGGGCAGCTACGCCACGGGCACCAGCGGTCCCCGGCGGTGCGTGCCGGGCCTCACCGAGCGCGAAGCAGCGCTTGACCACTTCGCCGCCCAATGGGGCAGCCACGCGCCAGTTGCGTGCTGCAGCGCCTGCGGGCAAAAAGAGCTAGTATGTATGTCACGCTAGTCCCTCCCTCTTGCCTTTGCTAAGTTGAGCCGAGAGCGAGCCTGTGTCGGCATCGGGACCGTAGCTAGCTTGTTCTGATATCGCTGCTATTGCGCAGCTTCGCGGTCTTGCACAGCGCACACTCTTTTAGCCAAGCTGGTGGAGAGCTAATTGCAGCCTGTGGAGAGCATCGCTCGCGTCGCAGTCGTGCGCAACAGTGATGCCGCCGCGCCGCGGCCGCGCCCCGGCCACGGGCAAGCCGGCCTTCTTCAACGCGCAAGAATTAGAGAGGTTCGTGGTACAACGCGGCTTCGACGCCGTCGTCGCGCAGCGGCTGTGGCGCGTCGTGATACGAGCGCTACGCGACGGTGGCGGCGAGTCCGACGATGAAGTATGGGAACGAGCGTCAAAGTACTGCATCGACGGCCGCCAGAAACTGCCGAAGGTAGCCGTCGAGCTCGCGTCGCAGAATTTTAGACTCTTCTCGTCCAAACTGGCCCACGTCGCGGAATCAAAAGACACGCAGACGACGAAACTCGTCATTGAACTGCGGGACGGCCACCGGGTTGAAAGTGTAGCCATGCGCCACAAATCGCGGACGACGGTCTGCGTGTCCTCGCAGATCGGCTGTGCCATGGGCTGCCAGTTCTGTGCGACTGGTACGATGAACCTGATTGGAGATCTAGATACGTCGGAAATCCTCGAGCAGGTGGCGCTCATCACGCGGCACGAGTGTGCGAGATCACGACCGGCGCCGAGAAACGTCGTCTTCATGGGCATGGGCGAGCCCCTCGCGAACTACCAGAGCGTGTCAGCTGCGGTCACGTCGTTGTGCGACCCCTTCCATTTTGCGTTAAGGAAGAAGGGCGTGACCGTGTCTACTGTGGGGGTGGCGCCGGCCCTCAAAAAATTAACAAGGGAGCACCCCGAGGTGCGCGTGGCGCTGTCTTTACACGCCCCGTCCCAGGAATTGAGGGCGAGAATCGTCCCTGCGGCCAAGCAGTGGCCGCTGCACGAACTGATCGAGGCGCTGGACGACCATTTGAATAGCGTGTCGCGGCACTCGGGAAGCCACGACGGCCTCATGGTCGAGTACGTCCTCCTGAAGGGCGTGAACGATCGGCGGGAGGACGCCGACGAGCTCATAGCGCTATTAAGAGGCAAGCCCGTCATGCTCAACCTCATTCCGTACAACCCGAACGTCACAGCCACCTTACACGGCTTCGAGGCGCCCTCCATCGAAAGCTGTCGGGCCTTCGGCAAAATTGTTATAGAGGGCGGCCTCCGCGTGCGCCTGCGCGAGGAGTTCGGCCAGGACATCAACGCCGCGTGCGGCCAGCTCGCGCTCGCGACGAAAGATATAGAGGACCTGGCGCCGGCGCCGCCCGCGCCCGAGCCGGCGGTCGCGTCGACGAGCGTGGCGGACGCGACGGCGGCGCGGCGGCGAAAACCTCGGGCGCCACCGCCTAAACCGCCGCCGCCGCAACGGACGGCGCTCGCGACGGCGTCCCTCGCCGCCGCCGCGCTCGCCGCGAGTCTTGCGGCCGCCGCCGCCGTGCTTCGCTAACATCTGGTTTTGTGTCATGTGCGTTGCGTTCGAACATTACGAAGTAGTACTTGGACGAGATTATACACGAGGGGTAAAACACGCCTAGGCGTTCTGGCGGAGCACCTCCACGACGGACTTGAAGGCGAACCATTCCGGGATGTCCTCGCCGCCGCGGAGCATCTTGCGGAACTTCGTGCCCGACAATTTAAGGGCCGAGAGCTCCTTCTCCTTGGCCTCCTCGGCCGTGACGTAGCCCTCCTCGTCGGTGTAGACGAGGTTCAGCGAGGGCACGGCCTGCATGCCCATCTTCGGGCCGTTCTCGAGCGCGAAGTCCTGCGCGTCGTAGGCGCCGTAGAAGTCCTCCTCGTCGATGCTGGACTTGCAGCCGGCCATGTCGCGCCCAATAATAAAGTGCGTGCAGCCGAAGTTCTTGCGGATCATCATGTGGTGGATGGCCTCGCGCGGGCCGGCCATGTGCATCGAGTAGGGCAGGTAGGCCCAGAAGGTCCGCGGGTTCGCCGTCTCCTCCTTGAGCACCTCGTAGGTCTTGTAGCGCACCGTGCCGGGGATGTCGCCCGGCTGCGTCGGGCCGCAGGTCGGGTGGACGAGCACCACGCCGTCGGCGCCGACGTTCGGCGCGTCGAGGGCCCGCGTGAAGAGCTCGTAGTGCGCGCGGTGCACGGGGTTGCGGCACTGGAAGGCGACGATGTCGACGTCATCCGGTAAACGCGCGCGCACCTCTTCCGGCGTCTCGCACGGGAACTCGCGGACCGGCTTGTTCAGGCCGGTCAATTTACCGCCGAGGTAGTACTTGCCGCGCTCCATGGCGACCATCTGCGTGCCCGGGTGCTCGAGCGACGACGTGCCGTAGCACTTGAGGCACTCGAGGGGCTTGTCCGGCACGTACTTGTCCGAGACCTCGAACGTCGCGACGTCGAGGTCGCCCTGCTTGAGCAGGATCTTCGAGCCGGGGCCGAGCTTCTCATCATTGGTATCGAAGACGACGGGCAGCGAGAACATGAGGCCCGACGGCAGCTTCATGCCGCCCACCACCGACTTGTAGGTCTCCTCGTCCATGAAGCCGTCGAGCGGCGAGAAGCCGCCGTTGCAGAGGAGCTCGACGTCGCACGACTGCCGCTCCGTCATCTGGAGCGTCGTGTCGCAGTCCGCGGCCTTCAAGCCGTCGCCGAACAAATTCACGAGCTTGCCGCCGTGGGGCTCCTGCTTCGACGCGGCGAGCGCCGTCGCCTGTCTCATGTGAGACGCGGGCGGCGCGACGAGCGCCGCGGCGCCGGTCGCGAGGAGGACGATCTTGCTGCAGGCGACCATGGTGTCTTCCGAACGCCTGCGGTGGGTATAGCGTCGCGCGGCTATCCGGGCTGCTGTGCGGTGGGTGGCGCGTCGCGCGGCTATCCAGGCTGCTGTGGGCTAGGGCGTGAGCTCGCCGAGGAAACAACGAGACGCGTGCAGCTTCCGCAATCAAAGTTGCATTGCTCGCACGTGTGCGATCGACCCTCTTGCGTTGTTGGCACTGCTTCGCACTGGTAACTGCTTGTTATCCGGCGATGTCGTCGACGCTGCGTGTTTGTCTCGAGCGGCTCATCAACTGATTCGCCGTTGTAGTCCTCCGGAGAGTCGATGGCTCGTCTGCGAGACAGCTACGCCGGCACGAGTGGCGCGGAGGGGGGATTTGGGGCCTTGCCACTTGGGCTGCTTGCTGAGATGCGTACTCGACAGGCTAGCGGTGTTGTGTGCCGCCGCGGCAGTCTTGCGGTGGGCCACAGTCAGCCGAACGTGCCATAGTGGACGGATGCCTGCTAATTGCTTGCTAGTGTCCTTACGCCGCTAGCTAATTATCGAGGGGCTGTTGTGAACTTGGCGGTCCCTGTACAGGACCGCTGTACACGCGCGAGCCACTGTGGACCGTTGCCGGACCCCTGACACCGCGCGCACCTGCCGCGGCGGGTCAAATTCGCTGTTCCAGCACGCAGCGGGACAGTTACGCTTGTTAGCGTTCGGCCGCTTTTAGTCGCCCCGCGACCGCCCCGGAAGCGCGACAAACATGCCCCCCCGCGGCCGGAAACGCCGCGGCAAGGAGCTCGTCGCCGCCGTCGCGACGGACGCGCCCGGCGACGCGGCCGTATCGCCCGAGTACGTCGAGGCCGTCGTCGCGGAGCTCGAGCACGAGTCGGAGCGGCGCGTGAAGAAGCTCAAGCGCCAGATGGGCGACATGCGCCAGGAGTTCCTGAACCACTTCCAGGTCGAGCTGCTGAAGATCCCGCGGAAGATCCGCGAGATGAAGGTCGAGCACTTCTCGAGCGAGTACGGCGGGAGCATGGAGGAGGCGCTCAAGAAGGCCGCGCAGTGGGAGGTCGAGAAGGTCGCGCCGACGCCGCGGCCCCGCGGCGCCGTCGCCGCGACGCCGCGCGGCGGCCACTCGGCGCTCGCGCGCGTCGCCGCGACGCCGGCGCACCTGCGCGCGCCGCGCGCGGGCGAGACGATCATGTCCGTCAACGGCTCGCCGCTCGCCGCCGTGCCCATGTCGACGGCCAAGCTCGCGGCGACGATCAAGGTCAAGGGCCCCAAGTCCAAGCTGCCCGGCGCCGGCGCGGACCGGCCGGCGCTGCTCGTCGAGCTGCCCTCGGCGGACGGCTGCGTCGCGCTCAACGACAGCGAGACGCTCGCGTCGCTCCGGAGCGACCCGACGATGACGGCCGACGCCATGGCGCACCTCACCGCGCTCCAGGGCGAGATATCCAAGGTCATGAAGACGCTCCAGACCGCCAAGTAGGGCCCCTCTTCTGCCCACTAAGATTACGACACGACACATACAGATTAGGCGAGCGGCTTGCGCATCGTCGCGTAGAGCTGCTCGGAGCCCTCGTATTTCGCGAAGGGCGGTCCTGCGGCGGCGTAGCCGCGTTTTTCGTAGTACGCGGCCATTTCGGCGCGGGCGTCGCAGTCGATCGTCTTCGCGCCCAGGCGCGTGGCCTCAGACTCCGCCGCCTGCAACAGCCGGCTCCCGAGGCCGGCGCCGCGATGCGCCTCGAGCACGGCGAACTTGCGAAACCTCGCCTCGGCGCCGTCGACGAACAGAGACACGACGCCGACTACGTCATTGTTAACATTCGCCGCGAGGTGCAGTCCCTGAGCGTCCTCGGCCAGCCGACACATGTCCGGGCGTCCGGGCCATAGTACGGCCTCTCGGACGCCTACAGTCGCCTCCGGCGCGACGCGGTTGATGGTGACGCTGCTCGTCGCATAGCTTCTGGGACGGCACGCGGCCCGGGCACTGACCACTCGCAGGCCCAGCCGCAGGAACAGCATGGCACGACCCTATATCGGGGGCTGGGGCAGCGTATACGCAGCAATGCGGTCCACAATGGCTGTCCACAAAATCCTGCCGCGGACCTAGCGGCCGGTAAGGCACTAGCAAGCGCTCGATGATGGACGTAAAATGGCCGCACAGCGCCGTACTGAACCGGGGGCAGCCCAATGAATCGAACTTAGAGATATGATGCGGCTCCTGCTCCTGCTCGCGGCCGCTACGCGGGCCAAGGAGCTCTCCTTCGGTCGAGACGGCGTCGAGCTCTTCCGACGCGTGTTTGATGAGGACGCCCTGGATAAATTACGACGGGCCTGGGACGCCGTCGAGGCGAACGAGACGGTGGTGCAGAGCGACGTGCTCGAAGAGGGTTGTGTGGAGGCCGTCGCGCGGACGACGGCCGCGAGGGACCCGGGCCAGCGGATCATCCTAGCCGCGCGGTTGGATAGATCCATGGAGGGCGACGCGCGGGGGCCCGTGCGCTGGGACGAGCCGCTCGTTGATGGGGAGAGGCGGCTCGTGGAAGTGATAAGGACGCCGCTCGACGACGTCACTCCTGAAAGAGCGGCGCTCGAGGTCTGGCCGGGCACGTTCCTCGAGCGAGACCGGCGGGCCCTGCGGCTCGCGGCCGCCAACGCGTCTCTAGGTGAAGAGGACCCCGTCGACATCGACGACGAGCGCCTCGACGCGACCCTCGAGGACCACGTCAAGCGCCTCGCCGCCAAAACGATCCCGCAGCGCGCGGGCGACGTGCTGGTTCTAAGGCCCGAGGTCTGGCGCCGGCGGCGCGCGCACCGCGCCGCTGCACAGACGCGGACGCTGGTTTGCGTCGTGGTCAGGGAAGGCGACGCCGACGGTTGCGCCGAGGAGCCGTGCGGCGCGACGCCGCTCGGGCGCTTGTTGGGGCTGCTCGAGGCGGACGGGCCCCCGCACGAGGACGATCGGGACCTGTGGCGCGCGCTGCGGAACGGCACGCGGCGTTCGATCGACGACGCGAACGCGACGGCCCTGGTCGAGTTTGTGCGCCGCGTCCATTCAATACCAACGCGGGTCGTGGTGGTCGAGGCCGTCGGTGCACACGCGCCGCGGCTCGCGGCGGTCCTGGAGGAGGCCGTGCGACGTATCGTAGTCGCGCGGCCGACGGCGGCGGCGCTCGCGTGCGCGGAGCTGGACGACGCGGTCTGCGTCTCGTCGGTGGAAGAGGCGCTGGAGGCTTTGCTTGGTATCGAGGATCCGGTCCTCCTCGCGGTCCACGGCGACGCGGGCCTCGGCGAAGAGCTCTTAACTCACGTAGACGCGGAGCAGGTCTGGTTGGTGGGCGAGCGCGGCGTTCCGGATCAACTCAAGCGCGCGGCCGAGGCCCGGACCTGCGCCCACGCGACGCCGAGAGGGGCTCCTTTGTCCCATATCCGCGCGGCGGTCGAGTGCGCTTCTCGCATCTATGGCCAGCGGGAGGTCGTCTGGAAGGAGGGGAGAGTCAACGAGGGGCTCTTCGGCGCCGTCGGGTACTTCGTGGAGCATCATATAAGATTGACGGCGCCCTGCCCGCACCAGGAGGTCATGGGTTGGGCCGGTTGGACCTCGGAGACTGCATTGGAGCGCTTCACGGGTTTTATTGAGAATGTCCAAGAGACCCACGCGCGCGCCTGTCGAGCCTGGGACGCGCTCTGCGCCTCGCCGGCGTTATACGGAAATGGCGTCGCGTTCGACGCGTGCTACGGGCTGCGGGGCGGCTACGGCCCGGCGCGCGCCGTGGCCTGCGTCGCGCACACAACAACTCAAACCTCACTCACGACGTGCGCCGGCCGGCACGTGGCGTATGTCGGAGACGACGTCCACGACGACGACGACGACGAGCCCGAAATTGATACGCTCTGCCACGTCGGGTTCGGCGTGGCGCCGTCCGTGGCCGCCTGGCTCCACCACGACATGGCCTGGACCGTCGTCGCGCTGGCGGCGCCGGCGCCGGGCCTTTGCGCGGACTTTGGAGAACTCGGCGAGCTCGAACTGTTGCGGAGGCTCCACCCCCACAGAAGCGTCCGCGCCTACTCCTTGAACGCGCCCGAGGCCGTCGTACGTGCGGCGTCGCAGGTGGCCTGCGACGTCGTCTACGTGGATTTGAGTTCGGAGTACGACCACACGTCGAGCAAGACGGCGCGCTACTTCGCCAAGGCCGCGAATTTATTCAGAAACAACGCGTCGCAGCTCTGGCTGCCGCGGCGCGTCGCCGTGCGGCCGGGTATCGACTGGGCCAAGTTGGAACCGCGCGCCGGCCGCGAGGCGAATTGTATAAACTACGCCGAGCTTAGAAACGGCGTCCTCTACCCGCATGCGGGCCGGGCGGGCGCCTGCGCCTCGGTGGCGGCGCCGAGCTGGCTACGGGGCGGGCTCGACGCGTACGTGTATACTGGAAAAAAGGCCGTGGAGCCTCTGAAAAAACAAACACCTCAACCCCCAGCTTCGCCGTCCGTAAATACGGCGCGCTTCGTGCTGGTGGCCTGCGACCATGAAAGCGACCCGCGCCGCGCGACGGAGGCCTTGGTGGCCGTGGCGTCGGCCGTCGCGAGCGCTCCACCCGAAGCGGACCTGAGTTTTTATGTCTTGGCGAACGGCGGCGCCGCCGACGAACTGACGAGGCGCATCCCGCGCGTCCTGGCGTTGGCCGACGAGCGCCGCGTCGTTCTACGGGTCACTGTTGGAGAAATTGCGTGGCCCCCTTGGTTGGAGGAGGAGGCCGCGTCGCACTTCAAGCCCTGCGCCTGCGTGCGGTTGTTTTTGGGGGAGCTGCTTCCGTCGGATTGGAATGCGGGGAAGATTCTGTATATAGACACGGACGTGCTGTTCGTCGCGGACCCCTTACAGATCTACGCGGACGCCGTACAAAGTTTGAATAACACATTTGTCGCGGCGGCGGCGGAGCACGGCGATGTTGTAACATCATCCGCCGACGCGTACTACAACGCGTCCGGTTCCCATTTGCCGCGCGCGTGGCTCGACGACGGCGCCAATACGGGCATTTTAGCCTTGGATTTAGATAGAGCGCGGGCGACGAATTTGTCAATGTGGTTGGTGGACGCCCGGAAGGCCCTGGACGATTCAGACATTAGCGTGGACTTCGGGGACCAGGGCTGGCTCAACGCGCTCCTCGGGGGCGCGGCCCTCTACCTGCCGGAGGCGGGGCGGCTGCCCTGCCCGCTCAACTTCCGGACGGACTTCTGCCACCACGATTTTTTGGATGCGGAGCGGTGCGCCGCGGCGCCGCGTTTATTGCACGCGCCGCGCGGCGCGCTCCACCTGGACTCGATCTACGCGACGCCGGCGTTCCGGATCCTGTCCGAGTTTGTGCGGGAGGTGGTCCGGGGCCGCGACCGCGAAGCCGCGCGCGCCGACGCGCTCGGGGCCTACGGCGCGCTGCTCTCGCGGCGCGCGGCCGCCGCGCCGCGCTGCGCCGAGGTCGCGGCCGTCGCCTCCGACGCGGCGCGCGGCTGGTTCCCTACTGCCTCCTAAGTTTGTGTGTCGTGTGATTTGACTGTCTGTCCATAAGACGGGTTTGCTCAACAACAACAAAACCTTAGAGCCCCTCGATGATCAAAGGTCGTGCCCGTCCGCCACGGACCCGGGCAGCTCGAAGGACTTGATCCGCCGCACGACGCGGAAGTACGCGTAGAGCAACGCGAGCGCCCAGCTCGCGAGGCACGCCAGCGCGCCCAGGGCGCCGACCGGCGCCGCCGCCATCGCGCGGCCCAGCGCGAGGCCCGTCAGCGCGTAGCAGAGCGCGTACGCCTCCGCGAGCATGCGCCGCACGCGGCCGTCGGCGATGCGCCGCGTGCGCCAGGCGAACCAGGCCTGCGCGGCCGTCAGCGCGCCGTAGCAGCGCGCGACCTCGTGCGCCGCGGGGCTGTAGGGCGCGCCGCTCAGTTGCGCGAAGAGCCGGTGCGGCAGCATTACTAAAACGAGGCCCGCGGGGCCCGCCGCGAGGGCGTGCCACTTCAGCACGTCGTTGAACGAGAGCTTCTCTAGTTTACTCATGCGGCTCCGGTCGACGGCGTGTTGCGGGGCACCGACGAGCTCCACCTAATTGTACAGCTGACTAGCAGCGTGCAGCACACTCAGCAGCACTCAGGGACGCTCCTTGATTAATGTGCACGATATTTCTATGGCGCAGCGCAGCGCGAGCCCGTCCCGGGTCGGGTTGCGGCAGCGGCTAGCGGTCGTAAGACACTAGCAAAAGCAGCGGTGCCCTACTAGTAGTTCGTAGCTCTACAGCACGAGTGCTGCTCGTATAGGTTCATTTTGCAACAGCGACAGTGCTTGCTCGATCTGCTCGACCTAAAGTGTTCGACTCCTCGACCTGGAGAGCCTGCCAGCTGCAGCACTGTCACACCGCCTACGCCATCGACGCGATTGTATGCCAGCCGCGCAATTCCTTAGGAGGGCAGTGCGCCGGCGCGGCCTCCGGCGCGCGAGCGCGTTTGCGCTGCCCCAGCGGCTCTGGCGCGGCGACGTCCTGCGATGCGTGGACCTGCACTGCGGCGGCGAGCCGGCGACGGTCGTCGTCGACGGCGGCGGCTTCGACCGGGTGCGGGGCGCGACGATGTTCGAGAAGCGACGCGACGTCATGGCGCGGCTGGACCGCTGGCGCGAGGTGCTGCTCCACGAGCCGCGGGGCTACCCGTGCGCGAACGCCGACTTCCTCGTGCCGCCCACGCTCGACGAGGCCGACGCCGCGTTCGTCGTCGTCCGAGTCCGACGCGCCGTCGGTCCCGTGAGGCGTCGTCCACGCAGGTCATCGCCGAGCAGGCGAAGGTGTATCCGCTGATGTCGGGCCACAACACGATCTGCGTCGCGACCGCCCTGGTCGAGTGCGGCCTGTTGCCGGCGGACCGGCGGGAGCGGTTCGTCCTGGAGGCGCCGAGCGGGCCGGTGCCGATCCGGACGGAGCTCGCCGCGGACGGCCGGTGTGCCTCCGTGACCTTCGACGGGCCACCGTCCTTTGTCGCCGTGCGCGATGAAGTCGTGCAGCTGGACCCGGACGCGTGCCGCGCGATCGGCCTCGCCGCCGCAGAGGTGCGCATCGACGTCGCGTACGGAGGCATGTGGTACGCCATCGCCGACGCTCCAACCGGTGCGGAATTCAACGCCGTCGCCGCGACGCCGTACGCCGACGGTGTAGGTGTGCCCGCAGGCCGCGGACCTCGGCCTCGCGATCGACGCGAGGGACGGCGCGCGGCTGCGGGCCGCGGGCGAGCTCGTCAAGGCCGCCGCGCGCGCGCAGTGCCCCGTGCAGCACCCTACCTTCGACTACCCAGGTCCCGATATCATGGCCTTCCGGGGACCGTGGCGCCGCGGCGCCGTCGCGACGAACACGGTCGTCATGTCCAACGGCTACTCAGGAATGCTGGATAGGAGCCCCTGCGGGAGCGGCACGTGTGCGATCATGGCGCTCCTCCACGCGCGCGGCGAGCTCGATCTAGGCGAGCGCTTCGTCCACGAGTCCGTCGTGGGTTCGGTTTTTACCGGGGAGCTCGTTGGGGTGACGGCCGAGGGCGTCGTGCCCGCGATCACGAGGCGCCTGATCCGCCGCGCGCCGAGGTCGTCGTCGACCGACCGACCCGTTTCCCGAGGGGTTCCGGGTGGGGGATATCTGGTAGTGTTGGATGTTGTTTGTTTGTTTTACTTACAACATATGCATATATGTCTACGAGAATAAAACCCGCACTTTTTAATCAATTTTAACATCCCGGCGGAACTACGATTTTCGTAATGCCCGGACAGGTGGGAGCGGCTGGTAAGGACGGTAGGAGGTTCTGAGAAGTCCGATGTACTTCAGAAGGGCGTGCAGCCACCAATCGCTTAAATGCTCCCGCGCCTTGTCGGACTCGAGCCCCAAGATCTTGCTTAAAATGGGCGAGTTACTTGGACCTGCGACCATCAGCCCGTGTACCATCACCATGGATCATGACGCGATCATTTGTTCCATGATCGACCGACTTGCGCGAGGTCCAGATCAAGATGTTCACGTCCCGAGCGTGAGCAGCCCAAAGTACCCTTCTCGTGGTGTAGATGTCATATACTTGTAGTTGACTATCGGTGGGGTAGTATGGGGTCCAACGAGGCCGCTATGGCGACTACTGGGGGCCCTTGGGTAATTGCGTATTTGACGGGAACGGGGCGCCATCGGGTCCAAATTGCAAACTTTTTTCGGGGGCAGATCGGCTCCTGGAGGCCTCTCGGGGTAGGTCTGGTAGTGGGTAAGCGCCTGTACGGCAGACGCCATCGATGCGGCAGCCTAGTGCTCTCGGAGAGCGCTGAAAGCAAACCTTGGCCTATTGTTGCTAAAGATGCGTGGGCTGCTGAGAGAAATCGACAAAAAATGATTGAAGCGGCGGCGCTTGCGGCGTAGGCGATTGCACGTGTATAGTACCGACCCTAGGCGACCCCAGGGAGACCTGTTTGGCAGGGATTGACAGGATTCAACCGGCGCGGCCGTCATGGCGGGACCGTCAATATCGCGAATTAAAAAAATTATTTTTTTCGGCTCCCAGGAAGTGTCCCATTGATCTCTTTGGACCATTAGCGACCCGAACGATAGCAAGACAGCTGTAGATCGCGTCTCGTGGGAAAATCCCCACTGGCGCGACCACTTCGGCCGTCAGACCGCGAATCAAGAAATTACTTTTTCCGGGCCCCATTACTCGTCGTATGGATGGATCTCTTTGGACCGCTGGCGAACCGAACGGTGCTCTGCCTCCGGCGGACCCCCCTAGTATGTCTATTACTCGTGAGAGAGACCGACGTTATTGTTGTGCTCGAGGACGTAGATACACCTGATACCGCAGCGCGCGCACCCGTGCTGGCTACAGCAATCCCACTTCACTGCGCGCGCAGGACCTCCGCGGCGCCGCGCCGTCGCGCCCCGGCGTGTGAGCGTGACCGAGAACGGGCCAGTTACGCGCAGACGACGCCACGCAGCCCGTCTTCGCGCGCAGGCGACCGCTAGTCCGCGGACCATGGCCTCCTACGCCGCCCCCCGCTCGCGCTCGCCGCACCGGCGCCCCCTCGCGTCGAAGCTGAACGCGCTCGCGGTCCTCAGCGAGGACGAGGAGCTCACGCCGACGAAGAAGGTGGCCGCGCCCCCGGCGCCGGCGCCGGCGCCGGTGCTGCCGACGGCGTCGCCGAGCAAGCCCACGGCGGCCGACGTCGCGGCCGCCGACGCGGCGCTCGCGCGCATGGAGGCGGAGCTCGCGGCCCAGATCCGCGCGCCGCCGCCGCCGCCGCCCGCGGGCTCGCCCGACTCGTCCGACAGCTCGTCGAGCGACGAGGACGGCGCGCCGCCGCGGCGCGCGGCGTCCTGGCGCAAGAGCGTCGGCCGCCGCGGCTCGACGGGCCGCCGCGCGTCGCTCGAGCACGCGACGCCGGCGCAGCGCCGCGCGCTGCGGCGCCTCAGCGCGATCCTCGCCGACGGCGGCGCGGCCCGGCGCGCGCGCGAGCGCGAGTCCGGCGCGCGGCGCGCGCGCGAGGCGGCTGTGGTCGAGGCGCGCGCCCGCATGGTCGCGCAGCGGCGCGCGCGGCTCAAGTCCGTGGCCAAGATGATCGACCTCGCGCTGGTCTGGGAGTGGCGCGCCGCGGCGTCCCGGTCCCATCGCCCGCTCGTCCCGCGCGTCGAGACCCTGCGCCATCGACGCGACGCCATGTCGACGCGACGCCATGTCGACGCGACGCCATGTCTCGACGCGACGCCACGTCGACGCGACGCCATGTCGACGCGAGACGCCACGTCGACGCGACGCCATCGACGCGACGCCATGTCGACGCAACGCCATGTCGACGCGACGCCATGTCTCGACGCGACGCCATGTCGACGCGCCACGCGCGCAGGCTCGAGGCGAACGCGACGGACGCGGCGCACGACGACGCGGACGTGTCGGTCGAGGAGGCCGCGAAGCTCGACGAGGAGGCCCTGACCATCGTCGCCGAGATGGCCTCCGCCGCGGCCGAGGCGCGGGGCCGGGAGCTCCAGCTCGCGGCGGCGCCGGGCGCGCCGCGCGGCCACCGCGCGTCCGTCTGCCGCGCGCTGCGCACGCTCCGGTCCCTCGCCACGCTCCGCGTGCGCGTCGACGCCTACGACCTGCAGCGGGGCTTCTACGGCGTCCGCGTGGCGATCCCCGTCGACGGCGGCGCGTCGCGGACGATCGTCGTCAAGCGGTCGTGGCGCGACCTGCTCAAGCTGCGCAAGGGCCTCGCGAAGCGCCTGCCACCCGTCGCGGCGGCGTCGCTCAAGAAGCTGCCGCGGGCCCGGCCCCTGTCGACGCTGAAGCGCTCCGTGCGCAACCTCGCGGGCGCCGGCAAGGGCGACCGCAAGTGGCAGCGGTCGAAGCTGCCCCAGGTCGACGCCTGGCTGCGGGGGGCGGTGGGCGTCGTCGCGCGCGAGGCGTCCCGCGCGGGCCGCATCGACGCCGAGGAGTTCCTCGAGGACTTCCTCTTCGCCTACGGGACCGTCGCCGACGCCGAGGAGGCGTAGTAAGATAACACACGTACGTTAGGCGGCGAGCTGCTCCGCGTGCTCGTAGCACGCGTTCACGCCGAGGCACAGCGCCTTGATGGACTCGTCGAAGCTGTCCAGCGCGTTTTGAGTAGCGTGGAAGTGGAGGACGCCGTCGACCTGGTCCAATGACGCGGCGAGGCGCCCCGCGGCGATCATTTTGGCGGCTGTCGTTTCCACGCGGCCCGGCGCCACGTCCAGCAGCTGCGCGCAGTGCTCGATGGAGATGTTGCAGTAGATGTGGGCGACGGCCACCAAGTTGTGCTGGATCATCGCCGCTTCCGGGATGGTCAATCCATCACTTAGTAGTGCGGTCTGGTGCGGCATGAGCGACGCCATGAACTGCGACGTGTCCCTGGTTCTTACGAGCTGGCCCGTGACCGTCCTCTTGAGCACGCGCGCGTGGCCCGCGAAGTCCGCGCTCCTCTCCAAGTCGTCGAGGCGCTCGTCCTTGTAGAGGAGAGTGAGGATTCTCGAGCGCTGGGGCCCGGCATTACCTAACAAAGCGCACGTGACGGCCTTGGCCAGTAGAGTCGTGAGCTCCTCTCTATCAATTTTGGCGTCGTCCGCCCGGGATAATTCGTAGTAGCGCATCGACGCGTCCAGGAACTTGCGCCGCGCGTCCAGGGTCCGCGCGAGCGTCACGCGGTACCGCAAATGCAACGCCCAGTTTTCGGATGCAGACACGTCCCGCATCAGGCCGGACGCGCGGCTCACGTAGGCCTCCGCGTCCACGGACTCGTCCTCCTCGAGGAACGTCTCTGCCACGGTGACGTACAACGTCGCCTTCTCGGCGGCCGAGTACTGCCTCGCGCTATTCTCGACGTTCGTGCCGCCTAAGACTAACGCCGCCTCTCTATAATCACCCGCGTCGACGAGGCGGGAGAAGAGCGCCTGTCTTAGGGTTGCGTCGCACGCTTCAAAAGATTGCGCCTGGCGTTTTATTTGTTCGAGCGACCACGTCAACAGGTCGGTCGTCGCGTCCGAGGTCATTTTCGCTTGAATGGCCTGGGCGAAGTGGGCCGCCGCGGCTCTCGAGGCGGCCTGGGGCACGGCGTCCGACAGGAGCCGCTCCAGGATCGTGCGCATGCCGGCGGCGTCCTGACTCGAGGCCGTGGCGTCTATCAATGATTGGTAGGCCGCGGGCTGCTCCGAGTTTGGTTTGCTAGAGATCTGCTGGAGCTGGGCGTCCATGGTTGCTTCTTTTTGTGGTCGCTGCGCCGCTGTCTGCCTTTGGCGCTCGCGGGTCTCGCGGGTCTCTCGCTGCTTGGCCGCCCTCGCTGCGGCCCGGAAAGGCGCAGCGCTGCCGAGTCGTTGTCGGGTTGCACTCGTGCGTTCCGCTAGAACGCGGAGAAGGCTGTTAGGGCTCCGCTGCAGGCCGACTCGGCTCGTAATCCTAGTATGTCAATGAAATACTAGGTCAAAAAGTAGTTTGAGGCCAGCTCATCGTGCAGCTCATCGTGCTGGCACCACAGCAGCGCGCTGCCAATAGCTGTCCACGAAACGCGACGCAAAGCAGCAGCGATCACTCATCACTCGGCCACAGAGCCTTGGATTGCTGCACTTGTGCAAGGCCTAAAAAGCATCATGCGCCTGGCATGCGTGCTGCTACCGATAGCATCCGCATTCCTCGGCCCGACGCAACGAAACCAGGCACCGCTCCGCGCCACGACGGACGACGAAACAGCACCGCCTTTGCTGAAGATCCCCATCCCCGGCAGCGCGACGGCCACGCTCGAGGTGCCCGCGCTCGCGACGCAGAGGGATTTAGCAAGGGACATAAAGAACGATGCTGCGGATGTCGACCCGACGGCGGCATTCCGCCGAAGCTTAAAGGCGACGCGCGCCCTGAGCAACGTCGGGGCCAAGGTCTTGCGGGGGTCGACCGACGCGCCGCGGTTGACGAGGGAGCTCTTCGAGGAGCTGGGGGCGACCTTCGTGAAGCTCGGCCAGCTCGTGGCGTCGTCGCCTACTTTGTTCCCGGAAGCCTGGACGAGCGAGTTCGAGAAGTGTCTGGACGACGCGCCGCCGATTCCCTTCCACGTCGTCAAGAAGACCGTGGAACAGAGCCTGGGTCGAAGGCTCTCGACGACCTTCGCCAGCTTCGATCGCGAACCGCTGGCGACGGCGTCCGTCGCGCAAGTGCACGCCGCAACTTTAAGAGGTACCGGGGAGCGCGTCGTCGTCAAGGTCATTAAACCCGGCGTCGCGGATTCGTTGATTGCCGACCTCGCGTTCCTGAACGGGGCGGCTCGGTTGCTCGAGGCCGTGGCGCCGGAGACGAAAAGAATTTCGCTCAGGAGCGTCGCGGCGCAGTTGCGCGACGCGACGAGACGGGAGTTGGACCTGACGAAGGAGGCCGAGTCCCTCATGAGTTTCGACGCCTTCCTCGAGACGGCGGGCTTCGCCTCGCAAGTCTGCGTGCCGACGCCCATCCCCGAGCTATGTTCGAAAGACGTCCTCACGATGTCGCGGCTCGACGGTCAACGATTGACGGACGCGACGGCCTCGCCCGAAGCTGCGGCGAGCGTCGCGACGGTCATCCGGTGCTGGGGGCGAAGTGTCGTCGAGCACGACTTCTTCCACGCCGATTTACATGGAGGCAACGTGTTGTTGCTCGAGGACGGCCGCGTGGGCCTCATCGATTTCGGCATCGTGGGCACGCTGCCGTCGGAGGTCTACGGCGGCGTCGTGGCGCTGGCCGCGGCGTTCAACGCCCAGCCGCGGGATTATAACGGTGTCGCGTCGGCATTGCGGGAGATGGGCGTCGCCGCGGACGTCTTTGATGAAGCGGCCTTCGCTTCTGACTTAAAAAAGGCCATCGAGGCCACGGAGGCCAACGACGCGGCGGCCATCGTCAACGACGTCATCGCCGTCTCGGAGAACAACAATCTGGTCTTGCCCTCGGAGTTCGGCCTTTTGACGAAGCAGGCGATCTACCTGAACCGCTACGTGACGACGCTCGCACCGGACCTGGACCCGTTCGCCGAGGACGTCCTCGGGGGTGCAGCCTAAGACAATTTTTGTTACTTGCGCCGCTTCGCGCGGAGGTGCGACGGCAGCGTCGGCTTCCGCCGCTTCTTCTGTGTCCACGTTTCCGGGGGCGACGGAAGCAGCGGCGGCGCCGCCGGCGCGGGCGGCGGCGGGGGCGCCGGCGTCCGGTCGACGAACGCGGGGACCGCGGCGCCGGCGTCCTCGGAGCCGCTGTCCGAGTAGTCGACGTCGGCCGCGCGGCCGACGGCCTCGCCGAGGTCATCGTCGTCGTCGACGGCGGCGGGTGGTGCCGCCGCCGCGGACGCGGGCGCCGCCGCCGCGCGGAGGGCCGCGGCGTCGCGGCGCAGCAGCTCGACGACGCGCGCCAGGCACGCGAGCCAGCACGCGTTCAGCGCCGCGAAGAAGCCCCGCGCCAGGTCCTCGCGCACGCCGCGCGCCGCGGCCAGCGCCACCGCGGCCGCGGCGTCGCAGGCCGCCGCGGCGCGCTCGTTATCGGCCGGCGGCGGCGCGAGGCGGCCGACACGCGCGACGAGCGCGCAACTCAGCCGGAAGTGCTTCGCGGCGCGGTGCTGCTGGCGGTTGCTCCGGAGGAGCTCGCTCAGGAAATTGATCTCGACGGCGAGCGGCGTGGTGCTCTCTTGCTCCTCCATCACTGCAGCTGTGCTGTGCCCAGCGGCTCTCAACACGTGGCTTTCGCGCTCGGCACTCGTGTTGTTGAAGACGTTGCCAATCCCTGCGTTTTACACGTTTAAACCATGCATGCGCTTGGCAAAGGCCTTGACATCAAGTGATGCTAGCGACAGACTTACTAGGGAACGTCCTAGTCCAGCCGGACGGGTGGGCCCGGGGGGAGCGGGAGGGGTACGGGGAACCCTGCGACGTAACTAGCCTCAGCCTCACATCCACCAACCAAGTCCTTACTCGCCGCAGACCTCGTCCTCGAGCAGCTTGCACCGCTTTTGGAGTTCGACGACCTGGGCGTAGAGGTGCTTGTTCTCCTTGCGGATCTCCGCCATGTGGCCCTGCAGCCGCTTGTTCTCGGCGACCTGGAGCGAGAACTTGTGGTCCATCTCCTCGTCGCGCTCCTTGAATTCGGCCTGCATCTTCTCGACGGCCTCGCGGATGAGCGACGTCGCGAGCGCCTTCGTTTCCTCTGCGGCGCCCCACAGTTCTTTTACGGTGCCCTCCGTGTTCTCCATCATGGTGTAGCACTCCTCGAACTTCGACTCGACCTGCTCCATCTTCTGGCGCAGGCCCGTCATCGTGGCGGCTATTCGCTTGGCTGCCCTTTTTGTCGGGCGCTCGCTCTTTTTACAGGCGTCGCGGGAGCGGGTCGGATGTTGCACACGCGTAGCCCGGACGCGAGGATGCGGGAGAGCGGCGTTGACGGAAACCCCGCACGCTTTGAATTTGGGCGGGCCGCATATCTCTCGCACGGTTCCGGACCTGCAGGGAGAGGCTGGACGACTTCCGGTACGTCTCGCGCTCATAACTTCGCGTGCAGCGGCGGCCGCAGCGCACCGTCGTTTGGTAGACGATAAGGCGGCCGGAACACCTGCAGGTTTGGCCCTACGCCGCCGCAGCGATCGTCGGAGGCTGCCCCGCACCCGCACCGTTGGTTGAGGCAGCCTTGGCGAGAGAAACGACCAAAGGACTGCACAGTGTAGGGCTTGCCGGTAGCCATATACGCGATGCGCCTCACGCGCAATGCCAAGGTCGGCCAGACGCCGGCGCAGCGGGCGCCCGTGACGCCGCGGAGCGCGCGGCGGCGCGGCCGGACGCCGGGCCTCAACCTCGGCGTCGCCGGCGCCGCCGCGTCGTTCGCGGGGACGCGGCGGCCGCCGTCCGCCGGCGCCACGCGGCGGCCGCCGTCCGCCGGCGCCACGCGGCGGCCGCCGAGCGCCGGCGCCACGCGTAGAGCTGTGGTGACGCTGACGCCGCGGCAGCTGACGCGCCCCGCCGCGGCCCCTGAAGAGACTAGGTCGTTCGCGGAGCTCTACGCCGCCGAGATGGGCGCGACGGCGCCCGTGGTCAGAGAGGGCTGGCGCGACCAGGCGTCGCCCGAGCGGTGCGCCATCCCGGCGGCGCAGCCCATCTCCACGACCTACGAGAAGCCGCCCGCGACGCCGCCGCGGCCCAAACTGCGCGTGCGCCTCCCGTCGGGCGCGGCGCCGCCGCCGCCGCCCTCATTAAACGTGACCTTCGGAAAAGCCGTCGCGTCGCCGAACGTCGTGCTGTCGCCGCCCATGTCGCCGGCGGGCCGCGCGGCGCTCGACGAGGGCCTGTCGCCGCACCCGAACAAGTACTGCGAGACGGTGCGCGAGCGCAACTTGGATCGGGACCGCGTGCCGCGGCCGCTGAGCCGCAGCTGGCGCCGCGCGCGGCCGCTGACGCCGGCGGCCGCGCGCGCGTTCCGGCGCCAGCGCGACTGCGAGGACGCCGCGGCGCTCGAGGGCTACCGGCGCGAGCGCGGCACCATCGAGCGGCTCGCGCGCGAGGCCGAGCGCCAGGCGGTGCTGGTGGAGCCCTTCGCCGACGCGGAGGCGCTGCGGCGGGCGCCCGCGGAAGTCGCGGGCCCGACGCTCTGCGTGTCGCTGCCGGGCGGCTCGGCGTGCCGCGTGTCCGGGCCCCGCTTCGACGCGCACACGTGTGCCGTCGTGCTCCACGCGCTCGAGTGGCACCGGCACCTCCGCGGCGCGCAGGACCCGGACGCGGCGCTGCGCGACGCGCTCCGGCGCGCGCAGTGCGGCGCGTCCGTCCTCGACGCGGCGCGGGCGCGCCTCGCCGCGGCGAACGCGCGCGAGCACGAGCTGCGGCCGCGGGGCCCGAAGCGGCCGAAGACGAAGAAGAAGGGCTCCGCCGCGGGCGGCGCGCGCGCGGGCTGGCGCGTGGCGCGGCGCGCCGCGCGGTCCGCGGCGCGCGCCGTCGCCGACCTCGAGAACCGGCTGAACGCGGTCCTCCTGGACGAGCGCGGCGAGCCGTCCGCGCGCTTTCGGGTGGGCGCGACGAGCGTCGTGGTACGCCTCGTCCGCGCGATGACGCCGGACCCGCGCCCGGCGGGCGCGCTCTTCCGCGGGCTCGCGAACGAGGCGACGTCGCCGCGGGGGGCGCACCGCAAGGACCTGCCGCCGCACGCGCTCGGCCGGGCCGGGCCCCTGACGCACACGGGATAGTAATTAACATGTATCACTTAGTCACACATAACTAGGCGAGGCCCAGCCCGGCGTCGGCGACGGCCTCGACGGCCTCGAGCGCCGCGTCGACCTTGCTCTCGTCGAGGTCGTCGAAGTGCTTGCCCTTGCACGAGCAGGGCAGCTTAATGCGCTTCGCCACCCTCAATAAATTGAGGACGCCCTGCTTGAGCGCCATGGCCGCGGGGTCCCGCCGCTCGCGGGGCGTCTCCATGCACATTTTGGGAGGCAGCGCGTCGCACGGCCGGAAGTGCGCGTGGAGGATCCGCGGCGCCGTCCGCATCATGGACGCGCACTGCTCCTTCACCGTCTCCGCGCTGAGGGATTGCGACTTCTGGCCCCGCTTTCTTCTTATTTGGGACTGGCCGCGCGCGTCGCCCGGCCGCACGTTCCACGACGGGTGGACAAACAACGTGTGCGCCGCCGCGGCGATCGTGAAGGGCGGCTGGTTGTTGCCCTGGTGCCAGAGCGGCGACCCCGTGATGTGTCTGACCAACACTCTATCTAGTTTTTCCACAATGTCCGCCTCACAGTAAGCTTGGAGGTCCATCACCAACACGCCGGCGTTGACGTGCTGTCTTACATTTCTCAAACCGAGCTCCTGGACCAGCGGGTCGCGGAAGCGAAAGCGAGGCTTGTAGGCCGCCTTGCCGGGCGCGCACCGCCTCGCGGCCGCGACGAACTTGTCATTTGTTAAAGGTGCCTCTATGAGATCCGTGAGGTCATCATGTGCTAACGTATCGGCGTCGAGGAAGACCGCTCGGCGCGCGCCCAGGGGCAGCAGTGCTAGGTACGCGAAGAAGCGCGCGTGGTTGCCCAGCGACGTCGCGAGTTCCGGCCGCTGGCCCTTCCAGCGCCGCTGGGCGCAGCAGAAGAGCTCCAATACTCGACGGACTCGAGGCGGATAGCCGTCGTCCTCCTGGGGAAAGTGGATGAACGTGACGCGCGCCGGCAGCTTCTTCGGTGCCACGTCGCACTTCTTGTCGTCGCCCAACAATTTAGCTAAGGACCGACGCGCACAAAAGGGTGTCTCGTGGCCGACGTGCATCTTCTTCCCGGCCACGGCGATGATCGCCCCGCAGAGCGCGCGCGTGAACGGTTCCACGGTCTTCGGCGGGACCGTCAGGATGAACGCGAAGCGTAGGCTGGACGCGTTCTTCGACGCGTGGGCCACGCTGCTCAGCGAGGCGATGGCCGAGAACGCGTGGTCGGCGAGCTTCGGCGATGCGTCCAACGAAAACACGATGGGCGCGTTGGACGTGTCCGGGTCTAAGAGGAGTGCGTGCGTCGTCGCCGCGAGGAGGAGAATGAGCCTCCGCATCGCTGCGGCCGCGCGCTGCAGCGCCACTGGCTGCTCGCTCAGTTTTGTTTTATGCAGGGCGTTGCAGCGCGTCGCTCGCAGACGCAGTGGTGCAGCTATAATTTTGGCGTTGCACGCGTGTTTTGCGGAGGACTCAACTCGCAAGCGCTGCCAGTGCCTCCGACTCTAATTTTTGTTATAATCGGCTAGCGTCGTGTTAGACACTAGCAAGCAGCCTCGGCCGGCCAAAACGCAGGCGTACGTGTCGAAGTAGGCGCAGCCGTCGTCGCTCGAAGGGTGCCTGCACTCCTGCGTTCGCTGCACCGGCTTGGCAAGCTGTGCTGTCCACCATGAACGGAGGAGAGATGACCATAGCCCGCGTCCTGCCGCGGACCACGGCCGCGCTCGACCCGGGCGCCATCGTCGCGTCGACCGCCGAGGCGACGCTGCGCAGCCTCTGGGCCGCGCCCGAGACGAAGACGGCCGCGCGCGGGCTGGTCCTGGCCGCGTGCGCCGTCGCCGCGGCGTTCCCGCGGCCATTCGCGACGGTCGCGTCCATTCTCATAGCGACCGTGGTCGTGCTGCACGCGAGCAACGCGCTCGCGCGGCCCGCATCGCTGCGGCGCGGCGCGCTCCTGCTCTACGCCGCCGCGCCGCTCGCCGAGGCCGGGGCGATCGCGGCCGGCGGCGGGGCCGTGCGGGCCGACGGCGCCGCGGTCTTGATCGCAGCGGTCTGTGGCGGCGCGGCGCTGACCGGCGCCGAAGACCTTCCGGCAGTGGCGTACGCGGCGTGGGCGTTATACGGCGGCGCGCCGCGGCGGGGCCTCCTCGCGCTCGGCCTCGCGGTCTTCCGGTGGGCCCTGAGCTCGCCGCATGCGGGCGGCGCCGTCAGCCGCAGGGCCATCCACGAAAGCCGCGCGGCCGTCCGCGCCGCGGCGTCGAGAATCGCCGCGGCGCCGCTCGAGGATCTGTCGCGCGAGCAGCTGTTCCGGGCGGCGCTCTTGGGCCGCGTGGCGCAAGTCTGGGACAACGACGCGGCGACGGCGAACGACGCCTGGGCGGTCGTGCTGGAGGCCGTCGCGGCGCTCGGCGCCGGCGCGGCGGGCGCGGGCGTCGCGGCGCTGGCGGCGCTGGAGAGAAGGTTGGTCGACGAGCACTTCGACGCCGACGAGACGGCGGAGTGGGCGAGTGCCCGTGCGTGGGAGCTCGCCGACGCGGCGGCGCCGGGCTACGTGCCCGCCGTGCTCTGCCGCGGCCTGGGCGCCGCGCCGGGCCTCCTCGCGTTCGCGTGGCTGGGTTGGACCCGGGGGTTGGCCGTCGCGGCGCCGCTGGCGCCGGTGGTCGCACGCGACTTGATGAGGCTGCGGCTCATCCGAGATGAGTGCGCAGAGAGAACGCGCGCGTGCGAGGACGCCGCCGCCGACGCGCGCGCGGCTGCGCGCCGCGCCGCGAAGGCCGGCACGGCGGCCGCGGCGCGCGAGGCCGACCAGTGCCGCTGCGCGCTGGTGTTGCTCGAGAGGGACGAAGGGCTCGACCTCATCATAGGCGACGAGGACGCGATCGCCGCGTGGCACAACCTCAGGAAGCTCGCGACGTACCTCGACTCGCGCGCCTGCCGCGTGTCGCTGCGGACGCTGCAGACGTCGGCGCGGGTCCGGCGGCTCGCCACCGGCGTCGCCCGACTGTCCGCGGCCGGCGCTGCCGCCTACGCGGCGGGCGGCGACGGCGGCGCGGCGTCGGCGCTGTCGCTGACGGTCGCTTTAGCTGGCGAAGCGCGGCTCCTTCTCGGAAGCGGCAACGCGGCGTCGCGCGACGTCGTGTACGACGCGGCGGCGGTGTTCGAGAACAGTCAGAAACTCTGGCGCGAGTACGGCTGCCAGGACTGGGTCACCGAGCAGGCGACGGAGCACTACGACTGGTGGGCCTGGACGGCCAAGTGCTCGGGCGGCGCCGTCGCCGGGGCGGCCGTCGGCGGGCTCCTCGCGGGCCCCGTCGGCGCGGCGGCCGGCGCGGCGCTGGCCGGCGGCGGAGTCTACGGCGCGAGCGTCTCCGAGGCGGAGCCCGCGCCGCCGCCCCTTCCAGTTCTGCCTGTTCCTGATGAGACCGATCGGTGGTCGGATGTCGCGAGCAGCGACGAGGAGGAGGATGTTGATAGTGTGCATAAGTGAATTTTGTCTAGTGGCCTTGTAAAACTAGCAAGCACCGCGCTGGCCAGGCTCTAGAGCCCTTCAAACGCTAGCAGAGTAGTAGCTTTGCTGCCGGGTAAGGTATCGGTATGGTACCTTATACCTCGGAGCGGCGCCGGCCCTTTTGCCTCTTCCCTACTGACCTACGCAACCGCAACCTGTCTAATTTACTAAATATATCTCGAATCATTGCTCAGCGTTGCCTGCAGTTTGAGTTCTGGCCGGCAGTGCAGCAATCTTGCAGCAGCAGTGCTCATACATGGCCTCACTCCTCGTCCCCGGCGCCGGCTGGGCCAACGAGCCGCCCTGCTGCCGCGACTGCGGCGAAATCCACGTGACCGAGGGCGACTTCGGCGGCCTGTGCCCGACGACGGCGCCCAAGGGCCCGCCGCCCCTCGGCCTCGAGCGCCTCGGCCAGCCGCACAAAGCATTATGTGATGATCGGTCGTTCCGCCTCGCGAAACTTGCGAACGGCATCCGCGGCGTCTTGGTGCGGGACACGTCGACGGACAAAGCTGCCGCGGCATTATGCGTCGGCGTCGGCGCCTACGCCGATACCGATATCGCGGGCCTCGCCCACTTCCTCGAGCACATGCTGTTCCAGGGCACGGAGACGTACCGGGAAGACAACGCTTACAAGCAATTTGTGGCAAGGCACGCGGGGTCGACGAACGCGTCGACGAGCGGCGAGCAGACGTGTTTTCAATTTGACGTTGTGGATGAGGCCTTTGGAGGCGCCTTGGACCGCTTCGCGCGCTTCTTTCGCGAGCCCCTGCTGCTGGAATCGTGCGTGGATCGGGAGATGCACGCCGTCGACGCCGAGCACTCCAAGAACCTCAATGACGACGGGCGGCGGGCGTACCAGGTCTTGAGGAAATCCGCAAATCAAAACCACCCCTTCTCGAACTTCTCCACGGGCTGCCTCGAGACGCTGCAGGTGCCCCGGATCCGCGAGCGGCTCCTGTCGTTCTGGCGCGACCGCTACGACCCGGAAAACATGACCGTGTGCCTCGTCTCGTCGCGGAGCCTCGACGACCTCGAATTATTGCTAGCGGAGCACTTCTCGGGCATCCGGAGAGCGCCCGACGCCCTGCGAAGAGGCGCCTCCACCATTGTTCGCGGCGACGGGCGTCGTCCACGAGCGCAAGCCCGTGCGCGACTTGCGGGAGCTGAGGATCATGTGGCCGCTGCCGTTTGGGTTGAGGGACGACTATCGGAATGGTGCCGAGCACATCGTAGGTCACGCGCTGGGCCACGAGGGCCCTCGGTCCTTGCTCGCAAAGCTCAAGAGCAGAGGTCTCGCTCACGCTTTAAGTTTTGGCGTCGGGCCGTCTCTGAAGGAAGCCGCGTGTTTATCGATGCGCGTCGAGCTCACGGAGGCCGGCGAGACGAAGCGGTACGGCGAAGTGTTAGAGACGTGCTTCGAGGCCGTCGGGGCGCTCCGGCGCGATTTGGACAAGGCGCAGACGGGCGCGCGACTGTGGAGCGAGCTCGCGGCGATCGACCGGGCGACCTTCGATTTTGCCAGCTCGAGGCGAAGCGCCTATTCGATCGTATCTAGTTTGGCGCGGACGCTCCACGACGTCGACGGCGCGCACGTGTTGTGCGGCGGCCGGCCGGGCTTGTGCGGCGACGCGGACTGGTCGCCGCAGCGGTCGGCGCTGCTGAGCACCTTGGTTGCATCGCTGGCGGACCCTTCGAAGATCATCGTGCACGTGGCGACGAAGGCCCCGTCCGTGGCATTGGAGACGGAGCGCTGGTACGGCGTCCAGCACGGATCGCGGCCGCTGACGCGGGCGGAGATCGAGTCGTATGGCGAGGCCGTGCGCCGCGGCGTAACAGCGACGGACCTCGGCGCGCCGGCTGGAAATGCATATTTGCCCGACGCCGAGCGGCTCCGCCTGGCGCGGCCGGCGTGGCGCGACAGTGAAGACAAGGACGCGGCGCGGCGCGCCGCCTCGTCCGCGCCGCCGCGCCGCCGGACCCAGGGCCGGCTCGTGAGCTGGTGGAAGAAAGACGCGACGTTCGGGCAGCCTAAGGCCTACGCGCACTGCCGCGTCGCCTCCGAAGCGCTAGGGCGCGGCGGTGCGCGGGGCCGGGCCTGTGCTTTGCTGTGGGTCAACCTCGCGCTCGAGAACCTCGAAAAACCTTTGTATGATGCGACCTGCGCCGGCCTGAGCTACGACGTGTCGGACGCGTTCTTCGAGTCGGGTGTGGATTTATATGTTGGCGGCCTCGCGGGCGGCGCAGTGTGGCGCTTGCTCGACGCCGTGTGTGAAGAGATCGCGGCGCCGACGTGGGACGCGGCCGCGTTCGAACGCGTGCGCGACCGGCTCGTGCGGGCGCTTAGGAACGTCGACAAAGCGCGGGCCGACTCGCACTCGTCCCGCTGGCGGCGGGAGTTGTGTGACGAAGGCCGGCCGCCGGTGGGCGACGTCCGCGACGCCGTGGGTGCCGTCACCCTCGACGACGTCCGGTCTCACGCGTCGCGAGCGTTGGAGGGCTGCCGCGCGCTTTTACACGTCCACGGCGCCGTCGACGAGTCAGATGTCGCGGCGGCCGAGGCCGTGGTCGAGGCGCGGTTCTTTGTAGATGATGTCCGAGGGTCGTGGCCCGCGCGGCGCCGCATCGCGGCGCCGGCTGTGAACGAGCCCCTGCGGGTCGCGCGCTTCTCGCCGAACGCGAAGAACGACAAGGACTCTGCAGTTTTAAAGTGCTACGACCTCGGCCCGAAGAAGGACGTACGAACGCACGCGACGGCGTCTCTGTTAGTTCACGTGGCGAAGGAGCCCTTCTTCACGCAACTGCGCACGCGCGAGCAGCTCGGCTACCTCGTGTCGATGTCGTATTCCTCCGCTCGAGGCCGGCTCCTGCTATTATTGAGGGTGCAGTCGCAGCGCGTCTGCTCGGACGACGCGGCGGCGCGCGTCGAGGCCTTCCTGGACGCGTGGCGGCCCGACTTCGACGGGGTTGAATTCGCGGCGGCGAAGGCCGCGCTCGCCAAGAAGTGGCGCGAGCCCGCGACCTCGATGGCGAGCGAGGCGGCACAGGCGTGGGGCTGCTTGCTGGCGCCCGATTCTGACGGCGCGCCGTCGTTCGACCGGCCCGAGCGCGTCGCGGCGGCCGTCGAGGCGCTGGGCCTCGCGGACGTGCGGCGCTTCTACGAGGAGCGCGTCCACGAAAAGCCGCGCCTCGTCGACGTCCGCGTCCGCGGGCGCGACGACGACCACGCCGGCGACGACGACGCGCCGGTCGTGCCCGGATACTTCGACGCGCCGGCAAGGGCCGTTCATGACTAGTCTCTCGTCGTCGTAGGGGTGTGTGTGGACTAATTTCTAGCATGTCGCAAGCTCACACAGGCGAATTACGCGTCAGGCTCAGGCGTCCCTCACCCATCAAAACGGGTTTTACAATTTTTATCTTTTTCACGGCTTTGGTTCGGACCTCGGCGCGATGAAACTCGGCAGGGGATTTTACTCGGGCTTCCATGGCCTGCCGAAGGACCCCATCCGGGCGCTGTATTGGCTGCAGAAAGTCGTAGACGGTTGCAAGTTCAAGTGCCTGTCGGGTGAAAGTATGGCCGACGCGGCGGAAATGCTCCAGATGCTGGACGAGCAGGCGAACGAACTAGAGGAATAAAAAGACCAGTTCTAAATCACAGCAACAGGCTCCACGCGGGCCGCGTCGCGACGAGCGCCTCGAAGACGAGGGCCTCCTTCTTCTTGCCCTTCGACGCGAGGAAGTCGGCCTGGGCCCGCAGGAAGGGGACGGCCAGGAACGCGTCCGCGAGGTCCTTCGACTCGCGGTCGTTCACTTTTATCAACTCGGCCGTGTCCGCGTACCCCCGGTGGTTCTTCACGTAGTCCGCGTTGGCGAGCCGCGACCGGAGCTGGGCATGCGCCGCGTCCAACAGATCTTCTGAAGACACGCATTCGTTGATGAGCCCCACGGCCGCCGCCTCTTTGGCGGTGGGCGCCCAGCCGTCCATCCCCAACATCCTCATCGCGTTCTCGGGGCCCATGAGCCGCGCGAAGTGGACGCTGGAGCAGCCTTCCGGCGGGACCCCGAGCCGCGCGAAGGGCGTGGAAAAGGTCGCGTTCGTCGACGCCACGACGCAGTCGGCGAGCGTCGCCGTCGTCACGGACGCGCCGATGGCCGGCCCGTTTACCGCAACACACAAGGGTTTCGGGAACTCGAGGAACGTGTCAAACACCCGTTTGTTGAAGGTGTAGATCTGGTCGTGCAGCTGCTTCGGCCACATGGGTTTTATCGTGCCACTTAGATCAACACCGGCGCAGTAGTACTTGCCGCTGCCCGTCAGGATCAGGGCCTTGACGCTGTCGTCGGTCGCGGCATCGGCGAAGCGGCCCATCCAGCTCCGGAGCATGGGGTCCGTCCAGCCGTTGTACTTGGCCGGGTTGTTCATCGTGATCGTCCGAATGCCGTCCCGATCCTCGACGAGCGTCAGGTCCGGTTTCGTGGCGAAGGCTCGCAGCGCAGAAGTGCGGCGCCGCAGCAGGACGGAGCAGGTCTGGCGGAGCATCGGCAGCGTTGTTTGTCGCGTCTGGTGGCGTTCTTTTTGTGGTGTGGACTCGGGGCCTTTGGGAGACAAGTGCGTTAACACGGATGCCGCGAGGGCCTTGGGCTGGCGACCTGCCTTAGACGCTTCGACGTTTGAGCTTTAAAACGTGCCTCAACGCCGACCGGGCAAATGAGAAGAGGCGAAGGCGAGCTAGCGGACTGTAAACACACTAGCAATCAGCAAAAAAGGCATGCCAGGCTTGCATGCGGCTGTAAGGGTAGGCAAAGGGCGCAAGAGTGCTCGGAAGTGCCTAGCTCTTGCCGCCGCCTCGCGCTGCGCAGCGTGCGTCGCAAATTTCCACTACACAGAGAGATGGCCACTCGTGTCGCGCTCGTCACGACCCTGCTCCTCCCGAAGGGATCGTCCTCGGTGCTCGCGAGCTTCGTCAAGTGGCACACGAGTCTGGGCATCGACACGCTGTACCTGTATTTCGACGATAGCACCAGCGACGAGCCCGAGGGCTGGCGCGAGGCCGACGACCCGCAAGTGGTAAGAGTAAGACGCAGCCCGCAGCTACTCGAAGAGCAACAAGAAAAATGCGCGTGCTGGGCGCGCTTCGGCCCCTACGCAACGGAAGTCCAGGCGCGCCAGGCCCTGAACGCGGAACACGCATCTCTCCAAGCGCGGCGCGACGGCTGCACATGGTTATTACATTTGGACGTCGACGAGCTCTTTTTCGTGAAGAGCAAAGAGGCTTTGTTGACTCACTTCCGCGACCTCGATGCCAAAGACATAGGCCACTGCACCTACGCGAACCACGAAGGCGTCGCCGAGCGGAGCGACGTCAGGGACTATTTTCGCGAGGTGACGCTGTTCCGGTGGAACCACCACTCCTTACCTCTAACGAGCGGCGTCCAGGCCGGCATGCGGTGGTGGCGGTCCCGGTCGAAGCACGGCCAGTACCTGCTGTGCTACGACTGCGGCAAGAGCGCCGTGAAATTAGTTGATGATATCGAGCCGGTGTCCGTCCACGCCTGGCGGACGCCGCTTAAGAAATTGACGGCGTTATGTGATGCTCGCCTCGATCTGAGCGAGCGCTCATCAAATCCAGAGAAGATGCCCGTCATTTTACATTACGTGAATTGCGGCACGTTCTGGCTGCGGACGAAGTACGAGATTTTGGGGGCCTTTGCGGACAGCTGGTTCGGCGGGTCCCTACCGATCGCGCCGTCGTTCCACCTCGACGCGAGAGATGTGGTGGGCACGCGGGATGCCGAAGCCTTGGAGGCGTTTTATGGGAGGCACCTCGCGCCGCCCGACGCTGACGAGTTGGCGAGGCAGCTCGCCGCGGGCGTCCTGAGACGTCTCGATGCGCCGTCCAAGTTGCTAGGAGGCGCCACGATCGCGGCGCCCGTCGCCGTGGCGCCTTCAATCATGCCGCCGCCCGCGCCAGAGACGGGCTTCTCTTCCGAAAAGGCCTGGATCCTCTCGGCCGCGGCGTCGAAGTTCCTCTAGTTGTGTTTAACGTGTAATTAATAGCTAATCTCACCACTCGATGCCGTGGTGCATGCTGAACGTGACGAGCGGCGGGTCCAGGTGCCCGACGTCGCCCAGCGCGCGCAGCGACACGCTCCCCGTCGGCCGCACGACCAAGTAAGTCACGGAGCAGTTGAAGGTGCACAACCGCAGCCACGCCTCGGGCGGCAGCTGTAAGGCCCGCAACGTCATGTAGCGGATGACGTTCCCGTGACACACGACGATCTCGTACTCGTGCCGCGCGCCGTCGTCGCGCGGGTCCGCCCGCCGAAACGTATCGCGGAAGGCGCGCTCGACGCGCTGCTGGTCGACGCGCACGGCCTCGTTCGAATAGGGCCGGCCCGGGATGACTTGCGCGGGCCGGCCCTCGTTGAGGTCCGGGTTCGGGTCCGCATATACTAATCGGTCGGCGGGCAGGCAGGGCGCGATGAGATCCGCCGTCTCCTTGGCCCTTACTAAACCGCTCGAGACCATTTTGATCGGCGACTTGGGCGAGCCTGAATCCAAGAGACTCCGTAACCTCAACCCCGTCGCGACGGCCTGGTCCCGCCCCAGCGGCGTGAGGATGCGCTTGTCGTCGTCGCGCGACGTCTCGTCGTACTGGCCGTGCCTCACCAACAGAATGTGGCGCGTCGGCGCCGGCGGCGCGCCGCGCTTCTTCGCCTCCGCGCGCGCGCGCCGCCGCCCGTCCCAGTCCGAGTCCCAGGCGGGGTAGGGCACCTTGGGCACGAAGTACTCGGGGAGCTCCTTCGGCGTCTTCTTCGTCCGCGGGACCTGCATCGTGTCTTCGCACCGCGCCGCGCCGAGCCCGAGCAGCGCGGCGGGCGCGGCGGCCGGCGCGCAGCGCTGCGCGAGGCGGCGCCAGGCCATGGTTTCGTGTGACGCGGCCGCGGCTCGGCTGCGTGAGACGCCCTCGGGCTCGCAACGTCCGCGCGCGAAGCTAGCCGCAAGTTCTTGCTGCAGCTGCTGCAAAAACACTTGCCGCAGGCGTCAGCACACCTCGAGGTTGCAACGGCGCTGTGCCGCAGGTCCACAGGTGTGTTTGAGCTGGTCCCTGCGCGCCCAGATATGGCACTAAGACTAAGCTCTGCGCTCCTCAGATCGCATCCTTAAAAACACACCCGGCTAGTACAGGTAAGACACTAGCAAACGGCGCTCCGCCGCCGGGAAACACCACTGTCGCTCTCAGAGCGACGTGTCCCCCTCCGCACCAGTGTAAATAAGGGTCGCCGGCGCTGCACTCCGAGTCGCGCCGGCCGCCGCCCGCGTGTAAGGGAGAGAGCAGATCACAACAACTTACTACTCACGCGTAGTCGCACTCCTCGGGCAGCGCCACGCCGCTGCGCTGGATCACCAACCGCGCGGCCCAGTGCGCCGCGTGGACGCAGTCCTCGACCGGCCGCTTCTGCAGCAACTGCGACAGGAAGGCGCCCGCGAAGGCGTCGCCCGCGCCGTTCCGGTCGACGATCGACTGCTTGTTCAGCGGCGCGACGGCGAACCGCTTTTCGATGCCATTTTCCACGACGATCGTGTCGTCGGGACCGCCCGTCGCGACGACCACGCGCCCGCGCGCGCCCGAGTTCTTGGGCAGCGAGGCGAAGGCGATGCACAACGCCGCGATGTCCGGGTCCTCCTCGTCCACTTCAAAACCCTTCTGGCGCGCGAGCTCGACCATCTCGAGTCGATTCCCGATGAGCAAATCGACGTGGGGCAATACCGAGTTCAGGGCCTTGCCGAAGTGCTCGCAGATGTAGGGCGCGCCTAGGTTCAATACCAAGACTTTCGCCTCGCCCTGGGAAGCACACGCCGCGACGTGCTTCCCTACTCTTTCAACGGCCTCGACGCCGCCACTATGCGTCAGGAAGAAGCCGTCCGTCACTATGATAGAACTTTCTTCCAGCAATCGCGACGGAATGTGCTCCTCCAAGTGGCCGGGGTCGTAGTGGGTCGAAGCCCCCAAGTCCGCGACCATGGTCCGCGAGCCCGTGCCGCGGTTGACTAGAGTAGCTAAGCGGCCGGTCGGGCGCCGCTCCTTGTCGATCTCGTACGTTGCCCTTAAACCAGCGTCGACAGCTAACGCCGCGAGCTTCCGCCCGTTCTCGTCGTCGCCCGCGCGTCCGACGTAGGCCGTCGACGGCCGCTTCTCCTTCTTGACCGTGCTCAACATCCAAGCACACACCCTACACGTGTTCTGGGCCGCGCCGCCGGCCTCGTACGTCGTCTTCGGGTCCTTTAACAATTGCTCGAAGAGGGGCAGGTGCATCTCCTCGGCGAGCACCACCGACCCGCCCTCCAGCTGGTAGTGCTCGAGCACGCCGTCTCCAATGGAAATCGTCATGTTGAGCACCGGGTTGCCGCAGCCCAGGAGTCCGCCTAATCTTCTCGCGCGGGCCCGCCGCGCGGCAGCATTTTTACGTGCGCGGCTCGCCTTCGAGCCGAGCTTGGCTATTGAAGCCATGCTGAGCAGGGGCTTTTTATTGGAGGCGGTCGCCTGGGGCGCCACTCTGGCGGCGGCCTCCATCATGGTGGGGACTGGCAGCCTCCTCCGAGCCTGGTTTGCAGCAGCGCTCCTTGCGGCAGCCGACGCGGGAGGCCCGGGGCCGCGTCCCGCACGTCAGTAAACCTACAGAGTGCAGGGCTTCGGCCGCGGGCGCGCTCCGGAGGGCAGCGCTGCGAGAGGCGGTGTTGCGAAACGAGTGGCGCCCGCGGACCGCTCCCGGGGGCGCCGGAGGCCTCGCTCGGCCGGGGAGCAGTACTAGAGAGAGGCCGGCGGGGCAGCCACGATGGGGCAGCCCGCCGGACGAGCACCTCAAACAGGGACCGGGGCGCGGCCGAGCGGTCCCCGGCCCGGGTCGCGACCCCGGAACAAGGTCCCGGGCCCCGCGCCGCACTAATAGTAAGGCTGTAAGCCCTAGTGTTGGGCAAAGGCATCCAAAATAGCGCTGGCCGCTCAGCCGTCGCTGCTTATTTCCTCTCCATTTAAGCGCCTGCCCGTGCCCTAACCGCGCCGCCGCCGGTCGCAACGCCTTCCGTGGGTGCCGGACCCCATCTCCACCAACGCGCGGCGCTTTTGCGCGCGCGGGGCAGCCCCTGTTGATACATCCAGGCCGGGGCTAACGCCACCCCAAAAAGGCCCCGCCGCCGCGCCGCCGCCGCCGCCGCGGGCCAGAAGAGACGCCGCCGGACCTCCGCCGTCATACGCACCTTCGAACGCGCCGCCCCGCCGCAGGTAAAAGTAACTTAAGCAACCATGCGCGAGATCGTCCACATCCAGGGCGGCCAGTGCGGCAACCAGATCGGCGCCAAGTTCTGGGAGGTCATCTCCGACGAGCACGGCGTCGACCCGACGGGCACGTACCACGGCGACTCGGACCTCCAGCTCGAGCGCATCAACGTCTACTACAACGAGGCGACGGGCGGCCGCTACGTGCCGCGCGCCATCCTCATGGACCTCGAGCCCGGCACGATGGATTCCGTCCGCGCGGGCCCCTTCGGCCAGCTCTTCCGCCCGGACAACTTCGTCTTCGGCCAGACGGGCGCGGGCAACAACTGGGCCAAGGGCCACTACACGGAGGGCGCCGAGCTCATCGACTCGGTCCTCGACGTCGTGCGCAAGGAGGCCGAGTCCGACTGCCTCCGGGGCTTCCAGCTCGTCCACTCCATGGGCGGCGGCACGGGCGCCGGCATGGGCACGCTCCTCATCTCCAAGATCCGCGAGGAGTACCCCGACCGCGTCATGTCGACGTACTCCGTGATCCCGTCGCCCAAGGTGTCGGACACGGTCGTCGAGCCCTACAACGCGACGCTCTCGGTGCACCAGCTCGTCGAGAACTCGGACCAGTGCTTCACGCTCGACAACGAGGCGCTCTACGACATCTGCTTCCGCACGCTCAAGCTCACGACGCCGACGTACGGTGACCTAAACCACCTCATCGCGGCGGCGGTCTGCGGCACGACGTGCTCGCTCCGCTTCCCGGGCCAGCTCAACTGCGACCTCCGCAAGCTCGCGGTCAACATGGTCCCGTTCCCCCGGCTCCACTTCTTCATGGTCGGCTTCGCGCCGCTCACGTCGCGCGGCTCGCAGCAGTACCGCGCGCTCACGGTGCCGGAGCTCACGCAGCAGCAGTTCGACGCCAAGAACATGATGTGCGCCGCCGACCCGCGCCACGGCCGCTACCTCACCTGCTCCTGCCTCTTCCGCGGCCGCATGTCCACGAAGGAGGTCGACGAGCAGATGCTCAACGTCGTCAACAAGAACTCGTCGTACTTCGTCGAGTGGATCCCGAACAACGTCAAGTCGGCCATTTGCGACATCCCCCCGAAGGGCCTCAAGATGGCGACGACGTTCATCGGCAACACGACGGCCGTCCAGGAGACGTGGAAGCGCGTCGCCGAGCAGTTCACGGCCATGTTCCGCCGCAAGGCGTTCCTCCACTGGTACACGGGCGAGGGCATGGACGAGATGGAGTTCACCGAGGCCGAGTCCAACATGAACGACCTCGTGTCCGAGTACCAGCAGTACCAGGACGCGACCGCCGAGGAGGAGGGCGAGTTCGACGAGGACGAGGAGGGCGACGACATGATGTAAGCGGCGCGCTGACATCCCGCCGCGGCCGCTGCGGCGCGGCAAAGCCGGCCCCCGGGCCCCCGGGGCACGGGCCGTATCCCCCCCGCCGGGCGCGACCCCGCGACCGGCGACACCCTGTTAACTTCTTCCTCTCGGAAACCCTAGTAGTGCACATACTTACTGGTCGGCGCCTCCGTCGTCGTCGTCCGCGAGGAGCGCGGCCTCCATGCGCTCCGCTTCGGCGAGCTTGCGCTCGGCCTCGGCCAGCAAGTCGCAGACCGCCGTCGCGCGCGCGTCGAAGCCGTCGATCTGAGTCCGCTCCCGTCGAATTTCCTCGCCCAACAACTCCGCGTCGACGTCGGGGTAGCGCTCTTCTTGTGGTGCTGGCGGCGCCGGCGGGACCACAGCGACGGCCGCGACCGGCGCGACGTCCGCGACGACGACCGCGTTGATCGGTGCGGCGCCGCCGACGGCGCGCGCGACGACGGGCTCCTCGTCCCTTTGGACTGCTTGCGCGGGCGCCTCCTGCGAGTTGTCCGCTTGTGCGGGCGCCTGCCGCTCGTCAGAGGCGGCCGCCTGGGCCTGCTGGTGCGCGCGCCGCCGTCGCTCGCGGTCCGCGCGGCGCTGCTCCCGCAGCTTCGCGATGCGCTCCGTGTCTTCCTCGGGCGGCGCGTCCATCGTACCTAATGGTGGGGCAGCCTTTTACGAACCAGTGCCAAATGCCAACAACCCGAACCGGCTACACCGGGAGGCACGTATCGGTGGCGGGCGGCGCCGGGAGCGCTCGGAAGCGCACGGCTCAATGGCGAGAGCTCGCATGCTCGCCCCACCAAAAAAGGCAAACATAGGCGTAACGCAAAGCAGCCCCGTCCGCGCCGCGCGCCGACGCCGAGGCAACGCAAGCCATCGTACCTCGCGCGAGGCACCCGTCGTCGCCGTAGGACTGCGCACGCACGCGTGCCGCGGCGAGCGCGCGTTTTCCTGGGGCAGCCACCGAGCTCTGGGCAGCCATGTCCGAGGTCGAGGAGACGCTGGAACGGGTCAAGCTCCAGAGCGGCGTCGAGGGCTATGTGATCGTCGACAAGGACGGCCAGGTCCTGCGGCGGCTGCCGTCGATGCCCGCGGCCAAAGCCGAGGTCTACGCCGAGTTCATGACGGTCCTCGCGACGAAAGCTCGCGGCGTCGTGCGCGACCTGGACCCGAAGAACGAGCTGCGCTACCTCAGAGTTCGAGCGAAGAAGGCGGAGATCCTGGTGGCCGTCGACGAGGACTTCATCGTCGTCGTGATCCAGCGCTGGACGCCGGCCTCGTCCTAAGTGGGCTTTTGTCGTTTTTTTAGTTGTGGCTTCTCCCTCCCCTCGCATGGTATACCATGTCCCGTCGACGGGATCGACGTTCACGACTCCGACTCCGAGCCTCACGAGTCCTTCTCCGGGCAGACGCGGCTACGGTCACACGACGCCGCGTCGATGGCGTAGAACCTCCACGCCCGTGGTTGTTGCCGCGTCGATGGCGTCTACTAGTATGTATGCCGCTATCTCTGATTGCCTCTCGCACACGAGTCTCGGCTGTGCGAGTCAAGAGCACCTCGACAGCGCTCCAGGCGCTGCGTCCTGACGCCTCGCCGCGACCGCGCCGCAGACACCTCCGCCATGGCGCTCCAGATGGGCGGCGGCGCCATGCCGATGCAGATGCAGACCACGGGCGCGATGCCGATGCAGATGATGCCGCAGCAGGCCATGCCGAACTTCGCGCCGCCGCAGGGCGCCGCGCCGGCGGCGCCGGCCGGCGGCGGCGTCGCGCCGGGCGCCGCCGACGTCAACCGCCGGAAGGAGGACCCGTCGCTGCGCGACGGCGCCGCCGCGTGCTTCACGCTCGAGGTCCACGGTTCCACCGTACGAGCGGCCTGCTGGGACGGCCGCGGTGCGAAGCCGTTACCGTTTGACGCCCAGAAGACGGGCGCCTGCCCCGCGACGCTCAAGATCGACGATGCGTCGCAATTCCTCAAGTGGACGCGCAAGAAGCCCTCGCAGCGCGCGGCCGAGCCCCACCTCGCCGGCGCGAAGGTCGGCGCGCGGGGCCGCGACGAGATCCTCGCGCCCGGCGCGTCGCTCGGCGCGGTCGATGGCCTCCAGTCCACGATGACCGAGGAGTCCGACTTCGGCGCCGTCAAGGAGGCCTGCTACGACTTGGACGGAGAGAAGGTCGCGCCGCATCTCGCCGTGGCGCTCCTCTGCGCGAAGCCAAGGCAGCGCGCGACGCAGCTCGTCGAGCGGCCCGTGCGGCGTTGTACAATTGTCGCCCCCGCCTCGGCGAGCGCGGCCTGGCGCCTGGCTTTGTGTCGGGCGCTCGAGGCCGTCGACTGCACCGCGGCGTCGATCGTCGGCGCGCCGGTCGCGGCGCTCGTGGGCAAGGCGCTCAAGGAGCCCCAGGCCTTCGGGGCCGCGGCCGTCGACGGCATTGAGGGCCGCGTGGTCTGCGTCGACGTGACGAGCATGGGCGTGGATTGTGCTGTGGTCGATGTGGACGAGGGCCAGTTCCGGGCCGTGGCCGTCGCCGGCGATGTGCTGAAGAAGGATAGGGCCGCCCTCGTCAAGTGCGCGCTGGGCGAGAAGAATGACGCTTTGGTGGCCAAGTGCGAGACGGCGGCGCGCGCCGTCATCAAGCAGGCGCTCGCCTCTATTAGTAAGGAGGCGCTCGAGGCGCCGTCGCATTACTTGGTGCGGGGCGAAGCTACTCTCGCAGAAGCGGCTCTAAAAGCGGCCGCGTCCCTGGCCAAGAAGAACGTCGCCGTCGTCGAGGCGGAAGCTGTGGATGCGGTCCTCGGCGCCGCCTTCCTCACAGCGTCGGAGCTCGGGCTGCCGCAGGCGCCCGAAATCTCGCAGAAGAGCGTCCTCGCATCCAGTATTGGTATTGCGCCGCTGGTCCGCGGCTCGCCGGACACGAAACAGCAAGAAACGTTGTTCGAAGCGGGCGAAGACTTGCCGTGCTCGGCGCGGCATGCGTACGTGAGGAAAGATTTACTCAAGGAGCGCCAGCTCACGGACGACGCCGAGCTGAGCTGGGCCTTCGTCGAGGACTCGACGGCGCTGCGGGAGGGCTGCTACGACCCGTTCGAGACCGTCGATGATGATGACGAAGTGACGCATGCCCAGAAGTGCACCGTCGAGTACTCCGTCGATACGAGAGGCATCCCCGTGGCTCGAGTATTGGCGGCGGCCGTCCCGCGGAACGCCGAGAGGATGAAGCGCAAGGCGGAGGAGAAGAAGTGCCACGGCTACCTGAAGATGTTCCTGCTGGCCTTCGTGGCCCTGCCGGGCTCCTTCACTTTATATCACATGGGCAAGCGGCGCATCACGCGCGCCAAGACCATCGCGATCCTGGAGGACTTTTACGGGAGGGCGCAGCCGGACAAGGTCGCGAACGGTGCATAAATCAAATTGTCGCGACGCGTCTCCACCACGGCTCAATCATGGCCCCCACGCCATCGACGCGACGCCGGCTCGATGGCGTGCCCCTGGGGGTCTTTCGCCGCTCCATTCGGTCAGCGCGGTCGCGTTTTCGCCGTGGAAGGACTTAGTGAAGAATTATCGGGTGCGCCCGACTCACTGGTTGATTTACGCACAGGTCGCGAACGCGGGGACCATCGCGGATAAATACGAGGGCTTCGAGGAGCTCCTCTACAAGAGGTTAGAAAGACAGTACGAGTCCGTGCCCGGCGGGCCGTTCAAGGTCTGGCGCAAGGGGCCGCCGTTCCCGGCGCCCGAGGCGGACGCGACGGAGGAGGACGTCGTCGACTTGGACGCGGAGGAAGGAGGCCATGATGAGATGTAACTTGAATTCATTTATTTAGTATAATTCGATCGAGGTTCGCGAGCGCCGCGAGCGACCTCTTCGATAGCTCCTCCGCCGCTTTCCTTTCCCCCTCGAAGTCGCCGAGGCCCCAGAGCTTGGCGTTCGCGCGCGGCGTCTTGACAACATACACGCCATCTATGATGCCATCTCGCTGAACGAGTTCCACGCCATCGTTTTTGACGAGGTGGCACACCGCGCGGCGCTCGGGCCGCCACGCCTTGTGGAGCGCGAGGAAGGTCCGGTCGACCGCGCCTCCGTCCAGGTAGAGCGCGCCGTCGTCCAGCCGCACGGGCGCGAAAAGCCCGGGCACGGCGCAGCTCGCCGCCACCGCTCGGGGTAAATCTCCACTCGTTACGAGCCGGGGCTCGCCCGTCTCTCGGTCGTAGACGCCGACGCCGAGCGGCTTTCCCAGTTCCTCGAACGTCGCCGGCAGCACGCGACTGATGCGCTTGCGGAGCGCGCGCGTCGAGAACGCTCCGCGCCAGGGCGTCACGCTCGGCCGGCAGGACGCGAGCGGCCTCGTGCGCGACAGCTCCTCCGCGACGGCGTCCGCGTCCGCGCCCGCCGCGGCCATCGACGCCGCAAGCGCGCCGCTCGAGGTCCCGACGTAAGCGGCGACGCTGAGTTGCGACTGCTGCAGCGCGTCGAGGAAGCCGCAGTGCCGCGAGAAGCATAGAAAGCCGGACGACAGCACGATGTCGACCGGCGCGCGCACGCTCGCCGCTGGCGGCACGCTCGCCGCGGACGGCACGCTCGCCGCGGCCGCCACGGCAATTGCTGGGAGGTATCGCATTGTTGTAGGGTTGATGGTTGTGATTATTCGATCAATTTTCGGCTTACCATCGCAGCAGCCGCACAAAATTTAAACGAGTGCTCGCAATCAGATTGATCGCGGGCGTGCGCAAGCAGACGAGAAAAGCCCAGCAAGAGCCGAGCTAGCGTCTGTAAGACACTAGCAAGCTGCGTCCTGAGTCCAGCCGGACGGGTGGGCCCGGGGGGAGCGGGAGGGGTACGGGGGACCCTGCGACGTAACTAGCCTGAGCCTGAGCAGCTCGACTATATACACTCGAATCCCGCACGAACTGGACTGACAAGGACTCTTATTAGGCCGCCATGCCCGCCCGCCCCGCGCCGCGCAGGCCCTGCGCGGACTCCTTGCGCGCACGCGCCACGTTCGCGGCGAAGACGCGCCGCCGCATGAGCACGTCGTCGAGCAGGTAGCGCAGCGGCGCCAGGTCCGCGTCCGTCGCCTTCTCCGCGTCGACCTCGCCCAGGCCCGGGAACCACGCGTCGACGTCCAAGGCCCGCGCGAGCCGCGCCGCCCTGGAAACTAAATCAGCCTCCTCGGCTTCTTTCCGCGCGAGGCCCCACTTGTTCGCGATGAGCACGACGGCGGCGGCGGCGTGGGCCGCGCGCACGGCCTGGACCCAGGCCCGCGCCGTCTCGACGTCGACCGTCGCCACGTCCACCACGACCGCGACGCCCTCGGCCGAGCTCAGGCGCGCGTGCGCTGACGCGACGCGGACTTCCCGCGCCGTCGCCTCGTCGAAGGTCTGGGCCGCCGCCTTCATCGATTTGGGCGAGGCGAGGTCCCCGCTATCCAGCGCGTTCAGGACGACGTGGCCATCATTTCCGAGCGCGACGTGCGTGAAGCGCGCGCCGTGGCGGCTCGATTCATATGAAGTACTCGGGTCGCGCCGCCGCCACGCTCTTATTAGCGAGAGCTTGCCGCAGCCGTCGCCGCCCAGCACGACGACGCGCGCCGACCCGGGCGCGGCCGTCGCCGGCGGCGGCGGCTGCGCTGATGGGGCGTCGTCGGGCGCGCTCGTCGAGTCGCAGCCGCAGGGGCTCAGGGAGTCGCCCGGCGCGTCGTCGCCGTCCGTAGTAGGGAGGACGCAGGCTGTTAGCCCATCGAGCCAGCCCCGTTCGGCCGGGGGCGGCGCGCCGCCGTTGTCGGTGACGGCCTGCTGGAACATGCGCCGCTGACGACGTCTGCGGCGGCCTGAGCTGCTCTGCGGGTGGGATTAAGAGGCTGCCCCCGGCGGCAATCTCGGCCGAAGCGCTCGAGCCCCGGCCCCGCGCTCTCCGGAAGTGCGGGGGTCTGCGGCGGCGGCGCGAGGGGTACGTGCGAGTCCTCGCACCGTAACGATAGATCCGCGACGGATCGCGGGCGGGCGCTCGGAGTTCGGGTTCTGGTTTGCGCGCGGCGCGGTACATGCCACGCCGCGGGGCGCGGGTTCTACTTGTAGTACTAAGATTAAGAGTTTTAAAACACCGAACGAAACACCTAGGGCCAGCGCGCGAGCGCGTTGCCCGCGGGCCCGACCGCGGCGCCGTCGCCGTTGACGACGCTCGCGACGGAGCCGCGCCCCTCCGTGAACACCGACGCGACGCTCGCGAGCGTCACGTTCGGCGACGCGGACCGTCGGACGGCCGTGCGCACGCGCACGTCGCCGTCGAAGGCCGCGTAGACGGCGACGCCCCGCGCGCTATGCCTTTTCACGAAGTCGCCGACCGCGTAGCCGACGTAGCCGCCGTTCTGGAAGTCAATCAAGGCGTCGCGCGGCAGGTCGACGTTGAGAGCGAAGGCGTGGCCGTCCTCGCCGCGCCACCGGACGCCGTCCTGCTCCACGTGTTTCACGTTGATGGCATAGGCGACTGCATTATTGCCTTCGAGACTAATCCCGACGTCGAGGTGGCCCGGCGGCCGGCGTTCGACGGTGACGTGGTCCAGGACGACGCCATCCGCGTGGATGGCGACGCCCGTCTTCGCGTTCGCGTCCCCGTCCACATTGACCACAACGTCCGCGAGGAGACCGTCCGAGCCTTCCCACCGGATCAGCGCCGTGTCGCCCTTCGGGTAGCGCGCGCCCTGCACGGTGACGCCCGCGACGACGGCCGCGGGCCCCCTTACTCTACACGCGGGCTCGCCGTCGGACGGCGCCCTCACGATCGCGGCGCCGACGCCCAGCAGAATCTGGCCCGCGTGGTTCAGCTCGAGGCCGTCCTCGAGCTCGTAGGTGCCGGGCGTCAGCACGACGTGCAGCCCCTGGAGCAGCTTCTCCCGCACGTCCTCCGTCCGCTCGGGCCGCGCGACGTAGACGTTCTGGAACGGGATGCGTTCCGCGTCCGTCGCGCAGCAGCCCGTCTTTGAGAGAAGGGGTTCCGGCTTCACGAGGAAGAAGTCGGGGCCGTGCCGGATAATATAAGGCTTGTCCACGGCCCGCGGCGCTTCGGACACGGCATAGGCGACGCCGGGCGCCGCGCCGCGCGGCACCGTGGCGTTCGGGCCGCCGGCCACGCCGGCGAGGACGACGTTCACGCCGCCGCCGCTTATCGGTGCAGGGTCCCGTTTCGATGACGAGAACCAGCCCTTCGCGTCGACCTCGACGCTACGACTCGACTGGAGCGACGATGACCGCGCCGCGAAGGCGCGCGCCGCGCCGAGCCGGACGCCGCCCGTGATGTTCGCGTCGGCCATGAACGAAGACGACGAGAGGTCGCCGGCGACGGCCACCCTTCGTACACTCCGCGGGCCCCGCCAGTCGCCGTCGACCCTCAGATTCTCCGCTGATGACGCAGCGTCGCCGACGCAGCGTTTTAGGAGGACGTCGTCGCGGTCCGTCCCTAAACCCGCCGCCGTCGATCGCGATGGCAGAGATATGGAACAGTCATATACGCCCGGCAGCAGCAGCAGCGCGGCGCCCGCGTCCGCAGCACTGATCTCTGCGCACTGCGCCGGCGCGACGACGCGCACCGCCGCGGGCCAGGCCGGCGGGTTCCGCTCCTTGCCTTGCGTCTGCGCGCGCGGCGCGCCGTCGTCGGCGGCGCCGAGGGCTGCCCCGGCGGCGAGGAGGTAGGGCAGCCGCATGGCTGCCCTGTTGCTGCGAGCGCTGCCGCCTTCGCTGTCGCCGCGCGCCACGGATGCGTGCCCGCGCGGCCGCACGCGCCCGCAAATGGCCGCGCGTCCAGGCTCGGGCCGTCGATCTCGATCCCGGCTGCCAAAACGGACCGCTTTCTGCTTTTGATTTTCGCGTGATTCCACGCGTCGGGTGCCCGGAGGCGTGGCGCGCCGAGCGGTGCTTGCGTTCGGAGGGCTAGCGGCCTGTAAGACACTAGCATTGCCCGCCTAACCTGTGAGTGAATTTGCGTAGGTGGCGCGCCTCAAAGCCAAAACAGACAGGGCGGTAGTCCAAATAAAGCTCCTTAATCTAGAAAAGAGCCCGCGCCCCCTGGCGCTGCTGGCAAGAGCCCCGGTGCACGCAGAGGAACACTTGAGCTACAAACAACAATAATGGCGCCGCTCGCGCGCACGCCGTCGCTCAAGCGCCTCGCGGCCGAACCCAAGGACCGCGCGACACCCCCGACACCAACAGCCCAGCCGAGCGACTGGGGCCATTATGATACTGGCGAGAAGCCGCCCGAGGACCAGAACGAGGACAACGAGGCGAACGATAACGACGACACGATCTCCTGGGCCGGCGACGGCGACCACGTTACGGGAGAGGACTTCCGCTTCGACAGCGGCAAATTTGGGGCCTGCGGCGCGCGGTGCGCGACGCGCGTCTACGGGGCCGCGCCCGCGGCGTGCACCGCGCCTTTAGGGTTCGACGAGGTCGACCCCGAGGGGCGGCCGAAGGAGGCCTGCGTGGCGTGCGCCGCCGATAAAGAGAAGAAGCCTACTCGTAGTCATCAGAGCGGTATTGATTTGATCGTGCCCGGCGGCGAGGCGACGTTCTGCCTGCTCCCGGATAGAAACCGCGACGGCGTGGTGTTTGAGGCGGACGTCACGTGGCGGCGGTGTCGGCGGAGGCGGGCCGAGAAGCAGCTAAGGTGGGAGGAGAAGGAGCGGTGGGAAGCTCTTAGGGTGAGGACGGAGGCGCCGGGCGTCGGCGCCGAGGACGTCGCGCCCTCCTTGTGTACCGATTATAGAGGTTTGGGCGTCGTGCTGAACCCGCGGTTCGCGCCACGCGTGACGTCGCGCTACTTCGCGCAGCATTTTCCAAGAGGCGTGACGGTGGCCGTGGCGCTCGGCGCCGTGCGCGTCGTGGCGACGCCCTTCGAGACCTTCGCGCAGTACGAGGTGAGGGTGGCGCTCGACGGCGGGCCGGCGCGGTCGGCGTGGCGGCGCTACTCGGCGTTCCGGGCCTTCGCGGAGCAGCTCGCGGCGCAGTGCTCACCCATCGACGTTGCGCGGACTTTAACGGCGTGGGGCGACGCCGAGGCGGCGAAAAAAGTTTTTAGATGCGTCGACCCCCATTACTTGGTGCAGCGCTACTACCACTTCGAGCGCGTGCTCCGGGAAGCGCTCTTCGAGGTCGACGACCCGCAATTATTGCTGGCCTTCTTCGCGACGCACCCGCGGCGGACGCGGTCCGCGGAGCAGCTCGCGGCGCAGCAGCAGCGCGTGGTCCGGCCCTTCGCGCGGTCGCGGCCCGTCGCCGTCGCGCGCGCCGACGACGACGCGTCCTCGGAACAGCTCTCGCGCACGCCGGCCGTGCGCGAGTCGTTCCTGACGCGCTTCCTCGGCATCCGCGACTCGGACCGCCGCGCGGTGCCGGCGCACTGACCTGCTACGTATGATACGACCCCCCCGCCCCCATGACTGACTCTCGCGTGTATGTACTTCTCTTTCGACTCGTTTCTAGTGTCTTACAAGCTAGGCTCTCCACCTCCCTTTGCATTGCTCTGAGCTCGCGGGTTTCTACGTCGACAGCGTTTGCATTGCCCCGAGCCTCTGAGCTCGCGGGTTTCTACGTCGACAGCGTTTGCATTGCCACCCGCGGCCGCGTCGAAACCAATATTTCACCCCACGGACTTCTCTTCTTCAATGGACTCTGGCAACGTTACATTTCATCGAGGTGCGTGGTTTTTCCTACTAGTTTTCTGCAGCGCCGAGCCGAGCAACGCCGAGTCTTTGCTCTACCGTGCGTACATCCTCGCGCCGGCCGCCAGTGCATCGCCCTAACCAAACGAAAAGCGTGTCGTGCGTCGTTGCTGTGGGCGAAACGCCGACGAGGTGACGCTGTTTGGAGCAGCCTGACGAGCACTAAGGCTGTAGAGTCTAAGACAAAGCTAAAGCTAAATCACTAGCGATTGAGCCCCGAGCCTCTGAGCTCGCGGGTTTCTACGTCGACAGCGTTTGCATTGCTGCTGTCGCATTGCTGCATCTTGGTATCTCTGCAATCCGCAGGCGACTCACTCCGAGGCCTAGTAACCGGGTCCGCACCGGTTGAAGCACACCGTGGGCAACAGCTTGCACAGCGCCAGCTCGCTGGCATGATGTGGGCCGCATGCGTCTTGCTGACGGCGCAAGCGCTCGTCCCGCCGCCGCGGCGCATCGCTCGCAGCCCCGCGCGCCGCGCCCAGTCGGCGGCCGCCGACGCCGCCGAGAAGACGTGGCGGAGCCGGCGGCGGCTCGCGCGCGCGGCGTTCGACGCGCGCTGCGCCTGGGACCGCGCGGCGGCGCAGGCGGAGCTGGAGCGGGAGGACGAGGAGGATCTGGACGTGGTCCAGTCCACGGTGTCGACGACGGCGTTCGGCGTCGTCCTCGTGGCGCTTGTCGTGCGGTTCGGCGGCCGCGCGGCGCTGCTCCAGGTGCTGGGGTTGGACGTGGGCGCGGACCAGGAGATCGCGCAGCGCATCGACGAATTTGTGGTGTGGGCGCGGAGCTTCAGCGTCGCCGGCTTCGAGGATTTTGGTCTGTTGGTCGGCTACGCGGGGGCGTTCACCGTGGCCAAGGTGCTGTGCCTGGACGCCCTGACGTTCCTGCTGGCGGTGTCGTCGGGCGTCCTGTTCGGAGGCGTGGTCAAGGGCGCCCTGGCGGCGACGGCGTGCGCGACGCTCGGGAGCACGGTCGCGTTCGGCATCGCGCGCTACGGGCGGCCGCGGCTGCGCGAGAAGCTCCTGGTTTTGGTCCGGCGGGACCCGAAGACGCGCGCGCTCGAGCGGGCCGTCGTCGAGCGCGGCTTCGCGACGGTGCTCGTCCTGCGCCTCGCGCCGCTGCTGCCCATCCCGATCGGGGGCTACAACTACCTGTACGGGGCGACGGCCATGGACCTCGTCCAGTTCGTGCCGGCCATGTTCCTGGGGTCGGTCAAGCCCTACGCCTTCGACGCGTACCTGGGCGTCGTGGGCAAGCAGGTCGTCGACGACGTCGCGGGCGGCGGCGCGGCCGCGCCGGGGCTGTCGGACCCGGTCATCATCGGCGTCTTCGCGGCGTTCCTGGCCATCGGCGCGCTGTCGTCGGAGCTCGCGGGCCAGGCCTGGCGCGAGATCGAGGAGGCCTCCGCCGGCGACGACGACGACGGGGAGTACCCGGACGGCGACTGGCTCGACGTGCTCGAGGCGCGCGAGTCGGCGCCCTGGCGCGCGTGGGACGGCGTCGCCGCGCGAGTCGCGGCGCGCGAGCCGGCGTGGTCCGCGGACCTGCGCGCGCGCGGCCGCCGCGCGCGCGCGGCGCTGCGGGCGATGGCGCGCGACGAGCTGGCCCTCGCGCGCGCGGAGGACGCCGTCGTGCGCGCCGAGGAGGAGCTGCCGCCGCGCGAGGCCGGCGCCGACGAGGCGGCGCGGCGGCGGGCCTTCGTCGGCGCCTTCCGCGTGCCGCCGCCGGCGCCCGACGCCGACGCGATCGCGGCGGCGCCCGTGCCGCCGGGCGCGCTCGCGGAGCTCGACGTGCAGCAGGCGCTCGTGGAGTCGCTCCTCTTCTCGTTCGTCGTCGGCCGCGCGGTCTTCGACGAGGCGTCCCTCGTCGCCGAGGACGACGACGGCGCCGAGAGGTAACGTTTAGGTAACTGGTCTTTCTTATCTCTTGTTACTTCCGCGCGCGCCATCCTTCATATTATCAGTTGGCAGCCCATGGCAGCCCTTCGGCGCTGCCTAATAGACGCCCAGTCTCAAAGCTCGAGTGTTTGAAGTACAAGCCGACGGGCACCCCAGGGCAGCACGCGCATGGCCGACGACGACTGCCTCACCGAGGAGCTCGTCGTGCGCCACGGCGGCCAGTACGACCCCGAGCTGCTCCAGCGGCTGACCCTGAGCGGCCTGCGCCTCGCGCGGCTGGGCGCGGGCCTCGCGCGGTGCACGGCGCTGCGCGTCCTGGACCTCGCGCGGAACAAGTTGCAGCACCTCGACGGCGTCGAGGTCTGCGCGAGCCTCGAGCGGCTCCTCGTCGCGCGGAACGAGCTGACGCGCTTCGGCTTCGTCGCGGGCCTCGCGAAGCTGGACCACCTCGACGCCCGCGCGAACGCACTGCAGGACGTCGACGCCGTCGCGGCGGACCTGCGGCCGTGCGCGGCGCTCGCCTCGCTCGAGCTGCGGAGCGACGACGGGTCGGACGCGAACCCCTGCTGCGCGGCTCCGAGCTACGCCGCGACGCTGCGCAGGGCGCTGCCGGCGCTGCGGGTCCTCGACGGCGCGTCCCTCGCCCTCGCGGACGCGGCCGCGACCGCGCGCGGCGCGATCGCCGCCGCGGCCGTCGACGCGGCGGCGCCGGCGCCCGACGACTGGCTCGGCGACGGCTTCGACGACGCGGCGGCGCCCGGCAAGGCGCTCCGGCCGGCGAACGCGGCCGCGGCGCGCGTCCGGGCGGACGCGGACCGGCTCCGCGCGGAGATGGAACATGGTGTCGCGACCGCCAAGGCGGCGCTTGGGCGATCGCCCGGGTAAGTTGACTTTGTAGCAACGCGAGCGAGGTACGCGGAACAACAAATTGCAGCCTAGCGGCCAGTAAGACACTAGCATGCAGTGATGAGGCTGTGCAGCCTACCAGGCTGTCGTAGCCGAGCCGGCCATTGCGTCATCGCACTCGTCGCCTAGGCCATTGCGACATCGCACTCGTCGCCTAGGCACGCAACGCAGCAGCAGCGATCGCTGCGGCGCGGCTTAATTCTGCGTGGTCCCATCTGTCAATCGTGGTGGTGTGAGTGACTGTGCGCTGCAGCAGCTGTCTTAGCACGTAACCAACCATGAAGCTCCGTGTCGTGCTAGGCACCATGACCTTTGGCAGCCAGACGAACCAGCCCGACGCGACGGCGCAGCTCGCCCACTTCGTCGGCGCGGGCCACGCCGAAATAGATACGGCTAGGATGTACAACAAGGGCGGCACCGAGACGATGCTGGGGGCGATCTTCGGCGAGCGCGCGGACCTCCGCGACGCCGTGCGCGTCGCGTCGAAGGCGAACGCGTTCGACGGCTACGACAAGGTGCTCACGGCCGCGAGCGTCGCGCGCCAGTTCGCGGCGACCTCGGAGGCGCTCGGCGACGCGCCCGTCGACGTCTACTACCTGCACAACCCGGACGCGACGACGCAGATCCTCGAGACGCTCGAGGCGGTGGACGGGCTGCACAAGGCGGGCAAGATCAAGGAGCTCGGGCTTTCGAACTACGCCGCCTGGGAGGTCTGCCACATCCACCACCTCTGCGCCGCGCACGGCTTCGTGAAGCCGACCGTGTATCAGGGCATGTACAACGGGATCACGCGCGACGTGGAGCGCGAGCTGCTGCCGTGCTTGCGCGCGCTGGGCATGCGGTTCTACGCCTACAACCCGCTCTGCGGCGGCCTGCTGGCGTGCGCGCGCACGCGAGAGGACTACGAAAGTCTGGACGACGACTCCCGCTTCCGCAAGGGCAACACCATGTACCGCGAGCGCTACCTCGCCGAGTGCCAGCTGGACAGCGTCGACGCGTTCCGCGACGCCTGCGCGGAGGCGGGCGTGCCACCCGTGCACGCGGCGCTGCGGTGGCTCCAGCATCACTCGAGCCTCGTCGACGGCGACGGTATAATCGTAGGCGCGTCGAGGCTGGCGCACCTCGAGGAGAACCTGGCGGCGCTCACGTCCGGCGACGCCCTGCCCCAGGCCGTCGTCGACGCCTGCGACGCGGGCTGGGCGAAGATCAAGGCGTCGGGCGTCTGTCCCTCGTACGAGCGCGGCACGAGCCTGTATAAATATTAGTTTGAGTACGTATCCTAGCCGCGCAGGGAGAAGGCCTCTAGAGGCTTGGTGTATGTCCTTTTCTTTAGGATATTCCTTCCTTGATTAATTATTTATTTATTAGAACCAGCGCTTCCGCCGCTGCTCGGCGCGGCGGCGGCGCGCCGCCGCGAGCGCGCGGAAGTCCCCCGCGGCGCCCGCGAGCCCGTCGGCCTGGCGGCCCGCGCGCTCGATGCGCTCGCCGCGCTCCCGGAACGCCGCGCCGAGCTCGCCCTCCGAGGACGACCGCTGTCGCGCCGGGGGAGGCGTCGGCGGCGTCGCGACCGGCGACGACGCCGCGCGCGGCGGGATCGACAGCAGCGCGGGCGCGCCGCCCAGGCTGCGGCGGAGCCGCGCGAACGGCGTCTTTGCCGCGCGGCTCTGCGGCGTGGACGTCCGGCTCGGCGGCGTCGGCGCGTCCGACGGCGGCAGCGCCGCGGGCGGAGACGCCGCGGGCGCGGGCGGCGCGGGCGGCGCCGCGAGCGCCGGGAGCGACTCGTCGCTCGTGCTGGGCCCGAACTTGCACGCCCGCTTGGCCTCGGCGACCTGCGCGTCGATACTCTACTCGCCAGGACGCCATCGCGCGACTCCAAGGCGCCGTGAAATAAGACGCTGTCCGCGAGACGAGGCGGTCGATGCTGTCCTCGCGCGAGAGCCCCCGTCCCGGCTCCGCGTCGTCGCTGTCAGTGTCGCTGTCGCTGTCGGCGCCGAGCGCCGGCCCCGGCTCCGCGTCGGGCGGCGTCGGCGGTCGCGCCGCGCGGTAGTTCCGCAGACCAGCCGCGAGTAACGCGTCGGCGTCGTGCGCTGCCGCGAGCGCGGCCGCGGCCGCGCGGAGGTCACCCGCCGGCCCGGCGTCCGCCAGAGCAGCGAGGCCGGCGGGCCCGACGCAGACTGCGACGTCGAGCACGCGGCGCTTTGTGTGCGCCGGAGCGAAGGCGAGCGCCAACCCCAGAAAGGTCGGGCCGCCGACCAGCGCGCGGCTGAGCGCGAGGGCCGCGTCGTCGTCGACCACGGATCGCACGACGGGCTCGACGACGGTGCGGATCGTCTCGCCGTGCTCGGTCTGGTCCACGGGGAGCGTGGCCACGAGCCGCACGACGATGCGGTCGACGTCCGTGCGCCGCTTGAGCACCGCGCTAGAATCGGCTTCTCGTGGCCCGAGCTCGGGCAGCCACGTAACCTTCTGTATACACCTCTAGGATGAATGCGCGTTTCGTCCGTCTCTGAGGGATCTAGAATCGGCCTTCGGTGATCACAGGAGGCTACTAATCACGGTATCCTCTTATTGGTCTGTGGACGAGACAGGTATGATCTCGCTCCAGGTCATCCGACGGACCCCTGGTCGGCGGACCTGGCATTGCTCGAAATGACATGCGTGTGCTAGAATCTCGTGCGCCCGTCGGCCGCGCCCGGCGAGCCGCAGCAACCGCTCCCGCGCCCCCTTAACGACGAGGATGCACTCGACTAAGGATAGGTATCGCGACTGGCTCACTGAGGCATCCCTGGTCGCCAACCCGGCAAAAACGAAAAGCAAAAACTACCACAACCACGCCCCCGCGCCGCACCGCTCCCCGAACGCGCGGAGCTGCGCGCCGCCGCCCGCGTCCGCGAAGTGCGTCGCGCCGGCGGCGAGGAGCCGCTCCATGGCCGCGCGCCAGGCGACGGGCCGCCCGAGCGAGCCGCGGAGCGCGTCCCCCGCGGCCGCCGCGTCCGTGGCCACCGCGCCACCGGCCGGCGCCGCGACGTGGAGCGGGTGCGCGAGCTCGGCGGCGCCCGCGAGCGCTCGGACGAGCAAGGCGTCGTAGGCCGCGGCGGCGTCGGCCGCGAGCGGCGAGTGCGCGCCCTGGCGCGCGTCCGTCTCCGTCAGCACGGCGCCGGGGACCTGGAACGCGGCGACGGCGTCGCGCGATCCACTCACGACGCGGACGCCGGGGCAGAGGTCGTGCGACACCGCTATTTCGCCGTGCTTCGACGCGTCCGCGAGGCCGTCTTCGACGTCCGCGTCTCCCACGACCGACACCGCCTTCGCCGAGACGCCTTTCAACGCGTCGTGGCGCGCGTCCACGAGCTCGAGCGCCGCCTCGAGGCTCAGGGCGCCGCAGAACACGAGCGCCGCTGCCTCGCCCGCGGCGCCTGCGCGGGACCCGTCACGCGCGTCGACGGCGCTCGGGGACGCCGGCAACGCGCCAAAGCCGCAGACCGCGCCCACGTCGGCCCGGGCCAGTTGACCGGAGCGCAGCTTCGCCTCGAGCGCCGCCAGCGGCAGCACGACCCACGCGTCGCGCCGGGCGCGCTCGTCGCCGGCCAGCGCGGCGCGCGGCGCGTAGCCCCGGAGCGTCGCGGCGGCCTCGAGGAACGCCGCGTCCGCGCCCACGAAGTCGCGCTGCGTGACGGCGCGCTCGCCCGGGAAGAGCACGGCTACGGCTCGCGGCGGCCCGAGCGGCGTCGTCGCGCGGCAGCGGACGGCTTCGAGCGGCTCGGCGGCCAACTCGTCGAAGAACACTTCCGCGAGGCGCCAGCCGTCGGCCGGTCCCCGGAAGCACTCGGGGTCGTCCTCCACGTAGTGCGCGAAGGGCTTCGGGACGACGTCGTGCTCTTCAATCACGTAGCCGCGCGGGAGCGCGCCGTTCACGGCGTTGCGCAGCGCGCCGACCGTCGCGTCGAGTGGCACCTCGACGCGTAGTTCGTTGCGGTGCCGGTCGGTGAGTTCGACGGCGATGGACATGGTCGTAGCGCAGGCGTCTGCCGCGCTTTTTTTTTGTGGCTGTGTACACAGGCTTTTGCGGTGCGATAGTTTTTGTGCGTCGCGTTGGCGTGCGAACCGCGGCTTCACCGCAGCGTGTTACAGTATTGCCAGTATATTAACGTACGTTGTGCTTATAATTGCCCGATCGGGCGTTATATATAGTATAAAGTCGCCTTGCCTCTCTCTTTGCTCGATTTAGTTAGCGGCATTGAGACACTAGCAAGGCTAAGCTCCAAGCTCGAGCTCCTCCCGCACGAGCGCTTAAACTCACTATCGGCACGCTAGGACTGCTTTCATCAATTAACGTATCAGGCGACTGCCGCCGACACGTTGTGACCAGCTCTTCGCCTTGCAAGCAGCTCCAAACACAGACCTCCAAACGCAGAGGCGAATCGCAGCGAGCGCGGCCCGGGCCGACCATGACCAGCCTCAACGTCCTCCGGGTCACGAATCTCACGCGCCAGGTCACGGCCGCGCACCTGCGCGAGGTCTTCGGCCACTTCGGCGACGTCGCCCGCGTGGACCTGGCCGTCGACGCGACGGTGGGGCTGAGCCGCGGCTACGCCGTCGTCGAGCTCGCGTCGCGCGCCGACGCCGAGGCCGCCAAGGCCTCGCTCGACGGCGGGCGCCTCGACGGCAACCGCCTCGCCGTGCGCTTCGAGGGCGAGCCGGCGCCGCCGCCGGCGGCCGCGGCGCGGGGCCGCCAGTTCGCGTCGCGGTCGCGGTCGCCGCCGTCGCGGTCCGCGTCGTCGCGGTCGTCGCGGTCGTCGCGGTCGCGGTCGCCGCCCCGCCGCGGGCGGTCGCGCTCGCGCTCGCGCTCGCGCTCGCGGTCGCGGTTACGGTCGCCGCGGCGTCGGTGGCCCTCGCCGCCGCGCGGCCGCTTCCGGCCGCCGTCGCGCCGCCGGAGCCGCTCGCCGCCGCGCCGCGGCCCGCCGCCGCCGCGCCGCCGGTCGCCGCCTCGCGGGCGCCGGTCGCCGCCCCGCCGGTCGCCGCCCCGCCGGTCGCCGCCGCGGTCGCCGCCGCCGCGCCGCCGCCGCCGCGTCTCGCCCTCGTCGTCGCGGAGCTCGTCCTCCTACAGCCGCTTCTCGTCGCGGAGCCCGTCGTCGAGCCGGTCCTAGACGCGACGTCATGCAGAGGCCCGAGAATAACATTTGAACCTTTACTACGCCACCTGGGAGAGAGGAGTAGACGAAAAAGAAACTTAACTACTTCACGACCGAGAACGGGTGCGCCTCCGTGTTGAACACGTACCGGTCCAGGGGCAGCGACGGCCGCTCGTCGTCCTCCTGGAGCAGGTAGAAGTACTTGAGCGTCTCCGCGAGCCAGAACGACTCCATCTTGTCCATTTTGTTGTCGCCAGCCGTGCGGCGCACGTCCTTCATGGACGCGTGGCCGTGCGCGACGCGCAGGTGCCGGTCGATGGCCGCGAAGGCGCGCCAGCCCCAGTCGCGGTAGAGCGGCCGCCGGTCCTCGAGCCCCGGCGTCCGCGACAAGTAGAACCATGCCTCGGCGGCCTCGGGCCGCAAGATGTACTCGCGCGTGTCCGTCCGCCGCAGCGACGTGTCCCGGCCCTTGATCCGCTCGGGCGAGATGCCGGTCGGCTGGTCCGCGTAGAAGCGCCAGCACGTCTCGCCGAGGCCGTGGGCGACCTCGCGCAGCCGCCGGGCCCGGTCCTCGGGGAAGTAGGGCGCCCCCAGCGCGACCCACGCCGGCACGAAGCACGCGAGGTGCTCCATGGCCGCGTCGCGCGAGAAGGCCGCGCCGCCGCGCCACCGCAGCTCGTCGAGCCAGAGGCCGCCCCGCGCGTCCCGGGAGATGAGGCGCGCCTCCATGCCCTTCAGCGCAGCGTCGTACATCTTCCACACGTCCGGGAAGGACTCGACCACCGCCTCGCGCGCCGCGGGCCCGCCGCGCAGCAGCCAGACCTTGGGCAGGTACTCGTAGAAGGAGTCGGCCTCGGCGCCCAGCGTCAGCTTGCCCGTGCGGCCGCCGACGCACTGCGGGTACAGGCCGTCCAGGTTCGGCTGGCGCCGCTGGAACTCGTAGAAGGCCCTGGCGCGGCGCGCGTACTTGTCGTCGTTCGTGATTCTCGAGAGGTAGAGCATCTCGAGCTGCACCGTGCCGGCGTGCGCCAGCGACGGGCAGGACCCCGCGCGCCCGCCGAAGCTCCCCGGCACGCTGCCCGTCGCCGGGTCGATCTTCGCGTAGACGGCGTCGCCGATCTGGCGCGCGCGCGTCGCGAAGATGGCGTCCCGCGACAGCTCGTAGGCGCCCAGCAGCCCGCCGAGGACCCGGATCGTCGTCTCGAAGACGGACGCCGTCGACGGCGGCCGCGCGAGCTTCCGCCCGAAGCTCTCCTGCGCCACGAAGTCGCGCGCCTCGCGGAACTCGTCCCGCAGCCCGACCAGCCACAGCGTGTCCAGCGAGTCCACGAGCGTCACGGCCATGTCGAAGCCGCTATTGACGGGCCGGCCCGTGATCGGCGCGACGGAGTCGCGGCCGAAGGCCCGGCGCCGGTAGCCGTCCCAGGCGTGCTTGATCGCCCCCTTGATCTTCTCGCGGCGCTCCTGCAGCTCCGCCGCGGAGACCGCGGCGGGCGCGTCGTACGCGATGGGCCGGGGCGTCCGCGGCGGCGAGACGACGCAGAGCGAGACGCCGTCCTTGCGGACCGTGCCCGCCGAGCTCATCTTGAGCCAGCAGGCCGCCGGCGGGTTGTCGCCGGGGCCGGACAGGGCCGCCGCGGCGCAGTCGTCCCGTTCTATGCACGCGGCGGCGCACTGCTCGGGCGTCGCGTCCACCAGCGCGGGTTCGTTCATGAGGTCCGCGCCGGCGACGTCCTGGTTCGCCTGGAAGCGGCAGGTCACGTCGGTATCGGCTGGTGGCGGCGGCGGCGGCGGCGGCGCGCGCGCCGCCTCCTTGGACGGGATGCAGACCGTGACGCCGCGCTTGTACTGCAGCGGCCCCGCCTTGCGCTTGAGCCAGCAGGCCGACGGCGGCTCGTCCGCCTCGCCCGACAGCGCCGCCGCGGCGCACCACGGCGTCGCGGCGCACAGCGCGCAGCAGCTCTCCCGGTCCATGTCCTCGCGCGGGAACTCGTCGCCGTCGCCGCCCCTGATGTCCGAGTCCGCGCGGAAGGTGCACGTCGGAGGAGACGCAGCAGCGACGGGCTTTGGGGCGGCCGGCGCGTCGAGCTCGTTGATGCCGCTCCGCAGCGCCGCGAGCGCCTCGCGCATCTCGCGGACCTCGAGTCGGGAGTGGTTCCGCGCGGCGCCGCGCAGCGCCGGCGTCTCGAGCAATGCCGCGGGCGTCGTGAGCGCGAGCAGCACGTACGCCAGGGCCGACGCGCCCGCGAGCGCGGCCAGCGGCCGCATGGCAAGCGACGCCTTGGTGGTGCGCATCCCTACGCGTGACTGCACGTGGACAACTACGACTTCGGCTTCCTCTACGGTCGCCAGAGCTTCGAGAACGGTCGCCTGCTTGCAATATAGGCGGCCTGCGGCCCCTGGCGGCGCTTTTCGCGCGCCAAGTTGTAAAACTCCAGCTAGCGGCCTGTAACACACTAGCCCCAGCTCTCATTGCAGGCCACTTTTTTGCAGCGCAGCGGTGCACACGAAGCGAATCGCATCAGTGCAGCGTCTCCACAGTACACTGAGAGCCGGTGTGGAAGCGGTGGAAAACGCAGTCACGCTACAGGCGGCAGCGAGCGATGTTCCAGGCACTGCTACAAGCCCTGGGCTCGCGCAACACTACGACTGAAGACGCCTACGACGACTCGCTGGACGAGAAAACCGACGACGACATCGTCCGAGTGACGACGCGCAACGTGCGCCGCCGCGACCAAGCACGAGAGGAGGAGGCCCGGCGGCCGACGCAGTGGGTCGCGTGGCGCATCTCGCACGCGCACAAGCACCGGTGCCGGGAGTGGGTCGCGGCGCGGTTCCCCGACTGCACCTTGGAACAAAACGCCAAGGACGCGCTCCTTTTTTCGGCCAGCGACGCGGCGGCCGTCGTCGCCGCGCTGGCGAAGGACGAGCACGCGGCGCGCCACGTCCACGCCTGCGCGGCGCACGGCGGGAGCACCGCCAAGCTCGAAGACGTGCCGGGCCTCGCGGAGGCGGCCTACGACGCGGCGGCGGCCACCGCCGCGCGCCTGCGCGTGCGCGGCGCGCCGGGGCTCAAGGAGGCCCTCCTCAAGAACCTGCCCGAGCGGATCCAGCTCACGCCGCGCGGCGCGTCCCACGAGCTCGTCGTCGACGCCGTGCCCGCGACGCACGCGACGTACTACTACGTGGGCTGCGCGCCGCTCGCGGAGACGTTCGTGCCGTCGACGGGCGACGCCGGCGACGTCTGCCGCGCCGTGCACAAGCTGCGGGAGGCCATGGTCCGCTTCGCGCTGCCGCCGTTCCGCCGCGTCGTGGACGTCGGCGCGGCGCCGGGCGGCTGGAGCCAGGTCTGCCTCGAGCACGGGGCGGAGCTGGTCGTGGCCGTGGACCCGGCGGACCTGGACGCGGACGTGGCGGCGCGCGTCGTCCACGTCAAAAAGCGCCTCGAGGACGCGGAGACGCTAGACGCGCTGCGTGAGGCGGGCGGCCGCTTCGACGCCGTCCTCTGCGACGCGAACGCGCACCCGGCGAAGATGGGCCGCGCGCTCCACGCCCTGCGGCCCTACCTCGCGGCGGGCGCGACGCTCGTGCTGACGCTGAAGCAGCCGTCCGCCTCCACGAAGACCGCCGCGGCCGACACCGGCGAGGTCGAGGGGGCGCTCGCCGCCGGGGGTTTCCGCGACCTCCGCACGGCGTGGCTCTGGGCGAACGGGCGCAAGGAGCGGACGCTCGCCGCGACGTACACCTAACAGTACTTAAGTCTTGAGCAACGGGTCGTCGCGCCGCCGCCGCGCCCAGTCGTCGGCCCAGAAGCTGCTCGTGTAGGGCCGGGCGAAGGAAGCGCCGTCGGGCGGGTGGCACCAGTAGTTCGCCGCCGCGTGGAGCCCGCCGCCGCTCGAGACCTCGTGCCAGACGCCGCACGGGATGTAGAGCGCGTCGCCGGGGCCGATGTAGCAGGCGGCGTACGACGGCAGGCCCCGCGGCGCCTTGCGCGTCGCGAAGTTCGGCGGGCCCGGCGCGAGCGGCGTCGCCGGTTCCTTTTCATGATTGGCCTCGAGCGCCAGCGCCGCGTCCAACAACGCGTCGCAGTCGTCGCTGTCGCTCGCGTCGTCGAGCGCGCGGTGGAGGTCCAGCGACGTCGCGGCCGCGGCGTCGCGGCCGTCGGCCTCGACGCGCTCGTTTCCGTAGACGACGCGGCCGTTCGCGTGAACGCGGGCCCGGCCGCCCGCCGGCCGCAGGACATTCGTGGCGCTCGGGTCCCACATGCGGACGCGCTTCGCGCCGCAGACCTGGACGAGCACGTTGTCGTGGAAGTCGTGGTGCAGGCCCGACGACGTGCTCCGGCCCGCGGGCGCGCAGCCCATCCAGACGTTCGCGTTCGCGAGGATGAGCGAGGGCAGGAGCGGGCACGTCGGGGGAAACAGGTTCTCCCGCACGAGGCTCCGCACGGGCTCGCCGCACAGCTCCGGCCGGCCCTCGGCGTCCTCGGCCAGGGGCTGCGTCGTCAGGTAGTACCGGCACGCCCCGCCCGTCGCGTGGCGGTGAAGCGCCTCGGCCACGAAGCCGCGGACCCGCAGCTGGCACTCGTTGCCCCGCCCGAACCGCCCGCGCTCGCGCACCTCGGCCCGGACCACCTTCGGTCCGGCGGCCCGGTCCAGCGCGGCGCACCACGCCCGCGCCGGGTCCGCGGCGCCGCACGCGTCCGAGACGACGCCGAGCGCCGCCGTGCGCGCGTAGCCGCGCAGCACGCAGGGTCGCCGCCGCCGCACGAAGGCGTCGAAGAACGCGCGCGCGTCCGGCGGCGCCCGGGTGCAGTCGAGCTCGACCACCGGCTCGTGGGGCCGGGCGCAGCGGTGGCCGCGGTAGCCCGTCTGCGCCAGCCTCTTGGAGAGCAGCCGGCGGCGCTGGCGCCGGCGGCGCAGGTGGCGGTGCGGACGCATCGATGGGTGCTGGTTGTAAGGCGACTGTAGCAGCCCTGCCGGGCTGGGGCGCGTTGCTTGCGCAGCTAGCTAGCGCTATAGAGGCACTAGCTAGCGCTCAAACGGGTTTTACACCGCGACGCCAGCCGAGCTCAGGACCCGCGCTACGCATTTATTTGCCGGCGCCGCCTCGGTTCTTGTAGCGCTGCAGCCGCCTGCGCCTCACGCGGTCTCGCAGAGCTAACCAGCGACGGCGACATAAGGCCCTGCCGCGCGCGCCGCCGCACGCCAGTCGCCGCGTCGTTGCCGGCGCGAGGACATGGCCGCGGCGAAGGCCCAGGTCGGCGTGCCCATCAAATTATTGCACGAGGGCGAGGGCCACGTCGTGACGGTCGAGCTCAAGAGCGGCGAGATCTACCGCGGCCGCCTCGACGAGAGCGAGGAGACGATGAACTGCAGCCTGACGGACATTGTGTGCACGGCGAGGGACGGCCGCGTCTCGAAGATGGAGCACGTCTACATCCGCGGGTCGCGGATCAAGTTCCTGATCCTGCCCGACCTGCTGAAGCACTCGCCCGTCTTCGACAAGGTCAAGGCCATGAAGCAGGCCGACGAGGCGAAGCCGCGGCGCCGGTAGGGGGCGCTAACTCTTCTTAGCCAGTATGGACGCGGCGGACGGCGTCTGCACGAAGGTCCGGGGCGCGAGGTCGCCGAAGCCCACGTCGTTCCGCGCCCGGACCTCGAACGCGTAGAGCGTGTCCGGCAGGAGGCCGGCGAGCGCCTTCGCCGTGCAGCGCAGCACTTCCGTCTTCCACTTCTCGTCGGACCGGCCGTCGTAGTCGTTCACGGCGCGATATTTCAGCTCGTACTCGAGCGTGCTCTTGAGCCACTCCGTCGCCCAGTCGAGCGTCACTTTCGCGCGCGCGACCGTCTCGGAGACGCGGCGCGTCTTCTGCTGGGGCGCGCCGCCGTCGGGGTCGGGCACGTCGTAGCGCTCGATGTGGGACAGCTCCTCGAGGCAGAGCTTGCACGTCGTCTTCGGCTCGCGCGGCGCCCGCGGCGGCTGCTTCGGCCGCGACAGGAGCGTCGTGATGTACGACTCGTCCATGTCGTCCTCGCGGCACATGCCGACCACGTCGATCGGCCTCTGGCTCATGTAGCACTTGTCGTCGCGGTCGGCCCCGAACTCCAGCAGGAACTCGACCGCCTCGCGCCGCGCGTAGGCGCAGGCGATGAAGAGGCACGTCGCGTCCCGGAACTGGTACCACTTCGGCGACTCGAACTCGAGCTCCCAGTCCTCCATCGCGTCCGTGAACCGGTCGTGCAGCAGGCCGGGCTGCTCGAAGGCCAGCTCCCGCATGACCTTGAGGTCGCCGTCGCGCACGGCCCGGAAGGCCACGACCTGCCACCGCGTCCCGCTGTCGGTGTAGCGCTTCTTGCGCAGGCCGAACTGCGCGGCGCCGCCCTTGACGGGCGAGGCCGTGAGGGCCTCGCCGGGCCGCGAGCGGACGTTGGCCGAGGTGGCGGCCATGGCACCTTCTTTGCGCGGCGCTAGCCTACCGTTGCCGGGGCAGCCCGAGTCGGGCGCGGCGGCTCCTCCGGATGACTTGCGGCACGGGGTTCTAGTCCCTAGTCCTTAGCATACGCACGGCGCGGCGCTGCGCCGGGCGTTATTAAAACCACACACAAAACGGGTTTTACTGATCGATCGGCGGACGAATCCCGTACAAAAGAGCCGCTTTATTGCAACCATTACACACTATCACGGCGTGGCGCGGAGCGCGGCTCGCGCGTCTCGCAGGGCACGCTCAGTCGGGGCGCGGAGGGCGGCTCGCGCGTCTTGCAAATCGAGCTCACGATCTCTTGTAGGGTCCACGCGTAGTTGGTGGCTGCGTGCATGGTCATTTCATTTTCCTCGCCGTCGAGCCTCACACGTGCGAAATATACATCTCGGTTGACCCGTAGGGCCTCTCCACCTCGTCCCAGCTTTGAATACGTGATTGCAAGATTTCCCATCGACACGAGCATCTCTTTTTCTGGTACGCCAAGGCGCCGAAGCATAGACAACTGGGCCTCTCTCACGGACAACGCCTCCTCGAGGCGATTTACAGCGAGTAAACCGTTCCCAAGCTGCGTCATCGCATCCAGCCGAGGGTCGTCCGTCTCCGGCCGACCCAAGTACGTCTTCCAGCACGCCCACCCGAGCGCACATTCTACGACGCCGTGGTAAACTTGCTCGCACAGACCGCACGTGTACCACCGCCCCCAGCCTCGCCCTTGCCCGACGCGCTCGACCGCGACCTCCGCCTGCCGCGCCAGACACGAAATGTGGGCGAAGCCCGCCGCCCCGCGGCACGCGCACATGCGCACGAGGCCCTCTTCAGAGCCATCCTCCAGACAGATGTAGCATGTCTGGCCCGCCGTGTCTGCCGCGCATTTCTCGACCGCGACCGCGACAGCCTCCTTGTATTTTTTCTCGGCGTGGTATTGTTCGCCGCCGCCGCCGCGGCGAATTTCATCGCAGATCTGCTCGTGCCCGCGGCGGATGTGGTCCATCTGGCAGGTCCTACTACCCAAGAAACTGGCTATTAAAACTCTAAGTATCTTGTTAAGCACCTCGCACATCCAGGCGCGTCGTGGGCCAGTGGGGCGGCGCAGGCGGCGCAATTTGTGAGGATCATTTTTGCGTGGCGTGAGGCGTTTGTGAGTCGCGCGGCGGCGTGTGATTTGAGTTGCCTAAACACCAGGCAAAACGGGTTTGACGAGGCACTACACCCGGAGGGTCTAGGACGTCTTTTCAATACAACAACACACAGATTACCACCCCTCGACGTCGTTCTCGGAGCCCGCGAACTCCACCGCGCCGCGGACCGCGACCCCGCAGGCCGCCACGGTTAATTCCTCGACGCGCGCCGGGCCGTCCGACTCCGACGCGTCGAGGCCGACATTCGCGCAGTGGCGCACCGTCGTTCCCCGCACGTCCAGCGCCCCGCGCGCGACGACGCCGTCCGCGCAGTGCTCGACGAGACAGCGGTTGAGGGATAGCGCCGCAGACGCGTCGACGCCGACGCCGCCCGGACAGGCGACGACGCAGTCCTCCAGTCCCAGGTCCGCCGTCGCGCGCGCGCCCGCGCAGAACGCGAGGTGCCGCAGGCGGCACGGCCCCTTCACCACCACTTCCTTCGTAAAGAAGGTCTCGCGCGGCGCCGCCGCGACGAGCTCGCCGCAGATTAAGAGAGGCGCAGTTCCAAAGTACGCTCCTCGGACCACGAGCGCCTCCTCGTCGACGCGGCCCCGCCTCACGAAGACGGTGGCGCCGCCCGGCGCGTACGCGTAGGCCTCGTCGAGCGCCGCCTGGACGGTCTTGTGGCTTTCGGACGGCGCGTGGAGCTCCACGGGCTGATCGCCGCCCTTCGCCGCCGCGCGCGCGGCTGCATCCTCGTCGCCTATTCGTAAGGCGTCCGCGTTCATGCGCCGCCACGCGCCGAGGGCCTCGTGCGCGGCGAGGCGGTGTTTTAACGCAACCTTGTCATCATGGTCCGTGACGAGTGCGCGCGTCGCGTGGCCGACGCATCGATTAAAGTGGCCGATGTCCCGGCACGCCGCGGCGCACGACCGGTGGACGGCGGCGCGCGCGGCCTCCGTCGTCGCCAGGTCCAGGGCGTCCCGGAAGTACTTCAGGGCCGCCTTGGGCGCGTTGCGCATGCAGGCCTCGCCGCTGGCCGCCTTGGCGCGCGCCGCCGCCGCGCGGTTGCCGCCGTGCTCCTCGCGCACGAAGCGCTCGAGGTCCTGCTCGGCCAGGAAGCCCCGGGCGAGCTGCGAGGCCATCGATGCGGTGCCTCGCGCCGGCTGGCGCCTCTGGGGCAGCCCAGTGCGATTCCTCCGCGAGACGCGTTGCGCGCGCGCACTTTGGGTGCGGACGCGGGGTACGACGCGGCGGTCGACGGGCTGCGCGAGACGCCGCGTGCAGTCTGTGGGCCTGGCTAGCCGGTGCACAGTGCACTTCCGAGAGCTCGCACGGGTTTTTTGCTCTGCGCGCCGGCTGCTGCTCCCAAAGGCCCGGACCAACCGCCCCGCGAAACGCCGGCGACGCACGACCTAAATTAAAGCTACTTAAGCCCGCTCCCGAGCTTCATCGTCCGCGCGTTCGACCGGAACGCGCGGTGGTGGTGCGTCCCGCCGTAGATCTTCTTGTTGTCGTCGAAGGTCGAGTAGAAGCGCTGGGGCATGTTCTGGGGCCGCCCGAACTGCTGGAACCACTGGTCGAAGGACGTGAGCGTCGGGTCGCGCAGCTCGAGCGACTTGAGCCGCGCGGCCTCGCGCGCGCGGATGTCCTCCTCGATGGCGTCGAGGTCCTGCTGCGTCCGCGCGATCTTCTTCACCATCTGGTTGCACGTCTTCCGATCGTAGGCGCGCTGGACCTCCGCGCTATGCTTGTGGTACTCGAAGAACCCGGGCTGCTTCGAGACGGCGACGGCCGCCTTGAGGTTCTTGCAGGTCATGTACTGGGACTCGTTCAGGCCGCCCTCGCGCGTGAGCAGGGCGTTGAGGTCGTCGCTCTGGGCGCGCTGCTGCTCCAGGGTCCGCAGCTTCTTGTGCAGGAGGCCCTCGTCCATGGCGGCTGCCCCGGCGGCACGGGCGGCGTCGTAACTGCGGCGGCCCGCGACTCTGGTTGTTCGCTGAGGGTTATTTGGGTGAAACCGCGTCGCAGCCGCACGAGTGGGTGTTCACGGAGTCTTATGCAAGAGAGTGGCGCTGTCTCGCGGCTCTGCCGCACGAAGCTAGTAGGCGCCGCCGCCGCGAGGGATCCGTAGACGAAGGGATCGCGGGAGAGGGGTGCCGTTCCTTCAATGACCGCTAGCGGCGGTGAGACACTAGCAAGCACCCAGGGCTCCGAAGTGCAGCCCATCTTCCTCTACTCTCGCTATATATCTATTTGAGAACTGATGAAGCACCTCCTCGTCGCCCTCCTCGCCCGCGCTGCCGCCGAAGTCCACCGCGTCCCCCTCACGAGGGTGCCGCGGGTCAGGCAGAGCCGCACGGCCTTCTCGACGCAGCGCGTCGCCGCGGACCTGAAGAACGGCGACGCCATCATCATCAAGGACTACCAGAACGCCCAGTACTACGGCGAAATTAGTGTGGGCACGCCGGGCCAGAAGCTCGCGGTCGTCTTCGACACCGGGTCGAGCAACCTCTGGGTGCCGAACAAGAAGCCCTTCCTCTCGACGCACCGGACCTATTCTCACGACGCGTCGTCGACCTACGTGAAGAACGGCTCGAAGTTCGCCATCCAGTACGGCTCGGGGCCCGTGAGCGGCGTCTACTCGCGCGACACGTTGAGGGTGGGCGACGTCCAAACAAAGAGCTACCTCTTCGCCGAGGTCGACGACACGTCGGGCCTGGGCGTCGGCTACCGGTTGGGCAAGTTCGACGGCATTTTGGGCCTGGCCTGGCCGGGTATTAGTGTGGACGGCGTGCCGACGCCGCTGCAGGCTTTGCTAGGGTCCCTCGACGCGCCGGTCTTCGCCTTTTCGTTGGGAGACGAGAAGGCCGGCGAATTGATGTTGGGCGGCGTCGACTCCACCAAATACACCGGAAGCTTTCATTACGTGCCGCTCCAGTCCAAGACCTACTGGGAAATCAAGCTCGAGGGCCTCGCCGTCGGCGCCGCGAACATGACGCGGGCGACGCGCGCCATCGTCGACTCGGGCACGTCCCTGCTCGCGGGGCCCAAGGACGACGTCAAGCGCGTCGCCAAGGCCGTCGGCGCGAAGCCCGCGCTCGCCGGCGAGTACACGATCGCCTGCGACGCCAAGGCGCCCGACATCACGTTCGTGCTCGGGGGCCGGCGCTACGACCTCGCCCTCGAGGACTACGTCATCGAGGAGTCGGGCCAGTGCCTCTTCGGCATGATGGGCATCGACCTGCAGGGCCAGGCGCCGCTCTGGATCCTCGGCGACGTCTTCATGCGCAAGTACTACGTCAAGTTCGACGTCGGCCAGGCGCGCGTCGGCCTCGCGCTCGCGAAGTAGGTCGCTCCCCCCGTGTGTAAGTACGAGTCCCTGTCCCTAGCAGTATCCAGGCTTAGCTCGGTGGTGGGGTGCGTCCTACGAGGGCGCGCGGGGACCTTTCCGGGGAGGTACGCGGTCGGCGCCTTTCTTGTCCTTGGTGAGCATCTCGTACGCGCGGTCCGACCCCCGGCGCGCGACGAGGTAGGCCCGCGCGGCGTCCAGCCGCGCGGCGTTCTCGAGGACGGCGTCGCGCGCGCGAACCACCGCCGGCCCCTTCTCCACGTTCTTGAAGCTCCTGTTCCGGCGGAGCCATTCCCGCGCGCGCGCGCCCCGGAGCTTGAGGACGAGGAAGGCCTTTTTGGCCTTAAGCACCGCGATCTCGGCCTCGACGCGGTCCTGCTCCAGCGCGCCGCGGTGGGGGTCGGTCGCGACCGTCGCGTGCGTCCAGCCGCCGACGCACACCAGGTAAGGAATCCCCGCGACCCACGCGGCGTCCTCGACGGTGGCGTAGCCGTGCGCCCATTCGAAGGTTCCTTGGACGACCTCCCTGGGCAGGGATGGATTCCTCCGGGTCGGGTCGAGGCCGTGGGCCCGCCGCGGCGCGGGGCCCCCGCGGAGCGCCTCCAGCTTCGCGTCCAGCTCGCGGTCGCGGACGCGCGCGGAGCGGCGACCGCGGCGCCGGGCCGCGCGGCACGGCTCGTGCGCCGCGGCATCGCGGAAGAAAAACCACGCCCGCGAGGCTCGGGGCAGCCCGCAGGTTTTGCAAGTTGTAGAGCCGGGCGCGTTCACAGCCCCCCCCCCGGGCACAGGGCAGAAGCAGCGCCAGGCCATCGTGCGGCTTAGTCCGGGCAGCCGCTACGACGAGCGACGCGCTTGTTTGACGATGTCAAGCTAAGGACCCCCGGCACACGGCGCGAGGTCGACACGCTTGTTACTTGCCGCCTGCTGACGGGAGAGCTTGTCTCTGGCCGAAGATCGGAGAAGATCGCCCCGGCGGATCTGCGCGCCGAGCCGTAGGCGCGCCCGCGCATGCCTCCCCGAGACGCTCGCCGGCCCGTACGGACCTTTCCGGGACGGAGTCCTAGCCGGGCGCCGGGCGCCGGGCGCTGCCAACACGCCGGCGCTGCCCGTAAACACACGCTCCCGACGCTGCCCGGCGCTGCCAACACCGGGCCGTACGTCGACGCTCAGACGCTGCCCATAAACACACGCCGGGCGCCGGCCAACACGCCGGGAGAGATAACCAACTGCGCCATGGCCAGCCCGCCCGGCTCGCCGTCGAGCCGCTGGTGGAACCGGCCCATCAAGCCCGAGCCCGAGATCGGCCCCAACGAACTGGAAGTGGAGACCATGGTCGCCGGCGACGGCTACCGCTACGCGAAGCCGGGCATGACGGTGAGCGTGCACTACGTGGGCTACCTGCCGGACGGCCGCGTCTTCGACGCGACGCACCGCCGCGGCGCGCCGCTGCGGTTTCGGTTGGATCGGAACGAGGTCATCGAGGGCCTCGACGCGGCGGCGGCGCAGCTCTCGGCGGGCGAGCGCGCGAAGGTGCGCATGGGGTGCGACCGGGCCTACGGCGACCGGGGCTTCCCCTACCTCGTGCCGCCGAAGACGGCCCTCGTTTTTGATCTCGAGATGCTCGGCGCGGAGTCCTAATGTTCCTAAGGTTAATTCGACGCGCGCGCCGCGGCCCACTCGTCGACGGCGCGCCGCTTCTCCGGCTCGGTCAGGAGCTTCTGGAGGGGCACCGGCGGCGCCGTCTCCAGCGGGTCCTCCCGGACGCCCACGACGGCCGCGGCGTGCGCGGCCACGACCGTCTTTAGTATTTCGTCGCCGGCCCCCGCGACGAGCCGCGCCGCCTCGACGCTCACGCCCCGCTGCTGGATCACCTCCCTTACGAGTAGTTCCTTCCGCCGCTGCAGTTGGAAGACCCTAGCCTCCATCGTGCCGGCGGGCGCCACCAACCTGTAAACGTTCACCTCGCGCTTCTGCCCCAGGCGGTGCGCGCGGCACATGGCCTGCCGGTCGAAGCACGGGTTCCAGCACACATCATACAGAACGACGCGGCACGCGCCCGTCATGTTGACCCCTTCGCCGCCCGCTCTTATGGAAACGAGTAAGGCGTCGACGGCGTCGCGCTTCACGCGCTTCCCCTGCTCCTTCCGGGCGTTGAAGGCGTGGACGATCTCCGAGCGCGCCGCCGCGGGCGTCGACCCGTCGATCCGGCACCAGGCGATGTCGGTGGACGCGAGCAGGTCCTCGAGGACGTCCAAGGTCCCGAGCGTCTGTGTAAACACGACGCAGCGCTCGCCCCTCCTCTTCACCTCCGCGAGCAGCGCGAGGCACACCTGGGCCTTGCCCGACGCTCGTGTCGATCCGGCCGCGTGGTCCGTCAGCACGGGCGCCGCCCAGGCTCGTAATGACCCACAAAAAGCCTCGGCGTCGTCCAACCCGTTCTTCTTGCGAGCTTTGACGCGGTGCTGGTCGCGCTTCGACTCGTCCCGCAGCTGCCGCGCGGCCGCGCGCGACGCCTCGCGCGCGACGACCTCCGGCGCCGCCCAGGCGTCGCCCGTGACGACCTCCTCGCTCCTCGTATCCGCGGAGAACAGGCGCTCCTCCTCGCTCAGATGCTTATCAATAATGTCCGGGTGGTTGCAGATCGCTAATGCAGTATGATAGGCCGCCAGCTCGCCCCGACTGTTCGTGGACTCGGCCGCGCCGCTCTCCACAAAAGCATCGTAGAGTTTCCGTTGCACCTCCGTCAATGCGCACTCGACGACCCAATCTCTTCTTCTTGGTAAATCGTCTCCCAACGTATCCGCGCCCCGCCGCAATACCACGTCCTCCAACGCATTTCTCAGGGCGTGCGCTCTTCTTAAAGCCTCGCCCCGGTTCTTACCCCCGTCCAAATACGCGACGATGGGCCCTTCGAAGAAACGCTTGAACAGATCATCGTCTCCCAGTATGTTGGGTCTCGCATAGTCGACGAGCGCGTAGTACTCGTCCAGCCGGTTCTGGATGGGGTAGCCCGTGGCCAGGATCCGCCTCCGCGTCGTGATCTTCGTCAACGCCTTGTAGATTTGAGACTTCGGTTCCTTGAGCCGATGCGCCTCATCGAGCACGACGAGGCCCGTCCCGAGAACTAACTTGGCGAGGTCATCATTTTGAGAGACTATCAAACGAAACATCTCGTAGCCCACCAACAAACACCCGCCCTCGCGGGCCCACTTCTTTATCGTCGGCGCGCGGTCGCCCTTGGGTAGGGGCCGCATCCGGATGCTCCGGTCCTTGGGCAGCCACTTCTCCACTTCGTCCAGCCAGTTCGGCAGCACGAAGGCCGGCGCCACGACCAATGCCGTCCTTTCCCGACGGTTCGCGAACCACGACTGCAACGTCCCGATCAACTGCAGCGTCTTGCCCAGGCCCATGTGGTCCGCCAGGACGCAGCCCTTGCCGTCCTTCACGACGCGGTCGTACAGAAACCGGATGCCCCGCCTCTGGTGGGGCCGCAGCCGGTCTGACAACGCCGCGTCGAGGCGCGTGTCGTCGTCTAATTTTAACCCGTCGCGCGCGGGCGTGACGACCTGCTGGTCGTCGCGCTTGGCCTTGAAAGCTCTACCGCCGGCCGCGCAGAGGCACGGGTCCAGGTCGCACGTGCACGGCGGCCCCGCGGCGGCCGGCTTCCTCCCCACGAGCTCCGCGAACGACGGCACCGGCTCCTCGTCCGAGTCGTCTTCCGAGGAGGAGTTCTCGTCGTCGCTGTCCTGCGCCGCCGCGCACATCATCCTTTCAGTTGCTTGTGAGAGCGACATATTGGCTCGCAGCTATGCTTGCGCAGTGCGGTCGTGTTCTGGGGTTGGCGCCCGCTGTCGCGACGCGCAGGGGTCAGACCCGAGGAAGATAACGCACCAAAGGTAAGCTGCCGTGTTGCGCATGCTGGGCCGTGCGAAAACCCGCGTCTCGGATACTTCCCAGCTCGAAGCCGAGCCAAACGAGGCGTCGCGGACCGCGGCGACCCGCACCAGGGCGAAAGCAAGGCGCCGCGCCGAGCGACATGCAAAACTCAAAGCAACACAAGCTAAGTAGCGCAGTCGAATCTAGACGGCCAAGAGCGCCCATTCCTGCGACGGTGGGCCAGGAGTGCTTTACGGTCCGGCACACGCAGCGCTTGGGCCTCTCCGTGCGCAAGAACGCACATACCCCCACGTCTCAGTGGGAATCTAGGCAAACCGCGGCGGTCGGGGCGTCGACGCGGGCTCCGCACCGCGCGAGGCGTCGCTCGCACCGCCACGACCTGATATCTGGCGCGAGGCGTCGCCCTCGTCACCGCCGCGACCTGCTATCTGACGCCGCCGCGCCACGCCAAGCCACACTGATATAAAAAGAGATGAAGTTCGGCCACGACATGCACCGCGTCGTCCGCGTGAGCGACGCGGAGTGGGCGCCCTACTTCATGCAGTATAAATTGCTAAAGAAGTGCATCAAACAGATTAAGGCGGACCCGTCGTCGCCGCCCGTCGCGGAGTGTTGTGAACGAGGAGACTGCGAGAAGGCGACCATGGCCAAGAGCGCGCCGGAGGTTGCGTTTTTTCGAGCCTTACGATTCGAGCTCCAGAAGAGCGCGCAGTTCTTCCGCCAGGCCGAGCTGGTGTTGGAAGTAAGGCGCGAGCGCGTGCGCGAGGCGCTGCGGCAGCTGCAGGACGAGGACCGGCTGGGGCTGCTCGAGGACGCCCCAGATAGGGCCCTGCGGGCGTGCGTGACGTATTATCGGGATTTACTCTTGCTCGAGAACTACGCGATCATGAATTATTGCGGCTTTAGTAAAATACTCAAGAAGCACGACAAGCAGACGGGCTTCACGACGCGGACGCAGTTCATGCGCGTCTGCGTCGCGCCGCAGCCGTTCACGCGCTACCCGCGGCTCATGGAGATGATCCGCGAGGCCGAGGACCTGTACCGGGACATCGCGGCGGCGTCGGACCGGATACGGGGCACGCGGTCCGTGGACCCGCCGCCCCTGTCGCCGTCCTCGTCGTCGCAGCAGCTGAGCACGCTCGGCGGCGTCGGCGCGGCCGAGACGGACGCGCTCGACGCCATCCTGAACCTGCGCGAGGCGGCGTCGCGCATCCGCGAGGGCGAGGAGGACCCCGACGCGGCCGCGGCCGCGGCCGCGCCGGCGGCGGCGGCGCCCTGCCCGGCCTTCGCCGGGCCCGCGGCCGACCTCGAGCGGCTCCACAAGACGACGAGCCCGCCGCCGAAGCGCGCGCGCACGTGACCGACTCCGGCCCCTGTGTTATATATATGTTTGCTTATAGCTGTCGGGCGCTCCTGTCCTTCTTCCGTCACCCAACGCGCGGGTGCCACTGTTTCTTCGGCGAGAGCCGGGCTCCCCGAGAGGCTGCCCCAGTGGCAGTGCTGGCCATCCGGTGTGGATAGCCTTCGGCGTCGGACCTACAGGCGTCGCTACGGCTGCCCATCGGGCGCGTCCTGAGCTGGACGCCAGAAACAACTAACACCGCCACACGCCGCCGCTGCGCCAAAAGGAAGCGCATAGTATGTGCGGATTTTCTAACTCTTTGCGCATATCCCAGGTCAGCCGATCGAATGTAATACGGTGCTATTAGCCCTTGTATAGGTGGCATCGCGGATACTCGCAGATATAGCTTCATTGCCCTTTTCTATTTTTTTTTTAATATATAACCGCGCGTTCACGCCGCGGCATGCACACTGAGGGTCACAGTCGGTTCATCAAATATTTAATACCGGTTTCATAGTCCCTCCTAGTGGTGACGCAACAGCAAAAAATTCCCCTGTACCCGTTTTCACCATTATCCTATCTTTTATACCTCTACTTAAGTACCGTAGGTAAGGCGCCTCGAGGTACCACAAGGTTACCATAAGGTATCAGCACCGCGTCCATGTCCTGGCAGCCTCGGCTCTCGTGTTTTTGGACCGCATTGCTGCGGATATCCAGCACAAATATTTTTTGAATATAGTCCGACCGATCTCCGCGCGTGCCATTTTGCATTGGGTGTGGACAACCGGCGGCGTCGCATCGATCTGCCAATGGAGGCGGACAGGAGGCTCCTCGGGCGCGTCGAGGTCCTGAGCTGCGGCGAGAAGGTCAAAAATAAAAAAGGCGCCCACAAGCCCAAGTATGATGCGCTGCGCGTGACCACGACGGGCTGCGAGACCCTGGACGGCCGCAAGGACGTGAACGCCTACAAAAGAAAATCCCCAAAAGGATCCGGGGACGTCGTGGGCGACGAGCGCCACCGTCGCGCGCTGTCGCTCCTGTGCACGGCCGTTGGCGAGGGCTTCGGCGGCCTCGTCGAGCCCGGCTTCGGGGGCGACAACGTGACCTGGCGGGGCGTCGGCGGCGAGAACTCGCTGTCGCTCGCCGTGGGCATGCGGCTGTCCATCGGCGGCGTCAGGTGCGTCGTCACCCAATTCAACGAGCCGTGCCCGAACCTGACCCCGCTCTGGAGGCGGCTCGCGGCGGCGGAGGCGCGGTGGCCCGGGTGGCCGCGCGAGACGACGAGGCTGGCGCACGGCTTCACGGCGTGGAACGGCCCGCTCGGGCAAGACACCGGGCCCGGGCAGCGCGGCTGGTTCGCCCGCGTCGTCCAGGAGGGCGAGATCCGGGTCGGCGACGAGATCTTCGCGGAGGCCCCGGACGGGCCGCCCGCGAAGAAGCAGAGAAAGACCTCGTCCTTCTTCTCCTCCGAGTCGAGTAAGTTGTGAACATGTGCAAACTTACGATGCGGGCCGGTCGTCGACCACGAGCCACGGGAACACGGGCCCGCCGTGGGCGCCGAGCGCCCGGGGCACGCGCCGGCGCCCGCGCTCGAGGCGCCCGGGGGCGGGCGGCCTCCGGTGCCGGCGCCGGAGGTCGTCGCCGGCGGCGCCGTCGAGCGACACGTCGCCGGGCCGCGCGGCGTCGGCGTCGCGGGGGCGCCGCGGCGGCCAGCGCGCGAAGGCGACGCCTGGCACGCAGGCGCGCGGCCGCGTCGCCTTGCGCGACGCGAGCGTGACCAGGAGCGCCCAGAAGGCGGAGATACTACGCCAGTAGCCGGACGCGCCGACGGCCGCGACGACGGGCCACGCGACGGACGCCGCGCCCAGGGCCGCCGCAGCGAACAAGGGAGCCCGCGGCCGCGTCGGCGCTAGGAGCGCGACCGCGACGACGAGCGCGGGCGCGCCGACCGCGCCGTCGGTCGCGCGTTTCGCCGCCCAGCCCGCGGCGGCGCCCGCGGCGCCCGTGACGTCGTCCCGGCCGCCGCGCCGCGTCCAGGCGAGGCCCCCGAGACATCCACCAGAGTGCAGCGCGGCCGTCCACCACACCGCGTCCGCGACCGTGCCTCGACCGCACGGTATCGCATAGGCCATCACGACGAGGGGCGCAAGGCCGCCCGGGCCGACGAGCGACGCGCTCAAGCGCCACCACTCGCCGCGCTCGACGACCGTGGCGTAGTCGTAGCCGACGGTGTGCCGGCGCGCCGCGGCGAGCGCCGACGTCGCGTGCCGGCGCGCCGCGGCGAGCGCCGCCGCCGCGTGCCGGCGCGCCCCGGCGAGCGCCGCCGCAGCGGCTGCCAGTGCAGCCATGGCCTACAGCATTTCACTGCTTGCAGTTGTGCATGCATGCATCAATGCTTGTAGTTATGCATTTGTGTGGCATTGATGCGACGTTGTGCGGCTGTTGTGCGGCTGCAGCCACTACCCCTGCGCCCTCATATAGTAGAGCTAGGCCAGCCCATCATTTTTGCCTTGGTAACCAAAGGAGTCTTGCAAAAAAACAAGTGCAGCTTTCCAGCACGCAATTGCAGCGCGCGTGGCCAGCAAAGCTCTCGACGAGCAGCACCACTGGACGCCAGCGCCCTGAATATGGCCAGCGACGGCGAGGGCTCGCGCTACGACCTGCCGCTCTGGTGCAGCGTCGCCTCGGGCACGGTCGGTGGCGCTTGCGCCGTCGTCGTGGGCTACCCCTTCGAGACCATCAAGGTGCGGCTGCAGACGGGCGCGACGCAGCGCATGTGGTCCCAGCTCTTCGCGGGCATGGGCGCGCCGCTGGCGACCGTCACGCCGCAGTGGGCGGTCATGTACGCGGCCTACTACAACGTCCAGAAATACCTCGGCGACAAGGAGCTGGGCCCCGTCGCCCGGGGCGCCGTCTCGGGCGCGGCCTGCGGCTTCGCCGTGTCGTTCTGCGCGGTCCCCGTCGACGTCGTGAAGATCAACGCCCAGAAGATGCACGTGTCCGCCTACGAGTCCATGCGCACGTTGTATAAGCAGCGCGGTCTGAGGTTCGTCGCGCACGGCGGCGTCGCGACGATCCTGCACCTGACGCTGTCGCAGATGGCCTTCTTCGCGACCTACGAGTTCGTGCTGGACCGGTGGGAGCGGCCGCCGGCCCACGCGCCGGCCGTGGCCGGCGGGTTGAGCGGGCTCGTCGAGTGGACGCTGTTCATGGCGACGGACACGGTCAAGACGCGCGTGCAGGCGGCGGCGCCGGGCGCGTCGTACGTAAACGCGTGGCGGACGCTCTGGCGGTCCGAGGGGCCGCGGGGCTTCTACCGGGGCTACGGGCCCGTCGTGCTGCGCGCCGTGCCCGTGAACGCGACGTCGTTCTTCGTCATCGAGGCGGCGAACCGGCGCATCCGCGAGTTTCGAGAAAGGCGGTAGTGGTGTGTGAGTAAGTTCTGTGGTCGACGCTGTTCCTCCGCGGCGGGCAGAGGCTGAGGCTGAGGCTAGTTACGTCGCAGGGTTCCCCGTACCCCTCCCGCTCCCCCCGGGCCCACCCGTCCGGCTGGACTGCAGATTCCTAGTATCTTTACATAGGCGCTAGCTAATCTTGCGAGATACGGACGCCAACCAGAGCTCTGTGTGGGTAAGCTAGCCGGTGTCTCTGCAAAACGACGTGCAGCGCAGCTACTCGGGCCTCCCAAGGAAGCGCCTGCGGGACCCGGGTGCTGCACGGACGCGGCGTCGGCTCGGGCGCTGCTGCAACAAAGCTGCCATTCTGCCGCCGTCTCGCCCCTTGAGCACGTCGACACCGCGCCAGAGCGGTGGCGCGGCGCCGGCGGCCGCACGGCGGAGGGGCAGAACGGGTTCGCGCGACCGGCGGCGGTTTCGCGCGCGAACGCCGCCTTCCGCGCAGGTGGGGAGCCATGGAGATCATCCACGACGTGGACCAGCCGCGGCAGGAGACGCGGACGTGCCGCATCTGCAACGAGGTGGGCCACCTCGCGCGCAACTGCCCGCAGGCGCCGCCGCGCGAGGAGACGCGCAAGTGCCACATCTGCGGCGAGGTGGGCCACATCGCGCGCTACTGCCCCGAGAACACGGGCGACGGCGGCGCCCGCCGCGAGACGCGGAAGTGCCACGTCTGCGGCGAGGTCGGCCACCTCGCGCGCAACTGCCCCAACGCCGAGGACGGCGGCGACTACGACGGCGGCGAGGGCGGCGGCGGCCGGCGCCGCAAGGGCGCCGGCGGGCGGCGCTGCTTCAACTGCGGCCAGGTCGGCCACCTCAGCGCGGACTGCGACCTGCCCGCTGGCAACACCGCCTGCTACAACTGCGGCCAGCAGGGCCACAAGTCGTCCGAGTGCCCGAACTAGGCGCTCACCGAGGCCGCGGGAGCTCTTCCCGGCGGCGCTTGACGAGGCGCGACGTCCTCGTGGGGGTATACCTTAGAAGTGGCGACTAGAGGTGAATTCTCTGTTGCGACCGCTCCGCCTTCACCGTGGATTGATGGTGGGGCCGCGCGCGCGGTTGCCACGCCGGCCAGCTGCCTCGTGCGACGCGTCCGATGGTGACTTATGGGGTGTGATCTAGGTCGCAAAGCCCGCCACAGCGTGCGGGGCGTTCGTGAGAAACCCACTAGGGGTCCAAACACAAAGTGTTGTGCTGGCTTTTGGGCAGCCCCACAGCTCGGCCGCGGCGCCCAAGCCCGACTCCAGAACGGTTTAGGAGTGCATCGATCAGCACTGCGCGGGGCGCAACACGTACGTGCGTCTCACCCTGGGCAGCTCACTTGCCACAGCCCCCAAGCAGCCTTACCCATGGGCGGCAGCGCCTCGTCGCCCGAGGCGCGCGTGAGCCGCGACTATCGACGAAGGGAGGCCGAGCGCGCGCGGCGGATCATGGACCCCAGGCGCTACGGTTCCCCGGACGAGCTGCCCGAGACGGAGTCCGCGCCGCCCGTCCGCACGCCACAACCGTCGGCGCCGGCGCCGATCTCGCCCAAGGTCGCGCCGCAACCGGAGCAGCCGGCGCCGCCGCAACCGGAGCAGCCGGCGCCGCCGCAGCCGGCGCCCAGTGGCATGGTCCTGATCGCGCTGCAGGTTCCCCCCGGCTGCCAGCCAGAACAAATCATCTCGGCCCAGCACAACGGGCAGACGATCCAGGTCGCCTGTCCGCCCGGATTCCCGCCCGGCGCGACGTTCCAGGTCCAGGTGCCCGCGGCGCAGCCCGTACTAGCCCAAGTAGTAACGACATAGTGTAGAAACCGCTCTTAAGGGTGGGGGGGAGAGGCTTCTACTGCGTCTACGACTCAGACCCGCGACCAAGACTGAGTATATATAGTCACACTTAGGATGAGCCGTCACACGCGCGCGCCTCGCGCGGGCCCTTCGCACCTTCACGCGGCTTCCTCCCCGCGCGGCGGCGGCGGCACGGCCGACGACGCGGCCGGCGCGTTGTGGAGGAGCGGCGCGTTGTTGTGCATGTTCACTAACGCGCCGAAGGGAACCGCCAAGGCAGCCACGATGAGCGGGCGGGTGCGCTCGCCGGTGCGGAGGGTGCGCACGGCGGCCGCCGCAAAGTCAATGAACGCGAAGCCGGGGAACGCATACGACTCCCAATCCTTGGGGGTCTCCATCTCCCTGAGCCACTCTTGCGTGCCGTCGAGAAATCCATGCAGCAGCACGCCCGAGAACACGGCGATGACGAGCCATAAGATGGTAAAGAAGACCGTCCGGACGTGTGACGGGTCCCTTAGTTGGACCGCGCAGGTGGCTTGATGCCGGGCGCAGCCAACCCCGCTCTCGACCACGGCGACGGCCACCTGGGCACCGCCCGCCAACATTGCCCGTGTCTCGTCGCTGTACTCAGGAGACGACGCCATCGGCGGCGTGGAGCTCGTCGGGTGCGCGAGGCCGTCGCTGCCGTCGCAGCGTGTTGTGGACTGTGGGCGCGCTAATGCAGTGTGCGGCGCGCAGCGGTGCGCAGAGCGCGTAGTTTCGACGCGCAGGCGCTGACAGCAGTGCGTGGAAGTCACAGGACGTCCAGATCCTGCGCTCAGTCCTTTATTGCAGCGTATAAGCGCTGCAAAGCCAGGAGGAGGCGCTGCCTTTTTTTAAATTCTCTCAAAAGACTCGCACGGGCGCGGAAAGTTGCCTGGCATGTCTGCGACTGCGTGTGAGATGGGTGGACTCGTGCAGCAGGTGGCTTGTCATCGTCCGGGTTTCGCTCTCGATAGCTTAGCCAAGCAAAAACGACCGTGGCCATTCGTGCTCCAGCACAGCTCTAAGATAGCCGTTGCTAGCGTGGATACCACAGCACAGCAGAGCGTGCGCCAGAAGTAGCTCTGCACACGCGTCTGTGTTGGTGCTCACCCAAAGGGCTGCAGCAGCCGCGGCGCCATGCCCAAACGCAAGACGCCGACGGACAGCGAGGCCGCGGAGCGCCAGAAACTCGTGAACCGCTACGTCGGGAAAGAATTCGACGACGACGACGAGGACGAGGGCGAGCGCAAGGTAGTCGGTATCGAGAAGGAGGACGGCGATTGGATGGCCGTCACGGTGCTCGTCGTCGGCGAGGGCAACGAGCAGCCCTACCTCGTGAACGAGTCGCTCGACGAGATGATTGATGCGCACAAGAAGACGCAGGACAAGGACAACGACTCGGACTTCGAAAGACCGGGGGAGGAATCGGACGCCGTGTGCGTCGGGCTCGGTCTGTTAGATTTTGACGAAGTCCCTCCAAGTTCGCCTTATCGAGATGCTGAGAAGATGTTTAGAAACAAGGCGTTCAAGCCCTGGCCGCGCGGTTTTGCGCTCAAAGGGCGGCTTGCTGAGCTCACCCCGGGAGACAAATTTGTGAAGGATCGGATATGCCGCTCTCCAAGCGCTGTCCAAGCGCCGCCGCGAGGACGAGGACGAAGTCGACGAGGAGGCCGCGGCGCGGCCGCCGCGGCGGCGGCGGCGGGGCCAGCGCGACGACGAGCACGAGGCCTGAGTGTGTCGCGTCGTAGCGGGGCCGCGGCGTCGCGCGCAGCCCTAGAATAATTAAAAGAACTCGAAAGAATCTGTTTACTCCGAGAGAGTGTAGCTACTTATGACTTGGTGCGAGCAGTTGTCACGCTTAACGAGGCAAGCCAGGCTTCGGGGCAATGAGTGGACCCGTGCGCAATTCGACAGGGACTTCAGCAACGGCGCCAAGGAACCACTCTCGCGTTCGTAGGTAGACACATCATACGCGTAGACCGGCTGCGCCTCCTGCCATCTTCTTAAATCATCGTGGGACCCTCCCCGCAGCGGTTCCCCCCCATGTCGACACTCACGCCCGCGGCCGTCACGCGCGACTCGGCGTCGTTCATGGCCTTCTCGAGCTTCTCCAGGAGGTGGTCCCGGTAGGCGTCGAAGGGCTCGCCCCACTCGACGACCATCCTGTCTTCCACGACCCAGAGCCGCATGTTCGTCGCTTCGATCAGCCGCGCGTCGTGCGTCACGCAGATCACGCCCCCATCATACCCGTTGATGGCGTCGCATAGCGCGTCGATCGTCTCGATGTCCAGGTTGTTCGTCGGCTCGTCCAACAGAAGCATGTGCGGCGCGGCCAGCGACAGCTCACACAGCACCACGCGCGCCTTCTGGCCCCCGCTCAGGTCGCGCATGGCAATCGTGTGCGCGTGGCCCTGCAGGCCGTACCTTCCTAACATGTTCCTTATACTTTGATACGTCTCGTCTTCAAACAATCTCCGCAGGTAGTCGACGGGCGACTCGTCCATCGGTAGGCGCTCGACGAAGTGCTGATTATATACGCCTATGCGGAGCTTCGGGTTCCGCTTCACGTCGCCGTCCGTGCATTGCAGCTTGCCCGTCAACAAATTTAATAAAGTCGTCTTCCCGCTACCATTATTCCCGACGACACAAATCCTCGAGTCCTGGTCGATGCCAAAATTCATGTCCGTGAAGATGAGCGGGAGTTGCGGCGCGTATCGAAACTGCGCGTCGATAACTTGCAAAACGGGCGGCGCCAATCGAGGCACGGGCGGGAACTCCATCTCGACCGCATACTCCTTGGGCCGCTCGATGAGCGTCGTGACGTCGGCCGACGCTTGGCCGGAAGCGATGGCCTGCTGCTTCTTCTTGTCCTTCGGTTCGCGCTTACTCCGACTATTCTTCATGAGCTCCTCGGCCTTCTTCTTCGAGTTGCCGCCCTTGCCCTTCAGGGCCTTGAGCTGCTTCTCCTGCTTCTCCCAGGCCTTTTGCTGCTGGTTCCGCTTCTGCCGTTCGAGGGCCTTAAACGTGTCGTAGTTGCCCCGGTAGTGGTCGAGCGTCCGCTGCTCCGAGATGTGCAGCGTCTCGTCACACACCGAATTCAAGAAGTCCTGGTCGTGCGACACGACCAATATGGTATGCTTGTATTTTTGCAAGTAATCATCCAGCCAAATGACGGCGTTCAAGTCCAAGTGATTCGTCGGCTCGTCGAGCATCAGCAAAATAGGCTCCATGAAGAGCGCCCGCGCCAAGGAGATGCGCATGCGCCAGCCGCCGGAAAACAGCTTCGTGGCCCGCACTTGCATCTCCGGCGAGAAGCCCAGCCCGAACAGGATCCGCCGCGCCTTCGCGTCGGCCGCGGACGCGCCGATGGCCTTGAGTTCCTCGCCGACGACCCGCAATCGGTCCGTCGCCTCGGCCTGGGCGGCGCCCGCGAGCGTCTCGAGCTTTTTCGTTAATGAAACCTCCTCGGCCATCAACGCCGTCCGCTCGACGTCGGCCTTCAGGACCGCGTCCACCGCGGTCGTGTCGTCGGCCTGGACCTCCTGCTCCACGTATAAACACTGCACGCGCGGCGGCACCCGCAAGTCGCCGGACGCGATCATCTTCAGGAGCGTCGTCTTCCCGCGGCCGTTCGGGCCGACGATGCCGTACCGCCGCCCGTGCGCAATTAATAAAGACGAGTTCTCGAAGAGCGTCTTGCCCGCGGCGGAGATCGTGAAGGAGTCGATCTTGACGTCTAGCGCGTTGAGCCAGGCCGCGTCATTTTCATCAATTGCGGATTGCGAACAGGCGAACTGCGCGCCCTCGAGCGAGGCCTGCTCCTTCGCGGCGTAGGCCTCGGCGGCCCGTTTCCGGGACGCGTAGTCCTTCTCGAGCTTGCGCCGGGCCTTGCTCGACAGGGCCTGGCCGTCGTTCGCCCTCACGGCGTTCGCGAGACACGCCTCGAACGTCGCCTCGACGCGCGGCCCCCGCCCGTGGTGGTCGTTCGAGTCGTCGCGCCACGCGTCGTCGCCGCCCAGCAACCCGCCCTGGGCCGCCAGGGCCGCGTCCGTGTCCACGTCCTTGTCGGCGTCCGCGGCCTTCCGCTTCTTTGCCTCGTCGAGCGCTTCGAGCTTCTTCTCGTACTTGGCTATTTTGGCTTCGTACTTCGCGGCGTCCTCGGCACTCGCCTTCTTGAGCTTCTTGCGGTACTTGTCGAGCGACGCCTTGAGTTGGTCGGCGTCGCCGTTGTCCTCGTCCCTCTCCTCGGCCGCGGCCATGGCCGCCGCGAAGGCGTCGGTCTTCTTGCCGCCCCCGAAGAGCTTTTTTGGAGGCGCCGCGGCGACGGCCGGCGCCGGCGCCGGCGCCGCGACGGCGTCCTCCGCCTCCGCGCCGGGCGCCGCCTTCGCGCGCCGCCGCTCGGCCTTGCTCATCTTCTTCTTCGTTTTCACCTGGGGTTCCTCTACCACCGTCTCCTCCGCCACCGTCTCCGCCTCGTCGTCGTCCTCCTCCTCGTCCTCGGACGGCTCGTCCGCCAGCATCGCCGCCATCGCCGCCGCGCGCCGCGCCGCCTTCTTGTCCTTCTTCCGCCGCGGCGCCGGCGCCGCCACTTCTACCTCTTCCTCCTCCTCCTCATCCTCCTCCTCTGGTGGAGGCGGCGGCGCCGCGGGCTCGGGCTCGGGCTCGGGCTCCGCGCGGCCGGCCTTCTTGGCGAGCTTCTGCTTGCGCAGCTGCGCCCGGCTCAGCTTCTTGGGCGCGTCGTCGGCCGGCGCCGGCGCCGGCGCCTCGTCCTCGGAGCTGTCGCCGCGGAACCGCCCGCCCTTCTTCTGTTTCCGGGCCGGCGGCGGCGGCGGCGGCGGCGCGGCGGGCGCGTCGTCGTCCTCGGCGGCGGCGGCGGCGCCCTTCGCCTGCCGGCCCTTCTTCTTCTTCGGCGCCTTCTTCGCGGGCACCGCGACGGCGGCGTCGTCGCCGCCGCCCGCGGCCAGCGCGGCCTGGATGGGGTCGACGAAGTCGTCGTCGTCGGACGAGTCCTGCTGCCGGCGGCCCTTCTTGCCCTTGGCCTTGCCCATAGTGCTTTGCGGCTCCTTTGCGTAGCAAGCGGCTGCAGCTCGTCTGCTCGCACTGCAAAGCTCTCGCTGCTGCGCTGCAGTGCTACTAGCGTTCCTCGTCCCTCGCAGAGCGGCCAACGTGCTACACCGTATGTGCAAACGCGTACACGCGTATAGCGTCGTCCGAAATGCTATATATTACACCGCGTAGCTGTAGAGCTACAAAAAATGCGTCGCTTTAGGGCTGGCTAGTGTCTTACAGGCCACTAGCGGATTCTCGCCCTGAAGCCGCGCCCCGGGGACAGTATCTCCTCAGACTGGCTCATTGCCGAACTGTGGCACCTATTAATCGCTCAGAAAAACCGTACATCAATGATATTGCGCCGCGTGCGGACCTATGCATAGCGATCTTCGAATTATCTATCAAAAAGGGGGTTCCAGAGATGCCGCCGGCTTAAAAGAAGAGCTTTCCTCTCTCTTACCTTTTACCCCCTATTCGTACCTTACCTCTTGACACTGGTACCTTACCTCTTGACGTGGGTACATTTCGCTATCACACTGACTGTGCCCTTCTCCTGTTCGCCCCTGCCAAAAAAAACGCAACGCAACCATGGTCGCCCACAAAGGCAAGCAACGCGTGCCGCCGTCCGGCCCCCACCCGCCCCCCGCGGCAACGGCACCTCGGTGCCGCCGCGTCAACAAACGCACGAACGCACGTGGCCCGGGGGCAGCCCCCGGTCGCGCGCCGCGGCAGCGCCGCCCCGACGAGCGGGGGAACGCGTTCGATGATTGACCGCGCGCGCCGCGGCACCGCCGCCCCGACGAGCGGGGGAACGCGTTCGATGATTGACCGCGCGCGCCCCGCCCGCAGTGCTATGCCACTCCAACGCCCACACGGAGCCGCGCCCGATGGCCACGGCGAACACGTACGTGAACGTCAAGCGCGTCTTCAACACGCAGCCCGAGGTCATGGGCTTCGTGATCAACGTCGGCGAGGTCGTCAACGCGCGCATGATGACGCGGCCGCTCATGACCGTGCTGCTGTCAATTCAGGCTGGACTCCTCTTGAGCTTCGGCGTCATGATGTCCTGCCAGGTCGGCGGCCGCTGGGGCTCGTCGACGGGCGTCAACAACTTCGTCTTCGCCGGCTTCGGCATCCCCTTCGGCCTCACGTTCATCGTGCTCTGCCAGGGCTGCGAGCTCATCACGGCGAACTACATGTTCTGCACCTTCGCCTGCCTCGCGGCCAAGCCCGAGGACCGCGCGGCCGAGATCAAGGCCACGCTCATTAACTGGGTCGTCTGCTGGACCTTCAACCTGCTCGGCGCGATCCTCCACTTCGTCGTCTTCGCGTGGCAGACGGGCCTCATCATGACGGTCGCCGTCGACAACAAGAACTACGCGGACAGCGGCGGCGCGCTCGAGAACAACAACAAGATCTTCTACGAGAACTCGGCGGCCTTCCAGGAGCACTTCAACAACGGCGACTTCTGCTCGACGGGCAGCAACAAGTACGGCAACATCTGCAAGCTCATCAAGGCCGCCAAGGCCAAGTGCACGCAGCACTTCGGCACGGCGCTCATCCGCGGCGCGGGCTGCAACTGGATGGTCTGCCTCGCCATCTGGCTCCAGATGATCGCGACCGAGCCCATCTCCAAGTTCATCATGATCTGGCTGCCCATCGAGCTCTTCATCTCGTCGGGCTTCGACCACCTCGTCGTCAACGAGTTCCTCATCCCGGGCGGCATCATCGTCGGCGGCTCGTACATCGACAGCCGCGTGAACTTCCTCAACGCCTTCTGGAACAACTTCATCCCCGTGACCATCGGGTCCGTCATCGGCGCCTGGTTCCTCGTCTTCCCCTTCTGGCTCGTCAACAAGGACGGCTGGGAGGCCAAGCTCAAGCGCGAGGCCGAGGCCGCCGGCGCGCCGGCCGAGAAGCTCACCGAGGCCTAGGCCCTGTCCGTTCGCGGGTGCCGGCGCGCGGCCCTGTCCATTTTTCTTTCCCGCGCGCCGCCCGCCTTGTGTCCATACCCTGTGCATACTACTTCAGTAGATTTAAGTTGTTTATACTATGGACAGACTACTATGGACAGGGGTATGCACAGGGATTTCCACAAGAGCCTCAGTCCCGCTTCTTGTGGATGGGCACGACGGCCTCGCCGTAGGTGTTCGCGCAGGTCGTGGCCTTGGCGGAGATGCACCCGTAGACGAGCGACGCGAACGTCGCCGCGACGTGGTGGTCCGCCACGGCGGCGCCCTCCGCGCGGAAGGCGAAGGCCCGGAACGCGGGCATCATGACGACGTAGACGAGCGCCATGCAGAGGCAGGTGCAGAGCACCGCGTAGAGCTGGTACAGGACGACGAGCTCCTGCTTCGTGCAGCGCAGCAGCCGCCAGCCGCAGGCGCCCGTGAAGGCGGCCAGCGCGAGGACGCCCAGTTCCGCGGCCAGGCCCATGGCCACGGGCTTCTCCACGACCAGGAAGCCGGTGCAGAGGACCGCCGCCACGGACTGCGTCCGGTACCACTTGCGGAAGGCGGCCTCGGCTGCCCCCGACATCGCTGCGATCCGAGGCGGCCCGTCGACCACTATGCGGCGGCGCGCTCGCTGCGGCCCGGGCAGCTGTAAAATACACACGATGTGGCTCCCCAAGTTGACGCTCGGGTTTGAAGGGGGCTGGAGCCTGGAGGGGGGATGGGGGGGGGGGGGGGTTCGAGACATCGGCTACTTTATCGATTGATCATAATAAACATTGGTTATATGGGGTATGTGTACAACACGGGCTCCGGAGCGCGGCCGCCTCGACGGAGCGAGATATGAACAATAGGCGCGGAATGCGCGGATATGAACAGGGAGATGTGCGGCTAGTCGGCGAAGACGACCGTCTTGTTGCCGTAGACGATGATCCGGTCGTCGAGGTGCGCGCGCAGCGCGGCGAGGAGGACGACGCGCTCGACGCCGCGGCCCTTCCGCAGCAGGTCGTCGACCGTGTCGCGGTGCGAGACGCGCTCCGTGCCCTGCTCGATGATCGGGCCCTCGTCGAGGTTCGCGGTCGCGTAGTGCGCCGTCGCGCCGATGAGCTTGACGCCGCGCTCGTGCGCGCGGTGGTAGGGCTTCGAGCCGATGAAGGCCGGGAGGAACGAGTGGTGGATGTTGATCACGCGGCACGGGTAGGTCGCGCAGAACTCGTCGGAGATGATCTGCATGTACCGCGCGAGGACCACGAGGTCGATCTCGAGCTCCTCCATGAGCCGGATCTCCGCGTTCTCGACCTCGCGCTTCGTGGCCTTCGTGACTTTAAATACCTCGAAGCGCACGCCGAACGCGTCGGCGACCGGCTTGAGGTCGGCGTGGTTCGAGATGATGAGGGGGATGTCGCAGGGGAGCTCGCCGGCCTTGTGGCGCAGGAGGATCTCCCAGAGCACGTGGTCGTACTTCGAGACGAAGACGCACAGTCTCTTGGGCCGCGTGCCCCACTCGAGCTGGTACTCGAGCTCGAGGCGGCCGCAGACCTCGTCGAGCGCCCGTTGCAAGCTCTCCTGGCTGCAGCGCATCGCCGACCTGTGCGTGAGAACCATCGTGGAGACGCGGTCGCGGGGCGCCCGAACGTCGATGTCCGCGCGGCCGCCGACCAGTCGAAGACGGCGCGCTGGAAGTAGCCGCCCAGTTCCCGGTCGCGGTGCTGCTCCGAGTGCTCGACGACGCAGCCGTGGGAGTTGAGGAGCTCGGCCATGGCCATGTTGACGTTCACGGACTCGCGGCCGAGCACGCGGAGCGTGGCCTTGGGCGCGGCGGTGTTCTTCGCCGGGGACGGCGCCGGGTCCCAGTCGTTCGTGGCGTAGAAGTTTTCGCTGGCGACGGACGTGCCGCCGGACCGGACGGAGTGGCGCGAGTCGTCCATGCTGGCCGCGGCCAGGGGGCCCAGCAGCGCCGCGGCCATGGGACGCGGCGCGGCCGGGGCGCCGGGGCGCGGGGCAGCGGCGGCGGCAGCACGTTCGCTGCCGGTGGGACGCACGGCGGCGGCGGCAGCACGTTCGCTGCCGATGGGAAATACGGCGGCCGCGAAGAGTTAGGAGGGTGCAGCAAACACAAAAAGGTGGAAAATTGACGACCACTAGCTATTTGTTACCTCTGCTCTACCGCGTCCCGGCGGGCCGCCCGGCGACGCCTCCGCAGGGCTCCGCCCTCGCACTCGGCTTCATCTCTGAGTCAAGCGGCATACTAGCAAGCTCTCACAAGGCCGAGGGGCAGCCCTCGCAGGCATCCTCGCGCGGAGTCGAAGCGCTGCGCGCCTCCGGACCGTCCTCTTGGGCGCCGGGCGCGACCACCGGGCGGCGCACGGTTCAACGGGACGATGGGCTCGATGGAGGCCAGGGGGGCGGAGCAGCTGGAGGCGGGCAGCCCGCGCCGCGCGGAACCGGCGTCGCGGCTCACGATGGAGGCCAAATCGGGGGAGGGCAGCCCGCGCCGCGCGGAGCCGGAATCGCCGCGGCGGCACTCGCCGCGGCGGCACTCGCCGTGGGGCTTTGCCAAGGCGCTGGGAGTGCGCGACCACGAGGCGCGGTTCGTCCCCTACGATCCGTGGCTCGGCGCCGCCGTGGGAGCTCGCGGGCCTCGCCGCGCTGAGCGCGCTCGCGTACGGCGCCGCGTGCCTGACGCCGCTGGCGCACGGCGGCCTGCTCGCGCCGCGCGCGGGCCCGGGCTGGGCCATCTTCTGCGTCTGGCTGTTCGCGTCGGCGACGGGCCGCGCGCTCGCGTGGCTGGGCTGCCGCCGCTCGCGGGCCAGCTCCTGGGCGGCGCGCTCGCGCGGAACTCGCGCGCGTTCCGCGGCGCGGCCCTGACGCACGCGTACAAGGCGACGATCCGCGCGGCGGGGCTCGGCACGATCATGACGCGGTCGGGCCTCGAGCTGGACGTGGGCGCGATCCGGCGCGCGGGGCGCGTGGCCGCGCGGCTCACGGTGCTGCCCGGCGTGTCGGAGGCGCTGGCCGTCGCCCTTTTCGCCCGGTGGGTCTTCGAGCTGCCGTTCGTGCTCGCGCTGGCGCTCGGGTTCATCCTGGCCGCGGTCTCGCCGGCCGTCGTCCTCGTCTACGTCTTCGAGCCCGACCGCCTGGAGCTGGTCGACAACGAGCGGTGGCTCCGCGGCGACTGGCGGTCCGTGACGCTCGTCCGGACCCGCGACGACTGGGAGCCGGCGCCGGCACCGCCACGGGCGGCGCGGGTCGCTGCGACCGCCGCGGCGCGCCGATCCGCGGCGCCCCCGGCAAGTATGTAATAAATTGTCAAGTCCCGCCCAGGAAACTTACCCGGAGGCTTCTAGGTTAGTCGCGCAGGGTCGCGAGCGCGCTGACGGCCTGCGCCCAGGCCAGCGCGCGCGACGGACCAAAAGCGCCGCGCGCAAGGACGTGGAGCGCCCAGGCCACGTAGGGCGCCGCCCGGGGGGGGCGGCGCCGCGCGAGCACGAGCGCGTAGGCCAGCACCAGCGCCTCGTTCGCGTCGAGCTGGAGGAGCGCGCAGCGCGCGCCGGCGGCCGCGACGAAGAGCGCGGCCGGCGCGACCAGCCGCGCGGCCGCCGCCAGGGGGTAGGGCAGCCGCGCCGCGTCCGCGCCGGGCTCGGCCGGCCGCGCGCCGGGGACGCGCCGCCGCCGCCGCCGCGCCCGGTCCTTCTCCGCGCCGCGGCGGTCGAGGTCGCCGAAGACAAGCGCCGCCCAGAGCGCCGCCGGCGCCCAGTACGGCCCGGCCTCGACCAGGACCGCGCGGTCCGCGCCCCAGATGAGGAAGGGCGCCAGCAGCCGGAGGCCCGTGGCGGGCGCGCCCCGCGCCTCGGCGAGCGCCGCCGCGTGCACGGCGACGACGCAGGCCCACGCGCGGGCGGCGAGCGCGCGCGGGTCGCGCGCGGCCGCCGCCGCGCGCCCCGCCGCGACGAGCCACCGCGGCGGCGGCGCCGGCGCCGGCGGCGCCGGCGGCGCGCGCGACGGCGACGGCTCGCGCACGCGCCGCGCCGCGTCGAGGTGGAGGCCCGGCGGCGCCGCCAGGGCGCGCGGCGGCGGCGACGGCGGGCGCGCCGGCCGCGCGGGCGCCGCGCGCGGCGCGGGCCGCGGCGCGCGGGGCGCGGGCGCCGGCACGCGGCGCGGCGCGGCGCTCGCCGGCGTCGCCCGGCGCGCCGGCGCCGGCGTCGACGGCGTCGACGGCGTCGACGGCGTCGAGGACGAGGGGCCGCGGCCGCGGCGCGGCGGCGGCGCGCGCGCGCGCGCGGAACGACGGCGGCGGCGGCGGCGACGGGACGACATGCGGCGGCGGCGCGGCCGCCGCCGGCGCGGCCGGCGCGCGCGGCGGCGACGGCGGCGGCGGCGGGGCGGCCGGCCGCGCGGGCGGCCCGGGCCGCCGGTCGCGGCGCGCCTCGAGGCCCGGCGCCGGCGCCGCCGGCGCCGACCCCGCCGCCGGGGCCGCGTCCCACGACGCCGCCGACGACGTCGCGAGCGCGCGGCCCTTGGCGTCCTCCTCCGCGAGCGCGCGCAGCGCGGCGGCGGCGGCCGCCGCCGCCGTCGTCATGCGCTCGTTGTGGTGCCGCCACGCGTCGCCGCGGTCGCCGAGGCCGGCGCCGGGGGCCCCGGACGCCGACCCCAGGCGCGGCCGCCGCGGGTCGAGGCCCGGCGGGCCCGCGCCGCGCGGCGCGGCGGCCGCCGCGCCGAGCTGGCTCGGGCTCAGCAGCCCGCCGCCGGCGAAGGCCGGCGGCGGCGCGTCGGCCGACTGCGCGCGCCGCGCGCGCGGCTCGGGCTCCGTGGGCCGGAACTCCCGGGCCCCGGGGTTGATGCCCGACATGCTCTGCATCGACTCGTCGTCCTCGAAGAGGCCGCCGGGGATGAAGAAGTCGCTGTCCATCGTGGCTGCTCGCGTCCGGTGCGAGTATTTTACGCCAGCACGCACGAGCTGTCCGTCGCAGCTCTCTACGTTTACTGCCCCAAGCGCCCGGATCGACGATGGGCTAAATGCTGAAATAAATAAAATAGACTATAAAGGAAAACCCGTTTTTTTTGGCTTCGGATTTAGAGGAAGTCTCCCGCGCTTAGGAAATCCCGCGTGGGCTAGCGGCCTGTAAGACACTATCTCGCTAGGAAGTTAGTAGAGCTTGAGGTGCCTCGTGAGCGGGTCCAGCACGCGGACGGGCGCGGGCCCGACGGCGAGCACGGTCCGCGATCCGGGCGCGACCTGCGTCCGGCCCGCGTCCTCGACGAGGTACGACACGACGCCCGCCGCCGCGAGCCGCGCGCGCAGCTCGAGCAGCTCCGCCTCGGCGGGCACCTTGACGCAGACCTTGGCCTGGCCCGTCGCGGCCCACCAGCGGAGCGCCGCCGGCGCCCGGCGCTGCGCGCGCCGGTAGCAGCCCAGCACCGCGTGGCAGCACTGCGCCGCGGCCTTGCCGGGCTTCATCTTCGTCCGGTTGCCGGCCTCGTCGCGCAGGTCGCAGTTGATGCAGAGCAGCATCTTGTACGGCGCGTCGCGCAGGCCCCAGCGGGCCCCCGCCACGAGCGGCGCGCCCTCCTCGTCGTCCGACGCGTCGTCGTCCGAGTCGAGCGCCTTCGGGACGCGCCGCGCGGCGCGCTGGCAGACCAGGACGGCCGCGACGCCGGCGGCGAAGCCGACGGCCGCGACGCCGCCGAGGAGGCCCGCGAAGTAGCCGAAGCCGAGCTTCTCGCCCGCCGGCTGGGCCATGGCTCCTACGGTGCCTCGCAAATCAACGAGCTCGCACAGTTATTAACGATGGGTACAGCGATGGCCTGCCAGTAGCCAGCGCAGAAATGCCGAATGGGTCAAGGTATTTGCAGGTCTCAATTTCTTACCTCCTGCATGCCAAGGCGGCGCCCAAAAGTGCCACGTGCCTTGTTGCCGAGGATCCCTTGCTTGACAACTACAAAAGTGCCAGGGCTCGTCTGGCTAGTGTCTCACACCGCTAGCCCGGACAGTGTGGCTCTGCTTAGAGGGAGGTACGCTGTTATGAAAGAAGCGGCCCGCGCCCGCCGCCGATGAATCGGCGACGCGCGGTGTCTCCCCCCCAGCCCTGGGCAGGGGCTCCGCCCACTAGTCCTAGCACCGTAACAATGGAGTTCCGGGCATCCGCCACTAGTGCACCGTAACAATAGAATGGTGATTGCAGCGCTCGACTTACACGGACACGGAGGTCTTGCGCGTGCCCGTCGAGCCGCGCTGGGACGCGCACGCTGCGCAGAACCAGTCGCCCTCGGGCACCCCGTCGAGGCCGAGGCAGTACGTGTGCGCCGCGCCGGCCTCGCAGCCGTCACAGAGGACCAGGGACGCCTCGTCGTCGCGGCGGCCGCACACGCCGCACGCCTCGTCCACCAGCGCGCCGAGCTGCCGCTCGACGTCCGCCTCCGTCGCGAAGCGCCAGTTCACCGCGTACGCCGCCGCCGCGAGGCACAGCGTGCCGCGCTTCCGCTCGCAGTTCTCGAACGCCACGTCGAAGTCGCGCTTCTTCGCCGCGGCGCCGCTCGGGGGCACCTTCTTGACCACGCAGAGCACCTGCGGGGACGTGACGGAGACTCGTATCCTTCGGGGGGTGGGGCCTGAAATCCGAGACGCGGGCGCGGACGTGCTCGGCCTCGAGCGGGTCGACGTCGTTGTGCCGCTGGAGGAGCCGGTCGCCGACGACGGGCCAGCGCGGCATCGTCTTCGCCCGCGCGGCGTCGGCCGCGACGGGCGGCCGCCGCTTCGGCGCGCACACGAGGTCGGCGTCGTCGTCCGCCGGCGCCGGCCGCGCGCGCTTCTTCTTCGGCGCCGGCCGCCGCTTCGGCGCCGCGGGCCGCGCGCACGCGTCGCAGCGCCACGCGTCCGGCACGGCGCCGAGCTCGAGGCAGTACGTGTGCGCCGCGCCCGCGTCGCAGTCGTCGCAGAGCACGAGCTGCGCCTCGTCGTCGCCCGACCCGCAGACCTGGCAGACCACGTCCTCGAGGGCGAGCGCCTTGGCCGCGTCACACGCCTCGGCCGCGCGCGCCGCCTCGCGCGCGGCCTCGCCCACCGAGGCGAAGCGCCAGCGCGCGCCGAAGGACCGCCGCCGGACCTCGAGGTGGCCCGTCGCCTCGTCGCAGTTGAACCAGGCGCACCTGATGTCCGCGGTCTGGCCCCGGACCTGGACCCGCGTCACCCGCCCCAGCACCTTCTCGGCCTCGAGCGGCGCGTCGTCGTTGTGCCGGTGCGCCAGGAAGTCGCCGACGCGAGGCATCCGCGGGCACGCCGCCGCGCCGAGTCCGCGCGCCACCGGCGTCGCCACCACCGCCGCGTCGTCGTCGTCGTCGTCGTCGCTGCTATCCCACGACGACGACGGCGAAGGGGACGGCGCCCGGGCCGGCGGCGGCGCGGCGGGGCCCTCGTCGTCGCTCTCGCCGCTCGACGACGACGAGGGGGACGGCGGCGGCCGCGGCCGCGACGCGCGGGCCGCGGGCGGCGGCGCGGCCGCGGCGGGGGCCTCGTCGTCGCTGTCGCTGTCGCTTTCGCTTTCGCTTTCGCTCGACGACGGGGACGGCGGCGGCGGCGGCGGTGCGCGGGCCGGCGGCGCGCGGGCCGGCGGCGCGGCCGCCGGGGGCTCCGTCTCGTCCCATTCGTCGTCGTCGCTCGTGTCGCCGGCGGACGGCGGGACCGCCGGCCGCGGCGGCGCGCGAGCCGGCGCCTCGGCGGCGTCCTCGCCGTCGCTGTCGCCGGCGGACGGCGGTGGCGCGCGGACGGGCGGCGCCCGGGCCTCGGACGGCGGCGCTACCGGCTGCGGCGCCGGCCGCGCCTCGACCAGCGTATCGTGGAGCTGCGTCGGCTCCGGCGAATCGAACCGCCGGGGGTTCTGTATGAACATGGACTGGAGAGGCTTCGTCGGCCGCGGCGCGGGCCGCGGCCGCGACGGTTTCCGCAGCGGCTGGAACTTCTTCATCAGCTAGCACCGCAAGCCCGAGCTCGAGGCTTTTTGTGCGGCGCCAATACGAGCGTGAATGATCTTACACTGAACTAAGGCTCTAGAGCGGGTTACCGACGCGTCGCGATGGCTTCGACGCCTCGGGGAAGGCCCCGCGATGTCCTCAGTCCCACGTCGCCGCCTACAAGCTCGCAAATGGGCTCGATACCCCCAGCAACAGACGCCTAGACGTCCGGTAGGCCTCTGGAACGAAGGGGCCCTCCCAACCCCATCATGGACGAAAACTTTTGCTCCACACGTGCGTTTGGCGTCAAAAGTGTCAAGGACTCAACTTAGCCAGTCACCGATCTCCGCGGGCGGCGCGCGCGCGCAGCAGAGCGGCGGGCCGGCGGCGAGACCAGACCCAGCTCGCGCGCGCCACGGCTCCAGTCGCCGCCGACGGGATACCGAGGACGCCTCCGGCAACGTCAAGTTGAGATGGCCAGCTAGGCCGTCGTCGCGAAACCATTGCTACGCAGCCCGCCCGCCCGCCGGCGCTGGGCCGGGGGCTCCATGTACTCCATAACAGTGAAGGACCGCTGTGCCTACGCGCTCTCGCTCAAGCTGGGCAACGCGCCGCTCTTCCGCACGGGAGTCACCGCCCTGGTTGACGCGAAGCTCAGCGGTCCCGAGCTGGGCCCCGACGGCCTGCTCATCGACTTCGTGGCCGTGCAGCTGGCGCTGGGCGCGACGCTCGCGCCGCTCCAGAACGCGGACCTCGACCGGCTCCGGCCGTTCGCCGGCCGGCGCCCCGCGTCTCGAACGAATTGGCGCCCCCTCACCTCGTTCCCGCGCGCAGGCCGCAACGCGACGGCCGAGATCGTCGCCCAGTTCATCTGCGACGGGCTCCTCGCCAAGATCCGCGAGCTGCCGGGCCTGCCGCCCGTGCACGTGACCAGGGTCGAGATCACCGTGCGCACGTCGGACGTCGTGGCGGCCTCCTACGTCCGCGAGAACGGCATGGGGCTCATCTAGCGTCGCGCAAGATGTCGCGCCTTTTTGAGAACCCGCTCCCGTTGCGCGAGACGTCGCGCGCGCCCTTGTCGTATGACCCCACTAGAGTCCTACTAGCCCCCCTTGTGTCGCGTGACGACGAGTACCACCAAAACAACTAAATAAATAATATGGCTATTACAATGGTGGCCGGTGAGCGGCGGACTTATTCTGCGGCATTTTGATCGCGAGCTAGTGTCTTAAAAGTTAAAACGGGCCGGGCGGCGGGCGCCGCCGCTAGCCTAGCTGACACCTGCGCCGGCTTCCGGAGGAGCCATGCCTCCTTTATTCCGCCGTTTTTTACGTATGCGGGATCTCCTGGTGTGCGTTTTTTTCGCGTAAACCGGATGACCTTGGTCCCAAACGCAATTAGACCTGGCTAGGGGCGCCGGCTCACACCGAGTCGAGGTCCGAGTCGTCGAAGTCGCCGGCGGCCTTGGCCGCGGGCTCGTCCTTGGTGGGGGCGCCGCGCTTGAGCTTCTGCTGCATGAGCGCGTGGCCGGCGACGCCGATCTGGAGGTCGAAGTCGACGCACTCCTGGCGGATCGCCTTGAGGGCCTGCTTGATCTTGACGAGGGGCGACGTGTCCGTCATCGAGTTGCCGCGGTCGGCCATGGCGCCCTTGGCCTCGTCGAGCTGGTCCGTGATGCCCGCGAGCTCGCCCGAGAGCGCCGCGACGCGCTCCTCGGAGGCGCCCGAGCGCTTGGCCAGCGCGTCGAGCTCCTCGCGGAGCCGCGCGTACGCCGCCTTCTCGCGGTCGAACTTCGAGTTGATGTAGTTCTCCTTCGAGCGGAGCGTGTCCGAGGCGTCCGCCGCGGCGCGGCCGAGGTCGTCGAGCTGCGCGCGCGTCGGCGGGAACGTCGACCGGATGACGCCGGCCGACGCGCGCGTGAGGTCGACGTGCGCGCGCCACTCCTTGCCCGCCGCGCGCCGCTGCGCGAGGCGGAGCCGCGGGCCGACGCGCTCGAGCTCCGTCTTCCAGGCCACGCGGTCAACGTTGCTCTTCAGGATCTCGCGCTGCGCCGCGCGCTCCTCGGAGACCTCGGGCTCGTCGGCCGGCGCCTCGACGAAGAGGGCCTCGTCGTCCTCGCAGGCTTCAATATCGTCCTCGATCGCGTCGCCGACGTCCGCGTCCTCGTCCACGGGCAGCTCCTCCTCGCCCGCGTCGTCGTACTCCGGCCGCTGCCAGACGAAGTGCCGCGCGACGGCCTTTCCCGTCAAAAAGTCGAGCACGCCGACGCACGCGTCGCCGTGCGCCCGCTTGAGCTGCTGCGGCGGGAAGTCGGCGCCGAACTCGAGCTTCCGCAGCGCGAGCATGAGTTTATTGGTCGCCGTCGTCGGGTCGTCGAACTTGTCCACGGCAAACGCTTTACCGTCGCCCGTCGCGCGCTCCACGAGCCAGCCGCAGAGCTCGAGGAAGAGCGCGAACTGCACCGACGGGTTCGGCCCCGGCGCCGCGAACTCCCAGCGCGTGATGGGCTTCTGGTCGCGCGGCCGGGCGAAGCCGCCCGCGCAGTCCAGGAGCTGGAGCTTGTCGTAGACGTTCTCCATGACCACGTACGCGTGGCCGGGCGCGAGCGTCGCGTCCTCCGCGACGCGACGCCGCTCGCGCGGGCGCTCCGGCGGCGCGCCGTCGTCGTCCCGCCCCTCCATCGCGTCGTCGAGGCCCGGGGGCATCGTTCCGACCCGGGGTCAGGTTGGTGGCGCGGGAGGCCGCCGAGCGGCCACCGCGGCAGCGAGACTCGGGGGGGCAGCCCACGCGCGGCCGCAGAGCGACCAGAACTCCGGAGAGGGGGATGTCGCTGGGGCGATGCGCGCCAAGATCCGGCCGCCGATGCAGGGCCGGCGGGCAGCGGGGTTTGCCAAATTTAATTGCCGCTACCGGTTGGGACGACGACGGGTTTTTAGCCCCACCCCGCACGAACGTGCGTGCGGCGAGATTTACGTTCGGGTTCGGGTTCGGGTTTTACACGGCGCGCCCCGCTCCCCCCCCCCCCCCCCCCCCCGTCGCTAGCCTTAGCTTCTCTCCCGGAGAAGCGCCCCGGACCGGTGAACGTTATGAGCCCGCGTGCGCATCGGAAGCCGCCGGCCCGGTCCGCCCCTTTCCCGACCACGTCCATCCTCCCGCCGCACTCCACGGCGCGCCCCCGATGCGTCGTAGGAGTCGCCCCGACGTGCTTTTACGACGACCTAGCCGGGCGCGCTCCGGATCACGAGCGGGATGCCGAGCGCGAGCCGGACGAAGTCCAGGAGCTGGAGGACGGCCATGGCCGCGGCGAGCGCCTCGACGGCCGCGCGCGCGAGGGAGTGCGTCTGCGCCCCCACCGCGCCCGCGGGGGCCTCGTCCACCAGGAGGAACGCGGGGAACGACACGACGAAGTAGAGGCCGTAGAAGGCCGAGCCGACGGTGTAGGCCCGGCCCCGGTCCGCGAAGGTGTAGTAGGGGAAGCCCGAGATGGTCAGCGTCTCGGCGAAGGCCGTGAAGTAGGCCATCGCGAGCACCGCCGCGGCCCGGAGGGCCGCGCGCCGCGGCCCCGGGGCGTAGCCCGTCGCGATGAACCGCAGCGCGCAGTTCGAGAGGACGTGGTAGAAGCAGAAGTAGAAGTGCGTCGCGAAGAACATGCACCACGGCACGCCGTTGACGCGGTGCGCCGGCATGGTGTAGGCCGCGCCCAGGACGCTGTAGAAGTAGTGCGTGTACCAGTAGTTGCCCACCCAGCCGAAGATCGCGAGCCAGACGTTCGCCTTGAGCGCGTAGCGCTGCGCGAGCGGCCGGTCGGCCTCGCGCGTCAGCCCCGGGTATAAGAAGGGCTGGAGCGCCAGCGGCAGCGCGAGGCCGCCGCAGACCCCGAGGTACGTCCACGCCGTGAACCGCTCGTAGAGCCCGAGGCCGATGATGAGGGCGAACGCGCCGATCCAGACCGCGGCGTAGCGCAGGAACCAGAGTTCGGTGGCCCGCTTCGGCGCGTTCGTCCGCGGCGCGAGCCAGATGCCGCGCCCCGTGCGCGGCGTCGCGCGCTCCAGGGCGGCGAGGGCGGCGACCTGGGCGCCCAGGATGAGGGCCATGGTGCGCAGGACCGGCTCGACCATGGCAGCTGCGCTGCGCCCGCTCCCAGCTCAGTTCTACGAGTGGTTTGGAGCAATGAATGCGGCGCAGCACTTGGGTCGGCAGCCTGCAGTGCCTCGACTAGCTGAGTTAGAGAGTGCTGAGTGCACGCTGCTCCTGTAACAGTCGCTTAATCACACGCTCGCAGGCTTCAGCTCGGCTGCACCAAGAGTGACAGGCATTGCTCAGCCATCACAGAGCCATCAGTCGCAGCGCAGTCGCGGTGCCGGCTTAGGCCACATCTCGCTAAGCTCGGGTCGCAGTGCCGGCTTAGGCCACTCTCGCGAGGTCTGCGTTCCGGCGGCAGGGAGCACCAATGAAGCCGCGCATCCTGCTCGCGACCCTCGCCCTCGCGTCGGCCTTGCGGCCCCGGCACGTCGCACCGCTCCGGTGCGCGCAGAAAGCCCTCGGCGCGGCGTGCGCCGCGCTCGCGCTCGCGGGCCCGGCGCACGCGGTCGACGCGAGCGGCCAGGTCCAGAAGGGCGCCGCGAAGATCGCGGGCGGGGGCGCGTCGACGCTCCAGTCGGGCCGCGTCATCGCGATCACGCGCGGCGTGAACCTCGACGACACGGACTGGACGGGCAAGGACCTGAAGGGCGTCGCCTTCCAGCAGTCGGTGCTGCGGAACTGCAACTTCAGGGGCGTGAACCTCTTCTCCGCGAGCTTCTTCGACGCGGACCTCGCGGGCTCGAAGTTCAACGACGCCAACATGAAGCTCGTTAACCTCGAGATGGCGGACCTCTCGAACGCGGACCTCCGCGGCGCGGACCTGACGCAGGCCTACATGGCGGGCGCCGTCATCAAGGACCTCAAGCTCATCGACGACACGGACTGGACCGACGTCGACATGCGCAAGGACCAGAGGAGCGCGCTCTGCGCCATCGCCGCCGGGAAGAACCCGCGGACGGGCGTCGACACGCGCGAGTCGCTCATGTGTCCCTAGGGGTAACTCGCCTGAAACCCCACTCAGGGGGCGGTGTGCGTGGGTTGCGGATTTCCTCGAACAGTCCTCGAACGGCCTGAAACCCGCCGCGCGCCGGCCGCGCGCCGGAAGCCCGAGTCCCCGGGTGCCCTGTTCTAGTCGTCTCCCACCAACTCAGAGGAGGACCAATGATATTGAGCCTCCTCGGCGGTCGACGTAGTCGGCGGCCGCGTCCTATCCGTCGCCAATTTTCTGCTCTTGCAGCCTCGCACGGCGAAGGTAGTGCATTGCTTCGCCGAGAGCCAGCTGCACTCCTACGCCTCGCGGCGCATAGAGATAGATAAAAGCAGCTAATCCTGAGAGTTTCATGGAGTACATCGCGTCCTGCGTCACAGGCAAGGGCGCGAAGACCCGGACCTCGCGCGACGTCGCGCCGAACTTCTACATGGCGGACGGCAGCGTGGGCCCCGACCACCTCGTGCACAAGGACGGCGTCCTGCTCCTCGGCGTGGGCAACCCGCTGCTGGACATCTCGTGCAAGGTGCCCATGGACGTGCTGGAGAAGTACGGCGTGAAGAGCGGCGACATCATCCTCGCCGAGGACCGGCACGCCACGCTCTACGACGAGCTCGTCGCGCAGTACGCGCCCGAGTACATCGCGGGCGGCGCGACGCAGAACTCGATCCGCGTCTGCGCCTGGATGCTCAAGGCCGCGGGCCGCGCCGGCGGCGCGTGCGCCTTCGCGGGCTGCGTCGGCGACGACGCGAACGGCGCGAAGCTCGCGGAGTGCGCGCGCGCGGGCGGCGTCGAGGTCGCGTACCAGGTCGACGCCGAGGCGCCGACGGGCGTCTGCGGCGTGCTCGTCGACCCGACGAACGAGCGCACGCTCGTGACGCGCCTCGACGCGGCGAACAACTTCACGAAGGACCACCTCGAGACCGCGGCCGTCCAGAAGCTGCTCGTCGCCTCCAAGGTCGTCTACAGCGCGGGCTTCTTCCTCACGTCGGGCGGCCCCGACTGCACCGCGCTGCTCGGCCAGCACTGCGCCGACTTCGGCAAGCGCTTCTGCCTCAACATCTCGGCGCCGTTCATCGCGCAGTTCTTCGGCGAGGCCCTGGACGCGACGATGCCCTTCGTCGACATCCTCTTCGCGAACGAGACCGAGGCCGCGGCGCTCGGCGAGGCCCGGGGCTGGGGCTCGGACGTCGCGACGGTCGCGCTCAAGTGCTGCGACCTGCCCAAGGCCTCGGGCCGCCGCGCGCGCTGCGTCGTCTTCACGCAGGGCGCCGACTCCACGATCGTCGCCTGCGAGGGCGCGGTCACGACGTACCCCGTGACGCCCCTCGCCAAGGAGCTCCTCGTCGACACGAACGGCGCGGGCGACGCCTTCGTCGGCGGCTTCCTGTCGCGCCTCGTCCTGGGCGAGGGCTGGGACGCCTGCGTCAAGGCGGGCCACTACGCCGCGCGCGAGATCATCCAGCGCCCCGGCTGCACCGTCCCGGACACCTGCGGCTACGGCTCCTTCTTCTAGGCGCCCCGCCCCCGTCGTCTTCCGGCGCGTAACGACGTACGACTAGGAGCCGTCCTTCGCGAAGGATGGCGCCGGCCGGGGGTCGCCGCTTGGCATCTAGACCATATATAACGGCGTGGACGACCAGGGCGGCCGCGGCTTTCTGATGAGTACGCGGGCTAATAAGAATGACTCGGAAGAGCACCCCTGGTCTGCCAGTGGGGCGCTTCCTCCGGGAGCGAAACGACAAGGCTAGCTCGAAAAATACCCAGGTCCATACTGCGGTCGCTGGAGCAGCTGCTGGAGACTGCTGGAGCCGCTCGCGCGCACTGGCAGGTAACATGGTAGGATTTTACACAAGCGGCGGCGGCGGCGGCCGGTCCGCCTCGAGCTCGGAAAGCGAGGACGAGGTCGCGCGCTCGAGCCGCGAGAGCGACTCCGTCGACGCCACGCGCGTCGCGCCGTAGAGCGCGGGGTCGGCGTCGGGCCCGAGGAGCCGCGGCGGCGGCCCGAGCGGCAGGAGGCACGCCACGAGGCAGATGTAGATGCCGCGCACGAGCGCGAGCAGGTTGATGACGACGTTGAAGGTCAGGTACAGGTTGTGCACGTAGGCGCGCGTCACGAGGCTCGCGAACCAGACGGGCAGGTCCGTCACGGCGTCCAGCGCGAAGACGTACGTCGCCACGAACATGTAGCCCGCCCGCTCCACGACGTGCTCGTCCTCGCGCGCCGTGAGCGCGCGCGCGAGCAGCCCCGACGCGAGGCCGCCGAAGAGCACCGCGTTCGCGACGAACGCGGCCACGTAGACGCGCAGCGCGGGCGACCACGCGCGCCACGGCGCGGCCCAGAGGCCGCCCCAGGGGTCGAAGAGGCCCGGCGGCGGCGCGACGCCGAGCACCGCGTTCCGCCGCCGCTCCGCCGCCGCGTAGTCGATCGCGCCGTAGAGGATGGTGCAGAAGTCCACGGCCTCGATGGTCCAGATCTTCCAGACGAACGTGAGCTCGCTCCGGCTCGCGGCGAGCTCGCGGTCGAGCGCGAAGAAGGGCAGCGACGTCACGAAGAGGAGCAGGGCCACCTTCGCGGCCAGGTCGAGGGACACGACCGGCTCCTCGTGGCCGCCCACGACGCACAGCGCCGAGAAGACGACGTCGAGGATGAGGCACGCGTTCGACGCCCACAGGAAGGCGGAGAGCAGCGCCGCCCGCCGCCGCCGCAGCGCGGGTGGCGGCGCCACGCGGTTGTGCGGCGCGTTGAGCGCCGCGAGCGCGCCCGCCGCCGCGAGCAGCTGCGCCGCCGACAGCGCGAAGGCCGGCGCGTCGACGACGCCCTCCACGAGGTGGTCGAAGAGCAGCGCGATCGTCACCACGACCAGCAGCACGAGGTGGCACCGGAGCATGCGCGGCAGCGCCGCGGCGTCGACCGGCCGCGCGCCGTCCGTCGCGCCGGCCGCCGCGAGCCAGCCCGCGTACACACAGATCGGCCGGCCCCAGAGGGCCACGTCCTGCGCGTTGCCGAAGAAGCACGGGAACGACAAACAGTCCGCCAGGCAGTCGAGGACCATGGCGACCTATATATTCGCGCTACTGCTTCGATTCCTCGGCCCTCCCCATGTTTAAGTGCCGTATTAGTAGCTTGCTAGTGTCTTACACGCGCTACCGAGGCTAAACCGGGGAGCTTTGTTGGCTTGGTCTTGATCATCCGTAGAGAGTTGCCGCTTGTTTCATCCGCTTCGATCAAGCGCTTGCATTCTAGTGCACCGCGGCCGCCGCCTTTCAGCCGCGGACGCTCCGTGACCCGAACCCGAAACAGCGCGCTGCCGAGAGCTAAAACTTGGAGCTTTGTTGGACGCTTGGTCTTGATCATCCGTAGAGAGTTGCCAGCTTGTTTCATCCGCTTCGATCAAGCGCTTGCATTCTAGTGCACCGCGGCCGCCGCCTTTCAGCCGCGGACGCTCCGTGACCCGAGACCCGAACCCGAAACAGCATGCCCCGCACGCTCACCGAGGGCGTCGGCGAGCAGAGCGACCCGCGGCCCGTGCGGCGCGCCGGCGCCGACCCCGCCACCACGGTCGTGCGGAGCGGCCAGGCGCTCGCGCCGGACTTCACGTGCCCCGTGTGCCTGCGGATTTTGAGGAAGACGGAGATCGTGGTGGAGTGCCTCCACCGCTTCTGCGGCGAGTGCATCCAAAAGTGCCTGCGCGTCGCCAAGCACGAGTGCCCGAGCTGCCGCATCAAGGTGCCCTCGCGCCGCAGCCTGAAGCGCGACGCGGCCTTCGACGCGCTCATCGCGACGGTCTACCCCGACCTCGACGCCTACGAGCGCGGCGACGAGGCCGAGACGCGGCAGTTCAACGAGAAGCGGCGGCGCCAGACGGGCGACCGCCGCGCCGCGGCCTTCGCGCAGCACGAGGCCCAGCAGCGCCGCAAGCCGCCGCCCGTGCCGCGGCCGGCGCCGCGGCCGCGCGCGACGCGGCCGGCCGCGCGGCCGCTCGCGCACCCGGCGGCGGCGCGCCGCGCGCCGCCCCCGCCGCGCGCCGCGCCGGCCGTCGTCAACTTCGTGCTGCGCGCGCACCCGCACGAGACGGGCGTCGGCCGCCTCGCGCGCGAGTACCTGAGCACGAGCGACCAGCTGAAGGTGACGCACCTCAAGAAGTTCCTCGGGCTCAAGCTCGGCTACGCGCCCGTCGAGGACTTCGAGGTCCTCGTGGCCCTCGAGAACCAGTGCGTCGTCCTGAACGACCAGCTCTCGCTGGGCCAGGTCGTCGCGCACTTCGCCACGGACGCGGACGTCGAGGTCGTGCTGCACTACCGGCTCCAGCGGCCCATGGGCACGTGACTCGGACCGGCTTTTCTGGGGGGGCGTAAGGGTGAAAGTCTCGTCCGTCCCGCGGGTGCGCCTCGAGTACTCCACTACCCTAGAATCGCGGCGGCTACTCCGGGACTAGTGGACTGGTGGCTGCCGCCAGGCCGCGCCGCCCTGGGGGCATTTTGCTAATTACAGTGCGAGGGTAACCCTTGCATTACATTAAAAACGGGTCCTGTCCTGCGGAGCAACACAAGGCATAACACACGTCGCATTCTTGCGTACGAGGGTCGCATTTTCACGCCCGCGGAGCGCTCGAGTGCTTGCCAGCGCTGCTGGCGCGCCGGCCTTAACCGTCTGACCGCGGCGCTCACGTCGAGCGCACTGCGCCGCAAATTGACCGCAGTCCTCACATAATTGGCCGCCTTGCTACGGATTATACGACGTGAGCACGACCACAGGAGGAATGCTGCTCGCGAGGCGTCTGAGCACGCAACGCGCGTTCGTGGTGCGCGACGAGGTGCGCGCGGCGGTGGCGGCGCGGCGGCCGGTCGTCGCGCTCGAGAGCACCATCATCACGCACGGCATGCCGTTCCCGCGCAACCTGGAGGTCGCGCGCGCGTGCGAGGCGGCCGTGCGGGAGCGCGGCGCGGTGCCGGCGACGGTCGCCGTGCTCGCGGGCGCCGTCCGCGTGGGCCTCGCGGACGCGGAGCTCGAGGCCGTCGCGGCGAGCGGGCGCGCCGGCGCCGCGACGAAGGTCTCGCGGCGCGACCTCGGCTGGGCGGTGCAGCGGACGCGCGCTGACCCCGCGGCCTGCGGCGCGACGACCGTCGCGGCGACGGCGTGGGCCGCGCGCAGGGCGGGCGTCCACGTCTTCGCAACGGGCGGGCTCGGCGGCGTGCACCGCGGCGCGTCCGACACGCGGGACGCCGTGTGGCAATCAACCGGTGAGTGAGGTTAGTGGACCTTCGTGACGCTCGGAGCCATCAAGCCGACGCGGTCGCGGCGAAAATTGAGTTCCACGCAGGTGGGACGTGAGCGCCGACCTGGACGAGCTGGGCAGGACGCAAGTGCTCGTCGTCTGCGGCGGCGTCAAGTCCATCCTCGACGTGCCCAAGACGCTCGAGGCCCTCGAGACGCGCGGCGTGGCCGTCGCCGCGCTCGGCACGCGCGACTTCCCGGCCTTCTTCTCGCTCCGCTCGCCCGGCGTCGACGGCGCGCCGAACCGCGCGCCGCTCCGCGTCGACTCCGCCGCCGAGGCCGCGGCCTGGTTCGGCGCGCACCGCGAGCTGGGGCTCGCCTCGGGCTGCGTCCTCGCGGTGCCCAACCCGGCGCCGCTCCAGACGGAGGCCGTCGAGGCGGCCACGCGCGACGCGCTCGCGGCGGCGCGCGACGCGGGCGTGGCGGGCGCGGACGCGACGCCCTTCCTCCTGGCGGACCTCGAGCGGCGCACCGCCGGCAGGTCGCTCGACGCGAACGTGGCCCTCGTCCTCAACAACGTCGCCGTCGCGGCCGACGTCGCGGCCGCGCTGGCGCGGCCGCCGCCCGCCCGCCCGCCCGCCGTCGTCGTCTGCGGCGCGGCGGCGGTCGACGTCTGCGCGACGGCCGCGGCGGACGCGGCCGGCACGTCGGCGCCCGGCGTCGTGCGCGCGTCGCGGGGGGGCGTCGGCGCGAACGTCGCGAGGGCGGCCGCGCGCGCCGCGCCGACGGCGCTCCTCGCGACGACGGACGCGTCGACGCTCGAGAGCCTCGCCGAGGCCGGCGTCGACGTGCGCGGCTGCGCCACCGCCGCCGCCGCGCCGACGTACGTCGCGCTGCACGGCGCCGACGGCGACCTCGTGGGCGGCGTCTTCGCCGGCGCCGCCGACGCCGCGGCGTGGGACGCCTCCGCCGTGGCGGGCGCGCGCGTCGTCGTCGTCGACGCGAACCTGAGCAAGGACGCGTACGCGGCGGTGCTGGCGGCGCTGGACGACGCGACGGAGCTCTGGTTCGAGCCGACGTCCACGGCCAAGGCCGCGGCTGCGTTCGCGGAGATCCGGCACCGGTGCGACGTCGTGACGCCGAACGAGGCGGAGCTCGCGGCGCTCCTGCGCGCGTGCGGCGGCGCGCCGGTCGGCTTCGAGCGGGACGCCGCGGCGCTGGCGCAGCGCGCCGGGGCGGCCGTGATCGCCACGCGCGGCGCGCGGGGCGCGGTGCTCGCGACTCGCGACGGGCGGGTCGCGGCGCTGCCCGCGGAGCGCGTCGCCGCCGGCCTCGCGAACGGCGCCGGCGACGCGTTCTGCGGCGCCGCCGCCGCCGCGCGGGCGGCGGGGCGCCCCCTGGAGGAGGCGTGCCGCGCGGGCGCGGCCGCCGCGGGCCGCGTCGTCCGGGGCGCGGATTCAGCCCCCGCCGTCGTGTTTTAATACTAGTAGTAATTTAGAGTTTCTTCGGCGCGAAGGGGACGGCGTTGAAGGTGTCCCCGGGGTGCTTGAAGAGCGGGTGGTACGCGAACTCGGCCTCGAGCATCTTGATGCCCCGGCCGTGGAACTCGCGCGCGCGGTCGTAGTAGACCTTGATGCCCTCGACGTTCTTCTCGTTCTTGGACTGGAAGGGGCCGATGTCGCGGTCGTACATGGCGCTCCAGGCCGCGTTGTCGTCGTGCCGCGCCTGCAGCTCCGCGCGGCGGATCTCGAGCGCCTTGATCACCTTGCCATACTCGTGCTTGCCGGCCGCGTCCGCCGCGATCTCGGCGTCGAGCACCTTGAGCGAGTTGTTGAGGTTCTCGACGACGCCCTGCAGGCCCGACGTCGTCATCTTCATCTTGTGGAAGGTCTTGGCGTTGAGCTGGCATTCTTCGCCCGCCGGCGGCGGCATGGCGCCCCCGCGCGGCCGGCGCCTCGGCGCGGGCCCGGGATGCTAGGGGCTGCCTCGTTCGCGGGGCGCCGGCGTCGATGCTAGCGCGCTCGTGCGCTCACGGACGACAGGGGCGTGCGCTCACGGACGACAGGGGCCGCGTGGCCTACCACCGCGCCGCCGGAGGCCCACTGCAGTGTGGCGCTGCACTCCAAAATGGGGCAGAGGCATGCCGGCAGAGGCAGCACTTTTTGCGGACACGTGGAGCCGATCCGTCCAGGAGACGCAGTGGGACAGGGTGAGAGTGGTATTACTTCCGAGTTAAAAACCCGTCATGGCTAGGCTTCCAGGGCATGGGGCAAGGAGCTCTAGTCTAATTCTTGAAGCCCTGGAGGCCTCAGATCGAGTGGGGCGCATCGCAACTGTTGACCGCGTTTGTTCGCGACCGCGTTTGCTGCCGTGCTGCTGCGACCAGCACGGGCTCGTCGCGCGCACCCAGAGAACAGGTTATGTGAGACGATGGCACAGCACCCGGAGCTCATCTGGATCAAGACCGTGCACGTGCTCGCCTGTGTGGAAATCAAAATTTTACGTCGCGTTCGCGTCGTCCTCCACGCCATCGACGCGACGCCTGCTGGATGGCGTAGCGGGTGCCGGTTCCTCACCGCCCAACGGACCCAGCACGGCCGCGTCATCGCCGAGAAATGACTTCGTGAAGAATTATCGGGTGCACCCGACACACTGGTTGATTTCCACACAGGTGCTCGCGTGCCTCAGCGGCGTGGCGTGGGGAAGGTACCAGGTCGCGTACCTCAACTCGTTGGGCATCGCGCCGTCGACGCTGGGCGCGCTGCGAGCCGCAGGCCTCGCCGCGAAGTTCTTCTGCACGCCGCTCTGGGGCGCGTGGGCCGACGCGCGGCCCGGCGTCGCGCCGCTGCTCGCCGCGGTCGCGGCGACGGCGTCGCTGATCCGCCTGTACCAGGCGCCAACGGTCGTCGGCTCGCTACCGCTGCTCTTCGCCCTTAAGGCCGCCCGGTCGGCCGCGAACGGGCTGGCGACGCTCACGGACGCGCTCACGCTGCGCGTCGTCGAGGCCCACCGCGAGGCGGGCTACGGCGCGCAGCGGCTCTGGACGGGCGTCGCGTGGGGCGGCGGCTCGCTCGCCGTCGGCTACGCCATCGACGCGCGCGGCTACGACGCGATCTTCGCCTGGACGGTCGGCTTCTCCGTCGCGCTCGCCGCGCTGCTCGCGTGCCGGCCCGCGCCGCCGCCCGGCGCCGCAAGCGTCGCCGCGAAGGCGGCCCCGCCGGCGCCGACGGCGCTCGGCGCGCTGCGGTCCTTCCGCGACCGCTGCGCGCGCGAGAGCCGCCTGCGCCCATTCCTACTCCTGATGGCGCTCTACGGCGTCGCCATGTCGCTCGTGGAGGCGCTCCTGTTCCTGCAGATGGCGCGCGAGTTCGGCTCGTCGAAGCGCCTCATGGGCGCCGTCACGCTCGTGGGCACGACGACGGAGCTGCCCACCTTCCACCGGAGCGACGCGCTCGTCGCGCGGTTTGGGCACGCGCGGCTCCTGCGGGCCGCGCACGGCTGCATGGTGCTCCGGCTCTGCGCCCTCGCGTGCGTGACGCCGGCGGCGGCGCCCTGGGCGCTGCCGCTGCTCCAGCTCCTGCACGGGCCTTGCTTCGCGCTCGCGTGGTCCGCCGCCGTGAGCTTCGCGGCGGACGCGACGCCGCCGCGGCTGCGGGCCACGTCGCAGTCGGCGCTCTCGACGGCCTACTACGTCCTCGGCGCCGGGGTCGGCAGCGTCCTCTGGTCCTGCGCCTACGAGTACCTCGGCGCGCGGGCGACGTACCTGTCCGGCGCGGCCCTCGTCGCGGCGGCGGCCGGCGCGCTCCTCCCCCGGCTCGAGGGCGACGCCAAGGGCGCGGAGGACGCGGGCGAGCCCTGACCCTGCCACAGTGGGTGGAAAAAGTACTAGTAATAGTTGTAACGGTTACATCATGTCGATCATGTCGTGGACGTTCGACTTCGTGACCGCCGTCGTGAGGCCCTGGTTGCGGTACTTGACGCCCTGGAACGAGTTCGAGAAGCCCTGGTTCCGCGCGCGCCGCTCGGCGGTGAAGGTGGCCACGTTCGGCTTGAGCGCGCCGATGACGTTGGACGTCGTCATGTACATCTCGTGCTCCTTCTTCGGGGCGTGCTTGTAGATCTCGAGGATGCGCTCGACGCGGTCCGCGGCGCTCGGCCGGCTCTCGGCCGCGGCGATCGTCGCCGCCGAGGCCGGCGCGCCCATCGTCTTCAGCCGCGTGAGCTGCGCGGGCGTGTCCTGCGCGCCCATGGCCCGCGAGAGGTTCGAGGGCGCGTGGTGCTGGCCCGCGCCGATGTCGTCGCTCATCTTCTCGTAGAGGAAGCCGAAGTCGTAGTTGTCCACGAGCGTGCGGCGCGGCGGCGCGCGCTCGACGGTGGGCGCCGCGTACTCGACCTCCTTCGTGAAGTCCTGGCCGATGTCGCCCGTCGTCGTCTGGAAGAACGGGTTGTCGCTCCGCCGGACGGTCAGCGTCCCGCGGCCGCGGCAGCTCATCGTCGACGGTGCCTCCGCCCGGCCGGCCGCGGGGTCGTCGCGCGAGTGCCCGGGGCCGGGGTGTGGTCGTGTCGCAGCCCCGGACTCGGCGGTGCGTGCGGTCGCGTCGCGGCGGACCTCTACGATAAAACGACCTTTGTCCTGCGCGCTATTGGACAAGAGTATAAGAAAGTATCTTCGTCCCGGACGATATTGCTACCAAGATACCAATCATGCTGACAGTCCTGAGTCAGCCTTACATAAGTTCGGGACAGCTCCATGGGCTCTCATTAAAGCTCCTCCTGTAGACAGAGGGCTGTTGAAGCCTCTACAACACGGCGGGCACCGCCGCGGCGGGATCGTACCGACCCACCAATTGGATTCAAAGGGTGAACAAGAAGTTCCGGGGGAAACCCCACACCTTTAGGAGAATCAATAAGCCCCTTTGGCAGTGCCTGAGCAAACTGTTATAACAGTTTAGCTCGCCAACAGATCATGATCGGCGTATTGATCCGCAGCGGCAGGTCACGGTCGAACAGGACGTATTTATTTGGGAACTAAGCCCAGCTTAGGGATATAAAACCCTTGCTCCTTAACTGCCAAAGGCTGCTGGGTTGAACACCCGGAGCACCATAGACGTAAATACAAGGATACGTGGCCCCGGGCCATATGAGATGGCCACGCCAGATGGCCACGTGATAGTTGCACCTGCATTACTTGTACCTATGCTGCCAAGCGCAAAAGTGAGAGAGGTCCGTCGCCCGGGAGAGTACTACTACACCGCTGTTCCCGGCTTAGGTGGGTACCGTACGGTACCTACGGTACCCTAGGTACCGTAGGTACCACGGTACCGGTATCGTACCTACGGTACCTGCGGCAGACGTCTGCAGACGTATGAGTTGTTACGGTGCTAGGACTAGTGGGCAGAGACTTTGACATTCCTTCTATTGTTACGGTGCTAGGACTAGACTTGACCCGGTAGTGTAGAGATACTAGCAGCCGGCAAAAAGCAGCCGGGTGCCTGAAGTGCAGCGTAGACACATTCATGCGAGAGCTAGACGCAACTATAGTAGTAGTAACGTAGCCGTGGTAGCGAATAATCAACTGCTCCCGTCGCAGCTGTGACCTGTGCTTCGCAGCGAGCGCCAACATGCTGCCCGCGTTTTTCGCAAACAGCGTCGCGAACACGATGCGGTCGGCAGGTGGCTTGCGCAGCCATATCAGGTCGCAATCGACGACCCAGCCCCCAAGGAGAGCGGCGGCCCGGAACCGGACAACGTCCGAGACGTGCGCCACCGTCACGTTGCTTTCCAAGATTGCGTCGCGGTCCTCGACGCAGAGCAGTTCCGCGGCGTCCCGCTGGACGACGCCAGCCGGCGCGTTGAGCACGGTCCTGAAACACCAGAGGATCACAACATCAAAGTACTTGGCTGCGGACTCGGTCCCCAATAGCGCATCGGCGCGCAACGACACGCCGGGCACGGGGGCGCTCGCGATCGGGTTCTCGCTCTACCAGCACAACGAGTACCTCAAGGGCGCGCTGCTCCGGGACAAGTCGGCGCTCCTCGACAAGGACCTCTTAGTCAAGGCGTTTCGACACATGGGCGACCGCGCGCCGACGACCGTCGATGGGATCGCCGAGCTCAGCGTGTGGGACCTCAAGAAGGCCTTGCACGTGTGCGCCATCGACACGGCGCTCATGGAGGACATCACGTTCGCGATCATCTCCGGCCTCTTGATGAAGCTCCGGGGCGCGTAAGGAGTCAATCCACGAGCCCCGTGGGATAGTCCCCGGGTGGGGCTGCGAGTAATGTACGAAAAAAACAAAACTTGGCGGCGCACGCAAGCGAAGACACAAGTGCCGGCCAAGCGAAAAGAACCATGTCGCGCCACGCGGAGCGGGCGGCGCGCGCGGCCGCGGCCGAGGAGGCCGCGCTCGAGGCGGAGGAGCACTTCCACTTCGAGCGCGTGGTGGGCTCGTTCACGGGCTACGAGGCGGCGGTCGCGGCGGACGCGCGTCGCACGGAGCGCGCCGCGGCCCGCCTGGCGCCCGAGCTGCGGGCGCTGCTGCCGCCCGACTGCCTCGCGCGCCGCGCGGCGGGGCTGCGCGCCGCGGCGGCGGCGAACGGCGCCTTCCTGCGCGCGGTCGTCGCCGGCCGCGGCGCGTTCGGACCGCCGGGCGGCGCGCCGCCGCCGGCCGCGCCGGCGGACCCGCGCGCGCGGCCCACGGAGGCCGACTTCAGCAAGGTGCGGAGCACGCTGCACAGCTGCGTCCGCGACTGGGCGGCCGAGGGCGCGGCCGAGCGCGCGGCGTGCTACGGGCCCATCCTGGACGAGCTCGAGCGCGTCGTCCCGCGGGACGGCCGCAGCCGCGTGCTCGTGCCCGGCGCCGGCCTCGCGCGCCTCGTGCTCGAGGTCGCGGCGCGCGGCTACGGCGCGCAGGGCAACGAGTTCTCCTACCACATGCTGCTCTGCTCGAACTTCCTGCTCAACTCGGGCCTGCGGCCGAACGAGGTCGCGCTCTACCCCTTCGTCGACCAGCCCTCGAACTGCCGGCGCGCGGGCGACCGGCTGCGCGCCGCGCGCGTGCCCGACGTCGTGCCGGCGGCGCTGCTGCGCGGCGGCGGCGGCGAGCCGGACTTCAGCATGGCCGCGGGCGAGTTCCTGGACGTGTACCGCGACCAGCGCGAGGCGTGGGACGCCGTCGCGGCGTGCTTCTTCGTGGACACGGCGCCGGTCGCGCTCGAGTACGTCGCCGCCATCTGGCGCCTGCTCAAGCCGGGCGGCGCCTGGGTGAACCTGGGGCCCCTCCTCTACCACTGGGTGCCCACGTCGGGCGCGGACCTCGAGGGCGGGCTCGACGCGCGCGGCCGGCCGACGGCCGGCGCCGACGACCGCTACCTGCGCGCGCTGGAGTTCTCCTGGGACGAGCTGCGCCACGCGATCCTGGCGCAGGGCTTCGAGCTCGTCCGGGAGGAGTGGCGCCACTGCACCTACACCGCGAACGTGAGGTCCATGATGCGCACCGACTACGACTGCATCTTCTTCACGGCGCGCAAGCCGGCGGCGGAGGGTAAGTCCTGAATTAACACATCACATACGGCGGCCACCTTCTTCGCGGCGCGCGCGCCGACGGCGGAGGGAGTCCTGAATTACACACTGTTGGCTTAGGCGAGCGCGCGGAAGAGCGCGTCGATGTCGCGCGCGGGCGCAGGCGTGGGCCCCGGCGCCGCCGCCGCCGCCGCCGCCGCGCGCGCGCGCACCGCGACGCCGACGCTCCGCAGCAGGCGGCGGCGGCCGGCCTCGATGTCGTGCGCGACGGAGGGCCCCTTCCGGCGCGCCGGCGCCGGCGGCGAAGACTCGTCCCGGGGCCAGGCGCCCGCCGGCGGATGACGCGGCGGCGTTCCCGGCGGCCGCGGCCGCGCGGGCGACGCGCGGTCGCCCGCGACGACGACGGGCGCCGCCGCTGCCGCCGCCGCCGCCGCGGGACGGGGCTGGACCGCCGCCGCCGCGGGACGGGGCTGGACGCGGTACCACCGCCGGACCTCCTCGAGGACCTTGCGCGCGTCGAGCTCCCTGCCGTCGCCCTCGGCCCTTTCGCGGTCGAGGATCTGGGCGCAGACGGACCGGATCGAGGCTCGACGCGCGGCCTCCGCCCTGGCCGCGGCGCGCCGCCGGGCGCGCGCGCGCTCGGCCCTGGCCGCGGCGGCCGGCTTCCACGTCGCGCCGACGACGCCCGCGGGGCGCGACCACGTCGCCGCCAGCGCCTCGCGCGGCGCGCGCGGAACGGGGCGGTACCGCGGCGGCGGCGCCACGCGCCACGGCTGCCGCGCGCGCCGCGCGCCCGCGCCGTCCGGCGGCGGCCGCCGCCGCCGCCGGGGAGCCGCCGCTCCGGCCTCGTCGGCCTCGTCGGCCTCGTCGGCCTCCGCGGCCGCCGCCTCGGCGTCGGCGGCGGCCGCGGCCGCCGCGAACCGGTCGCGCGCCGCGGCGGCGCCCGCGGCGCGCGCGTCGTCGGCCGCCGCCGCCGCCGCCGCGGACGCCGAGGCGGCCGCCCGCGCGCGCGTCCACGCGCGCAGCGGCGGCAGCGGGCCGTCCTCGGTTTCGAAGGCGAGCCGTACGAACCTGTGTGGAAATCAACCAGTGAGCTAGGTTACCTTCGTGAACCTCCACGCGATGAGGCGTCCGAGATTTGATTTCCACACAGGCACGAACAGGTCCCGCACCCCCTCGGGCAGCTCCGCCCACGCGGCGTCGGCGTCGGCGCCGTCAACGGCGTCGACGAGCTCGACGTACTTGGCTTTGCCAAGCGCCTCGTGCGCGCCAGCGTCGGTCCGCGCGGCCTCGCCCAGCCTCGCGGGCGCGGGGGGCGCAGCGGCCGCGCCCGGCGCCGCACCCGTGCCGCCCCCGTTCAGGGCTTGGTCCGGCTGCGCCGGCCCGGCGGGCTTGCGCTTCCGCTTGGTGTTGGTGAGCCACCCCATGCTGCCCCTTCTAAGCTGCCGTGTTGCCTACTTGATTTCCACACGAGTAGTGTATGCCCCAGGGTAGAACGCCGCTATGCCCCTGGGACGTATACTACGGTACGGGTTTTTAACCCCCCTCGCCCATCCTCGCCCAGGAGTCGCCCTGGAGTCGCCCACTAACTAGCGGTTGCGAAAACGAGACTTGCCAAGAGTATCCCCGCCAACACGGACGGGGCCTCTATATCGCAAGACTAGGTAAAGGTACTTTGTATGCTGTCTCTGGGCTCCAAAATGGCTTAAACACGCCCGTTTTGTGTTGCCGACGCGTGTGAGGCACTATGGTAAGGGCGCGATTGAGCCTCTCCAGTCTAGCCTAATTTGCAGGTTTTTGTGCGATGAAGCCATGCAGCGTCTGGCCTACGGCTCGGTGGCGCAGCCTGGGGCGCGCATCACGGCGACGACGCGTCGGGGTCCGGCGTCATCGGGAACCATTACGTTACTAGCCCTAGTCGTCTTTTGTATTCCAGTATTCCAGGAAGACACACCAGGGGGGGACTCAGGCGGTTCGGATGGCCCGTCCTACAACAGAATCGCCTCAAACGCAAATTTATTTCATAACTCACGGGTCTGGGGCCTTTCCAGTGCCCCGCGTACGCACAGTCGCCCGCGGAGAACGGGCAAGTCGGTCGATCGTGAATAGAACAACGGCGTCATGGTCCATCTGGATGGTGGCGTCGCTGATACTCGCGGGTGCAGGTGATTTGGCCGTTTTTGTACAAACGTGGGGACCCGGAATCTCCGTTTCGCGCGGCTCCAACAGATCCTCTAACATAGCTCATCCCCGCCCAGGCGGCCTAGATGGAATCTACCACTAACAAACGGAAGGAAACGAACATAAACTCGGTTGTTGTCTAGTAGAATTCTTCTCCCGCCCTCCGAGCGCGGGCCGTCGGCTCCGGTTCCGTCGATTGTGGATGAAAACTGGGCTGGAGTTGATATAATGTCTCATTTGGACGGTAGAAGGCGCCTTCAATCGCTGGTCTACTTTGGAAACTCGTAAGACTCATCCGCGAATGTCACGGGCGGTGCCTTCCGGGAGGCGCGAGGGTATGTTCCCGGACCGCTACTCTCAAATATTTGGTCTCGGCGAACGACTAGGATGTATTCTGAATTTGAGTCATTCTTTGGACGCTACAGAGGCGTATCTTTGAATTTGCTAGTATGTCGATTACGCTAGCTTTTATCCGTCGAACGGGGTGGGAATTTCCGACTTCTCTCACCGGTCTTGTCGAAGCCAAGAGGATTTTCGTACCTGTCATTTGGGGCTGTCGAACCCGGCGTGGGCGTGGAGCCCCAGTAGCTGCCTTATTATTAGGCGCCCCGCTCTCGCCGGCCGCGGAGACGAGCGCCCCAGCTTCGACAGCGTGGCCAAAAAATTGAAGCCCCGCCGCGCCTGGAGCCCAAGGACTCGGCCCCCGCGCGCCCATCCCAAACGCCCGCCGGCGCGCCCGAGATGGCGTCGACCGCCAAACGGAAGACGTCGCCGGCCAGCTTCCTCCTCAAGCTCCGCGAGGTCCTGGCGCGCGAGGACCCCGCCGTCATCAGCTGGGACGGCGACGGCAAGATCACGATCGGCGACCCGAAGCGCCTCGGCGACGAGGTGCTGACGCGCTACTTCCGGCACGGCAACTTCTCCAGCTTCCAGCGCCAGCTCAACTACTTCGGGTACTACAAGGTGCAGGGCAAGGGCCGCCTCTCGGCCTGCGTCTACACGAACGACGCGCTCGCGGCCGCCGAGGGCGGCCCGCCGGACCTGCCCGTCGACGCGCTGCTCGCCCTGAAGCGCAAGTCGAGCCGCGAGGGCGCCGCCGCCGCCGCCGCCGCCGCCGCCGCGCGCCGCGCGCCGGCGCGGCCCGGCACGGCGCGCCAGGCCTCGATGCGCGCGGCGCGCGCGGAGAAGGAGCAGGCGCGGGCCGCGCAGGCGGTGTCGGTGTCGCCGGACCCGCGCGCCGCCAAGCGGCCCCGCGCGCTCTCCGAGGGCACGGTCGTGACCGTGGAGACGCTCGCGAGCGACGTCGGCGAGCTCGAGGACCCGCTCGACGCGTTCTTCGACCACTCGCCGGCCCTCTTCTGCGAGGAGGCGTGGGACGCGCCGCCGCCGCGGCCGCCCTCGCCGGGCTGGCTCGGCGGGGGGTGCGACGCGGCCGCCGCGGCCGCCGCGGCCGCCGCGCCGCCGCCCGGCGCCTGGGCCGACCGCCCCATCGCCGCGTCGCGGCCCGAGCTCTGGATCGGCCCGGCCGTCGCGAGCCCGTTCTAGAAGCGCGCGCGCCCCCCCTGTCCATACGTCATACGGCGCCCCCTGTCCATAAGACTCCTGTACAGTGAGGCCTCCTATTGAGTTCGACTTCACGGCCGGAGCGGGTTCAGGTGGCACCGCCGCACGCCCAGCACCTGGCCGTCCGCGAGGCGCACGCGGTAGCGGCCCGCGCCCGCGCCGAGGACGCGCCCGCGCCGCCCGTTGAAGCGCCGCTGCGCCTCGAGGCCCCCGACCTCGACGGCGGCGCCGCGCGCGGGCGCGCGGGGGTCCCAGGGCGGGCCCCACCGCCGGAGGGCCGGCAGGCCGGCGATCTGCCGGCGCAGCTCGGCGCCGGCGGCGCGCGCGAGCGCCTCCGGGGGGAGCGCCGGCCCCGCCGCGGCCCGCATGTCCCGCTCGAGCGCCCAGTACGCGTCGAGGTAGAACGCCGCGGCGGCGTGGGCGCCCGGCCGCGCCGGGCGGAGGAAGTCGGGCGCCGGCCCGCGGTCGACGAGCCGGCCCGCCGCCACGCATGCGCACTCGTCGCACAGCGCCGCGAGCTCGTGCAGGTTCTGGGAGACGACGAGGAGCGCCACGCGCGCGCCGGCCCGCGCCTCCCGCACCAGGCGGAGCGCGCGCGGCTTCACGCGCGCGTCGAGCCCGGTGAAGGCCTCGTCCAGCACGAGCACGTCCGGCGCCCCGCGCGCGCCGGGCGCGAAGCACGGCGCGAGGCACCGCAGCAGGTACACGAGCTGGCGCTGTCCGCCGCTCAGCGCGCCGCACGTGAGCGCCGCGTCCGCGACGCACGCCGCCGCGTCCGCCGCGACCGCGCCGTCGTCGCCGTACCGCCGGAAGCCCGCCCAGTCCAGCAGCCGCTCCGCGAGCGCGGCCCGCGCCGCCGCGTCGAGCCCCGCCAGGTGGCCGCAGACCGCGCGCGCGAGCGGCCACGCGTCCTCGAGCACGTGGGCCGCGAGGTCGTGCTCCGACGAGCAGTAGACGACGGCGGCGCGGTACCGCCGCCGCCGCCGCCGCGCCGCCCACCAGCCCGCGAGCGCCAGCGCGGCCGCCGCCGCCGCCCACCGGCCGTCCGCCGCCGCCGCCGCCGCCGCCGCCGCCGCCGCCGCGGCCAGCCAGTGGCCCGACGCCCGCCAGCGCGCGTGTGGGTCGACGGCCGCGCCGCCGCCCCGCGGCCGCCACGCCACGCGGCCGCGCAGGGGCCGCCAGTCGCCCCCGGCCGCGCCAGGCAGCTCGGCGGCGCTCAGCACCTTGCACAGCGTGGACTTGCCGGCGCCGTTCAGCCCGATGACGCCCAGCGCCCGGCCCGCGCGGAGCCGGAGCGACACGTCGCGCAGGCCGAACGCGTCCTTGTGAGTGTCGTAGTCGAAGGCGAGGTCCTCGCACTCGAGGACGACGGGGGGCGGCGCCGCCGGATCGTGGCGCATGTCGGCCGCTCGGCACGCCACGGACACCGCTTACGGGATGGTTAGTAACTCACAGAATGCGCTGCCACATGCTAGCTCAGGCTGCAGTCTTGCTTGTCTGGGATGCCTAGTGTCTTTCGGGCCGCTAGCTAATTCGATCACTCTTCGTGCGTCGCGGGTTTCTACGTCGACAGCCATTGCCGTGCGTCGCAGGCCTCTGGTTTCGTCCCCCCGGCGGGTTCCTGAACCATCTTTCTTCTACACTCTAGTCAGTAGAATCTTCTATGCCGTAGGTATGTCCAGCGCGGCCCGGGGCGGGCGAATAGTCCGGGGGTCCCCGCGGTTGTCGTCCGCGGTGGCGGCCTCCTTTCCACTCATAAATTTCGGTCCCCGCGGTTGTCGTCCGCGGTGGCGGCCTCCTTTCCACTCATAAATTTCCCAACTTTGCAGGTACCCAGGTACCTTTAAAAAACAACTTTTTGCGCGCGGCGGCGCGAGCGAACGGTAGAGCCGAAGGATGGGCCCGCCGCCCACGGCGCGGGGCTGGGGCGCCCAGGCCCGCGCGCTGGCGTTGCTTAGCAGCCGGGCGGAGCAGGAGCAAGTTGTGGCAGTCCAGAAGTCGTCACAGGCCGACGTCCGGCAGGCGGGCGACGAGGGTCAGGCGCTCTCAGAAAAGCGCGACTCCGCGCGCGCGGAACTCCAGAAAGCCTTGCGGGGGCAGCGCGCGGCGCTGGATAGGCTCCGCGTCAAGTTGGAGCGGCTGGCGCGGGGCGACGCGAGCCTCGCCTCGCACGCGCGGAACCACGCGAGCGACGAGGCGGACGACGAGATGGGGTTGAAGCGTTTCGACGCTGATCTCAGTCGCTTCCGCGCGGGCCAGCGGGCCGAGTTCGAGCGGCTCCGCGCGGACGAGCGGGCCGTGTCGCGCGAGTTGGCCAAGGCGGCGGCGCGCTTCGCGGCCTGGGACGGTGACGACCCGGACGGGGTGCCGCCGCCGCCGGCCGCTCCCGGCGACGCGCCGCCGCCGCCGCCGCCGGATGCGCGTCCAGAAGCGACGCGTGACGTAGCCGGGGAGCTCCGGCGCGTCGACGCGCGCCTCGCCGCCGGCGGGCCGACCGGGGGGTGGCCCGCCGACGAGCACGCAGTCTTCCTCGAGGCCTGGGCGCCGGCGGCGGCGCGCCTCGGCGCCGCGCCCGACGCCGCCGCCGTCGCCGCCGCCGCCGCCGCCGCGCACGCGGCCACGGGCGGCGCGCTGCGGCGGACCGCCGCCGAGGTCGCGGCGCACGCGCGGTGGCACCTGCGTCGCGCGGCGCTGCTCGCCCGCCGGAGGCGCCTCGTCGCCGCCTGGCGCGGCGGCCGCGACGGCGACGCCGCCGAGGTTGTGGCCTGTGTGGAATCAACCAGTGGCTTAGGTTATCATTGCGGAGACCTTCGTGCACCTCCACGCCATCGAGCAGACGCAATCCACGGGGACGACGATGCGTGGGGCGCCTGAAATATGATTTCCACACAGGCCGCGGCCGCGGAGGCCGCCGCGACGGCCGAAGCCGAGGCGGCCGCACGCGCCGCGGACGCCGCGCGCGCCGCCGCCGCCGCGCGCCGCCGCGACGCCGCGCGCGCCCGGGCGCGCGCGTGGCGCGCGGCCAAGGCGCGACGGGCGGACGAGGACCGCGCCGCGGCCGCGCGCGCGGCTTCTGACGCGGCGGTCGCGGCCGAGGCGGCGCGCGCGCGAGCGCGCCGCGCCCGCCGCGCCCGCCTCGACGCGCTCCGCCGCGGGGCTTCCGCCGCGCGCGACGCCGCGGCGGCTGCCGCGCGCCCGCCGCCACCGAGCCCGCGCACCGCGGCGCGCGCCGCCGCCGCGAAGACCGCCGCCGCGGACCGCGCGCGCGCCAACGCCGAGGCGCGCGCCGCCGCGGCGCTCCGCGCGGCCAGGTCGCGCGCTCTGGCGGCCGGGGCGCGCGCGGGGCGCGCTGCGCGCGACGAGGCCCGGCTCAAGGCGCTCGCGGCGCTCACGGCGCCCCGGCTCGCCGCGGCCGCGCCCGTCGCGCGGCCCCGCCGCGCGACCGCCGCCGCCAGAGCGCGCGGCCTCGCGCCCGACGACGTCGACGCGCTGGACGACGACCGGCGCGCCGCCCCCGCGCACGCCCGGGTCGTCGCCGGCGCGGGCCGCGACCTCCTCGCGGGCGGCCGCGCGCCGGCCGCCTGGCGGGGCCGCGCCGGCTAGCGTCATATGCACTAATGTACTCGATTTGTCCCATGATGTCGTTTGTAGATTCGTTGTCCTGCACTGGCAGACCTCGGGAGGTGGTGTCCGTTCTTCAGGGTGGTCGTGCGAATGATGCAGAACCAAAGGAGTACGCACCTCTGGGAGTACGGCGGCTGAGATAGTCTGCCGGGGAGCTACCTTAAAATACTAAGTAGTTTTGGTTTTACGGTGTTTATTACGCGTTGCGTGTTGTGTGTGAAGTAAGTGTATATACTCTGAGATATAGAAGGGTATAGGATAACCAACAATTTCGCCCTAGTTATCGTTCCTTGATTTCGCAGTGCCTTTGCTTGGAGCTCGGCCACACGGGTCCATTTCTACTACTCGGGGGTCGAGCCCGGGGAGCGGGAGGAGCTCTTCGTTTGAAGGCAGTGGTCCTTCCCTCCTCCTCCTGGGGCCGCGATTAACCCTACTAGGGTAAATAATAATGAAATAATTAAATCGATTAGGTCTCCCCTAATCTACGAGTATCGTCGTCGTCCTCGAGGCACGCGAGGTACGCGGCGAGCGCCTCCCGGTCGCGCGCCTTGAGGCGCGGCGACGCGTCCCGCGCGCGCCACCACCGTCGCAGCCGCCCCCGGTCGCGGTCCTCCCATTCGGCGTAGCTCGTCGCCACGCGCATGACGTAAAACGTCGTCCGCACGAGCTTGGCGTCGTCGGCGAACGCGCCGAGGTCGCGCGCCACGACGCAGGCGACGCCCGCCTCCTCGCGGACCTCGCGCAGCGCCGTCTCGCGCAGCGTTTCGCCGCGCTCCGCCGTGCCCGCGGGCAGGATCCAGGCGCCGGGCGTCTTCCGCGAGCTGATGAGCAGGACCTCGTCGCCGCGCACGACGACGCCGCCCGCGCGGACCTTGTAGCGCCGCGTGACGCGGAGCCGCCAGAAGCGCTGCGCCGCGCGCCAGACGCGCTTCGCCCACCGCCGCGGCTCCCACCACGGCGGCGCCGCGAGCGCGAGCGCGCCAGCCATCACGCGGTCGCGGCGACGAGGGCTGCTACGGTCCTTCGCGGGCGCATGGCTGTGCCCAGGCAAGTAGCCTCCGAGGATCGTGCAGCGATGATGGCGTAACTCTTGCAAGTTACGGGCTGCCAATCCAGCCACCTTTCAAGCTGGACCGAGGGACACGCACACCGAGCCCCCCTCCACGCTTGGCCAAGCTTGGCTAGCCCCGGGCAAAACCCGTCGCCGGGCGCCGGCGCGCCGCAGGCCTGCAGGGTATAATAATAAAGTACCCCTTGCGGCGGGCGCCCGGGCTTGGAGGACTGCGGTAGTTATTTCGCCGGTACCGCACCGAGGCATGATGGCGGCTATCTAGCGGAGCGCGCGCGCCCGCGGGGCAGCATGGTGTAGGGCTGCCCATGGAGTCCAAGTCCAAGGGCGAGGCCGCGCACCTCGACGCCAGCGCGAAGATCGGCAGAGGTCGCGGCGGGGACAATGGGTCCGACGACGGCGCCGCCCTCCGCGCGGACGGCGGCTGGCGCTCGGCGGCCGCCGCCGCGCCGGGCCTCGCGAGGCCGCGCGGGACCGCGGGCGCCCCGCCGGGCGCGCCCTCGGCTTGGACGGCGTGGGACAGGCGCGGGGCGTGGCGCCTCGTGCACGCGGGGCGCTTCGACGCGGACGCCGCGGCGCAGCCCAAGGACGCGGGCGGCGGCGCCGCGCCCGCGGCGCGGCCGCGGCCGCCGGAGCCAGACGCCGGCCGCCACCGCGACACGGCGTGGCGCGTCCTGCGGGGCGACGCGGCGCGCGCGGACGGCTCGACGAGCGACTCGGGGTCGGACGGCGCGCGCGCGGTGCCCGTCCCCGCGCCCGATAGCCTGCCCGGCGAGGACGCCCTGCCAGCGCGCCGCCGAAGGCGCCGGGGCAGCGGCGCCAAACAAGGGGACGACTCCGACTCGGACGGCCGCCCGCGGCGCCCGCGACGGCGTTCATGAGGAGTCGTGGCCAGTTCGCGGCCATGGCGTCGCGGGCGTAACTACTTCCCGGGAGGAGGTGCTGTTGAAGTCGTGTTCGACGATGTGTCGTTCCGCTACGGCCCAACTTAGCCGGGGTCTTCGATCTGTCGTTCGTCGTCGCCGCGGGCAAGACGGTAGCATTCGTCGGTCCGTCTGGGTCAGGCAAGAGCACGACGGCGCGGCTGGCGTGCCGCCTCTACGACGTCGCGGGCGGCAGTGTACGCGTCGGCGGCATAGATATCAGAGGAGTCAAGCAAGCGTCGCTGCGCCGGTTGACGGCCGTCGTCGCCCAGGAGACTGTACTCTTTAACGAGAGTGTCGCGTTTAACATCGGCTACGGCCTCGAGGGCGACGACCGCGAGCGCGTCGTGCAAGCGGCGAAACGCGCCCAGCTCCACGACCGCGTCATTTCCTGGGAGGACGGCTACGATACTGTGGTAGGCGAACGAGGCCTCCGTCTGAGCGGCGGCGAGAAGCATCGGCTCGGCATAGGGTGGCTTCCGTCGCGGGCGGGGTTGCCAGCACCAGAGTTGGGTTCTGTCGGAACTAATAAAATCGAACGCAAAGAACGTGACACGTTCCTTGAACGGTTCTACGAGTTGCACCCTATCGCGCGTGGTTTGAGCCCCGAAGGTCTTTGCGACGTCCTAATGAGTGACGACTTACCTCACGAGACTGAGAATACTATGTATAGATACCTTATTGCTATTTCGAGGCTCCGGTTGGGCATCCTGACCGAGCGGGGAGAAGGCTCTTAGGAGCTTGTTCCTTTTTTTTTAGGTCTTCCTTAATTTATTTATTTATTTATTTATTTATCCCCCACCTTTTCCCCACTGCAACGTATCTCTCTTCCTCAATAATTAACGTCGGCGAGAGGCGCCAAATCTGCTCTACACACGACAGGGAGGGTTAGAAAGTGCTGACCCGGGTCCGAATACACTGTTCGCCGCCGCGGGCTGCCACGCCCCCCCCCGCGCGCGGCGGCGCGCGCGCTGCCGCCACACGCCGCGGCAGGCCAGCATCACCGGGGCGCGAGCAGCCGCCAACGCCCCCTCCCCCCCCCGACCGCCCGACCACCCGCCGCGCCGCAGGTCGATTCACCATGGCGACCCCCGAACTCGCCTTTTGCGATCTGGCTCGGTCACAAAATCCCGATGCGATTTGCACGCACATGCCCGAGAAGTACTACCAGGAGGACTCGTTCTTCGGCGGCAAGGCGCCGCTATCGAAGGCGTCGGGCTACATCATCGTCATCGGCATGGGCCTCGGCATGACGCTGCTCGCGGCGATCCTCACGCACCTCGAGGTGGCCTACACGCGCTCGGGCGCCATCTCGTCCGAGTTCTTCAACACGGCCGGCCGCTCCGTCAAGACGGGCCTCACGGCCTCCGTCATCGTGTCGCAGTGGACCTGGGCGGCCACGCTGCTGCAGTCGTCCAACGTCGCCTGGAACTACGGCATCTCCGGGCCCTTCTGGTACGCCTCCGGTGCCACGATCCAGGTGCTCCTCTTCGGCATCCTCGCCATCGAGATCAAGCGCAAGTGCCCCACCGCGCACACCATGTGCGAGATCGTCAAGGCGCGCTGGCCCGAGGCGCACAGCACGTTCCTCTTCTTCGGCTTCTCCGCGAACCTCATCGTCACGTCCATGCTCATCCTCGGCGGCGGCGCCACCATCAACGCGCTGACGGGCATGGACACGATCCTCGCCTCGTTCCTCATCCCCATCTCGGTGATCCCCTACACCATGTACGGCGGCCTCAAGGCGACCTTCCTCGCGAGCTACATCCACACGTCCATCATCTTCGTCGTGCTCCTCATGATGATCTACACGATCTACGTGAGCGAGTTCTCCTCGAACCAGATCTGGACGATGATCAAGGAGACCTCGTCGTACACGGAGGAAGAGTGCCGCCACATCTTCTCGGAGGACTTCGTGCAGGGGACGGGGTCGCCGACATACACGGTGTGGTCCGCTTTGCCGAACAAAGACAAGAACACGCCGCCACCGAGCGAACTCTTCCTCTACCGCGAGGAGAAGTCGAAGCTGGCTGAGTGCCTCGACGCGGACGACTGCACGAAACAGTTCGCGTGCGGCGGCGTCGTGGGCAACAAGGGCATGGATACGGACACGGGCTCCTACCTGACCATGATCTCGCTCGAGGGCCTCAAGTTCGGCATCATCAACATCGTGGGCAACTTCGGCACCGTCTTCTGCGACCAGTCGTACTGGCAGTCGGCCATCGCCGCCAAGCCGGCCTCGGCGCACAAGGGCTACATGCTCGGCGGCATGGTCTGGTTCGCGATCCCGTTCTCGCTCGCGTCGTCGCTCGGCGTCGCGTCCACGGCCATCCAGCTCCCCATATCGGCCACGGAGGCGGGCGCGGGCCTCGTGCCGCCCGCCGTCGCCGTGCACCTCCTCGGGTCGGGCGGCGGCTGGGCCATCGCCATCATGCTCTTCATGGCCATCATCTCCACGGGTTCCGCGGAGGCCATCGCCGTGAGCTCGCTGATCTCGTACGACATCTACAAGCCCTACTTCAACCCCAAGGCCAACGGCGACGACGTCATCCGCGTCTCGCGCATCGTCATCCCGATCTACTGCGTGCTCGCGGGCGCCCTCGCGACGGTGCTGTGGGCCATCGGCATCGGCCTCGGCTGGGTCTACGGCTTCATGGGCATCCACATCGGCTGCGCCGTGTCGCCGCTCTGGTTCTGCCTCACGAACTCGCGCGTGTCGGCCAAGGCCGCCATCGCCGCCGCCTGGGCGGGCTGCATCTCGGGCTACGTCGCCTGGATCTGCACGTGCGCGGGCCTCGGCGATCCGCTCGACCGCTTCGGCCTCGGCACGCTCTCCTCCATGCTCGCGGGCAACGTCTTCTCGATCGGCATCTCGTGGTTCATCTGCATGGGCCAGGCCCTCGTGGCGCCGGACGACTACGACTGGCAGTCGCTCAAGGAGATCGCGCTGCTCGACGACGACCAGAGCGGCCTGGACGCCGAGGACCTAAGCGAGGAGAAGCTCGTGCCCGCGCTGGACTGGATCAAGCGCGTCGGCTGGAGCACCACCTTCGTCCTCATCGTCCTCTGGCCCGCCCTGTCGACGCCGGCCGGCGTCTTCACGAAGACGTACTTCGCCTTCTGGATCTTCGTCGTCATCGCGTGGGGCTTCTTCGCGTCCGTGATCATCGTGGGCCTCCCCATCTACGAGTCCTTCGGCGAGATCGCCGTCATCACGCGGGCGCTGACGGGCCTCGGCGGCGGCGCCTCCAAGGACGAGATCGCGCTCTCCGAGCGCGGCGGCAAGTCCGTCGAGGCCTAGCTCGGCCTCGCGCCCGCCGCCCCCCCCCCGCCGTCCCCCCTTGCTGGCCCCCGGCCGGACCGCCGCGCGGACAACCCCGCGCCGGACGCTCCGCGCCACGGCTCCCCGTCCCTGCCATGGCGCCGGGACCGCGTCGAGCGCCGCTCCCCTGAACACCTGAACATCGAGCCGGGCCGCCAAGACAAATGGCCCGGACGCCCGTGTACCATATTCCCCTCCCCTTGCACATAAGCGACGGCATATCGTATCCAACTTCCAAGTTCAGGACCAACGGATATCGTCACGGTTGTACGGTTGTCGTTTGGTCCGAGTCCGGACAAGGTACCGGGTTCGGGTTCGGGTTTTACACGGCGCGCGCACCCCCTAGTCGGCCCCGGTCCTCCTGGACCCATCCGTCGGGCTAGGACAGAGTAATTTATTTATTTATTTATTTATGAAATAGCTATAGTCAATTCGGGTTGCGGGGGCGCGCGCCTAGGGGGGGTGACGGGGGAGCTATCCCCCGCGAGCGTGTACGTAAGCTTGCTGCCGGTCGTAGAAGCGTGCGTCGTCGTCGCCGTGCCCGGGCGCGTTGGTGAAGTTATTTATGCATGGTGCGTTACCCCAGGGCCGGGTTTTTTCACTGGTATTGGGGATTATTGGGGCAGCGTCAAAAGCCGGATCTAACGGAACACCAGTTCGCGGCGCCTCGACCCCCACCCCGGCGGACGCCAAGGCCGTCCCAGCCGACGCACGGATGCGGCCCTGGGCCCCCCTCCTCCTGGTGGCGCGGGGCGCGCTCGTCGGCGGCGACTTCGTCTTCGTGGACTTCAACGAGACTCAGGGCCTGCGCCTCAACGGCGACGCCGAGACGAGCGCCTGCGCGGCCGAGGCCGGCCGCGCGCACGGCCCCGACGAGCGCGGCGCCGCGCCCGGCGCGCTGCCCGCCGTCCAGGCGACGACGTCGGAGACGAAGCGCGTCGAGACGGCCGACACGCTGCGCGGCCGGGCCGACGACGCGCCGCGCGCGGGCCTCCTCCACCGCGACGCCTACGCGTACGCGCCCGCGCCCGCGCGGTGCGCGGGCCGGCTGCGGCTGACGCCGCCGCGGCCCCACGCCCGCGGGTCCGCCTGGCACCACCTGCGCCGGCCCGTCGCGCGCGGCTTCGAGGCCACCTTCACGTTCCAGCTGGCCGCGCCGACGCGGCGGTGCGCGGTGCACCGCGACCTCGACTTCAGCCTCGCGCTCTACGAGCGGTGCGCCGTGCGGGGCGGCGACGGCCTCGCCTTCGTCGTGGCCGACGACCCGAACGGGACGGCCGCGCTGGGCGCGGCGGGCGGCGGCCTCGGCTACGCCGGGCTGCGGCGCGCGCTCGTCGTCGAGCTCGACGCCGACTACAGCCCGCCCGCGGACGGGTTCGCCGCCGACCACGTGGAGCTGCGCTCGGCCGGCGCCGGCGCCGTCGACGCCGCGGCCCCGGCCCACCGCCTCGCGCCGCCCGCGGCGTGGGACCTCGCCGACGGCCGCGAGCACCTCGTCCGCGTCGCGTACGCGCCGTCCGTGCCGGCCCGGTACGCCGGGAACCTCTCGGCCTACCCGGCCGCCGCCCGGTACGCCGTCGACGGCGGCGAGGCGCGTCGGCTCGGGCTCGTGACCGTGTTCCTCGACGACGGCGTGGCCGCCGACCGCCCGGCGCTGGCCGTGCCGCTCAACCTGCCGGAGGCGCTGGGCCTGCCGGGCGACGGCACGGCCCACGTCGGCCTGACGGCCGCGACGGGCGAGCGGTGGCAGGCGCACGACGTCACGAGCTGGGCGGTCTGCGACCGGCCCGGGCGCGACGCCGTGCCATAACCTCCGCGCCGTCGACGCGGCGCCCGCTCGATGGCGTGGCGGCGTGGGTCGTGCGCCCGACTCACCGGTCGATTTCCACGCAGGTGCGACGCCTCGCCCGCGAGGGAGCGGTTCGACCACCACCTCGCGACCCGGGGCGGCGGCGCGGCGGCCGCCTACCGGTTCAGTCCCGGGGCGGGCTTCGGCGGCGCGTCCCGGGCCGCGGACGCGGGCCCGCCGCCGGCGCGGCACGCGTCGCCGGGCAACGACGCCGTCGGGCCGGGCCCTGCCCACCAGTCCACCGCGCGGAACGAGGGCTTCTAAAAAAAGGACGGGCTACTAGTACTAGTATTACCGCCGCCCTTGGGGTCCCCGCGGGGGGCTCGCCGCGGAGCCTCCGACTCGCTGCGCCAAAGGCGGTCGCCGCGGTGGAGTGGACGCTTCGAACAGCGCGGCCTGATGAGCACGCCCGGCCCCCGAGTAACACCATTCAGGGGGAAGGCTCGAGCTTGTTCCTTAATTTATTATTGTTTTTCAAGTTTGTCGTTCCTCACCGCCGCGCCTAGTTTCAAGGTCAATGTCGCGCCACTGGCATCTGTCGCGCCGCCGATCCGCGCCACTGGTCCTCTCGGTTTGCAACGTATTTATCGGCTACGCCTCGTCGTCGAGGAACTTCGGGAGCCGCGCGAGGATTAGCTTGCGCGCACGTTCGGGCAGCGGGAACGCCCGGTCGTTGCCGTCGCGCGCGCCGGGCGCGGGTCGGTCCCAACCCGACTCCTCGACCGCGACGCCGCCCTTCTTGAGGGCGCCCGACGCGTCGTGCAGCTGGAACGTGATCGGGTCGCGCGTCGCGCGGCTCTTCTCGACGTTGGCCGCGTAGATGTCCCGCGTCCGGGCCTGCGCGCGCGTCAACCGGTGAGTCGGGCGCGAACCGAGCGGCGAACGAACCCCAGGTTATGATGGAGACCGCGCGAAAATGTGGCGCGTGCGCCGGTCCGGACGTAGGACTGGCGCAGCGTCGCCTCGTCGTAGGGGACCTCGCTCGCCGCCCGGTCCCAGCGCTGCGCCGCCGTGTCGGCGACCCGGTAGGGCGGGCGGGGCACGGTCGCGGCCCGCCGGTTCCGCTCGCGCGCCGCGCACGACGAGTGGAACGTCTCGCCCGCCGCCGCGTTCGTGAACTCGAGCGTCTTCTCCGGGAAGCGCTCGGTGCCCTCGCTGGTCCCGTACGGCGCGCCGGCCGAGAACAGGTACTTGGTCTTCAGCGGGTTGACCGCCGGCGCGCTCTTGAGCTCGGTCGGCATCGTGGGGCGCCCCGCTCGCGGGAACGCTGCTTGTTCGCCCGCGGCTTATGCGGCGGTCCTCCGCTGGCTTATTCAGCACAGAGCGTAGATACACCCGCAGCGGCGCGGGCGGTTTCTCCCTGCTTATTCAGCACTCTGAGAGCTTAGAGGAGCTTAGATACATCAGATGATACATTACGGTATAACATCGTGTATCAACTATCGTAGGTACCTACGGTACCGTAGGTACTCTGCATAGTCCCGTAGATGCTTGCACGCTTCGGAAAGACGAGGTGTGGAGAATCATATACGCCCTATCTAACACACGCAAAACGTAACTATCATGATCATGATGATTTTGCTCTTTCTTACTCACAAATTTAAACTTGAAGTGCACAAACGTAGATTCACCCGTGACCTCAGGCCCAGAATCTGATGGCTCAGCCGCCAAGTATACCTAGTATGTCACGCTAGTCTGCTCCCACCGCACAATTGCAGCGGTTAAAAATGAACGTCTTCTTTACATTGCTCGTGCTGGCGGCCGCCAGCGCCCAGGAGCCGCTCCTGCCGGCGTTCGTCCTAGCCGGGCGGGCGGACCTCCTGCCGGCGCGCGCGGAGGCCACTGCCGCGGCGCTGCGCGAGGCGGTCCTCGCGCGGCGCCCGGCCGTAGCCGTCTTCCTCACGGCGCCCGGCGCGTCCGCCGCCGCCGTCGCCCGCGCGACCGCCGCCGGCGGCGCGCCCACGCTCGCCGCGCTCGTCGCCGCGCGCCCGTCGGTCGAACTCGCCCTTGACCAAGGACAGGGCGGCGTCGGCGTTTCGCGCAGTCCCGTTGGTCTGCTCGACGCCGCGGCCGCGCTCGCGCGCGGCGCCGCGCCCGTCGTCGTCGACGCCGCCGCGCCGTCGCTCGGGGAGCTGGACGCGGCCCTGCCGGGCCTCGTCGCGGCGGCGGAGCGCGCCGCGGGCACGTCCTTCGTCGTCGTCGTCGCGGGCGCGGCCCGGTGCGGACGTCAAAAGGTGTCGTCCTCGAGGCCGTCGGCGGGAGAGTCGAAACGAGGCGAGTCGCGGACCCTGGCTCACTGGTTGATTTCCCACAGGCGAAGCCGGCGCCCGCGCGGCGCCCGCGCGGCGCCTCGCGCCGCGGCGCCGCCTCGCGGACGCGCCGGCCACGCCGGCCGGCGTCCGCCTGACGCCCGACGCCGCCGTCGGCCTCCTCGTCGGCATCGCCTTCGTCGCCGTGTCGCTGCTCGGCCTCACGTGCATCGGCGCCGTGCAGACGCCGTCCCGGTTCGCGACCGCCCACCCTCCGTCGACGAAGGAGTTCTGACCCGCTCCTTTCCGCGCACGGCCCGGGGGATATCTACTAAGCATGTTGAAAATACCTAGCTTCCGTCGTAGACGCGGTGGCGCGTCGTCTCCGCGTAGATCGCCCGCAGCTGGTCGGCGCCGGGCCGACGCGCGCTGTTGCCGACGAAGTCGAAGCGGTCGCCGTCGCGCGCGAAGAGGCGGTACCGCTTGTCCGGCCAGCGGCGGTGGAGCGCGACGCCGTGGTCGCCGGGGCCGGCGACGCGGAGCGCGTCGGCCGAGGCCTCGTAGATTCGTTCGAAATCCGACAGGAGCAGCGGCGCCATCGTCGCGCCGGCCGCGACGGGCGACGGCAGCGCCAACCTCGGGTTGAGCAGAAGTAAGCACGCGCCGTCCCGCGCGGCGTTCGCGCACACCAGCTGGAGCCGCTCGACGGACGTCGGCGCCACGACCACCGTGAGGTCTCCGCCCGCCGGGGGCGGCGCGCCGCGCGCCGCGGCGCGCGCCGCGCTGCCGAGCGTCCGCGCGCCGCGCGCCGCGCCCGAGAGGACGCGCACGTTCCCGTGGCGCCAGGCCCGCGCGACCGCGGTCACGACGGGACGCAGCGCGGCCTCGTCGGCGTCGGCGCCCGCGCGGCCCGCGGCGGCGGCGCCGCTCGCCGCCGCGGCGAGCGCGAGGTCCGGCGCGCCGAACGTGGCGCGCACGCGCGCCAGGCCGGCCCCGGTGGCCGCGTCGAGCGTTTCGACGAAGTCGTCGAGGAGCGCCGCTCGCGGGTAGACGGCGAAGTCGCGCGGGAGCGAGATGCCGGGCCCCAGGCGTTGTGCCGCGAGCGCGTGCGATCCCGCGGCGCAAGCGAGGGTCAGCCGGGCGAGGAGCATTGATGCGAACGGATGCGAGTTGGTTTCCTCTGGGGGCTGATACCTCCTTCCTGGGCTCAGGCTCAGGCTATTTACGTCGCGGGAGCCCCCGTCGGCCCTCCCAGGCGCTCGGAGCTGCCCCCCAGTGTTACAAGTTCCTTACGGCCGCCAACCTGGGCAGGACCGCAAAGTATGGCAATCATTGTTTGAGTGCATCTCAAATACTAGCGCGCCCGCAACGCGCGTGAGTGCTCGTCAGGAAAGGCTGCCGAGCCGCTTGCGCGACACACCCTGACCACGACCTGGCTGTCCTGCAGCGCATGGGGGCGGCCCGCACTGTGCTCGCCGGGCTCGCCGCGTGGCGTGGCGCGGCGACCGACCCGGCCGCGCGCGCCGCCCGGCTCGCGCTCGAGGCGATCGACGCGTACGGCGCGGTCGCGGTCGCCGCCGCGGCGCCGCCGCGCAACGCGTCCGCCGTGTACGCCAAGGCGCCGGCGGCGGCGGCGCCGCTCGCGACGATGGCGGCCGAGGCGGCCCGCTGGGCGGACGAGGCGATCGCGGCGCGGGACCCCGTCCACGTCCGGGACCGCCTCGGGATGAAGGGCTGCAAGCACTTCGCCGAGTACTTGGATCTGCAGCGCCTCGCGGCGGAGCTGGGCGACGGGGCGGCCCGCGCGCGGGCGCTGCGGGCCGTCGAGCGGGCCGCCGCGGCCGAGGCGTACCACGCGTTCCTCGGTCAGCGGGAGGCGTCGGCGCGGTGGCGCGAGGACTCGATGTCGTACCTGCGCGCGCTCTACCTGAGCGGCGAGCTGGGCGCGCCCGGGCCGCTCCTGGCGGCCTGGCGCGCCCGGGCGGCGGCGGCCATGCCCGCGTTCTGGCGCCACGTCGCGGGCCGCGGCGTCGACCAGCGCCTGAACTTCGCCAAGCTCTTCCGGGGCCTGGGCCTCGCCGCGGAGGCGGACCTGGTCGCCTTCGAGCGCGCGACGCGCCGCGCGACGCACGTCGCGCGGCGCCGGCCCCTCGCGTGGTTCCTCCTCTCCGCGGACCGGCCCTACGACCTCACGCACGAGGTCTTCGCGCTGACGCGCGACGGCCGCGCGCCGTTCCCCGGGGCCGGGGACCCGGCCGCCGCCCTCGCGGCCGACGCGCCGCTCTCGGACCACGCGTACGCGCTCCGCACGGCCGCGGCGCTGCTCAAGGTCTGCGTGCGCCGCGACGCGCTGGACGCCGCGTGCGAGCTGCTGGCGAACCTGGGCCAGCTCGGCGCGCGCGCCGGCGGCGACGCGCTCGGCGAGCTCTACCGCCAGGCCGCGGACTACGTCGCGTCGCGGCGCAACGCCGACGGCTCCTTCGGCGAGACCCACGACGCCGCGCGCGTCCGCGCGGCGAAGGGGATCCCCGCCTACGACGTCGAGGTCGGCGGCACGCTCCACACGACCTTCGTGTGCCTCTGGGCCCTCGCCCAGCGGCCCGGGGGCGGGGTGGACGTCTCGCGACCGGCGTAAACTTAGTCGTCGTCGTCCGAGTCGGCGAACTTGATCGAGTTCGAGCCGAGGTCGACGGCGCCGCCGCGGTAGCCGCCACGCTTCTTCTTCGTCTTCTCGTGGCGGAAGTCCTTGCCGCGAACCTTGCCGAGCTTCGCGGACGCCCGCGCGCCCCAGCCGCCGGCGCCGTACGTCCCCTCGTACGAGTTGTCCTTGAGCCGCTCGTCGCTTATGGCCGCGAGCCACCGCGCGCTGTCGACGCGCTCGAACTGGCGGCCCGGCGCGCGCGGCGCCTTCTTCTTGGCCGGCGCCGCCGCCGGCGCCGGCGCCGCGTCCTGCCGCGCGACCCACGCCGCGACCGCGTCGGCCGCCGCGCGGCGCTCGGCCGCGTCGGCCGCCGCGCGCGCCTCGGCCGCGCGCAGCTCCTCGCTCGCGCTCCGGCCCCGCCGCTTCTTCTTCTTCGGCGGCGCCGCCGCGCCGCCGCCGCCCGCCGCCCGCCGCTTCTTTTCCTTCGCCGGCGCCGCGCCGTCCGCCGCCGCCGCCGCCGCCCCGCGCCGCGCCGCGCGCCGCGCCTGCGTGCGAATTAACCAGTGAGTCGGGTGCGCCCAGACCGCCCGAGGCGTCGCGCGAAGCCGTATTTGCGCGCTGCCGCGCGCCGCGCGCCGCGCGTGGAGGCGCGCCATCTCGAGAAGCGGCGCCGCCGGCGAGGCGGCGCCTCGCAGGCGGCCCTCCTTGCGCAACGCCTTCGCGGCCCGCTCGAGCTTGCAGTCGGCGAGGAAGCTGTGCACCGCGCGCGGGAGGTCCGCGGCGCCGTCGAGGCCCCGTCGCGCTTGTCTCCGGGACCAGGCGGCGGCGGCGGCCTCTAGCGGCACGACCGCGTCCCGCGCGGGCGCCGCCAAGAGCGCCTCCTTCTGCAGCGCCTTCGCGGCCTTGGGGTAGCGCGTGGAGAGGTAGGCGTGGACGGAGGGGAGCAGCTCAGAGGGCTTAATTGACATCGCTCGTTTTCTTCAGCTAGTACAGTTAGATTGGTGAACTCCGGGCGGCTAGGCCGCCTATCCTGAGTTACTTTGGGAAGGTCAATTGCGTAGCTCCCTGCGTTGCGGGAATATCTGCAATCGCCGCCTGAACTGCGTTACCTTCCTTCCTTACTCATGACCTAGCGCCCATGGGTACCGCGACCGTCAGCATGCCCGCTAGGGGATCGCTAGGGGTGCGGCTAGGCGTCTTAGTTGATCGCGAAAGGGCGATCGCAACGGGCTGGGGACGATGGGGGGTTCGACTTTGATGCCTTGGCTCCGAGCGCCGCGACGCCGCGACGGACGCTGCGCCAGGAGCTTAGACTTCGCGAGGTTAATGCATCGGTATCGCTCCGGCTGCCAAGGCGTCGCTCGCGCCGCGCGGGTACCGGCTGGCGTACGTGCGGGCGTTGTCGGGCGGGCACCAGTGGCTGCCTTTCGCGACACGCGGACGCGCGTCGTCGCCATGAGCTGGCAGTCGACCGGCGGTCATTTCGCACGCAAAGATCGCTTCGCCGTGACGCTCGGCGTATGTTCGTGGCAGCTTCATAAACTTGAAAAGCCTCGTTACTCTACTAGATTAGATTTAAGTCGTTGGACGCCATGCTTGTACCGAGGCGTCTGCCGGTACGTTTCTCCCCGCCTAGGAACCCTCCGGTGCTATGGTGGCTCGGCAGCCCAGCTCTAAGCGAAGCAAACAAATAAACAATTAGATAATAAATAAATAAATAAATAAATAAATTAAGGACGGGGCTGCGGGCAGCCCGGGTGCGTTTGGCGACGCGAAACGGTCGCTAGTGATAGTAGGGGGTATACAAGTAAATAAATGAATTAAGGAAAACCTAAAAAAGAGAACAAGCTCCTAAGAGCCTTCTTCCTGCTCGGTGCGTTATGCTAGGTGCCGCGCCGCCGCCGCCGCCGCTGGCCGACGACGACGAGCTGGTCTTCGAGGAGGACTCCCTCGAGGAGGAGGAAATACACGTCTAGTAGGATCCCAAGGTTCAACTGAGACGTATCCAAGCACAACCCGACGTATCCAAGCACCGCAGCTGTCGTACCCTCGCAGCTCGCGAGCGACACCCCGCCGCACACCTAAAAGACCAATAGGCCAAGTCGCTCTAGCGTGCCGTCGCCCACTAGGCCGGAGCAGAAATACCTGGAGAAGCGTCTTAGCGCCACCCCTGCGCGGCGGCGTTGGCGGCCTCCGGCATGTAGGACTCGTTCACGAGCGTGTCGCCGAGCCAGCGGACGCACCGCAGCAGTTCGGGCGGCAGCGGCGGCTCCGCCGCCGCCGCCCGGAGCACGTTCGGCCACAGCACCTCGCCGAAGATGGAGGGCCTCATGCGGAGTTGGTGCGTGCGGCCGCCGTTCCACTTGAAGCCCGACATGTGGCAGACCTCGCTCCGCCGCGTCAGGTCCAGCAGCGCCCGCGTCACGCCGCCGCGCGCGGCGCCGTGGCCCGGGAACGGGTACTGGAGTAGCCGCGCTTCGAGGTGGACGAGGTCGGGACGCTTCATCGCGAGCGCGTACGACTTGCGGCACGAGTCGTGGGCCCAGCCGCCCCACGTCCTCAGGTACGACGTGTTCGCGTACGCCGCGCGCCCCGCGCCGTCCCAGAACAGCTGGAAGAACGTGGAGTTCGGCCGCGCCATCAGGCACCCGAAGTTCGCGACGCGGTCGCGCTCAAAGTTCGAGGGCTCCAGGCCGAGCACGGCGTCGTGGCGCCAGCGGTAGTGGTCCACGCGCCGGTGCAGGAACGCGTCGCGGTCGAGGTAGATGCCGCCCATGTCCAGGATGGTCTTGAGCCGCGTGACGTCCGACAGGTGCGCGAAGGTCTGCTTCGAGCGGACGCGCCGCCCCCGGCCCAGGACCTCGGCCCAGGGGTGCCGGCCGCCCCCGGGGGCGGGGTCCGCCGCGTGCCGCACCTCCTGCGCGCCGGCCGCGCGGAGGCACCGCAGCGCCGCGCGGCCGGCCGGCGTCTGGGGCTCCGTGTACGCCGTGGCGCCCGCCGCGAGGGGGCCGGTGTGCAGGTACAGGGCCTCGGGCCGCTGGACGACGGCCGCCATCGCCACGCTCAGCGCGAGCGTCCAGTCCGCGTCGCCGTCGCGCCAGGCCCAGTGCGCGATGTTCGGGACGCGCGGCGGCGCCGCCGGCCGCACGAACGTGTCGGCCGTGTCCGCGCCGCGGCGCCACGGCATCGCCAGCGGCGTGATGCGCGCGTGGTACGCGCGCGCGGCCTCCTTCAGCCGCTTCGGCTCCCAGCCCTCGAACCCGCGGCCGCCCGCCGCCACGAACTGCGCCGCGACCGCGTCGACGATGCGGCCGACCTCCGGGTCCGGCACGTGCGGCTCCTGGGCGGCCGCCGCGAGGAGGGTCGCGAGCCGCACCGCCATCCACGGCCTCGTCATCTCTAATTAGGAATCGCGGAGGGACACGCCATGGTCCCTAAAAGCTCGATCTCGGTACAATGCTCTCGGGGCGACGACGGCGTCTGAGGGCCGGGGGCGCGGCGGGCGGGCGGTTACGCAGGGAGGCGCTGGCTAGGCAGCCTAGCTCTACAGCACAGTTTTTGTACGTATTCGTACTTATATCTATATCTTAGAAATCGAGGACGGAGGCCACAATGGTCCACATCACAGCCCTCGGCGCTTTTCGCCCCGCGCCCCCAGGCTGCCCAAGGGCGACACGCCAGCTATGGCATGGAGCCCTTCCCATGGCATCATGATGACTCCGAATAGTAAACTTACGGGGGCGGGGCGGGCGTTCGGTCACGCAGCCCCCGCGGCGGGACGTGGCTAGGCGGCCTAGCTCTAAGCAAAGCAAACTTAAAGAAAAAAGACACAAGCTCCTAAGAGCCCGACCCCTCGTCGCCGTCGCCGGTGGCACCGTGACGCACGTCGTGACGCCGCTACCGTGACGTCCGAGCCCGACTCCCCGAGCATGCGAATACATAAGTTTAAGCCCCGCGGGGCGTCGGGTCCCGGGGCCGCTCGCCGACGCGCACCGCGGACTCCCTAGGACGCCTTCCGGGCGCCCGGCCGCCACCGCTCCCGGGGCACCGCCTCGAGCCGCCGCAGGAACGCGGGGAAGCCCACGACCCAGAGGCCCCCCGCGGCGGTGCACGCCAGCAGCTCGACGCGCAGCGGGTCCCCGCTCGCCCCCGCCAGGGCCCCAAGGCCCCAGAGCGCCAGCGACGGCCTGTGTGGAAATCAAATTTTACGGCGCGTTCGTGATGAATCATCGCGTCGTCCTCCACGCCATCGACGCGACGCCTGCTCGATGGCGTGGCGATGCCGGTTCCTCGCCGCTCGACCGAGCCATGACGGCCGCGTCATTGCCGAGAAATGACTTAGTGAAGAATTGTCGGGTGCACCCGTCGCACTTGGTTGATTTCCACACAGGCGACGGCGGCCACTTGGCGCCGACGTTCGCCAGCGTGTTCAGGAGCGTCATGTAGGTGCCCCCGAGGCCCGGGTCCGCGACCCGGGCGAAGAAGGCCATCATGCTCGTGAACATGAGGGTGGACCCCGCCTCCCGCAGCAGGGCGAGCGCGGCGTACGCGCGGTACGCGCGGCGCGACGCCGGCGCGGCCTCGACGCACCGCAGCACGACGTACGTGAGCGGGTTGAGCGCGAGGCGCAGCCGGAAGCCCCAGAGGAAGGCGGACGAGAGCGGCCGCGGCCCCGCGGTCCACCGCGCGGCCGCGAGCGGCAGCGCCACGGACGCCAGGAGCAGCGGGGGCGCGAGCGCCGCGACGGCCTCGGTGGGCAGGCCGCGCCGGACGGCCTCGAGCTGCGCCGCCCCGTCCACGCAGCCGAAGGCCGCCTTGCACGTGAGCAGCACCACGGCCAGGCGCCGCACGGCCGGCAGGCGCAGCGCCGCGAGCGCGCGGCCGTAGGCCGCGCGCGGCGCGACCGCGGCGCCCGCCTCCGCCCGCTCGCGGCAGCCCAGCGCCACGGCCGCCGTCGTGAGGAGAAACCCGGCGCCGCAGGCGCCGACGAACGCCGCGAGCGACACGCGCCCGCGCGCGTGCAGCGCCACGAAGCCGACGTAGCTCAGGGCGTAGCCCAGCGACTGGCCGACGCCGTTGCAGGTGGCGGCCCACCCCGCGCGCCGCTTGGACAGCAGGGTCAGCGCCCAGCCGTCGACCGCGACGTCCTGCGTCGCGCAGAGCGCGTAGAGCGCCGCGAAGTACGCCGCGATCCGGGGCACGGGCGGCGCGGCGGCGGCGACCCACGCGTCGACGCGCCCCCGGGAGAGGAGCATCGTCGCGCCGATGAGCAGCTGCGTCGGCACGAGCCACGTCTTGCGCCGGCCCCAGCGGCGGACGTACGCGGCGTCGACGAGGGGCGCCCACAGGAGCTTGAGGGAGAACGGCAGGCTCGCCAGCGACAGCAGCGCCTGCTCCGCGTACGACGCGCGGCCCGCCAGCAGGAGCGGCACGGCGCCGCTCAGCCCCATGGGGATGCCCTGCAGCGTGTAGAGCGCGAGGAGCAGGCCGGCGGCGCGCAAATCCCCGGCGGCGTCATCGGCCTCGCCCATCGCTTTTTGCTTAGCGCATGCCGGTGGCTCTCATGTCCTGGCCGCCTCGCCGCGTCTGGCGCATGTCTCTGGGTTTCAGCTAAACTATATACACATATGTGCGTGCTTGCTAGTGTCTACTACGCGCGGGAAGCCCTGGAAGCCGCACCCCGGGGCGACACCCCCTCAGACTGCCTCATCGTCGCCGACTCATCGCCGATCCCGCAAATCAGAACTTAGAGTCTGATGGCGGGCAACACGGATATGGGCTATAGCTATAGCCCCTCTAGCCCGGGTTTTGTAGGATTGGCGAGGGTGTTTGGTTAGGTCTTCCGTCTAGCGTGCGTCTTGCGTCGGCGGCCCTTTTTGGTTTTTCGCCGGCCCGTGGTAATTCCGCGTCGATCTGAAAGACCGAGGGCGTCCATGTCGATTATTCCGGGTTCGGGATCGTAGGCCAGGGATAACTGCAACCTACTAAGTAGAGCGTGTTCGGTGGGGCCTCGGGCTGGGCTTTCCTTCTCTACTAGTAGAGAATGTTCCTTTCCTAGTACTAGTAATTATTTATTTCATTAGTAGGCGGGGGGGCGCGGTCGGTCGCGTCTCCTCAGAGGACGACGGACACGCCGACGTGGCCGTGGGAGGGCGCGGTCACGAGCGCCGGGTCGCCCTCCATGAGCGTGTCGTCGTCGACGGCCGAGACCTGGAGCTGGCCGCGGCCCTGCGAGAAGCCGCCGGACACGTTCACGTCGCTGTCGCGGACGCGGTAGGCGAAGCCCGCGTTCAGCGGTGGCGGCGGCGCGTACGACCGCTGCTGCAGCTGCTGCACCTCGGACTGGAGCGCCTGGTACAGCGCGAGGACCTGCGTTGGGTTTTTATAGTGTGGGGTGTCCGGCGGTCCTTTCTCTCACCGCGCCGACGCGAGACCGCGCGCCGCGCGACGGCGTCGGCGTGTACGCCATCGCCGCGACATGAATACGGGACGCCGGTTAAAACGCGGCCCTGCGCCTCGGCGGCGGAGGACTGGAGCCCCGCGGCCTCGGCCCGCGGCGCGGCGAGCGCGTCGGCCGCGGCCGCCAGCGCCTCGCGCTCGGCCGCGGCGGACCAGCCGCCGCCCGGGCGCGGCGCCGCGGCGCCGGCGGCGAAGCGCCGGGCGGCCGCCGCTCGCAGCGCGAACGCGTCGGCGCCGGCCGCCGCCGCCGCGAGCTCGGCCGCCGCCGCGTCGCGCGCCGCCGCGGCGCGCCGCCGGAACGCGAGCTCGGCGCGGCCGTCGACGAGGCGCTCGAGGAGGCCGCGCGCCGCGGCGGCGGCGTCGCCGCCCCCGCGCGCGCCGGCGTCGTGCGCGCGCAGCGCCGTCTCGACGGCGTCGTCGTCCGGGGGGGACCCGGTCCGCACAGCGCGGAGCCCGAGCGCGAACCCACGGTTCGCCTCGCCGCGCGCGAGGCACAGCGCGAAGGCAGCCAGCGCCAGCATCAGCGAGCCCTTGCAGCAGTTTTGTATGCAAGCAAAAACGCTGCCGACGTAGAAACCCGCGAGCTCTGGAGGCTCGGGGCTCAATCAATCGCTAGTGATTTATCTTTAGCTTGTCTTAGACTCCACAGCCTTAGTGCTCATTCAGGAGGTTGCTCCAAACAGCGTCTCCTCGTCGGCGTTTCGCGAAAAGGCGCGAACTAGGCACGACACGCGGGCACACTGCAAGTGGCAGGTACTTATAGTTCGGTCCCCACCCCCCCCTCCCACATAACAGGTAAGACACTAGCTCACTCAAGCTTTTTGTCGAGCGTCGCCTTTCCCCCGGGCTCCCGAGAGTTAGTTGTGCAAGCACTGTGCCTCAGCAACTTGCCTCGCCGCTTCTCACGAGGGGCGGTTGAGCGGACCTTGTCGCTCGTTTGTCGCCCTTGGCAACGGGGCCTAGCCGCGATGCGCCGCCTAGCCGCGATGCGCCGCCTCCTGGCGGTGTCGTGCCTGCTCCGCGCGGCGCGCGGCCTCGCGCCGCCGCGGCGCTGCCGCGCGCGGCGCGCGGCGCCGGCGCTGCTGGCCGTGACGCCGGCGATCGCGCGCGCGCGCATCGCGACGCGCGAGGAGCAGATCAGCGCGCTCGAGGCGGAGCTCGCGCAGCTGCGCGCGGCGGTCGCCGCGGACCGGAGCGCGCTGCGGGAGCTGCAGGCGGGCCCGGCGGCGGCGCCCCGCGCGTTCCGCGAGACGGCCGGCCGGTCGCTGGTCAAGGCGTTCGGCTGGCGCGTGACGGCGGGCTTCGTCACGTTTTGCTCGTCCATGTACTTCACGCGCCGCCTCGCGACGGCGCTCGCGATCGTGGCCTCGGACTTCCTCTCGAAGGCGGGCACGATGTTCGTCGGCGAGCGGCTCTTCAACCGCGTCAAGGCCGGCCGCGGCGCGGGCGGCGAGAGCCTCTCGCGGAGCATCGCCAAGGCCTTGATCTGGCGCGCCGTCGCGTTCGTCAACACCATGGTCGTGTCGGGCGCGATCGTCGGCAGCGCGGGCGTCGGCTCGCTCATCGCCGCGACGGACTCGGTCTTCAAGACGACGCTCATGGTCGGCTACGACCAGATGTGGAACCGCGTGGACTGGGGCAAGGAGCTCGAGGGCGTCGACGGCGACGGCATCTAGGCCGGCCCACCGCCCCGGTAATTTTTACGCCCTACGCGCCGGGGAGGAGGGGCGAAGGCCGGGTCCTGGAGCACTTCCTGGAGCCGTACTAGTGCATTTAGAGTGGGGCCGGGAGGGACTCGGACTCCGAGCCTGAGTCGGAGATGCTTATGCTAGAATGCTTATGCTAGGGACAGGGACGAAAACCCCCCCGGGCCGGGCCCGTTTTAGAGTGGTGTGTCGCTCCCTTACGCCTGGGGGTCCTCGACGAGGAAGCTGTAGACCGCGAACCCCAGGAAGATCAGGCCGCCGCAGACGGCGACGTGCTTCTCGCTGATGCGCGCCGCGAGCATGCGGCCGCCCACGACCGCGAGGCCCGTGCACATGGCGTGGCCCACGACGCCCCCGGCGACGACGCCGTACGGGTCCTTCGCCGCCGCGAGCGCGATCGTCGCGATCTGCGACCGGTCGCCCCACTCCGCCAGGAAGGTGAGCGCGAACGCCTGCGAGAGCACGCGGAGCGCCTCGCCCTTGCCGTCGCCGGCCCCGGGGGGGCGCGGCGCCGCGGCGCCGCCCGCCTCGGCGTCGCCGGGCGCGTCCTGCTTCTTGCCCGCGCCCACGCCCAGCTCCTCCTCGACCTCCTCGAGCTCCTCGGACACGGTCCCCGTCTCCATGCTCCGCGCGTCCCGCAGCAGCCGCAGCCCGAAGTAGAGGAAGAGGCCCGCGCTCGCGTAGTGCGTGTAGGTCCGCGGCAGGAGGGACGGCAGCGCGAGGCCCAGCAGCGCCGACAGCACCGTCATCACCGCGAGCGCGCCGAGCGCGCCGGCGAAGACGACGAGCCGCGCGTGGCGCATCGCCAGGATCGCCGCGATGAAGAACGTCTTGTCGCCGACCTCCGTCGCCCAGATCATGCCCATGGAGTTCACGAACGCGCGCGCGAAGCCGGCGCCGCCCGCCGGCGTCGCGTCGCCGGCGGCGGCGGCGCCTTTGCGCGGCGCCGCGGGCGCGGGCGGCGCGATCGCGCCCGTCCTCGCCCGCGCCACGTAGAGGCTCGCCAGCGCGGCCTCGAACTCGTCGGGGTCCAGGCGGGCGTCGTGGTCCGCGTCGCCGCTGCGGAAGGCCTCCAGGACGTTCGGGTCTAACGCCGCGGCAACCGCGGCGGCGCAAACCCAGGCGACGCGCATACTGTGGGAGGGATATAGATTTATGTCGCTTGCAATAACGCTGTCGACGTAGAAACCCGCGAGCTCTGAGGCTCGGGGCTCAATCGCAAGTGATTTATCTTCGCTTGCAATTACAGGCCAAACGCTGTCGACGTAGAAACCCGCGTTACAGGCTATTACGGGGAAATGCCTAGGGATAGGGATAGAGCCAAGTGGGGTTGTTAGGCTAGGAGGACGGCGATTATTGTTGGAGGAAGTAGTTATAGCGGGTCAGGAACAGACTACGTCTTCTTATGCTGAATGAAGCAGCATAGCTCCAAATAACGAATTCCTCGGCCGCATGCGTTCCGCCGCCTGGTCGGCCGCCCTGGGCACCGGGGCGCTGCTGGCGCTCGCGGCGCGGGCGTACGGGCGGCGGCGGCGGGCGGCGCGCGACGCGGCGGGGCCGCCGCCGCGGCACGTCGCCATCATCATGGACGGCAACCGACGCTTCGGCGCGCGCGCGTTCGGGCCCGAGCGGCGGCTCGAGGGCCACGCGGCCGGCGCGCGCAAGCTCGGCGAGGTCGTCGACTGGTGCCTGGGCCGCGGCGTCGCGGAGCTGACGGTCTTCGCGTTCTCGACCGAGAACTGGGACCGCGACGCGGGCGAGGTGGCGGCGCTCATGCGCGAGTTCGTCGCGCGCGCGGCCGAGGTCGAGCGGCGCTGCGTCGAGCGCGGCATCCGCTGCCGGATCCTGTGCACGGCGCCGGAGCGCCTGCCGCGCGCCGCCAGGGCGGCGCTGGACCGGCTCGAGGCGGCGACGGCGCCCGTCCCCGCCCCGCGGCTCGTGCTGAACATCGCGGTCTCGTACGGCGCGCGGGGCGAGATCGCGCGCGCCGCCCGGACGCTCGCCGCGCGCTGCGCGCGCGGCGAGCTCGCCGCCGGCGAGATCGACGAGGCGGCGGTCGAGCGCGAGCTGCTGCTGCGGTCGCCGCCCGACCTCGTGGTCCGGACGTCGGGCGAGCGGCGGCTCTCGAATTTCTTGCTGTGGCAGGCCGCGTACGCCGAGCTGGTGTTCGTGGAGAAGCACTGGCCCGCCTTCGCCGAGCGCGACCTCGACGCCGCCCTCGACGAGTACCGGCGGAGAGGCCGCCGCTTCGGCCGCTAGGCGGGCCGCGGTCCAGAATACAACCCTGTCTCGTGGGTGTGCGGGGTTTTCGGGGGGGCGCTTCCGCTGCCCTTCCAATCGCTTTTCCGACGGTGAGGTCCCAGGCTCGGGCTCTCACTGGCAGGCTGTTGGTGGGCACACTAGCTTAGGAGAGCTCGAAGGACGCGCAGTTGTCGACCGCGCACCGGAGCTGGCGCGCCGCCGCGGCGTACGACGAGGCGCGCGAGAGGATGATCTGGTTGAAGCACGTGTGCGCGACCGGGAGCGCGTCGGTGCGCGCGGCGTCGTGCGTGAGCGTGAGCGGCGGCCGGAAGCCGTCGACGGGGATGCGATCCGAGCCCGTCGCGAAGGCGAGGACGCGCGCGACGCCCGCCGCGCCCAGGTCCGCCATGGCCTGCCAGAACCAGAGCGCGACGACGTGGTCGTGTCCGAAGCCCGTGCGCGCGTCCTCCGTGTACTGCGCGTGCGCGCGGAGCTCGTCGACGTCGACGCCGCCGCCGCGGCCGCAGATCAGGGTGCGGACCTCGCCCCCGCTGAACGCCGCGAGGGCCCCGGGCGCGAGGCCGGCCTCGGCGGCGCCGCGCAGCAGCGCGTCGAGCTCCATCGCGCACGCGCCGCGCGCGCGCCACCGCGCGACGAGCAGCGCGTACGTGCGCTTGTTGCCGTCGTGCACGCGCTCGCGCGCGCCGCCCGCGCGCAGCTCGACCTCGGCGCCGCCGGGCGCCGTCGCCGTGAAGTAGCGCTCGCCGAGCGCGCCGCCGTCCGCCCCGAGGTCGGCCCCCAGGATCCAGCGCAGCGACCGCGCGAACGGCGCGTCGACGGCGTCGACGTCGGCGAGCGCGGCGGCGAGCGCCGCGTCGTCGGCGCCCCCCTCGCCGTCGTCGCCGACGCCGCGGAGCGCGTCCAGGACGGGCGCCGCGAGCGGGAGGTCGAGGCACAGCTGCGCGGCGACGGCCGCCGCCACCAGCCGCCCGACCGCGCGGAACGCGTCCGCGCGTTTCGCGTCCGCCGCGCCCGCCGGCGCGGCGACGAGCTCGAGCTCGCCGCGCGCCGTCCGCGCGAAGAGGCCGGCCCCGGGGTCGGCGAGCGCGCGCGAGAGCGCGAGGCACCAGTCGCGCGCGAGGCCGCCCGCGTCGACGCCGGCCTCGCCGACGAACTCGACGCGCAGCCGCCGGCGCAGCGCCGACGCCGGCGCGCGGAGCAGCGCGGCGAGCGAGTCGGCGACGAGCCGGTCCCTGCGGACGCGGAGCGGCTCCGCGCCGCGCTCCGGGACGTCCCGGATCGCGTCGCGCAGCGCGCGCCGGCGCGCGCGGAAGCGCGCCTCGCGCTCCTGCGCGTCCGCGGCGGCGGCGAACTCCGGCGGCGCGTCGTCCCGGCGCTCGCCGGTCGCACGGTGGAAGTAGAAGACGCGCTCGCGCCCGGCGTCCCAGTACTCGCGCCAGTGGTCGCCCTCGCGAAGCAGCGCCGCGTTCGCGGAGCCCCCCGCGTCGCCGTCCGCGGCGCGCGGCGCCGACGGTGTGCGCACGAGCGCCGGCGGCGAGGGTCCCGACGCGCCCGCGCCGTTCGCCGCCGAGACGCTGAACTCGTAGCGCGTGCCGGCGGCGAGGCCGTCCACCAGCCGCGCCGCGCGCGGTCCGTCGTAGACGACGCGCCACGCGCCGGCCGGGTCCGTGCGGCGCGCGCGGAGCACGTAGCGCGTCACGGGCGCGCCGCCGTCGCGGCGCGGCGCGCGCCAGAAGAGGCCGACGGCGTCGGGCCGCAGGTTCCCGGCGGCGGGCCGTCCGGGCGCGTCGGGCGGTGCCGGCGCCGCGCGCAGCGTCACCGCACGCGACCACTGCGACCAGCCGCGGTGGTTGCGCGCGCGCGCGCGGAACTCGACCGTCGCGCCGGGCGCCACGCCGCGCGCCCACGCCTCGTGCGCGTCGCCGCGCTGCGGTTCGACGGCACCGAGCGCGCGCCAGCCGACCGGCGACGTGCCCCCGCCGCCGCCGCCGGCCGCGCCCCGGTGCTGCACCTCGTAGCGGTCCACGACCGCCGCCGCGTCGGCGCCGCCGGGCGCCGCCCACGCGACGCCGAGCGCGGCACCGCCGCCTCCGCCGGCCGCCGGCCGTAGCACCGGCGGCGCGGGCGGGTCTGTCGCCGCCGCGAGCGTCGCCGCGCGGATGACCCGGCGACCGGGGGCGCCGCCGCGGCGCGCAACGACGATGTCGCCGGCTGGCGAGACGACACAGGCCTCAGGGTACCCAGCGACGGCCGCCGCGCCGCCCCGGGGCCCGTCCTGCGCGGCGCCGGGGGCTGCACGCGCGCTGTCGAGCGACACGAGCGCCGTCGGTAGGTGGTGCGCCGCCGATCGGACCGCGCTGACGCGGACCGGCGCGCCGTAGTAGATGTGCTCGCGGCAGTAGCGGATCGCCGCGCGCTGGGCCGCGAGGCACGCCTCGTCCTCGGCCACCTCGGCGCGCGTCAGCACGAGCAAGTCGTCGCGGCCGCGCCGGACGCGCCACGCGCGCTCGACGAGCGAGGCGGCCGCCCCCATGCCACCCGGGACTGGCTTCACTGCTTCCGCATGGGGCTCGGAGCCACTAGGAGCAGGGCAGTCCTTTGAGCCCGGGTGCGACACACAACACGAGAAAGTTTGGCAGCCGCCTGACTAGTCCGCGCCGCTGCTAACGGACTAGCAACTTCCTGCATTCATCGCGCTACATTCGTGCTGAATTTACCTGCTGAATCACCTATCTTCTTCCTTCGAGTATACACGTCTTAGAAAATACCTACGGTACCTACGGTACCTACGATAGGCACCGACTCACTGAACCTACTTTATCCGGGCATTCAAGATATAATTGAAATAACTAGGATAGTTGGGAGATTTATGAGTGGAAAGGAGGCCGTTGCCCGACAACGGACGACAACCCGGGCCCCGGACCACGCGTCCGCAGCGTTTCTCTCGCTCCCCGCGTTCCGATGAGCACCTTTTCAAAACCATCCGAGCCCACCTTGCCGCGAAACTGCCGCCGACACTAGGACCGTTTCGGACCCGCTCTAACCCGACTTTCGCCCACCGGCAGCGGCGCAAGGCGGGCTACTCGTCGGCGCGGAGGTGAGGGGTATAATGTAGTTGTCTAGTACCACAACAATATTTATGCTAGGGCCCGGACGGAGTTGTCGGGTGAACTGAAGCAGGCCTCCGTTGTCGTGGAGTAGTCTTTGTTAAAAACCAAACCAAAAGCTTACTTTCCTCCCCGCTTGCGCCGCTTGGACCGCGGAGGAGGCGGAGGAGGCGCCGGAGCCTTCCGCTGCGACCGCCGCGGCGGCGGACGAGGCGGTGGTGGGATATCCCGAGGAGGCTGTGGCCGCGGGCGCGGCGGAGGAGGCACCGGCCGCCGTGGCGGCGGCGGCTTGCGGAGAAGCTGCGACGGCAGGACTGCGCCGCCACTGGTGTGGTCGAACGCGACCTCGTAGAGGTCGTCGCGGCACCGCGTGACGGTCGCCCTGTAAAAGCACCGATCCCGCGCAAAAAACGCCTCGACGACTTCGCCCTGCCTATATTGCACGTCGCGCTCCAGCGACCCCACGAGGTCCGCCGGCACGACGCAGCGCTCGCCGTCGTAGAACTTGACGTCGACGTCGCCGTCGCCGCGCACCTCGACGACCGTCGCCGGCACGTGGCGCCGCCACTGCCAGTAAAACGCGCTGACACGCGCACCGTCGGGAAGCCGCCGCCGCCGCCGCGTCGGCGCCGCCGGCGACAGCTCGCGCAGCGCCTGGCGGAAGGCCCGGCCGCGCGGCTGCGCCTCGCGCTCCTCCTTCGCGCGCGCGGCGCGGTCCGCCGCGCGCCGCTCCGCCTGTGTGGATACGTGTCATCTTACATCGCGTCGATGGCGTGGGGCGCCGTCAATTTGATTTCCACACCGCGTGCCGCCCGCTCGCGCGCCACGCGCTGGCGGTCGTGCTCGTTGACCGCCGCTTCTTCCTCGTCCTCGTCCTCGACGTCCTCGCCGCGACCGCGCCGCCACGCCTTGATCTCGCGGTCGTCCTCCGCCATCCCGACGCGGGCCTCCGCGAGCCAGTTGACGGGAGCGCCGATCGGGACAAACACCTCGGACTCGAGCTTCTCGGCCCGCGCCTCGCCCCAGGCCTTGAGCTTGCTGACGATCGTGCCGATGCTGTAAAACTTGACCTGAGGGTCGAGCCGGTCGACCTTGTATAAGGCCAACGACCGCTGAGACATGCAGCACAACAGACGCTCCTCGTAGAGGAGCCGTAGATCGTCGCTAAAGCCCCGTCCCTTCCGCTCATTTTGCCGCCAGTACATCCACTGGAACTCGCAAAATCGGTAGGCGCCCCTCGCGGCGGCGTTCGGCGTCGTGCCGTCGGCCTCGAAGCCGATCACCTGTCTCCTTCCAAGGGAGCGCACATAAGCCGACTTCGGGCACACGTGCTCGCGCTCCATCGAACCCACGGGCACGCCGAAGAGCATGCGCTTCGCGCCGAGCAGCTCAGCTTTGACGTCGGGCGGCGCCGGATGCATGCACGCCTCCAAGTACTTCGCGAAGTCCTCGCGCGACATACCCGTCAGCTCCTTGTGGGAGTCATCCGACGTCCCGCCGTAGAGCGGCGTCGCGACGCTGAACTTTTGCCACGACTTGCCCGAATCGGGCAGGTCACACTTGTTGCACCACTCGCTGTCAAGACCCGAGCCGCAAGGGCATGTTTTGAGGGCGGCGGCGACCTTTCGGGCGCCCAAGCGAGCATCCTTACGCCAGGCCATTTGCCCACTGCCGTCGAGCACGCGTGGCGCCACCTCGTCGTCCTCGTCCTTCTGTCGCGCGCGTGCATCCCGTTTCCGCGCTGCATCCTTCTTGCGGACCGAGTCGCGCCGTGAGCGCACTACTTTACTAGAAAAGCGGTAGTCGGGGTGAGTAGCAAGAGGCTTATGCTGCGCGTCGTAGAATTTTCTTTCGTATTGATGATAATGTTTGCCCCCGCGTTTCGCGCCTTCTGGGATCACGCCGTCCTCAGCCAGCTCATCAATGCTTCGGACGACGCCGACACAGTCCGTGGCCAGTTCCATGTCATAATTACCAATATCGACCTTCATCGCGCTCACGTCCACCGCGCGAACTTTATAGACTTCGTCTTCGATCCGCACCCAGTCGCCCACCGTGATCTCGCTGCCATTTTCATCATGGACGTACGGTAGCGGTGGTTGCTCCTTGCTCGGATAAGCACACCCCGGAGTGCGCGTGAGGCCGCCCTTACCAAGTTCGCGCAGCTTCTTATCATGCTCCGGATCGTTGTAATTAGTGCGGTCGCCTGTAGGCATTGTAGACTTGCGGTGACTCGGCCCGCTCACGGCACGCGCGTGTAGGCAGTGGAGGCGTAGGTATTTTGAGATTTGCACGACGCACTAATTAGTGCGGAGTAGTACCTGCGCGTACATCGACGGTGTGAGCGCGTGGGCGACGGCGTGCAAATGTGAAATTGTTCGACGCAGGTCTCGCGCTTGGTCGGTTGCTTGGCGAGCTGGCCGGTAAAACCGGTGGTTATCCTTGCGCTCTCTCTGTCAACCTTTTGCCCAGATGTCAAGGAGCTGGAGATCCAGGCCTATTATATTTGTGCGGAGTTTACCTAGAACAGCAGCAGTCTCACTTAAGCTCGCCACTAAAGCTCGCCACTAAACTGCGTAGGCCCCGGGTACCAGCCTCGTAATAGGGACTTTTCACCGCGCGCTTACTTCGAGTCCTCCTCCGAGTCCTCGACCTTCCAGGCCTCGTAGCATGCATGAGCGAGACCTCGGCCGGCGACTTGTCTCTAATAACCCCGGATTGGGTTCATCTACCTGCTGTGATCTACTGCTGTGATACAGGCACGTATCTTTGTATATTACGTCTACGGGTGTTCAACCCAGCCGCCTTTGGCAGCCAGGGAGCATGGGACTAGTATCCCTATGCTGGGCTTTGGTCCCCAGATAAGTACGTCACGGTCCTGTTCGACCTGTCCGAGTCGCAGATCAATGTGAGTGATCATCTGCTGACGAGCTAAACTTGGTATGATAGCATAGTTCAACTTTGCTCTGGCACTCAGGCTGCCAAACGGGCTTTGCAATTTACCTGAAGGTGTGGGCCCGAGGCCAGGATTTCTACTAGTTCCCCTCAGGCTTCGAAGCCCGGCGTAATGGGCCCGGGGTTGTTATGATCCCCGCCGCGGCGACACCTGGCGTCACGGTGTTGGTAGAGCCAGAGGCCTCAACAGCCCTCTGTTTGCAAGAGGAGCTTTATGATGGGCCCCCCAGGGGGGCTGTTCCGAACCAATATAGTGCTGACTTATGTCTAGCAGCTACGATCAGTATCTTAGCAGCTGTATCTGGCCACATGGTTGAAAAGTTAAACTTGAATGTTACAAATGTTCCTTTATCTCCCACTGCCATTCGGATAGGAAGTAGGCTAAGTAGGTAATACAAGTAGTGCGAGTTGCCAGTGTGCTTCAAAGTTGGAAACTTGAACGTCTCAGGATCGCTGGCATGATCCCGGATACCGTGACATAACCGTGACAATGCCAAAGATACTTAATCTCCTGCAGCTGCACAGGACCGCCCAACGGCAATAACTTGACATAAAGACGATATCGGAGAGTAAGAAGCCCGTCCCGGGGTGCCAGTGCCAGGGTGCATTTTGCTGCGACTCAGCCTAGCACGCCGCGGTGATTTGACACCACCTCGCGCCTCTCGCTACCTATCTATTCCTGCGATGTTTCTGACTGCACGACATGATATCGACGAATTGTTCGTTCCATATATTCGCGGTAGCGTGCCAGCTCCTCCTCCAGCGTTTGAACCCTATAGGCGAGTTGTACACATCGCCCCTCGGCCTCGCCAAGCAGGGCCATTGTCGACTTGGGGGTTATGTCTCTCACATTCGCATTTGGATTCGAACTGGTCTCTGGTGTTCTTGAAGACTTATCTAGCCAGCTGAGGTTGCGCATTTCGGAGGATCCCATTCTCGCGGGGCTGTCGTCGCCAAGAGCTGCCAATTCAAGGTCACGATGGAGTCTTTGCACCGCTCTGCGAGCTGTGGCTATTTGCTTTCCAGCCTTGGCTCGTCGTCTGTCTGGATCTATTTGTGTCCTTGAAGTATGCTGAGGTTCCCTTGCTTGCTGCATTCTGTTGGCGACGAGTTTAAGCGCTTCGGCCCTCCTCAAAGCCTCGTCATAATGCGCTTTCGCACGTATCAATGCCTGGTCCATATCTTCTTTGCCTTCCTTGCTGTCTCTCTGGGGTTCAGTTTCGGTCTCACCCTGTACAACAGGCGACCTGTTTGCTTCTAAGCGCGTCGTGACCGCGGACGTCTCCTCGCTGGCACGAGGTTTGACGCCCGGGCGGGGGGTCTCCCCACAGAGTCCATCGATCTGCCGTGCAAGATCGTCGTTGCGCTCCTGCTTCTCTTTACATGCCTTCTGCAGGCTGCGTATCGCGGCTATCGCTCGACCTTGCTGCAGCGTCGCTCGGGCTCTCACTTCGTCCAACGCAGCGTAATAGCTCTCGCGCTCTGCCTCTACGGTCTGTGGTACCTGGGCCTCGGAAAGATCACCGGCCGCGCGTTCGAGCGTCTCGCCAAATTCGTGCTTTAGCTCCTTCACCTTCGTCGGGCAGTGTCGCGTCAGCGCATCCTGGAGACAATCACAGTGATCGAGGGCGGCCTTCAGACGGGCAGTGGCCAGGCGTTGTGACGCCCTCAAGTTATCGACGTCTGAACCCAACTGGCCTTCCCTCTCCCGATAGCTTTGCACAAAGCGTTGATAGCAAGCGGAAAAGGAGTTTTTCTGTAAAGGATCCCTGAATTCAACAAACTTCACGACCAATCCGTTCAAAGTTGGGAGACTGTCCATCGACGTGTTCGGTCTAGCGTCCTGGCTGGTCCAGTAGACGATTTCCAGTGCTGACGCAAGATCTGCATCTAGTCGTGCGCAATAGTCTGCTTCCTGGGCTATGCATCGCTTCCTCATCGCATTTCCTTCCATTTTTACTTGCGCAGCATCTGCCTTACTTCGCTTCAAAGCAAGTTCTAGATTACTGACACGCCTCTTCATCGCCAGTACCTCTCCGTGCAAACCCCAAGCATCTTTTTCTTTGGCATCTTTCATCAACGTTAATTTTTGAAGACTCTCTTCTACAAGTTCCCTTGCTTCGGCAAGCTCTGCCTCTCTTGCTTTTAGAATGGCAGCTGCGTCTTTATCTTGGTCCAAAAGCGCTCGTTCGGCCTCTACCCGTGCCTGTGACAGTTCGGCTGTCACGCTAGCGTGATCTCGCTGAAGGCCACTGAACTCGGCCTTCATCTCATTCGCACTCTTTAGCAGTTGTCGGTTCCGCCTGTCCGCGTCCACAGATGTCGCATCGACCGCCGAATCTCTGTCGATCTTCCGAGTGATTTCGTTGTGCTTTTGTGCGCTCCTTTTTAGAGCGTCTCGCTGTTGCGCCACTCTGAGTAACTCGGCTGATATTTCAATATTTCGGGCCTTTTCCGTGTTGGCCTCGAGCCTAAGAACATCTTCCTCTCTGCTGAATCTCGCTACTTCGCAGCGGAGCTTTTCTGAGGTTTCGTGGGTCTTACTCAGTTCCGTCGTCAGGAAGTTCTCGCGGCTTTGCATGTGGGCCTTAAGCGCTCTCAACTCTTCGCACTCTATCGCGAGTTCGGCCGCCCTATCTTTGAGAGAGAGAAACACGGATTCCGACGAATAGCGATCAAGCTCGGAGGATGCCCGCAGATTGCTTTTCGAAAGCTTGGACTCGAGAAACGCTCGAGAGATGTCCATTTTTGCTTGCTCCGCGCGGATCAGTGCTTTAGCCTGGTTAGCCTTTTGTTCCGCAAGCTGTGTATATTTGCCCTTGAACAATTCTAAGACATTATACACCCTGGTACTATCCTCGCGTGCAGATGTCGTGTCAAGCCTGCTATCGGCAAGCAAGCGCTCGAGTATATGTAAACGCTTAGATAATGGAGCGTCGAGGGGCTGCTCAAAGTCATCGTTCTTCTCGCGGACAACAAGTTCTGACTTTGTAACCTGAGAATGGTGGTCGTTTGCTAAGCGATTCATGGCAAGCATACATGCCCGATGCCGCAGCACCAGGCCCAGGACATGCGTTTGAGATAAAGAGACTGGAAATTGGCGTATGCTACCGAGTTTGCTTTGTAGCTGTAGCGTGGCAGAACGCGTCTCTGAACTGTCATTTGCATCAGCACAAGCAAGTGATAGCAACAAGCAATTCCCCCCGAGGCGTTCTGCAAGCAATGAAGCCAGCTGCGAATTTCCATGGGAGACATGCACTCTTGTTGAATGTGGCTTGCAGAGGTTATCAATGCAGGATACAAGGGAGTACAAAGAACGATTCCTTTTGGAGCCCTCTCGTAGAATGAGCTGCTCCCGAGGTATCGCAAGCTTGTGTGTTGACGGTACCTCTATGATAGAAATTGTCGATAGCGCGATGCACTTCCAACCCTGTGCCAGCTCTTCATTATTTAACACTGTACTACGTGCGGTCGTGGGTGAGGGCTTGCATTCGCTGCGATCACTCAAGGCAAGGTGGTGCAGCTCTAATTCAAAATAACAAGCTGCACAATCCATGGATGCCTGCACGTCTGCATACTGATCACGACGCAAACGTCCCTCCTGGACTAACCGCGCCACGTCCGTTGCTGAATATACTCGCTGTGACGTAGCTCCTTGGAGATAGGCACCGCGATGCATGTCGTTAGTGACTACTACGGTACCAGCTATTCCACAATCTTTTCCAGCAGCCTTGCGAAAACATGGTGTTGTATCATCAATACGCTCATTAGTCGATGGCCGAAGGAGGTCGGTCACAAGCTCGTCATGAAATTCGACAAACTTGACAGTTACCACGCAACGCCATTGCGCAAAATTCGAGCCCCAGGGACAATTTGTGTTCGCGGCTAGTACTTCAAACAAATCATTTGAAAGCAGGCCAATAATTCCTTCACCCGCATCTGTTTCCGTCTGAGAAGCGACTGGAAGCATCTCCTTCCCCGGGTATGGCCCCTGGAAAAGGTCTCTTTTCTTAGATACAGAACTACCCAATACGAGCATGCAAACGGGCACGGCATCCAACGCAGCGGCTGCCACCGGAGAGCTAAAGGGTGTTGTATGTGGCAAGTGCTTCATTCTATGGTACATTTGCTTGAGGGACATGTCGTCTGAGTTAAACATATTCTCAGACTGAACTCCACACAGCAATCCGCTCGGGAGCACCGTGTAGCTTCGCGTAAGGACCCCGGGGGGCGGCTGGAACTTAACAACGTCAGGTGTTTCCTCCATGGCAGCCTCGGGAGTTCAGTTTAGATGCAGCATATGCACATATAAACAGCTGCCGCTCAGCCGCCGCGGCATGCAAGCAATAAGTGTACACTGTACCGTACCGCAGGTACCGTAGGTAGCAAGAGTATGTCGCAGCGTTATGTAAAGTAGCAGGGTGTTAGCTAACCAGCCGAGGGCTGGATAGACCTGACTACGAGAGTGTTTTATAGTGAACTGTTGTTACACCGTAGCGTCGATAGACACTCAATGTATAGACTCAAATTTAGAGAGTGGGAGATACATATCTAGGGTAGGAAGGGCTAGTAGGTTTCTCTCTCTAGTAGGTACTAGGTACCTACCGTACCGTAGGTACCCTAGGTACCCACGTAGAGAGAGAAACCTACTAGCCCTTCCTACCCTAGATATGTATCTCCCACTCTCTAATATTTGAGTCTATACATCGAGTGTCAAAAGCACTACGGTGTAACAACAGTTCACTATAAAACACTCTCGCAGTCAGGCCTATCAGCCCTAGGCTGATTAGCTAAGACCCTGCTACTTACATAACGCTGCGACATACTCTTGCTAGGTTATGGGCCCACAGGGTTCTGCCTATTGACGTAGAGTGTTTTACAGTGAATGCCTAAACAAGGAAAAACACCCAAAAAGAAATCTAAAGAGAAAACACCCCAAGGTGAATTTCAGGTTAGTTGACACGGTCCGTGCTAGTAGAGCTGGTGTGTCTGCGTCGACTTAGAAATTTTCGTTTACCATCGTCCACAGTCAGACTACCGCCTGAGTAGTATCCGACGCTGAACGTTTTGATGTCATGCATAGTTCTATGTTCACGAGTGGCTAACGTGTGCTTCAGTGCTCCTGTTTGATCTTTGAAATCTATGTAATAAGTGTCATGTTTGTCGCCCTCTGAGCATCGACCCATTATGTAAGAAGCTCATGAGTTGCATAGTATTGGTTTGGAATCAGTGGATTGTTGTAAATATCTTTTATTCTCTTCCAGCAGACGAGTTGAGAGCCAATACCTTTATGATCGCCCTTGTCACAAAAGGTTTTTAGCTCGTAAGCTAGTCTCTTTTGAAGAAAACTGTAGGTCATTCTAGTGAGTACGTTGCCATAGTTGGAGTGTGAACTTCTAAGATCCCATCCTGGTGGGATGTTATTATTTAAATCACAAAATCTGCGCATGGCTGATGTTTCGCACATGTTTATCTTGGTCGTGAAAGCGAATCTCCATGCTACACCCCTAGTGAGTTCGTAGCCGTTTATTGCTCCCATGACATCTTCTATGTCAGTAATGATGCCTTGTGCGTTGGCTTTGCTCACCCACCAAGTGTACGTACCATGTTGTTTATTTCTCCGAGTCCGAGCGTAATGGGCAGCGACAATCGTCGCAGAGCCGACCAGCAAGCTACTCATCTCAGCAAACTACCTGTAATGTAATGAAACTGCTAGACCACGTTTGGAGGGGGGGGGTTCGAAACGAGTCCGAGTCACGGTCACGGTCACTGGCATGATTTGAACAAATCCGACTCGGAGTCATGATTAGCCGAGTCATTCAAGTTCAAGTTATCATCATGATGAGTCAGAGTCACTGGCACGGTCACGGTCGCGGTCGGATCAATTTCAAATCTCCGAGTCCGGGCCCAACTTGACTCTCGGAAAATCGGGCCTCGGTCCCCCAAGCTCCCACCTATATTAGGCTATGAACGGCGGGTATGCTATGACAAATTAGCAAGAGGTCGGGCTACGCGCACCGACAGTAAGAGCTTACCAGTATAATTAGCTCGAGTCTAGTACAAGCTCGTACCTACGGTACCATGGTACCAGCTTGTACCGCAGTACGGCGGCAGTTATGTCGCTTTTCCTTGATTTTCCATGCTTATTGTCCGGGTGTTCAAAAGTGATCTCAGCAGCGTGGTGCGTTGTAGAGCCCATCTGTGCATTCTCAACAAATGACCACTGTATTTCATTCTACCTGGAAGAGGGTGTGTCTTTGGAGCGATGTCGAATCCTTCGCAAGAGCGATGCGACGGCGATTGCTTGGCACCCGACAGCCAAAGTAATTGCTGCCGGATGGGGAGATGGCAGCATCTCTGTATGGGATTTATCACCTTTGTCATCATCCGAAGTTAGTCCCCGTGATCTGGCTGATACGCTATCAAGCACTTGTATATTTACTGATTCGAGTGGGCAAGCGCCTATTCGTACAGTTATGTGGAACCCGTCGGCGACACGACTCGTTTCTGCGAATAACTCTGGTGCGATCTTAATATGGAAGGTAAAAACTTTAATACTGCTACCTCTTAATCCTGGGGGGATGTTGATCAGGCGGATAACCGTGGAGGCCTTTCTCTCTTTAAAGGCATCTCCATTGGATCGGGGGTTACCTGCGCCGCGCAAAGCCAGCGCGGGCTCTGTCATGTCAAGCGGGTTTCATTTTTTCTATTGCAATCATAGGTCTTTACACCGTTGAGCCTGGGCTTGGCACTACTCTGTGTTAATCGGCAGTGCATAACTCCGTAGCATATATTGATAGGTCCAGACAGATGCACTTGCACAAGGACTGTCGTCTTCATTATTCCTTGGAACACGCCGGGGCTCTGTGCATTACATAGACGACTTGGGGCGAGTAAGCGAAGTGCAGACACTTGGCGCATACATCGACCATATGCTCTTTTTCGAAAAGAAATCACGTCTTGTTGTTTTGACACGCACATTTATACTGGCCCAACTTGAAATACGTAGTGACTGCAAGGTGGTTCCCATAATGAAAATGAAAGTTTCAGTTGCTGGTGGCTCACCAGAACGTGGTATAAAGCACGTCTGTTGGGCGGGACCGGGAATTATTGCTGCTGCTACCGGAGAGGTTCCAGAGCGCTCTGGCCTGTCGGTGTCTAAATTTAACAGGAGCCATGCTATCTTGTGCAAATAGGCATTGATAAGACTCTGGAATCTTCTGAGTGACGAAACATATATTGTGACACTATCTTCAGTAGGCTTGGGGCTCGATTCGCGTGTGTCGTCAGTGGCCTTCAATCCATTGCAAAGATTTCTTGCTGCGGGTACAGAAGATGGTAGCATCGCTATGTGGCGTTTTGTGGGTAAGTACCAGCATATGTGCTGCGATAATGGAAAGAACACAGGGACCACCGTAAATGTATACACTTTTGTGGTAAATTTTACGCATGTTAATATAGGCAAATGACTGGGAAGCGATGCCGTCATCAACGGCATGTGGAGGCAATTCATCCATCGATTTGCTTGCATGGGGACCCGGCCAAGGCCTACTTGTAGCTGCCGCTCCTAATGGACAAGCCTCTCTTCTTTCCGAGACCGTGCTTCACCGACTTCTTTGCTGCGATGTTGGAGCCATTCAGCTCTCAACTGACAGTGTCAGACTCGAAAGGCAAAGCGGTGCTAGCGCATTGTTGGCTGCCGATATATCCATCCGAGGTCTTGCTGTATCTTCTAGACACGAAAGACACGGCGTCATTTTGAGCTTTCCCTCTATCCCGCCTCTCCTGTCTTGCTTATGCTTGCTTACGGGTAATTTATAGGTTTTGGTCTGGAACGGCCAGAAGGCACAGGTGTTTGAATGGTCTTATGATATGGGAGACAACAAACCGCTGCCAATTGCAAAATTTTCGTCTACAGCACGCGCCATGGCTCTCCGTGATGAGACAATATATCGTGCATCGAATAATGTAGTCGAGCTTTGCAACCTAAATGGTATTGTGCGCCAGAAAATGACATTTTCTGAAGGCGAGGGTTCTCCTACTCATCTTGATGTCAACGGTCAGTTCCTTGCTGTTGCGACAGATACAGGTCTTATCAAATTATTCAAAGTGACCCGCCGTGAGCCGAAACAACTTGGCTCTCCAGGCCATTTTAATCTCTGGGCACATGCACAGAACCTTGTCCCTTCCATTTCAATTTCTACTGAGTCGCAAAGAATCCACTGCAAAACATCACAAGGGCACCAAGCCACACAAACTCAGGAGAAATCAAAAGGTAACGCCATTCGTTCTATTCGCTGTAATTCTGATGGTACACGTGTTTCTATCATTGCTGATCATGTGCGTTAGCGAGTGGATTAGAGCTAATTCAATGTCGCGTGAATAATTTCTACATGATACAACCTTAGGTATATGGCAAATCTGTCCGGATTCGAGAACCCGACTCACGTTTACACGTATATGACTCAGAAAGGGATATTGTTGACTCTTATGATTTTTTTGAGCTGCAGCATTTCCCAACTTCTCATTTTTGGGATCCGCTTGAACCCAAATTACTGACTTGTGAGACACGGCAAGCACGAAAAGTGCCGATTGTACTTGGGGATTATGGAGTCAACAAACTAAGTCAACCGCATTTATTGGCTCAGAGCATGGTCTCGGGTTCACTTGAACCAACAGAGTCCCGGCATGGCATAGCAAGCGACCTCACACAGAACGTTCGAGGGAACTCTAGCTCAGGCGTGCAAGTTATGACCTTGTTTGTGACAGCTGAGTATGGAATGCTGCTTCAGGATGCTTTCCCCTTAGAGCCACCCCTAGAAGCTCTTCTAGGGGTTCAAGTGCCTCAGCTGTTCTTTACCCGCTGCAGTACCAGAGGTACTAAAACAGATTTTGACGGCAGTCTTGGCAATAGTGATGATGGAGACAATGATACATCCAACTTGAGGTGTGTCGCGCTATGTAGTCGCGTGATGCGAGACTTTGTTGGTCTTGATGACGCTGACAATAAAACACGCTCTGCTTTGCTTGATTTCTCTTTCCATCTGACAATTGGCAACATGGACGAAGCACATCGGGCTGTTCGCTGTATTGAATCCCCTGCGGTCTGGGAAAACATGGCACACATGTGCGTGCAGACAAAGCGGTTGGACGTCGCAGAAGTCTGCCTTGGTCACATGGGACATGCGCGGGGCGCCGCTGCCGTCCGGATTGCCAAGGCTGAGATTGCTGAACTAGAAGCTCGAGTTGCATCGGTTTGTGTCTGCGAGAGAAACATTTTGGGGCGCAATAACATTTTGAGCTGCAGTTGTCTTTAGGTTGCGGTTCAACTGGGGCTTCGCAATGATGCTGCACGGCTTTATCGTGAGTGCCGACGCTTCGATCTCTTGAATGAATTGTACCAAGCAGCCGGTGAATGGGAACTTGCTCTTGATTTGGCATCGTACTCAGACCGCATTCACCTTCGTTCAACTCACCATCGCTACGCACTGCATCTTGAGGCACTGGGGTCGTACGACAACGCTGCTAGACACTTCGAGCTAGCCAACACCCATCGACGTGAGGTACCTCGTATGTTAGTCACTAGAGGTGAGCAAGCGGCACTGGAACGGTACATCATGCGGGCTAAGGACACTGAGCTAATGAGGTGGTGGGCTGGCTACTGTGAGTCCTTGGGGCACATTGATTCAGCGCAGCATTGCTATGAATCAGTTGGTGACTATTACTCCCTTGTGCGCGTGGCATGCTTTTCAAACCAGACAAATCATGCAGTAGAAATTATTGGTCAATCATTTTCAGCAGCTGGCGCATACCATCTTGCTCGCCACTTCGAGGGTTGCGGTGATATCAATAAGGCGATACATTATTTTGCTAAGTCTGGTTGCTATAACCACGCAATTCGTCTGGCACGTCAATATCAACTAGACGTTAACCTTTTGCAATTCTCCATAGAGGCTTGTCCAAGCCTTCAAGTTGATTGTGCTCTCTATTTTGAGCGAAAAGGTGAGTTTGAGAAAGCTGTCCACCTCTACCAGAAAGGCGGTGAACTTGCAAAAGCACTCGACCTCTGCTTCAAAGTAGGTAGTGCTGGACGCACGGAAATGTTTGAAGTTCTCTCCACTATCTCTAGAGAACTAGACAACTCGGCTCCACCCAATGTGGTAGCGCGCTGCGCTGAATTCTTTGTCGAGCACGGTCAGTACGAGCAGGCTGTCAGGCTGTATATCAGGGGTGGGAAATATAAGCAGGCAATCATGCTCTGCTGTGAACACCATGTCACAATTACGGAGGAGCTTGCCGATGCAATGACTCCCCCAAAGATAGAAAAATACCGAGATCATGATGATAGTAGTGGTAAAGGTGAGCAGTATTCATTAATCTCACACAAGGCCCCAGCAATAAGCCATGATGAGCGTGTAGAGCTGATTCTTGATCTTGCACGTGTGTGTAAGAAGCAAAACTCCTATCAACTTGCATGCAAAAAGTTTACCCAGGCTGGTGATCGTGCTCGCGCTCTAAGATGTTTGTTGAAAAGCGGAGACACAAAAAATATCATATATTACGCTTCTGTGAGTCGGAATCGTGACATATATATACTAGCAGCAAATTATCTCCAGTCGCTGGACTGGCAATCGGGCTCGACTGATGCGGCCGAGCTGACAAAACGAATTGTTGAGTTCTACACTAAAGCACGTGCACATGAACCTCTTGCTGCGTTCTACGATGCCTATGCGCAGATGGAAATAGATGAGTTTCGCGACTACGAGAAGGCTTTGGATGCACTAAAAGAGTCAAAACAACAACTCGAGAAAGCCAAAAAATTGATTGATCGGGAATGCCGCATTGACGTTCTTGAATCACGGATAGCTATTGTTACTGATTTTGTCCAAGCCCGAAAGTACGAAAAGTCTGATCCTCACAAGATGGCTGATATGTGCACTGCCATCTTGAGCAGGCGAGAGGCGACAACAGTGGGTATTTGTGTGGCTTCCCCCGATTGAGCTTCGTATGCGTTTTATTATTGATATTTAGGCAATTCGGATTGGCGATGCGTACGCTCTTCTTGTTGAGTATCATTTTAAAAAAGGAAATGCACACGACGCCTTCGATTTGCTTCAGCAAATGCGCCAAGGAAACATTGCCCTGCACCCTTACCTGGAATCAAATCTTCTCGAACAAATCCATAAAACAGTCGGGGTGGTACTTCTCCCGGATGAGAAAGGGTATATGCCTCCAGCTGATGAAGGTTTGGTAAAAGAGGAGGTGGGGGAGGTAGAGTAAGACCTCAGGCTCAGACTGCCAGTGGAGGTAGTTACGGTAAATAAATAATTACTAGTAATCATGATTACTACTATCATGCTGATTAGTAAGGGAGGAATATCCTAAAGAAAAGGACATAGACCAAGCCTCTAAACAGTCTACACACACACACACACACACACACACATGGAGAACGGTGCTCAAGCTGACTGGACCCTACTCCGTTCCGGGGGAGAGAGAATTGACCGTCAAAGCTTTTTCAACTTTATGAAACTGTGGTACGAACCAAAAAGCTCCCTCACCAACTATGGAAACGAAACAGGACCCAGCAGACACCTATCGAAGGCTGAGAAACAGAAGATCTGGAGTCTTTATGAGCAAGATAAACAGATTGCCAAGGCACTGGGTATAACACAAGCGCAGCTTGTGGCGATCAAGTACCAGCCCGAGTCTCTTATGTACGCAACAGAAAAGTCTACCGAACATTTACCTGGGACTACGTATGACGTAAATGAACATGTCAAAGATTATTGTCTACTGCCAGTGGCTAACTACGTTGAGCACTGGTCCAATAGCCAGAAAGAGATTGATTACTCCGAAATACTGAATTCCATGACTTTTGTAGGGGGAAGTCGCCTCTCACTCCTAACTATTATCATCCTGAGTCACTTTTATTGACGGACGCAATTCCCCGTCACAAACCCCATCAAACATGGGAGAAACTATTTCGTTAGACGACTACACTACGCTGCCGGGGAAGTCCGGGGCTACACACTCTATTTCCCTATGCATCGCAAAGTATCGCTTATCCTAATAGTACTATACCGCTCGCCTTGAGCGCGTGGTCACTTGAGCGCGCGATCTTTTTCCGTCGCCGCGTGTCAACCAGCGGCCGGTCGGGAGACCATATGGCGGGCGTCAATGGCAGATCACTTGGACATCCCTTGAAAAAACTTTGGACACCAATGGGACGCTGCGCAAGTCCGAGAACGAAGGAGCAATCCCAATCTGCACGCCCCGCCTGGTGTGCACTGGCGTCCGATACGCCGTTAGAACTTGAACGCCTCCGCTTCTTCGTCCCTAGCCTGAGGACGACGTCAAAAAAATTAGTCGCTTTCAAACAAATTGCGACCTGAATGGAGCTTTGACGATCATTAGAATGGGGGTTCGGCGTCGGACAGTAAATTCGAGGACGATTAGGGCTCCACACGAGCCGAGTCTGTTCGTGTACTGGCCCGGGGGGGGTGTACATCCCGCATACGAGCAAGGGGCAAACACACGTCGCAACGACGCTTTTGGTGCTGCTTGATGAGAACACTGGCCTTAGAGTAACGCAATATCGCAAAGTCACATCGACCACTCCTAGGGGTGAGTCTGCAGTGAGTCAGCCCACCTGGAGCGTGCGGACGTCTTGTTCTATGGGCGAGCTGCAACGACTGTAATCATTTGGCTTTGGGCTGACTTTGGTCTCCAGGTGCTTAGGTGTGAAAGTGCTAGTGGCCAGACGTCTCGCTACTGGCGTCTTTAGCCGCGTATGCGATCTGTATGGCAGCCCATCAGGTTTGACGGCCGTGTTTGCGCGTCCCGTCCACACCCACGGGTCAGCCCAAGATAGAAAGCGCCAATGTGTCTAGCCGTGGTGAGTTGAAATAGCCTTGAATATATGAATCAAGTCTGATCTACTTCGGCTGCGCGACGTATTTCCTAAGATGCAGAGGGAGTGAGAATCAGACAAAGGGAGAAACAAGAAGTGATCACCTCAAAGTACGGATTATGCCATTTTTGAAACGCAGCCCATGTGATAGTCCCAGCTCTTGAATGTAAGGCAACCTCACCAGAGTCAATGTCATCCTCCGATAGCCCTTCGGGGTGCATGACTTGTAGTAACTCCTTGAAGTGTCGCATATCTAGAACTCCATCGGTGACTTTGTTAGGAGAAGTCGTTGTTTGGGTCACAAAATTGTCAAAAATACTGCGCTCCCAACTCCACGCAGCACTACAGCTTCCGCTTTCAGCACATCCACATCTATCACAGCTTGGCATCCATCTGACAAACTTAGCCTCTACATTGTGATTCGTGTGGCATCGCCGCGCACAAGAGCGACATACCTACAACATTGAATGGATACATCAGCGGTTTAATGTAATTTTGTGCCACGGTGAAGAAGCACATAGGACTGCCGACAAGGAAAACACCTCAGAACACTCTCGTAGGTGAAGCGAACACTAGCATTTTGATCGGCTGGTAGCGTGTCAAGACAATAGCGTAAACCTTGGCACACCAATATCTTGATCAATATCTCAATGACTTGTTTTAATGCGAACCTGGTAAGACGTGACTTTGTCTTCTGTCCTTGAATTTATTACGGAGTACATCAAAATGGAAGATCGATATCTCCTCGCTGTCACCATGAATAGATATTCTGTTCCATGGGGCATTCCTAGAACGAGTGCTACATGCAGTATCACATTAGCGTCGCAAATAATGTGGATCAAGTTTCACCTTGAGGCACGAGCAAGAACAAGGCTATGACGTGCTCCTGCAGCACAGCCCTTTATGCTTTCATTGAGCGTGCACAACGTGGCAGGTTGTAGGCGAACATTTGTGTCACCTGCCGCAAAAACTTGCATCATTAATGAATACCAGGGACACACCTAGACCAAGCTCGCCGAAGGCGTTGGAGCCCCAGGCGTATACAGTTTCACGTTTGGCCAGAGCAGCGTGAGCTTCAGCGACCCTTTGAACCTATTTTGCGTATCCTAAACCATCGATGCGCTGAAAGGCACGGCATGCGGCTGCAATATTGTGTCTATTGCCTGTTGCAAATGTAAGGACCGAATGCACACCTGGAACCACAACAGGCTCCTCCCTGTCCCAGAGATCACCATATCCTAGTTGGCCATACTTGCCACAGCCCCACGCTAGGAACTGACCTGTCGTTGTAAGGACAAGTGTGTGTGCAATCCCGCACGAAACAATTGAATTTTTTGGTTGCTGAGCCTCTTTCGCAATATTCAAGCGAAGACGCTCAAGGGTATGATTTATTGTTTTGACCAGCTGTGGTGAATGATGCAGTCTTACATCAACCCCACCAAGTCTTGAATCATTTGGATCTCCCCACGAGTATGCCCGGGCCTAAGCTCTCGTGTTTCTAGGTAGCAGGTGATCATTCATGTGGCTAATTGAATAAACGCGGCTTTGGGACATCCAATCCAGCATGACCGGCATCAGCAATGACCACTGTGTGCGCTTCTCCTACAACACCACTATGCTTATCCTTGATGCGATCTATCGCACATATTCAAAGCGGACGATGGTATTTGTGCCAGCAGCAAGATCACGCACCGACAGAAGGCAATCTTCGTCGGGTTCGAGTAGAATCTTTACTGGAGTAACACAGGCGCGCGATAAAAAGCCAAGGCCGAGCTGCCCGCAGTGGTTTCTACCCCAGAGAAACACCTGATGTCTGTCGACTAGTGCCGCACAATGCCAACGTCCACATGTAATACGCCGCACTATTGAATCTTCTGGGAATCCTCTGATACGAGCTGGCATAATGTGGTTCTGCTCACCATCATTGTGTCCAAGCACAGCGTAGCGACCCTGCCCCCACGAATAAACCTTACCACAATGAGATATCGCATACCTACTCAACAAGAGAATGTATGATTCAGATAAAAAGAGCGTGTTACTCTGTGGTGCAACGATGTACTGTCACCGGCGGCAACGCTGCTAATCCTCGCTCCATCGAACTTTGCCTGCTGCATCGGAAAGGTCATCCCTGAATCAGACGTTCCCTGACGTAGGACATCACTTCTGCAATCGTCGGCTTGGCCACACACCCAAACTGCACCGCAAGATAATAAAACTAAGCTATGGTCTGTACCCGCTGCGCAGCTCATAGCGTTTTCACCGCTCAATCCATGCATCTGCAAGGGATAGGTCTGCGCAGCACCACGCCTATTCAAGCAGCCCCACGCGTAGACTGTAGATATAGAACTATCAGTCATTTTGTAGATGCCAGCTAGTGGCGAGGAGCCATAGGCAGACCGTGCTCAGAAGGCTGGATAAGCAAGAGCAAGGGTAAGGATACCTATTGGTACAGTACAGGGCGGGTACACGAGTACAACTTATGTTAACTTATGGGATGATACATGATAGCAGGAGTATGTCGCAGCGTTATATAAAGTAGCAGGATCCTAAACCCCTCGCGTGTAGACCACGCCTCCCGAGCCACTGAAGCGTCTAGGTAGGCCTTTGCGACGTCACGGTAAATTCCGAGCAGACTCGGAGTTCGATAAATACTGGTAGGGCGAAATACCCCCCCCCCCTATCCTATACCCTTCCTATACACTTACATCACCCTTCAACACGCAACGTGTAATAAACACAGTTAATAAACACAGCTAGGAAATGAGGGGGTAGCTAGGTAAAACTTGAAAATACCGGTACCGTGACGTTGTTTTGATGTCCGCCGAGCGGTTCAAGTTGCTGCCACGGGGTACAGGGTGGCATCGCTGCCATCAAATTAGGCGGAAGCTAATGGATTTCAAACTGAGACGCGCAAAAATGGCGCGAGGGAGAGCCACTTGGAGCTCTGGGCGCCGCCCGAGACATGGGCTCCTACTTCTAGTAGGAAACTTTGAAATTTAGATAAATTTCGGACCCCCCCCCCCCCGTTTTTTTACAACCCCCTTCACTTCGCCTTCTGGGGCTCCTCAGCGTCAATTATCGCTCACAGGGGTTGTTCTCTCCTCGCCTGCGCCTCGAGGCCCATTGTTTGGTTCGGGGACTTTTAGTCGACTGCGAGACGGTCCCCACCGCGACACACAATACGACACCATCTCCAGCTTCTCGAGCGCTCGAATGCGGTCGCAGTGGCCGAGGCTACCCCACGCATGTGCCTGATCCATTGCCTTTTTGGCACATGCCGCCTGGCGATTTCTTCTACGTAGCGCCGCACATGGTCTCAGCGACGGAATCGGTGCAAATACTGCCCCTGCGCGTTCCACTGACTTTGTTACCTTCGGTCAGCCTCGGCTCAGCAAAAAATTTTCGCGGGGGCCAACATGGGCGCGTCGGAAGGGCCGTACTTCAGGCCAGCTTTTCTCGTGCGCATCGCTGTGAAGTCCTGGCTATGGTTCTTCCAGCGCACTATCCCGTGGCAGCACACGCGACTGCTGAGCACAGGGCTTATCTAGAGTAACTATACTCTACATGTATACTAGTGCACTCTAGGCCCATACTAGTATTCCATCGACGCCGTAATCGTACCATTGAGAATGAAGATCGAGGACGTGCAATCGACGGCGCGCCAGCAACGCGTCGCGGCACATACGCACATCAAGGGACTGGGTCTGGATGCGCACGGGAGCGCCTTATCAATTGGCACGGGAATGGTCGGTCAGGAAAAAGCGCGTGAAGCGGCGGGTGTGGTTGTAGAGCTGATTGGAACAAAGAAGATGGCCGGGCGTGCAACAGTGTCGGGAATGCTTGTAGTATTTCAAATTTCATTTCTCGCGCAGGCGAGCGTTGTTGCTTGCGGGTGCCCCTGGGACAGGTAAAACAGCACTTGCTCTTGCGATAGCTCAGGAATTGGGCTCCAAGGTGCCATTTTGCCCAATGGTCGGTTCTGAAGTTTATTCTTCTGAAGTGAAAAAAACAGAAATTCTCATGGAGAATTTTCGCAGAGCCATCGGGTTAAGAATAAAGGAAAACAAGGAGGTTTACGAAGGTGAGGTGACTGAAATCACCCCAGCAGAGACTGAAAATCCCTTGGGAGGCTACGGACGAACGGTCAGTCACGTTATTCTTGGTTTGAAGACCACCAGGGGTGCTAAGCAGCTGCGACTTGATCCTAGCATCTATGAGCAGATGCAAAAAGAGAAGGTCGCAGTTGGTGACATCATTTATGTAGAGGGATCCACAGGGGCGGTAAAGAGAGTTGGACGTTCGGATGCTTATGCAACCGAATTTGATCTGGAGGCGGAAGAGTACGTGCCCCTCCCAAAAGGAGATGTACATAAGAAGAAAGAGGTCATTCAGGATGTGAGTCTGCATGACCTTGATGTGGCAAACGCACGACCTCAAGGTGGTGGGAGTGATCTAGCAACTGTGATGGGCTCTGTGCTCAAACCAAAAAAAACAGAGATAACTGAGAAGCTTCGCACCGAAATAAATCGTGTTGTTAATAGATACATCGACCAAGGCACCGCAGAACTAGTGCCTGGCGTTCTCTTTGTGGACGAAGTCCATATGTTAGACATCGAATGCTTTACATACTTAAATCGCGCTCTCGAATCTAGCCTGGCTCCCATAGTGATATTTGCAACAAATCGCGGTGTATGTACTATCCGCGGCACAGATGTTGTCTCGCCTCACGGTATTCCTGTTGACCTCTTAGATCGCATGTTGATTCTTCGTACCATGCCCTATTCGCTAGAGGAGATAATCCAAATTATGTCGATTCGTGCGGAGACCGAGTCTCTTGATATTGAGGACCAAGCCCTCGCCGCCCTTGGAGAAATTGGCGTAAGAACTTCACTCCGTTATGCTGTCCAAATGCTGGCACCGTCAAAGATCCTCGCGGAGACAAATGGACGCACGTCTATCCACCTTAGCGACATTGCGGAAGTAGACGACCTATTCTTTGATGCGAAGGCCTCCGCAGCGATATTGGCTAACTCCGATGGTTATCTTGCTTAGGTGCAAGATCGCTGAGGTGGGCCAAAAAGTTGATAATCACCTGTCGTGAGGGTCGCAACTACCACAAAATTGTAGCCAAAATTGTATCGAAGTGCCAGTTGTGAAGCAATCCGAGCTACAACTTAGTGCAAACAAACAAATTCTAGATCCACGGGGACATTTTGCCTTAAGTTTGATGAAAGTGGTCACGGTAGGCCGCATCGTCGAGTAGTATAGGGATTATGTATACTTTATGTCCCATCCTGACGGACTCGAAAACGAACAAAATTAGTCCCCCGCCTAAAGGCGTGGAACGAATTTCATACATTTTGTGGGAATGAGCGAAGTCGCCACGGCAACGCAGGTATTGGCGAAGCCAATGCCGAGTAGGGGATGGTGGCGACGTCACGGTGGGAGCGAAGCGACCGAGCGCGTCCGCCCTCGGTGGGAAGAGCAACGTCAAGCCCAACGGGCGTAGGCGTTGCGATGGGGCGGACTATGAGACTGTAAGTCCAATAATTAGTAAAAAAGTATAATTTTCTGGTAATAGTTGGGAAATACTTTTTTATGATTTGCCGATGCTTAGCGTTGGGTATTCAGTGATATGTGTGTGTTGTTCCAATGATTAGTAAAAATCTGAACAAAGATACACAAAATACTTTTTACAGATTTTACAGAAATGGGCCCACGAGACCACCCGGGCCGTCAAAATCTCGAACCTCATAAAAATGGCCCCCGGGCAGCCCCTGAACAAGAGACCGGCGGCAACCCCGGGCCTGGGCCTCCAATGGGGGGTTGCAATGGAAATTCACTGAGACGTATCCATGCACAACCGTGACCCGTACTTGTATTACCTACCCCCATGATCCTAGCAGGGTACCAGGGTGGGACGTGATGGCAAGTGTTTGGAGGCCTCTCGGAGGGGAGAAGTAAACGTTTGCTAGGTGTTTACGTCACGGTCCCACCCTGCAGGGTACTCCGATATCCCCTTCAAGTTATAGGGGGAAATCATGATCGCCTCCCACTCCTAACTATGATACATTCATCCTGAGTCACTTTTATTGGCGGATGCTGCAAGTCCCCTCAAATGCTGCCGCCGGGGAACCCAAGGTTGGCCCGGGAATTGGACATTGTGGCACTGGCACCCGGGCTCCATTTCAATTCCCCCTGCTGCGCACTGCTTGTAAGACAACCTCAAAATAACCCCCCCCCCGCTGCAGTGGCACGACCAGGGCTCGGCCCGAGAACTGAGCTCCCATATCCTCAGTAATATTCTAAACCCATGGATCAAGTAATTTTGATTGGCCCAAAATCAGTCCTCGCGAGACACCTGCTGGAGCTGCGCCTGATGCTGCTTTAACACTTCGAGGGCCTCTGCTACTTTCATTCGTAAAGCATCTGGTGATTCGAGAAGATGTAAAAGTTCGGAGTTGTCCATCTCAAGTAGCATGCCAGTAATCTTGCCAGCTAGCTCAGGTTGAGAGTGATGGATCAGGGGATAAAGGCGCTCGCCGATCATGTTCTTCTGGAGTGTTGGGGAGGCATTGGCAAGGGCTGACAATGTAAGTGGGTCCTCAGGGGGGCGTCGCGGCGATTGTCCAGAGCCAGACGCACTGGGCTGTTGGAGGGGCAATGGTGGTGGCATAGGTGGTGCCACTCCAGGACCACCAGGAAAACCTTGTCCAGGCTGTTGACCGACAGTGGGAGGCATAAGATGGGCCTGAGGCGGAAGTTGCGTCATACTAGGAGCCATGTTGGCGGCATTGCGCGCATTCTGTGTGTACTTGTACTGCTGACCCCCCTGAGCTTGCGCGCCCTGTCCTCCCCTGTTTCGAGAACGTCTATTGGAACTACCCTGGCCTCCCATTTGCTGCATCTGTCCGGGATGGATTGGGTATGCTCCCTGACGAGGCCCACCTCCGTGAAAGCCTGTCCGTGGATCTGCTATTGGACCCCTAGGTGAGCCGCGAGCCATAACATAGCCACGAGCGTTTGGCGGGACACTCGATATAGGAACGCCTGGGTGGCCTTGGGGGGGAATTCCCATAGGGTGACCGCCAGGTGTACCTGCAGCGTACATGATAGGCATTGCGGCGCCGTACGGCGCAGCCAGATGTGCCGGATGCAAACCCTGAGGCCCGTGACTTGGTACACCACCAGGTCCAAGGGTACCAGGGTGTGTACCATAGGGGCCAGGGGTCCGACGCTGTGCGTGTTGAGCCTCCAACTGAGCGCGACGCACTTCCTTGCGCTGTGCTAGCGCAACAAAAATTGGCTTACCGAGGACCAGCTTGTTATTCATTTCAGTGACGGCTTTGGCAGCTTCTTCAGGTGATGAAAAACACACAAACCCGAAACCTCTAGAAGTACCAGAGGCGGGTTCGCGCATGATGCGCGCAGAAGTTATTGTGCCAAATTCCGCAAAATGTTCCCGCAACTGATCGTCATCTAAGGCATCATCTAGATTCTTGACAAACAAGTTTACACCTTGATACTTCTTGATGCGTTCTATCTTAGCTGCATCAAATTTGGCCTTAAGTTCGCGCTCGCGCTCAACTTTTTTCTGCGCTCGACCAACGAAGAGCGGAGCTTTGAGATGTATCGTGGAGCCGCTCTCCTTTTGAGGCAACTCACTTGCTCCATTGAGCGCCTCTATGGCAGCAACAGCAGAATCATGGTGCTCAAAGTTAACCCATCCGAAGGCAGATACTTCAGTTGGTGAAGCTGACTCTCCTGAGTTTACATCAATTGATGTAGCCGTGGAACCGCTTCTCGCCACAGAAGGCGGCAGCTCCTCACCAGCGTCGTGACGCGTGTGCTTGGCCTCGTCCATTGCTTCTTGTGCCGCGGATGTTGCTTCCTTTGCTCCAACGGTCTCTTCAGCCTTTGGCTTGATTGAAATCCTAAGGGGTTGTACTTTGCACGAGGTAATGGCTCCATACAGTTCAAATGTTTTGCGCAAATTGGACTCATCCCATTCAGCGGGGAAATTTTTCACATAAAGATTTGTCCAATCTGCTTGACCTGACCGTTCGGTACGCCGCACAAAGTGACCAACGTACACCTCCTTGTCGCATATGGTCATTGAGTTTATCTTGCTTATCGCATCAGTTGCGGCCTCCTCGGACTCGTAGTGCACATAACCATATCCTTGTGACTGCCCAGTCTCATCTGTGGCCACTTTGCATGACAAGATGTTTCCAAACAACGAAAAAGTGTCAAACAAGGCCTTGTGATCAATGGAGGCGTCAAGATTCTTTACGAAGACGTTGCCCACCCCCGATTTCCTCAGCGTAGGGTCTCGTTGCGACCACATAATTCGACATGGTTTAGACTTGATCAGCGTATAGTTCATTGTGTCTAATGCCCTTTCAGCATCTGACACGTTGTGAAAATTGACGTACGCATAGCCTAGACTTCGACGTGTTACTGCATCGCGACAAACACGAATGGATGCAACAGGGCCAACTGTGTTGAAGATCTCAAAGAGCAGGCCCTGCGAAATACACTAATAACGTCAAGGTATGCACAACGTACCTCAGAAGCATCAGCAGCAAGGTCGCCAACATACAGCGATGCCGAGTGAAACGGCACAGACGCCGACGCGATCATCGTTTGGAGACTATCGCTGGACAGTCTAGTATGTATTCATACTTCCAGTACCGGGGACATGAGAGCTCCGTCCGAGTCCGAGTCGAAACTGGGAGTACTAGTAACTCGCACCCCATCCATACAAAGACTCGGACTCATTGGCAGGCTAGTAACTACTACATCGACTCGGACGAACTTGAAGGAAGTTATCATTCATCCGCTGGCGCGTCACGGTTTCACGATGCTATTAATAGCGTTGAGAAGTATACCTAGATACCTGCCCGGGCGGGGTCTACGAGGCGATTCAGATCCCCTGTGCAATGGAAATACACGTCTAGTACTACTAGGATCCCAAAGGTTCAACTGAGACGTATCCAAGCACAACCCGTACTTGTATTACCCGCTTAGGCTACTTCCCATCCTAGGGTACTCCGATATCCCCTTAGTAGGGGGAAGTCGCCTCTCACTCCTAACTATCATCCTGAGTCACCTTTTATTGACGGCCCGGGACGAATTTCCCGTCACAAACCCCATCAAACATGGCCCGGGGAGAAACCATTTCGTTAGACGACTACACTACGCTACCGGGGAAATCCGGAGCTACACACTCTATTTCCCTATGCATCGCACCCTGTGCTCCCCGGTAGACGGGCCCCGATTCGTCTTCCCGGTGCTTGGGCTGGACGAATGGTTCTCGTCCTCCGACCTCCAAGTGTCTGTAAACCTTGCGTGGGCCCTTCCAGGCTTCCCCATCGGGCAATGCGCAGGGCAGACACACACCTTAGTGCATGTGTAACTCGGACGCGTAGAGTACGTCGGGTAGAAACTTGGAATTTACGCAGCTTCCCGCAATGCCTCAGACTACACTCTGACATTACACTGACTTTGATTACATGCTGATTTGCACCGCTTGCAAGTCCGCTTGCGCACTGGCAGGCTTGGCAATTGGGAATTCAATATGTCTCGCATGGGAGATGTCCTCGAGAAGAGATATTACTTTCCTGAGGCCTTCGATATACCCAGAGTCTGAGAAAGCGCCCCTACGCACATGTGCGAGCACATGTGCGAAGTCTATGATCTTGAGCTGTACTGCTTGGGGAGCTAGCAGAGCTTCGCCAGTACCATTATAGACAAGAAGAAGGGAAGACGAAATGAATTCGAGCTGGTCCTGATGCTCGAACCAGTCGAGGAGGGCTCTGAGCCTCCTAATAAATTCCCTGGTGAGCAACCGTCTATTGGTAAGCTCAGAATGACCACCAAAAAATTCGATGAAGCCATGTCGAATCCCCGTTGCATCACGAACGGTGAAACCCCACGCCTTGTCGAACTCAAGATACTGACTCTGGCTTCGAGACCACCTGTGTGTAAGTCAAATTTCTGGCGCCTCACCCATCGACGTGATATGTCACTCGGCAGACTACACACGCATACCAACAAGACGGCAGCCCAACTCAGTTTGGGGAGGGTATTTTGCAAGCTGCTTGCGCTGCTTCTTCAAAGAAGCGTTGGGCTCTGTCGTTCGCGTTCCCAGCTTGATGTCGAGCGCACATGGCCGAGCCATGTCATTCGTACAGTCATCCAGCACGAGATAGTGCTGCTCGCACGCATTTGTTCCCAACACTATAACACCGTGGTAATCACACAGAAATGGTTGGAGCTGCTCCACGCCATCGCCGCGATGAAGGCACTGCTCATAGAATGTCACTTCGCGTATTCCTCGATTGCCAGATTGAACTGGTTTTAGGCAATATCTCCCTATCGTGAGCATACCAGAATGACCACCCACTTGCATGGCCATGCGTGCCACCATGCCCAGGCCGCCATTACTTTCCGTAAACAACTTGCCGCGCGTCATCGCCATCGCCATCGCGCCATCACGCCATCGCGCCATCGCGGCAGCAATCGGATTTGGAGATCTGTTCGCAGTCGCGCGCCGATTTAGGGCCTTCGCAGAGCACCAGGCTTTTGGGCACTCGCAGACCGCCGAGGCGGCTAGCTTTCAACGCGCGCTCTTTACGCCAGGCGCGGACGAGTTCCTAGGACCTCCACATGCGCTGGCGGCACAAATGCGGATCCACACGAGCCGTAAAGTGCCCCCAAAACCCTACGCGCAAACTATCCGCTGATAGAGAGATATATGAGCACTGCGTGTCAGAACTAGCTCTAAGGCCCGTGGTGTCGACGTAGAAAGTAGTACGCGAATAATAATCTGACAATCTGACGGGCTAGTGTCTTATCTACATGTAAGTACATAGACCCGATAGCTAAGCAAGGCGCGAAAAGAGATAAGTATGGCAGACGTGTGGAGATCGAAATTCAGACGCCTCACGCACCTGCTCGATGGCGTGGAGGTTCCACGGCATCGACGCATTGAACTTAGACGGCATCGATACCATAACTCACTCGTCGATTTCCCCACAGGCGGCCGCCGCGAAGGAAGCAGCTCAGCGACTCGACTTGATAAAGAGCTCAGCGCGAGCGCGAGCGCGAGCGAGAGAGATGGGGGTGCCACGCTTCTATCGCTGGCTCAGCGAGCGCTATCCTAAGAGTGCGGACTCGTGTCAAATTGTTCTTTTTTTGTTTGTTTATTCACACTGTTTATTCACACAGTAAACTCCGTAATCAAGGACCAAGCGCTGCTTCCCGTGTTCGATAATTTGTATCTAGATATGTGCAGACTCAGTGTCGAAGAGCTGCCACCACCAGCACAACCATCCACGTAGGAACGGCATCATCCACGCCTGCTCTCATCCAGAGGGTGCTACCAGCACACCATCGGAGAGAGACATGCTTCTATCAATATTCGCGTACGTCGACCGGATCGTAAAGCATATCGTGCGCCCGCAAAAAGTGCTATTCATAGCCGTCGACGGCGTTGCCCCGCGAGCAAAACTGAACCAACAGCGCAGTAGAAGGTTTGCTGCGGCCAAGGAATCTGCCCGTAGTCAGGGAGACGAAGATGGGGGATTTGACCGCAACTGTATCACGCCAGGGACCGCCTTTATGGCACGTATTGGTGACAAGCTTCGTGGTTATATACGCTGGAAGATGGGACAGGACGCGGCGTGGTGTCGACCCGTGCAGGAGAACAAAAGCAAAAACACAATCTCGAATTGCTTCTGCTCGATGGCGTGGATTGACGGAGGTCTTTCACCCACAGGTCTCGACTCCGAGTCGTGTACAGTGGTGCAAATGTCACAACTGCGTCTGCTCGATGGCGTGGAGGGATGCCGAACTTTCTCTCGCACAGGTACCAGGCGAAGGTGAGCATAAAATAATGCAGTATATTCGCGCCCACAGAGACGATGGCAACACCCCCACTCGCCACTGTAGACGCCGCGTCGTCAACTTAAAACGCGTCGACGCGGTGGAGGGAGGACGCCATCCGTCTCTGCGCAGGCATGTATGGAAACGATGCAGATTTGATAATGTTGGGCCTCTGCACTCACGAGCCCTACTTTACGTTACTCCGAGAGGTTATAGACTTCGGCGCGAACAATCGTCTGCGTGATACACCTGTCAACGCGCGGTCCACCGTTTTCAAGCAGTCCCGAAGTTCGGACTTTCAGCTCCTTCACCTCTCGATCCTCCGCGAATACATCCAACTCGAATTCTGCTGCTCTCCACCGGCATCCTATGCGTCGCATATCGATGCCCGAACTAGCGTCGGTCCTCGCGCTCGTAAAAATGGAGCTGGGCGCAGCAATGAGCTCGGTATTGCGTGGAGACAAGGTGTCTCGGGGCGCTCGGTGGATCTTGAACGTCTCGTTGATGATTTTGTCTTCCTCACCTTCTTTGTTGGCAACGACTTCCTGCCGCACTCGCCCTCTCTTGACATAGGCGAACACGCGTTCAATCGAGTCTTTGACGCCTACAAGCGCCAACTCGCCACATGGCCTCCCGGCGACTATCTCACCGATGCTGGCGACATAGCAAATGCCTGTGTGGGAGTCAACTACTGAGTCGGGTGCGCCCGATAATTCATCACAAAGTCATTTCTCGGCGACATTACGGCCATGCTGACTGAATCGAGTGGTGAGAGACCTACACCGCCACGCCATCGAGCAGGCGTTGCGTCGATGGCGTGGAGGTCATGATTCAGCAGTAGCGGAGACGAGCCGCGACAATTTTATTTTTGCACAGGCCAATGCGCACCGACTTCAGCGCTTTATTTCCGAGCTTGGTGCCATGGAGCCCGCCATCCTTGCAGACCGGAGACGCGAAGCCGAGCGTGAGCAACGACGTTTCTCACGGAGCCATAACGGCAAAACTATTCCTGATGGCACCGAGAATGTTACCGCAGCGTCGGCTCCTGGCCTCACCAACTCAGACCGCGAAAAATACTACCTTCGCACTCTTGGCATTAGCAGTCTGATCTTGTGTGGAAATCAAATTTTAAGCACCCTGCCTCCTAGGGGCCCACATTATAGACGCAGCATTGTCTCCGTGACTGAGTCTGCACAATGGCGCAGGTAATCTGACTCACTGGTTGATTTCTACACAGGTCTGGTCGATCAGCAGATTGTCGACGCAGGCATCGCCACTGAGAGCAAGACAATGATAGACTGGAACTCGGCCAGGGATCCGTCAACTGGGAACACGTACTTCTACAACGCCACAACAAAGGAGACCGCCTGGATGTGTCCCGTCGGTGTACCGAAGGACGCGACGACCATCGAACCGAAATTGGTCCGTTGCTCGCAGAATGTTATCAAACGTCTATCAGCCGCCTTTGTAGAGGGCCTCGCTTGGTGCCTTGCATATTACGTCAAAGGATGCGTTGACTGGCGTTGGTTTTTCCCATGTCACTACTGTCCAATGCTCTCCGATGTGGTGAACGTTGCTACTGCGCTTGCTGGTGCTCATTTTGAAGTCAGTGCACCACTTCGGCCGCTCGAGCAGCTCATGTCGTGCCTTCCACCTGCGAGTGCTCGCTTGTTGCCACGGCCGCATCGTGCACTGATGCTCGAGGACTCATCGCCCCTTCATGACTTTTATCCAAGTGACTTTGATGTTGATATGGAAGGCAAGCGAAACCCGTGGGAGGGAGTCAACCTTCTTCCATTCATCGAGGTTGATCGTCTCCTCAATGTTGTTGAAGCAACGTGCCAAGATTCTGCTCTCGCCGCAGATGAACGCAAGCGCTCCCTCTTTGGCCGATCAGTCATCTTCAGCGTCGACGCGACTATCGCAACGAAGCATCGCCCAGCGGCAGCTCCTGTCACTGCCACGGATGTCGAGGCATCGCTTGAAGATGGAGGCGACATAATGGGAGTCCTGGAGAGCGACGAGCATCCATACATAGAGGACCCTTGGCTCATTTACGGTCCCCCCTTACGGGCGGCACTCAAGCCCGGATGCTTGAGTCCTATGCCCGGCTTCCCGTCACTACACGCGCTCCCCATCACCAGTGTTGCGCTCAAAGCCCTCAAGCTGAACTGCTTCGGAAGCCCTTCGCGCTACGAAACAATGTGCCTCAACCTCCCATCACCGGTGCACGCGCCAAACGAAAAGCCCAATGCTGTCTCTTCGTCCGTTGCAGCGGCACTTATGGGCAAGAGTGTCTTTGTTGATTGGCCGATGACGCATGAGGCGCTATTGGTTGCGGTGACAGGTGGTGGTAACTACTATAGCGCTGGCGGCAGCGAAACCGCAGCAGTTAACGTTCGTGGCCTTGACGCAACTGCCACCAAAAGCTTCAACGTTGCGTGTGCAGCCGCTGCAAATCGTGCGCTTGTAGGCTCTGGTAACCCAGGCGATGGTGGCGTCGATATTGGAGCCGTTGATGTCGTCCTCACCGTTCGCTTGATGCAGGGACTTAGGCGTGATGCAGCCACGGGCGCGCTCAAGAAGACGTATGGACGCAAGGCGACCGATATCCCGCTGCAGCTTGCGCTCTCTGTGCCACCAAACGCCCACATGGAAGACCCACGGTTTCAGGAGACAAAGGCAGGTGTTGCATCTACCCGCTTCCTAAGTGGAAGTCGCGTCATAATCCAGTCCGGGCCGCGGCGTGGCCGTGTTGGTACTGTCCGCCGAAGTGAGGACTCACGAAATACAGTGACAGTCGAGTTAGTCGTCGAAGATGTCGAGCCCCAATTTGGCCTTGGCATCGCAGCGGCACTGGCTGATAAATATGCGTCCGCAAGCCTCGCTGCGACGGAGCTTGGTGTGCGCGAGGACGTGCTGGCTGCTTGCTGCGGTTCAGTACTTGCTCGTGATGACGACCGCGGTTATATATATGACCTCGGTCTCCGCCTTTGCATAGAGGATGGTGCATTTGTCGCTCCTGGCTTTTGCCGCGCTGAGCGCACAACGTCAGACACGCGTGCCTGTGACTGGTCGCAATCCAATGATATGTTAACCCACTCGGATGCTCCTCGTCACGTTCGGCGGGGCACGCGCTTTGAGTACAGCGCCAAGGCGATCCGCCTTGTTGCGACCTACCTCAAGCGCTTCCCGGCAGTGTTTGATGCCGTTGGTGACGTACTTGCAAGCACTAGCACAGGCAGCAAGGCCGCCTGTGATGTGAACGGTCGTCCACCAGTGACCTTTGCGGCAGCATCTCGGATCTTTGGCCACGAGGAGCCCGAAGCTTGCCTCCTGGAAGTCTGCAAATGGCTTGCTGGACTCCCGACAGCGACGACCGCGCGGATGCCGATCACCACCAGGGCCATGTCCCCGGATGCAGTCGCTGCTGTACAGCGTGCTGCCACCAAACGTGCCGCGATTCGTTCGCGCGCTACTGCTGCAAGCGAGTCAGTCACGTTGTCTGCAACCGATGTGCGGTCAGAAATGGAGGCTACTGATTTTCTTTCATCTGCTCGTATCATCGACCCGAACGCCAATCTTACGCCGCCACGTCTCGGCGAGCGTGTTGTCACTTGCAATGTGGACCAGTTGGGTGCGCCCTTTGGCCACCGTGGGACCGTCATCGCAACGCACGCTCACTCGGGTACCGTGGACGTAGTTTTCGACACGCCCTTTGTCGGTGGGACTTCGCTTCAAGGCGCGTGCGACAACTTTCGTGGCCTTCTATGCCCTTGGAGTTCTCTCCTGACCATGCGAGATCCCACGCTCGATGAAGAGGCTATGTCTGCCTCTGATGCTATCCATGCAGTGTCATCGACCTCACCAGCGGCAGCTAAGCTCACAAGCAGGTTAAAGGACCATCGTATAGCCAAGGGCCCGGATGGTACCTCTGGATTTGCTATACCTCGAAGCGCTGGTCATCACAGGGCCCAGCCTCAAATGAATTCGGCGCCGGAAGCATTTATTCGCGGCCGGCCTGGCGTCTTATCGCGCACTTCCTTAACAGCCACAGTGCCTCCTGTGGCCCCCAAGCGACGCTTCGGGGACGAGACGGCGCCAATCCACGTCACACCCGCGCTGGCCAAATCACAGCCACTGATTCAGCCAGAATCAACTTTAGTTGTACCTTGCGCACCAATAATTCGGGCGCAGTCGGACTTTGAAGTCAATGCACCTCCAGTGCATCCTCAACGTCCTACGGCGACGACGCTACAAACGAGCGATCGCCCAGCTCCCGATACATTGACGAGTATCAGCTCATCTGTGCCACAAAAGCTCGTTGCTCCGAAAGCGCCGTCCCTAAAAATGGCTCCACCGTTGGCTGCCCGGCCTTGTCAGGTTTGGTCCGCTTCCACGGAAGACCGCCTTGCAGCGCTTGAACGCAAACTCGACCAGGCTGTCAACGTATCAGCCACCACACGCCCTGCAATAGAACAGCAGCCTACGGGCCTATCCTACGGCTACCAGCCCAGCACAAATCCCCTCGTCAATTCTGATTCAACTGGCGAGAGCTCGTCGACGTTCAGGTACGTACCTGTTCCTACGGCAACCAGGCGCATGCAACGAAACTCCCGCATCGCGATCGCCTCCACGCTTATGCTACCAAGCTCGCTTCTTGGTATGGGCCCCGTCACTCCAAGTTCAGGACGACCGGAGGGTAGCACAGATGACAGCGCACCAGATTCTTGATGCCTAGCTCTTGCCTTAGTGGCGCATGTTTTTCTCGACCCGGAAAAGTGGGGGTACTCACTCACTCAGGAGTCAATTTTGGTGAATTCGCCTCTGTGCTAGCAGTTTCCTCTCCGGGGGGATCCTGGGTACTTTGTTGTGGCGTCGGTAGGATGTGCAAACACGGCCGTCAAGCCAACAGATCGTGCGATGCAGCACGAACGCAACTGGCGCGGGACGACTGCCACTTGCGCAAGAGTTGCTGGAATAGCAATAGGCTGCGGACGGGAGAAATCCTCCAGGAAATCAAGATGGTAGCTGCCGAAAGTGAGTTTGGTTAGTAAGTTTTCTTCGGGGAGGCCTGCCCTTGGCCCGGGCGAGTCCCTTGGCCAAATCCAAGAGGTATATAGGCAGTATAGAGATGTATAGGCGTACTACAATAGAACCTGCACACTGCCTGTACCCCCCGGGCCTTGGCTGAATTCGACCTATAAATATTTTCAACTTGAAGTTTTAGGTCACCAAGTCAGCTGAGGCTGGCTTCCTCAGGCTTAGTTATTAGGCTAATTTTTTTTTTAATTTTTGTATGTATCATAGTATTATAAACAATAGGATGCCCCTAACTAAAGTACTAGGCGCGCAGGGAAAGCCTGAGGCCTTTGGAGGCTTGGTCACATGTCCCTTTTTTTAGGATATTCCTCAGGCTTCCTTCAAGTTTATCATTTACCTACTAGTACTAGCAGGTATTTCAAGTTATTTCTCAGGCTCCCGGGCCGAGTCAGAGTCCGAGTCACTCAGGCCGCTGTCTTTATTTATTTACCCGGGCCTACAAAGAGCAAAAGGTGAATATACCACCAAAATTTAAGTATGCACTCGAGGATGCACCCTTCTCCCCGTTCAGAAGAGGTGATGCACAACTACGTGCTCCACCCTCGGCCCGGGGTGGGTCACGGTGTCATATCCGAGTCATGATCGCGTTCAGAACTGCCACGGTAACGGATGATTCATCTCGTAAAGTTCGTATAGGACTTATTGCATCTGGATTCTCATATGCGCCTGCGGACCTCGAAGCGCTGAACATGGAGAAGGGCATCTGATGAACGCTCGCGTCCAAGGGGAGTAGAGAGAGAAACCTACTAGCCCATCCTACCCTAGATATGTATTGAGTGTCTATCGACGCTACGGTGTGTAAACCAATTTACTATAAAACACTCTCGTAGTTGGCTTGGCCCAGCCTCTGGCTGGTGAGCTAGGACCCTACTACTTTACGTAACGCTGCGACATACTCTTGCTATACCGTAGGTACCTCCGAACGCAGATGATTCTAATTCTAATAACCGTACAATAATTGTGTTCAACCCATGGGTGCATCGATGACTGTGCCAAACCCCGACCATCGAACGCTGAAGGTAATGGAATTCATAAACAGTGCGTGCCGTAACTTTGAACTAGTTAATGCGCGTTTGGCAGTTGGTGTCAAGGAATTGGCTGTTTTCTGGCGCCACTTCCGGGAAGGCGACAAGGAAATGCTGGGTGTTATTGCAATTGACCAATTTTACTTGCTGTTTCACGAAAAGCGGTCAATTTTTGGTGATGGAATTTTCGACCTGTGCGACATACACCATACCGAGGAACTCGACTTTGGCGAGTATCTTGTCGCAGTGATTACGTGAGAAATTGATTGCAAGCGAGATCTCGCGTGTTGAGTATTTCGCAACTATATAGGTATTGCCTCTTCGAACCACAGGAGATCCTTCGCTTTTGTTTCTACATATTTGATCGGGATAAAAATGGATACATCATGAAGGAGGAGCTTGAGCTCATGTTGAGGGTACTGTATCATATCGTACCTCCAAATGACTTCTCAGGCAACACGCGAAACGCGCTGGAATTGCTAGACTTCAACGATGATGAGAAGGTAGACTGGCAAGAGTTTAATCGTTTCCATGTTCTGTTTCCGGCGCTCTTTTACCCAGCATTCAGGATCCAGCAGACCATGATTACTCAGACCATGGGTCAGCGATGGTGGGACAAGAAAAAAAGATATCTCCACGAGGAGAAGGTTCGGCGTGATATGATTGAACAGCTTGCGGCACGAAAAGAACACGCTCGTTTATTGAAACTACGCGAGAAGCGCATCCGAAAAAAAATGGGCCTTCTTAGATACATGTTTTGCCCTGCGCAAAGAGCCGCATTCCGCAAGCTATTCCCCGTAGATGATGCACAGGCTGAAAAAACTTTAAGTGAAGCAGAGCTCCAAGTCCAAAAAGCCAAACAACGGGAGGTTGAAAGGCGGCTTCGGGAACTCAACGCAAAAAATCCAGAGACCAGTGCATGGGGAGATTACCAAAAACGCAAGACGAGGATGGAGTACGCACAACAGAGTGCCGATCGCACACATCCTCGACGGTCCGCGAATGAGCGGGCGCTACGTGCGGCGACGAGAAGAGCAAAGAAAAAAAAAGACTGCCAGACCTGAGCGTATAGAGTTTGTGGCTGTAGGCTAGCTCTGGGCTCTCGTAAGATAGCTTGCATGGTAGAATTGTGCACGTGATCATTTAAGATCGTTCGACTCCTCTGGCGGCTTGGGCAGGGTATTGCTTTACCCTAAGCATCATCAGCCTCCTTCAAAATCATGATGCCGACCAAGAAACTTGACCCTACCAGGCCCCTAAGCAAAGATGGAGCCAGTCACCGTTAAAATCTTTGGGTCACGTGACTTTCTGCCTTATCTTCCCTTGCTTGAAGTTGGTTCTAACTAGAATGGGTTACTGCACAACGGATCCAGACTACTAGGACAGATCCATTTTTTTTTTCTGCTGCGCCCGGGCCGTGCAGCCCATGGCCAGCCTTTTTTTACACTGGTCTGCTCAGGCTACCGGGAGCATCCCGGTGCGTCAATAAATAATAAAAGACCGGCAGCACCATTATAAACAGCCGCTCGGTAGGCCATCAGTGCCATCAATGCCGTCGTGTGGCAAGGCATTTATTTACCAATTCAGCTTCCGCGCGTCGTATTGCGACCGCTCAGACTAGCGGCTCGGGTGCAAGGTTATTCCTCCCCAACTGAAATGATCTCACCGTGACTCAGGCTGTGTCCTCGCTGAGTCTGTCCTCGATGCTTAAAAATAAAATAAATAAATAATTAATTAAGGAAGAAATATCCTGAAGGAAAAGGACATACACCAAGCCTCTAGAGGCCTTCTCCCTGCGGCGCGGCTAGGATACCCAGCCGGCGCCTAAAAAGAGACGTCAAGAAACGGTAGAGCAAATTCTCAATCTCCTGGTAAGTATTTATTTATTGCACCACTCTATGGCACCACCGTGACTTCCACTTTCAAGATGCTAGTACTAGGGGGACTCGGACGGCCCGGGGAATCGACTTGTAAAATGCCCGTATTTTTAGCTGAGCCTCTCAGGCTGAGGTGTTGCCCTTTCCAGTGAGCCTGGGGGCGCGACGCAAAAAAGCGGTACCGAGCATCTGCGCCGAGCGGCGCCCGGGCCCGGCCCGGGCCCCGAGCCGCTGTCATGGTCACTGCCAGTGCCCGGCGACTCCGAGTCGGATGTGGACCCCCCGGGCCCGGCCCGCCGGGGCCGCCGCGCCTGGGCCTGTCACGGTGTCCGAGTCCTTCCGACTCAGGCTTCGTCCTCGATTCCTTCAGGTTCAAGTTATTGAAATACTATTCAACCGTGACCGTCACTGGCACTCACTGGCAGTGGCTCCCGGGCCGAGTCACTGGCAGGCTTGCCAGTGAACTTGAAGTTTATTCTAGGCCGCCGGGCTGCGCTTGCGTTTGCTGTGGGGCAACCTTGGTTTGTTTGGGGCCTCCCGGTGTTCAGTAATGTTCAGTATGGGGGCTGTATGGGAGAGAAGAATACCTACGGTACCATACCGTGGTAGGTCAGTACCGTAGGTACCGTAGGTACCGTAGGTACCAGCTTGTACCGTACCGTAGGTACCGCAGTAGGTGCCGTGGTAGGACGAGAATTAACTTAAAAATCCACAACGCGGTAATGGGGGAGTTGACCGCACTTCGTGCTGAGCTTGAACGGGTACGTCCAGTTGTGAATCGAATCATTGGCTGGCAACAGGCCCGCGAGGAATCTAATCGTATAACTCTAGAGAATGAGCGACTAATTGATGAACGGGATTCGATGGAGAATCGAATTAAATTGGCCGCGGATACAAGAATCATGCAACTCGAGGAGAGTTTTGAGGCGAGTATGACGCAGGTGCGCACAGAAGCACATAGTCAAATGGAAGTGCTCCGCGTGGAGCTAGAGCAACTGCGGCGCGCCGCAAATGGTGATGCTTGTGGTTGGCAAGAACGTGCGGATGGGACATTTTCTAACGCTGAAACTGGTGAATCTGGAATCAAAACAATGCCAGAGGCATTAGCCTTCGCACGCGCAGTACAACGCGTCGTCGACATGGGGTCAAATGATGAAATTACAAAAGTAGCGCAAAAGCGAGCTCAAGATGCTGAAATGAAGCGGCGGGAACTCGATGTTAAGCTCAATGAAGCAAGAGCAGATGCACGGTCTCAACGTGACCTTTTAGACTCCTGGGGTAGTACTGCCAGGTCCATTCTCTTGGCGTTCTCCACCTTCAAAGCGAGTTCTGATTTAGTCTGTGATATTTGTATTGTGCAAACCAAAAAGATATCAAAGCAGAGTGATAGATTAAAGCAAATTGTGTCAAAAATTTGCCAGACAGCTGCCACCTTCAAGGAAATTCAAAGTGCACTTGCTGCCGCGAAAATCAATAACATTAAGCTGGAGGAAGATACCACGCGCCTCGATTCCTCTTTGCAACAGACTCAACTAGAATTGTCATCTTTGCGCAATTCACTTGACCGGGCAGTCGAGGCCGAGGTCGAGCCTATGCGTGCAGAGATTTCTAGAGCGCGAGATACTATTTCTCGTGAACGTGTAGCGCGAATCATCGAGCGGGGGCAACTAGCCTCTCTTTGGCCTATTGATCAGCCTCTGCCTGTGGCACTCCGGCGACATGTCCAAGTTGCTAAAGATGAACGTAGAATGCTATTCGAGCGTGCTTGCGGTGCAGCTGCCGAAACAGAAATTAAGATTGAAGTGCGCCGCCGTGTTGCGGATGCATTAAAGTGGTCTGAAAAAACAGATGATTACGGCCGCAAGTACTACGTGCATTCGGACACTGGCGACGCTGCGTGGGAACCGCCTGTTGCAATGCTGCATAGGGCAGAGTCTGTCTTTCCGTGGCCAACAGAAGGGTAAGCCATTTTGCCACAGGTACGAGCCACCACCTGGACGTAATGATTTGGGGATGATAGTAGGCCTCTCTGAAGAAAGCGTTACCAAGAACAAAATTCCAAGGAGTCTGAGTTACGGACATGAGCAAGGCCCCAAAGAGCCAACAACTGCTAATCCATCCCATGCGTTTAAAACTGAGATATAAATTGGCATGCATAGAAAGAATGAGATCCCTCTTGCCCCATAGGTCAAGTGCTGTCCGGGAACCATCTTCTGATTCGTGGCAGGAAACTGTCGACGAATGGGGCCAAGTTTCTTGGAAAAATAAAAGAACTAACGAAGTCAGCTGGCAGAAGCCACCTGGACATAATGATTCGCAAGCTGAAGAATCGAATGACATCTTGGAGGCTGGCGACACAGGCAACCAACAGGATAAAGGCGAGACGGCATGGAAATTTAGCAGTAAATCAGACACGCGAATCAAGGGCAGTAGAACGAAAACAGCTCCGGACGAGTATTCCTCATCCAGTGATGAAGAAGTACCGACTTCATTTCACGATGCTGCATTTTTTTCTAAGCGCCAAGAGCGCAGGATTATTCGCCTCGAGCGCAAAAAAAATGCAGCAACTATAGCTGCAAGGAGGGTGCTAACTTTCTTAGAGGAGACTGTGTCGATGTATCATGAACACAGGCAACTCCCTTCCTTGTCTGATGAAGACGATACCCCCGCATTTATTGACCTGCAGTCGCTTCGTAACCTTGCAGCAGGTAAAACGGGCTGGAAGTACGTTCCCAAAAAATCCCGCAAAGCAGCAAAAACTCGTGTTGACGTAATTGACATTGCAAAAACTAGAGATCCAGGGTTGGCACGAGAAGTAAAAGCTCCGTGTGGGTTTGAGAGAGAGTCGTATTACATCTTATTATAGGTTCAAAATGCGCTAGCGCCTGCTGCAAGAGAGTCTACTGCAATACTAAATTCATCGGGGAATTTCGTCGGAAAACAAAAGCCTTTCATAGTAGATGCGAATACTCTACTTCGTGCGACCACTACCCTTGGCACTGATGAGAGTGATGGTGATGGTATATCGCCAGAACAGCTTAGGGGGCAGTTGGAAGCGATTGTGCGGTTGGGCGTCTTTTCTTTTTTAAAATCTGGTATTTGCTCCAAGATGTATACACAGGCTTGCTGCGAGGATGAGTTGCTAAGGCGGCTTTCGATGTCACGTCGTCGTCTAGGGCAAATATCATACATATTACTGAAAACCCTGAGCACTTCAAAAGTCAAAAATCAATGTTGTGTACAAATAGACTCGGTGCATTTATATGAAGGCAATCTCGAGAATCTCCCCGAACTAACAGTGAAGCCAGAGACACACGCCCAAAAGCAGTTAATTTCGTTACGAAAGGCAACGCTGGCATCTTCGAACCGAGACAAAGTTTCGGAGAGACCCACTGTCCGGTTTAGTGCAGAATCAAACTTCATTCACAAAATGGCAGCGAGTGCAGTTTTGCACGGACTCGATGGTACATGCATAAATGAAAAACTCCAAAGAGAGGCTTGCGTGAGGTTGGATCTTCATGCATCGTCTCAAAAAACAAGGTCTCGGCAGAAGCATTCAACTGTTGCTAAGGCATCTCATCTTGTTGTGGTGACTTTCGGCGTACCCTCTGTATAATAATTTAATATCATTTTTTTTTGTCGCATCCTCATCATGTGTAGATGGACTTAAAACTTCGCGAGGTTGGGATAACAGAAAAAATTTTACTCTCAGCAGGACTTGCGACACAACACTATCTGGAGGTTCGTTCCTCTTCAGCCTCCCAAGGTTGGACCAAAAAAATATTGGAAAAAAATAGGTTGCAAAGCTCCTTGACCTTACAAAAAGCAAACAAATACACCATCACCAGAATAACTCGATACGCAAGCCAGCATTCCAAACAAAAGAAGTTGCAAAAAGTCCCTTGGAAATTATCAACAAGTCAATGTCAGCTCATGAGTTTATTCTTGATTCTTTGCTCACGCGAGCATCCCAACTCGGCGCCGACGCTTGGATTGACCACGAGGCACAGCGCATTAACGTCGAGCTTTGGAGCTATAAACTGAGTAAGCATTCAAAACACAACAGCCATGATGATTCAGACAAAAATTTCTCTTTCGTGCTTAATTCAAAGGTAGCAGAGATGGAGCGTAAGGATGTGCATATACACATCGGCAACCTATTTAGTGACTCTATCAAGCGCGATATTAAAATAGAGGCTTTGCGACAAGTTGAGCTAGAATTAGTGGCTGAACGCCAACGGGGTGACTGGATATCCAACGGAGCGCAGCATGCGGTGTCAGTCCGAGCCCGGCAGGTAGTTGAGCGTGCTTATCAAGCCCGCAAGCTGGTTCAATTGCAACATGCTTTGAGAGTTTGCTGCGCCGAAAAACATAAAGCCGCAATCGTGCACCAGTCTCATCAAAGTAAGTCTAATACTGAGAGTCTGCTCTTTTCAAAACTTGCGGTCACTCGTGTTTGTGAAAATCTAAGAGAACAAGGTCGGCGAAGAAGAATTTGGCAAGAGCAAGAAGTTTCGTTTTTCCGTGCAGAGATAAAGCGGCTCTTGTGGGATCAAGACGCAACTAATCAGAGACATGCAGCGCGTATTGCAATCGACGAAGCACGAGTGGACCGTGATAATGTTCTTGACCCGTGCTTTTTTCCTTTGAAACTTTGTCACGATTGAGCTTAGGCTATCCTTGGCCACCATGCTGCAGTAGCGATTGTTTTGACTGGACTTGACGATGGCCACGGAGTCCTAGACAAATTTGTTAAAGATTCAAAGAGGACAGAGGCACGCCTGGCAGCTACCTATGCTAAACTGGCATCACTAGAGAACTTTCAGCGTATTGCGCTTAACCATGAGCAGAGGCAACGCCGGGAACTTTTATCTACAACACATGTTCCCAGAGTGGACGTTTTACACCCAGACTGTATAACTGCTAGTACCACCCCCCTTGATCACTACTCAGACATGCCCCTTGGACTGCGGTATGTACCACTGCGCATTGCAAAATCCCGCCTGGGGTCTCAATGGTTAATGAAGAGCACGCAGACAAGACCACATGAAAAGTTAGAAATTAATCCTCATTCTTCCACAGCACCCGTGTGTTTGCGTGGACACAAACGCGCTTGTCGTATAGCTGCAGAGCTACACCAGCAGCTACTGAGCGAACGATCATCTCGCCGACAGATTAGCGCCGCGGCACTCAGTGCTGGTGTGCGCGCTGCGAATGTCGCTAAGACATTAGCAACAGTGGCACAGAGTAAAGCATCAAGCGACCGGCGATTTGCTCAACGTGATGCACTCCAAGAAGCACAAAAGTTCTCACCTGCGCTTCCTTCCTACGAGGGGCTGTTTGCCGAACCTTTGTATTTAGGCGCGACGTGGCGGAAATGAAATTCAAATTCGAGTTAAACGCCCACATGAAGAAGATTGCGCTACACGTTGCGCTCTGTGAAGCACTTCGACATAGACTTGGCTTGGCACATGCACAGCAGAAAGTGCAGGAACTCAAAATATTGAAGCTGACAAAGACAATTGCACTACTACGTGCATGCTCCCGCGATGAGATCTATTACGAACGGGCCCATTCAGCCCGTCTCAAGCTATGGGTGCACACAATGGTGGCTGGGTTTGTGCGAATTAAAAGCATGCTCAGGCATCGTGAGACTTTACTTCATCGTCAAAAGGCGCTCGATTTGGAGGCCAGGAGATCCCTCCGCCATGAGATTTGGCGACAACAAAATGCTACACAGGCTCTTGGCCTTGACACTTCAGCACTATTCCTTTTCTTTGCTCAACGAGTCGCAGTGATGTCTGGTGCACACAAAAGCTATAATGATGCCTTGCGTAGACACACAACACAGCGTTTGCAAAACGTAAGCCCTCTTTGAGCGTTGGACGTATAGGTGCTAATGGAGCCACACTCGTGTTGGCAGCAATGTGTAGATCCCCCCGGCGAGAGCTTCGCTGCCTTGGCGCCAAAGCCCTTTCCGCATTGACCTGGAATAGTCATGTAAATAGTCGGTTGCTAGGCTTCCAAGTACTAGAGCAGTGGCAGCGTTGGGTAGATGTGGCAGTAAATCGCGCAAGAAATCAAAGAACAAATGTGAAACTAAAAACAACGGGCACGCATCCTCAACATAATGTCACAGAATTTTTTGTTCAGACTCCACATGATGTCACCACTCCCTATGATATCGCCGTTGCTCGTCGACAATGGGCACTGCGCAGACAGAGGACACTAGCAGGACCAAATCTTGCGAATATAAGTAAACTTGTCAACTATCGACGAGCGGCTAGCTGCGGTGATATGACTTCTTTGTCGCCCTTGATAAAAATACTAATGGTATTTTGTCGTGACCGTGACCATGAGTGCGTGATTGCCGCCATTTCATGCATTGTCGCACTATCATTTGTTGCGGAGAATGCTACTTTGCTTGGAAAAGTGCAGGGTCTTGTTGCAATGGTCAGTAGCCTGATGTATCATGTCAATCCTGAGGTGGTTATCCTGGCGTGTCACGCGCAGATCAGCGAAAGTTTTATGCACCTCAAATTTTGTGTTTGAGATCCAGCTCCTGTGTAGGCCGCAGCAAATATGGCGTTCCAGCAACAATGCAACCAAGAGAGACTAGGAGCTGCTGGAACAATCGAGTGCCTTGCGACCATACTGCGGGTATCCTGGGAGTCCGCAACACATGAAGAACTAATTGACATCATCGAGGCAGCAACATGCGCACTGACCAATCTACTATCGCTGCATGCACCAAACTCTCGCAAATTTGTAGCTACTGGTGGCGTAGAACTTCTCCTGAAGTTCCTCAATATCAACTCCAGCAACTTGCTTGATGCTGATAAAGCAACTCAAATGCAAACAAATGTAATCAATGTACTAGCAAACACACTTGCTGCGGCAGGAGGGAAAAATCTTTATCTCGAAGACTCATTCCTTCATAATACGAGCTCACTTTTTGTATCTGCTTCTCGAGGCATGAGAAGTTTTGCAGGCACCTCCGTTTCCGATGAGAGATCATTTGCCTACAGCATTGTGATGTTGTGTACCGCAAATAATTCACCAGCAAGGCAAGCTGCTGCTTTGCTACTTGGAAATTTAGCTTGCAGCTCACGATTGCGGATTGAGCTTGGTCGCCTGGGAGCTGTCGAGGCTCTCTGGAGGATCACACGTGAGCGTAAGAGTAGTGCAGATTGCGCTACGGCGCTTTGGGCCCTCTCAAATCTCGTGTGGTCTAACCGAGCAAATCAGTCACGTTGTGGGCCATTATTTGAAGAAATTTTCGAAATGATCGCCAATTGTCGTATTGAACTTCCTTTTAAGTACCCGCACCTAGAACCCAGTTGTGTGTTTCAAACGAGACACAAAGATGCGTGGAATCAATCAGCACCAGCGAGCCTTGAGTGTGCTTATGCCATGGGTCTTGTCGCAAATGCCATTTACTTTCATGATTCAAATTGTAATCATATGGAAGTTATTCCTGGTGGTGTCGAGGCTATCATAAGGCTCTCCAAGGCGGATCAGCCTTTAGCCATACGTGAACCAGCACTTAGATGTTTGGCATGCCTCACAGTATCTGACAGGGGAGCAAAACGAGTTGCACTTGCTGAGAGCAGAGACGACGCTTTCAAAGTCATGGTCAATGCAGCGGGTGACGCAAATGTGGGCAGCGAGCATGCTAGCGTACGACGGCTTGGTGCTGCTGCTCTTGCAAGCATGAATTCTATAGCCTCTGCTCGCAGATACCTGCACGAACCTGTGTAGCCCATAGTGCCGACTAGCTTTGTTATTTCCCTAACTTTAGGCGAGCGGCGGGTGGAATTGATGCGCTTGTTGCACTTGCTGGAACTGGTGAGGCAAGCATGTCTAGGCAAGCACATCGAACAGTAACCTCATTTGAGAACATTTCAAACCAAGCTCGTTCAGGTGAGATTGCCTCATTGCTTCGGGCAGTAGTCCACGAACGCTGAGGCTAATGTGTAGCAGAATGCCTTTTAACTTCTTGGAGAGGGAGATATGAATTAGAGCCGTTTAAACATGTTCTGGTGAGAAAAGGCTACTCAAGTATTTAGGATAATGGTCTCGTCCAAACTGTCAGTAGGGCGTGACGGTACAGTTTTGACGTCTCATGCGACCTGAGTCAAATAAAAGCTGACGACTCTTTATTAATGATGGTGCCTCTTACTAATGTTTGCTGTGATAAAAGCGCAGGCCGGCCTTCTTTGACTCATTGATCAGCCGGTAGTCCCCAACCCCCCCCCCCCCCCGAAGAGTCCAGCTCAACAAAATTCGGCCCTGCGCCCACTGTCCGAGAGCAACTTGTAGTACTAGAAAAAAAAATTAAAAGCGGTTGATTAGTAATTGGTTAATTAAGAATTTGCCTTCTCCGAGTCGTCCCCCCTTACGGCAGTGGACTCCGAGTCCGGGATAAGACAGAGGAGAGGATACTAGTAGTGGGCGTCTCTGGTAGATGCCCCTGAGCGGGCCATTAAAAAAAAAGTAACGTAGATCAAAGGCCTAAGTGCTAGAGGGCGGCTCCGGGGTCGAAACGGTAATTGGCAGCAACACCGCCAGGCCAACCCCCACCAAAATGCTACCCTACATAGGGCCCGAACCCACCGGCCCGGGCCCGGGCTCATGATTACACTATGTAGAGCCTCGGACTCGGACCCCAGCCTGAGGGTCGTGGTACACTGGCATACTATATGTTAATTGAATTATATTCTTAGGGGTCTTAAAAGGGGCAAAACAAGAAAACGCCCCGCAGCCACACCGTGACTAACTTAAGTCATCAGGAGGTCTCAATGCCAGCCTGAGTGTATCTCCCGTCACGGTGTGCGGGCCCCGCCGGGCCGGCCCGGCGGGGGTCACGGTCACACAGATTAGGAATTTCGTCGATTACCTTGCCACGCGAACACGTCGCTGGCTCTTTTAAGGATTTTACCGCTTTTTGTTGCAGTCCCAAAGTATCAAAAGTGCGTACCCTGGCACGCCCTAGTTTCCCCCGTCCGTGTGCTACCGTTAGGCACAGTATCTTTTTTGGACGGGGCGCATATTTTTGAAAGTAGCACTTGGATCATGAGCCTGGAGGAGGAAATTATCAAGACTCAAAATATCCTTCAGCCCCTCGTCGATCGACCCCAGCTGAAGGCAAAGGTATGCATTGGAAATTGGAAACGTCACGAACGGCTTATTGTGTGCAGCTCCTGTCTAAACCGCCGTTCCGCTTCCTTCATGACATAGTAATTCTCGTCAGCGTCTTACATTATGAGGTATTAGCCGCGACGGCGTTAACAGGTATCGGCCACGACGAGGTCAACTGGGTTTGCAGAGGGTCTTTACAAAGGCGAGGAACTTGACTCGGGAGCCATACGAGACAAAGAGTCAAAGCTCAATTATCTTGGAAAAATAGCGGCCTGTGTGAGCATATGCATTGGCAAGAATGTTGACATGCGTGGCCCCAAGGTGGTGTGAGTACCTGTTGTATATCACAATTAGAGACCACAGGTGGTGGCAGGATTGGAGCCAGAAAAAACAAATCAATTTTTGCAGCAATTAGCGCATTGTGCCTCTGATCGTTCGCTTGATTTCCGCGAGGCTGTGCGGATGTCATTGCAAGGTGTGGCACCCAGCTCGGAAGGAATCCCACGCATCAAAACAAGATCGGAGCTAGAGAACGAGGTAGATATTGGCTTAGAGTTTGAAAAGGAGCGGCCCAGTGGGGAGATGCCTCCGTCGCGTGCAGGTGCACGAAGTGCAAATAGTGAGTCCAAAGGTCTGGAACCACCTCCGCGTTTGGGTGGCATGGGCATTGGCATTTCTGAGCTTGATGGGCAGATTGAGGCCTGTGATGGGAGCCCAGATACAACGCGGAGGTTGCTGGAGCCGATCATAACCCGGCCAAAGCTGACGGATAAACTCCTTGGCAAGCCTCCGTTCCGATTCCTACATGACATCATCTCTGAAGTCATTAGACAGACATCATTTGGCTCGGGACTCTACGACACAGCTGAGTCCGATAGCTCGAAGGTGACCGACAAGAATTCAAAGATAACTTACCTAGCAAAGTTAGTCAAGCTAGTAGGAATGCAGCTTAATACCATTGTCGAAGCCAGGCCCACAAAAATAGTGAGCGGTCTTGAGCCAAACAATACCAATAGGCTCCTACAGCTTTTCGCGGTGGCCGCGAGCTTCGCACCTAACAGTGATCACTCTGTGCGGGCTGTACTTGCATCGGGGGAGTTTCAGAGCTGCAGGCCTGCCGTGCCTTCAAGCGTGGAGATAAAGTGTGATGTCATGCCGGCTGAGGAGAAGCAGGGCCTAGCAGGGGAAACGAACAGCAACGTTGGCTCTGAAAGCTATGATGATGCTGCAAAATCTGGGGGTGCAACTTCGCTGGCATTTAGGGATGAGGACCCTGCCCAATCCAAACTCTCCACTCGACCAACCACGGCACGGCGCCGACCTCCTATATATAAAGACCACCTCGTTGAAGATAATCATCGCCCCAAACTCGAAAGGAATACTGCAATCATGGTGGATATTATTACAGATGATGGCAACGATGATGATGATGATGGAAATACGATTTGCGATGCATCCAATACGAAACTACAGGTTGCCACAAATGATGTGGTTGTTGCCGCAGATGGCAAATCTAAGCTTGTCCGTGAGATCCAAGAAGAGGAACGCGCTGCAGCGAGGGGAGGGGGTGAAGAAAAAGGACAAAGCTCAGGTGGCATACGTTTTGGCCGCATCGATCATGCCACAACTGGTTCCAAAGACAAAGTCCGCGAAACAGATCTTAATGAAGTCCAGCGGACAGTGCAGGTATTATGTCAATCCACAAACCCAATTGCCAAATGTATGGATTACGTCCACGAGGACGTGGCAACCATGCACGCAGAACTAAAAAAATGGGAACAAGAACTTAAACTGCAAGTAAGCCAGCTCGAGCAAGAGGTTGAGTTTACTAGAGGTGCAACGCGGCCACTTGACCGTAAATTGAAAGAGCTTAACGAACATGTTTCCAATGAAGAAAAGTGCGTCCGATGTGTCAAGGCGAGGATCCTAAACCAAGAAGATCGCATGAGCCAGCTACTCCAGATGATATCCACAACCAATTCTAAAGGATAGTGCTTTGTGCAGATAGCTGAGGCGCAGGTGTGGGCAGCCTCGCACTGAGAAACAGCTGCGACGCGATACGACAGTCCGAGATAAACCCGCTCAAACCAAAAACTACAGAATATATCTTCTAGTTCCGTATCCATACTAGGACTTATTACTAGGCCTACTAATACTACTAGTACTAGGCCATCTCTAGGCGGGGGGGGTGCTCTAGGGCCAGACTAAATAGAACTACTGGAGTCTGGAGCTCCCAGCATTTAATTCGCTCTCCGTGCCCGCGGCACGGGGCAGCCACCGGGCGTGTGTGGAGGTCCTAGGAACTCATACGCGCCATGCTTAGAGCACGTGTCGAAAGGTACCCGTCTCGGCGGTCTGCAAGCCCACAAGCTGCTGCTCTGCGCGAGGCTCTAAATCTAAATCGGCGCGCGATCGCGAATAGATCTCCAAATTGCTGGTAGAGAAGCGCCTGGCCCACGCGCACACGGCGACGCACCTCAAGCAGTCCACCAGTTGTCCGTCGCCACATGTCAACCCACGGGCGGTCGGGAGAGCATATCCGGTGAATCGGCGGTGATGTCCATGGCGGGCCACTTGGACGCCGCTCGACAAAAAATCGACCGTCAGGACGTACGCGTGCATCGCAGCGGACGTTCGAATGACGCGCCACGCAAGTAGAAGAGACTTGAAACCGGCGACGCCGACCGCGGGGAATCGGACTCGTCCGAGAGCTGCGTTTAGGACGTTAGGCGTACTATCCTAGGGCCTTTTCGAGTACCAGGGTGGGCGGGGAGTTGGGGCCACTCTCTGGTAGAAGAAAACCCGCACCGCCCCCGTCGTGCAACGCTGGCCCTCCGCGACTACAGGCCGCCCTGCCCTTCAATACCCGCACCCTATACTCCTCAGCTTCAACTTCCCCCCACGTCAACCTCAAGTTGAAGTAAGGGTAGTCATAGGTTCTAGTCATAGGTACGATGTCCACCCCCCCCCTCAGACCTCCTCAAACTCACTCCTACTTCTGCTGGGTTCTTCCGGACGCTTTAGACGTCTAACTTAGTCACCCGGGCCAAACAGGCAAGTGGGACCAGGTACCTCCAATGCGGTTCTACGCGATCGCTGCGGCGGGGCGCTCAAGTAGGACAAGTAACACTAGCATGTGAAGCAGGTGCTTTGGCTTCTAGACCAAACTGTTGCGCTCCAAATTGCAACCTGATGAACTGCCGAAGAAAATATCCTTGCGCTATATATCCTTGCGCTCCCCAAATCCGCTGAGGCGCAAAATAAAACGGTTCAAGGGGAGCAGCGATCACTATGTACACTGGCAATCGACACCACATCTTCCTACCGTCCAGCTAGTACAATTAAGAATTCCGTGCGAGTTTACATATATCAAAAGAGTCAGGAGCCTATTGTACAATATGACATTGTGCAACGCAGCGTAATTCAAGATATTAGTTGAGCTTTGCTATAGCCAAATGGGCTCGCTTGCAAAGGATGAAGCACATGAATAATGGTGGTCCAGGCATTCATTGACCAGCAAGTCCATGGCGGCAGGCCAGCACCTAAGCGCAAATTAATTGTCATGTGTTGGCTGGGCTCGGCATACCTATCCAGCAGACGCCTGTATTCTTCAATTCCGAGGGCATTTGTTGTCGAACTTGAAATGATGTGATTAAAAGCATCACAACCATCACGTTTGAGAAGTGAACCTGTCTGAAGTACAACTTTGCGCCTCCCTGCATCTCTGATGGGTCCAAATTGTTCACTAAAAATAAATTGGTCGTCATGACTAACCTTGGTGCCGTTGAAGCATTCGACATTGGTAAAGACCCCACAGATAAGCGGTCTCAGGAGGGTGAGAGAACAAACTGGGTTTGATTCTATTTTGAGCTCCAAAGCATTTGGTAAACCCTGGACTACGCTGGCCAAATGTAAAAGTTGACAGAGGGTGCGGACCGCGTTGTTCCCAAAGGTGGCCTTTTTAAGCTTGACAAAGCTATGAACATGAGGTTGGAGCTTCCGAATAATACGCTCAATAGATACAAAGCGACAAGTAAGGGCGGTACAAGAACCAGTGATCTTTGGGGAGTTGAGACCCTCCCAAGCTTCGCCGTAGACCTGGAGCATACGCTCTTCGCGATGTGCTCCCCTGATTTCTACCTCATAATAACCCATGGCAATGTGTGCAGAGCTATTTGACCCTCCAATCGAGGTAGCTGTACTCTCTGCACACACTGACCGAGCTACAAGCGCCCCACTGGAGCCCGAAGACAATGCAATGGGATGCTCAGCTGTGACAAGTGTTGCCTGCGTACAGGACAAGCAACGCTGACCAGGCAAGTGGGTATCGTCGCTAGATATATTGCCGTATTTGTTCACAGCATCACAACGCTTCGGCCGTCTACACACATTACACTCACGTTGTTCGAGATTTGACTGTAATGACAAGCTGCCAGTACACATAGACTGCAAAATGTACCTGCTCTGTGTATTATGCCTTGTGTCTGGATTGCGGCTAGATGTCTGGTTCGTCCACTGCGTTTCTGCTGCGCGAATTGCCTCAGACCGTTCAACTCGGAGCCTGCGCCTTTCGGCTTCAACCGTCTCCCGCCTCTTTGCAGCACGTTTTCGTTGAACTTCCTTTTGTGACTCAAGCGCCACAAGACGACGTTCCGCATCTGTGACACGCTTTAGGTCAAGGAGCCTGAGTTTCTTGGCTTGTTCTATGACATATCGCCGGTAGGTAGTTGGATCTTGCAGGGCGATAGGATTGCCATCCATACTAAGTTCCATAAGACACCTTATGCCAAAAACACACACGATTGAATCAAAAGACTGGATGCAGTTATTGCTGAGAAATAATCGCTGGAGTGATTGCAATTGCTGAAGCGATGTGGCCTTGACAATATGATTGCGCCTGACATTAAGCTCTGTGAGTGATTTGAGGTTACTGAGTCGTTTTATTTCTGTGAGTCTATTCCCAGCCAGATTAAGTACACGCAACTCTGAGAGAGCTCCAAGTTGCTCAATTTTTGTTATTGCATTTGAGTGAAGATCAAGAACATCCAATTTTACTAACTTATCCAGGTGAGAGATTGCCCTGATACGATTTTTGCCTAACATCAACACTCTGAGTGTGGGTACGCATCCAAGGTCATGGGAGAGATTCTCAATGCGATTATTGTAAAGATCAAGGAAGATCAGGTTAGGCAGATGAACAAGATTTTGAATCTCTTTGATATAGTTGCTTTGATAGTTAAGCAGTCGCACTTGCTCCTCCGATTTGAGTATGGGACAGACTGTCAGGCGCCGCCTGTCCAGGTTGAGTCGTTCAGGGTTAGCTGCGCGTTCCTCAGGTGAGCGATATACCACAAGTGCCCCGGGGTGGTCGTTGTACTGTATAAAAACAAAACCGTCATATGTTTTCTCGCTAAAGGTTGACTGGGCTGGTCTCTGTGTCTCGCTGACTTCTCCAGTTTCATGTTTTTTTAGTACCTTCTCACTGCCGCCTTTAATGCCGGTTGAGTCTGAGCATAGCCTGGCGTGCTCATTTGGAGTTGACCTAGTAATTGGCACCATTGAACTAGTCTTACCCGACGACATAAGCTCAAAATCGTCGTTATATTGGTTCCTGCGGTTTCTAGCATCATTGCTGTCAGCTTTGTTGTTGCCATGTGACAATGGCCCTGAATCATTGTTACATGGAATCATCATCCTGCCCTTGCGTAATTCTAGTGATTGCAGGCGATTGCCCAGGTAAACTTTTGGGCCTTTGTTGCCATCACTGGGCAAACATCTGTTCCTTAATTTTGTGCTGTCAGCGTGCCACGAGTGTTGATCTGAAGTCTTTTCTTCATGTCCATACGACGTGCGAGTCGATTCTGAAAGTAACTCACTTTCGGGTGTGGTCTGGGAATCAGACGAACTGGCTCTGAGGGAGTTTGTTTTTGTGCGTTTCTCGCATGCCGTCTTCATTCTTGTGTGTACCTTGTATAGCTGGTATTCTAAGCAACAGAATGCCCTTGCTTTGTCTATTTCCTTTATGTTACTGGTGGGTTTCGCCAAATTTACAGCCAGGTACTTCGTGCGTGAAGCATACACTTTGATAAAAATCAAAACAGATGAGCAAATTGGGTCACCTGTCCGTACATAGGTTGTAAAAGTAAAATGGAATGATTGTATAGATAGCTTTGCTAGATGATTGCTGCGCACAGCGGTGCATAGCAGGCTGACGCTTGACGCTTAGAATCAATAATGGCCCATCATAATTCGCTTACTTAAACTGTACCTACCTAGGTACTTATAAATTGATTATTATTATCTACGGTCACGGTATGTACCGTAGGTTGTCCTTCACATAGGTTCTATGAGACGAGGTCATTCCGGGCGACGTAGCGCATATCTCCCCCGTCTACGCCTGGGCCGCCCCGAGCAGGCGAAGGGACCGAAATAGGAAACTTAGTGTTTTAATAGCCAGTTTCTTGGGAGGAAGTGAATCCCCTAGCGCCAACTACAGCTACCGCAGTATTGTTACAACTTAATGCCCCACCCGGCATCATGATCATGATCCGAAGTTCCTCAGGCTGGCTCAGGCTTCTCGGTCTCACCATCAATGGCACCATGAAAAGAGACGCAAGCCGGTTTGACTCTCTGGTTCGCGCCACGCCTATCCTCCGAAGAGCGGCTAGGCAGTCCTCCTTAAGAGAAAGCGCACAACTTTGAACATGACAGCACAGCACCACAGCCAGCCCCGGGCCTGGCGGGAGGAAGAAAACCTGAGAGGAGCAGCGTCGCAACCTGGTCATGAGCGCGCGCGCGTGCGGGCGGGTGTCGGGTACAACCGGCACGGGAAGGGGGGCTGGCTCTTTTACGATATTGCTCTTTGCGATGATGTCAACATGAAAAAGGGGGTTGGTCAAAAAGGGGCGTTACGGGGGCGGGACCAGACTAATTCGGCTACTGTATTTTTAAGCGCCGGCTGGGTATCCTAGCGGCGGCGCAGGTCCGGCGCAGGGAGAAGGCCTTTCAAGTTTAGAGGCTTTGTGTATGTCCTTTCCTTTGGGATATTCCTCCCTTAATTAATGAATTATATTCTTGTAGTGCCTCCCCTTTTTTAGCTCGAAGAGAGTGCAATGGAAATACACGTCTAGTAGGATCCCAAGGCTCAACTGAGACGTATCCAAGCACAACCCGCACTTGTATTACCCGCCTAGGCTACTTCCCATCCTAGCCTGAGGGTACCTACGGTACCATCACTGGCACGGTAGTGACCGTGACTCCGATATCCCCTTAGTAGGGGGAAGTCGCCTCTCACTCCTAACTATTATCATCCTGAGTCACCTTTTATTGACGGACGAATTTCCCGTCGCAAACCCCATCAAACATGGGAGAAACCATTTCGTTAGACGACTACACTACGCTGCCGGGGAAGTCCGGAGCTACACGCTCTATTTCCCTCTGCATCGCAGGTTATGGGCCCACGCTCTGCGTGGTGTCTCCAGTTCGCCGCCTACTTCATACGACTCGGAACTGCCGTACATTTCATTGGGCCCGGGCCCCGGGGGAATGCAAGATAACTCAGGCTTGAAGTTTAAAAATCTTGTCGCCATCATGATGTTCTCAATGTTCAGAATATGGAACATTTGATTTTAGTATCGAGACTTAAGCGCGGCTGCCAGTGTATATTCAATCACATGTAAGTAGGACCACTGGCAAGGTGATGCGAACTTCTTTAGTAGAGAACTTTACTAATCCCAACACCAGGTCCTGCATAGAAGTATATTTATTGCACGCACTCATTTGTACTGCCTTCAAGTTATTGGCTCAGGCTAAGGGAGTGGAGGCAACAAATTTCGAAGGGAAGGACTGCGTTTGTTAGTTTTCACAGCACGCCCAGGAATCACAGTTGATGTAATGAGATTCGAAGGGAGTCGATGAAGCTCCTTCTGAGGGTATTCTTTTTCAAAGCATGTATTTTGCGCATCTTTGCGCATCTCTTGAACAAGGGACTTGAGTAAGAGTCGCTTTGCACGCCCCCATTCTATGGCATGCTCCTGTTGTGCTTGTGTGCAGATACTTCTACTATCAACGGAATGGTGTGTCGTTACGGCGGTCTCGAGGAGGTTACAATTGCGTGTGACTAGTTCGGCGTCTCTCTCGGAAGAGAGACAGCGCTCCTCCATAAGCCGCTCTCGTTTCATAGCAGAGAGTGAATCGCCCACAACACGGAAATTCAGATGCAAGTCGTGAAGGCGCTGCGCACGTTCACGATTTAGTGCCTTGGTCAGGTTCGCTGTCTTTTCCTCCGCCTTAACTCGCTGGTTACGCTCATTCCGTGAATTAGCAAGGACCTCGTTCATCTGATGTTCTACTATGCGCAGACGTTTGATCTGACCCTCGCGAACCCTCTGGTCTATAAGTGCATTTTGCCCCAATAGTTCAACCCTGAGTTCTGCTTGGTGGGCATTGCGTTCAGCCTCTTTCCGTTCGGCTACGTAAGTGATCTGTTGCTTGTTCAAAGCCTCTATCTGTCTCTTCAGAGACTCGTTCACACTTTGAAGTCGCCGATAGCTAATTTGCAGCTTGTCTAGTTCATGGGAGATCTGCAGCCACTTTCTTTCGTAATCATGATCTGAGGTGACATCGGCTTCTTCCGGAGCCCTCATCTAACAGCGTCAAGGATCATCATTACCTGAAAATAATTGGTAGCATCGGCGGTTGACCCGGCGCTGAGCACGCTGTCCACACGATCTCAGCTTCAAGTTCTGCGCGGCTCCCTGCGATGCAGGGGGGGAAATAAAGGGTGTGTAATTCCGCACTTCCCCGGCGCTGCGCGGGATGTGCGTGAGCTGGTACAGTATTACTAGTGATCTTTCAGTACCGTACCGTAGGTACGTACTTGCTGGTACCTACGGTACCTACGGTACCTACGGTAGGTACCTAGGGTACCTACGGTAGGTACCTACGGTACCTACGGTACGGTACCGTGAAGAGCACTGGGAATTCAGCGAGCCGCTTTCAATGTCGGAATTGCCAAAGCCTAGCCCCTCCGCCGCTGTCACGGTGAATTATGCCCCAGAATTCTGCGTTGACTCGGAGCGATTGCCACGCAAAACGGTGGGTTGTTTTGTGGTCACCGTTTTTCAAGTTGCGGATAATAAAGGCAACACGATACATGTGAAGAGGGGGAGAAATTACTATGGGAAGATGAGACACAGTAGGCACCCCCAGGCCTGCAGGAGGCTACTCTATACAAACCTCCCTCTTGCGACGGTCACCTGCCACTAAACCTTACAGTGCGGTCACATGAGATGCAGCATTCGGCCCTACTGGTGGGGCTTGTATCCGACTCCCCGGGGTATGACCTGTCTCATGCGGAGGGCAACAGCCTCGCAACAGCCATGCTTCCTCTGCATCGTATTAAGAAGAGCGAAAATAGGGCTCTCAACAGCGCGTCCAGCATCAAGGACTACATTGCTAATGGGGGGAGTGTTTCCGGCCTCAAGGCAGAGGTTGCATTAGGCAATGTCATTCTTGATGAAGCCAATACTGATATTCTCACACGTGGATCATACCTTTGGGTCAGTGACAGCGAACTTCGCATAAAAAGGATATTCACCAGGCCTCTGAGTGCCGTCGTCTCAATCGCAAATAGTTGATTCTTTTCATCAGATAGCCCTGGATCTCCCTGGGTTGATTGCTCGCTAACTCGAAAATGGCGGGAGCCAGGCGGAGCTTGCGCGGATCCTGAGGCAGCCCCGACAGCCGACCTGCCGGAGGTCCCTCATCATCGTGACCGAAAGTCCGAGTCACACAGACCCGGACTCGTTGTAGCCCCGGCGGGCCGGGCCGGCGCGTACTGGCAGCCTGAGCCGGAGGCCCGGGAGGTGCCGCTTCGATGTCGCGCGGCGAGGCGCGATGGGAGAATAGATAGTGGTGTATGTATTATGTAGTTGGCGTTCAAGTCAACTTGAAGGACTACCCTGACTTACTTCGACATCACATGCAAACAGTTCGACCATCACCTCAAGTGAGCACTAGAGAAATCGACCGAGATCGGCGGACCACGGAGAGCCGGCCCAGGTCTGCGTTGGGACTCCGAAGAACAGCACAGACGCGAACAGTGTAAGCTGTCATGTCTCCCAGATCAAATTCAAAGTCAGCCCTCACTTGTTCTTTTGTGTCACCCTGGCAAACGAGTTCAATTTCGTTGACATGCACACACCAGACACCATCGTCTGGAGGCACGAACGATTGTAGACTAACTGTCACCGGGATAGAGCATTTCCAGATTGAGCCAGGGTTCTGCACATCGTGACTGCAAACAAGGGTGTCTTCTTCTCCTGGGGCCATGATTTCAAGGTCAGCTATCGACCGTGGGGAATCCAATGTCCAAACTAAGGTATTTACGAGCACATTTGTCAGAGTTTCAAGACAAAAATAATTAGCTAAGATCTTCGGACCGAGCGAAAGGACGCGCACCAATGATGCATTATCACCTGGAGTGCGAATAACAGCACCAACAGCAAGACTGGCGAGATACAGGAAGGTTCCTATGTCGCTTGGTTGTGAAAATAGAAGTCCAAGGGGCTGACTAGACCGCAGAACTGCAAGGAACGTCTCTGCACGCATCAGTCGTTGAACATGGACACATCGACGACGGTACGATCTAATATGTTTTCCCCCATTCCAACTAGCAAAGTCGTACCAATCCAGACATTCCATCTCTTGCTTAGGGGCGGTGTTTTTGTTATAAACCCATAGCTTTCTTGTCTCGTAATTATCTCGACCATTAGCTGAGCCTGCGCAGGAACCAGTAGTCGAACAAAACCAATCCTTATGGAGCGCGGCTACATTAACGCCAAGGGCAACCCGTGCGTTGGGGTGATGCTCGAGACACAGAGGCAGTTTGGAAACGATAGAATCATGAAATATCGCATCAAATCTTAACACTTCCTTGCAATTTATGCCCATGGGCAGAGCTGGACTGCGTACATGTTGAAGGGAAATCGCGGTCACCGGGCGCCGTGGCATACCACGGATCCCACCCCCTGTGGCGCATGCTGCAAAATCATCCAACGCGCTGACTAGGCGCATGGCAACACCACCCCAAGGACCACGAGCCACTACAAGCGCCGAACCAGCGATTGCGTTGACATCCATGGTGCTTGCATCGAATACTCGTAACTGCCATTCACGATCATGCGCCAAGAATGCTGGTAATAGTCCGTATATGAATTCCCAGTCTACGATGTCGCCACCGTCAACAATAACGGTGACTATGGGCCGACCGGATCGTGGTTTTTGTGATCTTACACTATTGTAGTGACGTGCAGCGACATTTAAGATTATCGCCGCCCGTGTGTCGTATGTGTGATGCCTAATTGCATGTGCGCGTGCTTTAGCAGCAACGCGACGTAGTAAGGTCGAGGAGGGGTGATACGCAACTAGCAGATCTGTGATTGCTTTAATTCCATCAGTCGTCGCGTAAGTTACGACACCATGCGATCTTATTGCACCTCGCAACTCGGAGAAAAAGTCTACTCCACGCTCTTCAACAGCAACAAATTGACCACCGCTGCACGCGAGTGCCTCAAATACACGGTTGTTCACCATGCCCAGGCGCCGCTGTGAAGAATCGGTTGTGCCGAGTATTACGGTTGCATTTGCATAAAGTCTGGCGATGCTACCACTAGGGAGTCTGCCTTGCCAGCAGCAAGCCGCCAGCCGCGCATAATCCTTGTCTTGCAGCGAAAAATGATCCCACGCAGACCCATAGATTTTCAGCCTTACACCGGGAACGTCATACAGAGCAAGAAGTGTCTTGGCGAGTAGCGCTTTGCTGTATGAGGGCTGCCCAAGATACACAACGACAGTATCATTGCTGGAGGGATGCCTGTGCGGAGACCATCTTTGAGGTCGATCGAGTCAGCCCCTACGCCATCGACGCGATGCCATCCCATTAACTGTATGGTGTGGAGGGTGAAGAGTACGATTTTCTACACAGATCGTTGCGCGCGCGCGTCAGACGGTGGTTTCATTTCTCTAGTATCCACGGCGAGTGCTACGAACTCACGAGGTGCGAGGTTCTGCGTGGAGCGACGCCGTCGCGTTGACGCAGTCGACACGTCTCACGCTGAAGAGTCATGTCCGCGCCGAGTCGCCGACGGCCTTGTGAAACCAAGGTGACGCCAAACCAAGAACATTACCACCTGCCATAGTAAACCCATGTAATGCCAAAAGCCGTGAGTTTGTGAGAAAACTATCGACATCAATCGCTGCTACCGAGGCGAGTGTTGGATATGTGTCCAGACACCAATGGAACCTGTGTGGAAATCAACCAGCGAGTCAGGTTATCTGAGAATTACTGCGAGAGTGCTTCGTCAACCTCCACGCCATCGAGCAGGCGCAGTTACGGGATGACATCGCATCGATGGCGCACGGGCCGCCTAATTTGCTTTCCACACAGAATGGAACACAGCGATTTGTTTATTAAACCGACGCATGCCACGTATTACAGACTGGACCTGTGTGCAACTCAACCACTGAGTCAGGTGCACCTGGATAATTCTTCACAAAGTCATTGCTCGGCGACAACGCAGCCGTGCTGGCCAAGCCGAGTGGTGAGAGACCCGCACTACCATGCGATCGAGCAGACGCTGCGTTGATAGCGAAAGGCGCAGTGAAATTTGATTTGTGCACCTGGAATAGACAGGACCGGAAAACCCCTCTACGAGTAACATATCCCATTGGTGGGCAATTCCTAAGTCAGGCGTGTAAGCAGACGTCGCGACGATGCCGTGGAAGGCGCCGTGAAATTTTGAGCACCTTCATAGCAAAATGGAGCAAATATCTCCACAATCGAAACATCAGCCCTTTTGAGGAAGGCACGTCGCAGTCCACGCGTAGTGACCTCGGAGCCGGCAACCCAACCATGTAGAGAGGACTTAGATTGGGCATGCAATGCGATCTTTAAACCAAGATCAAGATTTGTGCTTCGAGCGAAAGCAACGAGTACACAATATGCCAGGAGCAACCTGAAGCCATCCATCTGCAACTCGAAGTAAGCAGGTTCCAAGATGAAAGTTCATTATTGCTTTTTGACAAATACCGTATGAATACATAGGTACCGTAGGTACCGTACCGTAGGTATTTTGTTAAGTTATGAAGGACCGTACCGTAGGTACCGTAATTTGCATAGTCTCTTGACACGAAGTGGGGGGGAGGACGGCCATCTAGACATTGATCAAGAGCTAGAAAAAGCGAGGGACTTCTAAAGGATCAATATGATGATGCGGCAAACTTTTGAAAAATATCAATACAGCTTCATGCAGATGACATCATCTATAAGCCAGAAGATATTGCTGAGTTGGAAGAATACCCACCTGATCAGCGTGAAGCAATGGTGGCAGCAATAATGAAAGAGATTGGCGACTTGTGCAAAATAGGTGTGTTTAGCCTAGAGGTGACTCTAGACCATTCCAAGCCGTCAGCACAAGGCTGGTGTTGAAGATCAAGCGAGATGCAGATGGCACCTATCGAAAACACAAGGCGCGCCTAGTACCTATTTCCCTGCTCATCATGATGAAGTCGCCTCTCACTCCGAGTCCCAACCATGACTATTATCATCCTCAGTCACTTTTATTGACGGACGAACTTCCCGTTGCAAATTTCATAGTCGGACCAAAACGGCAACAATATTCAATGGTCACTTACCTTGCGATGGAGGGGCACTGGGACTCGGACTATATCGTCTCTAGTGACCGTTATTAAACTCAGTGTTGCGACGGTCATGGATAGTCTCAATTTGACACATAGAGAAGCAATGTATCTTCTTGATCACGTTGGAGCAGATAAAGACATCATTACACTACGACTTTCTACAACAAGAGTGGGAGGAGATAAAATCTACTTTTTCCGAGGATACCAAGGGCCGGGACGTCTAGGGACTTGGGAAGAAAGGGGGACTGGGAAGAAAGGGGGAAAGGGGAATATGGGAAGAAAGGGGCGTCCGACGAAACCCCGTAATAAATGATTTTACGCATTCAAGTTTTGGTAATTTCGGGGGAATGGGAAACAAGGGGGAACGCGAGGATTTTCAGTCTCCCAGCTCCGGGGGTGCTCTGTTTTGATGCGACTCAGGTCGAATGACCTGGGCCCGGGGAGTGACAAAGACGACACCCCCGGGCCACTTCCCGGGCCCTACTCTCTCGTCTCTCTACGAAGCGTGCCCCGAATATTATATATATTGGGAATAATGGGAGCGAAGAGCAACCTGCCAGCGCCCCGGACAGGGGGCGCAGCCACATGTGTGCTCATTTCGCCAAGGGGGGTTCGTCGGAGTCCTCTTTGCCTCTGGCCACGGTTGCTGTGGCATCGACATTCCAAACAACAATCGCACGATCCTGACGACCAATCGTGATGAGCGCACAGTCGTCGGCAGTAAAGCAGACTCGGGCAACCGGTCCGACGTGGTGGAACGCGCACGCGCGCGAACGGGCCTGCTGGGCGCAGGGGTAGCGGACAAGTCGCACGGTTCCGGCTGTATCACCGTTGGCCAGGAGCGGCGTCGTCCGCGCACGGTCTGCGGCCGCCACGTCAACCGTGCGGTCACGGTCGAGATCGCCTGATAGCGCTGGCCAGCAGCCTTGAACCGGCCAGCCATATATGCAAGTCCAGCTATCGAAGGCAGCATCGCGGAGCTGCGAAGGTAGACGCACGGGTGCGCCGTCGCTTGCCAAATGATAGAGGTGCTCACCTGCGCGGACAAGGCACGTCAGGCGCCTTGAAACCCAATGGATGGGAAGAAGCAGATTAAATGGGCGGCTGGCGTCTTGATGTATGACCGCGCAGACGCCGCGCCATCAGTTGCGTCCGATTGCACATGTCGGCCGTCGAGAGACCAATCTAGCTGTGCGACGGGGGCATTGTGCGCGAGGCACCGCGCACGGAGCCGCGCAGTCGCTGAGTCGTAGATATAGACTTTCTGGTCGGAAGAGCCCAGTGCAAACGCATCGCCCGTTGGCGAAAAGGCAGCACAGCGAATCCAATGACGCGAGTCTCTACCCTCTGCACGTACGCGGAGGGTGGCCACGTCAAGGAGGACAAATGTGCCATCCTTGGGGTGCCGAGCACCCGAGACGTTGCCGCCTAGCCCCGCCAATAGTGTCGCTCCATCGGGGGCCCATGCGAGGCACCTCACGGGCGCATCCAACGCCGCCTTGCGCGCAAGTTTATCGGCCGACACGCTCCAGACGCGGACCGTCGCATCGTCGCCTGCCGTCGCGAAAAGCTCGCTATCAGCCGGGTTCGTGGCGAGGGCCCAGGCCTCGCCAGTGTAGTGTCCCTCGGCGATGAGCGTTGCCGCGCCCGATGCCGCTGCAACTTCGTAGACCTCTGCGCCTGCCGTCTGTACGAGAATGCGCCTGCGGATAGCGTATCTTTGTTTTCCCGTTTTCACGCGCGCGTGCGTACACTGGCGAGTACGCGACAGAGCCCCGCGCAAGACCAATGTGGACAGCTACGATCGCCGGTCGGAGCGGCGGCGCAGGCGCCTCGGTAAGGTCATAGGTCCGGACATGGACGCAGCGCGCGGTCCAAAGTTTGACAAAACCGTCCGCGCCGCCAGTCGCGAAGCCGGCCATTCCGTTTGGACCTGCCGCGTGGATTGCCTCGAGGCCGCGCTCGTGCGCGCGCACGGCCTTGGCGCAGCACCTGTCCTTCCACACGTAGAGATGGCCTCCACGCGTGCCCGTGACCACGCGGTCACCGACCGCCGCGCCGCAGAGTAGGCGCTGCGCCGGATCTGCCGCGCCCCAGAGAGGTTCGGCCGCATCAAGCGTGCCACCAGCCACGCGCCAGAAGTATGCATGACCGTCACCTCCAGTCGCGAGCTCAAGACCACCAGTATCACGAGCAGTCATCCAGCACGTAAACCGAACCGGCCTGTCACCAGCTGCAGCCAGCGCCAGCAAGTCACCATCGTGCCACTCGCCGGATAGGCTTCGCCAGACTGCCAGCGAACCATCGTTGTCGGCGCCCACGGACGCCAGTCGACGACTGTCAGGCGCAAATGCGATGGCCCACGTTGCTCCTCGGTGACGCGGCGGTAGCGTGACCACTGTTGCACCTGCGTGCGCATCCCAGATGTGCACGCGTGCACGTCGTGCGCGGTCGCCCGACGCGACAAATCGGCCGCATGGCGAGGCAGCAAGCGCTGAGACGAGGCGTGTGTGACCAGCGTAATACCACTGCGCGTGTGGCGCGCGCGCATATATGACGCACACATGACCGCACGCATATATTATGTTGCCTGCACCGTTGTATGCAACTGCACCTCGTGATAGCTCGGCCTGACAGCCGTGGATCCAGCGAACGGCGAGTGTAGCATCAGGCGGCTCCAGAACAGCGCGCGGCGCCCGCGTCGGTGGCACGCACGCGAGCAACCACGGCTTGCTCGTCGCCTCAGCTGGATCCGCATCTACTCCTGTGTTGTGGCTGTTGTCATCAGATCCCTCCGTTTCGTCATCATCCTCGTCGTCGTTTCCAACCGTGTCTGCGAGCGTATCAATGTCTGCCGCAAGGGCATCAACCGTCCGCATGGGAGCCCCGGCGGTCACATCGGCAGCCGCGTCAGCCCTGCCGGCGGGCATGGGAGCGCCGACGGGCGCGGGCGTGTCGGTGGCGTCAGGCGCCGCCGTGGCAGCACGCGCCGCGCGCTCCTCCTCGGCAATATCGTCGACGACGTGCTCCCACTGTAAGATTACGCGATCACGCGCGCCCACAGTTACTAGGTGCGACGCGCCGGCCGTCCAGCGGACTGCCGCCACGGGTGCCGCATGTCCGCGGTATGCCTTGCTCTTAGCAAGCGCCGACGTGCATGGGTAGCGCAGGAGTCGCACACGACCGAAATTGTCACCCACGGCAAGCGACGGTCGCGCACTTGCCAGTGGGCAGTCGACTGCTGTCACACGCGAGCCATCATTCTGCGCAGCGTGTGTCCCCTGTACCGCCCAGCCAAGTGGACACGTGAGCGAATGCCACTTGACGTCCTTGAGGCGCGACGCGGCAGGAATGAACATTCCCGTGTCAGCCTCGAAAAAGCAGAGCTCACCAGCTGCGCAGTTGGACCGGAGGTATGTCACATTCGCTGGTGCTGAAAAGTCAACACGCAAAATCGCAGCGTCATGCTGTGTGATCATGTTTTGTAGGCGTAGCGCACCACCGTCTACAGCATAGACGTACATGCGATGGTCGTGTGAGCCGGCAGCCAGAAGGTCACCACCAGGCGCGTACCTTGAAACGGAAATGTTGTAGCCCCAAGCGCGTTGACCCCCCCCCCCCCCCCTTCCCAGAGAAACAGTCTCGGATCGACCGACAGACCCGTTGGTTGTGGTAGCGAAGAAATTGGGGCCCACGCTGCGCGCACTTGAGCTCGGTGATGTGTTTCTGCGAGTCACGCGCCTCATGTACGACGGCAAAGTCGTCCGCACTCATGATCACAATCTTGCCGTCAAACTGCTTGGTCGCTGTTGGGACAGGTGCGCCGAAACCGACAGCAAAGCGCTGGCCCTCCGGATCGTACGCCAGCGCTCGCGCCATCATCTCAAGCTGAGCACATCGGACTTGACGCCGGTCAAAGAGAGACCAAATACGCAGCATGCGGTCGTCACCAGCCGTCGCGAATTGCGGCAGCGTTGGATGCGCATCGAGTGCCCAAAGCTCACCGCCAAAGTGGCCGCCAAAGTGGCCACAACAGAGCGCGCCGCCTGCGTGGAGGCTCCGTCCCTCTGTCGCGTCGAGCTCCCAGACCTCGGCGCCACGCGTGCCGACCGCGACACGGCCGCGGTCGCTGTCCCAGTCTACCGCACGAACGTGGGCGTCGAGAGACCCCAATAGCGCCAGGTCCACATCTAGAATACATTCGAGCTGAAGATTCCAGAGCTTGACAAGCCCATCAGCGCCACCAGTGCAGAGACCGTCAACTGCCGCGCAGACGTCGTTAACTGCGCCCTGGTGCGCAGTCACCACGCGGTCAAGCATACGGCCGGAAAAGCGATATAGCGATCCATCTGCCTGGCCAGCCACCAGGCTAGACCCCTGCCAGGCCAGACAGAGCGTAGCTTGGACGGACCCACGCGAACCCAGGCGCACGGGCTCACGCGCCGCACTTTGGCCTGTGCACGTCCACACTGCCAGCACGCCGCGGCCACCGAGCGCAAAGCCAACCCCACCGCCGAAGCCCGCGCCTGCGCGATTGAACACCAGCGCCAATGGCTTCTCTTGATGCGTTGGTGTCACGGCTGCGACCGCTCCAACAGCCCAGTCATAGACGACAGCGCGATGAAGGTCATCGCAGCCGACGGTTGCCAGGTAGCGACCACCTTGAGCCGGCGAAAATGCCAGGAGGGGAACTGCGCGCCGATGGTGCCCTCGGAGGCACGCACGACATGCCAAGGACCCAATGTCCCAGACCATAACGGCAGGTCGCACCCGCGCGTCACCTGTCGCCACAACACCGGTCTCGGGGTGCGTAGCAACGCCGACGACGTCGGCCGGATGTTCAGTGAAATACCTTTGCGCCCGGGGTCCCGGCGCTAGGCATACCAAGAGGCGCGCCGCCGCATATACAATTTCGCGGGCGCCGTCACGTGCAGCCGTGTACCGTACTGCGCCACGGATGTCATGACATCGCGCACCATGAACCCACTCCAGCTCGAGTCGGTCTGACGGTAGGCTTAGATCTTCGGTTGGCGGCCGAGACGGGGCGACGACTGTTCGCTGCCACGGGAGTAGGGGTGCGTAGTCCTCGTCGCGCCCTTTTTCCTCCATACGAAAGATCGCGCCCTGGTCAAATTGCGCTGCGCGTTCGACTGCGGGGTCGCCATCAAGAGCACGGCCGCATGCGTACTCGCATCGGTCGACGCCGTCATCGTCTGGTGCCACCGTAGCCTCATCTGGTGGCAGCGTGTCTGCCTCCAGGCTCCAGACAGCCAAACAACCGTCGCCACGCGACGTCGAGAAGAGTCGCGTGCCGTCAGCTGACCAGGCAATGGAACCCCCGGGTGCTGCATGCGCGTATGAGTCGCGAGGGACCGCGCCTTTAGCGGCGACGGGGTACCGCCAGAGACGCACGCGACCATGCGCATCAACCGCAGCCTGCGGGTCCACGTCGCGCAGTTTGAATCACCCACGCGCCCCTTCCGCCCCCAGTTCTCTCCGTGACCTCAGGGCTGGATCAAATGGACCGATGCGACGCGATGCGACGCGATGCGACGCGATGCGAGACGTGACTTAGCCCGGTAATGAGACATGCGCGGGTCGCGCGCTGTGAGATGGCCGCCGGCATCAGCCGGTAGGCGCGCGCAGGCCGTCAGCGGCGCCAGGTTGCCGCCACTGCCGTTACCATCCTCGCCCCAGCACCCACGGAGCGGCCAGCCGAATATGCACGACTGCGTTGCCCATGCCGCATCTCGTACAAGACGTGGCGCGCGTGGCTCGCCCGAATCGGCCTCCCAAAAGAGTAATTCACCCGCGTCGTCGCAAGACTGAATGAGCTGCGCGTCGGAACTCCAATCGATATGGCACACACGGCCACGGTGACCGCGGCACTTTGTCGTTGCAGCAAAATCACCCGCATCGTAGACGTAGAGTGCGCGGTCGTCCGCGCCAAAAGCGAGCGCGCGGCCGTCAGGCGAGAAGGCACAGCAGGTCAATGGCAGTCTTGCGTCCCGTGCTTCGTGTACGACACCCAGCGTGGCTGTGTCCAGGATGACGAACGCACCGTCCTTGCGCTGCCGGCGCCCGCGCCGGTCGACACCGCCTAGTCCCACCGCCAGGTGTCTGCCGTCAGGCGAGAAGGCACAGCACCGTGCAATTGTGTCAAGAATACAAGACCGCACTGGTCGTCTCGCCTCGCAGTCCCAGATGACAACGGCCTTGTCGTCGCCACATGTCGCAATGTGTGACTGTGATGGGTGCGGCGCCAGGCCGCAGAGTCGCCGCTCTGCGTGGCCGGCTGCAACGGGCTGGCCGTCGTGCAAGGCGCGGCCATCAGTTGCCGCTGCCTCAAAGATCTCGCCGCCGGCTGTTGTAACTGCCAAGCGATCCCGCGTCGCATCCCAGCAGACTGCTAGCACACATGGATCGCGGGCGCCGAGTGCAGCCGCGTCGATACTTGAACCAGCATCGAGACCATCCGCAGTTGCCGTCCAGAGCTGGATGTGACCGTCAGTCGACGCCGAGCACAGGCCTTGGATACCTCCGCTTTCGACTGTGTGGAGTGATGTAACTGCGCCCGCATGTGCCTTGATTGCCTGGACACACGTTCGGCCGACGAAGAGCAGGAGGTGGCCACTTGCAGCGCCGACTACAACGTGCGCGCCGGTGCCCGCGACTGCTAGGAAGGGCTGCGGCGGTGCTTTCCGGCAGAGTAGGCCGCGCTCAGCGCGAAACGTGTCAATTTTGGTGGCAGCTTCTTCACTAGCGTCCCCCTTATCGCCAGGGGCTACGTCAGCGCCACTGACGTCCATGCGCACGCGCCAGAATTGGACGTGGTTGACGCCGCAGGTAGCGAGGTCACGGCCATGGACGAAACGCGCGTCAAGAACAAGTGTGGCTGCTGGAACATCGGCGGCAAACAGTAGAAGCGTTGCGCGCCAGTCGTATATAGCCACAAGCTGCGCAGCGGGACGATCGGCAACGCCCTCGTGTGGCGCGCCGACTGTCGCCAACAAGACACCGTCGCCCGAAAATGCGACGTGGAGCACACCAACACGGTGCACCCCGCGGATTATTGCCAGAACGTCGAGCGTTGTGGCGGACCATACAAAGACCTTCGGGCGCGCACCCAGCTCGCCGGTCGCAACCCATGTGTCCCCCTCGGCGTGGTGCACACGTAAGCACTCGACACAATCTGCGTGGTGCTGAGCGTGTCGTTGTGTACCGGAGGCGCAGTCTAGGACAACGCCGACAGTGCCCGCTGGGTAGACCAGCTCGCCGCGTGCAGCGTAGAACGCATGCTGACGCCGCTGGGCATTGAAGCCGAAGAGGTGCTCGAGCTGCAGACCCTCCGCGGGTAAGGCCGCAACTTCAGCCGGGCAATCAGTCGGCTCCAGAAATGCTGTGGTTGCGAGCCATGGCGGTTGCGGTCGTGTTACCTCCACTGGCGGTACGCCGTCGGCCTGTGCCGCTGCTGCCGCATCCTCCAACTCAAGTAACATCGTTGGACCGCTTTCCATATCTTTCGCTAGGAGGTGCCCCATATCGCGTACAGGCGGTGCCGCCAGTGCTTCAATGAACCGATCGACCGCCCTGTCACCGAGCGGAGCTGCCGGCTTTGCCGTCTCGCATATATCACCGTAGAAGTCGATCCAAGACGTTATCTCGGGTGTTATGGTACAGTATGTTGCGAAGTCTATCTTGCTGATCGTCGACCCCTCGATGTCACGCACGCCGGCAAACGCGCCAACAGCGACGCGCTCGATCTCCGTCTCAGGGGGCAGCTCAAGGCCGCTTAGTTTGCAAAGTCCCGAGAGAGTCGATCGCAACGCTAGGATTGTCTCGTCTACTGTGAGCACGCCCGACTCATCAAAGTCAAAGATACCAAAAATAAAGGTAATTTTCTGCTCTTGTGACATGCCAGAAAGGGCACCCAGCGCTGCTAGAAATTCAAGAGCGTCGATGAGCTCGTTTTGGTCGTCATCGAGGGCGACGAAAAGGCTTCGCGAGAGTGCGTCTAGCTTTTTCTCTGCATAGCCAAGTACGTCCTTGAGACAAACGCGCAAGATCTCGCAAGTTTCATCGGATGTGAGGCCCATGCCCTCTGCAATATCGTTGAACGCATCCCATAAGTGGTGCACGCTCGCGCTTGGGACTGCGGCAGGTAACGAGTCGGCGCGCGCGCGTGTGTGTCGGCGAACGGAGAGGGGGGGATCTCGACACTGGTTCGCAGACCGTTTACATAATGCCGGGCCACTGGCAGGAGCGGGGCGCGGCCTAGCACCTGACCCATGGCGCCTGTCTGGGCGCAGCTCAACGCAAAAGGTAAAAAGTACCGTGGTATCTTTCAGATCGGATAACTCGCGACACATCTTGCCGGCGCATGTTAAACAAACCCCCGTAATATATTAGTTTTTGCGGACCATTGGCGACAAACACTCTGAGGCAGACTAGACTGGTGTCATCGCTGCCCCTCGAGGTTATTCCCCAAAACCTCCAGCCTGTGACATGAGCTCATGATCACCACCACCAATGGCGGGCGGCCGTCTCGCCACTCGCGCGGCGAAATGAGTGGTCGTTCTTCGTTTGACCGGAGCCCCGCGGCACGATCGGAGCTTGCGCGACAGCAGGCAAGGCGGAAGCTGCGGCGGGTCAAGACAATGATTGTCGCATCCCGAGCCTTCTCCGACGCGGGTCGCAGACGGCGTGAGCGTGTAGAATCGACAGACCTGGAGGTGGCACCTCACATCGACGAGGACGCCGAATGTCGCATCGTGTCAGTAGCACAGGCGCGAATACACGCGCGCCGCGGGCCTCGCGTAGCGAACGGGAACTTCTCGTCGCAGGGCCTCCCCAAGTTCTTTTCTGTGCCTGATGATATTCGCAGGCATACGATCGTCACACACCACTTGGTGCTAGGGTGCCGAGAAGACGCGATGGACCGCCGGCGGCTCGAGGGCATTGGCATAACACACGTGTTGAACACGTGCAAGCAGCTGCCTAATTATCACCCTGACGCGTTCATCTATCACAAGATTCCACTGATGGACGCACCGGACGCGCCGATCATGTCCTGCTTCGAGGTCGCAGCAAATTTTCTTCAGAGGGTTGAACGCGTTGGCGGCCGCTGCCTCGTGCACTGTATAGCCGGTTCGTCGCGCTCGGTGGCGCTGGCTATCGTGCACCTTATGGTCTCGCACCACGTGCCGCTTCACGTTGCGTTCCATCACATCAATCGCATGCGTCCCCAGGCCAATCCAAACGAGGGCTTCAAGCTTCAATTGGCCTTGTTGGAGGTAAGCGTTCTCGGAGGCTCTTCGGTCGCTGGCCGGGATGCGGGCGACGCGTGGTTTTTCTATGAATGGAATACGAGGAAGAATGCAGTTCCCAGGCTCACCGAACGCTACGGCAAGGCGGGTTCAGGCGACTCCGCCGCGTGCATGGTGCAGTAATTTACATGTACTGTGGTTGACTTGAGGCTTCACTACTGTCACCGTTGAGGAGACAAATCAAGTTCACCAAGTGCCGGTCGCAGAAGCAAACTTTGGTTCAGGGCAGATTCCTCGCTTCTGTTATGCAGTGCTCGCTCGGTAGCCACGAAGAACGGGCCCGGGGACTAGAAGAGCGTCCTCCATGTACGCTTCTTCTCAGGCTGGTTCAATCTCAAGTTGAAGTGCCTTCAGACTGACTATCTGTTAAGCAGACTACGAGCATACACAAAAGCCGGGTTTCCTCTGAGGTCCGCTCCCCAGCCCCAGGGCGGCGGCACTGGAGGTCATGGCTAGGGTGCAGGTACGCAGCACGGCATTTTTTACGTCACGGTGAGAAGAGCTGTGAGAAGCTTCCCCCCGTCAACTCAAATTACGCCGTATTTTGCGTGTAATTTGCGCGTGCGTTTATGAATATACTAGAAGTAATCCGTCACTGGTACTACTGATAATTTCAAGTTCTAAGAGGCTAGGAATGTAAGTAACCTGTTAATTACCCGTTATTAACCTATAATTACCCCTCGAAGGAGATCCGGGGTTAATAACCCGGTCAATAACTCGGTACTTAATTGCTAAACGAGTTTAACAATCGAAACCCGTTTAGTGAGATTAGCGAAAAAGATCCCTCCGGGCGAGCGGATGGGCGCAAGCAGCCCGTTGCGCCTTTGGATACGTGCAGGTGCGCCAAGGCAAGTACCAGGGCATGTCCATGGCCCCCCCCTCCCCTACCCCTCAATAAGGTCCTGAGGTTAATAGTAACCCGTAGTGACGGGTATTTACCCGGGTTACTGACCCCGGGCCGCAATTGGGGTTAATAACCCCTGGGGTTATCCTGGTTCAAGTTCCGAGCCGTAGGTAGATTAATAGGTCACGGTATATAAGGCATATATATATATGATGTTCCGGGTCTCCCTTGACTCGGATTATCCTCAAGCTCTGCTATCTATATAACTATAACTTGCAAAGGGCCGCGCATTGCCGCGTGCCCGCGCGCTGCTCAGGCTGTAGCGCCGGCCCGCCGGTGGGCCCCGGACCCACTGGAGCTTAGGAGGAAGCCAGCGAGGGTACGGGCTGCTTGCCGGGACCGCCGCTTCATTGTCGCTGCCAGAACTTGAAGGACTCGGAAGCAATATCCTAATAATTTCAAGTTGGACCTAATAAAGAAAGGACACACACCAAGCTAGAATAGAAGTCTAATGAAATCATCATGATTAGTAGTCCCATCATGATGTTTTATTTAGGGCGTTTGCGACGAGAATGGCTCCCATGATTAAAATCAGGATGGATGGCCCGGGTGCTATTAAATTAAGTTGTTAAATTAATCATATAGAAGCCTGAGTAGGAGATACTACAGGCTGGTTAGCCAGCAACTTGACAAACCGTGACAGACAGCTTGAGGCTCACTGTTAGTGGCTAGTACTAGTAGTAGGAAAAATATAGCCAACTTGATTCGGATGGCCAGGATGGCGCGCAGCCCGGGCGGCCGAACATGCGAACGCCGCGGATGGCCACGACGGCCCGACATTCCGGACGGCGCCGTCCGCCCCACGGAGAAAGATGCGACTAGTACGTAAATGCGACGGACGGCCCGGGACGGCACGGCACGGCGCGAAGACGGCCCCGACGGCGAGGACGGCAGTGGTGGCGCCGCGGCGAAAACGGCGGAGGATGACTGCCCGATGCCTGGGATCCCGAACCCCAGGGCTGTCATTCTCCTGTCTCAGAGGGAGGGGACTGGGACGGCGGGGATGGCGTCAGAACAGTACGGCAAATGCACCCTTGAGAACTCACCCTTGCCTCCCAGCGTCGGGCGAGCAGCCTCCGAGTCGGGCCCAGGAGAGGATTCGGGGCGGGGCAGCTGGGATTCAACTACGGGCTGCGTCTGAGGCCCGAGCCACGGTGGCGGCGCGACACTCCGGCTGACATCTAGAGTCGCCCCGGCAATATTTCCTCAGCTAAGCGCCGATGCCGCACGGTAGGGCAGTCCGCCAACATACAAAAGGGCCGGGCGTCTGGCAGTCGGCTCGTCACTGTCTGGCAGGTTGTCCTCTTGGAGAGAAACACTTATTACGCGACTGAGCGTCGATTGGCCGCTCGACAAGTTTGACGCGGAAGTCACACCTCAAAAGGGCCATGCGCGTGGGAATGGTAGTAACTTAGTGTGCGTGTGTGCGTGTGGGGCGACCGTGCCCATAGCCGGATTTAGTCAGTTGGCAAATGACCTGCATCTACCCTAGTCAGTAGCGTAACTTGCTTTCGCAGGGGCAGAAAGAGCGAACCTGTAGAGCCGCACAATAGCAGTTGCACATCAAGGACAGCCGGGGCGTTGGAGATTCCCGATCCGCGGCACTGGCAAAGAGCCAGACCCACGCTTAGATGTATATCTCCTCACACAGCACTATTTGTCGAGTGTTTCACGTGGTGGGATGTAGCATTGATTCCGCCATTAGAAGAGCAGACTCTGCAGATTTGGCCCCCTGGGCGATAGCAACATTAAGAGGGGTTGTCCCAGTCATATCTTTGCGAAGAACGTCAGCCCCTTTCGACACAAGGACTCTCAGCACGTCATCGTGGTCGTGGCCAGCTGCATAGTGAAGAGCAGATTTACCCTTGTTATCAAGGACATCAACCTGGGCACCAGCCTTGAGGAGACTCTGAACAATATCGGCCCGACCACGAGCGGCGGCTGCGTGCAGAGCTCTAACATGTGCGTCACCGTGGGGCTCATTCACATCAAGAGCACCAGTTGCAATGGCACGCTGCACAAAGGAGTCCACTATTTGTCGAGAGCCAAGTTCGATAGCAACTAGAAATGCACTGGTTGGCTCAGTTCTGCATGTAACAGGCCGTGCGCTAGCACCTCGCGCCAGGAGCGCATCAACAAGCTCAGGCTCATCAGCCACAACAGCAGCGGCAAGGAGACTCGCTGATCGGTCGGCGACTTTGGTTGGGTCGGCACCTGCAGCAAGAAGCGCTGCGCAGACGTCGAGATGGCCGGCAGTGGCCGCAGCAGCAAGAGGTGTTTCATCATTGTCTGTCACCGCATCGACAGTTGCCCCACAGGCTAGTAAGCGTGATACTGCGTCGGGAGCGCCACGACGTGCCGCAGCAACAAGAGCAGTGTCGCCTGATAAAGCACACCAGTCGACAGGCCAATTCCCGGCATCCGCAAGCCGCGCACACTCGTCGAAGTCACCGTCGTCGATCGCATCAGCCATCGCATCAATCTGTGCCGCAGCGCGCTCTTGGTTCCGTTCAAGAGCTATATCACGCGGAGTGCGCCCCTTTGAGTCCTCAAATGTCGCGTCAGCGCCATGGCGGAGCAGCGCCCCTATGGCTGCTCCGGCACCTGCAGCAGCAGCAGCATGCAGCGATGTTGCTCCGTAGGCGTCGCGACAGGTCACCAAGGATCCATCGAGGCTGCAGAGTCGCTCGACAAGCAAAGCTTGGTCACACGCGGCCACATGGTGCAGTGCGCAACGGCGGTTTTTGTCCAGTGCTGCGTGCAGCGATTCTGCATGCCGCGTCAGCGCTGCAACACAAGTTGTTGCGCCTGCGCGACAAGCTGCTAGTAGCGCAGGCTCGCAGGCATCGCCGGGTTCAGGGAATTGTACCAGATAGTCGCAGCTTTGCATCTTGCATGGCAAGATTGATGATGTTGTAGCGTCATTGCTGAGAGATAGGGGATAGAGGAAGGCGGCACTCATCTGATGAGAGTGGCCAAAAGCCAACAATGCCTCGACAGCATCATCATCAGCACGCGATGCAGCCGCGTGGAGAGCTGACCGCAAGTCATCACTATTAAGATCATGAGAATTGAAAGCGCCAAGCAGACGTCGGACGACGGAAGTGTCACCTGCCGCGCATGCTGCTCGAAGTAGACTCAAACCGCTATCCATGAGCGCTGCTGCCGGTTGAGCACCGCGAGAGACAAACTCACCACAGACAGCGAGACAGCCGGCCATTGCTCCCGCTGCCAGTGGCGAGAGGTCACCAGACAGTGTAGCGTCAGCGCCCGCTTCTTCAACAAGAGCACAGACGGCCTCAATATCGCCACGGCGTGCCGCGGCTGCTAGCGGTGCCGGACCAAGTTGAGTGGAAGCATTTACCGTAGAGGATGCAGACCCTAAGACTAACTCTTCAATCAAGAGCTCCACACATGCCTCCACAGGCCAATTCCCCTGTCTAGCTAATGAAACACAAACAGCAATGTCACCGTCAAGAACGGCATCCGTCATACCAAGGAGCTGCTGCACACAACTAGCGTGACCGAAAGTCACTGCAACATTTAAAGCCGACGCGCCATTGGCATCAAGTACTGTTGCGTCCGCTCCGGCTGTTAGAAGTGCAGCAATGGCAGTATCTGCACCAGCAGCCGCACTACAATGCAGCGCTGTGTGGCCTGGACCGCTCGCTTCGCACGCATTTACGAATTCCCGATAAGCCGGGGATTCCACTCGTAGACGCGCAGCAGTAGTGAGCGCGGTGATGACCGTGCTGCTGTCAGCAGCAGCAGCTCGATGGAGTGCTGACCGACCTGCAATATCAGCGGCAAATGGCGAGCAGCCTGCAGCAAGAAGGGCTTTCACAGCATGTGCATCATCACGTGAGCCATTTGCTGCCGCAACCATGAGCGCCTACAAAGACAAACAAAAATTGATCGCATGAATCACTAACAAGAGCACATACCGTCACGTGTCGCTGGCCGTGTGGTGCCTCAAGCAGCACCTGTCCGCCATCATCTGCCGCGGCAAAAAATTGAAGGTATGCACTGAGAATTCGAGTTATCGGGTGCCGGGCAGCAAGAAGAAGACATGACGTTGCGCCTTGCTCTTCCTCGTCAGCGAGCAGTTCGGGCTCACCAATTGTTGCAGGTCGTGCAAGCAGTGGTGGGGCACCAGCCTGTAGCAACAGAGAAACAAGCTCATCATCTCCACGTAGCGTAGCAACGCGCAAAAGTCTATCGTCGGTCCTCGACACTGTGGCGCCTGCCCGCACAAGTGCGAGCGCCGCGCTGAGCTGCCCATTGACCATTGCAGTATCTAACGCAGTCTCACCAGAAGCTGACGCTACGTTCACGGTAGCACCAGCACCAAGCAACGCGCGCACGGCCTCCGTTGCCCCGCGTCGAGCAGCTCCCACTAATGCACTTTCACCATTTGTTCGGGATATAGGCGAACCACGCTGTTGCCTCGCTACACCCGCGTAACAATTGTTGTGCTCATCGCTGGTGCCGCCAGCATCGTCTTTGTTAGAGCTGTCATAGCACACGACACTAGAGAGACCGCATGCGCTGCAAATACCGAAGTCGTCGTCAGCAGCAGCCGGCGGCACTTTTGGAACCGCATCACCGATATCACCCCATATATCCGAGTGACTCGGCACCTCTACAGGTGTTGCCGTGGCAAACCTCGCCGCCACAGTCGCGACGGCGGCTTCACGCGGATTGCGTTTAAAACGCGGTGTTGATATCTGGATACCACGCATGTTCACGCGCCGCGATCGCACACCCACGAGGGAGTGCTCTACTCTGATGGGATAAGGGGGATAGCTCAGTATTAGCTGGGGATATCGGATGAGTGTGAGTCCACTGTACACTGTGAGTCACTAGGAGTGACTGAGCCCCGAAACTTACAACTAAATGGCGTAGCCCTGCCGGACAAAACATTGATTGGGAATGAAGCCCTGCCCGGGCCGCGACTGCGGCAGTTGTTACTGCGGTCACGGTAGGGCGCGAGCGGGCCAGCCTCGGAATATCTTTGGAATGGGGAAATCAGGAACGTATCGACCCTCCGACAAAAAATCACAGCAGGTCGGCGGAGGGCGCGTTTTCTCAAGACATGGCTCTAAGAGTTCCAAGTTCATGACTGCGGCCAGTGCTGTATTTAGCCTGAGGGTGCACGCGAAGGTCTGCCAATGGACGTCGGGCGATGCTCTGGCAGCTCGTGAGGGCCAATGTCGACGTCTACCCCGGGCCAATAGTAATACTTCAAGTAATGAACTTGAAGAAAAACCGCACTGGCATGAGAAACTCCAATTCAAGTTAGCCTCAGGCTAATCATGCCAGTAATCATCATGATCATGAGAACCCCCTATGATTTGGACTTTTGACAAGAGCTGTATCGCACTGGCAGCATATTTTGGCAATGCGCTATCTGTCCTGGGTGGTCGTCAGCCGTTTGCTGGGGTAACTTCGGAGCACGAGAGGCCACGCAGAGTTGGTAATCGTCGATCACCTTAACCGCCCCTGCAAAAGAATGGGCTTCATTTAGAGACCCCGAACTCACCGTGTGAGCGCAACCCATTATTCGTAATGGATGTTACCATAGAATAAATGTTACTAGTCAAAACATTACACAGGCCCCCCGTTGTTGATGAGAGGCGGCAGGTTTGTATCAGGGTCCATCCGCAGCGACGTGAAGTTCCATGCGAGGACATCGTGAGTCTGCCATATTTCCAGGCCTGTGGAGGCAGTGGCACCAACCCAAGCACGTCCGTGATGAAGACTGAGGAGAGAATCGAGATCAAGGGGGGTAATAATGATTGGTTCGCTGAGGTCATCGATAAAAATAGAGAGAGCGCCGAGGCCATTTCCAAAGTCAGAAGCACCATCGATAAAGAATGAAGCAGAATGTGGTGTTGCCGAGAATCTATCGTCCTTAAGGATGCCCGGTTTAAGAAGAGGGTCATACCGAACACGAAACGCGTGGAACTCTTGAGTGGACGACGAAAACGTAGCCGTCCTGGGATATTGTGTTGACGAGGTCAAGGTGGACTTTTGGTGGGCGCTATTGGTGCCTCGCCGCCCATTTGTGTGGACGGCAACGTGATTTTCGTAGGGCTCAGAAAGCTCTGGGTTATAATAGGTGTCAATCTCAACGGCAAGCGAGTCGTTGATACCCCCGTGACCAAGCCCTGCACCCTTGCGTCCCAAGGCATCATAACGGTCTTCTTGGATTACAAACGCAAAGCCGTCGCCACCACGTGATTGACAGGAAGTGTAAACATCATCCATGAGATTACATCGCTGTGATGGGTTTGACGTACGAAACACAATGGTAGTATCAAAGCCCTCTCGGACGTTGAGACGGCGTGCGTACCACATGGCTCCAGCGTGGCGGGGAAGCGATGGCGTTAATCGGATAGCTGGTCCGCAACTTGCGGTTGGTTGGAGGGGCAGAGTGAGTGCAAGCGAGCTAATCTCTTCAACCAGAACAATGCGCTTTTCGACGCGATCGTTTTGAGGAAATTGTGGATCATTGATGGCAGGCTTGCGAAGGGCTGTCTCGGGTTCGGCTTTGTGAAAATTAGGTGTCGCCATTTCGACACAAATAAGGTGCTTTCCTCCGCAGCCATCCCCCACAGCCTCGTATTGGTGGACATTGAAGCCATCACAGCACGCGGTTGATGCATTGCAATTTTCTATATTTGCACTACCAACGAGAAGGAGACCGTAACTTCCCTCGCCACCAAAGAGACCCGTGGGCCCAAGCGTCGCTCGCTCGTCTGCCGGCCCGTGCTGCACAGTCGCGTTAGCGTTGAAGATGTTAAAGCTAACATCGTATTGAAGTGTGGCTGTTGCGTTAGTGAAATCAGAAAAAGGGCCAACGAAAGCGCCCGGTAGATGCGACCGCCGACCATAGAGGTCGACGGTGTCAATAAATAATTGGTCACTAAAGCGGTCTTCGACGACAGCAGCAACGGCAAACACATAGCGAGTGTCTGGCTTCAGGCCAATAATTGTAGTTGCTGTTACATTTCCCAGAGTGACGTTGTGTATAATCCGGGCGTTATCATGGCGCGCTTGGAGCTTCTGCTTGATTTCTTCCGTCTTTGCGTCAGTTGCTTGCTGGTCGGAGACGACATGATAAGTAATAATGTAACCAGTCGTCTGTAGTGCACCTAAAAGCCCAGATGACGATCCCACTTGCGAACCTTTAAGAGCCGGTGGTACCCAGCACAGGTCGACTGACCTTGCCGCTATGTTGGAGATGCGAGGAATGGCCGCCCGTGTCGGTGGACCCTGGTATGCGAGGTACTGAACTGTGTCTCGCAGCCCCGGAGTGTCACCACGTGCCACTACGACGTCCACAGGCTTACCGCTGACTGATGGAACCCCAGCCGGTAGTTTGCAGCTGACCTCGTCTGAATTGGCTCGGCTGTACTGCGAGTCGCCGGCGCCTGAACTGTGGTACGTAACATTCAGGCATGGTCGGCCGCCGACAACGATAGTCGTGGGTCTTTCCGATGATCCTAGGCGCTCACCCCTCAGTGTTATGCGGAGGTTACCGACAATAGGACAGGCGTAGGTATTTGCATAAACGCTCATTTTTTTAGTGTTGTTCATTAGAGGTCTACCGTCAAACCTCGCAAACCCACGCCCAAGGTAGCCATTCTCCAATTGCTTTGCATCTTCCATCTGTGCCACGGCAGTTTGATGGTCTAGTATGGGCGCTGCCCCAGGCTTTGGCTCCTGTGCAGGCCAAAATATATCTATGCATCCAGTCACAGATCTAACAAGCGGCGGATACGCGATGACAATCGAATCAATTAAGAAGGCATCACGTGCTGTGTTGGTGCCAAGAGTCTGATGTGCCCCCCCAAAAGCCCCCGCTGACCAATGATAAGCTTTTTTTTGCTTCTGATCCAAGTCCTCACTTTCGTACTTTAATTTGCATGGATTCGCCTGGATCACATTCGCAGCCGCTGATAGCGCTAGTGTTGCATGCGGAATCCAACGCTCGCCATCATGGCTCCGTTCTAGGAAAGCTGTCTCGGCACGTGTCGCAATGTCTTCGCTCTGACAGATAATAACGCACCTCACTGCCACAGGTTGCTCAAAAGCATAACCTAACCACGTGCTGACTGTAGTCTCTTCACCCCCAATGGCAGCCCCAGAGACATAGACTCGTCCTGTTTCGCCGCCAGCATTCTCGCGAACCTCCTGATTTCCCACGAGACACTCGCCATCCCGCAGCACCCAACCACCTGCGCCACCCGACCATACTGATGCAATGGCGCCATTGGAAGATGTTACATAGCCCTCGTCGATGTGAATCAGCGATGCTTGTTCCGAGCAAGCACGATCCTCATACCTGAGCCGTGGAATTGCGTTGAAGATCAACAAATTTTCTAACACCGGCAATTTGCATGGTAAGTTCAGAAACTACCCAGGGACCAACGCGCTCGTGGTCGAGTCGCAGGCGCCAAAATAATGCAGCCCATGCTATTTTACCAAAGCCAGCTTGTTCATTTTTTTGCCAGTCTGCACAGGCTGAGTTTGCACTTGCGTCATAGTTGCGCTTCTCGCTGGGCGCCAGCACGACGCCGCCAAAGTAGATCCGAAGGCGCGTCAGTAGGAGCGGTGAATTATAAGATGTCCGCTCGTCGCCACCGAGCTTTGCAGTCGCAGCTTTACGCCAAATTGGAATGATGTACGACTTGTAGTCGGGATTTGGTGAAATCCCAAAATGAGCCTCGAGCACAGCGGGGAGAAGTCGGAGCTCGCGTATGCGGACATCTCGTCCCCCGTAGCTACTAAGAAAAACAACTCGCCAATGATGGTGTCGCTCATTGGATGAAAGAGACGTCGAGAAGTATTGCAAACGACTTTCGTTTAGAACGGTAGCCGAGAAAACAGTCTTGTTTGTTGTGCCAACCCGTAGGTCGAGCGACATTGGACAGAAGCCAACGACGCATCGGACTTCAAGATCTGTGATGGCGTGGCCCGTGGAGGTGCCTTGCCGGATGGCGAGTTCCCTCGCTGACCAGAAGGCAAACGTCACCCCCTCGCCTGTGTGCAAAGCAACCAGTGAATTAGGTTATCCAGATGAATCGTGTCGACGAACAGCGCGACCGAGATTGCTGGCGGTCCGGAGGGTACTGGCGTCGTCCTCTACGCCATCGAGCAGATGCTATCACACAAAGTCGCGTCGATGGCGTGGAGGTTCTTCCAGTTTGAAGGAGCCGTGAACCCCGATTTGCACACTGCCCCTCGCCGACTGCTCCTTTCCACACAGTACCTGCATTGTCATCATTGATTGGAGAGCCTGAAGGGATGCCGCTAGCAGTGATAGGCACCGGTGGTCGTCGCGGGGTCCAGTCGACCTGTGTGGAAATCACATCATCGACGCGATGTCGTCCCAGTAACTGGGTCTGCTCGATGGCGTAGAGGGGTTGATTTCCACACAGAGATTGACATTGCTCCTGTGTTGCTGCTGCGACCCCACCCAGTGAGCACCATATTGAGCAACGAGCCGTGCGTCCCGGAAACTGCCACTCTGGTATTTCATTCGGATGACTACTGTCTGCCGCCCTGCGGATTGGAGTTCGAGCAGCGGCGAATCAAAATGGGGATCCGAAGTAGCTTCACCCACTATGGTTCCGACTAGGTTTCCACCACGAGCTGCCACATCGAGATGCATCTCTGACGACGAGGCGAGCGCCCATCCTTCCAGCGACTCTTCGAAGCGGTACGCTACATCGTCTCTCGAACCACCGACAATCTCTAACTTAGCAGTCTCTGCTGCCTGCTGCAGATCTGCTCGCACAAATATGGCCACCGCGAGCATGATTGCAACCCGCATCCGTGCCCGTCGGGCTAGCCACTGGGGGTGACTATGAAACGACGGGTACTAACATACGACGGTCGTTCTTGCATCCAGCCCCAGGGTATATATCTAGCTAGAGGCTCTACCCCCCGTCCATTAGAAGCCTCTTCTACTCAAGGATGTATCTCAACTTGCTCATTGAGATACTGGAAACGGCGCGTAAAAATTATGACCTCATTGTAAGGGGTCGGGATTTATCCATCCTCGCGCCATTCCGTCGCTGAGATCATGTGCGGCGTACCGCCCCGCGGCGCGTCGTAGCAGAAATCGCTAGACGGCATGCCCGAAAGAAGCAAGGGTCCGAGTCGGGTACATGCGTGGGGTACCCGGACACTGCGGTCGCGTTCGAGCGCTCGAGAAGCTGGAGATAGTGTCGTATTATGTGTCGCGGTCGGGACCGTCTCGCAGTCGACTAAAGGCACTCAAACGACCAAACAAAGGGCCTCAGCCTGAGGCTCGAGGCGTCGAGGGTACGATTAACCCCTGTGAATGATAATTGTTGCTGAGGAGCCCCGGAAGGCAAAGCGAAGGTGGTGTGAAAAATGGCAGGAGCTCGTCGATTTCTTTGAAATAGATTCAAAGGAATAGGAAGCCCTCGCCACGAGTCGCTTGGTGCAAAGTGTCAAACTTTGCCGCAAAGCGTACTGACGTTCCGTCAGCAAGTTTCACCGCGAGAAAATCAACGTTCCGTTCGTTAGCCGAATGCTCCGCACTTTCCGCCACGAAAAACTCTGGAATGTCCACGAAACCCGTAACTTTATCATATGATAAACTTAAAGAAAGTCTTAAACCCGTACGGACGCTCCCCACGTCCGATTTTTCGACTCGGATTTTTACCTTTGCGGAGTAGCCCCCCCCCCCTTCCCACGACCACCACCACAACAGGTGTTGAACTCCCCCACCGTTACTAGTACCTGCCCAGGCCCTCCGGGCATGTGACGGAATTGGTGACGGTGAAGATGTTCATACCTTTTTTGGCATTTCACACACCCACCAAAGCTTATATCGCTGAGGATTACGGGCCCCGTCATTTGACTACTTTAGATGGTACCAAGGGTGGAGGCACAACAGGCACGAAGGTCGAGCGCATCGCACGGCAGGTTGGTCCGCTTGTCGACCACGCGCGCTCCAATATCAAGAGCAACGATGTTCATGGTGTCACAATAGTATGTCTGGTCGATATCTTCGACAAAATCCCAAGATCGCGTCTGAATGACGAGAGCAGCCGGATGGTCGCGCATTTCCGCACCACGTGGTATCGCAAAGTCGAGGAATGTAGCGCAGTCAGCCTGTGCGGAAATCAAATTTTATGGACCCTGCAGTTCGAGTCGTTTCGGAGGTAATCTCTGACTTTGTCATATTAACCATGACCAGCCAAACGACATCGTCCTGGCCGAGATGGAGAATTTTGAGGGTTTCGGGCATCCACGTCATTGGTTGACTTATACACAGCAATCAGCCGACTCGGGCTCATCAGCGCAGCGATTAAAGGCCTCAACGAGGCGTTTTCGGTTGAGTGCCGGGTGGATCTCATGGTAGTGAAAATTACGTATTCGAGAGCCGTCACCACCGAGTGCAATGTAGCGCTCATAAAGGATGGGCCTGGATGTCCAGCCAGCAAACATGCGAAACGCATTATATGGAAACCATTCAGCCCCCCGCGTCCACACGCCAAGGAACACAAGCATAAAGAGCAGCGTTTGTCTCGCACCCGCGTGGATTATATCCTCATGGGGAAGAGATGGATTGGCATCAAGCACTACTGCTTTGGGAGTTGGCAGGTCCTCGGGCAAGTCAGGCAGTTTTTTATCTTTAAGGTGGTTGTTATCTAATATGGCCGCGGACTCGCGGGGGGTGGCCTGGAATAAACGGGGTCCCTGGCTGAAAGCACGCGCTTTAAGCCAACAGGCATGAATATCGTCGACCCACTGGGTCCAATCCCAAGGATGTTGCGCGTGCGCAAGAGGCCTCAACTTGCCTGGATTACGATCTATCACGTGCCAAATATACCAGGCTGGGATGAAGAAGAGCAGGTCAACAAAAATGATGTGTTGCAATGCAGCGATGCTCACGTGCATCCCCCACATAGCTATAGGGAGGAGTAGCTTGGCAAATGAGAAAAACGGCACAAGGCCCATGGCTATCTCCCCGTAAAGGCCACATGCACCGAGAGCACCAAAAAAGGTGTCGGGAAAGCGCCTACAGAAAAGTGTAAGGTAGCATCCAAAGGACGTTTGCGTGAGCGTTGTTTGCAGTAGTTTTGCTTTTAGATTATCTCCGGAGGCCCATGCAACTCCCGAAGCACAGAGCTTGGACAAACCTGCCATAAGATAATTGTTTGCAAAAATCAGCGTGACCAGAAATCGCGTCCAGCCACGGTCAGCGGCACGTGCCAACTCAGTTGCATGTGTGTGCGGTAAAGGCCTGCTGAATCGCCTGTTCCAATGGGAAGGCCTCCCGGCGGTCCACCATCGGCCTCGTGCAACATTTGCAAGCTTTGCGTCTTCGTACAAGGCACACAGGCAAGAGTCAAGTGAAGCTGCGTCGGCAGCGCCACCGCGCCATGCCAAAACAACCAGAGTCCACCATGCAGCGATAAAGGAGTGTCCACGCCATGTGTTGTACGCTCGCAACACACCGCCATAGAAAAGCCAAAGTATGGAAGCGCATGGAGCAACAACAGGCGTCCCTAGACCCATCGCGACGCAGCCTAGTGCTGCCCGTGTGAGCTGCTCAAGCCGCCAGAGTGAACGTGCATCCTCGAAGAGCCCGCCGAGTACACCACACTCGTTGAGCAGTCGAATTATGCCCGTAGGTCGACACATCCATCGGGGGACCTGTGCAGTTGCCGCGAGTGGAGATGTCATGTGATCCGATGTGAAAGTCAATAACAGGACCGAGCATGATATGCGCATAGCTGCAAGCGAACGTGCAGATGCAGGACCAACGTAACGTTCAAAGAAGAGGGTTGTCTGGTTGCCTCTATTTCGGAGTGAGAAATCTGACATACAGAGAAGGAGCAAAAAGGCAGCACATGTCACACGGGCCAGCTGTTGGCTTGCACCGTCCTTCATCCGATTTCCATTTGGCAACCACCACAGGCAGAAACCAAGAAATATGGTACCGCAGAGATTCCGTATTTTTTTCATCATCATTGCCCCCAGTGGCCAGGCAGCCTATTTGCATACCGTAAGGTACCGTAGGTACCTACGGTACCGTAGGTCACAAATAAGTTACCTGGCGCACATCGAGGACAGAGGACGCAAGGTAATAACCCGCGATTAGACGTTTTATGTCAGAGTCTTATGGTGGCACGAGTCGGGGTACTCAGCTGAGCCAGCCTGATCAGCTGAGTCACGGTGCCCCTGCATACTAGTAGACCGTGCCAGTGACGGGAGCGAGGGGACTCGTCGGGGGGGTTCCTAGGACTCGGGAGACTTAGTGGTCCTTTTCAGTTCGCTAGACTGCCCAGGCTGTCTGGCGGCCTCCGCGCCAATGAACCTAAAGTAAGTTCACTTCACTGGCACTGGATCATCATGATAGCACAATCGCTCTACACATGCCGACGCCTCAAGGACCCTTCAGGTCACACGCCTCGTATCCGGATTGAGAGTACCAAATATCTGGCGCTAGGCCGGCTGGTCTAGGCGGGTACCCCCCCTACCCTGTGACCTACCTCCCTCCCACTGCATATACAAGCATAAGATTTTGTATCCTAAAAAAACAACTGCGCTGCATATGGACCCGGAGATTATTGGAAACGATATTCGCTGTCTAAAATCAGCACGTACAAAACTCATTGGAGAGCTGCTTGGAGACTTGCGACGCGATCAATGGATCACTATCTTGGCGTTATCGTCGAAAGAAGAGTGGGTAACTATTTACAGAGGACCGTCGAAACAACTAGACCTTACTTGGATCGCCTCCTTGTCGCCAGCACCACTCTGTAGTCAGATATACCGAGTTGAGTACTGTAGCATAATCAGTTCTTCGCATGCGCAACAGAGCCCTGCAGGGAATGTTGTTGGCCCGCGTGATATTATGTGGCTAAGTGACCCTGGTGAACCCAATGTTTTGAGCACCGCCGCGCGGGAGGTAGTGCTTGGATGGCCAAAAATCGAAGGCTGTCGAAGGGATCTCTATGTTGGTGCGGCTTTCCAGGTCGAAGTAAGGGAGGGACCAGCTTGGCAGCCAGCTCGAGTGCAACAGCAAAAGCTAAGACTGACAAGTTCTGAAAGGTATCAACAACGGATATTCGACGCACGGAGGACAAGCGGGAATAACACGACGACGGCATTCTTTCCTCTTAAGGCTGTTGACGGCGTGGGTGGCGTTCGAGTGATAGACTTACGGCCCGCAACATGGTACTACATGCGCTTACGTGTGTCCTGTTGTGGAAAATTCGCTGCATTCGGTCCTCCCGTGCTAGTTTCCACCAGATGTGGAATTCCTGACATGCCTACACCTAAGCCAAGGATTATCCAAGAGCAGACTTGTGCCAATGGCAAGAAACAGATGCCCAATTATGACCCCTTAGTTGCTCTACCTGCGACTGCGCGGAGTCTATGTAGCCTCATGAACTACACAATGGATGAAAGACCAACATTAAAAGCTAGCGATTGTCGTTTGCGCATTTCCTGGTCACAGCCTTCAAATAATGGATACCCTATCCAGAGATATATTCTACAGCAACGAGATTTAGTCCTCAATCAACCATGTGCTTATAATGCGCCAAACAAAAACGCACTCGCACTCAAAACAGGACGCACTCACCATGCTCTCCCACTGAACTCGGGGCTGTTGCAAAAATGGACGCCGTGGCGTGTGGTGCATGCAAGTATGCTTCCAGAGTGTCTGATTCGCGCACCAGCACTGTGCCCAGAATCTGTCATTTTGGCACGCCAGACTTTGGGCCTTGGCAAATCCCAAAACTCCGACTCTGGCCGAAGCCCGGTCTTTACTGCTATGGAGTTTCGTGTTGCCGCTGTAAATGTACTTGGTACATCAAAGTTTTCGCAGGTTTCGCGTATCTCAGATCGCGAATATCCGCACTTCTTTACTAACACAGCTCAGCGCAGCCACGGTCTTTTGCGAAACTCCAACCCCAAAAACGTTCCGTACCCGCGCAAAACGAAAATGGCAGCCGAAGCTGAGTTGAATGAGGTCATCTTAGCACTAGGATTTCCGGTTTCAGATATCGTCATTCAACACGCCTACAAGTCCATGTATGATGAAGCCCCACAATATTCTTGTCGTCAATAGTTTTTTGGATGAAGAGAGCTAGCACGCCAGCAGAAATGGAAGAGACAAGACAAGGAATATGACTCGCTAATTTCTTTTGAGCATGACAATACCAGTTTGGACAGCTCAATACTTGGCAGTGTGCCAGAGAGGCGAAGGCAAATCATAATTGAAGAGACTCCATCCGCATTCATGGTCCTCACAGTACTAGACTCGCTGTGAACTTGGAAATATTATTTAACCGAGGGCCGGGTCTGTAGCCAAGCTATGATGAGTGTGGATGCCAGAATCAGCGATGTAGTCTACAGACTAGTACTGTCGTGTACGGACAGCGATTGTATAGCAAAAGACCTCTCCAGATTGTCCGCAAGCAAAACCCGAGAAACCGGGGACGTTGCCAGTGTGTGCCCGAATAAGAATGGTAGGGCTTCTTGTAGAACTACCATAGCAACTTATCACTGGCAGATAAGGCTGCGATGAGCTCTACCTCATACTGGACCTCGCTGTCAGAATTGAGTCTTTGAGCTCCATTAATTGTACTAGGCAACTATGTACGTAAATAGCACAGCCAATTACTGTACAATAAAGGTGCATCAGAGAATGCTAGATGGTCTGCGAGGGTGTTAGTCCTACATAATGGTCACACTGTGGTTGAAACGGTATACGTACGCGGTCCTAATTTACAAGTACTAGTAGACACCGTTTTGGCTCCTATTGGCGCTGTTGTCGTTAATGCGCTATCGGCTTTGACTCGGGCCACGATCCTCGTCAAGAAAGGAGGGAAACCAGATTCGACACCCCACCTGGCGGGGAGGGACATGCTGGGGGGGGGGCATGACACAATTCGTACATACGTAGGCATGATAACCCAGGCTATTATCATAATCGACCCTTGGGCCTTACGTCCATCCCCACCCTTTTGACAAAGGGGGACTCGGAGACAACACGGCCGGATAAACTTGAAGATAACCCTAGTTGGCGTCGCTTTGCTGGTAGCGACCAAAAACCGGCTTGACACCATCATCTAAGACGGCTTTGGGTTGCAGCGTCGCAAGCAGCGAAACTCTTGGCACGGACCAGCCTGGCAGCCTGAGGCTGGCGGCTTTCTGAACTCAGGCTGAGGTGAAAACTCCCCTAGATATATATCTTCAACGCCATAGCCCCCTATTGCCTGAACTATGGCTACGTTACTCTCGCCTCTCAGCACGCTATGCCAGCCGGCACGTGCCCGGAGCCGGTATTTCCCTATATCCCGTATCTTCTTGCTTATCCAAGTGGATCAAGCCCGGCGTTAAGTAGCCGCCGTAAAAACACCGGGGTGAACCTAAGTAAGTTCACTTTAGAACTTGAAGAGTATACTGGGTAACAATATAAAGTTGGCGTCGCTATTTTGGTGACGACCAAGAAACTGGTCCAGTGGCTTAACACCATCAAACGATTTGGATCCATCGATTTTGCAGCCTGAGCCCGGTCACGTTGGCCGGGCCCTCGAACGTCGTGCCGCCGCGTTCAACTTGAAGCCGCGCTTCCGAGTCTCGGGCCCAGGCTTAGGCTGGCACTCCATCTAGAATAACGGCCGCCTTGGCGCATCATGGTCCAGCACCGCCGGCGTGAAAGGCCACCGTCACGCTATGTCCGAGTAACGGCGGTGCGGTCACTGGCATGTTCAAGTTCGCAGACTTTAGAGATCATTTTGGAGCATGTTGTGTGACGACGTTCTTGCCTTGGCTAGAAATGCCGGGCAACCACTTCTAGAAACGCCGGGCAACATACATACTACTAGTGCCAGACTGGCAACCGTTTCTAGATATATATCTGTGTGTATATCTGTGTGTAAAGCGCGGTAGATCGACGGGTTTTGGACGGGATGAGCGTCGTGGGGCTTGAAGGGGACGGGATATCGGATGTCCTACTAAGCTGGCTCCACACAAAAGACGAACTAGGTTATGGGCCTTCTTTGAGAATGCCAGACACAATAGTCTATAAATTCGGTCAGCCTGTCCACTGGTACTTTACGAGTGTAAGTGGTAAGCTTAAAAAAAAGAATAAACAGAATCTAGCCAATGTACGCATTGAAGAAGTTTTTAATAAAAGGAACAGTGAAGTTGTTGCGTACTACATGAGTGAGATGGCTGTGCAAGGTCGCCGGGAGAAAGTTACAGCAATTGAATACTTTGATCGCAGAGGTTTGCACGAGTTTCTCTACAACAGATGGAAAGAGAATAATGGTATCCTCCAGCATTTTGTTGAGCCAAAGGGTGTCCACAACGCAATCATTAGAGCGATATGGTCACCAAAGGTTTGCCTCTTGGAAAGACGGGTTAATTCTAAGCAGCTCTACGACCAAAGATATGGTTTGTATGAGCGTGCGGTGACATATGAGGGACCAGAACACTTTAGTATAGCCTCGCCACTGCGTGGGACTGCTTTGCCAAGTCAAATCCAGCGACTTTGTGAGAACCTTGTCGCACACGTCACTGAAGTTTCCTTTCAAAAGTGCCGTGTTGCACGTATGGTTGCTAACTTCAAGGTGGACTCAAGAGGGCGAATATGGTTTCTTTGGAGTGATTCTATTAGACTCGAGAGGAGTTGTGGAAAGTCTCAGGATCTGCCACGAATATGTACACCGATTGATATCAACCGAACTATTCAACTACCCGCCGATGTTACGCTCATAGACAAGCCAAATCATTCTCAAGGTGAATTTAAACCCCTCAACTGCTTGCAATGTATAAGTTGTGGGAAATCAGCAACTTCAGACAAGTTTCATCAGGTGCGATATCAAACTATAATTTCCCATTTTGAAAGAGCTCTTGCTGCAATTGTGGATAAAAGTCAAACATCGAAGTACTATCCCGAACCCTTGATCATGGAAGCGTCTGGGGGCGTGGGGTTTGGCAAGGCAAAAGACTGCGCAGGGATTCCACTCAGGGGTGCAGGGATTGTAATTCCTCCTATAATAAAACAGATTCATCCAAAATTATCACCTGAAATTTACAAACGATACCGGCGAGACCCACTTTTTATGTACAAAAGTGCAGCTGTGTGCGAAAATTGTTACCTTGTCTACGCAGAATTTGTAACTGCAGCGAGCTCACGAAAATACAGTGAGCTCGACTATACTACAAAAGCAAATGCGAAGACAAAGACAAACACAGACGAGGCCCTTCAGAAAAACTTAGCCGCCAACAATGGTAATAAAACCCTCAACAGACAAACAGCTAAGCCTCTGATGCCATCGATACCGGCTCCAATATACAGTGTTCCAGGAGCAAATACGGGCTCGCCATATTTTGATAGTAAAAACTATAGTGATGGACTATCGGTCGGTGCAATTATTCACCAACGAGGTGGGTTTAGCAATTGTTCACATAAGCAAAAATAAAAATTCATGTGCACAGAAAAATCTTTTTTCAACGATGTTAGTAGCGCGCACTTGCAGAAAGGACATCCTCTTGCCCATCTTGCCACCTCATTCCGTTCGATCCAGCAACACCCCCCAGGAGGTTTTGATAAAAGTTCAAATGCACATACCCTAAACCCATATAGTAATCAGCCAAACCTGAATAAAGTTTTTGCAACAAAGAGTGTCAGAGATGAGAAAGGCAATCAAAGAATGCAGAGGGACTTTTTTTTGAATTCTTCATCAAAACAACATCGTGAATTCCTCCTATCAACGTGCGTATTAGGGTCAATTAGCACGTGCGTATCATACTTGTGATAGGCTGCGCGAAGTAGAGACGCACGCTAACACTCCCAATGTACTGAGGACATGGGCACATCAAGCTGCAGGAGGTAATGGGAACAATACACAGCGCAAGCTGCCCCTTGACCCGCTTCTACCTGCTTCAAGGTAAGATCTAAAGCCAAACATGTAAAGGCAAGTAGAAGCAAGTGCCAAGCGATCAAAGGAGAGTAAGTCCTAATGCTTTCAGGCTGGAGTACTAGGCAGTAGTTTCCCTCTCTCTCTCATCCAGCGCTGAGCTCCAACGACAGTGCCACTTTGCCATCATAATTGCAAAGGGCATCATGCGTTATTTGAGCAGCGGCCCCTAGCTGGCTTATCGGACTTGGGGGTCGGGCACTGCTACATTTTTGGCCCGGGGCTCTAGCCCGGGGCCCATGTCCGAGGCGGGTTAGCGTCGTATTGTGGGCATGTAGGGACTCGAACTTATCATCTGGACTTTTGATCGGGCAGATAGGCTGCGCGAAGCCCGGGACCAGCGCCCAAGCAGCCTGATTCGACCCGGGGCTCGTGCGAACCTTGTAAGAGCCGGATGAGGTCAGGGGCTCGCACGGGGACGTCGGTTCGCCCTGGGGCGGTAACTAACCTGGTGACTATGGCCGCCATTTCGCTATTCTCTTCAAGAAAAAGGCACGGCCCTGGGGGGCTAGATTGACACTGGCTGCCCCGAGGGTTGGCGTCGGCCGCACGGTCGGCACATATACTACCGCAAGGCCGGATGAAAACGAGCTTGTGACGAATTAAGAGCCCTCGCTCGCGCTTTAATCGTCCTCCGGTCCTCTGTACAGACCGCTGCCTTCCCAGGGAGGCCCTACCGACCTCCGTCGGGAGGCTTTATTTTATGCCAATGCGCAAAGAAGCTGGCACTTTTGGGTCGATTAAGACTTACCCAGAGTCTGGTTTCCCCCTCTGACTCAGAGTCGGACGAAGGTAATGAGAGATAAGTCGTGACTGTGACATGCAATGTGTTCAAGTTGCAAGTGTAAGATGGAAGATACCATGCGATGATGCGAATTGGGTGTACTATAGCACTAGTATGGCGTGGGATGACTACCGGCTTGTTAGTGTTCAACTACACACTGGCATATTGCCCGGGCCCTGCTTACTATATTCCAAATGATACAAGGAGGTCACGGTCTAGGGACTTGGGAAGAAGCCTTAGAAGGGCGTCCGAATCCCGTAAATGATTTTGCGCATTTTCGGTAATTTCGGGGGGGCTTTTTGGTTACGAGGCAGGTCGGATGACCAGTTGAAGTGACAAAACCACTCCTTCTTCGCCCGGACAGGATCTGTAAACATCAAGGGCTAAAAGGCGTCCGGTTGCCCCCCCCCCCCTCGTGTTTGCTCCTTTTTGTATCTGTTCTAACACTGGCACGTCATGGTCTGCGACTTTGATTAAAACACAATGGGACAAAGAAAATACAAAGCAATGGCGCAATGGAGAGTGAGACTCAACTTGCAGACCATGGCGTCGTCCTTGATAGACGCAATTTGGAAGCACCATCAGATGCATCTTGATGTTGACCCACATGAACGAGTCCCTTGATGACATCCTGGGAGACCACGCGAATTAGTGATTCTCGTTCGGACAGTGAACTCGCCACCACAACGCTCAATATAAAGTATAGTAAGAAATCGATTCTGGGTGCAATATGCAAGATACCAACCCTACATGGACACTTCCCTTGTCCATTTCGGGCAACACAAGCTTTGCTGGGTCTAGCAGCAGCTGCTCTTGGAATCCCCATTTGCAGGAGAACCTCTGAAGCTGATGGTCTCTGGAATGAAATCAGCCTGCATAGTTCCTTGAGATAAAGCTAGCTGAGCTGCCTTTCGAAAGGCAGCTTCGACCTCCGTAGCTGCTTTCGCCGAAGTCTCAAAAAATGGCAATATTGATGTTGAATTTTTAGCGCACCAAGTTTGTGCTCTTTGTGTTGCGACACGACGATCATTCTCTCGATCAAGCTTGTTGGCAATGACTACGAACGGGAAGTTTTGGGTATCAGAGGGCGATGCTTGAGTTAGGAATTCAATGCGCCACGTATCAAGATTTTCAAAAGACTTGGGTTGCGTGATGTCATACACCAGAATGCAGACATCTGCACCACGGTAGAACCCTACCCCTAAAGACTGGAAGCGTTCCTGACCTATATAATAGTCATTCATCACGTGTACGTTGTTTTATGCTTTGTGATACCTGCGGTATCCCATATCTGCAAGGTTACCAAGGTTTCATCGATCGCGACCTGAAGAATGCTTTACAGCAACTGATCTTGCATTTGCACCGCAAAATGCCTCTTTAGTCAGAAAATCAGCTCCGATTGTTGCCTTGTAGGACGTCGAGAATCGATTATTGACAAACTGATTCAATAAAGCAGTCTAAAAGACATTTCTTGCGTTTTGGTTTGCTACTGGTGGAGAATTACCTTGCCTACGCCCGAGTCACCCAAGATCACTACCTTGAGCAACATCCTTCTGATGATGAAAAGTCTTACGCGGATCGCGCACGTCTTCCACCAATAATACCCTACAGGGTGATAGTAATTCAGGGTGTGGGCTCCACGTCCACCCTTCCGTGCCGGCGCCCACGTGCCGCAAAACCGATGGCTCCGATTTTTTGTTTAGGCCCGACCTTTGGGTGCCAAACTCGGCTAGTGGCCGCGAGTTCCGCAGAGGCGCCGCTCGCGTCGCGCACCGAGCTCTGCTAGTTCGCCAGTAGGTACGAGTTAAAAAATGAGTCCGCGTACGCAACCACCACCTGCGGTTTACAAGCCCTCTATACGCCCCGTGTGGACGATTTCTCCACTGTGAGCGACCGCCAGAGATGACTTGGGTCCGACGCGCCGCGCGCCGCGACGTATGCGCGGCAGGAGTTTCGCCGTGCCCGGGCCGTGTCGGTGATCTCGGCGAATCTGTCGGCTCGTAGCATCGCTCCCCACTAGTACCCGGCGCTGGGCCCCTCGGACCTCCTATCTACAGGTTTGCACTATTTGTCCTGAGACCCAATCGGGTTCTAGCATCTGTTGCACCGGTGGGGTTTATGAGGCATATACAGAGATACTTTACCGGGAGGCGCCGGGATCTCGGGCTGTGATGATCTAAAAACATACTCAGGCTAATACCGAAACGAGGTCGAATGGCAATTTGAAGCGATTTTGGGGCCGGATGGGCTCCTGGTGGCCGCTTTGGCCCCGTTTGGGTCGTTCGCGGCAGCACCGCACGACTGGCGGACTATCAGCGCTGGAATAGCTGCAAAGGAGCGTGCAACCGTGACACCGCTCGGAACCTCATCGGAAAACTCCTAAACACCCTTAAGGGCCATGAAGACGTGCTTTCAAAAAGGGCTCAACATGAAGGAGTGATGGGTGAAAACGGGGTGTACCCATTACTTCGCGACGACGCGACGGCACTGGAACTTGAAACTCCGAGTCTGATGTAGATTTTATGTGCTAGGGTAGTGCGTGTTTCAGATGACAATGGGCTCTATTCGTAGCGCACTAAGATACCTTTTGTACATCATGATGATGCCTCAGGCTCATATCGTTAACTGTACGGGGCTCACAGGCCCCAGTGTGTTTGCGCCGCTCGCCGAAACGCTGTTCTTCGCCGCTCGCCCTTTCCACCCGCCTAAAAACGATTCTCTCGGCCCCCACGTTCCGATGAGCACCTTTTCAAGACCATCGGAGACGATGCTGCCGCGAAACTGCCACCGACACTAGGACCCGCTCTAACCCGTCGCCCAGCCCTAACCCTACCCAATCCCAACCCTTACTCGAACCTAGAACTCGAACCGAATCCTCACCAAGCGTTCCTCACCTCAACCTAGCAAGTAAGACCTAGCAAGATAATGATCCCATGATCCTCCAACCAGCCTCAGGCTATCGATAAATGGAACAGCGGTGTCCAAGGAGGTACAAGGAGGTAACTAATATCCAACGTATGTTTAGTCGCGCAGCCTCTTTCAATAAGCCGCTCAACAATTGGGGGCGTGTCCAACGACATGAGCCTGAGGGATATGCGAAATATGCTTAGACTCGGAAGAGCCTGAGCAAAATTCTTCAACTTGAACCAGCGGCTCAATAATTGGACGGCTCCTGGTTCCGCTCAGAGCTGCACACACCTATAGTATACTTCCTTAATTACCCCTGTCAACTCTTAGGACGGCGTCCGTGAACAGCTTCAGCACGTCGATGGACAATGCTTGACGGTAGTACCAACACAACAAGTTATTTTTTTGTAGGGTGGAAGCTGTGCACGCAGTGAAAGATCCGCCAGTGGGGTAATTTGTCAATCCTATGTGGAGTCAGTCTAGGGACCCTAATTTGGGTTATAGTCCTTCATAGGCGTTTCTGAGAATCTCGAACATGGTTATGTCATCTGAGGCAGTGCGGCGATTTGACTCATAGACCCGCCTCAGCTTAGAGAATGTCGCAAGATTCATGTTCCTTTTTGGCTCGAGTTCTCCCTCGGGCGTAGTGTTACCGTCGAAGGAGCAGGGGGCGCTGCCCCCATAGGCCCGAAGTATCTCCATGCGCTGGTCAATTGAGACACAGATACTGCGGGCACAATTGGCGTGTATAGCGCATTGGATGATTTTTAGCTGTGAGGGAATATCCATACCAGTAGTCTTGCCAGTAAGCGCAATGCGAGCTGGCATTAGGAGATTTTTTTTAGAGCGACCAAGCCTACCACCAAGCGCTTCAAGCCACTCCAGGACAGAGGATGGATTAGCATCAGCTGCCAACGCTGCGTCGTAGCAGAATGGAGGTGCCTCGCGTGCATCGTATGAATCAATAAGTGCTTTAGAGAATGATATGAAGTCATCATCAAGTACCTTGGTGACTGTCTTTGCAAGCACCGAAGCCTCCTCATTGCAATCCTGAATTTTGACTGTCTCCAACAGTGGATAAGCGAGAGTGGATCGAGTCAGGTCAACCATGTCAGTAACAAGCTCAGCCTTAGGTTGGGTTGAAGTTGCTGCGATTTTAATGAAATCATTGACCGCTGCAGAATTTGTTTCTGCATCGTCCAGAAGACCACCAGCCTTGAAGTGTTCCCTTGCAAGCGGAAGCAGCCTCTTCAACGACATTGAGCGCAGATGTTGGCCATTGAGCCACCGGAGCTTGGCATCATCAAACATTGCAGGCGAAGCGGTCACACGCGACAAATCGAAGGATTTGATGAGTTCTTCGCGTGAATAAACCTCCTTGTCGGTGCCGTCATTCCAGCCTAGGAGAGCAAGATAATTTATCATAGCGTCGGGAAGGTAACCACGTTCGCGGAACTGGCCACAGGATGTGGCCCCGTGTCGTTTACTCAATTTTGATTTATCACTACCAAGGATGAGTGACGCGTGTGCATAGGATGGTTCTTTAAAGCCAAGAGCTTCAAGCACAAGTAGCTGCCGGACCGTGTTTGTCAAGTGTTCCTCTGCACGTACAACTGTTGTGACACCCATGAGCGCATCATCCACAGCGACGCAGAAATTGTATACAGGCACGCCATTTGACCGGAGTAGAATGAAATCACCAATCGTAGCCTGCACGTCCCACTCAACATGCCCTCGCACCCGGTCATCGACACGCACAATCTTGCCCTTTGGTGTACGAAATCGATACGTATGTGGCGTATTCGATTCAAGAAGACGCTGGACCTCGTCGGCATCAGCCCCCCGCCAGGTCCCATCGTATGCAACCTGTGACCCCGCCATCTTGGCTGCTATACGCTTCGTCTCTAGTTCCTCTTCCGTACAAAAGCACGGGTACGCATGACCGGCGCGTACGAGAAAGTCGGTCGCCTCCTTGTAGATGTGTGAGCGTTCACTTTGCCGGTATGAACCACATGGTCCACCAACCCCAGGCCCTTCGTCCCAGTCAAGCCCAAGCCACTCAAGGTCTGCTAGCATGCTCTCCTCGCTCTCCCTTGTTGAACGCGCTAGGTCTGTATCTTCAATGCGTAAGAGGAATTTCCCGTTTTGCTCCTGTCGTGCAACAAGCCAATTGTACCTGCCGCAGCAAGTGCCACTCACAGGGCTAAAGACGACACTGGAAACGCGCAGCGCGGTCCGCGCACCACCGACGTGTAGTGAACCGGTTGGTGATGGAGCAAACCGCATGCGCGGGCTCCCATCTCTTTCGAAAGCGGCTAGTTCCTTTATCGTATTTCCCCCGGTGCTCATAGTTGGAGAGCGTGTACCAACTCGCCAACCCCTTATCCTCGATATTCCCGTCAGGAGCACCATGCCAATCACACGCATGTTCAATGTTCGATCCGCCTCAATTAGTCCACGGGGGGGGGGGTTTAGCCTAAGGGAGCCCAAAACACTTTAGGATCCCCCTTCCCCCCGCCCCCGGGCGCGTCAGTGGTAGCATGAATGCCGCGCGCCGCGTACACGCCGGAAGTATCGGTGCGGGGGCCCGTTTCTGGGGATCTCAGGCTCGGCGGCTCTGCCGCAGCCTGAGACTGAGTTCAAGTTCGCCGGTAGCATTGCTTCCGCACCCATCATGATGCGCGAGCGGACGTGTACCCACGCTGCGGTTCGCTGTCTATGAGGCGTGTGCGAAGCGCGCCACACGCCGCCGACGCGCGACGCGGACACTTAGACCGTGACTCGGACGCGCGCCACACACATATACTCATCTGCCAGTGCCATTAGGCCCCGCCCCTTGCCGTAATTTTTTTTCGAATAAGAAATTGACCCATCCTCCTAGCGTACCATATTTATATAGGGCTCAAAGGGAATTTCCGGCTTCTGAGAGAGTAGGGGGATGATAGGCGGCCCGGGATTCAAGTTCAAGTTTTGCTCCGTTGGAGCAAAACCCCATTCCCCAATGAAATAGTCCAATGAAACCGTGGTTGGAGACAGTTCTGAGTGCTATTGGAAGTCCCTCAAAAAACCGATTTTCCCCAATAAGTACGGTTTAATTTAGATTACGAAACCCCTCCCCCTTTTTGCCCAAAACCCCTTTTTGCCCAACCGCGACCCGAAGAGCCACAAGAACCACAAGCGCGTCATGGCGCAGCTCAAGTGGATCTCCAAGGGTTGGACTCTGTTCCTTCTATCCGGTTTCTCAGGCTGTCCACGTTTCCGTCGTTGGAATGACATGGGGATTGAACTTCATGGCGATGAAACGCACAACCGGATTATGCCGTATTTCGTCGTGAAAATACAGCGTTGCCTCTTACCAAACGTTTGAGAAGGGCAAAAAGGGGTTTTGGGCAAAAAGGGGGAGGGGTTTCGTAATCAATTTTAATAAAACCAAAAATCGTACTTATTGGGGAAAATCGGTTTTTTGAGGGACTTCCAATAGCACTCAGAACTGTCTCCAACCACGGTTTCATTGGACTATTTCATTGGGGAATGGGGTTTTGCTCCAACGGAGCAAAATTCAATGATCCTATCCCCCTACTCTCTCTGTCTAGGCCGAATCTGTCATGACATCATCATGATAAGATAAGCCTGAGATGTAAAATATCATGATAAATTTAAAAACTCGAATCACTCACTGCCATCACGATGATCTAAAAATCTATACCGTGACTCTACTAGTATACCGTGACTATAGTATATTCTAGTTTTGTCACGGTAAGGAAGGGCCGGGGGCGGGGGTGATGTCATATTTTTCAAGTTTTGGTTGGAACGAAACTTGAAATCATCATCATTTTTGAGATTAGAGGTCGATTTCCTATGAGCGCAGCAAACAGGGCTTAATTGACCTCTAAAATCCCGAAAATGGTGTAATTTTTGCTACATCTTTAATCATCATCGTGTATTTCCATTGCAGCATTTTAGTGTCATACTGCGCGACGAATGGAAGATTAGAGACTGACAAAAAAAACGCAGCGGCTCCAAGATGCGGTTCTCAGCACGATTAGGTTGCGTGGAATTAAGTGCTCGAACTGACTCATCTCTGAGGCACAAACATGTCGCCATGTCGCCTTGTGAGTCCTATTTGCAATAAAGTTCACGGTCAATCGTCGGTGGGATTGGTTTGATTTCAGTGGCCAGTTCTGATTCTATGCGATAGAGATTGAATCGATCATCGAAGGTGATCAAATTTATAGCAAGCCCCAGGTGACCAAATCGACCAGCACGACCAATTCGATGAAGGTATGTCTCTGATGTCTTTGGAAAATCGAAATTGATAACCACGTTAACGGACTGAATGTCGATACCACGGGTAAACAAGTCAGAGGAAACAAGATGGCGAGTGGATCCATTGCGGAATTCATGGAACACACGGTTTCGGTGAGACTGTTGCATCTTTGCGTGGATATAGAAGCATGAATAGCCCAATTCTGTTATCTTTTTAGCAAGCAACTCAACTCGGTTGACAGAATTACAAAATATTACTGATTGATTTATCTCCAATTTAGTAAAAAGTGTATGTAGGCAATGCACTTTCTGACGCTCCTCTACGAAAGCATAAAACTGGGTTATGCCTTTCAGAGTGAGATCATCCATTAAATTGATTTCATAAGGGTGGTGGATAAACTTGTCCTTAAACTTTTTGACACTGACGGGAAATGTTGCAGAAAAGAGGCAAATTTGACGTTCGGGAGAGCAGTGTAGTACGAGTTTTTCTAATAAAGGTTCAAACTCTGGAGATAAGAGCTTGTCTGCCTCGTCCATGATAAGGGTATGGCACTGGGTTAGAATTGCCACACCCTTTTCCGAGAGGTCGAGAATGCGCCCAGGGGTACCAACGAGAACATGGACTGGCTTGTACAGGCGCATGATGTCGTCCTTGAGTGATGTGCCGCCTGTTGATACCATGCACTCAACTTTCATGTGCTTTCCTAGCTCACGGACAACTGCTGATGTCTGGAGCGCCAACTCTCTGGTCGGAATGAGAATGAGCACCTGAATGTGCTTTTTAACGGGGTCAGTCTTTTCGAGGCAGGGAATGATAAATGCTGCCGTCTTGCCGGTGCCATTCTTAGCCCGCGCAAGAACATTTCGATTCTGCAGAATTATGGGGATTGCCCGCTCTTGAACGGGGGAAGGCCGCTCAAAACCCTTCTCAAAGATACCCATTAGCAGTTCGCGCTTCAAAAAATAGTCCTCGAATTCCTGCCCTCGCGTCAAAGTGACATCCTCAGTCTGGTATCTGTTGTCCTTTGCTGGCAAATTGAGATTTTTGCGCCAGGATTCTTCGTCTGGCGATGGCGATGCATGTGAAGAACTAAGCGCCGTCATGCCTAATACTAGACAAGCAACACCTCGTCGCTTCGAAAGATAATAATGCTATGAGTACAATAAACACGTCGGTATATACGAGCTTGTATCTAGAGCTTGAGCAATACGCCCGTAAGGGATATACCTCTGGGCGGACGTAGCGCATATCTCCCCGCCGCCCACAAGCGGGCCGCCTCTCGCAAGCGATTAAAGTGAACTTAAACACAAAATTAAAAATTCTACAATGAGCAATGATCATCATCATGATGATGATTTCACTGGCAAGCCTCAGGGCCTGAGCCTGAGTGCCGCCAGCCTCCAAGTCACTGGCAGGCTGAGTGCCGCTCCGAGTCCACTAGTATTTTAGGAGGATTCGGCCCCGGGCCGGGCGGCCCGGGGCCGACTCGGACTCGGAGGCTCGAGGCCGCGGCCGCATCATGATGATCCACGACCGCTCAGGCTCTAGGCGCCCTTGAGCCTAGCTCGCCCGAGTCGCCGGTCATTGATTGACGAGCCTCTGAGTGTCTTGAGAAACCATAACGGCCGCGGCCTGCGAATGACGCGAGACCAAAGGGCCCGGGTACGGCGCACCTTCAAGTTTGGGACTCAGGCTCTCGGAGTGCAGCGGCTGGGATAGTCCGCCGGTGAGCTACCTAAATTGCAGTATCTAGTTTTTGCTCGGAGTAAAGGTGTTACATTCAACGTTACGTGGTTGGTCACGGTGTGTGTAACTTGAAGTGCCAGTGTATAAAGGAAGGGTATCATGATAGGATGATGGCTGGATCACCGACGTGCTCAGCCATAACGATGAGGCTGGGTGCAACCCTCTTGCGAGGAATATGCCCCCTAATCCTATCATACTAGTCCCTCCTCAGGCTACTCTTCTACATTCACTGGCAAGTTGGAATCCTCAGGCTACCCGGGCCGCCGCCGCCGCGGCAGTCACGGCCGGGTACTAGTACTCCGAGCCAGAGCCAGGCTCAGGCTAGCCTGAGCCTGGCTCGCTGAGTCGGAGACCGTGACCGTGACGTGTACTTCACGTTCCACTCAGCCTGAGGAGCCTGAGGCCGCTGTGACATTCAAGTTGCAACCGTCACGGTGACCGGCCTGACCCACTGGCAGGCGGCTCGGAGCACGACTCAGAATCCGAGTCCGTGGTAGCCGGAAGCTTGCTGGTACGCCAATCAGTCGTCGTGACGGTAAAAAAAACCCGAGTCCGAGTCAAGTATAACACTATAAGATACATCGATACATCGATACATCAATAGATATCCAGACGTTGACTAACGCTCTTTGGTACCATGTCGTTCGAGGAAGCTAAACAATATCTGCGTGGCAAGGATGAGGAGGGGGCCTCGTTATATGAGCATCTTTCGCGACTTTTGCTAAAGATAATAGTTGAAAAGCCGCACAATGCCAACGCCGTGTTTGAACAGTTATCTCAAGACCTCCGAGAGATCACTCAGCACGCTCCCTCACTGCTGACTGAACTCGATACGGAGCCGTTCGATGCAGAAAAGATCTCACAGCTAGAATGGTGTAGGATTGCGTGTCACCTGTTTACTCCAACTGAAAACGAGGCAGCTGAGATTTCGTATCCAGATCTAATGACGGAGGCGAATGTATTTGAGTGGACTGGAGTGAATTTTGGCCGCACCGAGGTGTACCAGCTTTACCTCGCAATCAAACAAAAAGCAAAAGTCGAAGCAAGCAGCCTTCGGTTTTGGGGCAAAATATTCGGAAGATCTAGTGATTACTATGTAGTTCAAGGGGTAAACCCTGAACCACCACCCGCAGAAGAGGTGAATATCATTGAAGGTATGGAGGGGGCGAACAAGTATGCGTTTTGGGTCTGCAGTAAGATAGGCGGGGAATGGACCAAGCTCCCAAATGTGCTGCCTGACGCAATTATTGTCGGAAGAAATATCAATAGATTCTTTACCGGAGATTTGAATGCACCGGTGCCCTCCTATCCACCGTTCCCTGGCGGCACGGAAGCACATCTTCTTCGCTCCCAGATTGCACAGATCACAGCCGAGTGCAGCATTTCGCCCAGTGGGTTCTATATTGAAGATGATGGCGTCGACGAGGGAATCAAAGCAATAAAGAAGGTCGAGGAAATAAGTGAACACAGGACCATCGACGAGCTTAAAGAGTTAAGCTCATGGGTTCACCACGAGTTACTCATCGATCGGAATGGACGATGCAACCAGCCGCCGATGAACGAAGATGAGGACTCCAGACCCGAGCAGGAGCTTCAGAATCAACCAATTCTAGGATCTATTGCCGAAGACGAAGTTGTAGATGGTCCGGCGTGGACAATATCTGCCTGCCCTGGTACAGGTGACTCTCCAGACAGCACTGTATGCGTGAAAAGCCTTAAGTGGCCCGGTGCATATGCCGTCGCCTTTGGTAACAAGTTCACAAATATCTACTGTGGCTTTGGCTGTCCCTCTCTTCGAGGTGTATCGTACAAGATACCGGCCACGCCCGGTATTCAGCCAGAATGGGCCCTTGTAGACGAAGAAATTAGCGCACTTTTCGAAGAGGAGGACCGCACCACACGCCCATCTCCCAACGAGAACACTGAAGAAGAAGAGTGAGATCTCTATAATGATAGCCCAACCTATATGAAGCCCAACCAAAACCGAATCCTCTTGCCTGCTACTTAACTACTAAGCCCAGCCAAACTAGTGTGGGTCAACATGGGTCGAAATACAGCCGCCTCGGGTAATTGCCAGTTATACAGCCTGACTCGGAGTGTCAGGCCTGGGGGGGTATAGAGGGTGGTAGAGCCTACTAGAGGGGGGGTAGTAGATGGAGGCGTACCTCAGCCCCCCCCCCCCCGGGCTGGACACGAGAGAGAGACTCGGGGTTGCTTCAAGTTACTATCGGGTGGGGTTTACCCCCGCTGGTAGGTAAGTAACGCACTCTCTTCCTGCCAGTGCGGACTCCGAGTCGGAGCTAGTCCTCAGGCGGCTTGCCAGTGAAGGTCAAATAGTCATTATGATCCTCAGGCTCACTGGCAGCCTGAGGCTTCGCTCAGCCTGAGACCGCCGTAGTAAATTGAAAACCCAAACCCATGGCAAGCAATCCACACTGAACCTGTACGACCAGGGCCCAGGAGCCTGAGACTCAGTCGGACTCGGAACGCGTGGCGTCCTGGGCCGGCCGCCCTGTTACCCGCGTCACGGTCCGAAATCACTGGCAATTTCAAGTTTGCTTCTACGGAGTCTTACGGCTGTAAAGTATAGATAAGTATCTAGCCGGAGTCACCATGACGGTCCCGGGGCGGGCACGGTCGACCGCGTGGGGGGTAGCACCTGCGTCCGATGCCTCAGAGGCCTTCGTAGTCGTCTTGTAGTCGATCTAGTCTGAGACCGGAAATCGACGTATCTCACCGAGCTGGATCAATCCCCAGAGTTCCTAGGAAATATCCATACCCGCAAAATCATAATGATTTTGGTACTTTCGGCGATACCATGAGTGACGGTCACGGTGAGTTTGGCGACTTCAAGATGCCAAGTTGGTGTAAAAGAGAGCCTCAGACTCGGCGGCCCGCCCCCCCGGCCCGGCCCGCCGGCGGCGGGCCGGCGGGCCCGGGGAGTGTGACTCATTACGCTCAGGCTCAGGCTTCAAGCCTGAGGTGGGTAGTACTAGGAGGATTAGGAGAGAGAAAACCCACAAGGAAGGGAACCAGGGTAATTCCAGTACCTTTTACCACGGTACCACTGTACACTTGTACCACTTGTACCACTTGCCGCGGCCATGTACCGTAGGTACCGTAGGTACCTACGGTACCGCAGTAGTAATAAGGTTTAAGGTTAGGATCCGGGATATCACTTTTTATACCATGGCGACGCGTTCCACTGGGCTACTTCTTGTGCTCAGCTATGCCTTACCACTGGTGACGTGGGCAGAGTGCGAATCCTTGGACTTGGATGGCGTATCTGGGCTAGAAGCGAGTTGTCCTAAAGAGCCTGCCTGCGACGATTATTTGGATTGTGGAAGTTGCGTAGCCGCTGAGTCATGTGCCTGGTGTGCATCCGACCAGCGATGTTTGGATGTAAGCGCCATTTTTACACGCGAATGTCACGGAACAACTTTTGATGCCCCGTGTCCAACTACTTGGGTTCCCGAAACGCGAGTTGTGGGTGACTTCATCTTGGAACCAGATGGCCTTTTTGGTGGTGGCCAGCTACACTCTTCGGGGACGGCGTTTGAACTCGTTGTATCCGACGAGGTCATTAAGCTGGGCTCCGCCAGTGATGTTTCCGTAGCTGCTGGTGAGGTAGAAGGCGTGAACGCTGCTGGTGGCGCACTCATCCTCGAAGCAGGTAGCGGCGACGAGCTCCAAGGCGGAGGTGGTGACATGAGTTTCTCCGCGGGCAGTGGCGCAGGGTATAGATTTGTTGAAAAGAATGGTGTTGCTGGCACAGTGCAAGTTGCTGGCGGAGCTGCGCGCGAAGGCACTGGGGGTGGGCTTACATTTCTTGGGGGTGCTTCATCTACTGGCACAGGCGGAGCCGTCGCACTAATAACAGGCTACAGTCAACAGGGAGTGAGCGGTAGTGCACGTCTTGACGCTGCTGGCGGCGGCACCCTTAGTTTTGTCACTGGAGTTAGCTCACGTGCGACTGGTGATGTGCAATTTGCAACTTGTGGGGCGAGTTCTGGCGCGGCCGGCACGGCATCTCTAGCCGTCGGGGCATCTGGATCCGGGGCTGGGGGGCAGGTGACACTAGAAGCCGGTCGTAGCGGGACCTCGCCCGGCGAGATTACATTTAGTACCGGCCACTCTGGCGATCTCTCAGTTACCACGGCAGATACCAGCAGAACTGATGGCTATTCTGGCAGCGTCTTCATTAAAAGTGGAGACTCTGCGAGCAGTGGCGAAATATCAATTGAGACAGGCAGCACTCCGCAGACTTCTGGGTCCATTGCTTTGGACACAGGTGCTACCTATCACCGCACTGGAGCTGACGTAGCGATTGAGTCGGGAACTGGTCACCCCGGTGGTGACATCAAGCTGGAGGCGGGAAATGCCTCGTCTTCGCTTGTGGGACAGGGCGGTGCTGTTGTTGTGCAAGGTGCCACAGCGGAAGAGATGGGCGCTGGCGGCTTTGTTCGCTTACAGGGTGGCTACACAGAAGACATGATCTCTTCAACTACTACAATACTCACTGGAACTGGGGGAAATCAGTCTGGTCACGTGTTTCTTGAGACAAAAAATTCAGGTCCCAGCGGACTGAGTGGCTCTCTGGTGGTGGGCACTGGTAGTTCAACACGAGATAAGTCTGGTGCAATCAGCCTGTCCGCCGGTAGTAGCCTGACAAAGAAGGGGGGGTCTGTCAGCCTCGCAGGTGGCTCAGGACAAATTACCGCAGCAGGTATACACATAGAGGCCGGAATGACGTGCCTTGCTAGTGGAGATGGAGCGGATATTGTACTGGGAACCGGAACGTCAGCGGGAAAGGCCACAGGTAGTTGCATTATTGACACGCCGTGCTCACATCGTGACGGACCCAGGATTACCGCGCAGACCGGTTCCGGTGTCTCGCAGACGGGAAGTCTTGCCGCAGCCACGGGCAATGCTATCGCAGATGCCGGCCCTGTCTGTGTAACTGGAAGTGCTGCTGAACTAGCTGGGCGCATTGCCCTAAGCGCAGGCCGAGGTACGTCCGTGGGGGGGGCAGTTGATTTTTCCATCGCAAATGGTTGTAGCGGGCAAATAAACTGCGCGGCTGGCGGCGGTGCATCGTCGCCAAGCTGCTCTATTTTTACCGCAGCGGGTAGCGCCCTTGCCTCAAGCGGCGGATGCATACACGCTATTGGGGGGCACGGTACCGCTGCGGGTGGCCGTGTGGCGGTCAGGAGCAGCGCTTCTGCAACCGATATGGATAGTACCTGCCGCTTGATGACAACAAACACAGCATTGAATAGTCACAGTGGCAAAATTCACCTCGCCACCGGGAAGAATACCGAAGGCAATATCGCGCTACGGTCCGGTGATGGAGTATTTGGCGCAAATGCGGGTGATGCTCTAGCCCTTGCTGGCACGAGTGCAATCGATGATGGGACGACAGTCGGCATTGCATCGGGCGCAGGGCGAGCAACTGGCGGTGACATCAGCGTGATCGGTGGAGCCGGTTGCTCTTCGGATGCAGCATCTGGCGGCGATGGTGGATCCATCAAGGTTCTTGGAGGTTCGGCCTTTGGCGAAGCGTCTGGTGATCGCGGAGGCCCCATTTGCATTTCCGGTGGAAGTTCAACTGAAGGCGGCGGCGGCACAGTTAGAGTCGACGCTGGAGCGGCCAATCACGGCAGCGGCACAGGCGATTCCATTATTGCCACGAACTCTGCAATCGCAGCAAGCGGCGGATTCTTGCTGACTACAGGCCGCGGCTGCGGGGCGTCAAGTGGGATTGTTGGTGTTGGGACGGGATCAGTGGTGGGCGGCATCAGTGGCGCAATTATTGTCTCAACGGGAACTTCTTCTCGTGCAGATGGTGGTACGATTGATCTCGCTGGGGGAAGAACGACGGCTTGGGCACACAGCGGTGGAGCCGTACGAGTCCTTGCCGGTGATGGCACTGGCTCACAGAGCAATGATGGTGGTGATGGCGGCGAAGTAGATGTTATTGGTGGCGAAGCCTGTGGAACTTGCGCTGCAGACTTCGGCGGTGGCGTTATTGCGCAAGGTGGGCGCGCGCACGCAGGCCACGGAGGGGCAGTTCATTTAGGAACGACGGCGGCTTGTGCTGCATCGTCGGGGCCTTTGTTAGTGAGCTCAGGTAACGTGGCCGACGAGGGTGTCTCCGGACTTATCACCCTCTCAACGGGATCAAGTGCCTTAGGATGCAGCGGATATCTATTTTTGGCCTCTGGATCAGCTACCTCCGGCACTGGTGGCATTATTTTCGTACATGTTGGTCTAGGGGACTCAAGTGAAGGTGGAGCTGGACAAATAGCAGCTGGTCAAACCTCGGCCGAATCTACTGGTGGTTACCTGGGGCTTGTTGCCGGATCGTCTACGGTCACGACTTCGGGGCGGCTGGATGTGGCGACTCCGGATGGCGGGGCGAGAGGGACTTCAGGTAGAATCAATGTAGAAACGGGCACGGCAAGTGATGGTGCTTCTGGTTGTGTTTCCCTATATTCAGGCGAAGCCAGTTGCAATAGTGGAAGTGACTCATCCTCGGGCAGTGCCGCCGGAAATATCTGGCTGCGAGTTGGTATAGGCGATTCGGGTGATGGTGGTGGTGTCATTGTAATTGCAGGTGAGACCACCGCAGACGCCATGGTGGGCGGCGCCATATCTATCTCTGCCGGTGCAGGAAGTTCCGACAACGAGATAAGCGGTGGAGGCTGTGGTGGTGCTATTTGTGTTCTGGGGGGAGGTGCAGAAGGCGGTGCATTCGTCGACGATGGTGGCAGTGTTTCTTGTGTTGGTGGATTTGCACGAACGGGCTGTGGTGGCTCCTTGCTAACGCGCAGTGGTTATGGTGAAGGAGGGTCTTCGGGTGTTATTGATCTCGCAACTGCGAACGCCGGCGAGGCTGGTGTGTCTGGCGCCATTGATCTCTCGACCGGTGCAACGGGACTTGACGAGGAAGCTGCTGGTGGCGCAACTGGGTCGTGCCGGGTAGTCACATCAACTGCCACCCGGGGACGTGCAGGGTACGTCCACCTTGCAGTCGGAAGTGGGACTTCAGGTACTGCGGGAGATGTTGTGATAATTTCAAGTACGAGCGCCTCTGCGGCCAGTGGTGGTGGAGCTGCAGATAAGACGGGGGGGGGCGTGCGAGTGGTATCTGGGCAATCGGCGATGACAACATCAGGAACGTTTTCCTTGGATACCATAAATGCCGGTATGTCGGGAGTTTCAGGATCGATCCACTTTGCTACAGGCACAACTTCTGATGGAGCGTCAGGCCGATTTATCACTTCATCGGGACCGGCCACGCAAGGTATGGGCGGATCAGTGGAGATGTTTGTTGGCGTGGGCAACTCGGGTGACGGCGGTGATGTCCTCGCTCTTGCTGGCGAAAGCTCCGCTGACGAAGCTATCGGCGGTGCAGTCTGCATCGTAGCTGGTCACGGTAGCAGTACGTACGGCTATGGCGGTGGTAGCGGTGGTGGTCTTTACGTCTGTGGGGGTCAAGCGTCCGGACTTTGCAAGGAGGATGATGTTGGCGGAAACGTACGTGCGTATGGCGGGACAGCTGCATACTCTTCGGGCGGCACATTCAATTTTGTTTCTGGATACGGTACATTAACATCCTCGGGCATCTTCCGTGTTGCGACCGCTTCTTCTGGTAGTGACGGTACATCTGGAAGTACCATCGCGAGGACAGGCTCGGCTTCCTTTGGGAACTCGGGTCACTCATTGGTCAGTTCCGGAGTTGCGACTGTAGGTATTGGTGGTGATATTGACCTTGCTGTTGGGTCCGGCGACTCGGCAGCAGGCGGTGCTTTGTCAATCCGTGGGGGCGAGACAGAAGACGCTGCTGCTTGCGGTGGTGACGTCGGTCTTCGCGGTGGGCCTGGCACTGCAGTCGACGCAGAAGGCGGCTCGGGCGGTGCTATTTATGTCTCCGGAGGAACAGCAGGGGGATGCGGCGCCACTGATGTCGGTGGCAGTGCTCGCCTTTACGGAGGATTTTCGCAGGAAGGGGTGGGAGGCGACATAGATTTACGATCTGGCTGGGGGAGCGAGAGTTCTAGTGGCAGTATTCTGCTCTACACTGCAAATGCCGGCAAATCAGGTGTATCCGGTGCCATGTGGTTTGCTACAGGCACGACTTCTGCCCGCTCTGCGCGCGGCGGAAATTCGGGCATGCTGTCTCTGTTGTCTGGTGACGCCCTGGAAAGTACCGCAGGGTTCATAGATTTTCGTGTGGGGGGCGGTACGAGCGGTGCCGGTGGCAATGCAACACTAAGATCAGGCGGCGGCTGCCAGGGGGATGACGGCGCCAACGGCGGGGCTATCTATATATCTTCTGGAAAGTCGTTGTCAACAACCTCTGGCGATATTTACGTCACGACGTGTCCAGCCAACATGGTATCGGGTCGTATTCTTTGTCGTACTGGAAGTTCTGCTTCTAGTAGATCTGGGTCTCTAGAACTTTCAACGGGCACTGCGACCGGTGTTGCTGGTTCCTTAATGCTCTTGATTGGAACTGGTTCGGCGAGCGCTGGTGACTTATCTTGTTCTGGAGGGACAGCATCGGGTGAATTTGCCGACGGTGGTTTCGTACGTGCAGCAGGTGGTGACAATATCAAACCTTTCACAGGGGCCGGTGGTCGCGCTATTGCGGTGGCCGGTTGGTCAAACGGCGCATCTGGAGGTTCTGCTGAATTGATTGCAGGCAGCAGCGAGGCTCCTACCTCGTCTGGTGGTGCTGTCATAATCGCCACAGGTGCCTCGACGACTACCACCAGCGGCGCCGTTAATCTCAACACCAAGAATGCTGGGACCTGTGGAACTTCGGGCACAATCTTTTGCGACACAAAGACTGCTACTGCTGGTGAGTCCGGCAAGGCAGTACTAGCCACTGGCTGCGCCGCAGGCGGGCGTAGTGGCAATATCGCTCTGGCCATCGGTGCGGGTAGCATTGGTTCCGGTGGTGCCATTAATTTAACAGCAGGCGCTTCGGTTGGCGAAGCAGGTTCCGGAAGTTTCGGTGGGAGTGCGACAGCCGTGTCTGGTGGAGCTATACGTCAGTCGTCAGGCAACTTGGGCGTCGAAACCGACGGACCCACTCGCGCGTCTGGAAGTGTTCTCGTTGCGAGCGGCGCAGCGTTAGGAACGGACTCTGGGATGATACGCTTTTCAACTGGCGATGCCAGCTCAAGTAGCGCCGATAGTGACCTCATCATACATGCAGGCGGGGCAGAAGACACGAACGCCGTCGGTGGCTTCATTGCCGCAGTAGCAGGTAGATCTTCCAACGCGGTCGGTGGTCCAGTTGAAGCCCGGAGCGGCGTCGGTTCAACAAGCGGCAATATTACTCTACTCACTGCCAACAAATGCGTACCCTCTACCTCGAGTGGAAAACTCTTACTCGCCACCGGAATTGCCACCGTAAGAAGTACTGGAGAGGTCCTGGCACGTGTAGGTGAAGCTCAAGCGACATCTGCCGGTGTAAACTGCCGCGCCGGCCACGCTGTTGCAGGGTCTGATATCGTCACTAGCGGGAGCGTCATTCTGGCCACGGGCCCAACCGCGGCATCGTTTACTGCTGGTGCCATTAACTTGACTGCTGGTAACGGTGGTGCGAGGGGAGGCGATCTTTCAATCGCCGCAGCATTATCAACCATGCAAGATGTTGAGGGGGGGAACGTGGTAGCCACGGGCGGCGGTGCGGATAGCGGCGGTACCGTGGCCCTCGCAACTGGTCTCGGTCTTCTTGGTACATCTGGGCTCGCTTGTCTTAGAACAGCTGACGTCGTGGAGGGGGGCACCGATGCGACAGGGAAACTCGCCTTTGTCACGGGAAACGCAGCGTCAGGCATTGTAGGAACTGTGGAATTCATCACGGGAAACTCAAAACCAACCGAATCAAGTTTGGCTCGGGGTATCACGCTTTCTGCGGGTAGCGCCAAGCATGGGCAGGCAACAAATGCTATAGTTGCGGACGGTGGAAGTTCGGACAATTCAGCAAGTGGCGTCTGCTTACAGGGTGGCACGGCCAAGGACAGCGGAATGATTAAGGTCATGTCCAACACTGCAGTCAACTCTGGAAACGTCACATGGCTGTCTGGACACTCGACTTCCGGGGAATTCAGTGGTGCGGTTCGGCTCGTGACCGGCACTTCAGACTCGCCAGGCGGCGGTGCTGTGGGCCTTGCTGCTGGAGATGCAAAAGTTGGTGGAAGCGTGTCTGCTATGGCCGGTATCGGAGACCAGGGTGGTCGGGTAGTGGGCTCCGCTGGTGGTGCCGGTTTTTTTGGCGGAAATATGATAATGAGCGGCGGCAGTGCCACGAATGGGAATGGTGGTGGTGTCCAGGTGCGCTTGGGCTCTGCAAATTTGGGAAATGGCGGCTCGGCTACCATTTTGGGCGGGAGCGGAAATCTACTTTCTGGCAACCTAAACGCATCAACAGGTTCTGGTCATGCCACGGGCACATATGTCATTGCAACTGGAGCAGCCGAGACTAGTAGCGGCCCAGTCGTTCTCGAGACCGGCAATTCAAGCGAGCTGGTTGGAAATTTGGCGGTATTGGCCGGTGCCACCCTAGCAAAGGATGATTCGGGCGGTGAGGTTCTGTTAGGCGCCGGTGGTGGAAGCAGTCCTCAAGGTGGGGGCATAAACCTTGAGTCAGGGGGGTCAACAACTCGGAGCGGGGTCGTGAGTTGCCTATCCAGCACTGGCGCCTGCACAGGGCAACTAAGTATCTGCACGGGGAATGCCACGAGCGACTCTGGGCCAGTAGTTGTCGCAACAGGTGCAGGTAAGCAACCGGGCGAAATATGCGTTACCTGTGGTTGTGCACACAGTGGCGCCGGTGCAGCTGCAACACTTACCGGTGGAATGAGCGGAACTTGCACGGGAGGTTCTGTGATTCTGCGCTCTGGCGAAAGTGCACACTTTAGCGGAGCAGTGCTTGTAGCATCAGCTAATTCGGGAGGCGAGGCGGGTTCGAGTGGAAGCCTGGAATTTCAGAGTGGCACCGCTACGTCAGAAACCTCTGGATCAATCGTAATTAAATCAGGGAACGCAACGACGGGCACCGCTGGCGCTATCAACATGAGTGCTTGCGGTGAGACTGCAACTTTTATCGCTGTGGCTGGTTATGCCCACCAATCTGGGGGCGCGGTTTCACTTCGAACGGTTCGGGAGTCGGCGGCAGAAGGTGGAGAGTTCGTGATCACGGGCGGGTCTTCGACACTTCAGGGTGGTGATGTCAAGTGCATCAGCGGTGACGGGCGGTCCTCTCAGACGGGAGCAGCTAGTTTCTCCTCGGCGCACACAAACGCCCAAACAGGTGCACTCGATGCTTTGACCGCGCCTACAGGGACCGGAAACTCGGGCATGCTGCGCCTCAGCTCGGGTGATGCGATCACTGGCGACCAGGGCGGTGCGATTAGCTTGCTCGTCGGCTCTGGAGGTTCGGGTATTGGTGCAGCTATCTGTGTCGCTGTCGGAACGGGGGCCGGGGTCGCTGCAGGTGTATCCATCTGCTCTGGATGCGGTGGTACGACGAGTGGAAGCGCGCGGCTCGAAGCCGGGGACATATCCCTGCGCTCTGGAGATGCGTCTGCGTCTGGCAACTTTTCACTTTTAGCAGGTAATGCACAAAGTGATGGTGGTGACATCTGCTTTAGAGTCGGGGATACTACTAATCCTCTTACAGAGTCTAATGCAGCTTTGTCTCTGCAGGCAGGGAGAGGTACCCCCGGTGGCGCCGTCTCCATTCTGGGACCCGGCGGCTCACTCAACCTGTCTTCGGGTTCCGGAGACTATTCTGGCAATCTTTCTCTATCATCGGGTAGTACCCAGGAGGCCGTCGCCGGAACCGTCGCTCTAGTCACCGGATCATCCACTGCCCAAGGTACTGGAGTGATATATTTTAATACTTCGTGTGTCGGCTCCAGTGCTGGCTCAGGTAGTCTAATTCTTGCGAGCGGGACTACCACTAGTAATATGGGCGGTGACTTGGCAGCTGCTGCGGGCGCCATTACGATATGCTCCGGCTCTGGTTCTGGCTCTTGCTCTGGCACAGTCGCAATTATAGGCTCAGTTGCACCAAGTGGCGTCGGCGGTCAACTCACTGCCATGGGCGGCCTGGCCTCGAATGCATCCGCACGGGTCTCGACAGGCGATGCCGCGTCGAGTGGCTTGCTGGCATGTGCAACTGGCAGTACACCTCCCACATCTGGCGACGCTATTCTATCTACTGGAGCATCGAGCTCTGCTTCGACGGGAACGGTTGCGGTCTGCATAGGCAATACGACGTTCGGCGCATGTGGCGGAAATGTTCGCTTTAACGGAGGCTTGTGGAATCCGGCTTCCGCCACTGGAAACGCAGGTGCCTCAGAGGGTATGGCCTTGATTTCAGGTGCGTGTCAAGGTGAGATCTTGGAGGAGGGCACGTCGGGATATATTTTCCTGGCGACAGACAAGGGGAGTAGCACAAACGTCGCGCAAGCTTTAAATTCTGGCACCTTCTCCCTAGAGACGGGAAATGGAACATGTGGAGGGAACTTCACCCTCATTGCTGGTCGGTCTCAGGTAGGTCAAGGCGCATCCATTTGTGTAACGGCTGGCGCTACGCATAATGTCACCACCTGATTTGCCGCGTCTTTGACCTTTTTCTTTATTATCCTTGTTGTTCGCAGGTCACTGGGGGCGATGACTCAACTTTTTGTGGTGGCAGCGCCTCGTTCGCTGCCGGGTTTTCACGCGTCGACTCGGGTGGATCTATCCACCTGTCAGCCGCTTCGGGTGCATCGGGATATTTTGGTGGGGACGTGAACATTGAGACGTCCAACGGTCCTACCACGGGAAATTCCGGCCGCATCTTTGTGCGTTCTGGGACAGGACAAAAACGGTCCGGGGCGGTTCTTCTTGCAACTGGTAATTCTGCTTACGTTTCAGGCGGTTTAAGCCTTGCATGTGGCCAATCGGGCGTTGGGGCTGCTGGGATCGCGTTGGGCGCCGGGGCCACAGAAAAGGTCACTGGAGGCGCCCTTCAGCTCATGTCGGGCACTAGCGATGCGGCTCTGACCGGCGGCGTCTCAATACAATCTCAGACAGCATCTGGAGCTACGGGCAAGTTACGCATGGGCTCCGGGACCGCGGGCAGAGCAGGTGCCGTCTTCGTGGAAACGGGGAGCTCGCGTGTTGCGGGAGACATAGAGTTCACGGTAGAAAAGAGAGGCAACGTAAGTGTAGCTTCATGCGGCGGAGTTCTTGTTTCGAGCGGAAGCTCTTGTGCCGGGACAGGCGGTGCCGCTCGAATCATTACGACAGCTGGTGCTGTCCGAGTCGGCGCAGGGGCTAAGGGACGGACAACACTAAGAACTAGTGATGCAGAAACTCATGGTGGCTGCGTGAAAATGGCCATGGGCGAGTCCGATGCTGCCAGTGCGTCGGCCGTGATAGAGTCGAGTCCTGATGGTGATATAGCCATCACTGGTGGTACCGAGGCCGCAGCATGTTTGTGTTGCGCAAACGTTTCAAAGGAAGGTCACGGCGGTAGTATGCTTTTCACAGGCGGCAATGTGCGCGTTGCAGCGGCCGCAGCCAAGAGCGGCACCGGCGGGGAGGCCCGTGCTGCATCGGGAAACAGCATAATCGTTATGACTGGCGCTGCGAATAACGTTGGGACATTGAGGGTTGGCGACGGTGGTATCATTGACATGCGCGCTGGAAAAAAAACGACTGCGCCGGAGGTAAACGTGTCATCCGGGAAAACAGAAGGCGGTGCCACGGGAGCTGTGACCGTTGCAACCTCGGACTCTTTATCGTCAGCAGACACAGGAATTGTCAGCATATTAACTGGCAATTCCGCAGGGAAAGGTGGCACAGTTAGTCTTCAAACAGGCACAAGCTCTGGCGCTAGCTCTGGCCATGGCAGTGCCACCGCCACGGGAATGCGTGACTCGGAGGCAAGCGCAACTGGCGACGCTCTGTGCGCCACTGGCGACACGGGTACTCTTTCGATGAAAGGAATGAAAGGGGATGAAAAATCAGCGGAAGCGTGCTTGAGTCAGGGTGACGTTGAGCTTATTGCTGGTACAAAAGGCGAGCTTGGAATAATTTCTTTAGATGGATGCATCGGATTTGGAATTGGAGCCAAGCGTGTACGTCTCGAGAAAAACGAAAGTGGTATTATAGAACTGATATCGGACGTGAACGTGAATACACCCGACGCGACCGATGGATCGGACCAACGTATTAAAAAGGATCTTTTTGCCGCTGATATAGATGACATTCACAGGCGGCTCGGAAAAGTTGGGCTCCAGACATATGGTTATGCTAACGCGTGGTGTTCTATGCATGCCTGCAACGAAACCTTGGTCCGCGGACTTATTGCACAGGAATTACGCAACGTTTTCCCAGAACACGTCGACGTACTTCCCTCGTGCTCCTTACCCGATACGGACATGGAAATGAGAGACTTTCATCAGATAAATACATTGTCGCTTGCACTGGACTCTATTGCCGGCCTTCAGGCACAGGCTGGACGATATCGAGTCGAAATGGGAAGCGATCGCGCCTCTTCGAACCTGCGAGTTCGCTCGGATAATCACGCCCATAGTGGCGACCTCTCCGTTGAGACAGGTTGCGCCTCAGATGCGTCGTCTGGTGGCATACACTTTCGTGCTGGCGATGCTGCAAGTGGAATACGTGGCGGCAGCATTGATCTGTTGACCAGTGACAACGCACGAACTGCCGGGGAGGCAAGGCTTTGTGCGGGGATTGGCGAACGGGCCCTGGCCATTTCTGCGAATGACTGCCTTGCGCTAAATGCTGGTGGCGGCTATCGTAGCAGTCGAATAGTTGCTGAATTGAACAACTGCGGCGTGGTTCTTGGTCGTGCGCGGAATAATGGGGCGTCTTTGACTTTGCTATCTGGTCGAGGGCACGTCGCGACCGGTGGTGACGTCGTTTGCGGCTCTGGGCGTTCTGAAGTATGCGCAGGTGGTGATATTGGATATTCGGCGGGCCGTTCCTCTCCCAACGGCGGCGAAGCAACGGTTACGGCTGGAAACGGCCAGATGAATAGCGGTTCTTTCGACCTCCTTGGCGCCAGTGTTACTCTGGGTACTGAGGTTGGGTCGCTGCAAAGTGGTGACATAAGCTTAGGTTCTGGCCGAGGAAATTTGAACTCGGGTGCTGTGGTTATACGGTCACACTGCTCTCACACGTCCAGAGCGGGAGACGTTGCTCTAAGGTCCGGTTTCGGCCATATAAAATCCAGATCTACACAAGTAGTCCTTCGGGCAAATGAAGATGTTGATATTATGAGCAAAGCAGCCAACACTCTCATGTCGTCCGGGCGTGCGGATGCCCCCAAAGATGCACAGGCGGGCTCAATTTACCTTCGAGCATCGAAACCGCACAATCGGAGTGAGTCGAGCTCAATAAGTATCCTAGGTTGCTCGCGACCGTCCGAAGCTACACTTTCCATCCTGAGTGGTAATTCGAAAGGGTGCGGTCCAGGTGGCAGCGCAGTAGTCTCGGGAGGGACGCATGGAGGTGAAGTCGCCATTAATGGCTATGGCAAGAAGAGCGCTGTATGCATAGCATCGCAGCCTGCGACCACGTTTACGAGTGGATGTGTGCATCTAGGAAGTGGTGCGGCCGGAAGAGCTGGCGCGGTGAATCTCTGCGGCGGCTCGTCGTTTGACTTCGACGGGAGCGGCGTCGCGGTCCGTGCTGGAAGCGGAACTCCTCACAGTGGCGCAGGTGGGTGTATTGGTGGCGGAGCCGGCCATGGCCGTCAAGGCGGAGATCTCAAGCTCGCGGCAGGTAACGGTCGGGAGGCTCCAGGGGGAACCGTCGCCATGTCCTCGGGCACTAGCAGCACAGCTTCGAGTGGTAGCGTCGCGATCGGCAGTGGCACAGGCATGAGAAACAGCGGCAGCGCTCGCGTGTCGAGCGGAAAAGCGGCCAGCGGGACGTCCGGCCCCGTGCGCCTGGGTACCGGCGTTTCGACACGAGCTTCCGGCTGCATGGCAATCACCGTGGATGGCGGGGTCGGCAGTGATCGAGCATCTCCATTATTATCTCTGGGCGCTGGTTCGATCCCCCGCTTTGAAACGCCAGACGGACAAGGTGGTACCGGAAATGTCTTCGGCGGGCGCGGGCTGTCTGGCGGTATGGTATCGGTCAGCGGCGGGTCTGGGGCCTGGGCCGCTGCGGGGCGGGTAAAACTGGACGCGGGTCTTTCTGATGGATCGCAAGGCGGCGATATCTATGTCGCCAGTGCCCCTGGAAAGTCAGCGGGTCACCTTCGTCTCTGGGCAGCTTTTAGTTGCTGTCGGGGCTCTGGCGGCAATGTGCAGCTCCGCGGGGGAAACAGCGCATCCTTTGCTGGTGGCTTGCTTCGGACAATTGCCGGCTGCTCCGCTGAACTCAATGTTGTCACAAATCAAAGCAGAGACTCGGGCTCAGTGAAAATGGAGACCGGGAATGTCCCATTTGGAGAAGCTGGGCACATTGGCATTGTGTCTGGACGCGAATGCTGTCGGGGGGGGGCGATTGTGGCCTCGGCAGGAAGCGGGCCCAGGAGGAGTTGGCGCGGTGGATCTGCAGATGTTCACGCAGGTAAAAGCTGTTTGTCTGGTGGTGGCGATATTTACGTCAGGGGAGGTGCAGGTAGCATATCCGAGGGTGGCGGCGTGTGCTTCGGAGCAGATTCGAGTACAGCCAGTACCACAGGTGGCCAGGTGCATTTCAAGAGTGGCGGCTCGGAGATCCATCCCGGAATTGAGAAAAGTGGGCGGGTGTTGGTGGCCAGTGGACTATCTGAGACTTCTGGCCATGTGAGCTTGCAGACAAAACCAAGTCTGTCGCAAGGAGGCGGCAACTTTCAAATGGCATTGCGTGTTGGGCAGTCAAGTGGCAGCACAACTAGTCCATGGGCAGCTGTTGTTGGGGGAGCGATGAGGATTCATGGCAAAGGTGAGGTCTGTGCACACGGTGGAACTGGCGAATTTGGCGGGGACGTGTTCTTGAATGGAGGGGCCTCGGAATTTGTCCCTGGGGTAATATTGCTGGAGAGTGGAGGCGCGTCCGCGGGCAACGCCGGTGCGGGCGGCTCGATTGGCATGAAGGCCGGCAATGCTGGTGAGGGTGGCATGCTAATACTCGAGTCAGGTCACAGCATAAACGGAATCGGTGGTAACATAAAGTTGCTTGGGATTGGTCGCGACAGTAGCGATGATGCAATTGCATTGACAACAACGAACACTTATCGGGGAGAAGAAGATGAGACAAGCGGTGGCATTTGCATTACGTCGGGTCAGGTCCGTCCGCAAAATGAGGTCGGGGGGTCCCTAGAGCTTAAGAGTGGCAACAGCCAGACAACAGGCTCGATAACGGCCTTCATGTATGCGTCCCGGTTCGACGCTGGGGGGAAACTCTGCCTACGATCAGGATCAGGCGCTGCCAGTGCTGGGCTTATCCGGGCTACTGCTGGTGCTGGATCCACTGGCGGAGGAGCTCGAGTGTTGAGCGGTAGTGGGACACGGGGGGCGGGCGGCGATGTGCGTCTTTGCAGCGGCAAGAGCGAGACTGGAGCTAGCGGCACGGCACTGATAAAGACAGCCACTGGTCACATGAGTGGGGCTATCAAGATAGCAGGAGGAAGCGGCTTAAGGCACCAGTCCGGGGACTACTGCATACAGACAAAGGGAGAAAACCGCCACAATAGATCTGGCCACGGTTTCTTTAGCACGGGGTCGAGTGGTATTGGCGGAAGCGGACAAGTAAACTTGAATGCAGGTACTGCGCTAGTGGGCGAGGGAGGCGGTGTAGGAGTTGAGGCTGGTTCAAGCGGTGCTGGTGCAAAGGGTGGCACCTTGGTGCAACTAGCAGGTCGAGGATCAGTCCTTGGAGGAAGCATCCAGATTTGCGCGGGAGGATCACTCGTTGGTCGAGGGGGTGTTGGTGCCGCCCCCTCATTGCGTTCTGGTTCTGGGCAGCAGAGAGACGGGCCGTTGCTTGTGGGCGCGGGGACTGGGAACTCACAAACCGGTGGCGAGTTGGTGGTGGGGGGTGGTCGGAGCAAAATGTCATCAGGGGGTTCTACCTCTATAAATGCAGCACAGGCAGTGCTTGTCTCTTCCGGCCGAAGCCAGACTGCACCTGGCATGATATTCCTAAAGACCGAGAGCACGGCCTACACTCCAGGTGAAATTGACGGGTGTGCAGGAGCAGCCAGATCTGGCGGTTCTGTTCTACTGCGTGGCGGCGGTGCAAACCCAGACGGTGGAGGTGGTGGTGTGAGAATTGGCGCTGGAGAGGCGGTTCATAGCACCCATCGAGGAGGAAACTTCATTGCCAGTGCGGGGAACGGTGACGCTATCGGCTCGTGCTTGGTAATCTGTGGCGGCGAGAGCGCTCGTGGCGACTCTGGCACTATCGGCGTCTTGAGTGGAGCATCCTCAACGAAAGTCGGAGAGACAGGAGATTTGTACGTAAGCAGCGGTCGGTCTCACTCGAGCGGCCCCACATGCATTTCGACTGGTAGTTCGAGGGACGATGCCAATGTCAATGGCTGCTGCTTATCTACAGGGAGGGGCTTCTTGAGCACGGGGGGAAGCGTGCGTGTGAGTTCAACAGCAGGCGACAATTTGCGCAGCATAAAAATGAGAAGTGGTAGCGGACGTATTGGCGGCGCCATCCATTTGCTTGGGGCTGAGGCAAAGATGCGTGCGGGGAGTATCTCCTTCTGTGCCGGCGAGACATCTTTGCATGGCGAAGCTGGTTGTCTTTTAGTATCTGGAGACTCTGGATCGACGTTGAGCGGCCATGCGGGTTCAAGCGAAGGTAAGAGGGGCGGGGCTGCGATTGCAATGAGCGGTGCCAATTGCCAAAGAAGCGGAACTATTGGACTGTGCACGGTCTTCCAGGACGCCGAGCAGACCAGCGGGCGTATAAACGTAGCATCGCAGCCTGCGACCACGTTTACGAGTGGATGTGTGCATCTAGGAAGTGGTGCGGCCGGAAGAGCTGGCGCGGTGAATCTCTGCGGCGGCTCGTCGTTTGACGTCGACGGGAGCGGCGTCGCGGTCCGTGCTGGAAGCGGAACTCCTCACAGTGGCGCAGGTGGGTGTATTGGTGGCGGAGCCGGCCATGGCCGTCAAGGCGGAGATCTCAAGCTCGCGGCAGGTAACGGTCGGGAGGCTCCAGGGGGAACCGTCGCCATGTCCTCGGGCACTAGCAGCACAGCTTCGAGTGGTAGCGTCGCGATCGGCAGTGGCACAGGCATGAGAAACAGCGGTAGCGCTCGCGTGTCGAGCGGAAAAGCGGCCAGCGGGACGTCGGGCCCCGTGCGCCTGGGCACGGGGCATGCAGCGACTGCTTTGGCGTGTAATATACTAACGGGGAGCTCCGATACCCAGGGAGGTGGTATGTCGAGTCTTTGCGCTGGTAGTGGCGTGGCGGGCGGCGACTGCACATTTTACAGTGGCGATGGTCAGACTGGCGGTTCATTTTGGGTCGCTGCCGGATCCGGCCACTCAGCTAATGGCGCAACTTTGTTGGACGCTGGGCGTGCGTATAGCTCAACCGGTGGCTCTGTCATAGTTGGCGCGGGCAAGTCGGGCTCCAGCAGTAATGTTGACATCCTCTCTGGTGGCGAAGGCGGGTGTGTCGCCGTCCGCTCTGGCCTTGGACATTGTGGTGGTGTGGGTCATGTCACCCTCGCGCGAGGGACGTCATCGCTGACTATTGATGATGCGAAAATCCAATTGCAAGGAGCTCGTTTTTTTTCGAGGTCGAATCATCACCGCGTCAATAGCATTGAACTCGGTGACAGTCGTAGCCATATTTCAATGCACATCAACGATCGAGCTTGTGGTACCAAGTTTGACCTTCGTCAAGAAGGGGACGGGGCTTCTGCGGTGGCCTGTCTTCCACTAAGAATGACAGAATTGACGTACTCATCTGACAGCCGCATCAAGCGCGACATCTCGTAATTTCCAGCGTCCTGAATAACATGCGGACGAAGCGCGGGTCATTTACTGATTAATGCTCCTAAACCTTCTTGATTGTGCTGCTGCAGGTATAACGTCAACCTCGGGGCAGTGTACGAAGGCTTCACCAGAGTGCCGTTAGCATCTTACAAGTATTCAGAGGCGTGGGCATCCCTTCGCGGAATCGACAGGGGCCATTCAGCTCGTGGTGTGATTGCGCAGGAGCTCCACCACGTCGACTCTTTAGGTGTTCACGTGGGTGTGTCCAACTACGAAGACGGCGCCTTCTCACTAGATCAGATGTTCAAAGTTGACAAACAGGGTTTAGTTCTCGACCTAATAGGTGCACTGCAGGCTAAACACGTGTGCTATACTTCTAGTTGCAGTGACGGAAGTCTTACTGCCCGGACTGCGACGTCGTGGGCCTCTGGGACCGCCGATCTGAAGACGGGTATATCATCAGAGGGCAACTCGGGTTCCGTTTACATGATCACTGGCTCAGCACGCGCCAGTGGCGCATGCGTTTTGAATACCGGTCATGCCTACCGTGTAAATAATCTGGTGTGCAGCAGCGGGATGGGCACCAGTGGCCTGGGGGGGCGTGTGTGCTTCGCCGCAGGGGGAGGTAAATATCACGGGGCCGCAGCGCTAGCATTTGCTGGCGTTGGCTCTTTGGTAGGTGGTACTGCACGCATCGAGGCAGGTGGGGGCACCGGTGGTGGGTCCTTGTGTTGTGGTTCGCCGGCAACGGGATGTGTGACGATTGGGCATGATGCCACTGGCTCAGCTCCGTACGGCGGCACCACTGTGGCATACGCAGACGACGAGTTCAGGGCGGTAGCCGGAGAAGAATCTGGTGCATTCTTGCAAACGCGTCGATCGAACGTTGGTTCAGGACGCATTGACTTAGTCTCTCGTGGTGGCGGTCTTCTTGAATTAAGTTCCTCCTCTTCAGACTATGCGATACCTCCGACTATGCTCTGCTCTGGTGATGGGTCAGCCGCAAGCGGCGTCTTGTTGAGAACCGGCACTGGTGGCACTGGCTCAGCCGCGGGTGATGCCCAAATCAACGGTGGACGAGGAGGCGGCGCAATATGTATGCGTAGCGGCAATGGTTTTGAAAACGGGGGACAGATAGAACTAGAAACAGGAGCTGGAAGTGAGATTGGTGCACCAGCTGCTTTGACGACGGGCGGAGTCTCCAGGGATAAAAGCGGGGATATTCTAGTGGTAACTGAAGCCACAGTTGCAGATACGGGTGCAATTCGAGTCTCCACAGGCTCGGCAGCTTCATTGTCAGGTAACATTCGAGCTTCTGCTGGCCACGCAACGGGCAAGGGAGGTGGCAATGTGCGGCTTTCTCTGGCTGCGCGCACGGGTGCGAATGGTGGCTCGGCGTCTTTGTTTGGAGGGGGAGGTACCCATAGGGGCGGGGGGATACACCTTTGCGGCGGACAGGGTAGCCTCAAGGCGGGCAATATCACGCTCATTGCGGGCCTCAGTCTGATGTCCAGTGGGGGGGCTGTGCGGATTGCAACCGGTGACGCTGCTCAGGCAGCTGGCCCGCTTGTCATGGTAGCCGGTTCTGGTGGGGAATATGGCGGGCGCATTGAGTTACTCGGCGGTTCATCCGCATACGGACCGGGAGCGAGTGCTTGTGCCCAGAGTGGCAAGGGGACCACGAAATCAGGGCGCATGTCTGCGGTTACATCTAAATCCACATATACGTCGGGATCAGCTTCGTGCCAATCGGGATGTGCAGTTGTTGGGTCTTCTGGCATGATTAAACTCGGGATTGGTTGTGCTCAAATCGTCGGCGATGCGGGACTCGGTTGCGGCAGTAGCAGCGGAGGAATCACCGGTGGAAACACCAATATCTACGCCGGAGGTGCCGCCGCGGCCGCGGGGCTGCTACGTGTCACTGCTGGTGCGGCTGACATTGGCGGTCGAGTTGGACTGTTGGCTGGCAACGGCCAGCTGTCGCGTGGTGGGGTGCTACACCTGAGCGCAGCTACAGGCGAAACAGTAAGTGGCTCTATTGGCATTTCGAGTGGCAGAAGTTCAATTGGCGGCACGGGCGCCCTAAATATCAAGACACGATCGACGCTGACGCGAGGATCTGGAGCAGTGCACTTCAAAGCAGCGGCTGCCAGCGGCATGACCGGCACAATCCGCATCAGTTCTGGTGATGTATATGCGGGTAGCGGCAGTGGAAACGTCTCACTTAAGGCTGGGAGTTCTTGTGGACCAGACATGCGCCCAGGAAGCGTTGGACTTTACTCTGGCGCCGCGGCCTCAACAGGTGGGAGCTGCGTATTCTCAAGTGGAAACGGCGCAATTAGCGGCGACATGAATATCGGTGCTGACGCAGTACACTCACCCCCCACGTCGTTTGGTGTTTCCAGAGGAGTCACTTGTCGAGCGGGCAAGAGCGCGTCTGTCGGTGGTGCCCTCTGCCTTGTCAGCGGCAGCGCTAAAATATCTGGCGTTAAAGGAGGTACAACGATGATAGTAGGAGGCACGCAGACTGGGCAAGGTTTAGCACTTGGAGGAGGAATAGTAATGGGTGCTGGACAAGGCACCTTGGGTGTGAGCGGTCAATTTGGTGTCACATCGTCTACGGCCGAGGCTTCCGGGAATATAGTGACTTCGACGGGAGCTGCTCCTAGTGTGGGCAAGCTCGACATGTCATCTGGTGCCGGGGCTAGTGGACGTGGCGGCCTAACTTGCATCAGTGTGGGCACGTCGATGCTCAACGACGGTGGTAGTGTTGGTCTCGAGTCTAGTCAAGCCGAAATTTGCCAGCTCAGCACAGAATCTACTGGGACGAGCGCACGACTCTTTGCAGGTACGGGCATGGACAACGGTGGAAAGTTTGACCTTGTTTCTGGTCGAGGGACCGGCGTGCCCGGTAGTGGCGAGCTCATCGTTCGGACGAGAGCGCAGACGGCAAATTCACATCGCGCCAACATACACATGCGCACAGCAGCGACGCCAACAAACGATGGCGGGTGCCTGGGGATATACACTGGCCACCGCATTGGTTCTTCTGGCGGCATCAGCTGCGTCACGGGCCAAAGTAGCAACGGATGTATGGGAGACATCGTGTTCTTTTCTGGGCCAAGCAAAATATCCTCAGGTCCCTTGATCGCCGCTGCTGGTCACAACCCTAGCCTCGGTGATGACATGGCCACGGCTCGTGCGGGTATGCTACTAGCTCGCACAGGTTCAGGGACTCGCGGTGGAGATGGCCAAATTACTGCTGGCAACACTGTAGCAAAGCCAATGAGTAATACGTTTAATGCTGGCAGTTCCACCTCGGGTTTGGGTGGCCAGGCACAGCTTTCTGGCGGAGAGACAGCCTCAAGTCATGGTGGCCAACTGGAACTTGCTGCGGGCGCGGGCTTGGCGACCGGCGGGGGGCTCGTCATGACTGCCGGCGCCGCTTCTGGAGACGGTCACGGTGGCGGTATCCAGATGATCGCCGGGGCGGGCACAGCGCATAGCGGAAATTTTGCCCTGCGAACGAGTCGTGCGCTTTGCAGCGGTGAGATAGACCTGATGACAGGCACTGACTTTGGAGGCGCATCTGGCAGATTGGCCATTCTGACGGGTGCTGGTAGAGCCGGGAGAGGAGGCAGCGTCGTGCTAAGCTCTGGACTGGCCGTCGATACTGGCGGTGCTGTCGTCACTTGCGCGGGGCAGGCGCAGAAGGGTGGCGGTAGCGCAGTGGCACTAGCTGGTGGAGCCCTTGGACGGGGTGACGGTGGGTCCATTTCTCTATTGGCAGGCTCGTCAGCAAAGGTTGGTGGAGCTACGTGCGTCAGAACTGGAGGGGCGATGGCGAACGGGCATGGCCGTGGGAGAATATTAATGACGAGCGCAACTGGCATTGGTGAAGCAGAGAGCGGGCGCTGTTTGTTGCGGAGTGGGGCAACGGAGGGAAGTGGCGAAGCATCTGGCGCCGTGTCGTTTCGCACGGGCCAGGGTGATCGGGGTCCAGGCTTCAGGGCTTCCTCCGGTTGGGGGCTCAACGGGGGCTGCCTGGGGTTCGACTCTGGCGAAGGCGACATTGGTGGTAAGCTGGGACTAGCTGCTGGCAAGGGTTGTTCAGGCGGTGCCGTATTCGTGAGAAGTGGGCAAGCCGCGGGAGATAGTGGAGATCTCAGTGCGATGGGCGGGTCAGCTACCCGCGATCAGAGTGGACGAATGCTAGTCTCAGCAGGCCATTCGACCCAAGGCAGTGGCGCTACTGCAACCCTCCGTGCAGGCAAAGGCGGGGGCTGTCATCGACTCTATGCTGGTGCCAGCACTGATTCAGCAGCTGGCAACTTTGTCATCGGGACCGGGCCTGGAGGGAGTGCTGCGCTCAGCACGGCTGCCAATGTTGCGAGCGGCCATGCTTTTGTCTCGACAGGTGACTGCTCCGTAGGCGGCAATTCGGGCGTAGGTACCTTCAGTACCGGCGCTGCGCAACGTGCTGGAAGAATCTATCTATGTTCGGGTACGTCAGGTCACCTCGCAGGTGGCGGGAGTATCTCTCTGACGGGCATGTCAAACGCGCATACTGCTATCGGTTCCGCAATTCTGCTCTTAGGAGGTGACCAGTCGAACTATCACGGCGGTAGTTCGAACATTTCTGCGGGTAAGTGTGGGCAAGACGGGGACGGTCATGTTGTGCTGAGCACAGGCGGCGGTGATAATGCATGGAGCGGCTGCGCTGCCATACGTTCGCCTGCCGCAGGATCTTGCGGTGGTGGTACAGGAAACTGCGCCATACAGACCGGCGAGGCAAAGCAGGGTAGCTCCGGGTCTGCTGTCCTCGGCACAGGCTGTCCGTTGCTCGGTGCCTCTGGGGCACTGTGTCTTGCGGCAGGATGTGCTCGTGACTCGAGCGGTAATGTCACCATCGAAGGAGGCTCTGCAATGTCTGGAGGAGACTTGCAACTTAGTGCAGGGTGCGGCACCATCGGCGGTCGAGTCAGGATTAGTGGTCGCGGCGGCGGCAGCGCCCCTGGTCGCCAGGTTGGGTGTCAAGCAGGTAGCGCTAGCGATCTGGGGGGGGGTGCGCTGGTACATGCTGGAATGGCAGGGGACTTAGGTGGCTCCTCGAGCCTTAGCGCGGGTTTATCTTCATGCGCAAATGGTGGGACTGTTAGCCTCGTCAGCGGCGTCGGTGGCAGACAAGTCAGTGGTGTTGTGACCATAGTAAGCGGAGAAAGTGAGCGGGGAAATAGCGGTTCTCTAGGTGTAGCTGCACTTGTGGGTGGCGCGATTACTCTTGAGACTAGTGCAGCCTCAGATGTCGGTCACATCACAATGTCCGCAAGAAAAAGTGCGTGTGCTCGCGCGGGGGGGGTGGGAGTCCGCCGCAGTCCATCGGGGGGGAATGAAGCTAAAGGGTGCATTGTTGCGAATGCGGGCGACACTACGGAGATGCAAGCGCCATCGGGCACCTTTTTTCTTCGTGCCGGTCAAAGCACTTGCACAAGTGCGTGCCTCGGCGACGGCGGTGCATGTGGTGGCTGCGTTATGATGGCCGGGGGAAAAGGTACGTTCCGTGGTGGGTCCACCCTATTTGCATCTGGCGCGGGACGTGCAGATGCCGCGAGCGGGAGTATTTCATTCAAAGCAGCCGCCGCTAGCGGAAATAGCGGTGCTGCAGAATTGACTAGTGGCTCTGCTGACTTGTCGGATACACTTTTAGGCGCATCATCAGGCTCTGCTCGCCTGGGAACAGGCGGGCCAGCAGACGGCCGTGGAGGGACTACTTTTGTCACAGCGGGAAGTGGTGGCGGTTCAATTGAGATCGGGTCAAGCAGTGTGGCAAGTCGCCGTGGACATCCTGGAGATGCCATTGCATTGGCGGGCTATGGAGCACGTGGAGGCATGGCACGGATAAAAGCTGGCAATGGATACAAGGGCCCGGGTGGTATTGCTACTTTTGCCGCCGGACACAGCGACGAGGGAAACGGCGCAAACGCAAGTCTTGCAGCTGGAGCGACCCGTGGCAACGCCGCAGGCATCGTGATCCTCGAAGCCGGAGCAGCGCTATCCACAGCTTCAGCAAGTCCAAGCACTATTGGTGGCGCAGCGAGAGTCACGGGCGGCATCGCGACAATCGCAATTGGAGGCAACCTTGGTGCGAAAGGCGGAGACGGCGACACGTCCGGTGCAGTGCTCCTGAGTTCGAATGTAGTCGAGGGCGAAGGTACCTCAGGGATGCTACGATTTGGTTCCGGAACATCGTCAAACGGTAACTCAGGAGTTGTCAACTTGCGATCGGGAGACGGCGAGGGGGCAACAGGCGGGCGCTTGACTCTCTGCGTCGGAACTGCGCGCGGTGGCTCAGCTGGAGACTTGTGTGTTGCAGCCGGTGACACATCAGCACGAACTCGGGCAAGTGGAGGTGAAATTGCGCTCTGTTGCCCTTCTGGCGGCGACCGAGACGAAGGCGGCGCCTTGACGCTCGTTGGTGGACCGGGTTACCCAGGGGGCGATGTCTCTCACCAGCGCCGTGTTTCCATCTGGAATCTGAGTCGTGTGGCGTGATTAATTGAACATCATAGGTAAATATTACCACGGGCCAGGGAACCTCATCTGGTAGCGGACATCTTGTGCTACGCACAGCTGATTCAGGTGACGAGGACGATAGCGGTGCGCTACAACTTGCCACGGGCACTACGTGTCGCGGCGATTCTGGGTGAGTATATAAGAATATGCTGCCTTCCATCTTGCCTAACAGCCATTTTCCCGCAGGTGCCTATGCATGGCAACCGGCGCTGCACAAGCCGGTGGTTCGTTTCGTATTCTAGCCGGGATTGCAGCGCTTTCTGATCGTGCTGGCATGATATCAGTAGATGGCGGTGGAACTGTGTGCGGCAGTGGTGGCAACGTCCGCGTGGCCACGGGAAAGGGAGTAGACCGCGATAGTGGTAATCTCGTCATGGCAACAGCGGCTGCGGGATCGGACACCGGAGCAAGTGGCGCTGTTGCTCTCAAAACAGGTTCGACGAGCGCAGGTAGCAGCGGAGCCCTCAGCTTGACGACAGGCACTGCTGTTTCGGGATCAGGCGCTATACCTGTGTTTTTGCAAGTAGACAGGCTACCGATTACACACCATACACTATAGGCGGAGATCTGGTGCTCAAGGTTGGCGAATCTCTGCTTCGGTCAGCATTTGTCACGGGAAAGTCAACAGTAGGTGGGAATGTTTGTTTCGTTTCGGGCTCCGGGCGCGCTGGAGCTAGTGGAGAGAGCGGTCGAATACTCGTGTTGACACAAAATGCAGGTATCAAAGGCACAAGTGGAGCGCATTTCCTAGCGACTGGAACGGCAAGCCTCGGTGATTCTGGCGCGATCTGTCTAGGTTCAGGTGTTGCCAAAAGTGGCGGAGGCGGCTCTTTTGTCGCATCGGTTGGTGTGGGAGACAGTGGAAACGGAGGGGACGCGGCAATATATGCAGGAAGCGCATCTCGTAGTTCCAACAAAGGAGGCTTGATGGCACTTTCGGCAGGGAGGAGCCATGCAGTTGCTTTCGGGGCCGGAGGTAGTGTGACGTGTGGCGCAGGACGTGGTCGCACAGATTCTGGCGGCGTGTTCTATATTTATAGCGGAATGAGCGTACTGTCAACATCCGGGGCAATTTTGCTCCGTACAACTGATGCTGGTTCCGGTGGTGCTTCTGGTGAGCTGGCACTTACATCGGGCACCGCGTCCTGCGGCAACTCTGGTAGACTCAACTTTGAGACCGGAACTGCGGCATCAGGGACTGGTGGTTTCGTGTGCTGCATTGTAGGTCAGGGGCGTTCTGGAATTGGGGGTGGCATAAGTGTGACCGCAGGCATCACAGCAGCGGAAGAGGAAGACCGCAGAAATAGTGGCGGCTGCGTGAGCGTTGCAGCAGGTGCTGCCACACGGGGCGGAGACGGGACTATTGCTGCGGGTGACGGCGCGTCGGCGTCTGGAGGTTCTATTGATCTACGCAGTGGCTCCGCACGCGGCACGTCCTCAGGCGAGATTTCTCTGGCGACGGCAGAGAGTACTGACAGAGGTGTCTCTGGTTTTGCAGACATGAGGACAGGTTGCGGCACCTGTGGAAATGCTGGTCGCATAAATCTCAGATCGGGTGCTGCTACTGGCGGTCGTGGGGGGGCCTTGGTCCTGAGTGCAGGCGATGGCACGTCCGGCCGCGGCGGCAATATCACCATCAGGGCGGGCCGAAGCGACGAAGGCACCGGTGGTCGTGCCTATTTTAACGCGGCTGGGGGTGCTTCATCTTCCTCTGGCAGCGTCCGCGTATACACACCCAACGCGGGCACGCGTGGCGCAAGTGGGAGTCTCCGGTTTAGTACCGGCACGACATCCCGTGGCAACTCAGGCGAGCTCGTCTTCGGTACGGGCGCGGCGACTGGCGGCCGTGGCGGTTCTATTTTTGCTCGCGTTGGTCGCGGTGCGTACACAGGTGGCGTGGCTTGCACCGTGGCGGGGCGCACCTGGAGTGGAACAGGAGGCTGCCTCGCATCAGCAACCGGCGAAGGAGCAGCCACAACCAGTGGTTTTGTTCGCGTGACGGTTGCAAATGCAGGGACGAGAGGTTCATCGGCCGCACTTAGTTTTAGCTCAGGATCAGCATCACATGGTAATGCGGGCGCCATCGAATCCGGTTCAGGGGCAGCGACTGGCGGTCGGGCAGGCCTCGTGCGCCTGACGGCCGGTAGCGGTACCAGTGCCACGGGCAGTGAGGCAACGGTAGATGCTGGTCGCAGTCGCAGCCGTACAGGTGGCTCTGTTAACTTATTTTCCACTGAAGGGACGCTCCACACAAGTGGCTCTGTCAGGGTAGCAACGGCAAATAGTGGTCCTGAAGGGGTCAGCGGCAGCATGACGTTTAGTACTGGCACAGCTTCGTCTGGGAACACTGGCATTTGTGTGGTTGGCTCTGGCATCGCAACTGGTGGTAGTGGGGGCTTTACTAGCGTGACGGTCGGCTATGGCGACTCGGGTTCTGGCGGTTCTGCCATGCTCGTGGCCGGTCGAAGCTCTGCCGCGTCCGGTGGTAAGCTGCTGATGCAGACTACAGACTCGACCAGAGCAACTAGTGGTGTGTTTCGTGTTCGAACCGCAAACGGCGGGAGTAGGGCTGGTGCAAGTGCCCGTCTCTGCTTCAGTTCAGGGTCTGCCAATATTGGCAATTCCGGTTCTCTAATTATTGGGAGCGGTGCGGTTTCCGCAGGCCGTGCTGGCAGAACATACGTTAGTGTCGGGAGTAGCCAAAGTGGCGTAGGAAGCGCAGAAATTTTCCTTGCTGGACGCACGGCTGAACGAACAGGAGGGTTATTTGCTCTTGCTGGTGGTGGTGCGGCAGGCACAACATCGGGTGCATTTCACCTTCAGACTACAAATGGTGGCGTGTCGGGCACCAGCGGTGCTCTTGTTTTTAGTAGTGGTAGCAGCGACGATGGCAATGCTGGCGCATTGAGATTAGGGTCTGCTGCCGCGACAGGCGGTTGCGGTGGTTCGATATTAGTCGTAGCCGGTGGCGGCAATAGCGGCATAGGGGGTCAGCTAGTTGCACGAGCTGGACGTAGCGGCTACCGCACAGGGGGCTCCCTTGCGGCCCTCGCAGCTTCTGGCATCTCCGCATCAACTGGCACGATTGCCCTACAATCGGTAAATGCTGGTGCTGGTGGTACCAGCAGTCGTTTGGAATTCAGTGCAGGCACTGCATACAGCGGCAACAGTGGTATGATCAGCGTTGGCGTGGGTGGATCGACAGGAGGAGCAGGCGGATTACTTCGTGCCTCTGTTGGTGGCGGAACGAGTGGGCGCGCTGGCGCTGTTTTAGCAGCTGCAGGGCGCACATGTGATTCAACCGGGGGATTAGTTGGTTTATTGGCTGGTGGTTCTGGCGGAACAAGTTCGGGTAAAATGGTAGTTTGTTCTGCTAATGCTGGGGCGTCTGGAGCTAGTGGCTATTTGGTCTTTAGCACAGGTTTGCCAAATGGCAGCAACAGCGGAGGCGTGTCGCTAGGCACCGGTCAGGTCACAGGTGGCGCTGGAGGCGCAATACTTGTCACTTCCGGTCCAGGCTTGAGTGGTATGGGAGGCCTCGTCGTATGTCAGTCAGGTCGCACGGTCTGTCGGGAAGGAGGGAAGGCTACGCTGATAGCCGGCGAGAGCGGTGCTTCCAGCAGTGGGTCTATCACAATTATAGGGGCAAATGGTGGTTTTTTGGGATCTAGTGGTTGTCTCGCGTTCAGCTCTGGAACGGCCAAAACATGCAATTCTGGGAAACTTTGCCTCGGGTCTGGAGACGCAACTGCTGGTAGTGGAGGTTCAATATCCTTTATCACGGGTAGGGGCTCGAGTGGTACAAAGAGGACGATCGTAATAGCGGCGGGTCGGTCGGTGGCACCAGCGAAGAGGACAGGCGGCGCACTTACTGTGTTTTCTGGCTGCGTTGCTGCGACAAGCTCGGGGGCGGTTGCGTTGCGCACATCAAATGGCGGCGTCTTTGGTTCGGTTGGTAGTCTTCTCTTCAGCTCCGGATCGACTTCAGTCGGAAATAGCGGCATGATGCGCGTTGGAACGGGCTCAGCGAGTGGCGGGAGAAGCGGTGCCGTGACCTTGGCTGTAGGGAGCAGCGGCAGCGGGGCTGGTGGTCTTGGCGCCCTACACAGTGGCCGCAGTACTGTGTTAACCGGAGGCTTCGTGGTAATGACTGCAGGAGAAGGCGCAACGACTTCTGCGGGCACGGTCGTTGTACATAGCAGCAACGCTGGGAGCTCAAAATCAGCGGCTGGTCGTCTCATCTTTAGCTCGCACGGTGCAATCGCTGGTAACGCTGGGAGTGCACTATTTGGTTCAGGTTCTACGACAGCCGGGCACGGTGGACATGTAGTGATATCATCTGGTAGCGGGACCTCTGGAACAGGCAGTGCCATCTCTTTGGCAGCGGGGAGAGGCGTGTCGCACACGGGGGGTCATTTCACATTTTCGACCCAGACAGGTAGCACAGCAAGCAGCGGCGCTGCTTGTGTGCGATCGTCAAATGCTGGAAGATCTGGAGCGAGTGGTCATCTCGTGTTTAGCAGCGGGTCAGCTGTCCGTAGTAATTCGGGTTGTATTCTTTTGGGATCTGGTCCTGGGCAGGTGGGCCGAGGTGGTAGCATTATAGTGACGGCTGGCGGAGGAACGGGATCTGGGGGTCGCGCACTATTCCAATCTGGTCGCAGTAATGGGCAAAGTGGTGGATGTGTCTCAGCGCGAGCTGGCGAAGGCACCGTGTCTAGCAGCGGTGATGTCCGTGTCCAGTCGTGGGCAGCATCAGGCGGATCTGGTGCAAGCGGATGCCTCCTCTTTTCATCAGGCATCTCGAGGGGTGGCAACTCAGGAAGCATCACACTAGGCTCATACGCAGCCACGCGTGGATGTGGCGGGGCGGTGCGCCTCGCGGTTGGTAGCGGTACATCGGGCATTGGTGGCTCTCTCGGAATCGCATCGGGACGAAGCTTGAAATCAACTGGCGGAACGGTTGATCTTGGCGTGGCTGAAGGCACAGTTGCCAGTAGCGGCAGCTTCTTGGTACGGACGGCGAACAGCGGTGTCGGCGGTGCTTCCGGGCGCCTAACATTCAGCAGCGGCACAGCATGCGCAGGAAATGCTGGTGAGGTTAGAGTCGGTAGTCGTGCTTCATCAACAGGGCGTGGAGGTTCAATCGCTGTGAGTGCAGGTAGCGGAAGCAGCGGTTTTGGTGGGTGTATTCATGGTCAAGCGGGTCAAAGCATCGCGACCGGAGGCTCCGCATACATGCTAAGTGGTGAAGGCACGGTAGCCAGCAGTGGTATTGTCTCGTTCTTAAGTGCAAATGCTGGCCCGGGTGGGTCCAGCGGACGCCTTTCATTCAGTTCGGGAGCTGCTAGCGTAGGTAATAGTGGACAAATTTCTATTGGCTCCGGGACTACAGCTATAGGTCGTGGAGGCTCGGTTTCCCTGAGCGTCGGGAGTGGCAACAGTGGTGCTGGAGAGGCCACCGTACTTCAGGCCGGTTATGCGGCTGTGACGACTGGCGGCGATCTGCGCCTTCATGTTGGCGAGGGAACAACGTCGACAAGTGGCTCTCTGCGAGTTACGTCTACCAATGGCGGAAGTGTGACGGGAACAACTGGAGTCATTACTTTCAGTTCCGGTGTTTCAACCGAAGGAAATGCAGGTCAACTAAGTTTGGCCACTGCATTTGCTCGCGGCGGCTGTGGCGGCCATCTCAAACTCGCTGTTGGCAGTGGAACCAGTGGAACGGGCGGGCAGATGCTCGTGGCAGCGAGTCAAGCAAAAACAGCCACCGGAAGTGGCGTGCACACCTCGGCTGGCGAGGGTGACGCGTCCAGCGGTGGTGTGATTGTACTGAGAGCTGCTAATGCTGCGGTCGCTGGGTCCAGTGGAAGACTTAGCTTTAGTTCAGGGAGTGCTGTTGGAGGCGACAGCGCAAGCATTCATGCGGGGAGTGGCGCATCCAGCCTGGGCAGAGGCGGGGTAGTCAAGCTCATTGTTGGGAGCGGAACGAGCCGCCAAAGTGGCCCATTAATCCTATGTGCTGGCACAAGTCTCACATCAACAGGGGGCAACTGCGCGAAGTTGAGTGGGGCAGGCGCGACGTCTAGCAGTGGCACCACAGTAGTACGCACTTCCAACGGAGGATATACTGGCACAACCGGTCGCCTCACATTTAGCTCAGGCACCGCCAGCGATGGTAATAGTGGTTGTATACTTGCAGCAACCGCAGCAGCATCTGGACACGCTGGATCTCTGTTTATCACTGCTGGAAGCGGGACAAGCGGACCAGGCGGGAACATTTGTCTTCGCTGCGGCCGTAGTGTCTCGGGTACGGGTGGACCTTGCACGATATCGACCGGAGAGACAACTATCTCGAGCAGTGGCCATGTTTCGATTCGATCTACCAATGCCAAACATCTCGGAACATCGGGCCTTTTGACATTTTCGACAGGATCGAGTGAAGCAGGTAATGCGGGTGCGTGTGTATTTGGCACAGGCGCCGCTAGCACAGGAGCTACCGGTTGTATTATCATATCTGTTGGTCGAGGCACAAGCTCTAGTGGTGGTGTCGTCCAAATATTGTCAGGTCGCAGCGCCGTAGCCTCCGGAGGTTCCCTGAGGGTGCTCAGCGGGGAGGGGACATCGTATAGCAGTGGAATTGTATCAGCTCTGACTGTAAATACTGGCATCGTTGGGTCAAGTGGATTACTGTGCTTCAGCTCTGGGTCAACCAATTTAGGAAATGGTGGTGACCTGCGTGCTGGGTCCGGCCCGGCATCAGTCGGGCGGGGAGGTACTGCGAGTATGAGCGCAGGAAGTGGGACGAGCGGATCGGGCAGTCACGTGTCGTTCAGTGCTGGACGCAGCAGAATATCGAGTGGAGGACGTGTACCCATCATTGGGGGAGAAGGAACCGCGACAAGCAGCAGCCTCGTTATTATTATGTCGGGGAACACTGGCAATGCAGGGACAAGTGGTCGACTCGCATTCAGCTCAGGGCGCACGGCAGCTGGGAATGGTGGGTTGGTGGCCATTGGGTCCAGCGCAGCGACAGCAGGTCGCGCGGGCGCATTGGATGTAAGCATCGGAAGTGGAAAAAGCGGTCTGGGCGGACTGTTGGCCACGTCAGCTGGGCGGAGCACGATTGCCAGTGGGGGTGCAGCACGCATTGGCAGCGGGGAGGGGACTGTGTCAAGTAGTGGTCGATTATCAGCAATAAGCATGAACACGGGAGTGGCAGGAAGTAGCGGCCGAATCGTGTTCAGCTCAGGAGAAACTACTTTTGGGGGAAACAGCGGTCCGGTGTTAGTTGGGACCGGCAGGTCGACTGGAGGTCGCGGGGGTAGTCTTCGAGCAGCTGTGGGCAGTAGTAACAGTGGCAGTGGGAGCTCTGTTGCATTGCATTCTGGTCAAAGCTACGGCGGCTCGACTGGTGGTGTCGTTTGCCTGTTCAGTGATGGCAGTCAGACAACCAGCAGCGGTGTGATCCTGGCATCTACATCAAACGTCGGGTCGACAGGGTCATCCGGATGCCTCTTCTTTAGTGCTGGCGCATCACAACGTGGCAACAGTGGACACCTTAGTTTCGCGACGAGTTATGCGACCGGAGGCGCAACAGGCTCAATATCGATGGCAATCGGTAGTGGCACGAGCGGATTTGGTGGTTCTGCAAGGCTATATTCCGGCCAATGTGATGTTTCCACGGGCGGCTCCATTGATGTCTGGGGTGGCGAGAGCACAACGACTAGTTCAGGTGCGATTTCACTGTGCTGTGTTAACACCGGTCTAGACGGGGGTAGTGGCCGTTTGCTGTTTAGCTCTGGCTTCGCTAGTATATCCAACAGTGGCGCAGTATGCATTGGTAGCGGTGCCGGGCTCAACGGGCGGGCCGGCGCCATTAGTATAAGTCCTGGAAGCGGCACCAGTGCTCTTGGCGGCAGCATTGTGGTTTGGGCTGGTCAAACTATCTCACTCACCGGTGGTGATACAGCAGTTCGTGCTGGAGGGGCGAGTGCAGCGAGCAGTGGGGCTGTGAGTGTGATGTCTGCGAATAATGGTAGATTAGGCATTAGCGGCCGTCTTGTGCTTAGCTCGGGGTGTGCCTTATCCGGGAACAGTGGCTCGGTGACGCTGGGATCAGGGGTGGCAACAGCAGGTCGTGGAGGCGGATTAGTAGTGAGCATTGGAGTTGGAACGAGTGGGCTAGGGGCGCTTCTGGTCACGGCGGCCGGGCGGAGCACTGCAGGTACAGGAGGTCTGGCGGGCCTTGTTAGCGGAGAAGGAACCGCGTCGAGTAGCGGCCAATTATCAATGAGAAGCAGCAATACGGGAATGGTGGGAAGTAGCAGCTGTCTGACCTTCAGTTCAGGAACAGCCGCCGGGGGAAACAGTGGTGAATTGCTCTTGGGCATTGGCGCCTCGACAGGCGGTAGTGGCGGTTTTCTCTGTGCAGCTGTTGGCAGTGGCACCAGCGGACAGAACTGCTTCCTTCATATTCAACCAGGAAGAACAAATAGCATGAGCGGTGGAAGCATAACTATTCAGACCACAACCGGGGTTCAGTCGAGCAGCGGGAGCTTAAGCATAAGCTCTTCAAATAGTGGTGACTCTGGATCCTCGGGTAGGCTGACGTTTAGCTCGGGAACTACCAGCTCAAGTAATACCGGTCTCGTTCGCTTTGGAACAGCAGGAGCAATCAGCGGGTCTGGTGGTGACATCAGATATAATGTAGGCAATGGAGGAAGTGCAGCTGGCGGTTGTACCACAGTAATTTCTGGCAGAGCTGAAGGCTATAGTGGTGGTGCAGTGCAAGTATACTCTGGGGCTGGAAGGGGTGCAACGAGTGGTTCTATCTTTGCAACATCCCTCAATGGTGGTGCATACGGATGTAGCGGTCGGTTGGTCTTCAGTTCCGGCTCATCGTGGTGTGGAAATACAGGAAGCATACTTTTGGGTACGGGTGCTTCTACACATGGTCTCGGAGGCACCATCAAATTCTGCGTTGGTTCTGGCGATAGTGGTTCTGGCGGAAAGGCGCGTCTTGCCGCGGGAGATAGTATTACACATGTAGGTGGCTCGTTAAACATGCTCACGGGGGAAGGCGGGGGGGGGAGCAGTGGTGCAGTGTTGGTGTCTTCGCAAAATAGCGTGATAGATGGATTAAGTGGGCGCCTTGTTTTTAGCTCTGGTATATCACACGAAGCAAATAGTGGACAAATTGTATTGGGTTCCGGCATGGCTTCGGTTGGTTGCGGCGGAGCTCTCAGTTTCACTGTGGGAATCGGCACAAGCGGGTGCGGTGGTCTTTTGAGTCTGAATTCTGGCCAGAGTGCTTTGCGTTCTGGTGGATCGATAAATATGGCCGGTGGCGAAGGCAGGGCATCAAGCTCTGGTGCGATGTGTGTTCAGGGCGTAAGCCCAGGTGCGACGGGTTGTAGTGGACGTCTGTCGTTCAGCTCAGGGTCATCCAGGCTTGGGAACAGTGGTGCGTTTTGTGTAAGTTCTGGTGTCGGGACAGCGGGGCGCGCTGGAGCAGTGAGGATGGCTGTTGGTAGCGGCACAAGTGGATCTGGAGGATGTGCATTGTTTCTTGCTGGTCAAAGCACGGGCTCGAGTGGTGGCTGTGTTTTCATTAGCGCAGGAGAGGGCACAGCAACAAGTAGTGGCGTGATCAAAATTAATTCCATAAACAGTGGTATTTCAGGAGCCAGCGGTTTCCTTAGATTTAGTTCAGGCTCGTCGGTGACCGGAAATAGTGGCTTTGTATGCATAGGCTCAAGTGCCGCAACTGGGACTGGACGCAGTGGCAGGGTTATCGTGAGTGCTGGCAGTGGGACAAGTGGCATTGGGACGCCCGTGGCTACCTTGTCCGGCCGCAATATTCTAGCGACCGGGGGGATGATTCGTGCCAACGCAGGGGGGGGGGCTTTGTTTAGTAGCGGTTCTGTTTGCATATTGGGCATGGACAGCGGTGAGGGTTCAGGCGGGCGGCTACTGTTTAGCAGTGGCACCGCGTCAAGTGGAAACAGCGGGCGCGTCGCGTTGAGCACAGGAATTGCTACCCAAGGAAGTGGTGGAGCAATACGAATTGCCGCTGGGAGTGGAACGAGCGGCATGAGTGTAATTCTAGGGGCTGCAGCAGGGCGTAGTGCATCGACTTCGGGAGGAACGGTGCATGCATTTAGTGGCGAAGGCACTGCAAGTAGCAGCGGCTCTGTGTGCGTGTTAGCAGCTAACGGTGGCACTAATGGTGTGACTGGGAGGCTCTCGTTTAGTTCAGGCACTACAAGAGTTGGAAATAGTGGATCAGTATACTTTGGTTCTTGCTATTCCTCAACCGCGCGTGGCGGATCCATCGTTCTTGCTGTTGGATGTGGTTCAGTATCAGGGGGGGGTTGTTCGCTAGACTCTGGGTGTTCATCGGGGTACTCAGGCGGAAATGTCATAACTGAAGCGGGTGAAGGCACAGGATCAAGTGGAGGCGTTGTAGTGTGTGTAAGCTCAAATACAGGAGCAAGTGGATCAAGCGGAAAGCTCTCGTTTAGCACAGGGTCAACACGACGCGGCAATAGTGGCATTTTGACATTTGGATCCGGGGCTGCGACCGAGGGGCGTGGCAATAATGTTTTCATCAGCGTCGGAACTGGCACCAGCGCACTAGGGGGAGGCATCCTTGCTCTCCCTGGTCGTGCCGTCGCATTAAGCGGTGGGTTGCTCAGTGTAAGTGCAGGAGAAGGCACCGTAACAAGCAGTGGATCTATCACAGTCAAGGTCACAAACGGCGGTGTTGGCGGCAGCAGCGGGAGGCTTACTTTCAGTACTGGTTCTAGTATGGCAGGGAACTCTGGATGGCTCACACTTGGTACCGGAACAGCGTCTGGTGGTCATGGGGGAACAATGGGTATAGAAGCTGGGAGCGGCTCTAGTGGTTCAGCAGCTCACATTCGCATTGACTCGGGTCAAAGCGCCGTTAGTAGTGGAGGTTTTACCAACATAGCTTCAGGGGAAGGCAGTTCGGTGAGCAGTGGTGCCGTTACTGTCAAGGGCTGTAACTCTGGCGTGCAGGGTTCGAGTGGTAGGCTGACGTTCAGCTCGGGATCTTCTCAATCAGGCAACATTGGAGCAGTACTCATATCTGCAGGAGCTGCGTCAAGTGGGCAAGCTGGACTAGTATGTATCAGTGCGGGTAGCAGCGTGATACTGAAAGTGGTTCGTCCGTCCATTTGTGCACTGGGCGCGGCATCTTGACATCAGGGGCGCGCTTTTCCTAGAGGGAAGCGAGGGCCCTGTTCAAGCAGCGGGTATCTCAGTCTCGGGTCGACAAACAGCGGAGCGAGTGGGTCGGGCGGCCGGTTGGCATTTAGCTCGGTCGTCCAAGGACGGAACAGTGGAGCGGTTGCCCTCGGCTCTGGACCGAGCGTTGGAGGGCGGGCCGGAGTAGCGCGCGTCTCCGTCGGTAGTGGAACGAGCGGTTTGGGTGGCTCGACGTCGCTGGGCGCGGGGAGAAGCACCGGGACGACGGGCGGCGGCGTCTGCGTCGAGACGGGCGAAGGCACGGCCACAAGCGGCGGCGCGGTGTACGTTCGCACGGCGAACGGCGGCGGCGGCGGAGCGAGCAGCCAGCTGGTGTTCAGCTCAGGCTCGTCCAAGGAAGGCAACAGCGGCGCGCTGCTCGTCGGGTCTGGCGCGGCCTCGTCGGGGCGAGGCGGCGCGACTCGGCTGGGCGCGGGCAGCGGGACGAGCGGGTCTGGAGGTGGCTTGAGCCTGGAGTCCGGTCGAAGCTCGACGCTCACGGGCGGTACCCTCCGCGCGGGCTCCGGGGGGGACGATGGCAGCGGCGGGGCGCTGCGTATCGGCACGTCTAACGCTGGCGCGGGCGCCGCGAGCGGGCGACTAGTGTTCAGCGCCGGAGCGTCGACCTCTGGCAACAGCGGGAGCGTCCGAGTCGGGTCCGCGCGCGGCGACCGGCGGCAGGGCGGACGCGCGAGCGAGCGTCGGCAGCGGACGAGGGGGCTTGGGGGCGCGTTGAGCCTGTTGTCTGGACGCAGCGACGTTGCGTCGGGTGGAGTCCTGAGCGCGACGAGCGGAGCGCCAGCGCCGGCGAGCTCTGGGATCGCAATCATCTCGGCGGCCAACGCTGGCGCCGGGGGTCGAGTGGGCGGCTGTGCTTTAGCTCCGGGTCAGCAAGGCAGGAAACAGCGGGCGGCTGTGCGTCGGGCCGGGACCGGCGACGGTGGGCCGCGGGGGCGCGGCAAGCGTGAGCGCGGGAAGTGGGACGAGCGCGTCGGGCGGTGGCCTGACGTTTGCGGCCGGGCGCAGCATCGCGTCGAGCGGAGGGCGCGTGCTGACCGTCGGGGGCGAAGGAACCGCAGCAAGCAGTGGCCTGGTGCGCATCACGTCGGCAAACGGTGGAACCGCGGGCGCCAGCGGTCGGCTCGCGTTCAGCTCGGGGCGCGCGGCGGCCGGGAACGGAGGGGCGGCGAGCCTGGGGTCCGGCACGTCGACGGCAGGTCGCGCCGGCGTCGTGGCCGTGAGCGCGGGCGGCGGGACGAGCGGGTCTGGGGGATCGGCGATCGCGGCGGCGGGTCGGAGCGCGGCGGTCAGCGGTGGGGCTTTCAGCGTCGACAGCGGGGACGGAACCGCATCGAGTAGCGGCATGCTGGTCCTGGGAAGCGGCAATGCCGGAGCGACCGGAAGTAGCGGCCGACTCGTGTTCAGCTCGGGAACGGCCGCCGGAGGAAACAGCGGCGAGGTGCTCGTCGGATCTGGCTCGACGACAGGAGGTTGCGGAGGCGGCGTTCGCGCGAGTGTGGGCTGCAGTCATAATGGTATTGCGAACTCGCTTCATTTCTTTTCAGGGTTGTCTATTGACTCGGGAGGTCACATCTCTATTTCATCTGGTGAAGGCTCACTACAAAGCAGTGGTTATCTTGTTCTAGCCAGCTCAAACGCTAAGACAAGTACAGGTTCCATTTTGTTTAGTACTGGATCCTGTCGAAACGGTAACAGTGGCCTTGTTGCGTGTTCCTCTGGGAGTGTGGAGAATGGCCAAGGTGGCATAGTGTCCGTTAATATAGGCAAAAGCATGAGTGGCAAATCGAATAGTTTAGAGATGTGTGCTGGTTTGAGTCAATTACAGAGCGGTGGCGACCTGTCAATCTCAAGTAGATTTGGAGCAACGAGCAGTAGTGGCAGCATTTTTGTGTCGACAACAAATGGGGGGGTTGGGGGTATCAGTGGTCGGCTTGCATATAGCTCAGGTTCAGCGGGGCTCGGAAACACGGGGGCAGTTGAAATTGGATCCGGGGCTGCGACCGAGGGGCGTGGCAATAATGTTTTCATCAGCGTCGGAACTGGCACCAGCGCGCTAGGGGGAGGCATCCTTGCTCTCCCTGGTCGTGCCGTCGCATTAAGCGGTGGGTTGCTCAGTGTAAGTGCAGGAGAAGGCACCGTAACAAGCAGTGGATCTATCACAGTCAAGGTCACAAACGGCGGTGTTGGCGGCAGCAGCGGGAGGCTTACTTTCAGTACTGGTTCTAGTATGGCAGGGAACTCTGGATGGCTCACACTTGGTACCGGAACAGCGTCTGGTGGTCATGGGGGAACAATGGGTATAGAAGCTGGGAGCGGCTCTAGTGGTTCAGCAGCTCACATTCGCATTGACTCGGGTCAAAGCGCCGTTAGTAGTGGAGGTTTTACCAACATAGCTTCAGGGGAAGGCAGTTCGGTGAGCAGTGGTGCCGTTACTGTCAAGGGCTGTAACTCTGGCGTGCAGGGTTCGAGTGGTAGGCTGACGTTCAGCTCGGGATCTTCTCAATCAGGCAACATTGGAGCAGTACTCATATCTGCAGGAGCTGCGTCAAGTGGGCAAGCTGGACTAGTATGTATCAGTGCGGGTAGCAGTAGTGATACTGAAAGTGGTTCGTCCGTCCATTTGTGCACTGGACGCGGCATCTTGACATCAGGGGGCGCGCTTTTCCTAGAGGGAAGCGAGGGCACCTGTTCAAGCAGCGGGTATCTCAGTCTCGGGTCGACAAACAGCGGAGCGAGTGGGTCGGGCGGCCGGTTGGCATTTAGCTCCGGGTCGTCCAAGGACGGGAACAGTGGAGCGGTTGCCCTCGGCTCTGGACCGAGCGTTGGAGGGCGGGCCGGAGTAGCGCGCGTCTCCGTCGGTAGTGGAACGAGCGGTTTGGGTGGCTCGACGTCGCTGGGCGCGGGGAGAAGCACCGGGACGACGGGCGGCGGCGTCTGCGTCGAGACGGGCGAAGGGACGGCCACAAGCGGCGGCGCGGTGTACGTTCGCACGGCGAACGGCGGCGGCGGCGGAGCGAGCAGCCAGCTGGTGTTCAGCTCAGGCTCGTCCAAGGAAGGCAACAGCGGCGCGCTGCTCGTCGGGTCTGGCGCGGCCTCGTCGGGGCGAGGCGGCGCGACTCGGCTGGGCGCGGGCAGCGGGACGAGCGGGTCTGGAGGTGGCTTGAGCCTGGAGTCCGGTCGAAGCTCGACGCTCACGGGCGGTACCCTCCGCGCGGGCTCCGGGGAGGGGACGACGGGCAGCGGCGGGGCGCTGCGTATCGGCACGTCTAACGCTGGCGCGGGCGCCGCGAGCGGGCGACTAGTGTTCAGCGCCGGAGCGTCGACCTCTGGCAACAGCGGGAGCGTCCGGGTCGGGTCCGGCGCGGCGACCGGCGGCCGGGGCGGACGCGCGAGCGCGAGCGTCGGCAGCGGGACGAGTGGGCTTGGGGGCGCGTTGAGCCTGTTGTCTGGACGCAGCGACGTTGCGTCGGGTGGAGTCCTGAGTGCGACGAGCGGAGCGAGCGCGTCGGCGAGCTCTGGGATCGCAATCATCTCGGCGGCCAACGCTGGCGCCGGGGGGTCGAGTGGGCGGCTGTGCTTTAGCTCCGGGTCGAGCAAGGCAGGAAACAGCGGGCGGCTGTGCGTCGGGCCGGGACCGGCGACGGTGGGCCGCGGGGGCGCGGCAAGCGTGAGCGCGGGAAGTGGGACGAGCGCGTCGGGCGGTGGCCTGACGTTTGCGGCCGGGCGCAGCATCGCGTCGAGCGGAGGGCGCGTGCTGACCGTCGGGGGCGAAGGAACCGCAGCAAGCAGTGGCCTGGTGCGCATCACGTCGGCAAACGGTGGAACCGCGGGCGCCAGCGGTCGGCTCGCGTTCAGCTCGGGGCGCGCGGCGGCCGGGAACGGAGGGGCGGCGAGCCTGGGGTCCGGCACGTCGACGGCAGGTCGCGCCGGCGTCGTGGCCGTGAGCGCGGGCGGCGGGACGAGCGGGTCTGGGGGATCGGCGATCGCGGCGGCGGGTCGGAGCGCGGCGGTCAGCGGTGGGGCTTTCAGCGTCGACAGCGGGGACGGAACCGCATCGAGTAGCGGCATGCTGGTCCTGGGAAGCGGCAATGCCGGAGCGACCGGAAGTAGCGGCCGACTCGTGTTCAGCTCGGGAACGGCCGCCGGAGGAAACAGCGGCGAGGTGCTCGTCGGATCTGGCTCGACGACAGGAGGTTGCGGAGGCGGCGTTCGCGCGAGTGTGGGCTGCAGCGCGAGCGGAGGAGGAGGGCCGCTCGGCTGGACGTCGGGTCGAAGCGGAGGCTCGAGCGGCGGATGGCTGACGGTCGGCGGCGGCGGCGGCGCGTCGACGAGCAGCGGGGTGCTGTTTGTATCGAGCGGAAATGGCGGCGCAGCTGGTTTGAGCGGTCAGCTGGCCTTCAGCTCCGGATCGACGTGTTGCGGAAATAATGGACAAGTTAGGGCGGGGTCCGCGGCTTCGACGGCGGGCCGCGGGGGCCTCGTCGATCTGTGTGTTGGGAGCGGCACGAGTGCGGCCGGTGGTACGGGGCAGATACGATCCGGGAGGGCGGAATCGAGGAGCGGAGGTGGCGTGCATCTGCAGGCTGGTGAAGGAACAGCGACAAACAGTGGCATTCTTGCTGTCGGAAGCACAAACTCAGGCTTCTGCGGCTCGGCCGGAGCCCTTCGCTTTAGCTCGGGATCGTCGCTCTCTGGCAACGGTGGATGCTTGGTTCTAGCCTCTGGGTACGGGACAGCCGGCCGCGGGGGGGCAGTTTTGATCGTGGCTGGCAGCGGGACCAGCGGTCGGGGGGGCCGCGTGCGCCTGGGCGCAGGTCGAGGCGCGGTTGCCACCGGCGGTGCTTCAGTCGTGGTGGGAGGTGGCGAGGGCACCTGCTCAAGCAGCGGGTATCTCAGTCTCGGGTCGACAAACAGCGGAGCGAGTGGGTCGGGCGGCCGGTTGGCATTTAGCTCCGGGTCGTCCAAGGACGGGAACAGTGGAGCGGTTGCCCTCGGCTCTGGACCGAGCGTTGGAGGGCGGGCCGGAGTAGCGCGCGTCTCCGTCGGTAGTGGAACGAGCGGTTTGGGTGGCTCGACGTCGCTGGGCGCGGGGAGAAGCACCGGGACGACGGGCGGCGGCGTCTGCGTCGAGACGGGCGAAGGGACGGCCACAAGCGGCGGCGCGGTGTACGTTCGCACGGCGAACGGCGGCGGTGGCGGAGCGAGCAGCCAGCTGGTGTTCAGCTCAGGCTCGTCCAAGGAAGGCAACAGCGGCGCGCTGCTCGTCGGGTCTGGCGCGGCCTCGTCGGGGCGAGGCGGCGCGACTCGGCTGGGCGCGGGCAGCGGGACGAGCGGGTCTGGAGGTGGCTTGAGCCTGGAGTCCGGTCGAAGCTCGACGCTCACGGGCGGTACCCTCCGCGCGGGCTCCGGGGAGGGGACGACGGCAGCGGCGGGGCGCTGCGTATCGGCACGCGTCTAACGCTGGCGCGGGCGCCGCGAGCGGGCGACTAGTGTTCAGCGCCGGAGCGTCGACCTCTGGCAACAGCGGGAGCGTCCGAGTCGGGTCCGCGCGGCGACCGGCGGCCGGGCGGACGCGCGAGCGCGAGCGGCCGGGCAGCGGGACGAGGGGCTGGGCTTGGGGGCGCGTTGAGCCTGTTGTCTGGACGCAGCGACGTTGCGTCGGGTGGAGTCCTGAGCGCGACGAGCGGAGCGGCGCCGTCGCGAGCTCTGGGATCGCAATCATCTCGGCGGCCAACGCTGGCGCCGGGGGGTCGAGTGGGCGGCTGTGCTTTAGCTCCGGGTCGAGCAAGGCAGGAAACAGCGGGCGGCTGTGCGTCGGGCCGGGACCGGCGACGGTGGGCCGCGGGGCGCGGCCGCCGAGCGCTGGAAGTGGGACGAGCGCGTCGGGCGGTGGCCTGACGTTTGCGGCCGGGCGCAGCATCGCCGAGCGGAGGGCGCGTGCTGACCGTCGGGGGCGAAGGAACCGCAGCAAGCAGTGGCCTGGTGCGCATCACGTCGGCAAACGGTGGAACCGCTGGCGCCAGCGGTCGGCTCGCGTTCAGCTCGGGCGCGGCGGCGGGAACGGAGGGGCGGCGAGCCTGGGGTCCGGCACGTCGACGGCAGGTCGCGCCGGCGTCGTGGCCGTGAGCGCGGGCGGCGGGACGAGCGGGTCTGGGGATCGGCGATCGCGGCGGCGGGTCGGAGCGCGGCGGTCAGCGGGGGGCTTTCAGCGTCGACAGCGGGGACGGAACCGCATCGAGTAGCGGCATGCTGGTCCTGGGAAGCGGCAATGCCGAGCGACCGGAAGTAGCGGCCGACTGTGTTCAGCTCGGGAACGGCCGGAGGAAACAGTATGCGCGAGTGCTCGTCGGATCTGGCTCGACGACAGGAGGTTGCGGAGGCGGCGTTCGCGCGAGTGTGGGCTGCAGCGCGAGCGGAGGAGGAGGGCCGCTCGGCTGGACGTCGGGTCGAAGCGGAGGCTCGAGCGGCGGATGGCTGACGGTCGGCGGCGGCGGCGGCGCGTCGACGAGCAGCGGGGTGCTGTTTGTATCGAGCGGAAATGGCGGCGCAGCTGGTTTGAGCGGTCAGCTGGCCTTCAGCTCCGGATCGACGTGTTGCGGAAATAATGGACAAGTTAGGGCGGGGTCCGCGGCTTCGACGGCGGGCCGCGGGGGCCTCGTCGATCTGTGTGTTGGGAGCGGCACGAGTGCGGCCGGTGGTACGGGGCAGATACGATCCGGGAGGGCGGAATCGAGGAGCGGAGGTGGCGTGCATCTGCAGGCTGGTGAAGGCGCAGGGATGAGTGGGGGGTCTGTCGTCGCAAAGTCTACGAATGGTGGTCTGGGTGGATGCAGCGGCCGTCTTGCTTTCAGTTCCGGATCATCCGTCTCTGGTAACTCGGGGAGGTGCGCCTTGGGGTCTGGTGCGTCCACAGAGGGTGGTGGTGGGAGAATCAGCGTGAGCGTGGGAAGTGGGACCAGTGGGGGTGGTGGGGCGTATATTGGGTTGGGTCGAAGTGAACGTCACAGTGGTGGAAGGTTTGAGTCCAGCTCGGGCATTGGAAGCGGGTCAAGCAGTGCAAGCCTTATACTAAAAAGCACAAACTCAGGCTTCTGCGGCTCGGCCGGAGCCCTTCGCTTCAGCTCGGGATCTTCGCTCTCTAGCAACGGTGGATGCTTGGTTCTAGCCTCTGGGTACGGGACAGCCGGCCGCGGGGGGGCAGTTTTGATCGTGGCTGGCAGCGGGACCAGCGGTCGGGGGGGCCGCGTGCGCCTGGGCGCAGGTCGAGGCGCGGTTGCCACCGGCGGTGCTTCAGTCGTGGTGGGAGGTGGCGAGGGCACCTGCTCAAGCAGCGGGTATCTCAGTCTCGGGTCGACAAACAGCGGAGCGAGTGGGTCGGGCGGCCGGTTGGCATTTAGCTCCGGGTCGTCCAAGGACGGGAACAGTGGAGCGGTTGCCCTCGGCTCTGGACCGAGCGTTGGAGGGCGGGCCGGAGTAGCGCGCGTCTCCGTCGGTAGTGGAACGAGCGGTTTGGGTGGCTCGACGTCGCTGGGCGCGGGGAGAAGCACCGGGACGACGGGCGGCGGCGTCTGCGTCGAGACGGGCGAAGGGACGGCCACAAGCGGCGGCGCGGTGTACGTTCGCACGGCGAACGGCGGCGGTGGCGGAGCGAGCAGCCAGCTGGTGTTCAGCTCAGGCTCGTCCAAGGAAGGCAACAGCGGCGCGCTGCTCGTCGGGTCTGGCGCGGCCTCGTCGGGGCGAGGCGGCGCGACTCGGCTGGGCGCGGGCAGCGGGACGAGCGGGTCTGGAGGTGGCTTGAGCCTGGAGTCCGGTCGAAGCTCGACGCTCACGGGCGGTACCCTCCGCGGGCCCGGGGGGGACGACGGGCAGCGGCGGGCGCTGCGTATCGGCACGTCTAACGCTGGCGCGGGCGCCGTGAGCGGGCGACTAGTGTTCAGCGCCGGAGCGTCGACCTCTGGCAACAGCGGGAGCGTCCGGTCGGGTCCGCGCGCGACCGGCGGCCGGGGCGGACGCGCGAGCGCGAGCGTCGGCAGCGGGACGAGTGGGCTTGGGGGCGCGTTGAGCCTGTTGTCTGGACGCAGCGACGTTGCGTCGGGTGGAGTCCTGAGCGCGACGAGCGGAGCGAGCGCGTCGGCGAGCTCTGGGATCGCAATCATCTCGGCGGCCAACGCTGGCGCCGGGGGGTCGAGTGGGCGGCTGTGCTTTAGCTCCGGGTCGAGCAAGGCAGGAAACAGCGGGCGGCTGTGCGTCGGGCCGGGACCGGCGACGGTGGGCCGCGGGGCGCGGCAAGCCGCGAGCGCTGGAAGTGGGACGAGCGCGTCGGGCGGTGGCCTGACGTTTGCGGCCGGGCGCAGCATCGCGTCGAGCGGAGGGCGCGTGCTGACCGTCGGGGCGAAGGAACCGCAGCAAGCAGTGGCCTGGTGCGCATCACGTCGGCAAACGGTGGAACCGCGGGCGCCAGCGGTCGGCTCGCGTTCAGCTTGGGGCGCGCGGCGGCCGGGAACGGAGGGGCGGCGAGCCTGGGGTCCGGCACGTCGACGGCAGGTCGCGCCGGGCGTCGTGGCCGTGAGCGCGGGCGGCGGACGAGCGAGTCTGGGGATCAGCGATCGCGGCGGCGGGTCGGAGCGCGGCGGTCAGCGGTGGGGCTTTCAGCGTCGACAGCGGGGACGGAACCGCATCGAGTAGCGGCATGCTGGTCCTGGGAAGCGGCAATGCCGGAGCGACCGGAAGTAGCGGCCGACTCGTGTTCAGCTCGGGAACGGCCGCCGGAGGAAACAGCGGCGAGGTGCTCGTCGGATCTGGCTCGACGACAGGAGGTTGCGGAGGCGGCGTTCGCGCGAGTGTGGGCTGCAGCGCGAGCGGAGGAGGAGGGCCGCTCGGCTGGACGTCGGGTCGAAGCGGAGGCTCGAGCGGCGGATGGCTGACGGTCGGCGGCGGCGGCGGCGCGTCGACGAGCAGCGGGGTGCTGTTTGTATCGAGCGGAAATGGCGGCGCAGCTGGTTTGAGCGGTCAGCTGGCCTTCAGCTCCGGATCGACGTGTTGCGGAAATAATGGACAAGTTAGGGCGGGGTCCGCGGCTTCGACGGCGGGCCGCGGGGGCCTCGTCGATCTGTGTGTTGGGAGCGGCACGAGTGCGGCCGGTGGTACGGGGCAGATACGATCCGGGAGGGCGGAATCGAGGAGCGGAGGTGGCGAGCATCTGCAGGCTGGTGAAGGAACAGCGACAAACAGTGGCATTCTTGCTGTCGGAAGCACAAACTCAGGCTTCTGCGGCTCGGCCGGAGCCCTTCGCTTCAGCTCGGGATCTTCGCTCTCTAGCAACGGTGGATGCTTGGTTCTAGCCTCTGGGTACGGGACAGCCGGCCGCGGGGGGGCAGTTTTGATCGTGGCTGGCAGCGGGACCAGCGGTCGGGGGGGCCGCGTGCGCCTGGGCGCAGGTCGAGGCGCGGTTGCCACCGGCGGTGCTTCAGTCGTGGTGGGAGGTGGCGAGGGCACCTGCTCAAGCAGCGGGTATCTCAGTCTCGGTCGACAAACAGCGGCCGAGGGGTCGGGCGGCCGGTTGGCATTTAGCTCGGTCGCCCAAGGACGGGAAAACAGTGGAGCGGTTGCCCTCGGCTCTGGACCGAGCGTTGGAGGGCGGGCCGGAGTAGCGCGCGTCTCCGTCGGTAGTGGAACGAGCGGTTTGGGTGGCTCACGTCGCTGGGCGCGGGGGAAGCACCGGGACGACGGGCGGCGGCGGCGTCTGCGTCGAGACGGGCGAAGGACGGCCACAAGCGGCGGCGCGGTGTACGTTCGCACGGCGAACGGCGGCGGCGGCGGAGCGAGCAGCCAGCTGGTGTTCAGCTCAGGCTCGTCCAAGGAAGGCAACAGCGCGCGCTGCTCGTCGGGTCTGGCGCGGCCTCGTCGGGGCGAGGCGGCGCGACTCGGCTGGGCGCGGGCAGCGGACGAGCGGGTCTGGAGGTGGCTTGAGCCTGGAGTCCGGTCGGCTCGACGCTCACGGCGGTACCCTCCGCGGGCTCCGGGAGGGGGACGGGCAGCGGCGGGGCGCTGCGTATCGGCACGCCTAACGCTGGCGCGGGCGCCGTGAGCGGGCGACTAGTGTTCAGCGCCGGAGCGTCGACCTCTGGCAACAGCGGAGCGTCCGAGTCGGGTCCGCGCGGCGACCGGCGGCCGGGCGGGCGCGAGCGCGAAAGCGCCGGCAGCGGGACGAGTGGGCTTGGGGGCGCGTTGAGCCTGTTGTCTGGACGCAGCGACGTTGCGTCGGGTGGAGTCCTGAGTGCGACGAGCGGAGCGAGCGCGTCGGCGAGCTCTGGGATCGCAATCATCTCGGCGCCCAACGCTGGCGCCGGGGGTCGAGTGGGCGGCTGTGCTTTAGCTCCGGGTCGAGCAAGGCAGGAAACAGCGGGCGGCTGTGCGTCGTCGGGCCGGACCGGCGACGGTGGGCCGCGGGGCGCGCCGCCGCGAGCGCTGGAAGTGGGACGAGCGCGTCGGGCGGTGGCCTGACGCGTTTGCGGCCGGGCGCAGCATCGCGTCGAGCGGAGGGCGCGTGCTGACCGTCGGGGGCGAAGGAACCGCAGCAAGCAGTGGCCTGGTGCGCATCACGTCGGCAAACGGTGGAACCGCGGGCGCCAGCGGTCGGCTCGCGTTCAGCTCGGGGCGCGCGGCGGCCGGGAACGGAGGGGCGGCGAGCCTGGGGTCCGGCACGTCGACGGCAGGTCGCGCCGGCGTCGTGGCCGTGAGCGCGGGCGGCGGGACGAGCGGGTCTGGGGGATCGGCGATCGCGGCGGCGGGTCGGAGCGCGGCGGTCAGCGGGGGGCTTTCAGCGTCGACAGCGGGACGGAACCGCATCGAGTAGCGGCATGCTGGTCCTGGGAAGCGGCAATGCCGGAGCGACCGGAAGTAGCGGCCGACTCGTGTTCAGCTCGGGAACGGCCGCCGGAGGAAACAGCGGCGAGGTGCTCGTCGGATCTGGCTCGACGACAGGAGGTTGCGGAGGCGGCGTTCGCGCGAGTGTGGGCTGCAGCGCGAGCGGAGGAGGAGGGCCGCTCGGCTGGACGTCGGGTCGAAGCGGAGGCTCGAGCGGCGGATGGCTGACGGTCGGCGGCGGCGGCGGCGCGTCGACGAGCAGCGGGGTGCTGTTTGTATCGAGCGGAAATGGCGGCGCAGCTGGTTTGAGCGGTCAGCTGGCCTTCAGCTCCGGATCGACGTGTTGCGGAAATAATGGACAGTTAGGGCGGGTCCGCGGCCGACGGCGGGCCGCGGGGGCCTCGTCGATCTGTGTGTTGGGAGCGGCACGAGTGCGGCCGGTGGTACGGGGCAGATACGATCCGGGAGGGCGGAATCGAGGAGCGGAGGTGGCGTGCATCTGCAGGCTGGTGAAGGCGCAGGGATGAGTGGGGGGTCTGTCGTCGCGAAGTCTACGAATGGTGGTCTGGGTGGATGCAGCGGCCGTCTTGCTTTCAGTTCCGGATCATCCGTCTCTGGTAACTCGGGGAGGTGCGCCTTGGGGTCTGGTGCGTCCACAGAGGGTGGTGGTGGGAGAATCAGCGTGAGCGTGGGAAGTGGGACCAGTGGGGGTGGTGGGGCGTATATTGGGTTGGGTCGAAGTGAACGTCACAGTGGTGGAAGGTTTGAGTCCAGCTCGGGCATTGGAAGCGGGTCAAGCAGTGCAAGCCTTATACTAAAAAGCACAAACTCAGGCTTCTGCGGCTCGGCCGGAGCCCTTCGCTTCAGCTCGGGATCTTCGCTCTCTAGCAACGGTGGATGCTTGGTTCTAGCCTCTGGGTACGGGACAGCCGGCCGCGGGGGGGCAGTTTTGATCGTGGCTGGCAGCGGGACCAGCGGTCGGGGGGGCCGCGTGCGCCTGGGCGCAGGTCGAGGCGCGGTTGCCACCGGCGGTGCTTCAGTCGTGGTGGGAGGTGGCGAGGGCACCTGCTCAAGCAGCGGGTATCTCAGTCTCGGTCGACAAACAGCGGCAGAGTGGGTCGGGCGGCCGGTTGGCATTTAGCTCGGTCGCCCAAGGACGGGAACAGTGGAGCGGTTGCCCTCGGCTCTGGACCGAGCGTTGGAGGGCGGGCCGGAGTAGCGCGCGTCTCCGTCGGTAGTGGAACGAGCGGTTTGGGTGGCTCACGCCGCTGGGCGCGGGAGAAGCACCGGGACGACGGGCGGCGGCGTCTGCGTCGAGACGGGCGAAGGCACGGCCACAAGCGGCGGCGCGGTGTACGTTCGCACGGCGAACGGCGGCGGTGGCGGAGCGAGCAGCCAGCTGGTGTTCAGCTCAGGCTCGTCCAAGGAAGGCAACAGCGGCGCGCTGCTCGTCGGGTCTGGCGCGGCCTCGTCGGGGCGAGGCGGCGCGACTCGGCTGGGCGCGGGCAGCGGGACGAGCGGGTCTGGAGGTGGCTTGAGCCTGGAGTCCGGTCGAAGCTCGACGCTCACGGCGGTACCCTCCGCGGGCTCCGGGAGGGGACGACGGGCAGCGGCGGGGCGCTGCGTATCGGCACGTCTAACGCTGGCGCGGGCGCCGCGAGCGGGCGACTAGTGTTCAGCGCCGGAGCGTCGACCTCTGGCAACAGCGGGAGCGTCCGGTCGGGTCCGCGCGGCGACCGGCGGCCGGGCGGACGCGCGAGCGCGAGCGTCGGCAGCGGGACGAGTGGGCTTGGGGGCGCGTTGAGCCTGTTGTCTGGACGCAGCGACGTTGCGTCGGGTGGAGTCCTGAGTGCGACGAGCGGAGCGAGCGCGTCGGCGAGCTCTGGGATCGCAATCATCTCGGCGGCCAACGCTGGCGCCGGGGGGTCGAGTGGGCGGCTGTGCTTTAGCTCCGGTCGAGCAAGGCAGGAAACAGCGGGCGGCTGTGCGTCGGGCCGGGACCGGCGACGGTGGGCCGCGGGGCGCGGCAAGCGCGAGCGCTGGAAGTGGGACGAGCGCGTCGGGCGGTGGCCTGACGTTTGCGGCCGGGCGCAGCATCGCGTCGAGCGGAGGGCGCGTGCTGACCGTCGGGGGCGAAGGAACCGCAGCAAGCAGTGGCCTGGTGCGCATCACGTCGGCAAACGGTGGAACCGCTGGCGCGCAGCGGTCGGCTCGCGTTCAGCTCGGGCGCGCGGCGGCGGGAACGGAGGGGCGGCGAGCCTGGGGTCCGGCACGTCGACGGCAGGTCGCGCCGGCCTCGTGGCCGTGAGCGCGGCGGCGGGACGAGCGGGTCTGGGGATCGATGATCGCGGCGGCGGGTCGGAGCGCGGCGGTCAGCGGTGGGGCTTTCAGCGTCGACAGCGGGGACGGAACCGCATCGAGTAGCGGCATGCTGGTCCTGGGAAGCGGCAATGCCGGAGCGACCGGAAGTAGCGGCCGACTCGTGTTCAGCTCGGGAACGGCCGCCGGAGGAAACAGCGGCGAGGTGCTCGTCGGATCTGGCTCGACGACAGGAGGTTGCGGAGGCGGCGTTCGCGCGAGTGTGGGCTGCAGCGCGAGCGGAGGAGGAGGGCCGCTCGGCTGGACGTCGGGTCGAAGCGGAGGCTCGAGCGGCGGATGGCTGACGGTCGGCGGCGGCGGCGGCGCGTCGACGAGCAGCGGGGTGCTGTTTGTATCGAGCGGAAATGGCGGCGCAGCTGGTTTGAGCGGTCAGCTGGCCTTCAGCTCCGGATCGACGTGTTGCGGAAATAATGGACAAGTTAGGGCGGGGTCCGCGGCTTCGACGGCGGGCCGCGGGGGCCTCGTCGATCTGTGTGTTGGGAGCGGCACGAGTGCGGCCGGTGGTACGGGGCAGATACGATCCGGGAGGGCGGAATCGAGGAGCGGAGGTGGCGTGCATCTGCAGGCTGGTGAAGGCGCAGGGATGAGTGGGGGGTCTGTCGTCGCGAAGTCTACGAATGGTGGTCTGGGTGGATGCAGCGGCCGTCTTGCTTTCAGTTCCGGATCATCCGTCTCTGGTAACTCGGGGAGGTGCGCCTTGGGGTCTGGTGCGTCCACAGAGGGTGGTGGTGGGAGAATCAGCGTGAGCGTGGGAAGTGGGACCAGTGGGGGTGGTGGGGCGTATATTGGGTTGGGTCGAAGTGAACGTCACAGTGGTGGAAGGTTTGAGTCCAGCTCGGGCATTGGAAGCGGGTCAAGCAGTGCAAGCCTTATACTAAAAAGCACAAACTCAGGCTTCTGCGGCTCGGCCGGAGCCCTTCGCTTCAGCTCGGGATCTTCGCTCTCTAGCAACGGTGGATGCTTGGTTCTAGCCTCTGGGTACGGGACAGCCGGCCGCGGGGGGGCAGTTTTGATCGTGGCTGGCAGCGGGACCAGCGGTCGGGGGGGCCGCGTGCGCCTGGGCGCAGGTCGAGGCGCGGTTGCCACCGGCGGTGCTTCAGTCGTGGTGGGAGGTGGCGAGGGCACCTGCTCAAGCAGCGGGTATCTCAGTCTCGGGTCGACAAACAGCGGAGCGAGTGGGTCGGGCGGCCGGTTGGCATTTAGCTCCGGGTCGTCCAAGGACGGGAACAGTGGAGCGGTTGCCCTCGGCTCTGGACCGAGCGTTGGAGGGCGGGCCGGAGTAGCGCGCGTCTCCGTCGGTAGTGGAACGAGCGGTTTGGGTGGCTCGACGTCGCTGGGCGCGGGGAGAAGCACCGGGACGACGGGCGGCGGCGTCTGCGTCGAGACGGGCGAAGGCACGGCCACAAGCGGCGGCGCGGTGTACGTTCGCACGGCGAACGGCGGCGGCGGCGGAGCGAGCAGCCAGCTGGTGTTCAGCTCAGGCTCGTCCAAGGAAGGCAACAGCGCGCGCTGCTGCGTCGGGTCTGGCGCGGCCTCGTCGGGCGAGGCGGCGCGACTCGGCTGGGCGCGGGCAGCGGACGAGCGGGTCTGGAGGTGGCTTGAGCCTGGAGTCCGGTCGGCTCGACGCTCACGGGCGGTACCCTCCGCGGGCTCCGGGAGGGGACGACGGGCAGCGGCGGGGCGCTGCGTATCGGCACGTCTAACGCTGGCGCGGGCGCCGCGAGCGGGCGACTAGTGTTCAGCGCCGGAGCGTCGACCTCTGGCAACAGCGGGAGCGTCCGGTCGGGTCCGCGCGGCGACCGGGCGGCCGGGCGGACGCGCGAGCGAGCGTCGGCAGCGGGACGAGTGGGCTTGGGGGCGCGTTGAGCCTGTTGTCTGGACGCAGCGACGTTGCGTCGGGTGGAGTCCTGAGTGCGACGAGCGGAGCGAGCGCGTCGGCGAGCTCTGGGATCGCAATCATCTCGGCGGCCAACGCTGGCGCCGGGGGGTCGAGTGGGCGGCTGTGCTTTAGCTCCGGGTCGAGCAAGGCAGGAAACAGCGGGCGGCTGTGCGTCGGGCCGGGACCGGCGACGGTGGGCCGCGGGGGCGCGGCAAGCGTGAGCGCTGGAAGTGGGACGCCGCCGGCCGGGCGGTGGCCTGACGTTTGCGGCCGGGCGCAGCATCGCGTCGAGCGGAGGGCGCGTGCTGACCGTCGGGGGCGAAGGAACCGCAGCAAGCAGTGGCCTGGTGCGCATCACGTCGGCAAACGGTGGAACCGCGGGCGCCAGCGGTCGGCTCGCGTTCAGCTCGGGGCGCGCGGCGGCCGGGAACGGAGGGGCGGCGAGCCTGGGGTCCGGCACGTCGACGGCAGGTCGCGCCGGCCTCGTGGCCGTGAGCGCGGGCGGCGGGACGAGCGGGTCTGGGGGATCGGCGATCGCGGCGGCGGGTCGGAGCGCGGCGGTCAGCGGTGGGGCTTTCAGCGTCGACAGCGGGGACGGAACCGCATCGAGTAGCGGCATGCTGGTCCTGGGAAGCGGCAATGCCGGAGCGACCGGAAGTAGCGGCCGACTCGTGTTCAGCTCGGGAACGGCCGCCGGAGGAAACAGCGGCGAGGTGCTCGTCGGATCTGGCTCGACGACAGGAGGTTGCGGAGGCGGCGTTCGCGCGAGTGTGGGCTGCAGCGCGAGCGGAGGAGGAGGGCCGCTCGGCTGGACGTCGGGTCGAAGCGGAGGCTCGAGCGGCGGATGGCTGACGGTCGGCGGCGGCGGCGGCGCGTCGACGAGCAGCGGGGTGCTGTTTGTATCGAGCGGAAATGGCGGCGCAGCTGGTTCGAGCGGTCAGCTGGCCTTTAGCTCGGGGTTGAGCAATCTGGGAAACAGCGGTCGAATCACCATCGGTGTCGGCATTAGTACCAAGGGGCGCGGTGGGTCTGTACATGTGATCGTGGGAAGTGGCACTAGCGGGGTGGGGGCAATCTCGACGATAGTATCGGGTCGCGGGAGCGCCAGGGGCGGAGGGCCAACTGCAGTAGTCTCGAGAGAAGATGTTCTAGCTAGCAGTGGAATCATAAGCGTCACTTCGACGAATGGTGGCGCGAGCGGGGGCAGTGGCCGGCTCGCGTTTAGCTCGGGCTCGGCGGTGACAGGAAACACCGGAGACGTGGCCATGGGCTCAGGCTCGGCGACAGCCGGCCGCGGCGGGAGGATGGACTTGCACGTGGGAAGCGGGATAAGCGGCGCGGGGAGTCCAATCACGGTGCATGCGGCAAGAGGAAGCGAACATAGTGGTGGCGGCGTGGTCGCGACCTCCGGCGGCTCATCCGCAAGCAGCGGCACTCTGGCGGTTCGGAGCGGGGCCATTGGGATTGCAGGATCAAGCGGATGTGTATCGTTCAGCTCGGGATCTGCGAAGTCAGGAAACACTGGGTTGATAGCGCTTGACTCGGGCACCGCGTCAGGTGGTCGGAGCGGTGAAATAACGGTGAGTGGTGGCAGTGGGACTAGCGGCTTTGGTAGTCTAGTTGACCTAATCTCTGCGCCAAGCGTAGTTCTTGGTGGGCCTCTTACCTTGTGTGGCGGTCAGGGAGGGCAAGCCAGCAGCGGAACAATGTGCGTAAGCACGTTTAACGGAGGTGCAACTGGTTCGAGCGGTCAGCTGGCCTTTAGCTCGGGGTTGAGCAATCTGGGAAACAGCGGTCGGATCACCATCGGTGTCGGCATTAGTACCAAGGGGCGCGGTGGGTCTGTACATGTGATCGTGGGAAGTGGCACTAGCGGGGTGGGGGCAATCTCGACGATAGTATCGGGTCGCGGGAGCGCCAGGGGCGGAGGGCCAACTGCAGTAGTCTCGAGAGAAGATGTTCTAGCTAGCAGTGGAATCATAAGCGTCACTTCGACGAATGGTGGCGCGAGCGGGGGCAGTGGCCGGCTCGCGTTTAGCTCGGGCTCGGCGGTGACAGGAAACACCGGAGACGTGGCCATGGGCTCAGGCTCGGCGACAGCCGGCCGCGGCGGGAGGATGGACTTGCACGTGGGAAGCGGGATAAGCGGCGCGGGGAGTCCAATCACGGTGCATGCGGCAAGAGGAAGCGAACATAGTGGTGGCGGCGTGGTCGCGACCTCCGGCGGCTCATCCGCAAGCAGCGGCACTCTGGCGGTTCGGAGCGGGGCCATTGGGATTGCAGGATCAAGCGGATGTGTATCGTTCAGCTCGGGATCTGCGAAGTCAGGAAACACTGGGTTGATAGCGCTTGACTCGGGCACCGCGTCAGGTGGTCGGAGCGGTGCAATAATAGTGAGTGGTGGCAGTGGGACAAGTGGGGCGAATGCTGGTCTCAGCATAATCTTACAAAAAGTCAAATTGATGTCAGGCGGTGTACTGAATTTGATTAGTGGCGATGGCACCTGCTCAAGCAGCGGGTATCTCAGTCTCGGGTCGACAAACAGCGGAGCGAGTGGGTCGGGCGGCCGGTTGGCATTTAGCTCCGGGTCGTCCAAGGACGGGAACAGTGGAGCGGTTGCCCTCGGCTCTGGACCGAGCGTTGGAGGGCGGGCCGGAGTAGCGCGCGTCTCCGTCGGTAGTGGAACGAGCGGTTTGGGTGGCTCGACGTCGCTGGGCGCGGGGAGAAGCACCGGGACGACGGGCGGCGGCGTCTGCGTCGAGACGGGCGAAGGCACGGCCACAAGCGGCGGCGCGGTGTACGTTCGCACGGCGAACGGCGGCGGTGGCGGAGCGAGCAGCCAGCTGGTGTTCAGCTCAGGCTCGTCCAAGGAAGGCAACAGCGGCGCGCTGCTCGTCGGGTCTGGCGCGGCCTCGTCGGGGCGAGGCGGCGCGACTCGGCTGGGCGCGGGCAGCGGACGAGCGGGTCTGGAGGTGGCTTGAGCCTGGAGTCCGGTCGGCTCGACGCCACGGGCGGTACCCTCCGCGGGCTCCGGGAGGGGGACGACGGGCAGCGGCGGGCGCTGCGTATCGGCACGCCGTCTAACGCTGGCGCGGGCGCCGCGAGCGGGCGACTAGTGTTCAGCGCCGGAGCGTCGACCTCTGGCAACAGCGGGAGCGTCCGGTCGGGTCCGCGCGGGCGACCGGGCGGCCGGGCGGACGCGCGAGCGCGAAAGCGCCGGCAGCGGGACGAGTGGGCTTGGGGGCGCGTTGAGCCTGTTGTCTGGACGCAGCGACGTTGCGTCGGGTGGTCCTGAGTGCGACGAGCGGAGCGAAGCGCGTCGGCGAGCTCTGGGATCGCAATCATCTCGGGCGCCAACGCTGGCGCCGGGGTCGAGTGGGCGGCTGTGCTTTAGCTCCGGGTCGAGCAAGGCAGGAAACAGCGGGCGGCTGTGCGCCGGGCCGGACCGGCACGGTGGGCCGCGGGGCGCGGCAAGCGTGAGCGCTGGAAGTGGGACGCCGCGGGGCGGTGGCCTGACGTTTGCGGCCGGGCGCAGCAACGCGCCGAGCGGAGGGCGCGTGCTGACCGTCGGGGGCGAAGGAACCGCAGCAAGCAGTGGCCTGGTGCGCATCACGTCGGCAAACGGTGGAACCGCTGGCGCCAGCGGTCGGCTCGCGTTCAGCTCGGGCGCGCGGCGGCGGGAACGGAGGGGCGGCGAGCCTGGGGTCCGGCACGTCGACGGCACGCCGCGCCGGCGTCGTGGCCGTGAGCGCGGCGGCGGGACGAGCGGGTCTGGGGATCGATGATCGCGGCGGCGGGTCGGAGCGCGGCGGTCAGCGGGGGGCTTTCAGCGTCGACAGCGGGACGGAACCGCATCGAGTAGCGGCATGCTGGTCCTGGGAAGCGGCAATGCCGGAGCGACCGGAAGTAGCGGCCGACTCGTGTTCAGCTCGGGAACGGCCGCCGGAGGAAACAGCGGCGAGGTGCTCGTCGGATCTGGCTCGACGACAGGAGGTTGCGGAGGCGGCGTTCGCGCGAGTGTGGGCTGCAGCGCGAGCGGAGGAGGAGGGCCGCTCGGCTGGACGTCGGGTCGAAGCGGAGGCTCGAGCGGCGGATGGCTGACGGTCGGCGGCGGCGGCGGCGCGTCGACGAGCAGCGGGGTGCTGTTTGTATCGAGCGGAAATGGCGGCGCAGCTGGTTCGAGCGGTCAGCTGGCCTTTAGCTCGGGGTTGAGCAATCTGGGAAACAGCGGTCGAATCACCATCGGTGTCGGCATTAGTACCAAGGGGCGCGGTGGGTCTGTACATGTGATCGTGGGAAGTGGCACTAGCGGGGTGGGGGCAATCTCGACGATAGTATCGGGTCGCGGGAGCGCCAGGGGCGGAGGGCCAACTGCAGTAGTCTCGAGAGAAGATGTTCTAGCTAGCAGTGGAATCATAAGCGTCACTTCGACGAATGGTGGCGCGAGCGGGGGCAGTGGCCGGCTCGCGTTTAGCTCGGGCTCGGCGGTGACAGGAAACACCGGAGACGTGGCCATGGGTTCAGGCTCGGCGACAGCCGGCCGCGGCGGAGCGGCGACGGTGAGCGTCGGGAGCGGGACGAGCGGGGGCGGCGGGTCGACGCAACTGGCCTCCGGCAGGAGCGCGGCGACGAGCGGAGGGTCGGTCCTGGCCAGGACCGGCGAGGGCACCGCGGCGAGCGGCGGCGCGATCCGCATCTCGAGCGCAAATGCGGGCGCGACCGGCGCCAGCGGCGCGCTCAGGTTCGCCTCGGGGTCCTCGAAGGGTGGCAACAGCGGGCGGATTTGCGCCGGGACGGGCGCGTCGACCGCGGGTCGCGGCGGCGCGGTGCGAGTCGTGATCGGGAGCGGGACGAGCTCTGCCGGCGGCGTCCTTGTGTTGCAAGCCGGATCCAGCACGGAAGCGATCGGCGGCGGCGCGGGCGTGGCCTCGGGCCGCGGAGCCGGGACGAGCAGCGGCGTCGTGCGCGTGCGCGGCGCGAACGCTGGCGGCGGCGGTAGTAGCGGACGTCTGGTGTTCAGCTCGGGCACCGGCGCGACGGGCAACAGCGGCGGCGCGGTCCTGGGCTCCGGAACGGCGACGGCGGGCCGCGGCGGTCGGTCGCGCTGGTTGCGACCGCGGGCAGCGGGACGTCCGGGGCCGGAGGTGGCCTGGCCCTCGTCGCGGGCGCGACGCCGGTCGGGCCGGGCAAAGGGGACCGGAGGACGCGCAGTCGCCCTGGGAGGAGAGGGAACAGCGGCGTCGAGCGGCGCCGTGGAGGTGGCGAGCGCGAAAGGCGGCGCGAGCGGAGGCAGCGGGCGCCTGGTGTTTACCTCGGGAACGCCCAAGTCCGGGAACAGCGGGCCGCGAGCTTTGGCTCTGGCCGCGCGACCGGCGGAGGGGCGGCGCGGTCTCGGCGGCGGTCGGCAGCGGCACCAGCGGCGCGGGCGGCGCCGTCTGCGCGCGCGGTGGCGCGAGCACCGCGGCGACCGGAGGCGCCTGCGCGGCGGCGACGGCGGCGAGGGCAGCGCGGCGAGCGGCGGCGCCGTGCGCGTGGCGAGCGGGAACGCCGGAGGCGCCGGGTCGAGCGGGCGCCTGGTCTTCAGCTCCGGAACGTCGCAGACCGGCAACTCTGGCGCGGTGCTGCTGGGCTCGGGATCGGGCACCGCCGGCCGCGGGCGGAGCGGCGACGGTGAGCGTCGGGAGCGGGACGAGCGGGGCGGCGGGTCGACGCAGCTGGCCTCCGGCGGGAGCGCGGCGACGAGCGGAGGGTCGGTCCTGGCCAGGACCGGCGAGGGCACCGCGGGCGAGCGGCGGCGCGATCCGCATCTCGAGCGCAAATGCGGGCGCGACCGGCGCCAGCGGCGAGCTCAGGTTCGCCTCGGGGTCCTCGAAAGGTGGCAACAGCGGGCGGATTTGCGCCGGGACGGGCGCGTCGACCGCGTGGTCGCGCGCGCGCGGTGCGAGTCGTGATCGGGAGCGGGACGAGCTCTGCCGGCGGCGTCCTTGTGTTGCAAGCCGGGTCCAGCACGGAAGCGACCGGCGGCGGCGCGGGCGTGGCCTCGGGCCGCGGAGCCGGGACGAGCAGCGGCGTTGTGCGCGTCGCGCGCGCGCGCGAACGCTGGCGGCGGCGGTAGTAGCGGACGTCTGGCGTTCAGCTCGGGCACCGGCGCGACGGGCAACAGCGGCGGCGCGGTCCTGGGCTCCGAACGGCGACGGCGGGTCAGCGGCGGTCGCGCGGTTGCGACCGCTGGCAGCGGGACGTCCGGGGCGGAGGTGGCCTGGCCCTCGTCGCGGGCCGCGACGCGGTCGGGGCCGGGGCAAAGGGGACCGGAGGACGCGCAGTCGCCCTGGGAGGAGAGGGAACAGCGGCGTCGAGCGGCGCCGTGGAGGTGGCGAGCGCGAAAGGCGGCGCGAGCGGAGGCAGCGGGCGCCTGGTGTTTACCTCGGGAATGTCCAAGTCCGGGAACAGCGGGGCCGCGAGCTTTGGCTCTGGCGGCGCGACCGGGGGGGGGCGGCGCGGTCTCGGCGGGCGGTCGGCAGCGGCACCAGCGGCGCGGGCGGCGCCGTCTGCGCGCGCGGTGGCGCGAGCACCGCGGCGACCGGAGGCGCCTGCGCGGCGACGGGCGGCGAGGGCAGCGCGGCGAGCGGCGGCGCCGCGCGCGCGTGGCGAGCGGAACGCCGGAGGCGCCAGGTCGAGCGGGCGCCTGGTCTTCAGCTCGGAACGTCGCAGACCGGCAACTCTGGCGCGGTGCTGCTGGGCTCAGGATCGGCACCGCCGGCCGCGGCGGAGCGGCGACGGTGGCGTTGGGAGCGGGACGAGCGGGGGCGGCGGGTCGACGCAGCTGGCCTCCGGCGGGAGCGCGGCGACGAGCGGAGGGTCGGTCCTGGCCAGGACCGGCGAGGGCACCGCGGCGAGCGGCGGCGCGATCCGCATCTCGAGCGCAAATGCGGGCGCGACCGGCGCCAGCGGCGCGCTCAGGTTCGCCTCGGGGTCCTCGAAAGGTGGCAACAGCGGGCGGATTTGCGCCGGCACGGGCGCGTCGACCGCGGGTCGCGGCGGCGCGGTGCGAGTCGTGATCGGGAGCGGGACGAGCTCTGCCGGCGGCGTCCTTGTGTTGCAAGCCGGGTCCAGCACGGAAGCGACCGGCGGCGGCGCGGGCGTGGCCTCGGGCCGCGGAGCCGGGACGAGCAGCGGCGTCGTGCGCGTGCGCGGCGCGAACGCTGGCGGCGGCGGTAGTAGCGGACGTCTGGCGTTCAGCTCGGGCACCGGCGCGACGGGCAACAGCGGCGGCGCGGTCCTGGGCTCCGGAACGGCGACGGCGGGCCGCGGCGGTCGCGCGGTTGCGACCGCGGGCAGCGGGACGTCCGGGGCCGGAGGTGGCCTGGCCCTCGTCGCGGGCCGCGACGCGGTCGGGGCCGGGGCAAAGGGGACCGGAGGACGCGCAGTCGCCCTGGGAGGAGAGGGAACAGCGGCGTCGAGCGGCGCCGTGGAGGTGGCGAGCGCGAAAGGCGGCGCGAGCGGAGGCAGCGGGCGCCTGGTGTTTACCTCGGGAATGTCCAAGTCCGGGAACAGCGGGGCCGCGAGCTTTGGCTCTGGCGGCGCGACCGGCGGGAGGGGCGGCGCGGTCTCGGCGGCGGTCGGCAGCGGCACCAGCGGCGCGGGCGGCGCCGTCTGCGCGCGCTGGCGCGCGAGCACCGCGGCGACCGGGAGGCGCCTGCGCGGCGACGGGCGGCGAGGGCAGCGCGGCGAGCGGCGGCGCCGTGCGCGTGGCGAGCGGGAACGCCGGAGGTGCCGGGTCGAGCGGGCGCCTGGTTTTCAGCTCCGGAACGTCGCAGACCGGCAACTCTGGCGCGGTGCTGCTGGGCTCGGTCGGGCGGGCACCGCCGGCCGCGGGGAGCGGCGACGGTGAGCGTCGGGAGCGGGACGAGCGGGGGCGGCGGGTCGACGCAGCTGGCCTCCGGCGGGAGCGCGGCGACGAGCGGAGGGTCGGTCCTGGCCAGGACCGGCGAGGGCACCGCGGCGAGCGGCGGCGCGATCCGCATCTCGAGCGCAAATGCGGGCGCGGCCGGCGCCAGCGGCGCGCTCAGGTTCGCCTCGGGGTCCTCGAAAGGTGGCAACAGCGGGCGGATTTGCGCCGGCACGGGCGCGTCGACCGCGGGTCGCGGCGGCGCGGTGCGAGTCGTGATCGGGAGCGGACGAGCTCTGCCGGCGGCGTCCTTGTGTTGCAAGCCGGGTCCAGCACGGAAGCGACCGGCGGCGGCGCGGGCGTGGCCTCGGGCCGCTGGAGCCGGGACGAGCAGCGGCGTTGTCGCGCGCGTCGCGCGCGCGCGAACGCTGGCGGCGGCGGTAGTAGCGGACGTCTGGCGTTCAGCTCGGGCACCGGCGCGACGGGCAACAGCGGCGGCGCGGTCCTGGGCTCCGAACGGCGACGGCGGGTCAGCGGGGGTCGGTCGCGCGGGTTGCGACCGCGGGCAGCGGGACGTCCGGGGCCGGAGGTGGCCTGGCCCTCGTCGCGGGCCGCGACGCGGTCGGGGCCGGGGCAAAGGGGACCGGAGGACGCGCAGTCGCCCTGGGAGGAGAGGGAACAGCGGCGTCGAGCGGCGCCGTGGAGGTGGCGAGCGCGAAAGGCGGCGCGAGCGGAGGCAGCGGGCGCCTGGTGTTTACCTCGGGGACGTCCAAGTCCGGGAACAGCGGGGCCGCGAGCTTTGGCTCTGGTGGCGCGACCGGCGGGAGGGGCGGCGCGGTCTCGGCGGCGGTCGGCAGCGGCACCAGCGGCGCGGGCGGCGCCGTCTGCGCGCGCGGTGGCGCGAGCACCGCGGCGACCGGAGGCGCCTGCGCGGCGACGGGCGGCGAGGGCAGCGCGGCGAGCGGCGGCGCCGTGCGCGTGGCGAGCGGGAACGCCGGAGGCGCCGGGTCGAGCGGGCGCCTGGTCTTCAGCTCCGAACGTCGCAGACCGGCAACTCTGGCGCGGTGCTGCTGGGCTCAGGATCGGGCACCGCCGGCCGCGGCGGAGCGGCGACGGTGAGCGTCGGGAGCGGGACGAGCGGGGGCGGCGGGTCGACGCAGCTGGCCTCCGGCGGGAGCGCGGCGACGAGCGGAGGGTCGGTCCGGGCCCGGACCGGCGAGGGCACCGCGGCGAGCGGCGGCGCGATCCGCATCTCGAGCGCAAATGCGGGCGCGGCCGGCGCCAGCGGCGCGCTCAGGTTCGCCTCGGGGTCCTCGAAGGGTGGCAACAGCGGGCGGATTTGCGCCGGGACGGGCGCGTCGACCGCGGGTCGCGGCGGCGCGGTGCGAGTCGTGATCGGGAGCGGGACGAGCTCTGCCGCCGGCGGCGCCCTTGTGTTGCAAGCCGGGTCCAGCACGGAAGCGACCGGCGGCCGGCGGCGCTGGCGTGGCCTCGGGCCGCGGAGCCGGGACGAGCAGCGGCGTCGTGCGCGTGCGCGGCGCGAACGCTGGCGGCGGCGGTAGTAGCGGACGTCTGGCGTTCAGCTCGGGCACCGGCGCGACGGGCAACAGCGGCGGCGCGGTCCTGGGCTCCGAACGGCGACGGCGGGTCAGCGGCGGTCGCGCGGTTGCGACCGCGGCAGCGGACGTCCGGGGCCGGAGGTGGCCTGGCCCTCGTCGCGGGCGCGACGCGGTCGGGGCCGGGGCAAAGGGGACCGGAGGACGCGCAGTCGCCCTGGGAGGAGAGGGAACAGCGGCGTCGAGCGGCGCCGTGGAGGTGGCGAGCGCGAAAGGCGGCGCGAGCGGAGGCAGCGGGCGCCTGGTGTTTACCTCGGGGGCGCCCAAGTCCGGGAACAGCGGGGCCGCGAGCTTTGGCTCTGGCGGCGCGACCGGCGGGAGGGGCGGCGCGGTCTCGGCGGCGGTCGGCAGCGGCACAGCGGCGCGGGCGGCGCCGTCTGCGCGCGCGGCGGCGGCGCGAGCACCGCGGCGACCGGAGGCGCCTGCGCGGCGACGGGCGGCGAGGGCAGCGCGGCGAGCGGCGGCGCCGTGCGCGTGGCGAGCGGGAACGCCGGAGGTGCCGGGTCGAGCGGGCGCCTGGTTTTCAGCTCCGGAACGTCGCAGACCGGCAACTCTGGCGCGGTGCTGCTGGGCTCGGGATCGGGCACCGCCGGCCGCGGCGGAGCGGCGACGGTGAGCGTCGGGAGCGGGACGAGCGGGGGCGGCGGGTCGACGCAGCTGGCCTCCGGCGGGAGCGCGGCGACGAGCGGAGGGTCGGTCCTGGCCAGGACCGGCGAGGGCACCGCGGCGAGCGGCGGCGCGATCCGCATCTCGAGCGCAAATGCGGGCGCGGCCGGCGCCAGCGGCGCGCTCAGGTTCGCCTCGGGGTCCTCGAAAGGTGGCAACAGCGGGCGGATTTGCGCCGGCACGGGCGCGTCGACCGCGGGTCGCGGCGGCGCGGTGCGAGTCGTGATCGGGAGCGGGACGAGCTCTGCCGGCGGCGTCCTTGTGTTGCAAGCCGGGTCCAGCACGGAAGCGATCGGCGGCGGCGCGGGCGTGGCCTCGGGCCGCGGAGCCGGGACGAGCAGCGGCGTCGTGCGCGTGCGCGGCGCGAACGCTGGCGGCGGCGGTAGTAGCGGACGTCTGGCGTTCAGCTCGGGCACCGGCGCGACGGGCAACAGCGGCGGCGCGGTCCTGGGCTCCGGAACGGCGACGGCGGGCCAGCGCGGCGGTCGCGCGGTTGCGACCGCGGCAGCGGGACGTCCGGGGCCGGAGGTGGCCTGGCCCTCGTCGCGGGCCGCGACGCGGTCGGGGCCGGGGCAAAGGGGACCGGAGGACGCGCAGTCGCCCTGGGAGGAGAGGGAACAGCGGCGTCGAGCGGCGCCGTGGAGGTGGCGAGCGCGAAAGGCGGCGCGAGCGGAGGCAGCGGGCGCCTGGTGTTTACCTCGGGACGTCCAAGTCCGGGAACAGCGGGCCGCGAGCTTTGGCTCTGGCGGCGCGACCGGGCGGGAGGGGCGGCGCGGTCTCGGCGGCGGTCGGCAGCGGCACCAGCGGCGCTGGCGGCGCCGTCTGCGCGCGCGGTGGCGCGAGCACCGCGGCGACCGGAGGCGCCTGCGCGGCGACGGGCGGCGAGGGCAGCGCGGCGAAGCGGCGGCGCCGTGCGCGTGGCGGCGAACGCCGGAGGCGCCGGGTCGAGCGGGCGCCTGGTCTTCAGCTCCGAACGTCGCAGACCGGCAACTCTGGCGCGGTGCTGCTGGGCTCGGATCGGGCACCGCCGGCCGCGGCGGAGCGGCGACGGTGAGCGTCGGGAGCGGGACGAGCGGGGGCGGCGGGTCGACGCAGCTGGCCTCCGGCGGGAGCGCGGCGACGAGCGGAGGGTCGGTCCTGGCCAGGACCGGCGAGGGCACCGCGGCGAGCGGCGGCGCGATCCGCATCTCGAGCGCAAAATGCGGGCGCGACCGGCGCCAGCGGCGCGCTCAGGTTCGCCTCGGGGGTCCTCGAAGGGTGGCAACAGCGGGCGGATTTGCGCCGGGACGGGCGCGTCGACCGCGGGTCGCGGCGGCGCGGTGCGAGTCGTGATCGGGAGCGGGACGAGCTCTGCCGGGCGGCGCCCTTGTGTTGCAAGCCGGGTCCAGCACGGAAGCGACCGGCGGCGGCGCGGGCGTGGCCTCGGGCCGCGGAGCCGGGACGAGCAGCGGCGTCGTCGTGCGCGTGCGCGCGCGAACGCTGGCGGCGGCGGTAGTAGCGGACGTCTGGCGTTCAGCTCGGGCACCGGCGCGACGGGCAACAGCGGCGGCGCGGTCCTGGGCTCCGAACGGCGACGGCGGGTCAGCGGGCGGTCGCGCGGTTGCGACCGCGGGCAGCGGGACGTCCGGGGCCGGAGGTGGCCTGGCCCTCGTCGCGGGCGCGACGCGGTCGGGGCCGGGGCAAAGGGGACCGGAGGACGCGCAGTCGCCCTGGGAGGAGAGGGAACAGCGGCGTCGAGCGGCGCCGTGGAGGTGGCGAGCGCGAAAGGCGGCGCGAGCGGAGGCAGCGGGCGCCTGGTGTTTACCTCGGGACGCCCAAGTCCGGGAACAGCGGGCCGCGAGCTTTGGCTCTGGCGGCGCGACCGGCGGGAGGGGCGGCGCGGTCTCGGGCGGCGGTCGGCAGCGGCACCAGCGGCGCGGGCGGCGCCGTCTGCGCGCGCGCGGCGGCGCGAGCACCGCGGCGACCGGAGGCGCCTGCGCGGCGACGGGCGGCGAGGGCAGCGCGGCGAGCGGCGGCGCCGCGCGCGCGGGCGAGCGGGAACGCCGGAGGTGCCGGGTCGAGCGGGCGCCTGGTCTTCAGCTCCGGAACGTCGCAGACCGGCAACTCTGGCGCGGTGCTGCTGGGCTCGGGATCGGGCACCGCCGGCCGCGGCGGAGCGGCGACGGTGAGCGTCGGGAGCGGGACGAGCGGGGGCGGCGGGTCGACGCAGCCATTCTCCGGCGGGAGCGCGGCGACGAGCGGAGGGTCGGTCCTGGCCAGGACCGGCGAGGGCACCGCGGCGAGCGGCGGCGCGATCCGCATCTCGAGCGCAAATGCGGGCGCGACCGGCGCCAGCGGCGCGCTCAGGTTCGCCTCGGGGTCCTCGAAAGGTGGCAACAGCGGGCGGATTTGCGCCGGGACGGGCGCGACCGACCGCGGTCGCGGCGGCGCGGTGCGAGTCGTGATCGGGAGCGGGACGGCTCTGCCGGCGGCGTCCTTGTGTTGCAAGCCGGGTCCAGCACGGAAGCGACCGGCGGCGGCGCTGGCGTGGCCTCGGGCCGCGGAGCCGGGACGAGCAGCGGCGTCGTGCGCGTGCGCGGCGCGAACGCGGGCGGCGGCGGTAGTAGCGGACGTCTGGCGTTCAGCTCGGGCACCGGCGCGACGGGCAACAGCGGCGGCGCGGTCCTGGGCTCCGAACGGCGACGGCGGGTCAGCGGCGGTCGCGCGGGTTGCGACCGCGGGCAGCGGGACGTCCGGGGCCGGAGGTGGCCTGGCCCTCGTCGCGGGCGCGACGCGGTCGGGGCCGGGGCAAAGGGGACCGGAGGACGCGCAGTCGCCCTGGGAGGAGAGGGAACAGCGGCGTCGAGCGGCGCCGTGGAGGTGGCGAGCGCGAAAGGCGGCGCGAGCGGAGGCAGCGGGCGCCTGGTGTTTACCTCGGGGACGTCCAAGTCCGGGAACAGCGGGGCCGCGAGCTTTGGCTCTGGCGGCGCGACCGGCGGGAGGGGCGGCGCGGTCTCGGCGGCGGTCGGCAGCGGCACCAGCGGCGCGGGCGGCGCCGTCTGCGCGCGCGGTGGCGCGAGCACCGCGGCGACCGGAGGCGCCTGCGCGGCGACGGGCGGCGAGGGCAGCGCGGCGAGCGGCGGCGCCGTGCGCGTGGCGAGCGGGAACGCCGGAGGCGCCGGGTCGAGCGGGCGCCTGGTCTTTAGCTCCGGAACGTCGCAGACCGGCAACTCTGGCGCGGTGCTGCTGGGCTCGGGATCGGGCACCGCCGGCCGCGGCGGAGCGGCGACGGTGCGCGTCGGGAGCGGACGAGCGGGGGCGGCGGGTCGACGCAGCTGGCCTCCGGCGGGAGCGCGGCGCCGAGCGGAGGGTCGGTCCGGGCCAGGACCGGCGAGGGCACCGCGGCGAGCGGCGGCGCGATCCGCATCTCGAGCGCAAATGCGGGCGCGACCGGCGCCAGCGGCGCGCTCAGGTTCGCCTCGGGGTCCTCGAAGGGTGGCAACAGCGGGCGGATTTGCGCCGGGACGGGCGCGTCGACCGCGGGTCGCGGCGGCGCGGTGCGAGTCGTGATCGGGAGCGGGACGAGCTCTGCCGGCGGCGTCCTTGTGTTGCAAGCCGGGTCCAGCACGGAAGCGACCGGCGGCGGCGCTGGCGTGGCCTCGGGCCGCGGAGCCGGGACGAGCAGCGGCGTCGTGCGCGCGCGGCGCGAACGCTGGCGGCGGCGGTAGTAGCGGACGTCTGGCGTTCAGCTCGGGCACCGGCGCGACGGGCAACAGCGGCGGCGCGGTCCTGGGCTCCGAACGGCGACGGCGGGCAGCGGGCGGTCGCGCGGTTGCGACCGCGGGCAGCGGGACGTCCGGGGCCGGAGGTGGCCTGGCCCTCGTCGCGGGCGCGACGCGGTCGGGGCCGGGGCAAAGGGGACCGGAGGACGCGCAGTCGCCCTGGGAGGAGAGGGAACAGCGGCGTCGAGCGGCGCCGTGGAGGTGGCGAGCGCGAAAGGCGGCGCGAGCGGAGGCAGCGGGCGCCTGGTGTTTACCTCGGGGACGTCCAAGTCCGGGAACAGCGGGGCCGCGAGCTTTGGCTCTGGCGGCGCGACCGGCGGGAGGGGCGGCGCGGTCTCGGCGGCGGTCGGCAGCGGCACCAGCGGCGCGGGCGGCGCCGTCTGCGCGCGCGGTGGCGCGAGCACCGCGGCGACCGGAGGCGCCTGCGCGGCGACGGGCGGCGAGGGCAGCGCGGCGAGCGGCGGCGCCGTGCGCGTGGCGAGCGGGAACGCCGGAGGTGCCGGGTCGAGCGGGCGCCTGGTCTTCAGCTCCGGAACGTCGCAGACCGGCAACTCTGGCGCGGTGCTGCTGGGCTCGGGATCGGGCACCGCCGGCCGCGGCGGAGCGGCGACGGTGAGCGTCGGGAGCGGGACGAGCGGGGGCGGCGGGTCGACGCAGCTGGCCTCCGGCGGGAGCGCGGCGACGAGCGGAGGGTCGGTCCTGGCCAGGACCGGCGAGGGCACCGCGGCGAGCGGCGGCGCGATCCGCATCTCGAGCGCAAATGCGGGCGCGACCGGCGCCAGCGGCGCGCTCAGGTTCGCCTCGGGGTCCTCGAAAGGTGGCAACAGCGGGCGGATTTGCGCCGGGACGGGCGCGTCGACCGCGGGTCGCGGCGGCGCGGTGCGAGTCGTGATCGGGAGCGGGACGAGCTCTGCCGGCGGCGTCCTTGTGTTGCAAGCCGGGTCCAGCACGGAAGCGACCGGCGGCGGCGCGGGCGTGGCCTCGGGCCGCGGAGCCGGGACGAGCAGCGGCGTCGTGCGCGTGCGCGGCGCGAACGCTGGCGGCGGCGGTAGTAGCGGACGTCTGGCGTTCAGCTCGGGCACCGGCGCGACGGGCAACAGCGGCGGCGCGGTCCTGGGCTCCGGAACGGCGACGGCGGGCCGCGGCGGTCGCGCGGTTGCGACCGCGGGCAGCGGGACGTCCGGGGCCGGAGGTGGCCTGGCCCTCGTCGCGGGCCGCGACGCGGTCGGGGCCGGGGCAAAGGGGACCGGAGGACGCGCAGTCGCCCTGGGAGGAGAGGGAACAGCGGCGTCGAGCGGCGCCGTGGAGGTGGCGAGCGCGAAAGGCGGCGCGAGCGGAGGCAGCGGGCGCCTGGTGTTTACCTCGGGGACGTCCAAGTCCGGGAACAGCGGGGCCGCGAGCTTTGGCTCTGGCGGCGCGACCGGCGGGAGGGGCGGCGCGGTCTCGGCGGCGGTCGGCAGCGGCACCAGCAGGCGCGGGCGGCGCCGTCTGCGCGCGCGGGTGGCGCGAGCACCGCGGCGACCGGAGGCGCCTGCGCGGCGACGGGCGGCGAGGGCAGCGCGGCGAGCGGCGGCGCCGTGCGCGTGGCGAGCGGGAACGCCGGAGGCGCCGGGTCGAGCGGGCGCCTGGTCTTCAGCTCCGGAACGTCGCAGACCGGCAACTCTGGCGCGGTGCTGCTGGGCTCGGGATCAGGCACCGCCGGCCGCGGCGGAGCGGCGACGGTGAGCGTCGGGAGCGGGACGAGCGGGGGCGGCGGGTCGACGCAGCTGGCCTCCGGCGGGAGCGCGGCGACGAGCGGAGGGTCGGTCCTGGCCAGGACCGGCGAGGGCACCGCGGCGAGCGGCGGCGCGATCCGCATCTCGAGCGCAAATGCGGGCGCGACCGGCGCCAGCGGCGCGCTCAGGTTCGCCTCGGGGTCCTCGAAGGGTGGCAACAGCGGGCGGATTTGCGCCGGGACGGGCGCGTCGACCGCGGGTCGCGGCGGCGCGGTGCGAGTCGTGATCGGGAGCGGGACGAGCTCTGCCGGCGGCGTCCTTGTGTTGCAAGCCGGGTCCAGCACGGAAGCGACCGGCGGCGGCGCGGGCGTGGCCTCGGGCCGCGGAGCCGGGACGAGCAGCGGCGTCGTGCGCGTGCGCGGCGCGAACGCTGGCGGCGGCGGTAGTAGCGGACGTCTGGCGTTCAGCTCGGGCACCGGCGCGACGGGCAACAGCGGCGGCGCGGTCCTGGGCTCCGAACGGCGACGGCGGGCCGCGGCGGTCGCGCTGTTGCGACCGCGGCAGCGGGACGTCCGGGGCCGGAGGTGGCCTGGCCCTCGTCGCGGGCGCGACGCGGTCGGGGCCGGGGCAAAGGGGACCGGAGGACGCGCAGTCGCCCTGGGAGGAGAGGGAACAGCGGCGTCGAGCGGCGCCGTGGAGGTGGCGAGCGCGAAAGGCGGCGCGAGCGAGGCAGCGGGCGCCTGGTGTTTACCTCGGGACGCCAAAGTCCGGGAACAGCGGGGCCGCGAGCTTTGGCTCTGGCGGCGCGACCGGCGGGAGGGGCGGCGCGGTCTCGGCGGCGGTCGGCAGCGGCACCAGCGGCGCGGGCGGCGCCGTCTGCGCGCGCGGTGGCGCGAGCACCGCGGCGACCGGAGGCGCCTGCGCGGCGACGGGCGGCGAGGGCAGCGCGGCGAGCGGCGGCGCCGTGCGCGTGGCGAGCGGGAACGCCGGAGGCGCCGGGTCGAGCGGGCGCCTGGTCTTCAGCTCCGAACGTCGCAGACCGGCAACTCTGGCGCGGTGCTGCTGGGCTCGGGATCGGGCACCGCCGGCCGCGGCGGAGCGGCGACGGTGAGCGTCGGGAGCGGGACGAGCGGGGGCGGCGGGTCGACGCAGCTGGCCTCCGGCGGGAGCGCGGCGACGAGCGGAGGGTCGGTCCTGGCCAGGACCGGCGAGGGCACCGCGGCGGCGGCAGCGGCGCGATCCGCATCTCGAGCGCAAATGCGGGCGCGACCGGCGCCAGCGGCGCGCTCAGGTTTGCCTCGGGGTCCTCGAAAGGTGGCAACAGCGGGCGGATTTGCGCCGGGACGGGCGCGTCGACCGCTGGTCGCGCGGCGCGGTGCGAGTCGTGATCGGGAGCGGACGAGCTCGCCGGCGGCGTCCTTGTGTTGCAAGCCGGGTCCAGCACGGAAGCGATCGGCGGCGGCGCTGGCGTGGCCTCGGGCCGCGGAGCCGGGACGAGCAGCGGCGTCGTGCGCGTGCGCGCGCGCGCGCGAACGCTGGCGGCGGCGGTAGTAGCGGACGTCTGGCGTTCAGCTCGGGCACCGGCGCGACGGGCAACAGCGGCGGCGCGGTCCTGGGCTCCGAACGGCGACGGCGGGTCAGCGGCGGTCGCGCGGTTGCGACCGCGGGCAGCGGGACGTCCGGGGCCGGAGGTGGCCTGGCCCTCGTCGCGGGCGCGACGCGGTCGGGGCCGGGGCAAAGGGGACCGGAGGACGCGCAGTCGCCCTGGGTGGAGAGGGAACAGCGGCGTCGAGCGGCGCCGTGGAGGTGACGAGCGCGAAAGGCGGCGCGAGCGGAGGCAGCGGGCGCCTGGTGTTTACCTCGGGGACGTCCAAGTCCGGGAACAGCGGGGCCGCGAGCTTTGGCTCTGGCCGCGCGACCGGCGGGAGGGGCGGCGCGGTCTCGGCGGCGGTCGGCAGCGGCACCAGCGGCGCGGGCGGCGCCGTCTGCGCGCGCGGTGGCGCGAGCACCGCGGCGACCGGAGGCGCCTGCGCGGCGACGGGCGGCGAGGGCAGCGCGGCGAGCGGCGGCGCCGTGCGCGTGGCGAGCGGGAACGCCGGAGGCGCCGGGTCGAGCGGGCGCCTGGTCTTCAGCTCCGGAACGTCGCAGACCGGCAACTCTGGCGCGGTGCTGCTGGGCTCGGATCAGGCACCGCCGGCCGCGGCGGAGCGGCGACGGTGAGCGTCGGGAGCGGGACGAGCGGGGGCGGCGGGTCGACGCAGCTGGCCTCCGGCGGGAGCGCGGCGACGAGCGGAGGGTCGGTCCTGGCCAGGACCGGCGAGGGCACCGCGGCGAGCGCGGCGGCGCGATCCGCATCTCGAGCGCAAATGCGGGCGCGACCGGCGCCAGCGGCGCGCTCAGGTTCGCCTCGGGGTCCTCGAAGGGTGGCAACAGCGGGCGGATTTGCGCCGGGACGGGCGCGTCGACCGCGGGTCGCGGCGCGGTGCGAGTCGTGATCGGGAGCGGACGAGCTCGCCGGCGGCGTCCTTGTGTTGCAAGCCGGGTCCAGCACGGAAGCGACCGGCGGCGGCGCGGGCGTGGCCTCGGGCCGCGGAGCCGGGACGAGCAGCGGCGTCGTCGCGTCGCGCGCGCGCGAACGCTGGCGGCGGCGGTAGTAGCGGACGTCTGGCGTTCAGCTCGGGCACCGGCGCGACGGGCAACAGCGGCGGCGCGGTCCTGGGCTCCGGAACGGCGACGGCGGGCCGCGGCGGTCGCGCGGTTGCGACCGCGGGCAGCGGGACGTCCGGGGCCGGAGGTGGCCTGGCCCTCGTCGCGGGCCGCGACGCGGTCGGGGCCGGGGCAAAGGGGACCGGAGGACGCGCAGTCGCCCTGGGAGGAGAGGGAACAGCGGCGTCGAGCGGCGCCGTGGAGGTGACGAGCGCGAAAGGCGGCGCGAGCGGAGGCAGCGGGCGCCTGGTGTTTACCTCGGGAACGTCCAAGTCCGGGAACAGCGGGGCCGCGGGCTTTGGCTCTGGCCGCGCGACCGGCGGGAGGGGCGGCGCGGTCTCGGCGGCGGTCGGCAGCGGCACCAGCGGCGCGGGCGGCGCCGTCTGCGCGCGCGGTGGCGCAAGCACCGCGGCGACCGGAGGCGCCTGCGCGGCGACGGGCGGCGAGGGCGGCGCGGCGAGCGGCGGCGCCGTGCGCGTGGCGAGCGGGAACGCCGGAGGCGCCGGGTCGAGCGGGCGCCTGGTCTTTAGCTCCGGAACGTCGCAGACCGGCAACTCTGGCGCGGTGCTGCTGGGCTCGGGATCGGGCACCGCCGGCCGCGGCGGAGCGGCGACGGTGAGCGTCGGGAGCGGGACGAGCGGGGGCGGCGGGTCGACGCAGCTGGCCTCCGGCGGGAGCGCGGCGACGAGCGGAGGGTCGGTCCTGGCCAGGATCGGCGAGGGCACCGCGGCGAGCGGCGGCGCGATCCGCATCTCGAGCGCAAATGCGGGCGCGACCGGCGCCAGCGGCGCGCTCAGGTTCGCCTCGGGGTCCTCGAAAGGTGGCAACAGCGGGCGGATTTGCGCCGGGACGGGCGCGTCGACCGCGGGTCGCGGCGGCGCGGTGCGAGTCGTGATCGGGAGCGGACGAGCTCTGCCGGCGGCGTCCCTTGTGTTGCAAGCCGGGTCCAGCACGGAAGCGACCGGCGGCGGCGCGGCGTGGCCTCGGGCCGCGGAGCCGGGACGAGCAGCGGCGTCGTGCGCGTGCGCGCGCGCGAACGCTGGCGGCGGCGGTAGTAGCGGACGTCTGGCGTTCAGCTCGGGCACCGGCGCGACGGGCAACAGCGGCGGCGCGGTCCTGGGCTCCGAACGGCGACGGCGGGCCGCGGCGGTCGCGCGGTTGCGACCGCGGGCAGCGGGACGTCCGGGGCCGGAGGTGGCCTGGCCCTCGTCGCGGGCGGGCGCGACGCGGTCGGGCCGGGCAAAGGGGACCGGAGGACGCGCAGTCGCCCTGGGAGGAGAGGGAACAGCGGCGTCGAGCGGCGCCGTGGAGGTGACGAGCGCGAAAGGCGGCGCGAGCGGAGGCAGCGGGCGCCTGGTGTTTACCTCGGGGACGCCCAAGTCCGGGAACAGCGGGGCCGCGAGCTTTGGCTCTGGCGGCGCGACCGGCGGGAGGGGCGGCGCGGTCTCGGCGGCGGTCGGCAGCGGCACCAGCGGCGCGGGCGGCGCCGTCTGCGCGCGCGGCGGCGCGAGCACCGCGGGCGACCGGAGGCGCCTGCGCGGCGACGGGCGGCGAGGGCAGCGCGGCGAGCGGCGGCGCCGTGCGCGTGGCGAGCGGGAACGCCGGAGGCGCCGGGTCGAGCGGGCGCCTGGTCTTTAGCTCCGAACGCGCAGACCGGCAACTCTGGCGCGGTGCTGCTGGGCTCGGATCGGGCACCGCCGGCCGCGGCGGAGCGGCGACGGTGAGCGTCGGGAGCGGGACGAGCGGGGGCGGCGGGTCGACGCAGCTGGCCTCCGGCGGGCGCGCGGCGACGAGCGGAGGGTCGGTCCGGGCCAGGACCGGCGAGGGCACCGCGGCGAGCGGCGGCGCGATCCGCATCTCGAGCGCAAATGCGGGCGCGACCGGCGCCAGCGGCGCGCTCAGGTTCGCCTCGGGGTCCTCGAAAGGTGGCAACAGCGGGCGGATTTGCGCCGGGACGGGCGCGCCGACCGCGGGTCGCGGCGGCGCGGTGCGAGTCGTGATCGGGAGCGGACGAGCTCTCTGCCGGCGGCGTCCTTGTGTTGCAAGCCGGGTCCAGCACGGAAGCGATCGGCGGCGGCGCTGGCGTGGGCCTCGGGCCGCGGAGCCGGGACGAGCAGCGGCGTCGTGCGCGTCGCGCGGCGCGAACGCTGGCGGCGGCGGTAGTAGCGGACGTCTGGCGTTCAGCTCGGGCACCGGCGCGACGGGCAACAGCGGCGGCGCGGTCCTGGGCTCCGAACGGCGACGGCGGGTCAGCGGCGGTCGCGCGGTTGCGACCGCTGGCAGCGGGACGTCCGGGGCCGGAGGTGGCCTGGCCCTCGTCGCGGGCCGCGACGCGGTCGGGGCCGGGGCAAAGGGGACCGGAGGACGCGCAGTCGCCCTGGGAGGAGAGGGAACAGCGGCGTCGAGCGGCGCCGTGGAGGTGGCGAGCGCGAAAGGCGGCGCGAGCGGAGGCAGCGGGCGCCTGGTGTTTACCTCGGGGACGTCCAAGTCCGGGAACAGCGGGGCCGCGAGCTTTGGCTCTGGCGGCGCGACCGGCGGGAGGGGCGGCGCGGTCTCGGCGGCGGTCGGCAGCGGCACCAGCGGCGCGGGCGGCGCCGTCTGCGCGCGCGGTGGCGCGAGCACCGCGGCGACCGGAGGCGCCTGCGCGGCGACGGGCGGCGAGGGCAGCGCGGCGAGCGGCGGCGCCGTGCGCGTGGCGAGCGGGAACGCCGGAGGCGCCGGGTCGAGCGGGCGCCTGGTCTTTAGCTCCGGAACGTCGCAGACCGGCAACTCTGGCGCGGTGCTGCTGGGCTCGGGATCGGGCACCGCCGGCCGCGGCGGAGCGGCGACGGTGAGCGTCGGGAGCGGGACGAGCGGGGGCGGCGGGTCGACGCAGCTGGCCTCCGGCGGGAGCGCGGCGACGAGCGGAGGGTCGGTCCTGGCCAGGACCGGCGAGGGCACCGCGGCGAGCGGCGGCGCGATCCGCATCTCGAGCGCAAATGCGGGCGCGACCGGCGCCAGCGGCGCGCTCAGGTTCGCCTCGGGGTCCTCGAAAGGTGGCAACAGCGGGCGGATTTGCGCCGGGACGGGCGCGTCGACCGCGGGTCGTCGGCGCGCGGTGCGCGTCGTGATCGGGAGCGGGACGAGCTCGCCGGCGGCGTCCTTGTGTTGCAAGCCGGGTCCAGCACGGAAGCGACCGGCGGCGGCGCGGGCGTGGCCTCGGGCCGCTGGAGCCGGGACGAGCAGCGGCGTCGTCGCGCGCGCGCGGGCGCGAACGCTGGCGGCGGCGGTAGTAGCGGACGTCTGGCGTTCAGCTCGGGCACCGGCGCGGCGGGCAACAGCGGCGGCGCGGTCCTGGGCTCCGGAACGGCGACGGCGGGCCGCGGCGGTCGCGCGGTTGCGACCGCGGGCAGCGGGACGTCCGGGGCCGGAGGTGGCCTGGCCCTCGTCGCGGGCCGCGACGCGGTCGGGGCCGGGGCAAAGGGGACCGGAGGACGCGCAGTCGCCCTGGGTGGAGAGGGAACAGCGGCGTCGAGCGGCGCCGTGGAGGTGACGAGCGCGAAAGGCGGCGCGAGCGGAGGCAGCGGGCGCCTGGTGTTTACCTCGGGGACGTCCAAGTCCGGGAACAGCGGGGCCGCGAGCTTTGGCTCTGGCCGCGCGACCGGCGGGAGGGGCGGCGCGGTCTCGGCGGCGGTCGGCAGCGGCACCAGCGGCGCGGGCGGCGCCGTCTGCGCGCGCGGTGGCGCGAGCACCGCGGCGACCGGAGGCGCCTGCGCGGCGACGGGCGGCGAGGGCAGCGCGGCGAGCGGCGGCGCGCCGCGCGCGGCGCGGGGAACGCCGGAGGCGCCGGGTCGAGCGGGCGCCTGGTCTTCAGCTCCGGAACGTCGCAGACCGGCAACTCTGGCGCGGTGCTGCTGGGCTCGGATCGGGCACCGCCGGCCGCGGCGGAGCGGCGACGGTGAGCGTCGGGAGCGGGACGAGCGGGGCGGCGGGTCGACGCAACTGGCCTCCGGCAGGAGCGCGGCGACGAGCGGAGGGTCGGTCCGGGCCAGGACCGGCGAGGGCACCGCGGCGAGCGGCGGCGCGATCCGCATCTCGAGCGCAAATGCGGGCGCGACCGGCGCCAGCGGCGCGCTCAGGTTCGCCTCGGGGTCCTCGAAGGGTGGCAACAGCGGGCGGATTTGCGCCGGGACGGGCGCGTCGACCGCTGGTCGCGGCGGCGCGGTGCGAGTCGTGATCGGGAGCGGGACGAGCTCTGCCGGCGGCGTCCTTGTGTTGCAAGCCGGGTCCAGCACGGAAGCGACCGGCGGCGGCGCGGGCGTGGCCTCGGGCCGCGGAGCCGGGACGAGCAGCGGCGTCGTGCGCGTGCGCGGCGCGAACGCTGGCGGCGGCGGTAGTAGCGGACGTCTGGCGTTCAGCTCGGGCACCGCGCGACGGCAACAGCGGCGGCGCGGTCCTGGGCTCCGAACGGCGACGGCGGGCCGCGGCGGTCGCGGGTTGCGACCGCTGGCAGCGGGACGTCCGGGGCCGGAGGTGGCCTGGCCCTCGTCGCGGGCGCGACGCGGTCGGGCCGGGCAAAGGGGACCGGAGGACGCGCAGTCGCCCTGGGAGGAGAGGGAACAGCGGCGTCGAGCGGCGCCGTGGAGGTGGCGAGCGCGAAAGGCGGCGCGAGCGGAGGCAGCGGGCGCCTGGTGTTTACCTCGGGGACGTCCAAGTCCGGGAACAGGCCGCGAGCTTTGGCTCTGGCGGCGCGACCGGCGGGAGGGGCGGCGCGGTCTCGGCGGCGGTCGGCAGCGGCACCAGCGGCGCGGGCGGCGCCGTCTGCGCGCGCGGGTGGCGCGAGCACCGCGGCGACCGGAGGCGCCTGCGCGGGCGACGGGCGGCGAGGGCAGCGCGGCGAGCGGCGGCGCCGTGCGCGTGGCGAGCGGGAACGCCGGAGGCGCCGGGTCGAGCGGGCGCCTGGTCTTTAGCTCCGGAACGTCGCAGACCGGCAACTCTGGCGCGGTGCTGCTGGGCTCGGGATCGGGCACCGCCGGCCGCGCGGGAGCGGCGACGGTGAGCGTCAGGAGCGGGACGAGCGGGGCGGCGGGTCGACGCAGCTGGCCTCCGGCGGGAGCGCGGCGACGAGCGGAGGGTCGGTCCTGGCCAGGACCGGCGAGGGCACCGCGGCGAGCGGCGGCGCGATCCGCATCTCGAGCGCAAATGCGGGCGCGACCGGCGCCAGCGGCGCGCTCAGGTTCGCCTCGGGGTCCTCGAAAGGTGGCAACAGCGGGCGGATTTGCGCCGGGGCGGGCGCGCGTCGACCGCGGGTCGCGGCGCGCGCGGTGCGAGTCGTGATCGGGAGCGGACGAGCTCGCCGGCGGCGTCCTTGTGTTGCAAGCCGGGTCCAGCACGGAAGCGACCGGCGGCGGCGCGGGCGTGGCCTCGGGCCGCGGAGCCGGGACGAGCAGCGGCGTCGTGCGCGTCGCGCGCGCGCGAACGCTGGCGGCGGCGGTAGTAGCGGACGTCTGGCGTTCAGCTCGGGCACCGGCGCGACGGGCAACAGCGGCGGCGCGGTCCTGGGCTCCGAACGGCGACGGCGGGCCGCGGCGGTCGCGCGGTTGCGACCGCGGCAGCGGGACGTCCGGGGCCGGAGGTGGCCTGGCCCTCGTCGCGGGCGCGACGCGGTCGGGGCCGGGGCAAAGGGGACCGGAGGACGCGCAGTCGCCCTGGGAGGAGAGGGAACAGCGGCGTCGAGCGGCGCCGTGGAGGTGACGAGCGCGAAAGGCGGCGCGAGCGGAGGCAGCGGGCGCCTGGTGTTTACCTCGGGAACGTCCAAGTCCGGGAACAGCGGGGCCGCGGGCTTTGGCTCTGGCCGCGACCGGCGGGAGGGGCGGCGGTCTCGGCGGCGGTCGGCAGCGGCACCAGCGGCGCGGGCGGCGCCGTCTGCGCGCGCTGTGGCGCAAGCACCGCGGCGACCGGAGGCGCCTGCGCGGCGACGGGCGGCGAGGGCGAGCGGCGGCGGCGCGGCGCGCGTGCGCGCGGGCGAGCGGAACGCCGGAGGCGCCAGGTCGAGCGGGCGCCTGGTCTTTAGCTCGAACGTCGCAGACCGGCAACTCTGGCGCGGTGCTGCTGGGCTCGGGATCGGGCACCGCCGGCCGCGGCGGAGCGGCGACGGTGAGCGTCGGGAGCGGGACGAGCGGGGGCGGCGGGTCGACGCAACTGGCCTCCGGCAGGAGCGCGGCGACGAGCGGAGGGTCGGTCCTGGCCAGGACCGGCGAGGGCACCGCGGCGAGCGGCGGCGCGATCCGCATCTCGAGCGCAAATGCGGGCGCGACCGGCGCCAGCGGCGCGCTCAGGTTCGCCTCGGGGTCCTCGAAGGGTGGCAACAGCGGGCGGATTTGCGCCGGGACGGGCGCGTCGACCGCGGGTCGGTCGCGCGGCGCGGTGCGAAGTCGTGATCGGGAGCGGGACGAGCTCTGCCGGCGGCGTCCTTGTGTTGCAAGCCGGGTCCAGCACGGAAGCGACCGGCGGCGGCGCGGGCGTGGCCTCGGGCCGCGGAGCCGGGACGAGCAGCGGCGTCGTGCGCGCGTGCGCGCGCGAACGCTGGCGGCGGCGGTAGTAGCGGACGTCTGGCGTTCAGCTCGGGCACCGGCGCGACGGGCAACAGCGGCGGCGCGGTCCTGGGCTCCGGAACGGCGACGGCGGGCCGCGGCGGTCGCGCGGTTGCGACCGCGGGCAGCGGGACGTCCGGGGCCGGAGGTGGCCTGGCCCTCGTCGCGGGCCGCGACGTGGTCGGGCCGGGGCAAAGGGGACCGGAGGACGCGCAGTCGCCCTGGGAGGAGAGGGAACAGCGGCGTCGAGCGGCGCCGTGGAGGTGGCGAGCGCGAAAGGCGGCGCGAGCGGAGGCAGCGGGCGCCTGGTGTTTACCTCGGGGGCGCCCAAGTCCGGGAACAGCGGGGCCGCGAGCTTTGGCTCTGGCGGCGCGACCGGCGGGAGGGGCGGCGCGGTCTCGGCGGCGGTCGGCAGCGGCACCAGCGGCGCGGGCGGCGCCGTCTGCGCGCCGCGGTGGCGCGAGCACCGCGGCGACCGGAGGCGCCGCGCGGCGACGGGCGGCGAGGGCGGCGCGGCGAGCGGCGGCGCCGTGCGCGTGGCGAGCGGGAACGCCGGAGGCGCCGGGTCGAGCGGGCGCCTGGTCTTCAGCTCCGAACGCCGCAGACCGGCAACTCTGGCGCGGTGCTGCTGGGCTCGGATCGGGCACCGCCGGCCGCGGCGGAGCGGCGACGGTGAGCGTCGGGAGCGGGACGAGCGGGGGCGGCGGGTCGACGCAGCTGGCCTCCGGCGGGAGCGCGGCGACGAGCGGAGGGTCGGTCCGGGCCAGGACCGGCGAGGGCACCGCGGCGAGCAGCGGCGCGATCCGCATCTCGAGCGCAAATGCGGGCGCGACCGGCGCCAGCGGCGCGCTCAGGTTTGCCTCGGGGTCCTCGAAAGGTGGCAACAGCGGGCGGATTTGCGCCGGGACGGGCGCGTCGACCGCTGGTCGCGGCGGCGCGGTGCGAGTCGTGATCGGGAGCGGGACGAGCTCTGCCGGCGGCGTCCTTGTGTTGCAAGCCGGGTCCAGCACGGAAGCGACCGGCGGCGGCGCGGGCGTGGCCTCGGGCCGCGGAGCCGGGACGAGCAGCGGCGTCGTGCGCGTGCGCGGCGCGAACGCTGGCGGCGGCGGTAGTAGCGGACGTCTGGCGTTCAGCTCGGGCACCGGCGCGACGGGCAACAGCGGCGGCGCGGTCCTGGGCTCCGAACGGCGACGGCGGGCCGCGGCGGTCGCGCTGCTGCGACCGCGGGCAGCGGGACGTCCGGGGCCGGAGGTGGCCTGGCCCTCGTCGCGGGCCGCGACGCGGGTCGGGCCGGGGCAAAGGGGACCGGAGGACGCGCAGTCGCCCTGGGAGGAGAGGGAACAGCGGCGTCGAGCGGCGCCGTGGAGGTGGCGAGCGCGAAAGGCGGCGCGAGCGGAGGCAGCGGGCGCCTGGTGTTTACCTCGGGACGTCCAAGTCCGGGAACAGCAGGGGCCGCGAGCTTTGGCTCTGGCGGCGCGACCGGCGGGAGGGGCGGCGCGGTCTCGGCGGCGGTCGGCAGCGGCACCAGCGGCGCGGGCGGCGCCGTCTGCGCGCGCGGTGGCGCGAGCACCGCGGCGACCGGAGGCGCCTGCGCGGCGACGACGGCGGCGGGGCAGCGCGGCGGCGGCGGCGCCGCGTGCGCGTGGCGAGCGGGAACGCCGGAGGCGCCGGGTCGAGCGGGCGCCTGGTCTTCAGCTCCGGAACGTCGCAGACCGGCAACTCTGGCGCGGTGCTGCTGGGCTCGGGATCGGGCACCGCCGGCCGCGGCGGAGCGGCGACGGTGAGCGTCGGGAGCGGGACGAGCGGGGGCGGCGGGTCGACGCAGCTGGCCTCCGGCGGGAGCGCGGCGACGAGCGGAGGGTCGGTCCGGGCCAGGACCGGCGAGGGCACCGCGGCGAGCGGCGGCGCGATCCGCATCTCGAGCGCAAATGCGGGCGCGACCGGCGCCAGCGGCGCGCTCAGGTTCGCCTCGGGGTCCTCGAAAGGTGGCAACAGCGGGCGGATTTGCGCCGGGACGGGCGCGTCGACCGCGGGTCGCGGCGGCGCGGTGCGAGTCGTGATCGGGAGCGGGACGAGCTCTGCCGGCGGCGTCCTTGTGTTGCAAGCCGGGTCCAGCACGGAAGCGACCGGCGGCGGCGCGGGCGTGGCCTCGGGCCGCGGAGCCGGGACGAGCAGCGGCGTCGTGCGCGTGCGCGGCGCGAACGCTGGCGGCGGCGGTAGTAGCGGACGTCTGGCGTTCAGCTCGGGCACCGGCGCGACGGGCAACAGCGGCGGCGCGGTCCTGGGCTCCGGAACGGCGACGGCGGGCCAGCGGCGGTCGCGCGGTTGCGACCGCGGGCAGCGGGACGTCCGGGGCCGGAGGTGGCCTGGCCCTCGTCGCGGGCCGCGACGCGGTCGGGGCCGGGGCAAAGGGGACCGGAGGACGCGCAGTCGCCCTGGGAGGAGAGGGAACAGCGGCGTCGAGCGGCGCCGTGGAGGTGGCGAGCGCGAAAGGCGGCGCGAGCGGAGGCAGCGGGCGCCTGGTGTTTACCTCGGGGACGTCCAAGTCCGGGAACAGCGGGGCCGCGAGCTTTGGCTCTGGCGGCGCGACCGGCGGGAGGGGCGGCGCGGTCTCGGCGGCGGTCGGCAGCGGCACCAGCGGCGCGGGCGGCGCCGTCTGCGCGCGCGGTGGCGCGAGCACCGCGGCGACCGGAGGCGCCTGCGCGGCGACGGGCGGCGAGGGCAGCGCGGCGAGCGGCGGCGCCGTGCGCGTGGCGAGCGGGAACGCCGGAGGCGCCGGGTCGAGCGGGCGCCTGGTCTTCAGCTCCGGAACGTCGCAGACCGGCAACTCTGGCGCGGTGCTGCTGGGCTCGGGATCGGGCACCGCCGGCCGCGGCGGAGCGGCGACGGTGAGCGTCGGGAGCGGGACGAGCGGGGCGGCGGGTCGACGCAGCTGGCCTCCGGCGGGAGCGCGGCGACGAGCGGAGGGTCGGTCCGGGCCAGGACCGGCGAGGGCACCGCGGCGAGCAGCGGCGCGATCCGCATCTCGAGCGCAAATGCGGGCGCGACCGGCGCCAGCGGCCAGGTTCGCCTCGGGGTCCTCGAAGGGTGGCAACAGCGGGCGGATTTGCGCCGGGACGGGCGCGTCGACCGCGGGTCGCGGCGGCGCGGTGCGTCGTGATCGGGAGCGGACAGGCGAGCTCTGCCGGCGGCGCCCTTGTGTTGCAAGCCGGGTCCAGCACGGAAGCGACCGGCGGCGGCGCTGGCGTGGCCTCGGGCCGCGGAGCCGGGACGAGCAGCGGCGTCGTGCGCGTGCGCGCGCGAACGCTGGCGGCGGCGGTAGTAGCGGACGTCTGGCGTTCAGCTCGGGCACCGGGCGCGACGGGCAACAGCGGCGGCGCGTCCTGGGCTCGAACGGCGACGGCGGGTCAGCGGCGGTCGCGCGGTTGCGACCGCGGCAGCGGGACGTCCGGGGCCGGAGGTGGCCTGGCCCTCGTCGCGCGGCCGCGACGTGGTCGGGCCGGGGCAAAGGGGACCGGAGGACGCGCAGTCGCCCTGGGAGGAGAGGGAACAGCGGCGTCGAGCGGCGCCGTGGAGGTGGCGAGCGCGAAAGGCGGCGCGAGCGGAGGCAGCGGGCGCCTGGTGTTTACCTCGGGGACGCCAAGTCCGGGAACAGCGGGGCCGCGAGCTTTGGCTCTGGCGGCGCGACCGGCGGGAGGGGCGGCGCGGTCTCGGCGGCGGTCGGCAGCGGCACCAGCGGCGCGGGCGGCGCCGTCTGCGCGCGCGGTGGCGCGAGCACCGCGGCGACCGGAGGCGCCTGCGCGGCGACGGGCGGCGAGGGCAGCGCGCGGCGGCGGCGCCGCGCGCGCGGGCGAGCGGAACGCCGGAGGCGCCGGGTCGAGCGGGCGCCTGGTCTTCAGCTCCGGAACGTCGCAGACCGGCAACTCTGGCGCGGTGCTGCTGGGCTCGGGATCGGGCACCGCCGGCCGCGGCGGAGCGGCGACGGTGAGCGTCGGGAGCGGACGACGAGCGGGGGCGGCGGGTCGACGCAGCTGGCCTCCGGCGGGAGCGCGGCGACGAGCGGAGGGTCGGTCCTGGCCAGGACCGGCGAGGGCACCGCGGCGAGCAGCGGCGCGATCCGCATCTCGAGCGCAAATGCGGGCGCGACCGGCGCCAGCGGCGCGCTCAGGTTTGCCTCGGGGTCCTCGAAAGGTGGCAACAGCGGGCGGATTTGCGCCGGGACGGGCGCGTCGACCGCTGGTCGCGGCGGCGCGGTGCGAGTCGTGATCGGGAGCGGACGAGCTCGCCGGCGGCGTCCTTGTGTTGCAAGCCGGGTCCAGCACGGAAGCGACCGGCGGCGGCGCTGGCGCGTGGCCTCGGGCCGCGGAGCCGGGACGAGCAGCGGCGTCGTGCGCGCGCGCGCGGCGCGAACGCTGGCGGCGGCGGTAGTAGCGGACGTCTGGCGTTCAGCTCGGGCACCGGCGCGACGGGCAACAGCGGCGGCGCGGTCCTGGGCTCCGGAACGGCGACGGCGGGCCGCGGCGGTCGCGCGGTTGCGACCGCGGGCAGCGGGACGTCCGGGGCCGGAGGTGGCCTGGCCCTCGTCGCGGGCCGCGACGTGGTCGGGGCCGGGGCAAAGGGGACCGGAGGACGCGCAGTCGCCCTGGGAGGAGAGGGAACAGCGGCGTCGAGCGGCGCCGTGGAGGTGGCGAGCGCGAAAGGCGGCGCGAGCGGAGGCAGCGGGCGCCTGGTGTTTACCTCGGGGACGTCCAAGTCCGGGAACAGCGGGGCCGCGAGCTTTGGCTCTGGCGGCGCGACCGGCGGGAGGGGCGGCGCGGTCTCGGCGGCGGTCGGCAGCGGCACCAGCGGCGCGGGCGGCGCCGTCTGCGCGCGCGGTGGCGCGAGCACCGCGGCGACCGGAGGCGCCTGCGCGGCGACGGGCGGCGAGGGCAGCGCGGCGAGCGGCGGCGCCGTGCGCGTGGCGAGCGGGAACGCCGGAGGCGCCGGGTCGAGCGGGCGCCTGGTCTTCAGCTCCGGAACGTCGCAGACCGGCAACTCTGGCGCGGTGCTGCTGGGCTCGGGATCGGGCACCGCCGGCCGCGGCGGAGCGGCGACGGTGAGCGTCGGGAGCGGGACGAGCGGGGGCGGCGGGTCGACGCAGCTGGCCTCCGGCGGGAGCGCGGCGACGAGCGGAGGGTCGGTCCTGGCCAGGACCGGCGAGGGCACCGCGGCGAGCAGCGGCGCGATCCGCATCTCGAGCGCAAATGCGGGCGCGACCGGCGCCAGCGGCGCGCTCAGGTTCGCCTCGGGGTCCTCGAAGGGTGGCAACAGCGGGCGGATTTGCGCCGGGACGGGCGCGTCGACCGCGGGTCGCGGCGGCGCGGTGCGAGTCGTGATCGGGAGCGGGACGAGCTCTGCCGGCGGCGTCCTTGTGTTGCAAGCCGGGTCCAGCACGGAAGCGACCGGCGGCGGCGCGGGCGTGGCCTCGGGCCGCGGAGCCGGGACGAGCAGCGGCGTCGTGCGCGTGCGCGGCGCGAACGCTGGCGGCGGCGGTAGTAGCGGACGTCTGGCGTTCAGCTCGGGCACCGGCGCGACGGGCAACAGCGGCGGCGCGGTCCTGGGCTCCGGAACGGCGACGGCGGGCCGCGGCGGTCGCGCGGTTGCGACCGCGGGCAGCGGGACGTCCGGGGCCGGAGGTGGCCTGGCCCTCGTCGCGGGCCGCGACGCGGTCGGGGCCGGGGCAAAGGGGACCGGAGGACGCGCAGTCGCCCTGGGAGGAGAGGGAACAGCGGCGTCGAGCGGCGCCGTGGAGGTGGCGAGCGCGAAAGGCGGCGCGAGCGGAGGCAGCGGGCGCCTGGTGTTTACCTCGGGGACGTCCAAGTCCGGGAACAGCGGGGCCGCGAGCTTTGGCTCTGGCGGCGCGACCGGCGGGAGGGGCGGCGCGGTCTCGGCGGCGGTCGGCAGCGGCACCAGCGGCGCGGGCGGCGCCGTCTGCGCGCGCGGTGGCGCGAGCACCGCGGCGACCGGAGGCGCCTGCGCGGCGACGGGCGGCGAGGGCAGCGCGGCGAGCGGCGGCGCCGTGCGCGTGGCGAGCGGGAACGCCGGAGGCGCCGGGTCGAGCGGGCGCCTGGTCTTCAGCTCCGGAACGTCGCAGACCGGCAACTCTGGCGCGGTGCTGCTGGGCTCGGGATCGGGCACCGCCGGCCGCGGCGGAGCGGCGACGGTGAGCGTCGGGAGCGGGACGAGCGGGGGCGGCGGGTCGACGCAGCTGGCCTCCGGCGGGAGCGCGGCGACGAGCGGAGGGTCGGTCCTGGCCAGGACCGGCGAGGGCACCGCGGCGAGCGGCGGCGATCCGCATCTCGAGCGCAAATGCGGGCGCGACCGGCGCCAGCGGCGCGCTCAGGTTCGCCTCGGGGTCCTCGAAAGGTGGCAACAGCGGGCGGATTTGCGCCGGGGCGGGCGCGTCGACCGCGGTCGCGGGCGGTGCGAGTCGTGATCGGGAGCGGGACGAGCTCTGCCGGCGGCGCCCTTGTGTTGCAAGCCGGGTCCAGCACGGAAGCGACCAGCGGCGGCGCGGGCGTGGCCTCGGGCCGCGGAGCCGGGACGAGCAGCGGCGTCGTGCGCGTCGCGCGCGCGAACGCTGGCGGCGGCGGTAGTAGCGGAAGTCTGGCGTTCAGCTCGGGCACCGCGCGACGGGCAACAGCGGCGGCGCGGTCCTGGGCTCGAACGGCGACGGCGGGCCGCGGCGGTCGCGCGGTTGCGACCGCGGGCAGCGGGACGTCCGGGGCCGGAGGTGGCCTGGCCCTCGTCGCGGGCCGCGACGCGGTCGGGGCCGGGGCGAAGGGGACCGGAGGACGCGCAGTCGCCCTGGGAGGAGAGGGAACAGCGGCGTCGAGCGGCGCCGTGGAGGTGGCGAGCGCGAAAGGCGGCGCGAGCGGAGGCAGCGGGCGCCTGGTGTTTACCTCGGGGACGTCCAAGTCCGGGAACAGCGGGGCCGCGAGCTTTGGCTCTGGCGGCGCGACCGGCGGGAGGGGTGGCGCGGTCTCGGCGGCGGTCGGCAGCGGCACCAGCGGCGCGGGCGGCGCCGTCTGCGCGCGCGGTGGCGCGAGCACCGCGGCGACCGGAGGCGCCTGCGCGGCGACGGGCGGCGAGGGCAGCGCGGCGAGCGGCGGCGCCGTGCGCGTGGCGGCGGAACGCCGGAGGCGCCAGGTCGAGCGGGCGCCTGGTCTTCAGCTCCGGAACGTCGCAGACCGGCAACTCTGGCGCGGTGCTGCTGGGCTCGGATCGGGCACCGCCGGCCGCGGCGGAGCGGCGACGGTGAGCGTCGGGAGCGGACGACGGCGGGGCGGCGGGTCGACGCAGCTGGCCTCCGGCGGGAGCGCGGCGACGAGCGGAGGGTCGGTCCTGGCCAGGACCGGCGAGGGCACCGCGGCGAGCGGCGGCGCGATCCGCATCTCGAGCGCAAATGCGGGCGCGACCGGCGCCAGCGGCGCGCTCAGGTTCGCCTCGGGGTCCTCGAAGGGTGGCAACAGCGGGCGGATTTGCGCCGGGACGGGCGCGTCGACCGCGGTCGCGGCGGCGCGGTGCGTCGTGATCGAGCGAGCAGGGCGGGCTCTGCCGGGCGGCGCCCTTGTGTTGCAAGCCGGGTCCAGCACGGAAGCGACCGGCGGCGGCGCGGGCGTGGCCTCGGGCCGCGGAGCCGGGACGAGCAGCGGCGTCGTGCGCGTCGCGCGCGAACGCTGGCGGCGGCGGTAGTAGCGGAAGTCTGGCGTTCAGCTCGGGCACCGGCGCGACGGGCAACAGCGGCGGCGCGGTCCTGGGCTCCGAACGGCGACGGCGGGCCGCGGCGGTCGCGCGGTTGCGACCGCGGGCAGCGGGACGTCCGGGGCCGGAGGTGGCCTGGCCCTCGCGCGGGCGCGACGCGGTCGGGGCCGGGGCAAAGGGGACCGGAGGACGCGCAGTCGCCCTGGGAGGAGAGGGAACAGCGGCGTCAGCGGCGCCGTGGAGGTGGCGAGCGCGAAAGGCGGCGCGAGCGGAGGCAGCGGGCGCCTGGTGTTTACCTCGGGGGCGCCCAAGTCCGGGAACAGCGGGGCCGCGAGCTTTGGCTCTGGCGGCGCGACCGGCGGGAGGGGCGGCGCGGTCTCGGCGGCGGTCGGCAGCGGCACCAGCGGCGCTGGCGGCGCCGTCTGCGCGCGCTGTGGCGCGAGCACCGCGGGCGACGGAGCGCCTGCGCGCGACGGGCGGCGAGGGCAGCAGCGGCGAGCGGCGGCGCCGTGCGCGCTGGCGGCGGGGAACGCCGGAGGCGCCGGGTCGAGCGGGCGCCTGGTCTTCAGCTCCGGAACGTCGCAGACCGGCAACTCTGGCGCGGTGCTGCTGGGCTCGGGATCGGCACCGCCGGCCGCGGCGGAGCGGCGACGGTGAGCGTCGGGAGCGGGACGAGCGGGGGCGGCGGGTCGACGCAGCTGGCCTCCGGCGGGAGCGCGGCGACGAGCGGAGGGTCGGTCCTGGCCAGGACCGGCGAGGGCACCGCGGCGGCGGCGGCGCGATCCGCATCTCGAGCGCAAATGCGGGCGCGACCGGCGCCAGCGGCGCGCTCAGGTTCGCCTCGGGTCCTCGAAAGGTGGCAACAGCGGGCGGATTTGCGCCGGGGCGGGCGCGTCGACCGCTGGTCGCGGCGGCGCGGTGCGAGTCGTGATCGGGAGCGGACGAGCTCTGCCGGCGGCGTCCTTGTGTTGCAAGCCGGGTCCAGCACGGAAGCGACCGGCGGCGGCGCTGGCGTGGCCTCGGGCCGCGGAGCCGGGACGAGCAGCGGCGTCGTGCGCGTGCGCGCGCGCGAACGCTGGCGGCGGCGGTAGTAGCGGACGTCTGGCGTTCAGCTCGGGCACCGGGCGCGACGGGCAACAGCGGCGGCGCGGTCCTGGGCTCCGAACGGCGACGGCGGGCCGCGGCGGTCGCGGGTTGCGACCGCGGGCAGCGGGACGTCCGGGGCCGGAGGTGGCCTGGCCCTCGTCGCGGGCCGCGACGCGGTCGGGGCCGGGCAAAGGGGACCGGAGGACGCGCAGTCGCCCTGGGAGGAGAGGGAACAGCGGCGTCGAGCGGCGCCGTGGAGGTGGCGAGCGCGAAAGGCGGCGCGAGCGGAGGCAGCGGGCGCCTGGTGTTTACCTCGGGGGCGCCCAAGTCCGGGAACAGCGGGGCCGCGAGCTTTGGCTCTGGCGGCGCGACCGGCGGGAGGGGCGGCGCGGTCTCGGCGGCGGTCGGCAGCGGCACCAGCGGCGCGGGCGGCGCCGTCTGCGCGCGCGGTGGCGCGAGCACCGCGGCGACCGGAGGCGCCTGCGCGGCGACGGGCGGCGAGGGCAGCGCGGCGAGCGGCGGCGCCGTGCGCGTGGCGAGCGGGAACGCCGGAGGCGCCGGGTCGAGCGGGCGCCTGGTCTTCAGCTCCGGAACGTCGCAGACCGGCAACTCTGGCGCGGTGCTGCTGGGCTCGGGATCAGGCACCGCCGGCCGCGGCGGAGCGGCGACGGTGAGCGTCGGGAGCGGGACGAGCGGGGGCGGCGGGTCGACGCAACTGGCCTCCGGCAGGAGCGCGGCGACGAGCGGAGGGTCGGTCCTGGCCAGGACCGGCGAGGGCACCGCGGCGAGCGGCGGCGCGATCCGCATCTCGAGCGCAAATGCGGGCGCGACCGGCGCCAGCGGCGCGCTCAGGTTCGCCTCGGGATCGGCGAAAGGTGGCAACACAGGTGTGATGAATGTTGTGACAGGTGGGGTCTCCAGTAGCGCTGCTGGCAGGATAAGCCTCTACGCGGGAAGTGGATATTCAGGAATAGGGGGTTTTATTGGGGTCACGGGAGGTCAAGGTTCCGGAGGTGGCAGGACTTCACTTACTGGAGGGGGGGGTAGTGGCATGCACGGGATTGGTGGTCTAGTTACACTTACTGGAGGCAATGGTGCAACAGGCTCGGGCGGCTTTGTCTTGATCTCAAATGATCCTGGCGACAGCACAAGTAGTGGGTCAATCATCACATCCAGCGCAAATATGGCAACAGATGGGTCGAGCGGACATTTGGTGTTTAGCACTGGATCTAGCTCTCTGGGAAATAGTGGCCCTGTTCTCATTGGCACTTCACCTGCCACAGCTGGTCGAGGTGGCAATATACACGTGCTCGTTGGAAGTGGAAATTCCGGAATAGGAAGTACATTTTCATGCGTAGCAGGCCGGTCTATGAGATCGACTGGCGGATCTACTGTCATTGATGGTGCGGAGGGTACAGCCTCCAGCAGTGGCGTGATAGCAGTAATCAGCTCTAATACAGGGGCACTTGGTAGCAGTGGTTGTCTGGCATTCAGCTCTGGTCATGGTATTCAAGGAAACAGCGGTAGTTGTTTTTGGCAATCAGGATCGTCGACAGGCGGCTCCGCAGGTGGTGTGTCGATAAGTGTTGGTAGTGGCTCCAGCGGTGTAGGTGGAATTTTGATTCTATCTGCTGGATGTGGCATGGCCAATACGGGTGGCCCTGCGGTTGCTTCCAATGGCGAGGGAACCACCACTAGTAGCGGAGCAATATTAGTATTCACAATGAACGCAGGTGCGAATGGGGCAAGTGGGGCCTTGAGTTTCAGTACGGGATTGTCGAAGGCAGGCAACAGCGGTGCTCTGTTGCTTGCAACTGGTGCTAGTACAGGCGGACGTGGTGGTTCAACGCGGCTTCATGTCGGTAGCGGAAGAAGCGGTACAGGCGGATTCGTGTCAGTTGCTTCCAGCCGTAGTGCAATAGCAACGGGTGGAAGTACTAAATTAGTCTCAGGAGGAGGTTCTGCCTCTAGCAGCGGCATCGTGGTATTTCTGAGCGCCAATGCAGGTGCAGTGGGTGCGAGTGGACCTCTTGCCTTCAGCAGTGGTATAGCAACAACAGGAAATAGTGGTGGACTCTCCTTTGGGACAGGTGCAGCGGTGGCCGGTCAGGCTGGTCGCATTCTAATATCAACGGGGAGTGGCACATCTGGAGAGGGTGGCAATATGATACTGGCAGCAGCACGTAGCACTAAGAAGACAGGTGGAGATTTGTGTTGTGGCACGGGTGAGGGTACTGCAACAAGCACCGGTATTATTAGTATCACTAGCGCAAATACAGGTGTATCTGGGGCAAGTGGAAAACTTGTCTTCAGTTCGGGGAGCGCGCTGATTGGTAACAGTGGTGTGATTCTTATTGGCTCTGGTTCAGCAACTGGTGGCTGCAGCGGTCTTGTCAGCCTATCTGCTGGTAGCGGAACATCAGGCACTGGTGGTTCAGTCCATCTATTTGCAGGCTCAACCATTGGTAGTGTAGCCGGAGGGGGAGCGTACATCAATGCTGGTCGTGGATCTGTTGGTGATGGTCAAGTGTGCTTGAAACAGGACTCGAATGCTGTTCTCACGATCTCTTCTAGTTCAATCTCTAGTCAACATCAAACGACATCGCTAATAGCATCCTCCGGTATCTCAGTTGCAAGTAGCACAGGCCTCACATTGAGTGGCAACTCAGGGGTAACATTTTCGTCTGGCTACGTGCACGGCTTTGAGTGCACAGCGTCCACTACGGTTGTCTCCAGTGCTGCCGCTACTGTGAACACCATGGGGGGTGTCTTGACAAGTGAGTCAAGCACACTTGGTGCTGGTAGCACTGAAATGATCACGCTCTCAAATACGCATATTGTTACTTCAAGTATCATCTGGGTTACGATTAAATCTAGGTGCTTGACCGGCTATGTCAGTGTTTCTAGCGTAACAGCCAGCAGTGGAAGTGCGGCCATCGTCATGTATAATTTGGGTGATGCTGCATGTACTAGCACATACCAGCTCTTCTTTCTTGTTCTGAACTAGATGCAAGTATTTTCTACTAGCCTAACCTTTTCTTTTTAAATGAAGGGTGAAGTGTTCCTGGGTGTAGCAGATAGTACGTGATAGCGCTTGTTCCAATCGTTTGAATACACATCGCAGAAGAGGATTTGCCTCTCTAATCTAATTCCAGCCGTACCTTGCGATATTTCGATGGATTTGGGTAGTTTGAAAGAGTCGTTGATTGATTTCTGATGAACAAGCAAACGCTTGCGTTTAATACCAGGAGGGCGTTGTAGCCACAGCGCAGGGAGCAGCAAGGAGTCCCCAACAAGGGAAAACGACGCACCGATCTGCCTGAGAACGTTTTCTATGTGCGATGTTGGTGACTATTGTAAAAAATTATATTGGAGACTGAGGAGAGAATATCCGGAGACACGTATCCAGGTCGTTTGGTCCTTATTCCTGCGCAGCTGGGATGCTCGGTCAGCGCTGATGATTGCCGTGAGCAGGCGGTACAGAGGAGCTTCTATTACTTGTCGCGATGGGGGTCGTCGTGCATGAGCATATCCAAACAACACAAAATGAGACTCTGCGCGCCTCGAAGCATATTTCAATCTTCGCGAAGAAGGCCCCTGCTCAGTATTGGATGCTTCACATTCGAACAGCGTATATAGAATTAATCGTCTCTTCTGTGCGAACAGCCGGGGTACTCGGCACTGGGAGCTCAATCCCTTTTCGCTTCACATGACCGCATGGGATAGCGACGGAAATCTCGTTTTGAATCGTCTCCCGTGTCGGAAAGCCCTGGGACACGGTCGTTCAGGTACTCAGGCAGTCGAACACTTTAATCCACCGGCGTATATTCTACTTCGCTTTGTTCTTCATGAGGCAAATGCAAAGATTTAGCGGCCTCAACGAATTCGTGGCTGATCACAAATGAAACAAATTGATCGAGGAAGGACCTGACTATCCCGAGGGACACACTCTAGCAACAGGGCGCTAGAATGCTGAGTGCCCAATCCTTTAGGCGGGAAAATTGCAAGAAGGACGCTAGAGACTAGAGTAGTCATCGCAGGACGACGCGCTCGCCGGTTCGCCCGAGGTTATTCGCGAGGGGTCCTAGCTTCCCCTTGCCGTTCCCTCCCCAGTGCCAGTGGGCCCCCAGGCCGTAACGGGGCCTGACGCTAAATTGGTGAGATTTTCAATTGATAGCCCGAAGGGGGCGCCTTCGCCCGTTGGCATCCTAAGCCCACAGCGACACTAGCTTGCCCCGGAGGTGTCCCTGGAGATGGTGAGCCCCCCAAAATGGCCAACGTGCGGGTATTTGGTTTAACTCGCGGGTTTTCAGGGGATGAAAATCAAAACTCGCTTCTATGCTGGTGGTTTCCCCCTCGAAGTCCCCCTTGGTACCCGTGGCGTCTGTAGGATGCGCAAACATGGCAACCTTTTGTGTATAGTTGCCTAAATAGTCGCCTGACGCGGCACGAAACGCCACTGGCGCGACGTTCGCGTGGGGGCTCTTCCGACCCCTCTTATTTTTAGGGACCCAAATTCGGCCAGAACGTGGAGCACCCCCTGGGGCCCATTCTATCCCAAGTGTACTCCGATATCCCCCGCCGGCGGGCCTTGATAGGGGGAACTTGAAGTCGCCTCCCACTCCTTATTACTTTCCATCTTGAGTTGCTTTTTTTAGTTTTCCGGGACTTGGAGCTCCTCCGGTCGCAACCGTGACCCTGAAACATGGAAGAAACTATTTCGCTAGAATACTACTACACTACGCTGCCAGGAAGTCCGGAATTACACACACCCTATTTCCCGCGCCCCCTGCACTGGCATCGCCGCGGCCGCCGCCGGCCCGGGATATATGGCGGCGGCCCGGGGCCCACGCTCTGCCTGGTGTCTAACGGAACTGTCCAGAGGCATCAAATAATCTTCAGGGCTACCCGGGGGGGGCCTACCTATTGACCTACGCAACCGCAGGAACCTAGCCCGGGGGGGGTACTCCTCGAGTCCAGTGCTTGACTTGCAAGGGCAAGCCCGGCGCCGGCACTCCTTTGGCGAGTTTCTCTTCCGCGGGGGGCGACCAGCCCGCACGACGGGGGGGAAGCGACAGGGGAGGGGAAGTCGCTGGGGGCCCGTCGTGCTCGACTCAACCAGTCGAAGGCCGACCCGTTGCCCGCCGCTTGGACCCCCGCCGCCGGAGATCGTGTTTGGTATAGGCCGCCCGGCACCGCGCCTCGGGGGACGCGCCGCGCTCGGGCCCAGTCCAATCTCCAACGTCGATAGCAGAGTCGCGGTTGACAGGGGCGCGGCACTCCCTCCGGTCAAAAGGGGAAAGGGGACGGCTCCGGCAAGTCGCAGTCGATGACGAGTCCTTGGACCTCGGCCGTGCGGTCGCGTTCAAATTGAGTTGGGCGCGCGCCGTCCGCTTCTCTCGCGCCGGCCGTCGCAGCGCGCCCGTAGTGTGTCGGTAGTGTGTGTGTGACGTCCTCGGCCTTCGTTTTCCGCGCGCCGCGTTTTTGTGGCCGCGATGTGTGTATGGCGGTTCATGGTGCTGCCGCTCCCGCGCACCAATACGCGTCGCGTTTTTTGCGCGCGGCTCGTCCTATAGCACGTCCTGGGGCCGGAGAGCATGCGCGGGCAGCGCGCGGTCCCGTTGCGCCGCGTGCGCAGCGTCTTTTTGGTATGCTCCGTGGCCTATTAGGGGGGCTCTTTTCAAGTTTTTTTAAAACCGGGTCAACCAAAATCTATGGAGATTTTGAAGGGGCTGGATGGTCATATTTCTTCAGTTGTGTTGCTTTTTAATATCATGATTTTCGAGCTTAGAGGTCAAATGATCTGTGCGAGTAGCGAGTAGGGCTTTTTGGCCTCTGAAATCTCGAAAATGGTGTAAAATTTACCAAAAAGGCTAAACTGGCAACTCAGGCTATCCGAGTCATCATCCTCATCCGGCTTCGCCATACACTGGCAAGTGCCCCGGAGAAACCCAATACTGACGAATGGGACAAAGAAGCATACATAACCCTACACTACTACCGTCGACATCTAACTACTACAGTACTATGGGGCAATTCACGACTTCGACAGCGTGAGAGCGCGGGCAAGGAAGAGAATGTGGTGGAGCAGCGGGCCAGCCGCAAAGCAACGCGGACCAGAGCAGCAGACGGACCCAGCGCTTCTAAGGTAGATATTTCTCCACGCTGGGTGACATGTAAGAGGTGTCGTATCAATACTACTTGCCGCTTTACTCAGGATACTCTTGCCGTTCTGTCTGCTGGCCGCCGCCCTCCACGACACACACACACACCCGCGCTCAAGTCCCTTGCTCGACGTCACCGTCTCGCATATTTCTTGCAGCATCGTGATTCCTGCTGCCGGCGATGAAGCGCGGCGATGTTCTAAAAGAATTTCCGTGTCCTCTCCGTGGACTCTGACGAGTGCACCTGTTCTTAGAACATGATGTGCTAGCTCAACCACATGGAAGCTTACCTAGGGCCCAGAGGTCGTAGTTCAGTAAACCCCCAAGTTCCTGGGTCTTAGATAACTTCCCATTCGTCTCCTCTCGTGCCTTCGCCGTGGCAAGGGTAGCTAAAGGGGCGGTCAATCGTACCTAAATCAGTCTCAGGCGCGTCCCCATGTGCCTCGGTGATATTAAGCAGCATTTGCTTTCTTCCATTTCTAGGTAGTCTCCTCATTTCATTGCAGAAGCTGAGGAAGTCATCACGGCCGCAACAGTAAAACCCAAGAGCAAGAGACGGGTCAAGACCATCGGGATTCACATAGGTGGGGGCGTTGCAACATATGCTATCGACAGGTAAATCAGAACAATCTTCGGTAAGCAGTGCAGGCTGCACTGTGTGCGGGTCAAAGCCAACTAGGTGCGGTGTGCAGTTTAACTGGTACATGCCAGGGAAGAATAATGCTCGACGTGGTTGGCCGCCAATTAGGCCTAGTGATTGACGGAGGCGAATAGCATATAGAAGCTCCGGGATGTACTCAGTCTCTAGCTCTTCCAAACCGAGGCGCAGCGGCATGAATATAACGAGTGCAGCCTCCCAAGGCAACTCTAAGCGTTTATCATAAGCTAAGCGCCGAACAGATGCTGGACTGCACTGTTCGTGTGCAGGACTGAGGATCCGGGGCTGGGGCTTCACCAATGGGTCGTGATTGAGGCCATTATTAGAAGGTTTGGTGAAGGGTTGGGTCTTGGCAGCGTGATCGTGATCCAAAGTATATCTCGTCATTTTGTCAAGGATTGTTTCAATGCAGAGGAGCTTCCCAGCCGGAGTTACTACCAGTTTTATCGCTGGACCACCAAGTTTGTGTCGGTGACATTCGCACAAGTCACGGAGAATGCACGCAGCAATGCCAGGTCCATACCACTCCCCGGGGAGTATGTCATAAAGCTGACCACACCTTGTTAGGTTGTGAATTGAATAAACAGCTTCGACACCTGTTGAATCTACAAACCACTGCAGGACCCTCTGCTGGATCTGATGCCAGGGCATCGCGTCAAGGGCTAGATGCCGCAACAAGGCATTCGCCATTAGCATCTGCGCTGAGCGCAGCATGCAGCCCCAACCGGTGTCATCAGTATGAAGGTAAGGCCTCATCCTCGGAAATCCACACCTGTACGTCATCCAAAGAGCTTGCTTAATAGCGAGTCCGAAATTAAGTTCACTTCGGTAGGACACACCCAAGAAAAAAAAAGATGCAGATCGCGGCCCAGATGAGCCTACATCAATCAGCATGTTGTTGGAGATCTTATCCGTCCACTAGCTTCGATTTCCATCTCAACCTCTCAAGGACCTTGCCGAAGCACATTCGATGCCTCCATGCATGGTGCATTGTGTTTCGGTAGGTTGTCCACATGCAGCAACTTTCAGCTATGTTTACCGCCCGGTCAGGAGTCCCCCTTTTATTACTAGTTGACCTGCGGCTAACCCTCTTCCTCGTGGTCTGATCCGTGCCTGGCGTCCTAACCCGTCCGAAAGGCTGGGCCGTTCGCGCGAAAAAAAAATCGCGACGCGCGCCCACCGTAACGGATTCACAGAACCAATTACACGACACAAAAAACAACGCCCCGGAGAGCGTCCAATAGCCCTCGATGATCCGGCGCGCCGCGTGGCGTGCCGTAGGGCTCACGGAGCTACCGGCGGCGCAACGCAAGAGGAGCCGTTTGCACGGCCGCGCGGCGCCCTTTCGAGGCCGCACGGCGCCCGAGGCCGGGGAAGTGGTCGCCGCCCGCGGCGAGCCCGGCGCACAGGTCGGCGGCCGCTCGACGCGGCGCGGCGCCCGCGCCCGGCCGCCGGCCGGCCGCGGGCCCTCGCGCCGGGCCCCGGCGCCTCGGAGCGCGCCGCCGCGGCCGTTGCACACGTGGCGCGGGCCGGGCAGCGCGCCCCCTCGCCCGCGGACGGCTCCCGCGGGCTCGGGCGGCCGGCGCGAAATGTTCCCCGGCGGCCGCCGGCGACGCGTTCGCGGCGCGGTTGGCGCGCGCCGGGGCGCCGGGGCGCCGGGGGCGCCGTCCGAGGCGACGCGGGCGCCGCGTGGCGCCCCGGGGCCCCGCCGACCGCGGCGCCCGCGCCCGCGGCCGCGCGGGCACCCGATATCGCGCGCATCGCAAAACGCGAGGGCTGCGTGCGCGGCGTTTTTGCAGCGGTTCAGGCGTCGCACCCGAGCCAGGCGTGCTGGCCATCGATCGCGCGCGCTCCATCCATGAATGGGGCCGGCGTTGGCGCGCTACGGCGCTCGAAAGGCGGAAATGTGCGAAACCGCGGACATGCTATAGGATATCGTATTATTAATTATAGCCCTGGCGTCCGACCGACGGGCGGGCCGCCGCAGACGTGAGTCCGCCGGACGGAGAGATCTCCTGCCGGGCGGGCCCGAGTAGGGACGCCGCTGGGACGAACCCGACGGCACGCCAGACGGCACATCGGGTCCCAGCCGGCCCGGACGGAGGCCGGACGGCGCCCCCGACGAAAACCCGACATCCCGGACGCCGCCCTCCGGACGAGCCCGACCAGGGCTGGGCCGGGTCAAAACGAGTCCCGGAAAAAATGCCCATGCACTGGACGCAACGTTGGGTAGGGGTTCCTGCCCCGGGTAGGGTGGCCTCGTGTGGGTCGCGGCGCCGGCGAGGGTCGCGGCGCCAGGGGTCGCGGTGGGGCACGTGGCACCGTCTTCAATTCAAGTCAATTCAATCAGGTTTTGCGCCTAGCCCGGGGTGGGCACCGTCGACCGCGGTGGGGTATGAAGTTTACTATGATCTGCTGATCCAAGGGTAACGTCATCAGGGTCATCTAAGTGCTCTGACATCGTAGTATTTGCTTCGAGATTGGTTTTATCGTTTCTAAGTGTAACTGGGAGAGTGCAGCGAGTTAGCGGACGCTACCTCTGACCTCCGTGCTAGGAGAGGCCACGCAGTCACGTCAGAAACGATATCCACGGAGAATTACGCCGGATCCGCTCTGCGTGTGGGCCACACAACCTGCAGGAAATAAGTAGGGTGCGGTGGTATACCGACCCCTTGCAACGGTGTGAGTGAGTTTGGCGTAAGTGACTCCCCGTGTAATACTAGCACTAAGAATGAATGTGGTGTAAACCTTCATTACGTCAAGGTGGGACTAAGTAGGAGAGTAAGAGGGGCCTAGTGTGTACTAGGGGGTATATTCTTCGCAGAACTTGAACTTCCGAGTCACTGCCGCCGCGCAGCTCAAAAACCTTAGTTTTTTTATATGGTGACGGTCACGGTGTAAAGAAATGCTACAACTAATATCATCACCTTATACTCGATTTGCGAAGATTCTTGTATCGATCAGTCATCCTGACCTGACTGAGCAGGGAGAAGGCTCTAGGAGCTGTGCAGAGGATCCGGGTCACCTACAGAGGGTGAGCGAATTTGCTTCTAAGCTGGCCCTTTAGTCTGAGGTGGGCTCTTATATGCCCAGGCCAGTGCTGATCTATGACATCAAATAGCCCCCTTCTTCCACAGACGACTTACCTGGGCCTTTGATTTAACGCAGGGATGGATCGAAAGTAAAGCCTTGAAAGTGCTGGGTTTCTTCTTCTTTTGCTGTTTTGTCTATAGAGTCTTCGGGTGAGGCGGAAAGATACGCTGTGGGAACATATTTGGTATCTTCTTCATTGGAAACTTTTGGGTGAAAAGGTGGAGTAATCTCGCGCCTAAATTCTAAAAGTCTTCGTTGAAATCCCTAATTTCACTAGGTGGCACAATAGAAGCTTCTGGAAGTCAAGTGGGCCAAAAAAGTCGGTCATTTTAATCTCGTGCGCCCCTTTGGATCCAAGTCGCTGCGATGGGTCTTTGTCCAGTAATCGAAGCAACACTGCTTTTGCAGTAGTTGTGAAGTGCGGTGGAAAGCTTGGTGCCAAGTTGATGATCCCATGGAACATAAGTTTGCGATTAACATCGTAAAAGGGTGTACGAAATCCCATCATCTCATAGAGAAGGATGCCAAATGACCACCAGTCAACAGAAGCACCATACTTTAGGCCCTTTAGAAGTTCTGGCGCAATGTACTCAGCAGTGCCACAGAACGTTGTTAACTGGAAGTGAAATATCTACAAAAAAGACATGTTTCCAGGACCATGCAAGACACTAACTAACACTGGGTGCACATCGGTAACGTTTTCTTTAGAGAGTCCGAAATCAGTAAGTGCGATATGACCAATCTGGTCCATGAGAATGTTTTCTAGTTTAAGATCGCGATATATGATTCCAGAATTGTGGAGGTGGTCCAGCGCCAGAAGTAGCTCGCCCTGAGAAAGAGGCGCATAAAAGTCATGCGCTAGGGTAGTCCAGGTGAACTTACAGCATAAAAGCACGCTCGACTTTCACAAAATCCACGGCTTTTGCGAAGATGAAAAAACAAAGAACCACCATTGTAGTAATCGGTGACAAGATACAACTTCTCTTCTGACTGGAAAGCATAGCGAAGCCGAACGATATATGGATGGCGAATTTCGCAGAGAATCGAACGCTCAGAGCGTGTATGCTCTGCTTGTCCTTTAGCTGCAATCACTGATTTCTTGAGAACTTTCATAGCAAATACACGCGAAGCATCCTGTAAGTTTGCAATTGACAGTAAGTCATTCCTACTAGCTAAGATAAGACCCTGAAAATTACCTGGCCCTGTTTTTTACGAACCAGCATCACCTTTCCAAATGCCCCTTTGCCAACTACCCGCAGGAGATCAAAGTCAAATACACTCAGTGAGCTGGTGAACCTGTGTTGCTGGACCCCTGACTTCTTGGACAGGCCTCGACGACCGTATCCTCTGATTGCAAATATACGGCTTAGAAGTCCTTCCGGCCGTCGGCTGCGGATAGGCCCCGACGCCATGAGCAGCCCTGCATTACGAGCCCTTCCACCCTCTGCGCACGACCTCAGGCTGTCGACACCAAAAGCTTTGGCTTCTGCAGCAGCAAATGCCTCACCAAGTTCTGTCGCTGTTGCAGGGGGGCTTGATGCAAAGTCAAAGAAGCGCAAGACACTACCCAGAGCTCGGCCCACTGAGATGGCCACATTTGGCGCTGCTTGGTCCTCACCAGCTTCAGTACCCACGGACAAGCAAGTGCACCCAAGTTTCTTTTCGGCGCCAAGAAGTCGAATAGGATAGCTTATTGTGTTGTGTCCTTCATATGCAAGTGTTAGTGCTCGTAATGCTGCTTTAGTTGCAACGTCCTAAAAGGAAGGCAGATATGATTCAAGTAGGACCCAGAATTAAATTTTAGACGCAGTCTGTACGTTGTCTCCACCCGACTCTCCACCATCTATAAGCTGTGAGGGCTCGATGCAAGCAATGGCGCGGATACGCATGGATTCATTGGGATTTTTTGCACATCGCACCATCTGCCTTTGAACCTATGTGTACACTTTGGGCGAATGTGCCTTGTGTTGCAGCTTAGTTTCACAATATCAACGGCAAGGGAAGAACCATTCCCATTTGTCAGGAGATATATTGATTTCAAATGGGCAACCGGGGCAATTTTTGTATCCCAAACATAGAGAACATGATTCTCAGGAGAAAAGGAATTTGCAATTGGCTGTCTCTTGTATTTACCTTGCGGAGACGCAACCTAAATTGCCCCGGTATCAAAAATAACTATAGTAAAAGCCTAACTGACCGAATTCGTGTTAGGATTGAGCACAGCAACTGCAAAGCCAGCCGATTTTGCCCGTTCAATTGCTGTCACCATGCCACCCACATGTAAACCCCTCGTCAGGCACAATGATCTACTCCAGACGCCAGGCCTGGATCCGACCTGTGGTGTAGAATGGGAATCTACAGTTTTGGAATGCGTTAACCTGATTCTGTATAATGATTATTAACTTGGTTGCTAGAGTCAGGTCGCTCATGTATATATTACAACAGGCTTCATTTTCACGGTCAGGAATCCAATGCTCAACCAACCCTAGTGATAGCATTCGTGCCTACTCGTTCAGGTTGTTCCAGCACATGGAATAACCGACAATCTACCTGGAGAAAGGTAGTAATCGCTTCGAGTACGCTGCAATACTCAGCATTTTGCTCCTCTGCGGTCGATGGTGGCAGAAAGCCGGGTTTGCGCGTGAGGTGTCCCGAAGTCTCGTCTAAATCATACAGCTCGTGTCTGAATTTAGAGTCAGACATCAACATGAGACCTCACTATCACAGCAGTTTAAGGACTAATGCCACACTGGCACAATGTAAGGCTCCGAAAGTGGGCGCTCAGATCCTGCACCTTGCGTGTGTTGAGAGTACGGCGTTTTGCGTACAAACGGGAAAGTGTCCAATCGAGTCAGTGTCGGTTTCCCCAGGGATGTCCCCAGGGACGTACAAAATTGTAACAAAATTTAATAATATGAGGGGCCCCCAGCGCCCCATCTTAAGGTCATCGTTTTTAACTGGGCTGGTACCAAGTGGGAAGCGTCGACGGCACGCACGATAGAGCTCCAGAGGTGCGTAGAGAACAACCGGTGGGAACTCGGAATGTTGCTATGCGGGCTCGGGACTCGGAGCGTGCGGTTCGCTCGTCCGCCATCGTTTTCAAAGTGGGCGTGACACGCATTTCGTAAACAAGCGAAGCGTAGCGTGGGCACATGTCCGCTCGCACGTGGAGGCGGAAGCAATGCTACGAGCCGACAGAGCCGCCGATCACTGAAATGGCACGCGCAAGCAAAGATTTCCCGGCGCTCCGAGTCATCGGCCTCCGAGTCCGCCTCGGAGTCATGGCCGCGCCCGGTCGGTCTCTCGCCGGCTGGTCTTGCCTCGGCTCAGCCCGGGTCTCAGGGAGTTCGCCCCGAGGTGCTGGTCTCGGCCTGGAAGTGCTTCGCCGTGGCCCTTCAGCGTGTTTGCTGTCAACTCGTAGCGGCCTGGGTCTCGCGTGTTCAGGGCAGGTAACCGTGGAGGAGTTCACACCTTTTTATCTGCCGAGGGCTGCTCCGCAAGGGCAAAGTCCGAGGTGGGGGGCGTCCGTACGGGTTTGGACTTTTGAAACTCACAAACCACCGATTTCGGATTTCGCGGAACATTCCAGAGTCTTCGTTGCGGAAGGTGCGTGACATTCGATTCGCCAAACGGAACGTTGAATTGCTTGCGTTGAAGATCAAGTTGAACTTGAAGTTCCACCGGTCCGCGACCCGCCCGCCGTTGCCGCGCAGCCACCCGCCCGTCACGGGTCCGCAAACACTGGTCCGCCCCGTCCGCCGGCAGACCGCCGCATCCGCTGATTCTCCGACCCATCCCCCGCGGGTACCGGTCCCCCAGCAGCCCCGGGTCCTAACCTGGTCCGCCAGGAGTTTACCTTGAGCGCGGGGCCCCGCCCGCGGCCCTCCACACCGCCACGTGTCGCAGACTCATCAAGTGAGTTAATGACGTATATAAGCTGCAAAACAATCCAGTCCAGGCCACAAAAGGAATAAACTGTGTCAGCAAGGCAAACGAGAAATGGCTAGCTAATATATGATGCAAGGGAGGCAAGAGCGCTAGTATGAAAACAACCTGACGAGATTTGCTAAGCACCTTCATCCTGTTTATCAAAACCTATCGAGCTTATTGATCCAGCGGCTCGTGCCAGGAATTTTGAGACGATTAGACGCTGTCGCTCGAGATCGATGGTTTGTTCAAGCTCATTGCGTTGTCTCCGCGCGGCATTGCGTTCCCGTTGCCGGTCCTGGTCTCGTTCATGCCGCGAAATGGATTCTGCGCTGCCGGCGGTTGTAACCAGCAAGTGTTTTGCTTCACCATCGCATCCGAGCCCTGATATACGTGGGATATGCGTGGCGTCAACTGCCAGTTGTTCGTGTATAGTTGCGCCGCAAAGGAAGGCGCTCCTCCTAGCACACGATTCTGAGCGTGATGCACCCCAAAGAAGTTTGAGCATGCGGGAGGGTTGCTGTGATGCCCGCGTCACAGCAGGCAACCCAACACGACTGTGTTTTGTGTCAAATCTGATTTCAACTGAGCTGCTTGCAGCCTCGTCCCAGTTTAAGGCAATTAGCATCCGGTCAGCAGCCATCGCAGCCGGTGAACATGATTGAAGCAGATTAGATGGCTCTGTGTGCACACATCGCTGTGCACTGCATTCCTGTGCACTATATCCTAAAATGAGGTTGGAAAGCTTTTCCTCAAATAGCCTCGAGAGTATACTGGCGGCGTCGTGAACAGCCAATTTAGAGTTTGCGACGTATACGCGTGCGTTGTTAAAGACAAGCCGTACATCACGGGCGAAAGCAAGGAATGTTTGGTATGTGCTCACGTGCTCACCAATGGCCTCAAGATCCATGGGCTTTTTGATGATCCTGGAGTAGTCCCCGAGTCCTGGCGCCGAGGACGTAATAGGCTTGAGGAAAAAAGCTGAGGCAGGCTGATCCAGGACTAATGCTCGAAATATGTGATGAACTTCACCGAGTGGTAGTTGCGAAATGCAATGTTCGGGGTCGCTGAAGGCAAGACATCTCTTGTGCGCACCCGTACTCGCTGCACGCGTGACACACATGAGCGTGGATGATTTTATGGCGCTTGCTTTAAGCTCTCTAAGTGCATGCTCAAAGCGCCCTTTCAGATGCACTGTTGCGAGATGAACCTAAGCGGAGCAGAGTTGCCAGAGTTGGCAGGAGGGTAACTTCATGATTTCATAGACTCGTTTAGATAGTACCGGACGTGCCGGGTCAACGTTGTTGCGTTGAATTGTATTTGCTAACATGAGTCTGAGATCATCGACAAAGGCATCCACGCAATGATAGTACCCCTTTTCGACACGAGATCCAATGGTCTTTAGATCCATTGGCTGATTTATAACCTGCATGGGTATTTGCAAAGAATGCCACCTAAAGATGTAAATCGTGCACTGTACTTTTTTTACTTTAAGGTGGTCAGGTATCTCCTTTACAAGGTTGCCAGGGAGATTGAAATATAAGTGTGTAGGTGATTCTTCCACAAAAATGTCAAGAAGCGTCATCAATGTCATGCGAGATACTCGACGATTTGCACGAGTCGGTGACGGGGTAGTGAGAGCATCCAAGCGGCATTGTTTTATGAGTGTCTGTGCTCAGCAGTAAAAGCTAAATATACGACATGATGACGTGACTCTGGGTTGACGAGGGCTGTCTTTATTTCAAGAGCAATCTGAAGTTTCTGCGTAGCGACATTGCAACAGCCTTTGACGTCAATAGTTTTGAGATCCATGAATGACTCGTTGAGTGTTTGGTAACTTTGAATACCAGTAGAAGTATGAAGACATTTGCGAAAGAGGTATGATTCCGTCGCTATCGCAAGTGGCTCAATAACGCCCCAAAGAAATTCACACGTTGCAATATCATCTTGGCCAGCTAAACGAAATAAGCTGTTTGAGGGGTTGTGCGTCAAGGATCTACAGGTTGCAAGGCCTGCCTCGAAGACGGCCAGGCGCTTCTTGGCTGCCATGCATCGGGAAGTGAATCCATTTGAACTCATGGCCTACAGGGCATAATCCATTTGAATCATGTGCGATAGCAACTAGTCGAATGAACAATAGTCCAAGCGCACATAGACACGGGCCAATTGTAACATTTACAATCACGAGACGCACATCGTCTATAAATGTCGCCATATGCAGCCACTGTTTATATTTGGCCGTATAGACTCTTTCGTAAATGCTACTGAGTTTCATAGACTGCGTGGCAGCAGCTCGGTCAGGAGCACCCAAGTATCTAACGTCATGTTCCAGCGCATTCACAAGCGTACACATTGTATTAAGCACGGCTGAACGAGGTGACGACAACAACGTGGAATCCCTTACAATAAGCCGGAGCTCTTCTGTAAAGAGACTTCTAAGCCCTATCGCGCAACTAAAAATTGCGCTACTCCTCTGCAACTTATTATATCTTGCTGCATTTCGGAATATTGCGTAAATGTTGCTGGCAAAAGCCCTCACAGACATATACTGACCAGATTCCATTTTTTTTTGTACGGTGATAAAGCTAAGTGGAGAAGTGATGGCACGAAAATGGTCTGGGAGAGTGGAACTGGGGTGTTGTATAGGATAGTTAAATTCGGAGTCATTTGAATTTACAAGTTTCGCGAGTAAACGACCACACTCAGAGGAAGCCGGGAACTTTTCCATCACCGCTGGAAAGTGTTCAAGGCTTTTGACCCCAAATCTGGCCTCAAAGAAGACACATAGCTCCTTTGCAGCAACAGACACCGGTGATGTTGGGTTGCATTTTGCCATGAGTGCGCTATTGAACACAAGGCGGACATCATCGGCGAACTGATTTTGTTTGCTAATGTCATTATATAAGTGCGTCTTGGCTTTTTTCGCAATCATTCCAAGGTGAATTGGACCGACAAAGGACTGCGGGGAACTCAAAGCAACTGGATCGGCAGGCTCGAAAAAGTAATGTGCCTGCAGCCTGCCGCGCAGGTCCCAAAGCACCATTGTCAGTGGGTCATTCATCAATCACGAGTCAGCCTCCTCTTAAGTCACGTCGGTATATGTGATCCATTTTCATTGGATAAATTGCGTATCATGACATCACGAGCTGGTACGTAGGTACCACTTGTATCTACGGTACCCTACGGTACTCTAGAGTACTCGAGTAGAGAGAGAGAGAGAGAGAGAGACCCTCTAGCCCTCCCTACCCTGGGATGTACTAGTATCTTCCCATGATTCTCTAAAATTTGAGTGTACACTGTTTACTATTGCCCCTGCCTCTAGTTCACTGGCAATTTCAAGTCACATTTTTTCCAAACTCAGGCTTGAACTTGAACAACAAGTCACGCTCAGTCTCTCGCCGTCACGGTGCCAGTGGGTACCGCCGTGCCGGGCCCGGGCCAGCCTGAGTGTCAGTGACAGCCTGACTCGGAGCCGCCGGAGCCTGGCCCGGGGCCGAGACCGGCGGTCATGATCAGTTTACCACCGTACAGTGACGTGGCCGTGGGTCCAAGGGGCATCCTAGCCCACAGCCTGAGCGACACTAGCTTGCCCTCAGCCTCAGCCCGGAGGTGTCTCCGAGTCCTGCACGAAACGCCACTGGCGCGATGTTCGCGTGGGGGCCCTTCCGGCCCCTCGCCTTTTAGGGCTCCACACTCGGCCAGAATGTGGAGCACCCCTGGGGCCCATTCGCAGTAAGTTTCCCCGTTCGGGCTATAAAGGGGAGGCGCTACAGCCCGCAATTTAGTCTGGTTCGGCCCCTTCGGACCGGACGCGCTGGGTCATTCATCCACATTCTACCCTACGCGCAGACAGATTCGATTTCAAACCCCGTACCCAATGCAGTTCCAACTTCCAAGAGTTCGGCTGGAGAAGCCCTGGAGTCTTAAAACATGCGATCAAAACACCACCAAAACCCTAAATATTATACATCAAGTACTATCTGGGAAGTATTTTTTGGACAGAGCAGTGCTCCGCACTATCAGGTTGCAAAATCCTCGAGAGCCAATTTTGCTTGTCGATTTCAGCTGACTGCTGGTGTATTGCAACTCAAGGTGGCTTCAATGACAACTTAAGTGGTCGTCCTTGTGAGATTGTGCATAATCCATGGCAATCCATTAGCACGATTACTTGTCGCTAAGCTGACCCAACGTGAATGGAGTAAACCTCGTGCCATCTGCTTTGTAAAACTTGTTTTGGAACTCCACCTGTGCATTTAATGAGAGGCTTTTCTTGATGAATAACGTACCCAGTGAAGGCGAAGGGCGTGTAGGAAACACTCCAGAAGATCCATCGCAAGCAGGACGGCGGCAGTCACAACCTGTCCTTAAACACATGCTAGCTTGCATTGCAATACCAAGACGCCGAAGTATCTGACTGCAAATGTAGAGTATGCTACAAAAACAAAAAAAATGCTATTAGCATTGATGGCAGTGCGCATGATTTTCTCCCAAAATACTTGAGCGAGTTCGGTGTGTGCAAGGGAAAGTGCCCAGAGTCGAAGATAAGACGCAGTGTTGGACACCATCCCAAGAACAAATTCAATGGTTTCAATGCACTGGTGAATGAGTACTTCAGAGAAGGAATGTACTTCTTTGGATTTTGGATCCTCACTAGAGGTGCTATCTTGATCCATTTCAATTTGGGTACTAATTGGCTGACTTGCGCTTGCGGGTTGCGATGCATGTTGGAAATATATATACACTGGCTTGCCAAGTAAAAGGACCGGCACAGAGAGGAATGCTATGGCGAGGAGAGCAGACTGCGCAGATCCCTGTCCACTGTACATTGGCTCATCAACAACACCTGGATTGAGGGCGATATTGATTAGCTGATTGATGAGATTGGGTGGTGCGCAGCCACCCGTCTCACCACCAAAATTGAGAGCGCATTTATGTTTTAGGGAATCACCATCTGAACAAGGACGCTGATCAAAGGTTAAGCCATCAATTCCGCAGCTGCCCATGAGTTGGCGTCTATCCCAATTAATGGCCCATTTGGTAAAGATGAGAACTGCCATATAGACAAATAGGCAAAAGTCAAAAATGATCATGGGCATGAACTCAAGCCAAAAAACTGCACGGTCGCCGAAATAAAGGGCGTTGAGGCCTTTCAAGAAGATCCCACCAGTCATTTGCACGACGCCAAATATCACAGCAGTTTTCATTTTCATGGAATTGAAAAACAGAAGCTCGTTTGAAGAAATATGCCAAGCTGGGTCAACACCAAATGGGTAAATGGAGCCTGTTGATCCATATGGCGCTGATAAATTTGCTTCGGCTCCTCCATCAACTGAACCGGCCACACTGCCTTTGCTACCTTCCCAGAGATACCCAGAGTCAAAAAGAGCCAATGCTAAAGAGAAGCAATCATTGTAGACAAAACCAACGTAGATGGCACATAAGCCCATGGTGATCAGCATATATCGGGAAGCATAAACACCGCCAAGCATTTCGTTCTCGCCGGCAGAGCTGACACATCTCCTGTAGGCTGGATGCGTAATGAGTAGATATATCCCTCCGAGCAAGATGCAGGCTCCATGGCCAATATCACCATACATCATGCCAAAGAGAAATGGGAATGTAACCGCAGTGAAGAGTGCGGGGTTGATTTCTTTGTAGCGTGGAACGCCATATGTATCAACAAATTCCTGGAACGCATAAGTAAATTCGTTGACATCGAAGGAGGTTGGTGGCACCGGCCACGGCAATGGCACCTGTGAGAGCATTGAGGCACCTGCGAGGTCCATTGCCGCGTGCGTTTGACTTATAAGCGTGCGCGCATCTACTTCTGCAGAGGCAACAATCCAACCCTCACCACGAAGCATCCCGCTTACGTCAGCGCGAAATAAATTGAGCACGTGATAAATGGCTTTCTCTCTGAGCACAACCGCTTTCCATTCAGAATAACGTCGCGCCAAGCGCGAACAAAGAGCAAGACGCAACTCTCGATTCTTCAAGAGCACCTCTCGCGCCTGTATGAAACCAGATTTTTGATAATTATGACGCACAGAACATCACATGACGCAGTAAGGCCACATCTGCAAGCTCCGAGGTAGTCTCGCGAACAATGAGACCCAGTTGACTGGCATTTCCAAGTGTTAGGTGGTCTGGTACGGGGTATTGTCGGGCACCAAATGCATCACAAATTTTGTTGATGATGGCAGAGATGACTTCGGATTTAAAGAATACAATGAAAACAATCTTGAATTCAGGTCTGCCTGTAGCAGCATCTGCTATTGGTCTTTCTACTTCTGCAAAGCGCGCAAAGCAATTTCCACGGGTTGAACGGAATAGCATGCGCTCAAAACGAGATTTCTCATCGGCCTTCAATATGCCCACAGTCGAAGAAAATTTCATCTCGCCCTCGATGACATGCTTAAATCCCCCGGAAGCAAGGCCTGAGCAAGAGGGAACTAAGGTTCTGTGCACAACAGAAGAGGCACCTGAGTGGCCTCGGCTAGCATCTGCGAGAAGGGGCTGCATTCCGTCCTCAGAAATAGCTGGTGCACCATAGGCACTACTCAGAGGATTCACTGTATCTAATTTAGAGCTGGCTCCATCTGCTTCCGCCGCCAGGAACTTCCTACCCTTTTCTAGACATTCTTGAAACTCCACTTTTTCATTGTATTTGTGTGTTAACTCATTGGAATAAGTGTTGAGTTCGAGTAATTGTGTTTCATATTCCTCGAGTTCGGCTTCAAGCGTGTCCAATAGTAGAGCACTTGATCTGAGGTCACTTGTCGGATATAACAGGCATTTTAATTCTCTCACGTACCGCGAAGCTGTAGTTTTCGATGTGGTTGTCTCCATTTCATACGTATGGCTCGTCGATCTGAGATTTAATTGAGAGCAAAACGAACAATGTACTCACGAGATTTGCAGTCCAAAGGCTTCAATCTCTTTAAGAATAAAACGCAGCTTCCGCTCAAGCTCATCACACCTGACAGCTAGATGGAGAATGCTCGTGCTCTTTTCCTACCTTTTAACATAATTCACATAGCGTCGTTGGAAAGCAGTTTGCTCGGGGTTAAGATCGGTGAATTGCAGAGCACTGAGTTCTCCCAGGTTATGCACACACTCGTGGGCCGCATCCTCACTCAAGATTAGAGAGACGTATTTCATATCGCGCGAGCGCCACCATGACCCCATTGGTGACCGCACCACCAGTACCCGGGGAGCACCTTGTAAAGCTAGAGCTAGCCTAGAAAGCTAGAGCTAGCCCTGGGCATACCAAGTCAGTTCAGCGCAGGATGGCGGAGCTAGAGAGCGATGATTGTGGTAATGCCGCGTGTGTGATTTCTGCCTTTTACTATCTCGGCACTTAGGTTCAACGCCATCTTTGAGCTTGTTAGTAGATTCTGGATCGTGTGTGCACGCGTGAGCAGTCCAGTTAGTCGCGATATTCACTATTCTCGCCGCAGGCGGACTCTAGACCCGAACGCAGCGCGATGTAGCCAGGCCCGTGTGCTTAAAGAACTTACATATTTGATATTGTAAATCATGTATGAAGGTGATGCCACAGCGACACGACCGGCAGACTCGTTGCTCAGTTTGGATACCAAGGCGGAACTGCCTATCTCGGCTTCGTGCGCCCCGGTTCCTACACTTGTGGGATCCATCACCGCCGGTGTAGCAAGTGGGGTCTGGGGCATGACACAACAAGCTGCAAAATCGGGCAACCCATCACTAACATCAGAGTTTGAGTATAAATTCAAGTCCGTGTCCCCATCAGAGACATCGGAGCAGCAAGTAAGACCGCAATCGGGTAGCTACAGTGGCTACTTTCTCCTGCAGCTGCCAGGAAGGACCGCACCAGTGAAAGTTGTAGAGAATGCCATGTCTTTGGAATTCTCTTTAAATATTGCAGGCAAGCTTAATGTGCGTGGTCACGGAGAAAATCGCTATGGTCCCTTCTCAATTTCTGGTACCTGTGACAATGATGGTCGTAATCTTGAGCTTGCGCGCGTTTATGCACCCAAAAGTGCTCAGACTGCCAAGCCAAAAACATCGTCAGCTGTGCGCAAGCCTAGTGGCAAGGATTTAACTCGTGTTCAGGAAGCACTAAAAAGGTCGGACGATCAAGCTGTTGAAAGTTCAACTTTGTTAGGTAGAAGCGAGTCAGTTGGGGCCGAAACAGACGGAAAACGTTCCACTCGTGCGCGCAAAATGCCATCACACCTTCGTGACGAACCATTCCCCGGGAGTATTTCAAGTAGTTTCCCATCAAATGAGCCATTCAAGCGCTGCAATGCCATCGTTGCGTCACTGGAGCGGTCAACTGGCTCAGGCTGGTTTTTGACGCCCGTAGATGCGATCACGCTTGGGGTACCCCACTACAGCGCAATTATCGACTTGCCCATGGATTTGGGTACTGTAAAGCACAGCCTTGACCGTGGCTTGTACTCCGATCCACATGCTTTTGCTACAGATATGCGCCTTGTATTTCGCAATGCCATGACTTTCAATATTTTACCAGAGGCACCTGTTCATGAGGCCGCACGTGACCTTCATGTGAAATTTCAAGACCAACTCAAGGGCCTCTGGAAGCATGCGGCCGGCGGCACTTTGGCTGGTGCCAAGGCTAGAGTAGGGGGGCTAAAGCGTGATGCAGATCTTGACTTGGACGGTGGTACCAAACGTGGCAAGGTCACGAATGGAAAAGGTACAGGCAAGAAAAGTGGCAAGGGTAAAAAGTATCCACGAGACGATGACATTTCTACTCTGCCTTCGGGGACTGGTATGGTACCAGTAGCTGATCTCATCAACATGCAGCGCCAAATGGAATCTATGCAAGCAACTATCGCTGCTCTACAGAAGCAGGCCTCACAAACTGAGGTTCAAGTGCAGATGAATATGGAGCTTGGCGTCGGGACAGCAGCTCCATCTGCTTACAGCTCATCCAAAGTACCTCGCTTTGCTAAGCCCCTCACTTTTGACGAAAAAGAGGCCCTCTCTGATGACATTAATGCCCTGCCCCCGGACAAACTTGCCCATGTTGTAAAAATCGTCCAGGAGTCAATGCCACTAAGAGGCCGCCATGATGATGATGAAATTGAAGTTGACATCGAAACCCTTGACAATGACACTCTTCGCCACCTCCAAAAGTACGTCAAAGCTTCACTGAGTAAGAAACGAACGAGCATTAAAAAAAAAGTTCCGCCGCTGCAAGTGCCATCGACTCAGCCCGACATATCGCTCACAACCGATGAACGCACTCTTGCATCGGTCGCCTTTGGGAATCCCGGCCTAGGATCGGGCCTGAACTCAGATGAGGACGATGACGAACTCGCTTATGACGTGCTTGGTGCTTAGTTCAGGCAGCACTAAGCCACAAATTTCTTACTGGCATGGTCCAAATAGAATCGCTGCCATCAATCTACTTGCACGTCCACTCGGACCTCAATTAATAGGACGATAGGAAGATTGGGACGCAATTATTCCCAACAGCCTGTCTTAAGCCTTCAGTAATTTCGCCGGGTGAATCAGATGGGCGAAGATTAAGCAGGGCCGGACCCCGGAAATTCCCTAGCAGCCCTATATGGATATGGAACGGTAGGAAATAATTAGTGGATAATTAGAGACCGATTCAATGATTTATCCCGTCCGTTGGAGAAATTTGGTTTTCGGGCGGGTTTTATCTCGACCTCGTACCGTCGCAGCTGATTTTTCAGCGCGAGGCTGCCCGCATGCACCAAACTTTGCACGCAACAAAAAGGTATAAACTCCTTCAGGGTCAGCTGCCCTGAGGGCAGCTAACCCAGGAGGAGTTCATGCCTTTTTCCCTGCCGGGGGCTGCTCCGCAAGGGTGCCAAATCCGGCGTGGGGGGTGATGGTTCGGGTTTAAGACTTTTTTATTATAAACCACTGATTTCGGGTTTTGGGGGGAAACCATGGTCAAAGCAGCCTCTCTTTAGGTCTAAGTTGCTTTCACTTAGACTAGGCATAGCCACGCCCCTTCCGGGGGCGTGGAGGGGGGCGAAAACCCGCACGTAAATATTGTATAATAAAAACCATGGGATAGCTGCCTTCAGGGCAGCTGACCCTGAAGGAGTTTATACCTTTTTCCATTATTTTAGCATACGGAAGCTGCGCCTCAGCGAAAGTTTGCCGCCATTCGGTCGGCGTGTGGCTGTACGCTGAGGGGCCCGGGCCAATAATGTTGAGGATTCGCCGACGGTCCTTCGAATGGGAGTCACGGTAATCGTCGATATGGAAGGAACTGCCAGGGGCAATGGCTGCCCTTCCCGCCGGAGGCAAGAAGTGCTGTAAAATAAATGTCGATAATGCGCTCTGGAGGCCCCTGCTCGGCGCGACGGCATCTACGCCCGCCACATCCCCGGGCCGTGACACTTCGATAGATCGGGAGCATTGGGCCCACCTCGCAAGTGGGGGCCCACGGTCCAACTCGACGAATTAGCCAAGGCAGACTTGGACGCGTATTTTAAAGGCAAAAATTACTCAAGGTGCCTTAAAATCGCCGCTGCCCGGGCCGCCGGCACCGGCGCCGCCGCGGCCCCCAGATCCGCGGCCAGTCTCCGCACCGTTTCAGCTTCCGCAGCTTCTACGTCCCGCAAGGAGACTCCAAGTTCCCTCTCCATCGCTTCCTATTGGTTAGACCTTGTGGGCCCGTAACCCTCAGCGATATTAGCTTTGGTATGTGCTTGAATCTAATGAGCTGGGTGCAGCAAGTGCACAATGCAGCTGTTGTAGCTAGGTCTCTCGGGTGTCGATGTGACACGGAGATACCAACAGGAAGGACTCTCACTGAAACGCTAGGTTGCCATTAACCGGTTAATAACCGGCAATTTACCTGTTATTACCCCTCGAAGGGGATCCGGGGTAAATAACCCGCCCAATAACCCGACGGGTTTTCGACTAAACCCGTTTAGTGAGATTAGCGAAGACCCCTCCGGACGAGCGGATGGGCGCAAGCAGCCCGTTGAGCTTTTGGATACGTACAGGTGCGCCAAGGCAAGTACCAAGTCATGTGGCCCGGCGCGGCCCAGGCCCGCGCCAGTGGCCCGTGAGGCCCCCTCCCCTACCGTGACCCCTCTATAAGATTCTGGGGTAAATTACCCGTACTGACCGGTAATTACCCGGGTTATTAACCCCGGGCGGCGCCAGGGGTAAAAAACCCCTCAGGTAAATGGCAACCTAGCTGAAACGTGAGAGTGTGGGAACCCCGGGCCTGGGCCCCTCAACCCTGCCAGACAGAATCATCATGATTGGAATAAAGGAGTTAAGAGGGAGAAGGAAGTATCCTAAGATACAGGCCACTAGCCTCTGATATCTACTAGAACCTGAGAGGAGCTCTAGATAAAGGTAACTACAGGATCATAGCACAATCGCTGTAAAGTTACTGTACCGTAGGTACCTACGGTACCGTAGTATCAGTATCGGGATAGGTAACCGCAGGATTTTATTTGATTTCTTTCACTGTGGTGATATACGTTCCACGGTAGCTCCATCTGCCGCAAACCTGTATCAAGTCCCGGCATGGAGCCATCATCGTATTGATGACAAAATCTGTCAAAATATCGCGCGGCATGGCCCGGAAGTGGGAGCGGCACATGCCGTTAAAATTTCGGCTGATAGGTCAATGCTTCGTCACATCAGGCGCCGTTCTCCTGATAGTTCTGACATTCCTCTGGAGCCAATATCTTTTTCCGACAATGCTGGACTCAAACGTCGCATTTGATGTCCGCCAAGCAGTGCTGTCGACATGCTTGGGGTTAACTCAAACTGCATAGGCTGTGCTGAATCAATATGACCAATTTACAAACGATTGGACCTTCAAAGATTTTGAGCAGCTAGCCGCGCCCATGCTATGCGGCTTTGACTCATGAGTCTCGTAGGCATCGTGAGCAGGATTCGGCCACAGACTTATTCATTCTCTATCTTTGGCACGTGACAAATACAGAAAATTTTATTGAGTCAGGGTATAAGCCACGCCTCCAGGAGAAGGGGCCCTATGCCTACGTGAAGCAAGCCTACAGATATCATATTGTGAGAAGTTGCCTGGAATACTCATGAGAAAAACGTGCAAAACTTTTGTAGGACTGGTCCAAGGATGGTAAACAAGTCACCTACAAGGAATGGTGGTATCTGCAAAAGGCCGATTCAACAGAGGCGTGTCGACTTATGTTTTTCCAGCAGGGCTTGGGTGAATATAATGAGCACACTCGAGACCGACCAGCAGGTTGCGCTGCTGACAACGAAACGGTGTGTTGAGATAGCTGATCATCCACCATTGTGTTTGATACAGGTGACCATGTTGAATCCAAAGTTCGTGGCACTACAGCATCGATGGACCGTCCAGGAAATCTTTGGTGAGCTATCACAGTCTGTCTTTGCTAACATTCGCGATTCCATGGTGGCTGCAGATGCATTTCCTAGAACCGTACGTGCAATAATACCGGGCGTCGACGACAATCACTATCTTCATACTCAGGTCAAGGCGGAGCTCACTCCAGATGCCATCTCTGACGTTTGGACATATCGATTGGCGGTGCATGCATCCTCAGCCTTAGGTGCAGTTGTGTCGGCCCTTGGTAGTACAGATGCCTCAATTTCTTTTGCCCTGTCGGACAGCAGCACCATTTCGCATTTTAACTCACTGTCCCTATCGCCTATAGCCGGAGATGTGGCTTTTGGAACAGCTGACGCGATCAAAGCTGAAGCACTTGTTTCGGGTGTGGCTGAGTCTGAAGCCACTTTGACTACCCGTCAGGCGGCTTATTTGCTTGAACCCGCAAACACCATTTCTGTGCTCAACTATGAGCGTGGTGTGCCCCTGTGGATAGGCACTGCAAGGTACTTGGGCCTAGTGCAATCATCTGGGCTTGAAGATGAGGCCAGCCCTGCATACCAGCTTGCATACAATCAAGTCCTCAACGATCTCAAAGTATTGGAGAAGAGTCCCGACGCAACGAGAGTTGTCGCTCTGGGAATAGCAAGGCACCTTTATGGGCCAACGGGTTGGATGACCACGCCGGGCGCCGATGAGTATCGCACCAAGGAGTGGGCCGGGGACCAAGCTTTTCTCCGGGGGGGCGGTTGTGACTGTGGTTCCTACAGCACCGGTCTGTACGCGGACGTTGCTGTCGCCATAAGCCCTGGTCTATACTATTACCGTTGCAGTTGGGGACTTGCCAGTTCGTTAGACTTCCATGCTCCCTGGGAAGATGACGCTGTCGTTTCACCGATGAACTCTTCCCTTACGAAGTGGATTATCGATCCTGACTACGAAGATACTCGCAACGACATTAGCATCCACTCTGATGAAAATTTGGTTCGATGGTGGCAAGTATATGAGTACTGTAATGTGTCTCGCAGCGGTCGAAGCCCAAGGTAAGCTATGATCCATGTGCCCGGTCACGACACATAGCTCTATTTAGTTGTGAGGCCATGATAGACGCATCCCGTGTGGCGGAAACCTTCATTCCAGCGGTCATGTTTGATCTAAGCCAGCACACGCTCAAGTCATTCTCCGCCACTGTGAATACGCGCTCTGCAGGACTGGATGATAGCACATTCATTTCTGGCAATGGTACGATGATCTTAATTTCCCAGGGGACATGTGATTTGTTTCTTGCATCACAGGTTCAAATACGGCAAACATGGTCGCTTTGGTTCAACAATACCAGGCACAAGCATGCGCAGTTGCGGGGCACCTCTACGAAGCTTGGGCTCTCAAAGATCATTGGCATGAAGTCTATGTTGCATCGAGAATGTCTCGTGCCACCGGCTTTGAATTTCTTGCTGGCCGCCTCGAAGACCTCGGCTACGCGCAATGGGGAGGAGGCTATGTTACATCTGCACTCTGGGGGGTACCGTCAGTTTTAAATATTGAACGAAAAGGCTATTGGAAGTTTGGCATTGCATCTCCCTCACCGACATTGAATCTTATTGAGTTTCACTCACAAGCCATGGCCGTCGGCTATTCTAATATGAATATGACCAAAGAAAGCGCACGAATTTTGCTGGATGCTCTTGCTGCAAACGGCCCCAGGGCACGTACTTTCCGCGGCAAGATCGGCGAGGTTGCTACTTCATTTCGTTGTCCAGACGCCAGTTCTGACGGTGGGTGTGCTGACAGTGAGAGTGCAAATTGTATACGGTGCGGTCCAGCGTTTTTGCTTATCCTTTTGAATGGCTATAAATGCAAGCTCCTTTCGCAGCTTCCATCGTCGAACGTCAGCCGACTGCTACGAGAGGATAGGGGATGACAACAATTTTTTTGGGTATTGCGACTGCCGGGCAAACGGCAGCTACTTCGTGACTCAAAATACTTTTGGAAATTTCCTGGGGGCCGTTCCACCGTCTGTAAATAACAATACATCTGACGATGAGAATTTAGACCAGGCAGCTTCGTTGCTTGCAGAGGAATTCATGTCGTCTGCTGTTACTTGCCAGCGTATTCAGGACTATTACAAACAGTGCTCCTGGCTTGAAACTGAACCACGATATAGCTTTTGGCTGGTAAATTGCAAGACGTGGGAAACGTTAATCTCTGATCCAACTTACGGCATTTATTGTGATCTTGAGACAATCCTAAAGGTCGATTCAGCCCACAACCACGATTACCAGTCAGCGACAATTCACCCATATGGTCGACGGCGAGGAATCATTATTGCTTTCTGGCTTCAAGAGTGGTCGACTTATCGTGTGCTTATAGAAAATAGACTGGTCTGCAATGAGCCAGACTGCTCAGAGTGCTTATCAAAGGGGTATTGTGACCGTGCCTATAACTACGGTGGACTTTTTGTTACTCATCAAGCGAAGCGACTATTGTTTGAGGGCTACGTGGATAGAGTTGCAATGACATTGTTGAATTCAGAGCTACAATATTATAACCTATCTGTGCGATGCCAGGATCATTCTACAATCAAACTTGACGAGTATTGTAATCCAGTAGAAAATAACGAATGCACTGATGGTGGTTTTGAAATTATAGACAGACTTGGGGTTTCTAGGAAGTTTCAACACAATGGCAGACATAAGAGAGACTGGTATTTGCCCGAAATAATCCTAAATCCAACCAACATTTCGCACTACATTGAGCCTAAAACTCAACCTAAGGACACCATGGCTACGCTATCGAGCCGGACATTAACCATCGAGAATCCAGCCTTCGCCATCTATCCTGGGAAACTATGGGCGCCCGACGTTACAATCAATTTGCGTCGTGGCTGCGAAGGTGATGAAGTTTGCAAATTTCACCAAGAAACCGACTGTGTGAATCGCTTTCTTGGTGGAAAGGGGAAATGGCAGAACTGCACCAGTACTCTTGTGACAGGAAAAAACAATCTCAATGATGTACAGCGCGTTGCAGAATGGCGAGGGAACACCAGCCTCATCACTGGCAACGAGTTTGTTCTCAGAGGACCAGCGTAGCCCAGACCTAAGAGAGAGATAGTTCATGCCTGCTTTTAGGCGCATCCTATTGAGACGATGGCAGGAACCCTAAGCCATCAAATGCGACCCTATGGTTGGGAAGGCTTCCAAGAGTACAACCTCACATATCTTACTAGGGCGAGGGGACTCAGTTTCCAGGGTGCCGATGTCATGTATATTTTGAATGCAGACCACTTGATGCTCATTGAGCTAGTAAGGTGTCCTACCGGCAACCTCGAGATTGGCATGGCAGATCTCTCAGAGGAGTATATCACGGTGTCCATATGTTTACGCTCAAGTTGGGGACGAGTCGAGATCTAGGTTTTATGCGGAATGGCCAATTCGCAAGAAGCTGGATGCTGAAAATTATACTCGCCGTTTCTGGGCTAGAGCAAATCGCTACGAGACTACAGCAAAGACATTTCTTGACGGCCGTGAGCGTGCTGGGTATCGCTTAAAAGACGTCCACGGCGAGCGTTACCGCTGTCCTTATGGCATGATTTCGCTCGAAGCAATTGCAGACTCGCCGTGCTTTATTAGTTTACCTCACTTTTGGGGCAATGAAATATGGGGGGGGCTTGAGGCCAGGGAGGTCTATTTCAATACAAATGACGATCGTAGGCTCCATAGTTTCTACATTGACGTTGAGCCCATCTCTGGCCAGACTGTTCGTGAAGCCCGTCGTTTTCAATTCAACTTTCGCATAGAACGCAACATGCAATTTCCTCAAATTGTCTCTAGTCAAGAGCGATGCGAGGTACCAACTGCAGATTTTAGCAAAAATGGTTACGGGTGCTTCATGTTCTTTCCAGTCTGGTGGGTTTCCGAGGAGCGTCATATTGACAGTAGCAAAGCACTGCGACTCAAAGCAGAGGTCCTTGAAATTCCGGAGCGACTGTTCTACACGACACTCTATGGTACTGCAGTTGCCGTGGCTCTTGTTGTGTTTGGAGCAATACCATGGTATTGCACAAACCAAAAAGAGGCCTCATTTCGAAAGCGCATTTACATCGACTAACTCTATATGCGATGATAAGTGTCGAATCTGCCACTAGCAGCCCACAAACCAGGCAATTACACTTGAAAGTGCAGCAAGGGTGCAACTCCCGCCGCCGTTTTACGCAAGAACACACCCTGGCCAAGGGGGCACCCTCACAGTACCTATCTCTCAGAACGCGTGGCCGACGCAGACAGGGACGAAACTGTAGTGCTGTAGTGCACGTCGCCTAGACCGTCATCCCGCCCGTAATTTTTTTTCAAGTTAGCGTACTCAACGAACGCGAGGCTTTCTTGGCTAGTTTACACTCGATTTGCCCTGACGCACGGCGTATGACCGAGGGAGATCTTCCTATGGTGTGCAGTCTACGCAAAGCATTTTTACGTGAGGAACGGCCCCGCGTAGATTGCGCCGTGATTTACGCGTAATTTGTGTGACGCACAGCCAGAGCGTACTAGTAGTAAAAATAACTTGTGGTAGCCATAAAGCTAGCCAAAAGCAACACGAGAGCGGCGCATAAGCGCACACATTGCTCGCAGCAGCACGCAACTAGCAATTGGCTCGGACCACGGGACACTGGCAGCGTTCAAGTTTGGGGTAGCCACTCTCTGCGGAGCTGTCAATCGGCGCGAGCCCAGATAGTCTCAAAACGGGTGTTGGGCATCCTGACCGAGCAGGGAGAAGACTCTAGGGACTTGTTCCTTCTTTTTTAGGTCCTCCTTAATTTAGGTATGATCCACAGTACGTAACTTGGTTGGAAAGGGGAGCCCACCCTAGAAGCCTTAGCCGGGGGGCCTAATTTGAGATTCGAGTTCACAGCCACTTGGCCGAGGGCAAATATGGCTGGTGGGGAGGGGTTACTTTCGCAACGAGACGCCGCGGTCGCGTGAAGTTGCCCAGCTGAGCTGTCATGGGGCCTAGGCTCGAGCTGAAAAATCAAACTCGTCTCTATGCTGGTAATTCGCTCCCAGGGGCCCTGGTTACCAATGGCGTAGTCATTCGCAAGCGCGGCCGGGTACGATGGCCCGGGGCTGCCAGATATCGTTTCGCTCGTCCGTTTTGGTCAGGCTAGACGGGTAAGTAGAAGAAGTAGGCCCCTTATTCTCGATTTGCTCGCGCACCAGACGCTGACCCCCGTTATGCACATTATCCTCCCCCCCACACCCCCCCACTAAGAGCCCGGTCCCCCAGCCTACTATACATCCGGTGGTTATATCATTTTTATGATTTTGAGGTCGATTGTCCTATGAGCAAGCAAATAGGGCTAAATTGACCTCTAAAATCTTAAAATAGGGGGGGGCTAGTGGTCGTAACGTGCGGGTATTTTACGATAGCTCTAGCGAACTTTGAGTCGTCCTGGCGGGAGGCAATGAGTTTGGACCGCAGGAAAGTTGACGGAAAGCGTCCAGGGGCGTCTCCCTAGGAGTCTTTCCGTCGCTAGACCGCTGGTCCAAACTAATCTGGCAGTTTGGTAAATTTGGCGACACTCCCTGAGGAGATGCTCTCGGGGCTTTGCCTGCTAAAGGCGGGCCGGGAGAGCCCACATTGGGCATCTGCGCGTGGCCTGTCGTCGGTCTGCGATGCTGCGGACGCTGCGAACGCGTCAGTTGCGCCAGCCGCGGCCCGCAGCAGCCCCATTTGCAGCATGGGGCAGCTGTATCGGCAAATGACGCGACGGGACTGCGTTTCTCTTACCTCAGCGCATTCGCGCGTGGCTCCCCGGTCGACACGCACGACGTGAGACGCCCCTGTCCTTGTGGAACGCGCCTTAGGCCCGAACTCGTTCTCGGCCGAGATTGTCATCGACTCACTCACGGTCACAATCGCGGCGTCACGAGACCAGGCATGCTTTCCCAGTCACTACGACCGTATCGAAAGCGCCTGGTATCATCACTGACCGCGCTCGGCCTCCTGACGAAAACGCGTATAAAAAACGTAGGCGTCTACCGCCCATAACTTTGCGCCATCCGATCCGTTTGTTATCAACCCTGGGTCAAACCCAGCTTACTAAGGTCCCTCTAAAGCATGGTGACGACGCTGGGGGTCCCGGGAGGAGTCATAGAAATTCGAGTTTTGGGTGTCCCCCCCTACAAGTTAAAAATGGTGTTAAAACTGGCTCATCTTATATCATCATCGGTCGTTTGCTCTCCAATAGCAGAGGCCCGAACATGGCAGTTTGCGGCCCGTCCCAGGTCCGTCGCAAAGTCGCTTCAATGGGTCGTGGTGTACTCTAGGTACCATCTTCAAGTTACGGAGATAGCGCGACGCCAACACGTACGGAGTAGAGCATATAAGAATCTATATATGATTCACCGTGACCGCTGTCTAGGCCGGCTGACCCGCCCTCAGGCGAGGACTCAGGAGGCTCCAGGCCGCTCAAGAATGGGTGTGGATTATGTTGAGCGCACCTCAAAATCACCCGCCTTCGATCCCCATTTGCCAAATCTCGCTATCAATTCATTCTTAGTAAGGCGCACCGCGGGACCTGCTTGGAAGCTGACTTTTGTCTCTCCCGAGTCACACAGCCACTGCCTCAGTGTTCGTCACGGCCTGCCCCCATGCCTAGTCGCTCCTGCCCTGCTAGCTTACCCGGCAATAAATCATTGCAACATCTTTTCAAGTTGCCACAGTCACACTGTTAAAAATCAATGCCGAATCGTAACAATTCCGCGCTTGGCACTTTCTCCCGTTTGGGTGGACATGAGGGCCAATTTCTATGCCAAACCGACATGAAAAAGAGAGGAACAGGCAGGACTTATTACTATTAGGACGTCAATTCAATTGTCATATAGATCACATAAGGTAGTACTTTTCATTAGCGTAGTACAGATTGCCACTAGCGTGCATGGCCCGGATTGCTACATCAAGATCTTCAGCATCTTGAGCCAGCTCAAGTTCCGCGCGGGATTTTCCGTCGAGTGACTTAGCAAGAAGAGCCAAGGGGGTTGACAGGCCACCATAGGAATTTCTTTTTGCCTGTAACATCGTACACTTGATCTTCCGACACAGTAAACTCGCCTCAGCAAACATGGCAAGCGGAACCCTGGCCCATCGCTCCAATGCATCCCAGTCATTTTGCAGTCTTTCCCGTGTGCTTCCAAATGACGCCTTACCCAGAGAGCGTCTCGAGGAACAAACAACAGCCAGGTCATCACAAGTGAGCATGGCACAGTCATCTAGGGTTGAAAGTAGAGAAGCATGCAGCACAGCAACTTGAGATCCGGGCGGAATGCCCAAGAGATTACGGCTGCTGTGTTGTCTCCGATCTCTTCTTAGGGAAACAAAAATGAGATCTTGGGAGTAGTCATAAAGAACAAGCGTACTATAGGAGGCACTGCTATCGTAAGTTGCCAAAATTATGCCAACAGTATCAACTCGGGATCCAACATTATCACGGCCCAAGCAGGCAAGATGTGATCCGCAACAAAGTGACCGCGGGATATATTGACTTGCGGCAAGATCGCGAAGTGAAGCTGGCGATTCGATTGCTTCACAGCGGGAATGAAATGTTCGCTTGAGCAAAAACTCGCCCGCGTGACCGGGAACCGCAATGACATAGTGAACTCTGATCGTATCGCCTTCACAAATTTCTGTGTAAGTGCCATTCTGTGTGGTGTCAAATGATATACGGAGGTGTGTCTCGTTTGCGATTCCATGCAATTTTGGTGCGGCGAGCCACAGAACGGTTTGCTCTTGCAACAAGGATATCTGGGATGGGAGTCGAATGCGCTGCACTACAGCCTCAACTGCTGAAATAACGCCACCACTTGAGGAGAGAGAATATGGCGTTAGTACCATTGAATTCCGATACTTTTGAAACCCCAGCCTGGCGGCTGAACGGGCTAAACGTGTTCCATTGAAATGTAGCCACAAGGTCGGTACATCATTGCCTGCAAGTAGCGCTGAAAATTTGTCTGTCAATGTACCACGCAAGATCTCAAAGCCTTGGAGAGCAAGTTTTGTGCCAACACGAATTTGGCCCCGTGCACAGCGGCAACTGAGGTCTTTGTCGAAGATGCCATGAATTCTATACCAACCGTCAGTTAATTCCACCAATATCTCGCCCTTACCATTCCCACCATACATGTTGGAGACTACTAGGATGAGGAGACCCATGCTACCTGACTCATCCAGACACAATTCCTTTAATCCCGGTCTGCACCTACGTTCAACTTCACGTTCAAACCTCGACTTGAGATGCAAGAGGATATTTTCAAAGGTCAACCGGGCTACGCAAAACTGCCTTGAGACAGCTGCTAATTTCCAGACAATCCATCGATAATGGTTCTCTATCCATGCCCGCCACTTTCCAGACAATCCACGCTTTCCAATGATAACCAAGCAGGCAGACACAGTTGCCGCGCCCCAGCGCTCAGCTTTAGTAGTCCAACTTGACACCAGAGAAACGCCCTGTGAGTTTGAGAACACTACACTTGATGCATTCTTGGCGTTGACTTCGAAAACCACTTCCGATCCCCCCTCTCTCCTCCATAATAGTCCCTCAGGTAGCTGCGCCAATAAACCTGGTTTCAAACTGTCAGCACGTGTGCCAAGAGCCCCGCCGAAAAAAGATAGATGCATGCCGGCCGAAATATTGCGTCGGGGTCTAACCATAAATTCATGTCCAACCATCATCATTGTTCTTGCTAGTGTCGCTGCTGTCGTGCGACGGGTGACCGATCCCTCTGCTTCTGCAGGTTGAATGACGCATTTAACATGAGTACTCTGCTCTTTTAAAGTTGTGGCCACTTCAGCATCCCAATCAAGTTCATGGGTCCCATCTGCCGCCCAAGGGATTGAGACAACTTTGTAACGCATGCGTCCCGAGCAGTCCGGTCTTGATGGAGGCTAGACGGAACTAACCTTATATGTCTCATTGAGAAGTATAGTACTCTTGACGCCCGTACCACCTTGTACCCTATACAGCGGACTCTGGGCGTAATCTGGACGTAGCGCATATCTTCGCCATCCAGAGGCGGGCGAATAAAGGTGGGAGTAGACCTGCGGGCAGGTGGCCGTAGTACCGGTACAAGGATGCGCAACGTTTCAAGTTCCGAGTCAAGTTCAAGTTCAGGGTCACGGGGCTTCGGAAGGTGTGTGTTCATCGAGGCAGCGCCAAAGCGTCGGCTCCACTATGATGCGCGATCGCTTTTGTCTGGGGCAGTGCACTTTTGGCCGGCGCCGGGGGGGAGGAAGCGTCAGTCGAACTTGAAGGTTAGTGTTCAAGGAAACCCATGCGTCAAAGGAGCTCCTAGGGTATTCCCGGTGAGCCCCGCGGGCGGAAGCGGGGCCTCGCCCTCAGGCCGTCCCAGCAAGTCCAACAAAACGGCACCGGGACTGGCACTTGGTAAACCGTTTGAACTTGTCCAACAAAAAGATGAATCCATGGGCACAGCATTTTTTCATACTACAAGTAATCTACTAACACTTTTAAGTCTGTCGCCCCCTTTTGACAAAGAGGGAGGCGAAATGGTTGGGATTCGGCGGATTTTTTTTTTCCTGGACCAAACATCGCGCTAGTGGTATTCGTGCTGCGTCGCGCGATTCTTTTGGCACGCCACCAAGCTTAATGACTACGTTTGTGCATCCAGGCCTGGGATAGAGGCCCGGGACCCTCGGGAAATCATTTCCTGCTAGTGAAAGTCTAATTTAATTAGGCCGGCCGGCCTACGTGAAAGAAACCATCCTACATCATGATGGCCCTAACAGGGGTTGATTCTACACCTGAGAAAAATGTCCCCTGGTGGCACATGGAAACTGAACATTCCAACTCCGACACAGGAAGAAGGAAATCGTGCCATAGAAATAACTACAGCTTTAGCTCACTCCATTCACACCTTCGTAGCAAGTAAGCCCCTTCATGTTAAGGAGAGTGTCATTTCCACCCTTGTTGAGGATATATTCTGTGAGCGCAGTAAATTTGTACTCATTCGTATAGTGAAGCGCAGTATTTCCTGTTGAGTTTTGGGCGTTGATATCGGCACCACGACGAAGGAGCAGTTTGAGCATTTTTTTGTCATTTTGCTGTGCTGAAATTATCAAGAGTGTGTTTCCGTGCTCATCTCGGTTTTCTATCGCAACTTCCTGGTCAAGGCATTCCTCAACGCCATCGGCATGTCCAAGCTTGCAACGAATGAAGGCCACAGTCTCAAGCTCAGAAATCTGATCGGCAATCGACGACGTACCTTTGTCCGACTGTGCAAGAAGACGTTCCTTGGCAGATAGTTCGGTGTCGGCCTTGAGTCCTTTCTTGTGCTCAAGAGATTGAACTGTTGCCTCAAGAATTTCTGTAATCAATATGCAATCATCATGAATTGTTAAAAAGGCAGGGACAATGTGTTTAGTTCCAGTGGCTGGATGGACCATGCCCACAATTGCGGGCTGAGGCGCTGTGTTTACAATAGAGTCAATGGCGCCCTGGATGCGTGATTCCAAAAACGACGATTTCATGGTTAACTTTGCCTTTGAGTGGCGATGTATACGTCGCCACGCGAGTGGACCCTTAGTCACAGTGGAATTCATCGATTGCCCAGGTAACAGCGGCGGCAGATCGGGTCGCGCGGGCCGTCGGTTTAGAGGTTCTGTCATCTTCGACGAGGGGCTAAATGCATTTTCCTCGTCGGAACTTAGTGCAAACTTTCTAACCCCCACGCTTTGCGAGACATGGAACTGTGAAATACCTAGCTTTGTTGCCAGCAGGTCCACGACAGCTCTTGATGTGATCATACTTTCCTTGGATTTGGCGAGTTTGCCATCTACAGTGTTCGGGTTGATGTTATTTCCTACCACCTCAAGGCTCTTATCCTCGCACATGGCAGCCTGTGTGTTTTGGGGGCGTGGACTTGATTGTTCCCTACCCGCAAGAAACTTTCTGCCCTTTGAAAGCTTATCCTCAAGGCGGCGTCGTTTCTCCTTAAGCAAATTGTGCTCCTGTTCTATGGAAATTACTTCTTTTGATGTTGCTAAGTCACTACGGCTCAGTGCACTGAACCCGGCATGTTGCAGATGGATGCTGTAGAAGCCTGGGTCATTGGCTCCCTGATGGGACTTTTTGTGGAGTATGTGGATATAGTCATCGACGACGCGGATGCGGCTGAGGATCAATATGCAAATTTCTGTTGAGTGTCGATTAGCTCGGTCGGTCAGCGCACCCTTGTTGGGAGTTGCAACGTCCCGCGTCAGTGAAAAAAAATGGATATTCAGGTCCCGAGCCGGGGAAATCAGGGCGCATGAAACCACGACACGGAACCCACGCTCATCACTCTCGGGAATATTTTCAATGGGGGCCACTTTGGAGCCAATACCACAGCCAGCTGAAACTGTGTTGGTTGTAAGCACAAAAATACATCGACTGACGATGCATGTGGCTGGTGACAGGAATGCATAGCAACCATGACAGAGATGGGTTTTCTGCACAACTGGAATGCAAATCGTGTGGGTAAAACTGAATACGTCTGGCGGGTTCAAGTTTACGTTATCCCAGGATATGTGACTTGGGGAGAAAATAATACATTCTAACGCCTGCGCAACATTGATAATGACACTATCAAGGAGTCTCATGTTAGCGCGGTACAGGCTCGCAATCGTCTCAGGGCCATCTGTGAGTAGATCATCATCGCAATTCTGTAGAATCTGGGTCCGCAAAGTGAGATCGTGGATCGTAACGTTGCGCCTAGAAGTGCCGACGCCTGTCGTTCCAGGCACTTGAAAAGCACGATCCCACGCGCCGGAGACGGAGAGCGATAGAGAAGCTACGGGTCTTTGCTTAAGTTGCTGCGGATTACCTCCCTCAGCAAGTACACCCTGATTTAAAACATCACTTTGGTTGTTGATAGCGCGTACATCCTCATCGTAAGATTCTCCTTCTAACTCCAAACAAGCAATATGCTGATGACCAGACTGCGGCGATTCTACAGTCAAGATACCGAGGTACTCAGCGGCACGAGTTGCAACCAACTTGAAGTCAAAGCCCCACGCTAATGAGGACTCCCCCCGAGGTGTTTGCAGCTGCAGTGCATCGGCCTTCCAGACAAACTGGGCAAGCAGTGACGCATAGAGTCCGGCCTGTCCTTGCTGGCACCACCACTCAGCCACCGTGCACGGCGCGTGTGAGAGGCCAAGCTGCCCAACTATATCAAGCGCATCAAGTTGAATCTGCCACGGAGCGAGTATCTTATTGCATGGTAATAGCACAAAATCAAAGAAAACAATGCGGTTACGGTCGTCCGCGCGGGGGCTACAAACAAAAACTTGACAGATGGCGGCTGCAACAGATCCACATTTTGCTCCCTGAATTAGGCAACCCTGCGTGTAAACTAAATTATGTTCTACCGATGGGGGACGAGCCAAGCCTGGTGCAAGTATCAATGGTGCAAGCGGCACAGCGGAATTCCTAAATGTTTCAGCACCCTCATATGTCACAGCTGACGTTTTCACGCCCGTGAGTGGGTCGTAAAACGAGAATCGCCACTTGGCTGGTATCATGTACCCTGGCCAGAATTCTCGCATGAGTGACGCCAAGTAAACAACACCACCACGCATAAGGTGTTCACATGATAAAATAGTGACGGTTTCCAGACCTTGCTCAAAGAGGAGGGCATTTTTTGTCGTCGGCAGAGAAAGCAAGCTGGGCGTCGAGATGAGAAATGCTGATGCAGGGCTTTGTGATGTCAGGAGACGCCAAGAGTTTTTGCTGGCAACTGATTGAACCTGTGACTTCACGCCAAGAATAGCATCAATGTCTATTCGGCGGTGTCGCGGGATAGCACCGCGATTTGAGGCTTCGAGGTGGTCAAGATTTGTCAGCCAGATTTGATGAACCTCCAATACAAATCGCCTTGCCACGCAACGTGCACGGCCTCGTCCTATGCAAAGTAAGTTTGCCGTCTCTGTGTGCTGATCACATAGGGCAAGCAGCGGATGTCTCGTGAGCCCTACAACGCTAATCAATGACTCCTCTTTCACCAGCTCTGACTGAAGCTCTTGCACCTTGAGTGAGACGTGGTGAGCGCTCTTACGCAGAAGCTTGTTTCTATATTTGCTATTCAAGTCCTCAACAGACCATATTGTCGGCCCAGTCTTCTCGATATTCGCATTTTTACCCTTAAGTTCGCACAGGTTATGCGGAGATGCAAGGCTGGGCAGGGGTAGCCTGGGCGCTTGTCCACCAGCAATACCATTGAATGGCGAAGCCTTCAATTCCTCAATTGTCTTCTGGACTGAGGCCGGCTGCACAGTACTTTTAGGTGCGGATGATGACGTCCCCTCCAATAATGGCCTCGTATCTCTGAGGATCTTACACTCATTAGGCCTGGGGCTTAGCGCTGGTAGCTTTGCTGTTTCTGTAGGAATATTGAGAGTACTTGCTTGGCTCGCGCGACTCGTGCCTTTCTCATATCTAAGCGAGAGTGAGTCTTGGCTCATTAAGAGGATGTCCCGAGGTAACGGTTTGGGCACGAAGGGCATGTGCTTCTCCGTCCTCGGGCCTCCTAGGTTCACCCTGAGCCCGCGAGGCTGTCGCCCCCGTGTACTTCCAAGTCGCTCTGTACGTACCGCCTGCTTAAGCGTGCGCCTTGCAAACAACGTGAGGTCCCAGATGAGTGGATCATCATTGTGCTTCTGGGGACCACTCTTAACCGGTGCCATGCGGCTACTGTAGTTTGATCTTTATATCACGGACAAATTTATGTAAAACAGCATGGGCATGTGACAAATCGTTTATTGCTCAACCATACCGTAGGTACCCGTAGGTTAGATACAATACCGTAGGTACCGCAGTAGGACTAAGACGGTACACCCCTCCCTAGGCGTATGCACCCCCAAACCCGAATTGACTATAGTTATTTCGAACTAAGACGGTACCTGGACTCAGACCGTACCTACGGTACGCTGTATGTCCACAATGTGCAAGCCTCACTACGGCCCGGGTTGGCCCGCCGGGCCCGGGGCCCGGGGGTAGAGTCGGGTGAGAGCTGATCCGGGGTCCTAGTCGGCGGCAGATTCGCGGCAGCATCGGCTCCGACGGTTAAAAAGGTGCTCATCAAAGGCCCCGGGGTTCACGGTTGAGCCTGAGGAGCCTGAGCGCTTTTAGACGGTAGTACAACTTGAACTTGAAAGGGCGAGCGGCGAAGAACACTAAGAGCTAGCGGTACAAACTCACCTTCGATTTTATTTTCAAGTAGAAGCCGCCGGCCCGGGCGGGCCCGCACTCGGGCTGCTGGCTGATACTATACTTCCGAGTCGCATACAAAGATGAGCTTGAACAACACCCCAGGCCCCGGGTCTCGGGTGACGGTGCTCCCGTTTTTTGTGAGTGCGCCACGCTAGCGACACTCGACTGAGCTCATTAAACTCATATTTACAGGAGTGGCTGTTCAAACGCTGCCCCAAGTCGCCAACCGTGACGCCGCGCCCAGCCCTCCCCAAAGTCAACTCGTGTATCTTACTCGTGTCTATACATCTGCCGTCGAGCAGGTGGCGCCAGCAGTCCGAGGCCGCGGAGCCCGCTGCCGCTCGAGCCTCGTGCCAGACACTGGGGGCGGGGTAGACGTGCGGCCCGGGGCAGCCTGAGGCCTTTGGCGGGTCGGGAAGTTCGGTGGACCCGGCGACCCAGGCAGTGCACGCCGCCCCGACGCCGCGTCTAGCAGGGCATCGCAACCGTCGCTGCCGCTCGCTGCCGCGTCCAGCTGATGAGCCTGAGGAAGATCCAAATTCCGCGTCCCACCCATCCTGATTCGCGTCCCGCCTGTCTGCTTCGATGGCGCGTTCTGCTCGATGACGCGTCTGGCACACAGTTCTAGTTCTAGGTTCAGTCTATTTAGTCTTGGGACTGACTCGGATAAGTGTCCAGACTGCTTAGCTAGACGGACAATATGGCCCGAGTAACCCCGGGTAATTTTTTCGGATAAGAAATTGACACTGGCACATCCTCCATGAGTCCTAATTAAGATAAATTACCCTGCGAATCTTAATACTCTCTGGCAGCCTGAGGCTGCGTCTTCATCAGATGATACAAAAACTAAACCTAAGACACCTGCTAAAGAGCAACCCCCTCAATCGTCTTCAAGAAAGCCTCGAACCAACATGAAAACACCGACAACGATGGATCAATCTGATACGACGAGAGGAGAAGAAAATGACTCTATGAGGACACACTTTGATGACTGAACATAATTAAGTCCCCAATTCGTTACATACAAGGGTTATATTCCCTGTGGACCTTTCATGTCCGCGAATTACTCTAGACACACCGACCACGAACCACACAAGGCACTATTTGCTTGTGGCTCACACCGTGACGATAGAGTAGACACAGAAGTTCTACTCATCAAACTGAAAAAAAAAGGAAAAACCAAACCATATCAAGGTCCAGGGGGAGTGCGAAGAATATACCCCCTAGTACTACACTAGGCCCCTCTTTCTCTCCTACTTAGTCCCACCTTGACGTAATGAAGGTTTACACCACATTCATTCTTCAAGTTAGTGCTAGTATTACACGGGGAGTCACTTACGCCAAACTCACTCACACCGTTGCAAGGGGTCGGTATACCACCGCACCCTACTTATTTCCTGCATAGGCCGAGAGGGATAATAGATAGGGATAAGTTCAAGTTAGGGAAATGGATCTTGCCAAGTTGGTTTGGCGTCGTGGCTACTAGTAGTACTCCCCAAATCGTATATACGTCCTACTCAGATTGGCACTCTTTAATGGGAGAACGCGGCGTACTTTGCGGCGGGCGGAACCATCTTCGAGTTGGTCGGAAGGGGACCTAAGATATCCGCTATGAATTGCATTGTTTCACCACCCGACTTTCTGCCGCGCCTCGAGAAATAGTACAGGACCCACGGCATTGCTACACGGCTATGGTCCAATATGCAAAAAGGCCTGTTACTATAGCACACCAGATCAACCAGAGTACCCATGACAGACGCGAGCATGTGCCATCGTCCCAATTGGCATCTGCAAGCGTCGTATAGGCACCGATAGTCCATAGAGTTGAGAGAATTACTTTCCTGCGGCTCGCACGCCAGGCAATATTTCTTAGCACGTTGGTAACTTCGAGAGCCTTAATGACGACGACAAAGTAAATGCATCCAACAATGCACATATTCGTGTAGCCCCAACTCTCCTTAGGAATGATATAGAGGATACGATGGGAGGCTGATGTTAGAAATATGTGAAACTGGAGAAGATAAAATTCCAATGAATGCATTCCTATCCATTCAATAGGCTTCATTATACGACGAGAAAGCCACGGCATACAATTGCGTAACAGGAGGTAAACAGGAATCCAGAGGGTGCCAATGTACGGATTCACGGTGCGATAATCGGCACCACCATTGCAGCAATATTGTTTCAGCTGACTAATCCATATCGCTGCCGCAAATAGAAGACTAGAAAATAGCCCAATACACCAGCGTGCAGTGCGTGAAATACCATATGGCCAGGAGTCTCGAAAGGGTGTATAGACAACAGCGAAGCAAAGGCCGGGAAGGGAAGAGAGGAAGTCCATTTTTGTGCGCATCCAGAAGTACCATTCTGTGTGCTCTGATATGGTAAGAAGACTCGGGCGAAAAACAACGTCGTAAACACCCTCTCCGTCGTTGTGAGGATCAAGCCAGATGAGACAACAAAGACCAATCATAATTCCACACCCAAGGGCCTTCTCTACATAGCATGCTTCTCTACTTTCCTTCTTGTCGGGTTTCTCCCATTCTGCAACAAAGTGGCCAAAGGCCCTGGCCAGACCCAACGAGACCCAAATAAGTGTAAAGTGAACCGTGGCAAGGGCAACAAAGTAGTATTCGATCCAGGGGGTACCGGTCGAAAGCGAGAGAAAAAGGCAAAGAAAGTTCATGCGCCAAAGTTGCTGGGCGAAGCGTTTGAATGAGAAATCACCCGATGACCAAAAGTAAACTCCATTCCCAAAGCCGGTGAGCCAGACATAGGCAGAGACGCACCAACGTATCGGAACATAGACGTCATTATTGTTTGTATAGTGATAGGCAACAAATGCAACCTGCATCCAGCCTTTCCACTCATTGGCCTGGGCGCGCGACAAGAACACCTCGGTTCCTTCTTCGAGGACTTCCACATTGAGCAGCGAAACGAGAAAAACTAGAACCATGATAAAGGACCAGAGATCAGGATTCTCGGGTGCTATCGTGGTTCCTGCAGGTAGGAAGCCAGATGGCATGCGATGTTCACCGACAACGCAGACCATCAGCAGGAATGCAAACTCGAGAGCTGTCCGAGCAGTCTCACGAGCCTGCTGTCCGTGCTTACTACCAGTTGATATATCTAGGACGGCTGCATTGATCGGTGCAACTTCTTCGTCGTCTGAGTCTCCGCCATCATAGAAAGAAAATGCAACCGAGGAAACCTTAGGATCAAGATGGGGTTCCGCGTAAGACGATGTGCGGACAGATGCACCAGCGACCGAAAGAGTCTTGTTGACTAAAGATACCGAAGTTCGGGGTGCGTGGTGGCTCCCATCACGTATGGAGGAAACCCTTAGTCCTGATCGTTGCGCTGAGGATCGTTGTCGAGCTACGGCCCGTGATGCTGTCACCTTTGTGTTGCAGCTTTCAGAGCCTTTGCCCGAAAAATCGCAGCTTTCATTTTTGCACTCAGCAACGGATGCGAGCTGGCTTGGTCCAGACCGAACCTCGATGTCCTCCATCTGGCGAAGAACTTGAAGTGCAGAGTTAGAAAGTTCGTCTTCTAAAGTAGATATCTCGGTCTTGCTGGCTGTAGATGGCCCCGTGGAGTTACTTGCTGACGCCTGAAATGCACGCAAGCTAGACCCTTTTGTGCCTGGTGGCTTCAGCATCAGCGCGATCACGTACGAGGCCAAGGAAGCTATGAATATTGCCAATAAAACTTTCTGTCCAGCCGTGGGACACTCTCCTAAGTCCAAGGCTGGCTTGTTTTTGTACGTGATTCCGTCATTTGATGAAAAACAGGTAAATTCAAATGTCTGGTTACCGACCATCAAGGTCTGAGATCTTGAAGCCTCGCGCACATCTTCACCCATGTCATATCCTGAAGAGTCCATGTTCAAATTAGGATCCTCAGTGGGGTGTTTGGTTGGCCATGGGTATGGAGCTTTCGTCGGTCTTGGCGTCACAACCATCGGTGCTGCGGTCGCCGGATGCGCTGTTGGTGATGGTGTGCCTGATGCAGACGGGAGCTGTCCATGAGAGGGCGACGGCGTTGTAGGGTTTGAGCCTAGAGTTGGGGCAGGCTTTGCTGATGGAGTAGATGATGGAGAAACGAGACATTCATCAACCTTGTTGAGCTGCTTCGCAATTTTGTTGAGGCATAGCTGTGTCCAGACATGCAACTGATTGGAACGAGGATGAAAGTTGTCGAAGGTGCGACTTATCAAATTGACAACATTGGACATTTGGTACACGGCAACAGTATCAATCGAGTTGTCAGCCATGACTTTGTCTGCGATCGCATTCATGGCTCCAACAGCAATGGCGCCTATGCGCTGCCTGGAGTCGATATAGTTGACGCCACAACAGGTTACTTGGCGCCATATCACGGCCTTCTCAGCGTCAACAACAAAGAATTTTAATATACTTTCGACCAGATCGTTAAGGTCGTCCTCATAGGACTCTAGGCAATCGGAATCAGTGTAAAAGTCAGAAACATCATCGTCGTCGTCAAATGAGCAAGAATCTGACCTGTGATCGTCGTCGTCGTCTTCTTTGAGCTCCCACCAGCCAGAATTTACAATCACCACATCGTGGTCTTTAATTGCTGCAGCTTCAGTTTGCAGGGCGTCATACCATGTATCCTGAATGAAGTAGAAAGTAGTTTTTATTTCGCCGTAACCTCCTTCTATGGTTGCTGTAATGTGTTGGCGGTGATCTGCTTTGCCGGAACGGTCCGTGCCGTCGGTCCAAGTTGTGCCACAATCAAAGTAGGGTCCGACGTAGCATGCCTCGCCATCTGCTCTGTTACCGCATCCCCACTTTCCACAGCCGCCATTTTGCTCCCCCCATTCGGCGGCAATCACACCGTGCTCCAAAAAATGATTAAATGTGTAAGTAAAATATCGGGAAATGGAATCACCCAAAATGGCGACCGACTTCCCCCCAAGAATACAGTGTGCCTGGGTTTGAGTAATCGTGGAGAGTGGATTATAGTACCCAAACGTGTTTCCATTCACTGCATGTGTCAAATCATCGAGTGCTATGGAGCTCTCCAAATTCCAATACACGTCCAAGTCAAACAAGCGCCGGCCTTCTGCATTCACAGAGAGCTGGAGATTGTTAGCTGCGTATTGCCGCTTTAAATATGCCACGTCGGAACTGGAAAGCCGCTCACCCCCGTGGGTCAACCGTGCTACTTCATCATCGGGTAAAAACAAACCAGTAAGCGAGCCAGATAAATACTTAGTTCGCCAGGCTTTCAGGCTAAGCAAGGAACTATCTGGTGTATTGAAGCCCCGATAGTGAGCTCCATCTTCCCGCCATGACCTGGCAAGTCCTACCTCCAACGAATCGCCCCCATCATCCTGGGATACAAAGAGATGAGGGTGCAATGTAAACAAACCTCGTTGCATGCAAAATGTATCAAAGTGGGCTGTCCACATGCTTGAAGTTGTCTCTGCCACCCCCCCCTGCGAGATGCCCAGCTCACCACGCTGCGAGCTCAACGCGTGCCTATACCACCTAGACGGGAGGGATTCACGCTTTGGATTCACTTGTTTGCCCGTATCTACTAGCGTTACCCAGTTCTCGGGGGCATCTACATCCTCAAGATTTTTAAACCAGTCCAAAAAATCATGCCACACTTTAGGCTCTGGTGAAAATCCCCAGCTACCAACGTGTGGGAATAGATAGAGCGTATCGCGGTATGTCGTTGGCTTCAATGCAGCCAACGGCTGATTCTTGCCAGGGCGAACTCGTTTGCCCTCGAGTTCTTCGGGGTAGGCATCCATGCGACCCGCTTGACGCTGAAGTGATATCCCAGCAATGCCGGTACTCATCGAGTACGCGCGATGTGCTGCTGCAAGATATTCAAACCTAGGTGGTGATTCAGAGCATAGGCAGCTGGGGAAATACGTACCAGGCAGTGGATAATTCAACGTCATCCTCGAAAATCACAAAGCGCGAGAATTCCTCGCCATATAATCCAGGATCAGCACAAGCAAGCCACATGCCTCGGACACCATGCCATTTCTCTAGCTTCACAACTCTGGCATTACCGTGACTCCAGTTTCGCACGAAATTGTCAGAGAGCTCGAGAACCTTTTCACGTTGTTCTATATCCCGCGCGGACCTCCGCGACCAGAGATGAAACCCCTCAGAGGGTAATTGGTCCACATGGATCTCGACATCGACATTTGCCGTGGGCGGGTATAAGGTAGTTTGAAGCGACGACAAAAGGCGATGTAGAGGTTCAACTCGCTTCTGTGCGAGGATCTTCACGGAAAGTTCTGACAGCGCACACGTGCCTCTGAGCAGTACAATGCAACAAGTCGCAAAATTTGAAATCATTTTACCCGCCGCCATGTAGCCCTGATACATGTGCCTACCTACGGTAGGCGGGATCAGTAGGGCCGCAATCTAAAGTCCCAGCCCTCTCCAGGGCAGGGCAGGGAGGGCGAACACCTTAAGTTTGCCCGGGAAGCGCGGAGGCTCCTCGCAGGACTCTTAGGGGTAACCATGGAGGGGCGTCGTCCGCCGCCGGCAGCCTGAAGCTCGGAAACTTGACTCGGAACACAAGGCTATATTTGCAAACACAGAATCTCCGAGTCAGCAATGCGCGTGATCTACCTTATCCCTCCCCTAGTTGGCTCGAGATTTTCAGATGCCGCGGCTAGCCAAGTGGCTAGCCTAGATCACGTCAGCGCTTAGTAGTACCCGGGCCGTGACTAGCCTGAGTAAGCTACTCATCCTATCCTACTGACCTACGCAACCGCAGGAACCCAGGCTAGTAGTACTTCTCTCCGGATGTCTGGGCGATCATAGGGTGTTATAGCCTGAGGCCCGTTTAGAATTTTCGATTCAAGCTATATAGGCCCTCAGGCTAAGTTTGAATTTCTTTACGACATTGAAAGTCATCATGATCATGATTATCGGCTTGCTAAAAAATTTAGAGCAAAAAGCAGTAAAAAGCAATACGTCCAGTGAGCTGCGACTTTCGAGGAGATGATCGGTGAATATTGCCACTGTTCGGCGCCTTCCGGTCCCCGGGGCGAAAGTACCGGCAACCACACTTCCAAATAGCCGCGGCATTTTTTACAGCCTGAGTGTAAATTTTATTTTCTACAACATTTTTCAAGGTTCAAGTTCTGCTACCTCCAAGCTGCAGGCCGAGCTTGAATTAAACCCTGGGCCACTTCAGCCACGACTCGACTCATTATCATCATCATGATAGATCGCTGAAGTACCACCGTGACTGGCACTGGCAACTTGAATCCCTCAACAAGCTATGATCAGGTCCGGGCGCTGGCCTGATGTGTGCACTGTAACGCCTGGCCCTAGAGTAATTCGACCTAGACACAGTGACAACCCCGAAATTCCGACTCGGACTCGGAGTCCCTCTTGCCAGTGGGCCTTACTAGTAAGCAGGGCCGGATATCGGATGTTCCTTAGGAGCCCTATAGATATGGGGCGATAGGAAATAATTAGTGGTGAATTAGAGGACGATTCATCCCGTCCGTTGGCGCGATTGGTTTCCGGGCGGGTTTTATCTCGGCCATCGTATGATCATAGTATGATCGTGCCGTGTCAGAGTAGACTAAGGCAAAAGATAAATCAACGGGCGACGAGCCCCGGGCCTCCAGAGCTCGCGGGTTTCCAGCTGAGCCTCCTACCGCGTCACAGCTGATTTTTCAGCACAAGGCTGCGGCCCGCACCGCCGCACTGGCACCAAACTTGAACTTTGCACACTGTGGCAGCCCATTACTTTAGCATACGGAACCTGCGCCTGAGTAAAAGTTTGCCGCCATTCGGTCGGCATTTGGCTGTGCGCTCAATTGCGCCAAAAGCTGCCAACGTCGACTTGCGCTTGACCCCCTATAAATTTCAAGTTCCGAGTCGAAATCTCCAAGGAGTCTTAAGCGTCGCAGGCTACTTCATTCTAATTAGAGCTAAGGGAAGGTAAGGCAGAATCTTACTCCAAGGAATTAACCGATGTCCGGCCTTGGGGACTTGGGCCTTATGTAAATATTGCCCGGAACTTGAACGCCGATAGGAAAAAAAATATTCGTACTATACCGCCCGGGAAACTGGTGCCAAAGCAGGGGGTTTGCAATAATTTCGGCGAAGTTCAAAAGTGTGTTGGCAACCCACGGCATTGGCAGCACGCTATCTCAGCCGTGGACCCCATTAGACCACGAGCCCGGGTCGAGTGGGACCGTAGTGTTGGATGCCAGGCACAGTCCCATGCGAATGTGACCACGAAAGGAGGATGTTTCATACTAGTTAAGCCTCCTGGCAACATCAAACTCGCGGTCTCGATAATGCTCATTCTGTCGAGTTTAGTCACGTATGCATCTGCGCATCAAATAGGGGGAAGGTAACTCTCTGCTATTGGCATAGTACTGGAGACGTGACGTTCAGGCAGCTGATTCCAGACTCTGGTCTATAGCGTTGGCTTTGGGCGAGTCATAGTCTTGAGCAAAATATTGCCGCTGGTCACTTTGCAGCTCCGCCACCTCGGTTCACTTGCGGCTCCACTTGCGACTTTTAGGGGTCACATGAGAAGCGAGCCATTCCATGCCCTCTTGTAGGCCAACTCCCCTTAGCGCATCGCTTGGCCTACGTTTATAGCAATACATTCATCAAGGACCCCTGCACCTACGCTATATGCCATGGTCGATCAGATATGCGGTCAAGTTCAAGCTGTTGGCTACACTCGAAAGGTGTGAGTGCACCCGGAATATCCATTTTGTTGGCAAAAAATATGATAGGAACCGGACTGGCGCAAATGTCGCGGTGCTTTAAAAGCATTTCAAGCTCATCTTTTGCAACACACATTCTAATCCTAGCACGTGTTCTATCATGGGAAATCCAATCCGCGAGAATTACCTATCAGTAGAGTCAACGACAAAAATTATAGCCTCAACTTGAACATAATAGTGTTCCCAAAGTGATCTATAGCGTGACTGACCAGACATGTCAAAACAAGTGATGGCGAGGTTGTTCACCTAAGAATCCAATATTGCTTATCCACACGATGAAGGGGGAATTTACATGAAACTTGTCCGTTTGGAACCCCACCGTGGGCGTTGCTTCGTATGTTGCAGCTTTTTCTTGGTACTTCTTTGGCTTAATATGCTGGATGAGGGATGATTTACCACTGTTGTCAAGTCCGAGTACTAGAATGTGCACATCCTTGTCTTTTTTTGAGAGCGCAGCTGTAAGACGTTTTAACATTGCCAAGTATAAAAAGGCAAGATGCCACCAGCAGGGCACAGGTCAAAGATACCTGGATACTGCCCGATGCGCACCCGGTCCTCCCACTAGTAGAAGGGCAAGAGCCTCGGGGGTTCTGAAATATCAGGGACTTTATACTGTATGAGAAGACAAGTACCAAGTTGTGTCACTTTTATTCACCGTGACTGGAGCTCAGCTCAGGCGCCCGGCCGAGTCCGAGTCACGGTCACGGTCACTGCCCCGGGCCTCCCCGGGCCGTCGCAAGCCAGACTCGCGGCCGATCGGGAGAACCCTAATCCGGAAACTTGGCCCGTTTGGCCCCAGGGGCATCCTAAGCACACAGCGACACTAGCTTGCCACGGAAGTGCATCCGGGCCCGGCCGCCCGCCGGGGCCCGGGCCTTTCAAGTTCAAGTTGACTCCGAGTCCGAGTCGGAGGTGCCCATTTTGGCCAAGTCAGGCTGAGGTTACTATTAATAATAATAAACTTGAAGAGCATCTACTGGTCTGGGCCGCTTCTCTGGGAGCGAACGATAAGGCTAGCTCGAAATCCAGTCTTAAATTATATATATTTGGTAATTTTTGGTCACGGTTGTGTCGTTTTTTATCATTGTCCCATGAGCGCAGCAAATAGGGCTTAATCGGCCTCTAAATAAAATCTCGAAAATGGTGAATGCTACAACTATATCATCATCCGGTCCCTTCCGTCACCATTTGTCATACGACCCCGGTATTATTGCATCTACTAGTAACTTCCGGGTCCAGCATCAACTTGAAATGAGGAACGCATAGTGTTGCGAAAGTCACGGTATACACACTCGACTTGGATGTGCCAGCTCACTATCGAGGAGACCACGGGCTATAGAGGCTCAAAGACAGAGGTCCCAGAACTCAAAGGTGACGCTGGCGGTTGAGAGCATGAGCCCGAGCTCGAGCTACTGCCAAAGCAGCACTGACGTCCCCTTGGGATTGGTTCACCAAGGACGGGTTTTGGGTATTACCTTCAGTTGGTGCTAGCACGTTAGATTGCGGCAGGGAAGCTCCCGAGAAGCCCGTGGGTGCGAATTGTGGTACATTTTGAGTGGCAACATCCTCAATCTTAGCAAGCTGAAGAAGGGGCATGATATCTGTGACACTCAGGGCCTCAGGAGAAGGGCGTGATGCAAACCAGCGATCGCCTTTAGCATCTGCTGCCACAATGCGATGTTCGGGGGATTTCTCCAGCAATTTAGATAACAGAAAGAAACCCGTATTGCTCAAGCTTGTGGTGATTTGGGTTAGTGGGGTCACCAGAGACATTGCATTTAAGGGTGCATGGGTCCCATCAAATCCAGAAGCAGGGAACTTGCGTCGAAGAAGGTCTGTCCCACCCTTAGCCATGACCGTTGGTATCGGTGATGAAGGCGCAAAGCGGAAGCCACGCAGTCGCGCAAGTTGCCTGTCAACAAACTGTCCATCCTGGCCGTTAAAACTAAATTTTGACACAGGCTACGCACGGATAAAGAGGCCATCTCTTTTCAGTTGGTTCGCCAAGAAGATCAAAGATTATGGTTAGCTGGTCCGGCTCATCTTTTCCGGGGAAAAGGACCTGTCTTGAAAGAAGTTCACCAAAAATACACCCAGCCGACCAGAGATCGGCAGCTCGCCCATAATCTCGGCATCCAAGGAGAACTTCTGGGGGTCGGTAGTGGCCAGAAATGACATTTGGAGTGTGTGTAGCATAAGGTTCGTTGAACCTTCTGCTACGACTGGTTAGGCTCTCGTTGATAGCCGTGCGCATGCGTTTATGTGTTTTGTCTTGACCAGATACGTAAAAAAAGTTGTGCTTACTCACTGTAGCACTCTCGTGCTGGCTGGTAGTATAGGATGGATCAAGTTCGAGGCCGCAGCAAACTCTCCGTGCAAGGCCGAAATCACACAGTCGCAACAACCCTCTATCATCCACCAGCACATTTGGCGTCTTGAGGTCCCGGTGCATCACCCACACACTGTGAAGGGCGGCAAGCGCTCGCAGGAGCTGTAGCATAAGATGCTTAACTTGTGCTTCGGTCATGGGCCGTTGCCGCGCACCCTTGACCAGTGTTGTCAGTTCGTGGCCAGCTGGCTCCATGACCAGGTGCCATTCACTCGGGGCCTCACCACTGCCGCAAGCAACTGCGTGCATTCGTACAATATTTGGGTGACGCAGGGAGGACAGTAATGTGATCTCTCGCAAAGCCTCTAGTGGAAACCCCTCTTTCAAAAAGTCAAACTTAAGCATCTTAATTGCCACAACCTCTTTTGCACCGCCCCTCTTGCATCGGACAGCCTGCGATACAATGCCAAACTGCCCCTTCCCGAGTTCCCCCAAGGCATCATATGCAGATATCCTGTGTATTGGTAGAGTTGGCCGTTCTACATCATCCTCTCCAGAGAAAACCATCACGGGCGCATCCACCTCTGCAGATATTGGTCCCTTGGATGCTGACGAAACCATGTCAAGAGCACGTGCTGACTTGGGTTGCCAAACTTTGCGTGAAGCCGCAACGGAACCGACAGAGACTTGCTGCCGCGATCGTACAGGTTGTTCAGATGTATGCGGCCGGGGAATCCGAGGCAAAGAGGTGCGATTCCGGTTTTCGCTACCACGAGAAGAGCGACCACCACGCGCCTTCCAATTGTTTCCGCGTCCGCGTCCGGGGAATTCCGGTCCTGAGGCTGGCGTCAAAGTATTTCCCTTACTTGTGTCATTCTCTGAGATGATCTGCAACTCGGTCGTCTCGCAGGCCCTGAAATGCCCTTGCGCGACCAATTCGCGTGCACGCAGTAGACGGGCTGCGCGTTTCACCGTCGCTTGCTCGTCCGTCATGGTGTGATGACTAGCAAGCAAGAAGCTGCTGCTGCCGTGCTTATGCCAAGGACTAGGGCTGTTCACAGTTTCCGGCTAAAACTACGTTGGTCCGTGCGTTTGAGAAGGCATGTGCACATTCCGGCTAACACTACAGCGGGCAGGCACAACAAAAGGTGCTCAAGGGCTAGGTGCGCGTATCTATCATGGACGCTACGTCGCCCCCCCCCCCCCCCACGGCCCGCCACTGGCGCTTATGACATATATTTTTGTCCTACTCCAAGACCGGAACCACCGGAAAAGCAGCGACAGCACGCTCGCGACGACACAAACGCTTTACCGTCGCTGGGGCATCAAGACCGCGCGCGAGTACGCCCGGATCAAGATCGGCCCTCCGGCTCGTCAGCGGCAACCCGGACTTCGCCAACGCGCCCGCGCACGGCCATGCCGACGCACGCTTCTACGACCGGCAGCAAGATTACGGGCACGCTCGTGGGAGATAGCTCCCCCGGGCAGCACCCCAAACCCGAATATGTTTTAGACGAGGAGGTAACACCCCGGGGTACTAGTGATGAAAAGAGGCTATTTATATTGTAATGGCGTTGCGGCCGTTGGCGAGCTGTTTCGCCGAGTCGGGAAATTGACTCAGCAGTGATGTCCTCGGGAGTCAGGTAAGCGGAAACGTCGGGGCCATGACACGCGTCGGCGGCGTGCGGCACGCGGCGCATACGTTCAATCAAGTTTTTGGAACAAGAAACCGCAGCGTGGGCACATTTCCGCCTGCACGTGGGTGCGGGAGCGATGCTACGACCCGACAGAGTCGCCGAGATCACCAGAAACGGCCCGTGCACGCCAAAATTCCTGGCGCGCATATTACACTACGCGCTCAGGCTGCGCTCGGAGCCAAGTTATCTCTGGCGGCCGCTTCCAGTGGAGAACCCGTCTACACGAGACGTATAGAGGTGCTCTTTAAGCTGCGGGTGGTGGCGTTGCGCGCACGCCGGATTCTTTTTTCTCTTGCGCGGCACCACGGCGGAAATCGCGCGGGACGGTTGTTGTTGTTGTTGTTGTTGTCATTGCGATGCAGGGGGAAATAAAGTGACTCAGGATGATGTATAGTTAGGAGTGGGAGGCGACTTCCGCGACCTGGCCGGGATCCCTACTAAGGGGACTCGGATACCGGAGTACACCACCCTGATCCGCGACCTGGTCTTCGGCAAGTTCGGCGAAATACCGGAGGATTCGGAGGCCGACAGGGACCTTGTGGAGGACGCCGACTCATCGAAGGGGCACGCCACCGCCGCCCATCGTGTGTGTATTTTTTGGGGTACTAAGTTTTTCGGTTGCTATAATAGCAGCTACCTACCGCAGCACGCAACAAACTTCGTACCGCAGAAGGTAGAGCTACGGTAACGTAGCCTTTAGCTGCACGATGACTCGAGATGGAATCTCTGAGCTCATGACAGCGGAAAATCGTGCTTCGAAGATTGTAACCGAAGCACGCGCGGGTTTGTTCTCAATATTCAACCAAAATCCTGGATCATCGTCTTGTAGCCCGCGGTGAGCGTATCAAAGAAGCCAAGCGCGAAGCCGAGACAGTCATAAATCAGATCTACAAGGGACGGGAGGCTTTATTTCAGGGATCTGGCAATAAGGTGCGAGATTCTCCCTCGTAGAAGTTAGAGTTTGTGGTTGTCCAGACATGTTGTGCGGATGAATTCACAGACATGAAGATTTCTACAGAGGCAGAGATATCAAGAATGAGGTAAGAAGAGACATACTAACTACCATTTCTTTAAGTCACTCATAGGAAGGACTTTGAGTCCAGCAAGCTATGTGCTTCTGGTATGCTTGTTAAGGTTGCCACTGCCGTTAGCCTGGAACTATCAGAGACATGCAGGCTCTGTTGGCAGCGAGGAAAAGGCCAGAGATGACTTAGTCTTGTGGCCTAGGCCACGAACCGTTAAGCCACAGATGGGCTTGGACTGATTTTCAAAACCGTGACAGGGTCATCTCATGCGTCCGCTATCTTCGATGTCTAGTCTACCTGCCAGGTAGATATTTCAAGAAGTCCCATCGGAGTCCACGAACACTGTCATAATAACCCTCCCCCGGCCCCGGGCGGGACCCAAATGAAGTAAAATGAATAACTTGAAATTAAGGAAGACCGGAGGCTCAAACTAACAACTCTAAAAGGAACAAGCTCCTTAGATTCAGGAACTCCCCGGCCCCCTTTGATAGCGTGAGTGGCGAAAGCTCGCTGGGAACCACCGTGACACAAGGCCCGGGTGGGTGAATCTTACCATGCCAGTGGGAGAAATGTCTTCAGCATTGCCTCTCCAAGGAGGGTTGCCGACGTTCTCTTCTGCAGTGTCCGCCATTTTACGTTATGTTCGAGATTGCGTACCAGGATAGCAGCCGCGCGGAGGGCAGTTTCTGCGCACGCCCGGTCACGGTGGCATAGCCAAAAGCGGCCGGGCATAGCCGCTAAAAGTGGCATAGCTGAAAGCTACGGTCATCTTGGCGTATCATAGTGACCGCCTTAGCGTCGCGAGAAACCGATTCGAGGTACTAGGCGTACGCGGCGTCAAAAAAAAAACTATCCAGTGAATCGATAACTTTCTATCTAGTACTAGTAACTTTCGGGCTGAGGACAAACCCCGCGGAGCCTCACGGCAACCGAAATCGGGGGGGTCACTTTGATCCCCCCCCCCCTACCTAAGAGAAAAGGCCGAATAAACGAGATATTCGGGCTGCCCGAGCGCCCGGAAATGCGGGATACTCGGCTTTCGGCATATAAAAGGACGCACGTAGCGCCAAGATCCAGCTACAGGTGAATCCCCACCTTCGTACGCACGAATCTCGCCGGGCGTGCGCAGTAGCTGCCCTCCGCGCGGCTGCTATCCTGCTACGACCGGGCGAAGCTACGGTCATCTTGGCGTATCGTAGTGGCCGTCTTGCGTCGCGAGAGTCCGATTTGAAGTTCTCGGCCTACGCGGCGACATCAATAAATCGACGACTTTCGGGACTGAGGACAAGTGCAACCCTTTACAAGCCACAATCGGAGCTGCACTACGATATCAAACCCTGCGGAGCCTCACGGCAACCGAAATCGGGGCGGAGCCTCAAGGCATGTTACGTAAGGGGGGGTCGTGGTGGGGGTCGTCGTTGTCAGCAGTAGCCTGATTATCCAAGTCAGAGTCATCTTGATGCCGCCCGGGCCACCCCGATCCAGCGGCAGGCAACGGATCGACAAGAAGGGTGCTTTCAACTCGAGGATATGTATCCAGACCGTATCTGCCGCGGCGGCGCTCATGTCCTCCTTAGTGAGCAAAGGTGCAATGCTAGTAAGACTGCAGCATGAGGCGTACATGACGTACGACTGTGGTAAATACGTGGAATCCCTTCGTATAGCAGAGGAAATTTATGCAATTGATGCGGTAACAAAAAAAGCTTTGATATTTCCCGAGTCGCCTTTTTGCGCTATACAGGCTCGATCAGACAACCTGCTTCTGCTGGGAGCCATCAATTTCCAATTGCGAAACTTTTCTGAGGCGGTATTTTTCAATCAGCAGGTGCTGAAGCATATACTCATAGTTTTTAAGATTGCATTCCCCAGGCAATCCGCATTGAGCCCCAGATGGCGGAGGCGCATTCAAACCTGGCAAATGCCCTCAGGGAGCTTGGTGATGTACAAGGATCAATGGGGCAGGTAAACAGTGTCAACAATCACGCATCTCGGCGCAATAGGAGAAATTAACCAGGTTTTACCTCAAAGCCATCAAGTGCAATCCTCGTTTTGGCGATGCATACAACAACCTTGCCACGGCCCACATTCAGATAGGACAGGTCGATGATGCAATTGAGGCATTTCAGATGAGCATTGTGGTTGACCCAGGTCTAGTTGGTGCCCATTGTAACCTCGGCAACATATTTAAGGCTCAAGGAAAATTAAAGTTGGCACGCCAGTGTTATATGGAGGCAATTCGCTTGAAGCCCGAATCTTCGATTGCCTGGTCGAATCTTGCTGGAATCTTTAGAGAGGAGGGACAAACCTCAACAGCTATCGCGTATTATCGTGAAGCAATCCGCCTCTGTCCACAATTTGCCGATGTTTATAGTAATCTCGGGTCAGCAATGCAGGAGCAAGGTAATGTCCTAGAAGCCTTTCAATGCTACAGTACTGCAATACGCATCAGACCTGACTTCGCAATTGCCCATGGCAATCTAGGTAGCTGCCTTCTCGTATCTGGCGAGGTGCAACGTGCAATTTGCGCCTTGAGACGTGCTGTTCAACTTGAGCCAAACTTCCCGGATGCTTACAATAATCTTGGCAATGCACTTCGAGACTTCAATAAACCATTCGCGATGCTACAGCTTAGTGGCGAATTTAGAATGATAAAAGGAGACACAACCGAACTAATGAGCCGTGAACTCTCCCAAAAACATCAGCGGAAAGCCGATGCGGGTGAGGCCATTGAATGTTACCGCACGGTACTTCGGCTCCAGCCGAATCATCCGCATGCATACAGCAACCTCGGTAATGCAATGCGTGATCGAGGCCTTGTGCGCGAGGCAATTCACTGCAACGTAACAGCAGCACGACTGATGCCCTCGTTTGCACCAGCACATACCAATCTTGGTTCTCTCTTGCGTGAGCAAGGTCAACTTGAACAAGCTATCGCGCACTACCACCAAGCTATTGCCCTTGACCCGGATTTTGCAGAAGCATACCTAAACCTTGGCAACACATATCGTGACATTCGCCAGCCATTAGCAGAGCAATTCCGTGCAAAAAATCTTACGTCCTCATTCTGTGATCACATCAGGTTAGATGATGCTATTAAATGTTTCACAACAGCCCTTGATATCTCAACGCACCTTGCTGAAGGGCATGCTGCGCTTGCTGCAGTCACGAGTCATAGTCTCTTGCATGAAACTTATCTTACTTGCGTCGATCACGCTAGGCACATGGAGATAAAGGGAACTACGAAGATGCAATCCACTGTTATGAGCAAGCACTAAGTCTCAACCCAAACTTTCTTGGTGCATTTGCTGGCCTACTTCAAGCCAAAGATTCCGTGTGTGATTGGACTATGCGCGCACCACACCTAAGCAGCCTTGCCTTAGTTGTTGCAATCCAGTTGCAGCTGGACAATTATGATGACACAATCTTAGATTACAGACGACGATCCTCTGCGGGTTTAGTTGAACAGCCAGAATCTAACAGTAATAAGTCTGGTCACGTGTTTAGTGCGTCCTTGCCCTGCATCCAACCAATTGATGCTTTAGCTCTCACGGACTCAATTGCACCACGTGATGTACAGCGACTCACTAGGCGATTTGCAGCAAGAGCCAGGGCAAATATCGCTTTATTGGCCCTCAATTCATTTCGACACCACCATGCTTTATGTTCAATTGCAGTTCCTAATGAAAGGCGAATCCATGTGGGCTACATAAGTTCAAATTTTTGGACACATTCTATTCGGCATCTGTTTGCCCCATTGTTTAAGTATCATGACATGACAAGGTTTTGCGTGACTTGCTACTCGCTATCGCCACTAGATCAGCTAGATCAAGGCGCACAATTTGTGAGAAGCGAATGTGAGCTGGCAGGAACTTTCAAAGATTTGAGCCGGATTACCGCCAAAGAAGCAGCAAGTGCCATCCACGCAGATGGAGTTCATATCCTTGCGCATCTTGATGGCCACACTGCACACGCCCACAATGAGATTCTTGCTTTACGTCCAGCTCCGATCCAGCTCACCTTCGTGCTTGGTTTCCATGGTACCTGCGGTGCAGACTACTTGGACTATCTTGTTGCTGATCGTGTTGTGCTTGGTCCCCCCAAGCCACCTGGTGCCCCTGGAACCCAATATGATATTGATGAATGTGCGCTACTGCTGCCGGACTCATGTATTTTGAACGGGCATGCAATGGAATACAATTATCTTCTTGATGATCCCCCCAGGGGCGCATGCACCCGCGAGACTTATGGTATTCCGGAGGATGCATTTGTATTTGCATACTTTGGCCCGCTCAAATGGCTGGACCCGGTTATATTCACCACGTGGATGAAGATATTACAGTGCGTTCCCAATGCAATACTTTGGTTGAATATATGCTCGAGAAGGGGTGCTATTGACCGCCTTAAGCAAGAATGCGCTTCTTTTCAGGTAGAGGAATGTCGACTATTCTTTACTGACCTCGCTCAGAAAGATATATGCATATCTTGCAATGTGCTTGCTGATCTTATTCTAGATACGCCTGGTTATAATGCCGTCGACGCCACGATAGATGCACTTTGGGCTGGAACGCCAGTGGTTACCTTTCTGGGCCAAACAATTGCGACGCGCATATCTGCAAGTTTGTGCACCGCTGCTGGTTGCCCAGAGCTTATCACAGATTCTCTCGATGATTACAAGAACCTTGCCACATCCCTAGCTGTTGATGAAGTTAAGTTGCACACGTATCGTCAGAAGCTTAAAATGTCCCGTGTTGGGCCTCACCAAGCACCACTTTTTGAGTCAATCAAGACGCTCAGGCATCTTGAAGCTGGTTATCAAGCCATATGGGGAAGAAAGCTTGATCGGAAGGCACCAACTGACATGATTATCCTTGATAAAGCACCACTAGGAAAGAATGAGCAAGCTGCAATTATCATGTAGCTAACTCTAGGTCCCGCAGCACAATGCAACCAGTTCCAAGACAAACTGCCAAAGAGGTCAAGTGCGCACGGTGATCTCAGAGAATTTTTCTACTTACATTCAATGTGCCTTGTAACAATCAAGCAAATCTCCACGATATGCTCATCGGAGGGGCTATTGGGTCTAGCACAAAACCAAGCTGTTATGTTGCAGTCCGGCTCGCACCAGCGCTGCACAGGCTTGCCCGCCTGTAGGGATCCTGCTGGTACGCTACAGAATGCAGGACTGTCCGCCAGCTCAAGACCCAGGCTATGTCTAGCTATGATGCATTAACAAGGCAACTATTCAAGTTAGTTTTGCCAGTGATGATACATTGTTTACCTACACGGTCACGGTGTCCGGAAAAAGAGACTGATTAATTGTTGGGATCCATATGATTCTTCTCTCATTTGAACTAGCTCCCAGAGCCATCGAAGTTCCAAACTGCACCTGGAATGATTTTGCGGCTATGCCAATGAATGGCTCGCGGCAGTAGAAGACCCACGGCCGAAACCAGGGAATCGTGACGTTCATATCCGATGGGAAACAAGCACGGTCCTGATAAACGATCTCATCTTATATGCTTGCGAATTCTATACTGAGCGAGTATCGCGTGGGCGCTGTTCTCGCACCACGTCGCTTGGGAAGAATACGTTTTAGACTGGATTTCGAGCTAGCTTTATTGTTCGCTCCCGGAGAACGCCCCGGACCAGTGAGTGCTCTTGATTTTCATTAGCCCGTGTACGTTTTCGAGGAAATGCTATAGACGAATAAGCGAATGCTGAATGTCCGACGACATGCTCTGAATCGCCCGACTCATTGGGTCCATTGTCATGCCCAGGCTGGTCGCCGATATCGGAATCGGCCGTTTTGGGAGGGCTATCGCCGTCATAAATATTATTCCATTATTCCTAATACATCAAATTGGATGTTACTAGTAGTTAGAGCCTAGCCAATACCCTGTGCCACCAGCCGAGGACTGCAGTGCGGCCGGGAGCCTGACTCAGTCGGATTGACCTAGAGGATTGACTCCTACCGTATAACGACGTCGTAGACGATTATGGCATTTTATTTTGCACTGGCACGCAATAGTTATTGCTCGGCGAAGGGTGGCGCGTCGAGGCCGGTATAGATAAGGTAAGTAAGGTTACGCCGCGCCCATAACCCATTGCCATCGCCCATGCAGATTGGGCCGCGGGGCGCTGCCTGCGTGTCGCCCCCCATACCCCCAACCTGCCGCGACGCGAAGCGGTCGCGCGGCTGCGCTTTACGGCAGCGCTGGGCCTTCTTTTTGGCGTTGCGCTTTTCGACGCAGCCGAAGAAGGGCGTACGTGCTGTACTCGCTTAACTCGCCGCTTCTGGTGCTTCGCGACCTTTGCGCCCAACGATCTACGACACTACGAGGGCTCGAGATGACCGCAAAGTTTGTCGCGCGCGCGCGCACGGCGTTGCGCCGTCATCGCGCGCATCATCACGCGTAGCTCCTCTCTTGTCATGATGCACCCTCGTGTACGCCACAAACACGTGGACTACAGGACAGGCGAAGTGTCTCTGACAACTTCGAAGAGAGGCGCGCGCGAGCTAGTTTACTTCACGCGAGGTCGAGATGGCCGTGCCCCCTTTTCATTTCAGACCGATTATGTGCCTGTGATGTCAGTTTGTTGCGAGCGAGTGCGCGTGTGTGTGATGGGGCGCGCTTCGCCTGCTATGTACCCGCTAGCATACTGCTTCGCCGGAGTCTCTCCGCCACGAAACCCGTTTAGTAAGAATAAGAATTGGTCATTTTTTGCACGTGTGCCCCCTCTGGCAAAACCGAAATGAATATAGCTATTTCCTGGACATTTTATAGTAAAAAAGGGGTTCCCGAGCAACCAAGCGGTCTGCGCAGTCCCCACGGTCCCTTTGAAGCTCCACGCCAACAAAGGGACCCGCTTCGCACTTCGCGTATCGGTGGTCGACGCACCTCGTTTTACACCCGCGTTTACGGTCAAACTTCATCGCACCCCAAACCCTTGCGGTCAGCCGTCCGTGGCTTCTGGGTGAAGGTCATTTCGAAAGACGGTCATGGTACGACGTCATGCGGCGACGTACGGAGGGTGCGTGCTGATGGGGCAGTGCAGTGTGGCGCCGCGGGCGCCCGTCTGCCGCTAAAAAATGGTCGAGACCCTGGCCGCGGGGGTCTCTCTATCATACTACGAGCGCTCACAAAATGACGGGGCGGAAGGCAGCCAAGCGCGCCAATGGGCTATATGGGTTATGGCCCGAGGCTGCCGAGTCGAACCATCGACCATCGACGAGGGCTGCCCCGCTTGCCGGAGGGGGCGCCCCCCTAGACCTCGACGAGTGCGGCGGGCGCGCACTCGTCCGTCGACGGCTCGAAAATGGGCTTAGGCTAGTAGGTAGGCAGCGCTACGCGATGGACGCTGCCCCGTGCGCGGCCTTCCGCGCCGTGGCGCGCGAGGGCGCCCGTAGGCCGTCGACCTCTTTTTTATCGCGGAGATAGCCGCCGCAAACGGCGCGGCGCCGCGGCCGTCGTCAGCGAGCGCGGGCAGTGGGCTATATGGGCTATATGGGTCATGTGGGCGAAGGGGGGGTGGGACCAAACTATAGCTGGGTCGGGTGGTGCTGCTTCGGCTCCAATGGTCCAGCTGTAGGGATCGTGATAGGCGGATCTTAGCGGTATATAAAATGACACCTGGCATAGCGAGGCTAGATGTAGACTCTGTGCGTATGATATGCTCCGGGCAAGTAATCGTGGATCTCGCGGCGGCAACCAAAGAGTTGGTTGAGAACGCTTTGGATGCGGGTGCAACATCAATCGACGTGCGATTGGTTGAGTATGGGACCTCCGCGATAGAATGTTCTGACAATGGATGTGGGATCCCCCCGAGTGACTTCGAAATTATGGCTCAACGCTATTCAACTTCGAAGTTGCGAGATTTTGAGACGCTGCGTAATGTAGATAGCCTTGGATTCCGGGGAGAGGCCCTTGCTTCTCTATGCGAATTGGCGAGTAGTCTTGCTGTGGTCACACGTTGCGAAGCGGAGAAGGTTGGTACACGACTGGTCTTTAATCGAAATGGTGCCCTGACAGCGAGGATACCAACTGCAAGGAAAGTTGGCACGACAGTTACCGTCAAGGAATTATTCGCAGCATTGCCTGTCCGTCGTGCTGATCTTCAACGTAACTTAAAACGACAGTACACAAAGACGTTGCGATTGCTTCATGGATATGCGTTGATTGCGACACACTGTCGGCTGCGCGTCATGTTGCAAGCAGGCAGCAAGCGGAGCAGTGCAATTACAGTTCAAAGTGGTCGTTCAATCAAAGAGGGGTTGTCGTCTCTCTTCGGCACAAATTTTCCTCAGACACTAGAGCCAATAAGCGTGTCTTTGAATGAGCTAGATATACTGAATGAAAAAGATGAACACTCTTCACCACACGCGGCGATCCGTAGGGTAGCAGTTGGGCTTGTGTCACGTGTAGGTGAGGGCATTGGACGGTCAGAGAGTGACCGGCAATTTATATTTATCAACAGGCGTCCTATCAATGCACATAAAATCATTCGTGCCATCAATGATGTTTGGCGTACCTTTGAAAAGAAGCAGAAGCCAGCATTTGTCTTAAATCTTCAGTTACCAAGAGCAGAAGTAGATGTGAACATACAACCGGACAAACGGGAAGCCGTCTTTGCTTGCGAGGCTTCTGTGATATGTTGTCTAAAGACTGCCCTTCTTAACTTTTGGGAGCAAACACAGGGTCATGTTGGTATAAAGCATTCTCTGATTCTACCGTACCGGCCTCGCTATTCGCACTCTATCGCACCTAGTAAGACTTGCAACGTTTCCCGGATGAATTCTCAAGGGTCTGAAGCTAATAATGCCGAGGCATCACAGAAATATCACATGGCCATCGGCGAGAAGCATTTACTCCCCACGTCAAGAGCAGCTAAGGAAGATATCGAAATGCAGCTTGACGACGGTTTGGTGAGCAAAACAAAAACTCCAAAAGTACGCAGACCTTTGTCCAAGGCCATTTCGACAACTGCGGATCCGCGAGGGGACAACAACGGGATTAAGAGTTCACTTCAAGTTCCTTTATCTGCCAAGAGCGCAGATTCTCAATCTGAATCAAACCCTCTTAGCAGTCACAGTCAGAGGGACCGAAGGACACACCGATGCTTTCGGTTTGCTCCAGGATTGAGTCAGTTTGTGCAGTCTGTTCAGCTGCTGCGCAGATCTGCAAGGATAGTGGTGCAAATGGACGTTGGGGCCTCAAAATATAGTTCTGGTGCTGAAGAAAATGAAGGCACTGTGGAAGAAAAGCTGGGAGCAGTGATGAGCAAAAGCGACTTCACTCAGATGGAAGTATTGGGCCAGTTCAATCTTGGCTTTCTAATATGTAAATTCGCGAGGCACCTCTTCATTGTAGATCAACATGCTGCAGACGAAAAGTTCCGATATGAGCATAACTGGAGGAGCACCAAAATACGGACTCAGCCTCTGCTGGCACCACTCATACTTAATCTGAGCGCAGCGGATGAGCTTTTCCTTATTGAAAAGCGCGAGGTCTTTGAAAGAAATGCTTTTGTGCTTACCGTTGACGAGAATGCACAGGCTGGCGGTCGCGTGAAAGTCTCAGGCGTGCCGAGTGCCAAAGGCATCACATTTGGCACAAAGGACATCCGTGAGTTCATCTCTTTGCTTGCTGAACTCAAAGATGTAGCCAGAGATGAAGACTTGCCCCGGTTTCCAAAGCTCCATTCCCTTTTTGCGTCGAAGGCATGCCGCTCTGCTGTGATGATTGGCACTGCGCTCGCGCTCCCTGGGATGAAAAAACTCTTGGATCAACTTGCGACTCTAGACGGGCCCTGGAGCTGCCCTCATGGTCGACCTACTATACGGCATCTTTCCCTCATTCACAGCCTATCATACGATTCGTGACACACACATAGACTAAATATGGGGTGTGGATAAGGGCTTGCAAGCTATCTGCTGCTGGTCTAACGCCAATCTATTGTACTGATCATGTCTGTAACGGGCACTTCATGGGATATTTGAAGGACGTATAGGATCCTCCCGAAGCCATGTCTGGTGGAGTTATGTAGATTGTTGTTGCGATCTGACGACCCGAGGAATCGACCGTCAGATGTTCGAATGACGCGCCGCGCAAATGGAACAGACTTGAAGCTGGCGACGCCGACCACGGCTCTGCACGGGGAGTTGGAGGCTCGCTGGAAAGAACCGGGCTTTGACTGTAAAAAAACCGGGCCTTTCTCTTTCTTTCTTCTGTCTTTCTTTATTCCAACTTGAAGTAAAGTACAGTACTAGAATTACACTGGCCCCGAGCGTCTCCTCAGAGGAGTGTCGCCAAATTTACCAAACTGCCAGATTGGTTTGCCCTAGCGGTCTAGCGACGGAAAGACCCCTCCCTACGGCGACGCCGCTTGACGCTTTCCCCGGGGCAAACTCATTGCGACGCGTCAGGCCGAGGCAAAGTTGTCCCGGATCTGTCCGCACGATAATATTTACGAGTCTGCGACCGGCAGCAAGCTTACGTACACGCTCACAACCCCGACACCCCTCCCTAAGCTAGGCTTGCCCTTAAAAACCCGAATTGACTATAGCTATTTCCAATTTACGAGCAAATGACAGAGCCTCATGCTGCAGGGCCGGAAGCCGGATATTCACTAGCAGCCCTACATAGATATGGAACAATAGGAAATAATTAGTGGATAATTAGAGGCCGATTTATCCCGTCCGTTGGAGAGATTGGTTTTCGGCGGGTTTATCTCGGACCGTCGCCCGGACCGTCTTTCGGAGCGATATGGTTGGGGCGGGTTTAATCTCACACTGGCATCTGACCACGCATCATCGCACCGCGTCGCAGCTGATTTTTCAGCGCGAGGCTGCCCACAGTAAACCGAACTTTGCACAGCCCATTATTTTAGCATACGGAGCCTGCGCCTTAGCAAAAATTTGCCGCCATTTGGTCGGCGCGTGGCTGTACGCTCAATTGGCCAAAAACCTGCCAACGTCGACTATTGCGCTCGACCCCTATGAATTTCGAAGTCTCCAAGGAGTCTTAATTAAGCGTCGCAGTCTAATTTCATTCTGATTAGAGACAAGAAAGGTAAGGAAGAATCTTACTCCAAAGAATTAACCGGTTTCCGGCCTTAGGGAACAGAGCCTAAGCAGCTGGTAACGACCGTGTGACCCTAAGAATCAGAGCCTTGCTCCAGTGTCTTAGCATTAAAACACAAGTCGCACAATATCGGTAATTTATAGGCGCGCCCAGTCATATCAGCAGCCAATGGGTACTATCTAGTACTACTATTGGGGGTCAGTCATCCCGCCCGGGTCTACTGAATAGGCCCTAGTGAGGCACGATCGCGCGTTGCCGGTAGCGATCCACGGCATGATGCCGGCACGAGCCGAACGTGGGGACGGCTCAGAGGAAAAGTCTCCTTGACATTGAGTTGGAAGGTCAGCTCACTGTGAACAGGTGGGGCATTGCAGTCCCCACGGTTATGTCACCAAGGGCGACGCTCGGCAGATCCCGGCGCCACGGTATCATGTCGCGGTTGAGAGGGTACTCCAACAACGCGTATATTTAAACTTACGCGGGGTCAAACACGCATGCTGAGCGGCCGCGGCGCCGAGTCTACCGGGAAATCGCGGCGCCACGGCTGAGGCAAAAAGTTAAGGCTCTAATTTCGCTTTGCCGCGGACAACGGCGTGATAACTCGGCGCAGCTAAAGAGCGCAAAGTCCTAAGGCGCGCAGCACGCGAGTTCACGATGTTGGAATTTTGTTTGACAACAAAAATTAACCTAGCTAGACAAGTAGCTAGACAAAATCTTAGATCCGAGGTCAAATGCGCGTCGAACTACCGTGCGGCACACATCGCTTCAGATGCGCATTGTACGGTCACACGCAACCAAACAGGAACAACATAAACGGGGTCATTCTGTCTTGGGCAAGATTTAGAAGGTATGCGGCGAGTCCAGAAATCCAGCCACCAGCCCACTAGTTACATCGAGAAAGGCTCCCCAGTCAAACGATCTATCACCCTGGGCCGTCCGAGTGAGGCCCGTGGCGTTGGATTTTAGAACTAGTGGTGCGCTTTCAAGCTTCGCCTGGTCTTGCCGAGGCAACGGAGGCGGAGGCGTTAGGGCCCCTGTGGGAGCCTGTAAAAAAATCAACAATCTTAGACCTTCTTATCGACACGCGGGAGTAGCGATCGGTACCTCAGCAAAAACACATAAGAAATCAACAGAGTACGGCGCCTGTCTGCTTCGAGGGCAGTGTAGCCGTGCGTCCATCCCTAGACTCAGTTTGGCGGCCATAAAAAGCAGCTTAGTCGAGCTTATGGCGCCGCTTTGCGGGTCGCTGGGGGCGGCGCGGCGCCCTCCGGGGTCCGCGCAGAGGAAGAAACAGCGTTATGGGAAGATCCCCTTATGACAGCTGCGCAGAGTCTTTTTTTTTCGGTATCCCGGGACCGGAGGGAATTCAGGGGCTTTGGCCTGAATTGCGAGGAGATGTGCGCTAGACCAGGCATGCGTAGGGGGCTAATTTGAGATTTGGCTGCGGACTCCCAAGGAGACCATGTGCGGGAAGGAATGGATCACTTTTGCGGCAGGACGCGGTCGCGAAGTAGCCCGCCATCCTATGGTAATTTGGGCGAATGCGTGGGCGCGGCTGGATCGGACGCCAGACACGGCCCGCGGGAACTGCACTGGCACTTAGGTCAGCAGGGACGCCTCTAGTTATAGAGATACGGCAAATTTTTGGTGTTTCGGTGTCCCTCCTCTGGGCCTTTAGTCTGGGATATCCAAATCTTGGCGCAACCCCCCCCCCCCCCCCGCCCCGCCCGAAAGACAAAAACTCGCCGCACTCCCCCAAACTCGCAGCAACGCATCAGTTCTTTCGTGACGTAAGGCTCTAACGTAAGGCGGTTCATGGCTCGGAAATTCGTTAGAAAGTGCCTCCGTGGTCCAAGTAAATCAATCAACCCCCTGGCGATGTTGAATGAGTGTTCGTTACAAAATCCACGAACCTGCCCGGCCCTTTTTCCTTTTCGGTTATACATTCCTTTAGAAGACTGCACTTCAGACTGTTAATTAAACTTGAGGCAGGTCCATCCCGTTTCTTTCTTTTGAGATGTGAGGCGAGAAACGTCGTCACCGCTGGATTCCTGTGGTTATACTACTAGCTATTATTACCAACCGCGGGTCCCCGGGCCAATGGCGACCGAAATCCGTGCGCTAAAAGGTCACAGGGGCTGGGACTTATTCAAAGCGTCCATAGGGCACGGCACGACGATTAATTAACACGACGATTAATTATCATTTAGCCTCCTCTCCTCTCCTTCCTCCCTTCTCCGCACTCGCCAAGTGGCCCCTGCTCAGTCAGTCCTAGCTAGGTGGGTATTCGCCGTTGCTAAATAAAATGTGTGGGCGTATCGGAGGCATTTTTGTCATTGACAAAACTTTTCAAGTTGAGGTCCTCAAGTTCCTATTATTTATTGAAATTATTCCTTTTTTTCAACTTTTTTTATTTTGTTTATCTGACTTTGCTCACTCACCCGGGCGAACACCGGAAATTCCAGTAGGTACGATTGCGACTGGGGGACGATAGGGGGAAATTAGGGCGTAATTGCGCGTCCTCTATACGCGTCCATTTATACTGTCTTTGGAGCGATATGGTTGGGGCGGGTTTAATCTCACACTGGCATCTGACCACGCATCATCGCACCGCGTCTCAGCTGATTTTTCTTCGCGAGGCTGCCCGCACCGCAGCAAACTGTGCACAGCCCATCATTTTAGCATACGGAACCTGCGCCTCAGCGAAAGTTTGCCGCCATTCGGCCGGCGCGTGGCTGCGGCAGATTGCGCTTTAAGTGTCGACCTCAGCTTATAACTTAGCGGCAAAGTAGGTCAGTTGGGGGAGTACGAGAAGTACTCGTCACGGTATCAATGGCAGCACAGAACTAGTATGAATTAGCGCCCGAGTGGAAGAAACGCATTGTACCCAAGCAGGTAGGTAAGTTCACTTCTCAGCTTCCGGAGATGGTCGAGCTCGTTATAGATCAGCGTCTTTGCGTGACCGACAGTACCTCGGGTATTCAGGTCGTAAATATAAATGCGGTGGTCAACCTCCTCGAGCAGTGCTAGATAAGCGCCCGAGTGGGAGTGATGAATTTTATGAGAAACACCGTGCTTGATAGATATGAACTCAAGCAGACGCCCAAGATGCGGGGAACCAGACGTGACACAAGTGGTGTAATCCAATGCACCGAAGCCAAAAGTCAAGAGACGCCGCTTCACGGCCGCAGATTCAGGAGTTTCAGAGTCCAGTGCGTCCGAATCATGGGCCATGGTCATCTTAAAGTCGAGACGCACGCAGTCGTGGTCATTGGCACTTAGAGCAAAGCCATGATAAAGGTAAAGGATATGATTCGGTTGCCCATAATTCTCAAGAACCTGTGATTACCACAATACACACCCAAAGAATAAGCTCGTAAATTCAATTAGACGTGGCGAGGGACTTGTTCCCCTTGATCAAACTGCCACGCAGCAGATGTAATGGCAAATCGCTTTCTATCTCGCACTGCTGTTGAGGTGCGATGCACGCTCGTGCCGGGTGGTATCTCGAATGCATCTGCCTACGCCGGAATTGACCTTAAAGACTATTCCAAACATGAAAAGTACCGCATTGACAAGGTCAAGCATTGGGACTAGATGGCGTTGACCGTTCCACCATATAGAGCGACTATCGAGGATCTGAGCAGCCCATCGGAAGACGGGCCAAGACAGAGCGACGTCAGAGTGCCGGATGGCTGCTCCAAGAGCCCGCCGGTTGATACGCTGGAGTATGGCATTGTAGGTACGCTGCGTCGAGGCGACGTATGCAGGTAGGGCGATCACAAGGGCCGAGCCCTCAAGACGGTCCCGTGCAAAAGTTGCAGCCTTTGTGGGCAAGTTGGCCCAAAGTAGCGGGGGGCTCTGGGCACTGTGATGATCCTGGCCCAATGTGATGCCAAGGGTTAAACTGACAATTTCATCAATTCCTGGAAGCAGAGCGAGGTAGGGTCCAAACTGATTGTTTGTGGTATTGACATTGCCATCACTGCCGATTAAAGCCACAACGCACTTCACCAGAAAAATTAAAATTGCATGGAAGTCATCGAGAGAACGCACTGCAGTACCAATCTCGCGGCGGGCAGCACTTGTTGTTAGACAGTCAGTCTCTGGGACGTCTACGTAGACTTCCCCCTGATTTAAAGATTTAGTTGCAACCGCACCAATCCGGCCTCCATGTGACGACAGGATCGCTGCTTTTACGTGAAGCACTGGCCAATTACGTGAGCTTGTCCATGCATTGAAGTCAGCGACACGTTTTGTTAGTGGACCCAGCATCACAGTTTTTTTAAGCTCCACAAATGGCGCATGTGCAACACGGTCGTCATTTTTATCGTGGGGATTGTTATTAGAAGTTTCGCATATTATGGCGGCCGCAGCTTCGCTGGCGAGTCGCATCAAGACACGCTTCCGGGATTTTCGGAAGCAAATAGAGAGGCGCAGATCGTGTGCGAGCAAAGGATCTACCAGAGCCATCTCATCTTTCTTTAGTGTCGTCTTAAAGGCCGCAAGCCCGCCCGTTGCTTCGTTGAGTAATGCGGGGGCGATTACACGTTCGTGCAAAGATGGCAGCGGAAAAGCATACTCGCATTGAGAGGATGCAGCACCGTCGCTAAGTGTGGCAGGACAGGCCTCAAGCTGTGTGGTGTTTATGCTGAGCGCCCATATCAAGATGCGTACATCCTGACGGACGCGATTGAGCTCGCCAGGCATGCATTTTGATGGCATCCTATGGACACCAACTGCAGTCAGGACGTCAATTCGACTATTTGCGCGGCCATTCCCGTCGTGATTTAGGCTAGGAAGCTTGACAGGCGCACAGTCAAAAGGATTCTCTTCTTCCGGGACAAAGCCATGGTGTTCAACATAAATGTGAGTTGGGTTGTCACCGTAGTCTTCAAAAAATTGGTAGCCTGGAGCGAAGTTGCGATCGCTTGATGTGTGAAGCCCTGAAGTAGATAAAACGTGGTGTTTCAAGAAGAAATTGCCATGTTCAACTTCCCGCATCCACGCACCAATGTGTGTCCGATGATTGACAAGGTCTGCGATGGGTACGAGGAAACGAACGCCCTTGAATATCAATGCCCTTGAGTTCACAATCGACAATGCCCAGGCCCAGCTTGCCATCGACGTGTGTGCCTCAATACATATGTTCATGTCCGAGGCGCTCGCCAAAGCACAGCCTGCCCGCACTGCGCGTCTAAGGCTTGGCGAGACCCGCACCAATGTAGCTGCAGCTAGATCGTGTGCTCTTGCAGCACGTCTGGCAACTTGTGGTTCATGCAACGCGCTAAGGGCTGGTTGTCCAAACAATTTCGGCGTGAGGACAGCGGGAGGTAGCATAGACATGTACAATGCCCAAACAGATTTCGGACCTTTAGCCTGCTCCAAGAGCAGATTAAAGGCGATAGCATCTGCATCACTAAGCGGCTGAATTTGCCCGTGGGCACGCGCAATTGTATTCCCGTTCCCACCACTGAATATCACAGATGATGGTACAAATAGTGCCTGGGCGCCTGTCTCGAGTCGTGATGAACATCTTAGGCCGTAGCCCATGCCCTCAAATTCAGCCATCTCGAGCCCATTCGCAATCCCCCCTTTAAGCCGCAGCCAATCAATAAGGTTGGCATTCGTGGGGGCACAAAAAAAAAACAGATGCGAAAATACCAGCGTAGCTCCTATTTGATGACTAATGCGTCTAGCACAAATGGCGACGGTCATCACCTAGGGGCAGCATGGGTCCGCATTGCGAAACCCGCAGTACCGTGTCCACATTGCGAAACCGTAGGTAGGTACCTACGGTACGGTACCGTAGGTACCTACGGTAATACCAGTGAAAGGCAAGCCTCGGTCACATTCCTGAGCTTAGCAGGGGACGGTGCCGGGGTTGCGGATATAAGTCGGAGACCTGTGACTTCCGGAAACCTTGCGAAGAATATACCCCCTAGTACTACACTAGCCTAAATGTTTCACATTTAAACGCTTACTAGCCTGAGTACGACAAGTAACACCACTTGGGTGGGACGAGGATTCACTAGAAGCATTCCCTGGAAATCACATGAACAGTGCTGAGTTCAGTAAATGGTCCAGACGTATGGCTTTTGAGCTAGGAGTACTCTGCCGTCATATTCGTCCCGCGTCGACCTCGACGCGGCCGCCGCGGTGCAATGATTTCCAGCTTTTCGAGCGCCTGAAGTTGTCCGCGGGCCTCCGGGCATACCCACCGTACTGTCCGCACCGCTTTTTGTGCAGTGGCGTGCCCACATCGCGTATCGCACATCATGTGGTAGGAGAGCGATTTGGCGCATCGCGAAATGTTGTGCTGCCGCGCTTTTTCTTGGCGCACCGCCTCGGCCGACCCCTTGAGCGGTCAGAAATAGCTTGGGGCTGCCTATGGGTGCGTTTAGGCTGCGCACGAGGCCAAAACCAAATCGCCTTTAATCGAGATTCACGGGTTTTTGCCGTTTTCAGCGCGCCGCTGCGCCCTAGTCCCGATCCCCATACACCACCCTGACCTCAGCCGACCCTTAAGAGGGCCCTACGAGTCTCCCCGACCGATGCGCCCCCTTCGGGCGCTCGGTGGAGGGAATCCCCAAGGTGGGGTCCGGCCCCTTCATTAGACCCCCAAAATCGGCCACCCAGAACCATGGATTTCGGTCGTAATATAATTGAAGTAGAGCTCATTTTGCATCCAAACGGTTAGCGAACGGCTTTTCCCGTGAGCGTCCGTTTTGATGCAAAATGGGCTCTACTTCATATACTACTACGGGCGATTGTCAGCCTAGCACGGATGCCCCGGCGTGGTGTGAGCCACCCCCCAAGCTCAGTTGTGGCGAGTTTTGTCGTTCAAGCTTTGACTCGAGGAACGCTATGCTTGATTCTTCGTTTGCTTCCACCCGCGTACTAATCGCAGCCAGCTAGGCCTTTGGAATTTGAAGGCCGTCTTCTAACTTCAGAAGGGGAATTGTTCGGCATTTCAACCCCTGGGCCTCCGTATTGTGATTCCTCAAGCAGCACAACGCGAGGGCGCTTAGGGTACAATATTTCTTTAGGCATAGGCACCCGAGCCGCACTTGCCTCTGCGTGATGCACAAACGCACAATCTATTTAGTATTTTTTGGTATCCTTGCTGTCTTTTGTAGTAACACAAAGCTACGCTTTCCCGCGCATGCCATTATTTAATGATTAAGACTCCAAAGATTACGCTGCATGTGGCATTGCAATGTATGGCGTTTACCTTGAATCAAAGATGACCCATGTTGACTGCTGTCTTAGCGTGAGTATTTAGCTTTTCGACAGTAGCCATACAGGAATCTTTAAGTAGCGTGTAGTCTGTCTCGCGAGTTTTCGTTTCAGCGTATTCTCGAAGGTGAAATATAGTCTGACCATATGTGCGTAGTTTTGCTTCTAGCGTAGATAGTGATCTTGCCGCTTCTGAAGACTGAATTTTCCCTTTTAATGCTTCATACTTGGATGTCAGTTGTGTCACCTGGCACTTAACTGATTCACGACGACCTTGGTACTCTTTTATTAGCCTCGATAGAGCAGTCATTGTGGTTGACGCGCGTTTACGAAGACCATTTACGTCATCAAACTCAATCATATCGCTTTGCATCATTTTCATCTTCTGCTGTAGTGAACTAAGTTCGATTTGGATTTTTTCCTCTAATGTTTCAATCTTAGCCATCTCTGCTTCGCGTTGCTTGCGTTCTTGGGTGAGTCTCAACGTTGTATGTTGGCTAGACTCCAGTTGACGTTCCTTGAAGCTTGCTTCGTCGCGCATCTCTCGTAGCCGTTGCTGCGACGGCATCGAGCTCCGCTGCTCAAGTCCTTGCGATATATGTTCCAACAGCGTTGCAATCGTATCCTGGGCTTGCACTTGATCCTGAGCTACTAACTCACGTGTAGCCTCAAATTGCGATATAAACTGGCTCATTTCAGTCTCACGTTGCCTTAACTTCTCATATTTTTCGCTGTCACTACTTGCCTCGACCTTACGTTCCTTCATCTCGTCGTGAAACTCAGCCAGTTGCGTTTGCGCAGCTTCAATTTGCTCCCGGAGTCTTCTTGTAGATTCCTCACACCTCCTTATCTGTTTCGATTGCGCCTCAACACGGTGCTTGAGGTTGAGAAGCGCTTCAGAGGGATCTGACAACTCCCAGATGGCGACCTCCTCAGCAAGACTCCCTTCTTCTTTTTGTAGCCACGTGTGGCGTTTCAAAAGTTGTGCGTAATCATCAGAGAAATGCTGTCGTTGATCACCGCTATCGTTGTCCACTTGGGAAATGAGACTATCAACATCTGCGAGAGCCACATCTTGCTTTTTAGAAAGCTCCAATGAAAATCCCAAAAGTTGGCTGTATAGAGCCAGTTTGTCTGTATCAAGATCTGCTATCTTGCAGCGAATGAGCTCATGCACTTCCTGAATCTGTGTATCCAGCTTCTTAGTCTCTTCGTCTTTTTGTTTTTTAATCACAAATATGCGATCAACTTCGTTGGCAAATTGCTTGTTTTTAGCTCGGAATCCTGATATATATTCGTCCAGTTCCACTGGGTCGGTGCCTATCAATAGGAAGGTTCTGCGTTTATATTTTATTTGGTCGAACGCTAGTGCGTACTAACACGGGCTTTGTCCAGTGCTAGATTGTAATCGGCCAATGTACCCTCTAGAATGCGCACTCGATTCAAGAGACTATCATGGTGCTTTTGGAGCCCGCCATGCTCATTCACTGATCGCTCATGTTGCTTATGTTCTGTTTGTAGACTGTAGATTTCGGTAGTCAACTCAGTCACCTAAAGATGTGTTCCGGGTAAGTACGGCGGGTGAACATTGACCTTATTCCGGAGAACACCAACATAATAAGAAGAATCTTGAACTTTTCGTGCAGGTCCGTGGGTAGTCTTCATGCCTCGCATGCCCTGCTGTGTCACAGGGCGCTCTGAAATATTAACCGCCGTTCCTAAGGCAACCCCTTGGGCAGCGGTAGTTCCCATCGACGAAGTCAAGTTGCCTCTGGTTCCGATCATCTGTCGTGACATGTCAGCCCACCAGGCCCTCGGCGCGCAGTCGCGATGGTTACGAGTTTGTTACCGGTCCACTGATAATTTGGACAAAATGTGGGGGGCTAGACAATACCTAGGCGTTCGGAAAGGTAGACTAGGATAAGGACTGGTGTCTACGCGGCGGCGCGCTCGCCAGCGTCTTGCGGGAGCGCGGATTCGCTCGTCGCCATCGAGCTCGACACGCTTTCGTAGACTCGGGCCCGGGCCAGCCTGCCCGGGCCAGTGCCAGTGAGCCTGCCAGTGAGCCTGAGCTCTAATTAGAATGATTTAGTAGCCTACGACGCTTAGGCTCCGTGGAAACCTCGAAATTTATAGCGGGGTCAAGCGCTTAGCCTTAGGCTAACGTTGATTTTATTTTTTGGCGGCGCAATGAGCCTGAGCGTACAGCCACGCGCATCTTTATGAGATCTAATCGCACGGGGTCGTGTATCCCCGGGGCGGGCACGGTCGGCCGCATGCTTTTATGTATCATCCGTCAGGATGGGACATAAAGTATATAAAAAGTATATAAATCCCTATACTACTTACGTTGGAATCTGCCGCGGCTGGCCGTACCTCGAGGTCTAAGAGCATCCATGATGGGCTCAGGCTGAGGCCGATAGCGGCGTAGCTGAGGGAGCGGCGGTCGAGCACCATTGTGCCCGCAGTCCTGGGCAGCGACGTGCGCCAGCAAGTGACAGCTATCACGTCCTGGCGCCCGGTGGACCTGGCGCTTGCTTGCTAGTGTCTTACAGGCCGCTAGCCGCGGGATTTCCTCCACGCGCGGGAAGCCCTGGAAGCCGCACCCCGGAGCGACACCCCCTCAGACTGCCTCATCGTCGCTGACTCATCGCCGATCCCGCAAATCAGAACTTAGAGTCTGGCGCGCAGCTAGCGGCCTGTAAGACACTAGCATGATCTCGGGTGCGATTTGGCAAGCCCGGAGGCCTCTCGAGGCGCGACTCACCGGCGACTTCTACGCAGACCTTTCCGATGGTCTCATCGCGCGGCGCGCCTGCGCCTCGATCACGTGCTGAGGTTCGACTGAAGGTTCGACCGGCGGCGAGGCTGGCAGTTGCATTGCGAACGCGCGCTCGCTACGAGACCCAACTTCGGGCAGCCTAGACTAATTGTTTGCGCAACGGTGGGGCAGGCTCCGGCGCAAGCAGCATGCGACAGCGCAAATGGTTGCTCCTGCTGGTCGCTGCGGCGGCGCTATCCCCGCTATTCCACGGAGCGGTCGCACCCGGCAACCTGCGGGGCCGCCGCCTAGCCAATGACGACGACGAGACCGAGGAGGACAGGGAGGAACTGGACCACCACGCGCGCCGCGGTGAGTCGACGACCGCCTGTAAAAAGAGCTGGGCCGACCCGGCGGGCATCAAGTCGCCGTGGGCCATTCCCTTGTATTTTGTGGGCGTCTGCTGGTGCTTCGCGGGCATCGCCCACGTCGCGGAGCAGTACTTCGCCGTCGCCATCGCGTGCATGGTGGCCGCGTGGGAGTTGCCGCCGGCCGTCGCGGGGGCTACCTTGATGGCGGCTGGTTCTTCAGCTCCAGAGTTAATAGCGGAGCTGATCGCGACGTTTGTCACCGACACGAACGACGTCGGTACGGGAACTGTGGTTGGAAGCGCGGTGTTCAACCAGTTGATCATTATCGGCGGGGCGATCTTGGCCTCGCCCGGACAGAGGATGATTCTCGATCCAAGAGCATTAATACGAGATGTGGGCTTCTACGCCGTTACGATTGTGGTGCTGGTGCTGGTGTTCCGGGACGGCATGGTGGAGACCGCCGAGGCGTGGACCATGCTCATCTTGTATATCTTTTACGTGTTCCTGTGCGCGATCTGGACGTGCATCGAGAAGCGCATTTTACCAGCTTCCTTAGGCAAGGCCGAGAAACAATTAGTCGTGGAACTGGGCTGCCAGAGCGACGTGACAATGCTCTGGGAGAATTCCCGAGAAGAAGAAACGAACAAGGGGGTCGAGCTTCCCGAGACGAAGGAAACGGATCTGGAAGATGTTGACCTGCGAGATGAACCACCCACAAAACCTCCCGAGAAAGCGACAGGGGACGGCGGCGTAGGCGGCATCGAAGCAAATGATGACCTGGAACCTCGAAAACGTGCAAAGTGTTATACAGGCTGCGCCGCGTGTTTACATGGCGTGGAGCGCACGTGGGCGCCGCCCGTGTCGCGCACGTTAGGACCGCTCAAGGACCGGGATCGCTTCGTATTGTTATTCTTGGCTTCCCTGGTTTGGCTGACCTTGATCGTGTTCCTGATGATGGAGTGGCTCGAGAAGTGCTCGTGTTTGATAGGGCTGTCGCCGGCCGTCGTCGGTTTAACCGTCGGAGCCATCGGCACGTCGCTGCCGGACGCCCTCGTGAGCTTCGATGTCGCTAGGCGGGGCGAGGGCACGATGGCCGTGGCGAACGTGTTTGGATCGAACATCTTCGATGTGTTATTTGCGCTGGGTTTACCGTGGGCGATCTCGACCGCTATAAACGGGAAGCCCATCCTCGTGCAGACGTCCGATTTAGGTTCGGGCATCATCGCAGGCGCGTTCCTGTTCACGGTTGTGAGCGCCGTGACTCAGCGCTACGTGCAGACGCGGCTGTCGGGCATCTTCTACATACTGGGGTACCTGCTCTTCTTCGCCTACTGCTTCATCCACGACTACGCAGTGCTCGGGATCTAGTGTGTCGTTCGCCGTGTGACTTGTCTTATATATACTATCGCTTGTCACCGGTGTCATCGCTGTTCCATGTTTAGGGATTCATCACCGGTTACTAAAATAAATAGACTTTCAAGTTGAATAAATAAATAAATAAATTAAGGTAGACCTAAAAATAGAAAAAACCTACTAAGAGCCTTCTCCCTGCTCCGAGTCAAGAAGATGAATTTCTTTTTTCCGAGTCCCAGTTATCTCTAATTTCAACTTCAAGTTTTTACGATACCGAAAAACATGTCTTTTGTGCTCCTGGATTAATTCTTTTCAATTGCAACTAATATCAGATCTCTTAATTTACAAAAATGACTAAACATGGCGGCGCTAGTAAAAATGTAACCATACAACATTTATCATGATCGTTCAAGTTTCACGAACCCGCCGAGCTTGAAGGGTGCTCGAACTATAATTTAAAACATAGTTTGAATACGCGGACCGGAACCGAGGAAGCACGTCTAGATACGCGGCAACATGCGCCACCAATCTTCTGCAAAACGGATCATCTGTTCCCCGCTTGGCCTGCGTCCGTATAACATAACCCGTCGACGGGATATGTTAGTTTTTATATATCGGATTTCAAAATTCGGATTTTGTATGCGTCTTTGCATCCGGGTCATTTGTCAGTATGGGGGCATGAAGTACACGAAACCCTATACTACTCACTCTAACTACTCACGAGTTGTAGCGGCCGACGGCGTCGCCACCACCGGAACGGGACGCGCCGCCGCTGCGGACGGCGGCGTTGATCGCGCCGCGCAGGTCGAGGCACTCGCGCGCGCCGCGCGACGCGAACTTGGCGACGACCTTTTCTTTCCCTTCCGCGCTCGTCTCCGACAGCGTGAAGTGGTGCAGTGGCCCGAAGGTCGGCCCGAAGGTCTTGTATTCCTTGGCCTTCACCTCATCCGTCACATGCACGGCGCTGAGCATGATGTGCAGCTTGATTAAGGGCGTCACGGCCTTCATGGCTTGGACGATGTCGCCGCCCCGATGGACGCTTGCGGTGCGGTACTGCGCCCAGTCCGACGAATTGCGGAACACGAGGAGCTCCCTATGTCCTTTGATGATGACGACCGATGGCTTCCAGACCTTATTCAGCGTGCGTAAAGAACACCGCGCGAGGCACTCGATCTGCACGACGCCGTGCATGCTGTGCGCCGGCGCCTCGGCGTGCGTCTGGGAGCGGCAGGCGTCCGCGCCGCGCGGCGGCGGCACGGCCGCCGTCGCGGAGTCGGCGTGCGGATCGCCGCCGCGCTGCATCAGGATCTCGCGCTGCATGGCCTCCGGGAGCTGCGCCCAGACGGCCGGAGGGCGCCGGCGCCGCGGGCCCCGCGCTCAGGTCGAGGCCGTCGAGGCCCCAGCTCTCTTCCTGCGGCGGCGGCGCCGGCGCCTGGGCGGGCGGCGGCGCGGCGACGGGCAGCCCGAAGAGGTCGAGGGCGCCCGTTGGCTGAGGCACGGGCGCGAGCACCGGCGGCGCATAGGGCGTCGGCTGGAGCAGGCCGGGCACAGCGGGCGCCGAAGGCGCTGGGGGCGCCGCGTTGAGCGCGCCCGGCATCTCGGGCTTTGGCTTTGAGCGGCTGCAACGGCGGCGGGCCGGCCGGCTCGGGGGGCTCAGCCGCGGCGGCGGCGCGCCGGGCATGGCGCCGGGCATGGCGCCGGGCATCGCACCCGGCATCGCGCCCGGCATGGCCGGTGCCGGGCATCTGCCCCGGGGCATCATCCCGGGCATCTGCCCGGCCATGCCGTAGCCGGGCATGCCGGCGCCCGCGGGCGGCGCTGGCCGCGAGAGCACGTCGAGCGCCGAGATCGACGACCGCGTGTCGCCGCGTCCGTCGGCGGCCGGTGTTGGTTCGCGGCCTGGTTCAGCTGGCCGGGCATCTGCATCTGGCCCTAGCCGGGCATTTGGCCCGGCATCTGCCCCGGGTAGCCCTGCATGGCCTCAAACTGGGTCCTTTTATTGGAGCGCTCGCAGTGGGAGTGCCGCGCTGTCGCACCTCTGTCGAGCGTCGTCTTCCGCACTATGGCAAAAACCTAACGCTAACAAATTCCCTTCCCGGTTTGCAATTCTTGTAATTTTCACCAATCGCATGGCCTATGAGTTCCACACTCGACCGTAAAGTCGTGGACAATCTTGATGTTCTCGGGGAATAGCCGATGAAGTAACAGGCTGGCAAATGTGTCTACCATATATTGTGAAAGCGCTGAGCTCAATTTTTTCTTTGTGGAGACAATTACTTTGCGGTCGTGTGAGGTGCAAACAGATTGAGGCTGTAAGATCAAACCGAGTGCTCCCTGAATCCTGCATGTGGGGCTAAGTCTTTTACATACTTCATTTTGATAATAATAGCGAGCTGTATAACTTGAGCTGATGGGTACTGACCTGGTTGCTAAGTCATGCAATTCTGTGCTAGATGGTTCATGTATAGTCTGACCCAACAGCTGCTGCCGTGTTGGTTTGTGCTTGCGCGCAAGGTACTCCCTGAAAAACAATCTGATTGTATCAAGAGCGTTAAGGTTATGTGCTCCTTGCGAAATTAGTCCAATTCTTTCCTTATCCTTGGCGCTCCAGCTATAAATATGCGGATGAACTTTGAGTGCGGTTATTTGAGACTGGCAAACGCGCAATGCACACAGTTTCCCTTCTGCAGCCTCAATGTAATCATAGCGTTGAAATACACTTTTCCTTGATCTTACATGTAGTGTCATTGCAAGCTTACTAGATGTGCTCAATAAGCTCACGGCAATGTGATCAATGGGTCTAATCGAGAGTTCTGCCATTCTGAGTTCACGCAATATGCTCCTGGCCATGTTGGCATGGACGTTCCAACGAAGAGAAATATCTTCAATCAGAAGAATTGGCTTTGTGATGGATGAGTTACTTTCCTTATCCTTGTACACTGGCAGATGTGAGCCTTGGTGAACGTTTTGGGTTCCCCCCCCCATAGGCAATTGGTCACCGGCGTCTCTTTGATGCCCAAATAAGGCTAAATGGGGGTTATAGTGTCTAATATCTTCTCGAGTGGTTGTGTACATTTGCATGGATGCACGTCGTGCTAGTGAGTGATCATAAATGGCAGGAACAGAAGCATCTTTCTGGAGGCGTCTAATGCTAGTAGATGTGCAGATAAATTGTGCAGAAAGTTTGAAATTAGGATATTGAATATCCTGCACATCTTTCACTAAGTTGTAGGCCCAAGTATGGTCACGGCTGTTTTGGGCATCAAGTCTCACGGATTCAGATGAGGTTGCATATACACCGCATGCTGTGGTGAAAATTTTCAGCTGTTTGCATGTATACTGTGAACGCGCAGCTACTATGCACAGCGCACCAAGGTCCCCCATGACACTAAGCAACTGATTCAAAGGGGCAACTTGTTTCCGCTTGTGTTCATCAGACAAGACAATTGGGCATTGTTGTGATGGAAATGCTCCTCTTTTGTTGTTGAAAGCGCAACGATGAGCTCTGTGAAAGCGATCTTTGGTCGATGTGGGATCAGTTTTTGCTACGTCTGACTGCGCAACATCTGGCACAAAATATATAATCTTTTTGCCTGCAGGGCCATATTGGATCTCTTGCATGTCCCTTGCAAAAACTGATATTCGAAGTGTGTTTCTTTTAGCCATTTGTAGAGGCATTATTCTTCCCAAATTGGCAAGCCTGTAATAAGTGGCGAAGAAAATTTGCCTTTGAATAGCAAAAATCAGCTTATCATTATTATCATGCAAATCGGGAGCCAACGTGGGTTTCATTTGGCCCAGTAACTGCCCTGCGTGTTCTATGATTTGTTCGTAAAATTCTATCGGACGTGGGCTACCAGTTGAAAGGACTTCTGTCAAGGCGGCAAATTTTGGAACTCGGGCCATATCCTGCGTTGTCCTGCCAACCATTTCGTATTGACTTGTTCTATGAATGGTTGAGAGTCTGTCAGAATAAACACCCGATAACATCAGCAAGCGAGCTGGAGCCACATGCACCCTGCCACCAAATGTAGCATAATCGCACGCGGACCACGAATTGGTTAGCGAATTTGTGATCACTGATGAAATTTCCGCAAAATTAACCACAATCTGACCGCAGTGCCACTGACGTTCCTTCAGCTTGGCGTGTGATAATAGCCTGAGAGCCCCTTTGAGGTTGATGTGACGTATCCAAGATACTAACCTTTGCTCATCACTAGTCACATTTTCATGGGCATAAGTGATGATTCCACTCGATCTGTAGTTGGGTATAGACACAAGGGCAGTGAAAATGGCCTGCGTATATGCAGTTGCCACTAAATAAAAATATACAATTGATCTCACAGTAAGAGTAGATGTGATTTTCGAGGCAAGGTAAGCTGCAATTTTGTTGGATTTTGAAAATGTTGCAGAATGAGTTGCGGGAACAGCTGATGTAAGTGCGGGACTCCACACAGCTTGTTTCCGTCTCGCACGTAGCCTTGCCAAACGAATATTCGGTCTCGCCATAACCATTGCGAATATCACGATAAGCAGATCATCGACTTCGTCTAATGTTCTCGAGAGATTTAAAATTCAGCTTGCTTTCAATTTGTGCGGTGTAGTGAGAGTAAGCGGCCAACGCACGCTAGACATACCTAGGTACCGTACACGGTACCTACGGTATTGTACCTACGGTACCTACGGTACCGTGGTACCTACGTAGCAAGAGTATGTCGCAGCGTTATGTAAAGTAGCAGGGTCCTAGCTGCTCAATCAGAAAACTGGCGCTAACCCACTACGAGAGTGTTGTATTATAAGCTCAGGCTGGTTTACCGTGACATAGCCCGGGCCTGAGCCTGCCAGCCTGAGTGCCAGTGAGTACTAGCGTAACCGTGACGGTCACGGTCCGAGTCGCCGTCGATAGACACTGGCACTCCGAGTCACTGGCAATGTATGGACTCAATTTACAGAGTGAGAGATACATATCTAGGGTACTAGTAGGATGGGCTCAGGCTAAAGGGTTCCTCTCTCTCTACTCAGGCTCCCCCTGGACGCAACTTGAAACCGTGACGTCCAACCGTTGACTCGGAACATAAGCGGCCTCTTCTACTGGAGGATGTATCTCGTGTGGCTCAGAATTGTGAGGGTCATTAAGCGGGCACGTACAGCTAGACACCGTGACCCGCGCCGCAGTAACCGTGACCGCAGTAAGTTGGTATAGAGCCTGAGGCCCGGGCGCTCACGGTGGCCCTATCATGATTTCCGTGACCCATCTTGGGCACTGGTGGGATTAACGCCTAGTTGCCCCAGTAACTCGTATATCTCGCTGGTCAGCCTATGCTGAAGTTCAATCAAAAATTGTATCCTAGAATTTTTGGCAGTCGAAATTTTCGACGATGCGGTCTGTTCAGCTCGCCTTCGCATGGGCGTGCTCTGGCGCCTTGATGACACGCGCCGCGCCATTCGTGGACTACGAAGCTCTTCGCGGCGCGACGCCGGCGAGCGACCGCCTGAACATGCTTGGGGGGCAACGTGATGAAGGGTTAGTGGCGACTTTTGAATTCGAGGATCTGCTGTCGTACTCATACGAGTATGGCGAGGCGAGCAGAACCGTCGCGGAGGAAGACCGATGCCCCAAGACAAGGAAGCAGAAAGAGGAGTGCTTGAATGCGAATAACAAGGACGAAGATGAATGCAGCAACTTGATCGAGGCACACGAGCGATGCATGAGGCTAGAGCGGCTCAAGATCGCTTCCTCGGCGGACGGCGGTTTTGGCGTTGATTTCAATCTCGGGAATATGAATTTTGGGCCGGACAGTGACTTAGGTTTGAGCAACTCTGGTCGTCGGGATGGGTACTACGTGAACGCCGCGTCCTTCCAGGGGTTTACGGACTTAGGCTTTCTGGGGGCATCTGTGGCACCGGCCGGCGACGTTGATGGTGATGGTGTGGACGATATCATCATTGGTGCTCCGGGGGTGCGACATGTCTACGTACTCTTTGGTTCAAGTGAATATGACTCCTCCGCTCGTCGTCGCCGGCTACAGTCAAAATATCCGCCGTGGGCTGATCAGAAATCAAATGTTGGAACCTTTGAGACCGCTATCAACGCATTGGGAGAAAATGCATTCATGATCCTCCGAGAGGATAATACCGATCAGGAAGACAGTGCATTTGGCTCGCAAGTCACGACGGCCGGTGATGTGAACGGAGATGGTTTCGATGATATCTTAATTGGGGCCTCGGGAGATGGTGTGGGTTCTTCCTTGGTTTCGCAAGGGCGGGTCTACGTTTTCTTTGGCGGAGATCGAACAACTTTGACGGGCCACGGCGCCTGGGATCTCACTAGCTCCGGGCACACAGGATTTCCGATCGAGCGTGGGTTTCGCATAGAAGGCGATGCAAATTTTCGAGGCGTCGGTCAATCTATTTCGGGTGGCTTTGACCTCAACGACGATGGTTTTGATGACTTCCTCATTGGCGTGGAGACCGACTCCAAAAATGGCCACGTGGACGACGTGGGCGAAGCTGTTTTAGTCTACGGAACCAACGAATTCGACCGGTCGATCCTACCACTCCAAAATCTTGCTGGTAAGGGCGGGTCGATGAACCCACGGGGTGTAATTCTTGCACTGAAGAATAAAGATGGTGCCGGTAAGAAAGCCCTGCTGGGTCTCGAGATGGCGGCACTCGATGACGTGAATGGTGATGGTCATGACGATATCGCAGTGGGCGCTCCCCAGTACGGAGATGGCGGTGCGGCGTTTGTGATATTTGGGGGTATTCAATACCACGGCACTTTATTTCTAGACGAAATGGATGGCTCCGACGGGTTTGGCATACTTGGTGCCAAAAAGGGCGATCTTTGTGGTGGTGATGTTAAAAAGGCTGGCGACTTCAATGGTGACGGCTACGGAGACATCATTGTTGGCGCGGCAGGCTTTGAACATCGTCGGGGTGCTGCTTACATAGTGCTGGGCCGCAAGCACTTCGGCCCAACTGTCCGGGCTGACATCTCCTTTCGTGGCGATGTTGCTAAGGACATGGCTGGCTACTCCGTCTCCAGCGCAGGTGATGTAGACGGTGACGGCCTCGACGATGTGCTCATCGGGGCCTTTACTTCATCTCCCCAAGCGCGCGAAATGGCTGGTACCGTCTATTGTGTGCTTGGAGGGTCCAAGAAAAAGGGAACCTTTGATCTTTCTGATCTTAACGGTTTCGATGGCTTTACCATGTATGGCGAACACTCTGGCGACGGTGCTGGCTTCGATGTTGCCGCGGCCGCCGATTTCAACAATGACGGTATAGATGATATCATAGTTTCATCGGTATTCCAGAAGGGTTCTGCCTCTAACAAGGGAGGCAATGCCTACGTCATATTTGGCCAACATTTTAATTCCAAGGCACCCACAACAATGCCCACTGGTCCATCTGCAATGCCCACGCCCGCTCCTTCGCGTCCGACCTACTCTCTGGGCAACGAAAAGCTCCCCTTTCCCTCTAAAGTTGCCCTGAGCTCCATACAAGGGATGTCAGCGGGTTCTATCTTGCGCGGAGAAGAAACGCTCCCCTCTATAGCATTCATTGGTGACGTTGACTTTGATGGTATTGATGACTTCGTCGCGGCCGCCGATGGCAAAGCTTACCTGATTTACGGCGCTGCCAACGATGATATTTTTGCGGGCGATCTCAACTCTATCACCACACAGACTTCTGGCAACTTCGTCGGTGCAGCCATAGAAGCCCCCTGTAGTATACAAGTCGTTGCATCAGCGGGAGACTTCAATCTTGATGGCCATGACGACATGGCGTTGGCCTGTCCGGCGGATAATGACAGCACGGGCACAGTTTTTGTAGTATTTGGAGGTGATGGGTTTCCGGAAACTAATATCATTTCTCTAGAGAGCGACATGATGCTTGGTGTTGACTACATCCAACTGCAAGGCGGGTCGAACGGCGACGGTTTTGGGTCATCTCTCTCGACTCTTGATTTCAACAATGACGGCTATGCCGATGTAGTCATCGGCGCCCCGCAGTCTAGTTGCGCCTATGTATATTATGGGATGGCTTCGACGGCCTTATCAGCTTCAATTGTTGATGCTACGACTTTTGGTCCGACCGAGGGATTTCGCCTCACCCATGACCAATCTGACCTCGGATCATCGGTTGCCGGCATCGGCGACATCAACGACGATGGCTATGATGATGTGGCGGTTGGAGCACCTGCTGCTGCTACTGTCTGTGTTGTTTTTGGTAACGAGTATATGCGCAATGATGATGCCCCCGCTGAATATAAGTGCGACGATCTCGATCCAGACTCCGATAACAGTCCAGGCTTCATGACGTTCACCTCATCTGAGGGGGGAGATAAAGACAGCGAGGAGCGTTATATTGGTGTTGCTGTTTCCGCAGCTGGTGACGTCAATGGCGACTCCTATGCTGACTTCCTCGTCGGAGCTCCTGGCGTTGACCATGGCTCGGGCATGGTATACATCATGCTTGGCAAACCTGATAACTGGAAGAAAAAGGAGAATACAAAGAAGGCCATGCCTATCGTTTCATCCCTACGACGAGGTGCGCTTGGTTCAGCTGTCGCAGGTGCCGGGGACATAAATAACGATGGTCTTGACGACATTCTTATTGGTGCGTCCAACGGCCTTGACCGTACGGCTTCGGAGCCCGGCACCGCCTATGTTGTTTTTGGTTCTGCTAGCCTGGTTCCGGCGCATGCCAGTATTGATGTTCGCATGTTGGATGGCAGCGATGGTTTTGCTCTTACTGGTACTAATCTTGGAGCGCAGGCCGGTGCGGCTGTCGCTCTTGGCACATTTGATGTCAATAATGACGGCATTGACGATCTGATGGTTGGCGAACCGGGCGCCCACCAGGCTTTCGTTTTATTTGGCATTTCTGTGGGTACAGTAGATACCCACGAACCGTCCCAAATGCCTACCACAGACACGTGGGTGCCGACGTCGTCGCCAAAACCTACGGGTGGCTTTCCTACGCCAAGGCCGACAAAGCAACCCACGCCAAGACCCACGCCAATGCCCACTGGAGCCTTTCCCACGCCTATGCCCACCAAGGACATGCCCACACCAAGACCCTCAACTTCAACCCCTACCTCGCCAATTAGCCCCACTGCTCCCACGGATGGGGGGCCCACGGATGGGGGGCCCACGGATGGGGGGGGATCGACCGGGTCGAGTTCAAGCAGCGATTCCGGGTCGAGTTCAAGCAGCAATTCGGGAGGGGGGGTCGACGCGGCTAGCGCCGGCATCATTGGTGGTGTTGTTGCCGGAGCTGCTGTTCTGTTCATCTTGGCCATGGTTGTCTACCGGAATAAATCAAGAGATGAGCAGGCGTCACTGGCCGACGATGTGGACAGAATCACTATTGAGGCAGAAGCTGCCCGACCGCAGCCAACACCGGTCGATCAGGCAAGCATGAGCTCTGGGGTCAATGACATGTCCATGGTTGAAGCTCCAGCTTCCATGGTGACTGACGTCCAAGAGAAAATCATCGAAGCTGACTTGTAGCTGGCTAGGGCCCTTTGCTCCGGTCGCTGAACATGCGTCTAGGGAGAGAGAGACGAGGACTCCCCGCTACGTTGTCGCCCCGGGTAAGTTAAATGCCCTAGGGTGCAGTTTACGCAGGCAGAGCGCCTAAACAAGGCCTTGGTGGCCACGCAGCTCAATAGCAGCACGAGCACGGGCCGCACGGCGCACTAGGCTGCCATTTACCTGAGGGGTTATTACCCCCTGGCGCCGCCCGGGGTTAATAACCCGGGTAATTGCCGGTTAGTACGGGTTATTTACCTCAGGATCTTATAGAGGGGTAGGGGAGGGGGCCTCACGGCCCACTGGCGCGCGGGCCTGGGCCGTGCCGGGCCACATGACCTGGCACTTGCCTTGGCGTACCTGTACGTATCCAAAAGCTCAACGGGCTGCTTGCGCCCATCCGCTCGCCCGGAGAGGTCTTCACTAATCTCACTAAACGGGTTTAGTCGAAAACCCGTCGGGTTATTGAGCGGATTATTAACCCCGGATCCCCTCCGAGGGGTACTAATAGGTAAATTACCGGTTATTAAGCGGTTAATGGCAACCTAGACGGCGCATAAGCGCACACCTAGAGTGCACACCTTGCTCGCAATCGCAACAGCATGCAACTAGGAGGCTTATCCGAAGAAGCCGGTAATTTTCTGATCGATTAGACTCGCTCAGGACCTCCCGCCCCCCGGGACCGGGCCGGGCCCCTCGGTCAGGGCACTCAGGCTGGTCGGTGCCGTTGGTCCCGATATTAGTGTTAGATCCATTTCATCAACGGGGTTTCTGGGGTATACCGTATAGGACTCGCGTTGGCTCAACGCCAACCCTCAGAACCCGGGCCAGCCAGAAACCAAGACTCGGATCTAACTTGAATTACTAGTAGTACTAGTAAAACTCGAAAATGCAAAAGGCCCCATACTAGGCCCCATTTACACTACGAGAATTGCGGGTAGATGACGGCGTCGATGACGGCAATACTCTACGGCAATACATGATGGTGACCAGCCATATAAGAGCCACATAATAGACTGGCAGCTAGGTGGCCTTTCCGTCGCTGAGGCTTTCCACGACAAATAATCAAGATTTGCTAACATCCTCGAAATTCTCAACAAGATCGGGGACGTCCTCGTCACCATCATCATGCTCTTCACCCATACTGGTACTTTTGTTTGAGTTCGAGAGATTGTCAGCAAGCTGTTTGAGATGATCTATATTATCAGGTCCCAATTGGTTCATTATACCCGGCAGTAAATCACTTAGCTCTGCGCATTTATTATCAACAACGCAGAGATAAAATGTACTCACTCTTCGCTTCATTCGGACCACTGATGACATAGGTATTTGCGGCGATTGATGCTTGGACTGTATTCATCCAGTAAGTGAAAATATATGTGTTTAATCATCACCTTTGGGATTCGAAAAATGGATTACCTTACCATCTGACGTAAACAGGTTGACCTCCTCGATGGCGGGGATGTTGGTTACTCCTAGTTTCTTCAATGTGCTTCCCAATTTTTTGTCGTCAGAGGTAGCTGTTTTGTGCACAGTTTTCTTTTTCCGGCGGAATGACCCCTTTCCGCCCGTACGAGATTGCTGCGCCCCACCGAAGCGGCGGGCTATCATCTTCTCGCGCGCTGCTGCGACGTCCATTGGCGATTGAGAGACGATATATTATATAGCCTGATATTATGTATGTACCAATCTATAAAATTAATGGTACATCTACAGTTAGTTCCTTGAATTGTCGGCCTTTCTCGTAGCACGCCAGGTTGGGGTGGTGTGCCGCTCAGCCCATTTTAGAAGCCAGGTTGAGGTGGTGTGCCGATGGTCGTCTTGTTCACGCATTGCATTCTTTGGTCAGCCCATTCAAGTTATTTTAGCATACTAGTACGGAACCTGCGCCTCAGCAGAAGTTTCCCGCCATTCGGCCGGCGCGTGGTTTTACGCGCATTGCGCCAAATATCATGATAAAATCAACGTCGACTATTGCGCTTGACCCCTCTCTAAATGTCGAACTCCACGCAGTATTAAGCTTCGCAGGGAAATTTATTTTATCTTAATTAGGGCTCATGGAGGATGCGTCCAAATCTTACTTCCTCCGACCTGACCTCAGGCTAGTTTGCGCGTGACTTAGACGTCGGAAAGCGTCCGAGTCGGGAAGATCACAGCAGAAGTAGGAGTAAGTTTGTGGAGGTCTGAGAGGGGTCTGTGGCTACCTATGACTACCCTTACTTCAACTTGAGGTTGACGTCAATGGGAGTTGAAGCTGAGATACTACGGGAGAGCTAAAACCCGCGCGGTAGGGGAGCTTAGTCTAAGTGCTTAGTCTAGCATGGGGGGTGACACCAAAATGGAGCTCGGGTTTCCGGCGACGCCTCTTTCAGCAGTCCCGGGGATTTGTCCGGAGAGAGGCGTCCAGCCGGCTCGTCAACCAAGCTTCGCGTTTGGGGAGGGCGGATTCGGGACCCTAAATATTGCCGCTTTTGGCCGTCGTTGTGCCATTAAGCGCCTCTACCGAACCGCAGGCTGCTCCTACGCAAAAACTTCATCGATGGCGCACCATCAGTGGGTGTTGGTGCCGGCTTAGGAGCAGCCCCGATGAAGTTTCGGCACGCCGCCGCATCAAAAAAGGGCTGCCCATTTTCATCGGTCAAGCTTCAGGGTTGGGCCGTTTTTCAAAACGCATGCGCAGCCCGAAAGAAGTTGTTTAGGAGCTACCCGATGAGGTTCCGACCCGCGCTGCCCGCTCCTTTTCAGCTATTCCAGCGCTGATAGTCCGCCAGCGGCCGCGCGGTGCGTGCCGCGAACGACGTAAACGGGGCCAAAGCGGCCACGAGGAGGACGAACGCTTCAATACAAGTGGTCGAGGCCCACGCATAGTACACGAACGAAGTCCTGCGACGCTCCATCTGCCCAATCGGCCCCCAAATCGCTTCAAAATGGCATTTCGACCTCGTTTTGGCATGTTTTTGCCCCACCACGACCCGAAATCCCCCTAAGCGCCGGTAAATTTTGTCTGAATGTACCCCATAGAACCCACAGAGAACTACATGTACCCCGGGACTGCTGAAGCAAGGCTCATCGAGGTCTTGCGCTAGAACCGGTTTGGGGTTGGTGTCACCCCCCCTAGTCTAGCTGCTTAGTCTTGGATGGGGGGTGACACTAACCCCAGGCTCAGGCTGGCGGGTAAAGACCCCGCACCCTTTTCGATAAAACCCGTTTTCTCTCTTTTTTCGGGAGGAAAAAGGGGTAGCACCCCGAACGACGTAGGAGAGAGGGGTGGTACCCCTTTGACGACGTAAAAGAGGGGTGGGGTCTTTACGCACCAGAGGCTCAGGGGGGGGGCACCCCCCTAGACCAGCCGACCTAGCTCCCGACGCTAGATAGCCTAAATCCGTGCACGAGGCATGTGATCGGAGGGGTCATTCGAGCGTAGGGCAGCGGCCTTATCATAAGAAAAACAGATTGATTACTGTGTCTCGGTGACCGCCGCGGCGCGGGATGCAAGGTCAAAATCGCCCCCGGCAGTAGTTCGGCCGCTTCGGACCTCGCACATAACCCCTCGGTTGGGTCTGTGGCCGCTACGGAGGTCTACAACCCTGCAGCGCCGCCATTCAGCCCGCTGTACACAACGCTCTCGACGTCTCGGCCGGGCCTTCACGCGCACCACCGGTCCAATCTGAGCAAACTAAGGCCGCGGTGTGCCTCGTATGGTCCCATACGACCTTATTGTGACGATTTTGGCCTCATCGCCCGCGTATAACGATTTGCCGTTTTAGGAAAAACGCCGAGTTCAGCGTCCGCGTTCTATGCGCAGCCCGCATCAAATGCCAAGTGGGCGCCCCCTCGTGTAGTCGATGGGGTGCTTGGGCCGGCGCACCGCCGCAGCCTCCGCAGCTAGGCCCGCATGGCGCACACGCGGCGTCTTAAAATGGGGCGCTAGCATCAGTAGCTGCATCAGTCGTACCAATCCCCACGAAAAGTTGAGGGCCGCTTTTGTGCCCCCAGAGGAGTCCCCAGACGGCCTCTCCGGATTGCAGGTGCTTCGGAAGCAACCGGCCAAAACCGGGTGCCCCTGGGTGCCCCCCTCCCCCAGGCTGGGTTCTAGCGCAAGACCTCGATGAGCCTTGCTTCAGCAGTCCCGGGGTAGTTCTCTGTGGGTTCTATGGGGTACATTCAGACAAAATTTACCGGCGCTTAGGGGGATTTCGGGTCGTGGTGAGGCAAAAACATGCCAAAACGAGGTCGAAATGCCATTTTGAAGCGATTTGGGGGCCGACTGGGCAGATGGAGCGTCGCAGGACTTCGTTCGTGTACCATGCGTGGGCCTTGACCACCTATTTTGACGCGTTCGTCCTCCTCGTGGCCGCTTTGGCCCCGTTTACGTCGTTCGCGGGACTCGGACGCGCCGCGCGGGCGGCGCGGCCGCTGGCGGACTATCAGCGCTGGAATAGCTGAAAAGGAATCGCGGCCGCGGCTCGAAACCTCATCGGGCAACTCCTAGACAACTTTTTTCGGGCTGCGCATGCGTTTTGAAAAACGGCCCAACCCTGAAGCTCGACCGATGAAACTATCTCCGCCGCATGCGCAGCCGCGGCGTGCCGAAACTTCATCGGGGCTGCTCCTACGCCGGCACCAACACCCACTGATGGTGCGCCATCGATGAAGTTTTTGCGTAGGAGCAGCCTGCGGTTCGGTAGAGGCGCTTAATGGCACGACGACGGCCAAAAGCGGCAATATTTAGGGTCCCGAATCCGCCCTCCCCAAACGCGAAGCTTGGTTGACGAGCCGGCTGGACGCCTCTCTCCGGAGAAATCCCCGGGACTGCTCGTCGTCGAGAACCCGAGCTCCAATTTTGGTGTCACCCCCCCTAGTCTTGGAGGGCCAGCGCGCTGCGCTGATACCCGCACGCTCTAGTCCTCGATCCCCCTACTAACTCTCGCATACCAGCATCACCGTGGTTGCAACTCTACGCGATCCATCGCTGTCTGCTGAGGCTCAGGCCGCCTCAGAACCACGTAGGGACGCGGCGCGCCCCGTTTCACGCACGAAACCGGCGCCCCCGCGAAAATCTGCGAAACCCTCGCCGATCGACACACGCGCCCGCGCGCGCCCCCCCGCCCGCCCAGGGCCACCCGGGGGCGCCCACAGAGGCCCACGAGAGCCGCGCCGCCGCCGGCGACGCCCCCGAACGACAACATGGCCGACGACTCGGTCAAGGACATAGTCACGGCCGTCGGCGACATCAACCTCGACGGCGACCCCGAGAAGGGCGTCCACACCCTCCTAACGGCCGCCCTCCGCATCAGGGCCGCGGCCCCCACCCTCGTACTGGCGTTAGGGCGCCCGGCCGCCGCCGCCGACGCGCCCCCAGCATCACCGCGCTGGGGGGGTGGTGCGGGTTTTCCTTGCACCAGAGAGTGCCCCCAATCCCCCACCCGCGCTGGTATTCGAATATAGCCTATGATAGTGCGCCTAGCGTCCTAAAGGCCGCTCTAGGACGAGTTCGACTTCCCGCGGTCGGCGTCGCAGGCCTTAAGTCCCTTCCACTGGCGCGGCGCGTCGGCGCGTCATTCCAACGTCCGCTGGAATGCATACGTACGTCATACCGGTCGAATTTTATCGGTAGGTGCCCAAGCGGCCCGCGATCGACATTCACCGAATATGCTCTCCCGACCGGCCGCGGGTTGACATGTGGCGACGGATAGCTGGTGGACTTCTGGAGGTGCAGCGCTGTTTGTGTTGGTCAGGCGCTTCTCTACCAGCAATTTGGAGATCTGTTCGCAGTCGTGCGCCGATTTAGGGCCTTCGCAGAGCACCAGCTTTTGGGCACTCGCAGACCGCCGAGGCGGCTAGTTTTCGACGCGCGCTCTTTACTCCAGGCGCGGACGAGTTCCTAGGACCTCCACACGCGCTGGCGGCACAAATGCGCCTCCGCGCTGGCCGTGAGAGCCCCCAAACCCCACCGCAAACTAGGGTGAGTCGGACTAGTAGAAGGAAGAATTACGCGGCGTTACTTGGGTCCTAGCTCTGCATGGTGTCTACTAGTAGGCCACAGCCCCGGCCCGGCCCGGGGGCCGCGGCCGCCGGGCGATATTTGAAAATTGGAGTGCTCTGCCCGCGGCGCGAATATCAAGCTCAACCACGACTCATTGTGACCACATCGATGGCCCGGGCAGCAAAATCCGGCGGATCTGCTTACCAAGCCATCAACACGTCTAACATTTCAAGATTACTGCCGTGCTCAGGCTATTGGTATTGGTTTCGATAAATCTGAGCGAGCCACCCAAAACTATTTGAAAGCGCCGGTCAGCTATCAACTCCAGTGACTTGTCGGGTCTTCTGGCCGTAATCTTGACCCAAGTGAATGGCTGGAACGTCGATAACCACACCATGACGTTCCTTAACCTCGAACCTCAGGCTGAGCCTTCGAGTTCAAGTTCTAGCAATCGATTCAATATTCCCAATGTTCAGTATGTTCAGTGGGAGAGAGCAGTCAAGCCGTCCTGGACGACGAAATGGTGCATGCAGGAGAATCGCTCCAAGGGAAGACCCTAAGAACGCCACCCAGACACACCATCCGCCGCGCGGGGAGGCTCGCCGGGGGAGGGAAGGGATTCAGGCCCGATGCCGGCCTGGAATGCGTGATTCGACTGCGCAGTACTTCGGTGGGGCGAAACTTTGTTATGACTAATTCAAACATACTGTGGGCTCTGGCGCAGCGTCGGACTCGGGGGCAATGCTCACCGACCTTGGTATGAACATACCAGCTAATGGTCCATTCGTGATCTCACAAGTCCTGAACAAAGGGAAAAAATCCAAAAGCAAGCAAGGCATACTGGAGATTCGCGCCACGTTTGGGTCGGCGTGTAGCGCAGGGTATGCTCTCGCTGGGGCATGCTGCGCGCCGCGGCAGGACCCCCGGCGGGTTGCAGGATTCAGACTCTCACTCTCAGGAGCTAGTACTTAGCATAAGCTTCCCCCCTACTAACTAGTACTACCTATTTATTCACAATAGGTGATTCGACAGCCTTATTAGGGAAAAAGAAGGGGAACTCGACTGTCAGTCCCAAATACTGGCACATGCAGTGGCTTTGCGCCTGCTTTATATGGTGCAGGGGGTATAGGATAGTGCGCCATTATTAGCCCGCGAGCCTGCTTCCAACCTTTAGAGAGAGGAGGCACGCATCTGCCGGGCCAACCGCAGGTCAATCACATGCCCTGGTCTCAAATTGGGGGATAGTTTATGGTTTGATTTTTGGCGCTTCAAGCTGAGTTAAAGGTCCTGGACTGCGGTACCATCGGCATTGTTGTCGTGATTGTTGTCAGCGTTGTCGGAGGTCCAGAGGGTAAGATTGTCGCGAAGGAGCTGCATTATGAGGGTAGAGTCTTTGTATGATTCTTCAGAAAGAGTATCCAGCTCGGCAATGGCGTCGTCAAAGGCCTGTTTAGCAATGTGGCAAGCACGGTCTGGCGAATTGAGAATCTCGTAATAGAAGACAGAGAAATTGAGTGCGAGACCAAGGCGGATAGGGTGCGTGGGCGGAAGGTCCTTATTGGCAATCTGCGATGCTTGCTGGTATGACTCCAGCGCGCTGGAGGAGGACTCCTTACGCTTGTCTGCGCTCTGGAACTCCGCCAGGTACCGGTGATAGTCGCCTTTCATCTTGTAGTAGAAGACTTTACCTTCATCCCCGGCAGAATTCGGGATTAGCGTTTTCTCTATAATTCCAAGGATGTCCTCACAAATGGTCTCTAGTTCAGTCTCTATCTTCTTCTTGTAATTAGTGATCAGTGCCGTTTTTTCCGAGTCGGACTTTTGCTCGATAGAGGAAATTACGCGCCACGATGCACGGCGTGACCCGATGACATTCTTGTATGCAACAGAAAGAAGATTCCGCTCCTCGACAGACAGCTCCTCTGAGTAATTCGCGACAGATTTCATATGATCGACCTAAAAAAATTCTAGTAAACACCCCGAGGCGCGCCTAGAACAAATTCGCCACGAATTTTGAAGAATTGCGCGGGCCCGTTGATCGGCGAATTCCGCGAGCTTCTAAATTTGGTCGAGTCTCAACGCGGGCCGGAACCATTTCGTCGAAACGCTCAGCTTGCTCTGCAAGTTTTGCGAGATAAACGAGATTCTCACGAGTGTTATTCATTGTCATGAAACAAGGGAGAGTAGCTAAGTTTCAGCGGTATACGTTCGACGGATTAGTAGACGGTAGTAGCCTAGAGTAGAGGATATACACAACTAGGGAGGCGGCACGCAGCTCCCTGGCGAGTGCTCGGTCAGTGCTCCGGTCCCATTCTAAGTATTCGGCCTGAATACTTGCTCGAAATTTTAAGTGCTCGGGGCATTTCAGAAGGGTTCTAGTATATAAAGCCCAGCGGTTCGGGTACCGTATACATGTACCCTGTATCTTTCTGGTCAACGAGCGCGGCCCGGCATGCAATACTGCGATGCTGCGCGCACAGGTATGTGATTGAACCAAAAAATACGCCCGCTAATCTTTGGTTTCACAGATGATTTCGTGGCTTCAAGGGCACATCCAGCTTCCGGGATACGATGTAGGTTTGTGGTCAGTCGAGCACGAAGAAAAAGCCGCAGCCTTCCTGAATAATCCACGACTATGTCAGCTTTTGTGCTACATGTCGAACGGCAAGCTGCACTTCTCAGCGACTCTTGACACAGAAGCAACATCTTGCGAGAAGCTTTACTACTTCATTCGCTCCGAGGAAATAAGATTGAACAATATCGACATGTCAATCCATCATGGAATGTTGTCGCGCGGGACGGCTATGCAGTCGCTACTTGAGGCAATGGGACAAGTCTTTGGCCCACAATTATTTGAATCCAGCACCTGGCCCGAGAGTGTAAAAAGGGATCTATCTGGTCATGTGCACAGGTTCATGGGTTCACTTACCGAATCTACTTTTGCAGCCTCCAGAAAAACGGTTCTTTACTTGCCATCTGGAAAGTTCCTTCCAAGTGTACCTACTGCTGCAAAAAACAAGGAGTTAGTGCAACAATTGGAATCCATTGTAATCAATTGGACTCGTCAAATCAAAGGGGTGGTGAATAGCCAGGATAGTCATTATCATACTGAGGTGTCGGGTCCACTCGAGGAAATTGAATTCTGGTGCACACGCAAGGAAGATCTCTGTGGAATATTACAGCAACTTCAAAGAGCAGATGTCTGCCGTGTTGTTTGCGTTCTTGAGGCGTCAAAGTCCTCATACCTGGCGCGTTTCCTATCCCTCGCTAGGAGGATCCATGAGAACTCCGTCGAAGCAAATGATAATGTAAACTTTCTCAAGAACCTTGTCACGTCTTGCAAGATCCTTGCAAGCGCTGATCCCGCTCGTAAGTGGCGAGCCTTCTTGTCGTTTGGGCGATCTTTTTGTTAGGCATATGCTGCATTCTTCCTGAGCTTCTCGGGCACATTCGCATGATATGGACCTTGTCTGGTATCTACCTCTCTGTCAACTGCTTTACGTATTGGAACCTAAGTTCCTCATTTATTGATGCTGATAGGTTATTATAACAACAAGTATCCTGAGCGTCTTGCCAGTTTGCTACGCAAAATTTCACATGAAATAATTTCCCGTTGCCGCACACGAGTATCACTGAGTGATATCTTGTATGCGGACAGCATTAACATTAAGGCTTCTATGGTTCTACTGACGGTGTCCCTCCGACCGTTGCATTTTTTACATCACGATGCTGTCCTCAGGTTGCGCTAAAAGAGTCGATTCAGTGTGGTGTTCTGTGGAAATGCCTGTACTATCGCACTGCCGCCGCCATTCGTCTTGCCTATCCAAGCTCGCCGGAGCTGCACTGGACGTTTGATGCAACGTCTATTTTTGCACAAACTGATGCCTTTGTCCAGAGATGCCGTGACCTTTTAGAAGTCTGCGAGGGTCAGATTCAGTTTCGGCGCAAGTCATACACCACGGCGGGGGATAACTCTGTTTCGTTTTTTAAGGGCTTGCGTGGTCAGGAAGTTACTAAGTCGCTCGTCGCAATTCAGAACCAATTTGATAATCAGATAAGCCGTTTATGTGACCTCAAGTACCAGATTCTTGACGTAAGACTTAGCCATTGGCACGAAGACTTTAACATCTTCAAGAACTCGGTCAAGGACCTTGAAGTCATGTACACGAACATGATAAGCGCGTCATTTGAAGGAGTCAATTGTATGGCTGAGGCAGTTGGAGTACTCCAAATTTTCCAATCACTTGCCAAGCGAGATGCAATTAAGCGCTGCGTGGAAAAAAAAAACAGCGATTTGTATCTTCTTTTTATTCATGATGTAGAAGAGGTTCGCCGTGAATTTGATGAAAATCGCAGAGCACCACCTCTGCGCAACGATGAGCCGCGCTGGGCAGGATCTGCCCTATGGGCTACGGCTCTGGCACAAAACGTAGAACACTCGTGGTCTCTCCTCCAAGCCGCAACGTGCTGCCTGTGACTTTTATAGCGCCCAGTTATATTTGAAATTTGGCTTTCTCAGGTATTTCATGCCTACAAGCGAAACTAAAGAAGCAGAAATCGCCTACAAGGCATTGATGGGCGTAGTGGACGAGTATATGGCTGGTTGTTACAAGAACTGGGTTGGTTCTATGGGGGCACTGGACTCTTCAACATTGCAAGCAAAACTTGACAAGCCCCTGATGAAAAGAACTAACCACACGGACACCACAGAAAGAGAATTTCTCGCAGTCTCTACTTTTAATGTCAAAGGAGTCTTTCTACAGTGCAACTTTGACCAGGATTTGCTTGCTCTGTTCACGGAGGTGCAATACTGGGAAAAGTTTCACGGTGAGTTTTCAATTCCATACCACGCCCATGATCTCTATAATCAAAAAGCAAAGTTTAATGCAATGCGTGAACATGTAATGCGGATTGTAGATGCTTATAACAAGATCCTGTGTGATCTAAGTGCTGTAGAACGTCGCTTGTTTTCAGATCACATCCGCAAACTCGATAAACGCATTAATCAGGGGCTACAGAAATTGACTTGGGTGAGCAAGGGTATTATTGAGCACTATGTCAACGATTGTTGTGCTCATTGCGCTGAAATATATGCAATCGTGCGTCGTTTTAAGGAAGGAAAGCAAAGAATATCGCATCAGTGCCGGCTTGCATCCTCCATGCTCCTTTTGCAAATAGACAAGAATGTTACTTATGCTCATGACATTTTTGAGGCAACGCAAGCTGCTCGCAGGACCGAAATGAAACGACGCTTGCAACAAAGTCATGAGATTACCCAATTGGAACTGCGTGCAATATTCACGAATTTCTGTGATGGCACCTCAGAAGTGCTACGTGAGTGGCGCGAGTTTGTCAAGGAAATAGACAGCCAGGTCGAAGCAGCCTTGAGACAGGCGGTCAAGAGGAGTCTTCAAGCGCTCAGTCGTGCTATCAATGGTGATGCCATGTCAGAACCGCAGACTCTATTTTGTCTCAAATTAGTGCTCGAAAATGGTCGCATTGACTACAAACCAACCATGATAAGCTTGACCCATCTTGTTAACATAGTCGCCAAAGAGCTCATTTCTACTATTGCTGTAGTTCCGCGGCTTTGCGACATCCTTTCGCCTGAGACAGTGAAGCAGTCTTCTGTTGCTAATGACAGAAGTGACTGTAGTGCTCTGACCAAACGCCATCGGTCGTTTTACTCTACCATTTCAAATGATGAAGACATGCTTAAAATAGTTGTTCAAATCATGAATGGAATGTCCTTGGCTGCCACTGAACTTCAAAGGCACCTAGGGTCTTATATCCGGTGTCGATCAATACTAAGAGATTCACCTTGAGCGATTATTTGTTATTGTATGTGACTCAATTTTCCGTCGCAGCTACTGGGAAAGGTACAAAACACTGTGGGAAATGGACAAAGAGGCATACATTCGTCGCTATGCGAAGGCAAACAGGAGTCTAAAACACTACGACGATGATGTCACCAAATACAGAAACCAGCAAACCAAGATTGAACACGAAGATATATCCCACGTAGTAAACTTCGTACAACTTGACTGTGCCCTTTTGAAGGAACAATTGATCTCACACTGTCAGCAATGGCGAAGGAATCTGCTTGGATTGCTCAACAAAAATGCCTCTCAAGGGCTCGAGTATCTCCATAACCTTTTTGCTGACAACACGCGCACCCTGTGCGCAACACCGTCTGATCTGAACGAGCTTTCTGATAAGCTAAGGATCCTGCTAGATTTTCGCAGCAATAGCCAAGTGATTGAGACAAAAATCCTTCCGATTGAAGAAATGTAGCTGCTTTCTATCTTTCCTTGAAGATTGCCTTGTCCAATACATGCAAAAAGAGCTTAAGTCGTTTCCAACTCAGGTATGCAACCCTGACTAAGTTTGATGTTCAAGTTGCCTCTAACGAGATTGTCAAGCTGCAGGAACTTCGGCCCGCTTGGAAGGAGTTCTTGTCCATGCTTGACAAGGCACAGCATGCACTAGACAAAGCCAAGGTCAACATGAGGCGAGATCTTGAAAGCAACCTTGAAGCCTACTGCCAGCAAGTGCTGCAGTTGCGAGAACAAGTCCTTATCGAAATTCCAACGTCCCAGGAGTTGACCCCAGACGAGGCTTTTGCTGTGATACACGACTTTAGACACCGTGTTGAAGCAGTCTACCTGCGGAAGCATGACCTTCAAGCAGGGCTTGATATTTTCAATATGGAATCCCCTGAGCACAGAGAGTTAAAGGACACAGAACGGGATCTGGAACTTGCTAATCAAATTTGGATCCTGGTGCGCGATTGGACTCGGGCTTTTGACAACTGGAAGACTGGCCGCTTTGATGAACTCGATATCAGCGAGATGGAAACAGTAGCAGGACAATTCAATAAGAAAGTGGGTAAGCTTGGTCGCGATGTAAAGCGCTGGGGAATCTGGGAGGCGATGCGCACAAAGCTGACCGAGTTCCTCCAGACCATGCCTCTTATCCAGGATCTCAGGAACCCTGCAATGCGATCACGCCACTGGGACGCATTAAAGCGAGACCTACGACGCAACTTTGACGAAACGAGCGCAGAGTTTACTTTGGAAACTGTGTTTTCTATTGGACTGAGTGCAGTGCCTGATCTTATCTCCGAGCTTAGCGCGAACGCAAATAAAGAGCTTGCAATCGAAGAGACTCTCAAAGAGATTGAAACACGGTGGGGGGAGATTGACATAGACATCAGTGCTTACAAGGAGGAGTACTTCAAAATTCGTAGCACTGATGATCTATTCCAAGTATTGGAAGATGATGCCGTCGCCCTGTCTACGATGAAAGCGTCTAAATTTTATGGATCATTCAAGTCCCGGATCGACAAATGGGAAGGGGCGCTTGCGCTCGTGTCTGAGGTTATAGAATTGATTCTCACTGTTCAACGAAAATGGATATATCTCGAGTCAATTTTCATGGCCTCCGAAGACATCTGCAAACAACTACCAAAAGAATCATCATTGTTCATCGAGGTTAACGCGACGTTTGGTCACGTAATGTCAAATGCAGCTGAACAGCCTAATGCTGTCATTCAATGCACTGCCACTGGCATGCTCGAGACGGTCACTTGCATGGATGATAAGCTCGAAACCATCCAAAAGTCGCTTGACTCGTTCCCTACTTACCCTTTTCTCACCCAAGGGAACTGAGTCCTTTACTCATCAGATGAGTAGCCGATTCTCGATGCTTATTGCAACATAGGTACCTCGAGACAAAAAGGGACGTATTCCCAAGGTCGCGTGGCAGTGTTGGAAACATGACTTTGGTGCAACACCACACGGCATGGCGGAGCTTGCCCGAGAGTGTGCCTTTCGTCGTGTGAAGTATACTGTAACATGCGGGTTCGATTTTTAGGTTTTATTTTGCACGTCCACCTAGTCTTGATCATTCAAGTATTATTAAACTCTGCCAATTCAGCAAATTTTGCAGGTTTCAGATGACGACCTCTTGGAAATCCTCGGCCAAAGCCGTGAGCCACTTCTGGTCCAGAAACATATCAAAAAATGCTTTGAAGGCTTCAAGGTGATGGACATCATCCCCCCTGGAAAGCAGCTCAATCGTAACTTTGAAGTAAGCCTTTTTTTATTAGGTTTTATAGGTATGCAGCAAGTTTGTCTTTAGGCGACTGGGATGCGAGAAACGTCAACGGGGGAAACCGCAGCGTTTGTCTCGAATGTCGTTTTAGACGGCGCAGTCGAAAATTGGCTCGTCGAACTTGAGCATGCAATGAAAAAGTCAATGCAACAGCTATTGGCTGTTTCAATCCAAGCTCACCGTGGCAAAGACAAGGAAAAATGGATCACGGACGTGCAAGGGCAGTTGCTCATAACCACGGGCTCGATTCAGTGGACCAATGATTGTTCAAAGGCACTGGGCAGCATCTCGAATGGAAAAAAAAACGCACTGAGACAACTCAAGAAAAAGCAGGTAGCCTATTTGACCCGACTTACCGACATGATTCGCGGCCAACTCCCGAGGTTGGTCCGTACTAAGCTTGTTGCACTTATTACCATGGAAATTCACAATCGCGATGTCATGGAGCGTATGATTAAGGCTGGATGCTCATCAGTCACTGACTTTGACTGGCTATGTCAGCTTCGATTTCTGTTCAACAAGGAAGAAGGCCAGTTTGGCGGTATCTGTACTGTGCGCCAGACAAACTGTAATCTGGATTATGGCTACGAGTATCAAGGAAACAATGGTCGTCTGGTTGTCACTCCGCTCACAGACCGATGTGTCCTGACCCTACTCACAGCCAAATTTCTGAATCGAGGAGGCAACCCTCTCGGTCCCGCGGGCACAGGGAAGACGGAGACCGTAAAGGATCTAAGCAAGAACCTCGCCATGTATTGTGTTGTAATCAATTGCAGCGACGGCAGGGAGCCAGAGTCAATACAAAAGGCGTATTGGGGCTCAAATAATGACGTGTTTGTATATACTTGCCTTACTGACACGCAGGCATGGACTTTAAGTCGGTCGGTCGTATATTTTCTGGCTTATGCCAGGCTGGGGCTTGGGGGTGCTTCGACGAGTCAGCCGCGAGTAGAAAGAATAGTTCAAGGTGCCTTTAATATATATCTTTGTGGTTTTACTCATCTTTCAGTTTGGCCTTTTGGTCAACGTGTTTTGCAGAGAGGGGGGGGGGGGGGGGCGTCGTCGTCGAGATGCAGTCGCAGCCTCAATGGGGTATTCATCAGGTTCAACAGAATAAAAATTGAGGTGATTTCGGTTGTCGCAATGCAAGTACTTTCGATCGTAGACGCATTGTCCCGAGACGCAGAGACATTTGATTTTATGGGATCGACTATCCGCTGCGATGGAAATTGTGGCCTCTTTATAACCATGAATCCGGGATACGCAGGACGCACCGAGCTACCTGATAATCTGAAAGCGTTGATGCGCCCGGTGGCAATGATGGTACCAGACTTAGCAATGATAGCGGAGGTGATGCTGAGTGCAGAAGGCTTCACAGATGCCCGCAATCTATCAAAAAAAACGATAACGCTCTATTCTCTCATGCAACAGCAGCTCAGCAAACAGGACCACTATGACTATGGATTGAGGAACCTAAAAGCCGTGTTGAACATGGCAGGTTCTATCAAGCGCGCAGATCCATCGACAAATGAGGAGGCAATTCTCATGCGCGCTTTGCGCGACATGAACCTGCCAAAATTTATCAAGGACGATGAACGTCTCTTTCGCTTACTTCTCGGCGATCTTTTCCCTTCCCTTGAACTGCCGGTCACAGAGATTGGAAATCTCAACGCTGCACTCGAATCAGAATTAAAATCCGCTGGTTTGCAGATGCACCCTTTCCTTGTATTCAAAATTGGGCAACTTTACGACTCGAAGCTTACGAGACACTGTAACATGCTTGTTGGTGCGACACTCTCAGGGAAAAGTACCGCTTGGAAAACATTGGCAAAAGCCAAGACGGCGCTTGCCAAGGAAAACGTCACGGGCTATTTGCCGGTAACTTCCTTTGTCATAAATCCTAAAGCAATAACACTTACGGAACTGTATGGAGCATATGACCTCACCACTTTTGAGTGGGCTGATGGAATATTATCTACTATATTCAAGTCGTGCGCGGAGTCAGATAAAAATGACGAGAAATGGGTAATGTTTGGTAAGTTTTTTCTTTTTTGCTTTGGCTAATTGCCGTCATAGATGGGCCAGTCGATGCCATGTGGATTGAATCGATGAACAGTGTCATGGACGACAATAAGATCCTGACCCTGATTAACGGGGACAGAATTCCTCTCACTTCGTCGATGAGTTTGTTATTCGAGGTTGAAGATCTAAGGGTCGCATCTCCAGCCACTGTCTCGCGTGCTGGCATGATATTTCTGGATCAAAGCGAAATGGGCTTTAAACCATTCCTCGAGTCGTGGCTTGAACGTCTTTTTGGGACCCAGCCCGAGGTGCAAAAGCTGCACCAAAATCTTCTTGGAAAATATGTTTCCAAAATTCTCGAATACAAGGCGTCGAGTTGCGTTGAGCCCGTCCCCATTTCTGATTTCAATGCTATTCTCTCTTTCACCCAGCTTTACGAAGCGTTGCACACCAAAGAGAACGGGCTAGATGCGTCCGCAGACATACAAGCGTACGGTCAAATGGCGGAGAGGTGGTTTCTTTTTGCGCTCACGTGGTCTATTACGGCCGCCGTGGACGAGACGGGACGCAAGAAGCTCGATATATACCTCCGCGATCTTGAAGCACAATTTCCGCCTTCCCGTACCATATATGATTATTTCTGTGATCCCCAAAAAAAGGATTTTGAGCAATGGGAAAGTGGGTTGACAACCTGGCGTCCACGCAAAGGGGATTCTTTTTTCAAAATGATAGTGCCAACGTCAGATAGCCTGCGAAACTCATTCATCTTCAGGACCATTGTTTCATCCAAACACAATTTGCTTGTTGTGGGCAATACTGGCGTGGGTAAAACAGTTCAGGTGATGGGCCTCATGACGAATTTGCCCGCAAAAAATAGTAAGCTTGTAATAAATTTTTCTGCTACAACTAAATCAAGTGCTCTCCAAGATATTGTAGAAAGTGTCATGGAGAAACGCTCCAAAGACAAGCTCGGGCCATTGGGTGGCAAGGAGTTACTCATTTTTGCGCGAGACAGTGCCAACTCGTCACAGACAGAAATTGTTGAGTATTTATCAAACTTACACATGTTCTGGGGGGCACGTGTCCGTCTTGGAGGACTTTCTGTTGCTAATAGGTCGACGACTTCAACATGCCGCAGAAAACCTCAGCCGAGTCTCCGTTCCAACCACCCCTCGAGTTGCTGCGGCTCTGGATGGACTATGGCGGCTGGTACGACCGCTCTAAATGCGCCTGGAAATACATTCTAGACAGTCAGCTAGTAGCAGCTATGGCGCCACCATCTGGGGGACGAGCGGTCATCTGCAATCGTACACAAGCACGTTTCCATCTTGTAAACATCACAACACCTGAAGACTCACAGCTCACGCGGATATTTGAATCTATCATGATGCCAAAGCTTCAGGAGTTTGACAATGAAATCAAGCCAATGAGTCGGTCTCTAGCTCGAGCAACCATTGGGCTGTACCGCAACGTCACCGAACGATTCCTTCCAACTCCGGACAAGAGCCACTATTTGTGACTTCGCAGCGTTGCGCTTACCAGATGAAAGTTTGATTTTTGCATATCATAGGTTCAATTTGCGTGATGTAGTCTCTGTCCAAAAACGCCAGTCGGGCAACAAACTTCATTTTTGATACCTTAGGCGACGTCGCAAAGGTCATTCAGGGAACACTCCAAGCCGAAAGACAGTACTTTGATACTTCAAAGTCCATGATACGATTGTGGACTCACGAGTGCATGCGTGTTTTCGCTGATAGATTTCTCAAAGATTCAGCAGACGACATTGGAAAGTTCATCGAAGCCATGAGCCAGGTGATGCGGGACCACTTTGAGGGTGCCGAATGGGCTGAAGTTATGGAGGATATCGATGACGAACGCTATGGTCCGATTTTTTGCAGTTTTATGAGCGAGACAACGGAAATTCTGCCTTATGAAGAAGTCGCCGATTATTCGCAACTCAAGCAATGCTGCGAAGACAAACTGGAGGATTATAATCTTGAGCCAAAACTGATAAACATGAATCTCGTGCTTTTCAAAGACGCTATTCGACACATTTGCAGAATTCACCGTGTTGAAGGCGATGCCTCGACGGCACAGCGGCGTCATTATATGGCCAAAATTTATTCAAGACGTCGCCTTTCTTTACCACGGTCTTGGTGTCGCAGGTATCCTAATGATGCCTAGGGGCAACGCAATGTTGGTTGGTGTCGGGGGATCTGGACGCCAATCATTGGCTCGTCTCGCATCTCATATTGCTGGAATTGGCGTTTTTGTGATCGAGATTACGAAACAGTATCGCTTGATTGAGTGGCGTGATGACATGAAACGTCTTTTTGAAATTACTGGCGTATCAAACACGCCCACTGCCTTTCTCTTCAACGACACCCAGTTGAAAGAGCAAGCATTTTTGGAGGATATCAACAATATTCTTAGTTCGGGCGAAATACCTAGCCTGTATGGTAAGGATGAGTTACCAGCCATTTACGATGGCGTACGAAAACGAGCAGCTGATGCAGAGTCGGGCGGAACTGCGGAAGAACTTTGGGCCTTCTTCGTTGACTCAATTCGCTCGAATTTACATGTAATCCTAGCCATGTCCCCACCCCTGCGCCCGTAGTGAAACTAGACTCTGATGACTCATACTCTGTCGTGTCCACAGGTCCCCAGTTGGATCCGCATTTCACACCCGATGTCGCTTTTATCCAGGCCTAATTAACAGCACTACCATCGATTGGTTTCACCGCTGGCCCGCAGACGCACTCACTGCGGTTGGCTCGGCGTTTCTTGACAATTTGACTCTTGACTCTGATGACACTCGGGCAAAAATTTCCAGCGTATTCTCTGTAATTCACTTGAGTGCACAAGACTTTTCTGACAAAATGCTTCAGCAACTCAAGCGTCATAACTACATTACCCCAACACATTTCCTTGAGCTTTCAAAGGGCTATCGCGTAATCCTGACAGAGAAACGCACAGAACTCGGCAATGGTAGAGATAAATTGGCCAACGGCCTGGCCAAATTAGTTGAGGCACGCGATGGCGTTGAAGTCATGTCGGTGGAATTGGAGAAAAAAAAAGTTGTGTGTGCCCAGTCACAAAAAGACTGCGAGAATCTCCTAGTCGAGATTGTGTCGGAGCGCCGCGTTGCTGACGAGCAGCGCAAGCAAGTAGAAGGAGACTCCGAGCGAATAGGCTTCTCGACAGTGTCCAGAGTATACTTTGGTGCTCTGCCCAATGGCACTAGTGCAGATGGTCAAATTTACAGGTAAGGAGGAAATTGAGTGTAAGGCAATAGCAGATGATGCTGAGGCCGAACTAAATGTCGCTTTGCCAGCGCTACAAAAGGCCATGGCTGAAGTTGAGAAGCTTGATAAAAGCGCCATTTCTGAGATTAAAGCATACAAGAGCCCGCCAAAACAAGTGGAGACGGTGCTTGCCGCAGTGATGATACTCTTCGGAAATAAGACTGATTGGACCACTGCCAAGAAAGTCCTTGGTGAAGCCAATTTCCTGCAGAGCATTAAAGGCTACGACAAGGACAATGTTAGTGCAACAATCATGAAAAAAATTAAGGGGTATGTTTCTCATGCGGACTTTAAGCCAGAAGCAGTGGGTGCAGTTTCCAAGGCTGCGGGGGCTCTTTGCACTTGGGTACACGCAATCTACATCTACGCCAGTGTTGCAAAAGAGGTCGCTCCAAAAAGGGCAAGATTAAAAGGTGCTCAAGAATCCCTGGCGGTAAAGCAAGCTTCGTTGCAAAAAGCACAGGAGGAGCTCGCGGAAGTCACCGCTAAAGTCAATCGACTGAAGCAGAAATATGATGACTCAGTGGGTGAAAAAAACCGTCTTCGCGCCGAAGCAGATCAGATGGAATTGTTACTAGATCGTGCTGATAAGCTCGTGAAAGGCTTGGCAGGCGAAAACGAGAGGTGGCGAGCCAGCATTGGTCAGCTGCAAAATGAAATTGGTCGGTCTCTCGGGGATGCGCTTGTTGCCGCAGCATTTCTGTCCTACGCCGGCCCCTTTGACACCCAATACCGCTCCAACCTTGTTCAACGCAATCCTTCCTGGGGCTCGAGTGTCTTGTTACAATTTGGCTGCATTTTAAGTGCAACAATTAGGTTGGTGGCTGGCTTTCGGCTGTAAGGGAACAACAACTACCATCTACGGAGAATTTTACTTTTGCATCGTTTTGTGCCCTACCAACGGATGTTCGACAATGGAACATTCAGGGGCTTCCAGCAGACAACTTCAGCACCGAAAATGGAGCCATATCTGTTCGTTGTTCGAGGTGGCCGTTAATGATTGATCCGTAATTTTGGCAGTGTCCCTTCGTTGCTGGTGCCGCATTGTCACCCTAAATTTGATATCATAGGCAAAACCAGGCAAATAAATGGGTGCGTAAAATGGAGGAATCGCAGTTGCACATAGTGGATCTCAAGTCCAAAGATATGCTACGCAAAATAGAGAACGGAATTGTCTATGGACTACCGGTTCTGCTCCAGGACGTATTAGAGGAGCTCGATCCAGCTTTAGAACCTGTCCTCGCCAAGGCATTGATCAAGGTCGGAAACAGAGAGGTGCTACGATTGGGTGACAAAGAATTAGATTATAATAAAGAAACTTTCAGTGTCTGCAGGGAGGCTTTTATTTTTGGCAGATATTTGAAGGGGTCGATTTCCTTTTCGTAGGACTTTAAATTGTACATCACAACCAAACTTGCAAACCCGTTCAGACTCAGCGTAAAAGCAAAGTTTAAATTCCCCCCCGCCCTGTAACCGTCATGTCTTTTTAGTCATTATACACCAGAAGTCTCCACAAAGACGACAATAATCAATTTTGCGGTGAAACAGCAAGGCTTGGAAGCACAACTCCTCGGTATCGTTGTGCAGAAAGAGCAACCTACGCTTGAGCGTCAAAAAGCAGACTTAACATTGCGCGTTGCTGCCGGAAAACAAAAGCTGGTTGACCTAGAAGATGAAATTCTAAGGCTCCTCTCTGAGGCAGAGGGCAGTCTGCTAGAGAATGAAACTCTGGTAGACACATTGCAACAATCAAAATTGACTTCTGATGAAGTAACTCGTCAACTCAATGAAGCTGAAGAAACAGAGATTAAGATCGACGCCAAACGAGAGGAATTCCGCCCTGCGGCAATCCGAAGCTCCATAGCATATTTTGTGCTAGACGACATGGGTAGAGTCGACCCCATGTACCAATTTTCGCTTGATGCCTATGTTGATCTCTTTAATCAGTCTATGGACAAAAGTCGCACTAGTCCAAAAAATATAACTGGTACTGAAAGATGCAGGCAGATAAATGTTGCGCACACTCTTTCTGTCTATCAGTACACCTGTCGTGGCCTTTTTGAGCGAGACAAACTCTTGTTTGCGTTGCAGCTATGCTTGCGAATCATGACAAGCGAAAACAAGGTCCCAAAGCAGGAGTTTGATTTTCTATGTTACGGCGGAGCAGGGATCGAGCGAGCCGATCAACGGCCTAATCCCTGCCCGGAATGGATAGATGCAGGAGCATGGGACAATATCACTGCGTTAGATAGCATCCCTGCTTGTATGGGCATCGCATCAGCATTTGAACAGGGGCAGCGCGACTGGCGGGCATGGTTTACTTCGTCCGAGCCAGAAGAAACCCCCTTGCCAGGTAAGTCAACTTCCAAGAGGCATAATGGCATCGACACTAATCAGGCGACTGGGAAAACAAGGTAACGGAGATGCAGCGAATCTGCATTATTCGTGCGCTGCGGCTTGATCGAGTACTATTTTGCGCAAGTCGTTTTGTCAGATTAAACTTGGGTCCGCAATTCGCTGATCCGCCCCCGTTTGACCTTAGGGCCATTTTTCAATCATCCAATCATCGAACACCACTCATATTTGTGCTCTCCCCTGGCGTAGACCCAACAGCACAGGTCAAATCTCTAGCAAACGATCTTAGCACAAATGTAGACATATGCGCCCTTGGGCAGGGACAAGCGCCGGTAGCAATGAGCTTAATGAATCTGGGGCTTCGAAGCGGCTCGTGGGTATTTCTTGCTAATTGGTGCGTCGACTTGTGTTGTTCGTACCTCGAATTCGCACTTAACTTTGTTATAGTCACCTTATGCTCAGTTGGATGCCTGAGTTGGAAAAACGAATCGCTGAGTACTGCGCGATGACCGAAGACATGCCACACGCACCACATTGCGACTTTAGACTGTGGCTTTCGGCCAGCCCGAGTCCTAAATTTCCGATAGCCATCTTACAGCGTGGCATAAAAATGACCACGGAACCTCCACGTGGGCTTCGAGCCAATATGCTTAAGCTATACAATCTAGTGGGCGAGGAACAATTCGGAAGATGCCAGCAGCGCTTAAAATATCAAAGATTGCTCTTTTCGCTATGCTGGTTCCACGCGCTCCTCCTAGAGCGACGCAAATTCAAAAGCCTAGGCTTCAACGTACCATACGAGTTCAATGAATCGGACTATAGTATCTGTCATGATCTAGTCATTGTTTTCTTGGACGAATATCCAGATGAAACACCGTCCATGAACTTGAATTGCCCATTTGGCACTTGTGTTTTTTTTTCAATAATTTCTGGGGCGTGTTTTCATTTCAACACAAAGAAAATTATTACACAGGTTCGATGCGATGCGGTACCTCATTGCCGAAGCTAACTATGGTGGTCGCGTCACTGACGCCATGGATCGACGACTTGTCAATGTTTACATAACCCAGCTATTTTGTGAGCAGGCTATCAGTCCCCAGACCGAGTTCAATCTTGCGCCGCAACTGTCAGATAGCCCGTACATAATTCCAAATGATGCAGATCTAGCTAGCGCAAAGCTAGCCATAAAAACATTCCCTCAATTAGACAACGCACTTGCATTCGGTCAGCATGCGAATGCTGACATCGCGTCGCAAATAGAGGACTCAAGTACGCTACTTGACACGATTGTCTCACTCCAACCGAAAGTAATTGATGCTGGGGGTGAAAGCAAGGAGCAAAAGATTCTACGAATTTGCCATCTGATGCAGGAGGAAGTGCCTCCATCTTTTGATGCTGCAGCTGTGAGAAGGGGTATGGGGCCGAGGGCAGACCCTGAACCCATGAAAACTGCCACCCAAAAAATTTCCCTTAGGATCCACAGAGCCTTAATTAAATCATGCCTACATTATTTGTTGATAAGCAAGTGGTGCGTAGGTGCTATACCAGGAAGTAGATAGATACAACATACTTTTGCTGACTTTGCATCAGACACTGAAGGCCTCGGAACTAGGTGTTCAGGGTCTGGTGATTGTGACGCCAGAGCTAGAAGAGATAATAGAAGCTGTGCTTGAGTTCAAAGTCGCTCCACCAGCGTCAATCGCACGTTAGCCCGCTTGAATTATCGAATGACATATATACAGGTTCCCCGCGCATGGTCAACGTGTTATCCAAGCCTAAAACCGTTGACCCCCTGGATGCGAGATCTCGTAATCCCTCCGCTTCTTCTCCTGAAGAAAGTGTCAATCTAATTTTAATGTAATTATTGGTTATTCGGCTGTATCATGTTGCCATAGGTGTGTCGAATAAGTGCCCTACAAAAATGGATCAATGAGGCTCTCCCCCGATGTTTTTGGCTGCCTGGCTTCACTTATCCCACGGGTTTTCTGACCGCTGTCTTGCAAACTTCAGCTCGCAAAAATGGCATCGCAATAGACTCTCTGAGCTGGGAGTTTCCCATCATAAACACCCCAGCTACGTCTATTGCACAATATGCCAAGGATGGTTCATATTGTCACGGGCTCTTCCTCGAAGGGGCTCGATGGGATTTAGACAACAGCTGCTTGACTGAGCCGATACCAATGGAGCTTTGTTGCTCTATGCCCGTAATTCACTTCAAGCCAGTTGACAATAAAAAGAAATCGATTAAAGGCATATACTCTTGTCCGTTGTATTTGTATCCCTTAAGAACAGGAAGTCGCGAGCGACCGTCTTTCGTAATTTCTTGTGAAGTCAGATGCGGCGCTCAGGGCTCAGAGTATTGGACGTTTGAAGCGGTGTCCAGGGACGAGCCCCTGGTCATTTTCTTTCAAAGGCTAAAAATAATTGTGCGAGATTCGTAGGTGTCGTGGCACTGCCATGCTTCTTTCAACCATGCACTGATATACAACCAGCGAATTTTATGCTTGAATGGCAAGCGGTGAGGGTTAAAAAAATCTGATGGTGTAAGTTTTTTGGCGCAAGTCTTCGGGCCAGCGTCGACCCCCCCCGAGTGCGATTCCGCCGGCGGGGCGTCCCCAATGTGAATGAACATCCGGGTTGGCTCGGTTTCGCTGGCAGTCTAATTTCAAACTATATAAACTAATATTTACTAACTTGAAGTACTACTAGTAGAACATGAAGCACAAGGCGGTGTCGAACGAGGGCCGATCCTGGTAGTACGTTCAAAGTTCAAGTCCAACTTGAATCACTGGCACTGGTGCGTTCTTATGCTGCGGCCCGCCCTTGTTTACCTGGGCCGGGTAGGTCGCCCGCCGCGCGTAGCGGTCTGGCTTGTCCTTATGCGATGCATAGGGAAATAGAGTGTGTAGCTCCGGACTTCCCCGGCAGCGTAGTGTAGTCGTCTAACGAAATAGTTTCTCCCATGTTTGATGGGGTTTGTGACGGGGAATTGCGTCCGTCAATAAAAGTGACTCAGGATGATAATAGTTAGGAGTGAGAGGCGACTTCCCCCTACTAAGGGGATATCGGAGTACCCTAGGATGGGAAGTAAGCTAAGCGGGTAATACAAGTACGGGTTGTGCTTGGATACGTCTCAGTTGAACCTTGGGACTCGGATCCTACTAGACGTGTATTTCCATTGCACCTTAAAACGATTTTTTTACCACTTTTGTTGCGATCTGACGCCCCCAAAAGGCCCCGTATCCGAGTAGTTCTGTACCGTGCCAGTCACCGTGACACTCACTGGCAGACTGTGGCCACCGTGACCGCGACAGGAGTTCGCACTGCGTCCATAAACGCTAATCAGCATGCAAAGCACGTTGTAGTGCTGGGTGCAATTCTTCGTCTTCTCCAGTTCCCCTTTCGCCTTCAGTATTTTCAAGGTCAACAGAGTGGTGGTTGCAATTGTCCAAGATTAGTGTACGTCAGAACTCGCCATCAAAGTCTAGCGTGAGTGCAGCGGCGAGGTACCTGGTGCTTTGTTCAACGACCCCTTTGCTGGTGCTTAACCAAAGTATAGAGTTCGCGCTTTCAGTATCAACAAGCACCTAAACGATGCATTCGAGTACACATCCGTAATGTGAAGACACCGCTCGTGTGATTGACAAGCTGAGGCTCAATACGGGCAATATAGTGAAGGATATTAATGCACTGAAGTCGAAGAAATGAGCAGGCGTGTTCACATTTGAGAACTTCGATCATTGTTGTGATACATTGATATGTCATAATCTTAAGGTGATATGGGTCAAAACACATGCTAGTGATCTGTGATGCACATGCCTACATCCACAAATGTCAGTTCTCATGTACTTGAGGATAAAGGCACCTCGGAAATGTGCACATGTACATGATAGCATTCTCCTGCAGTCATTTGCAATAATGCACACAAAAGTGCGACTGGGCCCGGTGATCTAAGGGCCTTCACACCCTCAGGGTGGCACGACAGGGCATGTAAAACTTCTAGGAAATAAAGCAGGAGAACAGTAGCATCGGTTTGATCTTGTCGCGTTCTGATAACTTTGACAAAGGCATCCCTCAGCGCCAGCATTATGACTTTAGCAGTATTGGCCCTGAGGTTAGTCATACTGCGTGCTCGGAGAATAGCTACAAGAAGTCGTGCAGCAGCGGCCTGCGTTCTATCTGTCTTTGAAGCTTGGAGGGCAGTAATCGCAGAATTGAGGATTCCATGGACCCTGACGATAGCATCACGTTGAGCGAGAGCCCCACTAGATGCATTGGCCAAGACTAGCTGAGCACTTTCAGCAACATCAAGCATATATGGCCAGCAAGTTTGCAAAGGTGTTGAGCTTGCTGGGTTGCCGTGGGGGACAGCATCTTCAAAAGGCCTCCTGCACATTGCTAGCATTGTAAGGGATCGAATGAAGGCTCTCTTTGAGGCGATATAGCCGCAGGCATCCCAACTTGCACTGGAAAGCTCAGCAATCAACGCAAGAGCTTCAAAAGCAAAAGGTCCAATGTCAGGTGGAACTGTCGCGCAAGTGATTTGCGCCTGGAGGAGGGCCAGCAAGTTTTTATGTGGGAGAATAGCATGAGCAGCATGTGCTCCATTTTTATTCAGAAGGGAAAACAGAATTTGAAGGCCAAGTGTCACATCGACGTTTGTAGACACTTCTCCCGTGGAATTCACAACCAGCTTGACTGCAGCCTCCACAGTGCTCGCGCCCTGGATATGAGATGTTGTGTTTGGACTCATGGTAATTACAGCAGCAATGAGACGTCGTGCACGTACTCGTCCGTCATCCTCCGGGAGAATGCGCAACACTCTGAGCAAAAGAGGAGTCAGTTTTGCAACAGCGCCCAGAGCAGCAGTATCAAGCAGCGGAACAAAGCCCATAGCACCATAGTGCGTTATAGTCCGCATGCAGCTAGCAAGTTTGAAGCCGTCAACGGCCAGTTTCTCTACGAGCAACACAATGTTTTTTGAACCAAGATTGACTCCAGGCTTCATAGAAATCTCCTGGGTAGCACTGCATAAGTCGCTCAGACTACTCACTTTGCCTAGCAGGTGTGGAATGAGCATACAGAGCAATACCAGGGTATTGGGAAATGAAACCCTCGGTTGTTTCTTATTTGCCATTACCCCTGATACTTCTAGGGCTACTATGGCAGTAATGCGTGTAACAACTGATGATATCATCCCTCGAGCTGCAAAAGCGACTGCTAACGCAAGAATAGCATCGCTAGAATCCAAGCATATGATACGAAGCATTTTCAACGAGGCTCGGGCTAAATCTACGTCAGTGCCTGCCTGCGATGTGCTTTCTGGAGTCGCACACAGCATGCGACCTAGAGTATCAACGTAGTCAATTGTCTGTGCTGTTGGTACAGAAAGCATAAGGGGCCTGTGGAGCTCTCCTGCCTTGCATAGTGCAACAAGACAATCCGCAGCGGTGGCTGAGTTGGGTGCCAGCAAGAGAAGATGGACAAGTAAACCGGCCTGGATGACTTTTGCCGCAACACAACCCAAAATATCCTCTTTTATTAGCTCCTTCAGCGTTGTACATGCTCGGTCAACCGCTGCTAGGTGTGCTGATACGACAGCTGGGTCATCTGATTTCATTGTTGTGGCGATCAGGGAGACTAGAGCAGCTACATCTACCTCACCCACCGGCCAAAATGTCTTATTTGGAGCAAGAAGATGTAGCTCTTGAGACCGAGACCTGTAGCGCTCCTCAAAATAACTCCTGCGATCACTGCTGACTATCTCGATTGACGAAAGAAACGATGCTTCATGGTCTCTGCTCGTTTTATCACTGATGTCAACCTGGTGACCAGTACTACAAATATTTGGTGCATTGGCAATGGCAGTGAGAATCTGATGTGCACTACGTGTCACAAAATTATTCTCCGTAACATCAATGCAATCCAAAGTCCAGCCCCCATTCAATGCGTATGCGAGAGAACCGATTGCTCCAGTATGTTTTGCGGCAGCAGCAAGCTTGACAGTAGTCTGTGGTGTTTTGATTATATCGGTAGGGTGTGTAAAGTGAAGGAGCACTGAAAGAGCAATACGTGCTAGCTTAAAGCCGCACGTGTCCTGAAATTTCAGAACCTCGAGAAATAGAGCATGGAAAACTGGCGCTTTTGTAGTGGCCAGGCTCATTCGCGGCTTTGGATATGTAGCGAGTGCAGACAGAGCACCGAGCGCTTCATGCTCTATTATGCCCAAAATTTGATCTTTATTTTTAATCGCAGTGATAAGAATACATGCCACAGCTTCGCATGCCCCAGCACCTGCGAGGGCTATTGCCCTGTCTTCTGAATCAGCAGCGAGGGCAGTAATACTAGAGAGAGACAAGGCTGAACAACGCAACGCAAAGTCGGAGGTTACACACAGTGATATTCGCGAGAGAGAAACAAGGGCACCCCGGCAGTCCGGTGAACAAGCAATTTCATCACAAGCTACAAGACAGCCCCCGCGACACGTAGAATTTAGTATACCTAATGCTTTCTCAACAGCAATGGCACCTCGTAGCTGCACAAATTGGCTTTGAACGCTCCCTACTGCGGCGTGCTTATGAATGGCATCTGAAGCAACAAAGCCGTGTGCCAAATTATTCCCCAGTGCAGCGACACCAAGTACAATATCACGACCTAGACTTGTTATGTGCGCAAAGAGAGATGCAAAGGCATCAAGTACATCTGCACGGACGGTGGCATCGCTGTCGCCAAGACACCTAGCCGTAACTTCTACCAACCCTGCATGTGCGAGCGCTGGGCCAATGACTTCTGTAGGATCGTGAGTTGCAATATCTTCTCTACAACAAAGTGACCAAGAATGTCGGTTTCCGCGGAGAAGTGCACCAAGAAGACGTGCTGCTGCACGTCGTTTTTCTGTTTGTTGTAGTACCAAAGACTCATGCGCAAGGCCCATAGCAAGAGCCAAACAAGATCCAGGGTTCTGTGATATGTCCCGCTTGCATATAATTTCTGATGGATGTGGCATTTCACCAAATGGTCTTGCCGCACCACAGAGAGAACCAAGCGCTAGCAAGATTGCAGTTGTAAGTGTATTGACAGTAGCAATGCTAGGACTATCCGACACAAGGAGCTCATTTTTTGCCATACCATCAAGAAGATCACACAGTCTCGCAAGCAATCGGCCATTTGGAGGTCCCACCAGTGCAAGAATGAACAACGCTCCATCATTACCACCGCACCAGCTTGCATGGATGCAGATATGCACGAGCGTGGCTGCACGTGCTGCAATTAAGCTATGGATGGATGTGTAATCTGAATCACAGACAAGACGCACGTCCAGAAATTTGCGTGTAGTAATCAGCTCAAGGAGTCCAACTTGTGCTACTTCAATAGCAGCACCAGCATCACGATGAGCAGCGCAGGCGCATATGCAGCTAATAAGAGCAGAGAGGGCAGCCAGTGCTCTTGGCTGTTGTTCTGGTGTCTCGAGAGATGGTGCCAGCTCAAATGCAACTGTAGAGGAAAGTGCAGAAAGTACCTGACCTAGGTCCGTGAATGCATCAATTGCATCGGGCACGCAGGATATGATGGCTGCAATAATTCGAGCACCAGCATCATGGTGCGAGTCATCAAAAGTCCTGCCCCGGCCTTGCGTTTTTTGTGCTGCTATAGCGAGTAGGGTCGAAAAATGAGATTTTCTATTGGTATTGGTGGTGAGGGCCATGGTAGCCACGCGGAGACCACCAACAGCATAGATTTGCTTTGTTGTCATTTTGCAGGCAGCCACTTCTTTGGCATTGTCTTCATCTCCAGTCTCCTCATCGATGTAATAACACATATCTGCCAGAACATGAATAGCACAGGAGATCAGACTTGAATTTTCGCAAGCAGCAACAAAGTAAGCGATATATTTTCTGTCACTACCAAGCTCATGTCGTAAAGACGATTGAAAATTCAGACTGGTGTGATTTAATGCTGTGATGATTTCCAGAGCAGTACTTGCAATGTTGGCTTCTGTTCCCGCAAGCAATGGAATCAGGGAATGGCATATGCCTGCGTCAATAGCCCCCTCCACAAGACTGTTCAACAAAACCCCAGCATCACCCACCCCAAAAGAATCTTTGGGCCATGCGGCCTCAATGGAAGCAGAGCATAGGGCAACAAGGGTAGCCAAGGCGTGTGATCTCACCGCCGATGATGATGAGGATAACAAGGCAACTACTGTGAAGATGCCGCCATCGTCAATGATGCATTTGGTTGCGTTGTGAGGATCGCTGGCTACAATTGGGGTCAGTGCAGCTGCAGACCAGTTTTGCAGACTGTCATTTGGTGACGTTAGCAATGGTAGCAGCCGTGTTTGGGCTGAAATAGCCACCAGAGTTCGCGCTGCGTGTATATCTGCGCGTGCTGCAAAGTATACACATCTTGCCGCTGGCTCTTGTCCAGGTACTTCCTCGAGGCACTTCGCCACCAGGGCGAGGACCCCGGATGAGCCAAGAGTCCTGGCCACTATGTCAGACGGTGGTTGCGAGTTTTCGCTGGCACCTAGTTTTCTGGAAAGAGCTTTAAGCGCCTGCTCTCTTGCTGGACTGGGCGGGGACAATAGAAGCGGCTTAAATATTTTGGCAACTAGTCCGGCAGATGATGGGAACTTAGCACCTGCCACGACGCACCTACACAAAAGCGAGCCATCCAACAGCCCGGCATGCATGAATGGGACACCGTTGTATCACCAGCCCAACCACGTGGCGCGCTCCAGATCATTCGCTGCTGCAAACTCGAACTTATCTTTGCCTATCATTTGTGCATACAATGATTTTAAAAAACGCCGAGCACTGCAGCAAATCACCAGGGATTGCAGATTGTGGTGAATTGCTGGCGGGGAAAATCTTCCAACGGAATATCTGGTTCTTCATTGATCGGATCTTGCCTTGACTTGAAGACTCGTGTAATGTGGAACTTTTGAGCTCAATGCATACTTCTACTTTAGTACATAATGAATTTGGATACACCTCTAGCGCTGTTCCGCAAACCTAAATTCTAAACTTGAACCAGGAGGAATGGATGACTCTGCTCCCGTGCCCGAGCATAGACTTGGCGCCAACCTAGGCCTCTTAATTCCTTGCGCACACGGAGAGAACCTTCAAAAGTTGGTGAAGGTGGCTGCTCTGCTAAATCCTGAAGGACTGTAATGTAAGCTCGGAGATACGATTGGATTTACAAAGACGCTAGTGTTTACATCTAAGCCTTTGATCTCATGTTGAACAGGCCTCTGCGTCGGTGAAATCACGTCACCTTCCATCTGAAGATGGTGGATTAAGTGATCATCAGGTTCTTGGACATTTGGCGGTGGTCGTTTCCAAGATGTGGATTGCGTGTTGTGATCCACAAAAAAAATGCGCCCTATGGAATCCTTACGCTCTTCCCAGCCGGGAGGTAGCATTTACATGGCCAGGTACAACTCTACATTCTAGTACGCATGCTACTAGAAGTAGAATCGTACCGTAGGTACCGATGTACACGGTATACGCTTGGCGCGCATGATGGCTATTAGGCTGGAATGATGCCAAAATAATACTAAAAGCCAAGCTAAAATGCACTACCGACGCGGACTCGGAGATGCCGCCCCCCTAACTTCCGAGTCACCCTCTGGACTCGGAGCCGCTTCTCAGGCTCTTGTTTGGACATAATTATTGATGTCCAGACTTCATCGTACCACGCCCGCGCCTAAGGCCCTTTGCTTGGCCCCCACCTGCGACTGTGAGACTCGGGAGTACCGGCCCCGGGGTACCTTGATGGCCCTGCGTTGCGTAGGTCTATAGGAGGAAGAGACGGTTCCACCATTAAACTTTCGATACTATCTCCGGTTTCCGGGATACCCCACGCATGTGCCCGACGCATTGCTTTTTTAACACATGCGTCTGGCGATTTTTTGCCACGTTGCCCGAGCGTCGATCAACCATTGCGTCCGCGTGCACGACGAGTCCGGCGTCATAGCGGCCCATTTTCTCAGCGGGTTCGGGTTCGGGTTTTACACGGCGCGCGACCCCCTAGTCGCTCCCGCTCCTCCGGGACCCATTCGTCGGGCTAGGACAGAGTCACGGTAAGGTGGTCGCATGGACCTCCCTCCTTCTTCTTCTCGAAAAGGGATGCCCGGCCGACCCGTCGAGGGTTGCGCCGGACGCGAGCTTCGCTTCGAGCAGCGGGCTGAGGGCCGCCGCAGTGGGGGATTTACATCCGGCTAGCTCAGCGTCATCGCGTGTGCACTTGTCACGGGTTGGTGCGCTGGAAAGCCCATAGCCAGGGCTACCCAGCCGCGTTGGTCGTGACAAGTGCACACGCGATGCGGCCGAGAAAAGCTGGCCTGAAGTACGGCCCTTCGACGCGCCCTTAGCGGGCATCGTGAGGCTCCCCGCGAAAAAATTTCGCTGAGCCGAGGCTGCCCGAGAAGGGACTGAAGCCATTGGAACGCGCAGGGGCAGCTATCTTTACCGCCCCGCGCGCGTCGTAGCAGAAATCGCTAGACGGGCACATGCGTGGGGTACCCCCGGACACTGCGGTCGCGTTCGAGCGCTCGGGAAAGATGTATTGACCAAACCCAGCTTAACGCGGCAGGCGAGGGTACTATCAACCGCCGTGAACCATAATATATTTACGCTAGCGCGGCATAGGATCCTAAGGAAGCTTCGGCTAGCGTCGGGTTTTGTTGTCAGGTTTTTGAGGGCCGTTTGTGCGAGTTCGCGGCGTCGTTGCTGTGGGCGAAACGCGTGACAAGAGCAGCCTGATGAGCACATAGGCCGTAGACCTATACAAAGCTAAAGAAAAATCAATTGGCGACCAGCCCCGAGCCTCGCGGTTTCTACGTCGACAGTTTACGGATTCAGATGGTCAACCGGTCCTTTTGCGCTAATTCTAGTTCTAGTAGTATTAGCCAGGTTAGATGAGTGTCAAAGACCAGGTGCAAGACTTGCTAAATAACGCGCAGTACCAAAATGCGCTTGCATTCTGCATGCTCACAGATAGCCCCAAAGAAGACATCCAACTGATTGAAGAGCGGTGCGTACATTCAACTCACAGATAGCTCCATGGGTAATGTACGCTACCATACTCGACTTAGGTGCGCTTACGCACTTTACTCGCATGGGGAATTAGAACGTGCGTTACAACACTGGTTAGATGCATTGACGGCGCCCGAAACGGTCGCTGAGTTTTATGCCATCATTTGGCCATCCGGTTTTAACATCGAGCTGGATTCGGAAAAGAAGGTTATTCCAACGGGCTACAAGCTACGAAGTTATCCAGAGAAATGGTTTGGATTTCTGTCTAAATTGGTGCTTAGAGGAGTCACGCTAAAACGCACCGCCGCGGCCGTTGTCTCTTACTTTCAGACTATGCGAAATTGGTTACTGGCACATAGTTTTGATCCGATATCAAATGAATATGGCGCAGTAAAGTGTTGCAGGCTTGTACTCGTTGATACCATGCTTGCTGCTGCGAGACTTCAGTGCGCCCCCCCCCGACTTCAAGATACTATTTCCCTGCTGCGAGATCCAGCTCAGTCATGTGACCTTGAGTCACTTGCGACTTTGATGGCTGCAGGTGGTCCTACATACGTAGAGCCGCTTCTCTGGCTGTACAGAAGCAAGCATGCACATAAACGTGCTCTGACACTAATCATGGACATGTGCAACTGGCAAGAAAATTCGAGGTGGAATTGCACTCAAGGTTGGCGATGGAAAGCAAGGTATTTGCGTTGGCTGTGGTTCTCCAGAAAGCCAACATTAGTGTCAATGGTGCGAGAACATGTTGCTTCAGTATTTTATCAAGCACCTGCGTTGGGCCTAGCCATTTTTACCGGCGCTGACATGTCTGGTAAAAAGGATGACGTTGATAGTGACCAACCACCCCATACGAGTTCTCGAGGTGCTAACATGCGTCAGACTTTTAGTTGAGTTTTTTTTTCATGCAGGTATGGCGACTCTTGGCATAGCTGCCTGGATGAAGAAACTAGATTTGAAGGGTGGTTCATTCAACGCAGCCAAGGATGTTCAATCGAGTCTTCACTATGTTGGATCGCCATTGCAATGCAGTAAAGGTTGCGCCGTGCCTGAACAAGTGGGGCAATTTCCTCTGCACAGTGGAGCATCAGTGGCTTGTGCATATCTAGAGCATGTTATATACGCAGGCGAGGAACCTGCTATATTGCACATGGAGCTTGCGACCACTCTTCTTGACCAAGTCAAACTTTTTGCTGCAGTTGATCCCGTGATGGTGCACCTGTATCGAACACGACTGCGCAACTTTCTGCGATATTCAGACAAATATGAATGCAATTTTCTGCTCTCGCGCCTACCCGGGGGGTTCCTGCACGAAAAGGCGCTGATATTGTCGCAACTTGCTGCCCATTCTGCCGTCTTGGATGTTTACGCTCTTAAACTTTCAGATGACAATCTCGCAGAGATATACTCCAGTACTATCTGGCTTGCTGCCAAAAATATGCCGCAGATTGTGAAGTCAGACGAGGTGGAAAGCGCACTTGATATTTATGTGAGGCTTGCTAGACGCTACGCGTCGCGTGCACATACGGGCAAATGCCTCCAACCCCTTGAGCATGCAGTTGATGTTATTCGCCGTAATTTTCGTCGCATTCATCCTCTTAATGCAATAGAATGTTGCCCTGAAAACGTGAGTATGACTCTCTGCTCAAACCTTGTCAAAGTATGCTCGCGGCGCGCTGTTTTTTATTTCAAATATTCACTCTTGCGCCCTAGGATCTACTTCATTTCACCGAGTCCGAAAGACGAGCGGCAATTGTCAAACGTAATCTCTTGCGTGTGCAATATGCGGATCTTAAGCACGAGGGTACACAACGCCAATTAATACGGTACTACAAATTGTTGTCAGTTCCGAGGCTTGAAGCTTTGGGGAAGATCCTCAGGTCGCTTCAACCTGTAGTACTCGAGGAATTTAGGGAAGGCATTCATTGCTGCCATGTTGCTTGCGTTGGCTACCTCTTTGAGTCGCATCTTGTACTTCAATTCCATGTTACAAATAAACCCAATGGTCAGCGTATTAAGAGTGTCCACGTACATGCCAAGTCCCTTGGGAATGTGGAGGATTATATTCATGACGGAGAAGTTATGTTGAAGTTGCTTACCTGTAATTCTACTGGCCATTGCTACGTACTCTTTCGGCGCCTCCCTACCCGTAAAACTGCCAATTCGCTCGCATGCAAGTTGCGCTTTTCTGTCACGACAGATATTGGAGACCTACGTGTTCCCACTGAGCAACTTCAGGAAATTTCACTGAAGGACATAGACGTTCAGTTTTCACCTCCGACAAACTACACGTGAAGGAAGTTGCCTAGAGCCACCTGACAGTACATTTATCGAATGCTTTTAAATCCGGCATAGTACAAGCTGGGAGAACCCCCGCTGCCGTGCCGCTTGAACCCTCAGTGCTCAACCCCAATTTTAATCTATTATACTCCCACGCTCTACCGCTGCCACACTTCTACCCCCGCCTGCGCCCGCCTCATACGGACGAAGGTCATTGGTCACCTGGTTGCGTGCCCGTGTAGTCGAAGTCGTCGGGTTTGGAGTAGCGGCGACGTGCGGCGGCGCCCGGACGTCGTCATCCGTTGAAATTAAGAAAAAGGCACGGAGACGAGTAAGGCAGATCCTGCACACACCCAAAGGTCCAGTCACCGGCCTTGGGCGGCGTCTGTCGCTTATTATCTGAAAAATCCTCTGTTCACTTGAATCACTTCCGAGTCCGAGCCCCTTTCAAGTTACATGATCATGTACTAGCTCTCCTTAGCCAACTGAGAGTAGGCAGCGGGTACGCACGCTACGAGGGAGTTCCTAATATCAACAGCCTAATATTAATAAATAAATAAATAAATAAATAAATACTAGTGCGACACACTCTAGTTTGCGCGTAGGGTTTTGGGGAAAGGGACCCGTACTCGACCTACGTCCTCCACTCCGACATCAAACCGGAGTCGGTGAAACGACACGCAAACGCGGGGGCCTCGAGGACTATGGTCCAGCAGTTAGGACAGCCATTTCACGCCGATCTACAACCGGTTTTAGCACCGTTAGAGACTCCATTCGACGACTTGCCTATGCTGGTAAAGGAAAAACAAGATAGGAAAAATGACCTATTAGCGTCCCGCGGCGCGTCGCGGATGGTACACGTAGCTATGCGTGAATTATTTTGACGTGACGTCGACCGCTACACGTAGATCCCCAACGACCTCGGTCCAGCGAGAGCGCAGTGCGCCCTGGACCACCCGCGGCCGCGTCGAAACCAATATTTCGCCCCACGGACTTCTCTTCTTTAATGGACTCTGGCAACGTTACATTTCATCAAGGTGCGTGGTCTATCCTACTAGTTTTCTGCAGCGCCGAGCCGAACAACGCCGAGTCTTTGCTCCTCCGTGCGTACATCCTCGCGCCGGCCGCCAGTGCATCGCCCTAACCAAACGAAAAGCGTGTCGTGCGTCGTTGCTGTGGGCGAAACGCCGACGAGGTGGCGCTGTTTGGAGCAGCCTGAAGAGCACTAAGGCTGGGGAGTTTAAGACAAAGCTAAAGATAAATCACTTGCGATCGAGCCCCGGGCCTCCTGAGCTCGCGGGTTTCTACGTCGACAGCCATTTTGGGGGCACTCTACGGCTAGCGTGGAGCCGCATTTGTGCCGCCAGCGCGTGTGGAGGTCCTAGGAACTCGTCCGCGCCTGGCGTAAAGAGCGCGCGTTGAAAGCTAGCCGCCTCGGCGGTCTGCGAGTGCCCAAAAGCCTGGTGCTCTGCGAAGGCCCTAAATCGGCGCGCGACTGCGAACAGATCTCCAAATTGCTGGTAGAGAAGCGCCTGACCAACGCAAACAGCGATGCACCTCCAGGAGTCCACCAGCTATCCGTCGCCACATGTCAACCCGCGCCGGTCGGGAGCATATTCGGTGAATGTCGATCGCGGGCCGCTTGGGTACCTATCGACAAAATTCGACCGGTATGACGTACGTATGCATTCCAGCGGACGTTGGAATGACGCGCCGACGCGCCACGCCAGTGGAATGGACTTATGGCCCGCGACGCCGACCGCGGGGATTCGAACTCGTCCGAGAGCGGCCTTTAGGACGCTAGGCGTATTATCATAGGATACCAGCGCGGGTGGTGGGTTGGGGGCACTCTCTGGTGCAAGGAAAACCCGCACCACCCCCGTCACCGCGCGCGGGCCCTCCAAGACTACAGCCCCCCTACCGCGCGGGTTTTAGCTCTCCGTAGTATCTCGGCTTCAACTTCCAGTGACGTCAACCTGAAGTTGAAGTAAAGGTAGTCATAGGTAGCCACGGACCCCCCTCAGACCTCCATAAATTTACTCCCGCTTCTGACGGGACGTTTCGGACGCTTTCCAACGTCTAAGTCGCGCGCAAACTAGGTCAGGTCGGAGGAAGACCTAAAAAAAGGAACAAGCTCCTAAGAGCCTTCTCCCTGCTCGGTCAGGATACCCAACCGGAGCTTCGAAATAGCAATAAAATACCGATACAACGTTTTTTCAATCTCCCGGGGTAACTTGTGCCCCATGACCAGCCGACAACGGTACTCATCATTCAATTGCCGTGCGAGGGGGCGAACCGAGTATAATCTCGAAAGAAATACCTCGCGTTCTTCCTCAAAGGCTGTGCATTCAAACAACGTGTGTTGGATAGTTTCCGACTCGCGAGATTCGCAACAAGGGCATTGCGCGTTACGGACGAGCTGCATTCGACAACTCGAGCTTCGAAGATCGTGGCAACCCAATCGGAATTTCGTTTTCAGCCTCCGCCCTTCCCGGAGAGACGCGGGGCACGTTCTGAGTAAATATTCCGGCAAGCCGAAACGTTCCTTCTCGACCCAATTGCTCATATTATGAAGGGTCGACATTCTCTTGAAACCGCCGGCGAGCTCGGAAACTCGGCGCGATGCGACGTATTCATTGGCGAACTTTTTCGCGGCCGGTTTTTTCAGAGGCCCGGGCCAATTCGCTTCCAACGCAAGATTTTCCAGGAACAAAGCCCCGTTCCTCGACGAACCGCGACCTTTAGAATCATTCATCAGGCCGTCGTATACGCGGCGAACGAGGAAATCCCGAGGGCCCAACGACAAGATGTTGTTGCGGAATTATATTCGAGATTCGAGTCGGACCAGCCACTTGGCCGGCGGCGATTTTGCTGCGGGGTCCCAAAGAGCCCTTTGTACGCCCCGCGACCGGGCTGGGGGGAGAGGGGTCACTTTCCGCCGCGAAGTCCATTCTGCTGGTAATTTGGTCCCCCAGGGGCCCTCGGGTACCTGTGGTGTAGGGAGGATGCGTAGGCGCGGCCGGGTGCCCGCTGGGCTGCAGATAGGTCGCCTGACGCGGCACGAAACGCCACTGGCACTTCCACTGGCACTGGCGCGACGTTCGCAGGCCACTAAAATTGCCAGGCCAAATCGTTTCGCTCGCCCCTTTGGCTCAATTCGCCCGCAGCCAAGACGCCTAGTTATAGAGAATCTATCTAAGAGATACGATCGGCCGCCCTTCGCACGCTAGGCTAGCTAGCACGCCCCGGAGGTGACCACACGGGTGAATGGCGGATAAATAGGAGGGTGATTTGCAGGGGGGGGGCATCCGATGATCGACTATTACCCGGGCGGGTCTGGGCTGTGCCGGGCCGTCCGCGGCGTCATGCCTTGGTACTTGCCTTGGCGTTCCTGCACGTATTCCAGGCTCGACCTGCTGCGTCCTCATCCGCCTTAGAGGCAGGGTCTTTCGCTAATCTCACCCGCGGGAATTTTGCGTTGTTTACGAGACTCTAACTCTTGCTGCATTTTGCCTGTCTATGAAGGAAGGGCGTGCGACGCGCCGCAACGCCTGACGCGCGCCACGGCCTCGACGGCGCACAGGGCGTATCCGTGCGCTCTCGAAGGTGCCACAAGCAGTTCGCCTTCCAAGTTCGCCGAAAACAGTTCGCGACGCGCTGTCAGGTAAATTTCAAGTTTCTACCAGAATCACCGCGCCCCCCAGACGAACTCCGAAGTCACTGCATGCAGCTACTCTGCAGGAGGTGAAGACCAGCTGAGACCAGCAGCAAATAGGCGAAAGATGATGCTTGATTGGTCTATGCCTGGCTGGGTATTTTGGCTTTGTTGGCAGTGATAATAGAGAGCATTGTGTCTACAAGTCTGACAAATGGAGTAAACGCTGGGCTATGCTGCTGACATTGGCAGACAAGGCATGTGCCTGATTCACAGGCCCGCTGCAAGGAAGGGTCAAGCGGCAAAGCGCCAAGGTATGGTACATTGAAGCGGGCTGCCATGGACTGGGGCGAATTGTCCAGGGCACACTGAAATATTGTAATAGAAGCATCGCACTGCTGGAGATCACACTGCTGAAGGACCCCGCGGACATATTCCGTTTGATCTCTTCCGGTCTTCCTCTCGACAAAGTTGAGATGGGAAAGAGGAATGAGTAGTTGATTCATATTTTCCAACACACCAATAACCCTGATCTTGGTTTTGGCGCAGAAGTTAAGCTCTTTGCGAACATCCTGCATAGACACCTCTTGGGGTGTTGTCACCTAAAGCGCATATGCGTCCAGCTCGATTCTAGATTGACTCTGGTCCCGCACAACAATTGCGCCTATATCTACCATCTTTAGGTACTGAGCAACAGAGATGTGCTCATCTGATGTGCCGGGTGGCGTATCGATTATGAGGTAATCTAGCTCGCCTACAAAGCGAAATATCCAGAAAGTAGGAGGTTAGACATCAGTGGCAGACCACCCCGTTTACTTACCCCAGTCCACCTCGATGAGGAATTGTCTAATAAGGCCACTTTTTCGTGGACCACGCCAAATAACTGCATTGTCATCATCAGGGAGCATAAATCCTACTGACATAACACCAAGCTCGCCTGTGCCTGCTCCGACATCAACGAAAACTGGCGTCCATCCCGTAGATGACTGATGAATTCCTCGTCCCTTTAGTCCGAGCATCTGTGGTACGGAAGGACCGCAAATATCTATGTCTAAGAGGCCCACATCCCTGCCTTCATTTGCTAAAGCTGCTGCTAGTTGGCATGAAACCTGTGGTCGGCTATAGTCATGATACGAATAATGCGTAATTGACGAGGAATACCAAAAACAGTAGATTTACCCACCCCACCCTTGCCCGATAGTACCATGATTACATGTTTCACACCAGAGAGTCGTTCATGGACAAGCTCGGCTGTCAGATCGCCGCTGTTCCTTGCATTGTTCGCACAGGCTGACTGATTTAAGCAACCAACACACGATTTCGCTTTGCCTGCCTGCTCGCTATCTGGCCCGACGCACTTCATTTGCTGCGACCAATGCAGGAATCACGACACAGATCGACGGCCTCCACCTCGTCGGCGGCAATTCGAGACTCACCAACGGCCCGCTCACACCGACGTCGACGCACGCTTTTACGATCGACCGTCGACGCACGCTTAGTAGAGTTAGCTCTACCCTCTGGGGGCTAGGTCACTCGAGAGTACTCCCCGCGGGTTACGTGCGGGGGCAGGTGCTGACTTGAGCTCGTGGCCCTTGACTTCCGACCCGGTACACCCGGAACGATAACCGGCACATAGCAGCAGCGCCAAGGCTTGCTTCGTGCATGGTCCGTCTGATGCAATCCGCGGCCGTCCATCATCTCCACAGCTTCAATCAGTTCCTCCAGCATGACCTAAGTAGTGCTGTGGATTGCGCGCTTCCACATGAATGCGCCTTTGATGGATGTCACGAGAGGCTTCAAGTTATGCTGCAAATGACTGCCATCGCAATTGATTATCCGATACTAAACAAGGATCCCCAAACAATAATCACCCCAAGAGAATGTCGAGAACGAAAGATTACTTATTCAGCGCCCATGACTGCCAGTTTTAAGTGTGGTATGAATGGCATTGATGATCGAGGGACCATTACCCGGACAGCAGGGTATTTACCCATCATGGTTCTCTCCAATAGGTGCTAATAGTTAGTTGGACATCGCAAATTACCCCTGTTCGCAGATGTCACCTCTCGGGCTTAGATGAAGCCGGATTAGTTGCTGCCCGTGAGGTGTGTGGGCTACGCCAGAGAACTTTTTGACTGTGCTCAGCTGATTAATATTTGCTACACAGGAATGTGATGAGCTTGGCGGCTATTTCATAATCAACGGTCTGGAAAAGGTCCTCAGGTTAATTCAAGTTCACCACATGAGTTCATATCATCACTTCAGAGCGACCAACAATTCGGCAACTTAGGTGCCGATGCGAAACATGCCAATGGCAATACAGCGACCTGTGTACAGAGGACGCGGAGCCTTTTATACCCAGTACGCTTCATGACATTTAGCGTTACCTTCACACAATAATTTTAGATACGCGGTGACAATGCGTTGCGCCCGATCAGATCAGTCAACTTGCACCATGACTTTACACTATCTTTCAAATGGAAGTATGCGTCTTCGAGTTTCTGTACGCAAACAGGATTTGATGATACCTCTGGTTGTCGTTCTCAATGCCCTGATGCCTGATCTTTATGATCAAGGTAATTTTTCCCATGCGATAAGCACGGGCACACCTCGAGATGAAGGCAGCAAACAGAGTTCTAGCCAGCCTCCTTGTTTCTTATCCGTTGTAAATCTCACCACTTGTGCAGGTTTTTTTACCAATCAATCTTCAACCAAAGCTAATCCCTTGGCGTTACTGGGCACCATGTGTGCCAGCCTTTTTCGCCAGAATCTCCCGGAAGATGCTGACGATGATGTGTTTGGACTATTCTTTCTAGAGCGATATATTGCTGTGCACGTAAACAGCTGGTCTGCCAAGCAAGATGTTCTTGCACTCATGTCTCGCAAGTTGCACAGTTTTGTACACGCTAAATGCTGTGAGGATAACATGGATTCAGTCAGCCACCAGGAGTTGCTTATGCCAGGACACATTCTAAGCGCTTATATCAGAGAGAAGATGGAAGACACTCTTGGACAATCAATAGCTCATATGCGCCGTGATGCTAAAAATGATCTTACACACAGTTCCTTAAATATCCACCAAAACATTTTGCCATATTGTAGTAAAATCCTCGGACGATACGTTGGAGTCGTGGGGTCGAAGATTTCTTCCTTCATCGCCAGTGGGAATCTAATTTCTTCCAGTGGATTGGATCTACAACAAACAACAGGTTTTGCTATAGTCGCAGAACGATTGAATAAGTGGAGATACTTGAGCCACTTCCGTTCAGTACATCGTGGTCAATTCTTCACCACCATGAAAACAACAAGTGTCCGTAAACTTTTGCCTGAGGCTTGGGGCTTTCTTTGCCCTGTTCACACGCCAGATGGTGCCCCATGCGGATTGTTGTCGCATATTTCTGCTAAAACACACGTTGTCTGCAACAGCAGTAATATGGCGGCAAACACGAAGAATTGGCGTATCTTATTGATTGACATACTAATATCATTAGGGATGTTACCGACGCGAACTTTGTCACTTGGTTATGGTGCCAAGAATGGTAGAGCTAATTCAACAGGATGCACAACTAGCTGGAAATGCATGAGCGACCATCTTCATGTCTGCCTTGATGGCTTTGTGCTTGGATCCGCACCAGATGAAGTGTGTGCCAATATATCTTGGGTGCTAAGGCGCTTAAAGGTCAAGGCTTTCAGTGCGATAGGGATTGATACAACACTTGAAATTGCTCACGTCAAACAACAAGGACTGAGTGCCTCTTGTCCATTTTCCGGCTTGTACCTATTCTCACAACCTGCTCGGCTTGTGCGCCCAGTGTTGCAGTGTGGCCTGACGGCACAGATTGAACTGATTGGTCCATTTGAACAAAGCACGTTGCAAATATCGTGCACTAAATCAGGCTTATCGTTGCCTGAAGACAACATATCGACCATTGTCACTGAGACTCATGCAGAAATAGACCCCACAGTCATGCTTTCCTTCCTCGCATCCCTGACACCTTTTTCAGACTTCAATCAGTCTCCTCGCAACATGTACCAATGCCAGATGGGAAAGCAAACTATGGGGACACCTTCGCATTCTTTTTATCATCGGGGTGATCACAAAATGTATCGGCTCCTGACACCACAGTCCCCTCTTGTCTGCACCCGAGATTATCACAACTTAACGCTTGATCTCAATGCCCAGGGGACGAATTCTATTGTTGCGGTTGTGTCATATACTGGATACGATATGGAGGATGCAATGATTATCAATAAATCTGCGTTTGAGCGAGGCTTTGGCCACGGGACTGTCTATAAGACGCTGCTTGTTGATCTTACTGCAGAGGCCGAGCGTAGGAAGGGCCCCCTGGGTAAAACTAGCCTACTTTGTTTTGGCAATAAGAATACTGTCATGAAACCTGCGAATAATGGTGCAAAGAACACAGCTGATGGCCCTGAGTATGTTGCTCCAATGCTAGGAGAAGATGGGTTACCGTCGGTTGGGCAGAAGATTGGACCAGGAGATCCGCTGTGGTGTGCATTCGTTGAGAACTGCAATGAGCACATCATTGGAGCACACAAAGACACGGAGAATGCCTACGTCGACGCGATACGCTTTCTAGGGCACCTCCCGTCGTCATTCCTGGGTGTGTTAGAATTGACCCTCCGGTCCCAGGTGCAACGAAAACAGGAAAGATATTACTCAACACAGAGCTAGCATCACATTGCGTTATCCTCGCAGACCAGTCATTGGGGACAAGTTTTCGTCACGACATGGTCAGAAAGGTGTTCTCTCTGTTCTATGGCCTGAATGTGATATGCCGTTCTGCGAGTCAGGACTTACACCTGACATCATCATAAACCCACATGCGTATGTTATTTGTATCTACTTCTCTAGCAGTATTTTTGCGACTCAAGGTTCCCATCGCGAATGACTATTGGGATGCTCATTGAATCAATGGCTGGGAAATCCGCTGCGTCATGTGGTCGTTTCCACGATGGCACGCCATTTGCATTTCAAGAACATCGTAAAGCTGTAGACTTCTTTGGTGCATTTCACTCTTCCGTTTCTTCTAGATCCCACTTCCCAGGTTCCCAGCTTTGTGCGGCTGGCTATGAATATTTTGGATCTGAACCAGTCTCAATAGCTGCGTGGAGATCAAGATCTATTGGAATATATAATTTGGACAGGTTTACTCGGGACTATCTGGTCTATTAATGCGCATGGAGATATTCGTGGGGATTGTATACTATCAGCGCCTGCGTCATATGGTATCTGACAAATCGCAAGTTCGTGGGACCGGTCCTGTACATCCACTCACACAACAACCCGTCAAAGGTCGGAAAAGACATGGTGGAATCCGTCTGGGTGAAATGGAGAGAGACTCATTGCTTGCACACGGCATTTCTTTCCTTCTACATGATAGGCTCGTGATTTGTTCTGACAGTCATCCTGCTCGTGTTTTTGTCGACACGAGGTGTGGAGCAGTGCTCGCTCTTCACCCGCCGAACTCGTCTGGCAAAGGACATATTCTGACTCTTGCATCCATCACCATACCCTACGTTTTCAGGTGATTTGCTGCAGATCTTAAATTATTCAACTAAGAAATGTAGGTATCTGAAAAATGAATTGGCCGGGATGAACATCTGCATTGGACTTTTCTATGAGAAATGAGTAGTTTTGCTCGGCCGGATTTATACAGCACACGTGGTGCTGAGTCGTGCACCACGGGCGCGGACAAAGGGCCCAGTCGTCTAATCGTCACGAGAAATAAGAAAACTACGTGAGGTGCCTGTTGGTATATCCGAGGTGATCCCTTGTCGTTACAACTGGAAAGCCAATGAGCTAGGAGTTGCCTCGACGGCGCTTCTCAAAGCCTCCCTTGCTCCAACAGCGGCTAGAAGCCTTGAAATGAGCCGTGCCCCAGTTTGCGACCGTGTTGGATCGTGGCCTTCAGCGGCCGTTTTCGCTGAAACTCGGCGTCAGAGGAGCTCATATGGCCGTTTCGCTACCATGGCCACAGACAAGTCTGACCGGCAAAAATAGCCTAGACAACCGGATGGGCGTCCCGGGACCCATCCGTCGGGCTAGGGCGGTCGTGCACTCCACGCGCAACGTGCGGGTCAAGGGACCTCGAACCATCAAGAGGAACTAACCTTATATGGGGGGGTCACTAGGGGGAAACCGCCATACGACTTGCGTCCTATGTGCGGTTGGCGTCCGTGCGGCTGCCCGTGCGGCTTCCCGGCGGCAGTGCGCGGTGCGTGTGGGCGTGTGAGCACCCACGCGGCCCTCGGCAGCTTTTCTTTTGCGCGCAGGCGCAATATTGGCCGAGAACGACGGCAAAAACGTTTAGCAATTTTAGCTAAAATTTGCTATTATGAGGATCGGAGCCTCCACGCGAAACGTCTCTTTCAGTGGTCTCTCCACCCCTCCCGCAGTCCCGGGACGGGTACAAAATTAATAAATTTATACAAGTACTATATCACAAAATGGTGTGCATATGGCCTTAACGCAGCCGTTGAGCGTCGTGGCTCCGCGAGGCAGCGCCAAACCATACCGACTAAGGATCGCGATGGAAAATCCAGCGAAAAAACGCCGTAAGATGCACCGTCGCGGGCCCATTTTCGGCTGTCTTCGGAAACGAATAAGTGCATGATCTTGTGGGTGGGTAACCAACCTTTTCGTTCGGAATGGCCGTCGAGTAAGCCTAGAACGCCGATCCATCAAAACATTGGTTACCCACCCGATATTCGCTCGCGGAGATCCGAAAGCAAATTGCTCTATCTCGAGGCAATGTCTTTGAGGCCTTAGTGCAGCCTCTGAGCGTCGCCGCGGCGGTGGGAGGTCGCCTACCATGCCGACCATCGATTCCGGTCGTTACTCCAGCGAGAGACCGCCGTGTCGGCAGGTTCGAGGCCCTGTTTGCGGCCGTCTTGGAAACGAATGAGTGCGTGGTCCCGTGGGTGGATGACGCACTTTTTCGTTCCAAATGGCCGGCGAACATGCCTACTCGGGCTTTCCGCAAAAAAGTGCGTCATCCGCCCGATATTGACTCGCGGGGGGCCGATCGTCGCCTATCGCAAGATCAAGAAGCAGTCGATGAAGCCCTTCTCGGCAGCCGCCGCTGCTGAAACTTCGCATGTGACGCCCTCACGTCGGCGTGCTGTAGGTGCGGGGGCGCAGCCAGTACCAGATGCAACCCTTGGGCCGCAGGCAGCCCCAATTGCCACACAGCCTGGGCAGGACGGAGGTAAAATGGCGGTTTCCCCCTAGTGACCCCCCCATGTAAGTATAGTACTCTTGGAACCATAACCTGTCCGTCAAGGCTCCTACTTCATGCAATCATTCCAACGCATTCCGTCGAGTCAGCACCGATGCTGCGTCGAGCTGGTTTCAAACCGGGCCGAATTATATTGAGATTAGCTCACTAGTGCAGTAGGCATCGTCTTTTCGGCGGTCAAAGACACGTGACCACATTCCAAAAGATGCTCGCTTTGCTGCTGGTGCGGCACTAATCGTTAGAAGTCTCGATAGGGAAGTGGGTGTGTTCGAGTGGACTGCTGCTAATGCGCACCTCATGGCAGTGCGTTCCTACTCTCTAATGTTGCCTTATTTGGCCAGTCAAATGTGTCTCAGGCTGCAATAATTCGTACAGGCGAAGGGTCCCCGTCAAAGCTCCGTGATCTATCAGCAGAAATGCTTGCAAACGCTATTAATCGGGGGGGGCACGTAATTCTAATGTTGGAGCCATGCATGGTCTCGTGCGCTGGTGCATTTTGCATGGACCAAGATGGTCTAACAACAGTTCACGATGCATGCGCGGTACTTTGCATTGCGGCAAGAAGAGAAGCCTGGGGTTCATGTCTTGAGCTCAGGTTGGTCGTAGAATGTTTGGGTATCCGCCTTTTTCAGTTGTGCTGTTCCTTGAATGGCCCCGAGGTAAAGCGGACTTACGGTGAAGAGCTGCTAGTTGCAAAGATGTTTGAGTTGGTTTGGCGATTGCGACAACATCGCCACTGCAGTGCTTTTGATAAGCTCTGTGAGCTTGATGGCCACAAGTGCATCTTAACAGCTGCGATCTCCTATCTATATGATGCGCGTGCCACGGACCACCGAGACCTTCGTCACTATCGTGATGGCCCCATTTGTGACTTACGTCCATCAGCCCTTGACTGCTGTCTCCGCATGATGGAGGGTATGGTGTTATTTGATATAAAGCGAAATGACGCAATTGGTCGATCTAGGGTTTCGCGGGTAGCCGATGCCTCTCGTGGCCTCTGCGCCAGCCAGGCTTTGAGTGGAAGTGAACGACTATCTTGCGAGGTACTCCTTGTGACGACAAAAGGTGTCATGGGACATTGAGCCTCCGTCCTAGCAACCCGCCCGGCCACGATTCCCAAATTTGATACGTGACCGGAGGTTTATCCTGGCTAGGATCCCCCGGGCTCTTGGATATACTTGTAGTAAACCACCAAATTTTATTACAAGCTCAAGTTAATGCAACTGCTCTCTTTCTCAAGTTTATTTATTTATTTATTTATTTATTTTTCAAGTTATTTATGAAGTTTTTATTTATTTACTTACATCATCATCATCCGGCCTAGCCCCCTAAGGTTAGTGGCTGTGCTCACATACCAAGACTGCCCGCGCCGAATAATCGCATACCAAGACTTTCCGTTCATATCAATAACTCAATAACTTTCCTCCTGAAGATCAGATGCTATGAAGTTACTGTGCTGTCTCCAACGGTATTGCGAAACCACCTGTGAATGTGTCGGACCAGCAGGACCAGTCGCCCTGCCCTTTACCATTGTAAGCAGCCACACGAAATATATACTTCGCAGAGGGCTCGAGATTCTCTGCTTCATATTTGTTCGTGTAGCCAATATCCAGCGAGGAGACAATACCATCAGTCTCGCGATCCGTGTTGCTGGCGGCATCATTTCTTTCAGTTTGAAGCATCTCGTGTGTATCTAAGAACGCGACCTCTCTGCGCAGGCGCTTGAGTTCGAGAGCATGGCCAATTATCGGACACCCTTTAGGGTCTGGGGCGATCCATATGAGGTGTACACTTGCAGGGTGTACCTCTGCAACTCTTGGGTGCTGGGGCGCAGCTGGCGGTTGTGCTTTGCAGGTACGTATCCGGAATGATGGTAGCGACCAGTCTGACTGCCCGTGCGCATTAATTGCAGCACATCGAAACTGGTATACCGTGTACGGTTCGAGGGGGGAAATAGTAAAGATACAAGCAACTCCGGTTCCACCTGGGTTAGGGGGGAATCTCGTTTTGCTTGCCCATTCTGACTTGACACCGCCAGGTCGGAGCTCGCGCCGCTGAACGACAATCGTCGAGATTATCTTGCCAGAGTTATGTGGTTTAACACAGCGGAGTGTCACCGCAGTAATGGTGGCTTCGAGGACTGTGGGACGCTCCGGAACCTTGGGGAGAGCTGTAAGTGTTGATGTAGGCTCACTCCAGGGGCTCCAGGTGGATGGTCCTATCTGATTGAAAGCACAGATTTGAAACGAGTACTTTTTCCCTGGTTCGAGACAGTCAAATACCGCCTCTGAGTCGTGTCGAGTATATTCGGAAACATCATTTGTAACATCCTTGCGTCGAATGAGGAAACGCATGATCGCAGACCCATTCTCAAGCGGTGCCACCCATTTAAGCTTGAGCGCGGTCTGAGAGAGCGCTTTGACTACGGGACATCTCGGATTTGCCGGATAATCTGGAGGGGTCTTGGCATTGTATGTTGGCAATGAGAATGGGCCCTCGCCAACAGATGAGATTGCAGATACACGACAACGATAATCAAACCCGGGTTTGAGCTCATCAAATGCGGCGGCCATGAGAATTCCCTTGTTCAATTTAGCAAATCGAAGGTCGTCTCGTCTTTTCTGCTCATTCTGAGGAACACATTTGATAGTGCGGCGCCAACGCCGATTGATGCTGGGGAGTCTAGGATTGCGCTCCTCGGGCAAGAACTTTTCGTCATTGGCCATAGCAGTCGTCTCATGATTAAATTTGACCAGGGCACACTCTGGGACCTCGAAAGTCTTGCCCTTAGTGGCAGGTCCTGATCGCTGCCAGATGTTCACATCCTCTCGAATCTGGTCTTTCAGGGCAGCCTCGACGTGCTGTGCCAATGCACGACCCTCCTTCCACGTAATGAATTTTTCAAAGTCAGGCCGAGTGGCAAAGGCGCTACCTTCGCCCGCACATTGGACCCGGAACCGATGGATTGCTGTACCCTCGACTGTAGCAAGAGGCGCATGCCAGCAAAAAACAATTCTACGCGGACGGAACCACGACCGGATGACAACAGGCTGCTCGAGGGGCTCGGGGATGCCAACCTGGGTGACGTGCTGTGCCGATGGTTCTGACCAGTCTCCTTGGCCCATGCGATTAACAGCACAGATGCGGAACTGGTAATTCTGGCCCGGCCTGAGGCCATCAACTTGTTTTTTGAAAGTTGAACCATCAACTGTTGTCTCGTTCTTAAATGACACACGGAGACCGACACGCCATTGTATCTTGTAAGCAACAATATCGTCATTGTAAGCTGGTGGGGCGCGCCAAGCAACATGAGCGGCACGTTGGCCTGCATCTGATACTGCTGGTCGAGCCGGGGGATCGGGTGGCTGTGGTGTGAGGAACCAAGACTTAAGCGTTCTATCAGATGAGCACGAGAGCATGGCTGATGAGTTACGAAAAAGTACACAACGATAGATAACGTCGTCGTGACCAAAGAATCTTCGTAACATTTCGCCGTTCACAGTGTTCCACAGTATGAGGAAGTTATCCATACCAGCAGAAACAAGACGGAGGCCATCCTCAGAAAACGCACATCCCATAACAGCGTCGTCATGACCAACAAGCGTACGTACACATTGGCCTGTTTGGGGCGCCCAGAGACGTACAGTCTTGTCATTTGAACAAGATGCGACCCGTTTTTCATCAAGTGACCATACGACTTGGTTAACCGTGTGGTGATGAGAATGGAAGTCACCATTGCTGGCCCAGAACGTCCGAAGGCAGCCGCCGACAACGCGAGCAAGTGCAGCGAATCTAGTCTCATCCTTTCGGTCTAGTAGCTTTGACTTTGGCTTGGCTGTAAGACCCGGAAGGGCTGGGAAAGAATTCCGTCGCCGCAGTAGTGGCTTTTCGTTCTTTGACAATGTCCCTCCTCTAATATCATTATTATGCCTCTGCCCATCTTGGATGACCGTTTGGTGCATCAGGAAAGCAACACCACCGCGGTGTGAAGTAACTGGAGCCATCTTTGCCACGAGCTGAAGTTGACAGAGTCGTTTGTACGCAATTCGGTCCGGAAGGGGGTGGAAAGAGAAACCTGCAGCGAGCACTGCTTTGGCACGGACGTGTCCTGCCGTTCCCAAATCGGAGCCTGCCTTCTCAAAACTAGGAAGAACAACCTGGGCAGCACGACGTCTGGAGGAATCAGCTCTCTGCGCAACGCCACGTAGCTGCGCAAACTTCGAGAGGGCTAGAACCTGGGCTTGGCGGTCCGAATTAGACCGTTGCACTCTACCCAATCTCCCAATTCCGTTGTCATCCTTACCTAGGCTGTCCATGGCCTCAATACCCTTGCGAGCAGCATCGTGCGTTCCAAAGCCCCTGGCGTTGATGGGGTAGAGAAATGGCAACGGCATCTGCAAATGCGGCAAGTTGCCACCGTAACGACCATCACTAATCAATGAATCAGACGCAGCGGCTGGCTTTGGTAGCTCACTTACCTCTACAGATGGCTCCCACATCGATCGCACCTCTTCAGAGCATTGAAGCCTTCTGTTGCGCCAGTCTTGTCTGCGTGAGACCTCTTTCTTGGCTTGATCAAGGTCCTGAGAAATCGGTCTGGCACTGGTCTTCGATAGAGCTTGCTTGATTGGTGGTGGCAACTCCAGGGGCACGCCATGGAGCAGCACGCCCATACTTTTACCTGGCGACAAGTCCTTAGCATCCTTGAGAATTGAAACTCCATTAGCCATCCACCTATCCACCTATAGTCCATTGTTTGCGAGTCAAACACGATATTACTGAGTGGAGTAGAACAGAAGACACTTACCTGCTCCATGACAGTAGCTTTGCCTTTGTAAACTGCCGTGTTGGCACCACGCTTCAGGCCTTCACGAATCTTAAGCCGACTCACCGGACTGACCATATTTGATGCCTCAGCAGTATCGCGATTGCGAATAAGCTCAATGAAGAGCTGGTGGAGGATTGAAGCTGTGAAGTTGAAGATGGTAGCATGGCCTCCTAGCGTTGTTGCCTGTTGGGAGAGGTCAGAGAGAACACTACCCTTCCTCGGCGGCTCAACCTCCTTAAGTGTATATGACAGTGCAATTCGATTGATTTCGTTATTGCTCTCGGCAGCAGCTGCGACGTTTGCCCGCATGATGAGCGTCCCAGAACCACAGGAGGGCGCTTGCCAGGATAAAATGATCTCAGACTTAGCGTCAAAGCGCCTTGTATGTATGGCTGCCCTATCGCATGAGTGGCGAATTCCTAATGGCAAGCTGCATGAAAATTGACCGCTGCGCCGACCGCTGTTTTCGATAAATGTGTCATGAATCGAACTCTTTATGTATGAGCCGACAAAAAACTCAGCTATAGCATTGACACCTCGCAAAATTATTTGCAGAGTCACCCCACCATAGTATTGATCCACTTGTGCTGATCGCCCAAATCGATCAACCGACGCAACGCTCAAGGTAAATCCACCAGACTCTTTGACATCAGGGGCCGTCTGTATGGAGCACTCTCGAAGTCGAGGTTCTGCATCACACTGCTTCCGGCTCTCCTCTTTCTCACGCTGGCGACGTTCGTGCTCGCTTTCTTCGTCTTCGCCGTCGGTCAGCAGATCCCATGGATCCTGGCGCTTTTCACTAAAATGGTCTGACAGTCGATCTTTCTGGGGGGGCTCAAGAAGCGCTCTGGGCGGATCAGTGACAAGGGTGATTCGGGAAATGAGACCCTCAAGCGTCCATTGGATACGCACGGTGATTGGCTTCACGCTTCTGGTTGCGGGCACATCTGCGTCCCACAGCTTGACAGCACGTTCACCATAGTCAGAAGAACTTGCAATATAACGTCCAGATGGAGCGTAGGAAATGGATACGACAGCAGACTCATGACCATAAAAAATATAGTTCAGGTGGCCCTCAAGGGCATCAAAGAGGCGAACGGTGCAGTCGGCAGATGCAGAGCAAATTTGACGCCCGTCGGGCGAAAAGCGTGTTGCATAGACCACATCGGTGTGCCCCCGTATCTCCTTACGGAGTCCGCCGGTTCGCGCATCCCAAATGCGCAAAGTTTTATCAGTTGAACAGGAAACGGCGAGACCAAGTCCACCGCGGTTGTTTATAGAGAACCCTGGCGACAGATCGCAGTCGCGTACAGCCTTGCCATGGCCCTCAAAGGTACGGACACATGTGCCACTAGTGAAATCCCAGAGCTTAAGGGTTGTGTCCGCCGACGCAGAGAGGAAGCAGTCTAGTGACTCGGACATTTTGAAAGCATAGACCTGGCCCTTGTGTCCGTGGTAGTAGCGGAACAACGCTGGTGAGTCCCGCCATCGCGAAAACTCCTTCAAGACGCCATTGTGGTATGTGAAACCCTCCTCCTTCAGTCGAACTTCATCCTTGAGACGTCGAAGCCGTGTTTCCTTAGCTTGACGTTGTGTGTCCAAATGTCGTTTGATCAATCGCATTCGGTTGCGCAAAGGTAGTTCATATGCATTCCAAGAAAGTTGCTCTTCACTCTCCATCAAGTCACGCTCGGTTGCTTGGGTGAGCCGTTCCTGTAGGATTGAGTCATTTTTCATTTCTTCCATCTTCCTTCGTTGCACCCCTTCGACGTACTCCTGGTAAAAATTGAAGCGTGATTTCTTCAGAATCGACTCAACCTCAGGCTCATCATCATGCTGTGGCGCTGAGCGAAACGTAGCTTTGAGCTGACCCAACATTGACTTCACTTGGCTTCTCTAATTTCCATCACGTGCTTATCTGGTTTTTTATCTTTGTTTGTCCCATTATTCCGGCATTTTTCCGATACGACGTGATATTCTCACCAACTCTGAGCCTCCCACTCCAGCCCTGGTGTCATAAACTATCAGCTGCCGGCCTTGTATCACTCGCACGTTAACGTACCTACGGTACCTGGTACCAGCGGCGTCAGCGGCTCGAGTCTTAGGCATAACCAAATGATAATACCAACAGCGCCGTGACGACAGCAAGATTAATCCCGGAGAATTCACTGCTCGAAATTCCTATACATTTCAACAAAGATGGCAGATACGTGCAGCAGCGTCACGGCGGTCACGGTCACGCCGGTCGTGCACTGGCACTGGCAGGCAGCATTGACAATGTACCACTGGCATTGTCCGGAAATCAATCAGCTGCCGAATCAGCCGCTGAATCCAATTCTGCGACTGGACAGACTACTAGGAACAAATCAAACTCAAGTTCCCCACTTCCGAGTCAAGTTGAACTTGAACTTACATCGGAAATCAAAATTTTATGCTTTAGCCTGAGCGCGTCAATTGTCCATTCATTGCCACAACGCACATTTCGATAGACGAAGGACCAGGATAGACTGGTACTTTTCATAACTTGAAAGCCAAGAGACAACTTCAAGTTGCCAATGGTGCAATGGAAATTGAAGAAAACGGTAAGCCAACAGCGCGCAGCTGCCGGCAACCCAGCGGGTATGACGACTAAGGAATTTGACATAATCATTCGACATCTCAACGCTACATTATCACGAACTACGACCACCACAAACCAACCTACAGAACACTCTACCAATTCTTACGTGGAGGATTAAGTGTATTCATTGAGAGGCAAATGCCCATGTGCTACCTGATGATATATACCAAAATGCACAGTTCAATGAAACGAACGAAAAGGATGGAGGACAATTTCAAGTTTCACCCCATATTCTCCTAAGGGAAACAAGAGCTTACCCTCATGAAAAGGGGGAGTGCGATAAATAGGGCGAAATACCCCCCCCCCTATCCTATACCCTTCCTATACACTTACATCACCCTTCAACACGCAACGCGTAATAAACACAGTTAAAACCAAAACTACTTAGTGTATTTAAGGTAGCTCCGCGGCAGACTATCTCAGCCGCCGTACTCCCAAAGGTGCGTACTCCTTTGGTCTTGCACATTCGCAACTTTAAGTGCTTACCGTGACCCTTACTTGTAGTATAAAAAGGGTAAGTGTGATTTAATACCGCCACGGTAGGTACCCCCTATCCCCTATCCTTATACCCTTCCTATCTGTTTTCACATACATCCGGGCCTGGACTTGGGCCTGGGCCGTTCACGAAACTAGATAGTGTATCATTCTTAAGGCCCAGGGTGGTGGCACTCGGGCGGACTGTCTTAGCCGCTTTAATTCCGAGGGTTCGTACTACCCTTCGAATTTGCGTCATTCGCAGAGACCGCAAGTGAAGTCAAGCCGGACCCTCGGAACCCCCCTCACTCACATGCACCTACCTTAGACTGCAACAGAAAGTCCTGTTGTGTTGCCGGACCAGAGAAAATCTTTGATCACGCCCCGGCGCCAGACCATGGCCTAACCATCGCCGTTGTGCCTTGATAATTGCACCAGCGAACTAAGATGCGCCGCGGCCCTGCAAGTAGCCGAGTCCCTACTTGCCAGTTCTTACACTGGCACTACACCTTTGTAACACCATCCTCACATCACCGGATTAGTTTTCTGCGCTATCTGATTGTTGATCCTCGAGGTCATAAAGGGTAAGGAAGCTCGGATCTGCGAGGACGCAGGCAACGCCCCGGCATCCAGAAACACAAAAATGGCACGAGCGTGGCCTGAAAAGACTAAACTTTCTAATATCATTTGATTGCAAGCATCTGATTGGAGCTGAATGGTGAAGGGCATAGGACCAGTTTGCAACATTTTTTACCAGACACAGTGCCTTTGACTGAAAACTGCTTTGTTGTGCGCCATACTGGTCAAGCATAGATTTTCCGTCAATGAGCCAAATCTCATCCACATGTTCACGCCGTCTTGTGAGCACTGCAATTCGATGAGCGTTCTTGGAAAAATTCCCCTGCTCACTAGCATAGAATTGCGCCTGCACAATACTTATGTCGTTGGAAGTTCTAAGGCCAACCCAAAATCGGATGCTATCGTGATGCTTCGATTTCAGTAACCATAGTGTTCGGGAATTTGCCTGAATTAGTGCAGACACGCCCTCTAGACTATCATGGTCAGCCGCTGTCGCCATTGACTTGTCACAAATATCAGGAATGTGGGCAGTAAAGCTGCATCGACGTTGGTGGCGTCCATCATTGAGCACTTCTGCTGGGAACTCGGTGGATGAAATAGCTCTCACCGTTGTTGCTAGACGGGACCGTGTCTCTTCAAAGACCTTATCCATGGCCACACCAACCTGCAATATAAAATAACAATAACATAGTAAAAATGGATCTTCACACTCTGGAAGCTCACAGCCCCAAGCCACTTGTGGATGACAACAGAGCTGTCATCATCGCTCACATCCACAGCATGGGAACTAGTCGAATTTAAAAAAGGAAGTGTTCCGGAGGGCGGTGAATCTACACCAGACAAATTCGCCTCTTCCAACCTTTCTGTTTCAAGGACGGCTCGAATTGCAGTAGCAACGTCTTTTGGGTCGGAATAGTCAGGTGATCTGCAAATAGTGTCCCCAGATTCCCCTACTTGTTTTGTTACAGAGTTATTAAGAGAATCTTTTAGACTGCATCCCAGGAGCTCTTCTGTTTTCGACAATATGCCGAGATCATCCACAGGTCTGGTTTCAAGAAGAGTTGCCATATCTTGTTGATCCTGGAATTTCAGTTGTAGCTTGACAATATCAGCCCTCTCACTTGCGTGAAAGGTCTTCTTCATGGTTGTACCCATCGTGTGAATAATCTTGAACCATCGGAACAGCCCAGAAAGGGCCAAGTGCGCCCTCCGAATGCTAGAGACAACATCCTGAGTAGCGAGCACCAAGCCCTCGGCGGTTGACAGCAACTTTCGACACAACCCCAAGTTAAGGCCGACTTGATTGGGTTCGAACCCAGCATAACCAAGGCGACAAGAGGCGACGAGTTCTCCAGCATAGTGACACAATAGTCGCGATGAGGCCAGTAGTCTGTTGCTCAAAATGGATTCCACTGAATTTGCAGCTGTCTCCACAGCATTGTGCATCCGACTGAGTGATGGCTCTACTAAAATGTCTTCAAGAAAGTGTGCAGTCGCTGATCCAGCCACACCACGCCTGACCTAAAATAAACATGCTGAAGGGCGCATAGCTAGTAACTTTTTACCAAGGCAAGGAATTCGGCTCTTGCTGATGGACATGGCCCTGTTTTACCTGCAGACCATTGTCTGAGATCGCTAGTATACAGAGCAAGCTTGCGGTCCAGAGGTAAGAGAGCATCGTCCCATGCCTTCGAGGCTGTTTCACGAGCCTTTTCTGCTGTTTGGAGAAGCACACAAGCCTTCAAATAAGTTTCAATCAATGGCAAAACCTGGTTTAAAGAATGATTTGGCTATGCCATAAACGAATACCTCAGTCTGATCTGTGGCGAGGAATCCCAACTCATAAGATTCAAGCTTTGGGCCATCCACAGTCTGCACCCACATATAGAGGGTTCGAAGGTCCCCCGATGTGCAGCAAGTAACAGCAACAGCGGCAGGGCCGGATAATTGCATTCGCACTATAGGAAAAAGCCCATTTATAGATAAAATGATAGCCCCCGCATCATCGCCGGTGACAAGTAGAGTGAGTGGAATTGGGCCATCTGACTCGCAGTCGCGGGCGCTGAAGTATGGGTGCCTTGCTGCAGTTAGGTGCTGTTCGACGTGGCCTCGATAGCCCACCTATTGGAATGCCACAAGTCAACTGATATGTACAGTAAGTGACACAGACGCCAACAGGAACACCTGTGCCTTTAGCAGTGACTTGTCGCGCCCAAAACATGAGCGAGATGCAACTGTTGTGAACCATATGGTCACTGTAGCATGTGCGGGATACTAACGCCCCCGCCTCTACATCAAGGATGGACAGCCCGCCCCGGCGATGTCCCAATGCCAGCTGCCGACCATCAGGAGACCAGCACAAAGCACTGATTGCTCCTGCAGCAACAGCATCCGTGGGTGCTAAAAGGCACTGCCAGGATGTCGTGCGGTTGACCATTAAGGTACCGTCCAGTGTAAGGAGCGCAAGAATGTCCATTTGGGGAGAGAGGCATACCTCATTCACGGTGACGATACAGTCAACCAAGACTGCCATCTTTTTATGACGCCTCAATTGAGGAGCTGCGGACTCGTCGCAAGATCAGTCTAAAGCACAGTTCTCATCAAGTCCTGGCCGGAGTTGTAATGCAGAACCCTAAAAAAGAATACATAAAAGACACATGTTTGCTTTCGGCATTCACGCGCTAATAATTCGCACATGTCGCTAATAATTCGCTCGTCGCGGCTCGTCGCACCCCGTGACACTTCGATAGATCGCGAGCTCCGGGCCCACAACGTGAAGTCGTGCCGCCCGTGTGCGGGTTAAGAGCTTGGAGGGGGGGTTAAGAGCCGGCTCGGAGGAACGTGAACTTGACTGGGAAGCGTTTGCCAGTGGCCGGATAAGTCACGGTGTGTTGCACTGGCAATCATCATGATGTACGCCCAAACTCAGGCTTGAACTTGAGCGCCTCAGGCTCAGGCTGGGTAAATGCACAATCATTATGATGGTGATGCCGCAACCGTGACGGGCCGCCGGGCTAAGTATGATCGATCTAGCCTATGGCAGCAGAGGTGGCTGGAAATTATTTTGCACCGTCCTGCGTACCGTCGACATGCTCCAGGTTATCTCTTAGGTCACACCGCCGTGGATATAAATCAAAGGATATAATTGCAGACTCGATAACGCGTAATGAAGAGAGCAAAAAAAAAATCCACTCAGAGACGGTTGCAATCGAACGGCCATATTGCCCCACAGAGCAGCCATATTGCCACACAAGAAGATGATGACATGTACCAGGAACCGCACCGTGTCATCAAGATTCCGGTAAACCAGCTCAAGCTATCAGAATTGGATTTGAAGGAAGAACACACACGTGTCCTGACGGCAAACGACCCCAACGTCGCCAATAACATAACTAAGTTTAATTACCACAGCCATTGCTACAAGATTGACCCGCCGGGAGGTCAGGATAATCTGGCTATTCATTTGAACTTTGAGGGATCTACATTACGCAAAGAAGGTGCCGAAGCAAGAGAGCAAGCAGCATACTACTTGAAGTACAAAGAAGATCTGGCCGAGGCAAAAAAAATGATTGTGGAAGAACATGGGAAAGCTGAAGATGAAAACGACCCCTTTGAGAATCGCAAAAACCAGTTCAATTACTCCGAGCGAGCAGCGCAAACTTTTAACAATCCTTTGCGCGAGCGCTGTGTTTCTACAAAGCCGCCGAAAGTCATCAACTTTTCGGGTTGTGTTACCCAGTGGGAAATCTATGATCGGTACATGGGCGACTACGTCATGCAAATAGCAGAACAGGAACTATTAAAGGGCCAAGAAAAAAGAGGGGGTGGGTCCGGTTCAAACATTAGCGATGCCTCCCAGAATACGGGTGCCGCCAAGAGTGACGACATGGTACACTCTCAAAGGATGGGCAATGCGCTCAAAAAAATTGAGCGGATGTTAAATCAGAATGTGGACGATGAGATATTCCAAGATTTCAAATACTGGGATGACACCTCAGACGCATTTCGCGATGGTGAAGGATCATTGTTGCCTCTGTGGCGCTTCCACACTGAGCGATCAAAACGCAAGCAGGTCACTGCTTTGGCCTGGAATCCAAAGTATCCTGACTTGTTTTCAGTTGGCTATGGATCTTACGACTTCATGCGCCAGGGTGGTGGGATGATATGCTGCTTTTCCTTGAAGAACACGAGCTATCCAGAGTATACATTCACCACGGAAAGCGGAGTAATGTGCTTGAATTTTCATTCTGAGCATTGCTCTTTGTTAGCCGTGGGCTGTTATGACGGAGTAGTGATGGTCTATGACGTCAGAAATAGGGGAAATAGACCCATTTACTCGTCTTCAATTAGAACAGGTAAGCACACTGATCCAGTATGGCAGGTTCAGTGGCAGATCGAAGATATTGCGAAAGAGCTAAGCTTTTTCTCCATTTCTTCCGATGGTAGAGTTGCAAACTGGACAATGTCAAAGAACGAACTGAAGATGGAGCCAGTCATGCAACTTAAGGTCGCAAACGCGTCAAACGATGACCCGGAGGATACTCTGCTGCCTGGTCTGGCAGGCGGATGCTGCTTTGATTTTAATGGAGTCTCAGAACATTTATTTATCGTCGGGACCGAGGAAGGAAAAATTCACAAGTGCTCCAAAGCGTACTCCGGACAGTATCTCGAGACCTATCTTGGACATCACATGGCTGTTTATTCCATTCGCTGGAATCCCTTTCACGAAAGGATTTTTATTTCATGTTCGGCGGATTGGACTGTGAAACTATGGGATCACAATATTTCCACTGCAGTCATGTCATTTGACTTGGGAAATGCTGTTGGTGATGTCGCGTGGTCCCCTTATTCAGCAAGTGTATTTGCAGCTGTCACTTCGGACGGAAAGGTGCACGTATTTGATCTGGCCGAAAACAAACACGAGCCCCTGTGTGAACAGAAAGTAGTTAAGCGCGCAAAACTCACGCATATAACATTCAATCAGCAAGATCCTATCATAATAGTGGGTGATGATAGAGGTGGGTGCAATTCTCTAAAACTCTCACCAAATCTAAGATTGAACCATGGGCATGTAAATGTGCAGCAACAAGCAGAAGTTCTGGAGAGTCTACTTGCCTCGGCTAGTATAAAGCCCATTGAATGAAGAGAGTTGCCTCCCTTTTTGCGACGCTTTAGATACTTTAGGACCGACACCTCTGTTCAAGCTGAAATGCCCAGTAGAGAATGCACGTATCGGAGACCAGTGAGAATGCACGTACTGCTTGATCTTCGACCCCCACCGACAGCGGCGCCACTATCTCTTCGGGCCGCGATCTCTACGTAGATCGGAAATAATGGATGGAATCGACCTTCGCTTCGCTCGGCACACCCTTATCTGTTTCAGAATTGTGCCAGTCATAAGAAGGCCGTTTCGGAGGCACCCGGCTTTGCCACTGCCAGCGCCAGTAGCACTCAGGCTACCCAACCCCTGCTTGTCTTGCCTCTTGTAGGCTAAAATAAGGACGCTCATTTTACCCCGGGCCCCTTTTTGCACAGTGACCCGTCTAAGTGACCCGGTGACCTGCTACTAGTACTCAGTAAGTACTAGGCTACTACTCAGCGGCTTTTGCTGAGGCGGCTAGTACTAGAACTTGAACCCCCAAGTTAGACTCGGAGATCAAGTCACTGGCAGGCTCACTCGGACTCAGGCCTGAGGACAGTAACACCCGTGGTTCTTCTGCTTATTTCTCATTTCAAGTTAACTCTCCGAGTCCAAGTCATGATTTTACTTCAACTTGAAGTTGTAGTATTTGTAATCATGACTCGGATAGTTTCAAATTACTTTCCGAGTCTGCCATAATTTCTTATTATTTAATTGTGGGTTGAGTGGTCCTTCTATTAATCGGGTTTGTCCGCGGTGTTCGCATTTCCGCCTTTACTAGTAGGCGCCGCGTGCGCCGCGACGGCGGCCCCATTCATGGATGTAGCGGGTGCGATCGATGGCCCGCTGCAGCACCTTCCAGCACGTATAGTATAGTAAAAGACCCCAAGAAGCCAAGACTTCGCCCTCGGGCTAAACTTACCTTGGTGTCGGCTCGGCTTTCCTGGGACGCTCCTTGGCTAAGCACTAGGTACTGTCATGTAAAAGCAGAGTCAATGGAGTTTATCATCTGACAGCCAGTCAGAGGGCAGTCAAAGTTCAGAGGCAAGCTACACTGGTGGCACTTTGACCCTTTTGCACAACCGTGTGCTTCTAACTGGGCACTAGAAGATTGATTTACAAAACCACTAGCATAATAATTAAAAGGTCTCATCAGAACAGGGCACCCAGAGAGCACACAGCGTGTGCCAGCACAGAGGCGTATCTGAAGTGAGACCAGAGTTTGCGTTTCACGACATAGGCTTTTTGCGGTGTTCGCCGATGCCGCCATACAAGTCCGGGTAGACATTATATGCTGATCGGATTCCTTAAGAGACCCTTCTATTTCAGTTTTAAAGGTATCGATGACAATAAAGTCGGGGAAAACGAACAACATGTCTTCTATTGAAAGAAACCGAGACTCCTTGAACGCACGACCAGACTCTGAAATTGCTAACCTGAGTATGTGATGGTGGAATGCAGCAACTGCGACGTACGCTGTGACTAGCGATCGGTCATTGATGATGTGTCTTACGACCCGCAACCAAAGGCGCCTATTATCTTTATGAAATGAGATATATTACAAGCAAGCTACGACCACTTACTTCCTTAGAGCCTGTGGGACCTCGAATAAATTGGCTAGGTCCTTAGCCAAAGTGATGTCGAATTCAAGTGCCAGATCAACTGCGTCTTCATACAAACCCAGCTTTAGGAAAAGAGAAGCACCGAAGACAAGTAATGATTTGGAAGTAAATGCACGCAAAGCAGATTGAAGGTCATAAAGGCGCATTAACCAGGTATCGAGGTAGTTACACGCAGCAGCAACATCATGGATTTTGGTACAGAGCAGAATAACAAAATGGGCGAACGCAGAATCGCTACGGACCGGTGTGTAATTCATTTGTTTCAAGACATCTGGTTGGCTTGCAGAATGTGAAGTGTACAATTGAATGTCGCTTCGCAACAAACTGGTGAATACCCTTGATACCTCCAATCTAAAATCACCTTCCGCAGCCATGCATGGCATCATTGAACTGTCAAGCAGAGAAATTGAAGTTTCAAACAACAAATCCTCAACTTGTAAGTTAAACGAGTCATAAATAGTTCTCCAACCTACGCAGGATTTGTCCTTTCTAAAAAAATAAAATTAGCAACACCACTATCAATACTATGTTTATCAACGAGATGCAAAATGACGTTTTCAAATGCTTTCACCGCCCCAGCAATGCTAGCTGCTCCGTCACGATTGTGACTGGAAACTAGCTGGAATGCTGTTCTGATATGCAGCATATTTATATGCCCGAGAAGGAACGATTGAATATTGCCTTTCAAATCTGGATAATCAGCGTTTTTCGCCAGGAGCAATTCCAGTAGCCAAAAGCACAGAATCACCCATTGCACTGTGCCACCATCCTGCGTCGCCAATGCTTCCCTCAGGTGTGCGACAAGCCCAACTGCATTGCCAGCGGCAAAATGTCTCAAACTTACCTACGACAGACCCTCTAACATTTAAGTAGCTGACATACTCTCTGGCGCAACATCCTCCCAGGAACTGCGCCCTTCCATGGGTTCATCGCGTTTTCATTAAGTATGCGCCCTGGCTAGAAGGCCGGGTTGCTCCGGCTGCTCGGGGTCCGTGCACGGCGCCGGCCGCGAGAGTGGCTGACATACTAGACGCCGATACTAGCACTCTCTCTCTCATTGCGCGCGATGGCGTCGGCATAAAAAGTCGGCCACTTTCGGTACGCATAGCAAATGTACACGAGCTACGGGTCGCAAAAGAAACGGGCTGCTAAGGCGAAGTAAGGTGCGAACGGACCATCTATACGGCCGCGGCGTCGCAGCCGATTTCTCGACGCGAGGCTGTTCGCACCGCACCAAACTTTGCACAGCCCATTATTTTATCATATGGAACCTGCGCCTTAGCAAAATTTCCCGCGAGGCCTCGAAAGGGCGCCGCGCGGCCGCGTATACGGCCCCTCCCACGTTGCGCCACCAGTAGCTCCTAGAAGTAGCTCCATTGTGCACTGATGATGCATTTACTGCACCGGGCCGGGCCCAACTGGCAAACTTGAAGCTAATATCACTCAGGCTGAACGTAGGGGGGGAAGTGTGACCGGCGTGACAGCCATCGGCGTGACTGGCCGCGGCGGCACCGTGACAGCCGCGGCAGCTGATAAGAGAAGGAACCTTCCCCGGCCTCCCTTCAACTTGAAGTTCCTCCGAGTCAGGTTACTATATGATTCTAGTGACAGTCAAGGTGTCACTTGCACTTGCCTCTAGTGACTAAGTTACATGTCCAATGGCATGTATAACACTACAGCGTACCGTACCGTAAACGGTATATACTATCTCGATGCATGTCGGCTACGTACGATACGGTGGGTTGAGAGTTGCATACCTACGGTTTATCGACCAGCACCAATGCCGGAATCACTTGTGTGTCATTTTGGAACTTTGTCGTGTGATCATGCCATTCGAATCTAGGCATCAAAAAGTGACTTCTCAGCTTTCTTTGTCGTGGTAAATGGGCAACTGGAATCAGGTGAATTTCCTTATGATGACCTTTATGTGCGATATGGATTCTCATTTGGCCCGGATTGGACAGTCGTCGATGGTATCGAAAACGGCTTGTCGCAGATTGCGCGGAAGGCTGCAGGCTGTGATAATTCTGTTGTGTGGAACTTTCCTGTGGATATATCTTTTAAAAGCACAAACGCCCATGGTTGGCCACGCATGAGTGTATCAATCTATGGCGTTGACAGCCTTGGGCGAGACGTCGTGCGCGGCTATGGCAGCGTGCTCCTTCCACCGTCCATGTCCAGAGCTCCTTATGTAACCTTGGGATGTTCCGTACCGCCTATAATGCCATAGGTTTGCAGGAGACTATGAAAGATATATTCACACCTATATTCCCGTGCCGTCCTCACTCTGGCAACGCCTTGTCTCGTGGCTCACAGGAACGTATGCTGAGTTCTACGACTCAAAACTAGTCGCTCAGAGTGACAATCGTGAAGTTACGCGTGTAGAATCAACCGGTGTCGTCAAGGTGAAATTTTCTGTGCTTACTAGAGGAATGGCCGCCCTTGGTTACTCTCTTGCCCCGGGTGCTTCTATGTAACCAAGCATACGATGCACGGACTCGCCACCATTCTCAGGAGCAACTCTTCAGGGCGGAACAGACGCGTTCTTCTGCCAATGACGGTCTTGGGGAGTATTTTTTTGAGGGAACAGTCCCTCTTCTAGGTTGCAAATCATGATCACCCGTGATTTGCCCATGAATCACCCCCCCGTCCACAGGCCCCCGGTCACCGTGACCTCGAAAGATTTCGGGCGAATCACCTTTTAAATCATCTGGCCCGGCGGGTAAAGGAGTACTAGTATTGGTCGACTCGGGTTTTCTAGTAAACAGCGTACTAAACATGCTAGTGCGCCTTAAATTACGGACGGCGCCGGCAGCCACCATGGGGATTCCCTCCACCGAGCGCCCGAACGTCGCGCATTGGTCGGGGGGGCTCGTAGGGCCCTCTTAAGGGCCGGCTGAGGTCAGGGGGGTGTACGGGGATCGGGACTAGGGCGCAGCGGCGCGCTGAAAACGGCAAAAACCCGTGAATCTCGATTAAACGCGATTTTGTTTTGGCCTCGTGCGCGGCCTAAACGCACCCATAGGCAGCCCCAAGCTATTTCCGACCGCTCAAGGGGTCGGCCGAGGCGATGCGCCAAGAAAAAGCGCGGCAGCACAACATTTCGCGATGCGCCAAATTGCTCTCCCACCACATGATGTGCGATACGCGATGTGGGCACGCCACTGCACAAAAAACGGTGGGGATAGTACGGTGGGTATGGCCCGAGTCCCGCGGACAACTTCAAGCGCTCGAAAAGCTGGAAATCATTGCACCGCGGCGGTCGCGTCGAGGTCAACGCGGGACGAATAGAGAGCTTCGAGGGCGCTCCTACGAGAAACCACGGGCCCGGGGACCGGCGCGGGGTTATAGTCGATGCGGACGACGACGACGTCGATTTGGAACTTTGAGTCTCCGCCGTCCGGGCCGCGGCCTGCCCGTGGCCGGCGCACCCCAAAACCCCCTACCGTTTGTAGCCCCTGTTTTGCGCGAATATTAGTCATTATCTTAAGTATTTTCGTAGCAAGTTTCCCCGTTCAAGCTATTCAGGGGGAAGAGCTACGGTAATTTCTCACTTTGGGTGCCGGCCCCTTAATTACGGCCCCGGGCATCCCTAGTCCTCTAATCTGAGTTTCGAGTTCCTAGCCACTTGTGCGGGGGCGATTTTGGCTGTGCCAGTGGGGTTCAAAAAGGGACCCTTTTGTACGCCCGACCGGGCTGGGGGGCCCTAACATGCGGGCATTTAGCTTAACTCGCGGGTTTCGGGGGTGAAAAACAAAACTCGCTTCTCTGCTGGTAATTTGGTCTCCCAGGGGCCCCGGGCCTTGAGTACCTATGGCGTGGGGAGGATGCGTAGGCTCGGCCGGGTACCCGATGCGCTGAGCCAGATAGGTCGCCTGACGCGGCACGACTTTCGCTGGCCACTAAACTTCCCAAACCTAATCATTTCGCTCGCCCGTTTCGGTCAGGTCCCAGAGGGGCAACTAGCCTCCCCTGGCTCAATTTACCCGCGCACCAGACGTCTAATTATAGAGATACGGCAAATTTGGGGTTGGGTGTCCGCCGCGGCCCGCTTCGCCTTTAGCCCCCGGCTACTCGGACTCGGAGCCCCCGGCCGCGAGAATTCGACCGTAACTCGTGCGCCGGCGGGTAGCCCGAAGCATGCCTGGGGACGTGTACTAGAAATACACCGTCCAATTTTCAACCGGGACGCGTTCCCAAGGAAAAAATATTTTTAACAAAGGTCAAAGTGCCCCAAACAAAGGTCACTCCCAAACAAAGTGAAAAATCCGCTTTGTTAAAAACTATTTTCCTTTTCTTAGCAAAGTGGCAGGTAGGCAGGCGCATCTGAACCGCTTTCGCACGATACCGGCCCCGCCCGCCCCCGCTGCACGGCTGCGGCCCTCCGCGCCGCTCCGCCGGGTCCATACGACTCCCCAGGCTGCCGCGCGCCCCGCCGCGGGCTGCCCCGCGGCGGCACACCGGCTGCCAGGGCCCGATGGTCGTTTCGAGCGCGCGCAACGCAAGACGCGCGGATCGAGGCAAGCGCACCGCGGGACCTGGTCGCCACCGACGCCCTCTGCCGAAGTCGAGCTGAGCACCGCGCGGAACGGCGCTTTGACAAGTCGTTACGGTATCGAACGAACAGAAACGGCCTTCAAACGACTCGTCACCCCCGCAAACACCGCCCCGGCGCGTCGAGCACTCGTTCCTGTGCCACGTCGGTTACGTGCCGCCCTGCCTTCCTGCCGCCCTGCCTGACGGATGTTATCTTTGGCGGGGTTTGGGGCGCAGCCCCAACCCGACGGCCCGGCGCGGAGCGCCGGGCCGGAGGGCGCGTGCGGTGGCGCAGCCGCATGAATCCGTCCTCCCGAGGACCACCCCACCCCGCCCAAAATCGGGATTTTCCGGCCGCGTGGGGGTGCCCCAAAGTAGGGGGGGGCTAATTTTTAACAAAGCGTTTCTCTCGGGTTTTTACTTTGTTTGGGAGTGACCTTTGTTTGGGGCACTTTGACCTTTGTTAAAAATATTTTACCGTTTCCAAGCACACCGTTTACTTTTATTACCTACCTAGGCTACCGTGACTCACTGTCCCTAGGGTACTCCGGTATCCCCTTAATAGGGGGGAAGTCGCCTCCCACAGGAGGGGGGGGCAGGGGGCCCACCCCTGCCAGGGATCCATGGACGAAATCCCGATTTTAAAATTTTCCACTAGCCTGAGCCCCCGGGCCCCCCGCCCCCTTGTGCCAGGCGTCGCAATCATGATCTGTGTTGGGCTACCCATCGGGCCTGACGGCCGTCACGGTGTTTGCGTATCCTTCGACACGACGGATACTCAGAGGGGTTCCGGGAACGATGGACTGCCAGCAAGCGCCAGGCTTTGTTTTTAGTCCCCTGGATCATAGCGCGCCCAAGGGCACGTCGGGGTAGTGACACGAGACTCAGCAGGACTCGGAAAGTCTAGTGTCACTCTAGCCTGAGGGCCATGTGTTCAGTAGGCAGCACCAAAGCGTCGCCTCAGCCACGCCGCGGCCCGGGGTCTATGGCCTAGTAAGCGCTCGTGATACGGTGCAGCCTACGAAACTAAGATGTCCTGCCAGCTTTTGGGGAGAGCCTGAATAAATAAATTAATTAAGTAATTAAGGAAGACCTAAAAATAGTATAACCACAACGAACCTTTAGAACCTTTAGAACTAACTAAGCTACTAGTAGCCTGATTGTGTGGGCGGCCCGTTTAGAACAAATAGCGATTTGTGTGGCGTGTGGGCGGCCCGTTTCTGCCCTTGGCGGAATTTCGGACGTCAGTCTGCTCACGAAGGAGCGGGCACACGAGAAATTGCCTGTCGACTAGACTACACAATTGTGGGCGTAGATAGGTTAAGTTTGTGCTGCCTCCTGTCAGACTCGACAGATAAAAGCTTGGGGACAGCATGACGCACTTGCCGTACTATGCCATTGCAATAGCTAGCAACGTGACGATGAACAGGTTCGTCAAAAAGCCTGGAAACAGTGGCCTCGAATTCACCATCATGGCAGCGTGCGAGGTTTAGTGCAGTCTTGGCAAAATTGATGTAGTGACAGAGGACAAGTTTCTCAGATTTGACATGAATGCACGCGTGGCGCTCGTTGGAGAAGGGAGAAAGGGTATTACTGGAGATTGCAGACTTATCAGCTGCGAGGGAACGTGGATACGCTTCAAGCATTGACTTGCAAGTATGCTTGAGGAGCGATAATGCGGCACATTCATTCCTGAATGAAACAGGAACATGGATATCAGATGCTGTGCGATACGTGCCATAGGGATTTTGGCTGAGAATACGGTCAAGCTCAACTTCATCAGCTGCCACAACACGGAGGAGCGAAAGGCATGCGCGGAAATTTTCATTATCACTTGCACATAAACGGATTCGCTTGACACCCACGGCACCGTCACGAATCCAGATGAGCCGTTTGCGCGCAGTGAGTGGATCCTCTGGTGCCAGACGGACAAGAAGCGCAACTTCATTTGGACAATAGCCGTCACATTCGTAATTATCTTCGACGGCGAAGCCATAATTGAGTAGAAACCGGTGATTGCACTTCTGACCATAGGAGTCATAGATCTGCCCACCAGAAGGAATCGACTGGAGTGCTGTTATGGTAAAAGCACCTCGTGTGTTGTCAAAGGTCCACTTAGTCTCGCGCGGCCGAAAGTGGTTGAGCATGTCAGCGTAAGGAACCATTGCTGATGTGCGAACTCCATTGATGACGATGCCAAAATTGCGTGAGCAAACACACATACGTGCCCAGGAAAATTCGTCCAGAGTGCAGATTCTCTTAAAGGCAGGCCAGGCGTCAACTATGGCCTTAAAATCGTTCTGTATGGCACACTTACGTTCCTCTATCTGCACAAGCAAATACGAACCCTCAAGCCAGGTGAGCTCATTTGGTTTCCAAAATATAGGCATATTAGACAGACTCCCGGGGAGAACATCATAGTACGGTCGGAAGAAGCTGTCCGAGTTGCAGCGATCGAGAAGGAGAAAGAGCATCAAAAAAATGTGCTTGGGTGCGTCTAGCTCAAGTCCAGCCTCGAGAACAGCCCTACCGACATCGGTCGCTTTGCCCATCTCTACAGTTATAAGACATTTCAAGGGGACTTCAATAATGATTTCCTCTGCTTTGAGGTCGCGCGCCGCATGAACTCCACGTACATCGTTCTCGTAGCAACGTAGCAACGCTCGGTCAACGAATTTAGCGCCATTCTCACTGAGCCACTTAACGAATACTTCCTCTTTCCCAGCCGACGACACTATGCCAGAGTGCCCCTGGAATTTGTCTCGGTCTGGTCTATTTGCACTAGCGTTCACGTCTCGGTCTTGCATTCGAATGTAGTATATGTCGACGTAGAAACCCGCGAGCTCTGGTGCTCGGGGCTCAGGGCCCTGGGGGGGTGACACCAACCCCAAACCGGTTCTAGCGCAAGACCTCGATGAGCCTTGCTTCAGCAGTCCCGGGGTAGTTCTCTGTGGGTTCTATGGGGTACATTCAGACAAAATTTACCGGCGCTTAGGGGGATTTCGGGTCGTGGTGGGGCAAAAACATGCCAAAACGAGGTCGAAATGCCATTTTGAAGCGATTTGAGGGCCGGCTGGGCAGATGGAGCGTCGCAGGACTTCGTTCGTGTACCATGCGTGGGCCTCGACCACCTATTTTGAAGCGTTCGTCCTCCTCGTGGCCGCTTTGGCCCCGTTTACGTCGTTCGCGGCACGCACCGCGCGGCCGCTGGCGGACTATCAGCGCTGGAATAGCTGAAAAGGAGCGGGCAGCGCGGGTCGGAACCTCATCGGGTAGCTCCTAAACAACTTCTTTCGGGCTGCGCATGCGTTTTGAAAAACGGCCCATCCCTGAAGCTCGACCGATGAAAATGGGCAGCCCTTTTTTGCCGCCGCGGCGTGCCGAAACTTCATCGGGGCTGCTCCTACGCCGGCACCAACACCCACTGATGGTGCGCCATCGATGAAGTTTTTGCGTAGGAGCAGCCTGCGGCTCGGTAGAGGCGCTTATTGGCACAACGACGGCCAAAAGCGGCAATTTTAGGGTCCCGAATTTGCCCTCCCCAAACGCGAAGCTTGGTTGACGAGCCGGCTGGACGCCTCTCTCCGGACAAATCCCCGGGACTGCTGAAAGAGGCGTCGCCGGAAACCCGAGCTCCATATTGGTGTCACCCCCCATCGGGGCTCAATCGCCGGTGATTTATCTTTAGCTTTGTCTTAGACTCCAAAGCCTATGTGCTCGTCAGGTTTCTCCAAACGCGCAAAAAAAACCGTACAGCATATTTATTATTGCGCACCCCACAAGACGGTTGCCCAGAGCCTCTCGCAAACCAGCCACTGCGGGACTTTAGGGCCTCCGCAGGAGGCGGGAACCGGCGTGGGGGGCGTGAAACCGGGTTGACGCGGCCTCGCCGACCCATCTACCGCTGTGCCGATTTTGGTGCCGGGCAGTGCGGCGGAAGGCGGGCAACGGCAGCCCTCTTTGGCAGGTCGTTTTTCAGACGGGCCACGGCCCGCCTTAAGTACCGAGATAATGGATAGTTCCGGAGATATATCACGGCCGGGTACGTGAACGTGCGCTGGGTGTCTTCAAACTTTGGGTTCTATGAACTTTCGCGTCGGCGCGGCCGTCGACCGGCACAAAACGGGGAGCCCTTCGCTCGTATCGCAGCCGCATGATCTTCGGAGCAGTGTGGGACCGAGATATGGTGTCCGCGCTCGAGCATGCCGGAGCTGTGGAGCTCTCGTCCCCCATGACCAAGCGACATCGGCCCTCATCGGTCAATTGCCGTGCCGGGGGGCAAACCGAATATAATCTCGCAAGGAATGCCTCCCGTTCTTCCTCAAAGGCCTCGCATTCAAACAACGTGTGTTGAATCGTTTCCGATTCACGAGATGCGCAACAAGGGCATTGCGCGTTACGAACAAGCTGCGTTCGGCTGCTCGAACTCCGGAGGTCGTGGCAACCCAATCGGAACTTCGTCTTCAATCTCCGCCCTTCCCGAAGAGACGCGGGGCACGCTCTGAGTAAATATTCCGGCAAGCCAAAACGTTCCTTCTCGACCCAATTGCTCATGTTGCGGAGAGTCGACATTTCCTTGAAGCCATCGGCGAGCTCGGAAACTGGGCGCGATGCGACAGATTTTGACGACGGAGCGCTGCCGGTTTTTTCAGAGGCCCGGGCCAATTCGCTTCTAACGCCAGATTTTCAAGGAACAAAGCTCCGTTCTTCGACGATCCGCGACCTTTGGAATCATTCATCAGGCCGTCGTATACGCGGCGAACGAGGAAATCCTGAGGGTCCAACGACAAGATGTTGTTGCGGAATTTCAACGCCGCGGCGTTTATAGTATCGGGTAAAATTCTAGGCTGTAAACTGAGGACAAACCTTCGACAAGTCAGCGTGACGCGGGTCGTGCTGGGCCAATTGTTACATAGTCCTATCAGACGCCGAATGGGAGGTTTATACGACGCCTCCCTACCGAGCTACAGCCCCCCTTTGCTTCACGACCCATAGAAATGGGCAGAGAAATGGGCCCACCGAGGCGCAATGGGGCCCCTCGGCGCCGCCGAGGCGCCCGGAGCCGCGTTTCATAGCGCCGAGAACGCGGGCCCTCAAGACGGTCGACGGCGCACCGTCTTCGACCGCTGATAAATCGCCAGGATCGCATCGAGAGCTCCACAGCTCCGGCATGCTCGAGCGCGGACACCATATCTCGGTCCCACACTGCTCCGAAGATCATGCGGCTGCGATACGAGCGAAGGGCTCCCTGTTTTGTGCCGTATTATACGCGTCGACGGCCGCGCCGACGCGAAAGTCATAGAACCCAAAGTTTGAAGACACCCAGCGCACGTTCACGTACCCGGCCGTGATATATCTCCGGAACTATCCATTATCTCGGTACTTAAGGCGGGCCGTGGCCCGTCTGAAAAACGACCTGCCAAAGAGGGCTGCCGTTGCCCGCCTTCCGCCTCGCCACCCGGCACCAAACTTGGCACAGCAGCAGATGAGCTCGGCGGGTCCACGTTATCCAGCCAGCGCCCCCATGCCACTTCCCGCGTCGCGCGGGCGGCCTCAATTATGCGAACGTGCGGGTCGGTCCGGCTGGTTTGCGCGGCGGTGGGCTGTGGCTGCCTGTTGTCCCCTTGATCGAACAATTCCACTGCTTCGTCGGTATGCGACAGCCGCTTCTCAGCTTAGTGCTGTGCATTTACGCATGCTGCTTAAACGACGAACGGGCAATTGCGGGCCAGGTTTGGGCATCGACAGCGCAGATTAGGACAGGCGACAACAATCCACGACTCGAGGAGCAAACGTGGCAAGCGCGGCAGATTGAACTTGGATGTGGCCGCGATATCACACTTGATTGGGCGGAGCTGCGTCGTCGCGTATCAATGACAGATGCGCGCCTTCTGCTTCGTACGACGGCTCTAGACCTGGCGATCCGTGAGAAGTTCGTGGTTTTCGACCTTGGCGTTCTTAGAGGTTATGTTGATCGTGATCGCTGTGTTCTCCTATTACCCACGCTTGCTGATGCGCAACTTAGTATGACAGTGCCGGAGGGACAGAAGATTCCTGCATGTCGACTGTTCTTGTCGCGGGAGCACATTACGCGCGTTGAAGCTAATATCGTCGAAGCCCTATCTCAACCCGGTGGTCGACGCCTGAGTTTCACCATGGTCGTGGTGGAATGCATCCTTGAGGAAGTGGGGACCCCACCCCCAGATCCTCCCCACCTTATGTTGCACCTTATTGTTGCCTTTTTAGGCGTATCGGCATGCTCTCAAAGAGTTCTCACGACTTGAGCAGACTATTGGCTCTGAGCTTGAAGCACTCTGTGACTTTGGAAACTCGGAGACGACGCGGGCGGGCACGCTCTGTCGACTTTTGCCATTGGAGACAAAGCTCCAGGAGGAAGCAGTACGTGGGAGGCGTGTCTACGCGCTGATCGGCGATGCATTGGAATCAGATGTTGAAGGTATTCGCACGAATCATGTTCTACTTGCGAGTAGCACGGTGCCTTACGAGCGCTCTGACGAAGTCAACGAAGTTCCAACAATGATTGATGAGTTCGAGAGGTATACTAACAAAGAAGTCGTGGCATCAGTCTTTGAAAATTACCTCTGTCGTTGGGAGGAAGTTAATGATGGTATTGAGAAACTCGTTGGGGCAATCGATTCCACACGAAAACTCATAGAGCTCACTCTTGATAATGAACGTAATCGCATAGAGCGCATGGAGCTCTATCTGTCCATGGGAGGACTCAGTTTTGCAATGATGTCAGCGGTCGGCGGTTTTTTTGGCATGAATCTTCTTTCAGGCCTTGAGGACCATCCAAAAAAGTTCTGGATAGTAACCTATGTCACCCTTATAACCTCGGCGTCTCTCTGGTATGTTACATGGCAACGCTTCCACTTGGGACGCCAGATCCAACACCAACAAGTTTCTGGCTTTGTTGGCACCCTGCGTCGTGCGGTTGTTCCCCAGTTGCCCCCGGGCTTCTTCTAGGCAAGACTATTGGATATTCAGCTTACCTAGAGTGCCTTACGTGATAACACAGGGGGATTTGGTAGCTATGGACAACGTAAGACAGGCAAACAGTTTCTCAGCCTTATGTCGCGTCCGACCTATCATGAACTCGCCCTCGTCCTGGGAGGAGGATCGTGAAATTGCAATGGGTATAAAGAAGACGCAGCCTATAATGCCTGAGACTATCCTGAGCCTGAGATGGGAGACTTCGCTACTCATCCTTAGCCGAGGCCCGGGGGGCTGAACTCAAATATCCTGTAGCCTGAGTGCCTGAGCGCTGATAGCGCCTCCCATTGGCAAATCATCTACTTGATCACTCGAGCCTGTCTGCCGTTGGGCTCTGTCAGACTGGCGGACTGATTAATTATTTTGATGCTACAAGCAAGCAAGTCGCTCGATATAATACCTGCTGCGTAGTCTTGACTACCAGCGCTCAGGCTACCGGCCCCAAGAGACTTCTCTGCACTGGCAGGCCGCCAGGACAATTTGTAATCATGATGTCGGACATCGCCACAGTGATGCACTGGTACGAACTTGAAAGGTGCGTGCTAGTGGCGTTGAGATGCTGCAACTTGCTGTTGCGCTCCTCTTTCGTTTCGCGAGATGGGCCGAACACCTTATGCCGACTGTCTGGAGTATGCTGTCTGGAGTATGCTGTCGACGACACGTCGTACCCACGGACAAAGTGCGGCCTCGTACATTCCGCTCGAGACCAAGGGAAACTGTGTTTTTTGCTCTTAAATCGTCACAACGCGTCGTGGCGTCATACATAGGCCGCGCCGGTGGCACAAAAAAATCACTCCCCGGGTCACGGTCCGTACCACTCCACGGCTACTGGTCACGGTCCGTACTGGCTCGCCGCTTGGGGGGCCCGCCCCTGCTGATGAATGAGTTGTACTACTACTAGTAGTGGCCTCCAGACTAATCTTTTTTTTCTCTTTTTTCCCTTTTGTACCTTTCTACATGTAAATTGTAATGACGTCATACACCAGGGCGCGGAGCTGCGCGGAGCTGCCCTTCTATTCCTGGAGCCCTCAGAGGGTCCTCAGAGGCGATTCCTGGAGACGCCGTGTGCTGTAGGCGTCCTGACGGAGGGGAGGGGGGGAGGGCCCGGGGGAGGCTACGCCTCCCCCGAGGGGGAGGGGGGGTTCGGGGGGGAGGGGGAGGCTATGCCTCCCCCTCCCCGCCGATATTCTTTTTAAAAACGCCATCGACGGGGCAATGCGCAATCGATGGGTGGTGATGTCCGCGGGGGGCGCGCGTCCGTCGAGGGTCCACGGTTGCGACTCGGAGTTTTTTTTCAGAAGCGTCGTTGACGCGGGCCAGCCGTGGCCGCCGGACGTATGCGCTGCGTCGAGGGAGAAATACACACACGCACACGCGGGCGTCTTGTAGTAATACTACTTGGTCCTTACCAGCGGTCATGGAAAGGGATCATTTCAATTTCAGGTGTGTCCCAGTACGGAATCGCAGGAAACGTTTGGAAACTGAGGCATTGTGTCCTTCGTCCTTAACATCTCGCACATGCACAAAGTCAGGTAGGAGGTGGGGTTCCCCGCTGGCTCTGGTGGGTTCCTTTCATTATCATGTTTGTTGACTTGACCCGCACAGGCTCGAAACGCAGTGGATGCGGAATTTTTCAAGGTGTGTCGGGCAACCAGAGGGAACTTTGGCACTGGAACTAATTCTAGATTTCAAGCAGCCCTAGAGGAATATGATAATGCATGTCGTAAGGCCCTGAGATTAAATTTGCATGACTGGGATGCAAATGCAGATTCTATTTGGAATTTCTGTGAAGATGGTGACATTAAGAGCATTAGAGCCGAAGTTGGGACCCTAAGAGGTGGGTGTACGGCAGAAAAAGTTACGCTGAAAGAGCTACAAAGTGAGGTGATTGGGTGGCACCGCGCTTCGGTCGTAGACGACAGTTGGCTTCCTAGACTCAAGTATCAATCGCACACAGTACTTTCCGACAAGAAAATGGGAAAGCTTTTTGATGTGAATAGCACGGCAATAAAGGCCCGCAAGGTTGTAGGTGCCTTAATTGCAACCACTGCTGCTCAACGTGAGCTCTACAGAGCCTATGACCAGGCCCACTTTGGAGGTCGAGGTAAGTTTGGCTAAGGGTGGACCTACCAGGCTGATCGCCCCCCTCCCTCCTACCTCAGTGTCACGGCCACGGTTCATGCGTAAAATCTACCTTTTCGTTTTCACGTGAGCCCTATATGATTGGTAGAAGTATTAGCCTGAGGCCCGGGCACCAAGACTGACCCGGGCGCGGAGCTGGGCGCGGCGATGATGACACTTGAATAGTTCAAGTTGAGCCTTTTTTTTAACCAGCCACGGTTAGGACACCGTAACCGCGGCGCGGCCGTCTCACGGCCCCGGCGGGCGGGCCGACACCTCTGGACGCGCCGTCAGAAAAGCTTTCCAACGCACTATCGCTTCCGAGTCCGAGTCAAGTTGAGCCTGAGACGGCCCCGGGCCGGGGGCGTGTCGATGGCGCCACGCTGCGCAAATGAATAGCCCCACGCGGCCGCTCTAGCCGTCCAGTTGGCAGCCTAAGACTCAGGCTTGCTACTTTACATAACTGCGACATACCGCAGTACTCTTTAAGGGGTAATAGCCAGTTTGTTGGGAGGTACCTACGGTACCTACGGTACCTACGGTACCTACGGTACCGCAGTACTCTGACATTGTATTGTTGTTAACCAACACCACGCGAAATGTCCATAAGGCTTCGGGAACTAATCCGGGCCGTTCGTGGATGTGAGTTAAGCGCACCATATTTGGTAAGTTGCATCTCATCTCAGGTAAGACTGCACAGGAGGAACGCGCAGTAATTGCAAAGGAATGTGCTCTGATTCGCACCGCATTCAAAGATAATTTGCCGGCATTCCGCCATCGGAATGTGGCAAAACTTTTATTTATTCACATGCTAGGTGCCAGTACTTTTTAGTACCATTAGCCTATGGTTCCTAAAGGTTATCCAAGCCACTTTGGTCAAATGGAATGCCTCAAGCTTATTGCATCGCCCAGCTTTCCAGAGAAACGCATTGGCAATTTTATGAGGGCTTGAATTTTACTGAGGCACAGTCTCATAGGATATCTTGCTCTGATGTTGCTACTTGACGAGCGCACCGAGGTGCTCACCTTAGTGACAAATTCACTGAAAAATGATCTACATCACGAGTGCAATGCGGAGCTGAATGCATCAAATGAATTATACCGTCACTGCGAGACAGGTCGCAATATGTTGTCGGCTTGGCCCTCACGTCTGTGGGAAACTTGGCAACGGTGCGCATGGCCAGCAACTAAGCATGAATTATTCTTATAGGCGGATATGGGTCGCGTGCTTGTATCTGATGTTTCTTGTCACCTTGGATCCTCAAATGCACACGTTCGAAAAAAGGCGGCACTTGCACTTATTCGCATACTAAAGCGCGTTCCAGAATTTGTCGAGGACCACACGTCCAGCATTGTGATGCTGCTGAAAGATAGATTTCATGGCGTTCTCATCGCAGCAATCCAGCTGGTGGCTGATGTAAGTTCCAGCATCATTAGCTGATGGAAGTTTTATTTTATAAAAAGACGTGCAAAGGTTCTTTCTCTCCAAGCGGATCTGAGTACTAAAATTATCCAAATTGTGCCATCCCTCGTCAAAATGCTCCGAAATTTGTTGAATCTTGGATACTCGTCAAAACCAATGCCACACTAGCCCCACGTTCCTGTTTTTAGACTCGACCCTCTAGGCCTGAGCACGATGTTTCAGGAATAGCAGATCCTTTTTTGCAGGCTTGTTTATCTTCTGCAAGATATTTCCATCTTTTACTTTTAGGTCAAGTTGCTGAGGGTGCTTGCAGTCTTTGGTTCTGAGTCACTGTCTTGAATCTTGGAATAATAAAAGTTCGTTGACATTTTCGCTATATAGGAAAAAATGATGACGGAACAAGCGAAGCGATGAATGATATTCTTGCCCAAGTACAACATTTGTCGACTCATAGATGCAATTAATGGAATCGAAACACCCAGGTCGTCTCAAACACAGAAACAAATCGCAATGCTGGCAATGCAATTCTCTACGAATGTGTGAGAGTAATAATGACGGTCAAGTCTGAATCTGGCCTGAAGCTCTTGGCAATCAATATTCTTGGTCGCTTCCTCTTAAATAGTGACAACAACATGCGTTATGTCAGTTCGTGTGAGCCACACATTTTCTCTTCAACAAACTGGAGCGACGTTGAGGCACAATCTAATCACTGAATGACAGGTTGCGCTGAATTCCCTCTCCAGTGTCGTGGATGATGATGTTGCTGCCGTGCAACGCCATCGTAAGTGAACACAAAGAATGGCGACCATGAATTCTTGTCATGTAGGTGCAATAATCTTAGATTGTCTTAAAGATCCAGATATTTCGATCCGCCAGAGAGCCCTGGAATTGACATACCAGCTTGTTGATGCTAATAACATTGTAGAATTAGTTAGGGAGTTGCTCAACTACCTCGTGGTGGCACCTCCAGAGCATCAAAGCCTCCTGTGCAGTCGCGTCTTGAACTGCGCAGCAATTCCTTCAGGTGTTCAAAATTGAAATTTCTTGCACATTTCAGGTTTCTGCTATTGTCGATAAGTCATTTAGTTGGCTGCGTGAACAGCAGGACGTGACTCAATTAATTACTGCGTCATTCTCACAGGTTTGCACCAGATCCCAGATGGAAAGTGGAAACTTTGATTGCCATGTTGTCAATTGCAGGTAATTGCTGTGATGTGTTGATCGCATGTGCAGCTGTTAGCCACATAACGCACTCCGAGGCTCTGCATGGCTTTGCAACGCACAAATTGTTTCGGCTTCTACAGGAGGAATTGCCTCGCGTGCAGATTGCCCTCATGCATGTCGCGCTCTGGTGCATTGGTGAATTCAGTGATCGACTCCTTGAGACTTCCAGTAGTGGCGACTTTGGGGACGTATATTGCGCCGTGTCTCTTTCTGACATTTTGGGACTTATCAAGGCAGTCTTGAAGTCCCACCTTGCTACTACTCTTACAAGATCTTATGCCACCACTGCTCTAATGAAGATTGTGTGTCGGTTGCAACAAGGGCAGGCGGAATGCAAAGGCCTTTTGGGGTCTTTCACAGAGAATCTAATTCACAATCAAATATTAAAAGGACGTTAAGACAGGCAACACAGGTACTTTGTGACTTCCTTGTCACTTGAGCTTCAGCAGCGGTCTTGTGAGTATATGTCGCTCTTTGAAGACCAACGTCAAGACCTTCAACGACAAGCTCTCGCAAGAATGCCAGCAATGAAGACTGCGCCATTCCGTTTGTCCCTGAGCCCGCTGATTTGTATTTCACGAAAGCATTTTAGTACCAGCCATCAGGTAATGACAAGGAGAGTATGGATCGTTCCTGCTGTGAGAACATGACAGGAGAGACTGCAGGATCATGCGTTGATCACGCACCAACGGATCTCCTTGATCTTGATTGGAAAGACATTGGACAAAGAAGCCAAAAACACGCCAATGATGCGGATACATCAACACGCAATGTTGACTTATTCGATGACATATTTGTTGAGAAAAATCCAGCTGCACAACCAGAAAACGCTGTTGAAGAGCAAACACAAACACACGCAAGCTTCAAGGCATTTGAGAAAGGAGGTTTGACACTGACAATGGCACTATCTCAAGATCAGCTTAGCCCAGAAAAGATGGAGATCACGTGCAATTTTTTAAACCACACAATTACAGATTTTAATCACTTCGTGTTCCAAGCGGCGGTACCAAAATATGTTTTTATGGAACTGAAACCTCCCTCAGCCACGACCATCCCTGCAAACAGCAACTGGATTGTAACCCAAGTAATTAAGGTATTTTTCTTGGATTTGATTAAGAAAGTAATGGTCAATCCATAGGTAAACAACACGGTGTCATCCAAGCCACTTATGATGCGAGTCAAGATCCAGTACATGGTACATTCCGAGTTGATATAGCTCGACGAAATTTTTAGTCAATCAAATTAGGTTGGTAATCGTCAGATTATCGAGGAGGCACAAATTTCTTCATTTCCCTTGCAGTGAATACATATGCACGCTGATGCACGCTGCGGCGAGTGGTTCCCCTGGAACATTGGTAAGTAAAGTTGTCAAGGTTACCACGCGGCTGTTATAGCTTCCCAAAAAACAAATTGTGTTTAGCCTAGCAGACCTTCCCCTCAACTCGCAGTCCCTTGACACCCTTCAGCGGGTGGGGGCTAAGCTACATTAAGCTCGCCGAGCTCAAGCTCGCTGACAAAGACCAAGAAGCTGGCTTAAGACTATCAAAAAGGGATGCCTACTGCTTTTCCCCAAGTCACCCGCCCGGGACTAAGGTACTATCTAGCCAATCGGTATCAAGCGCCGCGGAATCTGATGATTCGGTCCGGAGCCCGCGAACTCGTACTACTAGTACCTACTAGTAGTGGCCAATTGCAGAAGGGGGCGAACACCCACTGGCAACCCCAAATTTGCCGTATCTCTATAACTGAACGTCCCGGCCGCGCGCAAATTAAGAATAGGGGGCATACTTACCCTTACCCTTATAAGGACGTGACCACAGCGAGTGACCGAGACGATTAGGTTTGAAAATTTTAGTGGCCTGCGAAGGTCGCGCCAGTGGCGTTCAAGTTTCGTGCCGCGTCAGGCGACCTATCTGGCAGCCCATCGGCCCGGGAAGGGCCGGCACCCACCATAGGGATTCGCTCCATCGTTAGCCTGTACCCGCGGATTGGGTCGGGGGGACTCGTAGGGCCCTCTGTGCCCGGGGTACCCGGCCGCGTCGTGACCTTCACGGATTTCAAGACCTGGCCGAACTCGATGCCCAATACTACGCATCCGTCCCACCCACGCCAATGGTACTCAAGGGCCGCAGGGGGACCAAATTACCAGCATAGAAGCGAGTTTTGTTTTTCACTGGCACTCGCTGAAATACCGCAAGTTGACCATCAGGCCTCATCACCGCGAAGTTCACCGCGTCGCCGCGAAAGTGACCCCTCCCCCCAGCCCGGCCTCGGGATGTACAAAAGGACTCTTCGGGACCCCGCACAAGTGGCTGGGAACTTGAACTCGAAAATCAAATTTGGAGTCCACCAGAGACTGGCAGAGTCCGCCCCCTTAATTGCAGGGGCCTCTAAAGCAGTCCCCTTACTTTACCTCCATGCTTGTTCGGGCTGTAATGGAGAAGCGCGACGGTCACGGTCACGGACCCCGGGCCCTCAATCTTTCCAAAATTCCCTGCTGGGTTATTGCGGAAGCGCTGGACGTTTAACCTAGCTGAAAAGTAGGTCGGGTAGGAGGAAGTCAAAACGCAGCCGAGAATTCATCAGCAACTTATGGCATCTCTCAATCAAAAACACGCTGATCATGTTCCCATCTAGCTCGGTACGCAGGCTCGTTATCTGAAAAATACATTTGCCCAAAGCCATGTCGCTCGTCTGCGCGCCACTCTCCGATGTACTTGACGCCATTTGGCCACACATATTCGCCCTGTCCATCCATCATTCCAAAGTGGTAATCGCCGACATATTTCGACCCATCCGAGTAGTACATTATACCCTGCCCTTCCTTGACATTATTTGTGAAGGTTCCCTCGAACCTTGTCTCGTCGCGGTACACAAAGACACCGTAACCATGTTTAGCCCCCCATTTGTACTCGCCCTTATAATACCTAACCATTCAGTCCCCGTTCTCTCCGACTCTTAGGTATGGGGTAATTCACTCCGCACCGCACGATCCATCCGCAAAGAAATATTCACCGTAGCCATGACGCTGACTTTTGCAAAAGGAACCCTCGTACCTATCAACTATCAGATCTGATAATTCAAAAAAAAAGAATACGTGCCGGGAAGAATCCGCATGCCAGTAAGTGCCTTTGCCGTCCATATGTCCATCAGCAACTTCACCTGAACCCAATCGATCGATAGCACAAAACTTGTTTCGACCCACCTTCATAGCGGTCTGGCCGCAGGAACCAAGTGAGCGTCATCCACTTAGCCCCGCTTTCCGTTGTTGGATCGCTCGGCGCTCGCATCTCGTCGATACCGTGCTGATGCCGATCGAGATACAGATACTAGAATACCAGTACGCCGTTCATAGTACACCGTTCATAGGGAAACAAATACATTAGGCACAGAATCCCGAGCCTCGCCGGCGGCTGCAGATCAAGAGCGGCCCCATCACTTATCAACTCCAATGGCGTGTCGGTCTTTCTGAGCGTGGCTGTACTTTTTCAGCTCAAGACCACCCATTCCTCAAAGTTGGGCCGCCCATACCCGTTAATAGCGATTAAGCTTTAAGTTATGGTCGTATGACATCCTGGTTGGATACTGCTTCTCTCCTCGACCTCAATGTCTATGGAAGCGGGCGTCAAGGCTTCGATGAGAAGTCGCATCGACTACACGAGTCTTATCATGAACCAGTAATAGATCGCGAACACATTCGTCATTTTGGATACACACATTCGCGAACACAGCGGCGTGCTTGGGCTACACCCGAAAAATTTAAGGTACAGCATGATGAAAAGCGAGTGCAGGGCATACCGCTTGATTCTCTAGCATTACGCAATAATTCAATAGAAACTGCTGCTAGTTATGATGAGATGGCATATTCTGCCGCTCGCTTTTCAGGGAATGCCAGATGCAGATCTTTCAAGAAGCAAAACAAGGAGCCTGCATTTCACCAAAACGCAATAAGATATGCTGCGCTAGAGAGAACATGTTCAAACCGTGTCCCAGCACGCATGTGGGGTGCGGCGCTTCGACGAGAAGTGATCGGTGCATGGCTGACAGGTGAGGTGCATGTTGGATATGCCGCCGCGGACTTCGGAGTTGACGTTCGGGGCGGAGTTAGTGTCATTGATGTAATAGCAAATAAAGATGGGGGGCTCGAGGCCATTCACGTCGCTGTTGATCGTCTGCGTGCACGAAGAATTGTCACCGTAAAAGACTTTTGGCTGAAAAGTACAGAGAGCCTGATGGTATCGGCAATGGCAGCATGGCCTGAGGGTATTATTATCCACGGTACCTATGATGACTTTTTCCTCTCCGCTCACCTTGTGGAATCCAAGCTCCCAGCTCTTGTTGTGACAAAAACAGCTCAGGGGTTATCACACAGGGACCTCCCTGTCAGCGTGTGGGCCAACGTGTTCTCCTTTATCGACAAATTGCAGCCCGGTGCATCGGCATGTGTGGCTGCTGCGAGAGCTAGCGAATCAATCTGTGCACAAAGCATGCAAAGCTTTGCTGTGAGCCATTTTGTCAGCGATATCAGCTGCATTAAGAGAAACACGCGGGCCGTGTCGCTTTATACCCCATCAAAGGAGATATTGGGAGAGGGTGCATTCAAAAAAGTTTATAAAGTAGGCGATGAAGCTGTGGCCGTGATGAACATCACGGTATTATATAACGATGTTTGCGCAGCCAATGAAGTTACCCGGGAGCTCGCAATTTTATGTCATTTGACCAAACTTGTTGCAAGGAGAATATGCCCCAATTTTGTCACAATAATTGGTTCATTTGTGCAATGCTATCCGTCGGGAAGTTTGCACAGCCTTGAGAAGACTGGAAGGTCACCGGACACTCGGCTTTGTGTGCGCATGGGACTCTGCAGCTGTGGTGACATCGAGAGCTGGTTAAGGAGACAACCTGGCATGGTGCTACCTACCTGCACTACACTTCGGTTCTTTTTCCAAATGTGCTTCGCCTTATATGCCTCACGTGCAACATTGGGGCTCCGACATTATGACCTCAAACTACTCAATTTTCTTGTTGCACCGGTGGAAACCAATATATATGCACGCTATCACCTTGCCGATGCAAAATTCGATGTTCAATTGTACCAAGAGGCAGTTGATGCTTGGATAAAGCTTACTGATTTTGGGACCTCGCATATGGAAAAAGGAAGCCTTGGCAAGCCCGCCAAAGGTGCTATATTTACTACCATCGAGAATGTTCCCATTGATCTCCTTCTTAGTGGCGACATTCAGTGCACGCATACATATGCTCATGATACGTTCTCTCTTGGCCTCGCGACCCTCCATCTTTTTGGCGGTGGTGTTCCATACGAGGAACTGATGCATTACTGCACTTGCCCCGACGATCTCCGCGTAGACCTTGCCGCGGTTTGGTTAGAGAGCAGGGAAGTGTCATCATTTAATATCCTTGCAAATCTTGCTAGCGACCATGATACAGATCCCAAACTGACAAGGTATACTTTATTTGACACTTTTTACCGTTTTCTTGTTCTTCTTGGCGTCCCTACTAGCAACCATGATTCGATAAGCAAGCTTGGTCCTGCTGCAAATCGTGTTCTTGATATTGTCCGCACACATCTCATTGGTAGCAACAATAAGCCAGAGCACCCTGAGATATCAAGTGGCGAGCTCAAGGATGTACTTTTTCGTAGCCATATAAAGTCAAAGCAGCTTTTTGCCAAGCACACGGCAACATTTAACCTCAAACAGGGAGTACATCCTGCCATGGCTCGTTGTCGTAAGCAACTCGGCTCAAATATAGATATTTTGACGGCAATGCTCGACTTCGATCCCCGCCGGCGGCCGACGATGCGTTCGCTGCTCATGTCCCCAATATTTGACTCCCTAAGAGGCGGCGCCAGCAAATCTGCCGCTGGCGATTCCTTGCACTTGTTTGACGCATTCAAGCGAGACATATTTGAAAGGCCCTTGCCGGATGTCTAAGCGGGACCGCCATGGCAATGATCAATATTATATGGCTTCCTCCCAACGGCCCGCTCATACAGCAGAATGTCGGATACTTCTGGGGCTGGTGTGCTCAACCACTCGACTACACGGGGTTACAGACCTCCGTAGCGGCCCCAGACCCAAGCAAGGGGTTGTGTGCGAGGTCCCAAGTGGACGAACTACTGCCGGGGGCGGTTTTGGCCTTGGCCTTGCGTCGCGGCGGTCGCCAAGAGACAGTAATCAATCTGTTTTCTTATGATAAGGCCACATCCTGGCGCCTCGCACTCTGATTAGGGGTACCAGACATCGGGCGCTAGGCTGGCTGGTTTAGGTGTGCTAGAAAAATACCCCTATCCTTACCCTAGTAGTCCCTATTCCCTCCTAGACTATTAAGAACGCGTATGAGCACAACCTCTCTCCGTATTTTAGTACCACGGGGTCTGGCAACTAGGGAATCAGTGCAAAGCACTGCCGTGCTCCTAGGCACCTCACTGCCTAGTATTTTTAGCAGGTTATGGGCCCACGGCCGTTCAACTTTGCGTTGATACCCTGTTAGACTCCAACACTCTGAAACCCCTCCACCAGCTGGTTGACTCTTGCGGTACGGGAGTCGACGCTCTGCCTGAACTTGGCACCGTCTCCCTACTGGTTGATTGGTTTCGAAAACGACCTACACTACAGCAGATATACATCGCTGTAACTACAACTCCCCAACAACATGAGCACTGCTGGATCAGAAGTAGCTGGGTCAACCTCAACAGCTACATCTGAGCAACACAGACAAGCTCGTGAAACCCTAGGTTTATCAGACAAAAGAGAAAACTTCTCCGATCTGACATTCCTATCAAAATTCCGAACAAACCCAGTGGCAGCTCTATATGAAGTGAATGATCCAGAAAAAGATCCATTCTACACACAAATAGACTACCTGAAGTATCCAAAAGAAGCACCACTGCACACCCTAGCTACACAGTTAAAATACGACAAATCTAGAGCCTGAGGTGTCAACTACAATGTAGAGGTACTTGCATCAGCAATACAACACCCCTATGGGGAAGTATTGCTAAGATCACCTTCATACTGTGATTTCAGATTTTTCTATGAAACAAAATCTCAATCATCTTATTCTGACGCGCTATACAATGCCCTAAACGAGTTCGAAGAATTTGTCGCCATGCACTTAATTAAGCGGGTCAAAATGCTCTTGGACAAAAGCAAATCAAAAGCACTAATTGAACTGAGAGAAAAGTATAAAGAGATTGCATACAAAATTCTGGCTTTTATCAGAGTAGCACCAAACGAAATAAATCTCACTGAGCTCATAAGGGAAGCATTCCCCAATGACACTTCTGTACTTAAATGCAGTGTGATCACTCCTGATCACAAACAAAGCACACAAGCAGATGAGGAAAGAGCTGACGTATTTTCAAAGTACGATGGATGGGCTTTCTATGATGAACAACACATCTCGAACCCCCCAATAGACTACAGAAAATTCCAAGAACTTGCCAAACAAATGCTAGTATCTGTGGACCACTCAAGTGAGTCAGCACCAGAAGAGTCAAAGACCCCAAAACACATCTTCGACCTGAGATCTAAGGACAAATACAATGGCTTCCCCATCGCAAAAGAAGCTGATGTTATCCCCGTTTTGTATGTACTACTGTGCAACATAGACTACCTACCTGGGATAATCAAGTACCGTGACCTGAAAGAAAGCAGATCATTAAAAAGCTTCTGGGTGTCCAAAGAAAACCCCACAGGATTCTTAGCGAAACTAGAAAGAGCAGAAGGAATCTCATATGGTTTTGAATACACCAGATCTGATGAATACAGGTCTGCATTTGTTAACCTCTGTGAAGGGGTTTCTGCACACCATGCCAAACATTGTGTAAAATGGAGAATTATGGCATCTCGCACCCCCAAAGGTTGGTCAAAAACTGATCTTACAGCCTTTGCTGGCAACATCTTAGATCCAGCCTCATACTCAAAACTAGCCATGCTGCTCTCATATGAGATCCTCAAATACACTGATCTCGAACAAGTATGGTCTGAGACACCAGCTTTATCCTGTCGAGATGATCTCATTCAAATAGCAGAGAACCCAATGATCCCCAATAAGGCATGGGCCATGATTCAGGTCATGAAGGCATTCCTTGAGTTTCCCAAGGATAGGATAGTTCGACAAGCCGAGAAAATTTTTGACAGTATAACATACATAAAAACAATCTGGGCCGATGAATTCCTCAATGCCCTCAAGCACTATCAAACCCAAGCTAAAAAGTGGGACCACATCATTACTGATGCCACTATCTTCAAAAAGTTCACAACGCAATTTATTGAAGAACACATTGATCATAATGGTAAGGATCCCTACGCCCAGCTACTTCATGATCTTGCCAAGACATGGAGGAACAAGCAACAAGGCATTGACAGACCAGGTACAGACCATGAAATGGAACAAGCATGGAACTCCCCAAGCTCAATGCTCCGATATCTAACAGCAGCTAAAGTCAGATTTGCAGCTGCAGGACATAAGAGACTGCAAGCTCCTAAAGAATGGTTCCACACTGGTTTTGCTACTGACAAACAAATCAATCAAGAGATTAACTATCAAGCAAACATTCCTGATGAGGTACTTCTTGTACAAACACAACGACAAAGAAGACATAACAGAGAACTTGCTACAAAATCTCAAGCACATGAGAAAGCTAGATCTTACTACTATGGAACAATGAAGAAACATCTGCAAGTAAACCCAGTGAATCCAAAGGTCACATTCAAAGAACATAGTAGTCCCTATTCCCTCCTAGACTATTAAGAACGCGTATGAGCACAACCTCTCTCCGTATTTTAGTACCACGGGGTCTGGCAACTAGGGAATCAGTGCAAAGCACTGCCGTGCTCCTAGGCACCTCACTGCCTAGTATTTTTAGCAAGGTGAGGTCCCCGGTCCTGCGATAAATAGGGCGAAATAGCCCCCCCTATCCTATACCCTTCCTATACACTTTCATCACCCTTCAACACGCAACGCGTAATAAACACAGTTAAACCAAAACTACTTAGTGTATTTAAGGTAGCTCCGCGGCAGACTATCTCAGCCGCCGTACTCCCAAAGGTGCGTACTCCTTTGGTCTTGCATTATTCGCAGGTTATGGGCCCACGGTCCTAAGAGATACTCCGCCGTATTACCTTTTGAAATCATCCTATACATTCGCGAGTGTCCACACTACACTCGTTGGGAGAGAAAGCCCAGCCGTTTGTTAGCATTTTAATAAAATGAGCAGCCCCCAAGCAAGCACAGTTGTTGGCTCCGATGACGAAGAGCCAGCACAAGTCCCCTCCCAACAAGGGACTCAATATGACGACAGGAAGTTCGTCAAAGAATTATTAGAAGCATGCTCTAATAAACAGAAGAAGTATAACTTCGAAGACTACGTCGTTGAAAAAGGACGAGGTCTGGAAGATGTACACCCGAAAACACGACAAAAGTGTTACGTCAACAGGGACTCGGAAGACTCGGAAGTCCTACAAGGATGGGTAGGCAAATCAAGGTATCGTGGCAGAAGAACTGCCACGCATAACTTGTTGGTCTTTGAAAGCATGCTGAGAGGTCATCACGCAATAGCAGCAGACTCCGAGTCGGTCCGGCCCGGGCCCGGCGGGGAAGGGGACTGCTCGGATGGGGGGGGAGGGTCGGGGTGGGGCCCACAGATTACACGTATTCCCTTCCTATGTAGCCCTCCGGACGGCCTTGGACATCGAAACGGACCCCTGGTAAGCACTTTAATACCCAACATCTTATTTGTTTATGTATGCCATACGTTTTTAAATCAGTTATCAGCGGATACCGCTTGTGAAAATGGCTACGCAAACAACCGCCACTTATGCTGCAATCAAAGAGGGGCGATACGAGGACGCTGTAGGACACCTTGCTTTGCAACGTCAAGCGTTCCCTCGCTCCCGGGCAGCACTGTCTCTGTTGGGATTCTGCTACTACCACCAGCAGGACTTCCGATCTGCCGCACAGACCTACGAGGAACTTGTAATGATTTGTCCCAATATCGAAGAGTACGTTCATTCGCAGTCCACGAAGCGTAAACAGATTTTAGGTACAAGCTCTATTATGCACAAGCACTGTACAAGGCGGGACTATATGCTGATGCAATTCGAGCAGCTCTTCGAGTTGATGGTCCTCAATTCGCACAGCAGATGATATCACTTCAGGCAGCTATCAAGTACGAGCAAGACGAATTGAGTGGGTGCAAGTCCTTACTTGATCGATGTCTCACAGATGATCCAGAAACCATTATAAATTATGCAGCTGTCGCTTTCAAGGAAGGCCATTACGAGAGTGCACGCGCAAAGTACGTCGAGGCCATGAATACTCTAGGCTACCAAGCTGATTTTGCATGCAATGTGGCCTTATGCTACTACAAGCAGAAGCAATACGCCGCTGCACTAAAAAGCTTGGCAGAGATTATTGAACGTGGTGTGCGCGAGCATCCGGAATTGAGCGTCGGAAGCAATACCGACGGAATTGATGTGCGGAGTGTAGGAAATAGTTCAGTGTTACAAGAGACTTGCCTAGTGGAGGCATTCAATCTCAAGGCAGCTATTGAATTTCAAGAAGGTAACTTAGATGCAGCCAAAGAAGCGTTGAGTGACATGCCACCGCGTCAGGAGGAGGAGCTAGATGCAGTCACACTGCACAATCAGGCACTTTTGCACATGGACGAAGATCCATCCACTGGGTTCCGGAAGTTAAACTTCCTTTTGTCAAATCCTCCTTTCCCGCCCGAGACGTTCGGAAATTTGCTGCTTTTGCACTGTAAGTTTGGATATTACGACTTGGCCGCTGACATTCTTGCTGAGAATACCCACCTCACCTATAAATTCTTACCCAGTGAGCTCTTTGACTATCTGGATGCATCAATAATGGTGCAAACATCCCCTGAAGAGGCTTATCGTAAGTATGACGACCTCACCAATAAACATATAGACCAGCTGCGCAAGTTGACCAAAGCCATCCAGGATGCACGAATTTCTCGTGACAACGAGGCGATCAAGCAATCACTAAAGCTCTATGATGAAGCTCTTGAACGGTATATTCCCGTCCTCATGGCCATGGCTCGTGTCTACTGGGACAAAGAGAACTACCCTATGGTTGAGCGCCTCTTTCGCCAGAGTGCAGAGTTCTGTTCGGAGCACGAAGTGTGGAAGCTCAATGTCGCGCATGTATTTTTTATGCAGGAATCTAAGTTTAAAGAGGCGATCCGTTACTATGATCCAAGCGTAAAAAGAAAGTCCGAGGACATCCTAGATGTTCCTGCTATAGTGCTCGCCAATCTATGTGTCTCGTACATTATGACGTCTCAAAACGAGGAAGCTGAAGAACTAATGCGAAAGATTGAAAAGGAAGAAGAACGTCTCGCCTACACCGAACCAGAACGGCTTTGTTACCATCTTTGCATCGTCAACCTTGTTATCGGTACTCTCTACTGCGCCAAAGGAAATTTTGAATTTGGTATTTCTCGGATTATAAAGTCGCTCGAACCATACGACAAAAAGCTTGGACCTGATACTTGGTACTACTCTAAGCGTTGCTTCCTTGCACTAGCAGAAAATATGGCCAAGCACATGCTCATGTTGAAGGACACGTCTGTTCATGAAATTATCAGCTTTTTAGAGGCATGCGACTCGCACGGAACTAATATTACAACTGTTATCACACCAGCCGTGGATCCGGACGGCAAGCGCCCTGCAGTAGCAACGCACAACGTTTCATACGAAGCCCGGCAGCTTAAAAAAATCTTTCTCAAGCTCAGAGATTAGTGATTACAACTAGGCCAGCATAGCATTGAACGTATACTTGCATGAAGCGCCCACCACGCTCCAATTGGGTCCCCGAGGTTTGTGCCGTGTGTGTATGAGCCGACTGCGGAGCTGCGTGATCGCAACTTCTGGCGTATGAATCGGCCTATGATTGTGTATATCTTGCCGTTATGCGGAGTCACGCCTCATGTCATCATCGGGTGGCGTGTGGGTCTTGGCATTGATAACTAGCCGGCGCTTAAAAAGGGACATGTGTGGTATACTTCTAGTAGAAGCGTCTTAAAATAGAACTTCCATCATGATTTTGAAAGCACATGCACCGGGCCCGGGGTCGCTGCCAGGTCTCCTAGAGTACTCCGGCATTTAGGGACCTGTCGGAGCACCATTTGCCATGATTCGGAGCTCAGGCTCACCAGTTGGCACTGGCAGTTGGCCCAAGGTTTTAATTCCGGCCCAGCCTGCGGTTCTTAGCTAAGCTAGTGAGGTCCAACAGCGGAAGTTGGCCTTATTTCCCTGTTCAACTTGAGTTCTAGTAGCTCATTAATAGTGCCAGTGGACTCGGAAGTGGAGCGGGCAGTGCCAGTGGATCGACCCCGTAACGCAGCGTCCAAAATCCATTTTGCTTTTTCGATTCTGCAAAAATGATTTCGATCTGCAAAAATGACCCTACATCTGGCAGACGCCGGAAGACCTCATTCCTCTCGAATTGCTCACTCTCTGCCCCTGCATCCCTAGTCTGCTGGTCACGGAAAAATGGATGCTCAAGCCGCCAAAAAGGAGGGTAACAGACTCTTCACATCTGGGAATCACAAAGATGCTATCATCAAATACACGGAGGCGATTGACCTCGATCCGACGGACGTGACCTTTTTCAGCAATCGCTCAGCGGCGTGCGGCACTGTGTCCAGAGCATGCTCGCACAATGTTAATTCAAAATAGCATAATACCATAGGTATGCGGCCTTAGAGATGTGGGATGAGGCAGCTGAAGACGGTATCATTCACTACTATTTTCCTTTAAACGCTGTCTACTTAGGTCGGCTGTGCATCAAAGTCAACAAGAAATTTATCAAAGGATATTTCCGGTTGGCTATTGCATTGCGTGCATTGAACAAATACAAAGATGCTATTGATAACATCAAGATGGGACTTGCAGTAGACCCTGGTAATGCTGACTTGAAAAAACAGGCGTCCGAGATGGAGGAGTTAATGCGCAAGGATCGCGTGATGGTCCTGATCAGCAAGGCCAAGGAGCAGATGCAATCTGGACATCTAAAAGACTGCCTTGCGACGTGCGATCGTGCTCTTGCCCTCGATGCCGGAAACAGTGAGATAGTGAAAATAAAGCGTAGCGTCGAACCTAAGTTTGAGGCTGCTGAAAAGCGCCGTGTCATGTCATTGCCCAAGCCAGCACGTGACAAAGAAGCAGGTGACAAGTGTTACAAACTAGCCGATTTTGAAGGTGCTATTGAAGCATACACCAGATGCATCGATGCTACTGCTGACAAGAGCTCAGAACTCTGTATCAAGGCTTATTCAAATCGTTCTGCCTGTCACAAGCAGCTTTCCAACTTTGATGGTACCATAGCAGACTGTACTGCGGTCTTGGATACAGACATTAATAATGTGAAGTCGCTTGTCCGCCGCGCCCAGGCCTTTGAGGCAGTTGAGCGCTACAAATCTGCTCTACAAGACGTAAAATACGTCCTCAGTATGCCCCAGTCTAGCGTAGGACAGGCAAACTGGTCTTATGGCATGCGGCGTCGATTGAAGAAGGAATTCCCATGCATGATACGCTATTTTCAGGTCCCTTTGCAATATGATGAAAGAAAGGCTCACCAGAGTCGTTCAGCAACTCAAGGCTGGGCTTTGAGGTACACACAAAAGCACTTGCATTCTAAGGACGTGAGCACTTGCATTTGGCAATCCAGCGTCGACAGAGCCCTAGCAGCGCACCGATGACTAGGGTCCGAGTAACGCCGGGTAATTCTCTCTTCTAAGATTTGGACGCATCCTCCATGAGTCCTTATTAAGATAAATTACCCCGGGCCTTCCCCGGGCCTGCGAATCATGATGATCTTAATAGGAGCTTGTTCCTATTTTTTAGGTCTACCTTCCTTAATTAATTTATTTATTTAATACTGCGTGGAGACTTCAAGTTCGAGATTTATAGGGGGGTCAAGCGCAATAGTCGACGTTGATTTCAAGTTTCAAGTTCAAGTTAATTTTGGCGCAATGCGCGTACAGCCACGCGCCGGCCGAATGGCGGGAAATTTTTGCTGAGGCGCAGGTTCCGTATGCTAAAATAATGGGATGTGCAAAGTTAGGTACCATGCGGACAGCCTCGCGCTGAGAAAGCAGCTCCGACGCGGTGCGGTGGTCCGAGATAAAACCCGCCCGGGCCCCAAACCAACATCGCCCCTGAGACGTATAAATTGAACCATAATTACGAAAAATTACTTCCCCATGTTCCCGGGGATTGGCTAGGTCGAACGGATGAAGGGGGGCGTGGTTTGAAGGGGGGCTAGGGTAAGACCTTTGCGGCGAGCTAAAGCAAGCTCGCAATTTGAGATCAATAGTGGGTGATTTGAACTATTCGACCACCCAGCTGCAGCTTACGCCTGCCCTTTTCTGCGCACTATGCCGTACCGCTCAGCCCGCGCACATGAGTGATGCATCGACAGACGCGCTCATGTCCAACACAAACGCCGATATTTAGCATAGCATATTTGGGCAGCGTAGGGTCGACATTGCAGCGCCATCATATAGTGTATGCTGGCGGCGGCGGGTCGAGCAGAACAGGTGTAGGCAATGCGATTGTAGCAGCAGAAGTCGGCGAAACTGGCCTAGTTGAGCTATGCAGGTTAGACACCGGTGCAGAGTTGTGCTCTTTGATCTGCATCGGACCAAAAAGAAAGTTGCTCCCAAGTGTATTTGGTAACAGATTTAGAATCTGCAAATTGTCTGGTTTTGGGAGTAGCTTGCAAGGTCAGAGGCACATCGCTGTTGCATCGGATGACTATGTATCTGACTTTAAGAAGGAAGGTCCTTCGATCAATTGCTGCGCTGTAGACGACTCGAGAGATGTTCTGGCAGTCGGGGGCGATGACGGCAAGCTACGTATTTGGGCCGTGTCCAATGATGAAGGCAGATTTAGATGCACGCTGGTGAACGCTCTCTCCCCTGGACACACCTCATCAATAACAGACTGTTCCTTCTCTGAGAGCAGACATTTGCTGGCAACTGCTTCCAAGGATGGCACATGTCTTGTACATAGCCTGAGTACTGGCGCCACCATATGTAAGGTATCCACGAGTTGTGCCATGCCGTTATCTCAGGCTAATAACTATCGCGAAAAGACACCATCGGCCAAGCTACTCGTGCGAGCATGCAAATTTGTTGGTGACAATGGCATAATCAGCGTACAGTCTAGGTCTCGTGGAGATGCATATGCAACAAAATGGAGCCTGGTAGCTTCAGATGATCAAGATGGTACCCTCGACGTTGGCCTTGTTGCCACTAGACGTATATCCAGGCATCCTGTCTCAGCTGTTTGCCTTGAAGGAGAATTAATTGTGCATGGGAATGTGGAGGGAATGGTGGGTATTGCCAGCACGACAGACCTTTCATCTTTAGGCAGGCATCTACAAGCCCACGAGCTCCCTGTGACCGCATTAGCCATTACCCCAGACATGTCCAGCACACCGCCACGCGTGCTGTCTGTCTCTGCAGACTACAAACTTGTCACAACATATCTGACTTCCACAACTAGGGTGACCATGGCGCGTTTTTCTGTTCTATTTGCCTTAATTGTCTTTTTGCTGCGAAACCTTCTGTACACATGCGCTGTTCGCTATGGGTTATGGTGCGAGTGAGTGAGAGGATATACTCGATGCCGTTCCATTAATGCAAGTGGGACCTAGGTCCTCGAGAGTTGGCCACACACACGCGCTATCGTCGACTCCGAGTCGCTTTGTTTTAGCCGTAGTCATGGTAGCCTGAGTATTCACTTATTTACTGATATATCCGCAACGACAAACTTGGACTACTAGTAGCACTCCTAGTGGCCACTAGAAGTGGCCACTACTACTGGTCTGCCGTGACTAGTACGGGGCCTGTGAGACCTCCGACTTCCCTGCGCCGCGTCCGTTCGCAGAAAGACCGCACCGAGTCCGTACCTTGACCGCGAGACGGGTACACCACGTGCCCCACCGGCTCCCTGGCCGGGCTGTCAGGTCCACGGCCGTTCGGTCCCGCCCGCGACCTGACCGCGAAATAGCGTCCGCCGCTCGCGACCGGCCCACCGCCCGCTGTCTGCGATCGCAGATTCAATTTCAACTGCGACTGCTGCGTCCGCCCCACATCCTATCCCAGTCGGCCACGAGTTTTAACCTTGACCACGGGGCCCTGTCCGCGGCGGTCTGCCGCGCCCACGGCCGTCTGCCGCGCCCGCGGCCTTGACGGGCGGTCCGGGAGAACTCAATTACTAGCCTGAGCCCGAAGAACTCAATTACATTGGTAGCAAGCACACGGCAGTGTAATTCATTCTGCCTTTTCATCACTGTCCCTATCGCTCGTCAACCTGCTGAATTCATTCAAGCAAGCTCCTTCAAAATCGTTGAGTTCAGAAATTCGACATCTGCTCCTTAAATGTTCCTCATCACGATAATACCGTAGAGTTCCTTTAAACAATAATCCTTCGTTATGTTTTGCTTCGTCCTCCCGACGATATAACTTTCCTACGTGAATGTCATGGGAGCCAGTGATTGCATTCATGCACGAATCTCTGTCTGTCAGTAAGGAGCTTATCTCAGATGGCAAGTCATCTGGTAACTTGTCCTTGGCTGCTTGGTCCAAAAGCTCACCAACCAAAAGCGAGAGCATACGAATGAAATTGGTTTCGTGATCTTCGAGGCGTCTAAAGTAAGCTTGTTGACCCTCCAGACAAGACTGTTTGACCTCAAAATATTTTGTTTCGAACTCGCCTATTAGTTCTTCGCATTGTTCAACTTGCCTCATTTCAAGGTCCTTTAACAAACTAATCAATTTCCTGAGAGCTACCCGGAGTGGGTCAAGATCATATGATTCAATATTCTGCTTAAGAGCCAGACTCTTTAGAGTTTTCTTTTTAATACGTCCAAACTTTGTCACCAGATCAATAGACTCGTTGGCATATTTCGCTCGTAACTGACGCAGTGCGAATTCGAATTGCTTTTCTTCTCTTTTCTTTAGTTGATATCTTGCCAACCCTTCCCGTTGAAACACATCCGAGGCGGATTCTACTTCGCTTTGAAACGAATTCATAATACTGCTTACCCCGGGAAAATGCTTCAATTTTAAGATCTCGATATCATCAGCAAACATATCATCAAATATAATCTGCACTACGGTCAGATTAGCATCCGCCAGCTTTTGTGTATGCCTGATAGCGGCGAGTTCGCTGCTGTTTTTTTCTTCTTGGAGATTTTCCTTCTCTTCCACATCCAGAAGCTCGTCCTGATATTGTTCTCGTGCCGTTACAACCTCCGCTCTAGTCACCATGGAGTAATCAAGATATGCGAGCTCACTGAAATAAGCCAGTATGCACATGCGATACGAGGACTCTTTTGATACAGGATTGCCTTCCAAGTTAAGTAGCCTTAAGTTTTGAAAGCATCTCAATTCAACAATATCTTTAAGAGCGGAGATGTTGTTGTTGCCCAGAGATAAGCAGTGCAGGTTTTTACACCGACCGAGACCGTTGACCTCAGATATCATGTTATTGAATAATGATAGATCTGTTAGCTTCTCCAGCCTGTCCAAGCCTGTCACTTTTGAGATGCGATTAAATGAAAGATCAAGCCAGGTCAAGTTCACCAAATGATCTAAATTTTTCATGCACTTAATGATGTTATTATCTAAGCACAAAGTCCTTAGAGCGTGGAAACCTTGCAAATTATCGATTTCTAGTACGTTCTTAAACGATAGTCGTAACTCGGTTGCCTTCGCCGCTATATCAGCAAGAGTGTCACCGTTAATCCCCGAGCCATCTGACGTTACTAGTTGTGTGCCCTCTTGGAGGGCTGATGAAATTAAGTCTTGATCAATAACTTGGATCATGTAGTCGTTTTGCACTTACGCCGTTACAGACGCATATATCTATGAAGTCACTTGTACATGATATACTGCGGTAACCCAGCCTACGAGCCTGTACTACTATAGGGCCCGGCCGCCCCCACGACCCCGGCTAACAATTCAAGTTGCCGCAACTTGGTTTCTCAGGCAACTCGCGCCCGAGCCGGGACTCCGAGTCACTGGCGGCCCGGGGCTACTAGTCAGGCCCGGGCCGCGGCCGCTAGCCGCCTCAGGCTCAGGCTACTGAGGCCCATGATAGGCTCAGGCTCTGGCTCAGGCCCAACCTGAGGCTGCCGCTGCGCCGGCGCCCGGACCAGGCCAATCGACTCGGACTACTTAGGCTACTATCACGATGACTGTGAATGGCCTGCACTGGGCTTGCCAGTGAGGATTGTGGCCGCGGCTATGATGATGTACTACCCCGGGCCTGAGTCACGGTGCCGCGGGCAGTGATGATCCGCCCAGGGTTGGCCGGACCGCTGGGTATGTGGTTCACTCTAGGCTCTACGCCCACTGGCAAACTCAGAGTCTAGGACCTCAGGGCCTGCGCACCGCACCTGTCGAGTACAGACCACGACTCCTCCGCGCCGAGAAATTAGGGTAAACCCGAATTTACGGCGCAAAGGTACCTAGACGTGTTAGCGGCTCGGGAGGCGTGGTCTAAACGCGACAGGCACCGCACCTGGGCCTGAAGCCTGGTGCATAAAGACCCCGACCCTCATTTACTTCGTCAAAGGGGCATAACCCTCTTTCCTACGTCGCTCGGGACGCTGCCCCTTTTTTCTTCAAAAATACGCGTCGTTATTTCGATAGCGGGGATGGACTCCGGGGTGAGAAGGGTTTTCAATCTCGTCTTCCCGCGGATGGACTCCGGGGCTCAATCGCCAGTGATTTATCTTTAGCCTTAGTTTACTCTGCAGCCAAATTTGCTCATCCGGGCTCCGGGGGAGAAGGCGTCTAAAACCCGTGAAACTCGATAAACGCGAACTTTTTTTCGCCTCGTGCGAAGCCAAAATGCGCCCGTGGGCAGCCCAAGGGGTCAACCGAGGCGGTACCGTGACGCCACAAAAGAGCGCGGCAGCACCACATTTCGCGAGTGGCCATTTCGCTCTTGAGCCCACCACAATCGATGCGCTCTCCGACGCGATGCGGGCACCGCCCAGCTCAAATAAAGGTGGGTTCACCTGGGGCACCGCGGACAACTTCAAGCGCCCGAAAAGCTGGAAATCGTCGGCTCCGCGGCGGCCGCATCGAAGTCGACGCAGGATGAACTGAGAGCTTCGAGGGGGCTCCTGCGAGAAGCCACGGGCCCGGGGACCGGCGCGGGGTCATAATCGATGATTCCCGACACTGCGGCCCGAACGGCGGCAATAAGCGGCAAGTCGCACCTGTAACGGCCCACTTCCTGCAACGCACGCTTCTCCAAACTCCGCGCAGGGATACATAAGGGCCTGAAGCCTCTTGTTCTCGAGTTGCGCCCTAAATCCATCGAGTGTGCGGCAGCACTAGCTATAGACCCGATTTAGGGGGCAGCGCCTTCATCACACCAGAGGGCCTCATCACCACAACTAGCCATCCCGGTAGGTAGCCTTGCCTCCAGACTCGCTCAGCTCGGGTCCTGGTTTCGCGCTCTCCTTTAGCTTGAGTGCCGGACCGCTTTGCCCTGCCATCGTGTTTGTGGGCGCGTGAGCGCGACGAGGCATGAAAAAATTTGAATTAAAATTCATCCGTGCTCCAGAGCCCTGTGCTACGATAGCTTGACGGTTTTGGGGTCTATTCCCGCAGGCCTGGTATATGTTTGGCTGAGAAATCTCCTGAGAATGGTGGCTTGACGCATCGCAATGGCCAGGGCGACCCCCCCGGGAGGACGCTGCTGGGATGCCGACTTTTCGTTCGAACCCGACCAACTGACAAACAATTTCTTGATTGAGTCAAGCCAATTAATACACGGCGGTTCGGGTAGTTCGGGGAGCCCAGCGGGAAACGAAGACTGGGATGCAGAACTTGCGCTATGTAATACCCTGTCTGCAATCTCCACTGAAGAACCAAAATCTGCGCTACCTGGTACAGCCCTACCAAACACCCATGAGCATTCATGCACGTCGCCTCGAGTTGACTCGCTCCTCGAGTACCTTGATGAACATATTTTTGCGGATGCAACCATCTTCAAAGATAAGCAAGACACTCAGTACATGCCCCAACAACCGACACTGTTTTCAGCCTATCTTTCCTACCGGCGACAACGTACCGCTGATTACAGAACCTGTTGTCGTAACCTCAACAGATGTATTAGCACAATTTTGAGATCATCACAACTGCAAAATATTGTCTCCGAACCTAAATCAAATAACAAGGTTGCTTGTGCTCCACTTGCAGAAATGGCGGCAATCTCCTCGTATCCAAGAGCTCCAGAGTCAGCTCCATGTACCATCACTTGGCTGCGAAACCTTTGCCTTAAAGTTTCTTACACGTCGGCGGTTGTGGCACGACCCTCACCACTAAAAGTCACAGAAACAATAGAGCGAGAGCGTTCACCAAGTCAAGAAACTGCACTGGAACAGGCATTGCGCGCAGCAGAAATGTCATACTGCAACGAGAATTGGCGTGACTGTGGGGCACAAATAAAGGCTCTTCTCCATCGTCTGGAACATGCAACAATGGCTAAACCAGCCACACTTCGGATATTAACTTTTGGTGATGGTCTTAATAGACCTACAACGTTGGATGATGACTTGCGTTGCCGCCAGTGTTGTGCACGCCTCTGTCGTCTAGTCTGCCGTTTTGTTCAACGCTTTGACGAGTTGTGTGCCGCAAAAATCATCAAATCAACTCGTCATGAGATTCCGCTTTTGTTAGACATTCTCTCTCTCGACGCCAGTGATCTTGCTGCTTTTCGCCGCGGCACTTCAGCGCTGGTGTATGATATAGTCGACATTGTGCTTAGAGCTAGAAGCAGGCTAACAGTCGACGAGGCAATTGCACACCTAGCACTCGTAGGCAGCACAGTGTCCGGCTTTTATCTGAAGCAGTCGATCTGTCGCAAGTATAGGTCCATGTACGTCCAGTGCGTCGATTTATCTGCAAATGGACCAGACGTGAAACAACAAAGCCCCAACAGTTTCGCACTGGCTGCTGGTGCTCTGCACTTCCACCGCTATCTTGGTCTGGCATAGCATCAGCTTTTGGCATGGCAAACACGCTTCGTAGGAAACTTCTCTTTGTTGCTGCTGAGGAGCTGGAGGCCCTTGCCCTATCAGATTTGCGAATGGAGGCCATCGGCTTTTCGCCATTAACCGGAGAAAATTTGATGCTGGACGAAACAGAGTTTGATTTTGTCTCTGTACGTCGTAGCCTGGAAGTGGAATTCTGCGATACAACTTGCGATAATAGTTCTGTTGGGTGCGGGGGTGAATTGTCCTCGCCGACCTCTCGACTTGTTGAAGGACGACTGGCTTCTCTTGTGTCGGCACTGCCCCCGGCAAGCTTGCCGCGGGCTAAGGCTTCCCTTGCTCTTGGCCTCAGCTATCTCAAAGGTGTTTATGGTTCTCGTAATGCCGTTTCATCCATGGGTGTTTGCAAACAAATCAGGCGCGGTCATAGGAGTCCCCATGCAGCGACGCAGGAAATTCGGATTGCTGAAATGTTGCTGTTCGAGGCAACGTGTGTTTTAGACCAACACACAACCACAGAGCCAGCCTAGAGCCAGAGCAAATGTATTTTAAAAACCCATGCACTCAATTTATATCTAGGTCGATCTCCCGTCTCATGCACTTCAATTTGATGTTAATCTATCAAGGGTTCATGCAAGTCCACTAGCTTATTCTACTCTATCATGTTCGCTGGGGTATACAGCACTCAGAGCTCTTGCACGAGCACTTGACCGACGAGCAAAATATGCATACACACTTCTAGTCCTTGACATTTGCGTGGCAATTTTAGCACTCCGCAATGACATGAATGAAAGAAGAAAGTTGCGACGTGAATTATGCGTCATAGCTGCCCGTCAAAGTGATGATAGGACTGGCTCAACGCACTGCAAACTTGTCCTTGCGGACCTGTACCAGCACTTCGAGTGTGAGCAAGATAATAAAAATACATTTCCTATAGCAGATTGGGGAACAAATCACCATGCCATGGATTCAATTGTGACGCAAGATATCCACGAGTTCCAATTTACGACCGAACTGCTGGTAAAGCAGCACGTTAACGCATGTGACGTTCGACTTGTGAACAACGCTTTGTTGGAGATTGACACTACTCTTTCCAAACGCCATCGGCTATGTACAACACATATAACACACACTACATCACAGGAATTTGAAATTGCAATACAGCATGCTGCATCATTTGCTACTCATCTCCTAGCCAAACAGTGTGACCCCGTTTCTGCGTCGCACTGCCTAAGGCAGGTGTTAACTACAAGGCCAGCATCAAGTCGCCGCCGCATTGCCAGTTTATCGCACTATACTGAAACTGAAGTTCTTTGTGGAAAGGCTGTGAGTGCGCACACTGCCCTCCGGCGAATTCAACGCCTTCGCCAACGTCTACCTGGCTTGGCAAGCCCCACGATAACTCACCAACCAAACTTCTTGTGGGAGATGCCCATTAAGGGGAGGGGTGTCTCTTCTTGTGAAGAAGGTGTCGACCTTGGTAAATTATTTGCACAGGTAGCGTTGTTAGGCGGACAACCTAAGATGGCATGGAGGTCACTTGGCCCCACGGTTGCTGCTGTTGAGTCTGTAGTTTCTCGTGTTGGATCCGTGCAAGGGCTGTATGAACTTGGCGCACTCTATGAGCTTCAGGGTCAGGCGCAGGTTGCCATAAAAATTGAGGCGACACAAGCACTTTCATGCGTTGATGGTTCTTGTGGCGCTGTACTCCACCGACACCAACCAAACATCGTCAATGCATCTACTAGAAGGAAAATAAATTTAAACGTGACCAATGAAGTGTCACTCTGTTCCCGGTCTCACAATTTTTGTGATCCGGTCGGTGCCCCACGTTGGTACCGACAAGCACTCGAATGCTTTAAGGCAATCGACGACTATTTTGGTGTCGCACATGCCGCTGCAGCTTTTGCCTCAGCTAGCCTTGGTGTAGTGTTTGCAGAAACTACCATGCAACAAAAGGGACAACAAGGGAGTGCTGATGAAATTGATGTAGCAGCACACCATGCACTGGAACTTGCCGCAGTGATAAGTGAACCTCTTCTTCTTCTCGATGCTTACCTCAACGTTGCAGAGTTGCGATACATTCAAGATGATCCTTTAAGTGCCATCGCCCACTGGTGGGAGGCACGGGAAATACTGTTGCGACTCTTCGTTGATGGTTTGTTCGTCCCTTTGGTTCCTATTGCAGCTTCCACTGTCCTTGCAAATCTGCGACTGATATTTGAGCGCTTGCTCCGTCTTCTTGCTGCGGTTGCAGATAGAGCAATGATAGATGAAAATCTCATGCTTTTTGACATCTTTGTTATCTTTGAGCGTGATGTGCGTCGCAGATTGACCTGGCCTCTTGTCACTTACCATAATGCCAGTAGCCAACATAGAAACCATAAACACCATGTGCTTGACTCCCTTGCTTGTTGGAGGTGTCTTGTGAGAATGCATGCAAACGTGAGCCACCATCGCCTAGGCAACCTCAACCTCTACGAATTACAAGGCAGAAACCGTGGTGCTCTTCGTGAGTTCGCTGCTGGGATGCGTCGTCTACGCCGTTGGTCTGCAGATTGCACAATCGCGAAATTTTGTTGTGCACCAGCTGCGTACGCGATCCACGCTGCCAATTCTTTAATTGTCTATGCCCCGCATCTTGGTTGGCGCCACATGATCACCTTTGGTCAATTTAATCAAGGTCTCGACGCGGTTTCTGCCTCTCTTGTCGGCGCATTTGCAGGTACACGGCGTGTGAAGGTGAGGATGAATAGAGTTGAACATCGGAGGTGTATCATCAAGCGCATCGCTCATATGATTGCGCTTCCGCACAATTTTTTTTCAGCTTTGACTACTTTTGAGGATGAGAACGGGTCGTTTATCACACTTCTCTGCTCCGAGCGAGCTCATGTGCTACCCTGGGAGTGTTTTGCTGACACTGCGGTCTCTCGAATTCTGTGCGCCAGTGATGTCATCAACAAGCATATTCCCGAATGGTTTGTTGGTAGTCACCAGCATGCGCATGCCAGCAACAAGATCCAAAGGTGGTGCAGAAGTTCTCCTTTGAATACAATAGATGAAGCGCCAATGCATATTGCATTTGAGATGAAGCATGTCATTGACTCTCTTGTTGCTGATCTAACTCAATCTCAATGTGATGAAGGTCACTTTCTTCCACTTTACCCAAACATGCCTTACCTCAGAAACGATCAATTCCTCGGTACTAGACGCGCAAAAGCTCATTTATCTTCGCAGATAATCGATAGTAACACACCTCCGTGCAAAGTCATCCCCTTGTCACAGCTTTACGCACCTCGAGATGCCCTATTGACCCAGGCCATGGGAAAAGAATTGTTTTTTGCTCCAGATCCACTTTTGTCTCACATAACGGCCAGCCTGGATACCCAACGAAGCTGTGTCAAATTCAATTGGCTTGCCAAGGCACTCGCTGATGAATTAGCAGTGCCTATCGTCCATTTACTTAGAGCCAATAGCATGGTTGGCGTTGACAAGGGGACATAACAGATAGAAGACGGACCCGGTGGCGCTTTATGCGATATTCTTCAAGCCTGCCCTTTTTCTTTGAAGATCCTGGGGAATCTTTCGAGGAGAATCACTTGTCAGAACGAAACTCTTACCGGACCGCGACTCTAATACATACATACATACATACATTACATACATACATACATACATTACGACAGCGAAGGCTCACGCCGAGCGGTTTGTGTTATCGAGGCGAACAGGTTTGCCTAGAACTGCAGGTCAGTAGTACATTTGTTTGTAATGACCGGCACGCCTTGTCCTTAAAATTCACTGGCAGCCTGCCAGTGAGTATCATATGGGGGGGGCACCAGAGTCCAGACTAGACACCGTGACTGCGAGCTAAGGGGCATTTTCGCCTTACGGCGAAGTTACGCGATTTTTTTTAGCGTTTTAGTAGTGTCTGCATTTTAAAATGCGCGTCGTTGGCTGCCCCAAGCGGCGCCGGAGGCAGCGCGGGCCTCGGGAGTGCGTATTGGCACCTAGGCTGGCAGTGCGTTGCTTTGCGGCGAGAGCGTGTGGTCCCGCGGCCTCTGTGGGCGCCAACGCCGCCAACCGCTTTCGTAAGCACAAAATCTCGTCGCGAGGTTGCTAAAAAGTGTACGCCCTGCTGCCCGGGCACGACAGGGCGAAGCTACGGGCAAGTTCATGCGCCATCGTGACCGTCTTGGCGTCGCGTGAGGCCGATCCGACGGTCTCGGCGTTTCGCGGGTGGGGCTAGCTCTACGAATTTTGGGGCTGCGAACGCATGAAAAACTGCCCCATGGGCAGCCGCAAACGTTCTACGATATCCAACGCTGCGAGGCCCCAGAGCAACCGAAATCGCGGCGGGGAGGGGCTATTGAAAGGCTGCTGATGAAAAAGGGGCTGCTTGCTCGCCGCGACGGCCTCTATGCTCGTCGCACCCCGTGACCGTGACACTTCGATAGATCGCGAGCTCCGGGCCCACTTCGCAAGTGGGTTCGCGGTCTAACTCGACGATCCGGCCGAGATAGACGCGCATTTTAAAGGCAGAAAATACCAAAAACGCTAAAAAATCGCGCAACGCGAAAATGCCCCTTCAGCTCGTGGACGGGGGGTGACACCAAACCCCAAATTTGCCGTATCTCTATAACTAGACGTCTTGGCCGCCGCCAAATCGAGCCGAGGGGGCCTGGGAACCCCTCTAGGACGTGACTGAAACGGGTAAGCGAAACTATTAGGTTTGGAAATTTTAGTGGCCTGCGAAGGTCGCGCCAGTGGCGTTTCGTGCCGCGTCGGCGACCTATCTGGCAGCCCATCGGGTACCCGGCCGCGCCTACGCATCCGCCCCACGCCATAGGTATCCGAGGCCCCCTGGGAGACCAAATTACCTGCATAGAAGCGAGTTTTGATTTTTCGGGCCAGAGCTCCTAAAATACCCGCACGTTAGGCCCCAGATGCAAGAGGTACAGCTCCTTGCCAGATGGGCAACTTCGCGACCGCGTCTCGCCGCGAAAGTGACCCCTTCCCCCCACCCCGGTCACGGGGCGTACAAAGGGACCCTTGGGGACCCCGTAGCCAAAATCGGCGCCGGCCAAGAGGCTGGGAACTCGAATCTCAGATTAGGAGACACCCCGGGGCCCGGGCCGTGCTCGTGGCCCGATGTGGTGTCGCTACTAGTAGAGTAACAAATCTCATAAAAGCTGTTATGATCAGGGGGAAGGGAACTTGAACACCCTAAAAATCTCGAAAATGACGGTGACAAACCGGCGGCCAGTGACAAGACTTCTTCGTATGAGTGCTTGTTCACTGGCAAGTCTGAGTTCAACCTCGAGTTTGAGTTCTATCCCTTATGTGCCGGTCCTCGAGAAAACTGTCCCTCATAAATGAAACATATAGACCTCCCTATTTCGCTCTGCATTGCAGGTTTCTATTTTTAGGTCCATTTCGAGTTAAAAGGTCGGTCTGCCCATGCGCATAGCGGACAAGGGTCAAGCAACCTCTAAATGCCCTGTTGCGTTTAGTACGCACGATACACTGGCGTGAATTACCATAGTAATATCATATCTGCACTTTTAGCCTCTTTAAGCTGTGGAACCAGATGACTCAATTCAATCGGTATATAATCCAAAAACCATCGCATTAGCCCATAGGGAAGAGTTGGTATAATTAACAGAAGTGTAATTATCAAAGAGAAGATCCCAGAGGCACCTTGATGCGACACTTACACCTTGATCTTTCATTTGTCCGATTGTGACTTGTACAATTACTTTGTATCGTGGCAAATTGAGGCTCTTCGCCTGAGCTTTGATTTTATTCCCAATGGTCAGGATCCAGTCTTTGGCACCATCCTCGAAATACTCTTTATTATCTAGCTCATCCTTTAACGCCTCGGTGCATATTTGTCTGATTTTTGAAGGGTAGAATTTTTCATCTTCGGCCGGTTTCATAGAATAGGTTGGCAAGATGATTTCGATAACTTGCTGTCCTGGTCTTGCTCCGTCTTGCATGGTGATTGGGCGTGGGCGTTACGTGCTCTAGCGTAGGTACAAGCAATTGTATATACAGTATCTACGGTACCGTAGGTACAACCGTGACTTATCAGACTTATCATCTGTACTAACACTAGTACGGGATTAAAGCGCAGGGCGCACATGACGTCGTTCTAGACGTCCTTACCCACCGCCTTTGTAATTTCGGTCCCAGTGGTCTCCACACTGGCACATGATGATGGAAATATTCAAGTTGCCGTGGCCACCGTGACTCCGAGTCAGGCTGTCCGAGTCACGCCCGGCCGCCGGGTCACGGTTCACTCAGGCTCAGACTCGGAGGTTGGCCACTGGCAGCCCCGGGTCGGGCCTCAGACTGACGCCAGCGACCGTGACCGTCACCTGGCACCGTGACTGGCACTCGACTCGGAAGTAGTACTACTAGTAGTATCCTGACTGAGCAGCCTGAGGCCCGGGAAGAAGCCTGAGGCTCTTAAGTAAGAGCTCACTGGCAGGCTTCAAGTTCAAGTTGTTCCTTTTTAGATTTACTTAATTAATCAATCATCATCATGATTAAGTTCATGATTACTAGTAGTTATCATGATTTCAAGTTACTCAGGCTACTAACCCTGGTTTATAAGTTTAAAAAGTCTTAAAGTTAAAACCAAACCGTGACCATCGCCCCCTGCAATGGAAATACACGTCTAGTAGAATCCCAAGGTTCAACCGTGACTGAGACGTATCCAAGCACAAGGTTCCGTGACCGTGACCCGTACTTGTATTACCCGCCGCCTAGGCTACTTCCCATCCTAAGGGAGATAGGGACGCTTATAGGCCCGGGGAAGGTAGATAAAGTGGAAGCTCAGTTGACAAAGCTAAAATCTACGGTAAAGCAACAGAATAAGCTCATTGGAGAATTCATACGAAGCTCACTGGTGCTGAGGAATGCAAGCACCCGATCCTTCTTCACCAATTGATACTCTTGGTATCACTTCCACTGAAGAGGAGATCATGATGCACAAGGACATGCTCAGAAGGCAAATAATTGCAGATACAAAGAGTCAAGCAATGGCAGCTGCCAGTGATTAGACAACTACACTACGCTGCCGGGGAAGTCCGGAGCTACACACTCTATTTCCCCCTGCATCGCACCCCTCATGGATTTTTACCCTTCCGGAGCACCCCCCGGCAGGGGAAAGGTTTGAACTCCTCTACGGTGAGCTGCCCTCAGGGCAGGTGGCCCTAGAGGAGTTTATACCTTTTTTCGCGGCCCGCGCGGACCCGCCATTTACCCCGGCGCGGCGCGGCGCCGGGGATGGCGTCAGGGGGGCGACGGGGGCGGGGGGGGGGGGGGGGGGCGACGTCCGCCGGCTACGCGAACTGCGCGACGCGCGCGTGGCCGAGGTCGTACTCGGCCGCGGCGGCGTCGGGGGCGCGCGCGCCGCGCGCCGCGAGGCGCGCCGCGAGGAGCGCGCGGAGGTGCTCGAAGCGCGCGCGCTGGCGGCGGCGCGGCGCGGCGCCGCGGTCGAGGCCGGCCTTCCTCCGCCGGAGCTGGTCGACGAGCGCGCGCTGGCGGTCGCCCTTGTGCGCGTAGAGCTCGGCGTAGCCCGCGAAGTCCGGCAGGAGCCGCGGGGCCGCGGCGGGCGCCGCGCGGCGCGCGTCCTCGGCGCGCGCGCGGTCGGCGGCCGCGCGCGCGACGCCGCAGAGGCAGTTCAGGTAGTGGAAGCGCGACTCCTCGGCGAGCGCGGCCTCCTGGTGCGCGTCCGCCTCGCGCCCGAGGCGCCGCACGTCGGCCTCGGCGGCCGCCGCGACGGCGTCGTACGCGCGGCGCTTGGTCTCGAACGCGCCGCGCGCGGCGGCGAAGCCGGCGCGCGCCTCGCGCAGGGCCGCGATGCGCGGCGCGAGCTCGGCCTTGCGCGCGCGGAGCGCCCCCGCGGCCGCGCGCGCGCGGCCCGCCGCGGCCTCGAGCTCGCCGGCCTTGGCCGCGTCGCTCGCCTCCTGCCGGCCCGCGGCCGCCGCGAGGCGCGCGCGCGCGCCCCGGTAGCCGCGCACGCCCCGCGCCCCCTCGAGCCCGTCCAGGAATCGGTCCAGGTCGCCCGCGCGGCCCCGCAGCACGCGCTCGGTGCGGTGCGCGACGACGAGCTCGCCGCGCAGCGCCCGCAGCCGCTCCTGCTTGGCCTTGTAGTCTCGCGTCGTCCGCCGCAGCCGCTCGCCGAAGCGCCGCGCGTCCGGCCCGCCGCCGCCCCCCGGCCCCGCCGCGGGCGCGCTCCGCGCGGCCGCGAGCGCGCGGCGCGCGGCCTCGAGGTCGACCTCGAGGCCGTCGACGGCCGCGCTCTTCTCCGCCAGGCGCCGCGCCACGATCTGCGCCGTCGCGCGGAAGGACCGGAGCGTCGCGTCGCCGCGCGCCTCGCACGCGTCGCGGCACCGCGCCCGCAGCTCCTCGACGCGCGCCTCGAGGTGGCCCACGCGCCGCTGGAGCTCCGCCGCGTCCTCGCGCCGCGCCGCCGCCGCCGCCGGGGCGCGCCGCGCCGCCTCCGCCGCGCCGGCCTGGCGCTCGAGCGCCTCGACGTCGCGCCGCGCGACGTCGATGAGCTCGTCCGCCGTGCGCGCCGCGCCGACCCCGGCGCGCAGGCGCCCGAGCCGCGCCTCGCGCAGGGCCCGCGCGGCCTCGGCGCGCCGCGCGGCCTCGCGCTGCCGCGCGGCCGTCTCGCGGAGCCGCGCGTCCTCGTCCTGCGCCAGCCGCAGGCCCCGCGTCGCCGCCAGGAGCCGGTCGAAGTCGGGCACGTCGGCGCCGCGCCGGCGGAGCGCCGCGACCTTGGCCTCGAGCTGCGCGCGCTCGGCCTCGAGCTGCCGCGCCTCCGCGCGGAGCGCGCCGCCGTCGCCGCGCGCCGCCGCGGCCCGCGAGGCGACGACCGCCCGGTGGGCGTCCCGGAAGTCGCGCTGGAGCGCCCGGTGGTGCTCGAAGGCCTCGCGGAGCGCCGCGTCGTCGAGCAGGTGCGGCGGCACGTCGACGGGCGCGAGGAAGCGCGCGACGTAGGCGCGCGTCCGGTGCCGCTCGACGTCGCCCAGCAGCCAGTGCAGCGCGGGGTGGACCGTGGTGGTGGCGCCGGCCGCGGCCGCGTCGACCCACTTCTGGTATCCGTCGGCGTCGGCGCGGTCGCGGAGGGGCGGATATTTTAACAGGCGCAGGAGGTCGGCCGCCCGCCCGGCGCTCTCTGCTGTTCCGGCGTCGCGCACGTCACCGCGCAGGCGCGGGTCGAGGTCGGCGAGGACGTCGAGCAGCAGCTGGAGCAGCTCGAGCGGCGCCTTCTCGTCGAAGTCGACGAGCGTCAGGTCCAGGCCGAAGCAGTCGTTGAGCCGCGAGACGATGAAGATCTCGGGGTCCGCCATCGTTTTGTGTGTTAGCGCGGTGGCGGTTAGGCGAAAACAGCCCGAACGGCAAAAGGATACATACCAGTACAGGTGCGCCAAGGCAAGTACCAAGGCAAGTGGCCCGTGAGCCCCCCTCCCCTACCCCTCTAAATAAATAAATAAATAAATAAATTAAGGAAGACCTAAAAAAAAGGAACAAGCTCCTAGGAGCCTACTCCCCGCTCGGTCAGGACGCCCAACCGGAGCTGCGAACTAGCAGAAAGGTATCTATACAACGGATTTTCGATCTCCCGGGGTAACTCGTTTCCCATGACCAAGCGACATCGGCCCTCATCGGTCAATTGCCGTGCGAGGGGGCAAACCGAGTATAATCTCGAAAGAAATACCTCCCGTTCTTCCTCAAAGGCCTCGCATTCAAACAACGTGTGTTGGATTGTTTCTTTTAGTCCCCTAGCCGTTGGACGGCGACACCTATACCGGGGGACGGCGAGGAGGGGCAGGGGAAAGGTGCGGTCTATGAATCCTTAGTCTAGGCGGCGGTGCTTGGGTACGAGCTGCCCGTCGACGACCGGGTTCGTGTGCGCCGACGACGGACGTCTGCAGGAAGAGACCGGATCGCCGCGGCGGCCTCCTCGCGGCGGCGCTTGACAGAGGTGTACACGGACAATCATTTCGAGAAGAAATCTGTTGCGCACGAAGCCTATCACTTATCACATGGATTCTACCACTGAGCTACATCCTCTAGTAGAAGGACATCTGATGGACGCGCGCGTCCAGGGGGAGTAGAGAGAGAAACCTACTACTAGCCCTTCCTACCCTAGATATGTATCTCCCACTCTCTAAATTTGAGTCTATACATTGAGTGTCTATTGACGCTACGGTGTAACAACAATTTGCTATAAAACACTCTCGTAGTTAGGTTGGAACAGCGCTCGGCTGGTGATCCAGGACCCTGCTACTACATGACTATACTCTTGCTACTTATAGACCACGGAACCAATGGCTATTTCGGTCCCACAGCACCGTGGGCACCTAAATGCGGCACGTCCAAACACGAAGGGCGCACCATCGCCGCGCGACGCCGTACACCTGGACCGTAACAAAAGCATGCAAGCGGCTTAGCCAGTAAATGAGCAAGCAAAGCGGGCGGACGGACGAAGTCGAGGCCGTTGCTGCGGCCTTGGCCTCAGACCCGCGCGCGCTCGAGGCCTACAGCAGCGCGTCGCCGGCGCACCTCTTGGACTTGCTCGCGCGCGCATGCGCTGCGTGCCGCGCCGACGTCTCGGTCTTCGCGTCCTCGGCCCTCCTCGCATTGGCGAGGCGAGGCGCGCTGCCGCACGAGCACTGGGAGACGGCGCTTTCCGTGTGCACCGCGCCGAACTGCGCGGAGGCCGCGCGGTCGCAGTGCGCGCGCGCGCTTGCGGCGGCGGCCGCGCGCTCGCCCACGGCCCTCGACGACGCGCTGGCGCTCGGCCAACGCGGCGGCATCGCGTGCTGGACGGCGCTCGCGACCGAGTGTCCCCACCGCGGCGGCGACGGCGCGGCGTGCTGGGCGTCCGCCGCGGCGGCGGCCCTCGACGCGGCCGCCCGGGCCGGCGCCACGGTCGAGGCCGTCGCGTGCGCGGCGCGCTGGCTCGAGACGGGCGCGTGCCTGCGGCGCGGCGGCACGGGCGAGCGGCCGGGCGCGTCGCCGCTCGGCGCCGGCGGGGGCGCCCTCGCGCGCGCGGTCGGCGCGGCGGCTGCGTCCGGAGACGCGGGCGCGGCCCGCGCGGCCTGCGAGGTCCTGGAGGCGGCGGCCGCGGCCGGAGCCCTGCGGCCGGGCGACGACGCCGAGCTCGAGGCGCTGGGCGCGGCGCACGCGCGGGCGCGCGCGGCGGCGGCGGCCGCGGACCCCGCCGCGGCGCGCGCGAGGCGGCGGTTCGCGGCGGGCCTGGCGGTCGCCGACCCCGGGGCGACCGCCCGCGGCGCCCGGCCCTGGGCCGCCGGCGTGCTCGACGACGTCGCGGAGGGCTGCGTCGGACCGGACGCCGCCGCGGCCGAGGCGTGCTGCGCGGCGTGGGCGGAGTTGGTTGGGGGGGCGCGCCCGGGGCCGGGCGTGGTGGCGCGGACGCGCGCCCTCGTGGTGCGCCTCGTCCCGCGCGTCGTGTGGCCGCGCGGGGGCCTCGCCGACGGGGCCACGGACGCGGACGCGGACGCGGGCGCGGACGCGGCGCTCCACGGCGACGACGCGGCGGCGCTCCCGGAGAACGCCGGCGCCTGGGCCGAGCGGTTCGAGGGGGACGCGTACCGGTGGCTCCGCGACGAGTTTATAGGGTGGTGCCTCGCGGCGGCGGCCGGCGCGCTCGGCGCCGCGGCGTACGTCGACGCGGTGCTCGCGGGGGCGCGGCGCATCGACGCGAGGGACGCGGACGTGCTCGCGGCGGCGGCCCGGTGCCTCGCGTTCGCCGGCCCGCTCCTCGCGCGGGGCGCCGCGGCCGGCGCGGCCGCGGCCGCCGCGCTTGCGGACGCGGTGCACGCGTGCGCGGCGGGCGCCGCCGCGGCGCCGCCGGGCCCGCGCCGGGCGCGGCTCGTCGCCGCGACGGCGCTGCTGCTCGGCGGCCTCGACGAGTGGCTCGGCGCCGACGCCGCGCGGCTCGGCGCGGCTCTCCGGTTCTTGGCCTACGGCACGCACGTCGCGGGAGGCGCGGGCCCCGCCTACCGCGCGGTCGCCGCGCTGGCGCGCGCGCAGGGCGCGGGCGCCGCCGCGGCCCCGCCGGACACGTGGCGCGAGCTCGCGGCGGCGGCCGCCGCCCGAGGCTCGAGCTGCGCGGCGCTCGAGGCGCTGGGCGCCGTCGCGCCGCGCCTCGGCGCTGAGGACCGCCTCGCCGCGGCGGCGCGGTGCGCGGCGGTCGGCGCGGCCGCGGCCGGCGCGGGCGCCGCGCGCGTGGCGCGCGCGGCGTTCGACGCGCTGCTGGAGGCGTCCGACGGCGACGCGGCGTACCTCGAGGCGTGCGGCGGCTGGCGAGCGCTGGCCGCCGCGCTCGCCGGCGCCCCGGCGGAGGCCGCCGCCGCCGCCGCGGACGTCGCGGGCGCGGCCGCGGCGCGCGAGGGACTGGCCGACGCGTCGCCGCTCGCGCGCCTCGCGCCGCTCCTCGTGGAGCGCGCGGCGCGCGCGGCGGCCGAGGGCGACGGCGACGCGGCCTGGAGCCTCTGCTGGGCGCTCGGCGAGGTCGGCGCGGCGCTCCCGCCGGAGGCCCTCGGCCACCTGCGGGGCGCCGCCGACGCACTCGTCGCCGGCCTCGCGCTGCCGGCTGCCGTCGAGGTCGCCGCCGCGGCGCTCGCCCGACTGGTGCGTCGCGGCGTCCCAGAGACTTTCGTTGATTCTTCACTTGACACCTCGATTGCGCGGAGATACGCCATCGCCGCGGCGTCGTCTCGATGCCTTTGATCGCGCAGGCGGGGCGCCCCGAGCTGGGACCCGTCGTCGCGCGCGCCGTGGCCGCTCCGGGTGTATTGGGCGCGTGGTTGGAGGTCCTCGGGCGCGAGGTCGACGCAGTAGCCCTCGCGCGCGCGGGGCGGGCGGTGCTCGCCGTCGCGGCGGCCGAGCCCGGCGCGCTCGACGAGCGCGCCGCGAGGGCACTCCCGGCCCTCGCCCTCGCCTGGCGCGCGGCCGGGGCGCCGCCGCCGCCGCTGGCGCGCGCGCTCGCGGACCTCGTCCGGGCGGTGGCCTCCGGCACCTCTTCGTACTCGAATTTGCCTTTGTTTTCTTGAATGTTGTTGTTGATCGCTACGATCTCTAGAAGGGTGAACTTGAGGTCTTTTAGTTCGGTCGTTCCGCGCTTTTTCAGCCGCTTTATTATCGATGAAAAAATAAGAGGCTTCGAGTTTTGAGTTTTCTTGACTCAAAATGCCCTACTAATGTGTCTGGTAGGTTAAATTGCCGGACCCACTTTGCGATCTGGTTCAGTGTTGCATCTGTGAGATTTATTTCCTCCATCGTGCCGTGTCCACGCCGACTTAGGCCACCTCAACAAAAACACGTGGGTCGGACTAGTGGAAGGGAAAAGGGGGGAAGGAATAGGAGGGGGAGGAAAACGCAAAAATACATCAAAGATCAATCCTAATACACATCAATCAAAAACTTGAGGGGTCTAGATACAAATATCACCATGAAAAATAAATAGGTAGTATGTTAAAGACACTAGATGTTAAGACAGAGCAGACAGTAAGTAGCAAGACAGGATTGCAACTTCCAAAAAACAAAGACAATAGTCCACGGGCAGGGGGTCTAGGCGAGGAAAGACAGCGAGCGTTGGGGCAGAGCAGCACTCGCTCAGCAGGCCGTCCCGCCAGCGACGCATCCAGCCGTCGCGCGAGGCACCGCAAAAAGCCTAAGGTGTCGACACGCAACAGGAATGCTGGCCCTCGCCCGGCTCGCGGCGCGCGGCCCGCCGCCGCCGGCCGGCCGCGCCTTCAGCAAGTACCTGCCGCGCGCGCGCGCGAAGCGCCTGCCCCTGACGCCGAAGCGCGCGGGCAAGGGCTGCGCCAAGGGCAGCGGCGCGCGGCCGACGGGCCGCCGCACGCGCGCCGGCCGCTTCGTCGTCGACGCCGCCCGCGTCGTCCGGCTCGTCGCGCCGGCGCCCGGCGGCCGCGCGCTCGGGCCCTACGTCGCGCGCGCGGTCCCGCGGATGCCCCACGACGCGCCGCGCCCCCCGCGGTAGGGTGTTCATAGTAGTTGTCCTAGTGGGGCCGGGGGGGCGCGGCGGGCCTACATCATGCCGCCCATGCCGCCCATGCCGCCCATGCCGCCCGGCGGCCCCGCCGCCGCCTCGCTCGGGTCGGGGGGCAGGTCCGCGACGAAGGCCTCGGCCGTCATCATGAGCGCGGCGACGGACTGCGCGTCCGTCACGGCGGTCTTGACGACCTTGGCCGGGTCCACGATGCCCGCCGCGTACAGGTCGACGTACTCGCCGGCGGCGGCGTCGTAGCCGCGCGTCGCGTCGGCCTCCTTGAGGAGCTCGCCGACGACGACGGCGCCCTCGGCGCCGGCGTTCTCCGCGATTCTGGCCGCCGGCGCGCGCAGCGCGCGCTGCACGATCTCCGCGCCGACGCGCTGGTCGAGGTTCTCCGCCGAGGCCATCACCGCGTCGAGGCGCGTCGACGCGTGGAGCAGCGCGCGGCCGCCGCCGGGCACGACGCCCGCCTCGACGGCCGCGCGCGTCGCGTTCAGCGCGTCGACGACCCGATCCTTCTTCTCGCTGACCTCGACCTCCGACGCGCCGCCGACCTTGATGACGGCGACGCCCCCTCCCAACTTCGCGAGGCGCTCCTGGAGCTTCTCGCGCTCGTAGTCCGATGTGCTGGCAGCGATCAAGTCCCGTATGGCGTCGCAGCGCGCCTCGACGTCGGCCCGCGCGCCGCCGCCGTCGAGCACGATCGCGTCGTCCTTCGACACGGTGCACCGCTTGCAGCTCCCGAGGTGGTCGAGCGTCGCCTGCTCGAGCTTCAGGCCGACGTCGTCCGAGACGACCGTGGCGCCCGTCAGCGCGGCGAGGTCCTGGAGCGTCTCGCGCCGGTTGTCGCCGAAGCCGGGGGCCTTGACCGCGCAGACCTTGATGCCCGCCCGCAGCTTGTTCACGACGAGCGTCGCCAGGGCCTCGGATTCCACGTCCTCCGCCACGACCAACAGGGGCCGCTGCGCCTTGACGACCGTCTCGAGCAACGGCACGATCGACTGGATCGACGAAACCTTCTTCTCGACCAGCAGTATCAGGGGGTCCTCGACATCGAAAACCTGCGTCTTGGGGTCGGTCGCGAAGTAGGGCGAGATGTAGCCCCGGTCGAACTTCATGCCCTCGACGACGTCTAGTTCGTTGTCGAGCGTCTTGCCGTCGTTCACGGTGATGACGCCCTCCTTGCCCACCCGTTCCATGGCCTCGCTGATCAAGTCGCCGATCTCCCGCTCGGAGTTGGCGGAGATCGTCGCGACCTGCGCGATCTCCTCGCGCGACGAAATCGGTTTGGCTATCGCTTCGATCTCTTTGACGACTTGGTGGGCGGCGGCCCGGATGCCACGTCTCAGGTCCGAGGGGTTCATGCCGGCGGCCACGGCCTTGACGCCCTCCGCGAAGATGGCCCTCGTCAGGACGGTGGCCGTCGTGGTGCCGTCGCCGGCCGCGTCGTTCGTGCGCGTCGCCACCTGCCGCACGAGCTGCGCGCCCATGTTCTCGAACCTATCCTTGAACTCGATGTTCTTGGCTACGGTGACGCCGTCCTTCGTTATCTTGGGCGCTCCGTACGGCTGGTCGAGAATCGCGTTCCGGCCCTTCGGGCCCAAGGTCACGCTCACGGCGTCCGCGAGCTGGTCCACGCCCCTTAACATGAGCGCTCTCCCCTCCGTCCCGAAGTTGATCTCCTTGCCGCTCATGGCTCTAGCGTGTTTGGCCAGCGGCCGGGCGCCTCGGCTGAGTAAGGGTTGCATTTTGTCTTTGCTGCGCCTTGGTGTTGTACACGGTTGGGTTGTTCTCAACCGTAACTGCGCGTCGACGCGCGGGCGCGGCGAGCGCGGTGAGAGGCCTCGTCTCGAAGTCGCTGACAAAGAGTAGGGGTGTCGGTCTTGTAAACCAGGGACCCGCCTCTCCTAGGCCTCTCCGCCCGATCCCTCCGGAGGCCTGCTCTTGGGGTGGGAGCTTGGCGGAGTGCTGAGGGAAATGGCCCCCGCGAGCCGCCGCGGACGGCCCCACTAGCGCTGGAGAGGAAGGAAAGGAGCCATGTGTCGCACGCCGGAGCCGCCCGGCGTGCCCACGAATCCGCCGAAGCGTGCGGGTGTCGTTCCCGTAATTGAGCTAGTTTAGACCCACTAGATTTCTCGGCTGCTACAATCACTTTGGGAGGACTGATAGGACTGCCTTGGATTCTCAATAAACCGAGACTTTTATTTGCGGGAGCGCCCGCATCGATCGACGCATCGATCGACCGGTTCGACAGCTGGACGACCGATCACCCCGAGACTGCACATGGGCTGCGCCCCGAGCGCGCCGCAGGAGCGCGCTCCCGCGAAGAAGGCGCGCGCCGCCGGGCGCTACGTCTACGGCGGCGCCGTCGACGCCGCCGCGGCGCTGCCGCCGCCGCCGCCCGGCGGGCCGACGCCGGCGCAGCAGCGCGCCATCGCGGAGGCGCTCGCCAAGGGCACGCGCCTCTTCGCGCGGGCGCCGCCGGAGGCGGCCGCGGCGGCGGCCGCGCGCGCGACGGCCGCGGGCGCGCCGCGCCCGCACCGGGCGGGCGACGTCGGCGAGGCGGCGTTCGTCGTCGGCGACGCGGGAAATGTAATAGGCGGCGAGGCGCTGCTGGGCCCCGCGCCCCGCGCCGCGGACGGCGCGGCGCCGCCCGGCGGCGCCGCGTGGCGGGTCGACGCGGCGGCGGCGCGGCGGTGCGTCGCCGCGGCCGCGGCCGCGCGGCACCGCCGCGCGGCGGCGGCGCTCGCGCGCGTCGGGCTGCTCGAGGGCCTGACGGAGGCGCAGTTGGATGTGGCTGCCCTCGCCGCCGAGGAGACCAATGTCCAGGCCGGCGAGGAGATTGTGAAGAAGGGCGCGACGGGCGCGACGATGTTTTGTATTCTCGAGGGCACGGTCGACTGCACGAACATCGGGACGGGCGAGGTCCAGATGCGGGACCTGGTCCTGCGCCAGGGCGAATATTTTGGAGAGCGCGCGCTGCTCAGGGATCAATTTAGAGCGGCCGACGTCCGCGCGCGCACGGCCTGCGTGCTCCTCAAAGTCGACCGAAGGCGCGTCGAGGCCCGGCTGGGGCCCGTCGCGGCGTTGCTGGATGCGAATTTGAGAAGGCGCGTGCTCTCGAGTGTCGAGGTCCTCGGGAAGCTTACCGAGGAGGAGCGGAGGAGGTGCGCCGACCTCTTCGCCACGAAGTCCTACGAGGCGGGCGAGGTCATCGTGCGGCAGGGCGACGTTGGCGACGCGTTTTATGTACTAAGGAGGGGCCGCGCGCGCGTCGAGGTCGGATCCGAAAGGCGCGTCGTGGGCAGTTTGGAGCCGGGCAACTACTTCGGGGAGATGGCGTTGTTGGGCGACGACGCGCGCACGGCGTCGGTCGTCGCGGATCATGACTGCGAGTGCGCGGTGCTCGCGCGCGCGCCCTTCGTCGAGGCCTTTGGGAGTTTGCAGCGCATCTGCGCGCGCGCCGACGGCGACGACGGGGGTCCCCGCGCGCCGCCGTGGCCGCGCCACGAGTTAACGCCGGTGGCGACGGTGAAGGGCGCCTTCGGCGACGTATCGATCGTCGCGGCGCCGGACGGCGTCAAGTATCGGCTCCACGCGGCGTGGAAGTTCGGCCGCGTCCCGCCCTCCATCCTAGGCTTCGCGCCCTACGACGACGGCGCGCGGCTGGCCGCGCACGCGCCGGGCGGGCCGCTCCGGCGGCGCGGCCGGCTCGGGCCCGACGCGGTCGCGTTCTATGGACGCGGCGTCCGCGAGGCCCTATCCGTGTTGCACGCCGCGAACGTTATCATAAGAGCGCTCACGCCCGACGACGTCCACGTCGACGCGCGCGGCCGGCCCGTCCTCGCGGAGTTTGGCGCGGCGCGGCGCCTGGACGAGGGCGCGCGCGCCTTCACCCTGATCGGGTTCGGGCCCTACCTCGCGCCGGAGCAGCTCCTGGGGACGGGCCACGGCCGCGGGGCGGACCTCTGGGGCCTCGGCTGCCTCGCGTACGAGCTGGCGATTGGATACGCGCCCTTCGCGTCGTTCGCCCGGAGCCTCGACGGCGCCTACGACGCCCGGGGGCTGCCCCCGAAGCTGCGCGCGGCCGTCGCGGCGCTCCTCGCCGTCGACGCGGCCGGGCGCGACGCGGCGTTCCCCGCGGCGCCGGTGCCGTGGACGCCTCCGCCGAATCATATTGTTGCCGAGAGCGCCGAGGCGTTCTGCTGGGACGCGTGGTGAGTAACGGGTTTTTTGCACCTCCGTACTACCTGGGGGTAGCGAGCTCAGGTTAGACGTCAATTTAAACAGGGTTCATCGCTTGAGGAGGCGGGAGCGTCGCCTCGAGCGGCACGGGCTCCGTGAGCGACGGCGGGTTCGTCGGCCCGAGGCCCTCGAGCAGAGTAGATAGAGGCCGGTCCGGCGCGCCGCCCCCGAGCCGCCGCGGCACGGCGACCAGCGGCACGCCGTTGCGCTCGAGCTCGTCCAGGAAGCTCGACCCGAGGATCTTGATCTTCTCCTTCGTCGTCGGGTGGATCACGGGAGACACGACGCTGTACGCGCTCCGAAAGACGAAGGGCGCGTTCACGATGAACAACTTCCAGAGCGTCTCCGGGAAGAAGTCGTTCGCGCCGCCGACGATCGCCTTCGTCATCTCCCGGACTTTCGAGGACGTAATTAACGAACCGAGCGAGATCTCGGACAAATCCAAAATATAAACCTGCTTGTAGCGGATGTGCGCCGTTTTGTGGCGGTACTGGAGCCGTCGGACGGCCTCCATGACGCGGCACCGCATCTTGACGGCGTCGGCGGGCTGGACGCCCGCGTCGACGACGGCGCTAATATCCCCGAGGCACTCGCACCAGACGAGATGTCCATATAAATCTTCCCCTCCAACAATCGTGTTCATCGCCCGCCTCAGCACGTCCTCCCCGTGTAAGTCGGGCTCCGCCAACACATCGGTCTCGAAGAAGACCTCGGCCCGGTCGTACGCTTCGATGGCCTCGCGTAAACGCTGGTCGAGGGGCCCCTTGTTGTTCGTGATCATACCTCTAAAGATGCGGACGCAGCTCGTCACATCAATAGCCGCGAGCGTCGCCTGCCGCCGCCGGAGCCGCGGCGTGATCGTGTCCGCGAGGTAGATCTGCTCGTCGGCGGCGAGGGCGTGGCCCTCCTGCAGCGACTCGTTGGACGGCAGCTTCAGCCGCGCGAGCGCGGCGTCGGCGGCGGCGGCCATGGCTGCGGGCGCCGCTCGCCGCGCCGGCGCGGCAGTCCTGCTCGCGGCGCTCGCGAGCGCCAGCTAACTCAGCCGTGCCCTTTACCCTAGTGTCTTACAGGCTCTAGCTGGCAAGGTCCCCAACCCTAAAATAAATAGATAAATTAAGGAAGACCTATAAATATGAACAAGCTCTTGAGAGCTTTCTCCCTGCTATGCACGGCACGGGGCTATAGCGTACTAGGTCTCCGTGAGCTGCTCCAAGGACCGTATGCGACTCTTCCTCTCTTAGTACCCCACTACCCTGCCGATGACGGGGGCCGCGCTCGCTCTTACTTGCGCCGGACCCGCTTCCCCCGCCGCGCGACGTCGCCGAGCGAGTCGTAGGCGTAGGGCTGGACGCCGTCCGCGCGGTTCCTGTCGCCGCCGGCGCGGCGGCCGCGCCGCGCCGCCTTGGACGTGGCCTTGCGGCGGCGGCGCGGCGGCGCGGCGGCGGCCGCGGCCGCCTGCTCGCGCGCCGCGCGCGCGGCGGCCGCGGCCGCGTCGACGCGGACGACGGCGACGCGGCCGTCGGCGGCGACGCCGACGTCGAAGTCGTCGTCGGGGCCCGACGACGACGCGGCGTCGTCGCCGGCGTCGCCGGCGTCCGAAGCCGTCCGCTTCCGCTTGCCCCGGGCCTCGGCGCGCCGGAGCGCCTTCAGCAGGGGCGCGTCCGTCGCCGGCGCGACCGCCTGGATCGCGTCGTGGCCGAACACGCGGCACCACTTCCGGACGAGGGCCTTGACGGCCGCGCGGTGGCGGCCGCGCGGGCCCAGGCCGGAGAGGGCGGCGAGCGCGGCCGGCAGCCGCGGCTCGAGGGCGCCGCGGCCCGCCTCGTCACCGCAGAGCGCCGCCGTCGCCACCCGCAGGAACTGGAGCGCGGCGGTCTGGACCTCCGTCGCCGGGTCGCCGAGGAGCAGCACGCCGGCCTCGAGCAGGGCCGGCAGGTCGCCCCGCGCGCCCGGGCAGACGTAGACGACGCGGCTCAGCGCGCAGAGGCCGGCCGCGCGCATGTGCGCCGTCTGCGCCACGAGCGCGGCGGAGAGCATCTGCAGCAGCTCCCGGGGGTCGACGCGCGCGGCGAGGGCGTCGAGCAGGGCGAAGGCCGCCTTGCGGGCGTGCGCGTTCGCGTCGCGCGTGCCGAGCGCCGCCTCCGACGCGAGGCGCGCGACGAGGTCGTTCGGGACCGCGCGCCGCGCGACGAGCGCCGTCACCGCCGCCGTGCGCTTCGCGCGGCACGCGACGGGCGCGTCCCGCTCCACGAGGACCGCGGCCCACGCGGCGTCGCCGTGGCGCGCGCACAGCTCGGCGGCGCAGCCGTAGGCGCGCTTCTGCAGGACCGGGTCGTCGAGGAGCGGGGCGGCGCAGCGCCAGAGCGTCGCGGCGTCGTCCGCCGCGAGCGCCGGCGCGAGCGCCGCGCCGACCTGGAGGAGCCGGCCCGCGGCGTCCCGGTCGCCGTCCGCCGCCGCGGCCCGCAGCAGCCGCGTCGCGACGCGGCGGAAGAGCTTCGCGACCGCGGCCGGCGGCGCGCGCCCGGCCGCCGCGCCGAGCGCGCGGCGCGCCGCGGCCGCGAAGGCCGCGTCGTCGGACGCGGCCGCGGCCGCGGCGCAGAGCGGCGCGAGCGCCGCGGCGGCGGCCGCCGCCGAGGGCACGCACGCGAGCGCCTCGCACGCGCAGCGGTTCGCGCCCTTGGCCACCTCGCCCGCGCAGCGGCTTGCGAACGCGGGCCACGCCGCGTCGTCGCCGCGCGCGGCCGCCGCAACCGCCGGCGCGAGGGCCCAGAAGGCGTCGGCGCTGTCGAGGAGCGCCGCGAGCTCCCCGAGCGACACTGCGGCGCCGGCCCTGACGGCCTCCGCGAGCGTTGCGCAGAAGTCGCGCGCGTCCGCCGGCTCGACCGCCGCCGCGTACGCCGCGACGCCCAGCGCGGCGACCGCGGCGACGCAGGCCGCGCGCCGCCGCGGCGACCGCTCGGCGGCGCGGTCGACGCGCCGCGCGAGCGCCGCGAGGGGGCCCCGCGCCGCGAGGTCCGCGGCGCACGCGGCCTCGACCGCCTTGAAGACGGCGTCCGAGGGCGCCTCGGCGAGGGCCGCCCCGAGCGCGTCGCAGAGCGCCGCGGCCGCGGCCGCGTCGCGCGGCGTCGCGCGCACGACGCGCTCCAGGGCCGCCGCCGCCGCCGCGTCGCAGCGCGGCGCCGCGGCCGCGAGCGCGCGCACGGCCGCGCCGGCGTCGCGCAGCGCCGGCGCGCAGGCGGCCCACGCGGCGACGACGTCGCCGTCCGGCGCCTGCCACGTGCGCGCCGGCGGCGCCGCCGCGAGGACGCGGCCCAGGGCGCCGTCGTCGGCGCCGAGCGCCGCGGCCGCGCGGAGGCCGCGCGCGTCGAAGAACTTGTCGGGCTTGCGGCCGGCGAGCGCCGCGGCGGCCGCCGCGGCCGCGAGGCCCGGCGCGGGCGCCAGCGCCTCGACGAGGCCCAGCAGGTGGAAGGCCGCCGGCGGGACCGGCGCGCCGTCCCGCCGCCCCTGCGCCGTCGCGTCGAGCGCCGCGCGGCACCGCTGCGCGACGTGCTTCGCGGCGCGCTCCGAGCTCCGGGCGACGCCGCGGACGGCCTCGCAGGCGGCCCGCCGGACCTTGGGCCGCGCGTCGCGCACGCAGCAGTCCATGAGCCGCTCGAGCGCGGCCCGGGCCTCGGGCCGCCGCCACGCGGCCGCGCGCTGCCGCGCCAGCACGACGCCGACGCACCGCGCCGCCGCCCGCGCCGCCGCGGCGTCGTCGTGCCGCGCCGCGCGCAGGAGCGCGTCCGTGACCTGCGCGCAGCGGGCCTCGACGAGGTCCGGCGCCGCGACGGCCGCCGTCGCCTCGGCCACGCCCAGGAGGGGCGCCGACGCGCCGCCGCCGGCCAGGCCGGCGAGCGCCGCCGCGAAGACCTCGGTCGCGGTCGGCTTCGCCGCGGCCGACCCGCGCCGCTCGGCGACCGCCTCCTCGAGCGCCTCCAGCACGGGGCGCGTCGCCGCGCCCCGCCGGAGCTCCGCGAGGACGTCGCCGCGCCGCTGGACGGGTGCGTCCCGCGGCGCGTCGACGTCCTCGCGGAGAGCGTCGAGCTGCATGTGCTCTGCGACCAGTACAGAGAGGCTTTCCTTCCTCTTGCTCAAGTGCTGTGCGCACTTCGCGCAGCGCAGTAAGTATGCAGCGACGTTAGATCTCTGCTAGCTAAGAGACACAGAGCAATTGATGTCGGCACCCTCGATGTCCCACATCGCCGCTTGCTGCTACCTACCAGTACGGTACCTACGGTACCGTACCTACGGTAGGTACCTACGGTAGGGGCTTACCTGTAAGTACAGGCAGCTAGCGGTCTTGACGCATCGTCCCGCACGTTTCGAAAGTAGAGTACTGGGCGTCGGGGCAGCGTCTCTCGTGGACGCGGGCGCTCCGTCAAGGGTAAGGGGGAATTTGTGAGGACCCCCGCGCGGCGGAAGAGTTCACGAATACGGTACTTAAAATATTCTTCTTCTTGATACCATGGTGATGTGGATGGGCGCGATGGGGACGATAACGATGGGAACGATGGGGGCTTTTCGCGTGCTTGTGCGCGGCCGGCCCGGAACCTCCAAGGTGGAGATCCTCCAAAATGGATTCAGAGGAACCGGTCGATTCAGGCTTGGAGACTTTGAACTTGAGAGTATTTGCGCTGTATATTCAAGTGACTTGCGCGAGGTCCAGAACCAAGTCATTTAGGTTGGGGCTCTATGACGGTCTGGGCGTAGGATTCCGATGATGATAAACCCATCTTGTTCAGGGATGCGGATGTCTCGTCCGTCGATAGCTTGGGGCATGCAGCTGTCGGCCGAGAGAGAGTACTGAAGCGGTAATATACTCTGATCTTGTGAGGCGGTTGGCGCAGCGTCCGTCGCGGCGTCGCGGCGCTCAGAGCCAAGGCATCAAAGTCGAACTCCCCATCGCCCCCAGCCCGTTGCGATCGCCCTTTCGCGATCAACTAAGACGCCTAGCCGCACCCCTAGCGATCCCCTAGCGGGCATGCTGACGGTCGCTGTACCCATGGGCGCGTAGGTCATGAGTAAGGAAGGAAGGTAACGCAGTTCAGGCGGCGATTGCAGATACCCCCGCAACGCAAGGGAGCTACGCAATTGACCTTCCCAAAGTAACTCAGAGATAGGCGGCCTAGCCGCCCGGAGTTCACCAGTCTAAATCTACTGTACTAATTGAAGAAGAAAGACGAGCGCAAGCTTAGCCTATAACGGGCGCGAACGACGCCGTCGACGACGACGCGAGGAAGTTTCTAGGAAAGGAAGGCGAGCGGGACGCGGGAGCCGGGAAACAACAGAGCCACGTCGAACGTCTCTTCGTTGGCAAAAGGGTGGTTTCTGAAGAAACCGGGTAAGTTGTGAGAGGACGGAAGACGTCACCACCAAAAAAGGTGGAAACGCTTACGAGCGCTCGCCGCGGATGCGGCGCGCGAGCTGGATGTCCTTGGGCATGATCGTGACGCGCTTGGCGTGGATCGCGCAGAGGTTCGTGTCCTCGAAGAGGCCCACGAGGTAGGCCTCGGCGGCCTCCTGGAGCGCGAGGACGGCGGAGCCCTGGAAGCGGAGGTCCGTCTTGAAGTCCTGCGCGATCTCGCGCACGAGGCGCTGGAACGGCAGCTTGCGCACGAGGAGCTCCGTGGACTTCTGGTAGCGGCGGATCTCGCGGAGCGCGACCGTGCCGGGGCGGTAGCGGTGCGGCTTCTTGACGCCGCCCGTGGCCGGGGCCGACTTGCGCGCCGCCTTGGTGGCGAGCTGCTTGCGGGGCGCCTTGCCGCCGGTGGACTTGCGGGCAGTTTGCTTCGTGCGGGCCATTTTTGTTACGTGATGTGTTGGTACTTGGACGAGCGCCAAAGCCGGAGACCGGGGTCACCGCGGCACCCCCACTCTTTAGGTCCGTTGAATTCCCCCACATACCCAAACTAGGCCCAAACGCCTCAAGGCTCCGGCGCCGCCCCGGAAACGCGTCCGCGCCGGGCCCCCCGCGTCCGCGCCGGCCCGCAGGCAGCGTTTCGAGGCGTTTGGACCGACTTTGGGTATGTGGGGGAATTCAACGGACCTAAAGAGTGGGGGTGCCGCGGTGAGCCCGGTCCCCAGCCTCGGGCCTCCGCCCAGCTCCAACACATCAGACCAAACACACATCACTTCATCATGTCTGGACGCGGCAAAGGTGGCAAAGGCCTCGGCAAGGGCGGCGCGAAGCGCCACCGCAAGGTCCTCCGGGACAACATCCAGGGCATCACCAAGCCCGCCATCCGCCGCCTCGCGCGCCGCGGCGGCGTCAAGCGCATCTCGGGCCTCATCTACGAGGAGACCCGCGGCGTGCTCAAGGTCTTCCTCGAGAACGTCATCCGCGACTCCGTCACCTACACGGAGCACGCCCGCAGAAAGACGGTCACCGCCATGGACGTCGTCTACGCGCTCAAGCGCCAGGGCCGCACGCTCTACGGCTTCGGCGGGTAAATCTACCCCCGAGCCCGGGCCGCCGCGCCGCCGCTGATCAAGACCAGCGGTGGTCGCCGACGGCCCATCTCATTCACACCCGGTTTCTTCTGAAACCACCCTTTTTCTACGAAGACTGCACTACGCTCTTGTGTCGCTCTTCCCCGTCGCACCGCCTTCCTTTTTTCGACACGTAGTAATGAGTCAGGTCCAGTACTAGCCGTACCCGCGCCCCACGTCATCGTGTTTTACGGAGCACGAGCACTACCGACACGCCGCAAGCGCCGCGACCACACGACGCACCGACCTCCGCCGCGGGCATCGCCGCGACGGCGTAGCACGGCGCGCGCCGCGCGCAACGCCGGAGCGCCACGCTAGCTAGCGAGGAGTAGCTGCACACGCATAAGGTTAGCTCGGGCCGGGGGCCAGCGCCGCGAGCTCGTCCGCGAGGCAGCGGTGCTCGGCGAGCGCCGCGTCCACGTCGCGGCGGAGGCAAGCCCGCACAGCGGCCAACTCGCAAAGAACGCCCGGGGCGCGCCCGACGGCCGCTTCGATCGCCTCGCGGCCGCGCTGCGGCGGCGTCGCCGCGGGCGGCGGCGGCGCGGCGGCCGGCGCGCGGAGGCAGCGCTCGAAGTGGTCGCGGAAGGGCTGCCGCGACCGGTCGTGGTGCTGGCGGTACTTCTGGAGGTGAGACTTGATGTGCTCCGTCGTGAGCGACCCCGCCGCCGCGCCGCGCGCGAGGAGGCCCTGGATGACCTTGGGCGAGCACTGGCGCAGGCCGAGCTCGAAGACGGCGCCGGCGACGGCGCGCTCGGCGCGGCGCCGCGCCACCTCGCGCGCGGCGGCAGGCGGCGGCGCCGCCGTGTGGTTCAGATTAGCGTAGACGTCGCGGAGCGTCTCCAACGTCAGGCTTTCCTGGCCCCAGGCATCGGCCATCGCACAGCTCGCTCGCGCGGGCAAGCGACGTTGCGTTTGGCTGCCAGTCAATCACGCTGTGGATGCGTTTGCGCGATAACGCTGTCGACGTAGAAACCCGCGGGCTCGGGGCCGGGGCTCAATCGCAAGTGATTTATCTTTAGCTTTGTCTTAGACTCTACAGCCTTAGTGCTCGACAGGTTGCTGCTCGCAAGTGATCGCGGCTGATGCGAGCTAGCGTCGTGCGTACTAGGAGTAACAAGCTCGATTGTACCTCGAGACCTAGGCAGAGCGTGGGCAAGTTGCATTCCGTCAAGTCTAGGAACTACGAGTCTTTCCGCTTCGCGTTCTTTCGGTAAAAGGACTGCTGCAAGTCGCGACGCCCGGCTTCCCAGCAGCAGCCTGCCTCAACACACGCGAGGCGTCATGGGCCGCCGCCACGCGGCGCTCGCCCTGCTCGTCGCGGGCGCGTCGGCCCTCGCGCCGCCGCCGCGGCTCCGCCGCCTGCGCCGCGCGCCGCGCGCCGCGCCTGTCGCGCGGCGCGCGAGCGGCGGCGACGACGACGCGGCCGCCGACGAGCGGCCCGGCTGGCTCGCGGCCATAACGGGGGACGAGGAGCTCGCCGAGGACCTGCGCGTCTACGGCAAGACGCTGGCCGTCTGCCTCCTGATCCGGTTCCTGATCGTCGAGCCGCGCTTCATCCCGTCGCTGTCCATGTACCCCGGCCTCGACGTCGGCGACCAGCTCGCCGTCGAGAAGGTGACGAAGCTCGCGCGGCCCCGCGACGCGCCCTACCGGCGCAACGAGGTCGTCGTCTTCAACCCGCCGCAGAGCTTCAAGGACATCGTCAACAGCCGCGCGCGGAACGAGGCGCTCATCAAGCGCGTCGTCGCGGTCGCGGGCGACACCGTCGAGGTCCGGGGCGGCAAGCTGTACGTCAACGGCCGGGCGCAGGACGAGGCCTTCATCAACGAGCAGCCGGCGTACGCGCTCGACCGCATGGTCGTCCCCGCGGGCCACGTCTTCGTCCTCGGCGACAACCGGAACCAGTCGCTCGACGGCCACGTCTGGGGCTTCCTGCCCACGAAGAACGTCATCGGGCGGGCGGTCTTCAAATACTGGCCGCCCGGCCGCGTCGGCCCCGTGCCGTTCCCCGAGGGCTCGTACGCGTAACTACTACCTCTTAAGAGACGGCGACGGCGCGGCGCGGCGGAGGGCGCGCGTCGGTGCCGGGCGCCCGGGTACCCTGCGACGCGAGGTGCCGTATGTGTGATATGATAAGTACCTCGGTAGGAGCCGCGCATTGTCCTTTGGAAACGTTGGCCTGTTGGAAGCGCGAAAGAGAGCCATCACCTGTCGCAAGCATGAATTCACGTCACGCAAATAGTTGAGGGAGCACCGGTGGGTCGTGTGATCGTCGAGACCGGGCGTCGGAGTCGTGACTGCACGGCGCGTGGTAAGTAATGCGAGGTAGGAATAAAGGGGCGTACCGATCTAGCGCGGCGCGCGGGCCGCGCGGAGCTCCTCGACGCTCCGCGCCTCGTCGCCCCAGAGGAGCTCCGAGCCGTCGTCCAAGAAGCGGCCGTGGGGCCGCGGCGGCTTCGGCGGCGGCGGCGGCGGCGGCGGCGGCAGCGCGGCGCGCGGCGCCGGCGCGGCCGGCGCGGGCGCCGCGGGCGGCGGCGGCGGCCGGCGGGCCGCGGGCGGCGCCGGCGCGTCGTGCTTCGCGCCGATCACGGCGAGCTGGAGCGCCCGCACGGCCGCCGCGTCGGGCCAGGCGACGTTCGCCGGCAGGCTCTTGGCCTCGGGGTCCAGCAGGTTGAGCGTGAGCAGCGCCGCGCGCTCCATGGCGCCGGCGCGGTCCGCGTGGCGCGCGCGGCCGAGCTCGGCGCCGTCCATGACGACGCAGACCTCGTGGTGCGGCGCCGTTGTCAGCGGCCGGAAGCCGGGCGCGCCGAGCTTGAACTTGGCGCAGTACTTGTGCAGCGCGACGAGCGCCGTGAGCTGCGTCGCCTCGTTCAGCTTGCGCTTCTTGGCGTAGAAGAGCGGGATCTGGGCCGGGCCCGCGGGGCGCTTCTTCTTGCCCATCCGGTTGCGCGAAAAGCAGCGCGTCAATACACCTATTGCACGCGGGGCCTCAGTTATTGTGTTGGCACCGCCTTTTAGTACCTACCGTAGGTACGGTACCTATGTACCGTACTGGTAGGTACCGTAGGTACCGTACCATAGGTACACGGGCATAATCGTTTATATCAATAGCTATAGTTGGCGCTCGGGGATTTAGTTCCTCCCAAGAAACTGGCTATTAACCCTTACATAGGTAGGCGGCTTAGCTATGGGAGATAAATAAATAAGGCGGCCGCGTGGCTAAGCGGCCTGGCTCTAAGCAAAGCAACTAGAAATCGGGGACGGAGGAGGCAGAGCCCCACACCCGGGTCGAACAAAGGACACTTAGAGCTCGGCGCGGAGCAGGTCGTGGTCCTCGGGCGCGTACATCTCCGCGAGCAGGCGCGGCGCGTACGACGGCGCGTGCACGCCCGCGTTCGTCACGAGCAGGTCGACGAGGTCCGGCGGCACGGCGTCGGCGCGGGGGTGCCGCACGGCCGGCGCCGGCGCCGCGAGCGGGTCGGCGCCGGCGTCGCAGGGCAGCGCGCCGAAGGGCAGCGCGGCCCCCAGGCTCATGTCCGCGGCGACGGCCGCGCGCGCGGCGGCGGCGCCGGGGTGGTGCAGGGGCGCGAGCTTGTAGAGGGCGCAGAGCGCGAGCACGGGCTTGCGGCGCGCGGCGCAGGCCTCCGCCACGAGGCGCGCGCCGGGCTGCGCGATTATGCCGCCGTCGGCGAGCGCCGCGGAGCAGCCCAAAACGGCGCAGCGGCAGCGGCCGGCGACGGCCGCCGCCGCGGCCGCCGTGACGCGCGTGACGGCCGCCGCGGGCAGCGCCCGGGCCAGCGCCGCCGCGGCGCGGCCGTCCTCGTCGACGACCACGACCTCCGCCGGCGCGGCGCGCCGGAGGAAGGCCGCGACGGACCGCGACCGCCCGGCCGTGAGCACGACGGCGCCGGGCGCGACGAGCCCGGGCGCGCGCGCCGCGACCGCCTCGCGCGCGTTCGCGATCTCGTCGGCGAGGTCGCGCAGCTGGTCGAGGACGTCGTCCCTCAGCGCCTCGAGCTCGACGTCGCGCCGGTCGTCGCGGTCCGCGAGCGCGTCCGGCGCGCTCCGCGCCGCGAGGACGTCGCCCAGGCTCCGCTGGAGGCCCGCGTCGTCTTTGATGGACGTGCTCTCGCGCAGGTTGCGCGCGTACTCCTCGCGCACGACGAGCAGCGCGCGCCGCAGCACGTTGCCGACGCTCAGCGCGCCCGGCGCCGCCCGCACGACGCCGCCGCCGACGCGCCGCAGCCGCCGCAGCAGAACGGCGGCGGTGCGCCAGTCGTCCGCGGCCGCGACGCGCTCCAGCAGCGCGCACGTCGCGAGCGCCGCCTGGCTCGCGCTCCGGACGTCGCCCGACCGCAGGCCGGCGACGAGCAGGTCGCGGCGCCGCCGGATGTCGTCCGCCGCGTCGAGCCAGGCCTCGTCCGACGCGGCGCGCGCCGGCGGCGGGGGCCTGGGGAGTGTCATCGTTGTTGTGGTGACGCCGGCGGTATCTCCTCGCTGCCGCGGCGACGCGTCGGCGAGGCGGCGAGAGCTGGAGCCACCTGGACCGGGAGCACTCGCGCTGCGGCAGCGTACGCGGAAGGAGGGATATACGTGCCGCGATACGTGGCCAACGTCGCACAATGAATCGGCCAACGTAGCACTATAAATCGAGCAGAGCCCAATCCTCCAAAATGCCACTGCGTTTCTAGTGTCTTACTGACGCTAGGTGATTATCTCACACCATTTGTGTCTGGGTTCTCGGGGGGCAGGGTGAAACAACACCCTATCGCCAATCCCAATAGACACGGTGGCGAAGCGTTCGGGGTCCGTACTACCTGGGGGTGGGTTCAATAAGTGGCTCTCTCTCTCGTCGTCGATAGCTAAAAGAGGATTGTGTGCAGGAAGGAACGTAAAAAAGATCTCGGTCAATGTCAATCGATAAGCTAGCTAGGTCATTGACAACTCAACTTAGACAGACAGTCTTGACAAGAGTGCAACGGGGGGACAGGGGATATGGTATGTACAGGGGGAGGCGTCGCCGGCGCGCGCTTGGACGGCGGCGGAGCCTCTAGTCTCGCGCTACAATGAGAAAGGCCGGGTAGTTGGCGAACTCGAAGTCCCGCTCAGGCGCCCCGAGCACCAGTGAGCCTCAGTGCAAGAGTTACAACCCTCTACCCAAACCCTCCAAAAAACGCGAGGCTTGCGTCGCCCTCTCTCGATACAAAATCGCGAACATATTCACCAACACCCCTTCCGTTCCAGCTACGCCCCCGAGGCGCGTCGCGCACGCGCTTTTCCAAAATACTTCTTCGCGGCGCCGCCGCGCCGGCGAGCACGAAAAGCCCGCGTCCTCGCAGGCCCACGATGACGCCCCAGGAATTTTTCTCCTCCTGCTTGGCGCCTTTCGTGCTCGTTTTTGGGTTCGTCAAGTTCATGTTCAACGGCATCGTCGCATTGGCTTATAAAGCGATCAAGTTTGCGGCGCCGACACTCGCCAAGCACCGCGACATCGTCGGCCTCTCCTTCATTTTGTGGGTGTTTTACTTCTTGTTCTGCGACACGTCCTCTGATAAGCTCTTTCTGGGCGCCGTAAAAGGCATCTACTGGTTGGTCTGCAAAATCATGGTGTTGATGGCCCGGTACCCGGTGAAGGCGCTCGGCTTCGCCGTCGTCGTACGCAGCGTTGCGTTCCAGTCTCGTTAACCCGATTCTCACTTTTTGACTTCCACAGGTTTTTTCTCTGTGGTACCAATACGGGAACGAGCTCCGTCAAATTTGGCGCCAGTTCAAGCGCGACATCTTCGGCCGGGGCAACGGCGGCAACGGCGGCAACGGCGGCAACGGCGACGGCGGCAACACGGACGATGACGACGACGACGATGACGACAACGACGAGAAGAAGTCCAATTCGAAGCGCCAGAAGCGCAAGGGAATCTCGCCGCTCAAGCCGGTGAAGATCGAGGACGAGGGCATGGGGATCTCGATCTGAGGCTATATATATCCTTCCCGTTGCCGCGCGGCGGCGCGCGCGGCACCTCCCCCGTAATATTTATAACAAATCGACGCCTCCTGTAGGCACACTCTACGAAGCGCCGGGGTGCTTCCCTGGGGGCGGACAAGGCCGCCAAATTTCGCGCCGTCCGGCTAGGTGCGCGTGGACGCTCTCAGCCTTGCTAGTATGTTACACGACGCTAGACAAGACTGTAATTTTTTGCCAGCCGTGGCGGACGCGGCGCGCGCGGCGCAACAGTCCGCAGAGCACGCGCCAAACGCTGTCACAAATCGTGCGACGGCGACGCCGCGCACCGGTCGGCGCTGCGGTCGCTCACCAAATAGCGTCGCGCTCGTCGCACGCCGCGCATGGCGCCGCGCGCACGCCTGCCGCGCCTCGCCGCCGCGCTGCTCCTCGCGGCGGCGGCCCGCGCCATGTCCGCCACGAAAAAGCGCAAGCAGATCCAGAAGCTCAAGGAGCTGCGCGCGTCCGAGTGGGCGCACCGCCGCGCCGACAAGAGCGCCAAGAAGACCATGTACTACGGCATCCCCGACGAGTGGTCGCGGCGCGGCCACATCGCCTGCTCCCGGGAGATCGATAGGGGCGGCGACTTCGTCGTCGCCGTCGCGTCCGACGCGCCCGACGCCGTGCCCATCTTCGCGGCGATCAACAGCACGGCGGCGAACACGCGGCGCCGGCGCTTGGACGTCGTGGCCTTCGTGGGCGCGGCGGCGGCCGGCGACCTCGAGCGGCTCGTGGAGGACCATTTGAGACGCGAGGGGGCGACGCTCGACCTCCGCGTGAGCGTCTGCCGCGGGTTGGACGACCAGCTCCAGCTCCGGCCGGCCATGCGCGCGCTGCAGATGCTCGGCAACTCGACGCGCGTGAAGCGCAAGGAGCTGCTGTCGCCGTTCAACTTCGCGGCGTTCTACCTGCCGCACGTCCTGGCCCACGCGGCGCGCATCCTGTACCTGGACACGGACGTCGTCGTGCGGGGCGACGTCGACGAGCTCGCGCGCATGGATTTGGGGGGCAAGCCGGCGGCGGCCGTCGAGGACTGCTCGCAGGTGCTGCGCAAGTACATTGATTTTCCCCTCGCGGAGGCGTACCGCGCGGCGACGGCGCGGCGCGTCGGCGGCCGCGCGTGCGCCGGGGACGGCTGCGAGCCCATGCCGCGCGAGACGCCGGGCAACGCGACGTGCGTCTTCAACCGGGGCGTCGTGCTCTTCGAGGGCCGGGCCTGGCGGGCGCAGCGCCTCGCGGAGCGCATCGAGCGCCTGGTCGTCGACTTCGTGCACAGCAAGGGCGCGCTGTTCCGCGCGGGCGTGTCGCAGCCGCCGTTCCTCCTCGCGCTCGCCGAGAACTACCACAAGCTGGACGGCGCGTGGAACGTGCGCGGCCTGGGGCGCGACGCCGTCGGCCTGCCCGAGTGGCGGGCCATCGCGGCGAGCGCGCGGCGGGCCTTCGGCGGCTTCGCCGGCGTCGAGCGGGACCTCATGCGGCGCATGGCCGCCGTGGCGCGGCTGCGCGACGCGGCGCGCGCGGCGGCGCTCGCGCGCGGCGCGGCGACGCCCGCGGGCCGCGTCGCCAACCCCTACGCGCGCGGCGACCACTACCCGTACGTCTGCCCGCACGCGGCCTCGGCCAAGATCCTCCACTTCAACGGCGAGGTCAAGCCCTGGCGCATGGCGCGCGCCCAGGTCTCGCACCCGACGCCGGCCGAGGGCGCGCTCTGCCTCTGGGCGGACCTCGGCGCCGCGCGGCGGGCGCACCGGTGCGGCACGGTCGAGGCGTGCCTGACGTCGTGCGCCGGCGAGTGGCACCGGTACGTCGGCGGGCTCGGGCCGCTCGGGGAGCCGTGAGGGTCGGGGCGTGCCTGACGTCGTGCGCCGGCGAGTGGCACCGGTACGTCGGCGGGCTCGGGCCGCTCGGGGAGCCGTGAGGGTCGGGGCGTGCCTGACGTCGTGCACCGGCGAGTGGCACCGGTACGTCGGCGGGCTCGGGCCGCTCGGGGAGCCGTGAGGCTGTGGTTAAGTGACTCTATGTAAGCAAGTTTCGAAACGAAGGGCTTATCGCGCGCGGGAGGGAGGGAGGCGCGGGTCCGACTAGTCGTCGGACATCTGGTCGCGCAGCTCCTCGAGGCCGTCGAGGAACGGCGCGCACACGTGCTCGAGGGCGGCGCGCTGGATCGTGTTGCCGAGGAGGCGCCACGACGCCTTGGAGTCGTTCGCGACGCCGGGCGCGACCGTGACGCGGTCGTGGCGGTAGCCCATGAGGACCTGTGCGGAAATCAACCAGTGAGTCGAGCCGGCGTCGCGTCGGAGAAGCGCCGCGACATTTGATTTCCACGCGGACGAGGACCGAGGTCGCCTTGACGTCCAGCTCGTGCCATTCGGGGTCGCGGCCGGCGGCGGGCGGCGGCGCGGCGAAGTTCACGCCGCCATGGGCCTTGGCGAGCGCGGCCTCGACGGAGGTCTTGATCGGGCCGCGGTCGGGCGGCGCGAGGGCGCGGGGCGTCCGCGCCTTGCCCGCGTTCCCCTTGTGCAGGACGTAGTCGGGCCCGTACGTCGGCAGGAGGACGCGGTCGCCGTGCTTGGCGAGGTAGGCGTCGAGCGCCTCGCGCGGCGACAGGAGGTGCCGCTGGTCGTCGTCCGCGACCGGGCGCTGCGGGAACGTCGAACAAAACGTCCGGAGGCGCGACATCGGGGAGACGTTCGCCGCGTTGAGGCGGAACGTCGACCGGTCGAGAACCGCCTTGATCTTCGCGTCGACATGCGTCGGCGTGTTCCCGAACTCGCCGAGGGCGTGCATCTGCTGAGCCGCCGGCGCGCCCGCGGCGAGCAGCGCGGCCGCGGTGTCCTCCGCCAGCCGCTTCTCGGCCTCGAGGAACTTCTCCAGGCCCTCCGTGTCCGCCTCGTCGCGGTCCTTCACGACCGCGGCGTGGGGCTTGCACGACGGCGTGTTCAGCAGGAACGTGACGGGCCGGCCGCCGAGGATCTCCGCGCGGCGCGTCGGGTCCAGCAGCTGGTGGACGTCGCCGCGCGCGTAGCCCTTCCACGCGTCGGGGACCTCGAACGGCACGGCGGCAGCGCGCGGGTAGCCCGACTTGGCCGTGGAGAGCGCCGCGCCGTCCGTGTCGAAGTAGATGAGCGCGGCGACCGGCGAATCGGCGCCCAGGAGGCGCCGCTCCGCCATGAGGTCGGCCATCGGGTCGATGCCGCCGCCGAGCAAGATGATGACGCCGTCGGGGACGATGGAGTCGCGGAGGCTCTCACCGGCGTCGCCGTGCGGGAGGAACACGGTCGCGCCCGCCGCCGCGCCGCCCGCCGCCTCGACGACGTCGTCCAGCCACTCGCACGCGTTCTCGAAGCCGAGCTCGCCGGCCCGCAGGTCGCGCGCGGCCTCGAGGAAGGCGTCGCGCGGCGCCGCCTCCCACGTGGACAGCGGCAGCTTCCGGGAGAGGTCGCGGGGCCGCAGCGTCTGCAGGCGCCAGAGGTCGCTGCCGGCCGCCTCGCGGACCGCGGCTCGCGCCTCCGCGAGGCCGTCGCCGCCGAGGTGCGCCGCGAGCCACTCGTCGAGGTCGATCGCGGCGCGCGCGGCCTCGAGCTCGTCCGCGGAGGCCGGCGGCGGCCGGGAGGCGCGCGGCGGCGCGTCCTCCGCGGCGAAGGCGACCGCCGCCTCGAGGAACCGCCCCGACGGCGACGGCTCCTCGTCCGCGCGCGTGACGCGCGCGAGCTCGACGAGCAGCCGCGCGAGCTCCGCGTCGTCGGCCGCGTAGAAAAAGGGCCACTGCCACCGCGGCGGCGCGCCGCCTGGCCGGGCGTACGAGAGCCACGTCCGGCCCGCCGTCGCCGTGGCGCCGAAGACCGCCCCGGACGACTGCAGCGCGCGCCACTTGCGGTCGAAGACGGCGGCGTCGAGCTTCGAGAAGAGGTGCAGCGCCGCCATGCGGAGGCGGCCCAACGACCGCGCCTCGACGGCGGCATCGAGCGGGCCGAACGCCTGTTCGGCGCCCTCGTACGCGTAGGCGTCCGTCTCGGCATAGACGTCGGCGAGCGCGCGCAGGAGGTGGTAGGCCTCGGGGAGCTCCGTGAGCGGCGCCACCGCGGCCGCGGCGGCCGGTAGAGCGACGGGCGGCGCCGCCGCGGCTTCGCGCGCGGCGGCGGCGCGGAGCGCGACGAGGAGCGTGCCCGCCGCGCGCCGCGCCTCGAGCTCCAAGCGGCAGCAGCGCGCGAGGATGCGGTCCGCGAAGCGCTCGACGACCGTCGGCGGCGCGCCCGGCTCCAGCTTCGTCCGCGTGCACGTGGCGAAGGCGTGGGCATGCGCGTTCGCGGCGAGCGCGAGGTCGACGGGGTCGAAGCAGGCCGCGGCGCGAGGATCTGGCTCGACGCCGGCCGCGAAGGCGTGCTCCGCGGCCTCGGCCGCGGCGAGCGCGTCGGCCGTCGCCGCGGCGCCGCCGCACACGACGATTTTACCTAGGGCCTTGGACCGGGCGAGCCGCGACAGAACGCCGGCGCCGTAGCCCGGCGCGGCGAAGTCGAGGAGGATCCGCGCCAGCTGCGTCGACGTGATGCTGCGCAACGGCTCCGAGCGCTTCGACGCCGCCCCGAGCAAGCGGCGCACGGCGGTCTCGTCCCCGCGTAGCGTGGGGGGCAGGTCGTAGAGGCCGAGTCGATCCTCGACGTCGACGACGAGGCCGTCGACGAGCGCGGCGATGACCTGGTCCTCGGCGCCCGGCCGCGACGCGCCCCACACCTGCGCCGCCGAGGGCCCGGCGTCGACGTCGGCCGGCGCCAGGGCGCGCAGCACCGCCGTCTTCGTCGTGTAGGCCTCCCCGGCGGCCGACACGTACGCGTCGAATTTGCCGTCGTCGTCGAACCGCACGGTCCAGTCGTCCGTCGCGCTGCGCGCGACGTCCCTCCTCTTGAGGAAGGTGCGGAGTCTCTTCAGTTCCGCCTCCCGCTCGGCGTCGGTCGGCTCCGGCGCGCGGCGCGCGGCGCGGTCGCGGGGCGGGCCGCGCTTCTTCTTCGCGGGGATCACCTCGGCACACTCGTCGCGCTTGCGCGCGTTTTTTCTAGCTCCAGCTTTCTTCTTCCCCATGGCTTCGTGGCGTTTGCCGGTGGTTCCGGGTGCAGCTCCTGTGCGCTGCCGCACCGGAGAGCGGTGGCGTTTGCCGGTGGTTCCGGGCGTATCCGTGCGCTGCCGCACCGGAGAGCACAGCACTGCTCTCTTTGTGTTCAGCTCTTGCGTGCGTAGACCAGTGCAATTCGGGCAGGGCTTCCGAGCACTGATAGCTTAGGCCTGGCGTTCCTTCTTGCAGCTGTATTCGCGTCAGGCAGTCGAATCCTGTTTGTTCGTCGTCGTCTCCGGGAGACCAAGGCCAAGGGGTACCTAAGGTACTAAGTACAAGTATATATATGAGTACCCCTTGGGGAGGCTGGCTAGAGCACGGTATTTGTGCCCTCGGGGACTCTACGTGCCCGGCGACGTTGGGAGCGGTGGTACGAATCGGCTACTTATTAGTCGGGGTCTAGGGTGGCGGCGTTTTCGCGGGCGCGGCGCGCGGCTCGCGCGGCTCGCAGTTCGTTCTCAATTCCCTTTGTGGTCGGGTGCGCGATCCGTTCCGTGTCCTCGAGCGTCGCCACGGCCTCGCGGAGATCATCGAGCGTGGCGTCGGGGTCGTAGTAGAGCGCCCGCGCGTAGATTTCCCTCACCTAGCCGCGCGTTTCGCCTTGCTTACTTCGACGCGCGACCCAGGGGCCAGGGCCGGTATTCAGGCGGTGTACGATGGGCGCTGCACGAGGGACGAGGCAGCACAGGAGCTTGAGGAGGCAGCTGCGCCATTCTAGAGCCGAACTTGAGCTAGTAGCCGCCGAGCTTGATCAAATTTCGCAGAGGAGGTCGTCGACGGCGCTGGGATCAATCCGTGGATCTCTCTACTCTCGGAAATGGAAGAATATTTTTGATTCGGACGCGGGTAACAGGTAGGCCCAGGACGCTACGCGTTCTCCTGGGTCCGGATCGTACAGGTTTGGAATTGATTGCTCGTCAAGTCCAAATTGAATTGAGTCGAATATCTTGTCCAACACCGCACACATCGCGGCGCGTCGTGGGCCAGTGGGGCGGCGCAGGCGGGGCATGTTGTGAGGATCATTTTTGCCTTGGTGGGTGACTTGTGAGTGTCGCGCGAGTTGAGATATGCTGGATTGCCTGTCAAAAACCCGAAACAAACATGGCCAACCAACGACTTTTCTCCAGCCGCAGAGACTTGTCGGGACGCGTCGCCCCGCGGAGCGATCCGGCCCGGTTCGGTCGGAAAAACCCGTTTAAAACGCGAAAAAGACCGCTTTTGCTTCTCCCGGGGCTGCCCCGTCCCGGTGCACCGAGCAGGCAGCCATGCGGCCACCGCTCCGGCAGCACGCCCTCGCCGTGCGCGGCGGAGGAGCCGAGCCGGACCTTCACATCGCGGGCAAGCTCTTCCCCGCGCTGCGCAAGACGGTCATCTCGGGCGAGCGGCTGAGCGAGGCGCTGGCCAAGGTCCTCGACGCGGCGGCGCTCGCCGACCTCGCGGTCATCGCGGCGCTGTGGCTCCTCGCGGACCCGCTCCTGCGCGGCTGGCGGCGGCTCCACCGCGAGGCGCGCGCCGCGCCGTGGGACCGGAGCTTCGCGCGGCTCTGGGCGCGGGGCCTGCGGCGCCTCGCCGCGACGATGGGCGCGCTCTACGTTTTGGATTTGGGCTGCCTCGCGGCGCAGACCATGGGCGTGCCGCTGGGGCGCGACGACGTGCCGCTGCTCGCGGCGTCGTTCCTCTACCCCGTCTGGTTCGGGCGGCTGGCCTCAAATATAAAAAGGCGGGCGCTCAGGGTCTACCCGTCGCGCGAGGGGCCCGTCGCGCCGAACGGCGACGGGAAGGTGTTGGTCTACGACCGGCTCTGCGACGTCGCGCTCGCCGTCTTCGTCGCGGTCGTGATCCTCGAGCTGCTCTCGCTGGAGCTGGGCGTGGCCTTCGCGTCGTTGGTGGCCGTGTCGGGCGCGTCGTCCGTCGTCGTCGCCCTGGCCTGCCAGGAGCCGCTCAAGCACGTGATCAACGGCCTGCTACTAACGTTCAGCGACAAGTTCCGGCCGGGCGACGAAATTAGTTTTGGGGACGTCGCGGGGACGGTCGTCAACTGGGGCTGGTTCGACACCAAAATAAGGCAGTACAACGAGCGCACCGTCGTCGTGCCGAACGGCCAGATCATGAACGCCAAGCTCATCAACATCAGCCGGCAGCGCTGGGGCCAGTACAAGACGGAGCTGCGGCTGCGGCTCGAGGACGGCCCGATCATGGACGAGGTCGTCGCCGCGATCCGCGCGGCCGTCGCGCCGCACGCGATCTCGCGCGACCGGAACGTGTGGGTCCACTGGCGGCGCATCGACCGCGACGCGCTCGTCGTGGTCGTCGACGTGAAGCTGCCCGTGCCGTCGGGCACGACGGCCTACCACGAGTTGGTGGAGAGGCTCAACGCGAACATCGTGCGTGCCATCAAGGAGGCCGAGGCCGACCTCTGCCTGCCGACGTCGCGGCGCATCTAGGCGGCCGCGCCGGAGAGACGTAAGGACCTTAAGTTTACCGGGGCACGACTTGGTACGCGCGTCGCCCCGGACCCCGCTCGTCCGTCACGCCGGGGAGACGTAAGTACCTTCAAGTTCATTTACCGGGGCACGACGTGGTACGCCGTCAGGTCGCGCCGCGCGTCGCCCCGGCCGGGGTCGGCGAGCGGCGTCACCCAGTCGCGCTCGCGCGCGTCGCAGGGCGGCCGCTTGTTGTGCCTCGCGGCGCCGTCGCGCAGGCGGTGCGGCACGACGAACGTCGTCGGCGCGGCGGCCGCCGCGAGCGCGTCGACGTCGCGCACGGCGACGACGTCGCCGACGGCCGCGAAGAAGAGGCCGCGCCACGCCGCGGCGTCGCCCTTGACTTGCGCGTGGGCCCACTTCACGAGCGGCGCCGCGGCCGCGTGGTCGACGTGCCGCGCGGACGTCTGGGCCCGCGGCGCCGCCGCGCACGGGAGCGGCACGACGAAGACGCCGTCGGGCAGGGCCGTCGCGTCGAAAACGCCGTCCTCGGCGTCGTCCAGCAGGTCCAGGGCCCTGAGGTCGGCGCCGTCGCAGACGCCGACGACGACGCCCCCGAAGGCCCTCCGCGCGGCGCAGACCGACCGCCGCACGAGCGCCGGCTCGAGGTCCTCGTCCAGCGGCAGGGCGAGCAGGGCGACGAGGTCCGTCGCGTTGCGCCGCGTCCGGGCGACGGGCGCCTCGAAGGCGCACGCCGCGGCCGCGCGGCACCGGTGGCACACGCTGAAGCTGGCGTTCGCCGGGGCGAGCGCCCAGACGTGCCAGGCCGGCGACCACTTGAGCGCGTCGATGGCCTCGGAGAGCTGGCTCAGGTCCTTGAGGGGCTGGCGGACGCGGCCGAAGTCCGCTGCCTTGACGGCGTCGCGCTGCGCGAACCAGGCCTGGGCCCGCTTCTCGGCGACGGCCCAGCAGCGGCCGAACGTCGTCCCCAGGGCCTCCGCGGCTGACCGCAGCCGGCGCTCCCGCGAGGAGCCGGCGTAGGGCGCCCTGCCGAAGGCCCGCACCGCCCGGACGACGCCCTCGAGCTCGTCCCGCGACACGGGCGGCCGGCGGTCGGCGCCCCGCCACGGCAGCGGGTCCCCGCCGCCCCGGCGCACGCTGTTCCGGCGGCCGGCGCGGTAGATGTGGTGCGGCGGCGCCGGCGCGGCGCGGCCGTCGGACGTCGCGACGAGCTCGCCGTTGCACATGTTCTGGCCGAAGCGGAGCCGGCGGCCCTGGGGCGTGGCGTAGTCCTTGCTCGTGCCCGCGGGGAACGGCTCCTCGAGCCGGTTCGGGACGACGTAGACCTGGCGGCCGAGCGCGGCGACGAGCGCCCGGGGCGACAGGGCGGCCCGCAGGACCTGGTCCGCCTCCGTGAAGAAGATGTAGTCGACGGCCGCGTAGCGGCCGTGGCCCGCGTCGATCAGCTCCTGGACGCGCCGGAAGAGCGTGAAGGACAGGTGCGCGCCGTGGGCGACGTCGAGGCGCAGGACCTCCGAGGCGTTGACCGCGCCCGCGACGTACGCCTCGTCGGCCGCCGACGCGACGCCGACGACGAGCGCCGCGCCGGGGAAGGTGTTGCGCACGGAGCACGCCACGCCCCGGAGCTGCAGGAGCTTCTCCTCCACGGACACCTTGGAGTGGGCGTTGCCGCCCTTCTGGGGCAGGCCGCCCCAGAAGGGAATGAGCACGAGCGGCGGCGCCGCGCCCGCCGGGTAGTCGGCGGCGGCGCGCGGCTCGTCGCAGGCCCGCGCGGCGTCCTCGGCCTGCCTCCGCATGAGGACCTCCGGGTCGCGCGCGCGGCGGCGCACCGCGTGCTCGTACTCCGACAGGTGCTCGACGTAGAAGTCCGTCGCCCGCGCGCTCTTCAGCGCCACGCGCGGCCGCCCGTTGCCCCCCTGGTGGTAGACGTTGTAGTCGTGGTACTCCATGCCCAGCGAGTCGCCGAAGGCCGTCTCCTGGAAGAGGTCGCGCCGCGCGAGCCAGGCGCCCGCGTAGGCCGCGACGGGGCCGTGGCAGTTGCGCCAGAGCGTGACCTGGGCCGCGGCCGCGGCCGCGGCGCCGAGGGGCAGCAGGCGCCTCATTCTACACGGCCCGGCGCTCGCCGCGGACTATGTGTCTTGAGCCTTCGCTTTACTCGGCCCGCAAATATGGGTGGCGCACGGGGGGCTGCATCCGCCCGCACGGCGGTGTGTGGACGACTGCGGACCGTCGCACTTGGGGGCTGGCGCGACGAGACGAGGCTGCCCGAAAACGCGTGCGCCGCGTGAGAGGCGCTCGACGGCTTTTTGCTGGGGAATAGCTATAGTCAATTCGGGTTGCGGGGGCGCGCGCCTACGGCTTGCTGCTTGCTATTCCAACCAAAACGGGTTTTAGAGGCTCATGTCAGTGTTGCGTGTAAGTGGGCGCGTCTCATACTCTAAATAGTCACTATGTTGCTACGACTCACGGGCGCCCTGGCGGCGGCGGCGGCGCCTCGCGCCGCGCTCGACGCGCTGCCGCCGCCGCCGTGAAGGCTCGACGCACGCCACAAGAATTCCCTATGGTCACCGAAGTCCCCAAGTCCCCACGCCCACCCGTCCGACCAGCGGAGGTCTTTTGAAGTTTTAACTTTTGGAGAACATATCTGTTTTCATCGCTACTTAGTCGGCGCGGGGGATCTCGACTCTCGACTCCAAACCCCAGACGCGGAGGCGACGACCCGCCGTCTTACCCAGCCCCCGCGCGGGGATGGGCGCTTCAGCCGGTCAGCCGAGGAACCTCGCCCTGATTGGCAAGCTAGCGGCATGTAAGACACTAGCAAGCCTGCGGAGCGCCTCGGCGCCAGGCTCATTAATGCGTTCACCGAGCGCCCGGTAGCTCCGACGACTGGCGCAGAAGCCACGTTATACTCCACTCCCTGCCGGGGCAGCGCGGCGCAGCCGCCACGCGTGTGACCTTTGGGCAGCCCCTACCTGCCCAGGTGGGCCAGGCCCCACGATGGCCAGCGAGGCGAAGCAAGAGACCAACCGGAGCGACCCCGACGTCGTCCGGCTCGGCCCCAAGTTCGCGCCGGGCACGTGGTTCTGGCAGGAGGCGCCGGCGCCCGCCCGGAAGGGCGCGAGGGCGAAGCCGCCGCGCTGGGTCCAGTACGAGCAGGACCAGGCCAACCGCCTCGAGTGGTGCCACCAGGCCGGCGTCCAGCGCGTCGTCTTCTGCCGCGACGACGACTGGGTGGATTTGAGGGAGATGGTCCGGAGCGACGGGCGCCGCGTCCGGCGCGACGCGCCGCCCGAGGCGGCGCCGGTCCCGCGCGGGCCGCGGTCCTACGAGGGCGACGAGGCGGCCGCGCCGGCGCCGGCGGCCGCGCCGGCGCCGGCGGCCGAGGCGGCGGCGCCGGCGCCGCCGCCCGCGCCCTGGGACGTGCCCGTCAACGGGCGCGACTCGATCCCGGCCTACATGCGCAACAAGCCCGCGGACCCGTCGAAGGTGTCCGAGGTCGGCTACCCCTACTGGTGCACGGGCAGCGGCGCCCCGCCCGAGCTGCTCGAGAAGCTCGCGGCGGAGCTCGAGGCGTCCTACAAGGAGCCGGTCAAGTGGGAGGACCCCTGGGTCTACCGGCCGACCGAGGAGTACGTCCCCGACCGCGTCGAGGTCGACCCGGTCCCCGAGTGCCTCAAGGAGCTCTTCGACGAGGCCAAGAACCCGTGCGACATGCCGTCGGCCTACTAAGCACCTAGGCCCTAACTTACGCGCCCCGGCGGGGGCGCGAGGAGGTCCTCGCCCCCCGCGAAGGACGAGAGCTGGTCGTTGATCTCGGACGCGACCCACTCGAGCTCGCCCCGCGGGAGGCCGTCGCCGAGGCCCCACGCCCGCGCGCCGGCCACGAGGCGGCACGCGTACTGCGGCACGCCGTTCGTCACGACGGTCACGGCGACGTCGGCGCCGGCGAGCTCGTCCGTGGCGCCGCGGTCCGAGCTCACGGCGACGCCGCCGGGCAGCGTCTGGGAGAGCTCCCACGCGTAGCGGCCGACGGACAGCGTCGTCTTCTTCGCCGGGTCCACGAGCGTCGTCTTGAGCACCGCGCCGCCGGCGAGCCAGAACGGCGCCATGAAGACGCCGCCGAGCACCGCGCCCGTCGCGACCATGCCGGCCGTCGCGGGCACGATGGCGGAGAACCACGCGGCGCCGAAGGCCGCGCCCATGAGCGTCGAGCCGCCGAGGCCCGCCGGCGGCACCGTGAGGAGCAGCGTGCCCGCGTCGCTCCTATCTATAAGGGTCCGGGCGTTCGCGGGCCGCGGCCGCGGCGCGGACCGCTTCGCCTCCGCCAGCCGCCGCTCGGCGTCCCGCAACCGCGCCGCGGCCGCCTCCACGTCGTCGCGCGCCGCGGCGACCTCGTCGTTGTCGAAGACGTGCCTCGCTATACGGCGCGTCCGTGGTCGCGGCGCCGGGACGAGCCCTCGCACGCCTGCTACCGCGCCCAGCAGCAGCAGTTTTCGCCGCATCCCGCCTTCGTCCGATTAGTTTCGGCACTGGCCTCTCCGAGCTCTTTGCCCACCTCTGCTGCGGCTGTCCCAAGGGTCCAGACCGTCGCACAGCTGGGTAATCCTAGCGGAGAGGGTAGCGAATGGGGTACTGCAGCGTCAATTGATAAATGCAGGGGCCGTATAGCCCCAAAACCTCGAGCAAGCCAGCAAGCCGCGCTAGCGTACAGTAAGATACTAGCAAGCAAAGCCTGGGCAGGCTGGGCTTGCTGCTGTACCTGTAAAAGCAAAGAGATACGTTACGTGCACATTGCAAGGCTGCAGCTCGAAACCGTATATGAGGCGTGACAATCACTGCTAGCAGCCATGCGCGCCGTGCAAGCAGCGCTCGCGCTGCTCCTCGCCGCCGCCGGGGCGAAGAACCACGGCGACGAGCTCGCGTTGTTTGTCAGACAGTACGCCGAGAAGACATTAACAAAAACGGCGGTCGACGTCCACCGATTGGCAGCCGCGGCCGACGCGCACCGGAAGCGGATAAGAGACCACTACGGCTTCGACGACGACGTGGGTAAGAAAATAGACGAGTTCATGACCTATGGCCGGGGCACGAAAACTCTCGAAAGAAAGCTGCTCGGAGGGATCAAACGAGGCGAAGTGCGGATCGCGCAGCTCGGCATCTCAACCACCGCAGGCCACGACGTCTACCACAACGAGAGCTTCCCGCACGTCTTTGCGAGGCACTTCGGGGCTGTATTGAGGACGGAGGGCATCAACTTGCAATTCCGGAACCACGCGGTCGGCGGCTTCGGCAGCATGCCTTCACACACGTGCGTGATTACGATGGCCGGCGCCGACAACGACGTCGTGGCCTGGGACTACCAGATGATGGCCGACCGCGGGTCGTGCGCCGTCGAGCACTTCGTGCGTCATTTACAGACGGACGGGAGTGCGCCGGCGGTCCTCTTCTGGCAAGGGGGCGTGTTCCTGCCGAAGGACGACGACCACAAAAAGCGTGTTCCGGCGGGGAGCAACGCGAAGCAGAGTTGCGGCGGGAAGTGGGTCGTCGATTCTTATTCCGGTGTCGGCGCGCATTCCGGGGACTTTGGGGGGTTGTTGGTGCATTTGAGGAGGAGCGGTTTCGAGGCATTGAAGAAGGGTTCCGAGAAGCTCTTCCACGAGGGCAAGGGCGACCCGCCCCGGCCGGATATGAGCGAGCCGGCGTTGCCCCGGCGGCGATTAGCGAGGCACCACCCGGCGGCGGGCCTCCACCGGCTCTGGGGGCTGTGCTGGGCGCACGCCTATCTCGGCGTTTTAAGCAGAGCCCTGCGGAGGGAGGCGCTCATCGAGGAATCGGTTCCACCTTTACCGAAGCGCATGGGCTGCGAGGCCGCGCTCTGCGACCGGTCCCCGACGTGCCTCACGAGCATGCGGCCGCGCGTCGGCCACGCCCTCGAGGACGCGGTCGTCGACGCGTCGGGCTGGGGCCCGCGCGAGGACGCGCGCTGGGCGGCGCACCCCATGGGTTATGTGGACCGCAAGGTGCTGTTCTCTTCGTCGGCTACGAGCGGCGAGGCGACGTTTGCCATCGACGTGAAGACTTCCAGTAGACCCCTCGTGGCCTGCGAGGCGCCGTGCCCCTGGGGTCGGTGCCCGGCCGGGCGCCTGCCGCTCAAGGGCAACGTGCGCTGGACGCTCGACGGCGCGGCCGTGGCGCTCCCGGCGAAGCCGCCCGCGGCCCTCAAGATCTACGACGTCAAGGACACGTGCCACGTCGTCATCGAAGCGCTGGCCGCCGGCCGCCACGTCGTCGGCCTCACGTTCGCGCCGCCGCCGGGCGCCGCCAAGAAGGCCGCGCGCGGGCGCAAGACGGGCGCGCCCTACGCGGGCCTCACGCACCTGATCTTCTACTAGGATGTCTGTTGTTCGCTAGCCTCTCGTTAAACCACCGGGCTTTTCACTCCCTGGCGGGCTCCCCCGCGCCTCGCGCCCCAGCCCGATCACTCGCTGGCCCCGGCCGCTAACGTTGCGGTGCTAAGACTCGTGGGCGACCCGGCGCCGGAAGCTACTAGACAACGCGCTCTCAACAAAGCCATGCTCTCCGAGCCAATAGCCCAGGTGACGCGACCTAGAACCGGCAAGAGGCCGCCCCCCATGCTCTCCGAGCATTTATAGATCACCAGGAGGCTGCCCCGGGAGCGGAAAGCGCGCAAAACATGTACTACACGGCCTACGGCCTCGTCAACTCCCCGGAGCCGCGCGTCCAGCCCCTTCTGCCCGACGTGACGCCGCGCCGCCGGCGGCGCGCCCCGACGCCGCCGCCCCGCTCGCCGGCGCGCGCCTTCGCGACGGCGGCCCGCGATTCGCCGCCACGAAAAAGCCGCCCGAAGAGCGCCTTCGCGACCGCGGCCCGCGAGCGCACGCCGTCGCCGCCACGACGCCGACGCCCGACGAGCGCACCCGTCAAACGAAACGACGCGGCGGCGTCCGAGCGAGCGCGGGCACGCTGGAGCAGCGTGAAGGTGAAGATCAAGACCATCACGGCCCTCGCGCAGCAGCGGCGCAGCGTCCGGAGTTTGGTCAAGGGCCCCGCGCACCGGACGTATGTCCCGGACGCGAAGACGAGGCGGCGGCTCCTCGTGCTCGAGGCCGACGGCGCGGGCGACGCCTGGGACGCGACGCTGAAGTGTTATTGTTTCGCGCACGTGCGAGGGAAGGGCGCCACGGACGACCCGCAGCACTGGGTCGTCTATATTGTCAGAGATGCAAGGGAGGGCGCGTCGGCCAAAGCGGACGCCGCGGCGCGCGCGTTACGCGGGGCGCCGTGGCCGCAGCGCGTGCGCGTGCTCGACGGCGTCCGGCCGCCTCAAAATCTGTGCGGCGCGTGCGTCGCCGCGGACTGCGGCGGCGCGCCGTGCCGGGACCACGCGCGGCCCGGCCTGCAGAAAGAGACGATGGCGACGGTCGCGGCGCCCGGGGCCTTCGACGTCTACGCCGTCAAGCTCCCGTCGGCGGGCTGCGTGCCGCCGTGTCCGCGCTGCGGCGCTTCCGCGGGCCACGCGGCGCCGCCGTCGGCACCGCCGCGCCTCTACCGCCTCGCGTCGCGGTTCGCGGACGGCGGCCGCTTCCCCTCGTCGAAACGCTGTGCGCGCGCGCTCCGGGCCGCCGCGGTGCGCGAGGGCGGCATTGATGGAGACGCCGCGCGTGCCGCCGCGGCCGTCGCCGCCTACGCCTGCGCCGGCACCAATAATGACGAGGCGGGCGTCGCGGCGTTCTGCCGGGCGCGGGCGGCGCTGCGGGCGGCGCCGGGCGCCGCGTCCGCGGCGCTCGTGGCCGCCTGGCGCGCCGCGGGCTACTCCGAGGACGACGCGGTCTTCGTCGAGGCGGCCGCGCGCGCGGCCGACCACGCCGCGGCGGCGTCCCAGGTGCGCGCGGCGCCGCCGGCGGCGCGCTTCGCGGAGCGGTGCGGCCCGTCGCCGCGGCGGCGCCGCGCGCCCGCGGACATCATAGAGCCCGTGGGGGTCGTGTTCCTCGAGTAGGGTGAGTTTTCTAGAGTAAGTACGTGCGGGTTTTCACACGACCAGGGACGCTCTCGCGCCCCCGGACCCCTCGCAACGGCTCCCGCCGGCCGCTCGACGTGTCCCGCGCCGGGCCCGCGCGGGCCGGCCGCCGGGCTTTTTTTGCAATCTATGCGCGGCTGTTTCCGCGCCGTGCGCTCCTGACACGAAGCCGCGCCGACGCGGGCAGCGCCGGGCAGCCTTCTGTTTGAAGGGAGGCGCTCCTTCCACGAAGCGCGCGCCAGGAGCTCATAACACTGGGAAGACAAAATGGGCAAGGAGGAGGCCGACCCCGATAATATTGTGGAGCACGCCGGCTACTCCGACGAGTCGGCGAAGGAGCTCGAGCAGCACAAGGCCATCAACAAGCTCGATGTCGGCAAGGACTTCGCGGGGCCGCGGTCCGAGCGCAAGTGCACCGATGTTTTATGGCTCCTCATTATCATCGCGCACTGGATCGCCGTGACGTGGCTCGGGATTATTGCGTTTGGCTGGGTCGAGTCCCCGGCCATCGGCCAGGGCCGGCCCTACATCCTGACGAATTGGATCGACCACAACGGCTGGATCTGCGGCAAGGAGGGCCACGGCGGCGCCGTCGAGTCCAAGCCCTACCTCTACTACCCGAACCCGACGGGCAGCGAGTGGAACGTGGCGCTCTCGGGCCCGTCCCTGGGCAAGCTCCCGCCGTCGGGCTACGGCTTCTGCGTCCACAAGTGCCCCGAGAACAACCTGGAACTGGTTTACGACTACACGTCGTGCGAGGACGGCGTCTGCGACAGCTGGGCGGCCTACGAGACTTTTGACTTCGTGAGCTACTGCATCCCGGACGGCTCCGCCTACCTGAACATCGACACGGGCATGACGGACGCCAACGGGACGGCCATCTCAGAAAGACAAGACCCCGAACTCACCGACGACGCGCTCGAGGAGAGCACGGGCGCGGTCTTCAAGTGGTTCCAGGAGCTGCTGTCGGACCTCATCGTCACGAAGGTGCCGTGCGCCATCACCGGGTTGGTCCTGCCCTTCGTCTGCGGCTTCCTCTACATGCGTCTGCTCCGGGTGCCGGGCGTGCTCTTCACGATCGTCTGGGGCACGATCCTCATCGTGTTCCTCGTGATGCTCGCGCTCGGGGCGCTGCTCTACGCCCAGTACGAAAGCTACGCGCGCGTCGACGACGATGTGGTGGATGCGGAGAACGACACCTACGAGCTGGCGTCGCAGATCCTCGCCTACATCTGCTGGTTCTGCGCCGCGCTCTTCTTCTGCGCCGTCTGCTGCATGCGGCGCCAGATCATGCTGGCCATGGGCGTGGTGAAGGAGGCCGCCAAGGTTGTGAATTCTATGATGCTCATCGTGATGCTGCCGATCGTCCAGGGTATTGGGATTACCATCTTCCTGGTCGTGTGGTTCATCTACATCGTCTTCATCGCGACGGCCGGGGAGAAGAACTTCATCGAGAAAGATTCAAAAGGGAGCTTCTACAACAGAGGTAAAAATTCGTTCGGCATGGAACTGCCGGACAAGCTACCCTACCACACCTTCGAGGTCACCGAGAACCAGGAGAGCGCCCTCTGGTTCATGCTCTTCGACCTGTTCTGGACGATGGAGTTCGTCGAGGCCCTCGGGCAGATCATCGTCGCCACCGCGGCCGCTACGTATTACTTCACGCGGGACCGGTCGACGATCGGCAACTCGACCGTCGTCTTCGCGGCGCGGCACGCGACGTGGTACCACGCTGGCACGGCGGCCTTCGGTTCGTTCATCATCGCCGTCATCAAGATCATTAAAGCGATCCTCATGTACATCCAGCGCAAGTGCGAGAACGCCATCGACGCGACGGGCGACGGGCCGGTCCAGCGCATGCAGAAGAAGATTGCCAGGGTCGTCTTCTTCTGCTTCCAGTGCTGCATCTGGTGCCTCGAGAAGTGCATGAAGTTCATCAACAAGGAGGCCTACATCCAGACGGCCATCTTCGGGCACCCCTTCTGCACGGCCGCGCGCAAGGGCTTCTTCCTGGTCTTGCGGAATTTGAGGCGCGTGGCGGCGCTGGAGACGATCGGCGGCGCGATCTTCTTCATCACGAAGCTCATGATCGCCGCGACCTGCGCCCTCGTGTGCTACATCTGGCTCGGCCAGGCCTTTACCGAGGAGACGCACTCGATCGTCTACCCTACTTTACTGGTCGGGCTCCTCGCCTACAACCTGGGCGACATCTTCGTCGACGTCGTGGACATGGTCGCGGACACGCTGCTCATCTGCTTCATCGCCGACGAGGAGATCTACGGCAAGAACTCGGCGGAGTGCTTCGCGCCCGAGGGTTTGCGCAAGTACATCAACTCGCACCAGAGCGACGCCGCGAACCCGGACATGATCGCGACGTCCTCGGACCAGGCCTGAGCAGGTCGTTCCTCCCCCCCGCGCGGCACTCGCTTAAGTGCTATTTTACCCACGCCGCGTCGTGCCCAGCATGTTCCGCCGCGTGCCGCCGTAGTACCGGCGGACGTCGCTCCTCTTCCACGTGCGGCCGTCGGGCGGTAGCCGCCCGACCGTGGGCCGCACGGGCGGGATCCAGACCTGCGTCGACTGGTTCCACCGCGCCTCGCAGGCGTCGAGCGCGTCGCAGCAGCGGCACGCCCCCGGAACGTGGCGCGGCGCCGGGCACGGGTATTTGTCATATTCGCGGTCCGGGAGGAGTGTCGCCAGCGGATCGTAGCTCTGGCGCTCGTCGTTGTCAGATTCGGAGTCGCTCGAGGAGTAGTCCGACGTCTCGCCCGTGGAGTCGAGGAGCGCGCGGATGCGCCGCGCGCGGTGGCCCGCCTTGCCTGCAAGCTCTAGTGACGTGAAGCCCATGGAATCTTTGCTACCGGCCGAAGCCCCGGCCTTGAGCAACAACCGGACGCAGTCGACGTGCTTCGCGACGCATGCCAAATGTAACGGCGTCATGCCGTTGAGGTCTTCGCAGGCGTCGAGCGGGGCTTCGTCGTCGTCGTCGTCGTCGTCACGGTCGCGCACGACGCGCAGGATCGCCTTGAGGTGGTCCGTGGCACCGCCCGCGGCGGCGTGATGCAACCACGACCAGCCGTGCGCGTCGCGCGCGCCGAGGCCGCGCCGTTTCAGCGCCTCCTCGAGGAGGTCGACGTCGCCGCGCGTCGCGCACCAGCCGATCGAGTCCTTGAGCTTTTTGTCGACCTTCCGGTCGCCGCGGTACGGCTCGGCGGGTTTGTGGCCCCTCGTAATGACTCGGATCCGAGGCTTCCGGAGGGGCGAGGCGGGCGCCGGCCGGCGTCGCGTGGGCGCTTCCGTGCCTTGGATGCGCTCCGCGGGCACGCCTTCTACCCGGCCGTAATTGGCAAAGTCGAGGTCGCACGCGTCGTCTCCAACGGCCACGACGCGGGCCTTGTGCCAGCGGCCGCCTTCGCGCCGGCGGGCGCGGACCTTGACGCCGACTCGCGGGAGGGTCGCGGTGCCAGGCATACAGCACCCTGCAAGGAGTACGATTCACGGGCGGCGCACCAAGGCAGCCCTTCGCCGATCGGCTGGCGTGATTTGGCGCCAACGCCCGCTGGCTTCCGGCGCTCGGGGGCAGCTTCTCCGCCGCCGCAGCACGCAGAGCGCTGCTTGTAGCGCCGGTGGCTCTCCTGGTCCCAACGAGGTCTGGTGGAGCCTCGCCTCCATGCGTGGTACGACGCTCCAGGAGATGGTCAGAACAGTTACACACAAAACCTACGACGGCGACGACGCCGCGCGCCGCGCCGACGCGGGCGGCGTCGGCGCGTCGCCGAGCCCGGGCGGCGGGCTCGGCGGCGCCCCACCGAAGCCCGGCGGCGGCCCGAGGCGCGCCGCGAGCTTCGCGAGGCGCGCGGCGCCGTCGGCGGGCCGCACGGCCGCGCGGAACGGGTCGGCCGCGACCGCGAAGCGCGCCTCGAGCTTGGCCAGCTTGGAGGCGTCGGCGGCGGGCCGCCGCGGCAGCGCGAGCGTCGCCAGCGCGCACGTCCGCTCCATCTCGCCGCGGCGCCCCGGCGCGTCGTCGGAATCGCCGGCCTCGACCGCGGCGATGACATTTGAGGAGGCGGCGCCGAGGCCGCGGCAGCGCCGCGGTCTCAAAATTCCTTGAATGAGGGGCGCGCCCGTTTCTAGTGAAAAAGCGGCCCAGGCGCCGCCGCCCGCCGCATAGCAAATGTTGTTGTGGATGATAACGTAAGTGCCGCCGCCGTCGTCGTCTCCATGGAGTTTCTGGGACCACCGCTCACTGCCCTTGTGGTTAAAAGCCACGAGGCTCCCGAGGCGCGTGGATACCACGACGACGTCGTTTGAGGCCGCAAGACATTGCGCGCGGTCCGCCGGGAGCGGCGCCGTCCATGCTAGATCTCTTGCCGATTTCAGTAAAGCGAGCTCGCCGTCCAGCGCCGCCGCAAAGACGTCCTCATCCAATGTTGCGATGCAGACGCAGCACCGCCCGGGCCACCCGATCGTCTCGTCCTCGACGTTCTCGACGCCCGCGAAGGTGCCTAGTCTCAACCGATCCCTCGCGTCGAAGGCGAGGTCCTTGACCTCGCCGACGGGCTTGTATGATTTCGTACAGTACAGGACGCGCCTTCTCGAAGCGACCGCGAGCCCGCCCTGTGAATCCCACGCGTGCGCCACGACCATCTCGTGCGCTTCGAGCGCGACCTTCGGCAATGTTAGGGGAGAGCCTCCCACTTCTACAATTTCATTCTTGGCAGTGGCGAGCGTGCACACATCATTATTGCTGCGGAGGCAGTTCGCCTCTGCGGCCGTGGCCACGTGGGTCGTTTTTGTCGTCGGTGCCGGCGCGGCGTCCATGGCTGCGGCAGTGTTTGGTTGCCAGCAGCGCGCGACGGGGTTTGCTGGTTTGGCTGGGAGGTAGGCTGGCTGTATACAGTGCTACGCTGCTGTGATTCGTCAACCGGCTGGCTTGCGGCTGAGATACCGTATATTTAGCGAAGCTTTAAGCCGCTTGGCATCGAAAACCGCTTGGTAGTGTCGAGGACAAAAAGCTGGGTCGCGCCGCCGCTTGCTAGCGTCCTGTAAGACACTAGCGATGCTGGACTCGGTCTCCGTATCGCGTCGCTAGTTGGTAGAGGCGCGCAGATGCGCATGGAGAGAGAGGGACGAGTAGGAGTCATCTTAGAGGAGAGTCATGTAACATAGGCGCGCGTTGTTTCGTCCGGGCGGCTCCGACGCGGCGACGCCTACCAGAAGAAGCAGGCGCAGCGCTCGCGGCCGCGCGCCGGGACGGCGTCGGCGACCTTTGCGGGCGACGGCCCGGCCGGCGCCATCGGCGCGGCGGCGTCCGCCGACGTGACAACCCGAACCTTCGCCGGCGCGGGCGTCGTCGTCGCCTCGGGCACGGGCGTCGGCGCGGGCGTCGGCGTCGTCGCGGGCACTTTTTTTTGGGGAGAGAAGACCTTCTCGACCGCCGACGCGACGCGCTCGAGGATCGGCGAGCGCGGCGCCGCCTTGGCCTTGGACGTGGCCGCCGGCGCGACGTTCTCGACGTCTCGCGGGTAGTCGACGCTCATGCGGTGCTTGGAGCGCTTACGCACGGACTTGGGCTTGCTCTTGGCGGCGGCGGGCATGGTGCTGACCTGCGATGCGGGGCGTTCTGTTTGCGTCCTAGCTGCGTCCTAGCTGCGCCGTGCGGTTTCCGCGCTGTTGCTTACTTTTTTCGCTGGGCTGTTCTTACTGGTGGCGCCTGCGCGGGGCGGCGGCGGTCTTCGCAGCGGCGCGGTAGCGCAGCGAAGAAGGCGGCGCGGCGCGGCCCGCGCTCGCCAGCAGCCAGGCTTCGCTGCAGCGCCGCGGCTGCTTTTCTCGGCGCGCACGCGTCGGCGCGCGGCGCGGAAAGCTGCTGTGGCGCACGCGAGCAGCGCGGCACGCTGCTGAAAGGCCAATCGACGCAGCGCTGCACCTCCGCGCGTTGGTAGAGCCAATGAGCAAAAAGCAACAGCCCTCTGCCGCCAAGCTCCGGCCCCACGGGAAGCCCAATGCGAGGAGCCGCCAGACACGTCTCCGGGCTCCTAGAGCACGCCCTCGAGGTGCTGCAGGGTCGGCGCCCAGCGGCGGCGCTCACCGCGCGACGTTGAATCCCGACGCGCGGTGTCTCCCCCGAGGAGCTCCGCCCACTCGTCCTAGTAACAACAGCCCCACAACACCAGTATAGTAGATACTTCCCCTTACGCCCCCAGCGCCGCGCAAGGACACCAAAAATCGATCAGTCCTCCTTCAGCCGCTTCGCGAGCTCCTTCGCCTGGTAGACGCGCCCGCAGAACTTGAGCACCTCGTCGATGAAGATGACCGGCATGCTAAACGCCATCACTAAAACCCAGTCGTTGTACGTCAGCGGCACGATCTGGAAGATGGCCGCCATCCACGGCACGTAGAGGATCAGGAAGTGGAGCCCGATGCTGACGAACATGGCCACCAACAACCACGGGTTCGCCCAGGGCGGCATCTGTAATAGTGAACCGTCCTCAGATAAGGCGTTGAGGGCGTTGAGCATCTCGATCACTACGAGCACCGAGAGCGAGAGGGTCGAGGCCGTGGCCTTGCCCTTGGCCGTGAAGTAAGCGCACGGATCTCCACTGAGATCGGACGCGCCCGGCGAACTCCATGAAGAGAAGTCCGGGTTGTAGTCCGTGAAGGTCGAGCACTTGCCCCAGTTGCTGACGTGCGTGTAGGACACTAAAGGTTGATTATACCCAGACCAGTCGTAGAAGACGTACCAATACACGAAGATACCAACCGTCGCGAAGCCCACATATAAACCAATGACCATGTAGCGCACCATGACCCAGGGCGTGATCAACTCGTCGTCGGCGTGGCGCGGCGGCCTTCTCATGATGTCAGCGTCCGGCGGGTTAAATCCAAGAGCAGTGGCGGGCGGGCCGTCCGTCACGAGGTTGACCCAGAGCAACTGGACGGGCACCAAGCCCTCCGGCAACCCCAACAGAGCCGTTAAGAAGATACTCGCGACTTCTCCGATGTTCGAAGAAATCAAGTAGCGAATGAAGGCCTTCATGTTCGAGTAGATCGAGCGACCCTCCTCGACGGCGGCGACGATGGTCGCGAAGTTGTCGTCGGCCAAAATCATGTCCGAGGCCTCCTTGGCCACCTCGGTCCCGGCGATGCCCATCGCGATGCCGATGGACGCCTGTTTTAATGCTGGAGCGTCGTTCACGCCGTCTCCCGTCATGGCCGGGACCTCGCCCGCCGCTCTCAACATTTTTACGAGGGCCTGCTTGTCCTTCGGCTCGGTCCGGGAAAAGACCATCGATCCCTTATGGCTCGTCAATAACTTGATGCGCTGCTTCTCGGACTTCCTGAAGAAGTCGTGGCCCGTGAAGCTTCTGCCTTGGATATCTTCCTCTTCGGTGAAGATGCCGATTTCTCGCGCGATGGCCTCGGCGGTCGGCCGGGTATCCCCGGTAATCATAATCACGCGAATGCCCGCCGTAGCACACGCTTCGATGGCCGGCTTGACCTCGGGCCGCGCCGGGTCTTTAATACCACAGACGCCCTCGAAGATCAGGTTCCTTTCGATGCTTTCGAAATTCGACGGATCTTGCAGCTTCTTCGACGCGCCGCCCTTGTACGTTTCGAGGTCCTTGTCTCCGGTGAAATCTTCGCGCACGGCCATGGCGAGGACGCGTAAAGGCCTCGAAGCCATCTCGGCCACCGTATCTAAGATAGCAGTCTTGTTCGCCGCGGTGAGCTTCTGCTTGCTCCCGGCAACTCTAATGTGCGTGCACCGTTCCAAGACCTTCTCGGGCGCGCCCTTGACGTACAGCTTGTTCTTCGCCTTCCCACAAAGCACGGACATCGACTTCCTATCTCTATCAAATTCTAAGACGGCCTGACGCGGGTACTTGGCCTCAATCGCATCGTTCTCCTTAGAAGCTCTCTCGACGGGATCGTCCGGCTGCTCGTCGGCCGCCTTCTCGACGAACACGCGCAGGGCCGCCTTCGTCGGTTCCCCCACGCGCTTGTACTGCTTCTCCTCACTATCATAATGTATAGACGCCTGGTTACAGAGGGCACAGACCTCCTGGAGCTTCGTCAAGTCCGCGTCGTCGGCCTCCACATCCCCATCAGGGGCATAAGAAGTACCGGTGACGGTAAACTCGTCCAGAGACGACGTCGACGAAGGCACGGCGCACGCGACGACGGTCATTTGATTGGTGGTGAGCGTGCCCGTCTTGTCCGAGCAAATGACCGTCGTGCAGCCCAGCGTCTCGACGGAGGGCAACTTGCGAACAATCGCATTACGTTTGACCATCTTCCTCGTTCCTAAAGCCAGACATAGGGTAATGACCGCCGGCAACCCCTCAGGAATAGCGGCGACGCCCAGCGCCACGGCGATCTTCAGGTAGTAGATCATGCCCTTGACAAACCCGCCGTGGACGGGATCGCTGAATTGCTTGTAGTTCATGACCCACACGGCCAGGCAGATGTACGCGATGACCTTGGCCAATAGCTCCCCGAAGGCGTCGATCTTCTGCCCTAAGGGCGTCTTCTCTTCTTCTTCGGCCGCTTGTTGCACCTGGCTCTGGATGACGCCGATCTCGGTCTTCATGCCCGTCGCGACGACGACGCCCACGCAGGTCCCGTTGGAGACCGTCGTCCCGGAGAAGAGCATGTTCTTCTTGTCCTGGATCCTCGCGGATTTCGCCACTGGTTCCGTGGTCTTGAGTACGGTCTCGGACTCTCCGGTGAGTGCCCCTTCGTCCGTTCGGACCGACGTCGTGTCCAACTTGACTACCCGAATGTCCGCGGGCACCTTGTCTCCCACCCTAACACGGACAATGTCACCCGGGACGAGCTCCGAAGCGGGCAAGTCGGGATTCAACACACCGTTCCGGATAACTTGCGCCGCGCAGTTCTGCAGGTTCTTCAACGCTTCTAAGGCGTTCTCGGCGTTGTGCTCCTGCCACACGCCGACGATCGCATTTATAATTAGGATCAGGAGGATGACAAAAGGTTCGACCATGGCCTGCGCGAAGTCGTCGCCCTCCTCCGCGAAGGCCAGCGCGAAGGAGAGGCAGGCGGCGCCCAATAAGATCTTCACGAGGAGGTCGTCGAACTGGTCCAAGACGAGCTGCCACAAGGGCGTGCCCTCCTCCTTATCTAATTCATTGGGACCGAACTTCTCACGGAGCGCAGTGACCTGGTCGTCGCTCAGGCCTTCGTCTTGGGACACTTTGTGCGCCTTGAGGACCTTGTCCGTGGCCGACGCCCAGGGGGTTGTGGCGGCCATCGCTGCGATGGTTACGGGCGCGCTTTGCGTGCCCGAGGTCTGTCGGCGAGCTGTGCCTGGCAGCGTCGCGCGTGGCGTCGCTGCGGGCTGGCTGGCCTGGCGTCGGCGAGTTGAGCCGTTTCACGCGGCGGCGCAAGCGGGGCGACGTGCGGAGCAGATGCAAGTGTTGCTTCTTAGTGCTACGCGGCAACGGTAGCCTTGATAGGTGCAGCAGCGGTCGCGTATGGCTTCCACGTAATGCAGGATGCCACAAGCTTTGCGAGCTCTCTAGCCCAACTCTCTAGCCAGTCTCAGCTGATGACCTAGGGATAGCTTGACATACGGCTCGCCGGCGCACAGAACTCAAACCTCGCGCGACCGCAAGCCCACTAGGATCCGAAGCGTAGTTTGAGCTGTGCACCGTCTCGCAGTTGGCAGGCTGCCCATCCCCGCAAAAATGTACCAGGGCGGCGCTTCCGTCGAATTACTGCGGGCCGCGGGCAAGGACCCGGCGCGCACCTACGGCGCGAAGCTCAAGGGTGCGGTCCGGAGGACGTACGACGCTGCGACGCGTGGCTACGTGTGGTGCGTGGACGGCGGCGCCTCGACGCGCTTGGCGCTGGGCGACGCGTCGTCGCATACGTCCATCAAAGGTGGGTTGGGGCTGCACATGCGCTACGTCGCGTTACAAGTGAAACTACCGCCTGGTCGTAGTCAGTTCGCCGTCGAGCTTTCGATTGTCGACCAGAGCGGTCGAAGACGACGGTTGTTATTATCATCAAGCTTCGGGTCGATCACGTCCTCGACGTTACACGCCCAGCTGCCCTTGGCTGCTGATTTATTGCCGAGAGGCACTTGGACTACCCTAACTTTGGACTGTGTAGCATTAGCTCAACAAGCATGGGGAGATTGCTTTCGCGCGTTAGATGGATTGAGTATCGCGCCACAATGTAAACTAAGGTGTATCGTCGCTCTACGAGATGGTGAGGTGCGGCCGAAGTGTATAACACTGCCGAAATCAGTTCCAATGGAAACGGTACACATCCCCGGCGAGGTCCAGCAACCGACGCCCTCAAAGGCGCCCTCGCCCCTAGACGTCGTGGGCACGGGCCTCCGGAAGAAGCCGAACCTCGCGTTCGGGAGCCGCGCGCCGGCCCTTCCGAAGCCGAGGACGCCCCTACCGTCACCGCCATTACCGCCGCCTCCAACGGCGCCGACACCGATGCCCCCTAGAACGCCCATCGAGTTCTTCAACGAGGGGGTGCGGCGATCAGGGAGAGCCCCGCCCACGCAGTCGACGCGGTGCAGCCGCGACGTCGGCTTCGTCGAGCCGGGCCACGCGACCCGGAGGTCCCTCAAGGCACCGAAGCGGCCGCCGACGCCCGCGGCGCCGCACATGGACGAGGCGCCCCCTTCCTACGACGCGTCGGTCTACGCGTCTTCCGTGTTGAAGAGTGCGGACTTCAAGCTGCCGCCGGCCGAGGACGAGCCGCCGCCGTCGGCGCGGGCGTCGGTGGAGGCCTCCTTCGACGCCACCAAGTTCGCGCTGCCGCCGCGGCCGGCCTCGGCGGCGAAGGCGTCCTTCGACGCCGCCGCGTACGCTGAGGAAGCATATGCCGCCGCGCGGGCGCCCCCCGCGGCGTCGTTCGACGACGCCGAGCCGGCCGAGGCGCCCGCGGCGGCGGCGTGCGAGCCCACTGCCGCGGCCTCGTTTGACGCCGCCGAGCTGCCGGTGGAGGCGTCGCTCAATGACGACTACGAGCTGCCGCCGTCGGCGCAGGCTTCGGTGGACCTCGATGCCGCCGACTACGAGCTACCTCCCTCGGCGCGGGCGTCGGTCGAGGCGTCGCTCGACGCCGCCGCGTCGGCCGCGGCCTCCTTCGACGCGGCGGCCTTCGCGCTGCCGCGCGGCGACGCGCCCCCGGCCGTCGAGACGATTCGATTGACGCCGGCGCACGCGTCGCCGCGGTCCTCCGTGGCGTCCGACTACGACGCGTCCGCTTCCGTATTGCTCGCGTCCGTGGCGCACCGCGGCGCGCCGACGGTCAACGTGCGGACGACGTCCTACTTCCTCAACGAGAAGGGCGCCGCCGAGGCGCCGGCGCCGGCGCCGGCGCCGACGCCGCGCGACGTGCGGCGGTCGGCCGTCGCGCGCGCCTCGCTCAAGTCGATCCGCGAGGACGCCGCCGCCTCGCCGGACCCGCTGGAAGAGACGCTCTCCCTCTGCGACTCGCTCGACAATGATCATGAACTGGAGCCGTCCGAGGCGTCGGCGCCCTTCGTCGCGCTCCAGTCGGCGACGCCGCCGCTGCCCGAGGCGCCGGCGCTGCGGCGCTCGGCGCTCCGCGAGCGCACGAACGAGAGCGTCGCGTCGCTGCGGACGCCCGCGAGCGCGGCGTCCCTCGTCTGCCGCAGCGCCGAGTCCCTCGGCGCCGCGCCGCCGTCGACGCGGCCCGGCTCCGCCGCGAGCGCCGCGTTCGGCGCGGCGCCGCCGTCGTCACGCCCCGGATCCGCAGTGAGCGCTGGGGCGCCGCTGTCGTCGCGACCGAGCTCCGCCACGAGCCCCAAGTCCATCCGGCCCGGCTCGGGCGCCTCGGCGGGCCGGCCGCGCACGGGCGCGCCGCCGACCGTCGACGAGAGCTGCGTCGGCTTCCCCTTCGCCGACGCGGCCGCGCCGGCGCCCGCGGCGGCGGCGCCGGCCGTCGCCTCGCCGGCGGCACGCGCGGCGACGCCCGAGGTGGCGCCGGCCGCGACGCCCTCCGCGGCGACGCCGGTCGTGGCGGAGCCCACGCCGCCCGAGCTCGCGCCGCTGCCGTCGGCCTCGCCGTCGGCCTCGATCGAGCGCGCGGCGACGCCCGGCGACGTGAACGCCGCGGTGCTCGCGGAGATCGCGCGCCTCCGCGCGGAGAACGCCGAGCTGCGCGCCGCGAACGAGCGGCTGTCGCCCGTCGCGGCGCCGGCGCCGCCGCCGGTCCAGACCTCCCTCGACGACCTGCCGCCGCTCGTGGACGCGGCGCCGGCGGAGGGCGCCGCGGCGCCGCCGTCGGTCCACGCGTCGATGGAGACGTCCTTCGACACCCGCGACTTCGCGCCGCCGGCCGAGCCGGACGCCGCCGCCTCGTTCGACGACTACGAGCTGCCGCCCTCCGTGCGGGCGTCGGCCGCGGCGTCTTTCGAGGCCCCGGAGTACGAGCTGCCGGCGTCCATGCGGGCGTCCGGGGCGGCGGCCTCGTTCGAAGCCGACTACGAGCTGCCGGCGTCGGCGTCCGTCGAGCCCGAGGCGCCGGCGCCGTTCAGTGCGACCGCGTACGACCGGCCGCCGTCGGCCGCCGCCTCGTTTGATGCCGCCGCGTACGAAGGGCCCTCGTCGGCGCGGGCGTCGGTGGAGCCCGCTGCATCCGTACGGGAGTCGGTGGAGCCCGAGCTGGAGCTCGACGTCGAGGAAGCTCCACTGGAACCGCCGGCGGCCGCGCGGTCGCCGGTCGCGGAGCTGTCGCCCGAGGTGCGCGACCTCCTCGCGCGCGCGCCGCCGACGGCGTCGCTCGTGTCGGACCTCTTCGAGTCCGCCGACCCGGCGTCGCCGCCGCTCGGCAAGGTGCGGGCGTCGACGACTTCCGTCGCGTCGGTCGTGACGCCGCCGGCCGCCGCGCCCGCGCCGAAGACCACCACCGCCGCGCCGACGGTCACGCCGCCCGCGGCGGACGAGGACCCTTCGATTCGCCTCGCGGCGAAGCTCAGGCAGCTCGAGGCCATGGAGGCCTCCTACGCGGGCGAGTACGGGACCCTCGCGTCGATCGCCTCCATGCGGCTGAGCCGCGCGTGATTCGACGCCCCCCTCCTCCCGAGTAACCCGTCTTTTACGCACTACCTGGGGGCGGCATCGCGGCCATCAGATCTCGGAGGGCGCTCACGTCGCCCCGGACCGTTTCGCGGAGGCGGAGCCGCCGGAGCGCGAGTCGCCCGTCTCGCAGGCAAGCCTCAATATTTGACACGATCGGGTGCGCGCCGCCGAACACGCGTCGTGCGATCCGTTCCGTATCCTCGATCGTCGTCACGGCCTCGCGGAGATCGTCGAGCGTGGCGCTATCGTTTCTGTAGAGCGCTATCGCGTAGTTCGCCCTCATCCTGATTGTGAGGTCAGAGCTCTCGCCGAGGACGCGTCGCGCTATGGGTATTATTTTACGCAGCAGTGACCTGGCTTCTTCGAAGCGATCTAGACGAGTAAGGGCAGTCGAGTAATTGTTGGCTTCTAAAAGAGTGTCTTCATGTTTTTCGCCATTGAGACGCAACCTGCCAGAGTATACATCTCGCTTCAACTGTAGGGCATGTTCATGCCGTCCTAGATATGCATAGGTATTCGCAATGTTGCTCTGGACGATGAGTATGTCGTTCACTGATGCGCCACGACGCCGCAGCCAAGACAACTCGGCCTCACTCACGGATAACGCGTCCGCATGATGTTCTGCAGCAAATAAACCGCGCCCAAGTAGGTTCATCGCCATGCCCCGAGTCTCGTTCATCTCAGGCCGACCCAAGTACGTTTTCCAGCAGGCCCACCCGAGCGCGCACTTCACGACGCCGTGGTACTCTTGCTCACACAAGCTGCAGGTGTGCCACCGTTCCCACCTCCTACTCTTCACCTTGTATTCCAAATTGTTCTCCTCGGCCTCTGCAACCAAAATCTTTGCCTGTTCCGCTAAGCACGACACATGCGCGATTCCCGTCCTCCCGGAAGCGACGCCATCACGATCTCCACACGCGCATCCACGCACGAGACCTTCTCTTGTGCGTGAGTGCACGGCCTCCATACAAATATAGCATGTCTGGCCCTTGGTGTCGTCCGCGCACGCCTCCGCCGCGACCGCTACAGCCTCCGCGTATTTCTCATTTGCGTTGTACTGCTCGGCACCGCCTGCTTTCTTTATTTTCTTGCAGAGCTTGTCGTGCCCGCCGTCCTTCCAGTGCTGCTCCTGGCAGGCCTGCCCACAGTAGCGCGTGCTGCAGCGGCCGCATTTCTTGCCCAAGGTTAGCCCAAGCTCGGTGGCGCAGACGGCGCATTTTGTGAGGTACATTCGGCGAGTTGGGCAGCCCGACGGCGTTCCACTTCCCGCAACAGAGCTAGCGTAATCAGGCACTAGTGGTTACAGCGCTGCTCTCCGAGGAGAGGCTGCCCGACGCCGCCGCCGCGGCTGCCCGCCGGACGACGCGACCGTTCGGGTGGAGCCATGGGCGCCAAGTGCTCGAAGAAGCGGGAGCCGCCCTCCGCCGCCTACGAGCAGCGCTATGACCAGGAGCTTGCACGCCTCCAGGCGGAGCGCAAGGCCAAGAGGTGGGCCAGGTACTGCTGCCCCTGCTGCTGCAACTGCTGTTGCTCATCTTGTGACAAGCGCGCAGCGACGAAGGTCGCCGTCGAGCAGACGGAGACCGCGGCAAGAGCGAAGGAGGCGATCCAGAAGTCCCTGGGCAAGAAGCGCCTGAGCGCCGTCGCGGCCTTCACGAAGAACCCGACCTTTAATTCGAGAGGGAGTCTCGACGAAGCTGCTCTGGAGGAGCAACGTAGGTTGGAGGCCAAGAACAAATTTATATCTCACGGGCGAAAGGGCAAAGTCACGAATGGTCTCCACGTCGAATTCAGCGCGGATTTCAAGCCCCACGTGTCCGTTGGAAGGGCCCACGTCTCGACGCGGTCCGTGTCGGAAGATGGTAGAAGGGACTGCTGGCGGTTCCTCGAGCCGGGCGTGGCGTGTCTGCGCGTCGAGGTCGTGCTGACACCATCCACGGGCTTGGAGCTAAGAATAGAAGAGTCGTGCTCGCCCGACGCTTTTGATTGGACGCAGTGCGGTGTCGACGTGGTGTTCGACGGCACGAAGCTCTGTCTACAAAGGCGGCCAGCGTCGTATGACATGAGATGGTGGACCTGTCCCCTGGAGAACGTGACGGGCCAGGCCCAGACGCTGCAAATCACATTATGTGAGGATTCGGCGCCCTGGAACTACTTACTGCAGTCGATCGTCATCGCCAGACCAGAAAAACCAAAACCGATCCTACCATCAACGGCAGACGTCGAGGAAACCCTCGCAACGTACATGAAGGCGCCGAACCCCGCCCCGACGGACATCGAATCCATACTAGACGGCGTGCCCAAGCCGCAAGTCGTGGAGCCCGTCGGCGTCGAGGAAAAGCGCATCGCCGCGAAGAAACAAAAAGAAGAAGAAAGAAAACGGAAAAAAGCGAAGCTCGCCGCCATGAAACGGAAAGAGAAACAACTGAGCGGCGAGCTGCCGCCGCCGTCCGCCGAGGAATTGGAGAAGGAGCGCAAGCTGCGGGAGGCGCAGCTCGCGACGGCGCGGGAACGCGCGCATGCTCACGCGCTTAAGGAATATAAAGATGAATTTGAGCGGGAGCTCGAAGCGAGGAAGAAGCGCGCCGACGAGGAGTTGGCGACGACGCCGCACATGGTCGAGTTGGCTCAAATGCGGAAGAAATATGGTTCTATTGATGATGCTGTTGCTAGAATAGAAGCGGGCGAGTCGCCGGTCGATCCGCGCTTCCGGGAGACGCGGGCCCAGCGGAAGGCTAGGGAGGACGCCGAGAGGGAGCGCAAGAAGAATTTACCCGACCCGTTCCGCGAGTTTGTCGAGGAGGGCGACCCGTACTACGAGTACCTCGCCCGCGAGGAGAAGTACCGACAGCAGGGGAAGCGCCCCGGGGACGTCCTGGACTAAGTGTTACATGTTGTGCCGCACCTAACTTTCCGCCGAAACGTGGTCGAGAGGGCTCCTTCAGCAATATGCGAGAGGACGACGTCGTAGATGTGCGCGCGGCCTTCCGTCCTATTTCTCGAGATGCCCCGCTGGCGGTAGAGGTCCCTTTTTTTCTTCAGTAGCGTCAGGCTTCGCTCCGTGAAGCGGTAGTGCGAGAAGGGCAGCGAGGGCGGTACTCGTATCTCTGATTGGATGTGATGCGCCGTCGCAAAACGAATAGATTGGGGCACGAGCATCCATTTGGTATTGGCGCCGTGGAACCGTTCGGCCGTCGCGGCGCAGCGCCGCGGGTACTGGAGCCACAGCGGTGTCTTGGTCGTCTTCCGGAGCGCCCAGTCGTCACTCACCCTATCGACCATGTGCCCCAATACGGCACCATACTTTTTGAGGATGCGCTCCACGTCTTTCGAGGGGGCGTCAAAAAATTCATCCAAGTCCGGGAACATGAGTAAAGCGTCCTTCGGCAACTTTTTTAAGAACTCATTAGCACAATCCCTCTTTATTTCTGAAGAAAAGTCCGCGACCTCGCGCACGTTTTTGTGGATGGCGCTGCCGAAGGCGCCATCTACGATATTTTTGGTCAGGCGGTGCGTCGTCCGATTCATGTTTAATGGCGGGTGCAGCAGGAGTAACGCGCGGCCCTTCTCCGCGAGCCGTATACCGCGCCCCGCATAAAAGTCCAGGAAGTGCCGTAGCAACTCGGGGTCCTCGCTCGAGACCATCGCATAAAAGTACAAATGCTGCCTTATGGCTTTGGGCAGCCGCTCGGGCTCGCGGCACTGGCTTTGTGCATCGTTGTCACTACTCCAGTCGATGCGGTGCTTGGGCACCTCGAAGACGGGCCGGGCCTGCGCGGCGGCCACGAGGAGCCAGCGCAGCGCCGGCGTCATCAATGCCTAGCCATGTCTTTGGGCAGCCTAGAGCTAGCTTAATTGCGCGTGTGAATCCTAGTGTGAGTGTGAACGCTAGCTCTTTGCGACGCGGCTTACCATAAAAAACTAGCTACGACGCCGTCGGGCTGCCCAATTTGCGGGATGATCCTCACAAAATGCGCCGTCTGCGCCACCGACCTTGGCTTATCCTTGGGCAAGAAATGCGGCCGCTGCAGCACGCGCTACTGCGGGCCCGAATGCCAGGTGCAGCACTGGAAGGACGGCGGGCACGATAAGCTCTGCAAATATATTAAAAAGGCTGGTGGCGCCGAGCAATACAACGCAAATAGCAAGTACTCGGAGGCCGTCGCGGTCGCGGTCGAGAAATGCGCGGACGACACCAAAGGCCAGACGTGCTTCATCTGCACGCAGGCCCTCCACTGGAAAACCAAGGAGGGCCTCGTGCGCGGATGTGCGTGCCGCGGGACGGCGGGCTTCGCGCACGTGTCGTGCCTGGCGGAGCAGGCGAGGATTTTGTTCGCCGAGGCGGAGGAGAACAATAAACCAAGATATCCAGTGGTGGCGCGGTGGCAAACCTGCAGCTTGTGTGAGCAAGAGTATCACGGCGTCGTGCGGTGCGCGCTCGGGTGGGCGTGCTGGAAGACGTATGTGGGACGGCCGGAGACGGTCGGGATTCGGCTGATGGCAATGTCGATGCTTGGGAACGGTTTATTCCTTGCAGATCATCACGAGGAAGCGTTGTCCCTGAGAGAGGCCGAGCTGGCTATTCTGCGGCGCAATGGCGCATCAGAACACAACATACTCGCCGTGCAGGCCAATCTCGCAATGACTTATGAAGAGCTTGGACGGGGAGAACAGGCCTCACAGATGGAGCGAGATGTATACCGCGGACGTCTGAAGCTCAATGGCGAGGAACATGAAATGACCCTCCGAGCTGCCTTCAACTATGCAAGTACCCTTGCGCGCCTAAAGCGCTTCGCAGAAGCCAAGTCAGTGATGCGCAGAACGATGCCCGTGGCACGACGAGTTCTCGGAGATAGTCATGATCTCTGGCTCAAGTTGAGGCGGGCTTACGCGCAGACTCTCTACCACGACGCCTCCGCCACGCTCGCCGATGTCCGCGAGGCCGTGACAACGCTCGAGGAGACGAAACGGACCGCGCGGCGCGTGTTCGGCGACGCCCATCCGACCGCAGAGATCACTGAACTCATGCTGCAAAAAGCGCGCGCAGCGCTCGCCGCCCGTGAGCGCCAGGACTCAGAAACTTCCGAGTCTAAGATACAGTGACCCCCCGCCCGTATAATTAATCACGGTAAGGGAGACTAGTTACAAAAGTACACACGAGGAGGATAGGAACAGCAGGACAGGACGGCATGTACACGAGGGCGCGGCGGTCACCACACGTTCGCCTCGAAGAGCGGCGCGTTCCGCGCGACGCGGCCGTAGTCCAGGCATCCTAAGTCGATGGACTCGTAACCACCAGAGTCGATCAGCTCCGCGACGGCGCGCCCGACGCCCGGCGCGTGCTGCAGGCCGTGGCCCGAGAAGCCCGCCGCGACGACCAAATTAGAGGCGTCCGGGTGCCAGCCGACGACCGCGTTCTGATCTAATGTACAGAACTCGTAGAGGCCCGCCCAGGACGACTCTACTCTGAGGCTCTCGAAGGCCGGCACGCGCTCGTAAAGGGCGGGCCAGATGACCTCCTCGAACAAGGCGTGATCTACGGTCTCGAGCGCGTCCACGTCGCAGTCCGGATCCGCTCCCTTTGGCGACGCGCCGCACAGATATCTGCCTGATGAGCCGTCGCCCCGAAAGTAGCAGCCGCTCACGTCCACCACCAGCGGCGCGTCGCCCGGCGGCCTTTCGATATCACCCGCAGGGCAGCTGATCGCGAAGATGCACCTTTTCCTAGGTGCTATGGGTAACGACGGCGTCAATACGGACGCGTGGGCGCCGCACGCGTTCACCACGAGGCCGCAATTCAGATAAGACCCGTCCTTGAGCAACACCGAGGTGACGCGGCCCGCGTCGACTTGGAGGGACGCGGCCTCGCCACTCATATATTGGACGCCGAGCGCCTTCGCGCCGCGCCGCAGCGCGTCCAATAGCCCCCAAGGGTCGAAGTAGCCCTCGTTTTTCCGGCCAAACGCGCCGAGGCCCACACCGTCAACAGAGAGCCAGGGGAACTCTCTGCTGAGTTGTGTCGGGTCTAAGAGGTCGATCCAGTCCGCGCCACCGGCGTGTTGAATTGAAACGTTGTCCCGCAGAGCGGAAGCACCGTGCTCCGACGCGAGGGTCAAATACCCGGCCTCGCGGAACTGGATCCGGTCCTGGACCTCGCGCGGGTCCTGGCCCGAGAGGAGCGCGAGGCCCTCGCGCAGAAACTGGGCGCCGTAGCACGACAGCTGGACGTTCGCCGGCGTCGTGAACTGCTGGCGGATGCCGCCCGCGCTTAAGGGCGCCGACGCCGCGGCGTAGGTCTGGTCCCGCTCCAGCACGGTGACGCGCAGGTCCGGTCTTCTCGCTCGGAGGTGGAGCGCGACGCTCGAGCCGACGACGCCGCCGCCGCAGACGACGACGTCGTGGCTTGTCGTGGACAGCGTCCGGCGACCCATAAGGGCCGTCTGGCGACCGATAACAGCCGTCGCGCGCCGCATCATTCAAATCAAGCTCGGTGCTCGGTGCGTTTTTTGAGTTCAGTGCGTCCAGACCTCCGGTTCTTCGCGAGGCTTCGATGAAAACACGTCAGCAGCGATCGAAACGACGACGCGCGTGCCAGTTACTTGCGTAGCCCAGGCGAATTCAACCAAAACCGCGCTCGAAGGCAGAAAAAACCCGTACAAGCCGCAAGCATCCCGATCCCCGTCGAAGCGTCGGGGACAAATCTCCATCGACCTCTCCGGGCGCCCCAGCGACGGCTCGCGCCAAAGTCCCATCACGGTTGATCAGCGGCGCTGCACCAGCGCTGTGACGCTCGGCGCCGCTGTGTTCGCCCGCTCGGCCCGAGTGGCTGACGACAAAGGCGCAGCCGCGACCGGCACGCGGCGCGCCACCGGCAACCGCCGCCGGACCGCGACCGGAAGGGCAGCCCCATCAATCATGCCGTCGGGCAGCCACCCCGCGTCGCCCTCGAAGCGGCGGAGCCGGAGCCCGGCGCCGCGCTTCGAGCCGGAGCAAGAGCCCGCGGCGCCGGTCGAGGCCCCGGTCGAGCTTGCGGAGGCGGCCGCGCCGGCGCCGGCCGAAGCAATTGTAAACGATGTGGTGCAAGAGTCGATCGACGAGGCGTCAAGGAGAGAAGCGCTCTACAAGAAGGACGCCCCGGCGCTCGTCGCCGCGTCGCTCCTCCAGGACATGTGGGCGTCGCTCCATTTGCACGAGGCGCCGGCCCGGCCGACGTTCGGCGCGCCTGCACTTGAGCCCCCACCGCAATTAATTGACAACAGAACAAATAAACAGATCGGCATCCGGCCCAAGGTCCAAATTGTTAAAGCTGCGGGCTCTGCTACCAATGCCGTCCGTTCCAGGAGGCGACCGTCGAGCGCGCCGGCTAGAAGAAGGCCTAGAAGTGCCAGGCCGTCGTCGGCGCGACCCGGGTCCGCCAAGGAACCTGAAAAAAGACCACCGGTACCTGAAAAGAGGAAGGAGCTCTTTCGGAGGGCCTCCAAAGACGAGACGCATATGAAGGTCTCGGCGTTCGCGCGGTGGCTCGATCTCCAGAACCGCGTGTCCCTGAAGGAGGTGCAGGCCGTCCTAGGGTCGCTCAAGTACTCGCGGACGGCGCCGGTCGACGTCGTCGTGTTCGACCACGTCCTTGATTATCTCCAGGCCAAAAATAAAAAATGGGCCGACGAACGGCTCGTCATGATCGATATGAAGCCGCCGCCCCAGCCCAAGAAGAAGGTCGAGGCGCCGGCGCCCGCGCCGCCCGTCGAGGTACGGACGTACTACGAGCCGCCCGCCCAGCCGCGGAGCCCGCTGTTTGGACGAACGTCGGAACCGAAGGAGGAGCAGCCCGCGCCGGCGGCGGAGGAGGAGGCCCCCTCGCGGCCGGAGACGTCCTACGAGTTCACGGACGCGAGGCCGCAGTCCGCGCCGGCCGACGGGCGAAGGCGGCGGCGGAAGAAGAAGAAGAAGCGGCGCAAGTCCCGTAAGAAAGCGGGCTTCTTCTCGCTGAAGGCCGACGACGAAGACGCCAAATTACCGCATTTACGACCGCTCGCGAAGGCCCAGCAGCTGTCGCTGGTCGAAGACACGTTGTTCGCGCCGGAGCCCGGCGTCCGCGCGGTCGAGGAAGGCGGTGCTGATAAAAGCGGAGGCGACTTCGTCGTGCCGTCGGGCCTCATGTCGCGCGCCATGTACTTGACCTTGAAGGCGGGCGGGGCTCCGGTGGTGCCGGCGTCGCCCGCGAAGAGCGAGCTTACTGTTGAAGATAGTCCACAGAAGAAGCAGACGCGGGGCACGCAGCACCTCGACGAACTGCTCCGGAAATTGGGCGTCGAGTGGGAGGAGCGCCCGTCGTCGGCGCCGGCGCTGCGGAGGCACTAAGTTATGAAAGTATAGTACGTTTCTTCCGAGGGGCCCGCGGCGCGACGGCGTCGATGCTACGCCGGTCGGATACGGAGACACTAAAAATGTTATACTTCCGTCGTCTCCGGCTCGGGACGCCTCTCGTCAGTACTCCGCATCGGGTTCGCCGTCTCCACAGGACTGGGCTCGAAGACCTCCGCGCTGTCCGGTTCGATGTGCGACAGCTCCACGTCGCCGTCGGCGGGTGGCGGCGGCTGCTCGTCCAATGCGTCGATGTCCCGCTGCAGCCGCCCCGTGAAGACGCCGATGGCGAAGTACAAGCCGCCGAAGGCCACGTTGTTCAGCACGACCACGAGATCGACCCGCTCGCCCGCCGCGTCGATCAGAGCAAGCAACAACAGGGAAAACGCACACGACGCCGCCAGCGCCCAGACCAGCGCCTGGAAGGCCTGCAGGTACGTCGCGCCACACGCATATTCTTCATTGGCGGTCTTGACGGCCATGTAGCACATCCAGGCCGCCGTCGAGGCGAAGATCACGTAAAACGCGAGGTCGAAGGCCGGCGATGCCGAGTACTCCCGCGGTAGGACCTTCTCGAATAATGCGAGCGTGATGGCTTTGACCAGAATGCCCAAGAACAGCGTCGAGAACGTGAGCTGGAGCACGATTCTCGCGGATCTGTTGACCTGTAAAGCATTCACGCCTTCGAAGCCCGACGCTATTTGATAGAGACCACCATTCCTGGAAGGAAATAACCCCACACCGTGTCCCGATAGCGTGGCCTTCCTTCTGTTAACACCTAACACGCAGCACAGCAACAGCGCCGCCGCGGCAACGGTACACGCCGCGAGCACAAATATGCCATAGAACAACCGCCCCTTGTCACAGGTCCGGTCGTGGTACGGCTCGATGCCGCTCAATAGACTCTCGGAGGGCGCCGTGGGGTACTCGCACAAACATTGGTAAGCCAACCGACACGACGCGTCCCTCCAGCCACTAAGACCTTCCTCAATACTCCCCATCACGGCACAAGACTCGACGCAGCCCAGATGGTGGTCCGGCTCGCCCCAGTCCGTGTACCAATTGGCATACGTGACTCCTTGACAGGTTGCCGAGGCCTGGAGGTCCCAGCCTTTGTGGGAGTGCTTTCGGTTGTGGGGATCTTGATACAAACCGACCCAGCTCCCGTAGGTTTCGATCGACCCACCTACTGTGGACGAGAGGAACTCGTCGAGCTGGGGATCCGTGACGCAGGCTAAGGTGGAGGTTGTCCATGGGGGCAGGAAGGGCCGCCCGGACCTCGCTATATCAACTTTTGTGGCGTTGGCGCCGGCCAGCCGCGGGCAGATCTGGCGCCAGCATTCTTCAAAAGTACCAATGGTTTCGGACTTCTTGTAGCACCGTCCGGAATAGTAGTGCCAGCCGCCATCGACACCGCCGGGGCACTCGTCGACGCCGGAGACGCTGAGGAGTGCCAGCGTTTGCGGGAGGCATGCGGCTATCATATATGCGCGCGCCATCGCCATTCTTTCACTGGTCGCGCTGCGGTGCCGCGCGCGGGCCACCCTAGGCCTGGCTGGGGTGTGTTGTGCTACCGCCGTGCGCTGCAATTGCGCACACGCAAAGAGAGCTTGCAGAGTGAGCTGACAGCGATGATATTCTCGCCTCTTTTGTCGTGTAGATGCGATCCGCGGTTTTTTTCGAGCTTTTCAGGCTTGCTAGTGTCTCACTGGTCGCTAGCTGGAAAAAAAAGACGCACTGAGCGCTCAGAGCTTCATTTTTGCGCCTTTCGCTTCGAACGAGGCCGTGGGAGTAACATCATCAAAGAGCCAAGAACTAGCGGCCTCGACGCCAGCGCTGCGATTCAGCAAAATAAGCAGGCAAGCTCTTGCAACTCTAAGCTGCAATCCTACCGCTCTGAGCCGCACGACCATGCACGTCGCACCCCTCCTAACAACGCTCGCCACCGCGACGGCCCTGCGCTGCACGACCCGCCGCGCGCTCGGCGCCGGTGCCGCGGCCGCCGCGCTCCCGCGCCCTGCGTTCGCCGCCGACGAGTGGCGACTGGGCGTGCTCAAGGACTACAGTGTGACGAAGAAGCAGGCCTCGTCGGTCCGAATCCGGCCGGAGACCATGCTCACGGCCACCGGTGAGAACGATACAGAACTAAAACTCCTGAAGGTGCCGCTCGGGCGGGCCGCGGCGGCGTCCTTCGCGCCCGAGGACCAGCTGGTCCTGGCCAAGTACTTTTCTTCCCGAACCGACGCGGAGAAGATCGGTGCGTCGAAGATCGCCGCGATCATGAAGACCTCGCTGCAGAAGCAGGCTTCGAACCCCCAGTCGCCGCTGCAAGGCGTCAAGCTCGATCCGGGCGCGGCCTCCGTCGAGACGAGAGGTGGCAGGCGCTACGTCGCCTACGGCTACGACGCCGACGCGTGTCGACGCCTGTCCGAGGACGGCGAGTGCCTGCGACGGGGCACGCGGTATGTGGAAGCAAGGGTATCGGTGTCCCTCGAGTCGCAAGCGCGCACGCTGGAGGAGCAGCGGCGCATGGACGAGGGCGAGATGGAGCAGCGCTACGTCGACACGCTCTGGGTCTTCACGGCGTCGGCGCCGAAGGGCGCGGGCGACGCGGCGCTCGGCGCGCTGCGGCGGGCCGCGGAGTCGTTCGAGGTCGTCGTCGACTAGGCGTGTAGTAGTTTTGCTGTGTATTTGTGGCCTAGACTTATGCTCGCACGGCGGACGCGTCCGCGTCCACCGTCGCGCCGGCGGGCGTCGCTGCAAGCTTCGCTCGGAGCGCCACGACGCGCCGCGCCGCCTCGCCGTTGAAACCCAGGTCGCGCAAGTCGTCGAGCTCGGGCACCGCCTCACAACATAGCGCCGTGTGGAGGGCAATTGCCAGTCGTACTGCCGGGTCCTCTGACGCGGAGGCCATGGCGCGGAGCACGGCGAACGCGTTTTGCATGGATTGCTTAATACTCACTGCATCAGGATGCGATCTTCCGAGCACGCGCCGCGCCGTCTGTGCCGTCTTTGCGAGCGTATCTACGGCCTCGCTGAGATCGTCGAACGTGGCGCCCTCATCTTTGTAGAGCGCCTCCGCGTAATTCCACCTCATCCAGAGCGTGAGATCCTTATTATCTCCAAGCACGCTTTGTGCAACGGGCAGGGTTTTACACAGCAAGGATCTGGCTTCTCCGAAGCGCCGTAGATCAATGAGGGATTTCGCGTAGTTGTTGGCACCTAGGAGGGTCTCTTTATTTTCTTCGCCAAAGAGTCTTAAATATCCATTGTATACGTCCCGTGCCATCTGCAGGGCCTCGGGCCGTCCAAGCGCAGAATACGTTATCGCAAGATTACCCAGAACGCCAAGCACTTCCGCTTCTGTTCCGCCAAGGCGCCGCAGCGTAGACAACTCGGCCTCTCGCGCGGACAACTCGTCCTCGAGGCGATCTGCGGCTGACAAACCGTTCCCAAGCAAGTTAATCGCATGGCACTGAATCTCGTCCCCATCCGGCCGCCCCACGTAGGTCCTCCAGCACGCCCAGCCGAGCGCGCACAATACGACGCCGAAGTACTCCTGCTCGCACAAGCTGCACGTGTCCCACCGCCGGAACCTCTCATACAACGCATCGTTGCCCAAATTGTTCTCCTCCGCCTCCGCCACCCAAATCTTGGCCTGCTCCGCCAGGCACGACACGTGGACAAAGCCCGCGGTCCCGCGGCATGCGCACCCGCGTACGAGACCTTCCTTCGTCTTCCGATGAAGGGCCTCCGTGCAGATGAAGCACGTCTGGCCTTTGGTGTCGTCCGCGCATTCCTCGACCGCGAGCGCGATGGCCTCCGCGCACTTCTTATCAGCGTAGTACTGCTCAGCACCGCCTGCTTTCTTTATTTTCTTACAGAGCTTGTCGTGACCGCCCTCTCTCCAGTGCTGCACCTGGCAGGACCGCCCACAGTAGCCCGTCTTGCAGTTGCTGCATTGCTTCGCCCCCAGGTCTGGGAGCTGGGCAGCACAGGCGCCGCAGCTCTTGATGAGCTTCATGTTAGGCAGCCCCAATGTTTTTTTTTACGATGCCGCGCGCTCACAGCCGAATAGCCTGGCATAATGGCAGTGGCAAGGCCACTGCCAAAACCAGCCAAAAGCACGCTCCGTCCCGCGCCTGCACTACTCATCGGGACGCGCCCCGAGACCTCGGACAGATACACAGACGCATACACTCCTTTGGGTGCGGGTTCGACTCGATGCAAGCTCTCACATCGATCGGCGCTGCAGGCGTCGCGCGGCGCCGGGCAGCCCCATGGCCTCATGACCGGCCTGACCTACTTCGAAATCGCCCAGGGGCAGGCGTTCGAGCGCTGCGCGTTCGGCGCCGCCGCGGCGGCTGTGGAGCGCTCGCAGCGGCGGCTCTCCGAGCAACGCAACAGCCGGATCAGTCAGGCCGCGGCGAAACTCGTCGTGCTCGACGCCCTGCGGCGCGTCGCGGCGCGGCGGTTTATAAGTAGGGCCGCCTTCGTCGCGTGCCGCGAGGCCAAAGCGAACGGCGCGTCCCGCGACGACGCGGACGCGGCGGCGGCGGTCGCCGCGGCGGCATGTAACTTACGCTTCCGGCCCCTGCCGTGTAGACCGCGCGTCGTCTGCCGCGACGAGGCCAAGGACGCGCGGGAAGCACTAATTGCGAGCGCCGCCGCGAAGCGAGAAATAGTAAAGCGCCTCAAGGCTCAGTTAGAGCCCCTCGAGGCGGGCGTCGACGACGCGCGGACCGCCGTCGGCCGGCGGCGCCACGAGCTCGTGCGCTTCGAGATCGACGCGAAGGTCCTGAAGAGCGAGGCCCTGCGGAAAGTGAACGCGCTCCGGAAGGCCATTCGAAGTCTGTCGCTGGAGTGCCGCGTGGACCCGCCGCGGATCCGCCACCTCGCCGCGGCGGCCCTGCAGCGGAGCCTATCAACGGCGTTGAGTCTGAGGCGAGAATTGCGCCGGCGGCGGAAGGCGGCGCACGCTTCCGACGAGTTCGAGAGACGCAAGTTCGTGCGGTTGCGACGGAGCTTCTCCAACGTTTCGCGGCCGAACTCGCAGTGCGAGGACTGGCTCCCGGACGCCGCGGTGCAGGCCGTCGTCGCCGCGCGCGTGAAGCGGCGGACGACGACGGTGACGACGCTGCAGGAGGCGGCGCGCCAGCGCCGGCTGAAAAAGCTCGCCAAAAAACAGCGGCGCGTGTCGACGGCGTGCCGCGAGGACCGGCGCCTCGTCGAGCGACTCGCGCGGCTCCGGGGCACGATGCACCGGGCCTTCGCGCGGCAGCAGCGCGCGCGGAAGCCGTACTGGGTCGAGCCGCCGCCCATCCAATGGGCCGTGCCGCCCGCGACGCCCAAAACGCCCTCGATCTCGTGGGCCGCGCCGCTGGCCATGCCGCGCACGCCCGCCTCGCGGCCCGGGACGGGCCGCTCCGCCACGCCGGGCTCGCGGCCCGGGACCCGCGGCTCGGACAAGGCCCCTTTGCAAGGCTGGGAGGGCCTCTTCCACGAGCCGCGGTCGGCCCGGTCCGTGTCCTTCGCGGCCGCGGCGCCGCCGCGGGCCACGCCGAAGCGCAAGGGCCGGCCCCGGTCCGTGCGCTTCTCGCTGCCGGACACGCCCGAGGCGGTCGTGCGGCCCGGCGGCGCGTCGCCGGCGCTCTTCGACGCGGCGCCCACCCCAAAAAGCGTGCGCTTCGCCGGCGACGCGTTCGCGCGCGCGCGCACGCCGCTCGCGCCGCTGCGCCTGGACTCGCGCGTGGGGTCGGCCGCCTCGGAGACGTGGGCGAGCCTCCGGGGCATGACGCCGCTGCGCGCGACGCAGCGGTCCGCGACGCCCCTCTTCGGGTCGGGCTAACTGTTCGTGTTGTCGTGTCCTAGCTTCCTGCGCCGTCAACCACTCCCCGTAGTGCCCGCGCCAAGCTTCCTGCGCCACCAATTCACTACGGGCCACCGCGGGGCCCCCGCGCGCGTGTGGGGCGACGCGCCCCCCGGGACGGCTCGACCGGCCCCGACGGCTCCCGCGGCCCGCCCCGAGGACTCCCCGCGGGGCCGCGCCGGCGCGTCGGGCCAGGGGTTAACTTTGGCAAAACCGGCGTCCGCGCGTGTGGTCTGCGAAACGCCGGCACTTGCAGCCTCGCGAGTGCGAGTGCAACGGATTGCCATGCCTGCCGACCTTTCAAGGCGACGACGGTAGCTTAGGCCGCGCCGGGCAGCCACCCGTCCGGCGGGCAGCCCAGGCTGCCAGGATGTCCACGGCGACGGGCGCGCCCACGGCGGCGCCGAGCCAACCTGTGCTCACCGATGAAGAACGGGACACCGTCGAACTACCGTTGTGGTCCATCGCGCTCGGGTTGGTTTTGGGCCTGTTGGGCTCGGTGGCCATCAACACGGGCAACAATTTGCAGTCCATGGGTCTCAAAGAATTACAAAAAAGGGAGGAGCTCGACGAGCTCGACAACGGCGGTAGTGACGAGGCCGAGAAGCCCGCGCGCGAGCCGAGCGAGTCGCGGACCTGGGTTATTGGTACCACTGTTTTTGTTACCGGTGCTTTGTTAAACTTCGCGTCGTATGCGTTTGCTCCCTCGGTCATGCTCGCGCCCTTGGAATCCATCCAGTTCGTGACGAACATCATTTTCGGACGCGTCCTCCTGAAGAAGAAGATTCGGAAACGAATGATGGCCGGCACGGTTCTGATTTGCGGCGGCACGCTCCTGGCCGTCTTGACCGCGGGCCTGTCGAAACCTACGGCCCTGTCGGGCCGGCCCCACTCCTTGAAAAGGCAGTACATGGGCGAGACGGTGAATTCGGAGTTATATTTAGCATATCTGGCCCTGTCGGTCGTGTCGGCCCTCTTCCTACACTGCGTCCACAAGCGCTACGACGCGGCCTTTAAGAAGGGCACGCCGCTCCCGGCGCACCGGTACGTCGCGCCGGCGTCGTACGCGGCGTTCTCGGCTATATTTGGGGCGCAGAGCGTCGTCCAGGCGAAGTGTCTGGCCATTTTGATTTTGTATTATGTCGACCGGAGCGAGCCCGGGGGATTACAAGGCTTCGGGAACATGTTTTTGAATTATTGGACGTACGTGACGCTGTTTGCGTGGGTGTTTTTCGTCGCCGTCTGGCTGTACCGCATGAACGAGGCCCTGGGGCTCTATGATCCCATCTTCATCATACCCTTGCTGCAGGCGGGCTTCATCATTTTCGCGATCATTTCGGGAGGTATCTATTTTGGGGAATTTTCGCGGTTCGAGCCGGGCCACTGGCTCTTCTTTTGCTTCGGGATTGTTTTTGTGTGCGTCGGCCTTCCCCTCTTATCGCCGAAGGACCCCTCGTCCCCCAAACCGCCGGACATACGACGGATACAGCCGCTGACGAGCGTCCCGGAGGGCGAGCCGAAGACGCCGACGCTCGACCTGGCCGCGCTCGAGGAGTCCGGCCGGGCGCGGCGGTCGCCGTCGCTCGACGGGTCGCCCAAGGCCCGGGCGTCCCTCGGCGACCGGCCGTCGTCGCGGCCGTCGTCGGGCAGCTCGTCGGGCCGCTTCGGCCTCACGGGGAGCGGCACGTCGCGGCGGCTCCTGTCGCACGTCGCCGTCACGTCCGTCGCGTCGTCGCACAACTTCGGGAGCCCGCGCGCCGTGACGGCCAAGGGGAGCAGCCGGCGGTCGCTCGACGGCGACTCGCGGCGGAGCCTGGACGGGGAGCTGCAGCGCGCCGAGGACGGCGAGAAGAAGGACCCGAGCATGGCGACGATCTAGGAACATAATACATAGGTTTTATATGAGGCGCCAGCGGTGCACGTCGAAGCTCATGCCCTCAGCGTAGCCCGCCGCCTCTGCTAGAAATGGCAAAGCGTGCGGCGTGACGGTCTCGACGGTACCTTCAAATCCTTCCTCCGCGAAGGCGCTCTCGACGAGCTCGCTGCCGAAGCGCACGCGGGTCTCGGCGCAGACCACCAACGCCAGGCCGCCGGGCTTCAGCGCCGTCCTCACCGTCGCCACCAGCGCCGTGGCCGTCTCAGGCGAATAGACGCAGTCCGCGGCGATGACCGCGTCGTAACTCGCCGCGATGCTTGATGGCGGCGCGCAGAAGTCGACGCGCTCCACGGTCACATCACACGCCCCAAAGTCGTTCACGGCCACGGCCTCCCGCAAGTTTGCTAAACAAGCTCCCTTGCGGTCCGAGAGCGTCACGGCGCCGCACAAAGCGCGCGACGCGAACACCAGCCCCGCGAGGCCCGTCCCGGCGCCGAGCTCCAGCACGCGGGAGGCCGCCGGGATTTCCTGCGGCGCGAGCGACGCGAGGACCGCCGCGCTCGGCCACGTGCAGAAGCCCACGTCGCTGTGGGACCGCTGGCGCCCTCTTAGCGTCCGGCGGAACACGGCGGAGCCGTAGGCGACGAGGCCCTCGTCGTCGTCGTCGTCGGACTCGCTGGCGCTGACGACGGCCGCCAAGAGACTCGCCGCAGCGTCGCTCGTCCGGCCGTCGTCGAGCGCCTTCGTGGCGGCGTGGCGCGCGCCGCGCCGCGCCAGCGCCCGGGCGCCCGCCGCGTCGCCGGCGAGGGCCGCGGCGAGTCGCAACGCGCCCGGGCGCGGCGGCGCGGCCCTCACGAGCGCCGCGAGCGCCTCGAGGCCGCCGCCCGCGCGCAGCTCCAGGCGCACGCGCAAGCGCGTGCGCGGCGCGCGTTCGCACGCCACGGCGAGGAACGCGCACGCGTCGTCGTCGGCGAGGAACGCGTCGCAGGTTGACGCGTCGCCGAGCTGAGCGAGGGCGTCGGCGCCTTGATCTTTACGGAGTGCCGCGAGGGCGCTGCCCGGCGCCGGCGTCGCGGTTGCTGTTACTGAGATTTCCTCGTGTACAATCGCAGCCATGCCGCCGGATGCAATGCTGAATTATCGCTTCCCCTCTTCACACTTGATCTCCGTGCAGCAATTGCAGCAAAATCGCGCGCCAATTGTTTATAGATGACTGACTATACCGCGCAAAACTAGCCAGCAGCGTTTGCCAGTAGCCAAGTAAATTGCACGCAAAAAACAAAACGTAATGACAAGCTCCAGACTTCGACTTGGACGCAATCTCCCGCGCGCGGTATATCCAGACACGCCTCCTCGAACGGTCTGATACGACGCTTTCACAGACAGATCGGCCCAGGAACCAGCCTCGACGCCGTCGCCGCGCCCCTAGTTTAACGCGGCTGGTGGCTAGCAATGCAATTAAAACGCAGGGTCGGGGGGCGCTCCGGTGGAGGCGCGCGGCGTCCACGGGAACTTCGAATGCGTGGCGGGTCTCACTCGGCCTCGGCGAGGTCGACGGCCCCGCGCTCGCCCATCGCCTCGGCCGCGACGGCGCCGGCCTCGGCCGCGGGCGGCGCGCCGCCCTCCTTCTCGGCGGCGGGCGCCACCTGGGCCGGCATGACGTCCTTCACCTTGACGCAGCAGCCGATCTTGGGGTAGAGCATGAGGCCGTAGAGGACGAACGTCTTCGGGACGTCGTCGGCGCACGGCAGCGCGAACTCGCTGACCAGGCAGCAGCACATGCGCGACGTGCTGCGGCAGGCGCACTCCGGATCCTTGAAGTAATGGGTTTCGTAACAGCAACCGCAGCACGTCGCGTCGCAGACAATGCGGTCCTTCTTCTTCGCCAGCGCCGCCTCGCCGGGGAAGTAGTGGTCCACGGTCTTGCAGCAGCCGAACTTGGGGATGATGGCGCACCCGGGGAGGAGGGTACACATCCGGGGGACGTAGTCGAGCTCGCCGCACAGCACGTAGTCGGACGCGCAGCAGAGGCACTCCGACTCGCCGGCGCCGCAGACCGTGGGGGCCGTGTCGAGGTACGTATTGTCGCAGCAGAGGCCGGAGATAATGATGTATTCGCTTTTGTCCATGTTAGGTGGCAGGAATTGGTGGAGCGCTGGGCTGGGCTGGGCTGGGCTAGGTGGCAGACGCAAAGGAGGCCGTGCACGAGGTGGCGAGGGTGGCCGTGGTGGCACCGGTGTGGCTGGTTTAGCAGCGGGCAGCAAGGGCACCGGACGAAACCGGTCGCGTTGGGTACAGGCAATAGTTCAACGAAACGGTTTCAGTCTGGCTCGACCGTGGTCCTGGGAGCGTTGCCGGTACAGGTGTGGCGGCCTGCCGAGCTCTAGCGCGGAGCATGCGGGTATTTTCCAGCAAGAGCAGACTTCGAACAGCAATCTCCCGGCGCGCGGTATCCCCCTAGGGACGGTCCGGTGCGACGCTCTTCGCATCTTCGACAGACCGGGAACCGGCGATGGCACCGTCGCGACCGAGGCGCCGGCGAGAGATAATAGTAGTCTACTAAGAGAGAAAGAAAGCGCGCGCCCCCGGCGAGCCCCCTTTTACATGGTCAGCTCCATGATCGCGTTCACGATGTCGCCGTCGTTCGCGCGGAGCGCCTTGACGGCCTTGGACCGCGAGCAGGACGCCTGGGACATGACGAGCTCGACGTCCTTGGGCTCCAACCCGCTCTCGTCGAGGTCGCCGCCCTCGTCCTCCTCGGGGATCGTCGGCGGCGCGGCCGCGGCCGCGGCCCCGGAGCCCATGCTCGCCTGCGCGGCCTGGAACTGCGACGCCGCCTGCTGCTGCGCCTGGGCGCTCAGGTCCTCGATCTTCGCCTCGCCGAAGACGACGTACGTGTCCGACGTCGCGCTCTTGAACACGTCGGGGTGGCCGATCGCGAACAAGATGTTCTTGCTCTTCTTGACCGTCACGCGCACGACGTCGGGCACGGCCTTCATCCCCAGCTTCTGCATGGCCTTGCGGTTCTTCTTCTCGGCCCTGTTTTGTTTGGCGCCGCCGCCGTCGCCGCCGCCGGCCGCGGCCGCGGGCTGGGCCGGCGGCGGCGCGTCCTCCTGGTCCTCGAGGGTCTGCGGGGGGCGGCGCGTCGGCGTTTTGCGTGCGTGCTGCCCTCTCGTGCGTCTCGTACGTCGACGGCGCGGGGAGGGCCGGCGGCGCGCGGCGCGGCGCGGCCGGCCGGGACAAGGTCGGGCCGCGGCCGCGGGACCGCTGCTCGCCAGCACGGTGCGGGTCCGCGCGGCGGCCCGCGGGGATGCGCGCGCAGGTCTCTGGGACGGGAAAGCACTCACCGGCATGCCCACGCTCGAGCCGGACGAGTTGTCATCGTCCGAGTCCAGCTCCGCCGCCACGTTCGCCGCCATCGCTGCGGAACCGGCTCTCCGTCCTCGTCGCTGTGCAAAGGCACGTGCTCTCCAGCAGGCCTCGCCTCCACTCCTCGATCAGCGGTCCGCGGCGCCGTGATCTACGACCGGCGAGCTAAAATCTCCAAACACAAAATTGTCTCCTTGCGAAGCATGTAATTGTCACCGAGCTCCCCCCGACGTCTCAGGACCGCCAATGAGCCGATTTTCACTCAGTGCGGGTTTCCTACCCCAAAACCCCCTATTAGCCAGTTTGAATTGGACAGGCTCTGACGCCCAAATTGTAAGCTATTGGGTCACAACAAGGCTCCCTAGCAACGTAACTGCGGGAATCCCAGCCCTGCTGATCGATACGGTTGAATTTGAAGAATGGCCGCAGCCCTCACGCCGCCGCCGCGCCCGCCGACGGACCCCGTACCGCAACTCCGGCGCGCCATGCTCCTGAGGGGCGGCGCGGCCTGCGCCGGCCTAGATGATGGCACGTGCCTCGTCCTCACGCCCGACGGCCGCGGCCTCACGGTCGTCGCCGCGGCCGACGACGGCAACGAGGCCGTCGCGCGCCACGCGACGCGCTACTGCCTGTCGAGATATAGGCCGGCCTGCGCGAAGTTGTTGGGTCTCAGAAACGCCTTGGGGGACCACGCGCCCTTCGTTGCGAAGCGCCTGATGGAGCGAGCGGCGCCGCACGCGCGGCGCGGGCCGCGGATGGCGCGCTGGCGGCCCGAGGATGGTTCTTGGACGGCCGACGGCGGCCACGCGAGCTGCGAAGGCGACGCCTTCGGGGCGAGCGCTCTCCTGAAATACGTGCACGACGCGCCGGCCGAGGACGAGTTCGATTCATACACGCGCGTCGCCTCCGAAAAGCTCTTGCGGCCGGCTTCATCATCTTTAGCGGCGTGCGTCTGTCAGGGCACGGAAGTAGATCTGCCGCTCGTCGAGGCGCTGCCGACGCCATTCACAAATAAGGAAGAGGGCCCCTCTCTCGACCCGCGGCAGCTCCTCGCCATCCTGGGGGGCGACGGCGCCTACTTCGCGGACGTCCTCTGCGACGTCGAGTGCGGCGCGGGCTTCACGCTGACGCGGCTCGGCGACCGCGTCGAGGCGCGGCTCCACCCCGGCGCGGCCTTTGACGCAGAGGCGGCCTTCCGCGCCGACGCGCTCATTGTGTTGCGGGGCCGCGACTGCGCGTTGCGCCGGCGCGGCGCCGACGACGTGGACCGGACGCTCGTCGACGCGCTCGCGTCCACCGAGATGCGGGCCCTCGCGACGAAGCTCCTGCCCCGCGTCGACGCCGGCGCCGCGGCGGCCCTTTTACAAAGTTGCGGCCGCCGGCTGCAGCGCTTCGCGGCGCAGCACCACTTCCTCCAGCCGCTCGCGCCGCCGTCTTCCCGGAACCGACTCAACGCGCACGTGAAAGCAAGGGACCAGCGCGGCGCCGTCGCGCTGACGCTCTTCGAGGACGGGCGCGGCCGGGCCCTCGACCTCGAGCGGGAGCCCGCCGTCGTCGTCGAGGCGTCGGCGGACGGCAAGGAGCTCCAGATTCTGCGGGGCGGCGACGCGTACGGCGCGCCCGGCCAGCGGCCGCCCAGGGACCTCGTCGAGCTCGTGAAGACGCTCCGGGACTTCCAGCGCATGCAGGCCCTCGACCCCGACGCCCAGGCCGCTCTGCTCGCGCAGCGCGCGCGGGGCAAGCGCGACGCGGCGGCGGCCGCGGCGTCGTCGCGGCGCTTCGCCGTGCGCGTCCGCGGGCCCGCGGCGCCGGCACCCGCGAAGAGGAGCGTCGACGGGCGCGTCGCCGCGGCGCTGGCGGCGACGGGCGCGTTCCTGCGGCGGCTGCGGGAGTAATATCCAAAGCCACAAGCTCTATACTAAGTTAGGTCCCGGCGGGCCGCGGGCCCCTCACCGCCCGCCGCACTTCGCGAACAGCTCCCGGAACGACGTCCCCGTCGCCTGGTCCGTCACCGTCACCGCGACGAGGCCGCCCTCGCGCGCGACCTCGACGCGCGTGACCCGGTCCTCGTGCTCGAGCTCGCGCTCCTCGCAGACCAGACTCCCGCCGGCCTCGGCCCACCGCCGCCGGACGGGCACGCCCGCCGGGTTCACGTCGCGGACCCACGTCTTGCCTGCGCGCGACGCGACCCGTCGCATAGCTCCCGCGGAGACGGCGGGGCGCCGCGCCGCGCCGTCGAGGGGCACCGGCGCCTTCGCCGTGTCGCGGAAGGTCCCCAGCTCCGTCTCCGTCAGCCAGAGCACGCCATGCTTCATTTCCGACGCGAAGCGCCGCGTCGACCCCACCAGGTTCTGCAGGACCAGCCGCACCGGGTACGGCACGCCCCGGAGGGCCAGGAACGCGTCGTAGTCGCCCTCGCGCCGGGTCAGCTTCATCGTGCCGATGATATAATCCGTCAGTCGCGGTTCCGCGACGGCCATGGTGCACGACAAGAGGGATGCCGGCAGCACTTTTTTTGGCTGCCCCACAACGGGGGTCGGGTTTGACCACGCCCGAGGCCTGGGGCCGGCGAGACCCGCGCGGGCCCTCCCGCGTACTACTCCGCCGCCCACCGAGGAAAAGCCACTAGCGTCCCGACACCTCTTCCAGTGCGCTGCGCTCCAGCGCCACACTCCGGGAGCAGGAGCAGGAGCAGGAGCAGCACAGGCTGCCCCCCGACACTCGCAACCGAAAAAAAAAGTGCTGCCTCTACAGACAAGAGAGCAGCCATGGGTGCCGGCGCCTCGGCGGACAACGCCATGAGCCCCGAGGAGCTCGCGCGCGTCCACGCCATGCTGGCCCTGACCCCCGAGGAGCAGGCCAAGAAGGCGGCCGCCGCGATGAAGGACTGTCTGGCCCTGGCCGCGACGACGGGGCTCGCGCGCGCGTCGCGGCCGGAGACCTGGGAGGAGGCTGCGAACCGCATCCCCTGCCCCATGAAGGGCAAGTTCGAGAATTTACAAAGACAGATCGAGAAGGTGCCCATGGTCGGGAAGACCCTCGCGAAGCCCGTCGCCGCGGGCGTCGAGAGCGTCGAGAAGGCCTTCGTGGACGCCGCGTCGACCGTCGGGAAGGACCCCGCCGTCGCCGCGGCGTACCGGGCGGCCGTGGACGGCATCGGGGTGGACGCGGCCGTCGACCTGGTCCAGGGCGCGCCCGGGAGCTTCACGGAGTACCTGGCCGGGCAGACCGACGGCGCCCTCACGGACGGGGTCACGGCGACCGTCGCCGCGGTCCTCGCGACGCACACGTTGACCAAAGTCTGGGGCGGCGCGACGGAGGCCTACAACGCGGCCGCGACGAAGTGCGGGGTGAAGCCCATCGAGCTCGACCTTCCTTCCTACGTCGTGGAGCAGGCCATGGCCACGCTCAAGCAGCTGGTCTCGGACAAGGAGATAGAATTAAGGGACAACCCGGGCGACGACGCGCCCGAGTCCGTCAGGGAGATCTTCGGCGGCGGCCTGCGGACCGCGATGGCGCAGGGCTCGGAACCCCTGGTCCTGGTCAAGCCCGACGACCCGCGCCAGATCCAGTTCGTCGTTTTTCCCCAGGACGGGGCGACGCCCGAAAGACTGGTCACGGGCAAGGGCCTGGGCGTCGTCGTCACGGCCAGGCAACCCGTCGTCCAGAGCAAGAGCTGGGCGGTCCTCACGCTGGGCTTCGGCCGGCCCGCCGAGGTGGCGGGCGACCGGGGCGACCTGCGCGGCTACGCGCCCAAGTTCCACCGCCGCGGCCGCTTCCTCGTCGCGGACGTGTTGGGCGAGGAGTACCCGCTGAAGGTCGACAACGGGCGCTACTTCGACCAGAACGCGATCAAGCTGGTCCGGCACGCGACGGACGCCTCCAAGACCTTCTACGAGGACGGCGCGCTCGACTTCAACTACTCCGAGGAGACGAAGCACGTCGGGCCCGACCGCTGCAAGCAGTGGACCTCGGACAGGTACAACTTCGTCCTGGGCCTGCGGAAGAACGCGCCCTAGGCGCCTAATACCTTTCGACTCGGCTGCACCTCGCGCGGTTGACCCGGTCCCAGGCTGTCGTGGTGGGTGGTCGTCGACTCGCTGGGCGCTCGCGCCGCGCGAGCTCTGCGGCATCCCCGGTCAAGAATCGGGTTGTATGCGGTACCGTGTGGTAAGGTACCGGTACGGCATATCTAGGGTTGACTGCGATGGAGATGCTTCAAGCCTCCGCCGCGACCGATATCGATGCCTAGTACCGTAGGTATACCGGTATAATTCATACAAGCGCTTCTTGGGTACACCAATTACAAGCTCGTGATTGACACAAGAGCAGATGCTGTCAGGCTGCCCGCGTACCGTTGGAGCTGCCCAACTCTAAAGCTGCCGTACGCGTCCGGTGACAGGAAGCACCTCTCAGGTCGGGCGTGTAGACCATGGGGAGAGGCGAAGGGAAGGGCGAAGGACTCTTCTCCAAGGCCAAAGAGACGGCGAGCCAGGCCGCCGGGGCCGCGAGCGCGGCGGCGAACCAGGCCGCGTCGTCGGCCGGGGCCGCCGCGACGAAGGTGGCGGGCGAGGAGCGCGTCGCCGGGGCCAAGGCGGCGGCGGCGGGCGCCGCGGGCGCGGTGACGGGCGCCGCCGCGCGGGCGGCGGGCGAGGCCGAGGAGACCGTGCGGGCCAAGGGCGTGGCCGTGGCGTCCAAAGGCGTCGACCTCGCGTGCGAGAAGATCGCCGCCATGGCCAAGGCCGCCGTCGTCGACCCCGACATGCCCCGGCCCGTGCGGAGGGTGGCCGAGGCCGTCGTCGACGGCTTCATGCCCGAGGTGCGGGACATGATCCTGGAGAGCGCCACGGCCGCGTTCCGCAAGAAGGTCGACGACGCGGCGAAGATGACGGCGCCGGCCCCGCCGTGCTGCCCGAACTTCCCGGCGAGGGTCCGCGCGCACGTGCTCTACCACATGTTCCCGCACGACAAGACGATCTGGGCCTGCGTCAAGGACCCCTGGTGGTGGTTCTACACGCAGGCTCTCGGCGCGTTCCCGCTCTGGGGCGTGACGACGGCCTGGTGGTTCGTCGTGCTCGCGTTCAAGTGGTCCGAGAGCCCGGTCGACGAGTTCCAGCTGGTGGACTTCGTCGTGTCCTTCAAGGCGTCGCAGTTCACGACGGCGTGCGTCCAGGCGATGGTCGTCGGGGCCACGCTGTACGCGAGCTGCATCCCCGACTGCTCCGACGGCGCGCCGGGCTCCGAGCCGGCGTTCCGCGAGACGCTGTGGCTCTTCTTCGCCCGCGTCCTGCTCTGCTGGGTCGCGCTCGGCCTGCTGCCCTGGTCGGCGGTCAAGGGCGGCTACCACTACGAACCGGTCCGGGGCGAGCTCGCGTCGGTGGCGCGCAAGGGCGGCCGCGTGTGGTACTGGATGTGCTACGACCTCGTCGTCGCCGCGGGCTGCCTGGCCCTCGTAGCCTTCATCTACGCCCAGCCGGGGGGCACGGACTGGGTGCAGAACGCGCAGCTCTTCCACGTCAAGGTGCTCTACGGCATGCTTTCCTTCCCCTGGATGGTCCTGAAGCTCCCGATGATGTACTCGCTCATCCTCTCGCTCAAGCCCACCAACTACAACCGCGCCGGCGAGACGGTCCGGCCCGCGACGGGCAAGGAGATGGCCGCCGCGCGCGACGCGCGCCGCGGCAAGGTCGGCCCGGCCTAGCTGGCTGCTGGGAAGCTGCTGGTACTTACCTGCGCTATTGAATGCGTGGGTAGGAGGGTACGGGGGAACTCGAAGTGTGGCCCGCCGGTAATGTCTAGCACTAGTAGATCATACTAGACTCGGTAGCCGCCCTCCGCCCGAGTCCCCATGTTGTGGTCAAGGTCTCGAAGTAGCAGTTACGAACGGGGTTGGGGGAGCAATTCTAGGGAACGCGGACGGGAATGACGCGACGTCGACCGCGCCTGGGCGACTTGAAGCCTGGGCGCGACGGGATATTCATATGAGGAAGCTCGGGCGGCTGGGGCACGTCCGAGGAAGTGATATGGGAACCGGGGAGGGTACGAATTCCCGCAAGGAAGGGCCTCCCACGGGAAATTCGAATGCGTGGCGGGCCTCACTCGGCGTCGGCGAGCTCGACGGCTCCGCGCTCGCCCATCGTCTCGGCCGCGACGGCGTCGGCGATGGCGGCGGGCTCGGTCTCGGCCGCGTGCGGCGCGCCGCCCTCGGTCTGGACCTTCGCGCCCGCCTCGGGGCGCGTGATCTTGAGCTGGTCGGTGATGTTCTCCTTCTGGCAACAGAATAAGAAGGGGAAAGCGAGGAGGAGCAGGGGGTTCCCCTGCGCCGGCATGCAGGTGCAGGTGAAGTGGCAGCACGGTCCGAGTTCGCAGCCGACCGTCTCGCAGCGGCAGCAGCAGCAGCAGTCGGGGCATTTGCAGGGGCACTTGCAGCAGTTGGACGGGTGGGCGATGAAGCACGGCCGGGCGCACACCGGGTTGAGCGGCTTGCACAGGTTCGTGACGAGGCAGCACGGGTTGTTCCCGCACCGCTTCTTCAGGAACGGGCAGCAGATCGTCGCCGGCCAGCAGAGCGGCAGCTCGTACGGGAACGTGCAGTAGCCCGGGCACATGGCGCAGGGCGGGCAGACGCAGCAGGCCTTCCGGTCGTCCCACTGCTCGTAGGGAAAGCTCCCCATCACCGGCTTCTCGAACTGCATGGTCAGGTCGCGGATGCCCAGCTCGAACCGCCCGGCGGCGAGCGTCTGCTTCTTGAACTTGACGAAGCGCTGGAGGTCCTCGAACGTGGGGTTCGCGCCACCCATGACCGCCGCGTACTCCTCCCGCGCGCCCTTGAGCTCGCCCATCTCTTTGTCGTAGTAGGCGGTCAGCTGCGCTTTTTTTTCATCGGTCTCCTCCATTGTGTTCGTGTTCCGTCGGGCTGCGCTGGCTAGGGCAGAGGTTTAGGCTGAGCTAAACGCTGTCGAGGTTTGTAATGTACCGTAGTATCTTGTAGTTATTAGCCAGTTTCTTGGGAGGAAGTGAATCCCCGAGCGCCAACTATAGCTATTGATATAAATGATTATGCCCGTGTACTCATCAGGAAGCCGCCGGCCCGGTCGTCCTTGCCGCGCGTTTCTTGTAGTTATATAACCGTCGCGGCGACGACCGAGCATTACGCGTCGGGCCACGTACTGGCCTACGCTGAGGCCGAGCGCAAGCGGGGTAACGCGCCGGTTGATAGGCGCGCCCGGCTCGTGAACGGGCAGTACCTGAAAAAGCCCACAAGTTGGATATGAAGTACAACTTGACCCGTACCGTTAACGGTACGGGTCACACAAGCCCTAGTGAGTTTTGCACGGGAAGGACAGCTAGCGGCTTAAGGCACTAGCCTCGACGCCTCACCAAAATACAAGCTAAAACGCAGCGCACCGCCCTGCAGAGCATAGGCAGGCAGCGGATCGAAGCTCCCGGCCGTGCGCTGCGCCGGGGCCGGGCGCGCTACACGTACCTTCAACCAATTCCCAGGGAGCCAATGGCCGCCTCCTACGGCTCCGCCGTGGCCGCGGCCATGCGCAGCGGCAACTACGTGGCCGCCGGCGGCGACGCCCCGGCGGCGTACGCGGACCTCAACGAGACGTCGCGCCAGGACCAGGCGCGGCACGCCGCGCTGCTGCGCCGCGTCGACGCCGAGAAGCGCGCGCGGCGCATCGTCGTGCCCACGGGCGACAATGAAGTAAGAGCGATGCTGCGGAAGCTGGGGCACCCCGTCCGGCTCTTCGGCGAGAGCGCCGCCGACGTGCGCGAGCGGCTGCGTTCGGCGCTCGCGCGCGTCGAGATCGAGGGCGAGGACCGGGAGCTCGTCGCGGCGCTGCTGGCGCAGCCCAGCGTGGAGGAGCTGCAGCCGCGGGCGGCTTCGGTGAGACGCGGGAAGGAGGAGGTCTACTCGGCCGCGTCGCGCGAGCTCGTGGGGGCGCGGCGGGCCCTCGCGCCCGGCACGTTCGACCGCGCGCGCCGGCGCCTGGCGGAGCAGCGTCTCCACCGAGACGACGCCGCGGCCGTCGACGCGCTCAACGAGGCCGCCGCCGGGACCTTCGCGAAATTACGGTCGCTCGCCCTGGCCCAGTCCCAGGCCGCGGACGCGCGGCCCGTGGCGTCGGTGCGCAGCGCGCCGACGCAGAATTTAGTGTGCACGGGCGGCTGGTCCGGGGCCGTGAAAATCTGGGACGCGTCCAAGTGCGAGTGCATAAAAAGCGTCAAGGCGCATTCTGATAGATGCACGGGCGTGAGCTGGGCGCCCGACTCGTCGTTCATCGCGACGTGCGGCGCGGACGGCGAGGCCTGCGTCTGGGATCTGAAGGACGACGCGCCCCGCGCGCGGCTGCGGGGCCACCGCGCGCGGTTGGGCGGCGTCGCCGTGCACCCCGTCGGGCGGCACGTCGCCACGACGTCTTTTGATCATACCTGGCGGCTCTGGGATATTGAGACGGGCGTGGAATTGCTGCTGCAGGACGGCCACGGGACCGAGGTTTACGGGGTCGCGTGGCAGCCGGACGGGTCGTTGGTGTGCACGGGCGACTTCGCCGGTCTGATCGCGGTCTGGGACGTGCGGAGCGGCAAACGCATCCACCACTTCCAGGGCCACTCGGGCAAGGTCCTCTGTTTGGACTGGCACCGGGACGGGTTCCACGTCGCCTCGGGGTCCGACGACCACACGGCCCGGGCGTGGGATCTGCGGCGGCGGTGCGAGGCGTACGTGCTGCCGGCGCACTCGTCACTCATTGCGGACGTGCGGTGGGCGCCGGCGTCGGGCGAGGCGCTCGTCACGGCCGGCTTCGACGGGAATTGCAGGGTGTGGCGCCACCGCGACTGGTCGTTGCTGACGGATCTCAAGGCGCACGACGGCAAGTGCATGGCGTGCGACTTCGGGCCCAATCTCGATGACGGCGTGCTGGCGACGTCCGGCTACGACCGGACGTTCAAGCTGTGGGCCGGGGGCGACGACGGGCTGGGGGGGTACCGCTAATTTATGCTATCTTAGGGTCTCCAGGGGGCTTTACGGACGGCGGACGGAGGAGCACTACCAGGAGAAAGAAAACACAATTACAAACGCGCGGCCTACTTCTCCTCGACCGTGAACGTCGGGTCGTAGACGTCGGGCCAGCGGAAGATCGTCGCGGCGCGCGCGTACTTCGACCCCTCAACGAGCGCGAAGTTTTTCTTGCGCTCGGCCAGGGGGGGGAGGTCGTTGCCCGTCGGCGCGCCCGACGCGAGCAGGACGCCCTCGTCGTCGACGAGGACGAAGCGCCGGAAGGAGTCCTGGGCGCCCGGCGTCCAAACCAACTTGAACGCGATGCGCGATTTGAACTGGACGTGCGCGACGTCCCGCGGCGGCTCCGACGCGCAGCCGATCATGCAGGTGGCCCAGCTGCCGCCCGGCCCGAGGTCCGCGAGGCTGTTCGCTCTTATTGAATCGCCGAGCTTGTTGGACGTCGACACGCCGGCGACGGCGCCGTCCGCGTTCGACTCGTCCATCACCGCCGGCGCCATGCACGTCAGGTCGCAGTGGTTGTAGTCGCTGAACGCGAGCCGCGTCGGCGGCGCGTCCTTCAGGCCGCCCGCATATAATAGGTTCCGGCGCGTCTCCGGCCACGGCTCCGCGAAGGCGCGCACGCCCAACTCCTTGATCCGCGCCGCGACGGCCCGGCGGCGGTCCTCGGCCGTGCCGGGGAAGGCGTCGTCGGCGCGGGCCGGTTCGACGAGCGTCGCCGCGAAGGCGCCGCCGACGAGGCCGCGCCGCATCGGCGACGCGGCATCGAGGCCCGCCTCGGCCTGGCATGCTGCCAGCCGGCGCCTCGTCGGCGGTGCTGGTGCCCAGGCCCCGGCGCGCGCGACGACGAGCCATATGAGCCTGGACTGGTGCATGTCCGTGGCTGCCGCCGCCGGCCGGCGCGTGGTTTTTGCTTTTTAGAGCAGGAGTCCGGTCGTGCGTGGCTGCTGGCGTCCTTGGTGAAGGCGCGCCGTCGTCACGACTGCTGCAGTCAGGGAGAGGGAGCTTAGAGCTCAGAGGGCAAATGCTCTCCCAAACTTGTTGTTGCAGTGGCACGACGTCGCACCCAAGGCAGCATTGCTACGTTTAACGCAGCCGTTCGCACCACATACTGCGACGCTGACGGCTCTCGGTGCACGCGAGCGCCGTCGACGCCATAAAACGGAGCCAAACTTGTTGCAGTGGCACGACGTCGCACCCGCAGCATTGCTACATTTAACGCAGCCGGTCGCCCCACATGACTCGGACGCGTGCAGCAATGCGCCTGGTTGTGCTCGCCGCGGCGTCCGCGCTCCGCGGGGGCCCGCCGCGGCGCGCCCGCCGCATCGTGTGCCGCGCCAAGCCCGGGACACGACGCGCGGCCCTCGCCGCCTTTTCACTCACAACGATCCCGAGCGCCGCGCGCGCCGACATCGGCCCCGACTCTAATTACGACCTCTGGCCGGCGCTGCCCGTCGCGCCCTATTCCAGAAGGAAGACCATACGGAGGCAAATCAAGGACGACGTCTGGGTGTTTGATCAGATCATTGGGATCTACTACGTCCACGTCCCGATCCGCATGACGGTACTAAGAGGAGAGAATGGATTGATGGTCTACGCGCCCGTCGCGCCGACCAAGGAGTGCCTATCACTACTAGAAGAGTTGATTCAGCAATACGGCCCGGTCCAGACAATAATTTTGCCTTCTGTTGCTGTCGAGCACAAGGTCCTCGCGGGACCATTTGCGCGGAAGTTCCCGGACGCAACGTTTTATGTGGTCGACCAGCAGTACAGCTTCCCCGTGCCGCTCCCGTCTCGGTTCCTCGGGCTGCCGCGCTGGGCGCGACCGTTACCGAGGAGCGGGAGCGTGGCGGGGGGCTTTGCGCACGAGGTTTTGACGGTGAAGCCGGGCCCCGGCTCCTATTTTCAAGACGTGGCCTTGTACCACGTCAAATCGAAGACGTTATGTGTGTGTGACGCGGTTCTGGCGGTCACGGCGGAGCCGCCTCAAATACTGGTGGCGGAGCCGGAGTATAGAAGAGCTTTACTTTTTCATGCTAGAGATGAGCCCTTGGAGCTCGTCGAGGACACACCTGAGATGAGGAGGAAGGGCTGGCGGCGCATTGTTTTATTATTCAACTTCTTTATCCCTGGTAGCGTGCAAGCGGACATCGGTTTAAATCCGTTGAAGGCTCTGAGACCGTACGAATACGGCTGGGGCGGCTGGCAGCCCTTTGCGTGGAATGCGGAAGATGAGGAAAGGAGCTTCGAACAGTATTCAAACAAGGGCAAATTGGCGTTACTTCCCATCATCCAGATCATCCTCAATAGGGGCGTCGCCGACGGTTCCCTAAAAACGTGGGTCGACCGCGTTTGTGGGTGGGATTTTGATACGGTCGTGCCGGCGCACCTGGACGCTCCAATAAAAGCGTCTCCAAAAGACTTCCGGGAGCCCTTCCAATTTTACAAAAGTGGCTCGAACGACGTGCGCTTCTGCGACGAGGACGTGGCTTTATTAAGGGAGGCCGAGCGCGGTCCTTTAAAATTTTCGGTGACGCCTACCAGTTATGGTCCGCTCGTCGGGAAGAAGTGTGATTTGGGTGGCGGTCGGCCGCGCGTCGTGCCCTTCAACTGGACGCCCCACTAAATATGTTGTATAATTTATAGCCTCGCCTCGACTTGGGCGAGCTCGTCCGCCAACGCGGCCTTGCGCGCGAGCTTCTCGCGCTGCTCCGCCGACGGCGCCAGGCCCCCTGCTACCTTCGTCTCGAGCTCCTCGACCTGCTTCAGCTTCTTCTTGAGTTTTTTCTGCTCCTTGAGGAGCTCGTCGGGCGCCATGGTCGCGACGTCTTTGGCCGGGGGCGGCGGCGGCGCCTTCGCCGCGATCGACGCCTCCAGCGCCTTCGCGGCGGCCTCGGCCTCCTTGCGCTTCTTCGCGGCCTCCTTGCGCCGCGCGTTGCGCGAGGGCCCGGCCTCGGGCGCGGCGCCGACCGGGAGCTTCGGACCCACGGGCTTCTTCTGCCGTATGGTTCCCGAGCTGCCTTTATCTTTTTCCCTTTCAGCGCGGATCATCGACGCCAGCGACCCGCCGCCCTTCAGGCCGCGCGCGCCGGGCGGCCGATACGCGCCCTTGGCCGGCTCAGGCTTCGGCGCGGCGCGCATGCGCGCCTTCGAAGCTGGGCTCACACCGCGGTCCGGATAATCGTCAGTCACCCCGGGCAGCCAGAAGCAGTCGAATAACGGGTCCCGGTCCTTTGTGGTACTGAGAGGCCCCGAACCGTCGTATCGATACACGTGGATACCGTTGTCCACGTTCATCCGAGGCGCGGTCGTCGCGGTGACAAAGAGTCGCGAATCCGGACTCCACCCGTATTCCACGGCGCAGGGCATGTTGACACTTCCAATTTTCTTTTTTTTGTTGCGGTCCCAGAAGTCGACGTCGCCCGCCAAGTTGCCAAAGCCGCACAATGCTAGGAATCTACCGTGCGGCGCCCAGCAGATCACATTCCGATGGGCGTTGCCAAACGCATAAATCTGCTCCGCCTCCAGGTTATAGAGGGCCGCCGCCGGTGGTATGGAACCGGCGATGACGACGAATTCTTTGCCCTTCGTAGGTTCCCATTCAGCCGCGGCGACCGGCCCCTCTTTCGGTAACGGCACCAAGCATTCAAACGCTTGCTCTCCTTTTTTTTTGGGTGTGGACTGCATCAAGTACAGTCCCGTACCGCCGTAGTAACTCCCACCCGTGGCGTCGACGTCCGTATGCGTCTGCACCAATACCCCATGGCCGTGCGGCGACCAGGTCAGCTTGCAATCTTGAGCTCTATAAAAGGACTTGGCGCAGGTCTGACCATCACTATCGTCGGGAAAGGGGAACTGGTAGACTTTCACTTGAGCCGGTCTTCCCTTGATCTCTGGCACGAACGCGGCGACCCCATAAGGTATCATGCCTGGCGAGGCCGAGAAAGCCTTCAACGAGTCGCATTTGATCGTGGCGAGCTTTTCCCGGAGGCTGCCGTCATAGATAGATATGGTGTTCGTCGTCGAGTGGAAGGCTACCTTCTCGTCGCCCGACCACGCGAGCGTCGCGTCGATGCCGCCCCTATTGAGTAACTTGCAGTGGAAGGCTTTCGCTAGACTCAGATCCGTGAGAGACCAGCACCGCAGGCTCCCGTCGGGGAACTGGTCGGGGGAGGGCCGCTGCCACGTGATTAGGTACGAGCCCCGCGGGCTGAATGAAAACCGTTCGCATCCACTAGAATCGTCCGGCAACGAGCGGCGGCGCCAGTCGCCCGTATCTACCACCTCTAAAGGTGTAGAACCCCCACCGAGGCAGAGGCGCGAGCCGTCCTTCGCGGTTTCGACGACGCCTCTCCCGAGGTGCTGCACGATATCTAACGCTTGGTTTTCGTCCTTGCGGCCGTCGGGCGCACTTAATACTTCGATGCCGTGCGTGCGGGACCGCCTTATCAAGCGTAACGGCGGCGGCGGGGCGGTCGTGGCGAGCTCACTCATGGCTGCAGTGTGTTGCGGTGCTGCCTAGCGATGCTGCTCTTGCGGCTTGGTAGCTGCGGGTCGCAGCGATGGCGTGCTGTTGCAGCACCGATCGCTGGCTGCTGTAGCGTACTCTGGTCGCGTCTGTGAGAGCGTCGCCGGCCACAGCTTGGCAATGCATGTATGCTAGTATGCATATACGCTAGACAAAATCACACCTGCTGCGAGGCGTCGCGGCGAGGCGTCCCGAAAGCCGTCGACGCGCGCGAGCAAAAACCCCGCAGCCTAGCGTACCGCTACTAGGCCGCGGCATGTTTGCTTCACGGTGCCGGCTTGGTCGGCTGGATCCGCCGAGCCTTCTGCGGCCTCGCGAAGAACCGGACACGGCAGCCGGCCCTGTCCATCGCTAGCGCCGCGGGGCAGCCTTTCCAGCGCCGCGCGCCGCGTTCCGCAGCATGGCCGAACTCCCCGCCGACGTGACAGTGAAGGCCGAGGAGGCGCCGCCGGCCGCGCCGGCCAGCTACGACGGCCCCGGTCCGTTAAATGAACCCCCAGAGACCGTGGCGCAGGCCGCGCCGCCGCCGCCGCCGCCCGCGGACGAGCAAACGCCCCAGGTGGCGCAGCAAACACCCGTAGAGATGACGCCCGAGCAGGCCGCCGCGGCCTACGCCGCCCAGCCCGACGTCCAGGCCGCCTACGCCGCGGCGGCCGCGGCCTACGCGGCCCAGCCGCCGCAGCATTATCCCCAACAGCAGGAAGTCAATCGTAGACTTGGCCAATGGACGCGCGAGGAGGAGGCCTACGCCGAGAAGGTCGCGGAGTTGTTTAAGACGGGCCGGGTGCCGAACTGCCCGGAAGGGACGACGATGCGAGCTTTGCTCGCGGAGCTGCTGAACTGCGCGCCGATGCGGGTCTCGAAAAAATTCAGTGGCGAGCGAGCCATCGGGAAATGTTCCTACAAGCGGTCTTCAGCAGATCTCGACGAGGAGGAGGCGGAGTTGAAACCGCTCGAGCAGGCGTTCCACGATTCTGTCAGAGGAATGGGTCATCTCAAGATGTCCCTGGCGCATACGTCCAACTTAATAACCCCGGTCGCCGCGAAAGAACAAAAACGGGCTTTACGGGTCCAGCAGCAGCAGGGCCAGCACTCCGCCGATTTAGCGTGGTCTCATGCGGCTGCCCAGAGGCAGGCCCATCAAACGTACGTCAACTCCATGCGGGGCCAGCCGCCCTCCAATTACTTCGCGGGCATGTCTACTACTTCCGCGCAAGCCATGTACGCGCAGTATTATCAGCAGTACCCCGCGCATTATTATCAAGCGGGAGGCGAGGCTTATGCGGCCGCGGCCGCTCAGGCTGCGGCGGGGGAGGACGGCGCGGCGGCTCCTGCGGCAGCTCCTGCGGCGACTGAGGGCGCCGAGGCGACGGCGGAGGAGCAGGCCGCGGCGGCGCAGGCGCTCCTGCACCCGTACATGATGCTCTCGCCCGAGCAGCAGCAGGTCATGCAGGCCCAGTACCTCGCGGCCTACGGGTATACGGCCCAGGCGCCGGCCGAGGCCGAGGCACCAACGGCCGAGGGCGCCGCGCCCGCGGCGGCGGAACCCGCGGAGCCCGCGGAGGCGCCGCCCGAGAGCCTGGAGCCCCTCGCCGCGTAGCTGTCTTTCTTAAATCGTTCTTTTTACTCGTGGATCTCCGCGCCGGCCGGCTTTGCGAAATTCTAGTGTCCATAGGCGCTAGGTCGAAAATATAATTGACCGGCCCAGGACGAATTTGTGCCCCCCCAGGCCCTCCTAGTCCTGAAAGCTGCGTGGATTTACTCAAAGTACTTCTGACGTCTCCGCGCCCGGTGCTGCACGCTTCGGCCTTTCGAAGGAGCCGCGGGAAGGCCCCATACAAATTATCTTCTTGCTTTGCTTAGAGCTAGGCCGCCTAGCCACGGGCCCCCGCGGGGCTTCTTAAACCCACGCCATCGTCCCGACGACAGTATGGCCCGCCTCCTCGCCAAGGCGAAAGAAGTGCGCGAAGCGCTCTACCCCGTCCTCCAGCAGAGCGCCTTCGCGGAACGCGGCGTCCTGACGCCGGACGAGTTCGTCAAAGCAGGGGACGAGCTCGTCGGCAAGTGTCCAACCTGGGCCTGGGAGAGCGGCGACGCGTCGCGACGCAAGAACTACCTGCCGGCTGATAAACAATACCTGGTCACTCGCGATGTTCCTTGTGCCCAAAGGGCCAAAGCAGTAGAAGGCTGCGGTGAGGATGTGGACACTGAAGGCGACTTCGTCGTGCCCAAGGTCACTACTCCGTCATCAACAGAAGCGGAAGTGGATGACGTCTGTGCGTCGTTAGAAGAGGCTTCTCTGCAGGTAAATGACGACGCGGCCGCCCCAGCTACCTTGCAAACGAGGCGATATGACCTCTCCATAACCTACGACAAGTACTGGCAGTCGCCGCGCATGTGGCTCTTCGGCTACAACGAGCAGCACGCTCCGCTCACCCAAAAACAAACTTTGGAAGATATAGTATCCGCCTATGCACTTAGAACGGTGACCTTCGAGCGCCACCCCCACTTGGCCGACCTGCCGCACGCGTCGATCCACCCCTGCAAGCACCCCCAGGCCATGAAGCGCATTCTCGACCAGGCGGCCCGGAACGGGAAGGGCGTGGATCCGGCACAAGCACTCTTCTTCTTTCTGAAGTTTATTGCGAACATGATCCCTACGATCGACTACGACTTCACGCACGACGTCGTGGCGGGCTAGCTTATTCCTTCCTTCCTCGTGTAAAGACCCCTGTTACTAGTAGACTTTACGCCGGCGCGGTGATGTGGGCGAAGAGCACGGCTCGTGCCGTTTGCAGGCTGCCCTCAATATCCACCGTGAGCGGATGCGTGTCGCCGAACACGCGCCGCGCGATCCGTCCCGTCTCCTCGAGCGTCGCCGCGGTCTCGCGGAGATCGTCGAGCGTGGCGCCGGGGTCGTTGTAGAGCACTTGCGCGTAAATTTTCCTCGTTCTGAGCGTGATCTCATGAGTCTCTCCCAAAATGCGTCGCGCCACGGGCATAATTTTGCGCAGCAGTGACTTGGCTTCTTCGAAGCGCCGTAGCTGACCAAGGTTCGATGCGTAGTTGAGGGCTGCTATGATAGTCTCTTGGTCTTCCTCGCCCTTGAGCCTCACACGCCCAGAGTATACATTTCGAAGCATGTCTGTTGCCTTCTCGATCAGTCCAAGCTCTCGATATGTGCTCGCAAGATTGCTCTGCGTGACGAAGACGTCTTCTTCTGGTGCGTCAAGTCGCCGCTCCATAGCCAACTCGGCCTCTCTCACGGATAACTCGTCCTCGTGGTGTCCTGCATTGGCTAAACCGTTCCCAAGCTGCGTCATCGCACTTCGCCGAGACGAGTTCCCCTCCGGCCGCCCCAAGTACGTCTTCCAGCATGCCCACCCGAGCGCGCATTTCACGACGCCGTGGTAACGTTGCTCGCACAGGCTGCACGCGTACCACCGCGCCCACCTCTCATTGCCCACCTTGCCGCTCAAATTGTTCTCCTCGACCTCCGCAACCAAAACCTTCGCCTCCTCCGCCAAGCACGACACGTGCGCAAAACCCGCCGTCCCGCGGCACGCACACCCGCGCACGAGACCCTCCTTCGTCTTCCAGTGGAGGGCCTGCGTGCAGATGTAGCACGTCTGGCCTTTGGTGTCGTCCGCGCATTTCTCGGCCGCGACCGTGACGGCCTCCGCGTACTTCTTATTCGCGTTGTACTGCTCGGCACCACCAGCTTTTTTTATTGGTTTGCAGAGCTTGTCGTGGCCGCCCTGTTCCCAGTGCTGCACCTGGCATTCAGGCCCACAGTAGCGCGTGCTGCAGCGGCCGCATTTCTTGCCCAAGGTCAAGCCAAGGTCGGTGGCGCAGACGGCGCACTGCGTGAGGATCATCCCCTTAGACGGATGGGTCGCGGCGACAGCGTGGGGCAGCTCTTTTTTTGCTTGAATTGGCGGTGCTAGCGTCTCTTTGACACACTAGAGATTTGACCGTGCCGAGCGCGCAACTCGTTTTTAAGGCCGCGCTAGATCGCCACTGAGGGCGGCAGTGGGCTTATCAACACTCTCACAGCCCCGCCGCAGCGCTGCGCGACCCGCGCGCGCCGCCGCCGCGCCGCGTAGCCGACAGAGACCGGTCCTTGCGGAGGAGGGACATACGAGACCAAGATGGCCGCGACGCCGCAAGAGTCCTCCTTCGGCCGCGGCGCCATCGTCCGCGTCAAGCTCTTCCAGTTCCTGACCTACGAGGCGGCGTGCTTCGGCGTCGAACGCGTTTCCCGCCGACGCGACGCGACCCTCTCTACGCACAGGTGGAATTCCGGCCCGGACCCAGATTGAATGTGGTCATGGGCCCGAACGGTACCGGCAAGTCGAGTATTGTCATGGCCATCGCCGTCGGGTTAGGTGCGGCCCCGAGACAACTAGGTCGAGCGGACACGCTATCGGAGTTCATCCTGACGGGTCGAGACGTGGCCGTTACGGAGTTAGAGCTACTAGACGACGAAGCCACGGGCAGAACCCGAACGATCGAGCGAAGGATCACGCGCTCCCAAAGAGGCACGTCCAAGTGGAAGATCGACGGCAAGTCCGCGACGGAGCCACAAGTGAAGGAACTCGTGGAGAAGGACCTCAAAATTCAGATCGGCAACCTGTGCACTTTTTTACCGCAGGAGAAGGTCGGCGAGTTCTCGGCCTTTGATGATATTGGGTTGTTGAGAGAAACGGAGAAAGCGTTGGGCGGCCAAGACCTCGTCGATAAACACGAGGCGCTCATCAAGGCCGAGAAGGCGGCGTCGGAGGGGGCCCGGCGCATACGCACGGCCGCCGAGGAGCTCGAGGACTGCGAGAAGCGGTTGAAAGAGTTGGAGCCGGAGCAGGCTCGTCTTGAGAGAAGACAGCGGCACGTCGAGAAGGCGCGGCTCTGCGAGCAGCGCCTGGCGTGGGTCAAGTTCGAGGAGAAACGCGAGTTGGCTCTAGCCGCGAAGGAGGCGAAGAAAACGGCCGTGGAGAAGGTCAAGGAAGCTGATGAAGAAGCCCAGCCGCTCAGAGAAGAGCGCGACCGCGCCGAGCGCGCCAGACAACAAGCGAAACAGAAGTACGACGCCAAGCAACGGCAGACCGCGGACGCCTTCGCTCACCTCGAGCGAGATAAGAAGGACCTCGAGAGAAGGTTGGAGGACCTCGAGAGCGAAAAGGACTCCTCGAAGAACGCGGAGCAGCGCGCGGCCAAGGCCAAGGCCCACGCCGAGAAGCTGCGGAAGGCCGCGGACACGGCGCAACGCGCGCTCGAAGCTTTAGGGACTGTCGATGTGATCGGGTTGAAGAGACGCGTTAATGCGTTGAAGCCTGCGTTAGTGGAAGCGCAAACAGCTTCTAGACGGGCGCAGGACGCCGCGCAGGACGCCCGAGATGCACTGACACCTTTACAACGAGACCTGAAGGCCGCGAAGCAACAACTGCAAAAAGTGTCGACCGTGAAGTTGCGCCAGCAGACCTTCGAGCGGGCCCACGGGCGGGCCGGGAGCGAAGCGGTGCGGCTGCGGCAGTGGTTGGATCAGAACTCGGGGAGATTTAGGAAGCCTGTATTGGGTCCCGTCGCGCTGGAGACGGACGTCGAGGACGACGGCGCCAGGTGCGCGCTCGAGCACGCCGTGGGCTCGTGGATCTGGACGTCGTTCGTCTGCCAGTCGAAGACGGATTATGATGCGTTGTACGACTTCATCAACAACAACAGTGGGTTCAAGACGATCAACCTCCAGAACGCGGAGACCCTCAAAGGCAAAGGAAAATGTTTTTATGATGCTGCGAAGCTGTCGCAGATGCGGAAGCTCGGGGTGCGGGACACGCTCGATAGCTTCGTCGAGGCCCCACCGGCCATCATGGAGGTTTTATACGGGCACCACATGATCCACAACGTCGTGCTGGGAGATAGTAGTATGGAGTCGAATATTCAGAGATTGGAGCCGTTGTTAACCGGTCCCCAAGGCTACCTCGCGCTGTCGGCGACGCAGGAAGGCCCCAACCCGAAGGTCCAGATCATTTCCAGGTTCCAAGCTTACGTTTCTCGATACGGTAACAAGGATACGACTACAGCTACCAGTAGGAAGCAGTACTCCTCCCAGAAACTACCAGCACTGGACGACGGCAACACCGATGATAAAACGAGACTCGAACAGGACGTGAAGAAGGCGGAACGCGCGCTCGACGCCGCCACCAAAACGGCAGAAAGACTAGAAAAAGAAGCCGACGTAAAGCAGTGCGCCGCCGACGACGAGGCCAAGAGGGTCCAGGTCGCGGGCAAGGACCTCGCTGCTTTTAATAAAGCGACGCGGAACAAGGATGCCTGTGAAGAAAAAGCTCAGCGGGCCGAGGCGAAGGCCCAACGCGAGGAGAGCGAAAAAGACAAATTGAAAGCAAGTCAGACGCGGAAGCTCGAACAACGCTTAGAAGCGGTCACCAAAGTCTTCGGCGCGTGCGCGGCGGGCTGCAAGGACTTGCACGCGTGCACGGAGAAGGTGGCTTACGTCATGGTTGAAAGGGATGCGGCCAAGGACGCCTCGGCGCGAGCCGTCGAAGCTCTCCAGGACAAGGAGCAGGAGACGCAGCAGCTCCAGGACGCGGCGAAGAAGGCCATCGCCGCGTTCGACGTGTTGAAGGGCGAAGCTAGGGCTCTGAAGGAGGCTGCGGAGGAAATAGCCCCGTACGACGACAACGACTTACATGCGAAACTCCAAGAGTTGCCCGAGGATTCGGCGAGTGTCGAAGCCATCTTGGACGCGGAGCGCAAGGAGGCTTCTCGCATTCATGAAGATAGGGGTCTCCAGAAGCGCGTCGAGGAACTGCAAAAGAAGAGAGATGCATTGAAGGAGAAGGTCGACGGCATGCAGGGCGCCGACGACGCTCGCACGGCGGAGCTGAATAAACTGCGGGGGCCCTGGGAGAAGACGCTGCGCGACGCTCTATCTTCTCTGAAGACCAAATTCGGCGATTACATGGAGACGCTGGGCGCTAGAGGCGACGTCGAGCTGGTCGAGCAGCCGACCTTTGCCAGGTGGGGCTTAGCTATTAAAGTTGCTTTCAGAGATGCTTGCGATTTACGACAGTTAGATGCGCGAGTGCAGTCGGGCGGTGAACGAAGTGTTTCTACCATAATGTTCCTCATGGCCCTGCAGGCGCACTTGCCGTCTCCCTTTCGCGTGGTCGATGAAATCAACCAAGGCATGGACGAGGTCAATGAGCGCATAGTGTTTAGAAGGGTGGTGTTGAATAGTACGGGCCCTGGGGCACCGCAGTACTGGCTCATCACGCCCAAATTATTGCAGGGTTTATATGATATGGAGCATCCTGATGTTCGAGTGCTGGTCGTCTACAACGGCGCGCACAACATCAAGCGCCCGCGCGACTGGGACCTCGACGCGTTCCTCGGCGCGAAGCGAAGATTGGTGGGGGCGAACTAAGAAGAACGTGCGTGTTACTTTCTAGAATTCCCGAACGTCCGGTAGATCGAATTCGGGAGGTGGACCGAGGGACTGTGGCTGACGGCGTGTTGAGCGCCGGGGCGGCGGCGCGGCTCTCGCCCTCTTCGCGGCGGGCGCGGGCGCAGGTCCGGCGGGGCGCGGCGGCGGCGGCGGCGGCGCGGCGGGCGCGGGTCCGGCGGCCTGATGCTGCTGTCGCAGACGCAACCCTATCGCTATGGCCATTGCCTGCAGCCTCTTCTTCAACGTCGACGTATCGCGATATTCCTCGAACGAGGTCGCGGATCGGACGAGCGACTCCTCGAGGCGGCGTGCCATCTGAGGGAGTCTTTGTATCCAGTCCGCGGTGGCATTTGGTTTCCTTGCTTGTAAAAGTCTGGCGATGTTGGTGATCATTATCCGTCGCTCCTGGAGGTGTAGGTCTTGGAAATACCAAGCTGGCGTTGTAGCAATCCCTTGCAGCTTCGCTCCGTCGTCGTCGTCGTCGTCGGCTATGAGGTCGATGATGTCGCCCTCCCGCTCGGCGCGCTTCCTCGACTCCGCGGAGCGCTGCTCCGGCGACAAGACGGCCACGAGCTCGAAGTCGTCGCCGTCGTCGTCGGGCGGGGCCGCGGGCGGCGGCGCCGCGGGCGGTGCGACCGGCGCAGGCGCCGGGACCGGTGCGGGCGGCGCAGGCACGGGGGCCGGCGCGGGCGCTGTGGGACTGACGTCGTAGAGGCCGCTGTCGTCATGGAGGAAGGGCGCCAGCGCGCAGACGACGGCATGCTCGTAGTAGGCTGTTCGATCGAGGAGACCGCACGTCACTGCGCCCACGGTGCCGCCGCGCTGCTTCGAGTTCGTCTCATTAAATACCAGGTCGCACGCGGCGCCCAGCTCGAGTTTGCCGTGGCCCGGCTCCCGCCCGCGGACTAGCCGCTCCACTCGCGGCGGCAGCTTGAACGACGCGGTGTGCTCTAAGGATCCCTCCATATCGCGGCTCCGGAAGATCGCGACGTAGGCGACGCTACGGAGGCCCATCGCGACGTAGGGGACGCTCCGGAGGCCGTCGCCGGCGCCAGTGTCCACGACGCCGCCCTCGATGCCGACTGCGTAGTCGGCGCCCGTATCCGCCCTCCTGGCTCCGGTCACGCGCTCGAGCGCGCCAAGCCGCGTCTCCTCGTGGCCCCACGGCTGGTCGCTCACGCCGGACGGCACGTCGTGGCCGACGCAGACGAGCGGGCGGTCTGGAAATGCCCGAAAGAAGGCTTGGCGCACCGCTGCCAGCTTCACGGGGTTCTTGGAGCCGACGACGACTCGCAAGGGAGCGGGTTCTGCCTCGGCCATGATATTAATAGAATGCACTCCTCCAGCTCCTGGCTGGGGTGGTTGCTGTTCGCGTCTAGGCGATGGTTGCGTCCGAACTCTGGGAGCTGTGCGCGCTGTGAGCACGCGTTACGCAGCCGCATAAAGGAGAAATGCTGGCGGCCTCGCGTCTTTTCTTCGGCCGAGCTGACCTAGCGTATCAGCATACTAGCTCATTTACATCGGATCATCGGTGTCTAAGACTTGCTGACTTGACATCTGTGGCAGTCTGTGGGCCACAAAAGCTGCCACCGGACCACCGCAGACCCAGCCATGCGGTGTGCAGCACAGCAAGCCCCAACCGAGCACTAGGACCGGGGCAGCCTCCAGTGCCTCGTAGCAGCATGCACGCCGCCGGCGCGACGTAGCGATGCGGCCGAGCATTCTGCTGGTGCTCTTTGATGATTTACGCACCATGAACTCGTCGGCACTTCCGCTACAGATGCCTCGGCTCGACGCCATCGCGCGGGAGGGTACGACGTATACTTTAGCCGTAGCAAATTACCCGGTCTGCGCGCCCTCGCGGACGATGCTGCTGACGGGCCGGCTCCTACCACACTGGTACGAAGCGCGGACGGTAGAAGCGCTCTCCGGTAAAACGCTGCCGCACTATTTTCGTGAAAGCGGCTACTCTACCTATTCAGCAGGGAAAGTGTTCGACGGTTTACTTGGGGGCTCCTGGACCGCCGCGCTGCCCTTTGATGAAAGACGCACGAAGTGTCGTGATGCAAGGTCCGAGAGACGGAACGAGCCCGTCTGTGCACCTGTTGTTGGCACAGTAGACGAGCATTCGTCCAAGTGGCTCTCCCAGAGATTACGCTCCCATAAGACGGGCCCGTTCCTTGCCGCGCTTGGGTTAAGACGGCCGCATACGCCCTGGGAGTACGCTCAACGTCATTACGAGGAGAAGCCGCTACCACCCTCTCCAAATTTCCCGCACGACGCGCCTCGTGTCTCGTGGAGTGACAATTTTGGCCGCGTGGCGAAGCGGCGCGGCAATAAGGGAAAGTGCCCTACACCTCATACGGTGCTTGCGCCGCGCCTCGCCCGCCGGTTCCGCGCGGCCTACGCGGCAGCTTGCACGACCGCCGATGCGTATCTGGGCCGCGTCCTCGACGCGGCCGAACGACCGAATCTCATCGTGGCCGTGACGGCGGACCACGGCATGCACCTAGGAGACCACGGCATCTGGTCGAAGCAGACGCTGTTCGACTACTCGCTGCGCGTGCCGCTCATCCTCAAAGGCCCGGGCGTGCCCCGACGCACTGTGGTGGAAACGCCCGTCGAGACGGCGCGGCTCTTCGCCACGTTAACGGCGCTGGCCGGTCTTAAGACGCCACCAGGCATTGAGCCACAACTGCCGCCGTTCGGCCCGCACCAACCCGCGCGGTCCGTCTACACGCGCTTGTGTCGGGACTTCGAGTCGGACCGCTACGCGACCTGCCGTCACGACCGGAACGCCTGGCCGCGCGTCGTCGAGTGCGCTGCCTCGGAACGGGTCTGGGGCCGGACACTGCGAACACGAAGACACCGATACACGGAGTATACGACGTCCGACGGCCGTTTTGTGAGTGCCCAGCTCTACGCCTACGCGGGCTCGGATCTGGATGCGGCGGCGTCTGGGGAGCGGCGGAACCTCGCGGTCGGGGCGGATCTCGCGGTGTGGCGCGCGCGGCTCCGGCGCGCGTTCAACGCGTCGTCCGACGCGCGGCGCCGACTCGCGGCGCGACCGGCCGCTTGCGACAAAGGACGGGAAGGGCCGCTGCTCATCTCCGTGCTCTTCTTCGAGCGCCAGAGCTACGTCGACGGCGCGCTGCGCAACCTGCTCGCCTTCACCCGCCCGACGACGAGCATCGTCGTCCACCTCGCCGCCGACTCGGACGCCCGACTCCGGAACGCGAGCCGGATCGTCGTCAACCCCGAGCGCGCGGCCATGTGCAGCGGCTGCGGCATGGTGACGCGGCAGCACGCGTCAAATATCCGCTTCGCCGCGGCGATCGGCGTCGCGTTCGATCATGTTATGCTCCTCGCGAGCTCGAGCCGTTTGTTTGTCGGTGGCGGCGTCCTTGAAATGTATGTGGCGACGCACCACTTCTCGGCAATCGCTGAACGGGCGAAGAGCGTGCGTGAGTTGAGGAAACATCAAGAGTTCGCGGGCTGGGCGGGCGCCTGGTGGTCCTCTATCTCCAACGGGTCTCAAAGACATCTGAGTTTTGCGCAGCACGAGGGGAGCTTTTATCCGAGGGCCGCTGCATTGGAATTTGCGGACTGGGTCCTCCAAGACGGCGTCCTGGGGGACGTATCCAAAGCCGCCGCCATCAGGGTCATACCACATAAAGGCCAGGCGGTCGAGGAGCTTTTGTGGCCGACGTTCGTCACAAATCGCGACCTCGGCTACGTTGAGAAGTGCGCCGGTCGTGTATACGAGGCGCACGGCCGCCAAAACTACGGGCCCCCGGCGACGACCGACGCCGCGCTCTTCGCGCGCATTATTCAACTGCGCCTCGGCCGCGACGTCGATCGATGTCCTACTCCTATCGCGTTCAAGAAGTGGAACTGCGGCGAGTGCATGCTTCATCGTGCGGACCCCGGTCTTCATCGAACGCAGCGCACGCGCCCGGCGGCCAAGGCGGCCAGGCTCGCGCTCCTCGGATCTGTAGATCCCCTCAGATCCGTCGATCCCCTGGCGCGCTGCCCCAGGGCGTGCCCCGCGGCGACGGCGCTGCTCAACTGCCTCGCCGCGCTCGACGCGTCGCTCGCGGACGCGAGCGCGGCGCGCCGTGATGTTGAGGGTCGGCGGGGTCTCGCCGACTGCGCGCGGCGCGCGGGCGCGGGGATGAACCACGGCGCGGCGCTCGCGCAGACGCCGCTCGTCGCGTGCGGCGGCGACGATCCGCCGCCGATGGAACGCCCGCTCGCCGTTCACGAGCCGCCCAAACGCGTTCATGATGGTGGCACGTCAGTAGACAGACAAGAAGCTCGCCGTCGCAAAAAGCCTCGGCCGACAAGCGCGAGACCATCGCCGACCGCGCCATCCGCCGTCCGGCCCGCGGCCGGCGCAGCCTGTGGTGATGTCATAACCTTGTATGTTTCGATACATGAATAACTACACACTACTACCGCCTGGGCGGCACCCTCAACAATAGATTCGGCACGAGATATGCGGGCCTCGCCGCGGCCACGCGGCTGCCCGGGACGCAGTAGGCGAAGGTCGCCGAGATACGATTCATAAAAAAAGAAGGCAGGAACCGCCCGAAGATCTTCTGCGCCATGTTCGCGAAGAAGCGGTGCCTTCCGGCTAGTGTCCCGAACGTGACCAGTAGAGTTGCGTAGATCGGCGACACGGCTAAGATGGACGTGACACGGTAGGAGTTGGGCCCCTCCCTCAGCGAACCCTCGATGCCCGTGACGTGTTTCAGTGTAGGCCGGACCACTGCCACGGACGTACTACCCGTGACGCCGAAGACCGTAAACGCGACGGCGGCCTCGACCTTGTCCTCCTTCCAGGACGGCCGCTGCTGCAGGGTCCAGGCCCAGAAGCGCTGCCAATGATTGGTGGCCGCTGCGGCGCTGTAGCTTCGACGCATCAGCGTGGTGCGCAGGGCGGTGGTCGCATACATTGCACTCAACATCGTTTTGGAGCAAGGCGTCGCAAGCAGCCGGTGCCAGGAGTCACGGAAACGATCACCGTTGACTCTTCGGCTTTAGATGTCAGCTCCTGAGGGCGTAGGCGTCGGCGTCGAGCGTTTATTATTCGGAGCTAGCGGGTAAGGATGCTAGACTCCAAAAAAGCAAGCGTCCTCGAGCAGCTTTCGTGGTTTCCTTGGCGCGGCGGAGCACTATAGAACCTACCGTGTAATTTTAACAACAACTAGTTTTGGTGTTTGGAGGCACCTTGTGCGTCTTGGACTGTTGCCGCGTAAGGGCTGCCGCAGCGGTGGTGGCGGCGCATCGTTCGCTGCTTGCGAGTGCGATGGCGTTGAATCCGAACCGACGGCGACCGCGCGTCCCCAGCGGCAGGACACCTGAGAAGGTGGCAAAGCCCAAAGCCGGGCCCCTCTACCAACTCCGCGCGCGCGTCGCGTGCGAGGCCCTCAATTTTAGAGATCCCGCCAGCACGGAACGCGGCATCGTGATTACGGGGGGCTACCGCGACGACGGCGGCGCCGACTGCGCTCAGGCGAGGTACTTCGACCACCGACGCGGCGTAGGGCCGTTCCACGACGTTCCGCCGAGCGGCCAGTGGGACGGATGGGCGGTAAGAGGCCGCTATGATAATTTCAGAGAAGCCAACGCGCCGGGTAACGAAAGCAATAAGATGGAGGAGTCCATGCAGCTGCAGTTCGACAAAACTGGAGAAGGAGAGTGCGACGTTGTAGGCTCGGGCACGAACAGCTTCGGCAAGTTCTTCATGTGCGGGACCGGGGAGCGCGGCTCGGACGGCGTCTGGAAATTAGATGTGTCTCGGGGATATGCCAGCGCCGGCTGGAGTTCCGAGTCGCTGCGTGCGTACGCGGCGCCGCCCGTGGCGGCGCCGGCTTCTGACTTCGTGGCGTCGCTAGTCGAAGCTGCGGCGCCGGCGCCGGCCAGAAACTACGCGGCGAGGCGCGAGGCGAGGCGCGCGGCACACGCGTCTGCCGGTGCCGCTACAAGAGGATCTCACCACGTGGCGAGGCGCGAGGCCGCCGTGGTGCGGCCGGCGACGTCTACCGCGCGCTTCCCGATCGGCGAGCAAGTAGAGAGTACTGTTAAGACGCCCTGGCCGAATGATCGAGGCGTCGTCATTACTGAGCGCGGAAACAGCCACAGAGAAGTGGTGACGACGAAGGACTCCGTGGTCGTTTTGCGACCTACTGAATTAAAGCCGACGACGTTGACGGACGAGGAGGCCGAACTTTGCGCCGCGACGCTCGAGCGCTTGAGGAGCTCGACGAAGGACTACGTCCAAGCGAGGATCGACGGCACCATCGTCGTCGGTGACAACAATGGTCGAGAGATTAGAAACCGCTTCGAGAGCGCCGAGAACGGCGAGGAGTTGCGGCAGTTCGAGGTGCGCGAGACTGACGTCCGGTGTGCGCTCTGCCCGGGACACACGTGGCCTTTGGGCACGGATATTGGTGGCATGTTGAGCAAACTCAGGTATCATTTAGATTTGAGAAATCCGGCGGCCCCCATGCACCGCGAGCGCCTCGTGGCCACGGCATCGGACTCGTCTTGGAGGACGCCACCGCTCGTGACAGTGACGTCTACCGCGCGCTTCCCGATCGGCGAGCAAGTAGAGAGTACTGTTAAGACGCCCTCTGTCGGAGACCATCGACAGTGTCTGAACGTGCTGTTTTGTCCAAGAATACTCGGGGCGCGATGGCGTGCGTCTGCGAGGTTTTGTCGAATGTCGTCTTGAAACCTGTCTTTTACCTGAAAAAAAATGAAAAAACGAAACAAAAAGAAGAAAAACAAAAAAGTTAGACACCGGGCCGCAGCCTTCCGGTAGGGCGCGTGACCGTCTAATGACCAATAAAAAAAAGCCCTCGGGGAGTAGTCCCGCGGATCCCAGGTTAGTCGGTGCGCTTCCGGACGCCTCCGCGGGCGGCGCCACCGATCCACCCACGACTCCTTCCAGCGAACGGAGTCATGGCGGCCCGGTGCTCAGCGAGGCTCACGCGGCCAAAGGCGAGTAGCTTACAATTTCTTATACACTATATAGCGCTCTAAAGAGCGGCCAGCTGGAGACGGACCGCCGAATTCGCCAGCTCGACGGCGCCCTCCCAGCCGGCGCCGGTGAACTCCTTCTTGAACTCCAACAAGTTTTCGAACGAAAACTTGTTGTTCAGCGTCCTGAACATCAAGAAGAAATTTTGCGGGTCGTCGCAAATGGGCGCGAGCAGGTGGTCCGTCTGCATCCAGCCCTCGAGCTTCTCGAGCGTCTCGTCATCGAGCCGCTTGCCATACGCCTTCTTCAACATTTTACTATAGAGGCCCTTCTTCTTGCCCCATGCGCGCACATAATCCAAATAATTGCCGTAAACCGTTCTATGGCTCAGGCGTTCCTGCCTGAAGAAGCCCGCGCGGATCTGCGAGGGACAGCGGACCATGACTTCACGAGGCCACGACGCGCGCGTCGAGTCGACGTGGGGTCTGACGGGCGAGTTTCGAGGCGTGTGGACGGACGCCACGATCATTTAGTTGACCACCAGCTGAACTACCATACTCGGGACGCCGATTCGTGCTTTCGCCACCTCCTCCTTATATAAATCGCTGCCCAGATAGAGCGCCGCGACGACTGGAGTCATGATGATCTCCGCCAATTCCCCGTAAGAAACAGGCTTCCCCTTGGTGTCCTTCGCTTCGTTGAGGTATTCGACGAAGACCTGGCCCTTTCTCTTCACTTTTCTACCCTTCTTGAGGGCCTCTTCGACTTTTTCGCGCATCTCTTCCTTGCCGACCTGCTTCGCGTCCCCCATCATGATGCGGAGCTGCTTGATGAACTGCTCTTGCGTCGGGCGGTAGCCCTCGTCGACGCGCATGGCAAACTCCTGCACCGCCTCTCGAATCCGCTTGAGCTCGACGGATAAGCCCGACCTGCGTGCGAGGAGGCGCGTCGGTGGCGTTTCCGAGAGAAGTAGACGCTGGTCGAGACGCGAGCAGCGCGCGGTATTCCGCCCCCCTCTCGCTCTCTTCGTTGGAGAGCTTGTACTTGCTCGTGAAGACGACGACGCGGCGCTGCCGACCACTAGAATCCTTGAGGTGTCTTATCACCACCCAGCGCCGCTGGTAGGGCATGTGCACGACGGAGGGACAGAACTCGTGGGGCTCGTAGACGCCGGGGGTGCGGCGATCGGGGCCGACGAATTCGTCGCGCTTGAGCAGCTGCTCGTGTGCGGCCGACCCGAAGTCGTCCATCTCCTCCTCCTCCTCCTCGTACTCCTCCTCCTCCTCGGCGTCGTCGTCGTCGTCGCGCGCCGCGTCCTTCATCATCTCAACATCACCGCCACTCGAATGGCTGGCGTCGTCGTCCGTGGGGGCTGCTTCCTGCTGCATCGTCCGGGCTGCGTCGGGTGCGTCGAGGCCTTCTTCTATGCGCGCGCTGCGCGTTTCTTCTCCTTTTTGGGCCGCGGCGCACAAGGAGGCTCCAGGAGCCAACCTTAGACGAAAGACACTAGACTCCAAAAAAACAGGCGTCTGCGAATTGGTGTTTTTCTTGGTGCGGCGGAGCACTCGAAGACCTAGCGCGACGCTTACAGCATTTATAAAAAAGATGTGCGGGTTTTCTAGCAGTTCTCGATTGCGGCACTCGATTGCGGCACTCGGCCCGCCTCGTACTGCCAGAAGGCCGGAAACCACCGCCAGCACCAGGGGACACATCTCCACAGCGGCAGTTTTTGAATATCGGCCCTCCGGACCTCACACGAAGAGCACGCTCCGATAGGCCGGATACGTACTTCGCGGCGCCTCGAAGGCCGACGACGCAGAAACCACAAGAGCCATGCCCATCACCGTCCGCTCCTGCGCCCTCACGAGCTACGCCGCAGCCAAGGCGACGGCCCGAGCTTTATCGGGTGCCGCGTGCCTCGTAGTTGTGTTATACGCCTTCGGCGCCGTCGACGAGGCCTGTAGGGCCTATCTCGTGAAGGAGCTTTCTCGAAGATTAGGGAGCGCGACAAAAGTCGATGAGTTAGAATCTTCGCTTTTCCCCGGCGAGGTCAAAATCGCCTCCTCATCAATAAACCAGCCAGAGGGCTTCAAAGACGTCTCAACGGACATGGTCGCCGCGCGGCACGTCTCTAGTACGTTCTCTACCAAGCTCCTCGTGAAGCGGAGATTAGTGATCACGTCGGTCCGAGTCCGCCTGCTCAAGGTCTGCGTCGTGCGGCACAAGACGGGTATGTTAAATATAGCTTTGCTGGATGAAAAGCAGCGAGCCAAGTTCGACCCCGACGACCAAGATACGGACTGGGAGGTCGTACCCCAGACCATCGACGAGGCCTCCGACTTTTTGGAAAGGGCGGGCGAGGCGCCCGGGCTGCTCTCTGAGACGGCCCAGGAGGACGCGGAGAAGCTGCGGGACGAGGGGTTGCGGTTGTGGGGCAAGCTGCGGGCCGTCGGCGCGCGAGGCATCGCCAAGGCCGTCGAGGCCACAAAAAGCTGGGAGGACCAGGCGCGCTCAAAGCCATCTGACTTGGAGAAGTTGGGTTTGAAAGCGTTAGATGCGGGGCGCTACGCGAAAGGTGTGGTCGAGGACGAGGTGCGCAAGAAGCGCGACTGGGCCGCCCAACAAGCGCGCGCGGCTTTACTGGAGCGCCTCGAGAAGGCCTTGCCTGATGTGGAGGAGAAGCCGCAGTGGGTCGCCGCATGTTTATCAGGAGAAGTGACCTTCGATCGCGTCGAACTCGTGCTGACGGGGAGCGGCGTGCCGCCCGGGCCCGCACTCGTCGTGGAGATGTTAGTTGTGGACGGCAGCGACCTGGGCTCGTTGCCGCCGCGCCGAGCCATGCGCATCCTGGCCAAGCGCCTGGCGGAGAAAGCATTGGATGCGCTCTTGGACGCCTCCCCGGTCGACGTCATTAGACTGGCGGCCGTCGTGGGTGCCGTGACGGCCGCGGAGGCCGAAAAAGCGGCGACGCGCGCGGCGCGCGACGCCGCCTCCCGGGCAAGAGCCCTGGCCGACGCCGCGGCGCGCGAGGCCGACGAGCGGACGCGGGATTTTCGGAGGGAGCTCGCCGGGTACTCGCGGTAAGTGTACATTTGACTGTTAAGCTAAGCGAATTTCAGTGGTGCGCGGCGCCCGCAGCGGTGACGTCGCGCCGACGTCGTACCGACGTCGTGAGAGAGTTCGGTGACGGGCGGCGAGGCGCGTGCGAGCATTTCAGCGTGGTACCGGCGCCGCGTCGGCGCCGTCGACGCGGCCGCGAGAACCTCACCCCCACGAGTACGACACCAAGGACAGCAGGAACAAGATCGCGAAGATCCACAGCGGGTTCGCGACGTCGCGGAACTGCGGCCGGCCCTTCCGCAGCCGCTCCCAGGCCTCCCGGAACTGCGGGAACGGCGCCGAGATGAGGATCTGGAAGAGGATGTAGAGGGGCAGCACTAGTAAAGCGTCTGCTCTTGTCTCCTTGTGGACCCGCAAAACAAGAGCGTCCAACACCGGCAAGAGACACCGGTGCCACATGTACGCGAACAAACATAAACCACCGGCCTCGGAGAAGATCGACCGCCGCGCCGGCGCCACGTAGCACGCCGCCGTACTATAGAGCATCGCGAACCCGTAGTCGAGTATGGAGATAAGATATATTGCCCCTTTGGAGGAAAAATGCATCGACGGCCCGCCGGCCTTGCAGTCACTCCTCAGAATACAGACCCAGGCGTAGGTCCACCTTTCTCCTTTTGAAATATCAGTGCCAGCCCACGCGTCGTCGTTGTTTATATCATACGTGGCGGCTCTATACCCCATCGACGACGCCGACGCCAGCAACCGCAAATAAATAATCAGGAAGCATAAAGGCCGCGCCACGTGCGCGGGAATCCGCACCACGCCGTCTTTCCTCGGGATATCTTCTTCGGCGAAGAACGGCGCCACTCTGGACAGACCTCGTCTAGAACACGTCATGAGCCGCCGCCACCTCGACAAGACGACGTGGGGCACGGCGTACTCGATACAGGCATTGTTATCGTCGGACGCGAACGCATATGATTTCGGCGTGAGCAGACCGATCGGTAGCACACTGGGCGCCACGATATACATAAACACGCCACATAATCTACCGTACGCCATGCTCCCCAGGCCCGACCCCTTCCACTCGAGTTCTTGATGGACTTCCACTTGTATCACGAACATGAGTATGAGTGACACGATGACATTGACGGGATAGAGCTTAGGATATTTTTTGCACGCTCGTCGATGCAACCTCCCCACAAGCCTCGCCAAAGCCAGGATGACCACGAACCACTTCGTGCGCGTCAGATTCGGCCGCAAGGGCCAGGGCTTCTTTTGTTTCGGCGCCCAGCGCCAGCCCATGTTTCTGTATAACCCTTCGTACGTGACATGCGTCAGGGCCGATAGTACCACCATCGTGACATAGACCGTCACGAGCGGTTTCAACATCTCCCAGGTCGTCTGCTTCTCGACGCCGCCGCGCTTCCAGAAGGACCGCTCGTCGCCGACGCCCGCAACGGCGAAAAATAACAACAATCCGAACCCGGCCCCCAAATTCGCGTGTAACTGCTGCAGCCCGGTCCACGGCTCCGCGGCGGACGGATCGCCCTTCCCCGGCAACGTATGGATATTACCATGCGTAAACAGGATACCCAACATGGCCGCGAAGTACGCGTGGCCCTGCATATTTTCGGCCGCGTCCACGTCCTTCCTCTTGCCTTTCTTCTTCGCGAACAAGGCCATGGAGTCGTCCTCCTGGTCCTCCTCTTCCACGACGGGTTCCTCCTCTTCATCCCTCGCCGCTCGTATTTTCACCGCGAAGCTACCATCTGACGACTTCATCTGGTAGGTCCTCTTACTACCAATAACCGGATGCCACGCCAGTAACCCGTAGGAATCACCCAAAAAAATAACTTCGTCCGGCAGCCGCGCCTGCACCGCGTCGAGCACCGAGGGCCACACGACCGGTTGCGACGTGAGCGTCCCGAGGACATCTGTTCTGAGCGTCGAGCACTCCTCGCCGTCCTCCGGCGACAACACGACGCAGTGCGGGTGTTTGTCCAGGAAGTCTAGCTCGGACGCGTCCTGTACCGCTACTCGCGCCTCGTCTAACAGCGAGCTATGCACCGGCCACCGTATCGGGAGTTTCACGGTCTTCGGTGCTACATCAACAAAGTCCTGAATAGAGCCCGTCAAGACACAGGATGATGGCGCGTTCACCAGTCCTAGTTGAATTTTTGTTTGACTTCGGACCTTCATCGCGGCCACTGCCGGTGGTGTTTTTGGTAGTAACAACGCACACGACGTATCCGACGCCTTGATAGCTTTACCGATCCTCTGAGCACATCGAATCGCATCGCCCGCATGGGCGAAGGGGTCCTCCGCATCGAGCGCGACGCACGCTGCCGCTAAGAACCCCGCGCTATGTCCACATACTAACAACGGCGCGTCCCCGAAACCTAGAGGCACGTCCGGCGACAACAGCGCTGATTCCAACCGCAGCAACCCGAGCATCACACAAACCGGCAACTGCGTCTCCGGCAGGCCCGCGTCCGCCTCTTCAAGATCGCCGTCGTACGCCTCTTTGAGTTTGAGAGCCAGGGGCGAACTCGTGGCCAGCACTTGCGCGCGAGCTTTGACGGGGTCGGCCCCCAAGCCCTCGAAGACCAGCGCGACGCGCTTCTTCTGCTTGCTCTTGAGGGGATTAAACGCGGGGCTGAGGGACCCGGCGGAGACCTGGGCGTAGCGCGGCGCGGGGCTCTCCAGCTGGAGCGGGCCGATCTGCCCCGACCCGCTCCGTCTCCGAGGCCGCGGCGGCGTGCGCGTCGCCGGCTCGCCGGCCATGTTGCTGCTTTCGCTTCGCACGACTTATTTCCGGCGCGCCCAGCGCTGCCCCGCGCGCGCGGGCCGCGTCGGCGACGCGCCGCTGCACGAATCGATGCGCGCCGCGGCGTCGGGGTCCAGCGCTGCGGGTGCTGCGCGCACAAATTATTTCGCTTCGGCAACTAACGATCGAGTGCTCGACGACGACGCTGAGAACCGGCTCGCTGCGCGGCGCGCGCACGAACGGAGCGGCCGCCGCAGCAACGATAATACTGGTAGGGCGCTAGGACGAGTGGGCGGAGACGCCGCGCGTCGCCGAGTCGTCCGCGGGCCCGCGACGCGAGACCGCGACGCCTCTACGAGACGCCGTCGCCGCGACGCGGTGTACTAAAAAGCGCCCCTTAGGCCCCTAGAGGATCGGCTCCGCGCCGTTCCAGTCGACCTTCGCGTGCGGGTAGAGCGACCGCACGACCAAATCCAAAGGAGGGATCAGCAAGGAAGCGTCGTTGACGTTTGGGACCTCCCGCCCCTCGTAATACTCCTCATCCACGGTCAACCGAATGACCTCGTCCTGGTTCGCGAGGCCGTCCCAGTAGTGCAGATCTGTCTCGCATGACGGATCACCCACCAGCAGCGAATAATGACTTTCGGAATAGACGACCCAGACCCGACTCCGGGGCTCCTTGAAGTTCCGCCCCACACTACAGTGCTGGTAGGCCTCCAGCAGCGTCAGGAAGCCGACGTCGCTCCTCGCCGAGACGCCTCGCAGTACAAGGTCGTCCATTTTTTTGTCCCCATCGAAGACGTTCGACGTCGCCCGGCCCGTGAGCAATAGATTGACGGCGCACTGGTTCGCGTAGCCGTGCCGGTCTAGTAATGACGTACTTTCGTCGCCATCAGACCGGACGCCGTCGATCGTTCTCGATAACAAACAGGAGTAGAGTACGAGCAAACAACCGTTGTCCATGAAGTCATCGATGAAGTAGCTGAACAGCGTCTCGATCTCATCTGTACTAACAGTCCAGACCCGGCAGCACTCCGTGACCGCATCCGGGGCATATGTCGAGGACCGTTCTACCTTCGGTTTGTCGCCCGGGACACACACCAAAGCTTTGGAGGTCGTGCAACACCTCCTCACAATGCGTGCTAAGGCTTTCGCGAGGGCGCTTTCCCGTCTCTCAGATGATGGTGACGTCCAGTCTTCATATCTGATAAGCTCGGACGCGGCCTCGGCGTTGACCGCCGCGAGGACGCCGCAGGGGCCGCCCTGTTTTTGGACTAACCCATAACCGCAGCCCTCGAGAGCATCGCAGAAGCGGAAACCCTGTTTCAGCCATGAGGACGGTGGTTTTCGTTTCGCGTCGCCCAGCAGCAGTTCTCTCAATGATACGGCCTCGTCCCTCGACACGCTCCTTTCACTACCACGCGGCCGCCTCTTCACATCGCGCCGGCCCTCGTCGTCGCTGTCGTCGTAGGCGGGCCGCTCGTCGCGCTCGTCGTAGCCGTCGGCGCGCTCGTCGGCGCGCCGATGCACCAGCGTCGCGCCGGGGCCCACGGCGCGCCGCCACGTCGCCGCGCCGATGGCCGACCGTTCCAGTTGCTGTGAGATATCCTCTTCGAACTCGTCCTCACTATAGTTTTCTTTGCCTTCGTCGCGCTGCGGCGAATCGTCGATGTCGACGACGAGCACCTCCTCGCGCGCCTTGCGCGCGCGCACGCGGTCCGTCTGGGCCTTCGGGCGCCGCGCCGGCTCGGGCTTCTTTGGTGAAGGCGGCCGCCGTATCACAGGCGCCGCCTTCGTCTTGTTCAGCGCCTTCCAGTACTCGTAGCACTCCTTCTTGCCGCGGCCGCCGCCGACCAGCACGGCCACTTGCCGCCACCTATCGTTCTTCTCGAGGTCGCTGGGCACGGCGCGCACGGCCCGTTTCAGGAGCTGGGTCTCCTGCTCGGTCCAGGCGTCGGACGGCATCTTGTGTCGTGCTGTGGGGCAGCTAATGGCCGGCAGCCCCGCTGCCAAACGACTTCGCATCGAGGGCGGTGGACGGAGGCGTCCGAGGGACCTCCCCGGCGGCGCGGGAGGCGCTCCCGGACCCGTACGACGCCTACTTCGACGCCTGCCTGCTTGCTAGTGTCTTACACGACGCTAGCAAGCTCCTTTCGCAATTGCCGGCGCCCGCGGCGGGGCGTAGCGCTGGTATTCAGCCCCAGAGATTAGTGCTTAGTACACATAATTCGAACCTGGTCGCAGCTGTCGCGCGCTGACGACAGGTTGCAGCCCTGCAGCAGACTTTTGTAAGCCAGCTCGCCACAGCAGTGTTGAGGAGCAGCAAGCCAGCGCCATGCGCCGCAAGGCCCCCGACATCCTCAAGCGCCTGGAATTACGAATCAAGCACGGCGTCGCCAAGCCGTCGCCGCTCTACGAAGCGTTAAGGCGGAACCCGCCGCCACCGCCGCCGAGAGCAAGGAAACAATTGCGCGAGATCACGCTGCCCACGGACCGTTTAGAAAGAGAATACCGAGAGAGCCAGACCGTGGCGCCCTTCGTTCCTATCGAGAGGCCGGCGGAGGACCCGAGCCTAGCCCATGCCTTGCGGGCTGTCGACGTCGGAAGTGACGAAGCTCTGGAATTAAGGCGCCAGCAGGACCGCGACGCCGCGGCAGAAGCCCTACGAATGTGCGAGGACCCGCCGTCGACGACGTTAACGGACAAGCGGGAGGTCGACGCGTGGCTGATGCGCGACGTGCTGGCCTGGGACTGGGAAACTTCTAGAAGGGCCCAGGCCGAGCTGGCGGCGTTAGATGACGGCTCGTCTGAACCGCTCGAGCTGGGCCGCGCCGTGGACGCGCTATCACGCCGAGTTTTGGGGGAGGAGCTCGCCGAGCCCATCCAGCTACAATTGGAGACCAAGGCGGACGGCGAGTTCGCGTCGAAGCACGGGGCGTTAGCAGCCCGGGCGCGGTCGAAGCCGTGGGAGGACTGGGATGAGAAAGAGCAAAGTGAAATGCGGGCGTTCTTGGCGGACGTCAAGGTTCATGGTGTCGCGTACGACGAGGACGACTTCGATGCGAAGCGCCTGGCGGCCTTCCCCCAGTTCGAGGCGCCTGATGCCAAATCGACGGCGGACCCCCAGCAGATCGCGCGATTACTTGCAAGACACGGCGTCTTCCCGGAGCTCGGCGACGCGGTGGCCGCGGCCGAATTATTGGAGAAGGGCGTCCGCGAGGAGAACGCGGGCCTGACCTCAGATTTGGTGGCGGCTTTGAGAGATCCGGCGTCGCGCGAGCACCGGCGGGCGGCGGCGGCGCGGCGCGCTCGCGGAGAGCGCGGCCTGCTCGATAGATTGGCCGTGGCCGAGGCCCTCGGGCCGCGGTCGTCGGAGTAATGTTTTCGTTAAATTCTTTTGAAGCGCAAGCCTCGGCTGAGGCTGAGGCTAGTTACGTCGCAGGGTTCCCCGTACCCCTCCCGCTCCCCCCGGGCCCACCCGTCCGGCTGGACTAGGACGCAAGGGCTGAGTCACAGGGACTCGCACGCCCCCCCTTCTTTTGGGACGACCCCCGTCAGGATGTGGAACTGGCCGCTGGCTCCTCCTTTACGACGAGCCGGAAATCAAGTGGTGAGAGAGATGCCCTCGCACACCAGGCCGAGCAATCCTGGAGCGGGGAGCGAGAGCTCCGACCCGCCCAGACGGCCCTTGACAATAACTCGTCGGAACGGAACTAATGGGTTCAATGGATGCCCCAGCGATTCGGAGGGCCTACGAAAGCTCGGCCGGCGCGGCCAGGGCTACGGGGGGCGGCATGCCGCCGCCCCCAACGCCTCCCAGGTCGAGACCGGCTCCGCTCCGTAGGGTCGGTCCGGTCGCAGGCAGATGAGGCTCGCCGCCATGCCGGCGGCAGAACTTCAGGAAACGGGCCGGATACCACCGAACGCGCACCACTCGATGCCCGAGTATGGGTACCGTCCGTGTTCCGGGCTCGACCCGCCAATGATAAAGAAAGTGGGCGCGCCATGCCGGCGACGCCCAGAAAGAAAGTGGACGCGCCATGCCGGCGACGCCCGGAAAGAAAGATCGGTTGACCCGGCCGTGCGTGTTCACGATGGAGCCCCCGGCTGTGCGTGTGAGCTCCCACTCGGCAGAATCGCCTACTCGCCCAGCATGCAGCCCGCGCCGAAACGCAGTACCGTCACCGCGGGGTAAAGGGGCAAAAGGTAAAAGTCGGGCGAAGGCCAGCCGGCGGCGCGTCGCGGCAGCTAAGGCAGCCCCTAAGCTGAAGGCCGTGCTCAGCGGGTTCTGGGCCATTTTTCACGCGGGCAACTCTCATTTCCGGGCTAACAGGGGCGGCGCTGCACGCTGCGGGCAGCCCTGGGTGCGCGGGGTGGCTAGGGGGGGCGCGCGCGCACAGCGGAGGTGGTCGAACTCGGTTGCTAGTGTCTTACTCCAAAACGCTAGCTCTGCTCGACGCGCTTTTGCAAGCCGTCCGTGCAGAGCCGTCAGTGAGCATGCATGTTCGATTGGCACGTATTGGCGCTCGCGCTGCTGCGCGCCTCTGCAGCCGTCGCCAGCTGTCAGCAGCGCGCAGGGCCAGCTCCACTGCAGCCTGCAGCGTCGTGGCAGCGGCCGTAGCGGTTGCCGCCGGGACGACGGTCGCTGCCTGCGCCTTCGACGAGTCGCCGCGAGACGCCTACGGCGGCATCACGGTAATAGTAAGAGAAACCGACGATTTCGAGGCAGCACTCACAGCATCACTGGACCGCTGGAGACGAGATGGAGTACGAGGCGTCTGGCTGGAGGTGCCCGCGGCACTCGTGAAGTACCTGCCATCAATACTCGACCGCGGCTTTAGGTTGAGAGGCGGCGACGCGACCCATGTGCTTTGCTGCGCGTGGCTGCCGGGCGGCGAATCGCCCCTGCCGCCGGGGCCGACACACCAGGTTGGCGTCGGGGCAGTAGTGACAGACCGTGCGGGACGCCTACTCCTGGTCCAGGAGGCCGTCGGGCCGGCGCAGGGCCGCTGGAAGCTGCCGACCGGGCTCTGCGAGGCGAACGAAGACGTCGGCACCGCAGCGGCGCGGGAGGTCCGGGAGGAGACCGGATTGGACGTGCGCCCCGCGGAGGTGCTCGCCGTGCGTCACAGCCACGGCTTCCACCGGGGCGTCTCGGACGTGTTCTTTTGCGTGCGATGTGAGGTGATTGACGAGGGCGCCGTTTTGACGCCGCAGCCCGGCGAGATCGCACGGGTGGCGTGGCGTCCCGTCGCGGACGCGCACGATGCGGCTACGCCTGCGTGGCGGCGCATTTATGACGTCGCTTCTACCGGTAGTGGCTTGCGCGCCGATACGTATCCGGGCCGCGCCGGGGCCACGGCGACGTGCATCTACTCGTCGGGTTAGAACTGTTCCGGGCTGTTGTCTACTATATATTTATCAAGATTTATAAGATTACTCGATCGACTGCCGGGTTTAAGGAGCGAGAGGCAAAAGCTCGTTTCGACTGCCGTGTTTTACGAGCGAGAGGCTAGCTCGTTTTGGTTGTGGGACAAAAGCCCAGATAATCGTCATAGCCCTTCCTCCGTCGGCAGGGACGGCAGCGGCGGCGGCGCCGCGTAGGCCTCCGCCGCCGGCTCCGGCCGGTACGGCGGCGGCGGTTCCTCGAACGCCCGGCGGGGCGGCGGCGGCGTGCCGACGAACGACGCCGGCGTCAATAGTTGCGTCGGGGTGAAGGCCCGCGGGGCCATCGTCAGCGAGTCAATATGTGTGGGTTTGTGGACTTTGCCTCCGCAGACTCAGGATGTTGAACTGGGGGGAAGGGCGGCGTAGGCCATGCCTCCGCCCCGCCCCGGACGCCTCCGTAGCAAAAAAAAACGGCATGGCGCGGGTCCACCCCGCCGCGGCCGCGACTCGGAGCGCCGCGAGTCTACAAGAGTCCTTACTACTTCGAGAGCGCGCGCGCGTTCGTGATGGCCTCGTCGAGGTTGCGCGACTTCCCGGAGGCCTCGGCCGGCTTCGCGCGCAGGTTCTCGATCGCCTGGTCGAGGTTCTCCGTGCCGGGGTCCCGCAGGTTCGTGATGGCCGTGTCGAGGTTGCGCGGATCGAGAGCACTCATCTGCACGGAGGGAGCGGCCGGCGCGGCCGCCGCGGCCGCCGCCGCCTTCGGCTTGACGGCGCCGGCCTTGGTCGTCGCCTTGACCCGCGCCGCCTTGAGCGCGGCGGAGACGTCGTCGCCGGACGTCGCGCCGGCGGCCGTGTTCACGAGCGCGGGCGCCGCCTTGCCGAAGAGGGCCACTTGGGCGTCCTTCGCAACCTTGGGCGGCTCGGGCGCGGGCGCCGGCGCCGGGGCGGGCGCCGGAGCCGGAGCGGGCGCCGGGGCGGGCGCCGGCGCCGGCGCCGCGGCCTTCGGCGCCGGCGCCTTCTTCGGCGCCGGCGCCTTCTTCGCGGCCGGCTTGGGCAGCGTGGGCAGCGCCTCGGCGAACTTGAACTTCGCCGCGCCTACGGGTGCTTTGGCGGCCTGGGCCGGCGGCTTGCCTTTCGTAGGAGGGGCCTTGGCCGGCAGCATCGAGGGCAGGACCGCGGTGGCGGCCAGCAGCGCCGGGGCCGAGACGCCGAGCGCCGTGACGCCGATGAGGACGTTGTAGTTCGTCTGGGACAGCCCCGGCAACGGCCCGGCTTCCAGGGCCGGCGAGGGCTTCTTCATGTGGAGCGCGCTTCCAAGGCCGCGCGGCGCCGGCGCCGGCGCGAAGCCATGGGTGAGGGCGAGGATAGCAAGCACTCGTCTCATACAGGGCAGCATCCTGAGCTCGCGCGGTGCGATGCCGATGCTGCGGCTCCTTCGCCCGTTGATACCTCCCGTCGGGCGCAGCTACCTCGCGCCGCAGTGACTCAGGACGTGCATGTGAGTCGTGGCACCGTGCGGGCACGGCCGGGCCTGGCGCGCTTATTGGGCGGGCTGGAAGCTAGGGTGAGCGCTCGGAGGGGTACGAGCGCGAGCCTCGGCGACCGGGCGTCCGTCGGCGCGGCGGGTCTGCGCGGCGCCGCCTAGTCGGCGCTCGGCCGACTTGACTCACTTGAGCAAGTGATTTGGGGCTCGACGGAACTATATAGGCGTAGAGTGGCACGTAGTCCGGAGGCACGACCACTCCACTTGGAGCGGCGCTCGACCGCGCGCCGTCATCGCGGGGGTTCTGGCTTTCAAGACCGAGTGCTCCGTACGATAAATAGCGGTGGATTGGTGCCAGTTCGCGGCTGACCCGCAGTTTTGCTAGCGTAATACCATACATACTAGGCTTACCATATGTAACTATCTCCGACGCCCAGCAATTACGCGAACGCTGTCACCGCGGGACAATACCTACACGCGTGCGCCGGTAACGAAGCCACGAGGCGCCTGGTACCCCGCACGGGTCGCTCGACGCGCATCAGTCGCGTCGGAAAGTGAAAAGAGAGGGCTCTCAAGAGGAAAGAGACAATGCTCCGCCTGATCATTGCCCTCGCCCTCGCCCGGGCCGCCGCAGAAACGACGGCCCCCGGCACGGGCTACTCCGACGCCGACTCGTGCCCGCCGCCCGAGAGTACTCCGTTCGGCGCCGTCGTCACGCATAGCTGCTCGTTCTGCGCGACGACGCTGACAAAAGCACCGCTCATACGCAAGGACGCCGCCTGGCAGAGCGTCGCCTTCGCGAACCACGCGACCGACGCCGCGCGCCTCGTCGAGGTCGACGCGGCCGGCCGCGAGCTGCCCCGCGGCACGATCGCCCCGGGCGCCGAGAAGACCTAGATGCGGTCGTAGCCGGTTTTGAAGCCAGAATCCCGCGAGGTCAGCCTGATCACTGTGTCGACGCCCTGCCTGTTGGCGTAGGGTACAAAAATCATGATGGGCACCTGCGTCGGTGGCACTCAGGGACGCGCTTCGTCGCGGACGCCGCGCCCGTGCGATCTCCTCCGCGTCGTCGTACGGCGCCAGGTCGCTGATCTCGACGGACTTGGCCACGTAGCCCGGGACGATCGCCTTCTCGAGCGCGAGGGAGACGCCGTGCAACAGGTACGTGTAGCGCAGCTCGAGCTTGCCCGCCGCCCAGTAGTCGTCTGCGTGGGACGCGAAGATGTCGCACACGGTCGACGATCGGGACGCGGGGGCGCACTCGTCGCGCCGGCGCCGGCGAAGTCGAAGTTTTTGTTCTCGGGGATGTGCAACAACAGGTCGACCATGTGGACGAAAATCGCCCGGTCGTCCGTGGCCTTTCTCGCCTCGGCGAACTTCTGTTGCGCGCGGCGCACGACGGCGACGGGCACGCGGCCAATGTCCTCGGGCTCCTGGTCCTTCACGATCTCGCGTAACGGCGGGACGCCGTCGCTCTCGTCGACGAACTGCACCGCGCTGCCGCGTCTTCCTGACTCGACGGCGCGCAGCAAGGCGTAGTCCGCGCCGCGTTCGTGGAGGCCGCGGAGGTCCTTCATCAGCGTGGCCAAGCCCACCTGTTTGACGACCGCGGTGTTCGCGTCGGCGTCCTCTACCACGGCGATCGTGGCGCCGCTGAGGCCGCCCATGTTGGGGTGAGTTGGGTGCTCTAAATGCAACGGGGCGCGGCGCAGCCCAACGCGGGCTGGCAGGCGTGTCGAAAAGTGTCCTCCGGGGCGCTCTTTGAGTTGCGGCGGCTTTCGCGCCGCGAAGCCGGTCCAAAGGGGCAGCAGGGGACCGGCGTGGGCGTCGGCGGAGTTTTTTTTTAGGCGTGCTTGTGCACCTATCATCTCGGAAGCTGTCCCGGACGGCACGAGGCACTCGCCTTGCGTCTCTCTATCGCACGGGTTTGCTTGGCAAGCGAAGTTGCTGAAAGCAGCACGCATTGGCGCTGCACCGCGTTCATTGCAAGTTAGAGGCTCCCCGGAGGCGTTCGTGCTGTAAGGAATCAGATCCTTGCACGGCCCTTGCCGCAGACGACTTATGCGGTACTTGCTGCTGCTGCTGACACAAGCCAGGCAATGTGCAGCGCTGCATCGCGCGCTCGCGGCATCGCGCGCCCTTGATAACTGTCCCCCTATTGCCACCCGCCATCGACCCACTGCGCCGCAACACTTGCACTTGCACGCGCGCGGCAATCAACGCCGTCGGCCAACCTGCAGCTGCGCCGGCCAGTGTGCGAGCAATCGACCCGCCGTGCGACACGTCGAGGACGATGCCACTCTCGAAGCCGTGGACGAAGACCCTCGCGGTCCACGGCTGGGGAAGACGGGTGCGGTGGGCGCGGGCGCGCGCCCTCGACGGCGTAGGAGCTGTTGCTCGGCAGCGGCCGCCCCTACCCGCGCCCAAGTTCGCCCTCCTCCACGCCGTCGAGGAGACGCGGTTCAGAGACGACGTCGCGTCGATGGCGTGGGGTTCTCGCGGTTCGGGCCCGCAAGCCCCGTCCACATGCGCTTGGCCGGGGCTCACTCGACGGCCGACACGGGCTGCGGCCGCTGCGAGACGAGCGTCGCGCGGATCTGCGGCGTGACGACGAAGGTCACCGCGGGAGGAGGGTCGCCACCACGTAATCGGTTCGCCAGTCGACGCGCCCGCGGAGGACACGTTGTATCGACACGTCGACGGTGTCACGGGCACCACGACGACGTGGGCGCGATCTTCGCCGTCGCGCAGGAGATCGGCACGTCGATCTTCCTCGCGAACAAGGGTCTCGAGCGACGGCAAGCGTCTGCAGCGCCTCCGCGTTCCGCTCCCGTCGCGCCGTCGCGACGTGTTGGCGGGACGGGTGAACGCCGGCGCTGGCGCCGCGACGGCGGGATGGGGACGCACGCCCGTGCAGCAGGCGCTGGTCGCGGGGGTGCTCATAGTACCTCGTCGACGAGTGCTCTCGATCGGGGACGGGCGGCTTCATCGAATTTTGCGTTCGACGTCGCCGTCGGCGCCTGCGTATTGCTTTTACGAGACGTGCCTCAGCGAGCGGCCAAGGCGTCGTTCACGCCGGCGCGACGACCGCTGCGATCCTCTTGGATCGCGAGGGGCGGTCATTTGAAGCTGGCGGACCCGACGCATGGCCGCGCACGGCCACACACGCGAGCCTTGTCATCTCGCCCGATGGCGTGGGAGGCGTTCGGCAGCAGTTGTAGGCGCCCGGAGCTTGTTCGACGGGCACGCCAAGGTCTTGGCGCCTGTCCACGCCGCGCGCGCCTGGAGCGCGCCGCCGCGACGCGCCGACCTGCCCATCGTAACGACCGCGTCGACGACGCAAGCCGTGGAGCTGGCACAAACGATCCGGAGGGCCGCGGCGAGCCCGCGCCGTCGCCGCGACGAGCGACACCGGCGCCTCGACCGACGGCACAACGCGTTCGTCAGGCACGCCATCGACGCCGAGAGTTGCGCTGGCCGCGGCGCCCGCCCCTTCGACGGCGACGGCGCCCACCACTGGATGGGATGTCGAAGCTTCGGCGTGGCTGGCGCGTGGCACCAGAGAGTTGCAAGCGGCCCGCGGTAGTCGCTCTTCCTGTATCTTGTGTAGTTTAAACCCAACCTCTTTACTCAAGCCCCGTCCGGCTTCGGCGCATCACACACCTTGCAGGCTAAGTACCCCCACTCGTCCGCCGTTTCGTGCAGGTAGGTGCATTTCGAACACGCCCAGGGCCCCGCGCCCGACTCGTTCGCGGCGTCGTCGGAGGTGGCCGAGCGGCGGGGCTTCTTCTGGGAACCGCCGCCGCCGAAGTACGAGTCCAAGCGGCGCTGCGGTTCCGGCCTTTTCTTCGGCCGCCGCGGCGCCGAGGCGGGCTTCGTCTTGCCCTGGCCGAGGAACGCGTCCATCCGCCCCTTCGCCGGTTTCGAGGACGACGACGGCTTTGGAGGCCGCGGCGGCGGCTGCGACGACGCGGTCGTCGCGCTGCTTCGAGTCAATCGGATCATGATACACTTTCTTCCTCACTTTGTCTAAGTCCGACACATTGCGGCCGCTGTCGATGGCGAAGCTCAAACCACCGACGCGCGCGCTTTTGTCGGACCGGTACACCACCGCCTTGTACCCAGGAATCTCGGCCCCCTTCGATCGCGGCCGTTCGTCTTCCTTCGCTAAATCGATATCCTTTATGCGGCGAAGCCCCAGAAACATCGTGGCGATGCCGCGGCGGCGCGCCGCTTGGACGTCGGGTCCGCCCGCGCAGCAGAGCGAGAAGTGACCTGGTGTGTGGGTCAAAGAAAAAAAATCAAAACGGGTTTTTTAGCGATGACTCCGCAGATCCCGCCGCAGCCGTGCGCGCAACTCGCTCCGAAGCAGATACACCATGCGTCAGCGTGGCGAAATGCTCGGCCGGGGACCGTGAGGGCTCTCGCTCACCGACTCGGCGCGGCGCGCGGCCAAGGGAAGGAAGTGTTGTACGTAATCTACGAATTCTTAACACTGTAAACCTAAACAACCGGTCACGCCCCGAAGCCACTTCTTCGCCGCGCGCCGCTTGACGTCGGTGATGTCCGCCGCCGTCTCGGACGCCTTCTTTTTCTTCGCGCGCCGCTCCCTCCACATTCGCGCCGGCGCCGGCGTCGCGTCCGGGTCGACCGTGGCGGCGTCGGCGATCGCCTGCAGCTGGCCCGGCTCCGTGAGGAAGCGCGGCGACACCAGCTTCCACTTCGTCGAGACGTCGAGCGCGACGAGTTTTAACTTGGAGACGTCCAAACCCGCCAGCAACCGCCTCAACGTGTCTCTATCATCTAACACCGCGTCTAAGCGAAAGTAGGACCGGTACCTTCTTATGAGTTTGCGCCAGTAGGATTCTAGGCATGACGGGCATAACAACTCCTGCGAGACGCGTTCGGCATTTGCCAAGAGCTTCTGCTGGCGTTGTTGGTCATTACGTAACGCCGAGAACTTCTCAGCCGCATTCTGAATATCAACGGTGACGTGCGTCTCGTCGGACAGCGCGGGATAGTAGAATTCGACGAAGGGCGCGTCCCACATCATCACAACACTGCCGACGGACCAGAGGTGGTTCAAATTTCGAGAATAGGACCCCGAGACACTGCCAGGTAAATTGAGCTGGTACTTGTACCGACTGAAGAGCTGCTTGCCGACGTGCGGGGCGTGGAGCTTCGCAAAGTCGTCCGCTATGACTTTGCGAGTATCTTCGTCGAACTTGTAGGCGTCACACGGCTTCGTGGCTTCGTCCCGCACGTCACAGTCCAGACAGCGCACATCAAACAGCGCCGGGTGCCTTGCACTGAGTGCTACAGCTTGCGTCCTCGCAAAATTACCCATCTCGTCGGCACACTCGGGCTGCGTCCGTATCGAGCCCCTCCAAAACGCCCGGTCGTCTCGAGATGCGAAGGTGCGGTTCCGGGCCTCGCCTCTAATTAATTTCGTGATGTGCCGCCACCTCTTCAGATCCTCAAAATAGCAATTCGGTACTAACAAACCGCACTGCGCATACCCGTGGCGCTTGGCGATGACGAAGCGGGGTAGTGGTTTTGCTGTTTTTTGCAATGACCAGCTTCTAGGCTTGACCCTTGTTAATTGGAAGGGCGTCGCACACCCTTCCCGCACCAATTGATCTTCAGACCGGAAGCCGTCGGCGTTCCACTCGTAGTTGTACAGTACGTTCGCGTGGCCCTTGCGCTCGATGGTGGATTTCACGAATTCCAAGTGATGCAGGCCCTTCTTGTTGAACAGCAGTCGCGCGTCGGCGATGAGCGTGTCGCCCAGGATCAATACGAAGCGGTCCGGGTCTGCCAGGAGTTGCTCCGCCAGGCGGTAGGCTTGATCAACGTTTGCCGGTCGTTCGTAGACGCGTAAGCTCCGGTCGAGCTCCTCCTCGATCAACTGAGTCCAGTTGCCAGTCTGCGGCAGCTGGGGCTGCCAGGCCCGCGCCAGCGCGAGCGTAATGAGTAGCGTGCGCATGGCTGCCGTCACGGGGCAGCCTTCTTCAGGGATGCCATCGTGCGTGCGGCACTTGCCGTCGTGCGCCGCGGCAAATTATTGCTAGCTTTTCATAGACACTCTAGCCTCGCCTCAGCCTCAGCCTCGCCACCACCAGTGAGTCAGGGGTCAGTGGCTTGGGATCATCACGACGCGATCTTGATTCGACGGATATCGCCGCGAAACGTCTGGCCGTGGGGGCGCGCGGTGTCTCCCGCCCACGAGTCCTAGCACCGCAACACGCCATCGACGAGAAGATCACAGTCACAAGCTACTTACTTCTTCTTCTTCCCGCCCTTCTTCTTCTTGCCGCCGCCCTTCTTCTTACCTGCACCACCACCACCTTTGGCGGGAGGTAGTGGAGGTGGTAAATGAAGATACGTCCGCAGCGTACATAATGTAGCGAACGCTTCAGCAGGTGGCTCTTCGGTAGACAAAGCCCGCCCACAGAGCGACACGACCGTCCTTCTATCCCCAGCATCGGTCTCGGCGACGACCGCGGCCCGCGCCTCCCGCCGCAACAGTTCCTTGACGATGGCGTGGTGGCCCACCGACGCCGCGTGCTGCAACGGCGTGAGTAAAGCCGCATGCGTTTCCGACGAGGCCCGGTGGCCGGAGTGCTGCAAGGCGCCCATGGGCTCGGGCGGCGGCGGCGGCTCCGCTTCGTCGGCGCCCTTCTTGTCGCCCTTCTTCCCACCCTTCTTCTTGGCCGGCGCCTTCTTGCCCTTCTTGCCCTTCTTCGTCTTGCCGCCGTCGTCCTCGACGACGGGCGGCGGCGGCGGGTCTCCGCGATTCAAAGTTCGGTCTTCGTACCCGTCCGGATGGGCTCCAAAATCTATAAGTAGTTTCGCGATATGCGTGAGATTCGCGTCGGGCGCCTCCTTGTCCTCCGCCTCGTCATCTGACTCGTCCTTCGAGACTGGTAGAGGCGCCCGACACAAGTAGTGGAGAGGGACTTCGCCGTTGGTGGTCGTGGCATTGGGATCCGCGCCGCCTCTCAACAGTATATGGACGCAGTCCGCATCCGCACGCGCACAGGCGTAGTGTAAGGGCGTGGCGCCGTTGCCGTAGGGCGAGCAGGACGGCGCCGACGGCCACGCGCCTCTCTCCAAGAGTAAACATAAAGCTCGGATCTTGCCCGCGAGGACAGCAACAGTCAGGGGCCGGTCGCCGTGCACGTCCGGCGCGTTGCACGCGTCCTGGTCCACAAACTCGGCCACCTCCAAATTTCCTTGCGCGACGTCATGGGCCACGTCCACGGCCTCCCGCGGCGACAGCGGCCGGTGCTGCAGGTCCTCCTTCCTTCTACGGGGTTTGAGGACGCGAGGCCGGTTCTCCGGGAGGTGGATCGCATCTACTCGGTTATCGATCGCGTCGAGCGCGAACGCCGCGGCCGAAGACAGGGGCTTGACCTCGCACTGCGTGCTGTGTTGGGGCACGAAGTAGTGCTCCCTTATGAGCAGCTGCAGGGGCCGCCACTTCGCATCATCATAAGGGTAGCCCCCGTCAAATTTCTCTCCGCTGCTTTCGAGGAAGTCGTAGAAGCCCCGCAGCGACGCCTTGCGCGGCGCCAGTAGTTTATGTTTGTCTTCCAGAGGCAACACAAAAGCATCCGAGGGGCCTGTGTCCGAGACCGGACTTTTTGGCGCCTCGATCGGTGGAGGTTTCAAGAACGCGTCGACGGCCATCTTCACGTGACAAAACCGTCTCACGAAGCGGTGGATCAACGTAACAGCCTCGGCGACCTCCTGCTTCCGCTTTTCTTCTGCCTCATCTATTGTGGGGGGAGGTTCGATGGGCTCGAAATGCGACCGTAGCAACAACCAGCACCGTTCGACGCCTTTCCGGTCCGGTTCGTGGCTCTTACCGAGTCTCGGTAATTTGTCGGACTTGAGTAGTGGATTTGGTAGATTAGGCGTCGGCCGCCACTTTTTATTGACGTCCGGGAGCCAATTTAACGAGTAGCCGTTGCACGACGCGAACTGGGGCCTCTCCTCGATGGTTGAAGACAGTTCCCGCTCGTCGTGCTTCAGCAATTCGTACCGCAACAAATCTTCCGCGCCACACGTCATCTGCGGCAGAATCCCGCCATCTTGTAACCACAGCTCGCGCTCCGTCGGCGGCGGCGGTTCTTCTTCCTCCGAGTCGGACTCAGGCTTATTTTCCTTGCCCTTTCCTTTCTTGCCCTTGCCGCCTTTGCCCTTCGAGGGGCTCTTGGATTTCCCTCCTTTCTTAGGAGACTTGTCTTTTTTACCGGCGGTCTTCTTTTTCGGTTCTTTGCTGGAGCCCTTCTTGGCGGCTTTCTTCTTCTTGGGGGGCATGGTTCACGCACGGCTGCCGCTCTGCGCAGTGAGAGGCTGGGGCTGCCCCAAGCGGCTCGCGGTGCTGCTTCGCGGGGCAGCGCTCCTCGCCGGCAGTCGTGGGTCGTCGGCTGGTCGCTCCGCGTCCGGCGCGCACGCGTTGCACGGAGGGCTTGGCCTCTGCGCTCGATGGCGCTGCAAGGTACCTTACCCTACATATAAGTATAGTACCTCTTAGGCGGTGGGCTCGAACCCGACCAGGCCCGGCGACCTAGGAGTCCTCCGGGCGGCTCTGGATGGAGTCGTGGAAAGGGTGAGTGCAATTCCTGCTTCACCCAGAGAATCGCGGGATTGTGCTCATCTGTGTTTTTAAAGCGGATCGGGCCCACCGAAACCCCTCTCGGTTGAACTGTGCACCAATCACAGCGGCGACTCGCCGTGGACCAAGCGCCTGCTAACGCTTGAGCGCTCGTCCGCAGATTTACCGATTTGCCCGAGCAGACTTGAGTGCACAGCGCGTCGGAGCGGGCGCGACGCGCGGTCGGTTAGACGTTGGCCAGCCCGCGCAGTGACCAGTAGATCGCCCGGGCCCAAAAATCTAAATAGAAAACGCACACAATGAAGTGCCGCGCGTTGGCGCTCGTGGCCGTCGCGACGGTCGCGGCGGCGGCTGCAGGCGCCGGCGACGCGCCGGCGCCGCCTGCGGGCCCCTACGACAACCCGATCTGCGGCACGGCCGCGTCGCCGTGCAAGCCGTGCAACCGCACGTTTCGGATCGGCGCGCCGCGACTTGCCGCGCCCGCGGCCTTGGGCATCATGGGCAAGTCGTTGGACTTCCTGGACGCGTGCTTCGCTTTTTACGACCAGCCGAGCGGCGTGGTGGCATTGGACTGGGTCGAGGCGGGCTTTTTGGACATGGCGGTTGTTTGTTCGACGTCCTTCGTGGCCGCCGCGGCGCGGGGCGCCAAGGTCACGGTCGTCGCCGTACCCTTCACGGACATCGAGTCGAACGCGTTGGTGGCGCGCGAGGGGCTGAATCTGCTCTCGGATTTGAGGCACAAGACGCTATGGACCGTGGAGGGGAGCAACGCGCACCTGATGTTGCTCGGTACCTTGCAGAGCGCCTCGGTCGATGCGCGCGATGTAACTCTGGCATTCAGCACCCCCGAAGGCATCACGAAGGCCTGGGACAAGGGCGACGTGGACGCAGCGTGGTGCTCGGGCGGCTGCATGGGCCACCTAGTGCGGACGCCGCCGCCCGGCTCGGAGATGCCGGGCCACGTCATGATCGACGCCGGCGACGCGACGGCCTGGGGGTTTCCGACGGGGAAAGCCGTGGTCGTGTCGGAGCGCGTTTTACAGACATCGCCCGACATCGTAGCGCACGTCGTCGCCTACCTCTGCCGGTCGAGCTGGGACTACAGAGTGTCTCAGGGGGGTGGACGGAGCTATCCGTGGAGCCAGCAGGTCCTGCCCGACGGCCGCGACACGGCAGCCATGTGGCAGCCCGGCGGCGCCTACCTCGACGTCCTGTCGGCGTACTCGCAGAAGGGGCGCTTCCCCGCGCCGCCCGCGGCGGTCGTGCAGGGCCTCCAAACAGCTATTTACTTCACCGCGGAAGACCAGATCTACAAGATCGAGCCGGTCCTGGAGTGCGACCGGGCCACGTGCGTCGACGGACAGCGACAAGTACCACATTGGTGAAGACGGCCCGCCGCCGGCCGACGCCACGACGATGACCACGCCGGCCGACTCCACGACGCAGACGCCGGGCGTCATTCTCAATTGCGAGGACACGGCCTTAGGCTGCGTTCAAACTACGTTGTCTACCCCCAGCGGCGGCGAGAACGCGGCTGTCGTCCAGAATGGTCTGACGAACTCGCGCAACGCCAACGCAAACGGGGCGGCGCCTGACACCACCGGCCAAATATAAGCCCCCATCGCCCCCCGTCGAACGATGTGGCGGCGGCGCGACGGCCGAGCCCGCGCCCCCACGATTTTACGACTTAACTGAATATAGTTAGAAGTTCGAGAGGACCCGCGACTCGAAGACGCCCTCCTTCGTCAGCAGTTCCTTCGTCGCCGTGAACATGTCCTTCGGCCCGCAGACGGCCGCGCCCGTGTTCCGCGGCACGGCCACGCCCTTCGCCTTGATGGCGTCCTGGACGTAGCCCTTGAAGGCGCCGCCGCTGCCCTGAGAGAAACAAGTGACGACGTCGACGTTGTAGTTCTTTGACCACTCGTCGAACTTGTCCTGATACGCCAATACGGAATCGTCCCGGACGCCGTAGTACAAAGTAGCGCGCTGTGGCAATTCCAGCGCGACGCCGGCCTCGATGCATGACCGTAGCGGCGCGACGCCGCTGCCGCCCGCGACAAATAACACGTTCATGCACGCGAAGCCATCGTACTGCGCGGCCACGGCGCCGCCGTCGCCATCAAAATGTTCCTTCGTCTGGTAGCCCTTGCCGGACACCTCCGAGCATTTTACCGGCGCGCCGCTTTTTAAACTAGTTAAGTATGCGTTGCCTTCATTTTCTTTGATGAGGAACTCGAAGGTGGCTTTGCCTGGCGCGCTCGCGATGGCGTAGAAGCCCGGCTTCTCCTCGCCGATGGTCAATTGGACGTACTGGCCCGCGGTCTCGAACGCTTGCGCGGTCTCGGCGGGCACCTCGAGCTCAATCGCGCGGTGGCCGGCGCAGGCCTCGGTGTTCGATTTGATGGTCGCCTCGGACCACACCGGCGGGTCACCCCAGCCCATGCGCATGACGCCGCGCGCGCGGTGTTGCCGTGCAGGCGCCGGCAGCAGCGCGACAGCGCTGCATGCGAAGAGCAGGAGCATCGATTGCATGGTTGTGGGTTCGCAGAGATGCGATTGGATGCGGAGCGACGCGCAGGTCGGTTGTCTGGTTTGCGCTTTGCCAAGAGAGCACACCAAATTGCCAGAGAGCAGAGCCAAGCCAAGGCAGAGGCGAGGCTGAGCGCGCGAAACGCACGCCTCGATTGAGCCACGGACCGGTCGGGCCGCGGTACGACTGCGACCGGGCGACTGGACAAAGAAACCACAAAAAAACCTTGGGGCAGCCCACCGCTCCGAACAACCGCCGCCCCCCGCCAGCGATGCCCGCGCACGCCCCACGAGCTCCCGGCGGAGCCTTACGACCGCCGGATTTTACCCCCAGCTCTCGCTAGGAGAGGCGCATCTCGCAGCGCCACATCGTCGTAGCGCGCGCCGTAGGGAGCGCGCACGCCCCGCCACCCAGCGAAACCGACGCGCGCGCGTCGCCGCAGCGCCCCCGGCCCCACCGGGCCCGCGCGGGACAGCGTCCGCGCCGGAAATAGCGCCCCCCGGGAGAGCCGCCGAAAACACTAAGGGCGAAGACCATGAGCGGCCCCTTCAGCCCCTCCGAGACGAGGTACGAAGACAACAAGGCGACCTGGCTGCCCGAGGTCGGTTTTAGTTCGGCTGCGAATGGTAGAGAAAAAGACGAAAGCTGCGTATTGTACGAACGCGTTTCAATTCCCACTGATAGTGATGAAGGCGACCAGTACGTGGCTATCGAAGATTTACTATTATCAAGCTTCCCGAAGGGCGAGCATCGCGAAGTCAGGCTGAAGGCCTGGTACGCGAGCAAAGGCAACGAGACCAAAGCCCGACTCGTCGTCGAGAAGTTGAGTACACCGAGACTGTTTGAGTTAAAAGCACCGCAACGAGCCGACGCGAACGCTGCTTTGTTAGCTCAAGCTAAAAGGGGCGAAGCGAAGGATCTCCTAGAGGTATCGAAAGTCCTCGCGTGCCGATTCGATGATGCTGCTTTATGGTACTACGGCCAGCACAAAGCGTCCAGACAGTACCGGGAGTGCAAGAACGCTCGCCTATCCGCGCGACCGCCGCCGTCGCCCGTGCCTATTGATGATGAAGAGTCCTCTGATGAAGTCGTCACTCAAACGCCCCCTAAAAAACGGCAGCGCTTGCACACGCAGAAGAAGGCCCCTGCGTCTTCAAGGCCTCTGCGACAGTTGGCAGCTTATGTGGCTTCATTGGGTGGGGATTCCGACGTCATCACAAAAACGTGGGCCGCCCGCGAAGCCAGAGGTGGGGGCGGCGCCAAAGCGTACAGAGCGCCGGACGGGGCGACCTATCGTTCCCGAGCTGCTGTTGCTCGAAGTTTAGGTTTGACACCGCCCTCGCGAGGGAGGAGGAAAGCCCCGGAGCCTCTAGATAGTCATACCGAGCCCGATGTTGCATTTGATGATGCTGCACCATTACCGGTCGAACGGACCCATGCCGTGTCCATTGATGTAACGAAGCCTCCTCCGTCAACGATGGATGCGTTGGTACGGCCGCCCGTGGAAGCTCTGCTGGCTTCTCGAGGCCGGTCGATCCGGTTCCGAGGAAGGTCCTGGTTCGCCGGCGACCTCAACGGAGCGTCGAGGCACTGCTCCGTCGACGTCTTGCAGTTGGAATGCATCGATAAACATCTCGTTCAGAAAACGCCGGCCGAGTGGGCTACGGCTGCTGCAGACAAATGCGAAGGGAAACTCGCGGACGCGTCGGACCGAAAGCGAGATCGATATGGGCGGAAACCGGTTAAAGTAAGAAGAAGAAACGAGGGCTGGCGCCAGTACGCGTCTTGTCGAGATGCTCTACGTTCGACGCCCGGACTCACGTCCTACGTGTTGAGTGCCTTGGTGAACGGCAAATTGGGGCGGGAAGGCCTGCAGCTCGAAGACTTTGAGGCCTCCTTCGTCGACGACGCTATCGACGACGAGGGCGAGTTCGTCCCGTCACTGCTCCCGAACGCGGTGCACCCGATTCCTCAGATACCCGACGAGTTACCAGTACCGGGCACGCTCATTCACGTCGACGGCCGCACGGCCTACGCGCCTCGAAAGGGCGAGACGCTCAAGACCATCGCCGACCAACTGTGCGGCGTGTCGTGCTCCGAGGGAAGGGTCGGGCCCCCGCCGCTCTCCGAGGGCGGCAGCGCGTCACAAGATTTGCTGTGGTTAGCTCAATTAGATTGGTCCGACCAAGTGTATGAGGAGGGGCGCTTAGTTTTACTACCGGATAGCCAGGACTGGCCCTCCGTCGCCAGTGGAGAGAAAGCGTTCGTTCCCCCCACTTGGGATACACCAACGGAGCCGGGCGTCGACGTCGAAGGGTCGTCGCGCTGGGTCCACGCCTCCGTGTTGTTATCGGGTCAGCTGTTCCCCGACAAGGCGTCGCGCGAGGCCGTTGAGTGCCGGGACGCGGCTAGAATCCTAGACGTAGATCCGAGACTCTTCCGGCGATTGAACAACAACGCGCTCGACGCGGACGGCCGTATTACAGCTTTATCAGGATGGCTTGTGGCTCCTGAGCAGCTCAAGGCGCCCTGCGCGTTGTGTCGGTGCCGCGGCGAAATCCGAGCGTGGCGCTGTCGCGTGGAAAGACGCCACGCGACGCCGCCGTACAACGACCCCGAGGCGCAGCAAGATGGTATGAGGGTCAAGGTGCGGTGTACGGAAGGCGACGCTGCGAAGTGGAAGGCGGCCTTGTTAGTAGGCGACGCTTCACAAAAGTGCAAGGTTCAGTTCGTCGGAACCGACGCTATTGAGGATGTCGACCACGAGCGGCTCTGCTTCCTTGGCGCGGCGCCGTTTAGAACGCCCACAGCGAAAGAAAAGGCGTGCGCGGGGCGCAGCGTCGAGGTCCATCTCGGGGGCCGCGCCGCGCGGGCCCGGGTCAAGCGCGTCTTCGTCAGCGACGACGAGGGCCCGGCCCACGACGAGACGTTGTGTGGGCTCGTGGACGACGCCGAGCCGTCGAGGGAGCGGACGGTGCGCGCCGCGGAGTTGCTGCGGGCCGTGCGGACGGCGACGCACGTCAAGTGGGCGGACGCCGCCGATGCGGCGCCGGAGGCGCCGCCCGCGAAGCGCCGCCGGCCGGCGCGGGCGGTCGCATCTGCGGTCGCGGCGGCGTCGTAGGAGGCTGCTTGCGGATTTTTAAGACTTTAAGCTATCGAGCTCTGGCTCCTCCAAGTGCGCCTCCGTCCCTCTATTTGTATGTTACATATCACTTACACGCGGCGAAGGCCGTCGCGTCGGCCACGCGAACGCTGAACGCGAGCGTTCCCGCGGCGCTCGAGATCCGGTGCCACATGCCTTTTGGGATGTGGAGCGCGGCGCCGGCTTCGAGCACGAGTGTGCCGTCGGGCCGCTCATTATCAAGGCTCCGGTTGCGGTCGCCTGCGCCGATGCCGCACGGCGCGCGTTGGTGCCACAAGTGGACCGTCTTGCGTCCGGAGACGACAATGAGGATAGATTCAGTCTCGTCTCGGTGCGTCCCGGAGTCCGTGGCGCCGACGCTCCAAAAGACCTGCAAGTCTCTCTCCGCGGGGTCCGGCAGGCTCCAGCGGTCCGCGCCGCCGACTCTTCCTCCTGGCATCGGTGCCAGCCACGTTCCGACTGCCTCGACCGCGTCGCCGCCGGCGTCCTGGCCTCCGAGCCGCGGGACCGCGTCGAGGACGTCTTCCCCGGCCGCAAGGCCGAGCCGGTCGTAAATCAGTTCCTCCTTCAGATACGCGACGACGTAGGCGTCGTCCGGCGGCGCCGCGAGCAATGTCAAAACATCAGCTGGCGCGTCGGCGGCCAGCCGGAGCTCCGGGCCGCCGGGGCCGCACGAGAACGCGCGCACGTCGAAGACCGCCTGCGCGGCACGTCGAGAGTACTTCTACAGCACGCCATCGCCGCGACCCGCTGTAAGGATACTTGGACGCCGGTTGCCGCACCTTCACATCGAGGCGCAGGTACGCAGCGGCGAGGGCGCGGAAGCGGTGGACGGCGTCGGCCGGCGCCGCGCGCCGCGTGAAGAGCGACGCCGGCACGAACGTGTCGATCATGGCATCGACGGACGGGTAGGTCTCAAGGTAGCCGCGCTCGACGAAGATTGGTTCGCTCTCGCGCCGTGCGCGGCGCGTCCGACCCCCCACGACGTCGTCGCTCGCGCGGCGGCGGCGGCGGGGCGGCGACGGCGTGGCGGCTGGCGCTGGTGCTGGCGCCGGCGCCGGGGCGCGGCGTCTCGCCGCGGGCGCCCGTGCGACCCGCCGCGGCGTCGCCACCGGTGGCGCCTCGTCGGGCGGCAGCGCCTCGACGAGCGCGGCGAGGTTCGACTGCAGCAATGTGCGCATGCGGTCGTCGGTTTCCCGCGCGATGAGGCGCAGGCCTTCCTGGTGCCACGCCTCGACGGCATTCATCGGCGCGGCCGCCGGCGCGGCCGCCGGCGCGGCAGCGGCCGCGGCTGCTTCGAGCGGCTCGTTGCAGATTTCGCAGGCGCTCGCGTCGTCGTCGTTCTCACGGGTGCATGCTGGGCAGATGCGCATGGCTCTCACAGGTGGCCCTCACTTTTTTTTCACAGTGTGGCTGTCGAGCGGCGCCGATCGCTTGCGAGATGACGTGGCAGCAAATCCTGCACTCGCGGCTATACCCGAGCCACTCCTAAGCCAGCACTGAGCCGCTGCGACCCCCAGCTTTGCGGAGAGCACTGAGAGCTAGCGTATAGCATCTCTAGAGCGAGGACAGGTTGCTCAGTCGTCTTCCTCGGGGTACGTGCAGGGCGAGGGCTCTCCCTGTCTTTCATTTGGACGCTTCCCGTGCACACGCGGTCGTAGAGCAGGAAGCAGCGGCGCGTCGCGCGCGGCCGGGCCTCGGCCACAGGCAGGCGGCGAAGCTTGACTGGCGCGTTGGTCCGAGCGGTCTGCCGCGCCTATCGCTTAGTTAGATGCGTGTAAAAGCCCGTTTTCCGGGCTTCAACAAAACTACAGGCGGAGTGCATTTTGGTTGTCATCAGAGCTCGAGTCTCATTTTATCAACCGGACACCAGCGTGCTCCCGAAGGCTGGCAGAAGGTCGGGGCAGGTCGACCTTCGCAGCAAACCACAGCAGCGCAGCAAAGAGCTAAACGCGGGCGACAAACCGCAAGCACAAAGCCATAGATACAAGGTACAGCTGCAACAAATCGCAGCGACGCGACGCGCCAAGCGCCCAAGACGCCACAGAAGCGCCGCCCGCACGGTACGACTCGCGCCGAGCTCAAATCAGCGCGCGGCTCGACGACCATGGATCCAGGACGCGCGACGTCTCCCGCCGGTTCGCAAGACACGCCGCCCGACCTGCCGCATTCCATGCTCTTCGTGCCCAAGTTCACGAAGGCGCGCGAGCCGAGACCGCTCAACCGCGACGGCACGCCCGTCAACCCCGAGCTCAATCGCGAGCCGTCACCCGCGGACGTGCCGCCGCTGCCGTTGCCGCGGCCGCGGCCGTCCCGCTCCGCCGAGGGCACGCGCATCCAGGACCTCATCGCGGCCCAGGCCGGCGGCGCGCGCGTCATCGGCACGATCTCGCGGACGCTGAGCCCGCCGAGCCCGGCGCCGTCGCCGGCGAGTTCCACGCGGACGTTCGAAACCACGGGCTACAACTCGACGCCGTCGAGCGAACCGCGGCCGCTCGACCCCGACGAGGGCGGCGTGTGATCTGCGCGTGAAGAACGCGCGCCGACGGAGATGATATTTCCCTCTGCCTCGCAACGCCCGGAACGCCCGGCACTCACGAGCACGCGCGGCGGCCCAGCTGGTCGCGCAGGAAGTAAGTGCCATTGAAATGTTAACTCTTCGCGGCGGCCGGGTAGCGCTCAGGCGGCCTAGCTCTAAGCAAAGCAACTCTTCAAGTTCCCGGAGGAGAAAGTCCGGAGAAGACGCAACCACAGGGACACTCCGACAACACAAAATTACGCGCCTCCCGCGACGACGACCCAGTGATTCGCGTAGACGTACCCCGCCGCCGGCGCGGCGGCGCGCCGCGGCCGCAGGCCGCGGAACGGGTTCTCGCGCGGCGGCGCCACCGGCCGGTCCGTTTGGCGGGATAGGGCCGCGTGCATCGCGTCCGCGTCGTCCTTCGTGGACGCCAACGCGACCACCGGTTTACCGCGCTGCAGCGCGACCGCGGCCGCGTCCATATCATAAAGAACGACGAGGTCCGGAGGCGGCAAATCCACTTCAGCGTAGGGCCCGCCGCGCGCCTCGAGCACCAATAACTTATCGCAGCCATCCTCCGGCGGCTGCTTCTCCGTCACCTGCCTCAAAAGGGGCCCGACCATGCAGACCGCCAGCCTCGACAAGTCGGGCCGCCACCGGAACACCTCGCGGAACCGCCTCACGCCAACAAGGTCCGCGGGCGCCGCACCAATAACATGGACGAAGGACGCCTGTCGTGGCAGATGCTCCGCTATGATGATTGGTAAACTAAGCGCCTCCGTCAGCATCGCGCACGGCGGACCTAAAGCCAGTAACCCAGCATCGACCTCGAAGTCGAACATCTTCGCCTCGAAGTAGGCCTTCCAGCCATCCGGCTTGGTGGAGGGGAACGGCGTCCGCGAGGGGATGGACAGCGGCGCGCCCATGTCGCTTATCAGACCGAGGCAGCACTGCTCGAGGATCGACGCGTCGCAGTGCTCCTTCGGGTGGGTCGTGACGCACTTCGCGCAGTAGGCAGCACCAAAACAGCGCTTGCACAGGCTCAGTTTCGAGGACGCGTCCTGGCAGATGGTGCACCTCGCACGCCTCCGATAAAAGTAAGAAGCCGCCGGCGAGAGCTGTATGTCGTAGTCCTCTTTACAAGCAGGCACAGCCGTATTCGCGAGCTCCTGGCACACGGCCTTGTGCACCGGCCAGTGCGCCTTGGCGCATTGCGACGAACAGTACCGTACGACTTTGCAGCGGCCGCACCGCGAAATCGACGCCCCAATCAACGCGCTCCGCGCACACACGGCGCAGGCGTGGCCCGCCGCCTCGGCGAAGAGGGGCGGCACCGGGTTCGCCGGTTCTTTGTTCGCGCCCCAGCGGCCGCGTTTCACTTGTGTCAAGTATAACTCCGTCGGCAGCCAGGGCGCGGAGTCGGTGGCGACCTGCGTCCTTAATAGTAGCACTCTAGGGTGGTCGAGGGTCTGGTCGGTGCTTCTCGTCTCTTTTTCAAGATCGTCGAGCATGATTGCTGACGAAGCGTTGCAGCGATGCGCTCGGGCCAGCCCTGGGCTGCAAGCTGAGGCACTGGTGCCGCAGGGCTCTAGCTGCGTGCCGAGAGCGATGCTGCTCGTTGCTGCACCTCAAGATAGAGCTCTCTGTCCCTCCTCGGCGCTGTGCACAGCTGTGTGCGCTGAGCGATACGCAAAGCTCTCAAGGCAACCCTAGTATGTCTACAGCCGCTAGGAAACTGGGGAGGCGGATGGATGGATGCACTAGGACTAGACCTCCAGGAGTCCGGGCCGCCATCGGGAAGAGGCTCACTAGGGGCCAGCAACTTACTATAACAAACAGGGGGGGATGGCTAGAGGAGACACGCGGCCGCCGCGGCCGCGAGGAGGACCCCGCGACCGAGCGGACGGAAGGCGGCGTCGCTGACCACTCCGCTTTCCTCGCTTTCCGACGCCGCCGCGACCGGAGCTTCGGAACCACCGAACGCCACGGTCTCGACGGCGTCGAAGACGTCGGCCACGCCCGACGCCGCAGCCGCGTCCGTTAGAGCCTGATCAAACATGGCCGCGTCGAGGGCTAGCGCGGGCGCCACGTCGTCGTAGGCGATGGTGTAGGAGACGACGACGCCCCCGGAAAGGCGGCGCCGCGTATACGAGGAGAAGGCGACGGCGACGGCGGTCGTTTCAACCTCGTGGAGGTCCGCGAGGGCGGCCACGATAACAAATTCGTTCTGCTGCGCGTCCGCCAGCGACAGCCCCGCCAGCGTCGCCTGGCCCTTGACTTCCGTCGTCACCGTTGGCGACGGGCAGGCGCCCATCGAGGCCACCAAAGGCGCCGCGAACGATTCGTCGCACTCCTCGCAGAGCCGCGCGTGCGTCGTCGAGGCGGCCGTCGCATTATTTAAGGTCAGGTGGAGCTCCGTCATATAGGACATCGCACCACAATTCCCCGGCCACAGCTCCAGCGCCTTGTCGTAGTAGGTCCGGGCGTGGTCGTAGTCCGGCGCCGCCTTCTTGCGGTTCACGAAGCCGAGGTAGTTATAAACCGCGCTCTCGCACTCCGCCGTCGTCTCCAGGTCCACGACTGCCGTCGGGCACGGCCCATCGTCGCAGCCGGCGCAATGGCCCAAAACGCACCAGAGGTACGGCTCGGCCTTGTCGTACTGTTGATGATTCTCGATGAGCTCCACCGCGCAGTCGTAGGTCGCGTGGCCGTAGCGTTCGTTGTCGTAGGCGTCCTCCATGGACGTGTAGGTTCCCTTGAGCAGCGATTCCATGGAAGCATTGGCGACCTCGTCGCAGGACAAAGTCGGTCTCGTCGTGGGGAAGGGCGTCGCGGGCGTCGGCGCCGGCGTCGTGGGTGCGTAGGTCGGGCGTGGCGTCGGGCGCGTCGAGGGCGCGGATGTTGTCGGCGCGTACGAGGACGGCGCCGGCGTCGGCCGCGGCGTGGGCGCGGGCACGGGGCGGGGCGTCGGCGCCGGCGCGACGGGCCGGGGCGTCGGGCGCGGCACGGGTTGGGGCGTGGGCCGGGGCACGGGCCGGGGCGTGGGCCGGGGCACGGGCCGCGGCGTCGGGCGCGGCTGGGGCGCCGGGGCCGGGTTGGGGGCGCTGCCCACGCCTCGCACCGGCGCGGGGCGCGTGGCGAAGGCTGCCCAGAGGAGCAGCGTCGCGGGGCGCATCCTTCCTTTTTTTTTGTTCGCGACCGGTGAGCCGGCACTTTGCTGTTCGCACACTGAGTGAGTGGAGAGCCATCCAGCTCAGGGCTCCTTGCGTGCGGGTTCAACTGCGGGACCAGCCTGGGATTGCGTATCGCGTCCCCGAGTGGCTCGCTCGGAGACTTCGCTCTGCAGAGCAATTCTCTGTCTTGTCCTGACCTGTCTGGCCCAGCTCAGAGTGCAGAGCAAAAGTGGCACTGCGACGCCGCGTAAAATGACCATGGGCTGCCCGCGCAGTACAACACTGGTCGCGGCGCTCCTCTACCTCGCCTACTACCTGCGCTGCTGCGTGAAGGACCTGGCGGTCCGCTCGCCCGCCGTCGGGGCCCTGGCGGCGAACCGCATGCCGGCCTACCTCTACAGGAGCAACAACGACACGAAGCTGCTGGCGCACCTCGCGCGCGCGGCGACGGCGGGCGCCGACGAGCCCGCGTTCCTGGCGCCCGCGTGCGCCGCGGGGCCGCCGTCGTTTAATGAGCTGGTCAAGGCGCGCATGGCCCGCGACCGGCGGCCCGTCCTCGCGGCGCTCACGGACAAACAACTGGTCAAGCGCTGGGCGGAGCTGCGCGGCGTCCGGACGCCCGAAGTCCTGTTCGCCTCGAAGACGTGCGCCGTGCCGGAGATCGGCGCGGACGCCTACGCCTTCAAGGCGACCCACACGACGGGCTGCCTCGTCCTCGTCGAGGGCGGCCGCGTCGTCGGCCACAAGCCCTGCGGCGAGCGGCGGCTCGCGCCGGGGTCGCGCGTCACGCCCGAGCTCCTCGCGACGCTGTGCGCGCGCTGGACGCGGACCATGTACGACGTGACGCAGTGGGCATACTCCAAGCTGACGCCCGGCGTCGTCGCGGAGCGGCTGGTCTATCGGACGGACGGCGCGACGCCGGCGGACGACGTCAAGTGCTTCGCCTTCCGCGGCCGCACGGCGCTCGTCCAGCACGTGACGCACCGCTTCGACGCGGCGAGCGGCCGGCCGCGGGGGGCGCGGAAGCGGGACACGTTCCACGACCCGCGCTCGGGGCGCCGCCTCCCCGTGGCCGTGGACCGCCAGCCCGCGGGCGCCGGCCTCGCGCCGGCGCGCGTCCGTCAGGCCAGGGATGTGTGCGACGGCCTCGCGCGGGGGCTCGACTTCGCGCGAATCGACCTCTTCGACGCGGGCGCATCATTCTTCCTCGGCGAGGTGACGGTCTACCCGAAGCGCGGCGAGCACGCCTTCGAGCCGAGCGCCGTCGACGGAGAGCTCGGGAGGGCGTGGTGCCGCCAGGGGAATGCCACGCGCTAGGCGTGGTGTGTGTCCTTAATGTTCAAGTTGTTACTTAAATTATTCGTGCAGCGGGGGTCAGTTCGGACGAGGGCAGCTCGACGTCCTGGGACTTGGTCGGACGGAGCCGCGGGTCAAATTGCGGGCGAGGTTCCCTCCTAGAGGAGGAGCGCGGCGAGGCCCGCGGCGAGCGCCGCCAGGGAGCCGAGGGCGACCGCCCGCGCGCCGTCGGACGCGGGCTTCGGCGGGGGCGTCGCCCTCGCCGAAGGCGCGGGCGTCGCCAGGAAGTCGTGGTCGAGGTAGCTCTGGTACAGGGCTTGGACCTGCGTCTGCGACATCGCCGTCGAGTAGAAGGACGCGTGCGCCAGCTTGCCCAGGAAGTAGCGGTCCTTGTGCCACCCGAGGTCGTTTCCACTCGCGGTCGTCGTGTCCTTCCAGTAGCCTTGCGTCGCCTTCGTATAGGCATCGCCCCAGGCGGCGAGCCGGCCGCAGAAGCGCATCGGCCCGATCGGGTCGATCGGGTCGCCACCTCGGGCGAACAGCTCCTCGTCTGCCGTCGAAGCCCCCGCGGCCCCGCGTACGGGGGTCCACTGGCTGTCGTAACCATTGAGGCCTGAGCAGCTCGCGCAGCAGCCGGCATATATCGAGGGGTTGAGGCAATAGGCCGTCGTCACTGAACTCGTATCATGCATCAATGCGAGCGTCGCGCACGCCCCGGGATTCGGCAACGCGACTCCCTGATGGTCAGCCATCCCCCGTTGCACCATTTCATCGTCGTCCACGCAGGAATCCTTAGTCGTCTTGTCTTGGTATACGGGCTTCCAATAGTCAGCAAATTCGGGGCACTCGTAGCAGAAATCAAATCCGCCCCGCGTTTGATGATCCATTGCGTTGACGCCCTTGCCGTTGTAGGGCTGCGACGCGACCAAATTGCCGTCAACGTACACCGAGAAGCCCTTGCCGCCCTCCGGGTGCGTGGTGAGCGTGTACATGTGCCACGCGCCGCCTGTCTCGAAGGCGGCGTGCTCGCCGGGCAGCGTGTCGAGATATTGCCCGCGATGACTCCAGCAATTGGGGTTCGACCCGCACGTGAGACCCGACGCTTCGGTATCGGTCTCCGAGAGCCCGAGGCTTTCGCAGTACGGGCAGGTGTACGACGGAGGGTCGTTCGAGTCGCCCAGGAGGGTGCGGATGGTGTTGTCCTTGTCGTAGATTGCTGCGTACTTCTCGCTGTCGGTACCCAGGTACCCCTTCTCCAACCACACATGCACATGGTTCGCACTCCACCCTGCGGATAACTCCGGGTCGCCGTGGCCAAAAAGCACCTCCTTGTGCAAGTCAGGGAAGTTCTCCTTGTCGTGGCGGAACCACACGTTTATCGCGAACTTGCCGTTTTTGCCGTAGTCGACGTCGGCGAGCTCGAGCGTGTCCTTCTGCAGCGTGGTTGCGGAGCCGCACGAGATCACATTGCCGAAGCGATCGTCCGTTTGCCAGTTGGGCTGAGAATATACCGTCTGATCCTCCGCCTCGTACAGCACCTTCCCGTCGAGTTGCCCGGACACTGCCTCCTTCAGGTCGAAGCCCGACCCCTCGTCGAACGCGTAGTACGCGACGAGGTCAGCGCCGAACGCGGCCGCCGCGGGGAGGATCTGGCCGGCGACCGAGGCCGCGCGGGCGGCGAGCAGGAGCGCGGCGAGGCGCATACTTTTCATGAAGCTGCGGAACAATGTGGAGAGAGGCAAGCGCAGCACCGACAGTAGATGTGCTGTGCTTCGAAGCTGCCCGCAGTAGATCGACAATGGAAATTAGCGTTAGGACGGCGCGCACGCGGCCATTTGGCCGGATTCTCACATGGCATGCTTGTGCTGCACGCAACTAGACCCATGGGCTGCCGCCGGTGCGCGCAGATGCGCGGCAGAGCCGCTCAGAGGACCATATGTATTGATATATGGAATCAATTAGGGAATTTCGGAAAACGACCAAGAACAGCCTGACCCACGTGCAAAGCTGCCCAAAGGCTGCCCGCGGCGGCCGCCGCAGCCGCGTGTGGACGCCGGCGGCGGGCTGGTATCTTAGCTGCAAAGCAGACTTGGCGGACGCCAGGAGAAGAAGCCGGCTGTAATTCTTTTTTGGCCATGGCCTTCTGCTCTCTGCTGCTGCCTCTCCTGGTCGCGGCGGCCCCGTCCGCCGCCGACACCGTAGCCGTTGCGCTCTTCTGTGACACGGGCACACGCGAGGACTCTTTGCTTTATCGGCCCGATGTCGGGGGCGATCACGTTCGGCGCGAGGAGTGCGACGCGGCGCGGGCGGCGATCGACGCGATCAACGACAAGAGCGACGGCGCGTTCGACAACCTGCTGCCGGACACGCAGCTCGTGCCCTATCCCTTGTCCTACAACTCCTCGCGCTGCGGGCCAGGCGACCAGGAGATGCGCACGGCGTGGGGGACGCTGCCGGTGCACCCCGTGGCGTCGATCGGCCCGGGCAGCGATGAGTGCGTCGAGCAGGCAGAGCTTTTCATCCATTTTTATGCGATCGGCTCGGGGTCAGTTGTCATGTCGGAGGCGTCGACGGGGACGGACGTGTACTGTCAGAATCTGGTCCGCCTCTCGAGCCCCGAAAAGGTGCGCAACGAGGCTCTCGCGGCCGTTGCGTCGCACTACGGCTGGGCCCGTGTTGCTATCGTCTACGACTCCTCGGACGCGTGGGCGTCGGACGCCGCGATACAGTTCGGCAAGGGCATCGAGGCCGACGGCGGCACGATTTTGGGAGACGCGTGCGTGAAGGAAGCGGGGACCGCGGCTGCGTGCACGGCAGGAGGCCGGCCGGGCGTCCGCTTCGAGGGTATGAGCGCGGCCGTCGCCGACGGCGTGCTCGACGCGATCGTGGCGACCGGCGCCCGGATCATCTACATCGCCGCGCGCCCGGCGGACCAGCGCACGCTCTACGAGCGCATCGCGCAGACCGGGAAGTGCAGCGGTGCCGGCTACGGGCTCCTGTCCGCGTGGCTCTCGGACGACCTTTTCCTGGGTAGCGACGGGACGGCGAGCGCCGACGCCGTCGCCGGCGCGCGGGGCCTACTCCTGCCGCGGGAGACGGTCGACACGACCGGAACGGTCGCCCAAACGTTTTTGGATGCGCGCGCGGCCGGCCTCGACGCGACAGTCTGTGAAGGCGACCCGGTGGAAGGCCGCTACTGCGACGGAGACGGCGACGCCGCGACCCTGGGCGGCTACGGCCCGCAGATTGTCGACGCCGTGTACACGCTGGCAAAGGCGCTCGATACGATGGAGGCCGCCGACCGCCAGGACCCCGAAGAGGTCTTTGACGCGATCGAGGACCTGGGGGACTTCGAGGGCTTCTCGGGCACCGTGTCGCTCGACAAGTACGAGGACCGCGTCGGATCCATGACAATCGTGAACCTGCAGCTGTCGCCCGCGGGCGAGCCCGTTTTCGTGGACGTCGGAAAGGTGCAGGGCGGGGCGTTCGCGCTCGACTCTGGCGCGGCGGTCATCTTCCCGGGCGGCACGTCGGACGTCCCCGCCGACGGCGACACGTTTGACGTCTTCTCCAACAACGGGCTCCCGGTCGCCCCGAACGGCGCCCTCGCGGCGGGGCCGGGCCGCGCCCTGCCCGCGGCGCTCGGGCTCGCGCTCTCGTGGGCCTTCTCTCAAATTCGCTACTAATTTACCTATCTCTCATGTCCGCGCCGCCTACTCTTTTTATGACTATCCACTTAACAGCGACTCGGGCACGGGGAAGTTCCATCCGCGCTGCTCGTCGTCGGGCGTCATGTCGTATAAGGCGAGCTCGCGGTCGCCCAGCAGGCACGCGTCGAGCGCCGCGTCGATGGCTTCAAAGTCCGTGCCCGGCGCCCCGACGAAGGCCAGCTGCGTCCGCGGCGCGCCGGCCCAGATGCCGCACGGCCCCGCGGGCGACGCGCCGCGCGCGCCGCCGGCCTGGGACCAGGCGTAGGCCCGCTCCGCGGCCGCCGCGAGCCAGAGCGACCCCTTCGAGCGGTAGGCCTCCGAGAGCGCCCCGGCCTCGACCGCCTCGGCAAAGCGCGCCGGCGAGAAGGGCCGGCCGCGCTCGTAGACGTGCGTCGCGGCGTCGAGGCGCGCCGGCCGCGCGAGCGTCGGGGCGAAGAATGCCGCGGGCGCCGCGGCGACGACGTCGGCCGCCTTTCCGGCGCCGCGCATGACGCCGAGGACCTCGTCCAGCGGCACGTCGCAGCGCGTCACTTTGTGAATGATAGCGTCGGGGTTCAACGCTTTACAAATGTTCTCAGCAACAACCACGTCCTCGTCCGACGCTGCGTCGACCTTGTTGAGGAGCACAACGTCCGCGCACTCGACCTGCTCCGCCAGCAGGTCCGCGACGCCGCGCCACAACCCCGCCGAGCTTAGTACGTCGTACACCGAGGCCAGGCCGTCCAGACCCAAATCCCGCCTCTCCAGCACGCGCGCGCCCGTGGCCCACAACCCTTGCGCGAAGACCGACGCGTCCACCACCGTCACGAGCGTGTCCAGCCCGCCGCAACCCGCGAGCGCGTCGCGCATCGCCGCCGGCTCGGCCACGCCCGTCGCCTCGACCACGATGTGGTCGAAGGCCGCCGCCCTTCTTAATTGCCGCACGCCCTCCACGAGGCCGTCGCGCGCCGTGCAGCACGCGCAGCCGTTCGACATTGTTACCACGAAGGCATCGTCATTCGACGCGGTCTCGGCTATGGCACCGTCAATATTCAGGGACGCGACGTCGTTCACGAGGCACCCGATCCTCAGACCGTCGTCATTTTTTAACAGGCGTTCGAGGAGCGTCGTCTTGCCCGCACCCAGGAAGCCGCTCAGGAGCGTGATCGGCGCCTGCTGCAGGGCTTGGGCGGCGTGCAGCCATCCCAGGAGAGCAAGGCACCGAGCCATCGAGCTATCTTGGACACAACACGTGCGTTTGCGCTGCAGCGATTCGCGCGTTTACGGTGCAGCGATTCAATGCTTTACTGGGCAATAATGCTGCTAGCAGCCAAAAAAAAACAAGGGGCACGTGATCGCGAGCTAGCGGCCGGTAAGACACTAGCCAGGAACGCGCATGCAGCCGTCTGAGTATCCTTCAGTTCACTAATGGTCCAAAGAGATCAATGGGGCACGTACTGGGGCCGAAAAAGGAATTTTTTCAATTCGCGGCTGACGATGCCGTCCCGGGCCGTTACTGTGAAATATTTGGTAGCGGCGACCGACTATGATGAATTCTGAATTTGGGAGGTGGATCTGGGAATTGGCCAGCGGCTCAGGGGAGCCGTCGTTCAACCATAGGTCTTTGTCTTAGTTCCGCGGCGGGGAGGGCTCCTACTAGGCCGGCGCCGGCGCCGCGACGGCCTCGTCCGCCACGACTTCCTCCTCCACGTCCTCCGCTACCTCCTCCGCGTCGGCCGCCTTCTTCTTCCTCGAGCTGCCGAACGCCGACGACATGCGGCTCAGGAGGCTCGGCTTCGGCGTCGCGGCGGGCGGCGTCGCCGGCGCGGCCTCCGGCTCCGGCTCGGGCGCCGGCGCCGGCGTCGCGGCGGCGGCGGCCGGCGGCGCCGCGGCATCCGCAGTATCCGCCGCCACGGGCGTCGCGACGACGTCGGGCGCCGCGGCCGCGGCCTCGGGCTCCACGACCGCCGGGACGCCGGCCGCGCGCTCGCACGCCTCCAGGAACGCGTCGATGGCGACGCTCTCTCCAAAGTTGCGCGCCACGGCCTCGAGGAAGTCGCGCCGGAACTCGGGCAGCACGACGGCCAGATTGTCCGCGAAGTCGGAAGCGGAGACGGTCCCCTCGGAGAACCGCGCCTCGACGGCCTCCCGCCTTTTCAGTACGAGAGGCGCCACGATGGACGTCCCTTCCGGCGCGTCGCCGCGCCAGCCGCTCACGCGCTCCTCGAGCTGGCTGAGCAGCGCCTCCAGCGACGTCGCGTCCTTGTCGAAGTCGTTCAGGGCCGCCCACTTCAGCGCCCTTACTTTTTCGTCGGAGGCCCGCAGGATCTCATCCTTGAGCGCTACCATCGTGGTCAGGAGCTGGACCTTGGCCTGGTCGCGCGTGACGGGCGGCGGCGCGGCATTTGGCTTTTTGCTGGCGGACTTGGCGGCGGACTTGGGCATGGCGGCGGCTGCCCGCGGCTGTCGGTGCGCAGTGCGCTGTGTGCAGCGCCGCCGGGCTTCGCGACGGGCCCAACGACGGCTGGTGCGCTTCGCGGCTCCTGGCCCTTCGAGAGATCTCTGCCCATTTGCGGACGCTTCGTACTACTCCTCGCGACGACCCGGCGACTCGCCGCGGCGGGCCGCTCTACTGGCCGCTCTCGTGCGCGCACCAGTGGATACATTTCGGTGTCTCCCCCCCTGCCCTTGGCAGGGCTCCGCCCACTAGTCCTAGCACCGTAACAATAACCAGCGGGTACGTCACTCACAAATTAACAAAACCTCCCCGGCCGCCACGGCTCCAGCACGTCCACGTCGACGCCGTCGAGGAGCTCCGCGACCGCGAGCGCCGAGAGCACCGGCGCGAGCGTGATGGCGCTGTGCGCCGCGCAGACGTAGCTGCCCGCCTGCGTGAAGCCGACGGCGGGGTACCCGTCTTCCGGCAGGACTCGGTACGCGAGCGTCGTCGCCTGCACGGGCGCCGCGACGTGCGGCAGCCAGGCCGCCGCGCGGTCGACGAGCCGCGCGCCCTCGGCGAGCGACGGCGCGGCGTCCTCCATCGATGAGCTCGAAGCCACAGCATATCCTTTCAGGTCGCCGCCCACGACGGCCGTCCCATCGTTTCGCTGGAGAAAGTGCACACCGCTCACCGCGTCGACGACGAGGCCCCGCATGCGCGTTGTTCCGGTTTTTGGTTGCGTGTGCGCGAGGACGCCCGGCGACCGCTTCATCGGCACGGGCGCGCCGAGCGCCGGGATGCCGACGCCGGCGGCCAGGACCACGGCGTCCGCGCGCACGTCATCGCCGCCGATGCGCACGCCTTTGCCGCCCGGCAGGAGCCCGTCGACTTTCGCGCCCCAGCGGAACGTCGCGCCGGCAGCCTCGGCCGCTTTTTGCAGCGTCGCGACGGTCGCGGCCGGGTCGGCGCGCCCCTCGTCGGGATACCAGTGCCAGCGCCCGTCCTTGGCTTGGAGGCCGGGCTCGCGCGCCGCGGCCGCTTCCGCGGTCAAGACATCGACGGCGTAGGCGCCGCCGGCGCTTTGGGGCTCGCCGTCCGCGTACAGCAAGGCGCCGCACCAGGTCGCGAGGCCGGCGTAGGGCTTCTGCCGGCGCCACATGGCGAGGCTGGTGCGCGTCAGGCCACCATACTCCGGACTCTTCGCGTCCTTGCCGTTGGCGTTGAGCCAGGCCCACGAGCCCGAGGTCGCGTCCTCGCAGACGACGGCGCCCTGCAACGCCGTCGCCGGCGCGGGGCGCGCGTCGAGCACGATGACGGCCACGCCGCGCGTCGCGAGCTCCAGGGCGACGGCGGAGCCCATGACCCCGGCGCCGACGACGACGGCGGATCTGGGGGCAGCCCGCGCGGCGCGGCGCGCGCGAAAGCCGAAGCCGGACGCAGCGTGCCGCCACCACTGGGACGGCGCCGGCGCCGTCGTCATCACCTCGGCCGGGTCCACGCCGACCTTGCGCAGGAGCCGCTCGTGCGTCGGTTGCGGGCGCCCGCTCCGCAAAAACATGCCATTTCGGTCGGCGAGCTCCGCGAGGGCGAGGTCCTTCGACGGCACGGCGCCCGGCATGCTTCGGGAGTAGGCCTCGAGCGCGGCGCGGTCGACGGCCGGGTCGAGCTCGTCCACGAGGAGCTCGAGGTCCGGTTCCGCGTGCGCGTCGACGACGTCGCCGCCGTGGCGCGCGCAGATCAGCCAGAGCGCCGCCGACCAGACGAGCTTCAGTCGCACGGCTCGCGCGAGCGCGTCGCGGTCGACGACGTCGCAGCGCGGGCCGCAGCTCCCGATCAGCGCGGCGACGGCCGTGGCGTGACGGCCGGTCACGACCGTCGGCGGCGCGCCGGCCCCGAACGTCGGCGCCGCGCCCGTGGAGAGCACGCCGAAGAAGAGACAACCGTACGTGAGGCCGTCCGCTTCGGCGCCGACGACCTCGGTCGCGCGGCCCCGCGCATCGCCGTTGCAGAGCAGCACGACGTCCTCCAGTCGTGAAGGCGGCGTCGCGCGCAGCACGTCCTCCACCGCCGACGCCGGCGCCGCGACGAGGATGGGCGTGCCCGGCGGGCTCAGCGTTCCGGGCGCGACGCCGCGCGGCGTCGCCGCCAGCGATCCGCCCCCGGCACGCAATAATAGAGAGCCGATGCGGCCTCTCGCGCCGACGACCTCGCCATGCCGGCCGCAGACCGCGATTGCGTGAGCGGTGGCGCTGAGCCAGAGTAGCAGTCGGACAAGCATGGCGCAGTGCTGGCACAACTGATGACACAGGCGTTCAGTAGGGATCGATGCGTCACGATTGCGGCCACGATGCTGACTGGCACGCAAGCGATGATGCTATGCTGAGCTCAGCCAGCTAGCCTGGGCTGCAGAGCTAGTGGGACTATACAGTAGATCATTCAGCCCCGAAAAAGCCAAACGGGTCTATCAGCATCGAGACGGTACGTCTCAACGGAGGCGGGGGTGTATTCTTCTCTTGATGCTCGTGCGACCGTCCGCGTGAGCCTCGCACGCGACTTGCTTACAAGACCTGCCTGCGGACGCCCCAACGCGAGGACGCGGCGCCTACATCACCCGAGGCACGTCGTCAGTTTACACGTACCGAGCCGTCGCCGGAGGGCGTGTGGGGACTATGCGACGTCGCGCCCGTCACCGGGCGCGCGAGGAACGAACGCCAAACGGGTGCGGCCCGCACGACGCGCCGACGCGGCAGCACGGGAAACGCCAGAATCCAGTTCGCCGGGGAGCTCGCCTCGCAGAGACCGCCATCGCGCGAGAGGCCGCCGCTCGGCGGCGGCGGGGCGGGCCGGGCTCTCTCCCTCTCTCTCTGTCTCTCTCCCCGCTCTCGGTCGATCGACGACGCGGAGCACCGTCTTCGTCAAGTAAGAGGTCCGCCCGCGTGCAGCTCTGCTGGCACATAAGTTGGCGCGGCGGCGGCCGCGGCGGCCGCGGCCTTATGCAAAGAATCACATTTGTCGGCGCCCGCCCGGCGGCCGGACGATGACCCTGCGGTGCCTTCGGGCCCGGGGCCGGCCATGGCGGCGTCCCGGGGCCGCGGGGCGGCCGTCGAGGACCCTTTGCGGCGGGGCTGCCTTTTTAGGGGAGGTGCGGCAGGGCGGCAGCCATGCAGCCACGTGCACGGGCTGGCCGCGACTTTCAGTACGTCCACGATGCCCAGAAAAACCGTTTTTGAACCCAAAAGTTGAAGCCGAGCGTGGAGGAGCTTAATATGCTCAAATAGTTGAAGGTTGCAGGTGGGTTGAGCTTGGAGTTAAGCACCGAGCGCAGCCGAGGGAGCCCTCTCATGCATGATCGGGACGGGTAGAGGCGAAAGCAAATGCAATACGGGTTTCGCTGCGTTCCCGCCAGCACCTGAAATCAACTATTACAGCAATTGCGCGCGACGAGCGCGACGAGGCTGTTGCGCTGCTTCAGGAAGGGCGCGTTGCAGTCCTTGCTTTCCACAATCGAGCTGGCAAACTCCTCGTAAACTCGGCCTCATCCTTTAAAGCCTCCGGCGTGTCACCCCTATTGACCATGGACGCGTCGTCGCGAAAAGCTGCGCACCCGGCCCCGGCGCCCGCGAACGCACCGTCTCGCGAAGCGGCGGCGCCGGCGTCGCCGCGCACGACCTCCGCGGCGCCGGCGCCGGCGGCGCCGGCGGCCGCGGCCGCGGCGCCGGCGCCGACGACCAGCCTTCGGGTCGGCGCACGTTTCCCAGCGTCCTCAATGCGCACTCGCCCGGCATGAAACCGCCGCGAAACTCCAGGCTATTCGTGTGTCGCGCCTACACGGGGCGGGCCGCGCCATCGGTTCCTGGAAACGATAAACCGACAGGACTCGATCACGCAGGCCTGGACGCCGGAGGAGCTCGCCTACGCCGCGCGCGTCTCGGACTGTGTGGAAACAACCAGTGCGTCGGGTGCACCCGACAATTCTTCACTAAGTCATTTCTCGGCGATGACGCGGCCGTCCTGGCTCGGTCCGGCGGTGAGGAACCGGCATCGCCACGCCATCGAGCAGGCGTCGCGTCGATGGCGTGGAGGACGACGCGGCGATTCAGGACGAACGCACTGTAAAATTTTGATTCCCACGCAGGTCTCGGACTTGTACGGGCGGGGCGTCCTCCCGAACTGCCCGGTGCCAACGCAGTGTATCAATTTCTGAACGTTTCCGACCTTGAACTAACACATGCCACGCAGGAGGGCATCACGCTCCGCGTTTTATTATCGCGGCTCCTGAACTGCCAGCCGATGCGTGTCAGCAAGAAGTACAGCGGTGAGGCCTGGGCCACGCACGGCAAGCGGCCCTACACGCCGGCGCGCTACGAGGCCGTGCCGTCGCAACCGGACGCGGCGGAGCTCGGGCGCCTCGAGGGCGCCTTCCACCGCTCGCTGCGGCCGGGCGCGCAGCTGACGACGAGTCTGCTGGGGACGTCGGGCCTCCCGACGCCCGTGGGCGCCTGTGTGGAAATCAACCAGTGAGTTAGGTCATCGAGCAGACACAGCTACGGAGACACCATCGCGTCGAGGGCGTGCGGCGCCTGAAATTTGATTTCCACACAGGTGGGCGCGCGTCAGTGGCTGCACAGCGACACGAGCGGCGGCGGCGACGGCCGCGCCGCAAAGCGGCCGCGCGCCGCGGCGGCGCCCGCGCCGGCGGCGCCCGCGCCGGCGCCGCCCGCGGCGGCGGAGGCCGCGGCGGAGGCCGCGGCGCAGGTCATGATCGCCACGCTGCACGAGGCGCTCGCCGGGCCCCGGCCGCCGACGCTCGCCGAGCTCCGGGCGCGCGCGCCCGCGGTCTACTCCGTCGTCGCGCGCGCCGCGGAGGCGTCGCTCGCGCCCGCGCCGGCGGCGCCGGAGCCGGCGCCGCCGGCGCCGCCGCAAGACTGACCGCGACTGGTGGATCCACACCAACGAAAAAAACGGATCAATTCAAGCCTCGCCAGCTCTGGCCTATCCCTCCCCCACAACTGCCGCCACCCGCGACTCGTGATGCTGCACATAGTAACCGATATAGTCGTCCGAGTCAGCGCGCCCCCCCCCAAGGGCCCCAACGCGACCGCGCGACCCGGCGATGGCGAGAGATAGCTCCGTGCGTATATGCCAGCGAAACGTACCGGGCCACGGGAGGTTGAGGGAGCTTTTGTTATTGCATTTAGTAAGGCACTAGGACTTCAATAACAAGTGAGGGGTGTTGCTCGCTTAGACAGTGGCCAAAAAAACGCGCGCCCGTACAAATTGGGCTCTGGCCCGTTGTTTAGATCCCACCGCTAGCGTCGAATCGATCGCACGAAGCCATCGTCGTTTCCGAAAAAGAATGCAGCAAGAGACAACACAGGAGCAACAAGGCGGCGACGCGCAAGATGCACCCCCCGTGGCCGTCGGGACGCGCCCGCCGCAACCCAGGACCGCTCCACCAACCGAAACGCCGTAAGTAGCGTCGTCATCGCGTCGACGTCGGCGCGACAGCGGATGGGTGCGCACAGGTACGCGAACTACGGCGCGCCGCCGCCGCCGCCGCCGCCCGATGCCTGGCCGCGGCCGCAGGCGCCCCGGCCGCCGCCGGGCCGCGATATCCGCGTAGGCGCGTGGACGCCCCAGGAGGTCGCCTACGCCACGCGCGTCGCCGACTTGTATAGAGCGGGCTCCCTCCCGAACGCCCGACCTGTGTAGAAATCAGCCAGTGCTCCGGGTCGAGCGGCGAGGAACCGGCAGCGCCACGCCATCGAGCAGGCGTCGCGACGATGGCGTGGACGACGCGATGATTTCCACACAGGTCCCAGACGGCATCACGCTCCGCATCCTCCTCTCGAAGCTGTTGAACTGCCAGCCCATGCGCGTGTCGACCTGTGTGGAAATCAACCAGTGCGTCGGGTGCACCGAAAATTCTCCACTAATTCATTTCTCGGCGATGACGTGGCCGCGCTGGCTCCGTCGAGCGGTGAGGAACCGCCATCGCCACGCCATCGAGCAGGTGCCGCGTCGATGGCGTGGAGGTCGAACCGACGATTCAGCGCGAACGCGCCGCAAATTTGATTCCACACAGGTGTCGAAGAAGTACTCGGGCGAGTCCTGGAGCCACCACGGCAAGCGACCCTACCGCCACGTCGCGGCGCCCGACCAGCGCGTCGTCGAGGAGCTCTGGCTCCTCGAGCACGCGTTCCACCGGTCGCTCCGCCCGGGCTCGGTCCTGACGACGTCGCTCCTCGGCGCGAGCGGCCTCGCGACGATCGTGAGCGAGCGCCAGTGGGTGCGCGTCGAGCCGCCGCCCGCGCCGTCGGGCGCGAAGCGGCCGCGCGACGAGGCGCCCTCTTACGACCCGTTCGCGGACCCGGCCTACGCCTACGCGTCGGCGGCGGCGCCCCCGGCGCCGCCGCCCTACGCCTACGCGCCGCCGCCGCCAGCGGCGCCCTACGCCGCGCCGCCTGCGCCGTCGGCGCCACCGGCTGCCGACGCGGCGGCCGCGCTGCGTGCGGCCGCCGCCGCGGCTGTCGCCGCGTCCCCGCTAGCAGAGGACATGCCGGCCCCGGCGGCCGCGTTCCCGTTCAACGTCGCCTCGTCGTCGTCCTCGTCGCCGTCAGCCGCAGTCCGCACCGAGGCCCAGCGCCTCATCGACTCGCTCCACGCGGCGCTCGCCGGGCCGACGCCGCCGACTCTGGAGGACCTCCAGCGGACCGCGCCCGACCTCTACCAGAAAGCGCTCGCCGCCGCGGCGGACCGACTCGCCCGCCGCGAGTGAAAAACTCGCCGCCGCCGAGGAGCGGGCCGCGAGTGACCCATCTCCCCGCCGTCCTCCGGATTAAGATGGTTGCTATTATTTAGTCATACTATGTCCAGGGGGGCGGAATGCGCCGTGTTTTCCGAGCGAGAGGCGGGCTCGTCGAGGGGGTTGTCTGCGCGGGCATCGCAAGGTGAGTCGAGCTCCGCGAGTCGAAGGCGGACGCCGGACGCGCACGGGGTGCTTGTGCCGTGTTTCGCGAGCGAGTGGCGAGCTCGTGGGGCACCGTGTTTTACGACCGAGAGGCAAGGTCGTCCGCGCACCGTCCTCAGAACGGCGCGCTCGCGCCCGCCGCGGCCGCGGCCACGGCCTGCGCGTAGAGGGCCGGCGCGCGGAGGCGGAGGTCTTCCAAAGAAGGCGGGCTCGGGCCCGCCTGTGTGGATATCAACCAGTGAGTTAGGTTCCGCCATCGAGCCGACGCGGTCACGGGGACAACATCGCGTGGGGCGCCCTCAATTTGATTTCCACACAGGGGCCAGCGAGCGCCGCGTGCAAGGAGTCAATGAGGCGCTGGGCCGCGGCCGCGACGTGCGGCGGCGGCGTCGCCGGCGGCGGCGGTTGGAGCGGCTGCGGCTCGAAGGGCGCCCAGAGCGGGGCCGGCGGCGGCGGCGGCGGCGTGGGCGGCTCCGCGAAGAGCGGGGCCGGTACGGGCGCGGACTCGGGCGAGCCCCAGTAGGCGTCGCCGCGCGGCTTCTTGGGCGACGGCGCCTCGATCACGGAGAGCCGGCTCTCCGTCGCGGGCAGGCCGTCGCGCACGCGCGTCGCCGCGCCAGCGGGCGTGGCTAGGCCCGACCTATGGGAACTCAAGTTTCGTCTACTCGATGTACGCGAGTCACGCGACGTCGGCTCGATGGCGTTGATTTCCACACAAGTCCCGACGTGCCGAGGAGCGACGTGTGGAGCGTCGCGCCCGGCCGGAGCGCGCGGTGGAAGGCGTTCTCGACGCGGAACAGGCCGTCGACCGTCGCCGCATCAGGCGGACCCACGTGGCGGTAGGGCCGCTTCCCGCGGTGCGCCCAGGCCTCGCCCGAGTACTTCTTACCTGTGTGGAAATCAAATTTCGGGCGCCCCACGCCATCGACGCGACGTCGTCTCCGTAACTGCATCTGCTCGATGGCGTGGAGATTCCACGTCCCCGTGGCCACGTCGGCTCGATGGCGTGGAGGCTCACGAAGGTCCACGCAATATTTCTCGGGATAACCTAACTCACTGGTTGATTTCCACACAGCTTCTTACTGATTCGCATCGGCTGACAGTTGAGCAGCGTGGCGAGGAGGCTCCTTAATGTTGTCCCATCCGGGCAGTTCGGGAGCTTGCCCTGCCGATACAAGTCCGACACGCGCTCGGCGTAGGCGACCTCCTCGTCCGACCACGCGCCGACGCGCAGGCCGCGCTGCTTCGGGCGCTTGCGCGCCGGCGGCGGCGGCGGAGAGGACTCGGGCGTCGCGGCGGCCGCCTCCTTGCGCGCCTTGGCCTCGGCGACCTCCTCCGCGCTGGGCGCGGGGAAGAGGGCCGGCCGCGGCGGCGTCGGCGCGGCGTCGTCGCCGAAGTAGTCCGCCGCGTCAGCGAATGGGTCTGCCATTTTTTGTGCGCACCGCGCCGCGTCGACGTATCCTCAACGTGTAGGACCTCTGGGCTATATCTCAATGATTTTGGCGGCGCGCGACTTTTGGCGCCTGAGTTTGCGGCTAATTCAGTTAGCGCAATATCGGGCTTGGTCCCAACGGTCCGAGCTAGGTGAAACGACGCGTTGGTAGCGCAAACCTGTGAAGGTTTGGCAGGTGATCGTGCTTGCTAGTGTCTTACAGGCCGCTAGCCCACGCGGGATTTCCCAAGCGCGGGAGCCCTGGGACTCGCTCTAGGATGGGTACGGTGCGACGCTTTGCCTTTGGGTATCTATCGAGACCTATGCTCAAAGGCGCGCGCGAAAACAAGGCCGCGGTGTCCTCCCCAGGGGCGTCGCCACTAGTCCTAGCACCGCAACAGGAAGGGAATAGTAGAGAAGAAGCCAAGAAACACCAGTTACTCCGCCCCGGCCATGAGCTTCGCCTCTTCGATAATCCGTCTCCTATTCACTTGGAACCGCAGTTGGGCCCTCAATCGTTGTTTGAGGGGCGGCCCCGGTACGTGGTCGGCGTTCGGCGGCGGCTGGCGCAGGGGCGCGCCGACGTGGCCGACGCGGCCCGTCACGGGCTCCAACAAAGGCGTCGTCCGCTTCGTCGGGCCCGTCTGGTAGCGCGAAATGTCGTCGCCGATGGACGTCACATGTAATTTTTGTTGTTTTTCCGCGGCCTCGGCCCGTGCGCGTTGTTCTCGAGCTAATCTAGTGAGCTCACCTACTAAAGCCGTCTTCTCGCTGACGACGAGTTCCAACCTCGCTATCCTCTCCAAGCTACGGGAGACGTCCCTTTCTAAACCCTGACACTTCTCGTGAGCGACCTTGGCCCTCCGCGTCTCGCCGTCGGCCCTCGCAGTGATGATCGCGACGGCCTCGTCGCGCTCCCGTCGACACTTGGCCTTGTACTCCTTGGCCTGCTTCTTCAACGCTTCCTCCACCCGGACGTCTCTCTGAATAATCACACGCGGCTCCTCATCTACATAGTCGTCGTAGGACGGCGGCCGCGACACTCTTAGTAAAGGATCATGGTCGGCGTCGGGGAAGTAGGGACTCCCCTCGGACTCCGCGGCGGGCGTCCGCGCCCGCGACGCGGGCCGGTCGCGCGACGCCGGGCGTCGCTGTGGTGAAGGAGGCTCGGACATGCGCGCGGCCGACTCGGCCCGCCGCAGCGGCTCGCGCGACGGCGGCGGCGACGCGGGCAGGGACAGCTCGGCGGTCGACTCGCGCGAGGACCTTCTCCTTTGAATTTGCGACGGTCGGGAGCTCCGCGAGCTTCGCTCCGGTTCCGGAGACGGCCGCTTCTCGAGCTCGGTCTGGAGCTTCTTCCTTACCGATTTCTCCTTCTCCAGCGCCTTGTTCGTCGCATCGATGCGTTTCAGGAGGTTCCGGATCTCGCGCTCGTGTTTTTGCTTTTTGTCGAGCAACTTGTCGCAGCGCTGTTTTTCTTTGACGAGCGAATTCTTCTGGTCCGTGATCATCCAGTCTCTTTTTTGTAGAGTCTGTTGCGTGTCTTTCAGTGATATCTCGAGCATCTTTATGGTACCTTTTAACCTTCTTAACTCAGCCTTGATTTTCCGGAAGTTTTCCGGCGACAGGCCTACTCCCGTACTCTCGCCTTGCGTGCAGAGATCACCTTTCTCGAGGGCTTGCAAGCGCTCGACTCCCGTGGACCTCAGGTTCATCTCACCGTTGATAAATATCCGGTCGATCGGATCGATATCGCTCTCGTCGTCCTCGATCTTGTATAACGAGAGTTCACTCTTCAGATTCTCGCATTCTATGCCAGATCGTTCTAGCCTACCTTCGGCCAAGGCGCACCTTCTCTCGAGAGCATCGTATCTAGCTTTGGACTCTTGCTCTTGCTTCTTGATGCGATCTAGAACTTCGGCGATGGCCGCCCGATGTAATTCCCTTTGTTTTGTTAATGCTTGTTTCTGTTCACCAGCATACTGGGTCCTCAGGTTCCTCTCATTAGCCTTGGAGGCGCCCCTCTGGGTCGTGAGACTCTCGAGGAACCGGCCCTTGAGCCATCTTAATCTACGATGGGTCTTCGTCGCGTGCGCTTCCAAGGCGTTATCGACCAACTCTCTTGTAGAATCGCAGGAGTCATTAACAGCTTTGCGCCAGGCCTTCTCTAGGTCATATCCCAATTGTAATCGTACTTTTCTACACTTCGACGCCACGGCCTCGGGGTCTACAACACCATCCTCATCTTGTAGTGCGGTGACGTCGTCGTCGGCTTTGTCCGCACAAGCACCAGCCACGTCCAAGATGTTTTTGCCGTGGTCCTCGAGCGCGTCGCGCACGACATCCACAACACCGGACACGTCTCTATCGACGCGCGCCTCGTACTCGATGTCCTCGACAAGCTCCTCCATGTCCGGCGGCGGCGGCGGGCCGCTCTCCTGCGGCTTGGCGTCTCCAGGCTGCTCGGGGGGTGCGGCGGCCATCCTGGCTGCCCGACGGCGCGAGCGGGCTAGCCCGGCTCAGGGGCTGCCCAGACAGGCGTGCTGTGCTGCCCGACGAGCGACGGCCGTGCGGCTGCCTCGGCTCTCGGCTCTCGGCCCAGGCCTGGGGCGCTGCGAGGTACCATACCGAGGTATAAGGTACTATACCGATACCTTATTAGGCGCCGGCTCCAGCCGCGCCCCGCCATATTGCTCAGATAGCTGCAAAAAAACAGTGCCGCAAGCAGCCGAGTGCAGCACGAGTGCTGGACAGCAGCGCTGCCGAGCGCTGAGGCTGAGATGAGCGCCGCCGTCGACGCGGCCGCACAGTGGACGCCGCGCACGCCGCTCGAAGCCATCGCCAGCGTCTGCATCTGCGACGAAGAAGATGACGACTACGCGTCCGACAATTGGACGGCCGCGCGGTCGACGCTCGTCGCAAAGACGGCAAAGGTCCAGGGCGCCGAGCGCGTGCGCGTCGCCGGCGATGCTGTGGTAAGAGGCGCGGCGGAGATTAGGGGCGACGCGGGGCCCGTGGGTATTGGGAGGTACGTGGACGTCGGTCCGCGAGTCTTGGTACACGGCGGCGCGAGCGTCGGCTCGCACGCGTTGCTCCAGGCGGACGCGGTCATACATGACGCTACAATAGGCGTCGGGTGCGTTGTTGGGAAGGGCGCGGTCATTGGGTCCCAAGCGGTGCTCAAGGATTATTGTGTGGTCGCGGCGGGCGCGGTCGTGCCGGATCATAGTGTCCTGGCGCCCTTCTCCATCGTGGCGGGCGCGCCGTGCCGGCTGCTGGGCGCGGTGTCTCCCGCTCAGGCGGACGAGCGGCGGCGCGTCGCGGAGCTGGGCGCGGCGCGGCGGCGCGCGGCGGGCTAGCGATCATCGTGTGGTGTGTAATGGTGTAGCAGTGTGATTAAGCAGGGTGGGAACGGAGCACTGAAATTCGCAATGTCATTGCTCCGGGGCGACCTTGTTGCCCGGGACGGGCGTCGCGACCGCGACCGGCCCGACGATGTCCGCGATCGCGGCCTTGGGCGCCTCGTCGTCCACGACGGCGACGGGCGTTCGGCCCTTGGTGTCGGTCGACTTCGCGGCAACCGGAAACTTCTCGTGCTCGGCGAGGACTTTCACAAGTGCGACGTCTCCGCGCGCCGCCGCAATGTGCGTCGGTGTCTGCTTCCAGCGCTGGGGAAGCGCCGTCAGCATTCGGTTGAAGGCAGCCATCTCGAGGACGCCTAGGAAGCCGAAGACGCCCGAGAGGCGTCGGAGAAACTTGGCTTGCGAGTGCAGCACCTCCGGCTTTGCGGGGTCCGCGCCAGCCTTCATGAGCAGACGGACCGCGTCATGGTCCTGATCGTAGGTATTACACGACGTGGCGAGCACCGAGCCGTACCAGATGCCATTACGACTGACAAGCGACTCCGCGGCGCCGTGTTTGAGCAGAGCCTCTACTACCTTCTTCTGCCCGCGGCACTGCGACGACAACGCCGCAAAATGAAGCGGGCACGCTTCTGAGTCCGGATGCTTGGCGTTCGCGTATTGCGGATAGCGTTCGAGGAATAGGTCGACGTTCTCGTGTTTGCCCGCGGTCACGGCGCCCTTGAACGTACAAGGCCGATCGCCGAGGAGCGCTAGCCCGTCGCGCTCGACCGGCGCCCCCGCGTCCAGCAGCTTCTCGCACACCGCCCGCGACGCAAACGTCATGGCGGCGACAAGGGGCGTCATGTTGACCGCGTACTGCAGCAGCTTCTGGCCCAGCGGCTCGCGCCGGAGCCGCGTTCCCTTCTTGCTATTCCCCTTGACCACCATGTCCGTGCCCTTGGCCTCGACCAGGCGTTTGACCGTCGCGGCGTCCTGGGCGAGCAGCGCATCAACAGCGTCTCCGTCGTCCATCGCGCAGGCGAGCGTCAGGAGGTTCCAGCCCGTCTCGGCCTCCCACGCGGCCTCCTCGTCGTCGCTCCGCCACTTGAGAAACGATTTGAGGTGATCCAACCCACTGGAGCTGCCGTAGTAGGCCTCGCGCGGCACGAAGAGCGGCGAGAAGACCTGCAGCAGCCGCGCCACCGTGATGTCCTCCTTGCCGTACGCTTCGACCTTGGCCTTCAGCATTTTTGTGAGTGTCTCGTTGACCGCGTCCCGATCGCTGTCTACCGTAAAATCGCCTCGCGCGGCGCAGAGCTTGAAAATGTCGCACGGGTTGAAATACTCCGGCGGCGCCGTCGGCGAGTTCACGATCATCAATGGCATATCATCTCCAGCGCACAGCTTCGACGCGGCGAACTCCATACGGCACCAACCGCGCCGTCTCCAGGACGTAAAGTCGCAGATAGCGCCATCGAGCGACGCGTGGTTGACTGGAGGCACGACAATCCACATCATGCTCGACCGCGCGATGTAGGACGGGATGCTATTGACCGCCGCCGTGAGCTGCGCGACGAGGTCCCCCTGGCCTTGGCGGTGGTCCGAGCTCTCCGTGCCGGCGCCGGCGCCCGGCTGGGGTATGGACAAGTAGTCGAGCCAGATGTACATGTTCGGCAGGCGCTCCTTCCACTCCTTGCCGGTGGTGAGCATCGGGTACGAGTACACGGCGTCGAGCATGAAGTTTGACTTGGTCTTCGTCTTGCCCCTCATCAGGTTCCGGATCTGCGTCTGGAGCGCGCGGAGCTGGTCGCCGTTCGGGTCCTGTGTGGCAAGCGACTGGTGACGCGAGGCGTATGAGTTTCGGGCGCCGCGCGCGACGGGGTGCGTGAAGCTGCACCATTGATGGGAGCAGAACAGGACCTCCGCCTTGTCGCCCATCTCTTTTACCTTCCCGCTCGCCTTGAGGTCCTGGTGCGGCTGCCACTCCGTCATTTCCAGGAAATCCGGGACCGATATCGCGCAGAAGGGGTACTCCTCCGCGAGGCCGCCGCTGTCGAGGAGGACCGACCGGCCGAGGGACGAGCGCACCATTGTCAGCGTCGCCTGCAGCGCGTTGAGCGTTCACAGCTGTGCACGGCGATGTCTAACGAGCACCGCGGGCAGCCGTAGGCAGCCCGTGTCAGGCAGAAAAAAGGGAGAAGCGCTGGGATTCAGAAGAAGCTCGTGCGGGGTTAGATGCGAGTTCTTGCGTTTGCCACGCCTGCGGCCCACTGTGGAAGAGGTGTCTGAGGGCGCAGGCACACCTCAAAGGACGGTTGTGTGCTTGCTAGTGTCTTACAGCTCGCTAGCTCTTGCTCTCTGCTTTTGCGATTGCTTTTGCTCCACCATACATCGGTTTTAGCAAGGAAAATTCATCTCCGAGCACGACCGACCGATGTGCCCCCCACCACAAACACGCAACGCCACCGCCGAGATCAAGAAGGCACCGCTGCCCTCGCGGCGCCGCAAGGACGGCCTCATCCGCTTCGCGAAAGATAACACGTCGCAGGGCGGCGAGGACGGCATTTTGCAGGCCATCTATGATTGCCTCGGCGACGGCCCGCGCACGGTGGTCGACGTCGGCGCCTGGGACGGCGTGCACCTCTCGAACACCCATTCATTATTAGTGCCGGACGCCTCGACCTGGCGCGGCTTTCTGATCGAGGCCGATGCGTCGAAGTGCGAAAAGCTACGCGCGCTCCACGAGCCGCTCGGCAATGTTTGTGTGGAGGCCTTTGTCTCGTGCGAGGACGACGCGAGGAAGCTCCCTGCCATATTGGGCAAGCACAGCTGCCCGTGGAGTGTGGACCTGCTGTCGATCGACGTGGACGGCGTCGACTACTGGCTCTGGCGCGACTTCCTTGAGTCCGGCCGCGCGGCGAAGGTGGTAGTAATAGAGTTCAACCCGTCGATGCCCGACGACCTGCACTATGTGCCACCGCGGGCCGACGCGCAGCGCCACGGCGCGTCGTTAGCTGCTTTATGTGCGCTGGGCGAAGCTTATGATTATTTTTTAGTGGAGACGACGCTGTTCAACGCGGTCTTCGCCGACGCTGCGACGCGCGCTTTACTAGTCGAGCGGGGCCTCGTGCCGGCGGACGCGTCGCGTTACGACCTGCACGAGACGACCATGGGCACGCAGCTCTACCAGCTCTACGACGGGACGCTCAAGGTTCACGGAACGAAGAAGCTGCTCTGGCACCGCAAGCCCATCGACGAGCGGAAGCTCCAGGTGCTCGGCGAGGCCGAGCGGCTCTTCCCCTTCGCGCCCGGCGGGACTAGTACCGAGAAGAAGCCGCGGCGGCCGAAGCGCCGCAAGCGCCGCCGGAGCCCCGAGACGAAGCCGCGCGCGGCGCCCTACGCGGCCTACGCGCTCGCCGCGTTGTTCGTGGCGTCGCTCGTGGTGCATCGGCGCCGCTGAGGATTCTAGTATCGTTAATGTCTGGTTACCTGTCATCGCAGTTCGCTCGGGTCGCGATTTCGCTCAGAGCTCGCGGGACCAGACTCAGGCTGACGAAGTCTTGCAAAAACTGCAACACAAGGTAAGAAAGATGCGGATTGCCAGCCATTTTGCAGCATGGTGCGACGCGCGCTCCTGTTCTTATCTGCAGGGGCAGCGGCACGCGGCGCGAAGCTGCCCCCACTCACTGCTGACAGAGTCAGCCTGGCTTTCGTGGGCGCTCGCGACGTCACATCGAACGGATCGCCGTTGCGCAGGTTAACAAGATGAAGCTCATCCTCGCTCTCGCCGTCGGCGCGACCGCCTTCGGGGGCTTCGGCAAGTCCGCCGCGCCGGCGCCGGCGCGCGGCGGCGGGAACCAGGTGGCACAGGGCGGTCAGACCGTCACAAACATCCAGGTGCCCAAGATCTTCACGACGGCGTTCGGCGACCCCGGACGCCTCCAAGAACGAGCCGCTCGCGCTGAGGCCAAAAAGGCGGAGGCCGAGGCCCAATTGATCCCCACGCCGGCGCGCTTCGCTTTCGCGTTCGGCCGCCCGGACATCCTCGCCGAGCGCCGCGCCGAGCGCCTCGAAAAGTGGCAGTGGAGCGACGAGTTCCTCGCCAAGGCGCGCCCGGACAAGGGCAACTACGGCCAGGGCGACGTCTACGACGACGGTCTCACGAAGTTGGAGCGCACCCAGATCGAGCAGGGCCGCGAGGCCTACTTGACCGGCGGCGCCAAGCTCCGGTACAAGCGCCTCACGGGCCAGATCTAGATTTCGCGCGGCGACAACGTTTTGTACCGGGTAACAGACATTTGAATCAGAAGACTAGAGACGACGGAACACTTATCCGGGACACTACAGGGGCCGCGGCGGCGGGGGGAGGCGAAGCTACTACGCGGGCGCGATCGCGCCGGTGCGGCTCGGCGCCCGCAGGCACCACAGCGCGCACGGGGCGCAGAGGCACCACGTGATGGAGAGCAAGGAACCCACCACGATTATGCCCAACGGCGCGTAGTAGAACCTGTGTGGAAATCAAATTTACGGCGCGTGCGTCGCCATCGAGTCATCGACGCGACGCCTGCTCGATGGCGTGGCAATGCCGGTTCCTCGCCGCTCGACCGAGCCAGGATGGCCGCGTCGTCGCCGAGAACCCGACGCACCGGTTGATTTCCACACAGAGTAGAACATCGTGCCGGCCTTGATCCAGAACTCCCGCCTGGCGCATCTCTTCAAGGACCCCTTCGAACGGTTGTGACTCCAGAGGCACCATTCGAAGCGATCCTGGGCATAGGCGCCCATCCACCAGAAGAAAGAAAGGATCCCATGCCAAAATAAGGCGTAGAGGCCCAGGTGCAGCCACGCGAACCGCGTGCAGCCGCAGCACGTCGCCTCGGAGAAGACCACCTTATCGAGTTCCCTCTGCGCGTCGTCGTCGGCCTCGGCCTGGAGCATCTCGGCGATCTCCCGGCCGAGCCGCGACTGCGCCAGACCCTCCTCGCCGCCGGCGATGCGCAGAAACACCTTCTCCATCGTCGCGCGCGAGAGCGAAAAGTCCGTCACGCCGAGCCGCGCGCACGCGTCGTCGTCGAAGGCGCGGAACGCGAGCGCCGGCGTCCGCCGCGGGTCGACGCCCGCGAGCTCGAGCGTCGCAATGTCCGCGTCCGCGGCGGCGACGTCGACGTCCGGCGACGAAAAGGCCTCGCGCGCGAACGCCACGAGGTCCGCGACGTGCGCGTCGTCCCGCGTTTCCAGGCGGCACGAGATCTCGTAGCCCGCCGCGTAGCGCTCCTTGAGCTCCTGCGGCGTCCCGATGCAGCGCATGGTGCCCTTGACCATGATGCCGACGCGGTCGCAGAGGAGATCGGCCTCGCCCATCGAGTGCGTCGTCAGGACGACGGCGCGGCCCTTCATCGTGACCTTGATGAGGTCCCAGAGATTCCTTTGCGCTCCTGGATCCAGGCCCGACGACGGCTCGTCCAGCAACACCACCGAGGGGCCGCCGACCAGCGCCACCGCGACGGCCAGCTTGCGCTTCATGCCCCCCGACAGGCGGCCCGCCGCTTTGTCGGCGTGGTCGGACAGACCGACGACGGCGAGCGCTTGCTCCGCGGCGTGGCGCGCGTCTCCTTCGATGTCGACGCCCCGGAGCCGCGCGAAGAGACAGAGATGGTCTCGACCTGTGTGAAAATCAAAATTTTACGGCGCGTTCTAATGAATCGCCGCGTCGACCTCCACGCCATCGACGCGGCGCCTGCTCGATGGCGTGGCGATGCCGGTTCCTCACCGCTCGACCGAGCCAGGACGGCCGCGTCATTGCCGAGAAATGACTTAGTGAATAATTGTTGGGTGCACCCGGCGCACTGGTTGATTTCCACACAGGTCTCGACAGCTCAGGTGGTCCCAGAGGACGTTCTTCTGGTTGACGACGCCGAGCGCCTTCGCCGCGTCCTCGAAGTCGGCCTGTGTGGTAATCAAATTTCACGGCGCCCCGCCATCGACGCGCCGTTGTCCCTGTGATTGCGTCTGCTCGATGGCGTGGAAGAACCTCACTCACGTGCTGATTTTTCACGCAGGCGGTCGGCCAGCACGCTCTTCCCCGCGACCTTGGCGTCCCCGGACGTCGGCTCGACGGCGCGGCAGACCATCGACACGGTCGTTGTCTTGCCGGCGCCGTTCGCGCCTAGTAAACCAAAGACCTGGCCCGTCGGGACGCCGAAGGCCGCGCACTGGACGGACTCGACGGCCGCACCGCCGAAGAACCGCGGCGGGTAGATCTTCCGCAGGTCCGAGACGACGAGGCCGTCGCGGTCGGCCGGTGCGGCGTTTAGAGATAGTGACGGCGGGTACGGGTCGTCGCCCGGCGGCACGTTCCGCAGCATGGCGACGGTGTCGCGCACGGCGGTGGAAAGGCTCGTCGGCGGCGGCCGCGACGGCGGCGCTTCCTCCTCCGGCTCGTCTACCACAATCTGGAAGTCGTCTTCGTTCGTCGACAGGGCGTCGCCCGCGCTCGCGGCGTCGCCCGCGCCGGTGAGTGCCGCGACGCGCGCGCGCTCCGCGGCGACGTCGTCGGGCATCGCGTTCGCGCGCACCTTGGAGACCCGCGTCTTCACCCAGGCGAGCGGGCGCAGGGCCCGTCGATCTTTAAAGACGACTATTCCTTCATAAAGTATGATGTGGAAAAGGGCGAAGAAAACTGCCGCCCCGCCGCTTGGTAAAGGCGGGTCCGCGGGCTGCCTCGATAAAGGTCCGGGTCCCGACGCCTCGAGAAATCCCCCGCGCTTCAGCTGCGGGTGGAAGGCCACCTTGCAGACCTGGATCGCCAGGTTGCCGAACGGCGTTGCGATTGACGCGAGCCACCCTATCTTACAGAAGAATTCCTGGTATAGGAGCTGGTCGGGTTTGGTGGTGGCGACCCACCAAAGTCCTGCGAGCCCGGCCGGTGCCGCCCCGCCCAGGAGACCGATGAAAATGGGCGTCGACGCGACCGCGATGAGCGGCGAGTCGAACGTCGTCGTCGCGAAGTGCGAGAAGCTCACGATCCCCGCGCTACACAGCGGCAGTAAAATCCACAACCACGGCCAGCGTTCCATCCAGCGGCGTACGACGTACTTGGTAGCGTTCTGCCAGGCCCCGGCCCCGATGCTGCGGTCCCAGACGCTGCCGCAGTACCACTGCTTGATGGTATCGTAGGACTCGGAGCTCCAAATACCGTTCTGGTCTTCTTCAAAGCCCCCCGGGTACCGGTCGTGGAAGGCGGTTGCTAGCGACGTGGTGGTCGCGTTGTAGGGCCCGAGGTCGAGATCCCCCTTCCGAGCGGCAGCGTGGAGCTGCGCGTAAGTCGGCGCGCTGCTGCACAACCGTTTGCGGTAGGCCATGCGCGTCGCCGCTAACATGAAAACAACGCAGACGGCACCGCCGACGAGTACCAGCGCGTCGCTGAGCCAGTTTCCCAGCCAGTACGTCAAAGTGTCGAGGCCCGAGACGGCCAACAGATTCCGCAGACCTCTGGCGCGCTCGCGGACGTATGGCTCCACCACGAAGCCCGCCACAAGAAAATAGGCGCCCACCAGGACCCCCGCGACGAGGGTGTTGTAGTACTCCGCGTATCTACTTTTGAAACCGAACGCCCGCTTTCCTTTGCCGGGCATTTGCGCGCGCACGACCAGCGGCATTGCCGCCGCCGCCACTTGGAGGAGCACCAGGATCGATCCATGTATCCCGGCGGAACAAAACGCCGAGGCGAAGACGGAGCCCAAAACTTCCACGACGAGGCCAACAAAGAATCCGGCGACGCCGCCTTCGGTCCGCGCCCGCGCGCGGCGGCCCGGCGGTTTCCATCTCCGCAACGCCGCCTTGCACACTTGCCAGCCCACACCCCACCCCGCACTCAGCCCCGCTACCATACCCACGATCGCACCAAAGACCGATGTTGGAGACCCAAAGTACGGCCGGAGCCCGGCCTCGAGGCCTACGGCGATCGCCGTGGCCACCATCGACGTCAGCGGCCCCGCCACGGCCTCCCACCCCACGAGGACACATATCATGCCCACGAAGGCGCCTACGACACCGCCGGCGACCGCGCATGGCGCCGACACCGAACTTTTGAAACAGTAGTATCGCACGCCGCATTCCAGTGCCGCCAACAAAAAAACGACAGCTGAAAAAGCGACGGAGGTCGCGAACCACAAACCCAGGCCGAGCCAGCCGCCTCCCTGCACGCCCACGGCCACGCCGAGGGTCGGCGCCCCGGCCAGCGCCGCGACCAGGACGGCGAATTTCGTGGGTACCGTGAAGGTCGTGTGGTCTTTGCTCGCGCGCGCCCGCGCCACCGCTTGCTTGAGCCCGCCCGGCAGCGCCGCGCCGCCGAGGACGAACTTTTTGATCCACACGAGGTCGTCTCTTATTTGTTGGAGCCTGTGTGGAAAGCAAGAGGTGAGTCGAGGTCACTTTGATCTATCTGCACTGCTGGGAGCCGAAACTGGACCACGGCCGCGACGAGCCTCCCCGCCGGCACCGGCTCGCCCGGCGCCGACGGCAGCAAGGCCCCGCCAACCAACGTCTCTGCCTCCACGGGCGCCGCAGCGCCCTCGACCTGCTCGCCGACGGCTATGAACACGTCCTCGAGCGACGTCGCCGTCACCGAAACGTCGACGAGGCCCAAGCCGTCGGCCTCGGCCTCCAGCCCCTCGAAGAGAGCTGCGACGCGTGCCCTGGATGCGTGAATGGTGTACGTCGTCGTGACGTCGCGCGCGGAGTCCTCGAGGAGGGGGGCCTCGGCGTCCGCCCAGTTCCGCGACGCGGAGAAGCTCGCGCCCCGGGTCGCGTTCAGGAGAGGACTCTTAAATGATGACGAAAAGCTCTTCGGCGTCGACCCGAGGAGCGGGTTCGCGGCGTCCTTTTCGGTCGCCCGGCGGAGGTCCTCCTCGAGCTTCGAGGCCGCCGCCAGCTTGGCTCCGGGCACGTGCTGCGCAAAAATCGCTTTGAGTCGATCGCGCGCCGCGACAGCCGTCGTCACCGCCACATGAAGGCCGCCGGTCGACGTGTCCGCGCCGCCCTCGGCCTTGGCTCGAGCCTCGGCCGCCTCCCGCTCCAGACGAGCCTTCTCCGCGGCTAATCGTTCCCGCTCCTCGGCCCCGGCCGCGGCCATGCGTTCCGCTAACGCTTTGGCCTCCGCCTCCTTCCGCCTCGCCTCCTCCTCCGCCGCCTTGCGGCGAGCGGCGACCTCTGCGTCGTCACCCCCGCCGAAGTGCCGCTTCAGGAAAGATATAGTGCCGCAGCACGTCACGCTCCCGGCCGCCATGATCGCCACCCGGTCCGCCAATGCTTCGGCCTCCTCCATGTGGTGCGTCGTGAGGAGTACCGACCGGTCGACGCGGACGTCCCGCAGCAGGGTCCAGACCTCGCGCCGCGCCACGGGGTCCATCCCCGCCGTCGGCTCGTCGAGGACCACGAGCCTGGACCCGCCGGTCAGCGCCGCGGCCATCATCACCTTGCGCTTCTGGCCGCCCGAGAGCTTGAGCGGAAACCCCTCGGCCATTTCCGTGAGGCGGAAGAGCTGCAGCAGGCCAGACGCCTCGTTCTCCGCTCTAGCTTCCTCGACGCCCTTGAGCCGTGAGTAGAAAATGAGGTGCTCCCGGAGCGTGAGCTGAGGGAACATCGCGTCGTGCTGCGGGCAGAAGCCGAGGAGCTGGCGGAGCCGGTCGAGGCCGTCCGCTTCAGCTAAGGGGCCAAGCGTTCGTATCCCGAAGAAATTTGCGCTGCCGCCGTCGGGAGCCATCGCTCCAGTCATCATCGACATGGTGGTCGTCTTGCCCGCGCCGTTGTGACCCAGCAGGCAGAAGATCTCCGAGTCGCGAATCGCGAACGTCGCGTCGGATACGGCGACCTTCTTCCCGAAGACCTTCCGGAGGCCTCTTACCTGGACCGGCGCGTCGGCGCTTTCATCGTTCTCGAACCACTCGTCGTGGTCCACGAGCGGCGCCTTCTCTACGACCTCGTCCGGCGGTGGCGGTCGCCAGTACGCCTTCCGGATGCAAAAGAGCAGGTCCTTGCCCTTGCCTCGCGCCGCCGACGTGGAGACCTGGATCACGTACCACAGGACCGCCGCCCAAAACACCACGGACACCATCAACATGCAGTAGACCCCGGCCGTCCACGAGGACTCGGGCCGCCAGCCCCGATCCTCAGTCTTCTCGTACCAGAAGGGCCAGACGTCCTCGCACATGAGGTGCTCGTCGGCGCAGGGCGCCGCCGTCAGCGACCGGCTCTGCAGATACTGCTCGAAATCCCCGAGCCGCGGCCCTGGGGCCTTTTCCCAGCACTCTTTTCTACACTTCCCGCACGGGTAGCGCTCCCCCACAAAACCGTCGGCGACGAGCCGGCACCGCCAGCCCGCTCGCTTTCCCGTCGGGCTGAACGAGTCCACCAACAAATCGTACGCGAACTGCGGCAGGAAAGCCGCGCCGACGAAGTGCGCGCGCGGCCGATTCGTCAGGGTCCAGTGCGTTCGGAGCCGGCCGCCACGGTGACGGTTCCAGGCCCGGAGCGGGTTCCAGAGCAAGTAGAACCCGTGCAGGGCCGCGTGCAACAGGGGCGGGAGCCCCGCCGCGGCGATCTGCGATCGAAGGAGGCACGTGACCACCACAAAGGTCTGGAGGACGAGCGCTAGCAGAAAGAGCCAGTGGAGGGCGAAGAGCTCGAAGAACGCGGCGACCTCGAAACTCTTGCCGGCGCGCCGGAAGAGGCCCGGCGCGGCGCCCGCGGCGATCGCGACGGCGACGCCGCCGCCGACGGCGACGCCCTCGACCAAAAAGGATGCGAGCCAGTAGGCCGCGTCGGCGCCGCCCGCCGCGCGCGTCGCCTCGCGCGTGCCTTGCGCAACGTCCCCCACCAGCGCCGAGGCGACGACCTGGACCCACGGGAAGAAGAAGAACTGGAACACGACGAGCTCGAGGTCGCCGTGGATCGTGTCGAAGCCTGCGCTCGCTTTGGTGCTCCGCTCTTTTCGATTTCGTTCCCTGGTGTCGTACAGTAACCACAGGACGCCGACGCCGAGGAGCGGGACGAATACTTGCTTGGCCAGGGCGCCCGTCGTGCGCTTTTTTATAATCCACGCCTTGCGCACGAGGAGCGCGGTGCGTTCCGTGAGCGACGGCGGCTCGGCGGCGTGTTTCGGCGCGGCGCCGTCGTCGCCCGCGGGCGCCGCCTCCGCGAGCGAGAAGAGCTGGCCCCTTTGGACGCCCTCCGGCACCTTGACCTTGATGCCGTCGGGGCGGGTCACGATCGTGCCCGGCGGGCCCGGCGCCACGACCCAGGGGACCGTCTGCTCCGTCCCGTCCTCCGCGGTGTAGACGGCCGCGGGTGGCCGCTTGACCAGGAGTCGACGCCAAAAGTCGCCGCAGCAGCAACAGTAGAGGCAGCGGCCGAGGCGGGCCGTCCCCTTCTTCAGGCCCTTCCACGCCTTCTTCAGGCCCTTCCACGCGAGCGGCGCGGCGACGGACAGCTTTGCCAGAAGCGCGGCGACGGCCCGCTTCTTCCTAAATGACGCGACGCCGGCCGAGAGCTTATCCAGGCACGGCGCGACGTAGCGCCTGAACCAGGGGCGCCGCTCGCGGAACTTCTCGTAGCGCGCGCGCGCCTCGCCCGGTCGAAGGAGCAGCCGACAGAACTCCAGGCCCGCGAAGAGCAGCGCCACCAGGCGCGCGACCAGCTCGAGGAGCCAGCCGCCGCAGCAGATGAAGTAGCAGTAGCGGGCCGCGCCCCCGTCCTCTATCCGCCGATTGACCCAGTTCCGTAGGCGTTGGAGGTGCGCGTATCCAAGGCACGCCGGCTGCGAGGCGCAGCACGCCGCCGCGACGCCGACGACGTAGATGAGGCCGAGGCCCAGCCACGCGACGATCTGTCTGGCCGTGATCCAAGTTACGATGTGGGGGTTGTAGAGTATACGGTGCCAACTCCACCAATACCAAATCTCCGCCACGCCCGGCTGCGACGCGAAGCCGCAGGCGTCCGGAATCGCGTCGCCGCCGCCCTTGTCGGGCCACTTCTTCACGGCGGCCCTGAGCTTCTCGAAGAGGACGGGGTCGTGGCCGAGCTCGGCGCACGTCTTCCCGCAGGTCCCGAGGCAGCCGCCGTGGAACTCGCGCGCCGCGGCCCGCGCGCACGCGTCGGCCGGCGCGGTCGCCGGCGCCGCGTCCAGGCCCCGCCAGCGGCGGGGCGCGCGCGTCGAGGCCCAGAAGTTGTCCCACGGGTGGCCCCGGTGCGGCTCGTGGTTGGCGTAGCCGGTCCTGTACAGCCACGCCTCGTCCCAGCCCCTCCCCCCCGCGAGCTGCGCGTGGAAGAAGTCGCCGTCTTCGGTGACCACGCCGCAGGCCTGGATGCGCTGGCGCTCGCCCATGCGCCGGTTCTTCCGCGAGGCCGGCCAGGGGTCGTTCCTCCGCAGGTCGGCCCGCCACCAGTTACGCATGCAGGCGTGGTCGCCGAGGATTCTCTTAATGTTCCAGCTCCAGAGGCGGCCCCACCAGCGCCACGAATCCTCGCGGACGTAGTAGAGCGCGCCGGACGCCGGGTCGCACCGCAGGTCGTCGCAGGCGTAGGGCTCTCCCCTAAAGTCGCAGGGGGGGGTGCGGGCGTGCTCGCCGTCGTAGTCCATGCTGCCAAAATACTTCAGGAGGATATCGCAGCGCCGAGGACCGCTGCGGTGGAAGCATTCCGGCGCGGGCGCGACGCACTTCGCGTCGTCGGAACTCCTGTTCGTGCAGCAGGTGCCGACGCCGTCGACGTAATCCACGCCCGCCAGCGTGTGGTTGTCGGCGCAGTGCCGGGACTGCGGCCCAAAGCGGCGAATTAAGCCCCAGCGCCATTCTTGAAATTCGTAAGTGATGCCGTGGCAGTCCTCCGTGACCGCGAGCGCGCCGTAATCATCGACAAAACGATCCAGGGCGGCGCCCCCGGGCTTGAGCGCGCGGCACGCGCCGTCGACGCAGTCGGCGCGGCGCGTCGGCGGCGCGAAGCACGCCGCCGGCGCGTCCGCTTTCGGCCGGCAGGTCTCCTCGCGGAACCACTCCTCGCGCGCGCGTCGTCGCCACTCCTGCACTTCATCAATACCGTTATACTCCCAGTACTGCGGAGGGAACCCCGCAAACTCCCCGTGGGACCGCCCTTCCGGAAGGTAGACCGTCCGACACGCGGAGGTGCCGTCGCCGGTGCGGCAGAGGGGCCTCATGTGATGGTCGTCGGCCACGTCGTACCACATGCCATCATGAATAATTGCGTTCCTCTCGTCGTTTCCCTCGTAATTGTTCGGTTCCCAATCCTCCCAGTTCGTGTAACTATCCTCCCAGTTCGTGTAACTCGCCGTCGATCCATCCCTCCACCGCCACGTCTGGCTCGCCTTGGGCGTCGACGCGTCGCCGCCGACTTCTTCGAGGCCGATCCAGCACGAGCCGCCGCAGGCGTGGCGCGCCAGCTCGTTTTCGGTCGCGCTATAGATGGTCGCGATCTCGGCACCTATGCGTGAGCAGTAGGCGACCGCGTCGTCGTAGCCGCGGCCCCGGGGCCCAGCGACGAAGAGTCCGCACTCGGATTCGCAGCAGTCGCCCCACTCCACCGGGCGCCGCCCCTCGTTCGCATGGGCCTCCCAGCAGAAGCCTTCGGCGTCCACGTCCGCGGCCGTCGTCAGGTTGTCGACGGCGCCCTCGCAGCACGTGAACACGCAGGGCGCGTCGCCCGCCACGACCGTGTACCCGTCCGCGCACGCGGCGGTCTCGTTCGGCCCCGCGCAGCAGGCGCCGGCCTCGGTGGCCCCCAAACCTTTGAGGCCCGAGGCCGGCGGGTCGTCGAGGCCCTTGTGCACGCTGCACTCGAAGCCCCAGAGCGCGCCGTCGTGGCCCGTCGGCCCGACGTCGCAGTGCTCGTCGAGGTTGCCCGTCCGCCACGCGCCGTCGCACGCGCAGTCGCTGTTCCAGTCGCAGCAGTCGTGCTGGCCGCAGTCGTGGTAGCCGACGGGGCACCAACCGTGGGGCTTGGACGCGTTCTCGTGGTACGCGAGGCTGCAGTCCACGTTCGCAGGCAAATCTGAATTGCACGGTCGGTACTGTCGCTCGCCTTTCCAACGTTCCCGACGAAAGCACGACGGGGCTCGAAAGCGTTCGCACTGGTCGTCGCAGGCGCAGTCCGCGTCGCGGTCGCAGCAATCGCCGCACTCGTAGTAGCCTTCGGGGCACTTGGGCGTGCGCCAGGCGTGGTCGTAGGCGTCGCCGCCGTGGCCGTCGCAGTTGCAGTCCGCGTCCTCGTCGCAGCAGCTGGCGCACGTGTAGTAGCCCGCGGCGCAGATCGGCGCCGCACTCGCGTTTCGCGGTTTGACCCGGCACTGCGTGTTGTCGCAGACGAAGGGCGGCTCGGGCAGCGCCCCGGCGGCGGCCAGGCCTATTGCGAGCCGCCGGAGCATCGCGTGCCCCAAAGAGTTTTTCACAGTGTGCTGGAATCGATGGGGCAGCAGCGCTGGCTTTGATGCCTGCTCTGGCGCTGGCTTTTGCAAATGCAAATCGATCGGGCAGCAGCGCTGGATAGATAGCTGCCCCGGCGCCGGAGCTCTGGGCGCTGCTGGTTTGCAAATGCAAATCTAGTGGGCAGCCCTAGTGGTGGCTGGGACACAAAAAGCGCCTCTTCCTCTCCTAGAACTCTCAAGGTACGACCTCTCAGGAACTGCGACTTATTTAGGCGAGGCGGCCACGATCACCGCGCCGCGCCCGCCCGACGATGACCATCACACTATTACTATTAAAACGCCTGCTTTGCAAACACGGCTCAACAGATGCTGAGAAAGCAGGGCAGGGCGCGCGGCGCGGGAGCCTCGGGACCTTAATTAGCTAGCGGCCTGTAAGACACTAGCCAGAAATCGCATCGAGGCATCCAGCCGCGCGCGGGAGCAGCCCCACGACCCGGCCACGCGCCGCAGCGCAGGGACCCGCAGCGACGCCCCCGAGCCGGAGGCAGCCCCAAGGCTGAGACCACAGACGCCATGGCCCTACCACCGTGGCTCCCCGTCTTTTTACGAGTGTGGATCATCGGCGCCTGCGCCTACATGATGGCATGTGGGGTCTTGTCGATCATGGAGAACAAGGGCATCGCGACGATCGACGAGGTGTTTTTAGGATTGTATGTCTTACTTTTTGCGACCCTTATCGTAGCGTACGAAAGCACGAGGTTCTGCAGCGAATCCAGTCCCGCCGAGCTCATTGAGCGGGTCTACAAGCGCAACTTCGGGTTCATGCTCAAGGCCCAGACGAGAGGCATGTTTCTGATATTTGTGGGCTTTATGGTACTAGGATTAGCCGAAAAGCCGAATATGGTACTAGTGATGGGCTGCGGCGTCGTCACGATAACGACGGGCGTCGTCTTCATCTGCCTGACCTGCAAGGACCCGGACCTGTTCACGGACAAACCCGCACAAAAGCCCCAGGAGCCGTACGTGCCGCCGAACAGCGAAGCGCACCCGAGCGCGCCGGCGAAGTGGGAGCCCTAAGCATTACTATCGGCCCAGGGGTTCTCGGGAGGGGGTGCCGGTCGTTGCATGGCTTTCTCGAGCCGGTCGAGGCGCTCGTTGATGGCGGTGACGGGGCCGAGAGTCTTCATCATGTCCTCGAAGCCCGATGGTAATCGGCGCGGCGGCGGCGGGGGTGTCGGTGCACTATCGTGCGCGTCGCCCAACGTCGCCGCCAGAATTTGAGCGCCTTGCACAATGTCCCTTTTCTCGAGCGTCGAGGCCGTGTCCGCGGACATCGTTAAGACATTCAATCGCTTCGCTAAGGCGTCCCTCGCCCGGCGGAACAGGCCCTCGGGCAGGCCGCCGTTCCACCTTCTCCTCAGAGCAGGGGCGAATTTTGAGGATAATATACTTTCAATGGCCGTCGGCGACGCGTCCGGCGCGAGTTTAAAGTCGTTGCGCTCCACAATCTTCACGAAGATGGCCGCGAGCTCCGCCGCGTCGTAGTCCTTGAAGTCGAAGCGCACCTGGAACCTTCGGCCGAGCCCGGGGTTCACGCGCAGAAAGCCCTCCATCTCGCTCGGGTATCCAGCTAAAATGACGACCGGGTCGCCACTTGTTAAATCTCGCATGAGTTCTTGCACGGCCTCGCGTCCGAAATCACTTGACTTACCGCCGTCGCCCTCGACTAGACTATAAGCCTCGTCGACGAAGAGGACGCCGCCCTTGGCTCTATTTATCACTCGTCTCGTCTTGAGGGCCGTCTGGCCCACATAGCCTGCCACGAGGTCGGCCCGTTGCACTTCCACTAAACTCCCTTGGACATAACCCAACTCCCGCAACAAATTGGCGATCAATCGAGCCGCGTGGGTCTTGCCCGTGCCCGGGCTGCCCTTGAACACCAAGTGGGGCGCCTGCACTTTCGAATCCTTGTGGAGTTGGAGCACCGTCTGCCTCTGTTGCTCGACCACGAGAGATCGTCGGAGCGCCCGTATTTCATCTTTTAAAGGTTCTAACCCAACTAAGGTATCGAGCTGCGCCTCGAGCGGGTCGTCCTCCTCACTAATCAAAGGCGCTTCGTCCGCGAGGCGCTTGTCGTGTCGGATCACGGCTTCGCGATGTCTCGCCCAGAGCTGCCGTCTGCCTTTCTCGCAGCACAGCTTTTGTAAGGGGTAGATGCAGACCCGCCGGAGGTGCATGCGGCACCACGATCCATAATATACAAATGTGCCCAACAGTATGCAAGCAAAAAGGAAAGAAAAAAAGGCTACGAGAGCGGCCGTGTCCTCCTGCTTGAGCTCGTTGTCGATCTTGATTATTGTTGTTGTGCTGTTGTAGGGGCCGTGGGTCTTCATGCTGCTTTGGTGCTGTTTGGGGCTGCCCCAACTCGAATTTGCGTCTCCGGCGCGGGTTTTGAAATCACAATGAGGTATCCGATGCGGCGCTTTTAGGAGCCGGTACTTGCGTTTGCGAGCGTTCCGCGCATTGATGGTGCGGGTCTCAGCTCTCATCTGCTCAAGCAAGCCTCAGCTCAGGCCTGCCATTGGCATGCCAATCGGCTGCCCCAGCTGCCCGTAAATATGATTCTCACGCACTGCGCCGTCTGTGCTGTCGAACTTGGCTTATCCTTGGGCAAGAAATGCGGCCGCTGCAGCACGCGCTACTGCGGCGCCGAGTGCCAGAAACAACACTGGGAGCAAGGCGGCCACGACAAGCTATGCAAATTGATAAAAAAATCGGGTGGAGCCGAGCAGTATCATGCAAACACGAAATACTCAGAGGCCGTAACGGTCGCGGCGGAGGCGTGCGCGGAGGACACGAAGGGGCAGACGTGCTACATCTGCACGCAGGCCCTCCACTGGAAAACGAAGGAGGGCCTCGTGCGCGGGTGTGCGTGCCGCGGGACGGCGGGCGTCGCGCACGTGTCGTGCCTGGTGGAGCAGGCCAAGATTTTGATGGACGAGGCCGAGGAGAACAATTTGGGCCTCAAGGCGTTGAATGAGCGGTGGCCGCGGTGGCACAAGTGTAGCCTGTGCGAGCAAACGTATCACGGCGTCGTGATGTGCGCGCTCGGGTGGGCGTGCTGGAAGACGTACCTCGGACGGCCGGAGACGGACTGGCCTCGGTGCTTGGCGATGCAACAGCTTGGACACGGCCTAGGCGCCGCAGACCACCACGAGGACGCGTTGTCCGTAAAAGAGGCCGAGATGGCTATGTTGCGGCGCCTTAGCGTACCAGAAGGCGAGATGCTCAACGTGCAGTGCAATCTTGCGATCACGTATGCAAGTCTTGGAAGGCATGAACAGGCCCTGTCGTTGCGGCGAGATATATACTCCGGACGATTGAAGCTCAATGGCGAAGAACATCCGGAAACGCTCAGAGAAGCCAACAATTACGCAACGACCCTTTCAGAGCTACAACGCTACCAAGAAGCCAAGTCGCTGCTGCGCAAAACCATGCCCGTGGCGCGACGGGTTCTCGGTGAGGATAATGAAACTAGGATACTGACGAGGTGGATTTACGCAGATGCGCTCTACACGGACCCCGGCGCCACGCTCGACGATCTCCGCGAGGCCGTGACGACGTTAGAAGACATCGAGCCGATTGCGCGTCGCGTGCTCGGTGGCGCGCACCCGAGAACAATGGCGATTGAGCGGACCCTGCAAAAGGCGCGAGCCGCCAGCGAAGCCAAGGCGACGGAAGCGATCACGCCGGGGGAACGCGTGGCGGATAAATAATTATTAGTCCTACTAGAGCGTCACGCGCCGCGCGACCGGAGACCGCGCGAGCAGCGCGCTCACGGGCATGTCGTCTTCGCTGTCGCTGGCGCTGCCGTCGTCGTCGTCGTCGTCGAAGCGTGCCGCCGCGGCCCGCTCGGGCGAAGCGCGCCGCGCCGGCGCGACCGGCGGCGCCGCCCGCGTCGCGAAGACCAGGACCCCGTTCGGGAAGCCCACGAAGTCGCCCGTTTTTTTTAGTTTGGCGTGCTGCACGGACGGGAAATGCTTCCTCAAACCATCAACGAAGGCGTGGAAGGCCCGCAGCGACGGCCGGTACTCGAAGTCGTACTCCAGGACTAGTTTTTGGACGTTGCGCCAGTCGCGCACGGCTTCGACAATTTCAACCTCGGCGCCCTGGGCGTCGACCTTGACGCCGTTGACGTCGGGGTACTGTTCGAGTAGCTTCGTTAACGACGTCGCTTCCACCGTCGAACCTTGCCACGATGTTTCTGTGAGACCTCTCCTCTGCGCCAACGCCAGTCGTTCCGTAGAGTGCCGAAAGGCGCACTGCTGGGGATGAGCGTACAAAGTGCAGGACGTGGCCTCCTCCGATCCAATAACAGCCTTCTGGATCGCCACAAACGTCCCGGGGCACGGATCTAAGACGTGTCGCAAGGAACCGTTGTACTCGAGCAGCCGGAAATTATCAGCGTCCGGCTCCACCGCCACAACGTCGGCGCCCGCCGCGAGACAGACGCCGGAGAAGGCGCCGATATGCGCCCCGATATCGAGCCAGCGGTCGCCGGGCAACACTTCAAAACCCTTCGCGGGCCGCTCGTAACAACCGCCCGTGATCACCTCCTGGACTATGGTAGCGTCGCGCCTCCTAGGGTCCGTGTAGATGCGCAGCTCCGGTAACGCATCATGAAACGTCTTCGCGTTCTTCGTCTTTGTTGGAGGTCTCAGTGTTACTGTCGTAGTACAATTCGCGCAGCGCTCGTCGACCTTGCAAGCGCATGACACAGAGCGGTAGCGCTTCGGCGCACATCTCAAACATAGATAAGAACATTGCCGCAACGCGCCTAGTTTCGAGGCGCCGCGGAAGCCCCGCAATCTAGATACGATACAAGCATCATGAGCCCAGTCGTAACAAGCAGCGCACTGCACCATATCCTTGCCATCATCGTATTGACTACCTTCAATACCACAAGGGCACCGGAAGAACCACCGCTTCTCCTCGGCCTCCATGGCCGCGTCCGCCGCGTCCGCGGCCGCCCGCGCGTCTTTCTCTATCCGTAACCGCTCTTCCTTGCGGAGCTGCTTTTCTCTCTTCAGTCGCTTCTCCTTCGCTTCCTGCAAGGCTTCGTCGGCGGCGTCCACCGCATCTTTACAAGTTTTCGCGTCCAGAATCGTCTGGATGTCATCATCGGCATCCTCGCACAAATAGAAGCGGCACTGATCGACGTCGTGGACGCCCGCCACTAAGCATCGTATCTGCACTCTTCGCCCTTCCTGGACGAGGACGCGCGTCGCCCGTCTCCCAACTAAGTCGTTTTCTCTGTCAGAAAGCGGGTCCGCCGACCATTCTACACTAATCTGGGGCTTCGCCGTGCCCCGCGGCGCGGCGCCGTACAGCTCGTCGGCGGAGCCCTGCACCGGACCCTCCCTGTATATTTGTGGCGGTCGCGCCGGTTTGGGAGCTTCGAACCAGACGACGCCGCCGAGCCGCCTTTCTACTAACGCGCCGGACTTTTCTTGCTCCTCGCGGGAGCGTTTCAGGGCCTGGCGGAGGGACATGCTGGCGCTGCCGCGGCGTCGTCGGGGCACCGTGCGCGGCTCTCTGTGCTACGGAGAGCACTTTGAGTGGCAGCTGGTTTTGAGAGGGTTGCGGTTGCGCGCGCGGCTCGGATTTGCACCACGCGGTTACAGCCTTATTAGAATTTAACCTCCGTGCAATTTCGGGTCGTCAGAATTGCTGCACGCGCAGCTTTGGCAGCCTGTGCAGGCCGATGCTCCGAGCTATAACTTATCCAAAAACAAGGGGGGGTCGGGCACAAAGGAATGTTACAGGGAGTGGTGGTGATAACTAGGAGGCCGCGGCGGCGCGCGCCGCGGCCCGCATATCATCTAAAGTCTCGTCGTCGGTGTCGTCGTCGTCGTCGGCGCCGCCGCCGAGGACCATGTACTGCGAGTCGGAGTAGTCGTTGAGCCACTTGGCGGCCGCCGGCGCGAGGGCGGCGGCCTCGAAGCCGTGGCGGCGCCAGTAGGCGACGGCGCCGTTGTCGGCGTGGGTCACCAGCGCGGCAGACTCGGCGGCCGCGAGGGCCTTGACGCGCGCGACGAGCTTCGCGGCGACGCCGCGGTTGCGGAAGTCCGGGTCCACGGCGAGGAACGACACCTCGACGACGTCGCAGCGCGTCGCCGCGTCGCTCGACCACGTGCGGCGGAACACCAAGCCGCCGGCGACGCGGCCCGTGCCGCGCTCCGCCGCGACGAGGCTCCGCGAGTTGTCTTCCTTGAGCACGCTCGAGACGTGCCACGCCGGCATGTTCGGCAGCGCGGCGCAGATCACGGCCTGGAGCCGGTCGCCGCCGTCGTCGCGGGCGCGGACGTCGACGTGACCTTTGCCGCCCTTGTGGTCCCACTGGGGCTTCGCGGCCTCGAGCGCGGGGTCGAAGCGCGCGCGCGGCCGCGGCGCGCGGCCCGAGCTCCGGCGGTCGTTCGCCGTCGTGTCGTCGTAGACGAGCGACGCGACGCGCCGGCCCGCGTTCAGCGCCAAGCGTCGCAAGTCTCGCCGCGACAGCGCCAGGCGGGTCACGGTGCGCGCGTCGCGCGTCTTCGGTTTTTGGTGCGCGAGCGGTGCCCGCTTCGTGCACGAGGCCGCGCGGGTCGTCACGGACCGTAGGCGAGCGATGCGGTGGCGCGGCGCGAGGGTCATCGAGTTTCGCTCGACAAAGAGCGCTGCTGTGCAGTTTTTTGCTCTGTGCTTGCCTTGCGACGTGTGCGAGCAGCTCAAGGCGGCCGCTTCCGAGCAAGGCGTTATAGGAGCGCTGCGTGACGGCTCAGTTTTGCCGGAGATGCAATATGCGTGATTTGCAGGGCGCTCAAAGATTGACCCGAAGGCCAAACTGGAGAGCCCCACTAGCCTCGACCAGAATAGAAACTAGCTCGCGGGCCCATCCACGCGCTGGAAGGCGAACCTAAGCGTCCTGTCAAAGTACGGTTCCTCACAGGTCTGCGAGGCTAGTGTCTTACAGGCCGCTAGCTCGAGCGCAGCCTGTCTTTTTTTTGCTGTGTGCTTGCCAGCCACAGCGCAGAACTGCATCAAAAATTGGCATTGCTATTCATTAATTGCGCCAAACCGCTGGCACGAGCCGCGCGACGTCTGGACGAGCAGCACTCAGCTGGCAGCATGCTGCGCCGCGCCGCCATAATTGCAAGACGCCGCCTCCACGCGCCGGCCCACGCGCTGCTGCCGAGGCATAAAACGGCGCGTTCTTTATACGACGAGATGCGGCACCTCACGCGAGCCGGTGGCGACTTTACGATTCATAATTATGCGGCCGTGCTCGAGGATTTGAGCGAAGACGCCACGACGGTAGAAACGGAGCTGTTCCCGCGGGCCGCGCTGGACTTCTACACGCGCTGGAACCTCGAAGAAAAAATAACAGACGAGGAAATCGATGCATACAAAACACCAGAACGCGGCGGCGCGCAGGGCGATTATCGGCGAGGCATGCGCCGCAAGATAGCCAACGCCGTCGACTGCCTCCGGACGCATTCAAATTCGAAGCGGGCCTCGATTCCCATCCCCTTCACCGATAGCGGTTCGGAGACGATCGACTGGCGCGACCAAGGGCAGACCAAATGCTGCCGCGAGCTCTACCTCTATGTTGAAGAGGGAAGGCTGTCGTGCACCGGTGTCTTACGGGTCCAGAACGCGTCGATCTTTCCCAAAAATATCCACTTCTTCGGGGCCTTATTGCGTCGCGTCGCGGCGGACCTCGATATGGAACTAGGCGTCTACACGCACGTCGTCGCGTCGCTCTGCCACGACCGGAGCGCGACTAATTGTTGATGTGTAAAGGACCAAAAAAGAGTTTTAACTACCCCTCGAGCGTCATGTGCTTCAGCACCCTCTTGAGCTGCCACCGGTGGTGCGCCCACTCGCTAAACGACGCCGCGTAGCCACTCGAAGCGTGCTCCAGGGCATACGCGGCGAAGAGCACGAGGTAGCAGTACCTCTCGAGGTAATTCCTCCCGCGCGCCCGCCAGAAGTCCGGATTTCGGTGCGACGACGCCGGCGCCACCTTCGCACTGACGTCGCACGCCATGATGGCCTCGACCAGATGCTGCGCGTGCGCACAGGCCTTGCAGCACGCATCTGCCAAAGCCTTGGCCTCCTGACCTCGATCGAGCATCCCTACCAACTCACGAATACAGCGGAAGTCGCCCACAATCCGCGGGTCCGTGCCGTCCCTTGGAACAGCAGGTGCGGCCAACTTACCCGAAGACGCGCGCATCATGATACAAGCACACACCATTCCTGTGGTAGTTCTCCCGCGGCCCATCTGACAATTAAAAATAAAGGCACTATCTGATGGAGCGCTCCGTATGGCGGAAACCAGTTGGTCGAAGTCCTTCTCTTCCGGGGCGGCCTCGTCGGCGATGGGGATGCGGTGGTACCTTACGGTGGATGGATAAACGTCAGAGACGCAGCGCGCCGTACTTGTAGAGAGATCGCGTTTCTCGTTCTCCGTTCCGCTCACTTGATAGTAGACCGGTAGCGTAGAACCCGCTTCCACACAATCTCGACACAGCCGCCGCTCCATGGCATCTAATTCGAAGTCCTCGATCGATTGGAGATATTCAACATTCTCGTTGAGGTTGTTCGCCGTTCTAGGAGCACAAGCCTGGCCGTCCAGGAAGACCACGGGTTCTTCTCTCATATTACACCACACTATGCTACTATGGTCCTTCGTCAGTTCCGCGATGACATGTTCTATACCAGCAGAATGGCACTGGCCCACGCCGTACACGGATAGCTCCAAGTCGCATTTGCGGAAGTTCCAGACTTGAGGATGGATCCTCGGTGTCGGGAAGAGGTGGATGTGCGCGAACTCGTCGCACTTCATCACTAGACCCTGCAGGACGGGCCGTTCGTATATTTTTGACTCCTTTGGTCGCAGTTCTCGGAGTTTCGCACAGAGCCAGTTCGTCGTGTCGTCGGGCGGGTTTCGGGCCCGATCCGCCAGCGCTTCTAGGGTTTGGCAGAGGCCGCTCCGCTGGGCGAGGACGTCGCCTCGCAATAACCGAGCCGCCTCGCGCAAGCGCCCGCCACCGTCCCCTTCCGCCCTTGCTATTTTAGCTCGCAAGGCATCCAAATCCGGTTTCGGCGTTCTTTGTAGTATATTGGGCGGCGGCGGGTTGGGCGCGCGCGCCTCGGCGGCGGCGATGGCTGCTCTGAGCTTGTCGAGCTGCTCGCTCATCGTGCGCAGGGATGCGTCGCTGCGATGGCGTTGAGGAGCCGCCTTCTCTGGCAGCGAAACGTCCGCGCGCGCTGACTTGCGAGCTTTTGTCCCAGAAAGTAGCTGGAGCTAGCGGCCAGTAAGGCACTAGCAAGATTTTTTCAGGTTCCGGAACGAATGAATCGGCGACGCTCTCCCCCCGGGGGCTCCGCCCACTAGTCCTAGCACCGTAACAAAGACACGCGTTCGCCAGATTAGTCTTCTACGATAGTCTCTGCTATCACACTAAAAGACTAGCACAAAGTACCTTACACAATCAGATGACGACCGTCGCCGTCGCCCGCGCCAGGTGGTCGTCCAAATCGACGACGTGCCCCACGTCGTCCAGGTCGACGCGGTGGTCCCCGTCGAGGTCCACGTCCGCGTCGAACTCCTCGACGTCCGAGGACGGACTCAGTTCGTCCGCCCGCAGCGTCCGCGGTTTTGGGAATTCGGGCACCTGGATCGTCAGGGGCATTTCCTCTGTCTCGACAGATTCCACATCCGACCTTTTCCAGAACTTGAGGACCACGGGCCGAGAACCGCACCTTAATCTAGCTACGAGCCGCTCGTAGCCTTCGTCGGACGCGTCCACGGGCTCCTGGTCCACGTGCACCAATAAATCACCTCTACGTAAAGCGACAGCGACGCGCGGCGGGCAGCTCGGAGTCACGTTATCTAATCCAACGTACCTCCGTCCACTCGACGCGTCCCGCACCAGCGCGAGAGATATACCTAATTGCCGGTGGGGGAAGACGCAGTCCACGAACGCGCCCTTCTTCACGTCCGGCGGTCTTATGACTAACTTGCCATTTCTCCGGAACTCGGGCAAGACCGCTTTCACGATTGACTTGTCATGTAAGTCTCTCGCGCGCTCTTTCCTTCTTAACGCCTCAAGAACTTTGACGGCCTCGTCGTCGTCTCTGGAAGCTTTTTTTTGGGCCGTCGCGAAGAGCTGGCGCGACACGTCGTCGACGAGCAAGACTTGGCTCCGTTTGACCTGCCGGTAGCGCGCCGCGCCCGCAACTCTACGATCCGTTCGTATGAGCACCGTATCGCCGCCCACCTTGCCGCCGGAGCACAACCTACAAGCAGCTAAGGCCCCACCGTCGTCGACGACCCACCCTCGCGGCGACGAACTTTTTGTAGTCTCTTCGCTCAGGCATCGGATGCGAGGTAAGGCTAATAACTCGTCCGACGAAACGCGAGCCAACGACTCCACCAGAGGTATATCATCTAGAAGAGGCGTGCCGTCGACCGAAAACAGCTGCAAGCACTCCCACTGGACCCTCCACTTCAAGCGCGGCCGCTTCTTGCACAAAGCTTGAGCGAAGGACTCCAACACCTGCGGCGGCTTCGCTCTTTGCACGTCCTTCGCAGCGATGACCAGCCGGACCCCGAGCGCCTCCTCGGGCGCGCCGAGCCGCCACGACACCTTGACCCGCAAACTCCCGTCCCTCCGCAACTTTGAGGAAGAGACTTTCAGTTCCGGCGGCGGCGCGAGCATGCGGTTCGGCCGGTCTTTTCGTATCCGAGGCCTCTCGACCTGGGCCACTTCTGGCTCCTCTGGACCGCAAGCGCTCCACCGGACAAAAACCAGCTCCTTCTCCTCCCTTTCAATGCGCCCCGGGCGCCACGTCGCGTCCTGGAGCCGCACCCAGCACACGTTGTCCTCTTCGACCTCCGTCGGCGACGCGAGGGCTTTTAAGCGCCTTACCGAAGGCAGCAGCAACAGCGCGTCTCCACTCTTCACGCGCGCTTCCCGCAACGAACGACTTACAGCTAACGCATCGCCATGGCAATCAACCAAAGATAAATGCCTGGCGTCCAACACCCGCCGACACGACTCGAAGCGCGTCCTCCGCAGCTTCTCCAGAAAACACTGGATCACGTCCGGCGGCCGCACGTCCAGGTCGGGGCACGTGACGAACATCTCGATGGGGCTGCCCGTAACGAGCTTGACGAGGACGCGCGCCGGGCCCGCTGCGGGCGGCGGCATGCGCTTCGGCGGCGTCGCGGCGGCGGCCATGGTATGGTTCGTGTGCTGGTGCGGTTGCGGTGGACAACGGCGCCGCGGCGCCGCCGCGGGCAGCGTCTTCGGGCGTGCTGCTGCTCTTTTTTTTTGGGCTGCCTTTAATTATTTTTTACCTTGGCCTCGCGGAGGAGCTCCGGCCGCGGAGGCCTCCGGGCGGCGGGCTATTCGTCTCCTGCCGCACGACCATATGTACGGTAGCGTAGACATACTAGGGTCGGCAACGCCTCAAACTCCTGCCACTAGATCCCTGGAGTCGGACGGCGTACCTGGAGCGCGAGCGCCCGGGGCGAGGCGCACGCACCGGCGAAGCTGCCCCGGGTCGCGGGGGCAGCCCAGACGACCCGACGGGACCGCTCCCGGGCCAGGCACCGGGACGGCCGCATCTCTCGGCGCGGAAAGCCGAGGCGTAGCGTGGGGCTGCCTCCCGTCGCGGCGCGGCGTGCCGTACCACAAGCGGGGACGTCCCGCCGCAAAAAATTGATGGCGATGCGCGCGCTCCTTGCTTCGCTGCTGCCCGCGCTCGCGGCGGCGCAGTGCGCCACGCGCATCCGCGTGGGCACGTTCGGGGACTCCAACCCCGAGGCGCTGGCCGTCATGACGGACTGGCTCAACGACGACGGCGACGAGTGCTGGACCTTCTACCGGCAGCCGAGCGGCGGCCTGTCCATCGCCAAGCTCGACTCCGGCGATTTAGATATCGCGCTGCTCGGCTCGACGCCGTACGCGGCGGCGGCCGCGCGGCGCGGCAGGCTTAAAGCAGTAAGCGTGGCCCACCTCAAGGGCTCCTCCCAGGCCCTCATCACGCGCGCGCGCTTCGACGAGCCCAAGGCCCTTTCCAGTGATACGATCAAGGCCGGCGGCACGGCCAAGGCGACGCTCGCCACCCCCAAGACGTCGACAGCGCACTACATCGCGCTCGCCGTCATTGCGAACGCCGGCCTGGATCTTGGGAGTATCGACCTCGTCTTCATGTCCCCCTCCCAGATCACGGCCGCCTGGGACGCCGGCACGATCGACGGCGCCTGCGTCTGGGGCACGGCCTTCTCGCACCTCCTCAACAACCCCTGGGGCGGCAGCGCGGATCCATTGGATGCGGGCGACATCATGGTGCCCGCTTCAAGTGTCGCGCACTGGGACTACCTGACGGGCAACGTCCTCGCGGCCTCGGACGCCTTCATCACGAACCATGCAGACCTCGTCGCGAAGCTCGTGGAGAAGTTCGAGCAGACGCGCTACGACTACCGGTCCAAGGAGGAAGGCAGCACCCTCTGGGCCGCCGCCGGCGCCTACAACCAGAAGGTGACGGACTTCGCGTCGTTGAAGACGGCCCAGGACGCGGCGGACGTCTCCGACCGCCTCGCGAAGTTCGAGTACCTGTCCGTGGCCGAGCAGCTCCAATATGATCTCGACGAGATGACCCGGGACTCGGCCTACTTCTTCTACGAGCAGAAGGTGCTGGCCGAGGACCCCTCCGCCGACGCGCTGTCCTTCTACACGGCGCTCTACGACACGACCGCGCTATCCGGTTTGACGGCCGGCGACTACCAGACGCTGCTGGCGGACCCGGCCGCATCGTTCGACATCAACGCCGCCGCGCCCGTGCAGCGCGAGCAGGGCTCGGACCCCCGGTGCGCCACGTCGACGACTGTCACGGTCTTCCCCGACACCTTCACGGACGGGTCCACGGGCACGAACGCCTACGCGAACGACACGGACTGCCGGTGGCAGTTCACGCCGCCCAGCGGCAACTACGTAAGCATAGACATCACCAAGCTCATGTCGGAGCAGCCCGACGACGGGCTCGAGGTCTACGACGCGGCCGGCGACCTCCTGGCGGCGTTCACCGGCCGGTGGGACCCAATCAATTTGCCGGAGGTCCGCTCGCCCACGGCGGGCGGGCAGGTCACGGCCCGGTGGGTCACGAATAGCTACGACGAGAACGCGATCGGCGCGCTCGAGGACGTGGGCTTCGAAGCCGCGGCCGGCGCGGCGACGAGCGGCCCGAACACCAATTGCGCCGCCGGGACGAGCGGCGCGAGCTGCGAGTACGCCTACTGCCTCGGCGTCGTCGACGAAGCGAGCGCGACGGCGGCGACTACGATTCGGTCGCAGGCGGCCGGGACTCCTCTCTACGCGCCGAACTCGCGCTGCGGCTGGCGCGTCACGTCGACGACGGACTACGTAGAGCTCAAATTCACGAAGCTCGCGATCGAGAACGGCTTCGACTTCGTCAGGATCTACGCGGGGAGCACCGCGCCGACGGGCTTTTCGCTCACGGCGCCGGCGGCGGAGCCGAAGCTGCTCTACGCGGCGACGGGCTCGGCGCCGCCCCCGAAGCTCGTCTTCGCGGCCCCCGTCTTCGTGACGTTCGAGTCGGACGGCCTCGGGAACACGGCCGTCGGCAGCGCTGACGGCGGCTTCGCGATCGAGCACAGGGTCGCCGCGAAGCCGGATTGCGCCGGCGCCTGGACGTCGCCGGTCGCGAACTGCGCGCTGGACCACTGCACCGGCGAGAGCGAGCTCGTCGTCCCCGCCGGCGCGGGGCCGCCGAAGCACGGCGAGTTCTCGTCGAGCGCCGGCCCGGTCGCGACGGACGGCTCGATCCCGAGCTCGGAGTTGGCGACGGACTACCCCGCGATGACCATATGTAGCTGGAAGTTCACGCTGCCCGACGCGGCCAGCCTCAAGGGCCTATCCCTGCGAGCCAAGAAGGCCTCGACGTGGAAGGAGAACGACGAAGCGACGTGGAATCGGTTATGGGACGTCGAGGCGTCGGGCGCGCTCACGTCCACGACCGACGCCGTGCACGTCTACGCTAGTGATAACACGCTGGTGGGGACGCTGAAGGGCGCCAAGGACGAGGCGGAGGACCCCGCCGTGTGGGAGTTCGACTTAACTGATTCCCCGGGCGACACGTATACGGCCGTCTTCGCGTCCGATTTGAATAACCCGGTCCCGAAGAAGGGTTTCGACTTGGTATACGCGGGGCGCTACGGCGATGCAATAGCGGGCGCGAGCGGCGGGTTCTGTGTGTGCGACCACGGCGGCGCGTGCGACTGGCCCTGCGACGCCGGGCTCGGGTGCAAGGGAAACACGTGCCGGCCACCATCAAAAAAGAAGGAACCTGTTGATATGACGGCGCTCATTGTTGTCATATGCGTCTTCGCCGTGTTCATCGTCATAGGTGCCGCGTACATGGTCTACATGCACGTGCAGCACCAGAAGGCCATGGACGCCATGGCCCAGGAGCTCAAGGACGCCGTCGTCGGCTTCAAGGTCTGCGTCCAGGACTACGTCCCCGCGGGCCACTCGACGCAACAGGACGCGGTCGACGTTTCAAGTCCGGGCACGTGGTACTGGCAGGAGGAGGCGCACAAGATGGGCCAGCACCCTCCCCACCTCACGAAGCAGCCGAACTGGGTCGCGTTCGAGTCTGAAATTCAAAATCAGTTAGAACAGGCGTTAGGAAGTGGCGGCACGGTCCAGAGTAGGCACTACGCCATCGACACGGGCAAGAAGGAGCAGACGAACACGCGGACGGGATTCAAACGACCTGTACTAAGAGACACGTCCAGTGAAGGCCGGGCCCACGGCGAGGCCCTGCAGAGGAAGGTCCAGCCGCCGCCGGGCGGCTGGGGCGACGCGCGGCCCGAGGAATTGTGGGACCAGGACGCCCTGTTGCTACGCAAGGATTCGATCGTGCAGGTCTCGAAGCAACGGGACGACGGCTGGATTTATGGGAGCGTCGTCCTCAACGAGGGCGACGAGGCCGCGGACCTGAAGCGCTACGGCGACGACGGCGTCTCGCTGTCGTCGGGCTGGTTCCCGGAGAAGGTGAGCGACATCCCGACGGCGGAGCAGCTCCGGGAGATGCAGAAGGCCATGGGGGCGGGGGATGATGCATTAGCCATGCCGAAGTACTGGGACGAGGTCAAGGACCCCTTGGTGGCGCAGTACTTCCCCCTGGCGCAGGGGAGTGCGAAATACAAGCGCGTGCACGACGCTATTGCTCTGACGACGAAACAGCAGCAGATGAATATCCATTCCATCGAGCGGGTCCAGAACATCGGGCTGTGGCAGTCGTACTGCGTCAAGAAGTCGCAGATCTGCCAGCGCGAGGCCGAGTCGCGGCCCCCGAACCCGACGAACCACTCCGGCAGCCAGGTTAGGAATTGGCTCTTCCACGGCTGCGGACCGGACGTCGTGGATAAGATCCTGCAGCAGGGGTTCAACCCAGTGCGGAAATTATTTACTATTCTGGCCGCCTCGACGCAGCGCGATTACTCACCCGAACGTTTGATTTCCGCACAGGTTCAACCGGAGTTTCTGCGGCAAGAACGCGACGTTGTACGGCAAGGGCGTCTACTTCGCGAGGGACGCGAGTTATAGCACGTATCCACTCTACTCGCCCGCCGACGGGCGCGGGTTGCAGACGGTCTTCGCGGTGCGGTGCGTCGTCGGCGAGTGGTCCCAGGGCGTGCGCGACGGCCTGACGCCCGGCGTCCGCGACGACCGAATGAACCTGCTGTACGACACGACGGTCGACGACATGAAGAAGCCGAGCATCTTCGTGACGTACCACGACGCCCAGGCCTACCCCGAGTACCGGATCCGCTTCAACCAGGCGAACCCGGCGCGCAGCCACCCCAGGGCGAGGCAGCCCGAGCCGGGCGGCTACAGGCGCAACTGGCTCGAGGGCGTGGAGGGCGAGGAGGAGGTGCAGGCGGCGCCGGCCAACGCGATGGACCGCCTCGCGGGCATGCTGGGCCGGAGAAACTCCGACAGGGTCGCGCCCGCGCCCCCGCCGGCAGGGAACGCCGGCGGCGGCGCGCCGACCTTCGAGGTGCGCCTGCCCCCGAACGCGCGGCCCGGCGTGACCATCATGGCCCGCGCGCCGAACGGCAACAACGTGCGGCTCACCGTGCCCCACGGCGTCCCCCCGGGGGGGATCATCCACGTGCGCTACTGATCCTTTTTTTTGCGCGCCCCCCTGTCGTTCATCCTCTCGCGTAAGCCTTCTTGTCCATCATTATTTCTGGTGCTGATAGTACGATACATACATATACTATATATACATGGGGAAGACGCGGGGCGGAGATCTTCCGTCCTGTGGTGTATTGTGCGCGCGTATGCGCGGGTACCTGGTGGCCCATCCGGATATACGCGTGGCGTTATCGCGTATCGGGGAAACCCCTTTTGTACGTTTTGCGTAGGGTGAAAAGAAAAAAAGACTCTCTACACAGCTAAAGCTAGCATACGTCGTCATTTGTCTAGCACGACAGTACTTTTACCGCTGCAGACGCGTGCCATTGATCTGTGACGCCTGGCTGCCAAAGGCAGTGCCAAATGACAGCGTGCAGCCGATGAGCGCCGACCCTCCCGCGGGCCACAGGTGCGGGGCAAGCCGCTGGCAGCGCGGCACGCTGTGGCTGCAGCACGTCGACCCGCCCCCGGCGGTGGAGGGGCCCTGGCCGCCGCTCGCGTCGGACCCGGACGCGTTTACCACCTTCGCGAGGGACCTGGGCGCGGACGAGCGGTATCGATTTATCGATGTTCTGGACATCGACGCGCCGCCGAAGCGGGCCCTGGCTTTCGTGGTTTGCTATCCGACCGGGGGCTCGGTCGCCGAGGCCATACTTCCGCTCTTCTCGACGCCGCCGCCGCCGAACGCGGCGTTCTTCGCGCGGCAGACCGTCGGCGGCACATGTGGCACGGTGGCGCTGCTCAACTCGCTGCTGAACGCGCCCGGCGTGGCGCTGCCCGAACTTGGGCTCGAGGGCGACCGGCCCTCGGCGGCGGCGGTCCTTGCAGCGCCGGCGGTGCGCGCGGCGCACGATCGATGTGCTGGCGCGGCGGGGAGCGCCGAAGCCGGGCGCCGCCAGGGACGACACTTCGTTGCCCTCGTCAAGGTCGCGAAAGATTACCTCTGGCTCGACGGGAAGCGGGCCGGACCCGTAGGGGCGGGGCCGCGAAGCAAGAAGGGCGCGAAGCGGGAGCTGCGGAAGCTGGTAGATGCTGTGCTAGACGCGCGGCCCGACGCGCTATTTTCCGTCGTGGCGCTGGTCGACACCGCGCCGCGGCCGCGCCCGCGACCGCCGGCGGGCTCGGCCCCCCGACCGCGGACGTCGGCTCGCCGCGGCGCCGCGGTAACGGTTCCTCCACCGCCGGCACCGCTGGCGACACGCCTCTCGCTTCGGCGGACTCGCTCCGGCGAATCCAGCACAGACCGTCCTAGGCGTAGTAAGATGTATAGAAAGTAACAGAACATTCACATTAGGAGCGCTGGAAGACGAGGACGTGGCCGTGTACGTCGGCGCCGCAGTTCTTCCGCAGAACTGCGTCCCGACGCGCCGACAGCGTCCAACCGCTCTTCGCGGCGCACGCCTCGCAGTACGCCACGCTGTGGCGGAAGCGGCCCGTCGCGCCGATCTCGACATCGCCGTCGCCCAGCGGCTTTTCCACGGAGAACGCGAAGGACGCTTTCGGCGCTGCGGCCGCCGCCGCGACCATAAAGAGCTCTTCGAGACGCCTAACGTAGGGCACGACGTCGCTGCTCGCCAGCAAGTCATAATTGGCGCCCGCGGCGCCGCTCAAAAACGCGCCTGCGCGGCGAGGGTGAGATGCGAGCCGGCGACGCGATGGCATGCGCGCGCGACGCGAGACGGGGCCCCTCAGCGGAAGGTGAAGTCAATTGCGTTGTCGTGGTGTCGATCACGGCTAAGCTTGTGCAGCTTAGGTGTCAGTCCGCCCGACGAACGTTTCGATCATTGGGATGTTTCATGTGAGAGATAGGGACGCCGGTGCACGGACAGAGCTCGCCCTTGGCCACGTCCTCATAGAGCCCCGTAGCTCTCGCTTTCTCGCACATGGCCTCGGAGAGGTCGACGCCCTCCAGCTGCAAACAGGCCTCGGCATCGAATAACGCGCGGCCGGAGAGGCCCGTGCCGCAGCCGCAGTCCAAGGCCTTCCGTGCTTTCGCGCCTCGGACGCTCTCCGCGACGAGCGCCGGCGCCTGGCTTCGGAGCGCGTCCGAGAGGTGCGCGTCGTAGCGACCCGCGTAGCCATCGTACAACGCCTCCAGATGCTCGATAGGGGCGTCTTCACTGGGATCGCCGCGGCAGCATGCGGCCCAGAACTTCGCGCGCGCGTCGTCGCCGCACTTCTCAAAAGCGTCAGCGGCTCCCGCCAAGTCCTTGGCCTCGCGCCTGGCGCGGCCGAGGCGGTACCACGTCTTGGGGTCGTCCTGCTCGGCCAGGGCGCGCTCCAGTAATGAGATGCGCGCTTCGGAATGCGCCTTGCCCGCTTCCACGGCGCGCCGCACCAAGGCGCGTGCCAGCGCCGTCCTCACACAATCCAAGTCCGGCTTCAGCGCCTTGGCGCGCTCCGCGTGCTTCAGAGCTATATCGGCTTGCGGCGCGAGCGCGGCGCGTAAGCACCAGGCCCTCGCGTGCTTCGGGTACTGCTTTGTTAACGTTTCGGCGGCGACCGCGCAGGCCTCGACGGCGCCATCGTTCAAGAGCGCCTCGCAGGCGGCGAATTGGGTGCGGGCGTCGCTCATCGTCGTTTACCCGTGCTTGGTCGCGCGTCGGCGGCCTCGCCTCGCCAAGCTGAAGCTTTGTGCAGGCTGCAGCCTTGGCCAGCCGAGTGAGGTGGGCGTCCGCTGCGGGTCCCGCGCTCAGATCGCAGTGAATGCAGGGGTTGCACAATTTCCAAGCGCTCGCGAGGTCCACAAATGCGCTGGTTGCCCTACGTTGTGCAGCTTTGCGATTAGCTAGCGTCGTAGAGACACTAGGAATCGTCCATCTATATGCGCGACGTTCGCCGGCAGTCCTCACAAACGGGTACGCCCGAAGTACACCCTACTATGTCTTTAATCCAGCGGCGGCTCGTGCAGCGCCGCCGCGAGCGCCACCGGCGAGTAGCCCTCGAGCGCCTCCGGGTGATCTAAATCCCGGTCCCCGAAGTTCACGCGGCACGTCCCGCTCTTGAGCGTGAGCGCGGGGAACCACCTCCCTCCCACAACGCCGTCGAAGGCCGGTCTCATGCCATCCTCGTCGCCGTCATCAAAAGGCACGAGATCACCGTTCACCGTGAACAGAATAATACCTTCATCTAAATCCAAATAGCATCCAATAACGTCGCCCGCCTCCCACGCCCGCCCGAAGTCGTCGTGCCTACTACCGTGCCAGAGCTTGCACCGGTCGCCGTCGTACGCATAACTAAACTCGTCGTCGCCGACCCCCAGCTCGGCTCCCGGCCGGAAGCCCTCTCTTGCAAATCCGATCTGCGGGAACACTATTTCTTCGCTGCACATCGTGACCTCGTAGCACCACCTTCCTGCTGTGAGTCGTAACGACGGCAATGCTACAGTGGTAAAAGTGTCGTCTTCTTCCCGTACTCGCCACAAACCATGGGCGAGTCGCAGCGGCGCTCCTGGAGGGTGCAGACTGACCAAACCTGCTCTTTCAGCTCGTAAGGAGCGTACCGTCGCCTCCAGCTTGTTTATACGTTCCTTGAGCGGTATCAATGTTTTGGCCAGTATCGCGCGCGGGCACTTTGACTCGTGCTCCTTCAAGGCGCCGGGCGCGTTGGGCCCGCTCCAGTCGCAGCCCTCTCCTTGACACTTGACGACCCTAGAAGGACACCGTAAGAGATGCGCCTGCAGTTCTCCTCGCGTGAGATCCAACGAACAGTGCGGGCAGCGCGCGGGCCGCCGCGCTAGCGCTCGTTCGGCAACCAGGTTGCGGATCGGTTCTCTAGGTAACGCCACTCGACACGTGGGACATTTCGCGCTGCCTCTACTCAAACACTCCTCGAGGCACTCGGCGCAGAACAGATGTCCGTTCCGGCACTGGTGGACCTGGTGGTCGGGGGGGCTGAGGCAGATGGCGCAGTCGTAGTCGCCTTCTTCGGCCGGGCGCGTCGTCATTTGTGCGGTCGCGCGTCAACGCTCTTTTGGGGTGGCTGTGGGACCCTCTGTCGCGCGGTTTTCGCCGGTGTCGACGCGTGCAGCGTTTTTTATGACCGGTGCGAGTCTACCTTACCCGGAGAACCGTGAGCTGCACCGTTATCGGCCTGCAAAGTGGAGGCACTGTGCTTTCTAGTGTCTTAGCGGTCGCTAGCTAACGCCGCCTTGGCAGTGGAGAGCTTGTCGCCTCTGCGCGGACCACTATCGGCGCACCGTCTTCGCGCGGCGCCTGGCTGTGTGTTTTCGCTCGGCCGTCCATATCTTAGCCTCTCTTGTCTGGCCCTCAAGCTGCTCTCTTGGTCTGGCCCAGGAGCTGCTGCTCTCGCGCTCACCCAATGGCACCCATCCACGATGCCGCATTCAACGGTGACGTCGAGACGCTCCGGCGATTGCTTGCGGAAGGTGTGTCGCCAGATGCAACCGATGATAATGAGTATCGTGGTAGAACGCCTCTTCACAACTTGTGCTTTTTACACGAACACTACCACGCTACGGGTGACGACATCACGGCCTGCTTCAGGCTCCTTCTCGACGCTGGGGCAAGTTTGGAAGCGGTCGATTATAATGGGTACACATTACTCCACTATGCAGCTAACGTCGCAAACATTAAAATGGTGTCGTTACTACTCGAAGCGGGCCTGGATGTGAACGCTGTGTCTGATTTCCACTGGACGGCGCTCCACTTTGCAGCAAGCGGAAGTTCTAAGGCTAAGGCGCGCACCAATTGCGTCAAAATGCTCCTGGCCGCAGGTGCTGATATAGATGTAAGAAGTGACTCTGGGAGGACACCTTTCGAGATGACACTCGACCAGAATCTTCTCCGTGTGTGGCCTTTATTACTCCGCGCGGGCGCTGAGATCCCCACGAACAACACGCACCCGTACATCGAACGAGTCAGAAACGCCGGCGGCTGGAAGAAACACGAGCAAGCCCATCTCGCTACGCTTACGCGCAGCTTCGAGCCGAAGTTTCCGATGCTCCCGAAGGAACTCGTCCGACACGTCGTGAGTTTCTGGCTCCACGCGGGCTACTACTGAGTGTAAGCTATATGTTGATTGTGCGCACACATCCACACGTTACCCACCGCTCACGAAAATACGCTTATATATACATTAGTCCATAGAAAACGCCTCGGCGTGCCGCGGGTCCAGCGCGACCGCGAACGCGTCGATCAAATCGCGCTGACACGAAAACAGCGGCAGGTCGATGCGGTTGAAGCACGTATGCGCGCGCGGGTACGCGCACTGCGCCAGCTCCACCGACGTCAGCGTGAAGGGCCTCAACACGCCGTCCCGCCCGTGCAACTTCGCGAACCCACCTAAGGGGCATCGCGCGGACCCCGTGGCCCACCGGAGCAGCTCCGCCTTCTTTGTGTGGGAGAGGGAAGCCACGTACGCCCAGAACCACTCCACGACCTTATGAGAAGGCGCGTCCTTGAACGCTCCTCTCAACCTCGTCTCGCGGCGCCACTCGTTTTCATCTATGTTTTCTACACCAGCTAACGCTTCCCGTAATTCCTCGGGCGACTCCAGGAGGAGTAACGCAGCTCCAGGCACGACGTCGCGGAAGCCCCTTACTAAGGCACCGATAGTCGAGGTCTGCTGCCCCCCTAGGTCAGCTGTGGCTCTTAGTCTCGCAAATTCTTTCACGTTGCCCTCCGTGACCTCCTCGCAACCATCTCCCCTCAAACTGATGTCGTGGACGCCGTTTAGCGTAGGTCGCGCGACGGAAAAGGTCAGCGCCAGGTCGCCGAGTTGAGAGTCGTTCATCGCACTGATGAGCTCCAAGGACCGCGCGACCTCGGCGTCGAGCAACCGCAGATCCTCCGTCAGCGACACCGGTAAGGAGAGAAGGTGCTTGAGCAAGACACCATTGAATCCTGAAGGGACGTGGTGGCCTTCCAGTAACGCTTTTCCGAGCAGTCTGCCCGCGAAGGTGAGGACGCGCTCTTCCGAACCCTGCAACGCATCGGCCACGACGAAGTCGTCGTTCGGATAATAGGTACTGCCTTCGACAGTGCGAAAGACGCCCTTCGCCGGGTCCATTAATTCACTGATAGCCTTGTAGAAGAACTCGCGCGAGACGCCGCCCGCGTCCAAACCAGGCTCGCCCCGAAACGTCACGAAGAAGGGCTGGCGCCATTTTTCTGGAGGTAGCTCCCCCAACACACTAATCGCGTCCCCAAAACAATTGTCTCTTCTAACCGTGAATTGCACGCGTCCCACCTCCCAAGAGACTCGTAGCGAGTCGAGCGCCGTCCGCAGCGTCGACGCCCGTTGTGCCAAGGGAGCCCCCTTCACCAACTCGAGCGCCATCTGCTGGGCCGGCGAACAATCAAGGGAGTAGCCCGTCGACGCAGAAGCGAGCCCACCGTTCCACACCAAATCTTCCGACCCCGGCCATCGAACCGACGCCGTGCCCTCCTCGAAGGTCAAGAGGCGCTCGACCTTCCGCCTGCGAGCAAAGGTCTCGAACAGGAAGCCGCGCGCCGAGTCGAGGAAGCCGCGCGCCGCAGAGGGCGTCGTCGGCTCCTTCGACAGGCTCCGCACCCTTTGTTCCTGGTCCGGCGACGCGACGTGCACGGGCGGCGTCGGGACGGTCGCCGTCTCCCCGTCGATGTTGATCTCGACGACGTCCTCGGCGGCCTCGACGTCGTCCAGCAGCGTCGTGACCGTCGCGGGCGCGAAGACCTTGCGTTGGCGTTGCCGCCGTCGGACGACGACGGCGGCGGCGACGATTAACGTGAAGAGGGCGGCGGCGCCGCCGGAAGCTCCAGCGGCGTCGAAGGGTTCTCTTGTACTGGATGATTGGTCCTCGGCTGTAGAATCATCGTTCACGGGCACGATGACCGCCACCTCGGACCGCTCCCGGATGTAGGTCTGGGATCTTTCCACATCCACGGCCGCGTACAGCGGGTCGTTTGCTAACCTTTCAGAGAAGTCGTCGCAGGCGACCGCATCTGCCAACCGGGTTAATAAAGCGTTTCCATCAGAGCCAGGCGCCTCGACCACAAAAGAAACGACGCACGACTCCGCCAGCCGCCGGTGCATGCTCTTCGAGGAGATGGCTTCCTCTAAAGCTTCAGTGTCGTCGGCCACCGCGGTCACGTCCGTCACTTTCGAACCGACTAGTTCCGCCTCGAGCGCCGCCTTGACGGCGGCCGCGTCGGCGGCCGTGAAAGCGTCTGCGGAGACGCCCTCGAGCACCAAAGCCGACGACGCGACGGTCGTGGCGGAGATCGTCGGCACGGGCGTCGGCCGCGGGGTTGGTAGTGGAGCGTGCGGGGCGACATCGTTGGCGCCGCACCATTGAGCGTTGCTGCAGCTCTCGCAGTTATCGCGAGAAAAGGAGCACCAGTCCGTTTGTGACGCCGGCGCGTCGCAGGAGGCGCAGACGTCGTCGGTCGAGCTCCAGAAGCAGCAGCCCTCGAAGGGTGTTGTCGTAGGACCAAGTGTGGGCTTTGATGAAGGCGCCGGCGTCGGCCGGGGCGTCGGTTTCGGCGTCGGCGCGAAGACGGGCGCCGCCGTCGGGTTCCCGGGCGTCGCGGTGGGCGACGGCGACGGCCTCGGCGTGGGCGCGGGCGTCGGCGACGGCGTGGGCCGCGGACTCGGCGCCGGGGTCGGCCTCATTGATGGAAGCGGCGTGGGCCGGCGGCTGGGCCTCGCCGTCGGCAGAGGCGTGGGAATTGGCGTGGGCCGCGGCGTGGGCTTCGGAGTTGGTCTCCGAGTCGGCATCGGCGTCGGTCGCGAGGTGGGCCGCGGCGTCGGCGCGAAGACCGGGCTGGCCGTGGGGCTGCCGGGCGTCGCGGTCGGCGTCGGCGTCGGGCGCGGCGTCGGTTTGCTGGACGGCATTGGCGTCGGCCGCGGCGTGGGGTGAGCGGTGGGCCGCGGCGTCGGGCTCGCGGTAGGCCTCGACGTAGGTTTTGGCGACGGCGCCGGCGATGGCACAGGCGTCGGCCGGGGCGATGGGCGCGGCGACGGGCGCGGCGTGGGCTTCGAGGTCGGCGCAGGCGTCGGGCGCGGTGTTGGCCGTCTCGTCGGCTTTGATGAAGGTCGCGGCGTGGGCATCGGCGACGGGCGGCGCGTCGGCCGGACGCTCGGTCGCGGCGTCGGGGCCGGTGAAGGGCGTGGCGTCGGCCGAGCGCTCGGGCGCGGCGACGGCGCGAAGACGGGCGCCGCCGTAGGGTCGCCGGGCACCGGCGTCGGCGCGGGCGTCGGGCGCCGCGTCGGTCTTGCCGAAGGCGACGGCGACGGTCGAGGCGTGGGCCTCCGCGTCGGGCGCGGCGTTGGCCGTCGCGACGGCGCCGGCGTGGGCCTCGGAGAGGGCGCGAGGACCGGCGCGGCCGTGGGGTCGCCGGGCTGTGGAGAGGGCGACGGCGTCGGGCGCCGGCTCGGCCGGAGCGTCGGTCTAGGCGTAGGGCGCGGCGACGGTGCGGGCGTGGGCCGCCGACTCGGTTTGTTTGTGGGCCGCGGCGTCGGCTTCGATGAAGGGCGTAAGGACGGCCGCGGCGTCGGCTCGGAGGAGGGCTCTGAAGAAGGCCGCGGCGTCGGCGCGAAGACTGGAGAAGCGGTCGGGTCGCCCGGTTCCGGCGTCGGTTCTGCTGAAGGCTCCGGCGTCTCGCACTCGCCGTTGGCACCCGCGATTCCCGCGATGCCGCAATCATAACTGTAGCACTTCGTCTGCCCGAACAGCCCCCCAATACCGGTATAGGCGGGAATGCACCACCCCAGATCTTGGTCGAACGCAGTAGCGCCCCAGAACATGTCCGATGCATCCGCGACGCCGTCGAGACTCCAATCACTCAAATCCTGGTTGAAGGACGTCGCTTCCGTGAACATGGCCATCATATTCGTGACTTGATTTAGGGACCAGTCATTCAGAGGCCGGTTGAAGGCTGCCGCATTGTAGAACATTTCTTGCGTCGTCGTTACGGAACTGACGTCCCACCCTTCGATGTTCTGGTCGAAGGACGTAGCACCAGAGAACATGGCTTGGAGGGACGTCGCCGTCTCGGGGTTCCACCCACTAAGCTCTTGGTTGAACGACGAGGCCTTCTCGAACAACGAAGACATGTCTCGCACCGACGAGACGTCCCATCCATTGACACGGCCGTCGAAGGCCGACGCGGCGACGAACATCTCCTCCATCGTCAGTACGGAAGACGTGTCCCATCCATCTAGATCTTGGTTAAATGATGATGCTAAATAGAACATGCGGTCCATCGACGTGACGGCGGACGTGTCCCAGTCGTTGAGCGGTTCGTCGAAGGCGCCCGCGTTCCCATGGCAGCCGGACCACTGACTATTTCCACAGAATAAATATGAAAAGTCCGTCACGGTAGACGTGTCCCAGTCGCTTATGTGGCCGTACAGAAGTTCGGCCTTCGATGAATCGTCGAGCCAGTGGTGCACGGCCGTCCGGATATTAGCATCGGTCATGACGTTGTTCGTCGTCGGCTCGGGCGTCGGTTCTGGGGACGGCTCCGGCCTGTGTGCGATGGACCATCAGTTGCGTTACGTGGATCGCATCGATGGCGTCGAGGCAGCCTGGACCCCCCCAACACGCCGTCGCGACCGGCGCGAGTCGCGTGGAGATGAGTCGAGAGGCGCCACGCAAAATTTGATTCGCGCGCCGGGCCCGACGTCGGCTCCGCCGACGGCTCCGGCGTCTCAAAACAAGAATTGTCCAGCTCCAGGATGTCGCCCGACCCTTCGTTTTTGCATTTCCACCGGCCGTTCGTCCCGACGCCATACACGCAGTTCTGCAGCGGACTAAAGCGCCCGTCAATATATCCAGAGCAGGTCTCGCAGCTCTGCGGCAGGTGCCAGGTCCCTCCACCGCAACTCACGCCGTCGGGCAAGACCACTCGACCGTCGACGGTCTGGGCGTCCGTCGGCTGCGGTTGCGAAGGTCTTGGCGAAGGTTGTGGTGTTGGTCGTACGGAGGGCGCCGGCGCGTGCGGCGCGATATCACTGGAACCGCACCACTCCGCATTACTACAACTCTCGCAGTTGCTCCGCGAGAACGAGCACCAGTCCACATTGGCAGCGGGCTGGTCGCAGTCTCCACAACTATCGCCGGACGAGGACCAAAAACAACAGCCCTCGAAGGGTACAGAAGTGGGTTCCGGCGTCTCGACGCAGTCGCCGCCGTCCTCCTCGTAGCAAGATAAATCACAATGCTGCAGGAACTCGTAGTGGTCGTCGCAGTCGCCGTTCCCGACCCAGGACTCGGGGCAGCAGTGTCCTCCCTCGCAATCTTCCACATAACCGTCCTCGCAGTACAAGTAGGTCGGCGCCGGCGTCGCGCCGCACCATTTTGTAGAGCGGTTCGGTACGGTATCTTCATTGACACAGGTCGCCATGCCGTCCCAGGACGCGTGGACCGATTCGTCGACACAAGCCACTTCATTGGAATCGCTCAGGTAGACCCAGCAGGCGCCGCAGCCCCCATAACATAAGTCGCAGGCGTCCTCCACAAAGGCTCCGTCCTGGACGCAGTGGGGCGCGCCGTGGCTGAGGCGGCGTTCTTCATGAATAGGGTGCGGCGTCGACGCCTCGGCGGCGTTCTTGCGCAGGGGCAGCGGGGCAGCCTTTGCCGCACCGTAGGGGCGGATCGTGCCGTCCGCGGCCGCCGTGGCGAGGAGCATGCTCCACAGGATTGCCCTTACCGGCACCATCTCCCTTTGGCAGCCCCAGCGTCGCGAAAGCGGCTCCAATTTCGCTCAGCGGGCTGCCTCGGCCCGTTTTACCTGCTGCCGCAATTCATCGTTTGTACGTTCGTTGTGCGACGAGCTGCGCGCGCGTAACCAACGAGAGTAGCTCCATTTCCCGGAGACTGCCGCCCGAAAGCTAGTGGACTTTACGGCAACAACGGCCCGAAGAAAAAATGACAGCCCCGCTGGACGCCTCGGGCCTCGCCAGAGGACCGCTACCGGCCGCGGGGCAGCCGTGGGCTGCTCCATGTGCGCTCAAGCCCGAAAAGCTGCCCCATCGCTCGCTGGCGCCCTAATTCGGGCTGCGAACTCTCACTCAGGCCGTCCAGCATGATGCTCGCGCCTCGTTACGCCCCCAAGTACGTTTTGATCGTTCCAGAAAAACCCGTGTTTTTCGGGTCGCAAGCTTTTTGGCCAGCGCGTTGATCCGGTGCCAAAAGAGCACAAAATGGGAACGCCGCGCAGCCCCTGCCAGCAGATGACCGACGCCGCCCCCGCGGGCAAGCGCCGCACGTTCCGCCTGCCGTGGGATTTTCACAAGCCCCAAAAGAGCCCCGGCAAGCAAAGTCTGCTGCGGTTCCCGCCGCTGGGCAAGACGGAGAGCTTCGCGCGCATCCTCACGCACTGGGACAAGCGCAAGGCGTGCGCGATCCTCGCCGAGCAGCAGTTCCTCGAAAACGTGTACCGCGCCGCGCGACCCGACCCGGCGCCGGTCCTCGCGGAGGTCTTCGCGGAGCCGCCCGCCAAGAAGCGCCGCGTCGCGTGAGCGCCCGACCCCTGTTTTAAGACTCTCTGTGCACACATCAAAATCGTTATTTACAGTTTCAAGCTAAAGCCCGACGCCTCGCCCGGGTCCTCATCATCGACATCCTCATCGGTATCGCCGTCGTCCGTCCAGGAGTCCGTCTCCTCCACAATTGACGAGACGCGGACTTGGGGAGGCGCCTTCGCCTCCGGTGGTGGAGACGACACGGCGCTTATTAAGAGATCCACATTCGCCCGGAAGAACAGTAGGGAGCAGCCCCACAGTAACATATGCACCGGTAAGCCGCGGAACTCGAGCCCATAGGCAACAACCAGCCAGAGGCCACAACTCAAGACCCAGTTCCTCAAGGGTCTTAAAATAAGTCTCCAGTCGTCGACGACGACAAGCAACAACGGGAGCCACCACAAAAAATATTGCGCGGTGCAGACCTTATTGGCGGCCACGAAGAGCAAAGTCTGGGCGAGGGCGCATTTATCTATATCATCTTTCAAGGCTACGAGTGACGCGGCCTGCAGTACCACATGAGCCGCGAAGGGCGCTAGTTTGAGTAGGAGGTTTAACCTTGAATCTTGCAGCGCCCTACTAAGATAAATGGGCAGCCAGAAGACACTAAACGAGTGGCGGTGGTCCGCTCGCCTTAAATGAAAAAGCAGGGCCTCCTCCACATATACATTGCCATATGTATGATAGGCGTAGAGCGTCGGTCCGAGGAGACCAGAAGCGAACGCCAGACCAAACGCCAGAGCCCTGCCCCACGTAATTCGTCGTCGTGCTTCGAAGCAGAGGTTGTACAAGAAGGGCGCAGCATAGATGACTGGATAGAGCCGTAAATGAGTCGCCAGACCCAGCAATAAACCCGCTTGCACGGGAGCCCGCTTGCTCAGTAGCGCTTTCAGCACAAGATAAACGCTCACGGCGTCCCAGGACCCGCGCGTGCACAGAACGATAGAGATCGGGTTGAACAACCAGAGCAACCGCACGTGCGACGACGCGCCTCGATGGGAAGCGAGTTGACCCATGGCGTCGCCTAGCAGCACGTCCATCAGACAGAACAGCAGCTTGGCCAGCGGTAGCCCCGTCTTTACATCTAACAGTAAAGGGTATGATACAAGTGGCGAATACCGATACGTCGCTCGCTGGAACGGACTGCCGCCTTGCACCATGGCGCGCGCGCCGTCCTTCAAAACGTCATAATCCACGTCCGTGTAGCGCAGCCCCAAGGGCTTGTAGGCGTCGATTATCGACGCGACGGCTACCAATGCAAAGCGCAGGGCGAGGGCTGCTGCCGTGATTGCTGGTGCATGCTGTTGGGAGCCGCCGCGGCGGGCGGGCGAGGGCATGCTGAGGCGTCGCTCAACGACCTCGGCGCGTCGGCACGACGTCTGGCAGCCACAAAAAAGCCCCAAAACTCGGAGAGCTGGAGCTAGCGGCATGTAAGACACTAGGAAGCGGCTGCCGTGATGTCGTTCGAGTGGGCGCGAGAGAGCACCATGCACCGGGCACGCGTCAGCGTCCGCCGGTCTCCGGGACCTCCACGGGGTCGTTTGCGTGTCACGCGCGCGGCCCCCAGCTCCGGAGTAAACCTCCGCCGAGCGCCTCCCCGGGAGGCCGTGCGCCTCCGGCAGGCCCTACTACGAGACGCAGACGCAAAGTTGAGGCTACTAGCACGGCTGGTACGCACAACCAAAGGGCCACGTTTGCGCGCGCACCGACTGGTACGTGCGAGTGGTAGGGCAGCCGCAGGTGCTGCGCAACCCGCCGGGACGATGGCCCCCTTCGCCCGGAACGACAAGACGGTCCTCGAGATCGCGCTGCCGGCGCTCGTCGGGTGCAATGCCGGTGTCTCTTGAGCAGCTCGCCTAGTTGACGCATCGCCGACGGCGCGCCGGCGCGCCGAGCCGCGCACCGCGGCGATGGGAGTTCAGAGGACCGCCGGCGCGCGTCGCCGCGGCCGGCGCTCTTCCAGGAAGAGCTGGCTTGCGGCCGCGGCGGCGGCGCGATACGCGCGTGCCACCCCCGTCGCCCTGGCGCGGGACCGCGGCGGCGCGCCACGCACAGCACGCAGCGAGGACTCCTCGATGCGGAGTGCGGGCCCGCGGCGCGCTAGGGAGAGAGAGACTCGATCGCATCGCGCGGCAGCGACATGACGCCACGCCCCTCGCAGCGGCGTTTTAGCACTAGCCTTCACGACGTACACGTTCTTCTCGCTCAAGGGCGAGCCCACGGGCAAGGACGTCGGCCGTCCTTTGGTGGACAAGTACGGCGCGATGATCAAGGAAGGCGCGATGGCGTTTCTGAAGGAGGAGTACAAGTGGCTGAGCGTCTTCGTGGTCTTGTTGGGAGGCATCCTCTGCGCCCTTTTTTCGGTGGAGGACCAGCACACGAAGCTCGACGGCGTGCTGACGACCTTCGCCTTCTTCCTCGGCGCGATCCTCAGCGCGTCGGCCGGCTGGCTCGGCATGATGGTGGCCACGGACGGCGCGCTCGCGGCGTCCCACGTCGGTGCCTTCACTTCAATACGACTCGTCTCCAGGAACGATGGACGTGGGTGGTTTCTTCTTCGAGTTTGAGGCCGTTCGGACACCGCGATGCGCCGCGCAGGCAACACGCGCACGACGGCGGCCTGCGCCGGGAAAGAAGTGAAGGACGCCCAGGGCAAGGTCACGGGCGGCACGGGGTCGCTGAATGACGGGTTGCGCGTCGCGTTCAAGGCCGGGAGCGTCATGGGATTTGTGGTCGTCGGTGCGATCTCGGCGTCCCGTCGTGTGGAGGCGCCTTCACTTCACTGATACGACTCGCGTCCATCAGACGAGGTCGTGGGTGGTTTCTTTTTTGATTTTGAGACCGAATCGAGAGACCACGATGCTCCGCGCAGGCCTTGGGTTAGTGGGCTGCGCGGGCTGCTTCTGCGTCCTCGCCATCCATAATGGATTGGGCAAGACGGAGTCGCTCCAAATTCTGGCGGGCTTCGGGTTTGGTGCTTCAAGCATCGCTTTGTTCGCGCGCGTGGCCGGCGGCATCTACACGAAGGCCGCGGACGTCGGCGCGGATCTAGTAGGCAAGGTCGAGGCGGGCATCGACGAGGACGACCCGCACAACCCGGCCGTGATCGCCGACAACGTCGGCGACAACGTCGGCGACGTCGCGGGCATGGGCGCGGACCTCTTCGAATCGTATGTTGGGAGCATCATCGCCGCGGCGACGCTGGCCAAGCGGGACAACGAGATCGCCTTACCTTTTTGGTTGAGCGCGTGCGGCGTCGTCGCGGCGATGGTCGGGACCTGTGTGGAAATCAACCAGTGAGTCTCGAGACTCGGACACGATCTCCGAGAGATACACTCGACCGACTGGAGCGAGCAGCACCTCACGCAAACGAAGCACAAGTTGAACTTTGATTTCCACACAGATTGGGACCATGGCCGTCAGCACGAACGAGAAGGGCGAGGGCTGGAACTCGAACTTGGGTGCCTTGATGTGGGCCCTCGAGAAGGGCACCATGTTAGCTGGTGTGCTCTTCCTGGGCCTCGCGGCGGCGTGCTGCCACTTATTGGGGGGCATGTGGGGGGCCTACATCTGCGTCTTGATCGGTCTGGCCTGCGGCATGGTCATCGGGAAGATCACGGAGTACTTCACGAGTTTTGATTTTGCTCCGGTCAAGTCCATTAAGGCTCGGGGCGCGACGGGCCCCGCGACCGTGACGATCCAGGGCCTCGGCGTGGGCATGATCTCCTGCGTGCCGACGATCGTCGTGTTAGTCTGCGCCATCTTAGGATGCGCGGCGATCAAGGGCGAGTACGGCGTCGCGATCGCGGCCGTCGGGATGTTAGCTACTCTAGGAATCACTTTAGCTACCGATGCTTATGGTCCCGTCGCGGACAACGCGGGCGGGCTGGCGGAGATGGACCCCGCGATCCCCGACGAGGTGCGGTGCATCACGGATTCGTTGGACGCTCTGGGGAACACGACGGCCGCGACCGGGAAAGGCTTTGCGATCGGGTCGGCCGTGCTCACTTCCCTCAGTTTGTTGGCGGCCTTCAAGGAACAAGCTCAATTAGATGTTTCATTACTCGCCGTGACCGATCCGTATGTGTTGAGCGGCATGCTCTTCGGCCCGCGCCGGCGTCCGAATTCGGCCCAAATTTCGACGAGAGACCACCCGTCGCCTCCTCTCCCGGAGACGATTCATGAAGATGGCGTGGCATCACGTTTTGAACCTCGCAGGCGCCATGCTGCCCTACATGTTCGCGGCCCTCACGATGATCTCCGTCGGCAAGGCCGCCGCCGAGATCATCATGGAGGTCCGCGACCAATTCCACAACCGCCCCGACCTCGTCGCCCAGGACGGCAAGACCACCCTCAAGGATTGTATTATTATGGCGTCGAACGGCGAGCCGATTCCTCCCCACATGGACGTCATTCCCGACAGCAACAAATGTGTGGCTATCAGTACCAAGTCGTCGGTGCGGGAGATGATCGCGCCCGGCGCCTACGCGATCCTCGCGCCCTTGTTCGTGGGCTTCTTGGTCGGTCCCCGCTGCTTGGTGGGTATGTTGGCAGGTGGCATTGGAAGTGGTGCCATGGTCGCGATAATGATGAGCAACGCCGGCGGCGCCTGGGACAACGCGAAGAAGTACTGCGAGAAGGACGGCACGAAGGCGACGACCTGTGCATAAATCAACCGGTGTGGCTCGGTCGCGCCGTAACATTTTGATTTCCACACAGGGCCTGTCCAAGGTCAAGAACGCCGACGGAAGCTTAGCTCATCCGATGAAGAAGACGTGGTACGACGCGTGTGTGGTGGGCGACACGGTCGGCGACCCCTTCAAGGACACGTCGGGGCCGGCCCTGAACATCCTCATCAAGTTGATGAGCATGGTCAGTCTCACGATTGCTCCTTTACTGAAGACGTACGACAAGCACTGGGAGTTCTACTACTGGGGCTTCCCGCCGCTCGGTTTGTTCGTGGTCTTGACGGCGGCGCTGGTCTACACCGGAATATTAACGTGGGAGGACCCCATCGGCAAGATGCTCGACGAGGGCGAGAAAAAAGTTGAATCTGCGCCTTCGGTGGTCTCGAACAAGGAGGTCGAGCTCGTCGCCTAGAATGATCCTACCCCTAGCCCCCCCCCACTCGTAACTAGGATCGACTCGGGAGTCACAGACACTACATTCTTAACGTGCGGATCAAAATCTCCCGGTCCGTATCGGCGCGGCGCGTCGGCGCCATGCGCAGCGTCTCCGGGGGCCGAGGCTGCGTTTTCATGGCTGCGACGGCCGCGGCGCGCGCCACCCGCCAGGAGTACGACGCCGGGTCGAGCATTGAGCTGTGGCCCTCGCCCTTTATCTCGTGGTACTCGGTAGGAATGCCGCCCGTCGCCGCGGCGACGACGAAGCGCGTCGACAGCGCCGGCGGGACCACCGCGTCGTCGAGGCCGTGGACCAGCGAGAACGACGTCTCCACAACCAGTAATTCCTCCCAGGCCGTCCAGGCCGCGGTGCGCAGCGACGACGTCATCGCCGGCGGCAGGAGCGCGATCGGCGAGTCGCCGCTCACATCAATCCCGAGCGCGCGCGCCTCGCGCAGGTCCAGCGGTGCCCCACATGCGACGACGCCGCGGAGGCGCGCGGAGGTCGTGGACGTCCCTCGGAGCTTTGGAGACCCTCGGAGCGCGTGTCGGAAAGCCAGTTGACCACCGACGCCGTGTCCGATCAGCACGACGTCGTTTGTGAGACCCAGCGCGGCGGCCTCGGGGCTGGCAAGCCATTCCATGGCTGTTTCAACGTCGCCCGAGCCTCGGTAGTCGAAGTTGACGCAGTGGTACGCCGTGCGTGCAATGACGTCCCGCGCGACCGCGTCGAGCGAGCCTCGCGACGCGGTCAGGCTGTCGTGCAGCAACGCCACGACGGGCCGTCGTCCGGGTTGCAAGTAGAGGTCCGCCTCTCGCGGGCCGTAGCTCACGGTCGTCGCGTCCGTCGCGGCCACGGCGGCGGTTGGCGCGAGAGGCAGCGTTAAGGCGGCGCGGCGACCGATGCCATTGCTGAGGCAAGGGTGCGGAGTGCGCAAGGCGGTGCACAGCTGCAAGAAGAAGGCCAGGAGCCCACGCATGGATCAAATCATGACTCCAAAACGCGGTCTGCGATGCGACAACGCATGTGTGCAATGACTGCGGCGCTTGAGTCGATCCTGCGAGGCTAGCGTCCTGTAAGACACTAGCAGGCAAAAACAAGCAGCTGACTACTCGTATTTGCATCGGTTTTGCATCCTGTTCGCGCGTTGGATAGCTTGCCAGACGACCAGTGGCCCGCGCGTACAGCTCTCCCGGCAGCGGTCGTCGCGGTGGCCCGTAACTGCAGAGCGCTCTCCCAGCACCACAAGCTCCTTTGCCCGCCGCGCCGGCAGCGGAAGCCACCGCAAAACGCGGACGCCGCAGCGCTCACCACAGATGGAGAACGCCACGCGCCAGATGGAAAGGCTGATCGCGAGCTGGCCGCCGCCACCAGATTCTCCGGGCATGACGCCACCACCCCCCGGACATATCGTCGTCGACGCGATCCGCGTCGAAATGACAAAGGCGCACTCGAAGCTCGACCCCGCCAGAGTCCTCAAAAAAGAAAAGCAATTAGTGTATGTTTTTTCAGTGGAAGAAAACGGCGACCACCGCGACAACGTCACGAAACGTTTTTCGGAAGTGAAAAAGTTCTGGGAATCGTTAACGGACCAGGCCGAGGCTTGTGGGGCTGATTTGCCGCCTTTTCCTAGACATTCCGCCTTCTTATCTGGAAATGGTGTCGCGGGCAACTTGTACGAGTCTGATGCGCAATCTGATTTCGCGGCGGAGCGCCTGGAGTTACTGCGAGGCCTCGCCGAAGCATTAACGACGGCTACCAATGCTACGGGCGGCTCCTTGTTCGGTCTGAGGCTGGTCCGGGCCTTCTTCGAGCTCGACCGGAGGGATACACCATTACTACCGGTGGCGCGGCCCGTACGAAGGAGGTACACGCTCGATTCCGCTCAAAAGAGATTGAAGGACGCTCAAACAAAGCTGGAGAGTCTGGCTTTGAATTCGCGGCCGTCGCTGATCGGGGCGTTTTTACGAGCGACGCCCTGCGCCTTCTGTGCAGTGTTCGTCCTAGCTATGACCGTACTAACAGGGTATACTTAGAGTTCGCTTCTGATGGAAACACCATCTCCCGTTGAGACGAGAGACAATGACCGCTCCCCCCGCAAGACGCGCTCGGCGAGTTGTGTGGCCACCACTTGATCCACGTACCTTCTGAGAGGTCGAGCGCCGTACGCCTCCAATTCGTCGCTACAAGCGTCCACGACAGCCGAAGCCGCGTCGTCACTCATTTGTATGAGGAGGCCGTGCTCCTCCGAAGCGAGCTCCGCAAGAGCCTCCAGATGTACGGAAGCGATACGAATCAACGACTCTGTATCCAATTTTTCATAAATCAACACGCGATCCAGCCGATTCAGGAACTCGGGCTTGAACCTAGAAGAATCTTTCGCATTCGTAGTAAGTATGACATAAGCGTGCGAGAAGTCGACAACTCGGCCCTTCGAATCCGTCAACCGCCCGTCCTCGAGCACTTGTAAAAAAACGTCAAACACATCCGCATGGGCCTTCTCGGCCTCGTCCAGTAAAACGACGGCGTAGGGCCGTCTTCTTACGGCTTCCGTTAACTGGCCGCCATCGTCGTGGCCGACGTAGCCGGGCGGAGCACCTACTAACCGAGAAACAGAATGCTTCTCGGCGTACTCCGACATGTCGATGCGGATCAACGCGCGGGCGTCGTCGAAGAGCTCTTGTGCCAATGCCCGTGCCGTTTCCGTTTTACCGACGCCGGTCGGTCCCAGCAGCAGAAACGCACCGCGCGGTCGCTGCGCATCTCGTAAACCCGCTCTTGCGCGTAGTACAGCGCCCGCAATCGCATCCGTGGCTCGTTTCTGGCCCACGACTCTTCTAGACAGTCGTTCCGCTAGATCGAGCAGTCGTTGCCCTTCGTCCAAGGACAGGCGCGCTACGGGAATACCCGTGCTTCGCGCGACGACCTCGGCCACATCAGCGGCCGAGACGACGTCCGTAGCACCATATGTTGATGATGCGTTCTGCGCACTTCGGACCGCGTCCAACCGCCGCCGCTGCAGCACCGAGAGCTGCCTCTTCCCTTCATTGACCTCATCATAACGTGAACGGCGCTCCTGCGTCGCGATGTCTCTCTCCACATCCTCAATTTCCAAGTTAATAGCTCGGAGCTCGTCATAAAACGACTTCTCCGCGCGCCACGCTGATGTAGCCTCCTGCCTCTTGGCGTCGGCATGCGCGTAGGAGCTTCGAGCCGAATCGAGCTTCCGCACCAGCTCCACGTCCATATTTTTCGGCGAAGAAAAGAAATACGTTCCGAGAAATCCTTTCTTTCTCAGAGAAATTTCCGTCTCCAAAGCTTGCACTTCGCCCAACAACGCGTTCGCCGCTTGGTTCAATGAATCTAAGATTTGGGGCCTACTATCTAACAGTACACGTCTCCGGGCGCAGGCTTCGTCCAAGAGGTCAATCGCGGAGTCGGGCGAGTGTCTCTCACTGATATATCGTTCAGCTAAGACAGCAGCGTGCTGCAACGACTCATCTAAGACACGGACGCCGTGGTGGGCTTCGTACGTATCTCTCAGACCTCGCAGGATAGCTGTGGTGGCCGAAACGTCGGGCTCTGTTACAGAAACGCGTTGCAGCCGCCGCTCGAACGCCCCGTCCCGCTCGATGTGCTTCATGTACTCGGAGTCCGTAGTGGCGCCGATGCACCTTAATTGCCCTCTCGCTAGGGCGGGTTTGAGCAAGTTCGCGGCGTCGGCGGCGCCTTGACCTGCGAACGGCCTCGAAATCGACAAAGAAACCACCCACGTCCATCATTCCTGGAGACGACTCATATCAAGGAAGTGAAGGCGCCGCAACACCTCAAAACGCCGAGATACGCACCGCCCGCGCCAATGAGCATGTGCATCTCGTCGACGAAAAGTATCGACGACGGGTCCCGCTCCAATTCCTGGACGACGGCCTTCAACCTAGCTTCAAACGCGCCTCTCTGGGAAGCGCCGGCCATCAGGAGCCCCAAATCCAACGCCCAGATCTTCGCCCGTCGGAGCGGCTCCGGGACAGCACCCTCCAGTACGCGAAGCGCCAGACCCTCGACGACGGCCGTCTTGCCGACGCCCGGCGGCCCCGTGAGCACGGGATTGTTCTTCTTCCGTCGCGAGAGCACTTGGACGAGTCTTCTTATCTCGGAATCTCTTCCTATCACAGGGTCCAGTTGCCCGTGCTCCGCCCTTTCAACGAGCTCGATGGCGTACAACGACAAGGCGTCGAAGGTCTCGGCCGCGTCTTCCACTCCCGCTGCTTTGGCCGCTTTTTTGGTCGCGTCTCGTACCGCTTGGATAGTCGTGCCACTCTTGGGAACGCACTTCTTTAGAGGTTCATCGTCTAGTAACGCAATGAGGAGGTGGGCCACGGTGCCTTTACTGCCGGAGACCTCCCTCAAGATGCGTTTGTAGGTGTCCTGCGCGGAGCATCGCGGTCTCGTCCGAACGGCCTCTTCCGCAAAAAAGAAACGACCCACGTCATCGTGAGATGGCCACGAGTCGCGTCGATGGCGTGAAGGCGCCTCCACACGACGGGACGCCGAGATCGCACCTCCAAGATGGCAGATTGCGGGGTGTTGTCGTTGTCGCCTCGAGGCAATCTCCGCAACTCCTTCCGGAGTTCGGCGTGGAGGAGAGCGGCGTCGCCGCCCGCCGACTTCAGCACTCGACTGGCCTGTGTTGTACAGATTACGCGAGGCGCGTGGACTCTCTGATGATCATGAAGACATCGCTACGACGCCGTCGACGCAACTTGAAGTTCAGAAAACTTCGGAAAAGACGCTGAGTCAGCACGAAGGTGTTCGGGTCGGAGAAGAGAGTTGTGGCCACGTGGTGCGGCTCGAGGAGCGCGTGGCGCCGCTGCCGCGCGAGGTCCTTGGCCGCTTCGACGGCCTCGAGGGCCTTGTTCGTCAGGATCAAGGTGCGTTGGGCGGTCACGGCGGTTATGATGGATAGGTAGATTAGGCTGCCCATGGTGCTGTCGATGCGTGAGGGCAGCCACCGGGAAAGCGCCTCCGGGGCACGCGCCCGCTTCTCTAGAAAGCTACCTCGTTCAGATCTACCACCGCCTGGCCGCAGGCACGCGGTGGGAGCGCCCGTCCTCGATTTAAATTTTTGCTTTAGCTAGCGCAGATGGATGCTAGCGCTAGCGCTCGGCTGAGCCTGCCCAGGCGCATTGCGGCGGCCCATAGGCGCGGGCGACGGGTCGAAGGCGTCATCTGGCACGGCAGCCGTGCGCTTGCTACGTTTGGGCTGCCTCCCGGGGCCTAGGTAGCGCTCAGACCCACCCATGGCCGAGCAGCGCCGGGACGCCCCCGCGGCAGCCGTGACCAAGGTCAAGAAGATCGGCCACGTAAGAATCGCGGCGAGGGAGTTCGAGAAGGGCGCCGCCCTGCCGCTGAAGGAGGCCTGCCGGGCCCTCTTCACGGCGAGCCACCGCGACGACGGCGTGAACGACGCCGACCGGCTCTGGTGCGGCCACGGCATTGCCATCGTGCTACCTGGTGATTTACTCGACAATTTGAGAGGCGTGGGCATGGATCCCTTAACGAATGAAGAGGTCCCGGTGCTACCGCCACAACGCCTACGACTACTCCTCAGTCCCGCGCCGATGTGGCCAATCGATCCCTTCTCCGCGAAAAGGTCCGTGGCGGCCTTCGTCGAAGATCTCCCCACTGACGACACTGAGTCGTCGGACAGCGAGATCGACATACCTGCCAGGAGACCTACGGTCGTGACGTGTTCACCAAATGACGCGTTTTACGCGTCCCACAAAAACGAGCCCTCGCATCTCGTGCTCTGTGCGGCTGGGTCATCGGAGCCCCACTGCCCCATTGAGTCAGCACCATTCGGCGTCCACGTATCTCAGAAGGTACTGAGGAGAGGAGACAGGATCGTCATCGCGCGGCCGGCCGACTGCCTCGATGCTGCTGGAAGACGCCAGAAGCGGTCGCAAGTCACAGTGGATACGAAGAACGTCATGCCTCCAGGTGAGGCGAAGGCCGCTCATACGTTGTGTCGCGGCGTGATCCGACACGTGGCCGCGGGACGGTTCTTTTACGACGTCGCGCCGGAGGACCACGAGGCGCACTGTTCCATGCTTTGGACTGGTAGTGCCATCTTTCGGGTCGTGAACGCGCCTACGGGTGCCAAGGCTTATCGGGGTCGATCTCAATCTTTTAAGAGTATGAGAGTGGAGTTAATTGGTTTAAGGTCGAGACCGCGACCGCAACCGCCGCGCGACGTCGACGCTCTTATAAGACGCTACGACCTCGACGCGGACGAAAGTTCGCAAGGGACGCGCGATTCGGCTCTGTTAGGTGCTGTGCACATCGACGAGGGCCGCGAACGCGCCAAGCGTCTCCGAGAGAAGTGGAGGGAGCCCCATAATAGTAGAGGGCGGTGGACCCACGAAGGTATTGGAATAGATTCCTTTTTGGACCAGGTCCGGGCCGAGGGCGATGAAAGGGAGCGACTACGGGACCTGAAACGCCAGGAGCCGCCTCCGGTAAGACGGGACGACGGCGGGCAACGGGCCATCAAGCGCATCCTCCGAAGACAACTGAAAGAGTTTTTCCTGGGCGAGCCGTGGGTCCCGGGTGCTGACTCGGCGTGATTTCCAGCCTTTCCGAACTTCAACTTCGCATCGATGGCGTCAACGCGACGCGATGCCACCGTGACGCCGTCGACGTGGCCGTGCGAGAGTCTGCGCGTCGCGTGAGGGAGCCGCGGCAGTTTCGCGACGCCGTCGTTCGACGCAGGCCCCCCTCCAGACCTAGACAAAATGGACAGCGCGCCGCGCTTCGTGGCGGAGAACTGCGCGTTGAAAGGTGTTGATAGTCTGATGAAGCTGGCCATGGCCTACATTGGTATTAACCGGTTAGATGGAGCTGCGGAATGCTTGACTTGCGTCGCGCGGGCCTGTGCCAAGCCTGGAACTGAAGGTCTGGAAAGAGGACTGGAGGTCCTGGGGAACGAGGAATGTTTGCTAGCTTTAGCGGAGGCGTTGAAGGGCCCGCCCGTACAACCAGATGCGTGGGACGGCGCAAGCAGTGACGACGAGTCCACTACGAGTCGTACGTCGTCCTACTACTCCGGTCTGCCCTCGCCGGCGGGGTCCCAGTCGTCCCACTACTCGACGGCCAGTCGTGCTTCTCATTCAACGATGGGTTCGTCGCGGCCCGGGTCGCGCCAGCGGCGCAACCGCTCTAGACCGGGCTCCGCGCTGAATACGCCGCGGCGGCCCGGCTCGCGGTCTAGGTCAAGGCCGGGCTCGCGCAAGAAGTCGCGGCCGGCGACCCCCGACGAGTCGCGACCCGCAACGGCGACGAGCGACGACTCCGAGGCCGACCGGGAACGTTTACGAGTCCAAGCCGAGGCCGACGCCAAGGCCGCGCGGGCCCGTGCATAATTCCACGCCGTCGACGCGACGCTCACCGTTCGACTCCGCCCGCACGGCCGCGTGCTCACGGGTCGGTTTCCGCACAGGCCCAGGAGGAGGAAGAAGCGTTAGCGAAGCAGGCCATGGCCGAGGAGAAGCTTAGAAGGGAGCGCGAGTGCCAGGAATTGCTCGCTGCTTCCGCGGGGGAGATCGTCGCTGCCATTGCTAGACGTACCAATTACGACGGACTGCAAAGGCTAAAAATGATGCCTGAAGCAGTTTGTGCCTCGTTGCGAGGTTTATGCGAAACAGATGACGCGGAAGATGGTCTCGGGAGAGTATCTGCGTGGGCCCATGGGGTCCTGCGGTGCGCCGATGGTTTAGCGCGCGGCGACTTTTTAGCTTTGGATCTGAGGAATGGGAAAGCTCCGAACTTCTTGCGGCGATTGAACCCGTCACTATCAGCATTGGACCGGAACGGCGGCGACTCCTACGACTGCTCGCAGCGCGTCGAACATTATTGTCACAAAAGTGATAAGCCGTGGAAGCTGTTGCCACAAGTCGACACTATTGACCCCCACGACGGCTACATGGTCCGGGCCGCGCCGAAATACGAGGTGGCTAAACTAATCCTGGCGGACCTGAAACGCTCAAAACAACCTTGTAGCCTGACGTCGTGGGGCGGCGTCGGCGATGACCTACTAGGACGAAGGACGGTCGTCACGCGGTCCTTCGACGAGACGAACCGGCCGCCCCCCGAACCCTTGCCGGAGGACGAGACCCAAAAAGTTTTTGATGAAGAGATGGCCAAAAGAGTAACACCAGAGGGCGTGGCGGAAGTGGAAGCGGAAAGGGCCGACACGGCTTGTAGAGCTGCAATGCACCCGCGCCAGTTCGTGCCGGACGGCGAGCGGGGGCCTCCTGTTACTCTTGATGAGAGGTCGCGGCGGCCGGTCACCGGTACTCGCGAATATGCGCGGCGCGCTTTGCCGGCGCCGCTCGTGCCATCCCTCAAACTGCGGAAGCGCGTCTTCGACCGGAAGATTACGGGTAGGCTAGGAGACTAATGTTATCGTTCTAGCCGCGACGCGTCGGGCTCGCCCGGGCGTTCTCGGAACTCTCCAGCAGTCGCCTCGTCGATGGCCGCGCGCGCGTCTCCCTCAGTGACGCGGTGCTTCGTCCAGTACACGCCGTCGATCGCGAGCACGGGGATGTCGTACTTGTACCTGTCCCACAACTGTTTTTTGTCTTGGTCCGTGATGTCCACGGCTACGAGGGAATGGGGCGCGTCGTTTCGTAACGCGTCGAGGACGGCCTTCGCGGCGTCGCAGAGCGTGCAGCCCTCCTTCGTGAAGAGTTCGATCGTCGGGCCGTCGCCTTCATATATACGGCCGCTGACGGAAAAGTGGCGCGTGTGCCGCGCGCGCGTGCGCGGGGGCTGCAGCGCCCGGGCGGCCAGCGTCGTTAGTGCGAGGAGTTGGCGTCGCATCGGTCGCAGGCGTCGACGGCGTGTCCAAATGAGTCCTTTCCTGGCGTTTTTGAGTGCGCAGCCGCACGCGTGCGGCGACTGCCGCTTTTGTGTTTCCTAGTGCCTTACATGCCGCTAGCTCGTGTTCTTTGACTTTTTCGCGGGGAGTGGAAGGTCACAAAGCAATGGCTTGAGGTTGTCCGGTTTCACCGGATTGCCGAGGCGCGGCGAGCCGCCCGAGTGCGGCTCATGCCGGGCCCCAGCCATTGGGGTGAGAAGACTGCTCCCGCACGTATCCCGAGACGCGGGGAGAGGTAGGGGTATTACTCAGAGTAATAGGCGAGGCACTCGTCGTGGAAAGGGGTACTTTTCCCCGCCGAATCAGTGGCTCGCCCTCCCCAAGTCTGAGAGGACCTGTAGCCCTGATAAAAAACGCATCTAGTTGAAACACACTAGAGGCACCACGCGTACGCGGCGACTTGCGTACCGGGACGCAGCGCATAGGCGTTCCGCTACAGCGGCGCACCGCTATTGCGCGGTCTCTGCCCGTTTTCGCTGCGCTGTCCATAGATAGCGCCTCTCACGGCTCTCTTGGTCAGACCATATTTTATGGCAACCTTACGCGAGGCCGCATGGCGCGGTGACGTCGAGATGCTCCGAAAATGTTTGCGGGCCGGTATAAGGCCAGATGTAACGGACGATTACGGTAGAACGCCTCTTCATTTATTGTGCGGCCCGCTTCATCCGCAGGCCTCTTCCAACACAACCGCTGCGGATGAAGACCGCCGCGCGGCCTGCTTCAAGCTCCTTCGTGACGCGGGGGCAAATTTGGAAGCGACCAATTCTTCTAGCTGGACGCCACTTCACTGTGCGGTTTGCATTGGAAGCGTCGGGTTGGTGTCGTTGCTAGTTCAAAGCGGCGTTAATGTGGATGCGGCAACCACCGGTGGAACCACAGCGCTGCACTTTGCAGTGCGGATGGGGCCTAACAATTGCCTCGAAGTGCTCCTGGCCGCAGGCGCTTCTCTGAATCTAAGAGAAGGTCACGGGCTGACGGCTTTCAGCCTTGCACTTCTTTCCCGAACGAACCGCTGGATGTGGCCGCTCTTTCTCCGCGCGGGCGCTGAGATCCCCACCGATAACACGGAGCCGTACATCGTACGAGTCAAAAACGCCGGCGGATTCCAGAGATACGCTCAAGCCCACCTCGCGAGGATCACGTCGATCCTTGAGACGCCCCTCCTCCCGCCGGAACTCGTCCGAAAGGTCCTCGAGTACTGGCTCCACGCGGGGTACTACTGAGTAAGCTATGTATGTTGATTCCAAAGATTTGGTCTTTAAGCACCAGGGATTATCAATGGAGTTGCTGGGTCCGTTCTCCTCGGCTAGTGATGATAACTTCAGATAAGAAGAAATGTTGTCCGAAACTAACACTCCCCGGCCCCCCGGCACGCGCGCTCGAGTTCCCTGAAGTGGTCGCACGCCTTCGCCGCGTTGCACCTAAATGACCGCGTCCCCTTCGTGTCCAGGATCATTCCTTCTAAACGGCAGCCCTTGGGCGCCCAGCGCTTGAGGGCCCGCGCGAGGTCCTTGTGGTTGGCGAAGACGCGTGACCTGTGTGGGGCGCAGTCACAAGGACAATGTCGCGTCGATGGCGTGGGGCGCCTGAAATTCGATTTCCACGCAGCGCGTGACAGGGCCTCGGGCGAACGCTTCATGGTCCGCGGCGGCGTCTTGCGCGCCGCCGACGCGTCAAGGCCGAGCTCGCGGAAGACGCGCGTCAACTCGCCGCCGGCGTCGTTTCGGAACGCCTCGTACGTCGCGACGACGACGCGCGTGTCGTTCGCGAACGCGGCGCCGAGGGAGTATAACGTAGCCGAGTCGCAGGCCTCGCCGCGGACGCGCCCCAAGAAATCTATCGGCTCGATCGTCGTCGGCTTGCGGTGGTGGCATCGTCTAGCTTCCCGTGTCGTCCGGATATTGTGGCGCCCGCGCCAGTCTACGCGCGAGCGGCGACGCCGCCGGTCGCGGAGGCGCCGCGCGCCGCCTCGCCTCCACCCGCCTACGCCCGCGCGGCGACGCCGCCGGTCGCCGAGGCACCTTCGCGCGCGCCGACGCCGCCGTCGTACGCGCGCGCGGCGACGCCCCCAATTCCAAACGGCAAGGAGGAGTGCGTCGTCTGCGGGCGAAGCACGGCGGCCGACGCGTGCAGTCCGTGGAACGTGCTGACTTGTGATATTCCAGGATGTGGGAACGAGGTGCACACGTACTGCACGCTCGCGAACCCCATCGAGGAGTTCACCTGCCCGCGATGCGAGGAGAAGTCTCAGAAGAAATCGTTGACGAAGCACCCGTCGCTCGACGCGCGGATTGCTGAGAGGCGCGCGGCGGGCGGCGGGGAGGAATTTAAGTACTAGCCGTGCTACCTTTACGTCCCTGGGTATCCGGTGAGCGGCGCGTCGATGGCGTCGAGGCCGCGCCAACGCCACGGACCCGCCTCACCTATGATCTCGAGACGACGAGACGCAACGTCGAATAGAACGACACTTAGCCCCTAGATCACCGTCTCCACCTCGCTCACGCCCACCGACTCCGTGACCGGTTCTTCCACAGAAGCAGCCCCTCGAGGCAGGAACTCCATGAGCGCGGGGATCGCGTTGTTGAGCGCGGCCTCGAGCTCCTGCATCATCTTGCCCTTCTTCATGCGCGAGCCGTTCACCCTAGGGAACTGCGCAAAATCCACTTCCTTCGCCACCGCGACGAATTTCTGCAAGTCGGGGAAGTCGCCCGGGGAGAGACCACGAGCTCTACAAACGGTCCGGAACTGCGCCGGCATGCTGTTCAACAGCTCTTGTTTTTTCTTCTGGAAGCCGTAGACCGACGGCATCTGTTCCCGCAGGTGGTCCAGCAAGTAGCAGTGCGCCTTGAGCAATCGCGCTCTCTTAACGAGTTCGTTCACGCGCCGCGTCGCGGATTGTTGCGGTAATTCCCGCAGATCCGACAGGAGATCGCCCATCTCCGCGGCTAAGAGAGGCGCCGTGTCCGGGTCTCTCAATTCTTCATCGTGGAACGAGCCAACATAAACTCGACACACTTCGGGCGTGTCTAACACGCGTCCCAGCGACCACATCAATGCACCATAAACTCGCATCAACTGCTGCTGATTCACTCTATCGGACTTGTTGAGCACGACGCGCACCTTGTCCTCGTGGCCCCGGAACCGTCGGATGACTCCCGTCAACTCGTCGCTAATGTCGAGCTTGAACGGATCGAAGAGCAGCACTATTAAATCCACTCGTTCCGCGAACCTGCGTGGGAACGACACCGTCACGAGACGCGTCGACGCTCTGCCGGCCGCGTCGACGGCGTCGAGGCGATGCGGTATCGCGACGACGCCATCGCCGCGACTTGATAGACGCCGCGTCGGCGCCACTGGACGACGACGTCAAAGTCGTAGTGCCTCTGGACCCGTTGTTTCTCTCCGGACAACACCCCAGGCGTGTCGATCAGTGACAAGTGCTCCAGCAACGGTGCGGCACAGAGACTTCCTTCAAACCTCGACAGAAATGCGTTGCCCTCGCGCTGCAACGCTCGGAAGGGCGAATTCGGTGCCACCGTCAGAGCGTTTCCAGGAATCGTCCGGTCGTCCTCGCCGTACATGACGGCCGTGAACCGGTCCGTGGTCGGCTCGGGACCGATGCGCTGGCCCGGGAACTTGCGGCCGAGGAGGTACCTGCGCGGACATCGACCAAACTCGGACCCGACGCCCCTCTGATGCACTCGACCGAGTGGCGAGAGCATCACTGCGCCCACACGCAGAGAGACCCCGAGTTGAAGGGCCCTTGAACCTCGACACTGGTCAATACTCGATAAACGTCGTCTTGCCGACCGAATAAGGTCCTACTAGTAAAACCATGGGCGGCGTGCGGAACTCCGCCTCATTCAGCAGTGAGGAATAAAACACGTCGAACTTCGTGGCCTCTTCGATGGGCCGGAAGACTTTTGTATAAAGTTTCGACAATTCCCGGAGCACATAATCCTTCTTTTCGGCGTCGTCGGCGGACGGCGGCGGTGGGATTGAGGGTCCTTCCTGCTTCTTCTTGCCGAAGAACATCTCCTCCATTGGTTACGGTGTTGTGGTGTTGTGTGGCTGCGGAAGGATGCTGGGGCCCCTGGGAGTTTTCAGTGCCAGGCGATGCGGCGGCTGGTGACGCTTCGACGGCGGCTTCGTCGGCAGCGTTTGAGAGCTGTTCAAATGGTCAACGTCCACCAGGTATGCGAGCCCCGGCAAAACGCAGAGCCGCGCCGACCCGGTGCTAGCGTCCAGTAACACACTAGCAAGCAGACAAAAATCCCAGGAGCGCAAGCCTGTACGTTTGCCTTTGTGCACGCGTAGCGCTGCCGCAGGACAGAACCGATCCCGCGGCACTGCCCAGCATCGAAAACAGGAGCCGTATCTAGGCGCCAGGGATTCATCCCAGCCTCAAGACTCGACGTCGGGAACCGCAGCCTCCGCGGCAGCATCCGACGTGATACGCCATCGACGCGACGCGCAACATCAACAAGAAGACGATCGGGTAGCGCATCAACAAGCAAAAGATGCGCGAGTCCACGCTCCAGATCGCGCTCGCCGCCCTAGGCATCTCCGTCATTGGTTTACTGATAGAGCTCAAAAAGCGCGACAACAAGAAGAACAAAGTAAAAGACAACGACCCACCAATCCCGAAGCGCCAGGCCTCGATACGCAGATACGAAGCTTTGATACTCGAACGCGGCTCCGTCGGGTCGAAGGATTATCGGGTCCACGTCTTACAGAAGGACACGTCGCAACGAGCCAGAGAGCTGAGCCTCTGGCACGACGTGCCCCTCGTCGCGCCCTCGGCGCCGTCGTCGGCGCCGGCGTCGCCGCGCAACGCCCCGCCTTTATTTAATTTTGTGTGCGAGATTCCCAAGTGCACTAGAAAGAAATTTGAAGTGGCGACCGATGAAACGAAGTGCCCCATCAAGCAGGACGAGAAGAAGGGCGTGCTGCGCGAGTTCAAGAAGGGCGACATTTTTTTTAACTATGGGTGTTTTCCGCGGACGTGGGAGGACCCGAGGCACGTGTCGAAGGACACGGGCTATCCGGGCGACAACGATCCTTTGGATGTGTGCGAAATTGGTATAAGACAAATCGGCACGGGCCAAGTGAGGGCCGTCAAAGTCTTAGGTGTCCTGGCGATGATCGACGACGACGAGACCGACTGGAAGGTCGTAGCGATTGACGTCGACGACCGGTGGGCTCCTGAACTCAATGATGTGGAGGATGTGGAGCGCTTGTTGCCAGGAACGATCTCCTTCATAAGAGAGTGGTTCCGCACGTACAAGATCCCCGACGGCAAGCCGCCGAACAAATTCGCGTTGGAGGAGCGGTGCATGCCGCGTGCCTACGCCCACGGCGTCATTAGGGACACGCACGCGGCCTACCGCGACCTACTAGCGTCGGGCGGCCACGAGGGGCTGCACCTGCCGGCGGACATTTCCTCGCTTACTGGCTTGGCGCGCGACTCGGAGATTGTTGATAGGCGGCTTCCCTTGTCGCCGGCCAAGGCCACGCTCTAGTAAGTAACTTCTTAGCCACTCGTCGGCGGCGCCTCGCGGGCGCGGAGGATTGCTCGCGCGACTCGCAGATGGTCCTCAATCCCCGTTGTGGTCGGGTGCGCGCCGCCGAGCACGCGCCGCGCGATCCGTCCCGTGTCCTCGAGAGTCGTCACGGCCTCGCGGACATCGTCGAGCGTGGCGCCGTCGTCCTTGTAGAGGGTCTGCGCATAAGTCCACCTCATCTTGAGCATGGTGTCATTGCCATCTTCGAGAACACGTCGCGCCACGGGGATCGTTCTGCGCAGCAACGGCTTGGCTTCTTCGAAGCGCTTTAGTTCATTTAGGGACAGCGCGTAGTTGTTGGCTGCTATAAGGGTGGTCAAGTGTTCCTCGCCATTGAGCCTCACACGTCCAGAGTATACATCACGATATAGATTTAGGGCCTCTTCGTGCCGCCCGATCACTACATACGTGACCGCAAGATTGCCCTGCACGGTGAGAATGGATTCCTCTGAATCACCAAGGCGCCGCCGTGTAGACAATTCGGCCTCCCTCACGGCCAACGCGTCCTCGTGGTGCTCTGCGGCGGATAAACCGGTCCCGAGCTCATTCATCGCGTTGATCCGATTCCAGTCCCCCTCCGGCCGGCCCACGTACGTTTTCCAGCACGCCCAGCCGAGCGCGCCCCGCACGACGCCGTGATGATTTTGCTTGCACAGGCCGCACGTGTGCCACCGCGCCCACGCTGGATCTAATGGTTTATTGTTCTCCTCGGCCTCCGCGAATAAAATCTTCGCCTGCTCCGCCAGGCACGACACATGCGCGAGGCCCGCCGTCCCGCGGCACGAACACCCGCGTACGAGGCCCTCCTTCGTCTTCCAGTGGAGGGCCTGCGTGCAGATGTAGCACGTCTGGCCCTTCGTGTCCTCGGCGCACGCCTCGACGGCCTCCGCGACGGCCTCCGTGTATCTCTTATTGGCATTATACTGCTCGGCGCCGCCCGCCTTTTTTATCGGTTTGCAAAGCTGGTCGTGGCCGCCCGCTTCCCAGTGTTGTTTCTGGCATTCAGGCCCACAGTAGCGTGTGCTGCAGCGGCCGCATTTCTTGCCCAAGCTTAAGCCAAGCTCGGTGGCGCAGACGGCGCACTGCGTGAGGATCATCTTCTATATGGTCAAATCGCGCAGGGGCACCCCTACGATGCAAAAAAGCCCTCGAGAGACTCCGCTTGCTTGTTTGCTAGTGCCTTACAACCGCTAGCTAATACAAGGAGGGCTCGCCTCAGGACGCGTCGTTTTGCAGTCTACGGCCGAGTCTTCTCTCCAGAGAGTCGCTATATTGCTCCCATTTACACACTCCCCGCCGGCGACGGCGACGGCGGCGTCTCGCGGGCGCGGAGGACGGCTCGCGTCTTTCGCAGATCGTGCTCAATTGCCACTGTGAGAGGATGCGCGCGACCCATCACGCGCCGAGCCGTCCGTATCGTCTCTTCGATCGTCGTCACGGCCTCGTGAAGATCGTCGACCGTGGCGGTGGGGTCCTCGCAGAGCGCACGTGCGTAACCTTTCCTCATCCTGAACGTGACGTCATGACCCTCTCCGAGAACGCGTCGCGCGACGGGGATCGTTTTGCGATACAGTGATTTGGCTGCTTCGAAGCGCTTTAGACAAACAAGGGACGTCGCGTAGTTGTTGGCTGCTAGGAGGGTATTTTCATGTTCCTCGCCCTTGAGCTTCAACCATCCAGAGTATACGTCTCGTCGCAGGCTCAGGGCCTCTTCATTCCGTCCGAGGTTTCGATACGTGATCGCAAGATTGCCCTGGTCATGCTCGTCTGCCGTGTTTTGATAGGTGCCGCGGTCGGGCTGACGGCGCTGACGCTCCAGATGAAAACTACATCAAGGGGCAAATTCGTCGCGTTTCGGCGGCTGCCCTACCCCGACGACGACGAGAGCACGGAGGGCCACACGTTCGTCAACCGCTTCCCGACGGGCTGGTGGTTCGGCCTCTTCTTCCTGGTCGTGGGATGCATCGTATTGGATCACCACGCGACACTGGGCTTCGCGACGCCCCATCCGTCGAGTCTCGGCCGGCGCCTGCTCTGGACGTCTGCCGTCGTGCTCGTCGAGGTGGCGATTATCTTCGGCTGCCACGAGGTCTTCTTCAACGTAGCAGTCCGGCCGATCTTTAACCACGGCCTGACGCTGAAGACGCACTAAGGATTGTTTGTACTAGAAGTATCGAGATATATATATCTGTTTGCTAGTGTCTTACAGGCCGCTAGCTCCAGCCGAATCGCGGAGCCGGAGCCTGTCGAGCAGAGCAGCTTGGCGCGACCTAAAGAGCGTCGCAGTCTGCGCGCCGAAATTGTGCTGTGCTCATTTGCATCGGTGACATCTCTGCTCTGCTGCAAACCTAGCGGCACACCCAACACCAGCACAGCTCTCCGCAGCTCTCCGCAGCCAGCGAGGCAGCCAGAGACAGGAAGCGATGGGCGTCCGCGGCCTCGCGACCCTGGCACGAAAGCGCGGCGGCTCGACCTTAGAAACGATCGATGCGGACACGACACTACTGATAGATGGAAGCGGGTTATGCGCGCACGCGCTGCGAGACCAGAAATGCGAATACGGCGGAGATTTAGGTGCACTAGATGCCGCGACGACGCAGTTCCTCGAGCGATTGTTAAACAGAGACTTCCGGGTCGTGGTCTACTTAGATGGCGACCAGCGAAGGATGAAGACGCACACCTCCGAAGATCGATTAGCCAAGCGCCGAGACGAGTGGTCTACGTTGGAACGCTACGCCGACGGGTCCCAGGAGGTTCGAAGGCCGGCCGGCGACCTGCCCCGACCGGCGTTAGCTTCAAGAGTGTTTGAAGCTTGTTTACGTCGATTGGACGCCCCCAAGCGGCGAAAACTGACGCTGCTTCAGTGTTCCGAAGAAGCGGACCAGCGCATAGCCATCGACGCCTGCCGCCGGAAAGCCCTGATTGTAGGCAACGACTCGGACTTTTTAGTTTTTCGGGACGTGAGATATGTGGAGCTCGAGCACGCCGCTAGAATAGGAGAAGCGCAGGTCCCCGTCTGGACGCGTGCAGGCGTCGCCTCCTCGCTAAATCTGTCGGAGGCGCTCTTCGTGGAATTCTGCCTAGCTTTGGGCAACGACTACACTAGTCATTTAGCACTGGACGTGCCGAAGTCGCCAGAAAAACTTTTAGAATTTTTTGCGACCGACTACAGGTGCCCGGACCGCGCTCCCGTATTGTTTTCGAGAGCTTTATATGATCTACAATCGTTAGAAGAGTGGCCCCTCGATCAGCCCTCATCTGGAGAAAGCGGCGCGCCTCCGCTCGTACCCTCGTCAACAATAACGCCGCGACCGTCCCCGGACGCCATCGACGCGATCGTCGACGAGGTGAGGTGTCTCGTAGCCGCACCGGGCGGCGACCGCGTGCTCCAGCCCATCCTATCGAACATGAGGGAGCAGCTCCAGTCATGTCTCGACGATATATCAGCAAGGGCCCTGGGAGGCATGCTGCAATCGACGCCCGACGACTTGGATGCGATTGGTAGTAAAACGCCTCCACTGTGGAGCGATGTCGTGGCGGCGTATAGGTATCAGAGAGTTCTGTGCGAGTCCGGGCTGTTCCGCCATCTAGGGGCCGGTGTCAGAGCCGACGGTCCTAGGAATTTGTATCATGGTCCCGGTTTTCATGCTTTATGTCGCAAATTGAGAGGGCGCGCAGCACCACCGCCGGGCCTCTCCCCACAGACGACGCCGACGACGCCTCCTGGTTTAAGGAAGGCCCTCGCGAACGTGCCCGCCCAGCTCCCCATCGACGCCCACCGGTTGGAGATCCTGGATACGATCGCACGAAACCGGGTCACGATTGTGTGTGGAGAGACCGGTTGCGGGAAAAGTTCGAGATTACCTCTCATGCTCTTGGAAAACGACTCAAAGGCCAAGATGTTCGTCTCCCAACCGCGACGCATCGCGGCGCGGGCGTTGTGCGATCGGGTCCGCCAGTCTTTGGGGGAGGAGGTCGGGTTGCGACTCGGGTTTGGGGAGCGAGACGAATCGAGAAAGACGCGGCTCTGGTTCTGCTCCACTGGATATTTAGTGAGATTGGTGGCAGCCCACCCGCAAGCCCTGAAGACGCACACGCACATTATTGTTGATGAGGTTCATGAGAGATCGGTAGATACGGAGATACTCTGTTTGTTATTACGAAGGTTGGTCCAGGAGCACCCTACGATTAGGGTCGTATTAATGTCGGCCACCGTCTGTGTTGATTTATATGCGTCGTACTTCGGCGTCGATCCTCGAACGAGCTCGTTACACGTCGGGGCTCGACGTTATCCAGTGACCGAGTTTTATGCTGACGACGTTGTGGATAGTTTACGACTGCCGGAGAACTTGCATAGTAATGCTCAAAGATTAGTCCTACACACTGGCGAGAGACCCCCACATGCCTCGGCGCAGCACCCGCTGGTCAAAGCCATCGTGCGTTCAGTAGGCACTCCTGGTTCGTCGATCTTGGTATTCGTACCTGGTTTAGCCGACATCCTCGACTTGACCGATAAAATAGAACAACTACCGGGCTTTATTTGTACGCCGATCCATTCGGAGGTCCCATTTGACGAGCAATTAAGTGTCTTCCAGAAGACGGAATCAGTTAGGGTTATCTTAGCTACAAATGCGGCGGAGAGCGGCGTGACGATCCCGGACTGCGACCACGTCATCGACCTCGGTGCCGACGCGGCGTTTTACTGAAACTTGAACTTGATCCGGTGGAGGCGTTGGCTTCGACGCGATGCCACGACGCGGTCGCGGCGTTGGCGTCTTCATGAGACCACGTCGCCTCGACGCCGTCGATGTGGCCGCATGAGAGTCGACGCCGTCGACGCGTCTCGTGCTGGAGCCGCGGCGGTTTCGTGACAGCATTATTCCCACCCAGGTACGGCGAAGGAGCTCACGTACAACGCCGCGACTCATAGAAGCATGCTAGACCAGGTCTGGATCTCCCAGAGTTCTGCCGTCCAGAGAGCGGGACGAACCGGTCGAGTGCGACCGGGATCGGTCTATCGCTTGTACGGGCGGGACCGCTACCTGCGCATGAACGCGTTCACGACGTCGGAAATCCACCGCCAACCGCTGGACAAGGTCGTGTTGGATCTCATGACGCTCGAGACGGACTTAACTGCTGCCTCGATGCTGTCGGAGACGGTCGAGCCTCCATCTATTGATAGTGTACTTCGATCGTACCACGAGCTGCATTCCTCCGCTCTGATCACTTCAAGCAACTGTGATGAGGCTGATGTCACGAACATGGGCGCGTTCGTGGCTCAATTAGGCGTGGACCTACATTTGGGGAGATTAGTTGGTCTCTCAGCGCAGAGTGGGATGTTGATCGATGGGTGCGCATTAGCAGCGACGCTGTCGCAACCTCGAAGCCCCTGGCGCATCGCGTCGCCCTTGATCCACCAAGATCCACAGGAATATAACGAGATCGCGTCTCGGAGTTTCGTCAGTCGCTATAGGTGGGACAGTGGTATGCAGTCGGAACCGATAGCGCTACTACGTTTGAGTAGGGCCTACGCGAAACTCGTCACGGCTTCGTCTAAAAAAGAATTCTGCAGTAAGCACAACGTCCGTGACTCGGCGTCTTCATTGAACTTCAACGTGTCGGGGTCGCGGCGACGGCGTCCGTGCCACACAGGTCGTGGAAGCTCGCATGCGCCAGCTCTGCTCGGCCTCGTCCAATTTATATAGGCGAGCCCTCGAGGCGATGGACAGAGACACGCGATCGAAGCATGACCAGACTACTTCGTTATTACAAAGTGAGGACCCCCTGCAAGACGAAGCTAGACTCAACAGATTAAGATTGTTGTTGACCTGGACCACGGCCCCGAACGGCCTCTTCCAGCTCTACGACGTCAAGCATAAGACGCACATCCATCGCGTGGGCTTGACGGGCCCTTCGCTGTTGAAGGACCACATCGCGACGCTGTTTCCGCCCTCGGTCGAGTACGCCTTCATAAGTGGCGAGCGGCACGTCTACACCGCGCTGCTGTCGTGGACTCCCTCATCCCACAGCGACGAGTTGTTCGTCGGTGGTGTCAGCAAGAGAATGAAGGCTCCGGAACTGAAGACACATTTCGAGCAGTTCGGGAGCGTGGAAAACGTCGAGCTCATCACGGACAAGACGGGTGCCGACTCGGCGTCGTCATTGAACTTTAACGTGGTCGCGACGCCGTCGGTCGACGCAGGCACGCGCCGGACGGCGAAAGTGAGAATGGGCAACCCGTTGGAGGCCATGGAGGCGCTCGATGGAAAGCATGACGTCAATGGGGTTGTCTTGACTGTTGACTTATATCAGAAGACGAGGAACGATCTCGTGCGGGACTGTTCTCCGGGCTTTGAACGGAGGTTAGTAGCACAACGTAATGGGGCGGATCTGTGTTACGCGGTGCACGCCGACGGGTTGGTGTTGCTCGCGACGCCGTCGGGCCGAGAAGCCGCTAGTGACTTAATCCTAAGGTTACTGCAGCACGGCGCGACGTGCGTCGCGAGGGAGGACTACGTCGTCATAAAAAAGAAAACATTATCCAAGGACGAAAAGAAGGACCTCAAGAGTTTGTTGGACGTGTGCACGGCGTTCGGCGTGTCCTTCGCCGACTACAACAGCAAGGCGAGTGACTCAGCGTCTTCATTGAAGTTGAACTTGACGCGGTCGCGTCGATGGCGTCGCGGCGACGCTGCATCGCTTCGACGCCGTCGATGCGGCCGCAAGAGAGCCCATGCGCCTCGTGAGAGAGTTGTCGTGATGGTATCGTTCCCGCAGGCCGTCGTGAACGCGGGCGGCACGACCTTCGACCACGCCCGGTTGGAAGCTCTGTTAGGACTAACGATTGGAGACGTCTCGGTCCAGGTGCTGTCGGGGAAGCAAGCCATCGTGTTCCCCTCATCACCTGAGAAGGGTCTCTTCGAAACTTTACCGTTAGGAGCGCAAATCGTGTCCGCGTTGGCGTCGGGACGACGGGGAGATCGGATCGAACTGTGGCGCGACCAAGACCAGGCGTTGGGCAAACACGAGCTCCAGGTCCAAGTGGCCCAACCGAGGTACATGTGCAGTCCGTGGTCCGATCGAAGGGGCGAGTGTTTGATGCCCCACCATACTACGGTCAGAACATCACTTAATTTAGTAAATGACCAGCAGCTCGGCGTCGCGGCGTCGATGCTCGATCTTTCCGGGGGCGGCGTCCGCGCGGAGAGTTGTACGCTGTTGCCGTCGCTGGAATGGTTGCTCAAAGCCTTGACGGTGTTCGGTGTTAGTCTGAACCCAGTACCCCACGGTGTCCTCGATGACCACTCCGTCGCGGCGTGCTGTCGCTTGTGCGACGCCTGGTCTGTGATTGGTGAATCGTTGGCACCGCAGCCATCGTTAGTTCAGAGGCTGGATCGCATCTTTGGGGTTGAGTCATCGGAAGACAGGGCTAGACGGTTAGCTGATGAAGAATCTTTACTAAACGTGGCCGCGGCGCCGTTCCCCGCGCCTTGCCCCGCTCCTTCACTAGGGAAGAAGGTATACGCCAAGCCTTTGGTGAAAAAGGACCGCTGGTCCTCCGAGGACTGCGCGCGCAACCAGCGGACGGATGCCTCCTGTCGACGAAGGTTGAGTGGTTCGATAAAGACGTGCGAACATCGAGAGCAGAAGGGGCCGTATAAATACAGGAAGCCCGGTGCTGACTCAGCGTCTTCACTGAACTTCAACGTGAAGTGGTCGCGGCGATGGCGTCTTCATGATCGCGTGAGAGTCTACGCGTATTCGCGACGGCGTCCGTGCCACGCAGGCGTCGCGAACAAGTACACCTGCGGCCTCATCACGCAAGACGACGGGAACGAAGACATCTTTTACATGACGCGCGGCGACGCGGGTCTGGCCTTGTCGGAGGGCCTGCGCGTGACTTATGAAAGAACCACAAATACGAGAGGCCCCATCGCGCACTATGTGAAAGAAGAGAACGGCGTCGTGGAGGCGCCGGCCCCACCCCCACCCCCGAAAGGTAGTAGGAACCCCTACCAGCGCTGGCGCGACTCCCAGTACTCCGAGAGGCACGGCGTCACGCACGCCGAAAAGAGGGAAGCGTGGCTCGCCATGTCCCACGGCGAACGGACGAGGCAGGCCGCGTTGATCGGGTTCAGGATTCCCAAGAAAGCGACAAATCTAGAAAGGAAGACGCTGCTCAAGGAGCTCCACCCGGACTGGACGCGGCCGAACCTCGAACCCTCACCACCACCTGTCCCGCAGATGGTGCGGAGCGACCCCCTGCTCAAGGCGCTGCCCTTCTGCTCGAAGGCGCAAAGGCAGCGCTTCGTCGACAACGACGTTGGGTTAGATTGTTTTGCTCTGTTGCAAGATGATGATCTGACGGATCTCCTCGGTGCGGACTCGGCGTCGTCACTGAACTTGAACTTGACGTGGTCGCGGCGATGGCGTCCTCGCGATGTCACTTCGCGTCGATGGCGTCTTCATCATCACACGAGAGTCCACGCGTCTCGTGTGACGGCGTCCGTGCCACGCAGGCGACGACGAGAAGGCCAAGGCCGCCTTCCGCAAGAAATACAAAGCTAAGGCGCCGCCGCCCGTCGAAGCGGCGCCCGTCGAAGCGGCCGCGTCGCGGACGGACGCGCTGCTCGCGAAAGCTGCCCAGCTGCGAGCGGGCCGATTGGGCGAGGCGCCCACGACGAGTCCGGCGCCGCGCGGCCGCAATGGCGAATCGGCGCCCGCGCGCGGCCGCGACCGCGCGCCGGCGCCGCGCCAGCGCGGCACCGTCCTGTGGTTCGAGGCCGTGTGGAAATCAACCAATGAGTTAGGTTATCCGAGCCGACGCGGTCACGGGGACGACGTCGCGTCGATGGCCTGAAAACTGCACGCCATCGAGCAGACGCAGCAGCTACGGAGATAGCATCGCGTCGATGGCGTGGGGCGCCCGAAATTTGATGTCCACACAGGTTCGAGGCCAGCAAAAAGCACGGCTTCGTCCAGTCCGAAGGGCGCGATATTTTCGTGCACCTGTCGGACGTCAAAGAAGTTCTGGGCGAGGGGGACCTCGTCGAGTTCCGTGTGCTCGACTTCAAGGGCCGGCCCAAAGCTCAAGACGTCGTCAGAATCAGCGGGCCGCCGCCTCCCGTCGTAGAGCGGGTCCGAGGCACGTGTCTCTGGTACGATGCGACGAGGAAGATGGGCTTCCTCAAGGGTTCGGACGGGCAGGAGATTTTTTGTCACGCCTCTGATGTTAAGGATAGTATCGGCGAGGGCGACTTAGTTGAGTATAGTGCGGTACAGTTCAACGGCAAGAGTAAGGCCATGGATGTCACTTGTGTGGAACGGGCGCCGCCGCCATTGCCACCTACGGTTGTGAACGCGGTCGATCCCTCGCAACGACTCGAAGACGAAGAACCGGCGCGCGTGTTCCTTTCGATTGTTTCCGACGTGGCCGGGAGCGACTGGATCGAGGACCAGCAGCTCGGGGCTGCTTTAACGGGGAAAGGCGTGCGCCTGGCTTTGATTCATGCGATGCGCGCCGGCGCGCTTAAAAGAAGATGGGTCGAGTACGGTCGCAGGAGGCTGGACACCAACGCTATTTTATCAACTTTTGAATACGTGGCCTGGCCGGAGCAGGTTAGACAACAGTACCTGGCGCCGGACATGTACCTGCGCGTGACGGGCGACGGGATGCGCGTGATAGGGCGCTAGCCCTCCCGACGACGTAGCCTCCCGCGGCTACCGTCGGTACGCACGGCGTGGAAGCCCGTCGCGTACCGACGACGCGGCGACACCGTCCTTTACCGACCGTGTCTCGCCGCCGCTGTGCCCGACGGACGGCCCTTTACCGGCCGGCCGTCGGGCGACGAGCTGCTCTCCCGCGCGCGTACTAGACACTACTACCGCGATACCCTGTGTTAACCACAATTAATATTTAGAGTATTCCTAGGGTGAAGCCACGCGCCGACGGCGTGAGGGTGACGCCATCGCCGCGCCGACCTAGTAGATCCCCCCCGCCCACCCAAATCTCAAAAACAGCGCCAGAGCGCAGCACAACGCCTGGAGCACCAACAGCGTCGCAGCCAAAGCCGGCTCCGTCATCGGTTTTAAGCGTAACACCACGTTGATGAGCGTCAGGTTCATGCCATCATTTTCAGTAATCTTCACTCTATCGTTGACGTACGAACACCGTAGTAGTCCAGTGCGTTCGTCGTACGTCGGTAAGCGGTGTCTAGGACACGGCCTCAGCTTGAATAACTGCGGGATGGACACGAGAAAGTTTATGAGTTGCGGCGCCATCAGCAACAGGAGCATGACGGGGAAATGGCCCAGTATGGCCACGACCGCCAGCGCCATCCCCGCGTAGTTCGTAAAGGTATCTCCGACGAAAACTCGCGCCGGGTACCAGTTGCTCCGCAGCAGAGCTAGGGTCGTGGCGATGAAGGGGGGCAGGAAGACGATGGACAGCGTGTAGTTCTCCGAGCGATCGTGTTGTAATTCTATGGCCGCCATCGCCAGGATGGCACAGGCAATGACGTAGACCTGGCCGCACTCGAGGCCGTTGACGCCGGCGTAGATGTTCACGGCGTTCGTGCAGAAGACGACCAGTAGCACCATGTAGATCTGTGTGGAATGGACTCCGTCGCGAAACTGTCGCGGCTCCCTCACGCAGCGCGTAGACTCTCTGACGGCCACGTCGACGACGTCGACGCGACGCGGCACCGCATCGACGCCATCGACGCGACCACGTCAAGTTCAAGTTCATTTTCTGCTCCGAGTCACTGACCTGGTAGGCCCGTCCCAGGTCCACTAATCCCATCGCTTCGGGCACGACCGACCCGCCGACCAACTTTAGGAGATAATCAGCGACGTCGCCCAGCTTCGTTTCCGTCAGATACCTCCGTACCAGTACGGGCGGTCGTATGACGGTCCCGCCACTATACGCGGCCAGTAGCGGTAGCGCCATGAGCGGCGGTAGCGCGTATTTATATCTCCATTCTAAGTCGAGGATGTCGTCCGCGAAGCCCAGTAGGATTGCTAAGGCTATGGCCAAAGTGGCCGCAGCTAGTGTATGGGCGTCGACGACGTGATCAGCTTCAATCGCGTCCGAGATCACGAGAGCGAGGACGAAGACCACACCGCTCACCAGCCCGAGGGACTCCGGTATGGTTTTATCTTTATTGTCAATTTGTAGCCTTGGTGGCCGCTTGAGTAAATCGCACCCGAATTTGCTTCGCGGAATTTTCTTCGAGATGACCGGCACGAGGTGCACAGTCGTGAGGTAGGCCCCCAATCCAATGCCGCAGCTTCTTAGTGCCAACGGTCGCAGGTCAGGAGGGAGGCATATTGATAGTGCCGTTAATGATGCGGCGAGGGGTAGTAATGCTAGTATTCTAGGTATTGCTGGTCTTGTGTTCGAGAAGAGCGAGTTGAGGCCCACATCTCTACGCCACTTCTTGGCGTCTTCATCAACGCGGCTCATCGCTGCCGTCGCGCGCCGATGGCGTATTGCTGAATCTGCACTTATTGATGCAGAAGACGTGGGTTATTCAACGCAGGGCTGGATGATAGCACGAATTATAAACTTGCCTTGTTATACAGCTTGCTGCGCGCTCTATAACAGGCGTTTTTTGGCTTTGCTGCCGAGGTTGCTAGTGCCTTACATGCCGCTAGCTAAAGCTTGCTCCTCGCCCGGAGACCCCTGCCTTGCGGCTGAGTTGCCCGAGGCTGCACGCACGAACCCGTTTCGCAAAGCCCCCGGCCCCCTCCATCGCTGCGGCTCCGGCGCGGCAGCGGAGGGCAGCCCACCTATCGCACACGATGGGCTGCCTCCAGTCCAACCTGAGCACGGCGCGACTAGATCCAAGCTTGTGCTCCACGACACCTTTCCAAGAGAAATACGCGAGGAAAGTCTCGGGCCTGACGGAGGAACGGTTCCTAGGGCAAGGATCGTTTGGCCGAGTAGTTCTCATAGAGGACAAACAATCAAGAGACACGTACGCTCTGAAGATCATCGCCAAGCGACGACGCACGGGCGGCGACGAGAAGCTCCTCGAGTCGTTACGGACGGAAATTACTATACTAAGAGAGTACGGCCGGCACGAGAACATCTTGCAGCTGCGGGACGTGTATGACCGGCCCACGTCCGTGTTACTCGTAGAAGAGTTAGCGACGGGCGGCGACTTATTAGGATGGGCGACGCACGCGCCGTCGCGGACGGGGCACCAACACCTGTCGTTCACCGAAGGTCACGCGGCGTCGGCCACGAGGCAGATTTTGAAGGCAGTAGCTTATCTCCATGACCGGAACGTGGTCCACCGCGACATCAAGCCGGACAACGTGCTCGTGAGGGACCGGCGGAGCTTTGTCATTAAAGTGGCGGACTTCGGTGCTGGCTCGGCGTCCCGCGGTGCTGCGGCGCCTTCACGCCATCGACGCGCGTCGTCTCCGGGAGAGCAGGTGGTGGGTGGTCTTATTTTCGATTTTGGGGCCGTTCGGACCGAGTCGAGGGACCACGATGCTCCGCGCATGACGTGGTCGCCGTGACGGCGTCGACGCGATGCCGCGCCGCCTCGACGCCGTCTTCGTGGTCGCATGAGAGTCCACGCGTCTCGCGAGAGAGCCACGGCGGTCTCGTGACGGCGTCGTTCCGCACAGGCTGCAGCAAGATCCTCGAGAAGGGCCAAGCTACTGCAGTCCAGTCCAAAAAGGGTTATGAACAATTGATGGACTCCTTCGTCGGCACGAAGGTGTATGCGGCTCCCGAGATTTTAAGACATAAGCCCTACGACAGTAGTGTGGACGAGTATAGCACTGGTGTTTTAGTAGCTCTCCTCTTGACGGGGAAACACCCGCTGTCCGACATCGAGGTGGACACGAACTTGGCGCTGGCTTCTTGTGACGTTCCGTTTCTCATTGATTTTAGCGATAAGAAATGGAGTCGCGTGAACAAAGCCGCGAGGGCGAGTGACTCAGAGCAGAAAATGACCTTGAACTTGATCTGGTGGAGACGATGGCGTCTCCACGAAGCCGCACCGCCTCGACGGCGTCGATGCGGCCGCATGAGAGTCGACGCGTCTCGTGAGAGAGTTGTCGTGATGGTGTCGTTCCGCGCAGGACGTGGCACGGGCGTTGGCTAGATGCGATCCAGCCAAGAGAATCCGCGCCAAGGACGCTCTACGCTCATTCCCGTGGCTGGATGAAGCGGCTTCTGTGGTAGAAGCGCCGGCGCTACCAGATGATGTGCTCGAGCGGCTGCGACGAACGCGCTTGGACGGCGTCCAAGCTTTGGCTCTCAGATCTGTAGTATCCACCCCGAAAGTGTCTACGTTCGCGAAGGAGGCCGATCAGTTGTTTGAGGCGCTGGACGCGGATTCGACAGGTTTAGTACGGAGAAATGAAGTACTGCGATTAGCTCACGGCCGTTTAAGGCGAGTAGACTTAGAATTGGCGTTCGACCACGCGGACCTGGCCGGCGACGGCGTCGTGACGAAGGACGAGTTCAAGTGTGCTCTGTTAGCTACAAGAGGTGACTTAGTTGCGCAACTTGTCGACGCGGCGTTCGCGGCGCTCGACGTGTCGCATACCGGTAAGATAACCGCGTCGGACGTCATGGCCTGCGCGGCGGGTCTGGGCGTGAAAGTCGACGCATCAGATGTCCAAAAGTGGATCGCGTCCCATGACGTCGCCGGGGACGGGGAGCTGTCGCGTGACGAGTTCCAAAAGATGATGTCCTCCGTGGCCGATTCCGAGTTCCGCGCCGGGGAGAAGCTCCTGACTAAACTGTGACAAATACAATTACTCAGTAGTGGCGACGGCCGGCGCCGGCGCCCTATTTAAGTCCACGAGCTCCACACCGTCGTCCTCATCCTCGGCAGGAGGAGGTGGCCGCGGCAGTTCCGCCGGCATGTCCTCTTCCTCGGGGAACTGGTCGTCGTCGTTCGGCACCAGAGGCATGTACAACGACCACGTCGGCGGCAGCATCGCGTCGAGCGCCGGCCACGGGAGCTCCGTCCGTCGCGCGCGTGGTGTTGTGGCGTCGATGTCGCCGCGCACCAAGGCAGGTAACTCCAGCTCCAGGATGCAGTATAGCGTAGCATGACACATAAATAAAGCCGCGACGCCGCAGTTCAGGAGAGCGTACGGTCTACTGACAGCATAAAACGTCCCGTGACATGCCAAGAAATACAGTGCATTGAGTTTTGGCAGGAACGCGATGGATGCGGCCGAGCGGCAGTGGGCCAGCGTCGCGTACTCCCAGCCGAGCATGAGGCCGAAGCAGCACAATCCCAATGCTGGTGGTAAAGGTGGAGAGTAGAGCCACCTTGCGAACGCGAACTGCGCCGCTTCATACAACGCGTAGGCTACGACGACGCGAACGGCGTGGGCGCATAGGAGTGACGTGCCCTCGCGGCCTTGGGCTCGTAGGAGTTCCAGCGGTGCTCCCAACCTGTGTGGAAATCAAAATTTTACGGCGCGTTCGTGCTGAATCGCCGCGTCGTCCTCCACGCCATCGACGCGACTCGTGTCCGTCAGACGAGGTCGTGGGTGGTTTCATTTTCGAGTTTGGGGCCGTTCGGACCGCGTCGAGAGACAGCGATGCTCCAGTGTGTCGGGTGCACCCGACAATTCTTCACGAAGTCCATTCTCGGCGAAAACGCGAACGTGCTGGCTCCGTCGAGCGGCAAGGAACCGACACGGGCCACGCCATCGAGCAGGCGTTCCGTCGACGGCGTGGCGGGCGGCGGACGACGCCGCGACGGCGGCCGCCGAAGGCGCGGCGGCTCGAGGCGTCCCAAGACGCACCAACGCCGTCGGCGCGACGTCCGGAGTCCCCCGACCGCGCCCCGCCGACGCACACCACCCGACACCACCGTTCTCAAACTTTCACCCGTCGCGCGCGGCACCCGGCCCCGACGCGGTCCGAACGGCCTCTTCAGCAAAAAAGAAACGACCCACGACCTCGTGAGATGGCCACGAGTCGCGTCGACGGCGTCACGAGTCGCGTCGACGGCGTGAAGGCGTCTGGTTGCTTGCCACACAGCTCCGAGCCACGGATACGCGCGCGCTAGTGCTTGGAAATCGAGTCGTTGCGCGAATCTAGTGCTGGACAGTAAATACCACAACGCGAAGGCGCCGCAGACTCCTGAGGCCACCAGAACACGTAACACGGCAGCTGTTACGGTCGATAATAAAAATAAAGCGAGTAGTGACGTCACCGCGACGCCAGCGCGCCGCAGCAACCACTTAAACGCCGCCTCGGCACCCAAGCGCTGGGACAGGCGCCGTCGTCGCGCGTCGGAGCGGCGCCACCTTGTAATTATGTTTGTGTTGTCGTTTCGTAATGCACCACTACTACCGAGGGTCTCCATGGCCTGGTTCGCGAGCGGCGTGTCGTAGCCCAGCACGTAGCGGTGGAAGACACTTGCGAGGGCACTTGCCGCATCTAGACATCGCATCGAGACAGAGACGTTGTACGCGCGCACGCGGTGCTCCGCCAGGAATGCATCATTTAAAGCTAGGAGGTGGAGGTCCCTGGCCAGCGTGTAGTCGCCGCTTGGCACGCGCCATCTAAATGGTGAAGGTGCGGGCGTGTGGTGCGCGTGCTGCACTTTGTAGCAGCCGTTGGCAACGGTGCCGCACTTATCGTCGCCTCCACAGACAGTATCCGGGGCCATGCGCGCGTCGCAGTTCAAGACACCATCGCATTCGGAAGAAGGGGCCGGTTTGAGCAAAGGGCACTCGCCCAGCCGCCGGAAGTCGCCCGGGATCCCATCATCATCATCGTGGCGCTGCGGCGCCACGCCGTTCTCCCCCACAAAAAGGTCGTCGTCGTCGGGGAGCTCGTTCACTAAACGGATTTTGACGACCGCGTCTCTCGGGAGGCGCCAATCCACGTAAGAACCGTTGTCGTATCTGCCTAATCGTTCTTTCAGTCGAGGCGCGAGGCAGCGGTCCGTGCCCAGCGTCGCGTGTAAAGCGGTCGTCACGAGGAGTAGTCCCACCGCCACCACTAACAAACATTCGGAGCACGCCCGACACGCCTCGCGCGGCTTCACGCGGCAGCGCTCCTCGTTTCTCTCTAAAGGTCCTAATGCGGCCGCGTGCACCCGGAAGATGACGCGCTCGAAGTCCATCCTTTTTAGTGCGTCGGTCGAGTGCTGCCGGTTTTTTGCTGCCTCAGCTGATCAGGTGTGGGCTCGGCGGCGGCCGCGGCGGCACCTGCGAGGCCGGCGCCGCGTAGGTCGCTTCTTGCACTTATTTCGCGCGTCTCAGACCTCTCCGCGTCCAGCTCCGTGCCAGCGTCGAGCTGTACGCTTTTTTTGCAAGCAATGAGCTAGCGGCATGTAACATACTAGCTAGCACGCAAAACACGCGCAAAACGCCGCACAACGCTTGCCCGAGTGCGACTCTCCGGGCAACGCCGGGCGCAGCGAGTCGCCGCCTGCCTCGGAAAGGCCAGCGGGTCGACGCCCGCCGCGGGAAACACCGTCGGCGCGTGGGGGCAGCCGCGTGTGGTGCTGGGCAGCTAGCGCCGCCGCGGGGCAGCCGTCTAGCTGAGCGCGGCCGAGTAGTGCATGGCGTCGGCCACGTCGGCTGCCTGGCGCGCCGGCACATTTCCCAATTCCTGTGAAACGGAATCCGATTGGGTCGCGGCGCAAAAACGAGGCATCACGTGGCAGCAGCTCTCGGACCCGGAGCGACAAGCCGTCGCGCTCGACGCCGTGCGGCAGAAAGTCGAGGCCGGGGACACGTGGACGCGCCCGGCCGACGCGGACGTCAGGGCCCTGACGGCGCAGCGGAACGCCGCCCTGCGGCGTGAAGAGTTCCGTCAAGCGGAGGAGTTAAAGACGCGCCTGGAAGCCGTCAACGACCGCGGTGCGAACTGGTTCGACGCTCAGAGTGGGCAGTGGCGCGTGCAGGACGGTTTTGACGACGTTAATGCGCCCGTCTGGCGCGACCGGGCGTGTTAATATGCTTTTGTTGATGTTGTTAGTGGCGGCCGACGCGCTCTCATTCTTACACATACCCGAGACCGCCGGGTCCACCATCGAAACGCTGAGCATCGATTTCAAGAAGAAGCGGTGCGGGAAGAATGAGAACGGCGTCGTCTGGAAGCGTGCTTGCGACTGGCACACGCCGCCGCGCGATCTTGATCCAAGGGAGCGGCTGTACCCTGCTGCGGAGACGTTTTGTGTGGTAAGGGACCCGCTCGACCGCCTCCTCTCGGAGTACAAGTTCGAGCATCGCGGTTCGTCACAGAAGCTGCACGACGCCGCCGCCGCGACGAGGTGGATCCGGTATCACGCGGGCCACGTCGCGCGGCGCCGCCGCGAGGACGGCGCGCTCTCCGCGCCCTTTCCTAATAGGTGCCACTTCCTGCCGCAGACCTGGTTTTTGTGGGACGCGTCCGGGAAGTGTACTTGTAGATACGTGCTCCGCTTCGAGTTTCTAGGGGAGGACTTCGATGGATTGATGCGGTCTCAGGGGCTGACGATGCGTCTATCTCACGCGCGGAACATCTCGCACCACTTGCCCTCGAACCTGACGCGCGCCGCCGTCGCGGACGCCGAGACGCTACAGGCCGTGCGCGGGGCCTACCCCGACGACTTTTCCTTACTTCCCGCCGTCAACGGGACGTGCGAGGACCTGGCCGACTACTCCGCGCCTTATGATTTGACGGACCGGCCGCGCGTCTGCAAGGGCGGGAAGCTTGAGTAGTACACCGCCTTTACGCCATCGACGCGCGGTCCTAAATGTTAGTACAATAACACATACTGTACATTAGTCATCATCGCTAACCGGCCGCGGCCACTCGGGATCAGCTGCCGCGCTCTCCTTCGTCCGCAGGGCGCTCCCGAACCGCCCCTGGGGCGGGCAGATCGCGCAGACGGCCGCCTCGAAGGCCTCGAACTCCTCCTCCGACATCCTCGAGACGGACGACGGCGACGGCGCGCAGTCCTTCGACCGCATGTGACACAGCTCCGCCGCGTAGCTCCGCGCGACGACCTTGTGGGCCGACCGGCGCTTCTGCATGGACCGTATCACGACGTCGACCTTCCTCTCGAGCCTGCGCGGAGCATTTCGCCTCAAAACCGACAAAGAGACCACCCACGACCTCGTGCGATGGACACGATCAAAACGCGGAGGTCGCACCGCGGGAAGTCGTCGGGCATGCACGGTCCGTCGGCCAGGCGCGTCACGCCGTCGGGATCGTAGATCTGCACGCTGGGCACCTTCGTCACGTTCAGGCCGTCGACCAGCGGCCGCGACGCTAAAGATTCGACCTCATAACAATCAATTTCGTCGCGCTTCTCGAGAGCCAACCTTCGGTATTTTGCCGCAATTCTCAAACACGCGCGGCACTGCCTACTATAAAACTTGACGACGAGCGCCTTCTCCCGTGACTGCGCATGCGCGTTGGCCTTCAAAAAGTCGTCGAGCGTCTTGAGCTGCGGAATAATTTCGACGTAGGGGTCGTTTATTTTTTTCCCTTCCCCTAACAGTTTTTTTTGTTGTTTTTCAAATTTACAATCCTCGTCGTCCATGAGCTCGCGCCATTTATTGGGCCGTTCGCAGTCGGGTACTTTTTGCCATCTTGCTGGGATTTCTAACGCGTTTGGTGCCGAGGGTACCGACGCTTCCGTCAGATCTGCGGGTGCTCTCCTCAATAAGGGTTCTAGGGGTGGCAAGCCCGCGCGTCTCCTCAATTCTACTCGAGACGGGATCGTCGTCGTGGTCGTCGTCGGCAGCGGGTCCTTGCGCGGCGGCGGCGCGCCCTCCTTCTCCAAGGCTTTGCGCAGGCGCTCCTTGGCGCGCGCGCTGCCGCGCTGGCCGGGCTTTCGCTTCGGCTCGGCGAAGCGCCGCGGCGACGAACGAGTGGGGGCTGGCCTGCTGCCTATGAAACCCCCAGAGCTCGCGGCCAGGAGCACGGCCGCCCAAACCTGCCGTCGCAGCATGGCTCTGCGACCACTCTGAACAAATGAATACTGCCGCCGCGCCGACGACGAAGCAGGCCTGGCTCTGATCAAAAAGCTTGCGCCAGACCTTGTCATCGTCGTCGCAAAGTTTTTTGGCCTGATGCTTCAATGCTCTTACGGTGGAGGAAGCGCTTGCAAAAAGCGATGGACGCAGGCGTCCAAAACTAGCTAGCGTAGCGTAGCTCTAGCTTGGATTGCGGCTGGACACAGTCGTGGTCATTTTCAGCCAACGCAACGGCTGCGATACTGCTCGGTTTTGGGCCATGAGCAGCTAAAGACGTGACCTTGCAGCGCAGCATCGATCGCACGAGCAGCGGCGTCGAGCAATGATGCAGCGGTCATGGATTGCAAGGAGAGCGTGCCAGCTCCTCCTCTGCGCGGCCGTCTCCGGCCTGCGCGCACCCGCGCCGCGTTTAAGAATAAGAATGAGCGCCGGCCCGGGCTACGAGACGGACCGCTTCGCCGGTAGATACGCGTTAGGCAAGAATTTGCCCACCGTCTCGAGCAAGAACGGCATGCAATTTGCCTGGCGAGGGAAAGAGCAACCGGTAAGGGTGTTGGGCGGCGCGTCGTCGGAAGTGCTAGGTGGCAAGAACTTGGCCGACGTGCTGCGGAAGGGTTTCGAGATCGAAGAGCGGGCGTTCCGCGCATTGGAGAGCGGCGAGCCGGCCGAGCCCCTATCAGTCCATACCTCGGCCGGCGTGCCCCAAGCCTTGGATGATTTCCTCGACGCGCTAGCCCCGCATTTGCCACAATGGGCCCAAGAGTCAGACGACTGGTGCGTGAACCTCCAGGCGGAAGGGTCCTCGGCAGTTCATGCCGCGATCGACATGGTCATTCAAGCCACCCAACCGGGTGCTGATTTGACGGCGCCGACGGCGCGTACGAGAGTCGCCTGCGGGGCGTCGTCGTACCACGGGCCCGCGTCGACCTCTCCCGGTGGTGGGATTCCGCTCGGTGCCGCCGCGAAAGGACTCACACACCCTGTGAGGTACCCCGTCCCGTCGCCCTTCCTGCGGTATAGAGAGGAAAGCGATGAGGAGTTCCACGAGCGCCTGTTAGCTGAATTTATCGAGTACCTCGACACGTACGAGCACGAGCTGGGAGTGGTGCTCTTCGAGCCCCAATGGGGCAGCTCGGTCGCCTCGACGCCCTGGCCCCCTCAATTGCTGAGAGCCTACGTCACGGAGGCGAAGCGAAGAGGCCTGGCGGTCATCTGCGACGAAGTCATGTGCGGTCTTGGGCGCCACGGGCAAGACGCGAGGGGCGCGACGGGCTGCTTCCTGACGGAGTGCTGGGATCTGCGGCCCGACGCCGTCACGTTCGGCAAGTCCATCGGTGGGGGTGCCGGTCACCTGTTGTCTGGTGCGATTCTGTTGACGGGAGCTTCTCAGTTAGCTCAATCGTCTCGAACAGCATTGCAATCCCACACGTATGCTGGCTCCTCAGCTCGCGCCTTATGTAACGGTGCGGCCCTCTTGAACCGCCTGACGTCGCTGCGGGACAACGTCCGAGCAGTAGAAAAGGCTGTAAAGCCGACTCTGCAAAAACTACGCCAGGACTCGGGCGGTAGAGTATTAACGCAGGGCCAGGGCGCGTTGTGGGGCGGTTTATTTGCTCATAGTGATCTAGCGGAGCGGACCGCAGCAAATGTGGCCCTCAAAAAGAAGTGCGCCGAGCGCGGTATGAGAACGGCGTCCCGTGACTTACCGGCAGCCTTACGCCGTCGACGCGACTCGCATCCATCAGACAAGGCCATGGGTGGTCTCTTTTTCGTTTTTGAGCTGGTTCGGACCGCGTCGGGGCCGTCGCGGCGTGTCAAAGGGAACGCGGTCGCGTCGATGGCGTCTTCACGAGACTACACCACGCAGGCGTGCTGCCCTACTTCGTGCCCGTTGGTGGCTTTATGTTGACGCCTAGATACGACGACGACCCCGCGTTATTGACGAGCGCCGTCGAGGACCTCGCTAGATGTTGTTTAGAAGTAGTAAACGAGATGTCGTGGTCTGAAGACGACTTACTGCCTCTATCAAAGCCGGCGGAGGTCACGATCACAAGTACGACGACGACGACGACGTCCGCCGCCGAACCCATCGTCCAGGAAGCTCTGCAAGAGTTGGAAAAACCTTGTGAGCATTTGAGTGATAGAGATAGAGCTATAGTACAACTCAACACGGCCTACTTCCACCGCTGTGCACAGGCGTGGTCTGTGGCGGCGAAGCATGCGAGAATCGCTTCCCTCGAGGACGAGGCGATCGCGGCTCTCGCGCGGGGCGCGGCGCCGCCCTTTGCACCTACCTCTCGTGATGCGGCCGTGCACGCTTCGACCGTCGACTTACTGCGGAACCGTGGTCTTGCAAGGTCGGAGTCGGCGCTGGCTCTGCTCGGCGCCGAGGGCGTCGCTTCCCTCGTCCAGTTGGTGGGCCGGCAGGCGTCTTCGGCCCTCACGCTCAACGTCTTTGATGATAGCACAGACCAACCGTGGGAGGCCGACGCCGCGTTATTATCAGATGCGGAATTGTCAGCGCTCGTGGCGATGGCGGGCGCGTCCGACGACGCGGACGTCTGCCTCCAGCACGGCTGCGACATGGACGAGGCGATCATCGCGCAGCAGAAGGAGGCGGCGGAAGTCGCGCCGGAGCTGTATTAGGGAGGACTGGGGTTTAATATAGACATAGCTATTGCGTCGACGGCGTATGGGTCGGCGCGGCCCCACATCCAGCGCTCGGGAAGGACTCGCTCGACGCCATCGACGCGCCACGCCTCGCCGAAGTGCCGGCGATGATATGAGACAAACCAACTACAATAGAATCGGTCGTTACGAGAGGGGGTGGTGGGGCGACCACGTAACGCGACGCCTAAACAACCTCCAGCGGGTACACCGGCTCGAGGAACTCGTCCATCCACTCGACCTGGCAGGGCTCATCCACACAAGGTCTCGGCAGGCCCGCCTCCTCCCAGGGCAGCGACATGCCCGGCAGCGGCTCGAGGTCGTCGTACCAGATGGCTTTGGGGTCGAACTTCGCGAAAAACACCTTCCCGATCCACTCGTCGTCGCGGCACTGGAGGAAGCGCAGGACGAAGGCCTCGGTCCCCTGGACCTCCTGGACGCCGACGACCTCGACCTTGCCCGGCGTGCACGACATGGACGGGCCGCGCGCCGTTCGGCACAGTCCACTCGTGGAGCGGATGGCTTCCGAGTAGAGCTTTTGGGCTCGCACGAGCGGTACGTTGAAATACGCCTGCGCGCCCGTGTCTCTGGCAATAAACATGTAGTACGGGATGATGCCCAACCGGACCTCCTCCTTCCACTTCTTGTTCCACACTCTGGCATCGTCGTTGATGCCCGCCATGACCGGCGACTGCGACCGGATGATGACGCCGCCCTCCTGCTTCAAGCGGTGAATGGCGTCCTGGACCTTCTTCGTACTGAGTTCGCGGTAGTGACTGAGGTGGCTCATGATGGCGATGTGGCGGCCGCCGACCTCCTTGACGTCTCTCAACAACTCAATGAGACTGTCGGCGTCCGGATCGGTGGTGAAGCGCTGCGGCCAGAAGGTTAATGCCCTAGTACCAATCCTCAGGTTCTTGACGTGGGGCAGGTGGTCGGGGTCCTTGAAGGGCTCGAGGTACTGCTTGAGCCTGCGTTGTGTACGGTGTCAAATTTGGACCGGAGACCACCCACTTCATTGTGAGATGGAGGCGAGTCGCGTCGACGGCGTGAAACGGCATTTGAAAATCATTTCCGCGCAGAGTCGCACATGTTCGTCTTCATGATCATGGGGTCGCCGCCCGTGAAGAGGATGTCCGAGACCTCCTCGTGCTCCTCCAAATAATCGAAGAGACTGTCCGCGTCCTTTTGCGCGAACCGCAAATCCGCGTCTCCAATAAATTGGGCCCATCTAAAGCAGTACGTGCAGTAGGCGTGGCACGTCTGCGCCGCGGCCGCGAAGAAGAGGACCGTCTCGGCGTACTTGTGCTGCACGCCCGTGAGTTCGGCCTTCTTCGGGGCGTTCAGAGTTTTCTGGCCCGCGGGGTGCGGGTTTAACGCTTCCCGGATGATCTCGACCGTCGCCTTGATCTCTTTGGGGTCGCCGGCGTCGCACGCGTTGTTGAGGAGGTCCTGGTGCTCCTGCGTGAGCATGTCCATCGTCGGGAAGACCAGCTTGTAGAACGGATCCAAGCCGATGTCGCCTGCGCGAGTCGCGGTCCGACGCGGTCCGAAACGGCTCAGAATCGAAAATAAAACCAGCCACGACCTCCTCTCCTGGAGACGAGTCGCCTCGATGGCGTGAAGGCGCCTCTACACCTCAAAACGCCGAGATACGCACCGGCCATGTCCCAATCAATAAGTTCGTCGACGAGGTACGGCGAGGCCTTGAACGGGAAGATTAAGGCCGATCTTTTGATGTCGACGACCTTGTCTTTCAGTCGAGGATACTTGTCGGCGAGCTTGTCCATGTCCTTCGCGTTGATGGCGCGGAAGCGCTCGGCCTTTTCCACCGCGACGTCGGGCGCCATCTCGTTGGCGGAGTATTCGCCTTCGGTCGTCACGGCGATGGGGTCGATCGTTAATTCGGTCTCGGCGCTCGAGAAAACCCTTAAAGAAGGGCGCGCCTTGGGGGTGAATTGGAGTGCCCTCACGGACGCTAACAGGCCGAGCACGCGCATGGCGCTCGGCATGGTCAGGCGGCGGAGCGGCATCGTCGAAACGCGCGGCGACGTCAGGCGATTCGAATGACCTGCGCGTTCGGACGGCGTGAGGGTCGTCGCTCGTGTGTGTGTCCTCGCGCGGCGCGCGCCGCCGGCGTGCCTCTCTCGTATGTGTGGGTGTGCTCCCGGCCGCCGCGCGGGCGAGCTCGCTTCCGACGGCCGCGGGGGTGGCCAGCCGGACCCACGGGCCGGGGAGCCGCTGTCGCCGGCCGTGGGCGCGCACGGCACGGCCGGCGGCGCCGTCACCAGCGCGCGCCGCGCCGGCGAACAACGACGGCCGCGGATTCCAGCCTAAGCTGTCAGCTGACAGCAGCGGCCGTACCGCCCGCGACGCGTGGTCCAAGCCGGGGCCCGGCGAGCTGCGATCTTCCTCGATACTCCGGACACGGCTACTTCACCCTGACGCGCGTTGCTGCTCAGTTATTTGCCAACCTGGGCTCGAAGCGCAGACGTGGTGCTAGCCAGAGCCCTACCTCGTAGGGCGCCGCAACGGACGCGTCGCCGTTCGGTTGACGCCTCCGAGAGCGCTAGAAGAGGAGGTCTGGACTTTGAGCGAGCTTTCAAACACTAGCTGATCGTCTCACAAGCTGCACCTCGACGTCGTGTGAAAGCGGCTACAGATCGACATCGCTGCAGCAGAGCTCATTTCAGGCATTGATACGCAGCTTTAGTCACACTTGCGCTGTGCGAGCCAAAGCGCTGCAACCGCTGCACGCCTTGCAAGCACCATGGCCCCAGCAGCCTGGCTGCTGCTTGCCGCCGGCGCGAGCGCCCTCGTCGCGCCCGTGCGACGACGACGAGCCACGACGACGCCGCTGCAAGCGTCTACAGCCAGGGACGTCCTCTGGACGCCGAACGCGGACTACGTCACGACGACGGCCATGGACCGCTTCCAACGGGCCATGAACATTGAGGGCACTTACGAGCAGCTCTGGGACTGGTCCGTGAGTGAACCGGACCAGTTCTGGACGCAGTTGCAGGACTTCCTGGACGTTGAGAGAGAAGGTAGCGATACGCCAGCGAGAGAGGGAGAAACGATGCCCGACGTGCAGTGGTTCCCTTCCTCAAAACTGAACTTCGCCGAGAATTTGCTGCGGCACGGGAAAGGCCCATTGGCGAATGAAGAAGCGGTGATCACGGTCTCCGAGGGCATGGGCCGCAAGGCCTGGACCTTTGCTGAATTAAGGCGAGACGCGGGCCGCGTCCAGCGCGCGTTGTCGAAGTTAGGAGTCAATGAAAAGGAATCTTGCGGCGCCTACATCGCGAATGTGGGCGAGGCTGTGGTCGCCATGCTCGGCGCCACGGCGACGGGCGCGACGTGGACGTCGTGTTCGCCGGACTTTGGGGCGAGGGCCGTCGCGGACCGCTTCGGCCAGGTCGGTCCTAAGGTACTTTTTGCGTCGGACGGTGCGTGCGTCGGCGTCCCTTCGTTCGACGCCGGGGCGCGGTCGCGTCGATGGCGTGCTGGCGCCACCGCGACGCCGTCGTAGATCGGGCCCCATCGAACCCTAAAACACGCAGGCTTCGTCAGCATGGGCAAGAGCACGTCGACCATCGACAAGGTCTCCGAGCTCGCCAATTCATTACCTTCGGTGGAAAGAGTTGTGGTCATCTCCTCGTCTGGTAAAGAGTTCGACGCGTCCGAGTGGCCCGCATCGATACGAGACAAAGTGATAGGCTGGGAGGCCTTCCTCGACGGCGGCGACGCGGACCCCGTCTTCACGCGCGTCCCCTTCAGCCACCCGCAGTTTGTACTTTATAGTTCGGGCACGACGGGGATGCCCAAATCAATCGCCCACGGCTGCGGGAACACGTTGTTGCAGCACGGCAAGGAGCTGGTCTTGCACGGCGATCTCAGGGAGGGGGACAAGATGCTGTTCTACACGTATCTACCGGCGTCCGAGTATCGTTCTGTGAATCGATCGGTGAGAGACCACACCTGGCGTCGCGTCGATGGCGTGGAGGCCGCCGACGCGAGACTCACGCGCACCCGCGACGCAGGACCTGCGGCTGGATGATGTGGAACTGGATGGCGTCGTCGCTCTTTGCGGGGGCCTCTATTGTCTGCTTCGACGGCTTCGCGGCCTACCCGAAGCTCGACGCGCCCTGGTCCTTGGTTGAGTCAGAAGGCGTCACGCATCTGGGCACCTCTCCTCGATACTTCCAAGCGTGTCGAGCGCGTGTCACACCGAAAGAGTCGCACGACATGAGCAAACTACGAGTCGTGTTCTCCACCGGAAGTCCACTCACGGACGAGGACTTCCGCTACGTCTACGCCAAGGTTAAATCAGATGTGATGTTGGCATCAATCTCGGGAGGCACGGACATCTGCTCGTGCTTCGCGCTCGGGAATCCTACTTTACCTGTTAGGGTCGGGGAATTGCAAGCGTTTGGATTGGGCATGGACGGCCGGGCCTTCGATCGAGATTCGGAGCAATTCGTCGTGGGCGAGAAGGCGGAGCTCGTCTGCGCCACTCCCATGGTCCCGGCGCCGGTCTGCTTCTACGGTGCGGTCGCGGCGTCCCCTTCACGCCGTCGCCGCGTGTCGCGACGGTATCGGTCACACGCAGGCGACGACGACAACAAGTCACGGTACCGGGGCGCGTATTTTGACGGCGCGCCGGGCGTCTGGTACCACGGCGACTTGGTGGAGGTTACGGGCTCTGTCGGGTCTGCCGGTGGTGTGGTGGTCCACGGCCGGTCAGACACGACGCTGAAGCCTGGAGGCGTGAGAATAGGCACGGCCGAGGTCTACCGCTTCGCCGAGGAGCACCCCCTGGTTGAGGACTCTTTAGTTATTGGAGATCAATTGAAAACAGGTAAACGGGCTGGGGACGTGCGCATCGTGTTATTCGTGAAAACGAAAGACGACATCGAGCTCACAAAAGAGTTAGAAACGGAGATCAAGAGGACGATCAAGGAAGGGGCTTCGGACGCCCACGTGCCGGCGCTCCTGAAGCAGGTCAAGAAAATTCCCTATACTCGCTCCGGGAAGAAGGTCGAGTTGGCAGTCAAAGATTTGATTTCAGGCGTCGAGCCGAAGAACGTGGGAGCGCTCGTCGACGCGTCGGCGTTTGACGAATATCGAGAGATGGCGCTCACGTGGAAGTCGTAAGGATAGGTTTCGGTAGTAGTCCGTCGGTCGATGCGTCGCGGCGACGGCGTGCTGGGGGGGTAGACGCCATCGCCGCGACGGCGCACTCTGTGAACGAACCGATAGTTCGGCTGGGAGCTCCAACCAACGCGCCCACGCCGCCGACGCGGCACCCGGGTATTACACACACATCATGATTACGCCGACTCGTCCATGGCCGGGGCCGGCGGCGACGCCATGGCGTCCTTCGCAGCGGCGGCGGCGGCGTCCTCGTCTTGACTATCGTCGTTGTTCGACTCACTCGCGCTCCCAGGAGTCGGCGACGCCCGCGGGCTCTTCTTCCGGCCCTTGTGGCGCGGCGCCGGGTGGTTCTTCACGGCCTGGAGTTGCGGCGTCACGTCGCCGACGGGCGCCCAGCGCGGTATTGAGAAACCTTGGGGCCCCTCGCCTCCCACTCTTTTCGAAGCCTTGACCCACTTCCTCGCTTTGAAGGGTATGCCGGCCCTCACGAAGTCGACGACGGGTGTTTGGGGCTGGTCCGTCGGCGAATATAAAGACTGGAGGCGGGCCGAGACGCGGCCTTCTTTACGAGGGGTGGCGTCGACCTGTTTCCGGCGGCGCTTGGAGCCGGCCATCGTTTATTGCGGTGGCGGCGTCCCAGGTGAAGACGCGTTTGTTTATAGCTGCGGCGTCGGCGTATGAGCGCGTGCGCGTGCCGGAGAGCGCCTTGGTTACGCAGCCGCTGGACGCTCGCGGCGTGAAATCTCTCGGCGTTGCGATCTAGGCTACAAAAGATGTCGCAATCGCTCCTCACAAGGTGCGAGAGGGCGCTGAGCGTGTGCTAAAACGCTCATCAAACTATGCGGCTGCAAAAACCCGTTTTTAAGCCCCCTCCTTTTCCACCCTTCTTCTCCCTCATTGGGCCTCCCCGCGTGCCCCTGGACGGCTTCGAAGGGCCACCTCGGGGCGTTTTTGCTTGGCCACCTGGCGCCGGAGGAATGCAAGCCAAGACTCCGACCCATTGAGCGCGGCGGGCGGAGGCCGCGGCAACTGCAGCAGCGCTGCAAGACATCCCCACTGCACCGTCGCACGGCACGAAACGTTTCAAGACGCGAAACCGCATTAGTTGCAAAATATGAAAAAAGGCCTCTCCCAGATCCTCCTGGTAGCGGCCGCGCTTGGCACTACGAATGCGTTCACGCCTGCGACGCGCAGCGCCGCGGTCGCGGGCGTCGCGCTAGAGCGGGCGGCGGGCTTCGAGGTCGTCGCGCACGGCCTCGTCGCGCTCATGGCGTTCGGCGCCGTGTGGAAATCAAATTTCGGGCGCCCCACGCCGTCGACGCGGCGTGCTTCCGTAGCTGCGTCTGCGCGATGGCGTGGCGATGCCACGCCATCGACGCTTGTCGCCGTGACAACCTATCTCACTGGTTGTTTTGCACACAGGTCGCCGAAGCGCGCCGACCACCTCGCGTCGACCGACGACCCCATCGACGAGTGCGTCGCCGTCCTGGCCAACGGCGAGGAGCCCGACGAGGAGATGCTCGCCAAGTGCCAGGACATTGCCAGGGCGGAGTTCGCGAACCAGGCGACGTTGGAAGATGAGAACTCCTACTAGAAGTATAACCTTATGACATGTGACTCACACAACATTTGCGCGCCGCGTCGACGGCGTCGGGCAGCTCAAACATGACCTCCACGCCATCGACGCGACGCCAGCTCGACGGCCTACGGGGGCCGCCGGCACGGGTGCTTCCTGAAGCGCGCGCACTTCTCCCGAGCTTCCCGCAACGCGTCCGTGCCGGGCCGCCGCTCCAGCAGCTCCTCATTGAGCAAACGCGCCCGCTCAAGCATCTCCGGCGGCCACCGACACCCCGCGACAGCCCGGATGCGCGCGCCGATCTCGGCCCGCTTCCTTAATCTTAATTTTGTTTTCTCTGGTGAGGACACGGTTCCATGACCACCAACACCTCGCTCAAACAGCGCGCCGAAGACGCCCACCGCATAACCCAGAACGCCCGCTCGCAACGACAGGTGAATATCCAGCCCAATGCCCGGCTCGCCACTAAGAGCTAGACTCTCGTCGAAGCCTCCCAGGTCAGCCCAAACGTCCGCTCTAACACATAACGGTGCGAGCCACGCCTCCGTGGCGAACGCGAAGGGAACGCCTCGATAAGCGTAGGGAATCCTGCGCGTGACCCGCGGGTTCTTCATGGCCTTCGGGTGTTCGACTTGTGCCTCGCCCCACTCGGATTGACAGACTTCCGTGGCCAGGCCCGAGACCACCGCCAGCCTCTGCTTTCTAAATGAGTCGAACAATGACATCACTCGTTTACCCCATCCACGATCATTCGGAATGTCGTCGTCCTGCAGGAAGCAGTAGACGTCCGCGTTCGCGATAGCTGCGCCGCGGTTATATGCTCGGATCTCGTGGACGTCCGGGGTCCGAATTATTTTCGCGTTTGCGTGCGATCGTAGTGCCGCACGCCACGCTTCGTATGAGTTATCAGTGGAGCCGTCCTCTACAATAACGATGGAGTCGACCTCTTCACTTAACGCGTCGGCGATGCGTTTTACCGTGCCCTCGTGGTTGTGGCTCAGGACGACGGCGGCTACCGTTTGTACTGGACTCAGCGCCGTGGCGTTGCGGTAGAAGTCCCTCACTTCTGTTCGTTGGGTGCGGGCGCGCTTCCGGGCGGTCGCGGCGTCGGCGCGCTGCTCGCGGTTGCGCTTCCGGCCGGCCGCGGCGGCCACGAGGAGCGCTAGGGCCCAGGGCGTGCGCATGGCAGCGTTTTTGTTTCAGCGCCAGCGGTGCGCACGGGTGCTCGGAGCGGCCGGTAGCCGGTCCAGTCGTATCGGCGGAGCTCCTTACAATCGATGCGTGACAAACGACGCGCTTTCGCGTGCGTTTGGCCTATTGGCAAAGCTGGTCTACCTAGCGTCTCGTAAGACACTAGCGAGCAAAGCTTCAACGACGTGTCGTCGACGCACGCCGTGTTACGTTGCGTCGCCCCCACGCCGTCGACGCGGCGCCCTCGGTGCGACCTCAATGCCCCAGGACGCAACGACTAGGAAGAACGTACTCAGCCGACGAACGCCTCACTCGAGCTCCCACGGAAGGCTCCCACGGGGACACGCAGCAGCCCTCAGGCAACCACGACTACCAGAAGAAGACTCAGGGGGGGGCGCCCGCCTTATGCGAGGGGGGGAAAGGGAAGGGTAAGCGCCTCTAGGCCTCCACGGCAAAATCGGGCAGGTCGAAGCCAACGGGCCCGTCGTCGTCCAACGAGAACGGCGCCGGCGCCGGGCCCAAGGCGGCATCTAAGTTCCGGGCAGCATACGGCCGTGACTTCGAAGGCGACGCCGACAAGCCTTCGGCCGCCAAGACCAACCTCTCGGCAGCTTGCACGTCTTTCAACGCCGCCTCGACGGCGTCGGCCTCGTCGTCCGGATCGGCACCGGTATGTCCGAGTAACTCCTGCGCGAGCTCGTCCTCCATGCCCTGGACGCGCTTGAGCACCGCTCTAAATTCGTCGGCGGGCACGGACGGCTCCGGCAGCTTCTTAAAGTCCGTGAACTTCTCGGCGGGGTTCGTCGGCGGGCGGTACAAGTTCGTGGGCGACTTGATCTCGTTCGCGTCCGGGACCTCATCACCTGCGTGGAACAGACACCGTCACGAAATTGTCTCCGTGCACTCGCGAGACGCGTAGACTCTCGCGCGGCCGCGCCGATGGCGTCACGGTGACGTGACGTCGCGTTGACGCCATCGCCGCGACCACAGTTCAAGTTCAAGTTCATTTTCTGCTCCGAGTCAGCACCGTAGGTCTCGAGACCCTGAGTGGCCCTCAATTCTAAATCATCTAATTCAGGGTTGATCTCCGGCGTCACACTGCGACGCAAGGGTGCTGTTTGAGGTCTCTGTTCCCAGGGCGCGTCGTCGACGTCGACCGTCGCGGGGTCCAGACGCTGCTGCGACCTCTTCGCCGTGGCCTCGTACTTCCGCGCCCTTCGCAGTAGATACACCAAGTCCGTGTTCCGCCTCCGAATCTCCTCCTCCCTCACCCGTAACCGGCGGTCGCGCACGTCACATTCCGCCCGGTGCGCCTGCACGATCGCCGAAGCCTCCTTGACCCGTCGCGCCAATCGCCTTTTCAGCGTAAAGTCCTTCTGCATGAGCTTGCGCTCCTCGCGCTCGACGCGGCCTCGCGCGTCGCGCTCCTTCTGGGCCAGCGTCGCCTCCATCTTGAGGACCTCGTCGCGCCAGGCCTGCTCGCGGAGTTTGAGGGCCTCCCTTTCTTTCGCGATCTCCTTCTTGCGCTGCGTCATCTGGTCCCGGGAAATGGCCTGGTCGCTGAGCATGGCGTCGAGGCGCGCCGCGACGCCGCCTATGACGTTTTCTCCCATCGCGGCTTCTCGAGCCGCGACCTCGACCTCCCGGACCGCCATCGTCGTCTCGGCCTCCCGAAACACGGCTTCGCGCTGGGCCGCTTCTTCCTCGCGCATCTTGGCTCGTCGCTCCGTGGCCGCCTCTCTCGCTTCCGCGGCCGCGATGCCCGACCTCGCTCTTAGGGTTACTTCGGCGTCGAGACCCTCCAGCTTGGATCTAAAATCAGTTTCTAAAGCTTGGGCGTCCTGCTCGCGCTTCGCGATCTGTTCCTCGCGGAGTAACAAGGCGGCTTCGCGCGCTTTTAGTTCTTCTTCGAACTTGCGCTTCGCCTCGGCTTCGGCGGCGGCCTTCTCGGCCTCGAGGCGGGCGGCCTCCTCGGCGGCGGCCTTCTTGCCCTTCTTGCCCTTCTTGGGCATGCTTTATGGCGCGTCTCGTGCGCTGTTGCTCCTGTTGCTCGTGGCACGCTTGGGGCGCCCGCGCGTGGCGTGCGCCGCTGGTGGTGGCTCGGGGCTGCCTCGGGGGCGCCTCGGGGGGCTGCTGGGATGCGCGGCGGTGTCGCTGCGCGGTCTATGGAGCACAGCGCCGGCGGAGATGAATGAACACAGCGCGCTGTTCCTAGTATGTTTTCCGGCGTTGTTTCGGGGCGCGCACGGCCTCGAGGCGTAGCCGGGGAGCGCCCGGGCGGCCGGAGAGCGCTGGCGCCGGGGAAGGCTCCGGGGCGCTTGCTTGCTGGATGCCTAGTGTGTTACAGACCGCTAGCAAATTATGCCGCGGGGCGCATAGTATTTTGGCTCGTGCCGTACAGATCATAAGGCTGCACGAGAGAAGCTCTGCGTCGATTAAGACATCCATACGGTGCAATCGCTGCAAGTTCACCATCGCTGCGGCGACAGCGTGCGCTCCAAGTCACAAGCCAGCGCGGACGCCGTCGACGCGCGGACACCATCGGCGCGGCACCTTTGCATAACTCATCGACGATGCTGCGCCATTCGCTGCGCCGCGTAGCAAGGAGCCGAAGGACGCTGGCCCACCTCGCGTCCAAGGGCCCGGGTTTCTTGGGCTGTTTAGGTCATGGCGACTGGCAAAATAGAGATGCCCTGGAAGCTGTCTTGGATGACAACGACAATTATGTCAGAGTGAAGAGTATAGGCGCGGGCTGGGCTCATTCTGCGGCTGTACTGGAAGACGGCGTTTGTGTTGTTTGGGGTCGCTACCTGGAACCGCCCGAGTCTGCCTTACGATTATCTCATATCGAGCGCGTCGTGCCGCCGCTGGCTCGGTTAGTGAATGCCACAGCATCATTATTAGATCGGGACAACAGTCTGAGATTAAGGCCGACGCCGATTACCGATCAATGTCTCAAGGTGGCGTGCGGCGCCGGCGTCACCGCCTTGATAAAAAGGAATGGATCGTTGGAAACCATGGGCGCGAACCAGTTCGGCCAGTGCGGCGTGGGGGACCATTCGGATGTCGTGCGGGAGCCGGCGCCAGTCAAGTGGGATTCACCACAAGTACCCATCTCTACCGTAGCATTGGGCTTCCGCCACGGCCTTTGTCTCTCCGAGGAAGGCCGAGTCCTGAGCTGGGGAAAAAATGATGCCGGCCAGCTCGGAGATGATACGAGAAACTCGCGGCCGGCCGTGGCACCCGTGTCGTTGGACGAAGAATGTATCAGCGTAGGTGCCGGCTTAAATCATAGCGCGGCACTGACGACGGACGGCCGCCTCTTCGTGTGGGGGAAGATGAGAGATAGTAGTTCAAAAAAACCTTCTACTGTGTCACGCGATTTACCAGACGTGTACGGCGACGCTCTGTCACCTAAACAAGTACCAGGCCACCGCTACAAGGCCGTGGCCTGCTCGTCGTTCCATTGTGTCACTCTAGATGAAGATGGTCAAGTCTTTTGCATGGGTCTCGAGAGAGGGTCGAGAAAAATGGTCCACGCGCCTCGCCAAGTGCGCCTGCCGCCGGGCGTGCGCGTGTTGTCCATCAAAAACGGCGTCGACGCCGTCGCGCTGCTGGGCGATGACGGTGTTACATATGTGCCCGATTTATCACCAGGTTTATCTTGTGGTTGCGAGGTCCGGGAAGAAAATGCGGTGACTGATCTGGTGTTCGGGTGGCGGCACGCCGTGGCTATCGCTGCGTAAGTTGTTGTGTTGTGAGATTTGCTGGTGGGCTGGTTGGCGCGTCGCCGATTCGTCGGCGGCGGGCGCGGGCCGCGTCCTTCGTGGCAGCATACTTCTTTTTAAGCAGAACCGCCTCGGCAAACCCTCCTATATATTGTTACGGTGCTAGGACTAGTGCGCGAGCTAGTATGTCACTGCACGCTAGATAGTCTGATTTCGCAGCTGCCAGAGCCTGCTTGTTTTACGGCCGTTGCGGCGATTCCAACGCTGCACGCTGACCTCGACCTGTGTCCGTATCGATACAGTCGAAGTCCGCACACTGCACGTTCCCGGGCGCGCGTGTGCTGCACTTTCCTCGGAGTGCTCGGTATTTTCCTCGGCCAAGCGTAAGCGTTACACAACGCTGCGAACCCACTGGACTAAAAGACCGCACTGGCTGCCATCAGCCCCATGGCCAAGCCCGCAAGTGCGAGATTAGCATGGGACATTGAATCGTATGATGTGATCACGCCCCAAAAAGAAAAGAAGCGTATACTGCACGCGCAGGGCGACGCGCTCCATGCGGGCGAGATGTTTTTGATCGTCGGTCCCAGTGGATCGGGCAAGACCTCGTTATTGCGCATATTAGCGGGCAGGCACGCCCACGGCGACTGGCAGGGCCAATTAGTGGCGGACGGTGCTATTGCTGATAGGCACCCTCGAAGGGCTACGGGCTACGTCGACCAGCACCCCCTGTTCTTCGCGACACTGACACCTAGAGAGACATTAACGTTCACGGCGCGCCTACGGCTGCCCAATTCCACAAAAAAGGACGTCGCAAGCAAGGTCACGCAAGTTTTGAACGAATTGAACCTGGGCAAATGCGCCTCTACCTATATAGGAGACGAACGACTCAAAGGCATTTCGGGAGGAGAAAAAAAAAGGTTACAGGTGGCCGCGGAAATGGTCTCCGACCCGACTTGTTTACTGTTAGATGAGCCCACCTCTGGCCTGGATGCGGCCACCGCGTTGCTGACGTGTCGCACGCTATCACGTCTAGCGAGATCCCCGGAAAAGCGAGCCGTGTTGGCCGTGGTGCACCAACCGCGAGCGTCCCTCCTACAACTATTTGATCGGGTTGTAGCTTTGAGCGATGGGCGGCCGGTCTACGCCGGCTCTCCCAATGACTTATTAGCACATTTTGAGAGTGTGGGGGCCCCGTGTCCGGCCCACGAGAACCCGGCCGACCATTTGCTAGATTTGGTAGCGATCCCCGACGAGGTCGCGGGCGGCGAACAAACCGAAGATGAACTCGAAGCAAGTGTGGACGACCTGCGGAAAAGGAAGGTCATCGCGAAACAAGTGGCTGATGCCTTTGCTTCCTCGCAGGGCGCCCAGGATTCCAAAACACGCTTCCAGCAAGCCCAAAAGAGCGCTACGGGCACGCAACAGCCCCAGGGCATCGCGTCGGGCTGGCTCCACCAGTTCAACGTGCTCCTACAGCGGGCCTGGCTGTATAAAATACGAGACGAGATGGTCGTCATCACGCAAGTGACCATGGCCTGCATCATGGCCCTACTGTTAGGAGCCATCTACTTCCAGCAGGGGTTGTCCCAAGCCTCGATCCAGTCGCGAGTGGGCGCCATCTCGTTCAGTATGCTCCTCATGTCCTTCATAGCCTTTGATATTGTCCTCTTGTTCCCGAAGGAACGAGATCTCTATACGAGGGAGTCCCAAGCTGGGTTATATGGTGCATCAGCATTTTTTCATGCAAGATGCCTAGCAGAGTTGCCCGGCCACCTCACGGCCGGCGGAGCCTACGCGACGATCGCCTACTGGATGATGGGCTTCCAGAACTCGCCCATGAAGTTCGCGCACTTCTTCTTCCTCTGCGAGGCGGTCGTGTTTGCCGGGACGTCGCTGCTCATCTTTTGCGGGTGTTGTGCTCGGGATTTTGAGATGGCCAACAACTACGTCCGAGTCGGCGCAGAAAATGAACTTGAACTTGCCGGGGTCGCGGCGATGGCGTCTTCATGAGACCATGTCGCGTCGATGGCGTCTCCATGATCACACGAGAGTCTACGCGTCTTGCGAGAGGGCCGCGGCCGTTCCGCGACGGTATCAATCAAACGCAGGCCACCGTCTTCTTCTGCCTCTTCATGATGTTCGACGGCCACTACATCAATAATAAATCAATACCAGCAGGAGCCAAGTGGATCGAGGACGCGAACTTCTTCAACTGGGCCATCAGTGCCGGTTCTCGTTCAGAGCTACTGGGCCTGGGCGACCTGCACGGCTGCTCGAACCCGGAATCGTCGCGATGCATTTTTCAGAGAGGCGGCGACGCCGTCGACTACTACGGGTTCCGGGACAAGCCCTTCCGCAAAGCTATAACCGCTATAATGCTGATATCCGTCGCGTTGCGAGCTTTAGCTTTTGTGGCGTTCAAGTTCCTCTTCACGGGGCGGCCGGTCTTCGACAGCTGCTCTTCCAAGAAGCAGTAGTCATCGTCTGCACAAGACGGCGACGAATTCGGAAATCCTATCTTAACCTAACTCGTAACGTAAAACACACTTACCTCGCGAACGCCGCGACGCTTTTCGCAGCAGCCCCTGCTGACCGCCACGACTCTCTAGCCGCCGACGCGCGCGCCTCTAATCTGGGAGACGGCGCGACGGTAGCCCACCGAACGTCGGAGGGCAGGGACGCCTCGACGCGTTTCATTGGTGTCGCGGGCCGCTCGTTCGCGATTTGTAAAAGGCGGTCGACGGCCTCGCCTCTCTCGAATCCAGAGGCGTCGAGCGCGGCGTTCGTCGCCTCCGTTAACGCCTCCGCCCGCACCAATCGCTTTTGATTTCGTCGCAGCACCGCGTCGACGTCGTCCTCCTTGTAGTGCGGGACAGGAGTAGAAGCGGGCGCTTGTGGCGTATGAGCCCGCACCGGCTTCGGAGACGTAGTCCCCCCGTCCTCAACCCTTCCATCAGGGAAGACGAGCTGAGATTGGCCATCTAACCGGGACGTGGCAGGCGTTGCAGCGCGACTGGCCTGGAGCGCCCGTTCCAAGCGCGACGCGGCCTCCGGCAACCAACGAGAAGAAGGAGGGCCCTCGAGCGTCGCGTCGTCGCGGCCGGGCACGACCCATCCTTTCATGGAGTCTGTGTGCTTGTCTGGAAGCTTGAGCCGCTTCTTGGGCGTCTTTCTTCTGATCGGTGTCGGCGCCTTCGGCGGCGCGAGGAGGGGGCTCCTCCGTGCGATGGGCGCCGGCGACGGCGCCTTCGGGGGCGCGGGGCTCGCCACGGTCGGCGCGGGCGCCGCGGTCTGGGGCGTTTTGTGGGCCCGCGCCGCCGCCGCCGAGACCATGCCCACGGCTCCAAACGACAGTTTAGGTGAGGCCGGTGAGGCCGGTGAGGCCGGCGTCTGGTGTGCTCGTGACGCCGCGGCGGACGCCATCGCCGCGGCGCCGAAGCTCATCTTGGGCGCGACGGGCGTCGCCTCCTTGTGCGCACGCGCCGCCGCCGCCGAGAGCATCCCGGCGGCCCCGAACGACAGCTTCGGCGACGGCGTCTGGTGCGCGCGCGCCGCCGCCGCCGCCGCCAGACCGACAGCACCAAACGACAATTGCGGCGAGGGCGGTTCTTCCGGCGGCGGCGGCGACCGCAGCCGCTGCAACGACGTGACGACTTGCGCGGCCGTCGCCACACCCATGGTCTTCGGTTCCTCGCGCCGCGCCTGCTCGGCCTCGTACTTCAGCAGCATCTCGCGCTGCTCCCGCGCGACGCGCGCGTCGTCCTCGGCGTCCTTCCGTCTCCGTTCCTCGTCGTCGCGCTCCCGCTGCAGGCGCCGCTGCTCGAGCAACTCCGCGTGCTGTCTACGATCCGCCTCCTGCTGCCGCAACTTCTCATCCACCGCTCGTTCTCGTTCATGCTTCCGAGCCATCTCGGCCCGCTCCCGTTCGATGCGCCGCTCCTCCCGGAGTTCATCTTCCCTCTCTTTAGCCTCTTCGAGCTCCTTGGCGCGCTTCTTCGCGGCGACGTCGGCCTCGAGCTGGCGCTTCCACATGTCGGCCATGGCCTGCTTTCGGCCCTGGTCGCGGTCGGGCTCGCCAATATAGCCCTGGAGCTCGCCGGCCGTGTGGCGCACGTGGGGCGTGCGGTCCAGGCCTCGGGCTGGTGAGGCCAGCGTGTCAATTTTGGCAGGCGTGTAGTTTTGTGGAACACCAACAGCTAGGGCCGCGTTATTCCGGCCCGCGTGGTCGCGCGGGTCGATCCTCACGAGTTGGCCCGTGGGACCGACGTACCAGCCCGGCGGCGTGCCGCTCTTGGCTTGTTGTTGTTGTGTCCTCGGCGAGTCGCGTTTAGTCAATTGGTCTCGAGCCAGAGCGTCGGCGTAGGCCCTTTGCCGCGCATCTTTCGCGTTTCTGTCTAGATTCCGCCCTCCAATAATACCGCTGCCGTCGTTCTGGTCGACCGGGGCCGCCATCCGGTCCTTGATCGCCTGGTCCCGTTTCAAGGCCTCGGCGTATTGCAATTGACGGTCGTTTTTTTGCGCATTCGATATATTTGAACCTCCAATGATGCCGCCGCCATCCTCGTCATCTTGAGTCATCTCCCGTTTCAGCGCCTGGTCCCGTTTCAATGCTTCGGCGTAGGCCGTTTGCCTGTCGTGCCGCGCGTCGTTTGATAGATTCGCACCCCCGAGGATGCCGCTGTGCCGCTCCGGCGACGCGTCGCGCCGCTCTTGAGCGCCCTTCCTCCGGGCGTCGGCGGCCATCTGCGCCCGCAGATCCGCGGCGTAGGCGGCCTGGCGGTCTTGTTTTACATTGTTCGCCATATTCGCGCCTCCGATAAAGCCACCTCCGACATCGTCGCGGCGGTCCGCGTCCCTGCGCCGCTCGTCGGCCGCCATCTGCGCGCGGAGTTCGGCGGCGTAGTCCGCCTTGGACGGCGGCTGCCTTCCTCGTGGCGGCTCCGGCGCCGCGGCGGGGGGCGTCGACGCGCGTCTATTGTTCTTCTCGGCCATTTGTTGCCGCAGCTGCGCGGCGTACTGGGCGCGCTGCTCGCGCCCGTCGTTGCGGGGCGCCTGGCCCCACGTGTCTCTCAAAGGATCGTCGCGCCGCGGCGGCGGCGCGTCGCGCAGCGGGTCGATCTGGTGGTCGATCCTGGTGCTCGATCCCGCCGGCGCCGTGGGCTGCATTTGGGGGAGCGGGTCGATGCCGGCGCGGCGGCCCGGCGGGTCCCGCAGCGGGTCCGGGGGCCGCTCAAAGGGATTTCCCTGCGGCTGCGGGAGCGGGTCGATGCCGGCCCGTCTCCCCACCGGATCGCGGAGGGGATCGACTGGTTTCTCGAAGGGATTCCGGGGCGGCTCTGGCGCCGCTCGGTTACCGCCGCGCGGCGGGAACGCGTCGGCGAGGCCGCCGCCGCGCGGCGGGAAGGCGTCTTCCAGCCCTCCGCCGCGCGGCGGGAACGCCGCCTCGAGGCTGGACGGCGGCGGTTCTGAAGGAGGCCCTGGCGAGGGCGGCGGCGGCGTCGGCACTCTCCTTTGTAATTCGCGCTTGCGCTCCTCGTAGGCCTCGCGCGCCTGCTTCTGCTGCGCCCGCCTTGCTGCAAATGGATCCGGCTTGTTGGCTATGGCATTTGCCACGGCCTGCTGCCGCAGCGACGGCGCGGCCGTTGCCAAACCCGGCGGCGGCGCGAACTTCTGGAGGAAGTCCGCCTCGGAGGCGCGCAGCTGGTCCGCCTCCGCCCTTTCTCGTGTTTCTCGGTCCGCCCGATTCTGCGCGAGCTCTCGTTTGTAGTCGTCCTCTTGCTGCTCGCGGGCCGCGGCCGTGTCTCCTACTTTTTCAACATTCGTAGCATGCTGCTCGACGCGCGCGCGGCGTTCCGCGGCGCGCTGCGCGAGGCGCTCGGCGCGAGTCTGCGGCATGGCTGTCCCGGCTACCGTGGGTCGATAGGCTGCCCCGAGCCACCGTATGTCGAAGCTGCCGAAGCCGCGTAGGTCGAGGCTGCCCCGTAGCGACGCGGCTACCGTGCAGCGCTTCCAGGCGTCCGAACGGTGTCGGTGCGGAGGCACGGCCCCAATCGGTGGCCAACTGCGGCCGGCTGCACTGCCAAACCGTACTAGCCATGCGAATCCCACTAGGAGGCATGCTAGGTATCGCCTACGCAGGCGTGCGTCCGCGGCCGTATGGCTAGCGGGACGGGCTAAATACGATAATAAAAGCTAGTACGCATCTCTAGTACGCGTATCTCCGGCGCCAGCGCGACCGCGGCGGTCGACGCAAGTGAAGCACGCTTCTCTTCTAGAGCCTTACGACCCACCGCGTCCCGTTGTAGGTCGCGTCCGCTGACGGGTGGCGTCCATTGGAAGAGGCAACTTCAAAGTGGCACAAAAAACGAGTCGTGATCAGATTGCGTAGGTGCACCCTGCGAATAAGCTGCCTAAACGTGGCGAGTGTCGCCTCCCGGCAAGGGAGCGCGGTGGAGACCAACGACGGGTGCTGCCCGCCGCCGGCGCACGCAAGAAGCGGCCGACAAGGGCTGCCGTAACACCAGACTTGGTTACCTGAAGGTGCTCTCGCGTTTGGGCGCACGCAAAAACTGGCGGCCAAAGGGCTGCCCGTGCCCAGGTATCGGTACATCGAGGTGCGCTTTGGTGCACGCAAGAAGCGCCAGGCATCGACTGGCCTGCCACGAGCGACGCGCCGCCGGGCTGGTCAAGCAAGAGCGATGGGCTGGGCCGGCAACCGCGTCTCGCCGCAGATCACGGCCACGCCGCGCTTCCCCGTCGGCAGCCGCGTGCTCCTGAAGCCCGCGGACCCGAAGGGCCGGAAGCTGTGTGGAAATCAACCAGTGCGCCGGGTGCACCCGACAATTCTTCACTAAGTCATTTCTCGGCGATGACGCGGCCGACCTGGCTGGGTCGAGCGGCGAGTAACCGGCATCGCCACGCTATCGAGCAGGCGTCGCGTCGATGGCGTGGAGGACGACGCGATGATTCAGCGCGAACGCGCCATAAAATTTGGATTTCCACACAGGCCGGAAGAAGGGCATGATGGTCGACTGCGACGGTGTTGTGATTTCCGTGCAGGAAACAACCACAAAGTACGCGCTGCGGAAGCTCTGGCGGGGCGTGCCGGTCTGTGTGGAAATCAAATTTACGGCGCTTTCGTCCTGAATCGCCGCGTCGACCTCCACGCCATCGACGCGATACCTGTTCGATGGCGTGGCGATGTCGGTTCCTCACTGCTCGACGGAGCCAGCGCGGCCGCGTCATCGCCGAGAAATGACTTAGTGAAGAATTATCGGTGCACCCGACACACTGGTTGATTTCTACACAGGTGCCGGTGCAGCGGGCCTACGTCTACTGCGTCAAGACCGCGGGCGGCGTCTACGCGACGGCCGCCGAGACCGCGCTGCGGCGGTCCTTGGATGATGTTGGACAGCCCGCGCCGCAGCCGTCGCCGACCGACGTCGTCGTCGGCAAGGAGTTGATCTAGGCGCACCATTGTAAATAGTAATTAACAGTAGCCTATGGTACGGGGGCCCGTCGGGGGGAGCCTCAGGAAGAGCTAGGATACTACGGGAATCCTTACTTCTTCCCCTTCCTCTTCTTTTTGGACTTCTTGTCCTTCTTGGACTTGCCCGCGGCCGCGTCGCGCATCGCTCTTCTACGATTGCGACCCCTAGCTTGTTTTTGGATCGACGTCGCCGCGCGGTTGCGCTCCTCGGCTCTTAAACGAGCCTTCTCCTTGGCGAGGAGCTCCTCGGCGAGGACCCGCCCCTCGGCGAAGCAGTGGTAAACGTGCGCGTCCTCGCCGATCGGCGTCGTGCACGCGGCGGCCACTAATCTGTAAGCTGCCGCGGACAGATCCGACGCGATCTGCGGCGTCGAGCCGTCCCTCTGATCCCGCTCGAGAGACATCAAACGCTCGGCCCAGAAGGCGTGAATTGTTTCCGCCCGGAGCACGTCATGCGTCGTCACGGAAACGTGCTGGACGGCGACTTTCACGACGTCCGCATCTATTGAATCGATGGCGCCCTCCAATAACGACGGCGTCGCACTGCCATCGGCGTCGCAGCCATTTTCCAGTAGCACGGCGACGCAGCCCGCCTCGCCCCGCCTTGCCGCGATGAGAGCACAAGTCCGGCCCTGCGGGTCAGTTAACCCTTTGGCACCTAAAGCTAATGCGGTAGCAGCAAACCCGCGCGCCGCCGCGGCTTGCGCGGGAGCCTCCCCTCCTAAATCAGGATCAGGTGCGCGGCCGCCGCCTGGCAACGCGGATTCCAACAGCTCACAGGCTTCGGGCGCACAACCTTTGAGAGCCGCAAGGGCAATCGGGTTCGGCCGCCCGCCGTAGGCCGGGGCCCCTTGGTCAATTAAGTACGACATCACTCTTTGTGCACCAGTACAGGCCGCCATATGTAAAGGCGAACAACGTCGAGCCTTCGTCGTTGCAACATCCTCAGCAACAGTCAACCAATTCCCCACGGCCCGCTCCTCCTCCACCACTTCCAGTACAGGTTCCATGCCGAAGACGCAGCCTCGGAACTCCTCCCACGAGATGACGCCATCATTATTGACGTCCATCGCTTGGATCTGCTCCGCCACATACTCCATCGAGCCGTCCTTCCGGTTCGCTTTGTGGGTGGACCAGAACCCGAGGACATCGGCGAAGTCCTCATCCTCCCTTAGAGCTTTGACTGCTTCCACGATAGTAATAGCACCATCCCCCGACTCGTCAACTCTGTCGAACACCTCGCGCAGCGCCTGCTCCATCCGCAATTCGTGCATCTGATCCAAAGCCTTGCCCATGGCCTCATCCCTAAATTCAAACCAGTCCACGGTCCGATCTCCGTCCCAATCTAATGCATCACAGAACTCCGCCGCGAACTCGCCTCGGCTCATCCCGGAGCCGTAGAAGCCCGCCTCCTCGGCGAAGTCCGGGTCCTTTAAGCCACTGACCAATTCAGCATAACTCAAAGTGCCGTCCTTGTTCTTGTCGACCCTGTCAAATACTGTTTCTAGATACCTGTGTGGAAATCAAAATTTTACGGCGCGTTCGTGCTGAATCATCGCGTCGTCCTCCACGCCATCGACGCGACGCCTGCTCGATGGCGTGGCGTCGCCGGTTCCTCGCCGCTCGACGGAGCCAGCGCGGCCACGCCATCGCCGAGAAATGACTTAGTGCACCCGGCACACTGGTTGATTTCCACACAGCTAGATACGCTTCGTAGTCGTTCAGGTATTCTTCGAACGGGTCCTCGGGCTCCTCCGTCAACGGCCCGAGGAAGGCCTCCCGGAACTCGCCCCACGAGACCTTCTCATTCCCATCAGCGTCGAGCATCGCGATGGCGAACTCGAGGTCCGACCTGTCGTCGGGACTTTGGATCTTCGTAACGCCGTCAAATCCCATCATCTCCGCGAACTCCTCATCAGTCTGGACCGCTTCGATGGCCTCCCTCGTCGAGATCTCGCCCGAGCCGTCCGCATCGGCGCGGTCGAAGATCGCGCGCAGGTACGCCTCGATGTCCGGAGGGGCCTCCTCTGACGGTTCCGGCTCCTCGCCCAGCGCCGCCGCCCGGAACTCCGCCCACGACACGCGCGCGTCCCCGTCGGCGTCGATGTCCGTGATAGCAGCGAGGACGTCGTCCTTGCTGCGGCCGTCGACGCCGAGGACCTCGGCGAAGTCGTCGTCGTCCCTTAAGGCTGCCAGCGCCTCCTGCGCCGAGATGGCGCCGCTCTGATCGCTGTCGACGCGGTCGAAGATCGCCTTCAGGTAGGTCTCCAGCGCGTCGAGCGTCGCCTCACCTGGTTCGTCTTCTGATGGTTCTGGAGAAACGTCCTCGGGCTCGTCCAAGTCGTCAAAAAGATCCGCGTCGGCGTCGCCAGCGAAGCCCGGCGGCGGGTCAGATGGAGTCTCCCAAGCCGGTCGATACGGGAGGTCCAAATCTTCGTCGGGCAACTCGAGCTCCCGTTCGACGTCGTAGCCCTTGCTTACCGCGGTCTCCACAAATTGCAATGAGTGATCTCCGAGCTGCTCGATGGCGAGGCAGACCGCGTCGCGTCCTGATGAGTCGGCCGCGTGCAGGTCTACTACGTCGTCTCTCGCTGCCAACTGTGCGAGGAACGCGCCTCTCTCTTCTGCGGAGACCGGCTCTGTCGTGGACCACACGTCCTCCTCTTGAACAATGGGAGCTTGTGATGCGTAGTGGAGCATCGTATATCCGTTAGAGTCGCTCGCCGATGCGAGTTCGGCAGGCGAGGGCAGGACGTCGACCACGACGTCAGGAGCGAGTGCCGCTTGCAGAGCCCGGTCCATGGCAGCAATGACATTGCGCCGCGTCTTGGCGCTCTTCGACAGGCCCGCCCTTGACCCATCGTGCGTCGCCGTGCCGCGCGGCTTCTTCTGACCACTCTCTAGCAGTTCAGCAACAAGCTCGTAATCCGTCGCCGCAGCACAGGCCAAATGAACGGGCAACCGCCCCACGCCATCACTCAAGTTCATCTGCGCTCCATTTTGCAAGAGTAGCCGGGCCGCCTCGCCATTCGAACGTCTACAAGCAGAATGCAAGGCCGTGCAACCTGATAAGTCAGCAACATCCGGAGACGCCCCATGCGCCAACAACGTCGAGAGCATCTCCACGGAAACGGCTTCGTCCAGCGTAAAACTACAAGGAAACAGCCCGTCGACCTCATAATCAATAGCACAGCCCTCGACGCACCAGTGAAGCGGAAACTTGCCCCTTCCGTCAGGCACATCGGGATCCGCTCCCTTCTGTAAAACAGCCTCCACATACGATCCCGAGCCCTTCAGGACTGTGGAGGGGCAGCTACCTGTCAATTCCCACTGGGCTTTGGCTTCGTTGATCGCAGTGTCGAGAGCGTCGCCGTTCGGAGCCACAAACGCACAAAGTAATACATTCGTGCCGTCCTCGCTACGCACGTCGGCGTCGCAGCCCGCCTCGAGCAAGGAATGTATCGTTTCTGTGGAACCTCGCAGCAGAGCCGCCATGGACGGCGTCCTTCCCGTGTTGTCCGGGACGGAGGCGTCGCCGCCACATCTCGCGAGCAATGCAGAACAAGTTCGCGCCTCGCCAGAGCCCGCACAGGCCGCCAGTAATGCGGTCGAGTCCTGGATCCTTCGCCTCAGATCCGGCGCCCGCGCATCCAGACAATAGGTAGCCCATTGCTTGTTGGTAGGACCGCCTCGCGCGTCGACGACTCTATTCCTCGCTGCTTCCGCGGCCTCCGTGGCTGCGCGACGCGCCGCTCGGTCATCAAACGCCGGCGCCGGCGCACACGCCAACGGCTCGACGGCCGGGATCGGCGCCTCGGCCTCCATGCAGTCCTCGTCAGCCGCCGCCGCTTCGGCCGCGGCCCGCGCCTCCTCAACCCGAGCTTCGTACGCGGCGCGAGCTTCGGCCTGCTCCTCCTCGAAGGCTAGAAGCTGGGCCTCGAAGGCCTCCGCTCCCTCGACCATGGAAACAGCGAATTGGGCTTCGTAGGCGTCCGCCGCATACGTCGCTATTCTTTTCTCCCGCTCATAGGCCCTTCCAGCCAAGTCCGCCACGGCCTTCGACGCCGCTCGCGCCGTCGCGGCAAAGTCCGCACTTGGATCAAAATCCTCGTCAGCGACGCAGAACCGAGCCACGCAGATCGCCGTTTGTTCGGACGCGAGCGCGCAGAGCGGTACCAAGACGCCCATGGCGCAGGCCGTCGCCGCGAAGCGGTCACACACCAAAGATTGGTCGTCCTTCGGTCTTGCATCGTCGGAGCATAACGCTCGGATTAATTCCACCGAAGCGGTGTGTTGTGCGGCTGTCGCTGTAGGATCAGCAGCGACGCAGACTGGTGCGGCGAGCACGTGGACGTAGGGCCACCACCGTTGGTCTGCTAAGTTTTCCGGGGGTGCGAACTGTTCTTCTATGACTTCCTCGTCTTCGGCGGCGGGGGCCTCTTCTTCCTCAATCTGAGTCATACCAGAGGGCACCCAGCTCCGCGACGCTTCCAGCAACAACTTCCGGCCGTTTTCATCCGCGCCGACGGCCGCCAAGAGATCCAACGCCTCCGCGCGGACGTCCTCGCGCACTAATTCGTCTTCGTCTGCCGCGGCCGCGCCCCAGTAGGGCGCGCCGTCCTTCTGGACGAGGTCGACACATAATATGTCGAGGAGCATGGCGCAGGCCGTCAATGAAGACACCTCGCCCGGTTGTTCGGGGGCCGCCTCCTCGTCGTCATTTTCTTCGACCGGCGCCGGCGCGCAGCTCCGCGCGATCTGCGCGAGCAGGGCCATGACTGTAGAACGCACGGCAATATCATTGCCAGCATACGCGGCGTCGTCCCAGGCCGTTTGCAGCGGGTCCCGCACGAGGACGACGGCCTCCTTCACTCCATCCTCCACCGGAGCTTCCGCGGCCGGCGCCGGCGCCGCCGTATCGTCGACGGGCGCCTCATCAAACCGCTTGAATTCATCCACCGTCCGCGGCCCTCGGCTCAGCGCCGCATCCAAAGCTTCTCGCGCGTCGCCGGCGATTCTACTGAGAATATCCGGAGAACTTGATCCGAGCGCTCTTAGTAAAGTTAACGATGCCTGGGCCGCGTCGGCCTCTTTCAGAACGACGCCTTTGGCAATTGGGGCGTCGGGCTCCTCGACGCCGCGCGGCGACAGTTGCGGGTCCTCGTCCTTTGAGTCGGCCCACGTCTGGACGGTGCCGACTAATGAAGCGAGGCACGCGTCGGTGACGGCGGGGACGTCGTCCGCGGATGTTTTGATGACCTCGGCGACGAGGTTTATGGTCCGTGTCTTAGCGTCGGCGTCACCTGATAGAGCCTGGGCCAACTGGGCCGCATCTATATCACTCGTTGCCAGAGAAAAGGGGCCGCTCCTTACCAAAAGGTGGAGGGCCTTCTCGCAGCAGCGGCGTGGTTCGGAGCCCGCTGGTGCACTTGTAAGTGCCGTGAGCAGGCGACCGCACGACGTCTGCAGGAGCGGCGTCCTCGCGTCTTCACCAAAGGCGACGACCGCCCGCCCGAGGCAGCGCGCGGCGACGGCGACGGCGTCGCTTTCCGCTGACTCAAAAGCCGTCGCCAGGACCGTCGCGACGCCCGGCCCGTCGAACGCGTAGGCCGGTGCCGGCGCGGCCGCCTCGTCCGTTTCTATAATTTCCTCGTCGTCGTCGCTACGTAAAGCTTGCGCCTCGAGGAGCCGCTCCACTATACTTAATCGCGACGCGGCGCCACTTGTTGATGATGAGAGGATTTGGACGGAGGCGCCCGGCGCCTCTAATAATGTAGAGGCGCCTCCACTTGCTGAAGTTGCCGCGTCCAGCAACCGTAGAGCGCTCTCGGCTAATTCCTCGGGCACAATCTCGTTGCATGCGACGGTTGTTAACGCGGCGCCGCCACCCGACGCGACCAGCCGGTCCGAGGCGTCGGGCACGAACTCGATGAGTAGCGCGAGGGCCTCGAGCGCCGCCTCTACACCATTATCTTCCTCGGGCCATATTTCTGAAGGCGTGCCTTGCAGGATCATGTGCACGAGGGCCCCCACGGGGTCGCCCGACGCCGCGAGTTCTAGGTATGGGTGCTCCTCGCCCGCAACACTTGCTTTGAGGACTGTCCTTAAGCATGCTGCGGCGTCCACCACGATGCCTCCGTTCTCGTGCGCCAGTAGATCAGCAAACAACTTCCCTCCCGACAGCTTGTTCTTCTTCTTCTCGGCGGCCTCGAAGAGCAAGGTTGCGCGCGGCGGTTCCGGCGTCGCGGCGCCCTCCTCTTCGTCAGGCTGCGACTCAGGCGCGGCCTCGAGGAAGGCCCGCGCGCAGGACAGCGCCGCCTGGACCACATCGGCATTGTCGCCCTTCTTCGTCTTCTTGAAGACGCACTGCTGTAATAATGGAACTAAACACTCACCCTTTGCCAAAAACGCGGCGTCCTCGCGGCAGCGGTCGATCGCCTCAATTTTTGGCTCGGGCTTCTTGCCCTTGAGGGCCTTGGCGAGCTTGCGGGAATCTTGTTTAAATTGCTTGGCGGCGAGCTTGGCCTGCTGGGCCTCCGTGAGCTCCGGAGGGGCGTCGGCCATGGCGGCTTAGGGCTGCCCCGAGCGTCACGACGTCGCGCGTCGCGACGCGCGTCTTCCAGACGGATGCTCCGCGGCGTTCCCGCGCCGAGGCGTGCGGCTCGTTCCAGCGCCGCTGCTGCCCGGCCGTCCGTCCGAGCGCGCTGCGTTATCCCCAAGGTGTTGGGACGATGGGGGGGTAAAAACGTACCTCGCCGGCCCATCGGGAGCCCTCGTCCGAGCGCAGCGATCGATCGGGAGGACCTCTCGCGGCATAAACCCATCCCAGGCAGGGTCTCTGATCTGGCTTGTCTCGCAGAGCGCCGCAGGCTGTTCCGCAATCCCAAAGCCGGTGCTATCACTCGGCTGTCGACGTGCGTGCGGCGCTCAAACATCAGCGTCGCGTGCGGCGTCTCGCTTGGCGGGGGCAGCGTGACAAGCTGCACTTGTGGCCGTGTGCTGCACTTGCAAAAACACGGCTGGCGGCTCCGCTGCGCAGCGAAGCAGGCTCTGAGTGATGATGACACGCCCCGCGCGCGAGCCCGCCCGCGCCGGCGGCTTCGGGAGCCGGCGTACATCGCAGTACGAGCAACGCCCGGGCGGCGACGACGCGACGCTCGACCGGCTGCTGCGGCGGGCCGCCGCGAGCCGGCGGCCCGATGACCCGCTGCGCTTCGACGCGCCGCCTCCGGACGGCGACGACGACGCCATGGACGTGGAAGACGCGAGGCCGACGCTCTTCGTGTGGCGCGACGGGGCTGACCCGCGGCCCGTCGTGGGCGCGCCCCCCGCGCCGGTCGTGGAGGTCTCGACGAACGGCCGGTACACGTGTCGCTACGAGGTCTCGACGATCGTCCTCTTCGCCGACGGGTCGGTGCGGTCGCTACCCGGCATCCCCTACTTCGCACGCGAGCGCGGACCCAAGGAACTCGCGCTAAAGTGCGAACCCAAGGTCGAGAGCATCCGGCCGAACGCAGTCGTGGTCGCCATGCCAATCGGAAAAATCGTCGCGAGCGCCGCGGACGGCATCTACCAGGGCTTCCTCGAACATATCAGAAAGGGAGGGTTCCTGGGGTTTGACGGGGGGCAGCAGTGCTGCGGGTGCTGCGCGCTCGACGCTGATTGCGGGAATGTAGTATTAGTGGACGCGGCGGGGCGCGCGCACGCTACGGAACGTGGGAAAGACGTCGTCGAGGGCGCCACCGCGTTCCGCGCCTGCGCCTGCGGCGGCGGCTACGCCTTCTTCCTCGCCATGGGCGGCTCTATCTTTGAGTACTCGTTCTACGATGGAGGGAGGACGCGCCGGCTTCCGTGGCCGCATCCACCGCCGGTGGAGATCGCGTGCGACCACGAAGACCGCCGCCTTGGCGAGCCCACCGTGGCCGTGGCGCGCTGTTGCGACGGGTCCGTCGTCGCGTGGGTGGCCGGCGGCGACGCGTACGAAGTCATGAGTGGGGACCTTGCGGCGAAGGGCGTTTGCTGCCGCAGCGCGCGCGTGTTCGGCGGCGTCGTCGTCGCCACGTCGGAGGCGGGCAACGTCTACCGCGCGCGGGCCGGCGCGCCGCTCGAGCTGCTCCGCGTCTTCGCGGACGCCGGCCTCTGCGTCGAGGACGCCTGGCCCCTGGCGGGCGGCGAGATTCTCGTCGCCGTCGCGAGCCGCCCGCCCGCGCCCGTCGAGGCCGCGCCGGCGGCCACACCGCCCTACGCCGCGCCACCGCCTTGGGCGCCGCGGCCGCGCCCGGCGCCCGCCGCGCCGATCGACGCGCCGGACGCGTCGCGCTGCGGCGTCTCCGGGCCGCTCTGGGACGCCTGCTCGTCGACGGACGAAGCGCCGCCCGCCGGGTCCAGCCGCCCTGGGACGCCGGCGGAAGCGCTGCCCGCGGGCTGGCACGAGGCCTACGTGGCGCTGCGCGACGCGCGCGGCCGCTCCGTCGCGCGGGGCGGCTGGGACGTGGCGTGCGCATCCACAGCGCAGACGGAGGTGATCGACCGGGGCGACGGCGTCTATGTTGTTCGCGCGCGGGCCGCGCCGCCCGAGGTCGAGGTGACCGTGACCGTCGGCGGCCGGCCCGTCGGCGCGGCGCGGTGGCGCGCGAGCGTCGTCGCGGACGAGCGTCCGATTTCGATCTACGTCAAGAGCGACCTCCGGAGCTTCCCCTGTGTCAATTTTAGCGTCAAGCGGTACGGCGACACGGTGCGGGCGCTTAAGGACCGGATCGCGGCCAAGAACGGCGTCGCGCCCGCGCGCCAGCGGCTCTGGATGTGGGCGTCGACGTTCGTCAGCTGGGATAACAACCCTTGTGGGCCGCGAGCAGGCCTGCTGTGGGACGACGCGGCGACGCTGGCCGCGTGCGGCGTGAAAGCGGAGCAGACGCTGCACCTCGAGGTCCTCGAGGCCCCGCCGCCGACGCCGCCGCCCGCGCCGCCGCGCTTCGCCGAGGCCGCGCCCGCGCTGCGCCAAGCGCCCGCGCCCGCGCCCGTCGCGCCGCCGGTCGCTGCGCCCGCGCCCGCGGCGGCGGCGCCGCCGCCCGAGGCCCCCGCGCCCGCGCCCGAGCTCGCCGCGCCCGAGCCGCCGCCGTTCGCCTTCGCCGCGCCGGCGCCCGCTCCGCCGCGCGAGGCGCCCGCCCCGGCGCCGCGGCGGGTCGTCGTGGACCTCGGCGCGGCCGGCCCGCTCAGCGCGGCGGAGCGGGACGCGCTCGACGCGCTCCTCGCGCGGTACGACGGCGCGTAAGGCTACTGAATTCGATAGGGTATCGATAGCGGAGACGACCGGCGCCTTTTTTACACACGCGCCTAGTAGTCCTCCGCCGCCATGTACGCGGCCTGCTCGGCCTTGCGCTCGGCCTCGCGGATGGCGTCCGGGTCGCCGAGGCCCGCCGCCGTCAGCGCCTTCAAAATGCCGGCGCAGTCGCCCGAGACGCCCGTGCCGCTCGCGTACGCGTCGAGCTGGCCCTTCGCCGTCGCGAGGCTGATGCAGGACTCGCCCTTGCACTCGCCGGACAAGCCCTTGCCGGCGACTTGCGTCCGCCAGCAGAGCGGCGGTTTTGAGGCGTCGACGGCGAAGGTGCTCTCCGTCACGTACCCATCATACGCCGTGTGCACGACCGTGCCCAGCGCCTTGAGGGCGCCCGTCTTCTCGACCGGCATCGTTGCTTTCTGATCGCTGCAAGGTAGCGACGACAAAGCGTGCTTGCTTGGGTTGCGTCGCCCGCCGGCATTTCACTAGTATGTCTTTACAACGCTAGCAGAATCGCCGGCGCGACGTAATCGCTCTCCGGTGCTAGACTCCGGTGCGACGGAAATTGGTGCATATCTCGGCTCCATAGTTGCCCACGCAAGAACACGAGAGGTCGAGCGAAACGAGGGCCTTACGTGGGGGGGGTCTAACGTGGGAGGGCGCGGTCGAGCGGCGAGGCCAGCACGGAGTCGAGAGACCTAGCCGAAGGTCACGGACGAGAAGCCGCCCGGCGGCGCCAACACACGACTGGAGTTGCGGTCGCCGAGCGAGTTGCCCACGTTCTGGCCGCCGTTGCCGTTCGCCCCTCCGTAGGAGGCCGCGCCCGAGACCGGGCCCCGCTTCGCGCCGCGCGCGGCGTTCGCGCGGATGGCGTACTGGGCCCGCGCGTCTAGAGTGGCACCTAACGACCGTGCGGGTCTTCGCTCCGGAGACGACGGCCCGCCAATCAAATCGGAAGACGTCTGCGAACTCAGACCGAACTGGCGCTTGCCCGTCGACGCGGGAGCTTGCGCACCGCCGCCCGTGAAGAAGTTGGCGCGGCTGTCCTTGTCGCCGGCGTTGCGCGACGCGTTCGCCCTCGCCAGGTCGCGGGGCGTCGGCGGCGCGTCCGGCGCTACCGGCGCGGCGACCGGCTGCCTCTTGGCCGGCGCCTCGCTCTCGCCGAGGGCCCAGGGCGCGTTCATCTCGGGAGCCCGGTTCTCGGCGCCGAGCTCGGCTCTACGCGCGAGCGCTCTGGCGCGGCGCTCCTCGAGCTTGCGCGTGTGGGCGCTCATTTTGTTGGCCTGCGCGGTGATTTATTCGTATGCTGCGGGTGCGCGCGACTCGGCAGGTTTGTCAGTTGTGTTGGGTGCGGCGGGCTTTTGGGTGGCGCCGCGGCGCGGCGGTTTTCGTGGCGGTGGCGCAGCGACGGTCGACGCTGATTTGCGTGCTTTCGCTTGGCTGCGCGTGCCGAGGGATTGGCACGGGGCGTATATTGGCAGCGGCGGCGGGCTCACCGACATGCTTGGTGGGCGGCCGCCGGAGCCCTCCCCAGCAACGGCCGGGCAGCGGAAGGATCGCCTGTCTGATAGGCCGGCGCCCGCCTGTTCGTCGCGTCTCCTTTTGTGGCCGCGCGGCCGCGCGCGCGAGGGCCCCGCGGAGTCCCTCGGGCGGCACGCGTCTCTTCCGTAGGCGCGCCCCCGAGTCTCCGCGCGCGCCGGGCCTAAAGAATCCATTCCCCCGCAACGGCTCCATTCTCGGAGCTCCGACGTTACGCACATTGGCGCCAAAAAGGAGCAGACGCCACGCAAAAGAACTGCCCGAGGTAGCGCCCCCCCGACCCCGCCGCCCCCGCCCCGCCGCGCTGCGCCGCCGCGCGCGGGCCCGCGCGACGCCGCGCCGCGCAGGCACGAGACCAGAAGCCAAAACAGAACAAGGGCTGCCCCGACGCCGCCATGGCGGACAAACTGAAGCCCGGGCGGGGCATCGAGCTGCCCTTCGTCGAGTTCGGCGAGGGCAAGCCCTGGCACGTGAAATTTAACCCCTTCGTCACGGGCCTCTCCATCGTGGCCATCTGGCGCCGCGCCGCGTCCCTTTTTTCGCTGCCCCCGGCCCGCGCGCCGCCGCCGCCGCCGCGCTGCCGCCCCTCACGCCCGGACCCCCGCGCAGGACCTTCATCATCTACACGCTCGTGTCGCCGGCGGAGGCGAGCAAGGAGTGGGCGATGTGGAACGACTGGGTCGGCGACGAGTGGACGTGGTTCTACATGGGCTCGCAGAACGTCTGGCTCGGCGTCATCTTCTACCTCATGCTCACCAAGTACGGCAACCTCAAGTTCGGCGGCGACGACACCGAGCCCGAGTTCTCGAAGCTCCAGTGGTTCGGCATGATGTACACGTGCGGCGTCGCCGTCGGCCTCTTCTACTGGGGCGTCGCCGAGCCGATGTACCACTACGGCGGCGAGCGAGTCGCGACGATCAGCACGGGCCGTCGCCTGGGCACGCTGTCTGGCGCCGCCCCGAACGACGACTGGACGCTCCGCTCGGGCCACATGAACGACGGCGACCGCGCCAACTACGCGCTCATGCAGTCCTACTTCCACTGGGGTATCCATGGCTGGATCCCCTACGTCCTGATCGGCGCGCTCATGGGGCTCCTGTCGTACCGCCGCGGGCTCCCGATGACGATGCGCACGTGCTTCTACCCGCTCTGGGGCAAGCAGATCGAGGGCTGGCGCGGCGACGTCGTCGACGTCCTCTCGATCATGTGCACCCTCTTCGGCGTCTGCACGTCGCTCGGCCTCGGCGTGCGCCAGCTCAACCGGGGCCTCATCCGCCTGGACCGCGGCACGTTCATGGGCGTTGACTACTACGGCAGCGAGTACACCTCGGACGCGGACGACCGCATGCGCAAGACGGCGTGCGGCAACTCGGTCCCGTGCCGCAGAGGCAAGACCGAACTCGACTTCAACGTGAAGACGCAGTGCTGGATCGTCGTTTTCGTCACGCTGCTCGCCACGTGCTCCGTGGCCGTGGGTCTCAAGCGCGGCATCGCCGTGCTCTCGTACGTCGCGTTCGGCATGGGCATGATCCTGGTCACGGCGGTGCTCTTCATGGACGACACGATGTACATCCTCGACGCGACGACGACGTCCTTGGGCTACTACCTCTGGTACCTCCCCAAGATCGCCTGGGAGTGCGACGCGTGGGCGCGGCTCAACTCGGACCACTCGTGGACGGGAAGCGCGGTGCGCGGATCCTTAGGCAAGGACGGAATTGCAGGCACGCCCGACGGGCTGGGCGCGGGCTCGGAGTGGCTCTCCGGCTGGACCGTCTTCTACTGGGGCTGGTGGATCTCCTGGGGCCCCTTCGTCGGCACATTCCTCGCCAAGATCTCCAAGGGCCGCACGCTCCGCGAGTTCATCATCTACGCGATGATCGTGCCGACGCTCTACTGCATCTTCTGGTTTGGCACCTTCGGCGGCGCGGCCATCGGCATGCAGATGAGGGCGGACCACATGGGCGCGTCAGATGAGGGTTGGACCTACATGGGCAAGGACGCGACGCACCCGCTGGACACGAGAATGAAGAACGCAAAGCCGGAGCACAACAAGGGCTACGTGGTCGACTTCGGCGGCTCCAGCAGCGTGGAGGACCAGTTCTTCGACCTGATCAGCTCCTACGGCGGCAAGGGCCTCGCCTACGGCCTCACGTGCTGGGCCTGGCTCTGCCTCCTGTTCTACTTCATCACGTCGTCGGACTCGGGCTCGCTCGTCATCGACATGATCAGCGCCAACGGCGAGCAGGAGCCGCCGCTCCCGCAGCGCATCTTCTGGGCCTTCACCGAGGGCTCCGCGGCCATCGCGCTGCTCGCGGGCTCGCAGGGCGATCCGTCCCGCGCGCTGGGCGGCGTCCAGGCCGTGAGCGTCGTGTGCGGCCTCCCGTTCACGGTCGTCCTCATGTACATGTCGCACGCGCTCTACCTATGTTGCCTCGAGGAGGCCGGCGACCTCGACGAGAACCGCCCGGGCTGGCGCACGGTCTGCCTGGGCTTGCCGAAGGCGGACGAGGTAGGCGAATGGATTCAGTCCATAGTGATTGCTGCGGTCGCGCCGTTTATCCCCATCTGGAAGGTGCTGTCGCAAGTCGAGAGCTCGACGAGCGGCGCGGACCCGATCATGTCCAAGGAGAAGATGGTCGTCCTGTACACGGCCCTCTCGGCGATCTTCATCTACTTCGGCTCGATCCTCCTGATCTTCTCGCAGTGGGAGGCCAACCTCCGCATGCTCGCCGCGACGCTCTACCTCGCGTTCGCCACCGTCGTCTCGTACACGCGCTACATGACGCGCACGGGCCTCGGCATCCAGTTCGGCGACGCGCTGACCGACGTGTGCCTTTCGGTGCTCTTCTACCCGCTCGTGCTCGCGCAGTGCGAGCGGGAGTGCGCGCTCGGCACGATCGGCGGCGCGCCCCCCCAGCAGAAGATCAAGGTCTCCGAGGCGTGAGCGCGCGCGCGAGCGCGTCGGAGACGTCCTCCGCGCCTCTGAGCGGCCGTCGGCCGGCTCAGCGCGCCAACTTCCCCCGCGACGCGCGCGCCCAGCGCTGCGTCCCACCCCCTGCCTAAGTCCCCTTGCCAGACCCTCTGCCGTCACGGTAGTAAACTCACACAACGCGCCTTAGCTGCGCTCGATCGCGGCCGCCGCGGGAGCGCCGTATCTAGCCCTCGCCGCGCGAAGCGACTCGAGCAGATCCTCCGGGGACCGCGCCAGGGCGACGAGGTCGATCTGCCCCGAAGGTATTCTTTCCGAATCGTTCCGGGCCGTCACTTTCGCCGTGTGGTCGCTCGAGATTCGCACGCGGTAGAGGCCGGGCGTCGTCGGGTGCCGGCAGACCCAGAAACAGCAAGGAACATAGCACCCGAAGCCAAGCGCGTAGGAGAGCGGATCGGGGTGCGCCGGCGGCGCGGCGCAGTAGAAATCTTTGTCCTCGGCGTAGCTTCGGACTTCTATGTTGTCGACGTCGAATCCGTCCCAGGCGATGGCGTTGACGTCGCGCTCGTGGTGCCTCAATTCTCCGAGGCGGATGACGTGGCCGTCGGGCCGCATGTTCCGACGGCCGACTACTCCGTTCTCCGTCACGACGAGCGCGTGGGCGGCCCACGGCGGCCAGTCCATATCCTCGTGGGGCGCGCAGAGCGCGTTGCAGAGGGCGCAGGGGCAGAATATAGGGAAACACACCGTCCACGGACACACCGTCGGCGTCAGGTCCACGCACGGGGACCTCGCGGCGGCGAGCGTGCCCGGGCCGCCGACGCAGAGGTGCACCCGCCTCTTCGCATCATTCGCAGCGTCGAAGAGGTTGCGGTCGAGGCCAAAGACCTCGACGACGGCGTCCGTCGGCGCGAGCGGCGTCGTCGCGAGGTCGAGGCTGCCCGAATACGGGTCGACCTTCGGCGCGCGGACGTATGCGACGCCCTGGGGCAGCGCGACCAGCGCGGGGTGGCCGGCCGCCGCGGCGTCGGCGTCGCGGACGACGGGTATGATCGCGTGGAGGTCCATGCGCGCGGGTGCACTAGTGAGAGCTTATGTCCATGCTGACAAGATTGTTGGGCAGCCCCGCCGTGTCTCTGGCTGCACTGGTTTGTTGGGCAGCCCCGTCGTGTCTCTGGCTGCACCGGAGAAGAATATGATGTGTGACACGCGACGAAGCGACCAGTGCGTGGCTGAATCTGCGTGTGTGCTTAGGACTTAGCATATAAGACAGCGAACAGAGCGTGTGGGTACGGACGCGCGTGTGCTCCAGGCTCAGGCTCTCTCTCAGCCCCGGCTTGCTAGGCATCCCTAGTGTCTTACAGGCCGCTAGCGCGTTCCTAAACGCGGGGAGCCCTGGAAGCCGCGCCCCGGGGCGGTACCCCCTCAATTGCGGCTCCAATTGAAGCCGGCGGGTTTTTGCGCGTGGCGAAGCGTTCGGGGTCCGTACTCGCTGGGGCGGGGCACCATAAGCGTCTATCTCCGAGTCTCTCGTCGGACTACAAGCCATCCTTCGAAGGGGCTTGTAAATGAATCACTAAGTGGTATTATTTATGGAGGACCTCGGCTAGCTGGAGATCTCTAGGTGATCTAGGTTAGATACTACAGGTAGTACTATCCTTATATGGTAGTAGGTACAAGTAGTACTATCCTTATATAGTAGTAGGTAAAATATAATTAAGGAGTTCGGCAGCATACGAGGATGTCGGGGGACGGTCGGCAGCGTACGAGGATGTCGGGGGACGGCGGCAAGGCGAGCAGGCAGCACGGAATGCGCTTTCGTCGTGCCGATCGATAGATAGACTAGGATTCGCGTGACACTCTACCAGCAAGCGACAGACTGCGGCAATTCGCCCGTCGCGTGCAAAGTACCGCAGATAGTACCACCGCTTTCAAGGAACATAATAGTCTCGAGACTAGGTAGCCCAGCAAACGCCCCGGTCTGGATCAACTCGGGATTCCAAAAATTATTGCCCTGCAAGTGCAGTTCTTTCAAATTTTCCAGACCGAGAAAGGTGTTGGTCTGAAGGCCCCATAGATCGTTCATATGTAAACGCAACATCGTGAGACTACGCAGGCCGACAAATGCCCCGGGTTCAATTATCCAAATTCCGTTATGGGCTAAGTCGAGAGAACCGCTCAATGCATTTAGGCCCTCGAAGGTGCCGTTTCTGAGGACGGTGAGGGCATTGCGGTCGCTCATCTCTTCAGACTCTCCAATGCGCGCTATGGCCGTCTGCATCTGTAGCGACTTTAGGGCGCCGAGGCCGACAAACGCTCCAGGTTCGATGCTTTCTATCCTATTGTAGCTCAAGTCTAGTGCTTGCAATCTACCAAGACCCGCAAACGTGCTGGATCTAAGGATGGAGATGGCATTGTTGCCCATGCGTAGGTCTTCGAGATTCCTCAACCCGAGAAATGCGAAAGGCGCCACTTCGTAAATGGCACTCGCGTCAAGGTCCAGCTCGCGTAGCTGGCCGAGACCTCGAAACGTCGAGGCTTCGATCTCCGTGATTTTGTTGCGGCTCAAATCCAACCGTTCGAGCCAGTCCATACTCTCGAAGGTTCCTGGCTTGATCCCTTTGATGCCGCTATTGGGAAGTTTCAGAACGTCTGGCAAGGAGTCGATGCGGTTCCAAGACGAAGCGGTCCACTCGAGCGTCGTGGCATCTCCGTAACAGTCGACGAGCTCGTGGTTGCTGCATTCGCAGGGGAAACAATTTGTTCTTGAGTTGTCTGTGCCGAGGTCGCCGGAGAAGGCCAAAGCGATGAAGGTCAACGTCAAGACAAAATAAACTAGGCAGGCCCAGCGAGGGAGTCGTCCCTGGGCCGCGGCGGCGTCCGCCTTTGTCTGCGCGCCACGCCGTAACTTCTCCCGCACTGCGTCTTTCTCGCCGCGCTGCGGAGCAAACGCCAAAACCGAAAGTCCGACGACGACCAAGCCGAAAGCTATGTAGTAGTTTACGACCAGCAACGCGACGATCGATACGTACAGCCCGACGACCCGGCGCGCCTCGATGGCGATGGCTAAATAGTAACCCAGGACGACGAGGAACGAGGTTAGTAAAATTGGTATGCCCGTGAGGTCGAAAAAGGCGTATATCACAAAGCAGATGGCCGCTAGGCCGAGGGTCTGCCGCCAGACCGACACCGACCGTCGGCCCGCGCGTTCCGCAAACGTCGGTAGTACCAAAAACGATAGCATGAACGGCAGGCAGAGGGAAAAATACGCAATTAAGAACCCCAGTCGTGTAGACCACGGCCGGCCGCGCGTGACCTTAAGCCAGAGCCAGTCCGGATATGCGCACTGTGTAACATCCCCCTCCTCGACGTCCGAGTGATCTATCACGTCGCGCGTGTACGCAAAGTTCACAAAGTCCGCAGCAGATATACCCGAGTCCGGCGGTGCGACGCATACTCTCTGCGCGCTACCTTGGTGGCAAAATTCGTCCATCCAATCCACCTTGTTCTCGTCAATCCATTCGTAATTGTTTATCGCGTTGTATGTGTACTTCCCGGTGTAATCTATAGTCCAAGGCGGGTACGTGACGTTATCCCAAAACCAGCCCGCGGGACCGGTCTCGTTTTGGCACCTCGCATCATGCGTGCCCGTCTCGCAGATGCCCATGCCACAACCGATATTAGCGGTCCCGTCGCAGCCCGGCACGACGCAGTCCTGCAAGGTCGTGCACGGCTGGGGGAAAACATCCGTGAAATGCCGAAAGCAATGAACCTGGCGCTCGCCGTCCTGGCACCAATCGCCATTGCCGAGGTCGAAGCCCTGGGGTGCGTTGACACATCGCGCATCTGAGCCCTTCGTGGCGCACACGGGCTGCCCTTTTTCTTCAATCAAACAATAGCCGCCGTCGCAGCCCGGCTCGGCCATGCAGTCTTCGTCGACTGTGCAGCCGCGTTGCATATCTGGCGAGCGCACAAATGTTGGCCAGGTGGCGTTGCGCGTGTTGGGCTGTTCCGGTCCCCACTCCTTCCAATGGCGCACGGCCCCGTCCTTCACGTACTGACACGTGAAATCCTTTCGCATGGCGCCTCGCACAAACCAGTGCAAGGGGGACTTATCAGAGTAAAAGCAACCCATGGCGAGGGTCCAAACGCCCAGACAGCCGACGACGAGCCTGCGGTACCGGCGTCCAGCCGGCGTCGCTTGCGGCGGTGCCGGCTTCGGCGGCGGCTCGGTGCCGTCTTTTAGCACATCAACGTCGCTGGGAGCCACTGGCTTCGGCGCCCGCGCTCGCTCGCCGGCGGTCTCGAGGGTCGCAATCACGAAATGAGCGTGCATCAAGGGGACCAGGTTCGACACGTAGGCGATTGGTTCGTGGGGTATCAGCATCGCCTGGCTGCGTATGCCAGAGAGCAAGAAGACGAACGGCGTGAGGGCGTACACTATGTCGAGGAACGTGTCGACGCAGTACGCGATGTCGCGCTGCCTAAGCACGAGGCGGCTTCGCAGCAGGAGCGGCGGGTACAAGACGTTGACGGTCAGGGCGAGGACGAAGACGTACACGAACCAAAACGCGAGGTTTCCGCCTTCCTTTCCCAAGTAGATCCCAAAAAGCGGTATCTTGCCCGCGGCCTGCAGCGCGACCTCGGCGGTTTGAAAACAGAACACCTTCCACACGAAGTGCGAGCCCTCGTAGCCGAAGTACCTTTCGTAGAGCAGGCCGATGCGCGTCCGTTCGCGTCTTGCGGCCCTGGCCGCGTCGCCGAAAAAGCCCGCGGCGCGCATCAACATGTACACGTTGGCTAGGTAGGGGGCGGCTAGCGCGATGCCGTAGACGCGGTGGACGACGAAGGGTTGCTCGAAGCCGCGCCAGGTGCCAGGGTCGGCGCGCCTGACGAAGAGACGCAGTCCTTTGAGCGTAAACACGTCGAGATACAGCACCGCGACGAAGAGGCTGAGCAGCGCGATCACGAGGCGGGCGGCGTTGTACGCGACGGCCGTCGCGGCGGGCGCGGCGGTCTCCGACAAAGACGCAGTGTCGGGCTTCTCGAGGACGCCCATCAGGTCCAGTTCCCGCGCCGCCTCGTACGCGACGTGCTGGCGGTCCGCCACGCGAAGCACCTCAGAAAGATGTATCTGGAGCTCGACGACGAGGCCGTGGTAGACGAGGTTGACGTTCACGTCGCGGTAGCCGCTCGGCGTCGGGTCGTCGCGGAACCGATTTTTTATGCGCACTATTTCTACGTCCTCCAGGGCGCGCAGCGCGTCGACAACTTCGTTTAGCTCGTCCACCGTCTCGCAGACGACCGAGCCGCGTAGCACGTCGCGGAGCTGGCTCAGGTCGCCGCCATAGTCTAGCTCCGTCTTCTCCCGCGCCCGGGCTAAGTGCTTGACGCTCGGCCCGCGGATCTCGCGCGGGGCCTCCGTCGCCCGCTTGCCCGTGCGCGACACGACCGCGAGGATGTCCGCGAAGGGGTCGCGGCGCTCGCGCGCGCGGACGTAGATCTCGCGCAGCTCCCGGCTCGGCTGGCGAGGTGGGGCCGGGGGCGCGAAGGACGCGGGCCCGCGCCGCGCCTCGTCGCGGTCCGCGAGCAGCTTCTTCGACGCGGCGTCGAACTCGTCCGCGACGGCGTCGACGGCCTCGATGGCGCGGATCATGCGGCTCATGACGGGCCCGCAGCAAATGGCGGCGACGGCGACGACCACGAGAGCCGCGACCCAGGCCGGGTCCCCCGTCGCCACGGCCTTGGTCAGGAACCAAAAGAGCACGACCAGCGTCGTCGACAGGGCGAACACGCCGATGACGAGCTTGTCGCTCGTCTCGAAGATCGACATGACCAGCGTGAGGAGACCGAGGTAGACTTTCCGCTGCGCGCGCGCCAGCGTCGCTATGGCGTGCGGCGGCACGAGCCGCCGCGAGCACTGGGGACAGAAGCCGGACTCGTTGCCGTGGAAGTTGGCGCAAAGTCCGCAGGGGAATGGCGCCGCGGCCGCCGCCGGGTCGCGGAACGGTGCTGCCACCGCGGGCTCGGCGCGGCGCGCTTCCGCCGCAGCGTCCATCCCGGGCTGCCTTGATGCCTGCGCCTGCCTATGTCTTGTTCTTGTTTCTGGCTCGAGCTTTCAGATTTTGGCCGCCGGTGCCCGCACGACATGACGATTACGGACCACGTGTTGGACCGACCGATTTCTCGTGTGCTAGTGCCTCCGCCTGCTTGTGTGCTAGTGCCTTACAGACCGCTAGCTAATCCGATCCGGCGCCCGATTGGATCACGCTCCGAACCACAAATCGCAATGTCGCGACGACGTCGTCCCTGCTCTCGAGAGCCAATCAAAGGGGAGTTACAATCAAGGGAAGGGAATCGTAGGAAGGGAATCACGCTGACGCGCACGCAGCCGGCAGGCCCGCGTCGCCGGCCTGGCACTCCTGGCCCGTCCACTGGTAGTGTCTGTTGTAGGAGCACCCCCGGTTTATGCACGGCTGCTCGACGCCACAGAGGACCTTGCCTTCGGCCGCGCACACGTTCGTGGCCTCGTACCAGTCCTTCGGCGCGAAGTCAGATAGAGGTCGACGTCGTGGGGGAAGGCCCTCGCGGCGTCTCCGTCAAGCGCGAGGAGGAGCATCTCGAGCGTCGACCAGAGGATGGCGCCGCCGTTGCAGGGCGTCGGCGCGCAGTCCGCCCGCTCTAGTAGCGCCGCGGCCTGGGAAGCCGCCGCGGCGAAGTCGGCTTTGCTCAGCTCATCCTTCACTAACAGCTTCACGACCGCCGAGAGGCGCGCGGCCGCCTCGAGGCGGTCCCGCATGTCCCGCTCGGGGTCCGGGTCGGCGCAGACGCCATGAGCCGCGGCGACGGCTTCCGAGGCCGCGGCGACGGGCCCCGGCTCGTCCGCCGCGTCGCAGGACCGCGGGCCCCAGACCGCGTCGGCCTTGGGCGCGCCGGGCGTCGGCGCCGTGCAGAGGTCGCACAGACCGAGCGTGCCGCCGCGCCACTCGAAGCTCTCGCAGCCGGGCATGGAGAGGCACGCGACCTGGCAGGCCTCGGGCGACGACTGCCAATCAACATAACCCGCGTCCGCGCAGCCGCCGGTGTCCGCGCGGAAGCACGCGTCGCCATGCGCGGCGAGCGCGAGGGCGAGGAGCGCCGCGCGCGTCGTCATTGGTCTTGGTTTTGGTTTTGGTCTGCGTGAGAGACGGTTTCGCGCGCGAGGTTGTGGCGCGGACGCCGCGGCGGCACTTTGGTGGTGGCGGTGGTGCGGATGAGAGCTCAAAAGGAGCCCGGACCGATTAGGTGTGCCTGCGCGCGAGAACGTCGTGCGGCCGGCTTGTGTGTTGTGCGCGTTTTCGGCCGCCGTCGTTCGCACGGCCTCGCGTGCCGGCGCGCCGCAAACCGCGCGCGGCTTGGTGGCGCCGCCGGCGCCCGTTGCGTGCCACGAGCTTCGGTTGCTGGCATGTTCCAGGGTGAATTTAACGTCTTCGAGCGCGCGGCGGATTTTCTCGGCGAGTGGGCGTTGTATGTGATCGGCGCAGATTTTTTAAGGGGGTCTGGGACGCGGGATTTACTTTTGTGAGCGTTGGGTGCGTTTGTCGGCGGCCAAGTTTGTCGGCCTGGGTTTGGCCACAAGCTAGCGGTCGTGAGACACTAGCAGCTTGACAAATTACTACTAAACCTCCGGGCTCGACACATAGACGTCCCCCCGCGGGCGCCTCGGCCTACCGCCCTGGCCAGATTTCTGGGCGGCGCTCACCGCGGCCGGAGCGAGACTAGAGAGCGAGACTCGAGCGAGACGAGTCTGCGAAGCCTCGCTTCTGGAGGACTAGGCTGGATATGTATATTTACACGGGGGTGCAGCGCTCAAACAGTTTTATCATGAGCCGTGGGATACTTTCCAAATCCTCTGCCGCGTGTGTGACGTCGTCGCCTTGCACACCGGTACGTAGCCAATCAATCATCATAATTCGACGGCGTCGCCTTGGTGCCGCTTTGCATCGGGGCCGGTCGGCGCGTCCGGGGGCGGCGTCGACCGCGCGTCGGGCATGCCTTGGCTTGGCGCCGGCGCCGGCGCCGGGACCTCCTCGGACTCGGGCTCGGCGGTCGCCCCGGCAGCGAGCGCCGCGTCGCAGACGGCCTTGGCAGCAGCTTCTATCTCTCCCCGCTCGGATGCGGCCGTCACGCCAGCGACGCGTAGCTTCCGCAGCTCCAGCCTGTCGTCGGTGTGATCGCCGACCACAGCGTACGCCTCGGACCGCGAAAAGCCGTAGCCGCGGACCACGTCGCCTCGTATGGAGAGCCACATCTTGTCCACCAAGATGTGGCTCTCGGTCTCGTACCATCCATCTAGGTGGAAGCTTTGCGAGTCGCCGATGGACGGGTCCTTGAAAATGTAGTAGCGTAGGGACTTGCACCGTCTTTCGATCCACCACACACCCTCGGACACACCTTTGCGCACGACGTCAACAGTAAACACGAGGGACATGTGGCAGATGGTATCGCCAATCGCCGCGGCGGCGGCGGGCGCCGGCGCGGGCACCGCCACGCGTCTCGGCATCGGGATCGGCCGCTCGACTGGTGCTGGCGCGGGTGCCGCACTTCGTCCCCGTTGCTGCGACCGCACGACGACTAAGCACGTCAACTTCTCGACCACAAGCTGAACCTGACCGTCCGTGGACTCCTCGGCGCGACGGCGTACGATTGCGCAGGCAATGCCGCTGCGCCCGTCGCCCTTCTGCAGCGAGACGACGGCGACGCCGCGGTCGGCGTCCGCCGCGAGGAAAACCCATGCTTTGCTCTTCCAATTATTTGGCTCAAAAACGCGCGACGTAGAGTCGAACACGATGCCCCGTTCCCTGTCCCTAATGAAGACGTCGTCGCCGGGCCCCGCATGAAACGTAGTCCGGACATCCAAGCCTTCGATAGGACCGCGCGCGTGCGCGTCGAGCACCCACAGTGCTGCGGCAGCCACCGCCGACCAAGTAGCGCCACTCGCCTCCAGGACGCGGCGCGCCTCGTCGAAGCTCGTACCACTAAAAGTATCCGGTGTCTTGATGCCGGACCGGTTACTCGTGCGAGGATTGCGCGTAATTACTGTATCAGCCGACCGCGTCGGCCCCACGGGACGGCCAGCAGCTGCCGCGGTCCGTTCGCGCTCCCGCCGGTTACGCTCAGCGCGCGTCTTTTCATCCCTCGCTCGCCTGTGGAAGTCCCGCACCTTGTCAGGGCTCCGGTTCACCATCAACTCGGCGATCTCCGAGAAACCCTTGCCGAGCTCGTGCTGCGCCACGATGAACGCCTTCTCCTCGCGAGATAGTGGCGAGTTGTTGGCCTTGGCCTCCTCGCGCTTCCGCTTCTTCTCGGCCTTCTTGGCGTCGCGCTTCCGCTTCTTCTCGGCGTCGGCCTCGGCCTTCTTGGCGTCGCGTTCCCGTCGCTTCTCTTCTTTCTCGTCCCGCTTCCGCTTCTTCTCGGCCCCGAGCACGCAGCTCAACTGCTCCTGATAGAGAACCTTGGCGTCGTCGCGGCGAGCCCGTGCGACGTCTTTGGCGGTCTGGTCCATCTCGGCGACGACTGCGTCAGCTAGTCTCTTGAGTTCGTCCGCTGCGTCCGAGTAGCGCTTGATGTCTTCCGACGCCGCTGGACCGCCAGCCTCGGCGGCTCTAGCAGCGGCGTCCGCGACGCGACCCGATGCGAACAGGGCCCAGGCCGCGTCGAGTTCGACGCGCTTCCGCTCCCGCGCGACGCGCTCGAGCGCAGCTCCCTCTTCCCTAACTGCTCCCTCGCGCTCGGCGAACAAGGTCTCCGCAGCGTTGCGTTCAGTACGCTTGGTGGGCTTTGCGGCCAAGTCCACTTCGTCTACGACCGCGCGCGCAGCCTTAATCCACTCGTTCGCCGCTGCGACGACGTCGTCGGCAATGGGCTTGGCTTGCGCCGCACGGACGGCGTGCTCGGCGCGGACGACAGACGCGGCGTCATCACCTAGGTCGGGTGCCGCGGCCTTGACCGCGTCAGACGCGTCTTGTGCTGTTTTGATGGCGTGTTCTCTGCTGGACAATTCAATCCGGCCTATGTTCACGCTACGCGCCTCGGCCTCGCCGTCGAGTCGTACCTTCCACCGGGATCCTCTTCCTTCGGGGAGCGCCGCGACGACGCCCGCCCGCCCACCCACTGAGACGCGATCACCGACGGCACCGGGCTTACCCTGCTTCGCTCTGGATAACGCACGAGATGCAGTTGTTTTCGCAAGCTTCACGGCGGCTTCGCGGGCTTCCTCCTGCTGCCGTTTCAGCGCGCGCTCCCGCACCGTCGCGACCCCCGTGTCCATCATGTCCTTGTACGTGGCCATAAATAGCGACGCACCGAAGGGCTCGCGCGCCTTCGCCGCCGCCGCCGCAGCGCAGGCAGTGGCTCTTTCTAATAAGATTCTATCGATCACATCATCTAAGGACTTGCCCGATTTCTTGGCCTCGGCCTCGGCCTTCTCCAAGACACTTCTGACCATGTTCTCCCGGCAATTCCGCAGCGCTTCTTCAGACAAGCAATTGCCCATGCCGTTGATTTGCGAGGTGCCCTTCTTGAACTGGACCGCCCGCGCCCGCTCCTTCGCCTCGGGCGTCGACGCGAGCGCGACGCCGCCGCCGTTGCCCTTCGGGAACGGGTTGCCCAAAGTGTACCCATGCAAAAACGACTTGGCCGCAACGCTCTCCTCGCACGAGATGAGGCCGCCCTCGGGGATGCCGCCGCCGAGCAGGAAGAGCCGCACCATCAACGCCACGTAATAATGGGCGTGCGTGTTGGTGCACGGGTGCGGGGTCGCAATGAAGAGCGTCGCGACGCCATCTTTACTAAAGCCAAGCGTCGCTCGATGGCTTGGTAGGCCAAGTGGATACTTGACCGCATTTGCACCGCACAGGATCCGCACAAAGTTGACCGCCGAGTTGATCGACTCCGTGCAGTCGGCCATCCTGAAAGCATACGGCTTTGGGAGCGTCCGGCCCGGGCGTTCGCCGGTCATGATTACCACACGCACGTGGCCCGGCGCGAATAACGCATCGTGCAAGGCAGTCGCCGTGGCAGAGGCAGTCCGTTCCGCCTCGGCGTGTCGGGGCTCGGGCTTCTTCCGCCGCCCGTTCGACAAGTTGTAGTGAACGGCGTCGTTCGTTTTCCAGGTGTGGACGGCGTCGGTCAGGACGACGCGGCCGTTCAGCTCCTTCTCGGCAGCAACACGCCACTCATCGAATGGCAGGTCGGAGCTCACCTCGCCGGCGAGGGCTGCCGCCATCGCGATGAGCGTCTTATAGGTCACACAGGGGAGTCTCCGGCCGTCCCCATTCACATTGTTCCAGCCGTCTCGAGCTCTTCGTAATAATACATCGTTGAAGCGCGCAGCGTGACGTTCGTCGAGACCACAGAAACGCAGCATCTCACCAGCAGTTTTGAAGCCACCCATGGGCGGCGGAGGCCAATTTGCGTGAACTAAGACATGAGGCACACCGCTGCCCTTGAGCACCGAACCGCCGTGTCCTTCTTTGTCCTTCCGCAGGAGCTCGACGTTGTACCCGACGTACGCGTCCTCCGCTTCCGCGACTTCATTGTCCGTCTTCGGCTTCGCGCACACCTCGAACAGCACTCGAACGCTGTTCTTCCTTTTGGGATCGGTGACGCAGCCCACGAGGCTCACTAGTAATGCGCGACCCCCCTCCTCGACGAGCACCTCCTCGTGGCCAGACTTAAACGCCCGCTCCACGACCGCACGAACATCTAACGCAATGGGACCACTCAATACCTCGCCCCACGGGCTCGGGCCGACGCCGCGCGCGAAGTCCAGCTCCTCCTTACTTGCATTTTTCGCAGCGTTGCCGTCCCAGCCCTCCGAGAACTTTCCGTTGATGATGAACGGTCGCACCTCGCTAGAAAAGTCGCCGATCTTGATGTGATCGACGAGTTCGCGCAGCGTCATTAGTTTGATGCCCCTCTTCCGTGCCTCGATGACCTTGTTGATGCCCGGCTCCTTGCCGACGACAAGTATCTGAACCCTGCTTGAGACCGCGCTCACTACTCTCCCACTAAAGGCCTCGACCAGCGCCTTCACTCTATCCTTCCCTAGATTCAAACCCTCGCCGCCGCCGGCTTCGGGAAAAGTGCCGGTGAAGACGCACGTGATCCCTACCATGCAGATGTCTTCGCCACCAACGCCGGGTTCCGGAAGTTCCAGGGGCTCGGCGTCGCGCTGGTCCGCCGCCCCTATCGACACGACGTCATTCGCAACTCGTCTATCAGCGAGCGGCTCGCCCGACGTCTCCGCCGTAGTGGCCGTCGGCGCGTCGACGTCCATGGGAGCGACGCCGTTGTCAGGCGCCTCGGCACTGCCCGTGTCGTCGACGCACTTTCGCAGCGCGGTCTCGAGATTCTGCTGGCACTTCCTAATTTGGTCGCGTTGCGCTGCGCATCGCTCCGCCTTCGCTTGCAGCTTCTGCTTCGACGCCTCGCACTTATCCTTCCAGGTCTTCTTGCCGGACTCGGCGCCAGATCTCGTACCAGTAGCCGCGCCGCTCGGCTTCGGGGTAGTTGATGGCGTGAGTTCGGGCGATGCCGGCTCCTCGCGTGGCCGTCCGGTGGCGTCCGAGGACTCGTCGGCCTCCTCGGGCTCCTCGGGCTCGTCGTCGGAGCCATCGGAGTCGTCGCCGTCCTCGACCATATCCTCGACCGGGATCTCTCGCTCCCAATCCTCCGGCACGTCGTCCTCGGGCGTGCCGTCCAGCTGTGCAGGGGCGGCACCGCCTGCCGCTGCTCTTGAGCATGCCGCCACCTCGTCGTCGAGGGCGTCCTGCGCCGCCTCCTCTTCCAAGGCCTTGGCCAGCTTGTCCTTGGCCTCCTCGAGGCGCGCCGACTTCCTCGTAGCTTCCTGTGGCTCCTTCGTCGCGCGGGTCCGGCGCCGCTTCGCCTTTGGCTTGCCGGCGAGGCCTCCGCCGAGGCCGAGCGACTGCATGAACGCCTCGTTGCGGGCGATGCGGCCGTGCCGCTCGCGCTCGTACTGGCTCAGCCCGACTTCATCGGGCAGGACGGCCGTTGCTTGGGCGGCTGCGGCCGCCGCACGCGCGCGCCGCACGGGATCCGCCGCGCGCGCGAGGGCGCCGCTCGAGCGGTCGATGCCCGCGGCGCCGGCCGGCAGCACTATCGTGTCGGACGCGTCGCCCGTCGTCCCGTTCGCGTCGCCGGCGTCGTGCGCGACCGAGTCCGTCATGATGGCGTCGTCCTGGTCGAACTGCGTCTCGGACGGCGAGTCGTCCGTGTCCGACGGGCGATGGCCGTCGGGCGGCGACGTCTCCATCGAGTCGGGCGGCGCCGCGTCCGTCGAGGGCGTAGGCGGAGGCGCCGTGGGCGTAGTCTCCATGGCTCTATCATCGTCCCGTGTACCGGCGCGAAGGCGCAGCACGAGGTGCAGCGTCGACTCCTTCTGGACGTTGTAGTCCGAGAGTGTGCGGCCATCCTCCAACTGTTTACCGGCGAAGATGAGGCGCTGCTGGTCGGGCGGGACGCCTTCCTTGTCCTGGATCTTCTGCTTCACGCTGTCGATCGTGTCGGACGGCTCGACGTCGAGCGTGATGGTCTTGCCCGTGAGGGTCTTGACGAAGATCTGCATGCCGCCGTACCCGACGCGCCCTAGGCCGACGCCCGCGCCCCTCCCACTATCCAAACGCAACACGTCGACGGCGCCGTCGACCGCCGCGATACCTATGCCACCGACACGCCGTCGATGGACCTCGTTCCCCACCACAAGTATAGCTTCCGCGGCGCCGCCGCACCTAAACACCGGGCCGACGCCCGCGCCCCTCCCACTATCCAAACGCAACACGTCGACGGCGCCGTCGACCGCCGCGACCCCTATGCCACCGACACGCCGTCGATGGACCTCGCCCCACCACAAGTATAGCTTCCGCGGCGCCGCCGCACCTAAAAGCACCGGGCCGACGCCCGCGCCCCTCCCACTATCCAAACGCAACACGTCGACGGCGCCGTCGACCGCCGCGATCTACCCACCGACGCCGTCGATGGACCTCGTTCCCCACCACAAGTATAGCTTCCGCGGCGCCGCCGCACCTAAAAGCACCGGGCCGACGCCCGCGCCCTCCCACTATCCAAACGCAACACGTCGACGGCGCCGTCGACCGCCGCGATACCTATGCCACCGACACGCCGTCGATGGACCTCGTTCCCCACCACAAGTATAGCTTCCGCGGCGCCGCCGCACCTAAGAAGCACCGGGCCGACGCCCGCGCCCCTCCCACTATCCAAACGCAACACGTCGACGGCGCCGTCGACCGCCGCGATACCTATGCCACCGACACGCCGTCGATGGACCTCGTTCCCCACCACAAGTATAGCTTCCGCGGCGCCGCCGCACCTAAGAAGCACCGGGCCGACGCCCGCGCCCCTCCCACTATCCAAACGCAACACGTCGACGGCGCCGTCGACCGCCGCGATACCTATGCCACCGACACGCCGTCGATGGACCTCGTTCCCCACCACAAGTATAGCTTCCGCGGCGCCGCCGCACCTAAGAAGCACCGGGCCGACGCCCGCGCCCCTCCCACTATCCAAACGCAACACGTCGACGGCGCCGTCGACCGCCGCGATACCTATGCCACCGACACGCCGTCGATGGACCTCGCGCCTCACCACAAGTATAGCTTCCGCGGCGTCTCCCCACACAGTCAGCTGTAGGCCGACGGCCACGCCCGTCATAACACTAAAACGCGGCACGTCCACGAAGCCGCCGACCCTCAAGAGACGTAAACCAATAAAATGCTCGAGGTTGCCCGCCCACCTCAGAACAACCGCGGCCGCGGCGCCACTCCACACGACGAGCGGCTGGGCGACATCAATGCCCGTCGCACTAATAAAACACGGCGCGCCAGCGCCGCCGCCGACCGCCTCGCGAATTCCGGCAGCGACGCTCGAGCGCGCCGGAGCAGTAGTCGTCGCGCACGCCCACAGCGCGGCCAGCGCCGCCCAGACCGCGCCAAACGGCGGCGACGACGACGCGGTGCGCGACCCATGAGCTTCGGCGGGCGCGGCCTGCCGGACGGCTCTCTTGGGCCGAGCCGCAGCAACCGAGCCCTTGCACGCCGCCGCAGCGCGCTTCTTCCGAATCGCGTCGGCCTCAGCATCGCGCCATTCCTTGGCGCGCGCCTTTCGGTCCGCCTTCTGCGCGTCGACGACGACGCGCTGCGCCTTGCGCAGGAGGGCCCGCAGCTCCTTCTCCGCTTCCCGCGCCCTTCTCTGCCGCGAGCGCCTTTTCGACTTCCCATCCCCGCGACGCGAAGGGTCAGACACCCGTTCGAGCCGCGGGGCGGGCAAAGCGGCGCGAGCCGCGCGCGTCCGGGCCAGAGCCGCGTTCCTCTCTTCGAGCCGGCGCTCGGCGCGAGCGACCGCTGCCCACCTCGCGGCGCAGACGGCGGCGTCGGCCTTCGCCCGCGCGAGGCGTTGACGGCCTCGAGAGCGGGCGCTAAAGCGGCCGGGGCGCTGCGCGCACCTCGGGGCGCCTCGCAGCGGCAGAAACTTCCCGTCCCGCAGCTCGTGTCGCCCATCGATGACGACGCAGAATGGGTTCCTCCCCAGCTTCTCCGTTAACAGACACCAGTAGTATTCGGCCCACGGGTCGTAGTAGAGGGTCCGCTTCAGAGCCAGGGCCGCCGAGAGGTCGTCGCGTAGCTGTTTTCGCCGGCATGCCGACGACGGGGGGAGCTCCCTAACAGCTCTGCACGGCGCTTCGAGAGCAGCGGCTAGCCAATTGCTGGGGTCGAAGACGCGCGACGCGACGTCGTCGTCCGACTTGAGTAGCCCGCGGTGAGGCCACCTCTCAGGAAATAAATCCTTCGGCGCACTGTTTAGGCCCATCGCGGCGGCGCTTCACGCGATGGCGCCGCGGCATGGCGGCGACAAGCAATTGCAGACAACTTTGAGTTTGTGATAGTCCTCCATCTTTGATAGCCGTAAGCCATCTGTGACGTTTGGCGGTGCTGAAACATTGTTTTGAGCACTGCAGGCAAGCGGCGGTCCGCGCTATAGCCGGCGACCGACAGCTGGTCTTTTTTCCAAAAGCAGCAAAACCCGCTCTCCAAATAAGACCATCATCATCACTTCCCCGCGGTCGCCGCAAGGTTCAGGAGGCGTCTAGGGTCGCAGCTGAAGGGTAGCGTAGTTGCCCACCACAATATCATGGAACCGTATCGACGGCGTCGGCGGTGTCTATTGTCTTCACCAACGACGTCCAGCGTCCCGCCCGCGTCGAAGCCGGCCTCGCACGAGCTGCCCTGCCCGCCTGCCTCGTCGGCGAGCGTCGATGGCGTCGGCCGCGACGGAGTTCGTCGCCCGGCAGAAGAACGCTGCGGCCGTCTAACACAGGTTGTCCGCCAGCTACAACACACGCATCCTCTGTCGTCCCAGAAGGAGAAGGCATGCCGTATAGTTACAAACCACCATCAGATCGATAGTTCCCCCCAAAGGGTTAGCCGGTTCACTTCCACACGACACGTCTCCCAGATCCTCAAACGAACTGTTTTCCACCAGTCGTAGCCTTTGCTGTATAGCTCTTCACATGTTTCCGCACAGTCAGGTGCCCGCCTACAGGTCGCGCGCAGCTTGCACGCACGAACCGTTAGCAGATCCCCTCCTTGGCGCCAATGGTTGATCCGCAAACGCAGCACCACGGTGCCCGGTTGTACTGCACGAGTTAGTCCAGCAATCTTAGCGTGAGGTACGCGGTCATCCTCAGAAGGTCGACCGCGCAGTCGGGTTCCCACCGGTAGGTCGGCGGGTGAATATAGAGTGCGGCGACACCGTGGTCCTCAAAAGGTCCACGGCGCCGTCGGGTTCCCGCCGGTAGGTCGGCGGGTGAGTAGAGTGCGGCGGCGCGCAGGTCGGCGGGTCGGCTCCTCTGTCGGCTCGGGCAGCAGCTTCACCAAGACCTGCCGGACTGCGGTGTTTCAATTCGACGCCATCGCGTTCGGTGCAAACGTCGCCACGTCTACCTCACGCTCCATCGTGCTTCTAACATGAAGCGGACCGTTCAAAGAGCGAGTACCAGCCAGGAGGATTTCCTGCTGACTGCGGCTCCTTTGTCCGGCACGAAGCTTCGAAGAAGACCTTCTTGGGCGTCAAGGGACAGTGACTCTCCACCTGTACATGCACTACCGGGCCCCTGGTAGCAGCGCGACGGAAGAGCACGGGGCAGCAGTAGTAGCCGGTGCGCGTTTCGTCCTACCTGCGTGGGAATTGCGTCTGGGCGCGAAAGCGTCTCTCTAATAGACGCTGCATCGCACACGCACCGGTGAAGGGGGGTCAAGGACCACCCCTTCGGGCAGTCGTCCGTGTGCTTTAGTTTTTGACATCGTCGAGCGCGCAGCAGTCGTTCGCCAGTGCCCTTACAAGTTCGTCGACGCCGCGCGGGGTTGGCCATCTTGATCGTATACAGCCGTCCACCCGTCCACGGCCGAGCGCTCCTGCCAACGGTCCCCCCTCAAATTGCCTCCGCCGCGATGGCGTGCGCCGCATCGGGCAGCGGCGCGCGGTAACGCGTGGAGCGCTGCGCTGCCGCAGGTATTTCCAGGGCAGCCCGCGTCCCGGACAGGACACGGGGCAGCCCTGCGCCGCACAGGCAGCGGCCGCGGTTCTATATTTCCTAGTATGTTGAAGAACATTTTGCCATTCCTCCCCTTTTGCACCCGAATAATCGGCTGCGTTGCAATGGGAGGACGTATCTGACCGCTTCTACGTCCATTTGACAGGTTTTTCTACGGTCGCGCCGACGCCTACGGCTGCCAGGGCTCGAATATTCGTCGAGGCGAAGCCAGTGTCTTGTCTCGTCGACGGCGTCGGCGGCGAGCGCGTCGGGCCTCGGGCGCCGCATCGACGTCGTAGGCGTACTCGGCGCTGCGCGGCTCGACGGCGCGTCCACCAGTGGCACCACCTCCGGCGCAGAGTCCAGGGAGTCTTGGCGGCTTGTATATTGCTCCGTTCCGGCGTTTTTCACAAGCCAAAAAAAAAGTTGCATCCTAACTAAGTTAGGTTACGTTTCACTTTAGCCTAACTACCTGTAACTCCTACGGCCTGTACTTCAGGTAAGATACTAGCAAAGACTTTCTTTCCGGACCTTTCAATTCCCCAAGGAGGCGTATGGACGGCTGCCTGCTCGGTCCTCCGCGGTTTACTGCAGTGCCAATGACCGCCCGCGCGTTCTCATAGATCGTCGTTACCGGTCGCGGGAGGGCGGTATCCGAGCATCGGTACGCGGCGCCCCCCTCCCCCGCCCCGGACAGAAATCCTCATATAGTTTCTTATCCACTGAGAACTGGCGCAGGCGCCGGCCGCGCGGCGCCCGCGCGCCGCGGTTTGCACCCGCGCTGAAAAGTGACGTCGTCGACCACCTGCGGGACACGTACGACTACTACGGCTTCTGTGACGCGTGCCTGAACCAGCATGCGAATGGCACTCTTCGTCTCCTCGAGCCCACGATGAGGGGCAGGCAGCATTGACACCCCGATAGTACATAGTTTCATGTTACTAACATAGTGAATTTGACTGGCGTACACACCCCAAGAACCTCGCCGCCGGGTACCGGATCGACCGAGAAATGCTGCATGATGAAAAACGCGGCACGCCCCCGCCGCCGACGAATCGCACCAACCCCCGAGAAATGGGCAAAAGTCTGCTCGGCGCGATGGCCCACCTCCACGCCCAGGAGACGGGACCAACACCAACTTAAAAAGACGACTCAGCGCCGCCGCCCGCGCGTCCGGTCGCGGGACCGGCTACGGTCCCGCCGGTCGCGCCGCGACCGGTGCCGATCGCGCGACCGCGACCGGTCGCGGCGGCGGCGGCCCCGGTCCCGGCTCCGGCTCCGCGACCGCGACCGCGCCCGCCGCTCGTCCGCGGCGGCGGCGGCGGGCGCCGGCGGCGGCGCCGCCGCCGCCTCGGCCCGGGCCCGGTCCAGGGCCTCCTGCGCCGCCTTCTTCTCGGCCTCGCGCGCCTCCTGCCGCGCGAGGACAGCCGCAGCGAACGCCGGGTCCGTGAGGCGCGGGGCCGGCGCCAATGAAGGCAGCCAGACCAACGGACTCGCAGCATACAGCTCCGTGATCTCGGCCGCCGCGCGGTCCAACTCGCCGCCGTCGACGCCGAAGGCCGCCCACCAGTCCACGCCGTCCTTCTCTAAGGAAGGGAGCGTCCTCCGGAGCTTCGCGGCCGCGAGCTTCACGGCCGCGCACGCGATGACCTCGGCCTTGCTCCTTAATTGTAAATCGGTCCTCAATGAATCGTTGCAGTAGGCCCAGGCCTCCTGGGCGAGCTCCGCGTCGCCATCCAACAACTTCACGTAGAATAAGATGAAGCGGTGCGCGTGCTCGATGACGTAGAACGAGAACCCCAGTTCCTTGAGGATCGTCCGCTCGACCATCACGAGGCTCTCCTTCCAGCCCGCGTACATGGCGCCCCCCAGCTCCATCTTCTCGGTCGAATTGGTCCTGACTTTATAGACGTAGTGGAAGGCGAAGAGGACCTCCCGCAGTCGCTTCGGCTTCTCTTCGACCTTCGAGGCGAGGAAGAGGCAGCCCATGGCCGCGACGAAGGCGTCGTAGCTTTTCAGGGATTTCCGGTAGTAGAAGCGATGTAATAAATTTTGCGCCGTGCACATGACCTGCTGCGGCAGCTTGAGGAGGATGCCCGCTTCCTGCGCGAGGCCGCAGGCCCACCTCCTATGTTTGTCTTCCTCCTCCCGCGCGATGCCGTCCCGCTGGCTCGGCGTCTCTCGGAGCAGGTGCGGCGGCAACAACGTGACGTGGTGCTCCGTCAGCAACTTGTCGTCCTCCTCGTCGACGGCCGCCTGGCCGTCGATGCTGCTCGGCGCGTCGTCCATATGGTGCTGCGTCGGCGAGCTGCAGCCAAGAGGCAAGGCTGAGTGTGGTGCTGCGTCACACCGTGAATTGGCACCTGAGGCACGCGCAAGCGGCCGGGCGAGCGCCGCGCGCGCACGGCTAGCGGCATGTAAGATACTAGAGCAAGCTGCAAACCCCGGTCTTTTTTGCAAACACGCTTTGTTTCATACGAACGTCTCGCCGCGGCGCCGCGCGTAATTCCGGCCCTCGCGCCGCACGCAGCATGGGTAATAATAACCTGTTTAAAGAGATCCGTACTCTCGGGACGAAACCAATATAAGAGAGAGCGCCTCCTCCGCCACGAGCCGCCGCGAACGATGCGCGTCCTCTCGCTTGTCGTCTGCGCCGTGGCACGGGCACACAGCGACTTCCTCGTGCTCTCAAGCGCGCGAAGCGGTTCTTCGTTCTTCGTCAAGACGCTCAACTCGCACCGCGAGATCTGCGCGCGCGGCGAGCTTCTGCACCCCGAGTGGGGCCGCTGCTCCGGGAATTGCGCTGGCGCCGTCGGCGGCGCCGTCGAGGCGCTCCTCGCGGAGAGACTGACTGCCTGGGCGCCGCCGGACGGCGAGCCGGTGCTCGAGACGTGGCGGCAGCGCGTCGTCGGGTCCTACGCAAAGTGCGGCCGCAAGGCGCGCGGCTTCAAGTGGTTCCCGGCGTCGCAGGGCGCACGACGAGGTGATGTGGCCAACGTCGCGGCCTGGGCGACGGCGTCGGACGTGAAATTCATCGACCTGCGGCGGCGGGACGTCCTCGCGCACGTCGCCTCGCTACAGCGCAAGAAAATCGACGGAGTCGCGCCCAAGGTCTACGCCGCGAAGGAGGGTGGGGTCGCCTTTGGGAAATCCGACGCGCCGTCGGCGGTTGTGGCCGGGGCAGGACCACGCCGGCTCGGGCGGCCAGGTCACCATGCCGACGTTGCCCACGATTAAATTTCGCAGCTCGAGGCCGTTCTCGAGGACGTACATGTGCCCCGTCCCGTCGTAGGCCACGTTGTGCGCGAAGAGCGCGTCGCTCGTACTGTGGACCACGAGGGACCGGTGATACGTCTTGTGGATCGCGTTCGCCGCGAACGCCAGCGACGAGGCGTTGCCGCACATGTGGGCATGCAGTGGATACTTCCCGAGCGTCGTGTGCGCCCCAAGGTTCGAGAACTCCACGCCGCACACGACGCCGTGGGGCGTGTGGCTGATTATGACGTGGCCGCAGCGCGGCTTCGGCGCCCGTTGCGCACACCCGGGCGCGCCGACGATGGCTATGTTGCGCGATAACGACGCGACCTCGGCCGCGACGGGCTCGGTGCCGCCGTGGGCGAACGTGAGGGGCGCGTCGAGCGTGAGCTCCACGCCGAGACCGGTCGTTCTTCGAGAGGCGACCACGTTCCGCGTCTCGGTGAGGGCGTCGTCCCAATCCGTCGAGGCGATCGCGAGGCGGGCGCCCACCCTCGCGACCTCCGTCGCGTCGACGCCCGCGACGCGGACCTTGGCATCGCCCGGGAGGGCCGGCCGCTTCAGCCGCGTCCACGTCGTCCGCGGGACGAGGCCCCGCGCGACCGCGGCGCGCTCTGTATAGACCCGCGGGTCGGAGCACGCCGTGCCCCGCAGGAAGATGAGGCCCCCAAAGACCGCGAAGGCCTCGGTGCCGTAGTCGATACCGTCCTCGTCCAGCGCGGCCGCGTCGTCGCCCGCAGAGAGCGTTATTACGAGCGACGACTCGTACGGCTTCTTGACCGTCCCCGCCGCGAACAGACCGCACACGTATATATGCGGCGTCTCGAGCTCGACGTCGGCGCCGTCCATGAACGCCAGCTCACCGCGGACGCGCAGCCCGCCGATCTTGGCCTTGAGGTCCGTCCTGACTTCCACGCGCGTGCCGCACGGGATCTCCACTTCCGCGCCGGGCGGCAGCGGCGCCGTGAAGTCCTCCCAGGACACCAGCGTCGGCGACGCGCCCTTGTGCATGGAAGGGGGGCAGGGGTAGTGCCACCGCTTGCAGTGCCCGCAGCACGGCTTGGCGTCGCCTAAGGCCGCACGCGAATCGTGCAAGGCGTTCTCGACGGCGCCGGCCGCCGCTCCGAGTAGGAGCAGCAGAGCTCGTTGCATGGCTTTAAAGGAGTAGCACGATAGCCGGTTGCATGTCTTTAGAGGAGCACGATAGCTGGTTGCGGTAGGGATTGTCAACTTAGAGGATGATGGCTGGTTCGTGCCTTAGAGACGCGCAGCACCCGGTGGGCTTGCGCCGCAGCATCGTCGGCAGTTGGGATCGCTGTAAACACTTCGTGTATTGCCCGAGACCAGCGCTGCTGCCACTGCGTTTACGTGTGTTGTGTGGACCCCACAATCCCAGGGTAGTGTGTTACTAGACGCTAGCACCTGGTGAAACAGGCGTGTGTTGGCGGCATCTGTTCGAGGCTGCAAGCAGGAACCGGTTTCGCGAAGCCCCCGGCTCCCTCCATCGCTCCGGCGGCGGCTCCGGCGCGGCAGTGCAGCTCCACACAGCCTAGCCCTGGTCCACAGCCTAGCCCTGGTCCACAGCCAAGCCCTGGTGCGGCTGTGCACGGGTGTCCTGCGCTGCATGCTGCGCGTGTCACTTATGGCCACGCTCACAGCAGCCGCCAGCTTGTCACCAAAGCCGCGCGTGCTCGGCGTGACGGGCGGCATCGCGATGGGCAAAAGTACTATTACGAGTCTATTGCAAAACGTCTACCGCATCCCGTTCCACGACGCCGACCAGTGCGTTCGGCGGCTCTATGCAAAAGGCGGCCCGGCCGTCGCGCCCGTCGCGGCGGCGTTCGGTGATGTCCTCAGCGAAGACGGCGCAATCGACCGCGCGAAATTGGGCGCCAAGCTCACGCATCTCGAGGGCGCGGCGCGGACCAAAGCCTTCGAGCGACTTGATGCGATCGTGCACCCCCTCGTGCGAAAAGAGAGGGAGCGGTTCGTGCGCGACCAGACGTGCTGGCTTGTGGGGGTGGACATTCCTCTGTTATTCGAGACGGGCGCGGAGGGCATCGACCACACGGTCGCGGTGTCCTGCGGCCGCGACGAACAACGAAGGCGCGCCCTGAAGCGCGAGGGCATGACGCCGGCGAAGCTCGATGCGATCCTGGGGCGGCAGCTCGCGGACGAGGACCGCGTCGCGCGGGCCGACTTCGTCGTGGAGACGGACTGCTACGACAAGGCGCGGGCCCGGGGCCAGGCCGCCGCGGTCGTGGAAGAGCTCTGGGGCGCGTCTTCATTGGATGAGGCGGCGCCCTGCCGCGCCGTTTCCTTCGATCTGGACAACACGCTCTGGCCGACGTGGCCGCCCATAGCGGAAGCGAAAAACGCGCTGCCTTCCTTAATTCGCGCGCACGTGCCCGGCGCCGCCGCGGCGTTCGGTGCCGAGGACGATGATATTTTGAAGGGCCTCGCGGCGTTTGAACGGGACCGCCCGATCCTGGATATGGAGAAGGACGTGCGCCACGACATCACGGCGCGGCGGCGCGTTGTGTATCGGCAGCTCGCGGAGAAATATGGGGAGCCCGTCTCGAATGGAGACGCTCTCGCCGCGGCGTACGAGGACGCCCGGTCGGAGGCGACGGACGCCCATTTGGACGGAGACGCCCTCGCCTGCGTCGCGTCATTGCGAGCGATGGGCGTCGAGACCGTCGGCGCGCTGACGAACGGCAACGCGCACGCCTGCGGCCGCCTCGGCGCCGTTTTAGATTACTGGCTCACCGCGGGCGACGTCGGCGCGGCGAAGCCGCGCGCGCCGCCCTTTCTGGCGGCCTGCGCGCAGTCGCGCTGCGCGCCGTCCGAACTCGTCCACGTCGGCGACAGCCTCGCGGACGACGCGCTCGGAGCTCTAGAGTTCGGCGCGCGCGCGATCCAGGTCCGGCGGTACGACTCCGAGAAGGAGCGCGACGACGGCGAGGACGTGCGGCGGCGGCTCGAGGCGTACGGCGCCGACCGCTTCGCGCGCGTCGACTCCGTCGCGGACGTGCCAAAAATCATCGCGCGCTGGCGGTAGTGTAACGACAAGTACGTGTGGTATAAAACACAAACGATCCTTGAGTCATATCAGATCGGGCTCGCGCTGCGGCGGCGGCGAGATGCGGACCTTCGCGTCCCCGTCCGCGAGCGATGGGTGGTAATGTGCGCCGTCTTTCGAGAGAGAGAGAGAGCCACTTATTGAACCCACCCCCAGGTAGTTCGATTTTGCTAGCTCGTAAGACACTAGGGATCCAAAAACAAAACTCTGGGGCCGCCCATAAACGGCGGAGCGTGCCACAAGGTCGACGCCAAGGGAGTTTAGCTGCGCCGCACCGATACGTGAAACAAAAAATCGAGCGTCGCCGCTGCAACCAACCAAACCGGATGGACGAGGAGCTCCCGACCACCATGGAGCAGGCCCTCGCGCGCGCGCGCGCCGAGGCTAGCGAACTAAGACGCATGGTCGAGGTCCAGGAGGCCGCCATGGCGACGGCGGCGGCGCGCCACCATAAGAGTGGAGACGCCGTCGCCTACGCCGCGACGCTCGAGCGGTGGCGCCAGGAGGTGTTCGCGGGCGCCGTGCGGCGCCGCATCCATGTTGATCAGGGCGTGCACTTGCATGCGGCCCGGCGCGCGGCCGCCGACGCCATCCGGACGGCGGCGCTCTGCGAGCGGCGCTGGCGCGCGGCGCAGGCGCACGCGGCCGCGGCGGACGCCGCGCGGCGCGAGAGCGAGGAACTTCTGGGGAGGGAGCGGCGCGGCGTGGTCCACGCCTGTCGAAACGCGTTCGACGCGATGCGGCGCGACGCCGAACGGCGCGAAACCACGTTAGTCCGGACGGCGTCGCGCTTGGACGAGCACGCGGCGCGCCTGAGGAAGGCGTCCGACCGCGTCGCGTGCGCGGCGGAATTAGTAAGGCAGCGCGAGGTCCGCGTGCGCAACGCTCGAGCGGCCCTGGCGGCCGAGAAGCGGCTGTGGCGGCGGGAACGGCGCGACGCGGAGACGAAAGCCTTGGCCGAGGGTGGTGTGGCGGTGACGGCGCCGCCACCGGATGCGTTGGTCGGCCTGCGGCCGGAGGCCGAGGCCCTCATGCGGGGCATCTTCCGGGACTTGGACGCGGACGCGACGGGCTCCGTGCCCGCGGCGGCGCTGCGGAAAGCCTTAAGAGGAGACGACCGCCTCGACCGGTTGATGCGGAACTACTGCGGCCCCGACGCGTGGGCCGACTGCTTGGACGCGCTCGACCGCCGCCTGACGGCGCTCAGCGCCAAGCCGTGGGGCGTCGCCGACTGCGCGAGCGAGGCGGACCGGCCCTTCGCGTCCACGGAGGACGTGACCTGGGGCGAAGTTTTACTGTTCTTCGTGCCCGGTCCGCCGCCGGACGCGTCCGGTGTCCACCTCGCGGCGCGCGGGTCCCTGCGGAGTGCTTCGTCAATTGATTTCCGGCCGCGGCTTTTGCTGGACGCGCCCGCGTCACCTTCATCGGAACCGGGTCTGGACGCGCTGACGCCGCCGCAGCTCCGTCAGGAAGTCAGCCGGTTGACGGGAGACCGGGGCGCGCTGCTGCGCGCCCTCGCGCTCGCGGACCGCGACGCGGCGCGCCACCGCGACGACGCCGCGTTGCTGTGGCGCCACGAACTGCGACTGCGGTCGCTCCGCGCCGACGCGGCGCAGCGCGACGCGGCCTCGATGAAGGCGGAGCGCGACGCGGCCCGCGCCGAGACCAAGGCCGCGCGGGACCGCGCCGCGGCCGCCGTCGACGACGCGCGCACGAACGCGGCCCAGGCCGAGGCGCGCTGCGCCGCGCAAGTCAAGGAGCTGCAGGCCGACCTTCTTGAAGTAAGAGAGGCGATGACGCGCGACGTCGCCGCCGCGCGGCGCGCGGCGCGCGAGGCGGACGACGCCCGCGCCGCGGCCGCGTTCGAGAAGGATCGGGCGCTCGAGGCGCTGCGCCGGCGCGAGCGCGACGCGGAGGCCCAGGTCCGCGCGCTCGAGGCGCAGGGCGAGGCGCGGGCCGCGGAGCGGAAGCGCGACGAGCGGCGCCGCCGGCGCGAGGTGTCCAAATTGAGGCGGGAGCGCGCGGCCCTCCTGGCGCTCGCGCGGTCGCGGGACCGGCCGCAGCCGTCCCGGCGGCAGCTGCGGGCGGCGCCGCGGCTGGCCGAGCTGCGGGCGCTGGCGCTCGGGCTGCTCTCGGACGAGTCGACGGAGGAGGGCGCGTCGTCGTCCGCCGGGGACGGCGCCGACGCGTCGTCGGCGTCGTCGCTGGGGAGCGGGGAGTCGTAATCGCGTTCGTCTCCAGGTGTCCCATTGGTCTCTTTGGGCCCTTAGCGAACCGAAAGGTACTCGAACGACTGCAAGGCATATGTGCTCAGGCTCAGGCTAGTTACGTCGCAGGGTCCCCCGTACCCCTCCCGCTCCCCCCGGGCCCACCCGTCCGGCTGGACTAGGACGCAAGGGCTGAGTCGCAGGGACTCGCACGCCCCCCCCTCTTCGGGACGCCCCCCATCAGGAGGTGCAACCAGGCTCAGGCTCAGGCTAGTTACGTCGTAGGCAACCTTGCTAGTGTCTTACACGCTGGGCAACCTTGTCGGCCGTGCCGGACCCCCAAAAAGAGAGAGGGACTGGATGCCAGCGTGGGCAGCCTGGCGCGGAAGAAAATGGCTGCCCCCTGACGCCAGGAGAGAGTACTTAAGCGGTCACGAACGCTAGACTAACTCGTGCGCCGGCGAAGCTGCGTACACGGAGAAACGCCATCGATGCTCGTCCTGCTCCTCGCCCTGGTGCGCGCCGACGTCGTGACCGTGGAGATTCCGGAGGCATTAATCGATGGAGACATCCCAGCCAACGCGGCCGCGTACTGCCGCCAGCATGGCCTGGGCCCGACGCCGCGCGGCGTCGCGTGCGCCGACGCCGTGCTCCTCGACGCCGGCGCATCATTAGGGAGAAGGAGCCTCGCCCGCGCGGCGCGCGGCGACGCCGACGGGGCCGTCGAGGACGCGCGCCGGCGCACGGAAATAGCCCGGCAGGACGCGGCCGCGTGGCGGCAGTACGGGCTCGCGCTGCTGGACAGGAATCACGAAGGCGACGCGCGCGACGCCGCGGCGGCGCTGGAACTCGCGGTGGCGGGGGACCCGACCGACCTGGGCGCGGCGCACTCGCTCGCGCGCGCGCGAGCCCTAACGAAGCCGCCCGCGGCGCTGCGGGTCGCGACCTTCGCGTCCGCTGAAACGTGCGGGCTGCGGCGCCTGCTCGCGTCGGCGCGGCACCACGGCGTGGACGTCGACGTGCTCGGCGGCGCGAACCGCACGTGGCTGTGTGGAAATCAAGTTCAAGCGCCCTTCAATTCGTGGTCTCTCGCGGTCGGAGCGAGGTGCTGCTCTCTGGATACGGTCGAGTGTATCAGAGGAACGTCGTGTCCGGGTTTGGGCCGAAAAACCTGACTCGCTGGTTAATTTCCACACAGGCACGTGGCACAACGGCCTGAAGCTCGAGCTGCTGCGGGCCTTCTGCGCTTCACTCCGCGAGGACACGCTCGTCGTCGCCGTCGACGGGTACGACGTCATCGTCACGGGCGGCCGCGGCCGCATCGCGAACCGCATCCAGCAGTTATTGGAGAGGCACCCCGGCCGCGTCGTCGCGTCGGCGGACCAGACGTTCTACTTCCGCGGACCGGACGAGGCGTGCGTCGGCGCCCACTACCCCGCCGGAGCGCAGCCCTACCGGTTCCTGAACTCCGGGGGCCTCGCGGGCCGCGCGGGGGACCTGGAAAAGGTGGCCGCGCGGGCCCTGCGCGACGCGGAGGGCTGGGACGGCGTCTCGGACCAGACGTTACTGCACCGGCGGTTCCTGGCGGAGGCGGCCCCCTGCGACGGTGAAGGCGTCCGGCGCAACCCCTGCGGCCCGGACGTGCCGTGCGCGGCGCGGACGCTCGCGCTGGACCACTTCCAGGAACTGTTCGGGAACACGGGCGGGCGCGCCTTCTTGCGAGATTTTGGGGTCGTCGGTGGTGTATTACGCAACGCGCTGACGGACACGCTGCCGTCGTTCCTGCACTGCCCCGGCGAGCGGCGCTTCCGGGCGGAGTTCGATAGGTTAGCCGCGCTGGGCCTGCCGGGCGTCGCGTCCTGCGGCGACGGCGCCGCGGCGGCGGGGGACCCCGGGTAAGTTGGTTCGTCTGTCGCGACTTCACAAGAATTACTACGTCACGGCATCGGACGAGCTGGACTCGTGGCGGGGGCCGTGGGCGCACCCGTGGCCGACGCGGGAAGTGACGCGGGCGCCCACCCGGCGGCGCCGGAGACAGCGTGGGGCGAGAAGAGAGACATACTACTAAGATTAGGTTCACGACGGCCCGTCGTCCGCGCCGCGGACGAGGCCCTCGGCGAAGGGCGCGCGGCGCGCGAGGCGCTGGACGGCGCCGACGGTGGGCGCCCGCGTCGGTCGTTCGGGCCGCCGCCGCTCCGCGAGGGGCTGGAGCGTGGCCGCCTCGGCCAGGCCCTGGCGCTCGCGCCGCCGGTTCAGGGCCAGGCGCGCGTGCCGCAGCTCCACGGCGTGCTCGTACTCGCGCGCCGCCGCCTCGCACTCCTTCGCGCGCCGCTGGTAGATCAGCGCGGCGGCGTCGAAGATCTGCTGGTCGGCGTCGCAGAGCCGTCGCAGGGCGCGCGCGGCGGCGCCCTGGCTCCTGTCTCTACGCTGGAAGGGCGGCCGCGGCGGCGCCGCCTGCCGCAGGCCCCGGAAGTACGTCGGCAGTAACGTCTCGAGGGTCGCGTAGCCGTCGATATCCAGCCGCTCCGAGGGGATCGTGATCAGCACGGAGTTGTTCAACGCCAGCAGCGCGAGGTCGATCGCCTCGCGCGACGCGCGGCCCTCCGCGTCGGGCAGGCACGCCTCGTCGCCCCCGCACAGCGCCAGCGTCTGCGCCGAACACAACCGAGCGAGCCCGAAGGCCCGGGCGCACCGCTGGTCGAGCGCGCACTCGTCGACGGACGGCGGGCCCGCGGGGCCCTCGTCGCGGTTCAGCTCGGCGTAGGCCGACGCGAGCGCCTCCCGCGGGTTCCGCGTCACGGCGACGACCGCCACGTCCGGGTCGTCCTGGGGCCGCGGCCCCGCGCCCTTGAGGACCCCTCTTCCCGCGGCCTTGATCGACTTCTCCACGAGCCTCTTGATGGACTTGCGCTGCCTCCGCATGACTGTTGATGATTGGCCCGGCCGCCAGACGGGGAGCTCCTTGATCGCGTAGCGCTCGGTCCGCAACTTCAACTCGCCGAGCGCGCTGACGAGGGACTTTCCGCCGGCCTTGAACGGCGTCAGGACGGCGACGGCCCGCGGGTCGCGCCAGGCGCAGCGATCGAAGGCCGAGGCGCGCGCCACGTCCGCCAGCGCGATGATCGGCGCGATCGCGCGGCGCTGCGCGACGGCCGCGACGGCGCACGCTCCCACCAAGGTCGCCACGACGACCGCGGCGCAGGTCCGCAGCCGCCGCTGCCGCCGCCTTTGATGACGGGGCCGCCGGTCGAAGGCGTCGCCGCGTGTCATCACCAGCTCCGACCGCGACCGCCGAGAACGCATGCCCCTCGCTACTTCCTCCTCGTCGGACGCCGGCCGGCGCCAGAGCCCGACGTCGCCCGAGTTGTTGCGGCGGTGGCCCGCTTGGAGCATGGCGCTCTCGCCACCCGTCCGGCGGCCCTGCGTCGAGGATGTCCCCAGCGGGCAGCGAGGGCAACGAGCTAGACGTTAGGGTGTGGTACGCACGGCTGCCCGCTGGCGATGGACCGTCGCGCGCCCACGCATCGCGACGACTGCTTTCGCGTGCGGGAGGAGGCAGCCCGCGTCAATCCCATGCCTAATTTTTTATCTATTTGTTGGCGGCTTGCGCAGGCGCGGCCAACTCGTCCTGGGGGGCTCCGGACGCCCTGGCCGTGGCGCCTGATCAGTCGGGAGGCTGGGTAAAGCTAGCGGCCTGTAAGGCACTAGGGATGCCTCAGCCTTGGAAGAGCTGCCAAGCAAGCAGCATCATTACTGCAAGATTGAGGTCGCTGGCTCCGGGAGTGACCAATCGTGAGCAGCGCCCGAGCCGCGAGGTTTCGGGTCTGCATCCATCCTAACAACGCAGCGCCTCGCCCCGCGCCGCGTCGCCACGCGAGCCATGCCGCGGCCCCTCGCGCGCCGCGACGCGTTACGGAAGGTCAAGTACGGCCGCTCGGACATGGTCGTCTCGGAGCTCTGCGCCGGCTCCATGACCTGGGGCTCCTTCAACGGCAGCGAAGAAGAGGCCCACGCGCAACTGGACTGTTTCGTGGAGCACGGCGTGAACTTTTTTGATACGGCAGAGATGTACCCCGTGGCCTTCAACTACGGCAAGACGACGGAGACGTGGATCGGCAACTGGCTCGCCCGTAGAATCGGAGACGGCACCGTGAAGCGCGAGGACCTGTACTTCGCGACGAAGTGCAACCCCCTGGGCACGGGCGGTACCGTAGGGAAGCCGGGAAAGTGGAAGAAGCACGCCTTCGACGCCGATCGATTGCGGGCGTCCTGCGAGGCGTCCCTATCAAGGCTGCAGTGCGACTATATTGATCTGTACATGCTGCACTTCCCGTCGCGCATGGGCGGCGAGGCCTTTGGCTGGGCCAACTGGAAGGATGGACGGTACGACGCCGCGCGGACGTCGACGGGTGCCGAGCTGTGTGGAAATCAACCAGTGTGTCGGGTGCACTTCTCGGCGATGACGTGGCCGCGCTGGTTTCGTCGAGCGGTGAGGAACCGACACCGCCACGCCATCGAGCAGGGGTCGCGTCGATGGCGTCGAGGACGACGCGATGATTCAGCACGAACGCGCCGTAAAATTTTGATTTCTACACAGGTGCCGAGGCCGACTTCGAGGCACAAGTCCGGGCGGTCCAGGGCTTGTTCGACGCGAAGCTCATACGACACTGGGGCCTGTCGAACGAGACGGCGTATGGGTTGACGATGTTCTGTTTGGCGTGCGACCGGTTGGGCGTGCCCCGGCCGGTGAGCGTGCAGAACGACTTCAATTTCAACAACCGGACGTATGAAACTTCAACAGCGGAAGCGTGCCACCACCTGGGCGTCGTGGGCATGCCCTACGGCGCGCTCGGCGGCGGCGCGCTGACGGGCAAGTATCAGAACGCAAAGTACGCCGGCGACCGGCCCCTCGAGCTCGCGCGGCACAACTTCAAGCCCAAATTCCAGACGCGGTACCGCTCGCCGCGCGGCGCGGCGGCGACGCGGGAATACATCAAACTCGCCGAGGCGTGGGGCCTGGCGCCCGCCGAGCTCGCGCTGGCCTGGTGCCGTGAGGCCGCGTCGTATCTCGCCGTCCCGCGGCGTTCCGGCGCCGTTACGCCGTCGAGGCGACTCGTTTCCTAGAATCATGGCGCTGGGTGATTTTTTATGCGATTTGGAGTGAATTCGGCCGCGATTTGGTCTCGCGAGGGCGTCGCGTCGGTGTCGCGACGAACGGCGGTCGTGGCGCGGTGGGAAGCGGTTGTGGGAATGTCTTGGACGTCGTCGATGCGGCGCCGGTGTTTTCGGATGCTCTGGAGGTCTGTAGGGGTGCACGGGGGCCGTCTGCGGCGCCGACGAGGCCGCGAGGGCCCTTCGGGCGGTCTACGGTGGAGAACGGCGCCGGAACGGGTGCGGCGGTGTGTCTACCGAGGCCCGGCACGCCCGCCGACGCGGCGGCGGCCCTGGATGTGGTCTGGAGCCCTGGCGTGCTGCCGGCCGGTCCATGACGTGGACTGTGGAGCGTAGCTTTGTCAGGATCGAATGACAACGATCACTTTTATAGGGATCGGGCCGAGGTCGAAGAGTATGAAGCCCGACTCCACTCGGACGAGCTATCGAAGAGGTGCTGCCGCGGCAATTGTTGCGCGGCCGTCAAGCTGTCCCAGGCGCGGACGAGGCGTATACGCACGGCTTGTGGCACGGCGCCCTCGACGACTCGAGGCCGCGGCGGGGCGTCGCCGACGCCTTCGACGCGGACGAGGCCATTGATGGGTGCTTGGAGCCGCGCCTCTGGCGGGTGCAGCTTAACATTACACGACAAGGTTTTGTGGGAGGCTACGGTACCAGTCGCGGCGGCGGGGCGACGTTCTGTACGCCATCGACGCGGGCGGAGGCGTTGTAGCAGATATAGATGCCTGGCGGGACTCGTCTACTATCGGATGCGCGTTGTGGGGAGCATCTGGTCCGAGGCATTATAAGCCGCACATCCGACGAGCGCTCTGGTTCTCAAACGAACGGCGCGGGAATTATCGTCGTCTCTCGTGAATTCTGAAAGATGTACTTGCTTCAGCCGTCGGCAGCGGCGAGGCCTACGCGTACGCCTCGCGGCGAGGTCCTACGCCAGCGAAGGCGGCGGCCCGGACGAGTAGTCTTTGCTAATCATTGCTGTTGTGTCGACTGCGAACTCCTTATGAGCGCTGGGGAGAGAGGAACGACACGCGGGGTAGTAAGAGGACGATGTGGGGGTAACAGTGCATGATCTGCTCGGCGCGCGTGGGCAGCCTCGGGCCCTCGTCCATGCGCGTTAGGGCGTCGGGTACGGAAATGTACATGCGGCCACCGGGTGAGAAGTAGCAGGCCTGGGTACCGCGGCCACCCTCCCGCGCCCCGACCTTCCAGTCGACCGCGTCGTGCTCGGCCGCCTCGGCCTTGGCCTTGAACTTGGGCATCGCCTTCGTCGCTGCTTTCTTGGACTTGGGCGTCAGGAGCGGCTTCAGCGCGAGCGGCTTCTTGGGCGCCGCGGGCGCCGCGCCGTCGGTCGGCTCGGCCGCGAGGAAGATCGCGAGCGCCTCCGTCTGCGCGGCCGGCGCCTTGCGCGCCTCCGCCCGGGCGACCAGGTCGCGAGCCGCTTGAGCTGTCCGCGATCGTGCGCACGTGTGAGCACCCGTGTGATGGAGGCCGTCTCGCTCATTGCAGCACTGCCGGCACGTTGTGATGGCGTTTGTTCTCCTCTTTTTGCTCTCGAGCAAACGCTTAAAAGAGGCCCTTGGGCGCGCGCGCTCGTGATTTTCGCGCGGCTCCGCACGGCTCTGAAACAGCGCTGTCTGTGCCCCCGGGACGTCTGAGCCCGCCCTCTGGGCACGCGTCCCCCGGGCCGCCCCCCTTCATGCTTTCATGCACTCCGAGACCCCGCTCACGCACTCCGAGACCAAGCAAAAACACGTTACAACAACTAAATCAGACCTGTCGTCGTCAGCGAAGCGTCGCGCCGGCCTCGACGCGATGGAATCACACCTCCCCGCCCGCCGCATCACCACCCCTCGCCACAAAACGCGTCGACGACGTCGCGCCGCGCAACACGACGGACCGCTCGCGAGAAATCATGCCTCGCGCCCGCCGCTGACCGCCGTCGTTCCCCAACAAATGTAACAGAAGCCCGCGGCGTCCCCGACGCCAGCAAGACCGCGCCTCGACGGCGCCGAAACCCTTGGCCACGATGCGCTTCCGGCACCGAGGTGTCCCAGAAACAAAATGCCGCAACACAACACCCCACCCAACACATCCTGCTAGGCACCCGAGACACGAGTCCGACGGTCGAGTCGCCCAAGGCCCCGACGCGGCGTCTCGAGACCAGAAGACCAACCACAACCCTCACCGACATGAGACGCCTCCTATAGGCCCGCACTCGCACCAGCGTCCACCGCACACCCCCTTCGCGGCGTTGCATGTCTACAACGGCCAATATAAAGATCACCGTCAATTCAGCGCACAGTGGTTCTGCGGCATCATCTCAATCTATCTGAACCACAGCGCACGCCAAATCCGAGGGGAGACGATGATGGTCTCGTCAACTCGTCAACTCGACTGGATGTGGTGGTCCCACAGGTCCCATGCGTCCGAGATGTCCGACCGATCGTCTCCGGACGGTGTCGGGCCACAATCAGAGCTCGCCGTGCTGCCATATCCTCCCAACGTTCTCGATGCCCCTCGACGCGCTCGCGTCTCGTCAGAGCGCGCCGACCGAGCCGCGTCGCGACCATGACTAGCTCCCAATGGCATTTTACCGCACCGCCACCACTCGTCTAGCCTTGCGCGGCCTCCAGAGCTTTCAACGGCGAGGGTCGCCTGACTCTTGGCGCGTGGACGACGCGCCGCGCCCCCCGCGGCGGCCAAAGATGTCCGCCCGCGCAGACGTTCAGCGATAGGCTGCGCTGCGAACATTTCTCGACCGCGCGCGTCACTTGTGTCCCCGCAGGCCCGCGGCGCTCAGGGCTGCAGCAGTGCCAGCCAAGAGTGGTGTGCAACTGAGGCTCCGCGCGACGGCGGCGCGTTTTAGACTCAGCGCGCATCGATGCGGCCCATGCCGCGTGCGTTGGTCGAGTTTTAGACTGAATCGAGAGAAACGAAATGTTGCGGCTCTCGCATCAACATTTGAGGCAGACAGCAGCAGAGAGCAATCGAGCCAGCCGAGCCGCATCGATCACCACTCAACCGAAGCGGTGCGGGCAGGACGTCGCATCGATGCCAGCGACCGCTCTGTTTGACCAGTAGCGCCGCACGGGACTGCATGCCTCTGCAGCAGCACAGCCTGGGGCGTGGTGCTACGTCGCACGCGTCGCGCCGATGGCGTAGGGGTGGACCGTTCACTGCCGCGCGACGGCATCCGAGCGCTGCGCACCGCCACGACGCCGACCGCTCCTGTCCGCGGCCGCCTCGGCACCGCTCGAGGCCCGCGCGGCTGCCCTAGGCGTCCTGGAGCGCGGCGACGGCGTGCAGGCGTCGGCTGGCGTCCGCCGCGGCGCCGCGCGCCGCAGCGGCCGCGCTCGGGCGCCGTTCTCGACGTTTCACCAGTAGCTTCGAGAAAACGTCTCCGACAAGTCAAAACGCGCCCGAAATCAAAAAAGAAACCACCCACGTCCATCATTCCTGGAAACGACGCGTTTGCATGAAGTGAAACCGCCTCCACACGCCGGGACGCGGAGATACGACCGGGCCTCCCCTCTCTTGCGCTGGCCTGGTGCCGCGACCGCCCCTACAACGCCGTCGTCGTCACGGGCACGACGACGGTCCAGCAGTGCGAGGAAGCGATCAGGGCGTTCAAGCTCGAGGCGCTGCCCCGGGAGCTGCTGGACGCGATCGACGCGATCCACGAGCGGTACCGGTCGCCGGACGCGGCGCTGCACTCGAAGGAGCAGGTCCTACGCGAGGAGCCCCCGGCGTCGTGCGCCATTGTTTAAATTGCTTTGCTCAGAGCTAGGCGCCTAGCCGCCACGAGTCCCACGACCGCCGCGGGGCTGCGTGACCGAACGCCCGCCCCGCCCCCGCCCTCGTACGCCGTCTAGGGTGCGATTTACGCACGGCGTTCTTTACGTGAGAAACGGTCCAGCGTCATTTACGCCGTAATTTACGCGTGCATTTATTTATAAAACCCGCACACACGCGCCAGAGCGCCTAAAGCACGAGCACGGCGCATAAGCGCACACCTACTAGGCTAGAGTGCACACCTTGCTCGCAACAGCATGCAACTAGCAATTGGCTCGGCTCTGACAACGTTAGGGGCAGCCACACTCTGCGAGCTGCTGATCGCGAGCTAGAGTCTTAGAGGGCCGCTAGCGCCGGCTTCGGGAAGAGCCCTGGAAGGACTTTTGGATACCTCCTTTTTTACGCCGTTTTTTACGTGGGATCTCCTGTAGCGGTGCTTTACGTGTAACTTACGCGTTTTTTCCACGTAAATCGCACCCTAGTACGCCGTCGCCCCGAGTGTTAAATTAGTTGGCCTCCCCGAGGGGTTTGGGTTTGGGCAGAGATTTGGAAAGGAGCCGGTAGCACTCCTCCCGCCCGAAGAGCGACGGGTCGTCCCTATCGAGACCGTACTTGAGCTTCGCCTCGTAGAAGGCCAACGCGCCCTTGTTGGACTCGAAGACCGTCAGGAGCACGCAGTCGAGCTCGAGTTTGGCCCCGACGAGCTGGAGCAGGCCCATGACGCGCCGCCCGATACCAGATCCCCGACGCGCCTCCGCGACCTGCAGCTCCCGCACGTAGAGCACCGCGCGCTCGGGCGCGTCGTCGTCGTCTAATTCGAACCGGAAGTGCGCGAACGCGACCACCCTATCATTATCCCGGACCAACACGAAGCGCGCCTCGTCGTTGGCGAGCTCGGCCCGCTTCATTTTGGGATCCCAGCCCCACGGGTTCACCTCGTACTGCTCCTTCATGTTATCTTCCAGGATATCAAAACAGGCCGCGAGGTCCGGCTTCGACAGGGTCCGTTCAAAGCTGATCTCCAGGTCGCCGACGCGCAGCAGCGCGGGCTGGAGGAAGCCGGCGCCGCAGTCCTGCAGCGCCCGCGGCGCGCGCAGGCGCTCCTCGAGCGCCGCGCGGCGCCTTTGGGTGAGTTTGCGCTGCTCCTTCTTGGCGTTTGACTTGGACTGCTTGCCCATTTTTGGTGCGGCGTCGTGCGCAATACAGGTGGCCGGCGTTGTGGTATCGTGCGCGGTAATTTGAAACTGCTAATTTGAATGGCACGGCTGAGCTCGGCGCGCAGCGGTCAAATCAGCGATGCCGCGGCTCGGTGCGGCTTCTAGAGTTTGCGGAGGGTGCGTTTCACCAGCGCTCGTGCCGAAGTGGCACGGATTCGAGCAATCCAAGGCGCAAAAGAGCTGGGCGCGGTGAAAGCTAGCGGCTTGTAAAGACACTAGCAAGCACAACTCGGAACGCGCATGCAGTTGTTTGAGTATCGTTCAGTTAGCTAATGGTCCAAAGAGATCAATAGGACACGTACTGGGGGTCCAAAACCGTTTTGTTTAAGTCGCGGCGACGGCGCCACCCATGGTCCATGGCGGCCGCGCCTGTGGAATCCTGTCAATCCGTGGTCCCGAGGTCTCCCCGGGATCGCATAGGGATGTTAGTAGATGTGCTCAATCGGCTACGCCGCATGCGCCCGGGTTCGGGGCATAATCGACCAATTCTCTCTTCATTGCACGCCACAAAACCATGAATAGCTTGGCAATTGGTTCCAGAACTATCGGGGGCCCCAAGCGCCGGCGTATGCGGTCCAGGCGACTACCCGACCCCAGACCTACCCCGAGAGACCTCCAGGAGCCGACCTGCATCCGAAAAAAGTAAATAATTTGGACCCGATGGCGCCCCGTTCCCGTCAAAAACGTCAATTACCCGAGGCCCCCCAGTAGTCGCCGTAGCGGTCTCGTTGGATCCCATACTACCCCAGCGATAGTCAATTACAAGTATATGACATCTACATTATAAGAAGGGTACTTTTGGCTGCCCACGCTCGGGACGTGAACATCTTGATCTGGACCTCGCGCAAGTCGGTCGATCATGGAACAAATGATCGCGTCATGGTCCATGGTGATGGTACACGGGCTGATGGTCGCAGGTCCAGATGTGGTGCCCAAATTAAGAAGATGTGGGCTCGGGAGTTGGCGTTGCCCGGCCGAGCCTTCGGATCAAGAAATCCAATGTAGTACATGTTCAGGCCGGTTATCTGGCCCATCCCGTAACCCAAGCGCCTGAAACGCAAATTTATTTCACAACTCACGGGTCTGGGGCCTTTCTGGTGCTCCGTCTCCGCACCGTCGTCCGCGGAGAACGGGCAAGTGGGTCGATCGTGAATAGAACAATGGCGTTATGGTCCATTTGGGTAGTGGCGTCGCTGACACTCGCAGGTTTAGGAATTCTTGTCGTTTTCGTAAAAAAGTGAGGTCGCGGATTCCCTGAATCGCGAGGCTTTTAACGAAGCACCTAATGTGCCTCGTCGGCGTCCTGGCGGCCTAGATGGACTCTACCACCAACAAACGGAAGGAAACGAACATAAACTCGGGAGTTGTCTAGTAGAATTCTTTTCCCGCCCTCCGAGCGCGGAGTGTCTTACAGGCCGCTAGCCCACGCGGGATTTCCTTTGTGCCCGGCGGTCGGAGCTCCGTTCGAGTCTGCGCCGATTGCCTCGGCGACGTCGTCGATATGCTACGCCACTTAGATTCGGACGCGCCGCGCGCCGTCGTTTCTACTTCTAGTAGGAGACGACACAAACCCCAAAATTTAGAGCTCGTCCCGCAGCTCGCCGCCGCCCCGGAGCCCGTCCACGTCGAAGGCCCGCGTCCCTCTGGCCTTCAGGAACCGGGAAAGAGCGTCCAGGTCGAGCGCGCCCTCATATAATACCGGTGGACTTCCTCGAGCGTCAAACAGATAAATGGACGGGAACTGGTCGATGTCCACAGAAGCAACCTCGTTCTGCGTCGCGTCCACCGACGCCACCACAATGGAATGCACGCGCCGATACAGCTCGGCGAGCTGGGCCCAGACGGGCATTAATTGAATACAGTGGCCGCACCAGGGCGCGTGGAAGAGCACGAGAAAATCGCGGTCGTCGTCGTCGTCCCTCCGCGCCGCCCCGACGACGACGTCCCAGGTCTTGCCCACGAGCGTGACGACGCGACCTTCTTCAGATGCTTCTCGCGCTCTCATTGGTGCGTCGTCCAAGGACCCGACGATGGGTTGTGACCGAAGGAACGGCGTCGTAAGGTTGCCATCGAAGAACGCGGCGTAAAAGGACTGGAGCGTGGCCCGATCCACTCTATTTGACGCGTGCCAGTCCCGCAATCTGTAAGCGAAGGCCTTCTTCGCATGGACATGGGCATCTCTAGAATCGTCGAGCACGACTTCGTCGTCGCCGACCGAGGGAGCTAGACCGCGCAGGTCGCACAGGACGACCGTCGGCAGGTCGAAGCCCGAGTTCAGGTCGAAATGCTTCAGCACGCGAGCCTCCGAGGATGGAACAATGACGTGCCTCACTTTCAAGCGTTCGTCCGCTGCCAAGGCCGCGAACGCGTCCGCGACGCCTTCACCTTTCTTCGAGGCCTCGTCGACGAATAGTAATGAATGGACGCGCGGCCCGCGCATACCATGAAACAAATGCGCCGCCGTCGACGAGTCGAAGCGCGTCACGGCCGGCTCGAGCGCACTGTTGACGAAGGCGGCGATCGTTCTAGGAGTCGTTGACGAGTCCACTGTCATAGTCTTGACGTCATCGCCCGTAGATGACAAAACGTGGACGCGGTCCTCGTTCATGTCTAGAGCGATGGTGTGGTCCCGCTCGCGCAGGGCTTGCGCCACGAGCTCGGGTTTTGTTGTGAGCGCAAAACTCAGATCGTCGCCGTCGTCGCCACTCGCGACGCGTGCGAAGGTCTGAGCTGTTTCTGAGGCATTCGACGCGAAGACGCCCACAACCAACCCGCGCACGCCCTTGCTGTTGTCGTCACCAAACAGCGACGCGAGGAACGGTCGTGCGTCAGACCAATCCTTCAACTCATCAACGTGTGGCGTGGAGCGCCTTTGAACCCACCGCGCGAGCTGGTGGGCCTCGTTCGGGCCCTCGTAGTCCATCGCGAAACGCCCATGACGATACAACTTGACGTGGGGGTAGCCCTCGACGTTATGAGCTTCTGATGTTTCTCTGTGTAGGGCACAATCGAGCCTCGCCCATGTCACTAGTGGTACTTTGGACGCGGCTAATGCGTACTCTCCTTCAAATCGGATGCAGTGCGCGCACCAGGGCGCGTAGAAGTTGACGACGGCGACCTCATGGGTTGCTAGCGTGTTTGTGATGTTGGCGTCTAAGTCAATAATGTCCGGCGTCGGCGTCGTTTGTGTTGCTGTTGCCGCGGCGGCGGCGAGCAGCGCGCGGCGCAGCATTTGTGGCAGCTTTTTTGGAGCCTCTGCGCAGAGGGTGTGCTGAACAGTTAGTGTGCGCGTCCTGGTGATCCACCACTCGCTACAAGTTTCGGGTTCGCTGATTACTTATTATTTATGTAGTAGTTATGCGTAACGCAGAGAAATATGAGAGTTATGGCACAGGTCCGCTGCTTGGCCGGCTGTGCTCGCTAGTGTCTTACGGGTGCTAGCCAGCGGATAGCCTCGACAAAGTACCAGCGTCCGCGCGCGCGCCCCACACACACCGCACACTGCCTGCAGCCTCTATACACACTACGGCACGCGGCGCGCCCAAAAAACGCTGCCCATTTTGACGCGCGCGGCCACAAGCACGAGAACCGCCAAATTTGAAAAACAAAAGCGGTACTCCCGTACCAGCAAAACAAAGCGGACGCAACCCGCTATAACAAAGGCGCGTGACGGCTGGCCCACGTTAACGGCCGCGGCGGCGGGCGCGCCTGAGGTCCCTCCGTAGCTCCTGGGGGCCGCCCAGGGCTCGGCGGAGGATTGGTCGGCCGTCGTTCCCTTGCGGTCTTGTGCGTTCTGAACCGTTGATGCGCGGGGCATCATCGGAGCGGACCACTGGAATTCCACTTCCATTGCACGTCGGGGCCGCCGACACGGAGATGGAAATCGGGCCGCGGCGCGTCAGAGGATTACCTGCTCCGCCCAGGCGCCCGGTCCTCAGAGACAAAATTGCCTTGGCGGGGCCGGAAAAGTCTGACTGTGCATCCGCAACTTCCTTGCAAACTCCCCGACACGTGATGGCGCGGGACCACCCGAGAGGGTAAAAGCGGGACAGGGCTTGACCGGTTCGGCGCGCGCTCCCGGCGCGGTGCCCGACGGTGTCCGCGATTCGTTCACCCCGTCGGTCGCCGCTACAAAGTTCCCCGCGGGCCTGTGGCGTGTCGGCATTGCACGCCGGCCGCGCGCTTGGGTCCAGGAACTGCTGTGTGGTGTCGGCAAAGTAGCTTGGACCGGGCGGACGGATAGCCCATCGAACAGGCCAAGGCACGTCGCTTGCGACCGGCCGGCCTCTGTTCGGAGCGAAACCTCACACCATTCGTGTCTGGGTTCTCGGGGGGCAGGGTGAAACAACACCCTATCGCCAATCCCAATAGACACAGTGGCGAAGCGTTCGGGGTCCGTACTACCTGGGGGTGGGTTCAATAAGTGGCTCTCTCTCTCTCGCGGCTGGGGGTGGGTTCAATAAGTGGCTCTCTCTCTCTCTCGGCGAGCAAACCTCTCCGGGTTGCCGGCACGAGGCGCCGCCGGACCGCCGCGTGGGCCACGCCGGCGCGCTCGTGACCGGCGGCAAGGGCGCGGCCGCGGCCAAGTTTGCGGCGGCGCGGGAGGGTTAAACACAGACGAGTCATTCCTTATCCCACCCGATCGGCGTGCCCTTGCGCGTGACGGGCCGGCCCTCGGCGTCGCGCTTGAAGTAGCCGCCGCCGACCGGTCCTTTGTACTGGTCCCCGCCGCGCCCGTCGCTCTTCATCGGGTCGTCGGCCCCGTAGAAGTTCGACTTGCGCTTCCCATAAAACTCCGCGCCGTTGCCGAGCTTGCGGTCCATGGCGTCGTCCACGAAGTCGTCGAGGCCCTTCCCGAATTTTTTAAGGGCGCCGAGCGGGTCGAAGCCTCCGAGGGGCGCGGCGTCCTTTTCGCTCTTCGCCTTCATCGCTCTTCCTAAAAATGCTAGGTCGGCCGCGTCCTCGTCGTCCGTGTCATGTAAACGTGTTATCCTGGAAACGGGTTGTGGAGGCGCGAAGGCGGCCGCCAGCGCGGCGCAGGCTGCCGCGAGGACCAGGCGTCGCATTGTTGTAAGCAGGGATCGATGGTTGGTTTTATGGTCTCTGCCCGCCGGTTGGCTTGGTCTTGGGTCTGTCCACGACGAGTCTCAAACTCACCACGCAGCTCACCACGCAGCTCCAAATGATGGTGAGTACTCACACAAAGTAGAGCGCTGCAGGATCTTGTCCAATACGCGCTCGAGTGCGCAAATCAGCTCGAATGCGCGGTGCTTGAGCACGCCACGGCTGTGAGGCCTGCTGGCGCGTGGAGGCTAGCTAGCGGCTGTAAGACACTAGCAAAGCCCCGGTTTTTTGGCCATAGCTCAGGCGTGAATCAGTTATACGTGCTCGCCGCGACGGCACGCGTTCCAGAGTCTCCGCTCGCGCTGCCACTTGCGCTGCCCGCGCCTCAAAGCGTGTGGTAGCAACGAAACAGGCCCTTCGAGCATTTCATTGTTGCGGCTGTGATCGTGCTGCGACGGGCGTGCGAGAGCATTAGTTCTCTCGCGGCACGGGCCACACGCAGAGCAAAGGATGCTCCGCGGCATCATAGCCAACGACCCGCGGTCGCCGCGGCCGGAGAAGCACGGCAACCCGCGCAATAAGCCGCGCCGCCTCGCCGCGGCGCTCGCGACCATACTCGTCATGGTCCTCGCACCGCACAACACGCAAGTCGACGCGGGGCCGCGGACGAAGCTCGAGGTTACGACCTGCGACGCTCCCACCACGACGCGTAACCGCACGACGAGGCGCGTCGTCGGTACGAAGTGCGCGTCCACCGCCGTCGACGCGGGCGACTGTATCAGGGACGAAAAGAGGTGGTCCACGCGGTATAGATGCCTGCCATCCTTTGTGATTGGAGGCGCGCAGAAGTCCGCCACCGGGAGCCTCGCGAAGTGGCTGGAAAACCACCCATACCTACAGAGAGGTATTGGTGGTAAGGGGCACCCGGGCGAGGTCCACTACTTCGATTCTTTCTCCCGCAATGCCTCCCTGGTGGATCTCGAAAGGACGTGGCGGTCGTACGCGGAACGCTTCCCCGCTCTGTCAGAAAATGATTTAAAAAAGGGCGTTTTGACCTATGAAAAGTCCCCCAGTTACCTACGGTTCCAGCAAGCGCCTCGATTACTTGCCTCCCTATTGCCGTCGTGTGCTTGGATTCTGATTTTGAGAAATCCGGTGGATCGAGCCTACTCGGCTTTTGCGCATCACATCCGGCACGGGCGCTTCGGAGTTGTGGGGGATCGGGTCCACACGGTTGAACAAAAGGGGTGTCCTGATCACCGTTTTAAAGTTTGGCGGTTGACGCCGACAAAATTTGAAGACGCGTGCGTGAAAAACGTCCGTATATTGCGGGGCGCGTCGGACCCGGCGAAATTCGACGCGTACGTGCGATATGATACGGTCGCGTCGCATCATGTGGATATCGTTGGAGAGAGGTGGAAAGGTGGCGGCCCCCTCGACGTTGTGAGAGATGGCGCCTACGCGTCGCAATTTATGCAGTTATACGAATTCGTGGATCGAAGCCGCGTGCACGTCCTGTTTTTTGAGGATTTGATTAAAAATCCTGCTGGTGTCTTGGACAAGCTCCAATCAGCCCTCGGGCTGCCCTCGTTTGAGTTCGCGCCGCGCGACCTGGTGGTCACGAAAAGCCGGAGCAGGCCGCCCATGCTCACTGAAACGCGGGCGTTCCTGAGGGCCTTCTACGCGCCGTCCCTGGTGTCGCTGCGGCGCGTTTTACAAAGGGACCTGCCGGAGGCTTGGATGTAATGTTTACAACTCATCACAGGATTAATTCGGGGGGCAGGTTCGACGTGAACGCGTCGACGCCCGCCTTTGACAACGCGTCCCAGACCGCGGGCGTATCATTCAAAGCGGGCGCGCGCCAGACCCAGACCGCAACCCTTTTATCGTGGTCGTGGAGGTACCGCACGAGCTCGGGCGTGACCAGTTCTGGAGAAGCGGGCAGGTCGACGCCGTCCACATCACTATTGGCGACGGCGCGCGCCGCGGCCCAGGCGTCTTCCAGATTGCGCGGCTCGGCGACGTGCAGGCACGGTTGTGTACTGTCGCGCCGCTTGAGCTCCTCGACCTGCGTGGGGATCGTCGCCTCAGGGGGGAGGATAGTAGAAATACGGCGGTGTCCGCGCCGCGCCCCGCGAGCGGCAGAGAGAACGAGATCCATGTTAGTGAAGACGGCAGCGCGAGCGCCCCGACCAGGTCGGGCAATCGCCCGTCGAAGCTGTAGCCGTCGTCGTCGCCCTTGAGTTCGGCGAAGATATCCGGAGCAGCCTCGCCGAGCGCCTCGTCGAAGCGCGGCGGCCGCTCGGACGCGAACTTTGGATTCATCCAGCTCCCGACGTCGACGTCGCGGACGTCGTCGTACACAAGCTCGCCGACGGGCGTGCGGACCAACTCACGGAAGCGCCGCGCCGCCGCGTCGCTCAGCCCCGGGGGCGCCGTGGCCGTCCGGAGCAGCGTGTCGTCGTGGAGCACGAGCAGCGTGCCGTCCCGCAGCGCCTGCAGATCGCACTCGAAGCCGACGCCTCGCGCCGTCGCCGCGCGAAAGGCAGCCATCGTATTCTCGGGCGCGATGTGGGAGGCGCCGCGGTGGCCGACGAAGCGCATGGCGCTCAGCAGAGGCGAGCGCATGGTTTTGTGGGTATACAGTGTGGCAGCCAAGACTGGTCTACGACGTCATGCAGCGGCTGAGTTCTGCGTCGGCGGCTGCCGGTAAGCTGCCAATGCAACGGATGAGAAGCACTCTTTTAGTAGTGAGAGTGCATAGGGAGAGGCACTGTGCCTGGAGCGGTGCCCAACCTGTCGAATCGCTGGCACGGCACTAAAAATAGGGATGATATTACAGCGATCGAGCGCCGGATGGGTTGCTCTTGCGCCAGGCTGCGCCAGGCTGCGCAAATTCCGGAGCAAAGTTGCTAGCGGTTGTAAGACACTAGCGAGCATTTTTTGCTTCGGGTTTCGCAGCTTGCAAATCGGCCGACTTTTGCCTCCTTTGGCACAGCGGATCGTCTTTGAGCAGAGCGCGTCGAAGAGAGACAGCCGAACTCCTCTCAGAGCCAGCCAGCGGTGGTGAAACGCCCGCGGCGAGCCGAGCCACGTGACAAGCGGACGCGGGCGGCGCCGACCGCGCGCGGCTGCCAACGCGGCGGCTCAGAAACAGCGGAGCGGCCAACGCGGCCGCTCAGCAACCGCGGGACCGGCCAAAAAAGATGGCGACCTGGTACGGCGCGCACATCGCCCAGGCGGCATCAAATGAAGGCGGCCCGGACGGCGAAGCTTTGGTCCTCGAGCTCTGGGAGCTGTTGGCGTTGAGGGGGTCCGACGTGGGGCGCTTGGGTGCCGTGGCGACGCGTTTACTCCAAATGCCGTGGCACCAGCACCTGCGCGAGCCGCTCGAGGCCCACGGCTACGACTCCAGGACGGGCTCGTTCCCGCGCGGCCCCGCGCCGGGCCTGCTGCAGGAATTAACAAGAATAGGCGCAGGAGCGAACCCCATGCCCTTCGCCGTCCCTTCAGTAAGAGGCTGCCGGCTCCAGGCGCGCCAGCGCGTGCGGACGACGGGCGCGGAGGTGACCTTGGAACACGTCCTCGCGACGAGTGACGGAAGGGGCTACGGCCTCATCAAGAACCTGCAGACCTGCATTTATGGGCGGGTAAGGCACGGCGTCGAGCTTGAGAGGATAGCACCAGAGGAACAATCAGGAGGGCTCTTCGGCGGCATCCAGCGGACGCTCGGCGGACAACAGCCGGTCCAGTGGCGCGCGACGGAGCGCCAGGTCGCCGTCAAGTGTATTGAGAGATCCAAATACGAGCAGCACGTCGCGCGGCACCGGGGCCAATTGAACGAGGACCCGATCAAGGAAGTGGCCGTCATGGAGTATATTGCTGGAAAGGGCGGCGCGCCGTACGTGTTACCTTTATTGGCGACGTACGTCGACGAGCAGACGGTGTACGTTATTTTACCTTTCTGTCCCCACGGCGACCTGTTTGGGGTTGTTGAGAGGGATGGTGGTTTGCAGGAAGCTAAGGCTGCCACATACATGGGCCAGATCGTCAAAGGATTGGAGCACTTGCACGACATGGGTTTAGCTCATCATGACATGTCGTTGGAGAACCTCATGGTCGACGATGCGAAGCGAGCGATCATCATCGACTTTGGGATGGCCGTCAAGGCGGCTCCCACCTTCACGGACTTTTGGGGTGGTGGCCACGACCGACTGAGTGCTGGGAGAAGTTATAGGGCCGTGCCTTTGGCCCCGAGGCGGGGCTGGCCCGGGCGCTGCGGCAAGTTGTTGTACATGGCGCCCGAGCTGTTCGACTGCCGGGCGTCGTTTGACGTCTTCGCGGCGGACGTCTGGGCCCTGGGCATCATTCTGTTCCTATTGCTCACGGGCATGCCGCCCTGGGACGCGGCGACGGGGCCCGTCGCGACGGATCTGCGCTTCGTGTATGTCCGGGACGGGCGGCTCCGCGATTTACTGAACACGTGGAACATCACGTTGTCGGAGCACGCGCCGGACGTGTTGCAACGGCTGCTGACGGCGGACCCGCGGCGGCGCCTCACGATCCCCGAGCTCAAGGCGCACCCCTGGTGGCGCCAGCACGCGCGCTTCGTAGACCAAGCGTAGTAACTTGGGTTGAAAGTTTATCCCGTATGCCGCGGGCGTCTTTCCCCCGGTGCCACTGGCAAGAATGCGTCGGCGACTCGCGAGGCGCAGACCGCTCTCCCCGGTCCGAACGAGCCCGCGACCCGCGGCGACGCCCGACGCGTCCCGGGCTCATTACCTGCTCGATGATGTTACGGTGCTAGGACTAGTGGGCGGAGCCCCTGGGGGGAAGAGACCACGTGTTGTCGATTCATCGGCGGCGGGCGCGTGCCGCTTCTTACGAGAAGACCTAGTGGCCGGTGCTACCCCGACTCCTCCGGTCTATCGATCAATATCCTATATTGATCCCTAGGCGACGACTGTCTATAAAATTGTCAATATCCTATAGCGGTAAGGTAAGGTATAAGGTACCATACCGGTGCCGCTCGCTCTGAGGCCTGCTCTGGTCGTGGCGGACGCAGCTCGCTGATCCCGATCGCGAACCAGACCGCTCCTGTCGTGTGGCAACAGTGCGGACGCAGCACGGCGGATGAAGATGCGCGACGTCCTCCTCGGCATCCTCATCGGCGCCGCCGGCGCCGCCGCGCTCACGCGGCGGCGCAAGCTCAAGCATCGGGGCGGGGGCGACTGGTACCCCGGCAAAAATCCACCTGTCGAGGGGTCCTGCATTTTACCTTTTGAGTACATGGAGGCTTTTATGTTGGCGGTCTTCGAGGGTTTAGGAGTACCAGCAAAGGAAGCGAAGATTTGCGCCGACGTGCTCATCGAGGCGGACAAGCGCGGCATCGACAGCCACGGTATTGGAAGATTGAAGCCGATCTACTGCGACCGCGTCGACCAGGGCATCCTCAAACCCATTGCGCCCATTACGATCGTGCAAGAAACGCAAGCTTCCGCACTAGTAGATGGCAATCTGGGATTGGGGTTGTACGTGGGCCCCTACTGCATGGATTTGGCGATCAAAAAAGCCAAAGAATGTGGAGTAGGAGTTGTTATTGCCCAGAGGTCCACCCATTACGGCATCGCCGGATACTACGCCACCATGGCAACACAAAAGGGTTGTGTGGGTTTCTCCACCACAAACGCGAGACCATCCATCGCGCCGACCTTTGGGGTGGAGGGCATGCTGGGAACGAACCCTTTATGTTTTGGCATTCCGACAGACGAGGCCTTTCCCTTTGTTATTGACTGTGCTACCTCAGTAAATCAGCGGGGCAAGATCGAGAGATATGGACGCGAGGGCAAAGCTACACCGAGAGGGTGCGTCGTGGACATCGAGGGCAAGGAGCGGACCGATACCCAAGGTATCCTGGAGGACATGGTCCTCGGCAAGGCGGCGCTGTGTCCTTTGGGGGGCGCGGGCGAAGACCTGGGCGGCTACAAGGGCTACGGCTGGGCCACGGCCGTGGAATTACTGTGCACGGCGTTCCAGAGCGGCCCGTGGGGCGAGGAGATCTGCGGGGTGGATCGGGCGACGGGCGCGAAGAAGCCCATGCCTTTGGGTCATGTGTTTATGGCCATCGACGTCGAGCCTCTCATAGGCTTGGACAAGTTCAAGGCCAACGCCGGCGAATTACTAAGGGGGTTGCGGGCGTCGACGAAGGACCCCAACGGCCCTGGTAAAATCTGGACGGCCGGCGAGCCGGAACATGATGCATTCTTAGATCGTACAAAACAGGGCGGGTTCTGGGTGCCTCCTGCGTTACAAAAGCACATGGTCGAGCTGCGGGCTTCCAAACTATCCCCGGAACAACAGGAGAGGTTCACGCCGTTCCCCTTCGAGAAGTAGATTGTACTAGGAGGACGCGTAAATTCCCTTTGAGTCGTTAGTGATAGTCTATGGCCTTCGCCGTGAGCACCGCGGCGACGTCGGCGGCAGCGAATGGTCCCACTACACCCGTCTCGGCGAGCGCCTCTTCCACGAGGCCGTGGGCGTCGCGCCGCTCATACGTCTGCGCCGGGAAACTACTTGAACCTTCAGCGACCTGTTTTGATGGCCTTATTTGACCCGTGGCCACCAGCCATCCGACCAGCGCGTCGAGCCGGTCGCGGTCCTCGCATTCTAGGATCCTCCCCAGCGCCGCGGCCCGCTCCACAGCATCACCACCCGCACAAAGCGACAAGACGACGACGAGCAGCCCCGCCTCATGAGGCTTCACCTGCAGCGCGCACCGATCCACCAGGTGGCCGTGCTCGAGCTGTCGGTCCAGGTACCGGTCACAAACACGACAAAAATCAACGTAGTCCACTTCCGTGCGAGCGTCCGCCCGCAGACTTGATAACGTACTCCTTGCTACGTTCTCGAGGCGCTCGGGCTGCAGGAACGTGGCGTTCGCGTCTCTTAGTAAATCGCGCTCGTCTCCAGATAAAGGCTGCTCGTCCTCAATGAGGTCAATCAAGGCGCTGCGGTTGCCGTGGGCCGTCGACGCGCGCCAGAACCAGAAGCCGAGGCCGCCGATGGCCGCCAAAACGGCGTACGGCACCCAGGCGTAGCCATCGTCCTCCTTGGCTGCCTCGGGCGCGGCGGTCGACAGGGAGCGGGCGCACCGCTGCGACGCCGGAGGCGGCCGCGCGGCGGCCAATCCCATCGATGCGCCGCGGCGCACGATGAATGCGGCTGCTGCACCCCGAGGCCGTGGGGCCAGGCCGCGCGGCGCGGCTGCAAGACCGCGTAGCGCTCCTCTTGCGGATACGGCAGCCATGTTACGCCTGTCGGCGCAGTCGGTGATGCGCTGCGCACTGCTCAATGATGGACAATTGTACAAGTCTGCGAGCTAGCGGCCTGTAAAGGCACTAGCCCGCTCGCGGTCGACACTTTGTGGCTTACGGCGGCCCGCGCTTGTAGTCGAGAGACCGATAGCGCCATTCGATCAATTTTTGCTGCGGCGGCAGCTTCACCGCCGGCTCGATCAATTTTTGCGGCGGCATAGCTTGCCGCCGGCTCGGCTCGACAGCAGCAGACGCGCGCGACAGCGGACCATGGCCTCGGTCAATGAATTGGCGTACACGAAGATGCTGCTCCACGCGCAGCAGTACCCGCACTGCGCGGTCGACGGTTTTTGTCTTGGTGCGCGGCGGGGCGACGGCGTCGAGATTACAGATGTCGTGCCGGGGTTCCACAACGGGTCCTTGGGCGGCGCGCTCGAAACGGCAAGCGCGCACGCGGCGGCGCACGCCGCGGCACAGAATCTCTACGTCTGCGGCTACTACTGCGCGGCCGCCCATCTGCGGGACGAGGCGCCGCCGAAGCACGCGCCCTCGGTCGCGGCGGCGCTCGCGGCCCAATCCGGCGGCGCGCCCGTCGTTGTGCTCCAGATCAGCAATAGGCGCCTCGCGGACCCGTCGGACCACGCGCTGACGTGCTACGGCGGATCGAATTGCGACCAACCGCGAGCCGTGGCCTGCGCGCCGTCGTCGGCGTTTGTCGAGGCGGCCGACGCGGGCGTGTCGGTGGTTGATTTCGACGTCCACTTTGATGATGCAGCTAGGGACTGGCGGAACCCGGCGGTCGCCGAGTTCCTCGCTGCCTAACCGTCCTGTAGATACTAGATAGGAACCCTCGTCGTGCGGGTCTGCTTTGCAGTCTTGCCATCAAAGACTTTTGCATTGCATTGCACAAAGTTGGCCAGGTGTAACGCATCGATTGCAACTCGCACGCTGCTTCTTGACTTCAGCACTCGCAGCACGCTCGAGTCAAAAGCAGCGCACGAATTGTGCTACTGCTGTCCACTGAGGAGGCCTCAGCTCTACCACTGCAGCAAGCAGCACGGCTGCCTTCCGAGCAGTCACCCGCCTGCTGCTGGCGGCCGCGGCCCTCGGCATGGGCGCGGCGCCCGCGAAGCCATCAAGGGAGCGCGTCTGGGTGACCGGCGCATCGGGCGGCCTCGGGGAGGAGGTCGCAGCGGCCTACGCGGCGCGCGGGTGCGCCTTGGTCCTTTCGGCGCGGCGGCGGCGCGAGCTCGACCGCGTCGCGGCGCGCTGCCGGGAGGCGGGGGCGCCCACGGCCGAGGTCGTGCCGCTCGACCAGGGCGACGGGCAAAGCGTCGAGCGGGCGCTGCGGGGGGCGCTGGCGGCGCCGCTCGACGTCGTCGTGCTGTGCGGCGGCGTCGGAGCTGTGTGGAAATCAAATTTACGGCGCGTTCGTCCTGAATCGCCGCGTCGACCTCCACGCCGTCGCCGCGACGCCTGCGTGCACCCGACGCACTGATTGATTTCCACACAGGTCGGAAGCCGCGCGGCGGCGCTCGACACGGACGCTGCTACCCTGCGACGGCTGATGGAGACGAACTTCCTGTCGACGGCTGAGCTGGGGCGGCGGTGCGCGCGGCACTTTCTCGACAAGCGGAGGGATGGGCGGGTGGTCGTGGTGAGTTCGGTGCAGGGCTACTTCGGTTTACCCCAGCGCGCCGCCTACGCGGCGTCGAAGCACGCGCTCCACGGCTACTTCGACGCCCTGCGGGCCGAGCTCGCGGCCGAGTCCGCGGCCCGCGTGTCGGTCACCGTCTGTGCGGGAATCAACCAGTGTGTCGGGTGCTTCGGCGATGAAGCCGTGAAGTTTTGATTTCCACACAGGTCACGGTCGTGGCGCCGGGCTACATCCGGACCGGCCACAGCCTGCACGCGCTGACGGGCGACGGCCGCGCCTACGACAAAAACGACGCCGCGACGGCATCGGGCGCGGACCCGGCGGCCGTCGCGCGCGCGCTCATCGACGCCGCGGACCGCCGGCAGCCGGAGCGCCTCGTCGCGCCCGGCGCCGCGGCGACGCTCGCGCGGCTGCTGCGCACGCTCTCGCCGTCGGCGCTCTTCGCGCTCATGGCGCGGCGGGCCGCGCGGGCGCGGGCCGCCGACGGCGGGCGCGACGACGGCACGGACGGCGCGCTCGCGGTGCGGGTCCTGCGCTCGACCGGCGACGCGTTGTTTGTGCCTGTGGCCCGCGGGTCCACGGTCGCCGACCTCAAGGCCGCCATCGCAACAGCCCTGGCCGACGCGCCCGCGGAGCGGCAGCGCCTCATCTTCGGGGGCAAGCCCCTGGAGGACGGCTCCCTGGCGGCGAGCGGCCTGGCAGACGGTCAGACGGTCCACCTCGCGCTGCGGCCTAGTTCTTCTTAATCGTATCCGAACACACACTTAGTCAAACCACAGCCCCAGCGACTCCAGCCACGCGCGTTTTTGTGAAGCGCCGACGACATAATTCGCGTGGAAGGCGACGACGCCCGGCGGGACCTCGAATGAAATCAGGGCCTCCGGCGCCGGCGCATCATACAAAGTCCGCAGCGCCATGCCGTTCGGCCAAAGCGCCAGCGGCAGCGCGCGGACGTCGACGTGCTCGGCCGCGTACGCTAGGAAAGCGAGGGCGGCTTCGAGCGCGGCCTGGTCGCCGCCGCACGAATCATCTGAAGCGGCCGCCGCCCAGAACGCGGCGAGGCGCCGCGCGGCCCGACCAGAGGGGAAGTACGCCAGGCCGGAGCAGCCCACGTCGCCGTAGTACCTCTGACGTGGCCTAGGGTTGCCCGGCCGACGGTCGAGCTCTACAATAGCCCCCAGCACGTCCTCTTCGTCGTGACGGTTCGGCTGCAGCGCCACGGCACAGTTCTCATAAGATGTGAGGTGGGGCCAGGGATCTTGTAAAAACGCGACGTCGGCGTCCGCGTAGAGCACCGCGAGCTCCGCCTCCAGCAAAGCGAGCACGAGCGCCGGTTTTATCTGGGTCAGCGCTCGGAACGCGCCCGAGCCGTAGGCCGCCGGTCGGTCGCGGCCCGGGGCGTCGTCAGCCATGGCCTCGTCGTAGACCGGCACTACATGACCGCCGAGCGGCTTCAGTTCAGTTAATGCAACATCGTCGAGCGCGGCGATCAAATAGTGGGACGCGTTGACGGCGTCGAGGCCGCGCGCCCAGGACCGCGCGAAGGCCGCGTAGCCGCCCGTCGCCATTGTGAGGACGATGCGCCCGCCGGGGCCCGCTATGCTCGAAGCGCGTCGCGTGAAGGCGGCGAGCGACGCTGGCGTGTCCATTTCGTGCTCATACGCGAGCGCCGGGCAGCCCAGCGCCTCTCCATCTAAAGCGGGCGCCTCCTCCACTTTTGTACGCATCCGCTTCACCAACGTCCGTACGGCGTCCTCTCCGACGATGGAATGCGCCGCGACCCAGCGCCGCGCGACTTCATTGACATCGTCGCCTCTCAAAAAACCCAGCGGCCGCGGCTCGCCGTCCACGTTTATATCAATCTTGAAGCGCTGCGTCGCCGCCGCCGCGCCGGCGTTGGCGCACCGGTCCTCTCCGTCGGTGCCTTTACCGTCGGGTGGCGGGCCGCATTGGCGTTGGGCTGCCGCGAGCGCAGCCATGCTGCACAGGACGAGACCTTGCCGCATCGCTGCTACCGTTGCCGCATCGCTGCGTCGTATTCCTAGCCTGCGCGAGGCTGCCCTTGTCAAAAGCCTAGAGACTTACAGGCCGCTAGTCTCCGCCCACGAGTCCTAGCACCGTCGAAAGCGGGGCGAGACGCGGCGTCTCCCCCGAGGCTCTCCTCTTAGTTAACTTGCGTTCCAAAGCAGTCCGGCCCCGTACCGTACGGCACGGGGCACATAGACCGCAAAATGAGACAACGTTGTATATCTGTACAGTACCCAACCTAAGGTTCACGCGTCACATGAGGAACACGATCTAAGAGTTGTGCTCGCCTCGGAAGCGCCGGACGCGCGGCGGATGTCGGCCATGTTCCAGGAGAAGCTCGACGCGGGGTTGCCGACGAAGTAGGAGCTCTTCGCCAGGAGCAGCATGGCGACGAGGGGCTCGGTGGCGTTCACGTCCACGGCGCCAAACCGTTTAATCAGTTGAGGCACGCGGGCCACGGAGAGCGGCTGGCCATCATGCAAAATGAGGATGGGCCACTCGCGAGGCACGCGGTCCTTGGCCATCGGCGGTCTTGCAAAACTCCGACCTGTGTGACAGCCTGCTAGCGGCCTGTAAGATACTAGCAAGCCGAAGATAAGCATCGGCGACGCGCGGTGTCTAGGGGCTCCGCCCACGAGTCCTAGCACCGTAACAATATAATTTCCAGGGGACCGGCGCGTCCCGAGCGCCGCGCACTAGTCCTATTACCATAGGCGGCCAAGCTCGAAGCGAAACGGAATTCAATGATCACCTAAGGTTAAACGTGCCCCGTGCCGGTAACGGTACGGGGAGGGCGCCGGCGGCGCCGAAGAAACAGAACAGGCCTAGCCCGTCGCTGAGACAGGATCGTCCGCCGCCCACCACTTGTCAGCGGAAACGCCCGCACAGGCCAGGACCGCGTCGTCCCTCAGATCCAACTCCGCTCGCGGAGATCCAGAATCCAAGTGGGACGCGTCGTTCGCCCCGACCACCCTACAGCAGAGCTTCCCCTTGTCATTCCGCGTCAGCTCGACCTTCCAGACACTCGTGTTCCAGGCGCCGTTGCTGCAGAAGGGCACGGTACAACCGTCGGCTCCAGTCGCGGCGTTCATCGCCTGCGTGGCCAGCAAAGTTCAAGTTGTGCTTCAATTTTGGGTTTGTTGGGGTCGGAGCGAGGTGTTTCTGACTATACTCGGTCGAGGGTATCTCTCGGCGGTCGTGTCCGAGTTTGGGCCTCTCAGATGACCGCGGTGCCGAGATAGCGAGACGCGGGTATATGACCTCCATGATGAAGCCGCCGTGCGTCACGCACAGGACTCGTAATCTGTCTCTAGAATCATCTTTGGTGGCGACGAAGGTGCTGCCGAGCCTTGAAAGTAATTTGCGCGCGCGTCGATTCACGTCGTCCCACGACTCGCCGCCTTCCACGCGGTGTTTTCTAGGAGGCACGTGCGGCGGCCGCGGCTTCCGGGGCGCGTCGTGGGCCAAACCTTCATACACACCGACGGCTCTTTCTCTCAACAACGGGTCCGTCCGCGCTACCTTCGGTTCGTGACAGAACCCTTTGGTGGCTAAATGACACGTCTGGCGGCACCGTAATAAGTCGGAGCACAGGACGACGTCGAATGGAGAAACGTCGTGGTCCCTCTGGAGGCGCTCGCCCAAAGCCGCCGCCTGGAGCGCTCCCGTTCTAGTTAATCTACCAGGCTGCTGGCCCTGGGTGATGCGCGACGCGTTGGCCACGGTCTCGCCGTGGCGCACGAACCAGACCTCCACCGTTTTACAAGGCGCCACTCGGCCATTGATCGGCTCCGGCGACACGACCCTTCCAACCGGCCGCACCTTTGCTCCTATATCGCGGACGGGCGTGACGCGGATGGGCGGCGGCGAGGCCACGCGCGCCGTCGGCGACACGACGCGCAGTTTTTGCGGCTTGAACGGAGTCGGCGACGCCGCCCGCGCGGCCGCGACCTCCGCGACGATGCGGCGCGCCCCCTTGGGCGAGGGCCGCCGGAAGGCGCTGCCGACGCCGGGCAGGGCCGGCGCGCCGCGCGGCGTGCCGGGCCTTGGCTGGCTGCCGGGGCGTGGCACCCGCAGGGGCAGCACCATTGGTATTTGGGGGGGCAGCCCTGAACGACTGCGTACTGCGCCGCGCCGTAGCGATGTATCCGACGGCGAATCGATCTGTGCGTCCTGCCCGGGGCGATATCTGACGGCAAAGCGATTTGACCCGCGCCGCTGATTTGCTTTAGAGATGATTAGTGGCTCGCCATCGGCCGACGCGCGGACCCGTCGTTGGAGGACACGTCCGTCGTGGCCTCGGCGGCGGCAAGCTCCAGGCGACTCGTACATCACCGTTCGGGGTTCGTCGCCGGGGCTCTAGCTGCCGCGTCGACGGCGTCGAGGCGGCGTGGCATCGCGTCGACGCCATCGCCGCGACACCGCCTCTCGGGCACGTCGTCGACGCGTTCTAAAGGCAACGGACGGCGTTCCGCGTCTCGCGGCGACGGCGTCTTCACGCCCCGATCGCGCGATGTGGTGGTGGCCGGGGCGGTCTCCCCCACAAGAAACGCACGAAATACAGCGGATATCTTATCACATGAACGGGTTCTTCTCCTCGTCAGCTGGAGGCGGCGGCGGCACGACGTCGCGCCCTTTCAAAGGCGCCAGCAAGTGCAGCATCGCCGGCCTCGACGAGTACTTGAGCGCGGCGACGCACTGCTGGAACGCCAAATTGCTGGTCGTCCGGCCCGACACCTTGGACAGCAGGTCGCCCGGTCGAAGAACCAGGTCCTCGTGGACTTCCGAGACGAACGCCGGGAAGTCGGGGAGAGCGCCGTCCGCTTTCGGAGGTGCCCTCCCAAGCGTGAAGCCCAACGTCTTCTCCCGAAACAGCACGGAGTACTCGCGCACGGCATCACTCAGCCCGACGAACGCGGGCGCGCCCGTCGACAGCCACGCGTGCGGCACTTCGACGAGCTTCTTCACATAGGTATCAAGCTCTCGCAAGCGATCCCGCAGGAAGGCGTCGTCCTGGTGATCCGCCATGAACTTGGCTTTGCGCTGCGGCGGCTTCGGTAAACTTCCCTTCGTGGCGTAGCCCGTCAGCGACGCCCGCAGCGTCTCGTCAAATTCGACAAAGTCGCGGAAGCGCCGGTGGACGCGCGTCGACGCCGTTTGACCGTTCGCGAGGCGCGCGGAGGCGTCCACCGCGTACCACGTAATAGGCTTGTTGTCCACGTGGCACATCGACGTGCAGTACTCCACGACGCGGACGCTGAAGACCTGGAGCTGAGGCCCGGGCCTCGTTTCTCGCGCGCTGCGGTCGTAAGCAGGGCGAGAAGCAATTGCTGTCGCTTCGGGGACGTCCTTGTTATCGACAAGGCAGCGGTAGGCGAAGGTTGTCATGGAATCTCGCAAAATAATAATTTCTCCCTTCATAGAACCGGCCTCGAAGGGTAGTCTCGTTTCCGCGCTGTGGAAGATGCTCGACGTGCCCAGCGACTTGTGGAGCTCCTTGTGGTCGACCATCGCCGCTCTCGCGCCCGTTAACGGGTGGTGGTATAGGACAACTTCGTGGCCCTTTCCTTCCGAATCGGGGAAGCGCCACGTCCGCGTGACCTCGCCGGAGAAGACGGAGACCATGGTCCGCTTGGCTCTTTATTCGTGCGCGCGGCGCGTCCTCTGATGACTTTATCGCGTCGGCGGCAGCGTGCGGCCGAGACGGTGGTGACGAGCTAATCACTAATTTGGGCGCCGGCGCAGGCGCTCCGAGCGCTGTGTGTGAAGCTGGCTATGGCTAGTCGTAATCAGCGCCTCTGTCCTGTGATAAGGACCACGAAACTGTGTCTAAAACCGTTCCAAGTCCGGCTGCCGCCTCTCGCTAGTGCCTTACGGCCGCTAGCTCGCCTACTTCGCGGCCATTCATTGCTTCTTGGCGGCGAGAGGTGCTCGTACATTCCCTGGCTGGTTTCGTAGCAATATATACCGCAGCGCTCCACCTGGAGCCGCCGCGCGTTGCAAAAACCCCAAGAACATAGCCCGATAAAATCCAAGATGCGGCTCGCAGCGCTCGCGCGCGCGGCGCCGGTGCGCGGCGCGCGCCGGCTCTCGGCCACGGCCAAGGTCTGGGTCGACGCGAACACGAGGGTGATTTGCCAGGGCTTCACGGGCAAGACCGGCTCCTTCCACTCCGAGCAGGCCATCGCGTACGGCACGAACATGGTCGGCGGCGTCACGCCGAAGAAGGGCGGCCAGACCCATCTCGGCTTGCCGGTCTTCGACTCCGTCAAGGAAGCGGTCCAGGAAGTAAAACCCGACGCGTCCGTCATCTACGTCCCCCCTCCTTTCTGCAAGGCGGCGATCCTCGACGCCATCGAGAACGAGATCGGGCTCGTCGTGGCCATCACGGAGGGCGTGCCGCAGCACGACATGGTCGAGATCCGTGTGGAAATCGAATTTTGGGCGCCCCACGCCATCGACGCGACGTCGTCCCCGTAACTGCATCTGCTCGATGGCGTGTAGAGCTAACGCCATCGACGCGAGGTTGCCTCCATTCCTGCCTCTGCTCGATGGCGTTCAGGTTGAAACCTAACTCACTGGTTGATTCCCACGCAGGTCGAGGTCAAGTATCACTTAGAAAGGCAGTCCGCCACGAGATTAATAGGACCGAACTGTCCTGGTATCATCAAGCCCGGCGAGTGCAAGATCGGCATCATGCCGGGCTACATCCACGCCAAGGGCAAGATTGGGGTTGTTTCTCGTTCTGGCACGTTGACTTATGAAGCTGTCCATCAGACGACCGTTGCTGGATTAGGACAATCCACCTGTGTGGGCATCGGCGGCGACCCCTTCAACGGCACGAACTTTATTGATTGTCTGGAGCGGTTCACGAACGACCCGGAGACGGAGGGCATCATCATGATCGGAGAAATTGGCGGCTCGGCCGAGGAAGAGGCCGCCGAGTGGCTTAAACAGAATGGAGATCCGTCCAAGCCCGTCGTCGGCTTCGTCGCGGGCACGACCGCTCCTCCCGGGCGTAGAATGGGCCACGCCGGCGCTTTGGTGAGCGGCGGCAAGGGCACGGCGCAGGCGAAGTTCGAGGCGTTCGAGGACGCGGGCGTCTACATTTCTAGAAGCCCGGCGCAGCTCGGGGCGACGATGGTCAAGGCGTTCAAGGAGATGGGGAAGGCCATCTAGAGTGGTCCTTCCGCCGGCGTAAGCGTCAAAATAGTAAGGCTAAGGCTAGTTACGTCGCAGGGCTCCCCGTGCCCAGTATCGCTAGTGTCTTACATGCCGCTGCTAGCTGCGCCGGCCATGTTTACTGGCTGAATACTGCACAAGGCATCCCGACGTCCAGTAGCTACATTTATCTTTGTCGCTGCCCCCCGCGCTGCTCCGACAAGTCGCAAACCTCGCTGCAGTGTCGCAACCCACGCGGACTAGCACAGCCCAAGCACGCGTCCGCGCCGGACGGCTCGCATAACCATGTCCGACGGGAAAGGTAACCCCCTCATGTTCTCCGGCAACGCCGCGGATATGTTGAAACAGTACGGCCAGGCCGTGCCCGAGCAGCAGCCCATGTCGTCGCTCGAGGACGCGCAGGCGGCCAAGGCGAAGCTGGAGGCCGAGAAGGAGCCGGAAGCGCACTTCCACGACGGCCACGCCTGCACGGCGGATCACTCGAGCGAGCACACGCACGACAAAGCGAGCCACAAGGAGCACGATCACGCGGAGCACGGCCACAAGGAGCACTCTCACGAGTCGCACGGCCACAAGGAGCACGACCATGCGTCGCACGATCACAAGGGCCACGACCATAAAGAGCACGACCACAGCGAGTGCTCCGGCGACCACGGCCACGAGTCCCACGGCCACAAGGAGAGCGGTCACGACCACGGCTCGAGCCACGACCACTCCAAGTGCGACGGCGACCACGGTCACCACGACCACGGTGGCAAGAAGGACGGCGACCACGCGCACGGCCACAAGTGAGAATGTTTCCTAAGTACGATTAGGTCCTGTGATCACTCAGCGCCTCCTATCGTAGCCCCTGTCGCGCGACCGCGACCGGTACCGCCGCGGCGGCCCGCTCTGATATGACGGCCGCGCGCCGTACGACTGCTGCGGACGAGAAACGGGCCGCGCGGCGGCTCGCGGCGGCCCACCCGCGCGCCGCGTCGCTCCTAAACCACCCCCCAATCTGCGGGGACGCCACTTCGCGACCGTGCGCCCCCGCTCGACGTCCACCAGGAGGCGCCGCCCGTCTACTTTCCTACCGTCAGCCCTTTTATAGGCCTGGCGCATGTCCTCCTCCTTCTCGAACTCGACGAACGCGTAACCTCGCGGAGCGTCTCCCTCATCACTACCGGTCAGGACGTCATTCGCATCGCGCTTGTGCACGACTCTGATACGACTAACAGGACCGTAGGCCTCGAACTCCCTCCGCAACGTGTCTTCTGTGGTGTCATATGACAGGCGAGCGACGAATAACGTCTTGTACGCGTCCTTTGTAGTCACACTGGCAACGGCAGACGAGGGCTTGTGCGGGTCCCACTTCTTTATTTCCTCCTCGAGTTCGCGCTGGTGCTGTTCAGCCTTCGCTTTCTTCCGTTTTTCTCGTTTGTCGCGCGGCGTCTCATGTACCACACGTGCCGGCGGCTCCGTCGTCTCGAACAACCCGAGATACTTGGCCACGCCAGAGTAGGGCGGCGGCTTCCTTTTGACCGGCCGCTCCCGGAAGATTAACGGAGGGCCCGGTTGAAACATGGCCTTCATGGCCGGCGGCAGGTGCGTGATCGGCGGGCCGCCGCCGAAGGCCATCTGGCCCTTGGGCGTCATCTTGCGGCCGGCCATGCTTGCGTTGCTGGTGCCGCGGCGGCGTTGACGCCCGCGCGCGGGGGGCTGCCGAGAGCAGCTATGCGCAAAGCTTTCTTGCGGCGCCCGGCGACGCCCGGAATTGCACGCGCTGGCTTTTGTATTTGTCCTAAGGACTGCTGCGCGCGTCCAGCCGTAGCGCGGTGCGTTGCGCGGCGCTCAGGCGTGTGCGCGAGCGTGAGACAGCTAGCGTCGTGTTACACACTAGCACCGTAAAAGCCGACGCCCATCGAGGCAGCCTCGGCGGCGCGCGAAGGCACGTACGCGCACGCATCGATCGCCAAAAGGCCAGCGCCGCCCCGCGCGCGCGGTCGGGCAGCCCAACACCATGGACGCCATGTCCGCCCCCTCCGAGGCCGGCTCCGCCACGGCCGCGGCGCTAAAATTCGAGCGCCGGGCCGAGGAGTTCGAGGTGAAGCGCTTCGCTGGTTTAACCGGTTTCCAGTCCGCGCGCGAAGTCGCTAAAATGCAGCAGCGGCACGAGGCCGAGGAAAAAAAACGTATAGAAGCGGAGGAGCGCGCGGACGACGCCTGGGAGGTGGAGTGGTACGTGTTTGTTAGTGTTTTTGCGCTCTACGCTTTGACGACGGCACCGTCAGTAGCGGGCGGCGATTCCGGCGAATTACTCGCAGAATCCTGTTCGCTCGGGACAGCTCATCCACCAGGATACCCCCTGTTCACCTTACTGTATCACATTCCGTTAACGTACATGCCGGCGTACCTCAGTCCGGCCATGTGGGCGAACCTATTCACGGCCATGCTAGGTGCGGGAGCATCATCAGTCGTATGCGCGATCACGAGGGAAGCGTTACGGTGCGGCGGCCAGTGCGGCCGCTCGATCACTGGCGCATCAGCGGGCTACCTCTTCGCTTTTAGTCCATTAGTCTGGCAGTACCATTGCACTTCCGAGGTCTTTGCTTTGAACAATTTATTAGTTGCACTACTAGTACATCGCGCTCTACTCTACGCTAGACTGCGGAAGATCAAAGATCTACGCATCGCATCGTTATTAACAGGACTCGCTTTATCGAACCAGCACACCGCGGTGCTCTTTGTTGTACCATTAGGAGCGCGCGCTTTGTCAATAGCATCATCAACACTAAAAAAGAGACCGCGGGAAGTCATCGTTCTCGGTTTGTATGGCCTCACAGGATTGAGCCCCTACGCCTACCTCCCTTTATCAAAACCTAAACAGGGCGGCTGGGGCCAGATCCGCTCGGTCCGAGGCTTCGTGCATCACTTCTTGAGGCGAGACTACGGGACGTTGCGCTTGTATTCGGGGCGGGTCGGGTCCGGCGAATCCCTAATGGAACGTATTCAGGCGTGGTATACATCTATTGCTACAGTACAGGGCCCTCTACCGTATGCCTTACCGGTCCTGGCTGTGATCGGTGCCTGTCTACTCCTGTACGTACCACCACCCCTTCCCGAATATTGCGACGACGCGTCGTCGCAGGGCGGCGGCAAAAGGTCCGCCAAGGCTAGACGACGAGCGCGCGTCCAGGAGTACAACCAACAAAGGCGCGCCGAGAAAGGGACAAAAAAATCGATAAGGGTCGCGGCGCGGGGCTGCCGCGAGAGTCTCGCACTACTTTTGGGTGCTTTATCCTTCTACCTCTTGGCTTTTCATGCTTTATCGAATTTACCTCTGTCAGATCCGCTGCTGTACGGCATTCACGCGCGGTTTTGGATGCAGCCTCACCTCGCGCTATGTTGCTTCGCGGGTCTTGGTTTGGAGGGCCTCGTGAGAATATGTGGCCGAAAGAGCGTTCCATTGGTCGTTGTCCTCATAGCGCTACAAATACGCGTCGGCCTCGAACCTTCCGGATTATCACCGGGAGCGCCCGGCGGTCTTTACTCAAGAAGCCTCGGGTTGCATACGGCCCACCCGGCCCACTTTTTCGGCGACTACGCGCGCGCTTTATTGAAACCCCTGCCGCAAAATGCACTTTTGCTCATCAATTACGACCAGCAATGGACGTCCATCAGATATGTGCAGCAGTGCGAACATTTTAGGACGGACATTACGACGATCAACCTGGCGATGACGACGTACGGCTGGTGGCACTCTAAACGTGAACTATATGACAATGTGGTTTTTCCGGGAACGCACTACAGCCGCGATCCACAAAAGTCTTCGGGCTACTCCATAGGGCAGTTCTTCGACGCGAACTACGAGCGACGAACGGGCGGGATTTTCTTGGGAGGTACTTTGAGCTTCCCAGATACAGAGTATAAACAGAGGTACGAGTTCGTGCCTTATGGACTTGTATCAGTCTTGTCCAGGAAGGAGCGCCCCCCATCGCTCGAGGCGTACGTCCTCGAATCGAGACAGGCCTGGGCGACGGCGTTGAACGAGATGAGGAGACTACCCCTTGATGAGAATCATAACTCGGAGGAGACGTGGGAGTGGACTATTCAACGAGAATTCTTTACCCATATTGCCGACAGAGCCGCGTATGTGTTGGAGAGCGTTCTGAGGGACGATGTGCATGATGCGACCTATCTCTACGAGGCGGCCATGTGGTTCGAGACGCTGTACAGGTATGACAGGAACATGACGACGGCCAACGTAAAAAACATGGGCTTAGCTCATGTCCACCTGGTACGGTCGACGAAGGGCAAGGCGCCTCCCCCGACAGTGCCTGATATTTTGGGTGCGTCTGGGTTGCTGCACGATGAACAACAACCGTTTGAGAAGTTACATCCCCAAGCAACAACTGCGGACTGGAAGACGTGGTCGTCATCGCGCTTCCAGGTCGGCTGGGGCGACTTCTTGGGGCGGCCCGAAGCTATCAAAGATCCCCAGTACGAGACGATCCGGGACTTGTACGCCAAGGTCACGACGGCGTCGCGGACCATGGGCACGACGCGGTCCTAAGAGTGTGAGTAGTTGCTAGGCTTCGGCGGGGGCGTCATTTATACCGTGAAGATGTCCGTGGCACCAGGACGCGCGCGCCGACGCGGCCGCGCTGGACCTGTCGGGCCGCTCGCGCGACTCGGAGTCTCGGACGCTAGCGTCCACGCAGATGTCCACGCGTTACCCAACGGCGACCTCAATGCTGCGACGGAGAGCACCAGGGCGGACTCCGCCCACTCGCCCTAGCGCCGGAACAGACATAAACACAACGCGATATGATTACACACTCGTCCCGAGCCAGTCCCCCCAGCCGCGCCACTCATCACCGTAGGCCTGGGGCGGCCGGAAGGGCAGCCGCAGGTCCTCGAGCACCGCGGGCCGATCCAGCGCGTACGTGTACCAGCGCAATTCGGACGAGATGCCTAGTGTTTGTGCGACGCGCCGTCCCTCATCATAAGGCCGCCGCACCCCGAGGTAGTCGTCCCAGCCCAGCCACCGGTCGGGGAACATGTCCTCCGGTCTTGATGGTGCGTATTTCGGCACCCCGAGCTCCTCGTAGTCCTCGCGGCACCTCAATCCGAGGCCCCGGGACTTCCGTCGGACTTCGTCGAAGGGCAGGGAGGAGCGGTAGTTGGCCGTGTAGACCGCGCGGCCGTTGTACGCGATCGCGCCGTTCTTGCCGCAGTCTAGAGCGCGGCGCCGGAGCTCCCTCTCGAAGAAATCGGAGGCGGCCGTGGGTTCGAAACCGAGCGCCCGTTCCGTGTCATGCGAAACTTTCGATAGTTGTGTGGCGAGGACCCTCAAAAAGTCCGCCGGCAGCGTCGAGGTACACGACACAACATTGCCGCCCGCCTGTTGTACCACTTCGGAAATCGTCGTCGCCGCGGGCCCCGTGAGGTCCAGCATTTTCGCATTTCTCGAGACGTCGTCGGACACCAGCGCTCTAGCTGCGACGGCCGCGACGTCGACCGCACTCACATAAGCCACAGGGGCGTCCGCGAGCACGTGCTGCCCGTCGCCGGCACCACTCGGCAACCCCAGCGGCCCGTGCTCACTAAAGACGGTCTGGGCGTAGAGCGACGGCCTCAGGATCGTGTGCGACAATGAATCAGCCAGCAAAGCCTCGGCTCTCGTATGCGCGTCGAAGGGCCCGACGCGCGCCTCGAGGACTGGCGTGGCGGTAGACACCTTGACGGCGTGCTCGCAGCGGTTCGTGGCGGCACAGACATCAAATAATGTTTTTTCGAGCTGGAACTGGTCGGGCCCGTTCGGCGTCGCGACAAATAAACGGAAGGGCTCATCAACAGGCAGCGCCGCTTTTATGGATTCGGCATCACCGAGGTCGACCTCCCTACAACACGCATTGATGCCCAGAATGCGCTTCGCCCGCAAGACGTCTCTCCCCAGTGCGATCGTCGGCACGTCCTGCCTTCGCAGAATGCGCACTAGCTCCCTTCCGACGGTGCCCGTCGCGCCTGCCACCACCACGGTCGGCTGACGCGCCGCTTTGATGGCGGGCCAGAGCAGCCCGGCTACCAGTAGTGTCCGCATGAGCGGTCCTGGGCAGAGCACTTGTTCGCAGCGGCTGCTGTGGCGTCGGATGCCGCGTCTCCAGTCCTCCAGCCAAAAAGCGTTGCCACTAAGCTGTCTGGCAGGCCCGAATTACGAATTAGGAAATCCGAGCTAGCGCCATGTAAGACACTAGCCCGGCTCGACAGCCTCGACAAAAACGCTTTTTGGCTGTCGGCGGACGTCCTCGCGCGGTTGCAGCAAGGTGTTCGTTTCGCATCGCTGCGCGTGCGCTGCGCCCGCCCGACGCCCGCCGCTGCGTCGCCGCGCTGTAGCAGGCGCCTGCCTCTGTGACCACCCGATCGGCGCACGACGATGGGGATCCCCGAGCCCATCGTCCACACGACCCTAATCTTCATGGCCATCGTCGCGGCCTTCTGCGTCATGCAGCTCTTCCTGCGCTGCCTCGGGGCGCGTCCGCCGGCGTCTCGCGGCCGCCGCGCGCTCCATCAACACACATCACGCAGGTCTGCAGCAAAGACGACACGTCCATCGCGCTCGTCCTCTACCCTCTCGCGGGCTTCTGCTGCTGGTTGTTGTGGCTCTGCACGTGGATGCACCAGTGGCACCCCTTGCTCTGTCCCATCTACGAGGGCGAGGGCAGCGGCAAGTCGGCGCCGCCCGGGATATGCCAGAACGTGGTGTCCTCCTAAGTATAGTGTTATATATATACCGACGTCGCGGCGGCGGCGTGGGGGGCGGGGGCGTCGTGAACTTCCTCGCGCTCTCGAGATTTCCTTGGCTCGCAAGTTTCAAGTTCCGATACGTCGACCGGAGGGCGGCGTAGTGGTAAGTGTAGTGGTGCAACTTGCGCAACCGTGACGACGACAGAGAGGCTACTAAACGAACTAAGTTATCTCTACTATCTACTTCGGCTGCGGCAGGACCCGCACGCCGTCCTTGTCGACGATCTTCACCGTGAACTCCGGCATGTGTACTAAGAAGCGGACCTGGATCTCGTCGATGCACTTCTTGAGGAGCTCCAACCCTTGCGCTTCGGTCATGCCCGGCGTCCACTCCCGGTCGAAGATCGAAAGGACGAACGAAGAAACGTAGCCGTGGCAGCCGTAGTTCACCTTGTTCGACGAAGCTAAGTAGTCCAGGTAGTACAATGTGGCGCCGTGTTCCTCGTCGTAGCCTCCTAGCAGCAAATTGGTTTGGTACGGTCCTTTTCGTAGAGCGACGGCGAGCTCGTTGCGCACGAAGGAGGCCGCAGCCGGCGTACTTAATTTCAAGCCATTGCTGATCTCGTACAAGGCCATGTTCTTCTGGACGTACTCCGTAAAACAAACCGTGTCCGCTTGCGCGCCTGCGTGTCCGAAGAATGGCCTCGACATCGACCAAGAAACCACCCACTTCCATCATTCCTGGAGACGAGTCGCGTCGAAGGCACCGCGACACTTCAAGACGCGGAGCGCGCGCCGGAACTGCCCATGATCTTGTGGCTGTCCAGTACCGTAACCTTGTCCTCGTCTTTCTTGAAGCAGATGATGGACCGCGCGGCGTTGCGGTCGGCGGCGACGAGGGTGTAGCCGTCGCCCACGAGCGCGAGGGTGCACTCCATGGCGCGCGCTGCTTTTTAAGTCGTTTTGCGTCGCGCTGCGTCGATCACGTCTTGGCGGGGCGCGCCGCTTGCCGCCGGTGCCGGCCGCTACCGCAATTCGCAGCGGTGAAATATGGGTCACGGAGCTTGTCCGCGCGTGCCGGTAGGCAGTTCTAAGTGTCGCGCGCCGTGTTTTTTTGCGCCGCGTTTCAGGTCCGCGTTTTTGCGTCGAGAAAACGGGTTTTTGTTACTGCGGACACGTCCATGGTGCAAAGCAAGCGTCCGCACACGTCTACAAATTGGGCAGTGGACAAGCTCCAACTCAAAAACGACTCAAGAGAACCCGAACCCAGGCAATTTGACTTGTGAGAGACGCCCCGTTTTTTGGTTCATTAGACGAAGCAGAGACGTCCAGTAGACGTCCACGCTTTGCCACGAGCCACATTTCCACGACTGGCTGTGAAAACGCCGCCGCGGCGCATTCATAAGCTGCTCTAGGCGCCAAAACTAAGCAGCCGCGCGAAACCGCAGCAGCGAACAGATGGAAGCGACGCCTCCTGTGCCCGCGACAACGCCGGCTGCCGAACCACCCGCAGCTTCCAATGCATGCGCCGCACCCGTGACGCAACCGCCAGCCGACGCGGCGCCGGCGCCGGGCGGCGCCGCGAGGCAGGCGACGCTCGACAGCTTCTTCAGGAAGCCGTCGCCGCCCGCGGCGCCCGCCCTCGCCGCGTCGCCGCCGGCCGCGAACGAGCCGCCCGCGCCGCCCGCGGCTGCGGCGCCGGCCGAGGCGCCCGAAGTGCCAAAGGCGCCGCCGCCCGCGAGCACGCCGCCGCCCGCGGCCACGATGACCGCGCCCCCCGCGGCGCCCGCCGCGCCGGCCGCCCGGGCCCCGGCCGCGGCACCGCCCACCGTCGTCGTAGCGGCGGCGGTGCCGCCCGCGTCTATTGCCGACTACGTGGCAGCCGCGGCACCGCCCGCGCCCCCGGCGCCGGCGGCGATGGACGTCGACGCGCCGGCACCGGCGTGGCGCACGGCGGGCCACCCGCTCGTCGGCCGCGAGATTGTGAGACTGGTCGAGGGCGGCCCGGCCTACAGCGAGGGCAGAGTAGTGGGCTGGCTCTCGGCCGCGGAGTCCGACTTCCTCGACGCCGCCAACCGACCCGCGGCGCTCTTCCACGTCGCGTACAGAAACGGCGAACTCGCGGGCGACGAGGAGGACCTCGAAGAATACGAGGTCGAGGCATCCCTGAAAGCCGTCTTCGACGAACAGCAGGTCGCGCGGGCGGTCCAGGCGGCGCGGGCCGCGCGCAAGCCCGCGGCGAAGGCGTCGAAACCTAAGCCGCGGCGCCCGAGCCCGCCGCCGGCCGCGGCGGCCGCGGCGCCCGCGCCGGCGGCGGCGCCCGCGCAGACGCGGCCCGAGCGCGCCCCGGCGCCGGGCCCGGCGCCGGCCGCGAAGCCGCGAAGCCCGCGGAGCGCCGTCACCGACAAGGCGGAACTAGAAAGACGCATGGCGCGCGACGGCTGGACGATGAAGCGCAAGGTGACTCCGATGGGTCCGATCACGGGCACGCCCAGATATTACAAGCCGGGCGACGACGTTGCCTACGCGGGCCTGCCGGCCGTCGCGCGCGCCTACTACCCCGATCTTATTGTGGGCGGTGTGCCCGGTTGGACCGCGCCCAAGCCCAAGCCGCCCAAGCCGCCGCCGGTCGCAGCGTCCGTCGGCCTCGCGACGCCCGCGGGAGCGCCCGCGGCGAGCGCGCCGGCCGTCGAGGTACAACCGCCGAAGAAGAAGGCCCCGAAGCGGAAACGACCGACGAGGGACCCCGCCGCACCTTTACGAAGGTCGAAGCGCGACCCGACCAAAGCATCGGAAGAGAAGCTGTCCACGTGCCAGGGGCAAGACACGGCCGAAGCTCTGGCGCGAGCGTTGGACGAGGCCGCGTTGCTCGCGGGAGACAAGGCCCCGCAGATCGAAAAGTTGGCCGAGAAAGCGCGACGAAAATATTACGACCGCCCCGAGAAACTGAGAATTGAAGCGGCGCGCGTTGCCGCCCAGAACGCCGCGCGCAAAGGCGGTAGGGTCGACCGGAACGAGCGGCACGGCATCGGCGTCACGGTGGCATTGTGTGACTGGGCCCGAGCTTCACAAGATCTGGAGACAATACTAGAAACTACAGTGAGTGAAGACTTCGAAAAACGTAGAGATCTAGCGCATTATGAAGCGGGTCACGAGGCGATGAAGACCTTCGCGACCAAAGCTTTGGGAGACGCCTTGCACCAGCCCGTGGCCCGCACGGCGCACAAGCCCCACATCCTCCACGAGCCGTTGAGGTCCTACGAGACTTTATCTACCTATATACCCTTCCCCGGGGCTGATGAAAGGGAAATAGCCACAGCGCAGCGGTTGCTGAAAGTCTCTACCGAACCAGGTTTAGTGGCGGCCGCCTACGCCGTCGACGACGACGCGATCGGCGAGAAGTGGCGCTTGGAGCGGGCCGTGCAGCAGGACGAAAGTCATGCGCGCGTGGTTATTAATGGAGTGTCGGATCGGTTGTGCACGGCCGTCGTTGCGCGCGTGTGTGGCGAAGTGAATGAGCAGTATGATCCGCTCGTACTTGGTGTAGATGTGCAGGAGGTCCCTGGTTTAGGTCTAGATTGTTATTGTAGACGCACAGTACAGCTGTCGTGCGAGTGGTGTGGCGTCGAGGGTGGTAAGGATGCCGCTCGTAAATCTCTAGCTCCTTATCTACGAGATTTGTCGGAGAAAGAACGGACGCCGTCCTTCCTGACGCATGCGGCTAGGAGACTGTGGCACGAGAAGGAGGATGCTGTTTCTGGTGCGGTGCTAGCCGCATCGAGCTTCCTCGGTTCCGACGCGTGGTTCAAGGCGAGACCGAAAGGGACGGCCGTCGTCGCGTCGAAAGCCCTGGAGGCCAATTTATATGTGTGCGACTACCTGGGGGACGTCTACCCGCCTTATAGATGGCTAGAAAAACTAGCCTCTACCCAGGCAGTGCGACGACTCGCCTTGGGCCAGCAGTACGCCGACGCCGTGCCACCGCCCGAAGCCTTCCACAACATCGCCCTGGAACGGCCCCAGCAGGATCCTTTAGGATACGCTTTATTATGGGTCGACGCGGGCGGCCGGAACGCGTCCTTCGCGTCCTCGCTCAGCCATGACTGCGACGGCAACGTCGCGACGTCCGTGCGAGTCGATGCGGAGGGCAATCTCGGCGTGGCCCTGCACACGACGCGGCCGATAAAAGCCGGCGAGGAGCTCGCGTTCGACTACGCGGCCTGTACGAGTAGCGAGAGGGAGTGGCGCAGCTCGGCGTCCCGGCGTGTTGGGGTGGTTTCACTTTGTTGCTGGGACTCGTGTGTATCAGACGAGAACGTGGGCGGTTTCTTTTTTGATTTTGACAGAAATGCTCCGCGCAGGCGCGAGGCGATCTGTCTCTGCGGCGCGCCTTCCTGCAGAGGGAGCTTCGTCGAGTTAGTGGCGGCCGACGAGTTGCAGCAGTGTTTGAAGAGAGCTCATAACCCATTGGATGCCGTCGCGCTACTGTTGAGGGCTTGTCTGCCTTCTCAGTCCACAGATTATACGAAGACGTTAGAGCAACACGGCTTCAAGCGCGCCTTCTTCGACTGCATCGACGATCACACGCCACCGGTCTGGCTCGAACGGTACGTGGCCGAACTGATTTCTTTTTTGGAGTTTGAGCGCGGGCAACTGCCCTATGCCTTGCTGCGGTACTACGGGAGAGACAAGGAGGGCGAGAACGGGTCGGCAGCCGCCGTGCGCGCTCGTTTAGTGCTCGAGCAGCGCGTGCAATCCTTAGCTTGTGCCGTGTCGGTAGCTAGGCGCGTGCAAAGGTTAACGAGAGAAACGGGCGAGCCCCTGCGCATGGCGTCGTCGGAGGAAGCCGCTGCTGTTTTGAGGCAACGTTTGCTGAAACTGGCCGTCTTTGCGCAACGCTGTTCTGATCTGAAGTTGCGGGAAGCGCTCAGGAGCGCCCATGTACCGGAGAATGCCACTCGTAGAACTTGTAGAGATGCGATGCTCGCGTGTCGAACGGCACTCCTCGCTTATGCGGCAGATGCGCCTCCACCCGTGGCGGAGGAGAAGAAGACGAAGCGCCTTAAAACAGAAGACGACCCTGGATTACGACTGAGGCAGTCCGCGTTATGTGCCGCCGACGCTCTGTTACTTGCAGCTCATACCCACACCTTCGTCAAGGTCTCGCGACGAGGGACAGCCACGGCTCCAGGTGTCGAAGTCATCCGGGACGACGTGGGCAAGTTCCCCTGCAAGTCCTGCGACACGAAGGCACCTCTCTATAGCGACGCCGTCCGCACGCAACCGCAAGACGTTCTAAGGGTCCAAGAGCGGACCTACGGCCCGCTGGCCGAGGTCGAGGCTCTCATAAGATGGCACGACGCCGACGCCCTGGCCGATCCGGATCTGGGTGCTGGGTTACTCGCGGTGAAAGATTTACGCGGCTGCGCGTTGTTACCGGACGCGGCTGACATCCTGGAAGCGTGTCGAGGGGGCTACGACGCCACACTACAGAGACAACTGGCCGATGCGCTGGAGGACCCCGTCCGGAGGAATCGGCCCTGGCCTGATGATGTTTCAAGGTGCTTCTTCCCTGCTACAATTGTCGACGAGTGGTGGGGCGCGCCGTCCTTGGACGCGGCGTTAGAATCGTGCGCCGCGGCCGTGTTGGACGTGGTCAAGACTCTGAGAAATGTGACGGGATCCCTCGAGAGCGAGATCGAGTCCGCAGCATCAAGTCCAACGACTCAGTCCGAGGACCCCGGGGACGGCGCTTTAGCGGATGCGTTACCGGACAAGCCGCCCAGCAGGTGGGTGGCCTGCGACCTCTGCGAGAAGTGGCGGCGCGTGCCCTGGCACGCGTCGATCGAGATCGACGAGAACACGTCCTTACCGGCGTCCCGTGACTTTTCGGAGGCCTTACGCCATCGATGCGACTCGCATGCATCAGACGAGGCCCTGGGTGGTCTCGTTTTCGATTTCGAGCCGTTTCGGATGACGCGGTCGCCTCGACGCGAGCACTCCCGAGAGAGAGAGGGCAATCTTCACGGGTCGCGGCGACGGCGTAGGGCTCACACGCCATCGACGCGACGCGTCAGAGGCATTCACGTCGCATCGACGGCGTCTATCAACGCAGGTCCTTCAAGTGCGCGGACCAGGTCCAGTGGGGAGTGGTACCGGACGAAGCGTCCTGCGACATCCCGGAACCGTCCTTCGGCGAGGACGACGTCGTCTTCGACTGCTCGTCGTTGCCCGATGCGGCGATCGTCGAAGGGGCCAAGGTCGACGCGCGCTGTGGGCAGACGGGCTGCTGGTTCGACGCGCGCGTCATTAGCGTCGAGCGTAATGATGAGGGGAAAGCCGTGAAGGTCGGCTTGCACTTCGTGGGCTGGCACAAGAAGTTCGATGAAGTGTATGAATTGCCTCGCGATTCCGAGAAACTTGCTCCGCATCGCACTTTTTCCTCGCACAACCCGACGGCGAAAAGAATAGCGAGAGGCCAGGCCGCCGTGCCGTCGAAGCAGAAGAAGCGGAAAAGGTCGTCTGGTGGTGCTACTAGAAAGGCGGCGCCCTCCGTCACGCAGGGGACGCGGCGGCGGCCGGCGAAGTAGTTTATTAGGCGTAAGGATGAGTTTCATAATGACCGCATGTGGTATATGAGTTGTCCGGGTGTTCCCAGGCGGCCGAGGCGACGTGCAACGCCCTTGTACAGCTACGCCGGGAAATCCGCGAGCTAGCGTACTGTAAGACACTAGCACGCCCTGCTGCAAGCTCAGCTTTGTCGGGCCTATCCAGCTGTTTTTCACCCTTCTCGTGGACGAAACACGGCTCAGGGTCTAGCCCTTCGCGACGCGTCTTGACCACCGCCGACGAGCCGACCCCAGCGACCTAAGATTGATATAAATCGAAACTGCTGTGCTCGGCCTCTCGCACGACCATAAACACGGCCGCTGATTGAACGGGCCTACCTGTGGTCCCCCTGTTCCCCGGCCCGGCCTACGCGCCGGATCCCAAAAAAATGAAGGAGACCACGCGCGACGAGCGGGCGTCGGAGCCGGCGTCGGCATCGGCGTCGGCTGCGGCGTCGGCATCGGCCTGTGAGCAGATCAATCAGTGAGGTCTCACGATTCGGCGAGGTGGCGGCGGTGTGATTTTTATGCACTGGTACTTGCGTCGGCGCGGGCGTCGGGGCCGGCGTCGGAGCCGGCGTCGGGTACGGCGTCGGCTGCGGCGTCGGCATCGGCCTGTGCGCAGATCAATCAGTGAAGTCTCACGATTCGGCGAGTCGGCGGCGGTGTGATTTTATGCGCTGGTACTTGCGTCGGCGCGGGCGTCGGGGCCGGCGTCGGAGCCGGCGTCGGAGCAGGCGTCGGAGCCGGCGTCGGCATCGGCGTCGGCTGCGGCGTCGGAGCGGGCGTCGGAGCCGGCGTCGGAGCCGGCGTCGGAGCGGGCGTCGGAGCAGGCGTCGGAGCCGGCGTCGGCTGCGGCGTCGGCATCGGCCTGTGCGCAGATCAATCAGTGAGGTCTCACGATTCGGCGAGTTCAAGAGCTTCGGGTGGCCTGAGATAGTGGTCGAAATCCGGGGTCCGACTACTTCTGAATCAGCCAGGGGGCCGGGGCAGCCCGGGGGTACTATACGTGGTTTTGGGGCCTTCCCACGCTGCCCAGTACATCCTGGGGCCGTTCCCAGGCCATGACTAGGTCAAAAGACCAGTAAGTGGAGCCTCGGATACTTTTCCGGGCGTGGTATCGCCGAAAGTACCGAAAGTTTGCGGGTATGGATACTTCCTAGGAACTCTGGGGATTGATCCAGCTCGGAGAGATACGTCGATTTCCGGTCTCAGACTACACCGACTACGAACCGACTGACTACTTAGACCCCTCAGGCGTCGGACGCGCATAGTACCCGCTCCTCCGGGACCCCATCAGGTTTACGCCCACCCCGAACCGCCCTAGCGCCGCGCCCGCCTTCGGCCCGTCCGCGGCCGCACGACGGGCTCCTCGTCGACGACGTCGACGCGCGGCCCCGCGCCCTCGACATACACATCCTCTTGATCGAGAGACGTCTCCAGAATAACCTGACAGTGGCTCCGCATGTCCGGCCCCGCGTAGTCCTGCGTCGTCCGTTCCACGTTCTCGAGATCCAGCAACACGATGTTCTCGGCTTTATAACGAGTATCGGGGTCGTACTGCGCTCTATGGCGTGCATACTCCGTCTCGGGCCGCCGCAAGCCTTTGGTGGAGTGCGGCCTCCTTATCAATGTGTTTTCGAGGGGCTTCAGCCGCCAAGTGTCATCATTCCACTCGGCTCGTGCTTCGAGCTGTTTCACTTTGTGCGATGGAGCAAAGCCCTCCAAGATACAATCCTTCAGTTTTATTTGTCTCGCTAACTGTCTAATAGTGTCCAACATCTCCTCGCGCTCTCTTTGAAATTCGGAACTGAGATCGGACACTTCCCGCTCCGCCTCGGAGACTTTTCTTATGAGTTTCTCGAGCTTCCGCGTCTTCTTTTCCACTTCCTCCTCGATGGACCCGAATTTTTCTTCGGCCTCGGCCTTCTTGGACTCCTGGTCCCGCCTGCGTGGGAATCACATGTGCATCTGCTCGATGGCGTCGACGCGTCGATGACCGTGGTTGTGTCTGCTCGATGGAGTGGAGGTTCTCCGCCACCGACGCGACGTCGTCCCCGCAACTGCATCTGCTCGATGGCGTGGAGGCTCACAGGTTCCACGCCATCGACGTTGTCGCCGGCTCGATGGCGTGGAGGCTCGCGAAGGACACGGGCGCGCGCATCTCGTTCGCCATCCTCCTCTCGGCTTCTTGCTTGCGCGTGAGCTCCTGCTTGGCCTTCCGCAGCTCGGCTTCCTGGGTGGCGGCTTTGTCCAACAATTGCCCTCCTTTCAACAACTTGTTCTCCATGCCTTTCAGTTTGGCCGCTAGTTGGCGTTTCCGCTGCGACGCGTTCTTGCGCTCCGTCTCTTGGCGGACGAGGTCGGCCCGGAGGCGCTCGCGCTCCTCTTCCGTCGCGGCCTGGCGCTCCAACTCGGCGGCGAGCTGGCGCTCGGCCCGCTCACGGATCTCCTCCTTCTTCCGCTCCGCCTCGGCGTGGACCTGCGCGGCGATGTTGTCCCCGTGACTGCATGTGCTCGATGGCGTGTAGATTCCACGCCATCGACGCGAGATTGCCCCCATTCCTGCGTCTGCTCGATGGCGTGTAGATTCCACGCCATCGACGCGACGTTGTCCCCGTGACTGCGTCTGCTCGATGGCGTTGCGCTTCCACGCCATCGGCGCGAGTGAGCTTCCGCGACGCTCACCGGTCGATTTCCACACGGCCGCGGACCTTCGACAGCTCCTCCTCGGACACGCCCACGGTCACCTCCTTGATGACCTCCTTGTGGACGATCTTTTCCACCTCCTTGTACTCCTTCTGCTCGCCTGCGGGGCGCGGAAGACGCTCGCGTGGTCCGAAGCGGCCCAAGATCGACAAAGAAACCCTAGAGGCGAGTCGCGTCGATGGCGTGACGGGACGCCGAGTCCGCACCCTGCCACTCGCCGTTCTCGTCGTACGTCCCCTTCCCTTGGAGCTGCGCCTTGAGGCGGGCGATCTCGTCCTGGAACTCGCGGAGCATGGCGTCCTTCGGGTCCTCGTTGATCTTGGGCTTGTTCTTGATGTTCTTGGCTCTATTAGCGTAGCGCAGCGTCGACACGGTCTCGTCGTAGTTGTAGCCCGCGGGGCCGCAGTTCGCGCACATGACGGTCTTCGTGTTCCCGCCCAGCGAGTCCTGGAGCAATCTTGTGAGTTTCGAGTCGCGGTAGGGAATGTGCTGCGACTTGCCGTCGACTAGAGCACTGATGACGTTCCCCAGCGCAGACAGCGACAAATTGATCTTCGTGGCCTCCTTGAGCCGATCACCGGTAGCCTGCGTCTTCGACTGTCGTTCACTACCGGCGAGATCGACCAGATTCAGCTTCCCGACGGTAATGTGCTCGCCAGTTCGGACCGTACCCGTCGAATCGCAGCACTCGACGATGATCGTAAAAATGGCATGTGATCTGGAAGAGCCAGCATTCATCGCCGTCGCGCCCACGCTCCGGTTCTTCTTGCCCGCCTGCATCACTTGATCAATTTCGTGCGAGGACTTCACCTGCGCGGAACTCGAAAATAAAACCACCCACGGCCATCATTCCTGCAGACGAGTCGAAGGCACCGCACGGGACGCCGCGATCGGACGATGAACGACGTCAGGTCCTTGACGTAGACGCCTGAGTCGACGTTCTCCTTGAGGTCGAGCCGGTTCTTCGGGTCCTTGGCCAGCAGGTCGCGCACCTCCTCGTTGTAGATCTCGAGGTAGGAGGCTCTGACTAAAAATTGCACGCCTTCTGCCGCTAACGCGACGCGGTCGAATATTTGTTGAAACGCGTTCGGGATGATGCCCCTCAATTCAGGGGGATCTTGCACGCCCTCCATGGTAAACGTTTTCCCGGCACCCGTCTGGCCGTAGGCGAAGATCGTCCCATTGAATCCTTCCAAGACGGAAGCAACAACCGGCGCGGAACAGACGTCGTACAGCTTCCTCTGGGTTATTGTTGGGGCAAACACCGCATCGAACGTAAAGGTCTTGGGCGGCTCGTCCGCATCGGCCTTCGGGTTCTGGCAGGTTATTCTACCGCTATCCTCATCAGCTTTTGTAGCTTCGTCGTGGCCGTCCTGGATCTCCTTCCTGGAGAGCGGTCTTACGCGCACGACGACTTTCACACATTCGCCCTCCTTCTTCTTGGGCACGAAGTCCTCGTCGCCCTTCGGAGGCATGGTGGCTGCCGCCTCGCCTCGGCTGCCCGTGTCTGGCTGCTTTGTCCGGGCTGCTTGGTCCGGGCTGCTTTGTCTGGGCTTCTCTGCCCGGACGTTGCTGCGTGCGCACGGCTCCCACGTGCTCGCGGCAGCCGCCCAAAGGCGATCCGGTCCGCGCGGCGCTCGACCGGCAGGCCGCAGTATAAATTTCGTGCGGGGTCGGAGGCGGAGCACTCACCCCCCGGGGGGCGACGGCGTGTCGGCGGGACGTCGTTCCTGCGCCGGCGGTACGTCCTCCGGGCGCGTCGCGGGCCCTCTCCCTTGCTCGTGCGCGCCAGCGGAGCGCGCCGCGCCCTGCTTCTCGGACCCGCCGCCGACCCCGTGTTGGGGAGGCTTTTTTATTCGTCTGCCGCCGGGCAGCACGCGCTCGCACTCGTACCCGTGATCAAAACGGGTTTTTCAAGTCGATTTGCGCACAACTTTGACCGCGGCCACCCGTCGGGCCACCTGCGTGGCGCACCACTCTCTCGTCAATCTCTACCGCGCGCCGCCGGCTGGTTCGGTCCGCGACGCGCGTCAGTTGACTCAGTTCGAGGTTTGAACACTCCAGGGTGACCACTGACCAGCGCCCGCCGCCGCGCGCCGCCGCGTCCATCGCAAGCGACGCGGGACATCTGCACCTCCGCGTGGCACCGCGCGCGCCAAGAAAAAAGCATGGTCCTCGACCCCGCGCGCAAGCCGAGCGCGAACTTCCCCGCCGAGCTCCTCGGCGGCGACGACCCGTGGGCACCCGCGGCCACCGCCGCGTGTCCGGAAGCCGACTCGCCGCGCGCGCCGCCCTGGGTGCCCGCGGCGGCGGCCCCGCGCCGCGAGGCCCTCGAGCCCCTCGCCGAGCACCCGGGCTCCAACCGCCGCGTCAGCTGGTCGCCGGGCGCGGCCGACGTCGAGAGCGAGACTGAGGCTGATGTGGCCTGGAGCGATGAGGCCGCTTCGGATGACGAAGATGACGACGACGTGACGCGGGCCTGCCTCGAGCTGCTGCGGGGCGGCCGCGCGACGCGCTGGCGGTCGGCGCGCGCCGCGTTCCTCGCGCTGCGTCTGCGTCCCGCGTCCGCGTCTGGTGTCCTTCGCGACGCGCGTCACGCGATACGACGCAGGCGGGCCCGACGCACAAAGCGTCACGCCGCAGTGTTTGAGGAAGGCCTTCCGGGACCTCTTCGCCGTCGACCTCGACGGAAGCGAGGCGCGGGCGCTCGCGCGCTCGCTGGGCAATGGTGAAGAGGAGGTCTCCTACGCGGCCTTCGCCGCGGCGCTCGACGGGAGGCGCGTGCCGTACGGCGACGCCGCGCCGGAAAGGGAGCGGAACCCCGTCAACCCCGAGCCTGAAATTCCAGAACCGGAACAGGGCTTCTCCGCGGCCGCTGCTGATGCGGCGTTCCGCGAGGGCCTGCTAGCGGCCCACGAGACGATCGCCCGGTCCTGGCTCGCGCTGCGCCGGCTGCAGGCCGACGACCGCCGCGACCTGTCGTACGACGCGTTCGTGGCGGGACTGGAGCTGTACGGCGCCGCCGCGACGGGCGCGGACGCCGAGGCGATCTACGCGTTGTATGTGGGCGCGCCCGCTGCGTTGAGACGCCGGCCCCTGGCCTTCGCGGCCTTCGCGCGGCGCTTCGCCGACGGCGGCGTGCTCCGCCCGGGTTTACGAGCGTCCGCTAGGGCGTTCCGCCGCGCACCCGTCCAGTAGTGTGGATATCGCGGTGCCCGCCCGGCGGACGTAGAAAGAGGTACCCGCCGCCGGCGTAAGAAGCCGTTCCCCCGATCCTTTCGGGTCGCGTCGATGGCGTGCACCGCGCGGGCCGCGGTTCCGCCCTAGGCGCCTAGGACGGCTCGCGTCGCCCCCGAGGCCGTCGCGGACCGCCCCCAGCGAGGCGTTCCGCCCGTCATCGGTGCGCGCGCCGTAGCATGACAGAGGCACTAGCCTGCAGGCCACGCTCGGTTTTTTGGGCAAGTGCCCAGTGCTCCGTGCGTTTGAAGCATTGATATTGTGTGTGTGACAACTCTGAGGTCCTCATTGCGCAGAGGCAGTATTCGCAAGCGCACGAAGCTGGGGTGTACGCCCGCCTCAAATTTGTAACCCAGAGCACTGTGCCGGAGCACGCAGCATAAAAGCGGCAGGAAGATGGGCCCGCACCGATAACGCTCGACTCATACGAACCGCAGCACCGCGCTGCGCCAGACGCCAAGAAACCATGGCCTCGACGCCGCGCAACGGCATCGCCGACCTAAGTCTCGAGGACGACGATAGCATCAAAAAGATGTCCGAGGTCGCGAAGTTCGCGCGGCAGAACAACATCCCCGGCTACCGCCCGAACGGCCACCATCCCGTCCCGAAGCCCCAGAAGCAGCGGAGCGAGAATTCCATCCGCGAAACGCCGATGTCGGCTTTAAGGAGACGTCTCTCGGGCTGGTTCGGGCTTTCGACGTCGAAGCCGCCTAGGCGAGCGAACTCGCTCCCGGGCAAGATCTCGAGGGACGACAGTGAACACGCTCTTTCGGAACTGAAGCAGTCGCTCAGTCAGTCGCCGCGCTGGCAACGTCGGAGAAAAAGCGTGCCGAAGCCGCCTCCCAAACCTAGGATGCCGCCGCCTCCCCCCAGAACGGCTCCTTGTTCGGACTGGCGCGAGTTGCAGTCCGCGCGCGGCATCGCTCAAGCTCTACGAGCGGGTAGGAGGCAGCTCGTCGTCTTTTTAGATTATGATGGAACTTTAACACCGATCGTGTCGGATCCCGACGCCGCTACTTTGTCTGATCATATGCGAGACGCGGTCGGGAAATTAAGTGATAGAGCGACGGTCGCGATCGTGTCCGGACGCGCTAGGGAAAAACTCCGGAACTTCGTGCAGCTGCCCGAGCTGTACTACGCGGGGTCGCACGGCTTTGACATCGACGGGCCGGGCGGTCTTCATGCGGCGTCCTCTTTTTTATGCCGTCGTGCGCCATCGACGAAGCGTCCGATTTTATTCCGGCGCTGGCGTCGAGGGCGTCGCGGCGATGGCGTCGCGGCGTCGCGTCGATGGCGTGCGTTCACCTCGTCGGCGCGCCACCGCTACGCCGGCGCCGCAGAGTCACGTCGACGGCGTGCGTCAACCGCGACGCCGCCGCCGCGGCCGCGAGAGAGTCCCCACCGGTACGCCGTCGCCGCGAGAGCCCGCCGCGACCGACCGCCCGCAGGCCTCCGCCACTCCGTGAGCAGCGAGATGGTTCCTGTATTGAGAGCAGCGAGAGATTTACTTATAGAGAGACTACAAGTCATCGAGGGCTCGAGCGTCGAGGACAACCGCTTCTCCGTGAGCGTGCACTGGCGCAACGTCGCACCGACAGACAGGCCCGCCGTCGAGGCCATCGTCGACTCGACACTACGCGAAGCGCCCTTCGCCGGTGTTTTAAGAAAGAATTCCGGCAAGTGCGTCTACGAACTGAGACCTGACGTAAAATGGGACAAGGGCGAAGCGGTTCTCTATTTACTGGAGCTACTGCGACGCAGAGAAACGGACTTTGATGAATATGGCGACGACGACGGCGTGCCAGAGGAGCGAATAGCGGGTTTTACGGAGGACGAGTGGTACGGGGGTGTCCTGCCCGTGTATGTGGGCGACGACGTCACCGATGAAGATGCTTTCAAAGCGATCGCGCCCTTCGGCGCCGTTTCCGTGCTCGTGTGTCCGTCGGGCGATAAGGTCGAGCGGCCGCGGGCGACGCACGCGACGCACACGCTGAAAGATGTGGACGACGTCCGGGCGTTCGTCGACGAGCTGGCGTCGGCGTGCGCGGCGCGGCCGTCGGTGCGGGGGAGGTAATTATGTGGGGCTTCTTTTCCCTCGTCTGGACCCGCTCCTGGTCCCTGGGCCGCTTCACACGCCTCCGCGCGCCGTCGACGCGACGCGGAGCCTGGTCTCTGCGTAGGTGGAGCCTGACGTAGGTAGCTTCTCCAAATGTACCTACGTAGGTACCTACGGCCTCCACGATCTGCGTAGGTACCTACGTAGCCTGACGTAGGACCTACGCTGTGACCAGGACGCGGAGTGTGTACAAGACCGGACATGCTGCGTGCATCCGTCGCGGCGAGGCGTCCGGAGGCCTCGCCTGGGCGGCCTGGCCGATTCTGAGGACGGATGAGCCCCGAGAAGTGAGAAGTTGCCTGGGCTTTCAGGAAGCTTCCTGAGAGGGCAGCATAAAAGCACAAACATATCAAGTCAGATCCGCATCTCGCAGCAGAGTGCACCAATTTCGACACTAATAGAATCAAAGATGAACAACGAAACGTGGCAGAAGCCCACCTGGACACGGGCAGCGTCGGCCGAATCCTTGGCATGGATGGCAGCCAGTGCCTCTGCGGCAAGCGACGAGACCTGGCAGCGATCCTGGGTCCGGGCAGCCTCGGTGGAGGCGAACGCGTGGCGCGAAGCTACCGCGCGTCCCCGCGGCGCGACCGCAATGACGGAGACTTGGCGGCGCCCGGCGTGGGCGCGGTGCGCGTCGGCCGAGGCGAACGCCTGGGCGGCGGCCGCGGCCGCGGCACGGTGACGATGCCTGGTGCCGCTCGCTCGTCGAACGCGCTTCGTCTGCGCACCTCATCATTCCTTCCCGCCCCGTCCGCGATATCCCCCCAAGAACGTAAGATATTGTGTTGATGACCTTAAATCCTAGTGTTCATTTCTGGGGGTCTTATGTCGGTACTATGTACGGGCCGCGTGCCGCCGTATCGTGGCGCCCGACGCCGTGTCGCGATGGTGACGCGTCGACGGCGGGCGTGGGAGGTATGCTGTTATGAGAGGCGAGGGAAGCGCCCGCCGCCGATGAATGGGCGGCGCGCGGTGTTTCTCTCCCACGGGGCTGCGTCAAATAGTCATGATTCCCAAAGGGAAACTAAGGTTGATCAATTTTCTTTGTGTGCGGGTTTTACCAGCCGGAGTTTTCGCCATAGGTACCAAGAAGGGCTCGGCGGGCCCCTGGCAACCCCTTTGACCTGTGGCGACGCCTTCAAGCGACGCCGCCGCGTATCTCTACCTGAAGCGCGTTCCTCTGGAGGCGCGACAAAAAACGCCTATCCCAGACCCCTAGTGCGCCCCCAGCCCTCCGCTGCTGCGCAACGTCTTCACTCCCACCTACACTAAGCTACGAAGACCGCGCGGCGGCTTATTTTAGCGCGATGGCCCGCTCCTTGTAAATTGCAAGGTCGGCTACAAATTTGGTGCGCTCGAGACTCGACGCCCCCTCCGTTCACACCATGGCTACTCTCCAACGCCCCGCGCTCCGCCGCACCGCCGCAACGCAACCGATCCGCGCCTCCTTCTTTGATGACTCGAACGACGCGCGCAATTCGCCGGAAGCTCAACAGCTCCGGGAGCAGATCACGACGGTCTACACGAACACGCCGTTCCGCGGGCCCGCCTTCCAGCTGCCCTCGGGCGCCGTCGTCGTCGAGGACATGTGGCTCGCCTCGCTCAACACGACTATTGATGAAATCCTCGACTCGGGCCTCGACGGCCTCAAGACCTTCGCTAATGTAGAAAACAGAAAGCACGGTTGGGTCGGGAAATGGCTGAAACACAAGGTTGGATTGGAAGGCAACGACCTGCAGAAGATGCAGTACAAGGCCCTAGAGAATGACATCTGGCCCGACACAGTTACGCCGCCGATGCCTATCGTGCCTGAGCCGCAGCCCGTGATTTGTAGGGGCCTCCCCGCGGACCTCATGGACTTCCAGCACCAGCCGCTCCGGGAGGTCGAGGTCTACCGCGACCTCGGCGGCTTCGAGATGCCCGAGGAGGCCAAGCCGGAGGGCGAGGAGGACGAGGAGAAGAAGGCCGACGACATGGCCGAGGGCGCTTGAGCCCGGCGCTGCCGGCGCGCCGGGCGCGTCGGCGGCGGCGGGCACCGGGGCTTGGCGTACCGCGCGTCGCTAGGACGCGTGTTGATCGCCGGCCGCGGGCACCTGTTACCCCCTGTGAGGAGGTGTTCGGGGGGGCGTAACTTCGAGCATCTTTGGACTTGGATCTTTGTTCCAGCTCACGACCTGCGGCGTGCTGGGAGGCGTGCTCCCGGAAGTTCCGCGGCGCCCCCGGCCAATTCACAGATCCGCCTCGATAGCGCAAGCAAACGACCTCCCAAATTCACGATTCACCATAGTCGGCCGCGACCAACTATTTCAGAGTAGCGGCCCAGGAAGATATTCTCGAGGCTCCCGGAAGACACTGCCCCGCGGCGACATTCGCGGATGAAACTTACGGCTTGCGAAAGTAGACCAGCGATTGACGCCGCCTTCTACTATCTAATTGGTACATTATATCAACTCCAGCCCAGTTTTCATACACAATCGACGGAACCGGAGCCGACCGCCCGCGCTGGGGGCGCGTAAGGCGAATCCATGTGTTCACGTGCGGTCCGGACGCCGTCGCCGATAGAGCCAAGGAATAAAAAACACCGCCGCCTTACAACACCACGAGCGGATAGGGGGGGAAGAAGGGGGTAATCAGACAGGTCCTCTCACGGCGGCACGACCGCGACGGCGCCCGCGACGGCCGCGAGCGCGCCGTGCAGCGCGTCGAGGTCGCGGCGGCGCCAGGGCGGCGCCGCGAATTTGAGGAGCGGCGCGCCGCCCTTCGTCACGGAGAAGGTGCAGTAGCGCTCCGTCCGCGTCGAGAGCGGCGTCGGCGGCAGCGACGAGACGCTCTCGTCGCCCTCGTCGGACGACGTCTCCTCGCGCACGTCGGCGAGCACGCGGCGGAAGCGCACGCGGCCGCGCGGCGGCGACGGCGGCGCGTCGGCGTTGATGACGGGCGAGACGGCATGTTCGCCGGACAGGGAGAGGTGAAACTTCGCGATGTTGTCGTGGCGGTGCGCGTGCCACGCGCGTCTTTCTTCATCACTGCGGAAGATGCGCAAGTTTCCGTGAACTCGGTCGACCGAGAACGCCGCGGGCCGCCACTGGAGCTTCGGGCCGCTGCGGCAGCGCGCCAAGACGGAGACGGCGCCCTCGACGTAGGTCGTCGTTGTTTTTGGTGGCGACGGCGGCGGCGTCGACGCGCGCTCGAGGGCGGCGGCGCCGGTCGCGACGGTCACCGGAGACGTTCTGCACAGAGCGTCAGCGTCGTCGAGCTTGTCGAGGCTGTTGAGGCTCACGATGCGCGCGGGCTGCGCTTCCGGGGCGGCGGCGATGGCCTGGCAGCGCTGCGCGAGCGCGGCCATGCCGCGCGCGCGCGGTTGTAGTTGATGTGTTGCGAGGTTCAAACTCTGCGTGTTCGCGCGCGGCGCCCGGCGCGCAGAAGTTGCTCGAACTCGCGCGGCGACCAGTCTAGTATATGTAGAAGCTGCGTCGCTGCTTGTAGTCACAATGGGTGCAGTCTAGGCTTCAGTCGAAGACGCGCTGCATCGATGCGTGTCTCTGTGATTCCGGGGCTCCGAGGCTGATGGGTGCACGCACCCCCACGAAAGTACCCAGTCCACGGCTCCAGGCACGCGTCTCGGACACCTAGAACCGCCGAAGACGCGTCGGCGGCCCAGCTTCGTCTAAGCACCCGCCCGCGGGCCGCGCGACGCCAAAGACACGTCTCGGACCAAAGCGCCCACGGGGGGACGCACGCCTAGCATCGGGCGGTGTCCGAAACACGCCATCGATGCCGAAACCCCGCCAAAAACGTCGCCACGGGCAACCGCGCGGGCCAGTGATCAATGGAGCGCCCCGACCTAGAAGACAAATACCGAATTCGGCCCCTTCGCCACATTACGTGCGCGTGGGGGAGCGGGGACCGATTTTCATCATGAAGGGGAAGCCTCGGCTACGAGGCGGGGAATGAGTCCGCCGGCGGGATCGACGGCACCGAGGCTGCTGGTGGAGGCGAGCCTACTGCTGCCGCCGCGACCGCAGCGGACAGGTCCGCCGGCGGTCTAATCGCGGTAATGGCCTCCTTGGACCGCGACCGCGGCAGGTCCGAGGCAGGCAGGCCCGCGGAGAGACCGCCCACGCTCAAGCCCTGGTCGCCGCGCGCGCGCAGGAAGTCCCGGGAGCCGAAGGCGCCCAAATTCGCGCCGTTCTGCGACTCGGACCACCGCCAGTCGTCCAAATTCAGCGAGTCGACGTCGGCAATATTCAAATCCCAGTCATCGGACGCTAATGAGCTTTTGGACGTCGTCCGCCGCCCGGCCTGGAAGGCCGTCTGCTTCCGTTGCTGGTGGCCGATGTCGGCCATCTGGCCGGCAGAACCGACGGAGTGGATCGACTGGTGCGACGCCATGCGTTTCCGCAACCCATCATTCAGCGGTGCCGAGTCGAGGAACCGCGACAGGGACGCACCAGACGTCACGCCGGACAGCTGCCCCCCCGAATCGGCTCTGGCAGGAGGCGGCCGCATGTGGCCCGCGGCCGCGTCGGCGGCGGCGGCGGCCTGGCCGCCGTGCTGGGCCTGCGCGCGCGTTCGTTGTGTGTCGGCGCGTCGTCGGCCTCTCGGGGCGTCGCCGGCGTCGTCGACGGCGCCACAGCGACAACGCGACGCCACCGACAAGACAAGGGACGCCGCTCAAAACCTTCTGCGCCTGCACCAGACCATCCAACTCGGACAGTAGCGCTTCATCCGAGATGATGGGCGGCGGCGGCAGCTGCGGCAACACCGCGCTCATGGGCGGCAAGGGAACGGACGCGTGCATGGGCGGCTGCGACGAGCCCCAGCCCGCATTTAAGTCGTCTTGCTGCCGGGTCGCATATCTACCAGTAGAATGGTTCTCCCGCTCCTGCTCCTGTTGTTGTTGTTTTTTCTTCGCACCCGAGCCCTGCCTTCGCGATCTCTTAATCCCGCGCAGCAGATGCGGTTCGCCCTTTTGGAAAAATTTGTGCCAATAAGCACCTGAACTCTGTCCTTGCGTAATGCGCCGAAACCCGTACAAATTCAGCTGTCGGATGAAGGACGCCCACTTGTTGTGGCAGAAGTGGGCCGGCAGGACCTCCTCGCAGAAGCGGTTCAGGTCCCTTACTATAAAAGCTAGGCCGTTCTCGCACCACGTGACGATCGCCTCGTCCTCGGGCACTTGCGAGTGGCCGTCCACCAAGTCGTAGAGTTTCGCGGGGAACCTGCGTGGTCGACGGCGTTTTCGCGGCGATGGCGTCGCGGCGGACGTGGCTCTACGCCTCCGGCACGCCGTCGCGGCGGCGGCTCCATCGTTGGCGCGAGGCCGTTCGACGTAAAACGCCGACTCGGCCCGAAAAAGTTGAAGCCCGCGGGGCGGCGGTTCACGCCGCGAAGCGGTGCCGGGACGCTGTCCGACGCACGAGCCGCGCGCGCTCTTCTGCTCGGCCATTATTTCGGCCGCGTTACACGCTTTTTGCTGTTCAGTGCCCGGCCGCGCTCAGTCTGTCCGGCGCGGCGCGCGCTAATTTTCACAGGCGGGCTTCGTTCGCAGCGCCAAAAAGCTATCACAGATCTTGCGTCGCGTTGGGGCGCGCCAATCGCGCGTACTCGGAGCGACTATAGTTTGGCTGTGCGGAGGCGGCTTTGTCAAGGCCTCCGTCCCACCCCTATCGGCCGGCCCACCCGCGGGAGGGGTCCGAACGCATCCCTCTGGACGCACTCCGGACGCCTATGTTGCCACGCGGAGGGCAAAGGCAAAATGCCGCCTCCGCGTGCAGAGCGCCCGGCCTATGACTCAACCAGACGCCTATCGCGCCGGACGAGGCCTAATGGTACGCCTGGCAGGCGGCGGCCGGTGGCGAAGCCGCCGTTTTGCTCGACGAGCCCACACTGGCAAAAAAGCAGGTCGTCCCGGCGCCAGAGGGTGAAACCGCGACCGCTGCTGCCCAACACAACGCGCAGCGTAGCGTATACACACGCACCGCGCTCGCGGCCGCAAGGGCTGCCCTGCCAAGACAGTACATCTAGACAGTACCACAAGGGCTGCCTTGGGCTCGCAAGATGGCGTCGACAGCAAGACCGGAAGCGTCGACAGCACACCCGGAAGCGGCGTCGACGACGCCAACGGCGGAAGAGACCCTCGACGAATTGCTACGAGACGCCCCGAGGAACGCCGAAGCGCGCGCGCGCCAGGAGGCGGCGTGGGACCTCCAGGGCAAAGAAGACGCGCGACGCCTGCTCTACGAGCGGGAAGTAGCTGAGAGACACTCAAAATTACTAGCAGCATCGATCAACGCCTTCTGGCGCGCCGAAGTCTTGGCCCAGGGCCACGAGCAAGGCGCTTTACCGCTACCGAAGGAGACCGTGGCTTTGATAGGGGAGTTCGCCGAGCCCACCGCGGACCTTGTGGTTAATGAGGCGATCCGCCGGCGCGAGGGCGGCGCGGCGAAGCCCGTGTCGAGGTTGGCGCCGCCGTCGGCCCGTGTGGCCGGTCCGCACGCCGCGTCCAGGCCGTCGCCGCCGGAGGAAAACGCGTGCAAGGAGCGGCGCGACGGCGGTGTGAAGATCTACGCGCGGATACGACCTACCGCTGGCGAGGGATCGGTCCGCGTAGTCGAGCGGTCGAGCGGCGACGCCGTCATGCTACACGAGGCGAAGCTGAGCCGCTCACATCGGACGTTCGCGTGCCGGCACCATCGCGTGGCGGTCGACGGCGTCTTCGAGCGCTCATCGACAGAAGTCCTGGAGAAGGTCGTCGACCCATTGATCGACGACGTCCTGCGAGGCAGCGCGGCGACGCTGTTACTTTTTGGGCAGACGGGGACCGGGAAGACGCATACTCTGAGAGAGGCGTTGACGCGCTTCGTATCCAGGATAGACACTGAATGTACAGTGCGCTTCGTGGAGCTGGCAGGGAAAGCTTGTCGGGATCTGCTGAACGACGCGTCATCAGTAAAGCTGCTGAGTGATAGCAATGATGTAGTTCATTTCAAGGGCGCGCCGCCGCGCGTCTGTCCTGATAGCAAGGCGTTGCGAAACACTCTGGACGAGGGCCTTGCATTACGAAGTTCAGTACAGACGGAACGGAACGCGGCATCCTCAAGGTCGCACGCCGTCGTCGAAATCTCCATCAATGACGTGACCATGACCTTCGTGGACCTCGCCGGGTCGGAACGGAAGTGGGAGACGATGCAAATGAGGGGCCGGCAGCACCAGCGCGAGTCCGCGGACATTAACTTGAGCCTGATGGCGCTCAAGGATTGTTTTAGGGCGCGCTACGAGGGGCGGCGGATCCCGTATCGAGCTCATAACTTGACGCGGGTCTTGCGGAAATGCTTCGACGAGTGCTCCGTGGCCATCGTCTCCACATTATCAGCGGCGCCCGAGGATCTCATTCATTCCCTCTACTCGCTGGAGACGGTCTGCCTCATGGCTCCTGACCTGATGACCAAGTCCGTGGTGGAGACGTCGCGACTGTTCGCCGAGACGGGCTCGGTGGTCGGCGGCGATCCCATGGAGTGGGGCGCGGAGCAGTTCCACCCCGTGTGGAAATCAAATCGATGCGATGCTATCTCCGTGAGTGGGCCTGCTCGATGGCGTGGAGGTTCGCGAAAGTCTAACCTAGCTCACTGGTTGATTTCCACACAGGTTCCATCGCTGGCTCCTCACGGCCGAAAACGGGCGCTTCTCGCACGTCGTCGTGCCCGAGGGCACGACGGGCAAGGAGTTGTTGGGTATGAACGGCGCGGCGTTGGGGGCGCTATTTGCGGGCACTGGACGGGAAGGGAGGGCTTCGAACGAAGGTAGTGTCTGGACGATAGAGGCCATGGGCGGCCGGGGCCTCGCGAAGGAGATGGTCGCGGCGCTGCGGCGCGAGGCGTGCCGCTGGCGGATCGGGTAATGTGTTTTCTGGAGTCTTAGGGGGGGGGAGGCTCAGGACGGCGGCGGCTTGACGACCTCGCCCTCGACGACCTTCGGCGAGCCGCTCGCCGGCGCGGCGGGGTCGACCTTGGCGTCGGCGGCGTGCGCACCCGTATGCGTGATCTTCTCGATGGCGTCGCCGATCGTGGCCACGGGGCGGTCGAGGAACTCGTTGACCTTGTCCATCACGCCGCCCTTGGCGGGCGCGGGCGCGGCGGCGGCGGCGTCTGTCTTAGTCTTTTCGGCGTCGGCCATCGTTCTAGCTACCTGCGCGGAAGGCCGGCGCGTTCACGCGAAGCGCGCGCGCGGACGATCGACCGCGCCAGCCGCCGCGCAGTCCCGCGCTTTCATTCCCCTCGTGGCTTGGGGGTGGCGAGCGAGTCTCTCGTCCGCCGCGGACTAGTGTTTTTTTTTCCATGCACACACAGGATGTGTACTTTAACTCTGCTTGTGAGCGTTGTGTGGTCGCGGATGCGACGCAGAGATGAGAGTGAGTCGGTGAGATCCACGGAGGCTATCGCGAAACGCGAAGGCGGCGTGAAACTGGTGGTCGAGTGCCTGGTGTGCTAGCGGCATGTAAGACCACTAGCAACCGGATGGGTGGGCCCGGGGAGCGAAAGGGTACGGGGGACCCCGCGACGTAACTAGCCTGAGCCTGAGCGCCTGAGCCGCGCCAGGCTAGTCCTAGCACCGTAACAATATCGAGCCGACGCCAGGGGCTCCGCCCACTAGTCCTAGCACCGTAAAAATAATCTTGGCGGCGCGTGTGGGGGGGCGGCTCGCAAAAAACACACGAGATACTTACGGCACGAAGCGCCCGTCGCGCGCGATCGGCGGCAATTGCCTAATGGAAGGCCACTGCGGCACGTCGCCCGTCAAAGGCACCAGCCGACAAGGGCCGCCTCTTCGTAACTCGAAGTGCGCATCACTACTGGTAACTTCCCAGACCCCGAAGTAGCCCTCGTCCTCCGCGCCACTCCACAACACGTGCGCGACGTGGCCGGATCTTCCAGCTCGCGCCTCGAACTCCGTCCCGTACGTCTTCGAAAAATGCAACACTTTGGCACCCAAGCTATCGCGCTTCGCCGTGCCTCTGACACTAAAATCGCCGAGTGAATCCATGCCGCGGCCACTGATCTCGTCGTCGTCGATCGTCAGCGTTATTGGGGCACAATCTCTGAGACTGCCACTCGAGTGGTGGCATATGAACTCAAATTCATTCGTGGAGAGGAAAGCAGACTCATCTGTTGTCGAGAAGGTGTCCGGTGGTAAAGCAATACTGTGATGGGGCAGCATCAAGTTGTTCAATGCGCGAGCGGCGGCTCGACACCCAGGAGCCTGGCAGTACGAGTCGCGCTCCCTCCTTCTCAAGTCGGCCTGAGCCTGGGCGGCCTGGCGCATGCGCTGCTGGGGAGATGAGGCATTTAAGTGAGCGAAGGGCCGCGACGGGATGTGGAGGGCCACTCTAGCTGTCGGCGAGGACAATAACGCCGCTAAGGGTCGCCGCGCATCGCACGCTCGCAGCTGGTCCAACACCGCGTCCTGCCGTTGGGCACAACAGATCAGATTAGCTAAAGTAGCCGCCGCGAGCCCGCGCAAGGCACCGAGTTCGTTGGATAAGAAGGCCACAAAGAGCGCGACGCCGCCCGCATCAACTAAACGAGAAGCACCCACCGACCAGTGCGCGCACGCCGCGAGGCAACAAGCTTCCAGTGCTGGTAATGCGCGTTTTCTACCTTCCGCGCCCAGCGAATGCACCCTAGCAACGACGTCGCCCGCAAACGCGCCAGCACCCGGCAGGGGATGCGACACCTCGCCGCGTCTTCTACTTGAAAGTGTCCGGGGCTCGATGTCCGATCTTCTACGTGAAGATATCTCCCCGCCGAACTCCTGCACAAATTTCAGAGCGAGACCGGCCACAGCTGCGCTTCTCAAAACGCAGCTCTTCTCATCATCATTTTCATCTGATGCCAACCAAGGGCACCGCTCGAGCTGGTCTCTACGAAAGAGAGACCGCCAGACCGCGTCGCCGACACTTTCGTCCATCCACCGTTTTGTGGACGAAGAACAGCGCGCATATATCAGTAGAGAATCACCCTCCAGAAATTGACACACGTACGTCCCACAATCATCATCGACGGTGTGTGGACCGCGCTCGGGCACGACCTCGGGCGCCTCGTCGACGGGTTCTGGTGGAGGCGCGTCTCGTTCCTTGACGAGCGCATCAAAACACTTGAGCGAGGTCCGCAGTCTCTCAATACCAGCTCGCGCTTCTCCTTGCGAGGCCGCGACGGCGTCGAGCGACCGCTGGGATTCGAGAAGCCAGGCCGGCAGTAAGGACTTCTTGCGGACGACGGGGGGCAGCGGCGGCGTCGTCGCGGCGGCGGGAGCGGGAGCCTCTGCTTCTGTTGGTGGGGAGAGGCTCCGCACCGGTGGCAGGGGCGTCGTCGCGGCGTCGTCGTCGTCGTCGGCCATTGGGGCGGTGTCTCGGGCAGTCCTCTGCAGAAGTGCGGGCAGCCTGGCCCCCGAACAGTGCAGCCCAGCGCCCCGTGAGGCGCTCTGCGTAGACACACTAGGATATGACAAGCAGCCGTCCGAGTACCGTTCGGTTCGCTACTGGTCCAAAGGGATCAATGGGACACTTACCGGGGGCCAAAAATAGTAATTTCTTGATTCGCGTCGCGCCGATTGACGATCCCACCATGGCGACCTGGACTCCTTTGACTGCACCAGAAGGATGGCGGTTGTTCGCAAGAGCGGCTAGTGGGACGCCTTGAGAAAAGTCTCGAAATTACCATATTTACACTAAGAGATATATACACAACAATCACGCCTTCCGCCGCACGAGCCACGGCAGCGCGCACAAGCACAACCCTACAAAAGCCGCGCCGACGTAGTGGCCGCCGCCGGCCCCGGAGGCGACAAGCCTCGTCGGTGAAGCCAGGACCGCGCGCCGCCAATGCAAAGCCAAATCAGCGTACGCCTCGACGCGCGAGTCGCCCCAGAAGGTGCCGCCCTCGGTCCACATCCGCTGCGCGTCCCAATTGTCATTGATGTAGCACCAGACCGCAACGCGCTCCTCCCGAACGAACGCGAGCACGGGCTCGTACCAGCGCTCCCAGATCGTGTCCCTCGATTCCGCATCACCGACGCCGAAGGGCGTCGACTCGGCGACCATCAGCGGCTTTTTGTGGTCGCGGCAGAAGCGAGCGATATCTTTAGCAGTCGCGAGGTCACCCATCGGACTGTCGCCGTAGGCCTGCTGGAAGATCGAAACGCCGCAGAAGTCCACCTTGTTCTCCCCGGGCCACCACTCCTCGTAGGAGTGCCCTTCGTAAGTTTCTGGAAACGACCACGAGTGCCACACTCGGACGGCGTTCGGCTCGTGTCGCAGCGCGTCGGCTATCCGTGAGTAAGCTACCTTGTAGCTGACGGGGTCGTACTCGTTCTGGGGGTTGTCGAACTCGTAGCCTATCCTTATATAGATTTTGCGGGGCGCCGCCCATCTCACAAAATTGACGAGCTCGGAGATGGCGTCATCCCAAAAGCCATTGTTTATATCATCAAGGCCGCCCACCAACCACAACCCGAGCTGCAGGTCGGCGTCGGGCAGCGATTCGAGGAGGCGTGACGCGTGCTCGACGCCGGAGCCGTACTCGGTACCGTTCCACAGTGCTGCGGTGAGGTTGTAGAGCGACGCATAGGACATGACGCAGGCCGGCTTGCCCATCACTGCGGTGTAGTTCATGATGCTCCAGTAGTCCTGGCCGACGCAGAGCTCGTAGGCTTGGGTGGCTGCGAGGAGCGGGAGCAGGCGGCGCATGGCTGCAGTGGCTGGGAGAGCAGCCTCTCAGACAAGGCTGGTGTTCAGTGTAATCAGCGGTTCACTTGCCGTCGCAGCGGTATACCACAAGAGCGTCTCTCGCGAGCGATGCCACCTCTAACTATGCATCGCTGCGCATCGAGCGGCTCCCAAGACGATTTTGGCCGCGAACACCGCACGAAAAATTGTGGTGGGTGTCTAGATCCCTCCTGCGGGTTTGTCAGGCTTCCGTTGACGGCTCCAGGCGGTTCGAAGGCACGCTAAGCGCGAGAGGCGAGGGCCGCTTGGATTGCAAGCCCAGGTTGGCAACAAGTTACGGTCGCTGTCTGCGCGGATATACGGCAAAATTTCGACGTGAGATACTGTCGAGACTTCTAATACTACAATTTGGAGCCACGGAGCGAGTTTAGTGCTGCGAGGCCCGCGGGCGGGCGAGATACAGCCTCTACACGCAAGCCTGTGAGCCGGCCTGCAAATGCGCGCGCTAGCCTAGGAGCGATCAAAAATCGCCGCTGGCGACGCTGTACAAGCCCATGCCTCGCCCTGCGCGAGCGGGTGCTGCGTCGGCCGCATCTTGGCTCCGCGGGCGGGCGCCGGCCGCGGCGGTCGCCGAGAGGCCCAGAGAGTGCACCCACGACGCAGAGAGACGAAGCCGACCGCGAGGACAACCGACCGAGAGTTACCCGCCCGCCCCCTCGCAGAAACGGAACGATGCAGAAGATCGTCGCTGCCCTCGCGCTCACGGGCGCCGCGGCGTTCGTCGCCCCGGTGGCGCCGGCCGCGGGCACGGCCTTGAACGGCAAGGAAGAGATGGTCGCCCTCGCCGAGTCGAACCCCGACCTCCTCGGCCGGACCATCGGCTTTTGGGATCCGTTCAACCTCATCGCCGAGGGCGACTTCTGGGGCCTCGGCAACGAGGCGACCATCGGCTACCTGCGCCACGCCGAGATCAAGCACGGCCGCGTCGCCATGGCCGCGTTCCTCGGCTTCATCGTCCAGTCGCTCCCGGTCGTGTCGGGCGAGCACTGGTTCGCGCCGTACCGCGGCTACGTCGCCGGCGTGAGCCCCCAGGAACAATGGGACAACGTCCCGGCCATCGGCAAGCTCCAGATCCTCGTGGCCATCGGCATGCTCGAGTCGTACGGCGAGGGCGCCGGCAACCCGGAGGGCTACGTGCACTACTGCAACGGCGGCCTCCCGGGCTACTTCCCCCCCATCGCCGGCCGCGCCGGTTTCGGCCAGGTTGGCTTCAACCTCTACGACCCCTTCAACTGGTTCGACTCCGCCTACCCGGGCAAGGACAAGGTACAGAGCCGTGTGCAAATACGCCATCGACGCGACGTCGTTTCCGTGACAGCGAGCAATCTCCTCACCGATTGGTTTCCTCGCAGGCCCGCGGGCGCCAGGTCGAGATCAACAACGGCCGTGCGGCCATGCTCGGCATCTTCATGATGCTCTCGGAGTCGGCGGTCCCGGGCGCTGTCCCGCCGCTTACGCTCATCAACTACATCGTCGACGCGTCGGGCCTCACGGAGCTCAATTTCCCGTCGATCGACCTCCCGGTCATCGGCACGGTGGGCGGCTGGGCGTTCCTCAACTCGTTCCCGTCCTACACGCCGTCCGACGACCTCTCCATCGTCACGGCGCTGTCCCAGTTCTCGACGCCGGGCAACGCGCTCGCTCCTTAGGGAATTTTTTGGGAAAAGGCGACCGCGCCGGTTGGGGGCGCGTAATGTTGACCCATCTTTACCTAGTCTTACACGGCGACCGCGCGTCAGAAATGGCCCCCACTGGCAGAAGGCCTCGCTCGCAGGGTGGCGCACGACGCACGCCGTCGCGGCGATGACGTGGAGATACGCACGCCGCCGACTCGGACGCGAATTCCGACGCGGCCGCCGCGCCGCACTAGTATTAACGATCAATCAATTACGCCTCAGAAGGGCGGCGGCGCCTCGTCACCTCTTGAAAAGTGCCGCGACGCCGGCGGCAGCGGGCACCGCTTGCCGTGCTGGACGGCCGCGGGCGCGTGCGCGAAAGTGCGATCACACCCGGCGGGGCAGGGAAAGCGGCCCCGCTCGTCGCGCGGACCGAGGCAGCCGGGCTGCGCCCGAGGACGCGCTCTGTCACGTCTTTGCGCCCCAGCTTGGGTTTCTGGCGCGCGGGGATACCCGCTCGTCCGAGAAAACGGCAGACACACCTGTGGGGGTTGCGGCCGCGGCCGGACCGCATTTCTACGTCTAGCTGCGGATGCCACCTGGCTCAAGGCAGCCGCGATGTCCACGGGGTCCGCTCGAGCGAGCCAGGGCGACGGCGCCCACGACGACGGGACCTTGACGTCGACGCTCTTCGATGTTCGAGACCGTTTGATGGGTTCCTCATCATCACTCACATCGTCCTCGTGGTACTCGTCGTCATCGTAGTCCATGCGCGTGACCATCTTGTGGTGGGACCGCTTGACCGGCTTCGTATCACTTGTAACGCGAGACAGGGCGCTCAACAATAGTCCAGGAGCCAAAGTTTGGGCCTCAGAGACGCCGTGCATCGCCGGCGTCAGGTAGACCTCCTCGAGGCACTCGTCCTGCGACCCGTCCTCGTAGACCACGTCATATGTGCCGTTGTCCCGCACGGCTTGCACGGTGGCCGCATAGTAGGTCGGTCCTCTTCTATATCTCGCTCGGACCCGCTGACGGCATTTGTATCGCGGCGTATATAAATTCAGAAATCTCAAAATTTCATCATCGCTCTTGAACACAGTAGTGCCATCCGAGGCTTCGAAGGTCGCCTGCGTGCCGTGCAAGTTCTTCAGGCTAGGTTGCACGGAGAAGGTCCAGGAGTCGCGGATCTCCGAAGCTTTTTCATAAGCGCCACCGGCCGCCAACACCTTTGCAACAACACTCGTCCGCCAGGCGTCCTGCATGGCCCGCCACTTCGTGTCCGTCTTCGTGCGCAGACAGTCGTGGGCCGTCCTCATCGATTGATCGTCGTCCTCGCATTTTGCCGCATGCGCTATGGCCGACGGCGGCCGCGGCGCGAAGAGATCTGGGGGCGGTTTGTCGGTGTTGTCGAACTGGGGCACGAAGCGCGGCCGGCCTTCCTCATCTAAGCGCACATCTAACCGTAGCGGGCCGCCGACGCGTATTTGCGGTGGTGGTGCGTCGGTCTTGAGCTGCTCCAGGGCCGGTAGGGCGGCTGCGGGTATGGCGGCTATTGCTGGTGAGGCGGGCGGCGGCGGCGGCGCCGTGTCCAGGGCGTCCAGCGCCTGCAGCGCCGCGGCGGCCGGCGACGGGGCGGGCGCTGGTGGCGCCTCGCCGCGCGCCGCGGCCTGCTCGCGCGCGTAGGCCTCGCGGAGCGCCGCCGCCGTCGGCGCCGCCGCGAGGCGCCTTGCTTCTTCCGTCGCCGCGTCGGGTATAGCGGGCGGCGGCGGCGCTGTTGCTTCGGCCGGCGGCGCCTCGGGGGCCGGCGCGGGCGCCGGCGGCGCGGTGTCCGTCGGCGCGGGGTCCATCGGCGCGGGCGGCTCCGTCGTGGGCGTGGTCACGGTCTGTTCCGGCGCGGGCGGCTCCGGTGCGGCCGGTTCCGGCGCGGCCGGTTCCGGCGCGGCCGGCGCGGGTGCCGGCGCCGGCGGCGCGGCCGCCTCGCCGGCCTCGATGGCCTCGAGCGCCGCGGCCTTCGCCCGCCTCGCGGGCGCCCGGCGCGTTCCCTCGGCGCGGTCCGGCACGGGCGCCTCACTGGCTTCCAGCGCCTCGATCGCCGCGGCCTTCGCCCTCCGCGCGGGCGCCCGGCGCGTGCCCTCGGCGCGTTCCTGCTTGACCTCCGGAGACGCTGCGGCCTTCTCGGCCTCGAGCGCCTCGAGGGCCGCGGCTTTGGCCCGCCTTTGTGGTCTTTTAGCGGAATCTGACGCATTAGAGCTCATTTTGCGCGCAGCCCCTCGGGCGGCCGGGCCGGCTGCCCTCGCAGCCTCCGAGGCGTGGGCGACGCTGCCAACGTGCGCGCCGAAGTGTATGTGGCGCCGGGCGCGAGCGCGTGGGTGCGAGAAATCTCACCCTGGCTGCATCCTCTCTGCAGCCGGGCAGCCGGGCAGCCAGGGGGGGGTATCGCCGCGGTGCCCGAAGACGCGTCGGCCGGGGCGTTTAGTAGTCCTCGGAGCGCCCGCGGGGCGGTCGCCGCCGCCGAGCTTCGGATTCGGCTCCCGCGTTTTCCCCGCGCCCGCACGCCGCGTCTGGACCGCTCCCGAGATCGGCCGCCGGCGCGACTTCCGAGTGGGATTGGACCTGGAGACGTCGCGGCGACGGCGTGTGGACCCCGCCAACACGCCGTCCGGGCGAACGTTGCCCATCGTTCGGGAGGGTTCGCCCCAGTGGAGTCCTAGCACCGTGCAATGTACAGCCACCAACACGCCGTCGCCGCTTGTTAAAATAAACACTTTACCGAGCGAACGTCGACGATAAAAAAGCAAAACCTAGGGCTCCGGCGGCCCCGTTAAAGTCACGCCCGCCGCGCGGACGGCCTCCAGGACGCCCTGGAGCCACGCCTGGAAGGCGAGGATGTCGCCCTTGCCTCGCAGCAGATCCAGCGCCGCCCCGTTATCGGCGGGCCGCGCCGTCGCTACCAAAGCCAACAGCCCGGACGGCGACTGCAGCGACGCCTCGACGGACCGTGTTCCCGGCCCTTCGTCATCGGTCTCGTCCTCCGTCTCCTCCGGCTTCGGCGGCGCATCTTCAGCTAAAGTCGCGCCCGACGCGACGAGCGCTTTCCGCAAAGCCTCGACCACTTGCGTCGGGGACGACGACGACGTCAGCGACTGCACTCTGGTAGACTTCGACGTTTTTAAGGAAGACTTCTTCCGCATCAGCGGCTGTACTACTTGATCAGTAGCCACAGTCGACAGCGACTGGTCCAAAAACCACCGGTCCTTTTGGACGTCCGTGAGTGTCGCCCGCTTCTGGGGATCCGCGACCAACAACGAATCGATCAAGACCTTGACGCCGTCGGAGAAATGAGCTGGATAGGCAAATTCTGCCCGTTTTATTTTGTCAAATAAAGCGGACATCGTGGCTTCGTCAAAAGGTAAGAAACCGGCCAAAAGTACATATAAGATAACTCCAATGGACCAGCAGTCGGCTATTCTTCCTACATATCCTTCATTCTGCAGGACCTCGGGAGCCACGTAGTTCGGCGTGCCGCACGTCGTGTGCAGCATCTGCGACCGCGTACTACCCTCTTCGCCGTCGTACAGGGCTGACAATCCAAAGTCCGAGATTTTCAGGGTGCCCTCTGAGTCCAGCAGCAGGTTCTCGGGCTTGAGGTCGCGGTGCGCGACGCCCTGCGAGTGGCAGTAGGCGACGCCGCTCACGAGTTGTCGGAAGTAGATCCTCGATGCCGCTTCATCTAGTCTACCTCGCTGCACTATGAGATCAAATAATTCCCCTCCAGTAACTAACTCCAATACAATAAATATTTTTGTGCGCGACGCGAGGACCTCCTTAAGCTTGACGACGTTTTCGTGACTTAATTGTTTCATAATACTAATCTCCTTTTTTATCTGCGAGCCCATGGACTGCTTCTGGATGCGTTCCTTGTCTAGTACCTTTATGGCGACTTCGACCCTTGAGCTCACGTGGACGGCATGTTTCACTTTCCCAAAAGTTCCTTCACCTAACGTGCGGCCGATCTCATACTTGCCGACTTGCTTTTTTGCTGCCATCGTCGTTTCGTACGCCTTGGTTTTCGTCTATCGTTTCGTACGCCTTGGTTTGCGTCTATCGTCGCGGCGGCTGCTGGCTCGTCGGCGGCGCGTGCGGCGCGACGGCTGCCGAAACGGACGCGCTGGCTGGGTGGGATGCAGCGGTTGCGGGCGCGCGAGCAACTGGGCGTTTGTCCACGCCTCCAGCGAGTTATGACGCGTCGCTTACAGCTTCCAAGCGATGCGTCGGCCAGCGCGTGGAGCCACAGCGCGTTTTTTTTGCCGGAGTATAATCGGGCTAGCGGCCTGTAACACACTAGCAAGCAAACCAAATCCCAGAAACGTCGCGATTGGTACCAAGCGGGCAGGAGAAGCGTAGTTCCTCGCGGATAGACGCCTCTGGATCAATCCGCGGGCGAGCCAAGACACCGAGGCATCAAACCTATATCTGCCATTATCTGCCCGCGGCGCCTACCGCGACGTAGGGCGACTCGACGACTCGAAAGCTGTTCTCCTCGGCGATCTGCTTCTCGCGGCGCCATTCCTACGCGTTGGCTGGAAATTGCAAGCTAAAGGAAACCCCCGGCCTCAGGCCTCGCCCCGGCGTCGCGTCCTCGCAAGTACGGGGCAAAGGAATTGCGGAAGGAAGCGGACGTCCATGGCGCGCGCCTGGCAAATCCTGGTGGCGGCCCTCGCCGCCGCGCGGCCTGTCGCCGGCGCGCAATCCGCGAGAATTCAAAACTAGGCGTGATCCCGTCAAAAGCGCTCACGGGGCTCCGCGCCTTGGAGGAAGTCCTTCTCCCGAAGGATGTCCGGTACGTCGCGCCGGACGCATTTGCACAGACAGTGACGATCGTACCAGCCACCGGAACAAACGCGAACGTGGGTGTATTATCAAGGCACCCCACGCCATCGACGCGACTGTATCGCACACAGGTCTCTTCGTCGAACTGTACGAGAATAGACACAGAGACGGCAAGGTCGTGTCGCTGAGCAGCCTCGAGAGCGCGCGCGACGGCGCCGCTGACGTCGTCACACCACCGGAGCCTTCTCGGGTGTTGCGCGAGCGCCGGTCCTTCGCGGGCCTCGAGCCCCTCGCCACGGCGGCGCGGGGGCGGCCGAGCTACGCCACCGTCGAGCCGCTGCTCGAGCGCTTGTATCCGCGCACCTTCGAGTGGAGCCGCCAGGCCGCGGACGGCGCGACCATCACCGAACAAGCACCCCTCTTCGGCGACCTGATCGACGCGGTGAAGTGGTACGCCGACCGCAAGGAGGGCGACGCCGGCGAGCCGCCGGACTTCGCACCCGGGACGAACGCGCGCCGGCGCACGCTCCCCAAGACGCCGCCGACGAGGCACGGGCGCTCCTCAAGGCTCCTGTCCGCCATGTCCTTCCGGTCGACGCGGTCCCTAGCCGCCGCGTCCGTCGGCTCGGGCTCGAGCCGCTCGGCCACGTCGTCGAGGAAGTCCTACCTCGGCTGATCCCCTTCCCCTCCTCTGGATAACTTGAACCACCCATTACTTATGGTGCCTACTCTCCGCGTGCGGCCCGACCGCTTTGATGAATGCGTCCTCCTCCACAAAAGGCCTGCCGCCGCACGCCTCCAGCGCCGCCGCCGCGTCCTCTTGATTAAGGCCGCAGCTCTCGGCCAGCGTCGCGAAGCGGTGCGCGTCGCACCTTCCGGTGCTATCGGGGTCCGCGACGCGGAAGAGCCGTCTCGCTCGTTCATCACCAGTGAGTGATTCCTCGGTCCGCCGCCGCCCGCCCTTGACGAGCTCGGACTGCGCGTCGGCGCAGGCGCCGAGGCCCGCCGCGAGCTTTTTGAGCGCGAGGTCGGCGTCGGAGGACACGCGCGGCAGGTCGATGCGCGCCTTCGTCGTTGGTTCTGTGGGGTCGTCTTCCGCAAAGAGGAAGGGGTAGGCCGCGCCCTCGCGGAACCTCATGCTTGCGCGTGTGTGGGCAGCCCTTTGGGCAGCTCAGCAGTGCGGACAGTTTGCCGACGGTGGTGCGCCGTTTTATTTGGTCGTCGCTGTGATGGCTTGGGTGCCTCGCGGTCCGGAATCAGCCGGCAAATTTAGCTCTTGGGGCATCTCATGCAGGGGGCTGCCCGAACGATTTCAAATATTCGCGCGCCACCCACCAGAAGGTTGTCTCAGGCGGAGCGAACCGTCCGATGGTAGAAAAAGCGCTATCTAAAGCGCACGGAGCTAGTTATAACCCACTAGATTTCGGCCGCCCACAAGATTTCGATCGCAGAGCGGGCCATACTCTCGCATCGATCGAATAGGCTATATTTAAGCTCAGCCTTGAGCATCGCTGCGCTGCGCAAGACCATCGCTGCAACGACAGCGCGTCTAGTGCCGCCCAACAAGAGATCTGCACAGAGAGCCTGCAGCCCGCCGCGCAAGAACAAAGCAGCCATGGGCCTCGAGAACCCCCAGATGCCCGAGCTCGAGGACCAGCCCGAGCCCGAGCCCCTGCCGCCGTCGCGGAACCAGCAACCGCGAGCCGTGTATAATGCGGAAGGCGACGCGCGAGCGGCCCTCGAGCGCTACAACCAGGACTTCGGCGACGACGCGTCCACCGATTCGAGCGGCTACTCTTCCGACGGGGACCAGCCCCGAGATTTATATGAAGATCAATCAGTGATAAAGCAGCGAGTCACGCCGGGCGAGGGCTGGGAGACGCCGAAGGAGCTGTGCAAGTGCGAGGTCTCGTACAAGGTCTGGTCCGGCACGGGTGTGAACATGAAGACTCATACCGAAGAAACAACCTGTACTTTATGTATTGATGAGGGTCAAAGCCCGATTGGTTTTTTTGATGACGTGTTGAAGACCATGCGTAAAAAGGAAGTTTGTGATGTGGTCGTGAAGAAGGGTGCCGAGGAGGGTCTGCCGACTGATGAGGATTCTACCGTACGATTAACTTTGTTGGATTTCGACAAAGCTCCCGTGTCGCACGAGATGGCAGATGACACTGAGAGACTGGCCCACATCCAATCACTGAAGGACAATGGAAATAATTGGTTCAAGAAGGGCGACTTCCAGCGGGCTAAAAGGAGATATGAAAGTGCCGTTTACTTCGGCGAGTACGAGTCGGACGAGGTCCGTGGCTCAGTGTCTGTTTCTGAGGTTTTCTGAACTTCAAGTCGCGTCGATGGCGTCTTCGTGATCATCAGAGCGTCCACGGGCAGCGCGAGTACGCTGTCGTTCGACACAGGTCAAGGCATCGCTGACACCACTCTACGGCAATTTGGCAGCAGTAGCGTCCTCCATGAAGGACTGGCCGTCGTGCGTCGAGCAGTGCGACAAAGTACTTAAGAAGGATGCGGACAACGTCAAGGCCCTCTACCGCAAAGGCGTCGCGCTCGGCAAGACCAAGGACTTCGACGAGGCGATTTCGTGCTTGAAGAAAGCGGTGGCGCTGGACGCTACGAATGTAGCGTCCAAAAGAGCATTGAGAGACGTCGTCGCCGCGAAAAAGACGCAGCAGAAACAACTGAAGAACACCTATGGCGGCATGTTCTCGAAGCTCGAGGGCTTCGCGTCCAGTAATAGGCCCAAGGAACCCCGCAAGATAGATGACTACGACGATCTCAGTGATGAGGATTACGACCTCGCGAAGCCCGGTGCGAACCCTCTGGCACCGGTAGACCACCAGAAGGGCCTGAAGCGGGCCTTCTTCGACATTTCCATCGATGGCATCAGTAAGGGTAGAATTCTCATGGAGTTGTACGATGATACGGTCCCGAAAACGGTGAACAATTTTCTGGCCATCTGCAACGGGTACGAGTCGTTGCATTACCAGGGCTGTTCGTTCCATCGGGTCATCAAGGATTTCATGATCCAAGGGGGAGATGTGACCAAGGGTGATGGGACGGGAGGTGCTTCTATCTACGGCGGTAAATTTGATGACGAGGCGTTCATCGATACGCATAATGAGCCTTACCTATTGTCCATGGCCAATGCTGGGAGACATACGAACGGCTCGCAGTTCTTCATTACCACTGTCAAATGTCCTCATCTCGACGGGAAGCATGTGGTCTTCGGGCGCGTCGTGAGTGGTGTCGATATAGTGCAGGCCATCGAGAGTGTTGACGTGGATGATTCAGATAAGCCCCTCAAGGCTTGCACGATCACGGCGTCGGGGGAGCTGCCCGCGCTGACGGGGGACGAGGACGCGAGCGACGCGCCCTAGCGAGTAATGGGGTTTTAGTTTATCTCGCGGCGACCGTGACGGCGTGCTTGGGCTTAGGTATTTCTTATGTATTTATCTCGCGGCAACGGCGTGCTGGGGGTTTTCTACTACTCCTATCCAGAATTCTTACAACCCCCGCTCCCATTTTGTCGCCTCATAAATTCTTCGCCGCCGGGCCATGTCCGGGCAGTACATCTGGTGCCACTCCCAATCAGCGCGCTGGCACGCCTCACAACAGTAGCGCGCCACACCGCACCCGCCACAGACCAGATACCGCGGCTCAGACAAGGCGACCTGCGCGTGGCAGTGGTCGCAGACGCGGCGCCGGAGGCGCGGCCAATACGGCTGCAAGCGTGGCCAGCGTTTCAAGGCCCTTATCGCACTGTCCAAACCCTTGGTTTGGATGCGAGGGAACGCGACCGCCCATTGATATTCATCCAGCCAGTCGTGAGTAATATTATCTTTGCCGATCGGGTACCGACACCTCGTGTCCACCACAACCATCGCTTGGCGTTTCGCTTCCCTCAACTGTTTAAAGTCATCATCGCTAATTGGCGTTCCGTCTTCGTATATCAAAAACGCCATCGCGTCCCAGCGCTCCCCCAATTCTTTTGGTTCTTGCTGTTTTTGTCGCCGGCTCTTCTTGCCCATCGGTTATTGTTGCGAGCGATCGGTTGGCAGAGAGTATGACCGGATGTGGCACTGAAGTCGGCGCGGTAGTTGTCGTGTGCACCGCACATCAGGCACTTTTTGGCTTGCTAGTGTCTTACACAGCTAGCCCACGCGTCCGCGCGGACAGGGGCTCCGCCCACTAGTCCTAGCACCGTAACATCGACCAGCGGAGCCCTGGAGGCCGCACTCCTCGAGTTTAGCTGGTGGGCGGGTTTCTACGGCATACGGACGAGTCTTCCCAAAACGCCGTCGACGCGACAAATGGAAAGAAAGCCCTTACCCTAGCGCCGCGCCCGCTTCTGGACCTGCCCCCTTGTAACTTGCGGCGCCGTCCGTTTGGGCGCGGCATACGCTTGAGCTCTCGTATGTTGCTGCGCCGCCCGCGCCGCGTGCTGCGCCCGCGCGTGCTGGTCGTCCGCAGCACGGCGCATCTGCCGCAGCTCCAAGTCCTTGGACGTGGCCAGCTTCTGCAGCGACAGGAGTGTCACGATATCTCTACGTAGAGCATCATACGCGTCACACGATAACTTGGTGGGAATCGGTCTAGCTGGTACACCTAACTCTTCCAGCACCAACGCTAACTTGGTGAGCATGCCTTTCGAGAGGCCCTGCGCGCCCTCCGGAGGCTTCAGTCTCGAAGATTGCAAGTAGGGCTGGCCGGGCTGCGGTCTTTTCGGCGGCGCAATCGCGTTCGCCGCCAGGCGCGCGGCCTCCAATCCACTTCTACGGGGGGGCTCGTCGGCGGGCTGGCCGCGCGCGCGTCGCTTCAGTCTTCTCGATTCGAGCTCGACGGCCTTCAGCTCGTCCCTTAAACGTCTTTCTTCGGCCTCCTCGGCCCGCGTGCGGCAGTACGCGACGTGGGCTTGGCGACGCCGTTTCTCCTCGTAGGCCACATCAAAGTCTCGCGTCCGCGACGAAATCCCCAGCGCCTGCGACTGGTCCACGTAGGCCGGCACGCCGCCCTCGCTTTCTAATCGACCACCCCGCGACCTCCGATAGCGATCCCGCGCCAAAGCGTGCGCGCAATGGTAGTAGCGCCTCTGTAATTGCTCCAACGGTCGCGGCGGCACCGGCGCGTACCGATCGAGGATGACGGGCCACCTCAGGTCCAGTCTATGGCACAAATTAATGAGGTAGTCCGTATCACTCCGCGTCCAGTGCCGGTCCGCGAGTAACCGCTCGTATTCATCATCCGTGTACGTCACTCGTTCCAGCTTCGTGTTGAAGCGCGCGTAGGGGTACTCGGCGAACTCGACGCCTTTTTTTTGCCAGTGATGGAGGACTAACCCATCTTCTCGGGCTTGATTGGTAAAGGGAGCCCACTGCCACTCCACGTCCGACTTCTTCCGGTCTATTTTGAGCTTGCGTTTTGGGGCTAATGGTGGTTGATTAGCCTTGAAGGTGCCGTGATCTAGTACTACTTCGCCTCCCGCTAATTTAGAGGCCATTCTATGCGGCGGCGGCGTCCGCGCGCTTGAAATTTGGTGAGTACAGGCGGCGCGCTGCGCAGAAGAAAATGCGTATGTCGCCTCTGTGCTTGAGGCGTGCGCGCGTGCGCAACAAAGGCTTTGGTTTGCCCTGCTTGCTTTGTGCTGGCTAGTGTCTTACACGCCGCTAGCTGTGAGGGTAGACGCACCGCTCCCGCGCTCCCGAGGACGCCCTCAGAGTCATCGGAGGCCAAATTGGCCCGCGGCGCGGCCTCCAGCGCTCTGCTGCCTCTCATCATTTTTTAACGCAGCAGAGGCCTGTTGCGTCTCCGGCGCCCTCCAGCCGCAGACCAAGCAGACGCACACGCATCGAAACGGTTTGACCTGCATCGACGAGGCTGCCCGGCCCGCGGTCGTCACCACTGCGCCTCGGGAGCCCCACACTCCTTGCACCGACAAACGCCGCGCCCGACGCCGTCGACGCGTCGTCACGAACCATGGCCGACGACGACACTATAACAACAGCCTCGACCTACTGGCGCGACGCCGCCGTGCTAGCGGAAACATTTCAACAAAAAAAGAGACCGCCGCCGAAGCCGCCGACGCCCGACTTGACGGGCATGCCGAAGCTCAAGGAACACGTGGATGCGTGGATCGAACGAGTAGAACGCATCACGAGGTGGACCTGCCCGAAAGAAACGAGACATAAAGTGGATGTGCTCGGTGCTAAAACACGAGATGAAGAATCAAGATGGAGGGCCCAGGAAATCCGACGGCGCACGCCGGCCCCGAAAATTGCGAAGGTCGAGGAAAGGGAGGAACGGGACCCTTCTGTACCCGCCTATGGACCGTATGATGTGCTAGCGTACCACTCCGGCTCGAAAGGAAGGAGGGAGTTCTTCAGAATACAAAAGGCGGCTCATGCGCGCCCGGCCCTGTCCGAGGAGACGTGTCTGCAGATGGATAATGATAACCCGGACTTGTACGAGGGCGCCTGCTTCCGGAACTTCGTGAAATTCGCGTCGGACAAAGGTCTCGTAGTTGATCCCTTCCTGTCGCGCGTCGACGCTGATGCTCGTTCATTGGACCTGACGGGCATGGCGCTCGGCGATCCTTTAGGTGAGGCCGTCGCTTCATCTTTGCCGCGCTTGCCCGGTCTAGAGAGGTTGTCTCTCGCTGGGAATCGATTATCAGATAAGACGCTAGCACCACTCTTAGATGGCTTATTAACTCTACAAGATCTGAGGTCCATCGACCTCTCGGAGAACGACTTGGATGCGAAGGGTGCCAAGGCCCTGCAGCAATTACTCGCGCAACGGTCTTGTCTGCTGACGGAGGTCCATCTGCGACGTTCTGATGTCGACGACGACGAGTGCCGCGCGCTCTGCGAAGCCCTGGAGCTCAACACGGCGTCGAAATTGCAAGTGCTGGACCTGGCGGACAACCTCATCGGCCAGAAAGAAGAGGTCAGCGAGATGCGCGAGGGCTACGTCACGGGCGGCGAAGCTCTGGGCGCCATGCTTTCGGCTACCTCTACGTTGACGGTGCTCGACCTCAGCTGGAATTCGATCCGGGGCACGTCTGCGAAAGCTCTAGCTTCCGCAGTTAAAAAGAATGCGACATTAACTTTACTGGATCTCTCACATAACAGGTTAGATGAGGACGGCGGCGTCGCCGTCGCGGATGCGTTGGAGGCGAACACCTCGCTGACGGAAGTTCGGATGGCCCACTGTTTTGTGGGAGCGAAGGGTAGTATAGTCCTGAGCCAAGCTCTGACTGAAAGAAATACACCATTAACAGTGGTCGATTTCGCGGGGAACGTTCCTGGGAAAGTCGGCGCCGCGGCTCTGCTGCGAGCCGTGCGCTCGCTACGAGGGGCGACATCACTGTCGTTGATTGGATGCGACTGCGGCCGCATATATGACGTGTTTGACGAGAGCGACCCGGGCGGCGAGTGGGATTTGGAAACGGACGACCCCTACGAGTTCTGCGTCATGCGCTCATTGCTAAGGCTGGCGAACGCGTCGGACGCCTGTCGACTGGCGACCGTGAAGGTGAGCGGTTCCCTAGTCCGGCTAACGCGCGACGAGGCCGCACCATCCTCTCAAAAGCTGTGGAAGGCCGTGCTCGCGGCGATCGATAAGCGTCAAGTGCCGGACCTGACAGATGTATTGGTCGCGTACGGCCTGGACCCGCCTCATAGCGCCGTGCGCGCTCTGTTCGAGGGGGTGTTGGAGCATATCGCGTCCCAACCCTCGACGACCACGAAGAGCGGCAAGGAGGTCCCGCAGCCCGCTTCACCAGCTTTAGTCTGGGACGGCGTCTTCCGCGCGGCCTGTGCTCTCGCTGATGCCGACGGATCTCACAGTGTCGATGCGAGCGAAGCGTCAATGATTTGCCTCGACTTGTTAGGAGTGGAGCTGTGCGACGCGCCCAAACTCATCAGGGAGGCCTCCTCCGGTGGTTGTAGTTGTTCGTTCGAGGAATTCGCGGCCTACGCGGCAAAGACCTTCGCCCAGCAGACGCCTCTGCTAAAACCGTCTCCGTTGCTGGATGGTTCAGAAGTGTGGAAAGTACCGAGGGACGAGGTGCTGTATGTCGATGTTGAAATAGAACCGAGCTTCCGACCTCCGACCGACAGGGGTTCCCGAGGACTCGCGGCGATGGTCAGATGTTGCCTGACAGATGATGAGAGATTACAACTGATCCAGACGGCGGGACAAGGCTTCTCGCGACGGGAGGCGCAGGACATCCTCGACGCCTGTGCGCCGTCGAGCGGCCACCTCGACGCCCCTACTACTTATTTATTATGTAAGGCACTCGCACCGTCCATCAGTACGGGCTGCGCGTCATTTCTGTCGCAGAACTTGACGGAGCGGCAGCATCTTGCACTACGATGTGAATTAGGACCGCTCTGGAACGTGTATGTCGGGTTGGTCGATGGGCACTATGCCTTTGACACTACGAAAGACGTCGAAGCTTTGACCTTACTGGCCAGTAAGTGTAAGCTCGACGGCCCGGACACGTCAAAGCATCAAGACCGGAACCCCTGGCGCAACGGTTGCGTACGCGTCCCGGTCGCCGTCGACGCACAGCCCGGGGACGTCGTGGACGTGCAAGCGAACGGCGAGACGGTTTCCGTGACCGTGCCCCTGACGTGGCAGCCCGGCTCGCCCCTCTGGGTCTCCGTCAATGGCGATATTACCCTAGAAACGGCGCTCAAGGCACCGGCCGCGGAGGGGGAAGAGGAGGCCGAAGACGAGGACGCGCCCAAGGGCCGCGTCGTCGCCTTCGACGTCAGTTGCGCCGCGCCGGTCGCGAAGGACGCGAAACCGTTATCCAACGAGGCCTTCGCCGCCGTCAAGGCGCGACTGCGTTGTGTCGAGTGGCGCCATTCCTCAAATGCGAAACCGGAATCGGACGCCGAACATAAGAGAGAGGTGGCGTCCGTGAGGCGGAAGCAGGCCTCCCTAGCTTATGCTGCCGCTATTGCGAAGGGTGAGGACGCGTCCATGCCGGACGATACAACAGAATCGATTGGCCTCGCCGTTTTATCTGGAGAGGACCTGCTGGAGGTGGACGACGTCCCGGACGCGCCGGAGCACCTTGGAGTATTGGCGGAGAAGGTGAGTCGCGCGCTGGGTGCTCCGGAGGCGGTCGTCCTGCAAGGTTTAGTGGCTTCGAGGGCCCATGCGTCCGAACTCATCGCCTCCTCGCCGCACGGCCTAGACACGGTCCGACTGGACGCGACGGGAGGTTCAATAGATGAGGAAGAAGAAGAGTTCGACGGCGCGTCCATCCAGTTGACCGATGGCAATGAGAGGAGGGCTACTGTGTGTGACACTCGTGTCAAACACCCTTGCAGACTCTACGTCGGTCGGCCAGGCACGGGCTGCTTCCTGGAGGGAACAGATCCTTTACCAGGGGATTATGGGTTGGCCTGGTTGCTCGTGAGGCTGGCGCATCTGGAGGTAATTGCGTGCACGACGTACTTTACGTCAGCGCAAGCCTTCGACCTGTACGAGCATATGCCTTCGGGAGATGCCTGGGCGGAAATCAGGATCAAGTTACTGGTCATCCTGTTCTCTAGAGTCGTGGATGTATCAAATTTCTGCGCGCGATGCAACGACCTTCCTTTATCAGATGCGTTGCGCCTGCGCCACCGGCTGGGCATTTTGACAGTGTGGGATCCCCGCATTTCTTTGAAGAGTGGCGTCTTGCGCCTGTCGCGGAAGGACGACCGGCTAGTGGCGAAAACCATCCTAGCATTGGCTGGCGGCAGCTCGGCGCCGGCCTTCGCGAACGGTCAGTTCCGTGCCGCCGAGGACCCCCTGGTGTTGGGCGGCTGGGCACCTCCTGACGAAAAAGAGTGGGCGGAGATGGACCCGGCGGACATGAGCGAGACGAAGCTGCCGACGCAGGGGACGCTCACGTTCTCATCGACGGCGGACCCGGGGCCGTCCGGCGAAAGTTTTCTAGACCTGGTGGCGTGCGGGCGCGAGCGGCCGGCGGGAGCCGTGTTCCTAGTCTAAGTCATTGTGATAGTCTTAAGAGGACCCCATTCATGGTGCCCAGCTGCTCCTCGATGCCGTCGAGCCGGTCCTCGACGCGGCGCAGCGCCTCCGGGTCCCCGGCCTCGCGCGGCGCGGCCGTGAGCGCGCGCGCGGCGGAAGGCCCGCTGCCCGCCGCGGCGGTCGTCGTTGCCGTGGTGGCGGCGACGGCGTACGGGGGGCGATGCGTTGCGCTGTCGAGTCTGGGAAAACAACTTAATACGCCCAATTGATTCCTGCCAGCCGCTCCTCGAGGCCGGCGAGCCGCTCCTCGACGCCGGCCCGGGCACTGGGGTCGGCGCGCACCGACGCCTCGAGCCGGTCGAGGCGCGTTTCGACGCTGCGCCGCTCGAGGCGCGCGAGGCGCTCCTCGACGTCCGCGGCCCACCAGGTCCGCTGCCCGTCCGCCGCGCCGGGCGGGTCGCGGAGAGCCAACGCCGCGGGCTCCCCGATGCTCAGGGTCGAGAGGGCGCGCGCGGCCGCGGGGCCGCCACCGGCTGCCGGAGTGGTCGCGGTCATGGCCGCGGTGGCGTCGCCGCTCGCGTCGGGGCTGGCGTCGTCCACGGCGTCGGCGTCGGCGTCGCCGGCGTCGCTGCCCGCGTCTTCGCTGGCGCCGCCGCCCGCGGCCTTCTCCCTCAAATACGCCGCGTAGTCGGCCTCCCCTCGCTTTGTCTCCGCGCGCCGTTCCTTGGCCCGCGCCTCGAGCGCCGCCTTTACTTCTTCCGGGTCCGTCAACGCGGTCCACACAGCTGTGCCATCGTCGTCGCCTATTCGTCGCAGTCCCGCGTACTCCCCGTCCCGATCTTTTTCTGCGAAGAAGGCCGCCAGCTCCCGCAGGCCCGCGCCTCGAACCGTCTCCGTCTCTTCGCCGCCGTCCTGCACCTTCTCGTGGACCGCGCCGAAGGCCTCGACCGAGCTCTCCTGCTTCAACACGTCGACCGAATTTTGCGCGCCCTCGCGCCACGCCTCGGGAACTTTGGGGCACGGGTAGCCGAAGAGCCGCACAACCCCCGAAACGCCGTTGACGAGCGACGCCGCGTGCAGGCCGACCTGCATGACCGGTAAGAGCTTCGCAACGACCTCGGCCGGCTTGGTGATGCGAATGGGATATAGTGGCTCCTCATCATCATCCGGATCGACCTCTGGGACCACTGGTTTCCCCGTCAGCTCGTCGACGAGGTATAACCACATCTCCTCGCCGACGACGAGCTCCGCGCAGGCGCCAGTGACGGCGTCGGCGATGGCCGATGGGCTGCACTTCGCGACGCCGCGCCCGAATTGCGCACAAAGATTCAGCCAGGTCTTGCTCTCTTCGTAGCGGTCCTTTGCGTCGTCGACGGCCTCGCCCTCCACCGAAAACCCAGTGCCGTCATCGTTCAACGTCAACTCGACCCTGGCCTCCCCCGTCGGGAGTTTCTCCTTCAGAACGACGAACGCCGTCGGCGTCGAGACCTCCGTGGCTTCATATATAGCCCGTATGATCGTGCTGCGCGTCTTCCGTAGCTCGTCGCGGTGCTCCTCGCTCAACCTCAGAATAGAGGACGTGTCGGCCTTGACGGAGTCCAGCGTCGTCTGCATCGCGTCCAGTTGCTTTTTAATCTCCGCGTCGCCGCTCTCGGGATGAAAAAACGGGTGCCGTGCGAGCGCGTCGGCGATGCTAAATTTTGCTCGCTGTTCAGGGTCGCGGACGAGCAACTTCGATGCGAGATCCCAGGCCGCGGCGTCCTTGATTACAGCTAAATTCCTTTTTGCAGCGTCGTCGTTCCAAGAGGCCAAGATGGCCATACTTTTGGCGTTAACACAGTCGTCGTCGCGATTCGAGGGCACGAGCGGTTCGCCGGCCACCAGCTGGAACAGGAGCGCGCCGAGCGACCAGTAGTCGACAGCTACTGACGCTTCCACGGGCTCGTACGGCAGACTATCAATTCGTTTCGGAGCACCATCCTCGGTTAAAGAGAACGTCTTGACGACGTACGACGCGCCGCGCTTGTCGACCTTCGGCGCGACCTTCTCCCGGAGCTCCGCGCCGACGCCTTCAAAGTAAGCTTCGAATTTCGTCACTTGACCGGCATCGAGCTTGGCGAAGCACTCCGGCGGCAAAATCGCTGAAGAGAACTTCGAGCATACGTAGTCTCCGCCATGACGGCTAAATTTTGCAGCAGCGTCCAAATCAATCAAACGTAGGCGATTGTCGAGAGACAGTCGCACGACGTTGAGCATCTTGATGTCGCCATGGACGAGCCCCTTCCCGTGTAGATGCTGGACGCACTCCATGACCTGCTGCATCAGAGTCCGGACCGCGTTCAGATCCGGCCGCTCCGACTGGTAGATCTGGAAGAGATTGCGATCGGCGGCGTCCATGACGATGGCGCGAGAACCGACGCCTTCGCCGAAGCGTGTGCTGCTTTTCAGCCCATCAGCAAATTCGTCGTCCGTGGGCGCCGGGATCGTCTGCACGACGTAGCGCGCGTCGAGCTGTTGATCGTCGCGGCCCCGCTTCTCGTTGCGCCACTGCTCTTCGACCTGGAAGACCTTGATGACCACCTTGCGCTCCTTGCCGAAGAGCCGCTGGCATTTTGCGACGAAGGCGTCCTTTGCGACACCATCGTCTTCTATTTCGAAGATCTCGACATTTGTGCCCAACTTCGCCGCGAGAGCTTCGAGTTCGCTCGCGTCCAATGTTCCGTTACTATCCTTGTCGAACTCGACAAATAGTTTCCCGTAATCGTCGGCCGCCTCGTGGTCGACGGCGCGCACGACGAGTGACGTCGCGGACCGGTGCTCCGGCGGGCCTTTGTCGACGTCGTAGCGCCCAAGGAAGAAGAGGGCTTTTTGCATGGCGCGCCGGCATTCTAAACAGGCGAGGTCGATGGCGCGTTCGCCTTTCTCGTTCGTGAGGTCGGCGAGCGCCGGGTCCTTTCTTACTGCTTCTTCGAGGCGGTCAGCGAAGGGCGCGTGGTGGATTGCGCCCTCCGTAAAGTCCGCCTTCGCGTCGTCGTCCGCGTCGGCCGCCTTGAGCTTGCCGGCGAGGAAGCGGGTCGTGTTCGCGAGGAGGCGCTTGACTCGCTTGGTGTCGCCGTGCGTGTGTCCAGGGGGGAACACCAAATTGGGGCAATTTGCCAAGTCGAGGCTGGCCAGCGCATCGAGGCCGCCGATCGACTCCGGTAGCGTGGCGAGGCTCGAGCAGCCGTACAAATCGAGCCCCGTCAGCGCGCCGAGCCCACCGATCGCGGCCGGCAGCGCGGCGATGCTCGAGCACCCTTCCAAAATAAGCGCCTCCAGCGCGCCGAGCTCGCCAATCGTGGCCGGCAGCGCGGCGAGGCTCGAGCACTCGCGCAAGTTGAGCGTCGTCAGCGCTTTGAGCTCGCCGATCGTGGCCGGCAGCGCGGCGAGGCTCGAGCAGTAGGACAAGTTGAGCCCTCTCAGCGCTTTGAGCTCGCCGATCGCGGCCGGCAGCTCGGCGAGTTTCGAGCATTTGTACACGTTGAGCTTCGTCACCCGACCGTCCGCCACCGTGACGACTTCATCTCCATCTTCGTCTTTCCACTTGCGCGGGTCCTCGCCGTCCCCAAAGAACTCCTTGAGCGCACCGCTCGCGTCGTCGTCGCGCAGCTTCCGCAGAGCGGCGAGGTCATTTTCTAGCTGTTCCTTGACCTTGACGATGTCGGCCAACACCGGGTCCTTGCGTACGAGCGCGTCGACGCGCTCGTCGTGGGCAGGATCGGCGATCACGTGATTTAAGATACTCTTCTGTACGTCTGCAGCAGACACGTCGCCACCTTCCAATAGGTTGAGACAACAGAAGCCGACGGTTTTGTGCACGTTGCCGCGCATCTCCTCCGGAGGGTACGTGAGGCTTGAGCACCCGCCCAAGTTGAGCTCCGTCAGCGCGCCGAGCTTGCCGATCGCGTCCGGCAGCGCGGCGAGGCTTGTGCATTTGTACAAGCTCAAATACGTCAGCGCGCCGAGCTCGCCGATCGCGGCCGGCAGCGCGGCGAGGTTTGTGCACTCGTAGAAGATGAGCTTCGTCACGCGGCCGTCCTTCACCGTGACACCGCTCCACTCGCGCGGGTCCTCGCTGTCCCCAAAGTACTCTTTGAGCGCACCGCTCGAGTCGTCGTCGCGCAGCTTCCGCAGCGCCGCCAGGTCCTCCTCCAATGAGCCCTGCATTGTCCAGGACTGCTGCCCAACCGCGCAAGCGATGCGAGGCAGCCCGACGTTCCACTACGCGCGCGCGCACGGCGGCCCTTCGCTTCGCATCGGTGTGTCTGCTCTGCTTACTGCGGCGCTGTTTCAGCGCCTGCAGCACGTGAGACTCTCAGACGGGGATCTCACAAAAATGCAACAAATGTCGCCTGTGCACTATGGATCTTTCGAAGCTCCGTTACAAACATTGCTCTCCAGTGAACGATCGTCAGGCTCAGGCTCGTGTTAAATCGGGTTTTGCCCGCCTCGCGCGCGCGCGCATCGATTTTGGGGCCCGCTGCGCGTCCAAAGTCGTGCAGCAACGTCATTTCGCAGAAACAAGCCCGCAATTGCAGTCCTGCCGCTGCGCACGCCATCGCCCAGCAGCCCAGCAGCACGACAAGGCAGAGCAGGCAGCAGCAGCTCCGCGGGAGCCAGCGCAAGGAGGGATGGGCAAGAACCGCCGCTCCACCGTCTTCCTTTCAACGAAAGAAGAGGAAGAGAAGGAGCCCACGGCCTACTACCACGACCTCGAGGCGACGCACGACGATAGGGACGAGGAGCGCCGCCGCCTCCGCCTCAAGCAGGGCAAGCTCTTACCGAGAGACCCCTGGGGCCCCGGCGAGTTCGTGTCGTCTTGCGCTCTACAAGAGCGTGCCACACCAAAGAGCTGGGCGGCGCCGCCGAACACACCGAAAGCACTGAAAAAATTCTTCGACGAAGTTACTGATGTGAAACGCTTCGGCGGCTCCTCCCACAAGCCCGACGCGAAGTTCGGCGAGACGCGGGAGGCGCACAACTTCTTCGTGGACTGGGAGTGCCGCGGCCACAAGTTTGCGTTCGACGCCGGCGTGAGTTTCCTCACGACTGTGGACAGAGGCTGCATCTACCTCATCTGCGGCGAGTTAGTAGGGGAAGAAGGTTTTGGCAGTATCCGTAATTTGTCGCGCCGGGCGCCGCAAGTCCTTTTTGACCGAGGCATGGGCGAGTACGGCTGGGCGCAGGAACTTGAGGAGAATGAGTGGGACGAATTGCTCAGTCGCTTGGGTTTGGAGGACGTGGAACCGGCGGACTTCGTGGCTTGTTGTCTCCAGTGGATCGGTTCGGATAATATCGATCATTTCCGGTGGGGCCATGCTCCGTGCTACGTGCAACCTGGGAGACTAGATAGATGTCCTTTGCCCGTGCTGGACGCGGCGCTGCGGCTGTGCGGCCGCGTTTCCGTGAGGAAAAGTTCCTCTGTGAGTCCTCTGACGCCCCTGAAGCCTCTTTGTAGACATCTGGACGACGAGGGCAACGATGTCGCGGAGCGGGCCGATCCCGTTTCCGTCGATAGTAAAGGCGCGCGAAGGTACGGGAAGGCCTGCGACACGCCGCCGCCCGCGCCCGCGACGCCCGCGACGCCCTCGGTGGCCGGCGGCAGCTTCGGCGTGTCGCTGCGACGAGGACGGAGAGCGAAGCCGCGCTTCTCCGCGAACCCTAGGAAAATGGCCGTCGAGACCGCGACGCCCGTGCGCGGCTCCATCACGCTCAAAGATGGGACGAGAGCGCCGAAACCGGATATAGTGCCCGAGAGCGAACGGAACCCGGAGCCGACGCAGCCGATCGACATCATGAAGATGCCGGTCAAGGATTTGCGGGCGGCGCTAGCCCAGCGAGGCCTCGAGACGAAGGGCCTGAAGAAGGTGCTGCAGAAGCGGCTGCTCGATGCTCTGGGCGTGCCGGACGGGGCGTCGCTCGAATTCAAAGGATCATAAGACAACATTGTACGTTAAATGGGACTGTCGCGCGCGACGGCCTCGACGTCGACGTCGTCTAACAAACATTCGTCGGCGTCGATCAATGAACAGTCATCGATGGACCCTTCACCGGCAGCGAACAAGCGCGCGATCTCCGCCGCAGCACTCTCGTCCCTGACTAAATGCACGGGTGCGGGAGGATCACAAAGAGCGACCAACCACCTTGCGGTAGTTCTCAAAACGGGCGACTTGACCAACAAACAAACGCCCTTCACGCGTGCATCTAATCTAGATGCATGCCGTTCCTGGGCCATGAAGTCCACGCCATAGGAAAAACAAGCTTTGGACCGCAGGCCGACCTTCATCTGCCGCAGGTCGAAGAACGCCGTGAAATCTTCGTTCCGGTCGAGGACATTGCTCATAAACTCGGCCATGGCGCGGCCGTCGGCCTCGTCGATCTTCGAGGGGAGGAGCTCGATGTGCATCCTCGGTAGAGAGTCCGTCCTTTCGAAGCGCGCGTCGAAGCAGTTCGAGCGCTGATGCACCAACGGCTCCGGCGCGGCGTCGGGTGCCGCTGCTGCGCGTGCGGGGACGGCTGCCGGCCGCCGTCGTAATAGGATGGCGTGCGAGCTGGCGAGGAGCGCGCAGACGACGCGCATCGTGCAGCCCTGTCTTATTTTGGAGTGATGACTACGCGAATGCACAGCTGCTCGGGCTACACGGCGTGCCGCAGCGATGCGACACCTCCTTCGTGCGATCAATCACTGCGACTCGGCGTTCGGCGTGCGAGTCGGACGGCCTCGTTTAAGTCGTGCGTCGCGCATCGACAAACGAGCGCCAGACGACGCGAAGGGAAGGGACCTATCACTACGTACAAACGCCCTTACTCGACGTACTCGTCGCTCTTGTACTTGTCGTCGACGGGCTTGACACCGCGGCTCCACATCGCCGACGGAATCGCGTGCTTCGGCGCCACGGGCCGCTCCTCGAGCTGCACCGAATGACTTCCGACGTACAAGAAACCGGCCCCGAGCGCCAGGAAGGCGTAGACCGTGTTGCGCTTCCACTGAGGAGGGTCGGCGAACCAGCCGCCGGCCGGGGTCCACACATGATTTGGAGAGGGCGGGTGGGCACCGCCGCCGCCCATGGCGCGGGCCGGCGCGGCGCGCGGCATCATTGGTGCGGCGCGCGCGCTCCGGAGGACAGCGCGCAGCATCGTTGGTCCTGGGTTGCGGCTCCTTGGTTTTGCGCTGCGGCGGCTCGGCGCGCGACGCCCGGGAGCCCTCACTCTTCCGGCCAGCGGTGGGTATTCAATGCGCCTGTAGGACCACTGAAAAGGCGTCGCAGGGGCGCAGTGGCTCAGGCGAGAGTTGGGGCTTGGTGAAAGCTAGTGTGTATCGACACGCTAGCCCGGTACTCGAGTCGAGTCTGCCATTTACGTCGTGAGAGCGCCTGCGGCAGGCTGAGCGCACAGCAGCGCTGCCACGCATCTCTCGCCAGCGCGACGCAAGCCGCGAAGAGCTGTGCGGCATCACAGGCGCAAGAGTCACTTTCGCCTCTGCTCGCGGACAGCCATGGCGCGCGCGGTCGCAGTTCTACTGATAGCGACGCACGCCACAGCCCGCTCCGTAGAGGTATCAATAAGAGCGCCCTGGCCGACGCGCGCCGTCTCGCCGCTCCTCGAGGCGGCCGAGTTCCTGGCGGGCGAAGGGAGGAGCGTCTACTGGTCTTTTGTGGAGGCCATCGGCGACGGTTTTGGGGATGCGTCGACGAAAGAGAAGATCCGCGCGGCCTCGTCAGCTTCCACGTACGACGGTGAAGGCTACGAGGAGATGGCCTCCATCGCGCTCGACGCCGCGGAGAAGAAATTGGACGGCCTCGCCCACGCGTTGTTGCGGATGGCGCTGGCCGTGCGGACCTACGCTCCGAGGCTCGAAGCCCACCGGTCGCTAGCGTCGCAAGCACCTACTTGTCCTGGTGGCGACGTCGAGTCTACACGAGCGATCATATATGGCCCGAGCGGCCGCCACGTCGCTTGTAAGGCATCGGACGTCTCTGCACTCGTAGCCAAGGCCGCGGAGCAGGTCTGCACATCTCAACAGTGCGATCAAACACCGCGGTTGTTGGGCTCGGAGACGCCCTTCTCTGAAGACGGCTCGGACGTGACTATTGAACTCATCGTAGACGTCACGTCTTCACAGTTCCGAGCATGGCACGACGCGTGCTCCGCGACAGAAGCGACCTACTTCCTGCGCCACGCGTCTCATTTGCGAGGCTCTTCCAATCAAACGCATTTACAAGCCTTTGGGGCCAATCTGGACATCAAGGACCTCGAGTACAAGAACATGGACGATAGTACAACAGAAACGACGACCACGCAAGCGTCTACTACTGTGTGGAAATCAACCAGTGCGTCGGGCGCACCCGATAATTCTTCACTAAGTCCTTTCTCGGCGACGACGTGGCCGCGCTGGTTCCGTCGAGCGGCGAGGAACCGACATCGCCACGCCATCGAGCCGCGTCGATGGAAACGCGCCGTAAAATTTTGATTTATGCACAGGTCGACGTCCTTCGAGGAGGGCGAGGAGGTCGGCGGCGTCTACCTCGCGACGCTAGCTCAAAGGCGGCCCGACCTGAAGCAGGAGTTGAGTGAACTGAGGACGCAACTCGCGTCCGAGACCACGGACTCGTTAAAAGTGTGGAAGCTGCGGGACCTATCCTTGCAGGCGACGCAGGCGACCATCGACGCCCAGGACCCGTTGAGGACGCTGAAAGATCTGTCGCAGGACTTTCCTAGACATGCTGCTGGTTTGTCAGCGAGGCGCGTCCGCGACGACCTGCGGGAGGCGGCAGCCACGGCGCACGCGTATAGCATGCACTCCGGCTTGACGGGGCGAGCTCTGGTGTTTTTAGGCGGGACTGCTCACGACGTCGGCTCGCCGACGTTCTCCTTACATGCTTTGCTGCAAGGTATTCGGTCCGAAGCTTCGTCGTTGCGGCAGTTGGCAGCGCTAGACGTCCTCACTACCGATGTAGATGAGTCTAACAAACGGCGAGACTTAATCCTCGCCACTGACGAGAAACAGCGGTCGACGACGCGGGTCGACCTGCTGAGCGGCTCGAAGGGCTCGATCACCTACGCCAACAACCTCGAGAAGGATCCGGAGTACAAGGACTGGCCGCCGTCGGTGCAGCAGCTCCTGTACCCGTCGTGGCAGCTCACTTCCGTTGCGAAGAATTTGTACACGGCTCTACTCGTGTTAGATGCGTCTACCGATGAAGCCCTGAACGCGATCTACGTGGCCCACGCCATGCTGCGCCAGGGCTATCCGGTCCGAGTCGCCTTTGTGCTCGGCGACGCGTCTCTGAGCGATGAAGCGTCAGGTGACGTCTTCTCTGATGAAGCTCAGGACGTCGACGAGCAGCAGGTCATAAAACAATTCGATCCGAGTTCCATCGGGACCCAGGTCGCCGCCGCCTGTTCGTTGGCGAAGCTCGCGAGGGGTCCCAAAACGGCGTGGGCCTTTCTCGTGGAACTCGCGTCGAACCGCGAGTACGGCGAGGCGCCGACGCTCGAGAGCGTCATCTCCGCGTACGGCGAGGCCATCTCTATGAGTGAGGAGGACCCTGTACCAGGCTACGAGTCTACTAAAAAGGCATCTGAGAAGCAGCTGCGGCGGCTGCTGACCAACGAAGAAGTGATTAACGAAGTAGCTCTACAGGTCGCCCAGCAACGGCGCTTTGTAAGTCAGAAAGGCTTGTCCTTTGAGGGTACGGTGGCCTTGAATGGTCTCGTGTTGGACAGCGGCTTAGATTTGCAGAACAACCTGCTGCCGGCTCTAGGCCAAGAGCAGGCGCGGCTCCAGCAGTTAGTACGGAGGAAGGTGATCACTGATAGCACGAAGTCGATCTACGGCAAGGCGTTGCTAGGAGGCGCTTCGTCCAAGGAGAAGGCCACGCATCTCGTAGAACGGCACTCGCGCATCTTAGAACTAGAAAAACACGAGTACCACTGGTCAGAATACGACTGGGTCCCCGGGAACCCGCAAGGCAACGTGTCGATCGTCTTGGCGACGGACCTGTCTTCTGTTAGTGGCGTGCGGGCGGCTTATCTAGTACTGAAGCATGCTTCACAAAAGGAGGGGGCCGCGCGCGTTTCCGTAGTGCACAATCCCTCGTCCGATTCAGATGAGACGGGCCACTACATCTCGAAACACTGTACTACGGTAGACGCCCTCAGAGAAGCCTACTTCTCCAAGAAGACATCGACAGATGGTGTGACGTTCAGGGGCCCCTGCGAACCTGGCACTACTTGTACCTTTGCCAACAGTAGGAAAGCGAACGCCCCCACAAACGACGGCGACCTCGTCGTCCTCGCGAGGAGTGAGGCGTTATATGCGTCGAAACTGGCCGAGGCCTTTGACTCCGAGGACCGTCCACGAGTCCTCGACGCGATCGGCGCGGCGAGACGGTACGCCGGTCAGCGTTCCCTAGAGCCTAGATCGGATGTAGAGGGTCTCATAGAGGCCATGTTGAAGGAACAGGGCGTCGAACAATTGGTACTGACGTCCGACGGCATCGCACCGCAAGCGACGGCCATTTTTGATCCGTTGAGCGAAGCTGCCCAGAGAGCCGCTCCGGTGCTCCTAGCTCTGCGAGATGTCCTGGGACTGAAAGTGAGGTTGGTGCTCGCGCCGGACCCGGAGCTCCAGGAAATGCCACTCCAGAAATACTACCGCTTCGCGCTCGACGTCGACAGCGCGCCGCGGGCCAAGTTCGCGTCCCTGCCGAAGCACCAAGTGTTGACACTGAGGGTAGATACGCCGGAGGCCTGGGACGCGCAGATGGCCTCCGCTTCCAGTGACCCGGACAACATGCGCGCCGGCGACGCGCGGATCGTTTATGAGCTGAAGTCGTTAGTCGTGATGGGCCAGTGCTATGATGTGGTCGATTCGAGGCCGCCGAACGGCCTGCAAATCCAGCTCGAAGGGACATCTTCCGATACGTTGGTCATGCAGAATCTCGGGTACTTCCAGCTCCGCAGTCAACCGGGCGCGTGGAAAATAAAACTCGCCTCGAATACAAGGTCCGAGGAGTTGTACGAGACGGTCCAGGTCGAGCCCGTCGGGTTTGCGCGGTCGTGGTACGGTCCCTCGTTCGACGCGGACGCCGAAGCGTCGGACGGCGTCGATATCGTGGTCAGTGACTTCGAAGCGTCTGCGCACCAGTTGCGCGTGCGGAAGCGCAAGGGCCAGGAGAACGTGGAATTACTCGGCGAAGACGATCAGTCGTCGTGGTTCTTTAGCTCAAAGAAGAAGAAGAGGCGGTCGAAGGATACGATCCATGTGTTTTCTCTGGCGACGGGTTCCTTGTATGAAAGGATGCTCAAGATCATGATGCTCTCCGTCCGGAAGCGCACGACGGGACCGATCAAGTTCTGGCTCTTCGAGAACTACCTGACACCAGCGTTCAAGGACGGAGCAAGAGCCCTTGGTGAGTCGAAAGGTTTTGATGTGGCATATGTAACGTACAAGTGGCCGGAGTGGCTCAGAACGCAAACGGTAAAACAAAGGATCATCTGGGGCTACAAGATTTTGTTCCTGGATGTGCTGTTTCCCCTTGATGTGCCGAAGATTATATATGTGGACGCGGATCAAGTGGTGCGGGGCAATCTCCGGGAGCTCTGGGATCTTGATTTACAAGGCCATGCCTACGGGTACACGCCGTTCTGTGATAGCAGGAAAGAAACGTTGGGCTACCAGTTCTGGCGGTCCGGCTACTGGAAGGATCATTTGAGAGGCAAGCCGTACCACATCTCGGCGCTGTATGTCGTCGATCTCGAGGTGTTTCGTAGAAGAGGCGTCGGCGACCAACTCAGGATGGTCTACGACCAGCTGTCGCGGGACCCGGCGTCGCTCTCAAATCTCGACCAAGATTTGCCCAATTACGCCCAGCCCCAAATCCCCATCTTCTCCTTACCGCAGGACTGGCTCTGGTGCGAGTCGTGGTGTTCTGACTCCTCAAAGGCTACCGCCAAAACCATCGACCTGTGCAACCACCCAGCTACCAAAGAGAACAAGCTGACGATGGCGAAGCGCATCATCAACGGGTCGCTCTTCGAGGAGTCCTGGGTGGAGTTGGATGAGGAGGTCAAGGCTGCTGAGATGATGGGGGGTGGGTAACTTTATGAAGTCTATTGTTCTTCCGCTGGCACTTCCGCTGGCAAGTCCGCTGGCCAGCGCGCACGGCGTGGGAAGTGTCGTGGGCCCATTGCTGGACGCCGTCGACGAAACGACGACGCAAAAACACAAATGCCCAGTTATTCCATCCGCTCCACGCCCCCATCACTCCCACCGACGAGCACGACGGGGTCGTCCGGCCGCATCGACGCCGGGAAGAGCCCGTGCTCGACCGCCCCCGGGCACGCATCGAGCTGCGACGCCATGAGCCAGACGTCTCCTAGAGGCTCGCTGAAGAACAGGTCCACCACATAGTTCCCGTTGTCTGTGACGAACGGTTTTCCGCTCATATCAGAGCCGGGCCGGCCGGCCGGCGCCAAACCCAAGCGCAATCTAGCGTCCGCACCCGTCAACTTCGCGAGCCTTCGCAACGTCCGCTGATGGAAGGCCGGCGCGACTTCCACGGGCACGGGAAAGTCGACGCCGAGCCCCTCGCTCCGCTTGCACTCGTCACAAATCACGACCCACCGCGACGCCGCCGCCCGGACCAATTTTTCTCGGAGCATGGCGCCCTTGCCGCCCTTGACGACGTCTTTGGACGAGGACACGCCGTCGCAGCCCGTCAGGGCCACGTCGACGGCTTTGTCCGAGTCCGGCGGTAGCAGCGGGATTCCAAATTCGCGTAAGCGTCTTTCAGTAGCTTCGGAAGTCGCCATGGCCGTCACATCCCTCAAAGCACCAGAAGCGAGTCGCTCGGCGATGAGCTGCACGCAGTGATCGACGGTCGAACCGCAGCCGATGCCGACGACGCTACCAGACGCCACAAATTTGTCCACCGCTTCGGTAGCGGCCGCAAGGGCACCAGCTACCGACGGCCGTCGCGAGTCCCCGAAACGGGTCGGCGAGGGCGGCGCCGGCGGCCGTTTCGCCCACCCCAGATCCGCGGCGGTCGGGTAGGAGGCCTGGGCTCCTCTTCTACGCACGGACGTCGATGCCACTTCCACAGCGCCTGGCAAGGCAGCTTCGAGCGTCGACCCGCTCGCGACCAAGTGGGCTAGCGCGCCTAAAAAGGCGTCGCCGGCGCCGGTCGTGTCAACCGGCGTACTCTGCAAAGCCTCGGGTACACTGCAACTGATGGAACCTTGCTCGCGGACCAGCAGGCATCCTCGACGGCCCCGCGTCAGCAACACGGCGCCGACGCCCCTCTTCAGCAGCTCGCCGCACGCTTCTGAATCGTTCTCGACTTTCCTACCGGTCAAAAGCTGCAACTCCGGTTCATTCACACACAAGACGTCACACAACTTCCAAATCTCGTCCGGCAACGGCGAAGTGGGCGCCGGCGCGGCATTGAATACCGTCAACACTTTTCTAGCCTTGGCCTTTCTCAGAGCGGCGATGTTCGTACTGACAGGAACCTCGAGCTGCGTCAGTATCACAGAGGCGCCGTCGAAGACCGTCTCCGCGACGTCCTCCGGCGTGAGCTTCGCGTTTGCGCCACTCGCGACGACGATCGTGTTCTCCCCATTGGAATCGACTGTTATCAATGCGACGCCCGTCGCCGCGTCCCTCGTGTCAACGACGCGATTCGCGTCGATGCCTAACCTCTCGAAGTTCTTGCGCGTCGCCTGGCCGAGGTCGTCCCTTCCTACCCTCATGACGACGCGCACGGGACTACCTAATAAAGCGGCCGCGGCGGCTTGGTTCGCCCCTTTGCCGCCAAACAGCTGCTCGAAGCGGCTCCCTATTAAAGTTTCTCCTGGTTTCGGGAACCTAGGGGAGTTGACGACGAGGTCGACGTTGGCCGAGCCTACGACGACTACTGCCATTTTGTGTGGCGCGACTGGCGTGCGCGAGCGCTTTGGTTGTTTTTGGCTGTGCCGTCTGATCCGCGACGACTGGCGGCAGCGGCTCAGCTCCCAGAGAGGCTGGAGCTGTGTCCGCTGATGGGCGGCAATTTGGCGGCAGCAAGTGGCTTGCTGTGCGTCGACAGCGTGTTTGTAGATAAAATTGGCGACAGATCCCGTCCCGGTAGCCCACCTTGAGCTTTTTTTGCTCTGAGAGCTTGCTAGCGTCCTGTAAGACACTAGCCTGTGCAGCGCTTGCAGCCATAAATGCTCGCAGCGGCTTTGCTGTGCTCTCGTACCATTACCACCGCATCCCTTCGAGCCGCCAGCGCTGCGTTCAGGCGCCAGTACGCGCGAAACGCGATGGAAACCCTCGAAGACAGTGTCTTGTACCACATCCCAAAAACGAGCAGCGCGCCGGTCGTCCAGTTGATCCATGAGCTACAATTGCAAGAGGACATACAGATAGAGACGCTGTCGTTCGAGCACGTCCGCACCGATGTGAAATATGGAGCTCTGAATCCCAAACGAAGCGTCCCGGCGCTCAAGCTACGAGGAGGCGCGTCCTACACGGGCTCGTTGATCACGGAGTCCGGCGCTATTATATCTTTACTCCTGGAGGTTACGGGCGAGTGCGCCGCGTGGTCCTCCACTCAAAGATGTAAGATGTGGGAGTCCATTTTTTACACTGGGACTACCGTTTTTCCGGTAGTTGTGAAAGCCTACCTCAAAACGATCGAGGAGCAGGACGCTACGTACGTGGAAGAAGCGCAAAAGACCTTCGTCGAGACGGTCGCGCCACTACTCATCAGACAACATTCGCTCGATCCCACTGGACCTTGGTTACTATCAGCAGGTGGGATAGAAGGCCCGACGGCCGCGGACTTCGTCCTCGCCAAACCGCTAGGCAACGCGCGGGCGATGGGCTGGCTCGCGGAGTTTCCGGCGCTCGAGGCGTGGCTCGACCGCGTGAAGAAGCTGCCGTCGTACGAGAAGGCGTATAGCTAAGGAGTAGTAGCTTGTGTTCTCGGGCGTGGGGGAAGCACTGCCGTAGCTCGTCGCATCGACGGCGTCGTGGGACCACGTCGGCTCGCCGGCGTTGCTGCGATGCCACGCCGCCTCGACGCCGTCGACGCCGCCAACCAGCCGCATGAGAGTCTACGCATGCAGTTTCGCGGACGGCGTCGTTCGGGGGTGGGGACGTCAGACACGGGTCGTGGGGGAAAGAGTGATTACACAGAGGTAAGGGAGAAAGGGGGATCGCCTCACGGCGCCCGGAGCGGCTGCTGCGCGCTCCACGTCTCGCGCTTCAGGTTCTTGAGCTCCTGCGCGTAGCACGCCGCGTGGCACGCGTCTTCCGCCGCGACGGTGCCCCGCTCGTCACAACGATGCCCAGGATCCGCCGCGACCCAGTCGCAGGACCGCGGCGCCGACTTGGCGAGCTTCTTCATCTTCTCGAGCGCGTTGACCTGTGTTGTTTTTTTTGTCACCTTCCGGACCGGAGGGGACGGGACCTCTAAGACGCCATCGCGGTGCACGGACGAAGGTGAGTCAGACGCAGGGGCGCCGACCGCTAAAGAGGTGACGGCAGCCGCATCTAAACCGCCGAAGCCGCCTCGCAGCGTCGGATCCGCGTTGTAGGTGGGCGCCTCGGACTCGACCTCGAAGGTCGGTCTATCAACACCACCGGGGAATCCACAAGCCTTGCGACAGACCTCCTTGGCCGTGACCTCGCCGCGGTGCCCACACCGGTTCTCGGGATCTTCGGCGACCCACGCGCAATCCCTAGAACCTTCGAACAGGGCCTTGCGGCCCTTCTTCGTCCACTCCTTGACCTGTGTGTGTTGTTTGTGTCACCTCCCGGACCTCGACTTCGTGGCCCCAAGAAAAACCGTCGCGGTGCGCGGATGCGCGGGCGCTCTTCAAGGACCCCGCCGCCACGCTCGACGATCTCCGCGAGGCTGTGAGGACGCTCGAGGACACGGAACGGATCGCGCGGCGCGTGCTCGGTGGCGCAAACCCGACCGTAGGTTCGATTGTGCGAGCCCTACAAGGGGCGCGAGCAGCGCTCCGCGCGCGCGAATCGCCCCACACCTAACTTCTAGTATATTCCACACCACATTACGCCGTCGCCAGCGACAACCCCGCCTCCAAATTCAGCGCCAACCGCCGCCTTCGCTCCTTGAGCGGCGTCCGGTTCTTGGGAGGCGACTTCTCGGGCGGGCGCCGCGCGTCCGCCAGTTTATGGGGCAGAAGCGTTCGAGCCAGCAAGTCGAACGACGGCGCCTTGCCCCTCAATTCTACACGATTGAACTCGACGCGGCACGTCCGCAGAGCCCTCAGAGGCTCGCCCACGTCGACGAGCAGGAAGACCTGGGGCTGCGGTAGACGTAATCCCCCATCTCGAGCGGCGAGCCAGTCCTCATCATTCAGTAACGAGATCGTCCGGCGCGTCACCGGATCCTTGTAACATAATCCAAAGCCGGGCCGCTTCCTCACAGAGTCCTCGACACCTAGAGTCGCGAGGGCGCACTTGGATGCATGCCTCAGTGATCTCAAGTCGTCCCTACCGACCACTCGCCGCTGCTCGTCGCGCGTCTTGGAGGCGCGTACTCTCAACATGAATCTCGGCCCGCGCGGCGGCCGCCTTGGATCAGCTATGGACACGGTGTCGACGGACGCGTCGTCGAGCGGGCTCGCAGAACCTTTGTGCGGCGACGGGCACCCGCCGTCGTCGAAGGACGGCCGCATCGGCATTCTTCTGCCAACAGCCTCGCGCGCGTTCCGGCCCCGAATGCGCGCTTGGACCTTGGCCGCGGCTTGATCCTGCCTTTCAGGCGAGCCCGGATCTTGATCAGCTTTGGCCGGCGTGTGGCCGTAGGGCGCCACACCATTGGGAGGCGACATGGCGCCCGGCGACATCGCCTCCGCGCCCGGCGTCTGCTGGAAGGTCGCCTCGTTGGGATCCCGCCAATCCTCGATCTCGTCACTCTCTGTCCGGTAGGCCCCCATCAACAACTCGCGGGCCGCCATGTCCCCATGCACGCGCTTCTTCACGGCCTTCCAGGCGGACGGGGCGGACTTCGACCGGCGATCCTCGGCTCGAAAAGCACCAGTAAGTAACTCGCGCGCCGCCATGTCCCCGAACACGCGCACGCGCACGCCGGACCACGTCTTCGGTCTTGGCTTGATGTGCAGCTTGCGCGTGTGCGGTGGCGAGAAGGGAAAAGCTCGTCTGGCCACACTTTCATCATCTGAGACGGGAGACGGCTTCGGGACGTACTGCGGAGAGTAGGGCGGCAGGTCCGGCTCGAACAATCTTTGTTTGACGGGCGTGGTGGGACCGTTTCGGTCCGGTTTGTCTTCATCCAAGGCAGCGGAAAACAACTCGACAGCCCCAAATGAAGGGGCTCCGGGCAGCTTCTCGTAATCGCTCGCTGAAGGCTTCTCCCTCAAACCTAGCGAGCCGGAGAACCCGCTCTGGACGGACAGCTCCCCCAGCTGTTCAGGTACGTCGTAGAATACTTTTTTGCGTGTTCGACCATACCCAGAAGCGTAGCCCTCGCCCGAAGGATCGGTGTTGCGCGGTTCTAAACCAGGCAAGCGCGGCAGGCGGTCGTACTTCGCCGCCGGGTCCGCCTCTACCAATTCCCGTAAGTTAAGGGTGGGCGGCTGGGGCTTGGGCGGCCGCGGCCGGCGGCGCACGAGCGCGGTCGTCGTGGGCGGCTGGGGCTTGCTGGGGCGCGGGCGGCGCCGCACCAAGGTGGTCCTCTTGATGGGCTCGGGCGCGTCGACACCCCGGGCCGCAGGTTTCCGGGCGGTCTTTCGGCGGCGCGTCGTGCGCGCGATGCTAGACCGGGGCAGCGTCGCCTCGACCTCGACACTTGGCGCCATTCTTGCGGTTGGAGGGGCTGCCTCGCCGCGAGATTGGTGCCTTGCAGTGGTGCCTCTCCTCTGCCCGCGTCGGCGGGCGTAAGCCGGGCAGCACGGCCTCTCTCGCGCTGCGCGCTGCAGGCAGAGTCGAGCCGGGCAACCTAGTGGCACACGGCGTCCTCGGCGAGGACTACCGCTCGCTATTACTGCCCTCTCGAGTCGAACCGAGAGGTGAGCTAGCGGGCTGTGAGACACTAGCAAGCCGAGACTTGGTGCATTGCAGCCCTCAGTGCTCGACACTTGGTTCAAAACACGGCATAAGTGCATCGTTTTGAACCCAGCACCATCGCTGTTTTGCAAGCGCGCGTCAAAAACCACGGCTGCAGCCGTGCACCATTGCTGCTGAAAGCAGCCTGCAGCCTTGTGCACCGCGCTGAGCTGAGCACGCCATCGATGCGCGTCGCGCTCTTCGTCGCCGCCCTGCTCCGAACCACAGCATTACAACCGGGCCGACCGATCCAGGTCGTCGTGGACGTCGACGACACCGTCAAGTCGAGCGGCAATGTACGAATACTAGACATCCCGCTGGGCGGTATTGATGAACAGTATGAGCGGGGACAGTTCTACCCGGGGGTCTGCGACTTCTGCTTCGAATTAGCAAATGCACGTTCGGACCCGGAGCCCGTCGCCGTGCTCACCGCGCGCGCCGAGGAATTCGCATTTGCACTGCGGTTAGATGCCAACGACAAGGTCGTGAAGACCTTCCGGGAATGTGGTAGAAGGCGCTCGAACCCAAAGTGGGGCGTCGCTCCCGATCGGGTGCTCTACGGGAGCGCGCACGAGTGGGTCTTCCAGGACTTCAAGGGCTGGCGCAAGTTCTTGAATTTCGGCGTATTGGCGGCACGGTTTCCCGGGAGTGGCTATGTGTTTATCGGCGATACGGGAGAAAGAGACGGCGAGGCCGGCGAGCTCATGTGCTACAAGTATCCCGAGCTCATGGAGGCCGTCTTACTGCACATTGTCGGACCGGGCACTGTGTCGGAGGCGTACGAGGTGAACGGGGTTCCGGTACGTTTTTTCCGGACCTATGTGGGGGCGGCAGACATCTGCCACGCGCTAGGTCTGCTTGATAGAGGCGCTGTGGACCGCGTCTGCGACCGGGCGTTGATGGAGGCTTCCGTTTATGACGACTCGCGGCGGGAAGATGTTGTGTCCGACGTCGAGCGGTGGCGGCGTAAGACTTGATTCTTATTCTTACACAATCCCATCCGCCGTGTGCGGACGAGACAAGCCGTTCTCGCGAGACGCGTAGTAGACTCTCTGACGGCCACGTCGACGGCGTCGAGGCGACGTGGCATCGCGTCGACGCCATCGCTGCGACCACAAAGCCACCGCGGCCGCGTCCTCAGAGCGGCACCGTCGTTTGTGGAGGCGGGAACTTGCGGCGGCCCATCTCCTCGGGCCCGCGCCAGAAGCGCCGCTTTGCCTTGGGCGAGCCGACGTACTTCTTCATCGGCCGCTCCTTCGTCGGAGATAAATGAGGCTTGACGAGCATGTTGTCCGCGGAGACGGTCGTCATGATCGTCGGTGTTGTACCAGTGCCCGGCACCGGCTCGTCCGTGATGTGCGGGTTCCTGTAGGCGCGGTCGTGGTCGTACGTCGTCTGGAACTGGGGGCCGCAGCCCTCGTCCATGAACATGGCGTGGAAGGAGCGCGGGTTGCTTGGCGGCTGGGCCGGGGCGCCGGGCTTGTGGGAGGTGGTGGTGCTCATGGCTGCCTTCGCGGGCAGCCTCCTGCGGCGTTCACGTCGCGTCGACGGGCGGGGGCTGCCTCTGCGCCTGTGCCTTCGTGGGCGCTGCGGAGTCGGTTGTGTTTGAGCCCTCGCCCGAGCTAGTGGGTTGCGGCTGCGCGACCTGGATAGCTCGTCTTCGACGGGGTGGGGACGGCATTTGACGCATCCGAACGGTTCCGAAAATTCCGCAAAACCCGCCTTGTGAGAGCGTCGACGTGCGTGATCTCGCAGGCCTTCGTACGCCGTGCACAGCCCTCCTCTCCAGCTGTCACTTTTCGAGGAGCTAGGTGGCAGTACTCTCACCGCATTCCCACAATTGTGCGGTTGCTCGCGCGGTGCACAGCTCAAAAAGCGCTCCACAGAGCCCAGCATTGCCTGCACGCCATCGTCGCGACGCTGTTGATGCGCATCGCGTTGCTCCTGATGTGTCTCCACCCCGCCGCGACGAGACAGATGGGAAAGCCACGAGCCGTCCTCTTCGACTTCGACGGCTCCCTCGCGCAGTCGGAAGAGGCGCACCGCAAGCGCTTCGTCGCGGCGACGGGCGTGGCCTGCGACAGCGCGCGCTGGGACAGCGAGTGCGTCGGCCGCAACACGGAGTGGATCGTGTGCCACCTGCTCGGCGTCGACGAGCCGCCCGCGGCGGTGATCGAAGATTTACGCCAGCGCGTCGTCTCCGACGCTTTTTTAGCCGACGTCGCTCCGACCAGAGGCGGCCTCGAGCTCTTGAAGGCGCTGCGGGAGGCGGCGATCCCCGTCGCCGTCGTCACGTCCGGCCTGCGCGCGTACGTCTCGGCGTGCCTCGAGCGCTGGGGCGTCGAGGTCGACTACATTGTGGCCGGTGACGACGACGTTGCGCATAAGCCCGCGCCCGACCCATACCTGACGGCCTGCGAGCATTTCGCCGTCGCGCCGGCGGAGTGCGTCGCCGTCGAGGACTCGCCCTCAGGGCTACAGAGTGCCCTCGCGGCGGGCGTTCCCGTCGTCGCGATCGCGAACCCGGCGAACGCGGGCCTGCCGTTGCTCGACGAGGCGCGCGCCGTCCAGGGGGACTTGACGGACCGGGCGCCGTTCGGCATGTAAGTTGTGCATACTGTAGATTCCGATCGTCTTAGTAGATAGGAAGAATGAGGGAAGGGATCGCGCTCGCCGAGCCTGGCGGCGGCGGCGTGCGCGCGATTTTTTATCAATTCTTGTCGAGTTTCGTCGACTATCTCGTCATAGCGGTACGCGCTCGCGACAAAATTTGGAGCGTCGGGAGAAGACGTATTGTGGACGCCGCATGCAACGTTGTAGAGCAATCGATGCTGTTTTGGCTTTAATCGATTATGATCGGCTCGGCGCTGGCTTGCTGCGTTCCTATTTTTGCCCAGAGCCCGAGGTGAGCGGAGCCCTGGCCCCCAACGCGAGAGCCTAGACGCCATCGACGAGAGAGATAGAATAAGCCCCTTACGCGGATGGACCTAGGCCGACGCCCCCTCGAGCTCCATGCCCTCCGTTTGGGCGGCCGTCTTCTCCACTTCCACCAGGTCGAGGTACTTCTGCACCTCCGCGTCCTCAATCAAGCGCGACTGCCCATCGGCAGTCACGACGGCTAGGGACGCGGCCGCCGCGTCGAGTTCCTTGTCGCCAGCGACGCAACCGGCCAATGCCTGTGGGGAAATAAAACTTCAAGCGCCCTTCGATTCGGGGTCTCTCGGGGTGGGAGTGAGGTGCTGCTCTCTGGATACGGTCGCGTGGGTCTCGGAGGTCGTGTCCGAGTTTGAGCCAAAACGAGGGCCGCGGTGTCGAGATAGCGGCACACCGGTTGATTTCCACACAGGCCAGTGCTTGGAGAGCATGAGTACACAGCTCCTCGACCGGCGTGTCCTTGAAGGTCTTGTGGTGCTTCTCTAAGTAAGTTTTGGCCGACTGGGCTCGAGCGCCAATCGCGACGGCGACAAACTCGCTGAAATTGCCCGACGGACACGTCTCGTACAAGTGCGGCCCCGTCGCGTCGCAGCACGCCACCAACAACCCGACGCCATAGGGTCTTCTGACATAAGTCTGCGTGCACCGCTGGTACTTGTCCGCGATGTCCTGTACGAGTCGGGCGCCTTGGAGCGGGGCGCCATACACATATCTATGATTGAGGCACTCCGTCCTCATGACTTTCGCCAAAGTCCTCGCGTCGGCATTTAAACCAGCGACCGCAATGACTAAGTGGTCGTCGATCTTGAGAAGTTTTTTCTGGTGACCGCTCAGCTCGTTCGGCTGCCTTTTTAAGGCAGCTAAGACCACCCCATCCTTGCCGACCAACCCTAAGCACGCGGAGCCCTGCTTGACGGCCTCCATGGCGTACTCGACCTGGAGGAGGCGGCCCTGGGGGCTCCACACCGTGACATCGGTGTCGTATTGGCTGCGGAACATGGTTGTGGTTGCGGCGGCGGCTGGCGCGGCGGCTGGCGGCTAGCGCTCGGCGCGGCGGCGCTCGCAGACGGCGCGGCTGGCGCGCGGCGTGGCGGCGCTCGCGGACTTCGCAGCGGGTCCTTCGGCGCCCGAGCGAGCTGGCCGGCGCGCGTCCGAATTTGTGAAAGCGCGGTCGGCGAGAGCTGGAAACTAGTTGCGCCTGCACCTGGCTCGCGCGATGCGCAGCGCAGGAGTTTGTTTTACGAGCGGGCGCCGCGAGGCCTCGTGTGTCTACGACGCTAGCTCTGTGGCAAGACAACTCGACGCTGGCCGCAACGACGGCACCAAGGTATACGCCGGACGCATTGCTCTGAAAATTCATCTTTCACAAGCTTTGAGCAGCAGAGCACCATGTTCAAAGCAGCAATGCTGGCATCCTGCATCCTCAGCACTACTACAGCACTGCTGCACCCGCCAGTGCCGCGCCACCCGTCGCAACTCGGGGCCAAGAAGCGCGACTACTCCGCCGGCGGCCTCGGCAGCTCAAAACAGGAGCAGTTCGCGCGCTTGTGGAGAGACAAGGACGCCCCGGTAGAGCCACCCGTAAAAGACGAAACGACCTGGGAGGCGGAAATCGCCGCGTTTGATGCCGCAGCAGAGCTCGTGCCCGACGCCCACTGGCGAGACAAGGGCCGGGCGGCCGTCGTCGAGGACGTGTCGAAGGCGGCCATCACGAATGAGAGGAGCGTCGCCGTCGCGGCGTGGGACGCGCTGCGTGGTTCGGACGGCGGTCCGTACACCGCGGACGACGCCTGGCTCGACATGGACGGGCCGGCGCGGTCGCTGATCCTGGTAGGTGGCAGCGCGCACGAATCAACTTTTCTACCGTGTATCGTCGCCGAGGAATGACACCGTCATCGACGCACACAGGTCGTGGGCGCGGTCGACGGCGTCGACGCCGCGGCGCGCGCCTTGCACGATAGGTTACCGAGAAAGGTCGGCCGCGTCGTCGCGGTGTTTCCTACCGCGGCACAAGCGGCAAAGCGGCGGAAGCGCATCGGGGGCAAGGTCGAGTGTTTACATGATGATGCCGGAACCTTCGCGGCGGCCTGTGGCGTCTCCATGGAAAGCGCGGGCATCGTGGTGTTGGCGCCGCCGCACCCGTCGCCCGACCAACATACAATTGTCGCGCGCTTCCCGGCGGCGCTCGACGGCGTCGCGAGTGCTGTTGAAAATGCCCTTCGAGAGAAGGGCGTGCTGCCGTCCGTGCGGCGGACCGGGTAAGGATTGACTGTGTACTCGCGGCGACGGCGTGCCGGCACACGCGAGACGCGTCCGTCGGCATCGACGGCGTGCCGGAAGCGCTCCATCGCGGGCGCCGGACTGTTATCTGGGCCGAGCGGGAGGCGTCCTCGCGCGGCGCCCGAGTCTCGATTCGATTGGATTTGTGGTCCCCTGCACATCCAACACCGAACTCGCAATTACGGAGCGAAAGCGACAGCAAATCAGCAGCCCCGAGAGAGCAGCGAGCAGCAAAAAGCCCGCAGCGCCCCCAGCCAGCAGCCCCCATCAAAAAGAACGCTTCGCGCGCGAGACACCCACCATGTCTGATTTGGACTGCGACGGCCGTCCTTACGTCCGCATGCCCCGCCACGCGCCGCCGCCGCCCGTCACGCCCGTCGACCCCTACGCCACGACGGAGCCCGTCCTCACTGACACTTTAGAACAGGCCGAAGTACCCATTCCGCCGGCGGCCGGCGCCGCGGTCCTCTCTGAATTAGTAGATGGCGCCGCGACCGCGCCCTGGAAGGACGCGGCGGCCGAAGCGCTCCACAGGGCCGAGGCGCTGGAGGCGCGCCGCGACGCGTTGCTCCGAGGCCTCGAATCGCGGCCGCGCGATCCGCACACCGACAGGATCAGGAGGCGCCTCGCCCTGTTACGAGCGGCCGTCGCTCGAGATGCGGACATCTTCCTGAGAAAGAAGCTCTCAATTGTTCCAGAGAACGACCACGAGCTGGCCAAGATTGGTAGTAGAGAGCGCCACGCGCAGCACGATTTGAGATTGGTACGCATGGCCCTCAGTCGCTTAGAGGTGGACCTCGACGCCTCGTCCTCCTCGAGTGACGACGACGAACCGATCGTGTCGAAGAAGCGAACTCAATCACCGGAAGGGTTCCCGAAGCGCTTCCTGGCGGACGCGTACCTCGCGGCCGACCGGGCCGCGAAGAAGCTCAAAGCTGTGTGGAAATCAACCAGTGCGCCGGGTGCCTGGCTCTGTCGAGTGGTGAGGAACCGGCGTTGCCACGCCATCGAGCAGCATCGCAATTTGATTTCCACACAGGCTCAAGGGCTCGGGGGACGAGTTCTTCGAGGGCGTGGCCGCGATCCAGGCGCTGCTCGATCAGACGGACGAGTACGAACCGAACGGCGAGCTCATGGACTTTGCCCGGGACACGCTGTTTGATTTTTCAAAGTTTACGTCAAAAGATCCGCCGCGCCGGCCGTCGTGGGAGCAGCCCGTGCCTGATCAAAGAGTTGTTGTGGAATCACCTCCATCAAATTTGGCGTCGGCCGCGGAGGTGAGCGAGCTGCTGCGCGCGCTCTAGATTGATCCGCCTAAGTGTCCCCTTTTCCCCGAGTCGCGTCGACGGCGTCCCGCGCGGCTTAAAGGGCTCCGCGCGGAAATGTGATAGCGCCCGTAAGACACTAGCAAAGCGCGGCATGCGCAGTTTTTTGCGCGCCACGCTCCACAGCAGACTTCACTGCCGGAGCTCTGTGGAGCTTGAAACCTCGCAGAGACTGCGCATAGATCGAACGCGGCGCGCGGCTCCGAAGTGACTTGTGCTCTCTGCTCTCTGCAGCAGGCACTCACACAGAGAGCACGACCATGGACGTGCGCATCGCGTACGCAAGTGAAACGGGTAGAGCAGAAGCCCTCGCGTGGCGCTGCCGGAGCTGGCTGCGACTGAGGAACGTCACGACGAGCGACCCGGTCCCGCTCGACGCCCTCACGAGTGAATCAACGACAACAATCATCTTCGCGGCGACCGCGGGAGATGGAGCACCGCCCTCGAACGGCAAAAAGTTCTGGAGCACTCTGTTAAGGAAGGGCGCCCCGCGCCTGGACGGGAAGCGGTATGCTTTATATGGTCTCGGCGACGCGCGCTACGGCGCGAAGTTCAACGCGTTCGCTAGGCGGTTGGATGCGCGTCTGGCGCAACTCGGCGCCGCGCGGCTATGCGAACGATCGTTAGGAGACGCGTGTACCGTCGAGGGCGCCGAGAGCCTGCTGCCGGGCTTCTTCGCCCGCCTGTCTCCTGCTTTAGGTATTTCGGAGAGCCTCGAGGCGTCCTTGCAGGGTCGCGTCGGCGACGAGGCTCCTGACCGCGTCGAGGACTACGCGCCGCCCGTCACCATAAAGATGGTTGATGAAGGTTCCACAATACAAGCGTACGAACGGCGCCTGCTCGCGAAGGAGGGCTGCGCGTCCATAGCACAAGCGACACTCTCCACAACACAACGACTCACGGATGAAAACTGGTGGCAGGAGGTGCGCCACGTCGTCTTCAGCGCTTCTGTGACCTACGCCCCGGGAGACGTTGCTGTCTTAGTACCAAGGAACGCCCCGCGCCACGTCCAAGCGGTGTTACGCGCTCTCCAAAAAAACGATAGGACGATCTCACTACAAACACCGGTGACGTCCTCATTGGTCAACGGTACCGTCGAAGACGTGCTGTCCACGTGCTTAGATCTAGCCACGCCGCTCCCGCAGCGGTCGCTGGGCATTCTGGCATTGTTCGTGGTTGGTGAGGACGACACCTCAAAGGAACAGCGACAAAAACTCAAGGAGCTCGCCACCGTTCAAGGCGGCCCGCTGTATCGCGACTACGTCCGTTCAGAACGGCGCGGCGTCGCTGATGTGTTGGTCGACTTCGACCGCTGTGCACCTTCATTAGAAGCGTTGCTCGACGCCTGTCCGAGGCTGCGCCCGCGGCACTACTCGATAGCGTCGTGTTCTACCGATACAATTGAATTGTGCGTCGCGCGCGCGCTGCTAGAAACGCCTTTAGGACGGAAAGTGTATGGACTTTGTTCGTCCTGGCTTTGCGATCTGAGAGAAGGGACTTTGCTGATAGGCGTGCGCCGGGGCGAGTTCTCGCCCATCGAACAGGACCCGTTGGTGTTCGTCGGGCCGGGGACGGGCGTCGCTCCCGCTAGAGCCTTCGCGCGGTCTCAGCCTCGAAATGATATGTTGTTGTTCTTCGGGTGCCGCCATGAATCGAAGGATCGGCTCTACGCCGATGAATTTGCGGGGCTTTCGAAATTGGAAGTTGATGTCTCGGTCTCTAGACATACGGACGCTAGTCAGAGACGGTACGTGACGAAAGCTTTGAGGGCGCGCGCCACGGATGTGGCTCATTGGATTCTGGATCGGAATGCCCGCTTCTATATCGCTGGAAATGCTAAAATGGCCGCCGACGTGGCGCTGGCGCTGTGCGACTGCCTCGCGCCGCGATGTGGTGGCTCGCAAAAGGCGGCGGCGCTGCTGCGGAGGTTGGAGCGGGAGGGGCGCTTCGCAACGGAGGCGTTTGGGTAAATTCTTGTATGTATTCATCTTTGGTTATGAGCCTAGGCGTTGTTGCTCGTCGGCGACGTTTCGCTGGCGGAGAGTGCGGCTCGCGCGTTTCCCAGGGCGTCCTCAATCCCCACTGCGAGCGGATGCGCGCCACCGAGCACGCGCCGCGCGATCCGACCCACGTCCTCGAGCGTCGTCACGGCCTCGCGGAGATCGCCGAGCGTCACGCCCTCGTCTTCGTAGAGCGCCTCCGCGTAAATCACCCTCATCTTGAGCGTCATGTCATTATTATCCCCGAGGACGCGTCGTGCCACGGGCATCGTTCTGCGCAGCAGCGACTTCGCTTCTTCGAAGCGCTTTAGGCCAATAAGGGACGTCGAGTAGTTGTTGGCTGCAAGGAGGGTATGTCCATTTTCCTCGCCGTTGAGCCTCAAACGTCCGCTATATATATCTCGATCCATCTGTAAGGCATCTTCATTCCGCCCAAGCGCTCGATACGTGCTCGCGAGACTGCTCTGCGCGATGAGAATGTGTTCTTCTGCTGCGCCAAGGCGCCGCAGCATATGCAACATAGCCTCGTACACGGACAACGCGTCTTCGTAGTTATGAGCAAAGAATAAACCGTTCCCAAGCATGCTCATCGCCATGCCCTGAACCTCGTCCGTCTCCGGCCGCCCCAAGTACGTCTTCCAGCAAGCCCACCCGAGCGCACACTTCACGACGCCGTGGTACTCTTGCTCGCACAAGCTACAGCTGCACCACCGCCGCCACCTCGCATTAAACGCATCGTGGCCCAAATTGTTCTCCTCGGCCTCCGCGACCAAAATCTTCGCCTGCTCCACCAAGCACGATACGTGCGCGACGCCCGCCGTCCCGCGGCACGAGCATCCACGCACGAGGCCCTCCTTCGTCTTCCAATGGAGGGCCTGCGTGCAGATGTAGCACGTCTGGCCCTTCGTGTCCTCGGCGCACGCCTCCGCCGCGATTGTCACTGCCTCCGCGTACTTATTATTTGCGTTGTACTGCTCGGCGCCGCCTGATTTCTTTATCAGTTTGCAGAGTTTGTCGTGCCCGCCCTCTTCCCAGTGTTTTTTCTGGCATTCGGGCCCGCAGTAGCGTGTGCTGCAGCGGCCGCATTTCTTGCCCAAGGTTAGCCCAAGGTCGGTGGCGCAGACGGCGCACTGCGTGAGGATCATCTTGTATATGGTCAAATTCGCTCGGGGGCAGCCCTGCGATGCAAAAGCTTTTTGCTAGTGTCTTACATGCCGCTAGCTAATATCACAGCTGCTTTAGGAAGACAAAAAGCCGGTGCCAGGCGCCCCCCGGGCGCGCTGTGTGGACGCAGACACTCACATTGTTCATACCGAAAGTGACCCTAGCGCAGGAAGCCTTCCCGGAGGCCTGTGTTCTAAAACAGAGAGAGCAGCTCTCAGATCCTGATGGCCAGCCCCGCGACCAGCCCCGCGGGCGACACGACGCAGCAGGAGGCCGTCCAGCTCGCTTGTTTAGCCCTCACAAAACCAGGAGACGCCGGCGCCGCGGCGTCCGCCGCGGTCCTCGGCGCCGCGACGCTCGCGTTCCGAAGAAGCAATGACCAACTAAAGCTCGGAAATGTCACGATCCAGCGCGTCTACCCGGCCTTCGACGGGGCGGACATCATCAATGGAGACACGATGCTCCACGCGGCTGTTAGGAGACAACTGCACGACGTGACGAGTGCTTTGCTGGAGGCCGGCGCCCCACTTGGTGTCCGAAATATGAATGGCGAGACGGCCTTCGAGATCGTGACGGCGCCGGCACCTCAGGAGGAGGACCCCGAGCTGGAGCGGGCGCTGGCGGAGAGTCGTCGCCAGGCTGAAGAGGACGAGGCGCAACTCGCCGCGGCGCTGGCCGCGTCCGCGCTCGAGTCGACGCCGCGCAACGAAGGAAAGGCGCCGGACGCCGACGACGACCTCCAGCGCGCCCTCGAGGCCTCGAAGAAGGAATCGACGCCGCAACAACAACAACAGAAGGGCTTCTTCGGTCGCTGGTTCGGGAAAAGTGAGCCGGAAGACGACCTCGACGCGGCCGTCGCGGCGTCGCTGGCGGCCGAGGATGAAGACGTGCGGCGGCGGCGCGAGTCCGAGGACGAGGCGATGGCAAGGGCGCTGGCGGAGTCCGAGGCGCCGCCCGCGGGAACGCGGCCGCCGCCGCCGCCGCCGCCACCACCACCGGCCGCGTCGCTCGCCGCGGCGGCGGCGGCCGCCGGCCGCAAACCGCGAGCCGCGCCATCCTCACCGCCGAAACGCAAACCCGTGTCAAATGTCCACCCCCTCGCGGCCGCCGCCGCCGCCGAGGTCGCTAGAAGACCAAGGCCGCCGTCCTCGCCCACTCTGTCCAGAAGACCCGCCGCGCCGTCGGCGCTCGCCGAAGCATTAGCAGCAGCAGCGGCCAAGCGCAAACAGAAAGGCCCGCCGAAGTCTCCCACAAGGAAGCGGGTGAACCCCTTCCAACGCGCACAACCGCCGCCGCCGCCCGAGGAGGCGACGTCGCCTTTGCATGCGCGGCCGAGCGAAGCCCAGGTCAACACCTCGAAACGCATTGCTGAATTAGAAGCGACCGTGGCGGCTTTGCGGTCGGAATTGAATCGTGTCAAGAAGCCCACCGAGAAGCAGCAGCAGTCGATCGACGACATCGAGAGTGAATTAAGAGCAGCAACAGCTCGATGTCTCCAGGGAGATCCGTCGGCGGAGAGTGAGCTCGAGCGGCTGGACGCCGCTCTCCGGGCCCACCCCGACCACAAAATACGACAGGCGAAAGCTAGAGCGAATTGGGACTCGGAACAAAGAACCGCGAACAACAACGCGCTGGCGTTGACTCGTTCTCTCGTCCCGCCGGACATTCTGAAGAGTACGGCGAAGGACGTGGGCCTGCGGATCTGCGACGCTTTACAGTCAGACGACAAGCCGGCTCTGGCACTTGCGCGGAGAGTGTGGTCCGCGAAAGCGCTGCGAGCCGTCCGGGCGCCTTCGGAATTATTAAGGAAGGCGCACGTTGCTGACTTGCGAGGCACCTATACCCCGACCGGGCTCGACATCGTCGAACTCAGAGCGGTCTACGCGTGTCTGCCGCGGGAGTTCGCGAACGACGGGGACGGCGCGAAAGCAGCATGGCGCGAAAGTGTGCGTGAAAAATTAGTAGCGATGGTCGCGAAGGAGGCGTCGGGGTCGTTGACTCCTGCGGAGAAGCGGAATAGCGCGTATCAACACCTGCCGGACTTTGTGAGATTGTTTCCGTCCGAGGCGTGCGACGCGGGCTGGCGGCCCGACGCGGCGGATCCCTTGACACGGCCGGCGCGGCCGCGCGCGGCGCCGGCGGGATTATTAGCCGCGCTGCAGGGGCGGTCGCGGGTGGGCGTGTAATTCTAGTTTTGTTTTTTATGTATATCTTTGGGGGAGCGTGGGCGTCGTCGTGTGTGGGGGAGGATGTGTGTCTTGCAGCTCGCTGCTCTACTCGGCGAGCACGCAGAAGCCCGTCTTGGCGGTGCCGAAGCGGAGGCGGCGGCCGCCAGAGTAATCGCACACCAGGCCCACGGGGCAGTCCTCGGTTGAACCGCACGGGACCGTCGGATCCAGCTTGTAGCCAGCTTCCGGGATCCCGCGGTCGCTCATGAATTTGTCGAACGTCGCCTTGTCCTGCATCGTGAAAGGCGAGCCAGGGCTGCCCATCAAAACAGGATTCAGAGCCGATTCCTGGCACACGATGTTGCCCTTGGGGTCCTCCGCCGGCTTGAATGAGATGTGCGCGCAGTGAGCGGGGTTTTCGGCCGCGAAGTCGGCGTGGAGTATACGGCACGCCTGGCCCTTGCCGTCGAAGTACGGCGGCGGATCTAACATGGGCAGGCTCTCGAGGTCGTCGATGCACGTCGCGAGCCCCGTCGAATCGTACCCGTTGTCTTTCCAAGTCGCGGGGCACGAGTCGCGCATCGTGTCACAGATGTACTTGCGAACACCGTCGGTGTTCAAGGCGGAGCCAAAGTAAAAGTCGTACCAGCCTGGCTGGAGGTAGACCTCGACGTTGGAGACGTAGTTTCCATCGATCTCGTACTGGACTAAAGAATAAATCGCGACCTCGCCCTCGAGGCCCGGGGACGCCGGGGCGGACAACTTGAACTCGATCTGAAAAGCCCGCGTGAACACGCACGTGCCGGTTGCGGCATTGAAGCGGAACGGGTCGATATTGGATTCGGAGTACTTTTCCACAAAATCATCAAGGAACGGTGAAAAAGGACTGAGGAACTTTACGTACTCCCGGATAGCGTCGGGTCCTTGAAACGTGCCCACCGGAGCCAACGTTAAGGTCGAATCAGCCTTGTAGTACTCATCGTACCGGTCAAAATCTAGACTATCGAAGCCGAGCGCTAAGAAATTGCCGCAACCGGCCGGGCTGTAGTCGGCCTGGGCGGTCGAGGCCGCGGCCAGGAGCAGGGCGACGGCGAGCTTCATGTCGAATCAGTGGGAGGTCGACGTCCGCGTCGGCACAACGCGACAACTCTTCCGGCTCTCTGCCTTCCGACTCACGCCGCCAAACTTTGTGCGTTTGACGACCACCAATTTATAACTGGCCTATGCTTGCAAGTGCGCGCCTTTGAAGGTGTTTCTTGCGTGGAAGTCGAAGGGCTACGGACGTGGATCACGGCTACGGGCGCCGATCTTCCTCGTTGTTGCTCTACGGACTTTTATGGGCGCTGACAGCAAAAAGAAGGAGAAGACTATTTACTCGGTTTGACAACGCTAGCCTAGTCCTGGGGGGATGGACGCCTAGAACCTGGCCTCTAAAGGTCCGGATCCAGCGTCACGTCTTCACTGACAGCAAAGCCTGACGAGAAACCCGCACGACTATCTAAAGAGACCTCACTTACCCTTCGCCGCGGCCACGTACGCCCGCACGCGCGTCAGGTCCTTCGTCCGCGTTTCACTCTCGAGGCGCGACGACGCGTCGAAGCCCACCGCGTTCGGGACGGCCGCCGCGCAGTCGACGACGCGCTCCGCGTCGAGGCCGCCCGCCACGAGGCCCCGTATGTCATGCTTCGCATCCAACACGTCGGCGACGCGCCAGTCGAAGGGGGCTCCTAACCCTCCTGATTTCTCGCCCGCCGCGGCCGCATCCACAAGAACAAGACAGCACTTGGCCGACGCGACTTGTTCGTATGCTGCCGCGAGATCCGCGGCGGCGGCGTCGATGTCCGAAGATGGCTCCGCGTGCAACACGCGCGCGTGCGGCACTTGGAGCGCTTCCGCATACTCCAGACTCTCGGAACCGTGCAGTTGAATGACATCGACGCCCGACCCCTCGACGAACTTCTGCACGTCCGCCAGAGGCTGGTCCTGGACCACGCCGAAGACCAACGGCCGTCCTCGATCCGTGGCCGTTCGCAAGGCATCGGCCCACGCATCCAATGAGCCATGGGATGACGGAGCCCACCGTTGCTCCCGCTCCCCGAACGCCCGGACGGCGTCGACAATGTCCGAAGCCTGGGCGGCGTCTACGTATCTTTTTGATTTGGCGACGTTGATCACGCCGATAAGATCCGCGCCCGCGCGGCACGCAAGAATGGCATCTTCCGCAGTAGTCACACCGCAGACCTTGGCGAGCACACGCTTCGTCGCAACTGTGGCAGAGGGATACCTTAACTCGTTCACCAACGCGCCCGCGTCCGGCGCGCGCATGAGCGCCTCTCCCACCAAAACACACCTCGTACTACCATTCAGCTCGTCCACGTCACTCCGGCCCGCCGCTCCACTTAGTGATGCGAAGGTCAACTCGTCAGAGTAGTTCGGATGCTTGGCCGCCGCAGCCATCAGTCGAGGTGTGGTCGACATGTCGAGCTTGAACGAGTGCAAATTCCTATTATTTATACCGATAAATTCCACACCTTCCGTATCGAGAGCTAACTGCATTTCTTCTTCCGTGTGGACCTCGACGAGCGGCTGGATTTGGTACCTCTTGCAGGACGCGACGAGGTCTCTCAACTGAGATCTTGTGAGACAGGCCACAATGAGCAGGATGCAGTCAGCGCCATAGGCCCTCGCTTCGATGATCTGGGATTCCCTTGAAATGAAGTCCTTGCGCAGCATGGCGGGTCTCGGCTTACCTGTGCTCTCAGCTACTTTTTGCGCTGCACGTCTTGCTGATAATAAATCTTCCAGAGAACCGCTAAACTTGGAAGGCTCCGTCAGCACACTTATAATTGAGGCCCCGGCCTTCGCGTAGGTCGACGCGACGTCCGTGATGTCCGCATCCAATGCAATGTCTCCTTTGGACGGCGAGGCGCGTTTGAACTCGGCGGCGACGGCGACGACGTCCTTTCCATCAGAATCCCTCCTCACATTGCCAGAGGGCGAGACGGGCGGGCCCAATTCTTCGTCGATAGCTTTTATTTGTTCTTCTAGTTTTTGTAGATCATTTGAGGTGAGCGCGTCTGCCCTTGCGGCACAAGCGGCGTCGATCTGTTGTAAGGTGGAGGGCTCGTGCGAAGCGTCACCGAAGCCGAGCAAGTGGCCCGCCTCGTCCTTTGTGAGCTCGGGGGTTGCGACAGCGCTGTGCAAGCGCCGCGGCGACGGCCTGGTGTGCGGTGGTATGAGCGCCTCGGCTAAAGCCGCCTGGGCGAGCAGGAGCAGCCAGCGCATTGATGTGCTGCTGACGCTATGTATATATATATAGAGTATAGGCCAGCACTGAGAGCTATGGCGACTCAAGCTCCGCTGCAGCCACGCAATTGCAGCAAAACGCAAGCAAAGCTAGCGGCATGTAACACACTAGCAAGCACTCTCCTACGAGTACGACCAGCATTACGCGTCGCATGCTGAATCTCAGGGTCGCAAGCTGCCGTTCTTGATCGCTGCTACCGCCGGCGATACAGAGCTGCACCGCTACTGCCGCTCAAGCGCCGCCCTCACACGATCGGCCTCTGCGAGCTATCCAGCTAATTACACGCCGCATTCGTGCAGCCACAGCTACAAAATGCACGTCCCCACGCCACCGCCCAACGCCGAAGCCATGACGCCCGCCGAGCGCCTGGCCTACCTGCGGTCGCGCGGCGTCGAGGTCGACGTCGTGCGCGACATGACGAGGAAGAAGCCCACGCCGCCGCCGGAGACCAGCGAGAAGGAGCCGACGGTCGAAGGGCTGAACGTAGAGACCGTCGCGAGCGCCGCGGTGCCACCACCAGCACCCACACTCGACGACGACGAGGAGGACGCGCTGACGCCGGACCAGCGCCTGGCCTACCTGCGCGAGCGGGGCGTCGAGGTCGAGACGTCTGAAGACCGTTCTACAAAGAAGGAGGTCGTGCCTCTTCGGGGAGCGGGCGAATTCGTGTACCTCAAACTTCCTCACACGCCGACGGAAAACGTTTCCCGATTGCACGGTCCTATTTCGAAGGGCGACACGCTGTTGACGCTCCTCAAGCCCGTCTTTGCCGATCGGACAGTGATGGACCGGCGCGCCGTGGAACGAGAAACGACAGATAGACTGAGCAAGATGCTGTCGCAGCAAAGCGTCGAGGCGCCGTCCTTCGACACTCTACAAAGTTTAGCGTCGGAAGAGGGCCACGTCGAGGCCTATCCCTTAGCTAGAGACTCTTCATCAGGGAGACACGTCTCGTTGTACATCGACGGCATCGGGGCGTTGCGGGAACGACCCAGAAACGCGCGCGCCGAGAAGCTCTGTGCTGCTTGTGGGTTGCACGGGTTATCCATAAAAGGCGACGCTTATGTAGGAAGAACGCAAGCGGGCCCTTCCGGTTTAAGGAACGTCGACTTCTACGAGTCGGAGCTAGATCCGGCCTCGGACTGGTGCGTCGCGTCTCTCAGGAGCCACCACGCCCAGTCCCAGGCCATGCGGCCCGTGGACGTCAAGTCCGGTAGCGGCGAGAATTACAAGTGGTCGCAGACTGATGATGAGGTCGAGATTGTGGTGACTTGTCCAGAATCTGAGAAGCCTCTCAAGGCGCGCGTCAAGGTCTCTTATGGTCGAGGCGACGCGCTGACCGTGACGTGTGATGGCGTCCAGTTAATTCACTGGTCGCCGTTGTTTGCGCCCATCGATCCCTCTGGGTGTTCGTGGACTATTGATGGTTCTACGATTGTGGTAACGCTCGAGAAGAGAGAGGAGCGGGAGTGGCACACGCTGTGGTTGGTTAGGAGCGAGTAATTTATTCTAACGTACGGACGCCATCGAGCCTTGGATTACTTAGTTTATACACATGCGTCGGCGTCGCTCGCGGCGATGGCGTGGATGGCGCCTGGACCGCCTTCGCCGCGGCACGAGATTAGCGCGCCTTCACGCCCACGACTGGCGTCCACCTCGCGGCGCCCTGGAGCCGCGTGACGTCGATCTTAACGTCGACGAAGCCCGCCGCGCGCATCGCCCCGGCCAGCACGCGCGATCCGCCTTCTCCCGCCGGGCCGTAAGAGCCGCAGGCCCACACCAGTCTCCCGCCGGGCCGCAGGAGTCGCCGCATCTCCGCGTGGATATCCGCGAAGGACTCCATGCAGTGGAGGCCGTGCAGGCCGTAGATGATATCTACACTGGCATCATCCAAAGGCAGGGGCCGCGGCGTGGTGGAGCCCGAGATCGTCATCACTCCAGATTCGACCTCTTTTGCGAATTCCTTCTCCAGCCGTTTTCGGTTCTTCTCCGACAGCTCCCGGGCGTGGAGGCTCTTCGGCTTCGCCGCGAGGACCGCGCGCAGGGCCGCGCCGGACGCGCCGACCCCCAATTCGACGACGTCTTTGGGTTCGTGGTCGAGATCCAGTTGTAAGTAGAACGCGAGGTCCTCGCCGCGGGCCGCGTCGGCGCCGTCGCTGTGAAGTGTGTGTCGCGTCGAGAACAGGGCACCCATGCCGGCGCTTTAGTCCCAGGAATTTTGGCTTGGGTGGTCACAATCAATACCGGTGCCCCCGAGGCGGCTCGCGACGAACGTTACGAGTCCTGCGCACGCCGCCGGCGCGATATACGACCCGACGGGGCGAACGTTTGCGGCAAATTTGTGAACCCGATTTTTGGGTCCAGCCACAAAACACGCGACGCGCGAGCCTCACAAACGCCAAACCAACGCAAAATGATCCTCACAACTTGCGCCGCCTGCGCCGCCCCACTGGCCCACGACGCGCCCCGCTGTGTTAGATGTAAGGTTCGCTATTGTGACTCGACTTGCCAGCATGACCACTGGCGCCGCGGCCACAAGCAGATGTGTAAGAAAATACACCGCGGCGGCAACGCAGAACAGTATAACGCCGACAAAAAATACAAGGAGGCCGTCGCGGTCGCGGTCGAGGCGTGCGCCGAGGACACGAAGGGCCAGACGTGCTACATCTGCACGCAGGCCTTGCACTGGAAGACGAAGGAGGGCCTCGTGCGCATGTGTGCGTGCCGCGGGACGGCGGGCTTCGCGCACGTGTCGTGTCTGGCGGAGCAGGCGAAGATCTTGTTCGCGGAGGCCGAGGAGAACAATTTGGGCGTCAAGGTGTTGAACGAGAGGTGGCGGCGGTGGTTCACGTGTAGCCTGTGCGAGCAACACTACCACGGCGTCGTGCGATGCGCGCTCGGGTGGGCGTGCTGGAAAACGTACGTCGGTCGGCCGGAGGCGGACGAGGCTCGGCGCATGGCGATGGGCGTACTTGCGAACGGTTTATCCTCTGCATGTCACCACGAAGAGTCGTTGTCCGTGAGAGAGGCCGAGTTTTCTATGAAGCGACGCAATGGCACATCAGAACACAACCTGCTCGCCGTGCAGAGCAATCTTGCGAGAACACATGCACAGCTTGGACGGCTTGAGGAGGCTCTAAGCATGGAGCGAGACGTGTACTCCGGACGCTTAAAGTTACACGGCAAGGATCATCCGCAAACCCTCATAGCAGCAACCAACTACGCGGCGTCCCTTCAGGCTCTAGAGCGCTTCGAAGAAACCAAATCACTGCTGCGCAAAACGATGCCCGTATCGCGGCGCGTTCTTGGAGATTCGAATGAGTTCCCGCTTAGGATGCAGTTGTGTTACGCGGTTGCGCTCTACAAGGACCCTGCAGCCACGCTCGACGATGTGCGCGAGGCCGTGACGACGCTCGAGGACGCGAATCGGATCGCGCGGCGCGTGATGGGTGGCGCGCACCCGCTCACGACAGGGGTTGATGCGGGTTTGCGAACCGCGCGAGCCGCGCTCCGCGCCCGCGAAGCCGGGCAGAGCGTCGTCTTCACGTAGAAGAATGAATTACACTGTTCGCGAGCCGTCCTCCGCGCCCGCGACCCGGCGAGCAATTAATTACAAATACTTAGCATATAAACTCACACGACGTCCGCGCCTTCATCCACCACGAGCCTTGTCCGCTCGCCCGCCGTCGACGATTGAGACCCCAACCGACGTAAAGCACGACCAACCGTAGAAGCCACCGAGGCCTCATGCGCCGACGACGCCCGTAATCTCCCGCGCACCGAACCTCTACGAGACGGCGGCGACACCGAACCTCGTTCGAGCGACGCCCGCCGACCAGACAGCGTCGCCCGCTGCAGGACCGCCGACCGCCCGAACCATTTTCGGAGGATGAAATTGCCGACGACCCTTTTGGCGATCCTCCGGTCGTCCTCGTCGTAAATCTCTTCGGTGATCAATTCCTCGACGACGTCCTCCAGAGTGACGATTCCTACGGCCAGCGTTTCGCGGTCGTGGACTCTACAACTCGCTGAGCGTTGCGGGTTCATCGACACGAACGCGACGTGACTTTGGCCCTGCTGGAAGAGGTCTAAAACCTCCGGTAGTGACTGGTCGAGGGAGACCCAATGCGGGGTTCTTAGAGCTCGGCCCGTCCCGGACAGCGTGATGGTCTGGTCTGGTTGGCACCTGTGTGGAATCAACCAGTGAGTCAAGGGGACCGTCGAGCGGTGACGAACCGGCATCGCCACGCTATCGAGCAGGCGTCGCGTCGGCGTGGAGGTCATACGCGACGATTCAAGAACGCGCCGCGAAATTTTTATGTATGCACAGGTCGGCACCCGACGAGCTCCTTCACGAGTATGAAATCGCGCCAGTCTCCGGGCGTCTGCGACCACCTGAGAGGTATCCTACTATGCCCGGCATCCCTCAGAGCTTGCAGCGTTTCTAGCGTCAACGGCGCACTTGCTGAGACGGTAGCGACCCTCTTGAGAGGAACGTAGACGTCCGCGACGGTCGTTCTCCGTAGAGCCATCACTCCTCGCACCAAGTTCGACTCGTCCGCCGTGAAGGGCGCCGGCCGTCCCCGCAGCTGCGCCAGCTCCCGTTCCACTTCGACCCGCGCCACGATCTCATCTGGTTCTTCGCAGTCGTCTTCCTCGGGCAGGTAGTGGTCGAGTAACAAGCTAATAGGGTAGGTTATTGGAGAGAACACCGCCAGGACGCATTTCACGAGGGGCGCGCAGAGAGCGGCCATCCGCAGCTGCGAGGGACCCGTGAAGATGGCCGACGGTAATATTTCCCCAAAAACTAGCACGAAGACGACGGAGAAGAGCACGGCGGCCCACGTCGGCGCTAGTTTGTCTACAAATATAGGTAAAGCCTCGTTGGCGAGCGAGTTGCATAATAACAGGGTTACTAGTACTTGGTGATGCGGCCTCCTCTCCACCAGCGGTAGGAGTTTCGAGGCTTGGCTCTTTTCGGTTGCGGTGCCGGTCCTTACTATCACTCGGAGTTCCGAGGACTCTAGAGAAGTGACGCCCATCGTTAAACCCGCAGCTAATGCGGCGCAGGCCACAATCACAATAACGCACGCTAGGTCGACGTAGTCCTGCACGTCGTCGAACGTCGCGAACGCGTGGTCCTCGGAGAGCCGTCTCCTTGCAAGTGCTGTGACGAGGTCGGCGCACGCGGCTTTGTGATCGGTGACGTGGGGCGAGGTTGCCAGAGCGGCTTCGCAGGTCGCGGCGTCGAGCATGGCTTTTTTTATGCCTTGCTTGCAGCGATGAGGCCACGCGCGTCTGCAGCGCTTTGGCAGCCTTGCAAGTCTTTGTGTTTGTCGGGAGCGCGGCGCAGGCGCACGGAGAACTTCGGTTTCGCAGCGCGTGGCTGTCAGTAGCACGAATGCCAGCTCTGACAACGCGCACGGCACGAAGTCGCGTCGCAAAAGTGCTGCGAGCTGATTGGGCTGCAGCCGGGCTAGAGGGGGTTTTACTAGCTTAACTCACTCCCACAAGCTTCCAGGGCTCCAGTGGAGCACGGACGCCAAGTCCAGAGCGGTCTTGGCGGTTTTCGCAGCGGTCCGAGATCGAGCGGCGCGAGAGTTCGGGCTGCTGGCTTGTTTGAATTGGGACGTGCTCCCGGCTCACAGGCGTGGAATTGGACTGGATCACCGGTGCGCTGCGGCGCCTCACACCTATCTACGACGCGCGGAGGCTTGACGCGGTCGAAAACGACGCTGCGCGCGCCGCAGGCCCCCCAAAACCGAGGAGCGCTCTTTTTCAAAACAGCAGCGCGTAGAAGAGTGCGCCGCCCGCGCCGCACCCATTTTCACGCCGCGCCGCCACCGCGCCAGCCGCCCACAGCTTTTCCGCGCGCGCCGCGCCCCAGCGACGGAGAGGGAACGCGCCGCGGGACCGTCCCACGCACAGGCAAAACGATGACGACGCTCAGCGCCGGCGCCGTCGAAGGCATCGTCAACGAGATCGTCACGAGTGATGGCGGCGACCGCCCGGTCCTCCAGGTGGCGAAGTTCCAGCCGGTAGGCGGCGCGAACGCGACGCGCCACAAGCTCTGGCTCACGGACGGCTCGCGGTGGGTCTACGCCATGGCGGCGACGCAGGTCCACGCCTTGCTCCAGGAGGGCGGCGACTTCGCGCCGGGATGCCTCGTGAGACTCCTCAAGTACTCCGTGAACGACATGGCCGGCCGCAAGATCGTCATCGTCATCGACCTCGAGGTCGCGGCGGGCCCCCAGAAGTTGATCGGCGCGCCGACGGGCTACCCGAACGGCGAAGCACTACCGAGCGACGCCCAGCCGGCCGGCGGCGCGCCTGCTCCGCAAGCGGCGCCGAAGAAGCCCGCGCCCGCGCCGGCGAGGGCCGCGCCGAGAAGACCGAGCGCCGGCGGCCGCGCGGCCATGCCCATCGCCGAGCTCAACCCCTACCAGCAGCGCTTCTGCCTGCGCGCGCGCGTGACCTCGAAATCCCAGATGCGCTACTGGGACAAGCCGACCTCGAAAGGTAACCTCTTCTCCGTCGACCTGCTCGATGCGTCCGGCGAGATCCGCGGCACGTTCTTCAAGGAGACGGCGGACAAAGTGTTCCCTCTACTCGAGGAAGGCAAGGTCTACACGTTCCAGGAGACGTCCGGCCGCCTCAAGCCGGCCAACAAGCAGTACACTTCATTAAGTCATGAATTTGAATTGACCTTCGGCAACGTCACGGTGGAAGCCTGCGACGACGACGCGGGCATCTCCCAGATCAAGGGCGACTGGCAGCCCCTGTCGATATTCGGCGACGGCGGCGGCCCGCGCGACGGCAACATCGACGTCGTCGCCATCGTGCGCAAGGCCGAGCCCGTCGGCACGATCATCTCGTCCAAGTCCGGCAAGGAACTGACGAAGCGAGAGGTCGTCCTCTGCGACGACAGCGGTTTTGACATCCGGTGCACGTTCTGGGGCGACGTTGCTTTGAAGGAGGACGCCTTCTGGGATTCGCAGCCGACGCTCTGCGCCAAGGGTCTTAGAGTTGGTGACTTCGGCGGCGTTTCCCTCTCGTCAGGCTTCTCCTCCCAATTATTGTGGGACAGCCAGGACATCCCGCGAAGTGTGGAGTTACGACAGTGGTGGTCCGAGGGCGGCAAGGACTCCTCCACCCAAGGCTTGACAGGTGGCTCAGGTGGCGGCATGGGCGGCCGCGAAGTGCCCTTTGGCGAGCGAGGTGTGCTGGACGACATCAAGGCCAAACAGCTCGGGTATGGCGAGAAGCCCGACTACATCGGGGTTGCGGCCACCTTGAACTTCGTGCGCTCCGAGAAGCTCTGGTACGAGGCCTGCGCGTCCGAGGGCTGCCAGAAGAAGGTCGTGCAAAATACGGACGGCACGTGGATGTGCGAGAAGTGCAATTCTACCAGTGCCGAGTGCCAGCGGCGCTACATCGTGTCCTGCACCTTCATCGACGACAGCGGCCAGGCCTGGGTGTCGGCCTTCAACGAATCGGCCTTGGAACTGTTTGGGAAGGTCGACGCGGACCAACTGGCCGTGTACAAGGAGGAGGTCGACGGCGAGGACGGCAAGTTCGAATCGTACATGAAGCAGTTCAACTTCCAGCGCTACGTCCTGAAGCTGCGCGCGAAGGCGGACACGTGGAACGAGCAGACGCGGGTCAAGGTGTCCATCGCGGACGTCAAGCCCTGCGACTACAAGGCGGAGAGCGCCGCGCTGGTCCAGGCGCTCGCCTGAGTTCCTCCCTCCCCCTGTGGCGTAAGACTTACTCCTCGCTTAGATGCCTTCCGTGGGGGAATACACACAACTACAGGTTCTTGCTCGGCCCCCGGCGCCATGCTCTCGGGCTCCGGTTCGACGACGACGCCCTCGACGACGGGCCGCCCGGCGCCCGGCTCCCGCTCCGCCGGCGGCTGCTTGGCCTCGGGGGCGACGGCGCTACGCGAGGCCATCTTTTCCCGGCGGGCGGCGGCGACGTTATCTTTGATTCGCCGGTTTAACCGAGACGACGGTGCCGAGCTCGTTCGGCGCGATGCCCGCGGCCGGCGCGTCGACGACGCTGACCGTGCTGGCCGGCAGCGCGGGCGCTTCCTCGGACGTCGTGGGCGCGACCGCGCGGACCTTGGTCCCGCGACGGCAGAGGACGCGGCGCGCGGCGGCGGCGTACGTTTCGTCCGCGTTCTTCCTCTTGTGGACGTACCAGCCGACGCCAGCAAAGATGCAGAAGATGATCGGACCGAGGAAGACGAGAAAAACGCCAACAAAAGTCCCATGGCCGGGCCCGGGCCACTTACATCTTCCTTCGTCGCCCGGGCCCATGTCGCAGGTCTTCCCGGGTTTGCACGGATAGCATTTGTACTCCTCGACTGATTCCCCGACGTCGCAGGCCATGCCGGTCTGGACGAACTGGTACGTCGCGTCCCCGACTGGTGCGCACGACCGATGTTTGATGTTTGATGTTTCCGCGCCGCGCCCGCAGCAGGTCGGGTCCCTGTCTTTCCGTGGGACATTCCCTGTCTTTCCCTTCGATGTTCTTTTTTTTTGTCGGCATTTTGTGTTGACCTGGCACTGCTGCGGGGCGTGGTCGAGGGTGAAATTGAGCTCGCCGGCCACGCGGCAGAGGGGGGCGTGAGAGGGAGATGAGAGGCTGTCGTGCCACTCGCCCGCGGTGTCGATGATGGCGTTGCGCTGGTCGCCCCCAGCATTGTCCGGCGCGCCGGCCGCCCAATTCGTGTACGCGGGGAGGGCGGTTTGGCCCGCCGGCGGGTCCTGCCAGAGCCACGTCTGGTTCGCCGCGGCGGTGCCCGCGTCGCCCCCCGTCTCCGCCAGGCCCAGCCAGCACGCACTATTGCCGCAGGCTGTCCGCGCCAGCTCGTTTTCCGCCGCGCTGTGGATGGACGCGATCGCGGCCCCGATCTGCGTGCAGCGGGCCTCGGCCTCCGCGTAGGCAAGGTCCTCGGGCACGCGGACGAACGTGGTGGCGGCGCCGTGCGAGCCGGGCAGGGCGTGGAGGAGGAGCGCCACTACAGCAGTGGCGCGCATCGTCGTCGTCCTCGTGGAGGCTGCCCGTGGCGTTGGGGATACTCGCAATTCATTTGCGTGCGGGTCGCCGCGCGTCGCGGGACCCAGATGGGGACCCTCGGCGAGACGTCGATCTTGAAATATGCCACTAAAATTCTAGAGACATACTTGCTTCTCGACGAGCCGGGACTGCTCACGAGGCTCAACGCCAACGGTTGACGCCGCCCGCGCGACGAGCCCCGCCGCCGGCAGCACAGAGACTCAGCGCGACGCTGGTCCAGGCGCTCGCCTGATTCCCTTCCCCCCCCTGTGGCGTAAGACTGACTCCCTATATGATGAAGAGGACTTAAAAGAGTAGAAAGAGGACGATCGGGAAGAGGGCGGCGGAGAGGGTCCTGGCGCCGTCGCTGGCCAGGGCGCCCGTCGACTGGCAATTGCCGTTTTCCTCCAGGGCTCCTTGCTTGACGCCGCACGACGTCGACTCACACGGGGTTCCGTCGAACGGGCCGCCGTCGTTGACCCTTTTAAATATTACGTCGTCGTCCACGCACCAGCCGAGGTCCTGGTCGAAGGCCGAGGCGCCGGCGAACATCCAGCGCATGTCCGTGACGCTGTGGACCGCCCAACCACCGATGTCCTGGTCGAAGGCCGAGGCGTCTTTGAACATGGATTCTATGGCTCTGACGGCCGAGGTGTCCCACGCGCCTATGTCCTGGTTGAAGGCCGAGGCCTCGTAGAACATCCCGCTCATCGTCGTCACGCCGGAGGTGTCCCACGCGCCGATGTCTTCGTTGAAGGACGCCGCGGCCGTGTTGCAAGAACTGAACCATGAATCTGCGCAAAACAAGTGATCCATGTCCGTCACCCCGCCAGTCTCCCACGTCGAGATGTGGCCGTACGTCGCCTCGGCGGCGGCGCTGTCCGAGAGCCACTCTGTTACTGCAGTTCGGATGGTGATGTCGTTCATCGTGCTGCCAGCCACGGCTGACAATAAACTAGCCAAGGACAAAAGCGCTGCGGATCCCATCATCGTTGCGCAGGGCAGCCTAAGCACAGCTACTTGATGAGATGTGATCGATCTGCAAAATTACATACGTGCGGGTTCCCCTCGACGGACGACAAACGACAAGTCCTCGTTTTCGAAGAGTCACTAGAAATCTAGAGACATACTTACCTCTCGACGAGCCGGGACTGCTCGCGAGGCACAACGCCAACCGCCGTCCGCGCCACCAGCCCCGCCGCCGGCAGCACCGAGAGCGCGACGCCCAGGAAGAGCACGACCGCCGGCAGAACGATCTCGAGCAGCACGAATCGTAAACTTTTGCAGAGCTGCCTCGGGTCGCCACGCGGCCGTTCCACCCTCCAATGGCACCAGACCGGCAGGGCGAAGGACGTCAGCCCGACGCCGAGGGCGACGAGCGACGCCCAGACGTCGTCCGGCAGCGCCGAAGCGAGGAGAAAGACGACCGCCACGGCCAGCGCCGCGAGGGCCCGGCTCCTGGTCCGCAGCGCAAGGCCCTCGGCGACGCCCTCGACGGCGTGGCGCAGCGGCGGCACGAGCGGCACGAGCGAGAGCGCCGCGACGGCGGCGCTCAGCAACGTGTCCGACGGGGAATTTCCAGAAACGGCCACTACCCCGTAGAGCGCGCCCGTCGTCAGCGCGCCGGCCAGCGCCGCGCCGGCAAGGGCGTCCGGGTCTCCACCAGCTAAAGCGCGCCGGAGCACGAGGCTTAGGGCGGAGGGTTGTAATGTCGCGAAGGCGACGTTGAGCGAGGCCAGCGCTTTTAGAGGATGCGTCGCCTCGACGGCGACGTCCGCGGCCTTCATGCCCAGCACAACCATCGCGAGGAGCCCGAGGAGGCCCAGGACGGCGGCCGTCGTCGCGACGCGCGCCGATTTATCCAAGGCCGCGGCCGCGAGGCCGATCCCGAGCGTCGCGCCCACATTCACGACGTAAGACGGTCCTTCAACGAAGCCCGCGAGCGCCCCGGCCGCGCTGCCGAGGCGTTTCGCACAGGCCGCGGCGACGACCAGCAGCGCGGCGCCGTCCGCCATCGCGCGCCGGCGGCGGCCGAGGCCGCAGCTCGCGGCCACGGCCCCGTAGCCGTCGGCGCTCTCCGCCGCCGCATGTATGAGGTAGCGCGCGCTCGCGCCGTGGAGGAGTGCGATCGCAGCGACCATCGAGAGCGCTTTGGGCAGCCCGTAGGCCGCCACGAGCGGCGCCGCCGCATTGATATGGGCCCCGACGACGGCGAGCTGCAACCTGCACCACACCGCGGCGTCGACGGCCATGGCTGCGGCTGCCCAACTTGCATAAACTAGCTGGGGGCAGCGCTGCTGCAGCTGGCTCTGGCGCTCTGATCCTCGCGTACGCGGCGCTAGCGTTATCGAACGCGCCGCAGCGATGGAGCGCCCAGCGGCGCCGGTCGAAATGCCAGGGATGCGGCTGCCCCGCGGCCTCCTCGCCTTGTACACTTTGGGCGCCCTGGAGGCCGCCGTCCCGCTCGTCGCCCAGGTCCAGTGGCTCGACGCCCATGGCGTGGGGCAGGCGCAGCAGCTGCGCGTCTTCGCGCTCGGTTATGCGTGCTTCTCGCTGCGGCCCGTCTACGGCGCACTCGCCGACGCGCTCGCGACGCGCTACGGGGCGCGGGGGCGCGTCCTGGCCTACGTCGCGGCGAGTTTCGGCGGTGTCCTGTGCCATTGTACGCTCGCCGTGACAAGGTCCGTCGCATCCTTCGCGGTCGGCTATGCGCTCCTCTGCGCGTGCCAGGCCTGTGCCGAGACGTGCCTCGGGGCGCGGCTGGCGGACGTCGTGGCTTCAGGAGTCGGCGCGGGCCGCGCCCAGGCCGAGGCTACCGCCGCTCGTTGGCTCGGGACGCTCCTCGCTTCATGCGTCGGCTTCGCGATGTACCGTTGCGATCACGCGATACCGTCGCCCGCCACCGCGTTCCTCGCCGCCGCGGCGTGCCCTTTGGTCGGCGTCGTTGTGGCACTAACAGCATCGGACACGACACCAATCTCAATGAAGCGCGACGCGCAGTCGCCGGTGCCGCTTTTGATAGCTGTGCAGGTCGCGTGCGCGTGGGTGTCGGCCAAAGGGGCGTTGGCGACGACTATCTGGTGCGTCAGCGGCGCGGGCCTCGCCGTCGTGTTCATTGCTGTCCTCTGCTACCGTCGTAAGACAACCGCGCTGGAGGAGCCCCTCCTCGCGGCAGAAAAGCCGGGCCTCTGGCGCGCCGGGCCCTTCCTCGTCGCCGTCGCCGCGGCGCCGTCCGCCTCGGAAGTCCTCGCGAACGTGCGCTACGAGCGCTTCCAGGGTCGTCCTTGCGTCCTGCCCCTCGTGAATGCGGGCGGGGCCCTCGCGGCCATGATCGTGTGCCTGGTGTGCGTCCGGCGGCCGCCCGCTACTCGAAAAGCGGCCGCCGTCGCGGTTTTCGTCGCGGCCGGAGCGCGCCTCGCGCAGCTGCCCGCCGCTCGGAACGTCGTTTACGCGACGCTGGGCAACGTCGTCGACAGCGCCGGCGGCGCGCTGCTGGGCGTGGCGGCGACGACCTTTGCCCTGAAAGCGGCGGCGGGGTCGGAGCGGCGCGGCGCGGTCTACGGGGCTTATCTTGCCGCCTACGACTCCGGCGGCGCCGCGAGCGGCTGGCTGGCCGTATTTCTGGCGACGAAATGCCGCACGGAGCCCGATCATCCGGCGTCCGTGCGGCGCTACCTCTACGTCGCCGCGGCGGCCTCTCTTATACCGTTGGCGTTCCTGCCATTGGTGCCCGTGCCCGAACCTCCTCGCGAGGAGTCGTCCGACGAGTCGTCGGACGACGACGTGTCCCTTGTGTTGTAACTTGACTTAGTAGAGCCCGCGAGTGTCGAGCACGTCTCCGACTCGTCGTCTCGCGTCCGAGGAAAACCCGTTTTGGGGGTGTTTCAGCAAAAAAAGAAATTAACACATCACGCCGCCGCGCGAAACTCGCAAACGCCCCAAACCAGACAAAAATGATCCTCACAAACTGCGCCGCCTGCGCCGCGCCACTGGCCCACAACGCGCCGCGATGTGTTAGATGTTGGACGAGATATTGTGATGCAACTTGCCAGCATGACCACTGGCGCCGCGGCCACAAGCAGATGTGTAAGAAAATACACCGCGGCGGCAACGCGGAGCAATACTACGCCGACAAAAAATATAAAGAGTCGGTAGCGGTCGCGGCGGAGGCGTGCGCCGAGGACACCAAGGGCCAGACGTGCTACATCTGCACGCAAGCCTTGCATTGGAAGACAAAGGAGGGTCTCGTGCGCGGGTGCGCGTGCCGCGGGACGGCGGGCTTCGCACACGTGTCGTGCCTCGCGGAGCAGGCGAAGATTTTGCTCGCGGAGGCCGAGGAGAACAATTTGGACGTCAAGGTGCAGAGTGAGAGGTGGGTGCGATGGTACAAGTGTAGCCTGTGTGAGCAACGGTACTACGGCGTCGTTTTGTGTGCGCTTGGGTGGGCGTGCTGGAAGACGTACGTGGATCGGCCGGAGACGGACACGGCTCGGAGGAGTGCTATGACGCAGCTTGGGAACGGTTTATCCGAGGCAGGACAACACGAGGACGAGTTGACCGTGGGAGAGGCCGAGTTGTCTATGGAGCGGCGCCTTGGCGCGCCAGAGGCACGAATTCTCGACGTGCAGAACAATCTTGCGACCACGTATTCAATGCTGGGACGGCGTGAAGAGGCCGTAAGCCTACAGCGCGACGTACACTCGGGAAAAATAAGGCTCTTCGGCGGCTCGAGTAAAGAAGCTATAATAGCTGCCCAAAATCTCGTGGACACGCTAATGAAGCTCGGACACCACGAGGAAGCGTTGCCGTTGTTACTTGAAACTATACCCAAGTCCCAGCGAGTGCTCGGAAAAGATCATGAGCAAACGTTCAAGTTACAGAGGATGCATGCACAGATCCTTATCGGCAAAGACTGCGCCTCCCTCGACGACCTTAGTCTGGTGGTCGCAACGCTCGAGGACCTGGATCGGCGGCAGCGCCGGACCCAGGGACCTGACCACCCTCAGCGGAAGATGACGCAAGTCTGCTTAGATTTCGCCCGGAAACGAGCCTTGCTCGCCCGGAAACGAGCCTTGGTCCGCGCATTGTAATCATGATAACGAATTAATTAAGAAGCTCAGTCGTCCCAGTTGCCCCGCCGCGGCGCGTCGAGCGACCGGTCCCACGCGTCGTAGCGGTGCTTCGGCCGTTTTTTTGGGGGAGGCGCCGCGCGCACGTCATCATCTCCATCATCACCCCAGCCGCCGACCGCAAAGCCGCCCCAGGCCGTCACGGGCGCCTCGTCATCGAGGGCGCGCCGCGCGGCCGCCACTTCAAACGCCGGCTTCACTTTCGCGCGCTCCGCTTCTAATTGCTGGTCCATTCTAGACTCGAAGTCGGCGTCCTCGTCGTCGCCGGAGGAAGACGACGACGACGCGGCGCGCGCCGCCGGCGCCGCCGCCGCCGACTCGAGCGACGCCGCGACCGCCCGCGCCACGGACGCCGCCTCCGTCGCGGCCCGGAGCCGCGCGTTCTCGGCCCGGAGGCGGGCGATATTGGCCTTTAAGGCCGCGTCGTCCTCCTCCTCGGACGACGACGACGCGTCCGGGTCGAACGACTCGTCGTCCGAGTCACTATCAGCGAATTCGTCGCGCCAGCTCGGGGGCTCGTCATCATCTGAATCCGCGGCCGCGTCGAAGAGACCGCCCAACTGGCGCGACGCCTCCGGTTGTGACACGACGCCCGCCGGCAGCGTCCCCTCCCTTCTACGACGCGCGTAGTCCTCGACGCCGTGGAGCTCCGTCTGTTTTGACTGAGGCACGTCGAAACTACCAGGCAGGATCAAATTGAAGTGGTGCTTCAGCAGCCCGTGGCCCTCAAATAACCTTTCGACCTTCTCGATACACTGAAACTCCTCCTGTTCGGTGCATCCTTGCACGACCGTCCTCGCCAATTCTACGAAGGCCGCGTACTGCTCCTCAGTCAATACATCCTTGGCCACGCGCAAGTACTTCTCCGAGGCCTCCCTTCTACTGGACGACCGCGTCGCGCTGCGCCTCGACTGTCTCCGGCGCAATTGGTTCGCCGCACTCTTGGCCTTGAGCGCCGCGCCGCGGGCACCCAGCGGCTTTACGACGCGCCGCTTGAGGCCCGCGGCGCCGTGCTTGACTACTACTCTTTTAAAGCGCCTTTCGAAGGCCGCCATCAACCGAAATTTCGCTTCCAACAAAGGTGCGGAATCAACAGTCACAAGCGACGGCTTCGGACGTTTTCTTCGACTAGGTAGATCTACACTATCAATCCGCGCTCGTTTCTGGGAGTTCCGCGCGTAGAAGAGCAGGTAGGCCTTGGAGCGCAGGACCTCGCTCTCCTTCACAGTAGTGACTCGACTATCATCATAATGCCACCACTTGTTCTGGGACCGCGCGTAGGCCGTGTAGTGGCCGCCTCTAGTGGTAGAGCCGTGGTGGATGACCACGCCGGTCAGGTCGTACGACGCACTATCAGTCGGAGACCACCGCGTGTCGAACGCGACGCGTCTTTCTATTTTTTGCGGTTGTCTACGTCTTCTTCTCTGTAGTTGCGCCGCCCGGAACCGCTTCAAGTGCACAACTAAAGCTTCCGGGTAGTCCTGAACTCCAAGAGCTTTCGTCGCCCTTACCCTTTTATCACAGCCGCCGCACCGCCACGCGTCCGATGAACTGAGAGTCTCGGGCGCGGACCAGGCTTTGAGGGCCTGGTTTACTGATTCTAGCGGCTCCAAACTCAAGTCTAGGAAGGGCTCCGTTGTTTTCGAGGCGTAGCCGCACTCGGGACACGTCAGCGTTGACGTCGACCGACCTTCGAACAGCGCCTCGACGGGCCCGCGCTTGTCTTCACGATGGAGCTTCGCGAATCCTGACGATGAGGCGTCGAGTAATGCTCGGAGCAACTCATGGGCGTCCTCCTGGCGGCCTAACCGAAAGCCGCGGTTGATGCGCCGCAACCGCTTCACCAAGTTTCTAGGAGCCGTCTCCCGCGGATTGAGAGCTGCGCGGAACGCCGCGGCCACGTCGGCGCCTCGCTCGGCTAAGGGCCACCTACTATCACCGAGCGTCTGGGCCACACCAGGGACACTCCGCAACGCTTGTAAAGTGGCGTTCAGGAAGCACGTGTTGCCCAGGTTGCGTAAACCGCGCGCCGCCGGCGCGTCTTCGAGGTGCGTCCTTCGCGCCTCGACGGCTTCTCGTGTGGCGTCCTCGGCTTCACGTGGTGTCGTCGCCGGGTCTCTTTGTGGGTTGAGCACTCGCCCATTGGCGACGCGCGCGCCGCTTTCGACGCGTGACGCGCCGACAAAGGCTAGCGGTTTCCGCCGCGCCGCGGCGTCGTCGCGGACGGCGCGCCTCGCGTGAGCCTTCATTTCCGCCCGGACTGCAGCTGCAGTCTAGCGGCGCTGCGGCGCGCTGGCGGACCGCACAGGTTGAGCTATCCCCTGCGTAGAGGCGCCCGCTAGTAGTGCCAGCGTGTGCCGGTGCCCCAAATGCAGTCGTTCCTCAGCAAGCGCCTAGCCTAGCCGACTGCTTGACCTTGCTAGTGTCTTACATGCCGCTAGCTAATTATATTCTGGATTCTCGCCCCTGGGGCTGAAAAAGCACACGGACCGTCTCGGGGCTGCCCATTTTGTTAGTGCGCGAAGGCAATACCCTGTCGCTGGCCGTTAACGATCGACACCGCACACCTCGTGGTGCGCAACCGGGCTGCCCTTGCCCGATCGACACCGCGGCTGTGCCTCCTAGTGACGCACAGCTGCCTCCACAGTAAGTTGGGCAGCCCAGGCCGGATCGACACAGGTCGTACTACTTTTGCCAGTGATGACGGAGTCTCCTTCTTGTTACTTCGTCTGGGTTTTCCTGATCCTCACGATCGCCCTCGCAATCTGCGGAATCGTGGGCTGTTGCGTCGCTTGCTGCACCGGGGGCGCGAGTGGCAAGCCCGGTCGCGACGACGTCGAGATGCAATGGAACCCGCGGGACTGTCGCATGGAGCCGGTGGCGCGCCCGCCGCCGCCGCCGAAACACTCCGAGGAGCGGCGGGCCCTGGCGTGCGTGGTCTCGCGCCTCCCGCCGTCGTGCCTCCCGGACGTCAGGAGCATCGTCGGCGGCGACGAGTCCGACGCCCTTTTTCGCCTTAGATGGCCGGCGGCTCTGCACTCCGTGGACTATGCCAGCCTGGACGTCTCCGTCTGCGACCGGCTGCAGCAGTACGTCGACGCGCAGCCTTCGCGCGCCGGAAAGCAAGGTGAGATCTGCGTGCTCTCGGGTATAGCACTGGTCTGCGTGGTTCCGGCGTTCTGTGGTTTTTGGTACTTCGCAATTCGCTGCGCGTTCAGTACGCCATAGATATGTTACCATCATGCGCCGTCCGCAATTCGTCCACTATTATCTAGAGTCTAAGTTACGCGTTGTCCTCTTCCAATCGGGTGTTTAACGCGGCATTTCGCGCGGCGGTAGTCGATGTTACGGTGCTAGGACTAGTGGGCGGAGCCCCTGGGGGGGGAGACACCGCGCGTCGCCGATTCATCGTTTCGCGCGGCGCGCGCTAGCGGCCCGTAAGCCACTAGGGATGCCCAGCAAGGAGTGGGCAGCTCGGAGTGTGAGCTAACACACTGCTGCCGTGAACGATCGACACCGCACACCTCGTGGTGCGCAACCGGGGCTGCCCTTGCCCGATCGACACCGCGGCTGTGCCTCCTAGTTTGACGCACAGCTCCAAGGGGCACAGTAAGTTGCTGGGCAGCCCAGCTCAGTCGGTGCCTTGGCCAGAGATCATGTATCCTGATTGTATCCTCACCTGTGTTTTCCTGGTCCTCGCCATCGCCCTCGCCATCTGCGGCATCGTGGGCTGTTGCGTCGCGTGCTGCGCCCGGGGCGCGAGTCGCAAGCGCGGTCGAGACGACGTCGAGATGCAATGGAACCCGCGGGAATGTCGCATGGAGCCGGTGGCGCGCCCGCCGCCGCCGCCGAAACGCTGGTCCCCCGAGGAGCGGCAGGCCCTGTGTCACGCATTCTTGCGGCTTCCGCCGCCGTGTCTCCCGGGCGCCAGGGCGATCGTCGGCGACGACGAGCCCACCGTGGACTTCTCCAGCCTGGACGCCTCCGTATGCGACCGGCTGCAGCGGTACGTCGACGCGCAGCCCTTGCGCGATTCTCGAGCCGCAAAGGCAGATCAGATCTGCGGGCTCTCGGGTATAGCACTGGTCTGCGTGGTTCCGGCGTTCTGTGGTTTTTGGTACTTCGGAATTCGCTGCGCGTTCAGCGGATACGGGTAGTGCCCCGCGTGGTCCCGTTGTACGGCGTCGGTGTCATTTCCGGTACGACATAGATATGTTACCCGCACGCGCCGTCGCCGCTCAATTCACCCCCTAGCTAGACGCCGTCGCCGACTCGCCGTTCCGTTTGCAATTCGTCCCCTATAGCTAGAGTCTAAGTTACGCATCGAACCGCTCTAGTCCACGTTGTCCTCCTCCAAGTCCGGCAGATCATCTAAGTCCGACCCGGCCTCCTCGGGATCCGCGCCCGTGTCGTCCGCACCTAAGTCGGGCGGGTCCGGCACGCCGGCCATGCCCGCCATGCTCTTCATCATGGACTCCATGTCCATGCCCCCCAGGCCGCCCATCGCAGAAGGGTCGGGCTGCGCCGGCGGCGGCGCCGTGAGGAGCGTGCTCCAGGCTTCCGGTTTCGTCTTCTTGAGCTTGAGGATGACGCGGTTCTTGCCCGGCTTCCTCAGGAGTGAAGCTTCATCTATTGACGCGTGCAGCGGTGAGAGGGTGAGACATCTTTTACCAGACGGGAACTGAGCCGTGAACTCGACTCTAGTCTCGCTCACTTTGGTGACACACAAGTCCGCATCAGCCAGGGCGTCCAATCCATCTAGATCGACGTAAACAGAAGCTTTTTTGTTTCCGTCGGAGAACGCGTAATCCCTAATGGCGTCGCCCAGGTCTTCCGCCTTCGTCGAACCGGTGTCCGTCCAGGCGTACTTGCCCTTGGCGCAGCCCTCGAAGTCCTTCTGTGCAGGCGCGTGGTCGTGGGACGAGCCGTGGCCGTGGGACTCCTCCTTGTGTCCATGATCAGAGTGGCCGTGGTCGCCGTCGCACTTGGAGTGATCGTGGCTCGAGCCGTGATCGTGACCGCTCTCCTTGTGGCCATGAGACTCATGAGAGTGCTCCGAGTGGTCGTGGTCCTCCGTGCACTCGTTCGCGTGCGTCCCGCTGGAGTGGTTGTGGTCCTCTTCCCCATGGCCGTGGTCCATGGTGCAGGCGTGGCCGTCGTGGAAGTGCGTGTGGCCGTCCTTGGCTTTCTCGGCCTCCATTTTTGCTTTTGCGGCCTGCGCTTCTTCGAGCGACGACATGGGCTGCTGCTCGGGGACGGGCTGGCCGTACTTCTTGAGCATGTCCGCGGCGCTGCCGGAGAACATGGTTGCTACGTTGTGTGAGCGTAGTTGCTATGCGCGTTATGCGGCGACGGCGACGGCGTGCTGTGGCTAAGCTGTGTGTGACCCTAGCGAGCAATTGCGTGCGATGACGGTGCGGCGACACGGCGCGCAGTTCAGCAGCAGCAGCAGGCAAGCGGATGGTCCCGAATAGGTCACCGAATAGGTTGGATGGCACCGATGCGCAGTTTGTGGCAAGCGAGAGCCGCTTTCGAGATCTCAGCATAATGAGCTAGCGACCGTAAGACACTAGCAATTTTTTCAGAGGTCTGCGACGCGGCGGCCGTGATTCAGCCCAGATTTACCGGGAGTGGGGTGTGGCGATTGTCAAGGGCCGAGTGCCTACTGGCTCTGTTGGAGTGTTCGGTGTCGGACGCGTCGCCGCGGTCCGGACGCTCAGAGAAACGCGGCGACTGCGTATGGAGCAGTAACGCCGTCGCCGCGACCAAACAAGACTACTACTTTCGCCTTACGCACTATCGGTCCTGGTCGCTCTTCAACAGCCCGTAGAGGTCCATGCACTCCTTCGTGTTTTTGTTCATCATCGTCGGCGGGTAGAGCTCGCCCGTGCCCGTTCTTTGAGCCACGAGGTTGGCCCAGTTCGCCTGGGCCTGGGAGTAGGGCGAGACGCCGCCCACTTCAGAGGCCAACCAGTCCTCATACACCTCAGCCATCGAATATAGAGCCGAGGGCTCCCGGTAGAGCCACAACCGCCCCTGCGTGTCGACCTCGTACGATAACGGGTCCACCGGCGAGACCGACGTACACACCCACGACAGGGCGGGATCGAGCCCCGACATGGCCAGCGGACAATAGCCCCCGCCAGACGGCATGTATTTGGTAGGATCATAGGAGAAGGTGTTCATGTTCTTCTCGCTCGAGAAGTATAACAAGTTGCCCTGGTAGTTGTACGAGAACTCCGAAGTCCCTCGAAGGGGCTCGTCGATGAGACCCGAAGCCGCGTCGAAGTACGACATGACGTCCATGCCTTGTAAGAGCGGCAAGTCGTCGCCCGCGTCGCGATTGCAGGTCGACAGCACGTCGTCGATCATCGCACAGCCGTGAGAAGGCGCGGACGCATGAGGATGAGGATAATCATTGACCGCTAAGGACGTGCGCGTCTTCGTCGACGCGACGCCGGCCACCGCGGCGAGACCGAGGCAGCCGCCGACGACGGCGTAGGGGGCGCGCCGCCTTCGCTTTTGTGGCGCCTCGGCTTCGGAGGGGATGCTGCCGTACGTAATGGGCTCGGCCTCCATTTCCAGGCCCGTGGCCTCCATGCTGTTGTTTTGCGGCGCGGTGGCGGTGGCGGCGGCTGGGCCGATGATGGGACAGCCGAAGATGCTGCGGCGGGTTCCTGGCGCGGCGTCGGCGTCGGCGGGGCGATGCTGGGGCAGCCAAAATGAGGCCGCAAAGCCAGGGAAGCAAAAGAAAAACTAGTGGGAACCGCGCTTATCGCACGGCCCCGACCGTGCGACCCGTGCGGGAGGGCGCCTCGCCCGCGACGGCTGCCCCGACGCGCGCAGCGTTCGTCATAGAACCCGCACAACAGCCAGCCTCGGATCATCTCCGACCAATTCGATGATCTGCCACCTCGCGTGTGACATGCCGCCCGCCCTTCTCTCGACAAGCGACGGCTCCGCGGACATGCACTACGGCGCCGTCGACCGCGCAGCCACGCCGCGAGAAAAAATCGCGTCCAGCCGCGCGGTGGCGCTCGGCGCCGCGGTGCTCGCGGGGGCGCTCGTCGCGACGGCGACGCGCCAGCGCTGGCGCGAAGCGCCAGCAACGTCGTTCAAGTTCCAGGATTCCGACGACAACGACACGGCGTGCGTGAGCTCAGGCTCCGGCGGCGCCGACCTAGCCTACGTCGTGCAGCAGTTCATGGGCTATCCGGCGGCGATCGATCCGGCGGGGGGCGTCATCTTCTCGGACCGGGGCCAGTTCAGCATGTGGCACCTCCACAACATGACGTACGATCCGATCGCCTGGGGCAAGCAGGTCAGCGCGAACTTCGACCATTTGCTGCGCAGCGTAATACAGGGCTCCTACTGCAAGACCAGTTTCTTGGACATGGCGAGCTGCGATGGAAATTGTGAGATGTGTACGGGTTCGAGCTCGCTCCCTTATTGCGAGACAGGTACCAGAGATACGGTCGAGGCCAACGTCTCGTGCGTCGAAAAATGCGTCCAAGACCGGTACGACGCATCGGTGCTGGCGAACTCGGCCTTCCCGACCTTGCAGGGCTGCTCCGACCCGATCGCCGTCGCGTTCTTGTACGCGCCGCAGCTGATCAAGAGCTGCTTCGATGCGACGTTCGACTGCGCCACGGCGACGCCGCCGTGCGAGTCCGGGTGCTACGATTGCATCACCGATTGCATAGAGACCTCCGACGACGCGGGAACGTTTTCTGCGTGTAACTCCGCTTTACTTTGAACACCGGCACGTCTCCTATCTTGCTCGATTATTCCCTTTCCCGCTTCTTTCATACCTGTCGTCTTGCTAGTGTCTTACAACCGCTAGCCCCTTGCCCGGCCCACTACAGCCGCACTAAAGATAAATCACTTGCGATCGAGCCCCGGGCCTCCTGAGCTCGCGGGTTTCTACGTCGACAGCCATTACAGCCGCACGAGCTCGTACTCCGCTGCAAAACGCGAAAAAATAGCAATCTTTTGAGCATTGGACTCGTAGCCGACGGCTCCACCGAGCTTGTCAACGCGTGCGCTACGCAGCGCCTCGGCCACCGCACTGCTCTCCCAAGCACAAAAAAATGCAGCCTTAAAATGGTCCGTAAAAAGACGACACCAAACCACGCCGACGTGCTGGAAGCCGCGAAGACCGGCGACTTGGCCTTCCTCGAAGAAGCGAGCGCGGACCGGCTCCTCGCCGCTATTGACGCGCATGGATGTACGGCGCTGCACTGGGCGGCCGGCTCCGGACATGTTGAATGCGTCAAGTACCTCGTCTCGCAAGACCTGGACCCGTCTCAGAAGCAAACGACGAACGGCCGCACGCCCCTACATTATGCTGCAAGGAACGGTCGAACCGAAGTCTGTCGTTTGTTAATCGAAGTGTATCAGGTGCAAGCGGACGCTCTAGCCGACGCGGACGTCACGCCTTTTCAACTGGCCTGCTGGCAGGTTCAAGAGGAAGTGATGCGCTACCTCGCGTCGCGGCACGACGTCGACTGCGGGCGCGTGAACGATTTTGGCTGCTCCGCGCTGCATTGGATCGCACTAGCACCGTCGACGGTCGAGGTCGACGCGCACCTGCGCTGTTGCACGTGGCTCGAAGAGGTGATTGATGGCGACTGGTCGCTGACCAATTCGCAGGGTCACGAGCCCCTTCACAAGGCGGCGTTTAGCGGTCACCTACATATGTGCGCGTGGCTCGTCGAGGCTAAGGGTAGGAGGGAGGTGCCCGACGCGCATGGGAATTACGCGGCGGATCTGGCGCGGGAGGGCGGGCATGACAACGTGGCGCAATATTTAGCGACGACGGCGGCGCCCGACCGTGAAAAACTCGCAGCGAAGCTAGCGAAGCTGAGCGGGACGCGCGTGGACGCCAGCGACGCCGCGAGCTTGACCAAGGCCTTCCGCCAGGCGGCTTTACTCCATCACCCTGACAAAAGCGGCGACGCTCGTGTTTTCGACGACTGCGTGCAAACGTATCGAAAACTCGTCGACGGCGTGCCGGGCAATCCATTGCGCGACCCCGACCGGATCGGCTCGTTGCTCGGGTCTTCTTCGTCGAAGTTCGCCCGCTTCGAGGCGAAATTGCTCGTGGTGCTCTTAGAGCAGCCTTCCGGACTGGCCCTCGGGTCTTTGAAGAAGAGATATCAGCGGGCCTTCCCCTCCGATCATGCTGATTTTCCTGAACCGAAGGACCACGGCTACCGCAAGCTCGCCCATTTGTTGAGAAAGGAGTGTTCCAATTCGTGCCGCGTCGACGACAATTGCATCTTGCACGCGGCGCGCGCGAAGAGCGACGTCGAGCGGCTGCTCCTGCTGGACGGCGGCGACCCCTCGCCGCCGCCACCACCCTGATCGACGCGACGCCTGCTCGGGATCTGTTAGGAATGTGCAAGATAATGTGCTCCTTATACAGTCCGCCAGGAGCCCTAAACCTTCGGCGTTCGGGTGGAGCCGGTCGGGCATGAGCCGCTCGCGCACCGCGCCGGCCGCGTCCAGAAACACGGCGCCGCAGTCCGCAAAAACGACGCGTTGATCATGTAAGTCGCTGACCGCCTGCTGGACGTCGCTATTGACCTTCGCGACCGCCGGCATGAAGGACGAGTAGGGCGCACCCTGCCTGTCGCACCGCGGCGGGCAGAGCCGCTTCAGTATCCTCGAACCGTCGCCTCGAGGTAGTAAACCGAGCACGAGCAGTTTGGATGCGCCGTCCAGCCTTTGTAAAATCTCATTCACAACGGCGACGACGCCGCGCGCCGTCTCGCCCGGCAGGTGGCCTCGCCCCAGATTATTTGTGCCAATCATCAGAATTACTGTGGCAGATGGAACGGCGGAGGGCCATTCGCCGTTCTGCAATCTCCACAATAAGTGCTGCGTCTGGTCGCCAGAGATAGCCAGCACCAACGGCGAGTAGTCCGGGAATTTGTCAGAGAGCACTTCGGGGCAGCCGCGGGCCCGCTCCGAGTCTTCGTCCATCGAGGTCCCAAGCCACGCCTCGGTGATCGAGTCGCCGAGCAGCAAGAGCGGTTTCTGCGTGGGGGCGTAGGCCGCGGCCCTACGAGCCAGTTCTTCGTGGAACCGCGTCCAGGCGCTCTGCAACGCGCTCGTCTTGGCCGTGTAGCGCGTGCGCGGCGACGGTATGGACGGCTCCTCGCGGCATTGCCCATCGGGCCCGCACATGGCTAACGGCACCGCGACGCTCTGCGAAATAATGGCGGTCAAGGCTAAGAGTGAGATGACGCCCACGGGCAGCAGGGGGCCGCATCTGTGCGCGTAAGGCTGCTGCATGGCAGTAGTGGCTGCAGAGCACAGCGCTCGACAAATGAGTTTGCGCGTCGGCTGGCGCTTGGGAACAGCGAATACGTGCTGTGAGATGCGATTGGCAGCAGTAGTGGGTCTTCCCGTGCGCTACGCACGCGGCAGCGCGCTCTGCTTCGCGTCTCGAGTTATTACTAGCGGACTGTAAGACACTAGCAAAAAAGTCCTAGTCCAGCCGGACGGGTGGGCCCGGGGGGAGCGGGAGGGGTAGGGGAACCCTGCGACGTAACTAGCCTGAGCCAGCCTAAAAAGGGTACGGGGAGCCCTGCGACGTAACTAGCCTGCTCCGGAGCCGCCTGAAAAAAAATCCACCGGACACTTACTCAGAACGGCACCGCCACGCGGTACACGTTCACGTTCGGCGCGAGCGGCCGCCGCGGCGCCGCGCCCGCGAGGAACGCGTCGACGTCGTGAGGATGCAAAGGCGCGTGGCGCGCGTGCTTCGGATTTCCTAGAGACGCGACGCGCGGCAGCGCCTTCTTCCGAACGACGCGCTTCCGCCGGCGCCGCTTCGGTGCAGGCGCGACGTCGGCGCGGGCTTGCAAGACGAGCAGTCGATACGGCACGTGTAAAGGTGGCTCCTTCGAAGCAACCGGTCTCCGGCGGACCGTTTTCTTCTCCGTGTCCGTGGCAAGGCGCGGGTCCTTCCACCACCTCCTTATTGGCTTGGGCGTTCCGTCACTGTGGTGCCTATGGGCCGTGGGCAGCCGCTCCCACCAGTACGTGCGCCCCTTCTCGTCGATCGCTTCGCGGATGTCGCGGTGGGCCCAGGGGTCGTTGTGCGGTTTCAGGCGGTTCTCCAAGGCGCGGACCCTCTGCAGCAATTTCCGGATGGAAGCGCAGGCCGCCGCGCGCCGCTGATCCCGTTTCAGTTTTCGCCGGAACTCCGCGAACTGCCGCGACAACACAACCCAGGCCTTCCACGCCTGTCGAAGAGACCGTCTGGCCCAAAACCGGCTCCTTCGATCTGCCCGCGTCTGCGCTAATTCACCGTCCTGCTTGTACGACGCCCAGGCTTTGGATTTACGCACTGATGAAGCCCACTTGCCCCACGACCGAAGCAGCATGGCTCGTTTCGTGCGGCGCATCGCCGCACGAGCAAGCGAAAAAACGACGCGCGCGTGGCCGCGCCGTCGCTCCGCGGCGCATCTTGTCCTCAATCGCGCCGCATCCAAGGCCGCCGACGTCGCGGCGTCGACGCGCGCCGTCAGAGCGCGCGCGAGCGCCACGGCGCCCTCGCGCCGCTGCTCCGCCGCTTGCAATGAAGCCTCGACGGTCTCGATCGAGGCCAATCGCGCGTTACAGGCCGCGGAGAGGGCCTGCCACCGCCCCAGGGCCCGGCGCAGCTTGTCCCGCCGTCTCGACGCGAAGAGCGTCAGCCGGCGCTTGACGAGTTTTGTGCGAGAACCCCCGACTGCGGCGAAGTGCAGCCGCGAGGGCAGCTCTTTTTGGGAGGCGGCGACGCGCGGCGGCGTCGGCGGCTCGCCGAGGCGCGAGACCCCGGGCGACGGCGGGAAGGCCTCCTTCTGGCCTTGGAAAGGGCTTGTTCCACCAAGGCGCGCGTACAAATCCTCGCGGACGTCCGTCTTGCGCGGCGTCGTCTGCGCCGGCACGGCCGCCGTGTGCGCCGTGTCCGGGCTGATCCTCTCAAGAGTGTGGGCCAAACGAGCCGCCGTCGCGTCCGAGACTTTGGACGCGAGGGACGCGGCGTCTTGTGTCAGCGCCGGCGTCTGGCGCAGCTCACTCAGGGCGTCGTCGTCGTCGAACGCATCGGCTAAGGCTTCCGTCGTCGTCGACGCGGCCCATTTCTGCGTGGCCGACGCCTGGAGCGAGCGGTCGTGGACCTTGTTTGCGGCGGTGCCGAGCAGTAAGTGGTCCATGGCCCCAAGCTTCGTCCGGCGTCGTCCGGCGTGCCACTCCTAAGTAGCCCCAGTAGCACGGATGCCAGCTTCAGTGGGAGCGCAAAACGGAGTGACGCGTGCGTCCGAGGTCGCAGCGCTCCTCAGCGACGTAGAACGGTGCGCGGGGCTGCGTCGGCCGGCCTGCCGGGCCGAGGTATGCGTCTAACTTAGCTCGCAGTGCCATAAAGTTTGATTCACTTATGGTGCGGGTTCCTATATCGAAGCCCGGTCGCGCGCACGACGCCGACGCCTGGGAGACCTCCCCGACGACTCTTCCGCTTTTTCTAGTGCGATGCCCAGACAAGGCCGGCGCACAGCGTCCAGCGTTGGACCACCAAAAAGGGCTGCCCCACGCCCTACAGCGAGGCACAGCTCGACCCAAACGCGACCGCCGCGACGCCACTGGCGAGAAGAGCAGCAGTTCGGCTCGAGACTGCCGCGGACCAACCCTGTGTGACAGCCCATAGGCAGGCAGCACCATGCCCCGCCGCTCGTTGGAAGGCCCCAAGAAGGCGCCGGACCTGGTTCCTAGAAACTCAAGGGGAGGCGTCCTGGTCACCGACGAAGAGCTGAAGAGCGCCTTCGACTTTTTTGACGTCGAAGGGTCGGGCAAAATAACCCAGGCCCAACTCAAGAAACGACTAGGCGTGTTTTATAAAGATATGCCCAACAAGGAGTACAAATTTTTGATGAATGATCAGAGCGAACTGACGCTAGATGACCTGCGGGAGTTACTGCTCGACAACGAAGTAAAAAACTTCGACCCCGTCGCCGAGGCCTTCAAGGTCTACGACCCGGAGGGGACGGGGTTCGTCGACACTTCCGTGCTCAAAGCGATCTTCGAGAACCTCGGGTTCGGCGAGATCTCCGAGGACGACCTGGCGGTGCTGACGGAGACCGGTGATGTGGACGGCGACGGGCGCATCTCGCTGATGGACTTCCGGAAGATGCTGGACTTCAACAAGGAGCCTGATCCGGTTGCGGCGCCGGCGCCCGCGGACGAGGAGGAAAAGGAGTAACTGTTACTAGTAGTACGATAGACTTGACGATGGTACAACAGGGCTCCCCCACACAGCGGCACAGCCCCCACACGCTTGACGATGGCGCGGGGGGTCAACTTTGTCATGCGCTGGGGCAGGCATCGAAGGGCGCCGTCCAGGCCTCTACTATTTGAGACGCGGTCATGCCCGAACTCGGGTCGCACGCCGTCCGCGCGTTGGATCCGAGCGTCGTATCCACGAAACAGTCGACCCAGCACGTCGAGTTGCGCGTTTTGCAGGGCGCGAAGCAGCTCGCATTTTTTGATTCGATCGATGAGTAAAAATGATCCGCGTGGCAATCTCTCCGTATGCGCTTCACGACGCGCTTCACGCGCCACGTGCATTTGCCAGATTCGCAGTCGCCTGACTTCGGCGGCGAGTACCAAAACCCCTGCAGCTTGTCCGCTGCAGAACCTGCGGCACACGCCGCGACCGACGAGGAACGGCCGTTGCAGAAGCCGCCGATGCCTTCCTTACCGAGGAATAAAGACGTGTTCTCGCGGCCCATTTGTGTCGTACAAGGTAGTGTTGTCGGTGGAAATTTGCCGTTTTCACAGTTGCAGACATACATGCCTGGAGTACACGTCTGGGAGTGGTTGAGTGGCGACCGTCCATCGTCGCCACAAATGTTGCACGTGCCGTAGGGACCGAACGCACCTTCCACTTCTACTTCCACTTCCGTCACTCCGATGTCTGGACCAGTCGTCTCGGCGTTGGCACACACGACGCCCGGCGCCCGCCGACTCCCCGGCGCGCACGCATAGTAGTTCGTTATACTGGAAATGTCGAAGAAGGCGTCGCCGGCAGCGTCGCCCAAGTCCTTGTCGGCGATGTCATCAGCGTCGAACCGTAATGGGTTGATGTGATAGAGGCGCAGCGTCCGCCACGTCTTGCTCGGGGTGCGCGTGCGGACGGAGGCGGCGGCCGCGGACGCTGCCACGAGCGTTGTGAGGGCTCCGTGCATCCGGTTTCGTCCTTCGGGCAGCCCGCGAGCGTGCGACTCGCACACTTATTGGTCCTTGCACAGCAGTAGTTTGGTCTTGCAGCAGGCAAGAGCAGCCGGGCAGCCCGCACAGCGTGCAACTGACAGGATTATGATTGATGCGAGTGCGAAAGGCTGCCGATATGTCCGGCGTTGCGCACAGTGTCGATGCTACCCACGTGCAGAGCAAAACGAGGTCTTGTTGTCCGGAGACGTCCGCTGAAAAATCGAAACGCCAGGCGTGTGCTTGGTGCCAGGGAGGTGTGCCATTTGCACGAGTGCTCGGAGAGATCCTCAACAGTGCTAGTATGTCAAAGCTAGCTGGCGTGGGCGCCTCTTTCGTGATTTTGGGCTTGCCGCTGCCTCTCCGCAGCTGTTTGCTCAGTTTCGTGGTGTCTGCTGGACTTCATCAAGCGCTGCAAACGGTGAGAAGCATCGCTCTCGCCGCCCGCTAGCCCACACTACCTCGCGCCTTCGCCGACGCGCCTCGCCGCGCCGCCGCGCCGCACCGCCGCGCCGCCGCAACCCGCACGCGCACGCGCACCCGCCGCTCGCGCTCCGCGCACGCACCGCTTGACGCTATGTCCGCGCCACCAGGCAGCGACCCGCCCCAGGGCGGCTATGGCGCTTATCCCGGGCAGCCGCCGGCCGGCGGCGCGCCGGCCGGAGGCGCGCCTCAGCAGGGCTACGGGCAGCAGCCGCAGTATGGCGCTCCGCAGGGCGGCTACCAGCAGCCGCAGTACGGCGGCGGCGGCGGGTACCCGCCCCAGCAGCAGTACGGCGCGCCCCAGGGCTACGGAGGAGGTGGGTACGGAGCCCCGCCGCCGCAGCAGGGCTATGGAGGAGGCGGATACGGAGGAGGTGGCTACGGCGCGCCCCCGCCCCAGCAGTACGGGGGCGGCGGCGGCTATGGAGGCGGCGGCTACCCGCCCCAGGGCGGCGGCGGCTTTTACGGAGGGCGCGAGCCAGTGCACAAAATTGTCGCGACAACCTCACTATCGATGTTGCACTCAACTCATTGATTGATTTCCGCACAGGAGAGCGCAGCCGATGGGCCGCTCGTATGGTCGCATCGACCCCGTGACTGGGCATGACTACATGCGCGTCGAGGGCGACACGACGCCCTGCGACGAGCAGCAGATTCACGCGATCCTCAAGAGGTGCGCGGACCGCGTCGCAAACTTTCCGCGTCGACGGCGTGGGGCGAGAGTACATCTAGCCGACCGGCACGCCATCGCCGCGACGGGAGCGTCGACGGCATGGCGTGGACGCCGTCGAGCGGACACCACGATACGTCGAGAGAGATAACGCACGGCGTCACAAAAAAAAACGCAGGCGCCTCCAGTGCAAGATGTCGCGCCAGTTCCAGGAGGCGGACCAGCTCCGGGACCAGCTCTCGGCGCTGGGCGTCATGGTCCACGACCGCGAGAAGACCTGGGAGGTCAAGCCCGGCTTCGGCGGCGCGCCGGCCGGGGGCGCGTACGGCGGGAACAACTTCGGCGCGCAGCCCGGACAATACGCGGGCAAGCCGCCCGCCGACTACTACTCGGCCCCGACCGGCGCCGGCGGCTTCTCGTCGGCGCCGCCCTCATTGAACGACATGGCCACGGACGCGCAGAAGCGCATCGCCGCGGCGCAACAAGCCGCCGCGGCCGCGTCCGCCGGCATCCCGCCGACCGTCGCGCCCCAAGGCGCCACGCCCTACCCGCCTCCACCACAACGGGCGCCGGCGCCGGCGCCGCCCGCGGCGCGCGGCCGCTCGAACTCGGACTCGTCCTCGTCCTCATCTTCTCGGTCGCGGTCGCGGTCGCGCGAGCGCAAGCCCGGCGCCATCCCGCGCAAGGGCGACGCGGCTGCTGCGCCGGCGCCGGCTGCTGACGCCGACGACGAGAAGAAGGCCGACTAGATCCCCGTTCCCCCCCTCTAACACCCCTCCTTCGCACATCACATTACGACGGTGTCCGTGAGCACCCAGTGGCGGCAATGGCCGGCAACGCGCGCAGGGAGACGTCCAGGACCGCATCAGGGAGACGTCCGCCGTCGGTTCGTTTGCGTCTGCGATCGCCGGCTCATCGCGGAGGCTGCCGCTTGCCTGCCCGGCGGCGCCTGCACGTGGAAGTAGCCTCCAGGGCCGCCAGGCTATAAGAAATGCGATTGCAGCGTATTGTTCAAGATCGGCTAGTGTGTCTCAGCTAGGTTTGCCCAGCGCGAGAGAGCAACACAGCGTTCAGGCGCGCTCCAGCCGAAGCGACACTGGTGCCACCTTGCTTTCACCGCGCTGTTTGGCCAGCCCGGGCAGCCCCGCGGCGCGCCGGCCACGCGCACGATCGGTTTCCAGCCGCGCCCACCACCAGGAGCCTTGTGTGGCACCCACCACACGCCGGCCGCAGCTCGACCGCTCAATCCCAGCTCGGCCAGGAAGGCGCAGCCGACCAGGAAGGCCCTTGTGCCGGGCGGGCGATGGTGGGCCTCCCTGTGGCAGCCCTCGCGGTCCTCGCGGCGCCCGTCGGCGGTCGGTCGCACAAGCCGCAGGGCGTGCTCCTCTGGGCCGAGGGCCGCTCGGCCACGGACACGTTCTGCGAAACACTAAAAAGGACCGTCTCCCTCAAATACTGCAACGGCCACGAGGAGAGCTTCAGCCCATCTAAAAACCGCCCGCCATTGACGCGAAAGAATCTAGGGAAGTGCTCCCGAAAGAATCAATTATTAGCGCACGTCAAGCCGTCCCATCTACGGGAGGACACGGACCTCGCGACGCCCGAACTGTTGATGGGGGCCGCCAGGGGCCTCGGCTTCGGCGTCGTCGTGGCCGACTTCCGGCAAAACCAGCTCGCGCGCGAAGTGTCGTCCTTCGAGCGCGACGTCAGCCGGAGACGGGTTCCTAGGGACGCCGCGTCCGACCGATTCTGCGGGGGCGGGGTCAAGGCGGGCTTCGCGGCCAACGAAACCTTCTGGCGGCGGGGCGTCGACGCCGCGCGGGCCGCGCATCTTAGGGTCGTCGAGGTCGCGTTTCGGGACATCGTCTCAAATGTCTGTGGGACCGTGGACCGCGTCACGCGGTCGCTGGCGCAGTGCTCTTCTCCAAACTGCGTCTGTCGAGCGGACGGCTACGCGAAGCATCTGACTGGAAGGCCGCGGGGCGAGGGCCTCGCCGGGCGCACGTCGCCCGCGGCGGCGGACTGCCTCCGGCGGGAATTTGAAGGGGACCCGCGCTACGCGTGGATGCTGAACCTGAGCCGCGTCGTCCCGCCGTGACTCGTTCCGGGCCGCTGCCGGGGCATTCCCTCGCAAGAGGAAGTGATCCTATTAATTATCTTGTTTGTGAGGAGTATTTTGTGAGGAGGGTCTCAGGCTCAGGCTAGTTACGTCGCAGGGTCCCCCGTACCCCTCCCGCTCCGGGGGTACCCCTAATTGTTACGGTGCTAGGACTAGTGGGCGGAGCCCCTGGGGGGAAGACACCGCGCGTCGCCGATTCATCGGCGGCGGGCGCGGGCCGCTTCTTTCATGGCAGGTCCTCCAGCACTCTCGGGGCTAGTATGTCTATACGACACTGGTTGCCACCTCGTCGTAAAGGCGAGAGCCACACAGCTACACGCGCGCGCCAGCCGAGCCAACGGAGCCGTACCCCGCGCTGCGCAGCACTGTGAACGCCGTCGCCGCGCCGCGCTCGACGTGCGCGCCAAAAGCAAGCAACAGCCAATAGCGACTCGAGATGGCGGAGACCCAGCCCACCCAACCCCCGGGCTCCCAGGCAGACCATGTCGCCACATTACAAACCATGTTCCCCCACATCCCGGAACCGGCGCTGCGCCGCGCGCTGGAAGTGTCGGGGACGCCCGACCTCGCCGCGACTTTACTGTTGGAGAACCCGTGGCAGGCCTTCATGCCCGAGCAGCAGCAGGCGCCGCCGCCCCAAGATGATGATGAGGAGGACGAGGAGGAGCCGGAAGCACCGCCACCAGCACCGGCCGAGCCCGCTCGTAAAAGGCGCAAGGTTACTCCGGAGGATAAGCCCCCGAACGCCGGCGACGCCACCTACGACTGCCTCTTCGACGAAGTGCGCACGAAGAAGTCGTCTTTACAATTGATGAACCTCGGTCCCAAGAAACTGGCGCACACAAGAGTCGCGTTACTCCACTCCGGCGCCAAGGACACGTATGACCAGGCGGGCGGCTACTGGCTCGTGCCGTTATCTTTACAGGACTTAGATGAGACGTGGTGGAAGGTCCTCACTCCGCATTTGGAGCGGAAGGCTCTTGGTAGAGCTGTGGAATTTCGCAGTTTGCCCGAGGGGCCCAACATGCCTGATGTGGCGTTTGATGATTTAGAAGCGGCGCAGACGCGTCGAGCGAACCGGCCGAGACCGCCTCGTCGAGCCGGGGCTCCGGCTGAAGCCGCGGCCATCGTGGCCGCGTTAGTTGCGCCCTGCTCTGATGATACGTCAGACAAGGTCGGCAAATATCTAGCCCAGCTCTTCCCGGCCAAGTGCCCCCTGCATTTCTGTGAGATGAAGGGGGGTTCCAAGGTCGAGTCGAAAGTGCTCACGAAGGACTGGCACGAGTCGCACTCCACCAAACGCGTGTCTAGGGTCCAAGAAGAAGCCAAGAAGACGAGTCTGCTGGCGCCCATCGCCGCCAAGAAGTACCGCTACGATATTGAGTCCAGAGCTACTGAGGGGTGGAAGGTTGTCGAGGAGGCGTCCGCGTAAGCATACTAATCTCCGACTCCTCTGGTTTTACGCCACCTCAATAGGGAATAACACACGTGCAACTTAGCCTTGACTCCGCAGAGCGACTACTTCCGCGACTTCTTCCTCGTCGACGACTTGCGCGCCGCCGGCTTGCGCTTCGCGGCCGGCTTCCTCGCCGCGGCGGGCTTGCGCGCCGGCTTGCGCGCCGCCGGCTTGCGCGCGGACGGCTTGCGCGACGTGTCGATGTCGAGCTCGAGCGGGCGGTAGGCCTTCTCCCACGTCCCCCCCCACGACGTGTTTTCGTGCTCGACCCAGATCCACGCGCCGCCGCCCGTCGTACGAAGCACGACGCCGCGCGTACCCGTCGCCTTGACGATGACGCGCGTCTTCGGCCGGAGGGGCGGTCGCTTCGCCAGCTGCGCCTCCCTCGCCGCTCGCGACTTCCTCTCTTCCGCCGCGCGCGCGTCCTCCATCTCCTTAAACGACGCGCGCCTCTCCTCGAGCGTCGTGGTCTCGCCGTCGTCCGCGGGGCGGCGGCGCAGCGTCGAGTGGTAGTCGAGGGCCTCCTGGTCCTCCGGGGCTCTCACATCCGCCGCCAGGCGCTCGGCCTGGGCGAGGATCTCCAGGTCCTCGGCGGACGCGCCGTCGGGCCGCGCGTAGGCGAGCCGCAGGTCTAAGAGTCTGGCGTACCTGAGTAGAAATCGACCAGTGAGTCGTGGAATGTCGTGAAATGTGATTTCGGCACCGCCTCGCACCCGTCCTCATCCAACGTCTCGTCGGCCTTGTACGCCGCGTCAATGGCCATGTCACAGTCCGCGCGCTCGCCCGTGTTGTCCTCGTGGCACGGCGGCTTGCGCCGCTTGCCGTCGTCCGGCCCGCCGTTGGCGTGCTCGATCTTCACTAACAACCGGCGCAGCCCGCAGTCAACGCAGTCGCCGACCTTCGACGGGAACCACTCGGCGACCTTCTCCTGCTTCTCGCGGCTGCCCTTCGGCATGGGCTTGCCGCTCAGGAAGGCCGCCGTGAGCAAGTCCTCGGCCTTATAATTTCCGTACGACTCGTCGTGCGTCTGCTCGCCCTTCGGCAGGCCCATGCCCGCCAGCCGCGCCATCGTGGCGTCGTGGGACGACTGCGCGTTGTTGTCCTGCGCCACTTTCACAATCCGCTGCTTCGCCAGCGCCTCCGAGTTGCACATGCCCGGGAAGCCCTCCTTGTGCCAGGGCCCGACGACGAGGCCGCGGTCGAGGAACCACTTTTTGGCGGTTGCCTGTCCCACAGTCTTCAGGGTCCCTCCGGAGAAGAACGCGTATTTGTGGAGCCTCACGATCTTGTTGAGTTGATCACTGTTCAAGTGCTTGAGATAGTCCTCGACCTCCTGGGGCGACGAGGGCTTCCAGCCGCGCGGCAGCGTCACTTTCTTCGCCCTGGCGTCGCGTTTGTATAGCGGGGCCTCCGCGCGCTGCGGCGAGAGGCCCACGGCCTCGGCCGCCTTCTGTTCCTGCTTGACGAAGTCCGCCCCTGTCATCGCGCCGGGCTGGGCGGAGTCGTCGTCGTCCGATTCGGACTCGGCCGCCCGGCGTAGCACGCTCGGTTTGCGCTGCGTCGCATATTGCGCCTGGGCGGCGAAGCGCTTCGGCTCTTTGGTCTCGCGCGAGAGCCGCGAGGCCGGCGTGCCGGCGTGGGCCATGATGATGAGTGCTCGTTCTACGTCGGCGCGTGTGGCAACCACTGCACAGCGCGGGATCGGCTGAAGCGCGGCTTCTGCGGCACCACCCGTAACGCGGTTGCAGCAGCGGTTAATTGAGGTATAGACGTAGCGCTGCCGACGCTGCGTTTATCTACTGAGGCTCCTCTCGCGCCGTGCACAGCGACGCAAAAGCCGCGGCGGAGCCCCCCAGCCTTTGAATTTTTATGCTTTGGATCGATCCATCAAGCGGTCTGCGGGCTCACGAGGACTCGCTGGTGGGTGGGCAAGCGCATTGGCGTCCCACCGCGCAATCTTCTCTGAAATTGCCTGCGGACAGCTTGGCAAAAACGAGCCCGCCGCGCGCGCGTGCGCGACGTCGGCGAGTATGATGCTCTGCCTGGGCTCGACGCCACGACGCGACGTCAGAGCCACGATGCGCGGGCAGCAGCTCGCCCATGGCGCCTGGATGTGGGCTGCCCCAGCTCCTGGCGCCCCAGTCGAGGGTCCCGGAGCCGCGTACTGGGGCGGGGAGAGACGACGAAGTCACGTGCGGGCCACGGCGTCGCGGGCTTGTGTCGGGCGCAGCCGACGGAGGCTACTCGCCGCCGCGCGGGCGAGGGCGTCGCGCCGATAACATCGGCGCCGCGGCTTGATTTGGACAGTCAGGCCCGCGATCATTGTTGTTTGTTTGTTATGGTTACGTAAACGACCGCTCGTGCGAGTTCGGGCGCGCACGCATCGGGAGACGGCCTGGTGGAACAAAACTGGTTTGGGACGGGTTTTTGGCGCTTTCGCGCGCGCGATTCTGCGTTACGCTCGCAACAGCGCTTGGCGGTGAAGCGGTACCCTCCAGCGATCTCCTGGTTCGCACACGTATCGTGCCCGTGACCTATTATAGATCTGTGGCCCAGAGAGCCACTTTGCTAATTTGAAAGCACAAGCCCATGCCGCGCCCGCAGAAGCGCGGCCGCCGCGCGGACGCCGACAAGGAGTTCCGGGTGGATCCCACCGAGGAGGACGAGGAGGACGACGAGGAGGAGCCCGTCGCCGACGACGACGACGACGAGGAGGCGCTGCGGGAGAAGCAGCGGGAAGTGGACGCGAAGAACGGCCTCGACCTGTGGGGCGACGTGCAGCGCGACAAGACGAAGAGCCCGAAAGGACCGCTGGCCTTCCTGCAAGGCAACAACACGCTGGGCGCCTGGCGGCCGGGCCGCAAGCTGCCCGTAGAACTCGTCAAGGCGTACCGCAAGATTGGCCACCCCCTGCAAAGCTGCAAGCGGTCGCGCCAATTTGTTGCGACGCTCGCGAAGATTTGTGTAGAGGCCGACGTGCCGTTCCCGATGCCCGGCAAGGGCTACACGAACCGCACGTGGATAGCGATGCTGCTGGCCTGGCGCGCGCCGATGAAAAAGGGCGGCCGCCGGCGCTTACAGCTGGAGAGGGCGGCGTTCCTCACCTCCCAGCTGCTGGGCGTCTCCGCGACGGCGTCGTATAAATTCGCGACGCCCAAGCCCGGCGCCTGCAAGCTCTGCTCGGCCATCGCCATCAAGCTCCTCAAGATCTTCCCGCTCGCCGACGAAATCACCTACCGCGACTACATCAAGGTCAAGCGCGTGGGCTTCGGCTTCGACCTCACGCTCCTCAAGAAGAAGAAGCTCTACCGCGACCACCTGGAGCTCTCGCTCCTCTTCCGCGGCTGGGTCTGCAATAACTGCAACGCGCGCAAGCTCCACAAGCTCGACTCGCTCTCGAGCGACGACTACAAGGTGTTCGGGCGCCGCGTCTACGTGAACTGCACGACGTTTATCTGAAGCCTAATTCTAGTTACACTTGCGTCGAAGGCGTTGTCGTGGCGTAGGACTAAATCTCGCTCTGATTACACTTTGCCGTAGGACTACTCGGCGCCGAGCGATCTCGGCCCGAGGAAGAGCCGCGCGGACCGCGCGCTCGCCGTGGAGGAGCTGCGCCGCGGCGGCGCCGTCGGGTTCGTGCCCACCGACCGCATACTACTGCCCCCCGTCGACCGCGAGGGCATGCGCCGGAAGGCGGGCTCCGCGGTCGAGTGCGAGCTCAGGGAGGCAATTGGCCTCATTACTTTGCTCCAGGGGTTTCGCCCATTCCTCGCGTGAAACCGCGCTGAAAATATCTCAGGAATGAATTGGGCGGCGCTCCCTCACGATCACAAATTTCCTCGGCTTCAATGACGCTTGACTTTTTACTTTGCCTCTTGCTCCAGGTACGACCCCCCCCTGTTGTCAGCCAAAACAAATGCAAATCATAAGGCCAGGAACCGTCGGATGACAAAAGATTACGCCTATGCGAATTTGTACAGCGCGCGGCATATACAAACGCGGCACGCGCGGCGTGACGCGCCCGCCGCCGATGAATCGGCGAACGCATGGTGTCTCCCCCCTAGCCCTGTAACGAAGCTAATCAACACAAACACACGATTACGCCTCCGACGAAGAATCCTCGGCCGCCAGCCGCTGGAGCTCCTGGTACTTGCCCCGCATCCAGTACGTCTCGCCGCTCTCGACGTCGGCGCGCTGGTCCGCGAGGGCCACCGCCTGCAGATCTCTTTGCGCCGCGGCGATGCGCTCCTGACGTCTAGCGGCGGCCGCAATCGCGGGGTCGGCGTCTTTGATTCGCAGTAGACCCTCCCTATACGTCGGCGCCAATAACTCGTAGACCTCCCGCAACTTCTCGTTCCTACATCTCTTCGACCCCGTGCCCCGCGAGGGCTTCGCCGCGCCCTTCGCCTTAGCAGGACCAATCAGCTCGTCGGCAAAAGCAGAGACGGCGCTCCGCGGCGCCGGGTCGTCGTCGACGGCGTTAAGTGTCGTTGATCGGACGTCGCGGTCCGCCAGAGCTATCAGTAAGCCGGCGATATCGTCTACATGAATACGGTTCACCGGCTTCTCGGACGTCGATGCCGTCCGCCGCTGCGCGTCCAAGAGCGACCGGCCGGGGCCGTAGATGCCGCCCAATCGCAGCACGACGGCGTCGTGTTTTGCGAAAGCTTCCTCGGCCCCGACGCGGGCCTTCGACTTTGCATCGGTGCAGAGTAGAGCAGCATTTTCATCAATCCAGGACCCGGCGTGGTCGCCATAGACTCCGGTCGAGGAGAGGTAGGCAACCCACTGGTTGTCGAAGCAGTCCGCGTGGAGGGCGAGCAACGGGTCTTCGTCGAAGTCGGCGATGGGCGCCACGGTCTCCACGATATGCGTGGCCCTTGCCAACGCTTCGCGGCCGTCGGCGTCGAGGCCTTGATAAGTATTGTCCAAGTCGAGGACGTGCGCCTCGAGCCAGGGGTAGTTTTTCGTCAAAGCTGCTTGCTTCTCGGCCGAACGGACGCAGCCCGCTACGTTACAACCGTAGGTGTCGTGGAACTTCTCTGCAATTCTCAGCCCGCAGTAGCCGAGGCCGCCAATAAATACGCGCTCGGGCTGCAGTGCTGTCGCTGTCGCGACGAGGAATGCGAATTGCAGCGGCGGCGTCATGCTGCGAACTGATGCGGTGCTTGTTGCGAGCTGTGCGCGGCACCACGACCTCTGGTGACCTTGCACACAGAGAGCCTTTACTGTGTGCAGGCAGAGGGAGGTCCTGACGCCGGCAGTCTTCAACTTACTACGTCTGCGATCGATGACGAGTCTGTAGGCCAGCTGGGACCCTCTTGAGAGCAGCAAGTGACGCAGGAGACGTCGCGCTTGCTACTTGCCATCCCTAGTGTCTTACATGCCGCTAGCTTGCGCGAGAGCCCTGCCGCGCCCCGGGGCGGTACCCCCCTAGACTGGTCCATTGCCGAACTGACTATGACCTGCCCGACCGGTCACACGGCGCCGCGCTCGCAACACGCGGGTTTCCTCTCTCGATGGACGACGACAGGTCCCAAGCGGGCTACGGCGACGCACGCCGCCGCCGGGAGTGCATGCACTATTAATATTTACTATATCGATGGTCGAGACGGGCGCGGCGTGTCCGCACACATCATCAGAAAGGGCTCAATCAGGCCTCGACGCCCACGAGCGACGACAGCGACCGGAAGAAGCCGCCTAGATAAGATTCGTCGGTCTTCGCCGCCTTGGCCTTCGACTTCGGCGACGCGCCCTCGAGCGACTCGGACCGCTGCCGCGCGAAGGCCTTCTTCGAGGCCTCGTACTCCTGGGCCTTCTTCTCGTCGCGCGCCGCGCGCCGCGCCGCGCGCTTCTCGGCCCTCGCCTCCTTCTTGTGCTTGCGGCGCTGCAGCGCGGCCGTGTCGGCTTCTTGCTGCTCGCGCTCGCGGTTCTGTGTGGACGGCGACGGGTGAATTTCGCGTCGATGGCGTGCGACGGACCCGCTCGTCACTCTCCACGCCATCGACGTGGCTACGGGAGAGAAGGCGCCTCAAAATTTCCGACGCGGCCGACGGACCCCTTCCCCGAAGTCGCCGCGGTTGATCGCGGCGAGGGGCACGTGGGCCTTGGCCGCGCGCTTCTCGGCGATTTCTCTAGCTTGCACCTCGGCGAGCTCGTCCTCGGTCAAGGCGCGCGGCTCCTTGTACTGGGCGGCCTTCTTCTTGCGGTAGGCGTCGTGCTGCTTGTCGTCGCCCTTGAGGGTCATGGTCGTTTTTTTGTGTGGCTGGGCCTGCGGCGGGGTCGGCTCTGCGGCGTTCTTCGACGTCAGCTGATGCAGGCTCAAACCGCGCCAAACCGCGCGAGGGGGTGCGGTGAACTGCCGGGGGACGGCTGGCGACGTCTGGCGAGGCCTGGGGCCCGAACCGGGCGCGCAGGCCCCCCGAGAACGTTAGCTAACTGGTATGTCAGCCAGGGCGAGGGCCCGGCCAGCCCGCGCGCCCGCAGGTGTGCAGGGTAGGGAAGAGCAACGCAGGTACGCACGAGGTCGTGTCCGCGGGTGGCTGGGGGGGCCTACGAAGAGGGCAGAGCCTAAAATGTCACCCGGCTTCGTCTTGCTAGTGTCTTACCGGCCGCTAGCCATAACTTCTTTCTGAGTCCTCACGGACGGTCAATCGGTCCAGCGCGACGCCTGGGACGACCCCTCGCTAGTCCCTCTCCGCCGTCTGGCCGTCTCACAAAGCAAATGAGAGAGCAAAAAGCAAGCGAGGGCACAAAGAGTCGCATCGCTGCACCTGACCAGCGGAACGACGCTCAACGAAGTTTTAACGATGCTGCAACTGCAGCAAACCAGGCGTTATAGCGTCCTCGCGGCGGCACCTCCACCAATAGCAGCACCTCCCCCAAATACTTGGTCCCCAGAGCAACGCGCTGCCGACTTAGTGGCAGCGACAGCGTCGCGCGCGACCTCGGCTGCTAGCGTAGCAACTGCGCCTGTGGTCCTCCTCACGCAAGGCGACGCATCGTTCGTCGAGCACGCTGATGGCAGGAAGGAATGGGTGCAACGCGCGGAAGACGACTGGCGCGCGACGCTGCGTGGCTACCTGAACAAAGCGGCGATGGACGACGACGACGCCTCCGAGGACCCGACAACTATCGTAAAACAAGCCCTGAAGGACTGGCGGGAGGGCCACGCCGTCGTCCTGCGCCGCTTGCTCTCGCCGAAGGCCGTCGCCGAGGTCCACGCCTGCGCGCGCGACTGCCTCGATGGCGGCTGGGGCACTATTAGGAGGCGGTCGGTGGGCCTCCCAGACGGCTCCGTCTTCCCGCAGCAGACGCACGCGCGGTTGTCAAAGCACTTTCGTGAAAGGTGCCCGCGCGCCTGGGCGGCGTTGTGGAGAGGAATCGCGGGGGTCGATTGGGGCACTTGGCCTCGGTTCTCGGGCGACGCGGCCGTACGCGGCGCGTTCAAGCAGGCCGACTACCTGCTCTACCAGGGCGGCGACAGCGTGGGCTGGCACGATCATTATGGCGAGTCCCTGCTGTTCTGCGTCGTGCTGCTCAGCGGCGACTTCGAGGGGGGTGATTTTTCCTACAAGCCGCTCGACGGCGGCGGCGCGGTGGACGTCGAGCTCGCGGCGGGCGACGTCGTCGTCTGCCCGTCGGAGATGGAGCACCGCGTCGGCGCCGTATCCAGAGGAACGCGGGCGTCGCTGAACGTCGACTTCTGGGACGTCGACGCGGCGGCCGACCGGCGGTCGGCCTTCGACCGGTACTGACTTTATGTTTGTCTGTGTAACAGTACATGTTTTTTATTCCTACTACGCCGGGCGCGCCCGTAGGAGCTTCAGCACCTCGTCGAACTTCGCGTCCATGCGCGCTTCCAGGTCCGCGATGGCGCGCCGTGTGTCGGCCTGCACCATTGCTCTTGTTCTTTGCGACGTGTAATTGATGCGCCCCTGGTCGTCGTCCCCGCCTTTGGTCTCCTCAAGGGCTGCCGCGAGCCGCTTTTTGATCCAACCCTCGTCGATCGTGGGTAGTAGTCGTCTCGGGAATCGCTGCGCGGCCCAGGCCGTCTCCGACACGAGCTCGAGGTGCGAGCGGTAGTAGAGGCCTTCGCTTTTTGCCATGGCCGCATCGTAGCTATCGGACACAATCGCAATCAAAATATTCAGTTGCACGATGACGACGACCACCAGGAATAGAACCAAGTACGTTCGATCCGCGGATTTGGGATAGTTATCGAGATCATAATCTCCGATGAACCCAAGCAGAAGCAGCGAGAAAATAGTCATCCGGACCGATTCGAACGCGTTCGGTGCACCGTCGTCATGAAATCCGTAGTATTCCGCCTCGTGTTGCCCGAGGTACAAGTAGAACGCGCTCCCAAAGGCTAGAATTATCATGAGGAAAAAGACCATGAACACCCTCAGATCGCGCACGATCCGCTCGAACATCAAAACAAACGTCGCGAGGCTTTGGTTGATGTTCTTCAGGAAGCCGAAGAGACGGAGCCACAGAAGCATCGCTGTGGCAGCCGCGTGGTCTGTGCTCAGATTCGTCCCCGGCGTCGCGGCGCGCGCGAAGGCCGCCCAGGCGCAACCGAGCGTCGCCGTGTCGATCCAGTTCCAATAATCTCCGCGCCAGGCGCGCGGCAGGCCGAGGAAGGTGAGTGGGTCGTGGCCGATGGGGTTGCCGATGGTTTTTTCGAACCATTCTCCGAACGCATCCATCCACTCGTATTCTTTCCCGGCGCACGCCAGGGGGATGAACACGAGGAGGATTGGAGACAACAGCAAACACGCCACGAAGAGCACGAGGAGCCGCGGGATCGCCAGCGCGTACCACGCGAGGCCTTGTGCTTCGTATTCCCATTTTTCTGTAGCCGGATTATACTTGGTGGATATACGATCCTCAGGCGTCGCCAGCTCGATCGCACGCGCGGACCTTATCTGGCCCACCTCGCGCGCGGAGAAGTACGCGAGTACCGCGAAGGCGACAACAAGCGCGGCGGTCTTCTCGAATGCTTTGTTGGCCAGCAGCCACGGGTTCGACCAACCGAGCACTTCAAAGGTCGCGACGCGCGCGAAGCAGAGCATGACTACCAGGAAAGATACGAACTCGACGTAGAGGAGGAGCCGCGGGCCGGCGACGTACTTCCCGTCGATCACAACTCGAAATAACGCCGTCGGCGCGAGTTTCTCGATCGCGGCGTCCGACACGCCCTGTCGCTTAAGGTCGGGCAGCAGGTCGTCGTCGCGCACGAGGCCTAAGAGTCTCTCGACGAGCACCGTGTTATCGTCGTCGGTGATGACTTTGGCGATGGCGTCGAAGACGTGGGCTTGCGTGGTAACTCTTGCTGAAGGGGCACCTGGGATAGTAAGTTTCTCATCGCCTATTCGCCCAGTGGCCGCGTCGAAGAGGTCGCCGAGGCAGTTCTGCTCGCGACACGCCCGCGCGACCTCTTCGAACTCGAACGCAGAACGGCACGCGACAAGAGCAGTAAGTTTCTCCAGGGACCGGATGCGAATCGTCTTGTCGCTGCTCCCCGACGCGAGCCGGTCGCCGTCGAGCGCGGCCAGGCAATTGACCCAGCCCGTGTGCCCCTCGAGCTTGGCGAGTTGCGCGCCGTCCGCGACGTTCCAGATGACGATGGACTTGTCGGCGCTGCCCGACGCGAGCCGGTCGCCGTCGAGCGCCGCCAGGCATTGGACCTCGTCCGTGTGCCCCTCGAGCTTGGCGAGCTGTTTTTCGTCCGCGAGGCTCCAGATGATGATGGACTCGTCGGCGCTGCCCGACACGAGCCGGCCGCCGGGGAGCGCGGCCAGGCACAGGACACTGCCCTCGTGCCCCTCGAGCTTGGCGAGCTGCGTGCCATCCGCGAGGCTCCAGATGATGATTGATCGGTCGCGGCTGCCCGACGCGAGTCTGTCGCCGTCGAGCGCGGTTAGGCAATTGACCCAGCTCTTGTGCCCCTCGAGCGTGGCGACCTGTGAGCCGTCCGCGAGATTCCAGATGATGATGGATCTGTCTTCGTAGCCACCACCCGATGCGAGCCGGTCGCCGTCGAGCGCGGCCAGGCATTCGACCGCGCCCGTGTGTCCCTTGAGCGTGGTGAGCTGCGAGCCGTCCGCGACGTTCCAGATGAGCAGCTCTGAAGATTCTTCGTCGCTCTCGTCGATGTCGGAGTCTTCACCGCCGCCCGACGCGAGCCGGTCGCCGTCGAGCGCGGCCAGAGCGAAGACCCTGTCCGAGTGCCCCTCGAGCTTGGCGAGCTGCTTGCCGTCCGCGAGGTTCCAGACGATGATGGATTTGTCGCGGCTGCCCGACGCGAGCCGGCCGCCGTCGAGCACGACCAGGCATTCGACCGCGCGCGTGTGCCCCTTCAGCACGAGCGACCGCCGCGACGGCGCTTTGTCGGTGCCGTCGCTTTCATGCTCTTGTGTGCATGCTGGGGCCGGTGCCTCGGCAGCCTCGGCCAGGTCGGAGGGCGCTGCTGCGGCGACACCATCATGATCGGTCGTGGGCTGCACCTTCACCATGGCGTTTCGGGCTGCCCCTCGCGACCGCGCTGCACACAGCGCTCTCAAGATGCTCTCACAGTGCGGGCTGGGCTGGAGGCGCGCGCGTGCGTCTTTCAAACCCTACGCACGAGTGGTACGGTGTGCCTAATGCGACCCCCGGGGGAAGGAATCAAGGCCAACTCACGGCGCCGGCTCCGCGAAGAAGCGCCGCGGCGGTGCCGCCGCGCGCGGCACGAAGGCTCCCGCGACGGCAAACGCCGTCGTCGCGGCGTGCGGGTCGCGCGCGTAGCACTGCTGGCAGCGCATCGAGACGGTGGGCGTGACGTGGAGGTCAAACGGCGTCAGCCAGGACGCGTAGCACAACCGCGACCGCCGCGCGGACTCGTAGATGTGCTCCAACTCCTTCGTGTGCTGTTCACTGGGCGCGAAGTTCCTCATTTCATTGTGGTCCAAGAGAGCGGCCGCCAACCCCGCGGGCGAGCCCAGTTGCGTTTTCACGGGTTCGGGCGCCTTGGAACAATACGTACTGTCAAATCTAACCTCGGTCTCCGGTCCACCCTTCAATGAGGGAGGTGTAAATACACAGACACCGCCTTCCGTTCTCGCGTCGGCCGCGAAGAGGGCTGCCGCCAATGCGGCGGCGCGTAGTCGCGCACACGTCGGTCGCAGGATTTCCGGCGCGTAATCGACCACGATATACCCCGTCACGACGAAGGGCGCGCCCTCCGCCGACTTGTGGACGTTTCTCAAGAATCCGTCATAAAACGCGCGCGCGGCGTCCTGCTTCTTCGGCGACGTGAGCGACGGGATTTTCCCGAAGAAACTGGAGGACCTGCGTGGACGATACACGGTGTCGCGGCGGCTTCAGGACGTGTCGCGTCGACGGCGCGTGACAAAGGACGCGGCCGCGACCGCTTCTCCACCGGCGGCGTGATCGACGGCCGCGACGTCATCTCGAGGTCGCCCATGAGGCACAGGAACTGGGCGAACGAGGCCTCCGGGCTCCGGTCGAGGCACTCCAGGAGCCGGATCACTCCTCTCAAAGTTCGGGCCGGCCAGTGCACGGCTCTTTCTATAAGAGCGTGTCCTTGTTGCCCTAGGTGGCCGATCGGCGTCCCGTCGGACCCGGCCATGTGGCGCTGCACTGCCTCCGACAGACGGCGCGCGAACAATCGAGCTGAACTATTAGCCAAAGCCCCTCCGGAAAAGGGCCTCTGGGCCAACTTGGCCCAGTTCTCCAAGGCTTCGGCCTCCTGCGTCGTTGGAGGTCGCGACGGCTGGGCCGGCAACGCACTGGCTTCGCGCGGGGACATCAAACTTTGTAAGTAAGGTGCTACCGACGGCGAGATCGGATCCGTGAGATTGGCCAATAAATCGCGAGAAGGTAATGAACCCAAGGATTCGCCGCCAGACCCTTGCCTCTGTAGAGCCGAGGGCCCAAGCCCGTCCCGCGTCCGCGAAGCCAGCCAGCTCATCTTCGGCGTGAGGCCGCTGCCCAGGTCAAAGCTCAGCAAAGACGTGTTCGAGGGCGTCTCGTCCATCGGGGCTCCGTCACCGATGTCGTCCAGTGGTGACGCCATCGTAGCGCCGGACTGCGAGTCTCGCTGGGCGTCGCGCGACGATGCGCTGGTCCGCGGGCGGGCGGGGGCGCCGCGGCTCGGTCCGGCGCGCGCCGCGCGCTCGTCGCGAGAGCTTTTTCGATTTAGCCTCTGCTGGATCCTCGCCTTGCTCGCGGCCTCGCGACGGCTCGCGCCTATCGCGTCGATTGAAAGCGTATTTCTGATGACCCAAGCGTCGGCTCGGGTCGCCGGATATCCGCTTGAGGGCCGCGAGATTATCTGTGTCTTTGCAGGCTTTTTTGCAAGTCGGGCGCGAGCTGCGGGCGGAGCGGAGCAGTACCAGAGGCGTCGCCTCGCCGTGCACGGGCTCTGTTTCTTCGCGGAAACGAACGCGGGCTAGCGGCATGTAAGGCACTAGCAAGCCGGCTTTGTGCAAGCAATCGGCCCGGGAGCAGGGCTACGGCAACCGTCAGCCGCGCAGCGATTGCGTAGCATCTGTCTCGCATCCCTGCGCCGCCGCCTCGTCATCGCTGGCCGCGCGCGTGACGCCCCCAGTGCACCCGAAAGCAAAGAGCCAGTCTCGAGCCGCGCGCAGGAGAAGGCAGAGAGCGCGCGTCGCACGGATGGCCGACGCCGAAGAAGCCGCGCCGAAGGAGGACAAGGGCGCCCGCGCTCTAGAATGCCAGCAGGACAACCCGAAAAGGGACCAGTCCAAGTCCTGGAGGCGCTACGAAGCTTATAAGAGTGCGACGACCGTCGCCGAATTCCTGGCCAAGGGCGGCACGCCGGCCGATTTAGCACACGACGTGGGCAAGGGCTTCGTCTGGTATTTGGATGAAGGTCCGCATATAAATCCGGTCGCGAAGCGGGAACGCAAACCAGCGACGGAAAAGCCAAAAAAAGCCGCAAAAACACCTCTCGCGAAGGACGACCCGTGGGCCGCGTGGAATGATGATGATCTGGACGACGTGTGTGATGCGTGCGGCCGATCGACGCTGACTGAAAGTGGTCAGCCGATGAGCAACGTCCTGATCTGCGAAATCTGCGAGGCGGAGAGACATCTGACGTGCTCCGGTCTCAGTGATCCTCCGGAGGGCGACTATGTGTGCCCCGAATGTAGTGAGAGGAAGCGGCCGGCGAAGAAGGCGCCGCGGTCCGATGATCTGTCAGCTAGAGCTCGACAGCTATCCTCGAGATGCCTGAAGTGTGGGCAGAGCGGCGAATCACAAAGAGAATTGTACTTCTGCGAAGTAGCAGGCTGCTACGGCGCCTGGCACGGCGACTGCTTCGAGTATCACCCGTCAGAATCACATTTACTAATCAAGTGTCCTCAGTGTCGAGATCAGGTACCTTTGTCGCCGGCTCCCTCCGACTTCTGGCGCGTCCAGTACCCGGAAGACATGGATTTAGCCGAGCGAGGTCGCCTCCATCAGATCCTGCTGGACCAAGCGCAGTCGTTGCCGCGAAATTTACAAGACGATTTTCTGGCGGGGTATGGCTGCGTTTTACCGAAGGACGACCGGAAAAGGAAAGCGGCTGTTTTAATTCCAGCACCCTCCCAACGGTACTGGCCCCAGCCGCCGCCGCAGCAGGCGCGGGCGATTGGTGGGGGTTGGTGGGCCAAACCAGACGTCTCTTCGGGCCGGGAGTACTACGTCCACGAGACGACGGGCGAGTGCACCTGGGACCCGCCGACCTAAGAGTGTTTCTTGACTCGCGGCGGCGGCGTTGGGGGTCGTTTATTGAGCTAGCCCCTCTAGCACGGCCCGTACACGTGTCACCGCGGCGTACTGTAGGGATTGGCGACAGCCGGCCCGCAAAATCCCGCCTCGCCGGCAATGATCCAGTTTGAGGGGATACCGTCCCTGGGCGCGGCTTCCAGGGTTAGGAAATCGCGCTAGCGGCCTGTACTTACAGGTAAGACACTAGCAACCTACAAGCGGCCGAGCACAAGCCAATAGCCAGCCTTCCGGGCTGTTACGCATGCGTTTGGGAATCCTCTGAACCGCAGCATTGCTGCAAGATCCCAAATTTGCATCGCTTCGATCGCTGCGGGCACACAATGCGCCGCAAGCGCTCGACCATCGACACAGCCTCCGCGCGAGCACCGCAAACGACGTACGAGCCGAACCAGTGGCGCGAGCTGGTCAAAGTGGCATTGCTCGCCTCCGCGTTCATCGGCGCCTACGCGACGGGCGCGGCATTATCACCTGTCGAAGAGCCCGCGCCGGCAGCAGCAGCGGCACCACCACCACCGCCACCACCGCCGCCGCCAGAGATCCTCCCCTGCTCACAACACAACTTCATCACAATTGTACTACCATCAGTAGTCAACCCCCCAAAACGGCCACAACGTTTACAAGCCATCGCACAGACCTGGGGGCCAAAAGCGCGCGCGGTTTTTGTGACGACGAAGGCGTCGCCCTATCCACCTCTACCATTCCCGGCGCCGTGTGGAGGGTACCCCTACGCGCTGCAAGTACCTGCGTCGATCGGCGAGGAATTGGGAGTGGAACGTTTGCGCTGGGTCCTCGCCCAAGCGTTACTCGCAAAGGCTTCCTACGTGTTCATGGCCAACGACCACACGGCGGTCATTCCCGAGAATCTTGCGTGTTTTCTGAAGAGCATAGATCCGAGCAAACCGGCGTACGCGGGTAGGGCATTAGCGCAAAAACGGGGCAAAAGTGTCGAGATCTTCAACAGCGGCGCCGCCGGCTACGTTCTTACGAGGCCGACGCTGGAGTTGGTGGAGCGGCACTGGGGCACGGCCCCGTGCGACGCCAAGAGAGGAGAGAAGTGGCTCCAAGGAAATCCGGGCTTGGTATTAGCAAGGTGCCTGCAGCGCCACGGCGTCAAACCAGTAGACACTCAAAAAGAAGAAGAAGGCCACCGCTTCCACGCCTACGGCCCCGTGCGCATTGCCACAAAGGCGCTCGACGACTGGTACGTCCGCATGAACAGCAACTTGCCCTGGCCGTCGTACGACGGCTGCGCTTCCGATGCAATCTCGTTCCACTACGTCGAAAGTGCGGAGCAGCACGCCATTTATGATGCGGTGCGAAGTGACTTGGATGCGGTTCTGGAGCGGTGGCCGAAGGCTCCTTCGGACTTGGGTGGGTATTCGCGGCACTGGCGGAACGACGACCAGCGAAACGAGGTGCGCGACTTGCTCGCGGCTATCAAGCTGGCGACGCCGGATTCGTGCCGCGCGTGAGCGCCGCGTCGATGGCGTGGAGCGCCGGCACGCCACGCCATCGCGCTGACAACGACTAATGTGTGTGACTGTAAAATTAGATCTTCCCAGGTTTCCCGAACTGGCCCCCGTCGTACAAGTCGTCGTCGTCGCCGCGCGCGCTGACGACCGTAGACGCGTAGCGGAAGCGCTGGCCGTCCCCGCCCAAGGGTGCTGGGGTTCCCCGGCACTGCGTGATCGCCAGGAGCTCCAATCTAGCGGCGGCCACCGCATCCACCGGACCCTTGATCTCGACGCCCCTCAAACCATCGTCCTTGTCCTCGGCCGGTGGTGGTAAAACCCTCATCGTAGCACCCGTCCGGTACCTCACTTGTTCCAACGCACGGCCCTTCTGGCCCGTCAACCGGCCAGAAGTTGCTGAGGGCACTTGGAGTATGACCGTCACTTCCTGCATTACTGGTTGCTGCTGTTGTACGGCCCGCGTCGTCCCTTGGGCGGACCTCCTGAGCACATATCTTCGTGATGATTCGCCGAACCTAACTGTGGCGCCTTCGTCCAAGCGCGTGAGAGTGGAGATCTTTTCCTCACCGCCATCTGGTGTAGTAACGTAGGTCCCGTGCGTCGACTTAATGTCCGAGATGTAGGCCACGTCCGCGTCGAAGGTGATCGTCGCGTGGTGCCTCGAGACGGAGCCGTGCTCGAGCGGGACGTCGACCCTCGATGCGTCTCTCCCAAAAGTTAATTGGGAGGCGCCAGATAAATCTAGTCTCCCAAGTAACTCTCCTTCATCATCACCTTCGCCTCTCAAAACGTCGAAGTAGATCTTGGGGGGCGGCTTCATGTTTTGAGCCGGGGGCAGCGGCGGCTTCGGCGGTGCCGGTTTTTCGGCTATTTCTTTCAGGAAGCTCGAGACCAAATCATCGGGCTCCTGCGGCGGCGGTGCGTCGGAGAACTTGCTCCGCTTCGGCGGCGGGGCGTCGGCCATTATTTGTGTGCGGCGCGGGCGGTCCTCCCTGGTTAGTGTGATGGTGAGCGCGGTGGCGGCCGGCTGGCAGCGTTGGCTGGCAGAGTTGACTGGCAGCGGTGCTCGGTGAGATGCTCTCACGCGTTCTTACGCGATCACAAGGGCCTCAACGTGCGAGCTTAGCCAGTACAAAGCCGGCAGCGAAGCGGAGCTAGCGGCATGTAAGACACTAGCAAGTTTATTCCCATCATTGCTTTGCTCAGAGCTAGGCCGCGTAGCAGCGGAGCGCCCCGCCCCCGGCCCTCATACGCCGTCGCCCCGAGTGTTAGCTCGGAGGCGCGTCATCATTCCATCGCCCGGGGCCGAGGCGCGGGAATACCTACGACGGCACGACGTCGCCGAGGAGACAGAACAACACAAACTTACGAGCTCTTCGCGAACGTGGCATGCACGAACCCGTCTGGATAGGGCGCCCAGTCCGCCTCGGAAGTCTCATCATCCACGACGTCGCAACTGTCCACGTAGTCCAGCAGCGGAAACTTCGAAGCAAGCGCCGCGTCCGCGCCATGCGAATGTAAATACCCCTGCGTCGGGCCGTTGTCGCCGTAGCCCGTGTGGATCTGAGATAGAGTGGCGAACGACCTCTCGCCGACGAGCTCCCCCCATGGCACCTCCCAGGGGCTCCCACCACATAACCGTTGGTTGGGCACCAATCCCAAAATGAACTGGTTGCCCCGGGAATTTTTCCCGCCTCCCGCATACGCGAGATACCCTTCGGCGAACCTCGCCACCCCATCGACACTCCAAAACTTCGGCCCCCACGGCAGCCACGACGGGTCGTCCGCGAAACTTTTTCTGAACTCATCTGGCGTGTGCTCGCGACCCGCGATGCCCCATTGGCACAGAAAATTCTTGATGCAGCGGAAGAGTGGTACTCTTGCTGAAAAGTAATTTGATCTCACCATGTCGTAGAAGCGTCTCGCGCCGCGCGGCGCCCAGCGCGGCCTTATAGCTATGGACAAGGGCCCCTTCGTCGTAAGGCAGCAGACCAGCGCTATTGTCGACGGAGGTGGCTCGACCATGTGCCTCCGACTTTTGGTGGGGCGGCGTTCGGCTTCGGATAATTCATCCAATGATGACAGACAGCCCGCGGCTCTCGCACGTTCCAGAGTAGCCGCGTCGCCGGTGGGCACCCGCCTTGCCGGTCGGAGGCGCACGGACGCGAGCCAGCCCAGCGCGATGACGACGTAGAGCGGGAAGAGGCAGGACAGATTGAGGCGGCGCTTTTGCGGCGCCGCCTTCTTCTCCGAGACCGGCGTACGGTGGCTGTCGGTGCCTCGGCGCATGGTTTCACTACTGGCAGTGGCAGGGCTCGGCTCGGACTGTGTCTCGCGGCAGAGATGGATGTGACGTTGCGGACTGCAAGAAGACGTAGTTTTGGCACTCCCGAAGCGGTTCTGGCTGCTCTCTGCAGCAATAGCGTCTGGCGCGGCCGCGCGCTCGACTAACAGCTAGCGTAACACGCACTCTAGGATTTTCCAGCAGTGCGCATTAAATTTTGCAAGGCCAAGGCAAAAGAGCTGCCAGGTTGACGCATCGGACCTCCTTTTTTCCACGAATTCATCCGCCGATAGCGTTGGAAGAGCCTCACCGCTCGCCCCTGCAAAGTAGCCGAGCTGCCACCCGAAACCGCCTCTGCCCACGTCGAGCCGACGCGCGAGCCGCCACCCCCCACTTGCAACCATGGGCCGCTCCAAGCAAAGCGGCATGTCGCGTCAGCTCGACTACAGAAGAATGGCCCAGTCCGAGAAGCAGCGCCAGGCCGCCATCAACACGCCGACGTGGCTCAAGGTCGTCGCGCACTGCGTACTGACGCCGCGTCTCGAATCACACAAAACGACGCCATCAACACTAAAACACGCACAGGCCCGCTTCTCCCTCGTCGTCCTGACCTTCATGTGGCTCGCCATCGGGTCCAAGGAGATCCCGAACATCGCGACGAACTGGTTCGTCTGCGCCGTCGTCCTCGGTTTGACGCAGTATCCCGTCATGCGCGCGCACTGGAAGGAAAGCTACGCGCGCGTCTACGACATGATGGGCATCGACCCGGACACGGGCGAGACCGTCTCCGAGAAGAAGGCGAAGAAGAAACGATAGGAGTAGTCACACGTAACATTAGGCGGTCTTGACCTTCTTTTTCGTCATTGCGTAGATCGCGTATAGTACTAGCATGGGCCAGAGCGGGAGGAAGAGCGCTATGAAATCCATCACTCTCCGCACGGTCTTGAGGGACTGGACGTCGTTGACGCGCGGGAACTCCTCTGAAGCGAGTTTTTCATCGTCTACTTCCAGAAACGTGAGTAGCGGCGCCCAGCCCTCGCGGACGTCGAAGATCAATACGCGGTCGCCGTGCGCCTTCACCAATTCAATACGAGTCTTCTCGTGGAAGGCGACCCAGCGCTCCTTGGAACCTTCCGGGTCGAGGGAAGGTAAAGTACGAACACGCTCGAACCACGGCAAGACGCGGTCGACGTGGTCGGGGTAGCGCGCCACAATAAATTCAAACCCGAAGGCCTCGCATAACGGTTCGGTGAACCCAAAGTCGACGAGCCACGACCACGGCCTCAAGACAAACACGCCCAGAATTTGATTGACGTCGCGCCAGGAGCGGTACCAGTTGTCCAGGTTGCGCGTCGTGAAGAGGACTTTTGCTTGAGGGCGGAGGTCGGCCAGAGCTTTGGCGAAGAGGTTCACTGGAAAATCTAAAGTCGCGGTGTACCCCCGCTGCTCCACGTCGGCGAGCAGCGCCCGGAGTTCCGCATCCTTGCCGTCACGCAGTTGTTGGGCGGCTTTGACCCAGCGGTCCGCGTGTTTGCATTCCAAGATGGACCGCGTGTCGTAGATCTTGTGGCCTAGTTTTATGAGAGCTGCTTCGGTGGACTTCGTGCCGGTCCGGGCGAAGCCGCCGCCAATGACTTGGAGGCCGCGCGGCGGCGCCTGCGCTTCCCGTTGTTTGTCGAGGCCCAGGAAGCCACTCACGAGTTTTGCTGCCTCCCAGCGTGTAGCGCTACTGTCCGCCGTCGCGCTGACCAGCGACGCGGCCACCACGGTACATACTAGCCGCAGCATTTCTCGATGACGTCGAGCTGGCCAGTTGCCCTGTGCTCGTCACCGTTGCAACGATGAGTGGTTGCACGCGTCTGCGTCGAGTCAGTAGGTCGTCGCGCAACTCCGAGACGGGCGCACGATTGCGGGAATGATGGGTACGAGTTGCAGTGGCTGCAGCAGCTCCGAGCAAAAAGCCGGCTAGTGTCTTACACAACGCTAGCCCGATTTTCTAATCGTCCTCGCGGCGTGAAAAAGCTGCCGTCTCGTGCGCGTGGCATTGCAACGTGCAAGAAGAGACGCCTCTGCAGCGCTGCGTCGCGGCAGACTGTCATCCACAAGCTGCGCACCGTGCCAACATAGCTGTCGGCGCCGCGGCCTCGTAGACGAGCGCCATGCGGCTGCCGCTCGTCGCCGCAGCACTCACAATAACACAAGCCATAGAGCAACCCGTGGACTACGTCAACCTGCTAGCTGGTTCCTTCACCAGAGGCGACGTCTTCAGCACGGGCAACACGCTGCCGTTGGTAGGCCGGCCCTGGGGATTTAATCACTGGGCCCTCCAGACGAACGACGGCCGAAGCGCCTGGTGGTTCAATGGTAATGATCATGAATTTAAATGGATACGATGTACCCATCAACCGAGCCCGTGGATCGGCGACTACGGCTGGTTCATGGTCGGTCCCCAGATGGGCGGCTTCGCGTCGAATCCTACCGGTTTTTTTGAACCTCGAGCAGCTACGGTCTTGCCGCATGTCCTAGATTTCCGGACGGCGCCCGATGGGATGCGTGTTGAGTTGTCGCCGACGATGCATGGCGCATCTCTCCGAGTGACCTTCCCGGCGACGGCTCGCCTAGAAAAGCGCATCTGTATCAAATTAGGAGGTGGTGGTAATGATGGCTACGAGCAAAGTAATGGAGGTGTGGACGCGCGGACGAACAGACATTCAGGAGCGGTTGGTTCCAATTTCGCGCACCACCTGCGGGTGGAGTCAAAAACACCAGCGCAGTTCGAGGGGAGAGGCCGGGACTGCTTCTGCTTCTCCTACGACCGCGGTGCTACCACGGTGGAAGTTCATCTGGCGACGTCGTTCATCGGCAAGGCCCAAGCCTCGAGGAATCTGCAGGAAGAGCTCAAGCCCCACGACGCCGTGCGACAGGAAGGAGCGGACGAGTGGAACTCTCTGTTATCAAGGGCGTCCGTCGACTCTACGGAACTATCGGGCAAGACCGCACGGGACCTCCAGGTGTTTTATACTGGACTCTACAGAGCATTGACCTTTCCTCGACGTCTGGACGAGCCCGGCGACAATGGCCCGATCCACTGGTCGCCTTACAGATCTGGCGTCCAGTCAGGCACGCTCGTAACCGATAATGGGTTTTGGGACACGTTTCGGACCGTCTATCCCTTATTAGCTCTACTTTATCCCGACGCGCTACAGTGGATCTGCCGGGGCTGGCTGAAAGCCTACGAGGAAGGGGGCTGGATACCGAAGTGGGCCTCGCCGGGCTATCGTAATAGTATGGTCGGCACGTACGGCGACGTCGTGTTGGCGGAGGCCGTCGTGAAGGGCGTGCTGACGGGAGATGACGCTCAAAAGGCCTGGAACGCGCTGCGGCGAGACGCTTATGAAGAAGCTCCACCGGGCGGAGCCGTGGGCAAAGTCGGTCTTCGAGTGTATGAGCAGCACGGCTACATCCCGGACGACTCCGGGGTCAGTGATTGCGTTTCTAGGACCTTGGACTTTGCTCACGCCGACTGGGCGACGGCGCAAGCGGCGCGTTTATTGCATCATCCGGAGGACGCCGAGAAGCTGACGCGGCGGGCCCAGGAGGCCGTGCGCCAGTCTTTTGATCACCAGACGGGCCTCATGCGGCCCAAGAGTCGATCAGGGAGATTCTCCGTGCGCTTCGACGAAACGCGGTGGGGAGATGGGTATACAGAGGGCTCGCCTTGGCACCACTCGTTTCCGCCGTTCGACGTGGAGCTGTTGTCGAGGCTCCATGGCTCGAAGGAGAAGTTGAGGGAGAAGATTTTGCAGATGACGCGCGTGCCGTCGACGTTTGATCACGGGGGTCGCTTGCAGTGTCCTTGAACGAGGCGTCGCGTCGATGGCGTCTCGAGACACTACCCACACACAGGCTACGGCCAGACGATCCACGAGATGCGCGAGATGCGCGCGCTGGCCATGGGCCAGTACGGCCACAACAACCAGCCGAGCCATCACGTGTTGTGGTTGCTTGGCTTGTTGGGCTATAGAAACGACCAGGACAAACTCGTCCGAGAAGTTATAGATAGAGCCTACGGCGTCGACTTTTACGCCGGCGACGAGGACAACGGCGAGATGGGCGCCTGGTTCGTATTAGCCGCATTGGGGCTGTTTTCCGTGTCGCCGGCGTCGCCGGACTACGTGATTGGTATGCCTTTGTTCGAGAAGGTGTCGCTGCACGTGCCGGGGCGCCCGGTGCTGGAGATCTCCGCTCTTCGGAAAGATCGAGCTGACTTAGATGTGGTGGAGACGGCGCTGGACGGCGCGAAATTAGCGGAGACGATCTCGTTCTCGCAGTTGGTGAAAGGTGGATCGTTGATAACGAAGACGCGCGACGCTGGCGACTCTCTGGCGTCGTCGCGCGACTCCTTCTGGGGCAGCCTCACGCGCAAAGACTCCGCGCGCCAGTCGGACCACGCCGAGAGCGCCAACTTCTCACCCACAGAAGTGCCCGTCCACCACGACATTGAGGAACGCGGGCCGCACCACATCGTCGCGACGCCGGCGCCGATCCGCGACCACCCCATGCTGCGCGCGCACCGCGACACGGTGCAGCCGTCTTCATCATTCCCGGTCTGGGCGCTTGTTGGGGTGTTGGCGGCGTTTTTATTAGGACGAGGGTCGAAGCGGAAGCGGGCGAACGGGAGGCGGTCAAGGGTCGTGTAGTAAAGTTTTTAGGACTACATCGCCGCCTTCGCCTCCGCCGCCCGGCGTTGGTAAGGCGCCTTCTCCGCGTCGGACATGGAGCCCCACTTCGCGGCGACGGCGCGCATCCTATCCACTTGTTTGGGTGCGGTCTCGTGCTTCAAAACGTCGCTCACGAAGAGCACGTAGGCCGACGGGGCCCTTTTCTTCTTGGGCTGGCTCTGCTTCAAAGCCTTCTTCGAGGGGGGTGGTGTCCCGTGCGTCTCCGTGTAGGCCTTGACCTCGGCCGCGTAGGCCTCCCGCAGCCGCAGGCTCTCGGCCTCGTATGGGCTCTTGTCGGCTAGCGCGCGCCAGGCCGCGCCGATCTGTTTACCCTGCTCCGGCACCTTTAACGACGCGTCGACGGCGCCGGCGGCGCGCTGCGCTTTCGCGAAGAGCATGTAGGACGTCGGCGGGCGCTTCGGGACGCCGCTCGACAGGGCCGCGCGCGAGGTGTTGAGCACGGACCGCAGCATGCTGGCGGCGGCGTTCATCTTGTTTTATCTTTGATGGCTGCTCTACGACTACGTTCGTCGGCGGCGGCACCTGGCGCTCCCTGGTGTCACAGTTGGCTTTGGCTCTTTGCAGTGAGCGCACAAACAGCGCTCGCGAGCTGTGGGGCGCGAGATTTGCTCGGTGGCAGCCTACAGAATGTATTAATCTGTGTTGAGAACGGCTCCTGGCGTGTGTACCAGGGCCAAAAGTGCAAAAGCGGCAAAGCTAGCGGGCTGTAAGACACTAGCGATGCGAGGCAAGGATACGAGGCCGCTCAGAGCAGTGCAACGACGCGTCTCCGGGCCTGCTACCGTTCCTGCGGCTCGATCTCGCATGTCACTGAAGCCACGCAGCCTGCAGGCCGGAGCTAAATCCGCATTGCACGGACCCCAGTGTACAGCACCGCTTCAGTAAACGCCCGCATCCGTGCACACTCGTGCCGAGATTGAGATATTTGGCTTGACGCGCGGCGTTTTGCAGCACTGATCAGGCAGAGAGAGGCTCTCCCTAAAAGCCGCAGCCGAAACGCCGCCGAGCCGGCATATAGAACGCCACACACCGCGCAGGCACGCCGCAGCGATGGCCAAGACCGTCCTCGCGCTCGCGCTCGGCTCGGCCGCGGCCTTCTCCCCGAATGCCGCGCCCCGCGCGACCACAATCGTAAGAAGCGACCCGAACATCAAGACCGACGTCGGGTCCGGCTGGAAGCCCGAGTCCGGCGGCTTCAGCAGCACGGACACGCCGGACTTCTTCTACGACGACGACGACGAGAGAGGTGATTGCTCCCGTGCGGAACTCAACCTTCAGCACGCCATCGACGCGATGGTGCCTTCGTAGCGTCTGCACGACGGCGTGGAGATTCTACGCCATCACCGCGACGTCCCCGTGACTGTGACGGCGTGGCGACGGCGTGGAGGCTCACGAAGGTGTGCTCGCACGAATGCGAGATGACCTGACTCTCACAGGTGACATCAGCAACAAGATCGGTTTTACCGACGGCATCATGGGCTCCACGGGCCTCGACAAGCTCAAGGAGCAGAACACGGGCGGCAACAACCCGGGCGTCGAGGGAGCTTTAGATGTTGATCCCGACGTGATTGGGGGCTACACGTGCGCGACGGCCGAGGCCGCCGGCGTGAAATTCGAGCTCACGACGCTGGCGAAGATGGGCCGCTTCGACCAGGAGATTTCGATAGACATGCCCGCTGCTTCCGATATTCCTCGTTTAGAAACGATCACCGTGAAACCCGTGTGCATGGGCTTCGAGGACTTCTACGCGGGCTGGTCGCCGGAGACGCCTCCCGGGTTTTCGGTCTCGCCCATTCAAGGTAGGATGGAAAGAAGGGGCGGCGAGCCGTCTTTATTTGATATTGAGGTGAAGGCCGACGGGCAGACGGGCGAGAGGGTCGGCTACCTCTGCATCGTGCTGCCCGACGACGACGAGCAGTTCACGATCAAGGTGACGGTGAACTGCTTCTAGGTTTGAGTCTGCTGGGTAAGGGGTCTCCTAGAGTAGTCGCGGCGACGGCGTGGGCGCGGACCGCCTCCCGCGGCGCTCGCGCCGGCCGCCCCAGTAGGCGCCGTAGTAGATCAACAGGCGCCGTCAATTGCGCCTCTCTTCCACGCGACAGCGCAAAAAGTCCAGGCTCAGGCTAGTTACGTCCAGGCTCAGGCTCAGGCTAGTTACATCCTTGCTAGTGTGTCTTTTCAACCGCTAGACTGCTGCAGCGCTCTCGACTGAACCTGTCGCTGTTCGCACTATTCGCAGAGCTACTGCTCCGTTCTCGCCTCAGGAGCGAGCCAGCTGTCCGCCGGTGCAACGCTCAAAGCTCCGCTGCACGCCGTCGCCGAGCAACCACTGGCACTGCAAGTGCTCTCTTAAACCAAATTCACGCCGTCGCCGAGGCAATCAGTCAAAGTGCACCGCACAAAGCCAAAAATGGCCGCCGACACGCCACCCGACCCCAAATTCATCTTCTTCGACTGCGACGACACTCTGTATCGGAACGACTGGAAGACCGGAGATCGACTGACGCAGAAAATCGCGCAGTACACGGAGTCCGAATTGGGCGTCGACGGCGCCAAAGCTTATGAACTTTATAAAACACATGGGACGTGTTTGAAAGGGTTGTTGGCGGAAGGGCTCCTGCCGCGCGATCGCATCGAGGAGTACCTCGCCGCGGTCCACGACGTCTCGCTGGACGAGATTCACGAGGACCCGGCCATGCGGTCGATCGTGGCAGCCTGCCGGACGAAGGCCGACCGCTTCGTGTTCACGGCGTCCATTTCCGAACACGCGAAGCGATGCCTCGAGCGCGTTGGCGTCGACGACCTCTTCACGTGCATTATTGATACGCGGACGTGCGACCTGGAGACGAAGCACTCCGCCCAGGCCTTCGAGAAGGCCATGAGGGCTGCGGGCGCGTCGGATCCTTTGGCTTGTATGCTTATCGACGATAGCGTGAAAAATATAAGGACGGCCAAGACGCTGGGCTGGACGACGGTGCTGATCGGGAAGCATGAGAGGGACACAGGCAACGCGTTTGAGTGCCCGGAGGCGGACTTTCATTTGAACGACGTCTATGAGTTGCCATCAGTGATGCCGCACCTGTTTCCATCACTCAAACCGCCGTACCCGCGGCCATAGGTAATTCATTTAACTTTATCGGCTTGTTATCTCTTGTGTCCCTTATCCACGCCGACGAGCCGACGCGGCGATGGCGTCGAGCGCTCGGCTGCCAGTGCTGGTCGCCGCGTCGGCGTCGTCGGTCGCCGCGCTGCTTGCCTCGCCTTTGTATCTCACGAGACGTGGCCCGGCGGCTCTCCAGCGCAGCCCGGGGGCACTTTGGACCGCCTCAGGCGTCGCTTGAATTAAAACATTAGTGGGGTCGCACTAGCCTCGAGAGAGGCGGCAGGCTCTGTCGATAAAGACGAAGGCGTCAAAAGAAGGCGGGCAGATAATACTGCAAGCCAGCGGGCTGTGAAGGAGCTCTACTTGACCCACCCGCTCGACCGGCGAAGCAGCGGGGCAAGACAGTGCTTGCCTGGCCTCACCGAAGAGCAATTGAACCGAGTGAAAAAGACAAAAACGGGGCGCGCCGACGGGCCGGGAGCCACCAGAACAGCGACCACAAACACAATAGAGATGGCGGCGGTCGCAGCGGCAGAGCGTGACCCGCTGGATGATGTCGCGGACAGGGTCGGGTCGCTCGACAGCGTCGACAAGATCGGGAGCCTCGACGAGTCCGCCTTTTCCGCGGCGGGCGTCTCACCAAGCGGGAGACCGGCCTCCGATCCCTCTCGCAGAGGTAGTATCGACCTCAACCAGACGATGTTAGCAAGTATGTTACCTGATCTTGATGCGCGAGTAGTGGCCGAGCTCGTGCGGTCCGGTCGATCCGCCTCGATCGCGTCGAACTCCCAGGACGCCTGGGGCCACTCGCCACCCGCACTCACGGGCGGCGAACTCGACTTTTTGAGTCATACGCCACCGGTAGCCGCTTCAGCCGAAGATAAGCCGAGCACCGCGCGACGGCGGACGAGCGGTCCTAGACATGGCACGTATGAACGCCAAAACGGTTCCGACTGGGGCGGGCGCCAGCCCGAACTCAGTTCGTCGATGGAGGCTCTCCGGCTGCGAGGCCCCCCGAAGCCGCCTCGACCGCCGCGCGGCGGGCGCCACGCCGTGCGCCGCCTGCGAAGCGTCGCGACGCTGCGCCAGCAGAATGTGGTGGATGACCAGCAGGCGAACGCCATCAAGGACTTGCTCGTGCTCGGAGATCATGACGAGCTGCACTCGGCATTAGATAGGTATGTGGAGAGCAACATGACCGATTCCAAAGAATTGGTGGAGTTAGCGAAGCGGGGCGGCTTGGAAATGACGCAAGGGAGCTCCGTCGGCACGAGTCCCGCTTCCGCGCGGCTGCGGGGCGACTCGGTCGCGTCTGTAGGGTTGGAATTTGAGCACCTGATGGACCTCGATGCGGGACTCAGTGGCGTGCCGGTCGTCTTCGACGGGCCCTCTCCTAGGAGACGTACGGGCTCCGCCGGAAGCGCGTCCGACGGCCTCGGCCCCGCGTTCGCGATGGACTTCGAGGACCCGGAAGGTGCGGCCCACGGCGTCCGTTGATCTTCTCGCGCGTCGCGTCGATGGCGTCTGGGGGAGAGCAGGCCGCGGGTGGTCTTTTCGCGAGACGCCGTCGTCACGATCACACGCGCAGGCCCGCTCTTCGGCGGCAACTACGACGACCCCGACGGCTTCGCGGAGGCGCCGATGCGGCGGCGCGCGCGACCTGCCAGAAGGCAGGCGCCGCCGCCGCCGGAGCCGGCCTACGCGCGGCCGGTGGCTGGTTCTTCACCGGTCGCGGGAGCTGTGTCGTCGACAATACAGATGAGCGACGTGCCGCCTCTGGATCGGATCTTGCGGGGCGAGGCTCCCACGTATGATGCCCTCGTGAACTACCCTCGAGCCAAAGCACGGGGTGCTCGCCACTGCGTCATGTGCGGGCGGCAGCCGTCCGCGGATGCCGGGAGGGCGCCGCCCGTGCCGCGACCGCCTCCCCCGAGGCAAGGGAATCCGCCCGTCACCGTAGTGGTCTCTGGACAGAGGACCCCGCAGAAGACCATCCCCGGCCAGGAGCCCGTAACGCCGGCGACGCCCCCTCCCATGCCGCCGATCCGCCGCGGCGGCGCCGTCATCCCGAAGCAAAACAAGGACGTCTGTAGGGAATGCGACAAGGCGACCTGGGTCCACGCGTCGACGGGCTGCTACTTCAAGTGGTGCAAGGGCTGCAAGCGGTTCCGGAATTTACGCGGATTTGCCGGGAAATTAGCTGCTTCTAAATGTGATGGCTGCCGCGCGCGCGGGCGCGAGGGCTACATGCGCCGGAAGGAAGGCGGGACGACGCAGGAGGAGGCGCCGGCGCCGGCGCCGTCCTCCTCTAGGCCGCGCGGGTCGACTCGCGGGGCGCCGCCGGCGCCGGTCACCGTCGTCGTGCGGCCCGACGCCTGAACGCGCGTCGTGGACGCGCACCATGCCTCCGGGCGAATACATCTATCTGTCGCCGGCGCCGACGCGCCCCGGTGGAGTCAAAAGTTGACAAATCTCCCCCTGACGTCCGTGTAATTATCGGGTCCCCGATGGTATGATTCTACCTACGAGTGCGGCGCCGCGGCGATGGCGTCGTTGTGGTACGTCTATCCCACCAGCACGCCGTCGCCGCGGGCGCGCATCGATCGCTCGTTACTAAGACATAGACACACAGATTACTCACTAGCTTTCTTCCGCCTTTTGCGCTTCTTCTTCAACAGGTGCTTCAGGCCCTTCGACGACTTCCGCTTCTTCTCGACGACGACGACGTCGTCATGCCGCTCAGGGACCGCCCCGACGGCCGCGCCGTTCCGCTCCCAACACATCACGTACCGGTCGGCCGTCGCCGAGTGCCTCGACACGCCGCGGCGCCACAACCGATCAAAATACGAGTCGCCCTTCGACGGCCACCCTATCTGTTCACAAGGCGCGCCGACGTAGAGGCCGGCCGCCACCTCTCGATAAGGCAGCCGCACGGTGTCAAAGGCTTCATGAATGTCCGCCACTAAATACCGGGCGAAGGCCTCGTTGTCGCTCACAACCACAAACCTCCCACCGGGCTTCAGCGCGCGCGCCGCGCTCGAAAAACATTCGCCAGACAACATGTGCGGCATGTCGGTATCAATACATGTTTGCGAGGGTGGCTCGGGAAAGTTCGCGTGGATACAGGACACGCTGCCCGGCGCCAGCGCATTCAAAACGTTCGCCGCGGCGCCGTGCGCGACGCACAAGTTATTTACAGAGTCGAGCACGCTGCGTTTGATAATAGATGCGGCGCGGTCGCAGCGCGACTCCACAGCTAACAAAGCTATCGTAGGATCATGCAAGGCCTTTGCCGCGGCCCACTCGCCACTACCGCTGCCCAGTTCCACGACGATAGATGTGGCATCAACCAACTCGAGGACGTCGATCGGTGGTGTGAAGCGCGCATCGCTCGCGATCGCATCCCTAACAACACGCACGGCGTCGCGCCGCTTCTTCTTGGCGCCCCGACCATCGCCCGGCGCCCGGGCTCGTTCCGAAGCGAAGAGGGCTTCATCGAGGCCAAATCGTAGGTTCAAAGCATCTCTCCGCTCGACGCCAGACAACACCTCGCTTTGGGAACAACAGAGCACCCGCTTCAGCGCCTCGACGGTACGAGACGCCGGCACGACTTCGATGACCGACGCCTCGCGGCGCGCCTCCTCGTCCCTATGGCGGCGAAACGCCTCGTTCGAAGCTTGACGCCTAGCGTCGTCCCTGATACCTTGTGTGTTGTGGCGGCCCACGACGGTCAACGCCTGGCGCGCCGTTTCCGTGCACTTTGTTTCCCCAAGTAACGCTTCGGCGGCCGCGACCGCCACTAATGACGAAGCGTCGGCGTCGTCGCCCAGCGTTTTCCTAGCGTTAATTGGGTCGAGCGCGGCGCAGTACATGGCCGCCACGTACGTCTTTGACGAGGCGTCTGGCTCTACTAGTGTCAAAGCCTTTTTCGCGACGTCAATGCGCCCAGCAGTCAAACACGCCCGCAACAAAGTGTTGAGCGTCCGCTGGTTCGGCTTTGCGATGTCCGTGAGCGGGCCGCATGCATGGGGCGCGTGGGACGAGCCCGCGCGATGCATGGCTTCGACCAGTGAAAACGCAGCGTCGACATCGGAAGCACCCAGAGCTTTCACGGCCGCCGTGCAGGCCTCGACGCCCGGTGAGCATTTACCTCCCCGCGCGCCCGCGGTCCGTAGTAATTCCAACGCCTTTGCACCGTCGCCGGCGTCGCCGCACGCGGCACAGGCGGTCGCATAACTCCTTCCATCGACATTTTTATCTTTTTCGCCCTGTGCTAGCTTTGCAAGGCATGCTTTTAAGTTTCTTTGTCGTACTAATGAATGGAGCTCGTCGTTCAAGCGGCGCGTCCGCTGGCTTTTGCCCTCCTGCTGGGGTGCCTCCATTGCTGTGAGACGTCCAGTGCCGCAGCGATGCGAGATCGTTCAAGTTTTAGCTGAGAGGACTGTGGCAACGCGTTTTGAGCCGTCCGGCGCAGGGCTGGTGTCGCGTGCGCGGCGCTTGAGCCCCAGCTGCAGCTGTCAGCCTCAGCCTGCAGCCTGCCTGATCAGAGCTGCTTCCCGCGACTGCGTGAATGGGCGACACCTTCAGCACGAGGAAGGGCGCAGCGATGGCGACCAACGTCGAGAAGACTGCGACCGCTGCGGCGGGCGAGGAGAAGACCTTTGTGTGTGCAGTGAGCACTGGCAGCTGAACCGGCATGTTCGCGGCGTCCCGTTCCATCCTCTGCGGTCGCAACGCCCGGCTCGTGCTCGACGCCGTCGACGCGGCGCCTTGCCGCGAATCGAACGCTCGCTTCCCGGGGCCCGTCGAGACGCCGTCGACGCGCCACCACCGCAGGTATCAACTGGCGCCCAAATCCCTTCACCGGGGCGCGCGCCGCGAACGGGAGCGACTGGCCGCGCAACGGCGCCCTCCTGCGAGGGGTTCCGCACGAGAAGGACGGCAAGATGTATCTCGAGGTGAACGCGATCCAGCAGGCCGGGACCGAAGGGTTCAAGGACGTCCGCGGGCAGGAGAAGTGGATGCCGTCGGATGGTGGTTCCTGGAACGGCGGCCAATGGCTCCACGAGCCGAAGGAGTAGGCGCCGCCGTCCCGCCGGTCTCCCGTGTCGTGACCGCGCGTCCGCGCTAGCATGCGGGCGCGCGCGATTTTGACGGAGAGACCGCGCGTGGTCGGGGTAGTGCCTGTGCTGTTGATAATCCCACGTGTCCTTTGCGAGGGTTCGCGATCGCGTACCCTAGTGTCTTTCAAACCGCTAGCAACTGGCACGACGCCGTTTTTTGGCCCTAGCACTCAAGGACGCACGAGTTTTGATAAGGAAGGATCGCGAGTGAATTCTCGCACAGCTGTGCGCAGCGTGAACGAGGCGATGCATCTGGGCGCCCACCACGAAGAGCTGCGCAGGGCAGGGCACGCGAGGCGCAGACTACTCGCACTAAACACGGAGCCCGACTTGAAACGACTCATCACGTACGCTGAAAAGTACCCCAAGGGCGCGACGCCGACATCCATCCCCGGCGGCCGCGAGGTCGCCGACGCGTTATCACTGGGCGAACGCATGACCGTGCTACGAGAGCTGCGCTCCGCGATTAAACCGGAGGTCGCGACGTGGACGCCGAACGTGAAGGACAAGGTCCTGTGCGCGGGGTCGTGGCTGCCGGCCGGCGAGGAACCGGTCTACGAGACGACGGACGTCGTCGTCGGCGACCGCACGTACGCCGTCAAGCAGTGCACGCAGCACTGCCTCGGCAGCGGCTCGCGGCTGTGGGCGTCGGCCGTCGCGCTGTCGCGGCACCTCGTGGGCAATCCAATAGTGCGCGGCAAGCGCGTCGTCGAGCTTGGCAGCGGCGTCGGGCTCGTGGCACGAGTCTGCTGTGACCTGGGGGCGGTCGTTCTCGCGACGGACGCCGAAGAACGTCTGCTGGACGTCGTCCGGGCGAACGCTCCGGCCGCTCAAGTAAAACGCCTCGACTGGGCCACGCCGGACCTGTCCGATACTTTTGATGTCGTGCTTGGCGCGGACCTCATCTACTCGTCGGGCGCGATGGCATCCGGGCTCCTCGAGACGTGTACGTCGTTGTGTCGATCGGGCGGTCGACTATTACTGTGCGTCCCGGCGGGGCGGCACGGCCTGGACGAGCTCGTCAACGCGATCAATCAGGACGCGCGCTGGGGCGCCGCCGCCGTCGAGCGGTTCTGCGCAAATGACGTGGCCGAGGGCCACGCGTTCCTCCTGGTCGGAGCGACGCGGTCGGAGCCCGTGCCGCACCCCGTGCGCGCGGACGCTCTGGCCTTGCGCCGGTCGGGGCAACTGCCCGCCTCTTCCGGGTTTTGCGGCGAGCCGAGCGGCCTGCCCCTGCCGAGAGCGCCGGCCTACGTGCCCCACTCGAGGCGTCCCGCGTAAGGTTTATGTGTTGTTACCCAACATGCTGCCAGTGGCCGCAGCTTTGGCCACCATGTGCCGCATCAGGTACCGCTGGGCCTCGTCCTGGTCCCGGGCCAGGCCGCCCTTGCCGGTCTGGTAGTAGTGACCGATCCACCAGTCGGCCATCATCACGTGAGGGCCCTCCGGCTTGTCTCGCAATAACTTGAGCAGGCGCGGGCCGTGCCGGTGCTCGGTCCGGCGCATTTCGGCCTGGTCCTGGCCGCAGCCCGGACAGGCCGGTTTGTCGCCGTTGTGGGAAAAATAGCGGAGGGGTTGCGAGTCGTCGAGGCGAAAGCGTTTCAGGTCAGAACAGTCTCCGCAGCAGCGGAAGCCGCAGACGAAGCACATGAAGTTGTTGGGCCCGTCCTTTGCCGACCGTTGTCCGCAAATCGGGCACGGATCCTTCAGGCCACACGTGCGCTTGTGGCCCTTTTTCCAGTGGGCCCGCTGGCAGTCCGTGCTGCAGTACTGCGCCTCGTGGCATCGCGCGCACTTCTTGCACGGCGTGCTCGGCGCGCGCACCTCTTCCATGCTGGCGCCTGTCGCGACCTTCTTGCAGTACCAGCAGACGTACGGGCCGCCACGGGCCAGCCTGTCCGCGTGCGTCTCCCAAGTGTTCGTGTCCTCCTTGAAAAGCGGCATGAGCTTTCGAGTGTGCACGCCGTTTTGGTCTATGGCGGTGAAAGCCATGTTACCGGCCCGGTAGGTACTCCGTGCCTGTGCTCGGGCAGAGGTACTGTGTGTCTGCGCTCCCCGCAGCGACGGCGTTTGGCCAGCTGTTTGGTACCAGTTGGGGGCTGCCCGGAGCTACAATGTCGATGAGAACAGACGGTTGCGGGGCTCGATTGGGGCTGCCCAGAGCACCGAAATCAGAATTATCTAGCGTATCGACACACTAGCTCCGCAACGAATCAGATTAAAACACCCTTACACACAACTACACACGTGTTGAAGGCCGGTGATCGTTGCGCTTGACCATCGCGCTTACGTCTCCCAGACTCGAGGGAGCCTCGTAAGGCGCCGGCGCCGGCCGCCCGCGCCGCGCCAGGCGCCACCGGACCCGATCCGCCACGTGGTCCGCCTGCTCCACAGAAAAGCACCGTCGCAGCGACCTTACTAGGTCCACGAACGCTTCCGGGTCGTACAGTAGCAGAGGAGACGCGCCGCTCGACACGTCGAAGAGCTGCCTTGATCGTAAGGAAGCTGCTGACCGTTCGATGTGGTCCACGTCCGCGAGCAACACGCGCACCTCCCGGCCCGTGATCTCGCCGTACGCGTCGACGCTATGCTCGCCAAATAACTTTTTCAGGTCTGTCTTCGAGAGGTGCGGCGTTCTCCGCACCGAGGCGCAACATCTCTTCTGTGAAGATGCGATCCTAACGAACCCCGCGTGGTCGACGCAACCATCTTCGCTCTTATCAACATCTGTTAATTCCCGCGCCTTCGAGCCTGAGATGCGTAACGCCCGTGCCACATCATCCGCCTCGACCCTCTCAAAGTCGTCGCCGCCGCACACTTCCAGAAAGAGCTGCGTATACGCGTCCCCATACCTATACCTACGTAGCCTCCGTCGCACGAGCCACCGCCCTAAACACTCCTCGAGGCCCTCCCACGCCTCTTGTCTGTGATCATCCACGTTGATAGAACACACAAATCTAACAAACGAAGCTTTTGTGATCTCCGTGTGCTCGCCCCTAGTCTTCGGGACGGCCGAGACCCATCTCCTTAGGGTCTGGTGTGTAGGAGGATCTGTGAACCGCGTCTCCTCGTATAATCGCGAAATACCGTCATGGAGCGATGCGGCGTCGAGGCAACCTCTATGCTTCGTATCCAACCAAGCGAAGAGCGCCGCGCTCTCAATTTCGCGCTGGATGCCCCACAAACGCGCCCCGAGCCTGATAGCTGCGGTGCCGCCGTTCTTCGTCGAGGCCGCGTGCATGGCTCGGTCGAGGCGCGTGCTTTCCGAAGCGGGTGGTAATGACAGGTGGCGCTTGAGGCGCTGGGCGATGGAGCGTGTGCGCGGCGAGAGAGCGGCCTCGGAGACGGGCCGGGCCAGCGTCTCCGGCGCGAGCGCCATGCTCGACTGGCTGCGCAGGTCGCGCAGGCCTCGACTCGGCGCCGTCTCGTGCGCGGCATCCGGGCTGCCGGCGTCCGGGCCGCCACCAGTGGGCGCGAGGCTGCTCACGGTCGGATGGCTTCCAACCGCCGCATCTTCCGACGCCGCCGTCGGGCTCGACGCCGCCGTAGCATCGGGGCTGTCGAAGAGCGCTCGCGACGAGCGCCAGTCGCTCCTCGGACGGCCCCCGACCAACCCACCATCACCAAACAAACCACCTTCCATTCGCCGCCAGCCAGCGACCGCTTCCGCCGCCGCAGCGATGGATCAGGCGTCCGAAGCGCGCCTTCCGCCGCGTTCTGAGGCTGCCCGGTGATCCGTGCGCCGCGGCAGCGCCCTGCAAGAGCCCCAGACTTTCGCTAGTATCTGTCTACACTAGCTAAAGCTGCAGCGCCCACGATTTTAGCCTGGTACGGCAGCCCCCGCACGGCTCACGAGCGCGTCCGGCACCCAAACGGGACCGACGGGTCCTCGCCGCGACGCTCGGCGTCCACGAGCACCGCTTGCGCGCGCCGGGCAGCCTTTTCACCAGCAGGATGCCCCGAGATCAACTGGTAGACGTCGCCGTCGATAGGGACACGGGCCGAAGAACACTGGTCGCCAAGCGCCGCTTCGAGGCCGGCGAAATCCTAGCGACGGATTCACCTCTCATCGTCTGGGCGCAAAACGAGGCCGGTCTTTTGAAAGCGTTTCAGTCATCTGACCAGCAAGAAACGATCCTCTCATTATACTCCCCAGCTCTAGATCGCCAGGACGAGAAGATTGATGAGAGACGCAAGAAGGCGGCGGCGCTCGCGCGCACGAAAGCGTTTTCGTCCCTCGACAAAGACTCAATACTAAAAGTACTTTTGGTGGGAGACGCCTTCGCCCACCAGTTCGGGAAGCAAGAAGCGCTCTACGAGACGGCGTCGGCGCTGCGGCACGACTGCGCGCCGAATTGTCGGTTTCGTTCACAACCAGACGGCTCGATCGAAGTGACAAGTATACGACACATCCCGGCGGGCGAGACGCTGTCCTTTTCATATATTGGCGTACCCTGGGTGCTGTGCACGTCGGAACGGCGGAAACTGTTGCGGGAGAGTTTCGAGTTTTTTTGCGCGTGCCGGCGGTGCTGACTCAGCGTTCGTTTCCAAACGTTTCCGAGCTTCAAGTTGCGTCGACGGCGTCGTCGCGATGCCACGCCGCCGTGGCGCCGTCGTCGTGATCACGTGAGCGTCCACACGTCTCGTCAGAGGCAGTTTTGTGACGGCGTCGTTCCCGCGCAGGTGCCAGGCCCCGGACGTATTACGCTCCGCCCCCTGCCCGGGCTGCGGCAACTTTTGTTCCTTGGAGGAGCCAATCGCGCCGCCCCAGGGCCCCGCCAGCATCTTCTGGCACTGCCCCGTACGACGCGGCGTCGCGAATCAACGTCGAGGCGTGACGCCATCGACGCGTGACGCCCCCGACGCGTCCGTCGCGCAGGTCTGCGCCAAGCCCTTCGACGCGACGCTCCACGAGGAGCAGCTCAATCTCGATTTTAAGACTTTGTCCGAGAAGGTCCAGAAAGCTTCTGAAAACATACGAGACGCCTACGCGCGCGGGAAAGCGCCTCCTTCCAAGGTCTGGGAGGTGTTCAAGGACTGCGAGGACTTTGCCTGGCGCAGTGCCAAAGAGCTCGGCCGCGGCAACGTCGTCGTCTACCGGGCGACGGAGCTCGTCGTGAATACGGCTAGAGACTTTTCGGTCGCGAAGGATGCCTTTTCCAAGCAGAATATTGAGACGGAGGGCGACTCTTCAGCAGACCTGCGGAGGCGGTGGGTCGAAGCGACCATAAGACGAGTAGCGCAGCAGGAATGTGCTGCTGCATCGTGCTCAAAAGGCGGCGACTGCTTCGGGACGGAGGGCGAGCACCCGGCCGTTTATGAAGCGGCAGCAACGGTTTGCGGGTGCGCTCCAGTGCTCGAAACGCGACTCAGTGCGTTGGAGCGCGAGGCGTTTTTTGATCTCTGCGCCAAGTACCGGCCCTGCATCCGGTTGATGTACGATTCTTCCGAGGAAGAGAAGGCGCGCGTGGAGTTGCTCGAGTCGCTGCTGAACGCTGCCGACGTGGCCGAGGATGGAGAGGGCGTGGGGGAGGAGAAGGGGGCGTAAGTAGGAGCCCACGTCTCTAGCTCGCGTCGACGGCGTGCGGTGGACCCCAGCCGTCGTGGCAGCCGACGCCCACGCGCCGCGCGCGCGCCGCCGGAAGCGAGAAGCGCACCGTCGCCGGCCACGACCAGCGGCTCCGGGGCCTCCCCGGCGACGCCCCGAGGGCTGGGCGTCGCCAAAAATTCGTACGTGCGATGTAACCGCCCAAATCTGGGATTGTGTGGGGCTCTCCCGGCGACATTGTGCTCCGGGTCCGCAGCCCTGCCGCACGAACTCGTCCCCCCGTTGCTGCCGACAAGGCCGCCCCCAGACGCCGTCGCCGCGCCGCAGCTCAAAAGCGCCCGCCGCGCTGCCCCCAAGGCCCAACCTTGCAGCTCCTGTCACCTGGGAGCTAGCTCACTCGCCCGCCACCTACACCGACAGAAAAGACCATGGCCTGGGGCTCGGGCCCGCCCGGCGGCTCCCTCCAGGGCACCATCTCGCTGGAAGGCATCCCCAATTTGCCTGGGTATCGGTCGACGCCGTGCCGGCCCCAAAAGCATAGACAAACTTTACAGATAAGACACGGCTCCATGGTCGTCATCGGTCATAGAGACCCTTTACCAGGCAGCCCGGGTTCCACCGTAAGACTAGACCGCAGCATCTCGCGCGGCTCCGACGCGCGGCCGGCTCGCAGTTTTGGCGACCTCACGGGCCGCTACTCGCTCATCGAGCAGCAGAAGGACGCCCTCAAAGCCGAACAGGGCGAAGGCCGCAAGTTACCCTTCCCGAAGGGCCAACCGCTCCCGAAGTGGCTCCGGTACGGGAAGGAGCAGCTCACCTTCAAGGTACGATCGCGGCGTCCCGTGCGGTGCCTTCGACTCGTGTCCATCTCACGAGGCCGTGGGTGGTTTCTTTTTTGCTGAAGAGGCCGTTCGGACCGCGTCGGGGCCGTCGCGTCTCGACGCGGTCCGAGACGGCTCAGAATCGACGAAAAGACCACCCACGGCCCGCTCGCCCCCCGACGCCATCGACGCGACGCCGCAACACGCGACGCGCCGCGCAGGCCTACTTCGAGGAGGCCGTTCCCGGCAGTCAAATTGAGAGCAAGAGAATCAGGAAGTGCATGCTCTACTACTACCTCGAGGACGACTGCCTGCAGGTGTTTGAACCATGTGAAGAGAACAGCGGCCTGCCCCAGGGCTGTCTCGTGAGGAGGCATCGCGTGCCCAAACCAGATGGTTCCTACTATAGTATGAGTGATCTACAGATCGGGGCCGTCATCGACGTCTACAAGAAGATGATCCACATTTACGACTGCGACGACTTCACGCGGAAGACGTTGACGGAGCGGGGATTACCGGTGTCGAACCGCCTGCCGTCTCCCACGAAGCAGCAGCTCCAGGGCTACACGTTTGATGATGAACTGACGGTCGTCACGCGTAATACGGAGCAAGTATCACTTGAGGAAGGTTCCTTGTTCCCCGGTTGCCTACCCGACACAGATGTCTTAGAATGCCCGGACGATGAATACCGGGCCATGATGCGCACGAAGCGGGCGGAGAACGGCCTCGACCAATCTATTAGTAGAAGAAAGGTCATCTCGCCGGAGATCGGCGGCGCGCGCGAAGCGCAGCTCGGCCGAGCCCAGGTCACCGTCGATTTAGGACTACCGCAGCGGACGGACCTAGGCACGTTCCTAGAAAATGATAGGAAAGTCCTCAGCTTCGAGTGCACCTGGGAGGACAAACAGCTGTGCGTCTCGCGGCGTCCCTTCGCGACTCGTGTCCATCAGATTTTGAGCCGAGTCGGACCCGCGCAGGTACGGCGATGTTTCTAGATTCAGATTGCACTACTTCCTGGCGGAAGACGCCATCGAAGTGATAGCGGTCGATAAGCGCTCTGATGACTCCGCGCCGAAGCTCCTGGGCAAGCGGAAACTACTGTTGCCGCAGTACCAGCACAGCGTGAAGACCTGTGCGGAAATCAAATTTACGGCCTCCACGCCGTCGACGCGACGCCTGCTCGACGGCGTGGCGGTGCCGCTTCCTCACCATGCACCCGACACACTGGTTGATTTCCACCCAGGTCAATACCCCAACGGATAAGACGAACACCTACCACTGGACGGACCTGGCCGTCGGCGGTGAAGTGATCATCTTCAACCGCACGCTGAAACTCGTCGACGCGGACCCCTTCACGCGGCGCTACTACGAGGAGCAGGGGAGTTCGTTAAGAGAGAAGATCCGCGACCCGCGCGTCGACGACCCCGACTATTTGATGAGCCTGCGCCCGAAGACGCCCGTGCCGCCCCATCAGGGCCCGTCGGGCGGCATCGGGTCCGCCGAGGATTCTCTTAGATCCGTCTACGCGATTTCGCCCAAGAAAAAGTTGCAAAATAGCAAACAGGGCGATGCCGAGCCCGTCTTGCGCTATCAACTACGTTTAGTGAATGGTTCAAGAGAGGATGCGGTGCGGACGTTCACGCTGAACTACTTTTTGAGTGACGGTACTTGTGCGATCCGCGAGCCGCCGCTGCGCAACTCGGGGCACGTCGGCGGGAGCTTCTCGAAGCGCCACCGCGTCAAGAAACCCGAGAGAATGCAGACTCTACAGCCAAAACCTGTCTCGGCGTCGTCGGCCTTCGAGGCGGCGCCGGTCATCGCGTATTACGAGGCTTCCGATCTGTTTGTGGGTGCGACGATCGAGTTTGTGGGCAAGGTGTTTGAGGTCGTGAAATGCGACGAGTTCACGCGGGCGCCGGCGTGGAAATCAAACGTCGCGGCGCCCCACGCCATCGACGCGACGTCGTCCCCGTGATCTCAATAACCTAACTGGTCGCTTTCCGCACAGGCTCTCGTACATGGAAGAGCACAAGTTCGCGCAGTCCGATATCGGTAACTTACGCGTGGCGTCGGAAAACTTGGTGAGACTGCCCTATACTTGTACCGAACAAGATTTGCAAAGTGTACTCTCCTTAACGCCGCAAGAAGCCGTCACGCTCGCGCGCGCGGCTCGAAAACACTCAGGAACCGACCAGGGCGCCCACGTCTCGAGCGAGGCCGTCCGCCGCGTCCTGGTCGGCGTCTGACTTCCTTTCCCCTTCGATCTCTCGCGCGACCGCGACTAACTATTCCTACCACGACCACTATGTATCTATTAGGACTGCGTCGGGTTGTTCTTGTAGTACTCGCTGATGCGTTTTGATACGGGCCCCGTCTGCATGACGCTCCAGACGGAGCCGAAGACGACGCCGAGGCCGATGCCGAGGGAGGCCTCCCGGATGAGGGAGCGGAGGACCCAGCTCGCGCCTGCGGACGCGTCGAGTGGGCGCGGCGGCGGCGTGGCGGCAGCGCGGCGAAGGCGGGCACGCGACGGTCGAGCGAGGCGTCTTGTATCATTGTATCTTCGTGGGCGGAGTGTCGCGCCGGAGGGGCCGCAGCATTTTGGGAGCTATGTGTGTGCGCGCGTCCCGCCGCAACGCAAAATGAGCAGCAAATGCAGCTGGGGCATGAGGTGCTTTTTTTGGCCGCGGCGCGACGGGCGGACGCCCGGTTTTCCACAGAACGTCGATCACAGGGTCTGTTCGAAGCTTTTTAAACGGCTCTGCTGACGGACCAGCCATCGTAGCGCAACAGCAGGCCTGCTTTTTGGCCGCTTGCTACAAGGCTAGAGGCTCAGGCCGCTAGCTCCGCAAACCGTTTTTTCCTTGACTACGCGTCCTTCCGGGCCTTTGACTGACTGGAGAGCGTGGCGAGCGGCGTTTGCAGCCGTTCTAGGGACCCCGGCACGCGTTCCAAAAGCAAGGCGGATGCGCTGAGTAAACGCGCCGTAGACACGCACGCGAGTGTGCGTCGGGACGATTCGGCGCTTCTAGAGCGTCGTGACGTGCGCTGCGTGGCGTCGAACAAAGCACCGCGGGCTGTGGCATCAGCTGAGCAGCTCAGGAAGACCAGACTCACAGCCAGCCCAAGCCGCGATGCGGAAGGCCGTCCGCGCCGCGCTCTCCACGGCCCGAACCGCGCGCACGCCCGGCCCGCTCGCGCGCTACGGCCAGCTCGTCACGAAAGGACGGCTGAGGAGGGACGCGGCCCAGGTCGCCGTCTTGGAACACCTCGGAAGGTTACACCGCGTCTTGGCGCGCGAGCGGGAAGCGAGGGACGCCGACGCCGCGGCACGGGCGGTCTGGGCCACGACGACCAAAGAGGAGGAGGACCCCCCGAAGGAATGTAGTAGTATGATCGATCCGCGGGCCGTTGGTAGGAAGGCTGAATTGAGGAAGAGGAGAGGTACCACGGGTAGCGAAGCTTTAGACCGAGTCCTCAACCAGAGCAAGAGCGACGAGGTCTACGAGCCGCGCCAACCGCGCATCCCGAAGGGCCTATATGTCCACGGTCATGTGGGGAGGGGCAAAAGTCTGTGCTGCGACTTGTTCTTTGAAGGTTTGGTAGGATACAAGAAGCGGCGCGTCCACTTCCACCAGTTCATGCTCGAGGTCCACCGGCGATTACATGACGCGCGCGCGGAATGTAAAAGACAACATAAACGGCCGCCGTCGACGCGGGACGCGTTGAAAGCTCTGGGCCGAGAGTTAGCGGAAGAAGCGGAGATTTTGGTCTTCGACGAGATGCAGATCACGGATGTGTGCTCTCGGCGTCTGACGTCGCCCTCACGCCATCGACGCGACTCGTCTCCACGAGAGATGGTGAAGGGTCGTCTTTTTCCCGATTTTCGTGTCTCTCGCAGGTCGCGGACGCCATGGTCGCGCGCCAGTTGTTTGATGCGTGCTGGGATGCTGGCTTGGTGCTCGTGGCCACATCTAATAGACCGCCCGAAGCTTTATACGAGGGCGGGCCGAACCGCCAGTACTTCTCGCCCTTCGTCACGCGGCTGCGGGAGCAGTGCCGCGTCGTCTGTTTGGATGGCGAGAGCGACCACCGGCGGCTGCGGTTGAGTCGGTCCGAGGACGAGGAAGCTCCACCTGTCAGATACTTAGTCCAGCATCTGGGGGAAGCCCACGCCCTCGCGGCCGCAGCTACTCAATTAAGTGCAGCGGCTCCGAAGGTCCTGGGTGCGGTGCGAGCTGAGAGTTTGGACCTGCCCCACGGCAGATCAATCACGCCGGACATCTGCCTCGCCACCTGGGCCTCGCGCAGTTCGCTGCGAGAGAATTCCGTGGAAGGTGCGGTGTTTGCGTTCGAGGCTCTCTGCGGTAGCGAGAGGGGCGCCGGCGACTTCCACGCCGTCGCGCGGGCGTACCCGTCCCTAGCCGTCGCCGACGTGCCGGCGTTTACTCTCAGAGACCATGATGCGGCCAGACGGTTCATCACCCTTGTGGACGAGTGCTACGAGCGGAGGAATCTGTTGGTCGTCGTGGCTCGACGAGGTCCTGATGCGTTATTTCCGTCGGAGGACGTGTTCGAGCGCCAATTGTCGTCGGAGAAGACTGCAGGTGTCGATCGCGCGTCCGGTCCGGTCTCTACCATAGATCCAGCAGAGGACGAATGCGCGGCTCTAGATCTGGTTTCTGTCAGGGAGCTCGCCTGGGCGTTTAAAAGATGCGCCTCGCGCTTGGCGGAAATGGCCGCGCCCGACTGGCCGCAAAAGTTGACGGAGGCGTCGGCCTCCGCGTAAGGTGCTTGTATGATAGTTCGTGCTCCCCACCACGCCGTCGCCGCGACGCCATCGAGCACTACATAACACCACATTCCTTAGGACGGCGCCCCGCTCCTAGCGCGCGCCAGCGTCCCGAGATAAGCCCCGAGCGTCGCCTCGCACAAGTCCGCCGGGTCCTTTCCATGAACAACGGGTCCCTTCGGGTGGTACATGTAATCACGGTCCGGGTCCCGCTTCACCGACTGTTTTTCTCCCCAGCGGTCAGCTCGGCCGAAGGACCCGCCCGTCACACGGTGTCGCGGCGGCGACAAGTGTCCCAAGCCTGTTCGGACGGGCTCCGCGATCAACGACGACGCTCGACCGAGGGAATCTTCGGACAGGAGCGTCGAATCTTCGAAGCGGTTCGTAGTATGCGGCCGCGAGAAGATCGTCGACGGCACGTGCCGCAAGACGCCTCTAGCTGCTCGTCTGGCGTCGTGCTCCACATTACCCTTCGAATACCACTCATACCCGGCGTTCCAGTTGGGGTTCCGGAACGACGGGAATCGTCTCCGCACGACGCGCGGCTTCCGTAATGGAATGCGACACGTACTGACTTTGTGCACGTCCAATGGACCACCGCCGCCCCATTTTGTGGTCCTTTGTAGATTCATGTTCTCGTACTGGGGAGGAGCCCCAATGACGCCATAGGTCCCATTCGAAAGCGAAGTGGGCACGCCATCGAGGTGCAAGCGCCACCGCGCCGTCGCGCCGAGGCCGCCCCAGTGGCGCTTCTTCTTTAAGTCGCGTAATTCCTCTCGCTGCAAGCGTTGGATGTGTCGCGCCTCGGCCTCGTCGTTCGCGGCCGCTCGGCGTCTCTGAGCAAGGTCGTCCGCCGCCCAGGCGGACCACACTTCGTCCAACTTAATGGCCTGGTCTTCCGCGGCGATGCGCGCTTGGAGTTCGTCTCTATCAACAGTATGGTCGGTGGGGCTGGCCATATTCAGCAATGGCGGGCAGCAGCGCTCTTGTCAGCGTGCGGCCCGGGGCTCGCACGGCTTCGACGCGACGCTTCGACGGCGTAAGGGCAGCCCGGGGCGCTTCGCGGCGGTCGCGCGAGGCCGGCGCTGCCTCTGGTCTCAGATGGGCGCTCGGAGATGCCCGGTCCCACCCACCGCTCGGCCGAGCCCTCCGAGGGCTCGTTAGCCGTCCCGGGAGCCGCGCGACGCCTCGAGGCGTGGAAAAGAATGAGGTTCGTCTACCCCCCTACTCTCCATGCAACGCCTCCTCGACTCGGAGAGCAGCTCTCAAACGCGGCGCGCTCTCCGCGTGTGCAGCGCACGGCACGTGAAAACACAGCGCGCTAGCCCGGCGCGGCGCCTCGCACACGGCGAGGACCGCCGCGCCCATCAGAAGCGCAGGGGGCAGCCTCTCACAGCAGAGAGAGCGGCGATATAGAACAGCGCGTGAGACAGGAGACCATGCCCGGCACGGTCTCCATCAGCCGGGCCGACATCAAGAGCCGGGAGAAGGAGTGGTTCGGAACTAGTAGAGACCAGTTCTCGGCGTCCCTGCAGCAGTCGCGAAGACGTGTGAGCTTAGAACGAGGCACGTTAGCGAACCCGACCGGATTTGGGAACCCCCGACAATCCAGTTATGATGAACCCATCTACCGGAGCGACGAGCCCGGCGTAAGTCTCCACGAGGAGCATCGCCGGACGTTCGGCCGCGGCGGAATGGGCGCCGACGCCCCTTTGCAATACAACCAGGACGACGCGGACTGGGCGGGTAGCAAGTACCAGCGGGGCTTCCACAGCGAGGGCCCCGGCCTTAGCGGTGGGGGCTTCCCGCCCATCTCCGGTTCAGCGGAGCCGGCCGCGCGGTCGCTCTTCGCCGATAACGCGTACAGCGGCGAGGGCGGCGACCGCTTCTCGTCGAAATACGAGGCGCCGGCCACGTCCTACGGCGACTACGGCTCGTCGTCGAACTACGGCGCTGCTGGCGCGTCGTCCTACGGCGCCGGCGACTACGGCGCGAAGCCCGCCACCGACTACGGTGCGTCCAGCGGCTACGGCACGTCCAATTACGGTGACTACGGCACGACGACGCCAGCCGCCGAAGAGAAGAAGTCCACGCACCTCTACGACCACGCGCACGTCGAGACGCGGCGACCGACGTCGCGGAATCGCAAGACCGTCATAATAGCCGGTTCTGCGCCACTGGACAAGGAGGGCGATGACAAGCGACTCACGATCCACGCGAGCGACCTCAAGAGCCACGGCAACGTCGTCAAGATGGTCCGTGACTCGGCGTGATTTCCTTCGATTTCTCAACTTGAATTTTGGGAAGATGGCGTCTCCACGATATCACGCCGCCGCGACGCCGTCGACGTGGCCGTGCGAGAGGCTGCGCGTCGGCAGTTTCGCGACGGCGTCGTGCCACGCAGGACGAAGACGACCTGGAGCACATGAAGTCGAAGGGCGACATCGATTTTGTGGAAAGTTCCATCGAAAATGCAAGGGCCCAAGTGACGAACGTCGAAAAAGTTACAAGGACATTGGAGTCGCTCCACAACGAGATGCACGACTTCGAGGATCGGATTTTCTTTTTGGAGCACGATCTCGGCGTCCCGTTGTGTAGAGACGCCTTCACGCCGTCGACGCGCGTCGTCTCCATCAGAGAAGCCGCTGGGTGGCTTATTTTTCGAATTTGAGGCCGTTCGGACCGCTTCCAGTGAATACGATGCTCCGCGCAGGCACGTCCAGCTCTGCAAGATGGTCCTGCAGATCATGATGAACGCGCAGAGGAACATGAAGGTCGCGGCCTGGCGGTCCTGGAACGGCTGGAGCGAGGCGGACGGCGGTCTCGCGAAGCTCAAGATCTGTGCGCGGCTCGAGGCGGAATATGCCGAATGCAAGGCCAAAGAGGTCGAAGCGGAAGCGTTGGTCGAGCAGAAACTGAAAGCATTGTCGGACGTGGCCATGCGAAGCTTGGATACGCGGAAACGCAATTTTCTAGTGTCTATATTCGCGAAAGGCGGTCCCGAGGCCAAGAACGCCTACTTCATCAGATGGAAAGCCATCTATCTCATGTACGCCAAATCTTATAAAGTGTGGAAGGGCTTCTTCGGCAAATTACAAAATATGAAAGTTAATATGGCGCTCCAGAAGTGGAAGGCGACGATCTACGAAGCCAGTATGCCGCCGGAAGCGATCATCAAAGCCCTCCAGGAGCGCGTCGCGCGTCAAAGGATGCTGAAAGAAAAGTTCGAGACCGAGCTCGAGGCCATCGTGCGAGCTCGGCGTCCCGTCGTGTTGTGGGTGGCTTCTTTGTCGATTTTGAGTGAATACGCAGGTGCAAGCCGAGACCGAAAGAGCCTTCGCGAACCTCGACGAGGACAAGCGGTCACTGCTCATCAGAATCCTGACGCGGATGATGAAGATCAAGCAGCACCACGCCATGCGCGTCTGGAAAGATAAAATAAAAAACGGCGCGAAATACGAGCAGCGCCAAAAGCAAATCATCCACAAGATGCTGAAAAGTTACCTCAACATTGGGTGGCAGACGTGGCGGTCGTACGACGTCGCGGCTTGCACTGCTCTCTCTCTACGTGGTAATGAACAAAAACAACGGCACATCAAGTTGCTCTTTGGGCAATTGGAGAAGTTGACGTTGTACTTGAAGAAGCAACAGGTTGAAGTCGAGGTCATGCGCGAGTCGGTGCAACTCCAAGCGCAAGCCGCTCGTCGGGTGTTGGCGAAGCGGGAGTCGATCATTTCCGAGCTCGGTGACGGGATTGCTATTGCTACCGAAGAAGTGGTGCCGCCGCCCATCTCGGAGTGCGAACTCAAGGAGCCCGTCCTCCGTTCCTAACTACGCCCCCCCCCCGTCACAAAGGACACCCTGTGTAACTGGCGTAGAAAGTACTCTTTTCGCGGCGATGATGGCGTTAGTTTAGCGAAGGGTGAGTCGCGTCGACGGCGTCGACCGTCGACGGCGTAGACAAGTGCGTAGACAGCGCCACGCTGACGCCGTCGCCGCGGCGCCGCGCCTCTCGACGCCGTCGCCGCGACCCGAAGAACGCTAGCGTGCCTTACTTCTTCACCCCCGCGGCCCGGAACGTCTCGTCCAATTCGCCGCTCTGGAACGCCTCGGTCACAATATCGCAGCCTCCGATAAATTCGCCGCCCACATACAGCTGGGGGATCGTCGGCCACTCGCTGTACTGCTTGACGCCCTCCCGAATCGACTCGTCCTCGAGGACGTTCACGGAGTCGAACTCGACGCCCGTCGCGTGGAGCACGCGGCAGACCTGCTGCGAGAAGCCGCACTGGGGCTGCTGCGGCGTGCCCTTCATGTAGAGCATGACGGGCGTGCCCTCGACCTGCGTTGGGCGGTCGCGTCGCCGGCGTCGCGGCGATGGCGTGACACGTGCGCTCTGCCTCCGCGCGGCCCGCGTCGACGGCGTCGTGGCGCAACGATGCCACCGTGACGCCATCGACGCGTCATCACGCCGTCGACGCGCGTCGCGGGGCCGCGTCGATGGCGTCGCGGCGTGTGCGGTGTCGCGGGACGCCGCGCCGCGCCTGCTCCTTGATCATGGCCTGGACGCCCTCGGCCGTGGCCGGCACCTTCTTGCGCACGGTCTCGAAGTCCGAGTGAGAGCCGGAGAGGCATCTCAGATTATGGCGCGCGGCGGCGCGCGGCAGGCGTGATGCCAGGCGGAGGAGCGACATATCTCGACGTGTGCGTCTCTGACGGGTGTAAACTCGCTCGGATTGCACCGCTTGCCGCACGTAGCTGGCTTGCCCCCGGAGCTGCTAGTGTCCTAGTACGCTAGCTCACGCCGGATAATTCGGCTGTGCCTTGTGGCGCGCGGCCCACCGCACAAAGCCGTCGCTGCCGCGGCACGCAACACACGCTACAAAGCCCATCATACCACAGCGCGCCATGGGGCAGCGCTGGCTCGCCCTCGCCTGCATCACAAGCACTGCTGCTCTCGAATGCCATGTCGGCCGCGCCCACGATTCGGACCTGAAGGCCCATTCCAGCGATTTTGTGGATGGCGTCGCGTTGCAAACGTGCCCGAGCGGCGCGGACGTTTGTTGTGTGACTTTTGAGGCAGCCCGGTGCGTCGCGCGTCCCGCGTTTCCATGACTGCATGACTCGCAGGTGCTGCACGCTCGAAGGCAACTTCTACGCGGTGTCCGACGGCGCCTGTGGTAGTCAAGCACTCTGTCACAACACCGACGGTGCCTCGGACAACGTCTGCGACGGCTACGAGTTAGGCCGGCGCGGGCGCTGCACGTACAGAACGTGCGCCACGGACGGCTGCAACGTCGTGGGCGGGTTCGACCACGGGGCCGACGACGCGGCGGCGTCGCGGCGCGCGACGGTCGTGGCGGGCGCGGTCGTCGCCGCCGCGGCGTGGTTTTTCGCGGCGGCGTGAGAGGGCGTTGTTTAGCGTCTCGCTCCTTGTGTAATCTAGTCTTCGGACCCGTGCTCAAGTAACTGCCTTTGTTCGTAATTGCGCTAGTTATACCCACTAGATTAGATTGCACAGCCCCATTAATTATAATTTTACGCGGGAGCAAGCGGCACACGGAGCCCCATTGCTACGCGAGGCACTCGGAAACCATCGTCTAGGCGCCCGGCAACCAGCAGCACAGTAACCGCTGCAGCGGACGCACCGGGGCAGCCTCCCGCAAGTGCAGCCATGGCGTGAGAGGATGCTGGGTTGCAGGTCTTTGTGTGGCCACCCACATCGCGGGTAACAGCAGCCGTCCCGCATGATCCGGGCGGCCCTCGCCCTCGCCGCGGCGCGGGCCGCCGCGCCGCTCGACGCGGAGACGACGAAGCGCCTGGACCACTTGCAGGATTTACTCCACCAGGCGCACACAACACCGCTGCCGACCTGGACCGTCTCTCATGAAGACGCCGATTCAGTAGAATGGACGCCGCGCGCGAAGGGCTCGGCCAAGGTCGTCGAGGCGGGTGTATTGAGAGGGATTTCGGTCGTGCGCAAGCGCGTAATATGTACGGATCCGATCGCAACGCTGGCGCTCACACATAAACGGAGCAAGCGCCCGCTGCCCAAGATGGAGAAGCACTGCGCCGAGGCCGTCGCCGAGCTCTTCTTCATGGAGCACCTCCGCGGGCGCCCGGGCATACCGGTACTAAGGGGCGCCTGGTACACACCTCAAGGTTTAGAGTACGTCGTCGACGACGCCGGGCCGCCGCTCCTCATGCTTGGAGAACACAAAAAGGTCGCGCGCGAGATGGCCCGAAAACGCCCTTTGCGGCTCGCGAAGGCGTTGCTCGAGTGCTTCCGGAGCTTTTCGGAGGAAGGCGGCTACTTTTTAGATGACCTCACGTGGCGCCAGTTTTCGGTGCGGGAGGAACCGGGCAGGCCGCCTGTTATCACAATTGTCGACGGCCCCAAGGCCCTGGACGCGCCCGTCCGGTCCTACCTCGGCGCGAGCGGCCACGTCCTGCCCCTCCCGAATTCGACGGCATGCGCGCTCAACTCGCAGTGCCCCGCGACGCGCAAGCACCACTCGTGTATTGATAATGGCGTGGGGACGGGTCGCGCCGGGTTGGTCGACGCGGCGGCTCTGGCGGCCTGGAACGCGACGACGGCGTGCTACTGGCGGCCGGGGAGTCGGGCGCAGGGCGTGCCCGAGCGGGCCGCGGCGCCCGAGGCCGAGGGCTGGTGCGCTTCTTTTGATGCCTCCGGCGTGCGAGCTAAACACTGCGTGCCCTGGTCGTCGAAGACCCACGTCTATGACGTGGGGAGCCGGGGCTGGGCCCTCGGCTTCCTCGAGGACCACGCGCGGAACGCGGTTTCACGTAGAATCGTCGTGGGCCTGCGGCGGAAGATGGTGGGCAAGGCCGTCGCGGCGCGGCCGTCCTTCTCGGAGGCGCTCGCGTGGCTCGCCGCGCGGGCGTCTGGTATTAAGGAGGGGTTGTTGTAGTGTCCTGGACCCCGTGTTTTGCCAATTTTTCATGATATACCACTCGCGAGAGGTCCGCTGATATTGTTACGCTAGGACTCGCGAGGGGTCCCCCGCTTATTGCTACGGTGCTATAACTAAGGGCGGCGGCAGGGGCGGGTCGATGTTACGGTGCTAGGACTAGTGGGCGGAGCCCCTGGGGGGGAGACACCGCGCGTCGCCGATTCATCGGCGGCGGGCGCGGGCCGCTTCTTTCATAACAGCGTACCTCCTTCTAAGCTGAACCGCCTCGGCAAACCCCCCCGAACAATGTGCAACGGCGGCAGGGGCGGGCTAGCGGCCTAAGGCACTAGCAAGCAGAGCCGACGACCGAGGTGCCACTGCTCCTCCGCGAAGCCGTTGGTGCGTCATACAGCTACTCGCGGCGACTCCCGAAACGGTGCTCTGTAGGCTGCTGCATCGGTTTGCTCCCGAGCCGACGGCTGCGGCGCGCACACTGCAAAGCACCCGAACAAACTGTTACCAATTTCATCGCGGCGCGCGCGCGCGACCAGTCGCAGTCGACGACATAGCCGCCGCAGCGACCATGGACGTCGACGCCATGTCCGTCAAAGAGCTCAAAGCATTGATCGGCCGCGCGGGCCTGTCCTGCGTCGACTGCGTCGAGAAATCGGACCTGCGCGCGCGTGCCCGCCAGGCCGTCGCGCGCCTTGACGAGGCGAAGCGGCTCCAGGAGGAGCGCAAGAAGACGTCGCCGCCGCCGCCGCCGGCCGCGGACAAGACGCCCCAGCCGTCGCCGGCCAAGCCGGCCCGGTCGCCGCCGGTGCCGCCGTCTGTGCCGCCCGGTGTGCCGGTGCCCGGAGCACCCGGAGCCCCTCGGCCCGGCACCTACGTCTATAGAGCTGGAGCGCCGCCGCCGCGGCCGCCGCCGCAGTGGCAGCCGCCGCCGCCCCAGCCGCAGAAAAAACCATCACCAGCGAAAAAGAAGTGGTCCGCGGATGATATGTACGACTCCGACGGAAACGAAAAATTCGACGTGACGACGAGCGACGACGACTCGGACGCCGAGGCGCCGGCGCCCGGGACGTATGTGTACCAGGCGCGCGCGCCGCCGCCCGAGAAGCCGAAGCGCCGCCGGCGCCGCGACACCTACGACTCCGACGATCCGCCGAGCGATTGCGTGTCCGACGAGGAGGAGTACAAGCCGCGCGGCTCGAGGCGGCGGCCGCGGGCTAGATAGATAGAACAAGACGAGGCCTGGAACGCGACGTTCGGGAGCGAGGCGGCCGGCGTAGAGGATGCCGGAGGCCCGGGTGTACTAGTAGTAATGTTCAAGGTATGGTACTAGTCCTTACCCGAAAAGAGCCTAGTGGGCCGCGAACAACGCGATACCGGCGTGCGCGAAGAGCCGCTCGGCCGGCGTCATGTCGTCGAAGGCGGAGGAGGCGTCGGCGCGGAACGTCAGGATGAGCGTCGCCCCGGGCTCGTCGCCGGCGTCGTTTCGGTGATCGACGACGCCGCGCGAGCGCGTGTGGGCGCCGTCGACGAAGCACACGCCGCGTCCGGGACTGCGGTCGATCGTCGCGACCCAGCCGCGCGTGTCCCGGAACGACATCGACCGCCGGCCGCGGACCGAGAGCGCGAGGCGGAGCTTGACCGGGCCCGCCTTCCGATGGCCCTTGGCCTTGCCGCCGCGGCCCCCGTGGTCGTGCCGGTTCGTCAGGTCGGGCTCCTCCTCGTCGCGGTGCGGCTTGCCCGCGCGCCCGGCGGGGTACGTCGCGAGCTCCACGAGGAGCGTGCGCGTGAAGAGCCAGCGCTCGCACTGCGCGGCGAAGAACTCGAGGGCCTCCTTGTCGTCCGCGTCGCGCGCCTTGGCCGCGAGGCGCTTGACGTAGGACAGGAAGGCGCGCGACTTGTCCGACGACGTGCCGTCGTTGGGACCGACGACGTGCAAGCACCCGGCGCCGTTGCGGTTGTTCTTCACCTTGACGTGCTTGCCGTCGAGGTAGACGTCCGCGGCGTCGTTGATGGCGTCGCCGCGCCGGCCCGACCCGCCGCAGGCGTCCTCGATCTCGTCCGTGATGATCTCGACCGCGCGCGTCAATTTCGTGAGGTCGCGGTCGCCCTGGATCGTCCAGCCGACCCCGCCGATGCGCGGCAGGACCTCGCCGGGCAGCACGACCGGCGCGTCCTTCGGCGGCCGCTTCATCATAAACGGCGCGAGGCACCGCTCCAGGGGCGTCTGCACCGTCGCCTCGTCGAGTAACGACGCTTCGCCGATCGTCGCGCGCAGAGCGTCCTCGTCGACCGTCGTCGGGCGCTTGTCGCCCTCGATCCGTTCGTGCGGCGGCACGTAGTCGCGGAACGCGCCGTCGTCCGGCACGACGTCGTTCTTCGCCTCGGCCTTGCCGGCGGCTTTGTCGGCGGCCGCCTTCTTCCGCGCCTTCTTGTTGGTCTGCCGCGCGGCGTCGCTCTGCGCCGCGCTCTTCGCGGCCCGCTTCAACTCCGCGCGCGTCTTCGGTGGCGGCGGCGGTTTCGGCGGATCGGGCACGGCCGGCGGCTCCTCCTCGTCCTCCGACATCTCCTCGGGCTCGTCGACGACGCCGCCAGCGGCCCAGATGAGCGCGTGTTTGGCGGAGCACGGCCACTCCTCGCAGTCATCGAACTCCGCGCTCGTCTTGTCGGGGACGCAGAACGCCATGAGCTCGGTGCCCTGGCCTTCGAGAAAATCGACGTCGACGACGCGGTGCGTCGAGAGGTCCACGTCGTAGGTGATCGTCCGGTCGACGAGCTGCTTTCTCATCGCCTCGCGCTCGGCCTGCAGGTCCGCGAGCCAGACTTCTTTCTGAGCCGTGAAGTCGAGCGCCTTGAGTCGCTCCTGGACCTCTGCACGAGAGGCGCCGTCCAGGTACTGGTGCGTATTCTGCCAGACGTTCCTCCCGGCGTCGTGGCAGACGGCCGCCGCCCGTTTCACCTCCGCGTCGCGTGCGCCGCTCCGCACCGCTGCTTTGACCGTCGCGTCGTAGCGGACCTGACTCGCGCCAGCGGCCGGGTAGCGCTCGGCGTAGGCGTCCCAGCACGTCTTTGGCGCGCGCTTCCACGCCTTGCCGATCTCTTTCCAGGCGTTGAGCTCTAACGCCTCGGTTCGCGACGATGCGCCGAAGTACGGCGCCTTCTTCTTGGTCTGCTTCTCTTGTTCCTTGACGGCCTCGGCGAGGGCGGCGTCGAAGGGCGGCGTCACCATCTCGCGCGCGTGGCGACGGTCGTCTTTTTGCTGGGGTGTAGGTCTGGGCTTATGCCAGTGAAATTGCCACAGGTGGCAAAACCAGGTCAATTCTGGAGCCACAGGTGCGGAGCGAACCGTGCGTAACGCGTGCAATGCGGAAACGCTTGGCGTCGAGCACGACTCCCGTCGAACTGTCAATCACAAGTTCGAATGCAAAATATGAGAGATGCTAGTATGTCAATGCACAATAGCAATTCCGTTTCCACGCGCAGTTGCCCAGCAAAATAACTCCACAAAGTATGCGCCAATCCAAGCACCCGGGACCACCGTCGCTTCCCAGTGGAGGGCTCGAAGCTTGACTGAGCGTGTCGAAGTGTCGCGAACATCGCGGTCGGAGAATACAAAACCTCGTGCAGGTCTGAGCGTCATCCGACTTCGAAACTCGGCGACAAGTCGATCGCCACGGCGCCTCGTCGCATCGTCGGCTGCCCCAGAAGGACCGCTGAGCGGCGCCGCGGTGCTGGTGCGGGCGCCGGCTGCCATTGTTGCGAGCTAATAATTAGGCATTGAGGTGTAAATTACCTCGGCCTATCATCCTTGTGCTTTCGTTTTGACATCGTAAAGAGCGGCGCGCGGCGGCCGGCGCACCTGAGACAGCTGCACAGGGCAGCCTTGTCTGCGAAGCGATGTCGTCCTGGCATCGCGCGCATCGCGCCGCGCGCGCACATCATGGAGTTAAATAATTTAGCGTTGCCCTGGGGACGTGCTCCACCATTTGGGCAACTTCGCCGTCGATGTATGCGTCAGCGTTTCTTGCTTACAAGCTCGTAGGGATGCCTAGTGTCTTACCTGTACGGGCCGCAGGTCTGATAACAGGCAGTAGCATGCTCTGTAGTGAGTCGCCCTGTCCCCCTGAATTAAGAAAGACATGTTACTCAACGACATCCAGCCCGTCCGTCCGCACCTCCCACACGTTCTCGAATTCGGCAGGAGGCGGCTCAGGAACAACGACACCGGAGCCTCGCCGCGCGAACTCGGCGACGGCCAGCTCGTACAGCGCCGCGTCGAATTTATTAAAGCGCTCGAGGAGCGCCGTCTCGCGCGCGTCTGCCGAAGGCCGTCGTCCGACGTTCTCGCGGCGGCCACCCGCGCCGCGCGCGCACAGTTCCGTAGCATGGGTTTGGAGGTAGGCCCGCGCGAAGCGGCAGAGGCTCGCGTCCATCTCCTCGACGAGGCCGACGAAGGCCGCCCGTTGCAACTCGGAAGACGCCTCGGCGAGCTGTGTGGACGACGGCGCCTGCTGGCCGGCCACCCTACTTCCAGGCAAGAACAGGGCCCACTGCTGGTTCGAGACCCAGTTCGGTGGTCTTTTGGAAGCCAGCAACGACGACAAAGTCACGTTCCTACGTCTCCGGTGGACGACGTAGCCGTAATGGGACCGAACACGAGAGACAGGTTCGCGAAACCACACGGCCAGCGCACAAGCCGCCGAGAAGGGCTGCCGCGAGTGGGCCGACACGAAGCGATACGCACCTCGCTTGATCGCATCCAAAACAGCTTCATCGGTAGTTATCGGGTTGCCCGCGCACTTGCATAGTGGCGGCGGCCGCAAGGTCCCTCGCTTACACGTCTCTTCCTCCGTACAAAACTTGTCGCGAAAGAAGCGCCACACAAACGTGCCCGCGCATTTGGGCGTGTGTAAATGGAAGACGCATTTGTTGGTCGTCGCGACGGCGGTCTCGTCTTCTGGTGTCATGACGTCACCGGCGAGCGCTCGGACCGCGGCGCCGGGCAGTCCGCGAGCGCTCGTTTTCCGCGTCCGACGTGCGAGGCGGCGCCGCGGCGGCGCGTGTGGCTGTGTCTGCTGCGCGACGACGGCCGCGGCGGCCCCCGCGCCATCGACGCGGCGTTGCAACGGCGTCTGCGCCCGCGCGACGGCGTGGAGGGCCGCCGCGACGGCGCAGCATCGATGGAGGCGCATCGCTTGGCGCGCTACGCGTCGCAGTGCGCTCGGCTAGGGGAGCAGGGCTGCCCTTTTTGCCAAACCGATGGGTCAATCAACTTGCAGGGGTGCACGGCGGCTACGGCTGCGCTGCCGAGGCATCGTTACGCCTTTTCGTCGCGGTTTCGCATGCGTTCGGCTGGTGAGATGCCCAGCCCATTTTTTTTGTGGCGGCCGCACCAGGGCAGCTTCCCGGACTCGTACCGCCGCCCGAGGCGTCCTAGATTGCCTCCAGAACGCCCAGTAGAGAAGGCTGCCTCGCCCCTACTGGAAAGCTACTAGGAAGCCCTCCAGCCGGCGCTGGGCAAAACAGGGGCTCCAGCGCTCCCACGCGCGACGCCCGCGAGGCAGCCACCGAGAACACTGTCCGAGAACACTACCGAGGCAGCGTAGCGGAGCCGACGTCCTCCCCTGGGCCACAACAAGGGCAGCCATTATGGCCAAGGACCCGAGGGCTGAGGCCAATGCCTACCTGCGCGCCCACGGCATCAAGGAGCTCTTCGCCGACCTCGGCGCGCGCTTGATGTTCGAAAGGCCCAAAGATCCGAACGCTTTCTTATTAGAAGAGTTGGAGCGCGTCCAAGACTCGAAAGTGCGGGGCTTCTTCACGGATACCGATATTGCGGCGTGCTTCGCGGCTTTGGACCCCCACGACACGGGCACGATCACGGCGAAGCAGTACGCGCATGCGCTCAAATCGATGGGCGTCGAGGCGCCCAAAGAGCCGCTGGACGAAGGGACGGAGGTCGTCGCGAAGGACGACTTCATGGAAAGGATGAAGAGGGAGCTCGCGCCGCCGCCGCTGACGGCGTAAGGCTTTGTCCCTAGTTGTAGTATGCGCGTGCGGGGAGCTACGCTGCGCGATCTTTTTCGCAGCTAGTGTCTTACATGCCGCTAGATAATCTGGAGCCGCCGACGAGCAAAACACGGCTGGCGGCACGAACGCGGCCACACGCTCGCGACCAGTCGCTCCAGTTCTAGCGACAGCGGTCGACAGCGCGAACCAGGGACCAGCGGCGCCCACGCCGCCGGCGCGGCGCCCAGCTTATTAACAGACAGCCCACGCGGCAGCCGCGTACCGGCCGCCGTACGCTACCATGGCCGACGAGGGCGAGAAATGGGAGTGCCCCGTCTGCATGTTCGAGAACCTGCCGACGAACCGGGGCACGTGCGAGTTCTGCGGCGAGGCGATGCCTCCGCGAAACGACGCCGTCGAGGACACGCCGGCGCCGCCACCCGCACCAGTCGACCCGCCCGTCGAGGACGACCCCGTCCCGGAACCGCCGCCGGCGCCTTCTACTGGGGATGAACTAGCTCAGCTCCTGGAAGAGTTCGAGGCCGCCGCTGGGAGCCCGAAAACCTCACAAGACAAGCCCAAAGAACCAAAAAAAACGACTGTAAGAGTGAGAGGTTTTGATGTGTGCTCGGAGCAGGGCAAGCGCCCGTCCATGGAGGACGTCTACGTCATAACACCCAGCATACATGACGATCCGTCGCGAAGTTACTTCGGAGTCTTCGACGGCCACGCCGGCAGCCGCGCGGCCCAGTACTGCGGCCAGCGCATGCTCGACCACATCACGGGCACGGCGGCCTGGCAAAGGAGAGACGTCCTGGCCGCGACGAAGTTCGGCATGGCGCGGACGGAGCAAGCGTACCTCCGAGCGGCGCTGTCCGCGCAGCCGCGGTGGTTCGACGGCACCACCGCTGTTGTCGTTTTAGTAGTAGATGGGATACTCACGATAGGCTGGTGCGGCGACTCGCGAGCTGTCTTGGGGAGAAAGGCGAAGGGTAGCAAACAGTGGACGGCCTTCGAACTGAGCCATGACCACAAGCCCACGAACCCGCGGGAGCACAAAAGGATCTTACAACTGGGGGGCATGGTCGGCCGCAGTCTCAAGGAGGCCCAGTCGGGCAAGGCCTACCAGCGGGCGGGCGGCTGTGTGGAAATCAACCAGTCAGGTTATCTCGGCACCGCGGTCATCTGAGAGGCCCAAACTCGGACACGACCTCCGAGGGATACCCTCTTCATCAGAGAGCGAGTAGCACCTCACCCCGACCCCAACACACCCCAAATTGAAGCACAAGTTGAACTTTGCTTGCCACACAGGCCGGGGGCGCTTGTCCCGTGTTTTGCTTCGGCGCGAACCAGGACTCGCCCCTCAGATGCTATCCCGGCGGGCTGTCGCTCTCGCGGTCGATCGGCGACGTGACGCTCAAGTACCACCCCAAGAAGGTCGTCGTCGGCGATCCCGAAGTTGTGCAGCAGCGCATTTCTCCGGACGACCGGTTTATCCTACTAGCGTGCGACGGCATCTGGGACGTCATGACCAATGAAAGGGCCGTGGCTATTGCCTCGAAGGCCATTAGGAACAAGGAGGACGCCGCTAGAGCGGTCGTGCGGCAGGCCTACGCTTTGGGCTCGACGGACAACATGACTGCCGTGGTAGTTCATTTGGCGGCGGGGGCGGTGGCGGCCGCCGAGTAATAGGGTACTACTAGTCTCTTGTGCGTGCGTGCGGCGCCTGATCGACACGGTGCTAGGACTAGGGGAGGGCTCGTGGGCTTGCGTCGCCCGCGGCCTCGGAATTGGCCTCGGCGCGCCCGCCCCGCCGCCGCCGCGACCTAGGTCCCCCGTCCGCTCCTGTGCGATGCCGCACGGGCTCGCGCGCGCCACGGACGCCTCCCCTTCGTAGGTTGAAGCGCGGACGCGCGGGGCGTCACAGCTTCAGACCTCCCCCCGGGGCCGCTCCGCCGCCGCCCGCCGCCGGAGCACTCCTAAGGAACCAACCGCACCAAAACCGTTTCCACTACAGGCTACAGGCGATACTATTAAGCTCTCCGTGCTGCACGCCCCGTCTTTCTGCCGAGCGCTGTTGTTCGCGTGCGCCGGAGAGCGCGCCGCGCCCCGGCTCTGGGGGTGCGGGGGCAGCTTCCGGGAGGCCCCGGTCGGGCCCGGGCAGCATGCAGGCGCCGTCGCCGGAGGTGCGTGCCCTTTCCTGCTTCGCGCGAACGCGTGAATCCGGCACCCATGTTGCCCCCGCAGGCCATCTTCGACGATTTAGTTTTTGACGTCCCGTCCTGGGGCGAGGCCCGCATCGGGAACGAGGAGGTCGGCATGTGGGGAGAGCCGCGTCCTTCCCGTTTCGTGGCGCGCCCGACTCCGGAACGCAGGTCCCTCTTCGACGACGCCCAGGACACCTTCTTCGGCGACGCTAGATCATTGTTCGCGCCGAAGATCGTGACGCCCCCGCCGTCGCCGCCCGAAGCTAGAGCGAAGCTTGTACATACGGTGTCGTGGGACGGCTTCCCGGTCCGGGCGCCCCCGGTCCCCGTCGTCGAGGAGGACGAGCTCTCTGCGGAGACGCCTCCGCAACAACCGTCGCCGCAGCGGAAGCGCCGCAAGAGTTCCTCCACGAAGTCGAAGAAGGCTGCTAGATTACGCGGCCAGCCGTGCCCCTCGGAATTGCGCTGGGCCGCCGAAAGGACGGACGACATGCCCGAGAAGCGCCCGGTCGGCATCTCCCTCGCCTCCGGTTCGTCGTCGGGCTGGCGGTTGAGGATTGCCGGGACCCAATTGGGCCACTACCCGTCCGCGGCCGAGGCCTGGGCCGCCTACCCGAAGGCTACGGCCGACGCCGTCGCGGGACTCGCTCCATGAAGCAAGTCTAACCCCGCCGACGCGACCCACCACATATATTCCCCCCCGTCGCTGCCCCTCGCGCGCTCCTTTAGTCTCTGGAGCGCCCGACGGGCCCCGCCTTCGCCGCTTGTTTCTAAGGGCGCGGCGACCGGTATCCTATCTTCTAGTAGTCGGGGCGCCTCGCGTCGACGGCGTCCGGGTCCTCCGCTCACGCTCGACGCCGTCGACGCGCCTCGTGACACAAACAGACTTACACACACACACCTAGATCACCGCAGCGGCTTCCTACCGTAGTCGCCGGTCATCCGCGCCTCTTCGCTGTCAGAGCCCTGCCACGAGACGACCTGCGTCGCCGCGAAGGACCCGACGCGGCGCTGGACCGGCTCCTCGACCAGGACTTCGCCGTCATTTATCGAGGGAGGCCGCCGCACCTCCATGAAATCATCGGGCGCGCCCGTCGACGTGTCGCCGCGAAAGGCGAGCACCGTCCCGTCCGAGAGCCGCAGGCGCCAGCGCGCACTCCACGTGAACTGCCCTTTCCGAATACGCGCCGGTTTTTCCGCCCAAGAGCCTGAGCCCGTCAACGTGTCCGACGAAAACGTGCAGCGGCCGCGGTTCGGGTCGCCCAGCGAGCGAAAGGCCACCGTGCCGCGCAGCGTCCTTGGGAGGCCGTCCTCGGCCCACTGCGCGTCGAGGGACCACTTGCCGCGGATCGTCGCGAGGGGCAGCGCGTCGATCGGCTGGTCGCAGTTCGGGCAGACGTCGAGGAGGTCGGAGGCCGCGGCGCGCCCCGCGACCGTGCACGCAGCGATGGCGCCCGGCAGTGCTCGCCGCGACAGCAGCTGCGGTGCAAGCCGCGGCCGCGTGCACCGCCGCACGTCGACCGCCGCAGCGATGCTCGCGACGAGCCAGAGCGTCGTCCGCGCGCGGCGCCTGGATGAAGGCATGCCTCTGCTGTGTGACCAGCCTGCAGGCTTGTACTGATGAGCTCTCCAATTGCCAGAGAGCCATTTTGTCGAGCTTTTTTGCAGGCGCGTCACTGGCCCAGTACGCGCCACCCCGTGCACGCAGGGCTGGCTGTGGCGGCGAAGGGGTATCACTGGCACGCCTGCTGGCGCTTCCAAGCGCGGGAAGACCAGCAACCGCGTTGAGTGAGGCGCACCGCACGCCGTCGAGCAGCCATGGCCACCTTCGACAGCAAGTACCCCCACCGCTTGAGCGTCGCGCCGATGATGGGCGTCACCGATAAACATTGGAGGCACCTCGCGCGACTGTTATCAAGAAAGACGCTCTTGTACACCGAAATGGTCGTCGACAGCGCCATCGTCCACAACTCGCAGGATTTAAATCATACGCGCTTCCTGGGCCATCGTGACGACGAGCATCCGCTGGCGGTCCAATTGGGCGGCAACGACCCATCACTCCTAAAACAAGCGTGTGAGTTGACGGTGGAACACTTGGGCGACACTTGTGTCGAAGTCAACTTGAACTGCGGCTGCCCGTCGAACGTCGTCGCGACCAAACATGAATTTGGTGCGAGATTAATGTTAAAACCCGATCGAGTCAGAGACATCGTGCACGAACTGGACAGGGTTTGTTCGCCTAGAGGTGTGCCCGTGTCCGTGAAGCATAGATTGGGCACGGACTTGTCCGGGAGCGACTACGACACAACTTTAAGATTTGTGGAGAGCTGCCGGCAAGGTGGCTGCAGGCATTTCATCCTCCACGCGCGGTCAGCGATCCTCGCGAAGGGCTTTTCTACTCAACAGAATCGGACCGTGCCCCCGCTCGACGTGTCGGTAGCTCATAAGCTCGTGCGGGACCTCCCGGACTGCACCTTTGCGCTCAACGGCCAGTTGAAGACGCTCGAGGACTGCGCAAGGCACCTCGTCGAGTACGAGGACCTCCCGCCGGTCCACTCGTGCATGGTCGGTCGCGGCGCCTGGTACGATCCGTGGAAAGTGCTGGCGACGGCGGACGCCTGGTTAGGTGGTGAGGAGAACCCCGCCGTGAGTCGGCGGTCGGTGCTCGACTCCTATCTAGCTTATGCGAATGAACAGTACCCGTTGTTGGACGTGGCCGAGGACGCGTTGTACCGGCCGCTCTTCTACTTGTTTGCGGGGGAGGCGCGCGCCAAAAGTTTTAGGGTGGGTCTGTGTGATGAGGTGACGCGTCGGGCGAAAGCTTTGAGGCGCGGCATCGTAGACCTGCCGCCGCCTTCGGTGGTTGTGCGCGAGGCGCTGGCAACGGCGCGCATCACGACGCACGCGCTGGAGCGGCGGCCGGGCGAGGCGTCTCACAACCGGCCCGAATCGCCCCTCACTGTTGCCGTGGCGGCGCTGGACGTGTCGGACTCTTCGTCGTCCTAAGATTTTGTTGTGTTCTGTCCTTTCCACGGCTCTCTCCCCGACGGATGCCGCGACGACGACGCCGTCGACGCGTAGTCATGAGCAACTAGTTTTTACGACGGGAGGGAACAGTGTGCGGTCTTGTAGGTGCCTACAACACGTTCACGCACTTCAGGTCCTCCATCGCCTTGCCCAATCTTTCCACGGTCGCCTCCTCCGCCGAGCGCAGGCACATGCGCGGGTCGTAGTACTTCTTGTTCGGCTTGTCGGCGCCGTCGGGGTTGCCGATCTGCTGCTGGAGGTAGTCGTGGTTCTTGGCCTCGTACTCGCGGATGCCGTCCTGTGTGGCAATGAGATGAGGGCGGCGCGTGGTCGACGGCGCCGCGGCGAAGGTCGAAGTATAATCGTGACGGCCCGCGGCGCGCGGCCGACGGGCCGCGGCGAAGGTCGAAATATAATCGGGACGCGGCCCGCGCACCCAGAAGCTCCACTGGGTGTCCGTGTCGATGTTCATCTTGATCGTGCCGGCCTGTGTGGAAATCAAAATTTTACGGCGCATTCGTGCTGAATCGCCGCGTCGTCCTCCACGCCATCGACGCGACGCCTGCTCGATGGCGTGGCGATGCCGGTTCCTCGCCGCTCGACCGAGCCAGGACGGCCGCGTCATCGCCGAGAAACGACTTAGTGAAGAATTGTCGGGTGCACCCGACGCACTGGTTGATTTCCACACAGGTCCCCGCCTCGATGGCGTACTGGATGTCCTCGGTGCTCGAGCCGGAGCCGCCGTGGAAGACGAAGTAGACGGGCTTCTTGTCGTCGCCGCCGAGCTTCTCGGAGATGAACTTCTGCGTGTTGTGGAGGATCTGGGGCTCGAGGCGCACGTTGCCCGGCGAGTAGACGCCGTGCACGTTGCCGAAGGCGGCCGCGACCGTGAACTTGCCGTTCGGGACCTTCGAGAGGGCCTCGTAGACCTGCCAGACCTCCTCGGGCTGCGTGTAGAGCTTGGACGAGTCCACATCCGAATTGTCGACGCCGTCCTCCTCGCCGCCCGTGATGCCGAGCTCCATTTCTAAGAGGAGGTTCGACTTGGACATGCGCTCGAGGTACTCGACGCAGGTCGCGATGTTCTCCTCGAGGGGATCCTCGGAGAGGTCGAGCATGTGGCTCGAGAAGAGGGGCTCGCCGTTCTTGGCGAAGTAGTCCTCGTTGGCCTGCGTGGATTGTTGGTGACTCCCCCGCGCGTCCCGGCGTCGCGTGGCGGCGTCAGGCGTGTTTGCGTCGCGGCGAGGGCGTCGGGCGCCACGAGGCGGTGGCGTGGAGGCAGTGGGGGCCCCACCATCACGCCATCGCCGCGACCGGCGCGAGTCGAAGGCACCACGTCGCGCATACGAATCGGACGCCGCAAGCGCACCTCGAGCAGGCCGTCGAACCACGGCAGCCAGTCGCGCATGCAGTGGTCCGTGTGGAGGATCACCGGCACGCCGTAGAGCTCCGCGAGCTGGCGGACCTGCAACGCGCCCGCGACGCAGCCCGCGACGGACGCCTTGTCGGGCTCCTGGTTCCCGATGAACTTGCCCGCGAGGAACTGGCCGCCGCCGCGGCTGAACTGGACGATCATGGGGCCGCCGTACTTGGCGGCCGCCTCCATGCACGCGTTGATGCCGCACGAGCTCACGGCGTTGACCGCCGGGATCGCGAAGCCCTTCTCCTTCGCGTAGGAGAGGAGGTCGACGAGGGCCTCGCCCGTGACGACGCCGGGCTTGACGCTCGTCGGCAGGGAGATGGTCGCGGCCTCGAGGGGCGCCGCGCGGGCCGCGGGCCTCGAGGGCGCGACGAGCGCCGCCGCGCTGGAGAGGGCGAGGGCGACGACGACGGACTGCATCTTCTTCTTCGGGTTACCTGCGTGGAAGGTGTCGCGTCGGCGCGCGGACTTTTGGTGGAGAGGGTCTCGGTCTCGGCGCTCCCGTCCTCTTAAGCGGTCGCGGCGCGCGTAACGAGCGATGCGCTGCGTCCGCGGTACCTGCAGTGCACTCCTGCAGCCGCCGCGACGACTGAAACAGCGCACAGACTCCGATGCGCAAGCGAGGATGGGCGAGGATTCACAGCCCCTGGCGTGGAGCTGTGGAGCCGCCGCGCGCCGCGTTTTTGCAAAGGTGCAGGCGGAAATGTATTCTCTATGCTTTGCCGTGTGGACGCTGCAGTCTACCTGCTACGAGACGACCAAATTGGCGCTGCTAATAGCTTTGCCGTCAAAGAGTGCTACGTGTGATGTGAGACTGTCGAAGTTTGGCGTCAGGAGCCGTCAAAAGCCACCACAGACGCCATACCACGCTTCCATAGTGCTCATGAGCGAGACCTCGGGCGCTCGTCTGCTCTTGTTCTCTTTTGCTTCTTTTTTCGTCCCTCGGCACTGAGACGCCGCTTACACCTTTCTTGCATTTCCCCTCAATGCTCCAGATGACACCTGCGACGTTCACAAGGGTAGTCATGTCTCGCGGCCGGAGAGCTGCCTCTCCCTGGTGAGGCTAAAACGAGCTCACCCAGCTCAGCGAACGAGCGAATAGGCCATCAGGGAATCGCATCGCTGCCAGCGCACGTGCTGCGTCACGCCAGGCGAGTTTCGCGGCGAACGACGCCGTCGCTGCGCTGTTTCAGTACACAGCCCCAGCAAAGCGAAGCCATGGACGCGACGAAGAAGCAAAAAAAGAAGAAGCGCAAGCGCCCGCACCAAAAGCACGCCGGCGCCGCATCCTTAGCGAAGCGCTACCCCTTCGCGACGGACTTTTGTGATCACTTCGAGACGCCGCGCCAGGCCTACGCCGACGTCGCGCCGGCCCTTGATGCCTTAGTAGCGAAGAGCCGCGCAGAAACGCGCATCTATGACCCCTACTACTGCGACGGCGCGGTCAAGAGGCATCTAAGGGAGCTCGGCTTTACGAACGCGAAAAACGACAACCTCGACTTCTACGCCTCAAAGGCCTACAGGGACCCAGCAAACACGACGCACGATGTTGTCGTGACGAACCCGCCCTTCTCCGAGGACCACAAGGAGCGGTGCCTGCGGTGGGCGCTCGCGACGCGCAAGCCGTTCGCGTTGTTACTGCCTGCCTACGTCGTCGAGCGGCGCTGGTTCCGCGAGGCGTTTGGCGACGAAGCGAGGCCGTTCTTCGTCGCGCCGCGGGAGCGCTACGGCTTCGACCACCCGCTCGGCGCCGGCGCGGACGCGTCGCCGTTTTTTTCGGTGTGGGTCGTCGACTCGGGCCGGGGCGCCGCGGCGACGGCGTCAATTGGATCGACGCTCTCCGACAACGTCTTCGCCGACGTCGACGCGCTGCGCCGCGCGGGCCACGTCCGCGCCGAGGCCAAAAGGCCGAACCCGAAGCGGCGGCGGAAGCAGCTCGCGCGGCGCGCTGGCGGCGTGGAGTGAGTCACGGTTTTGTTTAATGTGGTTTGTTTAAGATGAGTGCTCCGGCGGCGCGGGTTTTTTCAGGCGATTTTGCCTTTGCAACTCGCACTCGCGCGTCGAGGCTGTTCACATCATGACAGAATACGTATCACAAGGTGATGGATTTCTGATGAACGACAACGATCCAAGTCGTCCGATGGTCATGTATTATCATGGCTTGATCATGCAGTACGCGGAGCGTGGTGACGTACAAAGCGTGCGGCACAACCTAAGACTTGTGAAAGACTCCCCAGGAGCCCTGGGACGCGCACTCCACCGAGCAGCCCTGGGAGACGGAAGTGTTCTGAAAGTCCTGCTCGAGGCCGCGGGCACCGCGGTTACCGCAGAGGTGAACACTCGTTGCGAGCTCGGGTGGACCGCGCTGAATCGGGCCGCCTGCCGAGGAAAGTCGGAGTGTGTAGCCCTGCTCCTCGCCGCGGGGGCCGATCCGGACCGACGCGTTGTAAACCATGTTTACAATCACACCCCGCTGGCAATGGCCACGCGAGGCGCACAAGAATATGGGACCAATATTCCACCTCCTTATGCCGAGTCCCAACGCATCTTCTACCTTCTGCTCCGCGCCGGCGCCACGTTCGGGGGCATGATAAGGGTGGTGGTCCCGCTCGTCTTACCTGAGGGCCTTCAATTTGGCCCTGCCAAGCTCCTGGTCGACACCGACGACCAGTACCTCCGCAAGGTGGTCGCTGCTGGCGGTTTTCGGAATTACGAGAAAGCCCACCGGCAAGCGCTCGCGAAGACGTTCGCCAGAGTCGTCTTCCCGCGCCTCCCGGTGGACGCGCTGTCACACGTCGTCGCTTTTGCGTTTCACACGGGGGCCTACTGAAGTAAAAAGTAACAACAAAGACTACTACCGCAGCAACCGCAACCGCCCCGTGATCGCATCCACGCGCGAGACCTCGCCCGGCCCCACGGCCAACACGGTCTCCGTGCCCGGTGCGACCTCGGTCCGCCCCGCGTCGGCGACGAGGCAGTGCGGGAGGCCCGCGGTCGACGCGGCGTCGCGGAGCGCGGCAAGCCCCTCGTGCGGCGCGGCGACGACGATCATCGTCTCGCCCGCGCCGGCCCACCGCTCGATGACGGTCGCGTCGGCGCGCCGCGCCCCGCCGAGCGCCGCGTGCGCGCACTGCGCCGCGACCTTGCCGCGGCTCATGCCCAGGTCCTCCCGGACGACCAAAACCATCTTCATCGCATGCGACGGCGGCGGCGCTGGCGGCTGCTCGGCGAACAGCATCTCCATCGCCGCCTCGACGCTCGTGCAGCCCGCTGCCACCGCGAAGGCCGCCCGTTCCTGATCAATACCTAAGGAAACGAGCTGGTCCAGCACGCCGGCGCCGTTTGCCGCCGCCGCGACGTCGGCCAGGACGTCGACGGCGTTACTACCGACCGCCTCGACCAGGTAACCCCTCAACCGCGCCAGCGTCTCCACCTGCGCCTCGAGCGGCAGGCGTTCGACGGGAGGCACGTGGACGAACACGCAAGGCACGCCGGTGGCGAGGGAGCAGAAGTAGAGGTAGTTGCACACCTGCGCGCGGCGCGTCTTCGCGAGGCGTCCTTCGGTCGATGCGCCGTGACAGCGTGCTGATAATTACTCCCGCTGCGACGCCATCGCCGCGACGGCGTACTACCGGACACCGCATTGCTACAAATCGTCCAGCGTCGTCCGACACGTTCACGCCCGCTTTCTGAGCAACTGCGGCGAGGTCGATGCTCGACGTCCTGGTTGCACCGAAGCGCTCGGCCTCGTCGATGGACGCCTTGGACGGCTGGAAGGCGTTCTGGTCCGGCACGCGGAACGAGGCATCATTATACGCGCAGCGTTCCAACGTGATGGCGTCGTAGGTGATCGCGACGCCCAGATGAACCACGAGCCCGGCGTCGGGGCAGCGCCACGCCTTCGCGGCGGCGGCCGACACTTCCAAGATCTCGACGGAATCGTCGGCGTGCTGCGCCGCGAGGCGCTGCGCGAGCACGGCCGACGGGTTCGCCTCGACGCCCTGGAACTGGCCGAAGCCGGTCCAGGCGACGCGCATTGCTGCTATTGATTGATGCGCGCGTCGGCTGGCGTCGCGGGCGTCTGTGTGTGCCGCAGAGCGGCTCCCTAGAAATGCTGTAGCGCTGCAGCGGTCGTCGCTAATATTATTTGGCACCGCTGCTGCGGTCCAAATGCTCCTATCGCACCTATGCGCTCGACACGGCGCGCGCTTTGGCTGCTGTCGAGATTGCTAGTGTCTTACATTCGCTAGCTCGCTTTATGCGTAACCCTACCATTTGCTTTGTAGAAGCAATACCTTCAAGGGAGATTCGTCACTGTGGGGGCGTGCCTTTTGATATGATAAGCACCTGTCCGGAAGGCCTGTGTTCATATTTTATCTGCCTGCAAAAAATTGGCATAAAGCACTGGTCGCCGCGAGCGCCGTAATTAATGGGGACCATCAATTGACGACCCGCGAGTCATGCGCCGCCTCCTCGCCGTCATAACCGCGGCGGCCGCGCGGCCCGAGAACGCGACTGAATATTTCGACGTAGCATCACGCCTCTGGCCGCCCGCAAGCACCGCGGGCCGCTGCCTCGCCGCCCAACGCCAACACGGCTGGCGCCCGAAGCCCAAGGGCTCGAACTTCAAGACCCTGGGCACCGAGGGCGTGGGCCACCACCTGTGTGGAAATCAAATTTCGGACGCCCCGCCATCGACGCGACGCGTCTTCCCGTACGTAACTGCATTGATTTCCACACAGGTCACCACTGGCTCGAGGGCCTGCCGCGGCGCCTCTGCGGCGGCGGCGGCAAGCTGAAGCGGTGCGGCGGCCAGTTTTCCTTTTCCAGTTGTGGCGGGTGTTGCTCCGAGTCGCGCGTCGGCGCCAAAGTTGTGTATGTAAAGGCGCGGAGCCGCGCGCGCCGCGGGAGCGCCTGGCGCTGCTTTAGTAATGACGCGCCGAAGTATCCCGTCGTGGACAAAGGCCGCTGGCACGTCGTCCTGGTGAGGGACGCCGTGGCGACGCAGGAGAGTATATTGAGGCGCTTCTGGAAGTTTAGGGATATGGACGGGGGCCGCGTCGACACGCTGCACCGCGAAGAAGCGTTTTACGCCAAAGCGGTCGCGCGCCTCGAGAAGGCCATCAAAGGCCTCGACTGCCGGCGGACCTTCTTCCTCTCCTACGACTTGGCGGCGCGGCACCCGCGCGCGCATGCCGTCGCCTTCGCGCAGTTCCTGGGTGTGGCGAAGGTGGGCTTCTTTCGCGGCTCCGACAATGCGACTACTGATTGTCTGACGCGCGTGAAGCCATGGTTGGCGCGCTTGCGAGCCTACGCGGCGTCTGATGGCCGCCCGGCGGACGGTGGCTTCGACGGCGTCGCCCGCGCCTGCGCTCGTGGTTCATCGGACCGCTCCTGCGCAGCGGCATGGCGGCGTCGCGCGGAAGCGTGCGCGGCGGCGCTCGGGCGGAAGCATCCGACCGTCGTGCCGCGACTGCTGGCGACGTGTGCGTAATCGGTCTCGCCCTTTGCGATCGTTCCCCCTGTCGATGCCTCAGGCTCAGGCTAGTTACGTCGCGGGGTCCCCCGTACCCCTCTCCTAGTGTCTTACATGCCGCTAGCTCCGCCGCTTTTTTCAGGGCAAGCGGGAATTCGCTGTAGGGCCGCGTCGGTTGCACCAGCGCTCGTCGAGAAGCGGTTGACGTCGCCGACGCGGCGTTTCCTGCATAGCTACGGCATCGCGCAGCCATAAAAGGCTCACGCAACCACCGACAGCCAAAGTCCACCAAAAAAGCGGGCGCGAATCACCGCCGCGGCGAATCACACCAAAACACCATGGCGCCCGAGCGCCCCCGCATGACAAGGTCCGCCTCCATGCTCGCCAACGTCCGCTGCGTGCTGTGCGGCGATCTCGGCGGCACCAACAGCCGCTTGGAGCTCTTCCGCCTCCAGCACACCGCCTCCAAGAAAGACCTCGAGGCGATAGGCACGGAGCCGCCCCTGTATGCGCAAACATATAAAACGAACAACCTGCCCGGAGACTTTACCGAGCTCTTACACGCGTTTCTCGCGGAGGCCAACGTTGGTTTAGTAGAACTCGCCGCGGGATGTCTGGCGGTAGCCGGACCGGTAGAAGAGGGAGATAGGGTCACGTTCACGAATCTCGGGTGGAGGATAGAAGCTAGACTCCTCGAGGCCGAATTCCGCATGCAACCGGGCACGATGCGTTTAGTCAATGATTTTGTTGCTAATGGATTCGGCGTCGTGACGCTGCGCGACGGCGACTATTCGACGTTGAATGGGCCGTCGCAACCGTCACCTGGTGCGCCGATCGCTTGCGTCGGGGCGGGTACTGGTTTAGGTGAAGCTTACGCGACGGCTTCGTCAGGCGTGTATGAGGCGTGGCCCTCGGAAGGCGGTCACGTCGCGTTCGCTCCCAGGGATGCCATCCAGACGGAACTGTTGACCGCACTACAACGCAGATTCGGTGGGCGCGTCTCGGCGGAACGGGTCATTTCCGGAAAGGGCATCGTCAACGTGTACGATTTTTTTGCCGAGAAGTTTCCGGGAAAAGTCGATAAAGATCTGCAGAAGAGAATAAAAGCACACCCGGAGGGTGCTGGAGTTATAGCAAGGGCCGCGTACGACGACCATCTCTGTGGCGAGGCTTTGAATCTGGTCCTCGATGCCTACGGCGCGGAACTTGGCAACGCTGCGGTGAAGTGGCTGCCGTTCGGCGGGCTTTATGTTTGTGGGGGCATCGCCGTGAAGAATCGGGAGAGGCTCAAAGAAAGGGTGTTCCTGGAAGCTTACAAAGATCGGGGGCGGTTGCGTCCCGTGTTGGACCGCGTGCCGTTGCGCCTGGTGCTCGTCGACGATCTGGGCTTGCGGGGCGCGCACTACGTGGCGTTGGCTACTCTACTGGGCGGTGGTGTGGTGCACGCGCCGACGGAGGAGCCCCCGGCGGCGCCAGCGGTCCCGCCTTCCGACGGCGTCGCGCCGGCGCTGGACCGGCTGGCCGCGGCGATCTCGCGCGCGGCGGCCGTCGTGTCGATAGGGTTGCTGGCGGCGGCGCTGTTGACGCGGCGGCGCTAGCTTATAACTTGTGTTCACAATCTATGTTCACATTACACGACCACCCCACGCGTATCCCGCAAATGCTCGCAGTGCGCGATCCGCGCGTCGACGAGTGCCCGGTCGACGGATGACAGGCGCGCCTCGCGCAGGTCGGCGAGCGCCGCCGCGTAGTCCCCACGTCGCTCGCGCGCCGCCGCGCGCCGTAGTAGGGCCCGCGTCGACGGTAGCGCATCACATAAACTCGCGACGTCGTGGTCGCCCGGCAATTGCAACAGACACCCCGCGGCGTTGAGCCGCGCCTCGTCGGCCGCGGCCTTCGCCTTGGGACCCGGCAGCGCGTCGAGCAGGTCGACCGCGCGCAGATACCGGCTATGTGCGGTTTTGTAGAGGCCTTCTCTCATGAGTGTGGCACCGTCCTCGAGGAGCGTCGACGCTTGTCGCGCGCGCTCGGCGAGCGTCCCCTCCACGCGAGGCGGGTCAGTCGCCTCCATGACGACCGCCGCCCGACACGCCGCGACGGCGTGCTGTGCTTGAAGCTCGTCGTCGTCCGGCGAGAGCTGCGCGGCCTTCCGTAAATGAAGCTCGACAATTTCCAATATAGAGCCGTCCTCACCCATCTCTGCGAAGGCCGCCGCCCGTAAGGTCCAGGCCTCGCCGTTCGACTCGTCGGCCTTGAGAGCGGTGGCCAACGCGTCACAAGCTTCCCCTCGCCGCCCGCGCTTCAGCAATAGACCCCCGAGCCCAATTCCAGCGTCGCACGTCGCCTTCTTCGCGAAGGCCTGGGCGTTCCTGCGCTCTTCCGGCGTGGGCTCGTCTTTTGGTGGGGCTGGGGGCATCACGACTCCCTTCGGGACAAAAAGAAATGGAGTCGGCTGGCACGTCTTGCACCCCGGCTCCTCGCACTTGTCTCCCTCAATGCCGACGGCGTCCCGCAACGCGTGCGCTGCCGCCGCGAAGGCGCGCCAGGTCTCCAGGGTCTCGGCCGCCTCCGCGCGCTGTTGACAGTCCGCACAGCCCTGCATCAGCTTTGCCCAGGTCGCGTCGACCACCGGCTTGGCACTAGTCCCGGCCTTCAGCGCCGCGACGCGCGCCCGGGCGGCGCGCCGCGCGGCGGCGGCGTGCGCCTCAGCTAGGGCCTGCTTGCTTGAGACCATCACTGTCGGGCTGCCCCTCGCGTCGCTTGCATGTGCACGCTATCGATGCGACGAACTGATGCGACGACCGCTGCGATCGCTGCGCCCCGGGGTGAGGCCGGACGCTGCCCCTAATTGGCCTGCCTCTCTCTGTGCCAAGACTCTCGCAGGGCGCGCGCGGCTGCGGCCGAGAGTTTTCCCCCCGGGCCCCCAGGCCTCCAGGACCCGGCCCGCCATGAAAACTCTCTCGTGGGAAGACCCGACAAGGCGCCCCGCGCAAACGGCCGCCGAGTCCACATGATGCTTATAGAGAAGCACTTACTCGAAGTTCAGCGACAGCCCCATGGCCTCCAATTCCACCTGGTACCGGTCGTAGTCCGACGCGTAGAGGTCCTTCAACTTCTGGCGCCGCGCAATCACCAATTCGGCGTCCAGACACCGCGCCTCGTCCTCCGCCGCCGCCGCCGCCCGCTTCCGCAGCGCGTTCAGCTTCTTCTGCGTGCCCTTGGCCTCGAACTGGACGCGCTGGTGCACCTCCTGCAATTCGTTGACGTACTTTTGGGCCTGCGGGGCAATCCAAGGTCAAGTTGCGCTTCAACTCGGGGTGTGTCGTGGTTTGGGGGAGGTGTTACTCTCCATACTGGGTCGAGGGTATCGCTCGGAGGTCGTGTCCGAGTTTCGGTGCCGAGATCGCGAGACGCGGGTACGTGCGCGCTCGCAGCGCTCTTCCCTATCCTTCATCTCCTTGATCTTGCCCGTGTCGGCCATCCTTGCCTCGGGGGGTCAGCTGCCCCTCCCTGTTGACTTAGGTCTCGCGGGTGGCGCTGGTATGGCTGCCCCTACCAAGTATCGAGCTGGCGCTGCTTAGGCTGCCCGTCCGGCGGTCGCGGGTGCGCTGGGGGTGCCGTGCGACAGGGGCGCGTCTCCCGGTCCTTTGGTGAACCTAGAGCCTCGTGGAGGGCCCAAGACCAGCGCGCGGACGATAACGCCGAGTGATTCCTAGTGTGTCTCTAGCTAGGCGGCCATCCGTTGCCTCTCTGCCGCCTGGCTCGCGGACGCTGCCCGAGCGACCACAGGGAGGAAGGCACTGCGCGACGACCGGCGGAGGAACCGCCAGGCACAAAGCCATGGCAGCAGACCCCCCACAAACGCCACCGACGCGCCCCTCCGGCGCGCCGCCGCCGTCCATGGACGGCAGCGTCGTCATGGCGCTCGAATACACGCCGACGCCCTGCAAGAAGCGCAGTGAGGAGCCCGTCGTTGAAAGGCACGAGCGGGAGGTTGGATATTGCATCATGGACATTAAACGAAGGCCCTGGACCGGTACGAGACCGTGGCTGTCGGATATCCGATGCTCGTATGGGGTCGACGCGTGGCGGATGCTATTGAGGCGTCTCGTGCGGGAGAGCGTCGTCGCTGCTCTAGAAATCGGTTCGGTGCTCTTCGCCCGGCTCTACGAGGAGTTAGACCCGTCACGATGCATGTACGCTTTGTGGTTGCGGGACCTCGAGCATCTGTGCGCCACATCAATCGGAGCGTTCGCCTTCGCGCGGTGGCTACGACCGGAGGACGCTTTGCAGGACCCCTCGCTACTACCGGTAGGCGTGCGACGACTCTTAGGCGCCTTTGCGTTAGCTTGCGCGCCAGCTAGAGAAGTTTGCGCTTCCGCGGAAAAGAATTCTCCGAAGAAAAGACCGGAAGAGGCGTCACTGCAAATTTTCGACTTCCAGAAAGGAACGCTGGCGACGGCGCCCGTTCGATGGGCCTCGTTGCTCGGCGGCCCGGTGCTGACGCACATTGTGGAAAGGCGGCCGGAGCTCCATGGGGATGAAAGGTTGTTGAGTGACGGGGAGCGCGAGGATCGCGGCGTCCTGCGGGCCTGGCTCGTGAGGAGAAAAGCGCGCGCGGAGCACTCCTCCGCCGCCGTGAGTAAGCCGCTCTAGGATAGCTACTTAGTACGCCTCCGCCGCCGCCTTGGTTAAACCGCCCTTGAGCCGTAAGGCGTCCACGGACCACTTCATCTTGAGCTTCGTGATGGGCATCACTCTACGTAAGGCTTTGAAGGTCGCGTCGGCCATGTCGCCGTACATCGCTTCCAAGCCGGCGTGCAATTCGTTCTCGCTGGCTTCGATTAACTGGGAGACGTCTCGCGTCGACGCCGTGACCTCTTTCGTCGCATACAACTGCACGTTGCCGTCCTCGAAGTAGTGGGCTCGTACCTGTATCATGCCCTGCACGTCGTAGCCCTCGGAAGACGGCGTGAGGGTCCAGGCCGACGCCCAGCTTCCCGAGTGGAAGTTTCCAAGGTTCTTCCGCGCGCCGCGCACGACGCACTTCAGGGCGTCTCCTACCACAAATGTGGCGGCGTGGCCCTCGCCCAGGTATCTTGTGGAGGCGTACACGGCCAATGCCTTCTGGAGGTCGTCTCTCGCGCTCTTCAGTGACTCGGGCACAGCGTCCTCGTCATACACGTCCTCAACCGGTATGGCTTCGAGGGTAGCATGGTCGACGTCGTACAGCTTGCCGTTTGCATCTCTATAAGAAGTAGGCGTCACCTCCGCCTCGCGGCACAAGACGACGCGCGCCCCGTCTTCTGTGATCGCGGCCTCGAGGATCTGGGCGTTGCGCGCGCGCGCCACGCCGTTCACGAAGCCGCCCTCGAGCGCCCGCTCCGGCGTAATTGAGGCGACATCGTCGAGAAGCTCTGTGAATTCGCCCGGCGGCGCGTTGAGCAGCAAATGCTGGGCCACGCCGCGGGCCTCCTCCTCCTCCTCCTCCGTCAGAGGAGCCTCCTGCAGCTCCTCGGCGGCGTCGGCGGCTTCCTCCTCGTAGCCTTCGTCGGCCGCGGCCGCGTCGAGGTCGGCGACGTCCTCTTCCAGGGAGAGGCTTTCGACGGCCTCGCGGGGCGGGAGTTCTGGTGGGGTGGCGGCCTCGCGGGGCGGGAGTTCTGGCGGCGCGGCGTCTTCGGCCATGGAGATTTTTGTGGCAATTATTGGTCGGCGGTTTCGGGGCGTTTTCTCGCGGCGTTCGCGGCGGGCGCCGTTTAGGCGGAGGGCTACTGGCCTAGGGAGTCTCGCGTGCCCGCCTTTTGAGTCGCGCGCCCGGAACAAAGCTGACCCTGAATTTCAGAGGGCTAGCGGTCTGTAAGACACTAGCAATCCCAGGGTGAAAAAAGTGGACGTAGAGATCGAAGCAGTAGGTCTCCGGACCGTAGAAGTGACGCTTCGCATCGCTGCTCGCTGTATCTAACACGACAGCGCCACTCGTCGGCCATAACTGCCGCTGCACAACACCACCACCCAGCACAGCCCAAAAACACATGCCCCCCAAGCCGCGACTGCCGCGCCGCCGACCGCAGGACGAGCCCGACGGTCCCTGGGACCTCTGCATCGTGCTCACGTCCATCGCCGGTTTACTGACGCTCTTCATCTGGCTCGCGGGTCACGAGCTCGGCGCGGAGATTGTGCACGACCTCTGAATGTGTCTGGTTTTTGTGTGGCGGGCGCCGGCGCCGGACGAGGTTTGTGAGGAGTGGGAGCACGAACTCGCCAAACGCTACCGCCTCGTCATCGCGTCGAACCGCGACGAGATCTTATCAAGGCCCGCGGACCGGCTCGGGCGCTGGCGCGACAACGAGAAGGTGGTCGGCGGCCGCGATATAAGTGGAGGTGGCACGTGGCTAGGGATGTCTGACGGTGGACGCTGGTCGTGTATTCTGAACGTCCGCGAGCCGGAGCAAGCGCCGCCAGATGCCCCGTCGCGCGGCGCGCTCTGCGCGAATTTTCTGCTCGGCGAGTCAACGCCAGAGGAAGCGGCGCGCGCCGCCGTCCGCGACGGCGCGCAATACGCGGGCTTCAACGCCGTCTTCGGATCAAGTGAAGACGCCTGGCACGCGTGCAACCGCGGCGGTGGTGTCGCAGAGATGCCGCGCGGGATCAGCGTGATCACGAACGCCGCGCCCGGCCTGGACGCGGCCTGGTCGACGGCGGAGCGGGGGCGCGCACGCTTCGCCGAGGCGCTCCGCGACGCTGCGGACGACGCCCTCGTGGAGGCGTTGTTTGATGTGCTCGCCGACGGCACGAAGCTACCGCTCTCGCCGACGCGCATGCCTCCAAGCGTCGAGGACCGGCTCTGCTACGTCTGCGTGCCGCCCGTCGAGGTCTCCTCGAACAAGTTCTGGGGCACGCGGACGCATACGGTGTTCCTCGTCCGCGCGGACGGCTCCGTCACCGCGGTCGAGCGGAGCCGCCTCCCGGGCGAGTCGGATGTGCGCGAGGAGTTTTCTATTTTCTAACGTCGTGATGTTTTTTTAATTTTTCACCGTGACGGTGTACTCCTATCACGAGTCGCACCTGTCGCCGGAAGACGCCCCCCACCACGCCGTCGACGCGAATCACTAGTATTTTTTTTTACCCGTCTACCTCACATCTTCTCGAGCTGCGCCTTGACCAATGCCGCCTTCTGCTTCCGCGCGACCATGAGCTGGAAGCGCTGGAAGTCCGTCAGCGACGCGCGCACCTTCTTTCTTGCCAACTTCTTCGCCCAGGAGGTGGCGGCCCACGTCTCCTCGACCTTCTCGGCGTCCCACGCCTTCACGAGCGTCTTCTGCCTAGCGCTCTTGGGCACTTCGATGACGATGTCAGTTAATGCGAGCCGCTTGAAGGGGATGACTTGGCGCGCCACGCCCGTCTTCGGCACGGGCCCGTCGATCATGCACTTGTTCCCGTCGACAATATCAATAATCGTCGCGAGCTTGCCGGCGTCGGGGCCGTAGTTCACGAGGACGATCCGTCCGACTTCGACGAAGCGGGAGAACCTGTGTGGTGAGGGGTGTGATGCTTCGTTCGCGGTCTCGAGCGGGCGTCTCGTTGGCGCGTCCTCTGTGAGCGTCGCCGGCGGCCTCCGAGCGTTGCCGGCGGGCTCGCAGGATTGCTAGCGGTGCCGGCTCTCAGTCTTGCGGCCCGCGGGCGCGCTTGTAGCATGTACAGGCGGCCTCGCTGCAGCAAGAGCTGTACTCGCTCGCTGGACGTCCGACGGTCTTATCGCTCCAGCGGTGCTTTCTTTGCATCATTCATGGCTCCTAGAGACGCTGAGTTTAACCCCATGGCTGTCCTCCGCGGCGTAAAGCTCGATCGCCGGTCCTGCTGCGGGCCAAAGCGAGGCAATTCAGGACGCGCCTTTTGCCAGCCTCCAACGCCGTCGCCGGCTCTCCGACGCGTGCGCAGAGCGATTCAGGCGTCTTCGAGACGCGTCTTGCTAGCGTACTCTCGTACTAGCCTCATGGGCTAAAGCTTTGAGCGCCTGGAACGAGTGCAGAACCGCCGTGGTGATAAGCCAGCGTTGCGGCAGCAGACCTACGGCACCACTGTGACCGCCTGCCAAAAAAATAGACTCGCGGGCCCAACAGCAGCGGAGAGCAGGCCCTGCCTCCTGAGGCCGCACCGCAGCCATGGCCGACGACCTCAAAGCCTGGGTCGCCGACGCCCTCCACGCCGTCGCCGGCTTCTCCTCGTCCAGCGTAGCGTCCTACGTCGCGTCCTTACCCGCCAGGGCCTCCTCGAGAGACCAGCTCGCGGCACTGCTCAGAGAGGCCGACATCAACGATGCCAACTTCTGCGACGAATTGTGGCAGCGAGCGAGAGGCTCGGCCGGCGCCCAAACCTCGTCCCAACAACCTAGACGGAGACGGCAACCTTTGCCATCTTCGAACGAAGACGACACCACGTCGAGGATAGAGCAGCTGCGAGAGAAACAACGAAGAAGAACGCAGCGCACGCAGCAGATCGTGGACCCCGAGGCCCAGCGGAAGGACAACGCCCTGGACGAGGACCTGGAGGAGCGCGACGCACTAGTGCAAAGGATGAGGGAAAGGGACGAACTTAGAACGAAACGATTAGAAGCGGAGCAAGGGCTCAGTCAGCAGGAGATCGCGGAGTTGGCCACGCGAGGGACCGTCGACCCGCTCGCAAGGGAAGATGATGTTAAATTAATGAGAAAGTTCGCGAGGCAGGCGTACCTCGACAAGTGGGAGGCGCGCTCGCGGCGTCCCGTCGTGTTGTGGTGGACTCGTGTCCGTCTCACGATGCCGTGGGTCGTTTCTTTTTCGAGTTTGAGGCCGTTCGGACACCGCGATGCTCCGCGCAGGCGAAGCAACTCGATTTGCTCCAAGCGGAGGTCGACCAGGAGGAGCAGCTCTTCGGCGACGAGCAGCTCACGGCGGAGGAGAAGCAGCAGCACGAGCTGTCCAAAAAAATCTTGGCGATGGTAGGGGTGCGGCGTCCTCGAATTTCGAACAGCTCGCGGCGACGGCGTCGCGGGGCTACGGAGTCGCCACCGTGCGAGAGAGACTCACCGCAACCAACGCAGGCCAAGGACCGCCACCGCTTCCAGAAAAATGATGATGGCTATAGGGTCCCGGACGCGTACGAGGATCGCCCGAAGGAACAGTCGTTAGCTGAGGCTAGAGAATCCGCCCTGAACCAGAGGTATGAAGAGGAGGACGAGCCGCTGACGGAGCAGGAGCTCTGGGACCAAGAACAGCAGCGACGAGCCGGCTCATCGAGGCAAAAAAAGAAGTCGAGGTATGACGTTTCTGATGAAGACTACGTCTTCGAGGACCACGTCGACTTCGTGAGGGATGCGATGTTACTCAAAGGAAAAGATGACGTGAAGAAGGGCAAGAAGGCCGATTTAGCGGTTCCGGAAATAGAAAGGAGTTCCAGAGATTCCAAGAAACTCGCCAAGCTGACGGCTCATGAGGAGCTCTTGGCGGTGAGGAAGAAGCTGCCGGTCTACGCCTACCGGGAGGAGTTCCTCGAGGCGGTCCAAGATAATCAAGTGCTCATCGTCGTCGGCGAGACCGGTTCTGGGAAAACGACGCAACTGCCCCAGTACCTCCACGAGGTCGGCTATTCGAAGGTGGGATGTATTGGGTGCACGCAGCCGCGGCGCGTCGCGGCCATGTCGGTTGCTGCTCGCGTTTCCAAGGAGCTCGATGTGGTCCTTGGCAGAGAAGTGGGCTACTCCATCCGGTTTGAAGATTGTACCTCCCAGGACACGGTCATTAAATACATGACGGACGGCATGTAATGCGGCGGCGTCCTGTTCGTCGATGGCGCCGAGAGCGCGCCGTCGCGGGGCGCCGCGGCACCGTCGACGCGCGCGAGAGAGCACGCCATCGCTGCGTTGTCTGCTCGACGGCGCGCGTGCGTCGCGTCGATGGCGTCCAGGCGTAGCGAGGCGCCGTCGACGCGCGCGAGAGCACGCCGTCACCCTACAACGCCGCGCAGGCTCCTCCGCGAGTTTTTAGGAGAGCCCGACCTCCAGTCCTACAGCGTCATGATGATCGACGAGGCGCATGAACGTACTCTACATACGGATGTGTTGTTTGGCCTGATAAAAGATATAGCACGGTTCCGGGAAGACATCAAGATCGTGATATCGAGCGCGACGATGAACGCCGAGGCCTTTTCGACGTATTTTGATGATGCCGCTATATTTAACATTCCCGGGAGGACTTATGATGTGGAAATTTTATATACGAAGGCGCCAGAAGCCGATTACTTGGACGCGGCAGTAGTTTCGGTCCTCCAGACGCACGTCTCCCAGCCGCCCGGAGACATCCTCGTGTTCCTGACGGGCCAGGAAGAAATAGAAGCCGCGGTAGAGAACTTATTGGAGCGCACAAAAGCATTGGGAGCGCGCATCAAGGAACTCCTCATCTGCCCCATCTACGCCTCCCTCCCGTCCGAACAGCAGGCCAAGATCTTCGAGCCCACGCCGAAGGACGCGCGGAAGGTCGTGATCGGCACGAACATCGCTGAGACGTCTCTGACCATCGACGGCATATGTTACGTCATCGACACGGGTTTCTGCAAGCAGAAGACCTACAACCCCCGTTCTGGTATTGAATCGTTGATCGTCACTCCAATTAGTCAAGCGCAGGCGGCGCAGCGAGCCGGGAGAGCCGGTCGGACCCAACCGGGGACGTGTTTCCGGCTCTACACGAAGTGGAGCTTTGCGCATGAGTTGGAAGAAAATACGATCCCCGAGATCCAGCGGACGAACATGAACTCCGTGGTGTTGATGCTGAAGTCGCTGGGGATCCACGATTTGCTGCACTTCGATTTCATGGTCGCGCGCCGGCGTCTAGTCATACGCCATCGACGCGACGTCTGCTTCGACCCTTGAGACTCGCGTCGATGGCGTATGTGCTCTACGCCATCGCCGCGACGCTCGCGCGAACACACACGGCACGCCATCGCCGTCGACGCCCCGCGACGCCATGACTCACGCAGGACCCGCCGCCCGCCGAGATGCTCATCCGAGCTTTAGAGCAGCTCTACGCGCTGGGAGCGCTGAACGATCGCGGCGAGCTCACGAAGCTAGGCCGACGAATGGCCGAGTTCCCGTGTGATCCCCAGCTCTCGAAGGCGATTATTCTCGGAGACAAGTACGGGTGTGTCTCTGAGTGTATTATTGTGGGTGCCATGTTGAACGCTGGAAATGCCGTCTACTACCGACCGAAAGATCGGGCGGTCCACGCGGATAACGCTCGGATGAATTTTGCAAGAGGAGGCGGCGGTGATCACGGCGCTTTGCTGCGCGTCTACAAGCAGTGGGCCGACGCGGACATGTCGACGCAGTGGTGCTTCGAGAACTATATTCAGGCCAAGTCCATGGTTAGGGCGAGGGATGTGCGGGACCAGTTCGCTGGCCTTTGTGAGCGCGTCGAGCTCGAGTTGAGCGAAGCGTCCGACGTCGAAGCCTTGTCCAAGGCCATCTGCGGCGGCTACTTCTACAACGCCGCCAAATTGGCCTCTTCGGGAGAGTACAAAACTGTAAAACAGATGAAGACCGTGTATGTGCATCCTTCCTCGGTCATGGCCCACGAGGAGGTGATGCCCAAGTGGGTCTGTTATCATGAATTAGCGTTTACTTCCAAAGAGTACATGCGCAACGTTTTACCGATCGAGCCGGACTGGCTCTGCGAGATCGCGCCGCACTACTACCAGACGTCGGAGCTGAAGGACTCGCGGAAGCAGAAGATGCCCAAGGGCGTCGGGTTGGCGGCGGGTCGGGGGCAGAACCTGCCATCTTAATAGTTTAGGTGTGAATTTGAATTCTATTTATCCGTAAGGTGTCCCGCCGGGAGGTCGTAGCCGACGTACGTCAGGACGTGGCGAACGATTTCCGGCCGGTAAAAGCCGTGCGCTCGAAACAGGGCCGGCAGCTGGCCCTTCAACGCGCGGCGCCGCGCCTGCCGCGCCCTGCAATCATTGACTTTCAGGGTGGTTAGTCGCTGCTTGTCGAGGCGCTTCAATCGGTGGCGTGTGGTGATGTGCAATTCAACATTTAGTTCTCGCCTTGGGTGTAGGTCGTGCCGCTGGTCCTGTACGGTGGCTTTTGGTAAGATTGCGCCCACCCTGCGAATGAAATCGCGCGATAGCCAATTTGGGGAATCAGTGTTTGGGGCCCACACTAGGCCTTCGGCGTATAGCACTCGAAGAACGCCTGGATTTTAGGTAAAGTCCACAGTCGCGCGTAGCCATCCTCATTCAAGTGGACCGCATCGGCGTAGAACTCAGTGGAAGAGTACTCCGTCGCCGAGCCGCCGAAGGCGTCGAGCACGTCCACGTGCGTCCAGCCCAGGGTGGATTTACGGGGAGGCGCTCTACAAAGCCGACGGCGCCACGCTCAAGGAGCTCCGCGAGGCCGTGACGACGCTCGAGGACACGGAACGGATCGCGCGGCGTGTGCTCGGTAGCTCACACCCGCATACAGGATGTATTGAGCGCCGCTTGCGAGAGGCGCGGGCCGCGCTCCGCGCCCGCGAAACGCAGCCGTCGCCGCCGCCGTCGGGGAGCGTGTAAGGTAGCAATATAGCGACTCTCTGGGCAGGAGACTCGCCGCGAAGCCTCAGCGTAATAGTAATACATTAATACTTATTCCCGCTGTGGCGGGGAGGCGAATTTCAGGAGGCGCGCCTCAGTAGTCGTCCGAGTCCTCCTTCTCGAACTGCGTGACGCCAGCGGCCTTAAAAATCTCGACGACGGCGTCCTGGTCGAAGAGTTGAGCTAACATCGGCGCCGTCAAGTCGTCGTTGTCTGACAATGTCAAATCCGGCTCGGCTTTGAGTAGTGCCTCCACGACGGCCACGTGGCCCTCCTTCGCGGCGTACATCAGCGCCGTCCGGAAATCATTATCATTCGCGTTGACGTTCGCTCCTTTTTCTATCAACAGCTCGACGACGGCGAGCTTATTTTCTAGAGCAGCCTGGATCAACGGCGTCTGAAAATCGCACTTCTTGGAGCCGTACGACGCGTTCGCGCCGCGCTCTATGAGCAAAGCTGCCACCTCCGCGTGGCCGCACCGGGCTGCTTCCATTAAAGCTTCATTCCTCTTCCCGTCCGCACCGGCGTCGAGGCAGCGCCGCGCCTCCGCCACGTCGCCTGCTTTCGCGGCCTTGATGAGGTCCGCGCTCATGATTATGATGACCGATGGCTGCCCGGCCAGCTCGGGCTGCGAAGGGCGGTCGCGAGTCGTGGCACTGGCAGGAGAGCAGAAAGCTAGTGCCTCTTCCGAGCTTGGTATCCTGTACGCTTCCCCCAGGGACGCCGCCCACTAGTCCTAGCACCGTTACAAAGAGGGGATAGTGGCACCCACGGGGCGGCCGGCGCCATTAGAACTCACAAGCAAGAACACATTACACCACTTGCTGCTACTTCCGTTTGCAGTAGCACGTCAGGCCCTGCACGTGCTTCAGTGCAAGTTTCCCCTTCTCTGATGCAGCCTCGCAGAACTTGCGGCAGACCTTGCGCGGCGAGGCGTCGCGCACGGTCTTCTTCGAAGCGTAGGTCTTGGTCCCGATGGAGCATAGATTTGGTGAGATGTAGTAGGGATTCGTCGTCCCAGCCTCGTAGACGATTGTCGGTCCTAATGCGCATTGTTCCTGGACCGCATTCGCGATCGCAGCGATGCTTATCCCGGTAAACGTGAGTCCGATCGCGACGAGGCCGCCGGACATGACGAGCTCCGAGCCGCAGTCGTCGTCGTCGTCGTCTTCTTCTTCGTGGTAATAGTCCCACCAGTGGTCGTCGTGGTCGTCGTCGCGCCGCCGTCTTCTTGAGGGCGTCGTCGGCTCGGGCGTCGGCGCGACCGTCGGCTCCCGCGTCGGCTGCGGCGTCGGGATCGGCGTCGGCCGGGGCGTGGGGTCCTCGACGGGTGCCGGCGCGTCCTCGACGGGCGCCGGCGTCGGCCGAGGCGTGGTAGGTGCCGGCGTCGGCCGAGGCGTGGGCGCCGGCGCGCTTGCGAAGACGTCGTAGTCGTCGAGGCCCTTGCCGTCGAGGCACTGGACCGGGAGGGGCGTCGTGTAACCCGGGTGCGCGGTAGCGGTGTGCGCGCTCGTGTAGCCGTTGGAACCCGGCACGCTGTTATACTCGCTGACCGTCGCACCACGGTGGCACCTTATGGTGTACGGAAAATAGAGCGCCTCCGAGTCGGGCTTCGGGTTCGAAGGCAGAGCATTCAGGTCGCCGACCTTGCCCGTGACGTAGTAGCGATACTTATAATTATCGACGCCGTCCAGCTCACCCTCGTAGCCGCCGCACGCGTCCTGGCAGTAGGTCGCGTCGGCGCCTGAGGCGCCGCAATTCCGAATCTCGACGCCGCCGGGGCCGAAAGGGCCGTCTGCGCGGAATTGGGCGGTGAATGACGAGTCGCGTCGATGGCGTATAAGCAGACGCCGGTCGCGGACAGATCGGGAAGCCATCCTGCGCCCAGCCAATCTGCGGCGAGTGTCCACCCGCTATGGGTGCGTCAGCGTTGGCTTGCGCAATTAAGCACGATGGGGGGAAGTGGTAGTGGTAGCCGCCGGAGCCCGTGCTGTGCCCGGAACAGCAATCAAACGAGATCCACTCGGCCTCCGGATCGGCCACGTCGAGCTGAGGGCAGTTGCCACCCAAATCAAACGCAACTGCGCCGGAATAGAATCCAACTCCGTTCAGCGCGTAGGCAACGGTGCCCATGGAACAATCGAGCTCGCCGGCCGTAAACGAGTTCTTGAGTTTTGGATTCGCGGGCACCTCGACACTCAAGCTTTGCTCGGTGGCCTCGACGAGCGTCGTTTGCTCTCCTTCGTCGCCGCACGAATTTCCGGGTTTCCCCGTGCAGTAGGACTCGTGGTTGGGACAACCGGTGGACACGATCTCCCGCACGCTCACGCCGCTCTTGGTCGTGATCGTCTCCGTGTAGCTCGCACTGCTCCCGTCCGCCGCACAGCTCGTGCCGCTACTGCCGCCCCCGCCCCCGCCGCCGCCGCCCCCGCCCCCGCCGCCGCCGCCGCCGCCGCCGCCCGGCGGGCCACCGCCCGGAGGGCCACCGCCCGGAGGGCCACCGCCCGGCGGGGGCGCGCGGGCTGCTCCCAGCAGCAAGGCGGTGAGGATAATCTGCTGGTGAGGTGCCATCGCCCTCGCGTCCCTCGTGCGAGGTTGTTGCGTGGGGCAGCAGCCCCTGGTAAGGTGGCGCCCTGCAGCCCCTGTTGTTGCCCTTGCTACCCCTTATGGCATCGATTCTACTTGCATGCGCGCCTCGCGGCCGAGTTTCTGCCTTGAGGTCTTGAGGTCGGTCGGCCGAAGTAGAGCAGAAAGCAGTGCCCCGCACTTCCGAGCGTGGAGCCCCGTACGGTCCAGTCGACCGGACTCTGGCGTCGCCCGAGACGCATCGGGGCGCTGTCCAAGACCGGTGGACTGGCCTTGAGCGCGACGCATCGGAAAAGGTCGTCAAAACTTACGACACGCCCCTCGCCGCGTGCACGCGCATCAGCTCCTCGGCGAGCCGCGCGTCGACGTCGTCGCCCGCGACGACGACGCCCTCACTCGCGGTGTAGACCGTCGCGCGCTCCCGGTACGTCGCCAACATATTCGCCACGACGCAGTCGAGGCCGTAGTTCGCGAGGGACGCCATAGCTTTCTTTTTCAAGAGCTGTTCGTCCGTCTCGAGCTTGAAGCCACAGACACAAAACTGGGGCGAGCCCCACCGCTTCACATAACCTAAACATTTCGGCACGGGCGCGAACTCCAACGACAGACCGCCACCACTACGACTCTGGATCTTGTGCTCGCAGAGGTCAGGCACGTAGAAGTCTGACACCGCCGCCGCCAGGACGACGAGCACATTCCCTCCGAGCGGCTCCAGCGCCGTGCAGCACGCCCGCAGGAGCCCCAAATACTCGCCGATGGTGTCGAAGGGTACGGCCAGAAACCGCTTGGAATCCTGCAGCGCCGCGAAGGATTTCGCACAATACGGGCCCTCCGCCAGCCGCTGGAGCGTCCCGGCCGGGTCGGCGCGCAGCGCGTCGTGCACGTGCCGCGTGAAGGGGAACGCCGCCGTCGACCGGTGGAGGTATACGACGCGGTAGCCCGTGGCGTCAAACGCTGGCGTCTGCCCTTTGGAAGCGAGGTGCTCGGCCAGCGCCGCGCCCCGATTTCCCGTACTAAAGTTGTCCACGTACCTCACCGTTCGTCTTTCCAGAGGGGCTGTGGTTCCGCCGGAAGTGACGAGCGCGACCTTCGCGTTGGCTTCCAATGCTTGTTGCGCGAACGTGGCGAGCGCGTCGACCTTGTGTTGTGCGGCCGGCCAACCTCCTGCCTTCTCAAAAAAGGCCTCGAGGGCCGCGGCGTCGTTGGGCGTGGCCTCTACTTGTGCTGCCATGCTGTTGCGGAGCCTGAGAGCACTGCACGCGATACCGCGGCTCGATACGTCGTCGACGTGACTGCTGCGACGTGTTTTCGACGGCTACGACGAGCGGTGCTGTCCCAACGGCCGCGTGAGGCGTCTGCAAAGGCGAGGACTGCTCTTTGCTCTTGGCCAGCTGGAGCACGCACAAGCGCGCACGGCTGCGCAAACGCGAACGGCGCTGTGTGCACACGTTACACACAGATCGAACGCCTCGCCGCAAGCACTGAAACGCAGTAACCGCGCGCGCACTCTGCTGCACACTCAGCAGCAGCACTCACATCGATAGTAGCGACCGCGCACGATGCATCGACCAGCCCTCGTCGTTGCGATAATACTACAAACGCGCGCCTTCCAGCGGCCACCACGCCATGTTCAGAGCCTCGCGCCCGTCAGAGCCGCCGCCGCCGACGACGTGAACGCTCTCATGACCCAATTGAACGCCGCCGTGCAGCAGGAGGACTTCCGTAAAGCAGCAGAGTTGAAGAAGAAACTAGAAGCGATCAACGGCGGTGCGACGACGAAGTCTGGAGATTGGGCGTCGCGAGGCGCGCCCGGCTGGCTGCAAGCGCGACTGCAAGACCTAGGGATGAGGTTCCCCACACCGGTGCAAGAAGCTGCGTTAGATGCCGTCGACGGCTCGACAGATGTCGTCGTCTCGGCACCCACAGGCAGCGGCAAGACGTTGGCCTTTCTCGCACCTCTCCTCGCGGTGCTCGACACGAAGCTCGCGGAACGGGAACGCACGCAGCTCGACGCGGGCAGCAATCTCGGCTTGTTAACTCCACAAGCGGCGATGGCGACCTTCAGTCCAGCCCTGTGGACGAGCGCGCAGAATTTGGAAGGCTTCCGGCCGCCGCGGTTTGGGGATCCTCGAGGAGCACCTTTGGCGTTGGTGTTGTGTCCGTCGCGCGCCTTAGCTCTTCAATTGGGAACGGCGTGTTTTACGATCGTAGTCGACCTGTGTGGAAATCAACCAGTGGTGAGGAACCGGCATCGCCACGCCATCGAGCCGGCGTCGGATCGATGGCGTGGAGGTCGACGCGAAGATTTCCACACAGGTCGGCGGGACCAATAGGAACCAAGGCAGCTACTTCCCCGGCGACGCTTCCTCACTCTTCGCCTACAAGGGCCCGAAGGGCTGTCGGGTCGCGGCTCTCGCGTCGGACGCGGATTTGGACAGAGCCGTCGCCGCGGCCAAGGAAAGGCGGATCGTCGTGGAGAAGACCGATGATTTCGGGTACGACGACTATGGGGGGACCTTTACGCCCTCGTCGACGTTACCTGATGACTTGGCGGACTGCGACGTGCTGGTCGCCGACGCTGCTACGCTGCGAGACGCGTTGAAGGAGGCGCCGGACCTCATGGACACGTCACATATCAAATTAGTTTGTGTGGACGAGGCCGACGCTTGTGGTGATGTCTCCGCAGATATCCTCGAGACGCTGGGCTTGGCAAAGGTGCCTCGTGTGTTAGTGGGCGCCACGTTAACCGACGCGAGTTCTTTACTGAGAAACGGCACGGCCACGAAGGCCACGGAGAGTGGCACTGAGCCCTTCTCCCTGACCCAGGAAAAGATACGAACGCCCTCTTCCGTAAGACACGAGTTCCTCGACGTTCCCGAGTGGAAAAGGCCGCTCATCTTGGCGCGGTGTCTGAGGCGGGATTTGAGGGAGTGGGAGGAGTCCGGTCAAGGCCCGAGACCGAGGGCCGTGGTCTTCGCCGCCAACGAGACGTCGGCCGACGCGTTAGCAAGGCAGCTGAGAACGTCGCTATGGGGCGCCCACGCCGTCGCCGCCCTCCTCCCGACGGAGGGCGGCTCCCCGACGGTCGCGGCCGGCAGCATGGCGCGCGCGTCGGCGACGGACGATTCGTTTGCAGAGGTCGCGGCACGAGACGGCGCGACCGTGCTCGTGACGGTGCCGTCCGCTGCGCGCGGTCTCGACTTCCCGAACGTCAGTCATGTGTATCGAGTTGGTGATGTTACGGAGGGCGGTCCTGCGACGTACGCGCATGTGGCGGGCCGGGCGGGCCGCGTCGGCCAGGCGTCCCGGGGGACATGTACTTCCGTAGGGGATGATGCTGACTTCGACGCGCTGCGGGAGATGTTGGACGCGTTCGACGGCGTCGACTTGGTGCGGGCGGAGCTGCCTCCATCTATAGCGGATGAGCGGCCGGCCGGCGTCACGAATTCGGCGTTCCTTGAGCGAGTCTTTCAGAAGGACGTGGATGATAGCTAATTAGTGGTAGTTTTTTTAGTGGTCGTGGTCGCGCGGGGTAGTGGTCGGGGAGGGATCTTGCGGAGGTGGGTAGTGTCCTCCGCGGGGCGTGAAGCCTACTTGGCCGGCTCGGGCGTGAAGCCGTCGAGCGATTCGGCCTTGCGCGACGCCTCGAGCGACTCCGCGCGCGCCAGTATGAGCTTTGTCGCTTCTAAGGCGATCGCGGAAGCTTCGACTGACGAGGCAGCCGTCTTCTCGGAGGCCACGACGGCGTCGACGCTCGCCTTCGCGAGCGCGGCTTCGAGGCTCGCGACCTTGGCCTGGTAGTCGGCGATCTGCTTCGCGGCCGCCTTAGCATCCGCTTCGAGCGTCGCGATTGTCTGAGCGGCCTTCTCCCGGTCCTCGTTGCAGGCCTTGAGCGCCGTCTCGAGCTCGTTGATCTTGCCAGAGGAGTCGCCGTGGTTCGCCTGGCAGGCCTTCAGCTCGTCGGCGAGGCCCACGCTCTCCTTGGTGCAGGCGTCCAGCGCCGACTGGAGCTCGGTGATCTGCGTCTGGAGCTTGACGATCGTCTCCGTTTGGGACGCGGTATCGGCTTCGCAGGCGTCGAGCTGCTCCGTGAGCTGCGCGATCTGGCCCTCGAGGTTCTCCTTCGTCTCATCGCACTCCTTCTGATTTATCTGGATCTGCTCGGTGCACTGTTCGAGCTCGTCCTGGCAGGCTTCGCTGTTCTCCTTGCAGAGCTCGAGTTCCTCGTACACCGTGTCGCACGAGCAGTCCGCATCCTCGTCTTCGTCTTCGTAGCCAGATTTGGATCCCGACTTGGAGCCCGACTTGCCGCCGCCGTACTTTCCTTTGCCGAGGCGGCGGCGCAGATTGCTCTGCTTGTGGACATCGAGAAGGGCCGTCGACGAGGCGGCGAGTAGCGCGAGGGCAATAATGGACTTGGACATGATGATGGGGCCTGTGGTACACGAGTGGTATAAATCGTACGATCGGACCGGATCGGGCCCGCGTCCGGTTTCACGACCGCGACCATCGATTTTCGAATTGAGCGCGACGCAGTAGTTTGGGCGTACCGCACGTGCTCCCGCGCAATATAGAAATACAACTGACGCCGTGAAAATGCCGTGAAGGTGGTAGTGATGCACTGGAGGCAGTTTTGGACGCTTACGAGCGGCCGAGTTGCACGAATTTCTGCGTGAGGCGTAAAAGTAAGGCGCCGAGAGTGTTCACAAGCGCGCGCGGGGTTAATGAGGACAATTGGACGTCGTGAGGGCGTTTTGCAGATTACGGACTTGGCCAGCCAGAGCAATTCGACCCGCGCGAATGCTATGAGGAACCATCCCGGGGGGCGGACGGACGAGTCTTAGGAAACGTACCAAACGCCTTACCAGCCACAGGTCCCCCACGAGGCCGCCACCGCGGGCCGCGGGTCGACTTCCACAACTCACCCCCTCATGGCCGGACGACGAAGAAGAACAGCGGCAGCAGCACTCCGATGGCGACGCTGCCGATGTAGATACCATTCTTCCAGTCGCTCCACAGGTCGCGGCCGCCGACTGCGTTGGAGAAAAAATATATTGGGTTGAGCGCGCGTCGTCGACGAGGCGAACGACCGAACGACACGGCGCGCTCTCGCAACCTTGCGTCGGTCCCCCGTGCCCGGAAGGGAAGCGCTATATCGGACGCCGCGCGTGCGCCGTCGGCGTCCGGGTCGAATTCAATTTTGGGCGCCTCGTAGCCGTCGTCGTCCGCGGCGCAGAGCGCACTGCTCGTCGGCGCGAGCACGCCCACCATCGGTGCGCGCGCGACTCCACGACGCATGCCAGCCCGTGACGTAGGTGCTTGGAGAGCGGCAGCCGTGGTCACCAGGAGGGCGAAGCACAACGAGGACTGCATCATTTACGATAAATGGCACTCGAAAACAGAATCTTTGTGCAGCAGATGCGCTGCTGGCGTTTTTGCGCTGTGCTTTCTAGTGTCTTACACTCCGCTAGCCTTGGGAGAGCGTGCCCGTTTTTTTGCCCACACGTGCTGCCAATAAGCACAGCTGCAACCGAGCAAACACCAAAGGCCGCCATCAATCGCCGCCGCAACCACCAGCCCGCAAAGATGCAATCAGCAAGGCTATTGCTAAGCATTGCCTCTGGTGCTGCAGCCTTCAGCGCCCTAAACGCCGGCAGCAATCGTCAATTAGCTCTAAACGCCGGCAGCAATCGTCAATTAGCTCTAAAGGGCGCCATTGCGGACTTCTGCGAGCGCACGTTCGAGATTGATGTCGATGAGGCATCGGACATCGAGGCACGCGTGGTCGCCGCGTCGCCGCGCGCGACGCGCCAGACCTACCAGTACGCAGTCAAGGATCCGGAGGCCGACGACGACGATAAAGAGAACCTGGAAGCAAGATACGCCGAGGTGACCTCAGAGTTTGAAAACCGATGCGACGGGCTCCGAAGCCTAGGCCTCGGGGATGCGGAGATCAAGCGAATAGCGAGGCGCGTGCCCGAGGTCCTGAGCTACTCCGCGGCGCGCGTGAGAGCGGCCGCAGATGCTTTACAAAAGAATCTAGCCCTCGACGACGTGACGCTGAGAAAGAAAGTGATCCTGCGCCTGCCGCAAGCGCTAGGCCTGCGCTACGACCTCGACGTGGCGCCGACGTTTGACATGCTTCGGAGCGACTACGACTTCGCCGACGGCGACCTTCGCACGCTGGTCCTCGGCGCGCCGCAGCTCCTCGGCCTCGACGCGGCAACGGTCGCGGCGCAATTCGCCGCACTCGAGGCGTCCCTCGGGTCGCGCGCCGCGGCGAAGGCCGAGGCCCTGCGCAAGCCGGCGGCGCTCGAGCTTGAAGTAAGGGGGTCGAAGCGCGGGAGCGTCGTCGTGTAGTAATGGTCGTGAAAGTTTACGCGCGCGTCGCGGCGATGGCGTCTGTGATTCATTGAATCTCGTGCGGGTGTGCGCTTAGACGGCTCCCGCGTTTAGAATCCGCTAGCGGTCGTAAGACACTAGGCATCCCAGCAAGAAAGTTTAGATCGAGGGGCTCTGTTGTGGCCACAGGACAAACGCACCGTTGCCGAACGGTCAAGGCAGCAAACAGACGACGCGACACGGCCGCGGGCAGCCCGGGACCATGCGCGCCCCGCTCTGGGCGCTCGCGTGCTGCATGCCAATAATCCAAGCAAGGCGCCTCTACGGCATCTTCCCCGGCGCGGGCGCGGCGTCGGAAGCGCTCGAGTGGCGTGGCGAGTGGCGTCGATGCGACGCGTGCGCGCCGATGGCGTCGGGGCGGCGCCGCGCCGAGACACCGCCACCGTCGATGCGAGAGAGCACGCGCGAGAGACCGCACATCCCGCGCAGGCGACGACTACCTCCAGGACTACTGGGGCCCCGTGCGCCACGCGTTCAACGAGACCTTCAAGGGGGAATACAAGCGGTCGTTCAAGATGGTCGACCCGACCCTCACGGCCAACTGCGCCGCCGACCTCGGCGCGCTCAAGGCCTCCGGCGCGCTCGCGGAGGACTTCCACGATCGAGCCCTGCCGCTGGGCTGCATGGTCCCGGACGACATACGGGACAAAATCGAGGAGGACGGTGTCGACTTGAGCGACGTCGTCGTCGTCGGCGCGGCGCGCGCGGGCGTGGGCATCGACATGTACGACTACTTGTTGGGCCAAAATGCGACCGTGCTCTTCGTCTACGGCGCGAGCCCTCCCACGAACAACGACACCTCGAAGAACTTCTACTGGACCTTCACGCCCGACGTGGAGACCGCGGCGCAGCTCGTGGCCGCCGAGACGTGCCGCCGCTTCGGCCGGGGCGTCGAGCACCGCGTGCTGAAGCTCTACGGCAACGACCAGCCGGCGTTCGACATCCGGGTCGACGCGCAGCTCGAGTGGCTCTGGAAGAACTGCGAGGCGAAGATCACGAAGACGACCGAGGCCCGGGCCAGGTTCGACCAGGACCTGGCCTACGAGCTGACGAAGAAGGCGCTGATCCACGACCCGTCCATCACGACGATCCTGGCGGCCAACGACCGGATGCTCCTGGGCGCGCGAAAGGCCATCGACGAGACGCTCAGTTGGGAGGGCGCGGCCAAGCTGATGATCGCCGGCTTTGATAGGGTCGAGGAGCATTTGTTAGACGACGACTTCATGGTGGCGTCCGCCGACCAGTACGTCGGCGTCGCGGGGGCGGGCCTGTGGCGCGCGGTGCAGAACGTCCTGGACGCGGTCGACGCGGCGGCCGCCGCCGGCGACCCGATCGACACGACGGACGACCTCAAGGCCTACTTCGCGGAAACGACGGGCGAGAACCTGTGGGAAAAATGCACCGCCGACCTCGAGCCGTACACGGACGCCGCGGTCGCGCTCGCGGCCGAGACCGGCGTCGACGCCTGGGACGCCGCGGTCGCGGACGTGGAGGCGGACTGCGCGTTCTACGAGGAGACGACGACGGAGACGGAGACGTCCTGCCAGTACGCCGACGCCGAGGGCTTCACCGTGGACGCGCTGATCCACCACACGTCCTACCAGGCTACGGTGGCGGCGAAGACCGACGACGACTCGCCCCTGCCCGTCACCGCTTCGGTGAGAGAGTTGGAAATTCAAACCATGGACACGGCGGGCGGGTCCTTCTCCGCGACGGCGTGGGTCGACCTGGAGTGGGTCGACACACGACTGAAATATGACAGTAACGTCTTCGAGGGACCCATAAGGGTCGACATCGATCGCATATGGGTCCCAGAGATGTACATCCACAACCTCCAGACGCCGGAGGGCCTGCAACTTATTAAAAGGTTGCCCGCGGAGGTGAAACCGGACGGTAGCGTTAAATATTCCTTCCGGACGGTCGGCGAGTACGGCTGCGACACGGACTCAAACCTCAGAAACTATCCCTACGACGTCCACACGTGTTCCCTGGACGTGACCGTGGCCGAGTCCGAATCCGAGATAGATATTAGGGATGGGCACATCGTGGGGAGGATCGAGGGCTGCGAGGGCTGGGACGGCGACGGCGGCGACGCACCGGTCAAGGTGGGCTCCCACCCCTCGGGCAAGACCGTCAAGTTCCGCTTCCGGATCGAGCGGAACTCGCAGTTCGCGGTTATGAGTTATGTATTGGTGGGCTGGGCCTTCAATTTATTGGGTTTCACGGTCTTCTGGATCCGGGCCGAAGGGGCGGGCATTGATCGCAGCGCGGTTGCTATTACCACTATTTTGGCCGCGCAATTTATGATGTACGAAGCCAAGGTCACGAAGGTCTTCACGTGGCTGGACTGGTACTTCGTGATCATGTTAGTGTATCAGTTCCTGGCGTTTATATTGTTGGTGAAGAGCTCGAGGGACTACCGGCAGCAGCAGGCGGCCGGTGGCGACGAGAAATTTTTTATAAGGGTCAAGGCCGCCCAGAGTAAAATCAGGAGAAGGTCGAAGGCCGACGACTGGACCTTCTGGCTCTTCAACCTCATGTTCGCCGGGCTCGAGACGAACGCCTTGGATAGAGCGGCGAGAAGGATCATGGTCCCTTCGTTTTTTGTGGTCCAGATCATTATTAGTTTCGTGAATCCGGCGCCACCCGTGTTCCAGTCCAAGATCATCTGGGAGCGGGCCGGCTTCCATAGTGGCTTGTTTTGGCTCAACTTTTTACTACTACTATTCTACGCCGGGCTCTTCGCCACGGCCTGGTTCCTGGGCCAGTTCCACGAGGACGAGTCGTCGGAGCTGTCGCATTTCAAGAAGGCCGAGAAGCGCGTGCAGGAGGGCATCGTGCGGCTCGAGACGGTGTTTGAATTGCACGGCGCCGATAGTCTAGACGTGCAGACCTTCTTCCACAAGTGGAAGGAGACCACCGATAAACTACGATCGAGGGAGGACACGATCAACCGGCGGCGGGCGATGCGGACGCCCGTGCACGACGAGCGCCGCGTCCAGGACGGGAGCTGGCGCTCGCCGAAGCACTCGCCCGTCGGTCCCGTCGGCTCCGTCGTGGCCGTCGTCGGCGCTGGGGATTTACCGCGGCCGCCCGCGGTCCAGAAGCCGCGGTTCATCTTCGATCCGACGCGGGTCACGTGGTATTGGGAAGAAACGCCCGAGAGGATTTCCCAGCACCCCGTCGTGCGGCCGCCCTACTGGGTCCCGTTTGATGAAAAAGCGGCGAGTACGCTGGAGCAGGCCTTGGTCCAGGAGCGGTCGCTGGTGCAATTGTCTGGTGGCAAGTACGTCGCCGACCTGCGGACGATGACGCAGAAGAACCAGCAGACCTCGTATTCGCGGCGCATCCTGCGCGAGGCGTCCCCTTGACTCCCCCCGCGAGCCTTAATTTGGTACAGCTTATGCCGTTGTCCCCCCGCCGCAACCCGACTCGGAGACAACTCGCTGACTCGGACGTACTCGCTGGCCGGCGTGAGCACCCCCGATCCCCCCCTGTGGCGTAAGGTCAGAGAATGAATTCTTATCATAGACTCGAAGGAGAGGAAGGCAAAAAGGGGGGGCCGATGAAGGAATTCCCTCGACTCAGAGCAAGAGGAGGAGAAGGGCCGCGGCGATGGCGCCGTAGGCAATGAAATGGGTCTTGGCGCCATCCCTAGAGCGCGGCGCCGATGACGAGGGCGGCGAGGGCGGCGGAGCGGGTCGTGGCGGCATCGTTGCACAAGGATCCATATCCGCAGTCGTCATCATCGTCGTAGTCGTCATCGTCGTCCTTGTCGTCGTCGACGACGAAGATGTCGTAAGCGTCGTCGTCGACGATGGCTTCGCACTCGTCGAATTCGTTTTTGCGCGTGACGCCGCAATACGTCGGCTCGCACGGGGTGTTGCGGAACGCGTAGCGCAGGTCCACGTCGTCGGCCACGCACCAGCCGAGGTCCTGGTCGAAGGCCGAGGCGTACCAGAACATGTATCTCATGTCCGTAATGCTGTCAACAATCCAGTCGCCGATCGGTCGGTTGAACGACGAAGCGTAGTAGAACATATAGTCCATCGTTCTGACGGCCGAGGTGTCCCACGCGCCGATGTCCTGGTTAAACGTGCTGCTCATGAACATGCCGGACATGCTCGTTACGCCTGAGGTGTCCCACGCGCCGACGTCGTCGTTGAAAGCCATCAAGTAGAACAACTTCGACATGTCCGTCACCCCCCCAGTCTCCCACGTAGAAATGTGGCCGTACGTCGCCTCGGCGGCGCTCGCGTCCGAGAGCCACTCCGTGACGGCCGTCCTGATGGTGTTATCGTCCATCGCGATGCCAGCCACGGCTGGTAATAGACTCGCCACGCACAGAAGCGCAGCCGACCGCATCATCGTCGCGCAGGGCAGCCTTAGCACAGACTGATGCCATGCAATCTGATCATGATGCGTGCGGGTCCGGGGCTCCACGTGTCCCGATTTTAAAATGCCACTACAAATCCAGAGACATACTACTCCCCGACTAGCTGGGACGGCTCACGAGGCGCGGGCACAACGCCAAGAACCGCCCGCGCGAAACTTCGGAAACGCCATAAGACAACAGACACTTACTTCAAGCGACACACTAATGTCCGCTCCCGGTCCGTATTTGCCACGAGCCAGCAAAACCGCGACGATGCCAGAGGAGCGATCTCCTCCAAGTCCCTCAAAACTTCGGCAGCAGCAACTCTTTTCCGGCGATCGCTCTCGCCGTCGTGCCCTCTTCCCCCGAACTTCAGCGTCAGCACAATTGATGAACCCTTGGCGAGCTTTCGGACCAAGGGTTCCAGGATCTCCAGTAGCGTGGACGGCGCGCTGTTAATATCGCAGACCAGCCCGCCCAACTCATGAGAACAGGAAAAGTCTTCCACTTTCTGTCGGAAATGCGTCACGAGCGGGTGCTTTGCGACATCGTCTCGCAGTTCTGCGGGGTCCACGGCGGCCACTCTAATGCCCCGCTGTGCCAATTCAAACGTCCACCCTCCAGGTGCCGCGCCGACGTCCACCACGTGACTCCCGGGAGGAAAGTCCACCATGCGACAGTCGAGGATCTCCCGTAACTTGCCCGCCGCTCTGGTAAATTCGCCCTTGTCCGCGTCCTTTGTCGCGAGCCACTCGTCGCGCTTTGGCACGAGCGCGATCCGTGTCCCGAGCTGGTCATCTGAAAAGGCGTGGACAGCTAGATCATAGGACTGGGGCTCGAGCGCGCACCACGCCGGCAGCGCTCGAATGATGCGCTTCTCGAGCGCGCGGGGCTGGGCGCGCACCGCGACCTTCAGGGGCCCTCCGTGACGGCACAGCTCTACTACAACGGCCGCGACGGCGCCGTCCTCCGCCGCACCTTTTGAGACGTCGACGTCCCCGTACAGCGCGCGCTGCACGAGATGCGTTTCGATCGGCGCCGGCGACTGATCAATCGCACCTCTCACGGCTCCGAGCGCCGCATTCCGTAGAGCGACCCAGGCCGTCCTTCGACAACCCTTCGCCCGCTTCTCGGAGGGCGCGCGCGGCGCGCAGACCGCTCCCGCGTGCGTCAAGGACGGGAAGTACGCTTTGCACGTTTGTTCGTCGTTGAGCAGTGCCAGTAATTTGGCGGCTTTCCCTCTATCGTCGACCATGAGGTAGATGCGCGGCGTCTCATCGTTGACGTAGGCGCCGTCCGGGGCGCGCTCTTGCACGGCATCGACCTCTATACTTTCCGATGCGCGCCGGGCCTCGCGCGCGCGCAACGCATCTCTACTCAAGGCGTAGCGCGCCGCCTGGTGGTCGTCCGCGAACGGTCGTCCGGCGGCGTCCGTCTTTGGTAAGGCTGCATCGTCCTCGACGCGCGGCGGGCGGCGCCAGGGCATTTGGCGTTTTTGTTTTTGGCGCGGCGACGGCTTGCGCAACTGTACGACGGCCTTGTGACGCGTCGATGGCGTGCGGCGCTCTGCCGCAGTTAAGCGGCTGCAGTCTGTGCAAGGCGGTGCTGCTGCAAGTGGCTGCACTGCTTGCCAGCGACCCGTGCTTGCGTTCTGCGGTGCGTTCGTCGTGTGCGTGCACGAATCGATCAATGCTGCAGCGCTGAAGTCTCTCTGCGAGCCAGCGTCGGCTTTTTTGCAAAGCTGTCGCTCTCCAAAAAGCTGCAGCTGGCAGCGGCTATTTGGACCACCTCACGGCGCGGCAGCGCGACGTGACTCCCAACGCGCTGGTGCACGACTAAAGGAGTACCATATCTCTCTGCGTACAGCGCACTACGGAGATCTATTATTGCGTGTACGCCGCAAGCAAAGGCTGCGACCACAGCCCTGCACCGGCGGCTCCCGCGCCTTCCGCGGCGCGACGCGGCCTGTTCGCGCCGGACACGGGAGGATCTTGATCAATGACAGCTGCTGCCAAGTTCCGCGATAATGTGGTTGCGTTCACGGCATTGCCGAACTCGGTGCGGCTCGTGCTGCTACTCGTGTTCCTCAACTCCTTCCGTAGTTTTGGCTTACGATTCGTCCAGCAGCTCTACCTGACGAACGAGTTCGGCCACGACGACCTCGAGGCCGCGAGCGTGCTGGGCACTTCCGCCTCGCTGCACGTCGCTTTTGGACTCATCGGCGCGGTGCTGACGGACGCCGTAGGGGTACGGCGCGTCGCGCTGACGGCGCTGAGCGTGTCCGTCGTCGGTCGCGGGCTCCTCGCGTTCGGTCGGTCTCGGACGGCGATCCACGCGGCGTTCTATCTCTTCTCGCCGGCGGGGGAAGCTTTACTCGCCACGGGCCTCTACCGCGTCGCTCTGAAGAAGCTGACGACGCCCAAGACGCGCGCCTTTGCGTTTGCTGTCGAATATGCAACATTTAATCTCTCCGGAGCGCTCGCGGACGTCTGCATCGACGCGTTCCGCCGCCGCGGCGACGCATTACTCTTCGGCGAGGTCTATACGCCCACGCGCCAGTTCCTCGTGCTCACCTTCGTCGTCGTCTGCGCGTCGTGGCTCTTGGTCGCGCTCCACCTCCGCGACGAGAGCGTCGTCGAGGCCGACGACGGCAGCCCCGTGGCGTCGGCGCCGCCACCGACGAGCTATTCCCTGACAGCGTGGCGCGCGTGGCAAACCCGAGAAGCCGCGCGCCAGGCGGCCACTCTCCGCGTCGTCGCGAGCCACGCGGGCGGGCGCCCCTCGGCCAAGTGGAGCGACGTGGCGGCGACGCTGCGCACGCGGGAGATCTGGCGCGTCGTCGCGATGTCGCTGGCTGTCTTCGGCGTCGCGAAGCAGTGGACCGAGGTCGCGACCTGTGTGGAAATCAACCAGTGAGTTAGGTTGCGACCAGACGCGGTTACGTGGGCATCTCGCGTCGATGGCGTGGGGCGCCCGAAATTTGATTTCCACGCAGGTGGATCAACTGCTGCCTCCCTTTCTGGAGAGACAATTCGGCGAGGGCGGGGGCATCTTCCTCGTGCACAGCGTCGGTATGTGGGGGTGCTTTCTGTGTGGAATCAAATTTTACGGCGCGTTCGCCATCGACGCGACGCCTGCTCGATGCGAAAGAATTATCGGGTGCACCCGACGCACTGGTTGATTTCCACACAGGTGCTTCTTGCTGCCACCTATTGTTGCTGCGTTCACCTCTGATTCCGAGGCCTTTAGAATCATCGTGCCGGGCGTGTGGATCATGGCCACGTCTCCGATTGCGATGATCGTCTCGCCGACGGCGCCGGGTGCTGTCGTCTGGGAAGCCTGGCTCACGGCCGGCGAGGTGCTGTGGAGTCCGCGCCAGCAGGCCTGGGCCGTGAGTCTCGCGCCGCCGGGCCGGGAAGGGCTGTTCTTGGCGCTTGCCTCTCTGAAGGACCTCTTCCTCGCCTGGCCGTCCACCGTGCTCGTGGGCTGGCTGAACCGCGAGTTCAATCCGAACTGTCCAGGTTGCCGGGACGAGCTCGGGCGATTCTGCGCCGTCGCCGCCGGTGACGCGTGCGTGTCGGCCGCCGGTGGGACCTGCGCGGCGGCGCTGAGTCCTAGCTGCCCGGCGGCCTGTCCGGCGTGTCCAGGGTTTACTGATACCGCTCCAGACCCGCGTACCGTCTGGCTCGTCGTTTTGGCGCTCTCGCTCACGTCGCCGCTACTCATCGTGGCCGGCCTGCCGTTCCTCCGCGACGGCGTCCTCTCATTTGGAAGGGACGCGTGCGGCACGAATGATGACGAGGAGCGAAAACCTCTACTAGAGGAACCTAAAGTGTGAGCTGTTGTTACTAGAGGGGACAGCTCAGAACTGGGGCGCCTTGCCGGCGAGCGCGTCGTCGTACCAGGCCGACACCTGGTTCCAGTTGACGACGTCCCAGAAGGCCTTGACGTACTCCGGGCGGCGGTTCTGGTACTTGAGGTAGTACGCGTGCTCCCACACGTCAATGCCCAAAATGGGGATGCCCTCGACGTTCGCGCCCTTCATGAGCGGGTTGTCCTGGTTCGGCGTGTTGCCCATTTTGAGGTCCTTGCCCTTGACGTAGAGCCAGACCCAGCCGCTCCCGAAGGTCGAGGCCGGCGCGGCGAGCGCCTCCCACTCCTCCTTCATCTTGTCCATCGATCCAAAGGACTTGTCGATGGCCGCGGCCAAAGCGGCGCTCGGCGCGCCTCCTTTGCCCTTCGGCGCCATGGCCTGCCAGAACATGTCGTGGTTGTAGACGCCGCCGCCCGCGTTGTTGTAGCCCTTGTCCTTGGCCTGCGCGCGCTCGGTGTGACGGGCGTGAGGCGTTCGGGGGACGCGGGCACGCGGACGATCTTCATCAGGTCGGCAATCGGCGGCTGGTCCTTCTCGTCGAGCTTGCCGTTGATGCCGGCGACGTAGGTCGCGTGGTGCTTGTCTGCGAGGGGTCGCGCCGTCGGCGTGGGGCTGCGCTCTCTCGCGATGCAACGTCTCGATACGCCGGGCGCGCGCCATGGTGGAACTTCATCGTCGCGGCGTCGATGGACGGCTCGAGCGCGTCGTAGGCATACGGTAAATCAGGCAGGGAGTAGGCGTTGGCCTTCGTCGCAGCAGCCGCCGCCGCCGCGGTGCCTCCAATGACGAAGGCGCGCCGGTTCTGGGCTGCGGACATCGTGACTTTAACGGGCCGCAGCGCAGCCGCGGGCAAAGCGAGGGCAACGACGAGCTTCATGGCTGATCGACGTGACCCGAGCGACGGTCTGAGCTTGCAAGCACTGCGGAAACGCTGTCTGAGCCGGCGTGCGGCGTGATAGCTCTGGGTGCACCGGGATTGGAGAAGCCGGGGCCGCGAGGCGTGCCCTCGAAATGACCTCGTGGCGCTCCGACGATGCCCTCGAGTTGCATACCAGACGAGCTCTCCCGCCCAAAGACGCCTTGTAGCCTAGTGGCTCGTCGTACGGGGTCCTCTCTGCAGCGCCTCCCATTTATTGTGCCCGTCTCCGACGCGAAACGCGAGGGGCAGCCGAATACAGACAGGTTCGCATCGTCCGCACGCCTCGGCACCCAACCAACAAGCGTCCCACGCCAGAGGGTAGACCACAACCACCGAGCTAAGGGCAGCCATCATGTCGGCCACGAAGACCATCGCCGAGAACCTCCTCCAGGAGCTGGCCGACGCGGGCGACGCCGCGGCGCGCTGTGAATTAGGTAGCCGCCTGTCGAGCGACGTGGGCATCGGTCAGGACCGCGACGACGATAAAGCCGCCGAATTGTACCGCCTCGCGGCTGCGTCAGGTAATGTGAATGCGCTGCACAACTACGGCTGTTACTTACAAAAGCAAGGGAGAGATCGAGAAGCGCTCGAGTACTACCAGAAGGCGTCCGACGCCGGACTGCCGGCGGCGACGCACGCGCTCGCGCAGCTCTGGTGGACGGGCTTCTACAACGAGCAGGGCCGCTTCGTGAGAGATGTGGAACAGGCCAAGGAATGTTACGAGCAGGCCGCCGAGGCCGGGTTTTTACCAGCCGTCAAGTTCGTCGAGACGGCTCGGTGCGCCGGGTAAGGAGCTTCTCCCGTTTCTTGCGTCGTTTCGCCGAGCCGGAGAGGGGCTTTCTCTTTTTGTGTGTTTCTCCCCCGATAAGTTCGGACGCGTCGGGGCGCCAGTCTTCCGGGGGTTGTCTTCTCAAAGTAATAGAGACGCGGGGGCCGGCGCAGGCCGAGACGCAGTGCTTTGCGACGCTGCCCGAGTTGCCTCCGAGTAATAATAATGATCGCCGCGGCAGCGTCACGGACCGGCCGACGATCGGTTCCCAGGCACAAGCGCGTGTGGACCGGAACGACCGTCCTACCAGAATCGGCTCCTCGCCGAGCAGCGACAGCGTCAGGATCGGCCGCGCGTAGGCCGCGTGGTCCGTGTGCGGCGGGATGCAGTCGCCCGGCGCGTAGCTGTTGATGATGCACGAGTCGGGGTTTAATGAAGCGTCGATGAAGCCGCGCTTCACCAGATTCGCGACGAGCCTCTCTAAAATGGGTGGGAACGGCGGCACCAGCCCTCGCTTCCCCGGCCGCCCGCGATTGAAGTCGAAGAAGCCTCCGTATTGCAACGACTCGCGCCGGTTGCCCCGCGACCGCGCGCCTTCTGCCTTCAAATACGTAGGCTTCCTTATGGAACCGTTGCGGCCGCGCGCGAGCCCATCATTTATGAAGGTTAATAATTCCGCTTCCTCCGCGACGGTGACGGCGTCGCGGCGCAGCACCAGGCCCTCCAGGAGGTTTTCTCCATTATCGACGAGGGTGAAGGTCTCGCCCGCGGGCCGCTGGCGCTTGCGCTTCTTGCCCATGGTCGGGCGCCGCGTCGATGGCGTCCCAGGTAAATGAGTGCGAGGGCTGCACGGGCAGCCGCCGGCGCGGGGGGGGCAGCCACGCCGCGGCGGCGTTCCGGTCGCGTCCTGGGGCCGCCTGCACGCGTTTGCGCCGACGAGAGTGCACCGCTGCGGCCAGTTGTCCGGGCAGAGCACTGATGCTCTCCAGGCAGAGCGCAGCTCTCACGCCGGCAGCGCTGCCCCGGGCTGCCCGAGGAAGACTCCGCCGCAGCACGAGAGACGCACGCGTCTGTCGCAGCGCTCTCGTGGCGCCGGAGCCTACGCTGCACGCCGCCGAGGCGCTCCAGGACAACTGTGCTCGGGCAACAGCTCTGATGGCCTGGGTGCCCGCCCCGGTCAACAGCCCCTGGCGCGGCCATGTCTACCAGCGCGACGCCGAGGAGGAGGCGCGACTCGACGACAAACTATCAGCAGCGAAAGCGGCGGCCGAGGCCAGGGCCGCGCGGCCGCTGACGGAAACCGAAAATTATTGGAGGAAGCGCGAGGAGCCGGGCACCGGCGACCTGTGTCGCGCGCGCGCGGTCCGCGCGTTTGAGGCTGTCGAGCGCGTCGAGCTTGGCCTCACCGCGGGCGACCGCGTCCTCGTGGTGCAACAGGAGCTCCTCCCGGGCGCGGGCTGGATCTTCGCGACGCGCGGCGACGATTGTGGGTACGTGCCTAGGAACTACCTCGCGGAAGAGGAGGCGTCAATCGCAGAAACGGTGCTTGTGAAAGAACACGTCCTGACGATCGACTCCGACGCTCAATTGGCGCTGTCGCCGATGGACTGGGCGAACCGCGGCCGCGCCATCCCCTGCACCTGGTTCTTCGCGCACGCGCTGCCGCCCCAGAAGTTGGTCGACGCCCTGCGCGACGCGTTGCGAGCGTTTCCGCACTTCGCGGCGCGCTACACGCGGCGCGCGGTCCGCGTCTGAACCTTCAATTCCCCGCTTTTCTCGACGGCTTCGATGTCCGCGCAGGGACGGGAGCGGCCTCGAGCCCGGCGGCGCCGTACGTGTCGAGGTCCGGCAAAGCACGACGCCCTTCGCGGAGGCCTACGTCCACACAACTAGCAAAAAAGTGATCAGACGCACCGCCCACGAGGCCTACGTCCCCTCGAAGGCCGGCATGGATCCTGATGACGGTCTCGCGGCGACACCATTGCTCCGCATCCGTATAACGCTTTTCGATAACGGCACGGCCGTCGGAGTGCTTGTCCAGCACGCGATCACGGACATCGAGGGCATTGTCGCGTTCATGCGGGCGTGGTCTCGATGCGCGCGAGGCGGCGACATCTCCCCACGACAGGACCGCTGGGCGCCCGCCTCGACTATAGAAGAAGAGGCACCGGAGCGCTGGGCGCCTTCAGAGAAACCTCCGGAGTTCGTGGGCGTTGCGCAGAAGATCCGCACGGAGGACTGTTGTGTGCTGCCGCTGCCCGCCTCGACACTCGCAGCGCTCAAAGCCGCGGCCGGTGAGTCTAGTGAGCCGTACGCGTCGACGGACGATGTTTTGACTGCCCGCGTCTGGCGGGCATTAGTTGTGTGCCGGCTGGCTCAACTGGGTTTGCCCATATCCAAGGCAGGAACGACTTGTTGTCTACGAGCCGCGAACGTGCGCCAGGTCCTGGGGCTGTCAAAAGACTACGCGGGCAATGCCACGACAGATATATGTACGGAGCTGCCGGCGAAGGAGCTGCTGGGCGCGCGCGTCGGCGCCGTCGCCGGGAAGCTCCGAGCCGACTTGCTGGCGACGCGGACCCCGGACCGAGTCCAGGCGCGAGGGGCCTTTTTTCGAGGCGCGCAGAAGATGCGACAAAGAATAAGGAAGCGCTTCGACGAGAATTCTCTTACGTTCATTATGAGCTCCTGGAGCGCTGAATGGGACGCCGTCGACTTCGGCAGTGGGCCGCCCGTTGCACTAGACCACGGCGCCATCGCGCCTGTCGTGTGCGTGTTTGTCAGAAGGCCACGCGGCGACGGCGTCAACGTCTATGTGTCGCTGCCTAGGCATCTGCTGGGGACGTTCTCGGAGTGTGTCTTCGTGAACGAGACGGCGTCCGTGCTTGTTGAGGAGTAATTTGTTGTGTTTGTCTTTCTCTTTTTAGGATGTTGCGGTTCTAGGACTAGTGGGCGGACTAGTGCGGCGACTTTAGCTAGCGGTGTAAGACACTAGCCCGTGCTTGTTGAAAAGCTCTGCGTCGTGGCGCAGCCTGCACCCCCTTGCACACATAACTCGCTGAGCAGCGACGCACCGCATACGCGCTGCCGCTGACAATTCGTCCGCAGCGCTGCGACGGCCATCATGAGGCAATCTCTAACTTGGCTCCTTGTCAGCAGTGCTGCAGCCTTCGCACCGGCGACCACGCCCCGCGCCGCCGTCAAGCTCTTCTCATCAGTCAAACCGAGCGCCGGCATCAGTTTCTACGAGGGCTTGTATGAGCCGGACGTGCCGGACGTCAAGCTGACGCGGTGGCGACGCAGTGTCCACACACCTGACACGCCACCGGCTAACGCCGTCGCCGCGCAGGTCCAAGGACGGCGAGAACGGCGTCGCTACGTTCAATTTTGATAAGCCGTCGTTCTTCAACTGCGAGCGCGAGGAGGACGTGCCGCAAGGAGCGATCACGGCGATGACGATGGAGGACGAGGAGGGCGAGATCTCGACGGCGAACGTCTCCGCGCGCTTCGTGGAAGGGAAGCCCGTGGGGTTATTGGTGCGCCACGAGATGAAGAGCCCCGGCGAGTGGGACCGGTTCATGCGGTTCATGGAGCGCTACGCGGAGGCGAACGGCCTAGGGTTCGCTAAGGCCTAGTCATGTCACGAGTCCTCCGGAGGGGATGTCTCGCCCCCGGCCGGGCAGATAAAGCAAGAGACTTAGATGACGAAGACGTGGACCTGGAGGTGGTGCGTCAGCACGCCGGCGGCGACCACTAAAGCGGCGAGCGCGGTGGGCGCCGCGACCATGCCCGCCGCGCCCTGGACCCAGCCCATCTGGGGAGCGTCAACAACAGGGAGCGCGATGTCCGGCCGCCGCCACGCCTCGATTTGGGAATCGGACGGCGCGCCGAGCTCGTAGGCCGCGCCGGACGCCGTCTCGACGACGCCGGCCCCTAACAACAATTCGTCGCCGCCCCCTACTGCCAGCGCGAGCTGCACCGCCTCGCCGTCCGCTGCGCCTCGGACGAGGCCGTCCTGTATTTCCCACGGTTCCAGTAACGGCAGGACCGGCGAGCCGTGGTGGCCGCAAGCGGCCCAGCGGGCCCGGAGCGTTTCCGCGGCGTCGCCGCTCTGGCGCGCGAGCCGCCGCCAGGCGACGTGGCGCCGTCCATCGGTCGGCGAGGGCACGGAGGCCGCGCGCACGCGATCCGCCAGATTCCATTCCTCCGCGAGGTTCTGTTTTGCCCTGGGGGCCGCGGGGCCGCCGAGCGTCGTGGGCGGGGGCTCGATGGCCACGTTCACCGGTTTTACTGGAATTTTCGAGGGGTGGCCGGCGAACAGTGCTGTCGCGAGCTGGACGCACAGAGCCGCGGCGTAGCTTCTCCTCATTCTGGATGGCAGCTGTGCTTGGAACCAGTGGCTTGCTTGGGTCTAGGACGAGCCGCTTGCTCCGGATTCGCGCCGCGGCTGGCGTAGAGATCACAGTGAATCGTTGCCTTGTCTCTCTACAACTGCATGCACGTCCAGGCGCTCTTGCAAAGCAGCCGCCGCCAAGACAACTAGTGTGTCGCTATGCTAGCTCTGTCGCCGCGGACTGATCGCGAAGGTATCAAGAACGACTCCATGCGTGTGTCTCGGATAATAACTTCATCTTAGTCTAGTCTAGGTGCCGCGACCGGGCCACTCTAGAACCGCACGTGCGTGCCTTGCCACTCGGAGGCCGGGCCGGTCGCGACGATGGCCGGCTTGACGACCTCAGGCTCCGGCGTCGACTCCGCGTTCGACGCGTCGCCCAGCGCCGGCCGCGGGCTCGCCTCGACGTTCAGATCATCTAAGTAAGCCGCGAGGTTGCCTACCGCCGGCGACTCCATCTTGGGGTCCTTGAGTCCAGAGATGCCCAGCGACAGGTACGACGCCGGCGTGTCGGCCTCGGGCGTCGCGGACGGGAACTCGGCCGGCGTGCGCGGCTTGTTGTCCATCGGCGTCGCTGCGGCCGGCTCGTCGGCAGTTTCGTCGGCGTGCGCCGCGAATGTTTCGTAATCGGGCTCCTCGAGCACGGGCGCAGCATCGGCGCGCGCTTCCATGTATTCCTTCAGAGCGGTTGTCATGGCGACGTTCGTCCCGTTCGCTTTGATGCCGGCGGATTTGGCCGCGGCCTGTAAATCCTTCCGCACGCCGCTCTTGAGGGCTTTGCGTACCAAGTCATCGGTAATGGCGAGCTGGGAGGCCATCGCGTTGCTGCGGACAAACTGGCGGTGGACTGTTTGGGGGGCGTGAAACGACGGCGTGAAGCGCTGCGCGGCCGGAGCTGTGCACAAAGAGCCTTGAAGCCACTGTGTGCGCCTCTGGCTCGGCCCAATGACCGCGATGCAGCGCAAAATTGGCTCGGTTCCAAATGAAACGGTGACCGGGCTAGGCGAGACATACTAGTTTTGGGGGGAAGCAGCTACTACATGCAGGCGCTTGAGTACCTTTCCGTTCGCTAAGGGTCCAAAGAGAGCAATGGGGCACGTACTGGGGGGCGAAAAAGGAAATTTTTTAATTCGCGGCCAACGAGCCGGCATGAGCCAGGGCGGCCGTTCCGGTTTAATCCTGTCAATCCCTGCCCAAGAGGTCTCCCTGGGGTCGTTTAGGGTCGGTCTATACATGGTTAGTCGCCTACACCGCATACGCCGTCGCTTCGGGAGATTATCAGCCAATTCTCTCAACACTCCAAGCCGCTCGGGCTTGAATTACTTGGCAATGGCTTCCAGAGCCCTCGGAGGCCCCCAAGAATCGGCGCATGCGGCGTAGGCGACCACCCCACCCCAGACCTATCCCGGAGGGCGTCCGAGTGCCGATCCGCCCCCGAAAAAAGTGTGCAATTTGGACCCGATGGCGCCCCGTTCCCGGCAAAAACGTCAATTACTCGAGGGCCCCCAGTAATCGCCGTAGCGGTCTCGTTGGACCCCATACTAACCCACCGATAGTCAATTACAAATATATGGCATCTACACCGCGAGAAGGGTACTTTGAGCTGCCCACGCTCGGGACGTGAACATCTGCATCTGGACCTCGCGCAAGTCGGTCGGTCATGGAACAAACGATCGCGTTATGGTCCATGGTGATGGTACACGGGCTGATGGTCGCAGGTCCAGCTCTAGGCCTTGATTTAGCAAGATAGTGGGGTCTCGAGACCGACAAGGCGCGAGTTGTAAACGGGACAGGTAATCCAATGTAGTAGGTGTTCAGGCCGGTTATCTGGCCCGTCCCGTAACCGAAGCGCCTGAAACGCAAATTTATTGTACAAACCACCGGTCTGAGGCCTTTCCGGTGCTCCGTCTCCGCACCGTCGTCCGCGGAGAACGGGCAAGTCGGTCGATCGTGAATAGAACAACGGCGTTATGGTCCATCTGGATGGTGGCGTCGCTGATACTCGCGAATTTGGGTTCTGAGCTCGCCTGAGGGAAAACGTGGGGGCGCGGATTCGCTGTTTCGCGCGGCTCTGACGGAGCACCTAAAATAGCTGAGTGGGCGCTGATGCGGCTTGGATGGACTCTACCACTAACAAAAGGAAGGAAATGAACATAAACGCGAGAGTTGTCTAGTAGAATTCTTCTCCCGCCCTCCGAGCGCGGGCCGTCGGCTCCGGTTCCGTCGAGTGTGTATGAAAACTGAGCTGGAGTTGATATAATGTACTATCTGGACGGTAGATGGCGGCGTCAATCGTTAGTGTATTTTGGCGAGCCGTAAGACTCATCCGCGAATGTCGCGGGCGGTGCCTTCCGGGAGGCGCGAGGGTATGTTCCCGGGCCGCTACTCTGAAATATTTGGTCGCGGCAAAACGACTAGGATGTATTCTGAATTTGGGTCATTCTTTTGACGCTATCGAAGCGTATCTTTGAATTTGCTAGTGTATCGATTACGCTAGCTCCGAGTTTGGCTTTGCACGCTATCGCGGCGACGGCGTGGAGGGGAGAAGTACAAAAACAACACCTCTTAGAAGCCCGCCGGACAAAGCTCCCCGAGCGCCAGCGCCAACCGACGAGCCGCGTCGTCCGGGTCGTCGCGGCCCTCGTACGCGAGCGACCGCACGTCCTCGGGAGAAGGTAAATCGGCACAGATCCCGCCCGCGAGCAACGCCAACGCGCCGCCGCCGTCGTCACACGGCCGCCACGCTAAAGCAGTCAAAGCGGCGCCGCGCGCCGCCCTTCTCAAAGCCGCATCCTCGGATCTTACATCTCTCCAAGCAAACGCCAATAAATGCGACGCCAGCGCCTGGCTGCCCGGCGCGCTCGACGCGCAATCCAAGAAGCACGCCAAGGCGTGCACGGCCCGCGCTCGCAACACCGTCGCGTGGTGGGGGTGCCGCTTTTGCAGAGGCGCCCAGTGCTCCACAATACCTCTCAGTAACGGAAAGAAGAACAACGAGGCCGCATGTTGGGCGAAGAGGTTCGGTGACGACGGTTGCAACGCTGTTCGACGGTAGCCCCACCTCCTCGTTCGTTCCAGGACCTTCGTGTCGGACGTATCTAACAATTTCCGGGAACGAGTAGAACCGACACCCAATAAAGCTTTGGCCGTGCCGTCGGGCATATCTTCATTCTCGGCGAGGCGCCCGCGGCCCGCCAACTCGTAGGCGCCGTCGACCATCGCTTGCAACGCGTCCAATCGCTTGTTCAGCCCGAGCTCTTTATCGAAGAACGACAACTGCAGGTAGCGTACCACTTCCACTGGTCTACAAGCAGTTAACGCCGCCAGCGAAGTACGACTTTTCTCGGAGAAATCTTCCAAGTCAAAACGGTTCTCCGTCGCGAGGATCGCGTGCGCCAAGTCGCGAGCCACATCCTTCAAATCGGCGGGTCGACTCCTTACTAACGCCGGGCACGTGGCCAGGGCCATCTGGAGCCGTTCCCTCGCGAGTTCCTGGTCCGCGCCTTCGTTAATTAGTTTGAGCAAGTCTCGCAGGTATTTCGGGGGCTGCACCGGTACTAAATCAGCGCCGTCATCTTCTAGATCGTAGGCCTCCAAATTGTCGTCCGATAGAGTGGAAGCGCTCTCCACAGACTCGTCGTCGGAGCTCTCGCTGCCGCTCTCGAGGACATCATCAGGCGAACGCTTCTTCTTCGTCTTCTTCTTCTCAACGGGTGGAGGCGGCGGCGTTGGTGCTTCCTCGCTCGAAGAGTAATGACTGTTTCGAAACGCCGCGTGGACCTCGTCCACAGGCAAGACGGACAACCCTTCGCGCGCCCAGGCCCGATCACTCTCAGAAAGCAGGTCCCCGAAGTCCGGCGCGCGCCCGACGAGCGTCCCGAAGGCGTCCCCCACGAGCATCGCCCGGGCTCTATCTCTTTCATCGTTAAGGTCGAGGCAGGCCGACACGCCGCTCACAACACCTGATAGGGTGGTGTTCACGTCGACGTCCACCGGGTCCGACAGGGCTAATAACGCTAAAATAGACGTGGCGAGGAACGCTCTTCTATCATCATCAACACTCTGCAGAAATGCGACGTCGCGCCACTTCTTTGAACATGAGGCCAGCGCTTCCGTGTACAAGCCCGCGCGCTTGGCGACGTAGACGGACAATGACGCCTTGGTATGATTCAAACGCGTCCGGCCCGTCACGACGTCGTCGGTCCACTTGCTCCGGAGGACGGGGCACTTTTGTAGGCGCTTCGTGATTATTGTGCTGAGGGTTTGAGGAGAGTCCGTCGCCTCCAGGAGCGACGTGGCGTAGCGGCAGGCGCTCCCGGCGCCCAAGGCATCTAATCGCGAGCCGTCGTCGTCGTCACAGAGGACCCAGCGTTCGGCGACCAGGGGCGCGTGGCCAGAAGCCTCGAGGCGTCCAGCTAAAACGCGCCAGGCGGGGCTCCTTAGTGAACCGTCGGCTACACCGGAAAGCCAAGCCGCCTCATCCAATGGACTCTTGCCCTTCAGGAGCGTCGCGAGCCGCCGCGGCAGCCGTACACAGGCGTCCGCGAACCGCTCCGCGTCGTCACCATCATCTGTAAGGGACGCCACCAGCGCCGCGACGTCCCAGCTCTTCACGCGCTGTGCAACAATGACCGCGGCCGCGGCCGTCGCCCCGACCAATGCTTCGGACGCTACACACAAACCTCCGGCGTCGACGACGGCGTCAATCGCTTCAGACGCGTCGCTCTCATCTAAAGCGCGCCGCCAGGCCGGTCCCGCGTCCCGAATGAGCCAGCGGCACCATCCCTCCGTTAATGCATCGCTGCGCTCGTCGCTGAGGAGCTCCGCGCCCTCGCGCAGGAGCTGGCCGGCTTTTTTGATCTCGTGGGCGGCGCAGCCTTCGACGGCGGCGCGCAGGGCTGCCAGTCTTGAAGCTGGCGTTGCGTCAGCCATGCCTGCTGCCGTATATGAACTTTGTCGATCGCTTTTTGCGTGGTGCCGCCGAGCCGGCAGCTAGCGTATGTAAGATACTAGGAATAGCTTTTGCATTGGCTTTTGTGATGCGCTACGGGTATACCCAAGCGAGCTTGCTTGAGAAAAGGTCGTAAAATGAGCGGAGTTTTGCCCCCCGACGTCGAATATGCCGCGAGTCGCGCGTCGACGCAAGCAATAGCCAAGTATTTTGAGGCCGGCGGCAGCGCCGACGACACGAGCGCGGAGGGGCAACCGCTCCTACATCTCGTGCAATCCGCCTTGGTTGGGCACCGCCACGCTCCCGCCATCCGCGCGGTGCTTGCCGGAGGACCCCGGAACGTCGACGTCATCTGGTTAGGGTGGACTCCTCTCCACAGGGCTGTGGGTAAGACCCTCACGAGCCTCTCGAATCAGTTGGACATAATAACGATGCTCGTCGAGGCGGGCGCGGACGTGAACGCGCGGAACGAGAGATCCGGCCGAACGCCGCTGCTGCTCGCCGCCGCACACAGTGGTTCAATAGGAGGGGGTCGAAAGTCCGCTATATTCCGGCACCTACTGACGCTCGGGGCCCGCATCGACATTTGCGATGATTACGGCGGCACCGTGGACTCGATCTTGGCGGTTAATCAGTTGTTGGACTACGATGACACCGATGGGTGGATAAGGTACCAGAAACGGGACCACCGGAGGGCTATGAGGCTCGTCGCCGACGTTCGTGCGGCGGGCACGTGGGCGCGGTACCTTCACGAACCGAGGGTCCGTTTGGACGTGCTCCGCCAGTTGTGCGCTCGGGGCCGAGCGGCGCCACAGACGTATTTTTTTCTAGGGCTACCGGGGACGCAAATGCGCATCCGCCGCCGGCGCCAAAATCTCGTCGCGTGCCTCTTCACGGACCTCCCCAAGGACATGTTCAGACACGTGCTCAGGTTCTGGGGAAGCGACCGCGACTTCCCGGACGACTCGGACGAGGACGACTAGTAAAGTAACACAATTCAATATCAAACTAGTGCGTCCACGGCGCGACGCCGGAATCCGACACGGGCACGTCGACGCCGTCGGGCACCTGGTCCCGGACGAGCGTCCAGCACTCGACGGCCGTCGCGCCGTACCCGACGCCGCCGCCCAGCGACGGCACGGGGAGCTGGCCGTAGAAGACGTCGTCGATGACGGACTCGATACCGCCCTGGCACTGGATCGGCTCCTCGAAGGCCTCGTCTTCCACGAGCATGACCTCGTCGTCGCCCTGGTCCGCGCCCTGCTCGACGAGGGGGTGGACCCACGCGGTGCAACTCATTTCGGCTTTCACGACGCCGAGGCGCCGCTCGCCCGGCGTGCCCGGCGGGTCGACCGTGTCCGGCAAGGCGAAGACGACGACGTCGCCCTCGGCGGCCTCGCATTCAGCGTAGCGCGGTTCAATTCGTCGTCGCACGTGGGCGGCGGGGCGCAGCGCGGCCGCGTACGCGACGAACACGATGCAGGCTTGCCGCACCATGCTGTAATCAAGCGCTAGGCGGCTCCGGAAGCGAGAAATCGATGCACGAAACTATCAAGGGTCTATCAGTGGCTCTGAATCCAAGCGTTCAGATCGAATGGCCCTCCAGCGACTCAGTTTTGGGCGCGAGTGCCTCAGCTGCAAATCTCGCAACCCGCACGCTATCGAATCAGCACCTCTCCCTCAAGTCTTAGGGCTTTTAACGGCTCTGGATAGCTCGGGGAGAGCCTGGTGGGATTTCCTTTGAACCTCGAGGGTACTGAAAGGGCCTCTTCCAACTTGGAAGTGGAGACGGTCTTTCGGACACGAGAGCAGCCCAAACAACGCACGTGGACGCCATCGATGCGAAACCAGTCGCCTGGCACGGCACTGCGCTTCTACCGCGCGCGGACGCCCATTTCGACGCGCTACAGCAGCTCCAGCAAGGCCAAGACACCGCCGCCGCTCCCAAAGTGCTTCCAGACGCGACATCCCGTGAGCTATCCGCCGGTCAGCATGATCCCCGCGAACGCGCGCCAGCCCGTCGACTACGCGGCCGGCGGCCGTACGCATGCGGCGTCCTCATCACTTCGCGTCGATGGCGTCGCGGGAGGCCCCACAGTCGCGGAAGCGTCAGCGCCCCCGCGACGTCGCCTCCGCCGCAGGCTTCCAGAAACAGACGGACGCGACCGGCCGCGAGTACCTCGTCGACAAGCTCACCGGCGCGTGGACGCCCGTCGCCGAGCTCACGAACAACGCCCCCGTGTCGCCCCTCCGCAACGACGAGGACGCGGCCATGCCGACGCGGCCGAGCGCCTGCCACCCGTCCGCGACGACGTCTCATAAAAAGCGCGGCCGCGACGAGATGGGGCCGTTCCGCACGGGCAAACCCGCCGACGACGACACGTCCATCGTCTCGTCGGAAAACTCCCAGAAGTCGCTGCACGACGAGGTCGCGCAGTTAAGGGCGCGCCTCGATGCTGTGGAGCGGCGCACGGCGGCCGATTTACTCGCAATGGAGACGGTCATCTCCTGGCTCAAGGACAACAACGACCGCACTCAGGCGTCGCTGGAGTCGCTGGCGCGCGGCGTGACGCCCTAGAATCCCTGTGCCCCCAAGACTAAAGACGATGTGTCCCATCTCTAGAGGGGTCCTGTCGCGTTTAGACCACGCCTCCCGAGCCGCTGACACGCCTAGGCGACTTCGCGGCGGTGGCGGGTGTGATCTAAAGTATCTAGTTAGCTCGATGACCGACTCCTAGATGGGCGGCGGCGGCGTAAGTCATGTGGATGGACCAGCTCCAGGAGCCGGTGGGCCGTGACATCTGGAACCCCCGGCATGCAGTAGTGCGTGCAATCAGATCCGTCGTAGGCCCCCACGTGCAATGCCCCCGCGTCCAGATCGTCGACCCTCAAGATCCGATCGACGTTGACGCCTTCGCGGAGTACTGAGAGCTCGCTCTCGAGGCGCGGGTTGGAAGGGATCGACGGCTGGCACCGCTTGGACCGCCGGCCGTTCGAGTATTGCCCGTCGCTCGTGGCGAAGTGCTGCGTGACGGTGGTCACGTAGACCCAGCGCGGGAGCGAGTGCCGCCCGCGTTGGGCCAGGAGCTCGCGTCCGAAGTTATCTAGTTGTTGGTAGAGCCGGGTCCGGTCGTTTTTGTGCAGGCCGGCGTTGTACACTACGACGTCGTCCCGGCCCAGGAACACGCGCTCGTGGCGGGGGGTCAAACGAAACGACACGGAGTGGTTCGACGCCAGCTCCTTCCGAAACCTGTCGATGATGTTCGCCTGGCCGTGTCGGAGGGTACCCGCGTGGGGGACGAACCAAACCTCGGAGCCTGGCAGGGCCATCCAGCCCACGTTGAAGCCCGAGTGTGCCCCGCCTTCGACGCAGTTGGGGGAGCTGTGGCACGGCCACCGTTCCGCCCAGTCCACGAAGCGGCCCGAGAGCACCGGCAAGAGACCGCAGCCCAGCGCGACGAAGACCTGCCGCATGGTCGAATCGCCCACCAGCAGGATATTTTTGGGCAGTCGTTTGGATTCGCACGGCGCGCGACTGCGGTTGGAGATGTGCCGGGACGCATGCTCGTACGAGGCTTGGGCTTGCTGGATGCGTCCCTGGTGGAAACAGGAATACTTGCCCCACTCGAACGGGCAGCTGAGGTTGGAATACAATGGCACTTGAGGGGTCGGCGCCCGGCACCCGTCGCCGCCGCGGCCTTGACATCGGAGGCCCGTCCGGGCCGGGTGGCATCGAGGCGCGCGGTCGAGGCGCGGGCCGCGGCGGCGACCCGGCCTCGGTTGCGGACGCCGTTGCGCGGCGACGAGGGCGACGACGAGGAGAGAGCAGGCGTGTCGATTCATCAGCCGCCTTTGCGCGTACAGCCAAGTGGTTACTCTAGCGTTCGTGACCGCTTACTCTCTCTCCTACGCACAAACTCCTCGCGTCGAAGCACAAAAAAAGTCCGACCAGACAGAGCCTGGCAAAACAGGTTCACCGGGACGTAGGCACGCCGTTGCGCCACAAGTCATTGCTCTCGCGACGGCACGAAAAAAAACCACAACTCCAGGCCGCTGAGTTCACAAGTCCCACGCCATGGCCTTAGGGGTAATACTGGCCGTCGCCGCCGCCGCCGGGACCGGGTGTCCGACGCTCCAACTCACGCCGACTCGCGCCGGCTTTGGCAACGCGCTGCAAGCTCTGTACAAGGCTTACGACCTCGCCGGTCACTGCGGCCTGCGCCTCGAGCTCGTCGAGAGTCCGCTTGACCGCGAGGTCGTAAGCGGCGAGGTCGTAAGCGGTCGGTGGACGACCTCGGAAAATTCGCGGGCGCGACCACGACGAGCCTGTGGCGAAAGCTGGCAAATTTCATGTACATCGGCCCGCAGCAACGGAGCAATCCGGCTGGCGGGGGACCCGGCTGTCAGACTCACCCCCTCGACCCAAACTGTCAGACGCAGCCCACCGGAGACGCCCTCATCTTCGCGGGCAAGCAGCTCGAGGTCTCCCCCGTCGAACCGAAGCAAACGACGATGGCCGGGACCCTCTAGACATAAATGTTGATGGCGTCGGCGGCATTCGTACGTACGCCGCCGGTGGTCGCGGAACATCAACGGCGAGCGTTACCACGCGCCCGTGGCGAAAGCTGGGACGTTTCATGCACGTCCCCTCGTTCGACGCTCATCCTGACGACGAAGTTGACTGTATGAAGGCCCTCGGGGACTCTTATGACCCCCCAAAGGTGAATGTGTTCGGGGGGCCCGGGCCCATGGTCCCAGACCGGGACGGAGGAGGACACAATAGATTACTCGACTACCACGGGAGATGACGGCATGGACGCGAGGCTCGTGAAGACGTACTACCAGCGGGTAGATCCACAGGGGTGCTAACGAGTAAAAACACACCACACACTTAGCCCTCCTCCCCGAGCACCTCGAGGTCGTCGAACAAGTCCCCCTCCGACGACTCGTCCGAGTCGTAGCAGATCGCCTTCGAGAGGTCCAGAGGCTTCCCCGGCTCGAAGCGCTTCTTCTTCGGCTTCAGGACGACGTGATCCGCGTGCGTGCTGAAGTCGTCCTTGATGATCGTCGAGATGGCCGGCAGGGGCGCGAGGCCCTTGGTCCGGACCTTGTCCCGTAGCCGCCGTTGCGTCGGACACTGCGGTTCGTCTTTCAAAGGTCGATCCAGTATCACCTTCCTAGAACCAAACACACGCCTCCACAATGATTTCTTGGGACGAACCTTCGGCTTGGGCGGTGACAGTCCGAGCGCCTCCAACCTGTGTGGAACGGACTTTGTCGCGAAACTTCCCTCGCGAGACGCGTAGACTCTCATGTGATCATGAAGACGGCGTCGACGCCGTCGCGCCGACCGCGTCAAGTTCAAGTTCAGTTTCCACGCCGAGTCACGGACCTCAACAGCTCATCAACGCGCTTCCGTTCCTTGTCGTCCATCAGAGCTTGCAGGGCGTGCTTTGCTGCTGACTCGGCTTCATAGGCGTCGTCCCTTAAAGCCTTGGCCCGCTTGAAGAGTCGACGCGTCTGCTTGGCCCGGAGTCGACCCTTCGCGCCTGCGCGGAGCCTCAAACTCGAACAAGAAACCACCCCCGGCATCGTGTGCTAGATACGAGTCCCAGCAACAAAGTGAAGACACCCCAACACGCCGGGACGCCGAGATCGCGCGGGCCTTGGACTGGCGCAACGCTCGTAGATCGTCCAAATCATCTTTATCGACCGGCAGGCCCCCGTCGCGCATCGCTCGAATACGTTGTACAATCATATGACCAGCTTGCCGCGGGTCGACCTTCGCCAATTGCGCAAGCTGGTCGTTCCGATCGCGCCGCTGTTCTTCCCGCAGTCTGATAGCCTCATCTCGCACGCGCTGCTCCTCGCGCTGCTCGAACTCGATCGCTCTGACGGCCCTCACCGTCACGGCGTTGTAGGCCGTCACCAATGTCTCGGACGAGGGATGCTTCGCCTTCACGGAAACGTCGTTCTGCGCCCGTCGTCGCGGCGTCAGGTTCCCGTCCCGCATACTTGCTTTGAAACCGGAAGCGTCCTTCAGCGCGTCGCCGCAGCGCTGCCAGCAGGCCTTGCGCCACTGTGTGGCGGCTATGACGTTCGCGTTGAGCTCGGCAGCGAGTTGCTTGGACGCGAAGGGGTTCAGCCGCACCAGTAACCTTCGTTTCGCATCAGCTGCGGCGAGAGAAGCGTCCGCGGCATCTCTTTTACGTCGAGCGTCGACGACGGCGTCGTCCATGGCCGTCGAGCCGCACGGACCTTCCGCTAAGTGCTCGTCGTAGCACTGCTGCTCTTTTCTGGTCTCGGAGGCCGTTTTTAACCGCTCCGCGAGGTCAAAAGCTCGTACGGTAGCGTCTTCGCTTCTCGTTGCATCCTCTTCACACGCGGCGTGGAAGGCCTCATCTTTCCTTTGTTGGTCGCCGTACGGCTCATCATCGATACATCGTTCGATGACCCTGCAAGTCTCCGCGCGGTCGAAGTCCATCAATACAAATCGCCAGTCCCGGACGTCGGCCGCAGCCGCAGCGTGGTCCGCTTTGAGTCGTAGTAACTCCAAGTAAGTTCGTTGGAAGCAAGTCTCCGCGACCGTGACGCGCTCCAAGGCTCTCAGTCTCAAGTCCTCGGTCTTCCCGGCATATTCGGACGCCTCATCTGAAACTCTCAAGGCTTCGAGGACGCGGGCGTCCGTCTCGCCTGCGCGGAGCATTTCCGTCAAATCGGTCTCGACGGCGTCCTGCTGACCACGTAGACTCTCGTGGGTTCACGACGATGATGTCTCGTGAAGACGCCATGACCGCTGTCTCTCTGACACGCCGCGACGGCCCCGACGCGGTCCGAAACAGCTCAAAATCAACAAAGAAACCACCCACGGCATCGTGCGATGGACACGAGTTCAAAACGCGGCGATCGCACCGCGCGCCTGGGCCTGCTCGTCGTGGATCGTTTCTCTCCCCTCGGCCCGTTTCTGCTCTTTGTCTGCCTTAGCTTTCTTCATGGCCTTGCGCAGCGCCGTCGCGGCCTGCTGCGACGCCAGGGCGGCCTTCTTGGCCGACTTCGCTTGACTCTTGGCCAGATCTCTCGCATTGTTTCTATCTACTCTACAGTCCTGGAGCAGTTGTGTAAGGGCGTCCTTCTTCTCGTCCAAATCCTTCGCGCACTGCGCCGCGACGGCTTCGCGTCTCCGTAGAGCTGCACACGCTGCTTCATATGAAGCGTCAACAGCCTCTTGGTGCTGCCAGAAGTCTGATCGACGCTTCAGTCTTTGATCGATCGACTTCTCCACAATTTTTTGTGAAGCATCTAACACAGCACGGGACGCGTCGGCTCGGATCTCCCTCTCTCGGCCCAGAACCTCGAGACAGCGAGAACACCGCCACAGCGCGTCCCAGCGAGCTTGCGAGGGAACACCACTCCTTTCAGCCAAGACATCAGCCCCAGGGAACAAGACACCCAACGGAACGTCGTCCGGAGCGCTCCTAAGCGTGTGGAAGACGTTCAAAACGTCGTCCCCGACAGGCGTCGGCACGAGCGACTCCAGATAGGACAGGGGCCACACATCACTGCACGCATCGTCGAGCGACTGCCACGCGGCACAAGCAGCGTTCGAATCGTCGATCTCACCTTCCACGAAGAGCTCGTCGCCATAATCAAAAGCGATCAATGAGCTCTGGAGACTTACGGGTTCGAGGGAAGACAGGATCTGCGACGGCGTCCTCGATGAGGTGCTTCGGTACTGGTCGTACGAAGTACGTCTTTTAACACTTGTCTTCTTGGCGGGCGACGCGGGTAGCCCCTGCGACAAACGGAATTCGCGGTCCTCGCGCCTTCTCATTTTCTGCCAATTTTCGTCCGTGAGCTCGCCGCGCTCGTGGAAGGACGACGGCTCGTACACCAAACGTTCCTCGTCGACGCGGCCCAGCTGCGATGATCGCATCGGCGACGCCGCCGTTCGCACCGTGTCCACCTGTGTGGAAATCAACCAGTGCTGGCTCCGTCGAGCGGTGAGGAACCGGCATCGCCACGCCATCGAGCAGGCGTCGCGGCGACGGCGTGGAGGTCGACGCGACGATGCAGCACGAACGCGCCGTAAAATTTGATTTCCACACAGGTGTCCACCGAGCCATCGGTCAGCAGCGACCCGTGGCGGAAGAACTGCGACGCTCTTCTAGTCGTGGCGCCTGAGGAGAGAGAGGACTTCTCCTCGATGGGGAGCTCCACCTGCGTGGCACGGACACCGTTCACTCGCGAGACGCGTAGACCCGCAGCATGGCGTTGACGCCATCTTCACAAGGTTGAAGTTCGGAAACGGTCGGAAACGGACGCTGCGTCAGCACTGGCGACGGTTCCTCGGTCATGTCATTTTCCATCGCCAGCGCCGTCTCCCGCGCGCCGGGCGACGGTAGAGCCATGCCCTCGGCCTTGAAGCAGGACAACAACCATTCCCGCGTCGCACACGCGTCGACGCCGAGTCGTCGTCGTCTACTCCAGTCCGCTGGCGGATCTAGGGCTAGGCATTTATCAAAATATGAAGCAGTGTCCACATCGTCGTGCAGTACTCTTTTAAGGGATGACGTGGCTTCCAGCGCCCGGCCCAAACAGGCCAGTCCACTAGATCGATCTAGGTCCTGCAAGGGTGCGGACGGCGGCTCGGCCAGTCCGCGCTTTAGCACTCGCGACGCGAGGGGCCGCTCCTTGAAGCTTCGACCGACGCCTTTGCCCTCCAACGCATTGCCGGAAATATCTAAAGATGTGAGGGAAGGCTCGCAGTACAACATGGCAGCTAATGCCCTCGCTCCGGCCTGACCGATGCCGCACCGCGACAGACACAGCGTTTCTAAACCGGAGTGGCCCTTCGCTTCCAAGACCGCCGGACTCAATAACAACGCCCCGCAGAGCATGATCGCCCCGGCGTCGCCGATGACTATTTGATTCACTTTCCTCGCTCTATTGCCTTCCTCGGTGGGCTTGAAGCAGTCTAGCGTTTTGGGGACGCCTCCTAGCCTTAAAGTCGTCAGGCGGCACCGTTCTAGCGTCAGGGACTCGGCCAACGCGCGAGCGCCTTCCGGACTGACTGGATTGCTACAAAGATCCAACACGGCCAAGCGAGACGGCGGCTGCGGCTTCGCGACGGGGGGAGGCGTCAGCGAGTTGCTTTTCCCCTTGACGTTCAACCTTTTGGCTTTTGCGGAGGCCATCCTCTGTAGTCTCTTAGCTTTACGCAGTTGTTCCTTCTTCTCGGCAGCGGTTAAGTGGCCGAATAACCCTTTGCACAGAAACTCGACGCCGGGGTCGGCGATGTGATTGCCGTTGAGATGGAGTTCGCGGAGCGGCGCTAGCGCTTGTAAAGCTTCGCCCAGCGTCCGCGCGCCGATATTCGTGATTTGGTTGCCGCCCAGCGCTAATACGGAAACGCAGCCTTGGCCCAACGACTCTACTAAGACCGCAAGTTTTTGATCCGTGATCAGACAGTCGACTAATCTCACTTCCCGCAGGTGCCTAAAGTCCGCGCCTCGCCCCTTCACTTCTTCAAGCACGACAGCTAATCGATTCGAAGCGCACGCCTCGTCGTCGTCGTCGCGGTCGCCGTCGTCCGCCCACAGCGCGAGGCGATCTTCGCGCCTCTTCTTGACTCTCTTGGCCAATGCTTCGGTCATCTTGAGCTTCCGGGCGGCCGAGGCCTCTTCCGTTTTTTCATATGTATCGACGGCTTTGTTGGCGCCCTCCTCGCCCTCGTCGGCCCGAGCGGCAGCGGCTAGAGCTTCGGCGAACTCGTTGATGGGCTTCGGCGCGGGGCAGACCTGCGCGCGGTCGCGTGACGACAGCGTCGTGCCGTCGCCGCGACGCTCTCAACGATGAACATACATCGGACGCCGCACAATCACCTTCAACTCCGCCTTGATCGTCCGGTACATCTCCCGCTGCTGGGCCTCGTGGGCGTCGCGCTTCTCCGTGAGCCAGTCTTGTACGCGCTTCGTGCAGGCCTGCGTCGAACGACGGCGTCGCGAAACCGTCTCCGTCCACTCACGAGACGTGTAGACTCTCTGACGACCACGTCGACGGCGTCGCGTGGGCGTAGCGTCGCGCTGACGCCATCGACGCGACCTTGAAGTTCAGAAAACGTCAGAAACAGACACTGAGTCACGGACCTCGTCCTTGATGGAAAAATAGAAATTCCGAGCCAACAGAGAAACGGAGGCCTGCTTCGCCTCGGCCTGGCCCCGCCGGAAGTGCTCGTCGTCGATGCGCTCCTGCTCGATTCGCAACCGCTCGGACTCCTCCCACGCTATTCGTTCTTCCAGTTCCCGCGCTTCGCGCGCTTCCCGCTCCTCCGGCGTCTCCTGGTCTTCCAACGAGTAGTCCTCGCCCGTCATCAGCGAACTCTCGTCGTCGATGGCCTTCTTCTTCGCGAGCTCGGCGAGCTTTTCTTCCTTGAGCTTTGGGTCGTCGCAAAGCAGCGCATCGAGAGCTAACTCGAGACCGAGCTCCTCCGGTCGCGGGAGCTGCCACCGCGTCTCGCCGGTAGCTTCGTTCACGTAAAATGGAGTGTTTTCCTCATCAAAATATTCCGTCCAGACGGCTCTAACTGGAGCATATTCCTCCAGTCGTTCGAGGATGGCTCCGGTGGACGTGCCTTCCCGGGCCGCGGCTCGCTCGAGCTGGAGTCGCAATCTATTGAGCCTTTCCGCCTTCTGCTGGGCGTCCTCGTTCACATTGTCATCATACCATTTTTGTGCATCTTGCGTGCTGTCGTAGGGTTGGACCTGGTCGTCGGCGACGGCCCCGTCGGCGACGTACTCGGAACTCGTAAAGTTATGCTGACTGGGGTCCGGGCTGAAGGCCATGTCCTGGGCCATCTCTTGTTGCGTGGGACCGTCCCGCTACGGCTGCGCGGCGTGAGGCTAGGCAGCCCCCCTGCTGCTGCTCTGGTGTCCGGGCAGCCCCGCCGCTAGCTGGTCTCCATGGTTCCTGGGCTACGCGTCGGTGGCGTAGTGTATAGCGTGCTGCGCGTTCCCGTCGCGCTCAGCGCGTCCGCGTTCACGCCTTGTGTTGCGGCCGGCCGGCGCTGGGCTGGTGCGGGGTTGCGCCCCGCGGTCTTTCCAACCAGTACTCCTCGCAGTCAAGGACTACTGCGAATCTGCAAGCGCTGTGGAGCAGTCCGAAATCAGCTCGACTGCGACGGCTTGCCGACCTTTGTGAGCGCATGCGCTCTCACTGGGATCGCGTAGTCGTTCACCATCCATGCAGCAAGCCCGCCGATAAATTCGCAGCGCTCTGAGCACGTTCATTTTCGAGAACTGAACGAAAACGCATCGGTTTCAGCAAAGCACTCAGCAAACATGAGGCTAGCCCTCACCGCCCTGATCTGCGCAGCCGGCGCCTTCATGCCGCCAAGCGTCAAAAGAAGCAACGCCTTGCGGGCCACGGGCGACCGCTGGTACTGCGGCGAAGGCGTCAAGTATCCCCGAGGGGCGGCCGGCATGCCGCCCGCACCACCGGCGGAGACGGGTGGATATAGCCACGAGCAGCAATTGTTCGATTTCTGGGCCGACACGAACTACGACTACGAGGTGGCCTTGGCGCGGCCGCTGGGTATTGTTTTTGAAGAGATCGGGACCGCGGCGCAGCCACGCGGTGTTCAAGTCATCGACGTGGGGGGCAACGCGGCCGCGTCCGGTAAAGTCTCCGTCGGCGACGTGCTGGTGGGCGTGACGGCCGTGCGTTATATTGGCGGTGAGTACCTGGGCAAGGCGCGGCCGGAGCGGGACATCTTCCCCGCGGGGCAGATGGATTTTGATACCGTGGTCGACGCGATCTCGTCGAACGAGGAGCCGGAGCTGTCGGAATTGCGAGTCGTGCCGCACTCGTCGGACGTGATCCTGCGGATGCGTAAGGGGTAAAACCCGTAGGCTAGGATTCCAGGCTCGGATTTGCACAGCGCCTGCGCGCGGCTCTCGAACCGCAGCCGGCGTAACGCAAATTTCGGAGGCAAGGGGGCAGCACAATTGTGCGACTAACTTACACGGGCAGCATGAAGGTGGCGCCCGCGGTCGCAGAGGTCCTCGGCGTGGTCGATGATGCAGCTGGAGGCCACACGGAGGGCTACGGTGAGGTGCTATCCGTCGCGCACGCGCCACCGGTGGCAGCCCCGGCCGCGCCGCGGCCCGCGGAGATGGAGCGCGGGCCGGCCGCGGCCGACGAGGTCCAGCCCGGCGCAGGAGGCGCCCGCGGCTCCATCGAGTTCCTCGGGCGCTGGAACGAGAAATATGGGGGTCGCTGGAGCGATAACGAGCGCGCGATGCCCGTCAAGATGGAGGTCGAGGAATATAACGTCCGCCTCGCCTTCAGTAAGTTCGTCGACGAGCTCGTGCAGAACGGCGCGCCGAGTGGCACTTTTGTAATGACCTCCAGCACCTCGGCGTTCTCCATATTGCGCCGTGGCGGGCCCTGGCGCTACGTTTCCTGGTCCGCCAGCCCGGAGGACAAGAGCTACCAGCGGCACGGCTTTGTTGGGATGGCGCCACAAGGGATCATCGATTCGAGGTTGGTGCTCGTGAGGCAGGGCAGCCCAAACGTCCTCCGCTTCGACCACTGGCAAGCCCTGCAGGCCGGGGGCGCGGCGCCCTTGACTTGCCACGCGTCGAACCCCGGGAATGGTGGAATTGGGAAGATGTACCCTGAAGAACGAAGGTTTTGGGGCGGGCGTTACACCGAGTCAAAATGTGTGGCGGCGCGAGACGCGTGCTCCGTTCAACTGGTCCAGGGCAAGTTCCTCAAGCGCGTCGACGCGGACCTGGTTCTCGAAGCCGGGAACCGAGAGGGGACCGGGGTCAGTTGGGTCGGCGGCGAGAGCGACGAAGAAACGTACACGGCGGGTACATGGGGCTACGGTCGCGAATGGGAGGTCAACGAGGACGGGTCGATCTCCCTCGTCATAGACCCAGACTTGGTCGTCAATGTTCACCGAGACTTGGTCCTGGGCGTGGACTCCGGCGTGGAGTCTGACCAGCACAAAAATATCCGCTTCGCCGACTTCGAGGGCGTCGTCGACGATTTTGGAGCTTCGCTCCAAATGGCGGCCTACCGCGTCACGCTACCGCGCGGAGGCTTCCGAGAATGGGCCGGTCGCGCGCCGCCGCTCGCGCCGGAGGACCTTCACACCGGCCCGCGGAGTGACGGGCTGCTGAGCACGGACGAGATCAGCGGCAGGTATTCGGCCGCGTGCTCCTGTACTCCAGCTCCGACGATTTGCCCCTCGATGACCGTGGTGCCGCTCGGGGCCGACGCGATCGAGACGTTTAGATCAGGCTGCACCACGGTCATTCCTATTCTTGTGACGTGCCCGCTCGTGGAAGGCGGGGTTCAGATTCGCGTCCCGGGCACTAATAAGTTTCGCCACTGGCCGGAGGGGCGCTTCGCAGGAGACGAGGAAGGAGTGACGTTCTCGGCCAACGGAATGGCCAAACAAGGATGTTGTTGCTTCAAGAAACGCCCACACTCGCAGAAACGGACCTTCCAAAAGGTCGATGCCGGGGACCTCGCGGGGACCTGGTGCGGCTGCTTTCCGATTGTGCCGTTGGGGCTGCTTGCGCCCATTTTATGCACTACGAAGAAGGCGCTTAACCAGGATCAGTACGAAGTGTCGGGTTGCTGTTGTCTTCTGGGTTTGCCGCTTCCCTATTTGTGTGGCGGAACGCACACGCGGGAATACGTGAACGGCCACCCGACGAACGTGTTCACTCTGGACGACGATGGGTCAGGTCAAGCTCATAACCCACAAGAAGATAGGTGGTATCGCGATTCCAGCTACGCTTATGGCACAGCATTTGCTCACCCCCATTTTCCCTACTGCTCCACGAAGTGCTGCTAGCTTCGAGCCGTCGCCGGCGACGCAACCTAGACTAATATTGTTATAAGAGAAACGCGTCCCCCGGCTGCTGCACTTCCAAGTCGGGCGCCCGGACGCCCGCCGAATCCCGGTCGCGCACGGCGAGCCGGTACTGCGCCGACGAATTCAGGCAGGCGAGCCAGATCGACGCCCAGAGCAATACGCTCACGACGCCCGACAAAAACAAATCGTCTCGGGACACGCCGGACGTGTTCTGCGTGTAGGTCGTGCCGTTCCCTGATGGTCTTTGCGAGTCCCAGGGCGCGCGATGCCGCGCCTCCTCCGGGATCACTACTAAAGAAACGTAGGCCTCGTAGGCCAAGGACGACGCCGCCAGTGCTCGTAAAGCATGGTCGTAGCGACACGCCGAGAGGATGTCTCCTCTCCGAGCCGCCCGCATCCCCGCGCCACCGACGTAAACGCCGGCCAGATTAATCGCCAGCCCGACCATGGTCACGACGTCTCCGTCGGAGTTCGGCGCCGTGGCATCTAAAAAAGCTCCGAGAGCAGCGACCGCACAGTACAGGGAGAGTAACGACGATAGCAACCGCACGCGCGCGCCCGTCCGCGCAACATGATATCTAGCTCTCGCGGCGGGATCCGACGGCAGGGGGTTCGCCGCGACGGCGGCCACCAAGGCACTGACGTCGTACGGGACCTCATTTGATGCGGGTGATGACGCTTGCGTCCCTTCGGGCCTTACCGTTAAGTGAATCGTGCACAATGGTGACCGTGGGACCACATTAAATTCCGACAGTAAGCCGTCGCCGAGCGACCGGCCGTTGCAGATTAATCGTTGTCTATCAGAAGGGGCGTTTTCTATTGCGGCCTCGACCGCAGTTCTGAGATCGGCACAGGTGCCGTTTTTCGGCACGCGTATTATGGTGGGAGCGCCGGCCTTCTTCACGTCGAGGACGCGCACGTCGAAGGCGTCTTCATCAGATGTGCTTTTGGGCTTGCGGTCGCTGAGCTCGATGTCGGCGCCCGGCGGGGGACCCGCGCCGTCGATTTTCTTGTACTTGTCCCCCATGCGCGGCGCTCGTTTCTTGATCGTTCGCTGCGCCGGCGCTGCTCGCGCCGGCTCACGTCGTTTTGCGAAGCGCTACGTAGCGGCACTTGTGTGGCCAGTGAGTGGGCCCCAGCTGTCAATCTTGGTGCGGGAGCGTCGCTGCTTTCGGAGCGCGGGCTCGGTGCTTTAGTGTGAAAAGCGTTGCCTCCGGTGGCGCCGCCGTGCGTTGCTTGGAGCCGTTTTGTCAACGCAGCTTTTTGTGCTTGCTAGTGTCTTACAGGACGCTAGATAATCGCTTTTTCGCCAGGCGTTTCACTAGCGATCGAGCCCCGGGCCTCCAGAGCTCGCGGGTTTCTACGTCGACAGCCATTGAGGCGTTTCGCGCCGCCCGATTATAAGAAGTACCATCAGTCAAGGTTCCTCAGAGAGAGAGTACTTAAGCGGGCACGAACGCTAGACCTCAAATGGTGCGCCAAGCTCCGAGAGGGCTCGAGCCGCGCCGGCCCGTCAGGACCGTGGTGGATGCCGCGGGCACGCGGCGCCGAGTCTGTCCGCAGACGGGCCAGAAACTCCCGACGGAGGACGAGATCCAGCACACCGTCTGGGTCCTCCGCATGGGGCCGCCGAGCTGGGACAACCCCGGGGCCCCGGGCACGGCCGGCGGGCCTCCGTTGGTGGTCAGCACGAATGACATGCGGCGCTTCGTCGCCCGGAGGGCCTCGGGGTCGTGGCCGTCCAACACCCCCGTGCGGTGCTTGCCGCGCGACTCGCCGGTCGAAGGCATCTACCGCCACCACGTGCAGTCGAACCCGCAAGCCGCGTGGAACGGCTACGACGAGTTCGTGGTCACACGCGAGATGACCGTATTGGGAGGCTCGGTCCTCGTCGGCCTGGCCATCTGGGCGTACGTCGGACTTCCGTGGCAGGTCATGGATGCTCCGCTGAAAGCGGTGGCGTTCTTCGTCTGGTTCAACATGTGCCCGTGGCGATTAGTCCAGGACATCCGCAACCGCGTCTACGCTGGCGACGGCAGCCGGGTGCTGGGTGCTCCGATCAATTGCTAGGACTATACACCTAAGAAGTTACGCCCTAGAACGGCGCCCCGAAGTCCGACGCGGCGGCCCGGGCCTCGACCCAGGCAGCCATCGTCTTCGCCCCGAAGCCGGTCGCGCAAGAGTCCTTCCCGTTCCAGACCGGGCCCGCGATGTCGACGTGCGCGTGGGGCACGTCCTCCACGAAGTGGCCGAGGAAGAGCGCCGCGGTGATCGCTCCCCCTGCTCTCGGACCGACATTCACCAAATCAGCGATCTTCGACTTGATCTGCTCCTCGTAGGCGTCGGGCAAGGGCATGCGCCATACCTCTTCCCTCGCCTTCTTCGAGGCGCTGGACAGTTCCGCTGCGAGCTCATCACTTTGCGTGAAAACTCCGGCCACGTCATCGCCCAACGCCACGATGCAAGCACCGGTCAGCGTCGCGAGATCCACAATGGCCTCCGGCTGCAGCTTCTCGGCGTACACGAGGGCGTCGGCCAGCGTCAACCGGCCCTCGGCGTCGGTATTGGCCACTTCGATCGTCTTCCCATTTGAAGCTGTTAAGACATCTCCGGGCCGCACGGCCTCGCCGGAGATCATGTTCTCGCAGGCCGCGACGATGAAGTGGATCTCGCCTGTGCGGAAACGCAATCACGGGCGTTGCAATGGATTTCCACGCGGCGCGCGACAGTCCGGCACCTCCAGGGAAGCGACGGCCGAGGCGCAGCCGAGCGTCGCCGCGGCGCCTGCGCGAAGCATACTGTGTCGCGTCGACGGCGTCGACGCGACCTTGACGTTCGGAAACGTTCATCTCGCGGTCCGAACGGCCCCAAAATCGAAAAAGAAACCACGCGCGTCGACGGCGTGGAGGCACCTCCCCACGACGGGACGCCGAGATCGCACCGCCCATGTCGAACTTCATGAGCTCGATCATGCCCCCCGCCGACGGCTTCAGGTTGTAGCCTCCTGAATCATACGTGAGACCTTTCCCAACAATAGCTAGCTTCGTCTTCGGCACGCCGCGTTTATAGGTGAGATGGACGAATTGCGCCTCGTTGTCGGACGACGCGCCCTGCGCGACGCCCAAGTACGCGCCCATGCCCAGCGCAGCGCACTCCACGGGCCCCTTGATCGTGCAGTCCAGCGTTTGATGTTCTTTGGCCAATTCCACAGCCGCTATGGCTAACGTTCTAGGTGTTAACACGTTGGGCGGGGCATTGACCAAGTCCTTGGCGAAGGCCGACCCCTGGGCGTAGGCTCGAGCCCTCTCAGCAGCTTCAGACACGACACTTTCTTGGGGACCTTCCTCGAGGGACGCGGCGTAGGCGTCGTCCGGAGAAACGTCATCGACCGACATGGGCTCGTCGACCAACTCCAACGACGATAATTTCGGGGGATTCTTGACGTTGTCGCCCGTCCTAAATCTATCGTCCACATAACAGCCCTCGAACGTCGCCAGTGCGACGGCCTCGACGTGCTCGCCGAAGGTCCAGGCGTCCCTGCTTCGCGAAGGCGCCGCGACGCCGACGGACGACGCCTTTTCTTTTGACGCTATTTCTGCTACGGCTTTGCCTAGGGCGGCGTAGCCCTCCATAGCTTTATCTTTGGGGCCCAGTCCAACTAACGCTACTTTCCGGACACCTTGTAACCTTCCAGGGACGGTCAAGACGTGGGACTCGCCCTTCTTCCCCTTGAATTCTTGGGATTCCGCGAGCTCCGTGAGCGCTCCCCCAAAGGCCGCGTCCCAGCCCTGCGCGATGGTCGCCGCGCCCACATCAATATCCTTGTCGGACCAGAACGGTAACAAAAGTAAATCGCCGGCGTAGTCCGAGGCCGCGCCGCCGTACTCGACCTTGACGGTCTTGCTGCTGCTGAGCGGGAAGGAGGTGGGCGCTGCCGAGAGCGCGCGGCCTCTCCGCGCCGCCGCGGCGGCGGGCGTGACGAGGGCGCGGCCGCAGCGCGCCAAGAGCAGCATGGTTGAGAGTTTGCGCATCGATGACGGCTGTTTGCGTGCACCTATGCGGAGTAAAGCCGGGCGCGCTGGCGCATTTGACTAAGACCAACCAGCTAGTGGGTCGAAGACGCTAGCTCTGCTTTTCCTGAAGGACGATAAGTCTGGTCGCGCCTGCGGCCGCAGTAATCTCAGAGACGAAGCGGTCCGAAGCCCGACGCTCAAAAGTAGTCACCGCCACAACGCACGGCCGCCCGCGCCTACTAAGTAAACGAGTTTTAGTCAGACATGCCGGAAGCAGAATCCTAGCGCCCGGAGGGGGGGTTCCGTTGGTAGCGCTCGAACGGGGCCGGCGGCAGGGCGGGCACTAACCGCAGAATGGACGAGTGAGGCACGCTATCCATTAAATTGACCTCTCGCAGCAAAACACTTATCGGCTATCTCCTCCCTTTTTTTACAAATGTCCTCCCATTCCATCATGTATGCTGGAACTCCTGCTCCCGGGCAATTGCCCGGCCATTGACAATAAGAGCAGGGATAATATGGATTGTTTTTGTCAATGCAAGCACCCATTTCACGGTCTCGCCAAATTACTCTCTCGTTACTCTTGTCTCTTCTCCGGATCCACGAAATCCCGTCATCTTTGGCGCAGCCTGCGGAGTGGGGGACACATATCATCAAATGAGTCTGATGGGTCGAGGACGCAGGTCACCCGCAATGATACCAGCGCGTTGTGGTTGTGCGTGACCACCAATATTGGTAGTATTCACTGGTACAACGTTGGATGCACACAAAGCCATTCGGGCACATGGTGGGTTCGCCCCAGCAATCCTTCCCCAGCAATCCTCTTTCATGTAGGACCTTTCCCGGACCTTGAAAGTTCAGTGAGTACGCATCGCCGTCCTGGATCTGAAGCCCCGGGAAGCCGTCGTGGTGGCCGAAGCTAGGCTTGCGCCCGCCGACGCGGTGCTCGTCGTCCTTCGTGCCGCGAAGTCGCGGCTCGACCTGCGTACGATGGTGTGTGGACTCAGGACGCGATGATGATTCAGCGCGAAGCGCCGTGAAATTTGTATCGCACGGAACGCGACCTCGGGGAGCGCGGCCGTGGCGGCAAGAGCCAGCGCAAGCACGCTGGACTTCATATTGCAGCACTTCTCTACCTGTGTTTGAGAAAACCGCTGTCCGCGCGACCAGTCATCGACGCGTACCAAACGCGGCGGCCACTTTGCTGGCGACCACCCGTCGGCACGTAGAGTTCTCCAAACGGGTGCCGCGCTAACGTCGACGGTCATCCATTAGCGAAGACGCGGTCTATAAAATATCACACTGCGCAAGACCGGCAATATCTGCTCACGGACGACCGCGTTTGCGCTCGTTTTCGCGGTTCACACCAAAAGTGTTACCCGTAGGTCGAGCCTGTTAGCTCGAACGGTATCAAACCCTTCACGAAGGCGCTCAAATTGGTCAATGTGGGCGGCTCTGGCACCACTGGCTGGCTGGCTAGTAGCACGGGCGAACGTGGCATTGTTTGCCGAGGCGTTCTGCTTAGAAGGAGGTAAGCTGTTATGAAAGAAGCGGCTCGCGCCCGCCGCCGATGAATCGGCGACGCGCGGTGTCTCCCCCCCAGCCCTGGGCAGGGGCTCCGCCCACTAGTCCTAGCACCAAAAGTACACGTAAGGTGTCTCAGAGCCACAAAGGACAGGTTCATAATTCAATAAGTTACCCAACAATAGCCCCCAACAACCTCGCCTGCAGCGCCGCCTTGAGGCCCGACGCGTCGAGGCCGCGCGATGTCAGCGCCGCGCGCAATTTCGGCACGGTAAGTTTCTTGACCGCGTCGGCGTCGAGATCGTCGTCGACGCGCGCGCGCTTCGCGGCGGGTTCGTCGGAAGGCACCGCGGGCGACGCGGAAGGCACCGCGGCGAGCTTCGACGCTCGAGCTTCGTTGAACAGCGCGAGCGCTTCGTCCAGCGCCGGCGCCGTCGGCGCACCAGAGACGAAGTCCTGCGGCAGTAACGAAGCGCAGCCCGCGGACTCCAAGGCGCCGCGCAGCCGCAATAGAGTCGCGCCGTCGCAGTCGCCTTTAAGGGAGACGGCGGCGTTCGTCAAAGCTAATGAAACGTCCGCGCCGCCGCCACTCCAAGGTTTCCCGTCACCGGAGACTAACACCATGCCTGTAGGACCGTTCGATACCTTTCTTGCTAGGAGCGCCGCGAACGATTCCGCGACCACAACCAGGTCGTCGGGCGACAACGTATGACACTCCTGCGCGACACAACGCGCGAAGGCGTCCGCGCCATTCAACGGTGGTTGTAAACACGCCGCAAAGGTCCGTCCTAAGGTCGCCAGGCCCCCGCGCGCCAACCCGTCGCCCTCGGCGTCGCGCCGTCCTACGCAAGCGTAGTCTAACGATTCTAAAGCAGCCGTAACGGCGTCCTCCCTCCCACCATAACAAGCGAGCCCCCACGCCGCGTCGACGAGCGACGACGCGCCGTACGCCTCGCGGCGGTCCGTGACATGTTTCGAGCACACGTCGGCCACTTTGTCCTGGGCAACACCGGCGTCGGCGACGGCGCGGATCAGCAGAGCCACGGCCGACGGCGTCCAGTGCGCTATTGACGATTCACATTTCCCACACACTTTATCAAATAACGCCGGCACCTTCGCCGCGCGGTAGGCCCACAAGGCTCGTCCCGCGTAGCGCTCCGTGAGCTTCGACGGGGCATCCGACAGTACCGGTAGCGCCCTCCGGAACAACGAACCAGCACACTCAGAAGAAGGACCATGGCCCAACGCCTCCAGCGCCCACAACACATTGGCCGTCTCGCGCACGCCGAGGAAGTCGTCATCCTGCGTCGCGGCTGCGACGACGGCTTTGATCAATTCCGAAGACGCATGTCCCACGATCGCAAAGCCGAAGATGACGTTGACCACATCCCCTGAAGATGCCGACGGACACTTATCAACACAAGCTTGGGAAACTTTCAACAAACAGGCCTCCTCGCGCAACCTTTGGGTTTGATATTGCGTCTTTGACGCGCCGTAGTCCTTTTTTCCACAGCCCAATTTTCCTAGACCCGTCACGACGTCTCCCAATTGATCCGAACTCAGTGACGACGCCTGCGTCGTCAACGCGTCCAGTGCCCGGGCGAATCGTGCGTCGCCTCGTACTAAAGCTCGCGAGTCGGGCCTTGTCCTCCCCAATCTCGCAAATAGAGACGCACACGCGTCGGCGTCGGGGCAGCCCTTTGTTTGTACTAACTCCAGCGTCTCCTGCCACGTGCCCGTCTTCCGGAAGAGTTCTGGTAAGGGCGTTTCTTCCTTGGCTGGTACTGGCGCCATCGCGGCCGGCGGTTCCGCGTAATCAATCACGCGCACGGGCGGCGGTGCTAATTGTCTAGGTGAAAGCAGCTCGACGTAGCCGATGGGCGGGCACTTGGCGTCGCACCATTCACAAAACCACCTCCCGGCGCAGTTCTGCTGCCGGCACTGGGGACATCTCCAGTCGAACGCACTATCGCGACAGACAATCCCAGCACCAACCGGCGGTCGTAGTCGCTCGTAGCCCGCCAGCGACCCGCCGTGCATCGCCGCGTAGCCGTCGCCCGGGATCGCGACCCTACATTGGTTGCAGGTCAATCTTCCACTCAAGTTGATGAAATCACAGGTCGGACACCTCCAGTCGATCTCCGACGTTCTACGAGCTAAACCTTCGTGCCTCGGATCTAAATAAGTAGACGATGCTGCTGAGACGGGATTCTGGCCTAAACGTCCCGAGCCGCGGCCGCCCATGGGGATCGTCGGCATCACCGCAGGCCGCGGCCGCTGGCACTTGTGGCACTGCGTCCTTTTGGCCCAGTTGACGTTGTCGCAGTAGGTGCACTGCCAATCGCCGACGGCGTGGGGGTCGTGCGGTGCTTGTGGGGCCTGTGGGGCCTGGTACTGCGGCGGCACCGGAGGCGCCGGCGCCGGCGGCGGCATCGGGGGCATGGCCGGGCCCGCCGGTTGACTGTACGTGCCGCCTCCACTATAGTGTCGCGCCTGGTAGGTATAATCGACGCCGTCGCCGTGCTGCGCCCGGTCCACAACTCTCATATCATGGTCGCCGACGCGGCTCGTATTTTGACCGTATTCATTGTAGCCCGCGCCGCCGCCGTACTGCATCGTTGCTCGTACCGCGCGGCGACAGCGTGGTGCTGGGAGACCAGGTGTGGCTGGCGCTTCTTTGGCGCGGTTCTGCGACGTCGCTGCGGAGCGAGGGGTCGCAGCGGTGACGTATGTGGCTATTTCTGCACTCGCCACCAGCTCTGGCGCAGCAGCAGCAGCAATTTCCCTCGCAGGCCCGGCTTGCTTGCCTGCTAGTGTCTTACAGCCGCTAGCTAAACGCGCGTTGGCCAGGGTCACGGCGGATTCTCTCCACTTTCGAAAAGTGGAAGCACTCTTAAGAACATCCAGCACATGTATCGGAGGCAAGTAGATTCAATCTGCGGGACTATCGCGACCCCCGGACAGCGCCCGCGGGCAACCAGACCAACACTTACTCCCCAGGGAACACTCCTCAACAAGCCCCCGCCCGCCACCCCCGCTCGCCCACCGGCGGGTCGTGGCGCTTGCCGCTTCTTTTGCGATACGCCCGGAACCGGTTCCACACATATGTCTCCCCGAGCGGCTTGAGCCGCTCCCGATGATTCTCTTCGACCTTAAATAAGCAAAGAGCGAGCTTCAGCAGCATGGAATCCAGCCACCCACTAAACGCCCAGGCCTCCGTCTTCCGCACACCGAGTCGCGCGTCGCCCAACCGCAAAACGTCGCCTTCGTTGAGCTCGAAAGAAGTTTTTTCGGAGAGCTTGACGTACGTACCTGACGACGTATCATGGGGCTTGACGAAGAAGACGCCCTTGTCCTTGTCGAGCTCTACCGAACAGTGCACGGGCGCCATTTCATCATCATCCTTGAGGACGATGTCACAGTCATCAGAAGCACCGATTGTGGTGGAACCAGTCAACACGACGCGTCTCTGTCTTTTAGTATGAGGCCCTCTAAATTTAACAAGCAGTCTATGATCAACGTCTTCATTGATAGTATCATCGTCATCTGACAACGAAACGTCAGACTCTGCGTCGTCGTCCTCGTCCTCGTCTTCCTCCTCCGACGAGGACTCCTCCCTACCTCGTTCGGGCGGCGCCGCAAAATAAAAATTCGACTTCGACAACCGCAAACAAACATCAGGAAACACCGGAAAGGTCTCGCACGCTTTACCCGCTCCGCCGATGCACACGTAGGTGCCCTTCCGCGACAACCGATCCTCGACCCAGAGCGACCGGTGCTTGTCCGGACTTCTTATGGTACAATGCTCGCGCGACACGCCGCAGTCCTTCTCGAAGTTTCTGTAGTCACCCTTGAGGCCGAGCGTCCGCGCCTCGCCCCTCACCGGAATGGCCGTGTTTTTTCTTGGACCGGTCTCGTGGACGAGGTCGTGGGCTTGTACTTTGAGGGGCATGGGTGTTTTGTGGTGTTGGGCGGCTTTGAAGCGGTCGCTGCGATGTTTGTAAGGCAGCCCTTTGGAGGGTAGAAGCGCTGGGGGGCAGCCTTGAAAACGCGTGGGCGGTCCTGGCGGCTCGACAGCGACCGCGTCGCAGCGCTTGCGCGCTGACACCTTCGTCGCGGCGCGATTTGTGGGGCACGCCGTGGCTCACACAAGGCACATGAGAGAGGCGCGCGGGTTCCCCCCTCTCTGGGCCGCCGTGCGGTCCTCGTGGGGGTCCTCGAGGGGTATCCATGCCGGCGGGAGCACTCCTGCGGCGGCCGCGTTTCCAGGCCCAAAGCCCAAAACGCTCTCCTGTCTGTGGGCGCAGCCGCTATAAAGCGCTGCCCCAGCGGTGGGTTTGAGCTGGCCACGCGCTTACGCTGGGTCCCTGGCGCAGCGCCGGAGCGGCCCTCATTGCGCCGGCGGGCGCCGGGGCGCTTGGAGGCAGCTCTTAGGGGCAGCCCTCCGGAGGGCGCCGCCGCCGCCTCGTCGAAGCCTCGGACGAACAGCGCCATGGAAACAGTACACGAGGCGGCGGCGCCGCCGCGCCTGGGCGACGCCGCCTCGATCCTGGCGGACGTCGCGCGGACGCGCGTGGCCACGGCCCATCGTCGGAGACGACCTAGACAGGACGCCAAAGCCCACTTGCAACCCATCCCGCGCGCCCCGGAGCCGGTTAAGCGCAAGAAAGTTGTAAGGGCCCGCCCGCCGCTGTTGGACGAGCCCACGGCCCTAGAACAGCGCTTGGAGGCCATGAATGAACTAAGGGGGACGTCGCAACGAATTACGACCATCCTCGACGCCTTTGATGAGAAGGATCGGAGCATACCAAGGGAGGACCCGGACCTCGGCCGGTTAGTCGTCGACGACGTCTTTAGAACATCAGAATGGAAGCGTGCAGATGTGTCGAACGCGTTGGCGTCGGCGGAGGCCTGGGCCACGAGTATCTCGCAGCATCGGTTGGCCGAGACGGAGGCCGCGGCCAAGGACACGGAATCGTTGGTGGAGCGCATCAAACGATCGGACGAAGGTTTAGAAAGAGCTCTGAGATGCGCGGAGGCGACGCGCGAGCACATTCAAGTAATTTCAGAAAGGGTACGCGCCGAAGCGGAGAAGGACCATGAAATGAACGTGCAGAAGCACGCCGAGTTCCAGAGTCTCAAGAGGGAACTACTAGAGAGAACAGCGCGGGAAATCGAGGCGATGTCCACAGTGGTAGAGCAGATGCGCCTCGAAGCGCAGAAAGCCGTCGACGAGCGCAAACTGATGGAGGCCCACGCTATTGATATGAGTACAAAGGCCAGGGCGTCGCGGCAAGTCGCGGACACCGTCCGGGAGGAGTCCGCTCGTGAGTTGGAAAGAATGGAAGCCCTCGTCGCCGCCGTCCAGGAGCAGGATCGGCTCGCCAACTTGAAATGGCGCGACCCGGCCATGGCCGAGACCGTGGACGAGCTGGTCGCGGCTTATAGGAGGCAGAAAGCAGATGACGCTTTGGCGAAGGCGTCGGAGGGTGACGCGGAACTTGTGGAGGCCGTAAATCAAGCGAGACGAGCGACGGTGCGGGCCGAGGAGGAGGCCGATGAGGCGCGGAGACGGGCGGCGGAGCTGAGCGGGCAGTTGGAGGAGACGAGGAAGGACTTGACGGCCATGACGGGCGCGCGCGATGCAGCGCTGGACGACTTGCGGCGGGCGCACCTGGCCCTCGACGCCCTGGAGGACGACGGCGGTACGGACAATAGTGAGCTCGACGCCGTCAAAACCGAACTAGCTGAAGAGCAGAGGAAGACGGAGCGACTCGCCCAAGAACTAATGAATGAGAGGGAGGTCTCGGCGGCGGCGCGCAAGGCCGCCGAGGCCTTCGAGGAGCGCTGCCGGGCCGCCGAGGCCCGGGCCGCCGCGGCGCCGGCGCCTGAGCCTCAGGCAGCGCCCGCGCCTCAGGCACCTCAAGCCTCCGGCGACGACCATAGTGAGGCGCTCCGGGCGTCGCAGGAAGAGGTCTCCAAGCTACAAAGGGCGCTCCGCGCGTCCCAGGACGAGTTGAGTGCTAGCCAGTCTACTATTGACAAGCTCGAGCAGATGAAAGACAAGTTGTTGCGCGAGGCCGACGAGTTACGAAGGGAGACCCGCGACGGCAGCGCGTCTCCGTTAAAACTCGAGGTGTGTCATCAAGGGTCGAACGCCGTTGTGGAGGTGGCCGACGGCGGGGCGTCGCCAATGCCACATGCGACCACTGAGGACGTCGGGAGCAACACCGCGGTCGCGACGGTCCGGGACGGGGCCAGCTCGCCCCTCGTGAAGCCTGTCCAGATGGAGGACCGCGGGTCGCGCGCGCGGACGCCGATCGCCGTGGAGGATGGTGGAAACTCACCGATGAAAGAGGAGGAGCCCGACGGCCCGCCGTCGCCGATCAAAGACGACGCTCTATTGAAGCAGATTGATGGACTGCGAGCCCAGCTCGCGGCGAAGTCAAATGAGTGCGCCGAGCTCGAGCGGCGCCTCTCCGCAGTGCCTCCGTCAGTCGACGACGGCGACCACATCATCTTGAAGGAAGCCTTACAAAGTGTTGGTAGTGTGCTGCCCGACGTCGCGCGTCGAGCGGTGCTCGAGGCTCATAGGAAGCGCGTCGACGCCGCGCAGAGGCAGTTACGAGAGCAGACGAAGTCGATAGCTTGCAAAGGGCGGTCGTCGCGACGGCTACTGGAGGCGCTCGCCACCGAGGAGGAGCACCATGGTGAAGATGCGTTGGCGGAGGCCTGCGACCAGGACGCGCGAATCCTGGAGACCATAGAAGAGCATTTGACCGGTGGCGACGACGCCCACGTCCATTTGGTACTCGACGACCACTACGCCGCGAAACTCAGGAACGACGCCGACGCATTAAGAGAGAAGCACCAGAAAACCGAAGCCGAGCTTGAAGAAGAGCGGCGCCAGAAACTGGAGCTGGCCACGGCGAAGGCGGAACTTTCCCGGAACGTGGAAGAATTGACAGCGTTCCTGAAGCAGGCCCATGCTGCTTTAGAAGAGGAACGGAACTCGGTCGACAAAACCGAAGTCGAGGCGACGCGAACAGGATTGGAGGCGACGTTCGTCGGCGCCTGCGCTCTCCTACGGACGAAGGCCAAGGCCCTGGCGTCGAAGAGCGTCCCGGAGGCGCCCGCTGCCAAGCCTTGGATGAAGCGCGCGGCGCGGGCCACCGGCTTGCTCGCGAAATTGAAGAAGAGCGCGTCGGCGAAGGCCGGCGCCGCGGCGGCCGAGGAGGCCGCGCGTATCGAGGCGGACCGCGTCGCCGCGGCGGAGGTCGAGGCGGCGCGGCTCGAGGCCGAACGCATCGCGGGACTCGAGCGTGCCGCCGCGGAGGAGGCGGCGCGCCTGGAAGCGGAGCGCCTGGCCGCCGAGGCGGAGGCCGCGCGTCTGGAGGCGGAGCGCGCCGCCGCGGCGCAGGCGGAGGCAGAGCGCGCCGCCGCCGCGCAGGCGGAGGCGGAGCGCGCGGCCGCCGAGGCCGAAGAAGCCGCACGCCGCGAGGCGGAAGCGGAGGCCGCGCGCCGCGAGGCGGAACGCCTCGCCGCCGAAGCCGCAGAGGTGGTCCCGGCGCCCGAAGCCCCCAAAACGCCCGAAGCACCAGCCACCGACGCGGCCGAGCTGGCGGCCGCCCGCGACGCCGCGTCGGCGGCCGACGACCGCGCCGCCGCGGCCGAGGCGCGCGTCGCGGCGCTGACCGACACGATCGACGCCGGCGAGGCCGCGTTCGGCGCGCGTTCCGCGGCGCTCGACGGCGCCGTAACCTCCCAGGCCGCGCGCGAGGCCGCAGGCCAGGCGGCGTTCGACGCCTGCGCCGCGGACCTCGCGCGCGCGGCGGCCGCCTCTACGCATCTCGAGAGCGGTGGAGCCGCCAGCTGCGCGGCCTTCCGCGCCTGCGACGCCGCCCTCAGGCAGTCGGCGGCGACGTGCGAGCGCCTCTCCGCCGCCGTCGCGAGCGGCTCGCCGGACACGATCGCCCTCGCGGCGCACGAGGCCGAGCTGGCTTCGTTGCGAGAAGCCGCGGCGGCGGAGCTCGCGGCGGCGCGGGAGTCTAGTGACGTGATGCTGCAGGACGCGGAGAAACGCCACGGCGAGGCGCTCGACGCCGAACGGAGAGCGCACCGCGCCGCCCTCGAGGCGGCGCAAGCCGAGGCGTCACAAGCGCTCGAGGCGTTGCGTGCGGCGCTCGAAGCCGACGCGGCCGCGGCGCGCCAAGCGGCTCAAGATAAGTTCGCCGCCCTGGAAGCCGCCCACCGCGACGAGCTTGCCAGCCAGGACGCGCGCGCGGCCGCGGCGCTCGCCGCAGCGCGCAACGAAGCGACGGGAGCGTTGGACGCCGCCCGCGAGGAGGCCTGGAGAGCGCTCGCCGCGACGCACAGGGGGAAGGCCGCGGCGCTAGACGCCGCGCGCAAGGAGGCGGCGGCGCCCGCAGCAATACAGCCCGCGCCGGCGGCGCCGCCCGAGGAGGAGCGGCCCGCGCCGCCGGTCGTCGAGGCCCCGCGCGCCCCATCACCGGAACCCGAGGCCGCCTCGCCAACAAAGTCCGAGGGCTACTTCGACGCGCACGGCTACGAGGCGCCGCCTACCGACTCGCCTGTGCGATATGTGGAGGCGGCCGTCCGAGCGCCGGACGTCGCGCGGGCCATTACGCTGTCGATCGCTGAATTACTCGGAGCACCAGACGCGTCCAGTATTGCTGATACGGTAGCGACGGCCGCCAACGTGTCGCACGAGCAAGCGGCTTCGAAGGCGCTTGAATTATTAAGGCCACTCACCATATCAGAAGAGACAGACGAGGAGGACGCGGACGAACCAGTAACGGTGGAGAGCGACGCCGCCTTCGAGACGCGCCTCGCTTCATTTTTAGACGACGCCTGCCCGACGCTGGCGGACGCCGCCGGCGATCTAGGAAGGTTGGGCGTCGAGCGGAGGACGTACGTCGACTTGCGGGACAGGGTCGACGACCCACGAGTAGCAGCGCGCTTGGAGGCCATCGACGCGTTTGCGGACGAGATCCTCGAGAACACGAGCAGCTGGTCCGTCGAGTCGTTGGCCGTGTGTCGCCACGAGAATTCGTTACTTGCCAAGAAAGCTAGAGCCATGGCCGGGTGGCTCAGTGCTGTAAATGGCTCGTCGTCTGACGAAAAAATGATCGTCTACGAGGAGGCCGCTTCGGCCTTAGCGAAGGAGATCGAAGCTCGCGGCGGCTGGCGGGCGGCCTGCACGCTGGCGGGAGGCGGTCTCAATGAGGCCGTTGACATAATCCCGTGGCCGGACCGCGACGCTCTTAGCATGTGTAGTTTGCTGAAGGACCATTTTCAGGTTAAGTATAACGCCGCCGAGGCGTTGCGGTTGGAGCTCGCCGATGAAAACGAGTCCTTGGCGAAGCGGTTGAAGTTAATTGAACAGCGCCTGGAGACCTCGAATCATCGGAGAGAAGTCCTAGAGAGGCAGCTGCGCGGCGCTTTATCTCAAAGACGGCCGCCCAGACAACAGATCCTGTCGGCCGACGACGTGCACTCGGAAAAATTTGATTTAGATGCCTACCTCGGGTTGGGTGGACCTAGAACGGCCGCTGCACACATCGACGCCGCGCCCGTGTTGAAAGCCTGGCAGGAGGAGCGCATCTCCTGCGTGACGCAGCGCGTCGAGGTGGCGAAGGTGTGTGCAGCAGTTATGGCGTCGCCACTCGCCGAGGCGGTGCAGTCCAAACTACCTGCCATTGATATTAGTGTGTTGACCGATGCTCGAAATGAGGCTTTTCGTTCTATGGAAGTGGAGGAAGACGCACCTGTGGAAGTGGAGGAACCCGCGATGGGCCTCGAATTGACGGGCGACGCCGTGCGCTCCGTGCCGCCGAGCGCGGCCGTGTCGTCGTCGCGACACGAGGTCGCAAAGAGCCATCGGGGCAAGGCGCCCCTGTTTCCCGAGATCGCGTCGCGGCCGGCATCTTCCACCGGCGCCGACGCGGCCGCCCTGGCTCCACAAACACCGCCGAAGGTTGACATCACGTACAAATCATCAAGGGTCGAAGCGGCAAGGCGTTTGCTGGAGAAAGTGAGAAGAGGTATGCGCGGTTTAGGCGGCTATTCGGGAAGCGACGCCCAGTCGGACGCACTGACGCAGGAGGTCAAGGCCTGCCTTGTTAATGACGAGGGCGACCTGAGGACTTTATTACGTGTGTTTGCGTTGGTGCAGAAGCGGCACGACGACCAGCGGGCCCAGATCGAGCTTTTGCAACGGGAGCTCAACATCACGGCCTCCACGGAGGTCGAACGGCTACGACGCATGCACTTCATAGAAAAAGCGCATGACGATACGGCAGTACTGTACCAGCGGCTCCAGGCGGCCCAGAGCGATGCAGACAGGTATAAGGCCGAGGCCGACGCCGTCCGTGCCAGTATGAAGCAGGGCATCGGGGCGCTCGAGCAGTTGGAGGCGACGATCTGTGTGCACCGGGACGCGGCGGAGGTGCACGGTGCTCTGCTGCCGCGCTATCATGAAGCGGATTTGCAAGCCGCCGAGGCTATACAAAGGGCCACTTCCCTGAAGGATACGCAGGAGAAAGTCGCGGCGCGCGACCTACTGGAGAGGCGCCTACTCTTGGTGTTCAACGAAGTAAGGGCTGTGGAAGACGCGATGCTTGCGCTCTACGAGCGTGTGGAACGGGCGACGCAGTACGTCTTCTCGGGCCAGAGCTACCGCGAGTTGCTGGTGTGGGCGGCGGACAAGGAAGAAGGGAATGTCGACGACGCCGAGGGGGCCCTGCGCTTGAAGCAGAGCATCGCCAAGGCCGCCGCGCCGGCGCGGCAGCTCCTGCCCAAGAGCGATCCTCTCGCGCCCAAGCTTTCTACGGGCGTCTCGGGCCGCGACCGCTACGCGCAGTTGGCGCGCTTCGCGGGCAACGTGGCGACGCCGGCGTCTTCCGCCCGACCGCGGCCGTCGCCCGCGAAGAAGTCGCCGCGGCGCCTGAAGCCCGTCGCGGGCGTGAGCGGGGCGGCGCGGCCTTTGTAACTTGTTGTTCCTTGTACCCTGGATTTCTGTTTTTGAGGCTGAGGCTTTGCCCCTAGTATCTCTACATCTAGCTCCGCGACGAGGCGTAGCAGCGGCACGCGGTTGTAGAGCAGCTGCGAATCGTCTAGAAGCAGCGAAGCACTCGCAGCGATGCGCCATTCCTTGGTACTTGCAGTCGTGTGGCTCGCCGCCCCGTGCCAGGGCTGGGTAGCACCACCACCTCGATTGTGCAAAACTGCAGCGCCACCTCGACGCGGCCGACGCAGGACACCAGAACTGCTCAGCAACGATAATGAAGACGACCTCCCCGAGGAGACCATCGGCGCCGCGTGGGAGGCGGGCCTAGAGAACGGCCGCGCGATCGGGAAGACCGTCGTCGCGCGCTTCGCGTCGCCGATCGTCGACGACCAGGGCCTGATCATCGCCGACGCGTTGGTGGCGGGGATCGTCGCACCGGGGCTGGAGATCATCACCTGCACTTTGACAGGTTTTCCGCTGCCGAGCTGGTCTGCTGTCTTCGGAGCTAGGAGACTGGTCGCCCCGACTTTACTAAGGGGCGCGACGCTGTCGACGTGCTGGTTCGGCGGCGCGTTGAGTGCGCGGCTCTACGCGCGCGACGCGTATGATTTTCCTCCCCCAAATGGCGCGGAGGACCGGTTCGCCGTCACATTTAAACGGACGCTGCAGGCGGGCGCCTTCGCGACGGCCCTACTTATTTTCAGCACGCAGCTGCGACTACTACTCACATTTGGCTTCTGGCCCCAACTCGGCGACTCGCCGGCATCCGACGCCGAAATCCTGCGCCAGTTCTCGGACTTGGTGCGGGACGGCCTCACCGAGGCACTTGTGTTGATGAGCTGGCGACTCACCAGGACCGAGCTAAGTAGGTTAGACTAGTCTCCTACTCCTCGGCGTCGTCGCCGAGCGGGGGCATCTCCTCCTCCTCCAGCTCTTCTACCGGAGGCGCCGCAGTCGTGTCAACTCTATTGATCACCTCGTCGACCTCCTTCCCGCCGTCCTTGATCTTCGCCTCCAGCGCTTCACTCAATTTATCCAACTCGTCGGCCTTCGCCAGGTCCTCGGGCGTGTTCCCGGGCTTCCTTAACACATAGCTCAAGTTTTTGTGCGCCGTTAATTTTTCGTCGTCGTCGGCCGCGCACCCGAAGGCTTTTTTGGCGTGGTCCAAGGCTCCACTTCGATCAGTTTCGGCCTTGATGGCGCACAACGCCGTGTGCGCGTCAAATAACGCTCTAGGCGAATGCGCGCGGTGGCGCCACCTGCTGATCCGCCGAGCACTATCATCCATCTTCGGCAGGCCTCTCTGTAGTAAAAATGAGTCAGGTAAATTGTGGTAGGCCGGCTGGGGGCCCAGGTCCTCGCACAATTGGATGTACCTCTCGAAGAAGGGTTGAGCCTTGTGACTCAGTTGGAGCTGCATGTGCGCGTGCGCCGTGCACTCCAACGCCGCAATGTCTCCGATCTTCATGGGCGGCTCCAGCAACTCGAGCTCCTTCGTATCTCTCTCCAATTCCTCGCGCAGGTGCCAGTACGACTGCATCGCGTCCGCGGTCCTTGCATAATGTTTTTCGACGCCACTCTTGGAATTCGCTTCCGGCGCCGACGCGATGAAGCTCACGAAGCCCTCGGCGAAGGTCAAGGCGAGCTCATTGATCGAATCCTTGGCGCTGCAGGCCTCGTGTCGAGCTTGCACCAAGTCTTGGATCATGCGGTCGTAGTCCGGTACGATCAGGTCCTTCTTGTCGTCCGACGACTCGAAGATGTACTTGAGCGCCGTGTCGACCTTCTCCTTCACGAGGTTGGCGCGTTCTATTTTGGGATCCGTGAGCGTTTTACTTCCAGCCTTGAGGAACCCCGACATCGAAGCTTTCAAAGCCGAAGAACTTTTTTTGGCGTCCTCCCGCGCTACTTTCCGCGCCCGTAGCAACTCCCGCTTCATCGCTCGCAAAGAGGCTTCGTTGCCCTGGCCCTTCTTTATTTGCGCCTCTTCGAGCGCACAAGCCTCCGAGACCGAATCCACGGCCCCTCTACTATCACCCAACCCCAACTGGGCCTGGCCCCGCCGATACAGACACTTGGCGAGGCCCGAGTCGTCGACGAAACGGCTTTTCTGGTGCTCGTCGATGGCCCTCTGCGCAAGTGCCTTCGCCTCGCCATAATCCTGCAGCTTGTAGGCGCAGAGCGACCGATTGCACAAACACAAGAGTTGGCACTTCTCCGCGGCTCGTTCACTTTCAAAGTCGGCCGAGACGGTGCCCATGCTTGCCACGCACGCTTCGACGACTTCTCCGTATTTGCTCATGGCCTCGTCCCACTTGTTCGCTTTCGCTAGGGCGGCGCCTTCGGCCTTGAGCTTCTCGATCTGGGCGATGCAGTCTAGAGCGGGGCTCGGTTCGATCTTGATGGGCGCGTCGCCGCTGATGTCGTAGCTCGCCATGGCTGCTGGCCAGGCGTGCCGAACACTAGGTGCGGCGGAGCGCTGGGTGCTAGGCAGCAGCGTGCGGATCAGCTAGTCACTAATGATTTGTGTTAGCTGTTTGCGCGGACAAGCAGATCGAAGTCGTGAGAGCTCTTCTAGTGTCTTACAGACGCTAGCTGAGCTTCGTGCGAATCGGAGCGACGCGCGGCGTGTGCCCACCAGGGGCTCCGCCCACTAGTCCTAGCACCGTAACAAGAGACGTTTTTGAGATTTTCCTTAGAAGTTCGCGAATGCCCGCCCCTGAGGTAGCGGCCAGACTGGATAAGAAAAGGGAGAAGAGTGAAGCGAAGACGCGCATCGGCTTTCGCGGGACGTCGGCGACTAGCCGGCCTTTGCGACGATGGCAGTGTGGCCGTGTTCCTCGTGAAAATCGACACGACGCCATCGACGCGGCTCCGGAGTGGTCACTTCTGATGCTCCTCGAGGAGCGAGACGATGGACGAGTGGCCTTTCTTCTGCGCGATGCCCAGCGGCGTCGTGCCCTTCTTCGTCGCCCGGTCGACCTCCGCGCCTTTGTCCAGCAGCAGTCTCGCCGCGTCAATGTGGCCCTTCTCACACGCGATATATAGCGGCGTCATACCGTCCCTTGCTTGATCAATCTCCGCGCCGTTATCTAGTAACAGCCGCGCCGCGTTGACGTGGCCTTTCCAGCAGGCGACGTACAGCGGCGTCGCGCCTTTCTTCGTCGCCCGATCGACCTCCGCGCCGTTCTCCAGCAACAGCCGCGCCACCTCGACGTGACCGTTAAAGCAGGCGGCAAATAGTGGTGTCTGACCGTCCTTTTGCGCTCGGTTGACATCCGCGCCTTTGTCCAGCAACAGCCGCGCCGCGTCGACGCTGTCCCGCGTACACGCGGCGTACAGAGGCGTCCAACCGTCCCCCCTCGCCCGATCGACCTCCGCGCCGTTCTCCAGCAACAGCCGCGCCACGTCGACGTGACCCTCCCCGCAGGCAACGTGCAGCGGCGTAGAGCCGTTCTTCGTCGCCCGGTCGACCTCTGCGCCATTGTCCAGCAGCAGCCGCGCAGCGTCGACGTGGCCCTTCAGGCAGGCGACGAACAGCGGCGTCGCGCCGCTCTGCACCGCCCGATCGACCTCCGCACCTTTGTCCAGCAGCAGCTGCACCGCGTCGACGTGGCCCTTCTGGCAGGCGATGAGCAGCGGTGTCTCACCGTCCTTCATCGCCCGGTCGACCTCCGCGCCGTTGTCCAGCAGCAGCCGCGCCGCGTCGATGTGGCCGGTCTCGCACGCGATGTATAGCGGCGTCGCACCGTCCTCCTTCGTCTGGTCGACCGCGGCGCCGTCGTCGATAAGTTGCGTCATCGCGTCGACGTCGCCGGTCTTGGCCGCGGCGTGCAGCCGGTAAATATGCTCCTTGAGGAGCGCGACGACCGACGAGTAGCCGTTTTCTTTCGCGATGATCAGCGGCGTCTTGCCTTTAAAAGGTCCCTCTGACAGCGCCCCATCGACGTCCGCGCCTTCCTCCAGCAGCAGCCGCGCCGCGTCGACGTGGCCCTCCCGGCAGGCGAGGTACAGCGGCGTATAGCCGTACTCGTCCGCCCGGTCGATCGCAGCGCCACCGTCCAGGAGCCGCGCCATCGCGTCGACGTCGGGTTCTCTGCAGAGAATGCACTCCTGCAGCGGGTAAAGATGATCCCTGAGAAGCGCGACGATGGACGCGTGGCGGTTTTGCTTCGCGCCAAGCAGCGGCGTCACACCGTTAACATTCGCCCGGTCGAACTCCGCGCCCTTGTCCAGCAACAGCAGCGCCGCGTCGACGTGGCCCCTCCAGCAGGCTACAAACGGCGGCGTCTGGCCCCACTTATCCGCCCGATTGACCTCCGCGCTGTTGTCCAGCAGCAGCCGCGCCGCATCGACATAGCCTTTCCAGCAGGCGATGTACAGCGGCGTCTCACCGTCCTCATTCGCCCGATCGACCTCCGCGCCTTTTTCCAGCAACAGCCGCGCCACCTCGACGTGACCGCTAAAGCAGGCGGCAAATAGTGGTGTCTGACCGTCCTTTTGCGCTCGGTTGACATCCGCGCCTTTGTCCAGCAACAGCCGCGCCGCTTCGACGCTGTCCCGCGTACACGCGGCGTACAGAGGCGTCCAACCGTCCCCCCTCGCCCGATCGACCTCCGCGCCGTTCTCCAGCAACAGCCGCGCCACGTGAACGTGGTCTTTGTTGCATGCGATCATCAGGGGCGTATCTCCGCCCTTCCTTGCCCTATTGATATCTGCACCGCGCTCCAGCAACAGCTGCGCCGCATCGACATGGCCGTTTTGGCAGGCGATGTACAGCGGCGTCTCACCTTCCTTGCTTGCCCGATCGACCTCCGCGCCGAGCACCAGCAAGAGCCGCGCTGCGTCGGTGTGGCCGTTCCGACACGCGGTGTACAGAGGCGTCTCGCCATTGTTGTTCGCCCGATGGATCCTGGCACCGCGCTCCCACAACAGTTGCGCCAGGTTGGCGTGGCCGTTCTCGCACGCGCCAAGCAGCGGCGTCGCGCCGTCCTCCCTCGCCCGGTCAATCTCGGCGCCGAGCACCAGCAACAGCCGGGCCACGTCGGCGTGGCCGTTCGAGAAGGCAATGTACAGCGGCGTCTCACCGTACTTGTTCGCCCGGTCAACCTCTGCGCCTTTATCTAACAACAGCCGCGCCACGTCGACGTGGCCGTCCTCGCACGCTACGAATAAGGGCGTCCCGCCGTCCCCTCTATCTTGGTCGACTGAGGCGCCGTCGTCCAGAAGCTGGGTGATCGCATCGAGATCACCAGCCTTCGTCGCAGTGTGCAGAGGGAATTTCAAGGAAATGTGTTCTCTGAGCAGCGCGACGATGGACGAGTGGCCATTCTTCTGCGCGATATCCAGTGGCGTCTGACATTTCTTCGTCACAGGATATATATTCGCGCCATTATCCAGCATCAGCCGCGCCGTGTCGACGTGGCCCTTCCAGCAGGCGACGAACAGCGGCGTCTTACCGTCGTCCGCCACCAGGTCAATATCCGCCCCGCTATCCAAGCAGAGTCGCGCCGCGTCGATGTGGCCGTTGAAGCAGGCCATGTAGAGCGCCTGATCAACCTTGGCACCTTTTTCCAGCAGCAGCCACGCCTCGAGCAGCGCGACGACTGCTTTATGTCCCTCGCGTTTCGCAATGTCCAGTGGCGTCCTGCCTCGCTTATCTCCCCGATCGACCTCCGCGCCTTTGTCCAGCAGCAACCGCGCCGCGTCGACATAGCCTTTGTAGCAGGCGATGTAGAGCGGTGTCACTCCCGAGTCCGAGTCCGAGTCCGAGTCCGAGTCCGAGTCGTCGCTCTCCTTTGGTCTGGCACCGTCCCCCGCCGCCAAATTAACGTCCGCGCCTTTCTCCAGCAACAGCCGCGCCACCTCGAAGTGGCCGTTCTTGCAGGCAACGATAAGTGGAGTCACTCCCTCGTCGTCGTCGTCCTCCTCCTCCTCCTCGTCCTCCTCCTCCATGTGCGTGCTCTCCTTTTGCGCGTTGATATCCGCGCCGTGCTGCACTAACAGCCGCGCAGCGTCGATGTGGCCGTTCTCGCAGGCTAAGTGGAGCAATGTGGTGCCAGCAGTGTCCGCGAAGTTCACATTGGCGCCATGAACAACACATAAACGCATTGCGTCGAGATTCCGTTGCCGGCAAGCAAACAGAAGTGGCGGTGCTCCGCCAACGCACATGTTGACTGCAGCGGAGTCAGCGCCTCGCTCCACCAATAGCGTCGCCACATCGACGTGTCCAAGGGCACAAGCAATCCCAAACGGCGACCAATCACCCTCACGCCTCTTATCAACCGCGGCACCCGCATCGAGCAGCAAGCGCGCGGCGTCGACGTGCCCTTTCAAACTCGCGACGAACAGCGGCGTATCGCCGTCATCATCTTCGTGATCGACGCCAGTGCCCTGCTGAAGAAGATCGACTATTGCGTCGGCGTCACCCTTGTAGCACGCAAGCGTCAGTGGCGTCGTGCCGCTCTCTATGCGCAATTCTCCCCATCGCTTCCCGAAAGCCACAAAGAGCCCGCTCATGTCGCTCCTGGCGGCCAAAGCCCGAACATTATCATCAAAAGGAATGACTCGCAGCGCCGCACCGCCCTTGCTCGCGTCCCACAACCGCAAGGTCTTGTCCCATGACCCACTCGCGAGCCGCGGCTCGCCCGTTGCCGGGTCCACGAAGGCCGTTAATGCGTTAATTCCATTCGTGTGTCCCTCGAGCACGAACAGCGCCGCGCCGCCAGCGACCGGATCAAAAATACTTACCTTTTCGTCTGTTATCACAGCGAGCCGCGGCGCTCCTGTCGCCGGATCTGCGAACCGGACTTCCCCAGTCAAACGTTCACGCACAGCCTTTGGCAGCTCCCCGGAATCCTCGATTGCTGCACCGCCCGCTATCGGGTCGAAGACACGCACGTCATTGCCCACTTCCTCATCGTCCTCATCGTCCTCATCGTCCTCATCGTCCTCATCGTCCTCATCGTCCTCATCGTCCTCATCAAAGCATGCAAGCCGCGGCGCGCCCGTCGCCGGGTCCGTGAAGAACGCCAGCGCATGCACGTCCGAGCCAACGTCAATCACGACCAGCGGTTCACCACCAGCGACCGCGTCAAAGACGCGCACCTCTCCAATAGGCTCCGAGTCTGAGTCTGAGTCTGAGTCTTCAATATTCACTCCACAAGCAAGCCGCGGCGCGCCCGTCGCCGGGTCCGCAAAGGCCACCAATGCTTTCACCTCGGAGCCGACGTCGATCACGAGCAGCACATCGCCGGTCTCCGCGTCCCACACGCGAATGGTCCCGTCGCTCCGGTAGTACTCATCGTCGCCAGCCGTGGTCGCGACCCGCAGCGCACCCGTCGCCGGATCCACATAGGTCACCAGGGTCAAAACGATCTTAGAGTGTCCCTCGGGCTCCGCCTCGATCGCCGCGCTGCTCGCCGCCGGGTTCCAGACTCGGACGTTGCCGGATACATTCCATCCGTCACACGATCCGCTCACGAGCCGCGGCTCGCCCGTCGCCGGGTCCGTGAAGGCTGTCAAAGCCTCCACTCCGGATGTGTGTCCCTCGAGCATGACCAGCGCCTCGCCGCCCGCGGCCGGGTCGAAGACACGCACCTTTCCGTCGTCTGACCCGCTCGCAAGCCTCAGCGCGCCCGTCGCCAGGTCTTTAAATACGATCAATGCATTCACCTGACAGCCCGCATCGAGCATGAGCAGCGCGTCGCCGCCAGAAACCGCATCGAAGACGCGCACCTCGCACACGTCATCACCGTCCATTACGCCGCCGCACGCGAGCCTCGGCGCGCCCGTCGCTGGATCCCTGAAGACCGCCAGCGCCCATGTCTCCACTTCAGAGCCAATATCTAGCACGAGCAGGGCCTCGCCGCCCGCGACCGGGTCCAAGACAAGCACCTTCTCTCCCGACGCGCAAGCGAGCCGTGGCGCGCCGGTCGCCGGGTCCTCGAAGACTTCCATCGCGCGAGTGTACCTGTCTGTTAGAACGAGCAGCGCATCGCCACCCGAGATTGGGTTGAAGATATAAATCTTCCCCCTAGCGGTGCCGCAAGCGAGCCGCGGCGCGCCCGTCTCCGGATCTGCGAAGACCGCCAGCGCATACACCCAAGAGCCCACGTCGAGCACGAGCAGCGCCTCGCCGCCCGCGAGCGGGTCGAAAATACGCACGTCGTAGTATATATTTCCGCTGCCGCTGTATGAGCATCCACAAGCCAAACGCGGCTCACCCGTCGCCGGGTCGTTGAAGACCGCCATGGACTCGCGGTTCACCACCAAAGAAGAGCCCACATCAATCACGACCAACGCCGCGCCACCCGCGACCGGATCATAGATTTTCACCTCGTTTCCAGACGCGCAAGCAACCCGCGGCTCTCCCGTCGCCGGATCCACGAACGTCGCCAAGCATTCAGCCGAAGCCTCGATCCGACACCGCTCCGCCCCACCCGCCACCGTCAAGCCCATCGGCCTCACGGCCGAGAGCGGCAGCTTGCTCGCGACTCGCCGCAAATCCTCGGCCAGGCGACCCGCGGCCGACTCGGCATCCGCCCGAGGTACCAGCCGCTGCCACAGCTGCTCTATGAGAGGCACTCCCCGTGATAGCAAGTTCCGCGACAACACCAATCCATCGGACAGCAGCAGTGTATCCTGGCCCTTCAGAGCACGCAAGTCCGCCACGAAGGAAACAATGTCGCAGTCGCTCCGCTTCCGCACGTACGACAGGCTGCATGCGACCGCGACGGCCTCGCCCTCAGAACAAGACCGTTTCATGTGAAACAAACACCAGCGCAACGCATATGCATCCGCCGCCACGCCGCTCTCGCCATCGACGAATGAAACGAGCGTTGCATCAGCAGCCGCGTCGCTCGAGTGCGACTCCGTATCCAGAACCCCAGCACGAACCGCCCGAGCACACGCCCGCGCCAGTCGCCGGTGCGCCGCGTCCCGCGCGACGAAGAACGCGTCCTCAGAACAGCGCTTATCGAAGGGCGCCTCGCCCGTCAGCCAGTCCGTCACGGTCTTATGTAACACACCAATCACCTCGCCCTCGCGGAGCGGGAACAGCAGCGATACCTCAGCACAGAGACGCTCGCATCGAGCCCGATCCCAGCCGAGTGCCCCACTCGCAGCGTCAATTGTCAACGGCTCTGCAGCAGCGCAGATTAATTCTATGAGCGGCAGCGCGTCGCGCCAGGCATCATCACCGACAAACACGCGTCGAAAGTTCTCCGCGTAGATCTCGTCGAGGCCCGCCGGCAGCGCGCCGACGCTCGCAAAGTCGATCTTGCCCGTCGTGGACGCGAGCTGGTCCGCGATGAGGCGCGCGTAGAGCATGAGCCCGCCAGCTTTCCGCTCGAGCGAAGTGACAGCCGCGTCGAGCGCCGACGAGTTGAGGCGCTCGGCGATGAACGTCTCAAGCTCGGTCGCCTTGACGCTCGTTCCCTCGCACATCTTCGGCAACGCGAGCCGAATAACTTCGTATTGCTCGTGGGCGATATGTTTCGCGTCCGCGACACTCCTTAAATTCAGCTGAACCTCGGCGAGATGTTTTCGGCCGTCCTCGAGGCGCACGCTGACGTTCAAATTCATGTCGCGGTAGCCTAGCGGCGTCGGGCTGGCAAACTTGTTTTTCAATTGCGCGATCTCCAGCCCAAGGCCGCCGCCGTCCAATTCAGTCAGCACCTTCAGTAGGTCGGCTGCATTCTCGAACAGGACTGTCGCGCGGGCTAGATCCCGAAACTTCTCGGGATGTGGCACCCCATTCTTGTCGGTGTACTTGTCCGCGAGCTTCCTTTCTGCGGATCCACGCCCTTTCACGCCCGGATCCGAAACGTCGCCCGGCAGCGTCTTCAGCGCATCGACTAAAATTGTCTGCGCCAGCGATGCGTCGGCGTAGAGCTTGTCGAAGTCAGTCTCGTCTTGTATCAAGTCGAGACGTCGCTCTTCATACTTCTCGAGCTCGCGGATCCCGGCGACGCCGCGGACCGCCTCGTCGTACGCGCCCTTCGACCGGCGCAGCGGGTCCTCTAGATCCGTGAACGTGTCGAGATTCTTCAGGCCTGGGAACTTCGCCTCGACCTCGTGCCGTAGCGACTCCATCGTTACCTCGAGCTCGACGTGCTCCTTCGCGAGTACCGTCAGGTACGCCCTCACGTCCTGCCGGTTCCGCGCCTCGTCGACTCGCAGCTCTGACGGCGTAAAACACGAGAGCCTCGCTTTAATTTGAGCTTCGTCGCGGCTTGTCACGACAAGTTTGATCCACGGCGGCAGCGTCTTGAGCTCGTTCGCGAGCAGAGAGAGCACGGGCTGCAAAGCGTCGCGCGGTAGCTCATCGAGCGCGTCGACTATCAACACCAGAGCATCGTCCGCGTCGCGGGGTGCCTCGACGTTTTGCAGCGGCTCGGCGATCAGCGCCTGGAAGAGCTCGTCGACCTTGTCCGTCGCGTTGTCGCCGCCGCCGCCCTCGCGCAGGGCGTCTTCGAAGCCCTCGACCGTTGCGCAAAGCATGCCGGCTAAGGAGCGCAACAGCGCCGCTGGAGCGGACCGCGCCGGCTCGGTGTGCTTGCAGAAGTGCCACGCCGCGACGTTTTCTTTGTCGAGCAGTCGTGCCAGCAACTCGGCCGCGGCGACGCTCTTGCCCGTGCCGCCGCCGCCGACGAGCCAGAAGAGCTTCGCCGCTTCCGGATCCGTGCGCCAGCGCATGACCGCCTCGAAGACCCACTCGCGCGTGCCGGGCAGGTGCTGCCCGCGTTTCTCGGCTATTATGGCCGAAAAGTCCAGCGCTTCCGCCACGCCAGAGCGGTCGACGCCGTGGAGCTTCTCGTAGAGCTGCTCCGAAATGCCTGCCCTTTGGGCGCGCTCGACGGCCGCCGCCCGCGCCTTCGCGTGCGCGATCCAGCCCACCTTCGCGACGCCCTTCTTCCATAGCGCTTTCGCGGTGGCGGACTTCTTCTTCTTCCTCTCGTCCGGCGGCCCCGCGCCCTTGCTCGCCGGGCCGTCCGCGCCCCTGCTGGCCTCCGTCCAGCATCGCAGCGCCTCGTCCTTAGAGATCTTGGCTTCCGCGAACTTCTCCTCCCAGGCGGGCTGCCACTTGGCGCCCGCCAGCTCTTTTGCCTCGGCAAGTGAGACCTCCGCCGGGAGAGATGATACACCGCCGCCCATTGTGTGCCAACCTTCTTGGGCGTTCCCGGGGCTGCCTTGTTCGCGAGATTTAAGCTGCCTACTGGATTATCGCTACCAGAGCAACGCTCCTGAGCTCAGATCGCAGGCACTGCGCGCTAGCTCTTCTGGTGGTTTCAGCATTGACGGACCCGCACGACATGGTTCCGAGCGGCCGGCGGCGACGACTCACTCCCAAGAGTGCCGACAAAAGAACACTCCCTAAGTTTAATTACACCACACACTAGATCATCTCCACGTCCTCGTCCTCCTCGTCCTCGTCCTCCTCGTCGTCGTCCTCCACCATGGACGCCTCGCCGTCCGCGCCGACCTCGACCGTCTCGAAGAGGTCCGCGCCCGCCGCGTCCATCCGCTCCCGCCGCTCGCGCTCCCGCTCGGCGCGTTCTTTTTGCCGGATTTCTCTCTAGACGCCGGATCCGGACCTTTAGTGGCCTGGTTCTAGCGCATACATCCCCAAGGGGCTAGGTTAGCGTCCCCAAAACCCGAGTAACTAGCTACTACTCTATCCATCGGGCCGCCGCCACGGACTCGCCCTGGTTTAAATGACACTTAGCCAAACCAGGCTCACCTAAAAGGCACGAAGCTAGTAATCACAATCAGAGTCTTCTCCAGCTTCGTTGATTTGGGCCCCATTTGCCCGCAACAATTGCTCGACGTCGCCATGCCCATTCTTGCAAGCCACGCCGAGTGGTGTCGCGCCGTCGTTGCGCACGCGGTCGGCTTCGGCACCGTTGTCCAGCAACAGCCGCGCCACCTCGACGTGGCCGTTCGAGCAGGCGGTGAACAGCGGCGTCCATCCGTCCTCCTCCGCCCGATCGACATCCGCGCCTTTATCTAACAACAGCCGCGCCACGTCGACGTGACCCCCCCTGCATGCTCTCCATAGCTGCGTAAAGCCGTCCTCGTCCGCACGGTCGACCTCCGCTCCTTTGTCCAGCAACAACCGCGCCGCGCCGACGTGACCGTTTTTGCATGCGTCGTACAGAACCGTAGTACCCTCTTTGTCGGCCAAATTCACATCAGCGCCGTGCTCGAGACATAACTGCATTAGATCGAGCCCCCCCTTCCGGTAAGCAACAAGAAGCGGCGTCTCCCCATCCAAGCACAAATTGACAGCTGCACCTCGCTCCACCAACAGCGTCGCGACGTCGAGATGTCCACGAACGCACGCAATACCAAACGGCGACCAATCACCCTCACGCCTCTTATCGACCGTAGCACCCGCATCAAGCAGCAAGCGCGCGGCGTCGACATGCCCTTTCAAACTCGCGACGAACAGTGGCGTATAGCCGTCATCATCTTGCTGGTCGACGCCAGCGCCCTCCTGAAGAAGATCGCTTATTGCGGCGACATCACCCTGATAGCATGCTAGCGTGAGTGGCGTGGTGGTGGTCTTGACGCGCAACTCCCCCCACCGCTTCCCGGAAGCTACGAAGAGCCCGCTCGTGTCGCTCCTGACCGCCAAAGCTCGCACATAATCATCAAAAGCAACCACCCGCAGCGCCGCACCACCCTTGTTTGCGTCCCACACGCGCAAAGTCTTGTCCTTCGACCCGCTCACGAGCCGCGTCTCGCCCGTCGCCGGGTCCGCGAAGGTCGTCAGCGCTTCAATTCGGGATGTGTGTCCCTTGAGCACGAACAGCACCTCGCCGCCCGCGACCAAGTCCCAGACGCGCACGGAACCGTCCCTTTCGTCCGATCCGCTCGCGAGGCGAAGCGCGCCCGTCGCCGGGGCTTCGAAAACAGTCAACGCCCACACAATCGAGCCTACCTCGATCACGATTAGTGCCTCGCCGCCCGAGACCGGGTTGTAGATGCGCACCCAAGCCTTCCCATAATAGCTGGTTACACAAGCGATTCGAAATTCACCTGTCGCCGGGTCCGCGAAGACCAGCAGCGCGTACACGTTTGAGTCAACGTCAATCACGAGCAGCGCTTCACCACCAGCAACCGGGTCGATGACACGCACTTTCCTATCGTCACAACCACAAGCGAGCCGCGGCGCGCCCGTCGCCGGGTCCGCGAAGAATGCCAGCGCGTTCACCTCCTCGCCCACGTCGATCACGAGCAGCGCCTCGCCGCCAGCGACCGGGTCGATGACACGCACTTTCCTATCGTCACAACCACAAGCGAGCCGCGGCCCGCCCGTCGCCGGGTCCACGAAAAGCGCCAGCGCACTCACGTTCGAGCCAACGTCGAGCACGAGCAGTGCACCGCCAGTCTCCGCGTTCCACACGCGAATCGTCTCATCATTGGACCCGGTCGCGACCCGCAGCACACCCGTCGCCGGCTCCACAAAGGTCACCAGGGCGCCCACGTCGTCAGAGTGCCCCTCGGGCTCCGCCTCGATCGCCGCGCCGTTCGCCGCCGGGTTCCAGACTCGCGCGGTATTGTCTTCCGATCCGCTCACGAGCCGCGGTTCGCCCGTCGCGGGGTCCTCGAAGGCCGTTAAAGCGTATACTTGGTCTGTGTGCCCCACGAGGACGACCAGCGCCTCGCCTCCCGCGACCGGGTCGAAGACGCGCACCTTTCCGCTGTATGATCCGCTCGTGAGCCGCGGCGCACCCGTCGCCAGGTCTTTAAATACGACCAGTGCGTACACCGCTTCTTCTCTTAGGAACCCCAAGTCGAGCACGAGCAGCGCGTCCCCGCCAGAGACAGCATCGAAGATGCGCACCTTCCCATCGTCAGAGCCACACGCGAGCCTCAGCGCACTCGTCGCTGGTTCCTTGAAGACCGCCATCGCCCGGACGACCGCCATCGCCCGCCCATCAGAGCAAATATCTAGCACGAACAGCGCATTGCCGCCCGCGACCGGGTCGAAGACAAGCACCTTCTCTCCCGACGTCCACGCGCACGCGAGCCGCGGCGCGCCCGTCGCCGGGTCCGTGAAGACTGCCAATGCGCTCGCCGAGTCGTCCAAGTCGAGCACAACCAGCGCCTCGCCTCCCGCGACCAGATCGAAGACGCGCACCTTTCCGTCCGCATCACCACAAGCGAGCCGCTGTGCTCCTGTCTTGTCCGTGAATACCGTCAGCGCAAACACCTCCGAGCCAATGTCGATCACGACCAGCTCCTCGCCGCCGGCGACCGGGTCGAAGATGAGCACCTTCCCATCCCAAAATAATCCACAAGCCAAACGCGGCTCGCCCGTCGCCGCGTCTTTGAAGACCGCCAGTGCTTTCACCTCTGAGCCCACATCAATCACGACCAAGGCAGCGCCACCAGTGATCGGGTCGAAGACGCGCACGTCGCCACGCATGTGATCGCCCGTCCCACAAGCAACCCGCGGCTCGCCCGTCGCCGGATCCACGAACGTCGCCAAGCACTTCACTTCTCTCGGAGCCTCGATCCGACACCGCTCCGCCCCACCTGCCGCCGTCAGACCCATCGGACGCACGGCCGAGAGCGGAAGCTTGCTCGCAACTCGCTTCGCGTCGTCGGCCATGCGGCGCGCTGCAGGAGACGATTCCGCATCGGCGCGTGGCGTCAGACGTTGCCAGAACTGCTCGACAAGCACCGTGCCCTGCGAGAGCGCGTTCCGCGACAACACCAAAGTGTCGGACAGCAGCAGCGTGTCTTGACCCTTCAGAGCACGCAAGTCCGCCACAAAGGAAGCAATGTCGCCGTCACTCCGCTTCAGCACATACGACAGACTGCAGGCGACCGCGACGGCCTCGCCCTCGTTTCCCGATCGCTTCATATGAAACAAGCTCCAACGCAACGCATAAGCATCTGATGCCACGCCACCCTCGCCCTCGACAAACGATGCGAGCACCTCATCTGCGGCAGCGTCGCTCGAGTGCGACTTCGTATCCGGAACCCCAGTACGAATTGCCCTCGCACACGCCCGCGCCAGCCGCCGGTGCGCCGCGTCCCGCGCGACGAAGAACGCGTCCTTCGAAGAGCGCTTGTCGAACGGCTTCTCGCCGGTCAGCCAGTCCGTCACGGTCTTATGTAGCACACCGATCACCTCGCCCTCGCGCAGCGGGAACAGCAGCGACACGCTATCACAGACCTTCTTGCACCGCGCTCGATCCCAGCCCAGCGCACCACTCGCCGCGTCGACGGTGAGCGGCTCTGCCGCTGCACACACGAGCTCCACCAGCGGCAGCGCATCGCCCCACGTGCCATCATCACTGAACACGCGCCGAAAGTTCTCCGCGTAGATCTCGTCGAGGCCCGCCGGCAGCGCGCCGACGCTCGCAAAGTCGATCTTGCCCGTCGTGGACGCGAGCTGGTCCGCGATGAGGCGCGCGTAGAGCATGAGCCCGCCAGCTTTCCGCTCGAGCGAAGTGACAGCCGCGTCGAGCGCCGACGAGTTGAGGCGCTCGGCGATGAACGTCTCAAGCTCGGTCGCCTTGACGCTCGTTCCCTCGCACATCTTCGGCAACGCGAGCCGAATAACTTCGTATTGCTCGTGGGCGATATGTTTCGCGTCCGCGACACTCCTTAAATTCAGCTGAACCTCGGCGAGATGTTTTCGGCCGTCCTCGAGGCGCACGCTGACGTTCAAATTCATGTCGCGGTAGCCTAGCGGCGTCGGGCTGGCAAACTTGTTTTTCAATTGAGCGATCTCCAGCCCGAGGCCGCCGCCGTCCAATTCAGTCAGCACCTTCAGAAGGTCGGCGGCGTTCTCGAACAGGACTGTCGCGCGGGCTAGATCCCGAAACTTCTCGGGATGTGGCACCCCATTCTTGTCGGTGTACTTGTCCGCGAGCTTGCGCTCCGCGGATCCACGCCCTTTCACACCCGGATCCGAGATGTCGCCAGGGAGCGTCTTCAGTGCGTCGATCAAGATCGTCTGCGCCAGAGCTGCGTCAGCGTACAGCTTCTCGAATTCAGTCTCGTCTTGTATCAAGTCAAGACGTCGCTCCTTATACTTCTCGAGCTCGTGGATCCCGGCGACGCCGCGGACCGCCTCGTCGTACGCGCCCTTCGACCGGCGCAGCGGGTCCTCGAGGTCGGCGAACGTGTCGAGATTCTTCAGGCCCGGAAACTTAACCTCGACTTCGTGCCGCAGCGACTCCATCGTTACCTCGAGCTCCACGTGCTCCTTCGCGAGCACCGTCAGGTACGCGCGAACGTCCTGCCGGTTCCGCGCCTCGTCGACGCGCAGCTCCGACGGCGTGAAGCATGAGAGCCTGGCTTTAATTTGAGCTTCATCACGACTCGTCACGACGAGTTTAATCCATGGCGGCAATGTCTTGAGCTCGTTCGCAAGCAGCGATAACACTGGTTGCAGCGCGTCGCGCGGTAGCTCGTCGAGCGCATCAACAATCAATACGAGGGCGTCGTCCGCGCCGCGGGGCGCCCCGACGTTTTGCAGCGGCTCGGCGATCAGCGCCTGGAAGAGCTCGTCGACCTTGTCCGTCGCGTTGTCGCTGCCGCCGCCCTCGCGCAGGGCGTCTTCGAAGCCCTCGACCGTTGCGCAAAGCATGCCGGCTAAGGAGCGCAACAGCGCCGCTGGAGCGGACCGCGCCGGCTCGGTGTGCTTGCAAAAATGCCACGCCGCGACGTTTTCTTTGTCGAGCAGCCGTGCCAGCAACTCGGCCGCGGCGACGCTCTTGCCCGTGCCGCCGCCACCGACGAGCCAGAAGAGCTTCGCAGCTTCCGGATCCGTGCGCCAGCGCATGACCGCCTCGAAGACCCACTCGCGCGTGCCGGGCAGGTGCTGCCCGCGCTTCTCCGCAATGATGGCCGAAAAGTCTAGCGCCTCCGCCACACCGGAGCGGTCGACGCCGTGCAGCTTCTCGTAGAGCTGCTCCGAAATGCCTGCCCTTTGGGCGCGCTCGATCGCCGCCGCCCGCGCCTTCGCGTGCGCGATCCAGCCCACCTTCGCGACGCCTTTCTGCCATAGCGCTTTCGCGGTGGCGGACTTCTTCTTCTTCCTCTCGTCCGGCGGCCCCGCGCCCTTGCTCGCCGGGCCGTCCGCGCCCCTGCTGGCCTCCGTCCAGCATCGCAGCGCCTCGTCCCTGGAGATCTTGGCTTCCGCGAACTTCTCCTCCCACGCGGGCTGCCACCTGGCGCCCGCCAGCTCTTTTGCCTCGGCAAGCGAGACCTCATCCGGGAGAGATGAGACACCGCCGCCCATTGTATGCCAACCTTCTTGCGCGTTCCCGGGGCTGCCTTGTTCGCGAAATTTAAGCTGCCTCCTGGATTAGCGCTACCAGAGCAACGCTCCTGAGCTCAGATTGTACTCGAGATCGCAGTGCTCGGGCGCTGTGGATCGACGGACCCCCCCCTCCAAGCTCTTACCCTAGGCCCCCCTAGCCCCCCCTTCAAAGCACGCCAGGAATCGCGCGCAGGAGGTCCGGGCCCGGCAGCGCACCGGAACTCATACAATGGACCCGCACGAGAGCGGACGCGGCGGCGACTCACTCCCAAGATTGGGCCAAGAATGCCGGCGAGAGACACTTCCTAAGTTTAATTACACCACACAACTAGATCATCTCCACGTCCTCGTCCTCCTCGTCGTCGTCCTCGTCGTCGTCGTCCTCCTCCTCCACCGCGGTCGCCTCGCCGTCCGCGCCGACCTCGACCGTCTCGAAGAGGTCCGCGCCCGCCGCGTCCATCTGCTCCCGCCGCTCGCGCTCGCGCTCGGCGCGTTCTTTTTGGCGGTCGCGCTCCTCGACGGCGCCGCGGCGCTTCGGTTTCGGCGCGGGCCGGCGCGCCGGCCGCGGCCGCGGCGTCGGTCGTTTTGAGGAGGTCGCCTTGAACTTGACGCGCTTCGCGAGGCCCGTGAGGCCGAGCTGGAGGAAGGCGCGGTCGTCCGCCGCTGTCGAGAGGAACGGGCCGAGCCACGCGTCCAAGGCAGCACTGTCAAACCCGTCACCGCGGAACGCCTTGGCGCCGTGCGTGTAGGTCGTGTCGCCGAGCCGCACCAACGGATGCGCCGCCGCGTACGACGCGTCCGAGCCGAAGAGTTCGCGCTCCGCGAGGCCCCGCGCCACGGCCGCGTAGGACAGGTACGCGTCGCCCCGCCGGAAGACCAACCCCGCCGCGTCCTGACGGGACCGCCAATCGCGCGGCCCAATAAGCTTGCTCTCAAAATTGAGATGAGCAGACTCCGCGTCCCGCCCCGCGATCGCGGACGCGCCGCAGGCCGACGCCTGGAGCTCGTTCGAAACCCCTTTCGCCTTCGGGACCTTGGCGCTGATGGCCTGGAGGGCGGCCTGCTCGTTCGCGTTGAGGCGCCGCGCGTAGAGCGCGGTCGCCGGGTTTGCCGGCAGCGCCTTTTGCAGCGATAAGTGGCCGTGCTTCCCGTCCACCAGCACGACGCGCAGCAAGCGTCTTTTAGCGGCAACAGCAGCTGCCGCCCGCGTGAAGGCCTTGACGTCGCTCGTCGTTGAATTGAAGCTTACCACGAGGCAGTGGCGCTTGTTGGCGCACTGCCTGTTGAACGCTGCATCGTCGTTCACGACGATCGGCTTCGGCGCGAGGCCCGCCTGGACGAGCGTTTTGGAGAGGACGCGCGCGTCGGGCGTCGCGCTCTGCTCTTTGACGCGCGCGTACTCGTCCATGTTCAGGGGTCTTGCTTCGCCGTTGACGCATAAAATCAGTAAGGGATGGCCCTTCTGCTTCGGCGGCTCGATGCCCAGTCGTTGGAGCGGCGTCTTCCCGGAGGGCAGTTTCTTCCCGCACTGGAGCGAGGCCCCGCGACAGCTACTCGCTGCCTTCGCGTCGTCGAGGGCCTTCTCGAGCAGATTCGCGCCGGTCTTCTTATCATGCACATCAGTGCACGCGATGGTCCAGCAGTCGCCGCCAAAAAACGCCTCCTTCAGTAAGTCGGCGTCCGTGGTCTTGAGGGACGTGAGCGAGGCAGCTTGGGCCGCGGCGACGAGCGCGGCGAGGAGGGCTTTGCGGAGCATGGGGTGGGGTAATTGCTGCACCGCGCAGCGGCGCACTGCTTATGACTCGTTGCAGCGTATGCCGTCAGCGTAGAACCTCTGCACCAGTGCGTGCCGTCCCGTTGCCGGGCACAAGACATGCTGTAAAACCTAGTGTGTGAGTACACTAGCAGACAGACGTCTCGGTGTTAAAAGACGCGGCACGCGCCCGCCGCCGATGAATCGGCGACGCGCGGTGTCTCCCCAACTAGTCCCACTAGTCCTACAAGTACCCTCGCGCGGGTCATCGGTCGGACGTTAACTAAGGTTAAGGAAGGGCAAAGGCACCGGCGGACGGCGGGCGCGGGTCTGGGACGTGTGCGCGCGCTCGCGCAGCGCACAGAGTGAGCATGGGTCAGGATGATGAACTGGGCGGCGCGACGTCCGAGGCAGCTGGGACGGCGGCGCGGCGGCCGAGGCCGACGAGGAGGCCGTCGAGAGGGGGATGCATGTGGTTACGTGCGAGAGAGGAGAGCGAACCCGTTGATCAGGACGCCCCACCCCAGCCCGAAGACGCCAGTGGTAAACATCGTCGCCAGCGCGAAGTATTTATTCCACTTCGTGCCCTCGAACCCATTTCCCGCATGCCCTTTCAAGAGATCTTCGCTGCCATAGTAACTATAGTAGATGGGATAGCCGACCAAGCCGAGCTGGACGCAGAGCCGCTGGCCGAGGGTCATACCAAAGGCTCGCATACCAAATTGGAGCACCGGCGCAAGCGCAGTCCCGCCGAGGAGTGGTGGCGCCATGAAGAAGTAGAAGCCCGCCATGGGGTTGCAGGACAAACCCTTGGGACCTCACAGCGTCGGCAGCAGCGTCGGCAGCAGCAGCGCCGGCCAGCAGCAGCGCGACGGGATGGCAATCGGCCGTGCCCGAGACGGCGCTCGAACCGGCGCGCAGCAAAAAACCGGCGTGGGGCTGCGGCCGAGATCGCTGCTTCTCAGCCAGGATCCTAGGAGGCGGCCGGGCGGGACTACCCCCGGTGGCATGACACTACCTACCACACCTCTTCAGGGGTCCCTGGAAAAATATGGGGTTAGAAAACTCCCAGCGACGTTGTTTGCGTACACAAGCGAGGTGGCATCCAGAAGGGGGGGGGGTAGCGGTTGTCTCTTTCGTGGCCTGGCCGCCCGGGTGGGGAGTCGGTCAGATAACGTCGTAGCACACCTCGGCGCCGAGGCTCGGGAGTTCGAGGTCGTCGAACCCGATCTCGTTGCCGCAGAGGTCCCAGCTCGGCAGGTCGATGTCGGGGAAGGCGAGCTCGGCGAACGCGCAGATCCCCAGCCCCGGCGACCCGCAGCCGCTCAGGTTGCACTCCGTCGAGATCTTGCCCTCGACGCCGGCGGCCATGAGAAAGAGGGCACCCGCCGTCACGCCTGCCTTGCCATAGAACCTGCGTGGAGATCGACCAGTCGGTTCTCGGCGGGAAAGTCGCGTCGATGGCACCGGGCGCCCGAAATTTTTACTTTCGCACGGCCGCGAACTCGACGTCGATGGAGCCGAAGCCCGTTTCGAGCGTGGGCGTACCGGCACTGAGCTCGCCAGGCCCGGAGGAACCGACCTGGGCGATGACGGGGATGCGCACCTCGACCTTGGCCAGGCCGTTCGGGCAGTAGTCCTCGGGGTCCTGCCCCGGCGGGGCGCCGCAGTACGGGTACTGCTCGCACTTGAGTGTGGTGTCGAACCAATCGTCGATGGAGATCTCCCAATCGTCCCAGAACCAGCTCCTGTGTAGAAATACGCCATCACGCGACTCCGGCTCGCAAAGCCACGGGCGGACGCGAGGACGAGCAAAGAACAAAGGACGCTGCAAAACACCCGCCGTCGTCCCAAAGCCCGATGACGTCGTCGCCCCAGAAGAACTCGGGCTTGTCCGCCTTCGTAGCGCCGGCCGCCGCCTTCTTCGCCCGCGCGGCGCCGAGCTTCGCGGCGAACTCCTTGTAGGCCCCGGGCCGCTCCGCCTCCGTGAGGGCCCGGCCCTTCTCTCGCTGAAAGAACGCGTCGGCGAGTTGTCCGAATTTGGCGGCGTCGTGGCCGTCCGCCGTGAGTCTCGCCATGGCGGCGTCGAGCGCCGCCCGGTCCCGCACCGCCTTCTGGCGGAGCGACTCCTCGAGATCAAAATTGATGATCTGTGCGCCGACGCCGACCTCCAATAATGCATATGTGCCGAATACGGGTTCTGCGTATACAACGCTTTCTTTGGCAAATTCTACTGGGTCCCCTGGGGCGCCCGACAGGCAGACCCCCGCCGTGATATCAAAACTAAAGTCTAGGTTCACGCCATCGGGCCCATAGCAGAAGCCTGCGTCGTGGTCGAAGTCGAGGCCGAACCACAAATACAGCTCGGGGTTTGCTAGGAGCTCCTGCGTGCAGACGAAGTCGCCGCGCAGCGTGAGGCACCCGGAGCTGATGTCCGGGCTCACAAGGTCCGGGTTGGCCGCCACGAGCTCGGGGTGGCTCACGCGCACGCCGCCGCCCGGGTCCTCCACCAGGGCCCGGAGCTCGCCGGCCGTGGGCGCGCGGCCGTGCACCTTCTCGAACGCCACGCGGATGGCGGCCTCGAGCCTGGTGCGCTGGCGCAGGTAATTGTTCTCGATCGGAGCGGCAGTCTCGTAGTCCTTGGGGACCAGCTCGCCCGTCCTCGTGTTGAACGCCGCGCGCTTGCCGGCCGGCGCGGCCGCGGCCGGCGCCGTCCGCGCCGAGACCGCGGCGCCCAGGAGCAGGGACGCGCCGAAGAGGGCGCCCAGGGCAAGCGTCCGGCGGGACCATGTAGTTTGCTTCCCGACGAGCGGCTGCTGCTCCGTCGGTGCCATGAGGGGCTGCTCGTCGTCCATATCCATTGCTAGCTGCTGCTCCCTTCGAGTGCCGGCGGCAGGCTATTGCGGTCGGATCTGCTCTCCTCTACAAGATACAGAAAGAGAGAAGCCCCCCGTTGACAAGCAAAAAGTTGCATCTTACCATTCGTCCGGCAGCGTTGAGGACCTTCTACACGGCAGTGCCTGGTTTGTTTGCAAAAAACGCCATCAACTTGAGCGCGACAAGTACGAACGAAAACATTACCACGCCGCGCCCCGGCTCCCGGCCCACAGGCCGCTAGCGATCGAGACGCCGTCGCACAGAGGACTACACACACAACTCATTTACCCGGCACGACGGAGCCACCGGGCGTCAGCGTCGCGGGCCCGAGCGGCGCGGCGCCGGGCGGCGGCCGCGCCCTAGGTGGCGACGCCGGCGCCCGAGCAGCCGGCGCCGGCGCGCGGGCCGCCGGCGCCGGCGCCCGGGCCGCGGGCGCCGGCGCGCGGGGCTTCGCCACGGCCTTCCTTTGTTTGGCGATGTAGGTCCGGACTTGCGCGGCGGTCCGCGTCTTGATCAATTCGGCGATTTTCTTGTGGGCCTTCTCGCCGAAGCGCTCCATGCCCTGCGCACATAATGCTTTCTCGGCCTCGGACCAGCGCCGCCGGTGCGACTGGGACGTCGTCTCCTGGCGGCGCACCGACGGCGCCTCCGGGATGGCGACGCGAGGCGGAGCGGACGTCGCCTCCATCCGCCGCGAGAACTCCCGCAACCGGGCCGCCTCGTCGCGCGCGTTCCCCAAAGGAGCAGCAGCAGCAACTTCGGGGCCTTCGCGGTAGTCCCAATTCGGCGCCAAATGACCTTTGCCATCGGGAGGTAACCCGCGGCAGATGTTCCCTCCGATTCGCAATCTTTTACATTGCGCGCAGGGGATCTGCTCGACGAGATTCTCGAGCTCCTTCTCATCCGTAATTTGACTGACGCGCTGCTGGACCGTGGCATCCTGCCGATTGACCACACCGCCCAGCGTCGCGTCACCACTGTCCAAAACTTCATTGGACAGGTCGCAGAACGTCGCCAATTTCAAGACGTTTTGTTGGAAGAGCTCCTGGTACGCGACGGCGTCCGCGAGTCGCCCTAAAGCTTGGTTCTCGGCGACGGCTTTCAGCAGTTCTTCGTTGCGCGCGACGAGCTCGTCGACCCATATCGGCGGCTCTTGCTGGTCGGCCATATTTTGCTGGTGGCGCTCGCGCGCGCGCAGCGGTCGCCTGGCTGTCAGTGGGTGTCCTCGCGCGGCGTCGCGGCTTCGGGTGCGGCCGGCCGGCGCTGTCGAGATCCACTGGCGGAGGTTATTCGAACGATTGTGGGGCCTCGATTTAAACTACGGCATGAAAATGGCCGGGCGCCGGCGTGGCTAGTGTGTCTTACAGCACGCTAGCACCGTTTTTGGCTGGCTAGCTTTGGGGCCAGGCCGCACCGTGATCTGGACCGTTGTCGTCGTTTTGCACTGCAATTCTTGCGCGTGTCGCAGTCGAGTGACATTGGGCATCTATAACTATTCACGATCTACAGGCTGCCTCTCTTGCGCGTTTAGGGTTGCGATTGCAATCTATATTCACGATCAGTGGATCCCTTGGCTGGCGCACGACGTCTATGGCCGTGCCCACAAGTCGACGCGCGGCGCTCGCGCGGCTCATCGGCTGGGCCGCATTGCTCGTCGCGCATGCGAACGAGGACACCATACGACTCCGAAGCGGTCTGCGCATGCCCGCGAACGGCCTCGGCACGTGCTGTCGAAAAACGGCCCGCGGCCAGCCCATCATCGATGCGACGAAGGAGTACCTCCGAGTGGGCGGTCGCCTCATCGACACGGCGATGGCGTACCGCAACCACGAGGAGATCGGCGAGGCCCTGCGCGCGTCGGGCGTCAAGCGGGAGGACGTCTGGATCACGTCCAAGCTCGCAAGCGGCACCGTGAACAGCTACGCCAAGGGCCTCGCGGCCGTCGACAACATCCTGCAGGAGATCGGTACAACCTACCTGGACCTCGTCCTCATCCACAGCCCCAAAATGGGTAAAGAAAAGGCCATAGCGGTCTGGAAGGCGCTCATCGACGCGAGGAAGGCAGGTAAGGCGCAGTGACCTTGACGCCATCGACGCGTCGTCGTGACTGGTTGATGTGCGCACAGGCAAGGTGCGCGCCATCGGCGTCAGCAATTTCAACGCCGGCGAGATCAATGATCTCGTGGAGGCCACGGGCGAGCTGCCCGAGGTGAACCAAATTCAATACCACCCGTGGAGCTCGGCAGCGTGGCACGCCGCCGTCGCGGCCTGGGCGGGCCAGGGTGTTGTCGTCACTGCATACAACTCGCTCGGCGGCGCCCGCTTTTCCACCAACGACCTCGCCGGGAGCGCCGTCGCACGCATCGCGCGCGAGCGTGGTGTTTCAGTCAATTCCGTGCTATTGGCGTGGGCGCGTGCCAAGGGCTGCGCCGTGATCCCCGGTTCCTCGACGCCGGCGCACATCGCCGAGAACCTCCAGACACTCGAACAATTGACGCCGAGCGAAGTTTCCCGTATCGACGCGTCCGCCGCGCCGGACGGCTGGTGGAGCCCGCGCGGTCCGAACAAGTACGGCGACGACGAGGCGCGGACGCCGTGGCGCGACGCCGCCCCGGCGAAGAAGCGGCGGCGGCACCACCGCATGGAGCATTAATATTGTGATACTGTATTACGCCTGGTGCCGGTCGTCCGACCGCGGACCTCGAAAGGCGATCCGCGTGTCCGCGCGCGACTGCGCCGCCAGCCGCTTCGAGATTAATAAACCGCAGCCCGTGTTCCCCGCGTTCCTTGCGCGCGTCTTCGCATCTTGACCAAGGGCATCGGGCAAAGACGCGTCGGCGCCGTGGTCCAACAGAACCTTGACGCACGCTCCACTACCGCTCGCCGCCGCTAAATGTAACGGCCGGTCGCCCGCGTCATCACACAGATTGGGGTCCGCTCCCGCGAGCAACGCGGCTCGGCAGACGTTCGCCGCGCCATGCGCCGCGGCGATGTGCAGCACGCTCCGTCGCGGCGCGTCCGAGGCCCGCGCGTCCGGCGACCCGCACCGCCGCAGCCAGGCCTCGACGACGGTCGACCGGTTGGTCCGGCAGGCTTGTTGGACGTCGTTGGGAACGACCTCCGAAGGGCCGAAGAGGCCCCGCTGCTTGTGGCCCTTCCCACCGCCGGTGTGGAGGGGCAGGCCCCGCCTCTTTCTCCGGTAGCGCCTCCGACACCACGCCAAGAGGAAGACGAGTAGGGCGCACGCGATGCCTACCGCGCCGAGCGACAGCCCTTCGTCCAGCAACTTGTGCTGGAGGGACTTCAGGCGCTTGGGCTTGAGGTACTTGATGCGATCTCCAAGATTCCTCTTTGGTACGGGTTTATCGCCGGGCCTCGCGGGATTCACGCGTTGGCGCCGCTGCCGGAACGCCTCGGCGGCCTTCTTCGCCGCCGCGGCCTTGGCGAAGAGGCCATCCGCCTTGGGTGGTGGGGGCTTGGGCGGCTTCGGCGCGCTCTTCGGTCCCAAAGCTGGTGCTTTCGCGGGCTTGGCCATCGAGGGCGCCTTGGCCGGCTTGTCGTGCTCGAGCTTGACGGGCTCGTCCTTCACGGCTGGCGCGTCGTCGTCGTCGTCGTCCTTGACGGCCATGGCTTCTGCGCGTCGCGCGCGGCAGTGGCGTCAAAATGCCGGCACAGGCAGAAATGCTGCGGCGCTCTCGCGGCTGTGATCTAGCGATGCGCTGCAAGATAATCAAACAAAACACGCAGGGTACCACTGCAGCGCTCGTTCGCGCTGCCGCGGTTTAAGCTTGGCTTGCTAGTGTCTTACTCCGCTAGCTCACGCGCGCAACCGGCGCCCACTAGTACTAGCACCGTAACATCGACTACCGGCGCAAGTGAACGGTAGTTGGACAGCTCATGCCTTAGATGAACAGCCTCCCCCCCGGCTCGTCCGGCCGCGGCGACCGATCATAAACGTTCGCGCCGAAGTATTCTTCTGTGCGAGGAGGCCGCGGCACGGACGGCTCGGGGCGCCCCGTCGACAGCTCGGACGGCAGCGGCGGCGGCGGCGGCGGCACGACGTCGTCGTCGCCGAAGGCCGAGCCATCATCCGCGTCTTCCTCGTCGCCGAGATAGAGCACGGGCGTCGGCGCCGCCGGCGACCGCGCTTCCCTATCAGCGTCGCCCCAGGTCATGGGCACCGGGCTTCTATTGGGCCGAGGTGATCTAGGATCATCGACCTCTTCGACCCGACGTCTCGGAGTGGTATGATCTCGAGAGCGAGGTGGTAGCGGCGGCGGCGGCGCCTCCACATCATCATCTGACGACGGCGCCTCCTTCCGCTCCTCTTCAACCAAATCCTCCTCGTCGAACCTCAACCGTCGTTCCGCGACGCCCTCGTCGTGCTTCGCCTCTTCACTATCTTTCTGCGACGTCTGGCGCTTCCTGTATAGTACAGCAACCAAGATCAAGAGCAAACCGGCACAGACCGGTAAAATAATTCTGAGGTCCGTCAGCCACCAGAGCCGGTCCTTCTTCTTGTTCCTCGATGAGCCACCGCCACTACTCGTAATGGAGCAGTCCTCGAAGCAGTTTGCAGTCACGGTCCGATTCAGGAGCGTTTGGACACTGGCAAGGTCGACGCCCTCGTCACTCAGTGACGAGGCGGCCGAATCCAGAGCAGCATCTAGAGCTCCGGCCGGCGTGAACGCCGTTTCGAGCGCGTCGGCGAGCACCATTCGGAGCGCCGTGGCGTTGCCTCCGATGAGCGCGGACGCGACGTTTACGTCCGCCGGCGCGGTTGACGCGTCCAGCGCCGCGTCATAAGTGACTACAGAGGAATCGGACGCCGCCAGCCGTCTCCGTCGCGAGCCGCAGGCCACGTTCGTCACGGCATCATCACCAACACTCAAGGCATTGGCGATCGTCCGCGTCAAGACACTGAGCCACTGCGTCGAGCACTCGGCTGCCGAGAAGCCGGCAAGGCGCAACGAGCCAGAAACGGATAAAGAACCGCTCGACACGCTACAGGTACCCCAATCAACATAATAGGCGCACGTCGACGTCAGCCGTCGTGCCGCGACGGGCGCCGGAGTCGGCGCCCTTGACAATGCATCAAATGAAGGGCAGTTGAAGCCGTCCACACCACTCCCGGTCAAGGCCAGGTCGCGCACTTTTGCGAGAGACGCCGTGGCGCCGTCGCAGGCCGCATGCGTGCTCGTACTGGTACCAGTATTCCAACAATTCGTAGGAACGGTCAGCGGCAGACTTAGTTGGAAGACGCCTATGTCATCGTCCCCGCCGAAGAAGACCCCATCATTATAAGAAAAGGCACTGCCAAATTCGTGCTCCTCGTCGTCCAAGCCATAGCTCTCGGGATCGATCGTATGCGTACTATCAAGCACGGCGTAGGCTTCCGGGTACCCATCAGTCCCAAGACGAATCACGAGGACCTCGAAGCGCTGCCCGAGACCGATCAAATAGGTCCTATCCTCTTTACCGTCGTCTATTAACACAGTCGAAGCGATATCACCAATAACACCAGCGAAGAGCTTGACGCCGTTCGACGCCTCTTCGGCGATGACTAAACGTGAACTAGCGTCGGTGATGAAGGTTGGAGCGTCCGAGTGGATGTCTTGCACGAAATGTATGGATTGATCTCCATCGCCCAGTGATGAAGCGTAGTAATACGACGTACCCGTTACTGTACCAGCGTCCGGCTCATTGATCAATGATGTGGAAAAGCATTCACTTTCACCAGCATTCAGGGCGCAGAGTTTGTCCTGTGAAGCGCCAAACAACCAAGCTCCGTCGCTCAGCTCCAACACCCCGAGGGCGTCGATCGACGTACCGGGACCGAAGACGAAATCATAACCACCGGACGATAGAGCTAGGTTGTAGCCGTAGATCGCATTAGTGCCGTCGGACGAGTGCGACTGGAAGGCATTTCCGTTCTGGCAGTCAATTGAACTGATTGACGTAGAGGGTCCAGAGCACGACGACGTGCCTCGCGCGACGCAGCCTAGGGAAGGTGCCACGGTGGGGTTCGTGGGTTTTGAGGAAGGTACGGAGGAAGGAGTCAACGAAGGTCGAGTCGTGGGCGCCTCGGTCGGTGCTCGCGACTCAAAAACATCGCTCAGATGAGACATTTGGGGGCAGCTCAACCCGTCGTAGACATCGAAGGCGATGGCGTCGCCCACTCGTATCAAAGCTACTGATGATGAAGACGTAGAAAATGCGGGGACCTCGTAGACGCCATCACTTCCCGCGAAGACGATACGCGTCGCCTCCTCCTCCTCGTCGTAGATGGCCCAGCCCGCGTTGAAGGGGCCCGTCGCTCCTGTTGCTGTTACGGTGGCGTAGGATGTCGGTAAACCGTTGGACAGGGTCACCGCCACAATCTCCAGCGTCTCTGAAACACCAATCAGGTAGGCCGTGGACCCCTGGCCGTCCCCGACGATCGTCTCGCCGTGTAACGCTTCGTCCACCGCCACCCAGTCGCCGACACCGAACGGCAAGGAGAAGCCAGTATCAACAATAGTAGGTGTGTCCGTGTTTACATGTGACACGCGGTACAGTGTCGTGGCCGAGGAGTAGTAGTATGTTGAACCGAGGACGGTGCCCGCCGTCGGCTTCGTGCGCAACGAACCCGAGAAGCACTCGACGTGGTCCTCGTCGAATCTACAAAGACTCCGGTTGAGCGCCGCGACAGCGTAGTAGCCGTCGTCGCCTTCCAACAAACCAGCAGCATCATACCCGACAGCATTCGGAAGGTCCTCGGCGTGCTCCCATTCACCATCATGTCTCGCGATGCTCCAGTGCTCGTAGTCGCCGCTCGTCGTTTTTGCGAGCGCGGCGGGCCCATCATCAGAATTGCAGTCCCAGGGTGTTATATCGGTGTCCCAACAGATTTGAGAGAGGCATTCCGGATACGTCGGTGACATTGTAGGTGCCTCCGAGTCGAGTAACGTAAAGGGTCCAGGACAATTCAGCCCGAGACCGTCGTACGTGTCCGTATCCGCGAGGCGCGTGACGTCGACCGTAGCCGAGCACAAGGACGCTGATGCGTCGGCGTGCCAGCAGGCGTCCGGTATACTACCGAGAGTTGCCTCGAACAGACCACCTTCTTTTGCCGCAAATAAAGCTCTCCCGTCGAAGCCGTAAGCTCCCCCAAAGGTCACACTGTGTTCAGTGGAAGAGCCCCAGTCCACCGTGCTATCTAGTATTGAGTATGTGGCCGGGGCGTGCGTGTCGGGATGCAGTCTTATGAGTAGTACCTTGAAGCTCGACGACAGTCCCACGAGGTAAGCGGCGTCGTCGACCTCGATGGCGGCGATGGCATCGAGCGTCCCGTCCAGCAAAGCGGCGTTTATTGATAGACCGGCGCTCCCAAATATTGGTTCTTCATTGGCTAGTGAGGTAACTCTGTATATGGTATCTGTCGATAGGTAGTAGAAGGACGTCTCGTAGACCGTCGCTGCGGAAGGTTCTGCCATCAATTCGCCGGCGAAGCACACTACGTCGTCACCTAGCCGGCAGAGCTGCTTCTCGATCGCGCCTAGTACGTACGAATCACTACCGGCAGAGAACACGGCAGACGTGGCTACTTTGAGCGCCACGCCACCGTTGTCGTTCAAGACGGCAGCGAGCGTTGAGGAAGCGTCCCACGCTCCATCTGTCGAAAGTTTCGACAATTGAGGAGATGCGTATTCATTCAGCGACGGGTCCCAGGGCGCCTCCAGTACCAAAGGCGCTCCTCCCAAATCACCGCAGTCGATAGCACCCGTAGTCTTGTCGCTCCAGCAGAGGTCCGAGGAGCAGGGCGACTGCGTCGGTTTTGAGGAGGGCGCTGCGGTCGTCGGTTGTGACGAGGGCGCGGGCGTCGGTTCCACGGACGGTTGTGGTGTGGGCGCGGGCGTCTCGGTCGTCGGTCCGAGCGTCGGCTCTGGCGTCGGCGACGGCGTGGGCGCCGGCGTCGGTCTCGGCGACGGCATCGGGGTAGGCACCGCAGTCGGGACCAAGCACGTCAGCTGCGGACACGTCTCGGCCTCCAGTGTGATGCGGTAGTGCGCGTCCGGTAGACACACTTCGGTGCCGTTGCCCATCAAAGTGCCGTCGAGGCTTCGTACCTCTATGCCGGTGGCGCCCTGCGTTTCGAGGACGGCGCAGGACTCATCGGTGGCAGCGGCTGCTGCCCCTGCCAGCAGTACGAGCGCCGGGAGCCGCATGACGCTGCCCCGGTGCCGCTGCCGGGTCGACTCCCACCGACGACCGCGCTGCGCTGCGTCGCTCGCCCTCGGGCCGCCGACACGGGCGCCGGGCAGCCTGTGCCGGACGCCTGTGCCCAGCAACCGCTTCGAGTCGCAGGGCGCGCAAGCTCCTAGGGATTTGCGAGCGCGGCCGCGGAGGTGTCGTCTTGGAGTGGCTGCCGCATGTTTGTGAGGTGTACGGACCAGTCACGCAAAACCCGTGCCCTCAGCGCTTTTGTGAGAGCAAAGCGCTAAACGAGGCACCTGACGCGGCACTGACGCGTATCATCGTTTCAAATAGCGCCAGCGAACGCCTTGTTGGGCACCAGCAAAAAAAATCGTGTTCGACGGGCCAGGAGTCGCCACAAGCTGTAACAGCGCCAGAGACCCAGCGCCGACAGCGCGCGAGAGCAAGGCGCAGCGCTCCCAACAATGGCGCTCTCCGAGCGCTCCCTCCGCGACCTGCGCAAGATCGCCGACCTCGACGCCAAGACCGAGGCCGCACATGCCGCCCAAGAGGTAGCGGACCGCCGCGCCACGGCGTTGCAGGACGCGCTCGCGGAGCGGGCCGGCCGCATCGCGGCGTTGGAAAGAGCATGCCGTTTACCGGTGGGCGAGGACGACGACGGCGCGGCGGCGGCGCTCGAAGCTGCTGCGGAAGTTGCCGAGCGCGACGCGGTCGCCGCGGAACTAGCCGCGGCGGCGGACGCGCGGCGCGCGGCCGAGGACCGCGCCGCCGCGGCAACGTCGCGGTCGGAAAGCGCCGAGAGCCGCGTCGCGGGCGCGGCGCTCGAGGCCCGCCTCGCGAGCCTGCAGCGCGACGCGATGGCAACAGCGCAAAGCGAAGGCGGCGCGGCTATGAATGCGGCGACGGCGGCGGCCGACGCGGCCGCCGAAGCTGCCGCCGACGCGAGAGCCCTCGCCCTCGCCGAGACGACGAAGGCAAGTCTCGAGCGGCAAATTGTTGAGCTCCGCGACCGGCTCATAGAATTAGCAAGAGACCGGCGCTTCCAGATTTGTAGAGCGAACGCCGCCGACGCCGCCGCGCAGACGGCGAGAAGGCGCGCTTCCAGAGTCGTGGACGACGCGAATCGATGTGCTGCGGAAGTGCGCCGCTGCGTCGCGCGCGACGCCGAGCGCGCGGCGCTCTTGGAAAGGGTCGCGGAGCTCGAGGCCGAGGTGGCCTTGCGACGGCGGCCGCGGACGCCGTCGCCGGAGCCGTCTCCCGAAATTCCCGTGCCGACGCCGGCGCCAGAAAAGCCCGCCTCTGAACCCTGGACGTCGGACGCCGTCCTCGACGCGGCCTGGACTGCTGAGTTCAAGCGGGCCGAGCGCGTCGCATCCAAAGAAAAGGAGCGGGAGCGCGCCCGGCACTTGCGGGACTGGGCGCAATTGGCCGTGCGCCGCGACGAGCAACGGCGGTGGACCGACGTGCTGCGCGAGTCCACGGAGCGCATCGAACCGGCCGGCGTCCTGACCTACTCCCTCAAGGAGGTCTTCGAGCTGCCCGCCGATTAATCAATCACATAAATTACACCTGCCCCCGCGCTTGTAGTAAAGACGCGTCCTCCGAATAAAACCCGGGCTTCATGATCTTGACCGCGCCGTTCTTGCCCGCCTGGCACTCGACGATGTCCGCGCCGCCGCCCTGCCCGGCCACGCCGCCCACGAAGTCCCAGTCTCCCACGCCGCAAGCTTTTGGGGGAGCATGTTTCATGCCGCCGGGAAAGTTCTCCACGCCCTGTAGTATCACCACATCTCTGCACACGGTGGTATCGGCAAATGAACTTCCACCGCCGCCCCCGCCCGCGATGCCCGGCGAGGTCCCGCCACCTCCACCGCCAAACACGCCGCCGCCGCCGCCTCCCCCAAATTGGGCCCCCGCGCCGCCCTGCCACCGCGCACCCGGTCGCGACGGAAAGGCGCATAATGCAGCCTCTCCACTATCACCTGCGGCGCCACCCTCGCTCTGCGTCCCGGCTCGGCCGTTTCTCTTATCAATACGAGTGCCAGGCAACTCCCCGTCCAGTCCTGAGCCCGGTTGCCCATCGCGAGCACCGCCACCCCCACCGCCACCCGCGACAAACAAAACTTGCCGGCCGCCTTTGCCATTGCGACTGATCATGGTATAACCGCCCCCACCACCGCAGGCCCAGCACTCGTTGCCCCCGTGGCCGTCCCCACCTCCCGGTTGCCCACCTTTGGCCACGCCGCAGACCTCCTCCGTCTCGAATTTTGTCGGATCGTCCTCCCGCACCTGTGTGGAAAGTTCAAGTTGTGCTTCAACTCGGGGTCTCTCGCGGTCTGAACGCGGTCGAGGGTATCCCTCGGCGGTCGTGGCCGAGTTTGGTTGATTTCCACGCAGTAACGCACGATCTGCACGGTCCCTCCATATTGACCCTTCGCGCCGCCGGCCCCGACGACGATCTCCAGCGTTTCGCCCGGTATCACATTTAATAAAGCCTCGACAAACGCTCCACCACCTCCTCCCCCAGCTTGTTGCCCTTTCAAATGACCACTTGCACCGCCGCCGCCCCAGAGCTGCACCTTGAGCTGTCGGAGGCCCATCGCGACTTTATACTCATAAGCACCGGGCACGCAGTGCAAGGCGATGCCACCTCTTAACATATGCAATCTTCGATGGCGCGGTCGATCCATGGCGCGCACCGTCGCCGCGCAGCCCTTCACATGACATCTAACCATCCTCCTCGGACACATCTCCTGCTCGTGCTCCAGGCGGTCCTCCTCGCACTTGAGGATCTCGTGGGCCCCGCCGGCAAACAACTCGCCACACCCGAGCCGACAGCGAATGGGCGGGAACGGCCGCTTGATGCACAGGCACTGCATATGATGGTCTAGCTTGTCGGCGGCCACGAACTCGCCACATCTCCTTTCACAGGGAATGAGCCGCTTCGGGCACTCGTCCTGCTCGTGGATCTGCTGCCGGTTCCGCGGCTCCTCGAAGGCCATCTCCTCGTCGGGAATTTCGAGCCACTGCTCCTCGCGCATGCGGCAGCCGCAGCCCAATAAGCAGGGCATGATGCGCTTCGCGCAGCTTTCCTTCTCGTGGAAGGTCTTCTCGCGGCCAATCACGCACCACTGCCCACACCCCCACTCGCAGATCACGTAGCCCTGGTTCTGGCGCCGCGTCGCCTTGTAGAGGAGTCGCAGCAACTTTCGGCGGGCCTTCGTGCGCGGACTCGTGACGGCGTCCTCGCGCTTCGAGAGCCACGCTTCCCTAGCCGCTTCGTCCTTCCCTTTCGCCTCGATGGCGTCGCGGCGCTGCTGCTTCTCGAGCTCGACGCGCCGTTTCGCCTCCTGGATCGACGCCTCGAACTCCTCCTCCACAGTAACGATAGCACCTTCAGAAGTTGCCGGCCGCGACTTGTTCTCCTCCTCGATGGCCTTCTCGGCCTCCAAGAGCGAGATGCCCTCCTGCTGGGCCTGCGCGGAGCATCGCGGTCGCTCGACTCGGTGCGAATGGCCTCAAACTCGAGAAAGAAACGACCCACGACCTCGTGAGATGGACACGAGTCGTATTGAAGTGAAGGCATCGACGCGGGACGCCGAGATCGCACCTTGAACGCGACGGCGTCCATGCCCGCCGCGTCCGCCGACGCCACCAGGGTCAACCGGAGTATCTCGTCCTGCGCCGCCTTCTTCTCGTCGATCAACACCTGGGCCTCGGCCTGGGCCCTTTTTTCCCGACACGCGTCGACGTCGAACTTGCGCTTCCGTTCTCCGGAACGTTCCTCGAGTTCGTTCGCCCGCTCGATCTCTCGCTGGCGGTCCTTGAGCGCCTGGCGCACTTCCGCGCGCTCCTTGGCCTGGCGCGCGCGATACAGCTGGTGCTGCCAGGCCTTCTCCTCCTTGTCGAGCTCCATGGCCGCGGCGGACTTCGGCTTTCGCGACAGCGACTTGCGGGGGACCCACTTGGCGACGGGCGTCTTCATCCTGTGTTGATTGATACCGTCGCGAAACCTCGTCGATGGCGTCACTGTGGTCTCGTGAAGACGCCATCGACGCGTCGATGGCGTCACGGTGGCGTGACGTCGCGCTGACGCCATCGCCGCGACGCCGACGCGGAGACTCTCGTGTGATCGCGACGACGCCGTCGACGCGACGCGGTCTCATCAAGACGCCGTCGCCGCAAGTTCAAGTTGAGAAATTGAAGGAAATCACGCCGAGTCGGCGCCGTTGCTTCTCGTCCTCGGGCTCGACGTCGTACATCCTCTCGCCCGTGTCCTGGTCCTTGCGCACCCTAATAACTTTGGCGTGCTCCGGCTTGACGCGGCCCGGGAACCGGAACACGACTTCATCTTCGAGGTGGAAGGGCTCCAGGACCCGCTCAATTGATTGATGTGGTATACGTGGACGAGACCACTGCGAAAAGCCGGAATGCGCCAGGTAGTAGAACATCTCGCCGCAGACCTGCGCGGAACGACTCTCCGACGGCCACGTCGACGGCGTCGCGGCGACGCGAGGACTCCATCTTCAACTTCAACACTGAGTCACAGACGGGGTCCATGTACTCCTCCCAGACGCGTCGGTCGACGTCCGTGACCTCTCGGAGCAGCTTGCCTCGCCTCCGTAATAGGGCCCATCCTGTTCTCTGGCGCTCCTGCTCTTTTACGGGTTCAGGCATCGTAAAAGTGTAGGCCTTCGACCGCCACTCGCCAGGGGGGGGTATTTTTATGAACCAGAACTGTCGAAACAGTAGTTGGAGCTTGCGGACCGCGGTCTCCTGTTCTACTAAAATCGTGTCGCGCCAGAAGCGGCACTGCGTTTTTCTGTGTTCAAATTCTTCCCAGTCTCCTAAGTAGCGTAGTAGTCTACTATCGTCCTCTACTAGTCTAGACCAGTCCTCTCCCGTCAGCGGCGGCCAGACCATGTGATTCGTACTGGTCTCGTTGTAGTGCGGCCTGCGTGGAGTTGCGTTACGCGGACAGCGTCGATGGCGTCGAGCGGTGTGGACACCCCCCAGCACGCCGTCGCCGCGAAGGGCGTGAGTGGACGACCCCACATGCGTGTGTGTGTTCGTCACTCATGGTACGGGACGCTGATACGCTACCGGAAGTGCTCGTGGAAGGCCTTGACCTGCGTGGCGAGCATGCGGTGAGTTACGTTGTGTGAGCTTCCACGCCATCGCGCAGACGCGGCTACGGAAAGCACGTCGCGTCGACGGCGTGTTTGATGTCCACACGGGCCGCACGGGGTCCTCATTTACCTCTTCCACTTTCTGGTCGTGGGGCACGATCGCACCTTCCGCGACCTCACCATGCTGCGTCAGTAAGGGCTGCCCCTCGAGAGCCAACGTCTTGACGTCGCCCCCCGTGTCCAAACTTCGATCCGCGATGATGAGCTCCAAATCGGAAACGTCCTTCCCCTGGCCCAGCCGATGCCGTCGCTCCTCCTCCAACTCCGCTAGTCTTTTCTGCTCGGCCTCGTGGAGCTTCCTGCGTGGGACCGACGCCGTCGCGACACGACCGCATCGACGCCATCGCCGCGACCACGTCAAGACGCTGAGTCAGCACCGGCGCGCCTTGCGACCGCGGAACATGTTCCACAACACTTTCCGGTTCTCGTCCGGCGGCTCCCAGCACGTCTGCGCCGTGAGACAGTTCCAGTAGAAATATTTATGTTCCTGCACGATCAGCTCGTCGCGCGGCACCTTGAACCTTCTTTCACCATCGGAAAACATGACCGTGAATCTGTGAGAGCGATCTTTATGTACCCAGCGGTCCACGACCTTCGCCGGGACCTTGCAGCCCACCAGATCAATTCGATCCACTAACACGGTCTTGCCGACCTGCGCGGGAGTTCGCTCGTCACTCTCCAGTAGTAGCCGCGTCGATGGCGTCGCGACGACGCGAGGCGGCGCGGGACGACGTGTCACGGCGACGGCGTGGCGGGGACGCGCGCACGGGACGCCGGCGACGCGCCGTGACTTCCTTCGGCTGCTGCGGATCTACTAAAATCTGCCACCCGTCCACGGGATCCGTAAACTCGGCCCGCCGCGCGAGGCACCAGCCCTCTACTTGACTACCGAAGTAGCCCTTCTTCCTTTCCTTCTCCGGTCGTTCCGGCAGCAAAGCGAGCACGGCAGGCACGTCTTTGCCGAGGTTCACGCGTCTCCGGACCTCTTCCGCTTCATACCGAGCGAGTTTATTCAACGGAACGATGCCCTCCTCGCGCGCCTTCTGCTCGACCTCCTGCATCAGGACGCAGTCGCAACATTCAAAACACATGCAGGCCACTTTTGAAGTGCGCAGGTACTTGATGCCGCGGTGGCCGTCGTGGCATCTCTTGGCGCAGTGCACGCACAACATGAGTCGAACCTTCCTGCCCTCGCCCTGCAGCTCGGCGTTGCACTGCTCGCACGTGAACCAGGGCTGGCTCGTGACCTGTGTGGGAACGACACCGTCGCGACGCCGCCGCGACTCCCTCGCGAGACGCGTCGACGCTCTGATGATCATGAAGACGGCGTCACGGTGACGTGATATCGTGGAGACGCCATCTTCCCAAAGTTGAAGTTCGGAAACGTTCGGAAACGGACGCTGACTCAGCGACCTTGAAGTCGAAGGTGATGTTCGTGCAATTTTTGACCGCTTCGTTCTCCTCGACCGCGTCCACGGGTCTTATCCACCGCTTATCATTGGTCGACGGCTTCACGTAAAATTCCCTTCCATCCTGGAGCTGCCAGGTCTGCCACTCCTCGGCGGCTCCTAACAGTCCTGTTCTCGCTGACCTCGCTTGGAGCGCGTCCCACGTGAGTGCAGGCGGTAGTTGTGTCGTGACGCCGATGCCCCCGCCGTCGGCAATGAAATCCGAGACATAGAGTAAACACTCGTCGGCGTGGCGCATGTCGATCAGCGTCTGCCAGTCGCCGACCTCTCTCACGAGGTCCGTGCGTTTTCGCACGTAGGCAATAGCCTCCAAAACTTGCTCCTCGAAGACAAAGGGCGGCGGCGGCGCGAAGGAGTACCTGAGCGTGAGTTCCTGGACCCTAAAGGCGTCCTCCTGCGTGTACCTGCGTGGAACGGACACCGTCGAGAAACTGCAGCGGCTCTCTCGCGAGGCGCGTAGAGTCTCTGACGGCCGCGTCGACGGCGTCGCGGCGACTTGGCATCGCATCGACGCCATCGCCGCGACCACATCATCGCGTCGACGCCATACGGCTCAAGATGGCGCAAGGACGCCGCGCCGCGCGTGATCTCCTGGTCCTCCTCGTTGTCCAGTCGCTCCGCCTCGGCCTTTATGTCCCGCCACCGATAGAACCGATTTTTGGTATCGCTATCCTCGAACTCGTCGACGCCAGCCAGCGATCTCTTGACCAGCGACATGTCTTTTAACAAACCCCAGTGCTCGTGGGACAACTCCGTCCCGCGCCGACACGCGTCCTCGAGCGCTTCCCGCTGCCGCTCCGCCGACTTGGCCGCTTCGATCGCACGAACAGCGTTCGCGTAGTCGTCGAGGAGGTCGTCGCGCCTGCGCGGCGAACGCGTGGACTCTCACGCGGTCTCAATGAAGACGTCGAGGCGACGCGGTCTCACGAAGACGCCGCGTCACGCACGTGTCGTCAATTATATCTTCCCTGAATCTATGTCCGGTCGGCGAGTCCGGCCGGCCCCGCGGATCCAGCACCAAGTGCCGCGCGTCGCTGCCGTGGTCGTCGACCGCGTGGAGGTTCTGCACGTGCTCATCCACTAAAATCCGTATGACCTCGAAGTGGCTATCGGCCCGATTCGCGAAACAAGCTTCATGCAAGGCCGTCCTCCCGAGCTGATTCTTCGACTGCAAACCGGCATACTTGAAGGCGTACTTCAGCAGCTCCACGAGGTGCATCGGCAGCGTCACGCAGGGCACCCACGTCTCGACAGCTATACCGTCGCATTTTTCCGTCTTGAGATAACCCCCGTCCGGATCGGGGTCTAAGGATCGCAGGACGCCCTCCACGGCGCTTAGGACCGGTCGCGTGAGGAGTTTCTGCGTCTCGGGCGGTAAATGGTCGTCGTAGCATTGTAAAGCGCATTCGTACAACCAGTCCTTGCGGAAGTGGCGCCGCTCGTTGTCGTAGAGCTTCTGTTTTTGCATCGACGCGAAGCGGTCTGCGCGGGACATAACGTGATGGCACGCCGTCGACGCGCGTCGTCTCCATCTTCTGATGAAGTGGGTGGTCGCTTCGTTGAGTTTGAGCCGTTTCGAGGCGTTCCGCGGTCCCGAGGCTCTCGCGAGACGCGTACTACTCTCGGACGGCCGCCTCGACGGCGTCGCGGCGACGTGGCATCGAATTGAAGTAACAGACGCTGACTCGGCACCCGAGAACATGAGCGGCACCTCGCGGTCCATCCCTGGATGCAGTCGGCCCGACAGCACCTCCCGGATCTGGTGCTCTTCGATATTAGCTAATTGGTGCACGGTTCGAGCTTTATTAGCTTTAGCTGCGAGATGCAAGGGCGTGTTCCCGTCGTGGTCCACTGCATGTACATCGGCCTCGCCGCTATCGACCAAGGCGATGCACACGTCCGTGTGGCCCCGTTGCGCGGCCAAATGCAAAGGTCTCCTCCCGAGCCGGTCCTCGGCCTCGACGTCCGCGTGCCTTTCTAAGAGTAGATAGACGACGTTGAGACAACCGGACTCAGCAGCTAATTGTAGTGGAGTCCGCGCCACACCACTGTGCCGTTGCTCTACTGGTCTATTTTCATCTTCCCCCGCGCAGATGTAGAGCTCGGCCTCCCACCGTCTATCATTTCTACAGAGAAACTGGAAGTCGATGCTCTCTGGTCGTACTACATCAGAACATAAGGCAGACTCGTTCCTCCGCAATCGACGCTGGACGTGCGGTAGACTGTCGAGGGAGTGCTCGACCCAGGCCAGCGCCTCGAGGATGATACTACCATCATAGCCCTCGGCGAGTCGCAGGTCGACCCACTCCTCGACGTGCTCCGGCACGGTACCTGTGTGGAATCAACCAGTGAGTTAGTCTTCGCGTCGACGGCGTCTGAGAGCGTCGTCGAGGCCTCCACGCCATCGACGCGACGCGTTCCTCGCTTCTCGCCGAGTGAGAGCGGTCGCGTCTCGCTATCTCGGCACCGCGGCCATGTTTTCGGCCCAAACTTGGACACTATCTCCGAGAGATACACGCGACCGCGTGGAACGAGCAGCACCTCACTCCGACTCCGAGATACCACCAATTGAAGGGCGCTTGAAGTTTGATTTCCACACGGCGTCCCACTCAATTTCTTGCTCTGGTCGAAGTCCTTCCTGACACGATCGACGACGCCATCGTCGAATTGGACCCGAGACACGATCTCGGGGTAGACGGGCTCGGGCTTGACCTTCTCCTGCGGCGGGAAGGGCTCGCCGAAGGCGTAGGCCCAGGATCCTGTGCAGAACGACGCCGTCGTGAAGCTCCGCGGCTCCCTCGCGAGACGCGCAGACTCTCTCGCGGCCACGTCGACGGCGTCGAGGCGACGCGGCATCGCGTCGACGTCGTCGCGGCGACCACGACAAGTTCAAGTTCATTCACCACACTGAGTCAGCACGAATCAAAAGAAACTTTTCCATGAAGCCGGGATTTTTGGCTGGATGAAAACCTTTCGTGGTCAGTGTTTTGAGTAGATCTTCCAACAAAGCTCCCCGCTTCAGGTTCTTGCGGCACCAGTCGCTCCACGCGAAGGGGATGACGCCTTGTGGGAACTTAATTCCCGGCATGGTCGCGCGTAGCTTCGTGAGCGCCGCCTTCGCGGCGGCCTGCTTCGCTTCCCTCGTGGTTTTTCCTATACCTTGGAAACTGCGGTCCCCATAACTCTCCTTGGGCTGGCCTGCGGGGCGCATGATCATGACGCGTCGCGTTGACGCCATCGACGCTGCGTCGCGGACCTTTGACGATCTCGTACCAGTGCCCTGACAAAGTAACCTCCATCACTTCATACTTGTCGTACATGGCCGTCGCTTCCCTTGTTTCTACAAATCTATACTTTGATTTGAGGCCTCTTTTGAGAACCTCGATGTTCAGTACTGATACGGGTGTTGCCTTGATGTCCTCGGTAAGCTTGGCAAAGCCATGTAGGTTCCCAACATCGCCGCGCTTGACCTTCGCTAATAATGCACAAAATTCCCCGAATTCCAGCTCGCCGGAACCATCTTCATCGATCTCGAGCATCATTTCTTTGGCCTTGGCCAGCGAATGGTCCATCTCGAGGGCCCGCATCATTTCGCACAGCTCCTCCTCGTCGATGTAGCCGCTTTTATCTTTATCAAATTCCTTGAAGAGGTCGACGATCTCCTCGAACTCTAACGGGGTAAAATCGTTGACGTATTGATCCGGACACCTGCGTGGGTGAGTATCGAGCCGGCGTCGCGTCGATCAAGCTGGCGTCGCCTCGATGGCGTGGGGGCCATGCGACGCGCCGCGACATTTGATTCGTGCGCTGCCGCGGACGCGTGGCCGTCGATCTCGAGGCTGAGCTCCTTGCGCATGTTCTTGTCGACGGCGCCCATGCCTTTGCCCATGATTGCTGGCGATGGGGCCGCCTCCTACGGTTGCGTAGCGTGGCGCGCGGCCGCGCGAGCCGCTGGGGCTGCCCAGGCAAGGGCAGCCCCTGAGTAGCGCTCCGGAGTACCCCGGCCGGGCGCTGGCCGCTGTGATGCCTACGGGTCTCCCGCAGCACGCGCCGAAGAACTGCGGACGGGCGAAAGGCTGCCGGGCCGTGGCCAAAGCCGGGCGCTGCTTGCGAGTTTGATTGCTAGTGCCTTACAGGCCGCTAGCTGCACTCCAGCACAAAAGCGACTGCGATGGGCATCGAAGGCTTGCACGACGCGACCCGCCACTTGAGAACTCCCGTGCGCATCTGCGACAGCTACGCCAACAAGAGGCTCGGCGTCGATGTCTCCGGTTGGCTGCACTGGGCTAAGTATAAAGTGCTGAAAGGAACCGGGCGCGTGCCGACGGATGCCGACATTATCGAGGCCTGCTGCAGCCGCGTCAAATTGCTGCTCGAGCACCGGGCGACTCCGGTCCTCGTGTTCGATGGCGCGGCCGTCCCGGCGAAGGCCGAGACCGACGCGAGGCGGCGCGCGCAGCGCGAGGAAGCGCGGCAAGCCGCGGATGACCTGCGTGCCGCGGGAGACCTGGCCGCGATGAATAAGAAGCTCACCGAAGCGCTTCCGGTGACGCACGAGCTCGCGCTCCAGCTCCGCGAGGAGGTGCAGTCGCGCTGGGGCGCCAGCGTCGACTGCCTCGTCGCGCCCTACGAGGCCGACGCGCAGCTGGCGGCTCTCGCGCGGAGCGGCGAGGTCGACGCGGTCGTCACGCGGGACGGCGACTTCCTGGCGTACCTCCTGCCCCCCGCGGTCGTGCTGTTTGATTTGACGGCCGAGGGCGAGGTGGACGAGCAGAGAGTGGGAGACTTGCTCGACGCGACCCTAGGCGCGTCGCCACCGGTGGATCTAAGCAGTTGGAGTTACGACAAGTGGCAGCTCGCGTGCTGCATCGCCGGTTGCGACTACGTGGAAAGCGTGGACGGCGTCGGCCTCATGACGGCGCTGCGGCTCGTCGACGAGCACGACGGCGACGTGGCGGCCATCCTCCAAGCGATTGAAGATGATCCTGGATTGGGTGCCGTGCCCGCCGACTACGAGGAGAAGCTCCATCAGGCCTACCTCACGTTCCGATACCAGACGGTGTACGATCGCGGGACGCGCACGACGAGGCCGCTGAGGCCGCTGCCGGAGGCGGTCGTCGAACGGTATGGCGCCGCGCCGCCGTTTCTCGGTGCGCCGTTGGCGCCGGACGACGCGCCGGGCGTCGCTGAAGGGCGGCTCAACCCGAGCCCCCCACATTATCCGTTCGGCTACGTGCCGCCGCCGCCGCCGCCGGTCGTGCCGCCGCCTTCGCCACCAGCGCCGCCGCCGCCGCCGCGGTCGACGCCTCCACCGTCGCCGCCTCCGCCAGCCGCTCTCCCGTCTCCACCTCCGCCGGCGCCTGCACCGGCACCCGCGCCCGCAGCGCCGCCGCCGCCGCTCGCGCCGCCGCGCTTTCCCGCTCTCCCGCCAGCGGCGCCGCCCGCAGCGCCGCCCGCGCCCGCGGCGCCTGCTCCGGATGCCGTTGTGCAGCGGCCCGCGAAACGCCGGCGCCTCGAGTCGTTCATACCGACCAGCCCGCCGGCGCTGGCGTTGTCGAAATTGCTCGTCGGAGCGGCTGCTGTAGGCGTCGGCGCGTACTTCGCCAACAGCCTCCTGGGCTGAGCCTCCTCGGCCGGCGGCGTACGTGCGACTCGCTCTCTTCCGTTGGTGTGACTTACTGTAGTAACGTACTGTTAAGTTGAGTGATAGTGGGGAGCGGAGCGACGCGCGGTGGTGCATTGGCAATTTTTCCATCCTTAAGAGTCCCAGGACGCCGAAGCCGCGTCCGCGGACGCATTTCAATTTTCATCCGGTATACCCATAGATTACCTATCCGTTTGGGGAAACGGCTCCAGGCGTTGCGCGCAACGGCCGCGACGCGACGACGCTGCCCAAATGGAGGGACGCACTCATCGCTTCGATTACGTGCCGCAGCACGCGGCGCGCGGCCGCGGCAGCATCGCCCGCGCGCAAAATTCGTCGAGGAGCTGCTGTCTGAGCAGCAGCGTGCTTACGGCGCACAGCGCACGCGCGGCGCGTCGTCTTGACGACGAGCGCGCCGTTTTCACGCGCCCGCGCCGCCGCCGCATTTGGGCAGCGCGGGCGGACCCTTTCACTTCACACCGCGAAGCCGGCGCTGCAGCGGCTCGCGGCTTGTGTGCAAAGCATGCAAACTGCAGGCGGGTCCAAGAATGCGCGGACACACGCGAAGGCAGGCGATGCTTCGCGCGGCGAATCGACCGGGCAGCGCGCGCAGGCGTGCACAACCGCGGCCTACGCGGCAGCGTCCGATTACATGCTTTCCTGACTTCACATTCCAAAAGACCATTCCCAGGAGATGTAGACTAGTCGCCTCAGTACTCGAATACTCGGCGAACTTACGCGATCCATCTCCTTCTCGCTCTATCAACCGCTCGACGCGCCTCGAAGCCGCTCGGAGACTAATGTTCGTACAGGTCCTTGCCAAGGCGAAGCAGTCCTGCAACGCACGCTGGGCCCACGACTCGTACACGTGCTGGAGGTCCAATCACTTGTATTGGTACGAGTTCGCGGTCGCGACGCGCTGCAGTCGACTGCGCGGGAACAACAAATTGCGACGATTTATTGAAGTGCATACGGATAAAAGGCAGTATTTAATCACCCAAAGGACGGTTTAATTACCTAAATGAGGTGAGGGTTTGCCACCCTATATATATAAAAACGGGTTTCACAAAGCAATTGCGCATCGCTGACGCGTTGCTCATTGTATTGCGTAGACTCAGCCCTCGGGAAGCAAGCGTTGGACCCACTCTCGCATTACGGACCGCCGGAATTGCAATCACTGCTTGATTTGGCCCCTGCTGAAAGTTTCTCATAGAGGCTTAGAGAGCCCTCAAGAGCGTGAAGCGACGCGGCGTGCCTACACGAGTCGAGGACGAGGCCGTGTGCAACCGTAGGCGAGCGTCGTGAAGCGTTGACGCAAGAAACGTAAGGACCGTAGCGTACAGCTCCGGCGTCGGCGACGATGCGGATGGCTACTAACAAGAGCGGCTACACGGGCGTGTCGTGGGCCTCAAGGGATCAGGTGTGGATCGCCCAGCTCGTGGTAAACAAAAAACGTGTGTTAAACGAAACGTTCCACGACAAGGAGGCAGCCGCTCGCGCCGTCGACGACGCGCGGGTGCGCCACGGGAAGAGCCGGGTGAACTTCCCCGAAGAGGCGCGGAACGACGGCATTGAGGGCGAGGACGAGGCCGCCGCGGCTGCCTTCGCCGCGCGCCGGCCGTTCGAGAAGCACTGGGACCGGCTCTCGCCGGCGGAACAGCGGGCCTGCATTCGCATGCTCGAGGTGCCCGAGTTCGGCCGCCTCGTCCTGCGCTTCACCGGCTGCGCGTGCGAGCAGGGCTGGTGGGGCCAGTTCATTATCCCGCTGAAGAAGTACTGGAAGGCGAAGCTCGAGGGCCGCGTCGCGGACGCCGCCGCGGCCGAGGAGGTCCTGCGGGACCGCGCCGCGCTGCAGCTCGTCGCCTACTCGCGCGATAAGGCCGTCTTGGTCGTGCCGTCGAGCGGCCTGGTCGCGGCGCGGCGGCGCATGGACGCGACATCGCGGAAGGTCACCACCAACAAGGTTGCCGCCGTCCGAGTCCGAGCCTTCGCCGAGGCCCAGGAGTCGTTCGGCCCCCTCAGGGCGCGGGCGAACGTGAAGCTGAACGTCTTCGACGACGACCACCGCGCGTTTGAGAAGGCGTTGTACGGCGCCGAGGCCGCCGCCGGGCCCCAGGAGCACGTCGTCCTCTACAACACAGAGAACGGCCAGGTCATCGGCGTCGCGGGCGGCGGCGCCGCGGCGGCGGCGGCGGCAGCTCAGGCGGCGGCGGCGCTCGCGGCGATGTACGCGGCGGCGAACGCGGCCGCCGCGAACGCGGCGAACGCGGCGCTGGGAGCAGCGGCGGCGAACGCCGCGGCGGCGGCGGCTGCGGCGGCGGCCCAGGCGGCGATCGCCGCGGCGCAGGCGCAGGCGCTTGCTCCGGGCGCCGCGGCACAACCTGCAGCCGCGGCGGCGGCGGCGGCGGCGAACGCGGCAAACGCGGCGCTGCAGGCCGCGGCGGCGGGCCAGGCGCAAGCGGCGGCCGCCGCGGCGCAGGCCGCGGCGAACGCGCAGCAGGCGGCCGCGGCGGCCGTGGCGGCGGCGAACGCGGCGGCCGCGGCGCAGGCCGCGGCGCAGGCGCAGGTCGCCGCCGCGGCGCAGCAGCTCGCGCTCGTCGGCGTCGGCGGCCTCGTGCTGGGCGCCGCGGCCGTCGCTCTGGGGCGGGCGGCGCGGCAGCACCCGGCCTTCGGCGCCGCGCTCGTCGCGGCGCGGCCGGCGGCTCGGCGGGTCGTGGCCGCGGCCCGGGGCCACGCGGTGCGTGCCGCGCAGTTCGCGGCGCGGCGCGGCCTCGGCGTCGCGAGTGTGGCGCAAGGCGCGCTCGGCGGCGTCGCGTACGGCGCCGCTGCTCTCGGTCGCGGTGTCGCGGGCGTGCTGGGACAGGCGCGCGGCGCCGGGGCCCACGACGACGTGCGCATAGGTGTCGGCGCGACGAGGCTTCTGGACGCCGCCCGTCGCCGCGCCGCTCTCCGCGCGACGCAGCGCGTTGTTTTAGCCGGCGGTTCCGGCCCCGCTGTCGTCGGTGGCGCTGCGGCGGTCGGCAGCGCGGTTTACTTTTGTCGCCGCGCGGTGGCGTTGAGGGACGCTACGCAGCGGGCGGCGGCTCTTATCAGACACGCGGGCGGCGTGGTCGGGCGGGCGGAGGTGTGCATTACGGGTTGCTTGCTCGACGCGGCGTTAGATGTGGACGTCATGGCGGCGGGCGGGGACTCGTTGGTTGCGGTCAACGCGCGCGTGTTGGCGATCGGCGAGTGCGTGGCGCGGCTTCAGGACGAGGCGCTGCTTCGTGAAGACGTGGACGCGACGTACACACGAGCCGCTGAGTTTTGGGAGACGGCGGAGTTGCGTCACGCATTAGCTAGGGATTGGTACGACGCGTTCGGCGGTGGTGGTCACGTGGAGTTCACTAGCTCGGTTCGGAGGCTCTCGATAGTTGACGACAAGGGCCGCTGGCGGTCGTGGAAGACGCTTGTCCGGAAGGACTGCCTCGCTATCGACCCGACGTCGCCGGACTGCATGCGACAGATTACGGACCTCGTGGTGCGGCAAGCGTTGCGGCCGTACCAGCTCAACGTCGAAGGTCAGATGGAGAACGTGGCGTTCGGCGTCTGCGAGGGGGCGCCGGCTCTGCATCGCCCGTCGGGCCGGCAGTGCGACGTCATCTCGATGCCAGTATACCGAAGCTCTTTTGTTAACGTTAGGTTCGAAGGAGACGTGACGGAAACGAGCATCCGCAGGAGTACCCTCGAGGCGAACCAGCCCATCGTCAACTTGCGTTTTTTTGACGCTGCCAGCAAGGCGACGTTCAACAACGGCTGCTACGCCGAGGTCGTGTGCTCGCAGTTCGAGCTGCCGCCGGCGGAGCGGCACGTGCTCTTTGCTAATTGGACGCGGCATCAGTTCAAGTGCGATATTAACACGGCCTTCAACCAGTACGTGACGCAGAGGCTGCTCGACCTCACGGCCGAGCGCGCCCTCGCCGGGGGCATCGAGGGTCTGGACCTCGACGCGGAGCACGAGACGGACGAGTCGCCCCCGCGCCGGGTTACGCTCGAGGCGTCGATCCGCGGCTGGCTGGAGGTCGGAATGCACGACCGCAAGACGCACAAGTCGTACTACGAGTTAGGAGTAAATGAGGGTACAGCGCTCCGTGCGGCAACCTCGATGTCGCGCGACCACGCGTTGGAGCTCTCGACGGACGGCTTCCGCAAGGTCTTGGCCGAGTGGCGCGGCACGGTCGCCGAAGGCGTTGCGGAGCTCGTCGACGCGAACCTCACGATAGAGATGAACGAAGCGGTCCTCTCGCTCCTCGACTTGTACGAGCGCGGTGAGCTGCCCGCCCTCGACCCGCCCGGCGGCGAGCTCGAGGACAAGTACGTGAAGCGGCACCGCGAGCGCGCCGAGCGCGTCATCGCGCGGGAGCGCGGCGAGGATGCGGAGGAGCCCGAGGAGGAGCCCGAGGAAGAGCCCGTCCTCAACGCCAAGGCCAAGCCCGCGGCCAAGCCCGCGTCGAAGCCCAAGGCGAAGCCCAAGGCGAAGCCCGCCTCGAAGGGCAAGGCGAAGAAGCCCTCGGCGAATCCGGCGGGCAAGAAGCCCGCGGCCAAGCCCAAGGCCAAGCCCAAGGCCAAGCCCGCGGCCAAGCCAGCGTCGAAGCCGGGCGGGCGGCCGCGGCGGGCGGCTGCGAGCCAGTCCCGCCCGATCATCGACGAAGACGACGACGACGACGAGGCGCCGCCGCGCGAGGGCGACGGCGAGGACTTCCAGCCGGAGCCCGAGGAGGAGGAGGAAGAGGAGTAGTAGTCCGAGGAGGAGTAACCACAGTCCTTACACAACCAAAAACTAAAACGCCGGCAGCCTGGCAGCCAGAAATATACAGACAAGATTCTATTTACAAAACGGCCTCCCCGACCATGCCGGACGCCTTCACACGCTCGACGAAAGTAGAACCACCCCCAACAAAGGCGGCCAAACGCCCCGCGCGCGGCCGGAAGACGACCATCGCCCCGAAGACCGAGGGCGGCGTCGACGCGTTCCAGTCTAGTAAAGGCAGGTGTAGTTGTTGCACGCCGTCCAGCTCGAGGGGCTCCGCGAACGTCGCCCAGTTCGTCACCGCGCCGTAGCTTGCCGCGAGGTGCTCGCGGTTCGTGGGCAGCGGCGCGCCGGTCGCGCGGAAGTATTGTGGTCCAGAAACGGAGCGCCTTATGAGAGATGGCGACGCGTAGTCGCGCGGCGTGAACGCGATCAAATCCTCGTAGTTGCCCACGTCGTCGTCGCCGCATCCATCAATTTTGCCGCGGAAATTCACGGCCATGAGCGCGACGTCGCAGTTCAGCAAAGAGCAGAACTCCGACGTGACGCAGTCGTTCGTCGACAGGAAGGCGACGCCGTCCGCCGTGGCTTTCCGTGCGGCGACCCAAGCTTCGTTGATATAAAAGGCGTGGGCGTGCGTGGACGGCGCGACGGCGTTTTTGATCTGCGCCGTGATGAAACGCAACAGAAAACCCGGCGGGGCCCGCTGTAGTAATGAATGTTCGTCATGCATCGCCGCGACCATTCTTGATGGTACATCAAACTTGCGCGCCGGGTCCAGGCTCTCCACCTTTGAACCTTCACTCAACATGTTGTAGATGCGGTAGTAGCCGTGGCCGTCTACCAAAGAATGGTTCGCCGACACGACCAGCGCGTACGTGTCGTTCGCGCAACTTACTAGAGACACCTGGAAGAGCGGCTTCGCCGTCCCTCTACATTCGACACTTGTCCCGCAGAGGACGGGTGCGAGGGCCGCCACCAATGATGCATACGGCGTGCGCTCCACGGCAATGTCACGGCGCTCGGCGAAGAGCTCCGGCAGTTCAGGCGGCACGAATAGTGCCAGTTCCCCATTCTCATCATCATCTAACCGCGCCGCGAGCCAGGGGTTCGCTTCCACAATTGCCGCGACCTTGTTTCGGAGCTTGTTGGCCACCCTTCTCGGTGATCCTTTGAAGAACGTGACCGTGGACGTCGCCGGGCTCATCGCGACGACCGCGCCGCGCTCGCTCGCCAGCAGGGCGATCTTGGTGTGCGTGGCGAGGAGTTTCATACGGGCCGCACGACGTCTGCGTCGTAAGTAGTAGGCGAGCGCTGCGGCCGCGCCGGCCGCGACGGCCACGGCTTTGCTCGTGGCAGGCATTGGTTTTGGAGCTGTGGTTCTCGTGCGACAATGCAGTGGTGCGCCAGGCACGTGTGTGGCTTGGAGCTGGCTTGGAGCTGTGGTTCTCGCAGCGATGCGACAAATGCAGCGTGCGTGCGCCAGGCACACGTGTGTTATATCGCGGGCATTCGTACGCCTACCTCGGCTACGTCGACTCGTAGGACTGGCTGGCTGCGCTGTTGATTAACTTTTCTTGAGCTAGCCTCTAAGGATACTAGCCAGCCTCACCGCATTCACATCGACGCCCGCGACCCTCTCGACGCCCCGCCGACGCAAAAATGATCCTCACAACCTGCGCCGCCTGCGCCGCCCCACTGGCCCACGACGCGCCGCGATGCGTTAGATGCCATACCAGATACTGCAACAAAACTTGCCAACATGACCACTGGCGCCGCGGCCACAAGCAAATGTGTAAGAAAATACACCGCGGCGGCAACGCGGAGCAATATCACGCCGACAAAAAATACAAGGAGGCCGTCGCGGTCGCGGTCGAGGCGTGCGCCGACGACACGAACGGCGAGGAAGATTTTAGCACCCTCCGAGCAGCAATCAACTACATGGGGTCCCTTATTCAACTTCAGCGCTCCGAAGAAGCCAAGGCATTGTATCGCAAAACGCTGCCCGTGGCGCGACGTGTTCTCGGCGAGAGTCATGAGATGACGCTCGGGATGAGGACAAACTACGCAATGGCCTTCTGCGCAGACCCCGCCGCCACGCTCGACGATCTCCGCGAGGCCTTGACGATACTCGAGGAGACGGCACGGACCGCGCGGCGCGTGTTCGGCGGAGCGCACCCGTCCACCCGTAATATTGAGGGCGGTCTACGACAGGCGCGAGCCCGCTTCGCGCTGCGCGAACTGCTCGGGCAAGCAGTACCAGGCGAACTTGCACCGCCCGAGCCGCAGCTCGCGGCCGCGGCGACGCCGTTCGCCGCCGCGTCGGCCATCGCGGGCCACCTGGGCATGGACCCGCAGGAAGCCAACGCTGCCATTGAGGAGCTGTCGGAGCTGAAGGCGCGCGACCCCGAGGCCTTCGCCGAGCTTATGCAGGCGGCGCTCTCGGGCGAGGGCGCCGACGCCGGGGACCAGGATCCTTAAGTCGGCGCCCACGAGACGCCGCCGCCTCGTCGCCGCGCTAGGCGTCCATCAGAGACAGTAATCTTACACAACAACAACTAAAACGCCGGCAGCCACACCTCCAGCCCCGACCGCGGCAGCGTCCCGAACGCATCGCGCGCCCCCGCCAGCCGGTCGTCCTTCCCAACGTCGCCGGACGACGACTGGAGCGCCAGGTGCAGCGCGTGGTCGCCGCGGCCCCGGAACGGCGGCGGCAGGCGGAGCCGCGCGGACCACCACAAGGCACTATAAAAGACGTCCGGCGCGTCCGCAACCACGCGCGCCGCCGCGAGCGACGCCTCGCCGTGGCGCCGGATGCGCGCGTCCACGTCCAGGCGTATCGCCCGCGGCGCGAGGTAGGCCACGACCTGGGGCCCGATCACACTGTCGAGGACGACGAGCGTCGGTTTCACTCCATCTCCAGATGCACCACATTTGGCACACGCCGACTGCCCGAGGCAGCCGTGGAGCACCGCCGCCAGCACGGCCGGCTCGGGCGCTCTTGCCCCGCAAGCTTCACAACCGACGGCCCCCGGCTTGAGCACAATGCGCCGCTCCGACGCTTCTGGTAACTTCGGCGTCGGCGGTGAGCCGCCCCGCCCAAAGAACGCGTCGCCCGGCGCGTAACAGGCGTCGTCATCCTTGGCGCAGAGCACCCCAAGGTCCGCCGTGGACACGCCTCGCTCCTGACAAAATTGCGCGCCCGCGTCCCAGAGCCACGGACATTCATTACCAGCGTCCTCGGCCGACCAGGTCGCGGAGCGGGCAAACAACCGCGGCGCCGCTAATTCATCGTCCTCCGTGGCGTATCCTGCGTCTTCGTCTCCCGCTACCGCTAACGACCAGAGCGCGAAGGTCTGGGGCCCTATTTTTATGTCCCATGCTTGCATCTCGCGGAAGAGCGCCCGCGCGACGTCCCGGGCGAACTCCCGCACCGTTAAGTCGGTGGCTGTCGCCTTGATTTGGCCCGCGGCGAGCAACAAGGCGCGCCAGGCGGCCTCGCTCGGGACCAACCTGTTCGCGAGCAGGTGCCGGAGCAGCCCCAGCGCCCGCAGCAGCCCCCAGGCCATCTGCGCGGCCGTGCGGCGTCGCCTGACAAACCGCGGCAAAGTTAAAAAATGGAGCTCGGCCACGTCGCGGACGGCGCCTCGGGCCGGGTCTGCATCTAGATTTAACTGAGACCGCCCCGCCGCCGCGAGGGCGTCGCGCCGGTAGCGCTCGGCCGGCGTCGCCGCGTCCGACGCCGAGGCCGTCTGAATGCGCATCCTCAAATCCTCAAAGTCGACGCGTTCTGAAGCGTCTCCAACTAGGGAAGCCCAGTTCGTCTCTTCCGTCGAGGCGACGCAGGGCAGCGTCACGGCCGCCGAACACTCTATGGTCGTCTCGTCGCGGGCCCGCAGCTGCGCCGCGAGGCCACCTACGGTGACGTCGACGGCACCGTCGTCCACGTCGGGCTCCACCGCCCTTCTGACAAATTCGGCGAAGGCCTGGGTCTCGCCCAGTTCGCAGCGGAACGGGTCCCCTCGCGAGAAGCGTTTCGCGTCGATGATATCACTCACACTCAGGCGCCGCGTGTCCCGCTTCTGGAGGTTGAGGCACGCCCGGTGGCCCTCGAGGACGGAAGCGACCAGTTGCGCGAAGACGTCGCGGATCGCCACGCCCTCGCCGTCAATGTCGCCAATCACGCGCAGCGCGCCGCAGCAGCGCCGCCGGTGCATTTGGGAGATACGCGGCGCCGACGCGTGGAGCTTGAGGCCAAAATCGATTTCTTTTGAGTCGAGGTCCACGACGACGACCGAGTGATCTACGGGTTCACTAAAGCACCGATTCCGCGCCGGCGCCGCCCCCGGCCCCAGGCGGCACGCGGCGAGCAGGGGCACGACGCCGCTCACGAGGTCGTGGCCGATGTCGCGCGGCACGCGATCCACGCAAGGCAGGGCCCAGTGCAGCGGGTACAAGACCGCTCTCAAACAATCGAGGAACCAGCTCGGGGTCGACGACGCACACACGAGTAGCGGTCTTTCCAGTAACGCGAGTTCCACAACTCTCACCAAGTTGTCGGGTGCTAACGAAGAAAGAAACGCGCGCCACGCCTGCGCATCATCCACGGACCGCAGGCCCGCCCGTAATAACCGAGACGACCTTACAGAAATCTCCCGCAACGGCGCCATTGATCCATCTTCATCGACAAAACTAATACGCAGGTCGACGCGCTCATCAGGTGAAGGCAAAGGCAAATGTGCCAGTGTCGCGAGCAGGACGCGGAACGCTCTAGGGTGCTTCGACAAGTAGAGGCGGTAGAGCTCGACGCACGCCGTGCGCATCGCCGCGCGCGCGTCTGATCTACGATACAAGAGGCAGAACGCCACGGGCTCGCAGCGTATCTCCGCGCCCTGTTGATTGGAGAGGGGCGCGTCGAAGCGCACGCAGCTCACGAAGGTTATCGCACCCGTTGCGTCCGTGAGGCTGAAGGAAAACTCCTCGAAAGTCAATGAATCGCGCGGCTTCCTCTTCACAGAGGCGTCATCATCAAAAACGAGGTCGGCCAATCTGGGCGGCGGCCGGCCCCAACTCGCTAGTATTTGTGGAGGAGCTTTCATCGGTGGCGCGCGGACTCCATACAAACGGGCCTGGCCCCGTCTGTCGAATAGGGCAGTGGTCCGCGGGAAATTTGTAGTGGTAGGTATTGATAAAGGCGCCCAGGGCTTTTGTGGAGTGCCGGTCGTCAGACGTAACGCTACCAAAGGTGCGGCGCGGTCGCTGGGCGCGGCGACGCGGCGCCAGAGCAACAAAGGCGCGCGCAGCGACCCGGTCAATCCTCCCGATGATAAAGACGGGTTCGCTCCATTTAGCTGGGCGCAGGCCGTCCAGCCGCGGTCATTGCCGGGCCGCGTCGCAGATATACGTGCGTCGACGACGTACGCGGGCGCGTCCGTCCTAGCCGCTTTGCGCACCGCGATGCCGACGCGCCGCAGCCCTAAGCCGATGTTCGTCTCTCCAACGCAGCGCTCCCACGGGGCGTCGACCGCCGCGTCGGCGGCTATCACAGCTACGTCCACAATAACTTGCGCGTGCTCTTCGTCGTCATCGGTGGTCGTCGTGTGGTCGATGCCGCATATTGCGAAGGTTTCCATTCCTGTTTGCTTTTTGTGCGTCGCTTGCTTTCCTCTGCAGTGCTCTGCTTGCTTTCGTGTGCTCTGCCAAAGCAATGACGCATGGGGTTACGCGTTCGAGTTATTCGGTGACAGGTGGCCTCGGGCGGCTCAGCGCGTTGTGTTCACGATCTGTTGCAGTGCTATTCGTGTTTTGTCTCGCACTGCCAAGCAAATTGCGTAAAAAACGCGCGCTAGCGTACACTGACATACTAGGAATATGCTGTGCTCTGTTTTTTGCCGTCATAACAGCAACTGACTCGCAACACGACGCGGCACCAGTCAGGCACTAATAGCGTGGGCCCGTGCGCCGCTCCTCAGAAGTTTGTGCGGACACCAAGCGCCGCATCTCAGTGGGACAGCAGCTGCAGCCTCCTCAGTGGCTTGGTGCAGCGTGACGCGCACCCGTCGTCGCGGTAACGCCAACGATGCGCGCGCTCGCGCTGACACCTTTACTCGTGGCAGCACACGCCCTCGTCGCGCCGCCGCGGCGCGCGACGAGACGCGAGGCCGCGCCGTCCTCGGACGAGTTCCCGACCGATGCCCCGGCCAGGACGCAGGAGACCTACCTCGACCGGCTGGCCGCGTACGCCGACGAGGACGGCTACACCTTGGATGCGCCGACGCGCTACTCCATCGCGGACTGGTGGCTGAACTTGCGGAACCTGCCGTCGTCGAGCGTGCTCCAGCGGGTGCAGGGGCACCTCGTGGCGAACACGTTTTTTGCGATTCTCGTGTCGGGTCTGGCCTACGCGATACGAGCGGAGCACCTCGCGTTTGACACGACACTCCTGGAAGCGGAACACTTGAACTTGGGGGCGCCCTTCGAGCTGAGCGGAGGCATCCTGGGCATCCTGCTCGCGTTCCGGACGTCGCAATCTTATGACCGGTTCTGGGAGGGCCGCCAGGTCTGGGCGAAGGTCGTGAATAGGGTAAGAGCGACGGCGCGGACGTGCCGAGCGTACGTCACGACGGCGGCGCCCGAACATGAAGCAGAGGAGACCGCGGCGCTGCTGCGATGGCTCGAGGCCTTCCCTTTGGCCCTCAAACAGCATTTGAGAGGAGAGCGCCGCCTCGACGAGTTCCACTGCCTCGGGAATGATGAGAGGAGAGAACTGGAATCCGCGGACAATTTACCATTAGCGTGCACGTACGCTCTATCATCTAGGGTGGATGCGGTGCGAAGAGCGTCGGAAGACACGCAGTCCGCCTCTCATCTCCTCTGGTGGCAGCTCGAGAGCTTACTGTTGGAACTGCAAGACGCCATCGGCGACGCGGAAGCCATCGCCGGGACGCCCGTGCCCCTCTCCTACTCCAGACATACGTCTCGCTTGCTATCGATCTGGACGCTGGGAAGCCCGATCATCCTCGTCCAGTCCATGCCTTTGTTATTGGTACCACCAGCAACAGCATTACTCTCGTGGATGCTCCTCGCGACCGAGGAGATCGGGCACATCATCGAGGAGCCCTTCGGCATCCACGACGACCGGCCGAAGATCCTGCCGCTGCAGCGGTACTGCGATATTGTTTCCAGGGATTTGGCCGAGGAGAACCGGTTGGTTGAACGAGCGGTCGCGGGCAAGCGTGGGGCGGCGGAGGTGGACGAGGTTGCGGACGTCGGGGGGCTCTATTAATTGTTTCGTTTTAGGTTGTGGGCGGTATGTTCCGAGTAGTGCATGGGTTCATGCGGCGTGCAGCGTCCCGGCCGCCGCGCGTCGCGCGCCCCGAACGGGCCACACGACCCGTCAGCGCGCCGCGAACGCCGTCGCCGCGGCCGGGAGCGCTCCGGGACCGGCCGCGCGTCGCCCGCGCGGCGCAACGTATCTGCCCATTTCCCCCTTTCCTCTCGCGCGCCTGGCTCGACGCCCACACAAGCTGGCGCTTGTCTCGACGCAGCTGTCGACGAGAAAGAGCGGCAAGCGCACGACGCCGCCAACGGATCGCGCGCGAGACGGCTGCGCAGCCCTGCCTTCATCAGAGGCTGCCCACGCCGCCGCATGTCGGACCCCGAGTCCCCGCGACGACGAGATGCCGATTTAGAGATTATCGACAACACGACGCAGGGCCCGTCACCCAGAAACGACGCCTTGGGCGTGAACCTCCTGGGCGAGGCCTGCTGCCAGGCCACCGAAGAAATGGACGGTTCTGGAAGAGGTTTTGCGGTGGAGGCGACGCCTTTACTGAGTCGAGATACGACGCACCCCGTCGCGAAGAAGGTGACGCCGTACCTCGCTTTACTGTCATGCCTCATGTTCGCGGGCCCTATATATGGCTGGACGCCGATGCAGGCCATGTTGGTCGAAAGGGGGGCTTTTCTCTACGAGTGCGACGCGGAAGAAGTCATCGTAGAATCGTCGGATTCGGCCTGCGCGGCGCAGATCGAGACGTTATCCGCGGTGTACTCGCTAGCGTCCTTCGTCAACGAGGGCAGCGCCTTCCTCATCGGCGTCTTGGTCGACTTGCAAGGCTCGGAAGTCACGGTCCTACTGTCCGGAGCGTGCTACGTCGCGGGCTACGTGCTCATAGGGCTCTTCGACTGGTTCGGCGACTGGTGTCTGTTTGTCGCGTTCATGCTGTTGGGCGTCGGCGGCATGGGCTTCTTCCTGGCCTCGTTCCGGGCCGCGGGCCTGACGGAAAGTCGAGTCGTTTTTTTGACGGCGGCGTCTTGCTTGTACGACTCGTCGAGCGGCGTTTTTTTAGCGGTGCAAGGCATCCTAAACCTCTTCGATAATAATTATGGCCACTTCCGCGTCGCCTTCCTGCTGCTAGCGGTCCTCTCGCTAGCACTCACGATAGCTTTAGCGTACTGCTGGCGGCTGAGTGGATGCGACGCCGTCGATCATGAAATAGATGATCGGAAGAATGCGACGGCATTACGCTTAAAGGATAGGCCCTTCGGCCGGGGCCAGCTCTACACGCTCGAGTTCGCGCTCCTGGCGACGTGGGTCACGCTCGGGATGTTCAAAGCGATAGGGTACTTAGGTACTATATATGATTGGCTCGACGCGATCGGCGACGGCACGAACGGCGTGCCCGAGCTGATCTCGGGGTTGGTCGTGGCCGGTTGTCTGTGGATTCCCATCTTGGCGTACTTGTTTCGCATTGGCTTATGTGCCTCGGCTCATGTGATTAATCTGATAGGCCTCGCGTTCAGCATCTGCGTTTGTATTCCCACAGTTACAGCTCAGATCTTCGGCGCGATCATTTACGCCGCGTATCGGGCGGCGTTCTACGCCTCCGTGCCGAACTTTTGTGCTGGACTTTTTGGGCAGAAAAGCATAGGGCGGACGGCCGGTCTCTTGTATACGCTGGGTGGCTTCGCGGCGTTACTCACGGCGCCGATCGTCTGGGCCGGCGAGAGCGGCTACTGGACCGCGGTCAATATTGCCAGTTGTTTACTCGTGGTGCCCATGGGAGGTTGCGTCCTGTCTTTACACCTGTTCTCGGCGGAGCCGTGCCTGGCGCTGCGGCCGCCGGATTCGGGGGTGTCTTAACTTTAGGTTTAGGTTCGTTCGATGGCGCATCGACGGCCTCTTGTGGGCGGCCGTCTCCGCGCGCGCAACTGCGAGTTCCCTGAATGCCCCGGAGCGCTGGTAGCAGGTCTCTATATGTCTGTCCACGGCTGTTGCGGCGGCGTTCGAGGGGGCGAGCTCGTGCTCGCATCCACATCGAGGTGGCACGTAGCAGTCGCCTAAGCACCGCCTCGCGACGCCGTCGACGCGCGAAATTGCAACTGCAGCTCTTCCAAAGCAGCACCGCTTGCACTAAAAACCAGAGATCGAAGCGTTTGCAACGAGCGAGCCCACACAGCTCACACAAGCTTGCCACCCCAACAGCACAGCTAACACGCTTGCCACCCCCAACAGCGCAGCTAAGATGGTGAAAGTGATCTGCATCCACGGCACGGAGTCCGGCGGCTCCGAGCGCCACGCCAAGCGCCTCTCGAAAACTTGGCCCAAGGCCAATTTCGACCAGTCGAAGGACTTCATGTCCGGCAACGACGCAGCGTCCGTCGGCCTGGAGGCGCTGGCCGCGAAGTACGACGCCTTCGTCATCGTGTCGTCGAGCTACGGCGACGGCGACCCGCCGAGCAACTTCGAGAACTTCTTGCGGGCGCTCTACACGGCCGACGAGGGCGTGCTCGCGGGCAAGCAGCACTGCGTGCTGGGGTATGGCTCGACGGACTACGAGACCTTCCAGAACTGCCCGCGCCTGACGGACAAACTCATGGGCGCCCTGCTGTGTGGAAATCAACCAGTGTGTCGGGTGCACTTCTCGGCGATGACGCGGCCCACCTGGCTCGGTCGAGCGGCGAGGAACCGGCATCGCCACGCCATCGAGCAGGCGTCGCGTCGATGGCGTGGAGGACGACGCGATGATTCACGAACGCGCCGTAAAATTTTGATTTCCACACAGGCGCCCTGGGGTCCAAGCGCATGTTAGCGCGCGTCGAAGTCGACGAGAACGAGACGTTAACGGGCGACGAGGCGGTCGCGAAGTGGGCCAAGGACGTCGTCGCCGCCTTCAGCAAGACGTGCAAGAGTGATGTGTGCGACTGGACCGTGCCCGAGGACCAGATCCTGGACAAGAAGAGCGACCTGGTGGGGTCGTCGGGTGGCGGCGTGGCCGGGCCGCTCGTCGCGCTCGGCGTCGCGGGCGCGGCGGCGGCGTACTACTACATGTACCTCATGTAGGTCATGTAGGTCTGAAAGACGAAGTCCTAAGTAGAAGAGCTTTTGCTAAACGATTTTCTGTTACGGTGCTAGGACTAGTGGGCGGAGTCCCTTCTTTCATAACAACGCACCTCCTTCGACGGCGCGGCTTGCTTGCTATACATATGTACTATAGATGTATAGCGGTCCTCGGTAGTAAGTACTTTACCATACCACGCTGAGTAAGCCAAGCAGGCCAGAATAATCTTCAGTGTCTTCCTAAATTTTATTTCTTATTATAAGTATGATAGATATAAGTACCTCCCTAGGTATAGATTGCTAGTGTCTTACAGGCCGCTAGCTAAATCGACAGCAGGCGCGCCGCGAAGCAGCACCGCAACGGAAGCACAAGGAGCATGGCTACTACACAACCAGGCGTCCCAGCACCACCACGGCCACCGCCGGCACCGCCCGCGCCCGTACCACCAGCTGTGCCTGCACGCAAGCCCAGCCCAAGGGCCTGCGCCGCACTCGCCGTCATCGGGAAGAAGAACCGGCCACTCGCTTTCCGTGTTTACGACGCGAATAGTGACGCGTACCTGCGGAATCTCATCCTGTGCTCCCTGGACGTCGTCGACGAGTGCGCCCAAGCGCAGGAGAATAGCCGAGACGAGTTCCTGGGTGTGGCGACGACGGTCGACGGCCGCAAACTTTATGCCAGTAGGACGGCGACGGGCATAACCCTGTGCGCGGTGTTGGACGCGGCCGCGGGCGTCCCGGAGGCACACGTCCGCGCATGTTTAGCTGACGCGAGAAAGGCCTACGCCAAGTGCCTGGCGAACCCCTTCTTTAAACTGGACGGGGGCGAGATCACGTCTCCAGTCTTCGCGACGCGCGTCGACGAGGCCGTGCGACTGAGGTTGGAGAGCGCGGCCGTCGTGCGGGCACCGCCGTCGCAACGGCCGACTCCTCCTCCAACACCTCCGAGGTAATTTATTGTGAAAGAAACATTACATCTTCTGCTTTGGTGGCGCGGAGCGCGGACGCTTCTTGCCCCCGCGGCTGGGCCCGCGCTTCTCCCAAGCTTGCAGATCCTCCGCCCCCTCGGGCGCGGCCTCGTTCGCCGCGCGGCGGAACGACGCCCGAGCGACGCGCGCGAGCGTCTTCGTGTCGAGGGGCCATTTCGCCGCGCCGGCGTCATTCTGGAGTAGGAGAACTGCCGTATCCCAGCTGGAGGGTCGGTGCCGGTCCCGGACGCGGTGTTGGGCACCATCCACAAACACATGATCGGCGGCCGGGATCGTGACGTTGGCGCGGAGGAACGGCGACTCGCGGAGCGCCTGCGCCGCCGACGACCCGCCGCCCCAGTCCGGCACGACCGCGAGGAACGAGAGCGCGCCCTTCGCCCCGTCGCCGAGCAGCTCGCCAACCTTCGCCGCCGCGAAGGCGAGGACCTCGGGCACGAAGGGCGGGTTGACCTCGAAGGAGCCCTGTTCGATGCGGGACCACTCGTCGAAGAACGAGCCCAGGCTCCCGAAGGCGCGCTCCAGCGCAGGAAACGCGCTGAAGTAGCGCTCGAACCGGCAGTTCAGCGGCGACGCGAAGCATTCTATCGTATTTCCCAGGAACTCGCGCAAACTTTCGAAGCACGCGCCCGGCACGGCGCACTGGAACCCGGCGCCCCTCAATGCTTCATAGCGCGTCACAAGACAAAAAATGCGCTCGTCGGGGTCACCGGCACCGTAGCGCGCGTGGAGCGTCGTGAGCTTCGCGTAGTGGTCGTGGGAGATCAGCACGTACGGCTTCTTCGGCGCGTCGCCGTCCATCGCGGCCAGCCGCACGTTCGGCCCGTCGCGGTCGACGACGACCGTGTAAGTAGGCCGCACTTCGGCCCGACTCCGCGCGTGCGCGGCGAGCGCCTCGGCGGCGGTCGCCAGCTCTGCCCAGGCCGCGGCGTCCGTCGGCAGCGGTTTTCCCGCCCGACGCACGGCCTTGACCAAACGCTGCGTCGCGGCGGGCGCTGGCGCCTGCGCTTCGGAGTCCGAAAACACGGCTGCTTGCCGCGCGGCGTCGTCGCGGCTCCGTGCCGATAGGGCTTCCGCAATGATGACGGCCTTCTCGCGCGGCAAAGATCGCGAAAGGTCTGCCACAAGCTGCTCGTCGACACCATCCGCCGCCGGCAGCACGGGATCGGCCTCCGCCGCGCGCCGGAGCGCCGAGCGCGCGAGCCAGCGCTCGAAGGCGAGCGGCGGTGCGCTCGCGCCCTGGCCGCCGTGCTGCGTCACGAGGCGCTGCAGCAAACTGCGTAGCGTCTTGAGCCGGCCGAAGCGGGCGAGCTCCGCGGCCGGGTCGCAGCGCTCGTCGGCGGCGCCTCGGCGCTCCGTCGGCCAGGCGATGCGCTCGTCGGCGTGCCAGATGTGCGTCATTTCTCAGCTCTCGTTGAGCAGCAGCGTGCAGCTTCACTGGTGTGTTGCTTTCCGCGCTAAAAAAGCCGTGCACTCTCTTCGCGGCTGTCCGTCACTATCTTGCCATGCGTGCCTTCAGGATTGGACAGCTAACATCTGCAGCAGCTTGCCTCACTTGCCGCTGCTGGCCTGCAGGCAGGCTATTTTCACGCTAGCCTATAGACATACTAGAATCCTCCGATGTCTTTCAGCATACGCAAAAAAGGTGAAACCGACTCAGCCCAAAGTTATGCAAGTTTTACGGCGCGCTTGCAACGAGCGGTGGTTCTTGCCGTCTCTGGCGATGCAATAAGACGCCCGGAGTCGTCTCAGGCGCACCTCGACTCGCAATAAAGCGTAGCAAGCCAGACTTGTCCGTGGCAGCTAGCGGTAGCAAGACACTAGCAAACGCGGCGGCAGAGCTAGAGTGAGCTTGCAAAAAGCTCCCCTAAGCTTGCCAAAACCAAGAGCGGCGTTTGCTAGTGTCTTTAAGCACGCTATCCGCGGCGCGCATCCCTAGTAGTCATAATACAAATAAACGAGCTTAGTTAAGCTACTAATTCGTCGAAGCTCCTCGAGGTCGTCGGGCGGGCCGACGCCACGCCGCGCCATGACCCGACGCAGCTCCGTCTCTGTCACAGGGCCGCCGCGAAGGCTGGGCCCTCCGCCAGTTCGATCACGGCGCCTTCGGCCAGTTCCCGCGGCGTCGGGGCTCCCAGGCAGAGCGCGCTCGCGCCACCATTCAATTGAATTAGGGGCTGGTGCTTCTTCATTTCTCTGTAGGCATTATGGAAGGTGCAATAATCAAAGGCCTGATTCGTCAATCGCCCCGCTAATCGCTCCGCTTTGAGATAATCGCCGGCTTCTGGGAACGCGGGCGGGATGGTAGCATTGGTTGCGTCGAGCGCGACGCGCAACAGGCGCAGGTGCGCCGTGTAGTTGGAAGGGGCTAGCCAATGCTTAGCTTGAACGCCACGGGAAAACATCCAGTCGGCAAACGGATACACGACCGACTGGTAGCCAGTAACAGCGCGGTCGTAGCGCCAGTGCGGCGTTCCGTCGGCAGCCAACCGGACGCGGTTCAAGCACGGCTTGTCAATGAGGTGCAGCGGATAATTGAATGCGTACAGGTCACGGGGCCCACTCAGTGATGCGAACACGACTTTTTCTCTATTGAAAATGACAACACCGCGCCGGCCGGTAAGGCCGCTGATGATGTGCCGGACGACGACGAAGAAGGTTTTGGACTTCTCGTAAGCCCTAGCGCCCATGCGCTTGCGGAGCTTCTCGAAGACATGTATACACTTATCTCCAGGCCATACAGAGATGCAGCGCTCTAGGCCGAAGCGCTCGAGGCGCTCGGCCAAGTGGCACTCGGGCGGGTGGAGCGGGCAAGCGATGCCGATGTTAGGCTCCGTGACCCAGGACGGCACCGGCATGACGACCCATTCGTCAAAGCGGTAGCCGTACTTAGATGCCTGGAAGCCTGAACTGCTCCTGTAGCAGCGCACTGTGCCGTCGGGCAGCTTCTCGTACAGCAGCGTGCCGCTTTCGACATCTCGAGACATCGCCAGGTAGAGCGGGCGGCGCCGGCACTCACTGTCCAGGTAGAGCTTCTTCGTCGACACGCGCCGCGACTGGAAGGCGTACCATTCCAGCGCAATGCTCACAAAGCCCTGCTCGCCGCACGTGACCTCGGTGCTGCCAAACGTACGATTGAGCCAGAAGAGCGCGTCACGCAGATCCATAACGTCGATGCCATAATGTTCGATCGCGAGGAATTGCGCAAACTTAAAACCAGTGATGCACACGCACCAGCCGACGCTCTCGGCGGTCCCGGAGCGGAGCGTGAGCGCAATGCGGACGAGTTCCTTGGGCGGTCCTTCGGGGAGCGCCTTGAAGCACTTGCGGACGCGCTCATCTATAGAAGGATCGTCGAGCAGCCGATCCCAGATCTCACCGTGCACGACGAAGCTTCGCGAGTGGCGGGGACCCTCGTACTCATGCGTCTCATCGGGCTTTGAGCCGAAGGCCGTGTTCCAGTTGGTCTCCTCTAGCACGCCCGCCCCCAATAACGGTATCGTGCACATGTCGAGATATGTGTGCAGCGAACATCCCGGCGTGCGCACGCCATCGGGCCGCCACGCAAATGGATCGAACTGTGTGGACATCAACCAGTGACTCAGGTTACGGACAACGTCGCGTCGATGGCGTGGCCCTCTTTTTTGAACATTGAATACTGCACTGCAGTCGACGGGCTGGATCAGGCTTCTACCTCCGGAATTTTTGTGGACGGGCAGCGGCCACGGGAGTAGTTCCACTGGATAGTTTTTTTTCCAATTCCCCTTTCGATGGATGTACGAAAGGTTTGCATATCGAATCGGTTTGAGATGGGCCTCGTCTGGCTCGAGCTGGGGGTAGAAAACATCTCCGAACGCTTTACCACACGCGACGGCGACGCGTTGATAATCGGAGTTCATGGGTACTTCGCACCACTCCTGGCCAACGGGGCCGGCAGCGGCCTCGACGACTTTGATGTCTGCTTTCTCGTCAGGCCACTTGATGTAGTCCAAAGAACCATCACTCTCGTAGCAGACTTCCAGCACACCGTCTTCGAGCACGCCGTTTCGAGTACACCCAAGCACAACCGCGTCGAACCACTCGGGCTGCCCTACCACCGCGGCCTGCTCGCGTGCGTACGCCTCCTTTAAGGCGTCCGCAGCGGGATCCGCCGCGAGCTCCGCCGCGAGCTTGCGAGCCGCCTCGTCATCGCACGCGCCGGCGCTGTACGTGTGCACTTGTATCTTTGAATTGACGGCCGGTGGCAGATTTGATATAATCGGGGTGTTGCCTTTCTCTCGTAAAGCTTCATGATCCGGATCAATCAAGGACGCGCGCTCGTAGCCCCAGAGCCTCCGATACATCGCGACGTACCAGGGCTCCGCGGTCTTCTTTGCCGGCATGTGCGGATGTGTCAAGAATTTAGAGATGTTTTTCAAGAGGCCACGATTTAATTGCGTTTCTCCCGCTAGCACAGCACGCAGGCCTTCGCGTCCGCCTGCTCGCTCGGAAAAATCCGGAGGTACAGGTTGTGTCGCGGGCCACGGACACGTCCTTCGCGTGCCTTCAGGGGGTGGTGGCCGGTTGCGGACTGCCTTGCCAGAGGGGCGCGGCCGGTTGATGAAGGTTACGACTAGAGGTGTTCTCGGGTCCCGGCTGGTTTCGGTCCAGATCACCTCGGAGACCAGAGCTTCGTTCGTCCGTGTAAAGTGGTCGCGCGAGCAGCCGCTTAACTTCATGAGCACTTCTTCGGACGGCGTTTCGACTCTCGAACCCGTGACGCCCATCTTGCTTGGGCCCGCAGTCCGTCTACACGCACGCAGCGCGTGTCTTGGTAGGGCACCCCTTGCTCTTGAAGTAGAGAGCAGTCGAAGGCCTGCGCGGTGACGGTCGCATTTGTGGGCGTTCTCGAACCATCTCACACGTCAGCTCTCGAAACGTCCATCAGTAGTACGTGAAGCACACGCCCTCCTCTCAAACCTCTCACGAGTACCTCGTTGTGGCGCTCGTCTTCGCGTCCACTTGTAGTAGGCGTTCAAGACGATCGGCCCGACGGCGGCCTGGCCCAGGTCGTCGGCGCGCGGCGCCAGCGCCACGCCCACGACGCGCCGCCTCACGCAGGCCCGCCGGCACGACGCGTAGGGCCAGCGACGCGACGCGCAGCGCCGGTCCGCGGCGGCGCCGGCGCTGCCGGACGGCGGCCTGGCCCAGGCCGTCGGCGCGCGGCGCCAGCGCCACGCCCACGACGCGCCGCCTCGCGCAGGCCCGCCGGCACGACGCGTAGGGCCAGCGACGCGACGCGCAGCGCCGGTCCGCGGCGGCGCCGGGCGCTGCCGGACGGCGGCCTGGCCCAGGTCGTCGGCGCGCGGCGCCAGCGCCACGCCCACGACGCGCCGCCTCGCGCAGGCCCGCCGGCACGACGCGTAGGGCCAGCGACGCGACGCGCAGCGCCGGTCCGCGGCGGCGCCGGCGCTGCCGGACGGCGGCCTGGCCCAGGTCGTCGGCGCGCGGCGCCAGCGCCACGCCCACGACGCGCCGCCTCGCGCAGGCCCGCCGGCACGACGCGTAGGGCCAGCGACGCGACGCGCAGCGCCGGTCCGCGGCGGCGCCGGCGCTGCCGGACGGCGGCCTGGCCCAGGTCGTCGGCGCGCGGCGCCAGCGCCACGCCCACGACGCGCCGCCTCGCGCAGGCCCGCCGGCACGACGCGTAGGGCCAGCGACGCGACGCGCAGCGCCGGTCCGCGGCGGCGCCGGCGCTGCCGGACGGCGGCCTGGCCCAGGTCGTCGGCGCGCGGCGCCACGCCCTCGACGCACCGGCTCGCGGCGCCGAGCGAGCGCCGCGTGTACGCCCAGGAGCGACGCTTCGCCGAGCAGCGCCTTTGCCGCTGCCGCACCCGCGCGGCTCTCGATCACCACTAAAGCTAAAACGTCGAAGGCGCCTCCTCTTTTTGATTTACGCACTGTTCGCGACGACCACGATGCTGTCCTCGAAGGTACGACCCGACCTGCGCGCGGGCGTGGCGTTATGTCGAGCCTCCTGTTATCGAGGGGCGCGTCCTCCCAGAAGCTCTCTGGGGGCAGGGGGCCAGCGCCGCGGGCCTCGCGGTGGGCCTCTCCGGTGTGTCGTCGCCGGACGTGTCCTTCTTCTGACCGGTAAGCGTCTCTGATGACGTGCTGGCGCAGCGGAGGTAAAAAGGCCCCTGGTGCTGCGCAAGTGCAGCCCGACGCTGTAAATTTCAAGGCAGCTGGTGCTTTGGTGTACCACGCCGGCGTGTGCGCGTCGCTGGCGCACGGTGCTGCGCTGGCGCAGGAGGGGCCTTCGGACCAAACTCACAAATGGTTTGCCTAGTGTGTTGGTTGCCGCTAGCATAATCCATAGTGTTTTGGGCCACATGCCGCTCCACAGACCGCGGCGAGTAGCGGGAAGGTGCTAAAAGGCTTGCCAGACCACCGAACGACTCACTGAAGGAGCCATTTAGTTGTTGGGGCTGCCTCTGCTGCGCACGGAAGCACAGCCTTTAGCACCGAGCTGCAAGCCCGTGCGAATTTCGATTTTAATTTGCGACGACTACCATTCCCCGGGGGCGGCAGGACCCTCCTTTAGCTAGGAGGGCTGGACTGCGCTTGCTAGTGTCGCACTACGCTAGCTCGCGCGAGGCGCCGGCCGCCTGGCTTTTTTTTCCGCCATTTGGAGCTAGGCTAGCAGTTGTTTTTGAGCCGCAAGCAGCGCGACTGAAAGGATGTTTGCTCAGCTCAAGGACGCGTCCGCGCAAGCCACGGTGCATAGATCACAGACGCGGCGCCTTCCGGCTGAGTCGTGACCTCCACGCCGTCGACGCCCGCAATCGATGGGTGGTCGCGCTGCGCACCCAGATAACAAATGAATGACCCCGCGCAGGCGCGAGGTCGAGGCCCTCGAGGCGAGTTTAGGGGACAAGGTCATGGCGTTGGACGGCCGTGTCGGCGCGCTCCAGGCCACCTCGTTGGCGGACGCCGAGAAGACCTACACCAAGGGCGCGACGGCGGCCGCGGTCAACGCCGAGCTCTGCGAGCTGCAGACCTACGCGAGAGGCGAGGCCGCGGCCTGCGTGCTCGACTTGCGGAAGATCGAGCGCTTCATCACGCTGCACGTCCCCAAAGTGGAAGACGGCAACAACTTCGGGGTGGCGATCCAGCTCGAGGTGGCGAAGCTCGTCAAGGAGACGGGCAAGGAATGCAAGGGACTATTAGATGCTCTACCGGCCTACCACAAGGACCGGGCCGCCTTGTTGGAGAAGGTCGTCGCCAGGACCACGACGGAAACGTCCGAGGCCACGTCGTCGTCGACCGACGAGGAGAAGGGGACCGAGGCGAAGACGACGGCGAAGAGCGGGAAATCGTCGTCGTCCACCACAAAAACGTCCTCCGCCAAGCCCCTCCCCGACGCCGTCGCCGCCGTCGCCCAGCTCGACGTCCAGCACCGCTTCGCCCTCATCTTCCTGCTGGAGGTCGTGCGGGACGCGTACATCGCCGTCGGCGACTGCCTCGAGAAGAACAAGGGCAAGCTCGTCGCGCCCAAGGGCGAGGGCGGCAACGCCATGTCGATGTTCTAGGTGTCCTCGCGTCCTCGTCTAAAGTGCTCGTGCTAGCTCGTCGCGCCGGGCGCGCGCGGTCCGGCGGCGCGCCCGGGCGCGCGATGTCTACAGAGGGGTGCGTGGGATTCCTCGGGGTCGCCCCGTAGTGCTCTTGCGCGGCACCGGATCGGCTAAGCCCCCCTCGGCCGCCGCCGATCAGCCGCCGCCGCCACCCAAGACGGGCGAGGTGTGATGGCCTCCTTATAAGCTCGCTGGACTCGCCCCCGGTGCATCGCTACGGTGTATCGGCCGCCGTTCCGTAACAGCGACTCCCCTTCCCCATCAGCTCCCGTTGCACCCGGGCCGCCCCCGGTGTAGCATCTCCTACTAGTATAAAGAGATTAACAGTTTCTACGTCTCGCCGCTGCTGAGCGGCCGCACGCACACGCCCAGCCGCCCAGAAGTCGCTAAAGGTGCATCGGCCACAGTCACAGTTCGTATCCACCTGCTTCGCCCGCGCCGAGAACAAACGGTGCTAAGTAGCCCTAAGCAAAGCAACATTAAAATATAAATATACTTCATCAAGGACAGGCTCGTGGCGCCCGAGGGCGAGGCAACGCCATGTCGATCATGTTCTAGGTGTCGCTGCCCCTCTCGTTTACGTGGCGCGCGCGGCGGCCGTCGCGAGCGCCGCGCGAGATCCCTCCCGAGAGATGCGTGGGACTCGTCCGGGCCTCCCCGGAGCGGTCTTGCGCGGCGCGGCGATCCCGCCGCCTGCCGGAATTTGAGCCAGCGCCTGCGCTGCTCTCGGGCGGGAGGCAGCCGCGCACCGGGCCGCGGTCTGTCGGCAGCACGGCAGCACCTTCCAGGCATTGACGAGCTTGGTCGTGCGCGAGTAGAAAGGTCTCGGTGCGCGGTCACGCGCCAGCACCTTGGGAGGAGCAAATCAGAAAAGGGCTTAACGATGGAAAGAGCAAGGGCTGCCCTCGCCGTCGCCGCGCTGGTGGCGGCCTCTTCCGCCGTCTCGGCCTCGGCGCTCGCGGGCAGCCCGGCCTGGCGCGCCGGCGCGCTGCTGGCGGGAGCGGAGTTCGCGGCGGCGGGGCAGGTAGACGAGTCTGAAGGCGCCGCTGGGCGCTGGTGGCTCGGGCCGTGGAGGAACAAAATGCGTGGCGCGCCCGACGTCGGGCTCAAGGACCAACGACGCCTTGACGATGGCACGACGACGCGCGATGCAGTGTGTACAGTAGCTCGCCCTCGCGCTTCGCCAGAAACCGTGTCGGTACCACGCAGGGGTTGCAATCCTTTCAATGATAAGGTGACATGCGCAGCAGGCGAATATGCGGCCACACACTGCGAGTGCGAAACATGCTCCGCTGGCACGTACTCGGCGGAGGGAGCCGACGAGTGCACGCCGTGCGACGCCGGCACGTACGCCGGGGCTGCGGCCGGCTCGTGCACGTCCTGTCCCGCGGGCACGTATGCGGCGGCGGGAGCCGACTTGTGCACGACTTGTCCCGCGGGCACGTATTCAGGGGTCGGGGCAAGTTCGTGCACGCAGTGCGACGCCGGGTCGTTTTCGGCCGCAGGACAGGGCGACGATGCGTTTAGAGGCGCGGAGATCAATTTGGAGGCAGCTATAGAAAGCAGCAGCTCGGAGTGCTCCGTTACGGGTGACGGCGAGCTCTTGCTGACGGGAAATGATGGATGTTCGCTCGACGTGCCGATCACCTGGAACTTTGAAGGCTCCCTTGTCGTCGAGTTCGAGACGAAGGGCTGCCTCGATGAGGAATGTGACCCAGTCGGGTCGGCCACTGCGCCGCATTGGTTCTTCGAGCCGTTCCGTACTGCATTAGGCTCGACGGGTCGCGAGCCGCCCGATCTTTGGTGGCTCTCAAATGGTGATGGCCTTGGCGACTACCAGTGGGATAACTCTGCGACAGACAGGACCAACTACGGTCCAAACGGACTGGATCCTACACAGTGGCACACGTGGCGCTTTGTTTTTGCGGCGAGGGAAAACTGCGTGTACCTGGACGAGTGGACGGTCGACGGCGCGGAGATCATCACGTTTACCCGCTCTTATTGTTCCGCGTTCGGCAAGACAACGTACCTCGGACTAGCTACATGGGGGGGCACCTACGCGTATCTACGCCGATTTGCCTCGGGAATCGTTGGTCCGCATGGGCCGTGCACGCAGTGTCCCGCCGGTACGTTCGTTGAGCCAGGGCAAGGCCAGTGCACGCTCTGTCCCGCGGGAACGTACTCGGTGGGAGGCGCCACCGAATGCACAAAGTGCGGCGAGCCTCGCCGCACACTTTGGACGCAAATAACATCGGGGGACTACTCGTGGGAAGGACAGAAGGCGACGTGCGCGGCGCTCGGACTTTCGCTCGCAACGTACAGCGACCTATGTCCAAACGGGGAAGACCCCTCGCGGACAGGTGCGGTCGACCAGACCGACGCTTGGATTCCCTACTCTTCGGATTGCAATGCTGAAGCACCTATCAAGGCTCCGGTCAACCTCGCCTCTGCTATCGGCAGCACCTCGGGGTGCTCCGTCACGGCGGGCGAGCTCTCAGTGAAGACCCTCGGGGCATGCTCGCTCGACGTTCCCGTCACGTGGAACGAAGGCTCCCTCGTCGTCGAGTTCGAGACCCGCGGTTGCTACGAGGCCGACTGTACGACACCCGTGACTGGACAGCAGTCGAGCATAACGCCGCATTGGTTCTTCGAGCCGTTTCGTTCGTCGTTGGGCTCGACGGGTCGGGAGACACCTGATCTTTGGTGGATCTCTGATGGAGGGAGGTATGGCCTTGGCGACTATCAGTGGGATAACTCTGCGACAGACCAGACGTGGTACGGTCCGGCAGACGTGGCAGACCCAACGCAGTGGCACACGTGGCGCTTGGTCTTTGCGACGAGGAACAATTGTGTGTACCTGGATGCGTGGACGGTCGACGGCGTGGATGTCCTTACGTCTAGCAGATCTTATTGTTCCGCATTTGGGACGACGACTTACCTCGGCTTTATGGCATACAGCAACACCTACGCGTACGTGAGGGGCTTCTCGACAACTAGCTCTTTCGAAGTCAACGACAACCAATGGCTCCAAATGGGCTCACTGGAATCCGGGTACACTTTTTGCGCCACGCACCACGCTACCGGCTGCGACGGCATTCCAACTATCGCAGTTTCTAACCCATGGTGGGGCACTGGTTCATCGAAGCAAACTTTCCAGTTTGATAAGGTGATGTGCGTGGAGGACGTCTGGGACCAGAGCCTCTGGGACGTGGAACAGAGCGGCATAACAAGTGGGGATAAGTGCGAGTGCGCCCTGAGCAGGACCGGTACGAACTGCGAGCAGGAGACCTGCGCGACCACTACGCCGGCGGTGTCGCTCGGCTTCCTCCTTTTGGAGGTGCAGTGGCCGCGGCACGCGCGAATGCTCTCGAGAAACGAAGCCTTCTCGGGCATCTCGGCCGCGTTCCGCGCGTTCGACGCGAACTCGGACAATCGTCTGAGCGTCGACGAGGCACGGCATGCGCTGCGGGACGGCGGCATGGCGGTTCCTTTTGAGGTGTCCCACGTTTGGTCCCGCGTGGAAAACGGGGCGCGCGTGGAAATCCACGAGGCTGCTGACTCCTGCGCCGAGGACTGCTCCGTAGAAGGCCAGTACTGTCCCTCGAGCGGTAAATGCTGCGTTGGTTCGACGTGGGTGGCAGCAGAAACGTGCAGGGGTGACGTGACTATTACGGACATGATCCAGGACGAGCTCGCGCGGTTGGAGGCGCAGGGCACGAAGGAATTCTACGAACGTTCGATGAGCGCCGGCGCAATCGATACAATGACGGCGACCTATCCCAATCCGCTCACTACGGAGGATGAGTGTGAGGACCAGCACGAGGAGCAACCGCTCCTTGAGTGGACCGTCGACCGCGGCGACAACACCATCTTCCAGCAGTGTGCCTTCTTTAACGGTGAGGCGCCCTCTCGGGACACGGAGCTCGATCTAGAGGCGTCCATCGGCACCAGCTCGGGGTGCTCCGTCACGAGTGACGGCGAGCTCTTGCTTACGGGCAATGATGGATGTTCGCTCGACGTGCCGGTCACGTGGGACTTCGAAGGCTCCCTCGTCGTCGAGTTCGAGACCCGCGGCTGCCGCGAGGAAGCCTGTACGACTTCCGTGACCGGAGGCCAGACGAACATTTTACCGCATTGGTTCTTCGAGCCGTTCCGTTCGTCGTTAGGCTCGACGGGCCGCGAGCAGCCTGATCTCTGGTGGATCTCAGATACAGCTACCTATGGCCTTGGTGACTATTCTTGGGATGACTCTGCGACAGACAGGACTAACTACGGCCCAAACAACGTGGCAGACCCGACGCAGTGGCACACGTGGCGCATTGTTTTTACGACGAGGAACAATTGTGTGTACCTAGATGCTTGGTCGGTCGACGGCGTAGATGTCCTTACGGCCACTCGCAAGTATTGTTCCGCGTATGGCAAAACAACATACCTCGGACTAGCCACATACGGCGGCACCTACGCGTATCTACGCCGATTCTTCTCAAAAAGCAGCAACATTCTCGCCAATCTAGACGAGTACGTCTCGAGCGGGAGAAGCAATGTCGATTCTACGGACTGCAGCGGGACAGACGGAGCTCAAGTCTGCGAATTCGAGTTCTATCTGCCAGACTCCTACCAGGTCAAAAGCTACCACCAGCAAGCGGCTATTGCGGCTCCGGTCAACCTCGCCTCTGCTATCGGCAGCACCTCGGGGTGCTCCGTCACGGCGAGCGAGCTCTCAGTGAAGACCCTCGGGGCATGCTCGCTCGACGTTCCCGTCACATGGGACTTCGAAGGCTCCCTCGTCGTCGAGTTCGAGACCCGCGGTTGCTACGAGGCCGACTGTACGACACCCGTGACTGGACAGCAGTCGAGCATAACGCCGCATTGGTTCTTCGAGCCGTTTCGTTCGTCGTTGGGCTCGACGGGTCGGGAGACACCTGATCTTTGGTGGATCTCTGATGGAGGGAGGTATGGCCTTGGCGACTATCAGTGGGATAACTCTGTGGCAGGCCAGACGTGGTACGGTCCGGCAGACGTGACAGACCCAACGCAGTGGCACACGTGGCGCTTGGTCTTTGCGACGAGGAACAATTGTGTGTACCTGGATGCGTGGACGGTCGACGGCGTGGATGTCCTTACGTCTAGCAGATCTTATTGTTCCGCATTTGGGACGACGACTTACCTCGGCTTTATGGCATACAGCAACACCTACGCGTACGTGAGGGGCTTCTCGACAACTAGCTCTTTCGAAGTCCTGCCCATCAGCAAGCAGAGCTACTGCGTCGAGACGAAGTTTTGCCCCAGCGGCACTGCGGTCTGCGACGCGACTCTCGCCGACCCAGCTCTCACGGTCACGCGCTGCACGACCGGCCTTCAGTACGACGGGACGCCTGCAGATATTTTTCCGCGCATGCTGGGCAACGAAGGCGTGTCCATCAGCTGGCTCGACACGTCGACAGTCGCGACGGGCTACCGCGTCTACAAGTACGATGCTTCTGTGCCGTTCGCCACGGACACGTCGGCCCGGCTCCTGAAGGAGATCTCCACTTCTGCATGCGGTCTCACGCACAACTATATAGATTTCCGCGACGTGACGACCGGTTCGGAGCCGGGCCTACAAGTGGGCTACGCAATCGTGCCGCTCGACGACGCCGGCAAAGAGGTCAAGGACAAGGCCGGCGTGAGCGGGGGCAGCTCCGCGTCGTTGTCCTCCGAGAGGCGCCGACGACTCAGTTCTTCGTCGGCGTCGGCCTCGTCCACGACAAGTGGCTTTATTGTGACGTGGTTTGGCGATATCCGGGTGAAGGTGGAAGCCGAGGGCGGCGGGCCAGTCGAGGACGTTACCGTGAAGGTTGCCCACTTGGTCAACAACGCTATCGACCAGAATTATCAGATGGGCTTCGTCACTGCGCAAACGGACGAGTACGGGGAAGCGCTGCTAAATATTCGCGTCGAAGATACGTCGTGGACTACCCTCACGCAGCACTTCCGCGTGGAGGTCGAGAAGACGTCAAAGAACGCGAACAATGTCGATGTAATTCACGGCTTCTCGCCCCCTTCCAAGGACTTGTCCGTGAAGCACCTCGGCGAGACCACCTTTGAGTTCACTGACACGACGGTCAACATCATCTCCGGTACCGTCTCGCACGCCGGCCTTGACGCCAATTACTTCGCCGCCGACTGTCCACACACGAAGAGCGAGGACTCCAGCGAGTGCATGTGCCCCGTCGACGGCGCGAAGGTGTTCATCATACGCGCATCTGGAGACCACGAAGAAGTGACAGTAAATGACGGAAGGTTCGCGACTGCAGTTCTCGAGGACGAGCAGGTGACGCTCTACCTGGGCAGATACTACGGCGTTGGTGTGAATTCGGACTGCGAGAAAGTCGAAAGCCGAGACTATGACCCAGATGATAGTAGCCTCGGGAAACTTCACTGCATCGAGCTGCCGGACAAATCCCTAGTCGACGTTGTCGCGGTGACAGGTACTCCGACCTGTGATCACACCGACGTTAATTCTTGTCCCGCTGGCTACGACATCTGGGTCCCCCGGAGCTACGAGCACGCAAAGGCGATCTGGGATGATACGAACATTAATAGCAATTTCAAAAAACTCGTCGGCGTGTACCGCGAGCAGGATGGGGCTCATTCCGAAGCCATTACATATGCGATGAACAGCGACGACTCGGGAGCCGTCGCCGCCGGCTGGCGGAGCGTCGCAGGGTCGCCGTGGTTCCTGCGAGAAGCTGAGGCATCAGGATACTACACTGAGCCGGACGGCGGGACATCTGCAGGGAACTACCAGGCGGGCTCCTGGATCACTATCACGGGTTGGGATGATACTCTAGGGTTTCAGTTTGACGACGCTCCGATTTTGCCGGGCCAGAGTCCGGAACAGTGTTTCACCGACTACCTCTGTAGCCGCGTGAGCCTCCACGCGTTCTCGGTCACCCAGGAATCGGGGGACTCCCTGATTAGCAAGCAGGACGGCGTCTTGCCGAGCTTTACGTACATGGCGACCCAAGACGCCGTGGTGCACTTCGTCGACGATAGTATCCGGAGCCTCTCTGCCAGGCTCGTCCACGGCGCAGCCCCGGCCCCGGCATCCTACGTGAACGGCCTGCCGGTGGTCGCGAGCGTAGCGCGCTGCGGCTGGGAGAAACCAGTTTGGACGCTGGGGGGCGTCGCCGACTTTGGCAATGTCGGGGCCGCCGCGGTCAAGGTTCGCACGCTTGGCGCGGACGAGGTCGACAACTCGGCGTACTACTACCCGCTCAGTGATCTGTCTAATGCTGGCCAGGAGTTAGCGGTCCCCGACTGCGATGAGGATACGCTATCTCGCGACGACATGGTCGGAACACTCTTCGTGACCGATGCCAGTGGCACCCAGAGTACTGAAGATATTATGCTCCGCGGCTGCCGCGCGAAGATCCCCGAGGTGCGAGAGTGCGGCGAAGGTGAAACTCCCGCCAATAAAAAGTGCCAGACCGAGAGGCTTCCCTGTGCAACCATGGACCACACCTACGTGGACGAGCTGCCGGTGACTCGAAACTTTGACAAGGACCTCTCGGACCTTACCAACCTCGAGCCGGTTGACTTCGAGATCATTTCGCCGCTCTGCCTGGACTCTGTAACTGTGTCGTCAAGCGGAAAAGCAGCCGATGCGGTGACCGATTTGATTGTCCAGAAGCTCATCGACCCTGGTGTAGACAATGCCGGAAAACCACTTCTCCGGGATACCGCTGCTTACCCTATAGACGGCCCGGAGAGCATGCTGCTCCTGTCGGAATTACCCGAGCCCGAGGAGGATGGACTGTATGGCAAAGCTTGCACCACGAACACGGGCGCAATCTTCCGCGAGGGCGACGCTGTGGAGCTAGAGTTCAAGCTCGTGGAGCGCGAGCCCACGTGTCCAGGCAGCGGTCTTTATCCGTGGGATATATGTAGCAGCTACAATGACGTTTCCCTGCCGGCGCATGATAGCCTACCGACGGACCGCCAGATCAAGATTCGAGTCGCCGACGGTGTCAGCGGAATCGGGGACAGCGGCGAATATGCTGGAACCGCGACATTAAAACACACCATGACGGCGGGCAAGCCGAACCCGTTCGCGCCGTTCTCGCACGAGCTGAGCGTGGAGTTTACTCGGGCGTTCGACAACGCCAAGATTCTGTTCGTGCGCCACGTGCTGGTTGTTGGGTCGATTCCAGAAGAGGTGCCGCAGGTCTGGACAGCAGCCACGAATCCGACGCTGATTTTCTCGATCATCCGCGACCCGCCGGGCGGCGAGTCGACGGCCACACTTGTCGAAGGCTCCACCATCTCGACGTCCATGGCCATCGAAGGCGCGCACGCCGCCCAGCTGGAAGACTCTTTTGAGTTTGGCGCTTCGGTTGGCGCTGGAGTCGCTGTGAAAGGAGGATTGGGCGTCGGGGCGTTTGTGATTAAAAACGTTGCCTCAGTTGGCCTTAACGCCGGCTTTTCCTACGCGCACACGCCCACGGACGTGACCGTCTCGCGTTCAACTTCGCGGCATTTCGACATCGGCATCAGTTTCTCCGTCAGCATCAGCACGTCCGACTCGCCCTACATCGCGGGCCAGCCGTCCGACGTGATCATCGGCGGCGGCGCGAACCTGCGCTTCATCTCGGCCATCGAGATCTATGCGAAGGTGGATCCCGACGTTACTGGCGGCCTCTGTCTTGGCGGCCTCACTGCCCTGGAGTTCCTACCCGAGCAGATCAGCACGTGGGTCATGAGCGTCTACGAGATCGAGAAGACGATCGAGCGCATCGGTGCGGCGCTGACCGATCCGAACACAAAGATCGAGGCGAAGGGCGGCGGGCCCGACCCGCGCGACGACCTCGTAAAGCAGATCGAGAACTGGCGGACCGTGCTCGCGAACTACAGAGCCGCGACAATCAAGGACCAGGCGCTGTCAGTCGCCGAGCAGCTCAAGGACGAGTTGGACATCATCCACGAAAACTTTCAAAGCTTTCTACAGGCTGCAACCACGGGTGGTTTTGAGGCAGATCAGTTCTCTGACTTTTTGTCACATGGTCTAAACGAACTTGAAAAGCACAAGTTAATCTACCATCGGGAGCAGAATAATCTGGGACCGGTGGGCGATACAGCGCTAAGCGATGCGGAAACGATGGAGGATGTCGCGGACCGCCCTCGGCTAGAGCTCTACGAGAACGACGTTTTGGACCGAGTTAATTCTGTATATAGCGACTGCATCGCTAGCGTTGAACTCGCGGAGCCCGGCGGAGGGGCCCGGCTGTGCAGTGTCTACAAGGAGATCCATGAGAAGCTCGAGCTCAAGTCTTCACTGTTCGGCATTTGCGACTTAAAGGACGGACTGAACGCGGTAGAAGCGTTCTGCACAGTGCTTTTGAATTCAATCATTTTCTTCGCGGGCCCATTCGACCTCAGGTTTGATCTTCGCACAGGTTCTGCAAGAAAGGCCCATATCGGGCGGATACGGGCAACTACGAGGACATCAGCGCTTTCGACGCGCTATCCGACACCACGCACTTCATCACGTTCTCTGGGACCACGGGCATCGAACTCAGCTGGGATGTCTCGCAGTCTCGCGGCCAGGAACTCTCTTCGACGCACGACGGGGCCGTCAACGACGCAATAGGCGGGAGCCTTGGGTTCGGTGCCAATATCGGGCGGCGGCGCCTAGAGGCCACCGATAAAGGCGTGCCCGGCTATGCCTACCCTACGACTGGAAAAGTGCTGGCCGTGTCCAAAAAGCTGCTGGAGGTGACGCCGGAGGCGCTCGAGGAGAGGCGGCGGCTAAAGGACAAGCTTGATGTAGCCGCTGTAAATGCGGCTGCGAACAAGATGAATGAACCCGACGACAGCAACCCATGCCGTCGGCGCTTGACCAAAATGTCCGACGAAGGAGGCCGTCGCCTCGGCATCACGGCGTGCGCCGATTTCGAAGGCGGGACATCCTCTTCATTCGAGGTATCGTTGGGACGCGCCGCGAACAAGGAGGCCGAGCACACGCACTCCGTCGCCGTCTCCCTGAAGGACGGAAACGCGCAGGACGTCTTCGCCGTGAAGATTTCGCAGGACTCCACCTACGGCACACCCATATTCACGACAATGGGAGGCCGCTCGTCGTGCCCCGGCGAGACGGCCACGACGCGGCGCGACTCGCGCGTGACGATCAAGGAGATCAAGCCTCTGTGTGTCTCCGATGCTGATATCAAAGAAAGCGCCGATACTGGCGAGGCCCTTTGCAAAAGCAAGCTGACGTGCGAGTGCAAAGATCTCGAGCCCGGCCAGGACGCCATTATCTCCGTGGTGCTCCAAAATCTCTCGCCCTGGGTGACGAGCGTGAGATACTTGCTCCGCGCGGTGAACGGCGCCTCGACGGCGTGGGATTCGGGCAAGTACGCCCGGCTTGTTGAAGAGGCGTGCCCCCCCGGCGACCTCGGTTCCTTGCTGATCAACCCTCTTGGCTCCGATTCCGGTGACCTCCGCAACGGCGCTGGCGAAGAACTCGCGCCGCTTCCCTACGGCCAGTCCGAGATTCGGCTTCTCGTGTCTCGACGCGACTTCACGCCGCAGTGCCGCTCGTACTCAGACCTCGAGCTCGAGCTCGTTGCGGTGTGCGAGGACACGGACTGGGCCAACAATCAGGACGTGTACCAGTACCAGGCGCACATGGATCCTGAGAATGGCGCTGTTAGCGTGGTCCACCCGAAGTTTGTCGGGCGGCCCGTCGGTTTGGACCCCGGCATCACCTTAGTTGCTGAATGTGCTGACGAAGATTCGGCTGGAACAGACTGTCCTGCCGCGGGCATCGTTGATCTTGATGGCATCGTTGCTACTACTGGTGCCGGCGCAGGCACCACTCCCGCTTCCACGTATCATGGCGACGGTAAATGGTGCTACTCGGACCTGAACCTGGCCGTGGACTGCACGCTGTCTCCAGCGAGTTGCTGGTCGAAGTGTAATGAAAAAATCGAGGTCCTTAACAAGATCGAGAAGGTTCCCTCGATGGAGTCTGCAGCCGCGCAAGGCTGCCCGATCTCGTTCATACAACAGACGGATGACAAGGGTGAGGAGTTTAAGTGCTCGCCAGTCGACGGGCCCTTTGAGCTCAAGGCGATCGACTGGGAGGAGGTGACCGGGCAATGCCGCTGCCAGAACGGCTGCGATTGCCTGGTGGACGACTTAGTGACTTACGACGTCACCAAACCCGCAGACCACAAAGACTACAAGACGCGCCAAACGACCACCCACCTCCTCACGAAGAAGGATGATCTAACATTTCCAGAAAAAGAGAAAGAAGAGGACGATCATGTCAGCTTCGCTCCAACCGCCATGCCCACGGAACGGGAACAGTTGTTGGCGAAGGACCCATGGGCCCCATACAAACACTGTGACCTCTACACTTTCACGGACGCGTCGAAGGCCAACGGCCCCGACACGTCTAGGAAGACCTTCGACGTGTCCTGGAAGGAAGGTGCTGGCGAAAAAGACCAGCTCGCTCAACTACTCGAGAATCAACAAGAGCTATTCGAAATGGTCCGACAAATGCAAGAAGAAAACGAGGAAACGGCGGCGGCGTCGGGCAGCGGGCTGGCCGTCGGCGCGGTATTCTTGCTGGCCGTCGCCGCCATCGGTTACTACATGTACCATCGCCACCATCAGAAAATTGCTCAGGTCGAGATGGCTCAGAGACAGCCGACGTGGGACGACGCCGCCCGGGCCAACTACGACGCCATCGACGTCGAGACTCACGAAACGAACAAAGAAGACCAGGACACCTTCGAAAGGAACGTCGAGGTCGACGTCGAGCTCGAGGTCCAAAAGGCGCCGCCACAGCCCTCCGCCTATCCGGGCGGCCAGTCTCTGCCCCCGTGGCCGTACCCCGAGACGAGACCGACGCCGGCGTCCTACGACCCGGCCTGCATTCTCAAGGTGTCGTGGCCGCGCGACGCCGCCCGGCCGACGGAGGACACGCTGCGCGAGACCTTCGCGGCGCTCGCGCCCGTGCTCAACGTCGGTCTCGGCAGCGGCAACGCCGCGATGGTGGTGTTCAAGGACGCCGCCGGCGCGCGCGCGGCCGAGGCCGCCTACGACGGGCCGTGGCGGACCGCGCCCGCCAAGCCCCCCGCGGCCGCCGCTGATCAGCCGCCGCCGCCGCCCAAGACGGGCGAGGTGTGATGGCCTCCTTATAAGCTCGCTGGACTCCCCTCGTTGTATCGCCACGGTACATCGGCAAACAGCGACTCCCTTTCCCCATCAGCTCCCGTTGCACCCGGGCCGCCCCCGGTGTAGTATCCCCTAGTATAAAGAGATTAACAGTTTCTACGTCTCGCCGCTGCTGAGCGGCCGCACGCACACGCCCAGCGCCGCCCGGAAGTCGCTAAAGGTGCATCGGTCACAGTCGCAACTGTGCTGGTTCGTATCGCCTGCTTCGCCCGCGCCGAGAACAAACGGTGCTAAGTAGCCCTAAGCAAAGCAACATTAAAATATAAATATACTTCATCAAGGGCCGGCTCGTGGCGCCCAAGGGCGGGCGGGGCAACGCCATGTCGATCATGTTCTAGGTGGCACGCGCGGCGGCCGTCGCGAGCGCCGCGCGAGATCCCTCCCGAGGGTTGCGTGGGACTCGTCCGGGCCTTCCCGGAGCGGTCTTGCGCGGCGCGATCTGCGCGGATCGGCTCGCCGCGCCCAGCGGCCGGCCGAGAGAGAGCCAAATTCCGAGAGGGCGTACCGCGTCGCGCGGCAGCACCTGACACGACGAGAGCACGCCCGATGGTAAAAGAGAAGGCTGCCCCGCTCGCCGCCGCGCTGGTGCTCGCGGCAGCCTGCCAGCACCCCAGGGCAGCCGGGAGCGCGGCGCTGGTGCTCGCGGCGCGCGGGTCCGCAGCCGGGCGCGTCGGCGGCGCGCTGCTGGCGGCGGCGGGGTTCGCAGCAGGAGACGCCAACAATGGTGTCGCGTCGTCGTATCGCGCAGTGTAGAAATCAAACCGGTGTTCCGACCGATCGTGCTCGCGCGTCCGTCGGCAGACTTAACCTCGAAACGACGCAGGTGTAGCGGATGGAGTTGTCATTATCATGGCCAGTATTGCCCGCCCGGTAGACCCGGAAGCCACACGCCAGGTTACGGTCACGGCTATTGCTGCGATTATTACAGCTGGACAACCTCCCTCGGCGCATGCCTATCGGCTCCAGCAGGATATTATAGTAATATCTACAACAACGGAGCGACTACTGCATGCGGAGCCGGGACGTATCAACCAAGTGCCGGATCCCAAACCTCGTGCGTTCACTTGTGCGGCGCGGGATGGTACTCCGAAGCGGCGTGGAGTTCGTGCGGTCAATGCGGCGCGGGCAAGTACTCTTCCGGGAGTGCCAATGGCGGCTGCACGAACTGCCCTGCGGGGACTTACTCTCCTCATGCGAGGAACACTGGATGTCCTGCATGCGCCACGGGATACTACTCTGGAGAGGCATGGGCCTCGTGCGGAATATGTGCCGCGGGCCAGACGTCGAACTCAGCCAAAAGCGGGTGTCAAGACTGCCCCGCGGGCTACATCTCGAGCGCGGGAACTGCGTGCGCCGCCTGCCCCGCGGGCCAGACGTCTAACTCGGCGCACACGGCCTGCGTGACTTGCGCCGCGGGAGAATTTTCGGTGCAGGGCGGCACGTGCCAGCCGTGCCCCGCGGGCACGTCCTCGACAGCAGGTCAACCCAACTCTTGCTCGATCTGTCCCGCGGGAACGTACGCGACGGGAGGCCAAGCCGGCGAATGCTTGAAGTGCGGCGACGTCGGCTACGCTGGCTACCTTGAGAGTCTTTGGGACCCGAACCAGAGCGGCTTAACGAGCGAAAACGAGTGCGATTGCGCACCCGGCCAAACCGGCACGAACTGCGATCAAGCTGAATGCGCGGGCACGAAGCCAGCGGTGTCGCTCGGATTTCTTGTATTAGAAGTGCAATGGCCGCGGCACGCGCGAGTGCTCTCGAGGAACGAGGCCTTCTCGGGCATCTCGGCAGCGTTCCGTGCATTCGACGTGAATTCGGACAATCATTTAAGCGTCACCGAGGCGAGGGCCAGCGTCTATCAATGCAATTATTAACCGAGGCCGCGTTCGTCGGTGACTCACTGTCCGCGCAGGCAAGGAGGGCGATAGCGGACGGTGGCATGGCGATTCCTTTGAAGGTGTCGCACATCTGGTCGAGAGATGGCGTCAAGCTGGACGAGAACGACGTGACCATCACGGACATGATCCAGGATGAGCTCGACCGGTTGGAGACGCAGGGCACGAAGGACTACCACGATAAGCCGAGCGGCTCCGGCGAAATCTCGGCGATGACGGCGACCTATCCGAATCCCCTCTCTACGAACACCGAATGTACAACCCAGAATCAGGCTAAACCAGAACTCGAGTGGACCGTCGACCGCGGCGAGAAGATCATCTTCCAGCAGTGCGCCTTCTTCAACGGCCAGGCGCTCTCTGCGTACGATAGCTGGGATGACGACGTCTCGAGTGGAGACAGCAACGTAGATTCTAACGACTGCCGCGGCGAATTCGACTCCGAGTGCGAGTTCAAGTTCCAACTCGGTCCCGACTACAAGGTAGAGTCTCACCATCGAAGCCCCTGCACGGCCGCGGGTGAGATTACCTCCGAGGGAAGCTGCGTCGAATCGCCAGACGGCGAGCTCGTCGTTAATTTATGGCCAAGCGAGTACAGCGCGCCGATCGACGTCGGCGCATGCGGGTGCCCCGCGAGCTTCCCGTACCCACACGTAAGTATTCCAGGGATCTGCTACAACGACGCCTCGTACACTGCCGGTGGCCCGTGCGGCAGCTGGTGCACGTTGGACGCCGCGGTTGGTTCCGGTTGCGGAGATAATTCTGGTAACATGTGTTCCGACGGCGGCTGCAACCTGGGCACGGTGCCGACACCGGCCAACTACGAGCTCTCGCTCACCATCGCCATGGATCAAGATGAGGTTTTCGGATCTACCATTTCTATTATCCATCTGACCGGCAAGGACGAGGCGAACGGGCTACGCTACCCCGGTCTCTGGTTTTCGGACGTGGGTCGCTTGTATGTTGCCCGTAGCAACGAAAACAGTGGGGAGACAAATGCATATGCGACTACTGTGTTCAAGGCGGGCGAATCTTATGAGATCAGAATCACCAATATTGACTCGTTGCTCAGCGTTTACGTGGACGGCCTGCTGGAAGTCTCTACACAAGGAACCTCGACGAGTGCGCCCGCGGACGGCGGCGTGCTATATGTGGGCGGTCCTTGGTACGCGCCAGTAAAAGCGACGATCTCCGACGTTATCTTTCGCGAGGTCGAGGCGCTCGCCATCAGCAAGCACAGCTACTGCGTCGAGACGAAGTTCTGTCCTGGTGTGGGCCAGGCCGAGTGCGCGCTGAGTCTGCCCGGTCCATACACCGCTTCCAAGGGTAACAAGGTGGGGACTGCCGATGTCACGTTCGAGGACTACGTGCTCTCGTTCACGATGGAGCTGGCGGGTGACTGGAGCATCACGGGCGCGTGGCAGTCCGTCTTTCACATCGGCGACGAAAATGGCCACCGCATGCCTGGCATCTGGTTTGAACCAAACGACAACAGACTGTACGTAAACCATGACACTTGCTGTGGTGCATCCACCGACACCTCCTTCGGTTTCACGGCCGGAAGGACCTACGACATCAAGGTCGTTCTCGATAAGAGCAAGCTGGTCCTGTACGTCGATGGCGTTAAGCTCGCCACCTCTACCGGGGGCTCGACCCCTGCTCGGGAGAACGCTGCCGTGTACGTCGCGGATCCGTGGTACGACGCCGCCAAAGTCACGCTCTCGGACATCTGCTTGAAGGAGATTCCAGTTTGCGACTTAGATACGGAGGGCATCACGACAACGACGCGCTGCACGACGGGCCTCCAGTACGACGGAACGCCCATGGATATATTCCCGCGCATGCTGGGCAAGGAAGGCGTCTCGATTAGCTGGCTCGACACGTCGACGGTGGCGAGCGGCTACCGCATCTACAAATACGACCCTTCCGCGCCGTTCGCTGAGGACACGTCGGCCCGGCTCCTGCGCGAAGTCTCTTCTTCTACGTGTGGGCTCACGCACAACTATCTGGATTTCCGCGACGCCACGACAGGATCAGAGCCAGGCCTTGGGGTCGGCTACGCCATCGTGCCGCTCGACGCGGCTGGCGCCGAGATCAAGGACAAGGTCGGCGTGAGCGGGGACAAATTCGCCCTATCGAGCAGCGGCTCCCGGAGGCGCGCGCGGCGACTCCAGGGCGGGGCTTCTTCGTCCACAACCAGCGGCTTCATCGTGACGTGGTTTGGCGACGTTCGGGTCTCCGTCGTGGCCGAGGGAGGTGGACCAGTCGAGAAAGTCACCGTGAAGCTGTCGCGCATGAAAGATGATGGCAGCGGCAAAGTGGACGTCGATGAGACATACAGGGAATTCCTCGAGGAAGAGACAGATGCCTACGGAGAAGCGGTGCTAAGGGTGCGCGTCCAGGATAGCAATTGGTTTAGTAAAACGCAGCACTTCCGCGTGGACGTCGAGAAGTTAAGTGATAAAAAGGAGGGCGCGGACTACGACCAAGAGAGCCCATTGAGGGTCTCGGGATTCGACGACTCGCTGGACAGGAACGGGGCATACTTCCCCGTTCCTGATAGCAGCAGCAACAGCATAGCTCTGTGCAACGGCATGCCCCGCTACGAGTGCAGGGATTGCGGTGGCTACCTATGGCGTTCCGCGGATAAAGTTTGGATTATCAACGACGAATCTACCTGTATTACTACGAACAATTACGCTGGATCCAGTTGGGCTACCTTGACCGGCTCTTCTACTGACCCAACTTCTGCTACCAGCCGGATCTGGGGCGATCCGATCAAGGTCCTCGGAATACTGGAACACGACTTCGAGCCCCCAACCCAGCAAGCGATCTTGCGCCACCTGGAGGAGGCCCCCTTGACCTTCATCGACGAGACGGCCGTCGTCATCTCGGGCACCGTGTCGCACGCCGGCTTCGGTGCCGCTTACTTCGCTGAGGACTGCCCTCACACGAAGTTCCAGTTCCTGTTAGACTCTTTCCTTGTCTCAGGAACCTCCAATCATCAAGACACGCACGGGACGTACCGGCAGAACGGGCTGTGCGAGGATGTGCCCTACTACGAGTGCGTCGACTGCAGCAGCGATCAGTATATTTGGTACAAAACTGGAAAATGGCACATCGGAAGTGACGGCTGTGGAAGTGCTTCTGCAGCGATACATGTGGCTGACTCGGCCCAGGACCTTGAGGCAGTATCTGGTACTTGGCAGGAAGATACCGGATCCGGCTTCGCCCCCGATACCGCCATCTCGGTCGCAGCCATCTACACGAGGGCGGACACAGAGGAGTGCATCTGTTCCGTCGACGGCGCAAAGCTCGAGATCACGCGCGCTTCGGGAGCCGTCGAAGACGTGGAGCTGCAGGACGACGGCACGTACTCGACCGCCGTCTTCAACGGTGAGATTGTGACGCTCAGCCTGAAAGAATACTACGGCGGCGCTTCTCCGCCCGAGTGCACGGCTGTTGGCACGTCCACACACGAAGGCCGCTCGCTTCACTGCGTCCAATTCACGGACACGACGGGGACGCAGTTTGTAGACGTCCTCGAGGTGATAGATGGTACTCTGACATGTGGTCACTTCGACGACAACTCCTGCCCCGCTGGCTACGACATCTGGGTCCCGCGGAGCTACGAGCACGCAAAGGCCGTGCGTGATAAGTACCAAAGCATCACGGGCAAAGAGCATTTGCCCAACCTCGTCGGCGTCTACCGCGAGCAGCATGGGACTTATCCCGAAACCATTACGTACGCGATGAATAGCGACGACGCGGGGGCCGTCGTCGCTGGCTGGACGAGCGTCGCGGGGTCGCCGTGGTTTCTGCGAGAGGCAGAGACTGCCTCATCAACATATTACAATGAGCCGAACGGAGGGAAATCTGCGTCGGAAAGCTACCAGGCGGGATCCTGGATCTCTATTACGGGTTGGGATGATACTATAGGGTTTCAGTTCAACGACGATCCGAGGCCTTCGGATCAGTGTGTAAAGGACTACCTCTGTAGCTTCAACTCCGTCGCGCACACGTTCTCGGTCACGCACGCGTTTTCGGCCGCCCAAGCAACGCAATTCTCGGTCAATCCATCGGGTGGCCAGGCGCCGACGTTCAACTACAAGGCAGACGAAAATGCCGAGGTCCACTTCCTCGACACGAGTATGCAGAGCCTCTCCGCGAGACTCGTCGCGGGCGCGAATCGAGAGCCGGCCTCGTACGTGAATGGCGTGCCGGTCGTCGCGAGCGTCGCGCGCTGTGGGTGGGAGCTGCCGGCCTGGATACTGCGGGGCGAGGCCGCCTTCTGGCTCGGAGCCGCCGCGTTCGACGTGCGCGTGCTCGAGGCGGACGAGGTCGACGAGCCGAAGTATTACTACCCGCCCGGCACTTTATCTAATGCCGACCAAGAGCTCGTGGTTCACGACTGCGATGGCGACCCTGACGGTCCGACGCCGCGCGATGAGATGGTAGGAACGCTTTTCGTGTCTGGTGACGATGATGACACCGTGAACGCTGAGGAAATTATGCTCCGCGGCTGCCGCGCGAAGATCCCCGACGTATCCGGGAGCGCAGAGAGACCCTGCGCGACCATGGACTACACCTACGTAGACGAGCTGCCGGTAGATCGAAACTTTGGCAGGGATCTCGCCCACAATAGCGCGGCGGCGGCCTTGGTTCAGTTCGAAATCATTTCGCCGCTCTGTCTCAATGCAGTAAAGGCCGGATCTAAAATCGAGGACCTCCTGCTCTCGCCCCCCGAACCTCTCACGGATGACCCTGAAACGGACGACACTATTAACATTTACGGCGAGGCCTGTACCAGCAACGAGGACTCGATCTTGAACAAGGGCGACGTCGTGGAGTTCAAGTTCGAGCTCGTGGAGCGCGAGCCAAATTGTGGTGCCGACGGTATTTATCCGTGGGATGAGGGCGGCAAATGTAACGGCTACGAGAATAACCCACCGCCTAGTGTGAACCTGCCGTCGGACGACCACCAGATCAAGATCCATGTCGCCGACGGCGTGACCCCCGAGGACTACGAGGAAAGCTGCCCAAGTATCACCCCGAGTACCGCCTGCTCCGAGTCGAGCGATGGATCCATCCTCGAGTTCACGCATTTCATGACGGCCGGCGAACCCAACCCCTTCGCGCCCTTCTCGAAGAAGATCAGCGTGGAGTTCACGCGGGCGTTCGACAACGCCAGGATTTTGTTCGAGCGCCACGTGCTGATACTGGGATCGATCGCTGAGGAGGTTCCTCAGGTCTGGACGACGGCCGTGGAGGGTCTGATCTTCTCGGTCCTCCGCGACCCGCCGGGCGGCGCGTCGACGGCCACGCTCGTCGAAGGGTCAACAATCTCGACGTCCATGGCCATCGAGGGCGCGCACGCCGCAACGTTGGGCAAGACGTTCCAATGGAGCGCCTCTGGAGGCATTCAGGGCGGTTTCAAAACTGCGCCGCCCGGGGTCATTTTCAACGGCGTGGGTATTGGAACCAACCATGGAGGAGGTCAGTCAGATAGTACTAGCATTACCGTCAGCCGCGGATCATCGTCACACTTTGACATCGGCATCTCCTTTGGAATTGCCATCACCACTTCTGACTCGCCATACCTGGCGGGCCAGCCGTCCGATGTTATTATTGGTGGCGGCGCCAACCTGCGCTTCATCTCGGCCATAGAGGTCTACAGAGACCCACCAGAGGGAGAGGGGAAAAATGGAAACGGTGAGATCTGTCTCGCCGGAAGGCAGACGGTCGAGTTCATACCTGAGAGGATCACGACGTACGTCATGACGGTCTACGAGATCGAGAAGACGATCGAGCGTTTGGGCGAAGCGGTTCGGGACATAGGTAATGGAGACATGGAAATATCAGGTGAGGGCATGGACGCTACGAAACTGCAAACACAGCTAACTAATTGGGAGAAAGTGCTCACAGCCTACCGGGCAACCGAGAAGACGAGCGTCGCCGCACAGCTTCAGACGGTAATGGACGGTTTGCACACGGACTTTACAAAGTTTCACAAAGACCTAAACGACCTAAGCGACGCGCAGTCCTCCGAAGTCAAGGACTTCGTCGCGCGGGGGATTGAGAACCTCAACAGGCACAAGCGTGGCGAGGACATGCAGTCTGTGATACCTGATGGGGGAGTTGAAGACGGAGGGGTCACCGACGATATTAAGGAAAAATCTGCAGGATTTGACGGGCACAAATATATCGAGGACACGGTCGGCAAGGTGAGTGATAGCGTCACGGAAGCAGCAAAAGCTTGCGCCGTGGCAACGAGCAAGATAGATCCCACCAATCTTCATCCTCTGTGCACCGCTTACCAAAACATCGGAGAGAAAGTGGACCTTGTCCAGACGCTCCTCGGCGTGTGCGGCTTTGAGACTGACATCGAGTCTGTGAAGACGTTCTGCAAGCGAGACGGTACGGTGCCCGGCATCGGAACGACCATGAGCGGAGCTCATTATCTGAGCGCGTTAAACTTCCTCAGCGACACGGAAAGATTCCTCACGTTCTCCGGCTCGACGGGCGTCGACTTCTCGTGGGACGTCGCGGAGGCGCGCGGGTCCGATGTGTCCGTGACCACGGATGGGTCGTTAGAGGGCGGCTGGAACTACGACGGTAGTTTTGGTTTTCAGATCGGCCGGCGCCTGACCGACGAGTCTCGTTCAAGCAGTGGCCTCGTGTCCTTGGCCGGCTACGCGTACCCGACGAGCGGTCCCGTGCACGCCGTGTCCAAGAAGCTGCTCGAGGTGACGCCCGAGGCGCTCGCGGAGAAACGGCGGAAGCTGGTGGAGGAGGCGGCGGCTGCGCCCGAGCAGGGGCGACGGAAACTCCCAGTGAACCAAGCCACCAAGGATAAAATGAATGAGATTCTCACGGCCGCGCAGAAGATCAACACGCCCGAACACGAGGGCCCCCCCGAAGGCGGCGGGTGTCGCCGCCGCCTGCAGCTCGGCATCCAGGGCTGTGGTACGTGGGGTCACGCAGAAACAGATTCATTTTCGGTGAGCATGTCGCGGTCCGCCAACAAGGAGACCGGACACACGCACACCGTAGCTGTTTCCCTTAAAGATGACAACGTGAGGGACGTGTTTGCCGTCCAGGTCGCGATGGATGCGACCTACGGCACGCCCATTTTCACGACCTTGGGGGGCTTCTCGTCGTGCCCCGGTGAGACGGGCACGACACGGCGGGACAGCGGGGTCAGCATCATTAGCATCACGCCGCAGTGCGCAACCGAAGGCTGCAAAGACCTGGAACCCGGCGAGACCGCCTTCTTCTCCGTGCAGCTTCAGAACAGATCGCCTTGGCGAGCTGGCGTGCGGTACTGGCTCCGCGCGGCCAACGGCGGCACGACGTGGTGGTACTCGGGGAAACAAACGGATGCCGGCGACGAGTGTCCTGAGGGCGACATGGGCGCGCTCGAGATGGGTGCGGTATCTCTAACCAACCTAAATATGCGGGACGGAGACGGCCTGGTTATTGACCCGATTCCGTACGGACAGTCCGAGGTTCACATCTTCGTCGCGCGGAACGACGACATGCCAGATCAGTGCTACAAGTACTCGAAGATCCAGCTCGAACTCTACGCGGATTGCGAGGATCCAGACGATGACGGCATCCAGGAGGTGTACCAGTACCAGACAAGCATGGACGAGAACCCTGCTTCGAGGTCGTACGGCGAGATTGCAGTCGAATACCCAATTTGGGACATAGGCACGTCCTCCTGGTCGAAGCCGGCCCGGGGCCCCGAATCACACAGCATGACCTTCGACGTGTCGTGGAAGAAGACTTCCAGCGAAGAGCCAGTCGACCTTCAAGTACTGTACGACATGCTCCAGCAAATGCAAGATGAGAACGAGCAAACTGCGGCAGCGTCGGGCGGCGGGCTGGCCGCCGGTGCCGTCTTCTTGCTGGCCGTCGCCGCCATCGGTTACTACGCGTACCATCGCTACCATCGCCAGAAAACTGCTCAGATCGAGGCGAATCAGAGACAACCGACGTGGGACGACGCCGCCCGGGCGAACTACGACGCCATCGACGTCGAGACTCACGAAACGAACAAAGAAGACCAGGACACCTTCGAAAGGAACGTCGAGGTCGACGTCGAGCTCGAGGTCCAAAAGGCGCCGCCGCGACCCGCCGGCGGCGCATTGGAGCTCAGCGACATGTCCAAGCCGGCCGCCTACCCGGGCGGCCAGTCGCTGCCGCCCTGGCCGTACCCCGAGGCGAAACCGACAGCGCGCCCGACGCCGGCGTCCTACGACCCGGCCTGCATTCTCAAGGTGTCGTGGCCGCGCGGCGCCGCACGGCCGACGGAGGACACGCTGCGTGAGACGTTCCAGGCGCTCGCGCCCGTGCTGAACGTCGGCCTCGGCAGCGGCAACGCCGCGATGGTGGTCTTCAAGGACGCCGCCGGCGCGCGCGCCGCCGAGGCGGCATACGACGGGCCGTGGCGGACCGCGCCCGCCAAGCCCCCCGCGGCCGCCGCTGATCAGCCGCCGCCGCCGCCCAAGACGGGCGAGGTGTGATAGCCTCCCCGCGAGCTCGCCGGACTCGCCCCCGGTGCATCGCCACGGTGCATCGGTCGCAGTCGCCCCCTGTGTATCGCCACGGTGCATCGGTCGCAGTCGCAGTTCGTATCGCCCGCCCCCTTCTTCGTCGCGTCGAGAACCGGCGCGGCATATCCTGCCATGCTAATATTTATAAATAAGCCATTGCGTCGGCGACGGCGGCCCGAGGACACTGGCGACAGGTAGTAGTATGCCAAAACTTAGGACCCCCCACCAGTCACCGTGAGCGGCAGGAAGCGCACTTCCCGGTCGGCGCCCGCGTGCGTCGACACGACGCACGCGCCCGCGGCGCCGCGGTCGACGACGCAGAGCCGCGCGCAGGCGCCGACGTCAGCCTCGCCCTCCCCCTCCAAATGAGAGGACTGCTCGCCGACGACGTCGTGCACGCGAAACGACGCGCCGGTCCCGGCCTCGCACAGGAACGGCCCGCCCGCCGCGACGCGCCGCGCCGGAGGCACCTGCTCTATGCTAGACCGCCGCGCGGCGCCCGACGCCGCCTTTGCGGCCTTGAGGTCACTGCGGACCGCGCAGGCCACCGCTGTAATCCCGTCGGCCGTCGCCGCGTGCGCGACACAAACCAAGGACCCGTAGCCCTCCGCCGCGTCCGACGCGTGCGCCGCGGCCCAGCGGCCCACTCTACATGACGCGCCACTCGGAACGAAGACGTAGGCGCGCGGCTCGACTGGGAGCACGAACGACCGGCTCCCGCTCTCGTCCCAGAGAATTACACATGTTTCAGCACCGCTGCAGACGGCGCAGGTCCATTTCCTTTTAGAACCCTCGCCCCGCGTCATGTCTCGCACCAGCGTCACGTCATCGGGAAAGGGCAACGCGACCCAAGTCTCGGCCGAGTCCCACCTGTGCGCCACGGGTCTATCATCGTTGTAGGACTCGCACCAGCGCGCCGCCCATTCATTGCCGTCCACGTCGAGGTGCAAGCGCGTCTTCGACCGCCTCTGATTGCCTTGGGGCCGCGCTCGCAGCTTCGGCGCCTCGGACGCGCCAAAGTCGTAGACCGCCAGCAGCCGGTCGTCACCTCGACTATTGCACGCGACGGCTAGAAAATCGCCGCGCCTTTCGACGGCGACGGCCACCACGGAACCGCCCGGCGACGCGCACCGCCGCAGCTCCCGGACGTCCGCGGCGCCCTCGAGCCGTAGCAATGAGATCGATCTAGCTGTGGCGACGGCGACCGTGTCGCGGCAGGCGGCGACGGCGACGACGGCGCCCGACTCCTGCCGCGACGTCTGCTCGGCGACCATCATGGACCGGAGGAGCCCCGCGACGCCGCCGTCGTCGGCCGCCGCCGCCGCGTCGGAGGCGTCCTCGGCCATTTCCGCGTCGTCATCGTCCGGCGGCGCCGGTCGCTCCTCGGCCACGGGCGCGTCGTCGGCGTCGTCTACATGCAGCGGTCGCTCCTCGGCCGCGTCCTCGGCCTCCGGGGGCGCCTCGGCCATGTCGGCGTCGTCGGCCTCGGGCGTGTCGTCGCCGCCGGTGGGCGGCGGCGGCCGCGGCGGCGGCACGGCGTTGTGCGCCGCGAGCTCGCGCAGCGCCGCCGCCGGCCGCTTGGCGTCGTAGGTCCGCGCCGCGCCGCAGACGTCGCAGGTCCGGCCGCCCTCGTTGACAAAAGTGCACGCGCCGCAGGTCCACTGTTGCGCATGCTTGCGCTTGCGCGTCGGCGGCGCGACGACCTCGGGCTCGTCGTCGTCGTCGTCGTCGTCCTCGGCTGGCGCCGGCAGCGGCGCGGCCGTCGCGCTCGTCGCGCCGCGGGGGTTCGTGCACATCGCGCATCTCTTCCTATTCGCGTGGTTCTCGGCGAAGGTGCAGATGAGACAGGTCCAGCGGCCTCGGCCCCGGCCTCGGCCGCGGCCTCTTCCCCTGCCTCTGCCGCGGCCGCGCGCCATGGCTGCTCTGTGCGACGTGAGGCGTTGGTTTGAGCAGTTGCACCACTGATTACTGCCTGAGCCACGAGTTATGCATCCGATACGGCCGCGCGAAACTCGAGCTAGCGGTCTGTAAAGACACTAGCAAGCAGACGAAACTCGAGCTTCGGCCGGCGAGGCGTCTCGGAGCCGTGCGTACGACAGTTCCACGACGAAGAAGCGTCGAATGGCTGCGAGGCTAGTAGGTTCCCAAAAGCCGCATGGCCGTACGCGGCGAGTGTATTTGCGGCATCATTGCGCACTAAGCGCCAGCGATACGCAGCCGGGAAACCGATTTAAATTGCCAGCGCAGCGCGCCGGAAGCCATCGCTGCGATGGAAAATTCAAATCCGGCACTGCCGGAGAGTGACCCTAGCCCGCCCTCGCCAAGCGCGCCGTCCAGCGCGCCGCCCGCGCCGCCCGCGGCACCGGACGGCTCGCAACCAATTGCCGCGCCGGCGCCGGCGCCGCCAACGGTAACGCAAGAAAATGCCCCGACGGCGACCGAGGCGCCCGCGGCGCCGCCCGCGGTGACGCAGCCGCCGCCTACGCAACAACAACCCGTCGACGACCTCTTCGCTGATGATGATGACGACGACGACGTCGCGCCCGCGGCGTCGCCGGGCAAGCTCTTTGATGATGACGACGACGAGGACATGGCCGACGCGGCCGACGAGGAGGAAGAGGAGGAGGCGTACGAGGACGACGGCGACGCCGAGGACGACGAGGAGGACGAGGACGAGGACTCGCAGGCCGAGGACGACGAGGCGTTGGCGCGGCGGCTCCAGCGCGAGTGGGAGGAGGAGGACAACCGGCCGCGGAGGAACCGGAGGGCGAGAAGGTACGACTCGTCGGAGTCGCCGTCACCACCTAGAAAAAGGCGCGCGCCGCCCAAGAAGGAGCGGTCTAGTCGTCGAGCCGCGGCGCAGAAGTCGTACGTCGAAGTTGGAAGTAGTGCGGAGGACGAGTCCGACATCGACGTCGGGAGCGACGGCTCGCCCCGCGCGAGGGGCGACACCTACGGCACGAAGAAGGGTCGTAGGTCCCCGCCGCCGACGGATAGTAAGGAGGGCATCGAACGGCTCTTGTGCCAGGAAACGCTGACGAAGAAGGAGTGGCGGCCGATCCTCGAGAAGATGCGCACGAAGCACGTCTTCCACGGCTCGGCCATGGATGTTCCTGATGGAGGCGAGGCGCTCCCGGAGGACGAGGACCTGCCCATCACGCGGTACTTGGTCAAGTGGAAGCAGTTCTCGTTCCTGCACGTGTCCTGGGAGACGAAAAGAGATTTGGAGTCCATAGATCAAAAAGCTTGTCAAAGGGCGATCATGTCGTTGCAAGGTCGAGAAAGGAAGGGCCAGGTCCCGGAGATCGGCAAGCCGCCCTGTGCTAAAAGGGCCTTTGATCCCCAGATGGTCGAGGTGGTTTGTAGCCGGCGTCCTTTGTAACTGAGCGTCGTCGCGCCATCGACGCGCCACGAGCGAGAGTGGCACCTCGCGTCGCGTCGACCGGTGCGTCGCATCGATGGCGTGGAGGCGTCGCATCGATGGCGTAGAGAGGTCGCAGTCGCCTAGCCGCCCTCGAGAGTACACGCCGCCGCCGCGACCCTCACTCCACACGCACGCAGGAGCGCGTCCTCGAGCTGCCCGGCCTGGTTGGGGGCGAGGCCGGCGAGAAGCGCCTCGCGTTGAATCTACCGCCTCCCGACCTCGAGGAGGACGGCATCATGGAGGGCGAGGAGAATAACTACGAGGAGCAGGCGGCCGCGAGCGGCGTCGACCTCGACGACGCCGCGGCGCGGCGCAAGTTCGCGGCGGAGCAGTACGAATCGGCGCTCAAGGAGACCGAGGCCCAGGGCGAGGCTCGGAGGAAGGCTGTCGCTGATGCGGTAGCTCTATGTGCGGCCACGGTCGCTCCGCCCGACGCGGAAGACGTACTAGTGAAGTGGACGGGTCTGGGCTACGACGAAGCTTCTAGAGAAAGGTGGTCCGACGTGCTGGAGGCGTGTGCCGACCGGGAAGACCTAGATGCGAGAGTTGTTGCTTGTGCGAGACGCTTTGCGTCGAAGCCCACTCGCAGTCAAGCGTCGGCACGAGCCGCCCAGGACAAGGCCTCGGTCAAGGCCGTGAAGCGGGCCGTACCATTAGCACCTTATAGAGGAGGTCCTCTGCACTTGCGCCCTTATCAGATCGACGGCGTGGCTTGGCTGGCCTTTAACTACTTGCAGAAGCGGTCGTCCATCTTGGCGGACGAGATGGGCCTCGGGAAGACCGTGCAAACGGTATCATTAGTACGAATGGCCAAGGAGCGCTACGGCGCGCAAGGCCCTGCATTGGTAGTGGCACCCCTGTCGACGTTAGCCCACTGGCAGCGAGAATTTGAACATTGGTCCGCGTTAGATGTCATGGTCTACCACGGGAGCCAAGCTTCTCGTCTAGAGGCGAGAAATTTGGACCTCATGGCGCGCAAAACGGCCGCGAAGAGAAACCCCAAGGTAAAGACGCCAAAGACTCCTTCGGTGGATGTGGTCGTGACGACCTACGAACAACTACTGTTGGAGGACTCCGCCAACGCTCTTGGTGCTATATCCTGGAGTCTGTTGGTCGTCGACGAGGCTCACAGACTGAAGAACCCACACTCTAGACTGTACAGAACTCTACACGGCGACAACGGCACGTTCAAGGCCATATCTCGGTTGTTGTTGACGGGGACACCTTTACAAAATAACATGACGGAGCTCTGGTCCTTATTATCTTTTTGCGACGAAAAACAATTTGGCGAGGATTCTGAGGAATTTGTCGAGAAGTACGCGCGCGTTCCCGGCGTCTTTCTTTCGACTTAATACCCCCCGGCGCGGCGGCCGATGGCGTACATGTGGCGCGAGGCGCGGCCGGGAAGCGGCACGGCCTCCCGCGACGCTGTCGCCGCGGCGCCCCGTGAGTCGCACGCTCGACCACGCAGATCGCAGTCACACACGTAATACGCAGGTCCTGCGCCCACGAAGCGCCCGCGGAAGGCCTGGCCGTGCAAGAAAAAGATGAGGATGCCGAGGACGACGGCTCCGTCCTCAGCTCACTACTCGACGAGATGCGCCCCTACGTGTTAAGAAGGGTCAAGGCCCACGTCGAAAAGTCCGTGCCGCCGAAGGAGGAAATTGTGGTCTCCGTAGCGTTGGCCCCGCTCCAAAAAAGGTACTACAGAGCGCTCTACGAAAAAAACGTCCTCATGCTCGCGGGCACGGGCCGGCCCGTCGACGGCCCGAGCCTCATGAACCTGGCCATGGAGCTGCGGAAGTGCTGCAACCATCCCTTTCTCCTGAAGGGCGTCGAGAGACAAGAGGAAGCGAGGTTGTCGGGCCAGACGGAAAGAGAAAGACTGGTAGGCGCGTGCGGGAAATTGCAGTTCCTCGACAAACTCCTCCCGAGACTCTTCCAGGAAAGTAACAGGAAAGTTTTGATATTCTCGCAGTTCGTCATGATGCTGGATGTGTTGAGTGATTACCTGAGGAGTGCGAAGTACGCGCACGGTCGCGTGGATGGTGGCGTCACGGGCCGAGACCGGCAGAAGCAGATCGACCAGTTCGCGCAACAAGGCGAGGGTGCCGTGCGCGTCATGCTCCTCTCCACAAGAGCGGGCGGCGTGGGCATCAATTTGGTGGCGGCGGACACGGTCGTCGTCTACGACTCGGACTGGAACCCGCAAAATGATGTGCAGGCCATGGCGCGGTGCCACCGCATCGGCCAGACGCGGAAGGTCACGGTCTACCGGTTGCTGACGGCGGGCACTTACGAGGCGCACATGTACGCGGTCGCGACGGCGAAGCTCTCGTTGGATCGAGCCGTGCTAGATGGGATGGCGTCGGCCAATGCTGGTAATAGGCACTTGCATGAATCACTACTCAAACAAGGTGCTGGTGCCGTCTCATTTAAACCGCATGCGGTGAATAAAGAATTGGATGGTGATGATGATGAGGACGCGAAGGCCTTCCGCGACCAGTCTTTAGATGATATCCTCGCGACGCGCTCGAAGGCCGTGGTGTTGGCTTCTGACACTTCCGGTGGTGCCCTGGAGTCGTTATCCTCAGCAACCTTCGTCGCGAGCAAGGAGGAGGACAAGATCGCTCTTGATGATCCCGACTTCTGGTCCGTGACTCAGCGTCCGTTTCCGAAGTTTTCTGAACTTCAACTTTGTGAAGATGGCGTCTCCACGATATCACGCCACCGCGACGCCGTCGCTGCGGCCGTCAGAGAGCCTACGCGTCTCGCGCGGGAGCCGCGGCAACGGTGTCGGTGCCGCGCAGGGAGAAGACCCTGGGCAAGGATGCTCTCAAGCAGAAGAAGGAGATTGTGGATACTACCCAGAGGAAAGCAAAACAAGGAGATAAAGAATACGTCCACAACTACGGTCCCGTCGATCGCGTGAAGAAGAGACAGCGCGACGCGGACTACTACGAGGACGTCCCCGAAGATAAAAAAGAACAACATCCGTACGACTGGGGCAAGACGCAGGCTCGGGAGTTGCGGCTCGTGCTGCCGAAAAGGCCTATCGGGATGGACCCGTCTCGCTTCGTCCGCGGCTACTGTTCGCTCGAGCGGAGGCCGGAACCGAAAGATGCCATCTCGGCGGCGCACGACGCTCTCGCGTCCTACGGTCGCGCCATGGCTCGCGAGAGACATCATGTTGCTCAAGAACGAGGTGACGACACGTCGTCGTGGCGGCGGATGAAGTCCGGAGGCCATATCGACCAGGACTGGGTCTCGAAGCTCATCACTCGTAATCGAGCTTTGAAGAGCTCGTTGACGGCCATCGTCAAGCGCGAGGCGCCCGATAGAAGTATTGACCTCGAGACGCTGATCGCGGCGTTCTACGGCGCGACGAACACGCCTGGTTACATGCCGTGTCCTTGAATCTGGCGCCGCCCACACGCCGTCGCCGCGACGCGGCACACGCGTCCGTCGCGTCGCGTCGTCGCGTCGATGGGACGGACCGCCATGAGCACGCCGTCACCGCTCTGTACAACGCAGGCTACCTCGGCGCGAACGTCTGCGCCCAGAACGACGATAGGGACGGCAGCAACCGCTGCAAGAAGATTCTGGAAGCGGCCAATGATCTCGAAGTGTCTCGGGTTTTGCTAGATAAGGCCCTGAAGGCCCTTGGAGAGAACCCCTCCACGGATCAAATACGTTCAGCATTAGGTATGGAGAATATCGCCGTCTCTTCTCGACCGGCGCCCTGGTGGGACGCGCGCCACGACCTGTGTCTGCTGAAGGGCGTCCTCGAGCACGGTCCCCTGGCGTCGGAGAAAGTACGGGAGGCTATATTGGAAGATCAAGCTCTAGATTGGCCGTCGGACATGCCCCAGCCTCCACCGAAGCCGCCGGCCTGGCTCTCGCCGGCCGCGGAAGCGCCGGCGCCCGCGCCGGCGAACGGCGACGCGAACGGCAAGAAGAAGCCCGCGGCCAAGAAGCCGGAGAAGAAGCTGCCGCACCTGCCCGTTTGTCGTCGGTGTCCCTTCTACGCCATCGCCGCGCCGCTGCCGCGACGCTATCGCCACGCCATCGGCGCGTGGCCCTCGCCGCGCGTCGCCGTCGCCGCGACCCACCATCACCGATTCAATCCACGCAGGACCGCACCAAATTAAACGCGCGCCACCTCGCGCTCGTACGGGCCGCGACCGGCGCTGCTGTAGAAGAACCCGCGAAGAAACGGAAAGCGCCAAGGCCGAAGAAGGAGAAGGGGCCCGTCGACCCGGCGCCGAAGCGCCAGAAGGCCTCAGCTTCCAAACCTACCGGAAAGCCCGTCGAGGTGATTGATGTAGATCAACCGATCCCGAAGAAGAAGACGACGGCCGAGAAGCCGAAGAAGCAGGCGACGATGACGTCCTTTTTTGGCTCGAAGAAGAAGACGGAGGAGAACAAGTTCCCGGGCTGGGGCCAAAAGCCGCCGGAGGAGGAGACGCTCGACGACCTGCGCGCGAAGGCGCGGGCGCGGCAGGAGAACAACACGGCCAGCGACGAGGCCATCGCGCGGTCGCTCGAGGAGGAGGACTAGTTCTAGCTTAGGTATATATTCTATGTGAATTTATTTAGAAAAACGACATACTTACGCGTCGCGCCCTCAATTGGACGACAGTGCGCCGATGCCGCACACCAGTGTGCGGAAGTATCTATATCGCCCGGCTCTTAACCTTGAATCCTGCTGTCGCGAATTGCCGCGATCTAAGTTGACAGAAGGATATTTTTTCTAGGATAAGATGAAACACCGCCAGCTTGAGAAAAAAGCCACGGTGGAGAGACCCAGTCGTACAACCAGACGGGCTCGGGATCATTTTCGCATGTAGACTGCGAACCGAGCAAAAAACGAAAGGCAAAAGGGATGTATCTAAAGGTCCCGAAACAGTACAGCAGCAGACAAAGTCCGGTTTGGAGTGAGCAGCACGTCGAGTTTTTGTGGATATGGCGTCGGTCAGGGCGTAGGCCCAGGAGTCGCCGCGGGCGGTTCAGGAGTCGGCGAGGCGTCAGCGCGGCGCAGGCGTCGCGTCGGCGCAGGTCGGCGCAGGCGTCGGCGCGGCGCAGGCGTCGGCGCGGCGTCGGGTTTGGAGGCGCGAGGTCGTCAGCGTTTTTTGGGGTTGGCGCGGCGTTTCTTCTTGGGCGGCTTCTTGGGAGGGGCGGCCGCACGCGGTCGTCGGCCCCTCTCCGCGTCATGGTCAGCGAGGCGAGCCAAATTTTCCTGCCGCTCGATCGCGAAGGCCTGGTCGCGATGGTTGGATGCGTTCGCGCAATTCGAGGGACCGGCGTCACCTGGCTCGTAGAGCGGCCGATCGGATCCGGGTACCCAGGTACCGAGTGGCGGCAGGAGGCAAACGCGACACCGGCCGCAAGGCTCTCCTGGCGGTCGCTGGTCGGCACGCTCGTCCTTGTGTTTGTCCGCGCGGTGCTGTTTCAGGTCGTCGTGGTCTTTTCCCTCGAAGTCACAACTAATGCACTTGAGGCCATGACGACGGACGCACGACTCCTCGGGAGCGAGGCGCGCGTCCTCGTCGTCCTGGGCTTTCTTGGGCGTCCTTCTCGCGCGTTTTCCCTCGCGACTGGGCTGGGCAGCGCCGACGTCGAGCAGTTGCAGGAGGCGGCTCTTGTCGTAGTGAACGCCCGTCACCGGGTGAACGAAGGGCCTTTTCTTGTTGGTCTCATCAATAGTCCAGCCGTCGAGGAGACTCGGGTCGCCGTCACGGCTTCTGATAAAGTCCCGGAGCTCGGCGAGCTTCGGATGCTCCGCCGGCGCCGGCGCCGGCGCCGACGGCGGCGCCGCGGGCCGCGCGTCGAGCGCCATGCGTAAAGCCTCGGCGGTAGCGACTTCCAGGGGTTCCTCCGGCAGCGCCCGATTGAAGGCGTCTTGCCCATCGATGGTCTCGAAGACGTCCCCAACCGGGTTTCCGCTATGGTGCCGGCGATGCACGCCGTAGACGACCCTAAATTTCTTCATTCGCCTCCGGCCGATGACTTCCTCCACGAGCACTTCACTCACAGCGACGCAGACGGCGTACGTCCTCTCTTCATGAACCGCGCGGCTCGCGCGGCTCGTACCCACGTAGTTGGGCCGAACCATTGCCTCGCTTCTTGAATAAATCCACAGGCGGCGGGTCGAGCACCTCGCGGCCCTTGACCATCCTCAAAAGCTTGTGCTTTTCCTGCTCCGCGCGCACGCATAGGACGCCGCCGCGACACGTAGAAGTTCCGCAGACCTTGTCCTCGGCGACGTTGTACGAGTTCATCGTCGCCTTTGTCGCGAGGATCAAATTGATCATATCTGCCTTGATGGGAAGCTTCCCGTCGTCCGCGGCGCCGGCTAGAAACGCGTGGAGGCGCGTCACGAACTTCGTGTTGCCCAGGACTTCATCAGGATGGTAGAACTGGAAGGCGACGAACCGGTACCGGTCATTGTGTTCGGTGCTGTAGAGGGGCATGTACCTGTGGAGAAGTCAAGGGTCGCACTCTAGCGACGAAGCCTCGACCGAAGGCGTCGCGGCGTCCGCATCGGTAGCTCTCGTAAAATTCCCGCGACCGCACAGCGACTCCGACGGACGTCGTTTCTATCGGCGGCCCGTCGTCGGCTCGCAGACGACTCGAACGCTTTCCCGGGCGTCGGTCACGACCGTCGGTTGATGGTCGAGTCGACCGTTGGCCCGACAGGTCGTCGATCAGTCCGACATCAGCGTCGTCGACATCGCGACAGAAGTAGTTCGAGACGATCAGACGCGACCGACTGCACTAAGTTTTAGTTGTGGGGCGGGGCCATCGCGGCCGTTGCGACGGGGAACGTCATGAGAGCCTGCGCGCGCGTGCGGTGATCGTCGGAGCCGCGCGCCGCTGCGTGTTGCATTTGGCTCTCCGAAAGCTTGTCTGCCTCTGTAAAGTTACGGGCGACGCCGGCGTAGCGTGAGGCGTTCAGGCAACTCGAAAGGGGTATCAAGAAGGATTAACTGCTCCGGTTCTTGCGCGAGGTCCCTCCGTTCGCTAGCCGCGACTTATCAATAATTGCCGCAGCTAGCTGCTGTAAGACACTAGCAAACAGGCTCGAGCGCAAAGCGCAAGCGCAATCGCTGCTAGATTAGACGTGGTTGCCGTGTTTTCGCCTCATTACTGAACTCAGATTTCAAGGGCACCAAGTGCTAGAGGCACGCGTGCGCCGCCTGGCAGCACTGCCTGTACCTAGGGGCTGCGAGACAGCGCAACTCAGCACGCGCCGCCGTCGCAAAAAAACAGCAGCAGCAATGGACAAGTACACCATCGGCGCCGCGCTAGGCTCCGGCCAGTGGGGCGTCGTCCGCAAGGCGACGCGGAAGGAGGACAACCTCGCCGTAGCCGTAAAAAAAGTACGCGTCGCAGGTGCCCAAAAAGAGGGAATTAACTTTCAGGTCCTCCGAGAGATCAAGATGCTGCGCGGGGTCAAACACGCTCATATCGTGGTGTTGCATGATGTATTTCCCGATGCCTCAGGAGAGGCTTTATCGTTAGTGTTTGAACTATTAGCCTCGGACCTCGAACGTGTTTTGTACGGCCCGGGCCCGCGCATCACGCCGGCCCAGGCCAAGGGCTATGTTTTTCAGCTGCTCGACGCTCTGGCGTTCCTCAGCGCGCACCAGATCTGTCACAGGGATATCAAGCCGGCCAATCTACTCTTGGATAGACGAGGCGTCTTGAAACTGGCGGACTTTGGGTACGCGCGGTACCCGGCAGCTGTAGATGCGGCGATGTCGTACGAGGCGTGCACGTTATGGTACCGGCCGCCTGAACTGCTGTTCGGGGCCAGTCACTACGACGGCTTCGCGCTGGACGTCTGGTCGGCGGGGTGTATTTTTGTCGAGCTGTTTCTCGGGAGGCCCCTGTTCAGGGGCGAAGACGAGGTCGACCAACTGGCGCGGATCTTCTCGGTGCTCGGCGTGCCGACGGAAGAGACGTGGCCCGACGTTTCTTGTTTGAGAAAATACGTCGAGTTCAAGGCCGAGTCGGATGCGGTGACGCTGGGCGCGACGTTAGGCAAGGAGTCGCCCGCATTACCGCTGGCGTCGCGGCTCCTGGTGCTGGACCCGGGGCGACGGCCAAAGGCCGTCGACGCGCTCGCCGACGACTACTTTTCTAGAGATCCGCCGCCCGAGCTGCGGCCGGTCGTTTCTTAAATCTAGTAGATGTGCTTCGTCGCGGCGACGGCGTGTTGGGGGGTAGCTATCGGGTAGCTGTGTTTCGCTCGCGGAGCGGCGAGTATCCCGCGTCTGGGGCCCCGGCGCAGCGAAACCCGTCCTGGTGTTTCTGTTGCGGTGGTAAACGTCGCGAATAACCGTGTAGCGGCACGCGCATGCGGAGAGACCTCGATTCCCCCTCAACGGATACTTACTGCATGTCAAAATCCTGCTTTGTCGTCACGGCCCGCCTGATCGCGGACGCGCGCGGTGCAGCGCTGCGTCCTCGCGGATTCGCGGGCGGCTTGGGGCAGCGTCATAGCTGCCGCGCGGCGGCGCGATGGCCACGTATTTGCACGCGCGCGAGGCCGATGCCTATGCCAGGCTCCTAAAGGAGCGGCGGCGGCGCTCTAAGGCTGCCCCGAGCTTCCGGTTCGAGCCGCGGGCCATGCCGACCATCGAGGAAAGGCCGGTGGGGCTGCCCCCACCGGGGCTGCGCTACACGCTGTACGCGCCGCGCCGGGCCGAGCCGGCGGTGGACGAGCAGGCCGCGGCGGCCGCCGAGGCCCGCCGCCGGGCCGCCGCGGCCGCCGCGGAGGATGCTGCGATCCGGCGCTACCTCGTGAAGCAGGCGACCGCGCCGCGAGCGCCGGCGCCCGTCCCGGCGGACGCCGCGGCCGCCGCAGCCGCCGCCGAGGACGCGAGAAACCTGCACCAGCTCATGTGCGCCGTCGACGAGAAGCACGCCGCCTTGGCGAGACAGACTTTCCGGGAGACCGTGCCGGGCAGCCCGCCCAGGCGGCAGATGATACCGCCGCCGCCCGTCGCCCGCCAACCCGGCGCCGCTCCTCCGGAGACGGCCCGCGAGGGACGGCCCGCGGGAACCAAGTGCGTCGGCGAGGAGTGCGGCGTCCTCCTCTTCTACGTCCTCTGCTGCCCCGTTGCGATGCTTCTCCACAAGAGGCATCACGGGTAGCTCGCCACTTCCTTTTTCGAAAGTCCACGTCTTCTATCCACTTCCTGTAGTTATAATCTTTCAAGACTTATCGAATGTGCATCGTCGCGTCGACGGCGTCTTGCTAGCGGCCTATAAGACACTAGGAATTGTGCAAGATTTCAGGCTCGGCCGCAGGCTGCCCCACAGGCTTTGTGCGTTGCTGCGAGCCTGCCCGATGGAGAAGCAGCAGGCAGAGCCGTATGCAGGGGTAGCGCAGCCTGTAGCGGTGCCGGTCAATGAGATGCAGCCTGTAGCGCCCCTAGCGCCCGTACAGGCAGTCGCCCACGAGAGCCTGCCACTGCCGACGATGCAGGCCTACGCACACCCGACCGGCTCGATCATGCGCGTGCAACTCGCCGATGGGCGCATCATCGACGTTCAGGTCCCGCCGGGCACCCCACCCGGGCGGCAGATCCACTTTCCGGTGACGGCCGCACCGCCTCAGTTGGCGCCCGCACCCCAGCCGCCTATGGCGCGCGCGGGCGTCCCGGCGATGCCCCCACCGCCGCCCGTCTATGCGCCCGAGACGGTGACGATCCAAGTCCCACCGGGCAGCGCGCCGGGCGCGGTGTTCAGGATAAAGCTCACGGACGGCCGCGATCTAGATGTCACCGTCCCGGCCGGTGTGCAACCCGGATGCACGCTCACGGTAGCAGTTCCGCCGCGCCCCGTCGACCGGGACGGACGCCCGTTAGGGAGAAGCCGGAGAGAGACGGGCCCACTCAGCGAATGTCTCTACTTTTTGATTTGCTGCCCCCTCGCCATTGTTTGCTGCAGACCCGAGCTTCTCAGATTCGTCAGCGAACACTAGTGCCGCGAGAATTCATGTTACTACTACGACCGAGCCTTTTTCGAACGTTCAATTCACATTCATTCTAGTGTGTCCGAAGAGTAATAATCTTTTTAACAACACTTAGTCTGAAAAGCTCGTGCAGTGCTCTGATGTGTAGGAAATCCTAGTGGCCCGTGAGACACTCTAGGATCGCGGGAGGATCGAGCGCGAGCTCGCGTGCGCGTCGCAGGGCTGCCCCAAGGGCTTTGTTCGACTAGTGCGCCGGTCGTGCATTGCTGCGAGGCCTCCAAGCTGCCGTCAACGGCGTAAAGCCTGCCCGATGTCGTTCGCAGCCTACCCGATGCAGCCAGAGCCGTATGCAGGGGTAGCGGTGCCGGTGGAGGCGGTCGCCCAGGAGAGCCTGCCACTGCCAACGATGCAAGCGTTCTCGCACCCCGCCGGGTCGATAATGCATGTCCAGCTTGCTGATGGTCGCATTCTTAAGGTTAACGTCCCGCCGGGGACGCCTCCGGGCCATCAGATCCACTTCCCGGTCGCGGCCGCACCGCCCCCGGTGATGCCCCCACCGCCGCCCGTCGTCAGCCAGCCCGGAGTGGGCGTCGCGTCGGTCTCTGCACCGGAGACCGTCACTGTTAATGTCCCGCCGGGCCTGGGCCCAGGCTCGGTCTTTCGCGTGACGCTCACGGACGGGCGGCCGCTGGACGTGACGGTGCCCCACGGCGTTCCGCCCGGCGCGCCGCTGACGATCCCCGTGCCGCCGCGGCCCGTCGACCGCGAGGGCCGGCCGCTCGCGGGCATAAAAAAAAAGCCGACGCACCCGTGCGGCGCGTGGATCGGCCCCGGCGACGCGGCCTGCTGCCAGGTCTGTTTCTTCATCTTCTGCTGCCCCTTCGCGATTTTTGCTGCTTGCGCCGGCGCTGGCTAGCGCAGGCGACGCGCCTGGCGAGAATTCATGCCACTACTCCGCATCTACGAGTCGAGTAATTAATATCTTTCAACACTTATAGTACAGGCCTCCCGCAAGGCGCGTTGCCGGCGTCCGTCGCGGGGCCTTTGCGGCGACGGCGTGGGGCGGGCGCGTAGCTACTCTGCGGCACGCCACCGACGCCGCGTCGACGGCGCGGCGACGAACACGATCAGGACCACGCCGCGCCGCAGAGCACGCACGAGTCCGACTTCGTCAGCCATAATTTGGCGCACTCGTCGTGCACCGCCCGGCCACACCCCCACCGACAGAACGCGAGCGGACCCATCTCTTGATCCGTAAGTTCCTCGTGGCAGATGGGGCAGACGTCGCCGTCATTCACCTCTCGTCGTTCGACCGCGCGCCGCGTCAATCTATGTTTGAGTGAATCTATACACCTCAAGAGAGGTCCCAGCGCCGCCATAACTTGCACGCGCGCGACCATGCGCCTCTCTGCTTGTAGTAGTGGCCCGGCGAGCGTCAAGACAAATATAGCGTTGCACGCGTTTCCTAGAGCCTGTTGCCAGACGTGGACGTCGTTCGTATATGAGCACAGTACGTGATCAATGCTATCGAGTGCGATCTCCAGGGTCAAGATGTACAAAGCCGTGCACATCGCTATCAGGGGCGCCACCAACGCGACACTAATGACAAATAATAGAGTCGACGCGCAACCCTTAATGGCGTCCGAGGCCTCCGCGGCGACGTCTGCAGCTAAATCGGCCCACTGCGCCGCGCCCTGCGCGTGTAAATCGGCAGCTACTTGATCCACGGCGGCCTCGACTCTTTCGAGGGAGTCGTGGAGGCCCGGCGGGCGGTCGCGGATCGCGTCTCGTAATCGCTGGGCGTCGTCGGCGCCTAGCGCGGCCAGTTCTTCGGCCGTTAGATGGGCGAGCGACTCGACGGTCCTATCACCCAACGCCACCGCCAAGTGGCCGAGCTCCGCGCGGTCGAGGTACGCCCGGAGAGCCGCCGCGCGGGCCACCGCTTCCACGAGTCGTCGCGCGTCGTCGGGCGCGAGGTTCAATGGCGGGCCCACTAGATCTTGGACCGCGACGTCCTTAATGTTCGTCGCGTCGATCTGCTCGCGCGCGAAGTCGGCCGCGAGGCGCGCGAGGCCGACGTGCGCCAGTAAAGCCGCGACGGTGGGGTCGAGCTCGGCAGCCGCCGCCGCGTCGGCCGCCTCAGGCGCGGCGGCCGGCGCCTCGCCGTCCTTGGTCTCCTCGGCGCCGGCCGCCGCGCGCCGCTCCGCCGCGGCGGCGGCCACCGCGCGCCGCCCGGCCTCGACGGCGCGCCGCTCGTCGCGCCGCTCCGCGATCGCGGCGAGCTCCTCCGGCGTCGCGACGACCACGGCCGCGTTCATCGGCCTCGACGCCGCGTCGGCCGCCGCCATGCGCCGCCGCTCCTCCTCCGCCGAGACCGCAGTCTCGCGGACAAAGCAGTCGATCAAAATTAAATTGGCGAAACCCAGCTGACCGACGGTAGGGACCGTATCACTCACATCGCTATCAGCACCTTCGACGCGGAACCGCAACGCCTCGACCCCAACGCGCTTCCGTTCCGCAAAGGCCTCGAAGACCGCACCGATCGACACCTGGAGCCCTACCTTAAAGTACACAACCTCCCCGTTGCATCGTATTCTTAAATGGATCGCTCCTGGTGGTGGCCCTTGTGCATCCAGCGCGCCGGCCAGCACGGCCTCGACTCCATCGCGACCTTCATGCAAAGCGTTGCGGCCGTCGCGCGCCGCTCTTCGTGACGCTCGTCGCCGCTTGAACGCATCATAACAAGCTCTTCCAAATCTATGCATCGTATGCGCCGCCCAGACCGGTACTACCACGCATACGAGCAACCAACAAGCTAGTAAAAACCATAGAGGCAACAGAGTACCATAAAATACCGGCGCGAAGATGAACGGGAGCCACGGCGCGCCCACTCGCATCCAGGCAATGATAGCGACGCCCATGAGCAGCGCGTGCCTCACACAAGCATCGGTCAAGGCGATGATGTAGAGCTCAAAGAACGTTTCTGACATCTTGTGGAGCACATGTTGTATTACTGTTCTTTGGGAGATTAGTATGAAGGCTATGATAGCTAAGATAAGTAGAGCGGGCCACGTCTCTCTGATGAACTGGCCTGCGGCCTTGCCGAAGAGTGACAAGCCCTGCTTGGCCTTGGCCCAGGTGTCTTCTTCCGGTTTTTGCGGGAAGGGGATCGGCGCGCAGACGCGTGTCGACAGGCACTCGCCGTCGGCGCCTTCCCCGGCGGGGCACTCTTGCTTCGCGTCGGGCTGTCCGTACAGCCGGTCCGACCCGCCGAGGCCCACGGACTCGAATGCGCGGTAAACCCCCGGCGCATTTTTCCGGTTATACGCACCGAGTTCCGCGGCTTTCCGTTGGAGCCAATTCGGGGGTTTTGGAGTTTCCGGCAGAACCCAGTGACAGGCACCTGTACACATACCGTGGCGCGCCCCGCACGCCTCGCACGACTCCGCGACCAGGCCTTGGGCGCCGCCGCAGTCGACCAGCACGGGCTGCGGCTCGCAGACGCCATCTCGGCCGAAGATCCGTTTGCCGTCCTCGTCTAGGGCGTCCCAGCGCGCCTGGACCGCGCGGTCATAGTCCTCGTAGGACCATTCGGGGTGTACCTCGGTCCATAAGTCCATATTCGTTTGTGAAAAGGACAAGTAGCCCCCAAGTGTGCAGTCGCCGGCGCACATGCCTTGGTGCGAGAGGCACGCCTCGCACGTCTCGGCGACCTTATCCTTGCCGCATCGGATCAACGCCACGGCCGGCTTCGAAGCCGGCTTCGGCGCCTCGGCCGAGAACAGCGCCTGCTCGTTCGCCCGCTTCACTAAGGACGCCGTCGCCTCGTTCCCGAGGAACGGACGCAACCAAGACGCCCGCAGTAAGCCCGCCGCGAGCAACTCAACCGTCAAGGACCCGTAGACGGCCGGCGCAGCGTGCGCCGGGTGGTGCCAGGCCACGCGCGTCCGCGCCACCGCCCGTTGCGCGTCCCGCCGCAAGAACGGCGGCACCGTCCGTCCGACAAACGCAAAGGCGCTCTCCAGGCCCGAGGCCGCGTCGGCCCCGGAGGCCACCATGATGGCCTCATCAATATCGCCGATCGTCGCCGCTTCCGGTAAGCTTAACTGAAGCGCGACGTGGCGCCGCGCTTTGTCATTTCTAGCTAGTATGCGCAGCGCGAAGGCCGCATTTCTGATAGTGGCGGCCTCGTAGTCGTAGGCCGTCAGCGCCGACGCGTCGCCAGTTAATGCCACGGCGCGCTCCCGTTCTCGAAAAAAGTCCCGCCCCGGCTGCGTGATGGCCGCGACGAGGCCGCGGCCGCAGTGCTCCGCCATAGCTCCACTGTTAGAAGCGAGGCCCCAGACGGCCCTATACCCGGCTTCCAGCAGCCAGACCTTCTCTTCGTCACTGCGAGACCATTCCTCACGACGGCATTCGCCGTGGCCGTCGAAAAGGTAACCCTCGAGCGCCGCGCACAGTTGTTTAGAGGGAAACAGGATGGCCATCCACTTCGCCGCCTCGTCGTCCTGCGACAGGTGCGTGATCATGTGGAGAGCCACTAACTGCGTCAGCGGGTCCAAAACGCTCTCGGCGACGGACCCGGCGTGACTCTTCAACGCCTCGTAGGCCGCGTCCCGCGCGTCGCCGCCGCGATCCATCATGCGCAGGAGCGCCCAGCCCGCGAACAATCGCTGTCTACGACCCCGCAGAGGTATCACACCTAACCGGACGGGCGCGTAGTCCCCATTGAAGGGCCGCGCGAGCGCTTCGGACAATTTTGTGAGGTTCGTCGTCACCTTGAGCTGCAGGCCCGGGTCGAAGAGGTGGAACGCGAGCTCCGCGGCGGCGATGGCTTGCTTGTCCTCCAAGAGGGTTGCGTTGGAGCGCTGAGCGAAGGTCGCGAGCCATTCAGGACCCCACTCGCCGACTTTGTCCGCCCAGGCCCGCACGTCCGTAGTGTTGGGCGCGCCGCGGGGCGTCGCTCTGATATGGCGCCATACTTCCGTCGTCGCCGCCTCGTAGTCGGGCGAGAGCTGCGACGCGCGCGCCCCCCTCCGGGCTAGGTCCTCGTCTCGCATCTTCCGGAAGACGTCGCGCTTCGTCTCGCGGGCCAGCTTCCCCGTAATATTGGCGAACCGCAGCAACTCCCGCACGGACCGCCTCTCCTCGTCGGACGGAGGGAGCGGCAGCTCCGCGCGCCAGAAGCACCGCGCGGCCGGAATCAAATCCGGCGCCGCGGCCCAGCATCGGGACCGCCGCGCGAGCTCCGCCTTGATGCCTTCATAAAAGCTCGTGAGGCGCGCCCAGGTGTTCGCCTTCGCGCGCTGCCAGAGCGCCGCGCGCGCCGCGCGCTCCTTGGAGCGCGTGGCGCACTGGCGCGGGTCGACGCGCGGCGCGCGCGGGCCCCGGCCCAGCGGTGCCGGGTCCAAAAAATGTAACGCCGCGAAGGCGAGCGTCAGCGTCCGCAAGAAGGACGCGAGGAAGGCCATCTCCGGTGATCCTCGCCGTCGAGTGCGGCGCGCCTTCTTCTTGAAATTGCTCCTCGGTCAGCGCGTGGCTTCTGGAGGTCTCAGCGCGCCGTGGCGTGGCTTTTTGAGGACGTCTTGACGTGCGTACGCGTGATACTCGCAGCGCCTGAAGGTACAGCTCTCCGCTTCCTCCGGCGCTCTCCGCGGTCTTTTCGCGCCGCGCGTGCGTGAACGGGCTCTGTGCGCTGTCAGAGCGCTCCGAGCGAGAATGTGCAGGCTCGCGCACGTCTAGATGTGCCCGCAGCGGCCGCACTGAGTTGTGGCCGCAAGCAAAACTAGTGTGTCTCTCTACTCTAGCACGACTTTTTGGCTCGCGTGGTTGCTGGCGCGGCGCTGACTCCTCACGCTTGTTTGCGATTGCTTTCAGTCCTGCCAACAGCCTCAGCACGCCAAGCCAGCTATGGCGAGTCCTGCGCCGATGGCAGCCGAGCACCAGCAGGCCTCCTTGCCAGACGATGTCCTCGCGCACGTCCTCGAGTACCTGTGCACGCTCAACGACATCGCCGCGCGGCGCTGGTGCCTGAACAAGGCCTGGTTGAAAGCTCACGCTGCGCCCGTGCACTGGCGGACGCTGACGCTCGCGATAAACTTGCCACTCGGTGACGACGATCATTGCCTTGTCTCTGCGTGGGAGCGCGCCCCGCAGCAGCTGCGGCTGGCGGTCGAGCGGCACACGCGCCACGTGGAATTTACAGAATGTGCGTCCCGGGACAAACCACCGTACTCGCTCGGGCGCGGCCTGGCAGGACAGCGCTTCTCCCGTCTGCAGAAGGTCACCATTGATATATTGTTCGCCACCAAATGTTTGCAACACTACGATGACGAGGCAGCCGCGCTCAGCCCCTTGTTTGGTGCCGGATGTCTCGTCGCGCCCTTCCTTGAATGGAACGGGTGGCAAGGGACCGAGGAGTCTTTTCTGTACGGTCAGCAGCCCCGCGCACTCTACAAGAAGTTCCCGAATCTCCGTCGCCTCGAGTTAGCCGGGATCGGCGCGGACCTCTTCCTGCGGCCAGACCAATCCGGGCAATACTCCTCGTATGCTCTCCTCGCGCCCGAAGGTGTACCAGCGGACATGGTTCAAACTAGGACGCTCATGGACCGCGAGCAAGCCGCGCAACTTGTTGAGCTTAGAACGCTAGGGTTGGCAGATATCGTTCATGCATCAACCCCGGCCGGCTTATTTCCTCACATGACCCTTCTAGAGCTCTGGGAGTCCTTTTTGCCATTGTACCAGCTTCAAACTGCTTTTACTCGAGTTCATGCGATCTGTCCCGTTCTCGAAATATTGATATTACAGCTGGACTCCGAGTACGACACGTGGGCCGACGAAAGTAATTACTCGGTGTTCGCCCATGCGCCTCGCTCGCTCAAGGCGCTCGTCTTGGTTTTGCAGAGTACAAAGATACCGAACTTGACACGATCGCAGTACGTGGCGCTTATTCAGCGCCATGTGCCGGCGGGCGTCCAAGTGCACATCAAGATCGATGAAAAGTCAGTGTCTTGGTCGATGGGGGGCCGTCATGGGTGGACGGCCCTCGAGCCGTGGGAGGACGACGGCGTCTTGCCCAAGGGGTTTTGGGAGCCTGCCCAGTTCCCTGAGGTCGGCGAGTTCTACGACGACGCGGTGCTCGCGCGCGCGTCGTTCTCGGAGTGGTAGGATAAATGTTCTTTTGTGTACTTGCTACAAAACCAAAAGTTAGGTCACCTCGTCGTAGTCCACCGTCTTCTTCGCCCGACGCTTCCGCACCTCGCCGTTCACCTTCTTCTTCGCCTTGAGCCGCGGCGGGTCGCCCCGCTTGCCCTCCTTGTCGACGAGCCACCTTTCTAAGCGCCGGCCGCGGCCCGCTTCCGCCCGCGACGCCGCAAACCTAACGCCCTTTTTGCCATTTCGTTCTATCACAGGCTCCGCCTCGACCGTGCGGTCTCCATCACTATCATCACCGGAGTCGCAGGTTGATGATAGGTCGCACTTGGCGAACTCTCTCAAAACGGACGTGGCATAGCAACCGACCGGTAGCGAGAATTCAAACAACACGCCCTCGTCATGTTGTGACACCTGGACGTCAGGCACCGGCAGGCGTGCGATCCTCCTCTTCCCTTCGAGGACAGAAGCCACAGTCTCCTCGTTCAGGTCAATCTTCTCCAGTACTTGACTCTCGAACAGAGCACTCTTCGTGCCCTCGGCAGGCTTCAGTAGATCTCGACCAATGAGAGGTCCAGTAAGGGTCTCCCGCGCCGTGGCAGACCCACCACCCAACCCCTTCCTTGAGGTTAAATCACCTTCTAACCTAGCATCGAAGGTCTCCTGCCGCAAGCGCTCGGCGACGTAGCAGTTGAAGACGGACGACGCGAAGGCCTCGCACGCGAACTTTTTCATAGGCTCGTGCCGTAACGAGTTCCGCAGCTTCCTTCGTTCAGCCCCGGACGTAGCCTCGAGCTTTTTCAGGTCCTTGTAGCCTCGTAAAGCTGTCGCGCAGCCCTTGCCCTGTGTGGAGACTCTTGTGTCGCAGCGTCGACAGCGTCGCGGCAGCGCGGAGAGACTCTCGTGCGGCCGCGTCGATAGCGTCGCGGCGACGCGGCATCGCGTCGACGCCGGCGAGCCGACGTGGTCTCACGACGATGCCATCGCCCCGTCGAAGGAAGGACGCCGCATCCATACAAAGCGCTGCGGCCCGAAGTAGTTCGGCACGCCAGTGAACTGCAGTCTCTTCAAAGTGAGCTCGCAAGCCTCCAGCGCGTCGCGATCCACACCCGACAGCACGACCTGGAACGCGTTCGACCGATGAGAACCACGTCGCAACTTGGTGGACGACACCATCACTTCCAACACTTCTAAATCACCGCGACACGGCGCCAGCATCTTGCACTCGCCGAGCGGCACGTTCCGTTCGAATTTCGGCGAGAAGGACGGCACGGAGAAGTGCTGGACGATTACTGCACGCTTGTCCTTTTGACCGCAGACGCCGACGTCCCTGTAGGATGATAAACCAAAGGCCTCCTGCAACCTCCTACGGACCCACTCGGTCGTGCGGTTTTGTCTGCGTATTCTGAGGACGTAGTGGCAGGCGTCGCCCCTATCTTTTTTGCCGTCTGGTGCACTTCTCAACAATTCGGTGACGCGGAAGTGCTCGGGTTTCGCTTTCAATCGTCCGCCGACACCTTCGGTACTTGTAGCATAGGGGAGTTGCGACGGAGGCTGCATCCACGACTGACCCATGTCCTGCATCTCGACCTCGACCTCGCCGTCGCGTTTCGGCAGCTCGACGAACTCGAGCTCGATGTGAGTCGTTTTCGACGGCGACGCGGGCGCGTTGGCGTCCACATGACCTTCGAAGAGGCCGCACGCGGTATAAGGCTCGCCGCCGGCGCACCACCAGGACGTCATCGGTGGCGGCGGCCGGGCTGCGGCTTCGAGCGCGGCGAGCGCGTCCAGGGTTCTTTCACGCGACGGCGTCACGTGGCCACGGCGCGTCGCGTCGTGCCGGGAGGCTGCAACAGGCAGTCGAGCTGGCTCCGACACAGCGCGAAGTGTTCCGAACGAGTCGCGTCCTCGTAGGGCTGGTGTGAGTGCGGTGCCTAACGACCACTGATCAACCTATACCGGTGTAGGTTAGATCTTCAGCAGGCTCAACAAGCTCCAGCCCTCGAAATAATGGCAAGCTAGCGGTAAGACACTAGAAAGCCAGGAAAATTTGCGCGCAGCCGCAGCGAGCCGTCGCAGCGGCATCGCTCGTCGCGAAGTCCGTACCATTCTACTGAAGACGGCTGCCCGCGCGCGCGGGGCAGCATGCCGCATTGAGGACCGCAAATGAGGGCCGTGCTGCTCCTGGTGGCCGCGGCGGCGGCCGAGAAGAGGTCGTGGTTCGGCTCGTCGCAAAAAAAGGAGAAGCCCGTTACACGAGAAGGCCGCGCCGTCCAGCTCGCGCGGAAGGTGCTGGAAGCTAGGACCCTGGAAGATGCCCACGCTCTGGCCCGAGCGGCCGCCCAACTCCTCCAGACGCCTTCTGTCCAACGGCCGCCCGTGAATAAACGCTGCACCTTACCATCTTTAAGTCGACGAGATGCGAGAGGCTGCCAGCGCGTCGTGGCCTCCGCATCCGCGAGACCACTCACCAAAACCGCTTTGGACAGAGGCGGATTCCTCTGCCGAGCACTGTTAGTCTTGGAAGCCGCGCATCATCGAGGCCCGGCCTCGTCGAAGCGCGACGCCCACCTGGGCGCCATCGACGCGGCCTGCGCCTTCGACGCGACGACGTGGCGGCCGCCCGCCGCAGATCAGCATGCCAAAAAAATAGTCGTGGCCATCCACCACAACGGCCTGGGCAATCAATTGTTCCAGTGGGCCTTCGGCAAGCTCGTGGCGCTCGATGCCGGGGCGGCGTTCGCGGCGCGCAAGATGCGCGAGGACGAGGGGCCCGTAAAACCGCAGCGCGTCGCGCCGCACACGATCGAGGGCTGGAAGGCCTTCACGGACGTGTTTGGGAAGGCGTCGCTCGGCTACCAAGCGGACGCCGACGCGAAATGTGCGCCGTTGATACCTGTGGAAAGTCAGTATAGGGAGAAAGGGACTTTACTACTTGTGGAGCGGCCGGCGGATTCTCGACGGTTGGCTTTCCCGAAGCAGGTGCAGAACTTCGCTTCGTCGCTCCAGGACGACACGCAATGTATTTCGTTGCTAGGGTACTGGCAGCGCTACTCGTTGTATGCTGGTCTACGACCGCAATTGCGAGACGCGATGCGGGTCCAAGATGGTGATTTAGAGGAGCGACCAGACAGTGACGACGTCGTGGTCCATGTTAGGTTGTGTGACGGCCCTGTGCACCAGTACAAGTACTACAGCTGGAAGAATTATTTTTCCCATGTTTTACCACGCTTGCAACCGCCACCGAAAAGAATCAAGATCGTGACGGCCTGCAACCCGCGACGGAATGGTGTTGTGAAAGATCTGCTGGAGAACGTACCGAACGCCGAGGTGGCCAAGCCTCGGCTGCGAGGTAGTCCGACGACCGCCAAATCAGTAGCTGCCGATTTCGCCTATATGGCGCGGGCCAAAAGGTTAGTAGTGACGGAGTCGACCTTCAGCTTCTGGGCGGCGTTTCTGGGCGACGCTCATGAGGTCCACGCGCCTTCTGCTGGTGTGTTGCCGGCGCCGTTGGGTGAAAAGGGCTACGTCTTCCACGACGTCGAGGCCAAGGCGTACTGGGGCCTTTATAATGCGACGGCGCGGCGCGTGGCGTATCGGTACGGGGGGGAGTAAATGTTTTTATCTTGCTTTGCTTAGAGCTAGGCCGCCTAGCCGCCACGACCGCCGCTATCTTACCACGGTCGCGCGGCGACGGCAGGACTCGACGCCATCGACGCGACCGGATTGCCCTCTCCGGCGTCCTCGTAGGGCAAGATGGCGTCCAGACAAATCACAAGGACGCGATGACGGCGGGGCGGAGGCAGGCTCCCACCCATGCCGGACGCGACCGGCCCGCCGTACCTAGGCAGCCCCCAGGCAGATGGGGCTGCCTCGGCCGGGTCGGACGGGACTCCCCGCGAGCTGTGGCGCCGGGGAGGCTGGTAGGCGGCCGTGTGCGTCCCCTTGTGCGGCAGCCCCAAGCAAGCCAGTCAAGTCGGACCTGCACCTGCACCTCAACAACGAAAAAAACTCGATTCTCGCGATCGGAGAGCCAATCCGGGCGTATATATAAATGCTTGAACGGCTCGCGCGGCGGCACGGCACTCAGGTTGCTGGGCTTGGTGGCGCAATAAAAAGGGACTCGCCGCGTCGCGTGACGCGCGCAGGCGGCTGAAAAGCCAACTGGGTGGCCCCACACCCAACGAAAAACGGTGGTAAGCGCTCGCCGGAAGCACCGTCGCCGGCAAAACTGCTGCTGCACTCTGAGCAGCACTCTATGCACCAGCGCGCGGCGGCGCGTAGACCCGTGGGTACTAAGGGCGAACCCCACTGCTGAAAAAAAGAAACCCTCGCGCGCCAGCGAAGCGCCGTAACTCGCTAAAAACCTTATCTGTTCGTAACGCCGGCCGGCGGCCGCTTCGCAACCAGAACAAGATGAAGCGCCTCCTCGACCAATGGGAGCGCAAGAACTCCAAGGCCAAAGGCCAACAGACGGTAGATGACTGGGAGAGAGAAATAGCGGACGATGAGGTGATGAGAGACGCCTCGCCTCCACCGGCCCCGCCCAGTCAACCGGTCGTCTCGGACGACTCCGTGGAACTGCCGGCGCCTCTATTACCAGGCCAGGTCGAGGCCCTCGAGACCGTGGGCATCTGCATGCTCGTGGAGTATATGCTCGCGCCCCCTGGTGCGGAGGAGCCCCAACAACTAAGGGCGTTCTGGCCAGATGCCTCGGCAGCGACGCCCGTGCGGACTCCGCGTCTGTTTCTCGTCGACGGCGTCTTCATGAGACCGCACCGCCGCGACGCCGTCGAGGCGGCAGTTTCGCGACGGCGTCCGTGCCACACAGGTACCCGCCCAAAACACTGAGGTGCTCCACGACTTCATGTTTCGGTTGTTCGCTACCTGTATGTACACGCCTGAATGCTCGGTGCTCGCGTTCATGTTACGCGCGGTGCATGAATTCAAATTGTTGCTATGCGACTCACTGATTGATTTGCGCACAGGTACGTTTTGAGGCTACTCTCGTACCATCCGCACTTACGGGTGACGCCGCGGAACTGCCAGCGCTTACTCTTATGCTCAGTTATGGTCGCGCAAAAAATCCACGACGACACGCCGCTGCGCAACGTCGACTTCGCGGTGGCCTGGGGACGGGTCCTACCCGGCGAGCGGCCGGTCCCCGTCGAGCGCGTCAACGCCATGGAGCGCGTCTTCCTGGGAGCGCTTGGCTTTGATTTATATGTGCCTCGGGATCAGTACGAAGCCTGCGTGTCGGAGCTGCACGGTGTCGTGCGGCATCACTCCGCGACGTCGCCGCGCCTACCGCTACTGTTAGAGAAGCACGCGGCCTTCATGACCGGCCCTAATAGGGCCCGGTTCCCCTGGATCGCGCCGCCGCCGCCGCGCCGGCCGAAGCGGCCGCGACAAAAAAAGCCGGACTCGTAGTCACATGCTACTCCACAAGTTGTGGTCTTCCCCCAGTTAATCGTGTTGTTACATAGTCTTATTTATCTCCCTCGGTGGCGGCGGCGGCGGCGACGACGGAGTGCCTCGGCCCGGCGGCCCCGGCGGGACACCGCGCGTCGCCGATTCATCGGCGGCGGGCGCCTGCCGCGTTTCTCATAACAGCGTACCTCGTTGTAAGCAAAACCGCCTCGGCAAACCCCCCGAACCGTCGTCCGTTTCCTAGTGTCTTACAGGCCGCTAGCTAATCTGCAGGATCGATTCACAGCAGAGCTTTTGGTCGCCTTACGCCTGGTTCCGCTGGCTGTGGCTAGCGCATGGATGCCAGAACGCAGCACCGCAACGCGTCAAAGTGAGAAACGCATCGCTGCGGGAGTATGGAGCAAACCGAGGGCGTCGTAACAAAGCGCGGCGCCTGGCCCGACGCCCGCGGCCGCTGGTTCCTCGAGATCGACGGCCGCGTTGTCATAATAGCGGACGAGTGCGCCGCGACGCTTGGCGACCGCGTGACGTGCCGCGGACTCACGCGCGCAGCCGTGGAGAACGCCACGCGACCGTGCTACCGCGCGCGAAAGAGGACATCCACCATCACAATTGAAGAGGCGAACGACGCGCCGTGCCGGCTCCGAGGACAGGTCGCGGGCGTCTCGCAAACGAGGGGCTGCTTTTGGTTGCAAGGCGGCCAGCACGTCCTCGCCGGCCGATTCGCCCTGCCGGCGGTCGGTCAAATCGTGGAGCTGCGTGGCTGCGAAGTCACGGCCGCGAGCAACTACGTCGCCGGCGCGACGGCGTTCATGCGAGCCGACGGCGACGAGCTCCCCAAGACCAATCTGGAGGCGAAGCTGCGCGGCGGCGCGTCCGAGGCCGACTACCGCGCGCTGGAGACTGTGGCACGGCGCGAGCTTGGGGATGTGGGTTCTCACGAGCTTGGGAGACTATTGCAAGGCGTCGTGTCAAAGCGAGGGCTCAAACGGTCGGCGCATGACGACCTGCTCGCGGCCTTCTTCCCGTCACGGCGGGACGACGACGAGGCGCCTCTGAAGGCCGCATTACTCGAAGACGCGCGCCCGGGCCGCGTCGACGCCGTCGTCTTCGGGACCGTCGCGCGTCGAGACGGCGTCGCCGTGTTACGAGGCAGAACCACCTCGGTGCTACTAAAAGCACATTCGGAAGCCTACGAGCTGCCTCTCAATGCGTCTGTGGCCATTGATGGCTGCGGCCTGCGGAAGCGACCGCGCGACCAGTCTCATCAGATACTCGTGGCGGCCCGGCATAGAATCATCTGCGTAGGTGACGGTGTGCCGATTACGATAGAAGCGCTGGACGACGCGGTCTCTGCGTCGCTCTTCGGCGAGGTCCTCGACGTGCGCCGCGTTGCCTCAGATGGCGTCCTATTACTCGTCGACGACGTGGACCGGGGGCCCGTTCTCGTAAAGGCGCCCTCGGAAGATTTAGTGGAGGGCGCCTGGGCCGCGCCGGCCTTCTGCGACGCGTACCCGTGGGTGAGCGGAGGCGGTGATGGCGGCGCCGATCCGCGAGCGCTCCTTGGTTGTTTCGTGTCTTGTGGAGACGTCGTGTTCATGGACGACGAAGAAGATGTAGTAGAGACGGTGCGCGTCGTCGGCGCGGCGCTGGTCGCCGTCTCTCGGGTGAGACCGCGGCGGTGTCGAGCGGCTCGTATTATAGAAGGAGACGCTCTGCAGTACGCTTCCAGTCGATTGCGCACGCCGCCGGCGCCCTGCTCGACCTACCGCGTATGTGTCGAGGCCGCCAGGGATTTACAGGAGGGCGAGGAGGTTTGCGTCTGCGGACGGGCGGCGTTTTCCGGCCCGAACGGCTACGCCTTCGTCGAAGAAATGAAAGCCCTCCCCCTCCAAGGCCAGCACGGCGCCGAAGTGTTAAGGAGCCAGCTCGCGCAAGTGAGGCGGTGCCCGCTCTGCGCGGCGATCGACCTGGGTCGTCTGGCGACGATCGGGGCGGACGCGCAACGGAAAGGCTCTTTGAAAGTTGTGGAGCGGTCCTTCGTGCTCGATGACGGGACGGCGTCAATGCGATGCGAGTGGCGGTGCTGCGGGTGTGCGAGTCGTGACTATCCTGGAGAGTCGTCAAGGATGGACGGACGGCTCGCCGTCGTCCGCGGCTCGGTGGGAAGCGACTACCGGGGCTTCACCTTCATTCATGTCGCGTCCCTGCGGCTCGCTTCTGAAGAAGAAGCGCCTCTTTGGACGCTGCTGACGCCCCGCGTCGCCGACGGGTGGGACGGTTAGTGATCGCGGCGATGGCGTGCCGGTGGGGTCTCCACCACCTTGACGCCATCGACGCGCGGTCCTAAATGTTAGTATGTGTTACCTCCCCCGCTTCGTAGCCTTCTTCTTGAGGTGCTTCTTCAGCTTTGTTTTCCGCTTCTCGCGGCGCTCCTCCTTCTGGAGCTTGGCGGCGGCCCGTTTCGCCTCCTTGGCACTCGCGCGACCCGCGACGTCACTTGGGTCCGGCAACCTACCATGCACGCCGTCGTCCTCATCACTCTCAGAACGCGTCGCCGCCGACGCGTCGTCATCTGAACAAACATTCGCACCTAACAAATCACCCACGGCTTCGTCAAAACCCGTCTCGTTGTCTCCCGAAGCTACAGCTCGTTGGGCCGCCTCCGGCCAGCTGCCCAGATCTTGTAATGAACGAGGTAAAAAGGCGTCCATGAAGACCCGATCCTCTTGGTCTGTGACACTGTCACTGTTTCGCGCGATGTCCAGCGCGCTTCGGATGCCCTCATCATCAGCAACACCGTCTCGCATGACGAAGTCGTACAACGCCTTGACAGATAAAACTCGCTCGCATTTGCGGGAGAAGAAGTCTCGGACATTGGCACAATCTTTTCTCAGAAATTCCGTAGCTCGCGGATGGTCCCATTCCACGGACTGACTGACGTCGATCACTACAATTTCATTCTCGAACCATAATAAATTATATTCGGAGAAGTCGCCATGGACTAATTTGCATCTAGAGAACATGGCTCTCAACGCGACACAGGTCTGGACGTAGGCATCCTCCATCTCGTCTGGAGAAAGGGAGGCGTCGTGGAGTCGCGGCGCGGGCCACCCTTGACTACCAACGAACTCCATCACTAAAACGTGGCCCTTCAGCAGCAGGGGCCTCGGCGCTCGGACGCCGTGCGCGTGGAGCCGCTTGTAGTTGCGCAGCTCCTTCTCCGCCCACAATTGCACCATCTTGCGCGGGTTCTTGCCGGACGTGTAGCCCTTCTCGAAGCGGTGCTCGCCGTCCACATATCTTCGTCGATCTCGGAAAACTAAGATGGACGTCTTGTAGACCTTGACGGCCAAAGGTGCATTTGTGGGAATGTCTTTTGTGGCCTCGATGTCCCGTAGTCCATCACCGGACAAGGCATAATAAACATTCGCTTCCTTGCCCGTCGAGAGGCAGCCCTCCAGTTTGGCGAAGGCGTTCCGTTGCAGCAGCTTGAACAGGATGAGCCGCGTCCTCGGGTCCAGGACCTGTTCCGTCGTCGCTCGTGTGTCTTGGCACAGGCCAATATTGGCAGCTTTGTGGGCGGCGCGCTGCGCGTTCTTGACGTCGTTCTTGACGCTCTGGCTCATATTGACATTGTGGCCGTCGCTCCCATACTCGCCGCACAAGGCGCTTTCCAGCACATCATACGCATCTTCCGGGACTTCTTCGTCGCCGTCGGACTCGTCGACTATTTCTGGTTCTTTTTCGATGACGGCCGCCATCCGTGCCGTTTTTGCGCTGCTGTTTTTGCGCCGCACGCTGCTGCAGCCGCCCTGGTGCAGCCTTGGTTAGGGGTGTTGCCCTGCGTCGCAGCACTTGCACCGCGCTTGGTACCTTCGAATGCTTCTATAGAGCTGGTCGATCTGTCCCAGCGCCTCTCAAGCGAGCAATGCGTCTCGAGTGTTTTTCATCGCCGCTAGTGGCTTACATGCCGCTAGCTAGCTCAGGCGCATCATACGTTCAAGCGGCTCGTAACGCCGCTGTGAAGCCCAACAGCTCGTTTCGCTTTTGCGTAAGCTATAACAGAGCCACCCAGCCGTGCTGCTCGCTTGTGGCTTGCAAAAAGCACGCAGCGCGACTGTGCAAGCTTGCCAAACTGTGCACCGCTTTGCGAGCAATTACGAGCGGCGAGGATCGAAAGCCGCAGTCTACGCCGCCGACGCGACATCAACTGGTGCGCAGCCGTCAAAAGCCACGACGCGCCGCCGCCGCGACGTCCTGAACCCGCGCGCCGCCCAAAACCGGAACGATGAGCCAACCCGAACCCCTCCTGAAGCCGAACCCCTCCGCATTGGCGTTGGATATTGACGGCACCATCACGACGGCGAGCCCAGCCGTCGTCCACGAGTTGGTGCGAGCCGCGCGGGTCCTCGGCTCGAAGGTCGCCGTCAATACGGCCAGACCAGCATCCTACTGCCGCGACCCCTACTTGACGAAGTTCCTCGATATTCCTCTGCAGGACCACTACTGCTATGACGGCAACGTGCCCTGGACGTTCCGCAATCTTATTGGGGGTGGAGTACCCGCAGCCAAAGTACGGGCCCTCGAAAATATAAGGGAGAATGCGGGTGTGGTAGACAAGCGCTGCGTGATTCTCGTCGACGACCGCGGGGAGAACATCGCGGCCGCTCATCGGGCGGGGTTCGGCGTTTTACAGGTCTCTGATGAGCGGGGCGTCTCGATGGCCGACGCCAAGAGTCTCGTTGTGCGGTTGCAGGAGTGCCGGCGGGCCTTTGCTGGGCTTGAGAAAGATCAGAGGAAGCTGACGCGGCGGAAGTAGGCTTTCCTACGACGCCATCGACGCCATCGCCGCGCCACTAGTGTGTAAATAGATAGTTTGTGTCACTTATATTTCACTAACCGTGCCCTTCTTTTGCGAGCCTTCGCCACGGCCAGAACGGCTGGCGGATGCCGCTTCTCGGCGGAAGGCAGCGGCTTCTGCGGGCCCCACCGATCCCTGACGTCCACTTTGGTATCGTGCCGTGCTAGTTCAGTAGTCGCCTCGCGCAGGTGCCTCACGTACGACATATCAGGCTCCTCCCCGGGTTCTAACGGAGGCAGCGGCGGCGCGCACGGAGCACCGGCACGCGGCAATAATAATAACGTACTGTTGTTGTGCGGCACGTGCTTGACCATGAAATCTGATAGGGCGAAGGGCCGCCCTCGCAGGTCGCAGAGCCGCGCGACTCGCTTCTCCGCAACCGTTAGCTTCAGCGCCTTGCCGAGCCGCGAAAAACATTCGCCCACCGTCTCCCGCATGCCGAACCTCAAAGTTGATGTTCGAGAATTGGGCAGTCGTATATTAACAGTGAGCAGCCGTCTTTTCCTCAGCAAGAATGTTAAAGTACGGATCTCCTCGAAACTGACATCTCTGCCACCCTCATCCAACAGGGAATGCGCACAGCCCCAGTACTCTTCCTCCGGCGTTTTCGGTCTCACGACAGGTTCCGGCGTCGGTACTCGTTCGACGGGATGGAGCTCCTCCTCCAATAGAGCACCATCACCGGTCGCACCCTTGAGCTCGCTCCCTTCCCGTTGTTGCCCGAACTCGGCGTCCATGCGTCTTTGTAATTCTTCGGCCGCGGCGCGTCGCTCGGCGACGGTGGACATCCTCTTCACGGGCGTTTCTTCCTCTTCTACAGCCGTCAGCAGGTCGTCTTCCTCTTCCTCCTCCACTGATGATGACATCAGCTCCGCACAACTCATCTGGCTCGCCTCCACTCCCGAAAGCTGCCTTAACAACCAGTGTAGCTCGACGTACAGGCCCTTCTTCAGCCGCATCAGGTTCGGAGGCAGCTCCTCCCTTCCCGGTATCGTACTACGAGAACGACTTTTCAGCGACTTGGCCTTTGAACTCAAAGCAGAGGCGCATCGCGCGATGCCTCGGAACGTATTAGCCGTCCCTGGCCGCCACGACGAATCGGTGAGAGCGGTACCCGGTCTGCTACCGGCTTCACTTAGGAGCTCATCTAGAATATTGAGCGAGGGCTGCCTTAGGACACCGCCAACCATGACTGGGCCGGAACGAGCGTCCGCAGACACCACATCAAGCTCGTCCAAGACGTACCGCAGCACCTCCTCGTCCGGCAGCATATCCCTCTCCGCCAAGGCCCTTACCACGGTCGTCATGGAGCACGTCTTCGCGTGGAGGGACATGACGCGCGGCGGGCCCCGCGGGTCGTCGGTCGCGAGCTTCGGGAGTCTTGCAATTAATGTCCCGCCGCGCACGGGTACCATGACATCGCCCACCGGAGGTAGCGCTTGCGCTATGGACTCTAACTTGCCGTCCTTGGCTAGTGATTGTAAGATGACAGCCATGCTGTCAAAACATGGTAATGATGTCAGAGAGTCTCGGAACAATGCCAATCGCTCCGCTCGCGCCTGGCCCCGCTCGCCCTCGCCCTTGAAATGTCGTAAAGCTTCAATAGCTTCGTCGACACACGCACAGAACGCGTCTAACTTCTCCTCAGTGATGTGCTTGCTCCGGAACGTCAGCTGGAACTGCGCCTGCACGAAGGCTGTGAGGCTTTCCGGTACAGGTGGTAAACCGACGATGTCCTGCATCTGTTGCAGATCGCAGACTTCGTGCGCCCTTGCATCAAATAAAGCGGAGACCGCAGCGCAGCCCTCCGCGCGGCCCCACGCCTCTTTCACTGGAAGTGGCTCGTCCTTCACTACCGGTTGATATCGAGGCCCGCCCTTCAGCAGCGCGTCGAGTTTTGCTTCGAGCGCGTCGACGCGCTGCTGGGCGAGCACCTCCGGTGGAAGTTCGATGACCGATTCTTCGTCCGCGGGCTCGATCGGGGGCGCCTCGCGACGCACGGGGGACAGGTGTGAGTTCTTGACGACTAGGGGCGCCTCCATCGCGCCGACGGCGTGCGACGCGCGTCCGGGCCCCGTCGGCGGCGTTCGGCGCTGGCTCCCAGAGACTAATGGGGCTGCCCAATGAAAAGCGGCCGCTGCCCAATCGCGTGCAACGCGTGTGGATAATAATACGGGGCAGAGCCGGACGCGCCACGGCGAGCCCTGCCGAGCTGGGCGGCGCCTTTGATGGCACACAGAGGCGCGGCGCTGCAGCTCTCCCAGCGCGGCGCGGTCCAGCTCCGTCGCACTAGTGCTCTCACGACCCTGCGCCTTCCGAGCTTTCCTGAAGACCCCGTCAACAGCTCCTCAGCTGCGAGCTAGCGGCCTGTAAGACACTAGGGATGCCAGCAAGCAAGCAAAGCTGCATGCGCCAGCCTGCTGGCGGCGTGACGAGAGCCGTTGCGGCACGCAGTCGTGCATCATTGGTGGCCACGCATCGCTGCTCGTAGCGTAGCTTGATCGTGCAGGGCTGAACGCCAGGGAGAGCGCTCTCAAGCAACAAAGAGAGCGTGCTGTTGCCGCTGCGCGGCGGGGCGTTGTCGGCGCATCCGTTGAGAGCGGCAAGGATGGCATTGATCAAACTCATAGCCCTCGCCGCGGTCGCGCCGCCCGCCGCGCCACTGGTGCCGCGCGCGCGCCGGAGGGCACCGCTGCTCCGGCGAGCGTCGACGCAGCAGGGCACGCTGCCGCCCGAGGAGAGCGCCGCGCCGGACTGGGAGGCCATGTGGGCCGGCGGCGGCGCCAGCAAAGAGCCAGCGCCAGCACAAAGGCCCGGCCCCGTTATTAGGGGCGTGTCCGCGTCGCCGGCCGCCGCGGCGCGTGAGGGCTTCGACGCGTGCGTCGAGGCCTTGAAAAGGTTAAATATTGATGCCAGGATTGACGTAGAGCTGGGCGACGACGATGGATGGTGTCGCGTTGGTGTCGACTTCCAGAATGATGTACTGGAAGCTCATAGGCGGGGCCTGCGGTGCGTGTTTATCAAACAGGAAGAGGAACGACAGAATGACGCCATATCATCGGCAACACCACCCGCCGAGGGCACGCAGAAAACGTACACCGCCATGGGCTCGGAGACGTACCTCCAGGATTCATTACTGGAGGACTTCGCGGACGGCGTCGTGAGTTCTTGGAGTGAGGTACCTGATGTTGTAGCAGAGTGGACCTCGTCGGCAACGGAGGACCTCTCTCCTGCCGTCTTCGCGGAGCAGCTCGTTAAAGCTGCGGGCGGCGGGGAGTTCTGGCCCCGGTTTTTGGAGGAAGGTATCCAGGACGTAGCGACTCTGAAGCTGTTAACGGAGGAGGACCTCAAGGAGCTGGGTTTGCCTCTAGGGTGCCGCCGGCGGTTGCTAGCCGCTCTGAACTAACTATTTGTTGTTATCATACGTCCGTCGCCGGCCCTTCTCGCATGGTAAATCGGCGACGGTCAGCGTATGGGCGGGCGGGTGGTAGCCCCTGCTGACACCGAGCGGGCCGCTGTTCCACTTGCCGACACCTACCGAAGCGGGCGCCTTGTCCTTGAAGACCTCCCTGCCTAGTTTTCGTCCATCCGCATCTCTACACGCTCGAGGTCCTTCCAGCGACGAAAGCTTTGGGGCCGTCTTCGCGTGGTAGTCGTTCCGAGTCGAGAAGCTGGAGTTCTTTTGAGATCGAGGATCAGCATCGCCGGAAAAGCATGAAGTATGATAATGGAACCTTAGCTTGCGGCCGTCGCGCACCATGACGGACTCGCCCCGCATGATGGTTTTTTTGCAGGCGCGGCACGTCACAGTACGATTGATCGGTGTGGGGCCGCTCAGCTCCCAGTAGGCCTCGCCGCCTCGCAAGTTGGCGCCGGTGACGGCGGTCATGGCTTCTCTGCGTCGGCGGCGTTGCGGGGCAGCCCTGTGGCCTCGGGGCTGCTTTGGGCTGGCCCGCCGTCGAACGCGATGTGTGAGTCTGGGCCCTTTTCGGGGAGGTCCTGAGGGGTCCTGGGCTGGTCGGGGCGCTGGCTGGGAGGTTTTTTATGGATGCTCTGCGTGCAAGCGCACTCAATGCTCTCACAAACGCGTGCGGGTTTAGCCGCCGGCCCAATCGATCGATATATCCATCAAGGGGTCGCTACAAGACGCCGTGGCGACGCACTTGGGGGATAGTGCACAATACATATTCTTAGGTCCAGTCGTGGCGGAATCTCCCACCTCTTTCCGCGAGGATCTCACACATTGTACCTCCCGACGTAAGAATCGATCTCGTCACATCTCCATCTCTCCTAACGTGTTGCCAGTGGAGCTTTGTGAGCTTTGGGCACGCTCGTACGAGCCGGAGAAGCGCGCTGAAGGTAATTCCGAGCGGATAATACAAGTCGTCATCGTGCGGACTATCTTCGGCGCATAAGATGATAGCGAGTTCTTCCAGCGTCGCGGCCTGAGTCGAGACTATATCGTCGAGGACGTCTCGGGTGATATCATAGCACCATATGAGCTCCAGCTTCTTCAAACTATTGTTGCGCAGACACGCAAGGACGTGCGCATTTGTCACCCCATCGGCGCCGATGAAGATGCTCTCGAAATTGCGCAGGCGCGAAAGGTCCTCGATGAAGCGAGGACTGGGGATCGTCATTCCTTGTGGAATGCACAACTCCGTTAGGTTGGGGAAACCGCGCGCCGCGGCAAGAAAGGCCTCCAGCTCTATGACAGTGTCCCTGTAACCATGACTCGTGCCAAATTGAGTGAGGCGGTCGCCGACGGGGGTGCCAACGATACTCGCTACGAAATATTCCGTTATGATGCAGCCGTCGACGTCCAGCTTCACGGCGCTTGAGACTCGTGCAGCCTCCGCGATGTAGTCGAGGCGCGTCGGCTGGTAGTAGCCGTGGTCCTCGGGGCAGACTACTAGCGATTGGAGCTGAGGAAAGACTCTTCCCCATCTTTCCGCGGGCCCGAGGTGACTGCCTAGGGTCGAGAAATCAACGTCTTGTAGCTTGGGACAGGCCTCGCCGATGGCGGCGATTGCAGCATCTGGAGTGCTCACGAATCGCGGGCCGCGTAGATGGAGTAAATTTGGCGAGGCTCGGCACATTAGGAACAGTGCATCTGGTGACACGGCAGTACCAGTGAGGCAGAGCGCCAGCAGACCGCCATTCGTTGAGGTTACGAACGAGTGCAATGCAGCGATTGATTGAACAGATACACCGCACGCAACCAAATTCGTGCAGCCCGCCCCAAACACCCTTCCCATCGCCTCCACAGCGCGGGGCGAGGCACTCATCTCCAGCGGCGCCACAACAGCGCCAGCGAAGCCCGCGGGCCCCGGGTCAAAGCGAACGACTCGCAGATTCTGGTCAAAACCCGGCAGCCTGTCGGCTTTGCGAGGATACGCATTCGGGGGCTGTGGGCGAGGAACGATTTTCCTCCTAATCCCCCGTCGCGCTGCGGCCCGCGCGAGGGGCGACACGGCCCGCTGGCACAGGAAGTCCTTCTTCTCAAACCAGTCGGACGCCTTGTCGAGGCAGTCGTCGGGCACGCTCGCGAACGCACCCATGATGTCTCGCACGGGGCAGCCAGCAGCCGGCCGCGGCCCGCGGAGCTCAGCCAAATCTATCGTGCGGGCTGCGACTTCTCAAATCACACAAATACAAGCTCTTAGGACCAGTCACCTTCGTCGCCGCGCCACCGCGACCGCGACCGCCGCCGCGCCGACCGCGACCGCCGGCCAGAACCAACCCGGCGTGACGCGCACGGACAGGACGACCGCGTTGTTGCGGCGCATATATAGGGAAGCGTACCGCACGAGGTCGTCGGCGCACTCGGGCGCGACCGCCGCGACGCCCGCGTGGTCCTTACCAATCGACGTGAACGCGTTCTTGAAGCGCCGCCGCGCGGCCCGCATGTCCTCGCTTACGTCGAAGAGCACGTGGTCGCAGCCCGGTAATAAGCGCTTGACCTTGCGTTGCGTCTGCTTCCCGCCGCCGACGACGAGCGCGCCGTACAGGATGAACAGGGCCGCGACGAGCTCGACGGGGCCGGCTCGACGTAACGCGTCCACGTATTCGTCCGTCGCCGCCGTCGGAGCGGGCCACGCACCATCCCCGAAGATCTGCCTCAGGTCGGCCGCGTAGCCCGGCGCGAGGTCCGGGAGCGCGATCGCCCTTCGCACGTGCGCGACGAGCTTGTGATCGGCGTGCCTCTCCAGTTGAGCCTCGAGGGCCTCCGTCACCATATAAAACTGCGCGATCGCGCCCCCGTACAACCGGATGTCGAGCATGATCAAAGGCAGTTTCACGAAGCCGACGCGGTTGCCCCACGTGTGCTGCACGTCGATGGCTTTCATTAAACGGCCGTAGAGCGGGCGCTGCGCCTCCGACTCGCCCATCTTGCGGTCCAGCGGTTTAATTCGTCCGTTCGCGGCGGCTGCAGCCACGTGCTCTCAGGAGAATTGTCTCCGGGACGTGTCTCGATTCAAACGCTCGCCTCACAGCAGCGTGCAGGCTCGGTAGCCTCAGGACAAGATTATTATGTGCCGTTGTGAATAAAGTTACGTGCAGGAACGTGCAAAAAAGCAGCGCACAAAAGCAGCTAGCGTCATGTAAGACACTAGCAAATCGGCGCATCAGCCCTCACTGGCAGCGCATAGCCACTAAACGTCAGTGAAAGGCTGTCTCGTGATCACTCGGACACGCCCTCGACGCGTAAAGCAGTTGCGCTAACGCGCGGCGCCGCTGCTGCACGCTGCACCGCAGCGATGCCACTGCGCCCCTTCGCCCCGAGCGACAACGACGCCGCGCGGCCGGACGCCGTCGCAGCACTCGCAGCACTGCTCAAGAAACGCGACGCGAAGGCATCACCAGACGTCGACGCGTTCCTCGACTCGTACCTCGCGCACCGCTCCCAACGAGAAAGCGACGCCCTGCGGCCCCTCGACGAGCGCGTTTTGACAGTGCTCGCGCGACACAAGCTGAGCGCGCCGCGGCTGGTGGGCTGCGCGCGCGTGTTTAGGGAGCGGTCGCCGGCGCTCTGCGGAGCCGTCGTCCGCGAGGCGCCCTGCGTCGATGAACTTGCTGCTTTCGCACCAATCCTCGCGCGCCACCTCGACAAAGACGCTGCAGACGTCTTGGCCTTCCTCGCGGCCTGCGACCGGAGGATCGCCGGCGCCCTCGTGTCGGGAGACGACGCGCCGCTGCTCGCAAAGGCTGCCGAGTCCGGCTTCGACGACTTGGTGGACGTGCTTGCGAAAGCACGGATGCCCGACGTTGACGACGACGACGACGCACCCGCTGTACAGCCGCCGCCGCCGCCACGACCAAAGGAGGAGGCGGATTTGATGTCTAGAGTAGAAAGCGGCGTGCAGGCCGTCAAGGGTATTCTAGGCGATGCCTATGGCGACGGCTACCTCGCCGCGTGTCTCGCGGCTTTAGATTTGAATCCTGAGAGAGTCGTAGAAGCTTTGTTAGATAACAACCCGCCAGCCGCCGTCTCCCACTTAAGCCCGCAGCTGGCCAAGATCGCCACCGTACGCGGAGATAATCGGCGGACGGGCGACATCAATGAAAATGAAGCAAAACGCCAGCAGAAGGCGCGCTTGCGAGCCCTCGAGAAGCAAGAAGCTGAGGATCAACAATTGAGAAACGCGGTCTACGACGACGACTACGACGACCGGTACGACGGGCTCCAGGAGCCGACCATATTAACGGGGGACCAGGACGCCGTGCGCCGGGCTAATGCTTTGGTGCGAGCCGACGAAGAAGAGGAGGCGTACTGGGCGTCGCAGCGCAATGCCAATTCTAGTAAGAGTGCGGCGCCCGCGCCCGCGCCAAAGAAAGAGTTGACGGCGAAGCAGATCGCTTTACAACGGCGCCGCAAGACGAAGAACAAGGGCGCGCAGCACCACCAGAAGGACCGGGCGGCGCGGAAGGTGTGAGATGCTGCGTCTGCTCGATGGCGTGGAGGTGCCGCACGGTCAGCGATAGCACTACCTCGACGCCGTCGCCGCGACCACCAATGTGATAGTAACTGTCTTCTTATGTCTTCTAGTCTTCGTCTTCATCCAGTTCAGACCGGTGCGGGCAGTCCTCCTGGACGTGGCCCCGCTCGCCGCACCCGTCGCAGACGTCTTCTTCATATGAATCCGCGACGGCCTGCAGCAACCGACCCGGCGCCAGCAACGAAGACGCGCCGACGGCCAAATCAGCTTGCGACGGCGTCCGTTCCAGCACGAGCGACTCCACTAACGGCCGCAATGAAGGGTCCGGCAGCGCGTCCAGCCTCCTAGCAGCATCTCTCCGCGCCGCCGCGGCCGCGTCCAAGCGCCGCTCGTGAGCGGCCAACAACGCAGGATCGCCCAACACTAAAGCGTCGACGGCCGCGTCGACGTGCGCGCTTCTACGCAACGCGCTCGCGAAGGCCGGGAACTGCTCGCCGCAGCAGGCGCACGTCGTCGGATCGCCTGACAGCGAGAAGCACCGCTGGAGGAAACACTGCTCGTCGATGGCATGTCCACAAGGTAATGAGACGGCACAAGCTAACGGCTTGCCGCAGGGCACGCACGTCAACGCTTTGAGAGCCGTCCTCCGCACTTTCCTCGCGCCTTCACCATGTTCCTGTAAAGCAGTAAACGCTGCATTTGATGCGTTGTGAGCGTCGCTCGCTTTGTCGGCGGCTGATAGAGCGGCGGCGCAGGCCGCGTTCGACGCGTCCAGAGCGTGGTTGGTAGGAGGCTCGACGCGCCTCTTTTTTGCCGAAGGCGTCTTCAGCAGCGACGACCGTCTCTTCGCACTGAACACGTACGTCGCGCACTCGCCACCGAGCTCTTCCCCGCCGGCGCCCCCGAAGCGCACGACGTCGCCCTCTACGAGTTTCCGCTCTTGATGCAATCGAGCGTCGTTGACCGCCACGCCGTTGAGAGACCCGAGGTCGGAGACGAACCACGACGCCCCGTCCCTTCTTAAACGAGCGTGCCTCCTGGAAATCAAGCAAGGAGGGGCCGGCGCCGGCAGGTCCAAACACACGTCGGCCTCCTTCCGCGACCGCCCGACCACAATCGCGTTCTCGTTGCTCGGGTCGAGGGCGATCTGGGCCGGCACGCGCGGCGCGGCGTCCCTATTCTGGAGGACGAGGACGGCCATTCCTGCGTCGCGCGCCTCCGCTGCTGTCGCGGGATCGGTCTAGCTTCGGGGGCGATACGGCCCTTTGCGCCGGGCGCCGGGGGCGCAGCGGTCGTAGTGGCTGTCGGGCGGACCTGTTGAGCTGGTTCCGGCCCTCTGGAAGTCCACGGGCGCGTTGTGGAGCGTTTTGGCGGGCGCTCGTGCGCGCAGCCAAGATGGGGTTCGGGTTTTTCAAGGCGCCCCCCCCCCCCCCCCGAGGACCCGTGATTCCTCAGCCCCGAGAGCCGTTTGCGCGTCGCAAGAGCCGCATGCTTGGTGGGAGAGCCCACGCTAGCCGTAACTAGGACACCTCTCAGCGCCACAGTGAGAGATTAGCGCGCGCCTCCTAATCTCGGGCCGCATCCAGCGAGAGGCAGCCCAAACGCAGCTCCACGCGTGCTCTCGCTCCCGCCGCAGCAGCACCCGAGCCTTTGTCGTTGCTCCGCAAGCCCCGGGGCAGCCCCTTGCAAGCATGGGCGGCCCCATACGAAAGCCCTCGGCGGCCATGGACGGCAAGCGCGTGGCCATGGACCCGAGCATTTTGGACGCCTACGTCGAGAACCGGCCCTGGAACTCAATGACCGGTGGTTCAGTCGCGAGCGGCGGCGCGAGCCTGCGCCAGGGCACGTTCGCCAGCTGGGACGGCCTGTCAGTCGACCCAAGACCGTTTTCACGCTTGGACACCAAACCATTACCAGGAGTAGCGAACCCCTACGCCGCGTCGCAAGGCATGGCCGGTTTTGCGTGCTTCGAGGTCGGCCCGGCGAAGGAGGGCGGGGCTCTGTGCCACCAGAAGCCGCCGCCCCACGCCGAAGCCGAGGTGCCTCTCACGGTGGAGCAGCAGCTCTCGCAACGTTTACCGGGCAACGGTGACGCCCTCGTCCAGGACGCCCCGACGTTCGTCAACATGTTTGCCAGAGCCGAGGAAGTTGTGAAAACGGACACTCCGGCTGCCTATAAAGCTGCGCAGCTCTCCATGCAGAAAGGGGCGCTCATCACACCTGCTCAGCGTAGAGCTGCGTTGGATTTTCAAATAAAAAATGAAAGAGCTCGAGCCACCGTGAAGCGGGGCGAATTGCAAGCGAGAAGGCTGCACCATTTGTTGCGGGACCGGCACCCGCAGGGAGCTTTAAACGTCGATAGCACGGCGAACCCCGACTCCTACGTTTATGGGGAGGCGGCTCGGGAAATCCGGCGGAGGGACGCGAACCACAAAGCGAGTTGCGACGCGAGACGCGCGAATCTCACGAAACTCTTATGTGGAGAAACGACGCACGGCTACGACCCCTTCCAGCACGACGAAAGTCTCAAACAAGAAATGAACCGGTTCCTGCAGGCCAAGACGTTTGGCAAGTGCCGGCCGAGTCACTCGACCCATGAAAGGTTGTTCACCAAACACGAAAAACCGCGAAAGGACGTCCGCGAGCAGTTCATCCGCGACCGCGAGCTCGAAGGCAGGCCCTACGACATCGTGGGGCACTACACCATCGAACGGCTGCCTTCTCATGTTCCTCAAAGAGTCAATACTCAATTAGCGCATCCTTCGCAGAACGGCAAGGAGGGCCGGTGCACGCAGGGAAGTTTGGGGCGGACGCCGTGCCTGCTCTAGAGTAAGTATTATACCCCGGCGAACATGTCGAGCACGACGTTCTCCGCCTTCGGATCCGTAGCCGCGAGGGCCAGTGAACTAAGTACTACGAATGCCGCGCCGGCGGCGGCGAGGAGCGTCGGGAGGTGTATCCGCTCGCCTGCCGGCGGGTGCTCATGCCACAGCGGCCGGAAGTCCGGACCCAGCGCCCGCGAGACACCATCGCCGCCGCCGGGGAGTGCGTAAAAGCCAATACCGCTAGCGAATGCAAATATGCGCCCGCCTAGACGCCTTCGACGCGGCGCCGGCTTCCTAGAAGTAAGAATATGGACAATAGCACAGTTACTATAGACTAGGTTCTTCGAGTTGCGCCGGCGAGGGAGATCGCGCCTGGAACGACCGCGCGCGCCGTCTTTCGGACAAAGGCACGAAGCCCGACGGCGGTAGCGGCGGCGACCGCCCCGTCGTGCGCCGCCAGTCGCCCGGCGACTGCCGTCGCGACCCAGGAATGGGCACGCCCTGCGTGTCCGGCGAGAAGCCCAGCCTCCTGAGAAGCGTATGGCGGATCTGGGCGTTCGTCTTCACGAGGCGTCGCCGAGCCTGTCGCTCCTGCTGCTCGTAAATGGGCTGCAGCATCTCGAGCTGGTCGGCTCTAAAAGTACGGGCGGCGTCCGTCCGAGCCCTCCGGAACACTCCGGGGGATTGAGCAACTTCTCTCAGTATAGGAGTTGGTACGTCGCCTTCGAGGTCGGAATAGATCCTCGGTCTGCGTTGGAGAGAACACCACCGTTCTGACAGTCTGGAAGCGATCTGTTGCCCGGCTCGATACAATGTTAATCCGAGCATGATAACAAGTAACCCATAAACATCGGTGGTATGGACGGGCTGGTGCTGGGGCATGCAAGGTAAGGCAAACATGACGTTCGAGATCGGTACGAGGACCGTAGAAGCTAAATATAACACATTGGAGCCGCCCTGCTTCAGCATTAAAATAGTAGCGACGTTATAGAGCAGATTGAAGATGATATACAACGTCACATATGCCGGCGCCGTCGCGCAGTCGTCCGGTCGACGAGTATCGACGTTGGGGTTCAGCAAATCATACCCTGATGGATTGGAGGCGAACAAGTCGTCGTCGTCATAGGTCAACCCCGGTTCCGGCTGCACGACTCCCACGGACCCAATCCCCCGCACACACGAAAACCCGTCGACCACATTATCCGGCAGCTCCGACAGCGGGAGATGCGTCGCCCAGGCGCTCGGGATGGCCAGCGGTAACGACATGACCGTCTGAAAAACTGCAACCCACCCGTTGAGAAAAATAACGCCCACGTCTTGTTCCCCTAATGCTTTCTCCTTATATACTGACGAGAGGCACATGGGCACGCAGGCCGCGACCGTGACGAGGGACCACAACACCGTACCCGAGGACGCTTCCGAATCTGATGTTTCAAGTTGTGGCGAGAGCACGACGCCAATGCCCAATAACACTACACCAGCACCAATAATTTGGAAGCGATCGTACCGCACGCCGACGAACGCCAGCGCGGAAATGACCATGCTTATAGGTATGGCCGCCTGCTGCAACAGTACTAAGGTAGAGGCATTAGGTACATAATTGACTGCCAACACCAGCATCACTGAAGAGAGACAATCTAAGGCGCCCATGACCGCAAACACTGATTTCGGGATGGCCTGCTCCTCGGCGGTGATCGGTGAGGGATTGAGACACAACGATGCAGGTATTATATACGCAAAACATACCGGCACATAAACGGCGGTCGACACGATGTTCACCGTGATGGGGTAGTTGTACATGGGGATCGTCTGGAGCTTCTGGAAGAGGCGGTTGCCCAAACTCGAGATGACGAAGAGCGCGAAGGTCGCGGCGAGGCCTTGTGTCGGTTTCGCGGTCGCGGTGGGCGCGGCGTCGTCGCCTTTGCGGCCCTGGGCTGCGGCGAGCAGCGAGGACTTCTCGGTCTGCTTCGCGCGCCCGGGCGGCAGTCGCTTCGCGCCCTCGGCCGCCGGGCGCGCCGGGTCAGCCTCGCTGGCTGCCGGCTCCATTGGCTGCTTAGCTTCAGTACGCGTCGCGATTTGTCTTAGCGATGGCGTCTAGGCGCCGAGCTGGAAGACATTCATCGTTTTGGCTGCAAAACGAATGTGGGGGTGCTGGCTTTGTGCCGTGAAGATGGCTGGCCCAAGCTTGCTTGCTTGCTCTAGTGTCCTTACGCCGCTAGCTCGATGCGACTCAGCACGTTTGCAGACACCCAGAGCCCGGCAAGACCGAGCCCTCGCCACGCTTCCGCGCTCCGCGCCACCGATACGACCCGAATTCAAACAAAGGCTCTCATGCCAAAAGCTGGACGTCGACAGGCGACAGCGCTGCCCGCGCGACCGCACGCGCACGCGGGCTGCCCTCAACCACATAAATCGGAAAGCCCCTCGACTCAACAGCCGCGGGGCACCACTATGATTGGCCGCAGCACAAAAAAGCCCCCATCCGCCGAGGACTACGCCCGCCGCGACCCGGGCACCTGGAGCAGCGCAGCGCCGCCGCCCCAAGCGAGAAGGTACGGCGAGTCGCGAAGCGCCTGGGAGGCGCGGCGGCCAAAAGCGGGGACCAACGCCAGCGCAGCAGTATATGTCCCTCATTTCATGCAAGAGAATCAGCAGCGCATTCCGGGCAAGCCCTTTGAATTACGAGTACATGTCCGCATGAAGAACAAGGACTTAGTACATGTGTTTTCGGATTTGACCGAGGACCAGACGTTTCTCAGTCTGCGAGAGCTGTGTAGGAAGACCTTTCCCACGTTTGGTCGAAGACTATCAGCGTTGGAGTGGCACGCGGACGGCCAGCGAGTGTGTCCCTCATTCTGCGCTGGTAGGATGGCTTCCTTGCAAGAGTGTGGCCTCGCGGACGCGCGACGGGTCGAAGCGCGCGTGGTCTATGGCCGGACGAATGACCGGCCGCCCGACGCGCCGCCTGATTCCATTAATGCGATTGTTGCCTGCGATTTGTCGAGGTACGGGCCGCTGGCGCTGGCCGGGTCTACGAAAACCGTGAAGGTGTTCCTCGAGGACAAAGCTACTGGAAGGCGGGTCCGAGAGGCAGTTAGAGATGCCGCTGCGACGGCGGGGGATCTAGATCTCGCGACGGAGGACGGCCTTCCCATACTCGATGATCAGCAACTACGACGCGACGTGGATGTGGATGATCGACTCTTTGCTTATAGGAGGCAGCGCGTCGCCTGCTGTTTCGGCCAGTTGCCTGGGAGCGCGTCGCCTTTTCGAGCGCCGCCGCCAGCAGTTTGGTCTGATGTGGAGCAATTGATCCGAGACGCGGGCCCGCCGCTCCCGCGAAACTGCGCTTTTTACAATTGCGAGCCCGTGACGAGCGATGCCGCTGGTGTGCAGGTGCGTTCATTGAGACGGTTGGACGCCGAGCCTGACGCATGTGCGGCCGGTCTGCTGGGGTGCGACCGCGCCTTGGTAGGCGTGGTGGCCGTGCCCTTGCCTACGGCCCGTTCACCACCTCCGGACTCGTCTGAAGTGGGCACGGACGTCGTGTGTCGGTGCGTCGTGCATCTAGCGAGTGATGAGGGCGCCTCGTTACATCTAGAACGCGTCTTCGCGGACGACGGCGCCGACGGCGCGTGGAACGCCGGCGAAGACGTCAGTGACGACGACGAGGCCTGCTCGCGCGAGCAGCACTGCGCCCTGTCACATCCGGAGCGTTTTACGAGGGACCAGCTCCAAGCTCTGAACTTAACTGTAGAAGTTTCAAGAGATGTGCCTGGTGAATGCACGTACGATGCCGAGACGGGTTCGTTAACCTTCCGACCGTCAATCAGATTGGAGGCGAATACAAAATACAAGTGCGTCGTGCGCGCCGGCCGCTACGACTACGTCACATCAATTGCGGGCGACTGGTGCTTTGTTACCGGAGAAGGGTTACAAGGGGATAAAGCCTACGGCGGGTTGGTCGAGCGGTTGCGCGGCTCCGAAACCATGTTCGACGACGAGTCGCGAAGTACCTGGACCCAGAAAGCGCATGCTAATGCTGCCCTCATGAAACCTGTTGTAGTGAAGCCGACTGTCGAAGAAGAGGACGAAAACGAGGGGCCCCTGTCGAAGAACAAGGCGCGGCGCATGCGCAAGCAGTTGCTACATCGGGAGGACGAGTTACGGGCACTGAATGCGGTCCACGCGGCGCAGCAGGCGATGTTACGGGCGGAGGCGGATATTGTCCACAGGAAATTAGCTCACTACAAGGGCGAGCAGTTGGAGGGCCTCGACGTGAAGACGCTCGGGGTGCTGTTGGCTGAAATGGACGCCGCGCGGACGCGCGTCGAGGCGGCGCGGCAGCGGAAGTTGCTCACGTCGTGCCCCGACGACTTCGTCTGCCCGATCACGCAGGAGCTCATGGTCGACCCGCACGTGTGTGCCGACGGGCATTCGTACGAGCACCACGCGATTAGCGCTTGGTTGGAAAGGCACGACACGTCGCCGCAGACGAACCTGCCGTTGGCGCACAAGCACCTCGTGCCGAATATTACGTTGCGGAACGCCATCGGGGCCTTCCGCGAGGCGAACCCGGAGCAGACTTAAGTTTTTTAGAATGTTGCTAGGAGAGCGCGTGCGAATTTTGACGGGGTGAATTTCTAGCATTCCGGTTCGAATTCCGCCTGAGGCGGCGGCGGCGGCTCCCCGACGGCCCGCCACGACGCGAAGCGCCTGCCCCAGCCTTCCGACGGCTGGGCCATCGCGGCGGCCTCGGCGCCTGAGACGTAACCCGGTGGCAGGCTAGCGGCCTCTGGGGCGAACTCCGCGGTCTCCTCGGCCATCATTTCGAGGGCCATAGCCTTGATCGGTGCCAGAGGCGGTGGTGGCGGCGACGTCGGCTCATGCACCACAGCCGCGACCGGAGGCGCGGCCTCAGACGGAGGCTTCGCCGGCTTGCGCCGCTTCATCACGACGATCATGATGGCGATACCCACGACAACGACCGCGCCGACGACGCCCAAGATCAACGCCAGGGAGTTGTCGTCCGAATCCTTGTCGTCGCCGCCGCCGCCGTCGGCATCGCTCTCGCCCTCGTCGCAGAGCTCCGAGAGCTCGGCGTCGGCGTCGAAATCTTCCGTGAAACAGACATAATCTTCGGTCATCCAGGACCAGTCCATGTCTTCAATCGCCACCGATGTCACAGCGGGTCGCTTACACATCCCCCAGCGGTCATCGTTGTAGTCGTCCTGGGCTGGTTTGCCTGCGTGCGAATCGAACCTTGGTCATCAAGACGAGACCAACCGAAATTGAAGATTGTGTGTCCACCCGGGCGATTACACACACAATCCTGTCCACCAGTGGACCTTAGGTCGAGACCCATGTAATTGTTGCCCATTGTATTAGCGGCGCAGTAATTGTAGCATAGTTGGGGCGATGCTGTTTCTCTAAAGTCGTCGCTAACGTCGTTTGCCATACCACCTCCCGTGTTTATTAACGGCGCGCCGGACTCAGGGTAACAGCGGCCCGCCTGGAAGATGTAGCCCGTCCCCGTGGTCGTGGTGGTCGTGGTGGTGCATTCTGGCGCCTCGTACGAGATGGAGTCGTAAACGCCGCGGCCCTGATAAGTCCGCAAGCCGACACCGCCGCTACTATAACTAGAGTCGCTGAAGCTGCCGATCTCTGCACCGTCAAGGAAGACAGTGAAGTCTGATCCGTCCATGTTAATACCGAGGTCATAAAACTGTCCTTGTGCGATCGTGGTATAGTATGTGAAGAGTTCGGACCAGTTGTTGTTCATGCGCCCGCATATCACCATTTGAGAATAGTTAATTCTCGCAATGCCGCAGTAGTACATCTGACCAGCGTCATTGAAGTAATTGGCAGCAGCCGGCATGTCGGTGATGCGAAAGAGAAGACCCGCTTCCTCACCACTAGATACACTGACCGAGGCCTCAAGGTAGCCATCGCTGTAGTCGGCGTCAATGTACAGTACATTACCTTCGTCATAGTTGCCAACATTGTTGTCGACCGTGCCGCCCGACCACGACCAGTCGCCCTCAACGGAGATCCAGCCGCTATCGATGCTACTGAAGTCGTCGGAGAAGCAGGTCCCCGCGGTCATCGTCAGCTTCTCGAAATAAGACCACCCAATATCGATGCACGTGGTTCCATGCGAGACTTCACTGCTGCGCGCGAACTGCAACGCGCAGTTGTATCCAGTCCCGTCCCGCCAGTCGAAGGAGACGCACGCAGAGTTGGATTGGCAGGCGCACGCGCACTCAGTCAATGTTTTATCATTATACTCCGCGATGTTGTGTCTGTCGATGCACCAATTGTATGCCCGGCAGAAATGTCCGCATTCGCCACCATCATACGCCAAGGGGACGGATGATGAAAAATCGAAGTCTGCCTCTTCGGGACACTCTTGCGCCGCCGTCAGCTGGGCTACCTGGTCGACAGGCGCTAACAGGAAGAGGCATAGCGCCTGCCGCATCGCTACAAAGGCTGCCCGCAACATGTGTGTCACTCGGCAAGTGCCATAACAGCTGCCGCTCGAGTTTTACGATGATCCTGCGCGGCAAACGGCTGGTGCCAATGCAAAAAGCTTGAACTCTGAGTCGTGCGGGTTTCGAGCGATTTTCAGCGCGACTCGCTCTCTGCTTTTCGGCTAGCAAGCCAAGCGCATACACTAGAGCAGGCCTATTGGCTTTTTAGAATGTCCTAGTACGGAGAGCGCGGCCGACTCGGAAGCAGGGTCGATGAATTTCGCTGGCAATTGGGGAAAGGGGGGTGGGAATTTCGTTTAGGGTTCCGGTCCGAATTCCGCTTCCGTCGCATACGCTTCCGCCGCGGGCGGCGGCGGCGGCTCCTCGCCGGCCCGCCATGACGCGAGGCGCTGCAAGGTGCGCGCGCCCAAGCCCTCCGACGGCTGGGCCATCGCGGCGGCCTCGGCGCCCGAGATGTGACCTTTGGGCACGGAAGTGGCCTCCGAGATGGGCTCCGCGGCCTGGGGCGGCTCGTCCGACATCGTTCCCATCATTTTGAGATTACTGGCCTCGATCGACGCCAGCGCCGACGGCGACAGCGGCGTCGGCTCGTGCGCCGGAGGCGCGGCCGCAGACGGACGCCGCAGACGGTCGCAGATCGACGCCAGCTTGCGCCGCTTGATCACCACTAATATGGCCCAGGCGATAACCGCGAGAAGTAAGGTTGGGAGAATTATCAGGATCATGAGGAGGTGCCCCTCGTTGTCCGAATCCTTGCCGTTGCTGCTGCTGCTGCCGGCGGCATCGCTGACGACATCGTCGCAGAGCTTCGACAGCTCGGCGTCGGCGTCGAAATCCTCCGTGAAACAGACATAATCTTCGATCATAGACGACCAGTCCATGTCTTCGATCGCCGTCGATGTATCGGCGCGTCGCTTACAGTCCGCTCCGTCGTTGTAGTCGTCCTCGGCTACTTTACACGTACAATCCTGTCCACCAGTGGGCCTTAGGTCGAGACCCATTATGCTAAAACCGGAATTGCCCGTGCAGTAGTCGTAGCATTCTTGGGGCGTTCCCGTTCTCCTCAAGGTGTCGCTCATAAGGCCAGCCGTGTTTATAACCGGCGCTTCGGACTGAGGGTAGCAGCGGCCCGCCTGGAAGGTGAACGAACCAATGGTAGTAGTGCCGGCATTCTCCCGGCAGACGTCGGCGAGCGCGACTTCGGAGAGCGTGATGTCCGAGAGCGTCACCTTGTCGGCGTCGTACGAATGCCAAGGATCCCCGACCCAGACCGCCGCGTCCGTCGCAGCATAAGTAGCGCTCAACGACGTGGTGCCGCGGTTCACGCCGTCGACGTACACCGCCATCTGGTTATTCTCGACAATGACCTTGATTTCGTAGGTCTCGCCGGCCGTGAATGTACCTTCTAACACGTTCACGCTATTATGGCAGCAGCAACTTTCGCAGTAGCTGTGGGACTGCGTCACTAACATTCTGTTGTTAGTGTCCCCTAGCCATATCCCAGGGAGCCGCTGACCATCCGAGCTTCCGATCTTGAGGATGGACTGCCACTCGCCCGTGACGCTCCAGTCGCTCGCCAGCTCCATCGTGAACGTGAGCTCGTAGTCCTGGAGCGAATCGACGGTGGCCACCTGGTTACCGCTGGAAGCGACGACGGGACCAGCAACGTACAGCGCACAGCCGTCGGGGGGCTCTGACAGCCGCCGCCGGACAGCATGGTGCTTGCCTGCCAGACTAGCAGCCGCCAGCGCCACAACCGAGGCTGCCCGCAACATGTGTGTCACTCGGCAAGTGCCAGAACAGCTGCCGCTCGAATCTTCACGCCGATCCTGCGCGGCTCACTGCGCAAAATTTTTCCACCTTCTGAGAGCGTCGCGCGGGTTTCGAGCGATTATGGCTGGCCGCAATAAGCGACTCGCTCTCTGGCTTTTGGCTAGCAAGCCAAGCGCATACACTAGAGCAGGCCTAGTGGCTTTTTAGAATGTCCTAGTACGCAGAGCGCGGCCGACTCGGAAGCGGGATCGATGAATTTCGCTGTCAATTGGGGGAAGGGGGTGTGAATTTCGTTTAGCATTCCGGTTCGAATTCCGGCTCGGGCGGCGGTGGCGGCTCCACGACGGCCCGCCACGACGCGAAGCGCCTGCCCCAGCCCGCCGACGGCTGTGGCGGCGGCTCTCCCGCGGCCATCGCGGCGGCCTCGGCGCCCGAGACGTGGCCGTGGGGCACGGCCTCCGCGATGGGCTCTTCCGACATCATTCCGAGAGCCTCGGCCTTGATCGACGCCAGTTGCGGCGGCGCCGTCGGCGATGTTGCGGCCTCTACCATCGCGGGGCCTCGGTGCCCTTGCGGGGGCTTCGCCACTTTGCTCCGTTTCATAATCACTAATATGGCGATAACCACGAGGAGTACGCCGATGACGACGCCCAGGATCACGACGAGGGAGTTGTCGTCCGAATCGTCGTCGGCGTCCGCATCGTAGGTTCCCTGTATCGACAACCCCGTCGTAACGGTCCAGGAGTACAGTCGGATAGTCCCGCGCCACGGGCGCAGGCCGAGTCCTTGGATGTCCCCGGCCTTCGTCTGTGTATGCACGACCTTCTCCCCCATAGCCGCCGTGGTGACCGAGATCGTGTAGTCGTCCCCACGCCGCTGGACAACTAATGTCATCAGTTCTCCATCGATGATGCCGTACGAGGCTAGATTTCCATGATAAGACGGACCATCGCCAAAAAACGGGCCGTCGGTGAAGACATCCAAACTGCCATAACCCGCAAAACCGAAGTTCGAACCCCATGCGCTGTTGTAATTGAACTCGAATGATGCGCCAGAATTGTAGAGGTCGGTCACGACGAGATTCATGGTCGACGTAAAGTCTCCGGTGCCCAAGTCGTGCTCCCATCGCAGGTAACATACGCCGGTGCCCCCGGCGTAACATAAGCCTGGGCTGCTGGTGATGTAGCTGCCAAAGCTATCAGAGCCTGCGGCCCAGGCGTCGCCAATGACCGTGAGGGGTTCGTTCATGACGCCGTTCACCACGATTTCGTATGTGCTGCTGGCTGGCGTCTCTCTGCACACGAACGTATGTGGACCTTCCGGTCGCAAATCGTTCCACTTTCCGTGCTCTCTGTTAGAAGAACCGGGCGCGGCCCCCCACATATTTAGATAGTCCTCAGGTCCATTCACATTGTTGGGCTGTCCGGTGTCCCAGTTCTCGTAGGCCCACGCGCTGCCGTCCGACCAAGTCCACGTGCCCTCTTGATCTACGTCGGAGCCGCCGAGAAAGCACCATACAGGACAGAGTGCGGCGACTTCCGCATTCTCGCTAGCGCTGTGGATCGATGCGAGGTCGTGGTGGTGCGTCCGGCAGTACTCGCGCGCGTCCGTCCAAGACATTTCCTGGTCGACGTACACGAAGGGACTGTTGGAACCGGCGCATCCTGGCGCCTCGTACGAGATGGAGTCGTAGATGCCGCGGCCCCAATAAGTCCGCAAGCCGATACCGCCGCTACTATAACTAGAGTCGCTGAAGCTGCCGATCTCGGCACCGTCAAGGAAGACCGTGAATTTTGATCCCTCCATGTTAATACCGAGGTCATAAAACTGTCCGAGTGCGATCGGGGTATTGTATCTCCAGATTTCCGACCAGGCATCGTTCATACGCCCGCATCTAACCCAATTTAGATTTATGCCGCAGTAGTACATCTGGCCAGCGTTGTTGATGTAATCGGCGGCAACCGGCATGTCGGCGATGCGAAAGAGGAGCCCCGCTTGCCCACTAGACACACTGACCGAGGCCTCAAGGTAGCCATCGCTGTAGTCGGCATCTCTGTACAGTACATGACCTTCGCCATAGTTGCCAACATTGTCGTCGACCGTGCCGCCCGACCACTTCCAGTCGCCGTCAACGGAGATCCAGCCGCTATCGATGCTACTGAAGTCGTCGGAGAAGCAAGTCCCCGCGGTCGCCGCGCGCCAACAAAGGAGCACCACCGAGGCTGCCCGCAGCAGCGCCTGGGCAGCCATGCCTGCGCGCTGCCGCTCTTTGCCGCCGGCGCAAATCTGGAGACCTGAATTGATTTGCATTTAAGCGAGACCGGAAATTCGACACCACCCGGGATCCGTCCCAGAGGCGCTCTCACACGCCCCACCAGACCCTTGACGCGCCGATCCTGTCGCCAAAACGCCGCCGCGGCGTCGAGCCACGACGAAAAATCGTGCCGCGCTCCGCAGCGACGGAGGGCTGCCCTTGCAACGCAGCGATCGCGAGCGTAGCGTCCTGCACCACACCAATCGCGGCTGCCCGTGGCGGCAATCCGACGGCTGCCCCTGCAGACCACAACTGCCACCACAATGCGCCACTGGCTCCTCCTGGCAGCGCTCGCCGCCACGCGCGCTTTCGACGCCTTCGAACAACCGCCGGACAACGACCCCTACGACGACGAGGAAGACGACGACGACTACCTCGCCGGCGGCGCGCGCGACGACGACCCGTTCGGCTATCATGTTGATGATGACTGCGAGGGCCGCGCCGTCTACAATATGCTAGCAAAACGCGGCTTCTGTGTGGTGAACAGCACCTGGGCCGACGAGTTCGCGCGGCGCGTAGAAGGCTTCACGGTCGGCTGGGAGCCGCAAACCCGTGCTCTAATTCACGCGCACCTCGCCCGCATCGCTAAAACGGGAAACACGACGACGACCCTCGAGGCGGGCATGCACGTCGGCGACCACCTGCTACCGCTGGCTGCGAGTTTCCCTTCTCTGACATTTGTTGGTGTGGATCCAGACGAAAGCAAGTGCGAATTCGTGCGAGCTATGGCTACCAGAAACAACCTGACGAACGTCCGAGTCTACCACAACGGCCTGGCGGCGCGCGACCGGGCCTGCGCGCTGGACGTGTCCGACGCGAATCCTGGGGGCTGGGCGATTGACGAGCGGCGGCGGCTCATGAAGAAGCGCCTGCTGTGCCGGACGGTAGATTCTTTTCTTGAGGATGTCTCTGATCTAGGATTGTTGCACCTCGACGTCGAAGGCGCGGAGTTGCGAGCGTTAAGGGGCGCGCGCGCGACGCTCCGGAGCGCGCGGCCATTGTTGGTTTTCGAGAACAATCATCTGAGCAACGACACGCAGTACGGGACGGCGGCGTTGTTGGAGGCCCACGGCTACGTGAAGCGGGATGAAGTGGAGCACAACGAGGTCTGGGCGCCGGCGCTCGTGCAAAGCGGGCGGCGGCTGCGGCGGCCTCGTCGTTCGAGGCCTGTTTTGTTGTAATATAGGAAGTCTATTGAACGCCGGGGCGCGTCGATGGCGTGCGAGCTCTGAATTGTGCTAGTGTGTGTGTGAACGCTAGGCCCTACTGTTTTTGCGGCTCGAGCGCAGATCTAGCCGACGAGTGCACCAGCGCACGGCTAAGCATTGTTCAGGAAGAGCATCGGACCTAGTCCTGCCGCTACCCTGCTTGCCAAGTACCCCCGTCGCACTCCCGCAGCAAAAAAAGGCACAGGGGCCCTCTGTGCCTGGTTACCAACGCCGCCGCCGCGGCACGTAAGCGTGCGCGCCACGGCAGCGCGAGACCCGCCCGCAAGACCTCTGCGCGCCGCCGCCGCGAAACCGCCGCCGCACAAAGATGGCGCCCCTCACCTGGCGCGTCGCACTCACCGACCTGAGGAAGGGCTTTAAAGTCAAAAGCTCCTCTCCAATTTTCACGAAGGGCAAGCACGAGTTCTGTCTCGACGTCTACCGGGACGGCTGGGGTGATGAAGATAGAGATTTTGTTGCGGTCTTTGTGAGATACGTGTCGAAGCGAGGCTCGACGAAGGGCGTCGCGTCCGTAGCTCTGGAGGGCGGGCCGCGCTGGCAGGCCCCCGAAGAGGTCGTGTTTGCTCCTGTAGCTGACTTGGAGAAACGATCAAGATCAGGCGACCGGAGATTTATGTCTAGAGAAGCGTTTCTAGAACTATCAAAACGAGGTCCACTAGTCTTCACCGCTTCCGTGGATCCGACACGACGTCTCAGCCAAAGAGAGATCAGCGTAGCCAAGGACATCGAAGATATGAGCGAGGAGGACGTCCGGGAGGCGCTGCTGGCCGTCGACCGCGAGGAGGTCAAGGGCCTCACGGACCCGAAGGTCACGATCAAGGGCTCGTCCTGGATGACCCAGTCCGCGAGGAACGCCAAGTTCATGACCGGCTTATACCCTATAGTTATGAGGTATCTACGAGTGAAAAAGAAGGTCGCGAAGATGAGGAAACAGTTGAAAGGAGTGGACCGGGAGGCCTACTACGACGAGCGCACGGCCATGTGGGACGAGGCCCACGAGCGGGAAGCCAAAGCTATTCGGAAGCTCTTTGATAGCATGGGCGGGCTCTACAACAAGCTCGCGCAGGACTGGGCGACGCGCGACGGCCTCGTGCCCCAGGCCTGGGTCGACGAGCTCAAACATAGCTTTGAAGGCATGCCGTTCCGGGAGTGGGCCCAGATGTCGAAGATGCTCCTTCGCGGATTAGAGGGCGAGGGCGTTCCTCCCGTAGGAGAAGGGAAAGGTCTCGGGGCCTACTTCGCGGCAGTCGATCAGACACCCTTAGCCGCGGCGTCGATCGGCCAGGTCCACCTCGCGACGACCTACGCCGGCGAGCGCGTCGTCGTGAAGGCCATCTATCCCGAAATAAGAAGGTACCTCATCGCGGACCTCAAAAACGCGCGGAAGGCGGTGCGGACTCGGCGTCTGAATATCATGAAGGCGGCGTCGTCGTGATGGCACGAGCGCCGACGCGTCGCGCGACCGCAGGCCCAGCAGATCACCTGGATCCTCAAGCTGCCCATGAAGGGGACCATCAACGCGATCATGGACGAGGAAGTTGAATGTTTTCCTAGGGAGCTAGATTTACGCATAGAAGCGAGACATCTGAAAAAACAACGCCTCTACCAGAAGCGGCACGGCCTCGACATCGCCATCCCTGTGGTGATTGATGAACTTAGTAGTTCATCAGTACTCACACAAACATTCTTAACAGGAACGACGATGGGCAACTGCGACGTCTCCGACCCGGCCGTGCGACAGAAAGCTATTGATGCTTGTAAGGACATCACGCACGCGATTGGCGTGACGCTGTTCCGCGAGCGGTTCTTCCACGCCGATCCCCACCCGGGCAACATCATGCTCGTCGGTGAGGAGCTGAAGCCTGGCTTGATAGATTTTGGGCAGTGTACGACTTTGACCAAACCTCAATTACGTACTGTCTGTCAGTTAGTGGTACTGCTACGAACTCGGTCCCAGACGCTGATCGACCAAGCATTGCGAGGTTCCGGCTTCGGTTTTAACACCGAGGACCCGGAGCTCAAGCTAGCCTTACTGTACTACTTCTTCGACTCGTCGACGACGGGCTCCGGCGTCGTGCGACCGGAGGCGATGGAGATCCTGAAGGACGCCATCCAACATAAACCTGCAAGCATGCCTGTTCTTACGGATACGCCGCGAGAAATGGTCTTTTACGGGCGGGTTTGCGGCACGCTCCGGAAATCCTTCGAGAAATTAGATGCGGATGTTTCTGCGGTTACGATATGGTACCCGGAAGCGAGGAAGGCGCTCCAACGGCTAAATGCCGAGAATCCCGATCCTATATCTTCTGCTTTATTATTACTACCGGAGAATCCCGATGGACTGACGTATTTGGTCGAAAAGGCGCCGGTCGTACTGTCGCGGGCGACGGAGGTCATGAACAGTGTGGGGGGCGGGTTCTCGTCTTCTTCAGAAGTGGGCCGGTCGCGGGCGCTGGTCGGCGTTGCAGGTCTTTGTGCGGCGATGTGGTACCTGCGCGACGCTTTACTGGTTGGTATGGTGGCCTTCGCGAAGCTGTTCCTTGCCGGTGTCGCGGCGGCGGTCGTGGCCGGCGCGTCGCCCCTAAACGCGGTCCGCGCGCTGAAGCGGCCGGCGAAGGCGGCCGCCTGATTTTTCTCCCCTCCTCTCGGCTTGCTGTGTCTGGGCCCGGATGTTTAAAGGTAGCCTCTCCTATTCTATACTTCTATGTTGCGTCGATGGCGTTCCTAGGCGCCCCTTGACGGCTGCGTTGCTTCGCGGGCGCGAAGCGCGGCACGCGCTTCTCGTAATTCGTCCTCGATCCGTTCTGTGGTCGGATGCGCGCCACCGAGCACGCGCCGCGCGATCCGTTCCGCGTCCTCGAGCGTCGTCACGGCCTCGCGGACATCGTCGAGCGTGGCGCCGTCATCCTGGCAGAGGCCCTGTTGTCTTTGCATCAGCGACTTGGCTTACATTACGATAACATTCTCGCGCTGCAGAGCAATCTGGCGAACACGTATGCAAAAGTTGGACGGATTGAAGAGGCCATGCGCATGAGACGGGACGTATACTCCGAACGTTTGAAGCGCTACGGCGAGGAAACTAGAGATACACTCATAGCGGCCAACAACTACGCGGGGTCCCTTGGTGTTCTACGGCGCTTCGAAGAAGTCATACCACTGTTTCGCAAAGTGATACCCGTGGCACGACGCGTTCTTGGAGACGGTGATGAAATTACGCTCAAGATGAGGAAGATGTTGGCGGCCGCGCTCTTCGTGGACCCCGCCGCCACGCTCGACGATGTCCGCGAGGCCGTGACGACGCTCGAAGAGACGGCAAGGACCGCGCGTCGTGTGATGGGTGGCGCGCACCCGCTCACAACGGAAATTGAGGCCACCCTACTAAACGCGCGAGCGGCGCTCCGCGCCCGCGAAGAAACGCAGCCGTCGCCGGGGAGTGGGTAAATGGTCAGCAACCCAAGGTAATTATGGACAACAACACTTAGCAGACAACAGTGCTCAGTTCCCGCACGCCTCGTCGAACGACGCCGCGCCGCCCAGCAACGCCGCGACGCGCGCCTCGAAGGCCGCCACGTCGCAGCCGCGCGCGCCGGGCGGCCCTCCTTCCAGATCGTCCCCGACCGCGCCGCACACCTCGCCAGACACGTCGCGGCCGTTGAACAAGATGCGCAGCGCCCCGCCTTCCCTAAGCTCGAAGACGATGCGCGACGCGAGCGGCGGCCATTTCCCATCAAATACGCCTAGCGCCGCCAGGAGCGGCGCGACGACCGTGTCGTGGCCCGCGTAGAGGCGCAGGCGCTTTTCTGAAGACTCAGAGTCGTCCTTGAAGTTCCGCAACAGCTCCGAGAGGAAGGGGTGCATTCCCAATCTAGATGCGGCCCGGCCGCCGTCATTACCATTATACCGACCGTAGTAAAATTTGTCCGCGAGTCTGAACAAAGCCTCCGCTTTAGAACCGGTGACGCAACCTTGCCCGTCCCCCAGACCGGCGTGCCCGTCCCTCAGACAGCCGGTCTTCTCGCAGTGGCGCGAGTACGCGACGTCGGCCACGTCCGTAGGATTCCAAGCCGCGTCTTCGATACTCGCAACGGCGTCGGCGAGCTCGCCGGGTTGCCACGCCTCGCGCTGCCGCTTGGCGTCCGCCGCAGCTCTCACGCAGCGGATGCCCTTGCCGTCCTCGCCCTCGACCCCGAACATCGGCTCTTCCGAAGCGTTTTCTCGGAAGGACGGCCACGCGTCTTTGGGCACGCGTCCGCCGAAGAAGCCGTCGAGGAACGCTGAAGCCGACGCCTTCGTGCGCTGGTAGTTCGTGGAGCGGGTAGTTACTTGCCATGAAGTGCCGCCGTAGCGACTTCGGAGGAACGCGCCCAGCCTCTTATGTTGGCGGAAGCCGCGCGCGACGAGCTGGCCCTTCTCGCAGGTGCCGTGGCTCGTTTCAGGTGTTAGCTCGTTGCCCGACGCGGCCTCCCACCGCTTGACGTGCGATTTCAAGGCTCCGAGGCCGCACTTCCAGTCCTGAACTTCTGTGGCAATGCCGGACCGCGCGCCATGGCGCACGACGACCGTGACAGACGTCACGTCGCTGCCGCCCTCGTCGCCGCTCGTCAGCGGCGCCGAGCAGTACTCATTGGCGCGGCTCGGCATCGCTTCCGGCGGTGGCGCCTTGTTGCTCTCGGTCGCGAAGAGAACCAGTAAAAACCAGAGGGCCATGGCTACGCCGCTGATCTTGACGACCTTGCATTCCTGGTGCGTTGCGGCTATTCTAGGTGCGCGCATGATGCGCGCTGCTCGATGGCGTGAGGCGCTGGTCTTTGCTCAGGCGTTTTGGAGTCTGAATTCGTCGTGCGGCCGCCCGCAGCGCAATGCGTATGTCGAATCTGCAGCTGGTTGTGCCTTGCGGCCGGTGTTTGGGGCAATACGAGTGGGTGCGGAAGCCGCCGCAGCGCTGGCGTCGACGAATGCGTAACAGTAGCTGCGTTTCACAACTCGTGCGCCTTCACGCGCTTGCAAAAGCTGAGTTTTGTGGCTGGTTGCTAGTGTCTTACCGCTAGCTTACGCTTGTTAAAGAGAGCGCAGCAGCGCATCCGCGCACGCGCCTCTGCCCTAGGCTAGAAAGATCTCGCAAGACGCGTAGAATAGTGACAGCAGCTCGGTAGCCCAAGCACTCCTCGGTTCGCTCGCTCGCGCCAGCACACCCGAAAGCGACTCCACCGCTGCCGTGACCAGGGACGCCGGCCGCCGCCGCCGACCCGCTGACGCGCCGACGCCGCCGACGCAGCGGACATCTCGCCGCCAACGCAGCGAACAATGACGTGCATCAAGTACAGCGCGGCCCTCGCGGCCGTCGCCTGCACGACTTATCTAGGCATATTGGTGGGACGGCAGCACCGCCGGCCCGCAATCCACCACCACGGCGGCCACGACGCCCCGCACCACGGCCCGCCGCGGCCGCCTAGGCCCTCAAAAAGAGCCGTAGGCGACGACGACTTGGACGCGGCCGCCGCGGAGCGGCACCACATCCACGCGGAGCCCCACTCGCCGGAATTGATCCAATTCGGAGACTGGTCGGCAAAAGGCAGATTCACGAAACCCCCCGCCAAACCCTACGATTCGTCGTACCCGCAGCTCACGAATTTATGGGAGATCGTGCAGCGGTGGAACCCCGACAACGTGACGATGCCCGTACCTTTCAAGGAGACGCTGGCCGTCCTCAACTACTCGGACCCGCACGAACGGTCGCTAGCGGAGGCCTACCGGAACGCGGAGGTGCCCTTCAAGATCTACGACGTGCCGGACGTTGAATATGCGCGGGACGCGTGGACTGATGTTTATTTAACAGAACAATTCGACAGGAAGGGCAACCAGTTCAAGGTCGAGGAGTCAGAGAACAACCACTTCATGTACTGGCGGAGCCCGTCCGCGTCCGGCCGAAGGGCTTACCCGGATTGGGCCCCGCCGACGGACATCGTCCACAGCACGTTCGCGGACTGGTTGGCTTTTGCGAGAGGCGCGGACGACCGCGAACTCGGCCCGGAGGCCCAGCACCGCTACCTCATGATGGGCACGCCGCCTCTCTCGGCGTTGTTGCGAGGGTCGTCCGTCCGCAGAAGTCACTTCGTCACAAAAGACTTACCGTGCTTCACGCCTGGCACGGAAAACTTCTTCGTGACGGACATCCGGAAGAACAAGGGCATCCAGTGTCGGTTTGGGATGCGAGGGGTCATCGCGGAGGCGCACTACGACGGCGGCCGGAACATGGTGGCCATGCTCCGAGGCGCCAAGCGCTACATATTGACGCCGCCGACGTCGTGTGCTCATCTCAACTTGATAAGGGATAGGAAGCACCCGTCGTTTCGCCATTCAGAAATTGACTGGAGCCACGAGCACCAGGCGCGCTCCGCATTCTCGCCGGAGACCGCGGGCGCGATCGACACCGTCCTCAGGGAAGGCGAAATCCTCTACATCCCGTCGTACTGGATCCACTACATCACGTCCTTGAAATATTCGATCCAGTGCAACACGCGCTCCGGCTCGCCTCCCAATCACGACGGCGAGGCCGACATCGGGCGGTGCATGGGCGGCGAGGGCATGCCCACGGCGGCTAAACGGCCTCTCAAAAAGAAGAAGAAGCTCCGGGGCGCGCCGGGCTTCCACATGACGTCTGGTGTCATTAAGGACCACTGAGTAATTGGTGATGTGTGCTAGTCGTTTGCGAGTCCAATACTTACTCGGGACTTCCAGCAGGGATAGATATGGGGGGGGATCTACTCCGCGAAGGCGATGACGCCCATGACCGTCGCGATGATGATGTTCACCGCGTTGTCCTTGATCGAGTCGGCGTCAATACCAGCATCCTTTAACTTGAGGACAGCGGACGCGATCCAGAGGGCGGCCGCCGTCTCGGTGGCGCCGAAGGCCTCGCCGGAGACGATGGACGTGACGTAGGCCGCGAAGGTGATGACCGCGTTCGTCGTGGCCGTGTCGCCGGAGACGGCGTCCGAGAGCGTCGTCGACTTGGCGCCGAGGAACTTCTCGGAGGACCAAAAAAAACTCGACACCATGAGGAGAAATGCCGACAATCTGGCAAGAGCCGAGACGATTCTCACGCAGCTCATCGACAAACAGTGGGCGGAACGCATCGAGGCGGCCGCCCGGGACAGAGACCGCCAGAAACGCGCACTCGCCAACTTCGTCGAGGCCGCGTTCGCGCGCCTCGACGCCGATGACCAGACGCCGACGGCCGTACCGACGACCTACCCCACACCATCCCGCCGCTGCTACCGCTACGCCGACGGCGCCGCGACGTACTACGCGGCCTGCGGCGAGGACGAGCCGTTCCTCATCATCGACGCCGTCGCGGAGTACCGCGGCGCCTGCGCCGGCCTCGACGCCGTCGGGGCGTGCCTCGCGGCGGCGCGCTGCTCAGTGATTGACGAGAACGAAATCGGGGGACCGACGACCTGCGGCGACGCGATCGCGGGGCGCGTGCACTCCGTCTAACTACGCCGTATACTGTCCATCAGCCCCGACGCCATCGAGGAAGCGGTACTCGGAGCACAGAACAACAAAATTACCTATCCCGCAACGCCCCACCCGCAAACGCCAACGCCACGCACGCCGCGGTCTCCGCTCTCAAAACAGCGGGCCCGAGCGTGACGGCGACGGCGTCCGGTTTCGCGGCACTGATCGCGGCGAGGTCGTCATCAGTTAAACCGCCCTCGGGCCCCACGAGGACAGCGCACGGGCCCGTCACAACATCTAACAAGTGCGGCGCCTTGCCGTCGGCGCGCGCCGCGCACACATATAACGGCAGGTCCGTCTTCACCGCTTCCGTAGCCACGATGGCCTCCAACAACGGCACGTCGAGGCGCTCGCTCTGCTCAGAGGCGGCGACGGCGGCGGTTGTAAAGCCCGGCGCCGGGAGCGCCTGGATGGACGCGCGTTCCGTGCGCTGCGTTCTCACCTGCGTGGTGAGTCGCGTCGATGGCGTGGCGGGCGACAGCCACGACATCGAGCCGCCAGAAGGCGGCGCGTCGATGGCGTCGAGGCGGTGCAGACCTAAAGTCGGACACCGGTCGTCACCGGCCGGAGCCGCGTCGCGCCGAGCTCCACGGCCTTCTCGATCAATAACGAAGTGCGCTTCTTTTTTATCGGAGCGAAGAAGAGCTCCAGAGGCGTAGCTGGCGTGGGCTCCCGCGTCCGTTCTTTCGCGACGACGCGGTCGTCTTCATATGAGGCGAGCCACTCCCCCATACCACCATCAAACACGCGGAGCTCGTCGCCCCGTCGCAACCGCAGCACCTTGCCCAGCTTGCGCCGCTGGGCCGCGTCGAGGGGCCAGCTCGTCTCGCCCGCTATTACTGGTGTCGCCGTCGGGAGCCAGAGGCGCGGCAGCTTCGTCGCCTTGTCTTGGGGCCCCCATGCGGTTGTTTGCAGCAGCAGTATCGCGGCGATGAGTTTATGCATGGTCGCGTCGATGGCGTGGTGCTCTCACAGGGTGATTGCTTTGGCAGTGCTCCTGATCAGCCGCACGACTGGTTCTTTCGGCACAGCAGCGTGCCGTACGACTGCTGCGCGTGTTGTACAGAGAGATTAGCCCGCGTCTGCGCGTTTGCGGCGATTTTGCGCGTAAACCCGTTTTGCTCTCTCAGTGCTGCAGGTGTGCTGCCAACCAGCGAGCACGGGCGGCCAGTAGGAGGGCAACCGGCCAGCCGGCACCGGCCCGCCAGCTGTAAAACCCGCACAAGCCCGCCAGCGCCGGCGGGTGCACCCGGCGGGACCAGCCAGCCGGCAGGCCTGCCAGCTCCTCCAGCCAGCCCAGCGCGCCAGCCGCGGCGGCAGCTCAGCAGCTCAACCATGGTCGCACGCACGCTGAACGCCGCCCGCGTCTACCTGGGCACGATGAACTTCGGCTGGGCCCAGGCTTCAAGCGTATGCGACGCGCCGGTGGCAGCAGAAATGCTGAAACGCTTCGCAGCTCATGGAGGCGACCGTCTCGACACGGCGCGCATCTACGCCAATGGTAAAGGCGAATCTCATGTGCGGGAAGCGATCGAACGCTCCGGTATTAGTGACTGGCGGTTAGGCTCGAAGGCGGCACCTTCATCAGACAAGGGCCTCTCCCCGGAAGGTATTCACGGCCAGTTCGACGCTTCCAGAAACGCTCTCCAAATGGACGGAGCCTTAGATGAATACTTTTTACATCAGCCCGACCCCCTCAACTCATTAGTAGACACTCTGCAGACGGTAGATGTCCTTGTGGGGATGAACGTAGTGAGAGAAGTCGGCCTGTCGAATTTTCACGTCGACGAAGTGAAAAGGGCCTTTGACATTTGCGACGAGTACGGTCTGGCCTTTCCGACGTTCTATCAAGGGTTGTACAACCCTCTCAATAGATTAGTGGAAGACGACTTACTACCTTTCTTGCGAGAGAAAAATGTACGCTTCGTGGCCTACAACGGCTTAGCTGCTGGGTTATTAACCGGCAAGCATAGGCAAGGTACAGACGTCCTCGCCGGTCGCTGTCCGGGCGGAAATTCCCCTTATGCGTCGCGTCGATGGCGTCGCGTCGATGGCGTCTCGAAGGTTGCTTCCTACGCAGGCCGGTTCAAGGACAACGCCAACTATTTGCCGCGCTTCTACACGGACAGCAATTTCGAAGCCGTCGAAAAGATCCGCTTGGCCTGCGCCGAGGCCGACATATCGATGGTCGCGGCGACCTATGCGTGGTTGTTGAATTATTCGGCTTTACGTGAGGACGACGGCGTGCTGCTCGGCGCGTCTTCCCTCGAACAATTGGACGCGTGCCTCGACGCCTGCGCGAACATCGTGGACCTTCCCGACAATGTTCGAGACGCCTTCGAGGGGGCCTGGGACCTCACGCGGCCGGACAGCTTCAAGTACTGGCGGTCCTACTCGGCCGACATGCCGGACCGGGAGACTAGGGACCCGGGCGCGGCCTACGACGCGGCCAAGAAGAAGTAGGCCCCGTCGACGCCGTCGCAGGAGCGCTCAAGTCGCCCAAGAGAGAATTAAATGTGTACATGGTGCTTACGTGACTCCATCATCAACCCAGCGCAGCGCGTAGGACCGCACCGGATAGATATCCGCCGGGAACGCCTCCTCCCCGGATACGGGCTGGAGCGCCGTACACAGCAACTCCGCGCCGCTCAGCGCGAGGAGCGCCTCGAGATAGGCGCGTCCGCGGCAGATGCTCCGATCGGCATCGTCAACTTCAAAACAGTCGTCCGTGGATGACGACTCGCCGCAGTTGTCTTTTACGACGAGGATGCCCTTGGGCTTGAGCGCCGTCCGACACCTCTGGAGGAAGCGCAGGAAGTGGGCGTCGGTGAGGTGCCCGACGCACCACTGCGCCCAGATCACGTCATACGATGATGATGATGGCGCCCAGTCCTGCATGGGCGCCGCGAGGAAGCGGCACTTTGCTGCGGAACCGCCCACCTTTATGCCTTCGACCGTATCGACGGCGTCGACAAACGCACAGGCCGCCTCCCGCAACGTCCTCGCGGGCTCGAGGACGTCCACACTGGAAGCGCCTAACGGCAACAGCACGTGCTTCGCCACCCTCCCGATGCCCGCGGCGACCTGCGTGCGAGCGGTCGTGCTGGCTCAGCGTGGGCGAATGCGAAGGCGCCATGAAATCTTGATTCGCGCACGGTCACTGACGTCGGCGGCGGCGAACGCGCCGCTCTGGCCGGCCGCGTCCCGCGCTCGCGTGAGGAAGCGCCGCGACGCGCGCACGTCCGGCGCGTCCAAGGACGCGAAGCCGCCGAGGACGCCGTCGACCGTGGCGGGCACCTCTGCGTCGTTCTCCCAGTAGGCAATTGCTTTGCTGTACCACGTCGCTCGGTACGACGCGTCGCGCCAGAAGTCGGACGGCGAGGCCCAGGCTTGGGTGTCGGACGATCCTTTCAGGTTGAGGCCCTCGTGCCTGAGCATGGCTTCGACGCGTTTGGCCACCGCTACGTCCGCGGCGGCCTCGTCCTGCGCTGCCATTGCCTGGGACGCCATGCTCCGGCCGCGGTGCGCTTTGGCAGTCGGTCAAGTGCTTGGCAGCGTCACGTTTACGGCCTCACGCGTGTGTTTAGGGCATTTATGCGATAGCTGTGGTCCCTCAAGTTGTCTCAAGTTGTGAGAGCCTGAAACCCGCCAGGAGAGCGCGGGGTTTTCGGCCTTTTATCGACGGCTGTAACCGTCGGGGGGCGTTCGAGAGGGGTCCTGGCTACTTTTATGTGGCTCCGAGGTCCTCATAGCACTGCCAACATCGCCGGTCTGCTTTGGCTTGCAATTTCACGCGCCCAGTTATAATTGACTGGCGCGCTGAGTAGATCAAGCAACCACTGCACGCACAAACTTTTGCTTCGGCAAGAGTCCCGCTTGTCCCGCGCGCCCCAGACGCCGCAAACAGCACCAGAGCGCACAACCCTGCACCATGGGCAAAACACCGGAAGAAAAAGCCGCGAAGAAGGCGAAGAAGGCCGCGAAGGCCGCGAAGCTCGCGGCGAAGGCCGGCGGCGACGCCACGCCGCCGCTGAGCCCCGCGGACGAGAAGGCCGCGCGTAAAGCGGCAAAGAAAGAAAAAAAACGCAAGGCCGCCGAGGCCGAGGCCGCCGCCGCCGCGCCCCCGGCCGACGACAAGGCCGCGCGCAAAGCCGCGAAGAAGGCGAAGAAGGAGGCCAAGGCCGCGGCGGCGGCCGCCGAGGCGCCCGCGGCCGAGCCCGCCGCGGCGCCGCCCACGCCCACGAACGGCGACGAGGTCAAGAGCGTCTTCTGCACGAACCTCGCGTGGGCCATCGACGACGACGCGATCAAGGCCCATTTTTCAGATGCGGGCGACATCCTGCGCATCAAGTGGATCGAGGATAGAGACACGGGCAAATTCAAGGGCATGGGCGTCCTGGAGTTCGCCGATGCGGCGACGGCGTCGAAGGCCGTCGAAATGAAGAACGAGACTGAAGTCCTAGGGCGGACGATGTACTGTCGACTCGACAAGCCGAAGCCCAAGAGTGACCGACCGGTCAGGCAGCCCAAGGCCAAGCCGGAGGGGTGCTGCAAGCTGTACTGCGGCAACCTGTCGTACGATATTGATGATGCCGCTCTCCGAGCGTTCTTCGAGCCTTTGGCGCTGTCGGCCATAAGATGGGTGACGGACCGCGAGACCGGCGATTTTAAAGGATGTGGGTTTGCCGAGTTCGCGTCCACCGAGGACGCGGACCAAGCCTTCCTCAAACAAGGCCAGGTCCTCATGTCGCGGCCGGTGCGCTTGGACTGGGCCGAGGACAAGCCCAAGAAGTGGGAGCAGTAGTAGTTCGTCCGTAAGTATTTCTATCGAGCTAGGCGTCCCGGCGTCGCGCGGCGATGGCGTACTGGCATACTACCGCTGTCGTCCGTCCGTCCCGAGTGTTAGTTCCGAGGCGACGACGGCGAGGGGGGAGCAGGCCGGACGCGCCCGGGCGCCACCGTTCCGCCGCCGGCCTCCCGCCACCGAAGCCTCTTGTGGGTGCCGCCGCTGGAAGAACAACCAACGAACACAACAACTTAAGCTCCCTCCGGGTCCTCGTCGCGCCCCCGCTTCCGCGACGCCGGCGCCGCCCCGAGCCAGGCCATATCTTTGAGCGCGGCCCGCAGCGCGATGCACGCGCTCCTTTCAGAATCGCGGACGCGCCGCGCCGCCTCGACCCTGGAAGGATCGCACTCTGCAGATGCGCTCAAAACGTAGGCCGCGAGCGCATTGTCAGCGAGCCGCGCCAGACCCGCCGCGACCAAATCCCGTTCAACGTCCGACGCCTGCTGTAGTAATCCCCGCGCGTCAACATTTGACCAAGCCGCGGGATCCCGCCCGTCTTCATCGTGATCCTCGATGGTGCACGCCATGAGCTCCTCCAACTCTTCCTCGTCCTGCAAAACACAGACGAGGACGGCGTTCAGCAGGTCGTCGGGCAATGGCTCCTGCGGCGTCACGCAGACTCTTCCTTGAGAGGCGGCCAGCACGGTCGAACAAACTTCTCGCCTCCCGGCATTCTGTGACGCTTCAACAATGTCCTCGACCGCGAAGACTTTGGAGCACGTTGTTACGACCGGCGCGAAGCCGTAGCGCTCTAAGTAGTCCGCGGCGTCCACAACGTCGTCGTAGCGATGCGTCACTTCCTCGCCTTGAGACAGGTCACGTTCGGCGACCATCTCGAAGCAGGCTCCTATTTTCAAAGTGGTGCCCGGCGCCGCGCGGCCCGACGCGTCGTTCAACGCGTCGACGCCGGGGACCATCGCGACTTGATCCTCGGAGACGTGGACACACCGCGTCCGCACCAACAACGCCGCGCGGTCCGCGTCTCCCCTTGAAACATTTTCGAGCCGCGTCCCTCGCAATAAGGCGCGCTCGGCCGGCGTCCACGTTTCGAGGCCAGGCGGGTTTGTAGGTAGGGTCGCGACGTACGCATCCGATAGCTGCAGCCGCGCGGCGAGCTCAGTCGCGACGGCGTCGCCCCTTCCGCGCAGGCAGCCCTCTACGGGAATTCGTAGTAAAAGCTCGCCCGCGTTGATGTCCTGCAGCGCTACCACGCTGCGCTCGGCGTCGTCGCACGGCAACCGGGCGCAGAGGTCGAGTTTCGTGTTGCAGCCTCCGTTTAACTGCTCGCGGATGTATTTTGCGAGTGCGGCGCCTTCGGGCGACATCGTGGCAGCGTGCAGTGTCAGTGCTACAGCAATGCAGGTCCGCGACAGCGGTGGATGGTGGCCGCAGAGAGAGTTCAGCTGCGAATCTGTTGCAAAACGGAGCTCGGGCGCAGAGATAACTGAGCAGGCAGGCACAGCCACTGCTTGCTAGGCATCCCTAGTGTCTTACAGGCCGCTAGCACGGGATTCGTTCTAAAATTATAATTGACCGGAGCCGTTCAGAGAAATCCCACACGCGCTTCGGCCTTTTTGCGCGTGCGCATGGCACCCTGAAAGAGGAGCCAGAGGAGCCAGAGGGCCACCAACACCTGCGCGGTAAAAAGGCTCAAGCAAGAGCGCAGGAGCGAGAGCGGCCTTAATATATCTGGAAACGGTGAGAAATATCTGTGTTTTAGAGCGGCCCGTCTTCGACACACGCCTTTTATCTATTGTTGGTTCGCTTCACACGGGTCGACTCACCAAAAACGAATACCCAACAAAGAATTTAAAAAGTACTAGTAGGTTACTAGTAGGTTGCCATACGCAGGCTTCTGGGGACTTCTGAAGGGCAGACTCGACGGTTTTGAGCTTCGGCGGTCCGCCCCTGGCCATAGGGAAAAAGCCCGTCTAGTGAAAAGACCCGCTAGCAAACCTCGTAACCCGCACGAGCTCAGAGCAGCCCACTTTTTGCGGCCGTGCGCGGCCCAATCGGTACGCACAGCACACAGCAGCACTTGAGAAGACGTCCACGCGCGCCGGCGCCCACGCGCGCCGAAAAATTCGCGCGCGTCGCGCCACAGAGGCCGCCAACCAGCAAGACCAGTGTAAGGAGGCGCTACGCGCGCCCTAATCGCTGCCCGAACCGCGTCCCGGACGGCGGGCGCGAACGGGCTACTTCCAAAGGCTGCCCTGGACACGCGGCGCGCACGAACAGCATGTCGACCGCGACCGCGCGACCGTCGTCGAGCGGCGCGGCGGCACCGCGGTGGGGTTCGCGCACCCATCAGCACAGCCGCGCGCTTTCGTGGGCCTTGAGGGGTATTATTAGGTAGTCTAAGGGCAAAAAGCTTATTTTCCGTATTATGGATGATTCCGGTTGGCTTTATGGTGAGTCGACCCACACACGAGTTCACAACGCCAACGTGGCGGCGAGCGCCGTGCGGGGCGGCCCAGGGGTCTTGCTAGCCCCGCGTGTGCGGTCTCGAACTGCGGCCGGGCTGATACCGCGGCCCGCGGGTGTTCGCGGCGAGGCCGGAAATCCCCGGAAGCGGACCCTGGACCCAAATTCCGAAAAAGCTGAACGGAATCATCCACATTCCGGGAAACTCGCATAAAATTACAAATTAACATTATAACCGGCCTAGATAGCTTCAAGGATACGCTCGTGAGTGTCCTCGGTAATTGTGTACCTCCCATTTGTGTGTTGGCTGAACTTCAGTCCAGTCAGTCGGACCGTCGCGTTCGCTTGGATGTAGACGTCGTCGTTCAAAAGCGTATAGGTACGCTCTTTGCCCGAGACGATGTCGTACCACTTGATTGGTAGGATCATAAACCCCACCTCATAGTCTGAATTGGCATGTATGAAGTTTTCGGTCGCGACGATGGCGGCTCCGGTCGGCTTCGCGAGCCAGAAATCGTCAGTGTACTTGGGGTCCTGGACACGAACGGCGAGTAGCTTCTGGTTGTGCATTTCTTTGCACCAGTTTTCGAAGGCACCCTGCTGCGTTTGGATAGTAGACGTCGTCACCTTTTTGATTTTCGTACTATGCTTCCTCATCGTAGGGGCAGGTGCTGGGGCTGGTTCAGGTTGTTCTAGTGGCGGCGTCGCCGCCACGTCGTCGTCGTCGCTATCGTCCTTGCCCAGGATGTCGAGCAGAGCATTTTGCAGGACCCGAGCGCCTGGTAGTTGATCCGCGCCTAGTACTTGGAGGATCTCGTCTTGCTGTTGGAGTAGTACTTGGAGCTCGTCGCGGGTCTCTTCACGTACACCGCCTTGGCCGCCTTGTCGTTGACCGGTGCGCATGTAGTCGGGTAGCCACGGATCGTATTCTACTTGTGGTGGAAGGCGTCGTCGTTTTTTTGGGGTTTCTGGTGGAGGTGGAGGTTCGGGTTCGGGCGCGGCGACGGCTGCGTAGTTCTCGTAGACCATGCGCTCGAGGACTGCACCTGGCCAGTCCCTCGCTAGCTTGCGCCGAAGGGCCATCTCCGCGGTGTCCTCGTCGCGGGGCCTTTTATTAGCCTGCTTTCGTTTCGCGGTGATTTTGTTGTTTTTCCCGATGCGTACAACAACTAAACCGGTCTTCGGGTCATCGTTAAACGTGCCCTCTGTGCCAGCGTAGTGCACCTTGTCTTCGGGAAAGCAGCCGTAGATGTGGCCGCTGTGCGTCTCGGCCATGGCCGCGCGGTCAACAATGATGGCTGAGCATTGTTGAGACGCTGCGCTGTCACCGGCACAGCTCCGCGCGCACGCCAGGCCAGCGAGCGCCGCCAAATCCTAGCGTAAAAACACCTGTAGACACACTAGCCCTGTGTGCGAAACGCGGCTTGCAGTTGTTTGAGCGCCGTTCGGTTCGATACTGGTCCAAAGAGATCAATGGGACACTTACTGGTGCGCGAAAAAAGTAATTTTTTAATTCGCGGTGCGGAGGCGACGAGGCCACATGCCAGCCACGCCGGTTTAATCCTGTCAATCCCTGCCGAGCAGGTCTCCCTGGGGTCGCCTAGGGTCGGTACTATACACGTGCAAGCGCCTACACCGCATGCGCCGCTGCTTCAAGCAATTTTGGCCGATTTCTCTCAGCAGCCCGCGGCACTTTAGCAATATTTAGCCAAGATTTGCTTTCAGAGCCCTCCGAGACCACTAGGCTGCTGCATCGATGGCGTAGGCGGTGCAGGGGCTTACCCACCACCAGACCTACCCCGAGAGGCCTCCAGGAGCCGATCTGCATCCGAAAAAAGTGTGCAATTTGGACCCGATGGCACCCCGTTCCCGGCAAAAACGCCAATTACCTGAGGGCCCCCAGTAGTCGCCGTAGCGGTCTCGTTGGACCCTATACTACCCCACCGATAGTCAATTACGAGTATATGCCATCTACATTATAAGAAGGGTACTTTTTGCTGCCCACGCTCGGGACGTGAACATCTTTATCTGGAGCTCGCGTAAGTCGGTCGGTCATGGAACAAATGATCGCGTCAAGGTCCATGGTGATGGTACACGGGCTGATGGTCGCAGGTCTGAGTAACTCGCTCGAATTGGCGAGATCGTGGGGTCGCGAGATGGACGAGGCGCGAGTTGGAAACGGGACCGGTCATCTAATGTAGTAGACGTTCAGACCGGTTGTCTGGCCCGTCCCACACCCGAAGCGCCTCAAACGCGAATTTATTTTACAACTCACCGGTCTGGGGCCAATTCAGTGCCCCGCGTACGCACCGTCGTCCGCGGAGAACGGGCAAGTCGGTCGATTGTGAATAGAACAACGGCGTTATGGTCCATCTGGATAGTGGCGTCGCTGATATTCGCGGATTCAGGTCTTGAGCCATTCTTTATGTAAACGCGAGGGCGCGGATTCGACGTTTCGCGCGGCTCCAACGGAGCACCTAAAATAGATGAGTATTTGTTCAATCGGCCTAGATGGACTCTACCCCTAACTAATGGAAGGAAACGAACATAAACTCGGGAGTTGTCTAGTAGAATTCTTTTCCCGCCCTCCGAGCGCGGGCCGTCGGCTCTAGTTCCGTCAGATATGTTTGAAAACTGGGCTGGAGTATATATAATGTACCATCTGGACCGTAGATGGCGGCGTCAATCGCTGGTCTACTTTGGCAAGCCGTAAGTCTCATCCGCGAATGTCGCCGTCGGCTAGGGGGCCTCTTCACTAGGGTAACTTTGGTCCAATCGACAGGGGCGGACCGCCGAAGCTCAAATCCGTCGAGTTACCTCCCCAGAAGTACCCGGAAGCCTGCGTATGACAACCTACTAGTAACCTACTAGTATTCTTTGTTGAGTATACGTTTATCGGAATTTGGGTCCCTGAGCCGCAGCGCTGTCACAGAAGGAAACCGGTGCGTCCTCGCAGGCCACGTGCGGTAGTCGAACATGACCCTCAAGCACTTAGTGCTCGCCCTCGCCGTGGCGGCGGCCTGCGCCGTCGCGCCGTCATCCCCGCGCGGCAGCACCGAGGCCGTCGGCGACACGTTCGAGATGTCGCTGGCCAAGGCGGTAGCCAAGAACGACGCCACGCTGGCCGTCGACATGACGCCGAAGCTACGCGGCGCTTCGGAGGGCCAGATGCCTTCCAGACCGGCCGGTCGCGGCCTAGAGTTTGGCCAATACCAAACGGATGAGCCGACGGCCGAGCCCACGGCCGCTCCCTCTAAGAGCCCGACGCTCAAGACGGACGACCCGACGGTCGCGCCAACGTCCTGTGATAGGACCTTCAAAAAAGTGGATACTACTACGAACGCCCCTGGGCCCCTAGATTGTTACGAGGCGTGCTCCGAAGCTGGACTCAAGATGCCGTGCATCACGTCGGCCGCGGTCAACGAACAGCTCAGGCTTCAAGTTCAGGAGGATGGCCTAAGCCCAGGCGGCTACGCCTTGGTCTGGTTAGGCTACACCGACGTCGCCAACGAAGGCAATTTCGTGTGGGAGGATGGATGTACGTCCGAATATACAAAGTGGTCCCCCGTTCAGCCCGATAATAGATATTTCAATTCAGGAGCTTTAGTAAATGGTGCTGATTACACCTACTTTTACGCCACGGCCTCCTTCACATCGGGCAGATGGTCAGACTGGAACGATGAATGCCCGGCTCCTGGCATTTGCTTCTGCTACTGCCAGGATGCGTGCAGCTATCTGGCCGAGCCCACGACCGAGCCCACGGCCGAGCCCACGGCCGAGCCGACCGTCACGCTAGCGCCTACCGTCACGCTAGCGCCTACGCTACCCGTCGGAGGCCCCGCGGCCGCCGCCTGCCTTGCTCTTGAGGACGGCACCTGCGAAAAGTGCTGCGGCGGCTGCACTCGCAAGACTCCGGAGGTCGACGGCCTCGACTTTAGCGGCCTAGACGAGTGTGTCTGCTTCGAGGGCGAAGTTTCCGGAGAGAGTTTCTTTAATGACTATTATGATAGCGGTGTTGACTTCGAGCGCGTGTTTCTGTCGTCTAAAAACGACTGCGCAAAGGTGATTGGAGATTTCGTAAACATCAAAGCGCGTGCCCGGCGCCCGTTCCGCGCATGCGCTCGCACATTATATGGTGGGATTCCGCGCAGGGCCGGGGGGGCAACGACGCGATTGTTGTCGATGGCGACCGCAACTTCCTCTTCGTTTGCCCCGCGTCCGCCCTCCCCACCGCTCTCGACCCGTTTTCTTCCGCAGGGCGAGGAGGGCAACGACGTGCTGATCGCGGACGGCGACGGCAACATCCTCTACGTTTGCCCCGCGTTAGCCCTCCCCACCGCTCTTGACCTCGTTTCCTTCCGCAGGGCAACCAGGGCAACGACGCGCTGACCGCGACCGGCACCTTCAACTACCTCTTCGTTTGCCCCGCGTCCGCCCTCCCCGCCGCTCCTGACCTCGTTTCCTTCCGCAGGGCGGCGACGACGACGACGCGCTGAGCACGGAGGGCAGCAACGACTGGCTATCCGTGTGCCCCGTGTCCTCCTGCCCACCGCTCCCGACCTTATTTTCTTCCGCAGGGCGACGAGGGCGACGACACGCTGACTGCGACCGGCACCGACGTCTTTATTTTCGACGGCGGCCCCGGCACCGACACCTGCACGTACAACGGAGATCAGGTGACCGACGGCGCGCAGATTGGCAACGCCGGCGCGGGGTGCGAGTGAGCCCGCCGACGTCGACGAGGCCGTGCACCTCGAAGCTGTTCATAGCACACCCTCCCCTTTCTCGTGCCACACGCGCCGAGGCGCCGCTTCGGAGCCGGGGCACACGTACCCACCTTGTATATAAAAACACGCAATCACCTTTGGGAATCCTCCAAGTTACTACGCCCCGTCCGCCCCCCGCTCCCGGAACGACCGCACCGCGCGCTCGTTATGTAGATTCGGCGGCGGCGGCGCCATTTGTGGAGGCTGCACGCCCTGGTAGCGCTGCCCGGCCACAGCCGAAGGATCCCGCGCGAGCTCCACGGCCTTGGGCCGGCCCCGATGGACCAGCGCCTTGTAGACGACCCGATCGCCCGGCACCAATGGTGAAGCCTCCCGCACATCATTCCCGTGGATGAAGACGTCGTCCTGCTGCGACTGGCCCCACTCGGAACGCACGAACCCAAAGGTCTTCTGCGGATCGTACCACATCACTTGCCCGCGGCAGAACTTGCCGCCGTAGAGGAACGCGCCTTCCGCAGGTGGCTGTCGTAAATGTTGAAAATGGTCGTCTCGGGTAGCAAAACCAGTAGCCACTCGAGAGATGCGCAGGGCCTTCGGTCTACCTTGAGGTTCTTGTGAAGGCGCCCAGTCGTACTCGACGCGTTCGCCCTGCGCCAACGCATTACCACCGTCCACAACATCATATTGATGCGCGAAGACGTCGTCTTTATCTTGAACGCCACCGTCGGGCGCCACGAAGCCGTACTGTTTTTGGGGATCGAACCATTTCACGGTCCCTCGTTGCCTGCCCGACGACTGTTTCTCCTGCGACGGCCTTGCGGAACGAATGAGCTTGACGTCGCAGGCCTTCCTCTTTTTGGTATTGTTATCTAATCCACCTAGCGTGAACTCCACCACATCTCCAACATTTAATGCCGGACATAACAAATCTAACTCTTGGACGTATATATCATCGTCACTCGCAGGCGCGTCCACTTCCTTACCTAAAAACCCGAAGCCCTTGGGCCGGTCCCACCACTTGCAGAAGGCGACGTGGCGCCCGGCTGTTGACGGTGGCGGCAAGGCGTTGTCGCTAGGAGGCGGCGTCGGCGGTCTCGTGACGCCGGGCGCGAGCTCGGTCACGGGAGCCATGTCGGCCGACGGCTGGGGCGCGCCGCCCTTCTTGAGGAAGGGGTTGACATACGTAGACGTAGGAGGCATCGGCGGCGGCGGCGGCGGTGCCATCATCGGAGGCGCCATCATCGGAGGTGGGCGCGTCGGCTGGGGCCCCGCGGCGAGGAACGCGGGCGGCGGCGGGCCACCCGTCTCGGGGAAGACTTCCGCCTCGTTCGCTTTTAATCTACCACCAACATCTCTTCCTCGGATGAACACCGTGAGGTCGTTCTTCGCGGGCGGTCTAGAAGTACGGGGATCACCACTATCCGGCTCAAATCCCTTGACGTCGAAGCCGTGAATAAAAACGTTTTCCCCGCCCACCTCCGCCGCAATGAACCCAAAGTTCTTGTCCCGGTCGAACCACAGGATGCGGCCCCGCTCCAGGCGTCCGTCCTCCGGAGGTTGACCCGGAGCCCCCGGCGGCGGCGCTCTAGACTTCTCCAGAGGCCGTTCCTCGTGGACACTTTGACCTTGGGCTGCTTTTTGATACGCTTGCGCGGTGTTGATGGCGGCGTCGGGGGCCATGCCGGGGATCTCGGCCTCGACCGATGCCGGTTGCGGCGCCGCGGGCGTCGCCTGGGCCTGCTGCTGCGCCTTCTGCGCGGCGAGCGCCTGGTAGTCGACGGGCGGCGGCGGTGGCACGGCCGGCGCCATGGGCGGCGGCGGCGGGCGCGGCGGGAACGCGCCGGACGGCGGGCCGCCAAAAGGCGGCGCGCCGTAGGCGCCGGGCGGCGGCCCCTGCTGGTACATGGGCGGCGGCGGCCCGCCGTACGCGCCCGGGGGCGGCGGCCCGCCGTAGGGCGGGAACTGGCCCGGAGGAGGCGGCCCGCCGAACTGCGGCGGCGCCTGCTGGTATTGCGGCGGCATCGGCGTCCGGTAGTCGCGCTGCGGCGGCGGCGCGCCGTACTGGGGCATCGGTGGCTGCTGCATCATCGGCGGCGGCGCGCCCGGCGCGCCCGGCGGCGGCATCATCTGAGGCGGCGCGCCCGGCGGCGGCGGCTGCTGCGCCACTGGAGGCGCCGGCGCCTCCGCTTCAGCTTCCTTCGCCGCCGCCTTGGCCGCGAGCTGCTGCTTCACGTCTGCTATGATCGCCTCATCATCAATGGCCTCCAGGTGGCCCGCCATGAGCGCGACGCGCTTCTTCTTCCCAATCACCCTAACTTCGTAGCGCGCCGCTCGACTATCCCAGGCCTCGACCATGCCCAATGAACCGCTCAACTTTTTGTCGTGGGAGCCCTTGGTCACGCGCACGACGCGATCCACCAGACTGCCCGGTTTCTGGGCGACCTTCTCTGCCTCCTCCGGTTTGTCCGTGTCGGGCTCGGCGACGGCTCTGTCGTACGCGTCTCGACTAATATGTCCCGCATCTAACGCTGCTCGGTATCGCGCTTCCTTGCGCGTCGTCGGCGCGGGCGGCGGCGGGCCCTGCTGTTCTACTGGTGGAGCTTGCTCCTTCATCCACGCGGGTCTGTTATCGACACCTCTCCCGCGGCCCATCGGCGGCGGCGGCGCCCCCGGTTGTGCACCGGGCGCGGCCATCAGCGCAGGAGGCCCCGGCGCTCCTAAATGAGCAGTTTGAGCTCGACGCGCCTCCGCCGTGTCCGCTTGGCCGGCGAGAGCCTGCTGCTTCGCCCGCTGCGCCTCGAGCATGTCCTCCGCGGCCTTGCGGGCCGCATCGAGCTTCGCCTTCGCTTGAGCCTCGACGATCGCCTGGAGCGTCTCCGCATCCGCACCTTGCCCCTGCGTCGCTAAGTACTGCGCCGCGGCCTCCAGTTGCTTCGTCGGGCAATCTTGAATGAAATGCCCACCGACCCCGCACTTCTTGCAGACGTACCCTGGTGGCGGGTGTCCGAGACCAGCAATCCCCAGACCGATGGTAGGGCAGTCCTGGACGTAGTGGCCGGGGATGCCGCACCGTCGACAGACATAGTCTCCGGGCGGGATGCCGCCTCGCTTCTGACCCGTGACTGCTGACATCTGAGCCGCTGTGAGAGTGGTCCCGTCCGCATTTCTTGGATTATTATCTGGATCGACGCCCAACGCATCTAGGAGTTCGACGGGCACGGCGACGGGGAACGGGTCGCCGCCCGGTAGAGGAGCGTAGCCCTTCGGTCGACTGATGCGAACACCTCTGTCTCCGGAAGCCAGGCCTTGGGCCCGCACACCGCTTAAGCGAGCTAGTAACGCGGCCACCGCCGCGTCCCGACACTCAATAAACGCGTGGTCCGTTCGCGTGCGTCCCGACACTTCGCCCTCCGGCGCAGCGACTTTACCTGACCGAATATACGACTCGAACTGGCCGTCGGGCGACTCCGCTAGCAGTATTCTACCGGGCGATTCGGGCGGCAACGACTCGCGCACCGCAGTGACCAGGCCTTCCAGCCACTCCTTCACGGGCTCGATGGCCGTGCCGGCAATCAAATTGCCGATGTACAAATCCAGCACGCGGTTCTGCCTCATGGTAGACAACGGGTGCTTCGGCGGCAGGGGGTTCTCGAGGCTCTTCTGCATCGCCTCGGCGGCCGCCGAACTGACGGTCATGCCGGGCAGCTGGCCCCCGAGCATCGCCGTGAGCGCGTCGGTGGAGGGCGCCTTGTCCCACATGGAGCCCTTCTTCTTCTTCGCCTCCTCCTTCTTCTTGCGGCGCTTCCGGCGGCGTCGCGCGCCGCTCGACTCGCTCGAGGAGGAGGACGAGCGGCTCGGCGACTTGCGCCGCCTCCGGCCGCGCGAGCGGGACCGCGACCGCGAGCGGGACCGCTTCTTCTTGTCGTCCTTGGAGCTCTTCTTGTCGTCGGAGGAGCCCTTCTTCTTCTTATCATCCGAGGAGCTCTTCTTGTCCTTCTTGGACTTGGACGGCGACCGCGAGCGCGACGGGCTCCGCGACCGAGAGGACGAGGAACTTCTACTAGAGGACGAGGAGCTGCGCGACCGCCGCCGCCCGCGCGAGCGCGACGGCGACGGCGTGGGAAAGTCCCGCTTGAGCGTCTTTTGGTCGGGCAACCGCCCGATGCGGGACATCAACACGGCCGACACGTTCCTTCCATCCAACGGCCCCTCCCGCAACACGCAGCGCTGCGCCGGCTTCGACAGGCCCCGCATGCGCTGCGCCGCCATGGGATCTAGGCGATACGACGACACGAACCTCTCCACGGCCTGTCGTAATTCGCGCGCGTCGTTCTCGCGGTGCTGCCGCCTCCGGTCGTCGCGACCCCGTCGCCGCCCGCGACTCCTACTACGACTTCGCTTCTTCTTCTCCTTCTTCTTTGCATCAGCGCCGAACGCGGGCGGGGCCGCGCCGAACGGCAGCGGCTTCTCCACCGCGGGAGCAGGAGCCGGCGCGCGCGCCGTCGGCGCGAAGGGGTCCACGGCCGGCTCATCTTCCGGCGCTTCGTCCTCCGCCTTCTTGGCCCTCCTCGCCCTTGCGGCCTTCGCGTCGGCGCCGCCGCGCCTCGAACCGGTCTTCTTCTTCTTTGGAGAAGCTTTGGGCGCCATCTTGCCGATCGGCACGTCATCATCGGAATCGCTTTTCGTCTCCGTCGCTTGCGCCTGCAATTGGCTAATCGGGACGTCGTCGTCGTCGCTCGAGTCGTTCGCGGGCGCCGGCGCCGGCGCGTCGCTCTCGGCCTCCGACGCCTTCCGTCTTGTCACGCGCGTGCCGCCGCGGCGGCCGCGCGCCATCGTTCTCGCGCTGCGGGTGAACGCGAACAGTCACGCTCGCCGCGCGACGGGTTCTAAAATCGCGGGCGCGACGTCGAGTGATTCGCTGGCGTTTGCGGGCTCGACGGAGGCCCGTGAAAACGCTCTTGCTGCGGCTGCTACGCGGCCGCCGCTCCTGTGTGGCGGTCTCCTGCTGCCTGTGTTGTCGCTCCTACTAAGCAGCTCCGCGTCCCTGCGAGCGGCTGTTCGTGTTCAGCGGCTGTCGTAGCAAACGCGTCGAGACTGAGGCTGTCCTGTGTGACACAGGGGCTCCAATCGCGGCGCCGGCGACGGTGACCAAGCTAGCTAGCGTCCTGTAAGACACTAGCAAAAAAGCAAGCGTCGATAGACCGGTCGCGAACCATCCAACGACGTCGCGGACGCACTCGTGCGCGCCGCGGACACTCCATCGCGACCACTCTGCCAGCTTTTTGGCAGGATGGGGTGTGCAAAGCGCTGCAGCCGCGACGATGACGAGACGCCTGGGCTAGTCACGCACGGGACGCATAGATCCCTTTACACTTCCGTGGTACGGGCGAGCCACTGCGCCACGGCATCGCAGGAAAGACAACAGCAGAGAGGGGGCAGCCCATGACACAAGCGGTGATGCGCGGCCTCGTCCTCCTCGTCATCGCCGGCGCGCGCGCCGCCCCGGAATTAGTCGTGGAAGTGGAGGTGAATGGCAAGATGCAGGAGCTGCGCGCCAGTCGCCACGACGATCCTCGCAGAGCGGCACACGAATTCTGCGTCAGACACAACCTCACAGTGTCGGTGGAAAACATGGCCTGCGGCGAGATGCTCGCCGAGGAGCTGGTCGAGAAGGGCGCGCGGTATCCGTTGCCGAGCGAGAAGCTGCTACGAGTGAGAGGAGGCGTCGTGCCGCCCGGACCGTGGCGGGACCGGGCCCAGCAGCTCGTGCCGCCGCACTGCCCCGGCGAAGTGCTCTTACCTTTGATTGGGGATGCCGTCGCAACACCAGAGATAGCGGTTGACATCATTACGGAACATGGCCGCGTACCCTTCGTCCATTTCGACCACGCGCTGGTGAACGCGACGGCGTACCCCTCGAAAGCGTTGGATGGCGTGGGCGAGCCGCTCGGGAGAGCTGCGTCGGCCTTCTGCAGCGCCTGGTTCTGTCGGCGACGAGCGTTTACCGCACATGATCTCGCTGTGAAACTACGGCGCGAGTTGCTAGGAGACCATTCTGCAGAAAGGCCCCAACGGTTAGTAGTGTCCCTCTCGACGCTCCCAGGCCGCATCACCTTTCTAAAAGATCAATTGCGGTTTCTGTATAAACAAACGCGACAACCGGACGCCATATATGTGGTGGTCCCGTACACATCACTAAGGGGCAAAGGAGCCTACGAGATACCCTCAGATTTGTACGAGGAGGCCGACGCCGGCCGCGTCGTGATATTGCGGACCCAGGTAGATTGGGGCCCGGCCACGAAGCTCATCCCGACGTTATCTGTGGAGACGGACCCGCGCACGATCATCGTCACGGTCGACGACGATCTAGATTATCCTTCTACGCTAATAGAGCACCTGTATCAGGCAGCTCTGCAACGACCGGACGCGGCTATCGGCATGAAGGGCTACTGGCTCCCACCTACGAATACCAGTGACAAAGATAAATGCGACCCGCGGACCTGGGACCACGTCCTCGAGGAGAGGGACTACGGCTACTACTCCCATGAGAATTTATTATATACGGATGCTGCTTCTACAGATAGGGACGTCGAGGTCCACGTGTTGGGAGGCTTGCTGGGCGTGGCCTACCGGAGCGGCTTCTTCGACTTGAGGCGATTAGTGGATTTTGCTGATTGGCCCGGCGGGAGCGTGTTTGTGGACGATGATTGGATATCGTCCGTGCTCGATTCGGCGCGTGTCCCGCGCGTCGTCCTAGGTTTAGCTGGTACTGAACTCGCGGACCAGATCCGCAACCAGCCTTTGGTCGCCCCGCAGTCGGAGCTAGAGGGTCTGAACTCCGAGGCGCACGCCTTTCGAAATGTGAGATTGCAGAACGAACTGCTGTCCGAGGCGCGAGCTAGAGGATTGTTTTCGGCGACCTGGGACTGTCGCTTCGACGCTTCGGGTGAAGATGACGGGTGGATTGTTGCATTGAAGGCGCTGGATGACGCTTATTGTGATTCGTGTCGAGCGCCGACCATCGTATTGCTCGATGGGAATGACGACGTGCTGGCGCGCTACCGGGCGCGCAACGGCGCCGTTCTTATCAAGGAAGACGCCCGGGCGCTCATGCATCGCGAACCGGTGGATCTCGTTGTGGTCGATTCGGCCGTCGGCGCCGCGGCGGCGCTCCGGAACCGGGCTCGCGTCATCGTGGCGCGGTCCGAGAGCGAGGTCCTCGCCGCGCTCTGCGCCGAGCTGGGGCGCGGCGGCTTCGTGGCGTATAAGTGTTAGTGTTATGACTAGCTCCCCGGCAGCGTCTCGCGGGCGTGGAGCGCGGCTCGCGACTTTTCCAGGCTGTACTCAATTCCCGTTGTGGTCGGGTGTGCGCCACCGAGCAGGCGCCGCGCGATCCGTATCATATCCTCGCCTGTCGTCACGGCCTCGCGGAGATCGTCGAGCGTGGCGCCAGGGTCCTTGTAGAGTGACTGCGCGTAAAGCCACCTCATCTTGAGCGTGATGTCATTACTAATTCCGAGAACGCGTCGCGCCACGGGTATCGTCTTTATCAACAGCGACTTGGCTTCATCGAAGCGCTCTAGATGAACTAACATATTCGCGTAGTTGTTGGCCGCTGAGAGAGTGTGTTTATGTTCCCCGCCGTTGAGCTCCAAACGTCCGGAGTATACGTCTCCACGCATACGCAAGGCCTCTTCGAGCCGTCCGAGCATTTGGTACGAGTTCGCAAGATTGAACTGCGCGACGAGCAGGCTGTCTTCCGACGCGCCAACGCGCCGCTTCATAGCCAACTCGGCCTCTCGCACGACCAACGCGTCCTCGTGGTGATCTTCAACGAACAAGCCGTTCCCAAGCACGCTCATCGCACCCAGTCGAGGCCACTCCGTCTCCGGCCGGCCCACGTACGTCTTCCAGCACGCCCACCCGAGCGCGCAAAACACGACGCCGTGGTATTGTTGCTCGCACAGGCTACACGAGTACCACCGCGCCCACTTCTCATCAAACCTCTTAGTGCCGATCAAATTGTTCTCCTCGGCCTCGTTGCACAAAATCTTCGCCTGCTCCACCAGGCACGACACGTGCGCGAAGCCCGCCGTCCCCCGGCACGAGCAACCGCGCACGAGACCCTCCTTCGTTTTCCAGTGGAGGGCCTGCGTACAGATGTAGCACGTCTGGCCTTTGGTGTCGTCGGCGCATTTCTCGACCGCGACCGCGACGGCCTCCTTGTATTTTTTGTCGGCGTGGTATTGCTCCGCGTTGCCGCCGCGGTGTATTTTCTTACACATCTGCTTGTGGCCGCGGCGCCAGTGGTCATGTTGGCACGTCGAGTCACAGTAGCGGGTCCAACATCTAACGCAACGCGGCGCGTCGTGGGCCAGTGGGGCGGCGCAGGCGGCGCATGTTGTGAGGATCATTTTAGTCTGTGTGAGGCGTTTTGGGGGTCGCGGCGCCGTGATATGTTGGCTTATATGTTTCTAGTGGCTTACAAGACGCTAGCTCCACGAAATAGCGCGTCGCGGAAGCGCACACGACTCGCACACGACTCGACCAGGCAGTCTGAGGACTCGCGAAAGCAGCGATATAGCTGCGTCGGTAGCTCCCACAGCAATACAACCGCCGTGCGGAGAATCGCACGAGCCGTAGAAGCCAATCAGCGCCTGCTACTGTCATCCCGCGGAGCCGGACCGCACGGACGCGGCACGCAGCACACGTTACGAATAGCTGCGCAAGAGCCGTAGCAGGCGAGGAACCAATCCGCTTGCTGTTCCATTCTCAGCACGCGCGCCGCGACCGGACGCGGAGCGACGACCGACCGCCATTATGGCCGCCGCCCCCCCGAAGAAACGCAAGACGGCCCCACCCGCGTCCTTCAGCGAAGGCGACCGCGTCGAGTGCTTCTTCCGCGACTGGGAGCAGTACTTCCCCGCGACGGTGTCTCGGATGAATGATGACCTCACTTATGATGTGGACTACGACGACGGCTACGCGGAGAAGAATTTGCCGGCGAAGCTCTTGAAGCCGCCGAAGCCATTTCGAGTGGGCGATAAAGTAGACGCTAGATTCAGAGGGTGGCGGACGTTCTACCCCGGTACGATTGATAAGGTCCACAGCGCATCTCTATATGATGTCGCTTATGATGACGGCTACACGGAGACCGACGTCTCCTCGAAATACATACGACCTAGATTGGAAGCCGCCAAAGCACCACAAGTAGTCACCTTCGAATTTTCACCTGGGGATAGAGTAGCAGCAAGGTACCAGGGCGGCCGGAAAAGATACGCTGCCACAGTAGTGGCCCAGCGCCACGACGGCACGTATGATGTGGCCTACGACGACGGCGACGCCGAGGGCGGCGTCGAGGCGCGACTCCTGTCCGCTCTCGCCAAAGAAGTGGATGTTCAGGCGAAGAGCCAAGGGAGGACTTTATCCGAGGCCGCCGGCGAACTTCGAGTGCTCATCTCGTCGTCTTCTTTTAAGCCTACGAGGGACGCGAAAAAAGTCGATCAAATTTGCGAGTCGTGGGGCGCGCAATTGCGGCCGACCGCTACCTCCCTATTATTGCTGTGTGCTTGTAGATCTGAACTGACTACAACCGCCAAGACGTTGGTGGAGAAGTGCGACGCTCTAGTGCATGAAGAACAGGCCGACGGCTTGTCTGCTGTGAAAGTCGCGCGGATCGCGGGCAACGAGCGCTTCCTCAAGGCCCTCTGCGAAGAATCTACGAATGATCGGCCGACCTGGGTTTTACTGGAAACGGAGCCGGGCAAGGCCCTGGCGCGGACGGCGTCGGCGAAACGACTCCTCAGAAGGCCTTCGCTGGGACCGGAGGTGAGCATCGATGCAAATGATCGAGCCGCGGCGAGAGTTGTCGCCGATGCTTTAGTGCTGCGCCATGCTCTAGGAGACGCGTCGGAGGCCCTGGCGCGGTCGTCGGTGGCTAGAGCAGTGGCCTTTGACGTTTTTGCAGTTGACGCCGTCGAGAGCTGTCGGGACGCCGTGGCGGCCTTCGTCGACGCGCTGCCCGGCGCGTTGCACACGCGGGAGCGCGGCGACGTCGTGAGTACTGTTCGGAGGAGAGCGGCGCACGTCCTGGGGGCGTTGGGTGCCGCGCCGAAGCGGCCACCTCGACCAGAAACGTGGCCCTCGAGATGTGTGCCGCCCGGGATCTACGGGGCGGACAGAAACTTCGAAAGTGTAGACGTCGCCGACGGTACGTTGCGGGACAAGTTGACCGTACGACCCATGGCGGCGTCGTGGGGCGGCGAAGATGATTTGGAGGTGATTGCCGCGGAGAGGATCGAGGCGGGCGAAAGCGCCCCGTACAGCGGCATCCTCGGAAAGGCCAACGAGCTCGCCACGGCCACGAAGCTCGCGCCAAAAGATCAGATGGCGTTCTGGCGGTTCTTGATTTCAGTCGACGACGACATCGTGCTGTTGCCGTTCGTGGACCCGGAGACGAACCCCGTCTGCTTCATCAACGACGCCTTCGGGCCGGCTAGAAGTTCGCCGGACGACGAGATCTGGCCGAATGTTAGGTTCCAGGCGTCGGGCGAAGGAGCGTGTGTCGTGGCTTTGAGAAGAATAGAAAAGGGCGAGACGCTCTGGATTGATTATGGAGACGCGTCCTGGGCTGTGTGGAAATCAATCAGTGAGTTAGGTTATCGCGGTCACGGGGACGAAGTCGCGTCGATGGCGTCGGGCGCCCGAACTTTGATTTCCACACAGGTTCTGGGCCTTCCGCGACGACCTCGACGACGTCTCCCGAAGACTGGTGGACGCGGGGTCCGTCGTGCGCCACCTCGAGGCCTGGGCCCAGGCTTTAAATGATCTGCCGCACGACGCGGAGCTGCCGCCTTCATTAGTAAAGCGCTTGCGCGGCGAGTTCACGGTGTCCCAGCGCGCGCTGCGCGGCGAGCAGAACAAGGGCGGGCGCCTCCGCGAGCCGACGGCGCTGTCGCTCGCGCGCGACGCGCTGCCGCGGTCCTCTTCCTCGTCGCCGCGGCCGCCGCGGAAGAGGGCTCGGTCGCCGACGCCGCCGGCCGATGCCGCTCTGGAGGCCATGACGGGCGCGCAGCTGCGCAAGCTCATGGCGCGGCAAGGCGTCGGCGCGGCGCCCGTGGCCTGGGCCGCCGACGTACGTTCATTATTGAGAGAGGTCCGGGCCCTCGAGGACGGCGCGGAGCGCGTGAGCCTCGAGGACGTCCGGCCGGCGATCGCGGCCCGCGGCTTCACGTGGACCGGCAGCCTGCCGCTCAACGGCACGCGATGCGTGATCTCGGTGCCGCCGGCGTGGCCCTGCTACTTGGATGCGTGGGGCGCGGACAACTCGCACGCGCGCGGCTGCAAAAAGTACATCCGCTCGATGGCGAGTTTGGTGGGCTACCTCGAGAAGTGCCTGGAGCTCGCGCGCGACGGCGTTTCCGTCAGACTCGAGGGCGACACCGCGGCGAGCGACGACGAGGCCAACGCCAGTGACGACGCGACGCCGCCGTCCGTCGCGCCGTCCCAAGCGGACGAGGCGGAGATCGAGCAGGCGCGCGCGAAGCTGCTCGGGTTCCTCGAGAAGACCTGCGGCGCGCCGCGGGAGGTCATGACGAGGGCGTCGCGCGACGTGCGGATTTCGGCGACGCGCCGTGCGGACGTCGGGGAATTGAAAGGGCACCTGGACTACTACTACCACTTGGCGGGCCACCCGAAGCAGCTGCGGTCGCGGCGGGCCGTCGCGAGCGCGCTCGGGCTCAGCGGCGACTGGTGACGGCTGCCTCGTGGGCACCCCCATGTAATTATTGTGAATTATAGTCACTCGTGTGGAATGAAGCGCCCGTCCTGATAAGTGAGGAACGAAGATCAAAACGGGTTTTACAGCCGCAAAAAACGACGCGCGTAGCTCGTCACGTCCTTTCACCCACGCCGAGTATAGTTGGCACGCTCGAAATCTCCTAGCGACCCTCGGCGACAGCCAGGCGTCTCGCAAACCATTGATCAGATCAGAGAGCTCTAAGAGCTCAAGCTCGCCAGCGAGCGCTTTCAGCTAGCCGAGCGCGCGCGCTTTACTCGCTCTGTTATTAGTGATGTCGACCGAGCCCGCTGCGTCGGCCGGACCGCCCACGATGGAAGACACAGAGCCCGCGGCCGCGCCGGCGGCGACGGTCACCGAGCCGGCGACGACCGCCGAGGCCGATCCCCCAGCACCCGTAGCCGACGCCGCGCCGCCGAAGAAGCGCCGCGTGAAGCAGCAGACGATAGGGCCTGGAGCCCCGACGGCCGACGCGCCGCCGCCGCGCTTCCCGCCGACTGAGCCGTCGCTCGCGACGACGCGGCCGCCGCGCTGGACGCACGAAGAGGAAACGAGCCTACGAACGCTCGTCGGCGAGCTCGGAAACGACGCGTGGGCGACCATCGCCGCGCGGCTGGGGACAGGCCGGACGGCGAACGGCGTCGAGGTGAAGTGGAGAAAACTCAGGGCCGCGGGCTTAGCGGCGCTACCGCCGTCACCGCAACAAGTCATCGCACCGCCACTCGACAGCCTCCAGAGCCTGCCGCCGCCGCCGCCGAGCGCGCCCGACGTCACGGCCGCCCCACCTGCAGCTGCACCGGCGCCGGCGGCCGATGATGACGCCGGCCAGTTGGTGCCGTCTGACTCAGGATTTCGTCCCGCCGCGGTGACGGCGCGGTAAACGCGCGTCTGCTGGATTTGCGCGTCCTGAAGAGGACAGAGGCGTCTCCGCGTCTCTTTGTACGGTTGGATCCGTATTTTTGTGTTTTGGTGTTGATGGATGCACGTGGGGGAACCAGTGAGAAAAGGTAAGTCATCCGACGCCAGCCTCCTAAATCGCCCCGATCAGGGGCGCAATCCGGCAAAAACGTCATTAACACGTAGAAAGTACCTCTGCACTTGCATTGTTCTCGCATAGCGCAAGCCGACGCCGCCGACGCGCGCAAAGTTAGCTGCAACCGAGCAGGTCCCCGAATGTCGGGACATGACCCCGCGCCACCTCGCTCTGTCACTACTCTTCTTCAACGGCGACGGCGTCTTCATGCCCTCGCCGACCCACTTAGCGTCGTTGGAGGCCGTCGTCGCCGAGGCCGAGCTCTCGAAGCAGCCCCGGGCCGCCTGGCTGCCGCCTTACCGGTTGGAGGTCGCCCCTGGTATTTTCGTGACGCTCCGCGACAAGGCCATCCGCGACCCCTTCGACGGCGCGACGCGCGTCGTCACGGTCCGCGTCAACGCATAGACCTTGTGCTTCGGCCTCTCGCACGCGAAACCCGGCCGTTTTGAACACCTCTTCCTCACCAATCTCCATACGTGAGCTATAGCACCCGCCGCCCTCACCCCCTCGCTCCTCTGCCCATGGTCCCCCTCCTCTGTCCATCGAGCCGCGCGGCGGCGCCTTCCGGAAATCATACCCTTCCCGTCTTCGGGTCTCTCTTACTCCTTTCCAGGACCATTCCAGCGTAATGATGAGACAACTTCCTCTATCACACAACTAGCGCCTTCATAGAATCACAAGAAAATTAGCCGACGACCTTGCCGCCCGCCGCCGGGCACGCGCTCGCGTCGCCGCCCTTGCCCGAGAAGGGGCAGGCTGTAGGCTTCCGGGGCTCCGCGTCGACGGCGGCCGGTGGCGCCGTCGCCGTCTGGTAGACGACGTAGGCGTACGCGAAGGCGCCCGCGGAGAGCGTGTACTGCGCCTCCTTGCAGCGGCCGACGCCCTCGGCGAATTTCAGGCATTCTTCGGGGCGCAGCGCGTACCACATCACCAGAGATAAGACGGGCAGGGCCGCGAGCAGGGCTGCTTTTCTAGTTGGCGACTGGGCCCTTATTCTCGCGACGAGCGTCGGCGCCGCCACTATGAGTGGCGCGGCGTAGGTGCAGGCGGCGTAGGGGCAGCAGGACATGGCTTCTTTTTTTTGTGTTTCACTGTAGGTTATGAGCGTCCGCGTAACCGCAGCTAGGAGAGCGAATCGCCTACTTGACCTTTCTCGCGTCGTTCGGCGTCGCGGAGACGCGCTGGTCGTTTTAGCTGATGAGATGGCTGTTGCTAGAACGTGATGCCTCGTAATTGTGGCAGCGCGCGCTGTAGCAAGCAATACTTGGCAGGAGAGCTCGAGTGATTCCTAGTGTCGATGCGACGCTAGCTCGCAGTTGCCGTGAAGTAGTTGTGAAGTGCATGCTTACAAGGGCATAATAGACAACACTGCATCATTACGCAGGCGCTGCACACCTACCGCGTTAAGTGATCAAGCGCGCGACGACATCTCCGAGCGCTGCCACACCTCTGAGACGAAAAGCAGTGATGCGCAGCGCCATGCTCCTCTTCGCCTGCGCTCGCGCGCTGCGCTACGCACGACCTTCAAGACGACCGCTCACCGCAAGACGCCGCCAGCGCGTCGGCGCCTCCGACGAAGCACGGTTAGCGCTGAAGGAGTACAGCGAGTTCGGCCAGGAGCCGATCCCCGAAAACACCAGTGAGGAGGACGTAACACTAACGGGAGACGCGGCTGTGGTGAGACGAGCTGTTTCTATACTCGCACCCTACGTCTCGGACGAACGAAGGGACACGTTCCAACGAGTCGTGCAGCAACGAACGAGGCACCTGTCCGTGGCCTTCGAGAGACCGTCCAATCCGTCCAATGTGTGGGCCTGCCTGAGAACTATCGACGCCTTCGGGTGTCAAGATGTCCACATCGTCGAGGATTCGCTGGAGGAGGCGGCGAAACGCGCGGCGGCACGAGGCGTGCATGCCGATCCCACCCAAAGGATGCGTGGCCGCAAGAAGCGCATGACCTCGGCGATGGGCGCCCAGAAGTGGCTGTCTCTGGAAGCTCATGCTGATGCCCAGGCGTTGGTCTCGAAGCTGAAGAGCGAGGGTCGCATCGTCGCGGCCACAGATTTATCTCCAGGGGCGGTCGACTTTTCGGAGGTCGATTGGGCTTCTGGTAAACATGCGCTGGTCTTCGGGAACGAGGAGGTCGGCATCTCCGACGAGTTACGAGAACTGGCTGATGTCAGAGTGAGATTGCCCATGCGGGGCCTCGCGGAGTCGCTGAATTTAAGTGTCTCGGTCGGGGCTGCTTTAGCTCACGTGGATGCGAAGGGAGCCTTGGTGCCCGATTTGACCGTGGAGGAGCGGGATCTGTTGCTGCTGCGCTGGTCATTGCTCTCCGTGCGCGCGGGCCGCGAGTTATTGCGACGGGAGGGCGTCGAGCTCGACCAGGGCGTTCTCAAAACGCGCGCGAGCGTGCTAGGGTTTACTACCTAGGTTGTGTTTCTACAAGTGACGCCGTCGACGCGAAAATACCACAAGACACACTTAGAAGGGCGGGCACGCCGTGTCCTCCAGGAGCCCGTCCCGAAGCGAGTTGTACGCGTCCGGGTAGTTCTCGCCCCGGGCAAACCCGTCGTGGAACTGGTGGTAGGTCTCGCCGCGCCAGAACGGGTGTTGGTCCGTGTCCATGATCCAGACCAGCGCCTTCAGGTCGGCATCATTACCTTTCCCTTTCGCAAAGTCGACCTTGTCGCCTTCTTTCTTCGTGGCGCTCAGTAGACTCTGGACGAAGGGGCTCTCCTTCCCGCCCGGCACGCCTATTAAGTTCCTGTATTCCGGGCCTCTATCCCCAAATTGGTCCGGCCGGCTTCCATCCGGTCCGAGGAGCTTGAAATACTCGCGCGCAAAGTCCTCGTACTTCGAGGCCGGGATCTTCATGCCGACGACCTCGGCGTGGCCCAATTTCCCGTAGTCGTTCTTGCCCTGGAGGTTGTGGTAGCACGGTTGTGTTTTTCCGTTGTTCCCGCCCGCGTAGCCCGCCCTGCTCGTCAGTTCCTTGTCTTTGCGGCCTAGAATTTTTCTTTCGGCCTCCACAAACTCGTGCTGGACGTGCCAGAAGCAGCCGCAGCCGAAGTAGACGTCTACTAATTCATCGTTCGCGGCGACGGCTGGTTGTCCCGTGAGGGGTGCCACCAGTGCAGCGCCTGTCGCGGCTATTAGTGAGCGCCTGGTCGGCGCCTTGAGGGCGTGGGCAGCTGCTGCGAGGAGGTAGAGCTTCATCTGTGTCGCGTCGAGCGTGTGTGCTGGGGAGAGCACTCACTTGTGTGAGAGATGAGAGCAAATTGGCTGCTATTTCTGTGCAGCAGCCGTTGCCGAGGGTCGGTGGTGTATACTACTGTCCTTCTCACGACAGTTTGCAGCGTTTTGCGTGTTCGACAAGCTGATGTGCCGCAAAAGCACTGAAGCGCGCGGGTTTTGTGCGATCCGCGGAAAGCCTCGTTCGCCGCCCTAGGACGTCTCTCACTTGTCCCGAGCACTGCTTCGGCGGAGGCTCGGACCATTTTCGTGACTTCGCCCCGCTGTCGTGCTGGCGCATCGACCTGGCAAAACAGCCTCGATTACTCGCCGTTCAGCAGCTCGCTGCACGTAGAGTTCTTTCCGGTAGCTCCCAGACACCTAGACACCTGCGAGACACCGTCAAACTCACCGCTGCCTGCGTAGACGCGGACCAGCACAGCGAAAATCCAAGCCAGCAAAGACCGCCACTTAGCGCGTCGCCGCTCGCCTACAGCCCCAAATCACAGCAAGGAGCCTAGCGCATTGCAAAGATGGGTAAAGGTGGCCAGCGCCCGCCCTCCGACGCGGACAAGGGCCTCATCGCCTCCGAATATGGCTGTCGGCGCCAGCGCGGAAAATAAATTTCAAGGCCCCTTCGAAGCGGCACGCTCACACCGCGCGTCGACGTCGGCGCACGCGGCGACGGCGTCGGCCCCTCTTCGCCTGGTCCCGACGGAGCCAGCGACGGACGGCCGACTCGGCCGCGCGCCGACGCCGCCGTCGAGAGAAGCACGCCATCGCCGCGAGACCCTCACCTTGACACGCACAGGGGCCGAGATCACAAAACACCGCTCGCCCGCCGACGCCTGGCTCATGATCAACAACAAGATTTATGACGTCTCCGGCTGGCACGAGCACCCCGGCGGCGACGTCATCTTCACGAGCGCCGGCGACGACGCGACGGACACCTTCGCGTTGTTTCACGCGAACGGCACGTCGAAGCACCTTTCCAAATTCTTAATTGGTTCTCTCAAACAAGACGACCGCGCGAACTGGCCCGACCTGCGGGAGAAGGGCCAGGACCAGCTCGACTTCGAGAAGGGCTACCGCCGTTTAAAAATGGAGATGCGTAGAGATGGCCTCTTCGATTCTTCCCTATTATACTACATCTACAAGATGTCGACGACGCTGATGATTTGTCTCTTCAGTGCTTGGCTCGTGGCGGCCCACTCGGAAGACACGTATAACCACTTCGCGGCGCGGTGCTGGGGCGGCGTGCTCATGGGCATCTTCTTCCAGCAGTCCGGCTGGCTCTGCCACGAGATTTGTCATCATCAGTGCTTCAAGAACCGGATCCACGGCAAGTTCCTGGGCTACTTCTGGGGCAACTGCGCCCAGGGCTTCTCCGTGGCCTGGTGGACGAACAAGCACTGCACGCACCACGCCGTGCCCAACGTCCACGGCGACGAAGGCTGCCAGAACGGCGATCCTGATATTGATACGATGCCTCTGTTGGCTTGGTCTCGTTCTATGTTGGCCAAAGCGACCACTCCATTATCCAAGAAGCTGGTCAAGCACCAAGCGCTGACGTACTTCCCGTTATTATCTGTCGCTAGATTATCTTGGTTGCAACAATCGTTAGCCTACGTCTTCCCGGCCTTCGACACGGATGGTTCCAGAGGAGGTAGGATCATCAAAGGGAGCAACCCGCCCATGGCCATGCCCATCCCCTACGAGTGGATGGAACGTCTTTCACTTATTTTGCACTACGTGTGGTACTTCGCTGTTGCGTATTCTGCCCCGTCACTCACGGATGCACTACTATATGTAGTGCTGTCCAACGTCTCGTGCGGTCTCTCGTTAGCGTTAGTGTTTGGCCTCGGCCACAACGGTATGGCTGTGTATGACGCCGCTCATAGACCGGACTACTGGAAGCTGCAAGTTACTACGACGCGCAACGTCACGCAGGACTCGCTCGGCTTCGTCCACTGGTTCTGCGGCGGCCTCGACTATCAAGTGGAACATCACCTCTTCCCGACGATGCCGCGCCACCACCTCGCGGAGTGCAACCGCCGCGTGCGCAAGTTCTGCAAGGACTACGGCGTGACCTACCACGAGACGACGATGTGGCAGGGGACGTTAGAAGTCTTAGAACACCTCCAGGACATCGCGAACGAGGTCATCGAGGACTTCCCGGCCATGTAATAGGCGGCGCCTCTCCACTCCCGTAGCGTAAGTTGGGAGATCGTAGTCTCGTCGACGGCGTGCTGGATGCGCCGCGTAGCTCGTGGCCATGCTTCGACGGCGTTCCCGTCGAATCCCGAGGTGTGCGCGGCGGCCCGCGGTCCGCGGTCCACGCGTGTCGCTCGCGCGGTGTCGTCTCGTAGCTCTCCAGTTCACGGCGCGCGGGAGAGCTCGCGGCGCGCCCGAAGGCTCTGCCTCAACGCGAGCAAGTCAGCTGAGGTTGAAGGACCGTCGGACATAGTCTGCGACAGCTTTTCGACGCCGTGACGGGCCGCGCTCAGAGGTTAGAAGCTGCTTTGGAAGACGCGGAGGCGCGGCTCGCCGTGGCCGTCGGCGCGCGCGATCGAGATAGGGCGGCCCTCGAGGACGTGCGACGCGAGGCGGCCACGATGCTGAAGCACTGCGAGGAGGTCGACGCGGCGCGCGTCGAGGCGACGAAACGCCTCGCGGAGCTCGAAACCTCGTCGACGGCGTTAACCGAGCGCGTCGACGCGCGCGAGGCGGCCCTGGCGGCTTCGGAGGCGACGAGGGCCGACTTGGTCGCTGGTGCCTCGTTACAAACTAAGGCCGTGGCGGACCTCTCGGGAAAGCTCGCCGCATCAAAAGCGCAGGCGCGGGCCCAGGCGGAGGCCCTGGAAACGACGTGCGCGCGCGAGGCCGCGACGCAGCGGAGGAATGCAGAGCTCGAGGCCGCCGGCGCGGACGTCGCGGCGGCGCGGGCGCTCGGGCGCGCGGACGTGGCGCGGGAGCGGGACGAGGCCGAAGGGCGCTGCGCGGCCGCCGAGAGGCGCGCGCTCGTGTTGAAAGATTCGGTAACATCGTTTGAGCACGACCTCCTGGCCGCGCGGGCCGGGACCGCCGAGTTGACGCGCGAGCGCGACGCCGCCGTCGAGAAGGCTTCTGTATTAGAGCGCGAGCTCGCCGCGGCCAAGCAATCGGCGAAGTTCGGTGCCGGCCTCGCCGACGCTCACGCGGTGGCCCTCGCGCGCGCCTCACAAGCGGAGCGCCAGTACCAGGAGGCGGTCGCGGGCTCGGCCTTGCAGACCCAGGCCCTCGCCGCGGCGTCGGCGCGCGCCGACCGGTCCGAGGCGGCGCTGACGGAGTTGGGCAAGGCGGCGGCGGAGCGGGACGCGTTAAGAGCCGAGCTCTCCAAGGCGCGCGAGAGCGCCGCGAAATTTGGGGCCGGTTTGGCCGACGCTCACGCCGTAGCACTACAACGAGCGACGGCCGCGGAGCGGGACCTCGCACAAGCGCGAACGACGCTGGCGCGGACGCCGTCGGAGGACGCGCGACGGGCCTTCCACTCGGAGCTGGAGTCCATCCGCGAGACGGCGCGCGAGCGCCTCGTCCGGGCCGAGGCCGCGGAGGGCGAGCTCGCGTCCATGAAAGCCGTCTACGCCTTGGGCCTCGCCGACCGCGACGCGAAGCTCCGGGACCTCGAGGCGACGCTGCGCCGTCTACGCACGCAAGCCGCGCCGTCGTCCGTCGCCGTCCAGAGCGAGCTCGCGGCCCGTGATAGAACAATTGATGCGTTGCAACGGGAATGTACGCTGGCCCAGGCGGCCCTCGAGGCGGCGAATGCGGAGGTGGCCGCGTCGAAGGCCGCGCAAAGGCGCGACGGGGCGGAACTCGCCGATGCCCGTCGAGCGTTGCAAACACCTAGAAGTTTCCTGCGCTCACCTTTAGATGATGAACTCTCGAGGGAGCGGTCCATGCGCTTATCCATCGAGGCGGAGCGCGACGAATTACTAAGGACGGCGCGCAACCTGGCGGACGCCGTGACGCCCGGCGCGTATGATGGAGACGACGAGTCGTCCCTAGACGACCCGCCGTCCTTGATCGAGGAGTTGGAAAGCGCGCGAAAAAGAGCCATGGACGACGACGCGCGCGTCCGAGAAGAAGTGTCGGCGCTCAAGGCGGCTTTACGACGGTCGGAGTCGTCGCTTAACGAGGAGGTGGAAAAACGTGAAGCGGCGGAGCGGGAGCTCCAGCGGGCGGCGGAGCGGCGGCCGTCGACGCCGTCGGAGATTCGCAGCGAGCTCGAGGGCGTCAAGGCGGCGGCGCGGTCGGCGTTCGGCGCGGTGCGCGCGCTGCGGGCGCGGAGTCCCGTCGAGTCGGACCCGGAGCGGGCCTTCTACGCGCGGGAGGACCGGCGGGCCGCGGTCGCGCGGCTCGACGCCGCGGAACGCTCGCTCGCGCCCGACGCGTCTCCGTCGGAGCGAGCGGCCGCGCGCCTCGATGCCGCGGAGCCGGTCCTCAGGCCGGCGGCGTCGCCCCGGTTCAGCGAGATCGACCTCGACGCTGATGGCGCCGTGCTACTGGACTCCGCTTCTTCGGAGGAGGAAGGCGACCCTAATGAGCCCTTCGCGACGCCCGTCCACAACCTGCAGGCCGCGACGGACGCGTTCGCGCGCCTGCTGGCCTCGGCCGAGAGCGCCGTGGCGGCGGCCGAGAAGGAGCCGACGCCGCGCACCGTTCGCGCGACGCGGGACCTCAACCCACAGACCCGTGATTTGCTGACCTGGGGCCGCGACCGGCGATCTATGTCTGTGGGGACGGCGCCGGTCCGGCCGGCGCGCGGTCCGCGCGAGCACGCACCCTCGCCTCAGCCTAGACGCGTGACGCGGAACGTCGTCGTCTCGCCGACGACCGTCGTTGATGCTGCTAGAATCCAGCGCGCGCGGATGCTGGGCGAGCTGTGCTACACGATTCCCGGGTCGGAGAATCCTGCTGACAGACGTCGGGCGGAGCGGTTTGCGACGCAGTATCTGGGGGTGACGGCGGCGTAACGCGCACAAACATTCTTACAGTACTACGGTAGGCGAACAGGGGCTCTAGGCCAGGCGAAACTGCCGGATGAGTCCTGTGGTGTGTAGCCGAGTAATCTGGTCGACTCCTCGATATCGAATATTCCTGTCGGATTGTTGGAAACGGCGTGAGCCACGATGTATCCGTGATAGGTGGCGTCGATAGGCGCCGTCATCGCGGCCGTCGCAAATCCTACCCAATCGCGCCGGCTCAACCACATCGCGCGCAGGTAGCTTTCGAACTCGGTGCCCGAGAGCTCTGTGGGGTCGTCGTACAAACACCAGCCAATCCTCAACGCCACGACGTCGAAGCATCGCCACGTCTTTCCATAGAGCTTCCCGAGCGCCTCGACGTGTACTTTTGACGCTGCATAGAACGAGTCCGGTTCAAACTCTTCCTCGGGGGAGAGCCGACGGCCGAAGAGCCGTTGAGGGTCGAGAGACCCCGGTCCATGGCGACCCATTGACGTGCCGTGCTGGACGTGGTTCGTAGAGGCTAGCACGACGCGTCGGACGGTTCCCGCCCGCTTGGCGGCCTCAAGCACATGCTGCGTAGCTACGACGTTGCCGCGGAGCACCTGCTCGAACGACGCGTCTGGTGAGCCTACCCCGGCCAAATGCACGACGTGCGTGAAGCCGGAGAGGTCCGGGCAGGCCATCGACAGGTTGCAGGCGACGTCAACGAATTCGTTCCTTGTCTCTGATGCGCCGTCGCGGCCCGGGCCGCCCTGCGACACGCCCTCGGCGAGCCCGAGACCGACGACTTCCCAGCCGTCCGCTTGCAGCGCTGTGTACAAGCGCTGGCCGAGGATTCCGCTGCTACCCGTGATTGCTACTTTGCCTTTCGAGTGCTGCTGGAGTGCTGCCATGCATGCAATCTGTACAGTGACCGCGTGCCAGCGTTGAGTTGCGCAGACGCAGAAAAGGCTGTGATAGATTCAAATTCGAGCGATGCCGCTTCAATTCGGATTTAAGCTTTGCGCAGCAGTCCGACTAGCGTAATGTAAGACACTAGAACACAAGCCTCTCAGCCTCAGCCGCCGCCATTCGGCCTAATCTGAGGCTTATTTCTACGCTACTGGTGCAGCAAGTCGCAGCGCTCACAGCCAGCCCTCCACCGCGCGCGTCCGTGCGTGCGCTGTCTCGTCCACACCGGAGAGCCTATTAGGCCTCCGCGAGACGCTGTCACCGCGCACCATGGCGGAACGCACGAAATTGGCAGCGGGCCTAGCGGCGGGCACGCTCATAGCCGCCTGGTACCGCCGCCACAGGAGGCGGGACCCCTGGGAGGCGATGCTCGACAAGGCGCTGCCCGCGATTGTTGTCATACGCGTGAACTACGTGAAGCCTTTCGATGGAGAGCAGGCCGGTTCCGGTTCAGCAACAGGATTCGTCGTGGACTTCGAGCGAGGTTTGATCCTGACGAACAGGCATGTGATCGGGACCGGTCCCATACGAGCAGAGGCCACGTTTGTGAATAAAGAAGAGGTACCGCTCACACCCGTGTATAGAGATCCCGTGCATGATTTCGGACTGTTCCATTTTGACGTGACGAAGCTGAGGTATGCTGATGAACTCCAGAGGGCGGAGATACCCCTCGCCGAAGATGGCGCAAAAGTGGGTTTGGAGATAAGAGTCGTGGGCAATGATAGTGGAGAGAAGATCCAGATTTTGGCGGGCACGCTGGCGCGCTTGGATCGGAACGCGCCGCTCTACGGCGGCGACGGTTTTAATGATTTCAACACGTGCGATCTCGGCGTCCTTCACGCCATCGACGCGACTCGTGTCCATCAGACGAGGTCATTCGGACCGAGTCGAGCGACCGCGATGCTCCGCACAGGTTCTACTACAGTGCCGCGTCGAACACGTCCGGTGGCAGTTCCGGTTCTCCCGTATTAGATAGCAGGGGACGGGCCGTGGCCCTCAACGCCGGAGGCTGCAACGCGTCAGCAAGTTCGTACTACTTACCGTTGCATGCCGTCGTGAGAGCACTGGACGCCCTGAAACGCTTCGAAACGCCACAAAGAGGCACTTTAAGGGTAGTGTGGCGCCACGTGACCTGCGACGAAGCTCGTAGATTAGCTTTGTCGCCGGCCGCCGAAGCGTTGCTGCGACGGCACCACCACGGCGACGACACGTGCGGGCTGTTGTGTGTCGACCAGGTCATCACCGGTGGAAGCGGTTCAGAAGCGGGCCTGGAGCCCGGCGACCTACTGCTGTCTTGTGGGGACAAAAGGTTTCCCGACTTCGACGCGCTCGAGAGCTACTTGGATTCCAATGTGGACAGGGCGGTCCAGTTATCTATAGAGAGGGGCGGCGCGTCCAAGTCCATACGGCCAGCCAGAGCCGAGTCCTTACATAACTTGGTTCCCAGCAACTTCCTGGAATTCGGCGGAGGCGTCCTCCATTCTATATCGCTAGGAACGGCTCGGAGCGGCAACTTGGACGCGGGCGTCGGTGTCTACGTCGCGTTCGCGGGCTTCGTGCTGGATGTCGCGGGCGTGCCGGCCCATGCCGTGTTAACCGCTGTGGGAGATGTGGAAACGCCGACGCTCGACGCGTTTCAAGATGCCGTTGCTAAATTAGGAGATGGGGCTCGCGTGAATGTCCGCTACTATGCCGTGGGTGACAGGTTCAACGCCCAAGTCGCTTTAGTACGAGTGAATTATCGCTGGTTCAAATTGCAGCGGTGGCGACGGAGAGACCCTCATTTAAATGAAATTCCCGTCGACGCCAACGCGTCCTTCCGGGCCTGCTGGGAGTCTACTCAGATAGAAACCAATAAAACACCTTATACTGAAGACGCGCCCGCCGCAGCGACGTTCCAGAGATCTCACGCGACAGATGCGGCCAACAGTGTCGTCAGCTGCATCTGCAAGGTGTCGTTTGATGTGCTCCATGCGGTCGACGGCGTCCACGACTGGCACTTCGCGGGCTGCGGCATCGTTGTGGATGCGGAAAGAGGACTTGTATCTACAGATAGAAATACTGTGGTAACTGCGCTCGGCGAATGTGCTGTGACATTTGCCGCCAGTGTAGAGCTGCCGGCCAAAGTTATCTTCGTGCACCCGACGCGGAACTTCGCCATTGTTCGGTATGACGCGTCGCGGTTCGACGGTGTGTCAGCAGATCGACGGCCGACGAGCGCACCTCTCAGACCGCGCGATTTGAGTGTTGGTGACGCCTTGGAATTTGTAGGATTGTCGCGAACGAATCCCGACCAGTCCCTCAGTCAAAAAGTGACCGTGACGGAGCTGTCGTGTGTCAACATCGCCCAGGCGCACGTGCCCCGTTTTAGAGCCTTGAACGAGGAAATCGCAAAATTTGACCAGGTGCTCAACAAGTCTCTGGGGGGTGTTTTAGTGGACGAAGATGGCAGCGTGAGTGCGACGTGGTCGTGCTACTCGTTCTACTCCTGGTCTGATGAAAAAAATTATGAAGCTTTTCATGCCGTCGGCGTCGGTGTGGCAAGAAAAGTTCAAGCGCCCTTCAATTCGTGGTCTCTCGTGGTCGCTGCTCTCTGGATACGGTCGAGTGTATCCCTCGGAGATCGTGTCCGAGTTTGGGCCGAAAACATGGCCGCGGTGCCGAGGTAGAACCTGACTCACTGGTTGATTGCCACACAGGTCGGCGTCGGCGGCTTGTTGGACGCGACGCTCGCCGTCGCATCTAACATCGATAACAAGCCGGAGAAGCCGCTGCGAGTCGTCGGGTTCGGTCTTAAAAGATTACCTTTGTCGACCGCGCGGACGTCGATGCGATTAAGCGACGCCTGGGTGGAAAAGCTGAGGAAAGCCAGGCCCGGCCGCTCGCAAGTACTCTCGGTCGCCCATTTAGCCCATACGCAGCAGTCTTTGTTAAGGGAGGGCGACCTACTCCTGTCGATGAACGGGACCTCGACCGCTACTTTTGCGGACGTCGACGAGGCCTGTTCTCATGGTGGTTCTAGCATACCAGCAACATTGTGGCGGGAGGGCGAAGCGCTGGAGGTGAATGAGCCGCTGGAGAGAGTACCACTCGGTGCGGGCACGGAACGAGTCGTCGTCTGGGCCGGGCTACTGTTACAAAAACCACATCGCTCCGTACTGGAGATGGGCGAGCCCCCGAACCAGGCCTACGTGTCCTACTACTTGTACGGCTCGCCGGGCCACTTCTACGGCATCAAGGCTTGTAGGTTCGTGACGGAAGTCGACGGGAAACAAATCACGGACCTGGACTCGTTTTTGAGTGCCGTATCAAGTATCGAGGACGGCGAGGCCGTGCGCCTCAAAACGTCGGATCTCCAGGGCCAGGTCGTGGCCGTGACGCTGCGCACCGACGACCGGTTCTGGCCGGCCCACGAGTTTTCGTTCAAGGGCGGGGACTGGTCCGTGCGGAAGCTCTAGATAGGTAGTAGTGTAAGTATAGTCGCTCGGTATTTTGACGCGGCGATGGCGTGCTGGTGGTCCAGTGGTGGAAGTCGCGCCGCCGACGCCCGGGGAAACACGGCGTCACTCATTTGATTCATATTACATAGCTAGCGCGTCTTCGCCGACTCGCCCGAGCCGCGCGACGACTGCGACACCTGGCGCCGCTCCCGCGGCGCCGGGCGCCGCTCCTCCCCGCAGTACACGCACTCCGTGACCAGCTCGTGGCTCTCGTCGTCGAGGACCGCCGTCGCCGAATGGTTGCCCATTTGGCAACCTCTCGCGGAGCAGAGGAAGGCGGCGGCGCCCCCGGGCAGGCTCTGGCCGCCGAGGCGCTCGTAAACGTACGCCTCGATGGCGCTCCCGCCCCAGCTCACGACGTCCTCGCCCTCGGGCGCCCAGGGCCACGGCTGCGGCGTCAATGTAACTTTCCGCTCGGAAAAGAACGACGCGTCGGCGGACGGCTCGAGGCCGCGCTGCTCGCGAACAGCATTGGCCTGGTCGCGCGACGGGCCCAGCGCGAGCATCCTATTCAAGGTCAGCATGCGTGCCCCGGGCTGCATCGCGGCGAAGATCGCGCAGATGCGGTCGTCGAGGGTCGGCCCGTCCCGGGTCTCGGTCGACCGGTGGCCCATGACGTCGTTGAAATTATTAACGAAGACCTTCATGTGGCCGCCTTCTTCCGCTTTGGTGAGAAAATCCCACCACTGCTCGTCGCGCATGTTGCCCCACTCCAAACGGCAGTCGCCGCAGCGCCTGAGCGCGTGCCGTTCGTTGATCACCGCGGCCAGTTCAACATCGAGTGCCGTGCCCACGACGGCCCGGCTCTCCATCAGCTCCAACCCGCGTGCTTTGCAGCCGAACGTCGCGGCGATCTGGAGCGGCACATTCTCGACGCCGCTACCAATATCGAGCGCCGTGTCTTTATCCGTAATACCGAGCTCGTTTGCGACCTTCTCCGTCGCGCCCGTGAGGATCCGGCCGTACTGCGCCCGCCCCTGGCCGTCCGCCCTGACCGACCCGGGCCCATTGCCAGCTCGTACCCCGGACCCCTCCTCGATGTCCTCGAGGGTGTGCCCCGTGTTGTCCTGGGCGGCCTGGAAGCAGGAATAATATTCGGCGACGGTCAGCGGCGTGCGGTCGTCAGTGCTCCAGCTCCTCCGGCGGCGCTGCGCGTCCTCTTCCACTGACGCGCGCGACGCCTCGAGGGCGCGCCGCAGGTCGTCGTCGTCCTCCATCTGCGTCTCGTCGGGGTCGTCGGCCGGCGCGGGCGCCGGCGCCGGCGCGGCCATGACCTCGACTTCGGAGTCGGAGTCGGATGCTGGGGGCTGGGCGGCCGCGGCGACCGGCGCGGGTGCCGCGTCGGCCGCTGGCCCGCCGCCGAAGGGTCCGTACGGATCGTACTTGTAGTCGCCCCCGTACCGATCCCGCCGCCTGTCGGGCGGCGGCGGGGCGGCCTCGCCGTCGCCCTCGTCGCCGCGCTTCGAGCCGCTCTCGTCGCTCGCCTCGCTCGCCTCGCCCTCGCTCTCGTCGGGCGCGGGCGCGGGCGCGGCGCCGCCGTCGTCGACGCGCTGCCGCTTGGGCTCGCCAGCATCGCTCGCATCGCTCGCGGCGCGCGCGCGCCGCGGCGGCGCCTGCGGCTCGTCCAGCGTCTCGTCCGGCGCCGCGTCGTCGGGCGCCCGCGGCGCGTCGTCCGCGTCGACCGGCGGCTCGGGCGCGGGCGCCATCTGGGCGTCCTCCGGCGCCGCCAGCGCGTCGACCGGCGGTGGTGCGGCCACCATCGGCGCGTCGCCGTCGTCCGCCGCCGCGGGCGCGAGCTGCGGCGCCTCGCCCGCGTTCGCAGGCGCCTGCTCGGCGTCCGAGTCCGAGTCCAGCGTCAAGTCGTGGACCACCGGCGCGGCGGGCGGCGCGTCGTCGTCCGAGAGAGTGAGGTCGATAGTGGCCATTCTTAGCGATGAAGCGCGACACCGCCGAGGTAACGATGCGCGGTCGCCGGCCGCGTTGGGCTTGGCAGGCAGTGCTTTGAATTGTTCAGCTGCAGACCGCTCGGAGGCGGCCGAGCGGCGCGCGGTTCCACCAGTGGCAGCGTGTGGGTGAAGTCCACGGTGTCCGTAACTGCTCACAGCCGCAGAGTGGACGATGAATGCAGACCCAAAAGCCGGCGGAGCTAGCGGTATAAGGCACTAGGGATGCCAGCAAGCATCATCGCATCAAAATTGCTTGCTTTGGACCGCACAAGTGCGCGTTCGCTGTCTAGGTGACGCAGCCGATATACTTCTCCAGCGCTGCGATAAATCAAGCGCTGCGAACTGCGTTTGTCGAGAACTGCTGCTCTCCAAAAAGCACCCCAGCTCTCCGTAGCCCACCATGAGGTGGCTCTCCTCGCTGATGCTTTGCACCGCCGCCCTGGCACTGGCACCGCGCACGCACCGTCGACGCAGCGCCGGCGTGTCCGACCAACGCAGCTCGCAGCGTGTGGCGCCCTTACGCGGCGTCTTCGACGCGCTCACGGGAAGCAGCGAGACCTTCTCGGACGCGCAGACGCTGCCGGGCCGGTGGCGGCTCTCGTTCGCGCTGCCGGCCCTCGACCGGCGCGCGACGGTCATCGCGGAGTTCGCGGACGAGATCGGCTTCGAGCCGCCGCAGGGCTCGCTGCGCCTCGTCGGCGAGGACGGCGCCGCGACCGACGCGGGCACGTGGCAGCTGAGCGAGGACCCGGACGACAAGCGCGACGGCCTCTGGATCTGGGGCCTCTTCGAGGAGCCCCTGTATCCGTTTCTCCTGGTCTCGCTCGATTCTGAAAAGATCGGTTTGCCGGAAGGGGGGCGGTTAGCGCTGCGGCTGGGCCACAAGTCGCGGCCGAACGAGGGCGAGCAGTTGTTGTCGTCGGGGTCCGTCGCCGCGCGGCGGAAGGAGAACTACAACGCCGATTTGTTCGGGCTGTCGAGCGCCGCACTCGACGAGGACACGAACATCGGCACGGTGTCGATCCAGCCCGTCCGGTAACTTATCCTATGTGTTTTTATCCTCTGGCTTCGGCCGGACGTGTATCGCGAGGATGGGCCGCGCGACGGCCGCGCGGTTCGCGCCACCTCTGTGAAACATCGCCGCGTCGTACACCACAACGTCGCCCGCGGCGCCGCAGAGGCGCACCGTCGCGGGCAGGAGCGTCCGCGACTCGATTAATTTCGCCGCGAAGGGCCTGAGAAAAATCCAGCCGACGCGGCTCAGGAGCGTCGTCACATCGTAGGGGCCCCGCGCCGCGCGGCTCCGGCCGTGGACGTAGTCCGGCGGTAGAATGCGCGGCACGAGCTCCGTGGGCCCGAGCGCCGCGGTGATGTCGCAGCAGGCCACCTGCGCCGTCGCGCCGACACCATCATAATGCCAGCGCTGCGCCGACCCGCCCGGCAGCGAGACGACGAGCTCGGCCAGGCCTATGACCTGTGTAGAATCGACCAGTGGATTCATGCCAGCGAGCCGCGGGGCGCCTCAAAACTTGATTTCCACGCGGCCTAGAACGGATTCGTCGTCGCCGCAGACCGCCCGCCACGGCCGCCGCTCATCCAGCCAGTCCGCCACGGCCGGCGCGAGGTGCTCGAGGCGCCCGTCGCCCGCGCTGTCGTCGGTGGAGTCGGAGCCATCCCCTTGCCATTTCCTCGCGTCGCCCCGCAGGTGGATCGTGTAGCGGTCTTCCCGTCGCTTCTGGCCGAACGCGTCCGCCACGACGCCGGCCGACGTGGCTTGCCGCGCGAGAAGGTCCGCGTTCGCGGCCGCCCTTCGCAAGCGCACGACGCCGTATTTTTCGTAGAGGGCCTCGGCCTGCCGGAGATCTCTAGCGTCGCAGGTGATGGCGTCGAGGAATGCGACCTCTTCGGGTCGGAGCGCGACGCGCGGCGGGGCCTTCGGGACGACGGCCGGGGCCAGCAGCGCGGCGGCAGGGGGCAAAAGCAGCGCTGCTAGATGCATGCTGCGGGAGAAGCGCATTCACTGTCAAGAGGCGGTGCTGCGCAGACGCTCGGTGGCCGCAGGGCTCGTTTTGCGCCCCTCAGTGCGTCTCCCTTCTAAAAAAAACTAATTATCTCGGAACCTCGAAATCATGCTAAAACGGGTTTACAGGTGTGCACAACATGTCGCGACATGCAGCCGTTTGAGTACTGCTCGGTTCGATACTGGTCCAAAGAGATCAATGGGACACGTACCGGGGGCCGAAAAAGGAAATTTTTTAATTCGCGGACGAGGCCACAGGGCGGCCGCGCCGGTGGAAACCTGTCAATCCGTGGCCCAGAGGTCGCCCTGGGGTCGCATAGGGTCGGTACTATACACGTGCAATCGCCTACGCCGCATGCGTGGGCGCTTCCATCGGTAGATACATATCAGTGCAGGTCCTCAGCATTGCGCGGAGCTCCAGTACAGGTCCGACAACTTCTTGATCCAGAGCTCTCTGGGGAGCCCCAAGCACCGGCGCATGCGGCGTAGGCGACTACCCGACCCCAGACCTATCCCGGAGGGAGTCCACGAGCCGATCTGCATCCACAAAAAGTAAATAATTTGGACCCGATGGCGCCCCGTTCCCGTCAAAAACGTCAATTACCCGAGGGCCTCCAGTAGTCGCCGTAGCGGTCTCGTCGGACCCTATACTACCCCACCGATAGTCAACTACAAGTATATGACATCTACACCACGAGAAGGGTACTTTAGGCCGCCCACGCTCGGGACGCGAACATCTTTATCTGGACCTCGCGTAAGTCCGTCGGTCATGAAACAAATGATCGCGTTATGGTCCATGGTGAAGGTACACGGGCTGATGGCCGCAGGTCCAGGTCTGGCGCCCAAATTGTCGAGATCCTGGAGTCTCGGGATGGACGAGCCGCCGGGAGCTTACGGAACAAAAAATGCAATGTAGTTCACGCTCAGGCCGGTTATCTGGCCCGTCCCGGAACCGAAGCGCCTGAAACACGAATTTATTCCACAACTCACGGGTCTGGAGCCTTTCCGGTGCTCCGTCTCCGCACCGTCGTCCGCGGAGAACGGGCAAGTCGGTCGATTGTGAATAGAACAACGGCGTTATGGTCCATCTGGATGGTGTCGTCGCTGATACTCGCGGATCTGGGTTATTCGGCCGTTTAAACACAAACGCGCGGTACCAAAGTCGCCGAATCCCGCGGCTCTAACGGGTCATCTAAAATAGATGAGTACGTGTTCAATCGGCCTAGATGGACTCTACCCCTAACAAACGGAAGGAAACGAACATAAACTCGGGAGTTGTCTAGTAGAATTCTTTTCCCGCCCTCCGAGCGCGGGCCGTCGGCTCCGGTTCCGTCGAGTGTGGATGAAAACTGGGCTGGAGTTGATAGAATGTACTATTTGGATAGTAGATGGCGTCGTCAATCGCTGGTGTATTTTGGCGAGTTGTAAAGACCAACTAGTGAGCTAGCGTATCGACACACTAGGATGCACCACACGTGCACACTGCGCCCTGGACCGCGAGGTCACAAGGACCTAGAGAGATGCTGGGCCTCGCCGTGGTCGCCGGTGCCCTGCTGCTGCGCTTGGGCAGCGCCGCGCCGCCGCGGGCGCCCGCGCGGGGCGGTATCAAACTGAGCAGCTGCCCCAAGGGCGGCTCGACCGCCGCGGCGCACGACGACAGCGAGGCGGGGATCGAGACATTTGCTGGAGACTATGAAATCACCACGTCCTACGGAAACGGCAGCACGCGCGGCGCGCAAGCCGGCGAGAACGGCCTCGACGGCGCTTTCCCCAGGAGGAACCTAGCGAGCACCGACGCTGCGACGAAGTCGTGGCTCCAGCTCTACAAAAACTTCGGGGCCGTCTACGCCGACGCGTTCGACTCCGAGACTATACATTGCGCGGCGACGACCGAGCGCGTCGCGAACAAGTACCAGGCTGGCGGGGGGCACGCGCTCCACGCCATCGAGCAGCCTGTTTCTGGCACCACGATGCAGTTCATGGCCCCGGACGCGACCAAGGGCGGCGTCGACGTCTTGGACGTCGCGTCCGCCGAGCTGGCGCCTACGCCCGGCACCACGATGCAGTTCATGGCCCCGGACGCGACCAAGGGCGGCGTCGACGGAGAAGCAGCGGCCCAGAGCTACCTTGGGCGGACTTCCTGGTGCCTCTTCCAGGTACTCGCTTCGGTGGTTCCGCGGCGCAGCAGCTCGGCGAAGGGGGCGGCCTGGCGCTCGTCCGTCGTCTACCTGCTTATTTGGGGGGACGCCACCCGCGTGGCGGCGGAGACTTCGGTCCGCGGCCGCAGCGGCCGCAGCGACGACAACACCAAGTCCAAAACCATGATCAAGATTAATAACCCTCCGCGCGCGCCGGCGGGAGGCCTCGCGCAGCGGCGCGCGCTCACGGGCTATGTGATGGACGACGATAGCATTAGAACGGCGGTGGCGGCTTGGTTTGACGACCAGTCCGCTGCCGAGGCGACGTACGGCCACATTTCTACGTGGGAGACTGGGGGCGTGACGGACATGAGTTGCCTTTTTGTTGCAACATCAAATTATAATTGCGATTATGTATACAACGCGGCCGCGGCGTCCTTCGACGAGGACATCGGCGCGTGGGACACCTCTGGCGTCACATCGATGGAAAACATGTTCCGCTACGCCTCGGCCTTTAACCAGGACATCGGCGCGTGGGACACCTCCGGCGTCACGACGATGAAGTGGATGTTCGCCTACGCCTCGGCCTTCGACCAGGACTTCGGCTGGTGCGTGAACGACGGCGTGGACCTGGACGACGCTTTCGACGGCACCTCGTGCGAGTCAACATCGTGCGGCGTCTATTACTCGGCTGCACTTCGATGTGGAGGCACTCCAATGACCGACGCCAGCATCCGCACGGCCGTCGCTGCATGGGACTCGGACGCGACGGCCGCCGAGGCGACGTATGGCCACATCTCGACGTGGGAGACATCGGGGGTGACGGACATGTCGGGGTTGTTTCTATGGGAATCGTCCTTCAACGAGGACATCGGCGCGTGGGACACCTCTGGCGTTACGTCGATGTATTTGATGTTCGACGGCGCCTCGGCCTTCGACCAGGACATCAGTGGATGGGCGGTCCAAAACGTCAGGAGCATGAGCTGGATGTTCAGCGGCGCCTCGGCCTTTAACCAGGACATCGGCGACTGGCGGGTCGACAAGGTCACTTCAATGGTATTTATGTTCGCAGGCGCCACGGCCTTCGACCAGGACCTCGGCTGGTGCGTAGGCGGCGACGTGGTAGACGACGACTCTGGTGACTTCGACCAGGCGTTCGACGACACCCTGTGCGAGTCGACGTCGTGCGGCGTCGCGCAAGTGGACGGGGGCTGTGCGCCGACATTAGCGCCGACGTTATCTTCCGCTCCGACTGCGACGCCTGCACCGACAGTCACGCCCCTGGTCGCGGACGACAGCACTGTTAGAACGGCCGTGAAACTCTGGTTCTCGGATCGCGCCGCCGCCGAGGCGACGTACGGCCACATCTCGACGTGGGAGACCGGAGGGGTGACGGACATGTCGTATTTGTTTTGCGTGCGGCAGGATTGGATGTATGATGACTGCATCTTACATGGCGGCGGGTGCTATGAGGACTGCGTCTTATCGACGTCGTCCTTCAACGAAGCCATCGGCGCGTGGGATACCTCTGGTGTCACGACGATGGATTGGATGTTCTGGGGCCAATCGACGTTGAACCAGGACATCAGTGGTTGGGCGGTCGACAGCGTCACGGATATGAACGGGATGTTTGCCGAAGCCTCCGCCTTTAACCAGGACATCGGTGATTGGGCGGTCCAAAGCGTCACGGATATGAGCGGGATGTTCGCCGACGCCTTGGAGTTCGACCAGGACCTCGGCTGGTGCGTGGACGACATAGTGGACCTGCGTGGCGTGTTCTCCGGAACCCTGTGCGCGTCGACGTCGTGCGGCGTCGGGAAACCGCATGCACAGGGGTTTTGCTTTGGCTTCGCCATGACCGACAGCACCATCAGAACCGCCGTCGCAGCGTGGCTTGCGGGCGCGACGGCCGCCGAGGCGACGTACGGCCACATTTCGACTTGGGAGACTTCAGGGGTGACGGACATGTCGGAATTGTTTTGCTCCGGCGGCTGGTGTGACTCCTACAACTCGGGGGCAGCGTCCTTCAACGAGGACATTAGCTCGTGGGACACCTCTGGCGTGACAGAGATGAACAGCATGTTTGTCGAAGCCTCGTCCTTTAACCGAGACATCGGTGGTTGGGCGGTCCACAGCGTCACGGATATGAGCGGGATGTTCGGCGGCGCCTCGGCCTTCGACCAGGACATCGGCGCGTGGGACACCTCCAGCGTCACAAGTTTGGACTACATGTTCTACTACGCTTCGGCCTTCGACCAGGACCTCGGCGCGTGGGACACCTCCGGCGTCACTAACATGGCCTCCATGTTCTGGGATGCCTCGTCTTTTAACCAAGACATCGGCGCGTGGGACACCTCCCGCGTCACGTCGATGTACCAGATGTTCAGAGACGCCTCGGCCTTTAACCAGGACCTCGGCGCGTGGGACACCTCTGGCGTCACGTCGATGCGCGAGATGTTCTCCCACGCTTCGGCCTTTAACCAGGACCTCGGCGCGTGGAACACATCCGGCGTCACGTCGATGTATGAGATGTTCAGAGACGCCTCGGACTTCGACCAGGACCTCGGCTGGTGCCTGGACGACAGCGCGGACCTGAGCGCAGCGTACGCGAGCACCCAGTGCGAGTCGACGTCGTGCGGTGTCGTGCAGCGTCAAGAAGGTGTCTGCCCCATGACCGATAGCACCATCAGAACGGCCGTCGCCGCGTGGTTCTCGGACAGCGCAGCTGTCGAGGCGATGTACGGCCACATCTCGGCGTGGGAGACTGGCGGGGTGACGGACATGGCGTATTTGTTTTGCGCAGCTCACGACGACGACATGGCGGCGTGCCTCGCGTGCGTGAACATGGAGTGCGAGGGCAACGAGCCGCACTCGGAGATTTGTAGTGATTGCTTCGGGGAGGACTGCGACGAGTGCAGCGACGCCGTCGGGGAGAGCGAGCTTGCAGCGTTCGTGAGCAGCGGCTGCGACTTCGACGACGGATCGGACATCGGTCGCTGGTTCCGGGACGAGGGCTGCGGGTCCCTGCGCGGCTGCTGTCCGACGGCCGCGGCGTCCTTCAACGACGACATCGGCGCGTGGGATACCTCTGGCGCCACGAGCATGGGAGGGATGTTCGCTGGAAACATTGCCTTCGACCAGGACATCGGTGGTTGGGCGGTTGACAGTGTCACGGATATGAGCTCGATGTTCTACAACGCCACGGCCTTCGACCAGGACCTCGGCTGGTGCCTGGACGATGACGTGAGCCTGAGCAGCGCGTTTGCCAACACCCAGTGCGAGTTGACGTCGTGTGGCGTCTTTTGGTGGGCTGCCGTAAGATGCGGTGGCAGCGGCGGGGCCATGGACGACAGCAGTATCCGAACGGCAGTCGCAGCGTGGGTCTCGAACCCAACGTTCGCCGAAGCGACATACGGCCACATCTCGACGTGGGAGACATCAGGGGTGACGGACATGTCGTTTTTGTTTTGCGTGCGGCAGAGGTGGATGGGCGAAGGATCATACCCTACACGTCAAGAATATTATCTACCAGGGGACTCGTACGCAGGGGACGGCATTTATGGCTGCCCCGGACCGTTAGCGCAATACCATCCTTATTGGTGGTGCTGTACTGGTAGCGACTGGTGCCACCCGGATGTTTGTGGTTTATGGTATTGTGCGGGATGGGACGACTGCGTCTTATCGACGGATTCCTTCAACGAGGACATCGGCGCGTGGGATACTTCCGGCGTCACGACCATGGAGTCGATGTTCTACTATGCTTCGACCTTTAACAGAGACATCGGCGCTTGGGACACCTCCGGCATCACTAATATGTACAGGATGTTCACCGGCGCCTCGTCCTTCAACAAGGACCTCGGTGATTGGGCAGTTGACAGCGTCACAAGCATGTACGGGATGTTCGCAGCCTCGTCTTTTAACCAGGACATCGGTGGTTGGGCGATCCAGAGCGTCACGAGCATGGAATACATGTTCTGGAGCGCCTCGGCCTTCAACCAGGACCTCGGCTGGTGCGTGGACGACGACGTGAACATGGACTCGGCATTCAGCAACAATATCCAGGTCGAGGGTCTTTGCTTCCCCGAATACCTGGTCCCCTGTGGCATCGTCGGAGCCGCCCCCCTGTGTAATTCGATGTCGTGCGGCGTCGTGCTGGGAGGAGCTAGCACCTGCGCCCCGACAGCAGTGCCGACTTCGCAACCGAGCACGTCGAGCCCGACCTTTGTGCCGTCGCCACAACCGTCCACGGCGGTGCCGACGCCACAGCCGACGACGTCGCAGCCATCGACGGCCGCCCCATCGGGCGCTCCGACGTCTGAACCGACGGTTGCTCCGGTTCCGGCGCCGTCTCCCGCGCCGAGTCCACTCCCGACGACGTCGCAGCCATCGACGGCCGCCCCATCGGGCGTTCCGACGTCGCCGCCGTCGGTTGTTCCAGTTCCGGCGCCGTCTCCCGCGCCAAGTCCGCGCCCGACTTTAGTACCGTCGCCCTCGCCGACGGGAAGCCCTGCGCCCACGATGAGCTTGCCACCAACAGAGGCACCGACGACCGCACAACCGAGCCCCACGCCGTCGACCGCGCCGACGCCGCGCCCGACGCCAGCGCCGACGACGCCTGACCCTTCGCTGGCGCCGACGCCGGCGCCGACACCCGCTCAAACATTAGTCAAGATCGCCTCGTCGGTGACGCTTGAAGGTATTGTCGCGACTGAATTTAATGCCGATGAAGGCATGAAGGCGGCCTTCGCGCAGTCGATTCTGGACCGCTCTAATGGAGCGTTCGACGAGGTAATTGATATCGAGGCTGCCGGGGGTCGGAGGCGCCTCGACGAAGGTTCGGGCGTTGGCATCTCGTACACTGGCGTCGCGCGCGTCGACGACGTCGAGGACGCAAACTCTGTTGCTGCAGATGTGCTGAGCCAGGCTACGGCAGCGCTGACGACTGCGGTCGCCGACGGAAGCTTTCTGGCGACGCTTCAGACGAAGGCTGCGGAAGAGTCTGCCGAGGCCGCCGCGGCATTCTCCGCCGTGGTCGTCGACGTAGCGGCGACGCAAACGGCTATTGCGGATGCCGTTCTCGAAGTGATCGTGACAACGCCAGGCCCTACCGCGTCTCCGACAAGGCCGCAGCCGACCGCGGGTCCGACAACAACGCCCGGGGGTTCCGCCGGCGATGGCAAGGACGGCGGCGGCGTCATCATTATCATCGTCGTCGCCGTCGTTGTCTTGCTCGCTCTTGCTGGCGTCGGAGCGTACCTATACTGGAAGAAGAAGAAAAAGGGTACGGGAGGCACGAAGGTCGCACCCGCAACGAAGCCATCGTCGTCCGCCAAGGCCGCAGTGGCCGTCGGCGCCGCGGCCGGCACCGAGGTGCCCGGCACTCCTGTGCGGTGAGCTCCTCTTTTTGCCATATGCAATATCTTTTCTTCTTCCGAGTGACTCAGGCTGGACCGAGTCTATCGGGCGATGTTGACCTTCGAATCCTCCGTCCGTAATCTATTATCTATTCATATGGCTATTGAGGGGGTATTTAAGTGGGCACGCACGCTAATTGTTCAGACCGTCACAGTGACTTGAAGTTTCGTCGGCGTGGAATTGTCCCGAGGCCGCGGCGGACGAGTCCGGCTTGGCTATCGAAGAACTTCCGCGACGCATGGTTCGCGGGCAAGTAAGCGGGCCATCTACGCTTCAGACGGAGTAGTAGCAGCTGTTACTCGGGGTTTGGGGGCGCGCTCGTGCGGATCAAGAGACTGGGCTCAGTAAACGTTGAGGCGGGCTGGATGGAATCTACCACCAACAAACGGAAGAAAACGAACATAAACTCGGGAGTTGTCTAGTAGAATTCTTCTCCCGCCCTCCGAGCGCGGGTCGTCGGCTCCGGTTCCGTCGATTCTGGATGAAAACTGAGCTGGAGTTGATATAATGTACTATCTGGATGGGGGATGGCGGCGTCAATCGCTGGTGCACTTTGGCAACAAGTAAGACTCATCCGCGAATGTCGCCGCGGGACCTTCCGCGAGTATGTTCCTCGCCCTCCCAGGAAATGTTCTATCGATCTCAGTGGACCGTTAGCGAACCGAATGACGCTCAAACAGCTCTAGGTCGCGTCTCGTGGGAATTGAAAAAAGACAAAACGGGTTTCTCACGCTTACCGCGCCGCCGCCGCGACCCTCACAGACCCCGCCAAAGCAAAATGATCCTCACAACTTGCGCCGCCTGCGCCGCCCCACTGGCCCACGACGCGCCGCGTTGCGTTAGATGTTGGACCCGCTACTGTGACTCGACTTGCCAACATGACCACTGGCGCCGCGGTCACAAGCAGATGTGTAAGAAAATACACCGCGGCGGCAACGCGGAACAATACCACGCCGACAAAAAATACAAGGAGGCCGTCGCGGTCGCGGTCGAGGCGTGCGCCGACGACACGAAGGGCCAGACGTGCTACATCTGCACCCAGGCCCTCCATTGGAAGACGAAGGAGGGTCTCGTGCGCGGGTGCTCGTGCCGCGGGACGGCAGGGTTCGTTCATGTGTCGTGTCTGGCGGAGCAGGCGAAGATTTTGATGGACGAGGCCGAGGAGAACAATTTGAGTGGCAAGGTGAGGACTGAGAGGTTCCATCGGTGGCACACGTGTCGTCTGTGCGAGCAACAATACCACGGCGTCGTCTCGTGTGCTCTTGGGTGGGCGTGCTGGAAGACGTACTTGGGTCGACCGGAGGGGGACCAAGTTCGAAGTGGTGCGATGACGACGCTTGGGAGCGGTTTATGCGATGCAAAACACTACGAGGAGGCGGTGTCTGTGCAAGAGGCCGAATTGTCTATGATGCGGCGCCTCGGCGACTCAGAACACATGCTCATCACACAGGGCAATCTTGCGATGACGTATCACGCAATCGGACGTATGGAAGAGGCACTGCGCCTGCGGCAGGAAGTATACTCTGGAACATTGAAGCTACATGGCGAGGAACGTAGAGAAACCCTCATAGCAGCCAACAACTACGCGACGTCCCTTGGTAATCTAGAGCGCTGGCAAGAAGTCAACACGTTAATGCGCGATGCGATTTCCGTGGCGCGACGCGTTCTCGGAGAGAATGATGAGATGACACTCAGGATGAGGTCTTTTTACGCCCGAACGCTCCAAGACGACGACGTCGCCGCCACCCTCGAAGATCTCCGCGAGGCCGTGACGACACTCGAGGACACGGCACGGACCGCGCGGCGCGTGCTTGGTGGCGCGCACCCGACCTCAGCTTTGATAGAGAGGGAACTGCGGAATTTGCGAGAAAAGCTCCGTGCCAACGAGACGCCTGAAAAGCTCGCCCAGGAAGCTTTTCGTACGGCGCGCGCAAAGCTCGCCCAGGAGCGCGAAGAACTCGCCCAGACGCTCGCCGACTCGTCTGCGAAGCCATCGCAGGATGCATAAGATAAAAATTATGAACACCACTACCCGTCTAACAGAAAAAGAAAACAAGCACTACTTCTTACCGACCCAGCCCGAGGACAGCATCACCCCGCAGTCCTCCCGCAGGCCGAACGAGTTGTTCGCGTCCGAGCTCGTATAGGCCGCGAAGCACTCGCAGTCGCCGGTAAGCTCGTCGCAGGTCCCCCGGTGCGAGCAGACGACGTCCGCCTTCGAGCCCGAGACGGCCTCGCCGACCTTCACCGTGCCCTCGAGGAGCTTTGATGAGTCCACTCGAAGGGGCGGCACGTCGCCCAGTTCTGACGTGAATTCAATGCTAAAATTCCCGACGTTCAACGGGTATCCATACACGTCGCAGGCCTTGTGCGCGTCACTATCCGACGCACACGTGTTCGGACCACTACAAGTAGCACAAGGTGGGACGCAGAACACGTCACCTTCCACACCAACAGACCCGATGGTGTGCAGCGCTTCCAAAGCACGCTTTACTTCTATAGAAGACGCGTCGTAGGCTATTGGCTGGGTAGTAGCCCCACGGAACGTCAATTGGAGAGATCCACCCGTCGCCTTGCACTCGACGTACTGCCGCTCGAACTGCCTTCCAGAAACGAAGGGGTTGTCGCCCGTGGGACAAGCCCTTTTAGAGCAGTCGTACCCGGTCCACGCCGACAAATTGTACCACGAGTTGTTCCCGTAGCCCGGTTCGTAGCACTTGCAGTGCTGGATGAAGTCCGCGTCCCACGCGGTGGAGTTCTCGGACAGACCGCTCCCGTAGGCTATCGGCGTCGGCTCGCCATTATAAGAAGCGTCCTGCGCGAGTTGCCTCAGTGTCAAGCATTCGCCATGACCACTACAGGTGTCACCGTTCGGACCCACTGGGCACGACAACCGTTCACAAGCGCCGCCCTCGAACCCGATGCCGCACCGACATAACCCCGTAGCGTGGTCGCACGTCCCGGCGTTGGAACATTCGGCCAACCTATGCGCAGACCTAGGACCATCGGCCTGGTCGAACCACGCGGGCCCTTTAGGGCAACTGGAAACATTACAGTTGCCGTACCAGCCCTCATCGCAAATACAAGAATGGTTCGTCTCGGGACCCCCACAATAGCCGTGGCCCCAGCACTCCTGGATGGGCTCGCCGTTCTCCAACACAAAGGTCCTAGGTGCCGGGCCCAACCCATTATCGAGAGCAATCCCCAGGGGCACGCCCTGCTGCATGTAAGCTTTTGGGGTCTCAGCGCCGTGCATGCCGTGCACGTCGCTCCGCACGACGTGGCCCGTGCCCGCGTCGGTCCAGAAGATCATGTCGTTCACGACGTCGTGGACGATGCCGTAGGGCCGCTTCACCTTCTCATACTTGTCGCCACCGTGACTCGACGCGTCATAGGTGGAAGCGATCTCTTGGAGCCACGTCTGATTCCGGTACCAGTCGTAGATGTTCCGCTTGATGCCATTCATTTCCGCCTTCGCTCGGATCTCGGCTTCATAGCCCATGTTCGCTTTTATGACCGCGCCTGCGTCGAACGACAGCGTCGCGAACCCGTCTCCGTCCGTTCACGAGACGCGTAGACTCTCCGACGGCCACGTCGACGGCGTCGCGGCGCTGTGGTCTCATGGAGACGCCATCTTCATGATATTGAAGTTCGGAAACGTGCGGAAACAGACGCTGAGTCAGCGCCGTGGTCGTGGAGCTTCTCATCCAGCACTATCATGCTGTAGTTCCGCAAATCCAACACGAGACCCGTGGGGTCCCACAAGTTTCGGTCTAGGACGCAGACGGCGTCCGTGCCGTCTAGGTTTGATCGCCAGACTTTCCCATCGGCATCGGAATAGTTTCTCTGGCCAGCGTCGGTCCAGTAGAGCTTGCGATTCACGAGATCCAGCGCGACGGAGTGGGGGTTTATCAACTTAACACCTTGCTGGGTGATGGTCCGCGTTAGGTTCGTTTCTTGCGTCTTATGAACCAATCGCGGCCCGTTGTGGGCTATACTCGGTTCTAGGTCGATGTAATGAATCTCTCCTGGTGCGTCGCCTTTAGGATCCGCATAGTATAAACCACGTTCTCCTGGGATTAAGTTGAGAGCTATCCCTTCGATCGTTCTTGAGCGGTTATATAACAGTATCGAGTCGGAATCATAAAACACGCGAGACTGGTTCACTTTTTCTTTGTAGTCGATCCAGAGGCCCGCTTCGTGCTGTGCCGTCGTGTTCTTCAACTGGGCCACGCGTAACCCTTTGATCTCTCTGTCAACATAATAGATCTCCCGCCACTGCAGATCTAACGCGACGCCACCGGCCGTAGAGTTCGTAAGGTTCCACAGATGCCTTTGCTGCGGGCAGTCGCCGCATTCCTCCGGCGGCTCCAAGGGCCCGTTCGTGTACATCCCGCCAGGAACACTTAATGAGGAGATATTGGCCCCAGCCTTTCTTTTAGCTGCTAGGATCACATCCGCTGTTGAGTTAGAAGCGTCCGCGATATACACATAGCGCAAATTCAGGACATCTACGGGATCCAAAGCCGTATCTTTTGTGACATAACCAGGACAGCGCTGGAGCCCCGTCCACGCGGACGTGTTGAACTGGGGCCGGCCACAGGACCCATAGTCCGGGTCCCACTCGAAGCCCTCGTCGCAGGCGCAGGTGCCGTTCGTCGGGGCTGGTGCCTGCGCAGGACCGACGCGGTCGCGAGACGACTCTCGCGCGGCGAGAAGCAAGGAACGCGTCGCGTCGATGGCGTGGAGGGCTCGACGCCACTCTCAGACGCCATCGACGCGAGGAATCAAGTTGAACTAGCTTCAACAGACGCTGAGTCAGCACTGTATCTTCGAAGTTGATCGTGATGTTGCCCGCCTTGTCGCAGAAGCCCGCGCCGTTGCATTCGAGGCGCTCCCGCGTGCCCGTCGTGTGTTGGATGTTGATTGATCCGCCCGGTGCGCCGTTCTTGAGCAACGAAGAAATGATCTCGAGGGGCGGTTGGTTGCCCAGAGGCGTCGTGAAGGCTATTACGAGTGAGTCGCCTCCACATAACCCTGAGCCGGCCGAATGTAATGTCTCCACTCTCACATCGCCTTCATTGAGTGTCGGTAACGAGTGGAGCGCGTGCTGCACCTCTGAAGCTGTCGCGTCATGATCTAGTTTATGGGTAGTTCTACCATCATAAACTAACACGAACGAACCACCATTCGCACCGGAACAACTTAAAGTCTGGTTCGTCTCCATGTAGACCTCCTTCGAGGGCGATTCGAGTTCGGCCGCGTCGACCCATAAAGGTGGTATATCTCCGCTATCCCTGAGAAACGTTATCGATGTAAGAGTACCCGTGGGCGAACAGAGCGGTCCCGCAGGTATAGATCTAGCTTGGATCGGTTCCGGGAACTGAACATACCCGTTACCATATAAAGCTCTGAGTAAGCCTAATCGAGTTTGCAACTCTGTAGCGGTATCTGTAGGTTTCAACAAAGGGTATGTTTCTTCACCACCCAAGAACATCGTAAGTGTCCCATTGCAAGGAGAAGCGCATCGACAATATAAATGAGCAACTTCGTCGGTCCCACCGACCGTCCGTCTATCGTCGCCCTTGTCGCAGGTCACCAGATCGCAGGCATAGCCCTCGTAGCCCGGGTCGCAGATGCACCCCCGTATGTGGTCCGCGTCCCACAGATCATAAGGTACGCCATAATCACCGGAACGATGTGCTGATCGGTTGAGTTGATAGCCATCAAATGACCTGGCAGCCTCTCTCATAGAAGTACAGAGCCCATGGCCCGAACACTCCGTCTTCTCGCCGAACTCGTCGAAGGCCCAGCGGTCCGCACCAGACGTGGGACACCTGAACTTCTCGCAGGCAAACCCTTCGAACAAAGGGTCGCACACACAGTACCCTGTTTGTCGATTACAGTAGCCTCGGTTCGAGCATTCGAGGGGGGCATGGGCTTGATCCGTGGCGCTGGGCACGTCGGACCACGCCGTGGAGGAGACGCAGGACCGGTGCTGGCACGCGAGTCCGGTATAGCCCGTGAAGCATTCGCACAGACCGTCCTTGCCGCAGAGGCCCTTCTGGTTGCAGCGGTCGGGGCACTGGGCCCTTGCCAAAGCGAGGAGGATCAGATAGCGCATCGTCGGCGGCCTGCCCCGCGACGGCGTGGGGGCAGCCTCTCCAAGTCCGATGTGGCCCGCGGTACGAGGCAGCCCGCGGCCGCTCGGGCTGCGTCGGCCGGGGCCGGACGGGACTCCCCGCGAGCGGTGGCGCCGTGTGATGGCCAGCAGGCGGCGTAGCGCCCCTTTACGGCAGCCCCAAGTCCGCTGCTTGCTAGTGTCTTACATGCCGCTAGCCCACGATGATTAGTGGGAGCGGTTTGCGAGGCGGATTTTGAGCGCAAAAAACCAAGTGCCACACGGACGTTCGTTTTCGGACCCACATACGTCGAATCCAGCATCGATCCGGGCCCGCGAGCCGCGCCAGGGAGCAGCTCCAACTTTAAGCCCTCTGCAACAAGGCAATACGATGTACGCCGCCAACGCCGGCCGCCGCCTCGCGACCAGCTGCGTACTCCTAGGTGGCTCCCTGGAGTATGCACAGACCGGCGGCCGCTCGGCCGTCGCGCGCTGCGCGCCCGACGAGCAAGAGCCGCCAAAAAAGGAGGACGAAGAAGAGGAAAGAGAGGAGGGCGTGGAGCGCTACCTTGGCTACTCGGCGGCCTTGGCGCGATTAAAGCTGGTCATGTTAAGGGCGAAGACCGCCCTCGCAACAGGCGCCGCCAAAGGCGCGGCCGCCGGCGGCCGCGGCGCAGCAACAGCAGCTAGAGGCGCTAGAGCGGCCAAGGGCGCGGCCGGCGCTTTTGCGCGAGGCGCCGCGGCGCGCGGCGGCGCCGCCGCGCGCGCGGCCAAAGCGACGGCCGCCGCCGCTGGCGCGAAAGGCGCCGCGGCCAAGGCGGCCGTCGGCGACGCGGCGCGCTACGTGGCCTATTCTTCGGATGTGGGCGAATCCATGCGTCCCGTGCTGCGGCCCTGGATGGTCAACGCGACGTATGGTATTGCTGTTGGATATGTGCTCTACGATGCCGGGAGTGACGTGAAACGAAAAATGGACGCGGGGCATTCGACGGAGGTTCTATTGGCGACGGGAACCTACAAACTTGTCTTTCACGGCCTGGTGTCGCTGGCCATGCCTGCCGTGATTATTCATTCCGCGGTCCATCAAGCGCATGACCTGTTTGCGCGGGAGGCATTCAGTAAAATGCCTCGAGTGGTGAAATGGGGCCCGTCGGCTGTGGGTCTGGGATTGATCCCGCTGATGCCTCTGCTCGATCCGCCGGCGGAGCACGTGCTGGAGGCGGTCTTTGATCAGATCTGGCCGGCGTGGCGAATCGGCGAGAAGCCGCACCACGACTAATTTTGTATAAATATATTAACTGGTGGGAGAGGGTTGTTTTAAGCGGCGATGACCGCCACCGGCGCGTTTGAGGTGGCCGACGCGTGCGCGGCGCTGATCGCGGCGTCATCGAGAGCGAGGATCGCGTCATAGAGAGCAGCGGGGTCCTGGCCTCGCGCGATGAGCGCGGCCAAGGCCTCGGGCGCCAGGTCCAGTAGGTCGGAGGCCGCAGACACTTTGGCCAGGGCCACGTCCCCGATGGCGTTCAGCTGCGCCGTACACGCCTCCTTGTCCTCACCTGTCACTACAACTAACCCTTGCGACAGGGACCCGCCGACCGCGCTTGCTACAGTAAGCGCCATGGCCTCGTCGGCTGGCGCCGGCACCCCAATGGCGCAGCCGGCATCTCCACTGATAGCGACGACGCCGCCCGGTTGGAACGCCGGAAACTTCTCCGCCGACGGTTGCCGCTCCGCCAACTCACCTAGCACAGATTGGGCCAGGGACACCATGACCGCGTGCTCCATACCTAATCCAATAGCCGTGATCGGCGCACTACTCATGGCTTCTTGCAGCCACGCGTCGACGTCAGCCGACGATAACGCGGCGAGGTCCTCGGCCGAACCTAATGGAGAGTAGGCCTTGCCGTAGGCGGCGGACGCGACCTGTTCTTCGAGAGACGCGTGGCGCGCCAGGGCGTTCAACGCGAAGGGCGAGGCCTTGGTCTCTTCGAACTCCCACGCCGTCAGCGCGTCGCGGCCGACGCCCGCGGCCAGCGCCGCCGCCTGGAAGGCGTCCGCGACGCAGGGCGCCTCGCGCGTCACGACGTGCTGCGTGCAGACTGTGGTGGTTTGGTGCGCATCGAACTGTGAAAAGGGCATGGATCCCGCGACTTCGAGGTCGCGCTGGATCCGCAGGTCCGTGCGGCCGTTCGCCGTCTTGAAGCTGTTTAAGGAGGCGGCCAACGCGGCGGACCGCGGCCCGTGACTGGCGCCGCGTCCTACGCCCACACCTACACAAGTAAGAGGCGCGCCCGGTGCCGTGGTCGTAACTACGACCCCATTCGGCAAGGTGCTCGTTTCTAGGTCGCCTCCCAGATAAGCGTCGCTCGCGAAGGTCCGGGCGCGGCGGGCCAGGCGCGGCGCGCGGCGGAGAAGAGCAGCCATGGCTTTTTTAAGCTGGGCTCGGCTCCGCTGCAGGCGTGCTCACGCACGAGGTCAACGCAACTGGGCGGCGCGCCTCTCTGTAGCTTCTGTAGCTTGCAAGGGAGGCACCTGGCCGCACTCCCGCCGCCTATTTGACGCGAGGCGAGCTTGGAAACTCTAGAGCCGGAGTACGCTAGCTTGCGAAATCGCTCGGAGCGGCAGCCGTCGGTTCGGACGCATCGCCGGAAGCTAGCAGACCCCAGCGCGAGCAGGCTGTGTGGCGCTGGGCAGCTTTTGCAGTCCCATAGGCAGGGGGCAGCCGCGCACGCACCGCGGTACGGGCAACACCGCCTCCCCACGCCGCCGACGCGCGCGCACCGCGGTGTTCGGGAACTCCAAAGCCGCAGCGACCACAGGAGGCAGCTTGGAGTGCCTCCTCACACGCCTACCGACGCGACCCGCCGCGGGGCGGCACCGCCAAGGCACCAAAAATGCCACTAGAGCTCCACTTCCCCCGTCTCTTGGAGGGCGGCGGCCACGCCGTCGCCCCTGGTGTCATCCTGCCGCCGGGCATGAAGCTGCGGAATCCCGCCTTCCTCAAACCTCGACATTTCCGAAGCACCCTCACCGAAACTCTACTCGTGTGGGACGTCTCGGGTGGTCAAGATAGAATCGCTCTAGGGAGGAAGGTCGAAGGGCTGTGGGTGAGGTGCCAGACGTTTCGCAAGTGGGCGAAAGTAGTATACGCAGCAAATGTCAGAAGAGCGCGAAGACTGCGAGCGTCACACATCCGATTCGCCGTCGCGGTGCCCTCGGGCGCGATGATGACGCTGAAGCTGTCACCCCTGGACCAGGTCGGCCGCGTCAAGGTCTTAATATCACAACGAAAGCCGGCGCTGATGACGAAGAAACTGGCGAAGTACGTCGTGATGCTCGACGGCGTCGCGTTAGATGATTGGTTGACCTGCCACGACGCGGGGGTCCGCGAGGCGTCTTCTTTAGTAGTGACGGCTCGGGCCGTCGGTACTGATGATGATGTCCCGCCCCAGCCGCATTTGGTCTCGACCGGCGCTGGTGCTTTGTCACCGAAGACCGTGCGGATGGCGATGATGGCCTACGGCTCGCTAGCCACTCCCAAAAAACCGGAGGAGGAGCACAAGATCCATCCGGGCTGGCGTCCTCGCGCAAGGTTAGGCAGGCAGTTTCCTTCGGACTCTCCGAAAAAAGGCCCAGTCTTGGCGCCGACGTGCCCCGCGGCGCCGGACTCGCCCGAGGCCCGCGCGCGGTAGTGCGTGTAAGGGTTGTGTGTTGTGTCGGTCGTTATCTGTTACGGTGCTAGGGCGAGTGTGCGGCCGTCGGCGCAGACGTCCGCGCCGAGGTAGCCTAGAGGTAGCCTGCGTGCGGGTCGCGGTGACGGCGTACTCTCGCGTCGATGGCGTCTGGTGCCACACATGCGCCATCGCCGCGACCCGACACACACTCTCATCGCGCCGAGGTGGACGCCATCGACGCGAGATCAGACGCGACAACGGGATACATGGGACGCCGGGGAGACACCGCGCCGCGCATCGCCGTCCGGGGGTCGTCGAGCGAAGGAGGCGGCGGGACCTCTCGGGACCGGTATCTACGCGTCCGGGGCGCCCTCCGCGCGCCTCGCGGACGGCACCGATTTTGCTCTCATCTCCGCAGCGGCTTGACAGTCTCTTGTGCTCTCGCGCCGCCCCGGACCCCCGGGGAGGCCCACGTCTGGCGCCGACGCGCGCGGGGCAGCCCCCTGACACTCCACATCGCTCCTAGCTCGCGACGCGCTTGGGGCAGCGATACATCACACCTGAGGGCATCAATGGAGCACCCACAGCCGCCACCGACCACAACGCAGACGAGCGGCTGCCACTGGTCTCCCCGCCGCACAAAATCGCCGCTGGCCCTCCTGCCGCCCGGCGTCGAGAGGGAACACATAACTAAATTCGCGGGCGCCGAGGAGCTGCGCCTGATTCGATTGCTGTCGAAGCGGCACCTTCAAAGGATCGCCATCGACGGGCACTGGCGGGTCTTATGTGATAAGCTGTGGACCGATAAGCCCGGCTTCGCAGGGCGCCGAAAACCCCTCTGGGGCGTCTTCGCGGCGAGCGGCGAGCTCACCGTAGCCGACCGCGCGCTCCAATCCTCGTCAGAAACGCAAGCGTCCTTCGTGCGCGTCTCATTATCAGAACCGAGAACCCACGACCTCGCGCCGCACGAGACGTGTCGGAGACTGAATTGGCGCGAATCTTACGACGGCTCCGTCAAAGACGCGACGCGAGACGAGATCACGGCCCAGGAATTAGAAAGGTGGCCCTGGCTCTGCATGGACTACATGGGGTTTCGGGGGCACGCGCTCGCGTTCGAGGGGCGCGGTTTGAGACACGGCGGCGACGCGCTCTTCCAGGAACGTCACCGGTTCGCGCGGCACGCGTGGACGCGCGCGGCGCCGGCGTCACTCGTGCTGAACGGGCTGCAACTGTCGCCCGGCGGGAGCGGGACGCTGCGCGTCGAGCGCCGCGAAAACTGGGGCTGGCGGTTGCGCCACATGTACTGGGCCTGGGACGCGGCGCCCGGCGTTACCGGGCCGGGGTCCTGGCGGCGGGACGCGCGGCTGGGGGTGGAGTAGTTTCTCCTTGTACTTCGTAGTCGCGTCGCGCGTCTCGACCGCGACGGCCGGTCGTCGTTTGTTCGCGGTTTCCTCGTTCCGTCGTTACTCTGCTGCTCTGAGAGGTGTCGTTGGGCTTCCGGACGCGTGGCTTCCGAACCCGCACGTTAGGCACGTTAGCGCTTAGCTGGCAGGCAAATTTGGCTAAACAGGTTGTGGATTTGCTCTACAATTGGATTTGCAGTTGTGATAACTTGGACAATCTGTCAAGATCACATTCCTGCAGCCACACAGCAACTTGTGCAATTCACAGCGCTTGGTTTCGCAAGCAACAAACCGGAGAGCATGATGTACAAAGCTGTCATCCTCGCGACGGCGGCGAGCGCATTGCAGGCGCCGGTGCCGCGGCGCGCTCCAAGGGCCGCGGCCGTCGCGGCCGTGGCGCCGGCGCCCGTCTGGGTCGCCGGTTCTATTTTAGGAGGCGCCGCCGGGACGCCGTTCGTCGTGAACCGTGTGGAAATCATTTCGGGCACCCCCCACGCCAGCAACGCGACGTTGTCCCCGTAACTGCGGCAGCTCGAGGCAACCTAACTCAATGTTTGATTTCCACACAGGTCGTGAAAGCTACTAATAGCTGGTACTCCGACCCCACGGTGCTCAAACTCCCGTCCTGGACGCCGCCGAACAAAGTATTTATGCCGGTCTGGACCGTGCTCTACGGCCTCATCGGCCTCACGGGATACCGGGCCGCGGTCAATAGCGCGCTGCCCGGGCTGGCCGTCGCGCATTACATCGCCAACCTGGCGTGGGCGCCGCTGTTCTTCGGGCTCAAGAAGCTCAAGCTCGCGGCCGCCCTGCAGTTTGCGTTATTAGGATCGCTCGCGGCCGTCTGGTCGGCCTTCAAGAAGGACGCCCGGCTCCTCATTCCCTACGCGGCGTGGCTCTCCTACGCCACCATCCTCAACCTCGCGATCTGCAGGCTGAACCCGTCCGGCGTCCAGACCGTCGAGGACCGGACGCCGACGGGCGTCGCGGCGCTCTACTAAGTTTAAATTACACAAAACTACTACAGCTCACGCTTCTTTCCGCTGCGGCACTTGAACTTGTTCTTCCCCGCGCCCAGCGACGTCTTCTTGTCGAGGGGGATTGCGGTAAGATCGGTCTGCGCTACTTGACAGCCGACGTTCCCGCCGCAGTACAAATTGTAGAGGTTGCAGTAGTTCGTGCTTCTATCGATCACGGACGTGACCTGCGCGGACGCGTGACCAAAGCCGGGGCGCAATCTTCATGGACGCCGCGGGCCACCTGCGACACGGAGCAGCCCGAGACCTCGCAGTCGTCGCCGCCGTCCGCATTCTCGAACATGAACTGAAGCTTGTCCGTGTACTTGCCGTCGCCCGTCACGTGGTCTGCGGCGACCTGCGCGTATATCAACCCGTGAGTCGGGTGCGCGACCCTCACGGCCGCGCCATCGAGCCGGCGTTGCGTCGATGGCGTGAAGGTCGACGCGGCGATTCAGCACGAAGGCGCCGTGAAATTTTTATTTCCATAATGGGTCGACATCGCGGGCCCGGTCTGGGACGGCAAGGCGTCGTGCGCCACGGGCTTCGGCGCGAAGACCATGGCCGCGTGGGTGGAAGCTCGGGCTGCCGCGTCCGACTTCGGCGCGCCATTCTAGGCCGTATTAGGTGTACAAATATTACGGGCTCCGAATCAGGCTAGATACGTTGCGGGGTCCCCCTTACCCCTCCGAATGTAATTGTTACGGTGCTAGAACTAGTGGGCGGAGCCCCTTGGGGGGAGACACCGCGCGTCGCCGATTCATCGGCGGCGGGCGCGGGCCGCTTCTTTCATAATGCGCGCCGGGCGCGCCCAGTGTGTCCCTCAGTAAATTTCCTCAGACGGAGTCGTGGAACGGGACAGGCGCCGCGCCGTCGACGAGCGGCGCGACGAAGCCGCTGCGGTCGGACTCGCGGGCCGGCATCGCCGCTTTTAGCAGAGGACGGCCTCATAGTGTGTCGTCGTCAGACTCGTTAAGCATGAGCGCCTGGTGCCATTGTCGACGACGACCGGCGGCTTGGCCGACGGATCGTCCGTCTTCTCCGTCAAGCGCTCGAGGACGACCGCGCCGATGTCTTCTCCACCAGCGCGGCCACTGACGAGGCGGCCGTCCCGCAACAACTTCCGCAAGCGTACAGGCGAAGGAACACGAGAACGCCGAGGAAATCACATCAGGAAACGTTTCTCTTGTTGAAGTTCAACTTGAATCTTAGTAGGTTTGTCGCGCCCATGGCCAAAAACAGGCAGCCCTTGGGCAGCCCTTGTTTGCGTCGCGCAGCGTAGCTCTAACATACGCAGCGGCTGCATAGGGTCAAGCAGCGGCCAGATGGCGACTCAATCGAGTCCGAGCGGCTCGGACGGCGTGTCCGCGGAGCCCACAACAAAAAAAAAGAAACGCAAAAAAAAAATAATAAAAAAAACCGCTAGCGGCATGTGGCACACTAGGGGCGGTGGCCTTTTGTGCCTTTTGCTCAGCGCTTCGCCGACGGGAGCCCCGCGCTCAGCGCGAACGAGCAAAGGACTCCGAGCGACGCTACGAAGTGCCTGCGGCGCTTTGGAGGTAGCAGAAGCACATCTGGAGGGGCAGCAGCAGCCCCTCAGGCCAGCGCCTCCGCGACGCACGCGACGAACGACGATGGGCTGTTCTGCTTCGAAGCGCACGGGAAATGATGGGAGCGGAGCCGAGACGCGCGAAAAGGCGCTCATGGAGGCCTTGGAGCTCCGCGACGGCTTCGACGGTGCGCCGACGGTGGTTGCTTTTCGTGAGCTTGGGGCGCGGACGTCGAACGGGCTTGCGCCGCGCGTCCTCGACACGTCGGTCCTGGACGACGACGACATCCCCGACCTTGCCTCTGCTTCTGTGTCTTCTGAAGGCGCCGAAGAACGGGAACATCTCAATATAGATGATTGGGAGGGCGTCGAAGGTGTCGATGGCGTGGAGGCCATCTACGGCGCCGTTAAGCAGACGTCGTTACGTCGCGTCGATGGCGTGAACGGCGTGATGCAGATCTTCGTCAAGACCACCACGGGCAAGACCATCACCTTGGACGTGGAGCCTTCGGATTGGATCCACAGCATCAAGATGATGGTCTTCGTCAAGGAGGACATCCAGGTCGACCAGCAGTGCCTGAGCTACGCGGGCAAGGACCTCGAGGACTGCCACACGCTCTCCTACTACGGCATCGAGAAGGAGGCGACGCTGCACTTGTCGGAGCGCCGCAGAGGCGGCATGCCGAGGGGGCAGAGGGTGACGGTCGCGGAGCTCGAGGCCCGTCAACCGCCGGGTTCTTGGTACTTTGGGCTCTCGCCAGAAGACTTCGCGGAGACGGAGCTAGGATTTGTGGGTGATTGGTTCGAGGATCGCGTGAAGGCTTGGTGTGGTCAACGTGACAAAAGGGGAAGATACAGAGTGGTGTTCCCGTGGGACGACACCAAACCCTATAACGAGACTAATGCGCAGACGGAGTTCGAGCGTTACCGGGACGAAGTAGTAGGAGATGGGCCTGGGCCGCGCAGACGCGGAGCGCCCCCCCCATTTGTGCAGGAGGAGATCCGGAGCAGGACGCCCGAGGGCCTCGCTTTAGCGGAGCAGGAGCGGCAGGCGAAGCGGGCTGCGGAGGAAGCGAAGGATCCGCTCGACCTCGGAAACACCCCTGAGGTCATCAAAGCGGTCCAGGACGCGCTCGAGACGGTCGAGGGAGTCGTCGATAAACACAAAATTGTGGACATCGTCCAGGGGACGTACAATATCCAAGGGATTTCCGCAACACAAACTACGGCAAATGTCGTGGCGCGAGCCTGCCCCAAAGCGAAAGCGGAGCTCGCCAAGATGGACGCGGCCGATCGCGAGGCGTCTTCCCTTAAATACCTAGACGTCGTCGACCAGGTGAGGTTGGACGGTAGCTCGAAGGAGGTTACGGCGAAAAAGGAAGCGGAGAAGTTCCACTACTTGGAGACGCTCGAGGCGCTGATAGAAGCTGGTTACTTCGAGCATCTGATGATCAAAGCCGATGGTACGCCAAGGCGGTTGACAAAAGAAGAACTGGGCATGCTCGGCGAGGAGCTGAATGTGGATCGATTCGTGGACGTGACGGTCGAACAGTTTTTGACGTTAGCGAAGCTGCCCTTCGACGGCGACGAGGTCGTCAACGGCTTCTTCGAGCAGCTCAAGGCCAAGCTCCTGGACCTCGTCGGTGAAGAGCTGTTGGATCCGTCCACCAAACTCTATAAGATCGTGCAACTACCCGCGGGTGGGACGTGCGACCTGTTTCTGGGCTGGAGCGACGACGTCCTACTTTTCGTTCGTGAAATTGCTGGATCCCGGCTCGGCCACGCCGTCGGCGCGCTCGTGGGCGGGCACATTAAGCGCGCGGCGGTCACTGGCGGCAGGGCCTGCTCGCCGGAGGTGCGCGACGAGGCCTCGGGCGAGAAGGTCCAGGTGCCGCTGGTCCGCGACATCGAGACGTTCGGTCGGCGAGTGTACCTCGCGAAGTCGTCGCTACTGCACGACGCGTGGCGGCAGAAAGGTGGTGGCAACCTCCTCAAACACAGCGAGACGATCATTCGGGAGCGGGGCGGCATTTGCCCCGACACGGGCGCGCGGTGGGCCCATGTGCACGAGGGCGTGGCGGAGGAGCCGCGCGAGGGCGAGGGCTTCCGGTTGAATTGTGGTGTCCAGTTGAACGAGGATGGGACGTTCGGGGCCGGCGACCTCTCGTTCGTGACGCTCACGAAGCTCGAGGAGAACCTGCTCTCGTCGGCTCGCGTCGGTGCGACGTACGCGCCGGACGCACGTGCGCCGGGCTTCATGCGCGACTTCGGTCTCGAAGGCGTCGACGTGCGGCTCGTGTCGCGCGACGGCCGCGCGTGGGACGAGCTGTCGGTGACCGGCGACGGGTTGTGGGCGTGGCCGCTCTCGTTACTGTTAAGCAAGGAAGCGCTCGATCAGGTGTGCCTCTACAACCGCGAAATCTACGAGAAGATCATTTGTTGGGACTTTTTGTTAGATCAGTACCGGTGCGCCGCATCTGAGGAGGGAAAGTGGCACGTGACGCGACTCCTTCCTGACGGGACGCGCTGTTCCCTGAGAGTCGTCGAGATTCTCTACCGGCGCTGGCTCGATCTGGCGGTCCACATCATTGGCGTTCGCGCGGCGAGTGCACGGGCTATTAGGGAGGTAGGTCAAAACGCCGAGCCCATGGACGTCGTGCTCTCTGGTGTAGACGGTTGCTTGGTGGAGGCGCTGCGCTGTAAGAGCGTCGACGTCGAGCTGAAGGCCCGAGATGATATAGCCTCGCTAGAAAGGATGGTGAAGCACGGTGGTCATGATTGGACGCGGGGTATTACGAAGAAGAAGCCGGCCGACGCTAGCAAGTGTGACCTCCTCATCGTATTCACGCGAGAATCCGAAGATGATGAGCGGCCTTTCAGCATTAAAAATGCGCGGCGCACGGCCGGGCAGCTGCAGCGCCTGTTAGATGCGATTCATGTAGATGGACGCGACGCGGCGACGGTCTTCCTAGACCTGCACACGTTCGACCCGCAGTTCCGGACGCTACGACTGATGATCACGTCGATATGTAGCTTAGCGAAGGGCCCCAATCATGCTTCGATAGTCTCTTTTTGCGGCAAGAAAGACGACATCAAGAAGAACTTGGCCGAGGCTCTCCAGAAGCACAGTACGGATAACTTCGAGTGGAAGGATAGCAACGGGTGCATGGCTCCCGACTACTACGCGCCATCCCTGAAATTGACGCTGAAGCAGAAGGTGTTTACACTATTTGGTAGCCAGTTCGAAACCTGTGGCGGTATAGCCGAGGCTTTGAGTGTGGACGCGTCACTCATTTATCAAATCGCCGAGGAGCTCGAAGTCGAAGAGCGGCTAGACCGCGAGGGCTTCGATGAGTATGACGGTGAAACCGAACATGTGAATTTCACGGTCCGCGCGGGAGCGACGCCACCGCCCTGGGATGGAGTACTAGCAGTAGTTCAGGCGCCGCCGACGCCGCCGACGCTCCACCAGCGTGTCTTCGAAGCATTTGGAAATGATGGGCCTTGTACTTGTTCGGTAGTGGCGCCCGCTTTATTTTTGGAGGCGTCTGAAGTCAGTGTCGTTGCCGATTTGCTCGTGAATCTGAACAAGCTGGTTCGGATCGGCGCCGAGGAGGAAGAGACGAAAGGGGACGACGGCACGGTCTTTGAGGTCGTGGCCGGCGCCACGCCACCGCTGGGCGATGATCATTCTATGGGCGTCGCTGCTGAGCCGCGGCTCGCGCCCTGGGACTCTTCGTTGATTCCGACTTATAGTGATTTTGCGACGGATGCGCACTACGAGAAGAAGTTATTGAAGTTCTTGGCTGAACTGGAGCAGGACGCCGAGGCCAAGGAAGGGGATGTCGTGCCGGGGGTGACGCGGAAGCCGGGCGCGCCGGGGTCGCCGAGAGTGGACTCTAGGGAGGGGCTGGTGCAGGCGGAGCGTGAGAAGGAGGCGAATGAGAAGAAGGCGCCGTTGTCTGCTACTAAGGCGCCGAAGAAGCGCAGAAAGGGTCGCGCCGATGACGAGGAGTCCACTTCTGATGATGGCGAGGACGAGGAGGACGAGGAGCACATCTAGCCGTTCACGCTCGGGCGTCGTGGCAGCTTCTGGACGGAGGAGCAGCACCTGCCTCCACTCAATGCTCGGTACCCGTCCCTCCGTCCCCTCATTCCTCCGCGTGCCCCCCGCGGACCCCCCTTCCCCGAGCTGAGAGTCCCCAAACTAGAACCCGCATAAAATATTAGTACTATTCACGCCCCACGACTTACTCGGCCCGGCCCGGGGGCACTCGTGACCTGTGTGGAAATCAAAATTTTACGGCGCGTTCGTGCTGAATCGTCGCGTCGTCCTCCACGCCATCGACGCGACGCCTGCTCGATGGCGTGGCGATGCTGGTTCCTCACCGCTCGACCGAGCCAGGACGGTCGCGCCATCGCCGAGAAATGACTTAGTGAAGAATTGTCGGGTGCACCCGACGCACTGGTTGATTTCCACACAGCTCGTGACTCGTTTGAACGTCGCTCTATTGGTCGCGGCCCCATCGAAGATATATCGGCGCACGTGTAACGTTCGCCACAATGGTCGAACAGGGCGTCAGCATCGCGGGCCTGTGACACGGCGAAGCCCCTGTGGCGGGGGTGTCAACGAAAGCATCGTTCCAGGACGGTCCACAAATCTCGTGGGGCGGTCGCGAAGAACGACACGTCGATTGACGGACTGCAGCCCGTCCACACGTTCTGATAAACTCTGTCGCCCGCCTCTCAGCTGATCGCTGAGAACGCGGGCGTACCCAACCTCTACATGATGTCCGTCTTGCCAACCGGTGGCGTCGTTCGTGGACAGTGCCGAGGCATCGATAACGAGTTAGTAGGCCGTCGAACCGCGGCGGAGCGTCAAACGCTACTTGGACACGCAGCATACTCTGTGGAGGTGCGTTGAGAAGCACGATTGCTGGAATCAAAGAAGACGGCACGCGCCGGCGCAGAAGTAGTTCATCAAGGACGGCGCCGTCCAAATAAATGTGGGCAGCTGCGCGTCCAATATTAGAATCGGACGACTAGTGACATCCGCGCCTCTGCGACGCCTCCCGCGCCGTCGGCAGCTCCAACGCCGTCGTGCGCTAGATCTACTTCGCAGAAGCCAAGGCCGGACCAAATCGAAAGTCGTGGATCGTCAGACGCCGTCGCCGCGCGCGTCGCACCCCGTTTTGGCTGCCTGCACCACCCACTTCGCCTTGGCTATGCTCGTCAGCGCCGCGGCCCGCGAAGCCAAATCGGCAGCCCCGAAGGTAGGACGAGACGCAGCTTTGAGCACGCCGTCGCGTGGCGTTGCTGGACGCAGTGGTGCCGAGCTTGTTGCTTGCAAAAGGAGCTGCTCTCCCCACTTGTCCCACTTGTCGTCCAATGAGGGCAACTTTCCGTTCGAAAAAAGTAAAACTGGTCTCGGTGAGGCACTCGTAGCGGGACTTTCGGCTTCCCTACAGCGCCCTCTAGCTCCACTACGACACCTGTGGTGGGATGTGGCAGCGGCCTGGTATTGTCGGGAGTCGCACTTATGGCGGCTCAGAGGACTCGTGCGATTGCAGGAGGCGTGTGCGTGCGGCAGATGGAGAGGGCCGACGGCGGGCCAATCAGATCGTTTGCTCCTGAGCAGTCTCGCAATTGAGCTCCGACAGAGCGCCGCACGCGACGCCCGCCGCCGCGCCAGCGCGTTGCTGACGCGGCGCCGCCCTCGCCGCACCAGCGCTGCGAGCAACGCGCCTCCTCGCCCGTTCTCGGCCGCGCCGCGCGAGAACGTTACCAGGACCACAAAACAACATCCGCGCCGCCGCCACACGCCGCGCGCCCTCGTCGCCTTCGGCGCACCTCCCCAGTACCGCAAGTACCGCGCCGGTCACCTCCGCCGCCGCGCTGCGCGCCGCAACATGGAGCTCCAGCCCGCGCCGAACGCGGCCGGCGCCGCCGACGACCGCGTGACGGCGCTCGCGCGCGCCAAGCTCGCCGAGTTCCAGCGCCTGAAGGGGATCAAGAACCCCATGACGCTCGAGGACGCCAAGGCGTCGCACCACAAGTTGTACAAGTCGCTCCTCGCCGAGGCCGCCGCCGAGGTCGAGGGCTCCAAGGAGAACGTCCATCCCAACACGCCGATGCGGCCGTCGCCCGCGCCCGCGCCGCGGCGCAAGCTCGCCGCGGCGCGCCGCCCGGCGCCGCCGCCCAAGCCCGACAGCGGCGACGCCAAGCGCCTCGAGCCCGCCGCCACGCCGAGCAGCACCAAGAAGAGAGAGCTCGAGCAGCCGCCGGACGAGGTATGGCCCGGCGTCCGTCTTCACGCCATCGACGCGACGTCGACCGGTGTATTTCCACACAGGAGCCCGCGGCGAAGAAGAAGCCCACGCCGCCGGACCAGGACGACGAGTCCGAGCTCACGGACGACCAGCTGGAGGCGGTCTACGAGGCCATCCGTAAGTCCGACCACGGCACGTCCACGAAGAAGGTCATCCAGAGAAAGGCCGAGGTTATTCTGGGCCTCAAGCGCGACGCCCTCAAGCCCAAGAGGGCCGCGATCAAGAGTTTCATGACGGAGTACGCGGCCTTTTTAAAAGACCCCGGACGACGACCTGATGACGCCGCACCCCTGTACAGGCTGTCATCCTCGCGACGGCGGCGCACGCCCTGCAGGCGCCGCAGTTGCAACGCGCCCCGCGCGCCGCCGCCGTTTCAGCAGTAGCGCCGGCGCCGGTCTGGGTCGCCGGGTCCATCCTGGGCGGCGCCGCGGGCACGCCCTTCGTCGTCAAGGCGACGAACAGCTGGTACTCGGACCCGACCGTGCTCAAACTCCCGTCGTGGACGCCGCCGAACAAAGTCTTCATGCCGGTCTGGACCGTGCTGTACGGCCTCATCGGCCTCACGGGATACCGGGCCGCGGTCAATAGCGCGCTGCCCGGGCTGGCCGTCGGGCATTACATTGCCAACCTCGCGTGGGCGCCGCTGTTCTTCGGGCTCAAGAAACTGAAACTCGCGGCGGCGCTCCAATTTGGGCTGCTGGGGTCCCTCGCGGCCGTCTGGTCGGCCTTCAAGAGGGACGCCCGACTCCTCATTCCCTACGCGGTGTGGCTCTCCTACGCGACGGTGCTGAACCTCGCGATCTGCCGGCTGAACCCGTCCGGCGTCCAGACCGTCGAGGACCGGACGCCGACCGGTGTGGCGGCGCTTTACTAAGTTTAAATTACACAAAACTACTACAGCTCACGCTTCTTCCCGCTGCGGCACTTGAACTTGTTCTTCCCGGCGCCCAGCGACGTCTTCTTGTCGAGGGGGATCGCGGTAAGATCCGTCTGCGCGACCTGGCAGCCGACGTTCCCGCCGCAGTACAAATTGTAGAGGTTGCAGTAGTTCGTGCTCCGGTCGATGACCGACGTGACCTGCGACACGGAGCAGCCCGACACCTCACAGTCGTCGCCGCCGTCGGCGTTCTCGAACATGAACTGAAGCTTGTCCGTGTATTTCCCGTCGCCCGTCACGTGATCCGCCGCGACCTGCGCGTAAATCAACCAGTGATTCGGGTTTCGCGACGGCTTTGATTTATGCACTGGCGGCGACGACGTCGCCGACGGACGACGTCAGTTCGTAGGTCCCGGCGTTGTGCGGGTCCACCCACCCATTCTTGCCAGCGATGCGGGCGAGCACCTCGTTTTTCACGGTCTTGCAGGGGGCATCAAACCTCACGGTCGTGCGCGCCCAGGCGTGAATGACCGCATCCGACTCGGGACATACATCGAACCAGCGCTCGACGGCCGCCGCCCCGCTCGCTATGTACACGAGCGTGGTGAGGAGTTGCATTGCTAGCTGCCACTTAACCAAAAGATTCGCACGCGTGCCGCACCGCACGTGCCGCACCGATGCGTTGCGCAACCGCGCGCTCGTCAAGTGTCACGTGCTCACAGCCGTACACCAGCAAAAACCAGAGAGCTTTCTAGTGTCTTACATGACGCTAGCCGTCGATTTGCCCCTCGCTTTGCCCCTCGCTTTGCCCACGCGCGGCCGACGTGGGGGCGCGGAACTTATCACACGTCGCAACCTTGACAGTGGACCGCAGAGTAACGGTTGACTAGACCTCACGTGAAGGCACTGAAGGGAGATCTCAGATTTTGAGACTTGACTCTTCACACCAGCTGAGACAAATCAAAGGGTCATACGGCGCCGCGCGACGTAACAAAGATTCATACAGGGCCGCGCGACGCCACAAAAGACGCCCTCGACGAGTGGTTGAACGATGAGGGTCCAACTCCGCGGCCTGAGCGGCGACCCGGCCCTCAACGGCCAGTGCGGGAAAGTAGGAGGGTTTGAGGGCGAGCGCGTCTTCGTGCGGCTCGACAACAGCAATCGCGTCGTGAAGGTCAAGACGATAAACGTGAGGAAGGAGGGCGGCAACGCGGCCTGGACGCGAGGCGAGGCGGAAGGCGGCCTCGGCGGCCTCTTCGGCGGCGTGATGGACGCGATTGGAGGGCGCCTCGCGTCAGGGGAAGACTCGAATCAAATTACGGAATTGCGCGAACGAGCTGAGCGCGCCGAGCGGCGCGCGGACCGCCTCGAGGTCGACGCCGGCGCGCGGGGCGAGGCGCTCGCCGAAGCTCGCGCGGAGTTGCGCCAGCGGTCCGCGACGGGCCGACCGCTCGTCGAGCAATTGCGCGAGCTTGATGTAGCGCCGGCGCGGTGCGACTCGGCCAAACTCGCCGAGCTGAGCGACGCCCTCGCCGCGGCGACGGCGAAGGTACGCGACTCGGCGTCCGTCCAGACAACGCGTCGATGGAGTCGAAGCGGCGCTGAGCGCCACCGGGCCGCACGACGCAGGTTTCCGAGGAAAAAGCGCGCCGAGCCGTCCAGAACGAAGGCGAGCAGAAGTGTGTGGTGTGCTTAGAGAGCAATAGGGACGTCGTCTTCATGCCCTGCTTCCACGTCGTGTCCGGGCCCGCGTGGAAACCAACCACCGGTGCCCAACGCCATCGAACAGACTCACTCCGCGCAGGTCCTGCTGGAACTGCGGCCTCCGCGTGAGCGAGTGCCCCGTCTGCCGCGTCGCGATCCAGCAGAAGCGCCGCGTCTACTCCTAAGTCGTATTACTCCGCAAACTAGCCACCACCTCGTCAAGCGGCCGCCGCACCGAATCAAAAACGCGCGCATGCGCGGCTTCGTTCGCGGCGGCGAGCGCCTCGTCGAGCGTCGCGTCGTGCAACGCGGTCGACGCGACGAACGCGGCGAAGAACGCGTCGCCCGCGCCGTTCGCGTTTGGCGCCACGCCGGGCGGCCCCGGCAGCGACGCGACCGCTTTTAGATCATTCGCGGGCCACTTGAGTGACGACGATGATAAACGATTTGGATCCGACGCCACCGCCGCCGCCGCGCCGTTTGACCCATCCGTCACCACGACACAGGCCGCCCCGGTCGCATCACATAGAGCCCGCGCGAGCTGCGTGCAGTGGTACCCTTTAGGCCACCTCAGCAAAGTAGCGGCCTCGTCCGCGTTCGCGTGGACGACGTCAGCTTTGTAGAGAGCGGCATCCACAACACCGTCGCCCAGGTAGTGCGTCGGCTGCACGCCATTCAGGTCCACACCAACAATCGAATCTATTTGCTCGATGGCGTCGCCTAAAGCCTGACCTCGTAGCGAAGGCAGCAAATGGGGATAACCTATAAGGACCGCCGCGACCGATTCGACCCGCGCCACGCCATCTAACAGTGTCCTGGCGTCGAAGGCGTCGTTCGCGCCCGCCGCGAAGTAGCAGCCCCGCCCATTTGCGAACACGGGGACCACAGCGAGGCCGGTCCTCCCATCAGATAAAGTCTCGTCCACACTAATACCGCGCTCGGTCAACAAAGCTCGCAACTCGTCGCCCTGTTGGTCGTCACCTAGCGCCGCGACGACGATCGTAGGAACGCCGTGGTCCGCGAGGCAGGACGCGGTCTGCGGCGCGGCGCCGCCCGCTCGCGACGACGCCTCGCCAAACGCGTTGATCGCTTCCCGTCCCAAGTCCTGCGCTCCAGACAACTCCATATCCAGACACGCGAGGCCGCAGCAGACGACACGCTTCTCATCATTTTTTTGTGGAATGACCGCCTGGACGTCGTCATGACCGTCCAATGCCCGTTCCAGCGCCCGCAGCTGCTCCGAGAAGCCTACGAGTGGACCAGCCCGACCCTCGGGCACCTTGAAGAGATAAGCCGTCGCCGCCGCAACTGTTGAGGGAGACACTTTTTTACGAGAGAAGTAGTCGAGCAGACAACAGACGTCGATATACAAAGGCGCACATAAAACAGAATCGGAACACCTCGTGTACGTCGCCATGGTATGTAATTGAGATAGAAAAGCTTCCGACGTGTACTCGACGTAGTCGCGCTTCTCGTCGCCGATAAATGGCGTATACTGCACCGAGACGTGGTGGTCGATGTCCGAGCTGAAGATCTGCGACTTGACCCGGAGTTTCGCCTTTCTAGTCTTTTCTTGAGTAGCCGAACCGAGGGCAAGGTTGCGCATGTCGTTGTTGCCCAGGTGGTTCGACGAGGCCACGACCTTGACGTTGAAGGCGAGGTTCTCCAAGTACTCGACCACTTGCGTTTTGAATTTTGTTTGACCGGCCTTGAAGTCCGTGCCGAGGCAGTAGGCGCCATTTTTTTCAGCTAGCTCACATAATCCAGGGCAGACCGTGTCTTGCGACGCGGCGTTGACGAACGAGCAGCCTTCGAGGCACGCGGCGATGGCATAGAGTAGCGAAGGAGCGAAGTCGTCTCCTTGTTCAGAAGAGAGGGCTTCTAGGAGCTCTTCGGAGGTCTCATATGAAGGTAGCAAGGATGGCGCCTCCACGCTTCCGGAATATATCACGGTACAGTGGCCGTCCACACTGTTGTGTGCTTTAAACGCGCGAATGTCTTCCCGCAAGGCGTTTACTTTACTCCGAGCGTCCGGGAGATTTTTGATATGCGTCGCCGTTGCCCGTTGGGACTCGCCGACGAAACGCGCATCATACACCCCGGGCATGACCTCGACGCTATCTAAAGTGTCTGACAGCTGCCTCACGAGATCAAAGTCCAGGATGCGCGCCTCGCGCAGCGCTTGGCCTATGGGTGTTGGTCGGATATCCCACCCGCCAACCGCGGCGCGTTTAAAGGGCGCCAGACCTTTTCGTCGCATGGCCCGCGTCTGCGTGATGCAGCCCGTATAGTCCGCCGTGCATTTTTTCTTGGCGCCCTCCCAGGTCAGCTTCATGTTATTAGCGTGGAGTCCCGCCAATACGGTCGCGCCGTTGTTGCCGCCGAGGCCCACTATTAGTAGTCCGGGCTTCCGCTTCGTCCTCGCAGTCGGCTTCGCGGCGGCCGCCGCGAGGCCCGCGAGGATTGCCAAGAGGCGCATCGGTGCTGCTGGGAGCGGTTCGATTGGGGCGCTCCGGCAGCGGCCCTCCGTTGCCGCTTCGATGCGTCGCGCGGGCAGTGGCACAGCGCGTGCAGTGCGCCGAGTGCTTGGCTGCCGCACGGATGCTCAGCGAGCAAGGATTCTTTGCCAGCGGATATTTTTATCGATAGCTAAGCAGTCCTTGCGAGCCAGGTGCCGCGCTTGCCCGCGCCCTTGCGAGTTTGCCCCAAAGTACTTTGCGTCAATAGACACTCTAGGACTAATGGAGCCACACACGCTTTGGCTTTCTGGCGGTGGTTAAGGCTGCCAATTTGGTGCGATTGGGCTGCGTACGAGGCGCGGGACGTTGTGGGCCGAGTCTCTTCCGCCGAAATATCAAATCAGGCAGCCCCAGCGAATGGCCCGCAGGAACGCCTGCGAGGAGGTCTCCCTCAAGTCGTCGTACGCGTTGGTGGCGGCGGGCGTCGTCCTGGGCAGCCTAGCGCACGGCGGTGCGTTGTACTGGTGTCTGGTGCTGATGGTCGCATTGTTCGCGGCCGCGGTCAGCGTCTACCGGGCTTTGGTGGAAGAAAACGCGCGCCTCTACTTCGAGAAGCGCGAAAAAAGCGCGCCGTTTATTAGAATTCTGATCCGAGCGTTAGTCGAGGGCCCCGACGAGTCGAGGAGAGAGGCGGCGCGCGACCTCGCGACGAGGGCCGCGGAGAAGGCGTTCGACCGCGACCTCATCGCGTCCGAGGGCGCCTGCCCGCCGCTCGTCGAACTATGTAGGAGGGGGGCGACGGACGAGACGCGCGGCGCGGCGGCCGCGGCGCTCGGGAACCTCGCGGCGAACGCTTTGATACGAAAGCGCACGCTGCCGGCGAGCGGCGCCGTCGACGCGCTGCTCGCGCTGTGTCGGAGCCCCTGTGATGATGGAGACGGCGCGCGGTCGGCCTGCACGGCTTTACGGAACATGGCCTTCGACGCGGGGACGAAAACCATGATCGCGGAGGCGGGCGGCGTCGAGGTCGCCTGTTCCTTATTGCGGGCCGGCGCCACGCAGTCGCGGAGCGGCCCCTACGCACTACAAGCCGCCGCGCTCCTGGGGACGCTCTGCTGGGGCTCCGCGGCCTCGAAAAAACAGGCCGTGTCCTGCAAAGCCGTCGCGCCGCTCGCCAAGCTCGTCGCGGCCTTCGCGACGGACGAGGCCGCCGCGACGGCCGCGGCCTTCGCGCTGCGGCACATCGCGGCCGACGGCGCGACGCGGGGCGCCGCCGCGGCTACGGACGTCGTCGCCGTTTTATCAAGATGCGCGCGGTCCGACGGCTCCGCGGGCGCCCAGGCCCGCAGCGCCCTCCGCGAGCTCGCCGCCGACGAGGCCGCCTTGGTCGCGATGGGGCAATGCGGCGGCTTCCACGCGTGCGCCGCTTCATTAGAACGGGGCGACGGCGACGGCGCCGACGCCGCGGCCGTCCTCTGGGCCGGGTCCTCGAAGAAGGCCTCGCTGACGGACGTCGCGCGGGCCCTCGACGTGCGGTCGAGCCGCGGGCCCGCGATCGGCCGCGACGTCGACCTCGCCATCCGGGCGCTGCTCCGGCGGACGCGCAGTAAGGCGGGGAAGAAGGACGCGTAGGGCGTATTTTCCTCCAAAATAATACTATCTAAGAAATAAAGCTACTGTAGACTTCGCGCGACTGCTGCGCCACCGCGCGGGTCTCACGCGCGGATTTCGCGAGCGGCATTCATTCAATCGAGACAATACGGCACACGTCCTGGTAGCTCTAGGGCGGATGGCCCAGGGTTTCGGCGCGTCAAGCCCCAACCCAACGCGCACACCAGACTTGCCCAGCCCAGCAGCAAAAAGGAGCTGGGAGCAGGGACTTGCGGGCAACAGATGTTGGAAATGCTGCGTGTCCTTGTGAGCGCCGCTGCCCTTGGGCTGCTCGTGACCAGCGCGCTGCCGCTCCGGGCCCCTCGGGCCCCCGCGCGCGGCGCCATTCTGAGCACGTGCAGAGCAAAGCCCTGGAGGGGCTGCCCCGAGGATGGCGGCGAGAAATTGACTGGCTTCTCCGAGGCCATGGTCATGTACGGCAGCACGTCCGACAAAAGCGGCAGCACGGCGGCCTGGACCGGCGAGAACGGCCTCGACCGCGCTGCCTCCAAGGGCTTGGCGACGAGCGTCGCCGCGACGACGGCGCGGCTCCAGCTCTACAAGAACCACGGGGCGGACGGCAGCAAGTTCGACGAAAGCGCCAGCACGTCCGCGCGGGCCGGCGAGAACGGCCTCGACCGCGCTGCCTCCAAGGTATTCGCGACGAGCGTCGCCGCGACGATGGCGCGGCTCCAGCTCTACAAGAACCACGGGGCGGACGGCAGCAAGGCCGAAAGCGGCAGCACGTCCGCGCGGGCCGGCGAGAACGGCCTCGACCGCGCGGTCTTGGACGTCGCGTCTGCCGAGCAGGCGCCTGTGCCTGGCACCACGATGCCGTTCGTGGCCCCGGACGCTACGATGCAGCTCGTGGCCCCGAACGCGACCAAGGCCGGCATAGACGTCTTGGACGTCGCGTCCGCCGAGCAGGCGCCTGTGCCTGGCACCACGATGCCGTTCGTGGCCCCGAACGCCATGATGCCGTTCGTGGCCCCGAATGCGACCAAGGCCGGCATCGACGTCTTGGACCTCGCGTCCGCCGAGCCGCCGCTTGTGCCCGGCACCACATTGATGTTGGCGGCCCGGAACGAGACCAAGTGGGACTTTGGCGAAGAAGAGTGGGCCCAGAGCAACCTCGTTTGGGGCCTCTTCCAGTTCGTATGGCAGTTCCTTGCGAGTTTGGTCTACGTTGTCTTGTCGGTCGCTTTGGCTGTTCCGCGGCGCAGGAGCTCGGCGAAGGGCGCGGCCTGGCGCTCGTCAGTCGTCGGCTACCTGCTTATTTGGGGGGACGTCGCCCGCGTGGCGGCGGAAACTTCGGTCTGCGGCAGCGACTACACCATTACCAAGAGTTCCAAGATCAAGACCAATGAGTCTCCGAGCTCGTCAGTCCAACGCCTTGAGGAGCGGCGCGTGCTCTCGGGCGGCAGCAGCGACTACGCCATTACGAAGAGTTCCAAGACCAATGAGTCTCCGAGCTCGTCAGTCCAAAGCCTTGAGGAGCGGCGCGTGCTCTCGGGCGGCAGCAGCGACTACGCCATTACGAAGAGTTCCAAGACCAATGAGTCTCCGAGCTCGTCAGTCCAAAGCCTTGGGCAGCGGCGCGTGCTGTCGGGCTACGTGATGACCGACAGCAACATTAAAACGGCCGTCGCGGCGTGGCTCGCGGATGCGACTGCCGCCGAGTCGACGTACGGCCACATCTCGACGTGGGACACATCGGGGGTGACGTTCATGGAGCGGTTGTTCGAAGACGCCTCGTCCTTTAACGAGGACATCGGCGCATGGGACACCTCCGGCGTCACGATGATGCAACACATGTTCACCAGAGCCTCGGCCTTCAACCAGGACATCGGCGCGTGGGACACCTCCGGCGTCACCAATATGAACCAGATGTTCGACGGTGCCTCTGCCTTCAACCAGGACCTCGGCTGGTGCGTGGACAACGGCATGAACATGGGCTGGGGCCCGAACTGGGTGTTCGGCAGCACCCCGTGCCTGTCAACGTTATGCGGCGTCTTGTGGGGCGGCTGTGACATCCCGAACAATGGTAATGTCATGGCCAACTGGAAGATCAGAATTGCAATCCGGGCGTGGTTCTCGGACGAGAGTGCTGCCGAGACGACGTACGGCCATATTTCTACGTGGGACACATCGGGGGTGACGGACATGTCTGAGTTGTTTTGTGATAGCCCCCATTCAAGTCAACAGTGCTACAACTCGGGCGCTGCGTCCTTCAACGACGCCATTGGCGCGTGGGACACCTCCGGCGTCACATCAATGTACAGGATGTTCAGTGGCGCCTCGGCCTTTAACGGAGACATGAGTGATTGGGCGGTCGACAACGTCAAGACCATGAATTCGATGTTCTATGGGGCCGAGGCCTTTAACCAGGACATCGGTGATTGGGCGGTCCAGAGCGTCACGGACATGGACTACATGTTCAAAGAAGCCTCGTCGTTCGACCAGGACCTGGGCTGGTGCATAGACAACGGCTATGAAAGATTCTCTTGTTCCGATTGCGTGAGAGGCCTGACCACCGCATTCGAAGACAACAAGTGCGAGTCGACGTCGTGTGGCGTCGTGGAGCAGGAGGAGTGGTGCGGAGTGTTTCATAGTGTAAGTATCAGCAAGGCCGTCGATGCGTGGCTAGCGGATGCGACGGCAGCCGAGTCGACGTACGGTCATATTTCGACGTGGGACACATCGGGGGTGACGGACATGTCGGATTTGTTCAAAAGCGCATCGTCCTTCAACGAGGACATCGGCGCGTGGGATACCTCTGGCGTCACGACGATGTACCGGATGTTCAATGGCGCCGAAACCTTCAACGTGGACATCAGCGCGTGGGATACATCACGCGTTAAAAAGATGGAAAGCGTGTTCCAGAGCGCCAGGGCCTTTGACCAGGACATCAGTGGTTGGGTAGTAGACAGCGCCACGACCATGAAAATGATGTTCGACCGCGCTGATTTGTTCAACAAGGACATTGGTGGTTGGGCGGTCGACAAGGTTACGGACATGAGCTCGATGTTCGGCAGCGCTGATTTATTCAACCAGGACATCGGTGGTTGGGCGGTCGACAATGTCAAAGATATGAACGCGATGTTCAGCAGCGCTTCGGCCTTCAACCAGGACATCAGTAAGTGGGCGGTCGACAAGGTCACGAATATGGCTTCGATGTTCGCCGAAGCCTCTGCCTTCAACCAAGACATTGGCGGTTGGGCGGTCAACAGCGTAACGAATATGTACATGATGTTCCGCAGCGCCTCTGCCTTCAACCAAGACATTAGTGGTTGGGCGATCAATAAAGTCACGGATATGGTCTCGATGTTCAACCGCGCTTCGGCCTTCGACCAGGACCTCGGCTGGTGCGTGAACGACGCAGCAAGCCCACTAGATGCGTTTGACGACTCCCTGTGCGAGTCGACGAATTGTGGCGTGAAGTGGGAGACCAATGCTGGCGACTGCGACGTATCGAGCACTGGCAACGTCATGGTCAACTGGAAGATCAGAATTGCAGTTGCAGCGTGGCTCTCGGACGCGTCGGCCGCCGAGACGACGTACGGCCATATTTCGACGTGGGACACATCAGGGGTGACGGACATGTCAAATATGGATTTCGGTAGTGTCACAGGCTTCAACGACGACATCGGCGCGTGGGACACCTCCGGCGTCACAACCATGTACTCCATGTTCGGCGGCGCCAAGGCCTTTAACCAGGACATCGGCGCGTGGGACACCTCCGGCGTCACAACGATGGAGTACATGTTCATGAGTGCCTCGTCTTTTAACCAGGACCTCAGCGGCTGGCAGGTCGACGGCGTCACGCGTATGGATGAAATATTCAACCGTGCCTCGGCTTTTTTTCAATTGGACCTCGGCTGGTGCGTGGACGACAGCGTGAGCCTGAGCAACGCGTTTAGCGACACCTTATGCGAGTCGACGTCGTGCGGCATCGCGGGAGTTGACTGCGACATCTCGCGCACGGGCAACATCATGGTCAATTGGAAAATCAAGCAAGCAGTCGCAGCGTGGCTCTCGGACGCCACGGCCGCCGAGGCGACGTACGGCCACATCTCGACGTGGGAGACTGGTGGCGTGACGGACATGTCGGAGTTGTTTTGCGCACCGGCATCTTTTTGGAATAGTTGCAACACGGCCGCTGCGTCCTTCAACGAGGACATCGGCGCGTGGGATACCTCGGGCGTCACGACGATGAAAGAGATGTTCGAAGGCGCCACGTCCTTTGACCAGGACCTCGGCTGGTGCGTGGATGAGGACGTCGACCTGGACGAAGCGTTCGACAACACTCCGTGCGAGTCGACGTCGTGCGGCGTCAAGCACGTGGCAGGCGGCTGTGCGCCGACGCCTGCGCCGACGCCCAAGCCGACAACATCTGGTCCTTTGCCAACGCCGCGCCCCACGCACCCGCCGCCGACTCCTGGACCTTTGCCCGCGCCGACGCAGCGCCCCACACCCGCGCCGACGCCGAAGCCGTCGCCCGCGCCGACGCCGGCCCCGACGCCGGCGCCGACGCCCGCCCAAACGATGGTCAAGGTTGCCTCGTCTGTGACGCTGGAGGGCATCGTCGCGACTGAATTTAATGCCGACGAAGGCATGAAGGCGGCGTTCGCGCAGTCGGTTTTGGATAGCGCGGGCGGGGCATTCGACGAGGTGATCGATATCGAGGCCGCCGGCGGGCGCCGGCGCCTCGCCGGCGCGGGCGTCGGCGTCTCCTACACGGGCGTCGCCCGCGTCGTCGGCACCGACGACGCCACGTCAGTTGGCGCAGATTTGCTGGAACAGGCGTCGGACGCGCTGACGGCCGCTGTCGGCGACGGAAGCTTCTTGACCACTCTGCAGGCCGCGGATACAGCGTTCGCCGCCGCAACCGTCGACGTCGCGGCGACGCAGGCGGCTATCGGGGACGCTGCTCTCGAGGTCATAGTCACGACGCCAAGCCCCACTGCGTCGCCGACGACCCCACGGCCGATCGGGGCCCCGACCGTGGCTCCGACCGCGACCCGCGGCAGTGACACCGTCGACGCCGCCCGCCGCCTCTCTGGCGTCAGTGCAGCGCTCCTCGTGCTCGCTCTCGCCGCGTGATCCCACTTGTGATCTCCCTCTATTCCTCGCGCCGTGCCAGCCGGTCCCCATCGTTCCCCGACCTCGCCCCGTCGTAAACTTAAAACAGTCGAACAACAGACAAAACTTAGAAGACCCACTGGTCCGCGAGCGGCACGTAGCGCGTCGCACCTCGCGCCTCGTCCGGCGACGTGTAGCTCCGCGCCGCCTTCGGGGGGGGCGCCGTGCCGTTGGCGAAGAGGACGCGCTGGACGTGGCGCGGCCGCAGCGCGAAGGCCGGGTTTGCGACGTCGTAGCCCGCCGCCCCGAGGACGAACGCGACGCGGTTGTCGCACTTCGCCCTTCCCAACTCCGTGTCGAAAGTCGCCAGGGGCGGCACCGGCGCGCGGAAGATCCAGGCGTCCTGAGAGTCAGCGCGCGCGCGGAGCCGCAGGCACCGCTCCTCGATAGCGTCCGTTGCCGCCGCCGCCGCGACGAGCGTCTTCAGGTCCATGCCTTCCACGTCGAACCCGCAAGTCCACTCCCATCTAAGCAAAGCGAGGACGCGCCGGTCGAGGTCGAGCGTCCTCGCGTCGCCGAGCCGCCGCAAACTGTCTTCATCAAAAAAAACGTCGGCGTTGCTGAGGATGACGGCCCGGCGCGGCAGCGACGCCGCCGCGTAGCCCTCCGCGTCCGAGAACCGCAGCCGCCGCCCGAGTATTTGCACGTGGACGTGCGTCGCGCCGACGAGCGCCGCTACCGTAGACGCGAAGCGCCCGTCGCGCCCGTTCTCGGCCAGCACGTGGACCTTGCGTATCCTCGCATTGCGCAGGTTCTTCGCCAACGCGAACGCGACCTCCATGCGCCGTACTTGATCGGCCGGCTCGTAGACCTGCGTGATGAGCTCGAAGCCCGTCGCCTCGCCGCCCAGCGGCGCCAGTTCCTCGTCCGACGGCGGCCCCTCGTCCCTCCCCAACAAACTGTAGGGCGGCGGGAACGCTTGGGAAGAGTACCAGTTCTCGGACGCGTTCCGCAGGTAGTCGTCGAGGACCGCGAGCGAGTTCGTGGCGATGCCCAGCTGGCGGAGGGACGCCAGCCGCGCGTCGTCTCTTGAACGATGGTTCTCGGCCCGCACGAGCGCGAGCAGGGCGTCTCCTTCTATAACCTCCTTGAGGCCCCGGCGGATTTTTGATGCGGCCCCTTCATAATCGCCCCGGTCGCGGAGCTGGTTCGCGCTGTTAAACAGCGCCGTGGCGTAGTCCCAGGAGTCCTTGTCCGACAGGACGCCGAGGAGCTTCTCTTCAAATCCGGTGGCCGACCTGCGCCCGGGGCCGGCGCGTCGCCGACGCGCTCTCAGGCGAGCCCGCGGCGGACGGGGCGCTGCTTCCGGGACGCGGGGCCGCGCCCTCAGAAAGGCACCCGCGCGTCCGGCAGGCGGTCCCACACATAAGATTCGACTCGGAATAGCGACGGGGCCATGCGCGCCTTCACGGCCCGGAGCGCCCGCTCATACACATCATCGGCCTCGTCCGCCCGTCCCAAGGTATTGAGGGTCACGGCCAGGTTGTTCAGCGCGACGCCGTTCGTCGGCTCCAACTCAACAGCCCGCTCCAGCTGCACGACGGCCTCCTCCCAGCGGTCCGACTGGTGGTACTGGGCGCCGAGGTCGCTCCGCACCTTCGCCTCGTCGGGGCAGTCGGCGCCGCCCTGGGGATAGCACCTTTTTATCAACATCTCGAGCTGCCTGGCCGCGCCTCGGATGTCACCTTGCTCGTAGAGCCGCGCGGCCTCGAGGGCCTCGGGCGGCCGCGGCTGGTCCGAGCGCTCCCTTGGCACGTCTGGGATCGGTTTTTGTGGTTGCAGGGCGCGCCGCTTCTCCTCAATAATTGTGTCGTCCCGGTACAGCCGGTCAAGGCGCTCGTGCGCCGCGATCGCCGCGGCGTCCTCCTCCACGAGACCGACGTCCGCCGGCGCCACGGGTGCCTCGTCCTCCGCCTCGTAGTCGTCGCCCTCCAGGCCGACGTCCGCCGGCGCCACCGGCCTTTGACCGGAGACGCGCGCCAAGAACCGCGCCCAGCCCAGGACGACGCTCCGGTCCTCCCAGATGACGTGCTGCCGGGCCGCGACGGCCGCGGCCACCGTCCTGCGGTGCTCGACATCATTCGCGAGCCTCGCGGCGAAAGAAACGTAGTCGTTCGTAGTCGACGCGACGAGGGTCCAGTTCTTTTGAGTGAGGCCCATGCTCGCGTAGAAGGAGTAGGCCATGCGGCACCGCAATTGCGTCGTCGGCCGCACGACGACGGGCACGCCCAGCGCCAACCCGTCGGCCGACGTCCGGCTACCACCAAAAGGGAAGGGATGCAGTAAAACATCAGCAACAGCGAGCAGTTTATAATAGTCCGCGCCGGGCATCTGCCGCGGCACGAAGGCGCACCGCGACTTGTAGGGGCCCAGAGTTTTTTCTAATCTTGATACGAGCACCTTCGTCCACGCCTGCCTCCGCCCGGCCGTGAAGACGACCCTTGCATTAGTTGTCGCTTCCAGGATCCTTCGCACCACAGTATCGAAGTGGGGGTGCAGCTTGAAGACGGACTGGGGACAGAGTAGCAGCGGCCAGTCGCCTTGAGGCAATCCTAGAGCTTGCCTTGCAGCAACGGCCGCCTCGCGATTAGGATAGGGCAAGCCCTCCGGTATGGAAGGTCGCCGGTACCAGATGCCCTGGCCATCGAGCAACACGACCTGCTCGCTCCACTCGTCTCCAGCTAACGTTCGGTAAGGGTGCTCCATGCGATCCGCTGACACAAAATAGTCTATGGAAGAACGACCGGTCGTCAGCGGGTTGCCCCAAAAACAGACCTGGACGGGGGCGAAGCGCGAGAACCCCAAAAAGTAGGACATGGGCTCCGACAGCATGTCCGCAAACACCAAAACGTCCAGCTTCGCCTTGATTAATGTCAAGCGGTTCTCGCGCATGTTCAGGCCGAGCTCTATTAACTCATCAGCTGACGATCGTAGCAGTTCCGAGGCCGCGTCTCGCCCCGGCGAGGCCACCGGTAAGACTACGACGACAAATCGATCTCGGGGCAGGTGCTGCACCACACCTTCCAACAACAGCCCGTGCGGCTCGTGCTCGGCGAACAGCTTCGACAGGAAGCCTATTCGTGCTCGTCTCACTCGTACGGGTTCCGGGGAGAGGCCCGGGACCGGTCCCGCGAGCTGCGGGATCATCCTCTCGTAACACCGCGCGACGGCCTCCTGCAGCGGCCGATCGTCCAAGCCGGGGTACGGGAGGTAGAAGTGCACGTGCTCGACCTCCACCACCGGATCGTCTATTATTAAGGTCCTTCTTTGTAGGAGCCACTCTAGAGATGCAACGCGCCTCGCAAAGTCTAAGCGTGCGGCGTACATCGCGGCAGCGTCTTCCACGATGGGCCGGATGGCGAAGGCCTCGCGCGCAAACAGCCCCGCGGCCCGCCGCGGGTCTCGCTGCAGGTAGAGCTTGATGGCTCGGTTGTTTAACAGTGAGGCTCTTTCTAAGTAGCCTTCGTTCGCCCAATGGGCCGCTAAATTCGTCAGCGCCTGGACCTGGCCCGGCTCGACCTCCAGGCACTTTTCCAGCACCTTCACGGCGTCGTCGTGTCTTCCTACGGTGACCAGAGCAGCTCCCAAATTGTTCAAGGCTTGCGCGTGCTCCGGTTCCAACCTCAAGACGGCCTCGTAGCCCTCGATCGCTAGTTCCGACAGGCCCCGCTCGTGGTCGATGGCCGCTCTATTCACTCTCGCTTGGAGGACGAACGCGTGGCGTTGATCCTCCGCCAGAGTCGTGTCGCTCGCCGCCAGGGTATAGGCTCTTTCATATCTCTCCGCGGCCACGTCCAGCAAACCCTTGGCGTGGGCGGCCACCCCAGCACCGATCCAGAGCCGCGCGTCCTCGGGGTAGGCTTTTAGAGCATACTCGAACCACCGAAACGCATCATCATCACTCGCCCCATGGCAGCGGTGGCGCTGGGCCGAGTCGGCGACGTCGAAGCGGGCTCGTCGCTCGACGAAGTGGAAGTTCGGGTCGGCCGCTCGTTGTGGGGAGTCGAGCGAAACCCCAATCTGTTCTAATAATTCTCTGGACGCCTGGCAGAACTCCGCGTAGAGCTGCGCGTCCCACAACACGGCAATTAAGTTGCGCTTGACACCGAGGTCTTGCGGGGCAATCGCGACTGCTCTCCTCAGCAAGGCCACGCCCGTCTGGGCGTCGCCAATACTCCGATACACTTCCCCCAGGTTCGACAGCATGGTCGGGTCGTTCGGTCTCAAGGAAGACGCCCGTTCTACCAACTCCTTCGCCTTCACGGCGTCGCCGGCCGCCAAAGCCGCGAGGCCCGACAAATGGAGGGCGTCGGGATGGTTCGGAACTTGCCGCAGCACGTCCTCGTAGATGGGGACGGCTTCGGCAAGGCGGCCGTCGTTCTGGAGCTGGGCCGCCTGCCGCAGGCGGGCGAGGTGGGGGTCCTCTGCTGCGGCGCTCACGGCGAGCAGCAGGAGGGTTCGGGCCCATACAACCATGGTCCGGCTGCCCTCTTGCCGCTTCCGCGCGCGGCGGCGGTCCGGGGGGCTGCCGCACGGCGTGCTGCGGCTGTCCGCGCCCGGCATTTGGCTCCCGAGCGCGTCGCGCAAGCGCCGAGCTAGCGTCATGTAAGGCACTAGCAAGCACGCAAGCTGTCCTTTGCATGCCTCTTTGCAGCGGCAATTTGCGCGCTACGATCACATACACGTCGTAGGAATCAATAATTTTGACGACTGCTGCCGTGCTGCCAAGCTGCAACCAACTTTCGCCTCTCATCGCAATCCCAGCGCCGCTGCAACCAGCCCCCTGCAGACAGCCGATGTCCCTGCCCCGCGTCGTCCCCTGGCGCGACTGGGCCGAGTGGCAACTTGTGTATGCGGGCCTCTACGCCCAACAGCCCGAACCGCGAATGAGAGCGGTGGCCCGCTGCCGGACGTGGCGTTTAAGGGGAAACGTGCCCCACGCCGTCGAGGCGACGGCCGCACTCATAGCCATCGACGACCTCGACCCGCAGACGGCGTCGCTCGCGCGCGCGGCTGCGGTAACGAGGGCCGTGAACGGCGCGTTGGACGTCGGCCAAACGGGCCGGGATGCAAAACCGTTGAATGCACTCGCGGAGCAGGCGGGCCTGCCGACCTGGCTCGTCGACGTGCGGCACGGGATTACGCATCAAAAGCTGCCCGCCGACGGCGTGTTACGGGCGGCTTGCGACGAATTATTGCGGTTCTTCGATGCCACGTACTGGAGGCCGCAAGCTGAGCACCTCCAGGGTCTACGGAGTGCTTCTGCTAAGCTTGTTGATGATGTGTTGCGGGCGTTTTCCTCATCCAAGAAAAAACGGAAGCGGAAGATCAATCGGGAATTTCTCGCGACTTGTGCTCCATGTACACTGGCGAACGTGGTGGTACCCGTCCTGGTCGAGACGGACCTGTTTTCTTCTGATACTGCTGCTGAAGCATTGGTCAAGGAGCTCTCTGCGGCGTGGCCGGCGGCTCGACTTGCGATATGTGCCGCTCTAGTGGCGCGGTCGCACAAGCGCGCTTCCAAATGGATTCCGAGGCTCGCGTCACAACGCGACGTCGGCGTACTGCGTTCCGTGTTGCCGGCGAGGCCGAACGCCCAGGTGGCGCTGGCATTGGCGAGGCTGCTCCCTGCTAGAAATAGGCGGCCTTGTCCGGGTCTGGACGAGCTCGAGCGCCTCGTGAAGCGTCCTAAGAAAACTGTTAGTTAGTTCATCACAACACACTATCGGGCCCGTCCGCAGAAGCGGGCGGCACGGGCGAGACGCACTGGTAGGGCGCGGGCTTCCGCGTCGGGCCCAGGCGCCGGGGGCCCAGGCGCCGCGGCGTGGCCTTCTTCGGCGTGAGGGCCGCCCGCGCCTTATTCACCAAAGCGGCCTCGTCCACACTCAATCTATCCAAAGCATCCGCCGCGGCACCGCACTTCAACACGTGGGCGCGCTTCGCGAGGGGTCTAATACATTTCGCATTCACCACAGCCGTCCGGTCCGCGGCGTCCCCGAGGCACAGGTTCGCAATAGCTTCCACGCGGAGCTGCGCCGCCTCGTCGTCGCCCTCGAGGCCCGCGGCCGATAGAGCGGCCGCACCGCCGTTGATCAATAGCGCCCTCCGTCCCTTATCGTCACACGCGAGGTTCCTTATCACATGTGCTGCCGCGCAGGCGCACTTTGCGTCGTCGTCCTCGAGGAGAGCTACTAATGAAGGCACGCCTTTCGCGTCCACCAGAGCCGCTCTGCCAGGTGTGTCGCTTGCTACACAAGCTAGAGCGCAGCACGCTGCGGAAGCACTCTTGGCATTATTCAACGCTTCGACCAGCGGCGTCACCGGGACGTCGGCGGGGTCTCTCGCCGCAATGTGCGCCAAGGCACACGCCGCTTTTCTCGGAGCGTCTTTCAAAGCAACAGCGAGTTCCGGGGCATACGTCGCGACGGCCGCGGGCTGGACCATCGCAATATTCTGCAGGGCGCCCGCCGCCTCGTTCGGCACTTCTCCCAACACCCGGGCGAGCGCCTCACTAAAAGGCGCGACGGCGCCCGGATTCGACGCGGCGACGTTCCGTAGAGCCGCGCACGCGCTCCTCCTTAATGCCTCATCTCCTAGACAGTCGGCGAGCACGGGAACCGCTCCACAGTCAACAACAGCACCAGCATCTTTCAGCGCGAAGTTGCCGATACAGACGATTGAGGCCTGGGAACGCGTCGCGACGAGTTTTGGCAGTACGCTCGGAGCGGCCGTGGCGCCCCTTGCTAGTAAATTAGCGAGGGCGCCGATCGCCCCGTCGCTATCGATGGCCGCGACCAATGCAGCAGACAACTTTTTGACCGTACCTTCGTCGAGCTCCGTCGCTAAAACGAGGGCCCGCGCTAATGAAGCGCCGGCCTCCCTATGATCACTCGCAAGCAGCTCCAGCGCGCACTGCGACAGCGACGGGTTCACCGCCTCGTCCTCGACGTCTTCCAGCGGCCGTAAAGCGTTAGCTAAAGCGCGCGCGGCCGACGCCTTCACGTCAAAACTGCTCTCGTCGTCGGTCGCTAAAGCTGTAAACGCCGCGACGTGTAATCGCGCGGCCACGACGCCGTCCGCCGCGCCCGCAGCTAAATTGGCGAGGCAGTCGCACGCAGAAGCTCGCGCCGTCGGGGGCGCGTTGCGGTCGACAACCAATGCTCCCAACGGCTTCTCGCCTTCACATGCCAGGATGGCCTGTCGGTTGCCCTCGTCGTCGTACGCTAATTGGGCGAGCGCTGCAGCGGCGGCGCCCTTGCAGCTGCCGGTTCGCGAGGACCGCACGAGCCCGATCAGCGGCCCAATACATCCAGCCTTCACGACCTTGTGGCGCTGGTCAGGATGCGCCGCGCAGAAGTCCCTGAGCAGCAGCGCCACCGGCTCCTCGCGGCCCTTGCGGCGCTTGAGGACGGCGACGCACTCGCGGAGGTGATCTTCCAGCGGGCGGGCGTCGGCGTCGTCGGCGTCTGGGGGTGGTGGTGGCGGCGTGTCCATGAGCTCTCCCCTCGTGATGGTTTGCAGCGCTGGCGCGTCTTTTACCAGCGCTGCAGCGGCAGGAGGCATTAGGGGTGCGGTGGCTTGCTCCGGTGCCCCATTGCTCTCCGTTGCCCCGTTGCTGGGCGCGTGGCCATTCTGTGCATCTGGGGGCGCCATAAGGCCAGCGATTATTGCACTCGCAGCGCGTACGGCCCGCTCGCTTGCCGGCTGAGCTATTGCTAGTGTCTTACAGCCGCTAGCTGCCCAGCGAGTCCTAGCGCCTAACAATACCAGACCAGCAAGAGATATCACACAATAGCTTCTTACTCAGACCGCGAGCTTAGCGCCGCCGCGCGCCGCGCGACTCCATCTCGCCGTTCGCGAGCCGCGCGAGCCAGTTGGCGACTCGTTGGGGGTACGCGCTCGCGGCGCTGGCGACGTCGCCCTGTACGGACTCGTGCGCCCCGAAGTGCTGGCAGGGCTTCTCCGCGGAGCAGCAGAGGCGGTCGTCCGCCGCCTCCTGGTGGAGCGCCGGGATGTCGCTCCAGAACGACGTCAGCTTCCGGATCGGCTCGCCGAACTTGCAGTAAGTGACGTCGCGGCGCACGAGCCCGAACTCGCGGACCGCGTCCTTCCAGGGCTGGAAGTGCTGCAGGTAGCCCGTCGCGGGATTCTCCGCCATGAGCACGCACTCTGGGTTGACGCGTCGCGCCTCGCGCATGAGCTCGATGCAGTGGCGCACGACGGCGTTTGCCTTCTGCGCCTCGGGCGAGATCGAAGAACCCTCGAGCACGCGGCGGCCCCGGACGACCAACGGCCGGTGATGTTCGATCGCCAGGGCGCTAAACGTCCTACACGGGAACGCAAAATGCGCCCCGTCGACCCAGCCCACGTTCTCGATCGAGTAGTCCAGCACGCAGCAGCGCCGGCTCGGCCGCGCCGCGCCGGGCCACGTCATGTCGTCGACCGTCTCACACGCGTAGCCGTAGGTCGTCTGCAGCTCGGTCGAGAGTCTCTTCGTCCCGGCAAAGATCTCCTTGAAGACCGGCTCCCGCGTGCGCGGGTTCGCAGGCTTCGGCGGCGCGCGCGGGTCGAAGATGAGCCGCCGGGCGGCGCGCGTGCCCTTCGTTCTCTTCTCCGGCGGGGGCGGCGCCGCCACCGGGCCGCGCGGCTTGGGCGTCGCGCGCTCGATGACCTCCGTGCGGACCTCGTCGAAGGAGCGCGTCTCGTGCTCGACGACAACGCCTTCGCCGGGCTTCGGCACAACGGGCCGCCACGCCAGAGTCACGCCGTTGACGCGGTCGATGGCCGTCACCGTGCCTCGGTGCTCTCCAGACGAGCGGAACCGCACCTTGAACGTGAGTCCGACGGCCAGGACGAGCGGCGCGGCGACGCGCGACTCCTCGTCGCCGTCCCGGTAGATGAGGTCGTACGTGTTGTCGGGGCGGACCGCGGTGATCGTCGCGGCGTAGAAGTCGTCCCTGCCTCCGAACCGCGCCCACACGTCGTCGCCGACGACAATCTGGCGCGACCGCACCGGTGCCGCCGGCGCCTCGCCGTCGCGGTCGTCGTCGCTGTCGTCCCGCGGCATGAGCGCCGGAGCTTGGTCGTTCGGGCCGCCTTTGAGGTGGTCTCGCAGGTTCCTCGGGATCTCCAATTGCGAAGGCGGCGCGGCGCCCTCGTCGTCCGAAGACACACCCGCGAGCGCGACAGCGATGGCTTCGTCGTCCGCCGTCTCGTCCTTGCGCGCCCGCTTGGGCGCCGGATCCTCGTCGTCCGAGAAACAACCCTCGAACGGCGCATCGGCTTGACCAGTCCCGGTATCATCGGCTAACGGCTGGTACTGCCGAAGCGCCAGAACGGACGAAGCGTCGTCGTCCGAACTATCTGCCGCTTCAGGTGTCGGCGAGGGCGTGACGCGCGGCACCGGCGGCGCCTGCCTTCGCGGCGCGGCCGGCGGCGAGGGCCGCGGCGTCGCGACCGGCGCCCGCGGAGCCGACCGGCGCGACGAGCGGCCCGCGGAGAGCTTCTCCACTTCCGAGAGAGCGACCTCCTCGCAGTGGCCCGTGCTCTCCCAGCGCAGCAGCACTTTTTCATCGCTGGCGCGCGGCACCTGCTCGACCGTCGCCACGTGCCCGACGCGTCCCACCATGACCGTCTCGCCGAGCGCGAGTTGCGGCGCGGGCGCGTCTTCGTCATCATCGTCATCATCGTCCATCGGCGTGGCCGGCGCCTGGTCTTCGGACGAATCGTGGTCGTCGAACGCGCGTAGCATGTCCCGCTGGTACGCGCGGTTGCCGTCGGGGCCGCTGACGACGGCGTAGGCGTCGTCGTACGCCACGACAACGAGAGGCGTCGACGGCTGATTCAGAAGAGCCACACGCATGCGCTCGGCGAGGGGCAAGCCGGCGCTGGCGCGCGGGCGCCGCCCCGTGTACAGCGACACCGCCGCCGCGTCCACGCCGGCCGCGAAGTCGCCGTCTCGGAAGTGCACGTCTACAGTGCCGCGGCCAACGCTGACGACGATGCCAACGAATTGCCCGCGGCCCCGGTACGGCGCGGTGACGTGATGTAAGACCCGCAGCGCGGGCTGCTCAGCACCAGATCTTGCCATGTGGATCTGGAAGTCGTGTCGCGCGCACGAGGTGCTGCGCTATGGCAAGGGCGAACTCCTCGCGATCGAAGCGAGCAAGCGGTTGCCTCCTCCGGCAATTTAGCCTGCCAGTGCTCTCGGCGAGGCTAGCGCTCGTAGACACACTAGAGTTTCGCGCCCTTTTGCGTTTGAATTCGGACGCGCCCTGCATCCAAAAAACCGCCCCAGCGGCGGCTATGATAGCACGTCAACCGCTCCCGTTACAATTACGCCTAGCGGCGACCTAGCGCCTTCTCGCGCGCCGCGCGCGGCGCGACGACGCAGCGACCTAGCGCCCGCCGGCGTGACGACGACGAGGCGTCCGCTAGCGGTACGTCCTTCTACCATCCCGCGGCAGCTCCCCGTAGGCCGCCTTGTACCGCGCGAGCTCCGCCTTGAGTTTATCATTTTCCTGCAAACTCGCCTCGAGCGCCTGGTGCAGGTGCCACGCGACGTCGCCTTTTTTGGCGGGCGACCGCGGCGGTGCCGGCGGCGGTGCGACGCGGCGCACGGGCGGCGGCGGCCCGCGCACGTCGCTAAAGGCGTCGCCGGGAGCGGACACGAGCTGCCGCGTCTGCCTGCCCCTATTGGTAATCCGCTGGCCCTGGTGCAGAGGTCTAGCAGCGTCTCGCCGCCGCCGCTCCTCCTCGATCCTATCCCTTTCCGCCTCCGCTTCTAGTCTTTGTTGCCTCGCAATCCTATCAAGCTCACACAACCGTTCGTGTTCCCTCCGTAGAGCTTCTCGTTGCTCCTCGCTGCGGCCCTCGTTGCCAATTTTAGCATGCGGGCTAGCGACGATCTCGAACTCAACCTCGCCGGACCCCGTGCGCTTGAGCGGCCGCGAGGGCGCGGTGGGCGCCTCGTCTCTTGCCGTTTTGAAGACGGCACTGTCAGTCGTAGCGTCGCCCTTGTTCTCCTCCCAGTACTGGTCGGTCTCGGCGTCCGTCGTCGGCGGCGCCGGCGGCGGATCGTCCCTTGCAATGGGCATCCTTTCTGGTGAGGGTGGGTGGTACCACACCGGTGCTGGGTCGTCGGCTGCCTCGCCGCGGCGGTGGCGGTCGGCGGCGGCCTGGCGTCGGTGTCTCGGCGAATGCGCCGCCTGGGGTCGCATGCGCCGCGTGGCTCGGAGGAGCCGAATCAAAAACTTGGAATTGCTCGAGACGGGTTTTACAAGGCGTTTCGCGGAAGCCTGCTTGTTCTCGTCCTGGGGAGACCGGTCACAAGCTCCTCCATGCCTCCGCGCGACGAAGCCCGCCCGCGACCTGAGCTGCGGCAGGAGGATGGGCAGCAAGAGCACATAGCAATTTGGCCACACGAACGCATCCAAAAGAGCAGCGCACCTGCTTGATAGAAGCGCCAAACTCGGTTTTCCACCGCTCTGCGAACAACAGCGTTCCGTAGCGCCCCAGTAAATCGGCCGTACTCTCTGAACACCCAGAGCTCTCACACTGCCACAGCTGCGACCGCCCCTCGCACAGCTCTCTGACCACCGCAGAGCGCTCGCACCCACCACCACCACTCCACACGACGATATATGGCCGACAACTCCCTCGCCGACATCCTAATCTTAGCGGTCTTGTGCCTCGCCGGCATCGGGAGCGCGGCCTACGTCGTCCTCAGACGCCTCCAGCGCGTCGAGAGCCAGGCGCTGGGCGACGTCGAGCTGCAAGACCTCAAAAGGGACGAGGACCTGACGTTCGAGGGACAAGTGGTGAAAGGAGACGTCTTCCTCCCGCAAGGACTATGAGTAGTCTACGCGACGCGGTGCGCGATAAATTAAGAGAAGACAAGGTCAAGCTCTGGCTGCCGCCCTACGACGACGCATCAAAGGTGGACGCGCTGGCGAAGACCTACGCTGGAGTGCTGGAAGCTCCGGAACAGGACGTCGCGGCGCACCTCGCCGACCTGAGGCAGAGCGCCCTCGCCAAGCTCGCGCAACGGACACTCATCACTTTGCAAGGCACCAACTTCTCGGTGCGCGTATCCACAGAGCTCCCGGGCGCCGTGGCGCGCGCCGCCGTCGCCGCGGCTTTAGGGCATGACGTGCGCACGCAGCACGTGCGCATCGTTGGAGGTGGTAAAGCGCTCACGGACGCGGAATCATTAAAAGAGCAGGGCTGGCCCGCCGACGCGACGCGCAACGGCGAAGGATTGCGGTGCGTCGTAGCTTGTACTCCTAAAACGGAGGACATGCTGGACCCGGACGCCCTCGCCGCGAACGAGCGGCGCCGCGTCCTCGAGGCCTGTGACGTCCTCGCCAGCGATAGGCACTTTTCTTTAAGCGACGGCGGCTCCGGGCGACGCGTGGACGTCCACCACGCCGCGAGGGCGCCGCTGGTGCGAGCTTTATGTTGCCACGCGCGGGGCCGGCAAGCGTTAGGAGATGGAATGAGCGGAGGAAGCCGCGCCGTCGACGCTGTGGCGTGGCTGCGAGAGGCCGACGCGGAGTTTCAGAAGGCCGTCGCCGCGAGTCCCGGGCTCCGCGACCTTGCGAACCTGGGGTTCCTGCAGCTCGACCTCGTGCGGGCGTATTGCGCGCTCGGCGACGCGTCGAGTGTGGACGACGCCGAGCGGCGCCTGGCGGCCGCGCGGGCGGCGCTTGTGAAGCGCTACGACGCCGTTTATGAGAGTCGCGGTGTGGATGCGGCGAGACGGGGACGAAAGGTCCCGGCTGCATTCGTGCCGCTCGCGCGACTGCTGGTCCTAGAGTGCGTCGCGGCGCGCGCGCGCGGCCAGCAGGCGGCGGACCGCATCCGCGACGCCGACGCTATGCTTGTCGCCTTAGAACACTCCGAGGCGGCGATCCGGCCGCTGCAGGAACTGGGCCATTCACCGCGCGCCGCCCGCGGCGCTTTACGGAGAGCCGAGGGCAACTCTATACGAGCGGCGAACGAGCTGACGGAGCGCGCGGGGCGATTGGCGGCGAACCGGGCACGCCCCGCGGCCATGGCAGGCGAGGTCGCCGCTGACGGCTCTTTGATCGACGCCGAGTCGCTGAGCCGCGTGCGAAGGGGCGCCAAGCGGGCGTCGGAGTCGGCGCGGTTGGACGCGCTGAAGCGCCACCGCAACGACGCCGACGCGGCCATCGCTGAATTAACCGCGCCGGTGCGTCGCCCGCGTATACAAGTCCCGTCGCGGCGATGGCGTACTCATCGACCTCCACACACAGGTGGACCCGACGGCCCTGGCGTCGCTCGTCTCCATGGGCGCCGAGGTTTCTGCCGCGGAGGACGCTTTACGCGCTACCGGCGGCAACATCGACGCGGCGGCCGCGAAGTTGCTAGAAGCGCCCCCGCCGCAACCGCAACCGCAAGCGCCGCCGCCACCTCCTGATCTGCCGACGGACGATGAAGACAGAGATGCGGCGCTGCAGGCGGCGCGCGAGCTCGTCGAGCGCGAGCTCGGCGGCGCGCTGGCGGGCGCCGACGCCGACGCCGAGGAGGGGTGCGACCTGCAGTTCGAGCGGCGGCTGCTCGACGCGATCATCAGCGGGGCGCTCTAAGTATCAACACATATTTATTTCTCGGCCGGCGGCCGGCCCGGCCGCGGCGGCGGCTTGAAGAGCTTCGTCCAGAAGCCCGTCGCGAACACCGACTGGCCCTTTTTCTTTTTGCCGCGCAGGCCCTCGAGCAATCGCAGGTCCGTCAGCGACGAGCCGGACTCGTAGACGACGTCCTGCATCAGCAGCTCGAACTCCTGGCGCTTCTGCTCCGCGACGCGCTCCGGCGACTGGAAGGCCGCGGTTAACGATGTCGCGGCGGGCACGGCCGGTTGCGCCTCCTCCTCCGCCGGTTTCACCTTCGGGGCACGTTTCCGCCTCCTCTTCTTCTGCGAGGCCTCTATTAACAGATCCAGGTCGTCGAGCGAGAGCTCGTCGGCGAGCTGCTCGAGGCGCAGCGCCGGGGACGGCGGCGCGCCGGGAAGATTCTTAAGGGCCTTCGCGACGGGCGCCTTTTCTTCGACGAAGGGCGTCGGTTTTGTCGTCCGCTGCCGCTTCGTCGAGAGGGCCACGCGGAAGCCCTTGGTCGCGTCGACCGACAGAACGGTGGCCTCGACGCGGCTGCCGACCGGCAAGGTTTTGGCCACATCCTGAACCAACTCGTCGGAGATCTCCGACACATGTAATAACGCGGGCTTGCTGTTCTCCTTGGCGCCGTCGAGCCGCACGAAGGCGCCGTAGGACGTCGTGGACACGACCGTACCTTTGACGCTGGCGCCGGCGACGACGGCCGGCCGTGAGGCCTTCTTCGGCTGGCGTTTCTGCACCTTCGTTGCGTTCGACTGCTTGGCCCGAGGCCGCGGCGCCTTGGCTTTTGCCGGCGCCTTTGCTGGCGCTTTTGCCGGCGCTTTTGCCGACGCCTTGGCCTTCGCCGGCGCCTTAGTCGGCTTCGGAGTTCGCGGCGCTCTCGGCGCCGGCTTCTGCGACGGTTTCGGCGCCGGTGGCGGTGCGGCTGCGCCCGCCGCCGCGGGCGCTCCAAGTGCGTCGAGGCGCTTGCGCAGACCGTCGAGCTTCGTGCGCATCTGGCCCTTGGCCTTCAGGCGGAGCGCGTCGACCTTCGCGGCGACGACATCTTTGTCGTCTCGTGCGCCGGTTTCAAGCGCTTCGACGGCCAAGGCGAGCCTCCGGTCCCGTGAGGGACGTTTGGCTGGTGCCGCGCTCGTGTCCGGCGGCGGAGAAGGATCTGTAGCTGTGCGAGCAATGTGTCGCAGGCATCGCGTGGGCGGTCTGCGGTGGGGCTGCAGCGCGAACGCCGTAGCCAATAGAAGTGCGAGACGCATGCTAGCTGTTTCAGATACTATCGACAGCCCATGGATGGAGGAACACAGCGTTCAAGTTTGCTGAGTGGCGGCCAATAATCAGCCAGTGTGTTGTAACACACTAGGATAGCGCATATGCGGCAGCAGCCCAACGCCACCAGCACAACAGGAACGCATCGGTTTCGTCAATTACTGGCCTCCGCGAGCCTCACGGACGCTTTTTTTGCAGCCCTTCGCGTGAGAACCGCATCTGTGATCAGGGGGCTGCACAGACACCAGCCAGTACCGATGCCTTCCCGCCCCACACGACTGCTCGTTCTACTGCTCCGAACGACCCAATGTCATGCCTTCTTCGAGGCGAGTCGCGAGTCCGCGGGCGGAGTGATCGAAGTAGACGCGGAGTCGTGGGCCGCCACCGTCGTCGCGTCGGAAAAGCCTGCATTCGTCATGTGGTACTCACCGACGTGCCCCCACTGCCGCCGCTTCGGCCCGCACTACGCGGCGTGCGCCGAGGCCCACGCGGGCCCGCGCTATTTTAGGATCGACGCCGACGACAACGAGGCCCTGGCCGACGAGCACTCCGTCTCGAAACTACCGACGTTCCAGTTGTACCGGAACGGAGAGCTCGCGTCGACCTTCCGGGGTCGGCCCGACGAGGCGGCGCTGCTGTCTTGGGTGCGGAGCGAGGCGCCCGCCTTCGCCGTGCGCGATCTGTAACACTTCTGTAACTACTAGTACTGTCTTGTGAATCGGCGACGCGCGGTGGATATCTCCTCCCGTAACACCGTAACAGATAAAGAAACTACTGCCTTACCTCGACGCAGAGCTCGTTCCCATCCACTGAAACCCACGAGGGCGCGTTCGACTCCATCGCGTAGGCCAATGCTCCGACGTCGGAGTAGCCGAGCTTGGCCCGCCACTTCCGCAAAACGGCCGGCGCGGCGCCGCCGTTCGCGCCCGGAACTAACGAGAGGCCCTGCGCGACGGCCGCTTCCGCGAGCGCCTTCCGCAGCGGCGCCGCTGCCGCGTCCTGTGGATCGCCTGAATAGGAAGCACAAACATAGAGTTTGGCGGGCTGTAGAGCATATGTTAATGAAGGGTTCTCGGCCACGCCGAGCTCCAACCCGCCATCGTTCAACTCTGCCTTACGAGGCAGCTCCGGGAGTGATGCAAAGTCGAGACCTAAAGCTGTGGGCAACGGCAGCGCCCACGTGACCCTCCGTTTTCGAGGCTCTCCATCAACACGGGGCAGGGCCTCGATCGACACCGACAAAGGTGTGGTGGTTGCCGCTATCACGTCCGTCGGCGACCGCGTGTCCGCGAGAAATACAAAGTCAGGTAAAGCTGAGGCCACTCTCTGCTTCCGCGAGTTCGAGACGTCATCCAGCGAACAGACCAGACACAAGCGCTCCGGCGACCTTACTAAACGAGCCTGGCCCATACTGAACTTGAACTCATTTAGTACTTCTTCACAGGGCGTTTCGGCAACAGGAGTGGCCCACAGGTCGAAGACGTCCCAGAACTTCGGCGCGACCTGCTGCAGGCCTATGTCCGTCGGGGACGAGTCCCACCTGTCAATAACGCGCGTTACTTTGCCATCTTGCCGCGTTATTGTAGTAGTGCCATGCACGAGCACTCTAGGAGACCATTGGACCGGTTGGGTCCCGCTCGCGAGCCACCTGAATTCATTGTCCGATGATGAGAGGACGTCCAACCGTGGATCGTCGTAGAAGTCCCCGGCTTCCTCCACAAGTTTTAAAGCGGCTTTTGCGCCTTTCGCTTCCCCAAGACCGTGCTGCCACACAACATCACTGGCGAGCTCTTCCCGTAAATGCGTGCTGTCGCCTCTCAGCGCTTCGTCGAGCGCTTTCGCGAAGGATGATGTAGCGCTTTGTCTGGGCGCGGTGGCGGCGTGGCCGTCTTCTTTCAGTCGGACGCCGAAGTCGTAGTAGCTCACGACGCCTTCCGCGTCGCAGCGTTCGCGCCAGTCCGCGCTGGTGGCGCTGTGCTGCGTCCGTCGTCGCGTCCGCTGCGGGGCGCGCCGCGGCGCGGCCTGAAAGGGCAGTGCGCTGTGGATGAGTGTGCAGGCGGCCAGCAGCCGGCGCATCGTTGCTGCACCGCTGCGGCGGATTGATGTGGTCTACGAGCACTGCCTGACAGGCTTACTTAATGGCGAGCGGAGCAGAAGCAGTGCCAGCACGATGCACTTGCTGTCTTACAAAGCATAATTCTTATCGTGTCGAGACACACTAGGCTACAGCCTCATTTGCAAAGGCTCTGCAAGCGCTTTTTTAGCCGCACGCTGAAGGTCGTCGACTCCTCTGCAGCTCGTCAGGTACCTGCTAATCACGAATGCGGGCCCACGTCTTGCGGCGACTGCCTGGTGCCGCGCTACGGCGTCCGACAGCCAGCGCACCGCACGCAGCTCATTACGCGAGCGCAGCCCTGCGCGGCGGCACAGCACGGCGCAGCGCAGCCCTACGAGCTGCCACACCACGGCGCGCCACCCTAACAATGCCGTCGATGCGCGGCGTCTGGACCCTCACGACGGCACCGGACCGCGACCGACAAACATACAAACGATCAATCACCGTCGGCCCGGAGGTCGCCCAAGCCCTCACCGTCGTGCCGCCCGTGCTCCTCCAGGGCGTCTTCGTCAGCCCCTTACCCGCGGTGCGGGGCTACGCGCAAAAGGGCACGACGGGCGACGCCTCGGTCGCACCCTATGCGCTCATGGTGGCCAACGGCACGGTCTGGCTGACGTACGGCGTATTAATCGGCGCGCCGACGGTAGCTTTACCAAATATCACGGCGGTATCATTAGGCATGTACTACACGTACACCTTCCACAAGCACAAGCCGGCCGACGCGCCCTTCGCGCCCTACGTGATCGCCGCGTCGAGCGTCGCGGCGCTGGCCGTCGGCACTGCATTAGCGCTAGAACAGGAAGCCGCAGCACACACGGTGGGTCTCATCGGGTGCGGCGTCCTGCCCGCGATGTTCGCCGGGCCCCTCGCGGCGGCCAGAAAAGTTATATCAACAAAAAACGCGGCGGCCATCCCGCTCGCTTTTACGTTATTCTCCACGGTGAACACGATCACATGGATCGGTTACGGGTTGCTGGTGATCGACGACGTTTATATATGGGGCCCGAACGTCATAGGACTTGGCGCGGCTTTTGCTCAGTTGGGCCTCGTGGCGAGGTACGGGCGCAAGTGAACATAGTTACTGTCTGTTAAATAAGAATTTGTACACAGAGTTACACAGCTTCTATGGATCACGTCATCTCCGCGCTCACCACCCCATAATCCGTCGCTTGCGCCCGGGCTGGCGAAGGCGGCCGCTTGCGCCGCTGTAGCGCCGTCGCCGCGAACGCGCCGAGCAGAAAGGCCAGGCCGTACTTTAATATATCAAATGAAATGACCACGCCCTCCTTCCAACTCTCTTGACGAGGGAAGTAGCCGATCTCGTCGAGCCAGCGCCGCGGATAAAAAGCTTTGGTAGGTTTCAACTTTTCTACATGTAAATCGTCGAGGCGCTGGCCGTCCTTGACTTTGCTACACAAGTCCCAGAAGAGCGCCCACCACTCATCTAACGCATAATGAGACGTTTCATTTGACAGGGACGAGAGGATTTTGGTCCGCTCCGCCAGAGTCTTCGTTTCCAGGGCTCTCTTCTCCGCCTTGCGTCTGGACTCATGAATATGACTAGAGATGTCCTCGATCCTAGCCTGCACGAGCGGATACGCCACATCATAGAGCCGCCCGGCCCAGTTCCCTACCATCGCCGCCGGCCAATACAGCGACGTGTGGTCGACTTCATGTAGACTACCAGTCGACAAAGCTTCCGGTACGTCGTCCGACTCGACGTAGAGCGGGATGTACGACGCCGAGTGCGGCGCGTACTGGGCCACCCACAGGATCGAGGGCAACTCACTACTCTTTCCTCGAGATTGACTGACGAAGCTATAGGACGTCCGGAACATGGAGATGGCCCTTTCAAATTTCCCGGACGTGGCTTCTTCGAGCGTGATCGAGTCGGCGGCCGCATATCCAACGTCGGGCGTGGCGGCCATGTCCCACCGCGCGGGGTCGCCGTGCGGCCCGGCCGCCAAGCCTCGGGTCATGTCGTAGGGCGTGCCCTCGTAGTGGTCTCTCAGTAAAGCCATGACTTTTTCTGCTCCTAAAGTGCCTTCCACAGGTACTGAAAACGGATAGTCCCTCGCCCACTCGTCTGTTTCCGCGGGGAGTCGTTTCGACGGCGCCGCGACGTCGAAGACCCGCCACACTCTGCGCGTGGAGTAGGTCGAGAGGTGGGGGTGGCTCAACCCATAGACCTCGAGGAAGTTGAGCTGCCCGGAGCCGTCCCAGAGTCCGCTTCGTGTCGCCACGTCTTTCACATTGGCGGAAGCGAGCCACTGCGATCCTTGTTCTTCGGGCGGCAAGGTCGTGATCACAAATTGATTCGCGACGACCGCCACATGTGCGTCTGGTACTTTTCTCGCCGCCCACACTGCTGAAGTACCCGTGTCATCGGCCAGGACATGAAACACCCAGGCCTCCTCCCTGTCGACCACGGTTAATGCTTCGCCGGCCTCGCCGGCGGTCGCGTCGGCTCCGTAGAAGCCGTGCGCCTCGGCCAGCCCGCCCATCAGTTCCACCGCACATCGCGCCGTCGCGCACCGCTCCAGAGCGATCAGCGACAGCTCCCGCGCGTCCATCAGTGCCTGGCCACCTTCAGACACGGGCAAGGCCGTGATCCGAGCCCCACAAGTAGATTCGCCAATCGCCAAATCTTGATTGTTCATCATCCCGTACGCGCCGTCGATAAACGCGTAGGTGCTATCCGTATCGTATGGTACGGTACCCATGCTCTTGAAGTCGCCTTTCCCGTGCTTCCAGTCGTAGTACTTTTTTACTTGTTCATACGTTTTGCCTTTATCGGTACCGAGGTAGCGCGGGTACTCGGCTCTGTAGCGATAAATGTCTCTCTTCTCATCCTTGGAAGTTTTCTTCGACGGCACTTTCGACAACCGAAAGTCGCAGGCGTTGCAGTCGTTCGTGTGGCTCGTGAGCGGGCCGCCGTCCCCGGTCGCGTCTTTGCCTACTATTATAGTGGTGCATTGGTCTCGCGACGGGTCGAGGGAGTACTTGTCGCCCGGTCTTATGATACTGACGTATTTTTTATCGCCCGGTTTTATGATGCTGGCCTGGCAGTGGGTGGCTGCCAGGAGCAGGGCGGCGATGAGCCGCTGCATCGTGCCGTTTGCGGTGCCGCTTGCAGCACGCCGCGGCGACAGCGTCTGGGACTGCTGAGCTTGCTTCTCTCACGTTCAATAGTGCGTCTGCGCGTCTGTGGCGCCGTCGCGTTCAGTTGTGCTGTAATGTTACGAGAGCGCTCTCCTGAGGTAAGGGTCCCGAGACTCGTCTCAGCGGCCGTAACTCAGGCTTGAAGCGGTCTGGAGGCATCGAATGCGTAGGGCTAGTGTGTTTACGCTAACTTTCATCGCTTGCGCGATTAACAAACAAATCGTATTGTTCAGGCCTGCGTCCCCTATCAACGACATGAGTGGCTTCGAGGGACTTTATTACTACTCCTTGAACGGCTCACAAAGTATCAGCGCATCAAATGGCCGCGGCGGCGAGATATTGTGGCACATGCAATCGCTGCGGCTGCCGCGGCGCTGCGAGGCGCCGCGGCGACCCGGCGCGGCGCGCGAAGCACCAAAGCCATCGACGCGCTGTCGCGAGGCGCCGCGGCGACCCGCCGCGGCGCGCGAAGCACCAACGCCATCGAAGCGCTGCCGCGACCGCCGAGAGACATGCAACGCTGCAATGAAGCACCCGCAAGACCGCCGCCGCGTTACCTGACCGCCAACGCGTCACCCGCCGCCCCCTCACGCAGGCTTACTCATTGCTCGTAGAGCCGTCTAAAAACCACAGAAAGCAGGATGCAGAACGACCAGGGCCAGCCCGTCGACCTCTACATCCCGCGGAAGTGCAGCTGGACCAACCGGCTCATAGGCGCGTCGGACCAGGCCTCGGTCCAGATCAACGTCGGCACGATCGACCCGAACACGGGCCTGCACACGGGCGGCTCGGAGACGTACGCGCTGAGCGGCTACGTGCGCAATAAAGGCGAGAGCGACATGGCGCTTACGGAATTGGTCCGGAAGCAGGATGAATCTCTGTAGAGAATACTTACTAGAAATACTTCTTATAGACATTACACTAACACGGCCACGTGCGAAATGCCCCCCCGCGCGGGGCGTCGCACAGCAACCGTGGGCGGCCCTAACAGTCCGGTCCTGTCGCAATAACCAGTCCGATCCGTTCCCGACCGCTCGCCTCTAATACGCGACCACCATTCGGCAGATGGTGGCCACGGACGCCGACCTGACCTCGGGGGCCTTCCGACGCTCGGTAATCTAACCCAAAGTTTTCTTCTTGCACGATCCGCTCCGTCGAGCGTCGTGCTCGCCGCTCACGTGTCCGTAGTAAATTCGCAGCGGCGCGTTGTACTAAATCCGTATGGATCCATAGTAATACCGCGGTGTCCGTAGTAAATCCGCGGTGGGCCGTTGTACTAAATCTGTGGGAGTCCGTCCTAGTAATCTCCATACTGGTCTGTTGTACTAAAGATAATGGTAGGACCGCGGTCGTGCCTCCGCTATATATAATACACGACCCGCGAGTGTGCTCATGGCCTCGTCGGCGTCTCTGACTCATGGCCTCGCACACGTAATGAATTGTAGGCGTCGACTAAGCGTCGACATGTCTGCGATACCGACTCTAATAGTAGGACCGCGGTCGTGCCTCCGCTATATATAACGCACGGCTGGCGCGAACTAGGCAAACGGATTCGGGGCGCCGGTGCTGCCGAGGCCCCTGTTCACACTGTCGTTGATGAAGCCAACAAAGTATTCCTTTTTATCGACTGTGATGTGGTGTAGCACAAGGGGAAAAGGATTTTGTTTCTTCGTCTTTCGTCCGCCCACTCCTGTTATGGGGCATTTCCCATAAACGACGGACAGCGTTTGATTTTTCGACTTGGGCTCATAATAGAGAAGCGTGTCCCGGCCCCAGAACGGGAAGTATTCTTCACTATCGTTCTTGAGTTCGTAGTACGTGCCCCGCGTCGTGAAGTCGTTGGGCAGACCCTCTGGCAGCAGATCATGTACACGAGTAGGAACAGCTTCTTTCAAGTGCCTAAATAATTTGCCGCCTGGTTTGAGTTCATTCCATAGAGTACTATGTCCACCATATGCGTCGCCTGACTGCTTAGTGTCAACTGGAACCGAGATCTCGTTTCGATGGACAAAGGTTTTATCGTTAATGGAATGTTGATGCTGGATCATCTCCCAGAGCTTGTTGAGCTGCTTGTGTAAGGGTCGTTGCCTTCCCCAAATGCCGCTGGCGAGCAACCCCGTGTTGATGAGCATTGTGGATGGGGCCAAGAGGCAGTCGCGTTCATGCGCGGTGATGTGGTGCTGTTCGATGTCTATTTTAGAATTAGGGCACTCTAAGCCTCGCGCACATCCATTGGCGAGTGTGACAAAACCTTTCGCATGGGCACATCGGGGCCTGAAAGAACCACCCTTGGCCCTGGGATCCACCACAAAAATGCACTTCATATCTCTGTACATCGCAGGCGCCTTCGTCCGTATAAATTCGAAGCCATAATCGTCCTCTCCCAAAATAGTAAGCTGCTCCTTAGAAGCACGTGATGCGAACTTCACCTTGTGGGTGAACCTACCTTTCACTAACTCGCAAAGCACGCGAACCTGGCCTTCCTGTCGGGAATTGCCTTCTTCGTGTGGCAAAATCAGGGCAGCCTCGCTTTTTTCGCCGTTCTCACACTTGAACGTCTCGCGCGCCAGAAATGCGAAGCGTATAAATTTTTCCTTTGGGGTCGGTTTTCGCATAGCTGCCGGCACCGGCGGACATTCCAGGGCCGCCAAAGACGCGGCGTCGAACGGTAGTTGTGTAGACGGGTTGGTCTGCTCGCCGGGCTGCACGTCCTCCATGGTCTCATTTTGATCCTTCGGCTCCGGAGAGGCGTCCTTTTGTTTCCAACTCAACACATATCTATCGTGCGGGCGTGTTGTTCTATTGTAGATGATCCTCTCACGGAACAAGTCGCGATGCTTATTGAGCAGTGAATCGATGGCGTTCCGTTTATCCTCTTCACTAGGTCCCTCCGGGGTGACCCAGGATCCTAGCCCCACACGTCGCTTCTTCTGGTCGTTTTGTCCCACACACAGCACGCGGTTTGATCTACAAATCCCGCCATAAGTGTTGAAGTGCTGCGCCGTGAACTCGTCGACCTCCCTGAAATTCAATGATTCGTCGAATTTCAATTCGGTGTCCTTCGGGTCGATTACCAACAGCCTTTCATCAACAAGTTCCCGCTGCTGCACCGGTTCCTTGCTTGCGGCGAAGCCCTCGTTCCGGACAGGGAAGCAGCCTGCCAAGCGTTTGTCCGTCGCTTTCATCAATTTGTACAACAACTCGGCCGCGACCACCAGTGTCGCCTCCACCTTCTTCGAGCCCGCGGTGTTGGCCGCCTTCAGACTCGCTGGCTCTTTCCACAGACCTATCCCTTTGTGGAAATCAGCTAGCGATCTGCCCTCCTGTATTACCACGCACTTACAAACACTGTCCCTCAGTTGCACGCACACGCAGCCGCGGCGTCGGGCCTGATCTAGAGCTTCGTTTCTCGACGCAGAGAGACCGCCTCCTACTACTACTTCACCATAGCATTGCGACTTGTACTTGGCCACTTCTCCCTGGGTGCCCACGACCCACAGTATTTGTGATGCTCCTAGGCCAGCTTTTAACAGTCTCAATTCAATGAGTTTGGCGTCGACCCACCGGCCTGTAGATATGATGCAGAAGAGGAGCTTGGACGCGTCGGTGGCGTCCGTGTCCAAGACGGACTTCACGTAGGGGTCGCCAGTTCTAGTGAGCTTTTCAATAGCTTGCGCTTCCGCATCGAAGGAGCTGAAGTAACCAACACCGTGCCTAAGGACCTGCTCAGTCGTTTTGTTGGGTATGCTCTCCGCGATCCGGCGGCAGTCGTCCTTCAATATGTTCTTTGCACCCCCGCTCCGCTTTATGTTGAGCGTCGCCATGGCCTCGTGAAATTTCTCCCTCTCCTCCGGCCACCAGCGATTGCTTTCGCTCTGCGCGCCGTCTAGGCAGTATTCGCCTCCTTCCTTCGCGAGTCGCAGTGCATACTTGAGGTATTTGCGCAACAACTTCAGGCTGGAAGGTCTATTCTTCTTTGGGTCCTTGCTGAACCCCTTGTATGACGGCCAACCGATCGGCACTTCGAGGTTCTTCACTGCTTTATTAGCTGGATCGTCCTCGTGTTGATATAAACAATAACAGCGATGCTTCAAGAGTAGGTCCCATTCCTTAGTAAAGCTCGTCTTGCCCCTGAGGGCGGCATCCAGCGCACACACCGCTGCTTCCAACTGAGAGTTCGGGCGCCGCCGAACGCTGTCTTTCCAGTTAGGTGGCAGTACGAGGGGCTCTGTCGGAGGGTTCGTATCCGTGTCAATCAGGTCCTCATTATCAGCGTCATCGGCGGCGCCGCCGCCCGATTTAGCGCCGGGCTTGGCCCTCGCCGCCGCCGCCGCCGCCTTCGACTGAAAGTCCTCGCCCGACTCCAAGAACTCGAGCCACGCGGCGTCGCGCGCCGATTTGTCGAGCTTGCAGTATTTATGATCGATATCGTTGCGCAGGTCACCCATGTTGCCGCCGAAGATGACGAAATAATCCCCGATATTGGTGGCGCCCATATACCCATCATAGCGAGCAGCACTTGCTGACTTGGCGCCTAACCAACGCCGTGCTGACTTGGGATTTGGATCCGTAAAGGTGCACTTCACCTTCTTCTCGCGCAGCAGTTCAATGAAAGCTTTTGGCCAATTGTCAGCGTCCTCTGGCAGTGGCACCCGCGGAGCAGGTGGAGCCGGTGGCGGACTCGGATCTCCGCCAGTCTTGCCTTCCTCTTCGTGATCGTCGCCATCGCCGCCCGATCTCGCGAGCGTCACTAGTTTCATCCCCATGATGTGGACGTTGAGGCGAACCGCAGCACTCGAATTCTGCACCACCATGGGGTTTAACTGGTCGACGAGCTCGCCTAGCATGTCGAGCGTGTTGGCATCGCCCTGCCGCGGGGCGGGCGCCAGCGCCTCCTCAACTTGTGCTCTCATCCAGGCCGGTGCCACCGGGCGAGTCTCAGCTCTGGCGTAGAAGTCGTTAACCTCATCTTGCGTGAAGCTCGTGGGCAGAGGGACAGAAGGAGGGTTCGCCCGGCCGCCGAAGCCTCTATCTGTATCGATCCACTGCTTTCTAGGTAGTGTCGCGTCCGTCCAGGTCTGGGGGCAGCTCGTATAAGATAAAGACTGATCATAGTAGCCGGGGCAACACCACCTCCCTAGCTCGCCCTCGACGGGCTTGGGCTTGCCTTGCCCACAGATACTACAGATGGCCGGCGCGCCGCGCGCCGCGCCGTCAATGACCTTTCTGAGTACAAAGGCCTCGTTGCCGACCTTGGACTGGCCGTTCGCTTCCAGGAGATCTTTGAGGTCTTGGAGACGTAAACTTCCATAAATTTTCCAGGCCACAACTTCCGCTGGTGTGGCATTAGCAGCTTTAGCACATAGCACCTCGAGGAGGTCGTAGTCCCCATGCACAATAGCGCTACCTGGCGGCCTATGCCTAGACTCCAAGGGAAGGGGGTTGTTCCTCAAGGAATCGATGGTCGCGGGCCTCGTAAAGGACGAGTCCGGTGCGGCGGGTGCTGGTGCTTCGGCCACTTCTTCCCAGGGGTACGCCCTCCTCAGAAGGCACTCACAGAGATACCGGTGCTTTAATACAGTGGTTGGGGACGCGATATCGTCCACAAGCGCCTCATCTACTAGCCCACTGTCGTCTTTGATGATGATGGCTCCTTCTTGCGGTAGGGTGCCGTCTAATTCGACCACATTACTAAATTCGAGCCGCATCGCGTCGGAGCAGTCGATCATCTCCTGCAAATCATGCAATAGATCACGTGGCCACTGAAAGTCCGGATCCACACACACCGCGTAGTCCTGAAGCAGGCGTAATTCCGAGCGGTCCCGCGCCTCACGGTTCCGCCTCAAATTATCGGCGAGATTAAATCCAACTTCTTGTTCGAGCTCGTGGCTGTCCACAACGTAGTTCGTCGCATCTACGGGGCGAACGGCCTGGATGGTAGCATGGACCCACTCGTAAGTCACAGCATAATGCACGATGCAGCTGGCAGCGGTAAACGTAAGCGAAAGTCGTAGCGGCTCCTCGCACACGACATACGTAGCGTCGCGCGGCCGATTCACTATGCTGACGCCCGCGTCCCTCAGTCCCTGTAAAACGGACTCGCTAGGCAGGTCGCCGTCGAAGAACACTTTGACATTCCCGGAGGTCGGCGAAGAGGATTGGCACGAGCGCTTCGCCGGTGGGAGAGAAGGTGGTGGCGGTACACCGCCGGGCCGCGCGTGGTCCGCCGTCGCAGATGGATGACCGTCATCGTTTTTCGAGGGTGGCTCGGGCAGGGACGGCTGAGATGTGAGCCCTTCCAGCGCGCCGCCGTCGTCCTCTTCGTCGAGTTCTTCGATCACGCGGCGCTTGCGCTTCGGCTTCGCCGCCGGCTTGCCATCGTCCTTCACCAATCCCTCTTCCATACGTTGTTTGGACATGATCAGAGCTCGTTGCAGCTGCAGCTGCTCGTCTTCGTCCTCCATGTCGGCGTCATGAGGAGGAGGCGGCGGCGGCGCGCGCTTCTTCTGCGGAGAGGGCTTTGATGCACTGCCGCCGTCCGACGACAATCCGCCCTTCGCTAAAGGTCTCTTCTTCAACCGTTCCCTCTCAGCAGCTAGTTTCCTCCGCGCCTCGGCCTGGTTGCGCCGGATTTGGGCGTCGTCCGTAGGGCGGGTCATCCAGGGCGTCGCCTTCTCGCTGCTGTCGCTGCTCGAGTCGTCGCCGTTCGAGCTACTGTTACCTATAGGTTGTGTGGATATGAGCGGAGCTTGTTGCGGCTGGGACTGCTCGTCATCGTCCTCCATGACCACGTCGTCGTCACCGTCGCCTGCGCCACCCACAGCGGGCCCACGCTTCACATAATACTCGCCCTCTTGCTGTTGATGATCAAAGCGCTCGGTTGGCTGGCGCCGCCGCCGGCCCGCGAGCTGCTGGTCCCCAGGCGGCTGCGGGGGCGCCTCGTCGTCGCTGTTCGAGTCGCTGCGCAAGTCGTCGTCGTTCGAGCTACTCTCGGAGGGGTCGCTGCGGAGCGACTGGATCGGCGTACCGGTAGCCGTATAGAGAAAGTTATATCCACTGGAAGATTGCCCGCGCATCGCCCCCACGAACGCGCTCGCCGACTTGTAGACTGTGCCCTCGTGCCTGATCCAACCGTTCTCGAGCAGTTCGCCTTCCTCTTGGTGATTGTGTTCTCTGAAGACGATGATGTCGCCCACGTTTAGGCTGCCCTTGTCAATGAGCTCTTTCAACGACAACAACGAGCCTCCTAGAAGATGCCCAGGCCAGGGCTCCGACAAAACCACAGTAGAATTATTCTGGATGTCGTAGTGCTGGAGCAAAGCGGCTTTGTGCATCTGTCTGCCGCCGATGGACTGCAGATACTGATATTTTGACAGGGGACCACCAATCTTCTGCTGGATCTCGCGCATGAGATCACCGACGATCGCCCACGGCTTCACAAAAACAGAGGGCCTCTTCGCGCCCGAGGCGGTAACGACCAATATTTGTATCACTTTTTGCTCTTTCATACTATCGAGTCGATGTTTCTCCATGGCCTCATCTAACAAGGTATTGTCGGACAAGACTGCCTCCGGGCCCTGGACGCACGCCGCGTCCGCGACCGCCGCCGCGAGGCCCGCCGTCCGTAGCCCATCTAATGAATCCGTCAACGCGCCCACGAGCCGCGCGACGGCCCGCGGCGAGTTCTGACACAACGCGACGTCGAGCGAAGCCGAGCCCTGGACGCACGCCGCGTCCGCGACCGCCACCGCGAGGCTCGCCGTCCGTAGCCCATCTAATGAATCCGTCAACGCGCCCACGAGCCGCGCGACGGCCCGCGGCGAGTTCTGACACAACGCGACGCCGAGCGGCCGAGCCCTGGGCGCACGCCGCGTCCGCGACCGCCGCCGCGAGGCCCGCCGTCCGTAGCCCATCTAATGAATCCGTCAACGCGCCCACGAGCCGCGCGACGGCCCGCGGCGAGTTCTGACACAACGCGACGTCGAGCGAAGCCGAGCCCTGGACGCACGCCGCGTCCGCGACCGCCACCGCGAGGCTCGCCGTCCGTAGCCCATCTAATGAATCCGTCAACGCGCCCACGAGCCGCGCGACGGCCCGCGGCGAGTTCTGACACAACGCGACGTCGAGCGAAGCCGAGCCCTGGACGCACGCCGCGTCCGCGACCGCCACCGCGAGGCTCGCCGTCCGTAGCCCATCTAATGAATCCGTCAACGCGCCCACGAGCCGCGCGACGGCCCGCGGCGAGTTCTGACACAACGCGACGTCGAGCGAAGCCGAGCCCTGGACGCACGCCGCGTCCGCGACCGCCGCCGCGAGGCCCGCCGTCCGTAGCCCATCTAATGAATCCGTCAACGCGCCCACGAGCCGCGCGACGGCCCGCGGCGAGTTCTGACACAACGCGACGTCGAGCGAAGCCGAGCCCTGGACGCACGCCGCGTCCGCGACCGCCACCGCGAGGCTCGCCGTCCGTAGCCCATCTAATGAATCCGTCAACGCGCCCACGAGCCGCGCGACGGCCCGCGGCGAGTTCTGACACAACGCGACGTCGAGCGGCCGAGCCCTGGGCGCACGCCGCGTCCGCGACCGCCGCCGCGAGGCCCGCCGTCCGTAGCCCATCTAATGAATCCGTCAACGCGCCCACGAGCCGCGCGACGGCCCGCGGCGAGTTCTGACACAACGCGACGTCGAGCGGCCGAGCCCTGGACGCACGCCGCGTCCGCGACCGCCACCGCGAGGCTCGCCGTCCGTAGCCCATCTAATGAATCCGTCAACGCGCCCACGAGCCGCGCGACGGCCCGCGGCGAGTTCTGACACAACGCGACGTCGAGCGAAGCCGGGCCCTGGGCACGCCGCGTCCGCGGCCGCCGCCGCGAGGCCCGCCGTCCGTAGCCCATCTAATGAATCCGTCAACGCGCCCACGAGCCGCGCGACGGCCCGCGGCGAGTTCTGACACAACGCGACGCCGAGCGGCCGAGCCCTGGGCGCACGCCGCGTCCGCGACCGCCGCCGCGAGGCCCGCCGTCCGTAGCCCATCTAATGAATCCGTCAACGCGCCCACGAGCCGCGCGACGGCCCGCGGCGAGTTCTGACACAACGCGACGTCGAGCGAAGCCGAGCCCTGGACGCACGCCGCGTCCGCGACCGCCACCGCGAGGCTCGCCGTCCGTAGCCCATCTAATGAATCCGTCAACGCGCCCACGAGCCGCGCGACGGCCCGCGGCGAGTTCTGACACAACGCGACGTCGAGCGAAGCCGAGCCCTGGACGCACGCCGCGTCCGCGGCCGCCGCCGCGAGGCCCGCCGTCCGTAGCCCATCTAATGAATCCGTCAACGCGCCCACGAGCCGCGCGCCGCCAGCCCGCTGGCAGAGGTTGTCCGAGAAGACGTCTAGGCCGTCCGAAGAATTATACAATGGCACGTCCGGCGCCGCGCCCACGACTACCGGTTGCCCGCGAAGCGCAGCGACGCCGAAGAGGCCCTTGAACACGCCGTCGAGCGCCGCGGCCGCCGACGCGTCCAGCAAGAGGGCGTTGAGTCCCTCCGAACCACCCAAGAAGACCACCGTCGGCGCCGCGCCCATGAAGCCCGTCTTGTGAAGCACATTTGAGTTCGTCAGCACGTCCAGCGACAGCGCGTCGCCGAGGACGTCCAGCGAGAAGACGTAGCCCCCGACGACATCGATAGGAGTCGAGCCCTGGAAGAACGCCACGCCCAGCGCCGCGAGCACGGCCTGGCCCAGCGCCGCAAGTGCCGCGTGCTGGCCCTCGAAGGACGCCTCGCCGGGCGCAGCAGTCGCCGCGCAGTCGGAAGTGGAAGGCAGCGCCAGAAGCCCATGAGACACCACCACATCTTTGTTAGGAATGTTGTTTAGGAACATCAAGTTGCGTTTGAAGGTCTCAGCCATCAGGTGGGTCACCTTCAATGACACCTTGTGTTGACGACGGAAGGCCAATTGCTGAATTATATATCGCAGTTTCAACCGCAGTTTCAACCGTCCTAATTTTAGAGAATAAGTCACTTGTAGGTCTTCACGGTAAATGTAATCTAATTTAGGAACACGATCTTCTTTTAGGTAAATCGTTTCGATACCACCGGCACCCTTCCCGCGGCGATTGCGGCCGGCGCCGATGTCGTCGGCGTCGATGTCGTCGATGAAGTCCGTCAGCTCGTCGTAGGACACGCGGCCCGCGCCGTTCAGATCCATGTCTCCAAACAGCGCCTCGAGCTCCTCGAGCTTCGGGAACTTGCCCGTTCTATCTTTCTTGGCAAAGGACTTGAGCGCGGCGTTCACATCTTTCTTCGACAGGCCGTCATCACCAGACTTATGCGCGTCGAAGTGCGTCTTCAGAGCCCCCACGAAGGTCGTGCGACGCTCTTGTTTATTAATATAGTGATTACCGCGCAGCACGACGTTGCAAATCTTAGAGTCACGTTCATCCTTTGGATCAAGCTCTTCTCCTTTGTAGGAAATAACTGGTTTATCGGTAGATTTGCGTGGCGACCAATAAACGTCTTCCTCGACAGATGTAGTGGTAGAGGCGGTTGTGGTCTTAGAAATAAGAGATGATGTGACTTCGGTTTCCACATGAAGAGAGCCAAATTTGTTTGAGCCATCATCTACGATCACGGGCTTGGGCGGCGGAACGCTCAATTTTACTGTTTTTTTGGCCGGTTTAAAACCCTGAACACCCTCGCGACGTTCTTTCCGATTCGGCTCTTCGTTGGTAGCCGTCGCCTTCAGACTTTTAGTGAAAAGGCGTTCATCTTGATCACGCTTACGTCGGTTGCTGCGTTCTTTCAAACGTTTGAAATGGCGTAAACGGTAACGTTTCTTCGTAGTAGCATCTAGATCGACGGGCTTCGTCGGATGTGACGAGCCCGACCCGTTTCCACCCAAAGCAATTACCGTCGACGGACCGCCGCCGCCGTCTTGGGGCCCCAAGGCCTTCTTGTGCGCATCTTTGGTCCCGCCGGGCCCGCTCCCAACATCTCCCGTGCGTCGCGCAGCGCCACGGCCCATCGTCGGCCGTCGCGTGCCTCGCGGAGGCGGTGGCCTTTGTGGGCTTGCTGCTGCCCTTCAGTGGACTTCCTGCTGCTTTTTGGGGCAGCAGACACTGCGCAGCGTCGCTCGGCGTCCGTGGCTCGCTCGTGTCGAGCTCGTCGGCGAACTTGTGCAGAAGGCACAGTAGGCCACCAGCCAAACCTGGCTTTTGCTTGCTAGTGTCTTAACAGACGCTAGCGCTTTATTTTTTTTTGCGTTTTTTGCGCTTCTTTTTTTTTGTTGGCGCATCGGCGGAATCGCTGCCGGAGCCGCTGGCACTCGATTGGGCTGCCATCTTGGCCCTTCTGCAGTGGTGGTTACCTTCTACACGCCCGAGGCGAGGCGCAACACACGCAAACAGAATGCCAGCGCCCGCCGTCGGCGCTGTTTACTTTTTTTGGGACCGCGCCAGGATGAGTCTTCCTGGCGCTGTACTGCTCGGGGACCGGTCGGGGAGGCGTATGGAGCCAACGCGCGAGCGAGGAGAAGCTGCGGACGCGCCGCGTGGTCCGCGTGGCCGACCGCTTCCGCCGCGGCGACGACTCGGGGTCTGAAGACGCGTAAGACCACAACGTAAGTTACACAAGCTAGCCAGCGGCGGCGGCCGCCGCCGCGATCGTCCGCCGTCGCTGCAACGCCTTCGCATCGCAGACGTCGTCGTCGCACGGCTGCGACCCCTTCACGAACGTGGCAAACGAAAACGTCACCAGGCTGCACGCGTTCAGCACGAGCAGGCGGTGCTCGAGGGGCACGTATCGGAAAGAAAACGGGTGCACGACCGGCCACACGCACAGCGCGAAACTGACCGAGTCGATGAAGCTCCCCTCGACGTCCTCCCGCGCCTTCTGCAAGTCACGGGCCCACAGCGCCGGCCACGCTAAAAACAGGGCCATGTTCAGCGGCATCAGAGTTGCTTGATCGACCACTACTCGCTTGAAGACGTTCGCCCAAGAGGTCCCAGGAAACCACCGCTCGAGGCCGACGGTTCTACCCCAGAAGAGGTGGTTCGCCGGGCCCAGCCACAACACGCCGAAGGACGCGTTCCTTGCTGTGGCCGTCCAGTCGTAGGGCTTGTCGTCTCTCGACTGCGCGAGGGCGTCGGTCGCGGCGAAGGTGCAGCCCGACGTCGTGGCCTTGACCTTGAAGGGGTGGCGCTGTAGCGCTGCGCAGTAGCCTCTCCACAGCAGGGCCATGGCGTGGCTGCGCGGCGGCGGCGTGCGATGGGTTAGCTTAGCCTGGCTGCAGTGTTTGGGGTGCAGCGAGCTGTCTGGTGCCGAAGCGCTCTAAATTATTGAGGGGGCGGTGTCGCTGTGCAGCACTGTGAGGGCTGCGAGCAATTATGGGCCACAGGTGCGCTCGCGCGGCGTATTCGACTGCCAAAGGGCATCTCCAAAATGTCACCGTGATTTCTGGCGCGGTGAATGGTCGCCGGGACGTCGTCTCTGCCCTTCGTATGTTTCCTAGAAGCGAAAACAACGGCTTTGACGGTTCTTCGGGTCCCTGGCTAGTGTCTTACAGGCCGCTAGCTCTGGATTTGCTCAGTCATTTTGGCTTTGACGCCCAGGTTGCATCAATCGAAGCCAGCGCTGCGTTTCAGATACGTTTTGACACCAAGGTTGCGGCCTGCAATGCGTGGCGGCGCTTGCAGCCGCAGCGCGGCGCTCGCCTTGCTGCTGTGCACTGCAGCAGCTTGGCAGAGGCCGGCAGCGCGCGGCATCACGCCAAGGGTCCGCAACGCAGCGCGAGCCATCGACCAGCATGGCGCCAAGCCGCGTCGCACCGCGCTGCGAGCCACCGACACGGACGAGGAAGCACCCGCAAAGCCGCAAGCGCAATCGTTCATGGACAGTATGCAATCCTTCTTCAAGCCCAAGCCCGCCGTCAACACGACGGCGGCGGCGCAAAAGGCCAAGGCCGACGCCGAAAGCCAGGGCGACGACGCCGACGTCAGCGAGGAGCAGCGTAGAGTAGCAGAAGCCGTGGTCGAATCGGCCTTCGTCGAAGCCTCGGAAACGGACGACGCTGGACGAACGCAAACATTACAAAAAGAAGCTCTAGACGACGACGTCCTCAAGGCCTTTGGTATTGAGTTAGAAGGGGAGTACAAGAGTGAAACACTGAGGACCATCTCCGAGGTCGCCGTGAAGGCGAAGATCGCCCTGGAGGGCGCCCAGGTCCGATTTGAGACGGAGTTAGAGAGATCTAAGGCCGTGGTCTTGGCGTTGGTCGAATACGCGAAACGAAAGATAAAATACGAGTCGTCGCGTCTGTTAACGGCGGCCGAGGACGTTTTGAAAGCAAACGTGTCCCTCACGGACGCGGCCCTTCTGCTGAGCGAGGGCATCAACCCCTTTGATGCGGGGTTGCTGAAGACCTTGGCACCTCCCGACGAGACGCCCGAGAACCTCCAATTAAGGGCCGCCGACGCGCGCCGACGCAAGGAGCAGTCCCGGAAGATCCTGCCGACCAAGGCCGCCTCGTCGTTGCAGGACGTCGCGTATGAGGCTCGACGCGAGCTCACGGAGCGGCGGCCCGGCGCTCGTATTGAAGAGAAATTGCCGGGCATAGGACCCGCTCTCGACAAGCTCGCCCCCAAGAGGCTGGAGCAAGCGCCGATGAATGCGCTGCCCGAGCCCGAGGAGGTCGTCGCATTGCCGGAGCCTGAACCGGAGCCGGAGCCTGAACCTGAGAAGCCGCGCGAGCGCAACCTAAGGCCCGGCGTCGCTAGAGCAGTAGACGCCGCGGCCGACGCCGTACAAAGTTGTCTAGACGCCTGGAACCTCATCGACGACTCGCGGGCGAACCAGCTGCGCTACCAGTTGGACGCGGTGGCCACGTTCCTCGCCGATGATAGTTTAACCTTCTCCGAGAATTTTATGGCCGATGGCAGTGATGTGTTGCGGAATCGGCGGTTAGCCTCGGCCGGCGCCTTCGCTGATGTCGTGTCGATAGTGACGCCCGAGGCGGCCGCAACTTTTGCCGACGCGCTGCGCGAGGTCTTGGCGCTCGAGGAACTTCTCAAGAGGGAGGCGGCGTTGGACGCGGCTTTAGCCGAGGCCGGTGTCTCTCGGGAAGAACGGCCTTTGTCGGCCGAAGATAAAGAGTTACTTGCCGAGCGCCAGGCGGACGAAGACGCTCTACAGGCGGCGGCGGAAGCGAAAAAGGCTGCGGAAGAGGAGGCTCTGCGGCTGGAAGAAGAGGCTAGGGCAGAGGAGGCTGAGCGTCGCCGAAAGGCCGACGCGGAAGCCGCGGCCGAGGTCGAACAACGGCGCGCGGAGGAGGCGGCGCGGCGCCAGGCGGAGGCCGCCGCGGCGCTGGAACGAGCGGCCCAGGAGAAGGCCGCGCGTTTACAGAAGGAGGAGGCCGAGCGCGCACAACGAGAGGCGGAGAAGCTTGCTAGAGCGGAATCGGAGGTCGCCGACGTCGTCGCGGCCGAGGTCGCCGCCGCCGAGGCGGAGGTGGCGGCGGCGCGGGCCGAGGTCGAGGCGGCTAGAAAAGCGGTCGCCGACGAAGCCGACGAGGCGGTGGAGCCGGCGGTCGTCGCGCCGGAGCCCGAAGCGGCGCCTTCAGTCGTCGAGCCGGCGTCGGAGCCTGACCCCGAGCCCGAGACTCTGAGCCTCGACGCTATTCTGGAAATGACCGCGGACGACGACGACGAGGAGGAGATCGCGGCCGAGGTTGTGGTAGAAGAGGTCGAGGTCCTCGACACGACGCCTTTCGAAGTCGAGGTCGAGGAAGAGGAGGCGGAGGCCGTGGTCGACGATACTGTGGTAGACGACGCTGGCAGCGTCATCAACGGCACGGCCGCCTCGAAGCTCGACAGCGAGGGCGACGCCATCGCCGTCGAGTCCGAGAGTGAGGCAATTGCCGAGAACGCGACGGCCGGCGACGTCATCTTGCGGGTTTTGGATCTTGTACTATTACTCTCGGAGCGGTTCTTCGGGAGCTTTCTGCCGGACTTTGTCGAGATTGTGGCGGGTGCGGCAGAAAACGCGCAGAAGGCGCTGGCCGACCCGCTCGCCGAATCAAAATCGACGTCGCTGCTCGGCGGCGTCAAATCAACACTCCCAGATGAAGAAGAGGAGGCCGGGCGGCAACGCAACGTGCCGAAGCTCGACGCTCCAACAAATCCCGACGACCCGCTGTCAGGCCTGTGGAGCGAGGGGGGCGACGATGATAAGCCTAGTTAGCATCTCTCCCTAGCACGACCCCGAGTCCACAATCCGGACGGGCTGCGACGTCGCACCGGACTGGCTCCCGACGGCGGCCATGGCCCGGATCGTCTCCGCGCCGGAAACAACCTTGCCGAAGACGACGTGCTTGCCGTTGAGCCAGGGCGTGTCGTCGAGGCAGATGAAGAACTGGCTGCCGTTGGTGTTCGGGCCCGCGTTCGCCATCGATAAGGTCCCAAATCCTCCATGTACTAAGTCAAAATTCTCGTCGGCGAACTTCTCGCCATAGATCGACTTGCCGCCCGTGCCGTTCTCGTTCGTGAAGTCGCCGCCCTGGCACATGAAGCCGGGGATGATGCCTGCGCCGCGGCGACGGCGTGATGATATGGCAGAACGGGCGGCGCACGCGTCGTTTACGGAATCGGACACGGTCGTCGGACGGTGGAACGGCGAGCCCTTGTAGCCGAAGCCCTTGCTACCCGTGCACAATTGTTTAAAGTTCTCGCAGGTCTTCGGCGTCGTCGAGCCGTAGAGGCCGAGCTCCACGCGCTGCGGCGCGCCGCCGCCGATGGAAATGTCGAAGTAGACTGTTTCGGTCACGTCGGCCTCGCTCTTCTTGAACAGGCCATCGAGCATGCCGAATTGGCGCACTGTCTGCGGCTGCACCTTGGGCGTCGCGCGCGGCTGGAAGGCCGCAGCGCTGGCAATCAGGAGTGAGAGCTTGAGCATCGTTAAACTGCCTGGAGAACGCTGCGGCTGGGCGTGGCTACTATGTGGTAGATGGCTTTGCAACTACTACAGCTGATGTGAGCAAAACTGGGGCCTCAGAGCCGCGATCCGCTGGGAGAGCTTTTGGCAGCTTGCTAGTGTCTCAGGGCGCTAGCTCAAACGAGGACGCCATCGACGCGCGCCACCGTAAATATACGATAGAGACTCCTACACGACCCCCTCCGCCGCCGCGCCGCTCGGCGCCTCGACGTCGACGCTCGAGCGACGCGACGACCGCCTTCTAACATTCTCCTTCGTGTCCCGGACGTAGGCATAGCCCAAATCGACACACCCGAACGCGAGCACATGATCAGATTCGTCCGGCACGGGAGCCTCCGTGACTGGCACGGGCGGGAAGAGGTTCTCGATGCTCATCGTCAGGGGTATCTTGCATAAGTCCGTAAGTACGAACCATATCAAGTCGTAGAACCACACCCGAGCGACGTCCTCCCAGGACACGTCTCGGCCCAGCGCTCCCGACACCACAATGGCCGTCACGGCCGCGTCCGCCACGATGACAGCAATGACCATGGTGAGCAGCGGCGTCGACTCGTCGCGGCTCAAGGTCCGGCGTCGCATGCAGGGTGCGTGACGTTCCGCGCCTTGCACCAGCTAACTATTGCTCGTGGAAGCGGCGCTCACGCGTGGCGCGTCGGCGTTTGGCCTACAGCTTTTGCTCCAGGGAAAAAGCAGCACAGTGGTGTTACGCCAGCGGCGTCGTTTCGCGTGCTCGCGGTCCGAGTTTTATGTATCGTCACGACTACTGATGCGCGTACGTGTGCCAAAAGCTGGTGCGACCTCGGTTTTTGCGAGACCAAATATGAGGAGCAAGTCTCGATTGTGCTCGAGCCCGCGAAACCAAAGCAGGATAGGTCGACTCCGGACCGATCCTTGACCCCTTTGATTCTTCCGGCCACCGCAGGACGCTTTGTCTGTCGTGCTAGTGTCTTACAGGACGCTAGCTTGGCCCGTCTTTGCAGCAAAGCGCGGCGCGTAGCGCTCCCTGCTCTACCGCGTCCCGTCTTGCGTGCAGCTTTCGACCAATTACAGCAGTCACCAACGCTCGCTTGAGCCGTGCGCCCCGCCGCGCTGCGTACAGGACACAGCCCCAGCCTCGCTGCACAGCACGCCGTCGCGCAGCCATGCCCCCGAAAGGAGTAGACGCGGCCGCAAGGGAAGCCATGACCCATAAAATCGCCCAGCGAATAAAATCAATGTTGCAGCCCGGCCAGGACCCGGTCGCCGCGGCCCGCCAGATCGAGGCCAAATGTTTTGACAGCGCGAAAGACGCCCAAGACTACGAGCGGAAAGTCGAGAAACGCCTCGCCAAAGCCGCCAAGGCCCTGGAAGCCTCCCAACGGCCTTCCATGTCCGAACCGTCAGACACGGCGCCCCTCGAAAAAAAACAAGCCCTCGCGCGAAAGAGGAGTCGGGAGGACTCGGAAGTAGTCCAGGAGGCGAAGCGGCCGCGCAGTTCTGATTCCGCGAGGGATTTGCTGCGGGAGCACGGCGCTACGTTAGAGTGGTGGCGGGCCGCGCCTGCTGTTATTGGTCGTAGATTACGAGCGATTATTGATGCGGCTACTGCTGCTGGAAGTGTGGGAGACGAAGCTAGGACGTGGGCCTCGGACGCGCTGCAGAAGGTCGATAAAATCGAGAAGCGGGCTACTTCACTACACAAACAATTGGAGGCGCGAAGCGGGAACCTGAGTGAATTGCCCGGGTATTGTACGAAGCTCAAGGAGTGGAAGGCGGATTTAGAGGCTAAATTGGGGAAAAGGGCGCCGCAGTGGGCGCCTTCCTCGATTGGAGAGGCTGCTGTCGAGAGCTGGTGCGACGTCGCCACGAATGACGTGGCCGGCGCTTTAAGAGCAAGGCTAGGCGCTTGTGTGGGTGCCATTTCCCAGGATGCGTTGGGTGCGTACCGCGTCGAGTGCCCCCGCGACTCGTTCACCGCGACGCTGCGACTGCAAACGAGCAACGGTCAAGTCACGCGGGCCTGGGTTACAACAGTGCGCTCGGGCGAGCGGTCGCCGGCGTCTTCATATGATTTCTGGCGGCGCGTCGGTGACGAGGCGACGGAGGCGGCCGACAAATGTGTTAAAAAGGCGGGCGGCTCGACTCTGGGAACCGTCGCGCGGCTCTTGGTCGCCATCCCTCTCTTTCGGGACGCGTTGGCGTCGACGGCGGCGGCGCGGCACAAGGCTTCCGTCGAGCGGAGCGCGCCGCGCGTGCCGGACTTTGCGAGGGCGGCTCGGTTGCTGGAGCGGGAGCGCGTGCGTGCTAGCTAAAGTAAGTTGTTTTGGTTTTTACTCTCGACGGGGTCGATGGCTGTTCGCGTCGGGCGCGCTATCACGGCTGCTTGTCATCGAGGATGGTCTGCAGCTTCGCGAGGATTATCTGCTGCGTCGCGGCCATCGCGGCCAACTCTCGCTTGACGTCGGCGAGCTCCTGCTTCGTTCGTTCTTCCGACTCGCGGACATGGTCCGCCTCGGAGGCGTCCTTGTGCTGCGCGAGCGCTTCTCTTAGTCGTTCCTTGATCGAGTCCCCGTCTTCTTCCCGTCGCAGCCACGATGGTAGGAGCCTCGCGACCGGAGTAGTCTCCGTGATATATTCGAGGCGCGACCGGTAGAAAAGTCCCGCTGCGATCTTTCCCGTGATATCATCGTGCGATTTTGACACAATCGCGATGAGCACATTCAATAGGACGACGGCGACGATGAACACAAAAAGCACCAAAATGAACCTGAGCGCTCTGTTATCAAATGTGTCCAAGTCGAAGTCTCCTAGTAAGCCGAGTAAATAGAGCGAGAACAACGTCTTTGGAAATGTCGAGTAATGAGTCGGCTCGCCGTCGTCGTGGTAGCCAATGTCGCTCCTCGTCTTCGTTCCGAGGTAAAGGTAAAATGTCGTAGCGAACATGAGCAGGATAATGAAGAAAAACGCAACAAATATGTACAGGTCTGTCACGACTCGCTCAAACATCATCACGAATTTTGAGAACCGGAGGCTGAAGTCCTTAACAGAGGTTTCATCACCAGAGTGATCAATCGGGCTCAAATGTTGTGAGAGTGGAGAGACCGGCTCTGCTTCATCGCCGGAGGGCCTTCTCTGCCGAGCGCCCATATTTCGCTACGTAGGGCTCGCGTAGAGCTCGCGTGAAGGAGTCGGATGCTTGCTTGCTAGTGTCTTACAGGCGCTAGCCCACGAATTTCCGCCTCCACAAGTCTCGAAGCCAAAACGGGGTTTCGGAGCACACACAGGGTCGTTACATACCCCTCCGCCTCCCCCACGACGTCATCGACGCGCAGTCACAACCCCGCCCGCGCGCCGGTTGCGTCCCTTATGCCGCCCGCCCCACGAGCACCGGACCCCGGCGAACGCGTCCCCGTCGCCGCTCGCGATCTTCGCGAGCACCCTGCCCCAGAAAAACACCTTTCCTGATATTTGCGCCGGCGAGTACGGGTGCCACACGGCCGGCACCGCGCCCCGTGGGCACCGGTCGACGACCTCGTCCGCGATGATCCCGACACCCTCGTCATACAGCTCGTTCGCGGCGACCTGGTCCGAGCTCCGGCCGCCCCGGCCTTTGAGCCGCCACGCGTCGAGGAACGACGCCGCCGCTTCCGTCGGCCGCGCCACAAAAAAACCGGCACAGAGCGCGAAGCCGCGCTTCCCATCAAAGCCCGCCGCCGTCGCCACGCCGTCGCGGCTGAAGGCCAGGGGCGCTTCGATGCGGCGGAGGCGCGAGATTGGTGATTGCAGCCAGAACGCGTCGACGTCGCTATAAATCACCAGCCTTTTCGATCCCGCGGCCTCCTCGCGCACGAGGCGCAGGACCGTATGAACCTTGGCGAGCCGCGCCGCCGCGACGTCGTGGGCCCCTCCGGTCGCCTCGAGCGTCCTCGCGCGCGTGTCCAGTCGCCGCACGGCGGCCACGGCGTCGTCGTCGAGGCAGGCCACGACGAGCTCCACTCTAGCATCCGTCGCCGCCGCGAAGCGCGGATGCCACAATTCAAAGAGGGGCGCGTATTTCCCGTTGAGGACCGTCGCGACGATCGTATGCGTCGCGTTGTCCGTCGCAGGCGTCGCGCTGCCCGCGGCGGCAAAGGCGGCACACAGCAGGGCTGCCCTCGCCAAGCGATGGCCCGCACGGCTGCCCCCGCCCATCGATGCGATGCGGCACGGGGTCGAGCACTCACTTAGACGACGCGTCGACGGCGTGGGGGCAGGCTGGAGGAGGCAGCCCCAGCTGCGGTGGCTGCCGGAGACACGCGCGTCCGATCGCAGTGGTCGCACAGCCGGTGCATAGCGTCTGTCTGGATCTATTACGCGGCGTAGGTGGGCAGCGCGCCGGTTAACGCCGCTTCACGCCCGCTTCACAGCGCGTGAGAGCCAGTCTCGAGCACCTGCGCGGCCGCGGGCCCCGCGCCCACGAGTCCGAGCACCGTCACAATAGTAGTATCAGCACACCATATAGTTAATACAAGCACACCCCTCGCGCGCGGCGTTAGAACTGGTTGTTCCACTTGTGCTCCGCCGGCTCGCACGCCGACTTCAAGCGCCACGCCTCGAGCCTCACCTGATCGACGAAGCGCGCGGTCACCGCGAGGTCGCCGTCGTGCTCGCTCGGCGTAACGCCGTACCAGCGGTGCGCGCACGAGCTCCGGCCGTCGCCCAGATCCCACTCTACTGACGAACCGTCCAGATACACAATCAGAGGCACGGTGAGGCCCGGCCACCCGAAGGTCAGGGCCTCGCACGGTTTATACTCCTCGCCGTCGGCTATTGTGACAATAGAGACGCGGCAGACCATGCGGGCGCAGGCGACGTTGGCCCGCAACTCGTGACCGTATCTCTTAAAGGATACGGTCACTGCATGCTCTGACTGGGGGACCCACAGCCTCAGCTCGGACTGGTCCGCCATGTGTCGCAGCTTCGTCTCCACACCGTCGGCGAGGTGGTGCGCGTCCTTGGCCATCCGTAGCTCTTTCAGCTCCGGGAGGAACCGCGACCGCAACTCTCCTTTCTCCAAGGTCAACACGCGCGGCAGCGTCAGCGTGCCGTTGTACCTTAGAACTGGCGGCGTCGCCGGGCCGCCGTAGTCGGGCAGCCAGGACCACGAGATTCTCCGGCCTCGCTGGTCGGTGAAGGATTTTGAGGCATACGCGCTCCCACAATCTAAGGTAATAGCACCTGGCAAATACTCCGGACCGTCGCAGCGGTGCTGCGTCCGGTGTTCCTTCGCTCTAAACGACGGGCCCCGGCCTTCGGCGTTGCCCTCGACGGCGCCGATCAACACGACGTCCTTCCGTAAAGCGGCACCGAGCGACAGCTTGAGAATCGTCGCTTCACTCAGTGTCGTAGCAGGGTCGAAGACGTCGGGGCACTCCAACATCACAGAAGCGCACCGCGGCCCGTCGCGCCAGCCCAGGCACTGTTGCAGGGGCGGCGCTTCGTAGAAGTGGCCCTTGAAACCATAGCCATCGAGGTCGTAGGCCAACACGACGCCGCGCGGGCCCCGGGCGTCCGTCGCGCCGATGAACGTGTAGTCCCTCCCAACAAAGTGGTAGGGCTCCGTCGGGTCGCGGAAGGCGCCCTGTGGTATGTTTTCCGGTGGTGTTTTTATGGTGGGGTTGTTCGCATTACGAGTGAATGAAGACAATGAAGCGTCATCAGCAATAGCCTCGCACTGCGCGTTCCGGAACTTGCCGTCGGTGCACGTGTACAACGCGACGATATCATCGCCGCGCTTGAACATCGATCCACTCCAGGCCCCACCTTTTTCATAAGAAGGCGGTTTCGTGAGAATTGGACTCGCAAGTTCCCAGTGCACTAAGTCGGCCGACGTGGCGTGGCCCCAGACGATATTCCCCCAGGACGCGTCCTCTTGATTATGTTGAAAGAAGAGATGATACTTGCCGCCGTGGAAGACGGGCCCGTTCGGGTCGTTGAGCCAGCCCTGCTGCGGTCTTACGTGATATTTGGGCTGCTGCTCGTAGTGGAGGTCGCTGCCTTTGTCGTGCTTTTTGAAGATAGAAGAGGTCGTGAGCGCCAGCGAGGTTAATAAAAAGAAGAGTCGCATGGTGGAACGCTGCGGCTCGCGCGGCGGCGTTTCCTCGTAGTTTACTTTACGTTGCGTTGTGCGCTGCGAAGAGCCCGCGGCGCCGTTTTTTAGCCGGCTGCTCTGAGTGGCCCTTGGGGGAAAGCCTTTTTTTGGCGTGCGCCGTCGATAGCGGTGCGCCGCTTCGGCGCCGCTGGCTGTAGCACTGCGCAAGGCTAGTGTTCACGCCGCGTCTCGTCGTACGCTGCGATTCGCGTCGGGCCGAATTATATTTTTCAGGCTAGCATAAACATACTTAAGTTTACCCACGTGGGACTACTTGAGAGCCTGTGGGCGTGCATATTGCCATTTGAGCCAGCTTGACAGAGCAAAAGGCTGCGCACGACACGCACGATCATTGTCGGACGGAACTCGCGAGGTTAGCTTGGCCAAGTTGCACCGACTACAAGCACAGCTCTATCACCCTACAGCCACGCAAAAGCAGTGCGAACTATCAATCTTCACAGATCACTGCGGCAACATAACAATGCACAAGGCCGCAGCACTCATCGTCGCGCTCGCAGCCGTCGCAGATGCCTTCCGGCCGCCGGCGCGCGGCACCACGGCGCCAATGACGCGCCGTGACATGCTCAACAACGGTGGTAATTTCGGCCAGGTATTTTATATGGGCTACGAATATGCCCCGCCGAATGGCCTCGGCGCGCAGTTACCGGCTGTGTGGAAATCAACCAGTGCGTCGGGTGCACCCGAGAATTCTTCACTAAGTCATTTCTCGGCGATGACGCGGCCGTGCTGGCTCCGTCCAGCGGTGATGAACCGGCATTGCCACGCCATCGAGCAGGTGTCGCGTCGATGGCGTGGAGGTCGACGCGGCGATTCAGCACGAACGTGCCGTAAAATATTGATTTTCACACAGGTTACCGGACGGCGTCTACGAGGTCGCCCTCCCGAAGCCGTGTGGTATTGTCTTCGAAGAACTGGACCCGAATTTTGCAAGAGGCGTCAAGGTGCTTGACTTGGTCGAGGGCGGCAACGCCCAAAAGAGCGGCGCCGTGCAAGCAGAAGATTTATTAGTTGGCGTCTCGGCCGTGCGCTTCGTGGGTGCCAAGTTCGAGCGCAACATGTACGACGCGACGAAGATGGACTTCGACACGGTGGTGGACGCCATCGGTTCGAACGAGGAGAAGTGGAACTGCAACGAGGTCTTCCTCCAGTTCAAGCGCGGGTAAGTAGTCATAAATTATTCGGTGTCGCTCCCCTCGTCGACGACGTATTCAGGTGCAGCGTCGTCGTCATTCGACTCGCTCCCCGATTCCACGAAATATGCCGCCTCGTCCGCGCCGTTCGAGCCGAGCGCGGTGGTCACATGTTCGACGCGGCAGGACTGCGGCGCGGGCTCGACGTCTGAGTCGGAGTCAACGGTCTCGAGGACGAGCGGCTCGCTCGCCGCCGCGCGCAGCCGCTCGACTTCCGCGAGCGACGCCTCGGCCTCCAGCCGCCGCCGTCGTAATGAAGCCTCGGCCTCGGCGTTCATGGCGTCGAGCTGCCGCGCGAGTTCGTCGGCGACGTCGTTGGCCGTCCGGCCGACGGTATTCAGTTTTTTCGGCGACGACGTTTTCTCGCGAGGCTCTGGAGGCGCGCCGCGCGTCCGCCAGGCCGCCACGGCCTCCTGGAAGGCCGCCTGCTCGGCGGCCTCGTCGTATTCGCCGTCCAGCAAGGAACCGCCACATTTCACTGGTGAAGGCGGCGACGGCGGCGCGTTCCCGGACCGCCACGCCGCCACGGCCTCCTGGAAAGCTTTTCGCTCCGCCGCCTCATCCAAAACCTCGGCCTCCGCATTTCCAAAAGAAAACATCCCTCCCGCGTCGGCGAGCCGCTGCGGCGCATGCGGTGCCGGGTTCGGGGCGTCGGGGTTCTGCTCTCGTAAAGTGGGCACGGCGGACCAGTGCACCTTACTGGAAGGCGGCGCCGGCGGTTTTTCTCGCCCGAAGGTCGGGTCCTGTGGTGCAACTGCGCCTCGTCGGTGCGCGGCGCAGAGCTCCGCGACGCCCTTCAGCAGCCGTTTTCGGTGCGCCAGCGCCTTGACGCCCATGTAGTCGAGATCGTCCAGACCCAGATCCAGTAGTTCCCTCCCAGAAATCTCGTTGCTCGCGAACGTCTCACAGTACTGCGCCAGATCCAGCGACACCAGCCAGTCCCCCGCGTCGGCGACGCTCCACCGCTGCACCGGCAGGTCCCAGAAGCGCCCGTCCCGGCGACTCGCGGCCGCGCGGCCCTGCCCACTCGCCGTCCGTTGTTCCAGCTTTTTACGCACGTCCTTCCCATATGATCTCCCTAAAGCGCCCTTCTTGACGGCCGCCGAGCCCCAGCGCGTGCCACCACGGGGCGCCGCGTCGCGCCGCTCCTTCTCCTGTCGCATCTGGGCCCGCAGGGCATTCAGAGATTCCTGCTGTTGTTGTGTGTCCCGCTGGAGCCGCGCCGTCTCCGTGCCGCTGCGGAGGGCGCGCGTGGCCCGCATCGTCTTGGTGGCCTGCTGTCGACGAGTCGTGGCGCGTAGGCGGAGGCGCCGGGAGTTCGTTTTGGGCAGCCCACCAGCCAAAGAGGATAGCGGTGAGACACTAGCATTTTCCAGCGGCCGCCAGGGCTGCGTCGCACGTAGTTGAGGCGCACGGGTGCCCCGCGCAACCGTGGCGGGCTCCAGCCTCAGAGCGCCACAAAACCCGTCACTGATGCTAAAAAATTGATCATTGTTGGAGCGTCTCGCACACGATGCACCACGGCAGCAGGTAACGAGGCGGGCTGCCCGATACTAATGCGCCGCCTCCTCGGGCTGCTGCTCTGCCGCCGCGCGGCGGCGCTGTTCGGCTTCCACCTGCCCTGGGGCGACCGCAACCGCGACCGCAACTACCGCCCGCGGCCGCCCGCATACTTGCGCAAAAGAAACGCTACCACCGTCGCGCCGCCACCGGCTCTACTCCCGCAGTACTCGGCAGCCGAAGAACAAACCGTGCTCCCGCAGTTGCGAAAAGTGCTCACAGCAGTCTCCAAAGAATTACAAAGCCTTGTCGCCTATTATCAGGGAGACGCCGGCGTGCTGGAGCGGACCAAGCGGAGCAAACGGCCGAACAACGACCTGCTACTCAGGGAGCGCCTCGCGGAGGCGCTTGTCGGCAATACCCCGTTCGTTATCGGTACTATAGGAGGCGACACGAATAGTTGGTCCAAGGAGGCCTGGCCCCATGTGCTGCAGAAACGTCTAGCATCCGTATCAGAGCAGTTCGAAGTACGCTCGTCCACGGCGTGGTGGCGCGACGGGAGGTCCATAGAAGACGCGTTCTGCTTGGATCAATTACTAGGAGACGACGTCGACGTCGTAGTAAGGGAGTGGAGCCCCCTCTGGGGCAGATCAGGTGCCTTCGCCGAGGGCCTCGAGGCCCTACCCTCGAAGCAGTCAAAAATGATGTGGAACGCCAACGTCACGGGCCGCAAGCATCTCCTGCGGAGCGCTCGGCTAGTCTCGCCAAGGGAGCTCGCTTCCCACGAGGTGCAGATGCGCCAGGTCTGGAACATGCGGCAGCGGCCGGCGCTGATGTATGTTTCTCATGATTTTGATGGAGGCGACGACGCGTCTACCCTGAGGACGGCTTTAGAGAAGGGCGGCGTCTTCGGCGACGCCTACCACAAGTTCTCGTCGACATTTCTATCGGCGTTCGGCTCGACGTTCGAGAAGGAGCGGCCCTGGAAGCGCAAGCGCAAGAAGCCCCATCGCTCGGCCGCGGCCGTGCCTTTGCGCCGGGCCGCGACCACGGTGAGCGATGGGCGGCGCCTCCTCAACAAGCGCACGGAGGCGAAGAAGAAGGCGCGGCTGCAGCGGCAGAAGGTCGTCGAAGCCGTGCCGGCGGAGGAGGGGCCTCGGAGTTCCGACGGCATTCATTCATTTCCGCGGGACATGCCGGACTTCGAGAGTAGTCCACAAACGTTCCGAGGCTTCTGGAAGGAGACGACGCCCCTGTACGAGCATGGCTACTCGGCGTTGGGGCACGAGCTCGTTGGGAATCAAGTCGCGTACCGATTGCTCACGTACGCCAACGAGTCGTTAACGCACTTCATCAATTCGGAAACGCCTCGTTCAGATGTGGAGCGACTACTCAGACATCGCGAGCGGCGGCGCACGGCTTTAAACATGAGGTCGCACGCGTCGCTGCCTCCTCCAGTACTTTGTAGTGGCGCACCGTGCGCCGACACGCTCTGTCGAGACGGAGAGTGCCGCCACTACCCCCGCCCGGTCTGCGCCGTGTCTTCCTTACCAAAAGCTGCTTCATCGCTAGATGTGGGCGATTTCGTCTCGAACGCCACTCAAAGGACGCGCTGGGCGAACCAGGGGACGACACCGGAGCGCGAAGACCCCTGCGCGGGGGACGAAGCGTCGCGGGCCTGCTACGACTTTCGAAGATCAAAGTCTCATAAACAGCAACAACGGGGCTTCGTCGGCGAGCAAGGGTCCGGCGACCTGCAATTGGATTTGCAGTTCCGCAAGCATTCGAATTGTGTGGCTGTCATCGCGGAAGCGCCCGTCGTTACCAAGACCGCAAATCAGGCGAACTGGCACTTGGAGCTGGAGGTGAAGGTCGAAGGCGAAGTGTGCAGGCCGCCGGCCTGTTCGATCACGACAATCCCCGGCGCTGGATCGCGGTTAGTCGTGGACCTGAAGAAGGTGGACAAATTGGAGGATAGAGACATGTGCTGGGTCCTGAACCCGATTCATGTGGATTTGCGAGTGGTCCCCGCCAAGATTCCCGCGCACGCGTGTGGCGCGCTCTCTAGACCCATGAAGGGAGCCTGCAAGGACTGCGCGCCCGCGCGCGGCGCCTGCAAGGAGAGTGGTATCTGGGCGGCCTATGACTTGGGCTGCTCAGTTGCCGCTGACGGGAGCTGCGCGATGTCGAATGTGGACGACCGCGCGGCGACGTTGTCGGTGGCGACGGTCGTGCTCTTTTAGATATGTACTAAGTGTTATATGACCTACGCGCGACCCGCGAACACGTCTGCTTCGCCCGGCGGCAGCAGGCCGACGCCGGGCGGCGCAAGGCCCATTTGAATGTGGTCCGCCCGGTTCAATTCCCTCGCATAAAAGTAGAGCTCGAGCGACAACTGCGTCTCGTCGATGACGTCGGCGAAGCCTTGTAGGGTCACGTTCATCGCAGTCATGAAGGCCCCGAGGCCGTGCGAGGAGATGCGCGGAATGGCTTTGCCCTGAGCGCGGGCCCTGGCCCGCGGCGGCGCGCGGACGACGCCGGAACGGGCCCTCCCGCCGGCCCGAGGGCGCGTCGGCGCGTCGACTTTGAAACTTAATGGTCGGCCCGGGGACAGCAGAGGTCTCGTGGCGGCGGCCGCGAGTCGTTGGGTTGTATACTCCGAAGCTCCGAGAGCCGCTTTCGTGACCACCGTCGGCTCGTCGCTCGTCGAACGCTCGTCGAGCGTCGGCTTTTTTGACAACTAGCTAGCGTGCAGTAAGACACTAGCAACAAGCAAGCAAGCAGGCGATTTTTGCAGCTCCGCAACGCAAAGCGCTTGCGAGAAGCAATAGTTCAATCAATTAAGAAGCCGGGGAAGCCTGCACAGCAAGTGCAAAACCTTTGAGACACCGCTGCTTCGCTGCCAGCGCCTGTGCAAGCGTGCTGCAGTGTAGCACCTGCACAAAGGGCCCCGGAGCGATGCAGGACTCCTCCTCCGACGACGAACTCTTCGGAGTCGGATTAGGCGACCTATCTGTGGCCGTCGACGACGACAGCGCCGCGGACGTCGCAGAGCCGTCGGCCGCGGATTTAGAAACCTTCCGCGCGGTGGAGCTGGCGTGCCTCGAAGGCCGACGCATCACTCATGAAGCGGGCGCCGCGCTCTCCGTAGCGAGCGGCTGGTACGCGAAGATCAGCGAAGGCGCCTACGGTGCCGTCATCCGAGACCCTTTACTCAAAGTTGTAATAGAGAGGCCGCCTCTGAAGGTGTCGGCGATTGCTGACCGATGCCAAGCGCTGATGACACGACGCGGCGGCCAGGCACGCGCGAGGGCGGAACTGACGGCCGCGGGCGCGGCCTGCCTGCGCCTCTATCAGCAGGCGAACTACTCGGGCCCCTTACCATCAGACGAGACGCTGCAGCTGGTCGCGGGCTACGCTCCTAAATTATTGGACGTGGGCGGCGACGCGCCGTCGCCCTTCGTCGCGGCGCCGGGCGCGCTCACATTAGCTCTAGCTCTGTTCGAGGCGGCCAACGACGGCGCGGCGTCGTGGTGGTTGGTGCGAGCGAAGACGCTGCACGCGCGGTGCCTGGTGACGGGCTCGCATAGAGTTTGTGGCACGTTCATCGAAAGTGTAAACAAGCACGCCGAGGCCGCGCGGCGCTGGCTCGCGGGGGCGTCGGCCGACACGCGCGCCTTGCTGGAGCTGGAAATAGGCCTCGCGGAGCACTTCTTGGACGAGCCGGGGCGCGGTTCGGTACCAGAGTCCTTCACGCGTTGACGCTGTCGCTGTGACGGTTCGAGATCTGACGTCCGCATCGCACGCAGGCCGCGTCCGGTTCCGCGAGGCTGCAAATATAGCCCAACTCAATCTAACGCTGGAAGGTTCAATGGGCAAGCGCACGAAGTTCCAAGTCGATTCGAAGCCGCAGCTGCGAGTCGCCGAGGCTACGTCATCAGACGGGACCACGACGAAAGTACCGGTGCCCGAGTCCTCGGAACTAAATGAAGACTCCGTACTATTGGAGGACGTGGCTTTTGATGATCAGAAGCGCCGCGCGAACGTCCAGGATCCGCGGAGAGCCGCGCTCACGTCCTGCGTTGCGCTGGCTTTGTGCTTAGATGTACGAAATACGAATCCCGACGACGGCTTGACCAACGACCAGATGCGGCCTTATGTGGCCTTCGCTCTCGCAAGCCCGGTGGACTGGCTCGTCCACTCGGCGGCGTTACTCCAGCGGTGTCGCATCGAGGCCCACAGCGTCTACTCGGCGGACCGGGCGGCTCTACAACTTGAGGTCCTCGCAAATCAACACGTCTCGCAAAAGCCGGGCGACGCGTCTCCCCAAGATAGGATCGCCTTCGCGTCAACGGTAGACTACCCGTCGCGGTGGGAGCTCGACGGCGAGGTGGCTCATGCCATGGCTAGACTTGGCGCCTTCGTCTCAGCAGCCGAACGGTTTAAAAAAATTCACGAGTGGGATTTGGTCATTGAATTGTATGCGGCTGCTGGCAGGCGAGAAGATGCGTTGGAAGTACTGAACAGAGAACTGGAGCAGAAACCGGACCACCCCCGGTTATTATGCGCGTTGGGCGACTTGCGGGACGACGCTACCCTCCATGAGCGGGCCTGGACGAAGAGCGAATGTCGCGACTGGCGCGCCGCCCGAAGCTTAGCTAGAAGACACATGAACAAGGGGAGGTGGAGCGAAGCGTGCGCGTGGTACGACGAAACGGTCAAGATACGGCCGCAGGCGTCGCAGAGCTGGTTCGACCTCGGGTGCTGTCGCATGCGTCTCGCGGATGTGAGTGATGAAAAGGCGCAGCTAGGGAAAGCAGCGAGGGCTTTTTCTCGATGTGTCCAGCACGAGCCGGACTGTGGAGATGCATGGGCCAACTTGGCGGCGTGTCGACTGCGGAGCGGCCAGGCGGCCATGGCGAAGAACGCCTTAGACAGAGCCGTAGCGACAAGACCGGAAGATTGGCGCCTGTGGGAAAATCTCTCGAGGTGCTGCTGCATGCTGCGGCGGACGCAGGAGGCCATGGTCGCGATTAATCGGTTGCTGGATCTGTCGATGGTGTCCAAGAGACCGGTCGGGGCTATTTTGGATGTTATTCTGCGGGTTATGGAGTTGGTCGATGAGGAGTCCGATGAAAGCTTCAACTCGCAACGCGCTCGCGAAGTCCTAGATGAGCTCTGTTTGCGCTTAGATACGGAGGCGCCGGCCGGAGCCGATAGAGCGTCCGCAACTCTATGGAGCGCGCTGGCTGAGCGGGCCGACGATGTCATAACGTGTCGGGTCCGCCGGGCCAAGGCCGTGCGCGCGTACTTGAACGCGGAGGGCCTGGAGCGAGAAGAGAAATTGTTAGAAGGTTTATCAAACGCGGCACTAGCACTGTCTCAATCAATGGACGCGGCGACGGCGAAGGAGCGCGCGTCGACGGCGTTGTTATTGCGGTCCGTGGCGGCGCGCGTCGGCGCCGCTTCCTGTGAATGGGCCGCGAGGGACGAGCGGGTTGGAGCCATTACGGGCGCGGCGGACGGGCTCGAGGCGGCGGCGTAGGTTAGTAAGAGTGTGTGCTTAGAAGGAAAGGGGTAGGGAAGGAACCGGCGGCAAGAATCGTCGCGGCGGTGGCGTGGGGCGTTCTAGACTTGCCGCAGCTCGAAGCGCTCCCACTGCCACGGGAAACCGTTGCTCTGCCAAGGCCCCATCGAGGGGCTGTCCGCGCCGCCCTGGTCGGTGACGCGCAACCAGCGGCCGGTCGCCGGGTTCTGCAGGCCCACGGTGCCGTCTTGATTGAACCTCAAGACGAAGTGGCACACTACCGCGGCGTGATCAAACACTGGGCCCTCGAGCGGTGCGTTGGCGCCGCCCTGGTAGGTGACGGCCAGCCAGCGGTTGGCCGTCGGGTTGTAGAGCCCGACGTACCCGTTGAAGGGACGAATTTCGAAGCGTTCCCACGTCCAGCCCTGATTCCACACGCCCGTCGACGGGCTGTCGGCACCGCCTTGGTCGGTGACGCGCAACCACCGGCCGGTGGCGCGGTTGAAGAGCCCGACGGTCTGGACCGGCTGCATGTAAATGGCCGCTTGCCGCAGCTCGAAGCGCTCCCACTGCCACTCGCTCTGCCAGGGCCCCATCGAGGGGCTGTCCGCGCCGCCCTGGTCGGTGACGCGCAACCAGCGGCCGGTCGCCGGGTTCTGCAGGCCCACGGTGCCGTCTTGATTGAACCTCAAGACGAAGTGGCACACTACCGCGGCGTGATCAAACACTGGGCCCTCGAGCGGTGCGTTGGCGCCGCCCTGGTAGGTGACGGCCAGCCAGCGGTTAGTCGCCGGGTTGTAGAGCCCGGCGTACCCATTGAAGGGACGAATTTCGAAGCGTTCCCACGTCAAGCCCTGATTCCACACGCCCGTCGACGGGCTGTCGGCACCGCCTTGGTCGGTGACGCGCAACCACCGGCCGGTGGCGCGGTTGAAGAGCCCGACGGTCTGGACCGGCTGCATGTAATTGGCGGGCCCGTCTATGTTTTGCGTGTCTTCCGGCTTCCTCGCTGCCGCGACGCGCAGCGCCAGCGTCGCCATGAAGAGCAGCGCGCAGGCGCCCGCGGCGACGCGGCACCGCCGGCGGCGCCGCGCCGATGCCGCCCCGTCCAGCTCGTCCAGCGTGCCTATGCTCATGGGCTCGACGGTGGCGCCCTTGAGGGGCTCCATGGGCAGACCGAGGCCTTGCGCCTGTCACTGATGGTTGGTCGGCTGCCCGAGCTACGAGCTCTCGGTTGCGTGACAGTGGGCGCACGCTGAGGCAGCCTCGATGTCGATCGATGTGTAGGATGCGCAGCGCGTGGCGGATCGCGATATCGAGACTCGAGAGTGGATGCGTGCGGGGTATTTCGAGGAGCGGTGCGGAGCGAACTGACAGGATAGCGTGCTTAGAAAGTAACAATCCCGTCGAACGTGGGGCTAAAAGTAGGCGAATGGCGAGGCGGACTCGGACGCGGGACGACGGTCAGTCGCCCTTCTTAGCTTTTTCTGATTCTGCTGCAATCCACCGTAGAAAAAATAGGAAGCCTATGATGAGGCAAACTATAGGCACGATGACATAGGAGCCCAAGAGGAGCCGTCCCCAGCACATCCACGAGTTCTTGACGGACCTCTTCGAGTTTCGGTTCCAGGCCATGTAGTAGAGGAGCAGCCACAACCACCCCGTCAGCCAACCGTAGTCCTTATTACCGTTGTCTAGCTCCGTATTAAACCATAGCATGACCGCGAAGAAAAACAAGTACGTGAAATACACGCGAGCCCGGTGCTCCATCCGATCGAGGCGCTCGTCCAGGCGACTGAGGGCGTCCGCCAGGCGGGGCGCCTCGATGTCGGCGGTCACCTCATTCGCGAGCAGACCGTCACGCAGCGGCGTCGCCGTTTGCAGCAGCTCGGCGGACGGACGTTCGTGCGCGTCGAACCGGCCGACGGGCAACCAATCTAGGAGCCATTGCTCGGACTCGACGTCGGGAGGGATGCATAGGCAGCATTCGCCCGAACAGTCGCGGTGGTGATCGGTCCTCTCAGCGTGGGGTGGTCTCGCGGGCAGCCCCGGCTGTGTGGGCGCTGCCGTCCAGGTCGTCGTGCCGTCCATTGTGTGTGTTCCTGGGACCGGTCGTCAGTAGCAACGCGCTCGCGGAGGATCGGCGGCGCGAGAGGATTTGTGATTTGTGCGGGTCGCGCCAGCGGCACAGAGGCTCTGCTTTTGAGCGGCGCGATGGGGTCGTCGGAGCCGGCGAGGGAGTTATTTGAACAAATGCCCTCTTAGCCGACCCTCACCCGACCCCGTTCCCGTTGAATGATAAACTCGCGCGCGCCGACGACGCGAGCCGCTCCTTCAGGCCGTCCAAGTCAGCGACGGCCTCCTGGAACACACCCAATCTTGGATAGATCTGCGCCGGCCTATTTCCGAAGCACACGTCGCGCGAGAACGCCTCCAAGGCGAAGTACAGGAACAGGTCCGCTATTGTACAACGCTCACCGAGCAGGAACGGCCCGCCGGACCTTTCCAAAAACCCGTCGATAAAACGCAGGTGCCCGCCGCCGTTCCGCTCGGCGGCCGTCATGGGATTGAAGTGCTTCGCCCAGAGCGCGTCCCTAGCTGGTGGTGAGAGCTGGTCCGAATACACACAGTCGATGTACTTCAGGTACAGATCATCAATGCCCTCGAGCAAGGCGTCGACGGTCGCCCTATCTTCCAAAGTAGTGCCGAGCAACTCGGGCTTGTGCTTCGCCGCGACGTATCTCATAATTGCGGTCATCTGCGTGAGTGATGTCCCTTGAGTTCTGAGTACGGGCGCCTGGCCGAAGGGCCAGTCCTTTGAACCGGCCTGGCCCTTCATGTCCCCATACGGCACGGACTGCTCGTCGTACTCCACACCACACGCGGCAAAGGTCATGCGGATCGGCTCGCCTCTCCCCAGGATGTTGAAATAGACGAGCGTCGGCTTGTCGTAGGCGGCCATGGCCGCGGCGCGGTGGGCCCCGAGGATCAGGGCGACGAGCGGGCGGGCCAGTTTGCAGGGCGGCGACGGCAGCGGGCGGTTTTGCAGAGATTCCTGGCAGCACCCTGTGGGCGCCTGTACGGTCGCGGCGACCCCGCAGCTGGCCAGTTGCTGTTGCGTTTCGAGCAATGCGGCTCCGGCGAGCCTGAGTATCAAAGCTGGGCGTCCTATGAAGCCGCTTTACATGCAAAAAAATAGAGAAGCTAGCGTATCGACACATACTAGCCTCAAGCTGCAGCATTGCAACACGGCTGCACAGCAATCAATGCAGGCTGCGTGATGCAGCGAAACACGCTGCTTATCCTTGCACTCCTGCTGCCCGTCGGTTTCGCCGTGAGCGATGCACCACCGAGCCCTGCAGCAGCTTCAAACGCTGCCAGCGGCGACGCCGCGGCGGCGGCCGCACCCGTCGTCGCAGCGACCAATGCGTCGCAGCCGCCCGACGCCGCCAACGCGACGGCGACGAACGCCAACGCGACGGCGACGAACGCCACCGCGGGCCGCCTCCACGGCCTCCGGGACCGTTTCGCGGCCTTGAGTGCGCCAAACATCTCCCTGCGGCCCTCGCTGCGCCCCGTGCGCAAGAAGCTCGCCAACCTGACGGGCCTGCACGGCTTCGTCTCGAACAAGAATAATGGATCCGCGGCGAACCGCATCAAAACGATCTTCGCCTCAGCACCAGTCAACGTGACAGTCAACACGACGAACGCCACAATCCAACAACCTCTGGCGCCGCCCTGCGCGACCGTCGCCTGCGTCACCTGGAACCTGGCCGCGACGAGCCCCAGTTCGAAGGATGCGAAATTCTTAGAAAAATTGAGACGGCACGACCTCGTCTGCATTTGTGTGCAAGAGCTCGAGGACCTGAAGCCTCGAAGGCAGCCGGGCCACCGGGCCGAGGCCTGGACGGCGTTACTCGCCGAGAAGTTCCCCGCGAAAACTCATACTGTGGTTGCGGACCAGTCAGCAGGACCCGTCCGACTGACGATCCTCCAGAGGAAGCGGTCGAAACTTATCAAAGTAGAAGCTTGTACGTGCGGAGACGTGGCCTGCGGCATCGGGAACGTGTTGAGAAATAAAGGTTGCGCGGCCGCGTTTTTGGATCTGAAAGTGCGGTATGACAAGACGTCGGGCAGTGCCAAACTGTTAGTGATCAGTGCGCACTTAGCCGCCCATGCGCACAAAGCGAACGATAGGGATGCGGATTTTCACAGAATATGTAGAGAGCTACTCCCGCAGATGCCTTCGCAGTGGGGTTCGCACGATCTGTTGGATTGTGTGGACTGTTGTCTCTTCGCCGGCGACCTGAACTACCGCTTGGACTTACCGAGGGCCGAGGCTGAAAGGGGCGCTTTGAGTGGTGACTTTGCGTCTCTGCTCGACTATGACCAACTAGTCCGGAGGAAGGCCCAGGGTTCGGCCTTCGCCGACTTTTTTGAAGGTGAAATACGGTTCGCGCCGACGTTCAAGTTCGACCAGCGTTCATCGACCTACGACTCGTCGAAGAAGATGCGCGTGCCGTCGTGGACGGACCGGGTCCTGTACATCCCGCGGTCCTCTCGCAAAAAGTCGCCCGAACTCACGCTGGCGTCCTACGACTCGGTGGACACGCGGTCGTCGGACCATCGACCGGTCGTGGCGACGTTCGCGCTGCGGCCTAGGGTGTCGGCGCCGGCGCCGCTCGTCGCGCGTAAGAGATAGAGCGTTTTACGCGGGGGAGAGGGAGCGTCCTAGTAGGTCCCCTCGATCATGTCCGTCGACGTGCGGTCGGGCACCTCGGTCAACTTGCGGCCGTCGTCCTGCTCGAAGTAGTCGGGGATCGTCTTGTAGTAGAGGTCTAAGTCGTCCTTGTCGCGCACCTGTGCGAAAGCGTCGCGGCGATGTCGCGCCGACGGCGGCACGCTGAAGGTCCATTTCCACACCGCGTCCGACGTCGACGACGAGCTTCTTCTTCTGCTCGACGAACACCAAATCATCGTCCTCGTCGGCCACGCGATCAATAATCTTGGACTGGATGAACTCCTGGCGCTCGATCTGGAGCGCGACCTGCGTTCGATACCCGTGACGCGCGTGCGGCGACTTCGCGGCGGCGGCGCGCGGCGCGCGGCGCGGGCGAGCGTTACGCCGGCGACGAGCGCGGTTCGGACGCTGGTTTAAACGGAGTGGGTTCTTCGTCCTGCCGCGCGCGACGAGCTGTACCGCTCGCCGGGCGTCTTAGTTTTTTTGGCGTCTGGTTTTTTGGTGGCCTCGCAAGCGAGACACGCGGGAGGGCCACCGGTGTCGTCGCCGGCGCGGTCTCTGCGGCCTGAAACGCTCACGTCTGGCTCGCGCGAGATCTCGCACGCGTGTGGTGGCAGCCTTTTCTAAGCCCCAGGGTTTGCTAGTGTCTTACAGACCGCTAGCATCCGCCGCGAGGAATCACACAGGGCCGTAGTTACTCAGAGCGTGAACAGCGTCGGCGACTGCCTATCCTCGCGGACGAACGCCGCCTCCTCGGCGAGCATCTCTTCCGAGTTCATGCGCCGCGCGGGCACGGCGGCGCAGGCCTCGTATTCCGTCGCGCCCCTCATCAACGGCTCGGCCTCGGTGACCGGCTTCGACGGTTTTGAGGGGTCCCTTCTCAACAGCTTGCCGAGGTTCAGGAGGCAGACGACGAGGACCGCCGCGCCGGCGAGGCCGAGCGCGATCCAGCCGAAGAAGTAAAGCCTCCTCCGCTCCTGGTGCCGTTCCCGTTTGGTGGGTTCGTACGTGTAGTAGCGGTCGTCGTACTGGTCGTCGGTTCGCGGGTCGTCGCTCGCGTCGAGGCGCCGGGCCGCCGGCGTCGGCGCAAATGTGGGCGCCGGCGTGACGGTCGCATGCGGTGCGGCCGGTTCACTCGACGAGTGGTGCTTCTTTTGTTCAGGAGCGTGCATGACCGGTTTCGCGGCCGTCGGCGCGCCGAAGCGCACCAACGCAATGGAGCCCAGCAGTAACCATAGCAAAGGAAAGGGCGGGGCCAGGCACAACGACCGCTTCTTCCCCTCGACGGAGGGGTGCGCGCTCCCATAATCAATGTGTTTCGTCTGGTACGTACTCCGAATGACGTCGGCGGGCGGCAACCGGAACGGGTTCCCATACGAATCCTCCTCCCACTCGTCGCCCTTGGTCTCGTCGTCTTCGGCGATGCGTTCCCACTCCATTGCGTTGTTGGCTTGCTCGGCGGCGGCGGCGGCTCGCGGGGCGGCTCGCGTAAGGGTTTCGGCGCGGCGGCGGCGGCTGGCGTGGCGGTTCGCGTCGCGCGGGCACGGTTGCGTTGCTTCTGACCGTAGCTCCCTCGCGCTCGGCGGAGATCTCTTTTTTTAGGTCAGGCTGGAGATTGCTTTTTTGTGGCCCTTATCTCGCCGTATCGATGCTTATGCGGCCCACAGGTGACACGACACGAGGCGCCGGCGTCGTTTACAACGGCTACTTGTGTCCAAGAGTCGTCAAAAGGCGGCTAAAGCAGCTACCACTGAAACTTATTTAGCTTCGTGCGGGTTTCTTCCTGGGGGGCCCTCCTTACTCTCTCTCTCTCTCTCCCACGCGGATGTATTTCAAAAAAACGCGACAAAACACAGTTACACAGAACGATCAAGCACGCCGCCCGGCCCGAGCGCGGCCTCGGCCCACGCATACCCGCGCCGCCCCACGCGGTCGATCCAAGGCCGCAGCTCCGACCGCTTCGGAAGCACGAACCCGTCTGGCGCCGGGCCACGCCTCCCCAAGTCCGCCTTCCAGTCGACGCGCACGTAGTCCGACCCGAGCGCCTTGACGACGGCGCGCCGCTCGCGCTTCGGTAGAAACAGCGAGCCGTCGATGGCGCCCCTCCCAAGGTATCGCGTCTCGGGCCGCCCGTCGAGCACGAACGGCACGTGGCACGACGCGAGGCACGCGTCGATGACGTCCGCGCGCGATATAAATTCCTCGGCAACCTTCCTGCGGTAGTACACGCGGTTCCGTCTCAAATACAACAGCGTCAGATCCGAACACCGCTCTGACGCGTCCATTGGTAAAAGTTCTTCCAACCAAGTTCGTACGACAGGCCCCCAGCGCCCGATCAATCCAAGGGCGCCCCGATCGAGAAGCGGTGTCGACAATTCCAGCGCGAGATCCCGGGCCCTGTCCATATCTACGTCGCACTTGTAGAGCGTGGCTGCCAATGCGCCGGCACTCGCGCCGCAGACGGGGCCGGCGTGGTCGCTCCGCTGGAGCCGCTCGACGACGCCCGCTTGCCACCAGTAGTAGAGCCCGCCGCCGGGGAAGTAGAGGGCCGGTCGCGTCGACGGCGTCCGCGTCGACAGCGTCGGGCTGAGCGCAGTGCAACCGGATAGCACGAGCATCGCAGCGATGGTGCGCGACATTTCGGCTGCAGAATCTGAGCGATGGCCGCAGACGCCGTGTAAAAGAGGAGGTGGTCAGCAGTCAGGCAATGTAATGCGAGGCTCTCTGCTGTCTTATTGATTGGAATTGCGCTACGCAGCGTCCAAACCAATGCGAATAAGTCCAAAAGCGCCTTCAGAGTGCACTGTACGCCTCTTAATTCACATGCTCTCACACACTCTGAGAGCAAAGCTCCTGAACGCGTCTGCACTTCGACGCCTCGTTGGCGTTTGCGACGCATCGCGACGACTCTGGAGGACTCGCTTTGGCGAAGAAATACGACGGTGGGCTAGCGGTCGGTAAAGACACTAGCCAAAGCAAGCCTGAAACGCTGCGAGGCTGTACGACCGCCACAGCTCGCGCCAACCGAGCAAAGCCCTCAAGGGACTCCCCAGTACCGCAGCCGTCGCGGACACAAGCTCCGGTCCAGCAGTTTGGCCCGGGACACGTGCTGTAAAAGCAGGGCGCTGCAACTTCACTGCCCGCGACCCGACGCAGGGCATCCATCGCTCCGCTCGCAAGACCACACCTCGGAGGAGGAAGGCAGTCGTAGGCAGGACTCCCGCAAACTTCGGGACACCATGCGCGCCGCCACGACCCTCCTACGAAGGACCGCCCCGCGCTGGGCCCGAAGCGTCTTCATCCAGGTCGAGAAGACACCAAACCCGTTCTCCCTGAAGTTCCTCCCGAGCCAACCGGTTAAGCTAGGCGCCGAAACCTCATCTGGATTCCACTTCACGAAGGGCGACGCCGAGGCGAACAAGTCGCCTTTAGCTCGAAAGCTGTTCACGGTCGACCACGTGACTGGTGTTTTCATCCAACAGGACTTCGTCACGGTCTCGAAGAACGACGAGGGCGCGTGGAGCACGATCAAGCCCCACGTCTTCTCGCATTTGATGGACTTCTTCGCCGAGGGCGTCGATGCCGTCTCGGCTGATGATGAGTCGACACCTCGGGATACCGAGATACTGGATACGGATTCGGAGGTCGTCGCGATGATCAAGGAGCTCATAGAAGTCCGGATAAGACCTGCCGTCCAGGAAGATGGTGGGGACATCTTTTATCGCGGGTTCGACGAAGCTACTGGTCTCGTGCAAGTGGAATTGGCTGGGAGCTGTGTGGGATGTCCTTCATCTTCAGTTACTCTGACAAATGGAGTGGAGAACATGCTCATGCACTACGTCGAGGAGGTGCGAGGCATCGAGAACGTCACCCCAGCAGGGGACGAGGACGAGTTCAAGCTGTCGTTCGACCCGCCCGATAATCCCCACGTGTCCATATAACTTACAATCTTGTTCTTAATCACACATCGCGGCGGCAGCGTCTAGGTAGTGCTCCGACTCCACGCGCCCGGACGACGGTCCGGCGCCGCGGGGCAGTGCCGGCCGCGACGCGCACTGACCTCATCGCTTCCGCGGCCGCGGCGGGCTCCGGCCCCGTTTTCTCTTCGGTTGGTTCTTCTCAATCTCGGAAAGGGGCACGGGCTCCATCGGTCGCGTGCAGAATGCGGCGAAGCGCCGCGCGCGGTCGCTTCCCAGGATCCGCGTCAAAGCATCTGTATCGAGAGACGCGAGCTGCGCTAGGGAATGCCCCTGGAGGTCGGGCCGTGGCGGCTCCAGGCCCGGAAGTTTCTCCAAAAACCGAAACGCCGCGTCGCCATCATCTCTATGCTTCTGGGCCGCCTCGACGTCCGGTTCTCCGTCGGCGAGGGCCGCGAAGAGCGCCGCCGTCGCGTTTGGCGTGGGGGCCCACAGTAACTTGGTGCGAGGGAACTCCAGGATAGCTTTGGTGAGCCGATCCTGCGTATGCTTGAGCGACAGGTAGGTCGTCGGCGCGTCGAGGCGGTGCGAGCGGTCGCGGAACTCCACCAATAAAGTAGGCGTCGAATACGCCGCGCCCAAAGCTCGTAATTGCGTCCACAACCTACCAGATTCTAAGGAAGAGTGGAGGTCGTTCGTGTCCACGTTCTTGCGCTCCACCGCCAGGGATGACGATAAGACGAAGTCGGCCACGGTAAGCGTGGCGACGGCCAGTCGCAGGCCCCGATCGTATAAGGCGCGCGGGACTTCCGAGCGGAGTTCCCGCGCGTCTACCACAATCAACGGCGCATCTGGTGAAGGTGGTCGTACGGACGACGCGAGCTTGGGCAGAGACCGCAGTTCTTGTAGTGCCAGAGCCTCGCGCGCCTCCGTTTGGGCCGCGAGCGTCTCTTCCAACGACCCCGCGACGACGAGGCGTTCCAGGACTACGTCTCGGGTGGATGCGTAGCGCCGCGCGTGCCGCAATAGTGAAGGAGCGTGGGCGTCATAGACAATAACTTTGCGCGGCCGGAGCGCGTCGAGCGGCGTGCGCGCGAGCTGCTCTGCCGTGAGAATGTAGACGGCGGGCGGGCGCTCAGCTGCGGGCGACGCCGTCACGTCGACGACAGACCGCCGGGCCGCGCCTGCCTCGTCGTCCGGCGTCGCCGAGACATCAACAACGGACCGCCGCGGCGCCGGCGCGACGAGCTGCGTCTCCTCGACCGCCGTCTCGTCGGGCGGCGACGAGGAAACGTCGACGACGGACCGCCGCGGCGGCGGCGGTAGGAGCTGCGTCTCCTCGATCGCCGGCGCGGGCGGCGACGCCGTCACGTCGACGACGGACCGCCGCGGCGCGACAAGCTGCGTCTCCTCGAGCTGCGTGGCCTCCACCTGGCTGTCGTCGGCCGTCCGCGAGAGGCCCGGGTCCTCACTACCTTGCGACAGCGTCAAATCCACAACTTCGGTGCGCGCCTCGGCTGCGGACAGCGCCAGTGCCCGCTGCAGGCCGCCGTCGTCGACGTCCAGCGCGGACAAGGTCAGCGCCCGCCGGAGGGCCTTGTCCTCGGGCGGCGGCCCCTGCGAGAGGCACGTCTCCTCGGGGTCGATCGGCTTCGAAGGAGGCGGCCCGAGCATCGACGACCGTCGTCGAGCAAGTGATGCCGCGATGGCTGCTTTTATCGCATCATCCTCGGCCTCCTCCAGCGACAACGCCAGCGCGTCGGCGAGCGCCTGGTCGCCATCATCATCTCGTTCCTCGAGTGCGTCATCGAGCTCGGCCCGCACGAGGCGCTGGTAGGGCGTGTCGCGCGACGCCTTTGAAGGTAGGTGCGGTAGAGCGCGCGCCACGAGACGCCGTCTCAATCGCAGGCACGCGGCGTCCGCCCCGACCTTGAGAAACGACGCGACCGACCGCGCCTGGTCCCTTGTAGCTACCAAAATCGCGACGCTCGTCGCCTCGGCCAGGGCCTCCTTGAGGAGCGCCCACTTCGGCGGCGCCTCGACGTGTCGAGGTGTGGCCCGTTCGCGACACGCGTCCACGCAAGCATCGAAGTCCCGCGACGCGACCCACGCTCTAGGGTCCCGCGACGCCGCGTTCCTTCTCGCAAAAACCTCGAGGGCCTCGAGCGCCGCCGACGCGTCGGCCGCGCACGTCTCGATTGCTAAGCGGCGGATCATTCCGAGGTCCCGCACGGGGCGGTCGTTGAAGGTGTGCCGCCGCGCGGGGGGCACCTTTGCTTTGACGTCGGCGGCGAACTCGGCGCTCCAGACGTCGCGCGGCGCCGCGGGCACGGCGCGCCGGAGTGACGACGCGCACGCGCTCGCGAGGCGCCGCAGGGCCGCCTCCTGGCGCTTCTGTGCGAGTGAGGACGACGCCGTCCGCGTGACGACGGCGGCGGCGGCGTCGCCTTCGACCTCGATCTCATAATTGACCAGATGGAGACCGTCCAGTCGGGTCGGCTCGCGATGTAAAGCACAGCACCGCCGCGAGAAGGCGACGACGCGCGCATGTGGCCGGCGCCGCTCGCGGAAGAGCCTTAAAAACAACAAGGCCGCAGCGTCCAGCTTCTCGCAGCCGCCGATCACGAGCGTCGCGATCTTTTCACACCTAAGAACACCAGATAAAGCGTCGGCGGCGAGGACCCAGGAGTTCGCCTGGACGACGCCCTTGTAGAAGGACGCGCGGATGCTCGCCTTGGCCTCGTAGGTCAGCGACCGCGGCAGGCGGTAGCGGGGCACGCCTGCAGCCAACAGCTTCTCCTCGAGCGGCGCGGCGTCGACGTTGACGAGGATGCACAGCTTCCAGTCGTCCCTACACGCGTTGCGGATGGTGGCCAGCAGGGCGGGGTGGCTGCCGCCTTGTGCGAGGAGGAGGCGGTCCGTCGGCATGCTGCTTTTTTTACCGTGTACCAGCAGCGGTTCCGCCAGTTTCGCACACGTGGGTCGCAGCGGTCACTGGCGGAAGTTTTGAGGGTGTTGCTAGTGTCTTACTGTCCGCTAGGTCTTGGAGCCGGCCGGCGCTGCAGCAATCCATTGGAGTGCAGGGTCCAGTTGCCGATCACCGCGTGGGGAGCCAGCCGCAACTGTGGGGAGCCAGCCGCAACTGCGCACCTCGGACGAAGGCAAGGTAGGCAGCCTCGAGACGGCTCGCCCAGACAAGTTCTGACAAGCAGAGGCAGCCTTAAAGGCTTGCTACAAGCCAAAATGGGATCTGGCGCATCGGCACCCAAGGCCGACACGACCGAGGTTGGCATCAAGAACCGGATCGGTGTGCTCTACGACGACAAGGCGAAGCAGGCGTTTGACGCCGCCGCGACCGTGGGACCGGACGGCACGCGTGCGGCCCCCTGGCTCGCCATCGAGGCGTACGTTAAAAAGCGTGACAAGCGCTGGCTCGACCCTAAGTACGCCTTATATCAGAACCTGAAGGCGTTCAAATCAGCGCGGGAGCAGATCGCCGAGATCGCAGGCAAGCACATCAAGGGTGCGGTAAAGGAGATCCCGTGGGTGGGCAAGAGTCTCGGCGACGAGTGTCGGCAGTGCGGGCTCGACGGCGAGCCGGCCGCGTCGCTCGACGCGCTCTACGAGGTCGCTGCGCTGGCGAGCGTAGAATTCAAGGAAATCATGACGGCAGCGTGCCCTGAAAGCGGTGTAAAGCTGATGTTTGCGCCGCTGAAAGGCCGCGACCGGGCTGGCCCAAAGGCGCGTGACGAGTACGCAGACAAGACGGCGCCGTGCTACAGCTGGCTCTTCGACATCGCACGCGGCGCCGCGCTGTGCCAGACGGAGGACGCTATCGTGCAGCTCTACGCGGCGCTCGAGGCGGACCCGCGCGTGGATATCGTGCGGACGAAGAATCGTTTTAATCCACCGATGTTCAACGGCTACCAGGACATTTTGATGAACGTCGCCGTGAAAGTTGAGAACGTGTCGCACTTGTGCGAGCTCCAGATCCATCTCGTGCCGATCAAGGATTCGGAAGCGTTGCACAAGAGCCACACCGTCTACGAGTTCTTTCGATCGTTTTTCTTGGGCAATTCAGACGCCGTCGAGCAGCGGCTCGAGATGCTGTGCAAGCTGCCCGTCGACGAGGCGAACGATGTGAGGGAATTAGTGGGCCGCGTGGTCGTTCCTGGCGCAGACTTCACTGTGATCGAGGGGCTCTGCAATCTGCTTCAGTCGATCCAGGAGTACGAGGCTGTCGTGCAGGTCCGGGAAGCTATCTTAGCGTGGCAGGAGGGCGCGTTCGGCGCGGAGGGCAAGGCGGTGGGCGCGGCGCTGTTTCATCTTGGGCTCGCGTACCAAGAACTCGGCGACTGGGCAAGGATGCGAGACATACAGGAGCGCACGCTCGCTATCTACGAGCGCGAGTACGGTAGCGACAGCACGCAAGTGGCCGTCGTGCTGACGAACCTCGGGAACATTCATGGTGATTTAGGCGACCACGCCAAGGCGCGAGACATCCTGGAGCGCGCGCTCCCGATCAAGGAGCGGGCGCGCGGCCGCGACCATCCGGATGTGGCCATCACGCTGATGAACCTCGGGAACGCGTACGGCGACTTGGGCGACTACGCGAAGCAGCGCAACTTGCAGGAGCGCGCGCTCGCGATCCAGGAGCGAGCGTACGGCCGCGACCACCCGAGTGTGGCCGGCACGCTGACGAACCTCGGGACAGCGTACGGCCGATTAGGTGACCCTGCGAAGATGCGAGACATGCTGGAGCGCGCGCTCGCGATCAACGAACGGGCGTACGGCCGCGACCACCCGGAAGTGGCCATCACGCTGGGGAACCTTGGGCACGTGCACCGTTATTTAGGCGACCCCGCGAAGGCGTGCGACATGCTGGCGCGCGCGCTCGTTACGTACCAGAGAGAGTACGGACTAAACCATCCTAACACCAAGAGGTTGCAAAACAACCTCGACAATGCGCGAGCCGACTTGAAGTTCCCACTGCACACTACCGCAAAGAGAGGCAACGTCGACAAATTGGCTCAGCTTTTAGACAGCGGTGGCGAGGTCGACCAGGCGAACGAGGAAGGTAAGACGCCGCTGTTGGTGGCTTGTCAGCTGGGACACGTCGACGTGGTTCGGCTGTTGCTGGACAAAGGCGCGGAGGTCGATCGCACGGATAAGGACGAAAGGACGCCGCTGATCGCCGCCTGCGTGAATTCCCACATCGACGCGGTTCGGCTCCTGTTGGAGCGCGGGGCCAGGATCGACGCAGCGATGATGGGCGGTATTACTCCATTGTTCTTTGCGTGTCTCGGATGTCACGTCGATTTGGCGCGATTGCTGTTAGAGGGCGGCGCCGAGGTCGATCGGTCACTCATCTTGGACCAGACCTCACTTTTCTTCGCGTGTGCGGAAGGCCATATCGACTTGGTGCAGCTATTGCTGGAGCACGGCGCCGACGCGAACCACAAAGATAAGTACAGTCTGACACCGCTTCGCTACGCCTGCGAACGAGGACACGTTGCTGTGGTCAAGCTGTTGTTGGAGCGCGGGGCGGAGATCCAAGGTGACGACGGCGACGAATCCCCCGAAGGATGCGGCGGCGATAAGTTTCACGAGGGCGATGTGGTCGACGTCAGGTATCAGGGTGGTGACGAATACCAACCCGCGATAATCAGCGGAGACCGTGGTGCCGGCACGTACGACATCGAATACGAAGTCGACTTCTTGGATAACGAGACGGGCGTCGACGCGCGCTTGATTCGAAAGCTCCTACGCTCGCCGCTGGCGATTGCCCGACGCGAGGGGCACGCGGAGATAGTCGAAGTCCTCGAGGATCACCTCGACCCGCTGCACGCTGCTGCCAAAGCAGGCGGTCTCGAGGCGATGACGCAACTCCTGGACGGCGGCGCCGCGGTCGACCAGACGAGGGAGAATGGTGAGACGCCGCTCTGGACGGCGAGTCTCGCTGGCCGTGTCGAAGCCGCGCGGCTGTTGCTGGACCGTGGTGCAGAGATAGAGCGGGCGAACGAGGACGGCGCGACGCCACTATGGATTGCATGTGCGAACGGCCACGCCAACTTGGCGTTGCTGTTGTGGGATCGCGGTGCCAGGATCCACCGGGCGAACAGGAACGGCATGACGTCGTTGTTTTCAGCGTGTCTGAACGGCCACGCTGACGCGGCGCGGCTGTTGCTGGTGCTTGGCGCCGAGAGTAACCGGGCGGACCAGGACGGCCAGACGCCGCTGTTCGCTGCCTGCTCGAATGGCCACGTCGACGCAGCGCGGTTGTTATTGGACCGCGGCGTCGAGGTCGACCGCACGTCAAATTGGCGTGAAATGGAGGGTGCGACGCCGTTGATGGTCGCCACCCTTGGTGGTCACACAGATCTGATGCGGCTTTTATTGGAGCGGGGCGCGGACTTGGAGCAAGTAAACGTTAAAGGCCAGACAGCGCTTCTGTTCGCCTGCTGCAACGGCCACATCGACGCGGCGCGGCTATTACTAGGGCGGGGCGCCGATGTCACACGGGCGGCGACGTCTGGTCCCAGGCGCGGCATGGATGCATTGACCGTGGCAAAACACATGAATCAGGTAGCCGTCGTGGCCCTGGTCGAGGAGCACTTTTACCCGCTGCACGCCGCTGCTAAGGCAGGCGATATCCACGCGATGACGCATCTCCTGGACGGCGGCGCCGCGGTCGACCAAGCTAAAGGGGACGGCGCAACGCCCCTAGTCGTAGCGTGCGAACACGGCCACGTTGACGCCGCGCGACTGTTGCTGCATAACGGCGCGGAGATCGACCGGGCGGTAGAGAAGAAGGAGTGGAAAGGCGCAACGCCGCTGCTTGTCGCAAAGCATTGTAATCATGGTGCAGTCGTCGCGCTGCTCGAGGAACAATTGGATTTGAAATTCCCACTTCACGCTGCGGCACGGACCGGCGACGCCGACGCGATGACGCAGGTCCTTGCTGGCGGCGCAGAGATAGATGCAAAGGGGGACGGCGCGACGCCTCTATTCGTAGCGTGCGAGGGCGGCCACGTCGAGGCGGCGCGGCTGCTGCTGGACAACGGCGCGGAGGTGGACCGGGCGGATAAGTGGGGCAACACGCCGCTGTTCACCGCCTGCTGGAAGGGCCACGTCGACGCGGCGCGGCTGCTGCTGGACAAAGGCGCTGAGGTCGACAAAGCGGAAGAGGACGGATGGACGCCGCTGTTCGCCGCCTGCCACGAGGGCCACGTCGAAGCGGCGCGGCTGGTGCTGGAGAAAGGCGCGGAGGTCGATCGGGCGGATAAGGACGACTGGACGCCGCTATTCTATGCCTGCTGCAACGGTCATGTCGACGTGGCGCGGCTGTTGTTAGATAAGGGCGCGGAAATTACTCAGGCGTCTAAGAACGGTATGACGCCGCTGGACGTAGCAAAGAATAATCATCATGACGCGGTCGTCGCGCTGCTCGAGGAACAATTGGATTTGAAATTCCCACTTCACGCTGCAGCACGGACCGGCGACGTCGACGCGATGACTCAACTCCTGGACGACGGCGCCGCGGTCAACCAAGCTCCAGGGGGTGGAGCGACGTCATTATTCATCGCGTGCAAGAAGGGCCACATCGACGCGGCGCGGCTGTTGCTGGAGCGTGGCGCTGAGGTCGACCGGGCGGCAGAGAAGGGGAAGTGGAAAGGCGCAACGCCGCTGCTCGTCGCGTGCTACGAAGGTCACGTCGACGCGGCACAACTCTGCTTGGATCGTGGGGCGGATATTAACCTGGCGGACGACGACGGCCGGACGCCGCTGTTCGCCGCCTGCCGCAAGGGCCACGTCGACGCAGCGCAGCTGTTGCTAGATAAAGGCGCGGAGGTCGACCGGGCGAACAAGAACGGCCGAACGCCCCTGTACATCGCCTGCGAGGAGGGCCACGTCGAGGCGGCACGGCTCTTGCTTGAGCGTGGGGCCGCGGTGCCACGCGACGACGAATCCCTTGATGGCGCCGAATACCGGGAGGGCGACGTGGTCGAGGCACGGTATCGATGCCGAGAATATTGCCCCGGAAAAGTCAGCCGAGACCATGGTAATGGCAAGTACGACATCACCTACGACCACGGCGAGAAGGAGACGGGTGTCGATGCGCGGCTCATCCGCAAGCTCCTACGCTCGCCGCTGGCGATTGCCCAACGCGAGGGCCACGCAGAGATCGTCGCGCTCCTCGAGGACCACCGACGTTCCCGCATTGCAAACAGGTGGCGTCGCGCCGTGGCGTGGTCAAGCCCACGCAAAAATAGGTGGCGTTCCGCCTTGTCGTGGTCAAGCCCACGTCTTTTCGCTCCTCTAGAGCAGCCCTATATGCATAGCCGGCAGCGGTGATTGACCCTCATTTCTAAGCCTCGTTCACGGTGAGAGACCCCGGTAGGGCTAGTCTATCTACTATCTATAAGGTAATGAATCTTCTAGGAAGGGACGCGCGGCGCCTCAGTCCTTCATCGAGTCCAGGACCTTCTTCACCTGCTGCGAGAACTCGTGCATGATGACCGTCTCGTCGCCGATGATCTCCGGCAGGTGCGGCTTATCGACGAGGTAGCTGTCGCCGGCGTTGATCGTGGTCGACGTGCCGTCCTCGAAGTTGATCTTGCAGGTACCCTGCAGGAGACCGTCGGGCGCTAAAGAAGGCGAAGTTTCAAACGCCGGAGCACGCCTGGGTCTGGTAGCCGAAGTGGGTCGCCGGACACCATGCGGGACAGCTCCCATCTGGCAACTTTGGCAGCTTTGGGCCCACGGACTTCGCCCAGCTGAAGCCCGGGATCATCATGATCTTCATCGACCTGCGGCGGGCGGCGTCGACGAGTCCGCGCAGCCTCCCTGGACGCCGTCGGCGCGCGTCTTGTCGCCGATGGTCTTCACGTAGACCTTCGAGCCGTCGAGGTCCATCACCTTCTCGGCCGTGTCGTAGTCTATTTTGACGTTCTCATTCATGGCGCGTACTTCGGTGGGCGAACGGGCGCGGCGGGAGCCACGGGTTTTAATGCGGCTGCGGGCCTGCGCGGCGCCCGCGCGTAAACCCACATGATCCTGAGCGTGAGATCATCATTCCCCCCGAGAACGCGTCGTGCCACGGGTATCGTTTTGCGCACCAAGGTCGCGGGCAGCCTGGGAAACTCGGAGTTAGGGAGCCGTGGAGCGGCTGGATCGAAGCGCGACCTGTGAACTACTGCGCGGGTGGTGCTCGCGGCGCGCCGCCAGCGACGGGGGTCTCCGCGGACGCGGGCCGGCACCAAAAATTCCGAGTCTGCTGGAGATGCCAAGATCCACGAGCTCCGAGGAAGCGCCACCGGAGAGATGTCGCTGCCCGCCGAGGGCTCCCTTGGTCCGCTAGTACTACGCAGAAAAAGCAGAGGACGACGGGCCGGCGTGCGGGTCTGGCGCTCCGAGGCGCTGCAGCCTCGGATAGAGGCTGCCCAAGCGAGCACAGATGGCCTGAAGCATGCCCCGCAAGAGCGCAGCCGAGCTTAAAAAGCAGCGGCGCGCTGACCGCTGGGGCGTCGGCTCCGCGGACACGCCGCCCGTCGAGGGAGCCCCGACGCCAGCTAGGCTTTTGCAGCTATGGATTAACAACCACGCGACGGACAAGGCGCCCGACGGCGTCGCCTGGGGCGCCCACGTGCAAAAGTGGCGCAGCGACGGCGCCCAGGACACGCACATCTCCGCGATCATCGCCGCGACGACCTTCACGAAGAACGCGACGATCACGGCAATAACACTGACTGATTTACTGGAGGACTACGACCCGCCGGTCTTTGGGGTGGAGTTCACGCATCCTGCAAACGTGCAAGATAATAATGGCCTGACTCCATTGTTATTTGTGTTAAAAACTATCTACGGGTGGTTGCATTCGACCAAGTGCGCCAGGACCGCTTTACTAAGAGAGAAGATCAAGGTCGGCCTGCTCAAAGTCCTAAAAGCGTTGAAAAGTGACAGCGACTTCCTCTACGCCGCCCCTGGAGGCGTGACAGCACTCCATCTCGCGATAGGCCTCGAGTACGCCTGTTTAGGGGAAGAATGCATTGAATCACTCTTAGCCTGCGGCTGCGACCCCGACGCGCCCCTCGATGAGAGTGGAGATCGACCGGTCCACCTGGCGGCGCGCCACAACCCGAACGCGTTGAAGCCGCTCCTGCAAGGTGTGACGTTCGTGCGAAGGCCGGGAGATGAGTCGGACGAACCCGAACCCGAGGCGTCGTTGGCAACGCCCAATTCACGGAACTTCAAGGGTGAATCTCCCTTAGATATCGCCGTGCGGATGCGCTACGTGTCCTCCGTGGCTTTATTGTTGCAAGGCGGCGCCGACCCGAACGTGCTCGATGCCGACGGGGACACGCCGCTCGCGAAGGCGGAGTACGACCAGATCAACTTTGGTGGATGGGCGATCTCCACTTTATTAAAAGATCATGGGGCGTTGGCACTGATCCCGGAAGAACCATATGATGAAGATCACTGGACCTCGCACTGGGAGAAGTGCTGTACCAGGGCGTCGGACCGGGGTTTGGATGACGACGTCGAGGAGTCCGTGCTCGAGCCGCTCCCTCCCGACGTCGCGCGGCGGCGGCACACGATACGGTAGTAGTAAAAAACAAGTGTGTACACACGACTACTGGGCGGCCTCCTCTTCCTCGGCGGCGGGCGCGTCCACCTCGCTCCGCGCGCGCGCGTCGGCCGCCTGCTGCCGCCAGTCGGTGGTGAAGATGATCCCCAATAAAACCACCACGAGAAGGGCATATCCCGCCGCGACGCCCGTGTAGACGCTCCGCAGGTCCTTCCGCCAGAACTCGACGCACAGAATGACGGCAGGAACCTGGCCGACCCACGAGCCGACGGCGCCCGCATATAAAACTGCCTTGGCACGACCCATCCCGAACGGCACGCGCTCGCAGACGACCGCGAAGTTCATCATGAATAAAGCGGCCGCGAACTCGTAGCGGCACCGCTCGAACAGATCTAACAGTTTCGAATCGTTCGTGAAAATCATCGCGAGTTGCCTCGGTATCGTGATCACCACCAACACGATTATTGATAATAACACGACGGACACCACTAAACCGATCCGCACGCCCTGCCGCGCACCCTTTGAATCACCAGCACCCAGTCGCAATCCTAATTTAGTTGCGATCGCACCTCCCAAAGAACCAGTTAGTGTGAGCGCCATCCACATGATACGATAGGAGGCATTGAAGACCCCCAAGTCGTCCTCTGACAATGAAGCGGCGACCGCGCCCACGGCGGTCATGCGCCAGAAGTCCGACGCGATGGCCAGAGCTGCTGGGGCATACATCTTTACGTACGCTACGAATCGTTCCGACGTGATTTCTTTCATGGAAAACCATCCGTTGTCAGGTTCGCAGGACGCATGGAGCTTCTTTATGACACAAAAAACGACAATGACGATGGCCAGTTGGACGTACTCGACGCAAGTGGTGACCACAGGACAAGCTTTGAACCCGAACCCGCGCCAATCAGGGATGCCAATCCCGAGCACCAGGATCAAGCCCAATACGAGATTGAGCACCATGGCTATTGGAGCAGTAGCATATGACGGCCGCATGATTTTCTGCGCCGAAAAAAATTGCGTCAGCTGCGAGAAGCCCACTCTTGCGGGTAGGCAGAGAGCTAGGACCGTGGCGTAGTAGGCGGCGTCCTTCACTAGAGTGTCGTTCCTCACGAATAATCTTAACGCGGGACCCGTGAAGAGCCACGCGACCGCGACTGGTATGAGTACCAATGATAGAACGGCGTAGGAGGTCTGGAGCCAGGCTCCGGCCAGTTTCTTGTTGTCCGCACCTATCGCTTGCGAGACGAACACTCCTAACACTCGTCCTTGCACGAAGACTCCGGTGCTCATGGTGTACAAGTCGGACAAAGCCGTGGCGTCCAAATAACGTGTCCCTACATGTCCTAGGATGGCCGTGTCCGTGGACTTCATGGCGACCCAGGAGACGGACGAGACGAAGAAGGCCGCTGTTAGGCCGAGGAGGTCGGCGAGCTCGGTCGTGACTTGGACCTTTTCCTCTGTAGGTTCGGGCGCGAGGAGCGGTTCTTCGAGCGGGGCGGCGCCGTCTTCGGGGTCCGTGCTGGCCATGGTGCTGTGGCTGTAGTGCCTGCCTTGGCTGATGACTTGGGTACTCAAGTGAGAGACCGCGTCGGCGAGCGTGCGGCTGGTCGCACGAGAGGGGGAACCTGTCCCTGAATCCACAGCGTTATCGGGCGCGCAGGATTCGAACGCGAGCCCAAAACGACGAGCACCGCGGAGCTAGCGGCCCGTAAGACACTAGCCAGATTCTAAAAAACAGGAACGAGCTGATAAGAGGCTTCTCCCTGCTCGGTGAGGATGCCCAGCCGGAGCTTCGAAATAGCAATAAGGTACCTGTATACAGTATTCTCAGTCTCGCGTGGGAAAACGTCCCCCATCAAGAAGCTGCAATGACCTTCGAGGCTCAAATAAAGGATACTTGTAGTTAGTTACCAGCATATCGAATTGTAGAGGGAGGCGGATCAACACGCGTCGCCCGCGCAGGCGCCGGCCTCGAAGGCAGAAGTGCCGCCCATGCTCTGCTGCGAGAACCGGTGGAACAGCCCCAAGGCCACGACGCCCAGCGACAGCAATACCACCAACACGGCCGACGCCACCCGGACACCAACGAGCGCAAAGGGCGAGAGCACGGGTTCTTTGGTGCCGCCGGCATTGTCGACGAGCCGGACCCACGTGCCGTCCGTGGGGGCCCGCGCCGCCCAATAGCCCCAGACGTCGTCGAACCTCACATATTTCTTCTTGCCGTTTCTTCTTGATTTGATGTGTTCCCCTCCGAAGAGTAACACAGCTCCCCGTCGCGCACCGAGAGCGGCCGGCGCCGCTCTAGGTGCTGAAGGCCACGAACAAGCAGAATGCAAATATCTCGAACGAGGCACCTTGCCATCATACGATAACTGTTGCCAGATGTGCGTCACGAAGTCAAAACGCCAGAGGTCATCATTGGCCGACGTAGCCTGGTCCGTCACCTTCCCACCATGGATGTACAACGCCCCGTCGAGATAAGCGGCGGCGTGGTGGTCCCGCGCTTGCGGTCTCGAAGCATCAGCGGGACCATTGAGCTCGCGCCAGGCGTCCCACTTCGGCGAGTAGACCCATACTGAGCTATCATGATAATCATATGATTTTTTCGTCTTCTGGCGGCCACCAAACACTGCAATAGTATGTTCTGATTGCACCGAACCATCTTTGGCGGTTGGGATGGGCGGTATTGCTGTTGCACTGTGGCCCCACCGACAGCCATAACCACTACCTTTGGGAGGCGTCGACGTCTTCCTCCAGACTTCCGACGTCGAGTTGAAGGCCCAGGCGTCCCTCAGGCATTCGGAGTGGTGCTGGCGGCCGCCCACAATCACGAGTAGATCGTCCGCGTGGGCCGCGGCGTGACCTCGTCTGGCGGGAGGCCAGACATCTTTCTTCTCAATCTCTCGCCATGTAGACTGCTTCTCGAGGACCCACATGTCGTCGTAATAGAACGAGTGACTCCCGCGCTGCACGTGCCCTCCAAATATGTATAGATTCCCGTTCACTCCATCGCCGGCCGACTTCCACCGCGGCCCCGGCCTCGAACCGCGTTCGTCGCCGAAGTGCAGCCGCCGCCAGAAGGACGCCGGCCCCGGCGTGAAGAGCCACGTGTCGCCCACGTAGGCCATGTGGCCATTGTTGACCCTCTCGTCTTTGGTTTTGCCGCTGAAGAGGACTGCCGTGCCGTCCTCGAGGGACGCGAAGACGGCGGCTTTCCTCCGATAAGGCGTTTGGGAGATGTTGTCGGCCTTCGGGGCGTGGGCGCTTGCAAGGGCGGCGAGCAACACTGCATGGCAGTGTGGCTTCATGGCTGTAGGTGCTGCCCGCGCGCGGCCTCGGAGCGCAGCGTCTCGCAGCACTCGATTAGTGGTCTATTGCGCGTGCCCTGCGCGCCGTCCGGGCGCGATGCGCCGTCGCAGAGTGCAATTCACAGCAGCACTCGGTTTGCATCTGCGATTCTGGCCCGCGACGGTCCCGTCGTTTGATACAAGTCCCGCCGCGGCGGAGGCGCTCGGGAGCCCTCTGTGAGCCCACGACGCGCTCGAAGAAAATCGTACGGGGCAGCCTCCGGCAGCTCTCGATCGATGGACGTCGCGGCTCGCCACAGCGGTGCACAAAAGGCACCCATAGTAACGCAGAGCTCGCGAACCATAAATAGCAGCATCGCACACCGCCGCCGCCGCGCGCACCCCACAAAAGGGCTGCCCACAACCATGCGGCTCCTCCTCTGCCTCGCAGCCGCCGCAGCGGTCGACTGGCAGGTGCCCGCCTACCAGAGCGCCCTCACGGAGACCGGGCTGAGGGAGCTGTTGGGTGTTGACGACGAGCAGGCGACTCCACTGATTGCTTCCGTACACCGATTAGGATTGGCCAATCGATTGCGCTCTTTAGCAGCAGCGCACGTCTTCGCTACGGATGCGAACGTCGAATTAGTGGTGAGATGGAAAGCGGAACGGGGCTGCGATTGCGAGGCCGAGGACTTGTTTGCCGAGCCGCCTTGGTCTACTTTCAAAGGCAACGGCTCGGCCCTCGACGGTTTGCTGGCCATGGTCAACGAGACCCAGCCGTCCGTAGTCCTGAAACCGTCGTCCGGAAGACCCGTCCTCGTCATTCGATCTTCTGGACGATGGAGGTGGTCGCTCCCCGTCACGCTCGACGCCACCAAATACAGTGCGATCATCCTAGATCCGCGGGGCCAGTTCGCCCAGCCTCAGATGGACTGTCGCGAGTTCTTGCACCGGAAGCGGGCCTTCTATCAGCGCGTCGATGGCGCAGCGATGCGAGTTGCTGGACTGAACGACACGCTCGTAAATCTCAGGAACGCTTTACAGGACAAATTCGTCGTCGGCCTGCACGTCCGGACCTACGACCCGTCCTTCGACTGGCCCGTCGTGCCTCCACCGGATGTTTCTGTGGAAAGCTCGACAACGTGGGATGAATCTGCACCTATCAAAGTGCATTTCGAGGCAGCTAGGCGCGTCCTGAAGCGCCACCCGAGAGCCGTCATCTTCCTGGCTTCCAATGACGCTTCGGTCAAAGCTCGAGCCAAAAGGGAGTTCAAGGATTCGGAGTTGATCTATGCCGACTGGGGCGACGCCACAAGGGCCACACCAGGCGCCGGGCAGCGCGCCGCGTTGGCCGATTGGCTGGTCTTGGGCGATGCTGCCCTGGTGTTGCACACGTTCGGGAGTTCCTTCGGGGAAGAGAGTGCTTCTAGAAACGGAGTGCCCTCAGTCCGACTGAGAAGTGGAGGCCACGTCCTGGGCGTGGATATAAACAGAGACAATTGCGGCCACGTGGGCATGCGCGCCGCCGAGACGGAGGGCGACGAGCACTGCTTCGAGCAGGCCGGGGCCCAGGTCTGTTCCCCACCCTTGGAGCTCAAACCCTGTGAGATGGAGGAGCCCTGGGGCCTGCCCGACGTGTTCTGCTGACTCCATTCTGTGAGCCGCCGCCGCGTGGGACGGCGCCTCGATGGCGTGCCGGGCCCTCGGTCGTCCCGACGGACGCAAGGAGCGCCTCGACGCCATCGACGCCATCGACGCGGATATTTGTAAGTACCTTAATACTCCTCGCCCCCCGTCTGCATGGCACCCGCCCGAGCCGCTGCTGCCAAGTGACCCGCCCTAGCAGCCGCATCGTACAACCGCATCGCCCGCTGCGCGTCGCCCATGCAGCCCTTGCCCCGCTCATAGCACAAGCCCAACCGATACTGGCCGTCGGGCTCGCCGGCGGCCGCGGCCACCTTGTAGCACCGAAACGCCTCCTTGTCCGATTGGCGGGGCACGCCGATGCCCGCCGCATAGGCGTCACCTAAAGCCAAATTCGCCGCGGGCTCACCTGATTCAGCAGACTGCCTCAACTGCCTTATTGATTCCTCTTCATGTTTCACAACGTCCCCTAGACCTGCTGAGCGAATCACAGCGACGTTGAAGCGAGCGGTGGTACTCTCCAACTCCGCAGCTTGTAGTAATAACCTTTCAGCTTCTAAGGCTAACACGCCCTCGCCCGCATCATCAGCGGCTTTCCTCGCGAGTAATGCCGCCGCGTTGTTGCACGAGGCCGGACAGCCCCGGTCCGCGGCCAGCAGCCAGACGTCAAGGGCACGCGACGGATCCCGGGGCACGCCGATGCCCAGGTAGTGGCACCGCCCCAAATTGCACTGCGCGTCGCGATCCCCGGCTTTGGCCGCGCGAGCGTACCAGACACACGCGTCCTTGAGTTTCCGGTCTCTTCCAGATTTAGCTTTGCTCGGTGAGTCCTCCTCCTCAGGAGGCTTACTGGTAAAGACGTCTTCGGGGACATCTAAGGTCTCGGTGACGGGATTTCTCGCTGAACGTTCGAGACAGGCGCCTAGGGCGTTCATCGCAGGGATACACCCGGCAGCAGCAGCTGAACGTAAAAACCGTTCCGCGATCTTCAGGTCCCTAACAACACCGACCCCTCGCGCATACGCGTCCCCGAGGTGGTAGGCCGCCCAGGAGTGGCCCTGCTTCGCCGCCCGCGACAGATGTCTGGCACTTGCCGCATAAGCTGCCTCGACCTCCGCGGCATCGGTAGATGACGCTTCCGGTCCACTTTTGGCGAGCATGCCCAGGGCGTAGTGGGCGTCCGCATCATGATTCCTGGCTGCTCTCCCAAAAAAGTCCTCCGCATTTGTACGATCTCCTATATCGACGTACATGTAACCCAACCGTACTTGCGCCGAGGCGTCGCCGTTCTCCGCCGCACCTCTCAAAGCCGAGGCTCGATTCCGCAGCGGACCGAAGACCTCGTCGGGGTCCTTCTCTTCCTCATCATCGTAATTGTGGAACGAGGGCGTGCTGGTCTTCGGGGGCGAATCGGGCCCGGGCCACTGCTCGTCCATCGTGTCGGCGAAGGGTTGTTGTGTCCCACTGGACGGTCCGGGGGGCGTTTGTAAACGCGGGGCAGGAGACTCGGGGTCGTGTTCCAGGGGCTGGACGCGCGGGCTCATCTTGGCCAGCATCGTTGTTGGTGTTGTCGGGCTGCGATGGCGTGCTGCCCGTAGTTACGTTGGTGGCTTCCGTGGCTTTGTGGGCCTTCTTCCGTCCGTAGTTTGTTGGATGGGCCGCGGGGCGCTGGACGGACGCTGCCCCTTGAAACATACTAGCCTGTTGCTAGTGTCTTACCGGACGCTAGCTCGGCTTTTGCGGCTGAAGCGCAATTCATCGCGGACGCGAGAAAATCACAGCCAGGAGCTATATTTGACCCGGCGCTGTCGACTTGCAACGATGCTCCTGCGGCAAGCCAGCCGCGCCGCACGCCGGTCGCCGCGGCCGCTCAGGCGCCTCAGCACCGAGAAGACGTATGCATCCGTAAAAGCCGGCAATCTTCTGAACGAGGCAGCAGCAGCAACCCCAGAGAAGGGCTGGCCCTGGTACCTCAAGGCCATAGGTGCTTCCGCCGCTTGTGCAGGCACGGGCGCCTACGTCGCGCTGCTCATGCACCACGAACTTGGTTTTCGCCGCTTCTGCGAGAGCGTCTCTCCCTCACTGGTCGACCTCGTAAGGCAGAGGTACCCCTTCGCCGACGAGGATCCGGAACGAAGGGCCTATGTCCAAAAGTTGACAGAGGAGCTCGCGACACCTAGAACCGTGTCATTCAACGGTAGACGAGTAGAGGTAGCAGGTGGAGCGTCGGCGTCAGAATGTCGGGAAGCTTTGGGAATAGCGTGCGACCTCGACATCGATATCGAGGACGTCGAGGGTGTAGATGAGGTGATGGTTGCGGAGGAGGAGGTCCGACGGCCTTCCCAACTAGAAATCGCCGTGGCGCGGTGTGGCGCGTCCGTCTGGGCGCCGCTGCCTCCCCAAGTCCCGACGGAGGGACCCACGGCGCAAATTGAGGAGCTGGAAGCGCGGAAGCGCAAGATCGGCGACGACCTCGCCTCCGGTGTTTTAAGGGTCGACGCGGCGCAGCCCGAGGTCGACGCCATCGAAACTAGGTTGCGAGAGCTCCGTAAGAAATAAATAAAGTTACTAAAACCGGCAGACCACCGCGTCGACGCAGCCACAGCCCAACCTTCGCCCGCGAACCCACATCCACGCCCCTGCCGCGAACGGCAACACGCAGTGCCAGACGGCATGCCACCACAAAAAGGCGGAGAAGTCCCGTTTCGTGGGGGGCTTCGGGCTCCTCGAATGCAACAACTTCTGGCCTCTTTGAAAACAAGCCAATGCGACACATAGGCCGCCGATCCACACGACGTACTCCAAGAGAGTCATCTCCAACCAAATAAGTTTGCACATCTGCCACATGATGTTCACCGAGGCGACGAGGCGGTCGGCGTTCTTCCACTTACTTGGACGGCCAAAACTGTGGACGTCGTTGCCCCAGCTACATATGGACTGAATCCCGCAGATCACCGCCTCCACTTGATGGCCCGGGAAGACGGGGCACGTGAACCGCGTCATCGCGAACAGTCCTAACAAAGCGAAGGTGGAAGAAGAAGCGGCGTACCAGCCTGTTTGGGGTGCCGGTGGGCTTCCCGGAGGGACGTTCGAGCCCTCCTCGAAGATGACCATGACCCTTAGCATGAGGAACTCGACCAGTGAATGTTCTCTTCCGGTTTGTAAGGTGTGCGCGATGCCGTTGCCGTTCTTGGCCTTGCGTCGTGGCGACTTGGCTCGCGCGGCGGGCTTGCGCGCCGGCGACTTGGCTCTGGCTGCAGGCTTCCGCGCCGGCGACTGGGCGCGGCCGCGCGGCTTGGGCGCCGGCGAGGCGGCTTTTGCTCTACGCGTCGCGACCATGTTTGATGAGTGCAAATTGGAGCCCGGGTATCTTCTGCGTCGCCGAGGCCGGCTTTACTTTTGAACGGGCGTCGCGGCGGCGCGCGTGAAATGCAGTTGAGTCTCCTGTGGGCAGTGTGGTGTGCGCAAGACGGCGCGCCGCTGCGGCTGTTTTGTGGTTCCGCCGCAATTTACAGCTGTCCGAGCAGTGCGGCGAGGTGTTTCAATCCTCTTTAAGGTGCGGAGACGGCAGTGTGCTGCAAGCAAAAAAACTGCTGGGAGAGCCTTGCAAGACCACGCACCCCCTTTGGTTACACGCACAGGCGTGCGAAAAACGGACAGTCGATTGATCCGCACGACGGATCGCACTAAGACGACGGGCTGCTGCACGTATCTAGCTCATTCGCAGGGCCGGGCTAGCAGCAGAGGACACACTGTCAGCACAGCCTGCACAGCACACGCCGTCGCGGCACGCTGCAATCTGGAAGAACTCGCCGCAGAGGGTCCATCACAACAAGTCAGCACAGCGGTGCAGCACTCCGTGCAAGCTGGCACGCATCGCATTCATCGTCGCCCTGCTGGCGCCGTCCGCGTCCGGCATGGCAGCAACGTTAAAAAATGCGGCACCACCGGTCGCGGCGACGCGGACGCAGACCATAAGCTTCGTGCGCCACGGCCAGGCCCAGCACAACGTGCGCGCGGAGGCGAAGCGCGACGCGGGGTGTCCTTTTGACGAATTTATTGACCAAATGCGGAAAGATGATGCATTTGATGCCGACCTCACAGACGTAGGAAGGGAGCAGGCGAGAAACGCTCGCGCACCCGACGTCCAGTTAGTCGTGGCCTCTCCCCTGTCGCGAGCGGTCGAGACCGCTTCATTGATGTATCCTGGTAGGGAAATCGTTTGCATCGAAGAGCTACGGGAATGGTGCGGCCAGCTTGTCAACTCGAAACGACGGACCGCGTCGCAGCTCAAGGAGCGCTTTCCCTTCGTCGACGTGTCCCAGTTACCTGAAAATGATGAAAGGTGGGACGCGGAGGTGTTGGAGGAGGAGGCCTCCGTCGCGCGGCGGGGCGTGGCGGCTCTACAGTGGCTCGTGAAACGACCAGAAGACACCATCGCGGTCGTGTGTCACGGCGGTCTGCTCGCCGTGACCTTCGATCCGGACGACCATGGCGGCCACAGTTGCGTCGAGGCGCCGAATCCTTGCACGAAACGATTCTCCAATTGCGAGGTGAGGACTGTGAAGATCACGACTCACGACGGGGGCGCGCGGTTCAGCGTAAGTAGAGGGTAGTGTGCTACCACCGTACGCCATCGCCGCGATGGCACTACAATAACGGGCACTTAGACAGCGATAGTACCCCCTCGGCCCTAGACTTGGGCGGGCCGTCTCGAAACACGTAGACCGGACCGCGACCGGCCTTAAAAGAGCCCGAAGAACTTCTTCTCCGGCTTCTTGGCGCCGTTGACGTCGATCTTCGGCGCACCGCCCCAGCGCTTCTGGGCGTTTATTTGTTTCTGAGATAACGCCCCGGCGTCGCGCCACATCTGCTGATCTCTGGACAATCCATTCGCTTTGGCCCGATTCACGAGGCCATCCCTGGTACCGGCTTGCGCACCTCCGCCCGCGCGGGCACCTCGGCCCGTCCAGTCGAGCGCCCCGGCGTCGCCGAAAATCCCGACGGACGGCTTGACCGCATTATACTTCGCGTCATATTTGTTGGCCTTCTGGGCCTTGGCCTTGCCGTCGTTGTAGGCGTTCATGCCGAAGCCCGTGTTCATCCAGCCCTTTTTCTTTTGCGTGAGGTCGGAGTTCGTCCAGGAGCCGCCGCGCTGCATGTAGGGCACGTCCTTCAGGGCGATCTCGCCCTTGCGCACCTTCTCCGGGTTGACCGGGAACAAATGTTTGGTCTCTCCTTTTTCGAGGCCCGCGACGAACGACTGCATGCTTCTGCTTTCAAAACCTCTAGCTCCTCCTTTTCCGAACTGCTTCTTCTTGCGCGCGTCTTCTTCGCGCTTCTTCATGGCGGCGTAGGCCTCGGGCGACATGCCGCTGGGGACGTAGCCGTTGACGATGACGCCTTGGCCTGCGCGGCGACGCGACGGTGCGGACGGCGCAAGGTTCAAAGCGGTGCCGCGCGACCGCATCCCCGCGTCGGAAATGCTCCGAGTGAAGGCACCAGTAGGATTTCAGGCGCGGGCGGCCACGCGCGGCGCCGGTCTGCGGTGCCTGCTGAAAGCAGCTGGCAGTGCTCAGGGCCAGCGCGACGATTGCTGCTTTCAACCCCGCCATGGTGCTGGTGCAAAGAGGCGTGGCGCGCTGGCGCTCCCGGTCTCTGGACTCCTCGCAGCCCGCCCCGCGGCGCTCGATGTTGGTCTTGCAATCTGTCGATCTGCAAAGCCTGCTCATGTGCCGTGACGCGAGCCCCAGTCGTGTGCTAGTGGCCGGAAGGACCGTCTACTGGGGTGGCGGAGACGCGTCCGGAAAAAGAAGCGAGTCCGACGGGTACTCAGGCTGGGACGCGCGCGCGCGTACGAGCGGAAGCCGCGCGGCTCGCTTCAACAAGTAGGGATGTGGAAGACCAGTCCAAGAACCTGTCGGGTCGGACCACAGGCGACGTTGGCGCGGGCCTGGGCGAAGCGTCGGAACCCGCACGTTAGGCAGCAATTGCTGCGCGCCGCGCGCGTACGAGCGGTACGCGGCCGCAGCGGTGAAAATAGCACTCGTGAGTGGTGCCCGCTGGACTACTGCGTCGCCTGATCACTGCCTTGCATTTGTTTCGCACGCATTTCGGCTGGCTGCTCCGCACAGCATTCCATTGCTGGTTCTGCGCAGCTATAGATCACCAGTTTTAGGCGCTCCGGAGGTCTGCGCAGCGATGGCATGCCGGCGGCTCCTCGCTGTCGCCGCGGTTGCGCGCGTGGCCGCCGGCGCCGTGAGCTCGGGCTGCGGCGTCGAGAGCACGGACATCCTCGAATATGTGGGGATGGAGTCATTACCGCTCGCGCTAGACGGCCACAACCACATCTTGACGCTGCCACAAGACTACGACTACGAAACGCCAGTGCCCCTTATTCTATACATGCACGGCTGGGGCGGCGACGCGTCCGAGGGCGACGCCTTCGCATCAACAGCAAGGAAAAAAGGCATCGCTACGGCAGCGCTGGAAGGCAGCGGGCCGGAAAACTGGCAGAGCTGGAACGCCGGAGGCAGCAGTTCAAGTCCAGGGCCGCGCGGCGCCACCTGCAAGCCTGGTAGTACAGACTACTGCTCCTATTATGCCGAGACCTGCGAGTGCGAAAACTCGGACGGCTGCTGGTGGACGACGTGCGAGGACTCGACGCGAGTCTTGTTAGATGCGCTCGAAGCGGTCGAGAAGATGCTGTGCGTGGACCTGGAGCAGGTGTGGGTCGCGGGCTGCTCGAACGGGGCCATGATGGTCTACGAGGCGCTAGCTGATTCAAGAAGTGCAGGGCTCTTCGCCGGCGGCGTGTCGATCGTGGGGGCGCCTCACCCCGGCTTCTGGCGGCCGCCCTCGTCCTCCGCCCACCTGCTCGGGATCTGGGGCCTCTCCGACACGACGATTCCGTACGAGGCGAGCGAGGACGCGCCGGGCCCCGGCGTCGCGCTCGCGACCGTAGACGAGGACGACGAGCGCGGCTGGTATGTGTCCCGTGTCCTTGCTGACAATGAGCCGCGTCGATGGCGTGGAGGGCGGTTGTTGGCGTACTGGTGGTACTTGTGAACATCCACGCCATCGAGCAGGACACCACACTAGCACAGAGCAGCCCCAGCCCCACGCCGTCGCTCAGAGTCCTCACACCGTCCGACGCACCGCAGGTACTACACGGCCGCGCGCAACGTGACGCGGGCGTGGAGCCTCCACCACGGCGGGCCCGCCGCGCCCGTCGCGACCAACGCCTACGGAAATGGAGACGTGTCGTGTTCCACGTTCGTCGGCGCCTCCAGAGAAACCGTCGAGTGTACAGTAAAAGCTGGCCACGTCTGCGGCCGCGCCGACGAGATCGAGACCGCGCTCGGCTTCATCGAGGGCCGACGAGGGACCTCCTCTGATAAAAGCTCTTCGTCGACGAGCGACGCCAAGGTCGCGACCGCCGCGGCCGTGGCCGTCGTCGTCACGTGCGTCCTTCTTGCTGTCTTTATCGTCAGCTTCCTCTTCTACCGGCGGCGGTCGCGGTCGCGCGGCATCTTCGAGCTCGTCGACGTGTCGCCCGTGAATACGTTGGCGGCCCCAGGCATCGCGGCGCCGTCCGTCGTCGGCAAACGGCCGACGCCCTCGCCGCTGCGCGGATCGCCTCCTCCTAGGGCGCTGCGGCCGACTGGCGCGTTGCTGACGCCGCCGCGCGAGGGAGGCGGCGGCGAGTTTCCATCTTAATATATTGTGTGCACTTAGATCCTAGACTTGCCGTCGTCGAGGTCGTGGTCGTCGTCCAAATCGACCTCGTTCTCGGCGAGGACCTTGCGCGTCCACCAGTAGGCGTTGACCGGCGACGCCCCCGGAGCCTCCGCGGCCGGAGGCGCCCCCGCGGCGCGCTCCAGCTCCGCCGACGGCCAGCTCTTTTTTCGCGCCGCCCCCGCGACGCGCTTCGCCTCCGACGGCGGCCAGCTCTTTCGCGACGCGGCGACAATTTCCTCAGGATCACCGTTCCAGATCTCGAACTCCGACTCGCGCGCCGCCTCGGCCTCGTCGGCGGGCGCGTCGTCCTCGTCGGCGGGCGCGCCGTCCTCGGCGGCGGGCGCGTCCTCGTCGGCGGCCGCCACGGGCTTGACGCTCACCTCGTCGCCTTCGCTCTCGCGGAGGGGCGGCCTCGGGACGGTGTCTTTGCTCGAGCCGCCGCAGATGAACCAGCCGCGCGCCATGCTGCCTGCGTGCGAGGGGCGGACGCGTTATCGCGCGCCGCGGCAGTGCGGCGTCACTCGTGCGCGTCGCCGCCGGCGTGAACCCACATAGACCGAAAGCCGACGACGCGCGTGCGCAGAGGCGTCCTTGCGGTCGCGCCGAAGGCCGCGGATGGACGGCGCCAGGCGTGCGCGCCGTCACGAGGAGGATTGTCCAGCTGCTCTCAGAGAGTGGTGCTTTTTAATCAAATGCACGACGAGATAGACGATTCTCGTGCGCCCGGCGGTGCGAGACGTGCGTGAAGGAACTCTTCGTGGCGCTGGTTTACACCTCTGTGGCACGACGTCGATTTTGGGCCGTCTTTTCGAGATGAAACCGGGCAAGCTCGGGCAATCCAGCCGATTGGTTGGGCGCCTGGTACATCCTCTACGACAGACTCCATAAGAAGAAAAACACACAAACTTACTATCACGATGTCGACGCGCCGCCTACTCCCCGGCCCTCGACGAACGCGCCGTCGGTTCGCGCCACCACACCAGGACTACTCCCCAGGAGGCCCAGGAGGAGCCGGATCGACCCGTCGCCGATTCTCCGGCACATAATCAGGAAACTCCTCCTCGATATCTTCCACGAGCTCCACGGCCGCCAGATGAGCCAGTCCGAACGGCCCGAGGACCATCCTTCTGTGATCGACCGTCGCGCTACACGCGCAATAATCCAAAGTAACTTCGTCGCCGGCCTTCATGTCGTGACATGCGACGACCTCCAAGCTTCGCTCGTCGCCGAGCCACACTTCACAGGACGGCCGCGAGTCGTGGTTGGCTAGACACGCGAGTCGAGGTATCACAACCGCCTCGCCACCGCGCACAATCAGATTGTTCATCTCCAGCGCGCCGGCCAAGGCGTCGACGCGGCCGAAATCAATCGAGGCCGTCTGACGCCTTCTGCGCACATAGTCCCCGTCATCCTCCGGACCGTGCCGCAACTCGTCAATGTCTTGTATCAACGCGTGGCGGTCCGAGAAAGCTAGTAAAGGCCTCTCCGCTAGATCGCCCGGCCTCAATAGTGCTTCGAGGACGCGCAAATCTTCACCATCAACACCAAAGAGTTGCGATGCCGCTAGTGAATGAAAGCCCGCCCCGACGACGCACCCCTCGGCCTCCAGCGACCGTCGATGGGCGCGGAACCGTTTTGAGGCACCCGTTACTCGTTTCTCGAAGAGCGCTTCGCACGCACCGCAGCAGAAGGACTGCTCCCGCTCCAGCTTCGCGGCGCAAATGAGGCACGCGTCGTCCCGCAATGAGATAACACAGAGGGCCTTTTCTTGGAGTAAAACTTCGCCTGCTTGGACGTCCCTTGTCACCCTCAGCCCGAGGCCGTGGCTCTTAAAAACTTCGACGGAGGTACCTTGCGCAAGCCTCTCAAATACAGACCGGTCGCGCGGCGCCTCGGCGCAAGCCCGATACGCCAATCTAGACGTGACGCTCTTCGTCCGGGCGGGCTCCTTCTGGACAGTTCCGCTCTTGAGCTGCTCTCTCAAACGCTCCGTCTCCTGCTGGGCCTGCGCGGAGTTGTGTCTCAGACGCCATCGAGCAGACACAAGGACGCCGCTTCAAAACCGCGTCGCGCGCGTCGCGCCCCTTCCGGTCCAGCTCGAACGCGTCCTCCAAGCGACCCGCGTCTCTTGCTACTCGAGCCCCATCTAGAAACGCTTCGAGGGCCTCCAACGGCGAGCCGAGCCGCAACAACGCATCCCCCAGGGTACAATAACCTCTAGGCCAGTTTGGATCGCAGGTCACGGCTCGCAACGCGTCGGCGGCCGCTTGTGCCGCTGTCGTGTCGTTGTCTTCCGACAACTGTAGGAACGCGACTGAACGGTTCGACCAGAGGATCGCATCATCAGGATCTTTTTTGATCGCATTCCCATACTCTACCAACGCTTGAGATACGTTGCCCTCCCTCAGATGAAGATTGCCGGCATCCTTCGACGTACAAGCTTCACTTCTGTCACTCTCAGAAAATCGCAGCGGAGGCCCGCGGCGCACGTGCTTATGCGCAGGTATGGAGGCAGGCGGCGGCGGCGGCGGGAACGGAGCACCGCCCTCTGCCGGTTCGGGAGGCGCATTCAACGCGTTCAGCATCGCGGCAGCATCCCCTTCATGCGAAGGAACGTCAGTAGGCTTCTCCAATGCGGCAGATTCGAACTCGTCCCGCAACCTTTGTAACTCTTGCCTCTTTTCACTATCAGGCGGCAGCGCGTCCATCGCCAGTCGCACAGATTCGGCCGCGGCCGAGCACTCCCCGAGCGCGTCCAGCGCGATGGCCCTGTTCACTAATAAAGGTACTAAATATTCACCTTGAGCACCGGAAGCCAACACCTCGTCGTACGTCCGCAAGGCGTCCCTCACACTGTTTTTCGTGGCCCGCTGCAGCTTTTCATTCGCGGCCTCGACGAGCTCCGCCACTTGCCCCTCGACCGTCACGTCCGTGTTCGGTTTTTGTTCTCTAGCGTTCCGCGCCGCTTTTATCAGTTTTTCCACATTTTCATCCATTCCAACAGGCCACTCGTCCTTCAAAGATTTCTCGCCCCTCCGCAATGCCTCGAGGCTCGCGTCGGCGTGCGGCGTCGTGTCCCCATCCAACTCGGCCATGCCCTTCAGGATCTTGTCCATCTCGTCCAAGCCATCTATCGAAGCTTGGTTCAGGGGGTGGTCCATGGCTGCGGTCGCGTGTCGCGTCGATGGCGTCGATGGCGTGCTGGTGGATCTCTTTTTGAGAGTGCTGCCCCCAGGGGCTGTGAGCGAGCTGGGCTGCGCACAAGTGGTCAGTAGCGTCCGCAGCGATCCGAGGCAGCCCGCTGCGGCGTTATGAGCAGCCTAAGCAGCCGTAAAGCCGTAGAGCCGCAAAAACTAAAATGCTGGCTAGTGTGTTACAATGCCGCTAGCGTCGACTCAAGCCGGCAACTCGCTGCAGCTTCTAATAGCTGCATTCTGCACCAAATAGCGCCGCCGTAGGTGCCTCTGGAGCAGCTCGCAGCCACCACCGACGCCTGCCGACGCGTGGTGCACCATCCGGCCCACACACTGCTGCACTGCAGCTAGCACTCGACGCGCAACGCACGCCACCGCTGCGTTCACGACGCTCTTGCATGCGCCCCGTGCGAGCAGTCCTGCTCCTCGCGTCGTGCCGCGCCGACATGCTTCGTAGACTAGTACCCGGCCTAAGACGCGCCTCGACGAGGACCATGGCCACGAAACCGCGCTGCGTCCTCCTCAACGCCGCGCGCCTCGACTTTGACGGTCGTATTGATTTCGCGAAACTTGAGGAAGTCGTAGAGATAGAGAGGTACGACAAGACCCAACCAGAGGACGTCGCTGCGAGATGCGAAGGCGCGCAGATAATCGTAAACAAAGAGATGCCCCTGTCAAAGGAGACCATCGCGTCACTCCCGGACAGTGTGAAGTTGATCTGCGAGGCCGGCACGGGCTACAACAATATTGATTTGGACGCTTGTTCCACGAAAGGCGTATGTCTATCAAATGTGCCCACTTACGCCACTGAGGCCATGGCCCACATGGCGATCACGGCACTCATGGCCTGCTCTTGTAGCCTCTGGCAGCAGGCGGCGGCCTTTGGGTGCGGTGACTTTCAGTATCTAGAACAGTGCCATCCCGGTTCCTTGACGCATGTCGAGTTACATGGCAAGACTCTTGGTCTAGTTGGCGGTCTAGGGACGATCGGGAAGCGGGTCGCCGCGATCGCTTCGGCGCTAGGGATGAGGGTAGTAGCGTCGTCGTCACGCATGGCCGCGATCGGGCAACAGGGCGACGTTACCGTAGTCTCGCTAGATGAGCTCCTCGAGACGTCGGACTTCGTCTCGATCCATTGTCCCTTGAACGCGAACACCAAGGGTTTGATCGGGCGCGTGGAGCTCGCGAAGATGAAGCCCACGGCCTTCCTCATCAACACCGCTCGCGGTTCCATAATAGATCAGGACGCCCTCGTCGAGGCTTTATCATCTAAGCAAATCGCGGGTGCCGCCTTGGACGTCTTCGGCGAAGGCAGCGCGCCGCCGCCCGCGCTGCCGTCAAACCATCCGCTGTACTCGCTGGAAAACGTCATGCTCACTCCGCACATCGGCTGGCAGCGCCTCGAGTCGCGGCAGCGCGTCGTCGACATGGTCGCCGACAACTGTGTGTCTTTCTTGAACGATGGGTCGTCGAATATTGATCTCGGGACAGGGCTGCCTAGGAAGAAATAACACTAACACATACTTAGTAGAAGCCGAGGTGGAACGAGTACTCGACGATGCGCGCCACGAGCTCCGGCGGGACGAGGTGCGTGAACTTCGGCGCGAAGATCGCCTGGAGCGCCGCGCGGTGCGCTTTCTCGTGGGCCGCCCAGCTGCCCGCGGCGTCGATCTTTTGCAGGTAGGGGTCCGCGCGTTCAGTATTGTAACTTGCCCCGGGCCAGTTGAATGGGTTCTCACCGGGAGGTGGGAGAATCGCGCCGCCTCGCAGCAGGACAGGCCAGAGGCGGCGGTGGCCACCACCGATTGCCCACTTCATCAGTGATCTTTCTTTTATTTCGGGGGGGTTCGCATCCGCGCCCGCCTTAAGAAGAGCGTCTGCAATGGCGATATGATCATATCCCATCGGACGCCCATTTCGAAGAGCATGATAATGTGAAATCACCGCCATGCTCAACGGCGAACAGGCAAATTCTAATGGAGGGGGGGTGCTAAGCACGGAGACGTCACTGCCGGCATCTAGAAGCACATTGACAAGAGCCAGACTACCTTGTGCAACTGCGTCTATGAGCGGTGGAAAAAAGATACCCCCGGGTCTTGGTGATGCGCCGTGCGCCAGCAGCAGCTCGACGCAGGCGAGCCGGTCTGCATCGATGCCGTCGTCGATTACTCTCCGACGTTCAGCTGGTTGAGCGGCCCAGGCAAGAAAGGCTTCGTCCGTGCCCCCGCGCCGGTAGACGACTGTTTCGTTCGTGACGTGACAGTTAAGCTGTAAAGGCGTCTGACCACCAGGCATACTCAAAAGATCGACAGCGACGCCCGCCGCGAGCTCGCGGCGCAATACGTCCAGGTCGAGGGCGTGAGCGGCTTGCGCTATCGCTGGCCAGCCCGTCGTCATCGCGAGCTGAGCAGCCTGGAACGTAGCCAGAAGCTGCGCCTGAGCCGGCTCGAATGCCGGTTGGCCCGGTTCGTATGAAGGATGATGGGCTATCGATCCCTCTGCCATCTTATTATGCTGCTTTTAATATTTATGCAGAGCAGGTGAAATGTCGCCGCAGCGATGGGTGAGCAGCGTGCTGCCCAGATGCAGCGTTTCGCAGCGATCTGGTTGATAAATTGTAGGCGTGAGAGCTCCTGACTATGAGCCGACGCGCTGTAATAGGCCTGCGACCCGAAGCCGATGCGGGCTAGCGGCCTATAAGACACTAGCATTTCCGCAGATCTCCGTAGACGGTCCCGCAAGGCCACAGGACCGCAGAGAAAGGAGCAAGCAGTATGTTCATTACGCCCCCACGCGCCTCCGAAAAGCGCGGAAGGGGTAGGTCACGACCCGCCAGCCCCGCGCGAGCAGACCGACGGGCTTCACCTTTCGAGATGAGGAAGAACGGGCCCGCCGGACGCGACTGCGGTCCACCCACAACGACCCCGTCGACAGGACGCGGCCCACCTCGACGGCGTCGCCGCGAATTTTCTGCACGGAAGCTTCCAGCCAGGCGCCCGGCACGTTCTGCGACCCGCACCAGACCTCGACGAAGTCCCTAGGCTTCAACGCATCCGCCTCTTGCGTATTCTTGGCCCGCCACCGCAACCGGTCGCGCGAGACCCACTCGTCCCAGCGCCCCTCCCACCCCGGGAACGTGACCTTGTACCAGGCCTTCGCCGCATGTATTTTTCGGCCTCTACCAGGACTGCCGGAAGCAGCATCCAACGCGACCTTGTCGACGACGACGGCGACCCACCAGGCCGTGCCTCGGTAAATCTCCAAGCTCTCCAGCCTGAATTTACCCCTCCAGGCCACCTCGACGTCGTCGCCGACGTGCGGGTCCTCCAGCCTCTGTTTATACTCCTGCTTGTAGTCCTCGTACTCGTCTGCACTGGTTTCGCCGTCGCCTTCGTCCGAACCTCCGGAGAACCTGTTCAGGTAGTGGTCTCGCCACAAAGCATCTTCCGATGAGAGGGATAGCCAGTCCCTGCTTACGGTAGACAAAGTGGTGTGTGCCGTGACATCTAGGAAGGACAGACAGAGCAGCATCGTATCTCGCGGCAGCGTGTTCGACACGACGACGGGAGGCGCTTCCTCTTCAAATAACTTTCGAGGCGTCGCCGGCAGGACCGAGAGGGAACTGCGACCAAGTCTGGGCGGCGTCAGGCGGTCGAGCTCGTTGAAGCGGCCGCGGCACTCGGTCGGGCAGCGCGGCGGCGGCCGCGAGGGGGGCGGCGGCCTCATCTCCTTGGTGGGCAGCCCCGTGGGTCTCTGGAGGTCGTAAGGACTGCGGCGGGTCCGGTCACGCGCGGCGGCGTCCCTCATAGGAGGCGCGTTCACAAGCAAGTGCTCAGCGCCTCCATCAAGGCAGAGCATCATTCTAGCGTTTGAACGAGGCGCGTCGGAGACGTCGTGGCGTCGCCTGTGGGGTGCTCGGACGGGGTCTCGGACTAGGCTGGAAAAACCCGACCACTCCTTGCCAAGTCTAGTCTGCCGCGCGGCGCTCTGTGCCTCCTCTCACGCGCGCGACGCGCCATCGGTCGAGCGGAGGCGTCGCAAGACACTGCGCTGTTCACACGAAAACGCGCTAAAGCCCTGCGAGGCGTGCGCGCTCGATATCTAGACACCAGGGTCACCAAGGCGCCAGCCACTCTGCAGCCGCAGCGCACGCACAGATCGCGCGGGACGACGAGCAGCCATGGTCAAGCAGCGCCGAAGAAGCGCAGCAGCCGTCGGCTTCCAGAACATTGAAGTGGTGCCCAGCGAAGCTTTGGAGACCGCCCTCCGAGAAAGACAACAATTATGCAAGCACGGCGAAGCCTGGGCCAGGAGAATAGGCGCCTCTGATGATCCACAAAAACTGAAAGCGTTTACCGGATTGTGGTGGGACCTGTCGCCCCAGATGAGAAGTTGGGAAGTCCCGCCCGACGACGGCAGTAAGTGCCAGAAGTGCAAGAGGACGCATCGATTAGGTTTCTACCGCGGTATCACCTATAGGGATAGATGTGAATGTAATAAAGGTGGGCGGAAGATCGCGGACGAGTGGAAGCTGCTGGGCTACGAGTGCTACAAGCGAGGGTTGAGAGAAAGGGAGTTAGTTGGTACTAGTACTACTGTGGTGCAGCGGAAGAAGTCGCAATCTCCTAGACCTCGGGCGCCGTCGGGGCCCCTGCCGGACGTCGACTTGGGGGCTTGTGCTGGTTATGTGAAGGGCGGTGCGGCTTCCGCGTCCGCAACGTGTAAGGACGCCGCCGTCGCGTCGACGGCGTATCACCGGTCGCCTTCCGCGCAGGCAACGCCGACGACGCCGCGCCGGCCGCGCCGGCCTCGCCACCGAAGGAGGAGACCAAAACGGAACCGCAACCGGTGGCGATCCAGCTGCCCCCGCCCCGTAAATTGGCGCCGCGCGTGCCGACGCCCGACCCAAGTAAACCTTTCGCCGCGGGCGGCTTCCAGGCCTTCAAGAGGAAGTGGCAAGCTAAACAGCAGCAGCAGGCGCCTGCCGTCACGGTGTCGACAGGAGCGTTTGCGCCACCTAAAACACCGGAGGCGTCGTGGCCGACTCTTGATGGTAAACCTGCACCGGAGCTGCCCGAAAGTAGACGGGCCCAGGAGAGCGGTTATGATCCTAGGACCGAACCGCTGTTGCCGGGCGACTGGCGCTGTTCTCTTTGTGGCCGGCCGAATATCCGTAGACGGGACGCTTGTGCATCCAGAAGATGTCGAGGACGTAGACCAGAGGGCCACACCGGAGAGGATGCCTACCAAAGGGCATTGAGGGAGTCGCGGGAGGCGGATCAAAGAAGGCAAGAGGCGGAAGATGACGAGCTGGAGCGGGCTCTGGCCGCGTCTCGAGCGGAGAGCCAGCCGTCAAACGATCTGATGGGGCCGTCGGCGTACGGCGGCGGCGCCTTCGGCAGCGGCGGAACGAACGGCTTCGGGGGCAGTAGTGCCCGCGCGGCGTCGCCCGGCCTCGGCGGCGGCCTCTACGGCGGCGCCTTTAGCAGTGATAGCGGAACGGGAGCCTTCAGCGCCTTCGCCGCGCCGGCGGACGGCGGCTTCCGCGGAGGCGCCTTTGGCGGTCCCACAAACGGCGCATTCGCCGCTGCCGCGCCCGCGGCCGACGCCGGCGCCGGCCGCGTCTCCGTCGGCGCCCGCGCCCGCGCCCGCGCCGCAGCGCGCGCCGACGGCGCCGCCGCCCAACAAACGACGCCCGAGGCGAGCCGCCTCCTCGCCGCGGCCCAGCAGCCCTCAACCGTGTCGCCGACGGCATCAGCAAGAGCGCTCGCCAGCCAGCCGCCGCCATCCTCCACGGGCTGGGTCGCGTTGCAAGACCCGTCTTCCGGAAGAACGTACTACGAACATGCGGGTCGTGGTTTGACGACATGGGACCGGCCCGCGGAGCTCGAGGACGACGACGCGGACTTGCGCGCGGCGCTGGCGGCATCTGCTGCCCAGCCGCCGCCTGTGGATGAAGATGCTGAATTGCGAGCGGCGTTGGCTTTGAGTGCGCGCGAGCGGCCTCCCGCACCACCCGCGATGGACGACGACGCGGAATTGCGGGCCGTCCTGGCTTTATCCGCGCGGGAGGCCTCCCAGCAACCGGTGCACCAGGACGACGATCTGGCGCGGGCGCTGGCGGCGTCGCTCCGGGAGACGCGGCGGCCGGCGACGGACATCTCTTCCGTGCTCGCGGCGGCGGGTTTATCAAGGCACCTGCCTTTATTTAGACGGGAGGAGATCGAGTCCGTCGAGGATTTGAGATATCTGTCCGTCGACGACTTCGTCGCCATCGGGCTCGAGCGGGCCGAGGCCCAGGACCTGTCGCGCATGTGCGCGACGGTGGCGGTCTAGGGGTTGTGCTGTTGATTTCTATCGTCGGGCGTAAGGTTTGTCGATTGAGCGATGCGTTCTGATTGCTAGTGTCTTACATGCCGCTAGCTGATTATACTCGAGTTTTAAGTTTTGGGCTCTGTTTTTGCCCTCAGCTCGGCACAGACAGACTCATGGATTGCTGCAGAGCACAGAAGTGATCATCTCACATAGTCGAGCCGCCATGCCGCGCAAGAAGAGCAGCGCGCCGCCTCCGGCAGCGGCCGAGACCGTAGACTCGTTGCGGACCCAACTGGCGGAGCAGCGCGAGCACTACGAGGCCCAGTCCGCCCAGGCCCTCAAATTACTGGAATCAAAAGATGCCGAGCTCGCCACGTTGCGAGAATCGACGGCGACGCCCGTGTCGCCGGGCACCGACGCGTCACAAGCCGCGTCCCAAGAGGCCGAACGCCTGCGGCGAGACGCCGACGCGAAAGCCAAAGAAGCCGAGATCTTACAAAGAGCGCGCAGCGAGTCCGCGGCCGAGCTCGCGCGGCTCAAGACCGAACTGTCCGTCTCGAACGCGAACGACGCGGCGCGCCAGGCGGCCGTCGTAGCTAGTAATGCTGCCGTCGACGAACTGAAGCGATTGCGGGGGACGGCCGCGACGGACAAGGCGGCTTTGGCCTCTACCGCGAAGGCCCTGGACGACTTATCAAAAACAGAAAAGGAGCTCCGCGCGCAGCTCACGCAGTCGAAACAAGATTTAGCGCAGGCCCAGACGCGCCTCAAGGCGTCCCAACACAATTCCGACGCGACCAAGGCCGAGTTGGAACGCGCGGACCAGGCCGAAGCGGCTTTGAGAACCGCAAAAGCCAACAACGAGAAGCTCACGAAGCGCCTCGCTTCCTTGGAGCGGAGCGACGCCTCCATCAATGAAAGGGAGGCGAACGCCGCGGAGGCGATTGAAAAAGCTCGAGCATTGCAGGAGCGGGCGCAGACGGACATGCGAAAGGCTTCAGAGTTACAACAGGCGGCGAGGCGCGACGGCGCGGCCGAATTGGCGCGGGCCCTGGACGCGCGCGATTTACGAAGGAGGTTGTCGCTCGCCGAGGCCGATCGCGACGCGGCTCTCAGAGATGCGGACGATTTGCGGACGGCTCTGAAGGCGCAAGAACCGCCGGCGACGCCGGCTCTGCCTCCAGTGACGACCTTCACCAGGGAAACGGATGAAGGTACGGTGGCCGAGCTCGCGTCGCAACTAACGGAGGCCCACGAGCAGTTGGATCTCTGTCGGACGTCTCTGGACGCGATGAAGGGGTCCGACGAGGACGTTCGGTCAAGGTGCTGCGCATTATCACAAAGATTGCACGAGGAGGCGGGCGAAAGACATCGGCTCGAGCGGTTAAGAGCAAGGTGTCGCTGTTCGCACCAGGACGGTACGAAGGATGCAAATGAGGACCTTACAAGGCGAGCGCTCGCCGCGTCGTTAGCCGCGCAGGCCGCGAAGGACTCCTTGTTTGCTGAACAGCAAGCCACGTCGAACAAAGCTTTAGCCGCGGCGCGGTGTCGCGCGACCGTCGCGGAAAGGGCTAGAGATCTAGCCGACGCGCGCGCTTCAGATGCGTCCGAGGCCCTCCAGGAGGCTTTATCACTGCACGGCATTGATCGTTCAGCATTAGCTGATCGTTTACCGGAGAAGGAGGATACTACGTTAGGTGCGACGGCGCGAGCTTTAGAGGAGGCCGAGCGACGGGTCACGGCCGAAAAAGAGCGCTCTCACATACTAGAGGCGCGTTTAGTCGAGATGACATCACAAAAAGCGGACGCCGTCGAGGCGCTGGAGCGCGAAACGGCCGCGACGAGGGCGCAGGCCGATCGCGCCGCAGCTGCCGAGCTCGCCTCCGTGGCGGTCCAGGCGGCCAGTCGCTCCGGTGCTGGATTACGTTCATCGCCGCGCTGGCGGTCCTACGTCGACGACGTTCTCTCCGCGTGTTCATCAGAGCGGGACGCCAAGGCGGCTTTGTTAGAGTCGAGAGCTGGCTTAGCACGCCTGGAAGCGAGACTGGAGACGTCTGAGAGACGGGCGGACTCGCTACAGTATCGCCTGGCGCGAAGAGGCGTCGAGGAAGAGGAGGAGGACTTCCACGTCAAGACCCCGAAGGACCCAGAAGTGTCCTCACTACGACGGGAAGCGATGCAGCTCGCCGACGAGGCGTCTCAGGCGAGAGACGCCCAGAAGCGCGCCGAGAATGACGTTAGAGAAGTGAGAGGTGCGTTATCCGCCTTGCGCCTCGAGAAGAGCGCCCTGGAAGCCCGATGCGCCGCGGCCGAGGCGGCCCAAGCGGACGCTACCAGAAGCTCCTTGGACTTGCGAGCAAGGGCCGCCCAAGCGGAAGCTCGCGCCGTCCACCGCGTCACGGCGACCGACGACGACGCGAAGGCGCTCGCGCAAGCGGTCCTCGCGCGCATGGACCGGATCCAGAACATGGCTACCAGTGATAAACCGTCGGAGGCGCTCCAAACGCTCGAAAAGCGCGCGACGGAGCTCGAGGCCGCCCTCGCCGATACGCAACAACGTCTAAATGATGAATCTACCGCGAGAGCTAGTGCGGAGCGCCGCGCGGGCCGCGAGGCCTCTTCTCGTGCAGATATGGAGGTCGAGGTCGTGCTGACTCAGCGTCTGTTTCTGAGGTTTTCTGAACTTCAAGATCGCATCGACTGTGTCTGAGGGCGCCGTCGAGCCTCCACGCCATCGACGCGACGCGTTCCTCTGTTCTCGACAAGTTTCGTGACGGCGTCGTCCCGCGCAGGCACGACTGAAGGAGGATTTACGCTCGTTGAAGTCGGCGAAGAACCTCGAGGTCCTCGCCGAGGCCGCTAGACTGGAAGCCCGCGCGGAAGATGCCGACAAACGAGCAGAACTTGCTTGTGAAGACGCGCAGGCCGCTCGACAGAAGCTCGCCGAGGCCGAGAAGAACCTGGGGAGGTTGGAGGGGGCTGGCGTGCTGGCGGAAGAAGCTCGGAAGCGCGCCGATGCTGCTTCGCAACGCGCGAAAGCTGCCGAAGATAGATGTCGGTTGGCCGTCGAAAGTGCGCAACAAAAGGCCTCACTCGCGGAGAAGCGCGCGTCGGATGCTGAACGAGATCTCGTTGTCGAAAAGCAGCGCACAACCGATGCACTAAAAAGGGAGGAGGCTCTGAGGACGCAATCCCGCAAGGATCTGAACGACGTCCGAAGCGATGCCAAGAGGCAACGCAAGGTCTTCCAGGACTTCCGGAGGGAGAAGGACGAATTACAAAAAAGGTACGACAAGCAGCACGCGGAACTGCTGGAAGCGAAGAGTAGAACGGCGACGCTGAAGCTGCGGGTCGGCGCCTTGCAGACGGCCTCGCAGTCGAAGTCGCCGCGCCGGGAAGTCGTCGAGAAGGATCGATTGCGGGCGGAAGAGGACGCGCAGCGGAAGCGCACGGACGAGGCGGCGCGCCGACGGCTGCGGGACATCCGGCAACAGAAGGACGAGATGGCCCACGAGAAGCGCATCCTCGAGGAGAAGATGTCGACGATCATCGCGCGCGAGGAGAAGGCCGAGCACCGGCGGGGAGAAGCTGTGGTGAGAGAAAGGGCGGCCCACCGGAAGCTGACGGTGGCCCAGGACGCCTTCGAGCGGGAGAAGACCGTGTTAACTCGGAAACTGGACGAGTGCAAGGCCATGTTAGGAAGGAAATCAGCAGATTACGACCAAGCAAGGGCTGCTAGGTTACGAACCGCAAGGCGCGCGGACGCGCTGGGCAATGCGATCAAGGACGTCGGGGTCCGGTTGGCGCGAGGCCTGGATCGCGCGCGGGACCGAGCCGCGCAATTGGCCTCGACATCTTCGACGCCTACTGCTGGTTTAGTAGCAGCATCATTGTTAGATCTGGCACCATCAGAAGTCGACCAGTTGGTAGCGTCGTTGGATGGATCGACCACGCCCGTGGCGAGGTCGCCGCGCCACGCGAACGCCGAGAGCGCCTTCGCCGCGACGATCACGTCTGCCCTCGAGGCTACCGATTATCAGAAAATACGGGAGTCCATCGTGGCGGTGGTGGACGAGCGCGTCGAGCACGAGCGGAATTTGGGGATGGCTCTTGGTTCTAGAGATGACGCTCCCGTCCAGTCGCGGCGGCCCGTGGTATTGTCGGATGAGTGCTCGGTGGACGCCGTGGACACGGCCGGGGTCTTGGAGGCGCTCGGGTTGTCTACGGAGGTATGTTAACCTGAATTTTACCGTCTCCTTCTTAAATGACGACTGAGGTGGTAGTTCGTCGACGCCTTCTGGCCCTTGCGCGACGACTCCGCCTCGGCCTTTGCTCGTTCGACGTTTTGCCGCGCGGCGATCACCGCCGGGTGCTCCGTGTCGAAGTCGTGCAATTGCATGGCGTTCATGAGCTCCATGAACTCGCGGTGGGCCGGCGGCTGGAAGCGGCGTTTTAGTTTGGACGCTATTCGGTACTCGCGCAGTGAGATCGGCTCGAGCTGCGGCGCCTTTATCGAGCGAGAGAAGTGCCGCGCTGGCGTGCGGAGCGCACGGGCGAGCGTCGCCATGGCGCTCGTGGGTGTTCCTCGCTGGCGTGCGGCGTGGCAGCGCTGGTGGTGACTTTTGCCGCAGTGCTCGCGCGTTGCCGAACGACTGCTGTACGCAAGCTGTGCTGATGACTGCTTGTCAGTGCGCTGTGTAACTCACGCTATGGACGGCCTGGCTTGCTAACAGCAGCGTCCGGCTCGAAGGTGAACCTAGCGTGACTAACACACTAGTCTCGCACAGCTTCGCGCGAGCGGCCGAGCAGCCCCCCGAAACGCCGTCAATGCGACTAGAAACAACTTCTCAGTTAGCCACAGGAACCCCCCTACTCCTTGGGGAAGAGCATCGGCTCGATCGTCTTCCATAGAACACTGAACATCGCTCCTTGAATACCATTGGAAATCAACTTGGTCGTCAACCCGCGCCCAAATAAACCTACGACGCCGTCCTTGGCGACGATCTCCCTGGCGCATTCGATATAAGTAAGCTTGGTGTTCGCGTTCGTCTGCTTGTAGACCTTGAGGACGCGGATGGAGTTGGACGACACGTCGGAGACGGCGGAGGCGCCGAAGCCCATGAGCGCCCGTCGGCCCAGCTGCTGGACGCCCGTGAAGTCGTTGCCCTCGGAATCCTTCTTCGGGAGGTACTCCTCTAGAGTATTATAAGTAGCAAACCACGGGTAGTAGCCCACGATGTTCGCCATGACCGCGCCCAGGCCGCCGTTGTAGAAGGTCCGGAACCCGCCCGTCGCGAGCTTCGTCTTCAGTAGTTCAATACCTTTCGCGCCGTCCGTCTGCAGCGTCGTCTTGAGCGTGTCGATGGGCATGAGGAAGAGGCGCCACCCAGCTGCTGAGAGAGAACAAAACGCGGTCTTCATCCAGGGCGCGAGGCCCTTCGTGCTTTCGTACTCGTTGAGGATGACTAGAGTTCCCGTATTGGCCGCTGTATCACCAAAACGCGACAGCGGGCCCTGGAAGAGCGCCGGTACTAATCCGCGGTAGAATCGGGTGATGCCCTTGAAACCTCGTCCCCCGTCCTCATATAGAGTTTTTATAGCGGTAATAGTACCGGTACCATATCTATATTGGTAATTCACAGTGGTTCTCATCCACATGAGGCACATGATGTTCAGGCCCATGGCGGCGCCGCCGGCGGCACCAGAAGGTAACGCTCTCGATGCCGCTTTACTGAGGATGGCCCCAAAATCGGGCCCCTCCTTCGCTTGCGCGATATACGTCGCGCCGCCGGCCATAATGGGCGCGGCGCGCGCTTCGATCGGTTTCCTCACCGACATGTTTCTATCTTGCACCGCTTCCACAGTGCTGCGGCGGACGGCGCCTTGCGCTGCGGGCTAGGCAAAGCAGTGGCCTCCAATGCTTGGCTCGCAAACTAAGCGCGCGAGGCTCGGTTTGCAGGGATCGCCGGGCTCGCGGCGCAACGCTTCGCAAGCGTGCACTGCGTCGGCCAGCCGTGCGCCTCGCAGCGACCAATGGCGTCGCGCGTCGAGACGTGTTTTTGTTGTCTAGGCGACCTCCTCGAAGTCTCTTTCTCGCATTGCCAGCTATACCGGGAGCTCTGATGTGTCCCTCGGAGACGTGCTCGGGCCTTGGGGCTCTGGGATTTAGGTGCGGGGTGCTCCCAGCTCGATTTTGCATGCGGTCTCGCGCGCATTATTGCTGCCCGCGGCACGCCAGCGCCGCGACCGTTGACCGCGGTACGCTTGCTCGGCTGCCCGCGCGCCGCGACCGACGAGCCATGGACCGCGAGGAGGCAACACACAAAAAGGCCCGCCTCGCACCCCCACCTACTAAGCAAGGCTGGTTGCACAAAAAAGGCGGCACGGCCCTCTCGGCAGAAAGGAAGCGCTGGTTCGTGCTGCAGGGGGCCGGTTCCGAGGCTACTTTGAGGTACTCCAAAGAAGTTAATTCCGGACATCGTGGTACTATACGGTGTGAACAAATAAGAGGCGTCGTGCAAGACGACAACACGCTGGATATCTATACGCCTGACAGAACATATCATGTCAGAGCATCATCGGAACAGAGCGCGGGCCAGTGGGCCACGGTCATAAGGTGTGCCGCCGCGGGCGCCGAGGAGGTGGAATCATCGTCCTCAGACGAGGAGGAAGAGAACACGGGCATTCCGTGGATGATCGACGGCGCCTGGGTCGACCAGCGCGCGCCCGCGCCGCTGCGGACCGTGGCGGCTTTAGGTAGTGTGCCGGACGGCGAGCACGCGGCCCACGTCCGACTGGCGGACGGGTCGACCCTTACCGCTGATGTGACTGCTGGTGAACAAGTGGAGGTCGCGACGGCCGGGTCGTCGACGCTAGTCGCTGCGCTCGAGGACACGACGCCGCCACAACCGCCCTCAATCTTGGGGACGGCCTGCGCGTCGGTGGCGTTGGGCCTGGTCGGTTCTGCTTTCGTGCCGCGCGCGGCGACGGCCGGGCTGCTGCTTGCCGGAGCGGCGGCGGCGTCGGTCAAGAGGAAACGAGACGCTCCGCAGAAACGGTACGACCTCGTGCTCACCACTCGACTAAACCCAGACGAGGAGCAGCCCCTCCGGAAGAGACGGCGGAGCGGCGAGCTATTGGCGCGAAGACCGTCCTTAGTTGGCATCCGGAGCCCAAACCCTCAACAGCGACGGCCGTCCTTATTCTCCCCACAAAAAGCCAAGTGCCCCGACTTTAGTGGGACCTACGTCCTCGACCACGGCGCCTCCGATAGTAATGATGAGATGATGGCGGCGCTGGGGGTCCCCTGGGTGGCGAGAAGGGCCATCCGCGGCACGAAGCGCACGATACACATCGAGCACGACGGGGATGTGTGGGACGAGACCACAGTCACGAAATTTCGGACGATGGAGGACCACTTCGATTTGAGCGGCGGGTCGCTGGTCAAGATTTCTCCTGTGGATAAATCCTCGTATACGACGACTACAACAATTCAGTCCGGAGCTATTGTGACGGCCGTCGACTTTGGTGTACCGAACAAGTCCCAGGTCATCACGCGGCGGTTGGATGGAAAACGGTATGTCGTGTTGAATGAATTGAGTTTGAAAGGGAGGGTGCTGAAGGTGCGGAGCGTGTTCAACCGCGTCGACGACCGTGTAGTAGGGGGGTAGTAAGTCTATGCTGTATTTCGGTGTCGTAGGGTGTTCCGTGACGGTGTGGGGACTCGTGGGCGGCCCATCGATCGATCAGCGCTGCTAGCGTAAAGACACTAGGAGCAAAAAAAACAGCATCGCCTAGACAGCGACGCTCAGCTTTTAGGCCTATAGCGTGCATTTCAGAGTCCCAAACCGCCTTGCCGGAGCTCTATACGTCACCCGAGGCTGTCACGGAGCGCTGGTTTGCTCACTCTTACGGTCCTCGCCGATTATCAGCGCCTCGGCTGCTTAGCTTGCATAGAGGCCTGGAGCACGCGAGACGCTGTCAGCGCGCTGCGGACGTTTTTGCAAGGCACTGCCGCGGAACCAGCGAGGGCTCAGGCCTGTCAGCGCGCTGCGGGGAGCTCTGAGGCACCGCCGCGGGCGCCGGCGAGGCCCGGCGAGGCGCTCGGCCGCCGCGGGAGGGCTGGAACCCAATCGACACACACGAGACGCACGCGCGAGACCTGCGAACGGCAGCGGGACCCTCGATGAGATGCCCGCACACGAGACGCTCACCGAGACGCCTCGAACGGCGGCGGACACACACGAGACGCTCACCGCCCCCCGCAGGCTAGGAGTGGAATCGCCGCGGACGCCTCCGCTTTATAAACCATGGTCAAGGGCCAAAGCAAAGCCCCCGACCTCGTGACGCGCGACTACACGATCAACCTCCACAAGCGCCTCCACGGCATCACCTTCAAGCGGAAGGCGCCGCGGGCCATCCGCGAGATCAAAAAATTCGCCGAGAAGGCCATGAAGACGTCTGATGTGAGAATTGACGCGAAACTCAACAAGCACGTCTGGTCGAAGGGCGTCCGGAACGTGCCCTACCGCGTGCGCGTGCGGCTGTCGCGGAAGCGCAACGAGGACGAGGAGGCGTCCGAGAAGCTGTACACGCTGGTGCAGCACGTCGAGGTCGCTTCCGTTAAAGGATTGCAGACGGAGGTCGTCGCCGACGTGTAGGGTAAGGGTTGTATCTGATTTCAAGTTCTTCAAGTTGGCTCCCACGCTGTGTAGTACGGTGTCTTAGGTGCGAAAACCAGCGGTCGAGGGCGGAGGCCCGAGCGGTTCAAGGAGGAGGGGAGCCAGCGGCCGAGGGCGGAGTAGGTCCGCCCGGGCGACTCGGAGAGCGATCGTGGATGGGGGGAATGTGCAGAGGCGAATTGGGCGACGGCGCCTCAGAGCGCCGCGGCCGCGGCCGCGAGGACGGTGGCGAGGAGCGCCGGGCCCGACGCGGGCGCGGAATCGGACTCCTTGAGCGCTGCTTCGTACGCGGGCGCCGCGGCGGAGTGGGGGCAGCCCCCGATCTGGCCGAGGCCAATCGGGTCGTCGTCGCCCCCGCTCCAAGTCTGTCCGTAGGTGATGCAGTCCTCCTTGCTGATGAAGGAGACGCAGTCGTAGTTTGTCGTCTCTTCGCCGCTGGCCCCGAGATGGTAGCGGGCGACGAAGGGGCTCGGGCAGCAATTGCTCGCCGTGACCTCCGCCAGGGTACTGCCACACTGAGTATCGAAGCCGACGCCGTACTGGACGATGCAGCAGGAGCCCTCGGGCGCGACGTCCTCGGCGCCGTCGCCGTCGAGGTCGCGGCTCGGCGTCGCCGGCGCCGTGAGGAGGCAGTTCTCATAGTCCGAACTATACGAACTGGTATCAACAGTCGTCTGGCCGTACTCCACATAGCACGCCTTGGTGCCATCGGTTGAGTAGGTTGCAGCGTTGGCGCCGGTGTTGAGAGCTTGTACGGCATCGATGCACGCCTCGCGGCTATCGGCAGTCCCTAAGGACATCTCATATGCCGACCCCAGTGGCCCCTGGCCGTCGCCAGTCTTCCAACCGCCGATGCACCTGTCGTCGCCAGTGGCGACACTGAGGCAGAGGGCAAGGGTGACGGCGGCGGTCTTCATCTGCGTAGAGTGTGTAGCTCCGGATTTCCCCGGCAGCGTAGTGTCCCAGAAAACTGCTCAGTGGCTCGGACTGGGAAATATTCCACCTGGCCTTGTTTGGGCAGCGTCTACGGCTCGCAAAGCACTTCACTCTGGCAGTCTCGCATAGCTGCAAATCTGCTGCAAACTCTAGAGAGTTTATTACTGGTCAATCCTCCGCAAGGCTCCGCCCACTAGTTCTAGCACCGTAACAATATAAATCCTCCGCAATTGCGCATGGATAGCGTATAGGCATACGCCGACAAACTCAAAACTCCATCCCGCGCCACGGAGGTCGTGGCGGACGTGAAGTAGTACGAAGTATGGTGCCTTAGTGCGAAAACCAGCGGTCGAGGGCGGAGCCCGAGCGGTTCAAGGAGGAGAGGAGCCAGCGGCCGAGGGCGGAGTAGGTCCGCCCGGGCGACTCGGAGAGCATCATGACGATGATGGGGGGGGGGGAAGTGAATTGGGCCGTCCGGCCTAGAGCGCCGCGGCCGCGGCGCCGAGGACGGCGGTGGCGAGGAGCGGGCCGCGCGCCGCCGCCGCGTCGGACCCGAGCGCGGTGGCGTTCGCGGGCCGCGGCGCCGGCGCCGGCGCCGGCGCCGGCGACGACAGGGCATCGGCGCACGACAGGGAGCACGACGGGCCGTTGAAATAGGTGTCGTCGACGATCGCCGGGAAATAGTTCCACTTGCATTCGACGTAGGCGTGCCACTCGTCGACGCAGCCCTGCTGGTAGACGGGACCGCCCCCGCATTCCCAGATGAACTCGCTGTTGGCCGCGCCGTCCGCGCAGGTAGCGGGGAGCGGACCGACGTCGTCGTCGTCGTCGCCGCCGCAATCGGCGGGGAGCGTCGTGATCGAGGCGTCGGTGTATACCTCATTCCCGTCTTCGATATTGGCCATGCATTCGCACTTATCCTGGCAGCAGCAGGAACCTTCGTTGAGGTCGATCGCGACGAGCGAGTCGGGGTACTTGAGCGCGCAGAGGCCCCAGCAGGCCGCGGCGTCGAACTCGGGATCGTCGTCCATGCTGCAGTCGTCCACGCCCCCGGAGCACCAGCCCCCGTTCGTCGCGCCGTGGTTGACCGCGTCGCTGGGCAGGCTGTAACCGGTGATGCCGCTGTCGTCGCAAACGTTTAACTCGGCGCAGGCGCAGGTCTTCGCGGCCGTCTTTTCGGCATAGCACAATGTCTTGATAAGCATCTCTGCGCAGTGGAACGCGAATTCGTTCGCCAGCGACGCGTCGCAGTCCGCCAGGCACGAGCTGGCGATGTCCCTGTAGCCGGCGCAGTCCCAGCCCACCTCGTCGTCGTCGTTGGTAAAGCTGCAGTCATCCAAGCAGGCGAAGCCGTCGTCGTCACTGCCGCCGTCGTCGTCGTACGAGTACGAGTAGCTCCCAACGTCGCCGGCGTACTTCGCGTTCGTGCCGCCGAGCGACAGCGAGTCGACGAAGCCGTCATCGTCGTAGCACGCCCGCGTCGCCTCGCACGCCGAGTCGTCCAGGTCCGCGTAGCCCAGCCCTTCCCAGAACGCCTTGCCGGCCGCGTCGACGCAGGTGCCCGTGCAGTCGTCGAAGAGGACAATGATTTCTTCCCCGGCGTTGGCGCACGTGATGCAGTCTGACCAATCGTCCTGGCCGCCCGAGGGCGCATCTTCGCCGTAGCCGCACGTGGCGCAGGCGCCCGGCTCGAGCGACACGATGAAGTCGTCGTCCAATTCGGACAGGTCGCCCTCGAAGCACGCCGCTCCGGAACCCGTGTAGGCCGCGCACATGTCGGCGGTCCGGTCGTCGTTGATGCTCCCGAGGCGCGAGACGCGGTCCCGGCCGCGCACGGCCCGCTCGGTCCGCCACTCGGGCGCCGCCGCCGCCGCCTCGATATCCGCCAGCGTAAGCTTGCCGGTGGCCTCCCAGCGAGCCTTCAGCAGCGGGTGCGCCGTGTCGACCATCTGCTTCGGGCTCCCCAAGCGCCGGCTCGCGCGCGTCGTCTTCCTGCTGCCCCGGGCGGCCAGCAACTTCTCGATGCGGTCCGAGGCCGTCTCGCGCGACGCCTTCCTGGCGGCGGCGGCGCCGAGGCAGAGGATAGCGATGGCGGCAACGGTCTTCATTCTTTGGCAGCGTTTGGGCAGCTTCTGGGGAACGAGAGCGTCGGCGAGACAACCTCAAAAGCAAATTGCAGGGGGTCTGGGCAACGTTCTGGGGCGGAGAACGTCGGCGAGACCAAGACTCTGGCCCGAGTCTGGGCAAGAGAGCCAACCTCAAAGTGCCAGGCGCGGCGGGGAGGACTAGACGTCTAGACACGGCAGCAACCACTTACTCGAGCGGCCGCTGAGGTTCAGGAGGCGAAGAGGGCGGCGACCGCTCGCGGGCTCTCAGAGAGGCGATCTGCGCGCGCAGCGACGCGTTCTCGCGCTGCAGCGCACTTCGTTCAAGCGCCAGCGTCGCGAAGTCGCAGCACGGCCTCAGGGAGGGCCCCTCGTCAACGGGAGACGAGACCTCGTTCCGCGCCCTATCCATTTTTTTCGCCCGCTCCGCTCTCCATAGGTACCAGGACGCCCACGCGCCGCACACGGGCACGGCGTGCGTCGCTTGACAGCTTGTAGATCCGGGATCGTGCGAACAAAAAGCGCAGGCTCTATCATGCGATCCCAGCGGGAGCACGGGTAGCGGCCCAATCGATTGCGACCTGTGTGGAAATCAGCCAGTGAGTTAGGTTAATCACGCCATCGAACCGACGCGGTCACGGCGACAACGTCGCGTCGATGGCGTGGGGCGCCCGAAATTTGATTTCCACACAGATTGCGACGACTCCTCGGACCGGTACGACCCTAAAGAACACAGACTTTGTTCGGACTCGCCCTCGTTCGGCGTCGTCGTGTCCAACGCGCCGCGCACCGCGCCCGGGTTGTTTGGCCTTGGCAGCTCGACTTTCGCGACAAGGCGGCCCAGGACCTCCCCGTCACTATGTTCCTTGAGATTTTCCTCCAGGTGGGGGTAGAGGAACAAGGTTCGTCTAGCGAAGTGGAGGAGTGCCGCGAAGAGTCGCGCTACGCGAAATGCTCCTAGCACAAACGCGGCGAGGACAACGCTCCCGGCCCACCGGAATAGTTTTGTTCTTGAATCCGTCTCCACCAATGTTTGGGCAGCTAAGTAGAAGAGAGCTGCTACTACGAGAGGTGTCAGGAGTAGGAATTTGACTCTTTTCGTCAGAACGAGTAGAAATAAACTCAGCCCGAACACATGAGATAAAGCGGCCCAAGCGGCATCCGGGCCGCCAAAAGCTGAGGAAGCTAGTGAACCGGTGAAGGACGGGATCGAGGGAAAGTAGCCTGATGCTGCAAGTAATACCGCTGGTATCGCCGCTAAGAGTAACCTGTCATTGCGGTTTTCAGGCGGTCTCAATCGAGGCGCCTTCACCGCATCTTGCAAGCGAGACAGCATCTGCGACGCGTCGTCGCCTAGTAATGACAGGCGGACGTCGTGGCGATGTTCGTGGGCGAGCGCACTTCTGAGCACGAACCGCTCCTTGACGGACTTCTCGGACGAGTAGGCGACGACGTTGAAGAGGACCACTACCGGCACTACTAACGCTAAGCCCGCCGACGCGTCCTGCCAGCTTGTTCGTCTGACAACCGACGACTCCTCAAGTGCTGCTAGTGTTCGTTGGACGCAGTCGACGCCCGTGCACTCTTGGATACGTACGGGTGTCGCGAAGGGCGCCCACCTCCGTAGCAACCTCCATAAATCACCTCCCACACCGTACCTCGCGCCTTCCGGGGGAGTAGCCATCGTCGCAAGAGAAAGCAAGGACCACCAGCCGACAATCGCACAGGACCCTAAACACGCGGGAAAGAATTGTAAAGCGGACATCTTGGGCACGATGAACCAGGCCAGGCCGTACGTGACCTGTGTGGTTCGTGCGTGAGGCGCGCGCGTCGCGAGCGCCAGCCCCCACGCCATCGACGCGAGGTAGGCCGTGGCGCGTCGATGGCGTCAGCTTCGAGGACGCTGCGTCGCGGACGTGCAGCCAATCCCCGGGAGCGACGCGCGGCCTCAATCTATCAACGACCAACGCCAGCTCCACGATGCCGTACAAGAACGCGTTCGCCGCGATGGCGGCCTGACTAGGTCGTAATAAGTCGCAGTAGGCCACGGCGAACAGCAGCACTTCGGTGACCGCCAGCACCAATCGGACCGCGACGACCCACTGCGGCGCCGGCCCGAACTGCGCCGTGTCCGCCGCGTGGCGCAGGGCTTGGTATAGGGTGGCGCTCAGTAGCGATCGGAGCCACAGCGCTCTGGAACGGCCCGCGACGAGGCGCCTCCACTCACCGTCAAGTGCCGAATTGGAAAAGGACAAGGTCCACTTGTCCAGCCCCACGGCCCAGGCCTGGGGCTTCTTCTCGACGTCCTTGGACTTGACGAAGCGGCGCATGTCGCCTCCACTCCTGTTTTGACTTTTTGGCGGCATGCCGAGCCTCGCGTTTGGATCTCGGCGCTTGGCGGTGGGCATCGTCTCGTTTTCTTGATCGCTTGCGCTGCGGCGGCGTTACGTGGCGCCTCAGTTGGCGCGAAACGGCGCCGCCGCGGCTTTTCAGCGCTGTGCCGAGGCCACAGTGGCTTGTGGCCACCACACGGCTAATTCGTTTCGAACCTTCGATCGGCGGCTGCGAACGCTGCGTCGTTACACGTCTACGGCGGTGCGAGCAGAAGTGGGGTCGCCCACGATCCTCTGTCGGCTTAACACTATGAGAGCATGCACAGCTTGTCACCATCGAGACGAGCGTCGCAGATACCTCCGTGCGCACGAGACCAGGGAACTCCTCCTTCGGGTATGCGACGGGTCGCGGCTCTCCTGCTATCGCGCGGGTTCAGACTGCCCATCTGAGCAAAGAGTCAATGAGGGCGGAGACGGCTCCGATAGGCCCCAGTTTGAGCCTGCGGGCGCAATTTTTGACACTTTTCGCCAGCCGGCGCTGCCACACATCGCTGCAACGCCGATAAGCTCGTAAAACAGCAAGTGCTCTCAATAAAACTCAGTGCTCTCACAAAAAAGCGCCGCAGCCGCTACGCGAGCGCGACGGAAACTCGGCTCTGACAATAATGCACCGCCTCGCCCGCCGCGCAGCGCTCCCTCTAGGAGCCTGCGCCGTCCTCCCTACGTCACGCCCGAGAGCAGAGGACCGCGCCCCCGCGGTCCAACGGCGTTTAACCGCAGTAGCCGATCTTGCGATAGAAGCCCAGCTCTTCCAGCCCGCCGTGCCCTGGCCCCAGTGGGACTGCAACTGGGACCATAGGGAACTTGATAGCCGAGGGAGGAGACGTTCCCTGTTAAAACCTTCCGGTGCGCCCAGAAGGCATTTGATCTTGATACGGCACGGCCAGTACGACGAATCTGCGGGAGACGACTCCGGACGGGTCCTCACCGCTCTAGGTAAACGGCAGGCCGTACAAGCGGGCAAACGAGTCGCTGAATTGTTAAGTCAGCCCGGCGCCGTGTGCCGAGGCGTCCACTCGTCTCGTCTAGCAAGGGCCGTGGAGACCGCCGACCTCATCCACGCCCAACTCAATAACGTGCCGCGCCTGCCCGGAGATCCGCAGCTAAACGAAGGCGTGCCCTGCCACGCGATCCCCGACGGCGTCCACCACGCGGCTGCGGTCTATAGAGATGGAGCTCGGATTGAAGCCGCCTTCCGCAAATATTTCAAGCGAGCTCTGCCGTGGGACGAGATCGACGATGATGATGGCGACGAGGACCACCCGGTCGCCTATCCTCCGGTGAACGCGCCGACCGACGAGTACGACGTGTTGGTGTGCCATGCCAACGTTATTAGATTTTTCGCTTTGAGGGCGCTGCAGTTACCTCCAGAAGGGTGGCTGCGGCTCTGCACGATGAACTGCTCCGTGACGCACGTCACGATCAGTCCCGACGGGAAGGTGTCCTTGCGGTCCTTAGGCGACACGGGCCATCTATCGGTCGACGAGGTGACGTTCGGGACGTATACGGGGACGAACTGGTAAGGCTAGGCTGTGGTTTGTTTCGAGGGGTCGCGTCGGCGGCGTCATGCTGGGAGGACCCTATGTGGTGCTAGGACTAGTGGGCGGAGCTCGGGGGGGGGAGACAACGCGCGTCGCCGATTCATCGGCGGCGGCGCCTGCCGCGTCTTTCATAACAGCGCACCTCCTTCTAAGCAGGGCCGCCTCGGCAACCTCCCGAACAGTGTGCAGCGTTCGCCCGTCCGATAAACTTGTCCCGCGACTTCCGCCGTAGAGAGCTGTCGCGGTCTAGTGTGTCTATCGACCTATCAGCTCGAAGTTAATCTTGCCAAAATCCAGCCTCGATCTAGCCGGTGTGCACTGGTAAACAGCTAAGGGCGAGACACATTGTCCATTCATCGATTCTACGTGACCTACACATCGACAAGATGCGCGCCGCTGCCTTGATCCTAGCATTGGCGACCTCGGTCTCGGCCTTCATGGCACCTAGACAAGCTGTGGCGCCGCGCGTCGCGCCGGTCAACATGGACGCCTCGTCGCTGGTCACGGCCTACCGGGAGCTCTACGAGGTCGGCGGCGTCCAGGTCACGGCGGACGTCCAGCAGTTTGGGCCGATTGCCGGCCTCGTCGTGTTCATCCTGGCCGCGAACACGCTCTACATGAGCATGGGCGGGTCCCAGGACGAGATCGCGGAGGAGCCCATCGCCGAGTACCAGTTCGGCTCCGCCGTGCTCGCGGGCGCCAAGGCGGGCAACGCGCCTTCTACCAAGACGAACGCGGAATGGAGGGCGGAGTGCGACGCCAAGGGCGTCACGTCGTACCACGACTTCGGCGTGCGCATGTAGGTCTCCTTTTTAAGACACAAGACATTAGTACCCCTGCTGCTCGAGCTCTCTCCGGGAAAAGAGGTCGTTCTGTTCCGCCATTTCAGGGTCGGGGTCCTCGAGCGCGAAGGCGTCGCCCGCGATGAATTGGTTGTGCGCCATGACATAACGGCACGATTCATCGGCCCAGCGCCGCCACCGCTGACGCCATGCCTCCGGCGACGCGTCCTCGAATTCGTAGAGCCGCGCTTGGGCCTCGACGATGCGATACGCGTGCGCCGCGAAGGCCACGGCGACGTCGCGCGCGGCGGCGTCGCTACGCTCGAGGTATTGGAGAGTGGCGCCGACGTTCATGGGCGACCAGAACGGCAGCGCGACGGCGTCGTCCACTTCTAATCTAGAGCCGCTGTCGCGCGCCGCGAGCGCCCTCGCCAGAGAGAACCTATCCAAGCCGAAGATAGCATGATCGAGCCCGAGCGTCAGGTGCACGGAAGTGTCTTCTAGGGTCGACGTGGCATGAGGCCAGCCCGCCGGCGCGTAGAGAGCGTCGCCCTCCTTGAGTATGACGTCTAGAAATGGTTCTTCAAGTGTCAATGGAGCCCCTTTGCCCGCCGTCAACTTTGTATTCAGCTCAGAGGCATAAAACGGCCGGCCGTCCCAGACGCGCCAGCGCTGACTGCCACAGGTCTGTAGTACCAGCACGCCCTGGGCGTCGGCGTGCGGCGGCGCCGCCACCTTTGTACCTGGGCCCGTGGCGTAGCAATTTAGTGAACATGGGGCTTCGAAGGCGTCCAGAGCTGCCAAAGCGCAGCGCGCGCACTCCGGAATTGTTTCCGCGACGCCGTTGAGTATCAAGGTGCCGCGGCCTTCCAGCGCTTTTGATGTCCCTGAACGCATCTGGAACGGTTCCGTCTCCCAGCCGTACTCGGCACTTGGTGCACCGCGCCGCGCGCTGAGGAAGCCACCATTCAAAACGTGGGCGTCGAGCGTCGCCGTCGTGACGGCTCCAACAGCCTCGGGCGCGACGTTGCGCATGATTGAGGCTTCGCTCCAGGTTGTTTCTACTTTAGGCACGATGCGGCGCCAGGCGGCGTCCCACTGGATCGCAGTGGCGGCCGCGAGCAGTGCTAGCAGCCGGCGCATTGTTTAGCTCAGCCGCAGCAGCCACTGCACTGCCGGCCACACGACACGGCGACGATGAGCGCGAAAAATGCGCCAGCAATTGCGTCTCCGCGCTTGGTTTCGTCCTCGACAATATCCTCGCGCGGCCCTTTCTCCTCCCACGTTCACGTTTCCATATTTATCGTAAGCACAGGCTGCTTGGGCAGTCGCGTTTTTTGGCTCATCCAAGGGCCAGGCCGGCGAAAAAAGGACAGCAGCTCCAAGCAGCCACAAAAATGCCTCGTACCGCTGGCGTGCTACACAGATAACACGCTTGAAGCTGTACGCGACCAAAAGGCAATCCAGCAGCACACTAGATAAGCACACTAGCAAAACAAATGCGAGCGTCGGCGGCGGGCACAGGCCTCAACGCATATATCCAAACGCATCCAAAGAAGAATCGAGATTGATTAACCGGACGGTTCGGCGCGCCAGTTGATGCCGGTGCGAAGGCAAAGGCGGTGCGCCAACGCCACGCGAACGCCACGCGATGGACGAGGCCACCAAGGCCGGCTACGGCGTCCTGCTGATGCGCCAGGCGCTGCCCAAGAGCGAGTTCTATGCCCGGACCACCGCAAACATACGTGCCGGCCTCCAGGAGCCGGCGCCCGGTCCGGCCGATACAATACCGTTTGGGGTGTTGGGAAGAGGGCCGACGCGGAAGCCGTTGGATCTTGCGAAAGACGCCCACGTCGCGGCGCTGGCGGCGAGATTGGACTCGCTCCACGGCGCAACCGCACAAGCCGCCGCGAGGGGCATGCCGCGGAGCGACGGGTTGGATGAAGCCACGCTCGCATTGTATGCCAAACTAACACAGCTCCTCGACGCGGACCCGATCGGTAAAATAGAAGCGCTACGCACCGAACAACGGCAGGCTGTAGCGGAGGCGAAAGCAGCCAGAGCCCAGGGCGCCCAGGTGTTGAAGCGGGCGGAGCAGATGGAATTGAGGTTGGATAGGATGGAAAGCACCATTTCTCAGACGGTCACGGACGCGATACAAGCGCAAGTATCGACGAGAATCGATGCCATCGCTTCAGAACTGAAAACGGTGCCCGGTGCGGTCAGTCGGATGGAAAGTGAATTAAACGCCGCCAAGGGTACCATAGGTGGTTTGGTGGACGATGTCAAGGCGCTGAAGGACGATAAGGAGAAAATGTTAGATGCCGCGAAGAGCATGGAGGCGGCCGCTCTGCTCGCGGCGCCGCGCGAGGATTCGCTGAGAGCGGAAGTAGCCATGTTGGCGGAGAGGATCGAGGAGCTGCGCACGGCCTCAAACGGTGTGGACGTCCTGCAGGCCGTGGAGAATCTGCGGACCGAACTGCGACCGCCGGAGGCGCCGCAGCCGACGCGGTCCGACTCGCCGCCGACCTCGCGCCTGTCGCGCCAATCGGCCTTCGACGCCTCCGTGGCGTCTTCCCAAAGAACTCAAATCCAGCGCCACGACGCCGCTCCCTCGGAGGCGTCCTCGCATGTGGGTGCTTCCGCCGATCTTGGAGCGCATACGCTGGGCGCCTCGGCCCAGGTCTCGGACGCCTCCCAGGACTTGGTGCGCATGGATTCCGTGTCCGCCCACGCTTCGGTGGAGGCTGAACTGAAATCGCCCCTCGCGGACGCCATTTCCAGAGCAGCGGCGGATCGGCGGAAAGACGCGCGGCCGATCTTTCTCCAGGACACGCCGGCCAAGGACGCTGAGAGCACGGGGCCGCCCGCGTGGATGTGCGACTCGTCGCTCGAGGGCGGCGGCTCGTTGATCTCTGGCACGCCGCGCGCTGGCTCCGACTCGTCGCGGGAGACGCCGCCGATTCCCGAGGAGGAGGCGGGGCTCGACTAAGTTTCAAGGCTAGTACGCTAGCTACGCTAGCGACCTCCATCTGGAAGCTGCAAGCAGTGCTCGGCTGCTGACCCCTAGCGACGTCCCTAGCGGTGCTGGCGCGTAGATAAAGACTAGCGACGGTTGTGACGTGCCCGGGGCAGTCCGCGAGACGGCGGAGACTATCTACTCTTGTGATATCCCATCATGCGCTCCTTACTCATCGGCATGTTCTCGAGGTACGGCGCCTCCTTCGTCTAACCGTACCTGTTCCACCCGGCCCGCGGGTTACGCTTGGCGCGCGTCGACCGTTCGCGAGGCGCTGGCGGCGCCGGCGCCGGCGGCGGCGGCGGCGGCGCGTTTGCAGCGGCGGCCGCGCGCGCGGCATCGAGCTCGGCCTCGACCTCCTCCCGACTCGGTAGCGTGTACTCGTCCGCGCCACCGTCCAGCACGCCCGCGAGCTTGGACCGTACTTGGCAAGCCCGAGCGTTTCTCTTCTTCAGCAGGTCCAGGAACGGCCATATCGAAGTGGACCCGAACTTTAGCACGTCCTTGCCATTGATCAAAGCAGCAGCGAGCGTCTCCGCGCTGAACAGGCGGCGGTCGTCGCCGCGCGCCCGCGCCGCCGCCATCGCACGCACGGCGGCCGCCAGGAGGGCGTCGAATCTGGACCACTGCACGCCGTACAGATCCCTCAAAGGACGAACCATTTCGTGTACATCGGCGATGGCCGATGCCGCGGCGTCCGCGTCCACATTATTGGTCCCCGTTTCTGGGCCGCGACCAGGTCCTGAAGCTGCTGGCGGCTAAACGCGGCCCGCAGCACGCCCGCCGTCAATTTTCTCGCACGACCTGCAACCCGGTCGTACTTTAGGTAATTCTTGAGGTAACGCCTCAGGAACCCCCGGATCGAGTTGGCCAGCACCGTTGCTGGATCTTGCACGTCCGACGCTTCACCGTCGGCGTTGTTCTGCGACTCATCCGGAGCCGGCGCCGTCTCCTGGCCCGACTCTTCCCTCGCTTTCTTTGCCGCAGGCTCGCCCGCATCATCACTATTCCCGTCCTGGCGAACCTCGGCGTTCTCCCCTTCTGGAGGGTCGTTCTCGACCTGGCTTGCGTCACCATCCGCCAAGGTCGTACTGATCGCGTCTCCACGCGACACTTGTGCATCTCTCACTCTCTTGCCGCCGGCTTTTCTCCCCGGTGAGAGTCCAATCGACTCTGGCGTACGCAAAACTGGACCAGTGTCACGGTTTTCACCGGCCGCCCCCCTCAGAGGCCCGGCCGGAACTTGTGCTTCCTGTCCTTGTTCTGTTTCTCGCGGCTTCTTCTCGCGCGGTACGTCATTTTCATTTACGCCGGCCGCGCCACGGCCGTGCGCCTCCTCTCCTGAACGTGATTGCTCGTCGGCGGCGTCGCCGCGACGGCGTCGCTTACGCTTTTCGCGCTTTTCGCCCTGCTCTCGGCGCGCAGGAGCGCGTTTACTCGCTGGGCCCCTTGAGCTCTTTTTTTTTGCTCCGCCCGAGCCCGAGCTCTTGCCGCGCCCGCGCCCGGCGGCGCGGGCCGGCGGTTTTTTAACGGACGATCCTCTTGTTTTCGAGATCTGAAGCGGTCTCCGCGCGCGGTTCTCGCGCAGGGCCCGGATTTATACTCGAGGACACTTCGCGGCCTCGGGTTTTTCGCCCGGGATTTTGGCCGACTCAGGAGGCGTCCCGCGGAGCAAGCGTAATGACTGTACGTGGTCTTCAGACCCAAGGGCTGCTGCTTGCTTGCTAGTGTCTACATGCCGCTAGCTAATCATTCCAGCGGAGGCTAAAGCCAGTGCTCGGCCGCGAGCCCCTAGCGGTGCGACTGGCGCCTTTCTAGGTCGTCTCTGCACTGCGAATTCGCGCTGGCGCACGAGTTCGGGTCCCAGCACCGTACAAACCAGCCTTTTGCGGCGAGGCCCAATTGCATTTAAAATAGAAACCAGCCAGCGGCGCGCAAAGGAGGTTAGCCATGCCGCGCGTCCTCGCTCTGCTCGCGCTGGTACGCATGTCGCGCGCCAACCAGCCCGCGCCGCCGCAGCAGGGCGCGCGCGTCGTCGACCGGAGCGGCGTCGTGTGGGAGCCAGCGTGGGACCAGGCCGGCCGCCAGTACTTTGTGGACCGGGCGACGGGCCGCACGAGCTGGCAAATCGATGCTGCACAGGGCGCCGCGCCGGCTGCGCGGCCACAGTCCCCCTCGGTCTCGCGCCTCCGGCCGTCGACGCCCCCCCAGCCGCCGGCGCCGCAACAACAACAACAGCAGCAGCAACAGGCGCCCTGGGCCAAGCCCGGCGTCGCGGACCCGCGTGCGGCCGAGGAGGCGCGGGCCGCCGCACTCGCCGCGAACGCGCGCGCCCAACAGGCGGGCGCGCAGCCGCCGCGGACGCCCGCTGAGGCCGCCGCCGCCCAGGCGCAGCAGGCGCAGCAGGCACAGCAGGCGCAGCAGGCGCAACAGGCCGCCGCCCAGGCGCAGACGCCGCCGTGGGCACACCAACCCCAGCCGCAGCACGCGCAGCGCCCGCCCTGGGCCAAGCCCGGCGTCGCCTCGCCCCAAGCAGCGGAAGAAGCTCGGGCCGCCGCGCTCGCGGCGAACGCGGACGCGGTGCAGCAGCAGCAGGCCGCGCAGTACGCCCAGCGGCAGCAGGCGGAGGCGCAGGCCGCGGCGCAGGCGCAGGCGCAGGCGCAGCAGGAGGCCGCCGCGGCGCAGGCCGCCGCTGAGGCGCGGGCGCGCGAGGAGGCCGAGGCCCAGCGCGCCGCGGAGGCCGAGGCCGCCGCCGCTGCCGCCGCCGCCGCCGAGCCGGAAGCGGCCCCCGAGCCCGCTCCGTCGGACGACGTGGACTGGGACGGCGCCGCCGAGGCCGCCGAGACCCCCGCAAAGGAGGAGGAGGCCGTCGAGCCCGCGCCCGCGCCGACCAAGAAGCGCTCCTTACTCGCGCGGCTCCTCGGTAAGAAGAGCAACGACGGCCTCCTCGCGGAAGAAGCAGCACCGAAGCCGTCCTTTTTGCGCTGGGTCTGGCGCAAGATGTTCTCGCGGGGCGAGAAGAAGCCCGAGGCGCCGGTGGCGCCCGCGCCGAAGAAGCGGGGCTGGTTCGGCCGGCGGCCGAAGCCGGTCGCGGAGGAGGCGGCCGTCGAGGAGGAGGCGCCTCCACCAAAAAAGAAGCGGCGGAGGCAGCAGGACGACGACGGCGCGGCCAAGGCCGCCGCGGAGGCCGAGGCGCTGCGAATCAAACTCGAGGAGAAGGAGCAGGCACTTCAGGAGCGAGAACGGCAGCTGAAGGAGGAACAGGAGGAACAGATGCAGGACGCGGCGGCCGAGGTCGACAATCTGCGGGGTCTGTATCGGGAGGAGGTCGATCAACGCACCGCTTTAGAGGAGGCGCTCGAGAATTTGCGGAGAGACTACGAGGCGAAGCTCAACGCGACGGCGTTTGATCTGCGGTCCTGGGTGGGGAGATCTCAAAAGAAGGAGGCGCAAGCTCGAGCGGCGGAGGCCGAGAAGGCGCGCGCGGCGCAGGAGCGCGCGGCCCAACTCGCGGCCGAGGCCGAGGCCGCGCGGGCCGCCGAGGTGCGGTCCGCGGCCGCGCTGCGCGAGGTCGAGACGTCTCTCGTGCATGCGGACGCCGCGCGGGTAGCCCGTAGGATCCAGATGCGGCGGCGGGCCGTGCGGATCGCGGCGGCCGGCGTGAGCGTTGCGGGCGCGGTCGGCGGCGCGGTGTTCTTTCTGCTGCGGAACGTGTCGAAGGGGGAGTAATACATGCTCGTATTTGTCTCGCAGATGTTGCGTCGACGGCGTGTCCAGAGGCTGCATTTTCTATCTACAACATGCTTTTACACAGCCTATCTTCTACCGCTTCCTCCAGCGTGAGCCCGTTCTTAATAGACTCCATACACCCATTCAAAAAGGAGTCCCGCCCCGACTTGTTTCGGAGCATCGTGTGAGGCGTTGCATGGAACATAGAGCACTTCTTCTGGTGTTCGGGCCAGTGGTCGCGTTGGCAGGCCACCGAACAATATCGACCCACGCCGCGGCCCTCACCGCAGCCCCCGCAGACCAGGAGCCGCGGTTCGGAGGGGTCACTTCTCTTTCCACAATACGAGCAGATTCTGCGCCGCATCCGTGGCCAGTGCTTTCGTAGACGGTGCCAGGACGCGATGGTCTCCATCACAAATTCCGGACCAGCGGGTCGGTCTCGGAGCCCGAGGCCATCCAAATACTCCCCAAAATCGGCTCTGTCGTTATTGTTGAGTACGACCGTTTCCCGGAGAGCCACGAGAGCCACAGTAACATTAAGCTCGTAATCTGTCATGGTATCAATATCGTCTGTCATGGTTCGTGTGTCGCCGGAAGGCGTACGGTACGGCAAGGCGCTTGACGCGCAGGTTGATGTACAGACCGACGACTCTCGGTGAGACGGGATGGCATTGATAGCGGCTCTGGCATTTGCGAGGGCAACCGAGATTGCACGCGGTCTGGTTTCGTCGGTAAGCTCTATTTTCGTGGCCTCGAGTCTGTCCATGAGTTCCTTGTTGGACGCGAGGCCCGCGCCGCCGACTGTCCAGGACTTCTGTTTCACGAGCTCGGCCACGAGCTTCTCGCGGTGGGCCTCCATGTCCTTGAGCTCGACGCGATCGAACAAGCGAGCAGGAGCTTCTCGATGGGCCTTTGAACCGCTCCCGCCGGGCGCGCCGCCGCCGCCCTTGAACCGTCCGGCCACGCTCACGATGCGTCGCTGCCTCAGCGTCTCCTCCGACGCGCGCGTGAACGTGCCCGCTTCCACAACTTTGGAGGCAACGGGGACGCGCGGTTTCACTGCGAAACCCCTAGCTTCGGAGGCTCTTGTGGTGTTTAGGAGGTCTGCGTCTACAGGCCGTCCCGCGTAACGCTGGTGGCCTCCGCGGCCGAACCATTTTTTGGCCCTGAGGGACTTCTTCCCCATGCTGGCGGGGGTGGAGGCAGCGGCGAGCTACGCAGCTTGGCAAGGCGACTCCATCACTGGCATCAGCCGACGAACCCGCACGCGAATCGGCTCGCACGCGTACACGCCATCGACGCGAAAGACCCCCATAGATACTTACAAGTTCCAGTCCACGGGTCCCCAGCCCAGCTCGCCGAGCAGCGCGTTCGCGCGCGAGAAGACGCCGCTACCGGTAAACGGCGTCGCCGTCTTCGTGTTGCTGAGAGGACTAGGGTGCGACGACTCGATGACGCGGTGGCGCGTGCGGTTGATGGAACTGCACTTGTCCCGCGCGGGTTTGCCCCACAATATGAAGACGGCGCCTTTTTGTCTTCTATTGACCGTTCTAATAACCGCGTCCGTGAAGGTGTGCCAGCCGGCCTTGGCGTGGGAGTTCGCCTCGCCCCGGCGGACCGTCAAGGACGAGTTCAGTAGCAACACGCCGCGCTGCGCCCACTTCGTAAGGTCGCCCTTGCCCTTCGGGGGGAGCGTCGTCCCCGGCAGGTCCCGAGCCAACTCGACGAAGATGTTTCTCAAAGAAGGGGGAAACTTGCAGTCCGCGCCGTCCGCAATGCTAAAACACAACCCATGAGCTTGCCCAGGACCGTGGTACGGGTCCTGGCCGACGATGACAATTTTGACATCATCCAACTTGCAGGCGTCTAAGGCCGCGAAGGTGTGCTCTGGGGGAGGATACACGGTTTTCGCCTTGCGTTCCTTGGCCACGAATTGGGCGAGCTGGAAGAGGTACGGTTTCGAGGTCTCGCCGTCGAGCGCGTCGCGCCAGCCCTGGTCCTGTAAGGGTTTCAAAAAGTTCCTCGCTAGCGTCTGCTGCGCGGCCTTCTTGTTTTGCTGGGCGCGCGCCTTGCCGTCGGCGGGTTTCGCGGCCTCGGCTACGTCGGCGGGCGGTTTCGCGGGCGCCGGCTTCGGTTTCTTGGCTTTGGGTTTAAAAAACGAGTCCAGAGACTTCTGCTTCTGCTTGCGCGGGCTGCGGCGTGGCTCGTCGGCCATGATTTTAAAGGCGGTAGGGAGAGCGGATGCTTAGTTGGCGCGTCGTCGGCGTGCGAGAGGTGATTTCTCACCTCGTCGGATGTATGGCAGTGCTGTCGGTCTGTGTACAGCGCCCGAGAGCGAAACGTTGAGCTATACCGCCAAATATCGAGGTGGCGCGCCCACCTTTAGCATTTAAAGTGCGTTACATCACGCTAGCTTTTACGATTAATTTTTTTCTGCCAGGGTCTCTGGAGCCGTGCGAAGGGCGCTGGGCAGCCAGCGTTGTCGTTATAGCCACCCACGGTGCGGTCTCGACATCCTCAACGCGCCCGAGGCCTGCCAAAGCGCCGGTGCAGCACCTCCACCTGCAGACCTCCACAGCCTGGAGCAGCCAGACGCCGCCGCAGCAGCATGGCGCGGCTCTTACCACTCATCGCAGCCGCCTACGCGTTAGACCGTCCAACGTCCAGATTCCAGAACGCCTTCGGCAATCGAGGCTCGTCAGTCAGACGAAAACGCACTTTACCAGTCTACCGCCCGCCCGACTCGCCGGCCACACCACTACCCGTCCCGGGATCGAGCCGCACGCTAAGATACCAGCCCGAGGGCGCCGCGAACGCCCAGCTCGTAAGAGATCTGCAGCAGTACGGCGCCCTCGTCGTCGTGATCGGTGACGGTGAGGACGAACCGATAGGCTGCGTCGTCGATGTAAGGCTCGCCGAGGTGAGCGACGAGGGCCAGGCGGCGGTGGTGGCGTCGTGCACCTCGTCGAACGCTCGAGTATCATTAGGTAGAGTAGCCAAGGCCTTCCCGTACACGGCGCGCGAAGCATCAACTCTGGAGGACACGGATTTTCTCTACGCCGACGACGTGCTAGCGGCCTACGACGTCATCGAGGAGGACGAGCCGTCGACGTCGAAAGCTAGAAATGACTGCGTGGATTTACTGGAAGCTACCTTAGAGCTTTGTGATAAATTAAGGCCGACGCTCGGCGCCATTGATCCCTTTGGCACTGAGCTAAATGAGGGCGAGTACGCGCGCATGAAGCGGCGGCTGCTGGAAGCTGTGAGCAAAGACGACGACGAGGCGGACGAAGAAAGGGATCGGCGGCTGTCGTTCTTGTGTCTATCGTTAGTTGACGCCCCGGACGAGTTGCGACGGAGATGCCTGGCAACTAGATCAGCAGCTAGGAGGTACGCTGCCGTCCAGCGGTTTTTGAGACCTCTCCATCGGGAGCTTTCCGCGGCCTGCGCGTTGGGTGCATCGTCGACGCCGCCGCCGCCCTGTCCGTGCCCCGTCGACGCGCCGCTCGCCTTCGCGGCCTTACGCCCGGGCCGCCGTTTAGCTTATTGGTGGTCCGACGCCGCCGGCTGGTGCCCCGGCGAGTGCGGCGTGCTCTGGCGCACGGGCGACACGGAGGACGGCTCCGTCGAGGTCAAGTTCGACGCGGCGCCCGGAGAGAGTGGTTCGGTGGCGCAGCGGTTGGAATTGCTCGGCGCGGACCGGGGGCGCTGGAAGCTGCTGCCGCTCTAACTTTAGCTTATTTGTCCACACTGCTCGGTGCGCGCGTCGACCGCGCGCCGCGGGACGTCAAGTACGCGTCGGGACTCGTTTTTTCGGAGCCGTCGCTCGGTGCAGGTATGATTGCCCAGCCCCAGGAGGGGCTCCGTCCGCCGAGCATCAAGGACACGTCTCTCGCAGCTTTTGGTGTTGATGCTCGGAGTGGCCCCATACGCCCCTTCAACTGAGTCGACAGTGGCTGTGAGCTGCCAGGAAGGCTGCATTTGACGAAATCTCGGGCCTCTGCAAGTTTTGGCGCTTCTCGCCGGCCAGCGGCCAAGCAGTGCTGCAGGTTCATAACAAGCAGCATCTAACAGCTCCCGCGGCGGGAATGCCACCGCCGCGGATACCATGCTCGCCATCATGAGTCCCCTACCTACCGAAGGCCTCGGCGGCCGCACGTGGTCGCAGGACGGCCTCGTCGGCCTCGAGCTCGAGGCGGAGCCCACCGAAGCCAGCGCGCCGGTCGCGGCCCCGCTCTGGGAGGCCTGCATGCCGACGCCGGAGCAGGAGGGCTCGCCGCCGCGCTCACGAGCTCGCTCCGTCCGCTTCGCGGTCGACGAGAACACCCCGCAGCCGCTCTTCTCGAGCGACTCGCCGCGGCCGGTGCGACGTCTGACCTCTGCAGAACGATTGGACCTTACGCAACAGCGACCGGACCTCGACGTGCGCGGCCTGCCGTGGGCAAGGCGGATACGGCGGCGGAACGGCCTGTCGGAGGAGGACCGCTTCGAGGACGAGCCGGAAACGGTCGTCGGCCGATCCTGGGGCCTGTTCCGGCGCGCGCTGCGGGACGTCGTCGACGACTTCCGGGAGGCGGTCTCGAACGCCGTCTCCACCGACGCCGTCGCCGCGGAAGAAGTAGTTGTAGAGGACGACGACGACGCCGACGGCCTCTGGGCGACGTCGCACGACGTGTCGGATATCTAATTTGTTTATATTTTACACGAAGGGTCTAGCACGTCAGCGACACCGTGCAGTCGCACTCGTTGGCTTTCTGGGCCACTCCTTTGCCGGCCTCAGCCAAACCATCGATGAGCTCCTCGACCTCGTCCAGCGTCGGGTCCCAGGCCGTCGACACGGATTGCTGCGTGAAGCATTCGCCGTTCGCCGCGTTGTCCGCCTCCGTGTCGTCGATGAAGGTGGCCGCGACGCCGGGCACACTGATGGGACAGAGGCACGTCAGCGAGCAGGAATCGGCATCCGCCCCTTCCAATTTGTAGCAGGGCGCGCCCATGCAGACCTCGACCTCGTTCGAGACCCACTCGTCGAGCTTGCGGTGGCCGCCGCGCACGCCGGCCTTCTTCTTGTCCTCGGTAGCGACCCAGTTGTCGTCGCCGCAGACGCCGTTCTGGGCGCCGGTGTGGAAGGACACGAAGTCGCAGTCCAGGCCGGACTCCTTGCAGATTTGACCATCGGTCAAGGCCGTGCACAGGTTCTGGACGCCGGCGTCGTCCAATTGGCCCAGGTAGTTCGCCATCACGGCTTCCCGGAACGTCTCCGACTTCGCGAGGAAGACCGACGTGTAGCCCATGACGAAGGTCGCCGTGATGGGATCTTCGGCGTACATCTCGTCGATCGTCTCCGGGGCGCACTTGCAGGCTCCCAGGTAATCATATTCTTCGACTCCCGCGCACGTCGTGAGGCCGCACAAAGCATACGGTTGGGTTCCTGGTTTGGCCGCATTGCAGTAGACCGTGAGGTCTTGAGATTGCGTCACGAGGATGTCGTACACCTCCGCGATCGTGACCGGTTGGTTGCCCGTGACCATGCGCGTCAGGCGGGTCACTTCTCTACGACCGGTGGTCGTGGAGGTCGCCGCCCACATCATGGAAGAGGTCAGCGCGATGGCGGCGATGGCCTTGCGGGCCCGGTTGGCGTTCTGGGGCTCCTCGACGCGGGGAGCCGCCGCGGCGGCGTCGTCCGTGGCGCCGTATTGCTTCTCCATGGTGTGTCGTGGCTGCTGCCTTTTGCGGCGGGGCGGGCTACGGGGGCAGCTCGTGGCTTGGCGGGTGGTTGGCGGATGCCCTTTGCTCTGCTCCTTGGCAGCCTTTGGTAAGACCTCGGGCGGCAGTGAGCAAACTTGCGAGACCGAGCTTGGGCAGGAAAGCTTGGAAGCTTGGATACTTGAAGGGGCGCGCGCGGCGGACGCGTCCGGCGCCACCGTGTTCTCCATGGGTGGGTGAGACCTCGGGCAGGCACGGGTGTCGTTTCACTGTTTCACTTTTAGCAAGTTTAGTGGGCCTCAAAAAAGGCGATTTACGAGTTTTAGCAGGCGATCGCAATAAATCGTGCACAACAGCGTCTGGTGAACATCAGCGACAGCTTTAACCACTTAAGAATGCAAAAGCGTCATCACTGCGCGCCTGCTTGCAAGCGCGGCGCTCAGCGAGCACTCCTGGAGCAGCTAGCGACCAAGGCAGCTGAGGGCAGTGCAGCGCGGCGCGGCGGCGAATGCGTGCCACGCGCACGCCGCAATCCGCCGAGCGGGTCGCGCGCGGGCGCCGGGCCTCGCTTTGCATCAGCGAGCAAGCCTGGCGCGCCACTCACCGTCAACAGCGACACATGAAAGGCGCATGAGAGCAAACGCCCACGCCCAAACGCCGCCGACGCGTCACACAACACACGCAGGCAAAAAAAAACAAAGATGGCCGACGACGAACCGATGGAGGAGGCCCCCGCCGACGCCCCTGCTGAAGGGGAAGTGGAAGTGGCCGAGATGTCCGTGCTGGACGCGCTGCGGGATGTCCTGAAGCGCGCCCTCATTCACGGTGGCCTGAAGCGCGGCCTGCGCGAGGTCGCCAAGGCCCTCGATTCGAGAACGGCCAAATTGTGCTGCCTGGCCAAGGACTGCGACAACGCCGAGTACAGCAACCTCGTCCGCGCTTTGTGCGACGAGGGCGGCGTGTCGTTAGTTATGGTCGACGAGGGCAAGCAGCTCGGCGAGTGGGCGGGCCTCTGCAAGATTAATGAAGAGGGCGAGGCGACGTCGGTGGTCCGGTGCTCGGCGGCGTGCGTGACGGAGTTCGGCGAGGACACGCGCGCGTTGTCCGTGCTGCTGACGTACCTCAAGGCGCAGGCGCCCGAGGACAAGTAGATTCGGTGGAGCGCGCTCAACGATCCGAGAGGTAAGGGCGCGTGCCGCTGTTAGGTTGCTGTAAGGTGACCTATAACTTAAACAAACACGCCCGCTGGTGGCGTCCACGCGAGCGCGAGTCGCCTCGATGGCGTGGAGGTGGTGTAGAGCCAGACTGGCGTAATCTATCCCACCACGCCATCGCCGCGATGCCGCGTCGATGGCGTACGGGAAGGCAGTATCAAGCGATCGTCATGGAATGCGCTCCCCGATGAAGCCCTCATTTCTCCAATCCTTGCCGGCCTCGTCGTTCGCGAAGAGCGGCAACCTATTTTGTAGATGCACGCGGTCGATGTCCCACAGAAGCTGGTCCGGGAGCGGGCCCTTCGCCGCCTTCCGGTAGGCGTCGATGGACGCGTCGAGCTGGGCGAGGGACGTGTGGCCGACGAGCGACGACGTCACCGCTTTCCGCCCGGCGACGAAGCGGAAGGACAGCTCGGTCAGGCCTGCGCGCGGATGCGACTCGGTGGCGCGTCGATGGCGTCGGGCGTGAGTCCAGACCTTGGAGCAGGACGCCGCGCGGGACCGCCCTTGATTCCGTACTCCTTCGCTAGTTTGGTGTACTGCGCAGCCGCGCTCCGCATCGCGGTCGTGCGGTATCGTCCCAATGTCAGGCCCCAGCCCCGCGTGTCCATCCGGCCCCTAGGTGCTTCCGCATACCTCTTGGCCCGGGCGCGGTCGCCGTCGTCGACGGCCGCGGGCGCGACGCCGTCGCCGGGCGCAAGCCCGTACTTGCCCGTCAGCATGCCGCCCGCGAGCACGTTGTACGCCATGAATCCAGCGTTCGCGATCGCCGGCGACGACGCCTCCGAGAGGCCGTTCTCCTCGACCCTTCTATTCACGATCGAGTAGTCGTTCTGCATGCAGAGCGGCCCGGGCACGCCGAGCTCGCGCGCGGCGCCGTACATGCCTGTGTGCGATGAGCGTCGACGGCGTGGAGGCCGACGCGATGACTTCTGCACTGGCGCGCGACCCATGAGACCCACGGCGTTGTCGTTGCAGGCGCCGTAGCCTCTGATTTTGCCTGTGCGGTACGCCATCGACGCGACAGTCCCCCGTAAATTGTCTGTAGCGGCACCGGCGCGGACCCTCTCTGATCAGCTCGCCCATGGCACTCACGATTTCCCGGAAACTCGCGGCCGACGGCACCGTGATCGCTCCTAAATCCCAGTCGTACTCCAGCGATTGACCTACGTGGGGGTCGCGTCGATGGCGTGGCGTCGACGGCTTCGACGCGGCGGCGCGCCCCAGTTGCTTTGCGGCGTGTAGCGCGCCGGCCAGTGTAATAAGTAGACATCTAACGTGTCCACACCTAATCTTTTCAGAGAGCCCTCGCAGTCCTCTCGGATGCTACGCTTGTTGATGTTGCGGCCGCCGGTGATTTTTGAGGCCAGCACTACTTTGTTTCGTCGGCCGGTGCCTTTCTTGAGCCATCGGCCGATGATCTCCTCCGTCGCGCCCTCCGGTCTAGAGCGGTCCGAGGGGATCGGGTACTGCTCCGCCGTGTCAATTAGGTTGATGCCACCCTCGAGCACGCCCCGATCCAACAGCTGATGGCACAACTCCTCGTCCGGACTATTGAAGTCGGCGCCGCCCCAGCGCTGCGTCCCAAGTGCGAGCTCGCTGACGGCGATGTCCGAGTTGCCCAGTCGTTTGCGGCGGATGCCGTCCACGGTGCTGACGACGTCGTTGGTTTCCTTTGTAGGCAAACCGAGGCCCTTCGCGGCGGCTCGCGCAGCTCCTGGTAAAAAATTGAGCATGACTGTGGAGCCTGCCGTGCCCTTTAGCGCCTGGCGCCGCGTCGGCCGCAGTGCACTGGCATGGCTGCAGATGAGTATGAGCGCAGCGATGCGTCGCAGCATGGCTCAAATTCGTGGATGCGCCGTGCAATATGATTCGATGCGCGCGTTCAGATGGCTTTTGCTTGCGGTGCGAGGTGAGCGTGTGCCAATGCCGCCTCTTCAGCACTGTGAGAGCATGGGCACTCGAGGCGGGCCAGCAGAGTGTGGGCGTGCTCGCAACGAGGCTTACACGGACTCGATGGAAGCTAACGGGAGCATCGTCCGATAGCGCGCGGGCCTCGGCGGACGCGGCGTCGCGGGCTGCTCGGGTGATAAATACGGCAGTAGTAGAGAAACTTACTTGCTCCGGCGTGGGCCCTCCTTCAGGATCGCGAGCCACTCCTTCCGCTCGAGGTCCGTGCACGGGTTGGGGCGCCAGTCGCCCGCGCCCGGCGACCGGGGACATGTCCAGCGGCCCCGACGCGGGCTCCGAAGAGAGCTCTCGGCCACCAAACGCCTCGGCTCGCGACGCGCTAGCGAGCTCGTACCTACTAGAGACGCGAGTCAAACCGCGGCAGCAGCATTGGTTGTGCGCCTGAGAGGCCGGCACAGATTTTCTTTGACGCAGCGGGCTGCCCCCGGGTACCCTCTTGGTCCCCGCGCCCTCTAGCGCGAAGCCCCGTGCCCGCGCGGGCGCTGTAAGACGCGCGCTACCCCATCGGTTGGCATCGACCCGAAACGCCGCCGCGACCATGGCCGCCAGCCAGCTCGCCCACTTGATCGCCCAAGCCGACGCCGCCGGCGCGGAGAGTGAGTTGCACCACACGGAGGCGGTCAAACACGGCTACAAGGCATTGACCTTCTCGGCGCACATTATGCAGGAGCGGAAGATACTGGAGCCTATGGTCCAGGACGCGCTCCGCGAATCCGGGCGGCTCTGCGGCTCGCCGTTTGAGAAGCGCGCCATCTCCTGGTTCGGCGGCGCGCCCGAGGACGAGCAGGCGCGCGAGCTCAAGCTCGAAGAATGGGCCGCCGCGGTGGGCACTACCAAGGCCTACTGCACGTGGCTCGTCAAGAACGGAGGCAAGGCCAACTGGTGTGCTAATTATCGAAGTGGTCAACTACACGACTTCTGCCTGCTCGCCGAGCAGTTCAAGGAGGCGAACCCGCAGTTCGTCGACGGCCGCTGGTTTCTCTTCGACGCGCCCGACTTCACGGACGCCGTCGTCGACTTCTTCTTGAAGTGCCATGGGCCGCTGTTGATAACGAATATCACAAAATATTGCCGCGAGCTGCGGGCGAAGGAGCGGCTCAAGCAGGAGGGCCAGCGGTCCCCGGCGGAGATCAAGCGGTTGGCGGCCGTGGAGGCCGAGGGCCTCGACAAGCTCGAAAAAGCGGTCGTGCGGCTGGGTGGCGAGGTGCCCGACCTGCGCGGCTGGAAGGTAAGAAAACACGGTTCAAAGTGGTATTTGAACGGCCCGGGCGGCGAGTACTACAAGGGGTCGATCTCGAAGGCCGCCGCGGCGATCGTCGACGGCTCGGCGTCGACGTATAGTGATGATCCCTTCAAGGCGGTCACGGTCGCCCAGCTCAAGGCCAAGTGCAAGGAGCAGGGCCTCAAGCAAACAGGCTTGAAGGAGGATCTCATCTCGCGGCTCAAGGACGCCGAGAAAGGCATTTTCGACCGGTCGAATCAGAGAAAGCGCCCGGGGTCGCGGGCCGGCGGCGGCGAGCCGCCCGCGAAGAGAGTGAGAACCGGCGGCAACACGACGCGGGCGGTGCTCGAGGACCTCTGCGACCTGGGCGGCGTCGCCTTCGTCCCAGGGACGTCGGCGCCGACGTTGGAGAACCGACTGAATCTCTGGATCACTGACCAAGTCGCCGCCGCGGCGCCCATGACGACCATGGCCCAGTGCGCTCGAGGCTCGGCCATCGCCGGAGTCACGCTATCGGTCGCAATCGAGGGCGTGCTCAAGGTCATGCCGGGGATCATCTCCTCCAAGTTCTGCTCGTGGTCCTACTAGTAGATGCGCGTCGCTTGAGGGGCTTCGAGTGTGGTAAGAAACTTTTCTGTCTCCGATCTAAACAAGGCAAGTACCCGGACGACGAGCCGGGTCAACTTGAATCATAGATGGTGACACCATACTAGGAGTAGTCTGTCACGATTTTAGTTTACTACAGGGGGGTCGTGAAGGATGGGAGGTGGGGCGTACAGATTCATGCACAAAGCACAAACACAATGGCCTACGCCACTGGACGCGATGACGTCCCTCGTCCACTACTCAGGAAAGAGCGGCGGCGACGAGAGAGGTGCCCAACGCAGCAGCTGCCCCCATTGCCGCCGGTTTGATGACGAAACTCAAGAGCTCCTCGCTGATGTCGAGCCGCTGCTTTTTGGGGGGCGGCTCGTCGCGCGTCTCGCCATCCGCCTTCGGCGCGTCGTCGTCGTCGTCGACGCTCACGTACTTGCGATTGACGGCGTCCAGCAACTTTTTGATCTTCGCGGCCAGCTTCTCCTTCTCGTCCTCGGGCATCGTCTTCTCGAACTTCGAGACAGCAGCCTCTAGCTCGCGGATGTGCTCCAGGAGCGTCGGCGTCGGCGCGCTGCGCTTTTTCGTCTTGGTGCCGGCCATCGTGCGCGTTTGGGCAGCGCGAGGTGTCGACGCGATTCGGGAAGCTCGACAACTGCTGCTGAAACGCAGCGTTGAGTGCCTTGGGAGATGTTTGGCAAATGGGGCAGCCAAGGAGGCGCAGGAGAGGCGGAGAGCGTCGTCATTCTCTCGTGTTCTCTTACCCTTCGATTCAATGCGCGGAGCTCTGGGACAAATGCGACGGCGGACTCTCGCTTGCTAGTGGCTTACAGGCCGCTAGCTGGCTCTCTAATCCTATGTGCCATCTGGACAATCGATCAGCCGCTTCGTCAATTCGCCAACATGCAGTTGTCGCGTCTTCTTGTCTTAGTCATCGTCGCGCCGTGGACCTGCGCCTTCGCGCTGTGGCCGTTTACCACCGTGCCGGCGGTCGAGCCTGTGCCTGCTGTGCCTAAGTCGGTCGCCGGCTGCAAGGCCGTCTACAAGGGCGCGAAGAGCCGCGAGCGCAGCCAGTGCATCAAGCGCGTCGAGCATAAGAAGTGGAGACTACTCGAGCAGCAGGACATCAACGCGTCGATTTATTGCGATGACTTGTGCGAGTCCGGCCAATACCAGATATACAACGGCCTGGAGATGGGGCCCGAGGTCGCAGACGAATGCATGGAGAACTGCAAGCGAGATGAGTTGGGGGAAGCCTATGGTGAGCTCGAGAGGTACCGCGAGCATCACAAGCGAACGATTGGTTTGTATTTCAATCCGTTCAAGATGTACAAGAACGCTGGTTCGGGGACCTTCGCTGGGGGCGCGATCTGGTTCGGACTCCTCGCGGCTCTCTGTTATTATCTTCGGGAGTCGGTTGTTGGGCCGCCCCCCTGTTCTAACTTCAAGCACCAGGTTCGCAACATACTGCAACTCGCGGTGAATTTATTCGCGCTATTGGCGGGCTTCTGTGTTACTGCCTTCGGCGCGCGTTTGTGCATGGTCTGAGGCGTCGCTGAGTACCCAAGGCCTGTCCGCGAACAAGATCGTGGGCTGTCTGTGGTGCTCCTTCCAGTTCAAGTCTAAGTCTCCGCGAGCCTCGGCGCGGGTCGCCGCGTTGTGAGGCCACCGCGAACATGTGAGCCCTGTCCCTGTCCCTCCCCCCGGTCCACAATGTAACTATGTCCCCCGGCTTTTTTGTAGGATTCTGCTCGCTCCGTTTGCAGGCGACCCGTCGTGGTCCTGTGAACTATACTACTGCCCAGACCGCTAAGCAGCGAGATGTGGACCTTCGCGCGTGATCGCGCCTGCTTTTTTACAAGTTTACCCGATCTCAGGCTCCCGCCTCGACGCCGCCGCAGCGCCTCGCGCTTCGCGTAGCTCGCCTCGCCGTTGCTACCGTCGCGTCAGACTTTCCACGCCGTCGCCGGTCGCGGCGCCCCATCGTCTCCACGCCGCGAGGTCGCCCCGCCGTCGCGTCATTTTCTATTTTTTCTTATAATTAACAACGAAAGGAAGACACGTTCGCACCACGACATGCGATCAAGAATAATACACCACGGCTTCGATGGCCAAAACGAGCATGCTCCCCGCGCCCGCCATCCTAGCCGCCATTTTCGCGAGCGGAACGGACGGCGGGTTGTGCGCGGCGACCCAGAAGCGTATCTTCTGCTCCAGCTCGGCCGTGTCCATCTGGTCCGTGTGCGTGATGCCGGCCCTTTTGCAGACCCGAACGAGCGTGGAGTGCTTGTCATAGCCGCCGCCCCGCAGGCGCTTCGAGGACGGCGCGTCGTCGGCATCATCGTCCGGCCGACTGCGCTTGTTCGACGACGACTCCGTCTCCGACTCCGAGAGGAGCGAGGCGGCGGCCTCGGCGGCCGCCTCGAGCGAAACGTACTCGTTGCCGCTCGGGTCTCGGAACCAGTACGTTTGAGGATGACCTAATACCTTCGCGTCCCAGCCGTCGAGCGCGGAGACCGGGCACCCGGCTTGATCAGAGAGCGTCACGAGCGCGGCGGCCTTCTGCTGCTCCTCGCAGTACTTTACTAGTTCCGTCAGCTTCGTGAAGTCGAACGTGTCCGCCATGCACGAGGCGAAGGCTTCCACGAAACCGGGCATCTTGTAATCATAGTAGCACACGCGGACGTCCGAAGCCAGGTACTGGGAGGCGACCGGCGACTTCTCTGCAAAGGCATCTAGGAGCGTGTGGAAATAGTTGATCGCGTTCTGGATAGATTTGTAGCCACACCCAATCTTGATGTCCGTGTCCTCCAAAAATTCGCAGAACCTCTTCATACCTCCATACCTCCCTCCCACGTGCGAGGCGCACTTCGAGAGCCAGGCTTCGTTATCTTCGAATTTCTCCCCAAAGAGTTCCTTGCACCTCGCGGCGAACTTCGATCCCGAGTGCGTGCCATCCTTACTTAAAAGCTGCAACTCATATATCGCGAAGCCGACTTTGGCGCGGCACGCGACTTGCGTAAACACGCAATGGGTCGCGCCGCTAGCCTGCTCGGCCGCCGCCTCTTCATGTAACGCGAGGATGTCTTCTATCTCCCCGAGTCTTCCGGCGAGCGGCATCGTTCGTGACCTTGGGTCAGGCGGTTCAGATGCGCCGGTTCGGGCGACGCGGCTGCAAAGTCGAGCGGAGCGCGTGGGGACAGTATGGGGGCGCGGATCGGCGCCACGAGCAGCGGTTCCGACGTTGCAGCCCAGCCGCTGGGTAGAACTGCGACAGAGAGCAAGACAAGGACCAGGGAGAGACCGCAGACGCGTTTGCGAACTAGGACGGGTGCACCCGTCCCACAGCCTCGTGCGACAGCTCCTAGGGCCCCCGGCCACACAACACCTCCTAAAGGCTACAAGCTCGTAGCTCAATTTCCTTGGTTTCTCGGCCGCCGCCCTTTGCCAAAACGCGACGAGGCGCGGCCTTTGGAGCTCGCGTCGCCCCCGCGCGGCCCATCCGCACGGTCGCCGCCACAGCAGCAGTCGTCGGGCAGCGCTTGACGCGACGCGGGCAGCGGTTTCAGGCAGCCCATGGCCGATCAAAGTGCCATGGAGGAGGCGGCGCCGCTCCTCGGCGGCAGCAGCCCCACAACCAAGCGCCGGTCCCGCTGGCAGGCCGCCGCCGCGGTAGCAGCTACGCTTGGGGTGGTAGCGTTAAGTAGAGGCGGCCGGACCGTGGAGCCGCGCACAACGATGGAAGACGCCCTGCCCCCCTCCACCGTGGACCTCATCCAACCTGTGAAAGGCGCAAAACCGCTCCAGATGGGCCACTTCGGCAAGTGGACGGTCATGGCCTCTACTAGACAACGCATGGACGAGACCGCCGATGCTTTGTGGTGGGGGATGAATATGTTGGAGCGGTTCCGCGACTACGACGCTGACCCGGCGTTTCCCTCTTATAGCTATCTGGGGCCTACCGGGTGTTCGGTCGTGCAACGGCGGTGGATGTCCCTCAAACACCAGCCCGCCGACGACGAGATGCACATCGTCTGGAATAGTGGGAATCAAGAGAGGAATACCGCTACCGTGAACGGTCGGACCCTATCTCTCAGTGCGGAGGAGGTCTTCTCTAGTATACATGACTTGCATGTCCAAACAGCTTTGACAGATAACCAGTTCTCGGGCCAGAAAGTAGGTGTCTTCGACGTCACGGGTATAGAACGAGCCGTCTGGGGCGCGCGCGACAACCTAAGGAAGTTCGGCTGGCCCTATCGGTTGCTCAAGGGCGTCGGTGTCATACAAGATCATAACGCTAAGAAGAAGCGGGAGACTGATCTCTATATTGTCCGAACTTTGACCCCAGACGGAAAAATAATTGAAACGACAGCCGTCGCCGCCAACAGCCAAGTCGCCAAGGACGCCTTCTCGCGCGTCGAGAAGGATGAATCGTTGCGATATCCGGTCAAGCTGCCGGCCTGGCAGTTCGGGAGCACCTCGTGCGGGAGCGACACTCCGTACATTTTCTGCGGAAAACCTCGGTTTAATGAAAAATTATTTATAACGCAGACGAACGCGGAAACGTCGGACTATACCGCCGGCTGGCCCTATTGGGAGGGGCAGACTGGTACTATTGGGGACGACGGGCTGGTCAATATCACTAGATCTGCTCATACGCACGTCGCGTCCACGGACCCCATCAGAGATGCTCTGTTTCTGAGGAAGTGGCTCAAACACGAACCGTTGACGGATTTCCCGGATTCTGACGACGAGGCTTGGGTCGCTTTACCGTTAGCACCTGTGTGGAAATCAACCAGTGTGTCGGGTGCGCTGCCGTTCTGCCCGTCGAGCGATGAGGAACTGGCATCGCCACGCCATCGAGCAGGCGGCGCGTCGATGGCGTGAAGGATGACGCGATGATTCGGCACGAACGCGCCGTAAAATTTTGATTTCCACACAGGCTAGAACAGGCGGATGGGGTCTCGAAGTACACGAACCACTACGTCCATTTATCAAAACCGTCCGGGTTAAGTGCAGAACTTCCGCGGGGCCAAGGTGAGCTCTCGCTGTCCGACTTCGAGGGGTTCGTGCGGTTTTTGCGGGAGCAGCAAGGTGGCTTGGACTGGAACCACTACGACCCGTTCCTCGACGAGCACGTCGGCATCGAGGGATGCCATTCTCAGATAGCAGCCGTATCATCAACTTTATTGGCGATGCACGGCGACGGCGTGCCCATGCTCACGCGTAGGGAACTCGTGGCCGACGATCCTGGTAGGAAGGAGGAGCGCTTCTCCGTCTTCTTCGACCTGCCCGTGTCGACGTATGCGTTTCAGTTACGAGTGAACGGCGACATGGACGACCTGAAGTCGCACGGCCTGCCGGAGTTCTGCGACTGGGACTTTTGTAGAGATGAAGGCTTCGGGAACTACCGGGCGCCGGACCTGCTCTACATGGATCCACAAGTTTGCGGCTTCTCGTCGCTATCGGACTAACATCGTTTTGTATCTAGCTCGTCTCTTGTAGGGACCCCGTCTATGGACCCCGTCTAGGGACCCCGTCGATCTACCCCGTCGACGCGACGGCGGCGACGCGGCGAGGTCGCTGGGTCGCGGCGGGTGGCCAGTGACCTCTACCCGTCCCGCCGTTGCGCCACAATGAACGATACGGGGGCGCGCGACGCGTGCCCGGCACGCGGGGGAATGTCCAACGGCCTAAGATTCCATCATTTCTCGGGCCCTCTTGCCAAAACGCGACGAGGCGCGGCATCTGGAGCTCGCTTCGCAGGCGCGGTCCATTCGCATAGTAGCACTCGACCTAGGACGCGCCCGGGGCGCGACGGCGCTCCCGCGCGTCCGGGCCCCACTGCTCTGGCCAGCGACCGCTACCCAGCCAGTCGCTGCACAAGCATGGACGGCACGGTGGCGCGCCGCGACGCGTGCCGCGGCGCCCGGGGGAATTGTGCAGCCGCAACGGCTAGTTTCCTAAGCTTCGACCAGCTTTTGGCCTCTGCGCAAAGGCCGCGCGACGACGAGCGCGCAAGCAGAGGCACTTGGGCAGCAAGCGAAGCAGTCCCTTCCCGCCGCCGACGAGCCCAGACGATGGACGAGCAGTCCCCGCCGGCGGACATGGAGAGCAGCCCCTTGCTCGGGGGCAGCCCATCATCAAAGCGGCGGTCGCGCTGGCAGGCCGCGGCCGCGGCCGCCGCCGCGACGCTCGGGGTCGTGGCGCTGGCGCGCGGCGGCCGGAACGACGTCGCACCATCGGCCAACGCCGCCGCCGCGCCGGCCGCGACTTACGAGAAGTCCTGGCAGGTGCCCACGACGGACAACACGGACTTGGTCCAACCTGTGAAAGGAGCGAAACCGCTGGAGATGGGCCACTTCGGCAAGTGGACTATTATGGCCTCTTCTAAGAAAAACATGGACGAGACCGCGGAAGCGATGTGGTGGGGCTACAACATGATGGAGCGCTTCCGGGACTACTCCGTGGATCCCGCGTTTCCCTCGTATTCATATTTGGGGCCGACTGGTTGTTCGACGGTGCAACGTCGATGGTTATCTGCTAGACACCAACCGCCGGACGACGAGGTGCACGTAGTGTGGAATTCTGGGAATCAAATCCAAAATAAAGCTACAATCGACGGTCGTACTTTGTCGTTGTCTGCGGAGGAGGTCTTCGAGTCAATAAGGACGCTACATGTGCAAACGGCATTGCAGGACAACCAGTTCTCGGGCCAAAGGTTAGGATGGTTCGACGTTACTGGTATAGAGCGGGCCGTCTGGGGCGCTCGAGATAATTGGGAGAAGTTCGGCTGGCCCTACCGCTTGCTGAAGGGTATTGCCGTGGTCCAGGACCAGAACTACTCGCCCCATCAAGAGGTGGACTTGTACATCGTGAGAAGCTTGACGAGAGATGGCAAGCTCCTCGAAATTACGGCCGTGGCGAACAACGCCAAGGACACGCAGGAAGCCTTCATGAACGTCAAAACGGACCCTACCTTGAGGTACCCGGCCAAGCTCCCCGCGTGGACTTTTGGCGTGACCGCGTGCGGCTCGGACGTGCCCTACATCTTCTGCGGCGTGCCGCGGTTCAACCGGAGGCTGTTCGAGATCCAAACTTCCGAACCGGAGTCCGGGTTGGATTCTCCGTTGTTGGAAGGGCTGGACGGCCTCGTGAACATCACACGCAGTGCCTATACTCATGTGGCCTCGACGGACCCGATCACAGATGCCTTGTTCTTGCGCAAGTGGCTCAAGCACGAACCGCTCACGGACTTCCCCGATTCAGATACAGAGGCCTGGGTCGCGCTCCCGCTCGAGCAGGTCGATGGAGTCAGTGAAGCTAAGAAGACCGTACACTATGTTCATTTATCGAAGCCTACTGGATTGAGCGCCGAACTGCCCCGCGGTCAGGGCGAATTGTCGTTGCATGATTTCGAGAAGTTCGTGCGGTTCTTGCGGGAGCAGGAAGGTGGCTTGGACTGGAATCATTACGACCCCTTCTTGGATGAACACGTCGGCGTGGAAGGCTGCCACATGCAGATTCCCGCGGTCGCTTCGGCACTACTCGCAATGCATAATGACGGCGTGCCCATGCTTACTCGACGCGAGCTCGTCACTGATAACCCGGGCTTCTACGACACGGTCCAGGAAGAGCGCTTCTCCGTCTTCTTCGACCTGCCGGCGTCGACGTATGCTTTCCAACTACGCGTGAACTCGGACACGGACGAGCTGAAGTCGCACGGCCTGCCGGAGTTTTGCGACTGGGACTTCTGCCGGGACGAGGGCTTCGCAAACTACCGCGAGCCGGGGGCGCTGTTCATGGACCCGGCGGTCTGCGGCTTTTCTTCCTTGGAGTCGTAGGGGCCTTGTCTAAAATCGATGGAATCGTAGCTAGTCCACGCGCGCGCGCCGTCGATGCGAGTCACTATATGCCGCCTCGGTGCTAGGACTAGTCGGCCGAGTCCCGCGCGGAGAGGCGTCGTGCCGCGTGGGGAGGGCCGTCGGCGCCGTTGAACTTCAATCGTTTTTTTTGAGAAGCAGCGGCGAGTGCTCTCCGTCGCCGTGTGAGCTGCCCAACTTCCAATAGAGCTGCGCATCGAACTCGTTGGGTACTCCATCCCCACGGCGCACACGACGACGGTCGCAGCCCAGCCTTAAGACGTGCTGCGGGGCGCGCCGGGCAGCCTACAAACATGAGCGCCTGGAGCCTCGTAGGGCTGCTGATCGCGGTGCGCGTCGGCGCGGCGGCGGCGCGCAGCACGACGATGGCCCGGCGCGTCGACGCTGTAGATGAGGTACCCAACTTTATGAAGAAAGCGCGCCCGGCGCTGACGCGGCGGCGGCTCGACGTTGGCAGCTACTCATATAGCTACGCCTATGATGACGATTTCGCCTCAGATTCTAGCTCGTACGACTGCGTGAACGATGATTACTCTACCGATGAGGATAGCGATAGTTGCTCATCGTATTATGACGACAACCCAGGAGGTTGCGGATGCTGCGACGACTCAAACTTCGCGTCGAGCGTCCAGTGCTGCGCGTGCGGCGGCGGCACGAGGTGCGATATCGTCGTGTCCGGATCTTCCCTGCCCGAACTGCACGGGACCTACGAGCAAAAAGGATCGTGCAATGGCTACCCCCGCTGGAAGTGCGATGAAGACGGGGGGTGTGACCAGGACCAGTACATCTGGTACTACTCTGATTACTCCAATTGGCACATTGGTCCTGATTCCTGCTCGGGGTCGGCTGCAATTTACATCGGCGACCCCAGCGCCGACCCGGACGAAGACCTCGCCGCCGTCTCCGGCACGTGGACCGAGTGGACCGGGTCCGAGTGGCAAACGAACTCGGGCATCTCGGTCACGTGTGCAGGCGCGTACTATTCATACTCGTACTCGGGAGCGTGCACCGAGAATTGCGTCGCCTGCGACGGCCCGGGATACCTGGACTGCCTGCAGTGCGAGAGCGGCTACGTGCTCAACGACGCGGACGGCGACGGCGGGGGCTCGTGCCTGCAAGTTACTCCCGGCGACGATGACTTGGCCGACGATGACTCGACGCCCGGCGTCTGCGCCACTTCGTGGACCAGTGTATGGGACGCGGGATGCGAGACCGTGCAGAACGGGTGCCCGCCCGTGGCCTGCGACGGGCACGACGAGCGCTGGTGCTGCAACGAGGGCTTCGAGGAGAGCTGCGACGAGTGGCATTACTGCGGCAACGATGAAGAAATATTGCCTTCGCCTGACACCACGACCTGGACCGAACGCGGCTGGTGTTCCTCGGGCCTGGATGAACATCCGTCCATCGGCGATACGACTACCAGCGCGGAGGCGTGCTGGTCCGCTTGCCTAGAAGACCATGGAGACGCCCTCGTCGCGATCGACTGGGGCCTTGACGATCAGGAGTGTTACTGTCAAGACGATTGCGAGTGCATGGCAGATGTAGAAGAGGCTATGCACGTCGTCATTACGCGTGACGATATCACGGAGCTCCCGGCCGTGTGCACCTCCTCTTCTGGCTACTCATATAGCTACGCCTATGATGAGGACGCGGCGGCCGCCGCCGTCGCGGCCGCGTGGAGGGGCAAGGAGCTGTACGACTCCGTCGCCGACAGTGCATAAATCAAATTGTTGCGGCGCCATCGACTCACTGGTTTTTTTGCGCACAGGTCGCCGACAATATCGGCAAGCTCAAGGCGGTCGCGGGCTTCCTTCAGATCCTAGCCTCGATCCCCATCATACCCCCCACCTAGGACTGCAGCCCATATGGGATCTGCGGCTCGGAAGCCTAGCTAGGACCTAGCTAGGCCTAGCTAGGACCTAGGTCGTAATTAATTGTAAATATTAGGGCTCGGGGGGTGGGGAGGGCTGGTGGCGCGTGAGGCGTCCCGCGGGCCCGGCCTACTCCCTTCTACGGGAGCAGGCCGGCACACAACGTAGTGGTGGGCATCACCCATGACGAGGCCGGACCCGGCGCCGAGGGCGGCCTTCTTCTTGTTCGACTTGCTCTTCTTCTTCCTCGCGGGCGCGTCCCGGGGGCGCCGCGACCGGTTCTTCGTCACTTTCGTACGCGTCGAAGTCCTTGGCCGGGTCCCCAAACAAGTCGTCGTCGTCATCCTCCTCTTCCTGGCCGCGTTGCACGTCCGCCGTCGCCTCGCCTTCCGTCGCGCGCGGCGTCTCCTTCGGCGGATCCGGAATCGCACAGTCGACGTCCCAGACGCACGGGGCGTCCGTCTCGAGCTGAGCGAGCACGTTTTCCAGCACCAGGTTGTGGTAGAGCCGCGACATGGCGTTCACGAGCTTCACGCCGCGCGCCGCGTACCGCCCGGCGGTCATCCACTTCCGGATCGACCAGTCCGTCTCGGCCTTGCTGCTGCCGATCTAACTCGTCGTAGTCGTGCTCGGACCAGTTCTTGCTGGGCTTCGCCCAGCCGGCGCCCGGGTCTTCCAGAGGGCTTTCAGGAGGTGTTTTGCATGATGATGAATCCGGACTTGTGGACTTTGCGGTCTAGGGGCAGCGATAGCTGCCGCGCGGTAGCTTGCGAGAAGGCAGAGGCTCCGGCGGCAGCGAGTAGCACGAGGATTTTGCAGCACATTTGTGCGGCGCGGCGATGCGCGCCGGAGAGCGGCGCACGGAACCCGCACGCGTCGACGGCGTTCGACCGGGTACGTGTCCCGTCGTCGAAGAGCCCTTGCGGTACGCTTGTACGACTAGGACCAAAGATAGGGGAGAAGGGAACGCCCAGCTGCGGTCCGTCGGTGGACGAGTAGCCTGGCCAAGTACCTTTCTCGTGGTGTAGATGTCAAATGCATGTCGTTGACTATCGGTGGGGTAGTACGGGACTCAGCGAGACCGCTATCACAATTACTGGGGGCCCACGGGTAAACTTAATATTTGACGGCCGCGAGTGATTTTATAGTTGTATCGCCAGTGGAATCCTGTCAATCCCTGTCAAACAGGTCTCCGGGGGGGCGCATAGGGTCGGTACTATACACGTGCAAGCGCCTACGCCGCATGCGCCGGCGCTTCAATCATTTTTGGTCGATTTCTCTCAGCAGACCACTGGGTTTAGCAATGTTTGGGCCAAGGTTTGCTTCCACAGCCCTGCGAGAAGTCCGACGTCGACCGAGACGCAGTTCGTGAGGCTGTTGGGCCTCGACGACGTGACACGCGAGTGGGGCGACGAGCTCACGCGGAGAGACAAGCTCGTCACCAAGTTCCGCGCGCTCGACGCCGACGGCGACGACTCCCTGTCGCTCACGGAGTTCCGGCGCGTCGTCGTGAGCGCTACAAGACAAGACGCGACGGCCGACCAGAAGCTGGCGCTCGATCCTTAGATTGATCATCCCTATGCACATACGGAGCGCGCCGCCCGTGCGCCTCTACCCCTATATGCACGCCGCGCTCCGCAGCGCGCCGCTTGTGCCTCTCTCCCTGCGTCCCGAGATCGGCGCGTGATTCCAGACCGCCGGAGGGAGCCATCCCCACGTCTAAAAAATGATATACTTACTACTAGCTCGATCTACGCGGCACCGCGATCGTGCCGTGCGGGAGTGGTCCTCGGCGACCTGGGCCGTGACAGGTACTAGTACGATGAACGTACGCCCGCGCCCGGGGCACGCCATCAAGGCGACTACTTAACAACACACTTACCCGTAACACCGGATCGTGCTCCCATCGCTCTTCTTCGCCGACTGGCCGCCCTTCTCGAGGTACTGCTGGTGGTACGCCTCGGCGGCGTAGTACGCGGCTATTCTCTCAACCTCGGTCACGATGGGCCTCCCAGCGTCGCGCTGTTGTTCCCGCGCGATGACGGCCTCCGCCGTCGCTTGTTGCGCATCATCACTAAAGTAGATGCCGTGTCTATATTGCGTGCCCTGGTCGTTGCCGACCCTGTTGAGCGCGTAGCGGTTCTCGCCCAGCCGATCGAGCAGCAGGTCGCAGAGCCGCTCGTACGACACGCGAGACGGGTCGTAGCGGACGCGCACGGCCTCGGTGTGTCCCGTCACGCCCGAGCACACGGCCTCGTAGGACGGCGACGGATCCGCACCTTGCGCGTAGCCGACCTCCGTCCGTACGACGCCGGGCTCGCGCTGGTAGGCCAGTTCCACGCCCCAGAAGCAGCCTCCCGCGAAGGTCGCCTCTTGCAATGGACGGCCGTTCGGCGGCTCCAGTAAAGTTACGGTCAACGTGAGGTCCTCGCCCGCATAGAGATGATTGGCGTCGATGACCACCTTTTCATCTGACACGGACATGACGCGCGCGGTCGCGCCGTTCGAGAGGCCCGCGCGGTCGCCGGGCTGCATCCCTTTCGGGGCGTTCGCGGCCGGGACGGGAATCGGGCCCAGTCTTGGATCGCGCTCCCCGAAAGGTGCGCTCAGCGTCATCGTCTCCGGCGCGTCGACTGTTAACGAGGCGCCGTCCAATGCATTATGGAGCGCCGGTAAAAAGCCGCCGGCGCCGACCACGAGGTCCACTTCCTCCGTGTCGAACGTCAGCTCGGCGCCGTCTAAAGCCTGGCCGCCCGTCGTCGTCAACGAGTAGTGGAGGCGGACGTGGTCGCCGGCTTTTATTTGATGCTCGCCCGTCGCTTTGGCCGTGGTCGTCGCGCCGGCGTCAGGCGCTGTGCCGTCCTCCTCCCACCACTGGGCTCTCGGGCTCGGTGCGCGTGCACGCATTGCTGCCGGCGCGAAGGCATGACATTGCGTGCTGGCCAGCAGCACGAGCAGGGTGCTGCTGCTGAGATGCATCCTTGCACGACTCTTCCTCTGCAGGATGAGCGTTGCAGCAATAAATTGAATACGATGCGAACGCTAATCTTGCCACAATAGCTCGCACGCAAAAGGTAAGCCCTCAAGCCGCAAAGCTTGGCGTCCTAGTGTCCGTCTACGCTAGCTCATATGTTCTGGCTTAGTTGTTGTTTCACCTGGGGATGCGTCTGAGAGACGTATTTGAAGCGTCTGGTGTGCACTCGTTTATTCGAGGTCGCCGCCCCTCATCGCGGTGCAATCGGCGGCGGAGGCACGCATTGCGCTGAGCACGCGCGGGCGAGCTAAAAGGACAGCAGCGAGCGTTGCGCGCATCACTGCGAGGCGCAGCGCTCACAGCGCGAGCGAGACAGCGCAGCGAGGCGGGACGCGCAAGCGCTAGCATCAGCAGCAACCATGCGCTTTTTACACTTAGTCCGCCCGGTCATGGGCTTGCTGCCGGAGGTAGTAATGCCTGACCGCAAGATTCCGTGAGGCGCCCGCGTGCGAAACATATGTGCCGTCGCTGCCGCGCGGCGTCGACCGACCGACGCAGAGGGCCTCGACAGCTCGTCAGCAGACGCCGACGCCGCCGCGACCCCACGCAACACCGCGCGCAGGTTCCGCGAGAAGATCCTCTGGACCGTCACGACGTTGTTTATCTACCTCGTATCGTGCCAGATCCCCATCTACGGCGTCAAGACCGCGAAGTCGAACGACCCCTTCTACTGGATGCGAGTGATCTTGGCGTCGAACCGAGGGACGCTGATGGAGCTCGGCATCTCGCCCATCATCACGTCGGGGATGGTCATGCAGCTCTTAGCGGGTGCTCGACTCATAGAAGTGAATCAATCACTAAAGGAAGATAGAGCGCTGTTCGCGGCGGCCCAAAAGCTCTTCGGCATCCTCATCACGATCGGCGAGGCCGTGGCCTACGTCGGCAGCGGCATGTACGGCCAGGTCTCGGAATTAGGACTTGGTAATTGCGTCCTCATCGTGGCGCAGTTGGTCTTCGCGGGCTTCGTCGTATTGATCTTGGATGAGCTCCTGCAGAAGGGCTACGGCTTAGGCAGTGGTATATCATTATTTATCGCGACGAACATCTGCGAAAATGTGATCTGGAAGGCGTTCTCGCCGACGACGATTAACACGGGCAAGGGCACGGAGTTCGAAGGGGCTGTTGTGGCCTTCTTCCACCTCATGATGACGCGGTCAGATAAGGCTAGGGCTTTAGCTGAAGCACTATACAGGACGAACCTGCCCAATCTCACCAATTTACTGGCAACAGGCTTGATCTTTGTGGTCGTCATCTACTTCCAGGGCTGGCGCGTGGACCTGCCGGTCAAGTACCAAAAGCACCGGGGCCAGCAGGGCACGTACCCCATCAAGCTGTTCTATACGTCGAACATGCCGATCATCCTCCAGACGGCGCTGGTCAGCAACCTGTATTTCCTCTCGCAGATGCTGTACAACCGCTACCCGGGAGTATTTTTAATCGGCCTTATTGGGAAGTGGGGCAAGAAGGAGGGCTACGGCGAAGCTACCGTACCGGTTGGCGGTATCGCGTACTACATCTCGCCGCCGCGGTCGATGATGGAGGTCATCTACGACCCCGTGCACGCGGTCTTCTACATCATCTTCATCCTGGCGTCCTGTGCTGTTTTCAGTACGATGTGGATTGAGGTGTCTGGCTCGTCGGCGCGGGACGTGGCCAAGCAATTGAGAGACCAGCAGATGGTCATGAAGGGCCACCGCGACAGCGCGCTGGTCCACACGCTGAACCGATACATCCCGCCGGCGGCGGCCTTCGGCGGCATGTGCATCGGCGCTTTGACGGTCGTCGCGGACTTACTCGGAGCCATTGGCTCGGGCACCGGCATCCTCTTGGCGGTGACCATCATTTACCAGTATTATGAGATGTGAGCGCCCGCGCCGAAATTCGCTTCCCACGCCATCGACGCGTTACCGCGCCTCCGACGCAGGTTCTCGAAGGAGCAGGGCGAGCTGGCGGGTCTGATGTAGGCAGCTACAGGCGCTGAGCGCGCGGGTTCTTGGACTCGCGGGCCTCGGCGCGCCGTCATCGTGCGCGTGTGTGCGTGCCTTCGGGCGCGTACTCTGGAATTGCCAATCCCACGCGACGCGGGTTCTCAGGCCCGCGGGCGGTCAGACCCCCGGCACGCACCCTCCTCTTCCCCCGCGCACACTGGGCGCTCCCCGCATCCCTCTCCCCTATCGTCTAACTTGGCTTCGGCCATACCTGGCTTCTCTTGGCGCGCCGATCCCGTCGCGGCGCTCAAGTCGGCGCTCGGCGTGCCGCTGGTGCCGCTGGATTTGGCGCTGCGGGAGGCGTTCTCGTCGTCGTCGACGTTAGTGTATTATGCGGTGGCGCACCGACGGCGTACGGGAAGCGCCGCAAAACCCGTATCCCGGAGCTTTTCAAGCTATCTAAAGGAAGCCTGGTGCTCATATATATATCACAAAGCTAGTAGGTCTATCGATACACTAGGCCACAGCGGCGCGTCGAAGCTTCTTTTGCTTTGCTGTCGCCATCGAAGCTATACACGAAGGTTTACAATCGTCGCACAGATGCGACGCGCAGCCATGCTGCGCTCGGCGCTGAGGCGACAACCCCTCAGGCGCCGGCGGCCACCCATCAGCCTACCGCTGCTCAGAGCGTCTTCCTCAAACGCCGCGACCGCGCGGGACGCCCAGCTCGAAGAAGCCACAAAATTCGTCATACAAGTCGGCGCCGTGCGAGAGGGCAAGACTTATTCCCAGGACGTGGCGGAGGGCGTCGTCGCAGCATTAGCGGACCCCTCGTCAGGAGTACCGTTATCAGCCCTCCTCCCGACCTTAAAACAGCTCGCCGGCGCCTACGAGATCGGCGAGGACAACGGGTTAGATGCGTTAGCGGCAGCTGTGGAAAAAGAGGTAAACGAACGCGCGGGAAAACAGCTCGTCCACTGCTCGGTCAAAGCTGGAAGTGCATCCTTCGACGTGAGCGCCTACGAGGGCACGTCGCTCTACGACGTCGTTCGAAGAGGTGAAGACGACGGCGCGCGCGCTTTACAGAGTTATCTCGAGTGCGCGTGCTCCGGCGTCATGGCCTGCAGCACGTGCCACGTCTACGTCGCTCCCGAGTGGTTCTCGAGGGTCGGCGAGCCCTGCGAGGCGGAATTAGATATGCTGGACCTGGCGCACGAGCCGCGCGAGAACTCGAGGTTGGGGTGCCAGCTGGTGTTCACGCCCGACTTGGACGGGCTGGAGCTGGAAGTGCCGGACGGGGCGAACAATTTGATGGACCACATTCCCTTTGAAGATCGGGGGTGACGACGCTTGTGTAAAGTTTCTTGTTTGTGATCGCGGTCGCGGCGTCGCGGCGGCACCAGGTCGCGGCGGTCGCTTCGACGAGGCGTCGGGACGCGTGCCAGGCTCTCGCCGCACGTATCGACGGCGGGCGTCGAGACCTGAGTTTGATGCCAGCATGCAGGTCATCGAGTTTGAGGCCGCTAAACGCGTGGATTTTCGCATCGATAATGGCGCTCTCCAGGGCGATGAGGGTCCTGACGTGCCTCGCACTCGCGTCAGGCTTCGCGCCGCCGGCGCCGGTCGCCGTGAGGCGACAAACTAAGCAATTGATGAAAAAGCCCTCGCCGGTAGCAAGCGGCGTCCGGTAGTAAGCCGTCGCGGCGATGGCGTCGCGGCGGGAGTAGTTCTCAGCACGCCGTCGCGGCGACGCATCGATCGAAGGACGCTTTGAAAAGACGCGCCACCCGCGCAGGCCCTCGAGACGGGTCCCCTGCCGGGCCTCTCGGAGACGAACTACAAGGTCCTCGCCGGCGTGACCGCGCTAGGCGTGGCGGCGCCGGCGCTCCTCTTCGTGAGCAACGTCGTCCTGCCGGAGATGACCAAGTGCAAGCCCGTGCATACGCCCTCGTGCCCTTCGGCGCAGACGGGGTCCAGTCGAAGGCGCTGAATAAGTTGACGTCGTCGGCCATGCACCAGGCGAGGTCCTGGTCGAAGGACGAGGCGACGTAGAACATGTATCTCATATCCGTGACCTTGTCGACCCGCCAGCCGCCCAGTGGTTGGTTAAATGACGAGGCACCCTGGAACATCCTGTGCATATCCGTGACGTTGTCTACTACCCAGTTGCCGATCTGCTGATTGAAGGACGAGGCTTCTCTGAACATACTATGCGTATCCGTGACTTGAGATGTGTCCCACTCACTTATGTCTTCGTTAAAAGACGCCGCGTCCGCATTGCATAGACTCGAGCTCGAGTCTGTGTCTGCGCAAAACAAATACGACATGTCCGTCACCCCTGAAGTCTGCCACGTGGAAATGTGGCCGTACGTCACCTCGGCGGCGGCGCTGTCCGAGAGCCACGCGGCGACGGCCGTGTAGATGTTGCTGTCGGTCATGATGCCCGTGAGCTGGCGCCGTTGCGGCGCCACCCCGGTCGCCACGCTCGGAAAATTGTTGTTCTTGCTGCTCGGGCCTCGGGCCATTGCGCTCGGAGCAGCGTCTCGCGCCGCCGCCGCGCGGACAAAGCCCTCTGAGACTAGCAGATTGCCAACGACGGGCATGTGCCAGGACGAGGACCGCACCGAGATGCCACGCGCAGGGACTGCCGAAGCGAGAAGCAGCGCGCCGACGAGGCAGCATCGCCTAAGGGCTGCCCTGTTGCTCATGGCAGCAGCACGCATTTTGGGTGGGCTGCGTCCTCTTCGTGTGCGCAGAGGGGAGTTGGTACTCCAACGCGTCGGTGCGCAGCTCTGTTGGAAGTTGGGCAGCTCACACGGCGGCGGAGAGCAACTCGCCGTGCTTCTCAAAAAAAACGATTGAAGTTCAACGGCGCCGACGGCCCTCCCCGCGCGGCACGACGCCTCCCCGCGCGGGACTCGGCTGACTAGTCCTAGCACCGCGGCGGCATGTAGTGACTCGCATCGACGGCGCGCGCGCCCCGACCGCGCGGACTAGATACGATTGAACCGACTCAAAGTAAGGAGAAAGCCTAATAAAATTACGGCGTTCTGGGAGGCGGCGGCCGCGGCGGCCGCCGTGCAGCACCTTTCTGGGGCGGCGACGGAGCGATGGCGCTTTCCACCCTTCCTAGAACCGCGCGCTCCCACGCCTGCAAAGCGCTCGACGCCACGTCGAACAGCTCGCTATCGTCTCTATCTCTCAAAAACAACCGGACGTACGACTCGGCGAAGTGCCGCGGCACGAACGTCGACACTTGGGAACCTTTCAGGACTCGCCCGACGGCGTCGTCGCTCCGCAAATAGAAGAAGACTCTTTCGACAGGATTGTTATCGCCCATGCCGAACGTGATGTCGAACCTCGCGGCGTAGGCTCCCGCGAGCAATGCTTGCCGTCCGGCTGGCGTCGAGTGCCGCGCGATCGTCCGCAACAAGTCGTCGTCGGACAACGCGCAAATGTCATCTCGTTTCAAAGGAGGCACGACGACCTCGCCCACATGCTTGTGGAGTTGGCGCCGCCTCACATGTTCCAGCAACTCCGCTGCCGGTCGCAGTGACGCGTCCGTCGTTGAGAGGAAGTCTATTACATCAAACACGCTATCGGTCAAGGTCGCGTACGCATCTAACGAATCCATGGCCTCGGACAGCTTCCTACCGCGGTAGGTAAATCCCGATTCTTCCGCCAACAGTAACACGTCACATAACATCCTCTCAATAGCGTTCGACACGCGGTGTTGATACGCTCGCTTGTGTAGGTTAAAGCGCGTGCGGAACAATTCATAGACGTTCCAGACCTCCTTCTCCGGGTAGGCGACCGTATAGATACCTCTATCATCAGGAATCGCGCGCGCGCACATGATGAGCCTATCCGAGTCGAAGGACACGGGGATGTTGAGGTGGAAGGCGTCGCGCCGGAAGTAGTCGAACTTGTCCACATCAATTCCATTCCGGTGATTCGAGACGATCTCGAAGAGGAAATGCTTTGCGGCGGGCAGGCCCCGCCACTGCCAATTTTGAGGAGCGTCCGACTTGTCCCCAAAGATCAATTCCTGGACGAAGTGCACGTCGTCCTCTGTGAGTTCATACCGCCCGAACACAGCCGCAACTTTCTGGTCGCGAACGACCTTCGCGAAGAGCGCCGCCGACGCGTGCTCGTGCCGCCATTTCAAATGGGGCCGCCGCATGCGCACGAACTTCTCAAAGGTGTGACTCAAGGGACCGTGGCCTAGATCGTGGCAGAGCCCGGCCAGCTTGACACATAAAATCTCCCGCTCCGTAATGTGCAACGGCGGCGACACTTGATGAGAGAGTTTCTCGACCAATTTCCCGGCCAGAAACGACACTCCTAAAGAATGCGCAAATCGAGTATGCCCGGCCGCGGGATACACATATTCCGTCGGCCCGAGCTGCTTCAAGCCTCGCAGTCTCTGAAACTCTGGTGTGTCCACCACGGCGACGCAGCACGGGTGCAATTCCACATGTCCTAAGACCGCATCATTAAAGACCTTGGGCTTGTCTGCTGGTGGTGGCGTCGGCTCGGTGCGGGCGCGCTTCCTCGACGTCGCGGCCATGCGGCTGGAAACTAGCCTCTGCAGCCAGGGAGCTCTGCCGCGCCAAGGGGTGGCGAACGCCTCGAAGAAATGATGCGGCGCACTGCTGCGGGTACTGGCGCAGAACTTAACGGCAAGGGTGCTTCACGCAGGCTGCACGATGGGCCAACGCCAATACCAAGCAGCTAGCGGTATGTAAGACACTAGCTATTGCGCTCAAGTGTTGTGGAGTTTGCGCCCGACGCGCCATACCGCAACAAACACAAGTGGACTGTACGTAAACTAGACCCATCTTACCCGCAACTAAGTCCAGCACTCTACACCGGCTCCGGCGTCGGCCCCTTCCACGACACGAAGATGCCATCCAGAAACTTGCGTAAATCTTTTTTGGTGATGTTGCACGACTGGCGGATCTGCGACGCGGTTAATGAAACCGCACCGACGTCGTTGCCCGTGAGCTCGATCTGGTCCTTCACGTCGGCCGTGCGCGTGTACTCGACGCCGTCCAGTAAAGGAATCCTCCGGACCTTCTTGTCGCCGAGGAAATTGCGGATCTCGACCGTCCTGCCGGCCAGGGACACGTTGATCGGGAAATGGGAATACACGAAGCGCATCTTGTAGAGGAACCCTCTGGTGACACCAATCACCATATTTTCCACGTGGGAGCAGATCGTGCGGATCGTCGCGACCTGCTTGCGCGTGCCGAACCAGAGGTCCACGCGCAGCTTCTGCGGCGAGACCATGCGCATGTCGAGCTGGACGTGCTTGAAGCTCCGCTCGAGCTTGCCGCGCGGCCCGGTCACCGTCACGTGCCTCGCCTTGCACGTCACCGTGACGCCGTCGGGGATGTCGAGGAAGCGGGTACCCAAAATGGTCTTCATGACTGCCGCTCTTTCACTCCACTTGTTCAGTGGCTGAAACGCCGGACCGTCAACTACGTGTTATCGTCTAGACGACGTGGTGGGTCGACCTGCGGAGCGGCGAGACGGTGACGGCGATGCGGCGGCGGTGGTTCGCGCGTGTCGCGCCTCTCTGCGTCGACGCGACGCCGCGGCGGCGTCTATGTGTGTGTCGTCGAGCTTCGCCGGCTCCCGCGGGCCGCGGCGGGCTCCGGCAGCGGCGTATGGCCCGAGCTCGCTTTATGGCGATTTTGGGCTACGCGCACGCCGCGGCGCGTTCCAGCTCTGGCAGTCGCTCGGCGAGAGGTTCGAGGTGTCCGCAGCAGCTGTCAATCGTCTGTTTGCAAGGACACGGCCAAGCACGAGCAATATGCAAGTCGATTGCGATGCTCGCTATTTGGTGAAGCCTAGCTTTGACATACTAGAAAATTTTTACGAAAGCTCCCAGAAAGCTCTGTTCGGAGCCGGGACGCACTCCCGGCGAGCGGTGGAGTGGACGCTTTAGCTGAGGAGCCGCAAAAATTGCCATGCAAAAGGCTGTGTGATCAAATTGATCAATCCGAGCGGCAGCGGCGCGCAAAAACGCGCGCTCCGGGCCGCATGACTCCGATACTCATCCTCCACCGCGCTGCGGCAGCGTGACCGCGACGTCTAGAGGCTGCCCCACACCATGCGAGTGCTCCTCCTCCTCGTCATCACCGCATCGTATGCGGTAAAACCGAAGCGCTCGCCCGAAGAGATCGCAGATATGCAGAGACAGCAACGGTGCGCCCACCAGGAGACGCGCTGGCTGTTTGTGAGAGGCTTACATCATAGTGGCACGACACTCATGAGAACCTTGCTGGCAGCCCACAAGGATGTGGGCGAAGTCAAGACACCGGGACCAGGTGGAGAGGGCCAGCACGCCCAGGACGTCTTTCCCATCGTGTCGAAGCGTGGTAATGAATGTGACGACACGTACCGGTGCGGTTCATTTGTTGGCCCCGAGATGAGTAGGGAAAAACTTTGCGGGGGTTGGATACGATACGCCACAAACAAGGACGCTCCGATCCTCCTGGAGAAGACGCCGGATCTGATGGTGCCATTTTTAGGCCGTTATTGGGGCGAAATTGCTTCACTGGCGGTCGTGGTGAGGCATCCACTCATGTGGCACTACCTGAGACCTATACGATGGCACAATCACCAGTTCCACTGCCGGAATGAAGGAAGACCGTTTCTTAGACCTCAGAGATGTGCCGCGTTATGGCTAGGTTTACATACGCAGCTGCTCCAGGACGTCACTAACAATGCCTGGACGGGCTCCTGGGCCTTGTTGAGATATGAAGGGTTGTCCCACTCAGCGTTGACGGATGCTGCTGAAATCCTGAACGTGAACTCGTCTCGATTCACGTCAGAACCATCAATTGACGACACGCGGGTCTGGGCCACCAACACGACCTGGGGGGACAGCCCCTTCGCGAGCGGGGCGTGTCAGGCCGTCTCAACAACTATTCTACAGTACTTCGGCTACGACCTCGCGCAACCGAAGAAGTCGCGCGTCAACTTAGTGATGTATGACGTCGACCACGACGACGCGACGACGGCGGCGAAAGCTCTCACGGAGTTCGTGGCCTCTTCACAATTCTCAGAGTGCCTCCGCCACGGCGGGCGCGGCGACGCCGCGCACGGCGCGCTTGTCGCTGCAGAACCAACATCTAGCACGAGCACCGGAGCGAAGGAAGACCTCGACCTCGCCAAGGTCGTGCGGCGCATGAGTCGAGACGGCTTCACGAAGCACAGGAACGCCCACGGGTCGTACTACGTGAAGCCGGGCGATTCGCAGCGGTACCGGTCGCGCGTGGAGGTCGCGCGGCGCTTCTACCCCGAGCTGTTTGGCGGCACGGCCCCTGCGCCGCCGCCGCCCCCGGCGCCTGTACAGGCGCCGCGCCCCGTCTCGGACAATGCCTTGTTCGGCGGCGGCCGCCTCTGCTTGGACAGATGCGCCGGGAAGCAGGGCCCCTGCGCGTTCTGCGGCGCCGGGGCTTGCTGCCGCAAGAATGACGGAAACGCGCCGGTCGCGTGCGCTTCCGGAATTTTGGGCTGCCTCGACGACGCGTGCTGCGTGGGGCCCTTCGGTATTGGTTTGCCGGACGCGGCGGCTTCTATGAAACTCGTCGCGGCGAAGAAGGCGTGGGACGCTGGCGGCGAGGCGGACGCGTTCGCGCGGGCGAAGGTGAAGGTGCTTGCTGGGTCTTAAGGGTGTTTGTTGTGACTTCTAGATGACTTTGCTCGCTAGTGTCTTACAACCCGCTAGCTAATGCTCTCACGGCGCTGAGCATCTGCGGCCCAAAGCTCTGCGAATACGCGCTGCGGGCCAGTGTGGCCTCGCGCAGAGACGTATTTTACTGTCACCCAGCGGCTGGGAAAAGCGCGGCCGCCGCCGAGCACTAGAGGCGACGTATCCAGAAGGCTACCTTTTTGGCCCACCCATTGCGCCCCATTGCATCGCGGGAGAAATGGACCTCGACGCCTGGCTCGCCGAGCATATTGGCTGCGAGCAGCGGCGCGCGGAAGTGCGCGCGAACGTCGACTGTCTGAGCGACTTTAGAGTTGCCTCACTCGAGGACCTCGAGGACGCGCTCGGCCTCGCCGCGTGGCCGGCCCTGCCGAAGAAGCGGTTCCTGGACGCGTGGCGGCGGCTCAAGGACGGCGAGGACGAGGCCGCCCCCTCGAGTGAACCTCAGCGCCCGCGGTCCGCGCCGGTGTCGGCGGCCGAGCTCGCGGCGGCGGCGCGCGGGCCGCCCGACGAGGATGAGGAGGAGGAGGACGAGGACGACGAGGAGGAGGACGTCGGCGGGCGAACTCCTTCGAGAAGTGACAAGCCTCGCGGCAACCCTCGGGCCTGCGAGGTCCGCCGCGTCGGCGACAAGAAGTGGCGCCGATTCGCCTCGCGAGCGGACGCTGTGGCCGCGTTCCCCGACCTACGGAGTCAGAGCACGGTCTCAAGGCTGATAACGGACAACCCAAGGAAAAGACCAACGGACCGAGCTCCGGCGGACATCCGCGAGCGGTTCGAAGCGCGCAACGTCCCTCGGCGCCCGCGGTCGCCACCGGTCAGCGCGGCCGCGCTCGCAGCGGCGGCGCGCGGGCCGGAATCGGACGAGGAGGACTCCGAGGACGAGGACGAGGACGAGGACGTCGGCGGGCGAGCTCTAAGCGCTGCTACTTTAAAGAACCAGCGTGCCTGCGAAGTCCGCCGCGTCGGCGACAAGAAGTGGCGCCGCTTCGCGTCTCGGAAAGACGCCGCCGCGGCGTTCCCAGAATTGTCCGGGTCTGATATCTCGAAGTTGATAACTAAGCCGACCAAGGCCCGGCCCTCCGTGCGCGGCATGTACGAGGCGCGAAGTGTAGGCGGCGAGTCGCGGTCGGCGCGCGGGGCCCGAGACTCGGACTCAAATGATGAGGAGGACTCGGACGACGACGACGATGCGCCGACGACGGCGCGCGGCCCGAGAGGCCAGATGGCCTGTGAGATGAGACGCGTCGGCGACAAGAAGTGGCGGCGCTTCGCCTCTCGGGCGGACGCGGCGAGGGCGTTCCCAGGACTTTATAGTTATGATATCGGAAACCTCATCAATAACAAGAAGACCCGGCCCTCCGTGCACGGCGTGTACGAGGCGCGAAGTGTAGGCGGTGAGTCGCGGTCGGTACCGGTGTCCGCGGCGCGCGGGGCCCGAGACTCGGATTCAGATGATGAGGACGACGACGACGACGACGAGGGCGCCACGCGCGGCAAGATCATCGAGATGCGCCGCGTCGGCGACGCGTCGTGGCGCAAGTTCGCCCACCGGGGGGATGCCGCGAGGGCGTTCGGCCTCAGCCGTACCAGTGTCGAGCGACTCGTTAACAAAACGTCGGATGCGCCCTCGAGTAGATTCGAGGCGCGCCAGGTCGACGGCGACATCGCGGATGTGGAGGACGTATCTCAAATTGAGGTAAAAGTCGTGGCCGTTGGCGACCGCGTCGAGGTGGACGGCGAGCCCGGCGTCGTCACGTCGATCGGGGAGAATCAGCATCGCTGTTGGAAGGTTCGACTCGACGGCGAGGCCGAGGCCCGGAATTGCCGCAGAAGCCAGATCACGAAGGATGGGTCGCCGGTCGCCGCGCCCGCGCCCGTGCCCATGGCAGACGACGCGGACGACGACGAGCCGCGCCCGCCCGCGCCGCCGCGGACGTTCGCGCTGCCGTCGCTGCCGGCCGACGCCTGCGAGGTCCGGCGCGTCGGCGACGCGGACTGGCGGCGCTTCGCGAGCCGCGCCGACGCCGCGCGCGCGTTCGGGGGCGTCCACGGCCTGGACGCCGAGCAGATCGGGAAGTTGATCGACGACAGCCCGGTCAAGCCGTCGAGGGAGCGGCCGAAGCGGGCCATCCGCGATAACTTTGAGGCGCGCGCCGCCGCCGACACCGGCGCGCCCTTCGAGGCCGTGCCTTTGGAGGACGAGTGCGTCATCTGCCAGAAGTCGACGCTCGAGGCCGACGACACGCCGATGCAGGACGTGCTCCTCTGCGACGTCTGCGAGGGCGACGTGCACCTCGCGTGCACTTCATTATCGAAAATACCTGGTGAGGCAGACGCTTTCACGTGCAGCGCGTGCGCCGCGGCCCAAGGGGACGACGCGGCGCCCGCGCCGATGGACGCCTCGCCGCCGGCGCCCGCGCCGGCCGCGGACGACTTCGACGAGCTGTACTCGGAGGTGGCCGCAGCGGCGCCCGCGGCGGCCGCCGCCGAGGTGGCCGCGCCGGGGCCCGCGCCGGCGGCCGCTGACGGCGAGGACTGGGGCTCGGCGAGCTTCGGCATGTCGACGGCGGCGCCGGCGCCCGCGCCTGCGCCTGTGCCTCCGACCGCTGCGCCGGCCGACGACAAAGCCCCGCCCGCGAAGCGCGCGCGCCTCGACGACTTGCTCGGGCCGCCGCCCGCGGAAGAAGCGCCGGCCCCGGCGATCCCCAACGACGGCTCCTTCCTCGCGACCATGAAACAGGCGCTCGCCGCGCCGCCCTCGCCAGCACTGCCCGCGCCCGCGCCGCCGGTCCTGCAGCCCATTGCGCCGCCGCCTTCCATGACGCCGACGAACGGCGGCGTGCTCCAGCCCATCGTTCTGGCACCAAGCAGTCCGCCGCCGCCGCCGCCGGTGTTGCCCTCGTCGCCGGCCTCCTGGCCGACGCTGTCTGACGTGGACAAGAGCCGCGTCGAGGCGCTGAGCCACAGCTGCCCCGCGGCGGCCGGGCGCCTGGCCGAGGCGCTCAGCCGCCGCGCGGCGCCCGCGGCGCCGACGTCGCCGCTGGCGCCCGCCGCGCAGCAGCCCGCTCCGCCGGGCACGCCGGACGCGAAGTTCCAAGAAGCCGTCGCGATGCTGTGAGACGCTCGCTAGTTAGTGTATAAGAACCCCGTGAACCCTTAATACTACACACACACACACACACACATATACATATATATATACATATATATATATATATACGGATTCCTAGTATGTCGATACGCTAGATCACTAGGTCTCGCGGCTCGCCAAAGTACACCAGCGATTAGCGCCGCCATCTACCGTACAAATAGTACATCATATCAACTCCAGCCCAGTTTTCATCCACACTCGACGGAACCGGAGTCGACGGCCCGCGCTCGGAGGGCGGGAAGAGAATTCTACTAGACAACTCCCGAGTTTATGTTCGTTTCCTTCCGTTTGTTAGTGGTAGAGTCCATTTAGGCCGGATCAGCGGCTACTGAGCTATTTTAGATATTCCGTTTGAGCCGCGCGATTCGGCGACTTCGAGCCCCCGGGTTTATACAAAAACACGCCAAGAACCTACACCTGCGAGTATCAGCGACGCCACTACCCAGATGGACTAAAATCCCGTTGTTCGATTCACGATCGATTGACTTGCCCGTTCTCCGCGGGCGACGGTGCGTACGCGGGGCACTGGAAAGGCCCCAGACCCGTGAGTTGTAAAATAAATTTGCGTTTCAGGCGCTTTGGTCCTAGGACGGGCCATCAAATCGGCCCGACTGCCTACTACAATGCTCCGAGACCCCAAGATGCTCGGCGCTGGTCGTCGGTCTCTCGTGCCCACGATCTCCCTTAAATGGGGCACAATGACTAGACCTGGGACCATCAGCCCGTGTACCATCACCATGGACCATGACGCGATCATTTGTTTCATGATCGACGGACTTGCGCGAGGTCCAGATCAAGATGTTCACGTCCCGAGCGTGGTCGGCCCAAAGTACCCTTCTCGTGGTGTAGATGTCATATACTTGTAGTTGACTATCGGTGGGGTAGTATGGGGTCCAACGAGACCGCTATTACGATTCCTTGGGGGCCTCGGGTAATTGACGTTTTTTACGGGGACGGGGCGCCATCGGGTCCAAATTATTTACTTTTTTCGGGGCCAGCTTGGCTCCTGGAGGCCTGTCGGGGTAGGCCTGGTTGTGGGTAAGCTCCTACACCGCATACGCCATCGATGCGGCGGCCTAGTGCTCTCTGGAAGCAAACTTGGCCAAAAAATGCTAAAGCTCCGCGGGCTGCTGAGAGAAATCGACCAAAAATGATTGAAGCGCCGGCGCATGCGGTGTAGGCGATTGCACGTGTATAGTACCGACCCTAGGCGACCCCAGGGACACCTCCCCGGCAAGGATTGACAGGATTCCACCGGCGCGGCCGCCATGGTGGCGTCGTCAATAGCGCGAATTAAAAAAATCAATTTTTTCGGCCCCCAGTAAGTGTCCCATTGATCTCTTTGGACCAGTAGCGAACTGAACGGTACTCCAACGGCTGCATGTCGCCATCTCCAACCTAGTGCGTCAATACGTAGCTCATTATGCAAGGGCCTTACTTTCAGCCTTTGTGAGTCCTTATTTGCGGGCGTTTGCGCCCAAGTGATAGAGGTACACACTGAAACTATGGATGCTGCCGCAGAGCTTGACGCCTGGCTCCAGAAACACGTGGCCGAGCCGCGTAGAACGCTGGCACGCGAGGCGGCCTCAAACCTCTCGGACTTTGCGACGTGCGAAGAGGCCGATCTAGAAGACGTCCTCCAGATCTCCACGTGGCCGCCGCTCGCGCGCAGTCGCTTTCTGCGGGCGTGGCGGAAGCTCAAAGGAGATGAGGCTGGAGTGACCACCGTCGCGACGCAGACGGACATCGTCGGACCGGTGGTACCTGTCGCCGCGGCCGCCGAGCCGACGGGCTCCTCGAGTGCCGCCGCCGCAGCTGACGACGACGACTTCGAAGCCTCGAGCGACGACGACGACTCCGACGGTGGCGCGCGCAACGGCCCGAAACGGCGGCGCGGGGGCGCGACTTCGAGATTTGTGGGCGTATCAAAGCAAAGAAACAAATGGGCTGTCCGGTACGCGGACCGACAAGGAAACCGTCACACCGTCGGTACCTACGACGATGAGGAAACCGCTGCGCTCAAATTCAACGAAGCCATCATCGCAGCCAAGCTGACGGACATTCGCGCGATAAATCCCGTCGTCGACGGCCGGCCGCAGCCCAAGCAATTGCCGCGTGATAAGAGCGCGGCCCGCCCGCCGGATCCGCAGCGCGTGAAGACGACGGGCTCGTCGTCCCAGTACTATGGCCCATACTGGGATTCGCGCAGACGGCGCTGGCAGGCGAAACTCAGCGACGCGGCCGAGAAGACTGTTTGGACTGGCACCTACAACGACGAGGAGACGGCCGCGCGCGAGTACCACGCCGCGGTGCATCGCTTTGGATTGCAGGCCATCCGTAAAACCTCCGTCGACGCGTCCGGCGCGCTCGTCCCGAAGCCGAAGCTGTCGCCGAAGAAGTCGCCGCCCCATCTGAAGCCGGCGGCGGCGTCGTCATCGCCGCTGCCGCCGAAGGCGAAATCGCCCGCGCCGGCGCCCGCGCCCGCGCCTCCGGCCCCTGTGCCGCCGCCGCGCGTCGTCGTGACGCGGAAGCCGATGCCGGCCGCCAGGCCCCCCGCGCCGCCGCCGAAACAAAAGTTCGTCGTCCGCGTGCCGCCGCCGAAGGCGTCGCCCGCCGCGGCGCCCCAACCGAAGAAGCCGTCGCCGCCGCCGCGGCCCCGCACGCCCCCACTGGAGGCCTTCCGCAAGCACGCCGGGCCGGACGGCGACCGGAAGGCAGCCGTTGCGGCCTTCTTTGCAGCGCAGAGATCCGACGAGGCGCCGCCGCCGAAGAAGCGGCGCACGGATGACGACGCCATCGGGGACGGGGAGGTCCTCTCCGAAATGTTCTAAGATACACATTGTTACCAGTCCACAACAACAGGCTTCTTTTGACGCCGCCGCGCGGTCTCCTCCTCGCGACTCCGCAACCGCTTCTCCTTTTTCGTGACGGCGGGGCGCCGCGGCTTAATCAAGCCGTCATTCACTGTGAGAGACACGCCCCGCTCCTGGAGCGCCAGCGCCAACCTACCTATATTTCGGGCATCATCTAGACCGCGGTGCGGCGTCCCTTCAAAGGTCAACCCGACCTTTGCGAGCTTCATCTGCAAGTTCCCCGGCCTTCTCAAATCAAAATGCACCATGAGGTGCCGTCCTATATCCACCCAGGACCGCCACGCGTCCCGCACGCGTATCTTCTTCCTGCGACATTCCGCGAGTAGAAAATGCCGCAGGTCGCTCTGGCAGTCCGCAGCTAATGAATAATTCTCTCCCGCAAACTCGTCCAGCCAACCACAAAACTTGACCAAAACTCGATCCAGTGTCTCGGCTTTATCAACAGTAGCTTGGTCGATGCCCGTCAAGCGAGTACAAAACTCAGAAAGCACCGACCGCTCCGTCGGTTTTACAAATGCGTGGAAGTGGCGCACCTCCCTTCTCGTCCGCATGTCTAGGAGCACGGCGGGGAACTCGATGATCTCGTGTATGTATGGTTCCTCCTGGTCCTCGCAGGTGCACTCGAAGTCGACGACTACCAAGTAGCGCGGCCCACTGCTCGCGTCGACGCGTCGGCGTCTGTCCTCCACCTCCTCCTCGGCGAGGAGCTCTTCGGCGGCGCGCGCGGCTCTCGCTTCGTTGACTTCTGCCCTTGCCTTTCGGGCGACGAGCAGCAGTACTGCGCTTGCTGCTGCGACTGCCCACAGCTGCATGGTGCCAGCACGAATTGCTCAAACTTGCACAGCACCGAAAGCTGTCATCAATATGGCACGCGCACGGCAAAGTGGCAACTGTCTATGGCTATGGCGAGAGCTCTGGCGTTTTGCTCTCTCTGTGCTGCGCTTGCTAGTGCCTTACAGGACGCTAGCGCGGACAGTGCTCGACAACTCGAGACAGCCCTCCCAATCGGACCCGCCGACGCAATGCTCGGCTCGATTTTTGGCACAGAACGCGATACGCAGCGCGCCTCCGTGAAAATTCAGCATTCGCGGGCGCTGTCACGCACGCGCGCGCCCCCAGGAAGGCGCAGGCAACGCGCGCGACTCGGACGATGCGGCCTTCGGTCGCCGTCGCGCTGGCGCTGGCCGCGGGGGCCCACGGAGTGGCCGTGGAGTCAGAGCACCCTGCTCATGTTTTTGGGAAAGGCGGCGCCGGCGTCTACCGCGGCCCGCCGTCGGCCACCGGCAACGCGCCGCCGCCGCCGCGCCTCGGCAAGGACGGCGCGGGCGTGCTCAAGGGCCCGGAGACGGTCCCGCGCCTCGGCAAGGACGGAAGCGGGATCTACAAGGACCTCGACGCCAGGACCATTGCAGCGAAGTTCGCCTGGTACGTGGAACAATTCGAGAAGACCTACGACATCGAGGAGTACGCCGAGCGGCTCAAGGCCTTCTCTGTAACATTACGGGAGATCCAGCACCACGACGAGGCCCATAAAGTGGGGCTGAACCGCTTCTCCGACTGGACCAGTGACGAATTCGAGGCCTATCAAAAGTACAAGCCCTCTCCCAAAAGACACGCGCCGCTCGTCCACAAGACGACGGGCAAGCCGCTACCGACGGAAGTCGACTGGCGCAAGGAAGGTCTAGTAGCCGACGTCAAAGATCAAGGTTCGTGCGGGTCGTGCTGGACCTTCAGCACCGTGGCGTCCATCGAGGGCGCCCATGCCAAGAAGCACGGCAAGATGGTCACGCTGTCGGAGCAGAACCTTGTTGATTGTGTGAAGAAGGATAGACTACCTTCCGACGCGGAGGACTGCTGTGCGGCCCGTGTGGAAATTTCACGTCGTCCTCCACGCTATCGACGCGACGCCTGCTCGATGGCGTCATCGCCGAGTGCACCCGACACTGGTTGATTTCCACGCAGGCGATGGGTGTGATGGGGGGCTCATGGACAACGCCTTCGACTACATCATCAACAAGCAGAAGGGCGGCATCGATACGGAGGCGGCGTACCCGTACCGCGGCGAGGACGAGCGGTGCGCCTTCGAGTCGAGTGACGACGGCGCGAAAATCTCGAACTGGACCGACGTTCCCAGTGGCGACGAGGACGCGCTCATGGACGCGCTGGCCACGGTCGGCCCCGTGTCGGTCGCTCTGGACGCGTCGCGCCAGTGGCAGACGTACGCCGGTGGTGTACTCACGCCGCGGAAGTGGCTCGGCGGCTGCTCGTCGGACCCGGCCAAAGCGGACCACGGCGTCGCGGTCGTCGGCTACGGCACGGATTCTACGAGCGGCGACTACTGGATCGTGCGCAACTCCTGGGGGTCCGCGTGGGGCGAGGACGGCTATGTACGGCTCAAGCGGGGCGTGAACGCATGCGGCGTGGCGAACTTCGCGTCGTACCCGACGGCGAAGTAGTTTATCTCCTGTGACGTGTCTATAAGCATCATCTTCCCTCGTACTAGTCCTGTCCATCGGCACGCCATCGCCGCGACCCCGAGCTTCGTTTGTACACAAATAAATTTAGCTTACTCGCGGAACAGCGCGCCGCGGCCGTAGTACGGGTCGACGGCGCGGACGCGGCGCCGGGGAGGCTAGGCGTCGTCGTCGTCCGCCTCCGCCTCGAGGAGCGCGTGCATGCTCTCGATGGCCTTGGCCCGTAAGGCGGCGAGGAAGCTCGACACGTACTCCTGGTCCTTCTTCTCCTCGCGGGCTAATACTTTGGCCGTCTGCCGTTCGATGGCCTCGACGCGTTTTTTTTCTTCGTCGGCGGAGCTCTCCCTGACACGTTCGTCGTACCGCGGTTGCTGAGGCTTCAAAGACTGCGGCTTCAATGCCGCGGCGCGCGTCTGGGCCTCGTCGGCCTCGAGGAACTTCGAGAACTTCGTGCTTCGCAGCGCAGCCTTGACCTGGTGGTAGTTCGAGATTTCTTGCGCTAAACTCTTGGCGTGGATGCGATAGACCGTTTCTGACGACGTTGTCGCGCGACACCTCGGCTCGCGCGCCGCGTCGCCCAGCGCGAAGGTCCGGAGCCGGTCCAACGCTTGTGGATCGGCGACGAGGTCCTCGTAGTAGACCATCTTCGCGCTGATCCCGGCCTTCTGGACCTTCTCGTGGAAGCGCCCGAGCTGTTGATATGACCGTTCGATGATGCGGAGGTGCCGCAGCAACACCTTGGGCTCCGTCCGCAGCCGGACCTTCTTACTCGCCAGGACTTGGGCCTGCTTCTGAGACGGGTGCGCGAGGCCCGTGTTCCGGTTCGTAATCCTCGAGAGCAGCGTGCGGACGTGGTCGCGCCTTCTCAGAGTGATAACTTTAACATCATGCTTCTTCCAGAGCTCCTTCAGCCAGTCCCAGTCCTTTTCCACCGACTGCATCCACTTGAACGCCTCGACGGACGGCAACCCAGTAGCGTTGTTCTTTGACGCGAAGGCGCGACTCTTGTCGAGGAACCCTCGAAATTTCGCGGAGCACTTCGAGCGTAGAGAGCGGTCCCGCGCGTCGGCGTCGCCGTAAAGCATCCTCAGACAGGCCATGCGCGCGCCGCGCTCCCACTTGAACTGGATGAATAATTCAGAGGTCGTCGACACGCACGGCGACCGGTCGAGCTCGGCCATGGCCCAGGTCGTGCCCGTCCTTTGCGTGCCGAGGAGGAGCGCGTGGCCGCTTGGCGTCGCGCCACGTTGAGCAGCGACCGCCGCGACTGTCGCCAGCAAGAGGCGCATTTTGTTGAATTTCGCCTCAGTTACGCTCGGAGTTCGTTCGTCGTGCGTCACGGTGGAATTAGTAAGACACTCGAGTCATGGTGGGCGCCCACGAGGCGTGGTTCCTTAAGTTCTCTAAAGCTTCAGCCAAAAAAACCTCAATGCTAGTATGTCAATACGACGCTTTGGCTGATTATCGAGGCCGTCGCAGATTCCGGCCCGCGCAGCCCATCAGAGGCAACCGCGGCAGCCAGAAGTCGTGCGCTGTCCTCCAGACAGCCAAGCAAAGCCTGCGCGAGCCACGCGGCAAGCCCCGAGGCCGTCCCGCGGAGATCCTGTTAGAGAGCTCTCTGGCCGCCGAGGCCGCACGCGGAGGCAAGGGCACCCCTTCACCGCCGCGGCGAATTTAGAAGAAACCAAGGAGTCCGCGGAGGGCGCCGCGCCGCATTAAGGGAAAATGACCCACTTCCTCAACTCGCGCTTCGCCTTCTTCTATTTACGGAGAGATAGATCCCAGAAGGAGACGGACGCGCAGGGCTATCAAAACGCGGTCCAGAAAATTGGGAGTTTCGATAGCGTCGAGGGCTTCTTCGGCATCTATGACCACCTCGTGAAGCCCCATTCATTAACAAGTGAAACGCACGTCACGGACTACCACCTCTTCCGCGAGGGCATCTCGCCGACGTGGGAGGATGCCAAGAACCGGAACGGGGGTAAGTGGATCGTGCGTCTCAGAAAAGTAGAGGGTCTCGCGTCGTTGTACTGGGAGGACCTGATCATGGCCCTTGTTGGTGAACAATTTGGCGACGTCGGGTGCCAGGTCTGCGGCGTCGTCGTCTCCGTGCGCCAGCACGAGGACATCTTGTCCGTATGGACGCAGGACTCCAAGGACGACGACGCCATCGCGAAGATCCGGGACGCGATCAAGACGAATTTGGACCTGCCGACGTTCGTCACGCTAGACTACAAGCGCCACGCCTTCCACGGTGGTCAAGGAAGGGCCTGGGGCGGCAAGCGCAATCAAGGACATGGGGACCGGCCGCACCGTGGTCACCGCAACGACCGGGGCCCGCGCCACCATGTGAGGGACGACGCGCCGGCGCCGCCGCCCGCGGAGCGCGACTGGGGCGCGCTGCGCCGCAAGTAGACGCTGCGCTTCTTCGGGAACGCCGCGCGGTCTAACTTGATACTTCATTTACTGATTTTCGTTTGATTGCGACTGGTGCCAAGGACTTGAGGCGGGTCTACGACTGCGGCCGGCGACGGCGGCCGCGCGGGCTCGAAGCTTAGGTCGTGCAAGGACGGGAGCGTCATCTCCGGCCGGACGACCCTATTTTCGAGCAGACTGGACGGCGAGCGGCTCGGTTGCGGCGCCGGTGGCGGCCGCGGCGTCGACTCGCCCGCGACGTTGGTCACGTTGCGAGTAGCACTGGGCGGCGTATTTGAGGGTGAGGCGGCTTGCGCGTCGGCCATTGAGATTTAACGGGCCGTGTTTGCGCGCGGGCGCGCTCTGCGCTCGCAGAGAAAAAGTGCAACAATTTAGTTCACAGCTGCTGAAAACTGTGAATCGCAGTCGCGACGCGCAGAATTGCCGCGGCGGCGTGTGTGCCTTAATATAATAGCTCGCCTTGAGGACGCTTAATGACTCCAAGCTGCGCTGTACAGACGAGCGGATCAACACAAAGCTGGCTCTGGTTGCTTTGGTGAGCTTGCAAAAAAAGAACCACTCCCCATCCTTATAATATGTATGGATGAAAGATAAAATCACTTTTATTGAACAAGGCACCTGCGCAGCGCCGCGCGCCCGTAACGAGCAGATGTAACGAGCCCAAGCCCGTGCGACAAAAGAGACGTCTCAGAAGCGAGGGAGCACTCGGACACGCATCCAAGACGAGATCAACGCCAACCACGAGCAAGGCCGCGGCGCCGCGCCGGACCAATACAAGTTCACAAGCGACCGATACCCCCACGAGTAGCTCTCCGCTAAGCACGATAGCACCGCCGCAACCACGCATCAACGCGCGTGCCCGTGATTTTCGGAAATCGACTACGTGGATCGGGGGCATCGGCATCTCGTTAACCGAATAAAAAATTCGCAACACCATGGCCCGCACCTTGCTCGCATCGACGCTCGCCGGCGCTGCCGCGCTGCGCGCCACGCGCCCGACGGTCTCGATGCACACGAACATCTTCCCGACCTTCACCATTAAGGACAAGGCGGCGGTGCTGGGGCAGCGTCTTTTGCCGCGGCGGCGGGATTTTTTTTGTTGGGGGTTGCGGTGTATGTCCGCATGGTGCTGCTGCCGCTGCGTGCTGCGCGCGGCGGCGGCGGCGCGCGGGAGGGCACCGTGCGGACGCTCGGCGCCGCGCCGTCGCGGCCGTTCGCTGCGTCGCGCGGCGCGCGCGGCGAGAGAGCGTGCTCGCGGGCAGCGCGCGGCGCGCGCGACGAGAGCGAGCGTGCACGCGGGCAGCGCGTCGACGAGCGATGAAACACGCAGGCCCAGCCCCTCCTCGACAAGTGCGTCGAGGACACGAAGGCCGAGGCGGGCTGCCTCTACTACGGCTGGACGGTGAAGGAGGACGGCTCGAAGCTCTTCTGCCGGGAGACGTACGTGGACGGCGCGGCGGCGGGCGAGCACCTGTCCTGCGTCGCCGCGTCGGGCGCCTTGGGCGAGGCCCTCGAGAAGGGCTACATCGCGCTCGACAATATTGATGTGATGGGCACGGAGGCGGACCTTGAGGCAGCCAAGAAGGTGCCCGAGTTCGAGGCCTTCGGCTGCGGCGCCTGGACGGTCTGGGACTCGTTCCAGAACTTCAAGAAAACCAGTGGAGAGGAGGCCTCCACCCAGGGCTTCTACACGATCCAGCCGACCTTCACGCTCAAGGACAAGGCGGCGGCCGAGCCCTTCATGAAGAAGTGCGTGGACCTCACGAAGAACGAGGAGGGCTGCATGTACTACGGCTGGACGATCAAGGACGACAAGCTCTTCTGCCGCGAGGCCTACGTCGACGCCGCCGCCGTCCAGGCCCACCTCGACAACATCGTGCCGTCCGTCGGCGAGATGCTCGACAGCGGATGCGCGTCGCTCGACGAGATCAACTTCATGGGCCCGAAGGCGGGCTGGAGCACGTTCAAGGAGACCGCCGACTCCCTGGGCGGCGTCTACTGGGACGTCGACTCCAGTTTCTCGAAATTCAAGATGCCCTCCTTCAAGCTCGGCCCCTTCTCCTTCTAGATGATAGCCCTTTGCCACCCCGCACCTATTTAACCACGACCTATGCCGCTAGTCCTAGGCTCGCCTCGACGGCGTGGAGGGGGTCGCGTCGCGGGCGCGCGTCGCCCGTGACCCTCGTGCGGCGCCTCCTGCGCGGCGCGCCGGCGCCTCGGCTGTGCGGGTCGACATTTTTCAGCTCGACGGCAAAACGCAGCTGAGCGCTGCCTGAGCCAAGGCCCGTGGAGCCCGACGGTGCAGCGATAAGCCCCACGACCGTATCCAGCTTTTCTGCCGATTTCTGGGGCTGCCCGCGCGCGAGAGGCGCCGCACTCATATCGGCTGCCGTGCGTTGCGGCCGCGCACGGGCGCTAGGATGCGATGGCTCGCGCTCGCACTCGTCGTACGCAGCGCAACGACGACGACCTGCCCCGGCACGACGCCGACGGACGACACGCCTTCACCAGTCGCCGGCTGCAGCTTCGACGAGGATTGGTGTGGCTGGAACGCGACCTCGAATGAAGGCACGCGCTGGACGCTCGGCACGGAAACGACGCCGACGCGCTTCACGGGCCCGAATGAAGGCGTGAATGGTACTGGATATGCCTACGTCGAGGCGAGCCACCCGAACCACCCGTCAGTAGTTTTTGAGCTCACCTCGCCGCTCTTCGAAGCGCCGGTTTCGACCCTGAGCTTCGCCTACTCCATGTACGGCGCGGCCATGGGCTCTTTAGCTGTTGATACGTATGTCAATGCGTGGATCTGCGACGTGTGGCTCGTCGAAGGCAACCTTGGTGACGCGGCCTGGCGCTCCTCGGGGGTCATCGACGTCTCTTCAGCGACACGGATCAGAATTCGCGCCGTCACGGGCGCCGGCGCCGCCGGCGACGCGGCCGTCGACAATGTAGTGGTGACGGCCGCCCCGGCGCCATCGATGAAACCATCAATGTCATTGCGGCCTTCAATAGCACCTTCTAGAACACCGGGCAGCCCGACCTCTTCACCGGTGGCCGCGCCGACGCCCGCTCCAATCACAATACCAGAGACGCCCGCGCCGTCGCGAAAAGCAGTTGTCGCGTCGTCATCGTCCTCCAAAGACAGCAAACAGTCGGAGGAGGACGCCTTAGGCGACCCCGACGCCGCGTCGACGTCGGGCCTCGTCTACATCCTTGGCGGGTGTTTGCTGGCGCTGTCGTGCGGTCTGTTGGGCGCGGTGCGGTTGAAGCACTGCAACAAACCGAAGCCGCCACTCCATGTGGAGCTGGGGCTGAAGAAGCGCAGTGAAGCGGGGCCACCTCCCAAGGTACAACGGGACGAGGACGCGATGCGGCTGCGACGGCAGGAACTGGGCGCGATGGCGTGGTCGTCCGACGAATCTGATGATGACGAGGAGGCGCAGAAGAGAGACGAGGAGAATCGAACGGCGTTATTTAGGCGGCAGCCGTCGTCCCTGGAAACGCGGTCCCAAAAGCAGCCGTCGGAGGACGCGGAGCTGGAGCGAGCCCTCGCGCGCGCCGAGGCGGCCGAGCGGCGCCGCGCCGCCGGGGACGCCGAGCTGGAGCGCGCCCTCGCGGCCTCGAAAGTGACAGCGGCGGCCGAGGCGTCACATCGGGCGCGGCCTGCTTCCCCCGAGGACATGGCCATGTCCTCGGAAGACGAGGAGCTCGAGGTCCGCGAGCACCCCGAGTTCTCGCCGCAAAAGCTTGCTCTGTATGATGACTTGGATCGATCGCGACGGAGCGCCTCGCCCATATTACGCGTGCCCTCGCCGGCCGGCGGCGCGCTCCTGTCGGAGGCGTCCATCAAGCGCGCGCAGCAGTCGTCGCGGGCGTCGTCGCCGCGCATCTCGGAGGCGTCGCTCCAGCGCGCGGCGAAGGCGCCGAGCCCGCTCTTCGGCCGGTCCGCGTCGCCGTTCTCGGGGGACTCCTGGGGCCCGAGCGCTGCGTCCGACGGGGACTGGCCCTCGCCGGAGCCGTCGCCGGACGCGCGGCCGCCGCCGCCGCCGTGGACGGGGGACGCGTCGCCGGGGTCCTTCGAGGCGCGGCGGTTCTCGGAGAAGGCTGATGATGTGGCCGCCTCGGACGGGTCCGCGTCGTCGGGCTGGCCCGACGCGACGTGACTAAGTGTAGTTCTAGGAACATGGCTCGCTTCTGGTCGTCCCTTGTTCTTGTTGTTACGGTGCTAGGACTAGTGGGCGGAGCCCCTGGGATCATCCCGCCGACTCCCGCGTCCGCGGTTAGTTTAAGACGCCGGCTAATCCCGGACGAGCCCAGGATCGTTGCGACGCGTCGTGAACTAGCTCGATGGCGTCCCTACACGCGTCTGTCGCCGCTGAAACAGGGGCTTCCTCTCGGAGGCTGCTGCTGCGGCTATCGAGCAAAAACAGCTCCTAATCTCCCAGCCGTCGGGAAGCCGGAAGCTGTCACACGGTTCACCGCGATCGATTGCGATCGATTCGCGTTCGTGTGCTGCGACATCGCTTACGCCGCGCTCGCAGCCGAGTAAAAGAGGTGAGCAGTGGCTGCCAGCTCTCGCAGGCGCCAGGCGACGCCACGCCCTAAAACTGCGCAGCAGCCGCGCCGCCGCCGCCCGCGAGCTGCCTGGTAGCCGAAACCATGGCCGAAGTACTAATACTGGGCGGCATGCTCGTCGCAGGGTACGTTACGGTAGCATTAGCCGTCGAAGACGAGGAGGAAGAAGAAGAACAAAGAGCGAGGTATGCGGCTCGCACAGCCAGAGGCCAGGGCTTCGCCGAGGTCGCTGTGCGCGTCCTGCGAGCGGAGGATCTCGTCGACGCTACTTGGACCGGAGTGCAGGACGTGCGGGCCATCGTCGACGTGACGCACCGGGACACGGGTGAACACTTAGGACGAGCGGCAAGTGCGGTGGCCCACGACAGTGGCACGACGCCGACGTGGGGCGACCGCGGCCGCCACGGCCTGATTCGCGTCGCCGTTCCTGCGAGCTACCCGCCCGAGTCGCTGCGGATCATCATCTCCCTCGAAAGCCAGTCGTACGTGGCGGAGCACGTCGACCTGGGCCACGCGGAGACGGACTTCTTCGCGCCCTCCACAGCTCGCGTTTTAGAGGTCGATCCCCGAGGTACCTTGTCTTGTAGAGTCGGGTACACGCCGCCGGACCCGCGCCACGTGCCGCGCGCGGACTTCGAGCCGGCCGTTGTGGCGGCGCAGACGATCACGGCCGACGAGTGCGGCGACGGCGACGACGAGGTGCCGCTCGAACGGACGCCTTTATTTGAACCGGCCGTCGCGACGGAGATGGAGCTGCCGGAAATGCGGCCCGCGCGGCGCCCGACGGTCGTCGCGGCACCGGTGCAGCCCGTCCAGGCGCGGCCGGCGCTGCGGGCGCAGCGGAACGCGTCGATCAGCGTCGTGGACGCGACGCCGCCGCCTCCTGCTGCCTAAGCTACTATGTTGTTGATACTTCTTTCACACATTACGAACCCAGCGGAGGACTCCCCTACCAAGTTCACGCGCCGCGCTTCTTCGACTTCTTCGGAGCCGTCGCCGTCGCCGCGGCGCTCTTGGAAGCCTTGGGCGCGGACTTGCGCTTCTTCTTCGCTTTCTTCGGAGCCTTCGGCGCGGGCGCGGGCGCGGGCGCGGGCGCGGCGGGCGCCAGCGCCGCGGGCGCGATCGCCGCGGACGCCCGGAGGCTGGACTGCAACTCGTCGATGAACTGATGGACGTAGGCCTCGGCATCCGCGCGCGGCATCCCCCGGACCTTCGCCGCGGCCGTCACCATCTCGGGCGGGAGGTCGGCCGCGGCCACAGCCACGCCGCCGATGCCCGCCGCCGCCGGCGCGGGAAAGGACTGGGGAGCGGGGCCGCCGTACCTATGCGTCGTCCCCTCGCCGTACTTGGCCTCAAACCACGCCTGGAAGCCCTTGCGCCGCGTCATCTCCATGCCAAACGCCATCTGTCTACCGGTCGCGAGCGCGTAGAAGTATTGAACGAACGGGTTGATGGTCAACGTGTTCGGCTCCCGGTCCGCGGCGGCCTTCACTATATTCAGCGTCCAGTAAACGGACGCGCGCGTCGAGTCTTCCCCTAGTAACGCCGTCTTAAAGCCGCCCCATTCGCGCAGCACGCCGATCTGCTTGGCGTCGCACCGGTGGTTGTAGACCACTTGAAACAACTCCACGTCCAGATCCTGCTCCGTCGCGACCTGGTTGAACCGCACGATGGCCTTGACGTTCGTCGTCCGCTCCTCGTCGGCGCACTTTTGATAAAGAACCGTCATTCTATCAAAGAGCGTCCGCGGCACCCACTCCCCGTTTCCGCACAATAAAGCAAGCTCGTGCAGCGTGTCGCCCGGTGCTCCCACAAAGAAATGCGTCGGACAGCCCGCTCGACGTAGGAGGCAGTTAACTATCAGTAGGGCGTCGCCGAGGACTACAAACGACCCCGCGTTGAAGCCGCGCCCGAGTCGTCGATCGACGCTTGCAAAACAGTTCGGCAGCGTCGTCAGCGTCGCGGCCGCGTTCGATTCTCCTAGGTCCGCGTCGATGGCTTGGACAAATTGCTTGTGCTGTTCGATCCTCCGGGCCTCCTCCTGGACGCGCTGATTCAGCAGGGCCTTCTTCTCGGCGTCGGCGCGGTCGTTGGCCGGCTTCCAGTCGCCCGACGCGTCGCGGTAGTACCACTGCTCTACTCCTTGCACGTTCTCCTCGACGCGCGTCCCCAGCGGGACCGCCATCGTCACATGACCGTGGCCTTCAAACGTCGCGTAGTCGTAGCGCTTGCCCTCCAACGCTAACGTGGCGTCCCGCTGCAGATCAGGAGACAGGGCGAGGAACACCTTGTTCGTCTTCATGCGTACCAAAAAAGAGATGGCGTTGCACAAGGCCTGCCACCCTGCTTTTGCCGTGGCGTCCTCCAACGCGTCGTCGCCCTCGCCAGTGAAGTCGCAGGCGAGTTGCCCGTTGACGTTGACGACCCTACAACGCACTCGCGCACAAGTCACTTTGACTCGAGGAGCAAGAGAAGAGCCAGCGACTAATTTTTTGGCCTTCTCGAACGCGCTCTTCTCGTCGCGGTCCTCGATGTCGGATCGCAGCTCAGCGCCGCAGTTCGATGGGCCTGTTGACCATGTCTGTTCTTCGGTGCCGTGCAGTCTTTTTTGAGAGACGTAATTAAAATCGACCCGCCAGCCGCGTATAGATCTAGCGTGGCCGTGGACCGTGAACGTGCTTAAAGTTTTTAATGGTCGTACCTTCCCGCCGACGAAGGCATAGTGTACTTGAAAGTTTTTCGTCCCCTTCGGTTCGTCGACGAGGAACTGCACTTTCGCGTCGTCCGAGACGCCGTCTATCTTTATGTTCAGCTCTTTCAGCGTCACTGCTTTCGCACCGGTCTTGTCGTTCTCGTCGATAAATATTAACAGCGGTTTGCCGTCCTCCACGGCGCCCTGCAGCTTGGGTTCTTTTGCCGCCATCGTGGCTAGCGCTTTAGCGACGAGCGGGCCGCTGCTGGCGAGAAGTGCTTATATACGAGCGATGCGTGCACCGCTTGACGGCTGTCCGGCAATTTGGCGCTGGCACAAAAGCAGGCTTTGAATGAATGCAGCCTATGCGGCCTCGATTGCCACGCTTGCAATGCGGACGGCTACAGCTGTGTCCAAATGTGTGCTGACCGGTCCAGGTTCGTCAACCGTGCTAGCAGCGGCTTCCTGTGATGCCCGTTTTGCACTGGCCAAAATGCCAAAAACCAAAGGCCGCACCCCGCTCGCGACCGTCCAGCGCTCTCTGCTAGCCGTGCACGCGCTCTTTTGGGATGAATGCACGCCTCAAAGACCGCGTTCGGATGTGCCGGGTTTTACACAGCCATTCGATCGTGGCGTCCTCCGTGCCCTTAGCGGTCGATTGGAGCAGCGAAAGTTCGCGCTGACGTCGCTCACATACCAACTACTCGCTTTGACGCCCTCATTTACACAAATAACCTGCCACAAAAAGAGCTGTGCTGGACGGCAGGGCTGCTGTTGCAGCCTCTTGCCGCAGCGCTACTGACGGACGATCGGTGCGGCACGGCCACAGACGCTATCAACCAGTGGCGCGCGCCATTAACAGTGACCATCGAGAGCCGGTAAGCAGCGAGGAACGAGAATGCTGATGGCCGCCGGGCGCACCGCAGAGCAGCACGTTGACTGCGTGACGGCGTCGCCGTGCGTGCGCCGCCACCAAGGCAAAAGGGCTCCGCGCACCTCATCGAGCGTTTGGCCGCGTCTCGGGAACGCGACGACGGGAGAACGGGCGCTGCGGCCGCGACCGCACCAATACGGCGGCCGCACGCGTCGCCAGTACCTCCGGGCCTCGTCCGTTGGGCTGCGCCTAGGCGAGTTGACGCGATCTCTCGCTTTCACTATCTCCAGCTCGACCAGCAAGTCGAGCGCCACCTGACGGCCTCCTACTTGTAGTCGACCGCCAGCGTCACAGCTAACAGGCCACAGCGGTGCTCTGATTGCGGCTCGGCATCCTCGGGCGCGAACGCCGCGCGTCGTGCGCATTTTTACTGGGCGGAGCTCGAGCAAATGCGCCGCGCGCCCCGGGTTACATGTGAGAGACCAATAATGCTTAGAAAGTTAGTAGTTGCCGTACTGGCGCTGCAGCGCGATCGCCTTCTCAACGAAAAAGACGGCTGCGGCCCAGCCGGGGCCGCAGAACGTCCGCTTGAAATCCTGGTAGGATTGGATGTTGAAGCGGACGTTGAGGGGCGCGGGCATGAGGAAAAAGTTCTCGGGGTCGTCGCAGAGCGTGCTGAGGATGTGGTCGGTCTGGAAGAACTTGGCGTCGACGAGCTGCCCGAGGGTCTTCAAGGAGAGCCGGTCGCCGTACGCGTTCACGGCCATGTCCAAGAACATGCCCTTGTAGCCGTAGGTCTTGTTGATGTGGTCCTTGAAGCTTCCTGCGAGGGAGCGGTGGCCGAAGTGGCCGCCGCCGTAGCTTCTTCTGGCCTGCATGTTGAAGTTCAAGGTCAACTTCAGGGAAAAGCGAAGCGAACTTACTCTCAGGCGCGAAACGAACCACGGGCGGCGGATCTCTCTCACGAGCGCTCCGAAGGCGACGGCGACGTGTTTCGAAGACTCGGCCGCGCGCTTGCCTCGCCCAGTCCTTGTAGAGCTCCTCCGAGCCGTTGTAACTCGAAAACGCCAACGCCCCCGACTTGGGCATGGCGAGGATCTCGGCGACGGCCGCTTTTGGATCTTCGCACGAGAAGGGCTTGTTGTCCTTGTCCAGCAGGACGACCTGCGGGTGCGAGCCGAGCCACGTGTGGATGCCGTCCCGCATGGTCTCCGCGCCCAACTCGGCGGTAGCCCGCGACTCTACATCGAGCCGGCCGAAGAGCTCGTCCTGAGACGGAAGGTCTCCTTTGACCTCGAGCAGTCGCGCGGCGAGGCCGGCATTGCGCGCGCAGCGGAACGCGTCGATCAGCGTCGTCGACGCGACGCCGCCGCCTCCGCCGTCGGACTAAGCTAGTGTTGTTGATACTTCTTTCACACATTACACCTATCGAAGGACTTGGCCCGGCCCGCCGCCGAAGACGCCGTCCCAGCGCCGAACATCGCGACGCAGATTCGCAAAAGCGCCCTTCCTTCTGGACGGCGTGTCGAAGAGTTTCCAGATGAGAATGGTCTCGCCCATACACGTCGCGGCGACCCGCGTGCGGTCGGGTGACGCCACGAGCCCCAACCAACGTTCGCCGATCTGGGTACGCGGTATGGCCGGCCGCCCCAAAGTCGCAACGCAGTCGAGGCGGCCGCCTACAGCCATCGACCAGCTGTAGGCGCGGATACCGGGCTGATCGAATCCGGTCGACGCAACGAGCTCGGGGGTGCCCTGCGGTCCCCACGCCAGGCCCGTCACCTGACCGCCCGCGTGGCATGACGCCAGCGACGCACCGCTAACGGAATTCCACAATCGGATCCGCTTGCAAGCCGTACCACCGCCCGAGGCCAGCACGTCGCGCCGCGTCGGAGACCAGGCGAGCGCCTTGACCGCGGCGCGGTGCCCGCGGGGCATCGCGTGGCACGGCGACGTCGCGCGGCGCAGGTCCCAGATGAGGAGCGCATTATCATTACCACCGGACGCCAAAAGGTTACCGTCGTCGCGCCACCGCAGCCCGCACACCTCGCCGTCGTGCCCCAGGCGATAGGTCGTGGTGGCCGAGGGTGCCCGCACATCGAAATCGCAAATACACTTGTCCCGCGACCCGCTCGTCAGGCATCGAGTAAGCGGGTTCCAGTGGAGAGCCCCCACGTGTTCGTTGTGGTCAAATTCGAATTTTCGTACTTCCACGCCGGTCGCCACGTCGACGATGTTTATTAACCCATCGGTGTAGCCCACCGCGACGTGGTTGGACCCGGGCGCCCACGCGACCGACGCGACGTCGATGCTCGACGGATATTCCCAGACTTCTGTTTGGAGGCCACGTCCAGGGGCTATGGCATTTGTCACGTACATAGACGTTCCCAGTGCCACGGCCAGGCGATCGCCGCGCGATGACCAGTCCACCAGCTGGGAATAGAAGTCGTCGCGGACATCGGGTATGTCCAGGCACCGCTCGAATCTCATGCCCTGCCAGCGGGTCGCCGTCGTGGACGTCGCAGAGCGCGCCACGGCCAGCGTCCGTTCCGCAGCCGCAGAGTCGGTCTCGGGCGCCGCCGCTCGGTCGGATCCAAAGGACAGGAACCGCGTACCCGTCCGCCGCGGCAGCAACGAGCTGCGTAGCGACGCGTTCAGCACCGGCTGGGCACCGGTCTTCGGCGCGAGCGCGAGCGCGGTGTGCGCGCGGTAGGCCTCGCCGGCGTCGTCGAGCCGCGATCCCACGAAGCGATCGCGGGGCGTCACGGCGCGAGGGCGCTTGCGACCGTTCGACGCGTCGGCCGCGCGCGGGCGCTTGACGCCGCGCGGCGCCGGTGCGGACGTCAATGCGGGCGGCGGCGGCAGCGCGTCCGTAGATGCAGCAGGCGTCGCGGCCGGCGACGGCGGCGGAGTACCCCGGCTCGGCGGCTCGGTGGTCACATCCGGTGTAACCGCGGGCGGCTGCCGCACGCCGCGCCGCGGCAGGGCGGCTGCCGCGGGCGTCCGGGCCGGGGGCGGAGGCATGCCGTCGCGGTCAGACGACGGCAAAGGGCCGGAGGCGGGTGTCACAGTCTGGGCTGCATTGTGGGCGCCGCGGGCCCTAGGAGTCTGCGCCATCGCGCGCGCCGCGTCGCGGGTGCTGCCGCGCTGCGTCAGGCCAATCAACCGCTGCGAAGGAGCATTTATACGGCAGCTGGGGCCCCGTGGACTGCGCAGTTTGATTATTGGCGTCTCACACCCACTAGCCTTTCGAATTGAACGAGTGCATCGTGCGACACATCTTGACACAACTATTCAGTTACACAACTAATCCGCCGAAGAAGACTCCTTCGCAGCGCCCGGCCGAGGTATCGGGTTCGCGCGCGCCCACGCCGGGTACTTCCCGAGGATCCCGCGCGTGAACCGCCCGCCCAGGTCGAGCTGCCGGTTCACGGCCACCGCCGCCGCTTTTAACGCAGGCGACGGCAGCAGCAACAACGGACCGACCAAGTCGGCGGCCACGGAGAACGTAAATTCGCCCCGTATCGCCGCCGACGCGTTCGGATCAATTGATTGCGGGTCGAGGCGCCCCTCCAGCTCGAAGTCGATGGGCACGTCCACAGATTGGCCGTTCGACAGCTTCGCGACGCTGCGCAGTTTCTTGGACGTGAGCGTGACACCGCCCCGAGGGCTTTGCCTCACTTCCATGTCGACAGTCCCATCAACAGTAAGTAACCCGGCGAAGTTGATCGTCTCCTGCTCCAGGTCGTAGTCGAGGACACCATCATCTCTAACCGTGGGCCCCTTGATCAAATGAGGCGGCCACGCCGCCGCGATGACCCTCAACGGATCCGAGAGGTAGTCCGCGGCGCGGCCCGCGCGCACGCCCCGAAACGGTTCTCGTAGCTGGAACGTGCCGCCGAACTTGATCCGCCGCAGTCCTATTCTTTCAAAATTCGTTTTTATGCCGCCCAAAGCAATGCACGGCGCTAGCAGCAATACATGAAACAACTGCCGCGCGCGGTTTCGCATCTTTCGCATAACTAGGGCGTGGTTGCAGTGTGACACGCAGTTTTTCGCTGTTCGCGAGCACGAGATGTCGAAAAATGTGGATGCACCCGTGGCACAGGCGCAGGCAGTGTTGATGCAGCGGCGCACGTGACGGTTAAGCTCCTATGTGCGCAGTATGGCGGCTTTTAAGGCTGCACCCGTGGCGAATTAGCTAGCGACCAGTAAGACACTAGCAAACAGCGTCGAGGGCCTAAAACACGGCTGAGAGGCAGCAATGATGCACCAGAGATGGGGCGTGGCACTCCTTCTTACCCAGGCTGCCGCGCTGCAAGCTTTTTTCGCGCCCAAAAGTAGCACTCCAAAGCAGCAGCTCCTCGACCTGTGCACTGGCAGCAATTACGGCGCCAACCCGATCGACAGGGATCGTTTGGATGGCTTGATAGATCAGCTCGCATCAATTAATCCCACGCCGCGGCCGGCAGAGTCGCCCAAATTCTCGGGCAACTGGAAACTGCTCTGGACGACCGAGAGCGAGCTGCTGTTTGCGGTCGAGAAGGGGCTCTTCGCGGCCGGGCCGTGTACTGGCGTCGAGCAGACCATCGACGTCGCGAATGGCCGGCTCGAAAACTTAGTGCTCTTCGACAACGACAGCAGGCTCTTCGTCGGCTCCACGATCGAGCCCGACGCGGCCGACGCGAGCGGCGCGCGCTTCAACTTCGCCTTCTCGAGCTGTTCGCTGCGGTGGCGGGGTTACGATATACCGCTCCCGCCCGTGGGCAAGGGCTGGGGCGACCTGCTCTACCTCGACGACGACCTGCGCGTGCAGCGCGACGTGCGAGGGGATCTGCTCATAGCAACTAAACGTTAACATACAACACTACTCGGGCCGCCTAAAAACCAGAGCCCCCATCTTTGGTACACCGGGCCAGGACGACGTCGCCGTCTGCGACCGCAGCGCCTCGAGGAAGAAGTACGGCGTCTCCCGTCCGACGATTTTTGATAGGTAGGCCCGGTCCGCGACGAGCCGCTCGCCCCAGTCGGCGACGTCCTCAATAACATACAAGCCGCCCGGCTTTACGAAGGGCCAGAGCGTCTTTAGTGTGCGACGCTGGGCGTCGAGCGAGTGGTGCCCGTCGTCGACGATGAAATCATACGAACCCAACTTCGCCACACAAGAGTCGTCGCGCGAGTCGCACGTTATGACCCGAATGCGCTCATGTAACCCGTTCAGCGCCGCCGCGTCGTCGGCCGGGTCCAATCCCGTTATCGTCGCGTTCGGGAAGAGCTCGGCCCAGGCTCGTAACGAAGCCCCGACGCAGTACTCGGCGACGCACCGGACGCCTTCCGGTTTGGGCCGCCGCTCCCTCTCAGCATACAGTTCGACGTCCGCGTCCGTCCGAAGACGACCTTCCGACACTTCGCGCGCCATCGACGACGGTTGCGCGTCGTCGAGCGAGCCAACGCCCACTTCTAGAATAGCGGTGGCCCGCTCCCGCACCGACGGGGGTAACAACACGTCGTACAAGCTCCCGAGACCGTTCACGCACTTGTTCGAGCCGTGCGCGTCTAGTGCGGTGGCGACACTACCACAAGGCTCGTTGCGGCAGCGCGCCCTTGGTAATCGCGCGTCGGCCACCGCCTCGTTGGCGCGCCTTCTCAATGCGTTCTCGACGCAGGCGCGGTCCGCGCAGCCCATGCCACCGTCGAGCTGGTGCCTGGCCGCGAATTCGGCCACCGTCGCGTCGACGGCGCCGCTGGTTGGGATGACCAAAGGCTGCTTCGCCCCATTGATGTCGAGGAGGACGGAGACCGTCGCGTCGTCGGCCAGGGCGGCGCAGAGCAGCAGCGCCAAGCGTCGGGCAGTCATTGGGCCCCGGTTCATCGTGCTGCCGCTCCCGCGCACCAATACGCGTCGCGTTTTTTGCGCGCGGCGCGTCCTGTAGCACGTCCTGAGGCCGGGGAGCGGGCGCGGGCAGCGCGAGGTCCCGTGCGCCGCGATGCGGCCTTGTCCTGAGCTCTCTAGTGTGTTACTGCCGCTAGCCAGATTATTTTTTGGGCCTTTTGTACCCAGCCCGTGGCTTGCGCTACACAGCTCAAGAGATCACGATCCACAGCATCGATGGCCAAGAAGGCCCGGACCTCGCGCCCGCGGCGCGCGGCCGCGCCCGCGGACGGCTTTGCCGCGCCGCCGCAAGAGATGGACCTAGAGGAGGAGGAGCCGGCGCCGCGGCGACGCGCGGCGCCGCTCGTGCCACTCGAGCACGTGATAGCCAAGTGCCCGCGCGCGGAGCTCGAGGATCTGATCTTGGCCAGCGCCAAAAATAACGAGCCCGTGACGCGCGGGGACCTGGAAGCGGCGGCTGCGCGGCACGCGCCGCCGCCCAAGGCAGTCATCGAGCTAGGCAACGAGCGCGAGGGCACGGGCGCCTTCGACGCGATCGACACTCAGTGCTTGGGAGCAATCCTGGAGCAGCTCACCACATCGGACCGGCTGACGATGGCGACGGTCGTATGCAAGTCCTGGCGCCGGCTGCAAATGGCCAAGGGCCTGTGGACATCGTTCTGTCTGAACGAGGCGCCGCTCGTGCTGCAGGGCACGAAGGAGCCCGTGTGGGAGCCCGTCGCCGACGTGCTGCCGAACCACCGGTACGCGCGGCAGTACAGTCGCCTCCGCACGGGACCCGCGCTGCAGCTCCTGGACTGGGTCATCGACAAGAACGCCGTCGTCGAGCTGGGCATCTCGACGGGGAACGATGCCCTGTCGGTTGGGGCAGTCATGGCGGCCCTGCGCGCCTTCCCGAGCCTGCGAAAGCTCGCGCTCGACGGCAAGCAAATTTTGGCGAAGGTTTTGAGGACGAAGTACCCGTGCCAGGCGACGCTCCGGACGCTCGTCGTGGGGACCTCGGTGCCATCGGCCGGAAAGGGCGCCTTCGCGGCGTTTTTGGGTTGCTGCACCCGCCTCGAGACCCTTTGCGCCCCAGCCGATCTGACCGCGTATTCCTGCCTCGAGGCGGCCGCGGCGACCTGGAAGGCCTCGCGCGGCGGCGCGCCGCCGCTCCTCACGCATTTGAAGCTCTATGGCTACGCGGGCTACAACGCCGACCCGTTCGCGCTCCCAGCGGCCGTCGGCGACTGGTTCGCGAACCTCGAGAGTCTGTCGTTCTCGACGAAGACGTACGGCGACGGGCACCCTCCAGTCCCGACGTTCGCCAAGCTCCCGCGCCTGAAGCATCTCCACGTCGGTCCTCTTGCCGGATACGACTACCATCTCTCCGACGAGGGGCTCTTGACGCTGGTCGCCACTCTGATGCAGGCCGCGCCGAACGTCGAGCATCTCTTCCTGCAGCACGGCAAGGCGTGGGGGTCCGGCGACAACACGGGCGACCTCCCGAAGCTCAACGGCGCCCTCGCACGCCTGCCTTCGACGCTCACGACGCTCGACCTGATGAATGTCGTGTTGCAGGCGAAGGACTTCGACGAACACTCGCTGAAGGCCCTCCGCCTCCGCGACTGCGAGATATTCGAGGAGGATATGATTTTCGGCGAAGGCGACGGCAATGCGGCCCTCACCCACCTCGAGTCGGCCTGGGGCATCGAGACCGACGAAGTTCCGTGGCCGGAGCCGGAGGAGGAGTGAAGACACTGACTAAGCACCTGTATTTACAACGCCCCCGGCGGCAAGTCTACAAGCCGCCGGACGAACTGCCGCGCCGCCGGGTTGATCTGCAGCGGCGGCCGCAACAACTCGAGGGGCGGCCTAGGAGCGGGTCCTTCCAGGATGCGCGCCGCCGACCGCCCCGCCCAGACTCTATGAATCGTAGCTTCGTCGGTACCATCATCCCTTGATAATACAAAGCGGAAGGCTCCTTGTAAACGACCGAACCAGGAAAAAGAACCTGACCAGATCAGGGACCCGTCAGACAGAGTCCTCACCGACCCAACATAAGAATAGTAGCCCGCGGCCTCGTCGACCTTCTCCTTCCAGGCGAGGGCCCAGCCCCTTTTCCCATTCTCCGGTAAGATATTCGCGCATAAATGGCCGTAGCCCCGGCCCTCTAGTTTTGCACCACTACTAACACGCGTGTGCGCCACGGCCCCGACGCAAACTAATTTTGCGGAAAAGTCCATGCGCCCCGTCGACCGGCACAAACCCTTCCGGTCCTCGACGGTCCCCTGGAAGCGGAAGCGGCCCGGGAGGACCACTAAATCACTTCGCCGGGCGCCCGCCCACTCCGTCCATCTGTTTCTAAAGGTCGTGAACGGTTTGGGCTGCTTCAATGCGAAGAGCGTGTTTTGAGGTATTCTTACGCGCCAGGCTTCGTCGGGGCAGCCGTTCTTTTGGCCGGTGGTGTGGAGGGCACACAGGGCCTCAAGCTTCAGGAAACTCACCACGTACGTGACGACGTCGCCGGGTAGTTTCCTGAGCGTGTTCTCCGTCGAGGTCGTCGCGGGCTGCGCCATGGCGGCGGCTGATTTTAACTGGGCTGCGCCGCGAATTTATAATTGGCTCTGGCCTTGTCACTGTTCAAGCGCCTCGAGAGCAACAGGCGCGGTCTCATCGATCCGCGCGCCGGGGGGACGTCTGCCGCGCGGCCCTGAGATGTCCTGTCGGCGGCGGGGCGTGCGGGGCTGAGGACCAGAGAGCACACCAAACACCAGCTGAAAAAAAACACCTCAAAAGGCTACCCCAAGCCGCATCGGTCGTAATATGATCCTCACGCAGTGCGCCGTCTGCGCCACCGAGCTTGGGCTAACTTTGGGCAAGAAATGCGGCCGCTGCAGCACGCGCTACTGCGGGGCAGCCTGCCAGGTGCAGCACTGGAAAGAGGGCGGCCACGACAAGCTCTGCAAACCAATAAAAAGAGCAGGCGGCGCCGAGCAGCACAATGCGAATCAGAAGTACACGGTGGCCGTAGCAGTCGCGGCGGAGGCGTGCGCGGAGGACACGAAGGGCCAGACGTGCTACATCTGCACGCAGGCCCTCCACTGGAAAACGAAGGAGTGCCTCGTGCGCGGGTGCGCGTGCCGCGGGACGGCGGGCTTCGCGCACGTGTCGTGTCTGGCGGAGCAGGCGAAGATTTTGGTCGCGGAGGCCGAGGCGAACAATTTGGGCGTTAAGGTGCTGGATGAGAGGTTGAACCGGTGGCACACGTGCAGTCTGTGCGAGCAAGGCTACCACGGCGTCGTGCGGTGCGCGCTCGGGTGGGCGTGCTGGAAAACATATGTTGGTCGGCCGGAGACGGACCAGCTTCGGATCCCTGCGATTAACCTGCTTGGGAACGGGTTACACGAATCAGGACAATACGAGGACTCGTTATCAGTGATGGAGGCCGAGTTGGCTATGAAGCGGCGCCTTGGCGTATCAGAACACAGCATTCTTGTCGTGCAGAGCAATCTTGCGAGCACATATAGTTGTCTAGGACGGCAGGAAAACGCCGTGCGGATGTTGCGAGACGTATACTCCGGGAATTTGAGGCTCAAAGGCGAAGAAAATGGAACGACCCTTTTAGCAGCCAACAACTACGCGTTCACCCTTATTGTTGTAAGGCGCTTCGAAGAAGCCAAGTCGCTGCTGCGCAAAACAATTCCAGTTGCGCGACGCGTTCTCGATAATAATGAAGAGACCACGCTCAGGATGAGGATGAATTACGCGAAGGCGCTCTACGCGGACGACGACGCCACGCTCGACCATCTCCGTGAGGCAGTGACGACGCTCGAGGAGATAGAGCGGACAGCGAGGCGCGTTTTCGGTGGCGCGCACCCGGTCGCAACGCAAACTGCGACATCCCTGCGAAACGCACGAACCGCGCTCCGCGCCCGCGAGACGCCGCCGACGAGTAAGTCACAAAACTAACGCCGCCGACGAGTAAGTCACAAAACTAATTCTTATGATTGCGGGATACTATAGGATTTCGAGTTCTCCGCCAGGGCCCCGTCGTCGCTATCGTAGAAGACGCCGTCCTTCCGGAAGTACGGGAGGGATTTGATCGGCGTCAAGGCCTGCTTGACCCCGTAATCGATGGCTCCGTCCTCCGTGATCGTCCAGATATGCTGGGACATGACTTTCCCGACGTGCAAAGACAAATAGCACTCCTCGCAGAACTCCTCGTCGCACTGCTTGCAGTAACGCACGGCGAACTGCGACATGCAGTGCGAACATTCCGGTTTATTGACCGTGATGTAGGTGTGATGTTGCCGCCCCGCATCATGGACCACGGGCCAACATTGCGCGCAGAACTTGTCGCCACAGTAGTCGCACAAGCGCGACGCGTCTCTCTCCTCGCATTCACTACACCTCTTAGCTTCTTGGAAGGCCACCATATCTACGGCGTCCATCGTTAATAATGGATTCATGATAAACTCCGAAATACCATAGACCTTTTCGAGGTGGAGGCACCGTTTCACATCTGTAAAACCTTCGACGGGTTCCTCGTCGACCGTCTCACCGGTCTCCAATGAAGTCCACACTATTCTTTGTTGATCTTGCGTCAATAGCGTCGTGTCGGGGTCGATGGGTATGCCCGGGTTCGCCGGGTCCTCGGCGACCTGCCTCCAGGACTTGGCCTGCTTCACTCGTCGTTTACGAGTCTCGATCCGCAACCGCTTCGTGAATCGACGAGCCGAGAACCCGCGACACAACCGCTGGCACTGCTTGTGGTTGTTGATCAATCTCAACTTTTTCTGGCGCAGGTTGTGCATCTTGATGCGCGTCATCATCCTTGCTCGCTTACCTCGATAAAAAGCTTGCATTTTCGTGGCCTGATACACGAGTTCCTTGTGGTAGGCGTCGGCGATCTGCCTCAAAATCACAAAGCGATGGCAGGCCATCATGACCCTGATCCGGGCCTGGAGCTTCTTGATGATTCCCGCGACTCTACGTTCCTCCCTCAGTCGAGCCGCTTCCCGTCGACCTCGTCTTCCCCTCGCAACGCGTTGTATCAATCTAGAAGCCTTCTCCTGCTCGCGCGCGAGCCTTCGCCTGTCAACCTCGGCCTTCGCTTGCCTCTGGCGTTCCCGACACTGGATCATAATTGCCGCGTCGCGCCGCCGCTTCTGCTCCAGCAAGTACGCCCTCCGACACCGTGCGAGATAACACCTCCAGGCGCACTGTATGATAAGCGCCTTACATTCCCTCCGGTACTCATACACCAGTATCTGGAACTTTTTCCACGCGGCCCGTCGCCGCCACATGGCTTGTAAACCAGCAGCCGCTCGTCGGCAGCGTTCCGCGTACATGGCCTCGCGCGCCGCCTGCACGATCCTCCTCCCGAGGAAGCTCCGCCACAGCCGCTGCATCATCAATGCACAGATGGTTTGCCACCGCACCCTTTCAATAATCCTCAATCTAGCAACCAGCGCACACCAGGCGATCCAGCCCCGCGCCATCGTCCGCATCAAGCCGTCGAGCCACGCGAAGGCGAGTTTGCGACTACCTTGAAATTTTCTGTATTCTCGAGCACGATACGCGGCAAGTGCCGCCTCCGCCTGCGTCCGCCACCGGACAAAAGAAGCGTGCACCAAGGACAAGAACACCCGCTCCAAGAACTCCCAGGCCCGCGTCGCGCCCATCTTCCACATCTTCGCCGCTACGTCCGCATCAGTGACGTGGAATTGACCCTGCGACTGGCCGGTGATGATTTCTTTTATAGTAATGACTTCCTCGTCATGGAGCTTGATGGACGTTGCGAGTTCAGGATCAACAGCAAAGGCATCATCCTCAAGTGTACCAGTCTCGAGCAACTCGGTCCACGGCTTCCGGTCAGTAACGGTCAGGTCCATCCGCTTCGCGAGAGCGGCTCGCCTTTCATCAGAAGTAGCTTTCGGCGGTGAGGGAGTAGATGGTGCTGAACGAGGCCGCAGCGGGTCCCGCATATCTGAGTCCGTTTCCCATCGCCTCGCTTCACTATCATCTGAAGCGGTCATGCATCGTCTTCTATCGGGCCGCGCGAACGTCGTCTCGAGCTTGTCCACCTCTTCATCGGACAAAGCGAGAGAGTCGCGGAAGACGTCCCTCTGATGGCCCTCGTAATGTCTCACTTCCTCCTCTCGGTCTTGTGAATTGCGAGGTAATCGTCGTCGAAACGGCGTCTTCTCCGACGCGGGAGGCACGCGCAACGAAGGTAAGTTGACGTAGCCCTCCTCATCCTGGGAGAAGAGTACTTCACCGTTCGAGGCTAGCAATGGCGCCAGCTCCAACTTAGCTCGGACCGCGGTGGTCGCGCCGCCGACGGGCACCTCGGCCCGCAACCGTTCTCTACGCCTTTCCGCTCTTTTGGTAGCCCGCGCTTCGGCCGCCTCGATCTCCTTTATTTTCAACGTGCGGAGCAGTTCGAGGTACTCGGTCTTCTCCCTTAACGCGATCTCCTCGTGGTAGGGCACCGTCAGGTAGTTGCGGAAGAGGAGGCGGCCCGGTTTCGAGTCGGGGGGATCCGGTACTAGCCTCGGTGTTGCTACCATGGTTGTTGTTGTGGCTATGGTCTCATCGTGGGGCTGGCACTGCGGTTTGCCCCGGCTGCCCGGCGCCCGGTGGTGGTCCGGCGGGTCCTTTTAAGGCTGCCCCGCGCGGCGACAGCGTCGCTATGGCCGCCGCTCGGCCGATTGCTCGAGCGTTGGCCTTGCTAGTGCCTTACGCCGCTAGCTGGGGCGAGTTTAATCCGGCTTTGTTGCGCGCGGCTGGGGGCATTCGTCGTTTTAGACCTTGGGCGCTCTCTGGATACATTCTGTCCAGTCCTGCCGCGGTAGCGCTTTCGTTGGCGCACCAGCGTAGGCTCAGCAGCAGCACCCAGGCAGCACTCCTGACCCGGGCGCGCGGATTTGCGCTAGCGGTACGCAGATCTGAGTAGTAGTTCCAGTTATGACCAGCCGGGTGCCCAACGAGCTTCAGTTATGACCAGCCGGGTGCCGAACGAGATAGTCCTTGCTACGGCCCGCGGCGACGTCGCGATGGTCCGGAGCTGGCTCGAGAGCGGCGGAGACGCGAACCAGGATTTACCCGATGGATACCGCCAGCTTATAAACGTGTTCGAGGAGATAGACTCGGATGACGAGGATAATAATGTCCGCGGACAACGACTTCTCGCGGTCGCTACGGAGCATGAACACTGCGACTTGATCCGCGTCCTCATAGCCCACGGCGCGGACCTTGACCACGAATTTTACTATGGGGGACCCAGAGCTACAGCGTTATACTTGGCGATGGACCAGCAGTTTGCCGATGCTGCAAAATTACTCATTGAGAGCGGCGCGGATATCAAATTTAAACAGGACCCTGATCGTATCATGAGAATTGTTATACAATATCCTCGTCTCTTGCGGATGATGCTTATTGTCGGAATAGATACGGACGCGAAAAGTTGTCACGGCTTGACGCCTGAAAATTACGTTCGGTCACGGCTCGCCTATTTTCGTACTTCATGCAATTACGAAGTGGCCTTCTATGCGGAGTCCGTGTCGATCCTCGAGGGGACGCGCCTGGCGGGATCTTACAAGGGCTATGTCTTGGCGCCATACAAGGAGTTGCTGCGGCTCCGCTCCCTCCTCGCGCGCGGCCGCGCGAGCTTCGGGCCGGCGACGCCCGAAGTCGTCGCGCGCCTCTTCGGCGGGCGGGCTGGTTTCTTAACGCGCGCCATTACGACGCGCCGTATTCGTGCCCCGCCGCGGCGCACGGCAGGCGTCCCCGACCCGGTCTTCTGGAAGGTGATGGAGTACTGGCGCCTTGGCGGCGGCGGCGGACTGGCGGATTGGCGGCGGCGGACTGGCGACTGGCGGCGGCCGTAAGTGCGTCCCAGCGCCAGCTTCCTCAGGAACGGGATGCCCGCCCCGTACGCCGTCGACGCGCCACCCCATGTGTCTAAGAAAGTATGTACTATGAACAGCCTTACGGCACCGAAGACTCCTCGGTTTGGGAAGGAGCCTCGTCCGGCGGCCGGAGCCGCAAATTCGCCCGCCGGCGGTGGCGCGGGTACTCGACGACGTGCGTGTCCGTCGGCTCGTCGTAGTCCACCACTAAAGCGGCGCCGCCATGTTTCGCACCTAAGTCGACCTTCCTCCCAATAACTTCAAATTTCCACAGGTATCTTTCGCGCGACGCGCCATCGACCAAGGTGTCGTACGCCTCCTGGGCCGCCCGCAATCTCGCGCGAGTAGCCGCCGTCTGCGGTTGTTTCGACTTCGTGTCGACGCGCGCCACGATGGTCCGGTGAGCCGTTTTGACGTTTGGCGTACTGCACTGCTCCGGGGCCAAGCCGAGCGCGGCCAAGTGCTGCGCCGCCGCGAGTCGGCGCAACCTAGTTCGCGTCGACGGCGGGCTCCCCATGGGGTTGCGCTGCGGACTGAGCCGCGCGTGGGCCTTCCTCGCGTCTCGAGCAATCTGTTGGTCGGGATGATCAGCCAGTGAAGATAACGCTTCCCGGGCCTTGTCGAGGTCGCCCAACAATACATAGACCTTGCCCAGGCGCAGTCGCGCGCGCACGTGCGTCGGATCCAGTGCCAAAGCGCTTTGCGTCGCCTCGTAAGCTTTTTCGGCGTGTGCTCTTCTGTTCGCGGGTTCAGCTACACCGGCACTCAACCAGGCCGCGGCTTCGTCGGCCCTCGCCTTCGACGCGTCCTTCGGGTCTCGGCAGGCTGCCGCATGCTCGGCGAAGAGGGCTGCGGCTTGGACAAAGTCCTGCGACGCGAACTTCTGGCGCGCCTGGGCCCGCGCGTCGTCGGCGTCACCAGTCAACTTCTCCTCGGTCGTCGTCGCCGGCGCCGCGCCGCGCGTGCGCTTGGCGGGCGTCTCTAGTAAGGGTGGTGAAGGTCTTCGCTTGGTGGCCGCGGCGCGCGGTTTTGGTGGATCCATGGACTGGCGCGCCGGCTCCGGCGGGGTTGCCGCGTCCCCGGCCGCGCCCCCGCGCGGCGTGGTGGGTGGCGCTTGCATTTATACGGCGAACCACACTCGACTGTTTACAGTGGGGAGAGCCCTAGAGGGATGATCTCCGCTAACGATTTTAAACTTTTTTGCCCTTTGGACGTCCTTTTGCGTCCATGCGGCTCGTACTCGGCTTCGAGGCCCTGGGAGCGACGTTTCGAAGGCTCTTCTGCCAATTTGGTCTATTCGTGCGGGTTTTGGGCGGGCGGTCGAGCTGTTTTTCCTCTCCTCTCACGGCTCTGTGCGGTTTTTGATGCGTTTGGTCTGCCTTTGGACGGATCATATTTAGTGTTTTTTAGCCGCAAATCGTGCCTTTTTTGGCTGTAACAAGGCTAAAGAGCTAGGCGCGCTACCTGAGCCAAGTAAATTTTGCAGTCAGCAAGCGATATTTGTCGATACTGAGCCACGGCGAAAGTGGAGCAGCCGGTCGCGGGGGAGTTCTCGAGCAAATGAGCTCGACAGCTGCCGCAAGCAAATGCGGCGCGGCACCGCTTTGCGGGACCGCACGTGCGCTTTACGGCTGCTAGCACACCCACCGCACGCCGCGGCACGGGCTCTGGCGCGCCACGGGTCGCGGTGCTGCGCGTCCGGCCGACAGCTCGGTCGACATCGGATTCTCGGCGGCGCTGACCGGCGGCGCTGTCTGGCTTCTTGATGGCAATCGGCGCCGGCTGGCCGGCGACCGACGCGGCGCTGCCTGGCCTCTGAATGGCAAACACACACGAACACGACGCGAGTCCCGAACCCCCCCACGACGAGCTCGTCCGCGCAGGTTAGGAAAAGATGGCCCGAGTCGCCGTCTGCCTGGCGCTCATCGCGCCGGCCGCGGGCCTCGTGGCGCCCGCGGCGCCCGCCGCGTCGACGGCATTGAAGGCCGAGGCCGCGGCGTCGCTCAAGGGCATGTCGGGCGGCGTCCAGGCCGGCGACCCCATGCCCGGGGAGGGCCCCTGGGACCCGATCGGCTTCTCGAAGCTGCACGAGAACATCCAGGGCTCGGAGCACGCCGGCGTCGTGCCGTCGCAGCAGTGGATGCGCGAGGCCGAGATCAAGCACGGGATCTGCGCCGAACTCACATCTTCGACCGACCTTCAGCGTGACAAGCGACGTTCTACTTCGTAGCAGTACCTCACCAAACGCAGTAGCTTACTCTTGGTGTACGCGCCAGCTCCTAGGCCATCCCCTAGGACTGGCTGGTGCGTCTGAGGTGGAGTCATAGAACTCCGGAAGGAAGCCCGAAGTACGTGAGAGATCGTCGAAACGGGCATTCCATATACTGCATCTCGAGGTTTCTCGTCTTCGAGCTACTTACTGATGAGAGAGAGAGAAAGCGGCGCGACGCCATCGACGCGATGTTTTCACCGTGACCGCGGCGGTTCGATGGCGTGGAGGGCCGCGAAGGTCCACGCAATTGTACCCTGAACTCACCGCGCGATGTCCGCCCAGGCACGGCCGCGTGGCCATGTTGGCCTTCACCGGCGCATTGGTCCAGTCCTATGGCATGCACTTTGACGGCAAGCTGAACGGCATGTTCTACGAGAAGGGCGTCAACCCCTTCGAGGCGACGCCGAGCGCCTTCGCGACGAACCCGATGGGCATGGCGCAGATCCTCCTTTTCATCGGCCTCACGGAGGGCTACACGTTCCCGGAGGGCGCGTGGAGCGGCGACATGAAGCGCGAGCCGGGCGACCTCGGCTACCGCGTCATGCGGTCGGCGGACGTCATGGAGGAGCAGCAGATCAAGGAGCTCAAGAACGGTGGCGCGCCGCGTCCATTTTTTCGCGTTGGCGGCGTTCGAGGGACCGGCCCCCCCACCGGTCGACATGACGCAGACGCCTCCAGCCAGTGCGCAGAAATTCACTACTACCCACGCAGGCCGCGCGGCGATGCTCGGCATCATGGCGTTCAGCGCGGCGCACTTCATCCCGGGCTCGGTCCCGTTCTTCTTCAACGCGTAGGGCGTTGCGCTTGAAATTGCAGTAGGGTGGGTAAGTTTCGCAGACTTGTAGTCTTAGCGCCTCCTAGGGCGCCGCGCGCGCCGCGGCGGCCACGTCGAGGATGTTTTCCGTTGAGTAAGAAACTAGAGAAGAAGTGGCGTACAACGCGTCGACGTCCTCGGAATAGGTCTTGATGACGGCCGCCCTTTTCACCTTCATGGTCGGCGTGAGTTCACCACCATCCACCGAGAAGCACCGATCGAGCACGCGGCACTTCTGGACCGTCTGGGCCCGCGACTTCGCGTGCGACTTGTTGTACGTCTCCAACGCAGCCGATATGTCGTCGGCCGACGGCGGCTTCGTGGTGTCGTCCGACGGGGCGACTAATGCGGCCAGATACTTCTTGCGGTCGCCTATCAGCACGACGTGGCCGCAGCGCGGAATCAATGAACACAAGACGTTCTCGATGGGCGTGGGAGCGACGTTCTCGCCGCCCGCCGTGATAATTAAATCTTTCTTGCGACCCGTGATCCGCAGGTAGCCGTCTCCGTCGATCTCGCCCAGATCCCCCGTGTGGAGCTGGCGACTGCTCGGGTCGACGGCCTCGTCCGTGGCCTTTCGCAAACCGCGGTAGCCGCGCATGACGTTACCTCCTCTCCACAGCACCTCGCCGTCGCCGCCGATCTCGACCTCGCCCCGCGGCAGCGGCCTCCCACAAGCACCTACCGGCCTTGCACCATCTAAGGGTCCGCAGACGGCAATAGCACCACAGCTCTCGCTCATGCCGAAGACCTCCAGGAGCGGCATGTCCAGCGACCGCAAATAGCGCTGCGTCGCTTCGGACAACGGCGCCGCGCCCGTGTACAACAGCGTGCACCTGTCGAGGCCGCACGCCTTTCGCACTTTTTTATACGCGAGAATTTTGAAGAGCCCGAACGGCGCCGCTAACACAACTCTGAAAATTTCAGGAGTGTGCTCGTGCCACCAGAGGCCGCCCACTTTCTTCGCCGCTGTACCAATCGCCTTCTTCGCCTTGCTGGCGGCGTACGCCTCCTTTGCCTTCGATTGCATCGCCGCGGCCATCTTCTCCCAGACGCGCGGCACGCCGAAGAATAAAGTAGGTCTACATTGTAGTAACGTATTTTTGAGCGACCCCTTCAGAGCCATCGCGTCGGCGAAGTGCACTTGGGCGCCGCAGTAAATCGCCGAATAAACATCAATACCCATGGCCGCGATATGCGAGAGAGGTAGGTACGACACGAGTCTTGTGCGCTCATCCAGCGGAATCCGAGCATGCATCATCGCGCAGACCTCCCTGACACTGTTGTGCGTCAATTCAACAGCTTTTGGATTTCCCGTCGTGCCCGACGTGTAGACGAGCGAGGCGACATCTGACGACGATGCCGTGATGGACAAGCGCGCGCCGCCCCGCCGCACGAAGGAATCATAAGCTAGAGCGGGTCGCACCTTCGACGTCTGAGTAGCGTCCAATAAAACAACTTTGAGACCCGGAAAGTCGTTGAATACCGATTTATAAGTCGTTGATAATTGCTTCGTGGACTCCAGCACCAAGACGCGGACGCCGCTCGTTCTGATGATGTGCGCCGCTTGCTCATACGTATTGGTCGTATATATCCCGGACACGGTCCAGCCCGCCTTGAGAGCGCCTAGCGCGGCGAAGAACCAGCGCGGCTCGTTGAAGGCGTGCACGGCGACGCCCTGCTTCTCGCCGAGCTCTATCAATGACCGGGCGAAGGCGGAGGACTCATTGTCGTACTGGGCCCACGTGTATTGTGTGCCGTCGCAGGCGACGAGGGCGACGGCGTCCGGTGTTTCCGTAGCGCGCTTGGCTAAGGCATGGACGACGGTGGGGCAGTCGGGCAGGCGGCCGCCTTGCTTCGCGATGCGTTCTTCGCGTTTGCGGTTGCGCCAGCGCTTTAGAGCTCTTATCGTGATCGCGGCGAGGCCTACGCCGCCCCAGACGGCTGCTGTTGTTTTTAATCGGCTGCTTGGCATGACTTTTTTGCTAGTTTTCTACGGAGGTGTCGCGTCGATTGCGTGATCTGGGTCCAGAAACACAGGCCGGCTTTTGAGGCTTTGTACGCGACCGCTTCGTGGTTCTAGCTCGCGGCAATTGCGGAGAGAGTTAGCGCGTCGTTGAAGGTAACTTTGTGTGACAGTTTGGCTGCACACAGATGCCTAGTTCTGCTGCGCAGACCCAAGTTTAAGCTAGGCTCTCGCAATACATGTAATGCTAGCGGCCTGTAAGACACTAGGAATCGATTTCGGCCGCAAGTAGGACTATTAACAAGTATATATTACGCCGTCGCCGCGGTAGAAGACGCCGCGGTAGACGCCGTCGCCGCCGCGGGCGCCGAAGCCACCGCCGCCGCGAGCGCGCCCGGCCGCTTCTTCGGCGACGCCGGCCGCTCGTCGTCCAACGCCTCCAACCCATCAATAAATTCCTTCGCCGTTAACGAACCGTTCCCGTCGTCATCGATCACGTCAAATAAAGCCCGCAGCTCCCGCGTAGAATGGTCCCGCAGCTTCCGGCCCCGAGCGAGGACCTGCCCAAAACCACCAATACGACCCGCGTCCCGCACGCGTTGCACAAACTTTTGTTTGGAAATCCCCCCTCTCCAACAAACCTCCTCACGAGCCTTCCGCCGGCGATCGCGCGCCGCCGTTCGACCGATCTCCCAGACCTCGACCGCATGAATAAATTCGTCAAAACTAAGTGAATTCGACTGGTCCTCGTCGATCTCTTGAAAGATTTTGGCGAGCTTCTTATCGGACAAGTCCGAGAGCTTCTGGCCGTTCGGTAACCCAGCATTCAACATGCCCATGCCGCCCTTCCCAGTCCTCACGCAGTGAATAAATTCGGTGAGTGAGAAGTCTCGGCCTCCCGCGACTTTCGCCTTCCTATCATTTTGATGTTCTTGCGAGGCCGGTGTCCCTACCAAGCCCGGGATCGTGGCATCGCCTCCGCAGTACATGATGCGATCACGGTTCACGAGTTTGTTTGCGCTCAGTGAGAAAGTCAATAAATTCTGGGCCTTGCAGCCGGGTGAACCCCGCCAGCCCTTCTCTAGTCTTTTCATGTTTTCGCGGAAGGACGACCCGTCGTCCAGCGTGACGCCCGGGATTCGCTGCGATCGTCGCATTCGCGAGGACTTGCGCAGCGTCGTATCGACGGGGGGCTCCCAGCCTCCGTCTGGCAAGTCATCGATGGATTTCCCGTTGTCCATCATGCGGACCGCCTTCCTCGAGCGTCTAATCAACCGGTCCTGGACGCGGTTGCCCAGATGCAAAACCTGCGAGCGACGCGCCTCCTCTGATGGACGAGTCGCGTCGATGGCGTACGCGACGGAGCGTCGGACGCAGTGTACAGTACCTGGTATTGGAGCCCAAGCTCCTGCGTGAGGCAGGCCGTTTCTTTCTGGATGGACGCTTCGGCATATTTCTGGAGCGCGGCGTGCAAAGCCTTGGGGTCAGGCTGTGGCATGGTTGTGTGGGGCAGCGCCGGCGGCGTGCATGTGCAGCGCTCTCTGCCCTGCAGGCTGAAACTTGGGTATTTGAGCAGGTTTGCCAAGGCCTTTCGATGTCTGTGAGGAGGCTTTGGAATCGTGTTTCGCCGGAAACCCCAGCGAGCTAGCGACACGAGCTCTAGAGGCGGAGGCTCGAGCTGGCCTCGCGAAACTCGGCCTAGGCTCACGCCCTAGGCTGTAACAAGCGAGGAAAAGTCGCCTGCCGACATCCAGACCACAACGCACACGCCTCTCCGTCGTGCGAAGTGGCACCGAGCACTAAAGAATGGATTTGGGTTGTTGCCCTTAAGAGTTGCCGCGGGCCCGGTAGCGCGCTAGCGCGCTGGCTAACATGATGGACAGCTCTGGAAGTGGCTCTGGACGCGGCATGGCCCGGGCAGCGCCGCACCAGGTCGCCGCGTTCAAGGCGCGGCTCGCGGCCGCGTCGCGGCCGGATCCCGCGCCGCCGAAGGGCCGCTGGGCCGCGCTGCGGCCCGGCGCCCTCGCCGCCCGCCCGGCCGCCGCGGCGCGGCTCTCCACGATCGAGTCCGCCGGCAGCGACGGCCTCAACGCCACGGGCCCCCGCCAGATGGCCCACGACACGTCCTCCTCGTCCAGCAGGAAACCCCTCGCCCAGCAGGACACGTCCGCCCACGACACGTCGTCGTCCAGCAGAAAACAACTCAGCCAACAGGACACGGCCTCCTCGACGGCGTCCCATCTGCGGGACGTGGCGACGGAGGAGGGCTTAAATACGACCGAAAGTAGTGGCTTCGACACGAGCGGCGCGTCGTTCCTGGGACCGCTCGGCATCGGGCCCTTCGAGTCGTCGAGCGAAGGGGCCGTCGTGGCGCCGCCCAAGCAACGGACCTTCTCGGAGACGGGCGAAGTGTCTCCTGCTCGGAAGCAGCGGCCCCCACAACCACCGGCTCGTAGGGACTGCCCGGCCATGACGCTCGAGCGGTCGACGATTTTTGGGTTTCGCGAGGAAAAGGACAAGTACTCGATGCGCAAGCACGGGTCGTGCTCGTCGTTCGACCGCCAGTCCTTCGATCATAGTGGCCACTCGCTCTTCGGCGTCGAGTCCGTGGCGTCCGACACCGACGGGTCGCCGATCAAGGACAAGGACGGCGTGCGGCCGGCGCCGTCGATGTCGTCCCCGCTTACAGTGCCCGAAGAGTCGCCGTCGCCGACGGCGCTCGCGGCGCTCGCGGCGCCGCGGCATCCCTCGCGCGTCATTGCTTTTGCAGCCGTCGGCGCGGCGTGCGCCGCGGAATTTGCGCTGCGGTGGGGCGCCGCCGACGCGTACCCGCGGGACGTGGCGCTCCGCGCGTCCGGCGCGTTGTGGTGCCTCGCGGCGCTCGCGGCGGCGCGGACGCTGTAGCCCCTCCCGGTCGGACGGGGTCGTGTACATATACTAAATAGTGACCACAAGGGCGGCGTCGCGCGGAGAGAGATGCCTTGTATATTTTGGCTCAGGGTTTGGAAAAACGGGTTTGGTGCCGTGAATCGCCGCGCAACGAAACAGGGTTTTGACCATCGTTTGGATAGATTTACAACACAGACACACGTCGCGGCCCGGCGCGAGCCAAAGCCAACGAAAAATACGCATCTAATGCAGCCTGCCCACACAACACTGCTGCAGAGCGCGCGCGCCGGGCGCCATCATCCAGGACGTCTCCAAATCGGACGACGCTACCAAAGCTTTTGTGAGCGACGTGTCATCGCGGTGCGTCAATCTGATCGCCTGGATGGACATCGTGCCGCGCGTGACGACGGATCTGGACTTCATGGACGCATACCTCGAGGACACGCTCCCGGCGCTCGCGAAGGACGCCGTCGGCCGGCCGCTCCCGAAACTTCTCTACTGGCTCCTCGACGCCCGCGGCAAGATCGATAGCCTCTACGACAAGGGCAAGGACGCCGAGCCTGTGCAGGCGCTTCTTGCTGTTGGGAAGACGCTGATGCACGGGTGCCCCCTGATCATGTGGGAGAACGACACGTCGGTTCCGAAACTCATTCGTGACCACCTCGGCCCCACCGACGACCCCGCGTTCCTCGAGGCCTACAAGTACAAGAAGCTCGAACGGGGCGAGGACCCCGTGCAGCGCGTCCTTTTCGAGCATTCACTGACGTACCAGGGGCTCAGCTACAACAAGCAGGACTAAGTCACACAACTAGCTTAATCCGCGCCCTCCTCAGGAGGAATCGAACGCAAGAGGCGCCGCGGGGGCTTTCGTCGAGGCGCCTCCGTGAAGTCCAGTGCCACCGCCTGCTTCGCGTGGCGCGCTTCCGCCTGGTAGCGGGCCGCTTCTTCCGCGAGCGCATCCCTCAAGTCCCGATCATGGGCCTCCTTCTCCCGTTTTTCCCGCATGCGCTTCTCGAGGTTCGCCGCGCCGCGCGCCGCGCCGCGCAGGTCGACGCACGGGCCTTGTAAGTCGTCGCGTGCGCGGCGCTCGTAACTTCGGGCCTTGGCCCGGTTCTCGCGGTACTGGTCCGCGAGCTTCTCCCGATAATCACGCGGGTCCGCGGCCACCTCGACGACGTCGTCCGCGCAGCCTCCACTAACAATCCGCTCGCGCTCCTCGCGGACGCGCGCGGCGCGGAAGCGCCGGTTCTCGCGGTACTGCTGCGACGCCGCTTGTTGCAACTCCTTCTGGCGCGCCTCATAATCTCGTTGCAAGGCCAAGGCCTGGTTCCGCCTCGCGGTTCGTCGCGGCGAGGGCGCCTCGGCAGGATCCCCTTCCTGGTGCCGCCGGTTCCGTAAAGCTTCGGCCCTACATCTAGCGTACTCGGCCCCCAACCCCGCCGGCAGCATGTCCTCGACGCGCTTCGTGATCACAGTCTCCACAACGTCCTCTTCATCAGTGGTGTCGTCTTGAGTCGTGTCATTGGCATTGATACGAGTCGAACGCGCCGCCGCGACGGCGCTGGGCATGTGCTTGCGCACGTACGCGTCTTTAACCAAGGCATCGGTGAGTGGTCGTTTCTCCGCGTTCTTATGCAGTAATGACGCGACGAGCTCGGCGCACGCCGCCGAGTACCCGATGACGTTGGGAGCTCTCGACTGCGTGATCTTTACACATAAGGCGGCGAGCGAGTTAGCCTCGAAGGGCATCCGCAGCACCAGAATCTCGTAAAACAGCACGCCAAGCGACCAGACGTCCGCACTTCTCCCATAGGGTTTCCCTTCGAAGATCTCCGGCGCCAAGTAGTAGGGCGTGCCGATTCTGGTGGAAGCCAACTGCGTCGCGCCGCCACCGGACACGTCCAGTTGTCTCGAAACTCCAAAATCACCAAGCTTGGCCACGCCTTTCTTTGTCAGAAAAACGTTGGCAGCCTTCACGTCGCGATGGACGATGCGTCTCGCATGCACATGCCTCAGTGCCAATGTGATCATGACAAATATTGAAGCTGCTTCGTGCTCCGGATACGGTCGTCTTTCTGATCTTCTTTTACTAATAGCTTGGCTCAGGTCGCCGCCGTCGCAGTGCTCCAGCACGAGATAGAAGCGCTTCTGCTCATCACTTGAAAAGGACGCTATCAAGCGGCACACATTAGGATGCGAATGCTTCCGCAGCAGTTCCGCCTCCCGTCTAGCTTCGTCCCGCGCGGCCTTGTCCGCGCACCTTATTTCTTTGATCACGACGAACTCGCGCGTCGACTTGTCTCTGCATAACAAAGCTCGCCCGAAGGCGCCGGCGCCCAATTGGTCCACCACAACAAATTGGTCCATTGTGTTTCTGCGATGGCGCGGCGCAGCGCGACCGCGCGCGGGGCTGCCCTTGCCTGCGACGGCGTGCCGCCGGGCGGGGCTGCCTCTCTCTGCGTTCCCCTGCCGGTGTGGCACAGGCACGGCCCAGCTTTTGCGCTGCGCCACAGCGCTTTTTTTGCTAGTGTCTTACATGCCGCTAGCACGCGTTGCACATACTTACTCATAGGATGGGGGCGTATTCATCCCACATCTGATTTGCTTCAGCCACCTTGTACCACACCTCGATTTCTCCGATCTCACATCTTCCACCGGAAAAGTTGTAGACACTGATCGACGAGAGGGGCTTGTAATTGACTGCCAGCCCCGTAACGACCGGTCGCCCGTTGACGGAAATGTCGACCGAGCCGCGGTTCGTAGTCGCCGATTCATGATGAAAGATCGCATCGACGGTGTATGGCCTGTTGGACTTCGCATTGCAGAGGTCCCGTGTTCCTCCTCTGAAACTACACCAAACGAGTGTCTGTACTCCCGTTAAACGGTCTTTGTCGAATCTCACGCCGCCCATGGAATCGAAGAAATCCCCTCCAGGACCGCAGAGCAATACGTAGCCCACGGCGTCAGTTTGATTCCCGAGGCTCACTGTCACCCGGAACCGTGTCACCAGCAGATTCTCGCCGTCAATGTCGCGAGCAAGACCTCGGTGTACTCCTGTTCCAGGACCCATACTAGAATTGCCCTTGACGATCTCGAGACAGGATCCACCGCCGCGGAATGGTTTCACGGTGTACGCAGCACTGTGCTCCACTCTCCATTGTTCCAGCCCTCGCTCCCACTTCTCGCAGAGATAAGGGAGACCAAGTACTTCGAGGCACGCTTGCGTCGTCGGCGGGCTCGGCGCGGTCTTGCCGCGCCGTCTTATTGCTGTGAGGAGCACGCGCTGCTGCGCGGCGCGGAGTGGCTTGGCAACTATTGGAAGCACCGCGATGGTCGGCGTCGGCAGAAAATCCACCACCGAGTCGGTCACATCGTCTCGCGACCACAGCGCCAGAAATGGGAGGCTACGGTTGTGGGCCGCGCGCCTGGCAGTGCGCGTGGCCACCATTTGCCAATTCTAACGTGCAGAAAGGCCGAATCGTGCGTGCGCAGTTGTGGGAAGCGGCGCTCGTCCACCAAGCAAATTGAGGCGCAAAAACATGAAGCTAGCATCAGTAACACACTAGAAAAAAACAAAAAGCACACATTACTCCCCCGGGTTGTACATCGACGCCCAGGCCCGCTTGTCGTAGTCCGCGTCCCTCTCTTCAAGACTCGCCCGCCGCGCCTGCTCCCGCTGATGGACGACGTCGCGGTTCCGCTCGACCGCGTCCATGTCCAACTCCGCCGTCTTCACCTGGCCCAACGACCGCCCCAGCAACTTCAAACGACCCTTCAGCCTTCTCCGCTCGAACTGCAACCGGCGCTGCTTCACGGCCAAAGGTAACCACGACAGATCCGCCTCGCGCATTCTACCAGTAAGCGTCCAGGGCGACGCCGACCGCCCTACTTCTCGATACAGATCCCGATCAATACCCGTGTCGGCCCAGTTTCTGGTGGACGTGTGTTGCTTCTGATCGGTCCATCCTATTCTAGAACCTCGTTCATACAGCGCCGTGTCCTTCCTTCCATCTGCATATGTTATCGTAACAGAACCATCTATGAACCCCTCGACGAACAGCCCTTCGAGCGTCGAGCCGTCCATCCGCTCCAACAACCCATGTCCTTGCCGTTTATCGTCCTGCCAACCACCGACATATTTGAGAGGTCGATACAAGCCGTTGTTGCCCCCTATGTTACATCGTGTAGCATCCCCCCGCTCCACAGCCGGACACAACACCTGTCTTCCAAACCCACATCTTTTCCCTTGACTCCACTCGCCCTCGTAAGATCGACCGTCAATACAAACAAAGTACCCTCGGCCATCAAACTGATCGTTCTTATAACTACCTTCATAGCGACAGAACCCGCGACCCTTATGCTTGAAGCCCATGCCGCAACAATAATCAACACCGAGTTGATTCCCCCACTGCTCCCTACCTTGTCCATGCTTCCTATTGTCCTTGAATTGACCCGTATACGTGGGACCGTTATCGGCAGTAACAAACTTCCCCGTACCTTCCATTTTATCATTACACCACTCGCCTTCATACATATTCCCACTGACCCACCATCGTACGCCAAAGCCGTTCCTCAAACCACTACTTTTGGAAGCCTTCTGCCGACCCTTATCCTGATACTGACCTTCATAAAAACCACCATCACTCCACGTATATCGACCTCTCCCACAAAACATACCACCACTAAATAAACCTTCGAAGCGGTCGCCATGGCCATACATCAACACGCCCCTCCCCTCCGGTAGGTCCCGGTACCACATGCCCACGTACTGGTCATTGTTCGCCTTGTGGAGCATGCCTTCGCCTTCCTGCATGCCACTTACAAAATTACCACTGTATACGGAGCCATTACTGAACACTCGCGTCCCTTCTCCGTGAAACTCGCCGTGCTTGTAGTGACCGTCATACGTACCTCCCCCATTATAAATGAATTTGCCCTTGCCGTGGAAGCGGCCACCCTGCAATTGGCCATCATAACTATCGCCATTGGCGAATTGGATTTTACCACTCCCAGAGATCTTGCCCCTCTCAAACACACCCATCAACTTGTCTCCTTTCTTCGTCTTTAGCACGCCTTCGCCATGAAACAAGTTGTTCTTGAATTCGCCGTCGTACACCGACCCATCTTGTAGATGCTGGATGCCTTTGCCATGTTTACGACCATATTCGTAGGCGCCCTCGTACCGTTGACCCGTGTGCGGTATGCCCGGTGCAACATTCATAAAATCAACGGAAGAAAACACCCCATGACCGTGGAACAGGTTGTTGATCCACTCGCCGTCGTAGGTATTACCATTCGCATAGGTAAGTAACCCTAAACCTTCCCGTCTCCCCTGGATGAACTCGCCATGGTACCGGTCCAAGTTCGGGTACATCTTCGTGCCCTTGCGGTAGATCTTGCCGTCGCGGTGGACCATCTGGAAGGCCGTGTCATTTTGCATCTTTGACGATGCTGGAGGCTGCCCGCCTCACTGGGGCTGTGGAACTGGTCCTCACTGGCTGCCGGCCGCGCTGTGGGGGCGCGCCGACGGCGTGGCTGCTGCTGGTCGTCGTCCGCGCGACGTCTGTGGCCTCGGCTGTGCACCAGGTGCGGCGCTGCCGAGTGTCGGTTTTTTGCTAGTGTCTTACAGGACGCTAGCACCGGCTCACCCGCCGAGCAAAAAAGGCCTAAGCGCAGTGCTTGATCAATAGATATCTTGCCTGTGTGAGTTATCTATCGATCGAACTTGGCTGCGAAAGCGAATTGCCGTATCTGTGTGCGCAAATATATAGCAGGGCTGGTCAAGCTGTGCCTCACGCCGTCGCCGCTATGTCAGCGCTAGAGGCAAGAGCCGCCCAGCACCGCACGAGCGCGCGCCTCGAGCTCCACCAGGAACGACGTCGAAAAGAAGCGCTGAAACGGCAGAAGGACGCAAGGAGCGACCGCTCGAACCGCTTCCGCGCGCTCGAGCCTGAGCCACAGATAGAAGTGGATCAACAGCTCACGAAAGCGCAAAGAAAAAAGCAACGAGCCTTCGACGAAGCGAGACAACGAGCCGAGCGCTGGTCCGGCGAGCTTTGTAGCTATGATTGGTTATGTGATATACCGGACGATCTAAACGGTACCAATACATCTGAGGGCTGGTTTTGTATGCCTAGACCGGAGGGTCGAAGAGTCGTCCTCGTAGCCTCGAAGGGCAAGGTCGATACCAGACAGACTTCTGGGGATAGACTACACCAGTTCACTTGTGATTGTTTACCCGGTGGATCTACAAGGACAAAACATAAACCACAAACGATCCTCGATTGCGTCTTCGTCGAGCACTCCTCAACATACATTATTACGGATTGCATGTGCTGGGGCGGCTACGACCTGTACACCTGTGCCGCAGAATTTCGATTTTACTGGTTGCGGACGAAGCTCGCCGAGTGTCAACAGGAAGCCTGTGACGAGGACGAATTCAAGCTGGAAGTAGCGCCGTACTTCGACTGCGACCGGCAAGGTCTCGCAAAAGCCTATCGGGCGCCGTTACCTTACCTGCGAGATGGACTTCTGTTCTACCACAAGCAGGGCCACTACGCGTGCGGCCACACGTCTCTTGTGTGTTTATTCAAGGACGAGGAATGCACGCGACGGTTCAACGCCGATAGTAGCGGCGACCTCATCGCCGCGTTGAAGGTTATTGGTACGCATGCGGCGACGGTCGACGGCGTTTCCTTTCCTATTATTGGCGAGTCTCTGGAAGAACCGTTGGTCGAGGGCGAGCTGGCCCGGTTCGTCGTCGTGGCTTCCAACGATTCCGTGTGCGTCCGCGCGGAACGAAGGTGCTCGCCGAAGCGAGCGGTCGCCGACTGCGCGTCCAAAATAGCGTTTTTCCTGCGACGGCGCGCGGGCGGCGGGCTCCGGTTCAATGACCTGTGGGTGCGGTCGGCCGGGCCGGCAAACGAAAGCTTCATGTTGTCTAATTAATGTGTCACACAATTGATCGATTTACTCCTCACCGGGGTTCGCGACCCGAGAAAAGAGCCCTTCGAGCGCCTGGCGCTGCTCGTCGACGGACTCTAAAGTAGCACGCGCGGCGTCGGCGTCGACGCCGTTCTCGAGCAGCACCTCGAGCGGGACGTGATCCAACGTCCGTTCGTGGGTGCGCGCGAGGTGCACCTTCGGCTGCTTGCCCGCTTGTACTGCTTGAGCATATCTCGCGGCGCAGAGGCACCACTGGTCGCCCGGCATGACGCCCGGAAACATCCACTGCGGATTGGGAGTACTGAGGTCGTTGCCCACGCTCGCCGAGAATTCGAGGAACTCTTTAGTCGCCTCGATGCAGACCGTGTGCCGGCCCTCGTCGTCTTGGCCGGTCGAGCAGTGGCCGTCCCTATAGAAGCCCGTGCCGATGCCGCTTCCCCTTACGTCGGCGCAGCAGCATTCGAGGTCGCCTCCTAGGACGTTTCTAGGCACCTGGATGCCTGGTCCTTTTGCGGGTTCTGCGTAGAGGCGTGTATGTGGTCGCAGGGCCGCAGCGGCGCCAACGAGTGCCAAGAAGCGGGCCATTCGCGTTCCGGTCGTATTTCGCAGGATCTGGGGCGATTTGACTCGAACCACGCTTCGTGTGCGCGTAGAAATATATGGCAACGGGCTGTACGAGACGTGAGGTTCAAAAGACTGCGAGGCGGAGCTTCTGAGCCTGTCAAAGATGCCGATGCTCTCGTAATCAGCTAGCGCACTAAGGCACTAGGAAGCATGCGCTTTGGCGTAAATCAGGCTGTGCGCCTCGCTCGTAGCCCTTTGGCCCTTGGCTACACGCGCAGGACCCGTTCGGACAGCCAGCCAGCCCGCCGCACCACGCGCGCCCCGCGCGAGCCCCGTATTTTTACGGCACACACCTCCATCTGGGATACACAGCGCAAGCAAACACATCAATGGAGCCAGCCGACTACTTGGTGCACGTCAATGCGTTACTACCGTGCCTCGTCGTCTACTACGCATTATCAATACAAAAAAATGTCTTCCTGGCCGTGGCGCTCTACGAACTCGTTTTAGTTGGAGGACCGATCCTCACACGACGTCTAAGACGAGAGAGCACAGGCATAAAGGCAGTGGAAAGATTAGGAAGATCATTAACGAAGCCGCGGAAGTGGACGACCTGCGTGCAGGCCACGACCGGGACGTTGTGTGCCGTGGGCTTCGGCGGGTTTTTTATTTATCTGACCATGTTCCAAAAACCTCTAAAACTGCTGGGAATAGAGAAGGCCATCCGGGACGGAACGGCGGAGCGCGGATTGGTGCTGGGTTCGACGATGAGAGATGCGTTTCTGGTCTTCATGGGAGTTTGGTTTTGCACCGTGAATCCGCTCGTCGAGGAGTTATTTTGGAGGGGGTATATACATGCGGAGCTCGGGAAGCAGCTCGGCGGCCGCCGCGAAAGCGACGAGGTCTCGACGACCGAGGACGAGACGGACGAGGACGAGGCCTCGCCGCGGCGGCGGCGGCGCGGGTTGCTAGATGCGACGGACCAGACCGAGGCGAGCCGTCTGCTCGCGGCGGTCTACTTCGGCAGCTTCCATGGGGTGGTTGGCTACGTCGTCGCCGGTTTCGTACCCGCTGTGGTGGTCTTTTCCGCACTGGTGTTCGCGGGTCGATGCTGGACGTGGCTGGGAGAGCGCCACCCCTTCGGCTTTCCCTTCCTCGTGGCGTCGCACGCGGGCTGCGACGTCTGGGTGGTATTAGCTGTCAGTGCGTTGGACTTTCGGTGGGCTCATGCAGCGGCTCTCAGAGCCGCGCTGGCCGTGTCTCTCGTATTATGTGGTGTCGGCGTCGTGCTACTAGGAATGGCCTGGCGCCACGAGACGTTCCCCGCGCGGCCACGATGCATTGCGGCCGACGAGGAGCCACTCGCGTCGCCGCTGACGCGGACGCGGTCGAGCGAGCGCGCGGGCGTGGGCCTCGTGTAATAACGTATTGTGACTTTCTCTCCGCGTCTAGTATCACTCGGGTCGCGTCGACGACGTCTCGCGCGCCACGCGTGCGGGGCGACGACCAAAAAGCAAAAAGGCACAGAGCTTGGCGCGCGCGGCCCAACCGGCCCGCCGTCGCCGCCGCCGCTGCGACGACGCACGCCGCGGCGCAGCTCGATAGGTAAAGAGGCCCGAGGCAGCTTCGCCGCGCGACGAAGGCAGCCTTTTTACAAGGCTCAGGGGCTGCCCAAGATGACCGATGCGGGCGGCGGCTGGCTCGCCCACGTCGACCCGGCCACGGGCGCGACCTACTACGCGCGAGGAAATGATGTAAGATGGGAGCGGCCGACGGAGGCGTCGCAAGCGCCCAAGTGGCAGTCGCGGCTCGACCCGGCGACCGGCGCGACCTACTACTACAACGAAAGTACCAGAGAGACGTCCTGGACGCCACCGGAGGTGGAGAAGGAGGAGGCGGGCGAGTGGCGCACGCGCCGCGACGACGCGAGTGGCTGCGACTACTACTACCACACGGTGACTGGAGAGACGTCGTGGACGAAGCCGGAAGAGCGACGCCTCGACGAGCCCGAAGAAGAGCCGCGCAAGCTCGCGCCGCTGCCCTCGCCGCCGGCGTCGCCCCCGAAGTCGTCGCCGGAGCGCACGTCCCCCAAAATGGAACGGCGCGTGTCCCCGAACGTCGTCGCCCACGTGCCGCCTCCACCAATTATGAAGGAGCCCCCCGCGCGCCGGTCGAGCACGGAGCTCGACTACCGCGGGCCCGCGCCTCCTACGCGCACGGAGCCGCCCGCGCGGCGCCCCTCACTCCCGGTGCCGCCGCCCCCATTACCGGCGTCGCCACCATTGAAAAGACCGACGCCCCCTTCACTACCGGTCACAAGAACCTCATTAGACACCACATCATCTGAAAGTGAAGACAACGACTCCATCGCTCTCAGTACATCAGTACCCGCCCTAGCCCAGGACTACGAGGGCCACGACTTTCCCACGTTTGCCAAGGCCCACTTCCAGATGCACCGCAAGGGCCTGTTCAAGGCGCGGACGGAGCTCGACAAGATCTGCCGCTGGAAGAGGGCGACGATGAAGCTAGCTTTACTGGAAAGTTGTTGCCGCGACGCGGATCTACTCGCTGAAGCGTTACAAGCTCATAGGAACGTGACAGGGTACATGGGCGACCGATCATCCTCGAAGAATAAAGATGGTCATAGAACGAAACTCATCGGGCAGTTGTTGAGATGCAAGCAGGAGCTGCGCGACGAAGTGTACTGCCAGCTCGTCAAGCAGACGACCTTGAATCCGTCCTCCGAATCTGCTATCAGAGGCTGGGAACTCCTGCTATCAGTATTGTCAACGTGTCCCCCGTCTGAGCAGTTAGCACCTCATGTGGGTTGGCACTTCGGGGAACACTTGTCCTCAACCCAGGAGTCGGCGGACTACACGCAAAGTGTCGCGAGTTATGCGGAGAAGTGTTTGGTCGCCTTACCTCAAGTCATGAAGCTTGGTTGTCGCAGAGAGAAACCGACTCTACTCGAAGCGCAGGCTACCTCAAAGGGCGAAGGTATTCCGGTGCGAGCCTATCTAGTCGATGGGAGACATCTCACTATCAAAATAGATGCGTGGACCACGGCCCTAGATTTGGCCGACGCTCTTGGAAGTGAGCTGGGCGGCGTGTCCCGTCAGGATGGTCTTAGAGTGTTTGAGGTCTCCGACGAGGCGTTACAAGAACGCTGTTTAGATGACGACGAACGCGTTTTGGACGTCCTGGCGTACTGGGACCGCATGCAATTGCAGGATAAAAAAAAGAGGCGGAAGTCGGCGCACTACAAGCTCATGTATAAAGTGAGGTACTTTTATACGGATACCCTGTCATCACCTTGTGCGGAGGAGCTGCACTACCAGCAAGCGCGCCAAGATATTTTGGACGAGCGGTATCCCTGTTCTTTGCCTGAAGCTTGTACCTTGGCCGCGCTAGCGTTGCAAGAGCAATACGGAGATCGGAACGACCACTCGTTGCGCGTGGTGCAGGGCCATCTAGCTGACCATGTGCCGCCCTCGGCTCGTTCAGACAGAGATCTGATTGCTTCATTGGAACAGCGCGTTTTGAAGCTTTACGGAAAGTTGCGGGGTTATAGTCCCGAGGACGCGAGGCGGGCCTACGTCTCCACCTGTAGAGCGATTCCGGTGTATGGTGCCGCCTACTTCGAGGCCAGGCCGAAAACTACGGAATATCCGTCACAGGTCGTATTGGCGGTGACGGCGACTTCACTACTAGTGGTCGATCCGTCGTCGCGGGCCGTGCTCAAATCCTTCTCCTACGGCTCCGTCGTGACCTGGGGCCACTCGTCCGCATCCTTCGTCGTCGTCGAGGGCGACGAAGTATCTCATACCAAGGTCCAGTTCGCGACGCCGCACGGCCGCGAGATGAACGATTTGATCCGGGCGTACGTCGAGGCGCTCGTGCCGTCTTCGGAGGACTAAGGAGTGCTTGTTAGACTACTAGAGCTTAGCGATGCGCCTGCGAAGTATGGCCAAGTCGCCTTCCGCTTTCGATGTACTGGGGTGAGCTGTTCCAAGGACGCGGCGAAAGCGCCGGACCGCTTCCTCGAGGAGTCTCTCGGCAAATATTAATTCGTCTCGCGAGGCAGCAGCGAACGCCAGGACTGCATACGCATAACTGTGTGGCGGAGCAGGCGAAGATTTTAGTCGCGGAGGCCGAGGAGAACAATAAACGAATAGATTCAGCGTGGTTGCGGTGGCGCAAATGCAGTCTATGCGGCCAGAATTACCACGGCGTCGTGGCGTGCGCGCTCGGGTGGGCGTGCTGGAAGACTTATGTGGACCGGTCGGAGACGGACGAGGCTCGAAAAATGGCAATAAACGTGCTTGGGAACGGATTATATGAGGCTAGACATTACGAGGAGTCGTTGTCCGTGAAAGAGGCTGAGCTTTCTATGCGTCGGCGAGTTGGCGCATCAAAACAAAACATGCTCGGCATGCAGAACAACCTCGCGGGCGTGTATCGAATGCTTGGACGTGACGAACACGCCACACGGATGCTGCGAGATATATACTCCGGACGTTTGAAGCTCCATGGCGAAGAACATAAAGAGACCTTCGGAGCGGCCCTCAACTACGCGTCGTCCCTTGTCAAACTACTGCGCTTCGAAGAAGCCAAGTCATTGTTGCGCAGAACGATGCCCGTGACGCGACGTGTTCTCGGAGATACTGTTCAAATCACGCTCAAAATGAGGTTGTGTTATGCGTTCGCGCTCTACAAGGCCGACAGCGCCACGCTCGGCGATCTCCGCGAGGCCTTGGCGACGCAAGAGGACACCGAACGGATTGCGAGGCGCGTGTACGGTGGCGCGCACCCGATGACGACGGTAGCTGAGCGCGATCTACGAAACTTGCGAGCCGCGCTCCGCGCCCGCGAAACGTCGGGGATTGCGTAAAACACAAACACTTACTCAGAACGGCGACCGCCCTTTTTTACCGAACGCCGCCGCCGCCCGCGACAGCCGCACCGCCGCCTGGATCTTGGCGAGGGGCTGCTTGCCTACTTTTTCAGGATGAAGGGCAAATTCGCGATAGGCGGACGCGTCCGCATCCAACAGAGGCAATTCCAAGTCACCGACGGCCTCCGCCAATTTATCCTGCAAGCGAAACGGGTCCCGCACCTCATCTCGCAGTAAATCCACACAAAGTTGCAATTCGCGATGCGTCGCGTGCACTTCGCTATGCCTCTTCTGCGCGACTTTCACGAGTGTAAAGAAGCCCATCTTCCTCAACCTCTCCCTGATCTCTTCCGACTCCTTGGCGAGCTCCCGCAGCACCCAGGCCAGCATGACCGTCATCCCATGAAATTGATTCCAGCGCGTAAAAGTTTGCAACAGCGCTTCCGGTAGTCTAGCCGGTCCTAGCAAGAACTCCAACGCCTGAGGTCGCCTATCTCCTCGTAACGTGTTCAGACACACGCACAAAGCCCACCAATGTATTCTACGAAGGTCCATCTCTGAGGGTGGTTCGTCGTCCTCCGTCGTTCGAGCGCGAGAAGATTTCGCGATGCGCATCGTGCACTCGTCGACTTGTGATGACGGAATATCGCCCTCAACTAACGCTTCATAATTATAAGGAGGCGGCCGCGGCGCCAAATTGGCCAGAGGCGCGGTCTTTCTTAATTCATCATCGGCATCTCGCGTCTTCAATCTCAACTCCACACATCGCGCGTGGAGCAACCGACAGGCCAAAACCAAGCCACCACACTCGAAGGGTATGTTTCCACACACGCCCCCGTGGAACGCCATGTTCGCGCTGAGACATAGGAAATATTGTAGTGATTGTAAATCATCACCTAGCACACCGGGACCGTTGCGCAATCTAGCACCTTTGCCCGGATCTAGATAGCGCAACAACCGTGAAGGTGCCTCGAGTTCCCACATTTCGAGCGCTTGACTCGGATCAACTGTATGGTTACATATATACCGAGCGCATTTCCGGTACAGATCCCTTATAAGATCCCGAGACATGGGTTCCGACGACACTTCGTCGTTCATGGCCTCGACGTCATCCAATGCAGCAAAGTACGTAGATGGAGTCCTATTCACGTCTGAACATTTTTGAAAGCGCTCCTTCTTCACCCTGTAGAACTCCTCCAAGTATAACATGGCCTCCTTGACCACTTTCTCAGCCAGTTCTCGGTCTTCCTTGAGTTTCATCCTCCTGATCACTTCTGCTCTTGTTTTAGCCTTGGGCAACACCACAGGTTCATTTTTCTCTTGGAAGGCCTCCTGGATCACCTCCAGATCGTGGGGGTCCGCCTCCCAGCCCTTTTCTTCCGCATCGCGCAGAGCCTTCCTGAGATGTCTCTGCGCTTGAGTCACGTCATCAGCCACCCTATGAAATCCAGTACTAAATCCCTCCATCGAATACCCCGACGAAGAGGGTGCCCGCGGTCTATTTCGTAATTGCTGCAAGGACGCGTCATGACCCCACGTTATTGTAGAGAGTAGAGCGTCTCCTTGCGAAGGTTCCACGATATACCTTTCTCCCGCCCGTAAAGATGCTATACGCATAACAGTAGTACCATCCCGCTGCCGCTTGATCTGATCGACCTTCTGCAAACCCAAAATCATTTCTATTTGATGGATAAATTCTCCCCACGCAGATTCCGGTTCCCTCCGTAGATAGGTCTGGGTGATCTCCCGTATGTTATTTTGCTCGCCCGTCTTGTACACTAAAATAGTGATGGTGTCCTTGGCGAATTGTTCCGAGTAGTTGTCGGGTACTTTGCCATGGATGTCCAGTAAATCCCGCTCGTAGAACTGCCGCTTGGCTTCTTGCTCCGCCTCTATTTTAGCCTGGTCTTTGTCGGGGAGCCATACTGGTACTTCCCGCAACGCCCTCACGCCGTCGGGCTCGTACTGCTTCTTGAACTCCTTGCGCTCGCGACTGGCCCGCCGGCGTTCCGTGTAGACGTTCCTCCGTCTCGCTTCGTCGGCGTAGCCTTTCGCGCGCATCTCGGCGGCCGATTGCGTAGCGAGGCCGCGGGAGCTTTCGACCAGCTTCGCGCGCATGGCGGCGGGGTGCAGAGGGGGCTCCTTGGTCCTGATGGAAGGCTGGCGTCTTCTCGGCCGCGGCACGGGCTGGGCGTAGACCGAGGCCGACATGCTGCCCTTATAGCGCCCCAGCGCTAGCTCTGCCGTGCGGGAGGCAGCCCAAATGCGCCCGGCGCACCGCTGCCGTGCCGAAGGCGGCCTCCGCTTCGTCGTCCACGCCTATGACCGCCGTTCTCGTGCGCTCAGGCTGGCGCTGCGTGAAAACTAGTGTATCAATGACGCTAGTAATAATCGACACAGCCCGCGGCGGCGGACAACCGTGGCATTGCTGGGGGGGGGGCATAAATTGCAAATAAGGTGTGTGTGACGCCCTTGGCCCATACCGCTACCGTGCACGCGCTACGCGACGCCGGAAGAAACCCGCGCGCCAGCGACCCCTCGACAAAGTATTTCTATCTTTCTCTTAATCTCGGGGGATGGGGCTCCCAAAACTGCCAGGGACTATCATGTACATGCTATCGCCGCCGGTCGGCGAGCTGCAGCTCGCCGAACGCGTGGAAGACGCCGTTGCCGCGTTGCACGCAGCTCCCGTTGGCCAAGAACGTCGGCACGCCGTCCAGCAACGCGTTCTTCAAGTCGCTCAACTTCGTCGGCTTCGGCAAGACGCCCGACGACCCGTTCGCGCTGTACTGCCGTCGATCGGCTTCTAGTATGTTCCCGGTCAAGTTAAAACAGACCGTCGGCGGCCGCTGCTGCCGCACCTCCAGGTCGCGAATCGCCCGGATGGCCTCGTGGCCGACCATGGTCCCGTCGCCGGGCTCGGGCGCCTGGCCGTCGATTTCACGTTCGAAATAGGCGAGTCTTTTTTGGGCGTTCTGGATGCGGTCCGGGCCGAACGTTAACGATAAAGCGAAGCCGTCCCGCGGCGACAGCGTGTCGGTCTTCAGCTCGTTATCCTGGCGCTTCTTCTCCCTTGCTGCGGAGACGGCGCTACAATAACTTTCGGATAACTGCTGGTCCATGGTAACGACATGATAACGTCTTACGCGAGTCAACCGCGTCGCATGCTCCCCGGAAATGGCCGTATCTAACTCTATTTCCAGACCGGCATTTTCCTGACATAAGCGCTGGAACAGCGTCGCCACCATCTGGCGCATCGTCCGCTGGTCGTCCACGACGAGCACGCGCATCTTGCCTCGCAGTTTTAGTACCCTAGTGTTGTCCGACGGCCGCTCCTCGACCATCGTGTCCTCCACACTACCCGCGGGTGCGCGTTTCATCCTTGTGGCCAGCCACAGTAGTGTGCCAGGGCCACCCCTACTCCCAAGCGTCGTTTTGACATCTGGACAGACCGGCGACTCGAGCTGGATTCCCGTACGTAGAGCGCGCCACCACCGTCGCTGCGGCGTATGCTCGTATAAGTTCGTGGCCGAAGGCACCCTCGGTAGAGCATCAGCTTCCTTCATTTCTGTATCTTCCTCGTCGACCTCGACCTCGGGACCGCCGTGTAAGGACAAGACATTCGCGATCAAGTCAGCTAACCTCAAACCGATACCCGTACTACGACTGGCAGCAGCAGTGTCCGACAAATCCTCATGCGGCACCGCATCACCGGTAGTAAACGCCATCAGCACCCGCTTCTGCTGCGCCGGCGCGATGCCCGGGCCCGTGTCCGCGACCGCCAAAACGACGTCCGCCATGGACGACGACGAGTGTTCGAGCGCGGCACAGAAAATAAGTACCTTGCCTGTGGAAGTAAACTTCGCCGCATTCGACAGTAGATTGGTCATGAACTGGAGGAGCAGCACTCTATCTGTTAATACCACCAGAGAACCGGGCTGAGGCGCGTCCACGATCAACTCCACAGCATGCTGCAACCGAGGACCCTGCAGCTCCGCAGCCCTCGCACAAAGTGCCCCGAGATCAACCACATCTTCCTTCGGTAAGTAAGTCCCGTTCTCGATCTTAGCCACATCTAACATGTCATTTAACGTATTGACTGCGTGTTGACAGACCACCCTTTGATGCTCCGTGAGCTTGCGGACCGCGTCCGGTAGGCGCTGCATCATCTGCTGGCCTCGCTGACTGCTTTCGGTCTTCCTCGCATCGACTAACCGCTCAACAAGTAGTGGTTTCGTACCTTGCGTATCCGTACCGAGTGACGTGAGTGCGCCTCGCAGCTCCTCGACCTTCATGCGCTTCGCGAGCTTCGTCGCTTCTTCCGCGTCGAAGGGCGAACCGGCCAACAGACTGAGTTCGACTGTTTCTGAGACTCGTTCAGCTAGCGCTAGTACAGCGCCCACGACGTTCCGGATCTCGTGGTACACATGTGCGGAGATGGTGGCCTGGGCCGCTTGGGCCGCTTCCGCCTCGCGCTGCTTCATGATGGCGTCCTGCTTCGCTCGGCTCTCGGAGATGTCCTGGCCGATGCCGACGACGCCTACGACCTTACCCGTTTCATCTCTACGAGTGGTAGCGTTCAGCAAGATACTAATAAGTTTGGTCGAGGTCTTGTTCATGAGGGGAAACTCGAAATTTGCGGTTTCAATACCTCTCAAAGCTCGGGAAATGACTTCGGCCACCATGGGTCTATATTGAGGCGTGATGAAGTTGTCGACCAGCGAGTTGCCCAATGTCTCCGAAGCCAAGAAACCGGTCAAATTTGCGGAACAGACGTTCCACACATTAACGTCGCCGTTCATGTCCACTCCGAAGATGGGCGCGTTCGCGCTGTCGATGAGCCTCGAGTACTCTTGTTCTTGCGCGATGCGCGCCGTGATGTCCTGGCCAATACCCACAACACCAATGACGTTGCCCTGCTCGTCTCTTCTAGTAGTAGCATTCAGCAGAATCTCCACAGACTTACCAGCTTTGGTCACGAGCGGGAACTCGAAGTTCGCCGTCTCGTCGCCATTCAAAGCCTTCGTGAAGACCTCCTGCACGCGGTCGCGGTGCTCCTCGCGGATAAAGTCCCTCACCAGGTTCTTGCCCTTCGTATCTTCCCTACTAAACTCCGTCACCGTCTCGGCGTTCTTGTTCCAGACGTTGATGAGGCCGTTCACGTTGACCCCGAAGATCGGCGCGTTCGCCGTGTCGATCAATCTAGCATACTCCTGCTCCTGCGCGACGCGCGCCGTGATGTCCTGGCCGATGCCGACCACACCAATAATCAGGTCGCGCTCGTCGCGCCGCGTCGTGGCGTTCAGCAGAATTTCCACGCTCTTCCCGGCCTTGGTCACGAGGGGAAACTCGAAGTTCGCCGTCTCGACGCCCGACAGGGCCTTGCTGAAGACGTCCTGCACGCTCGACTTGTACTGGGGCGTGATGAAGTCGTCGACCAGGTGGCGGCCCTTGACCTCGGCGACGCCAAACCCCGTCAGGTTCGACGCGCACGTGTTCCAGACGTTCACGCGGCCGTCGCGATCAATCCCGAAAATCGGCGCGTTCGCCGTTTCGATGAGGCGAGAGTACTCCTGCTCCTGCGCGATGCGCGCGGTAATGTCCTGGCCGATGCCCACGACGCCAATCACCCGGTTCTGCTCGTCGCGTCTGGTCGTGGCGTTCAACAGAATCTGCACGCGCGCGCCGTCCTTCGTGACGAGGGGAAACTCGAAGTTCGACGTCTCGACGCCCACGAGCGCCTTCGTGAAGACGTTCTGCACGCTTACTTTGTAGTCGTCCGTGATGAAGCGGCTCACGAGGTGCGCGCCCTGCGATGGGGGTGAGTGAGCCATCAAAACATTTCACAACGGACGGACGCCGCGCGCGCGCCATGACGTCGTCGGTCTCGAAGCCCATGAGGTGCGAGGCGCACTGGTTCCAGACGTTCACGCGGCCCTCCAGGTCAATCCCGAAAATCGGCGCGTTCGCCGTGTCGATCAGCCGCGCGTATTCTTGCTCCTGGGCGATGCGCGCGGTGATGTCCTGGCCGATGCCGACGACGCCCGTCGCCTTGCCCTGGTCGTCTCTACGCGTCGTGGCGTTCAGTAAGACCCGGACGGAGACGCCGGCCTTCGTGACGAGGGGAAACTCGAAGTTCGCCGTCTCGCGGCCCTCGAGCGCCTTCGTGAACACGTCCTGGACGCGCTCCTTGTAGTCGTCCGTGATGAAGTCCTTCACGAGGTTGCGGCCCATGACCTCCTCGCCGGCGAAGCCCATGAGCTTCGACGCGTTGCGGTTCCACACGTTGACCAGGCCGTTGCGGTCGATGCCGAAGATCGGCGCGTTCGCCGTGTCGATCAAACGCGAGTACTCCTGCTCCTGGGCGATGCGCGCGGTAATGTCCTGGCCGATACCCACGACGCCGGTCACACGGTTCTGCGCGTCTCTTCTGGTAGTGGCGTTCAGCAGCACCTCGAGGCGCGCGCCCGCTTTGGTCACGAGCGGGAACTCGAAGTTCGCCGTCTCCACGCCATTCAGTGCGTTTCTGAAGACGGCCTGCACGCGCTCCTTGTAATCGTCCGTGATGAATTCGTTCACCAAATGTCGGCCCATCACGTCCTCGGTCGTGAAGCCGGTCACGTCGCTGGCGTTTTTGTTCCACACGTTCACGAGACCTTCCAAGTCAATGCCGAAGATGGGCGCATTCGCGGTGTCAATCAAACGCGAGTACTCCTGTTCCTGAGCTATACGGGCCGTAATGTCCTGGCCGATGCCGACGACGCCGCTGATGCGGTTGTGTTCGTCCCTTCGAGTAGTGGCATTCAGAAGCACCTCGACGCGGACGCCCGCTTTTGTGACTAGAGGAAACTCGAAGTTCGCCGTCTGGACGCCCGCGAGAGCTTTGATGAAGACGTTCTGCACGCGCTCCTTGAAATCGTCCGTGATGAATTCGTTCACGAGGTGTCGCCCCATCACGTCTTCGCTCGAAAAGCCCGTGAGATTCGACGCGTTGCGGTTCCACACGTTGACCAGGCCATTTGAGTCGATGCCGAAGATCGGGGCGTTCGCGGTATCGATGAGGCGCGCGTACTCCTGCTCCTGGGCTATTCTCGCCGTAATGTCCTGGCCGATGCCCACGACGCCAACGACGTGTTTCTGCTCGTCTCTGCGCGTCGTGGCATTGAGCAGCACTTGCACGCGCGTGCCCGGTTTTGTCACCAGGGGAAACTCGAAATTCGCCGTCTCCTCGCCGTTCAGCGCCTTCGTGAACACGCCCTGCACCGAGTCCTTGTAGTCGTCCGTGATGAATTCGTTGACCAGGTGCCGGCCCATCACGTCCTCGCTCGTAAAGCCCGTCACGTCGCTGGCGTTTTTGTTCCACACGTTTACGAGGCCATTCACGTCGACTCCGAAGATCGGCGCATTCGCTGTATCAATCAAACGTGCGTACTCCTGCTCCTGCGCCATACGGGCCGTAATGTCCTGGCCGATGCCCACGACGCCGATGACGTGATTCGCCTCGTCTCTTCTAGTAGTGGCGTTAAGCAGCACCTCGACGCGCGTACCGGCCTTGGTTACAATCGGGAATTCGAAATTGGCCGTCTCGTCGCCCTCGAGGGCCTTCGTGAAGACGTCCTGGACACGTTCCTTGTGGTCCTCCGTGATGAAGTCGTCGACCAGATGTCGGCCCATCACGTCCTCGCTCGTGAAGCCGGTCACATCGCTAGCATTTTTGTTCCAGACGTTCACGAGACCTTTCAAGTCAATGCCGAAGATGGGCGCGTTCGCGGTATCGATGAGTCGCGCGTACTCCTGCTCTTTTTTTATACGAGCAGTAATGTCCTGCCCGATGCCGACGACGCCACTCGCTCTACCCTCGGCGTCGCGGCGCGTCGTGGCGTTCAGCAGGACCTCGACGCGCGTGCCGGCCTTCGTCACGAGAGGGAATTCAAAGTTCGCCGTCTCGTCGCCGTCGAGGGCCTTCGTGAAGACCTCCTGGACCCGCTCTTTGTAGTCCTCCGTGATGAAGTCGTTCACGAGGTGCTTGCCCATGGTCTCGTCGGTGGAAAAGCCCGTCACGTCGCTGGCGTTTTTGTTCCACACGTTCACGAGACCGTCGCGATCGACGCCGAAGATCGGGGCGTTCGCCGTGTCGATCAGCTTTGAATACTCCTGTTCCTGGGCTATACGGGCGGTAATGTCCTGGCCGATACCCACGACGCCGATGACGTGGTTCGACTCGTCTCTTCGAGTAGTGGCGTTCAGCAGCACCTCGACGCGCGTACCCGTTTTCGTCACCAGGGGAAACTCAAAGTTCGCCGTCTCGACGCCATTCAGTGCGTTTCTGAAGACCTCCTGGACGCGCTCCTTGTAATCTTCCGTAATGAATTCGTTCACCAAATGTCGGCCCATCACGTCCTCGCTCGTGAAGCCCGTGAGGTTCGTGGCGGATTTGTTCCAGACGTTGACGCGGCCGTGCACGCCGATGCCGAAGATCGGGGCGTTCGCGGTATCGATGAGGCGCGCGTACTCCTGCTCCTGCGCCATACGGGCCGTAATGTCCTGGCCGATGCCGACGACGCCGATGACCCTATTCTTCTCGTCGCGGCGCGTCGTGGCGTTGAGCAGCACTTGCACGCGCGTGCCCGCTTTGGTCACGAGCGGGAACTCGAAGTTCGCCGTCTCGCGGCCCTCGAGCGCCTTCGTGAACACGCCCTGCACCGAGGTCTTGTAATCGTCCGTGATGAATTCGTTCACGAGGTGCTTGCCCATGACGTCGCCGGCGTCGAAGCCCGTTAACCGAATAGCGCACTGGTTCCAGACGTTCACGCTGCCCTCGACGTCGATGCCGAAGATGGGCGCGTTCGCCGCGTCAATGAGGCGCGCGTACTCCTGCTCCTGGTTCATACGCGCCGTGATATCCTGGCCGATGCCGACCACGCCACTGATGCGGTTCTGCTCGTCTCTTCTAGTAGTGGCGTTCAGCAACACCTCGACGCGGACGCCCGCTTTGGTCACCAACGGGAACTCAAAGTTCGCCGTTTCTTCGCAGTTCAGCGCCTTTGTGAAGACGTCCTGGACGCGCTCTTTGTAGTCCTCCGTAATGAATTCGTTCACAAGGTTCCGGCCCATCACCTCCTCGCTCGCAAAGCCCGTGAGCTTGGACGCATTGCGGTTCCACACGTTCACGAGACCGTTCAGGTCAATGCCGAAAATGGGCGCGTTCGCCGTATCGATCAAACGGGAGTACTCTTGCTCTTTCGCTATACGGGCCGTAATGTCCTGGCCGATGCCCACGACGCCGATGACGTGGTTCGACTCGTCTCTGCGAGTAGTGGCGTTCAACAGCACCTCGACGCGCGTACCGGCCTTGGTTACAATCGGGAACTCGAAATTGGCCGCCTCCTGACCGTCTAGCGCCTTCGTGAAGACCTCCTGGACACGTTCCTTGTGGTCCTCCGTAATGAATTCGTTCACGAGGTGCCTCCCCATCACGTCCTCGCTCGTGAAGCCGGTCACATCGCTGGCGTTTTTGTTCCACACGTTCACGAGACCTTTCAAGTCAATGCCGAAGATCGGAGCGTTCGCCGTGTCGATCAGCTTTGAATACTCCTGCTCCTGCGCCATACGGGCCGTAATGTCCTGGCCGATGCCGACGACGCCGATGACCCTATTCTTCTCGTCGCGGCGCGTCGTGGCGTTGAGCAGCACTTGCACGCGCGTGCCCGCTTTTGTTACTAGAGGAAACTCGAAATTCGCCGTCTCGCGGCCCTCGAGCGCCTTCGTAAACACGCCTTGCACCGAGGTCTTGTAGTCGTCCGTGATGAATTCGTTCACGAGATGCTTGCCCATGACGTCGCCGGCGTCGAAGCCCGTTAACCGAATAGCGCACTGGTTCCAGACGTTCACGCTGCCCTCGACGTCGATGCCGAAGATCGGCGCGTTCGCCGCGTCAATGAGGCGCGCGTACTCTTGCTCCTGGTTCATGCGTGCCGTGATATCCTGGCCGATGCCGACCACACCACTGATGCGGTTCTGCTCGTCTCTTCTGGTCGTGGCGTTCAGCAGCACCTCGACGCGGACGCCCGCTTTTGTTACTAGAGGAAACTCAAAGTTCGCCGTTTCTTCGTTGTTCAAGGCCTTGTTAAAGACGTCCTGCACGCGCTCCTTGTAATCCTCCGTAATGAATTCGTTCACAAGGTTCCGGCCCATCACCTCCTCGCTCGCAAAGCCCGTGAGCTTTGACGCGTTGCGGTTCCACACGTTCACGAGGCCGTTGAGGTCAATGCCGAAAATGGGCGCGTTCGCCGTATCGATCAAACGGGAGTACTCTTGCTCTTTCGCTATACGGGCCGTAATGTCCTGGCCGATGCCCACGACGCCGACGACGTGTTTCTGCTCGTCTCTGCGAGTAGTGGCGTTCAGCAGCACCTCGACGCGTGTCCCCATTTTCGTCACCAGGGGAAACTCAAAGTTCGCCGTCTCGACGCCATTCAGTGCGTTTCTGAAGACCTCCTGGACGCGCTCCTTGTAATCTTCCGTAATGAATTCGTTCACCAAATGTCGGCCCATCACGTCCTCGCTCGTGAAGCCCGTGAGGTTCGTGGCGGATTTGTTCCAGACGTTGACGCGGCCGTGCACGCCGATGCCGAAGATCGGCGCGTTCGCGGTATCGATGAGGCGCGCGTACTCCTGCTCCTGCGCCATACGGGCCGTAATGTCCTGGCCGATACCGACGACGCCGATGACCGTGTTCTTCTCGTCCCTTCGAGTAGTGGCATTGAGCAGCACTTGCACGCGCGTGCCGGCCTTGGTCACCTGTGTGGAACTCGACCAGTGAGCCAGGGAAGTCCTACTAGTGCGTCGTCCACCTCCGCGCCATCGAGCAGACGAAGCGAATGGCGTGGGGCGCCGAAGTTTTGGTTTCCACACGATTCGTCACCAGAGGAAACTCGAAATTCGCCGTCTCCTCGCCGTTCAGCGCCTTCGTGAACACGCCCTGCACCGAGTCCTTGTAGTCGTCCGTGATGAACTCGTTCACGAGGTGCTTGCCCATGACGTCGCCGGCGTCGAAGCCCGTCAGGCGGATCGCGCACTGGTTCCAGACGTTCACGCTGCCCTCGACGTCGATGCCGAAGATCGGCGCGTTCGCCGCGTCGATCAAACGGGCGTACTCCTGCTCCTGATTTATACGAGCGGTAATGTCCTGGCCGATGCCCACGACGCCGATGACCCTATTCTTCTCGTCGCGGCGCGTCGTGGCGTTGAGCAGGACCTCGACGCGCGTGCCCGGTTTCGTCACCAGGGGAAACTCAAAGTTCGCCGTCTCCTCGCCGTTCAGCGCCTTCGTGAACACGTCCTGGACCCGCTCCTTGTAGTCCTCCGTGATGAAGTCGTCGACGAGGTGCTGGCCCATGACGTCGCCGGCGTCGAAGCCCGTTAACCGAATAGCGCACTGGTTCCAGACGTTCACGCGGCCCTCGACGTCGATGCCGAAGATGGGCGCATTCGCCGCGTCGATGAGGCGCGCGTACTCCTGCTCCTGGTTCATGCGCGCCGTGATGTCCTGGCCGATGCCGACGACGCCGACGACGCGCCCGCGGTCGTCGCGGCGCGTCGTCGCGTTCAACAAAATCTGCAGCACGACGCCGCCCTTGGTGACGAGCGGGAACTCGAAGTTCGCCGTCTCCTCGCCCGCTAAAGCTTTCGTGAAGACCTCCTGCACCCTTGCTTTATAATCGTCCGTGATGTACTCCTCGACCAGCCGCTTCCCCGCGACCTCCTCGCCCCCGAAGCCCGTCAGGCGCGCGGCGCACTGGTTCCAGACGTCGACGCGCCCGTCGCGGTCGATGCCGAAGATCGGCGCGTTCGCCCTGTGTGTGTGTTTTTTTTGTGTCTTTGTCTCTATGTGTCTCTCGCGTCTGTCTCCGTGTCTGTCCAACGCCACGACGCCATTCACGCGTAGCTCTCTCTGAACACTCGCGGCGCCACGGAAATGGCGCGCGGCTTGCAGAGGCGCGGCGCGGTGCGGCCGAGCTGCGGGTGCCTCGGGCGGCCGGCACGCGCCGCGCCGCGCCGCGCCGCGCGCTCGTGTGTGGCACGGATGCCGTCGCGAAACTGCCTCCGGTCACTCACGCGACGCGGGGACTCTCATGCGATCATCAAGGCGCCATCGACGCGAAGTGTGAAGTTCCAGTAAAACGCCGAGGCGCGCGTGTCGATCAACCGCGAGTTGTCGCTCTCCTGGATGTTCCGCGCCAAGCGTCGTCGCCCCGTCGGCGGCGACGTCGCGCCTCTCACAGACCGCAGGCGCGCCACGCCGAGCTTTACGAGTGAAGGTAACTCGAGCGTAGCACCCGCTTCGCAGCACCGCAGGGCCACGTCCGCGTCGGCCCGGGACAGCGGCGACGACGCCACCTCACCGCCGTCATCGCACGCCGCCAGGAACCTTTTTATCGCCTCCAACGACGCCTGGTTCTGGCCGCCGCAGCGAAACTCGCCCGACGCGGTCGCGAGGACCGCACTCTTGCGCGCGTCGTCGACGGGGAGGGCTATTCTTGCCGTGCCGTCGCCCAGCAGCTCAAAGGTCGCCGCGCGGCGCGCCGCGCGCGTGATGCGCGCCCGCTTGCGGGGCTGGGGCGAGGCCATATGAAACTAGGGCTGTCCAGCGCTCGCCGCGCGTCAGGTCCCGCACGCTGCAGCTCTCGCTGGTTCTCTAGATGCCTCGCACGGGCCCGGGGCTCGGATGGTTCAACATGGCTGACGCGCTTGATGCCAGAGCGGAGAGGTCCTAGTGTGTCCAAAGCGCTAGCTCGATGGAAGATTGCGACGGGTACTCGAGGTTGGGGTGTCGAGTCCCGGCCGCGTCTACGGAAGCGGGAGACGCATGACCCACCGGAGGCCTGCCGAATCGTCTGCGTCGGGGCGCGGCGGCGCGCGTCCCGCCTTGTTCGATTGCGACGGCGGCGCGGCCGGGCTATGAGAGCTCTGTCTCTTATTCCCCCCCCCAAAAAACATCAACAACGCTCCGCGGTCCTAGTGTAAGAAGGTACTAGGAAGTCAACCAGAGCAAGATCTCCATCAAAAACGACACAAGAACCGCCGTGGCAGGCCAGAGGGACGCAAACCTTTCGTTCGAGCAGTATCATTGATTTTCTCCGACCGCCAGACGCGCTAAACAAGCCAGCGCGCGCGCTGCACAGCCGTATCCTGGCCTCCCACAGCGGATCCCGGCCGCGCATCCTGCGCTACACCGCTGCGCAGAGGAGCCCGAGCCCATGAGCAGCAGCGGCACGCGCGTCGTCACGGCCCCGCCCGGCGGCGGCCGCATCCCGCGCCTCTACACCCCGACGAAGCCCGCGGAGCGGCGGCCGGAACCGCCGCCGGACCCCTGGGCCGCCGTGACGCCCTCAGTCCTCCTGCCGGGCCTCGCGGCCCTCGCGGCCAGCGCCCTCGCCGCCGCTGTTGGTCTCGCGCCCTGCGCTTTCGTCGTTCTTGTGTTCGACCTCGCGGACGCGGTCGGCGGTCCGCAAGAGCGGGACGCGGTCGACGCGGCCTGCGTCGTCTTCATCACGCTCCGCGCCCTCGTCGCGCGGCGCCCGTGGCCGCTCGTCACACTGATTTTAGTAGCGGGTCCCTGGAAACGACGAAAAGCGCTCGCCGCTTTGATACTGACGGCGGCGGCCTACGACGTCTACGTGGACGGCTTCGTGGTCCGACGGTGGCCCCTCGCCGTCGGCGTCTTTGTCATGGCGCACGTCGTGAACGTCGCGCGGACGTACCGGCGGAGCAAGTACGTACCGGCATGAGAACTGCGCCGACTCGTCCCTCATCATCTCTCTAATCCTTAATTTGTCGACCACCTTGATTTTCTCTTGCCTAGTCTTGCTGCACGTAAACGGGACTCGTCGCGGAGGTCGCGCAGCGACGTGCTTTGCTTGAGGCCCGACCCGAGGCGATCCTCTGAGGTATACCGGGCCCCGCCACGGCACCGCGACTCAATTATTACTTTTTTTGGCCCCCGGTACGAGTCCCATGGATCTCTTCCAACCTACAGGCTCAGGCTCAGGCTAGTTACGTCGCAGGGTTCCCCTACCCCTCCCGCTCCTACGGCCTAGTGTCTTACAAACCGCTAGCTCGCTTGACTGCCTGCCGAGTGAGTTCGCGGCGATAATAAATCGGCGTTTGCTGTAGACCTGCTGTAGATCTGCCCCTGCATCGCTGCGAACGGATACTGCACTTGCACAATCGCTGCGGCCGCGCACGGACCTGCACCGACCTGCAACACGCACAGCGTCGCCGCGGCGTCGTAAGCGCGCCGCTGCTTACACGCAGCCCATAGCTACACTTGGTTGACGCACTCCACCGCAGCTCGCACCACTCCCGCGTCCCGTCTCGACACGTCGCGCGCGCCCGCTGACGACACCCACGAATTGCTAGATAGTACCTGACGCTGTCGCGCGTGATCACACTCACACATACATCGAACGACGGAGGGCTCTCAGTCAGTCACACACAACGTCCACACTCAAAACCACAAAGACGACTGACGCGCGCAGGGTATGGCCGACAAGCGGCTCGTCGTCGACTCCATCGGCGGCAATTTGTTCTGCGGCCACTGCGGGAGCTTTCTGGAAATACCGGCCCGGGAGCCCCTGCAGTGTTCGAACTGCGGGGCCTCGTGTTTATTGAATGAGTCGAGCGCCTCCGACCCTCTAGAAACGCGGACAAAAGCAAGGGCAGCCCCCGCCTGGGCGTCCGGGAGGACGGAACAGACGATAAAACGAAAGTCGACGCGCGCGACCGTGGAACAAGAATGCCCCAATTGCGGCCACGGCATCTTGGAATTCTACACGATGCAGATGAGGAGTGTGGACGAGGGCCAGACCGTGTTTTATGAGTGCCTCGAGTGCGGCCACCGGTTCAGCCAGAATAACTAGTTTAGTTCACTCACAATGTTAGCGGGTCGCGGCGAAGGCGTGCTGGTCCACGCCACGCCGTCGACGCGACGCGTCCCTCACAACTTACTGCCCACCGCGTCGAACGCAGTCATCCGCTTCTGTAATGAGCTTTCGTAGTTTCCCACCGTGCACATGTGTTCCGCTCGCGCGGCATCGTCCAGCACCTCCAAGCGAGGCCGCGACGGCTCCCGCTTCCTTTCGGGACAGAGCGCTTCCATTCTCTTGGCCGCATTCTGGGCCTTCGCGAGGGCCAGCCGCTCGCGCACCGCATCTAATTCCAGCCCCAGGCCCTCGACCGCGTCGTTCTGCAAACTCAAAAACCGGATGAGTTTCGCGGACGTCGTCTCGACCTCTTTGGCGACGACCTCCAAAGCATCCACTAGATATTCTTTCGTCTGTCTGAGCACCATGTTCTTGTCTCCAGACTGGTAGGAACTCTCGCACCACTGGACGACGTCATTAACATAATCGTGCTTCCGTCCTAATTCATCTAAGGCTTCGGGGATTTCCGTTGAGGCTAATTGTAGGGCCTCGGCGGCGGGGTCCGTCGGTGCTTGAGGCATGGCGTCCATCGCTTGCGTGCTGCGCTTCTGTCCGCGGCCGTGTAATGCTATGTCCTCGGCGCGCGCGCGCTTTCGGTCCGCGTGTAGCGCGAGGTGGCTCAGTGGCTGCTGCCGGCCAAAGCTCTGGAGCGGGGTGTTGGCGTTCTCAGGCTGGCGGGCGCAAGAAATGCAGCGTTGGCGTCGCGCTGACGCGCCAAGAGCGCGCACACGTTGCGAGCCAGCAGCGGCGGCCGAGCAGCCGTGTATTAGCTAGCGGCATGTAAGGCACTAGCGCAGCAAGCCGCCGCCGCGCGCGCTTAGAGCACCTGTTGCGCACTGCTTGCCTTAGACGTCGCGTGCGCATCGCCGAGACTGTTCTCGCAGCCGGGACGGCAGCCAGCAAGAATCGCTGAGGCCTGAGCCAAGCCAGAGGCCAGCCTCTCGCTGAGCCAATTACAAATCGCGCCGCGACGCCATCGCGCCGTGAAAACAGGACCATGGGCAAGCGCCGCAACGAGGACGCCCAGATCTCCAAGGCCGAGTACGCGCGACGGGAAGCCAAGCCTACGCAAGGCGGCGGCGCCTTCCCGAGGGCCGACGCGGCCACGCTAGCCCAACGGCGCCTCGTGTCCCCCTTCTCGTCGCGAGACTCGAGACCGCTGGCGCGCGAGGCCTACTCCACCAGGATCGCGTCGCTGAACAAGTCCTTCAGTACGTTCGCGGAGACCGCCCTCACTTCCTCACCGAAAGAAGCGATCGTCGATGCCGCGAGAGATTACGTCAGGTACGCGGAACAGCTCGAAGCGCGGTTCCTGCCGAAGCGGACTGAAGTATTATCCTTCGGGAGCGGCGACTGCGGGCAACTCGCGCATTCCTCAACCTTGGAAGATGAAAATGATACAGTTGTGGCCAAGCCTAGGGTCGTGAAAGCTCTGACGAACAAGGTCGTGGCCCAGTTATCTTGCGGTGGGTTACATAACGTGGCGGTGACTTTGGATGGTGTATGTTTCACGTGGGGCTGTAATGATGAGGGCTCCCTAGGGAGAGAGGGCGACGAGTCCTTACTGTACATGCCGGGCGCCGTATCTCTACCGGAGAAGGTCACGTGCGTCGCGGCCGGCGGGTCCCAAACTTTTGCGGTAACTTTATCAGGTAAGGTCTACGGCTGGGGCTGCTACAAGGACAAGGAGGGGAAGCAGTGGTTCGACGCGCCCGGTATGATCGCGGCGTCCCGTCGTGTGGAGGCGCCTTCACGCCGTCGACGCGACTTGTGTCCATCAGACGAGGTCGCAGAGTCGAGAGACCGCGATGCTCCGCGCAGGCACCCTCGCGCCGAAGCGCAAGCAGACCACACCCTTACTGATACCTTCCTTAAAAAACATAACAAATGTCGCGACCGGGGCCGCGTTCAATGCTGCGCTCACGGCCAACGGCGACTGCCTCACGTGGGGGCTCGGCGAAGTCGGCCAGCTTGGTAGAAGTGTGAGGGACGTCAAGGTCAATGATGAATATGATTTGGATTCACTAAGGAACGACCACCTGACGCCGCGAAAAGTGGACTTTGGTGAAAAGGTCAAGGTTTTGGGGTGTGGTGCCTATCATTTGTTGGCAGCGACGGAACTAGGGTTACTTTCTTGTGGATTGAACAACTACGGGCAGCTCGGAGACGGTTCGACCACAGACAGAACGAGACCTGTATTAGTGAAAGGTTTGGAAGATAGAGCCATCGCCGAACTGTGCGGCGGCGAGCATCATACTTTGTGTTTGCTCGGTGACGGCACGGTGAAAGCCTGGGGCCGCGCGGACTACGGCCAGCTCGGTGCTGGGCGCTCAGAAGCCGAGAAGGCCGGTTCATTGAGGGAAACGCCTGGTGACGTGCCTGGACTGAAAGATGTCAAATCAATAGCCTGCGGCGACCACCACAACCTGGCTTTGGACGCTGAGGGTAGTGTCAAGGCCTGGGGTTATGGAGATATGAACGCACTAGGATTGGGAAGGGCCCGGGACGAGTTCGCGCCGAAACTCCTCGAGTTCGGCGTGCCGTGTACCATTACGCAGGTCGCGGGCGGCGGCCAGCACAGCATGGTCGTGGCCGCGGTCGCGGACTAGTATTAGACTAACATAACTTACTTGACCGCAAACACCACTATCGCCCCGACGACCACGAACAAAATGTGCACCGAGAGGCAGATGAGGAACGCGTGGAAGGCGAAGAGCGTCCGTTTGCCAATACATTTCCCAGTCCATGGACAGTGATGATCCAGGTCGTCGATGCAAACTTGGCACTCGTAGCAGTGCCTAGCTTCGTGCGGTCTTATGACGTCGCACCTCCTGCAGCTGTGGACATCGCCCTCGTTTCCTGTTTGAGACGCCTCTCTATAAATAACGCCCGGGTCGCTGCACGCCGCCGACGAGAACGCCACTAGGGTAGCGCCACCCGTGAGCACCGCACCATACCTCGCCGCCCAGTGGTGCTCGCCGATGAAGATGATAAATGCTACTGTTGGCACTAACACTAAAGTATAGGTACACAACATGCAGCACCAATCCGGGCCGACGAACCACTGGAGTGGCCACCTTCCCCTTTTCTTGCCGCAGATGAGCCACGTCGCGCCTACCCTCAAACAGCAGTGGCAGTGCTCGTCGTAGTCCAAATTCCTCGGATCTTTCGGCGGCGGCGCGGCCGGCGTCTCGGGGAGCTTGTTGCGTGCGGCGCGTATTTGCTCCGGGGTCGGCGGCCTGACTTCTCTTGGACTTCGCGGCGTCGTCGCGGAGCCCTGCTCGACGTCGGCCATGATTGTGAGCAGCTGTGCGGCTTGCAGCGGCAACGCGACGCTCAGCACGACGACCTAGCGTAGTGTGAGACACTAGGAAGGACGGAGCCGGGCCGGGCCTGGCGCGAGATACGCGACATAGCGCTTGCGTGGGGGCGTGGGGATTGCATGTCGATTGATAATCATCAATAGATTGGCGGAGAACCGTCGCCGCGCGTAGAAATGCGCCTAGCGAGGCTATTGGTGTTTTCCGCTTTGGCGGCGCGCGCTGGGGGCGCCGAGGCGGAGGCGGACTGGTTCCCTCGCTGGGCCTCATTCGCAAGCGAACATACCCCGTACATCCATTCCCGAGGCTACCAGACGCTCCGAACCTCGGGGTCGACCGGTGCAGCCGCCGCGGCGGTTCTAGAGATAGTTAAAGAGGATCGGCGGAAAAGAGGCGACGCGACGCCGGTCACGGTTCTCTTCCCAAATAAGACAATACTGGAGATGCCGCTCGACGGCGATCAGGTCGACACATTGCCAGACGGTACGTCGCTCATATTCGACAGCAAGGCCTTCAAGTTGGGAGAGTTTTCCACCGTTCTCGCGCGATGGCACGACCTCTCCGAAAAGGACACCGAGCGGATCGTGTGGTTCGCCGCGAGCGGAGGCCCGTGGACCATCAGGGCGGCCACGATCCTCGTGCCGCTGCGCGTCGTGGCGCTGCGCATTTACCAAATCCTTGCGCGGGAACAAATAGAGGCGGAAGCGTTGCCGCTACTCACGGTCGACGATCTATGTGGTGTCGGCGTTCCGGCCGACGACGCCCGCAGAATCGTCGCCGCGGCCTCCGCATCGGCGAGCGGCGGCGCGGCGGCGACGTCCGGAGGCGACCACCCGGAAAGCCTGTGCTGTCCTATATCTATGGAGCTCATGGAGTGCCCGGTCATCGCCGCGGACGGCAATACGTATGATCGGAGTAGTATCGAGGACTGGTTCTCGCGCGGCAAAAAGACGTCTCCGCTGACCGGTGCCCCGCTCGCCCACCTCGGCCTCACGCCGAACAACCTCGTGCGGTCGATGGTGTCGGAGTATCGCGATGCTGCTTCGCGGCGGGCGTGAGTAAGTTGTTCTCTCATATATGTATACCGGTCAAACCCGTATGTTTGTTTCGATAGCCGGCTCGCTCGAGGGCTTCCGCGCTTACGTACGAGCTTGTAGCTAGCGCATGTAAGACACTAGCAAGAGCGGGTCGCCTCGCGCGCGGGATCCAGTCGCCGGTAGGCAGGCCCACCTTGGGAAACGCTGCGCGCGCGGCCTGCTGGCATACATTCAGCACCCGTCCGAGCCGACGGCGGGCTGCCCTTCGTGTGTGGGTGCTGAGGTCAGGCTTGGGCCAAGATGGTCGACCATGGGAAAGCGGTCGTCGGCGCAGCCGTCGTGGCTCTCGTTGCGTACTCTAACTCGTGGGCAGCTGCGTGCTTGTCTTGGGTGGTCTCCGCTGTGTCCTGGTGCGTGAGGGGACTCCCCTGGGCTTATATGGTAGGGCGCTGCCTGGACGAGATCGACTGGCACTACCACGATAGCCATTTGATCTTTATACTATTGATGTTGGGTCTGACGGTCCCTGCGTGCTGGTACATCCCGCTTGGCGCGGCGACCTGCGGCTGGCTGGCGCTGGCGTATGACTTCTACGTTCACGACTCTGCGGCGGGCTGGCGCGGCGACGAGTTCGTGGACGAGTGCTTCGCGACCGACCTGCGCCGCTGGGTCTCGCTGCGGCGCGAGCGCGGATTAAGCGTCGGGGAAGGCGCCGTCGCAGGCGTTGTCGCAGGCGCCGTGCTCGTGGTTCCGGCTGCGTGCCCTAGCTCGTGGGCAGCTGCGTACAAATCTTGGGCGGGCTTCGTTGCGGACTGGTGCGCGAGGGGATTCCCCACGTTTTATGTGGTAGGGCGAGGGCTGGACGAGATCGTATATACCTACGACCTAGCAGAGGACTTGCCCTATAGGATTTTTTTGCTATCCATCTTGGGTCTCACCGTCCCTGCGTGCTGGTACATCCCGCGTTGCGCGGTGACCTGCGGCGCGCTGGCGCTGGCGTATGACTATTACTTTCACGGCTTGTGTGATGTCGACTCTCGCACGGAAGAGTGCTTCGCGACCGACCTGCGCCGCTGGGTGTCGCTGCGGCGCGAGCGCGGATTAAGCAACAGGGAACTCGCCGTCGCGGGCGTCGCCTTGTGCCTCGCAGCGTTCGCGGCAGGCTACTGTGTGGTGGTTACGGCGGAGACCGCACAGGGCATACGCGTCGCGGCCCTGATCGCGGGCGGCGCGCCGCGGGCCGTCTGGGCGTGGGAGTGGCTCCGGTACGGCGCGAGGTGCATTTTCGGGCTCATGGGCACGGTGGGCTACTTCATGTTAGGTGTAAACGAGCTGGCGTCTCATGTCAGGGCAGAGTGGCGGGTGGCGGTCTACGCGGGTGGCCTGGCGCTCCTGGCGGCGCTTTGGTTCCACGCCTGGCACCTGATCGTTGGTTTCGCGTGGATCGTGATGGCGTATGTAGGGGTTTACGACGAGAGCGTGGAGAATAGGATTTGGAGCGGACGCACGAGGCGCGTCGGGAAGCTCTTTCTCGTGTTGGCGCTCGTAATGGAGCCGGGCGCCGTCGCGGCCGCGGCCCGCGCAGAATTCCTCGGCGAGAACGACGCACTTTCACCCGGCGGACTGGCGGAGATGCTCGACCGTCCTCGGGGTCTTCTCCCCTACACCTGGCGCCGGTATTCCGTGCGAGCTGCGCTCGTCGCGTGGGGCTTCCAAGGAAGCGTCGCGCGCATCAGGCATCCCAAGATGAACGCCTGGTTCATCGACGCCGGGTGCGCCCTGGCGATCTACTTCGGCGGGCAGGCACTTATGCAGCCCGGCGCCCTGTTCTACATATTCGGACAGTATGCCGCGTGCCGCGCGCTCTTCGGGGGGATCGTGCTCAATGCCTCGAAGCGCTTCTTCTTCGGCGCGGGGCCGCGCGACGGCGCCTCCCGCACCTCGGATGCCACCAAGTTCTCGTTGCTGTCGACCACCCTGGGATACGTCGGCCTGGTCCTTCTGGCGGCGGTCTTCGCCTGGTACGAGCGGGGCCAGTTTGAGACGCTTAACAAGAAAGGCCTGGCGATCGCGCTGAGCCTCCAGTGCGCTTCCAACTGCTTCATGTTCCATTGCATCTTCACCGGCTACTGGGCGATATTTGACAAACTACTGTCCGAACGTCAAGCCTGGTTCCGCGCATGCGCGACGCTCTGCGTGATGTACGCGGACACGTTCTACACGGACGGCCAGGTGACGGTCTTGGTCCAATCTTTCGGCGGCGGGCTCTTGTTCTGGCGCGGCCTCGGTATGCTGACGGGTGCCCCACACGAAGCCGAAGGCAAAGCCGAAGGCAAAACCGCGTGGTGGTGGCTCGCCGGAGCCGTCCGCGACGGGATCGGCGCCGTCGTCAACCGCGCGCTCGACTGCGTCAACCGCGCGCGCGACGGAGCCCGCGGCCGAGCCGACGACCAGGCCCGCCGCGCCGCCGACGAGGCGGCCGCCGAGCTCCTGCGCGACGAGGAGCGGCGCGAGCGACCCGGGCCGCGGCGGCGGCACGCGGCGGCGAAGCCCGAACCGGAGCCGGAGTCGGACTCGGACTCGGAGCAAGACTCGGACGACGATGAAGAGGAACCGGTGGATATGGAGGAGTTCTCCCGGTGGAGAGTTGCTACATCCCTACTGCAACATGCCATTTTGAACGCCCGCTTCCACGGCGTTGTAACGCCGGTCAGTCCCGAGGGGTGGCGCGCCAGGATGCTAACCATGCCGATGGAGGTTCGTGATAGTTTGCGAAGACCTTTGGGGTTCAGCGAAGACCAGGTTTCCGAGTGCCTGGAGTATGTGCGTTCGCTGCCGCACAAGGATTTCCGCCGGATACTAGAGTTCGCGGAGAAGCAGGCGGACGATATGGCAGGACAAATGCCGGAGTTCACGGATCCGCCCCGAGACGACGGCGGCTCGTTCCAGCGCGCGAGCGAGGAGAAGCTACGGACGCGCCGCGTCGTCAAGGTGGCCGACCGCTTCCGCAGCGCCGAGGCCGAGGCCGGCGCCAGGGCCAAGGCCAAGGCCATGGCCGCAGAAGCCGAGGCGAAGGCGGCCGAAACGGACCGGCTGCGCCGCGAGGCGGCTGACAGCTTTGCCCTCCCGGACCCCGCCGCGCGCACCGAGCCCTCGAAGAGGGAACTCGCGGCGAGGAAGTCGAAGGCGCGGGAGAAGGAGAAAGAGGAGAAGCTGCGGGCCAAGCGGAAACAGGCGGAGGAGCGCCGGCGCAAGCTGGCAGAGTGGGAAGCGGCCAAGCGCGAAGAGGCCGCGCGAGCAGAGGCCGAGCGCGCGCCCTCGCCGGACGACGACGAGGCGGAGACGGCGTCCGAGGCGTCTGTTGAGGCCAAGGCGAAAGCTGCTGATCAGGCCGCCGCGGAGCTCCTCGCTGCCGAGGAAGCGGCCGAGGCGTCCGCCGCCGCGGCCAAGAAAAAAAAGAAAAAGAGGAGGGGGAAACGCGGCGGCGCTGCTCCGATACCCACCGTCGACGCGCCGTCTGTCGAGGAGGCCGTCGCCGAGCCGACCATCGACGAGCCGCAACAGCACGACGAAGTTGTCATGCTGCTCCACCGCCTCGGCCTCGAGGAGCGCGTGGGTCCGGTCTTCGCGCGCGAACAGATCGACGAGAACGCGCTGCCGTTCTTGACCGTCGAGGATCTGGTTGAAGCGGGCGTCGCCGCCGCTGACGCGCGAAAAATCGTCTCTACAGTGGAGTTCGAGGCGCGGCGCGCGGCGGGGACGGCCCTTGTGGCGGTACCGGACGCGGAACCGGCGGCGGAGCCGGCAGATACTGCCGCGGAGGAGCCAGCGACTGCCGCGGAGGATACACCGGCGGCGGGGTCCGTGGATCTCCCCGAGCGACTCTGCTGTCCGATCTCTCTCGAGTTGATGGAGCGGCCGGTGATTGCCGCGGACGGGCATACCTATGACCGGCGTAGCATCGAGGACTGGCTTGCCCGCGGCAACACTACGTCGCCGACGACTGGCGCGCCGTTGGAGCACCTACACCTGGTGGACAACCACCTCGTGAAATCTATGGTGGCCGAGTACGTCGACACCGGGCGATACAATGCCCCGTTTTAAGTTTGTTGTTCACATACTACAAGGCAGCCCTGGGCCCTGGCTACAGCAGAATTGTTTGTTAGTTCACATCGTGGTCATAGATAAGGGGGTTGGTCGTGGGGGGTCGTTCAATTGATTGTGACGGTGAGTGTGGCGCCGTCCACCGCGACGACGCTTTTGGTCGAATCGATGGCGAAGCGCACGTCGAAGTGCCAGTCGAGGCCCTGGGCCGTCCAGCGGAACGGCGCAATCTCTCCGTCCAGCGTCGTAGCAGGGGCGACCTCCGCCCCCTGCAGCGACAGGGCCCGCACCGTCGCGCCGGCGAGGGCATCGATGTCGACGCGGCGCTTCGGCGGCGCCCGCGCGGCGGGATCCGGCCTGTAGGCGACGCAGGTCTCGTCATCCTGCTCGACGCGCGCGACGTAGAACGTCGCGACGCCCTTGCCGAGCGAGACCTTGATCACCAGCGTGGCCAGCGCGTCCTTGAGCGCCCGCGCGGGCGGCAGCCGCGGGCCGTTACATTGCGCCGGTTTCGAGCCGGTCATGCAGGCCTCGTGCATCTTGACCATGCCCTGCATGACAATCCGATCGGAAGGCGCGAAGCGGCCGCCGCACAGCGCGCACGTCGGCGCAATGCCCGTCAGCGCGAGCTGCTCGAGCTCGTCGCCCACGAGCTCCACGGCTCGCAATCGCGCCTCGCGCATGCCCGCGACGTCCGTGGCGCTCGGTCTTTCGTCCTTGTCGGCCTTCGCGTGCGCGAGGCTCGCTGTCCTGGCTTTTACGAGGCACGATCTGGCACGATCGTCGCAGAGGAGGACGTCGTCGCCGTCGAGAGTTCCCCAGGCGAGATCCACAACGGACCGGCGGCAGGCGCCGCAGCGGAGGCACTGGGCGTGGTAGGCGGTGTCTCGGTGGACGACCCTATCTGCGACATGCACGTCCAGACCGCACCGCCCGCACGCCGGCGCCGCTCGACGCGCTCGCAAACGTTCTGCGGCGGCGCTTGGCGGGCGCGGGGGTGGCGGCGCCGGCTTCGCAGACTGCATCGCCTTGAGTCGCGCAGCGACAGAGCCCGGTTGCACGGATGGCGAGATCTTGGCACCCGTCGGCCGCGGCGGCGACGGAAAGGCGCCCGCGGGCGCCGGGGCGCCGTACGGCGTGTTCGCCGGCGTGGCGCACGTCGACACAGTCCGCGCCTCGGAGGGGCTCCGCCGCTTGCGCCGCGGCGGGCTCGCGAGGATTAGCGGGGAAATGACTCCACCCTCTTCATCCCGCGGCGTCGGCGGCGCCGAGCGCGTTCGCCGGAACTGCTGCATGCCGCGCCTCGCCAAACAGTGGAAGCAGCGGACGGCGTTCGCGAGGCTCCGCGGCGTGCAGCAGCAGCGCCGCTCCACCGGCGCCGGGCGCGGCCGGTCTAGCAGCAGCTCGATGGGCTCGATGTTGGAGCCGCGCTCGCGCCGCGGCGAGCGCTTCATTTTTCTATGTGCAGTGCGCGCCACTCACAGCGTCGAGAAATAGTGCACCACGTCCGATCACGGCGCGTCGGGAAAATAGGCGTAGCGGTTTACCAAACGCTGCCAACGCGTCGAAAGCGTCGCGCGCCGGCTCCTGTTCCCGTCTGCTGCTCTCGGGGGATCCCTCCGCGCCGCGGCAGATTAGGCCAGGGCTGAAGGGAAATGCCGGGAAAGTGCCGAGCCGTGGCTCTACGCTGCCAAGGCTTCGAAGTAGTAACGCACGGCACGTCTGCTGTCCTCCACTGTCCTCCTGACCACGTTTTTCGACCACTGCGGCCGCTGAAGCGCGCGTCGGCGAAGCTAGCGGCCAAGTAACACACTAGGACCACCGAGCAACCGAGTCCCTCTACGAGTTTGCGTGACCCCCATCATCAAATTTAGTAGTGATAGTAGTATGCAACATATAGATAATCTCGTTACGACACGGACCCCTCGACTAGGCTACACGCCCAGGTTCACGTCCGAGAACCCCTTCTCGCGATGATCGGCCATCGGGTTCCGCACACCCACCTGGTGGAGCTCGACGGCGCCCCCGGCCGGCGTCGTGCTCGAGACCTGCGACCACTGCGCCTGCCAGTTGTCCTCGGAGTTGAGTCGCGCAGAAGACCGTCTTTTCCGACAGACGAGACACATGACCGCCGCGGCGACCAAACCGACGACGACGAAGACGAGGAGCCAGCCCATCGCCGGGAGCCCCCGCGCCGACACGGAGCGGTCGCGGCCGGAGGCCTCGAAGTCCTCCGTGGGCGCCGGCGACGGTTTTGTCGAGGGCCGCGGCGTCTCCACGAACACGCCACAGGTACCACACGACTTCCGGCAGTTCTCCGCCGTATCGCCGACCTTGCAAAGATCTGGATTACCAGCGACGGCGCCGCACGTCTGCAGCTCGTTCCCGATGTACATGTACCACTCGAGGGAGTCGGCGCAATTGGCCACGGGGCTCTGCGTCGGCTCGTCGTCGTCGTCAAATTGATCATCACCAGTCACTGGTAGAACGGGTGCCGCCGTCGGCTTTTGTGAAGGCGCCGCATCGCACGTGTCACAGGTCACGGGGCAGGCCTCCAATGCTGATATACCATCGTCGTCGACGTTCGATTCCTTGCAGCGCTTGAGCTCCTGGCCAACGTACGCGCACGTCTTCCATTCATCTCCACTATAGAACCAGGTTGCCGAGTCTTGGCAGGCGCCCGTCGGAGCCTCCGTGACCACGGTCGTGGACGGGGCCGCCGTCGGCGCCGGCGTTGGCTCCTTCGCTTCGGGCGTCGGGCCCTCGGTCGCGGGCGTCGCGGCGGGGCACGCGCCGCACGTCACGCGGCAGGCCTCCAACGCCGTGACGCCCTCGTCGTTAGTATTATCGGCGTCGCACCGACTTTGCGCGTTCGCCGCGACATGTTCACAATCCCGATCTTCGTCGTTATCGTAGTACCAGGAAGCGTCGTCCGCGCACGCCTCCTCCGACGCCGTCGGCCCCGGCGTCGGGCATGTGCCGCACGTCTTCGCGCAGGCCTCCCGCGCCGTGCGCTCTCCATCGTTATTGTCCGAGTCGTCGCACCGCGAGGGCTTGGCGGCGACGTGCGCGCAGTCGTTGTCCTCGTCGCCGCCGTAGAAGAAGGCCGGGTCGTCGCGGCACGTCGCGTCCTCGGCCTCGTCGGCCGGCGCGCCCTCGGACGCCCGCACGATGCGCGCCGGATGAGAGCCGAGCGGAAACGACGGCGCCACGCCCACGCGATCCTCGTCGAAGTCCAACGCCAAATAAAAAGCCCGCAGGAACGGATCGCCCAATACCCAATCCCCCGATGGAGCCCGTGTCGATTAATAGTTGGAAAGTTTGCGGCGGCGTCCCGAGCGACGCCTCCGCGTAGAAGACGTTGTCGTCGCAGGTCTTGAGGTCCGTCCGGCCGCCTACACTGAGGCGTCGTCGCGTCGTGGCCTGGCGCTGCAGGGGGACCTTCTGGAGGGCTAATGTGCTCGCCACGAGGAGTAGTTGTGCGCGCATGGCACCGTGACAGCTTGCTACTCTCTTTCTCTTTGCCGGCGCGTCGCTAGCGTTCGTGACCGCTTAAGTCCTCTCTCGCGTCGTTACGGCCGGTCCACGTCGGCCTGGCTTTTTTGGTTTTACCCAATTGCCACTGATCGAGGCGTCGGACGCCTTGATATCGTGCCGATCTGTTCCGTCGTGACTCCTTGTGACGACGTTGAGTCCTGGCTTGCAAATCTGTGCGGTAGCGGCCAAAACACAAACACCGACAAGCCGGCATGCTAGTGTCTTACGATCGCTAGCTCCAGCTTTTGTGAGGATCGGCGTGCTGGACGCGGTGGTGGACGACGCGTTGTTTCAAAGCCTTTGAAGACCGCTATTTGGCTGCTGGACGCAACGGTGTGCTAAAAACGCGGCGTTGAAAGCGTCTGCGTACGCAGAGCATCTCAGAGTTTTGGGAGAGCGCTGTTTGAGAGTGACGTGATGGCGTGACGGATGGCTCGGTCCTTCATAATGCTCTCACTGGCTGCTCGCACGGCAGCGTTTAACGCGCCGCGCACGGCCTCGTTGCGGCTCGTGCGCCATGCCGCGTCGCGCGCGGAGCGTGAGCTCGAGTTACTACGCAAGACAGTACCACAACTGAAAGATGAGCTGCGCGCGCAAGGGCTGAAAGTCGGCGGGCGCAAGGCCGAGCTCATCGAGCGCTTGCTGGGCCCGGGCGAGATTATGGAGGACGAGCTCGATCTCGATTGCGACGTGCCACAGGCCGTCACGGCCATGACGCCGACCGTACTCATAGAAGCGTGCAAGAGCTGACAGGCCTTCGCGCGCGCGGCGGCGAAGGTGCAGGGACTCGTGGCAAGCAGCGCCAAAGTCGTCGGTCACGCGCGGAAGGGCTTCACGCCCGCAGAACCCCTGCCCGACAAGCCGTGCAAGAGCGTCTTCCGCGTGACAGCGATGCCCGTGGGTCGGCCACCGCTAATCGTGGCCGAGACAGGACCGGAACCTCGACCCTTCAAGGACCTCAAGGCGCTCGACCTGGACGAGGTCGCGGACGCGTGCTTGGCGGCGCTGCAGTGAATGTTTTGCGGCGGACTCCGTGACGCGGCGGCCTTTCCTTTCGCGGAGGGGCCGGCGCCGATACGTCTGCTGCTAGGAATAAAAATCAACCAACAATCCAAAATTACGACGCCCGAAGGCCACCGCTCCGAAACGCGTCCGCCGCGGCCCGCACCGCCAAATTCGACACCAGATCCGTCGCCCGCGCGGGCGCTTGCGTGAAGGGCGACGCGCCGTGGCGCGCGAGCCAGGCCTCTATTCTACTTCTTTCATAAGTCCTGGAATCGACAATTAGCAAAACGGGGTCGTCAAATAATTCGGAAGACAGCGGGCATTTCAACCACTCCGGCACCGGTTCAGACCGTTGCAACGCGGCCCACCGCCGCAACTTCGCGCGAGCACCCATCCTCAAATCCAAGTTGACGTAGTCTTCATACTCCAGATACATCAATGAGTGCGCATCGATGCCTTCCCACCGCAGGATGTCTCTCGTTCTGATATCAGATGCCAGCCCAGCATCTAGTAAGGCAGCATCCAGAGCATCGTCCTCCGCATCAAAGCTCACAGACGTCGCCTCGACGCCGTTCGGCGAACTCTGTGCAGATGGTGGCGCCAGGCCGGGCGGCCCCTGTGCCAGTTGCGCTTTTCGCATCGCCTCGTATTCCTCGAGCGTGGGGTCCGTCTTGTCGAGCGTCGGCTGCCTTGATAGTAATTGGCCCTCCTGGCGGGCGTTGTAGTCGGGGTGCGGCGCCGCCGCGAGGAGGCCGTCCGCGCCGACCCTCAGATTGCCGCTCTCGATTTCTCTGGCTATTTTCTCGGCGTCGGCGCGCTGCTGCGGCGTCAGTGCCGCCGCGTCCAAGGCGGTGGTGTACTGGCTATCATCAAACGTGGGCGTCGGGTGCGGGGCGGCCGGGCGGGCAGGCGTCGGGTCCGGGCGGGCGAGCGCTGCGGGGCGCCGCGCGGCCTCGACCTCCGCCGCCGCGTCGGCCGCCTCCATCTCCCGCGCGAGGGCCTCGGGGATGTCGTCCGCCGCCGTGGAGATGCCCATTTCCAGCGCCTGCACGGCGAGGCGCCGCGCGGCCGCCGCGTCGTCATGAGCGTCCTCCACCTCAACCTCTCGCGGCGCCTCGTCGAGCGGCGTGTCGGCCTCGTCACCGTCGTCCGAGTCCGCCTCGGCGGGCGCTTGTACAACAACGTCGTCTGCCGAGTCCTCGGGCGTCACGGCCGCGGCGTCGTCCTTGTCATCATATGACGTGAACTCCTCGAGGCGCGGCGACGCCCGGCCCGGAGCGGGCGCCGGGACTGCCTTCTCTTCACTATCGCGCTTCGCCTTCTTCTTCTTGGCTTTCTTCTTGTTCCGTTTCTTCTTCTTCTCCTTGGCCTCGTCCTCTCCCTCAACTTCGGCGATGAGCTCCGCCGCGGCTCGATCGGCGTCGGCCGCGGCTTGCTCACTGACCACCTTCTGCTGCTGCCTGTCCTGGATGCGCTTCCGTCTCCTCCGAAACAGTTCCCTCCGATCGGCGGCAGCATCTTCCAAAGCGGCTAGCGATGAGAGCAAGTCCGCTTCCGTCTCTTCGGCAGGCGCAAAAAGTGGGTCAAAGTCGACCAGGGCCTTCCGCAGGTAGGGCCGCCCCGACGCCGCTCGAGCCGCCAACGATAGTAAATGCGCAGCAGCTCTGACAGCGTTCTCCGCCGCAGCGGCCGCGCGCTTCTTCTTCGGCTGGGCAGATTCGGGCGCGTCGCGCGCCATAATTTGCAACAGAGGTGGTAAACCTTGATGTAGACAAACATCTCTCAACCAGGCGTTCCTGCCTCGTCTCGATTCGGCAAAGATCAACAAAGCTACAGCAGCGGCATGCCTCGCCAGGATGGGTGCGGAGTCGGGTTGTAGAGTTGCTGATCGTGTCGACTTCCTCCCGTCATCCACGAGTCGTTCTGACCCTAACAAGTTGATCAGGACTTTCGCCGCTTCCTCCGAAGCAGCACTCCCAACATGGCCCGCGAGCCCAAGGTCAAACAACACGTGAAAGGCCGCACCGAGCGGACAAGCATCACAAGCAGACTCCAAACAATGAGGCAACGACGCCAACACGAGCTGGGCCGCCTGGTTCCAGGCCTGGCCCATGTCCTCGTCCGTGTCGTCGTCGCTATCGCTATCGTCCTCCTGTTCTTCGTTTATTTTCCTTACCGCTTTATGAGCTGCAAACAGACAATCGATCAGTACCAATCCTGAGGCGGTCGCTCGCGAGCGGGGATCATGCTCGTTGTCGCCTTGGACCCTGTCTAACAGTAGGCACGTTTCCTCAGCAAGAGCTGTGGACGACACGGCCAGCGCGGCCCGGAAGTCGTGCGAATGGACCCAGCGCTCGCAGAGCTGGCCGGCCTGGCGTCGGAACGGGTCTTCTTTGGAGATGGCCTTCGCTGGGGTGGAGACGGGTAGCAACGTTTCTCGCGCTGCTAATAAGAGTGGAGCGAATGCCTCGTGCGCGGCCCTAACAAGATGCAGCCTTCGGTGCTTCTCGTGTTCTCCCGGATAGTCCCTGTCAGAAGCTAAGATGCGCGTCAATACATCGAAGCCACCGTGGGCTATTAAGTCAGCTACTGCTTTGGCTGATACTCTGGCGGAAGGTGTCCCGGCGCCCTCGACCGCCCGGTCCGCGAGTCTTTCACACGCTCTGGCTGCTTTTTCATCATCTTGTTGATTACATCTAGAAGCATCGGACGCGACCCATAAAGCGGCTAGGTCTCTGCATAAGTTCGCGTCCTCCTGTGATAATGCTTTAGTGGCTCTTTCCGCGGCTTCCGCGCACCGCCGCCAACAGACCAAATGGGGTGACGTGGCCGTGATGACGTGGGGCACGTGGCGAATCAACCTCGCTACGGCCGCTAAGGCGCCGACGCGCGTGTCTTCCCGATCGCACCAGGCACATAACGCGTCTCCGATCGCATCTAATGCTTGTTGGAGCCCTTCGTTCGGCGGGTGCCGCAGGCCCTCCAGGGCACACAACGCCAAATCGCCGCAGGCTGGCAGTAAGCCTCGCGCCGCTCGTTGACTCCAAGAGTCTGTTTGTGCCGCTAACAAGGCCACCGCCAGAGCCGCGCCGGCTCGACCGTCGCCCAGATCAGCCGCCAAGGCGTCCACACATCGCGCGATGTCGTTATCCAAATAAGCCCTATCTTGGATGGAACAGGCCGCCACCAGCAAGTGCGGTAGCGCCGCGCGGCAATGGCCCACAACCACCCCTCGGTCGACGCCGCGCGCGTGCCTCGGACTCCGCCCGATGAACTCCTTCGCTAAATCGCGAAACCGCGACCATTCCGGGCCCTTGGCTCGCGCTTCCCCTCTGTCTCTGAGTTGTAGAGCAACATCAACGGCGGTGCGAGCGTCCGGACTCCCGAGATTCGGCGCCGCCGCGACCGCCACTAGACCAAGCAACGACCTGTCTTCATATCTTTCTAAGAATAACGACCCATGCGTCCTCGCAAGGACATCGACCGCCGCGGCGCAGTGCGGCAGGAAACACCTCCCATGATCGTCATCAGACGCATCTGCACGAAGAGGTCCGCAGTTCGCCGCGCAAGCTCGCACCAAAGGCAACGCCGCCTCCCGCACCAGTTTTTGCGCTCTTTGCCCACCAACTAACGCTCTTGCCAAACGAGCCGCGAACATGCGCCATGCACATGGGGATTGCGGCTGGGTCAAAGATAAGAACGCGACGTGCCTTTCTCTAGGCTCCGTCATCAACCTCTCGGCGACGGCTTTACATAACCTCGCGAGAGGTGCGCCCGGTGCCACGGTGTTGATGCTTGCCGCATCCCCCCGTCGGAACAACCTCGCTAAAGCTTCGCCGGCGAACACTTGCGCATAATACGCATCGCGCTGGCAGGCGGCCCGCAGCAACCCCGGTACTAGTTCTGCTCTTCTATCTAACACGTCGTTGTGATGGGCTGCCAGGTTGGCCGCCGCGACGCAGGACCGCCACGACGGCGTCCTCGCCTTCAAGGCAGAAATGACGGACTCGACGTCCGCCATGACGGCCGGCGGTCGGTGGGGATCCAGCACGACGGCGCAGGCTTTTGCTACGTCCGAATCCTCGTTGTTCGGGATTTCGAGTGCTTTCACCAGAGACGCCCCCCGAAAAAAGGACCCCTCCTCCTTCACTGTCACATCCTCTTCGAGTGATAGAGGCTTGCCCAGGGGCCTGTCGTTCTCGTCCGCTAATGCTCTCCTGGTTGCTGCTACGTCAGCGAGGGCGTCCACGATGCGACCACCCGTCTCGGCAGCTTCCAGAATCGTCCGTTTCACATCACTCGGCAACGATTCGTTGGCGGCCATCTTCCGCAGTAAATGATCTCGTTGGGACTGGTACTCGGCCCGAATCGTCTCCAGTCGTCGGCGCTCGGCCTTCGCATCCGCGAGAGGCTCGCCCAAGCCATCCAAGGCCTTCGCAAACGTCTGGACGTCCTCCGTCAGGTCCTCGTTCTTCTGCGCCAGCGCGTCCATGGCCTCGTCGAGGGCGGCGCCGGCCTCCATGGTCGCTGCCGAACTTGTGGAATGGGCGGCACGCGCGTCTGGTGCCGCCGTAGCTATGGGCTCGAAGGGCTAGCACAAGTGCGGGGCAGCCTCGCGGATGTCCGGGGCAGTGTGATTCCGCGATGTCGCCTCGTCTGCGCGGCGCCTCCGCCGTACACAAAATCTAGTGGGTTATAACTAGCTCAACCTACTTCCATGGAAAGTGCAGGACTCCTCGCACGTTTAGGCTTTGTGTGAGGAAGAATGGAAGGCGGGCTGGGCACCTTCGCGTACCACAACAAGCTGTAGGGAGAGCATCATGGAGCGCCTTGTGTAGGCAGCCGGAACGCGACGATGATCGCTTCATTAAGTGCCGGCATCTGCTACACGCCCGCGGGCTGCCCGTCTCCAGCTCTTCCCGACCTCTGGCTGCCCCCGCGTGCGCGCGACTCGGCGCGGCTGCCTCCCCTGCGGAGCGGCAAGGCTGCCATTCCGCCGCTCCAGCGCTTCCAGCGACCGACGACTCCCGCCGCCGTCGCTGCTGTACGGGCGGCTAGACGAGCGGCGGGCTTGCAGAAGCTCTGGGCGCCGGTGCGCGCGCGGGCCACGTTCGCGGACGTGCAGCGGGCCCGCGACGCTGAAAAGCGTAAGAAGGACCTCGCGTTCCAACGGCGGCGGCGCCGGCGGAAGCCGCCCGCGCCGGCGACGCCGCCCCGCCCGGCGACGCCGCCGCCGCGCACACCTCCGGCCACGCCACCGCCCAAAAAGCCGCGCAAGGCGCTGCCTCCCCTGCCGCCTCCCAAACCCGCCGCCGTCGACGCATCTCTCGGAACCTACGCCGTCGACGCGACGTTGGTGGAGGTGCCGCGCCGCGATGTTACCATAGACGGCGCCTCCCTGGAGTTCTGCGCGCGCGCGGGCGACGCCGACGCCGTCGCGGAATTAGGAAGGGCCATGGGTACCAGACTGTGGCCCGCATCCAACGTCCTCGTGCAGTACCTCGATTCTATAAATCTGGCGGGCGAGCGCGTCCTGGAGCTGGGCGCTGGCGCGGGCCTCTGCGGGCTCTACGCGCAGCGGGCCCGAAAATGTGAGAGGATAGTGCTGACGGACCACGACGTGACCACACTCAAACTATTAAGGCACAACACCGCCCTCAACGCGTCGTGCGGCCACGTCCACGCGCTCGATTGGCACTCGCTTGGTGATGTGGAGGCGGTATTGCGGCTGCACGGGACCTTCTCGACAATTTTGGCGTCTGATGTATTATTTCAAGCTCGAGATCTGGGCGCGTTTTATGCCTGCGCGGCGAAGCTCCTCGCGTCTCATGGTAGATTGATCGTGGCCTACGAGGACCGCGTCGCCGGCCTCGAGGCCAAGGTCCTGGCCGAGGCGAAGCGGGCGGGCTTCGCGGCGCGGTCCGTGCCGCTCTCATCCTTTTTTGATGAAAACCGCGACGTCGTCGACGGCGGCCGCGACGAGGCGCGGCTTTTTGGGGAGGCCGTCCTCCCGGGCAACGGGTCCTGGGACTCGCTGCGGCTGTGGGAGATGTCTTTGTTGCGGCGGCCCGGTCGACGGGGGAGTTAGTAGTCACATGTTTTATTCTTCAAGTTAGCTCAATTCGCTGCTAGTCGCCGCGAAACAGGGTACCGCCAGGACCACGGTAGCGTGGCGGCCCGTCGTGGAAGGGCAGCGGCGACTGGTAGGGCCGCCGCCAGTCGCCGAGCCGCCAGTACTCCATGACCTTCCAGAAGATCGGGTCGGGGACGCCCGCGAAGTATTCCGGCCGCGGGCGGTCCCGGCGCGTCATCAGACATCGGGGTGCCCAGCCGGTGCCGCCAAAAAGGCGTGCGATCGCCTCGGGCGTTTTGAGCGCCATCTTCGCGCGGTCGCGCGCCAGCAGCGACCGCACCCTCAGTAGATACTTGTAATCTCCATTGATTTTGAGAGTGCTCAACACACAGCCTAATCTCAGGCGTCCGGCGCGGTCGACGCGCCGTCGTCCGTCGGCTCGGTGGCGTCGTAGTGATGACGAAATTGGAACAAGATGCTTTAATTATCCTTGGGGTCTGTTGCGGCCTCGCCGTCGCGGGCGCGCTCTGCGAGCTCTGCGTCTTCGCGCGGCGGCGGCGGCACTGGCTCGCAGAGCAGCGGCGGCGGCGGGACGCGGCGACGTCCGTGACCCTGCCGGTGGCGCTCGTGCCGGAGGACGACGCGCGGGACGCCGTGGACGCGCCGACGGCGCCGTTGACGTCGCCGCGGCGGAGGCAGTCCCAAGCCGCCGCGACGGACGTGCTCTGATACATACGGCCTAAATTTTACCCACTAGCTAAACGCCGACGACTCCCGCGCGAGCCGCACCAAATGCGTCAAAGTAGAAGCCCACGTCGCCGCGGAGAGGTCGCTCTCCGGCGCCAATTCCAGGAACAGCTTCCGCCCCGGTTCCTTCACACAAATGACAGGCACGCCCTTGCGGTGCCGCACGCGCACGCTGTCGACGGCGTCGAGCGCGGCAAACCCGCACGGCGCCCCGTCCGCGGCCCCCATGTCTAAAGCGCGCCATTGCAGGCGCATGGCGTCGTGCGAGACCCACGCATAGAGGTCTTTTGGCTCCGTGCGGTGGCGCACGACGAAGGGCCCTCCTCTTTGGACGGCTCTTACATCAACGTCGTCGTCCGCGGGCGCACGCACGTTGACGTCCGGTGCTGTGACCGGTGGCTCCCGATCGAGTGACGGTAGCGGCATCCGCGTCGCGTCCGATTTCTGAAAGTCGCGCTCGAACTTGTCCCATTCTGCCTTGTGGCGGTCGAGCTCCTTCCGCAGCTTCGCGTGCGCCAGGGCGCGCCTTTTTGAGTGCTCCGGCGCCGCGAGGTCGCGCATGATGGACTTCCACGTGTCTTCGTTTTCGGTTTTTGTTTTTGCGGGCCGCCGCGCGGACGCCGGCCGGACGTCAACGCGCGTCTTCGCAGACGCCTCGGCGTACTTCTTGCGCGCCTCCGCGGCTCTTTTTTGGGCGGTCGCGGCCGCGCGGCGCCGCGCCGTCTCGCGCGCGCGCTGAGCCTCGTCGGTGCCCGCCTGTCTACGTCGCTCCGCCTCCTCGCGCCTCGCTTGCGCCTCGCGCTCCATGGCCTCGCGCTGCTCGCGCGCCGCCGCGGCGCGCTCGCGCGATCGCCTCTGTGCCTGTTCGACGCCGGCGGACCGGGGCCGCGGCTTCGCCGGCGCGGACCGCGGCCGCACGCGGGGTTCCGATGGTGCCGCCGGCCGCCTCTGATCATTCCCCGCGTCGTACGCCGCCGGTCGCCTCTGGTCGTACGGCCAATTCCCCGCGTCCCGCCAGGCCTCATCCGTCCAGCGCGAGCCGCGGCCGGCGTTGGGAGAGAAGGCGCCGGCTTGGGTCCTGGCAAAGGCCGGCTCATAAACACGCGGCTTGGCAAAGGCCGGCTTTGGTATTGCGGGCCGTAGCGACGCGTCGTAAGCCTTGCGCCTCGCAGGATCGCTCAGCAGCTCGAAGGCCGAGCAGACCAGCAGGAACGCGTCCGCCGCGCGCGGATGCGGGGTTTTATCTGGGTGGCACCACAAGCATAACCTTCGATAGGCCTTCTTGAGCTCTGCGATGGTACTGGTGTGGGGCACGCCCAGCAGCGCGTAGAGGCTCTTGCCCGGGGCTTCGGTGAGGAAGACATCCAGGTCCGCCATAGCAACAAGGGGTATGGTGTGGTGCCGCGTGCCGGGCAGCGCCGGGCGCGCGCACCGCGCCGCGGCCGCAGCGATGCCTTTCGAGCAATGCGGTGCCGCTCGGGCAGCAATAACTGATCTGCGGCGGCCACAGGCCCACAGCGCTTCGCAACGAGATTGCCAGGGTGCGGGTTCGCGTGTCCGAAACCTCGCGGCGGTCCTCCGAGGAGTCGCCTGCTTCGACGCCCTCCGGCCGTCCGTTTGATGAGGTCCGCGCCGCACTAAAAAACAACTCCTGGCAGCCCGTTTGCTTCTCGACGCAGGCCACTGCTCGCGCGCCGGGCAGCCCCACGCCGCCGACGCAGCTTCGCACACAACGCCCAGCACCCCTCAGCAACCATGGTCGGCAAGACGGCCTCGCTGGGCCCCATCAGCCCCCTGCGCACCACGCTGACCAACAACTACCGCAGCCCGCCCGTGACGCCCTCACGCAGCCCGAGACGCTTGGATGGCGAAGTGGCCACGCCGCCCGGCCTCCCCTCCTTACGAAGGGGGCCGCTGACGGACTGGGTCGACGACCGATCGTCGGAGGCGCTGCCGCCGAGTCCGCCGCGCATCCGTTTACCTTCCTTGCAGAGACCGAAGCGCAATGCGGTGGCATGTGCGGTCGTCGCGCTGGCCTGCGCCTTGGCCCTGCAGGGGAGCCCCGCCACCCCCGAACCGCTGGCGGTCGTCGACCTGTCTGTCACAGACTACTCGGCGGAACCGGACCTGTCGCAGCCGCCGGCTCCTGTACCGGCACCAGTGTATCACCTCACGCACGCTTTGTTGGACGCGCGCGCCGAGGCCTTGAAAGCTTTACCGCTGCAAACGACGCCGCCGACGCCGGAACGACACGTCGTCGGCAAGGGCGCGTCGACGGTCTCGTGGCGCCTGGATCCCTGGTTAGTTAACGCCGCTCTGGGCACGCTCATCACGGCGGACGTTTATGTGGAATCGAGACTGTTTGCGCAGAGGCAGCTGGAGGTGCGGAGCGCGGACCAGCGAGTTGCGGTGGACTTCGGGAGTCTGCCGGACGGCGTCCACGGGCTGTCCGTCGTTTTGAAGTCGGCGTCGACTTTACCTAGATTTGCTCCTCAAACTTTGCGAGCGACGCTGACCGCGACGGGGTGCTGAATTCTCTCCATCGGCCCGGGCGGCACAAAGCCGCGGGCCCACTTAACCATTAGTCTACCTCGAACCTAGCATGTGATGAGCCTTACGCCGCGCGCCCCGCGAGCGCAGCGAGTGCGTCGCCGACGTGCGCGTCGTCGTCCAAATAGAAGAGAGCTCGCGACGCCTTCCGCCCCACCGCAACCGTAAACGCTCGATCCAAGGGCGCACGCGGCGCGTCCGCCAAGTACGAATAGACCGACGAGAACATCTTCTCGTCGGACAACGAATCGCCCACACAAAGGACGAAGTCCGGCGGTTCCCCTCGACTCAAAGCTTCAGATAAAGCTTTTTTGACGACGTGGCCCTTGTGCATGGCCTGGGGCACGATCTCGAGCATGCCCTCCCTATGAGCTACTGCGACATCGAACGGTGCCAGGATACTTTCGAGGTCTTGGGCCAACTGCAAGGCTTGGATCCGCCCCCATTCGGGGTCCGCCCTGTAATAACTCCAAGCTAAGCCCGGTTCCCGCTTCAACACGGCGGAACCGTTCGTCCAGGCCGCGCGCCGCTTCATGAGCGGCAGGGCCGCTTTGCGCACCGCGTCCCAGTCGGTGCCGTAACTCGTCATCGTCGTCTGCGGTCGTTGAGATGGTAAGGACGTCGCTAGGCCATTGGCAGCCGCTAAGGATAGTTGTGGTAGATCAGAAAATAAACTTTCTAGGGCGGAGGGCGTCGTACCACTTACAACGTAAACAGTCGTCTGCGGATCCTCCGACAGAGCCTGCAACGCGCGCCTCACCCCGGGCCGCAACAGCGCGCCCTTCGTGGCACTTTTGAGCACCTTGCTGACACTGTCGCCCTTCGGTATGAGCGTCCCACCTAAATCCAAGAACAAAAACCTTCTGGAAGATCTGGAAAAAGCATCGGCCAGCCGACCGATCTCCAGTCGCTGCGCGATGGCCAAGGACGCGTCCTCATCCACCGCAACCTGGCGATGGACCGTCTCCATGTCTTCCAGGATCTCCTGCGTCCACCGGCCACTCGGACGACTTTTCACGTATGGCAGGTCGCGATCCAACCTGTCTCTTTTTTCAACCGCATCCATGCTGAGAGCCGTATCCAACGCTGCCGCTACACTGGGAACATCAAACGGGTTCACGTTCACGGCCCCGGACATGAGTGTGGAAGTTGCGGAGAATTCCGAGGCCAGTATGACGCCCGGTCGTCCCTTCAGAGCTCGTGCGAGGGCGTATTCCGACGGGTACAACGTGTGGCCCTCTCGGATGGCCGTGCCGACGAGCACATCACTGCGTTGGAAGAGGGCTAAGCGTTCCGCCATGCCTAACCTTCCTGAAGGTCGCTCTATCAATACGACGCTACCGGGGTTCTGCGCATTTAATCTCTGCCCAAGCGCTTTGATTTCATCTAACGTGCGAGCTTCGTCCTGCACGCGCGTACCGTCCAACAGGCAGTACTGCACCAACGCTACTCGACCCCTCCACCGAGGATACTCCGCGAGGAACCGCTCGTAAGCCAACAGTTTGAGCGAGATACCGCTCAGGCGCTGGCAGGGGTCCACGCCACATAATACAATCCTCTTGGCATTGTTCGGCGTCTCCCGCGAGGGCTCCTGTATTAACCCCTCAATAGCAGGGACATGCGAAGGCACTTCATCCCTAAGAGCTTGTTCGATCTGGTCCGTCTCGACCGAGACATGACGAACAACCACCATGACCGTCCGGCCCTGATGGAGCACGCCCGTGATGCCCCCGGCCACGGAAGCGCGTTCCATACCCATGAGCCGCGTGCACGCGTTCAGGAAATGCCGCGCGTGTTCAAACGCATGGAAGCCTACTACATCAGCCCCAACAACTCCCTCAAGTAGTTTCGGACCATTGGCTAAAGCACAGAACAGTTGCGACGTCGGGAAGGGCGCATGCAAGAAGAACACAATCCTAGCTTTCCGCGACTGGTGCCGATCGACCCGGAACGGCTCCGACGTCGCCAACAGAGAAGGCAAGAGCATCAAGTAGTAGTCATGGACCCAAACCGTGTCGCCCGCCCGTAAAAAGTCCAAGAGCATATCTCTGAAATCCCCGTTCATCGCCTCGTACGCCGACCAGGAACTACCAGCGTCCTGGTCCCACTCCGCGCGCTCGTGCCAGGCCGCGCAGCACTGGTCCAAGACAGTCACGTTATGGAAAGAAGGCCAAAGAATCCTCTTGCAGTAGTTGAGGTAGCCCTCTTCGCTGTTCGACGAGAAGACGGGGATGCAGTTCATCTTCAGGAGCACGGCGCGGATCTCGTCCTTGTCCTGGTCCGTCAACTGGCGCCGGTTGAGGCCACCATGAATCGTCCCGGCCCACCACGTCTCGCGAGAATCGGCGATGGACTCGGACGGCGACTTGGCGATGATCGACGACCCCCACGAGGCCGTCCAGTTGTTCTGAGCGTCTCTTACCACTCTAACTGGTAGATGATAACAAACGATCACGAGTCTAGAAGCCCCTGGTGTGGGCGACGGCTTCTTCAGGGGCACGTCGGGCGGTTCCGGCGGCGTCACGCCGAAGTCGTCCTCCTTGTGGAGCTCCGGCGTGTTCGTCTTGACGCTTCGCACGTGGCCCGGTTCAGCCTCGACGTCATGCGCGGAGCGGATGGAATAGCGGTAGTCGTGGCGCACGCCCCGCGCGATGATGACGGGCTTCGGCGTCCGCCAGATGGGGTACTGGTCGGGGCTCGTGACCATCTCCAGGGCGCCCGACGTGCGGTCGGACGTCGCGCTACCGCTTACTAGTACCACTTGTCCGGGCTGCGTCCTCGCTCGGACGGCCAAGTGTAATTTCGTGTAGAGGCCGTCCTGGGCCATGGTTGGTTTGTGGCGCTCCGCGGCGGCGCGCCGCGCGCGCTGGCGTCGCAGAGCAGAGAGCTGAGCTCTGGCTGGGTCTGCTGCGGGGCGGCCGACGGGAGCGCTGGCTTCTGGATTACGTGCGCAGCGAATCAATGCGTACCACGGCTTCCCTTGGCCTGCGGAAAGGCCTTGCTCCCACGCACGCCAAAAAAGAGCAAGCGGAGCTAGCGGTCTGTAAGACACTAGGGAGCGGATTACCTCCAAAAGACTTTATGCCCGGGCGGTCGCGGGATCTCGTCGAGCGCCTCAAAAACGCGCCGCGGAATGTCGTCGAGCGTCCAGTCCAGCTGCTCTTCGAAGCATAGTTTCAGCGACGCGCGGATCGCGAGCGTCGTTGGGTGTTCAACGCCGTGGGCCTTTGTAGACTGATCGAGGACAGCCGTGTGTCCTTTGATGGATGCCATCAACAGGTCTCGGTAATCATTGCCGCCAAAGAAATGTCGTTTGTAGATAGATTGCGCAATTCGCCAGTGCATCTCGATACATATGGCGTGCTCTTCTCCGAGAGCCCGCACCGTCGCATGACCCGCCTTGCCGAGGAACCTCGAGGCCTCGGCCACTAAATTTTGATCGACCATACAGACTCCGAGCTCGAGCGCGCATCGGTGTCTGAGCTCGTCATCCTCGCCCAAATTAATGAATACTTTGCCAATAATAACTCGCAGCATGTTCAGCCCGCTCAATCGAGGTCTACCGGGCACGAGCGAGAGGAAGTTAGCCCTTAATTTATTAACATTGACCATCGAACTTTCCCAGCCGAGTTTGTTGCAGACCGTGGCCAAGTACATAACCGCTTCGCAGGACAACCTTGGGTGGATGGTTTCGTGGAATTTGCGGAACGGAAGCTGGCTCAGGAGCGTCTCGAGCACGCCGAACGCCTCTTCGTGTCGAGAAGCGGCGACCAGACCAATCCCGAGCTCGAGCATCGCCCTGTAAAGGTACTCATCACCTGCCTTTCGAGCGGAGTTGATGAACCAGCACTGCCACCCGAGCGCGCAACGGACTGTCCCGTGGTATTCCTGTCCGCACAGCCGACACGTGTTCCACTGCGTCCACCCGTCGGGCTCGTTCGACGCTTTGACCCAGGTCGACGCTGTCCCGAGTGTTGCTTGAGTCATGACGCAAGTTAGATGCGCAAGTCCAGTGGTCCCGGTGCACGAACAGCCGCGCATGAGACGCTCGCCGTACTTCGATCTGGTTTCGTGACACATGTGGCGATTTATGAAGCAGGCCTGGCCGCGGCGGAACGCGCGTGGCCACATCGTGAAAACGTTGTTCAAAGGGACAATCTCGCATCATGTTACAACGACCTCGGGCGGCATGAGGAAGCCCTCAGACTCCATCGTGAAATCTACGCTTTCGAAACGGCACGAAAGGGCTTCACGGAGGGAACTTTGACCACCGCTTTAAACATATCAATGATCTTGTGTGACACAGAACGATATTCGGAGGCACGCACATTCTCATCAAAGCGCATCGGCGAGTCAACCCGCCTACTCGGGTCTGATCATGACATTACACTTAGATTGCGCTCGAACTACGCGATGGCAATTTACATGGACCCCTACTCGAGTCTGCAAGATCTGACCAACGCCGTGGAGACCATGGAAAACGTCTTGCGCGTGCGGAGGCGGGTCTTCGGAGATTGTCCGCGAACTACAAGCGACACGTGGAAAACCGAAGCTGCACGGGCCATCCTCGCCGAACGCCGCGAAACGCCATCGTAGAAACCCTAAAGTTCCTAAAAGTTAGCCCGTACTGCCCCGGAACCGCGCCCGCAGCGCCGACACGGCCGCGTCCGCCGAGCCCCCATCTCTTAAAGCCGCGTCGCGCGCGTGCTTTGGCAGATGGTTTCGATGGGCCGCGCGCGCGAAGCGCTGGTCCGCCAGTACAACAGCTTCCGCCCTTGAGAGAGCCCCCCGCGTCATCAGAGCCGCTCGCGCGGCCAAGTGGTCGGACTCGCGCAGTTGTAAATCACAGAGCGCGCGATCCAACCTAGCGCGGACCGCTTCGCTCATGGGCTCCAGGGGCACGCCCGCGAAGATCACGGTTCTAGCACATCCTATCGCACAGCTCAACGCCGCCGAAGACGCGGCACAAAAAAACACGCAACCCCGACCTCGATCGGCGCATCGACAAAAGACCTCCAAGGCTTTCGACGTCTCAGATTCATCGCCAACAGCACAAGTGACGAGCTTCTTCTGCAGTATTTTTCTCATCGCTCCTGTAGAGTCCCACGTGACGAGCGCGCTCTCCATGTCCTCGCTCGTCGGAAAAACGCAGACCACATTATCTGGCACACTGTCAGCCACGTCGGCGACTAACGTGCCGTAGTTCCGCGCCTGCGTCGGGTCGTTCCGCAGCGCGCCCTGGCCCGTCGTGAGCGAGAGCTGGTCCGCGCCTCTTGCTACTACCACTGGTAATGCTGACCGAGCCGTCGCTAGAGCCGGCTCCGGCGGCTCGCATCTCAACAATTTCGCTACAACCTCCGCAGCACAGGTCGCCGCGACAATCAACGGCTGGGAAAACCGCAGTTCGTCCAAGGCTCGTCGCGCGTCCAGGCACTCGAGACGTTTGCCCTCGACAACTAACGCCGGTACGCGCGTCACGAGCCGAGCGAAGGCGCAGACCTCGTCCAACGCCTGGGCCTTCGGACCCGCTCCCTGGCATTTGAGGGCGTTCCTGAGAGAGGCTAATCTGCGAGGAAAAGCTGCCAGCGTCTCGCCGGACGTCGACTCGGCTATTTCTAACAAGAATGCCTTGGCGCTGCACGTCTTTGCGGCCTGTTTCAGATGTTTGATGAAGGTTCTCACTCTTCTAAGAAAGTGGTGCGCCCGCCGGCAGTCGCCCGGGACCCGCGTCGTATCAGCATCGGCATCTACCGACGACGCCAACCCGCAGACGCCACATATTGATGAGGGCGGCGTCGTCTTGCTCTGCGAGACTTTCACGTAGTCGCGGTTGCACTCCGTCTCCGACTTCGAAGCCTTTCTGTCGAGGCGCGCGCACTCGCGGTCCGCTCTTTCTAGGAGTGCGTCGTCGACTCTGACAGAAGCTAACGATCTCGCTAAACCTTCCACATCCACCGCATCGTCGAACAACACCACAGCTTTATCTGGTAGAGCTAGTGAAGACCGGGGATCGAGGATGAGCCGCGCATCCAGTACAATCACGTCCGATGCATCGGCATCTTTACGAGATTGGGCGTAGGCGCATGCATCTAATTTGCGCCTCTTGACAGGCACGTCTTCACTTTTCCGCCCCGCGGCCCGCCTCAGGACCTCAAAGTCGCTCTGGGCTGACGTTTGTATGTCTTCATTCGTGCAGGCGCGCCTCCTACTCGTTAGTATGGTGACACCACAACCGGAAGAACGCATGGCGCCCGCCGCGCGTTCACAACTGGCCGTGCCGTCAGTCGCATAGACGAGGGGTCTTTTCAAGGCGTGGAAGAGCGCGCCGACGGCGCCCGCGTCCGCGTTTGGGGGGGCTGCCACGACCTGCACGGCGTCGTCTCTTGCTAGTGCCGCCTTCAGCGCTCGCAGATAATGCGTCTCGGCCTCTTCCAGAGCTTGTGGGAGTCTTAGCGTCGTGGCGGCGTCGAGCGCGAGGGGGTGCGCCATTCTTTTTGGCGAGCGATGCGTTCGCTTGCGCGCGCGCCGTCCAGCAGTGCTGAGAGTTTGCAAAGCGGTGGCGTGCGCTAGCGCGTCCCGCGTGCGGCGTCGCCGTCCAGGCAGTGCTGAGAGCTTGCCCAACTTGTTGCGGCACGACGCGCGATCGATGTGTTGACGCGCGTCTCGGCGCAGCGATGTTCTGAGAGCTTTTTTTGACGCGCCCGCGGTTCCCCTTTGCAGCCGCGCCCGGTGCGCGCCGGCCTTTTGGCCCGCAAAGCCCAGGCTAGCGTCTTGTAAGACACTAGCAAGCAGGCGAAAACGATTCATACGGGGCCCAGGCGTCCACCAGAGCGTCCGACGCCATACAAAAAGATAGGGACGGCTCGAACTAAGGTTAATGCGTATTGCTATGGCCAAAACAGGCTTGCCAAAGCGGCGCTTATCATCACCACCAAACCACCGCAAAATGATTTCGCTCGTCATCTCCGTGACCCTCATGGGTACGGCTGCGGCCCTAGATGCGAATTCGGCGCCCGTTGACTCCTGCGTCGTCGAATATTTGGTTTATGCAAATTGGTCTTCAGCTGAAGTTTGAGACCCGGGCGGCGTCGAGACTACCCCGGCCCGTCTCAAAACCACAGCGCCGGTCCGTGAGAGGCTCCGGTAAAACTGGGAGACCGCGCCCGGCCCCTAACACAACATCTGCGTCCGCCTCGCAGGCCACGTGCGGTAGTCGAACATGACCCTCAAGCACTTAGTGCTGGCCCTCGCCATGGCGATGGCCTGCGGCGCGCCGTCAACCCCACGCGGCAGCACCGAGGCCGTCGGTGACACGTTTGACATGACGCCGAAGCTACGCGGCGCCGCGGACGGCCAGGCTTCCAGACCGGCCGGTCGCGCCCTAGAATTTGGGAGCATGAAAACGGATGAGCCGACGCCCTCGCCGACGACCTCGCCGACGCCCTCGCCGACGTGCGAGGCGCGCCGACGCGCCCAGGAGGCCCAGGCGAAGCGCGAGGCCGACCTCGCCGCGCAGAAGGCCGGGACACCGATGACGCGCAAGCTCAAGTTCGGGTCGGCCCGCAAGCTCTCGGAGGACAACGGGGCCGCCCTGGACGAGGCTTGAGCCTGCCGACGTCGACGAGGCCGTGCACCTCGGAGCCGCTGATGTACATCCCCTTCTCCCCCTCACTTTCCTGTGCCGCGCCGCCGCTAGGAGCCAGGACGCGACCCTCCCCCTGATTATACTTGCCAGTGTCTAAAAAAACAAAAAATACCGCACGGATCAAAGAAGGATGCTCCCATTACTCATGCCCAGTCCGCCGCCCCCGATGGGCGCGGCCGACGGCCTTAAGTACACGTCAAAGCTTACTTCAAACCTAGCAATGGACCCGGGGCCGCACCAGATCGCCAATGTGCGAAACCTCCCGAGACCGAGTCGACAACCGCTCTAGGCCATCGACGTGAGCGTGAAGTCGTTCGAGAAGGGGACCATCACGTTGCCCGCGTACTGCGGGAAGCCCTCGATGCCCGACAGGAAGGGGACCGAGCCCGGCACCTGCGCGGAGCATCGCGGTCTCGCGACTCGGTCCGAACGGCCTCAAAATCGAAAAGAAACCAGCCACGACCGCGGGACGCCGAGATCGCACGGTGGAGGCCGAGAGCATGCCCATGATGCCGAGCATCGCCGCGCGGCCGTTGAGGATCTCGCACTTGAGGCCACGCTCCTTCTGCTCGGCGGTGCGCTTGGTGGTGAACCCAAAGGGGTCCCAGAGGTTGAGGAGGAAGTGGCCGCCCGGGCCGCCCTTGCCCTTGATCTCGGGGTAGAAGCCCGGCTTGCCGCCGCGCATGTAGTGGACCTGTGCGTAATCAAATTCTCGCGGCGCGTCTCGGATTATGGCCTCCACGCCATCGACGCGACGCCTGCTCGACGGCGTGGCGGTACCGGTTCCTCACCGCGCACCGAGCCACGACGGCCGCGTCGTCGCCGAGCCATGACTTGGTGAAGAATTGTCGGGTGTGATTTCCACACGGTAAGGAACGTAGCCGTCCGGCTGCGACGCGCCCTCGCCGTACGACTCGAGCATGCCGACGAGCACGAAGATCTGGAGCTTGCCGTAGAGGGGGATGTTGTCCCACTGCTCCTGCGGCGTGCAGCCCGCGACGTAGCCGCGGTACGGGAGGAACTTGTGCTCGCCGGAAACGAGGGGCGTGCACTGCGCGATGAAGCCGAGGAACGCGGCCATGGCGATGCGGCCGTGCTTGATCTCGGAGTGGCGGAGCCAGCCGATCGTGGCCTCCTGGCCGACGCCGCCGTCGGCGTTGCCCTGCATGCCCAAAGCGAAGGACATGTCCGAGAGGCCGAGCGGGTCGTAGAAGCCGGGCGGGCCCGGGATCGAGTTCTGGAGGTCGACGAGGTCCGACTTGGCGTCGGCGAGGACCGTCTTGGACGCGGCCGGCGTCGACGGCGCGACGAGGGCCGACGCCACGGGGGCGAGCGCGAGCGCGACGACGAGCTTCATTTTAACCTGCGGGGACATTATGTCGCGCACGGCGCGCGGAGCGACGGTCGCGTCTCCGCCTCGCAGCGGCTCTCGCGGGGGCACGGCGAGGCCGCAGCGCGTCCGCCTCGCAGCGGCCTCTCGGCGAGCGCCGCGGTATTCGCGGCGGCCGCGGCTCCAGCCTCCGGCCAGCACTCGCAGTTGATGCGCGTTGCGCTATGATACCGAGCAGTGCTAGGTATGCATAGGCCGCTCGCGGCAGCAGCGCTGCGATAAGCTGGGACTGGTGACGTTCGAACTCGCGTCCGACCGCCGCCGCGTTCGCAGCTATCGCTTTTTTTTGCACCAGATGCTAGCGCGATGCTGCGTTCTGGCCTCAGCGATGCCACCGCGAACGCTTACGGCGCGTTTGGCCCTTTTCTTGGCCGTCCGGCGCCGAACGAAAGATGGCGGAGGGCGGATCCAAGATAAGCAGCTCATCCGCTGATGCAGCATTTGCAGCGAGCTTGCAGCGGCGGCATCTCGTGCATGAAGGCGTCCCTCACGCTGATTTTTTGACGAAGACTCCGGCTCCTACTCTTCCTTGATGCACAATTGATCGAGGCTGCTGATGAGGACACGAGCACGCATCCTCGTCGGCCGCGGAAAATCAGGGAGGCGTCGCTACACGTCGTGATCGACGCCGTCGTGGCCCCACAGGACGGATTCGGGCCGTGCCGCAGCGTCACACACAACAATGAGCATCTGGCTCCAACAAGCCAAAAAGGTCGCTACCTAATGATGAGATGCGTCGGGCACCCTCTCCCGTCGGCTGGCATCGGCCTGGATGCCGGCTGATTGCTAGTGTGTCTTATAGGCCGCTAGCTAATTCGACATCACGCGCTCGAGGGCGACCCAGAGAGCGATTCACGGCTCCTACTCGGAGGCTTCCGGCTGTCCTTTCATAGCGCCGGCCGCAGCGATAAGGCCAGCGCCACCCGGTGGGTGATCTCTATTGAGACACTCTCCAAGAGCTCTAAGAGCGACCGCCACGCGCGCGCGCGCCACGCCGCAGCCATGGCCGAGCAATCATCAACAAAGGACGAAGCCAAGACGCCCTTCACGATCATCACCGGATTCTTAGGGGCCGGCAAGACGACCCTCATAAACTACATACTGACGGAGCAGCGGGACAAGCGCATTTGTGTTATAGAAAATGAGTTCGGCGAGATCAATATCGACGAGAAGCTCGTGTCGGCCAATATGGCGTCGAAGGAGGACCTGATCCAGATGGACAACGGCTGTGCTTGCTGTTCGATAAGAGGTGACTTAGTACGCACATTAGGAGGATTAGTAGAGAAAAGACAACAATTTGATGCGGTGATGCTCGAGACGACGGGTCTGGCCGACCCGGCGCCGATCATCGCAACATTGAAAAGTAATCAATGGATTGATGATAATTTTGCGATCGACGCGGTTTTTGCCAGTGCCGAACTTCAAGGTTTACTTCAATTCGGGGTGGGTCGCGGTCTGCTGCTCTCTGGGTACGGTCGCGGGCGTCGCTCGGCGGTCGTGGCCGAGTTTGAGCTTCCACGCAGGTCGTCTGCCTCGCGAGCGCGAAGCACGTCAAGGCGCACCTCGAGGAGCAGAAGCCGGACGGTGCGTGCTGCGGCGTCCTTGCTTGGTCGCGCGGCGGTGGCGTCGCGGCGATGGCGTGGGGGTGGGAGTGCGAGTCTCCCCGGCGCGCCCGTCGACGCCGTCGCCGAGACACACACACACACGCAACTCACTCGCGTCGCTGCTGGTGGCTCGCGCCGAGCTAGCGCTGCCACCGCCCCCACGCCGTCGCCGCGACCCATCGTGGAGCGAATCTCACGACGCGAAAAACGCAGGCGCCGTCAACGAGGCCGTGCAACAAGTAGCTTTCAGTGATAAGATCTTGCTCAATAAAGTGGACCTGGTGACGCCGGACGAGCTCACAGCCATAAGGAAGGACATCCGGAAGATCAATCATTTTGCTGAAGTGATCGAGTGCGAGAGGTCCCGAGTCGACCTGAAGAAGATTATTGGGATCAATTCGTTTGACATCGAGAAGTGCATTGATCTCGATCCCGTGCTCTTCAAGAAGACGGAAGGGTCAGAAGAACCCACGAGTGGAAAGGTGCACGACCTGTCGATGGTGTCCTCCTGTGGTATCAGTGTGGAGGGGTTCCTGGACGTCCCGAAGTTCAACATCTTCATGGCTGAACTCTTACAAACGAGAGCTGCCGATTTGTATCGGTCGAAGGGCGTGTTGTCTTTCGCGGGACAGGGCGACCAAAAATTCGTCTTTCAGGGCGTGCACGAGCAGATCGACTTCGGGCCGGCCCAGACGCAGTGGCAGAAAGGTGAGAGACGTGTCAGCAAGATCGTGTTCATCGGGCGGAACCTCGACCGCAAGTTCCTCACGGAGAAGATCGAAAGTTGCTTGGTGCCCGGGGCGACGGAGTAGGCGGGGGTCCCTCCTAAGCATGTGCTCCCTTTTGTACACGCGCGTCGACGGCGTCTAGCTTAGGCAGGGATGGGGGGGGGTGCCTACATCATCATCTTCGTGACCGTGATGGTCGCGACGGGCATCATGTCGCCGGAGTCGCAGAAGGCGTCGGCATCGCCGCACATGATCATTGAGATGGGCTTGGCCGAGTCCTCGGGCATGTCGTCCGCGGTGAACGTCATGCCAGCGTCGGTGCCCGCGTCGTAGGCCATGGCCATGTGGGTGACCTCCTCCTTCCACATGCCCGTCTCGTAGTCGCAGAGCTCGAGCGAGGAAGCGCCCGTGAACCAGTCCGGCGACCTGTGGAAATCAAGATCAGCGCCCCATGCTACAAGTTGTTAATGGACACGGCCGACGAACGGAGCGATCATCGTGGCGAGGCCGAGGTGGTCGTGCATCTCGTCGGCCGTGACTTCGATCATCATCTTCCAGGGGCTGAAGGCGCCGCCCGCCGCGGCCGTGACGCTCGAGTAGGTCATCGTGAGGTTTGGCGCTGTGGCGCACTCGGCGCCAACTAAACATCTTTCGCACGGGCCCGTGTAGCAGCCCACGGCCGCGCCGTTGATATGAACATTAGCGACGTCGTCGCCCGGCGTGCGCGCGGGGCAATGGTGCTCCGCGGCCGCCGTTATGAGGAGGAGCGCGAGTTGGTTCGACCGCATCGTTAACGGTACGGCAGCACTTGCGAGTGGAATTACCTGTTAATCTCGCAAGGCCTGTTATCGTCGCGCCGTGTTTCTGCGCGGCCCGTGTGGCGCCCGGCGGTCTCCGCGCCGCCGTTTAGCTAATGAGCAATTCCTGTTGTTCCTGAGCCCAATCAGCCCAGCGCCGCCGTCGTCGCTCGTTTAACGACTCAGGCGGCGTCCTCGAAGGTCTGTGAGCTTCCTCCACTTCGCTATTTACGCGTGGGATCAGTTTCACGGCCGCGTTTTAATTGCCTTTTTAGCCGGGCCTGCTGAAGTACAGGTAAGTGCGGAGTAGGGTATGGAAAAAAAGAATCAAGCGAGACGCGCGCGCGTCGCTCTGGGGCTTTCCCGACGCGTCGGACCGGTCCGGGACCGGTACTGCGCCGGTAGCGACCGCGCGCGACCGGCGGCGGCCTCCGGGACAATACAAATACCCCAAATTTATACAACACAAAATACCACGTGCGGAAATCAAAAGTACACGGCCGTGCCGAATCATCCACGCCATCGACGCCGCGCCCTCACGTCACCGCGACCGCGAGCATCACGACACCCCCCGTTGCGAGCAGGGCGCCGGCGCCCGCCCGGGACGACACCTTTTGCCCGAAGTACACGGAAACGGGCAGCGCCCACAACGGTGTCAGCGACCAGAGAGTCACGGCCACGGCAAGCGGAAGGACAAACATCGTCCACACCGTAATCAACGGCGTCAGGAACGTGACGAAGACCACACCCAACGCCACGCGCAGCCAGTCGCGCCGCGCCATCGGCTTCGCGTCTGACTTGCGGCGGCCCTCTCGTAAAACCCAGACCAGGATCAGTAGTACCGCAGCTAGGCCGAACCGCAACAAATTGACCTCGGCAGAGGACAGGGGCCCGCGCTCGGCGACCGTGATCGTGGCGGCGTAGACGTCGAGGACCACGTTGACCGTCGCGTAGGCGTAGCCTCTGAGATATGGGGGCTCCGTCGCCTCTTCCACGGCGACGTCGTCGGCCTCCACGGCGTCTTCGTCCGCCTCCTTCTTTTCGGCAGACTCCACATTCAGCAAATACACGCCCAGCGCACAAACGACAACACCAAGGTACCCGAGCCACGGCACGGCATCACCTAACAAAAAGTAGCCCATGAAGGCCGCCACAAAAGGTTTTAAAGCATCAATGGCGATCATGCGCCGCGCGCCGAGAATCTGCAGCGCCGCGAGCCAGAGCGTATCTGCGATCACGATTCCCAAGAGCGAGGAAAACGCCAGCCATAACACGACGCGCTCCGGCATCGGCCTTCGGTAAAATATGAGCACAACAAGCCCGAAGAGCGACGACCCTAAGGCACACTTAAAGGCGTTCAGCGCGAGCGGCGAGTAGGTCCACGCGTCCGCCCAGACAAACAGCCCGAAGGCCATGAGGCCTGGGGCGACCGCGCCTCCCGCAATCGCGAGCCATGTCACGGCACTCATGCTACAACTGCACGTCGATGGCGTGTCTGCCTAGCTACTGCTGGGCACGGCGGCTGTAACTTCGCGTCGACGGCGCGCCAGGCAGCGCGCTGAAGGCTGCACTGCTTTTTCAGCAGCAATAGCGCAGGGATGCAGCCGTTTTGACGCGCGCTTGCAACAGCAGTAGTGCGTCCGGTCTCAAATGATACGAATGCGAACTTCTCAGCAGGCGTGGGGCACCATGAGCAATGCCACTCCCTGCTGCTGGGTGCAGAGCAAATGTCGCGATCGCCGCGGCGCGGCGGGAGGCGTCGTAAGCACTTCACAACATCCGTCGAGAGAGGAAGCATGGGACGAGTGCGCTTTCAAACCCGCACATAGCTGAAAATGCAGTCGTCGACAAGCACATTCGAGTTGGCCGGTCATACGCACATTGCTGCACTCATACTGCCGCGGCACACAGCATTCATTACTCATAATCGATCTTGAGACTGCGAGCTGCAACAAACACGCGTACAGGTAGCTGCTGCAGGTCACCACTGCTGCAGGAAGCAAAGCAAAGCAAGCGCAAACGCAAAAATGGCGCCCGGCGACGGCATGGCCAAGTCCTTGGACCCGCGCTACAACGGCGGCATCGCGCCGGCAGGGGGTGGCTCCTCGAAAAAGAAGAGCGGCGGCCGTAGACGAGGGAGTGGACGAGGCGGCGGCGGCGGCGGCGGAGGACGAGGCGGCGGCGGCGGCGGCGGCGGCGGCGGTGGGAACCGACGGAACAGCGGCAAAGGACGAGGCGGCGGCGGCAAGGGCGACCGACGGAACTCCGGCAAAGGCGGTAAGGGGAAAGGGTGTTACCATTGCGGTGGTAATCATACTAGGGCGAACTGCCCGGAGCTTGAGCCGCCCATCCCCGAGAAGGTCGTGCTGAATTTTAAAGATGAGGCGGCCTACAAGGCTTATCTGGCGAAGTGCCAAAAAGAGAGAGATGCGTCCGAGGACATCGCGTTCCGCAACCATGGGGAGTACATCAAATATTTGACGAAGATCAAGGAGAAGGAGGACGACGCCCACGCGGCCTGGGCCGTGACGAAGGCTGAACTCGATAAAAAAGCTCAGGCGGAGGCGGAGCTGAGAGCTATTGACGCCGCTTTGGCCAAAACAAAGGTGAGCGCGCCGAAGCCTCCCGCGGCGCCTGCTGCTCCTGCTGCGCCCGCGCCGAAGCCCGCGCCGAAGCCCGCGGCGCCGCCCTTGCCGCCGCCGATGAGCGGCGCGCAGAAGCTCGCGGCTTCTCCGTTCTCGAGCGCGTGGGGCGACTCGTCGGACGACGACTAAGGACGTGTACTTTCCGTGTCGCGTGGTGGGGCGCCTCGGCTCTAGCCTCGGCGGCGTGGGGGGTATGTGTCCTGCATCGGCCGTCGCGCCGCTCACGCGCGGCCGACATTCAGCCTAGGTCCGTGCCAATTGCCTGCAAGGGGCCTTCTACACGTGCAGCTGACGTCAAACGAGGGTCGAGACGCAAGACCAACTCATAGGGCTAGTGTGTTACCAAAATGGCGCGAGAGGCTGCTCAAACTTTACGAGCCGCATACAGCTGCATTACTGTTTCCCACGCACCAGCACTGCTTGAGGCAGTGACTGATATACCAGGCTATCGCCCGCGCTCGCTTTCAAGCGGAAAACGCCGCCAGCGCGCGCCGAAACAGCCAGCTTCGGCAGAGCCAGCCACAGACCAAGCCCGCTACACGCCGCCGCCGCCAGCCGGAACACAAAACGATGGCCGAAGACAAGAAGTCCCGCGCCTGCCACTACCTCCAGCCCCAGGAGTGGTGGTTCGCCGATAAAACCCCGATCGAGTCCGTCTTCCTCATGATGTCCAGTGCAGAAACGATGAAGTGGAAGAGCGCCGGCTGGACGCGCTACTCCAAGTACTCCAAGGCCAAGACCATCGGCGAGGCCTTCGAGTTAGGCGCGACGAGGGCCGACATCAAGTACCAGGTCGAGCGCGGTAACATGAGACTCAAGGCCCCCAATAAAGCCACCCAAAAGAAATATGAAGCGGATCTAGAGAAGAAGGCCGGCGGCGACGACGGCTGGCGCGAGGCTCGTATTGCTCACAAAGGTGACCTCAAAACTCTAGAAAATAGCCCGGAGTACCACGTTTCTAGAGGTTCCATCGTCGAGAACCTCGGCAAGGTCCACGCCGACGCGGGGTTGCGAGGTCTGCGAAGAGCCACACCGGCCATGCCCTGCTTCACGCTGGTCAATGCGGCGGGCGACACCATCCACTCGACCTCCCACGAAGGCCATGAACAACTAGTAGCGACGTGGTGCCTCTCGGCGAGCGACTGCGTGTTAGAAATTGGGGGCGGCATCGGCGCCGCGAGCACCATGATCCAGAAGATCATTTCCGATAAAAAGGGCCATGTGGTGGTGGAACCCCAGCCGAAGATGTGCGAGACACTTGAAAGGAACAAAACGTTGCAAGGGAGTGGCTTCTTCGTCGCCAAGGGGGCGCTGGCGAAGGGCAACGTCTACGCGGCCAAAAAAGCCGCCCTCGACGGCCCCGACACGATGACGCAGCGCCAGTGGATGTTCCACAAGACCAGTCGTAAACAGACGGCGTCTACTTCATTGGTGAAGAGCTGGGACCTCAAGACGCTGCGGGAGAAGGTCGCGCCGCGCAAGTTCACCGCAGTAGTTGTGGACTGCGAGGGGGCCTTCCCCGACGTCGTTGATGATTTTCCGGACATCTTTGACGGGATTCGCGTCGTCTATCTGGAGCGAGACGGCGAGTCCGGTACCGATTATTCTAGGGTGGACGCTGCGTTGGAGAAGGCTAATCTTGCGCTGGTGTTGGCCGCCTCCAAACATCGCGTTTATGTGAAGGCTACGGCTGCTGACTTGAAGAAGCGCGACGCCGAGAAATCTAGAAGACTGAACAATCGCGTCGACGCGAAGACGGCGGCCTCCTATAGAGGTGAGAGAGCTTCATCGTCGAAGAAGAAGGTCGAGGCGAACGTCGGCCGCCGCCTGAAGGTCTGGTGGCCGAAAGATAGCGCGTGGTATGCTGGTACCATTACGGCTTTTAATGGCCGGACGAAGCACACTATTACCTATGATGATGGGGAGACCGAGGTCCTGAACTTATCGAAGGAGACCACTAGGTTCTTACCGAAGAAGCGCGAACTTGCAGAGTCGGATGGGGAAGAGGAGGTCATTACTCAGAAGCCGCGGACGGCGCGGCAGGTGGCGCTGGCGACGAAGTAGGGGGGGCGCTCCCTTCTCCCTGGCTGTGTAACAACGACAACTTAGTCTCCCCTGGCAGCAGCGAGGAGCTCGTCGAGCACGCCGTTGAAGGCGATCCTCGCCTGCAATATCTTGGCCCCTTCCTGCATCATTTCCGCCTGTGGATGCGCGGCGCCGAGTCTCCGTCGCCATTTTCGCGCGATGTCGACGAAGATCGCCGTCGCTTCGGCCAGGTCGTCGTCGGGGCACCGTCTCCGAGGGTCGCCGATGAGCGTGAAGGCGTAGGTGTGGAGGCAGCCGTGCGTGGTCGGGTGGTCCTCGCCGAACTCGCTCGTCACCCGCGCGATGAGGTCCTGGTCCCGCATGAACGCCTTCGCCGCCGCGTTGTCGACCCGATTGAGGGACTCGCAATATTCGATCGCATGGGTCAGGTGGGCTTTGATGGACACGACTCCGTCCGCCACTGCTTCCGCCCCCGCTTCGTAGTTCTCGCGTCGCAGGGCGAGGCACTCGTCACGGCGCCCGAGTTCGCGCAGGCAATCACCCATCTGACTACGGACGTAAAAGATGGTCCCCTCCCGTCCCTCGTAGTCCTCGCCCTCTCTGACACGAACCAGATTCGCCTCCAGCGCGTCGAGCGACTCCGCGTGCCGTTTGCCGTGCTTCAGCGCGTCCCCGAGGATCTGCAACGCGATGTTCCGAAGATTGTCCCCCTCGAGCCTGCCGACGTAGGACGCCCAGCACGCCCAGCCGAGGGCGGCCGCGACGGCGCCGTAGAAGTCGGTATGGCACAGGCGGCACTGGAGGTACCGCATCAACCTCGGCACCAGCATCGGTCGCTGGTGCTCCATCTCGTCCTCCAGGCCTTGCTCCACCTGCACCTGCGCGTCCTCGACCAGGCAGGACAGGTGCACGAACCCCGCCGCCCCGCGGCACGCGCAGCCGCGTACCAAGCCCTCGCCAGTCTCGGCCCCGTCCATGCAGATGTAGCACGTCTGGCCCTTGGTGTCGTCCGCGCACTTTTTAATCGCCTCCTCTGCGGCCTCGATGTACTTCTCATCCGCGTAGTGCTGTTCCGCGCCACCGCCGCGGGCTATCTCCTCGCAGACCTGCTCGTGACCGTCTCGCCAGTGGGCGCGCCGACACGCGGCGCTGCAGTAGCGCGTCTGGCACCGCACGCATCCGGGCCACGCATCGCTAGATTCGTACAAGTACCGCACGCAGCTGGTCGTGTCTTGAGAGTCCAGCGGTGTGGCGCAGGCGGCGCATTTGTTGCGGAGCATGATCACAGTGTGCAGCAAGCGTCCACTTCTACTGCATGAAACGCAATAAGATTTGGCCAGCAGTAGCAGGGAAGGCGACTGAGGAGTTCTATCGGTCTATGTCAATCCGAAATCCGCCTGCGCGCGCGCAATGGGCACGCGGGCGCTCCTGGCCCAGAGAGCTTGACGGGTTTTCGCCCTCTACACACAATAATTACCTACGAGAAGCAAGCAGCTCCGCGAGCACGCCATTGAACAAAATCTTCGCGCGGATCTTCCCCACCCCGGCCTCTGCGATGCGCGTGTTCGGATGCGAGTCGCCGTACCGGCGCCGCCACTTCCGCGCGGTGGCGGCGACGATCGCCTCGGCCTCAGCTAACATTTCCGGGGAGCGTTTCGTGGCTGTGGAGATCGCGCGCGCGTAGCTCATGAGGCATTGTTCGTATACGGGGCTCTCCTCACCGAGCTCGCGCTTGGCCCGATCCACATAGTGGCGGGTAAACTCGACCGCCTCAGCGTGCCGCGCCGTGATGAGCGACTCGCCGAGGTCGGTCGCGAGCGACCACGCGTCCGTAGGGCCTGCTTCGTAGTTCAGGCGCCGCAGCGCGAGACACTCGTCGTTCCGCCCCAGTTGGGCGAGGCAATCGGCGACCTGGCTGCGCACGTAGAGGAGTTGGGACAGCTTGTGCGGGTGCCTCTCCGTCTCTCTCGCGAGCCGTCCGGCGATCGGCTCGAGGATAGCGAGGCGGCCGATCTTGTCCTCTTGCATACTACCGCATAGGATCTGGAGCGCCAATTCCCACAGGTGGTCCCCCTCAGGCCTCCCAAAGTACGTCTTGTAGCACGCCCAGCCGAGCGCGCTCGACACGGCGCCGTGGTAATGTTGCTCGCAGAGGCGACAGATATACCACCGTTTTACCCGATGCAGGGCAATGCATCTCTCCTCATTCTCCAAACCTTGCTGCACCGCGACCTGCGCCTGCCGAACCAGACACGACACGTGGCCGAAGCCCGCCGTCCCACGGCATGCGCACGCGCGCACGAGGCCCTCCTTCGAACCGTCGTCCATGCAAATGTAGCACGTCTGACCCACCGTGTCCTCGGCGCACGCCTCGACGGCGGCCGCCGCGGCTTCCTCGTACTTTTGAGCCGCTTGGTCGCTGCTCGGCGTCGCCATTCGTCGCGTGCGCGCTGTCGGCGCAAGATGTGGGTGCGCAGAAGACGAATGTGGGTCCTAAGGGGTGACCGCAGGCCTAGCGCGCGCCAGCAGCCCGCTGCTCTCCGAGGGTCATCTCTGCCCCGACAGCTCGAACTCGGCCCCGCGAAGCTCGCAGCAGCCGCCGAGACGGATTCAAACGTCATTTGTCGACAGCATTGAGCCAGCCAATTGAGCGCTGCCGTCGCGCATCCGTGCTGTGGGATAGCAGTCATGGCGGACGACCACGACGCCTTGATGCACGCCCTCGAGGCGCCGGACCCGCCAGCAAAAGGACGGCCGATCCGCGACGCCCTCGCGCCGCTCGCCTTTTCGCCGAGGCGCGTCATCGAGGCGCTGCACGACGCGGCAAAGACGTGCGGCGCTTTGCACGACGCGCGGAAGGAACTGCGGCGACGATTGCTGGCCCTGCTTTTCGACGGCGAGCCGCTGCGGGTGCGCGCGACGGGCGCGGACTTGCATTGGGACGACGAGGACCAAAGCGACAAGGTCCGCGCCGCAGCTACATTTGATGAGCGGGGCGACGGCGTGAGCACGTTCCAGCTCTCAGTAGCTCTGGACGGGTTCTTCCGACCGAAAGAACTCGCGGCGTGCCTCCAGAGCGTCGTCGAGGCAAATAAAGAAGCGCCGATTTGGCGCCCCGATCTATCAAAGAGCGCGCCGCACCTCGAGGAAGTCTACAAGCGCATTCTAAAGCTCGACGAGTGCGTCGGCGAGACGCTTACCGTAGAAGGCGGGACGCGGCACCGGTGGCACTGGCCCATCGACCTCAAGAAGCTCCAATCGCATTACCCCTCCATCGGCGAGGTATTGCGGCACGTGCAGTTTTTGCGCGTCCGAGTGTTCCGACCGGGCACAGACGATCAACTCTGGACGCACGGCGTCGGTTATGACCGCTTCGAGTGCGCCTTCGAGACCTGTGATGGTCACGTACGAAGTCAGGAAGGCTTCGTCGTGCCACCGTTAACCGAGTTCGGAGGCGAAACGAGTGTGGACATCACGATCCAAGTCAAGCTGCGACTGTGGCTCGGTGTTATATCATTACCGGAGCTCAAGCTGCGGCTCGACCACGCGTCGGACGGCGACGACGTCCACTGGACTTTTACAATGACGAGTATAGGAGAGCAAACGTGGGGCGAGTACCTCCTGAGCGCCGTCTTACCGTTTCCAGCCCTCCGTAGGTTACTCCTCGAAACGTGGTGCCTTAAGATGGATTTTGTGGAAGAAGGCTTGCGGGAGCGCCTGCGCATGGACCTGCCGCGGATAGGGGGGTGCCTGGTGCGCATCGCAAGGACGTTCATTCGGGAAAAGCTCGGGTCGGCGCTGCGGCTCGTGGCGGACGTCCTGGGGGCGCTCGACGCGGACCTGGCGCTGATCCGCGGCGAGTCGGAGGCGCTGCCGCCGCCGCCGCGTCGATAGCGTGTTGTGTGTTGTTTGTTTGGTCCGCGGTGGTCCGGACGTGACTTATCTATCACTAAGTGTAAATTCGAAAGTCTACAAGTTCGGAGAGTGATCGCGTCGGTTCAGGAAATCCGCTAGCGTCCAGTAAGATACTAGCAAATTCTCACAGTCAAATTTTTTTGTGAGTCGCATGCTGGCAAAGCTGCGCAGGCACGCGGCCAGAAACGATGGCCGGAATTGAGCCCTGATTCCAGCGGGCGCACGCGAACGCGTACAACGACAAACACTGATAGATAAGGGCTGCCCTCATCATGCGGCCACGGGGGGCAGCAATGCTCCTCCTCGCAACGGCAGCAGCAGCGGTGAAGAAAGAATGCGCCTGCAACGAGGTCTACGACCACAGCAAGCCCGTGACCGTGCCGAGCAACCTCACTAGTCCACTGCCGAAGCAGCTCGTCCTCGTGAAAGTGCCCGAGACCGGCTCCTCGACGACGGCGCAGCTGCTCGCGGACCTCGCCTCGAGAAGATCTATCCCCTGCTGGGTCCCGGGAGCGTGGAAAGGCAATCAACCATTGACCTTCGAAGATGCGATCGAAAAAACACCGAAGCATGGGCCGAAATGGGCCGTAGCTCATAGGGGTGCTGGTGACTGGATCCGATCGAATTTCAACCAGGCCTTCGTCATCGGTACGGCGCGGAGCCCCGAGGCGCGCTTGAGGTCCTGGGTCTCGAAGCACCCGAAACGACCATGTCAACAAGGCGCTTCTATAGCATTGAAATTCTATGGGATTGCTGGGTCATCTCGCACCAATACGACGGAAGCGCTTTCACAAATACAAGAGCGGTTCAAATCCTGGTTCGTTTTGGAACGATACAACGAGTCGCTGGTGGCCTTCGCGCTCAAGCACCGCCTGCCGCTGGGCGACGTGCTGCCCCCTTTGTCAAAGTACCACGGCGGGTCGAGGCACCGAGATACGCCGACGTGCGAAGGGAACGCCATGCGGAAACTCCTCGAGACGGAACGAGCGGTCCACGCCCACGCTTCAAGACAGCTCGATGAGACTCTTGCTGAATTTCGACGAGCGTTCGACGTCGACGCGTTAGTCGAGACCTTCGAGCACGCGCTCGACGGCATGATGGCTAGGGGCACGTGGCGCAACAATAGCGCGACCGGCATGGGCACCGGGACGACATTACTGGTCGACGACTGCGCGCGTTCATGTGCGGCCCAGGCGTTGGACGCGAAGGTACGGCTTCGGTACGAGACCAGCGACCAGGTCAAGGACGCCTCGGAGACGCCGGCGGGCTGGAACTTCCTGAAGCAGTACTTCCCGGGCGACGAAGCTAGGCCTCCGAAAGGTGGGGGCCACTGGTGACCGACTCCCTGCACGCCGTCGAGGCGACGTCGCCACCAGGACGCCATCGCCGCGACGCGACAATTCATAGATACTAACTTGTGACACATACTACTTCTTACTTTTGACGGGAGGATGCCTCAATCTGTACTCCTCCGTAGACTCGTCGACCTGGAACCGCTCGTCGGTGAACATCGCCCCAAACCGGTCGTCGCCCAGGGGATTCGCCTCCGTCGGCGTAGGGAGACCCTGCTTCGACTTCTTCTTGCCGCGCTTCCGCGGCTTGTCCTCCTCTGGTGGCGAAAGCAATCTCTGAGCGAGCTCCGCATTGACGGCCGGTAACACTTCAGCTCTACGAATACGACTCTCCTGCTTCTCGGCCAGCTTCTTCGCGACCTTCTGCTTCTTGTAGTCGTCGTAGGCGTACGGGGCAGCCGCAGCGCGTAATCTTTTATATAAACGAGCATCCATAAAAAAACCGTGCGCGTGCGCTCGCAACTGCGGCGTGCCCACGAAGGCCTCGCCACCGAGCTCGTCGAGCTCCGTCCTAGATACAAACCGGTAATCCTCGAAGTGGGACTGGCCCTTCTCCTCCAGTTCTTCGGTGAGCGAGTCGAGGAAGGCGCACCTGCGTGGACATCAAAGTTCACGGCGCGTTTGTCGACCTCCACGCCATCGACGCGACTCTGCTCGATAGCGTGGCGGTGCCGGAGTCTCACCGCTCGACTGAGCAGCACGACTCACTGGTTGATTTCCACACGGACGCGCACCACCGCGGCGCCCGCCCTAAAGCCGGGACGTAGTAGGCCATGACCCTCGCTTGTTCGCCCGCCATCAGGATGAGTCCCGAGTCTCGCTCATCCGATGAAGGCGCCACGGCGACGTGATTCAAGGGACTAGAGGGCTCCACGTTCGTGAAGACCTTGCCATCTCGAGAATCCCAGGCTTTGAGGACGCGAGCGTCCGACGACAGTATTAATGACGAGGCCGTCTCTCGCGAGGACGAGTGCCACTTCAGGTCGACGATCGGTAGGAGATTTTGATGCGCTTTTGTGAGAGTAGGCCGTTTACTTCTCAGATCGTACAACTTCACCTCCGCATCGGCCGTGCCGCAGGCTATTCTCAACCCGTCGCCATCGAATGCCAGAGCCGTGACGTCGTTGCCGACGTCTAGTAAAGCCACGGGTTGTATAGAACTGGTTCGAGCGTCGAAGAAGCGCACGATCCCATCTTCGCAGCCGAAGGCCGTGAGTGGCACGCCCCTCCCGAGGTCGCAGCACGACGAGGGAGCGCCTACCTCCAAATCGGATAAGAAAGTGCCTGAGTCTAGGTCCAAACGATGCGCTACTGATCTCTGTCCGGACGCGACGTGTAGCGTACATTTCGCGCCGTCGTACAGTAGTCTTCTTCCAGCCGAGGGCACTCTCACTTTATAATGAGTACCATAGGGCGCGTGGAAGTCCAGAGTGCGATCAGATAAGAGGAAGACCATCTTGCCCAAATCGGGCGACAGGGGCCAGACATCAACAGCAGCACACCCTAACCTCCGCTCGTACTTCTGGCCGAGCTGCGACAACTCAAACACTTTACAAGCTGGCGGGTACTCTCCCGTGCACACGAGCATCCGTCCATCATCGCTGAATTTGATTCTTCTAGAAGCGCCGCCCTCAAATTCTAAACCTTGGAGGAGTTCGACCCTTCTACCGAGTTTTTCGTCTCGCTTCAGGGCCTTCCGTCGCGCCTGGTCGGACTGCTCGGCCCAGGCTGGGAGTCTAGCGCCGTCGCTCAAGCAGTAAATGGCCGTCTGGGCGCCGACGCGCGTGACCATGGCTCTGTGTACGCCTCGGCGGCGTCGCGCTTGTGAGAGATCCTTGCAGTGCGCGGCAGCTGGGTCCCTTGCGGCTCTTCAGCGGCGACGGCGCTTTGTGAGAGCGCCTCTCGCACTGCACTGCACCCTGCAGCCTTGGGTCGCTCGCTGCACTCTGCCTCACGCAAGCGGCAGCAGTGAGAACTGCGAAGGAATTAGTTGTGGTTCAGCAGCGTGCGCGTGCCTCGGTCAGATATGAGCTCTGGCACAGGCTGCAAGGCAAAGTGTCGACAAAAATAGTCGAGCTAGCGTCCTGCTAAGACACTAGCAGAGATCCCGGGAGGGGTACGGGGAGCCCTGCGACGTAACTAGCCTCAGCCTCAGATCCTCCAGGACGTCCTGCTTAGAAGGAGGTACGCTGTTATGAAAGAAGCGGCCCGCGCCCGCCGCCGATGAATCGGCGACGCGCGGTGTCTCCCCCCCCGGGGCTCCGCCCACTAGTCCTAGCACCGTAACATCGACAAACCGTCCAAGCTGAAGGGGCTCCTCTGCCGCACGTCATTCCCCCGCGCGTGGGTCCCGTGCCAAAAAACTCTACAACTCACACCACATTACTCGGGCGCCGCCGCCTTCGCCGCCGGCGCCGCCTCAGCACGCCTGGTCTCCGCGTCGTCGCCGTCGCCGCCGCCGCGGGTGCGCGCCAGGAGCCGCCGCAGGACCACGGGCGAGACGAGCGTCGCGACGAGCAACGCCCAGACCGTCACGCTCAGCGCGAGCCTCGACGTCCGGCCCCTGTGAAATGACTCCAGGGCCATCACGAAGCCGAGCTCGCCGCGCCCGACCATGGCCCAGCCGACCTTCCAGGGGTCCTCACGGTAGAACAGTCCCGTGCCCACCTTCGTGAGCACGGCCACGAGGCTCAGGAGAAGCCCGTAGAGCGCCGCCGGCGCGGACGCGAGCCGGCCCAGGGGCACGACAAAACCGATCGACGCGAAGAAGACGCGGTAGAGCCACGCCGCCGGCGGTCCCACGACCTCGTCGAAGCGGTGGGCGACGCCCTCGACGCTCGCGAAGCACACTCCCGCGGCGAAGCAGCCGAGCAACGGCGTCGACCCGGCGGCGTCCGCGGCGAAGGCGGCGCCGGCGCCCAGGGCGAGCGCCATTGCGACGAGCACGTCCGGCGGCGCCGGCCTTCGAGCTACGACCCGCGGCGTGAGCGCGGCGAGGCCCACGCCGGCGACGACGACGGCCGCCGACGCTCCGACCGGCTTCGCCACGTCCACGAAGGTCGTCGTGGACTTGCGCACGACGGCCAACAATACCAGCGACAGCACGTCGTCGACCATCGCGGCAGTGACCACTACTCGTCCCAGCTCCGTCTCGATGAGGCCCAGATCGGTCATGAGCTGGGCCGCCATCCCAATCGCCGTCGAGCTCAGGGCGACGCCGCAGAGCAGGCCCTCGCGCGCCGTGAACGCGGGCAGCAGCGCGAGGAGGCCCCACGCCGCTAATGCGGGCAGCGCCGTGCCGGCGACGGCGACTCGGCTCGCGACGCCGCCCACCTCCCTCAGCGTCTTGAGGTCCACATGTAAGCCTCCTTCCAAAACCAGTAATGCGAGTCCTAATTCGCCGGCGATCGTGCACGCTCTTGTCTGCGGCACGACGTCAAAACCATACGGACCGAGCACCAGGCCTACGATTATCTCCCCGACGAGGGCCGGCGCGCCGCACCGCCGCGCAAGTTCTCCCACGAGGTACAAGGCTGCCAGGAAGCCTGCGAGTGCGTAGGCGGCGGGCGTCATTTGTTGCTCTGAGGTTCCTTGTGCCTCGGCAGATAGCGATGAGTCACGCGTGGGCAGCCGTCATGCACCGCTGACCATCAATGCTGCTGCTGGGCAGCCCTATCCCGAGCTTAGTGGTGTCAGGTGCTTCGCACGGACCGTCTCGAAACCGAAGCGCCTCGAACGCAAATTTATTTGCAGGCTGCGGCCTGCACAAAGGCTGCAACAAGTTTTTGGAGTGTTTGCTAGTGTCTTACAAGCCGCTAGCCTCGGTTCGATAACTCGCCACTTTGCGGCTCCGCAGGCGACGCCGCGGGCTAGCGGATTCACCTCCCACGGCTTTCATCGCTCGCCCAGACAGCCGCTTAGGGACCACAGCCGAGAACAGCGCGCCCCGCGCCCCCGCGGCCGAGTTTATAGAGTAAAAGCGGCCTGCGGCCAAAAACCGCCGCGCCGGCGCGAAAACAGCCGCCGGCGCGAAAACAGCCGCCGGCGCGAGAACAGCCAAGATGGCCGCCGACCGCATGAACATCAACCGGTCCTGGGAGCACATTCAACAAAAATACGTCGGCACCGGCCACGTCGACATGAGCAAATATGAGTGGGCGTCGAACGTCCACCGCGACTCCATCGCGTCCCATGTAGGACATGCGGACCGGCTGCTCTACTTCTCGGTGGCCCAGGGCGAGTCCGTCGGCCGCGTGCGCTACGAGCTGCTCGAGAAGATGCTCCAGCCGTGCGGGCCGCCGCCCGAGTGACAGAGGCGGGCGTTCTGCGGCGCCCGCCGCGCGTTTCGGGGAGCAGCGGGTCTCCTCTCCCCTTTTAATCTAAGTGTTCGTTCTATCTCCTCCATCGAAACCCGCGCTGTGGCCCTTGGAGCTGGCTGGGCAGTGAGCCCAAGCTTAGCCTAGACGCTTGGTATTGCGCGGAATCCGGCAGGGGCATCGGTTTTGACTTATTATTGCATCGCGCATTGCTTGCATCGACGCGTTCGTCAGCTTGCGTGCCACTGCAGCTCACACTCAAATCAATCCATAGTGTGAGCAGCACGCTGTCGTCGCAATCCACGGTGCGTGAGCACGCATACGTCGTCGACGGCGTGCGACCAAAAGAATCATGGACGACAAGCAGCTCCTGGCCGTCCTCGAGCGCCAGCGCTACCGCGCGACCGCATTGGACGTCTCGTTAAAAACGGGCGCGACCGTCGAGGACAGCGAGGAGGCGCTGGCGCAGCTGCTGGCGGCGTGCGGCGGCTCGTATGAGTTCCGCGGCGAGATCGTGGTCTACATCTTTCCGTCCAACGTCAAGAGCAAGCTCGGCGCCCGGCGCGCGAACGCGCGGCTGCAGCACATTCTAACAGCGGCCGCGACCGCGGCGCAGTACGCCGTCGGCGCGTTCGTGCTCCTCGCGACGCTCTTCGTGGCGGTTGTCGTGGTGTTATTCTGTGCGCAAATCAACCAGTGAGTCGGGTGCGCGTCGATGGCGTAAGGACGCGCCGCGAGACTTTGATTTATGCACAGGTGTTATTCGTCGTGGCCGCGGCCGTGGCCGCCCTGCGCGGCGACGGCCGGTCGCGGTCGCGGGGCCCGAACATACGAGGAGGCATCCGGGAGCTCCACGAACTCGTGAGGACGTGGAACTTGTTTACGTCGCTGTACTGGTGTTGCGCTGTGTGGAAATCAAACGGTGAGTTGGGTTTTACGGTCACGGGGACTACGTCGCGTCGATGGCGTGAAGCGCCCGAAATTTGATTTCCACACAGGTGCTGCGGCGGGACGAACCCGTTCTTCCGGCCGGTGCCCTTCGGTTTTTACCCGTACTACTACGGGCCGTTCGGGGGCTACGGCTACGGCTACGGCTATCCCGGCTACGGCTACGGCTACGGCCTCGGCTCGGCGCTGCGCCACGCGCGGCGTCGGCGGAACGTCGCGCGGACGCGCGCCGTCGTCCGCGACGGCGTCGTCGTCGCCGTGCCGGCCGAGGAGGCGCCGCTGACAGAGGATCTGCCCGTCGCGACGGCCGTCGACGAGGAGGACCGCGAGGCGCTCCTCGACGACGAGGGGGGCGCGAGTCCGCCGAACCCAAGCGACGACGCGCTGTCGGCGCTGCACGCCTTCCTCTTCGGCGGTCCCGGCGCGCGGACCGCGGACCACTGGCGAGCCGTCGGCGGAGTCATCGCGAGCCGCGGCGGCGTCATAGCCCCCGAGGACCTCGCGCCGCACCTGCCCGCGCCGCCCATGAAGCTGCGCGGCAGCGAGGCCGCGGCGGCAGTGGCCGTGGTCCACTTCCGGGGCCGGCCCCGGCGCTGCGAGGAGGGGGGCGGCGTCGTGTTCGAATTTCCCGAGCTGGTTGGAGGCGCCCCCGCCGACGGCGACGACGCGTTGTGCGAGGCGCCCGTGCCCTTCGCGGGGCTCTCCTTTGAAAGGACGCTCTGCTGCGCGGGGCTGGTGGGAGGCAACGTGCTCGCGTTGTGGGTCCTCCGCGGGGCCGTCGACGGCGCGCTCGCGCGCGCGGCGGCCTTCTTCTACTACTACTCGCTCGCGATCCTAGCGATCCCGCTCGTTCGCTTCGGGGTACACGTGCTCGCGAACCGACGACGCGAAGAGAGGAACGCGACGCGGCGGGCGCTCGCGGACGAGCTGCGCCGACTCCGCGACGAGGACTCATCAGGCGTCGCGGCGCGCGTGCGCTTCGCGGAGCGCTGTTCTATGTAGTAGATGCTTAGTAGTGCGGGGGTCCCCGGGCGCCGCCCCGCCGTCGCCCCGGGCGCCGCCCCGCCATCGTCGTCGCCGCTCAGCAGATTTTCGCGACGATCTGGTCCGCCAAGGTTCCGACCTGCTGGTCGATGTCGTTCCAGTCCGCCGTGTTGTCCAGGCCTGGCGAAGCTACCCGCTCCGCGAGGAACTTTTCCGGGGGGTAGCAGCTCGCACTGCCCGGGCACGCTGAAAGAAAGCGCCAGGCACCTGGGCGGCGCAGCCCTGTACTTCATGTAGTGTGCAGTTCCAGGGCGTCGGGGCCGCGGTGCCCGTCGGCGCGACCGACGGCGCGTACGTGTCCGTCGTCGGCGCGTACGACGGCGCTTCGGTCATGCGCGTCGGGGCGTAGGTCTCCGCGCGCGTCGGGGCGTTCGACGCCGTGGGTGTCATCGTCTGCGTCGTCGGCGCCGTCGTCGGCGCGTCGGTGTAGTCGTAGGAGTACTCCGTCTGCGGTGTGCCCGGTGGCGTGGAGTCGTCGCCGAGCGCGAGCGGCACGAGCGCCGCGAGGACGAGCGAGCGGTACATCGTTTTTTGTCTTCGCTCGCCGATGATCTCGAGGCTCTCGTCTGTTGCCTGCGCGGGGAAGCAAACTCTCGACACACGCCCCGCCGCCCGCCCGTTCTCCGAAGGGGGCCTTGTTTTTTATGAAACTGCCGACGGTCCCCGGAAACCGCCCGAGCGTCTTGTCAATGCGCAGCTCGCCCGGCGAGGCGTACCACGCCGCCACGTCGCGAGTCCTGAGGCCGCAAAACGCGGATGGCGCGCGCCGTGCGGCTCTAAATAGTTTTGGCTGCTTTTTTCAGTTTCTCTCTTTTTTGCGCGGAAGGACCGTGGTATTTGCTTGCTCGCCTGATTATACGCGGCGATACTCACTTCACTGTACGCTCCTTCGCGCGCGGGCTTTGTTTGCGCCCCAGCGATTCCCAGGAGCCAAGCCTATTTTACCTAGGTCAGTGGGTGTGGGATACGTCGGGCGATTAATTATTGCTACAGCTCGAGCGGAAACTCGTGTCTGTCCTCGCCATGAGAGATCAGACAGGTGATTAAAAAAAAAATCAACACCCGCGCCTGTGTCGGCGGCTAGCCAGTCTAAGCAAAGCACTAGCACAACACACATTAATCCCCCTTGCTCTCCGCCACGCCCGGATCATCAAGTTCAACCGTCCCCCTACCCACAACTTCCGGCTCCTGCACGTACGGCCGCAGCGCCGGCGCCACGTTGATCAGATACCGACCCTCCTCGTCCTTCGCCACCTCCTCGCCGACGATGTAGGGGTACTTCTTCAAAGCATCTACATCAATAGGAGCATCGTCCGAAATCACGCCCTTGCCGATCCACCGCGCGACGCAGTCGAAGCCACCCGTGTCCGGATCCTCGAGCTCCCGGAAGAACTGCTCGTGGTCCACGGGCTCCTGCCGCTTCTTGTGGATCTCCATCCATTTCCTGTCGTCCTCCGACATGATCTTATCTAATAAAGCCTCCCTGTCTTCCTTCGAGAGAGGCGGCAGCCCTTCCTCCTCGCGCCAGCGGTCCGCCGCCTCCTCGTCAATCCTATACTTCTCCTCGAGAATCTCATCGAGCAATGCAGTCTTCTCCGGCCCGGGCTCCATCTGCAACACATCCGCGTACTCGTTCACGTTCGGCAGCGCGGCGACTTCCGCGCATTTGCTGTCGTGCAACTCTTTACGCATCGCAGCGCACTCCTTCTCGAGCCGTCTGCTCTCCTTGTTTTCGGCCTCCGTCTCGGCGTGCCACCTTCCTAATACAGTTTTGAGGTAGGGCAGCATCGCGCCGAGCGGGACGTTTTCATTTTGACAGACTAGTTCGACGACGCGCCGCGGATGCAAACCTTTTTCTTCATCGAGAGCCTTCAGCACCTCCTTCAGGTCCGAGCACCTATCTTCTCTCTCATCCAACTTCCTGAGAATCTCCGGATCGGTGGGAGGCGGCGGCGGCGGCGGCGGCGGTTTTGGGGCGTACATCTTCGCCTGCGTCGGCGGCGCGGTCGTGGCTCGATGGCGCGCGTCGATGGCGTAAGGGCGCCGGAAGTGGTGATTCCCGCGCGGTTTACAAACGTAGTCCGAGTCCACAAAACCTTCGGCGGCGTAGCCTTCGTTCGCGCACCGCGCCGTGTGCTCGTCAGCCTCTCTAGCTGCCTCCGGGTCCCAGACCTCCGCCTTGTCATCGCCCAGGCCGAAGTAGCGCTTTCTTTTGAGCACTTCCGGCGGAATCGCGCCCGCCGTCGTCTGACACGCGAGAATCCACAACAGCGGATCAGATCGACCTTCCGCGCGGCAGATGCGCAGCATGTCGCCGATGCGGCCTCGCTTGTGGTATTCTTGTACTAAAATGCCGTTCCGCAGACCGTGCGGGATGATTCTTTCTTCCGGTCGTACCGCGTCGCGAAACTTCTGGCTTCGACGCTTCTGCCGCCGCGTCCACCAGGGCTCCTTCCTATCTTGGTACGGTACCGGTTCCTGGGCGAACTTCGTCTCGTAGAGGTAGAGCGTGCCGGGCCTGCGTGGCGTGGACGTTGTGTCGCGGCGACACCGCGGTTCTCTCACGAGACGCGTAGACTCTGACGGCCGCGTCGACGACGTCGTGGCGACGCGGTCCCATGAAGACGCCATCGCCGCGACGGCGACGGCCCCAGGATCACGGACACAGCTACAAACGGGAACTCCCGCGTCTCGACCAATACAAGCGCGACCATGCGGTCGTACGGCGCATCTGAACGCAGTAAAGCCATGATATCTTCCGACTTCTGCTCCAAGAGTTCCTCACTACCATCATTATCCTTCAGCGACCGCCACTCGTCAATAAGTAGCTCGCAAAGCGTCGTGCAGATGTTCCGCGTCCGACCGCGCTCGTCAAAATTCATGACGTAATCACAAAACAGCCGCAAATGCCCCGGCCGGTGCACGAAGAAGTGGGGGAAGTCGTCGCACGTGAAGCCCTCGTCGTCGCTATCACTGTCGGGGGGAAACGCTTGCGGGGTCGTGGGTCGATTTCTCTGTCTTAACTCTTCCTTCCTTAATTGTAACTCTTCTTCGTAGCAGACGGGCGTGTTCTCGTCCTCGGGCCGGACGCAATCGTCGACCTCCACGTCAGGCGCCGTGGCCAGGCGCATCAGTAACTCCGTCGTTCGATCGGGGAAGTCCTTCACCAATCGAATGCCGAATCTTCTCACACATCTGAAGCGCGAGAGGACGTCCATGCGATCGAAGAACTCCAACGCCTCTTCCGGCCGCCAGGGGTCCCGCTCCAACGCCAGGACGCATCTCCATTCGAACTCCTCGAAGGCTACTGCTGCCTTCTCAGCGTGTCCATAATAACCGGCGTCCCGCAGCGCGACGACGGCCGTCGCGCCGTCGACCGCCAAGTCGTCTTCATTTCTCACAAATCGATCCAAGGCCGCCACGTCTTTGAGTTTGGCGTAGCAGTTGATGAGTAAGGTAGTCAATTCGGGCCGGGTTTTTAACTCATCTAATTCCTCAAGAGGTCTAGGAAAACCATAAGGGTCATCGAGGACAAACTGTCGCTTCGTCTCGTCCTTGCCGTGGGCTTTTAACAGATAAGCAGCCAACTCTTCGAAGCGACGCGCGTTCAAAAATTTTTGGATGACATATGAGGGCGGCACCGTCCCGATGGTGTGCGCGTAGTGTTGCGCCGCGTCTCCGTATTGTGATTGGTCGCAGAGGTGGTCGCCGTACATGCGGAAGATTTGTGATGCCGCCCTTTTTGGTAAACCGCTCTTCAATGCTACATCGACCGCAGAGGCATAGCTTCTCTCTTTATAGAGGCCGTCGAGTTTTTCCGGTGTACTCTTCTCGTCGTACCTCACTATTCCACCATCCGTCGCGAGCATGATGACCGATGACAGGGGCTTCATGAGCGGTCGCCGCCCGTCGACGTAATCTGCGGGTTCCGGCGGCTTTCTAGCTAAAGCTGATAACAAACAAGCTGCCGCGACGCCCTGTTGCAATCGAGCGAAGTGTACAATACGCCTTTGTATGATGTCGTAAATAGTCACCTCGGAGCGCTTGTACCTTCCGACCGCCGCGACGGCCACGAGCCCGTCCCCGAGACACGATAAAGCCGTCTTCGGGCCGTCGAAGCCCAGCGCGCCCCGTCGCTCGTCCGTCGCGTAGAGGTACAGGCCATCTGAACGTGCTACTATGATTTTCTCGCCGTCAAAACTCATCAATCCCGGGCCGCAGCCCCGTTCGTCGAGCACTGATGAAGGTAGAGTACCAGATATGGCATCGGGGATTTTTGAGCAAACTACTTGACCGCCGGCGTCATCATCATCATCGGAGTCGCCCTCGACCTGTGTGATTTTGTGTCGCGACGGCGGCGCTCTCGCCGCGATGGCGTCGAGCCGACGCGAGGACGGCGTCGCTTCGACGCCATCGCCGCGACACACGATGAATGAGGACGCCGCGCCGCACCCTGTCGCCCGCGAAGCGCCGCACCTGACTCCCCACAAACAAATACGTCTCTTCCGTGAAGGAAGCGAAGGCCAAGGCGACGCACGGTGCACTTCGCGGCGGCTTGACGGACCCACAGACCACCAGCAACTCGTCGGCCTTGTCCGTCTGCAGCTGCCGTCCTATTCTCCGCGCCGCGGCATCGGCAAAATCCACGAACCGCGGCTTGTCGCCCGGCGCCACGGGGTTTCTTGAGAGATCATCCTCGGAGCACGCGATCGACGCTCCTACACTCACAAGCGTGACCGAACCACTTTCCAACCCGATCGCGCACAACCGGCCGTCGCTCCTTAAAGCTAGAGATGCCGGCGCATCTTTAGTCAAAGGTAACTCGGCGACGCCGCCGGCGAAGGCGCCGTCATCAGAAACGGCGAAGGTCCTTAGTAAATAGCTGCCGTCTCTCGACGAGCCGACGGCCGCGACGACCGCGCCGACTCGTGCGACGTCCTTCTCACTTCCCCTGGTCACGGCGTGGACGTGTAATGACCTTGAATCGAAGGGCGGCAGGAACGACGGCGTGGAGAGGTGGCCGTCACAAACCACTATTCTACCGCCATTATCTCCTACTACCACTAATGCCTTTATGGAAGGCTCCTTCAGTTGTTTCGTCGTGGCCTCGTCGACGTCGCTCATCGTGATGGCGTCTTCATCTCGTCTCGGTTTCAATTCCACTAAATGGGCGCAGGTCACTTGCGCTCCCTCGGGCAGTCCTAGTTGCTTGACGGCGTCGCCCAATGCACTTTTGCGGAAGAAGGAGTGGCGGCGCCACTGCTGCGTGGCGCGCACCATTGTCCTCTGCCTCTTGAGAGGGCTCTCACTGAAACTGCTGTTGCGTACTGTTGCGAGCACGGGACTTGAGCTCTGTCGTATAGTACTGCTGCTAGACGAACAATTCTGCTGTAAACCAGCGTATCACGAGCTCTGCCGCCGCGAGCGCCGCAAAGTCTGGCGCCTATGGCTTGCTCTAGTGTCTTACAGGACGCTAGCGCAAGCCAGGTCAGCTCAGCTGTTCATGTGTCTTCGTTGCATGCGTCTGTCCCGAAAACGGAGTGCTACGTGCGCTTGGCTTGGCTAGTTCGGAAAGCCTCGATGCGCTGGTGGATTGCAAGTTCGCCTGGTCCCGCATAGCTGCACCTCGGACGCTGCAATCAAGCGTGCACATCAGTCATTCATCGTTCTTTCAAAGGACAACCGTCCAACTTGCATCAGCCACAGTCAGCATGCACATGTATGCAGCAGCCCTGCTGGCATCGGCCGCAGCGCTCGCGCCGTCGACGCGATTGACGCCGACGCGGCGCAGCAGAATATACACCGCCGTCGCCGAGCCCGAGACCACCGAAAAAGCAGTGGAGCCGCCGAAGTGCCCTCTGAACGCCGAGGCGCAACTCCTCGCAGCAAGGGACGCCGTCCTCCGCGCCTCAAAGGACGGCGTGACGCGCCAGCAATTAAGAACGTTACTGAGGCGAGATGGCGAGCTCGTGCCGCCCGACGAGACGTGGACGGGCGGGATCATGCAGCTCTACGGGGCGTGCCGACCGCTGGCGCGCGACTTATTAAGGAAGATCGGCGAGGCGCGAGACGATAAGCCTTCCTTGCGCGAACAACGACTAGACGTCTCGGGAGTGGACGGCGAATCCCTACTCGTGGCCGAAGGCGAATCCGCGCGGAACGACGCGTCGCTCTTCATCCAGCCTAGTTCAGAAGTCCAGAAGACGATTGAAAACGTCTGTGCCGCGGCCGGGCCGCGACTCGTGCTCACGCTCAACCCGCAATTCCGCGACGTCGACGACACGTTAGATTTTCTCGCAAAAAAAACAGGGTTACTTGGTAGTATCGGAGGCTTCCTCGGCGGCAAGGCGGCCTTCACGAATTCCATGGACTCATTAGGTTTCGAGGAGACCTTTTCTTTACAAGAATTCGTCGTGACGGGCACGCAGGTTAGGATCTTCAAGGCCTATCCGTTTGGCTGGCGCATCTTCGCGCTGTCGGATCGGGACGACGAGCCGGCCATCTCGCTCGGGTCCTCGGGTGCTGACAGGCCGGACTACAACGTTATTGCGGAAGTGTTGGAAGCGAACAAGATCTCGCCCAAAATATTCCGCGACGTCGGCCGGGGGAAGGCGCTGGTCCAGGGGGTGATCGACGTGACGTACGAGGATATTGTGGCGGGGCGGTAATCTTTGTGTTCTTATTTTTCGCGTCGGCGGGCGTTGGGGCTCCCGTTCAGAGCGTCGCTGTATTGCACACTCTCCGACGCGGCGACATCAATTGTGGGAGGAGAGGCGGTCGCCGGGGTATTGTTGCTTGCTGTTTTATTTTAGGCCTCCCTCAATTCATTTTATTATCCTACCATTACGCACTCGCCGATGGCTGCGTTTCGCGGGCGCGGAGGACGGCTCGCGATTTTTGTAATCCGCGCTCAATCTCGACCGTGAGCGGGTGTGCGCCACCGAGCACGCGCCGCGCGGTCCGTCCCGCGTCCTCGAGCGTCGTCACAGCCTCGTGAAGATCGTCGAACGTGGCGGCGGGGTCCTTGACGAGCGTCTCCGCGTAAACCCACCGCATTTTGAGCGTGAGATCATTACTCTCTCCAAGAACGCGTCGCGTCACAGGAATCTCTTTGCGTAACAGTGCCTTGGCTTCTTCGAAGCGCGATAGATCCTTAAGGGACGTTGCGTAGTTTTTGGCTGCAATGAGGGTTCTCTCATTTTGCTCGCCGTCGAGCTTCAAACGCCCGGAGTATATATCTCGCCGCATCGACAGGGCCTCTTCATCCCGTCCAAGCATTCTATACGAGCACGAAAGATTGGTCTGCACGGCGAGAATGTTTCCCTCTGACTCGCCAAGGCGCCGCATCGTAGCCAATTGGGCCTCTTGCACGGACAACGCGTCCTCGTGGTGTTTCGCTAAGTGTAAACCGGACCCAAGCAGGTTCATCACAATCCCGAACCCAGTCGGTCTCCGGCCGCCCCAAGTACGACTTAGCGCGGGCCGTCGGCTCCGGTTCCGTCGAGTGTGTATGAAAACTGGGCTGGAGTTGATATAATGTACTATCTGGACGGTAGATGGCGGCGTCAATCGCTGGTCTACTTTGGTGGGCCGTAAGGCTCATCTGTGAATGTCGCGGGCGGTGCCTTCCCGGAGGTGCGAGGGTATGTTCCCGGGATGCTACTCTGAAATATTTGGTCTCGGCGAACGACTAGGATGTATTCTGAATTTGGGTCATTCTTTTGAGGCCATCGAGGCGTATCGTTAAATTTGCTAGTGTGTCGATATACGCTAGCTCGGTTTGGCTCTTCTTCGCATAAACGTGGGGCCCGGAGCAGAATAATCTCGCACCTTGGTGCCTGGGACTACTTCGGGCGCGCTCGCGCAGCCATCTACGCCATAGACGCGTACAATACGCCGTCGACGCGTCACAATAATCACAAGAAGACCGACTTAGTCCCGGCCGTGGAAGAACATCGGCTTCGGCGGCGGCGGCGGCGCGGGCTCCGCCCTTTTGGACGCCCGCGACGCGTCGGCCATGGCGTGGATGTACGCGGGGCACTGCGCGACGAGGTGCGGCCTGAAGGAGCACGCCTCCAAATCGTCGTCGCGCTTCGGGGCGCGCGTCGCGTCGCGCGCGCGGCGAGATGGCGCCAACAACCGCGGCTTGACGTCCTCCCAGGACCGCGACGTCTGGTGGTTCAGGCGCGGCCTAAACGTTTCCTCCCGTGCTCGTCGAGCGGCGAGCGACGCCTCGACGCGTTTCGTCGCGGCCTGGCGCCGCGCGGCGTCTATTCTCGATTGCGCGTCGGCGGTGCGCGCGGGCCTTGCTTTCGCCTTGGCCGTGACTTCGGGCCTGCGTGTCGTCCACCGGTACGCCATCGCCGCGACGCTGAAAAAAGGACGCTGGGCCCGCACCGGAACGTCTCGCGCGGCCGCGGCGCGTCGGGCGGGTTCTTCGCGTCCGACTCGAGGTGGCCCGAGAACTTTTCTCTATCGCCGCTCGCCATGCGCTGGAGGCGGCGCGCTTCGAGGCGGTTCTGGCGGTCGTCGAACTTCGAGTTGCGCGCCATTCTTTTGGAATTCTCGCAGAGCCTCGGCTTGAAGGAACACTCGCGCGGCGTCTCCTTCTGCCGCGCCTCGGCCTTGCGCGCGCGCCGCGACGAGTCCCTCCCTTGTCTTCTCACGAACTCCTGGAAGTCGATCGAGGGGCCGCCGATGGTTTGTTGCTTCGGCTTTGGCGGTGGCGGCGGCGGCGGCGGCTGCGCGGCCAAACGCTCCGTCACCTCCACGGACGTCCAGGCCCGGGCCTGCTTCATGTGCGCGGCGACGCCTTTGACCTGCGAGTCGCGTCACGTTACGCTATCGACGCGACGCTCAAAAAAGGACGCCGATTCACGCACGCGCGGCGAGAACGTGCATTGTCTAATTTCGTGGGCGTACTCGATGGGCGCCTTGGGCATGCCGATGGTCTTTGGGTTTCGGGAGGAGGCAGTCGGGGAGAGGTGGACGCTCGTGGGTTTGTTGGGCGGGGGCGTGTAGGAGCCTGCGAGCGACGGTCGCGTCGATGTTGTATCTCTCTCGCACCGGAACGCCATCGCTGCGACGCTTGAAAAGGACGCCGTGTCACGCACGCTTCGCTCGTCGGATCGCTTTCGCGGGCGCCTCGTCTTCTCTTTTTGGTGTTGGCGCGTCGTCGGCGTCGCTGGCGGGCGGTGTTTGAGGCGTTTCGGCGTCGTCCTCGTCCGGTAATGGGTTGGGGGTGAGTTGGGCGGGGGTCATGGTGCGCGGGGGCAGCCCCGGCCCGTCCAGGAGTACGCGCGCCGGCCAGCAACACGCACAGCGCGGCCGTTTTCCAGGGGGGGGGTGCTTGTGGTTGTTTCTCCGCGGAGACGCGCTCGGTTTGCAGCCGCGTCTTGAGTGCCGTGTGGTTGGGTCCCGTTCGGATGAGCCGGCAGCGTTTTTGCGTTTTGACCCGACGTGATGCGGCGCCGCGGGTGAACTACTGGAACACGGGTTTTTACAACCCCGAAAATATATGGGAAGAATTCACCGATCTCTCGTTTTGTTCCGCCGATGTTTGCATCGGTGAAGACAAACATGAAGACGTAGTGACCGAGTGGTTAACTTTGGTTAAATCGAACGACCCCGAGGTGTTTCCCATCCACCTAGGACTGGAGAATAATGCTAAGGAAATGATCCCAAAAAAACGGGATTTCTATGCTCTGTTCTGAAACGTTAGAGTCTCACGCGAGAGTTCGAATCTCTTCTACGTCGATCTTTTTTTTTGTCTTTTTTGGCTCGCTGGTGCCGCCCGTGCCCAACCGCCGTTTTGAGAGCCCACACGCGCGCGACAGCAGACGAGAAGCCGGGAAGCCAGCGCGAGAACGGCGCTGCCATCCGTCTGCCGCCGTTACAACACGTACCCTCTCCAAGCGCGTTGCTGGCTCGGACTTTGAGTTTGTGATGGCATGTCAGAAGGCCGGATTGTCACCCAGCACGCCGCCGCTGCGAACTCAAATCGCGAACGCACTGAGCCACAGCAAGTTCGTAAAGGGTCTACCGCGTTGCGAAGACTACAACGCGATCGAGTACGCGCGCGAGGAGTTGGCAGCCTTGCAAAAAACACGCTCTCAGGGCAAGTTTTCGACACGAACGAACTCAATCGACGCGTTCAGGCCACGCGACGCACTCATTCGACGCCTTCACGCCACGCGACGATGCTCGACGGCCAAACACAGCTAACCGCGATGTTCGGCGCGCCCGAACGCAAGGCTCCGCAGCCGCCGGCGCCGGTCGTCACGCCTCCGGGTTCGCGCAGCAAGCGCAAGTGGGCGCCCGCCAACGCCATCCCGCCGCTCGCGCTGCCGCCGCTGAAGTCGCCCAAGAAGGCCGTCCCGCCGGGCTGGATGCGTTACGGCCTCGCGCCCGCGCTCCGCCGCTGCGACGAGTGCGGCGACGACGTCGTCGGTGCCTTTCGGCGTCCTGACGGCGACTTCTCCTTCAGGAAGCCGCCGGACCATGTATCGCTCGCGTACGTAGCGCTTCCCACCGGCACGCCATCGCCGCGAGGCGCCACGACACCGGACTCCGACGCGTCGATGGCGTACAGGCGTGAACCGCGCCGACATCTGCCGCGGCAAGCGCGGCTGTCAGGCGCTCGTCTGCGACGCGTGCTACGTCCAGAGCCGCCGCGGCCAGCTCCGCGCCATCGCGCCGCGCCTCCGCGACGCCCTCACGACGACGCGCGGCCGCGACGTCTTCGTCGAGGCGGGCCTCGTCGACGAGGAGTGGTCGTCGGGCCGCGTCTGCGAGCCGTGCCTCGCCCGCCTCGAGGCGCGCCTCGACGAGTTCGAGGACACGCCGTGTCCCACTCCCCGGGCGGAGTGAGTGAGCTCCCCTCTGACCCCCTCCTCCGGCATAAGCTGCCTACTGTGTGAATTGCTAGTGTCTTACAAGAGCTAGCTACGTCACAGTCTCGAGTCATTGTGCGGCGCTGGACGCTGTAATAGCTGCGTCGCGCCGGTCACCGGACACCTCTACGCTGGCACGCTCAAGCGCGATTGCGATCGGTGGTGCGCACTTCCCTTCTAGGACGACTTTACCTGGTCAAACAAGCAAGCTCACCCAGTGGCGGCGCATCGGTGCGCTCGACATGCTTCTGTTGCAGGTCATCCACGGCCTCGCCCACGGCGAACACGCTGGTTCGTCGAGAGACGCCAAGCAGCTCGCGCGGTTCGCGGCCGTCTTTAGGGATCTGTATCACGTGATATGCACAGGCTACAGCCCGAAGTGGGCAGGCGAAAAGGTGACGTTCGACGCGGATGACGTGGCCCTGGTTCGGGCGCGCATCCAGAAGTATTTACCTCGCGCTGCTAAACTGACGTACGAGGAGCGCGAGCGACTCATCGTAGAGATCGATACAAAAAGCTCGCTAGCGAGGGCGTTTAAAAAACTGAAAAAGCTAATTCGCGAATCCCAGGCCGAAACATTGCGGGTGAATGCGGTTTTCGAGGCGAACGAGAAGCGCCGCGAGGCGACCCGGAAGCGCCTCCGCGACGAGGAGCGCCAAATCCGCGAGGAATATCGGAGCGGCGAGGCCTTCCGAAGGAGCCGGAAGCGGGCGAAGGAAGGCGACGCCAAGGCCGTGGCGATGTTCGAGGACGTGGGTTTGTGCGTCGCCGACCTCGCCGATTGAGCGGCTGGCTAGGATGTAAGTGTGTTTTGTGCAATCATACACGTTGGGCACGACGCCATCGCAGCGTAGTATATACTAGTCTTAGGCGCACGAATCCTCTAGAGCGTCACCCCGATCGCCGCCGCCATCGCCTTCGCCGCGTCGGCTGCCGCCTTCGAGTCGTCATCATCTCCTTTGGCGGCGGCGGCGTACTCGGCGCGCACCTTGGCCTCGTCGATGTCCTCGAGCTTCACGGCTTCCAGGGCGGACACTTCCGTCTTCTCCGCGTCGGTGAACGCGAAGCCGCCACTCACGAAGAACTTCTCCGGCTCCTCGCCTTGTTTGTGGGTGATGGCCACAACCCCAGGTCTCAGCTGCTCGGCGAGGGGCGAGTGGCCGGCCGTCACACCGTACTCGCCGGACGCGCCCGGTAGAGTTACACTGGCCACACTGGTCTCGAAGTAGTAGACCGTGTGGGGCGCCGCGAAGGAGAGCTGGAGGCCGCCGCTCGCGTCGGAGAAGCGCCGGGCTCCCCGCAGGGCCCGCGCGGCACGCAAAGCTAGCATCTTTGGGTTTGGTCCTTGCTAGCACGAGGACAGCCCGGCGAGCGCGTGCGGTCAAGGCGGCGTCTCGGCGATGGCGTCTAGGCGACGTCTAGCTTGCTGCGAGGACGTGTGGTGCGCGTCCCGACCCGTTTTTGTCGCGGCGAGCCCGTGGCTAAATCGAGGCTAGAGTGCCTAACGCTAGCAAATGCAGCCATCCAAGTCGCTTGGAACGACTCTGAGGCCATACCACATGCGTGGGAGTCCCCGGCGGCCGCGCGTCTTGGGGTAGCCGCCTCTCTGCATGCGCCTGCTGCACTGCGCAATTACAGGCTCCCGCGACTTGTAAGCGCGGCCAGAGCAGCAATTTACCGCGACTGAAGCCACAAAACACGCTGCAGGGCAGCTGTAGCAACGCACGCGCGCGTGCGACCACTATTGGCTGGTGCTCTCAGAGTGCTGCAATTGAACAAGCTCGCGAAGGCGAGCGGTGCAACGAACGCGTCGCGTAAACAACACAGCAGCAACGACAATGCGCCGCAAGCTCGCCGCGCTCCTCCTCGCCGCGCGAAGCAGCGCACGAATCAATCATGCCCTGTACACGCCATTCGACGCGACGCCTGTTCGATGGCGTCGAGGCGACTCACACTCGACGGCGTCGCCTCGATGGCGAGGCGGACATACCGTCGCGATGCCGTCGGGGAGAGAGAGACACGCTCGTTTCGTGCTGACGTGCGGCGCTGGCGTACTGGTGGGGTACTGATGCGCGTCGAACTGGTCTTGTACTGATGCGGTGGAGTACGCCGTCGGTACCCGCCAGTACACCATCGACGCGCCTCGGCACGATGAAGGCTCGTGAGTGGGAACGGGTCGGAACGAGAGTACGCCATCGACGCCGCGTGAAGGCCGAGCGACGTAATAGAACAACAACACCACACAGGCGACGCGCCCCACCAACGCGCTCCGCGTCCCGGGCGCGCTCGGCGCCGCCGCGCAGACCTACGCGCGCTGCATGGACAAGGCGCCGCTCGCCACGAAAGCCGCGACGAGCGCGGTCATCTTCGGCGCGAGCGACGCCTGCGCCCAGAAATTGGAAAGGGTCAAGGAGCCCGACGCGACGCGGCTGCTGACGACGACGGCGATTGGTGGTTTGTACTTCGCGCCGGCGGTGCTGAGATCGGCGTGGGAAAACGCGTCGACGGCGTCGAGGTGGCGCCGCCGAGACGCCGTCGAAGCAACACAAAAAACTCACGAAAAAAACAACGCAGGCGCACGTCTGGTACGCGCAGATCACGCGCCTCATCCCGAAGAACGGCCTCAAGGAGATACTGACCAAGGCTTTGTTGGGCCAAATTTTCTTCGGCCCGCTCGTGACCATCGTCTTTTTTGCCGCGGCCTGCGCCCAAGGAGAAGGACTCTCCACTTTACCAGCAAAGATCAAGGCCGACCTATTGCAAGTGCAAATTGCGGGAGCGGGCTTCTGGCCCTTCGTCGACCTGATCAGCTACGCCTTCATCCCGATCGCGTACATTCCCTTATTTGTCAACTGCGCGTCGTTCGTCTGGACGATCTTTCTTTCGTTGAAGTCGCGTGTTGGGAAGAAGTAAGTATATTTAATGGCTGAATTCGGACAAACGGTGTTTACGCGCGGATCCCCAGCGGGCGGAGCGCCGTCCATCCTTGCAGCGCGACCGCCGCGACGACGTCGGCTTCGCGACGAGCGGCGCGGCCTGCGACGCGGTATGTTAGGGGCGACGCCGGCGAAGACAGCCGTCCTCGGGCGCTCGATATTGATGAAAATGGGCTCGGCCGCGCGCTTGCTCGTCCAAGGGCATCGTATTGATGACTGCCATGTTAGATTTCAACTCAGGGCTCTCAGTTTGAGGCGGATTTCTGCACGCGTGAGTGAACAGGCTTTATTCGACTACTGCTCGTCGATCTTTCTCGGTCGTAAGCGCGCGGGCGTGCGAGCTATGGCCGCTGGAAATCGCAGATTGCTGGGAGCACAATCCGCAGATCCGCCAACGCCCGCACGAGAGTCGCCCGCCATCAAGGGCACGCTTTCTGAGGGATGCGTCACGAACTTCGGCGTAGATCGCGCCTCGGCGGCCGCGGCGCGCGTCGCGGCCCACGATGGCGATGGCGCGACCGCTGCTCGCTCCAGCACGTCTCCGGGCGCCCGACGGATACGTGGCGATGCCAGAGAGCGGGTCAAGAATTTGAACTGCGCGGGTGCTCAGGGGCCTCGCGTCGGCATTTGGAAGTGGACCATTGCAAATGCGCGCATGAATGCAATTCTGACAGTATGATTGCAACGCGAACACCATCGGCCCCCTCCTCGACGTTGACACGCAGCAATAGCTATCACGCGTCGCCACATGCAGCGCAATCGATGCCTTCCGACAGAGCAGCGCGGGAACCGATGCCAAACGCGGCCCAGCCGTCGAGCCAAACGGCACCACTGCACCAGCACCCGAGCCCGTACCCCTCCTCCGCCGACCGCTGCTTGATCTGCCTCACGCGGCCCGACGACTTCGAGGACCCCGCGCGCGGCATGACGTGCGGCATGTGCTCGGCCTGCGGCACCTTCTTCTGCGGTAGCGAGCGGTGTCCACAATCCACGCCGTCGCCACGAAACACGTGAAAAAACGCAGGCGAGTGCAAACCCCAGCTCGCCCGTAGAGCATGCGCCGCGGACGCCGACCGCGACCTGAAAGAGCGCGGCTGGGGCGCCTGCCCCGCCTGCCGCGCACCATTAAGGGCGTCGCACTCCGAGAACGTCAAGCGCCTCGAACGGCTCCTCGTCACGCGGACCGAGGGCAAGCACGTGGCCCGCGTGCAGTACAAGCTCGGCCTGGCCTACGAACTGGGACGGGGCGCGGGCCGCGACGACGCCAAGGCGTCGTCCTTGTACGAGGCGGCGGCGAAGGGCGGCCACGTCAAGGCCATGTTCGCCTACGCCATTTCGTTGGACGAGGGCCGCGGTCTTCAACGCGATGCCACAAAGGCCGTCGAGTGGTTCCAACACGCGGCCGCGAAGGGCTCGGCGAAGGCGCAGTTCTCGCTCGGCATCCGCTTCGCCGAGGGCCGCGGCGTGGCGCGGGACCCGGGCCGGGCCTTGCACTGGTTCGAGAAGGTATTCGACAGCGTCCTTCTGATTCGCGTCGATGGCGTCGACGTTGTGTGTACTTCTAGCCCACACGCCATCGCCACGAGAAAGCATCGCGATCGCACCACGAACACAAAAACACCACGAAACAACGCAGGCCGCCTCCCAGAACCACGCCAAGGCCCGCTGCAACCTGGGCATCATGTTCGCGAGCGGGATTGGAGTCGCGCGGGACGATTCAAAAGCCGCGCGCTACTACCTCGCGGCGGCGACGGGCGGCGTGCCGCGCGCCATGTTTGATTTAGCTGTCCTCTACGCGCGGGGCCGCGGCGTGCTGAAGGACGACGTCGCGGCGGTGGCGTGGTGCGAGCGGGCGGCGATCGCCGGCGACGCCGCGGCGTGCGTGAACATGGCCCACGTTTCAGGACAGGGTCTCGTCGGGCGCTGCCCCGATTCTCGAGCCGCGCGGCGGTGGTTGGATCTGGCGGCGCGGCGGCGCGGTTCTAGAAGAGACGACGCGCGCGACACGGCCGTCTCATCTTTGGTCGCGGCGGCGCCGGCGCCGCAGCTGCGGTCCCTGGTCCCGGGGCCGGCGCCGACGTCGCCGAAGGACTCGCGCGTTTTTCTGCCCGCCCTCCCCGTCTAACTAACACTGTGCCCCGGTATTCCTCTGCTAAGCCTCAGGGCGACGGCGTGGTAACACAAAAAATATTAACTACAGACAAGGTTCCTGCGACGGCGTCGGCTCGACGGCGTCCAGGACTCAAGGTGGACGTGCCGTTGCGACGCCGTCGAAGAGTGAGAGACACGGACGCGTCGGGCTGGCGTGCGACGATGGCGTGGTTGTACAGATGCGGTGGAGTACGCCATCGGTACCCGCCAGCACGCCATCGACGCGCCTCGGTCACGATGAAAGCTCGCGAGTAGGGACGGGTCAAGTCTAGTCGCCACCACTGGGCGACACGAGCTCCTCGAGCGGCGCCGAGTAGGCGGGGTGGAAGTGGTGGATGAAGGACCGCAGGCCCGCTGGCGCCAATGATATAGAGAACTCCTCGAGCTTGAACGCGTGGTCCAGCGCTTCCGGTAAATCGGACGCGGCGCACCGTACTAATATTATTGTCTCCGGCACGTCCACAACTAATGCAAAAAGTCTATCCGCCAAGTACCTTGCTGCTTGCGCCGGCATCAGTAAATGCGCCTCTCCCAAATGATCGAACGTCTGGTTCGCCTCTTGTAGGTACACAGACCGCACGGCCGGCCAGTCCTCGGCCGCGGCTAAGATGGCCCGCGCCACATTCCTCAGAACACGAGGAGGCCCGGAAGCAAACAGCGTATAAATGTCGTCGTCGAGCGAATCGGCCACCAACGGATAGCAAGGGTCATGTTCCGTGAACCATCTCACTAAAGGATCCCAGGGCTGGACGAAGCTTCGCACCACCGTCTCGTCTAAATCTAGAGCGGCGAGCACCGTGTCTTCACTACTTTTGAGGCAGGGCAGCGGCGCGAAGACGACCGCTGATGGTTTTGTTAAAATTCTATCGTCGTCTCTCGTTCTTGCTAGCACGGTACATAAACCAGCTAAAGCGCCGCCGATCGAATGGCCCGTGAAGATCAGATTGTGCTCTGGAGCTACATCTAGGTACGGCGCCAGATCATCTAACAAAGCCTCGGCCAGGAACAGGAAGCCCGCGTGGGCTACGACCTCCGGGACGTTCTCGTCACTTCTATAGTTATCGACGGCGTCCCAACTCCTAGGAAACGCTTGCGTATCGAGAGGAATCGGCACGGGCCGCGCGCACAATACCCGCTTGACGAGGAGGACGTTGTCGCCCGTGTCGTCGGACGCGTCGAAGCCTCGCAAAACAACGTGCCGCTCCAGCCTCCCGTCGCGCACGCCATCCACAATTGACCAGGCGACGTCGTGGGTCCGTCCCGACGCGACGTGGGCCCTTCCCAGACTTCGCAGCGCGGCCCTCGCGTTCGCGTTCGCATATACAGCGGAAGATAGCGACGCGCAGAGCGTCGCCCCCTCCAGGAACGGCCGCTCGTCGTCGAGCGAGACCGTCTGGACTAAATCAGAAGGAAACGCCGCTTCGGGGTAGGCGTCGACGTCCCGCAGCAGCTTCTCGGCCAAGGCCCTCGAGCGCGGATCGACGTTCGACGGTAAACGCTCCGCGAGCGCGCCGCCCAGGACACCCTGCGCGAGCTTGAGAGGGTTTTCACCCGAGAGGGCGCGCTCGGCCTGCCTACTCACTTGTTGTATCAGCTCGTAGTTATCGCCCTCGGCGCGCTCCCGGAACCGTTGTAAAGCAGGCAAAAGCTGGGCCGCGTCGACGGGCAGCGCCTTCAGGACCGTGTCCACCCTTGAATCGTCGAAGGGGAGGCGCCACGCCGCCGTCCGCTGGCCGTTCGCGGTCGGCGCCTCGTCGGCGCCGCCAAAGGGGAAGGGACTGGCGAACGGCAGCTGCGGCCCGTTCGCATTTGTGGAAGCGGCCGGCGGCGGCGCTGCATTTTGCGTGCTATTCGTCGGCCGGCCGAACGGGAATGGGCTCGCGAAGGGGAAGCGCTGCGGTTCCGCTCGTCGTCGCGTGGGTGGCCTGTGGCTCCTCTGGCGCAGTGGCACGAGCGCTAGCGCAGTTGTGGCGAGCAGCCAACAACGCATCGCTGGAGGATCTGATCAATGAGAAGGAAACCAGGTGATTTCACTTGCCAGTGATGCGGTATGGGGCCGCCACGCAGACTTGCTCTCCGGCATGGCTGGCTGGCTAGTGTCTTACATGCCGCTAGCCGGTTAAATCTGAGCCGTCCGAAACGCGGTCCGCGGCGCCCCAGGGAGTCGTCTGAGCTTCGCCGCGAGGGCTCCTGGCGCCGCCAGTGGCAATCGAGTGCGTCGCGGTCTCCCGCGCGGCCACCAGACCACGGGGTGATGTCTGGCGGCACGATTCCGAGCTCCACGGGCCTTTTGCGACGAGTTGGCACGGCAACTTCACAAGCAGCAGCAAACTGCCAGAGTCCTTGTCATTCAGCTGATCAGAACACCTCGATTTTTTGGAGCTCATCGACAAAGTTGAGCGCTGCCTCTGTGCGCATCGCCATCGACAACAGCACTCGCGCAAACTTGCGCATCACGGTAAGGGCCAGCCAGCCGCCCTACTCGCAGCTTTACGCGCAATTTAAACGCGCGCATCACGCTCTCCGACAACCACAGCACACTTTTGCAATGAGACTCGCGCGCGTACTATCAACCAGCACTCGCAAGGCCGGGCACACGCCGCGGTTGCCGCCGCCAACGCGCGACGTTGCCGCCGAGGTGCCACGACCGCGTTTGCACGACACTTCAAGCCTCGTTGCCCGCGAGAACGCGGCCAGAATTCGATTTCCGCAACGCGACGCCACCGCCGCCGCGCGCGAAGGACGAGACGACTGCGCACCGCTGCGCGCGCCGCGCAACCGCCGCGACGCCGCCGCGGCGCCCCACAAACACTTACTAACACAGGTCGCCGCGCTCGAAGCCAAGTGGCAGGAGCCCCGCTGGAAGGGCGTCGAACGACCCTATTCCGCCCAAGATGTGGTAGCCATGCGCGGCACTTTACAAGGAGAAGCGCCGTACCAGGACGCGACGGCCCAGAAGTTGTTTGAGACCTTGGACCTGTGCGCCAACACGGGCGGCCACTCGCGCACGTATGGCGCCCTCGACCCCGTCCAGGCCGCAACCATGGCGCCCAAGCTCACGTCCATCTATGTGAGCGGCTGGCAGTGCTCGTCGACGTCGTCCTCGAGCAACGAGCCCGGTCCTGATTTCGCGGACTATCCTTATGATACGGTGCCCAAGAAGGTCGACCAATTGTTCAAGGCCCTGAAGCACCACGACCGCCGGGCTTTTTCGAGCGGGCAAGACGTCGATTACTTGACGCCGATTGTTGCTGATGGTGATACCGGCCACGGTGGATTAACCGCGGTCATGAAGCTCACGCAGCTCATGGTCGAGGCCGGGGCCGCGGGCGTGCACTTCGAGGACCAGTCGGTGTTCCGTGTCGTGATTGGGCTTCGATTGTTGGGGCGACGGCGTCGCGGCGCCGTCGACGCTATCAATGCGCGCTTGCGAGGCACGCCATCGCCGCGACTCACGCTACTTTACACAGGTCCCCGGGCACGAAGAAGTGCGGCCACATGGGCGGCAAGGTCCTCGTGCCCATGCGCGAGCACGCCGACCGCCTCAACGCCGCACGCCTCCAGTGCGACGTGATGGGCTCCTCGACCCTCATTATTGCCAGAACGGACGCCGAGGCCGCGACGTTCCTCACGTCGACGATCGACGCCCGGGACCACCCCTTCATCCTCGGCGCGACCAAGCAGCTCGAGTGCACCTTCGACGAGCACGTCGCCAACGAGAAGGCCCAGGGCCGCTGCGGCGATCAAGCCGGCGCGACCTGGATCGAGAGCGCCCAGCTCAAGACGTTCCCGGAGTTAGTGCGAGATGCCTTGCTGGACGCTGATAAGCTTCACTGGGACCTCGTGACGAAGGGCAAGAACTTGCAACAGATGAAGATTGAAGCCTCGAAGATCTTAGGCTTCGAACCCTACTTTGATTGGGAGGCGCCTCGAGCTAGAGAGGGCTACTACCGCGTCGCGCCGTCGACGGAGTACGCCACGGAGCGCGCCAAGGCCTTCGCGCCCCACTCGGATCTGCTGTGGATGGAGACGGCGACGCCGGACGTCGAACAAGCGCGCGACTTCGCCCGGAACGTCCGCGCCGACTTCCCGGACCAGATGCTCGCCTACAACCTGTCGCCGTCCTTCAACTGGGACGCGCCCGGCGTCTTCAACAACGATGAAGAAATCGAGGCCTTCACCGACGACCTCGCGAAGGCGGGCTACGTCTGGCAGTTCACGACGCTCGCGGGCTTCCACACGAACGGTTTAGCGACGGAGAAGTACGTGCGCCGCTTCGCCGATGTGGGCATGAAGGCCTACGTCGAAGATGTGCAAAGAGAGGAGAAGGCCATCGGCGCTTCGATACTAAAACACCAGACCTGGTCCGGCGCGGAACTCATGGACCGCATGCAGGCCGTCGCCACCGGCGGCGGCGCGTCGACGGCGTCCATGGGCGCCGGCGTCACGGAAGACCAGTTCGAGATCCTGCCGCCGTCGGACTTCGTCGTCGACACGAACAACGAACCGCTGTCGCGCTTCGAGCACCGCTTGATGCTCGAGGCGCGCGCCGCGGCCAAGGCCGTCGAGCCGCGCACGGGCGCGGCGCTCTAGACCACAAGAAGACCACGATCCCCTTTCCCCCTTTCCCCGCACTGTGCCTCCTCCCGACCCAAGACCTTGTCGTTGTGTTGCCCCACGTGTGTGCTGTACTACTACGCCGGGCGGAGTTTCCCGACCCGCGGGCCGGCAGCGGTCCCAGAGTTAACGTGCTAATAATAGTGATTCGATAGTCGAGGTCCTTACGCGGGGGGAAGGGAAGGGGTGCCGGCGGCCTAGGCGGACGACGGGGGCGGGCCTTGCTGGTTGGCGTCGTCGCGTGCTTAGGCCGCGCGCGGTCGCGGTCCTTGCTCGTCTCCGCTAAACGGCGAAAACAGGCTCACGTAGGTGTATTTGGGGGGTTTACCAAGCTCAGTGTAAATAGAGAGAGGGCCCGCGCACCACAACCGCTCACCGTCGACACAAAGACCACCTAGCCGTTGACCACCGGGCGCCGGGATAATCTGCAACACCTGCGGCTCTGAGGACAAATCGAGGATATTCTCGGGCAGCCGCATGACCTGGATCCTGCGACCGACTAATTCAGAAACATATAGCGTGTTGCCATGCACCGCGACGCCAACGGGTTCAATGAACTCGCCCGGCCCAGTTCCTTTGCGTTCATCTTCATATTCGGCGTCGCCATTGCTCATTTCCGAATCGAACCAGTACGGATGCGGAATTTCCGGGTCAGATGTCCAAGTACGGTGGTGGAGGAACGCGCCTCGCCGTCCAAAGCAGCGCACCCAGGTCTGGCTGCGCCAGTTGAAGACACTGACTCGTTGATTGTACGTATCGGCGACGAAGCAGTAATCGTCCTGGACCGCCAGGCTGCAAGGTGAATGTAAGTTTCCGAACGTATCATCTTCCTCTTCGCCGAAGCGGCTCACAAGAGTTCCATCTCGAGAGTTGAGCACGAGAACTTCACCGACCCAATCGTTAACTATTGCGAGCAGGAATTCACCACCGGGACTAAGGGCGAGGGCCTTGGGGCATTTATAGTCCATAACCGGACTAACGATGCGGTCGGACGGCGTTAGAATCTTGTCACCCCCCATGGCATCGCCTAATCGCACGCAGATGAGGCGTTCCCTGTCTTCGTCTAGTACCCAGGCCGTATTGCTCTCGTCGCCGAGGAGCGCCACCGCACCTGGCGTCCAGATTATACGAGGGGATTGGAATGCGCCCAGGGATTCGCCCTCCGGCGAAAACACCATGAGTCGTGATTTGTGATAGTCTGAGACAATCACGCCTCCGCCGGGGTTGGCGACAACGTGTTGGCAAAACTCAAAAGTTCCGACGCGATGCCTGGCCAGGCGCAGCATGCCCGCGCATCGCCGCTTCCACTGAGACTGCCATATCTTACAGGCCGCGGCCGCCCCAGTGCCGTCCGAGAGAGCGAGCCGCGACAACAGGAGAAACACCACATCATCCGAGAGCAGGGCATGGTGAGTCTCCTTCACGTCGTCCGACAGAGTATCTTGTATTGAAGGTATCGCGTAGAGCCGATCGGCGTCGTCGTGCGCGTCGAGGGCCTTGCGCGCCTCTGCCAACTGTTCCTCCAACATTAGGATGCGCTTGTCTTGTTCCGCGATGGTCGCGCGCGCGCAATCGCGGTCGAAGCGCATGTCCTCCAACTGCTCCTCCAACTGCCCCTCCTCCGTACTGCCCCTCCTCCAACTGCCGTCGTCATCGCCCATCAGTACGGGCATCTTGCACGGCCTGCGTCGACGATGGGCAAAAGAGCTTGCTGGTTTTGTGGGCCTGTGTCGCAGCGTGTGCCGCAGCAGCGGTCGCGCGCGAGCAGAAGAATGGCGACGGGGGCGCGTGGAGTCGTTTAGAGGCTGCCCGGGTGTCTGATTGCCTGTAGACGGCGCGCGGGCTGCCTTAAACCGATGTGACGAGAGAGAAGGCTTTGCAACCAAAAAGCTAGTGCTACTGGTCGAGCCGTCAAGGCCCACAAAGAGAGCTCATTGGCGACGCCACGAGGCGTATGTACGTACTACCCGGCCCGGATCAGAAATTACTAGGCTCAGCGTCCTTAGTACTTGGGGGAGGTCGTAACGTGGGGTGGAAAGCGTCAGCAGGCGCGTGGAACTACTCGGTGTCGTCGCCGAGGGCGCGGTCCGCACGGTTCTTCAGCTGCTCCTCGAGCTTGCGGGCGCGCGCCTCGGCCGCGTCGCACGCCACATGAAGCGCCTCCATCTCTCTCTCGTGTCTGCTCGCCTGCTTCGCGAGGCGGTCCTCGACGGCGCGTATGCGCTCATCGGAGCTCACGGTGGTGGGCTTCTCCGGTGCAGCGTCGCGGTCTAGGCACGTTTCCGCCAACTCCATTCCCGACGGCGTCGGCGCGGCCAATTTGGGCTTCTTGACCTTCTGGGCCTCCTGTCCAGGCGGGACGGGGCGCTTATCCCCGGGATCCGCTTCGTCGGACTCGGGCGCCGTCGCGGCACCGCCCGGTACCGTGGGCGCGCGCGCCCAGATCCGAGCGGCGATCGGCGCGATCTTCTCCGGAGGGGTCACACGCTCGTAAGCGGCGACCAGCTTCACTAAAACCTTGTTATATTCCTCGGCCTTGGTGCGCCCGCGCATGCACGTCACGAGGGCCTCGTGATTGGCCTTCTTCTCCGTTTCCAACTGTCGGCGCAGCTCGGCGACGGTCTCGTCGAGCTCTTGCACCCGAGCCCCGAGCGAGGCATAATCCCGCTCCGCGACATCTTTGCGCTCCTCGATCCCAATGCGAGCGCGTTTCTGCCCGACCTGCATGGAGGTGACTCCGGCCTCGAGATCGTCGAGAGAAGGATCACGATCATGCGCCTGTGCTAGTTGCGCCGTTTTCTCGCGCGCCTCGGCCCGCAGGGCCGCTACCCGATCTGACACTGTAGGTCTGGGGTTCTCCGGGTCCTTCGCGAGCTTGGCTTTCAGGGCCGCCAACCGATCGTACCGCGCAGCCTGCTCCGCGCGCATGGCCCTCAGCTCGCGCAACACCTCGTCGCGCTCGCGCTCGGCGTCGCGCGCCACCTGCTTCTCGATCTGCAGCTGGCGCCGCAGCTCCTGCGTCGTCTCGCGCATCTCGGCCGGAATCATATCCGCGGAACCGCGTCGTATCGGCTCATCCTCGCCGTCGTCGATTTCGTCGTCGGTTTCGTCGCCCATCGGTACGGGCATCTTGCACGGCCTGCGTCGACGATGGGCAAAAGAGCTTGCTGGTTTTGTGGGCCTGTGTCGCAGCGTGTGCCGCAGCAGCGGTCGCGCGCGAGCAGCAGGATGGCAACGAGGGGGTGTGGAGTCGTTTAGAGGCTCCCCCGGGTGTCTGATTGCCTGTAGACGGCGCACGGGCTGCCTTAAACCGATGTGACGAGGAATTGTTTTAGGCTCCAAAAAGCTAGTGCTACTAGCGGCAGCGGTACGAACCGTCAAAGCGCACAAATGGAGCTCATCGACGACGCCAGGAGCCGCATGTACGTACTACCCAGCCCGGAGCAGAAATGACGAGGCTTCAGACGTGAGGTCCTTAAGTACTTGGGGGAGGTCGTAACGTGAGGTGGAAAGCGTCAGCAGGCGCGTGGAGCTACTCGGTGTCGTCGCCGAGGGCGCGGTCCGCGCGGTCCCTCAGCTTCTCCTCGAGCTCGCGGACGCGCGCCTCGGCCGCGTCGGCGCGCGCCTTCTGTCGGTCGCGGTCCTGTTCAGCCGCGCGGACGCGCGCGTTGGCCGTCTCGGCGAACGCGTTGGCCGCGGCGAAATCCGCCGCGAGCGCTTCGGCGCGCACCTTGAGCCGGTCGCGTTCCTCCTCGGCAGCTTTGGCGCGCTCGTCGCCCGCCTTCCACCGCGTCTTGGCTTCGGCGAGTTGAGCACCGAGCCCGTCGGCGCGCTTCTTCACGTCGGCGGCGCGCGCCTCGGCCGTCGCCAGCATCCTCTGGAGTTCGGCAGCGTCCGCGTCGCCAACGGACACCTCCGTCGCGGGCGACGGGCTCGTGTCTGGCGACGGCTGCAGCGCCCGCGCCGGCGCGCCGCCGGCCGCCCGGCGGCGCGGGCGCGCAGCCGCGCGCGCGCCGGGCGGGTTGGCGCGGTGGCGCGGCGGGCGCCGCGCCGCGCCGGGGCGCTTCTGTTTCGCCCGCGGCGACGGCGACGCGTCCAGGGGGCGCGGCTCGCGGTCGGCGGCGGGCGCCGGCGCCGTCCCGCCGGGCCACCCCAGGGAGGCGGCCGTCCGCGCTTCGGGCGCGGGCGCGGGCGGCTGGTTCGCGTCGGGCGCGGCGTCGGGCGCGGGCTCTTCGGCGGGCTCCGCGAGCGCGGCGGCGGCCGGGTCGCGCGCGGCCGCCAGCACGGCGTCGACGACGCGCCCGCGAGCGACGAGCACGGTCGCCGCGGCCACGGCGTCGGCGCGCCGCGCGGCTTTCACCACGGCGTCGGCCTTGCGCAGGAGGCGCCGCTTCTTGCAGAGCTTCTGGATGTGGGTCTTGCACTTCAGCTCGGGGTTGCGCCGCCTGATGCAGTCGATGAACGCCGCGGCGAAGTTCTGCTCCTGGTAGAAGGGGGCACCGGTCTCCTCGTCGAAGAAAATGGGGCAGGCCTCCTTGAATTCTAGCAAGAGTTCGTTGAAGTCGCCGAGCTCCTTCTCGCGCGTTCCGAAGACCCACTTCTTCTTGGGGTCGTTCTTTCTGTCGTCGCACGAATTCACGTAGTCGACTACGCTCTTCTGCGAGTTCAAGATTTTGTAGCACTCCTGGAGGTACGCCTCGGCGTCCGCGCCGTCGGGCGGAGGCCCAAAGAACTTCATCGCCTCAGGCGCAAACGCGGTGCCCACGAAGACGCGGGTGTCGCCCTTGTTATGGGCACACGGCACCGCGAGGCCTAGCCTCCGGACGTCGTTGCGGTACAAGTCCAGCATGCCGACGTTGACATGGACCCTGAGCGTGCGCACGATCACCACCTTCTCGTCCACGTCGATCTGGTCTACCGCCGCTCCCAGGACACCAGCGAGCTGCGGCTCCGGGGCAGCCATCGCGCGCAGTTGACTTGAGAGCAAATACCGAGCGTCGCGGTGGAGAGGGGGGGCAGCCCGAGACCGTAACCGGAAATTCCCCCTAGTAGGTTAGCAGAGCCGCCATCGAGGTCGAGCCGCGTCTTTAGCGTGTTATCTAGGTGGCAGGAGGCTGCCCGCACTAGAATCGAGGCCGCCGGACCCCCAGGTACGTTGTAGTTAGCCTGCGCCGCGAGAGCGCCTTCAAAATCGGCGCGTTGAGTGCCGCTGCTCGTTGAAGCAGGTTCGAGGCAGCCCCGGGCGGGCCGCGCGCGGCCGCTGGGCGCGGCCGCCGGTGCCCCGGCACCGGCGGCCGTGGCCCCGGCGCGGGGGCTGCGTTTCGTGGGGCGCGGGGGCCGCCTCTGAACTTTCATTGTACACCTGGTGCTTCACAGGGACCATGTTCGGAACGTCTAAGAAGGAGTTGTGGTGCTGCAAGGCCACGCTCGCGCCCGGCAAGTCGCGCGACGACGTGTACACGGTCTGCAAGGCCGCCAAGGTGGACGCGAGGGACGTCATCGGCGCGTTCGCGGGACTTCTCACGGAGTCCAGATTCCAGCTGCTGATCAAGGACCCGGCATCCGAGAACTACTTCACGGCGCGCGACCTCGCGGAGGAAATCGCGAAGAAGAAGAAGATCAAGGACTACGAGTTCCACGAGACGGTCCTCGGCTCCAAGAAGGACATAGAGAAGGGGTGCGCGGCGGCGGGGCAGGCGATCTTCGCGTACTGCCCGGGCCTCGACGCGGTGCTGACCCTCGTTGTCAAGCGGGACACCCCCGAAGGGGAGCAGCGGCGCCAGGACATGTTCGCGGTCGGGGACATCATCACCCAGAAGGTCCGCGAGGGCCAGCAGCAGCAGACGAACAAGATCGAGAAGACGGTGGTGGAGGCCGCGACCGACATCAGGGATGGCGTCGGGAAAGTGCTCGTCACGCAGTCGAAAGTGCTCGTCGCGGAAGGGAGGGACAACAAGAAGGAGATCAAGGAGACCGTCAACCAGCGGGCCGACGAGCAGATGGCGTTCAACGCGAAGATGTTGGAGGAATTGGAGCAGGCGCGCCTGGATCGCGAGGAGGCGAAACGGGAGATGAAGCGGATGAACCGCCTGTTAGCCGGCCGGCAGCTGCCCGAGATCGAGGCGGCGCCGCAGTCGGCGTCGGAACAATTAGCTTTAGAGTCGCCGCGCGGGCACTCTTACGAGCGCCTGGTCGAACCGCCCTCCGCGGGTAGTGACACGTTAGGGGTGACGCCGCGGACGGAATCCATGGGTGTCCGTCGCGCGCTCGCGCCGAAGTTCTCGCTCTTGCGCGACGACCGGCCGTCGCCGGCGTCGCCGGAGTCTCTGCAGGAGGACGTGGAGGACGTGGCAGCCGCTTCAGATGATGATGATGCGATCGTCGAGGAGGCGCCTCCGAAGGAGGACGTGGCGGCCGACGCTTTAGATGATGAGACCGTCGAGGCGGCGCCCCTGCAGGGGGCCGTGGCGGCCGCCGCTTTAGATGATCAGACCGTCGCCGCGCCCGCGGCCGTCGCCACGCCGGCGCGGGCCGTCGGTTTCGACGAGGAGCTCATGCGCACCTCGAAGAGCGCCTGGGCCTGGTCCCGGAAGAAGGACCCTCTCACGGCGAATTACAAGGACCAGCCGAAGTACGAGTCTCCGCCAGTCCGGGACTCGGAGATGGAGGGGAAAAAGAAAGACCCGAACTGGACTCCGTTCAAGATCCCCAAGCCGTCGCCGGACGATTCCAAGGCTCCGGAGAAGGGGCAAAAGGTGCTCTGAGCGCCGCGGCGGCGGCGCGCACGACTCCTCCCCCTACTTCGTAACGTTCTACTATACCGAGTGTTAACAGCGCGGCCCGCGCCCCGGCCGGCTCAGAAGAAAACCGCACGCAGCGCAACGCCTAGGACGGCGCGATCCCCACGACGCCGCCCGCGACGCGCGGGCCCGGGTTGCCCGTCGACAGCGAGAGCTCGTGGCCGCCCTTGCCGAAGTCGTCCTCGCCGCCGAAGACGACGATCGACCGCCCGATGATCGAGTGGGGGCCGATGAGCTTCACGTGCCTGTCCTCGATGTGCACGCTGCAGGAGCCGTCCTCGGCCACCTCCAAATTGCCGAGGTCGCCGGCCATCCGCTCTTCGTCGTTCGGGCCGCCGTGGTTCCTCGCGAAGGGGTTAAAGATGCCACCAGCGCTCGTCAGACCCTGGCTGAAATCACCGAAAATGTGGACGTGGATGCCGTGGAGCCCCGGCGCCAGGCCGCTGATCGAGCCGTCGATGACAGTAGGCTGTGATTCGCTCGGCTGCGAGAGGACGAGCGTACCAGTAACGCCGGTGCCCGTGAGGACGCAGGAGCAGCGGGCCATAGCTGCACTAGTTTTGTGCTGCGAGCGCCTGGGTATGGGCCGTATAAGCGCGCTGGGGCAGCGAGCCCCAAAAAAGCTAGTATCTGTAACGCTAGCTCTGTCTTGCGGATAGCTGTGGAACATGGCGCGCGTTTCGTCAAATAGAGTATCCTTCTAGCTGCGTTTCGTAGGAGATGTTACAAGGGGGGGTTCACGACGACAGGGGGTGGACCGCGTCTTCGTCGCGGGCCGGTGGGGTCTTACACATACGGCGAAAAAAGGCTCACGTAGGTGTCTTCGCGGTCCCCGGGGGGCCCAATACAATGTGGGCCCACGCACCACAACCGCTCGCCGTCGACGCAAAGGCCACCTAACCGTTGACCACCGGGTGCCGGGATAATCTGCAATACCTGCGGCTCTGAGGACAAATCGAGGATGTCGGCGGGCAACCGCATGACCTGGATCCTGCGACCGACTAATTCAGAAACATATAGCATGTTGCCATGGACCGCGACGCCAACGGGCTCAATGAACTCGCCCGGCCCAGTTCCTTTGCGTTCATCTTCGTAGCCGCGACTGCCATCGCTAATTACTGAATCCCACCAGTAAGGATGTTCCGCTTCCGGGTCACCCAAGTGACGGTGCAGGAACGCGCCTCGCCGTCCAAAGCAGCGTACCCAGGTCTGGCTGCGCCAGTTGAAGACACAAACTCGCTGATTGTACGTATCGGCGACGAAGCAGTAATCGCCCTGGACCGCCAGGCCGCGAGGCGAGTGCAAGTTACCGAACGTATCATCTTCCTCAAAGCCGAAGCTGCCCACAATAGTTCCATCTCGAGAGTTGAGCACGAAAACTTCCCCGAGTTCGCCGTAATCGTCAACTAGCACGAGCAGGAATTCACCACCGGGACTAAGGGCGAGGTCCTTGGGGCAAATATAGTCCATAGTTGGACTGACGATCTGGTCGGACGGCTCTAGAAACTTGTCCTCCCCCATGGCGTCGCCCAATTGAACGCAGACTAAGTTTTGATTGTCTTCACAGATGATCCAGGCCGTATTGCGCTCGTCGCCGAGGAGCGCCACCGCGCCTGGCGTGTCGAAAGGAGACACACCCGCGACGAACGCGCCCTGGGATTCGCCCTCCGGCGAGAAGATCTCGAGTCGTGATTCGTGATAGTTTGAGACAATCACGCCTCCGCCGGGCTTGGCGACAACGTGGTTGCACCACTCATAAGCTCCGACGCGATGCCTGGCCAGACGCAGCAAGCCCGCGCATCGCCGCTTCCAGTGAGACCGCCACACTTTACAGGCCGCGGCCGCACCGCTGCCGTCCCACGGGGCGAGCTGAGACAACAGGAGAAACACCACGTCGTCCGAGAGCAAGGCGCGATGAGTCTGCTTGACGTCGTGCGACTGGCGCGCTTCTTTTATTGAAGGTGTTCGTCGTGAAAATGACTGACCCATCTTGGAGGCGACACAGTCGCGCTATCTGCGGCCCGATGAGCAGCCCCCGAAGAGCAGGCGCTGCGCGCCGATCAATGCGTTAAAACTACCCTCGTAGGACCACGAAGCTCGCTGTGCTGCCGCTGCTCTGGAGCGAAGGGTCACTCGAGCTAGCGGCCTGTAACACACTAGCAAACACGCTCGGCGCGGCCGCGCGCGTTGTGTACAAAAAGGCGCTCTTGACACCCACATTTTACTGCCAACAACTCGGTCTGCACCGCCGAAGCACTGGTGAGCTGCGGAACCGCTTCTATTTTGGGAGAGCATCGACCACTGCTCAAACTCATATGCGCAGCCGAGGCGCATTCCTCCTCAAACTCATGACGACGACCGCCGCAGCATTGTCCCCGGACCTCGCGCCCGCCTACGCGCGAGCCCTGGGCCAGGCCTCGGGCATCGACGGCGCGGTCGCGATCACGAGCGGCTCCGACGTCCACGTCGCCGTGACGCGGAGCCTGCCCGACGTCGAGGCGAACAAGAAACGACGCCAGACGTTGCGGTATCGCCTAGATAAGGACAGTTCATTGAGAAGAGCCGGCGAGCTCGCGGACGACCCCGAGAGCGTCGTCGGGCGGTGCCGCGCGGCTTCTGGAAAATTAGCGGTCTTCTCAAAGACCGACGACGGTTCCGTCGTCGAGATCTACGAGGAGGACGTGCTGGTCCAGCGCATCCAGCTGGACAAGAAAAAAGTCGGCAAATTGCTGATTGGCGACGCGATGGTGGGCGGTATGTCGTGGTCGGCCGACGAAGCTCTATTGGCCTTCGTCGCCGACGCCCCGTTACCGGATCAGAAGGAGGCCTTCGATGGCCAGTTCCGCTTCCGCGAGGAGCTCGGCGAGAAATACGTGCCGCGGCGGCGCTGGGGTGCCTTCGAGTTGGGCCGCGTCGATGGCGTCGAGGCGTCCCGCACGCGCGTCCATCTGTGTCACCGCATCGACGCCATCGCACGCAGGTCGGCGTCGCGGCGCCGCGCGTCTACGTCATTGATTTACTCGAGGATACTCTGGAAGTCGTCGAGCCCCCGCCGGACGGGGTCTACGAGGGCCAGCCGGCCTTCTCGCCGGTCCAGCCGCGGCAGTTGGCCACGGTCGTGTGGACGTCGCAATATAGGAAGCTGGGGCTGATTTATTGCTTCAACCGGCCGTCGGCGATTTATCTGAGAGATCTCGACGAGGACGTCGCGGAGCGGTTGTGCGGCGACGCCGTCCAGCGGTCGCCACGGTGGAATGGAGATGGGTCGCGCCTCGCGTTCTTAGCGTCCGCGGAGCAATTCGAGACGCACGACGGCGCCGTCGAGTTGAAGGTCTGGAGCGCGGGCACGGTCGACGTCGTCGTCGAGGCGCCATTGAACCCGGACTATCGACAGGAGTGCCCGGGGCTGTGGGCCTGCCCGAAGCTCCTGGAGGACTGCTGGAGCGGCGACACGCTCGTCGTGAACTCGCTCTGGGGCTCGGCGCCGTCGGTGCTGCTGGTGGACACGAAGGACAAGTCAATAACGCGCGTCGGCGACGCGGACAACGCCCACGCCGCGCTCTGCGTCGCGGATGGCATAGCGGTCGTGCACACGACCGCGCCCGAGGTCGCCGCCGGCGCCTTATTAACGGTCGACGTCAAAACTGGAGACATCCTCGCGTCGACCGCCGCGCCGCCGCTCGGCGTCGTCTCCAAGACCCTGGCGACCTTCGACGCCGCGCCGGCACCTCTGAAATGCGACGTCATCCGCGTCGACGCCTTCGAGGCGTTACTATTACGGGAGGAGGGTGCCGAGAAGCGACCGCTGGTTGTTAGTGTGCATGGCGGACCGCACTCGTGCACGCCTGTGTGGAAATCAACCAGTGCATCGGGTGCTCGCGCCGGCTCGGTCGAGCGGCGAGGAACCGGCATGGCCACGCCATCGAGCAGGCGTCGCATCGATGGCGTGGAGGTCGACGCGACGATTCAGCACGAGCGCGCCGTAAAATTTTGATTTCCACACAGGTGCACGCCCACGTCCTATTCGGCAGCTTTAGCTTTTTTGGCGTCACGGGGCTTCGCCGTGTTATCCGTGAACTATCGGGGGAGTACAGGCTTCGGCAAGGCTTTACTCTATTCGCTGCCGGGCAACATTGGGAGCCAGGACGTCGACGACTGCCTGAAAGCGATAGAAGTGTGCTGCGCAACGCATAACGTCGACCGCGACAAGATAGCCGTCGTCGGCGGCTCGCACGGCGGCTTCTTGGGTGCACATTTGATTGCGCGTTCACCAAAATTGTTCAAGGCTGCGGCGCTGCGGAACCCGGTCACCAATCTAGGCGCCATGGTCGGTAGTTCGGACATTCCCGACTGGGTGGCCTGCGAATGTGCATCGTCGGGCACACCGCCGGGGCCGGAAGTACTGAAGAAGCTCTTCGCCATGTCGCCTATCTCCGGGATCGATGCCGTCGAGGCACCCGTCTTGTTAGCTCTTGGTCTGAAAGATAGAAGGGTGCCGCCGTCGCAAGGGCTGGAGTACTACCACGCCCTGCAAGCGCGGGGCAAGGCCGCGCGGCTGCTGACCTATCCTGAGGACGACCATGCTTTAGATACGCCGCGGACGTCGGCGGACCACTGGGTCGAGATCGCGGCGTTCCTCGAGGAGCAGCTGGGTTAAATTTAGTTGTCTTAGGCTGGCGTTTCTTCACGCATCCCCTGGCGTCATCATCGCGGCCACCCCCTCGCAGACGGAGCTCACGTCGCCCGGCGCTGCCCTTTCGCGGGCGCGGAGCACGGCTCGCGCCAGTTGCAGGCGGGCCTCAGTCGCCGCTGTGAGCGGATGCGCGCCGCCGAGCACGCGCCGCGCGGTCCGTTCTATCTCCTCGAGCGTCGTCACGGCCTCGCGGAGATCGTCGAGCGTGGCGCTGGGGTCTCTGTAGAGCGCCTCTGCGGAAAGCCACCTCATCTTGAGCGTGAGTTCATTACTTTCACCGAGAACGCGTCGCACCACGGGCATCGTTTTGCACAGCAACAACTTGGCTTCTTCGAAGTGCTGTAGTTTATTAAGGGAATTCGCGTAGTTGTTGGCCGCTCGGAGAGTCTCTACATGTTCTTCGCCATTGAGCTCCAAACGTCTGGAGTATACATCCCGAAACGCATTTAGGGCCTCTTCAAGCCGCCCGAGCTCTTGATACGTGCAAGCAAGATTGGTCTGCGCGACGAGTAAGTCGTCCTCTGGTGCGCCAAGGCGCCGTATCATAGACAACTCGGCCTCTCGCACGGACCGCGCGTCCTCGTCGTTCCCTGTTGCGTGTAAACCGTTCCCGAGCTGCATCATCGCCAGCTCCCGAATTTCATCTGTCTCCGGCCGACCCACGTACGTCTTCCAGCACGCCCACCCGAGCGCGCACAGCACGTCGCCGTAGTATTCCTGCTCGCACAGGCCGCACGTGTCCCACCGCCTCCAGCCTGGCCCACCGCCACGCTCGACCGCGACCTGGGCCGCTCGTACCAAGCACGACACGTGCACGAAGCCGTTCCCCCCGCGGCACGAGCACCCGCGCACGAGACCTTCATCCGCGGCGCCTTCCAGGCAGATGTAGCACGTCTGGCCCGCCGTGTCGGCCGCGCAGGCAGCGACCGCGGTCTGCAAAGCCTCGTTGTACCGCGGTCCGGCTTGGTCAACCCTCAGCAGCAGCGGTTCTGCCTCGGCCATGGTCTCGCCACTGCTCCACTGCTGCAATAGATGCTGCCACGGCAATGAATGGGCTCGTAAGGGGCGGAGGCTGCACGATGGGCAGCACGATGGGCAGGCGCTTGCCCGGTTCACAGATCATCGACGAGGGCCCGGCTGATTGTGACATTCGGGTGCGGGTTCGGGTCACGCGCCGAGGCCCTCCCGCTCCTCCCGGAACCCCATCCGCCGGACAGGTCAGCGCAAGGTGGTAAGCCAGACGAGGTTGCTTTAGATACGCCGCGGACGTCGGCGGACCACTGGGTCGAGATCGCGGCGTTCTGGAGGAGAGGAGGTTGATGGGGTAAGTTTGATTGATGCAACTCTCGCGGGTGCGGCGATGGCGTATCGATGCCGACGTAGAGGCTAGAGGGGCTAGCTAGGGTAAAGCTTGGAAGCGGTGGTGTACCGAGTCGCGCTTGCTTGCTATTGCCGTCAAGGAATTGTCGCGGCTCGCATTGCTATCATTCGCATAATTGAGGCTCGTAGCCTCAAAATACTAGCCAGAGCGGCTCATCCCTGTCCAGCACACATTGACCCGCTCCTTGGGCTCGAAGAAGCAAGACAACGCAACGACACAAGCCATGTTTTCGGGCTCCTGGGGTGCAGCGAAAAAGCGCGCCCGCGACGCCGACGCCGACGCCGTCGTCACCGATGACGATAGCCCGGAGAAGAAGCACAAAGTCGCGCTGAACGCCATCGCGGAGGAGTTGATCTGTCCGATCACGCAAGAGCTCCCCGTAGAACCAGTACTAGCAGAAGACGGCCGGATATACGAGAAGAAAGACCTACTCCAGTGGTTCGGGACTGACCGCGAAGCAAAAAGCCCCACAACGGGCGACATCATTGGCACGACGTTAAAACCGGCGCCGCAAGTGCGAAACACGATCGAGGCGCTGGTCAAGAGCGGCGCCATCGAGGGAGAGATAGCTGAGGCGTGGACGAAGAAGCTGGCGGACGAGACGCGAGTGAAGGAGGCGCGCGCAAAAGCGGAAGTGGGTGACGCGGAAGCCATGTGGCGGCTCGGCGTGTGGCACCGACATGGCACGAACGGCCTCGTGAAAGACTTGGCGCAAGCCCGCGCGTGGTTCGAGCGCAGCGCGGCGGCCCGCGACCCACGCGGGATAGCTTGTTTTGGTCAATCTCTCCTGCTTGGCAATGGTGGGCCCCAGGACAATGTACTCGGGCTCGTTATGGTGAGCCAGGGGGCGGCGCTTGGCTCGGACGTCGGCGCGTACTATCTTGGCTGGGCGTTCTGCAAAGGCTGGCGGGGCCTGACAAAGGACCCCGTCCGAGCGCGGTACTGGCTCAAGAAGGTCGTCGACGGCGAGTGCGAGTACAAGAACCTAATGGGTAAAGATGTAGCCGAAGCAGCGAGATGGGCCCGCGAGCTGGAGCAGGAAGAGTAAAGAACAGTTGTGTGAAGCTAGTCTCGTGGTCGGCTTATTGACACCCCCCCCCCGCGGCTAATGCACGATAGCTGGAGGCGAACCCAGAAAACCCGTTCGCACGGGTTTTGGGCTTTTTTTTCGATCTCTGGGCGCGCCTACTTGGTCAAGACCGAAGCGGCGCGCACGATACGTTGCCTACAGAACCGCAGCAGCAGCTTTGTTGGGCTCGCGGTGAATCCTTGACGCCGCACGCCCTGTGAGCACAGCCAAGCCACACAGCCCATAAAACTCCGCAGCGCTCGGAGCCCGACGCCCGCGCAGCGGCGGACGGCGAGCCCATAAAACTCCGCAGCGCTCCGAACGCACCCGCAGCGGCGAGCACCCAACATGGGTGCATTCTTAACAAAACTACTGGACACCTTCTACGCGAAGAAGCTCGAGGTAGTGCTTGTCGGCCTCGAAAACTCTGGCAAAACCACTTTGTTGAACGTCCTCGCGGCGGGCCGCCCCGTCGAGACCTGCCCGACCATTGGATTGAACGTGAAGTTGGTGAGGAAGGGCGGCGTCCAGATGAAGTGCTGGGATATCGGGGGGCAGGCGCAGTACCGGAGCGAGTGGGGCCGCTACACGCGCGGCTGCGACGTGATTATTTTCGTGGTGGACTCGCACGCGATCGAGTCGATTCCGCTGGCGCGGAAGGAGCTCCATCGGTTGCTCGAGGACCGGGAGTTGGCCACCACACCAGTCCTCGTCGTGTCGAACAAAATCGACCTCGAGCCCCACGTCACGGAGGGCGATTTGATTCGGGACCTGAATTTAGATTATGTCACGGAGAACCCCTGGATCGTCATTCCGATCTCCGCGCTGAAGGTCGTGAACGTGGACCAGGTCCTCCAGTGGCTCATCAAGCAGGGGAATTCGAAGCCCTCGTCGTAAGATTTGTAGTTAGTAGTTCGCGGGTCGCCGCGAGGGCGTCCGGGCGGACTCGCGGCGCCGTCGCGCGGTCGCGGAAACCGGACTCGCCCGTCGTCGAGGCCTCCGTCGGGATCCGGCATCCGTACGACGAATATCGGCACCGACGGGAGGACTGGTGCCGGTGGCGTCGTGCCGCGCGCCCCGAGACCCTGGCCCTGCAGCGCTCTCCGACGCGCAGGCGCAAAGGCCGGCCCGTACGCCGTCGGCGCGGAGCAGCCGAGTAGTCGTGCCGTACGAAAGAGCCCACGAGCCCAGGAGGCAGCCGCGCACGCGCCGCGGGCAGCCCTCCAGTGCTATGAAGCTGCCCGGAGGTCTAGCAGTCACGGACTACCGCAACCAGCACAAGGGCCCATCCCATTTTGTGAATGAGCCGGAACGCCTCGTGAGCCCCCAGCGGCTGGTAAGACTCGAGCGGCAGGCGCGCCTCGCCGCGACGCTGAAGGAGAGCCCCATTCCTCAAAACGACGGCGGCGCTCGTATCATACAAGCGAAAGCTGAGAGAAGGAAGCTCGCCCAGACCACGAGAGATGATCAACGGCGGCGCCAGGCCCATCAGACCGCGTCCCAAGTGACGGCCGGCCATTTGCTGCGCACGGAACGCACCTGTTCCTGGGGCGTGAATCCTGTGAGCTGGAAGGAGGTCGAGCAGCCCCCGTCCTTCGTGGAGTCCATCTTTTCCGGCGTGAAAGTTCATAAAACACCCCCACAAACACCCGAGGCCCCGCCCAGACCCCAAGGTTGGAGTGTCCAGTTTCATCCAAGAGAACCTTTGGACTGGACGTCGTACAAACCGTTGGAACGGACAAGGCCCAGTTCTCCACAAGCTGTCGAGCCAGTGTGTGGTGCGTGCGCCGTGAAACAGCTGCCGAGGTGCGCGTATTGCCTCATGCCAAAACACTCATCTGTTACTCGAGTGCCGCTGGCGCAGCTGCCTCGCTTACTCTTGGCCAAGGACCCGGCCATGAAGGCGGCGGAATTAGGTCGTAGGTTAGCGAAGTACGGGCGAAGTGACGACTCCGCGCGACAGATGAATTCTGATGAGTTGGGCCATCCCTTACCCGAGAAAAATACGTGTGATAGGCATATGAAAGAATGGAGCCTGGCGCGGCAGTTCGAGCTGAAATGCGAGAAGAAGTACATCAATGAAATGACCTCGTTCATCAAAGCTAGAGAGGACTACGAAGATAGAATAAGAGAGATGAGTGACAAGGCCGAGACGCAGCGACTACTCTTTGCCGATGCGGTGGAAGAGGCCGATCTATATAAAAATAAGAACGCTTTACTGCAAAAGAAGCTCGACGCCACCATAAAAGAACTGAGCAAATTCGACGACGCGCTGTACCGCAAGGAGATGGCCGAGAAGTTCGTCGACTGCTCCGTCCAGACCGACGACGTCGTAACAGAGCAACCATCTGTAGTAGTCGAGGAGAACCAACCGAAGGCGTCGGCCGCGGCGTTAGCGTTCGCTCAGGCCGCCGCGCAAGCGAACGACTCGGGCGCCGAGGCTTTAGCTGCGAGAATAGCCCGAAAGAAGGCGAAGCCCTTGCCGCCTCTCTATGAGACACGTGCACTAGCAAATGAGTTGCTGGCCGCGAAACTGAGGAATCAACCGGAACATGAAGGCCACTTCGCCGATTTTTTGTATGCGTTCTGGCGGTCGAAAGATCTCACCAGAAAACAGGTCAACGTCCAAGTGGCCAAGACCATCGCGGCCGTCGACGAACATAAGTCGGTCGACGACACGGTCCGGGCCGTGGCTATCTTGCTAGGCCTGGAGACGATCAAAGTAGGCGACGCTTCTATAAAAGCGGGCAAGTCCGCCTGGCTCGCGCCGGCCTGGTTCAGTGTGTTGCGGAAGTTGATCAGCGAGTATCTGGACCCTGACGAGTCGCCCGACCACCTCGACGCATTCCTGGCCGCGCGGGCGACGGCCGTGCTAGATCCGACGAACGTCGCCAAGGCCATCGCCGAGTCGGCGTCACCTGAAGAAGAAGCGCCTTGTGTCAGGCAGATGCTCGCGCCTCAGGATGTCGGTGCGGTCCTCAAGGTCATACTTACATTACCTTCGTTACCACCGAAGTATGGCTCGCCGGGCGGCATCTCCTTCGGCGACGTCAGTATGTTACTCTTAGAACATATGGCCGCGGCGGTGGCTCGACATCATAGAAAGCTCCTGGAAACGTTCTACAGGTTCGACGATGACGATAATGGTTTAGATGGAGATGAATTCCGCGAATTACTCCTGTGGACGACGGGCGACGCCAGTAATTCGGAAACAGTACATGCGGAGATCGAAGACCTGGCCGACGCCGACGCCGAGGCGCACATCCAGTCGGGAGCCATCGACGAGGCCGACCAATTCCCTGAAGTGATTATGGCCGCGACTTCCGGTAAACTAGCTTATGCGGAATCGTGTCGCGACTACTGGCGCATGGAGGATGACCGGGAATGGGGCGCGGTCAAGCCCAAAATGAATCGTAAACATACGGTGGGCGGCAACGTGCTCAAGGAGATGGCTACCGTCGGCCGCTCGACGACTCTTGAAAAATTATCAGAGAATAGGGTCACCTTCGACGAATCTATAAAGGAGCCCGCGCCGGACGGGCCCGCGTCGCCGCTAACTCCGTAGTTGCTTTGCTTTTACTAGTAGTGCTAGGTTGAGCCGAACGGTGGGTCGCGGCGACGGCAGCTGCGACGGCGTCGAGGCGGCGCCCGTCGAGACGCCATCGCGGCCCGCGACGCCATCGCCGCCGCGCCGCCCCAATTGCCGTAGTTACTAACACACCATGATAATTACCGGCCACACCGCATGTCCCGCAGCAGCTCCAGCGCGACGCGCCGTTTCTCCACGGCCGCGTCCTCGCGGAGGGGCCCGCGGAACCGCGGCGGCGCCGCCTCCTCAGGCTCCTCTTCTTGTTGAGAGATGCGCGACGCCGCGTCCAGCGCCGCCGTCGCCGCTGCCAAATCCCGCATGACGCGCGCGATCGCCCGCGACGTGCCCTTGTGGGGCGTCCTCTGCTCGGACTCTTCTCTCGCTTTCGCTAGGAGCTTGCGGAACCGGCGCTCCTCCTGGCGCTTCCTGTCCCGCAATTCTTTCCGATTTGAGCGTTGGCAGGGCATGACCGCCGGCTCGGGCGACGGCGAGCGCTCGTCGGGCGGCGGCGTGCGGCGTCTCCTGGCGTCCGGGTCCGGCGACGGCGTACGTCTCCTGGCGTCCGGGTCCGGCGAGGGCACGCGGGTGACGCCGGACGCGAGTCGGGGCGGCGCGGGCGCCGTGGGCGGTCTCCTCGCATCCGGCCCCACCGACAATACGCGGGCGACGCCCGGCGACGTCGCGCGTTCCACGCTTGGCATCGGCGGCGGCGGCGACACCGGCGCCACACTACTACTCGCGCGCACCGGCGAGTACGGGCTGCTCGGGCTGCTCGCGCGGCGCACGACCCTCGGCGTCGGCGCGGCCAGGTCCTCGGCGACGGCCACGTCCGCAGCCGCCAGCGCCGCCTTCGCGAGCGGGTCGTCGGGGTCCGACGCGCCCACCGCGTGGGCGTATACTCTAGATAACGCGACGACATGTCGGGGGTCCCTCGCTAAGGAGAGCGCCTCGGCCAACGCGGCGCGGAAGGCTTTGTCGTGCACGTCGCCGTTGTCGCTATTGGAGGCCATGGTCTGGTTTGGCACAAAATGCTGGCCAGAAATGCGCGCGAACGTCGGGGGCGGCGGCGGTGGTTCGTCGTTTGTAGGTGAGTTAGCGGCGTCCTTCGGGGCTGCGCGTGCTCGTTCTCTCTTGTATTCTGAGTAGACTGCGAGCCTCGGTTTGGCCGCCGGTCGCTTCGGTGATGGCGGGCTGTGCCAGACCGGCTGGTAGTCCGTGGCCGTGCGCTGGTGGCGGCGGCCGGCGGCGGCTGCCCGGCGGTGTCGCGGAGAGTGCGCGGCCTGGGGTCGCATATATGCGCGGCTTGGCGCCAGTTTACGCGCGCGCGCGGCTCCTCTTTTGCAACAGGCAGAGCGCGGCCTCTGCGGTTCGGGGGGCCCAGACGGTGCGGTCGTCGGGGCGCGTCGCGACGCCTGGCGGTCGGACGGAGTCTTACGGGACGGCTACTGTGATTCTTGCTGGTCCGACTTGCAAACGGCCGCGCCTCGAAACGGGCGAGGTCGAGGCAGCGTGGCGCTCTGCGGTGCCAAACACACGCATAACTGCATTCAGGACTTCGCGTGCAACGCATATTGAAGCGCCATATAGCTCGACTCGAGCACAGCAAGCCGCGTCTAGCAACGTTGCGGCTACGCTGCGAACACTGCACATTTGTCCTGCAGCATCACAAGCAGCCACAGTAATCGCGATGGCCGCCGTCGAGGAGAAAAAGAAGTCCAAGAAGCGCAAGAACGAGACGCCCGAGGAGCGCGCCGCGCGCAAAGCGCTCAAAAAACAAAAGCTCCTGCAGCCGAAGCCGCGCAGCGACTCCTTCTCGAAGCCCGCGGCACTACCACAAACGGAGCGCGCCGACGCGTCGGAAACGAGCTTCGCCGCCTTCGCGAAGGAGCACGCCGTCGAGCTCAGCGGAAGCGAGCCGGTGCCCGTCGTCGAGTTCGCCAAGGCGCCGTTCAATGCCGCGTGTAAACAAAAACTCGCCAAGGAGGGCTTCGCGAAGCCGACGCCGACGCAGTCCGTGTCCTGGCCTTTGGCTTTGACGGGCACGGATCTCATTTCCATCGCCAAGACTGGGAGTGGCAAGACCCTTGGATTTCTACTGCCAGCGTTTCACCGCATCGAGCAGAAGTTCGAGCGCAACTCAAGTACAATAGCAGCACCAAAAATCGTGGTCATGGCACCCACAAGGGAGCTCGCCCTCCAGATCGCCAGCGACGCCGCAAAGTTCGCGCCCTGCTTCGGGGCCACGACGGCGTGCTGCTACGGCGGCGCGCCCAAGTGGGAGCAGATTAAGAAACTAAGGTGGCTGAACAACCGGGGCTGCGTCGTGGCCACGCCGGGCCGGTTGAACGACCTCCAGAACCAGGGGAAAATCTTCCTGAACGAAGTCGATGTACTAGTCTTGGACGAGGCGGATCGGATGTTAGATATGGGGTTTGAACCGCAAATTCGGGAAGTGGTATCAAGGATGCCGCCGCGCCAGACCATGCTGTTCACGGCGACCTGGGGGAAAGATGTCCAGAAGGTGGCTCGCACCCTTGTGTCTGGTGAGCCGACTCGAGTCTCGTTCGGCGACGCGGCCTCTGGTAAACTGACAGCAAATAAAGACGTCACGCAGACCGTGGAGATTGTCGAGTCGTGGAGAGATAAGAAGGTCAAGGCCATTGAGCGACTGAAGGCGTTACATAAGGATGGTTCGGCAAAGACCATTGTATTTCTAGCGACCAAAAGAGCCTGCGACGAGGTGGCCAATGAACTGTGGTACGCCGGCCTGAAGTGCGACTCCATCCATGGGGATAAAGAACAGAGGGAACGAGACAGAGTCATCGGCCAGTTCCGGCGGAACGAAGTTATGTGCCTTATTGCCACTGATGTCGCCGCGCGCGGCTTGGACGTGTCTGACGTGACGAACGTGGTCCAAATAGACTTCCCGGCCGCTTCGGGCAAGGCCGGCGTCGAGGACTATATTCATCGGATTGGGAGGACGGGCCGGGCGGGAAAGAAAGGTGAAGCGCACGCGTATCTGACGAAAGACGACATCAAGGCCAACGGCCGGGTGTTGGTGGCTATATTGAGAGACGCGGGGCAGGAGGTGCCGGCCGAGTTGGCCGAGCTCACGTCGCGCGCGGGCGGCAAGGGTGGCGGCAAGGGCGGTCGGGGCCGCGGCCGCGGCCGCGGTGGCTTCGGGCGCGGACGCGGCCGCGGCGGCGGCTTCGGCAAGGGGCAGAAGCGCAAGTGGTGATATGTTCGTTCGACGTTTATTATCTAATTATATTTCGCAAGTATAGAATTCAGACATATTTTAAGCGACTACGCGCCACCACCACCACCGCGGGCGCGGCGCTCGGCCAACACTGCCGCGACCCCTCCCGTGAGGAACGCTCGAAATTCCCGCAAACATTGTTCGCGTTGCTGTGTCGTGGGATGCGAAGTCCCGAGCACCCGCCGCGACCGCGTCACGAGGTCCTCATATATTGCGATGGTCTCGCGCAGATTAGCCTCGCCGCCGAGCCCTGAAGTAGCATCTGCGGTAGTCTCGCGAAGATTGAGCGTGATAGAGTGGTCCTCTCCGAACGTGCGTCGCGCGTCTGCCAGAGGTTCGCGCAATGCTTCCCTTGCTGCGGCGTGCCTTCCCCGCTGGTGTAGGCACAACCCGAGATTATTGGCGCTGATGAGCGCATTTTGACTGTTTGCGCCCTCGATCAACTTGAGTAATGGATAGTTTTTGCGGCGAAGGGAGAGCTCTTCTTCATGCCGCCCCTGCTGACCATAGAGCGATGCAAGAGTGTTTTGAACGTTAAGGACGGTATGTGTATGTTTTTCTTTTTCGGGTTGGCGGTCAATCAGAGCTAACAAAGCCTCCAGGACGACAGTGGCCTCCCGGACATGACCAACCATCCGCATGGATTGCCCAAGCGTGCCCATTGCCCAGATTCGAAACCGGTCGCCCTCCGGACGGCCCAGGTACGTCTTCCAGCACGCCCACCCGAGCGCGTACTTCACGACACCATGGTATCTTTGCTTGCACAGGTTACACGTGTCCCACCGCCTCCACCTCTCACAACCTCTATCAGTGTTCATCAAGTTGTTCTCCTCGGCCTCGTCGCACAAAATCTTCGCCTGCTCCGCCAAGCACGACACGTGCGCGAAACCCGCCGTCCCGCGACACGAGCACCCGCGTACGAGACCCTCCTTCGTCTTCCAGTGGAGGGCCTGCGTGCAGATGTAGCACGTCTGGCCCTTCGTGTCGTCTGCGCACGCCTCGACCGCGACCGCGACGGCCTCCTTGTATTTTTTGTCGGCGTGGTATTGTTCCGCGTTGCCGCCGCGGTGTATTTTCTTACACATCTGCTTGTGGCCGCGGCGCCAGTGGTCATGTTGGCAAGTCTTGTTACAGTATCTCGTGTGGCATCTTACGCATCGCGGCGCGGTGTGGGCCAGTGGGGCGGCGCAGGCGGCGCAAGTTGTGAGGATCATTTTGCGTTGGCGTGAGCGGTATAGGGGTCGCGCGTCGTCGATTTGTCCAGCTTGCTTTGCTTGCTAGTGTCTACATGCCGCTAGTTAATCGAGGCGACCGACTCAGCTTTGCTGTTCACCGCCACAACAGCATTATTTGTCTAGCAAAACGAGTGGGATCTCACACAGTCCGCTGGTTCGCCGCCCGCAAAAAGAGAAGAGCGATGCGCACCGCTGTGGTCCTCTGCAGCCTCTGCCACGCCGCCGCACTGCAGGCACCGCAGACGCCGACGACGCGGCGCATTACTGCGAGCAGCGCCGCCAGCAGTGCAGCAACGACTAACGAATGGGACGCCGTCGTCGTCGGCAGCGGGATAGGTGGACTTAGCTGTGCAGCCATCCTCGCGAACGCTGGGAAGCGCGTGCTCGTCTGCGAGGCGCACGACCGCGCCGGCGGAGTAGCACATGATTATGAAGTGCAAGGATTCACCTTCGAAAACGGGCCCTCCTTGTACGCGGGCCTCTCGCCAAACGCGAGCCCAAATCCATTGAAGCACGTCTTCCAGATCATCGGCGAGGAGCCCGAGTGGCTCACTTATGATAGATGGGGCACGGCCTTTCCGGAGGGGACGTTTGCCGCCGCCGTCGGGGCCAAAGATTTCAAGGAACGAATTCTGCCGACGTACGCGGGACCCGGTGCCGCGGAACAATTTGACACATTAATGAAGAGGGTCGAACCTCTCGGTGAAGCCATCTTCGGCGTGCCGTCGGCGGCCGTGCGCGAGGACGCGTTTGCCGCTGTGACGTTGGGCAGATACGGCCTGTCGCTCGCCACGTTATTGGCCGTGGGCCCCGCGCCGGCATTGTCAAGACCCTTCGCGGAAGTCCTGGACCAGTGCGGCGTCACCGATGCCTTTCTACGGAACTGGCTGGACATGATCTGTTTCCTGCTGCAGGGGGCGACGACGAAAGAGGCGCCGACGACGCTGATGGCCTACATGCTCTCGGACTTTTATTGTGACGGGGTCGTACTGGATTTCCCGAGGGGCGGGACCAAGAGTATTATCGACGCTTTGTTACGAGGCGTTAGGAAGAACGGCGAGCTGCGGCTCAACGCGCCGGTGGCCAAGGTGCTGGCAGAAGACGGCGCGACGACGGGCGTGGAGCTGGCGTCCGGCGAGACCATATCCGCCCCGATTGTGGTCTCGAACGCGGACCTCTGGACCACACAGAAATTAATACCAAAGCACCCGAAGCTCGTCGACTACTTCGACAAACAAGCGGCAAGGGTGACGCGCTGCGACTCGTTTTTACACTTACACGTGGGTATAGACGCCACGGGCCTGCCCACAGAACCGTCCGAATCATTACCGGCCCAGTGGGCGGCACTCGACGACTGGGGCCGCGGCGTCGACGCGCCGCGCAACTTGGTTCTCGTGTCCATGGCGTCGATGCTCGACCCGTCTTGTGCCGCGCGGAAATCAACCAGGGAGCAGACGTCGCGTCTATGGCGTGGGGGTCGACGCGAGGATTCCCGCACAGGTCGCTCGCGCCGGACGGCTGCCACGTCATCCACGCCTACGTGCCGGCGACGGAGCCCTTTGAAGACTGGGAAGAGTTCCTCACGGACGGTGGCTACCAGTCGCCGGCCTACCGGGAGGCGAAAGAACAAGCCGTCGAGGTCCTCTGGCGGGCCATCGAGCGCTACGTGCCCGACGTCCGTCAAAGGGTAAAGGTCGCGCTGCCCGCGACGCCCTTGACCCATCGACGATTTAATAGAAGAGACGCCGGGACCTATGGACCGTTCCTGCCTGCCACCTCAGGACAGCTCATGGGCCATTCCACACCGCTCGACGGCTTCTACGTGTGTGGGGACTCGACGTTCCCCGGGATTGGGGTCCCGGCCGTCGCGGCCTCGGGCATGATCACGGCACATAGTATTCTGGACGTCCAGACGCACTGGGCGAACCTCGACAAGCTGCGGATACGGTAGTTCGGCCCTCACACGCCGTCGCCCCGAGTGTCTAAAGCTCGGAGGCGACGACGCGTTAAATGTGATAAGTTTTCAAGTCTTACACACGGGTATTTCCCTTGCTTCTCTTGCAGCGATCGCGGCGATAGCGTCGGCGCTCGCGAGTCTAGAACACACGGGGTCTCAGAAGAAGTTCGAGAACGAGATCTGCCGGCACTTCTTGCACCGGAAGGCCGCCGCCGAGGCCGGGTTCGTCCTGGCGTCCAGCTCGAACTGGACGCCGCAGCCGCGGCAGCGCCGCGTCGCCGACGACGCCGGCGCGACGGCCTGATGGACCACTTGGCCTTGCACGTGGACGACCTGGCCCTGCGCCGGTGCTTGCACGACGGGCTGGGGCGCGGGAAACTGGACCTGGAACTGCCCGCCCGGCTTGACACCATTAGGGACGGTCACCTGCATCGTCTGGCCGGTCCCTGGATCCACAACCCTCATCGGCTGTCCCGCAGTAACGCCGGGCGGGCAGGTCACCACCATGGGCGGCGCCATCGGTTGGGCATGCACCACAGTCGCGGTGACGGCCTGGTCGTAGGCCGGTGGTTGTGATTGGACGACCTCGGCGACCGGGGCGGTTTTGCCTTGGTCGGCGAGCATCTGGCTCATGGTTGTTTTTTTTCTGGGTCGCGGCGGCGTCGACGGCTGAGAAGTCTGAGGTGCTGCCTGGTCCCTGCCTCTCGCAGAGTTGTTGTACGGCGGCGGCTTGCGGGTGGCTTACCAGTGCCTGGGCTGCAGAGGGCTGAGGCTTGTTGTGTTCCCGCGCGGTGGAAGGCGGTTTCGAGAGCTGAGAGTCGAAACCTGTTATCTAGCGGCTCTTAGAAGCTGAAACGAGCACTTATTACTCGTCGGCCTCGGTACAAGGCCAAAGCAAAGCCCAGCAATGCTCTTTGGCTTCCCAGCGGCATGCGGGAAGCCGCCAGACGAGTCGCCAATGCCCTTCTACTCCCTGCGAGGAATCGTATACGTCTCCTTTTCGTGCCCGGTGATAGGCTAGTGTGTCGACACGCTAGTCATTATTTTGCTCCCGCGGCCAAGTCCTTTTTTGCGGCGCCGTGCAGCTCACAACGCGCCGGCTGTCTCTGCGCACCCCAAGCCTTCACCAGAAGCGCGCCCACCACGTTTGAACGGCTAAAAACGCCGCCGCAGCAAGCGCTCTCCCTGAGACCCAAACTAGAAGATGCCGCTCCCGCCCATCCCGCCGGAGTTCAAGCCGGCCAAGCCCTTCCTGCAACGAGCGGAGGAGTTAGATCGGGACCCGTCGCAAGAAGCGTCCGTGACGGCCTACTGCTGCCGCCAGCGCGCCATGGAGCTCGGCATAGCACTCAGAGACAAAGCGAGTGACGCCGAGGCCGCGACGACCTTCCTCCTAAGTTTGATGGACACGCTCGAGTCCAAAAAAGAAAAGCTCGGTGATTTAACTCGGGAAGAGCAGGAGCAGGTGTTGTGCCAATTCGCGGAAGATGTGTTTGCGAAGGCCGACGCCGAAGATCGCGCGGGCAAGGCCTCCAAATCAACAGCGAAGACGTTCTACGCGGCGTCCATCTTCTTCGACGCCCTGTCGCAGTTTGGGGAGCGAGGCGAGGAAGTGGAAGAAAAGTGTCGCTACGCGAAATACAAGGCCGCGGACATCATCAAGTGCCTGAAGGCCGGCGTCCGGCCCGAGCCGGGGCCTCCTGGGGGTAGTGAGCCGGCCTCACCAGCAACACCGGACATCCCGGACGCTACGGCGTTGCCTCCACCGGTCGCGCCGCCGGCCTACGACGAGCTCCCGCCGGCCGGCAAACCGTCGGCGCCGTCGCCGCCGGCCTTCCAACCACCACCTGCATTCGCGCCGCCGCCGCGGCGGCAGTGGACGCCGCAGGCGCCGCCGCCGATCAACAGCAGTGGAAGGCAGCCTTCCAAACAGCAGTTCGCCGACGCCGTCGAGTGCTGCCGCTTCGCCATCGCGGCCTGCGACGCGCGCGACGCGGGCCTGGCCCTCGAGCGCCTCAAGCGGGCCTTCGAGGCGCTCTCCTAATTTCTTAGTCATCCTTTCGCTTCGGGCCGTACAAGCCGAAGAGGAAGCTCCCGAGCCCGACGGCGGCCGCCTGGAGCAGGAAGGCCCTGTCGGGGGCGCCCTCCTCCATGATCTCCTCCTTCATCTTCTTGTTGTACTCGTCCCGCGCGAGCTTGTAGCCCTCGGGGTCCTTGAAGAGGAGCTCGACCTGCGCGCCATCAACCGGTCGCGGCGATGGCGTGGGAGACGCGCCGCGACGCTTTGATTCCTGCACGGAGCGCGACGGCCTCGGCGCCGCTGTTCACCTCCGGCGCGGTGCGCGGCTCCGCGTCGGCGGCGTCTTCTGCCGCTTCGATCTCGTCCGCGCGGACGCGGACGGCAAGGCGTGGTTGTTGTGGCAGAACGAAAGCGGTGCTCAGCGCCGCGAGAGCCAGCAAGGGAGAGCGCCTCATTGTTTTTGAAGCTGTGCGGTGCAGCGAGCTGCAGCGCTGCAAGGGCTGCAGTAAGGGGATAGCGGACGTATCTTACGCAGCGTAATCGATGCAGATATCGTGGCAGTGGCGAGAACACAGGCCGCTCCGCAGCAAGCTCGCAGCCAAGCCGCGGGTTTTCAGCGTCTACGCCGCGCGGGCCTGCGGACGCGTAGCAGGCGTCGAGCGTCGCCGGAAGAGCGTCAGCACGCAGCTTTTTTTTGGGCAAATGGAGTCGAGACGGGTTTTGGATCGACTGCAGCTTAGCCTTTTTTCGGTCCACAACCGGCGTAGAACGCGTTAAATGGCCGAGTTGATACACATGCGTGCCCTACGTGACCACCTCTTGAGCCTGGCGCGACGGCGCTGCTCCACGACGCGCGCACGGCGAGCACTGGATCGAGCTGGGTTCGCACGGCGGATTTGACGTCAAGTCTATTCCGATCGACGCGTTACCGTGCGCCGTTGGCTCATTCCAGTGCCGCCGCGCGGCGGAGCGCGGAACAGTGCAGCCGCAGCCGCTTAGGGGCTCGCGGGCGCGGCGGGCGGCGAACAGCTGCCGCCGAGCCACATCTCACTCCGGCGAGACACATGCGTGCGCTGGCTCGGGGGCCGTCCGACGCTGCCGCCGCGGTCAACCGCGGCAGCCAGCGGCCGCGGACGGTCGGCGCTCGCTCCTTGGCGAGAGAAACACACTTCGCGCAAAACGCCACGAGAGGCATGAACGGCACCCACGCAGGTCAGAGGCAGAGCATGGCCCGCCTCCTCGCCGCGGCGACGCTCGCCGCGACGGCCGGCGCCTTCCTGGCGCCGGCGCCCGTGTCGACCCCTGTTGTTGTGAGGGCCGAGAACTCGGAGGCCTTCCCCTTCCTCAAACGGCCCGAGAAGCTGGATGGGACCATGGTCGGCGACGTCGGGTTTGATCCCCTCCGGTTAGCCGAGGTCCAGGTCGACCTCACGTACGCGCGCGGCGCGGAAGTGAAGCACGGCCGCATCGCGATGCTCGCCTGCGTGGGCTTCATCATCCAGGAGTACTGGCACATTCCGGGCGCCGACTACCAGAACTTCAAGCCGCTCACGGCGCCCTGGACGGTGCCGTGGGCCGCGAACCTCCAAATCTTAATGTTGGCGGGCGCGATCGAGCTCGCGACGGCGGACAAGACGTACGGCGAGACGCCGTGGGATTTAGGATTTGACCCCCTGTGCTTCCAGGAGGGCAAGTCCAAGGCGGAGATGGACCGCTTGATGCTCGGGGAGCTGACGAACGGGCGCTTGGCGATGATGGCCTTCGTCGGCATGGTGATCCAGACGCTGCTCTTCGACAAGCCGCTCATGGACATGCACATGTAGGTGTAGTTGGTTGGCGTATAACTATATCACACTAGTTGTTAGAGCACGGCCGCGATCGCCGCGGCGAGCGGCTCCACATTACTGGAAGTGACGCCGGCCATGGAGAGGCGGCCCGACTCGAGCATGTAGACGTGGTGCTCGGCGCGCAGCCGGAGCACCTGCTGCTTGTTTAGTCCCGTGTAGGAGAACATGCCGACCTGCGACGTGATGTGGGACCTGCGCGGACACCGACCATCACGCCATCGAGCAGACACCGTCGCGTCGATGGCGTGGCACCTCCACGCCGTCGCGCAGACGCCGTCGCGTCGATGGCGTGGCACCTCTACGCCATCGAGCAGACACCGTCGCGTCGATGGCTCGAGCAGACGCTCGAACTTTGATTCCCACGCAGTGCACAAACCAGTCCCGCGCCGTCCTCGCCTCGAGCGCGCTCCGCAGCTTCGCCCGCATGTCCGCGATGCGCCCCGACATGACCACCAAACACTCGCGCCACCGGGCCTCCAACGCGGCATCGGCGAGCACGGCGTCGACGACGCGCGCGCCAAACGCCGGCGGATTTGAATATAATGCACGCGCCAATTTGCCCAGGTGGCCTCTGACAGCTGAAGCCTCCCGTGCCGACGCGCAGGACGCCACGACGGCTCCAGCTCGTTCCGAATACAAGCCAAAGTTCTTGCTGAACGAAATGCAGGCCCACGGCTGCAATCCGTTTTCGCAGAATAGTCTAAATGGAGCGGCGTCCTTGTCGACGTCGCCCGACGCGAAGCCGAGGTACGCGGAATCGAAGACCGGCAGGAAACGCTTCCTCTGGCACAACGCGCAGAGCTCCCGCCATTGTTCAGAAGAAGGATCGACTCCGCTCGGATTGTGCGCGCACAGATGTAATAAGATGATGGCGCCCTCCTCCGCTTGCTCGAGATCCGCCACTAGTTTTGGCCAGTCTAATTTTATACCATCTAAGTAAGTGTAGGGCCGGGCATCACAACCTGCATCTCTCAAAACGTTCCAGTGGTTGCTCCACGTCACCGCCGGCACGTAGACTGTAGGAGAGTGGTGCCTCCTCAAAAATTCGAAGCAGAGGCGCAGGCCGCCCGTGCCACTTAAACCTTGCACCGTGGCAGAGGTTTCCGAGGTCTTACCCCTCAATAACAGGTCGACGCGGTCGCAGTAGCTTTTCAAGCCCGTCGACGGCAGGTACTCGTGTTCCAGCTTGCCTTCGATGAGTCTTTTCCTCGCTTCGGCCACTGGGGGGAGGACCCAGGGCTGGCCCTCGTCGGTGCGATAGGCGCCGACGGACAAATTGATCTTGTCCGTCGCGGCGTCGGCGAGGAATTCTTCCTTGACGCCGAGGATGGGGTCCTTGGGCGGCGCTTGTAAAGTGTCAAATCTCGAGGTGGTCATTGCTGCCATGGTGGTGCTCTGCCCGATGGCGTGTCGCACCGCTGCAGCGATTGCAAAATATGGCTTAGAGACTGCGATGGCGGCTTGCGTGTCGCACGCTGCAGCACGGCTAGAAGCGATGCGTAGCGCGATTCGCGCAGCGATGCAGGAGCGCTTGAGCCGCCGTGTAGCAGTGCACGAGTGCCTGTGGCAATCAGTCGAGCTCGCGAGCGCTCGAGCATCCGGAGCGCACGGGTTTCGCGCAAATCCGATACGTCTTCTGGTCTCTCTTTTGCACTTCGGCCGCCCAAACAGCGCCTGAAGGCTGAATGGCGCGAGGACCGCAGACAAACCTGTTTTGCCAGGTGGTCTTGAGCTCGGGATAACCAGGTTTGTGCCGTGCCTTTGCCTCGAAATCCCCTCCCTGCCTCACCGATGAGTCCTGTCTCGCGCTGTGAACTGCCCGTGAAACGCGCGGCCGGAGCCTTCGCGTCCAATGCTAAAAAATCGGCCTTTTTGCCGGTCGCTCCGGCGGAGGCGCGGACGCGCTTGAGTTGGCCCAAAGCGCGGATCGACATTCACGGGGGCGGCCAGACGGGCTGGACCAAAAAAATTAACGCCGCGCGCCGCGACGGCCGGAACCCGCGGAACGCCAGAACCGCAAGCCGAGTGCACATCTCACCCTTCCCGCCCCGCGCAGGCCCTAAACCGAGGACCAACTCAGAAAACGCCACGAGCTCGCCTCTCGCTCCCTAAACACGGCAACCCCGGAGCTCGTCCGTCGCCGCGCGGAGATCACCAGTTTTCGCGTCGCCGTCGCGCTGGATCACGCCATCGACGCGACGCGCCTGCGCGCCGGATCACGCCATCGACGCGACGCGCCTGCGCGATGGCGTCCACCGCAGGCCTCTCGCTCCCAAAACACGGCAAAACCCCCCGGAGCTCGCCTCTCGCTCCCTAAACCCGGCCCACCTGTACGATGGACGGCCTCGCGCTCCTGACGAAGGCCGCGGCGGTCACGACGCCCGCGGCCGTCACGGAAGATGATGACGACGAGCTGTTCGTCCTGAGCGGCGATTCGGCGCGCCGCGACGGCAAGTAGGCCGCGGCGCGCGCGGAAGACGTCCTTTCTCTCCCCCCGTGTAAAGTAGAACAACCTAGGGAAGAGTGTCCGGGGCCCGGCGGGGGCAGACAGCAGGAGGACGACGTCGGCAATTGCGACTCGCATCTAGGCTGAGTCTGGGGAGCGGGAGGGGTACGGGGACCCTGCGACGTAACTAGCCTGAGCCTGAGTCTAGCTCGCTCCAGTTTTGAACCCGCCCACTAGTCCTAGCACCGTAGCAATTAGTTTGAACCCGTCTGAATTAAATCCCAAACACCTTATTACACTACTATAAAAACAATCACGCCTCGAAGCTCCCCTCGTGCGACGGCCGCCGCCGCGCCGCCGCCGACGCCTTGAGCGCGGAGTACCAGTGCTCGTAGCGCGCGATGATGGCGTCCCGCTTCCGCCCTAGGTCCCGCTCGGCGGCCAGCTGCGCCCGCAGCTCCCGCGCGTCGCGCTCCAGGTCGTCGAGCGAGGGCGCCGGCGCGCCCGGCTCGAGCACGTTCGCCGGGTTCGACGGCGCCGGGTAGGCGCGCCGGAACGCGTCCAGCGACTCGCGGAGTTTCTCGAACTTCGCGTCGTACTTCTTCGCCAGCGCCTCCGTCGCCCTTTTGGTCTCCGCCACGCGGCGCGCGTCCCGCCGGAGGGCGTCGCGCTCCTCGACGAGCTCCGCGTTCGCCGCGGCGAGGCGCGCCACGGTCCGCGCGAGCCGGCCGTCGTCGGCGGCCGGCGGCGGAGCCTCGTCGTCCTCGCCGTCGCTCGCCGCCGCCCAGGCCTCGCCGAGCAGCTCGGCGACGCGCCGGTCCGCCGCCGCGGCCACCGCCGGCGACGCGTCGACGGCCCGCGGCGCCTCCGCCACCCCCGGCACCGTCGTCTCGCGCGCGCCCAGCGCGTGCAAGCGCCTTTCTAGAGCCAGCAGGTCGCCCACACACAACGTGCCCGGCGGCGGCTCGGCCTTGGACGTCGCGCGCTCCCGCGGCGCGTCGACGGGTTCCGGCGCCGCCGGCCGCCGCAGCTCGGCGGCCCGCGCCGCGTGGCCCTCGCCAATCGCCAGCAGCGCCGTCCGCGGCGGGCCCTCAACACGCTTCGCGGCGCGCACGTACGCTCGCGCCGCGCGCTCGTGGAGCGGGATCGCGTCCGCCGGGTCGCGCGCGGCCGCGGCCTCGGCGGCGGCGTCGGCCGCGGCGCGCGCGAGCGAGGCGACGGTGCTCGTCGGGTCCTCCGAGATTTCGGCCATTTGCGCTCGCACGGCCTCACGAATAAGCGGCTCCGAAAGAGCTGCGGAGCTGTGCTGGCGCAGCAGGGGCTTCCGGGCGCGCAAGAACGAGACCGGCGCGAAAAGAGGTGATCAGAGAGGGCTGACGACCACGCGTACGGCGTCAGCGAAACACTCGCGGCGTAAAAGGTCTCGTAAATTGCAAAAGGAGCCCATGCCTAGTACATCTTAGCTAGCTCACTTTTTTTTGCCCAACAAAAAAAAAGGTGGGGACCTGGGTGCTTTTTGGAAGCTCACAGTAGCGCATCTCTCTCACTAAAAACCCAACGATGACGCAGTAACCGATTCGTCATGTACCTCCGCACCGCACGCGCGCTGGGCCGCCTCCAGCAGCCCTGCCGGCTCCGCTTCGTCGCGAGCCGCAGCGACGACGACGGCGTCAAGAACACGACGCCCTCGAAGCGGTCCGAAGACTTGGTGCGCTACGCCCTGGCGGGCAATCTGGCCATTGCCGGCGCGAAGGGCGCCGTCGCGTTGACGACGGGATCGGCCGCTATGCTGGCCGAGACCGTTCACAGCTGCGCCGACGCGGGCAACCAGGCGTTGTTGTTGATCGGGCTCCACGCGGCGGCCTTGGCGCCGTCGGCGTCGCACCCCTATGGCTACGGGAAGAGCGTCTACCTGTGGTCGCTGGTCTCGGCGCTCGGCACGTTCTGGTTGGGGGCCGGCGTGGCGCTCCACGCGTCGGTGACGGAGTTGATGGGCCCGTCCATGGACTTGGAGGCGTTGACGCGGCCGGAGGCGTGGGGCGTGCTCGCGGTGTCCTTAGCTATTGATGGGACGGTCCTGCGCAAGTCCGTCCAGCACGTGCTGGAAGACAAGCCCGGCAACGTGTCCTTTTTGGCGCATTTGAAGCGCGTCCGGGACCCGACGCTGCTCGCTGTTTTATGTGAGGACGCGGCGGCGTGCGCGGGCGTCGTCGTCGTCGCCGGCGGCATGGGCGCGTCGTTATTGTACGCGACGCCGGTGTACGACTGCGTGGCGGGCATCGCGGTTGGCGGGTTGCTGGGCGGCGTCGGCGGCGTCCTGGCCATGCTGAATGGGAGATATTTGATCGGCGCCGCCGTCGAGCAGAATGTGTTAGATGACGTCGAACAATTGTTGCGAAGAAGACCGAGTGTGGATGATGTCCACGCGGTGCGGTCGCAGCGGCTGGCGCCCGACGCCTTCGCGTACAAGTGCGAGGTCGACTTTGATGGGACCTGGGTCGCGGCGCAATTGTACGACAAGTACGCGCCGCGCTTTAAATTGCCGTCCAAGAAACGGCGCGAGGCCGAGGCGATCCAGCAAACCGAGGTACCCACTTTGCTGTCGTACTTTGCGGAAGACGTCGTAAGGGTTATTGAGAGAGAAGTCCGCGACATCGAGCGAGCGATACGAGCGAGGCACCCCGACGCGTTATTTATCGAGATCGAACCGGACGCGCAGCGGCGGACGGGGTCGTCGCGATTCCGCTTCGCGCTCGACGAGGGCCTCGCCGACGAGTCGAAACGAAGCGCCGAGCAGCGGCTGCTCGATTCGTACCTGTCGGAGCGGAAGGGCGTGGCCGAGGCGCTACCCGTCAACTTCGCGATTCGGGACGGCCGCGTCGTGCGCGAGCGGCGGAAAGCAGCTGCTCCCGTATCTAGCAAAGCGCGGCTCGCGGGCGTCGCCGAGGACGAGTCCTGGAGCTACCGCAAGGACGGACTAACATAGTGTTTTATCTACTTTTTGTCTTGGTCGCGTCGCGGTGATGGCGTACGGTGGTGCTCGGAATCATCGACGGAAGAGGGGTCTAGTCTTACACGCCATCCCCCCCAGGAGCTCCGCCCACTAGTCCTAGCACCCGGGCCGTCACGGTAACAAAAATGCGCCATCGACGATACTTAGACGTCCACCGCCGGCGTCGCCCCCCGCGGGTCGCCTCTAGAGGTCGGCGAAAACCCAAGCTTCATGTCCTCGAGGCCCGCCGTCCGCGCCGCGTTTATGGTGGCGGCGAGCTGCCTAGTTGGGGGCAAGGCCGGCGCCCGCCGCAACACATCGTCGGAGGGAATGGCGTCGCGAGCGTACGACAGCATCGCATCGGACCCCATCTCCTTCAGGCGCGTTATGTTGTTCACGTGTTCAGCCGTTTCCCAGGAACGTAACAATTCCTCGGTCGTCGCCGCCTTCCGTTGCTGCCGTTCTATCGCAGCCAACTGCTGCTCCCTCGCAACGTGGTCCAGGAACCTTCTTTCCTCTTCCAGAGACTTCTCCCTCTCTTCCTTGGCCAAATCAGCCCGCAAATTCACGTGGTCGAGTTGATACGTGAGCAATTCCTTCTGGGTGCACGTCGTCTCCCGGCCTCGCGTCGGGAAGCCCGTGATGGAGTGCTGCTTGAGAGGACAGGTCAAAGCAGGTCGGAACTCCATGCCCAAGGCCTCGGCCGCACTCCGATCGACGTTCTCGCCGCGCTTCGTCCTCTCGACCAGCTGATCGATGACCTCACAATCAATGGCTTCTTGTTGAGCCTCGGCCTCTAAGGCAGCTTTCTGGGCCGCGATCTGCTCCTTCAGGTGTCGTTGCATCGTTAAATTGGCTTCTCTCCAGTGCACTTTTTTCACCGCGTCGGCCTTGAAGCCCTCGGCCAACAATTTCTGGAATTTCACTTGTTCCTTTTGTAATTTGTCGGCGTCCTTTTCGATGGTCGCTAGATGTCTTGCATATTGATCTTGCTCTACACTGCTATCGCATCGTAGCAATCTAGTAGCAGCCTGAGACAGTTTGGAGGCTTCCGGCCTCGCAGGAGTTCTATCCCGGTCAACCTTAACTCTGGGGTCCTTCGTTAAAACTTTGGGCGGCATCATGGCCAGGAACGCTTCGGTACCATCCCTCGCTAACAATGCATTGGTCGTCGCTAATTCGGAAGCGGTCGGCTCCGTCTCATCAACGACAGGTGTTTGAGTCGCTTCGACGACCGGTTGGGGTTCCTCCTCCTCTTCGGAAACGGGTGCTGATTGTGGCACAACTTGTTCTTCCTCGCGTCTCAGCTTACTAGCGTCAAAAAGGAAGCGCGGCTTCCCCCGATCACTCACCAGTTGGCCGACGCCAAAATCTAGAGTTAAGGAATAACCGGACGCGATGCGGTCGCCGATCTTCCTTTGTAAATCCCGCAACGCGCTCCAGACCATATCTTTTGTGAGTCGCGACGTGTGTCTCAGCGCGAGTATGGAGTAGTTCAAATCCGCACATTCGACCAATTTATCCTCGGCGATGGGCCGCCAGGGCAGTAGGTGGGCCTTGCAGAAGTCTTCAGAAAATTGGAAGACCGGTCGCAGCGGGATCAACTCATCGGGTCGATCTTGCAAGTCCGACGGTTTATAATCCCCCAGAACTTGCCACGTGAACCGCCCGAAGCCCGGGATGGACGCGCCTCTCTTGGCCAGGAGCTTGGCCCGCAGCCAGACGCGCAGCGCCTCCCACGATTCTCTTAGTTTTTTTGCTTCGATGGCATGACTCAAAGGCTCGGCGCCCCGTTTCCTTGTGGCGGCCTTCAGGCGCTCGCCCACGACCTCCGTCACCAAATCCTCGGCCCAGTCGATTTGCGCTGAGGCCATGGTGGCGCTGTGTGCTCCGGGGCTCGGGCAGCCCCTGGCTCGCCCCGGCTGTGCTCGCGGTCGCGGCGCTACGTCTAAAGCGACACGGGTGCCTCCTGCTGGCTCCTTTGATGCGCGTCGCAGGCTTTCGCGTCTCGCGAGGAGAGCAGCGTTATTCCTAGTATCTGCTAGTAGGACAACCCGCACCGACGGCGCCGCGCTTTCGTTGTGCTCGGACCGAGTCCTCGCCGCGCGCGGGGAGCCCTCGGCGAGGCGTCGAGACAGGTGCCGCCATGTGATGACAACAAGCGGAGAGCAGCCCCACAATAATTGGCGCGACGGCCGCCGGGCAGCCACGCACCATGCGCGGGCTGGCCACGCTCCTCGCGGCGACGGCCGCCGCCCAGCGGTATGAAGTATTGGAGGGCGTGGAACTCGTCTGGGCTGCGCCAGCCACCACCCCAAAGGGTTTAGTCGCATTGTTTCACGCGACGGGCCGCCGCGCGCACCACTGGTGGCCCGCATCCACAAAATGTCCATCTTGTAAAGCGCTGCCCGCCGAAGCGAGTCTAGCCCGGGCCTGCCTTAAGCATGGACTAGCTGCGGCCTCGCTCACCGCACACTCAACAACATGGAGTCAAGACGACGGCCCGCGCGCTGCCCACGCCCTCGTGGCGCTTTCTACGAGAGAAGGCTGGAAGGTGCCGTTGTACGCCATCGGTATCGGTGAAGGCGCGTCGTTCGTCGCCACGAGTCTCCCGCGGGCGCTGCCTCCGTCGCTACCGCTCAAGGGCGTGCACGTCCAGCTTTTAGGGGATGTGCCCGCCACTCGAAGACCGGCGGCGAAACGCGTCGCTGTCTTGTCCATGCCGCGCGACGCGCCGACGCAGCGGCGCGTCGAAGGTGCGATCCGGACGTGGCGACGCGCGGGTGCTGAAGTACTGGAACAAAGAGCAGCACCTTTGGCGTTGGACGATACGTACTTCTCCAGGACTTTAAATGGAGTCTCGCCGCAGGAGTCGCGGCAGCTCGTTAGATTACTTAGGGTGGCAGGATATGTGTCGGGCGGCGGGTTTTTGCTGGCGGACCCGGCGACGTCGGCCTGGCGCGGCGTCGTGGCCGCGCCGCTTGGGAGGCGCGGGGCTGCCGAGCTCGGGACGCTGCGCGTCGTCGCGCGGGACGACCTCTCTTCCCGCAGTTCGGCGCTGGGCGCGGCGCTCGCGCGGGCGTACGGGCGGAGCGAGGCGAGCGCCGAGGACGCCGACGCTGCTTTGGCGTTCCTGCTGAAGGAGTAACTTAGTGTGTGTTGTGCTTTTCTTTGCTAGAGCTAGTAGGCCGCGGGTTCTGCGCGACATCTTGCGCGACCGGTATTTCCCTCGACCGGTGCACGTCACGGTGCTTTCGAGTTCGAGACGATGGCGTGGGCTACGCGGCCGGCCCGGGGTATTTAATCACATACTTAGTCCGTCGCCACGCCCGCGTCGAGCTTCGCCCGGATCTCCTCCGGCCCGAGCGAGTAGGTCCTAGCGCAGAACTCGCACTTCGCTTCTATTTTCTCGTTCGAGTCTAGAATCTCGTCGACCTCGTGCCGCGGCAACAAGGCTAATGTGCGATACACGCGAGAAATGTCGCACGTGCACTTGAACTGCGGTCTCCGCACGTCGAACGCATAATCAGCGTCCATGCCATCTAACAAAACCCTCAAGATCGCCTCGCACGTGTTGCCCTCCTTCAACAGCGACGTAGACGACGTCGTGGCAGCCTTCTTGATGTTCTCGATCAAATGGTCGGCGACGTCCTGCGGCGCGCCCGGCAGCAGCTCCACGCGCCAGCCCGCACACGCGTCGACGGCACCGTTCTCGTCGAGAGACACACCGGCCGAGAGGGCACCTTCCCGCTGTTCGGACGTCGCCACGTAGTGGTTGATGTCCTCGGCGATTTCGCCCGTTTTTATTTCTACGACAGACGAGTAGGTCGTCGCTTGCGTCTCGCCGGGCAAGTTTTTTAGTCGGACGACCTGCAATTCGCCTCGACCCACGCCCGCAGCGACGCCTTGTGGGGAGAGATCAACTCTAGGATTGCCCACGTACGCCCTCGACTCCAAGGCGCCGTTCGAGACGCTGAACACGCCCCGCAAGGGTCCGTCGCCGGCAAAACGCACTTGAAACGTCTCCTCGGCCTCCAAGCCGTCAGCCACCAGCGTCGTCGACGCGACGGCCCGCCCCAAGGCAGTAGCTGCCAACGGCAGGCAGTCCTGCAGCTGACAGATCTCGCGCACCGCTCTCGTGACGTCGACGGCCTTCGCGCTCACGAAGCCGTCCGCCGACAGCGCTCGTCGTAGCTCGTCCTTGCCGGGCAGCGACATCATGCGCGCCTCGAAGGTGTCCTTCAGGGCACGTCGCGGCGCGAGGCGTCTTGATGACCTTGCGTGTTGCTGCTGCGGCATGCCGGCGGCGTTGTTGCTGCGCTGCCAGCCTGCGGCGCTGCCCGCGGCGAGAAGCAGCAGTAGTGCTCGCATTGCTGTCTCGGTATGCGTGCGACGCAACGAGTCCTGCTGTCTTGTACTTGCAGCGGTGGCGTGCGTGACGCCGGAGACGAGTCCCGCGTGGTCAGCGGTGCCGCGTTGCGGCAGTGCCAGCACCTTCAAACTGCTCTGCGTGTCGCTGCAGGCAGGCGCTCTCCGAGTCTAATCGCTGCGTCTAGGACAAAAGTGATCACAAAAAAGCGACGCCAGGCGTGACACGATCGGCAGAAACGCGTAGAAGCAACGCTGCAAGCGTCGGCGACCGCGCGTCCACAACCTGCCAGTGAGCAGCAGACCCAGCCAGTGCACGGCAGCGGTGTCCGGCGTGCTCGCACGCCGTCGCTACGGCGCTAACGACACGCGCAGCAAAATCCAGTACGCACCACCGACGTATCCGAGCCATGCGCAAAGCGCTCGCCGCGCTCGTCGCCGTCGCCCGCGCCGCGCTCGACCCGCTCTTACCGGCGGCGAGCCCCTGGACGCTGTCGACAAGACGACGGTGGACGCTCTCGAGGGCGACGCGGCGCCTCGTCTTCGAGGAGAATGGATGTTGCTGGTTCGACGACGACCAGAACGAAGAGGGCACCTGGGAAGTGAGGGGCGACGCCGTGTCGTTCACGACGGAATGCGCCCAGAACGTGACGAGGCACTACCACTGCCTGCTACACCGGAACCACGGGCTGGACGGAACTTCCGGCCGGCCGCGCCTCGTCCGCGGCGTCACGGCGCGCGACCGCGCGGGCAGGGCGCGGCTCTTCCGGCCCGTTATCGGCGCGTTCTCGGCCGACGCCGACGACTACGACCGGCGCGGCGAGGCGTATGAGGAAGACGACAAGGCTTTGCTCGACGCCGACGGGGCGCCGCCGCGGTGAGTGGCGATGTTGTGTAATTCGTGTTCGTGTGCCTTCCGACAAGTCTTTTCCGTTGAAGGATCCGGAAACAACTCTGGGTAAATAAAAACGGGTTTTACAGAGCTTCTATTTGGAAGTCTCTGAGACGGGCGATACACGCACATCAGTGGTGTCGAAACAATAAAGCCGGCACTTGGCTTGTCCTCATTTCAGATCCGCAATTTCTAACTGTGAAGAAGTCCTGAGCAGTGTTGCCAAGGAGCTTTAGTTCAGACCACACACTGTAAGAGAGTAGTTGAGCGGGCACGCACGCCCCAATAGGCAATGTTCCAGGCCGCGCTGAGACCGCAAGCTCTCAAGTGCTCCGTCGCCAGGACCTTACAGGCGTCCGAAGAAGCGCGCGTGACGGCGGCCGCGAAACTCTTTCCCGGCATAAAACGCCTTTCGGAGCGCGTCCTCGTCCAGGGTTTGGGAAGCCGCGTCTGGGATGCGGACGGCAACGAACTCATCGACTTTGCGTCCGGGATAGGCGTGACGAGCACGGGCCACTGCCACCCCAAAGTCGTCGAGGCCGTCCGAGAGCAGGCCGGCCTCGCGTCGCATTTACAAATGAGCGTGACGCACCATGATCGAGCGCTGCAGTTGATCGAGCGGTTGGAGCCCTACGCGCTCGGTCTGGACCGGTTTTTCTTCGCCACATCAGGAGCGGAGGCCGTCGAAGGGGCGCTCCGGTTGGCGCGCCAGGCGACGGGCCGCGCCGGTGTCGTAGCGTTTCGCGGTGGCTATCACGGCCGCACCGCCGGCACGCTCGCGATCACTACTTCTGGAATCGGGTACAGGGGAGGCAACGCCGGACCGCTGCCGTACGGCGCGTTTTTTGCCCCGTATCCCGGTCTCGGCGGCGACAAGGCCTACTGCCGCGAGCAGCTCGACCTCCTCGTGAAGCAGCAGGTCGCCCCGTCGGAGTTGGCCGCCGTGATCCTCGAGCCCGTCCTCGGCGAGGGCGGCTTCGTCCCGGCGCCGCATAGCTTCCTAAAACATCTGCGCGAGTGGTGCGACGCGCACGGCGCTTTGCTGATCGCCGACGAGGTCCAGAGCGGCGCCGGGCGCACGGGCGCGTTCTACGCTTGTGAAGCGGCGGGCGTGCAGCCGGACATTCTGACGACGGCGAAGGGCCTCGCGTCCGGTTATCCTCTGAGTGCGGTGATCTCGAAGGCCGAAATTGCGGACAAGCAGCCGCCGGGCTGCATGGGCGGGACGTATGGAGGCAACGCCGTCGCGTGCGCCGCGGCCATCGCGACGCTCGACGTATTTGAAGAAGAGGGCGTCCTCGATAACGTGCGGAACCGGCGTGCACGCGTCTGCTCGATGGCGTGGCGGCTCACGGAGGTCTCTCCACACAGGTCCGGAAGCAGGGCGCGCGCGCCACTTCCACTCTAAACACGCTCAAGGCAGAGTGTCCCGCGGTGGTAGACGTCCGCGGCCCGGGCTTGATGTTAGGAGTCGAGTTCGACAAGTCGCTCACGGGCTTCGCCGGCGAGGTGTCGCGCGAGTGCGAGGCGAACGGGCTCCTCGCGCTGACGGCCGGTGTGCACGAGGCCTGTCGATTGATCCCGCCGTTGATCGTGAATGATGAGGATCTGGATGAAGGCCTTGCTATCTTCGCCGACGCCGTCAAAACAATTGCGGACCGGCACGGCGTGGCCGGCAGCGGCGACCCGAAGCCGCACACGACGGGCCGGCCCGCGGTGCTCCGCGGCCTCACGACCGGCTCGAGCTTCGACGGCGCGTAACGGAGGCGTGCCGCCGCGAAGGCGCCGAGTGCATTTGAGCCGCTTACTAAGTACCCTGTATTGATCTATCGCGGTCTCCATGGGCTGCGACGGTGATCGAGTAAAACCCGTGACCAGGAATCGATCGAGCGCGTGCGCTCGTCGTCCAGCGTACTATCGCGCACAAATCAACGTAGCGGTTGTTTGAGCAACTCTCACAGTGCTACTGACCATTGCTTTCACTCCTGCGCTGTGACCGCGCCCAGCAAGCGCGCTCACAGCATTAGCCAAAGCACACCCAATTTGAGCGCAGCGATCGACGCGACCAAAGCACGAGCCATGGACACGACAGAACTCGACGCCGCCTGGGCCGCCCTCAGCCAGCCCTGTGGTCTACCGCCATCTTTACAAGAAGCAGCAAAAAGGGCCCGCGGCCAGCGCTTCGGCGTCGCGGCCGCGGCCTTCGCGCGGGCCACGGCCGTCGCCGAACCCCTGCGACTAAGCGACGTCCGTAACTTACCATCAGTAAGTGAAATCGCGGCGAAGGCGCCCAAGAAGCCGGCGCCGGCGCCGCTGCCGGGAGGCTCATCGCTGGCTGCTCTTATGGGGACTACGAAAGAGGAGGAACCACCGAAACGCCGGAGTTTTGGAGACGTGCCCGATCGGAGAAGACAACCGCCGCAACGGGCTAGACCGCGCGCGCCGAGGTACGGCCCGCCCCAATACAGTGACGAAGAAGACGAGCCGCCGCCGCCGTCGCGAGGCGGGTTCCGCGCGGCCGGTGGCGGACAAAGACGCGGCTTCCGCGTGCCTAGAGCGAGATCCGCCTCGCCCCAGCCCGGCGGTCAACAGCAACAAAAGAAGCAGAAGAAGCAGGAGGAAAAAAAAGAAGAAGAGGACGAATTGCCAGAAAGATTAAAAGGCTGCGACAAGGAGCTCGTCAAGCGCATCGAACAGGAGGTCATCGACAGCGGCTCGCCCGTGACCTTCGAAGACGTCGCCGGTTTGGCAGATGCCAAAAGATCGATCCAGGAGATGGTGATTTGGCCGATGCAGCGGCCGGAATTGTTTACGGGGCTCCGAGCCGTGCCCAAGGGCATGCTTTTATTTGGACCGCCCGGGACTGGAAAAACTTTAATTGGGAGAGCCATCGCGTCGTCGTCGGGCGCCACGTTCTTCTCGATCAGTGCCTCGTCATTGATGTCGAAGTGGATCGGCGAGTCCGAGAAGTTGGTGCGGACGATGTTCGCGGTCGCCGGCTACAAGGAGCCCTCCGTGGTCTTCATCGACGAGGTCGATTCATTACTCAGTCAGCGCAATTCGAACGAGAACGAGGCTTCCCGTAGACTGAAGACGGAGTTCCTGGTGCAGCTGGAAGGCGTCGGGTCGGGAGATGCGTCGAACAAGGAAAGGGTATTAGTCGTCGGCGCCACCAACCGCCCGCAGGAGCTCGATGAGGCCGCGAGGCGCCGCTTCGTCAAAAGGTTCTACGTACCATTACCGGACGACGACGCGAGGACGACGCTACTCAAAACGTTACTCGCGAAGAACCGCCACTGTTTGACGGAAGCGGATATTGAAGGGTACCTCGTCCCGAAGACCGACGGGTTTTCCGGGGCGGACATGCGGAATCTGTGCCAGGAGGCGGCCATGGGGCCCATGCGCGATGTTGGTAGCAAGTTGTTCGCGGCCGGTGGTAGTATAGACGAGTCGCAGATCCCGCCCATTTCCCTCAAACACTTCGACGCCGCTTTGGCCGTGACAGCTGCCACCGTGGCCCAGTCCGACTTGGAGCAGTACGAGGCCTGGAACGCGACGTTCGGATCAGCTAGGCCGGCGTAAAGTTGTGTGATTGACATCGCGTCGATAGCGTACTCTCGTGTTAAACATTAAACATCCTACAATTCGGCCGGCACGTCGCTCGTGAGGTCGAGGAAGTCCGACAATAAAGGTGCGGTCGCCTCGTAGGCTTTGATGACCGTCGCCCGGTCCTTGGCCTGGGCGGGCCGGTCGGCGTCTTTCACACCTTTCTGGAAGTCCTTCGCGAGCTTCTTCGCGGCGTCCTGCTTGTCCTTGGCGAGGCCTGTGTGAGATGCGGTCGACCGCGCGCCAGCGACGACGAACGACCCGCGATACATATAAACGCCCCTCGGATGGTTGATTCAAAGTTTGGGTTCTCGTCAGCTTCACGTGGTCGGGGTGTCACGCCCTCGCACTCGGTTGCCAGTAGTGGATGTCGTCCTTGGGAGATATGTCTGGAAGTAACTACGCTGGAACGCACCCTTGGCCATGTATAACATATCATCTCCGGCATCATACACACGTCGCAACAACAGGGGCACGCCCTCCCACTCCTTGTCGTCGATGTCCGTCTTCTTCAGCCGTTCTCCGAAGCGCGTCCACTCACCCTTCAGGCCCTGGAACTCGTTGAACTGCCGCGCGCCGTCGGGCAGCGCGAGGCCGTCCTCCAGTTTGCTGCCGGCCGATGCCGTCGCCGGGCTGAGGACGAGCGCCGCGGAACCGGTCGCGGTGGTCGTCAGCAGCGCTCGCCGGCTTACGTGCGCCGCGGGGCCGGTTGCAGGGGTAGTCAGCAGCGCTCTCCGGCTTTGTTGCAGTGGCGCGAGGGCATGTGCGCTGCCGCAGGCGGCTGCAATCAGCAACAGGGGTCGCGGCATCATATTCTAGCGGCCCGGATGCTCTGAATGGCTCACAGTCGACTGCTGCGATGCGATTGCTGGAGCTCGCTAGTGCCTTACAGACCGCTAGATAATCACAAGAGCAAGGTAAAGCACCGCAAGCGCGCTAAAAAACACACGGCGTACCGTAAGAACAGGGCGCAGCACATATTCTGAAGCTGCGCCGTCGGTCCAGCCCGGCCCGACGCGGCCGCACCCCGCACAGAGCTCGGGAGACCACAGGTGCCAATAACGCAGAAGAACGCCACAGGCGTGCCGAGACAAACCTAGAACAATGGAGCGCCTCAACGTCGACTCGCCCCTCGACCGCGCTAGGACACAAACGGAAGACCCGCGCGCCAAGACGCGGAGCAATTTGCTGCCGGTCGCGTGCGCGAACGGCTCGTTAACGCCGTCAAGGCTCGCGAGCCGCGCGACCGAACGCGTGAACTGCCGCAATAATGGGAGGAGCGACCAGAATCCATTCTTAAGAGAGCAGGAGCGGACGCGCTGCGCGAACCGAGGGTGGCTCGCGCGACGCACGGCCGAGTCGAATCCTTTTAGGGAGACGGAGCGGACGCGCTGCGGCGGGCGCGCGCGGCCGCCGCCGCCGCCGCCTTCACGAAGACCGGAGCGGACGAAGTGCTTCGCCCGCGGGGCACCGCAAGCGCCGTCCAGGCCTACTGAAAAAACGAGATGTGGCGGCGGCAAGGCCGTCACCACGGGCGGTTCGATTGTGGACTGCGGCTTCTCCCTGAGTTCGGAAGCGACGCAGCGGCCCGACGTCGCTCCCTTATTCATAGACGCGGTCGAAACTTCAGGATATCCCGGAGCCGTGGAAAGGAAATCATTTGCCTTAGATGGTGGAAGTGGCACGCATCTCCAAGCACCCAGTCACTACGTGGTCGGCGGTAGAAGCATAGATAGGTTCTCGATTGAGGAACTAGTGGACGTACCACTAGTTGTCATCGACTGTGGCGCGCCGTACGTCGATGCTGATTTCGTACTGACACCGGAAGATATTGAACAGGACGAGCGGCGCCACGCCCCCATACCTAGAGGCAGTTTGGTTGCAATAAGGACGGGCTGGGCCGCCAGGCACTACGCGAACCGAGACGCGTACTACAACGTGACTGATTGGACAGATATTGATGAGAGCACGGGTCTCGCTCGTCTGCACTTCCCGGGCGTCGCCGAGGGCGCGGCTAGACTCCTGAGGGACCGGGGCGTTGTTGGTGTGGTTATCGATACGATGGCGCTCGACGGCCCTGGTGTGTCTGGGGCTTTGCGGGAACTGCTCCAGAGGGACGCCTACGTCGTGGCGAACGCGAACCTCAAGGAGGAGCTGCCCGCGCGCGGCGCGCGCATGACCGTCGCGCCTCTGCTCGTGGCGGGCGCGCCGGAGGCGCCGTGCCGGCTTTACGCGCGTGTGCCCTGACGCCTCCTGTGCCTAACTTGAAAGTGCCTATAGCGCGCGCCGCTGGCGTACCGGGGTCTGCCACCGTGTCTATGGGATATTCTCGGGATAACTTATGCCGGCGGGGAACAGGCCGGCTCGAGATGGTGGGGGAAGCGCCGCGCGGCCGGGGGTTTTTCTGTCTCCGGCGAGGCGGGGTGCCAAGTGCTCTACGCGCGCGCGGCGACGTACTTGAGGCCCAGGGCCGTGCCGACCGTCCAGGCGAGCGCCTCGGCGGCGGCCTTGTCGGCACCACCGCGAGCCAAAGCAAGGACGTCGGGCGTCGTCGAGAGGAGCAAGCAGGCGGACCTGAGTGGAAATCAACCAGTGAGTGTCGTTTCTCGGCGACAAGGCGGTTGTGATGACTGAATCGAGGGGGTTACGATCCACACCTCAGAAGCGCCGCGAAATTTGATTTCCACACAGGACTGACGTCGCGGCCGTGATGGTCGCAATCGTGCCCGAGAGCGTGGAGCCGTGCGAGCCCTCGAAGGGCAGGATCGTGCGGTGTTTCCAGTTCTTGACGGGGTCCAAGACGTACTTCTGGATCGGGCCCGTGGCGGTGGCCCACGGACCGTCCGCCGGCGCGAGGTACTGGCCGACGATCGGAACGGCTTTCGAGAGCTTGGGAATCGTGAGGTAGTTCTTGAAGTAGTCGCGAACCGACCTGTGCGCAAATCAACCAATGAGAGACCACATCTCGATGGCGTGGCGACGCGTCGATGGCGTGGAGACGCGCCGCGACAATTGATTCCCACGCAGGCACGGACTCGGCCGTGGCCAGGAAGAGGTTGACGGCCGTCATGCAGACGTAGACGACGAAGACGATGGAGCCGATGGTGGAGGCGAGCGAGGCGAGCTCGTCGAGCGTCGCGGCGTCGCCCGACATCGCCTTGCGGATCGTGCCCTCGTTCGGGTCGATGACCGAGACCCAGGTGTCGATGATGCCGCAGACGACGTCGGAGACCATCTGCGGGCCGCCCTTGAGCCAGCCCGCGCCCGTGGTGGCGGTCTCGATGCCCTTGTTCACCATCTCCTTGACGGGGTCGATGAGGAACCTGCGTGTTTGGGGTTGCGGTCGCGGCGGGCGCGCCGGGGCGTGGCCGGGGCGGGCGGCGGGCGCGGTCGCGGCGCGCGGCGGTCGCGGTTGCGGCGCCACACGCGCGCGGCGCAACCAAGGGCGGGCGCCGCGCCGCCGATCGACGCGGCGGGGCCCGGGCGGCCGCGGGGGCTTGATGGAAGCGCTCCGCGGCTGCCCCCCCAGCGCGCGGCGCGCGCGACCGCCGAGGCGCGCCGGCAGCCGAATGTTAATTTTGGACGCGGGCACGCACGCGACCGGCGACTCGGCAGGCTCCTCTACGGCCTGCTTGGCGGCATGAGCGGCGGTGGCGAGGAGAACGGCGGCCTTCATGGTGCTGATTTGCTGCAGATCACACGCAGAGCAACAGTGCAAGCTCTTCACTAGTGCTCGGATCGGGGGGGCTCCGCGCGTCGTGGAGCGCTTCCCGGGAGCGCGCGGAGGGATCTCTCCGCCGGGACCGTTGGGCTTCCCTCAGGCTCCCAAGCTGCACATCCGCACTCGCGCGCGCGCCGCCGTCGACTCCCCTGAGCCTTCCCTGAGCCTGGGGGATCCCTTCTTCGGGTTTCATAACCAGTCGATGTCCCCGAGGCCTCCCGCCGGGGGACGCGCCGCCAGGAGAACTCGGAAACACGACACAGGTCTTACCACACAACTAGGACGACGAAACGACGAAGGGCCGGTCGCGCCCCAGGCTGCCGTATTTCGGCCGCTCCGACGCCATCGCCGCGTTCACTCGCTTGGACGAGAGGCAGCCCGTCCCGTGGGCGTCGAAGGTGCCCATCATCAAAGATGAGGAGGGGTGCCGCGCGACGTAGTCGCGCAGCGCGACCGTCAAAGCGAAAGGACCGGTCAGCCAGATGGTCCGTAACCACGTCCAACTATGATTCTTGGCGAGGTCACGCTTCGAGGGCGTATATTCTTGCAGACAGGAGGCCTCTCGGGCACTTTTCATTTCTCGCAACGACGATACGACGCGGTCGATGGCCGCTTTCAAAGGTAAAGACCCCGGCGCCGCCCCCAAAATGTTCTGCGCTATACAACGCCGGCGGAAGAAGCTTTTTGACATAAGTAGTCGCGACACGTTCGCGTCGAACGCGTGTGGTGCCACACATCCCAGTGACCGAGGCACGGCCTTCGGCAGTGCGGAACGCTCGTAGGCGAAGGCCAGCTCGTCCTTTGCCGAATGTAAGTCCTGGAGAGGTGTCCTACAGCCAACGTCCAAATCCACGTACCATCCCCCGAACTTCCACAAGACACAGTACCTCCATAAATCCGCGCGCGCGGCCCCGTTCTCCGGATCTATCGAGAAGTAGGCCTCCGCCACTTCTCCAGTGAAATTCGTGCGCATGAAGGCGGCTTGCGCTTGGTCGTCGACGAAATGGTACTGATGAGACGGGTTCCTTGCTTTCAGTAATCGCACCTGGCGTCCCAGCGGCGTCGCCGGGTCGGGCCGACTGCGCCAGGTCTGCCAGATGACGGGCGGGATGCGCCTTTCCCGGAGGTCGTCAGTGCCGCGGCGCGTCCTCTCTTCGAAGTGGCTCCTTTCTATTCTTCTGTTTTCTGTGAGCACGAAGGTAATAGCCAGAGCGGCTAGAAGGGAGAGCACGAGCGGGAGGCGCCTCGCGTCGTCGCGGCGCCTTGCTGGTGGTGCTGTGGGCTGCTCCAAGGGCCTGCTTCGCGCGGGGCGTGGGAGGCTGCCCTCCATGGGTAGCCCTTTTTTACGGCACACGTTGCATCGTTTTCATGGCGTGCAGGCTGCGTTTGACAGCGTTTGACATCATGCAATGAGCAGCAATGCTTCACTTTTTGGCTCAGGTCGGGTTTTGGTGGAGCTCGTCCAGACGTCCGGCCGGGCCCGCCTATAGTTAGTTCGGCGTGGGAGGCCATTCTTTGGTGTAATTTGACCGCGGCGGAGGCTGATCTCCTTGGCCGCTTTCATCTCGCAAAGGCCGCGCTCTCGACCGCAGCGCAGCCCATAGAGCGCCGCGCTGAACGTGAACAGCCGCGTCAACAATCTTCATAACAGACTTGCTGCGGCAGAGCAGTCTCAGACCGCGCGGTTCGCGGGAAGGCGTCAAACAACGGCTTCCGATTGTCAGCTTTGAAATCGCGCCGCCGCGCGCGGCGCCGCGCGGCGCCGTGGCCCCGGCCCCAGCGCCACAGCGCCGCCGCCGCCGCGCGCACAGCCGCCACCCGCCCGCCGCCGCCCCGCCCGCCGCCGCGCCGCCGCGGCCCGCCCGCCGCGCGCCCAGGACGCGCCTCACCGTAAGCCGCCGCCGCAGGCCCGCAAGGACTAACGCAACCATGGGCTGGAAGAACGAGCTCTTCCCGCACCTGCCCGACGACCCGAACCCGCGCGTCTTCCTCGACCTCGCCGTCGGCCCGACGCCCGTCGGCCGCGTCGTCATCATCCTCAAGGCCGACAAGGCGCCGAAGACCTGCGAGAACTTTCGGTGTCTGTGCACGGGCGAGAAGGGCGTCGACTCGAAGGGACGGAAGCTCCACTTCAAGGGCTCGTCGTTCCATAGGGTCGTGCCCGACTTTTTGCTCCAGGGCGGGGATGTGGTGCACCCGGACGCGCTCGACCCGATGAACGGCGCGGGCCAGACGTCCATCTACCAGTCCGAAGAGAACCCCGACGGGTTTTTTGATTGCGAGTACAACTCGCTCAGACACGCGGGCCCGGGCGTCATCTCGATGGCGAACCAGGGCCCGAACACGAACGGGAGCCAGTTCATGATCGAGCTCAGGGCGCACCCCTTCTTCGACCACCTGCACACGGTCTTTGGCGTGTTGTACGAGGGCCTGCCCGTTCTGAGAGTTGTCGAAAGATACGGCACGCCGATGAACGGCTCCGAGGAGGGCGGCGCGCCCACCGAACCCGTGCGCATCATCAACTCCGGCCAGCTCTTCCCGCCGGGCGAGGGCCCGCCGGACCCGCCGGAGCCGCCCGAGGCGGCCGCGGCGAAGCGCAAGCGCCAGCAGGACCGGGCGAACTACGATTCGCGGAACCCGCCGATCCTCCACTCCGTCGATATCAATCGCGCGAAATTGATGCCGAACGCGTCGTCGGAGTACGTCGCTTCTCTCTTATATCAGCCGCCCGAGGCCGTCGAGGGGATGATGGCGCGGAAGCAGACGACGGATTCCGACGACGAGAGAGCGGTGGATAAATTACTGGCGTCGTGGCCCGTGGGCACGCTGGCCACCGACGAAGAGCGCGCGAAGATGGGCATGGAGCCCATGGATCCTGAGGAAAGGGCGAAGCGCCAGGCCGAGATCGATGAAGACCCCGTGATCCAGGGCGAGATCGCGCGCCTCGAGGGCGAGGGCCTGCAGGTGAGCGGCCGGCCGCCGCCGCCCAAAGTGCCGAAGCGCAAGAAGAAGAAGCAGAAGAAGCAGAAGAAGAAGAAGGCCTTTGTGATGCCGCCGCGCGAGCCCGCGCGCCGCGAGTTCTCGCCTACGCAAGCCGACGTCGCCGCCGCCGACGCGGCGCTCAAGAAGATGGAGGCCGAGCTCGCGGCGACGCTCCAGTCGCCGGAGTCGGCCCCGCCGCCGCCGCCGCCGACGCCGCGCCCGCGCGAGGGGCCCCAGATCGTGCCCCGAGGGCCGCCGGAGAAGTCGCCGGAGGAGCGGCGCGCCGCCGCGGGCCGCGGCGCCGCCCACGCGCCCCTGGCCACGCCGGCGGCCGAGCCCGTCAAGCCCGCCGCGGAAGCGCCGTTGGCTGCCGAGACGCAGGAGACGGCGCCGGCCGAGCAGCCGCCGGCGGCCGAGCCCGTCGCGGAGCCCCTGGCCGAGACCGCCAAGACCCAGCCCGAGCCGAACGCCGAGCCTGCCGAGCCCGTGGCCGAGACGCAGGAGACGGCGCCGGTCGAGCCCGTCCCCGCGCCCGCGCCGATGATGGAGGCCGAGCCGCCGGCGCCGGCCGCGTCGAAGGCCGAACCGGCGCCGGCCGAGCAGCCGCCGGCGCCCGAGCCCGTCGCCATGGAGACCGACGAACCGGCGGAGCCCGTCGCCGAGCCGACCGAGCCGATTACTGAACCCGCCGCGGCGCCGGCCGCCGACGCCGTGCCGACGCCCCCCAAGACCGGGAGCGGCGGCCTGGACGCGGAGGTCGAGGTCGAGGACGACCAGCCCGAGCGCTGGCCCTGCTCGGCGTGCACGTTCAAGAACGAGGCCTCGCGCGCGACGTGCGCCGAGCCGCGGCCCGCGGAGCCGGCCACGTCCGCCGTCGAGCTGGCGCCCGAGCCGGTCGCTGCGCCGGCGCCCGAGCCGACGGAGATCGCGACGGAGGCCGAGCCGATGGAGACCGAGTCGACCGCGCCCACGACGGAGCCGGTCGAGGCGCCGGTGGTCGCCACGGCGCCCAAGCCCGAGCCCGAGCCCACGGCGGCCGAGCCCGTCGCGGAGCCCGCTGCCACGGAGCCGGCCGCCGAGCCCGTCGCGGAGCCCGTCGCCACCGAGCCGCCGGTCGCCGAGCCGACGATCGAGACCGTCGCCATGGAGACCGAGGAACCGGCCGAGCCCGCCGAGCCGCTGGCGCCGATGGAGGCGGAGCAGCCCGTCGCGGAGACCACGGCGCCCATGCCGCCGCTCCCCGAGCCCGTGGCCGAGCCGCTGGAGGCCGAGCCGGCGCCGGCGCCGGCCGATCCTATGGCCGAGCCCACGGCGGCCAAGCCCGTCGAGCTCGCCGCCGAGCCGCCGGCGCCGGTGCTGGCGCCCGCGCCGGTCGAGGTCGAGGTCGCGCCCGCGGAGACCGAGCCGATGGCTGCCGCGCCGGCCGCGGCGGCGCCCGAGCCTGCGGCTATGGAGACCGAGCCCATCGCCGAGCCCGCGGCCATGGAGGAGGCCGAGCCGGTTCCCGTGCCCGCCGAGGCGGCCGAGCAACCAGCGGCGATGGAGACCGAGCCCGTCGTCGAGCCCGTTGAGCCGCCGGTCGCCGAGCCGCCGGCCGATCCCGAGACTCTGAGGAGCCTGCTCGAGGCGGCGCGGCTCGGCGACAAAATAGGCGCCTTCGAGGACGAGGAGATCGATTTAGACGCGATCTTGGAGGCGCACCGCGCGGGCGATTTGATGGACTTGCTCCGCGAGGTCGGGCTCAAGGCGGGCGAGCGGCTCCGCGTGAAGCGGGCGCTCTCCGCCGATCCGCCGGCGCCGGTCGCCGCGCCGGCCGAGGCCGCGGCCGAGCTCGTCCCCGCTCCGGCTCCCTGGCTGCCCACGGGCGCGCGGCAGGGCGGCGTCCTGCTGGGGCCGCCGCCGCCCGTGGCGGCGCCCCTGGAGCCCGAGCCGCCGGCGCCGGCGCCCGTCGAGCAGCCGTCGGTGGCCGAGCCCGTGGTCGAGCCGGCAACGGCGCTGCCCGAGCCCGTGGTCGAGCCGGCGACGGCGCCGGCCGAGGCCGCGACCGAGCCCGTGGCCATGGAGCCGGCCGAGCCCGTGGCCGCCGAGCCCATGCCGCCGCTCCCAGAACCCGTCGCCGAGCCCGCGGCCGCGCCGGCTCCCGCCGCGCCGCCGGCCTCGCCGCTCGCCGACGCGACGAACGCCGCGCCGCCGGCCTCGCCGCTCGCCGACGCGACGAACGCGTCGCCGCGGTCCCCGGCGACGGGCTCGACCAAGGTGGCGCCGCGCGCCTCCGACGCGTCCCCGGGCGACGCGTCCGCGGCGACCGCGGCCGTCGCGACGCCGCAAGAAGCCGCTCTCTGAGAGACGCACAAGGCGCTCTCCCGCGGGACGCACAAGGCGCCCGCCTAAGGAAGGAAGACGTATTTATGTACCTACATCGTCCACGTACGTCAGGTGCTTCTTGTACAGCTCCGGGTAGCTCTGGTCCGGACCGCCTCGCAACCCCTCGTGCAGCTGCGCGTCCTGCACGAACAACACAGATCCCGAGCCCCAGATCGTCCGCAACTGAGGACCGTGGTTCCCCATGTGGCAGGGCAGATGAATTCTACCTTTCCAGCCCGAGCCCGGGGTCTGCGTCGCGCGCGCAAACGCCGCGGGGCCCGTCACATACAACATCTCGAGCTTGCCCTCGTCCGGGAAGTACCTTCTCTTCTCCACATTGTCGACGACATGCCGCAACACTCGCAGCAAATCGGGGTGCCGCGGCGTAGAGACAAGTAAACCTTGCCAGACCCCTTTGATCGTCTGGTTCCGGTCTAAACGCGTCACCCACCGGTCTATACAGCTTATGAGATGGTCTCCGCCATCATCAAATGTGTACTTGCCTATGGTCATTTCCTTCCGCAGAAACGCGTCCCAGTCCTGCGCGAGGCGCATCTTGCCGTCGACATAGATGCCGCCGCAGGCCCACAACATGGCATAGCGCCAAATATCGGCCTTGAACGCGCCCGGCCTCAAAGCTCGGAAGGCTTTGAGCGTGCCGCGCACACCGACCTCCGCAAGTAACGGATCCAGCTGGGCCATGCTCTTCATCATAGCGTCATCATCATAGTACAAAAAGCGGTAGTGCGACGGCCACCTTATGTCGGTCGAGGCCGCGGGCCACGTGGCGCCGCCGTGTGCAGCTGTGAGGTGTTTTAAATCGGAATCGCTTCGACCGGTGTAGTAGACCGTGTTGATCAAGGGCGGGATGACGCCGATCGCTTTGCTCAGGGACGTATTGCGGCTGCAGATGGGTGATTGCTGGGCGTGGTGCCATTGGTTTAGGGTGGACGTGTTCAGGGCATCGATGAGCGGTAATAGTGCTGCCCATCGAAGCATGCTGCTGCCTACGGCACCTCGCATCGACGCATCGGCGCGTGCACGGCGGTTTGGCAGCCGACGTCGATTTTTTGGCTGCCGGCTAGTGGCTTACAGGCGCTAGCTAATCGCGGTCCGGCTGCTTGTTTCCCACCATACACGCACCAGAACTCATTGTTAAGACCCTCACTCGCGCATTTGTCCGCATTTCACGCTCTGGCGGCGTGAACAAAGCTTTTGGGCCGACTCGCGCCGCCCAAATAGCGTGCTTGTGTTACTTTGCTTAGAGAGCTATAGGCCAGCACGCCGTCGCCCCGGGGGTTAACACATTGGAATACCGGCAAGGCACAAGTGTTAGAGGGCAGGAACCGGTCCTGGATGCTCGACTGCTGCACGACAGTCTGCTGCGGCGAACGAACGACCATGTTCTGCGACTGCGGAGGAGATCGGAGCCCCGACGAGCCCTCCGAGCCAATCTTAGCCGGCCTCCTGCTGAAGCGGAACCGGTGGAGGTGGGTTCGGCGGCGCGCAGTGTTACGGAGAGGCCGGCTCAGTATAGGCGCCGAGAGATTAGATCTGACCGACGCAAAGCTCGAAGACGTCGACGAGCCCGGCCGCCACACGTTCTGCATCGACGACCACGTCTTCCGCTGCGACACGGCCCGAGAGAAGCGGCGCTGGCTGCGCGACGTGGCCCGGGCGAGCGGCGCCGCGCGGCCGCCGCCGCGCCCGGCGCCGGCCGTCCACGGTATTCTGCTCAAGCAAGGGCAGCACGGGCTCTGGAACCGGCGGAGCGCCGAGTTGCGGAGCGACGCGTGGACGGCGGCGCGCGGCCACCGCTGGCGCCTCGAGTGGTCCGACGCCGACAATCAGAAGCGGCCGGGCGGCCGCGTCGACGTGAGAAACGCCACGATCGCTCCTGGTGAGAACGACGACACGTTCGTGGTCAACGACGTGCGCTTCAAGGGTTTGGCCGAGGGCGACGCCGAGCGGTGGCTCGCTTGTTTAAGTGCGGCGCGGCGCGGCGCTTCTCGTCAGGACGTGGCGCGGATCTGGGCGCCCGTCGACGAGGCGCGCGACGTGCGGGGCGGCTCTAGTGGAGGCGCGCTGGTCGTCGTGTTGGTCTCGTGCGTCGTCGTCATGCGACCGCAGATCTTGCTCGCCGTCCTGCGCTACGTCCTCCTGCCCCTTCTCCTGATCCTCGTCAACGCCTACGTCTTCCGGCGCGCGCTCGTGCGGCTGGCGACGCGCAAAATGCCTTTAAGGCGGCCGCCGACGTTGGACCTGGCCGTCCGCGGCGCGGCCCTGCAGATCACTTTGACAGACATCGTCTACGAAGACCCGGCGCTGCTCGACGACGACTCCGACGACGAGGACGACGACGAGGAACAGAAGGACCCGTTGCTGGCTCTGGAGACGATCGTGGTCTCGATAATCGTGCGGCGCGTCGGTAAATCCAGGCGGCTGCGGGCCGAGATCTCCGCCGAGGTCACGGGCCTCACGCTCTGCTACGCGACCTACGACGCTAGGTTTAGGGACACGAACTTGAAGAGGTTCCGGGGCGAGGCCGAGGAAGAGTTCGACGAGGACGAGCCGCCTCCCTCGACGAAGCCCCGGTCGCTCGTCTACCGCGGCGTCCACTTCCGGAATTTAGCGGTACGACTCGTCGCGCGGTCGCCCTTTGGGGCGAGGCACCTCGGGACCATACAATTACGAGATGAGACGGCTGATTTAGAAAAAAACTTCAAGTCCCGCATTCAAACGTTCGCCTGGATCCAGGGCCTGGCCGTGCGCGCCGTGGCGAACGTTGGATTCGACGTCATGGACGCGGCGTTTAGTGGGGCGGCGTCGGCGGTGACGGGTCTCGTGTTCGCGCCGCTGGACGTGGCGGACCGCGTTGCTGAGAGATTTGGCGGTTCTCGTGTGGTCACGGGCGTGACGGGGGGCGTGCGGTCGACGGTCGGGGGCGTGGTCGGGGGTGGGACGGCCGTCGTCGGCGGGTCTTTAGCTGCTGGTCGCGCATTGGTCCAAGGAGCGACGTCGGGCGACGTGGGCCAGCTCGGCGAGGCGGGCCGGGCCTTCGCGGGCGGGGTGGTCGGTGGGGTCGGTTCCGTCGTCGGCGGCGTGGCCCACGCTGGTCAAGATGTGGTTGGGGGCGTGCGCGCGGGCGTGCGGTCGACGTCGACGACGCTTTTTGACTAATCTTGTTTGTTTATACACTAAGACATTAAATACGGGGGGAGCGGGACAAGATGCAGCAAGGGCGCGACACGCCGGTTCAGTCCTCGTCACGAGGAAAGCGCAGCACGTTGTTCGACAACGTCTTGGGCCGCAGTTCGTCCGGGACCACCACCTCCGGCTCGTTGTCCGGCTCCTCCGCCTCGAGTACCGGGCGGACCTCGCCGACCGGGCCGTCGGCGTGGCGCCGGTTCGGCCGGGCCTTCCGTCGGACCATTTTTGGGGTCGGCTCGTCGCCGCCTATCAACCATTGGAAGGGCGAGCCGAAGAAGAGGTGCTGGCGCGTCGGGGCGCGTTGCGTGCGGGGACGGCTCGGGCCGACGGCGTGCGGCGCGCGGCCGCTCGGGCTGAATGCACTGCTGGCAGCTAGCCAAGCCAAGAACACCATGGTCGGCGCGCGGCGGGCCATCGTGCTCGGGTGACGCCTTGCGGCCGACCCAGGGAGACCTCTGACGCGTTCGCACGTTCCAATGTGAGTCAGCGGCTGCGCCTAGAGACGATTTTTGCCACTCAGTGCGCCAGCAGACTTTGTTGAGCCCTTAAACTTAACTAACCGCAGCCATCTGTTGCACGGCATAAACCCCTTGCTGATGGCTCGCTCTCGTGTTTTTTGCGGGCTAAGCCCAAGCGCGCTAGCGGTAAGACACTAGCAAACAAGCAAAAGAGGCGCGAGTGAGTTAGCCGCTGTCTACGAGCTTGTAGATGCGCCAGCGACGTTGGCAAGCCACGCTGTCGCATCGCTGCAAGGGCTGATCGAAGCGTTCAAATCCGTGCGGCTCGCGCTGCCACTCTGCCGGCTAAACAGAGGCCAGGCGAATTGCCAGCGCCGGCCGCGCTGAAGCCGCTGCGCGCGCGAGCCCGCCGGCGCAGCAGTGAGCCGCCGCGACCAAGCAACAAACGATGCCGCTCGACCTCGACCGCTGCATCGCGCAGTTAAAGGAGTGCGAGACGCTCACGGAGAACGAGGTGCTGGAGCTCTGTGACCTGGCGAAGGAGATTCTGGTGGAAGAGTCGAACGTCCAGCGGGTGGATGCGCCAGTTACTATTTGTGGCGACATTCACGGCCAATTTTACGACTTGATCGAGTTATTTCGGGTCGGCGGGGCCTGTCCGGAACGGAATTATTTATTTTTGGGTGATTTCGTGGATCGCGGGCATTATTCCGTGGAGACCTTTCTTTTACTGCTAGCTCTCAAAGCTAGATATCCGGACCGCATCACGTTGATCCGAGGCAATCATGAGTCGAGACAAATAACCCAGGTGTATGGGTTTTACGACGAATGTCAGAGAAAATATGGAAGTGTAAATGTCTGGAAATATTGCACGGAAGTGTTTGACTTCCTATCACTGTCGGCTATTGTAGATGACCAGGTCTTCTGCGTGCATGGCGGTCTGTCGCCATCCGTGAACACCTTAGATCAAGTCCGAACGATCGACCGGAAGCAGGAGGTGCCGCACGACGGCGCGATGTGCGACTTGATGTGGAGCGATCCGGAAGAGATCTCCGGGTGGGGTTTGTCCCCGAGAGGCGCGGGCTACTTGTTTGGGGGAGATGTGGTCGAGAAGTTCAACGAGGTGAACGCGCTGAAGCTCATCGCGCGGGCGCATCAGCTGGTCATGGAGGGCTACAAGCCCTTATTTGACGAAACGCTCGTCACGGTCTGGAGCGCGCCGAACTATTGTTATCGGTGCGGGAATGTTGCTGCCATATTGGAGCTGGACGGGGAGCTGGCGCGAACATACAGAATCTTCGAGGCGGCGCCGCAAGAGTCAAGAGGCGTCCCTCAAAAAAGCCCGGCGCCGGAGTACTTCCTCTGAGCCTTGTTTTTTCTTTCGGTGTAAGTAGCGGTGGCGGTGAGTCGTTCTTTGGTTGCGGTGCTAGGACTCGTGGGCGGAGCCCCTGGGCGTCGGCGTGCTTCGTCGGGGGCGCTCGCCGCTCGGCGCGCGCGCTCCCGCCGAGTCCCGCTACTGTGCTACTCTCTCGCGCGCGCGGATGCAGTAGACGGGGCGGCGCTGCGACAGCGTGTGCTGGTAGCGGATTTGCGGCACGAACCCGCGCACGCGAGTACTATTTTGGCTAATCAGGCAGCGTTTTTGTTCGGCCTCGTGCTGGCCGCCTAGCCACTCATTGCGCCGCAGACGCCGGCACGCAATCCATTTGACCCTAGCCGCCGTCTCCCGCCAAAATCAGGAGTCTTAAGAGGCACGGGCGGGAGGAAATCAACATAATATCCCAAGCAGCTGCGCTGCGCTGTCTCGCGCCTCGTAAACCCGTAGCCTCCAAGGCTGCTCCAACGTGCTCGAATCATGCCCCATACGCGCTGAGGCCGCTCGTAAACAACGACCATGGGCTCCGGCGGCCAAAACGCGGCGGACGACCACCACGTCGTCAACGTCGACGGCAATCTGATGGTCCTCAAGACCTACGCCCCGCTCACGTCGGCATCGAGCGCCGACGAGCTCCTCCTGCTGGCCTCTGAAAATTCGAGCTCCCACAATAGCTCGTTGAGGCGCTGCAAGACGAGCGTCGACGTCAGTTTGTCCTCAATGGACCCGACGCCGGACCTTCCAGCAACCGAGGAGAAGGCGTCGGAAGCGTCGCCTAGACTCACGGCGCGAGCGCTGCGGCGCCACGACGTCGCCTGCGCGCGCGCGCTGCGGCCGGAACAGAACCCGTTCAAGCTCCACAGCGACGGCGCCTTCGACCCCTTCCGCCGCGCCGAGCCGCCGCCTAGAAAAAAGGCGCCGAACTGCGCCTTCCTGTGGTTCCTGCGGAACAACGGCTAGCCACAACCAAAATTCCCCCTGCCTGTCCATACTCTTGTTGTAAACATTGAAATTTTAACACACTAGTACGTCGGGACTACTCCCGCGCCTCGTCGACGAGATCATCCACACGCGGCGTCCGCAGGACCTTGGGCACGCGCGACCCGACGATGCGCGTCACGCCGTCCGGTTCCGCATCGGCAGCAGAAGCCTCGCCGAAGGCCTCCCGCGCCAGTTCCAGCTCCGGACACGCACCGCCATTTTTCGCGACTTCCAAGTAGCGCGCGCCCCGCCCCTCGTCGCCCGCGCGCTTCATCAGAATTGCCAGAATGGCGCAGCACGCCGCGAACTCCGCGTCGTCGGGCGACAGGCCGCACAGGGCCCGGTCCAGGTCCCGCAACGCCCCCTCGTCGTCACCCCTCCGGAACCGCCGCAACCCGCGCCGCGCGTGCCACCCGCAACCCACATCAATTTCCCAGTCCCGCATCCCTAAAGCGCGCTCGACGCCGCCGTCCTCGTCGCCCTTCGCTATTCCAAATGCCACGTGCGCCCGCGCGACCGCAACCAATATGGTTGCGCCGCGGTCCTGGGCACGCCGGTCGTCCGACGCGTACGTCCGATGCAACATCTGCGCCTCGTCGTCGGCCAGCACGAAAAAGTCGCCGAAGGTCTCCGCGACGTTCGCGGTTTGTTTCTGGAGCAGACATAGCGCCTTCAGGAACAACAACTGGTGCGGCCGGCAATGCGCCGAATACGACGCGAGTCGCTCGTAGACCTTCTCGCCCGCGGCAGCCACGGCCCTGGCCTCGCGCTCCGTCAGGAAGCCCTGCGACGTCCAGGCGACGCTATCGGCGAGCAACGCCAGCGCGGCAGCGACCATGCTACGATCCTCATCGTCCTCACATAGACCAAGAGCAAGGGCCTGCTCCAGGGCCCTTACAGAATCCTTCCGGTGGGCCAGACACAACGCGTCTCGGTGTTTTCGCAGCGACCGCGACGCCGGACAGGCGACGTCCGACAATGTCTCGTCCGGAAAAAAACGTTTCTGCAATTTCGCGCGGTCCCAGCTCTCCGGCAGCCAGTGCTCCCTCACTCGCTCAGACACCTTCTCACTCAACATAACCGGCGAGGCCCCATCGTCCAAAGTTCGCTCGACGTATTCGTCTGCCAATGCTTCGCAGATCGCCGTCAGAGTGTCCAACCAGTCGACGCTCTCATCGGAGACGCGCGGCGCCCACCGTGTCAGCGGGTCGGCGACGATGGCGAAGGTCCTTAAAACACCGTCCAAGGGTGCATACAGGGGTGGCTGCGTGACTGGTGCTTGGTCGTCCGCTTTCAGCAGCTCGTCGACGTGGAAATGAGATGGGAATCGGGGGTTCGGCGCGTTGATCGGCCGCACGGGAATGCCCCAGCTCTTCAGGAGGTCGTGCTTCGTATCAATGGCCAATGCGTACCACCATCGGTACAGCGGTGCGGCCCTTTGGCAGGCAAACAGCTGGAGGTACTGCCGTCGGTTATTGATGTCGGTGCGCTTGTCGCGGCGCTGGACGAGGGAGGCCATGGGGCAGCCGTGCGGGCAGCGTCTCGCGGCCCGCGCGCGCCGCGCGCTCTTAACTCGAAAACGGGTTTTTTGTCTGTTTCTTCCAGGCACGCTTCGTCGTGCCCAACCCTGCCCCTCGGGAGGAATCTCCTTCTGGGTCCTCCAGTGCGGGTTAGGATTGGAGATTGGGGTGACACTGGGGTCGGGTCCAGGCGCGGGTCCAGGCGCTAGGAGGCGCGACATTACGAGAGTATCAATCTCTGTGCCTCAGTAGGGCAGCCCCGGGAAGGCGGAAGAAAATGGGCGGCGGTGTATCATCTCTCCCGGCGGAGGTCTCACTTGCCGAGGCAAAAGAGCTGGCGGGCACCGAGTGGCAGCCCGCGTGGGAGGAGAAATTCGCGGACGCCGAGGCCAAGATCTCCAGGGACGATGCGGTGCGGTGCTGGACGGAGGCCAAGGCAAATGCGGACGGCCCGGCGAGCAAGGGCGCGGGGCCGCCGGACGAGAGGAAGAAGAAGTCCGCCACCGCGATAGCGCGCTGGAAGAAGGGCGTCGCGAAGGTGGGCTGGATCGCGCACGCGAAGGCGCGGGCGGCGGCCGTCGAGCGTGCTCAAAGGGCAGGCATTTCGGAGCAGCTCTACAAAAAGCTCCACGGCGTCGACCGCTCCGGCGTGGCGGAGGCGCTGGATCTTTCGGCCATAATTGCCGAGAAACGCGGGCAGCACCTAACTGGGACGCGCGAATGGGTCTTCGAGGCGGTCATGCGCTGGCGCACGGACCCGGAAGCGGCGAAGCTCTTCTGGCTCGTCGGCGGTGGTGGCACGGGCAAGAGTGTCGCGGCGGCCGAGTTGTTGGCGCGACTGCTCGACAAAGAAAACGTCGCGGCGTGGCACTTCTGCAAGCACACCGAGCCGGCGCGGTCCGCGCCAATGGCGCTGCTGCGGTCGCTAGCCGGCATGCTTTGCGCAACGGTCGAGGGTTTCGAAGACGCCCTGCGCGAGGGCGGCGGCAGCGACAACGCGACGGACAAGGTCGACGAGCTCTTCGAGGCTTTAGTAGCAAAACCGCTGCAAAACGTCGAGGCGCCGCGCGGCGCGGACGACGCTCTCGTATTAATTGTCGACGCGCTCGATGAGCTACCGCGCGACGCTTTGCAGCCCGTGCTCTCTCTGCTCGCGAACGAGCTCAAGACGCTGCCGCCGTGGATCAAACTTGTCGTGACAAGCCGCGACGAAGCTCAAATTAAAGCGAGGCTCTCGTGCTTTACGCCGTCGGAGCTGCGCGTCGACGAGGCGCGGAACCGGCAGGACGTTCGCGCGTACCTGACGGTGCTCGCGAAGGAGCACGTCGAGCTCGAGGTAACCATGGACTCGCTGCGGCACGAGGTTGAGGCGAAGTTCCCGGGCTTGAAGAATCTCGACACGTTCGCGGATCTTGAGGATCCGCTGCGCCGGTCAAAGGGCGCGTACGACGAGGCGGTCCGCGGCGTTCCTGGGATCCGCGAGCTCGAGAAGTATGAAGAGCGACGTCTCGACTTGATACAAGATGAGACTGACTTCGACAAGCTCTATGCCGACGCATCACTGGCGCAGACAATTTTGGTCGACGCGCTGAAGACGCTGCCGGGCGACGTGGCGGACCCAGGCGTCAAAGGGCGTGAATCTGCGGAGCGCAAGCTCGCGGACAAATACACCGACAATGGTGTGCCACATCCCGAGAAATTCCGGGATCTAGCCCGTGCGACGGTCGTGTTCGAGAGCGCTACTGACCTACTTAAGGTGTTGACTGAATTGGACGGCGGCGGCCTCGGGCTGGAGATCGCGCAATTAAAAAACAAGTTCGCGAGCCCGACGCCCCTCGGCTACCGCGACATGAATTTGAACGTCAGCGTGCGCCTCGACGACGGCCGAAAACATCTCGCCGAGGTCCAGCTGCATTTAAAGAGCGTCCTGGACGCGAAGCACATTGCCCACGAGCAGTACGAAGTCATTAGACTGGCGCTACCGAAGATGTGCGAGGGCACGAGCGTCAAGGCGACTGAGCTTGAGACGTTCATCGCCGAGCGCCTCAACTCGTCGGCGCTCGACGCGGCTGTAACCTCGCTCGAACGAAAGGCCGGAGGACTGATGCTCTACGCGCGCCTGATTGCCGAGCAGCTCGCGTCCACGACGGGCAAGATCGACTTTGCGAGCGTCGGCGCGCTGCCGGCGGGCCTCGACGAGATCTACGCGGAGAACTTTCGACGCGTGTTTGTCGATGATGACGCGTGGGGCGATGCGCTGCCGCTCATTGAATTAATCTGCGTTGCTGCAGAGCCGTTGACGATTGACGCTGCGAGCGGGGCGCTCGGCTGGGATCGGGATCGCTGCGAGCGTCTCTGCGCGGAAGTGTCGCTGCTGTTCCCGCTGCGCGAGGGCGACGTGATCGGTGTATTACATAAGACCGTAACGGATTGGCTAACCGGCGAGGCGCCGTTCGATAAGCGTTCTTCTGAGGACGCGTTCTTCGTCTCGCGGGACGCGGCGCACCGGCGAATGGCGCGGGCTTGTGCTCAAGCTATTCGTGCTGGTGTTCTGGATACAAAGTCGTATTCGAGCGACGCGGCCGCAGATGAGGTGCTCGCATCGTTCGTGGAGGGCGACGGTGGCGTGGCGTCGGATGCTTATGCGTTGCGGTGGTGTTTGTTTCACATGGAGCGGTCGAATAACGAGAGCGAGGCCGTCGCGATCGCCTGCAGTCTGTCGTACGTGCGGAAGCGGAGCGCTGGCGACATCGTTTCCTTCGTGGCGGACTTGCGTGCTCTGAAGGGCCAGGATACACTGCTGCTGACCGACTCCTTGGTGTTGTCGCGGAACCTGCTATCACGGGGAGTGCCTCTCATAGAGCAGTTGTGGCAGCGGCTGATGCCGCGCGCCGATGCGGAGTCGTCTCCAGCTGCACAACGCCTGGCCGAGGACGCAAAGCGTGCTGCGAGCAAGCTGCCGCTCTCGACCGTGTGGCCGATGGGCCTGACCGCGGCGGGTGGGGCGGAGCGGTGTCGGATCGAGGTCGGATCTGATGTTAGGAGCTTGGCGATGTTCGTGGATCCGGCGACGGGCGAGCCGCGGGTTGCTTGTGAGTCTAGAAGCGAGGTGTGCATCTATGATCCGGTTGCGGGTGGCGCGGCGTTGGTCGTGATTGATGCCGGCGACGAGGTCTACGCGCTGGCGGTCTTCAAAGACCCGGCGACGGGCGAGTTGCGTCTGGCTTGTGGATGTGAGGACGGAAAAGTGCGCGTCTTCGACCCGGTCGCCGGCGGCGAGGCACTGCTCGTGATCGATGTGGGTGGTGAGGTGAAAGCGCTGGTCGTATTTGAGGATCCGGCGACGGGCGCGCCGCGGCTCGCGTGCGGCACGGGGGGGCTTGATGAGGACGGTGATGAAGTTGCTGGGAAGGTGCTTGTCTTCGACCCGGTCGCTGGTGGCGAGGCGCTGGTCGTGATCGACGTGGACGCTAACGTGCTGGTGGTCTTCGCGGCCCCGACCGCGGAAGAGGAAGAGGAAGAGGAGGAGTGCGAAGAGGAAGAGGAGGAATGCGAAGAGGAAGAGGAGGAGTGCGAAGAGGAAGAGGAGGAGTACGAAGACAACGGCGACGACGAGGACGACGACGACGAGAACTCGCATGCCGAGGACAACGAAGCGCTGCGGCTTGCGTGCGCGTCGGGAAATAAGGTGTTTGTCTTCGACCCGGTCGTGGGCGGCGACGCGCTGTTCGTGCTAGATATTAGTTCTGCGCTGTTCGTGGGCGGTAGAGTGAGTGCGCTGGTGATTTTCAAGGAACCAGCGACGGGCGCGCCGAGGCTCGCGTGTGGTTCTTGGAGGGGGGTGTCTATCTTTGACGCGGTTTCTGGCGGCGATGCGCTGCTCGAGTGCGACGCAGGCGACGAAGTGGTGAATGCGCTGGTCGCATTCAAGGACCTGGCGACGGGCGCTCCGCGGCTCGCGAGCTGTGCAGACGACAAAAAGGTGCGCGTCTTCGACCCCGTCGCGGGCGGCGAGGCGCTGGTCGTGCTTGAGGGGCAATATCACTGGGTGAATTCCTTGGCAGCCTTCACGGACCCGGCGACGGGCGAGCCGCGGATCGTGAGCAGGTACTCGTATTCTGCCCTCCAAGTCTGGAACCCGGCGGCGAGCGGCGCGGCGATCGAGGCGGAGCCCGAGGGGCACTCTGACGACGTGAGCGCCCTGGTGACCTTTGTGGATCCGGCGACGGGCGCGCTGCGGGTCGCGACCGGGTCGAATGATATTCGCGTGTGGGACACGGAGACTGGCGATGTGTTGCTCGTGATTAAAGAGGGGGCTTCTGCGCTGGCGTTCTTCACGGACCCGGCGACTGGCGCGCCGCGGCTTGCATGCGCGTCGGGAAAGGTGCTTGTCTTCGACGCGGTCGCGGGAGGCGAGGCGCTGGTCGTGATCGACGTGCGCGCTGGCGCGCTGGAAGTCTTCACGGATCCTGCGACGGGCGCGCCGCGGCTCGTTTGTGATTGTTATGACGAGAAGGTGGGCGTCTTTGACCCGGTCGCTGGTGGGGAAGCGCTGGTCGTGATCGACGTTGGCTCCGTGACGGCGCTGGCGACCTTCGCGGACCCGGCGACGGGTGCGCTGCGAATTGCTTGTGGTTGTAGCAGAGAGGTGCGCATATACGACCCGGTTGCGGGCGGCTGGGCATTGGCCGTACTTGACTGCGCATATACGGACTGGGTGCTGGCTTTGACTGTTTTCAAAGACTCGGCGACGGGCGGACTTTGCCTCGCGAGCGGAGATAGGGACGGTTTCGTGCGGATCTGGGACTTAGCCGCGGGCGGCGCGGCCGAGGAGTCCGATGCCGCTGAGGAGGACGAGGACGAGGAGGCCTCGGACGAAGACGAGACCAGGGTTGCCTCGCCGCTGTTCGTGCTCAAGGGACACACGAATTATGACGTGAACGCGCTGACGGCCTTCGCGGATCCGGCGACGGGCGAGATGCGGCTCGTGAGCGGGTCGAAGGACAAGACTTTGCAGGTGTGGGACGCGAGCAAGGGCGGTGCGGCGCTGCGGGTGATTCCTTTTGATGATGAGATTAAGACCTTGGCTGTCAGGAGCGACATGAGCGGATTCTTTGTCTCTTTTGGGAAGCGGTGGGGGGAATTGCGCGTCGAGAGCGGCACGACGCCACTCACGCTCGCATGCTATCAAGGCGGCATTGAGGCGATGCGCGCTCTTCTTCAGCAGGGTGATAACGTCGATCAGGAAGATGATGACGACTATACGCCGCTGTTTGTAGCGAGTTTGAAAGGGCACGTCGACGCCGCGCGCTTGCTGCTCGATGCGGGTGCCGCGGTCGATAAGAGGCGTGAGGGTGATTGGTCGCCGTTTGGGATTGCGTGTGCTCGCGGACACCTCGACGTCGCGACGCTATTGGTGGAGCGAGGTGCAGCTGTCGATTTGTGCTTGGATTGTACGACGCCGTTTTTGTTCGCTTATCGGAACCGGAATCTCGACGCGATGCAGTTATGTCTCGAGCACGGCGCCGATCAAAATTGGACGAACGAAGAGGGTGATCCAGATTGGGAGGGTGGTTCGATTCTGTATGATGCGTGTGAAAACGAGCGCTTCGACGCGGCGCGGCTGTTGCTGGAACATGGCGCTGATCCGAATTGTGCAAACGAAATTGATCGTACGATTCTGCATATTGCGTGTGAGCACGATCGCGTCGACGCGGCACGGATGTTCCTGGATAAAGGCGCGGAGGTCGACCGGACAGACCATTACGGCAGGACGCCGCTATGCATCGCCTGCGACTATGGCCACATCGACGCGGCGCGGCTGCTGCTGGACAACGGCGCGGAGGTCGACTGGGCGGACGAGGGGGACGGCACAACGCTGCTGTTCGTCGCCTGCCAGGAGGGCCACATCGACGCGGCGCGGCTGCTGCTGGAGAAAGGCGCGGAGGTCAATCGGGCAACGAAGAATGGGAACACGCCACTGTCCATCGCAAAAAGCAAAGGCCACTCGTCCATCGTCGCGCTCCTCGAGGAGCAGCTTTACCCTCTGCACGCCACCGCCAAGGCAGGCGACGTCGATGAAATGATGAGGCTCCTCGACGACGGCGCAGCGATCGACCAGACGAAGGATGACGGCGCAACTTCGCTATACGTCGCCTGCTCGAACGGCCACGTCGAATTGGCGAAAATGTTGCTGGACAAAGGCGCGGAGGTCGACCGGGCGAACAAGGACGGCGCGACGCCTCTGTACATCGCCTGCTTGAACGGCCACGTTGACGCGGTGCGGCTGTTGCTGGACAAGGGCGCGGAGGTCGATCGGGCAAATGAGGGGGGTGTCACGCCGCTGTTGATCGCCTGCCATCAGGGCCACGTCGACGCGGTGCGGATGCTGCTGGACAACGGCGCGGAGGTCGATCGGGCGACAGAGAATGGTACGACGCCGCTGCTCGTCGCTTGCCAGAACGGCCACGTTGACGCGGTGCGGCTGTTGCTGGACAAGGGCGCGGAGGTCGATCGTCCGGCGGAGGACGGTCGGACGCCGCTGTACATTGCCTGTCAGTGGGGCCGCGTCGACGCGGCGCGGCTGCTGCTGGACAACGGCGCGGAGGTCGATCGGGCGAATAAGGACGGCGAGACGCCGCTGTATATCGCCTGCCAGAAGGGCCACGTCGACGCGGCGCGGCTGTTGTTAGATAAAGGCGCGGAGGTCGACCGGGCGACGGAGAACGGCTGGACGCCGCTGATCATCGCCTGCCAAAACGGCCACATCGACGCGGCGCGGCTGTTACTGGACAAAGGCGCGGATGCCAGTTGTGTGACCAAAAAGGGCACAACGCCACTGGGCATCGCGCGGAAGAAAGGCCACTCGTCCATCGTCGCGCTCCTCGAGGAGCATCAGAAGTAACCACCTCCGGAGCCGCGCCGATAAGTGCGCCGATGGCGCCAAGGATTAGTTAAATTTCGTAGTGATACACCGGTACTTACACGAGGTCCACCTCGCGCTCGTCGCCGGTGAACCCCACGCTCGAGGGATCCACGGCCCGGCCGTCGGGCTCGAAGCCATTAGGGCCCCACGTGCCTCCGCTTTCCCCGCCCGCCGTCGCGCGGGCCCGGAGCTTCGCGGCCAAGGACGCCGCGCGCGACTCGGCGGACCCCGCCTCCTCGTCCGACTCCGAATCTTCGTCCTCGACGTCGACGTCGGCCCGTCGTCGGTCGTAGCGGCATCGCAGGACCACGCTGTGCCGCTTCTTGGGAGCTTTGAACTCGACGTCGCGGCACCGCGCCAGCACCAGGACCACCGACCCGCCCGTCGCCGGCAGGTAGTGGGCCACGTCGTGGTCGTCCCTTACAATAAGTGTACCCCCGTCAAGGTCATCATCCCAGTCCCGAGCATTCGCGAAGACAAACGCCACCAACTCCGCGTCGTCCGCGGGGTCGTCGTCGCGCCACAGCGGTTCCCTCGCCATGATCTGTTCCGGGCGCTGGCTTCGTATGTTACAATAAGCAGGTAATGCGAGGCCGTCCCTTAATTCGGGTGCTCGCTGTTCCAATTCATGAGCACATCCCACCAAAGCTTGGATCGCGGCCCGCAACGCCATCTGCGTCTCGGGGTCGGGCTGCAGCTCCTTATAGTTTCTGAACAATGACGGAGACAGGGCCCGCACGGACTGCAGGCCGAGCTCGATCGGCAAGTCAGTTGCGGGCTTCGGCCTCGTGTAAAAATTATGGATGGCGTAGCAGTCCTCGTGGGAGACCGCATCATTCAACACGCAGTAGCCCTTGGACCGGAGTTCATTTAATGCAGTTTTCCCCTTGCTCGCCTTGAACGCGGTTCGCGACAGTTCCGTCTGGAACGGCGTGTGCCGCAGGAACTCCTCCCTATGAGAAGTGGGACCGTCGACGGCCGCCCGCACCAACCGCTCGGCGGCCTTCTTCTCCATGGCGTTCACGGCGGCCGTCGCTAATTGGAGCTCGGGCGCGTTGCGCAGCTTCCCGAGACCGCGCACGCCGGAAGGCACGGCGCCCGTCGCGAGGAGCCGTGATGCGCCGTCGGGCTCCCTTAGGAGACATCGGGCGATCTTCGCGATCTTGCGGGCTTCGGAGCGCGCGACCGTCTCCGCGGCGGACCTCGCCCCGACTTCTCCGGCCATCGGCGTGGCCTTCCTTCTCTGATAAGCTTCCTTGACCTTCTCCACGGACCTCGGATCCGGCTCGCAGCCGACCACAAACGGCAGAGCCGCCGCCTGCTCGAGCGCACCGGCCTGGGCTAGCGACGTCTGCAGCGCCTCGACAGAAGAACGGGCCGGGTCATCCGCCGGCAAGTTCAGGGCGTCGGCCACCTCCTTGACGCCGTCGCGGCCCCAGCCGTCGGCCGCGCGCGCCCTCACGATGGCGTCCTCGAGGGTCTCGAAGCGCTGCGCGGGCGGCGCGGCGCGCGTCGGCACCGGCGCCTCGCGCTTCGCTGGTGAGAGCGGCTTTTCTTCTTCATCATCGTCCGTGTCGATGTTGTCCCACTTCGAATAATCAAAACCTCTGGAGAACTCCGGTCTGCTGTAAGGGTTGGACCGCCCAGGGACCACCTGCTGGTGGGCGTCATCCCTAGGCACGGGCAGCTGTTCTAAGCGTTGCGTCGTCTCGAAGAGGGACATTTTTGTGCAGTGGCTGCCCCGGCGTCGATCGATGCTGCCCTTTTTTGAGATGGCTGCGAACTCCCACCTGATTTAAAGCTTTTTAGGGGGTTTGTTGCTAGAGTGGTGGTCGGCGACGAGTTCTTGCGCGGGCATGAGCGGGTGGAGCCATGAGAACGAACCTTCCAGGCTAGCGTCGTCGACATACTAGCCCCAAGGCAACGACCTCGACTCGGACGAACGTGTCTTGACGCGCCGCAAGCGAGGCCGCCTGCACGTCAGGGACGCAGCGCGCTGGGGAAATCGTTCAGTAGTACTTGTTCTACCGTCCACGCGCCGCCGCGGCATCTTTTGGGGCTCATAGGCTCAAGTCACAGCACAGCACTTTTTTAGCTCGTCGGCAAAAATGAGTGTGTTAATATTGGGCGGCAACGGCGCCCCGGCCTCTATGGACGCCGCCAGCACCGTCAACTCCTCCGTCGTCGCCTCCGTGGCGGCTCAGGTCCCGAAGACGTCCGCCGCCGCGCCTCTGTTGGTCAAGATCGTGCAAAATCTCGAGCGCGACCCGACGAACGAAAAGTTCCGCTCGATTAACTTAGAGGGCAAGGCCGGCGCGAAGCTGGTCTCCGAGCCGGCGGCCATGACTTTGCTAGCGACCGTCGGCTTCGAGACGCAGGGCAGCCGCCTCGTCGCTAGCGGCGCGCCGCCCGCCGGCGCGGCCGCGGCCGTCGCGCGGGCGCTTGCGCCCCCGCCTCTCCGCTCGTCGCCGCAGCTCAACGCCGACGGCACGCCCAAGGTCGTGGTCAAGGAGTCGAACGACGGTCCCCTCACGCTCAAGCAGCAGGCGCGCCGCGACGCCGAGCAGAAGGCCGCGCGCGAGAAGGAGGAGTCGAAAAGGCAGCGGCTCGAGACGCTCGAGAAGATCAAGAAGGACAACCACGTGTGGGCCTGTGTGGAAATCAACCAGTGAGTTGTGTTTTGCCATGGAGCAGATGAAGCTATAAAATGTGGGGCGCCTGAAATTTGATTTACACACAGGCGCGCAAGCACGACGAGAACTGGACGACGACGGAGGGCGTCCAGAAGGGCGGCAAGGACATCAACACGTTCCGCGGCAAGTACGGCGAGGACAAGGGCGGCTGACCGTGCTAGAGCCCTCGCTTTCCCTCAGCCCTGCCTCTGTGACGGCCCGCGGCGCCCTTTCGCCGCGGACCCGACCGGCGGGCCCACCCCTCCAAGTCTAGTCCCCCCCAAATGTGTCCAGAACTAACGTAATGTTGAGTTACTCCCGAGAGCACTCCACTACGCCGTCTCCGACCTACCGAGCCACAGCCCGTGCGTCGTGAAGTACGCGCACGGCGCGTACGTTCTACCGGGAGTCACGCTGCAAGACAGCATGGGCGTGCCCTTGAAGTTCTCGGGGAATTCCTGTGTGGAAATCGACCAGTGAGTTATACCATCGAGCAGATGCATCACGGGGACGACGTCGCGTCGATGGCTTAGAATCTCCACGCCATCGAGCAGATACAGTCAGGGGGACGACGTCGCGTCGATGGTTTGATTTCCACACAGCATCAAACCTTCGCCGCCACAATCGCGTCCGCCTCTTCGTTCTTGAGCCAGATGAACTGGACCCGATCGCTGCCCTCGGGCTCGTAGCCGTCAATACACACTTTCGCGGAGTTGCCCGAGATGTCCAGGCGCGGCTTGTGCGTCCTTCTGTCTCCAGAGCCGTTGGAGTCGACGTTCAGCCGCTCGATCTGCAGCAGCTGCCGCGCGAGCTTGTTCGGGATGCCGCTCGCCACGGCGGGCTGGACCGGCTCGGCGATCGACGCGCGCGCCGTCTTCGGCGCGGCCGCGAGCACGGCGACGGCGCCCGCCGCGGCCGTAGCTAAAACAACACCGCGCGTCTGGGCGTCGCTCGGTTTCTCGCCGGCCGGGTCCTGCGACGCCAGCTTGGCCGAGGCGGCGACGGCGGCGACGCCGAACTGGTCGAACGCGTCGGCCGCGTCGACGGCTAAAGCGGCCTCGGCAGCGCGCAAGTGCGTCGCGCGGTGCGCGCGCGGCGGCGCCTGGAGCGCGCGCGCGCCGGCGAGCAAGAGACTGATGCGGAGCATGCTGGATCGCACAGTTTTGGCCGAGCTGCTGCGCTGCGTGAACGCGGTCTTCTGACAAGCGCTTCTACACCGTTCGTAGACGGCCTACAGCAGTCGTTTGACCTCGAGCAATGCCCCGTGGATGCTGACGGACACAACAAAGTTATGCTCTGCCTGTCTGAGTGTGTACCCGCACGCAAGCAATCGATCTGAAACTACAGCATTCGTCCGCGGAAAGGTCCCGCGGGAGGGCCTGGACGACCCGTCTGCCGCGCCACGACCGAACTAGTGGGATTCAGTTGGTGAGACAAAAACTGCCCCGCCGGTCGACGTGAAGGCTGCCCCGCGCGCCCCAGCACCGGCCAACGGAGCTGCACGGTTGCGCGCGCCCGCCGCCGCGTCCGTGAGACGCCAGAGACCGCGCCGCGGCAGCCGACCGCTGCACTCGTAAACGCACAAGCAAACACCAGTACAGGATGACCACCCGCGGCTTAGTGAGTGTGTCCGTGGGAGGCACGTCATTTAGTGTAAGACCGAGGTACGGCGGCTTTAAAGTGATAGGACGAGGCTCGTATGGCGTAGTAGTGAGCGCCACCGATTCCGAGACGAAAAAAAAGGTCGCCATCAAGAGAATAAAGCCCATGTCCGGCCACGCTTCCGATGCCAAACATGCCCTGAGGGAGATACGGTGCATGAAATTACTAGGCGGCCACGCGAATATATTAGGTGTCCGAGATTTATTCTGCGACGTGAGGGAAAACGCTTTGTATATAGCCATGGAGCTCCTGGATAGCGACCTCCATCGCATCATCCAGTCGCCGCAGGACCTGACGGATGCCCACCACCGCTTCTTCATGTACCAGTTGGTGCGAGGTTGTAAATACATGCATGAGAGAGGTATCATACACAGGGACCTCAAGCCCGGGAATTTATTAGTGACGCGGGCCTGTGAACTGCGGATCACGGATTTCGGACTTGCACGACTGCAGTCCGTATGCTCGCGGGGCCAGGGCGGCGATGTGGATGCGGGCCCGATGACCCAACATGTGGTCACGCGCTGGTACCGGCCTCCGGAGCTCATGCTCGCTCCTGATGGACGCTATACGAACAGTGTAGACATGTGGTCCGTCGGGTGCATTCTTGCCGAATTGTTGGGAAGAAGACCCCTGTTTCCGGGGAAAAACTTTGTCCATCAACTACAACTCATCTTCGACGTCATCGGCGCGCCGTCTCCGGAACGAGCGAAGGCCGTGAGGAATAAGCAAGCGCGCAAGTTCCTCGAGACCGTCAAGGGCAAGCCCAAGGTGCCTTTTAGCAAGGTGTTCCCGAAGGCGCATCGCGCGGCCCATGACGTGCTAGAAAAACTATTAGCTTATTCTTCGACCGATAGAAGTGCGGCCGTCGACTTGTTGGAACATGACTACTTCCGCACGTTGTCTTATGCTGATCCTTTACCCATCAAGGAGCCGGACGCGCCGGAGGCCGATTTCCGTTTCGAGTACAAGGACCTGGCCGCGGAGGACCTCAAGCAATCGATCATCGACGAGGTGCGGGCCTACGACCCCTCACCAAAGCGTAGTTCTACGACATCGTCGCAGCGCGACGGCGACGCGCGGCGGTCCGGGTCTTCGAAGTTGTACTCGAAGGGCGCTTCTGACGAGGCTCGACGGGCGGTCGAGCGGCAACGACGGCGCGAGGAGAAGCCGCCGCGGCGCGAGTCGAGTAGGCGGGACGCCTACGCGGAAGCGCGGCGCGAGGTCGAGGCCTCGGCGCAGCGCGCGCGGGAGGCCGAAGCCAAAGCGAGGGAGGAAGCGCGACGGGCCGAGCGCGAGCTGGAGCGGGAGCGCGAGCGAAGAGAAAGAGAGCGCGAGATCCGCGCACGAGAAGAGGCGAACGCGCGGGAGCGGGAAGCGCAACAGAGGCGGGAAGCGAGGGCGCGCGTCGAGGCCGCGCGCGACGCGGCGCCTCGCCGGCGCCGCGACGACCCCATCTCGCGGGCCTTCCGCGAGGCCGCCGCCGAGCTCCCGAAGCGGCGGAGCGACCCGCTGTCGCAGCGATTCCGCGAACATACGGAATCGAAGCGGTACGCGCCGCCCGCCCCGGCGCCGGCCTACGTCTACCAGGAGCCGACGCCGCCGCCTCCTGTACAAGAGCTGCCGCGGCGCCCGCCCGCGCCCCTGCCCTGCGAGCACCGCGAGCGCCCGGCGCCGCCGCAGCGCGCGCCGCCGCGGCCGCCGTCACCGGACCCGCCCGCGCGGACGTTTGCGAACCAGATCTCGCGGGACGCGGGCCGCGCGCCGGACCTGCCGCCGCGCGTGACCCACGGGAGACTACGTAGAAGCGACGACAGCGGCGGGCCCTCCTATTTGAGGGACACGGCGCGGTCCAAGGCCTACACGAAGGCGTCGCGGGCCTACGCGCCGCTGCGGCGCGGGACGCACGCGAACCGCAAAAAGCGCCAGCCGACGGTGCCGAAGAGTCCCGCCTTCTCGAAGTTCTCCTGGCAGAAGCCCCGCGCGCGCGAGAATGCGTACTGAGGATTCCTAACTAGCGTTTGCCGTTTTTTTTTCGTCTGCTCGATGGCGTGGGATTCCTTCCCTAGGACCTACGCAACTGGGCGTATCCGTGGCTTTGATGCTCACCGGCCGGGCTATGGAATACTATTTAGATGCTTATTTTAATATTCCCGCCGCGGGCGCAACCCACAGCAGGAGCACGACCAGCCGCGGCGACCCACAGCAGGAGCACGATCAACGTCGTTTCCGCGCCGATCATGAAGCGGTAGAGCAGGCCGCCCCAGCCGGCTTCCGGGCGCCTTCCGACGACGGGAAGTTCATCGTCGCCCCCGACGCACGCGAGGCGGTGTGCCTCGGCCAGGCGCGCGCGCTGCCGCGCGGCCTCGGTCTTGGCCCGGACATAGTCAACGTGGTCCGTGGCGTTGCGGAGCTTCTCGAGGTTGTAGGCCACGGACGCCTCGGCACTTTTCAGGTCCGCGACGTACTTTTTGTTGCCAGGATCGTTCTCGCGCCTCTGCGCGGCGCGGTCGCGCTTCGCCCGGCGCTCCGCGACGACCTGGCGTTGCCGCTCCACGGCGGCCTCGGCCTCGGGAATTTGTGCGTCCCACTCGGAAATTTGCGCTTCCCACCAACCGGCCCGCGCCGCGGCCGCCGAGCAGTTCTCGACGGTGCACCGCGAGCGCTCGAGCACGTCGCGCACGCCTCGAGATGGCACGACGTCCGTGAGGGGCGTGTGGCCATGTTTATTTGCGTGCGGTGTGAATACGTCGTTGATAAGAGATAGACGACAGTCGCTCTGCAGGGCGACCGCCACGTCGCCGGCGCGGCAGTGCCGCAAGGCGCGCCGGGGCCCGCACTTGAGGACGTGGTGGAACACCGACACGGCGTCGGCCTCGGACCCGTCTATTTTCAGGAACGCGATCTCGGTCAGGACGACGTCCGCCGGCCACGTGCCGCCGTGCATGCGGCGGAATTGCACGCTGTCGTATTTCGTGACGTCGACGCCGCCGAGCAGCCGCGCCGCCGTCGCGAAGTCGCCGTCGGCGATGGCGCGGTGGATCGCCGGGCCTGCCTTGGCCTCGAAGTCGAGCCTTAGCGAGCGGCCCACGTTGATCCAGACCTGTGCATAAATCAAAATTTCACGACGCGTTCGTGCGCCCGACGCACTGGTTGATTTATGCACAGATCAAGACCCCGCTTCCCGCCGCCGCGAAGAAGAACGGGCCGGCAGTCTTATTTGTGCCGTAGGCGCAGTGTGTCACCTCGACCCACGACTTGTCCGCGAAGACCTCCTCAAAGCCGGGCGGCCGGTGCACCCACAAAGCGCGCCGCTGCAGGAAGTGGCGCTCGTAGAAGAGCGTCTGCCGCGTCTGCCCGCACTCGACGCGCAACGCCGCCCGGAGTTTCGGCGGCATGAGGTCCGGCCAGACGACCCGGAGTCTTGCCGGGTCGACGGCGTGTGATGAGCCGTAGAGCCGATTCGCGTAGTCGGCGTTTGACGCGATCGCGGCGAGCGTCGCGCTTCTTGCGCGCGCTGTTTGGGCGATGGCGAGGAGCAGTGCAACGCGTAGCGACGCCATGTCCTTAGGTCAGGCAAAAATTGAGTGCTAAATAGTCATTTCTCGCGCCAGCGCTTGGAGGTTCGATTAAGGCGGTTCCAATGGTTGTCCAGACGAGTCCTTCGTGGACAACACGCGAAGCCTGGCGAGTTTGAGCATAAAAACTCGGCCGTGAGCTAGCGGCTGTAAGACACTAGCAAGCGTCAATTTTGTGCCTGACGACTCGTTCGTCACATAGCATTCTAGCTCACCTTGGCATAGCCCTGCAGATCGCATTGGCTACGTGCAGGCCCTGCAACGTGATGCGGCGACGCCCGGGGCGGCTGGCGTCGCTGGGCTTCACATTGACACTGACGGCGTCAGCGCTGCAGCACTCGCGCCCGGCGCGGCTGGCGCTGGCTTTCACCTTGTTGACACGGTCAGCGTCAGCGCTGCACCACTCGCAAAGACCTAAAGTCCTCCTCGTCGACTGCCACGACAGCTACACGCACAACGTCGCGAGCTGGCTGCACGATGCGGGCGCCACACCAGAGGTCGTCGCCGCCGACGACGCCGCGTTCGAGGAACAACTCAACAAAGACGCCGCAGCACTCTTAAGGAAGTACGACGCGTTGGTATTATCACCGGGGCCGGGCCACCCGGCCCACGTGCCTCGTACACTACACCAGTGCCTGCGACACGCGGACGACATGCCGGTCCTAGGCGTCTGCCTGGGCCATCAATTCCTCGCACTGAGTGAGGGCGGTGCCGTGAAACGTTTACAAGAACCACAGCACGGTTTGGTAAGCAGAGTAGCCCACACTGGTTCCAGACTATTCAAAGGCATGGAGCAAGGCTTTGAAGCCACGCGCTACCACTCCCTGACAGTAGACGAGTCATCTCTAACAAACAGCGACCTCCGCATCACGGCGCGAGGGCTGAGGGAGGGCGACGTGCTCGCCGTCGAGCACGTCGCCAAACCGAGGTACGGTGTGCAGTTCCATCCGGAGTCGGTGGCGACGCCGCGCGGTTCATCAATCGCGGCGAACTTTCTCGATGTGGTGCGGGAGCGGTCTCGAAGACGGCCACTCGTGCCTTCTATCCAAAAGCACGTACCTACATCAACATCGTCCTTCGTGACGCGCGCGACGCGTTTAGACGTGGACGGTGTGGACGCGGCGGCCGTGCACCGTTCCTTATTCGCGGAGGACGGCTTTTGGCTGGATGGGAGGAACACGTCGGTGTTGGGTGATGCGGGCGGGCCGTTTGGGGCCGTGCTGACTCATAGAACGTCGTTGCGCGGCGGTATCACGCATCGTGACGGTGAGGTTTTGAGAGGAGACGTGCTGGACCACGTCCAGGGCGAGTTATCAACCATGGCGCACGATATTGTCGTAGATGAGACCGGTTCCCAGGTAAACTTACCCTTCGCCTTCCGCCTGGGCCTCGTCGGCTACCTGGGCTATGAGGTAAGACGAGAGACGGCCGACTACCCCGGCGAGACGTCCGAGAAATCGGCGCCGGAGCCCGACGCCGCGTTCATCCGGTGCGGTCGCGCCGTTGTGGTCCAGGACAGTACTGTGTGGATCCTCGAATTACAACAACGTGGCACGGACTACGACGGCGCCTGGCGTCGGACGGCCGAGGCCGCCGTCCGAGCAGCAAAGCCTACACCAAAAAAGTTCGCGAGGCGCGAGATATCATTAAGACCGCACATGTCGAAGCGCGCCTACGCTAAAAGAGTGGCAAGGGCCCGCGCCGCGATCGACGCCGGCGATTCGTACGAAGTCTGTCTCACGACGACCTTTGGCGCGGAGTTGGATCACGTGGGCGACCCCCTGACGTGGTACGAGGCGCTACGAAAACAAAACCCGGCGCCGCATGCTGCGTATCTCAAGCTCGATGACGTGGCCGTACTGTGTTCGTCCCCCGAACGCTTCCTATCTATTGACGCCGCGACAAAACGCGTGGAGGCGCGGCCCTTCAAGGGCACGGCGGCGCGCTACGATGATGCTACTCAGGACCTCCGGAGCGCCCTGACGCTGCAAAATTGTATCAAATCAAATGCGGAAAACCTCATGATCGCGGACCTCCTCCGCAACGACCTGAGCCGTTCTTGTGAATTGGGTAGTGTCAATGTGACGGAGTTGTGTGCCTTGGAGTCCTTCGCCACGGTGCACCAGCTCGTCACGACGGTCGAGGGGACCGCGTCTACGAGTACCGTGGACGTCGTCAAACAGGCCTTCCCTCCCGGAAGCATGACGGGCGCGCCGAAGAGGCGGACCTGCGAGATTTTGGACGACCTCGAGGGGCGAGCGCGAGGCTGCTACGCCGGGTGTCTGGGGTTCTTTGGCTTTGATGGTAGTGCCGACCTCAACGTCGTCATACGCACTGCCGTTTTATCGGGCTTGAACTCGAAGCCGCGCTTGGACGTGGCGGCGGGCGGCGCTCTGACGGCCCTATCGGACACGGAGGAAGAGTGGAATGAAGTGGTGCTGAAAGCTAGAGCCGTCGCCGACGCGTTGGTGGAAGGAGGGGTGCGCGAGGAGGCGCTCGTTGATGATGCCGTCGTCGCGGCGCGCTAGTACTAGTATGTAATTGTTTGCACATATCCCGTCGACTTAAGCCTTTAGAACGCGGCAAGACTTGCGGCACGGCCGATGAATCGGCGACGCGCGGTGTCTCCCCCCCGGGGTCCCGCCCGCTAGTCCTATCTCTCGGCCTTAGGCGTCCGTTCCCCGGGCACAACTGCCAGAGGGATCTCCTTCAACTCGTTCCGCGCGCAGAGGAACTCGCCGCAGACGACGGCAACCACCAACGCGCAGCCGTGGCAGAGCCACCACGTCCAGCGCGGGAAACTTCGAGAGTAGCACAGCGAGAGTAACAAGTGGGTCCCATACAACGTCACCTGCGTTGAACGACGTCGTCACGAAACCACTTCTGCACATTCACGAGACGCGTAGACGCTCTGACGGCCACGTCGACGGCGTCACGGTGGCATCGCGTCGCGTTGACGCCATCGACGCGAACTTGAAGTTCAGAAAAGGTCAGAAACAGACGCCGAGTCAGACCGCGAAGTCGAGGCACTTTCTTGCCTTCTCCACGACCACCGCCAACAAATAGGCCGCGCCCATGCCAGCCCCGAGGACGCCCGCCAATTCAAAGGCCGCCGACATGCTTTGGACATCCAACGACGTGTGCGTGTCGAAAAAACGGTCCAAATGTAATGTGATCCCAAAAACAATGTGCCCTCCAATGAACCAGACCCCCAGCATCGCATAGTAGAGGCACTGCAAACATAAAATCTGCAGGCAGATCAGCGTCACATCATGCCGCCCCATGCCTCTCCTCCTGGCAAACATGCGCCGCGGCCGCCTCGGGAAGGGCCGCGCGCCGTCGGCGTAGACGAGGCGCGGGCTCGCTGCCCGCGCGGCGTAGCGCGCCAGGGTTCGCCTGGCGGCGCTTGCAGCTTGCGCGCCGGTCGCGCGCGGTGTCGACTGCCCGGCGGCTGCAGGCGGTCCTGGGAGCCCCTGGGGCCTCTCCTGGGACCGCTTCTTTCTGCTCACGCGCTGTCGTCGCGGTGGCAGCGAGACGTTGCGAACGCCTGCGGGTCTGACAAGCGACGGAGGCGCTCAAAAACAGCTGCACAAAGTCGATTCTCGTGCCGCCAAAACCCGCCGGAAAGAGCCGAAACCCAGTATACGTCCTTGTCGGTCGTCAACCGTCTCGCGACGAAGCCAACGCCGTCCGAAGCCGTCACGAGATTCAGCCGTCTCACTCAAATTAGCTCTCACAACTGGTGCGCGCCTGTCGCGTTATCTGCACTCACCATCGCACCATTACTGCCGTGGATTCTGTTGCGTGCCCCTCGAACCATTTAGTAATCGCACGCGCAACCACAGCTCGTGGCGTGACGACTGGAATTGGCCCGCAGCACTGCACTGGGCGCCAACACGCATTCGACGGCGCGACCGTCGTCAGGCTGCGCATTTCAAAACCATGGCCCCGCCGCGCTTCACCTGTCCGCTCTGCGGCGTCGTAGATGGTCGCGGCCGCCGCCGCTGCGACCACTGCCGCTGCGCGAGGTGCTTCATGGCTCTGCCTTGCGGTGCCGCCGGCTCCAAGCGCCGGTGTGATGACGCGTCGCGGCGCGACGACGTGCGATCGACGGCGCCGGCGGTTGTAGCACCGCACACGCCGCTGCGGCCGCCGCGCGAGAAGCGGGCCGCGGCGGCCGTGTGCGACACGCTCGAGGCGCCGTCCGCGGGGTCCCGGCGGTGCGCCGACGACGCCACGCCGGCGCCGGAGACGCCTGCGCGCCCGCGCCGACGACGGCCGAAGACGGTGCGGCGGTCGAGGCGAATAGCTGCGAAGAAGAAGGCCGCAGCGCCGATGGCGTCGAAAGCGCCGACGGCGGTGGGCACGTAACGTTTGATACTGTTTTTTAGTCTTGCTAGGGCTCAAGCACTCCCCGGCGACGAAGGCGTTTCGCGGGCGCGGAGCGCGGCTCGCGCGAGTAGTAGATTGTTCTCAATTCCCGATGTGAGCGGATGCGCGCCACCAAGCACGCGTCTCGCGGTCCGTTCCGTCTCCACGAGCGTCGCCACGGCCTCGCGGACATCGTCGAGCGTCGCGCCGTCGGCCCGGCAGAGCGCCGTCGCGAAAGTCCACCTCATCTTGAGCGTGAGTCTATGCCTGTCCCCAAGAACGCGTCGCGCTATGGCCATTATTTTGCGCAGCAGCTGCTTGGCTTCTTCGAAGCTCTGTAAATCAACAAGGGATGCCGCGTAGTTGTTGGCTGCCTTGAGCGTTATGAGAGACTCCTGGGCAAAAAATAATCGGGTTTTTCAAGCCGAGTCAAAGCCGCCGCGCGGCCAGTGAGCGGCCTCCCTGGGGCCACGCGCGACGTGTAAAGTATTGGCGAGACGCCGTCAAAGAACCACCAAACCTGTGAGGCCCGCCCTGCACTCATCGAGTTCAAACCAGCTCTCTGTGTCGGACCTACGCCGCGGCGCCTGGCGCCTTCGGCGCGCCCGGCCCGCCCGCCGCGGCGCCGCCTCCTCCACAAGTCGGCGCGTCCCATCCGAACCTCGGTGGCCTCTTCGCTAGTGGTGGTACTGTGCCGCCCAAAATGCCGCGCGGCTCTGCGACTACGGCTCCGCCGCGCGACTACGGCTCGGGCTTCTCGGCGACCTACTCGGCCTTCGGCGGCGGGGGCCTCGGCCTCTTCGCGTCCGCGCCGGGCTTCATCACGACGTCGTCGCGCATTATTGATGATTCTCAGCCGCCGGGCGCGCCCGGCGACACAACGCGGCGGTCCTCGCCGTGATACAACGCGGCCGCCCCGCCGCGCTACAGACCCTTCCCCTGAATCCTTCCCCAGACTAATGATCTAGTCAGTCGCCGCGAAACCCCGCCCCCTTGATTTGCTTCAAGGGCGTGAGCTAGCAGATGTAAGACACTAGCAAGCTTTTTTACGTTGCGAGCGCTGCCCAATCGACACCAATCGGGGGTGGGCAGCCTGTTACGTGAATCTATTTATCTCTCCCCGCCGTAGCTCGCCGCTTTTCCATCGATGCGGTACTGGCAAGCTCCCTAAAGGTTCTCTCAGAGAGTCTCATCGAGCGTCGTCCAGGCTGTAGCGCATCGGTGTGCTCGTGAAGAGGACGATGAAGCCATCGCCGCGCGCCGCCGCCGCGGCCTGCCTCCTGGCGTCGTGCGGCGCCGAGACACTAATGAAGTACGTGCTCGTGCCGGGATTCGACTCCGACGACGCGCCCATGTTTGCAAGATGGGGCGTGCCGCTGTCCTGGGATTCTTCATTAAATGAGACCGAGCTCCAGACGCACGCCCGCGACTTCGCCACCAAATACAGTTTGCGCCAGACGCACGCCTGCGGGAACGATGTCAATTGCATCACGGCCGCGTTGGCGGAGCGCATGGCCGCGGCGACCGCCTCCTGTGATGCGGACTGGCCCGAGCGGCTTGCTGATGTCGTGCAGCGCTTGTCAAAGGCGAGCGCCGGCTACGAGCCTTTCGGTGATATAGCTATCGTACTGTCCGGCTCGACGAACAAGCTCGCGAGTACGCTCGAATCGCTCTACGAGCGTGTCGTTCGGCCCTCAGGAGCGATGGTTTTCGCGGTGTTGAGCGGCGGTCAAGTTTTACCAGAAAGCACAAAAAAAGCCTTCGAAGCGCTGCCCTTCGTCGGCGCTGTGGAATTCGCGGGGAATGACACCGACGCCGTGCGGCGCGACCACGCGGAGCACTACCCCTATCCGGCGCGACGGAAGAAGGAGCCCGAGCCGCACGTGAATTTGCTATACATGTGGAAGGGCATTCGAGACGCGAATGCGCTGCGCGAGGCGTATGAGGAGGCGACCGGGACGACATTCAAGGTCGCCGCGCGCGTCCGGACGGACATGGAGTTCGACCGCGACCACAACCTCGAGAGATATTTAGATCTACAAAAATTCGCGCTCTACGTGCCGCGCTGCGGCCACGCCATCGTGAACAGTGCGGCGTTCCTCACGTGGCCGCCGGGCTATCGGGGCGTGAACGACCAGTTCTTCGTGGCGCAGGGTGCGACGTTCGGGCGCGTCGCGCGCCTCTACGAGTACATTCCCTCGCTGTACAAAGATGCGCAGTGCACCTTTCACCCCGAACATCTGTTGGGCTACGCGGCCGTGGCGGCCCTGCGGCTCGAGTTGCGCTACTACGAGGCGCCGCCGCCGGACCCCGTGGCCATTCCCGAGCCGGTGCCCGGCTTCGCGTCGGCTTCCGGAAGGGAGGAGGCGCCCTGCGACTTCGCGGCGGCGGGCTACCACATCCGGCGGCATTCGGAGCGGGAGGGGGCGTGGTTGTGAGTTTTTTAGTTTGAAGTTTTATCATTGAGCTGTCTATTGTACGGTGCTAGGACTAGTGGGCCGGACCCCTGGGGAGACCCCGCTCGTCGCCGATTCATCGGCGGTATCATTGAGGTGACGCGACGTTGCCGCGCGACTTCGCTCGAGCTCCCTTAGGTCGTGCGAGGCGGGTCCGAGGACTCTGCCCATAACTCGGCGACCCCCGAATCCGCCCGGAGACCTGCGCGCGGGGCTGTTGACATCAGAACATGATCTCCCAGCGCCGCGAAGGAAACAGAGAAGCCGCGCCGTGCTCAAGCAACGAGCCCCCACCGCGCCGCAGAAGAAGTCCCGCGGGGATCCCTACTTCCTACAGACTTGCGGAAGGCTGCCCCATGGCCCTGCTGCTCCGCAGAACGACGATGAGGGCCCTGCTCCGCCGGGGCTCCACCTGGTCGCGATCGACGGAACCGGTTCCTCCCGCCTTCCTCACGAGCCTCGACAACCCGCAGACCTACTTCGACTCCTCGGAACTCCGCGCCGTCGGCGGCCTCGAGACGCAGCCGCAGTCATTAACCGCGGAGACGGAGAAGGTTTTGCATGATGAGGCCTGGCGCGGCGTCGCCAAGAAACGCGGCCTGCTCTTCGAATCCATGGTCGAACGCGACATCGCGACGCAGGGCGCCTTCGCGCCCGCGGCCGTCATGCGGTCGCGCCACCCCTGACCCCCCCCTCTTCCCTCCTCGCGCGGCACACCGGTGCCGCGCCTTCCATGCGTTGTAAGAAGAAGCCTGTCGTGACTCCGGCTAGTAGGTTGGCGCAGCGCCTGCTCGCGCTGCGCGAGAGGCTGCCAAGCGCTGTGGCAGCCGCTGCGGGCGCGCGCGCCGATCGCAATGGGGCAGCCTGCGAAGATGTAACGCGACGGCTGCTATGGATGCGCAATGGAGGAACGAGCTGGAAGCGCTGCAGCAACTGCTGGCGAGCCAGCAATCGCAGATTATCACTCTGCAGAAGAAGTTGGGCGTCAGCACACCGGAGGACGAGGCGGATGTACCGGCCGCCGAATACAGGCGCGTGTTCCTGGCGACAGCCGCGTTTCTCTTGTGGGATAGCATAGCAATGTCCATCGCCGCGTTTACCAGCGGAATGGAAGGTGATTTGGGACAAGTCGAAACGCTTTTGTGGCCCATGTGCTGGACTGTACTAATGGCTCTGGTGCTGGGAACCATGGACTCGTCGGTCGCCGGACGGCACGCCCTTCTAATATATCGTGGCTGGGCTATCATCCAAGTCGTGGTCATTCCGCTCCTCTGGTGGAACAGCGGGAGGCGCGAGGTCGCTGTGTTCCTGTTCGTCATGTTTATAGTGAACGCGATTTTCTGGCCATGGATGGGCAAGATGATGCTTGAGACCCTTCGGGCTAGGGGTGCGCTGACAACACAGGCGCAGCTGTACACGAATCGCGCCATGAAAGTCTTGGGATTTCAGATCTTGCTAGCTATAACCGCCTTGGCCCAGGGCATCGGACGCGAGTCGTACGCAAGGGTCTACGCCACCTTCGTCTTCTCCGTCGTGCTGAGCAGCTCTTGGGTCTACCTGACGGCTATCTTTGACGTCTGCAATGTAGACAGTCGCGCTGTTGCCAAGCTGCGACTCTCGCCGTTGCAGGCGACGACGCTTGCTTTTTGGGGTGTGAACCTCCTCGCTGGGCTTGCAGGATACATTTTAGCTAGTCAGCGGAGGCCATCTAGATGGGCTTCATTCGCGGTGGGCTACGTGATGATGGGTTCTGGTTGGATCACGATGGCGTTCGTCGGTCGCCTCGTCTATGTCGCGCGTCGTGGGCGCGATGTCCCCCCGGCCGCGAGCGTCAAGCCAGTCGATGCACTGGGTTCGCTCGACCTGCCTGGGGCGTAACATAAGTAGGATGTCCTAGGTAATCATATTGAGTCGATGCCGGATTTGCTCGACCCGCACGCGATCTGCAGCGCGGCTGCCCGCGGCGCTGCTCGATACGAAATCGGGCTGCCTAATCGCATGAATGCGAATAATGCACTGCACGTGATGCAGGCGCGACCGTAAGCTAGCAGTCTCGGCAGCACGATGGCAGAAGCAGAAGATTTGCGCGCGTTGCTAAGCAGGCAGCACTCACGCATAGACGCGCTGGAGAAGCAGTTAGGGGTGACGCCAGCGGAAGCGGAGGACGTGGATCTTCCGGCCGCCGAGTATAACCGCGTCTTCGCCGCGACTGTCGCGTTGCTCATCTACAACTGCTCGTCGGGGCTGGTCATATCGTTTACGGCGGCCGGCGGCATCGAAGGCAATTTATCCCAATTTGGATACCTCCTTTGGCCCCTTCCTTGGACCGCGATATTCGGCCTCTGTTTCGGAACACTCGACTCGGCGGAAGCTGGGCGGCGTGCCATCAGACTGCTCCGTCTCTGTTGCGTCGCCCACCTGATCGTTGTGCCTCTTCTCCACTGGACCTCGGGCCTTCGCGGGCAGGCTCTCTTCGCCATCTTCCAATTTTTAATTAACATCTTCTATTTGCCCTGGCTATGCGGATCCATGATCGAACTGCTCCGGAGGCGGGGGTCGCGGAGGGCCCAGGCAGAGTACTACACCTCGCGCTCTCTCAAGCTTGCGGGCTTCCAGATATTGCTCCTGGTGGCTGCCGTCGGCCAAGGCATCAACCGAAAGGAGACCTACCCGCGGATTTATGCCACATTCGTCTTCAGCGCCTCGATGTCATTTGCGTGGAAGTATATGATTGCGATCTTCGACGTCGCAGCAGTCAACAGGCGCGAGGCTGCCAAGCTGCGACTCTCATGCATCCAGGCGACAGCGCTCATCCTTGTCGGTGCGTTCGTCCTCTCAGGCCTTTGCGGATACGTCTTATCCAGCCAGAAAGAGCCGCCAGGGGCTGTGGTATTATTGGTTGGTCACGTCATGCTGGCTACTGGTTTCTCCTCAATCGTACCCGTGGGTCGCCTCGTCTGGGTCGCGCGGTATCATCATGGGCGCGACGACTCCCCGGCCGCGGTGAAGCCAATCGATGGATTGGGTTCGCTCGACCTGCCCGGCGCGTAACTTATAAGTAATATGTTCTAAGATGCGTGCGGTCATGTCGGCACTCAAGATTCGACCCGCGCGCGATCTCGACCCGCACGGGCGCAGAGATCGCGCGCGCGGCGCTGGGCGGGGCGCTGGCGCTGGGGCAGCCCGAATCGCGCGCACGAATGCGATTCCGCGGCATATAATTCTGGTGAAGCAAATGGCAGCGCGCAGCGACCAATGGTACGACGAGATCGAGGGCAAGCAGAGCTTGCTGGCCAAGCAGCTCGATGCGCTGCAGCAGCATCTAGGCGCACCGGCAGCCGACGCAGAGGAGGTCGACCAGCCGCTCGCGGAATACGCGCGCAACTTTTATTTAACCATCCTCTTATGCGTGTTCGTCTCTGTCGGCATGGTGGGCTCCGCGCTGTTCAGCCCAATGGGCTTTTACAGCAATTCGATGCAGGTGATTTGCTACGCTTGGCCCGTTTGCTGGACGGCATTATTCGGGCTCATTTTTGGGACCCTCGATTCGTCCGAGGCCGGGCGACGCGCGATTCAGGTTCTCCGCGTCCATGCGTCCTGCCAAATTATTACTGAATTTCTCGCGTTTTGGTCTGTCAAGAGGTACGAGGAGGCCGTTCTACAGATCTTCGCGCAAGGCGTCAACGCGGTTTGTTATCCATGGCTGTGTCGACTTATGGTCGAGCTGCTCCGCAAGCGGGGAGGTCTGGCGAGCCAGGCGGAGCACTACACGAACAGGCTTCTGAAAGTCGCGGGGCTTCAGATATTGATAGCTGTGGGAGCGGCTGCTATGGGTGTCGATGGGCGGAGGACATCCGACCGGTTTTTTGCCGCCGTTACTTTTAGCATCTCGTTGTATGTCGCCTGGTTCTACCTCGTGGCCATCTTTGACGTCTGCGCTGTCGAATCCCGTGCAGCCGCAAAACTTCGGCTCACCTGTCTGCAGACCGCGGCGCTCATCTCAACCGGGCTCCATATTCTCTCAGGGTTGGCCGGCTACGTCTTGGCTGGTCAGAAAAGCCCGAATCCCCGGGCATCGTTCCTGGTTCTCTACGCGATGATGCTCACATATTATGTTTCACTTCTGTTCGTCGGTCGTCTCGTTTGGAAGGCCCGCTACGGATCCGGCGCCGCCTCTACGGCGGCCGCCGCGAGCGTCAAGCCCGTCGACGCACTGGGTTCGCTCGACCTCCCATAACAATACAAGTTTTACTTCCCCGACCGGTCGCGCCGCATCTGGCGCATCGTCACGGCGAACTGTCGGTAATCCGTCGAGGCCCGCAGGGCCTCGAGCAGGAAGCCCTCCGCGCCCGTCGCGCCCTTCTGGCCGTCGACGAATTTCATGAGCGCGTCCCAGAACTCGTCGACGGAGTAGCCGTTCTCCGTCAGGCAGGCCTCGATGCGCTTCTCGAACAAGTTGCAGAAATCCTCATGCAGCTTCCAGTGCTCCATCAAGTGCTCGCTCTCGTCGTCGAGGAAGAACCGGTCGCAGTGCTGCTCGCACCAGCGTTCCAATTCGTTCGCGAATTTGTCATCTGTCAAGAGTATCTGCGTGACCGTGTTCACGATCTCGTCGCTCGTGAGGTTGGGGGCCGCATTCTTTTTGTCAAGGACAACTGGCATTGCAGATGCCAAGCCGCGCGTGTTCAGACTAGTTCTCCCAGTGAACAGGCTGTTGACGCTCGCGCCGACGCCGTCGATGCTTTGCTTGACAGACAAGCAGAGGCTGCCCCAGCCAGGGGAAAGCGCCAATTCTCTGAACTACAGGTTGCCCCGCGGGGTGTGAGCGCGCCGCGACCTCGTCACGGCTCTCTGCACCAGGAAAGGTCGACCGCTGCGCACTGTGACTGCTCTGCTTCGCTCTGGCTGGGTGATTAGCTAGCTGCAAGACACTAGAAAAGCAAAACGCCGCACGAAACTACGACGAGTCCAGAGAAAATCGTAACAACACTACGACTCCGGAGAAAAAATAAACAGCACTCTGAATTAGGCAAGCAGCTCGTGGCATCGCGCCAGCGCCGCCGCGTCCTTCGACGAATCGCCCTGCAGCTCGACATACGCGACCTCGGCCGGAGTCAATCCATCACCTGTGTGGAATTCGAATTTCGGGCGCCCCACGCCATCGGCGCGATATTTTCTCCGTAGCTGCGTCTGCTCGAGAACCTAACTCACTGGTTGATTTCCGCGCTGGTGCCGACCGTTTTCGGCCATCATGTTCGCCCCAAATTCCAAAAGCCGGCAGAGCACGTCATGCAAGCCCTCGCGCGCGGCGACATGACAAGCAGCGTCGCCACTATTGGTCGTCGCGTCGACGTCCGCGCCCGCGTTGACCAAAGCTTCTAAGAGAGTCGCGCGATCTTCCTCCTTCCGCGTCAAGTTCAGGACATGAATCGCCTGGCGACCGTCCGACGTCCGGACATCGGGATCGGAGCCCGCGTGTAACAGTAACAAGGCGAGTTGCGTCGACCCATTGGCCACCGCGGCGCATAGCGGCGGGAACCGCACGTCGGGGTGGCCGTCATCGAGAGCCGGGTCCGCCCTGAGTAGCATCAACCGTCTAGCTACTTTCTCGACATTGGCCTCGCCCAGCACGTCGCACCACGTCACGACATAGCACAACGCAGTAGTCCCCTCGTGCGGTTCCGCGTCGGCCTGCTGGGGACAGAGCTGTGCCCACTGTTGCGGATCTTCCTGCGGATAACGAGCGTCGACCTTGACGCGACACCGCAGCACCAGCGCTTCCACGAGATCAGGGTCGCCCATAGCGCACGCCGCGAATAAGTGGACCGGCTTCGGCCGGTCCGGCACTTGCCTTTTAGCGGACGGTCGCTTCCGTAGAGCTTGGGCCGCGTTCTGGGCCGGGCTTCGTGGTGACTGCGGCGCCGGTCTCCTCGTTGAGGTGATATTTGTTGATACTAGTTGTGGACAAGTGTCCTTGACGTATTTCTCGCACTGCACGAGAGCCTGTGTGGAAATCAACCAGTGAGCTAGGAGCTGCGTCGATGGCGTGGGGCGTCCGAAATTTGATTTCCACACAGACGAGAACGGGGTAGGGCCCCTCAACAGGTCGAGGTTCGCAGGGGTCAAACGTCGTCCCGAACGCCAGGCCGCTTCGACACCCTTGATCGAGCACGGCGCAGGGCAGCCAGGCCAAGGGCGCGTGCGACGCCGGCGCCGACGCGCCGAAGGCCGCGCCTCTAGGTAACTTATACGATTTGAAGGACGTCTCCGACAGCGAAGCGAGGATCGGGGCCAGCGGTCGTAGAGCAGGACACAGCCTCGATAATGACCTTTGTGTACTATAGGCATCATCCTCCTGCCACACCTTCTGCGCTCTAGCGAGAACACCAGCGCCGAAGGGTCTCGACCTCCCAGCGAAGAAGTCGCACTGCCGTTCGAGGTGCAACGCAAAGCTCCACGCGTCGTCGTCTTCCTCCTCTGTTCTGACAAGACCAAACACATAGTCCCTCTGGACCGTCGTCACCGTCACGTAGTGCCACCGCGACGCGGCTCGGTGCGACGGTTTCACTTGGAGATGATACTCGTCCACCAAACCGCCCTCGCCGTCTCTTCTGGGTACTTCTGGGCCTAAGCAGACTCGCTCCACGTCCTTGAGCTTCACCGTACCCGTACTTCGCGGAGAAAAGGACGACTTCTTCTGGTTGCGCCACACGAGTGAATCCTTTTCCACAACAACTCGTTTCCACTCCGACCCGCTCTTTTGGAGCTTCACGGCCGGTCGCTCCAATGCTAACGCGCGAGCCCGTCGCTCCGGGTCGTCCGCGACCACAATCGCCGACGACACCTTTGAAGATAAAGCCTGGCAGGCGTGCTGCTCCGCGTCCGACAGCCACGTCGCCGGTCGCGCCTCGTCGGCATAAGCAGGGGGCTTCGGCACGATCACTTGCACGTCGTCGTCCGGCAAGGAATCGGGCGGCGTCACGGTCACTTCCGGCGGCGGCGGCACGGGGGGCGGCTTCATTTCTCGGACGCGCGACGTCGGCGGCGACGTCGGCGGCGACGTCGGCGGCACCGCCTGCGTGCATCGAGAGCGTCGACGCGGCGACGGCGTAGCGCGGCGAGGAGGTCCGCGGGGCGTGGCGTACATCTCGCGCGAACGAAAAACACAAGACGCGGGAAACGAACGTCGAGGTCGACCTCGACGGCAGACCTCCTTGCAATGGTCGCCGGCGAGTCCGCGTCCTTGCCCTCCTCCTGGCCCTCGCGCATGTGGTCCAGGAAGGCGACCCTTTCCGCTTTTTCTTCCTCGGCCTGTTGTAAATGACGGTCGAAGGCCACGGCCAGAACGTCCGCCGCCTTCAGGGCAATCAGCGCTTCTGGCGCGGTAGGTGGTACACCTGACTCTTCGGCTGCTTTGTGGGCCGTTTCTAGGTCCGCTCGCGCGTTCTCGAGGACGCGCATCGCATCTTCACCAACTAATTCTAAATCGCGACACGTCTCCATCACCTCGTTGCCCGCTCTCTCGAGAGAAGCAGCAGCCTTGCACCTTTCTTCCAGCTTCCGCAATTTACGTCGCAACCTCCGCAAGATCTGCTTAAACGTATCAATATCTGCGGCCATCGCCCACGCCGCCGTGGTCTCCGCTTGCGCAACACGCGCGGCGTCGTCCAAACAAACAGAAGCATTCTTGTAAATATCTTTCAAGACGTCGCGGTGCATGTCCGGCAGTATAGCTTTCATGACCTCCTTGAAGCTTGCGGTGTGCTTCCGGAACCTCAGAACCGCTACTCTACTTCTAGCTCTATCTAGCACGGACCCGTCCAATCGCAACTCGGTAGCGATGGCGACCGCCGCCTCCAACGCATCCACATTTTCCATCTCGATGGCCGTTTCCAACTCCTTGAGGGCCGACTTGCGCAAGGCTTTGTCCCGTGCCCCTTCGATCAGAGCCTCCGCTCTTGCCCTTAGGAACACTTTCGTACGACCGACCACAATGGCATCCCTCTCTAGAGATAAAGATGACGCTAGAGCATCCACCAAACACACGGCGCCCTCCCGGTTGGGAGAATGCGTCATGTCGCAGAGTTTCCCGAACCTTTTCAAAAAGGCTTCATAGGAGTACCGTCGCGGGTAGCCTCTTCTACGAGCCTCGACGACTTGCAGGAGGCCCATATATCTTAATTGCTCCAAGACCAGCGCGCCGCGCCAGGACGCCGGCGCTTGGTCGGCGTTCGGTTTCACGCAGCGGACGAACTGCGGTCTCGTACTCTCCACCGTCCGCGTGAGCTCTTTTAGTGATTTCCCGAAGGCCTTGGCGACGCACTCCCTTCGTCTATTCCCTCGTCTAGCCGCTCTAGCACCTTTGCGCTCAACAGCGACCGATGTTGCGAAGAGGGATGCTACGAGCGGGTTCGAGGACGCGGCGAGTGTTGACGCGCCCGCATCGGGGAGAGCATCTCTATTCTTGGCCACGAAGCCATCCGTCGTATAGGTGACCTTGCCCGCGAAATGAGAGATGATAAAGGCTCTCCCTACGAGTTCCCCTCCAGTTCTCGCGGTACCCCTATAAGGTGCTAGCACATCCCCATCAGAGACCCGATCCAATTTCGCCACGAACTGTTGATCCGAACCTCTCCGTAAAGCGCATTCTTCGTCCAACAACCGCAGCACGCCATCTTCGAGAGATGCGACGACCCCGGCGTTATCTACATAGGCCGTCGGGGGTACCGGTATGTCCTCCTGCGTATACAACTTCGCCTCCGTCTCGAAGACGAAGTTGTTGAAGTGGGCTTGCAACCGTTCATTCGCGTAGTTAATTAACAGTTGCTCCAGACTATTCGAAACAAATGATTCAAAGCCAAAGATGTCAAGTAACCCCACGAACAACCGTTCGTCCTTCCCCATGTTCGGCTTTGAACTGTCATCACCCAGAGCGCTGTTCACCAACGCTACGATCTTGTCGAACAACCTAGCATACAAAGCTTTGAGTAACCCGTCACGGGCGTCCTCGGCCTGCTTACTGCTGTTAGGTACGCGCACACCAGCGACGCGTCTCGCTACAAAAGCTTCCGCCAAGTCGTCGGACGCCACGCCCAGACACTTCGACGCGTCACTCGTCACGTTGGCCATCCTGCTACCCGCATCTTGGCCCGGGATTTCTACGCTCTCGAAGTGGGCCTCGCCGACAGCTAAAATGCCTTTTAAAGTCGATGAGATGTCCTTGATCACATCTTCCGGAACCGAGAGAGCGCGCATCGACCGCAGGGTCTCTTGATAATCGTCCGGCTGGTCGCGCGGCGGGTGAACGCGATTCCCAAGATTTAACAAACGCCGGTCGTCCGCCCTCAAATGAGAATCCGCTACTAATTGATAAAAAACGTGAAAGTTCCGCTCGCCTTCATTCAGTGAAACGCACCTCGTTTTTTCCAGCAAGTAGTGGTCGACCGTGGCGCTGGCAACGGTCCCCGACAGCCGATCGACGAAGACTCGCACGAACTTCCCAAAACGACTGGAGTTGCCGTTCCGTACCGTGGTCGCGTTCGCGAAGGCCTCCAGTAAAGGATTGGCGGCAATTAACGCATCGTCGACGCCCGGAGAGGCGGACGTGCCTTTGGCCCGATGACTTCGTTTGGCGATGTACCCGAGCATGATTTTTACGGTTTCTGTCTTGCCCGCACCACTCTCGCCGCTCACCAACAAAGATTGGGAGGTCCTATCTCTCACGACGCCTCGGACAGCGGATTCAGCAAGAGCATAAGGGTGGGGTTTCAACAAATTCGCATCGTCGCCGGCGCCGAAGCGCGCATACCCATCGTCATACAACCGCTCAATTTTCCGGAACGGGTTTATCGCGACGACCACCCCTCCGAGAGAACTATAAATGCGATCCCGCCGATACCTCCGCCGCAAACACTCGAGCATCGTCGCCTCGCTCAGGTTCTCGAGCGCGGCCATGTCCTCCGTTTCTTCCAGTGTTTTATCATTTGTCAAGCGTTCGACGTCGCTACCGAGCCTCTCGAGCAGCACGCCGCCGTCGTCCAGTCGCAGCTTCAGCGTCGCTTGCGAACCAATACCTTGCGACCCCGTGACGACGGCCGTGGCCCAGCCGTGGTCCTGGTCCTTCACGAGGCATCTCTCGCCTGAGGCCCAGCCCGACATTGTCTTCCGGTGCTAGCCGTGCGCGGGCTGCCCTTTACTTGCTGGGGCTGCTTCGTAGGTATGCGTGGGCGGCTCACGGCGATCGCTGCTGGCTGGGCTGCATCGGTTCCGCCGCGCGCTCGACGCTTACATCCAAATTTTGTGTGAAATTCAGTCACTAGACACTGGAGTAGAGGCTACTCAAGCGGGGCCCAGGAGTCATGAGGTGACCAACAATAGCTATCGTTGGCGTCCGAAGCACCAGATCAATTTTTCGCCTGCTTTGCTAGTGTCTTCAGGCCGCTAGCTCGCCACCAAAAATAATTGCCAAAAAGCGCCGGCGCGACGGGCTTTGTTGCGCAAGGCGCGACCGCATACGTTGATTCGTCGTTCTGAAGCGCTGCCGCGCACTGCACGCATCGCTCGGGCCGGCGCGGACGGCTCGCCCACTGCTGCAGCACAGCCTCACGCCGTCGCCGCGGCGCGCCGCCGCGTCCGCAAACCAGAGAAGACGTCACCCCAAAACACTGCTGCGAAAAGCGCGATGAAGACAAATGCCCACAACTTCATTCATGCGTGTCATATGAACACTGTATGTGTTGTGATCGTACTGGCCAAGCTAATCCGAGCGCCCGCACAGCAGCAGACCCCGTCCAGTGTTATCCGTTTTTGGCCTTTCTGTGGTCTTACTCGGTTGTCAAAGGCGGGGGAGACCAATTGTCGGGGGTGCATATGTCTGACGGCGCGGGAGCGACCGCCTGCCGCGCCGTCCTAACGTCCCCCGCTCACGCAGGCATGGAGTCCGCCGCCGAGCGGAAAGCGAGGCTCAAGGCTTTGCGGGCCGCGCGCGACGACAAGGTCGGCGGCGAGAAGAAGCTGAAGTTCCGCAATTATCTGCCGCAGTCCGAGGAACTCGCCCCGGCCTTCGAGCCGCCGCCGCTCCCCGAGCTCCAGGCGCCGCCGCCGCCGCCGGTTGCGGACGAGGACGACGGAGACACGCCGGCGGCGCCGGCGCCGGCGCCGAGCGCCTTCGACGCGGAGCTCAGTCGCATTCAAGCGGACGAGCCCGAGGGCGCGCTGAACGTCGTGCCCCGCGACCCGAACTGGGACCTGAAGCGCGACCTCGAGCCGCGCGCCGAGGTCCTCCGGAAGCGGACGCAGAAGGCGATCGTCGAGATCCTGCGGGAGCGGCTGAAGGCGGAGGCTAGGCAATAATGAATTTACGTAGTGAAGGCGACGGAACGCCATGAAACGGTATCAAACTCGGGCGGCGGCGCCCGCAGGCTGATCTTCGAGGAACGCCGTCGTCACGGCTTCGAACGACTTCCAGGCCAAGAGCGCCTCGGACGTCGGCGGAAACTCGCCGTTATGCCTCCGCAGCGCGTCGCGCGCCGGCGCCCGATACCACGCGGCCATCGGTCGGTAGATCGCGCGGACCTCGTCGCTCGTGGCCGGAATTGTCGGCGGCTCTTCGCGGGGGTCGACCGGGCAAATGTACTTGGGGAAGGCAAACGCGAGGAGATAAAGAAACTCCGCGACGAAACACATCACGATGACTGCTAGGTAAAAATGTTCCTTGGACCCGCAGCCGTAATTGTTGCAATGGTGCACTTGCCGACTGGCGTGGAATTTCGCGAAGAACGCGAACACGTGCAGCGCGACGACAATTGCCAATGTGAATAGGAGGCTACAAAGCCGGCTCTTCGGTGTCCGGTGAAAGCAGCAGCAGACGGCCATCTATGCTGTGTGGCTGTGGCTGGCAGCCTGGCCGCAGCCAAGGCAGCAGGCAGCAGGTGTAATGTATGAAATCGTTACGCTGCCCCTTTGCAGCCCCAATGAACTCGTGTCTGGCAGACGCCTCCTCGCTTGCCGCACGTGTCTGGCGCGCGTCCAGCTGGCCCTACGCGTCCGGGGCAGCCAGAAGGCGCCGGATCGCAGAGCTTGCTAGTGTCTTACCGCTAGGTTTTTATCGGTATTTTTGCGTTTTTTGGCGGCGTTTCGGCGGTAGACTGAAACGATTTGGCGCTATCTGTGCGCGCTCACTCAAGCGCGAATCCGACTGGTCGATCTCCGAAGAATAAAAAATCGTCTGAGAGCAATGCCACTCTCCATGGACGAGTTCTTCCGGTGCCGGCGGACGTCGTTACAACGACTGCCAGCGCCTTGTGGGGCCGTGGCGTGACCATCGTTCAACCCGTACGTAGACACGCTACCAATAATTCTCGACCTAAAGCGCCTGGATATATCAAAGCGCATCGGCTCCTAAGGGTCGCCAAGATGCATTATCTAGCGGCTGTAAGACACTAGCAATTCAGCCTTTGTGAAAATTTTGTCGGCGCAGCTATTATACAAGATAGCGGAGCTCACAGCAAGAGCGTTGCTGTGAGAGCTGTTCCACAAGTCCCTGGCAGCCCACAGCAGCGACACGCGGCTGCACGGACACTGAAACGCCTCAAAGCAGCTGGGAGAGGCTGCCTAGCCCACGTGGACGCCATCGCAGCGGCAACACAACGATGCGCGCCCTAGCAATACTAGCGCTCCTCCAAGCGACCCTAGCCGGCGTACCAGTAGCAGTAAGGAATTTGGTGGGAAGAGATGTGATAGTGGCGTGGCTCCAGCCCGGCCCGGAGCCGCGAAAAAGGATCCCGCAGCAGGCGAAACCACTAACAAATAGCAGCGTCATGTCCATCGACTCCTTCGCGACGCACGAGTTCATCGTCTACGACGCCGCAGCAGAAAAATATGTAGAAAAGCCGGACGGACACGAAAGCTGCGAGTTCTGGGCTTCTGTGGGGGAGTGCGCCGCGAACCCGGGTTATATGTTGGTTACGTGTGCCAACGCTTGTAATAATGAAGGGAAGAAGAAGAACAACGGCGAGCTGAAGGCAATTTTCGCCGTCGCTGATAATAGAGAAACGGTGTCGATCGTCGACAACGACGGCGTCTGGGAGGTCGTTCGAACAGGACCGGCGCACGACGCCCAGAAAGCAGTTGCAAGTGCTTTGGACGCTTGTAGTGCGACGCACGAAGATGGAGCACCAACTTGTGGTGAGGCTACCGTGCAATGTGTTTCTGACGAATTGCAGACGTTCTTCGCCCCGAAACGAGATGAACTATCGATAGAGAAGTTTTTGTTCGACCATGCCCTGAAAATCGCGCCGAAGGCGACGCCTGATCCGGACGCGAAGGGTGCTGCGTACAGCGAGGACCTGCCCAAGCTCTATAGAGACATCGAGCGGGCGTCGAAGGAGACGGATCTATCGGAAGCGTGCCCCGACGGTGCTAGAGAGTGTTTGCGGGACAAGGCGACGCATGAGACTGTGTTCCTCACGAGTACCATCGGTACGCTACGAAAGGCCACACGGGCGCGGCGCCACGACGTCCGGAACGCGACCTGTAGAAACCACGAAGACGTCTCTCCCCATTCGCCGGTCGTCGAGAAGATTTGGAAATATGACCCTTACACTTCTGATATATGGGCCGGTACCGCACCGGACAAGAAGGGCCCCGCCGAACCGGATCGGGCGATTCGTTATTTATTTGATCCTTCAAGTATAGATGCGCAGATTATCGTTATTGATGATTTTATTAGCGATGAGGAGTGCGATGCGGTGCAGACTCAGGCCACGCCGCGACTCGCGCGGGCGACGCACGCCCACGAGGGCGATTTGAGCCATGTTTCTAAAGCGCGCGACAGCCAGCAGGCGACCGTGAGGCCCGAAGGCGGTCGGAAGAACGAGCGCGACCTGAGCGACCCGATAGCGAGGCTCAAAGCTCGGTCCGTGGCCATGGCGAACCACCTCTCAAATTACACATTACAGTTAGATGGGCAAGAAGATTTGATGGCGGTCCAGTACAACCCGGGCCAGCAGTACATGCTGCATTGCGACGGCTCGTGCGACGGCACGCCCTTCGTCAGTGGTGGTAGGTTAGCGACCGTCTTGATGTACTGCGCCGCGGCGGACGGCGGCGGCACGGCCTTTCCGAACGCCGGCGTGCACGTCGTTCCCAAAAGGGGCCAGGCCGTCTACTTCAGCTTTCGGAGTTCGGATTCCGAAGGCCTCATGGAGGACTGGCACACGGAGCATTCCGGCTGCCCCGTGAGGGAGGGGTCGAAGTGGGTCGTGACGCAGTGGCTCCGCGACGGCGTGTCGAAGGAGAACCCGCACTCGCGCTTCGATCCGTCCGGGGGGCCGGTCCGGTGACGACGCGTGTCTGTGGGGTAAATTGATCAATCGAATTTAAACTTTGTCGTCTGCGGGGTGGCGTCTTGTAGAATACTTATGCGTCTAGCCTTTCGCGGGCGCGGAGCGCGCCTCGAGCCTCGGACAGATTGTGCCCAAACCCTTCTGTGAGCGGGTGCGTGCCACCGAACACGCGCCGTGCGGTCCGTTCAATCTCCGCGAGCGTCGCCACGGCCTCGCGGAAATCGTCGAGTGTGGCGCCGGGGTCCCTGCAGAGCGCCTCCGCGTAAAGCGACCGCATCGAGAGCGTGGAATCACACCCCTCTCCAAGAGTGCGTCGCGACACGGGTATTGCTCTGCGGAGCACCGACTTGACCTCTTCGAAGCGCTGTAGGTCTTTAAGGGACACCGCGTAGTTGTAGGCCGGTACGAGGGTCTCTGTCGCTTTCTCGCCGTGGAGCCCAACACGTCCGGAGTATACATCGTGCCGTAAGCGCAGGGCGCACTCATGACGTCCAATTTTTTCGTACGTGACCGCAAGATTACTCTGCGTGACAAGAATGCTTTCTTCTGATACGCCAATGCGCCGTTTCATAGACAACTCGGCCTCGTACACGGACAACGCCTCCTCGCTGTGGCCTGCATTGGATAAACCGTTGCCAAGCAGGGTCATCGCAGGGTACCGCAGGTGGTCCCCCTCCGGCCGACCCACGTACGTCTTCCAGCACGCCCACGCGAGCGCGCACTCCACGACGCCGTGATAGTCTTGCCCGCACAGGCTACACGTCTGCCACCGATCCCACCTCTCATTCAACGCCTTGTCACTCAAATTGTTCTCCAGGGCCTCTGCGACCAAAATCTTCGCCTGTTCCGCCAGACACGAAACGTGACGGGCGGGTGCTCTGCCACTGGCAGTGCCAGGACACCGGCCCCACCCTCGACGATCTCCGCGAGGCCGTGACGACGCTAGAGGACGCGAGACGGATCGCGCGGCGGGTGTTCGGCGGCACACATCCCCTCACAGAGCAAATTGAATGGGTCTTGCCAGCCGCGCGAGCAAGCCTCCGCGCCCGCGAGGAATCATAAGTACGTCTAGACTAACCCCACCACAGCACGCCATCGCCGCGACGAAAAACTAAAGTGCCCCCGTTACTCGCCAAACCACCCCTCAGCGCCCCGGCGGCAGCGGCCCGACCCACTGCCAGACCATCAGCTTCGCGTCAGCGCCGCCGCTACAAAAGTAGCCGTCGCCGGCGCACAACGCCTTGAGCTGGTCCGGGTGGCCCACGCTGAACCTATTACTGAGCGTGGCCCGCAACCGAAAGCCCAGGTCCGGCTGCCTCAGTTCTATGGTACCATCAACTAAACCAACGAGCACGATCTGTTTCTGGCCGGGATCCACCGTCGTACAAAGCGAAAGCACGGGCCCACCACATTGTTGGTCGTGGTCACAACCCCCGGAAGAGTTCCAGACCTTGACGTGCCGGTCCATGGAACCAGTGAGGAAATATTGCGCTTCACCCATCGACAGGGTGGTCACCGACGTCACCACATCTGAATGGCCCGAGTTGTTCTTCGTCAGTAGACCCTGGCAGGCCTTCGGGTCGCTGTCCACGGACCAGACTCTGACACTCCGGTCCATACTACCACTCAATAAAAATGTTCCTCCGGACGTGAATAGCGATAAGGAAGTGACCCCAAGCACGTGGCCCTCGAGCTTCTGCTTCAAATGAAATTTATTTTGAGCGGCATCGAAGCCCCAGCAGTGGATCGCGCCGTCGTGCGAACCGGTGTAGACCTCTGGAGAGGCATCAATTTTCAGCTGGACGGAGTAAGTCCTCTGTAAATGAGCGAAGGGCATTTCTGTACTAATATGGAAGTCGTAGGGCGTCGCGGGGTTCGCGAGGTTCCAGGCCCGCACCAAGCCGACCGTAACTCCAGGCAGAGTAGGTGTGGGCCCTTCATAACCGCAAACCAGGAAACCCGCAGCAACCTCGAGAGCGTGGACCTCGCCCTCCATGGCCACGTCCTGCTCCAATTGCCAACTCAAAGCGTTCCACATGCGCCAGTGGCCGTCTTTCGTACCCGTAAAGACTCTGACTCCGCCACTTTCGTCTTTATGCGAGCAGACGGCCGTCACGGCGTTTGAAGCTGACCCGCCCCGACCTCTCTGGCCCGTGTTCTTCGCCACCAACACGTCGGCGACCCGTTGTAAAGAATGCGCGAACTGGCAGCCTCCACTTTTATGGCCGCTCTGGCACTGCTGCGCCCCGCCCAGCAAAAAGAACTTGCACAGCCGCGCGTCGGGCTGCTCGTGGCCGCCCTGGTTCTGCTGCTGCTGCTGGTTCCGGTTCCTGCTCCCTCCGAAGTTGTTGTTATTGCTTCGGCCTCCGCCAAAACGATTCGAGTTGCCGCCGCCGCGCCGCCGCGACGCCATGGTCCCCCCCTGCTGCGGCGCGGGGTGCGTGTGGGAACGCCTCGTTTTTTATCGGTGTCCGGTGCGCCTCGCGCGCACTCGGTGCCTCGCGTCGCTCCGCTCCCGCTGGCGGAGCTAGCTGTTGCTCTACGGTGGCGTCGCGTGTGCCGCTGAAGACAAGCTCGTGCCGAAGTGGCTGAACGATAGCTACTTTCTGCCACCCACCCGGTACAGTTCCTGCTGTATGGCGTCTTGCGGCGTCGGCGCCCGCAAACTGAGCTAGCGTCATGTAAGACTCTAGCGAGAGCAGCATAATCGACTCGAACGCCTGCCATCGCCGCCCGAGCCCGCCAGGGAGCACGCACACGTCTCCTTGACGCCGTCGACGCTGTCCCGCGCCGCGAGGCTGCCACCCACGACACCTCCCCAAGCTGCCCCAGCAAACCATGGCCGCCATCCTCGACGCAAGCGACGCCCTCGCGCGCATGACGCAGCTCATGGAGAACGCGCCGCCGCCGCGACTCTCGAAGGACCAGCCGGAGCTCAAGCGGCCCACGAGAGAATGGCTCGACAGTATGTACGGTGCAGACAAAAAGAAGTCGGAAGCTAGTGGCGAGCCGGCATGGGTCGCCGACCACGTCGCGAAGAACGAGGCGCTGCGCAAAGCAATTGAGGAGAAAGAAGAAATGACCCTCTGCGAGGGGGAGCGCCCCTACGAGGACGAGCCTTCGACAACACCTCTGCTGGCGGACGACCGCGATGTGGTGCTGAAGGCTGTCCAACGGGACGGGTTCGCGCTCGCGCGGGCGCCTGTTTCGTTCCGCAGTGACGAGGAGATTGTGCGGGCGGCCGTGGGGCAGGCGCCGCGGGCCCTGAAGTACGCGTCGGACGAGCTGCGGGCGAACCGCGACCTCGTGCTTGAGTGTGTCAAACGCGAGGGCCTGGCCCTGCACGGCGCTTCTGCCGAACTCGGGACCGACCCCGAAATTGTTGAAGCTGCGATGGCCCAGATCGCCGAAGCGGCGCTCAAGGCCGAGGCCGACGAAGAGGAAGAGCTGCGCCAGTGCCCGGTCGCGCCGTTCTACCCCGAGGGCCAGGACCACACGACCTATAAATGGCGGACGGAGCGGCTGCCGTCCGATCCCACGTTCGAGCTGCCGGCCGAGGTCGCGGGGGACCTGCACGGGAAGAAGCCTCCTCCTCCTGCCGCCGCCGAGGACTAATTATTATGACTCTTCTGGCGCGGGCCGCGCGCATAAGTAGAATTCGACGGGAAGTATGAAACTTAGGAGGCCTCTCTTTTCACACGGATGTGTGCTCTTTGGTCAATGGTGCTTGACTGCTTTGCAATGCTCTGCGCGCAGTCGAGGCACACTTCGCATCGGACGCGCAACGCGCGGCCTTCTAAAGAACTACAAGGACCCCTCCGAGAAGTGAACTCACGGCCCAGATGAAAAGAAAGCCTGAGCCGAACGCGCGGCGACTACGCGGCGACACCTCCCGAGAAGTTGCTTACGGCCTAGATGATGAAAGAAAGCCTCAGCCGATGCGCAGCGCCGCCGCCGCCGCCCGCGATAAAAAAAATAGGACGGAAGCCTCACGCGATCACGCAGCACGCCCCGCCGCCGCCGGCCCGCTTCTCGTCCATGTGGTCGTATTTCGGCATCTTACCGCCGAGCACGGCCTTGGCCATCCACTTGTAGTAGCTCAGCTTGTTGCCCAGCTTCTCCACCTCCTTCTTCTCGCTCACATAATCGTCGGTGATGTCCACGCCGGGCAGGCGGTCCAGCGACTTGTTGTACTGCTCGACGACGTCGTCCTCCTCGGTGCACATCATGAACGTGCAGTACACTTTCGGGGACTTCTGGCCGACTAACTGCCTAAGTTCCGAAAAGGAGCAGTCCGACGGCTCGCCGTCCGTCATGATCAGTAATATCAAGTCCGTCTCGGCGCCGTGGCCCTTGGGGTGCCACTGGCCGCTGAGGAGCGGTCTCAGTCGCGTCGCGAGCGGCGTCCGGCCCTTGGGCTGCCGCCCGTAGAACAGCGTCTCGACCTGGGAGCCGCTGCGGATCTCGTGCCACGTCGGATCGTTCAAGAACTGGATGTGGAAGCCGTCCGTGTGGTCCACGACCAAAAGCATGTGCGCGAGCTTCTGGAGCGTATCGCGCAACCTGTGTGGAATCAACCGGTGAGTTATGTTATGCCAGCTACCGGGCCCACGTCGCGACATTTGGTTTCCACACGGCTCCCGACTCCGTCCACCGCGTCGACCGCGTGACGTAGTTCGCGACGGCGCCCATCGAGCCACTGTCGTCGGCGATCACGACGATGTCCGCGCCCGCCACGCTCAACAAATCGCGCACGATCTGCTCCGGCACGTCGAGCTCGTTCTGCATCCGTTCCACGCGGCCGCCGATATCTAGGTTCACGTCCGAGGGCTGGCTCACTACTCCGACGACGCCGCCCTGCTGTCCGCCGACGACCTGGGCAACGGGGTACTGTGACATGGTGGCTTGTTGTGCTTTACGTGGGAGTGTGGTGATGGCGTAATTGGATCAATCAATCGATGCGCGCGCGCGTAACTGCAGCAACAGGGAGGGAGAGCTTGCTGATGTTGTTGCTATGGACGGACCCTGTCCTTCAAGGGGTGAAGGGTCTGCGTCGCTGAGCACGCGGTGAAGGATTGTATGGGCTTGGTTGCACGTCTTTGCTGCGGAGGCAGCAAAAAAATCGGGCCAATTCGACAACAATTCCAAGTCGGCCTCGGCGCCGGCAACGCATCGATCCAAGCACGGCTGCGTTTCAGCTGCCTCCTTGACCACTGCTACAATGCATTTTGAGTCAACGCCCTTGAGCTAGCGCCCTGTAAGACACTAGGCATTCCCTAGCAAGCAAGGATGCGCTGCTTTGCGAGCTTGTAATCGTCGTGGGAGCGCTGAAGTGCACCCAACGATCGCATACAGCTGCCAGCTGACAAGCGTTCGACAGCTGCAAACTAGACGCCGTCGCCGCTCCCCCGTATAGACTGCTCAGCCTCCTGCAGCCTGACAGCCTGCACAGCCCTCGCACAGCCCGCATTGATTGAACAGATCACCATGCCTCTCCTCGTCTTCAGCGACGAGTGCTGGCCGATCTTCCTCGAAGGCCTCAAACAACTTTTCGTGGAGCTGGACCCGGTCGGCTGCGTGCGAAAACTGGACTACTACCTGCCGTGCGCGTTGGACGCCGTCAGCCGAGCCGCGTCCCTCTGCATCGTGGCCGGCGCCGCGTTGCTCAAAGTGCCCCAGATCCTCAACGTACTGAAAGCCAAGAGCGCCGACGGCCTCTCCTTGCTGTCGCTCGAGCTCGACGTCCTCGTTTTCATCGCGTCGATCGCGTACTCTGTGAAGCTGAGCTATTCGTTGCACAGCTACGGCGAGCAGGTGCTCGTACTCATCCAGAACGTGGTCTTATGTTTGCTGGCCTACGGGTTCGAGAAGAATGGGACGCGCGGCGTCATGAGCGCGGCGCTCGGCGCCGGCGCGGTCGCCCTCTGCGCCGCGACGCCCCTGGCCTACGCGTGGGTCCTGTCGTCCGTGTCCCTCGTCGCGAATATCGGCTCGCTCGTGCCGCAGATCCTGAAGAACCGGCGGCGGCAAGAGACCGGCGCGCTCTCGGCCGCGACGGCGCGGACGCGTGTGGAAATCAAACTTCGCGGCGCTTCTCGCATACGGCTGAATCATGCCTCCACGCCATCGACGCGATGTCTGCTCGATGGCGTGGCGGTGTGGGTCTTACATCCCTCTTGATGCAGTCATCACGGCCGCGCTGTCGCCGAGAAATTACTGTGCACCTACTCACTGGTTGATTTCCACCACAGGTTCAAATGCGCCTCCTCGGCAACGCCGCGCGCTTGTTCACGACAGCGGTAGAGAGCGCCGACGCGGTGCTGCTGCTGGGGTATGGAGCGTCGTTCACGTTGAACGGAATGCTGGCCTGGCAGATCCGGGCGTACGCGCCGCGGAAGGAGGACTAGCGTACGGGCTCGTCCATTTTGTTTTTCGTCGTAACATGGAATTTCTCCCTCCAACGCCGTCGGGCAAATTATGGGTCTTGTAATACTTAAGCACAGGGCACAGTTCAGGCCTCGGCGTCGACGCCCACTTCCGCGCGCGTCACTTTCCGGCAGAGCGGACAGCTCACCGTGATCGAACGCCGCGTATGCGACGAGAGCCGCACGTGGCCCGCCATCTGACGAAGGCAGTCGGCGTGAAAGGCGTGAGAACATTGGAGCACATGCGCCTCGTCGGCGTCGATCATCGACATGCAGATGGCGCACGGCTCCGACGGCGCCACCCGTGCAGGAGGAGGCGGCGGCGTAGGGGCTGACAGCTTCGGACGCTTCTTCGGCCGCGTCGCACTCTTTGGAGGCGGCGTCGCCTTCTCGTCGTCGCCCGCGTCGTCCGCGTCGCCCCCGCCGCCGCCCACAGGGCTGTCGTCCAAATCGAGCTCCGATCGCTGGCAGGTATGCGGCGTCCCGTCCTCGAAGATCACGCGAACACAGTTTTGTTGAGCACGGACAACAGTGGCTCGGTAGCAGTGCCCATCGGTATACGGCGCCACGACCTTGGCACCGCGCCCGAAAACGTCCTCGTCATTCGGATCGAAGACTGGCAGGCTGTTCGGGTCGAACGCTCGCGACGGCGACTTCGCCGGCCGCGGTTTATTCGGCGCCTTGAGGTTGTGCGTGAGCCAGCGCCCGCCGCCCGGTGGCTGCGCGCCGCTCGCGAGGTGCAAGAGCGCGATTGCGCGCTCGCCGTCCTTCTCGATGCAGGCCTTTTTTAGCGTTCCAGGCCCGCCGTTCCGCGGCGCGTCAAGGCAGTGAGCACAGCACTCGCAGTTGGGCGTCGTGGTATGGAAAACATATTTCCCACCCCGCGACAGCATGGCCATTTGCGATTGGAGCTCGGCCGTCTCGCGCCGGAGGGCCGCGTGCCGCGCGGCCGCCTCGCTTAATTCCCACGACTCGTCGCCGTCGCCGACGAGCGCCACGCACCGCACGACGACATCGTTGCCCGAGATCAGTCGCACGCCTCCCTCCGTAAAGTTCACCTTCTCGCTCTGGCCGTCGTCGAAATCTATCATGGCACTTTTGTCATCAAGCACGTCGTCCACCGTCCCTTCGTATTCTTCACCGCAGTCGAACGTCACAGCGACGCGGCTGCCGGACGGAGGCGACTTGGTCGCATCAGCGGTCACGGCCTCGGGCCGCGTCCTCGCGCCGACGGCGCGTAACAGTAGAGGCGCTGACGGGGCAGCCATGGTGGCACCAGGCGTCTGCAGAAGGACGCGTCCGATGAGCGGTGTCGCCAGCGGGCCGCCGTGGACCGAGAGCCTGGTCGCAACGCTATCGTCACACAGCGGGCAAAGCCAATCTTCCGACACAATCGCGTCAGCTTTCAGCCCGACGCAGCGGCGGTGCACGAAGCCGCGGCAGCGACCGGTCGCGCCTCCGGCGCACTTCACGTAATCGCCGCCGCCTGTATCGTGTCGGCCGCAGACGCAGCGCTGCGCCGTGGCCGCCGCGACTAGCGCCGCCTCGCCCTCTTTCGCGGAACTGAACTGCGACGACAGGAAGACGCCGCCGACGGCGAGGCGCACGCAGCATCCATTCACGTTCTCGTCCTCCTTGCGCGCGCGGACGATGAGGCCGTCTTTCACCGCCGTGATGTCGCCATACCAGTCGCGGCGCTCGACAGGTCGCGCGGCGCGCAAAGCCGCCGCCCGCTGGCGCGGCTTGTCATGTAGCGCCATCGCGCGCCGCTCCAATAATAATAAAAGAGCGGGCGTGTCGTGCTGGGCCATGTCGCGGAGCTCCTGCTGCTCGCGGCGCCGCTCGCGCTTGTCCTCGTCCGTGATGCGGACCCGCTTCGGCGCCCGCTCGAGGAGTTCGCACTCCTCGCGCGGCGCGCTGTCGATGGCGCCGTCCTCCCACTGTACTCGTAACGCATTTTTGTACGCTTGGACGACGGTCGCGCGGTAGACTTTTCCGTCGCTGGCGGGCGCGACGACCTTGGCTCCGGGCCCGAACTCGTCGTAGGACTCGTCATCGTCCGTCGCCGGCTCGGGCGCCGGCGCAGGTGGGGGCGTCGGCGGCCGCGGACGTGGCGGCGGCGCTTGCGGCGACTCGGTCACGCGGCGCGCGCGCTTTGTAGAAGTCGGGGTCGGCGCTTGGGCCTCGGCCTTGAGGCGCTCGCGCGTCGGCACGCACACGCGCACGTCGTCTCGAGCGAGATACGACGCGGTACGATCCGACCACTGCACCTCCCAACAGCCTCTCCCGAGCGGCGTGTCCGCGTCGTCGTCCTCCGCGAGGTCCATGTCGTCGTGCCATTTACACCAGAGCGGCGCCGGGCCCTTGGGTCCGCCCCGGCGCCACGGTGACACCCACTTTCCGTGCAGTTGCGCCGCGTGGTCGAAGACGGCCCCTTCAGGAGCGTTCGCCGGTCTGGCCGCGGCGGGCGGTTGCGTGACGCGCCGCGCCTTCTTCGCCGCCGGCTTCTTCTTCTTCGTCGGCGCTGGCGGCGGCGGCTTCGCCTTCGGCGCGGGGGGCGCTGCCACACGCCGCCGCCGCGGCAGCGCGGACCCGAAGGCGGCGAGATTTTCCCGCCCTCGCGACACCTCCTGGCCCCGCCAGGCGCCAGCGTCGCGATACTTGAGCGTGTACGTGCCGCCGTCGACGGAGACGACCTCGAGCGCGTGCTCCGGCGCGTCAATGTCCGCGACGAGCTCACCGACGGCGAACGGATGCTGCGGCGTCGGCCGCTGCGGAGGTGGCCGCGAGGACTCGGCGTCGGCCGGCGCGGCGCGCTTCCGCGGTGGCGGTGGGGCCATTTTTTTCTTTGCTGTTTTGCGCCACGCGGCAGCCTTGGCGACGAGGGCCGCGGGCGGGGCGCCGCTGGCGATGCGGAACTCGGAGGTAGTCCGCTTCAACTCTTCGTCGTTGTCGCAGAGGATGGTCCGCCGGCCCTTTGGAATGATCTCGACGATGACGCCCTTCTTCCCCGTCTGTTCGTCGCGCACCCAATCACCTCGCTTTGCGTAGCGTGCCGCTGCCACAGCGGCGATGGCCTCCGGCGGGGCGCCCGGCGCAGACTGGATCATGCCTAGGCCCCAGTTGTGCGCCTTGTCGTCGCAGAGGACAGACCTTTTCCCATCGTAGACGCTGACGACGACGCCCTTCGCTCCCGTCGTTGCATGCCGCACCCAAGACCCCACGGGAAACGATGCCGCGCCATCAACGGGCTCGTCGTCCCCAGAAACGTCGGGCTCGGCCGGCGCTTCGGTGTCGGACTCGCTCTCCTCGCGCGCGCGCTTCGGCGGCCGCGCCGGGGCGGGCGTCGCCTCAGCGGCGGCCGCCGGCTCCTCGGGCATCGCCTCGATCGCCATCTCAGCGACTGGAGGCGCCACGACGTCGACGTCTTCCGGTGGAGGGAGCGGCGCCTCGTCGGACACCGCGGCAGCACTTGAAGCAACGCGGTCGAGTAACTCGTTGGCGGTCGCGGGCGCGAGGATGCGCCACGTCCGCCCTTCGCCGGCATCTACTAATTTGTGCTTCAGGTGGACGTGCTTCGGCCGCGGATCATCCGCCGACACGATCTTGTACGGCTCGTCCGCGTCGCCCGCGAGCCTGATGAGCGACTGCAGCTTCGCGTAGCACTGGTAGCCTGAACCGCGGCGCTTTTGTGGTTTGAGACCCCAGATCGATTCTACCACACACCTATCCACGCCATCCACGCCGTCTTCGCCCGGGTTCTCGAGCGTCGTCCCCTTGGTCCAGACGACCTCGACGACCTGGCCCGGCTGCGGCCAGGGTCCCTCGTCATCCGCGTCGGAGTCGTCGGCCGCGACCGGTTCAGGAATAGGCGCCTCGGCGGGCGCCTCGGGCTCGACGGGCGCCTCGGGCTCGACGGGCGCCTCGGCGGGCGCCTCGTGCAGCGCGCCCTCAAGCAGCAGGCGAAGTAGTTGGAGGTGGGTCCGCGTCTGAGGCTGACCCCGTTCGGACTCGTACTGGCCGCAGTGCTTCTTCATATCATGCAACTGCGTCACTAATGGAGTCCGCGAAGACAGTACGAATGGCGCGTCGTTGTCGCAGCAGATGGCGCACCGGACGCCGCCCGTCGAGGTCACGACGAACTGTCGCATTGCCGTGCCGTCGCAAGATGTGAAGCGATTCCTAATGACTTGCATTCCTCCTGCCGGATTGCGGTCCAAGATGTGAACGCAGATCACCTCGTCGAGCCGCGCTTGGAGAGCCTCGCCTGCCGCCGAGCTTAGCGGAGGCTGCGCGTGAATCACCGGCTCGCCTGCCGAGCGCGGCGGAGGCTGCGCGTGAATCACCGGCGGCATAGCTTGCTCCGCGTTCACCGGCGGCACGGCTTGATCCGCATCGACCGGCACGGCTTGCTCGCCTTCGCTGTGCATTTCGCCTCTGCCTCTGTAAAAGCAATGCAAAAAACCCAGCTGCCTGAAGCTGCTAGGTTCGCGCCGCAGCAGCGCTCGAGATGGACTATGATTTGGTTTGTTCGGTACCCTCCGCGCTTCGTTTTTCGCCCTGCGGGACCGCTGCTCTCTCTCGACCTGAGAGCAGATCTAGCGGCCGTAAGACACTAGCAAGGAGCGGGAGGGGTACGGGGAGCCCTGCGACGTAACTAGCCTCAGCCTCAGCCTCGGCCCGGATTCCATTCCGCGACTTAAGGAATTGCGTCACCTAGAAGATCGATTTTCATACGTTATACTTAACAGGGCACAGCCTAGGCCTCGTCGGCGTCGACGCCTACTTCGGCGCGCGTCACCTTGCGGCAGAGCGGGCACGCGACCCCTCGGGAGCGTCTCGTGGCCGACGCGATGCGCACAACATCCGACATGTCGCGCAGGCAGCTCGCGTGGAAGGCGTGGCCGCACTGCAGCACGTGCGCGCCGTCGTCGATCGTCGACATGCAGATCGCGCACGGCCCCGTCGGCCGCGGCGGCGGCGGCGGCGGCGGCGGAGGCGGTGGCGCGGGCCGCGGCTTGGCCGGAGTGACGACCTTTTTTGCGACGCTTCGTCGCGAGGAGCGGTCGTCCTCGAGGAGCTCGGAGCGCTGCACAGTGTGAATCGTTCCATCTTCGAACGCCACGCGAGCGGTCCGGTGACCCACGTGTACGATCGTCGCAGAATACCACTGCCCGTCGATCCAGGGTGCGACGACGCGCGCATCCTTCTTGACGAAGCCTTCTTCATCGTCCGAGTCGTCGGGCTCCCCGCGATCATTGTCCCAGTAGACGTGTTTGCGCTGCGGTGTCGTGGCCGGCGGCGGCGCGGCGCCGTGCGTTGCCCACTGACCTCCGCCCGGCGGTGGCGCGCCCGAGGCGAGATACAATAATGCTACGGCGCGCTCATCATCTTTCGCTATGCACGCTCGTTTAAGGGTGCCGGTGCCGCCATTGCTAGGTTTATCGAGGCCTGTGTGGAAATCAATCAGTGTGTCGGGTGCACGACAATTCGTCACTAAGTCATTTCTCGGCGATGACGCGGCCGACCTGGCTCGGTCGAGCGGCGAGGAACCGGCATCGCCACGCCATCGAGCAGGCGTCGTGTCGATGGCGTGGAGGACGACGCGATGATTCAGCACGAACGCGCCGTAAAATTTTGATTTCCACACAGGCCAAGGCAATGCGCGCACACATTGCAATCTTCCGTAGTCGTGTGGAAGGTGTACTTGCCGCCCCTGGCGTGCATCGCCACCATGGCCTGCGCTTCAGCCGTCTCGCGCCTAATTGCAGCGCGGCGAGCGGTCGCCTCGCTAATTTCATACGTCTCATCGCCCTCGCCGAAGAGGGCTACGCAGCGCACTAGAACTTCTCCGCCGCGCTGTTTTCTCGCGCCGACCGCACGCAACAACAGTGGCGCCTGAGCGGCGCCGTCGTCGTCGTCGTCACCTTGCGCCTGAAGTAGGACCCGACCGATGAGAGGCGAAGATTTGGCCAGCGGGCCGTCGCCGTGAACCGAGAGCTTCGCGGCAACACCGCTCGTGTCGCACAAAGGGCAGAGCCAACCTTCAGGAACATCTTCGTCAGCTTTTAATCCGACGCAGCGACGATGCACGAACCCGTGACAGCGCCCGCCGCCAGCACACTTCACGTAGTCGCCACCCTCGCTCCTACCGCACACGCAGCGCTGGGCCATGGCAGCGACTTTTAGGGCGCACTCTGCGATCCTTGGTGCGTCAAAGCGCGACTGCAGGAAAACTCCACCGACGGCTAACCGAGCATATACGCCACCTGCCTGGCCCCTCTGGTTACGTATTTTCGTGATGAGGCCGTCCGCTGCAGGGGTATAATCTTTCTTCTTGCCGCCCGCGACCGCGTACCAGTCGCGCTTTTCCGGCGGATGGCCGGTGCGCGACGCGGCCCGCCCGTCTTCCTTGGCCATAGCTCGTCGTTCTTCTAGCTCGCGCTTCTCCTCTTCGGAGAGAATTTTGCCTGGTCCGCCGCGCGACGTCGCCGCCGCGAGGCCATGCCAGCGTGCGACCTCGGCCATGCTTCTCAGCTGCTTTCCGCCGTCCGGCGGATGAAAGTATCTATCTCCGGTCCCCGCCGTGTTACCGAACATGCGCGTCTTGTAAGAAAAAGTCCAGCCAGAGGCAAGCTTCTCTGGGTCTTGGGCGCCGCAGACCCGTAAGTACTCGGCGAGCGCGCGCGTGTCGGCGCTGGCGTTCCGTTTTTCGCAGCGGCGCGGCGCCGGCGGGTCGTGGTCCTGGGGCGACGGCGGCCGCCGCGGCGGCTGCGGCGACTCGGTTACGCGTCGAGCCCGCTTTGGTGGAGGTGGCGCCAGTGCTTGGGCCTCGGCCTTGAGGCGCTCGCGCGTCGGGACGCAGACCCTCACGTCCGAGCGCGCCACGAAGCTTTCCGTACGGTCCGCCCACCGAACCTCCCAGGCACCCTTCTTCCGCATCGGTGTATCTAACTCGTCGTCGTCCAGCAGGCGAATACCAGGTCGCCAGACGCACCACAAGGGCCGAATGCGATTATTGCTGCTTGACGTCGGCGACCGCCATTCGCCGAGCCACTTCACCGCGTGGTCGAAGACGGCGCCTTCCGGGGCCCCCTTCGGGCGCGGCTGCTGGGCTCGCGGCGGAGCATCGGCGCGCGCCGCGCGCGGAGGTGCCGTGCGCGGAGGCGCCGTGGCGCGAGGAGGCGGCTTCGGCGTCGCCGGTGCTTGCCACTTGGCGGCTTTAGCTACGAGGGCGGCGGGCGGCGAGCCGGGCGCGGGCTGGAGCGAGGGCTGGTGCCTTTTTAGTGTAGTGCCGTCGGCGCAGAGGATGGTCCTCCAGCCTCCAGTGATTTGAACGACGATGCCGTCGGCACCGGTCCCGCCGATGGGATTGTCCCCCGGACCCCGCATGGCCTTGGCGTCCCGTACCCACGACCCCACTGGGAAAGACACGGCGTCGCCAGATTTCCTCGGCGCTCGCGCGCGCTTCGGCGCGGCGCTCTCTTCTGACTGCTCTTCGTCCTCTTCTTCCGAGGACTCGGCGTCGGCCGGCGCCGCGCGTTTCCGCAGAGGCGGCGGCGGGGGGGCCTTTTTCTTCGTAGACTTGCGCCACGCCGCGGCCTTGGCGACGAGGCCCGCCGGTGCGGAACCATCGGCGAGGCGGAAAAAGCGTGGAAACCGCTTTAACTCTTCGCCGTCGTCGCAGAGGATGGTTCTCCAGCCAGTTTGGCTGATATCGACGAGAAATCCGCACGTGCCGGTTTCAGTGTCGCGCACCCAAGCTCCGCGCTTTGCGCTATACGCCGCGGCTTCGCGGACGAGGGCGGCAGGTGGGGTGCCTGGTGCGATATCAATCTGCGTCAGACTCCATTTCTCTTCACTCTGGCCCTCGACGCAGCGGACGGCGCGGCTGCGCCCATTGATGACTCTGATGACGACAGCCTTCGCACCCGTCGTGGCGTGGCGCACCCAAGACCCCACCGGAAACGACGCCGCGCCATCGACGGGCTCGTCGTCGCTCGCCTCGCCGTCTATGGGCTCGTCTGGCTCGGACTCGCGATTCGTGGCTTCGCCGGTCATGTCGGCGTCATCATCCTCGTCGGCGGCCGGCGGCGGCGCCTCGATATCATCATCGTCCTGGACTGGCGCGGCCACGTCGCCGCCGTCGACGTCCATGGCGTCCCGCCCGGCCCGCGCGACGCGCTCGGCCAACGCGGCGCGGTCGGGGTCGAGGGCGAGCGGCGCCGCGGCGAGGGCTAACGGCGCGCGCGGCGGCGGCGGTCGGTAGGCCCTCACACAAGATTCTAACGCGGCAGCTTGTAGATCCATGCGCGCGCCGGCGTGCACGCCGCGGCACTCGACACGGTAGAGCGCCGGCGTGTTGCCGTCCGCCGGGAGCCACTTCACGAGCGCCGCGGCACAGGTACAATTCGAAGCGCCAATCCGCCCCCACGGGCAGAGGAGCGGCCGGCCGTCCCACCGGTTCCCGTCCCGCCGCCACGGCGAGGCCCGCACGCGATCCGTACGCTCTTCGACGGCTCCGTCATCAAAAACGACGCGGTACGATCCGTCGCCGTGGGCCGCGTCGATTATGGCCGGGAAGTAGTGGCCCCGCGCCTGAAAATCCGCGTCGACGAGTGCGCCGACGGCGAATGTCGGCAGCGCGAAGGGGACCAAAGCGCCTTCCTCGACCTCCTCCTCCTGAGCCTCGCCTTTCAGCTCGCGCCACGCGCCCAGGAAGCGCTGCCGCGCGAGGCGCGGCCACGTGTTCAGGTCGAGGATCTCCTCCAGTTCTTCGGCGTCGCACGCCTTCAGGTCTTCGAGCGACTCGGCGGCGTCGAGGACGCTCCGTCTTCTCTCAACGTTCGCGACGTGGGCCTCGACCCAGCGCCCGAGCTCGAGAAACGCGGGCGTCGGTTCTACTTTCGGGGCGAGGGCGAGCTCCAGTGCCGTCAGCGCGTTGTCCGGCGCTACTGCTGGGTATGGCGGCGGCGCCGCCGCGACCGGTGGGAAGCCGTACGGCGCGGCGACCAGTGCGTGTTGTGGCGCGTATACGGCCGGCGGAACCGCGCCCCACGCAGCTGGGTGCTGCGGCGCGGCTACGAGCGCGTGTTGTGCGGCGTAGGCCGGCGGCAAGGCGGCATTTTGAGCCGCGGGCGCCAAGCGCTCTCCTGCAGTTTCTACCGCGACGCGCGGCGCCGCGCCGGCTCCCACAGCCGGCGACGACTGCTGCTGCATAAATAACGAACCCAGACCGTGTTATGGTGCAAAAACTGCCTGTAAATTTGAGTTCTAGGCCCTTTTTTTGGCCGCTCTCCGCGGCTAGCGTCCTGTAAAGACACTAGGAAATCCACGGCCCAAGCTCAGCGGGCCATCTATGGCCATAGCCGCCTTAGTGGTGCCAGAAACTGCCGGGAGAGAGCCGTAGTGTGATGGCCTGTCGCACCAGCGCTGCACGCCTGCTAGGCGTGGCACCCAACGCAAGCTCACGGCACATACAAGCCGCCTTCCGCAAAAAGGCCCTGGAGACGCACCCGGACCGTAAGGGTGGCTCCGCTACTCAATTCTTGGCTGCGCGCGACGCGGCCGATCTGCTCCTGCGACCGGAATCGCAGCCGTCATACGTGCCGCCACGCGCCGCTCCGCAACCGAGTCATACCACCGACGCACGCGCTGTGGCGCACCGCACCATTCGCTCACTTGATGAGGAGCTTGCGGCGGCGTTCGAGCGCGCGCGGACCGGACCGGAGCTCCGCGTTGATCCAGACACGCTTCGAGTCGCGGGGGCGGACGAATTTCCGAAAGAGTTCGAGCTCGACGAAAGGAATCACGGGGTGGTGGGGCCACTACTCCGTCTCAGGCACGGCGATCGCGTCATCGGATCCGTCGAAGCGGATCGAGACGACAAATTGCGCGTGTCGCTCTTCGGACGCGATGTGGCGACGGCCGAGCGCTCGCCAAGCGGCGTAGTATCTGTACGACGCGGTGCTGGCGCCACAGCAAGTCTCGCGCCGCGGCCAAGGACCTCATTTTTTGATGTAGCAGACGCGTTCGACACGCCCTGTGGTTATACCTGTGTACGCGTGAAGCTGCCTGGTGTCACGCAAACGACGTGGCGGTCAAACCATGGACTTCCCTGCACCGTCGCGAGCGTCGTGCGGGCGTGGAGGCCGCACCGCCGTTGGTGGCCGTTCGGCGCCGCCGAGGACGCCTACGCGAGTGACGGTTCGGCCGCCTCAACATATGTGGAACGGCGGGCCGGCGACGACCGCGCGATTGCAGCCGCGGATGCGCCGCCCCCATTGGATCCGGCCCTCGTCGTCGCCAAGGTGGCGTTCCAGGCCCTCGACCGCGAGCGGGTGCGGCTCGGCGCCTTTGTTTAGTAATTTTGTGACACATAACAGTTTAAGTTAGCCATAAAGCCGCCGCCGCGCCGCCTCGACGCGCGGCGCCCACGCCGTCGCAACATCAGAATCGACGCACCAGCACCACCTCCAACTCTTGTCCGCGCTGTCGCAGACCTCCATGGCGTCGCGGCGCCGCGTCCACATCTCGACGCGCCTTTCACCAGGGAGCGCCTTTGACGTCACGCGCCCCGCCGGCGCGTCCACGCAGGGCACCGTCCCGGGACCCGCGAGGCGCGGCCGCACGAGCTCGTCAAAACGAGCCGTGTCCCTCCTCGACGCGCCGCCTTCCCGCGTGCCCATGACCGCGCGCGCGACGTACGCGTCATCGAAGCTGTAGCCCCGCCGCGCGTGGACGAGGCGCGCGTCTTTCGATGGGTCCAGCTCCGCAGCCTCTCCCCCAATCGCCACGCCGTGCGGGTGGAGGAGCCGCGCCTGACGTGCATGCGCGATGATCTTCCGGCGGTGCATGACGGCCCGGCCGGCGCAGGTCAGTGATTTCAACCCATCGTTCGAGCCTTCACAGGGCGCGTAGAAGATCGACGGCATGGCGTAGGCCGTTGCTGGCGGTTGCCTCCTCAGCACATCCTGTAGCGACTCGCTCGGGACGGATGGCAGAGCGTACTCGTCCGCGTCCGCATGTAAGACCCACTCGACACTTTGTGCGAGCATGCGCCGGTGGCAGCTGTTTATAGCAGCGAACTGCGACGGTCGTCCGAAGAAGGTTTGGGCGGTCAGGTTCCCCTCCGTCGCGGCCTGGACGCGCTCGTCCAAAAAACGCTCGTCAGGCCACGGGACAACCTCCAGCATACCTCTCTGAATAAAGGGCGCGTAGACGGCGTCGAGGGGCGACTGGAATTGCCCTTTCAAGGCTCGCGCGTGGACGCCTTTACTATTATCAAACACCAGAAAGCGCTCGACGCCCGCGACCTCGTGCAGCGCGAGCCACGTTGCCACCTCCTCTTCACTCTTAGCCGTGGCGGTGCCGACGCGCTTGGATCGTTCCGCAAACGCGTCGCCCGTCGCCCAGAGGCACGCGCCTAAAAACGTTGGCGTCGCCTGGCGTTGCACGTGGAGCGGGACCGCCGGGTGTGGTCTCAACCTACCAGGCGTTCTCAACGCAATCGTCAAGCGCCCGGCGCACGCCGCCTCCATCAAATCGCGCGGCACGGGACACTCGACGATCAACGTGGCCTTCCGCTCGAGTCCTTTATTGGCACTCCGCTCGAGATGCTCCGCCGCGGCGACCCACCTCTCATCGCCAAAGCCGCACTCCAGACTTTGCGGCAAACCGCCCAGCTTCGCCAGGTGCGCGGCGGCCGCCTCCTTCACGGCCGGCCGCACGCGCATGCGCCCGGCCACGCAGGCCTCGCAGCCGTCGAGCGACCGCCGCAGCTCCTGTCTTTTATTGTTCCATTCCTCTAAACCCGCGGCGCGCAGCACGGCGAGCCGGCGGCTCGGCCCGCCGTCGAGCTGCGCTATCACTGTCGCTGTCGAGCAGCGATCCTTGGCGGATACGAAAGAGTCATAAATCGCGAATGGCTGGTCGTGGAGCTCGTCGGGTATGATAGGTGTCGCTTCCGTGCGCTGCGTTCGTTGCTGCGGCAGGTGCAGGGCCACGTAGGGAACCGACACGACGACGATCAATGCTGCCCCAGCGAGGGCGGCGACCGGGCGCTGCTTCTTGTTGCGTCTTGGGTCGCGCGGTCGACGCATTGGTGTGTTATGGCATATTAGGGCATGCGTTTGGGGCAGCCTCGTCTCGAATGCAATGCATGGCTTCCGTTTTTGGGCTGCCCAAGTTTAGTTGGCAGCTTGCTAGTGTGTTACATGCCGCTAGCTATCCTGGCTGCCCAAAACGCTTTTTTGCTTTGATCGTGGGTTATAATTCAAACGGAAGCTGTATAACATAAGCATCTGTGCCAGTGATGAGCGCCTGGGCCTCAGCAGACGCCGCCGCCCTGAAGAAGGGCGAGGCGTCCGACGACCACTTCGGGCTGCTGCTCTTGGCGTACCCGGTCTCCGACGAGCTGAGAAATGAGTGGGCGCAGGCGCGTGCAACACTCGAACGCGACCACCGGCTTAACGGCGCCTATTGGATGCCGCCGGAGCACCTCCACGTGACGATCGCGACGCTTAGACGATACGACGCGGCGAAACTGAATCCCGCGGACCGCGAGGTGACGCTGGACGAGTGGCGGCACATCCTGGACGGCGCAAAAATTTCTCAGGGCTGGCCGCCGTCGCCCTTCCGGCTGCGTGTCACGGGCGCGACGTTTCGGGGCGGCTGCGCGACGCTGGACATTAGCGACGAGGACGGGGCCATCGCGGCGATGCGGTCCGCGCTCGAGCTGTCGATCCGGGCGCGGGGCGGCCACGCTGTCGCAGGCGGCGTGGAAATCAACCGATCTCGCGTCGATGGCGTGCGGTGCCTTGAACTTTGATTTTTACATAGGTCGTGGGCGGTGGCGACCGGAGCAAAGGGAGGCCGCCGTCGGTGTGCGCGGCTGATGATCCTGCACCGCATCTGCCGGACATCTGCCACTGCACCGTCATGCGGTGGGCGGCGGAGCCGAACGACCGCGACGCTGCGAAGGCGGCGTTCGAGCAAATCGCCGGCCCGCGGTTTGCGCCTGATGATGTGGTGGTGGACGAGAAGCCGCCGGAGCGGGTCTACACGAAATTTGGGTCCCACGTGCCCGAAAGGCCGCCGCCCAGGCTGAGCTGGTCCGTGCCCGCGGCCGTCGCCGTCGTCGAGTCGTCGCCGTTCATGCATGTCGAAGCGCCGCACAACTGGTGGTTCGCCGAGGATCTTCGCGCCGTCCAGGATATGACGCCACTCTAAGTTTTGTAACAACTAATCACTTAATCACAGGCGTCCCGTTTGTACGAGGCTAGAAATGAATTCATCATCGGGATGATGTGGCAGAGCATAAAGGCCGTTCGAACCGCAGTGGTCGACGGGGAGCCCCCGAGGCCGCCGATGATCGCGTCAGCATCAAATCGGAGTGGTTCACTCCCACACCCAAAGAAGCCGTGGTCAAGCCGCCTCTTGGCGAAGAAATACCCCGCGAGCTCGTATCTTTGGCAAAAGTGCAGGAACACTGGCAGCGCGACGCGCGACCGGTCGCGCGTCGCGGCGGGCAGCGTCGTCGCCGTGGCGCCGGCGCAGACGGCTCCCGGCCCCTCGCGCGTCGCTAAATCGTCGATCCACGCCCAGGCCTCGGTCGGAGACATGGTCCGAGGGTCACTCACCATATATGACGACAGCTGCGACCACGGTGTCGTCATGTTTGCGGCGCTCATCGTTAACGCATACATTTCGGCGAGGAGATGCGGGTACTGCTCATGAACTCTAGGCATGGCCGCCCACCACGCCGGCGCTAGATTTTTCCAGTCGTCGACGTGAGCAATATAAACCGGTCCCACGGCAAATTTCTCGTCGGCCTCCTTCGCCGTCGTCCGCGTGCACCTGTGTGGAGATCAACTTTCGGACGCCCCACGCCATCGACGCGACGTTGTCCCCGTAACCTAACTCACTGGTTGATTTCCACACAGGCGTGCACGGCGCGCCCGCGCCACAGACGGCGGCCTTGCTGAAGCCCGCCCAGGCCGGCCGCGCGCCGGGGCCCGCACGCTGCCACGCGCCGCCGACGCCGAAGTGCTGGCCCGCGGGCGCGCCGTGGGCCACATGCCCCGGCAAATCCCCAAAGACGCTCAGCGCCGCCGCGACGCCGTCGACGACGTATTCCGTCAGCTTCGTGCCGCGCGGCCGCCGCGTCCCCCGCCCCACATCCAACGTCAGCGGCTTGATCATGAGCATGTCGGGATCCACGAGGGCCACGAACCTAGCGTCGACGGGCGCGTGCTGCAAAAAGTGCACGAGGCCGCCGGGCTTGTTGCTGTACTTGTAGCCGCCGATTGCTGTGGACGGTGCCGCATGGAGGCGGAGGCGGCCCGTCTTGTCGATGCGCGCGAACTCCGCCCGGATTTTCGCCGCCTGCTCGGCGGAGCAGCCGCTCGCGATCCTCGTGACGGGCCCGCGGTGGCCCGCCGCCAGCGACGCGTACCAGCTCGAAATGGCCTGCCAGTGCTGGTAGCCCCCGCAGTCCGTCGAGAAGACGAGGTGGATGGCGTCGGCGTCGTCATCAGTTTCGCCCGTGGCGTCGAAGCCGTCGCCCGTCTCGCCGAGCTGCGGCCCGTCGTAGTGGCGCGGAGTGTGTGGGTGGAGTCTGATGATGACGTAGACGTAGAGGGCGACGGCGACGGCGGCGACGAGCTTCGCGGTAGCACAACTCGTGCGTCTGCGGCGTTGCTTCATTTGTGCGCTTGTTCTTCTGTGATTCGTCCAGCGCTTCGGTGCGTTCACTGAGCTTTGAGGCCTACGCTGGAGACTGGCAGATATAGCAGATCTACCGCAGCGATGCGAGTTTAGCCGCAGCGATTGCGACGTTGCAGCGCTGCGATTCTATGCTTAAATCCTGACCTCAGGCACGTGTGAGATTGTCGCGTTTGTCGTATACGCAGCATTGGCCTCCAAAATGCTTTGCTAGTGTCTTACAAGACGCTAGCTCATTATACTCCGGCCAAATTTTTTCCGCGGCTCCTGGACGTTCAGGTTAATTGCCACGGTCGTGAGCCTCGTAAGCACAATATCTTCAACGAGAACGTCTATGGCAATGGCGGAAACCGAGCCTCCTCAGACGAGTGAACCACCAAAAGCTGATATGTGAACCAGCAGTGTAAGTTACTTGTGGCCGCGCCGTGGAAGAGGCGGTGCCGTTGGCGCGACGAAACAAAACGCCGCCGTGGAGCCGCGTCTCCCGCGTAAAACGTGCACGCGCCGCGCAGGTCCGAGAAGTTCGGCCTGGGGGCCCTCGGGTAATTGACGTTTTTAACGGGGACGAGGCACCATCGGGTCCAAATTATTTACTTTTTTCGGATGCAGATCGGCTCGCAGACGCCCTACGGGATAGGTCTAAGGTCGGGTGGTCCCCTACGCCGCATGCGCCGGTTCTTGGGGCTCTCCAGAGAGCTCTGGATCGAAATCTGTGGCAAATCATGGCCTAAACATTAAAAAAAAAAAAAAAATGGCCAATAGAGGTATAGCGCAAAGCACCTTGGGAGATGTATATTATTCTGGAAGCGCCCGCGTACGCGGCGTAGGCGATTGCACGTGACTTGTATCGACCCTAGGCGACACCAGGGGGACCTCGGGGCCACGAATTGACAGGTTTCCACCGGCGCAGCCGCCATGGTGGCGTCGTCAATATCGCGAATTAAAAAAATTATTTTTTTCGCCCCCCAGTAAGTGCCCCATTGATGTCTTTGGAACAACAGCAAACTGAACGATGCTTAAACGGCTGCATGTCGTTCCGAGTTTCCTTGCTAGTGTCTCACATGCCGCTAGCTCGGCCGTCTTCACAAAAGGGCTCACCAGGCCATAGCAAGCAGTCGTGCACGTATACGTGGTGCGAGACGCAGCCAGCGGTGCGCTTGAGACCCCTGCAGCCGTCGGCGCCATCCGTGCGGCTACCAGGGACGCAGCGCTGCCTGCAGTGCTGCCTGCAGCAAAATAGCCCATTGCAAGCGATACTGGCCGCAGCGCTCGAACGGAGGCAAGCGATACTGGCCGCAGCGCTCGAACGGAGGCGGTTCAAGCAATGGCTGCTCAGCTCGCAAAGGATAGGCCACGCGCCTACCTCGACTTCGACGTCGACGACGCCTGCGCGAAATTTAAGCGCGCGTCGCACTTCGTCGAGAGCTGCGATCTGAAGTACGCGCTGTCGTCGAAGAAGATCGACGAGTTGGGCGGAGGCGAGGTTCTACGTCTGCCCGAGCTCTACGCGAACGACTACGAGTGGAGTTCGAAAGGCCCGATGCGGGCGCGGCCGCAGCCGAACTGCCGCGTCGTGTTCGAGCTGTATGGGAACATTGCGCCGCTCGCGGTGGAGAACTTCCTAGCGCTGTGCCGCGGCGACCGCGGCGTGGACAAGGGCAGCGGCGTGAAACTGCACTATGCGAATTGTCCCGTACACCGCGTCGTGAAGGGATTCGTTATGCAGGGCGGCGACATTGTGAAAGGCAACGGCTCGGGCGGCGCGAGCTGCTTCGGCAAAAAGTTCAAAGATGAGACCAAGGGCCTGCGGCTCCAGCATGACGCGCCTGGCGTGCTCTCGATGGGCAACTCGGGCAAAAATTCCAACTCCTCGCAGTTCTTCGTCACGCTCGCGCCGGTTCCGCAGCTCGACGGGAAGCACGTCGTCTTTGGGCGCGTCATCGCGGGCATGGACGTCGTGCGCGCCGTGGAGGCCGTCGCCGGCGAGGGCGACGAAAAGCCAAGAGCGCCCGTGGTGGTCTGCGCGTGCGGTGTGTTTGAAGACGACACGCCGCCGCGGGGGCATTGGGCGCCAGCCTCGGTCGACACTCATGCTGGCGCGCCTCCCAGCTTCGTGCCGGCGCCGACCCTTGTGTTGGTGGTGGGACCCACTGCGGCCGCGGACCGGGCACGCGCTGCGCTCACCGCGGCGCATCTGCGGGCGGACGTCGTGGCCGCGCCCGATCCCGACGCGAGTGCCGCGCATCGCGTCGATAGGCGTGCGGTGGTGCTCGTCACGCCTGGGGCGTCGCCCGACGCCGCGGCGCGCGCGGAGGCGCTCGCGGGCGAGAGGGGATGGAGCGTGGTGACGGCGAAGCCGGCGCGGTGCGCCGAGGCGGTGGCTTCGATGTTGTGAGTTGTTTGTCTGTTAATCTGGAATAATACGGGGGTTTAGAAGGGGAGAAGAGTCGTAGCGTAGTCCTCAGGCACGCTTCAGCACCCGGACGTCCTTGGCGCGCGGGCGTTCGTTGAACACGGCGACGCGGTACTCGACGCGATCTCCGTTATTCAAGACACCGCCCGGCACGGCGCCTGTGTGGAAATCAAATTTCGGGCGCCCCATGACGCGATGTGCGGCTCGATGGCGTGTGAGCAGGTCGAGGCAGGGCCCTTGCATACACAGACGCTCGCATACCTCCGTATGCGCCGCATGCAGGCGCGTATTTGGTGTTTTTCTAGGACCCTTACCATCGTATTTTTTGTGGGTCTGGGGGCGTTTTCTTTGCTGGGGGGTATACCCTAGTTGAAGGTCGATGTTGAACTTGAACCATTTACCCCCCTACTACGGCCCACGTATGCAGACGCGCATGCGGGAGCGATCTCAGAAGTACGCATGTAGGGGTACGAGTTTGGACATACGTGCGTATGCAAGGGCCCTGGGTCGAGGAGCCAGTCGGAGCCGCTGGGGGACCGAGAGGTGGACCGTATGACCGTCCGGGTTCTGCACACGTGGCCGGTCGCGCTTCGCGCGCGGCGGTCTAGTCGAGCCCGGTTCACTCCGTCGGCGGGGACTGATCGCTGCGACGAGTGCCGAACTGTGTGGAAATCAACCAGTGCGTCGGGTGCCGATAATTCTTCACTAAGTCATTTCTCGACGATGACGTGGCCGCGCTGGCTCCGTCGAGCGGTGAGGAACCGGCATCGCCACGCCATCGAGCAGGCATCGCGTCGATGGCGTGGAGATCGACGCGGCTATTCAGGACGAACGCGCCGTAAATTTGATTTCCACACAGGTGCCGAAGCCCTCGACACGACAATCGAGCTCCTTGCGACGCCGACGATCCCGTCGATGTCGCGGCAGCTGTTCAGCACGAGCTGCCTGACTTCGTCGTCCTCGACGCGCGACAGTCGCGGCGCTTCGGACCCGGGGGCTTCCGACTCACGGGCTTCTGGGACCACGACTGGTCCTTCCCTCATCAAGCGTCGTACGCCGAGGAGTGCCGTCGCGTGGTGGAGGAGTGTGCAGCACCGGTGGCGACACCCAGATGTGTCATTCTTAACTCAGTTGTGTGTGTGTATCTATCCACAACTATTCCATATTAGACTTCTCGGAGCGAGTGGCTGCCTGCCTCTGGTGCGTGCCGCGCGGACGCGTGCACACTAAAAAACAATTCAGGCCGAGCTGAAATTCGTTGCTGCGGCAACACGCAGCGCCTGTGCGCAGCCGGGGGCCCGACATAATGGGAGTGCGGCAGCGTCTCGACGCCATCGCCGCAGCGCCGCGAGCGCGGGCGTGCCTAGTCCTGGCGTGCTGTCTCATCAGATGCTGCCCCATGGGCTCCCGCTGGAGCCCCAGCGGCAGAGCCGCGCGCTGGGGTCACGATAGACAGCGCAGCCGCCGCGCGCGGTGGGCCGCGACGTCGCGGGCTTTCGCCGGGCGCAGACGATGGACGCGGCTCGTCGACGCGCACATCGATAACACGCGGCCGCGGCTTGATTCTGACAGCCAGGCCGCGGTTGCTGTGTTTTATTGTGATGTCGTTTCCGTAAATGCCGTTCTCGCCGAACTTCGCTCGCCTTGCTCGAAAAACGAAAAAAACCCGCTCCAAAAGGCCAAGCTGCCAAGCCTGTGCCCCTTGCTGCTACAGCCCCAATTTGTGCTGCGACGCCGCGTAAACTCGTTGCACAGTTGGAATAGCTCACTGCGCGCGATCGCAAGCGAACGCGTCCACCAGTACGACCAGTGCGCTTCATTTGCTGCTGTGCAGCTATTTGCTGTTAGTGCCTTGATTTCGTGCGCTCGCGGACACTGCACGTCATTCGGTCTCTCAACCGCCGCTTCGGTACACTGCTACGCCGCCCGTTGCCGCTGCGTTACTCTCGCGCCGATTGGAGTCCGAGACGCCTCTCGAGGCCGCCACGACGCTCGAAAACACCTTCAGACGCACGCATCCGTCGACGCCGGCAGCATGCCGGCGGGCAAGAAGCGCGGCTCGCAGCTGCCGGTGGCATGCTGAGTCCGGAGAATAGAACAAAAAATGAACGAAGCATCGAGCTGCAGCGCAAGGCGATTGCGGACGAGTACGGCGGGCCGACGGAGCTGCTGCCCCGCGGGCACCAGGGCTTCTTAGCGAGCATCGACGCGTCGAACGTCGACGACGTGCCGCTCGCGGGCCTCGCGCAAGAAGATTTGAAGGACCTCGGTCCGGGCGACGGCGGGCGCGGCACGAACCGCACGGCCGTGAGGCAGCGTCTCAGGGACCGGCTCGCGCGCGCCGCGCAGCCGGACGAAGCCGGCGCCAAGGAAGAGAAGCGCGCCAAGTTACGGGAGGACGGCAAGCTCGACCTCGAGTTCAAGAGCCTCGACGACCTGGGGCGGAAGGTCAAGTGGCGCGAGGCGCTCGTGGATCCGGACTCGTTCGAGTTGAGGATCGGCAAGACCGACTTCCTCGCGCGCACCGGCGGCATTGGTGGAAATTACTGGAAGGCACTCAGTAGGGAGCGGGCCGACGCGATGGTCGCGAAGGCCAAGGCGAGCGGCGAATTGTGGAGATCGGACCGCGATTGTACTCACGCGGCGTCCTAGAATTACGGTCGTTGAAGCATCGCGTCGACCTCCGCGCCATCGACGCGACGTCCGCTCGACTGCGTGGCCCTCGTCCACTGGTCGACGTCCCCGCAGGCACGCCGACGGACTTCTATCATCCAGATGACGACAAGAACAAGCACGACGGCCTGGTGCCCTTCGGCAACCCCGACGGCGTGAAGAGCCATTACTGGGGCTGGGGCGACGCCGACTGCGAGGCCATCTTCGAGGTCTTGTTGGAGAAGATGTCCAAGGAAGATTGGGCCCTGTTCGGGACCGAGTTCATCAAAATCGCCTGGACGGACGGCATGTCGCGGGAGACGAAGCTGCGGGGCCTCATGCGCACCCTGAGTCGGTGTCTGACGGTCGCCGCGGAGACGACGCGCGTGCACATTATGATCGTGTGCTTCCGAGTCCGAACTCTTCAGCCTGAAACGGTAGCGGCGCGTCGACCTTCACGCCATCGACGCGACGCGTTCACGCTGACGGTTCTCCGCGCAGGCCAAGGAGAAGCTCGAGGCCGAGCTGCGGAAGGAGCGCGACGAGAAGCTCGCCGCCGAAGCGTCGGCGCGGCGCGTGCCGCTCGGCGACGTGAACGCCGTCGCCGCGTCGGCCGCGGCGACCTGCGGCGACGCGCGCGGCGCGCTGCCCGTCGACGACGTCGCGTCGGCCGGCGCCGCTTTAGATGGTGATGTGGAGATGCGCGCCGTGCAGCCCGCGGCGCCGCGCGTCGTCGCGGCTTCGGCGTTTGGCGGTGCTGCGGGCGGCGACGTGCCGCCCGAGAAGCCCCGCGCCGATCTACTCGATGGTGCCCGCACGCTCGACGCTTTAGATGATCCGACGGCGGGCGCCTCTGACGACGCGTTGCGCTCGTTGCCGTCGCGCGGGCTCCGCGCGCTTGCTGCTTCGGACGCCTCGGCGTCTTCTCAGCGCGGCGCGCCTGTCGCTTCGTTAGATGGGCCTTCCCTGGATCGCGGTGCGGCTGAATCGGCGGCCTTCAGCGGCTCGGACGCGCCCATGCCTCCACTGCGACGCGCCGACGACGATGATGATGATGATGTCGACGACCCCCTCACGGCGGCGGTGCGCAACGCCGGGGCGAAGCCCAAGACTCCAGAGGCTCGGAAGGCCCTGAACGATCTACCGCCGGGGAAGACGCCTTCGAGCTGCCTCGCGGCCCTGTTACTGCGCTTCAATTTATTTGCGGTCATCAAGGGGACGTGCACGGTCGGCGGGGGTTCTATGATTGACGATTTGGAGGAGTTAGACCAGGAGAAGCGGAAGGAGACGGGTAGTAGAAACCCTGCTCGGTGGTACATCTACAAGATCCTCTTGTTCGCGGCGCAGATGGCTCTCATCTTCGGGGACGTCTGCTTCGGTGACACTGGCATCAGCATCTTCCGGTGCGTCTTCGGCCGCTACGCCCTCGCAAAATTCTTATGGTTGGGCAGAAAGACGATGCTGGACGCGATGAAGATGCGGCTGCCGCTGCTCTGGGTTCCTTTGGAGATACGCCCCGAGGACCTGCACCTGCTGCCGTCGTGGGTCCGCGTCGTGTTCCCGCGGGGCCTGCGCTTCGAGTCGACCGCGGTGATCAAGGAGCTCCTGCAGCGGTCGAACGGCTTGTTCTTCGACTGCAAGTGCTTGCTCTGGAACGCCACCTGCGCCGGCCTCGTCGGCACCACCGCCGTGGTCCCGGCGTTCGCGCTCACCGTGGCCGGCGTCGACCCCGGCTCCCTCGTCGCGACGCGCGACGCGACGCGCTCGCGGGCGGTCGTGCGGTCTTCGGCGGCGGGCGGCTCTTCTGATGCGGTGTCGTCGCTCTTTTCGGCGGGCGTCGACTACGCGGCCATCGATTTCTCCTCGTTCCCGACGTGCGCGCGGCGCGGCTCGGCGCTCCTGTCTTCGCAGCTCGGGTCCCCACTCTCGGTGTCGGTGCCTTACTTCTACATCCGCTTCCACAAGCCGAACTCTTCGAAGCTCACGGACTGGTTCCTCGTCGACGACTTCGCGACGGTCATGCCGGAGCTCAATCGCAAGTACTGGGACCCCGTGCCCGACTGGGTCTTCGAGTCCAAGACGCTGCGCGCGCTAGCGGCCGGCGCGGCGCTGATCTTCCGCGGGATGGACATCCGCGAGGTCGCGCCGGGGCCTTCTTCGCTCCTGGAGGTCTTCGATCCGACGGTCGAGTGCCGACACAACCACACCTACACGATCTGGGCCGGCGTCGACTTCGTCATCTTGCTGCCGGACGGCCGCGTGCTCGACAAGCGGCTCTTCCTCCTCGAGCTCCTCAAGGCGCACGCCGCCTGAGCTCCTTCCCCTACACGCTTGAAGCATAAGTAGCTTCCTTTCTCTACTAACTTTGATACGGAAAAATCCTCGCTAGCTAAGAGCAAGCTCTCACGATGACACGATATTTTTACGATAGGGGCCAGCGACCATCGGGTTCTGCACACGTGGTTCATTCCGTCGGGGAGGCCGGCCTGGGCGGTACGGCCGGCACGGGAGGCATCGGCGGCCGGTAGGTGCCGAAGCCGCGGACGCCCAGTGCCTCCGCGACGCGGTTGAGGTACTCCGTTTCAGAAGTCCGCGGTCGGGAGGGAGGCGTCGGCAATTCCGTCATCACGGCAGAATCGCTGCTGAAGGAGCGCTCGTACCTCACGGACTGTACCGGGGGTCCGCTTTCGTCGTTCGCACAGGGCTGGCAGACGCGCGGCGGCGGCGGATCGGAGTGGAGCGGCGCCCGCAAAGGCATAGGCGGCGACGGCGTCTGGGCCGGGGTCGGGGCCGGCGTCGCCGACAAGACGCTGCCGTCGCCGTCGCGCGAGTCGTCGTTGTCGAGGATCATGCCGTCGGCGGACGAGGCCATGGTGGAGGACAGTCGCGGTCGCTTACAGGCTTACACGCCCGCAGAGAGTTACGCGGGTGCGCGGGCGGGCGCGCTCTGGCCGGAGAACGAGGATATCTAGCGAAACAAGAATTCACCAGTTCTAGGGCGTCGCGCGGGCTGAAATTCTCGCGAACTCACGAGGCGCCTCAGCAGGGACGACTGCCCGTTTTTTGTCCTTCGCCGTTCGTCGAATGGCCAGTTGCTGGCCTGCTTCACGTGATCTTGTCCCTCTCTTTAGCTAAGCGGACTAAGACACTAGCAGCGATGAAACCGCAGGAACAGCCAAAGCACGCCATCGACGCACGTCAAGTTACGAGTGATAAACTTAGAGGGGGAGGCGGCGCAGCCGTCAGCGGGAATAGGCGCGCGCACGAGGAGAATTCTGAGCCAGTGCCCTGAGCGATCAGGGCAGCTGGAAGAGGTGGAAGGACTGGTCCTTCTCGAGGCAGGTGAACGGCTGCTTGCCCTTGCCCTTCATCTTGTCCGAAACACCAACGAGAGTTCTAGGAGCATCTTCGTCGGCCCCGCCATCGTCGACCCACTCGATACCCTCGATGTTGCAGTACTGGACGGCGCACGTCGCGGCGCGCGGGAAGTCGTAGACCTTGCCCTTGCTGAATTCCGCCGTCATGGGGTCGAACTCGCCATCACTACCGGTAGATAACTCCCCGACCCACACTTGACTGTTCTCCTGCGACGTGATGGCCACGGCCTTCGTGCGATGATGAATCGCCAGCGCCGAATAGTCCACAAACTCCTTCATCGGTAAATCAATCGTTCGGACCGTCTTCCAGTAACAACCGCCCGTCGGCCCGCCCTCGTCCTCGCGCGCCATGACAATCACCTTGCCGTGGCCCACGTCCTTGCCCGTCTGCGACGAGCAGTGGTTGCCCTCGCACAATCCTAGCACATATAAGACGCCGTCCGCGCCTCGGATGCTACGAGCACCTTCAAAACCCTTCGAGTCACCGTCAAAGAGCATCTCCGACGGGCAGCTATCTAAGACCGCATAATCCGTATCATCACTATCGGGAGGAGGCAACAGGATCTGCATGACGATGGCGTGGTACTTGGGATGATCCGTCACGGGCGGCAATCCCAGGCGCCTCCGGTTCGTGTCGTCGGCGTACTCGCCTGCGCGGGACGCGATTCACGCCTCGCGTCGATGGCGTAAGCTGCCTGAAAGTCGCGGAGCGCACGCGCCACGCGCCACGCCGTCGAGCCGCCGCAGTCGCGTCGAGGGCGTGGCTCGATCGATTGTGTCCGCCTCACGCCATCGAGGCGACGCGCCGACGCCACCACGCCGTCGACGCGACGCGCCGACGCCGTCGACGCGACCCTGGGAAGGCACCTTGCTGAAAGTTACCGCGCCGCCGCCCGCCGGAGATGTCGACCGCCTCGCGGACGACGTACATGCCGTCCTGGGTCTTGTCGTGGAAGATGCCCTCGAAGCCCGATTCCCTTTCCGCGAAGCCGTGCTGGGGGTCGCCCATATGCGCGTTCAGCTTGCTCCGCATCGGCAGCGACTCGTGCACGCGCAGCACGGCCCACGAGGAATCACAAATGGAGTAGAAGTGCTCTCCAATACGAACGACGTCGGAGGCCTCGAACTTCGCCTCGCCCTTGAGAGTTGAGTACTCGAAGAGTGACGCGACGGGCGAGTCGTGAACCGCCTTCACGTGCTCGTTTCTGTATCTTTGAGCCGTGGCGCACTCGCGGTACTGCTTCTCGAGCTCCGGCGCCCACATCTTCTCCTTGTCCTTCTTGAAGTCTTCTAGAGTACTGGAAGGAGTACCATACACCGCGACGGCCCCGACGAAGAGGACTGCTGTGGCGGCCAGTGCCACCAGAATACGCTTGCGCCGCGGCGAGGCGGAGCCGTCGACGGGCTCGTAGGGCTGGGCCATGCTTGCTTTTGCCTGCGGAAGCGCGGCCGGGTGTTCGAACGCGCGCGCGTCGACGGCGTTTGCAGGGTTTCGGTTGCGCGCGTGTATTTTGCAGGTGTGTCGTTCCGCGGGGGTGCGGTCGCGAAATCTGTCGGCGGCTGAGCGCCGCGCATGCATGCAAACAGTGCTTGGTGCAGCAGCTATTGTTTATGCCACGCGCTTGCGCGAACGGCGTGAAGTTGCAGTCCGGGACTGGGGATGCATGGCGGCTTGCTCACCTCGCTTTGGCTGCTTTATCGGCTGTCGCGGCCGTCTTTAGGGCACGCGCGGCTCTCGATTCTGCATGCAGGTTTGACAGCGAGGCCCCGCACGATTTTTCGAACGCCGTCGAAAGCACTCGTTCAACATCCAATCTCCCCCTCTGTGACTTGCTCTGGCCTAGTGGCCTGTAAGACATTAGCACACACAAAGCCGCGGCGCCGACAGACAAAAGCCCAGTCCTCCGCCGTAGGTACACGGTTATACGTCGTAGTATTGTCTCGTAGTCAGTTGTGATACGACTTGACGTGTCACTAAGCACGGAGCGAGTCACACGTCGCCGAGAGTACCAATCAAGTTTGCATTGGTCAGACTAGGAACGGCCGGCGTCGCGGCGTCAGGAGACGAACGCGATGCGACAGAGCCTACTCCTTCTCCTCGCCGCCGCCGCGAGCGCCCAAACAAGAATAACAAATTGGGAGGAGCAGCACCAGCGCTTCGTGCGGCAAGCGGCCTTCGAGGACTTATAGAGACGCTTTGCTCGTGACGCGGGGCTACCACGACGTCTTAGATGGGTGGCGATCGCTCGCCAAGGGCGCTTCATTAACCCCGGACGCCGAGGTCGTGAGGGTCCGCGTCCAGACGAAGGAGCCCAACCTCAAGCTGGGATGGCTCCACGGCAACGAGACGTGCGTTGATCGCCACGAGTCATGTGGACCATGGTCCAAATTAGGAGAGTGCAAGAACAACCCGACGTGGATGCGGCCGCACTGCCCCGTGAGCTGCAAGGTCGTGAGTGGCTGCACGGCGTCGACGCCGCGCATTCTCGTCGAGGACGTGTCGACGGAGACGTGGACTTCCGTCAAGGCCGTCGTCGGCGACCTGTTGCTGGCGTTGCGGGGCGACGAGGTCTTGTTCGTAAGGGAGGTCGACGGGCCGGCGGACGTGACGGTCGTCGCGTCCTGAGCGTAAGCATCACCACCATGACTAGGCTAAAATCTACTTATCCGAAGAAGAAGAGGCCATCTTCTTCCGCACCATGTCCTTGATGGCCTCGACGTCCGACGCGTCGGGCACCTTCTGGATCATCGTCCACGGCGCTTTTTGGGCGCCGAAGCACCGCGTCTCCAGCGCTGCCAAAACGGCGAGGTCCTGGTTATTTGATTGAGCTTGGTCCACCAGATTGATGGCTACACCTCGAGCGCCCGCTCTACCCGTCCGGCCCACCCTATGTATGTAAGTATCGGAGTCGGGCTCCGGCGGCTTTTGCGAGGCGCCGCGCGGTATGCTATAATCAATGACCACGGGCAAGTCGTAGTTTATGACAATATTCACTCCTGGGACATCGATACCCCTAGCGATGACATTTGTCGTGATAAGTACTTTGACCTTGCCATCGCGGAACGCCGCCATCACTCTATCGCGTTCGTTCGCGTCCATGCCCGTACTTCCTCGACCACCCGTCAAATCCTCCACCGAGAAGTTTTTTGCTTTGAGCACTTGCGTGATGCTCGACACGTCTTTTCGAGTGTTCACAAAAATGATCGATTGTTGTGCTGACAGTAAATCATAAATGTCCTCCACGATCCCAATCTTGCCCTGGGGGTGCTCCTTCGCGTCGCACCACACATGAGCAATCTCGTGGACCATTAATGCTGATCTATCTTCATCGGTGGCCGCGATGAGTACTTTCGAGGACGGGTGCCGCTTGAAGACCGACGTCTCGATGTCTTTGACCACTTCATCGGTGTAGGTAGCCGAGAAACAAAGGACCTGGCAGGCGTCCGGTAAGGCTTTCCTCAATGATCGGGTATCATCCCTATGACCCCTCGCGTCCATTTCGTCCGCCTCATCAAGGACTAACATACTGATGCCCCGCGTATCTAACGCTCGCGCTTTGATCAATTGGAGCGTCCGGCCCGGTGTCCCTACGACAATATGACCTCTGATCGGCTCCTGCCTTGCTCCTCGGCCTCGACCGCGACCGCCCCGTCCCCTACCTCCTGAGGGACCTTCCGACAGAGCCAACGCAACTACGAGACCCTTCTCCTCCACCAGCGTCTTCCCGATCAACCGCACCACCGCGGCGTTCTGTGTGGCCAATTCCCGCGTAGGACAGACACACAGCCCCTGGACATGAGGCTTCGTCAGGTCAACATTCTGCAACATCCCTAACGCAAAGGCCGCCGTCTTGCCCGACCCGGACTTGGCCTGCGCCAACAAATTCTCGCGCACCGGCGTCTTCTTGAACCCATCTAAAATCAAAGGTAAGGCCGCCTCCTGGATCTTAAAGGGTTTGGCAAAGTTCGCCAGGTAGACGCCCTTCAGCAACGCCGGATCCAGATTGAGCTCCTCCCAGGTCCGCGCGGCCACGAGCGCCGCGGCGCCGTCGGCGCGCTGCACTTGAATCGTGTCGCCCTCGGCCGTTTGTACCGTTTCCACTACTGATACAGCTTGTTTTGATAAAGTTTCAGTAATACCACCAACGGACGACTGGTTCGACGTCGTGCGCTCCGTCGCTGTTCTCACGGGCTCCTTGGGCGCGTCGAAGCTGAAGGTTGTGGGGGCCGCCGCCGCTGGTGGGGGCGCGCCGAAGGAGAATGTAGGTGCATTTGCGCTTAGCTTGCTGGCGTCCTTCTTTTCTTCGTCTTCATCATCACCCCAGTTCGTGGCCTTCGTGTCGAAGAGCGACATGGCGGCGCGCGGCGTCGGCGAGGCGAGGCTGCTGCTTAAAAGCTATGCGGCTTGCAGCGCGGTGCTCTCACGTTGCAGCGCTGTGATTTATGAATGTCTGAGCGTATTATAGAGCCGCGGAAGGCAGCGATATTGGCGCAGACAGCCAAAGCCGCGATTTTTGGGCTGATCATCTAGTGTAGCAACATACTAGTCAAACCCGTTTTGTCTGGATTCGAGTATTCCGGCGGAGATATTTCTCTTCCAGGCTTCCAGGAGACCTCACTGGACTGGTCTTTCCCCCAATGACCGCTCGTCTCCGACATCTCACCACACTGGGCAGCGGAAACAAACGCGTGCGAGCGGCGCGCAACGCAACGCCGCCCTGCACGCATCGCGCATAGATCGCATTCATCCGAGCGCACGTGCTTGCGCACGGCAAACGACGCATTCATAGAGGAGGCTGCCCCATGGCACGCCTCCTATGCGGGCTAGCAGCGATCGCGGCCGCCCAGGACTGCGTGCGAAGCTCCTATGAGTACCTTGACGTAGCAATCGACGTCAATGCGGAACTGGCACCGCAGATCGAGGCCAAGTGCAACACGACGAGCTGCGGCTTCCGGCAAGTTTTAACCGAGGACTGGTCGCAGCTCCGCGTGTCCCATCGACACCCGCGCTTGGTCCAGCAGAACGACTCGGCGCCGGTCTGGCCCGTGCTCATGGCTCCCGAATTGCCCGCGTCCTTAGCCGCGGCCGATCTGTGCGAGAAACGTAATTTGAATGGGTTTGAATGTCGAAGTTTAAAACAGATCGCCCGCGAGAACCGGCCCGATGAATGGTGCGTCCACGACCCGTCGAAGGCCGAGAGCGTCCCGGCGCAAGGGCGTTTACTCAAGAGTTTTGATTTCGACGAGAGAGGTAATGATATTCCTCTGACGCCGTCGCTATGTGGTCCCAATGGACCTTCACAAAACTCGGCCTACTGCGAGGGCGCCTACCTGTTTGTCGACGAGCCGAGGGACGGCGCGACGTACCAACCGACGCTGCAGCGAGGCACATTTTCTCCCTCATTACGAATACGGAACGCCGACGGGTCGTCGAGGGACTTCATGGACGTGTTGCGGGACGATCTCGACTTGAACGCCACCATCGCTACTTCGGTTGATTTGTACACTTGGTCAATATCTAGGTATCCGCGAGACGCGGATTCGCTACCGGTCTTCGGGTATTTGAGGATGGCCGTCGGGACCCATTCGTTGTTTGTCGTGATTCTGGACGGGAGCGGCCGGCCGTTGGCGGAACCGATAAGGGCGACCTTCCGGTGCGAGCTGCAAGGGAATGAGGGCAAGGCGGCGAGCGACGCCTTCCCATCTCATGAAGATGGCAACGCGGCGAAGACCTGGTACCTCCAGCGGCCCTGGCAGTTACCCGGAAGGGCGGAAGTGTTGCGGCGGAACGGCTATCATGAAGAAGCTAGGGCGTCGGAGGCGCTGTTTCTCGCGCTCGCGGAGTGGACGGGACAGAGCGAGCTCCAGCCCTTCCGGGACTTCTCCTCCGAGATGCCTTCTGGGAACAGGTACGTGAGCTTCCGGAGCCCGCCGAACGGCCTGTCGAACCAGAGACGGGACATCGCCACCATGGTCCTCATTGCGAACGTTCTCCGGAGAAAGTTCGTGCTGCCCTTCCTCTTCACGTATGGCGAGGACGGCTCGAAGATGCGCTTTTTGGATTTCGGGGAGATCTATGATGAAGACTACTTTATTGCGACGCTGTCTTCGTTGGGCGTGAGTGCGGAGCCTGAGATCATCACAAGAAATCGGTCCATCGCCGCGCATAAACGAAATGAGATCGCGGAGAGGGATTGTAGTCCGGACCCCGACGTGGGCGAAGATTTTTACAAAGAGCGGATGGGTGCTGTGACAGATGAATTCCTTCATGTCGTCTGGCCGGCGGGGACCTACTCGCAGACGACCATGCTGAATCTCTTCGATGAGCCAATCCGACTGCCAAAAATCCGGGACGCCTTCCGCTGGTCCGCGAAGATTTCGGTGAGGGCGTCGGAGTTGGCTTCAGAGGCTAGAAGATTACACGGCCCGCGGCTCGGCTGCTTGCACCTGCGGGTCGAGAACGACTGGAAGTCGCACGCCATATCCCTGGGGAAGGCGACGCAGGTGCCCCACGACAATCTGTACTGGGTGGACGGGGATGAGGCGGTCAGAAGAGTGGCGGCCCATCCTGCCTTCGCCAACGTCGATGTCGTGTTTCTCGCGGTGGGCAACGACACCGATACGCCACCGCCTTCTTCATTAAATGGTGCGCCCCTGCTCAACCGAAAGAACCTCACTTCTTTATCAGTACTGAGCGACGCCTGGGACCCGGAGGCCGACCACTTACTCGCTCGCGCGGCGTTAGATATGGCGGTCTGCGAGCAAGCGGACGTGGTGGCGGGCAACACGTGGTCCTCGTTCTTCCAGGAGCTGTCGGCGTTCTATCACGCGCGGGGCAAGCCAGCTGTTGCGTACAACGCGCCTGGCAGGCGAGCGGCGCTCGTGACGGATGGGGGAGTCCTGGGCTCGCCCTTCGACGCCACGCGGAAGCCGTTATCGTCGTCCAACGAACAGGCCCTCTTCCACGTGCCCGTGGATCTGTGCTCTGCCGACAACTGCGGGCGCTGGACGATGAGCGTCTACGGCGCGCAGTCCGCCGAGGAGAGCGTGGAGGCGTTCCTCGCGGAGATTGATGATGCTGATGTGCGGGACGCCGTCGACGACGCGTTTGTCTTGCAGCGTCCCGTTCACCTTCGAGTTGTCACGCCGTCGACGCAGGTCCAAAGCGCATCTGATACAACACGTGCAGGGGGAGCGCGACCGGCGCACGGAGCGGCTCGAGGCCCACGCCGCGTGGGCGTCCTCGAAACCGACGGACGCGCTCGACGCGTTGAGGAGAGCCGTCGACGCCGTGGACGGTCCGCAGCGAGCCGCACTGGAAGAGGCGTTCGATGGCGTGAAGGACGCGTTGAATGCGGCAAAGCGCCGGGCCGACGGCGTGCGCGACGCCACGACGCGGGCATCCGCGGCCGGCTACGACGCGGAACGAGGAGATCTACCGGCGTCGCGGCGCGACGCGTGTTTTGATCACCCGATACTACAAGCGCACCACGGCGGGCCCGCTTCCAATTTAGCGGTCGCGCAGCACTCGCCGGACCCCGCCGCGCGGGCGACGCCACTGCTCCGGATCATCCCGCACCGACACGAGCTGCCTTCGCTATTGCGAGATCTCGGCTTAGATAGAGTGGGAGCCGAGCTCGGGGTCTGGAAAGGTTCCTACTCGCGGCGCCTGCTGAGCGAGCTCCCCGACCTCACGCTCCACCTGGTCGACTCGTGGGAGCCGGTCGACATCTATCAATCCGTGGAGAAGCAGGACGATGCGTATGCGGAAACTTTACAGGCGGTTGCACCATATAAGGCGAGGACGCGCGTCCACCGGAACTGGACGAGCGACGCGGCCAAGAGCTTCGAGGACCAGAGCTTGGACTTCGTGTACGTCGACGCCTCGCACGACTACCGCAACTGCCGCGCGGACCTCATCGACTGGTGGCCGAAGGTGAAAGTGGGCGGCCTTTTCGCGGGCAACGACTACTACACGGGCCACGTCGCGGCCGCGGGCGTGACCTTCGGCGTGAAAGATGCCGTCGACGAGTTCGCCGCGGTGCGCAATTTGAGAGTGTACGTGACGGCGGGGAACGACCCGGACGGGTGTTGTCCCGACTGGTATGTGTTGAAGTGTGGGGAGTGATATCTCCTGGGGGCGTAATTACTGTGTTTCGAGCGGGTTTTCCACTGCCTTTTACGCAGCGCACGAGGCTTTGCGGCGGCCCGCGACCTGTGCTAGATAAATCGCGTTATTGGACGTCTTGCGATACGCCTGAAAGGCCCTGCGTTGCGTTGCAGAGCTCAGTGGCTGTGAGTGCTCTCACTGCATTAATTCACCACTGCTGAGTTTCCAAGCGAGCGGCGGCGGCGACGGCGTAATGGCGTCGTCTGACGAGATTCCGCCGGCGCTAGAGGCCGACTTCGTCGCTCTGCGAAAACTGCGCGACGACGACGAGAGCGGTGCGCTCAAGGAGTACTTCGGGGGCGACGAGGACCCGCGCGAGTGGAAACAGCCCGATGGAGATACAATTGTCACGGTAGAGGACGGTCGGGTGACGGAGCTCGACTTGTACAAGTGCTCGAGCCTCGTCGCGCTGCCGGACGCGATCGGCGAGCTCGGCGCGCTGAGGGAGCTCAACATGCTCCAATGCGGAAGTCTCACCGAGCTACCAGAGGCGATCGGCAAGCTTACGAAGCTGATGAAGTTCCGGTTATCTCGCGCAGTCATCACAGTGCTACCGGATTCGATCGGCAAGCTCGGAGCCTTGACGGAGCTCACCTACAGCGTCCAACACCGACCGCGCGCCCCCGTCCGGCTCTCAAGGACAAAACGCAGTCAACGAGGAGTTAGTGAAAGCGCTGGCGAAGGCCAACGGTACGTGCAACAACTCGTGCAACTGCATCGTAGCCTGAACAAGAAAATCAACGCGCCCGGCGCGAAGCCTCCCCGGCGAGGCACACCACTCACATGCGAGCGCTCCAGACCCAGCAAAACTCCCCACCCCCCGGGGAGCGTCGCGTAAAAACCAAACAACAAAACTTACAACACCGTCGCCTTCGGAAACAGGTCCTTCACCTTGCGCCGCCAGCACGGCTCCCACGTCCTCAGGTCGCGCACGCGCAGCTCCACCAGCGTCATCCGGCACAGCACCAGCGGAAAGAAGGCGCGCGTCGACGTGATCGGGTTGCCCGCTACATCTAGTACACGTAACGACGCCAGCTGCTCCAGCCGCACGCAACTCTTGAGTCGATTCTCCGCGAGCGCCAATCGCACCAACCCCGCGGGCAGCTGCGGCGGCGCGCTCCGCAAACAATTCCGCGACAGGTCCAGGCACCGCAGCTTCGTGAGCGCATGGAGCGTCGCCCCGAGACTTTTCTCGTCGCCGAGTCCGAGGCCCACCAAAGACACGCAGCGCAGCGACACGCGCCAGGGTAGGCGCGGCCCCGCGTCCAATCCCCTAAATAGAGCAGCTACGCCGTCCGCGTCGCTCTGCGTCGTCGCCACGCAGGACACGGCGACGAGCGGCCGCGAGTCGTCCAACGACGTCGCGTCCTTCGCGGCCCGGCCCACGGCGTCGGCCCAGGGCCGCCCCGCCGTCTCTACTAAATGAGAATCCGGCGGCGGGACCCGCACGTCGACGGCGTCGCCCTCGTGGTAGTTCTGCGTGACGATGCGCAGCGTGCGCCATCTTGCCCGCCACGCGCCGTCGTCGCAGTCGCCCTCGCCGACCACGTCCCAGTTTCTCGGTATGATGTCTTCATCAAAAGCCGCCTCCCGCTTCTTCCGCCGCCAGGGCCAGAAGTAGTCCGCGTAGGCTTCGGCGGCCGCATCCAAGCCGGGATCGCCCTTCTTCCTGCGAGGCAAAGCTCGTTTCCGCGGCGCGCCGTGGATCGGGGTCCGCGGCGCCCGGGATCGCGCCGTGAGGGCCCGGGACCGCTCCACGGGTTCGCGGCCGACGCGGCCGACGCCACTTCTTCCTGTCCCGCCGACGCCGCCGCCCCGCCAGACCCTTAGTTGCTGCGGCGGCGACTGGTCCCAGGACTCGGTGGAGTCGCGCTTCTCCGCGTCGACCGCGGCCGCGTGGGCGACGACGCCCGCGGCAACAGCTTTGTCGTGCACCGAAAGCGCCGCGAGCGCCGCGGCGGCGGAGTTCACGGTCTTGGCGTCCGGCGAATCGTCCGTGGCGAAGCGCGCGGGCGCGCGGCGGAGCGACGCGGCGGCGGCGGACACGACGTCGGGGCTCGTCGTCGTCAGCGCCTCGGACTCGACCGGCACTTTGACCGGCGTCGACGCCACGCTCGACACGGGCGAGGCGTCGCGCGACGACCTCACTAAGGACGCGACGCGGGCCTCCCGCCTTGCGCACGCGGCCGGATCGATGCTCCGGCGCGGCGGCGGCGGAGGAGGTGGACTGGACGGTGCGGCCTTCGCTTGCATGCGCTTGATGCGTTCTGCCGTCGTCGGTGCTAAGGTGGCGAAGACGTTTTTTAGCGGGACGGTGGTCGCGGTTGCGACGTCGCTGTCGAGGTCTTGCTTCTTTTGCCGGGCGTCGTCGCGCTTTTTGCGCCATTTTTCTGCCGATTGCGGCGGTTTTGGCGGTGTGCCGTTCATTGCTGCAGTGATAGCGCTTGCGCAGATAGCGCTGCCCTGGCTGAGACTGCTGTGAACAGTGCAGGGCGCCAAAACTAGCAGCTCCTGCTTTGCGCACCGGACGCAGCTGTCCCAACAAGTAATATCTCGCACCGTATGCGTCTGCACCGGCTACTGCAGTGATCTAGCGGCACAACAGTGCTGTTTTGGGGGATCTCTAGTGTGTTATAACTAGCTCAATATAACAAAGAGGGTGATGACGAGTCAAGACAGAGCTCTCCGGACGCCTGCGCTACTCAGTGAAGGGAAATCGATTGGTCCATCTCGCCTGCCTCTAAAAATAAGCAAAGCCGCCGCCTCTCGCTTTGGCCATTACGACTGGAGCATTGCTCCATTGTGCTAAGAAAATAGCGTAGCGCTGCCTTCACGACGCGTGCAGCCAGTAGTCGAGCGCTGCACCAGAGAAACGCGGCCGCAGCCAAACTCCCAAGGAGGCCTGTCTGCCACGCGGCGCGTGCGCGCGCGCAAGGGTTAGCAAGATGACCGTCCTCAAAACGGTGGAAGATGTCGGCGCGACGCTCGCCTGGTACCCCGGCCCCAAGAGTATGGTCGCGTTGGGCACGACCGAGGCGTCAGGAGCGGGGTTCGACGATTATGGGGCGCGCCTAGAACTCCATGCGTTGGACCTCACCGACGAGAGTGCGACGTCGAAACCGGCGGCGGTAGCGAAGACCTCGTCGAGATTTGTGTCGTTGGCCTGGTCCGCCCTACCCGGGAAGGCCTCCGCCGATGCTCTCTCCCTAGGCTTGGTGGCGGGCGGCATGTCCGACGGCTCCGTGGATGTGTGGGACGCGGCGAAGATGGTCGCGGGCCACCCGCAAGCGCATGTCTCGCGCGTGCAGAGGCACTCCGGACCCGTGAATGGATTGCAATTCAATCCGCACTCTGCCTCTGCGCATTTATTAGCATCAGGAGGCGCCGACAAGGAGGTGTTTGTTGCATCGTTAGAACGGCCCGAGGCGCCGACGGTCTTCGTGCCGGCGCCGCCCCCGAACGCGGCAAAACATTCGGCCGAAGTGACGAGGGTCGCCTGGAACTCGCAAGTGTCCCACATCCTCGCCACGGCCAGTCAATCGGGGGCGACGATTGTGTGGGATTTAAGGCAGAAGAAGCCCTGGTGCGAGTTACGGGACGCGGCCTCCAGGAGTCCTGTGAGTGACGTTGCCTGGAATCCACTAGAAGGTCTCCATCTGGCCACTGCCTCCGGAGACGACGGCAACCCCGTCGTGCGGCTGTGGGATTTACGGTCATCAACAACAATGCCCCTCGGCACGTTACGGGGCCACACGCAAGGTATTCTGAGTATTGACTGGTGCCCGGACGACACCGCGTTACTCGCGTCCTGCGCGCGGGACAACAAGACGCTGCTGTGGGACCTGTCCACGCAGCAGGCCGTCTACGAACTGCCGGGCGGCGGCGCGGAACCGGGCTCTCCCCAAGCGACGAACTTCGGCGCGGCTTCTGGTTCTGGCGCGTCCGATTTATTTGGTGGTTCTGCCCCGGGCAACGGGGGCTTCGGCAAGGCCGCAGCAGGAAGAAGGTATCAAGTGGCATGGAGTCCGTCCCAGCAAGGCGTCCTGGCGACCTGCGCTTTTGATCGCAGCGTGCAGATCCATTCGATCTCGTCGGGTTCCGGGACGGCCCCGAAGTGGCTCCGAAGGCCTTCCGGTGTCGCCTTCGGCTTTGGTGGTCGCTTAGCGTCCTTCTCGTCCAAATCCAAGGCCCAAGTAAAGCTAGGAAGGCACGTCGAAGATCGATCGCTGGTGAACGCTAGTCGCGCGTTCGAAGCCGCTCTAGCGTCCCAGGATTATGCGGCCTTCTGCGACGCCAAAGTCGCAACCGCAAAGACCTCAGCAGACAAGAGGACCTGGACCTTCATGGCGCTCATCTTCGAGCCGAACGCCCGCGAGAAGCTGCTCGAATGCTTAGGGTATGACGCCCAAAAAATAGCGCAGCAGTTCGCACCGCCGCCGCCGCCCTCGTCGACGCCGTCGTCTCCTGCAGTTGACGACACGTCGGCGGAAGATGTTTTTGCTACTAGAACGCAATCGTTGTCCATCTCTTCTGACAGATCTATCGAGGAGAAGTCTCCACTTACACCTGCGGCCGAGGCGGACGTGAAGCGAGCTTTACTGGTAGGGAACTTCGACGCCGCCGTCGAGGGCTGCTTCAAGAACGGCGCGCTGGCCGACGCTCTGTTGCTGGCGTCGTGCGGCGGTGCCGAGCTCTGGGAGAAAACTAGGGCGAGATACTTCGAGAAAGCGGCTCGGAAACGACCCTTCCTCGGCGTCGTCCGGGCCATCATCACGAACGAGCTCGATCAGCTCGTCCAGACCGCGGATTTGAATAAGTGGGAGGAGACCCTGGCTATTTTATCTACCTACGGCAAAAGCGAGGAGTTCCCGCAACTCTGCGAGGCCCTAGGACAACGCCTGGAGAACGAGAAGCGCGACCAGACGGCGGCCTCGCTGTGCTACATGTGCGCCGTCAACGTCGCCAAGACTGTCAGTTTTTGGATTAGCGACTACAAGAAACAGGAGAACACTGCAGGACTACAGGACTTGGTAGAAAAGGTCACGGTCTTCGCGAGGGACGATTCGAACCCGAACCAGGACCCGACGCAAGCCTTAGGATCATTAGGACCGGAGGTCGTGGACCTGTTCACGCAGTACTCTGAAAAGCTCGCGGCCGAGGGCGAGATCGCCGCAGCCACGAAATATTGTGGAGCGCAAGATGATTCATCAAGGTTGTTACTAGATCGGTTGCATCGCGCGGCGTCGAACGCCTATGATCACGTGCAACCCTCCTTTCCAGTTACTGATGTCAGACCTTCTTCCGCGATCACGGGCATCGTGCCGGCGCAACCAGCTGATGGTGCTTTGCCGCACCCCTGGCAGGCCCACAGCGATCCTTCCAGTGGAAGAACGTACTACGCCAACGCGGACACGGGCGAGACGCGCTGGGACCCGCCTCCCCAACCCGTTGCGCAGCCGGCCCAGGCGTTCACGCGGGCCGCGCCGGCGCCGGCGCCGATGCCCTTCGCGCCGCAGCCCGCGCAGCCGGACCCCTACGCCCAGGCGCAGCCCTTCTCGCCGCAGCCTCAGACTTTTTCGCCGCAGCCGACGCAAGCGTTTTCGCCGCAACCTACTACGGCGGTCCCGATGCCCGTGCGGACGGCACCGGTCCAACCAACGCCGGCGCCCGCGCCCATGCCCATGCCCATCACGCAAGCGCCTTCGGTTCCGATGCCGACGCACGTGCGCCAGAACTCCGTGCCGAACCTCGCGCCGCCGGCTCCCGTGACGAGCCAGGGCTTCGACCAGCCGGCCCAGAGCTTCGGGGCCGCGCCGCCGCCGCAACAACCACAGTATTCGAGCGCCGGGTTCACGGCCGCGCCGGCCCCGGCGCCGCCGCCGGCCCCGGCGCCGGCGCCGCCGCCCGCGCCCGCGCCGCCGCCGGCGCCCGTGGCCCAGTCGCCGGAGGCGACGGCCGTCGCCCAGGGCCTGCAGCAGCTCGTGCAGCACCTCTCGCAATGCCCGCTGAACGGCTCCGAGAAGCGCCAGCTCGCGGAAGGTAGTAAGGCCGCGGAAAAGCTCAAAGAGAAGCTGACCTACGGCCAGGTCGAGGAGGACGTCATCGTGCAGTGCAACCGCCTCGTGTCGGCCGTGCTCCAGCGCGACTACGCGACGGCGTCGGCCGTCCAGGTCGCGCTCGTGAACAGCCACTGGGCGGCGCACAAGGACTGGCTGAAGGGCGTCAAGTTCCTCTGCCAGCTGGCGCAGAAGAAGATGCAGTGAGTAGTTGCTGCGTATAAGTAGGGGTAATAGATACTTAGGCCAAGTTCTGCCGGTACGCGTCCGGGTTCCGTAACGCTTCCAGGTTCTGCTCCGGGTCGCGGTCGTGCACGATCAACGGGTGTCGGGCTTCATCTTCTTCAGATTCATCATCACTATCCTCCTTCCTTTCATCCGGCTCGTCCGCGACGATCTTCCTCCCTAAGAAATTCACCCGCTTCCTTTGCAACTTCACTTCGAACGGCGGCGTGTCCCTTAACAATTGATACGCCACCTTCACGGCGACCAGCAGACATTCGTAGGCGATGAAGAGCAAGAACCGCGAAAACAGCTTCCGGTTCGCCAGGAAGTCGCCCGTGAACGCGAAGAGTAATGCTGACGTTATTGTCGCGGCATAGGACGTCAATTCCAGCACCAGCGACCAGGAACCGATAGAGCTACAGCCCGTCGGCCACGGCCGCCGCGCGTCCACACAATATTTAAACGCGTCCGTCCTAAAGAACGCCGGACGCGAGACGTGGGTCTTGTCCGTATCAAATCCATCAGGCACGCGCGGGAGACGGAGCGTGATGCCGAAGCGTTTCTCCTCGCGCGTCGGCCAGTCCTTGTTGTCGTCGAGAACCGCCCGGCGCACCGCGGACCACTTACCGTCCGCCCCCACGATCGCGTCGCGCTCGCCGCACGTCGCGCCGCAGCCGGCTCCGTCTGTAACTCCGGCGACGCCTCGCGCGGTCGACGCGACGACGAGAGCCTCGAGGAGCCAGGCGGCGCTGCGCATCCTTCCAAATCCGATCGTGCGAGCACCGCGGCAACAATAATAGTGTCAAGCGGCACGCACGACTGTCCAGCGCTCGCGCGGAGAGGTGACCCGGCCTCGCGGCTGTATGGCTCAAATCGCGAGTGTTTGCGGTCTGTTGAACCGGATCGTCGCGTCAATTGAGTTTTTGCCAACGCGGAAGCGAATGCGATTGAGAGCCGCGCCTCGCAGTCTCGAGTCGATTTGGGCTTTTGGAGAGCAAAGCAGTGAAAAGTTTCCTGGCTCGATCGAGGCATCCGTAACCCATTCAATCTTTTAGTCGTCAGAAGGGTGCGCAACGCGTCTCGCTAAAATTCGGGCGCTAGCGGCCTGTAAGACACTAGCAAACTCACAGGCTGCCATCTCGCAATTCATACAGATGCTGCCCCACATCAGTAAGAGGCAGCATGCTTAGGCTGCTCCTCGCCGCCGCCGCGGCGCGCGCCAGCAACCGCGGCCACGAGGTGGCCCAGTTCGTGCGCGCGCGGGCCGGGCTCCTCAAGTCGATCGTGCTCTTCCGCACGCACGTCGACGACGCTCTGACCATAAGAATTTATAAATCGCTCCACGCATCGCTGAACAATGCGAAGAACTACGATCTACACATCCTGTACGACCCGGACGCGCTGCCGACGTGCTGCGCGCAATTTCACAAAGATGCGTCCTCGATAAAGTTCGGCCTCCAGGAGTTTGAAGAGAATTATCCAAATGTAGAACTCCAAATGCACAAAAATAAAGGCCAGCCCGCCTTGAAGAAGTCGCACTACCAGCAGTTGGCTTATGCGTACGCGCTGCGGGGCAGGGACTACGAGTACGCCTGGTGCGTCGAGCACGACGTCGCCCTCACGGGCGGGAACTGGCTCGGGTTCTACGAGGCCCACGCGAATGATTCAAGGGACCTGCTCGCGTGGCGCGTCGGGTGGGTGCCCAAAGATGCGAAGCCGCACAAGGGCGGCGCCTGGAACGCGGGCATGATGAAGGGCCCGCGCTTCGACTGTTTCCATAACGACCGGGGGGGCTGGCCCTTCAGCACGTGCCACGGCGGCCATTCCGAGGTCGCGATTTTGTTCGGGGCGATCGTGCGCTTTTCATCAAGATTCGCGGCGTTGCTCGACCAGGACGGCGCGGCGGACCCGCCCTCCTACGGCCACTCCGAGACGGCCGTGCCCACTTTATGCAATATTACCCAATGGTGCACGATGGGAAACATCAGTGCAGGCTGGGTCGGCATCAACGACTACTTGTTGGATCCGCCCATCTCCACCGATGTCTTCGACGAGATCGAGAAGGTGTTTCCACACAAATTGATGCACCCCGTCCGGGACACGACGTCGTCGTCGAGCTTCGACAGCGTTTCCGGCCTCGCCAAGGGAGTTTCCGTAAAACCCAAGCAGGCGCGTGCGAGGGTGATCAACGGCGTGTTCCACGCGCCCGCCGGGCGGCACGAGGCCCTATGCTTACTGGCGAACCCGCGGCCCTTCCAGCCCTCGTTCTCGTGTCCGGTCGGCTGCCCGCACCACGTCCAGGAGGCGTGCCCCACGAGGAACTGCGTCTGGGGCCGGCCGAACGCGACGTATGTCCATCTAGCAGCGCGAGAATGCGTTGTCGAATGCGCCAAGGAGCCGGGCCGGTGTCCCTTCGCCACGAGCAAGGGGTCGAGCGTGAGTTTGCTCGAGGCGCCGCCCGGCGGTTTCGCCAAAAAAGCGAAGGTCGCGCGCCGGCGGCCGGCGCAGCGACGGCGTTCGTAATATGATGTGAATTTTTACTATAAAACCGACTTGTTACGGTGCTGACGTTTGCTAATATTTTTACGGAGCTAGCACTAGTTTGGCTAGCGGCCTGTAACACACTAGCAAGCCAGACAAAAAAGGAGGCAGCTCGCTTGCTGAGCCCCAGCGCTGCGAACCACGGCGTGGGAATAAGTTGCGGATAAGCGGTGAGCGTCTTGTTGCGAGGGTCACTCGAAAAACAGCATTTCCGCTGCGTTTTACGAGCCCCCCAGGCACACTCGCTGCACAAGCATATCCGCGCAGCACGCCGCCGGCGCGACAAAGAGATGGCCGCCGCCCTCCAAGAACTGCTCAGCGAGCACTCCTCCAAGGGCCCGCCGCCCATCGTCTGCCCCGGCCACACGCGGCCCTTAGCGGAGGTCTCCTTCAGCCCCGAGACGCCCGACGGCTACTTCCTCGTGAGCGCCTGCTTGGACGGCCAGCCCATGCTGAGAGACGCGACGACGGGCGACTGGATCGGCACGTTCGCGGGGCACAAAGGGGCTGTGTGGTCCGCGAAGTTGTGTTCCGAGGCCCGCTTGTGCGCCACGGGGAGCGGCGACTTCTCCGCCAAGGTCTGGGACGCGGTCACGGGCAACTGCCTCGCTACGTTGGATCATCGCCACGTCGTGAAATGTGTGGACTTCTCGAGTGACCGAAGACTGCTCGCGACGGTGGGCAAAGAAGGCGCGGCACGCGTCTTCGACGTCGAGGCGGGCCTCGGTGCTTCGGGCCCGGAGCGCTTGTTTGGAGCGAGAGACGATAGTGATGGCAGGAAAGTTACCGTTAACAAGTGCGCTTGGACCGAAGCCGGGTTACTGGTCTGCGGCGCGGCGGACGGGAAAGTCAGTGTTTTAGATCCGCGCGTGGACGGTGATGACCCTATTGCTATTATCGATGTTGGTAAAGATGCTGTGATGGACCTCGAGCTGACGAATGGGGCTCTCGGGCCTACGTTAACGGTCTGTTCGGGCGAACAGGTCCACTTGGTCGACGCCGTGCGCTGGACGTCTACGAAGAAGGTCATCGATTGTCCGGTCCACTTCCGGGAAGAAGGAGGGGCTTCTCTCAGGAACGACGGCAAAGAGATCGTCGTCGGTGGTGGAAGACATGGGGGGTCGCGCCAGGGCGCCCTGGGTGTGGAGAAGGGTGCGAAAAAAGTAGGCGACGTCGGGAGTGACCTCTGCGTCCACGTGATTGACGTGAAGACGGGCAAGGTTTCATTGGAGCGCAAGGGGCACTGCGGTCCCGTGAGGTGCGTGCGCTTCCACCCCGACGCGAAGGCGGGCCGCTTCGCCACGGGGTCCGAGGACGGCACGATCCGGCTCTGGGACCCGGCCGAGGCGTAGATGTTTTATGGTGGTGCCTCGTTCTTCCTTTCAGCCGACCTGCGAATTTGGTTCGGATCGAGTGCTCGTCTACGAGGAGCTCTCCGGCCCAAAGCCGCTAAGCAGCTTCACGCTACTGCGCGGCATCGTCACGGCGCCGCGGCGACGGCGTGCTGCCGGCCGGCATGATGATGCTCTGCCGACCGCGCTCAGCCCACGAATCATCAAGGCGTCGACGACGACGTGTGGGCTTGAATGAAATACTCCCTCCCTTCCCTCTTCCCCACCCTCGCGGCTCGCGTGAGTAAGTTGCGAGGGACAAAACGGGTTTTACAGATCGCCGGCCTCTATACCATCCTCGTGGTGCTCACGTACTACATGCAGCGCTACGACTACGGGGGCCTGCACCGCGACGACGGGGAGATCAAGTGCGCCTGCGCGCGGTTCTACCGGCCGTCCAACCCGCAGAGGGTCTACGACGACGACGACTTCGTCTAGGCGCGCGCCGCGGCGACGCGGCGGAAGTCGAGCCCCGCGGCGGCGCTCATCAGCCGGAAGCGCGCGGAGGAGTCATCCTCCCGGTTCTAAGGAGCACTTTTTACCAGTCATAGCTACTTACTCAGTCCAGGATGCTCGCCGCGCCGACGGCGACCGTCACGTCCGGGTCTATTTCTAGATTGAGTTTGGACACTCCAATAGACTTCCGTAATAATTCCCTCATGTGCGGGACCCGACTCGTGCCGCCGACCAGCACCACTTCGTCCACATCCTTTTTTGTGAGCATGCCGTTGGTCAGCGTGTCGTCGACGGTTTTGAGGGCCCGCTGGAAGAGGTGGGCACACGTCTTCTCGAAGCGCTGCTTCGTTAGAGTGAGTTCTAACTCCTCGCAGCCCTTTTTCGTGCGCGCGGCGCACTTTCTTTGTACAGTATCGACCGAGGATACCTGCACCTTCATCTCCTCGGCGAGCTGCTGGAGCACATGGGGTTCGCACGGTTCCGTCGTCACGAAATCGTCGCAGTCCGTTGAGGATGCTACCGCATTGACTTGCTTCGTTAGGTCGTCCGCTATGCAGCCGTCGAAGTCGGTACCCCCTAAATCATTATCGCCGCCGTTCGCGACGACCTCTATGCTACCTTTCTGGACGTACAGTATCGACACATCGAGGGTACCCCCGCCAAAGTCAAAGACCAGTATATGATGGACGTTTTCCTTCTTGTGTAATCCATAAGCAACAGCGGCGGCCACCGGCTCCGGCATCACTCTTGCCACTCGCAAACCGGCGGCTTTAAAAGCCTCGCCCGTCGCCGCGGTCTGGGCGGCCCCAAAGGACGCCGGGACGGCTATGACCGCTCGCTTGACGTTCTCGTGTCCGAGGTCCTCGTTCACTGTTTTCAGCAGCGCTTTCACGACCTCCGCGCCGACTTCGGCTGGTGCGATTGTGCGACCATGCACCCGAAAGGCGGCGTCGTGCGTCGTCGTGTTCTCGACGACGGCAAAGGCGTACTTTTTCGCCTGTTCCGCGACCGTCGGGTCGTCGTACTTGCGGCCAATGAAGCGCTTCGCGTCGTAAATCACGTTCTTGGGGTCCTTCAACGCGTGGCGCTTCGCGGCATTGCCCACGAGGACGCCCCCATCTTGGAGGAAGGCGACGGTCGACGCTGTCAATTTGCCCCGCACCGGATCCTCGAAGACTCGGACCCGGCCCTTCTCCGAGACTGCTGCCACACTGTACGTGGTTCCTAGGTCGACGCCGATGACTTCCACCCTTCCCTTGAATCCTAACGCGCTGAGCACCGCGGACACCGCGACGAGCACGCTCACGAAGAGGATGAGGATGTGGCCGGACATGCTTGTTGCTGTCGCTGTCTAGGCCTTGGTGCGCGATTGCGCTCCGATCGCGTGAATCTTGCTGTCGTGCGGATGCCACGCGGAGCAGCTCTGTGGTGAGTTGTGCAACTCGCTCAGAAGATACGCTCCGCAGCGATGCTGCTTCTGGCTGCACGCAACGCAACCTTGCACTGTGCACTGCACGCAATGCTTCAACAACTCAGTGTCGTCGTCGCACGCTGAAAGTTGCAGCTCGCCGTGGCTTTATATTTTTTGGCCTAGCGGCCTGTAAGACACTAGCCATAGCCCCTGGGCATCCCTCTAGAGGCATCTGCCTCCAAACCCGATTGATTGATAATTATTCAAGCTCTATCACCAGAACCCCAAGATTCGCACCGCGCCGTCTACTTGATGAAGTCCACGCCCGCCGCGGCCCCCAAAGCGTCGTCGTCGCCGTCGACCGCGAGCACCTTCGCCAGCCAGTTCGCGCAGACCGCGAGCTCCTGCTCGCAGGACTCGTGGCCCATATTGAACGTTCGGACCTGGACGTCGCATGCCGAGCGGTCCGCGAGGAACGCCTTGTCCTTCTCGATTTCTTCGAGCGGTACGTACGGGTCCTTCTCGCCGGTGCAGTAGAGAACTGGCTTCGGGATTTGCAGGTCTTTGTCATCAAATTCGCGAAAGCCAAAGAGCGACGAACAGAGGCACAAGATCCCGGCGCACGGGGTCTGGAGGCCGGTGACCAAGGCCTGGGCGCCGCCGTTCGAGAACCCGCCGAAGACCGTGGTCTCGAGTGTTGCGCCGTCCTGCGTCGCCAGATTGATGTACGTCCGCTTCGACTCCGCGATGTGTTCGCGGTTGAGTCGCCAGCCATTAGGTAGTGACGCGTCCTGTCCAGCGTCAAACCAGGCCGGCAGCTTCGCGTCACCTAGCATCTCTCTGACATCCGCCGTTGCGCCTGCTGCAAACATACTCATATCCCGCGTCGGCGCCGTCGGCACGATGAACTCGACGTGGCGGAGCCGCGGGTCCGTGGACCAGTGCTCCACGGCGCCCTTAATGAAGGTGTTGGCGAATCTATCTAACCCGCCGATGCCGTGGCCGAAGACGACGCGTCGACTAGCGTTTTTCGGGCCGAATCGGAGGGTTGCGAAATCACCCATATTGCGCAGGGTCCGTGACCGCTTAACTACTCTCTCTTGCGCGGGGCTGTCTATTCTCGCGCTTACGCAACCCGCAAGCGACCGTCGGAGCTGGATTGATTTGTGAAAATATCACTGACAGGAAATGGTGAGGAACGCTTTATTTTGGTCCCGCGGGTGGAAGCCGCGCCGGAGAAAAGAAGATCGGCACTCGGTCACGCGGACGGGGCCTGCGTCGCGCCGATTTCTCTCTGCGCCAAACCTCGACAGCTAGCGTCCTGTAAGACACTAGCAACCATTGGCAAGGCAGCAAAAGCTGCGGACAGAGCTCGCTGCGGCTTGTACGCCAAATTCGTGCAGTGCTGTATAGAAATACATGCGCCAGCTCCTCGTCGGCGCTCTCGTTGGCTATCTCGTAGCACTCATCACCATGGCCAGCCCAAGACTGTGGCAGCTTGCTAGATGGGCGCCGGCAGCAGCGCTGCTCGGACAACAGTCGAGCGCGCTCTCGCTGGGCGGCGATAAGCGCGTGCCGCTCGCCTCGAGCGTACGCGGCAGGAACACGCCCACCACTGTATTGGTACACGGCCTCGACAGCAGCAAGCAGACGTGGCACCAGGTATTGCCGAAGCTGCACGAGGCGGGCCTGCCCGCGCTGGCGCTCGACCAGCGCGGCCACGGCGAGAGCCCGCTCGGTGATCCGGCGAGCTTTTCCACGGAGGCGCTGGCGAGGGACGTGATCCACGCCGTCGAGGTCCAGCACGGCGTTCAGAGACCTTGGATCCTCGTGGGCCACAGCATGGGCGGCCGCGTGGCCATGGCCGTGGCGGCGATTTCCGCGCGGGAAGCACCCGACCGCCTCGCGGCGGTCGTCGTCGAGGACATGGACTGCCGGAACCGCGAGAAGTGGGGCCGGCGGCCCCAGGAGACCGAGGAGATCGAAGAATTTGATAGGGAATTTGCGAGTGAAAAGGACGCGGTCGCGGCCCTCGAGAAGCACTACGAGGCCGACCGCGTCCAGGGCTGGCTCGGGTCGCGGGTCCGGCCCATCGCCGGCGGCGGCTACTGGAGCGACGTGAACCCGCAAGCGCAGCAGCTCGCGCGCGCGAACGTGCTGGCCTGCGATGCTGCGACTCGCAATTGGGACGCCCTCGCTTCGCACAAAGCATTGCCGTTCTCGGTCCACCTCTGGGTCGCGGGGCCCACGGCGTTTGGAGGCACGGTGACGGATTGGGACGGACCGGACGGCATTCGGGACATGCAGAAGCGCCTGCCTTCGGTTCAGGTAAGGGAGTTCGTGGAAGGCGGTCACAGCATCCACAACACGGCGACGGGGAAATTCATGGAGGCGCTCCTGGCGGTGATCGACGACGCGGCGAAGGCGGCGAACGAGCGGCCGTGGCCGGCGGCGGCGTCGTCGTCTTGGAACCCGTTCCGGCGGTGGCGTTCTTGAGCCGCTCGTTCGCTTTCTCCTTTTATTTGGTAACTTTATTGTATCTCCATCAGCAGCGCGTCGTTTGCGTAACGACGCCTCAGCCTCGGTGCTAGTGTGTCACACCTTAGGGATTATAGGATTTTTGTGGCCAGTGAAGGTTCAGGAGCTAGCCGTGAATTAGGCATAGTTTTTCAAATCTGCAATTGCGAACTACCATTTATTGAAGGCCACATTGTCCACAAGTTGTGTGGCTTTGCAAGGCTCACAACAAAAGTTGCCACAAAACTGCACTTCAGCATGCTCACTCGCCTGTTATTATCGATGGCCGCCGTCGTGTCGTCGGCGGCGGACGAGTGCTCCGCTCCCGCCGGCCAGCTCGCGGGCCGTCTCGTCGTGATCACCGGTGCCTCGCGTGGCGTCGGCGCCGAGCTCGCGAGAACCTTTGCGAGCGAGGGCGCCATGGTCGTCGTGAACTACTTTCAGAGCAAGGAAAAGGCCGAAACCGTGGTCGCCGAGATCGGCGAGCAGGCGTTGGCGGTCTACGGAGATGTAAGAGTGAAAGCGGACATGGATGCATTGGTAGCGACGGCCGAGGCCCACTTCGGCGCCAAGGTCTCGGTCCTCGTCAACAACGCGCTGCAATCATATAAGTTCGACCCGACGTCCGCGTCGGCCTCGCTCAAAACGGTGTCGTGGGAGAGCATCGACGCGCAGATGCGAGGCACTGTGCAGGGCGCCGTCAACGCCGCGCAGGCGTGCCTGCCGTCGTTCGAGGCCACCAAGTACGGCAAGATTGTTAACGTCGGCACGAACCTGGTTTATAATCCCGTCGTGACGTACTAGCTGCGTTGAAATCAACCAGTGAGTTAGGTTGACGGAGACAGCATCGACGCGCGTGGGGCCCCGAAATTTGATTTCCACACAGGTACTACGACTACTCCGCAGCGAAGGCCGCGCTCGTGAGTGTAACACGCAATCTGGCCGCCGAGCTCGGCCCGCTCGGCGTGCGCGTCAACCTCGTTGCGGGCGGGCTGCTCGAGCGCACGGACGCGTCGTCGCTAACGACGGACGAGGTCTTCGGCTACGTCGCCGGAGCGACGCCCCTCCGCAAGACGACGACCGTCGAAGACTTCGCGACGGCGTGCGTCTTCTTCGCGGCGCCGGCGTCCGACGCCGTCACGGGCCAGAGCCTCTCCGTCGACGGCGGGCTGACGATGCCGTGAGACGTGGGGTCCTTCCGTACTAGGTAAGCAAGTGGGTGTAGTAAACTATGGCTCAGGCTAGTCACGTCGCGGGGTCCCCCGTACCCCCTCCGCTCCCCCGGGCCCACCGTGCATCGCTAGTATGTCGCTACGCTAGATAACGCATACGCAGCGTCTAGGATTGCAGCTGTCATTTGACATCGTGAAGCAATCTCAAAGGCTGAGCGTTGCACAGCGAGCACTCGATAGCGCAGCAACCGACTGCACGCAAGCAGCACGCCATCGATGCGCGCCCTCTCCCGCACCACTGCAAGGCTCGCCGGCCGAGCCATGTCGAGCGAGACCAAGAAACCGGCGAAGCTCTGGGGCGGCGCCTTCGGGGAGGCCACGGACAAGACCATGGAGCTGTTTAATGATTCCTTGCCCTTCGACAAGAGGCTCTGGGCCGCGGACCTTGCCGGCTCTAAAGCTTACGCTGCTGCACTCACGGAGGCCGGCGTCATTGATTCAGACCAATCGAGCAAGATGCGCCAAGGACTGAGCGACGTGCGCAAGGAGTGGGCCGATAATAAATTTGTGGAGATTGAGGGCGACGAGGACATTCACACCGCGAATGAACGGCGATTAGGTGATCTGGTGGGCACGGACATCGCCGGCCGGTTGCACACGGGCCGGTCGAGAAATGATCAGGTCGCCACGGATCTGCGATTGTGGTTGCGGGCCGAGGTGCACGCGTTGCGATCATTGCTCAGAGGCCTCGTGGAAGATGCGAGAGACGTGGCCGGATCTGACGAAGCGCAGGGCGCCCTCATGCCCGGCTACACGCATCTCCAGAGAGCCCAACCGGTGAGATATTCGCACTGGTTGATGAGCCACGCCTGGGCGTGGACGCGCGACGCGGAGCGGCTGGACGCGTTGTGGGCGCGCAGTGATCGGTGCCCGCTCGGCTCGGGAGCTTTGGCGGGCCACCCCTTCTTCGACGAGGAGCAGCGCCGGAAGCTGAGCGATGCCCTCAAGTTTGGCGGGGGTCCCACTCCCAATTCCATGGACTCGGTCTCGGACCGCGACTTCGCCGTCGAGTTCACGCAGTGGGCGGCGTTGCTCGGCGTGCACCTGTCGAGGTGGGCCGAGGATTTGATTATTTACGGGACGAAAGAGTTCGCGTTCGTGTCCTTTGGGCAGCGCTACTCGACGGGCTCGTCGCTCATGCCCCAGAAGCGCAACCCCGACGCGCTCGAACTCTTGAGGGGCAAGGCCGCGCGCTTGGCGGGCCACCAGGCGACGCTCACGTCGCTCCTCGCGTCGTGCCCGTCGGCCTACAACAAGGACCTCCAAGAAGATAAGGAGCCCGTCTTCGACGCCGCGCACCAGTTGAGGGTCGCTCTGGAGGTGGCGCGGGGCGTGCTCACGACGACGGAGATCCACCCCGAGCGCATGCGGAGCGCTCTGGAGCCGGCGATGCTCGCGACCGATTTGGCCGAGCATCTGGTGCGAAAGCACAACGTGCCCTTCCGCGAGACGCACCACGTGGCTGGGGCCGCCGTGCGGCTCGCTGAAAAGGAGAACACGTCGCTCGCGGGGTTGTCCAAAGCTCAATTAGCTACTCTCCACCCGGCCTTCGAGAACGATAGCGACGCGGACGTCGCGGCGCTCTGGGACTTTGACCGGTCGGCGGAGTCGCGGGACGCGCAGGGCGGCACGTCCATCAGAGCCCAGAAGGAGCAGGTCGCGGCGTTGTCGGCGTGGCTCGCGCGGACGGAGAACGACGGGCCTTCCCAGGACGCCGTGGCGCTCGTGACGGAGCCCTAGGTACGCGTTGTTCCCATGGCGTAAAGTGAGGTTTAGAAGAGGCCTTGGGACGCGTCGATGGCGTCGAGCCAAATTCGGTTCCTTATCCAGCTCTTGCTGCTCTCCCGCGCCGCGCGCCGCCCGCCGCGCCCTCCTGCCTCGTACGGCCAGGGTGGTGGTGCCAATCTCAATCTGACGCCCGCATACTGACTACTGGTTGTGCGGCACTGCCGTCGACGAGAGCGTTGCATCCGTGCCGCCGCGGAAGCGCAGATAGAGCCAAAATCAGGCTGTGTGTCTGAAGTGCCCAACTCGCCGCATCAATTGCAATGCGCATCGCGACTCGTGCCGGACGCCGCCGCGCGGCACGCCTGCGCGGCCCGGCCCTCCAAGAGGGCATCTTGTACACGGTCCTCGGCTTTTTGGACGAGCGCGACGATGCGAGCGTCGCGCGAATCTGCAAGGACTACGCGGCGCTGCGACGGGCGTTCGTGCTCCGATGCGGGTGCGACTGCAAACAGCTCTGGAACGTGTGCTACTCGTCCGACGGGAGATATGTGGCTACGGACGCCGGCCGCGATATTAGCGTGTACGATTCAACTACGGGCCAGCTGTGTTATCGCCAGACGAATTATGACATGGGCACGGGACGCGAGGTCCGGGCGCTCGCGTTCTCGGACGAGCCTGGTCTGACGTTCGCAGCGGGCGGTATTGATCACGAGGGCAACGTTGATTTCTGCACGTTATACGTCGACGGCGCCTTGCGGCACACGTGGCAGCGCGAAGGCGTCGTCTGGGCCGTGGCGTTCGCTCCGGGCGGCGCAACGCTCGCCGCCGGCGGTCAGGACGAGAAGGTTACCTTGTACGACACGACGACCTACGAGGTGCGCAAGGAGCTCTTCCGCGACGGAGAGGTGAACGCGGTTGCATTCAGTCCGGACGGGCAACTGCTGGCCTGCGGCGGCGACGACGCTTTATTGGCGGTGTATGATTTGGCCACGGGAGCGACGATGAGGTGGGAGAGGCCGGGCGGCAACCTGATATTCACCGTCAAATTCTCTCCGGACTCGTCGATGGTCGTGGCCGGGAACCGTTTCATGATGCTCGCCGTATATGACGCAGCGACGGGCGCGCGACTGCGCACGCTCCATTTCGGCGGCTCCGTCGAGAGCTCGGACTTCTCGCGGTGCGGGCGCTGGCTCGCGGTGGGCGACTTCACCGGGGCCGTGACGCTCTTCGACGTGAGGGATCGCTTCATCTGTCGCCGAGTGCTGAGGCGCGGCGGCGCGGTGCCCACCGTCGCGTTCAGCCCAGATTCCGCGACCATCGCTATCGGCTCGTGGGACAACACCGTATCTCTCTACGATGTCGAGACGGGGGAGTTGCGTCGGCGGCGCGAGAGACGGAGCGCTATCGACGCGGGTAGGAAGTAACAATTCTTACGTTTCGAACTTGCCTAAGTAGAGATCGTCCACAATTGCAGCTTCAAAACCCGTCACAGCCTGCAGTGGCGACTTTTTGTGAGTGCGCGGCCTCATTGCTCGACCGGCGCTGCCGCATCTCTCTGGAACAGAAGCTGTTTCTTACCGCACGTCGCTTGCCATCAAAATTTTGCAGCAGTAATGGCGCTACGCATCAAATCCCTGGCAGTAGCCGCACCCAGCATCGAGCAGCTCTGCACCAAGTTCGCTGCTAAACTCCAAGAGGCGAAACCGGACGCGCTGCTCTGGCTGACGGACTCGCAACAAACCGCGGCCGTAGCAAAGGTCGCGAGTCGCGCCTGCGCATCGATCGGCGCGCGCACGGATGCAGGATTGATTGGCGGCGGCAGCGAATACTACGGCCCGCCGGGCGCCGAGGCGCGCGTCTCGGCGCTGGCCATTCAAAACGCCGGCGCCGTGACGCCGTTCTACAGCCCGCCCGAAGGTCTGCCGGAGCTCGACGACTGGGCTTCGTTGGCTTCTGCGCCGCCGGAGCAGGCGCCGCCCTTGTTCCTCCTCGCGGCGCCGCCGGCGAACGCCGCCTTCGACCTCGAGGGCTGGCTCGCGCGCATGGACAGTGCCTTGCCGTGGTCGAGGAAGGTCGGCGGCGTCGTCTGTTCGGATCGCCTCTTCCTGAACGACCAAGCTACGGACGGTGGGGTCGTGGGCCTGGCGTTCCGCGACTGCGACATGCAGGCCGTTGTGAGTCAGGGTGCCGCGCCCTTCGGCCGCTCGATGGTGATTACGAGAGCGGACGGGAACGTCGTCCGCGAGCTCGACGGCGGGCCCGTCCATGAAGTGCTGGATCCGGTGCTGCAAGACTTCATGCTCGACGAACCGGGTAATTTGATGGTCGGGGTCGAGGTGCCCACGGCCGCCGCGGCCGAGGGCGGGCCCGTGGTCGAGGAGGACCGGCCCTACGTCGTACGACAACTATTGGGCTTCGACCGCGACGCGTCGGCGCTAGCGATCGGCGCGGCCCCGGACTTGGTGCGCGAGGGCGTCCGCATCCGGCTGCACGCGTTTTCCGCCAGTAATGCGAGAAACGAGCTCGCGAACGCCGCGGAGCGCCTCGACGGCACCACGGGCGGCGGCCTGATGGTGCCCTGCGTGGGGCGCGGCCCGGCGCTCTACGGTGCCGACGGCGTCGAGTCCGAGGCGCTCGGTCCGTCGTTGGAGCTGGCCGGCTTCTTCGCCAATGGCGAGATCGGTCCCGTCGGCGGCCGGACGTTCGTGCACACGTTCTCGACGAGCGTGGGGTTGCTGCGGCGGCGCTAGTGTTGTGGTTAATGTCGTTGTACATAGACGCGACGCGTGGCGTAGCCCAAGCGAGGGGCGACCGTCCGGTAGCTTCCTAGCCGTACTAGGCTAGCCCTGGGTGGCGGATGGACCCGTCAGGCGCATGCGTATGGGAAAGTTCTTTCTAGTGTCTTTACAGGCCGCTGCTAACTCACTCCGTCCATCGTCTTCCTTGCCATCCAGACTCTCATCCGAACTCCAGCGGAGGTAACGTAACAAGCAAAGGCACTCCGCAACTCCCGCGGACGCAACGCAACAAGCACAAGCACTCCGCAACTCCACGCGGACGAAAGCAACAACAGCACTCTCACAACAAGACACACCCAGCTCTAGCCATGCAGATCTTCGTTAAAACCCTCACCGGCAAGACCATCACGCTCGACGTCGAGCCGTCGGACACGATCGACAACGTCAAACAAAAAATTCAAGACAAAGAGGGCATCCCTCCGGACCAGCAGCGCCTCATCTTCGCCGGCAAGCAGCTCGAGGACGGCCGCACGCTCTCGGACTACAACATCCAGAAGGAGTCGACGCTCCACTTAGTCCTAAGACTGCGCGGCGGCATGCAGATCTTCGTCAAGACCCTGACGGGCAAGACGATCACGTTGGACGTCGAGCCGTCCGACACGATCGACAACGTCAAGCAGAAGATCCAGGACAAGGAGGGCATCCCGCCCGACCAGCAGCGCCTCATCTTCGCCGGCAAGCAGCTCGAGGACGGCCGCACGCTCTCGGACTACAACATCCAGAAGGAGTCGACCTTACACTTAGTTTTAAGATTGAGAGGCGGCGTCAAACAATTAAAAACGAAGGCCGAGTTCGACGCCGAGCTCGCGGCTGCCGGCGGCAAGCTGGTCGTCGTCGACTTCACGGCTACCTGGTGCGGGCCCTGCCAGATGATCGCGCCGCTCTTCGCCGAGCTCTCCGAGAAGAACCCGGACGTCGTCTTCGTCAAGGTCGACGTCGACGAGAACCAGGAGACGGCGGCGGCCTGCGGCATCAACTGCATGCCGACCTTCCAGTTCTACAAGAACGGCGCCAAGGCCTTCGAGATGCAAGGAGCGGACCCGAACCAGCTCACCGCGAAGGTCGCGGCGCTCAAGTAGGAGGGCTAACTACTAGTAGTCTATGCCGCGTCGACGACGCCGGGGTCAGCCGACACTTCGCCTTCGCGTCGCGAGCGTGGACGCCGCTGCACCACTGGTCAACGAACCCCGGGCCTAATTAGTTGACGCCGATCCCAACACGTAAATACCCCATGCGCCGCCGACGAGACGTCTTACGCGGCGACGGCACGGGCTCGACGCAACTCTCAAACTCGAAGGCACTCATAGTATAAACAACAAATATAACTTAGCGCGACCCCGTCGTCCGGTCCTCGAAGGCCAGCCGCGGGTTCAGCTTGTCGCTGAACGCGTCGAAGAAGGACGCGTCCTCGATGGCCTGCCAGACCTCGGGCCAGCACCAGTAGCTCTCGAGGTGGTCGAAGAGGTCCAGGTGCGGGTAGAGCGACGACGTCTTCAGCATGAGCGCCACGCAGTACCGGTTGATGCCGCCCGGCTCCGTGTCGTCGGCGCACTGGTTGCAGAACGCGTGCGTGGGGCAGGACCAATCGATCGTATCGGTCAGCGCATCCCACGGCGCAATATTGGCACTGCTCAGCGGCGCGACGGCCTCGAAGGTGTTCCCACAGACATCCTGCAAATTCGTGATCGTCTCCCACATGCAGGGCTCGAGGAACTCCATGTCGCCACTCCCGCCGTCGCAGTTCGCCGTCGCCTCGCCGCAGACCGACGCGCAGACCTCGTGGTTCAAACAGGCCTCGCAGCGCTCCGGGGTGGCGTCCTGCACCGTGCAGTCCGTCGCCGGGTCGCCGTCCTCGGTCGCCCAGGGCGCCACCGGATAGCGCGTGTCGTCGTCGTACAACTCGCAGCTGAAGCCGGCCCAGTCGTCTGGGGGCATGAGGGTCCCATCGAAGGGCGTCCACAGTTTTTGGATGGCCGTGCGCGCCGTCGGCGTCGCGGCGGCGCCGACGAGCATGAGCGTGGCGGCGGCGGCGGCGGCGAGGTGTGGTCGCCGCCGCGGTTTTTGGGCCAGCAGCGGCGTCTCCGCCACCGCCTGCTCCTCGTCGTCCGCCTCGTGGGGCTGCATCGTTGCTGTCGTGGGTTCGCCCGGTCGCCGCCGGGCAGCAGCCGCTCGGGCAGCTTTTTCTGCCGGCCGATGCGGCTTTGCGCGTGGCGCGTCGAGATGCCCGACTCGTCGAAAATGATAGAAGCTAGTAGGATATCGCAATCGCAAGGTACTGCAGTACTCCGTGGCTCGTCGCAGAGGCGTGCGCGTAGTAGTATGAAGAAGGCATGACTGTGTTTCTGGTTGCGTGCGGGGTCCGTCTCTCAGACCAGTCTGGACTGGTCTCAGCATGCTCATTGTTTTGGCTCCTCGACCGAGCGCATTTGCTGGCTTTGAAAAATGACTAGGACGCATACGCAGCGGTGCCAGTCATAGAAATGATTCTAAGGCATTGGTGGCAGCAGTAAGGCAGCCCCTGCTGCGGGCAGCCCCCATCGAGCGGGAGAGCAGCGTGCGCGCAAGCGGCAGGAGACCATGGCTCGCCGCGCCCTCGTCGTTTGTGGCTTTGCGGCCGCGCAGATCGGGGCGCCGCGCGAGTATTACGTCGGGGAGGGCGCCGACAGGGTGAACTTTGAAGTAGGCTGGACCGACGACGTCCGGGCCGCGGTGGCGCGAGCGTGCGAAAAGGTCTACGAGGGACGCACAATTCAAGAGTGCGTCGATCTGATGGTCGCGCGCGTCGAACAGGACCGAACGCTCACGATAGACATCGTGGTGGACGGCGCGGGCCTGCGAAGCGTAGACGTCGCCCCCTCCGACGATCCGCGCGAGAGGGCTGCCGTCGCGTGCGATGGGCTCGACCACACGGGCTGGGACGACTGCGCGCGGAGCTTCGTCAAACGCGTATCCCTAAATCGCGGCGGCCGCGAGGGCTTCGCAATGCCGCTGTGGAACGACCTCGTTGCGGCGGATCCTAGGAAGATTGCGTTTGTGCAGGTCGGGGCCAACTGCGGTTGGCCGCCGTGTGGAAATCAACCTTCGTGAACCTCCACGCTATCGAGCAGACGCAGTACAGAGATGTGATTTCCACACAGGCACCTACGAATGCGCCGTCTGCGGCGAGCCCATCTGGATGGACCAAAAGAAGTTTCAGTGGCGGGGTATGGTGGTGGAACCGAATCCCACAACGTTCAAACTGCTGGCACAGAACTACGCGAATGCGTCAGATCGGGTCTCGGCCGTCAATGCAGCAGTTTGTGGGGCGGACGGCCCGGCGACGCTCTACGTGGACGCGGCGCATCCTACGGCCGAGGCGGCGTCGATCGACAAACGAGATTTTGAGGCGGACCCCTCCGCCTTCGCGCGGGTCGACGTGACGTGCCTCTCGCTCGAGTCGCTGTGGCGCCGCCACGTCGCGCCGTGGCTGCCCGACCGCGTCGACATCCTCCAGCTCGACACCGAGAAGCTCGAGCACGCCATCATCCTGGCGACGAATTTCAGCCGCCTCGCCCCGCGGCCGGACCATGTCCTCTATGAGTCCGTCCACCTGTCGGACGAGGAGTACCTGGCGGTGCGCGAGCACCTGCGGCACCACGGCTATTCCAGCTTCTGGAAGTGGCCGGGCTGCGGCGAGGCGGAGCACGACACGCTCGCGTCGCACGTGGACGCTCGGCGAGATTAACTGTTGTGAGTGACTACTTCTTACCCTTCGCCAAGGCGCGAGCCTTCGCCTTCGTCTGCCGCATGAGCTCCGCCAGTTGGTCCTGTTGAGATTGCTCCCGGTTCGTCTGCAATGTGCGCGACGTCCGCGTCCGCGACTGCGCCTCCTTCCGCGTGCACGTGGACCCCGGCTCCACAGAATACCCCCGCAGCTCCCGTAACTCTTCACTCACAAGCTTGGAGTTGAACTTGTACTGGTCTCGTCGGTTCCGCGCCGCCCACTCGCCACAGGTAGTTTGCATGTCGTCCATCTGCCGCTTCGCGTCGGCGAGCGTCGCTCGAAGGTGGTTCCGTTTCGCCACATTATCATCATAGGACTGGCAGACCGCGTCGTACTTCCTTCGGAACTCGTCGAGTTCTCTGTCTAACCTAGCCATCTCTTTGGAGTCGGCCTCCATCTCGTCGGCCGCTGTTTTTCGTTTGAGTTTGAGGCCGTCGGTCATGGCTTGCGTCGACTTGATGATCCTTTCGCTCTGCTTGAAGGCGTCGGCGCCGCCCTGCGTGTTGTCGGACGCGCGCTCGACCAACGTCCTGCGGGGACCGCCCTTGTCCTTATTGATCTTCGTCTTCTCCATGTAGGCGCGCATGGCGGCTTCCGGATCCTCGTCGTCGTCGAGGGGGTCGGCCATCGTGGTCGTGTGAAGCGCTGGGTTACAGTGTTGTTGTGAGAGGGCTGCCCTTGGGTTTGGTGTGCGCTGCCTGTCTACTGCTGGCTGGCTGGCTTCGAGGGGTCGGCTGCGTCGGCGGCACGCGCGTCGGCGGGCGTCGGGCCTGTGCTGCGGCTGCCTTTGCGGGGGCGCTGAGGCAATTGCCAGGGTCTCTGCAGGGCGCTGAGCCGGAGAGTCGAAGGTGCAAAGCAGGCCGCACGCTCCTCCAGCACTCGCCGGGCCCCCGGGAGAGGCCTCTCCTGGACTATTGCTCGGACTGTGAACTCTAGAGTGATTATGTCTAGCGTGATTATGCTGCGTAGCTGGTCTTAAAACCGCGGCCACTCACGCTAAGGGAACGACTTGGGTCCACCGAGACGTGCGAAAGACAGTCCATCGTACTGCGAACACGCCACAGCGAAAAGAGAGCGCTTCGCCGCGCAGGGCCAGCATGTGCCGAGCCCCCGATTTCACCACGCAACAAGCCAAACCAACAGAGGCGGTGGCCAAGGCCGCCCCCGCGCCGAGCGATGACGACGCGGCGAGCGCGCGGAAGACCGTGGAAGCGTTACCCCCGAGCCACGCCGACGCCGCCCGCCGGACGACGGTATGGGACTCGACGATGGGCCTCACGGCCACCTTGATCCTCTGGCCGTTGATCCTATCCGTGCCTCTGGTATTACAGCATACCTATCGAGACGTGTTTGACGAGGCCTGGTACGACTATAGTGAAGGGCCGAAACCGCTCGGCCTCTGTCTAGGGTTGCTCGCGGTGGCCGTGGGCCAGGTTTTTGTCTTGTGCTACCAATATTTGAGGTGGACGGGGTCCAAGTACACGGGTCGGTTGGTGCCCGTGCAGCCGAACGAGTATCGCGTGTACGACTATGCCGAGGCGGCCCAAGAGCACCTGTCGCAGCCCGAGGGCTTCGCGCTGATCGGCGGCTACCTGACGCTAACCTGGATGCTCCACCTCATGCCTTCGTCCTATTACAGTTTCGAGGGCGGCGTCGAATGGATTAAAGTTGCGGCATGCTTACTGCTCCAGGATCTGTTGCAGTACGGCATGCATCGAGCGGAACATAAGGTCTCGAAAGCGTTCTATCGCGCGTCGCACGAGCCCCACCACGACTTCACGAACCCCAGACTTTTTGATGCTTTTAACGGCTCTTTTGCAGATACGTTCTTCATGATCGTGCTCCCGCTGTTCACGACCAAATCCATAGTCCACTGCAACGTCTGGAGCTACATGGCCTTCGGGACGCTCTACGCGAACTGGCTCTGCCTCATCCACTCGGAAACGCACCACCCCTGGGACTGGCTGTTCCAGGCCGTGGGCATGGGGACGGCGGCGGACCACCACGTGCACCACAAGCTGTTCAGCTACAATTATGGGCACCTCTTCTCGTACTGGGACCGGGTGTGCGGGACGTACCGCCATCCGAAAAACGTGCGCCAGTTCCGCTCCAATAATAAGGCGCCGACGCGGTGGAAGCCGCACGCGCGGACGAAGGTCGAGTGATCCCCCCTGTTTGTACCGTGTGCGTAAGACACACAATCATAGATTTACTCTCGCTCGTCGCGTCCGTCGCTGCGCATGATCACTTCCCCGAGAACTGGGCGCACGTGCGGTGCGTCTCGCAGTGGCTCCGGTCCATCGCGAGCCGCGGGAAGCTCGCCTCGCGGACCACCAAACTCGCGGCGAAGACGAAGTAGTTGTCCCGCCCGCCGTCGCCCGCGAGCTCGCGCAGCGCGGCATCCCCGAAGACCACGTCCCGGCCCGTGCTCTTGAGCGCGTCATACAACTCGTCGAGGTACCGCTGGTCGCGCTCGTCCGTGAACACCACGAGCGTGTCGCGGCGCTCGGCGTCCGCCTTGCTCTTGCAGCGCGTCGGGCCGCACCGCGGCGGAGGGTAGACGCAGTCGACGTAGGTCTTCACGGTCGAGACCTTCGTGCCGCAGCGCTTGCGCTTCTGGGCCTTGTGCGTCAGCGCGTCGCTCCGGCGGAGGTGCAGCGTCGAGAAATTGCCCGCGAGCGTGGCGCGGAAGCGATCCGCCAAGTCGACGACGGAGGCCGAGGGCCCGGCGTCCATGGCCGAACCCACGAAATCCTTGCGCGTCTTGTAGCGCGGGCCGCAGGCCTGCCACTCATCCAGCCCAACAATATGTCGCTTCTGGTCCCGCACGTTGGACGGGAGGTTCCACACAAATGCCTCGCCCTTTGCGGCCATTTCTCGCGCGCTCCGAAACTGGGCGTCGAAGCTCGCGCCCGTCACGGGCGCGCGGCCGCCGGCCTCCGACGAGTTCGCGACCATGGGCGCATCGCCGACGACGCGCGACCAGTTCCTATATCGGCCCCAGCCGTGCGAACAGTTCACGAGGTGGTTGCCGTTGTGCACCTTGGCGAGCGCGTCGCAGGGTCGCGGCAGGGCGACCTGCGCGCCGACGCGCGCCGCTATTTCACCCGCAAACTCGTACCGAAACATCACGTCGATGAACCCGCGCCGGTTCACATGGGGCACGATCACGAGCGAGCCGTTCGCGGCGCCGCCGCACTCACCGTGCCACTCCTCCTGCTTCAGGCGGCGCCTCTTCAGATAATCCAGCGCCTCCGTGAAGTTCGGCCGATCGGCGGGCTCGGGCGCGCGCATGCGCGCCATCAGCGCCTCCAATCGACGCTTGTCGTCGCCGCGCGCGGCGCGGTGGACGTAGGGCAGGGCCCAGGCCTTCGACGCGACGTCGAAGACGTGCGTCTTCGCGGTGAGCCTCGCGCACGTCCCCGCGAGGCACCGCCCCCCGGCCTCGGGCGCGCCCCCGCCGACCGTGTTCTTCTCGCACTCCTCGCCCGCGTTGCGGGCCTGGCAGCAGCAGTGCCAGCTGAAGCTGTGGGGACAGTCGTCGTCCGTCGTGCATGCGCCCTTCTTGTTCGGCGGGATGAGCGCGACGCGCGGCACGCCCCGCGCGACCATGGGTCCGCTTAACGCGGGAGGCGCGTCGATGAGCGACACGGTGGACCCCTTGACCGCGAACTGGCTCGCGATGAAGTCCGTCAGGAAGTAGCCCTGGTCGGCGAAGGAGCGGATGCACTCCAGCAGCGCCCGCGCGGCGCCCATCGGGTCCTTCTTCACGAGCGCCGCCCAGCCGCGGTTCACGCGGGTTGGGCGATGCCGCGTGCCCTTGCCCAGGCCGAAGTTTTCGCCCGCGTGCTGCACGACGTACCAGAGCCTATCGCTCTGGAGCCAGCCGCCGTGGAGCCGCGGCACGCCGGGAAAATCCCGCAGGAACTCGAGGTAGAGCAGCTCGCCCCGCGCGTCGGCCTCGACCCTATCTTGATGCGCCGCGCTGGTGAGGCGCGTCTTGACCACGACCCTTTTCCCGTCGATTTTCGTTTCGTAGACGTCCTTGACGTTGCCACCACCCAAATGCTTCCAGTTCTTGGACTTGACGTCGTCCCGCGACCGAATAGGCCAGTGCGCCGGCGCCGTGGCGTTGCCCGCGAGCCAGGCCAGGACGCCGTCGACGCGGGCGAGGGCGTCTGATGCCGCGGCGGCGGCGTGGGTGAGGAGTGCGATGATGCGCAGTCGCATAGCTACTTAGTGATGCACAGGACAAGGTCTCATCCGACTGGCAGCATCTTGGCAGCCCAATTCAGCCCTTTTGCCGGCAGCCCCAAGGAGCGCATATTATACTGTCAAATTTGGGCATCAATGCGCTTCATCGGGGATCAATGCTGCCTCGTGAGCACTTCTTACAGGCAATAATTTTTCACGCGGCTTGTTTCCTAGTGTCTTACTGCATGCTAGCTACGCATAGCACTTTAATTCCGTTGGCAAGCAGGTTGTAGGCGCTAGATCACTGTGCGCGTTCATCGAGATCAATTTGCACCGCTGCGAGCGCGCATTGAAGTTGCACCCGCTGAACAGCTCGCAAATACACGGAGCAGCGACGTCGCTTGCACCAGCTCTCAAAGCCACGGACGCGCGCGCGGCTCGTCATGCTGTCACAGCTCGCCCAAGGCCTGCGCGCGGCCTCGCGCCGCAGCACTGCGTTCCGCCCCGTCGCCGCGTCCTTGCGCGCGCCGCCGCCGCTCGCCGCCGCGCCGCATCGCTCCGCGGCGGTCTGGACCCCGACCGCGTCCTTCCACGCCTCCGGGCCGCGGCGCGGCCTCGAGGAGTTCTACGACGCGCGGCATCGGTCGAAGGCGCCGGAGGACGGCGCCGCGGGCCGCGCGTGGGAGGCCTGCGAGCTGCGACGGAAGAGCTTCAACGACCTGCACCGCCTGTGGTGGACGTTGTACAAGGAGCGGAACGTGCTGCTGACGGAGTCGGCGCGGGCCCGCCGCAACGGCATGCGCCTGAAATACCCGCAGCGCAAGGCGGCCGTGCGCAAGAGCATGGCGCGCATCAAGCAGGTCCTGGCGGAGCGCCGGAAAATCTACCGCGAGCAGCCTGTCCCGGAGCTGCCTGAGGACGACGACGCCGGCGAGGGCGCGGGCGGTCTCGCGGGCCTCTTCGGCCGCGGGTCCTAGGTCTCGTAATAAATGTAGTACTACTTGGAAACAGTTCTACTGCGACATTTCGCGGGCGCGGAGCGCGCGGCTCGCGAGTTTCGTAGAACGCTCGTGTACAAAACGGGTTTTTGCGTGCGAGTCATTTTGCGCGCAGACGGCCAAAGTTGTCGTCTTCTCCGCTCTCGTACATCTCATCATTCACCTAGAAAATCTATGCGAGCGCTCGGTCGCTGAGATCATCAATGCAAACCAATAACATTTGGAGGTCTCGGCCCTCTGCAGCCTGGCGACCGCGCGGCGTCCTGGTCGAGCCCGACAGCGAGAGTTGAGGGACCTCTGATATCATAATAGATTCATGATGAGGGCGGCCCTGGTCCCCGCCCTCTGCCTGGCGACCGCCGCGGCCTGGTCGAGGCTCGAAATAGCCCTGCAAAACTACCCGCGAGTCCACGACCGGAACCTGCGCGCGTTCGAGAAGGGCGACCCCGCGGCGCGAATCGTGCGGGCGAAGGTGAAAAACGGATTAGGGAACCGCGAGCAAGCCCTCCTCTCGGGCTTCGCGCTCGCTTTGGCCGCGAACGCCGCTCTCGTCGTCGAGTGGCCGCCGCGCGGCTGCGACAACTATGCGGGAGTCGCGGTGGCCTGCGACGACGTCGGCGCCGAGGAGCTCTACGAGCGGCCGCCCTTCAACTGGACGGCGCCCGAGGCGGTGGCCTGTGCGAAAGCGGCCAGAAATCTCAATTACCACGGCTTCGAGGCGACGCTGCAAAGGGCGAACCTCTTTGAAATCACGCGAGGCGTCCTCGACGTGCGGACGGATCACCACTACCTCCTGGCCGTCCTCTGCAACGAGCGCGTCAACTCGACGCGACTCTTCCCGCCGGACGCGCTTATCTCGCAACGGACGCTCGAGCGCTATCTGCTGCGGCCAAGACGCAGCATCCGCGACGCGGTCCGGGACGCCCTTACCCGGGCCGGCGGGTGCGCCCTCGGCGTTCACGCCCGCTCGCAGAAGCGGTCGCACGGCGACGAGACGCCATTCACAAAGCTGCTGCCACTACTCGGAGACAGAGGTGGCCTCTTCGTGGCGAGCGACGGGCACTCCGCCTGGTTGCAGCAGGAGCTCTACGCCGCGGCGCGGGCGCGGAACGTGAGCGTCGTAGAGCTCGGATTGCCTCCCGGCGCCGTCGGCGCGTTGGCCGAGAACTACGCCCTGTCGGAGTGCGGCCGCCTCGTGCCGACGCGACGAAGTTCCTTTTTCCGCCTCGCGGCCGTGCGCTCGAAGAGGCCCCACGTGCGAGCGGTCTGGGCCTGCCCGGCGACGGAATTGCAGGCCCGCGCGATGGCGTCGAGCGGGGCCACGGTCGAGAGCTGCAACGTCATGGCCCAATGTCCCGCGCCCGGGGGACGGTACACGTACCGACGGCGACGGCTGGGCGCTTTCGGGGAGGCGCGGCGGGCGCCTTTATAAATTGTATCGTATCCCGGCTCGTCCGTTGAAACCCTTCTTGCTAAGCTTTGCGCTTGTTAGCTAGCTAATAGACACTAGCCGCTCAATTTTAGTTTTAATTTTGAGGACGGCGCCAATCTATATAGACGATACAGCCATAATAGATCGAGTTGTGCTCTCTCTGCAGCGCTGCGACCGGCAGTCTTGCTGCAATCGCGAGCCCGTGAAAGCAGATCGTGCTAACAAGCCATGAGTGAAAGCACGCCCTTCTCGCGCCAGCGCCTCCCGGCGCCGACCGAGCCGCTGGCGGACCGCGTGGCCGCGGTCCTCGCGGAGTGCGACGCGGCACGCGTCCGCGAGAGGGCGCGGCGGGATCGCATCGCTGCGATCAAGGCGCGCCCCGTGCCGCCTGCAGTCACGCCGGAGCTGCGCGCCGCGCGCGCGCGCGTGCGGGAGACGCGCGAGGCCCTCGACCGCGCGCTGGCGGCGGAGTCGGACTCCGAGTCGGAGCCGGCGCGCCCGCCGAAGAAGCCGTCCGCGGCCAGGAAGCCGTCGGCCAAGCCCGCGTCGAAGCCGGCGGCGCGCCGGCGCGCCGCCGACGACGCGCCGCCGTTCGACCCGCTCGCGGCACCAGTCAGGGCCAAGCCGGCGAAGCAGCGGCGCGCCATCGCCGACAGTTCCGACGACGACGAGGCGCCCGCGCCGGCGCCGGCCAAGCCGGCGAAGCAGCGGCGCGCCATCGCCGACAGTTCCGACGACGACGAGGCGCCCGCGCCGGCGCCGGCCAAGCCGGCGAAGCAGCGGCGCACCATCGTCGAGAGCGACTCCGACGACGCGCCCGCGCCGCCGCCGCGGCCGGCGACGGCCCGCCCCGCGACCATCTCGCAGGACGACGCGCCGCGGCCCGCGGCCAGGAAGCCGGCCGCGGCGGGCGACGCGCCGCCGGCGATGAAGAAGCAGTCCGGCTACCTCCACCACAACGCCCAGAACCGGGAGCTCGCCCGGGCCATGGTCGAGAGCGACCCGGCGACGGCCGGGCTCGGCGCGCAGGAGCGGAACCAGGCCGTCATGAAGAAGCTCGCGGCCATGTGGGGCGAGCTCGACGCCGCGCAGAAGCAGGCGTTCGCCGACGACGCGCCGCTCGTCGCCGTCAAGCCGCGCAAGGCGAAGAAGGGCGCCGCGAAGCCCGCCGCGCGGGCGAAGCCGCGGGCGCCGAAGCCGGCCGCGCCGCGGGCGGAGACCGACGAGGAGATGGCGCGGCGGCTCCAGCAGGAGTGGGCCTCGCCGCCGGCCCGGGCGACGCGGCGCGGCTCGCTGTCGCCCGAGGCCGCGCCGCCCGCGTCGCCGCCCGCGCCGCCGCCGGCCGCGGCGCCCCCGAGGCGCAAGCCGTCGCGCAAGGAGCCCATGTCGCAGCAGTCGAGCGACGAGGACGACTTCGACGCCGTCTTCCCCGCGCGCAGCGCGGCGAAGCCCGCCGCGAAGCGCCGGCGCGGCGACGCCGGCGGCGGCGGCGCGGCGAAGCCACGCGGCCGCGCGCCCCGGAACCGGTCCGGCGAGCCCGCGACCTGGGACGCGGCCGCGGGCCGGTGGCTCGACGTCGCGCCCCGCAAGAGCGCCGCGGCGCCCAAGGCCGCCGCGCCGCCGACCGCCGGCGACTCGAGCGCCGACGAGGCGCCGCCGGCGCGGCCGCGGGGCCGGCCGCGCAAGAGCGCCGGGGCGCCGCCGGCCGCGCCCGCGGCGCCGCCCGCGAAGCGCAAGATCCGCGCCGCGCCGCGCCACTCCGCGGCCCCGTCGGCCGGCTCGTCCGCCGGGTCGTCGTCCGACTCCGAGGACAGCGCCCGGCGCAAGCCGGCCCGGAAGAAGAAGCGGAAGAAGAAGCGCGCGAACCCGATGGCCGGCCTCGAGGGCTTCACGCTGCCCAAGCTGAAGAAGACGTAATACTTCGCGAGCCTTGTAATTCGTCCGCCGGCGCCGGCCGGGGGGTAGGGCGCGTCGCGTTTGAAATCGACGCGCGGGTCCGGCGGGGAAACGTCGGGGACACCTCGGGGCCGGCCGGCAGGACTCTCGTCGGCTCTGCAGCTTTCCCCTGCGAACCCCCCATCAACAAAATGCTCCTTCCCAAGGCATGCAGATTGATTAGCTGCCCCCCGGCATTGTCATTTTGCCCGCGCCCAGAGCGTGATCCCAGGAGCGTGATCGGCGCTTGGCGTAACGCTCGTGCAGCGTGCAGCAGCGGGTGGTTCCTGCGATAGCCCCATGAGGGCGCTGCCGCTGGCGCTGGCCGCGGCCGCGGCGACCTCCTTCCTGGAGCTGCTGCCCGAGCCGAGCATGGTCTGCGACAACTCCAAGTGCCTGCTCGAGAGCGAGGATTCGTGCTTGCGCGAGTACGCGATCGACCGGGACTGCTCGACGTTCGGCGACGCGTACCTCGTCCTGGACGACGCGCTGGCGGCGTGCGCGCGCCACGAAAACTGCAGCGGCGTGTACGACCCGCGCTGCGACGGGATGCCGGCGGAAAGCTGCCGCAAGGATAAATGCGAGCATAATCATTGCTGGGCCCACAACTACCACAGGGAGCCGATCTGCGCCGAGGGCTACTCCCCGATGCCCAACTCATCGCACGACCACGACTGGTACCCGTTTGCGTGCTGCCCGGCGGGCACCGGCGGCGGTTTTTTCATGTGCGACGCGAACGAGGCCCTCGCCGACCATCCCGCGTCGGACCTCCACGACACGCGGGGGTGCGTCGTCACCTGCGCCGCCTGGAACGTCTCGGACTGCACGGCGCCGACCTACGTCGGCACGGTCACCGACCGCAGATGTGAGGAGACCGTTCGACTCGACAAGATAGGCGCGGGTCGGTACGAAAACTTTGGTCATCACTCTTATTGGCACGGAGGCAACCATACGATGGATTTCATGGACTGCGTCGCCGCCGTGCGCGCGCACGCCGGCCAGGACGGGTGCCGCGGCGAGTTCTTCTACTGGGAGGACTGGGGAGGCAGAGGGGGCAACTGCCGCTGCGTCACCGGCAATTGCACGGAGGCAAGGCGGGAATGGGATTGGCAACTCTTCAGCTTGGGGTGCCCGGGCGCCGCCGAGGAGGACGGGGGGATCTGCACACACACAGCGCTCTACTATGACGGGTCGCAGGACCTCTCGGCCCACGACCCGGACAAGTGCCGGGAACATGTATGCGAACACCACGACCGCGACTGCTGCGGCTACGACCACGAAACGTGGTGCGCGGACGGGTACACGCTCGTGCGCGGCAACGAAGGCCCGCCTTGGGGCTGCTGGCCGGGCAGGAAGGGGTACCGCTGTCTTCCCTCTGACGCATTCCTTGGTCGCTTCGTCGAGCCCTACGACTTCGAGGGCTGCCCCGCCGGGTACTACACCTGCGCCGGTTGCTGCGACCAGGACGCGGACTGCGCGTGCGACGGGCTCGGCGGCGACGCCTACGAGCACGACTGGCGCACGCCCAAGTGCCCCGAGGGATACTACGAGTGCGACGGCTGCTGCGACCGCGACGCGGACTGCGCCTGCGACGACACGTGCGACCTGGGCTCGCACGAGGACTGCAGCCTCGCGTACCACGAGAACGTGTCCCAGCCCGCCGGCTGGTGTCCAGTCGGCTACCACGACTGCGACCACCACGACTGCTGCGACTTCAACGTCGACTGCGAATGCGTGAGCGTGCGCCACGGGAGCGGCGACGAGTACTGCGGGCCCGGGCCGACGGGCTCCGACGGCGCGCTGCCGAACTTCGAGTGCTCCGTGCGCAAGCACGGGGAGGAGGCGTCCGGCGACGAGGTCGCGCTGGAGGACCGGTGGGAGCATCACAATTATGACGCCGGCGGCTGCTGCGCGGGGCCGAACGAGACCGCCGCGTGCGCGGACGGGTACACGGTCGTGGCGGGCGACGCGCCGTGCGTCTTCACGTGCTGCGAGGGCGCCGTCGACAACCTGACGACGGCCGCGGACGTGGACGCCGAAGGCTTCTGCTGGGAGGCCCACGCGGACGAGGGGCGGCGCCCGCCCCTCGTTGGCGAATGCTGCGATGACGAAACGGACGCGTGCCCCGGCGGGGAGCAAAAGGTCTATGTTAAAAGTCACCCGGAGCAAGGGGAAACTTACGAGACTCACTGCTGCCCGCGCGCCTCCGCGCCGGCGGCGTGCTTCGAGCGCAAGCGCCGCGCCGACTGCGTCGAGGACGCGTGCCGCACGTCCGATATCCGGCGTAGACGTAGATACCGGGACCGCCTGACTCCGACGTCCGCGCAGGTTCAAGCCCGGCGGCCCGGCCATACTGGATAATGGTCACTCAGATAACTGGTGGGACCCGCAAATGAGTTACAAGGACGTGTGTTTCACATCATCGTCCCATTGGGAAAGATGGGGGGATCATGGGTCACATTGGGATGAAGGGATGCGCCCGCCGCCCGCGGCGCGGTACTGCGCCGACAACCACACGCTGGCGGGCGTGGATTATGTCGGCGGCGTCGGCACCTGCTGCACGAACAAGAGTTCCGACGACGCGAAGTGCGTCGCGCCGGTGCCCGACTGCTTCCACCACAGCGGTCCTCGGCGCTGCGATATCCTCCTGAAGTACTTTGGGGCCGAGCAGAGTCCGCACTCATGGAATGACGTCCGGAACCGCCCCTGCCGCTTCCGGGGCGAGCCCTACGCCTGCGACGACCTGCGCTGCGACCCGGCGTCCGGCGCGCTCTACTACACCCGCTCGGATTCGTGGCGCTGGTGGGACTTGAGTGACTGGCACAATTGGCGGCCTTGGGACAGTTGTGAACGCCAATGGTGGAGGCGCGACGTCACGGGGACGTCGTGGCCAGACAGCTCGCGGAACCGGCGCATGGGCGAGCGACAACGCATCCGGGCCTGCGGCGTGGTCACCGAAGACGGCGACTTCTTCCACGCGCAGCTCCGGGAGAGGAAGCGGTGGGACGAGGCGTGGAGATGGAGGCGGGATTGGTACAGCTCCGACTACCATGAACGTTGGGAAGATAGGTGGTTCGACCACCCGTGGACGAACTTCTGGGTCTCGACGCGCGCGCCCCGCCATTTCGCCGGGCTCGACGCGGAACCGACGACCGCCGCGGCCGACGCGTGCGCGCGGGACGTGGAAAAAGAGTTCTACAGCGGCTGCCTCGGGACCTGCGGAAAGACGTGCGGCGAGCTCGGCCACGACCCCGTCCTCTTCGAGAAGCTCAGGGCCGCGGTGAAGAAGTGGCCCGACGGGGGCGGCGGCGAGGCGATTCCGGACGTCTGCGCCTTTCGCCCGAAGTTCGCCTGGGATCAGGACGGACTGTGGATTACCGTGCTCTACGTCCTCGCGTGGCTGGGCCTCCTCGTCATCTACGTCGTCGGCGTCGCGGCGGCGTGCTGCGTCTCGCAGCCGTCGTGCGTCGGCTACGCGCGGCTCCAAAAGCTGCGCAACTGGGCACACGAGGGCGAGGGGGGCTGCGCCCGGCGCTGCGTCTTCTGGTGCTGCGGGGGCTGGATCTTCGCGTACATGGAACTCTCGCTGCGCCGGCCCGCGCTGCTCGGCGTCACGATCGTTTCCGTCGTGGTCCCGTCGACGCTCGCCGGCCTCTACATAGTCTACCATGAATACGCCTTCTTGCTATTTGTCGCCCTGTTCTTCGGCGGGAACCTCTTCATCCTCCGCAACGAGGTGCGCGCGGGCTGCCAGAAGTTGAGCTGGCCCGCGCTGTTTTGCGTCACGGTCGTTCCCCTGGCGCTCGCGGCGACGCTCGCCGGGCTCTGGATTTTTGACGATGTAGACGAAGACGGGGTAGACGGAGACAAATTAGGCGTCTTGCTGCTCTTTGTCGGCCTGTTCTTCGGCGGGCTGCTCTACATTTTCCGCGAGAAGGTCCGCGCGCGCTACGAAAAGTTCTCCGAGCGGCGCCCCTGGTTCGGACGCCGCGTCGCGCCAATTCTGGAGAAGCTCTCGGCCGGCGTCGCGTCGCTCAAGAAAAAGCTCTCGGCCGGCGCCGGCGCCGTCGCGAGGCCCCTCAGGTCCTGCCTCGCGCGCTGCCGCGGCAGCCTCGCGCGCTACTGCTGCTGCTGGTGGGACTCCTTGCGGCGATGCCTGGTCAAGCGGCCGCCCGCGGCCGTCTACACCGCGGAGGACGGGACGGAGCAGACGGTCCCGTGGGTCGTGGCGCCGGGCCCGCCGGGCACGATCGTGACCCGCCCCGACGGCATCAAGGTCAAGGTGCCGGAGGGCGTCCAAAGGGGCCAGCTCTTTTCGCTCGCGGAGGCGGCGCCCGCGGGCGACGGCGCCGCCGCGCCGAAACACGCCGCCGAGCCGCCGTCGCTCGTGGAACGGACCGCGCTCCTCGCGCGCAAGGCGTGGACGGTGAAGAAGCGCACGACGGGCGCGCTGGCCAAGCAAGTAATCGTCCCGCTCCTCGGCGTCGGCCTCCTGTGGTTACTGTACGACACCAGGGAAGAGAACCGGCTAGCGAGGAGCATCGTTGAAAGCGATACGAGCGCGACGAGCGCGCCGACGGCCGTCACGAAGACCCGCAAGCGAACGACCTTCGACACGAACCACGGCGACTTCGAGCTCACCTTGTTCCAGCTCTTCTTCTTCCCGTGGGTCCAGGTCGTCGCCTCGGCGTTGGTCGCCGACGTTGCACAAGGCACGCGCGAGGCGACGCGCGCGGCAGGCGGCGCCGACGCGGCCTACTGGCTCGCATCCTTCTTTATCGAGGGCGTCGCCCTCGGCGGCGGCGTCGCCGTCGCGATCGCCGCGGGCGCCGCGCCGGGCCTCTTCCGGCGCGCCGGCAAGAGTTTTGAGGTCGCCGCGTTCCTCGAGCTCTTCGCCCTCCATTGGTTCTTTTTGCTGGCGCTCGTCCTCCAGACCTTTGTGGTGGTCACGTGCCTCCTTCGGTCGCAGATCGCCGCGGCGGGGCTCCCGCCCCTGTTGCACGCGGCCCTGCACGGGTGCTACTTGCTCTGGGCCCCGCTCCGGACGTGGAACGTTGGGAAACGGAGATACAAAACGAACTGGCGCTTGCGGGCGCGGCCGCGCGCGCACTTCGCCAGCGCGCTCCTGCCGCAGTTCGCCTACGATTTGTTGGTGGACTCGTTCAGCCCGACGAAAAAACGAGCGGGCTGGCGGTGCCGGCTCGTCGCCGACGGCTTTGTGGGGGAGCGCTACCCGTGCGAGATGTGCAGAAAAGAGTGCTGGGAAAAAGCCCCGAGGCCGCGGCTCGAGGCTTTCGAGCAGTATCTGCAGAGCCAGTCGCTGACGGCGGCGCCCTGCGCCGACGAGCACCTCATGTGCGAGGACGTCTGGCCCTTCTGGTACGAGAAGACTGAGGATCGGGGCTGGCGGCCCGAGTCCTCGTGGACGGCCGGGGTCTACTGCATGCTGATGGTGTCCGTGGCGCTGTGGGCGGCCATCTTGTGGTACGTGATCCAGGTCTCCACGTCGGCGGCGCGGGGCAAGGGCAAGGACCTGCTGTTTTGCCTCCGGAAGGCGTACTGGCGACCGCCGCCGCCGGACGAGGTCGTAGAGAAGGCGCCGCTCGTGAACCACGACGAGTGGTTCGAGAACGATGAAAGCGCCGACGCGCCGGTCCAGGTAAGAGGCCTCCGGAAGGTCTTCGGGAAGAAGGTCGCCGTATCTGACGCGACGTTCGCGATTCGAGACTCGGAGATCTTCTGCCTGCTGGGTCACAACGGCGCGGGCAAGACGACCACCATGTCGATGATTACTGGAGCGATGGCGCCCGACGGCGGCAGCGCAAGTTTCTTTGGGATCCGCACGCTCGGCCCCTTAGCCGACGCAGATGGTTTGGATAGGCTCCGCCAGCTCCTCGGCTTCTGCCCGCAGCACGACGCGCTATTCCCTCGGCTCACGCTCCGGGAGCACCTCATTTTCTACTCGCGGCTCAAGGGCGTCGAGGAATCTAGAGCGGAGAACGAGGCGTCTGGCCTGCTGGAGCTCTTCCGCCTCACGGAAATGGCCGAGGGGTTTCCGCTCAAGCTCTCGGGCGGCCAGAAGCGCAAGGTCATGATGGCCGCGGCGCTGACCGGCGGGTCCAGACTCGTGGTCCTCGACGAGCCGACGGCGGGGATGGATCCCGTGGCGCGGCGCGAGGTCTGGACCCTGCTGCGCGACGTCCGCGTCGACCGGTCGGTGCTCCTCACGACGCACCACATGGAGGAGGCCGAAGCATTGGCGGACCGGGTGGCGATCATGGCGGCCGGGAGCGTGAAGTGCTGCGGCACTCTCTCTTTCCTGAAGCGGCGCTTCGGAGGCGGCGGCGACGCAGCGGACGGCGCGGACACGTCGGACACGTCAATCGGCGGCCTCCACGTGGCGGTGACGACGGCCGCCGCGGCGCGCGATCAACTTAAAGCGGTTTTTGCGCAGCACATGCCCAAAGCGAAGCTAGCGGCGGCCTCGAAGCTCGAGGAGGACCTCCGCCGGGCGACCGAAAAGGACGCCGCGAATCCGCTCCTCGGGTCGACACCCAAAAGCTTTTCCTCATCATTTAAGAGTCCGCTCCTGAACGCGACCCGGGGCTCGAGCTTCTCCGCGTCGCGGAACTGGGCGGACGGCGCCGAGGCCCCCCTCCTCGAGGACTCCGCGCGCGACGTCACGACGACGTACACCATCCACGCATCCAGGTCACGGGTCGCCGCTCTCTTCGAGGGGCTGGAGGCCGAGGCCGACGGCTTGGGTCTCGTCGACGTTTCCGTGACGGCGACGTCGCTCGAGGACGTGTTCATATCCGTCGGCGAGCAGGTCGAGGGCGCGGCGGCGCCCGTAGAGGCGGAGACGTTGGTTGGCGGGGCCTTGCTGCCGTCGGCGCCGGGCGAGCCGGTGCCGGCGGGGAGGCTCGTCGCGGCCGTGGTCCAGTTTCGGCTCCCAGCGGTGCAGACAGATCAAAGTGACCTCGACTCACCTCTTGATTCCCACACAGGCTCCAGCAAATAAGAGACGACCTCGTGTGGATCAAAAAGTTCGTCCTCGGCGGCGCGGCGCTGCCCGGCGGGCTCCGGCGCGCCGTCAAGCGCGCCCGCGGCGACAAGGGCGGCGCCACGACTTTCACCGTGCCAACGCATTTCGCCGTGCTCGCCGCGGTCTTGTCCTCGGGGTTTATCGTTGGCTTGGCCGTGGGCTTGACCGAAAAGGGAAGCCGGGATTCGCCCCGGGGGTGGGCGGCGGGCACGGCGGCCGGATCGGCCGTTGCGGCTTCGACACTCGCCTTGGCTGCTTTGGAGTGCGGCATACGTTTTATTGGAGGCGCCTCGTTGTCCGCGCCGTTTTCGGTCGCGGGATGCGTCGTCGGCTCCGTTTTCGGCGTTTGCGTGTGTGGTTTAAATGCGCAGCATCATTTCGTTCTTCACGCCTTTACGGGAGGGCTGACGTGGGCGATAGCCACGGCCGTAGCGGTCGGCCTCGAGGCCGGCCTCCGGCCGTACTTTGGCGTACCCACGTCGGCAGCCGGCGCGGTCGCGGGATGCCTAGTCGGATGGCTCACGGGCTGGCGCGCTTTCAGTGCTCAATTCTAAATCTTCGACGGGCGTAGAGTCCAAGCACCCAAAACGCCGGTTTATTTCCGCACAGGAGCGTATGCCTGAGCGTGCGCAAAAAGACGTTTCGGCGCATGGCCGCGAGCGCGGCGGGCCGCCGCGCGCGGGCGCGGACCGCCGGCGGCGTCGCCGGGTTCTTTGTTGGCCTCGTCGTGGAAGTTTTGGGCTCCGTCTTCGCCTCGGCGTTTTGTTCTGCCGGGATACACGGAACGACCCTGGTGCTCCTCCAAGTGGCGGCGGCGGCGATGCCGCTGGTCGTGCGCGCGCAAATGCCCGGCAAAGGAAAGCGGGCGTTCGGTTTCAAAAGTAGACACGCGGAGTACTACAACACCCTCGTCGCGGGGGTCCTGGTGGCCGCCTATCTTCTTGTGGCGGGCTTCGTGGTGGAGCCCTACGTCCGCGAGCGCGCCAGAGGTCTGCGGAATCTATTGGCCGTCTCGGGCCTCGACACTTTGACGTACTGGCTAGGAAACTGGCTCAGCGACGCGCTGGTACTCGTGAGCGGCGCCGTCTGCGTCGTCTTCATGTTAGCGGCGACCCGCATGGCATATCGCAAGCGGTTATGTAGCAGCGCGCCGACTTACGCGCAGCTCCACGCGGCCGCTCGGAAGGGGGACCTCGACCTCGGGCCCTACAACGCGACCGCCACGTCGCTAGAAATCGCCTTCCACGACCGGTACCCGGGGGGCTTCGAAGAAGACCCGAACGATCTGTGGCACTCCGAGCCCTATGATACCATCGAACAGTGGTACTGCGACAGCATCTGGGATAAACATCACGCGGCCGGGGCCCGGCAGAACGCCACGAAGTTCGTCGTGCGCCGCTGGATGGAGCGCTGGCCGTGGTTGTGGATTTTACTGCCGCTCTGTAGCGCCGGGATCGTGAGCTTCTCGCACTTTGCGACGACGACGTTCGACTCGCCGCTCATCGCGGTCGCGTCGACGCCCATTTTCATCGGTCTCCTGGGCGGCGCGGCGCCGGCCGGGCTCGCGGGCCTCTGGTGGGTCGCCACCAGCAAACCCAACCAGCTCCTATTCCAGGAATTCTTCTGTAAGATAGGGTGGCTCGCGTCAATCGCAACGCCGTTCGGCAACCTGGCGGTCCAGGTCTGCAAGGTGGCCTTCCACCCGCAGCTGAAGCGCGGGGGGTTTCTCGAGGCGTCGGGCGACGGGCCCCTCTGGCGGCAGCGCGCGGACCCGCCTTTACCGAGCGGCTGGGCAGCCGTGATCTTTGCCTTTTTCCACATCATACTTTATGAAGGAATAGTCGTCTTTAAAGATCGACGGGCCCTGCGCCCGCTCGCCTGGGTGAAGACGCGGGTCTCCAAGGTGCGCGCGACCGCGATGCCCGACGACGTCGCCGCGGAGCGCGCGCGCGTCGCGGCGCTCACCGGCGCGGGCGACGCCGCGAGCGCGGGCGACGCCCTGTCGACGAACGAAGACGACTTTCAGATTGTGGTAGACGAGCCGGAGGAGGAGGCGCCGCCGTCGCGGCCGCCGCCGACGAGGTTTTCCACCGCCGTGCGCGACACCGTCGCCATGCTGCGGAACGTGCCGCCGGGCGACGACCCGTACCCTCCGCCGCTCGTGCGAGACATCAAGTCAGCGGACCGCGACGGCCTCGTCGTCTCGGACCTGCGGAAGATCTACCCGCCGCGGTTCTTCGGCGGTTCGGCCGTCGAGTCCGTCCAGTGCGCGGCGTTCGGCGTGCCGACGGGCCAGGTTTTTGGTTTACTAGGAGCGAACGGCGCTGGGAAGACGACGACCGTGTCGATGGTCTGCCGCGCCGTCGAGCCGACGTCCGGCGACGCCAGGGTCGCGGGGAAGAGCGTGCTGGCCGTCAAGAGCTGTGTGGAAATCAACCAGTGAGTTAGGTTGACTTTCACGCCATCGAGCAGACGCAGCTACGGAGAAAATATCGCGTCGATGGCGTGGGGCGCCCGAAATTTGATTTCCACACAGGACTTCGAGGACGCAGCGCGGTCGCTCGGCGTCGTCAACTGTGTGGAAATCAACCAATGCGTCGGGTGCACCCGACAATTCTTCACTAAGTCATTTCTCGGCGATGACGTGGCCGTCCTGGCTCGGTCGAGCGGTGAGGAACTGGCATCGCCACGCCATCGAGCAGGCGTCGCGTCGATGGCGTGGAGGACGATGCGATGATTCAGCACGAACGCGCCGTAAAATTTTGATTTTCACACAGGTCGTCAACCAGAAGAACGTCCTCTGGGACCACCTGAGCTGCCGAGACCATCTGAGTCTCTTTGCGCGGCTCCGGGGCGTCGACATCGAAGGAGACGCGCGCCACGCCGCGGAGCAAGCGCTCGCCGTCGTCGGCCTGTCCGACCACGCCGACAAGGCGGCCGGCCGCCTGTCGGGGGGCATGAAGCGCAAGCTGGCGGTCGCGGTGGCGCTGGTCGGCGGCCCCTCGGTGGTGTTGCTGGACGAGCCGTCGTCGGGCCTGGATCCAGGAGCGCAAAGGAATCTCTGGGACCTCATCAAGGTCACGATGAAGGGCCGCGCAGTCGTCCTGACGACGCACTCGATGGGCGAGGCCGATCTCCTCTGCGACCGCGTCGGCATCATGGTCAAGGGCACCATGCGCTGCATCGGGACGCCGCAGGAGCTCAAGGAGCGCTACGCGGCGGGCTACGAGATCTCGTGCCGCCTGGAGACGCGGGACGACGCGCACGTCGCGGATCTCGTGGCGTTCGCGCGCGGGGCCTTTTCGTCGCCGGACGTCGACGTCGCCGCCGCGGACGCGGACATTGCGACGCTCGAGCTCGCGGGCGTCGACCCGCGGCGGACGCCGGCGCTCGCGTTCCGCGCGTTCGACGACGACGCGTGCGCGCGGCTCGGCGTGATCGACTTTTCGCTCGCGCGCGCGACGATGGAGAAGGTGTTTTTGAGGATTGCCGGCGGCGAGGAGGGTCTGGCGCAGTCGCGGCTCGGCCGGGAGATCGCCGAGATGCTCCAGGCCGAGGCCGACGACGAGGCGCAGAAGGAGCTGGACGCGGTGGTCTTCTCCGAGGCGACTTGCTGCGGCTGCAACAAGTACGCGTGGAAAGCGACGTGCATCTACCACTTCTGTGGCTCCGGCATCATGGGACTCCTCCTTTGGGCGGGCCTCCATGCTAGTGAAATGGCGAGGCACTGCTCACGAATAAATCGACAGTACTGGCGGGACCCCAACTGCGAAGAAACCCCCCAGGGCCTGTGGCTCCGGGTCCTCATGGGGTTTTACTACGCGCCGCATGCCCTTGAATTTTTCTTCTACCTGATGGGCTTCACCTGGTTCTGGTGCGCCGGGTGCGCGCTGTGGTGCCTGCGGGCGCCGGCGTCGAACCCCGGCGGCTCGGTCGCGCCCGCCTAGCATCTTCGCCTCCCGTCGTTCCTATCCCGTCGTACTAGTAGTAGGTCTTCTTTAGTCGTCGTTCTTGCTTGGGTCTTGGGGGGGTTCGCCACATGACTTCAGTCCGCGCGGCCGCGGCGCGTCGAGGATCTCGTGGCGTAGCGCCGCGGGCGCGGCGCCGGCGTCGCGACCGATAGGCGCGCGCGTCCGGGCCGCGGAGTCGGCGCTAGGACGTCCGTCTGGGCGCGCGGCGCGGCTTCCGAAGCCGGTAGCGCCGATCCGTCGTGGGCGTCGTCGGAGGCCGCCTCGTCGCCGACGGGCGGCGGGGGGTAGGCGGCCTGGTAGCGCGCCAGGCTCACTTTGAGGGCGGAGATGCGCGTTTTGGCCGTCTCTAGCTCGGCGTGCGCGTTTCTTGCCGCAAGCGTGGCGAGATTCGTGGCCCCGGCCCGGAAGGTCTCATAATCGTTCAGAACCCGCATTCGCTCTTGATCCACTTGCACGGCCTTCTGGAGGGCCACGTCGGCCGCCGCCGCGGCGACCCGCCACGCGTCGCGCCACTCTGCGGCCGAGGCGTCCGCCGCTAGACCCGGTGCCCTGAGCCAATTCGTGAGCGCTCGCTCGCAGGCCTCGTCATCTGCCGCGATGAGGGCCGTGTCCCGATAGATCGGCGAGACCGTCGCCGGCGCCGCAACAACCGGCGTCGGCGCGGCTGGCGGCGTCGCGTTCCGCACCGGTGTCGGAGCCGACAACGAAGCTTGCGGCGGAGTAGCCTCGCGAAGGGGGGGTGGCGTCGCCGTCGCCGCGACCGGGGAAGCCTGTGGAGGCGTCGCTTCGCGCACGAGCGTCGGTGGCGCTTGCGGCGGCGTAGCACCTTGAGGAGTTGGCGGTACGGACCGTACGGGTCCAGCGCGTCCGCGCCGACGGAGCGTCACGTTCGCGGGCGACGGCGTCTCGCCCGGCGACGCCTCGTCGGGTGGCGATGGTGTTTCCTTGCGCGGCGGCGGCGGCGGCAGAGACGGCGGATCGGGCGCTCGCGCGGTCGCGGTCACCGGCGCTTTCACCGGCGCTTGCTCGGGGCCGCGTCGCGCCGCGTAGGCGACGGACGGCGGGCGCCGCTGCGGACCTTTGCCGGGCCGCGGCGGCGGACGATTGTGGGGCGCCAACGGCCGGGCCCGCGAGGGCCGCGACGCGTTGGTCGCGTGGGCGTGACCGCCCGCCGCGGGCGATGTAAGCCCCGTCGACACGCCCGCGCGCGCTTTCGCGAGAAGCCGCTCCAATTGATCTGTCTTGCCGCGAGATAGCAGGTAATGAGCTAGCTTCTCCTCGCGGCTCGAGAGGGTGAGCCCTTCGGCGGCCCACGGCGTTTTTGTCTCCATGCCGCTCAGTGTGGGGCTTAGAGCCTGGCCGCCCCGCCACGCAAGCGACGTCTCGCCACGCAGCAATGCGATCTCAGCTCGTTCGCGCGCGCGAACTATTTGCAAAAAATTAAAACTTAGCGTATCAACACACTAGCACCAAAATTAAGTCCTTCCGCACGCAGCACGCTGCTTCTGATAGTATTCGCGCGCGCGTGATGATCACTCCTCCTCGAAATTACTCACTCGGACTAATCCTCTTCGACGGGAATCCAGTCGTACGGGTCGCCGGGAGCGGGCGGCGGCCGCGGCGGCGGGGCGGCGCGCGCGTCCTCGTCGGCACCCAGCTCGGCCACGCGCTGCTCGACGCGGTCGTGGATGTCCGCCCGCGCGTCGGCGATCGCACGGTCGATTGGCGAGTCGGGCGCTGGCGGCGTCAGGTTCGCGATGTCGTCCTCGAAGTCGCTGTTGTCGTCGTACGATCCGCGGGGGCCCCGCGTCGGCGTGGGCCCGGCGGGCGGCGCCTCGTCGAAGTCGCCGCAGTCATAGGAGCCGCTCGGCCCGCGCGTCGCCTGGGGCCGCGGTGGCGCGAGCTCGGCGAGGCCGTCGGCGTCGTAGGAGCCCCTCGGCGACCGCGTCACCGACGGCGCCGCGGCCTCGCGCGCCGCGACCGCGCGCAGTTCGCCGTAGGACGCGAGCCCCGTCCGCCGGAAGACCGTGTCGCGCCACCGCGCCTCGAGCATCCTCCGCACGGAAGCCGGCAGCGCCGCACCGCGGCCGACGGTGCCCTGCCGCACCTTCGACGCGCGGTGCTCCCCAGCAATGCCGATCTGGCCCTTGAGACGGTGGAAGACGAAGTGGTCGTCGTACTTGGGCCCGGCCGCGCGCATCGCCGCCAGCGACGTCCGCGCCGCGACGCGCGCGACCGTCGCCGCGTCGGCGGGCACGCCCATGAACCGCGCGATGCGCGCGATCTCGCGCTCGGGGTGCGCCCGCAACGTCTCGTAGCAGACCCAGCAGACGTTCGCGTCGCGGCGCCGCGCCCACCAGCCGCAGAGGTGGGCCCAGACGCCGCCGCTGTGCGAGAGCCCGCCGAAGACGCCCGCGCAAAAAGCCTCGATCGACATGTGCGGCGCGTGCATGTACGGGGGGAGGAACTTGTAGAACGATACGAGTGCGTCGGCCGGCGCGCGCGCCACGTAGACGTACCTGCCGCCCTTGGCGATCGTATGATAAGCCTCGTGCGACTTGAAGAGCCGCGGCGACCGGCCCTGCTCATCGTTACAATTCTGGCCGCAGTCCAAGGCAATAATGTCCCAGGGCATGGCCTCGCAGATCTCCCCGAAGTCGTCCTCGTCGCCGCCCCTCAAAAAGTGGGCGATCGCGGAGACCCACGTCGTCCCGCACTTGGGGTACGTCACGACGAAGACGTCGCTCGCCCTCACGTCGAAGGCTCGACCGTGGCGGATGGCTTCGGTCGAGTGCATGCGCGCGTTGCGCGCTGCCAGTATCGCCATAGCTTTTGTGTCCGCGCTCCGGGCGCGGCGGCGGCGCCAGGCGAGGGCCGCGAGCGCGGCCGCGGCGGTTGCGGCGGTCGCGGCGGCCGTCGTCGAGGAGTTGCGTGTAATCATAATGCCTTGCCGCACGTGGGGGTTAGATTGGGGCAGTGATCTGGCAGTGCTCAGACAGTGCTCTCAATGCTGATTTTGATATTTTGCTACAGCCGTGGTGGCGAGCGCTCGAGCGGTGCGCACTGCGTTCACAGCGATCGATAACAAACGTAGCCAGGCAAAAACTGGCAATAAGCTGCGATTAACCGCTAGATCCGCGCGCAGCTTGCTCGAGATGCCTAGTGTCTTATACCGCTAGCTCTTCTTGCCTAAAAAAAACGCGAGACGCGAGGCCCCGCCGTGATCGCGCATCGCGTGGTGGTCCAAGAACATCGCTGTTCGGCGACTGCACGCACCTGTGCGAGGACAGCTCGCTCTGTGGTGCAGCAGTAGTTGCTCTCAGAGAGACAGCATGCCATCCACCAGCAATGCGTCGAACTGGCAGCAGCGCGAGGAGGAAGCCGTGAAAAAACTCATCGAGTCGCTGCCGCAGTGGACCGGCCCGCTCGACGACGACGCGCCGCTCCCGCGGGGCACGAAGACGCGGACCGGCGTGCTACCGGAGAGCGGCCTCACGTATTACTGGCGCAAAAATGACGAGCCGCGCGACCGCGTGGAGCTCGTGATTGCGGTGCGGGCGGGCTCCATCGACGAGACGGACGACGAACGAGGCCTCGCGCACGTCCTGGAACACCTCGCGTTCCGGGCGCGCACGGACGCGGACGGAACGCGCTGGTCCGCGCTGCGGGAGCTCGAGGCCCACGGCGTCTCCTTCGGCGCGCACCAGAACGCCTATACGTCCTTCGAGGAGACGGTCTTTTTTCTGCACGTGCCGGCGGACTTCTTCGGGCGGGCGTTGGAGCTGCTGGCGGCGTTGGTCGGCGAGGCGGCGAAGGTCGACGCGTCCGACGTCGACGCGGAGCGCAAGATCGTGCTGGAGGAGTGGCGCCAGGGCAAGGACTGGGCCCAGCGAAGTACCGAGCTGCGTCGCAATCAACCACTGTGTCGAGTCGGTAATTTTTTATTGCTGCGCAGGCACGGAAAGCCACTTCCGCCACACGTTCGAGGGCACGACGCTCGCGGCGCGCCTCCCCATCGGGAACCTCGAGGTCGTGCGCACGGCCCGGCCCGAGACGATCCGAGGGTTCTACGAGCGGCACTACACGGCCGACGCCCTGGCCGTTATTGTCTGTGTGGAAATCAAACTTTTACGGCGCGTTGTGCTGAATCATCGCGTCGTCCTCCACGCCATCGACGCGACGTCTGCTCGATGGCGTGGTGATGCCGGTTCCTCACCGCTCGACCGAGCCAGGACGGCCGCGTCAGTGCACCCGACGAACTGGTTGATTTCCACACAGGTTATCGTCGTCGGCGCGGTGCCCGACGCGGTCCAGGTCGACCAGCTCGACCGGGCCTTCGCGCCCTACTTTCGGAAGGGCGCCGCGCGGCCGTGGCCGCGCGCGCCGGCGGCCTTCTTCCCCGACGAGTCAAGCTTCGGCGCCGCCGTGTTCGCGGAGGCGCCGCGGCGGCGCGTCCGCGCGAGCGTCTTCGAGGACGCCGAGGCGACGTCGGCCTTCGCCGCTATCAGTGTGGCCAAGCGCTACGAGGCCGCGACGACGGTCGGCGGATTCCGGCGGTGGCTCGTCGGCGACGTGGCCCAGAACGTCGTGAACCGCCAGCTCGCGAAGCTCGCCATGGCGAGCGCGCCGCCGTTCAGCTCGGCGTCCGTCGGCGCGCAGCCGCCCGTCGCGCTGCGGCGCGTCGCCGATGGCATCCAGGGCGTGACCGTCAGCATGCTGAGCGCCGTGCCCCTGGCCCACGACCGCGTCGCCGACGCTTTGCGGAGCGCGTGGCGCGTCGTCGTCGAGAAGCGCGACCGCGTCACGGAGGACGAGCTGCGCATGGCGCGGCGCGAGATCCTGGGCGACCTGCAGACGCAGTGGAAGGAGCGGGACCAGACCGAGTCGTCATCGCTGGCCGACGAGGCGCGGGACCACTTCCTGCTCGCGGCGCCGTACGTCGACGACCGCGACGAGGTCGCGCTCGCGGCCGCGCTGCTGCAGACGGTCACCGTCGAGGACGTCCGAGAGGCGATCGCGGCCATGTTCCCCGCGGAGAACCTCGACGCCGTCGTCGCGGCGACGCGGCCCGCGCCGGGCTTCCGGTGGCCCTGGCAGGCGCCCTCAGTGCCCGCTGCGGCGCTCGAGGCCGAGCTAAAGACATTACTCGACGACGCGGCGGGCGGCGCCGTCGCGGCGACCGAGGCCTTCGACGCCGACGCCTTCTTCGCGCCGCCCACTGGCGAGCGCTCGTCCGTGACAAGCCGGCGCCTGCCTCTGCCGAACGGCCTCGAGGCGCTGGAGCTCTCGCTGGGCAACGGCGGCACGGTCACCTTCGTGCGCACCGACTTTAAGGACGACGAGGTCGTGCTGTTCGGGTGCGCGGCCGGCGGCCTGTCCCGGCTCTGCGGGCGCGACGCGAAGAAAGACGCGAAACTGGCGATGAGCGCGCGCGGCGGCGCGAGCCTCGCCGGGCGCTACGGCGCCGTCGGCGCCAGTGCATAAATCAAATTGTCGCGGCGAATGCACCCGACTCACCGATTGATTTGCGCACAGGTTGGCGCGCCGCGCGCCGCGCTCAACGACGCGCTCGGCGGCCGGCGCGTCGCGCTGGGCGCGGACATCGACGCCTACCGGCGCATCGTGTCGGGGGATTGCACGGCAGACGAGGTCGAGACCCTCTTCGGTCTCCTCGCGCGCCTCTTCGCCAACACGCCGCAGCGCAGCGAGGCCCAGGCGCGGACCTACGTCGACGCGAGCCGCGACGCCGTGCGGGAGCGGGAGCGCGACCCCGGCGCGCGCTTCGCGACGAAGCGCGACCAGCTCGTGACGCGCGACCACCCCTTCTGGCGCCACTGGACGAACGCCGACCTGGACGAGTTCGACGCGGCGACGGCGTGCGATTTTTACGACGCGGGATTTGCGTCCGCCGGCAGTGCATAAATCAAATTGTCGCGGCGCGTCGCGCCTCCACGCCATCGACGCGACGTGTCCGCAGGTCGCCGGACGGCTTCCGCGTCGCCATCGTCGGCAGCCTGCCCGACGACGCGACGCTCACAAGGTTGGTGGACGCCTACCTGGCGCCCCTGCCGGGCCGGGCGCAGGTCCGGGCGGCGTACCCGCGCGCCGAGGAGTTCGGCTTCGTGAAGGGTGAGGCGCCGATCACGGCGGAGGCGTGCGAGCCCCTCGGCGCGAGCTTCCCGGCGAGAGGGCCGGTCGAGGCCGTGGTAAGGGCGACGACGGCCGCGGCGGTCACGGACGACGATCAACAGCTGGCGCGCGCGCGGTCGAGGTGGTCCTGGCCCGTGCGCGTCGGCGCCTCCAAAGGTAGCACCGACGAGGAGAAGGCCGAGGAGCGGCTCGCGGAGTCCGTGCGCGTCGACGTCGCGGCGCGGTGCCTGCAGCTCCAGCTCACCGAAGCTTTACGGTTCGACGCGGCCGACGTCTACAGCGTGAGCGCGTACATCGACTACCACACGGCGGATCCGCTCGTCGACGCGGTGCGGCCTTTGGACGGCATCCTCGACATTAGCTGCGGGCACCAGCCCGAGCGGCACGAGGCGGTGGACGGCATGGTCCGGTCGGCGCTCGCGGTGGCGGCGAAGGCGGGCCCGAAGAAACGCGACCTCGACTCGGTCCTCGAGGCCCTCGCGAACGACCGCGCCGAGCGGTTGCGGACGAACAACCACTGGGCCGCGACCGTGTCTTCGACCTACCTCAGCCCGCGGTACCGCGGCGACGTGGGGGCCACGGTGGCCGAGACGATGCGCGTGAACGAACGCGTGCGCGCGGCGCTGGCGGGGCCCGAGGGCGTGAGCGCGGTCGGCGCGACGCTGACGCGCGCGCTGCCGGCGTCGCTCGACCGGCGCGTGCGGGTGCGCCTCGCGCCGCCGCCGCCGTTCTTTAGAAATCGTGTGTTGCTCGTGGCGGCCGCCGCCGCGACGGTGGCAGCCGTGGCCGTGGTGCGGTCGAGGCGGACGACAGGTGTTTGATGATAGAGTGTTTAGCTTATATAAGTTTATCTGAAAGTCTACAAGAGTTGACAGATGAGCTCGAGCTCCTATAAAACGGGTTTTTCCAGCCTACCAGAGCTTGACTGTTACGCGCTATAAAGCAAGCGTTACACGCGTTTAGAACGTTGTGCGTCTTTGACGAACCTCTCAGACGGCCAGTTGACCGCCTGAGGAACAAACGCGCGCGCGCCGCATATTTAGATGATCTAAACTCCCCGCGTCCATGAACTCGATGACCAGGGCTGGTCACTTAGTGGTTCGTCGTCCGAGCTCTCGTCGCTCTCCTCGCTCTCGACGGCGAAGCCCAGGGCCGGGCGGCCCTCGTTCTTCACGTAGCGCACCATGGGTCAACCTGATTTGACGTACGAGGTCGGAAACGCTTATTTTTGGTGTGGCTGCGTGTGTCTCTTTGACAGCGAGCCGGGCGTTTCCTGACACGGTTGTCTAGCCGGTGAGTCCCTCGTCACGCGCGCCTGGTCCGCCCGCGCGCGAGTCAGCGCAAAAATTACTTGAAATGTGGTGATGAAAAAATGGGCCGCTCGCGCGGTTTGGAGTTTGATTCTCGCGCGTCGAGGTCGATGCGGTGATCAGAGTGATCGGGTGGAGGCGCGATATCCAGCACGCCGCGCGGCGCCGCTTTCCTGGTGGGAGGCCGGGTGTCAAAACCCGCGTCGACCGCGCTTGGCACGTGTCGCTTCTCCTACGGATCCACACGAAGCCTGAATGGCCTTTGAGAGCGGTCTGGTGCTGGTTTGGTCGGGCGCGTGCCCTTTGTCACTTTGTGCAGCACACAGCTTTTGATCTGCTGACCGACGCACTTGGTGCGCGGCCGAGCGTTCAAGCACACCAAAAGCAGCCTGTCGACGCCCTCAAAGCCCTAAGACAGCAAGTTGCCCAGCTGCTCGCTTGCTGGACCGGAGAGCGCGTTTAAAGCGGTAAGCGTGCTCTGGCGCCAATTATCCCGGCAGCGCCCGCCGCCGCGCCAAACCGCGCGAAAAGCGCCGGGAGGTCATATTGCGCCAGCCACGCAATCAAAAAGCGTCGCCGCGCCGCACCCACTCAAAATAATGGCGGGAACGTCCTCCCGCCTCGCGCGCCGCTCGCTCAGCCAGACCTTCTACCGCCGCCCGCTGCCGCGCCACCTGCCCGCGCTCTCGAGCCCCGCGGGCCGCGTGTTGTTCAAGGAGGCGCTCGCGTCGAACGGCCTCAAGAGCTACTTTGCTTTGGCTGAGACCTACGAGACCCAGTCCGAGCCGTCCTTCTGCGGCATCACGACGTTGTCAATGTCGCTCAATGCGTTAGGCGTGGACCCTCGACGGAGATGGAAGGGCGTCTGGAGGTGGTACACCGATGCTATGTTGGAGTCCCACGTCCCTTTGGAAACTTTTGAACGCGACGGCATGTCTTTTGATGAATTTGCTGGTGTCGCTAGATGGAACGGCGCCGAAGCGAGGCCAATACGCGCCGGCGAGTCTGATATAGAAACGTTTCGCGAGGCCGTCGAGAAGGCGTGCGTCGGCGAGGACGAGTCGGACGGGGAGTTGGAAGATGGTGTTTTAGTTGCGAGCTACAATAGAAGTGTCCTGGGCCAGACGGGCGAGGGCCACTTCTCGCCGGTCGCCGGGCTCGCGCCGTCGTCGGACATGGTCCTGGTGCTGGATACGGCGCGCTTCAAGTACCCGCCCCACTGGGTGCCGACTCAACTGTTGTGGGAGGCCATGGCCGACATCAACCCCTGGAACGGCAAGAGTCGCGGATATGTCTCCTTGAACGTGCCGTCGAAGAAGGATGATGAAACTCTCGAGTGCCCGACGAAAGTGTTGGCCTGGGCGCCGGACCACGCTTCTCCAAAAATGCCGCGGGAGGCGCTGCGGGGCGAAGCTTCGCGCGTGGCGTACTCGCTCGGGTAAGTAAGTCTTTTGTTTTATTCTCGCGTCGACGGCGCCGTCTTGCGGTAGCTTCTACTTGTGTAGATTGATGTCTGGAGTTCTACTAGTAAGTCTGTGAAAGTAGTAATAACCTAGCGTAACGACATTCTAGCAAATTCAAAGATACGCTTCGATAGCGTCAAAAGAGTGACCCAAATTCAGAATACATCCTAGTCGTCCGCTGCGACCAATTATTTCAGAGTAGCGGCCCGGGAACATACCCTCGCGCCTCCCGGAAGGCACCGCCCGCGACATTCGCGAATGAGTCTTAAGACTTGCCAAAATACACCAGCGATTGACGCCGCCATCTACCGTCCAGATGATACATTATATCAACTCCAGCCCAGTTTTCATACACAATCGGCGGAACCGGAGCCGACGGCCCGCGCTCGGAGGGCGGGAAAAGAATTCTACTAGACAACTCCCGAGTTTATGTTCGTTTTAATCCGTTTGTTAGTGGTATAGTCCATCTAGAGCGCTAGTACAGTTGCCTATCTATATTAGGGGCTCCGTTAGAGCCGCGCGAAACGACGAATCCGCGACCCACGAATCCGCGTTGTGGCCACAAGACATAAACCTGCGAGTATCAGCGACGCCGCCACCCAGATGGACCATAACGCCGTTGTTCTATTCACGATCGACCGACTTGCCCGTTCTCCGCGGACGACGGTGCGTAGACGGAGCACCGGAAAGGCCCCAGACCGGTGAGTTGTAAAATAAATTTGCGTTTCAGGCGCTTTAGTTGTGGGACGGGCCAGATAACCGGCCTGAGCGACTACTACATTTGATTTCTTTCACCTTAGGGTCTCCGCGCCTTCTCGGTCTCCCGACCGCACGATCGCTTCAATATGGCACAGAAAACTGGAACTGCGACCATCAGCCCGTGTACCATCACCATGAACCATGATGCGATCGTTTGTTCCATGACCGACCGACTTGCGCGAGGTCCAGATAAAGATGTTCACGTCCCGGGCGTGGGCAGCCAAAAGTACCCTTCTTATAATGTAGATGTCATATACTTGTAATTGACTATCGCTGGGGTAGTACGGGGTCCGACGAGACCGCTATTACGATTCCTGGGGGGCCTCGGGTAATTAACGTTTTTTACGGGGACGGGGCGCCATCGGGTCCAAACTATTTACTTTTTTCGGATGTAGATCGGCTCGCGGGCGCCCTCCGGGACAGGTCTGGGGTCGGGTGGTCCCCTACGCCGCATGCGCCGGTGCTTGGGGCTCTCCGGAGAGCTCTGGATCCAAAACTTTGGCAAATCGTGGTCCGGTGCACTGGAGCGCAAAGGACCTTGGGAGATGTATCTTACGCTGGCAGCGGCGGCGTAGGCGGTTGCGCACGTCTAATACCGACCCTAGGCGACCCCAGGGAGACCTCCGGGCCGTGGATGGACAGGATTCCATCGACGCGGCCGTCACGGCGGAGACGTCAAAATCGCGAATTAAAAAAATTACCTTTTTCGCCCCCCAGGAAGTGTCCCATTTGTCACTTTGGACCAGTAGCGAACTGAAGGATGCTCAAACGGCTGCATGCGCGTTCGAGTTTGCTGGCTAGTGTCTTACACCGCTACGATCGGTCCCAGCCGGCCCAAGCGCGGTTCGGCGCCCTATTGCGGCGCACGGCGGCTTCAGGCCTGAAGCCGGCCAGCAGCAGTGCTGCGAGGGCTACACACCACGGCTGTGCGAAGAGCCGGCGGTTTCATTCGCTCCCCGCGCCGCGCCAGGCGCTGCAAAGCCCACAGCAAAAAAAACGCACTGAGCCGACCGCAAAAATGCAAGCGCCCAACCGCCCGCAACGCCGCCGCCGGAGGATAGTAGAGTCCGACGACAGCGAGGAGGAGGTCACCTACGAGGTCGCGCCGACGGTGGCGCCGCCGGCCCAGAAGAAGAGCCGCGCGGCGAAGCCGCGGCCGCCGCAGCGCCCGGCGAAGCGGCCCTGCGCCGAGGCGCGGCCCGTGCTCCGCGAGAACGCGCGCCTGACGCAGCCGTCGCAAAAACAACCGCGGCGCCGCGGCGCCGCGCCGACGCCGCGGCCCCCGACGCCGGAATGGGACGTTGAGCCCGAGGACGAGGACGAGCTGCGGCGGGAGCGCGAGGCCGAGGCGGCGGCGGCCTTCGAGGCGAGCCAGGCCAAGGCCCGGACGGCGACGAGCGGTTCCACGGGCGGCACGACGCGGGCGCCGCCCCGGAGCGGCAGCACGGGCGGCACGACACGCGCGCCACCGGCGCCGCCGCCCGTCCCGTGCCAGCTCACGGCGGACCAGCGCGCCGTCGCGGCCTGGCGGCCGCCGGCCTGGGCCGCGGACCGCCGCGGCAAGCTCGTGCGGGTCGTGGCGCACGCCGGGACGGGCAAGACGACGACGCTCGCGGCGCTCGCGGCGAACCTCGCGGCGTCAGCGCGGCCCGGCGTCCATATACGTCGACGCGACCCGCGGACCGTCGACGCGTGTGACGAGGGACGGGCAGCAGGCGCGTACGGGAGCCTTCCCACACAGGCGAAGCCCAAGGAGGGCGAGCAGCCCTGGCTCAAGCTCAGCTACTGGACCTTCAACCGCTCGGCCGCCGCCGACGCGGCCCAGCGCTTCGGCGGGCGTACCACTAGATACGGCGTCGACGCGCGGTCCATCAACTCCGCTTTACTGGCCTTCGTCCAAAAGGGCGAGCGCGACGCCGGCCGCGACCGCCTCGAGTGCCCGACGCGATTGCCCCAGACCATGGAGGCCCTCGCGACCATCCTCGACGCTCTGGGCCTGGGCGACATTGCCGAGGACCGCATCTCGTCGCAAAAACTCAAGGGAGATCGAGAAGCGAAGCAGAAGGCCGCGGACACGCTGAGGAGATCCTTGGCGCGAAGCGCCTGGCGCACGGTCGAGAACTTCTGCAATTCTGCGGATGACGACGTCAAAGAAAAGCACGTTCCAAGAGATGTAGTGCGAGCCGACGACGCTTTTAGATCGAAACACGCGCCTCCTTCTGGTAGCTTGAGACCCTACTGCTCGCGCTGGGCGAAGGAGCTTTATAAGCGGGCCGCGGACCCCGACGACGCGACGATCGCTTGTACGCAGAACGTGATGCAGAAGGTGGCCCTCAAGCGCCTGCGCCAGCACCCGGACGAGAAATTGGGGTGGGGCTGGGGCGGCGGGCCGCCGCCCCACGTGTTATTGCTGGACGAGGCCCAGGATCTAGATGAATGTATGTTGGCCGTCGTCGACATCCAGAGGAAGCGGGGCCCGACGGCTGTCGTGCTCGTGGGCGATCCCGCGCAAGCTTTATATGGTTTTAGAGGAGCTTCGGCGGATGCATTAAGGGACACGGCGCGGTTCGGCGAGGCGGACACGGAGTTCGCGTTAGCTCGAAGCTTTCGGTTCGGGCCGTCGATCGCGCGCGAGGCGAATCGGTTGCTCGCGACGAAGCGGCGCTACGACCGGACCTTTTCGTACACGCCTGTCGTCGGACTGGGGCCCAAAGGTTCTTCAGAGAAGGACTCCGTCGTCAAGTCGTGGGGGGAGAGCGGCCTGCCGACGCCGCCCTACGCCTATATCTGCCGGTCGAACCGGGGCGCCGTCGACGCGGCGGCGAAGGTGTGTGGTCTCGCGCCGGAGAAGGGGGACGACGCGACGTTCGATCCCTTCGCCGAGGACGCGGCCATCGCCTTCGCCGGCGATAAAGGACAACAGTTGCTGGCCAACCAGTTGCGGACGCTCGAGGACGTCGCCGACCTGAGGGCGGGTCGGCCGCCGGAGTCGCGGGCCGTGCGCAAGTGGTCGAGTTTTCCGGAGTTGGAGCGCGCCGTCCAGGACGAAGATTCGGGTGATGGCAAGGGGAGTCTCGTCGAGCGCAATGTCAGAGACGCCTTTGAATTATGTCGAAGGTGGGGCCCCCAGGCGGGCAAGCTCGCCGCGGCGTTGCGGCGGGCGGCCCAGCGCGGCGCGACGGAGGAGGGGAGGCAGCGCGCGGTCGTGTTCACGACGTCCCATAAAGCCAAGGGTCTGGAGTGGGACACGGTTGTGGTGCATGATGATTTTGCTCCCTTCGTCGATGATCTGGGGGACCCGGTGTCGTTTGTCCACGCCGAGGAAATTAATGCCTGGCACGTGGCCGTGACGCGCGCGCGGCGCACTTTATATATTCCGCCGAAGTTAGATGCCCTACGCGCGTGGTGCGAGCAACAAGACGCGGCGCCGGGCGCGCCGGCGACGCCGCGACCGCGGGGCGGGCTATCATTGGCGGCGTTGATGGGTGGCGGGGGTATGATGAGCGGGACGGTGTCGCAGTCGCAGCGGTCCGTGCGGCGGGCGGGGCCGGACGGGTGGTAGAGTAGAGTGCTAGGTGGTAGGGAAGTAAATATAGTCGTCTGAAATTTGTTACGGTGCTAGGATTAGTGGGCGGAGCCCCTGCCCAGGGCGGGGGGAGACCGCGCGTCGCCGATTCATCGAGCAGCGCGTAAGCGCGCTCGAGGTCGGGTTTTGGGCTGACGCGATCCGGACGCGAGAGTGAAACTACCTGGCGGAACCGAGCGATTAAACTCTATAGATACAGGCGCGCGCGGCTCTCACCGCGCGCCGCGGCCGACGGTGTCCGGCGTGCCCGGCGCGGCCGACCGCGGCTTGAGGATGTGGAAGCTGCACATCAGCGACGCGTCGACGCTCATGACCGCGCCCGAGTTGTCGAACTCGCCGCAGTAATTGGGAGCTGAAAACAACGTCACGAGCTGGCGCTGCGCGAAGAACTTCGCGGGTCGCGGCGTGACGATCGACGACGTCGTGGCCTGCTACGACGGCGCCGCCGACGAGGAGACGGCCCTGCTCCAGGCGCGCCGGCGCAAGACGGAACAATTGAAGGCCGATAGGTTGGCGCGGGAGCGGCGCGAGGCCCAGTCGAAACGAGACGAGGCGGTCCGCGCGCGGCAGAACCAACGCTTCGCGCGGAAGCAGGCCGCGCGCGATCACGACTCGCGCCTGGTGGCGTCCCTCGCGGAGCGGTCCAAGACCGCGCTGAAGCGGTGCCAGGCGGCCGAGAAGAAGGTGCGGGCCTGCGCGCGGGCGGCGAAGCTTGCCGCGGGCGACGCGCGGCACATCGAGGGCCTCGTGCGCGATGCGCGGCGGCGCGCGCCTCCCCCGGCCGTAACGTCACGGTGCAAGTAGTGTTTATAATGCTTTAGTCGAGGGATGGCTCGAGAGAGGAAATACGATTCAACGTTCGGCGGTCTGGAATCACACGTCGATCTCGGGACGCATAGTTGGAGGGACTCGGTCCGGGCGCGGCGGAAGCTCTTCGTTTGAGTAAGGCGCAGCCCCCGTAGTCTTACGAGCGTAGAGTACTAGACATTACCAATACTTCATATCCTCTGTGAAGTTCCGCGGCGAGCGTCTCCTCGGCTTCTTCGGCGGCGGCTGCGGCGCATCCTCCTCCACGGCCTCCTCGGCGGCGGCACGACGCCTCGCGCGCGCGCGCGGCGGCGGCGGCACGTCGTCGTTCGAAGGCGGCGGAGGGTCGATGAAGGTGCCCGCGTTAGCCGGGTCTGGGGTCCTGAACATCGATAGGCTACGCGCGCATCCTCGACGGCGTCCGCGTTCGTCCGACGGTGTTTCGGGCGCCGGGCGAGGCTCGCGGGCTCGGAGAAGTGTCGGCGGCGGTTTCGCGGCAGCATGGGCTCGGGCCCGAGGCAATGGTGCAGCACGGGCGCGGCGCGGCGCACGCCCTCCAAGAGCCCTCTAGATAACTGGCTGACAACTGTCCAAAAGAACGAAACCCGTTTGGCTGCGAAGAGCGCGCCGCGCGCAGTGAGCCCGCGGGCGTCGTGGTCGATACGAGTAGATGATACGGAGACTAATAGCCACACACAATTACTCCGCCAGTCGCACCTCGTGCCGCCCCGGCACGACCTTCTTCGCGCGGTACAGGTTGCCGACGGCGTTCTTGAAGACGGACTTCGAGAGGCCCGGTAAAATCGCAGCGATGTCCTCGGGTGAGGATTTGTCGCCGACGTCGAGCTTGCCGCCGCGCCGTTCTAATTCCGCGAGGATCAGCGCCGCGGCGTCGCGATTCTTCCCTTCCGCCGACGGCGGCCGCAGGAAGACGTCGTACTTGTCCTCGACGGTCGGCGACGGCGCCGCAAACGCCGACACCATCTCCCCAAGCTCCGCTCCCGCGCCCCGCCGCGACTCTCGTAAATATTGGAGCTCCTTCTGCAGGACGAGCCCCTCCCCGAATCTTCCGTCGCGGAACTCGACGACGACGGAGGCTCCCAGCGGCCCGAACGACACGATCTCGGCCTCGCAGCGCTCGGCGTTGTGCGGGTTCGCGTGCGGGCGGCCGTCGCCGCGTCGAGGCTTCGTCTGCTTGACCGGTGCGGGCGCTGCGGGCGCTGCGGGCGCCGCGGGCGCGGGCGCGCTCTCGAGGAGGCGTTCGACGAGCTCCTGTTTCTTTCCGCCGACTTTCAAACCTTGTGCTCGAAGTCTATCTTTTAGCACGGGCACCGTTAGACCCTCCAGGTCCGCGCGCGACGCCGCAAGCGTCCGCAATCGCTGCGAGGACTTGCAGCGGCTGGCAGCGCCGGCAGACACGCGCGTACGCATGGGTGCGAGCAGCGCTCGCGCCCGCATTGCGAACATTACTATTCCTGCGGTCTGTAGACGCATTGATTCGGGCTGACGGGAGTACTGCGTCCGCAAAAGCACCTTTAGCTAGCGGCCTGTAACACACTAGCAAGCAAAGCCAGACGCCAATCGAAGCGGTTGCGCTGTACAATCGATGCTAGCAAGGCTGCCGTGGAGCGATCTTAGGTCTCTGCTCTCCGCCACAGCCCTCTCCGAGCTTCCAGTGCAAGTCTCTGGACAAAAAATCCTAAAGGGCTCTCCCTGCTACAGAGACGATACGCGTCGAACGAAGCGAACCACGCCCAACGATGCGTCTCCAATTCCTCCTCATCTATGCACTGCAAACGGTATCAGCGCTGACGCCGCGCGGCGCAGCCAAAGACCCGGCCCGCGGCCGCGAAAACGTCGGCGTCCTGTCCTGCGGCACGCAGCTCGGCGCGACGACCTACGGCTACCTGCAGCGGCTCAAGGGGCTCTGGGCCTCGGGGCTCAAGGAGCCGGTGGCGCTCCTTAAAGATCCGTTCGAGCGGCGGACGCTGTCGTCGACGCTGTCCTCCGACTTCATGGGTGGATTGGACCCGCGCCGGTCCGTGGACGCGACGACGGAGCAGAGGCTGAAGAACGCCTGCTCGTTCTACGAGGAGGGCGGGCCGCCCTACGGGATTCAGCGCGGCGTCTGCGGCGACCTCGTGAAGGACGACATCCCCGGGTCGTTGACGGCCCTCGCGGAGGCGCTGGACTGCGTGTCGTGCGTCTGCGTGGGGTCTGCCGCCGCCGACGCCGCGGCCGCGGTGCTGCGGGACAACTGCGCCGGCTCGTTCATTACTGTGTGGAAATCAACCAGTGAGTCGGATGCACCTTCGTCGACAAAGCGGCCGTGATGACTGAATCGAGTGGTGTAAGACCCACACTGCCACGCCATCGACGCGACGCCTCCACGCCATCGAGCAGGCGTCGCGTTGATGGCGTGAATGTTAGACTCGGCAGTGGCGGAGACGCGCCGCGAAATTTGATATCTACACAGGTTCATTATTGAACTGGACGCGGACCCGCGGGAGCACCCGTCTTCCTGGTCCCATTTGAAGGGGTTCCGGAGAATGGGTGCTTCGCCGGCAGTGGAAGATGTGTCTGCGGTACTAGCGGCTGCCCAGTCCGCGCTCGGCTCGGCCGCGCATCATCGAATGCGCGCGTTGGGCCTGGGCGGCGAGGACGTCTTCACGTCGCCGCTCGATCTGCAGTCCTGGCTCCTCGACGAGTGCCCCGAGCCTGCGGGCGTCGAGGACCTCGAGGCCGCGCCGGACCCAAAGTTTGCGACCTGGTAACACACAACAGTATTTATTCATCACATTGTTTCCCCGACGGCGTCCTTCTTCTTCTCGAGGAGCTCGTAGAATTTCTCGTCCGTTTTCGAGACGTAGGTGAGGACGTACTCCGCGTCGACGCCGGCCGCGCGGCACGCCTCGAGGCGCGGGCGGTATCGCTTTTCTAGACTGTAGCTGATAATTTGTGGAAATATCAGAACGCGATCGCGAAGCTCGGAACGCGAGAGGCCGGTTTCCCGCTCAAGATAGGCGAGCTTCGGCGCCATGTTGGTCTCGGCGCTATAGCTTAGCAGTGCCGGAAGCGTCAAAACCATCTTCCTCAGCTGCGCCTCGTCCAGTTCGAGACGCGTCTGTAGCCACTCGAGCTTCGGCGCCATGTTGTCCTCGACGCTGTAGCCCAGCAGCGGCGGAAGCCTCAGAACCGCCTTTCTCAGCTGTTCGTCATCCAGGTCGAGACGCGTCTGGAGCCACTCGAGTGTCGGCGCCATGTTGTCCTCGACGCTGTAGTTCAGCAGTTGAGGTTTCACCAGAACCACTTTCCTCAGCCCCGCGTCGTCCAGGTCCAGACGTGTCTGCAGCCAGTCGAGTGTCGGCGCCATGTTGGCATCGACGCTGTAGCCCAGCAGTGTCGGCTGCGCCACAACAAGCTTCTTTAGTTGCGCCGCGTCCAGTTCGAGGCGCGTCTGCAGCCAATCCAGCTTCGGCGCCATGTTGTCCTCGACGCTGTAGCCCAGCAATGACGGGCGCCCTAGCACCACCTTCTTTAGCTGCGCCGCGTCCAAATTAAGACGATCCTGTAGCCAGTTGAGCTTCGGCGCCATGTTGTCCTCGACGCTGAAGGCCAGTAGAGACGGATTCTCCAACACGACCTTCTTCAGTCCCGAATCGTCCAGGTCGAGGCGTCGCTGTAGCCAGTCACAATTCGACTCCATTTTCTCGACGCTCTGCGTCAGCAGTTGCGGCTGCATCAGAACCATCTTCTTCAGCCCCGCGTCGCTTAGTTCGAGGCGCGTCTGTAGCCAGTCGAGCTTCGGCTCCGCTGTCGCTCTGGCGCCCAAGGGCCGACGCCGCACCATCCTATCCAGCTCCGCCTCGGTCATGGAGAGCCGCGTCCGCATCAGCTCACGCACGTCCGCCGCATTTTGGGCGGTCGTCTCAGCTCTGGTATTTTGGGCGGCCTTCGAAATACGGGTGCCGGCGCCGGCGAGCGCCCGGCAGATGGCCCGCGCCGCGGCCTCCGGGTCGCGCGCATCCGAAATACCCCGAATCACCGCGACGCCGTCGCAGCCCGCCTCGATGAGTTTTGCAGCGTTCGTCGCGTCGACGCCGCCGACGCCGATCAACAAAGGCGGCGCTTCTCGCTCGTCGAGCGCGCGGCGGCACTCGGTCGCGAGGCCGGGCCCCTCGGGTATTTTTCCGGGGTGCGTCTGCGTCGCGAACATGGTGCCGAGCTGCACGTAGTCCGCACCCAACGCGGCGGCCGCGAGGACCGCCTCCACCGAATGCGCCGAGCAGCCCAGCGGGCCATTTGGTCGCTCTGTTGCTGCTCGCCACTTTCGCTCGGGCAGGTGTTCGACGCCGTTGATTACTACGGAGCAGTCCGTACCTTGCAACGCGTCTCGCACGGCGGCGGCGGCGGATTGCAACTCGTCCCTCGACGCGTCGGCGTCGCGCAGCTGCACCAGCGACGCGCCGCCCTTCGCCGCGGCGCGCGCGACGCGTTCGAGGTCGGCGCGGCGGTCGGCCGCGGCCCAGCCGGGCGGCGTGACGAAGACTAATGGTCGTCTTGGGAGGTGTAGGGCATCTGTGAGCAGTGTGACCAGCAGTAATGCGTGCTGCGGCGCCATGCTGCAGGCGGCTCTTGCTGTGCTCACTTTGTCGGAGCAATACGGATCACCGCTGTGGCGTGCGACACACGCTTTTTTTGAGTGCCTGGACTTGCAATGCGGGCTTTTTGCTAGTGTCTTACTGGCGCTAGCTAACTAGCGGCCGGTAAGACACTAGCAAGCACATTTTCAGCGCTGCCGACCGGTAAGCTGCTCGCGACGTAGATACGGACAGACACGACGCGTCGGTGTTCGCGCTCGAGCTCCGTCCGCAGACGACCGTCTCTGCGGCAGCCATCGGCTTTTGACTATCTCTTCTTGGGGCAGCCTTTGCCACCGCTTGGCTCCACGCCGTCGGCGCGCCGTCCAGACCAATGTCGGCCCAAGCGCAGCGGCGGCGCCCACGCGGCGCCCGGGAGCACGCCGCCGCCCAGGCCCAGCGCGTGCGGCGGGCGCGCGCGGCGGCGAACGGCATGTCGCCCTCGGCGCCGCGGTCCGCGACGAAGTCGCCCCGCGTGCGGACCGCGTCGCCGCAAGCGCGACGCGTGATCACGCTGGACTCCTACGAGGAGAGCAAGGGCGAGGACGCGGAGGCCGAAGTCGCGCGGCTCGAGGCCCAGCTCGAGGAAGCGCGGCGGCGGGCGTACGAGAAGCGGACGGGGAAGCCGGCGCCGCCGAGGAAAGTCCAGTTCGCGGAATCCGGGGACTGGAGCGAGTCGTGGCACGAGCTCGCGGACGACCGCGCGGCGCAGTACCCCGAAGACGCGCCGCCGCCGCCGGCGGACGCGCCCGCGGCGGCGCCCGCGCCGGCGGCGGAGTTGTCCGAGGACGGCAAGGCCTTTCGGGCGGCGCTGGCCGAGAAAGCTCGAAAACTCGCCGAGGAGAAGGCCGAGAGAGCAAGAATAAAAGCCGAGGCGGAGGCGAAGGCGGCCGAGGAGCGGCGGCTGGCGCGCGAAGCTGAAGACGAAACAAACGGCGCCGACCCGGAAAGGGTGTACTGCGGTGTACGGCTCGTGGGAAGGCTGAGCTCGATGATGAGCGGCGACCGCCCATTGCCGCCCCAATTCAAGTGCGGCGTCTGCCAAACCGCGAACGATGCCGAGGAAATACGGTGTAGTTCCTGCTCGGCCGCGCGCGTCGCGCCGTGGCAACGACTACCGGGCGGGCTCCTGCGGGCGGGCACCGTCATCAAGGCGAACGACTACGAGGGCGTGTTTGCCATCATTTCGAGTGTGGGCCGCATGCAGAAGCGAATGAAGGTCGTATTATTTGCGCCCGAGAGCTCTCCCGAGGTCGGCGATTTGATGCTCCCGGCCATCGAGGCGGAGTGGACCGTGTTGCCCGCGTCGGAAGCGAACGACGCGATCCAGCAGCATATGCTCTGCTGGGCTTTGTGTCCAAAGTGCGAGCACGTCTTCTACGTGCAGAACGGGGACATTGCGAATCGTCAGGTGCGCGCGAAGGAATTGCCCAAGGTCAAATTGCAAAAGGAAGCGGACGAGAAGCTGCTGAAGGAGACCGAGGCGAAGAAGGCGGAGCTCAAGACGCGGGAGCCCCTGCCGACGAAGGAGATCCTGGCGTGCACGGCCGAGATCAAACGGCTACGGGTAGCGATCCGGGCGTCGAAAATACGGGGCGCGCCGGTGCAGGACTGGTGCCCGCGGTGCTTGAATCGGGAATTCGATTTCTTCCCGAAGGATGTTTGGCCGACGCCGTAATAGTAGTGGTCTTTCTATTTGTCTCAAACGCAAGGTTACGACTGGGACTTGAGGGGCTGGGGAATGGCCGCGCTGACCGCCGCCGCGCGGGAAGAGTAGAGGCTCACGCGCGGCGGCCGCCGCGCGACGCCGTCCGCTTCGCGCCGACGGCCGTTCCCGAGCCCTTGTACTTGACATCGCGGCGCGCCTTGCCCAGCTCGACCTTCTTCACGCGCTGCGCGAAGAGGAGCGACTTCTCCGTCTCGGCCGCGAACTCCGGCTCCGGCGACACGTTCGTGAGCACGAGCGCCTTGCCGTGCGAGAGCGCGTCCGTGAGCAGGTAGGTGAGCTTCGAGTTGCGGAACGGCACGTGGGACCGCTTGTCGACGAGTGCGTCGAAGACGTTCGTGAGCGCCGACAGCGACCGACTGATGCCCCCCGCCTCCTTCAGCTGCTCGCCGACCACGCCCGACTTCTCGACGCGCTCGCTGCCCGCGAGGTCGACGAGGGTCAACGTGCTGTGGACGACCTCGCCGAGGACCTCGTTCGTGCCCTTCAGAAGCAGCACGAGGACGGCGTGCGACCGCGACGAGACGTCGTTCGTGTTTGTCGACGCGACCGAGCGCCGCGGCGCCGCGGCCGCCAGGAGGTTCTGGACGGCGTCCGCGTCGGTGGGGTCCACCGAGATCTGCGTCGCGCCCTCGACGTAGAGGCGCTTCGTCTCCGAGTGGCGGCGGATCCCTAAACTAGACAGCGCCTTGGAGCGCCCGTAGTCTGCGTTCCTCCTTGGCACCAACAAGTCCCAAAGCACGTCATTATAGTAGATCTCCACGTACTGGACTATCATCTCGTAGTCCCAGCCGGCGGTCGCGCGCTGCACGCAGTAGGCCCCAATCTGCTCCACGGCCCGCGGCACTATGCCCCGACCCGCGCCCGACGCGTCGCCCTGCATGGTGAACGTCTTGCCGGCGCCGGTTCCACCGTATGCCATCACGAGGGCATCATTGTGCAAGTCGAGCGCAGATGCCACAAACGGAGCGACCTGATCGTAGGCTATTTTCTGATCGGCGTCGGGCCCCAAGACCCGGTCGAACTCGAAGAGCTTCGACCCGTCGGCCGTAGCGAGAACCACCTGCTGGCCGTCGGACATGGGCTTGAGGGCGGACACGGCCGGATCATCAGCATCGCCCGTCGTTTTCTTGATGCGGATCACAACCTCGAGGGCGCCACTGGCATCGAGGTACTTTCTATAGAGATTCTGGATCTTGACCGCGGCTTCGGCCAGCGCCTCGTCCATCTTCACGATTTGCCGCGCCTGGTCCTCGCACTTTTTATTGGCGTCCCCCTGGCGCGAGTACATCTGGAGCCGGTCCTCCTGCTCCTTCGCGCGCTCACCGTGCGCCTCGAGTTCCTTCTCTTTCGCCTCGAGTGCCCGCCCCTGCTCCTCGATCTTCAGATTGGCCCGTCGGAGGTCCGCGACTTTGATCGAGAGCGCCGCGGCATTGGAATCGTTCTCGGCTAGCACCGCCGCAAACGCAGCGCCTGCGGCCGCGTCCTGCTCGCCCCGCAGTTCCTTGACGGCCGCCGACCGCTCCGGCTCTGCAGCCGCCGCTGGGCCCTGGTTCTCCGTGTTCGCGTCGCGGAGCGGCCCCGGGAGCGGCGCCTTCAAAGATAATTTGCGAGAATTCCGTCGCGCAGACAGCACGCCCATTCTCGGCTTCCGCACGGACGGCGTCGGCTCGTCGACCTGCTCCGGTTGCTCCGGTTGCGCCGCGCGCGCGGCGGCGGCCTTGAGTTCCGACTCGAGCGTGGCGCACTTCGCGCGTGATGCTTCCAGCTTCACGCGTAGCTTCTCCCGCTCCGTCGCCGCCTTCGCGCCCGCCGCTTCGGAAGCGCAGCGCGCCTCATCTGATTTCTCCTCACGCGCCTTCAGTTCGGCGCGCGTCGTCTCGAGCCGCGCCACCGACTGGCGCGCCTCGGCCGTGAGCGTGTCGTAGTCCCGGCGCAGCGCCGCTTCCGCGACCGCGGCCGCATCTAACTTTTCCGCGAGCGCCGTGGCCTTGACTTGGGCCTCGGCGAGCTCCGCCAGCGACTTGTCCTTCGCGGCCAGGTCCCGGCGCAACGCGTCGTTCTCCGCCTTCACGGTATCTAACTTGTCCTCGAGCGCCGTCGCCTTGGTCTTGGCGCGCTCGGCCGACTGACGCCGCAAATTCATCTTCTCGTTCGCCTCGTCGATCTTCTCCTTCGCGCGCGCCTCTTTCATCTTCTCGATCTCCTTGTCCTTCGCGGCGACCAGCGCGATGGCGTCTTCCTTCTGCGTGAGCTTGGACTCGAGCGTGGCAATCGTCGTGCCTTGCGCGGCGATCGCCTTGTCCGCGTCCGCGAGGTCCTTCTTGTTTGTGTCCCGCACCAGCGCCAGGTCGTCGAGTAGCTTCTCGAGCATCTCTTTTTCCGCCTCCACGGCGGCGAGGCGCTCCGCCTTCTTGCGCAACTCCTTGTTTTCTGCGAGGCCTGCGCGAACAACCACCGGTCGATGGCGGCGAGTCGACCCGATAATTCAGCACGCCGGCGCCGTGAAGTGATAGGCGCCGTGAATTTGATTTCCGCACGGCGAAAGGCTGCGTTGCAGCTCCTCTTCCTTTGTTTCTTTGTTAAACGTGAGGACTCGCTCGACGATTGCTTCCTTGCCCTTTTGCTCGCGCACATCGCCCTCGACGTTCCTCATCCTAATCTTGAGGTCGTTTTTATCTTGCTTCCTCGCGTCCAGCTCCTTCTTCACGAACGCGTTCGTGGTGTTCTGCTCCGCGTTGAAGGTCTTCTGCCCCGAGATGAAGGTCTCATGCTCGGCGAACTGTGCGACGTGCGCGGCGTGCAAATCGCCGTGCGTGGCGAGCTGCTCGCCGTACGTGTCGACGGTCTGCGCGAGGTTGTACCCGTCCAGCAATTCTTTCGCGGTTTTGACTCGCTCTTGTGCCTCGTGCCAGCCCGCGAGAAACTTGCCCGCTTCCTTCTGCATGTCCCCGAGCGCCTTGGTCATCTTGACGAGGCCCGGTTCGAACTCGTCGTGGTCCTTCAGCTGCGTCAGCACCTCCTGGTCTAGCTTGGGCAGCGCGGCCCAGACGACATCATCTTCGGTCTTCTCGAGGAGCTTGAAACGGGGCGCGACGACCCCCAAGGCCTTGTCGTAGTCGATATCGGGAGTCCTCATCGTGTGTGGGCCTGCGTTAACGTGGGGGTTGTACGGCGTCGGTCGGGACAGCGCGGGGATGGGAACTATGCGCGTGGCTGCCCGAAGTTGCGCGCAGCGCGCCTCTCGGGATTTGCTCGACGCTCTGCGTGGCCCGAGGCAGCCCGCGCGGGCGCGTACGCGGGGGGATCGGCGTGTGTTGGCTGCCCATTTGGGGCGCGCGCGCTGCGCCTCTCGACGCGCCGCGCGTCCCGGGGCAGCCGCGGATGTGTGCGCGGGGGTGGGGCGGCGGACTCTCGCGCGTTGTTGTCACCTGGTTGCTGTTGTGTTGCTCGGTCTATTGTCGTCGATCGAGGCTCTCAAACAACGGTGCCAGCTCTAGCTCGGCCCAGCAACTCGTCTCAGGTATACGTCAGCCGGTTCCGCCGAGCCTGCCTGGCTGATAGAGCCCCTAACATTTTTTTTGGGAGAGCAAGGTTTGAACTAGTGCTTTTGAACGCTAGCTCAGCTGGCTGGCCCAAGTGCGCAAAGTGCGACCAGTGCGCGCTCTCGCTGCGAAGCCATTGCGCAGTACATCGCTCTGAATCACGCGCCGGCTGTGCGCCCAAGCTTTGCGGCCAAAAAGCTGGTTTACAGGCAGGAATGGTGCGCTTTGCCGTGCTGCTCCTCACCGCAGCGCGCGCGCTGCAGTTGCCCACGGTGCCGCCTCGACGGAGCGTCGTCGTTGCTGCGGCGCCGGGCGAGCCGCTGTTTCTCTGCGAGGAGCACGTGGCGATCGCGCTCGACGAGTGCAAACGGGAGTACGACGCCGTGTTCTACCAGGACGAATCTTTGAAGATGAGCGGTGACGTGCGCTGCGCGGGCATCGACGGCTGCGACGTGACGCTGCGACTGGTCGGGATGTTTTGGCACTCGCGGCGCGTAGTCTACGATCTCGCGGCGAACTACCTGCAAGCGCGAATCCCCGAAATAGCGGACGTCGTGCCGTTTTCCGACGCGAATCTCGACGACGCGCGAACCCAGGCACCCGACTTCAACGGCGATCGCCAGGAGATCGAGCGCCTCGGCCACGAGCCATGGGACGCCGTCACGATCCGGCATAGGCCGGGACTGACGTTCACGGGGTATAATGTGTACTAGTGGTAGTGGCTTTTATTATATAATGTGTATTAGTGGTAGTGCCTCTTATTACGAATCGGCTATCGCGCCAGAGGCAGGATATCAGGCCCGGCTTGTCCGGGCGGACTACAACAATATCAGGCAGCGCAGGAGGTGAGTCAGGCGTTGGTGGCGTCGCAGAGCGGCGAGGTCCGGGGACAGACAGCCGCGGACAGATGTTTGTTCTTGGCCATCTCCCTGGCGAGCTTGTCTCTTACAGTAGCGAGCCTATTTTTCAAAGGTATTATAGTCATCTCCTCAACAAACTTCTTGTCAGCCTCCTTCTTTTTGATCTGTTCTTTGTACGCGGCGATCTCGGCTCTGGCCGCCGCGAGCTCCTCGTCGCGCGCGGCGAGGTCGCGTCGCAGCACCTCGTTGGCCACCATGAGATTAAGTCTCGTCGGTGCTGCCTCGCCGACGGCCGTCTCGATCTCGTCGTCGTCTTCAGCCTTCGCTTTCGGCGGCGGCGCGAAGTTGTCGTCGTCGTCGTCCTCGCGCCGCCGGCCTCGCCGCCGCGCCCGGCGGGCGGGGGCCTTGGCCTTGGGGGGCGTGGTCTCAGCTGCTTCCGTGGTCTCGGCCGGCGCCGGTGCGGCCTTCTTCGGGCGGCGGGTGGCGGCCTTGGCCTTGGGCACGTAGGGCGCCTTTCCAATCGCCTCGTCGTAAAGTTTATAAACGGCCTTGTTTTGGGCCTCGAGCTCCTTGAGGAACGCCGCCTCGAAGTCCGCGGAGAGCACGAACTCGAGCACGCGGCGCTCCGCGACGTGCGAATTGCCCCGGAGTTTCGACCAGCAGTCTTTGACAAAATCCTCGGGTTGGAAGCCCGCGCCAGCGTATATCTTCTGCCCGTGCTTCTCGAGCAGCTTCCAGAAGTACTTCACGTTGCGCTCGAACGTTGTCAAGACCCCGTTGTTTCCATCGAGCGAGGTCTCGACGTGCGCGACAAATTTTTTGATGGACCCGTGCGTGACCCGGCGCTCGTCGGGCGCAGCCAGGAACGCCCACATTCGCGCAACGTCGGTAAACCCGCAGGCGATGATGAGGTCGTACCCGGCGGCGTGCTGCGCCTTGCGAGCCTCGCTCAACTTTTTGCTGTACGTCTCCACATCGCGCGCCGCGTCCTTGTCATCCTGGATCGCCTTGAGGGCGCGCTCGATGTAGCGCGCGCTGGCCGGCCCGGGATCGTCCATCTCCGACCGCGGGGGCAGCTTCTTGGGCAGCAACGAGGAGTCGTTTTTTCGTTGCTGCTCTCTAGTCCGGTGCTCTCTAGTCTACCTTATCACAATGTGCTACGGTTCTGCAGTTTTACAGGCAACGTGCGACCCGTACGAATGAGGTCTCAAGTTTTTTATACAAAAATGAATTGAATTAATTCATTTTTTTTGCTTTAAGCTTTGTCTGCCGTGGCTTTGAGACGCCATAGCGAGGCCGTGGAACAAGCTGCGCTGTTAAAAAGCGCACAAATACTCGGCAACTAATCCACACAAGACCCACAGCAGAGCGCTTTCGTTCCCAACGCCGAGAGACCGCAGTAATCCACCTCAAGCTTCGCAGCCAAACCATGGCCGCCGCCGACTCATACTTCATGAACCGCCTCCCCAAGAGGCTCACAGAGCTGGACATCGGCGCGAGCGGGCTCGTCAACCGGCTGCGGCGCGCGAGCACCACTACAAAAGTGGCCGTCTGCGTGTCCGTCGCGGGCGGCGTGCTGCTGTTGCGCAGAAGACGCAAAGGCAAGCCGCCGGCGCCCCAGCCGACGTCGTACTACTGCCACGAGCCTCCGGTGAAGTCGTTCGTGACCGGCGCGGACTCGGCGCTCGTGCGCGGCATGTCGTCGTCAGGCCCCGGCGCCCGAGACCCCGAGACCGTGCCCGAGCTCCTAAAACGCCTGGAGACGAACACCACGAAAGCCGTCGCCTGGGAGGAAAACGGCGCGTGGCGGGACCTGACGTGGGCGGACTACGTCTCGCTCGTGAGGCAGGCGGCCCGCGCGATGATCGCGATAGGACTGGAGCCGCGGAAGGGCGTCGGTATTATTGGCTTCAACTCGCTCGAATGGGTCGTGGCCGATTTAGGATGCGTCCTGGCCGGCGGGCTCGCGGCGGGCATCTACGCGACGAACGGCGCTGACGCCGCGCGCTACGTCCTCGACCACTCGTCGGCGCAGCTCTGCTTCTGCGACGGCGCCGCGCAGCTCGAGAAGATCCGCAAGGCCGCCGAGACGCTGCCGAAGCTCAAGAAGATCATTGTGTGGGGCGGCGCCGACGCGGACAAGGCCGCGAGAAGATCCGACGCGTTGACGTGGCGCGGTTTCCTGAACAATGCACCCGAGGATCCGGCGCCGCTGCTCGAGCGCGTCGACGAGGCGGAGCCAGGCCACGCGTGCACGCTGATTTATACCTCCGGTACTACTGGCACGCCGAAAGCCGTCATGATCAGCCACGACAACGTCACCTGGGTCGTGGCGTCCTTCGCCGCGTTTGTGGGCTTCGGCAAGGCCCCGGGCGGCCGCGAGCGCCTCGTGTCCTACCTTCCGCTCTCGCACATTGCCGCCCAGGCGATCGACATCTATGCGGGACTGGTGTGCACCGGGAGGGACGGCGTCCAGTCCTCTACGTTATATTTCGCGCGGCCCGATGCGCTGAAAGGATCCCTCAAGGACACGTTGAATGCCGTGCGGCCGACTGTCTTCTTCGGAGTACCGCGCGTGTGGGAGAAGTTCGCCGAAGCTCTACAAGCCGTGGGCGCGAAGACCACGGGCGCGAAGAAAAAGATTTCCACGTGGGCCAAACGAGTGGCGCTGCGGCGCTATTTGGCCGGTGTTGCGGGCGCCGAACCTGAAGACCTCGGTCTAGTTGGTGGTGCTTTAAGCTCCGTCGAGGAGGTTTTCGCGGACCTCATCCTGAAGAAGGTCCACGCGGCGATCGGGCTGGACAAGGCGCATTTTGTCTTTACCGGCGCCGCACCTATCGCGACGTCGACGCTCGAGTACTTTGGGAGTCTCGGCCTGATCGTGAACGAGTGCTTCGGCATGAGTGAAGTGTCTGGACCGGCGACAGTCACGATGGACTCGTACTACAAGCCCGGGTGGTGCGGCGTCGCCTCACCGGGCGTCGAGATCCGCCTGGAGCATGTTCAAGGGCGCGACCGGGACGGCGAGGGCGAGGTCTGCTTCCGAGGGCGCTCGGTTATGCTAGGCTATCTCCGCGATGCCGAGAAGAGCCTCGAAGCTATCGACGCGGACGGTTGGCAGCATAGTGGCGACGTCGGGCGCTTCGAGGTGCTGCAGGACGGCGCGGCGCCGATGCTCAAGATCACAGGCCGCATCAAGGAGCTGCTGGTGACGGCCGGTGGGGAGAATGTCGCCCCTGCACCAATCGAAGACGACCTCAAGCGACGCCTGCCGGGCGTGTCCACAGCTGTAGTTATCGGAGATCGGCTCAAGTTCCTCTCGGTCCTCTTCACGCTGAAGCAGCGACCCAACGAAGATACGTTCGACGACGTGCTGGTGGGCGCGGCCGCGGCGGTCAACCCGGAGGTTACGACTGCCGTCGCAGCGGCGGACGATGTGGTTTGGCGGCGAACTCTACAAGCGGCCATCGACGACTACAACAAAGAGAAAGCCACGTCCTCGGCGCAGCGCGTCCAGAAGTTCGCCATCCTGCCGCTCGACTTCTCCCAGGCGACGGGAGAGCTCACGCCGACGCTCAAACTCAAAAGGGCGGCAGTCGTCAAGAAGTACGCGGACGTGCTCAGACGGCTCTACGGCGACGCGCAAAGCGCTGTGTGGTTCCCTTGACGCGTTCCCCCTTGTATGCACGACCTAAGAGACGCTTGTGTGACTTGTGACAGAACATTTATTACGCGCAACACGAACTCGCCCCATCGATCATCGCCCCGAGCGAGTCCGCGTACTGGTCGCTCGGCTGTCGCCATCGCACGTCGAGCATCATGGTCGGCTCGGGCGCCTCCGGCGCTGGCGCGAGATCTCGCTCGATCACTCTCCCACCCGACGCCTTCGCCGCGGCGACGAACGCGTCGCGAGCGCCTTCCGCACGCCCAGCCCGCGGATCCGCAATCAAAGCGCGCGGCGCCAGGCGCTTGCAAGCCTCCGCTAACGCTTCCATATCCCGCGCATCATATAAAACGTCCGACGCCAGGACGACGTCGAACGTTGGAGACTCTCCATCTTCGTCCCCGAAGGTCGCAAGGCGCGCGGTCACGTCGGCGCATCCGTTTAGCTGGGCGGTCGCCATCGCGCAGTGCAGAGCTTCCGGTTCGCGATCCACAAACTCTACAGATTTTGCACCAGAGAGCGCCGCAGCGATGCCACACACGCCGAGCCCAGAGCCCAGCTCGACGACGCGCTTGTCTTGCACGTCGGCGGGCGTCGCGCGCACGTGCTGGGCGAGGCAGGCCGCGCTGTCCCACACGTCGGCCCAGGACGGGTCCGGGTCGCGCGCCGCGCGGCCCGTCGACGAGTACCACTCCCAGAGTGCGTCCGAGGACGGGGGCCGCACGAGGCCCTTCGGCAGACCGAAGCGCGTGCCGTCGGCCTGGACCATCGGCGGCAGCGTGCGGCAGCCTTCGTGCAGGTGCAGGTCGCCGACGGCCGCGCACCAACTGCGCCGCGGCGCGACGAGGCGGCGGCCCGCCGCTAGGAGGAAGAGGAGCATTTATGCGACTGCTGCTGCTGTGCGAAAGAGGCGCAGCCGAGCTCTCGAGAGGCGGAGCCGAGCAAGCTAGCGTTCAAAAGCACTAGTTTAAACTTTGCTCTCCCAAAAAAATTGTTAGGGGCTCTACCGGCCGGGCAGGGCCGGCGGAACAGGCTGACGCATACCTGAGACGAGTTGCCGGGCGAGCTAGAGCTGGCACCGTTTGTTGAGAGCCTCGATCGACGACAATAGACACGAGCAACACAACAGTAACCAGGTGACAACAACGCGCGAGAGCCCGCCGCGCCACCCCCGCGCACGCATCCGCGGCTGCCCCGGGACGCGCGGCGCGTCGCGAGGCGCAGCGCGCGCGCCCCAAAATAGGCAGCCAAAACACACGCCAAAAAAACCGCGTACGCGCCCGCGCGGGCTGCCCCGAGTCGCGCGCAGCACCGGGAGCATCTCAAAACACGCGACCCGCGCGCCCGCGGGGCAGCCACGCGCGTAGTTCCCATCCCCGCGCTGTCCCGACCGACACCGTACAACCCCCATGTTAACGCAGGCCCACACAAAATGACGACTCTCGACATCAAGCCCGACACAGCCAAAGAGATTTCCAAGCCAGCTTTGACGTGGGACCAGAGGATGGACCAGGATGACGAGAAGCTGCGCGCCTTTAGGGCCTTGCAAAAAGATGACCTGTTCATGGCCCTAAACGCGCTTGCGCGTGCGGGCGATGACGAGATCAAGACGGTCTATGAGGCCGGACGCGATTATATTTTGTCCAAAGTGGACCGGGCCGTTCCTTGTACGGTCTACACGGTGTACTTCCTCGAGGCCTACAAGGATCGGCTCGAGAAATGCAATGCGCAGCTCAAGGTCAAGTTCTACGCGGAATCGAAGATTGAAGCACGCGACGAGGAGCTCGCCGCCGAGCTCGCCGCGTGCAAGGAACAACTCAAGGCCAAGGACGCCAAGCTCAAGTCTGCGGAACATTTCAACGAGACGCTATGTGATAAGGTCAAGGTCCATGACGTTAGGATCAACGCCCTCGAAGATTTTTTCAAGACCAATATTAAACCCTTACTAGAAGTACACGCTAAGATCAAGGCCAAGGAAGCTCTGCTGAGCAAGGCGAAGGACGAGAATCACGAGTTGAGAATGGAACTGGTCGCGTTAAAGGACGAGCTCTCCATTTATTCGAATGGAACGGATCGCATGTTGGCCAAGTTTGCGAAGGGCCAGCCCCTCGCCTGCGTGACCAACGCCTAACAGACTCACCCCCGGGGCGTAAACATCAGAAGAAAATAACACAAACTTCGAATTAAAGACCGCCCGAGACCGGGCGTAGTAGGTAGGAAATAAATTGGTCAGCCGCGCTCGGCCGGCGCGGACCGCGCGCGCGTCGACGAGTACAGGCGCAGCGCGTGGCGGTACCGCGCCGCCGCGGCCGCGGCGGCGGTTGCCTCTGGCGGCGGCGACTGCGACGCCGCGTCTTCAAGCCGCGAGAACGAGTCCTTGCGCACGAGCGGCGCGATGCCGAAGGCGCCGCGGTGGTCCTGGAGCAGCTTCATGACCGCGGCGCGGTCGACGCGCGGCGGCTCGGCCGGAACGTGATCCGCCTCGGCCTCGTCGCAGGCCAGCGCGGCCTCGCGGTCCTCGCGCGCGTGCTCGACCGCTTGTAAAGCCGCGTCCGGCGTCGCTGCGAGGCGCGCGACGACGTCCGCGGGCAGGCCGTGCCGCGACGCCGATGCCACGGCGAAGCGCACGGCGCGGATGCGCGCGAGGCGCTTTTTGGTCGTGTCGTCGTCGCACAAGCCCCGCCGGCTCTCGCCGAAGGCCGTCGCCGGTGCTGAGGGCGCGTCATCACCCAAATCCCGCACAACATCTAACGACTCGATGAACCACGCCGCATCTCTGATGGAACGGTACTCGGCGCGCGTGTACCACGTCGCCGCCCGTTCTTTGGACGAGGCCGGCTCGAAGCACGCAATCCCTTTCACGAGCGGCTCGCCGAACCGCACCCGCCCGTTCACGCGCGGCGGCGGCGCCTCGCCGCCGATCGTCGGCACGCTCGACGACCGTCTCGTGAGTAGGGCGAAGCCCCTCTCATCCATCCGCTGGCCGCCGGACCGGCTGTCGTGGAGCGAATTATCCAAACCCTCGTCGTCATTGATGGGCTCCGGGGCCTTCGCGGCGGCCGCCCGCGCGAACTGCGCCGAGAGGCCGCCCATGCCGTTCGCCACGCCCGACAGGTGGTCCGTCGTCCTTTCCAACGCGCCGACGTCCGCGAAGGAGGTCGACGTCACGGGCCGCCCGTCGTAGTTCGTCCCGTCCAGCTCCGCCCGCTCCACGTCCGCCACGCTCTCGTCGCCCCAGGACGCGCTGACGCCCCAGCTCCTCCTCCGAATTGCTTCGTCCTCGTCCTCGTCCTCGGAGTACAAGGCCATGTCGTCCTCGCTCGTCCGCAGCATGAGTCGTCGTAAATCGCCGGCGGCCTCCGACTCGTCGGCGCTCTTCGGTGCAGGCTTCGGGCTCCGCGGCTGGTAGAGCTCGACGTCCCCCTTACTGGTGGACCGTCTCACGATCCTCCCCGAGTAGTTCGTGTCGTCGAGCTCGTCGTCGCCACTAAAAAACGTCGAGGTCGACCGGTGCGACGGGCCCGGCGACGGCGCCGGCGACTCGTCGCGTCTTCTCGGCGACGGCGTCTTCGACTCGGCGACGTCGATCCACTGCCACGAGCCCCCTTCGTTGCGCGGCGTCTCGGCGATGGACTGCTGGCGATGCGAGCTCCAGAGGCCCGGCCTAGGGGCTGCTACCTCGACTTCGAGCGGAGCGGACCGCGGCGGCGACGCCGTGCTTGGCCGCCGCGGGCTCGTCGCGGCCGTGCGCTGCCGCGGCGTCGCCTTGGGCGTGCAGCAGGCGAACATTCTTGCGTCGTTGACGTGCGCGCCGCGCGGCTCAGTTTCTCGCTCTACCACTGCCTCGGTCGGCTCTGTCTCGCCGAAGCGGTGGATGGCTCGTCGCGCGCTATCAGGCTAACACGAATGCGCACTCCTGACGACGGCTGGCGCTGCCGTGAGCCCCGAGGGCGAGGGCTAGGCTAAAAGGGCTGGGCTGCTCTTCAAAGGAATGAAGGAGGGGGTACTTAAGTACTAAGTACAAGTATACATATAGTACCCCTTGCATGTAGCTGAGGACGGGCGACGCTGCCGCAGCGGTGCTCTCACACCTCTGCATCGACGCGCATCGGCAGTCGCACTGCACCGCATCAACGCTACCCGCTCGCCGGACGCCAGTCGACCGAACCTGCAGTGCTGCACAGGAGCTGCACAGGAGCTGCAGCAATACAGCACCAGCCGACGAGCAGCACAGCTGCCAGAGATAACAGCAGTAGCACAAAAACAACAGTAAAGAAAAAATGGTCCGCATCAAGAAGCGCGGCGCCCGCGCGGCCGGCGGCCCGAAGCAAAAGCAGCAGAAGCGCCTGTTCAAGAAGGTGCAGGTCAACGAGCCGGAGATCGCCAAGCACTGGGACCCGCGCCGGAGCCGGGGCGCGAACCTCGCGCGCATGGGCCTGAGCGACGATGCCAATAGAGCGGTGGGCGTGCCGGGCGCGGCGCCTTCTCGCGTCGAGGTCGCGCAGGAGGTGAAGCTGCGGCTCGTGGACGCGCCGCAGCCGGCGCGGCTCATGGACGTCGACAAGAACACGAATAAGAGGAGGAACCCGATGAGCGAGGAGAAGCAGAAATATATCTCTACGTTGATGAAGAAGCACGGCCGGGACTTCGCGAAGATGGCGCGGGACCGGAAGCGGAACCCGCAGCAGTTTACCTCGACAAAGCTGCGGAAGATGGTTGAGCTCTACGAGAGCCTGAGCGACGACCAGCGCGTCGTCGTCGCGTAATGTTTGTGTATCGAGATTTATCTAGCTTAACTCGCCGGCGGAGATCTATTCGGAGTGTTTTTGCTTGCTGAAAGAGCTAGGCCGCCTAGCCGCGGCCCGCCGCGGGGGTTTTTACCGGTCGCGTCGAGGCGTCTCAGTCAGAGAAACCCGTTTTGATTTTTGATCGCGGCCGCGATTCACTTCACGAGTCAATTCTAAATGGCGATACCCCTGGAGTCCTTCCAGAGCTCGAGATACCCGAACACACGCATGATGTGCGCTTTTGTGAGAAGCCTAGCCAAAACGCGACGGGACTGCGGGCTGCAACCCATTAGTGGTGCTCCGGCAGGTACGAAAGGTCTCTGGCGGCGGCAGCAAGCGGCACCAGCCCCGGCTAGTCTACGGGCTCGAAAACTCCCTTGCCGTGAGCATTCGGCTGCCATCTTGATTCAGGCGCCGGCTCAGCCGCAGAAGGCGATGTTCGTCGCGTGTGTAAAGGGCGATGTGGACGCTTTGCGGCTGTTGCTGGACCAAACGGCGGTGGTCGATCGGGCGGACAAGAACGGCGTGACGCCGCTGCTCGTCGCCTGCCTGAACGGCCACGTCGACGCGGCGCGGCTGTTGTTAGATAAAGGCGCGGATGTCGATCGGGCGGCGGAGGACGGTGGGACGCCGCTGTTGATCGCCTGCCAGCAGGGCCACGTCGACGCGGCGCGGCTGCTGCTGAACAACGGTGCGGAGGTCGACCGGGCGAAGAAGGACGGCTCTACGCCGCTGTATATCGCCTGCCTGGTTGGCCAGATCGACGCGGCGCGACTGCTGCTGGACAACGGCGCGGAGGTCGATCGGGCGACGGAGGACGGCTGGACGCCATTGCTCGTTGCCTGCTGGAAGGGCCACATCGACGCGGCTCGGCTGTTGCTGGAGAAAGGCGCGGAGGTCGATCGGGCGGAAAAGGACGGTATGACGCCGCTGTACATCGCATGCCAGGAGGGCCACGTCGACAAGGTGCGGTTATTGCTGAACAAAGGCGCCGACGTCGATCGGGCGACGTTGAACGGCGTGACGCCTCTGTCCATGGCAGAATATCTGGGCCACTCTGCCATCGTCGCGCTGCTTGAATCCCGGGCCGTCGGTGGCGCCAGCGCAACCGTCACGCCCGACGGCACGCCGGAGAAAAACGCCAGTCCCGCGCCGGCGCCCGCCGCGAACAGTCGGGAGAAGGAGGAAGCGGCAGAGCGAGCGGCGGCGGCACTTCTACGCGAGGAAGAGGAGGAAGCGGCGGCGCGGGCCAAAAAGCAGGCTAGAAGAAGGAAAAAGAAGAAGAAGCGGCGCGGTGCTGCTGTGGCCGACGAGGAGAAGAACGACTTGCCCGATATCGCGCCGCTCGCGTTCGAAGAATCGAAATCGCCGGAGGTCGCCGCGCCGCCGCCGCCGCCCGGGAAAGTCCTCGTCGACGAGATTCTCGACGACGCCGCCGCCGCTGCGGCCCGCGCGGCAGCGCTCGAGACGTCCCTCACGGCGCACCAGGAGGAGCTCCGGCGACTGAAGGGCCTATTGACCGAGCGTGGTATTCCGGACGGGTTGGTCTGTCCGCTCAGTCTGGAGATTTACGAGGACCCCGTGATGGCCGCGGACGGCTTCTCGTACGAACGGCGCGAGATCGCGACCTGGTTCGCCCGGGGCAAGCGCACGTCGCCGAAAACGAACGAGGAGCTGCCCCACACGTTCCTTACCCCCAACCACGACCTCAAGGCCATGTGCCAGGACTTCCTGGCGGAGGTCCGAAAGTTCGAATTATAAGATTACTAAACTTACACATCCAGGGCTACCTCGCCCATCCGCGCCGCCAGCACGCCGTCACCATCGTCTAAGAAGCGCGGCTCCAATTCGACGAACACGAAGCCTTCCCTTTCGTACGCGCGCCGCACGGACGCCCTATCGACATCGCAGGTGCCCACGACGGCGCCGCCGCTGCCATGATAGTACCATCAGTCACTTATAACACATCAAGGCTCCCCGCGCCCGGGCGCCGCGCGCTCGACCGGCGACAGCAATTTCGCGTCCGTGGAGAGGACGTACTCGTTGCGTTGGAGCTGGAGCTCGACGTCGCCGGGCAGCTTGCCGCGGCCGGCGTACGCGAAGCGAGCGACGGCAACCATGGAGGCGAGGACGATGGCGACGGCGCGCGGCTGCGAGTTCAGAACGTCTCGGCCACCCGGTGCGACGTAAAGGAGTAGCGCCGCGTTCGTGAGGACGGCGGCGGCGCCAAGCGCCAGGCACGCACTGGTATAACTCTGAATCGTCGTCGCATCTAAGGTCGGAACCGGTCGGCGCTTCGCGACTCGCTTGAGCAGATCGACCTTGGCCTCGAGCACGTTGCTCAGCAACGCGAGGAATGGCGCCACCGGCGCGGCCACGAAGAACAATACGCAGTAGCCGAACTGGATGGTAAGCTCTAAATAATCGTCGAGCGTGTCGACGTCCGGCGACTCCGCGAGCGCGTATTGCCGAGCCGCGGTGGCTGCGGCGTCGCCGCTCGGCGCTGCCGCTGCCGCCGCCGCAGCCGCGCGTGTCGCCGGGCCGAGCTCGAGGAAATTCCCGAGCGTCAGCTGCACGGCGAAGAAGACGACCGCCGTGTGGCCCACGGCCGCGAAGCAGTCGCGGTGGCCGCAACCGCCCTCGAGCGCGCGCTGGACGAACGCGACATAGAAGATCTGGGCGTACGAGTTGATCACGCGAAACGCCAGCACGTACTCGAAGATGGCGCTGTCGTAGTCGGCGTCGAGGGCGTGGTTCTCCGCGTCGGCGCGCCTCGTCGCCGTGTCCATGGCTCGTTCATTCAGGAAGAAAACGGCGACGGCGTTTCCGACCGTGGCAATAACTCCGGGCAGACCAGCGGCGCGAAGGCGCACGTGCACGGCCTTCCAGAATACGACGTTCAATAGCGCGATCAACACGTCAAACGCGAGGCGGATCCGCGAGACGAAGCGCCGCCGGGCGCGTACCGAGGCCGGGAAGTAGGACCGATCGGCGCGGCCGGTGACCGGGTCGAGCGCGCCGGCGGCACCGCGAAACGCCGCTCGCGTCGCGCGCGGCCGCACGCCGCGGAGCTTCGCCGCCGCCAGCGTGCCCCAGCGTAGAGCGAGCCGACCTTCGCGCGCGTGCCACGACCGGCAGAGGAGCGCGCACCATACCGCCATGAATGCGGCCGCTCCGAGCCGCGCGAACGCGATCACGGGGCCCGCCGGCGCGCACGCGACGACGCCGACCAGGGCCAGGCCCGCCGCGGCGAGGTAGCGCAGCCAGCTCGCGTAGTGGCTGAGCCAGCAGAAGTAAAAGGCGACGCTCGAGCCAAAATACCGCGCGAGGTCCCGCTCCGCGAAGCGCCCGTAGGAGCGGCTCCACACGGTGTGCACGCCGTCCTTCGCCGCCTCCGCCAAGGCCGCGCGCCGTCCCTCGTCGTGCAGCGGGAACGCTGCGACGGCATCTCCGCGAGCGACGAGCGAAGGCAGGCCTGCCCACGGCGCACCGTTGCCTTCGTCGACCGCCGCCGCGGCGCCGGCCGCGCGCCAGGCGAGCGCCACGCGCAGCGGGTCTTCGAGCGCGTCGCTCGCGAGGAGCGGTGCGAGCGCAGCCTTGTAGGGGGCGTGTAGAAAGGCGTACGGATTGCGTGCGCCCTTGCCGCCGCCGAAACCGAAGATAGATCCGAGGAGTCGGCGGCACGAGCCCCGTTCTCCCCGCGTCTTGCCGAGAGACGCGTCGCCGCAGAAATACGTGCTGCTCGCCGCCGCGCGCCGCTGGAGGGCTGCGGCATCGATTGGTGCCGTAGCACCGTACGCCTCAGCGACGCGTGCGGCCTCGGCGTCGGGGAGGCGCACGAGAATGACCGAGCGGTCATCAGCGCCACTGACGCGTGCCGTCTCGAGGCCCGCGTCAGCAAAACGCGTCAGCAGGCGTTTGGCCACGCTTTCCGCATCTGTCAATCGCATGGCTGTGGCAGCACCCGTGTCTAGCACGACGGCTACGTGGTACTGAGCCATCTTTTGCGGCTGAGGTATGAGCAGGGTATCTAAATAAGCGCAGTTTGCGTTGCTGTGAGCACTGAAGCCCACGTATGAGGCGAGACCTGGCCCCAAAAAACGAATGGCCCTAATCGTGAAATCCGCGCTAGCGACCTGTAAAGACACTAGCCACGCTCAGGGAAAGTACATCATTGTGGATCTAATTACAACAGAAATACAATTACTCAACAAAAAGCGATAGCTTCCCCGTCAACCAGCGCCGGCAATCGGCGCCGTCTCCCCTCAACTCTACAGCCGCGTGGCCAAAGTTCGGAGGCGGCGCGTAGTTGGCGTGCAGCGTGACGCGCCGGCCATTCACTAGTTCGGGGACGACGGAGAGGCGCTGCGACTCGCGCTCCGTCTCCGAAAAGCTATACGCGCCGTCGACAAACGCCACGCTCACGCCGCCGTCGTCGCCACTCGCCACGTCGCAGACGCATGCGTCGTCGGCTTCAAGAGGCACAAAGCCGGCAGATGTGAGGGCGAGTGCCAGCAGCGGCTTGTTGATGCGCGAGGTGGTCGGCGCGACATCGCCGAGGCGGCAGAGTCGCAGCCAGAAACCGAGCATGGTCGCCGCCCGCCCTCGTCCTCGCGCGGTCACGTCGACCCGCGCCCCGCGCAGCAGGCTCGTCTCGGGTTCATGCGCCGAGAGGCCGAGCTCGCCGACGAGCGCGCCGTCCGACGCCAAAAAGACGAGCTTGCGCCCCCCTCGGTCCGGCTGCACGGCAGTAATGAGGTCGTCGACGGCGCCGATCACGACGGCGTGTTTCGCGCGGTGGTCGCGCGTACGCCGCGCCGGCACCGTCGAGGCGAGCAGCGCCGTCGCGGCGTCCCAGCGGGTGTCGAGGGCCGTCGTCATCGCGAACGCTGTTGTGAGGAAGACGCGCATTTCTGATCTCGATGTCGAGCGTATGCGCGCTGTAAAGTGGCAGCACTTGCACCAAGCTGTGGCAGCAATGCTGTGAGTGTGCCAAAACACCCCTCACGTACGCGCACACAAGTCCGGCGATCCAGGAGCTACAAAATTGATACCAAAGCCAGTCGTTCGCTGCAAGACACGCTGTTTTGAGGTGCTCCGCCCATGCTAGTGTGTCTGCATCACGCTAGCATTTTTCCCTGGCTTGGGCGCGAGGCTGTAGGAGCACACGAGTACCGTTTCGCGGCTCTTAAGCGCGTTTTGCAGCAGTCAGCTGCCTCGCGCCGCTGCGCAGCACCGAGGGGGCGCCCCGCGGCGAGAGCGCTGCGCTCCAGCCAAGCGACTCGGAGAGCAGCGGCCAGCGCAAGCAACGCCAAACACCCAACAAGAAAGATGATGTCCAGCATGGACGCCAGCGCCTTGTCGCGCCAGAACCAAAAGGACGTGAGGCCGATGCTCGACCTCGTCGACGAGATGCGCCGCCTCGGCGTCGAGAAGGAGGTCCCGCTGCCGCAGATCGCCGTCATGGGCGACCAGTCCTGCGGCAAGTCGTCCGTGCTGGAGGCGCTGAGCGGCGTGCCCTTCCCGCGGGGCACCGGGCTGGTGACGCGGTGCCCGTGCCAATTGACGATGAAGCGAAGTAGCGATGATCGGTGGCGCGGGTCCGTCAAGGTGCTGCGCCAGACGGGCCAGGAGCTTGCCGGCGACATGAACGTGTCCAAGGAGGTCACGTCGCCCTCGGCGCTGACCGAGGCCATCGAGGTGTGCACCACCCACTTGACCCGGGAATCGGGCACGTTCTCGTCCGACAGCATCGTCGTCGAGGTGCGCGCGCCGCACGTGCCGGACCTCACGATCATCGACCTGCCCGGCATCGTGCGGACGGCCACGGCCGGCCAGGACATGTCCGTCGTGACGCAAGTGAATAGCACGATCGAGAAGTACTTGGCTCAGGAACGGACCATCATACTGGCGATCGTGCCGGCGAACCAGGACGTGGCCACCGTCGACATTCTGGAGCGCGCGCTGCGCGTCGACCCCACGGGCGCGCGCACGATCGGCGTGCTCACCAAGCCCGACTTGGTCGGCGACGGCGGCGAAGACGAGGTCGTCGCGGTCCTCAAGAACGAGCGCAAACCGCTCAAATTGGGGTACGTCATGGTCAAGAACCGGTCGGCCAGGGAGCTCAAGCAGGGCGTGATGACGACGCCGCGCGAGCAGGAGCGCGCCGAGCGCGACTTCTTCCGGAACCACCCGGTCTGGCGCACGATGGACCCCAAGTTACTCGGCGTCGCGAACCTGACGACGAAGCTGACGGCGCTCCTCACGAAGCGCATCGTGACGCACCTCCCCGAGCTCAAGTACGAGCTCCAGGAGCACTTCAACGCCGCGGAGAAGAATCTGATACGGCTGGGCGCGCAGCCGCCGTCCGAGGAGGGCGAGAAGGCGCGGGAGATCCTGCGGCGCTTCGGCGACTACTCGTCGACGCTGATGGCGTCGGCCCGCGGCGACTACCGGAACGAGCGGCTCGCGCGCGCGGACGAAGATTCGTCGCAGCTGCGACTGCGCGCGGTCGCCGACCGCGTGTTCCGGGATCTGGAGGCGGAGATCTCGTCCCTCAAGCCGGACTTTGAGGCGCGAGACTTTACGAACAAGCTCCACCAGGAGCTCGCGGCGCTGCGGGGCCGCGAGCTGCCCGGGTTGCTGAACTCGTACTTCTTCTACGGCTTCATGGCGCGCCACGTCGAGATGTGGCGGCCCGTCATCGAGGACGCGCGCGCGGAGCTGTACGACGCCGCGCGCGACGCGGGCATCGCCCTGGCGGACGACGCCTTCCCGACGTACCCGGCCATGGCGGCGTGCGTGCGCCAGGCGGTGGGGGACTACCTCTACCAGTCGGGCGACGCGTTGATCCCCAAAATCGACGACGTGTTCAAGCACGAGGCGGACCCGTTCATCTCGAAGAACGAACTGGGCGACGCCATCCTCAAGGTGCGCTTCGACCGCTTCGACGCGGCGCTGCAGGCGGTGCTCGATCAGTGCGGCGACCATCCGCCCGAGGGCCCCGAGTCCGAGGCGCCCGCGCCCGCCAGCTCCTCCTGGGGCCTGGGCGCGTCCACCGGCGGCGACGGCGCCGTCGAGCCGCCGCCGGAAGAAGAAGCGCCGCCGCCTCCTGAAGAGCCCTCCCAGGACGAGGGGCCGCCGCAGCACCCGCTGCGGGAGATGGTCCTCGGCAAGCTCGGACGGTGGTACATGGCGAACCACGGCGTGACCAGCATGTCCATGGTCGAGGACATGCGCACCGTGCTCATCGCCTACTGGGGCGTCGCCGCGAAGCGCATCACGGAGAACGTGTGCATGTTGTTCGAGAACCACCTCCTCGCGGCGCTGGGCCAGGACATCGAAAAGGCGTTGTTGGACATTGCGAACGAGGAGGGCGCGGCGCACCGGCTGCTCGTCCAGGACCCGGCCATCGACCGCGAGCGCGAGGAGACGCGGCAGAAGAAGAGCCGCGTCGCCGCGGCCCTCAACGCGCTGCAGCGCGTGGCGCCGGACGTCGTCGCGGTGCCGCCGCCCGGCGCCAAGCGCGGCAGCTTCGCCGCCGCGGCGCCGCCCGCCGTCGACGGCGGGAGCGGCGTGCCGCGCGCGCCTCGCGAGGCGGCGCCCGCGCCGGAGACGCCTCCGCTAGAAACCTTTACGTTCACGTCCAACGGCGACAACGGCGGCTTCATCTACTGGCTGGGCACGTCGGGCCAGCGCGAAAAGTTCGTCAACCCCATGGACCGCGGGCGCGTGCGCGTCACGTCGAGCGGCCTGGCCAAGGGCGCCGAGGACTTGCTGGTGGCGCGCAAGCGGCAGCCGTGCTGGACCAAGAACGAGCCCAACGCCTGGATTTGCTTGGACCTGGGCCGGAACCGGCGCCTGAGCCCGACGCACTACACGCTGTGTTCCGGCGCGTCCGAGGCCGGCTTCGACCTGCTGAGCTGGGCCTTTGAGGGCTACGACGCGGCGCGGGACGAGTGGGTCGACCTGCACACCGAGCCGCCGCCGCCGTTGACCTCGCCGTGGGGTGTCCAGACGATAAAGGTCGACGCGCGGGGCCGGCGCTGGCGCTACCTGCGCGTGCGGGTGGCCGGGCCGAACCTGAAGAACACGTACGAGCTGCCCGTGTGCGCCTGGGAGTTCTACGGAGCGCTCTACCAGGCGAATTAAGTAGTACCTATAGTTATTTCGAGATGGCCTTCTACTGGTACTTCAGCGAGAGCATCACGTCGTTGCCCATGTCCGCGCCGTCCCACTTCTCGACCGCGGTCTTCGCGTCGGCCTCGGCCTCGAACTCGACGGTGCCGGTCATGCCCGTGACGGGGTCCTCTTCGGTCACGGAGAAGGCCTTGACGGCGCCGATCGATTCCATTTGCCCGCGGAGCCCGTCCTCGCCCATCATCGGAAAGCCCGAATAGGCGAGCTTCGCCGACGTGAAAGCCGGCGCGGCCATGAGTTCATCCGCCTTAGCGAAGACGGCCTGGTAGTCCGCCTCCTTGCCGTAGCGGTTCTGGGCCTGCTGCGGGTCGTTGATGTACTCCATGAAGATGTTCGCGCCATTGATGTCGCCCTTGTTGTAGAGCCGGTCCACGTAGGCCTTGATCGCGGGCTTCTCGAAGACCAGCTTTTCGTAGGGCGACGCGTTCGCCGCCGGGCCGGCGGCCGCCGGCGCGGCCATCACGATGCGCGCCTCCATGAGGCGCAGCTTGATCGTCATGTCGTCCATGTCGGCGCTGTGCGGGATGCCCATCAGCTCGAGCTCCTTCTCGACGAAGCCCCGCGACGCGTCCTTCAGCTTCTCGAACTCGGCCTGCATTTGTGGGCTCGAGGGGTCGAGGCCGGCCGCCTTTAGCGGCCTCATGAACCGGACGCGCTGCGGCGGTGCGAGGAGTGCACAGGCGGTGCTGGCGCAGAGCGCAGCGACGAGTGCGGCTTGTCTCGCCATCATGAGCTGTAGCTTTTATGTGCAGTGCTGACTAGTAGCTGTGCGCTCGCAGAGCTTTTGAAGGCGATGCGAGGCAAGGCGAACCTGGTCGAGTTCAACCGTGCAATCGTGAGCTTGCGGTCTGCAATTAGCTCCTCTCCAAAGGAGCTCTCTCTCTCTCGCTGCTTAGAGCTGGCTTGCTTGCTTGCTAGTGTCTTAGGCCGCTAGCTACAGGGCCCATTTGTCAGTGGTTCGACGGGTCTTTGGCCCGATGAATGAATGTACGTGACTGATTGGACTAAGTACAAGGACGTTAATCGGGCTCGTCCGCCGCGGTCGCGGTCGCCGTAGCCGCGCCCGTCCGCGCATGCGCCTGCGCCTGTTGCTGCACGTCATAGGCGCCCCGACCCTGCTCGCGGTCCACGGCGGCCCTCGCCTCGGCCTCGCGCCGCGCGCGCGCAGCCTCGGCGCGGCGCGCCTTCCGAGCGGACGTGCGCTCGTCGCGCGGCAGGTCCTCCTCGCCGGCGTCCGTATCGTCCGAGTCCATGAGCTCCACGACCTCCTGAACGTAGAAGTCGTTGCCGTGGCGTCTCAACACGTCCTGGCGCTTGGCCACCTCCAGCTCGTGGGGCGTCGGCATTGCTCAGCGAATTCGCACACTGCAGCCCGCGCGCAGCACTCAACTCAGAATACGTGGACGCTGCCCCGCTATTTGTGGCGAGAGAGCCGGGCGCCCAAATGCGACGCGCGAGGCGATTTTGCAATCAGTCCGGGTTCGGGTCGAATGCCCGTCAAGGAAGCGTGCTCGCACTCGTCGTAGAAGTACGGGACACGTAACCACACCGCTCGGTCCGGGCGACATCCGGCCGCCTGCGGTAAAAGTTGGCCTGTGAAACAGCGCCCGCCGGCCTGCCCGCGCGCCGTGCCCAGGAGCCACACGCGCAGCCCGCGTACAGCTCTCCACAAACAACCTCCCGGTTGTCGGGCAGCCTTTGTCAGGCGCGCTTGTGGAAATAACGCTTGTGCCCCACAACCGAGCTAAACCCTGAACACAATGGCGGCCGTCGCGCGCGACATCCTCGCCTACCAATGCACGACCTACGACGCGCGCGCCCAGCTCGCGCGCGAAATCCGCCTCAATTCCTTCGCCGACGGCACGATCGAGCTCCTGAACAAGGATAGAACGAAGACGATCATGAAGCGGATCTGGTGCCCCGACGTGCCTCGATCTCGGCTCTTCCCCGGCTCCACCGTCGACGTCTTCGGCAAGGCCTTGGAAGTGGTCTGCGCGGCGGACGTCGGCACGCGCGACTGGGCCGCCGCGAACACGTCGTCCTCGGCGTGCTGCTGCGTGCTGCCCGACGAAAGCGGCCTGCCGGCGCTCATTTCGGCCCTGGAGAAGCGCTTCACGGCCCTGAGAGGCATCCGAACCATTGCTTCCAGGAACGCGCCGTCCGAATTGTTCGGGACGATCGAGGACGGGGGCGTCGCGGTCGTCGCCGACATCTACTTAGTCGGCGAGGGCAGCGCGGCGGCGGCCGCGGCCCTGGCGAGCTGCGTCAGTGCGGCGGGCGCGCGGCCGACGGCCGTCGACGTCGACGCCAAGGCGCTCTCCGAGCTGCCGAACTCCGCCTCCGCCGCGTTAGACAATAACGAGGTCTGCTCGCTGATGCTCATCAAACCCCACATTGGCGTCGACAAAAGATTTGGCGAGGTGCTCCAGGCCACGATGGACGCGGGCTTCGGCGTCGCCGGCCTGCAACTCGTGACGCTCGACGGCAAAATTTGCCAGGAATTCTTCGCGCCGTACTCGGGCGTCTGGAACCGCCAGGAGGACATCGCCCAACACTGTAAAGAGGGCCCGACCCTCGCGGTGCAGGTGCGGGCGGCGCCCGGCGACTTCAGGGACTTTTGCGGGCCGACGGACGTGCTCCTCGCGCGGACGGTGCGGCCCAAGTCGCTCCGGGCCACCTACGGCGAGGGCGCCGTGAAGAACGCCGTGCACTGCACGGATCTGGACGACGACGGCCGGCTCGAGTGCAACTACTTCTTCAACGTCCTGCAGGGACTCTGTTAGGGGGTTTCCGTGCGTAATCCACGTATCTCTAGCGTCAGGTGGCGTGGAAGTCAGGTCTCGACGGAAGCACTGCGACGAGCAGTCGCCGGTCGAGACAGCCTCCAAGCGACAACGTATTCTAGAAAATTTACCCGAGCCCTCGCAGCGCCTTCCTCACGTCCTCGTCCTTGTCGAGCTCCTCGAGGCGCCGAAGGATTTTCTCCGCGGCCAGCATCTCCGCGCGCCGTCGTGGCCGTCGGCCGCCGGCCGCCCGCGCCGTCGCCACCTCGCTGATGCCGTCGAAGTGGCCGCGCACCGTGAACTCGGGCTGGTGGGACTTCCCGCCCCGCGCGACGACCTCGTATTTGGGTTGAGGCACGCCGCGCTCGTTCGCGACCTCTCCTAACCTCGTCTTGGCGTCCTTGCCCGGAGGGCCCTCTCTGTCCATCTCTGCGAGCAGCGGGGCCCACGCGTTTCTCACAAAATCTCTGGCCGCCTCGTAGCCGGCGTCTCTAAAAACTGCGGCGACAACGCTCTCGACCGTGTCCGCCGTGATCCCATTGCTGCCGGTTGGGGCGCTGAAGCCCGGCGGGCTTGGGAGCCGCCAGCCGCGGCCGACTGCTAGTAGAGCTTCGCTCCTTATCAACTTCATTATCCGCAGGTTCGCCGTCGCCTCGTCCTCGTTCGGGTACGTCTCGTGCAGGTATTCCGCTATTACCAAATTCAGGACCCGATCCCCCAAGAACTCGAACCTCTCAAAGCGCTTCGCCTTGTAGCGGTCGACTTCACCTGGTGGTCTGTGCGCCGGGTGCGACACGGCGCTTCGCAGGCGCTCGACGTTGTTCCAGCGGTGGCCCAGACGCTTTGCCAATTCGTCGAGGTCGTCGCCCTTCGAGGCCCGCGCGCGCACGGCCGTCCGCAGCGGTCCCTGGCAGCGGTGCCAGGCGCGCGCCGCGGCGAGCATGAGGAGTTGCCGCGCCGTCGTTGTTTCTTCGAAGACGATGCCAGTGGGCCGTTATTTTCACCAATGCGACGACACGTGCGACGCAAATGACAGCAGCGCAAGCTGCAGTGCAGCTCTCAGCCTTGCCACAGCTGGCCTATCGACCCAAAAATCGTTGAGCTCGCTACAGGCGTTGTCGAGAGTGTCGAGAGCAGGACTGCCGGCGCCACGCGCGCTCGTGTACGGCTAGCACAAAGCGTTCAAGAGCTAGCGGCCAGTAAGACACTAGCAAGCACCAAAAAAAGGGCCACCGCTTCTCTCGCCTGCGCGGCAAGTAGACGTCGAGCAGGTTGCATTTTAGCCTCAAAATCCCAGCGACCCAGCGCTCCCGCAGCTACGCCGCGCCCGGCGCCGCAGCAAGCCCTGAAACCCCCGGACACCGCTCGACGCAGCCTCATGTCGACGTCCGGGGATGCGAGCCGTCCACCGCCGCCGACGGCGGTCGTCTGCAAGCCCTGCGCAGCGGCGCCGCCGGTCCCGCCGCGCCCCGCTCCGTCCGCGCGCTACGACGGCGCGGCGACCCGCGTCGAGGCCGCGACCGCGCGCCTCCGAGCCGTCGTGCAAGCCGCGCCTTTCGACGCCGACGCGCGCGTCAACGCTCATAGGGTGGGCCTCGCCGCAACGTATCAACAAGCGGCGAGGATCGACTACGCGGCCGTCGCGCAAGCGCGAGGCGAGGATTTGGAGGCGGAGCGCGAGCTGGAGAAACGCATCGCCATTCTAGAGGACGAGGGCGCGCGATGTCGGGACTTCGCGCGGTCCGTCGCCGACTCCCTGCAGCGCGTCCGCGCGATCGGCGGCGGCGCGGCCAAGAGCCGCGCGGCTGCTTTGGACGTCGCCGCGGCCTGCGACGCCATCGTGGCGGCCCAGCGCAAGCTGGTGTTGGAGGCGGAAAGCTACGACGAGGCGCTCTTCGACCTCGAGCCCGTCGACGTCGGGAGCGTCGCGGTCGACGGCGACGAGGGCGAGGTGGACGACTTCGTGGCGAGCGTCGTGCAACTCGACGCGAAAATACGGCGTGTCGCTTCGAAAAGCGAACCGACCTTCCGCGACGAGGCCGCCGCGCTGGACGTACTCAGGCGGAAACGGCGGCAGGTCTGCGCCACGATCAGTGCGGCGGCGGACGTGGCGTTGAAGCGGGCGGCTTCAAGTGACGACGACGCCGCGGTGTTGGAGCGCGCGCCCAAGCTCGCGCGGCTCCTCGCGCTGTTACGGGGGCCGTTCGCCGACGCGTCCGTGGAGAAAGCGGCGGCCGACGCCTTCAACGCGATCCAGACGACCTACTGGAATTCCCGACTGCCGAGGTGCCAGCAGGAGGTCGAGGCTTCGCTCAAGCAAAGCACGTGCCTCGAATTGTTGGAAAACGGCGCACGCGCGTGCCGCGCGCGGTGCGACCGCGAGGCCCAGCTCCATTCGACCATCTTCGCGACGGAGGCGGGCCTCGCCGAGGCGGCCGCGGATGCGCGCGACGCGGCGCTGCAGACGCTCGCGAACGAGGTGCGCGACGCGGCCGTCTCTCAGGTCCGCCGCCTCGACGACTTTGGGGAAATCGGGAGCGTCGTGGCGGCGTGTCGAGCGCACGGCGCGGCCGACGCGACGGGGACGGCGCTCGAGGAGATCCGCTTGGAGGCGCAGCGCCGCGCCGCGGACCTCGCCCACGCGCGCGTGCGCGCGGCGACGTCGTCCCAAATTACGGACGACGAGCTGCGGAGAGCTTTAAAGCCGAAGCAGTGGTTCGCGCCGCTGCGCGACGTGCTAAAGGCGCTCACGGACGCCAAGGCCGCGCGCGTCGACGGCGCGGCCTTCGACGACCTCGCGCGCCTCGCCGTGTCCGGCGTCGTCGCGCAATTATCTGAAGCGCAGCGCCGCCTGGCGGCGTTCAAGGCGCCGCCCTTGGAACTGCAGTTGTTCGCGGTCGCACATCTGTTGGTGCTGCGGGAGAAGGTGGCGCCCCTCGGCGCGCGGCTCGGGCCCGGCGTTGTCGCGAAGAAGCGGCCCGAGAAGCGCGCGGGCGTACTGGGCCGGCTCTTCGGGCGGCGGCAGGCGTCGGAGCAACTGGACGACGCGCGCGCCATCGACGCGAAGAAACAACTCGAGGACGCGCTGCGAAGTGCGTGCGCGCGCGTCGTCGCGCTCGCGCACCGGGCGCTCGCCGGGCCCTACGTGGACGCGCTGCGGTGCATGCGGGACGCGCTGCCGCCGGGCGTCGCCGCGGCAGACGCGGCGCCGGCGCAACTGCGCGCGTGCAAGGGCGCGCCCTGGGCCCAGCCCGAGGCGCTCGCGGGCGCCGCGCGCGCCGCCGCGGACGACGCGCCGGCGACGGACGAGGCGCTGCGGCGCACGTGCCACGCTTTTTTGGAGCAGGCGTCGACGCGAAGAGCGCTGCTGCGGCCCGCGCGGCAGAAGGCGCTCAAGACGCTGGATTCGTACGTGGCCATGTGCGCCGCGCTGCTGCCGTTTGACCGCGTCCCTTCGACGGAGTTCGAGGCGTTCCGCGAGGCGCTCGCGGACGCCGAGTTGGCGCTGGAGCCGGACCCGATGCCGAGCGAGTAATAGTATCTAGGTACGTGGATTTCTACCCAACGGCGGCGAGAGAGTAGGGGTCTCGGTTTTGATCCAACGATCAAGCCAGAGGAGGCTGGCCCAGGCCCTGGCCTGGGCCAATCTCACGAGGAGGCTGGCACTGCCACTGGCAGGCAGAGCCTCCCAATCCATCGTGCATGTTAGTATTCAGTCTCAGGATTAAGGTTGTGAACAGTGTTTGGTGAGGTTATGGGTAGTCTTTGGTGGCCGGTGCTGGACATAGGGTTAGGGTTCGGGCCCGAAGGGCCCGAAGGGCCCTTCCAGCCCCTTGGGCTGGATGTTAGTATTTTGTGTCAGGATTGAGGTTGTGAATAGTGTTTCGTGAGGTTATGGGTAGTCTCTGGTGGCATGGGGTAGGGTTCGGCCCGAAGGGCCCGAAGGGCCCTTCCAGCCCCTTGGGTTGGATGTTAGTGTTTTGTGTCAGGATTGAGGTTGTGATTAGTGTTTCGTAAGGTTATGGGTAGTCTTTAGTGGGTTAGGGTTGGGTTACTAGCTCCCCGGGCAGGGCCCGAAGGGCCCTGCGCCCCAGGGCCCGAAGGGCCCTGGGGCTGGATGTTAGTGTTAAATGTCAGGATGGAGGTTGTAGGTGGTGTTCGGTGAGGTTGTGGGTAGTCTTCAGCGGGTTAGGGTTGGGTTAGGGTTAGGGTTAGGGTTAGGGTTAGGGTTAGGGTTAGGGTTAGGGTTAGGGTTAGGGTTAGGGTTAGGGTTAGGGTTAGGGTTAGGGTTAGGGTTAGGGTTAGGGTTAGGGTTAGGGCTCCACGGCGGCGGCGTCGGGCGTAGAACTGCAGTGTCTTATCTGTTACGGTGCTAGGACTTGCTCGATGACTGCTGTGCAGCCAAGGGCTTCTAATTTTACCCCTTGTGCAGCCTGTCTCGATTCGTCGATTCGGTCGCTAGTGTCTTACAATACGCTAGGTTGGCTTGCTCTTCCGGGAGTCACTTGGTCCACGATAGGCGACCGGTTGCGGCGAGCTACTCATCTTAGCTTCTTGAAAACACGACTGGTCCCGCGCGGAGCCACGCCCGATCGGGAGAACTCTGCTTAATAAATTTCCTAAATATTTTCTCCTTAGATCAATTGATAGGGAGCCAGGCGCGGCCGCCCGCAAACGAGCAGGCCCGGCGCGCGCAAACGAGCCCAAAGAGAGAGTACTTAAGCGGTCCAATTGCTACGACGCGACACATATAGAATGAAGGAAACGCCGACGTCGGCCGTAAACCGCGACGACGACAGCCTAGGCTCGCCAGCCATCAAGTTATTCAAGCCGGTGACGCCGAGAAAATTAGGTATTAAGTGCCCGCCGTCGCTCCGAAACCGCGTGCAATCGACGTGTCTGGACGACGCGGCGCACCTGAAGACGTACATGCGGTTGTGGGTGCTCGTGGAGGTGCTCTTACTCTTCCACGACCAATTTCTGATTCCACAGGGCGGCTTTGCGACGTTTGTGTACCCACAACTCGCGGCCTTCGCCCTCGCGTTCCTCGTGCCGAACGCGTGGACGTTCGCCGCCGCATTCCTCGCCAGAAGCGCCATGTACTTCGCGCAAGCGCCGGCCATCTGGGAGAGCAATTATTGGGCGACGCTAGCAGACCTGGCGTTCGTTATCAACGCGATCACGGCACCCGACCGCGACGCGATCCGCCAGAGCGCGGGCCCGGTCCGGACTGTTGTAGGTCTCTTTTACTTTGGATCCGGTTTCTGGAAGATGAACACGGCGTTCCTCAGCCCGAAAGTGTCGTGCGCTTGTATTTACATGTCGTCTCTATTCGGAATGGCGCCTTCCATGCCAACGCGATTGGTTCAATTGGCCATCCGATCCGCGCCGCGCCTCACGGCCGGGGGCGAGCTCCTACTCGGAACGTGTCTCCTTATACCGGTGCACCGGGCGCGGCGCGTCGGCGTCGTCCTCGCGGCCATTCTGCACTTCACGATCGCCATCACGCCGGCCCCGAACGCAGTTCCGGCCTTCGGCGCGTTTTGTATGGTACGCATGTTCTTCGCGCTGCCCGAGGCCTGGAGCGCCGCGATTCAAGAGGTGCTATCAATGCCCTTGACGCTCGGTGGGTTCGTTGCGCGGCTAGCTGCCATCGCGGTCGTGGCCGCATCGACGACATTCGACGGCAACACACCTCCCGGCGTGGTCGACTGGGCCCTGCCCGCGGTGACGGCGTTGTGTCTGTTGGGCGTCCGTGCGGTGACGCTCGACCTCGCGCGGGCAGAGCCTTTCCGCAAAAATACGGGACGCCTTCGGAAAACCGGCAATGCCGCATTGCTCGCACTGGTTCTCTTCTACGTCTTCGCCGCGTTGCCACTAGGATTAATGGACATCAGCGCAACGTCGCCGTTCTCGCAGATTCGCGCTCACGGCGGCAGCAACCATCTGTTCATGCCAATGGCCACGCCGAACATCGTCCGCGTGACACGAAGCACCAGTTCTTACATCAACAACTTGTATCCGGGTGAAACCTCGGAACTACTGCCGCCACGCGCCGTCGAGCTCCTGGAGGGGGCGGGACACGCCGCGATTCAATTCATGCCTACGGTTATGATAGTGCTCGGCCAAAGGTTCAGAGAGTCCCTGCCGCATCCGTTCAGCCCATACACAGTCCCCGCGCTCGAGTTACGACGCGTTCTGGCAGAGGCGCGTGCGGCATCGTCAGAACCGTTCGTTATTGAGTACGACAAGCTGCCCGGGACCGTCGGCGACGAAGCTTGGCGCCAAGAAGCTGTGGAGTCCACGGTGCGACTCTCCGAGAACGGGCGTGGCGGACGGAGCTGCCGTATCCGCGCCGCGGGCGCGTATTTCTGGAAGGCTTGTGCGGACGACGAGCCGGTCCTACTACCGCCACCAAGCGGTTGGCTCGCCAAAATACGCATATTTTTCCCCTTGCCGGTGCACGCGGGCCTCGACGAGCTGCCGTGTATTGACTAAGTGTACATATCTAATCAAGGAGAGGGTAACTTAATCGTAAGGTGTGGTTCACGCGGTCGCGAGCGTCCGGCGGAAAGCCGCCAGCGCTGCGCCCTGAGCGTGATGGTCGCGGAGCTTGAGCAGAGCTGCCACAGACGCCAATCGCTTGGTGGCCGCAGGAGACGCACACGCGTTCCTGGCTCCGATGTCGGCCGCGGCCAAAGTTGTCAGCAGGCCGGTGGCGATTCCAAACGGCACCGGCCGGTCGCGGAACACTTGGACCAGATCTAATAATACGTCGACGCAGGGCTCCGTCTCGGCGACGCGGCACGCCAAAGTCGGCGACCTTTCAGAAACGTTCGCTAAAGTTCGTAGCATAAGCGTCAGGAGGTCGACGTGCGGTCGAGATCTGTTGCACGCGCGTGCCAATTTAAGAAGGGCCGCTATGGCACCATCAGAAGCCGCCAACGCCTCACAGCACGACGGCGAGAGCCGGGTGGAAGATTCCAACGCGGCGCAGGCGCCGCGCACGTCCTCCAGTCGTGCCCCGGATTCGACGAGCGCCAAGGCCTTGCGGCAGCGCGCACCCAGAGTGGCAGACGGAGTCGCTTTCTTCGCAGCAGCGTCGGCGCGCTTGCGCACGGACCAGAGCGGCGGCGACCGGCGGTAGGACGCCGCGCGCACGCGGCGGCCCCGCACCAGCGCCTGGCACGTGATGAGGACGCCCTCGTTCGGGAACACGACGGCGACGACGACCGTGCTTTGTTGGACAGCAGCTGGTGCAGACACGGTGCGCGCGATCCGGAGCGGCGACAGCGACGCGCCGCGCCGCACCGGCGACCGCGACGGCGACCGCGCCAATATTCCTCGAAATCTCCGCTGGATTTCGACGGCGGCGCCCAACCCGAGGAAGAACTGCCAGCATGCATCATGACACCTCCATCTACTCTGAATCATTCTAGCGGCTGATTCTTCGGTCAAGTCAAAGGCGTCGAAGACCTTGCGTGTCCGCTGCGGCGGCGTCGCTGCCGATAATCTCCGGCGCCGCATGGCCTCCTTGTGAACGCGCGAGTCGGGCGTCGGCGGCGGGTAGGCCCGCGGCGTCGGGCGCACGCTCGGCGCGTCGGCCGTCGGCAGCGGACTTTCGAAGGAGATGGAGCGCTGCGCGACAGGAGGTTGCGGCGTCATCTGGGTCGCCGTCGTCACCTTCTGAGGCGTCTTCTTCGAGCGCCGCCGGTTCGAGGGCGACAGCGGCGAGCGGTCCGAGCGTGCCGGCGGCGGCGGCGGCGGCGGCGGGAGGTCGCGGCCCAGCGACTGGCGGCGCTTCGGTGGCGACTTCTTCGCACTCTTCCGCGTGGCGGGCGGCGGCGACGGCGGTGGCAGGTCGCGGTCGCGGCCCAGCGACTGGCGGCGTTTCGGCGGCGACTTCTTCATAGGCGATCGCCTCTTGGGAGCCGGTTGCGTAGGCACGCTAGCTTTGCGCGCCACGGCCACCTCGACGACCTCGGCGCCGCGAGCGGCCTCGCGAGCGCGGCGCGTCGCAAGCTTCTGCGCTGCTGCCGCGGCGGCCTTTCTGTCGGATTCTTCTTGGGCCTTGCGCTCGGCGACCCGGCGCTCGGCGGCTAATCGTGCTTCGACAGCGCGTTCCTCGGCGGCCCGGCGCTCGCGTTCCTCGGCGGCGCGGCGCTCCTCCTCGGCTTCGGCGGCGCGGCGCTGGGCTTTCCGGGCTTCGAGCGCTCGCTTCTCCGCGGCGGCTTGAGCCTCCGCCCGCCGGCGCGCGTCGGCGGCGCGTCGTTCCGCGGCGGCCTGCTCCTCCTCCGCCCGGCGTTCCGCGAGCGCGCGCTTCTCTGATGCCGCGCGCTCAGCCGCCGCGGCCTGCTCGGCGCGGCGCTTCGCTCGGCCCTCGGCCTCGAGTGCGTCAGCCGCGGCGCGCGCCTCCGCCGCCCTAGCCCGGGCGCTCTCGCGGCGCGAGTCGACCAAGCGTTGTGATTCGGTGTCAGCGGCTCGGCGCGCTTCCGCGAGTTTGGCTTCTAGCTGCGCCTTTTCCTCATCGGCCGCTCGCTTTGTCGCATCGAGCTCCGCCTGAACGCGTCGTGCTTCCGCTTCGGCCTCAGCACGCTTTCGAGCGACTTCGAGCTTCATGCGTTGCGCCTCGGCCTCGGCCTCAGATCTCTTTCTATCAAGCTCCTCCATCAACCGCGCCTCCTCGGCGTCCGCAATTCTCTTCGCTTCGGCTTGCGCCGAGGAAATAGACTCCAGCGCTTGGGTCTCGCGCATCGCATCGGCACCGCGCTGTGCGGCGTCGGACGCGCGCCGCGCGGCTAATCGGGCGGCCGCCATTGCCTCCTCGGCGACGATCGCACTACGAGATGTCTGGAGCCGCGCAGTCAACCTGGCTTCCTCACGCCGGGCCGCGCGGCGCGCCTCCGACGCTTGCGAACTCTCAGCTAATTTCTGCTCGGCACTCCGCAATCTCCTTGTTTCCGCTTCGGCCGCCGACCGCGCCGCGCGCGCTCGCGCCTCGGCCGCGGCGCGGGCAGCACTGTCGGCTCGGCGCCGCGCCTCCTTGGCCGCGTCGACGCGGGCGCGCCTTTCGCGTGCTTGCGCCTCGACGCGCGCAGCTTCCTCCGCGCGGCGCCGCTCGGCCGCGACGCGCGCCGCCTCCTGCTCGCGCGCGGCAGTCTCCGCGGCCACGCGCTCGCGCGCCGCCGTCGCCTCGGCCGCCGCGCGCTGCGCTCTGGCGACGGCCTCGGCCGTTGCCTTGGCGCGGGCCTCGACATCGGCCCGCTTCTTGGGCGCCGGCTGCGTCGGCGCCGCCGCCGCGCGCGACACGGCAACCTCGACGACCTCCGCCTGGGGGCACGTCGCCTGAGAAGCGGCCTTCTCGCGCGCCGCGGCGTGTCGTTCGCGCGCTTCCGCGGCCGCCGCTTGTTCTCGCAAGGCTTCGCGCTGGCGCGTCGCCAGGGCCTCAGCGGCCGCCGCTTGTTCGCGCGCGGCCTCCGCCCGCAGCGCCTCGAGCTCCGCAGCGCGATTTGCACCTTCCTCCTCGATGCGCAAGCGTGCCGCCTCCTCGGCTCTCTCCAAAGCCTCGAGTCGCTTCTGGGATGCCTCTTCCGCGGCCCGTAACTCGGCCGCGCGGCGCTGAGACTCGGCCTCCTCGTCAGCCGCCCGTTGCGCCGCGTGAGCCGCGGCGCGCTCGCGCGCCGCAGCTTCAGCTTCTTTTAACTCCTCGATCCGTGCGGCCGCGGCGGCCTCGGCCTGCCTGAGTTTCTCCGTCGCCGCATCATCTGAAGCTGCCTCGGCCTTGCGTAACTTCTCGAGCCGCGCCGCGGCATCTTCGGAAGCGGCCCGGATCTCCGCGGCGGCCTCGTCGCGCGCAGCTGCCTCCTCGCCCAGGCACCGTTCAGCTTCTTTTTCGATGCGCTCGCGCGCGCCCTCCTCGGCCGCGATGAGTTCCGCGAGCCGCTCGGCCGCCGCCTCGTCGGCGCGCAGGCGCTCGGCGCGAGCCTCATCGCGCGCTTCTAGGGCCTCTGCTGCTCGTTTCGCACCCTCCTGCTCGATACGTAGGCGCGCCTCGGCCTCAGCTTTCTCCAACGCGTCGAGACGTTTCTGGGCGGCTTCTTCGGCAGCTTGGAGCTCGGCAGCGCGCCGCTGAGACTCGGCTTGCTCCTCGGACTTCCGTTGCGCCGCCGCCGACGCCGCGCGCTCTTGCGCCGCCGCTTCTGCTTCTCTGAGCTCCTCGAGCCGGGCGGCCGCGGCGGCCTCGGCGCGCCGCAGCTTCTCAGTGGCCTCCTCGCGCGCCCGCTGCTCCTGGGCGGCTCGCGCCGACGCTAGTTCGGTGTCCCTATCACGGGCTGCTTGCTCGGCAGCGCGCAATTCTTCGATGCGCGCGGTCGCGGCGGCTTCGGTCGCCCGTAACTCCGCGGCAGCCTCCGCGCGCCGGCGCTCGTCTTCGAGGCGTACCTTTTCAGCTTCGGCCGCGACGCGTTCTCTAGCCTCCTCTTCAGCCTCGGCAACGCGCTGAGCCGCCGCCTCCTCCGCGTCCTTCAGGTCCTGGAGCCTCTGCGCCGCGGCCTGCTCCGCCGCCTGTTCTTCGGCCGCGCGGCGCGCCTCGAACTCGGCCTCGGCGGCTTCTCTGGCGTTCTCCTCCTCCACTCTGAGGGCCGCGAGCCGCTCCGTCGCGGCAAGCGCCGCGGCCTCGATGCGCGCCTCCCGTTCCTTCCGCTTCTCTTCAGCAGCGGCTCGGCACTTCTCCTCGATCTCAGCCGCGCGGGCCCGCGCCTTCTCCTCGGCGGCGAGCGCCTGCGCCTCGGCCTCGGCGCGGACCTCGGCGGCGCGCGCCTCGGCGAGCGCCGCCGCGCTCTCTGCGGCTTCTCGCCGAGCCTCCGCCGCCGCGATCGCCTCGCGCCGCTCGTCGTCCTCGGCCTGGACCAAGTCATTCCACGCCTGGACCCGCCGCCGCGCGACCTCTGATTTCGCTGCAACGCGCCGGGCTAATCCTTGAATCGTCCGCGCGCCGACGTAGGCCCGCAATCTTCCGACGCGCGCGACGGTGTGCCGCTGCCACTCGTCGCGCACGGCCTTCTCGTGGGCCAGCACGGCCACGGCCCCGCGGGCGAACGTCAGGCGTGCGCGCCGGTCCCGCCGCGGCGACCGCGCGACCTTGAACGCGAAGGCCCGCCGCACGAGGCACTGCAGCGCCAGCGCGGCCCCGCGCCGCTCGCGCGCCGCCGCGCGTCCCAACCCGCCGCGGCCCAGCGCCTGGACCGTGCGCGCCGCGCGCCGCTCCCGGCCGAGCCGGCCCGCGCCGGAGCCGCACCGCTGGAGGAAGAGCGTCCCGAGCGACCGTAGTAAGACGGACGTCGTCTTCGTGGCGCGCAGCTTCGCCGCCAGGAGTCGCGCGACGGACCCGTCTCCAGAAGAGCGCCGCCGCGCCGAGGACCGCCTCAATCTAGACAGGCGCCAGTAGCACTGGACGTGGACCGCCGCCGCGCGGCGCCACAACGTTAATCGTGTGGCCGCGCGGCGCCACGCCGCCGCCATGCACGTCGCCGCCGCCGCGGCGCGGCGCAGGCCCTTCTCGCGTGCGGCGGCCGTCGCCGGCGGCAACTGCGCCCGCTCCGCGAAGCGCGGCGCCGGCGTGAGGAAGGCCGCCGGCGTCGGCCGCACCGGCGCGGGCGTCGGCACCGCGGCAAATGTGGAGCGCCGCGGCGCCGGCGTCGCCGCGGCGAAGCGTACTGTGGCTGGCGGCTTCGGGGGCGGAATAGCGCCGGGCGTCACGTCGAACGCGACCGCCGGCTTTTGTGCCGCGGCCTTCGGCGCCACCACTTCATTCCGCGGCGCTAAAACTTTGCGCTGGCGTGGCGCCGGCGGCGTGTTCGCGAACACTAAGACGGTCGGCGACGCCGCGCGCTTTTGGGGCGGCGCGGGCCGCTTCTTGCGCGCCGACGTCGCCCGCGCGAAGGCCCCCAGCTTCGTCGCGGCCTGCAGCGCGTCGCGCGACGCCAGTAATCTGTGAGCCAGCCGCGCGGCGAAGGCCCAGGCGACGCGCTCCGGCGGTGAAGAAGAGGGGTCGAGGCACGCCGCGTAGACGTCCAGGGAGACGCCACCTAGCATTGAGACGGCCGCTTCATCCGTGTCGCACGATAAAGCAGGGTGGTACAGCTGGACGGCCGCCCGCACGAAGCCCGGCGCGCACCGTCCATCCGCATCCAAACCTTGACAGTGGCAGCCGGCGGCGACGGCCGCGGCCCACTGCGTTAAGGACGTCCGCGCGCGGCTCTCGTCGGTCCCAGTTTCATCTATAGTAATCGCGTCCGCCGCGTCCTGGGCGCGCGAAGCTTTTGTAGAGTCGCCGGCCCACGCTTGGGCACCTCCGAGGCGGCCGACCTCCCTCCGTAGTCGTCCCGCGTCCACAGTCCGCGCCGCGCCCGAGAACCGCGCCGCCAGCGCCGCGACCAAATCCCGCGTCCGCAGCAAGGGCCGTCCGTCCACGACGGCGCGCGCCCAGTCCCCCAAGGCCGCGCGCGACTGGTCCGGGATGGCGCCCAGCGCCTGCAGCGCCTCTATTACAGCAGATACGTTGTGGAGCTTCGGTAATCTTGAAGCCGCCGGCACTCTCAACTTGGCACAGACGTCGCTCTCCAGTTTATCATTGTGCGCGGCGACGTCCACCGCCCTTGCTAAGCGTACCCCATCCCGCAAGTCCCTTCCAAAATCCCGCACGCGCCAGTCGTAGTCGTGCAGCGGTGTTTGTATGAATTTCAGGTCGATGCCCAGTCTCTCTAGATGAGGTAGGATGTCGCCCTCGCCCGCGAGGCAGTCCCTACCAAAAGCTCTCGCCAGTTGCTGGGTGGAGGTCACTTGGGAAGGCCCTTGGTCGGCCTCGATGACCACTTTACGAGACGCGGAGAATAATCGAGAGTGCTGCGGGAGCGCGTCGGACAGGCGCGCCGCGTCGAGGAAGTGGAGTAACGCGAAGACGTGCGCCACGCACCTCTTGCGTAGCTCCTCGCCGAGCTGTTTTCCGTACACGCCTCCGTCTTTCCCGTTTTTGCCGCGGTTATCTTCGTCTCTCGCAAACGCCGTCTCCGCGTCGCCGAACAAATGGTCCGCGAGCTGGGCTTTGAGGGACCCGTCGCCCCGTAATGGCAGAGCGGCGTCCAGCGCCGCCTTCAGCCACGGTGCTTCGATCGACGCGAAGAGCCCGAGCACGTGCGCCCGCAGGACCTGGTCGCACCGAACGTCGAGCTCCGGTCTCAACACCAAGCGGTTCGCCGCGACCTCCTCGACCACGTTCTTGCGCGCCTCCACTAAACTCTCGCTCCGCCAGACGGCCGCGCAGCGCCGGCGCCGCTCGCTCTTTTGCGCTGTCGCGAACTCCGCGTTTGGTGCTGTTGATTTGTTCGATGAAGCACCAACTAATAACTCGTCGAGCCACGCTCTGAGAGAAGCGTCGTCGGGGACCGTCGTCTCGCGCACGGCGTCCGAGGCGCGCCTTGCTGCCACCTGTGTGGGAATCAAATTTCAGCGCCCCACGTACGCCATCGACGCGATCCCGTCCCCGTGACCACGTCGGCTCGATGACGTGGAGGTTCGCAAGGTCCCCGCAATGATAACCTAACTCACTGGTTGATTTCCACACGGGCCGCGAACAGCTCGCGCGCGATCATCCAACCGCCGCTCGACGCCCCGTCGTACCTGGCCCGCCGGCCGGGGCGTCGCCTTCTTCGGCGGCGGCGGCGGCGGTTCGACACATCTACCGAGCACCGTCGCGCTGAGGCGCCTTTTTCCATCTAATCTAAACGCAACAGCACCTCTCAAGCCGCCGGGCCGCTCCGGCCGCCACGTCAGCGCGCAGGCCGCCACGTCGCCCCGCTCGATCGTTATCGATTGGGCGCCGCCCTCGAAGCGCGCGGTGATGTTTGTGGGCGTCCGGACGACTTCTACCGTCGCGCTCCGCTTCGCGTCGGCGGGGCAGCTCAACACTAACGTCTTGACGGCCTCTTTATCGGGATGCTGCTCTCCAAAATCAATGGTCGCCGGGCTTTGAAACGCGGCTAGTACCAACTTCGGCGTCGACGGCGTCTTCGGCGGTGGGGCCGCGCGGTGGCGGCGCACGACGAACTGGCCTCCTCCTCCCGGGGTGGCCATTCTTGACGCGCGGCGGCGTTAGTTGGCTATTCTTGACGCGCGGCGGCGTTATTTGGCTCGGCGCGCAGCGAACGGCGTCCGACGCAAAAAGCCAGTGAACTTCTACGCAACCGCTTGGCGGCGCGTTTCTTCGCAGCTGCGCACCGCGGGGGCTCAACGGCTTGCTGTGAGCCAACGCTTGCTCCGCCCTGGGGCCTGTAGCGGCCACACAGAGTCGCAACTGCTTTGTGGGCTTGCTAGTGTCTTACGCACGCTAGCTCACGTGGGATGCCTTTCTGCCATCGAATACGTCACAGCACGTTCGCGCGGAAGCCTAGGGGCAAGAGTCTCCCCGTTTTGTTTGCGCAAAACCCGGGTCCTGGGTCCAGCTTAAGCTAGCTTAAGCTTGGAGCAGTGTGCATGCCAGCGCGTGCCTCAGCGCTCGACCGCTCGCAAAGCATCGCAAGGCACTGCCACTTCAAGGCACAGTAACGCTCTGCTGCGAACGCCAGCAGCGCTGCACGCAAAACTAACCTTTTGGGGCTGTGAAGCACAGCTGGTCCAGCCAAGCGCTCAGCACCATGGTCGTCTTCGCCCAAGCACTCCTCATAGCTAGGAGCGCGGTGCCCAGGGCCAAGCACACCCTCAGAGCTGCCAGTTCAGGCCGCCAACTCTGCGCCGATGCAGCCACGGCAGAGAGCCTAGCCGTGCTCGGCGTCTTGCCGATGAACGGCGCCGCGCCCTACGTCGCCGGCGGCCGCTGGCGCTCGACACCGAACACCTTCGCCGTCACCGACCCCGCCACCGACGATGTATTAGCACAAGTGGCGGACTGCGGCCCGCAAGAAGCGGAGGCCGCGATCCAGGACGCGCAAAACGCGTTTGAAAGCTGGGCTAGGACTCCCGCGCGCACACGCTCCGACGCCCTTAGAGCTTGGCACGACGCGATCCTCGCCCACGCCGAGCCGCTCGCGACGGTGGCGACGGCCGAGTGCGGCAAGCCGCTGGCCGAGGCGCGGGCCGAGGTCGCTTATGCTGCTTCGTTCGTGGAGTGGTTCGCGGAAGAAGCTCCGCGCGTCGCCGGCGAGGTGAAATCGAACGTCGCGCAAGACCGGCGCTTACTGACGGTGCGGCAGCCCGTCGGCGTGGCGGCGGCGATCACGCCCTGGAACTTTCCGCTCGCGATGATCACGCGCAAGGTGGCCCCAGCTATTGCCGCGGGCTGTCCTGTCGTCGTCAAGCCCTCGGAATACACGCCGCTGACGGCTCTCGCATTGGCGCGGCTGGCGGACGGTCTGCTACCACCCGGCGTGCTCAACGTGATCCCCGCTAGTCGTCAAAATGCTCAACCGGTCGGCGAGGTGCTCTGCGACTCGGACGTTGTGCGAGCCCTGAGCTTCACGGGCTCGACGGCCGTGGGCAAGTGGTTATATTCAAGATGCGCTTCTACGGTAAAAAAGCTCGGGCTGGAGCTCGGCGGCAACGCTCCGATGATCGTGCTGAAGAGTGCGGATCTTGATACAGCGGTCCGGGCCGCGATGGCGTCGAAGTATCGGTATGGTGGGCAGACCTGCGTCTGTGCGGACCGGTTCTTGGTGCACGAAGCCGTCGTCGACGCGTTCGTCGAGCGATTGGCAGCAGAGGCGTCGGCGCTCAAGCTGGGCCACGGCCTCGACGCGGGGACGGGAATCGGGCCCCTGATCGACGAGGCGGCGACGTTCAAGTGTCAGGAGCGCGTCAAGGGTGCGGTGCGCGCCGGCGGCCGGGTGGTCTGCGGCGGAAATAAACCGCCCGGACCGGGCTCGTTCTTCGAGCCGACGGTCGTCCGCGACGTCGCCATCGACAGCGAGCTCTGGCAGCTCGAGACCTTCGGGCCGGTCGCCGGCGTCGCTGCCTTCTCCGACGACGCCGAGGCGGTCCGGCTCGCGAACGAGGGGCCCGCAGGCCTCGCGGCCTACGTATGCGGCGAGCTGGGCCACGCCTGGGCCGTGGCCGAGCGCCTGGACTTTGGCATCGTATCGGCGGCAGCGTCAGAATGAATTAGTTTGCCATCGACGCGACCGGGCGCAGACCGGTCGACGTCCGCGCAGGTCGGCGTCAACGAGGGGGCCGTGAGCCACGCGGCCATGCCCTTCGGCGGCACGAAGGAGTCGGGCCTCGGCCGCGAGGGCGGCAACCACGGCATCGACGAGTACCTCGAGGACAAGTACCTGTGCCTCGGCGGCCTAGACATGTAGGAAGCAATATGACTGTGATTATTAGATTCTCTGGAATTTGCGTCGTCAGAGGAATCTGTGCTCTTCTTCCTGGTGGTAGGGCCAGTCGGACGGATACTTCCCCTCGGGGTCGTCGGGGTCGCATTTTTTTACGTCGTCGGGGTCGTCGGGATCGTCGTCGACGGGCGGCGGCTCCCGCGGTATATTTTCCGCTGCTTGCGACACAGGTAGCGGCGCGCCTTCCCTGATCTCCACACCATCAAACACCGCGCGGCACAGGGGCGGCTCCTTGGTTTCCTCCTCGTCGTCCTCGGTGGGTGTGCTGGTCCCCTCCCCACCAACGGGCGCGAAGCAAAAGACGCCCGAGTGCCAGTGCGGCGCCGTCCGCTCCCACCTGTCGAGGTCGTGCGCGAGGGGCGCTATTCTAACAACCCTCCAATCGCCGTCCGCGTCCAGGGCCGCGCCCGGCGCGTGGGGCGCGGCCTCGACGACGACGCAATTACCGGAAGGCGCTTTCACCTTGTGCAGGCGCACGCGCGCCGAGAGCCCGGCCCACGGCGTTAAAGACCGGTCCGAGAAGCGTGTGGTTGAGGTGACCGCCAGGTGCGGCGCGCCATCGACCATTTCGAGGCCGGCCTTGAGCCAGACGTCCTCATCCAACCAAATCATGCAGCCGCTTTGGTCGCCGTCCGCGCGGGGCTCGAGCGTGAAGGCCGCTGTCATTGCGTAGGCGTGGCGGGACGGCACGCGGCAGAGGTACGCAGGGCCGTCCTTCTTGTCCAAGGCCGGGTCGTAGAAGGTCCGGCGCCACCAGTCGCGGCCCGGCCGCGCGACGACGGTGAGGCGGCCCCCGTCGACGGCGTAGGACTCGGGCTCGCCGTGCCACCAGCGCAGCCGGTCGGCGTCCCAGGCCGTCAGCGGCTCGAGCGGCGTGTCCGGCGCCCAGAAGCCATTCGTGGCCATCGCTGCGTTCGCTTTCACGCAGATTGCATGAGATGCACTCCCGGGAGCAGCCTCCTTGGACAGCACACAGAGCTCGACTGGGTTGGCGTACGCAAGCAGATGTGCAGCGGCACTGGTCAGAGTGAGAACTAAGCGTCGAAACTTGACAATTAAGGCAGCCGTGCGGCCAGGGACGCGCGCGGGTAAGGTTGGTGAGTGTGGCTTTGCTAGTGTCTGACAGCCGCTAGCTATGCGAGCCCGGACCGGGCGGTATCCCCTCCGAAAGGTTTTGGGAGAGTCATACAAACTTACTTAGAAAGATGGCGGGTTGTCGGAGCCGTCCTTCGACTCTCCCCCCTGGGACGACTGCCACGTCAGCGTCCGGAAGTTGACCAGCTTGCGGCTCACGCGCGAGTCGCCCGTACCGCTATTGGTACCAGAGGTCGAGTGAGACGTGAGGCGGCCGCGCTCGTCGCAGGCGCGGGCCTTGATCGTCGCGGGCGACTCGGACGTGAGGCGCCGCTTGGAGCTCCCGCGCCGCGAGAGTAGCGCGACCGTGCCGTTGACGTGCATGTGCCGGGCGCCGGGCCCCTGGAAGAGCGCGTGCCCGTGGCCGCGTACATCGCAATCTGCCGTGATTATGAGTGGCTCGCCGCCGAGGGACAGATCGGCACCGAGGATTATCGTCGCTTCCTGTCTGTCTACCGCGGCGCGGAGTGCTGCCGTAGTTTCGACGACGACGGCGTCGGCGGTCAAAGCCGCGGCCGCGAGGAGGGCCAGTAACATCATCGTCTCCAGAGTATGGTTAACGGCCGCCTCCCGCAACTCTCCCGGCAATAGAGCCGGTAGTCTTGTGCTAACTGTTTGTAACGGTCTTGCTAACGACAGGACGCGGCGTTTGGCCCTTGGCAAGCGCGCGAGTGCTTCTCGCGAAATAGCTTGTCGGAGCACGTGGCCGCTTCGTTTCCTCGCGTAAATGAGCTAGCGGCCTGTAAGACACTAGGAAGCAGGTACATATGTATACTCTATGTGATTCTATGTGCTTTCTATTCATATATCGTGGAGCAAGGGGAACAAACGCAACCCGAGGCTGATATAAATAACTATATAAAATAAATTAAATATATACACTCCCCACGGCGGTCCCGATGCGCCACCGACGGTCCCCCCTGTACAGGCTTCTGAGTACCACATAGTAGTTAGAGAGATAGGACGGCGGCCCTTCGCGGCCAAAGCGAGCTCAGGCCTCGGCGACGCGCTGCTTCTTCGCCGCCGGCTCGACCGACACCTGCGCCACCGGCTCCGGCGCCTTGCCGCGCGGCGTGTTGTCCTCCTTGGGCGCCGCCGCGACGACGCCCGCGTCGGCCTCCTCGGCCGCCTCGCGGAGCGTGTCGCGCCACTGCTGCACCTCGGCCTCGGTCGGGTCGCGGCCGTGGTTCTCCTTGAAGAGCGCCATGAGCTGCTCGAGGATGCCCGGCTCCTCGCCGTCCTCCTCGGCTGCGGCCTCCTCCTCGCGCGGGCGCTTCTTCGAGTCCGCGGCGGCCTCCTCCGGCGTCGCAGCGGCCTCCTCGGCCGCCTCCTCGGGCGCCGCCTCTTCAGCCGCCGCGAGCTTCTCGAGCACCTCCTCGACCTCGGCCGCCGACGGCGCCCTCCCATGATGGGCCGTGAAGTGGGCCACCACCTTCTCCACGACCAAAGCCTCGCCGTCCGACGCTTCTAGTTTGGCATCGACCGTCTTTTCAATACCCGCCCGTTCTTCGTCCGACGGGTCCCGCCCGTGCTCTTTCGCGAACTTGGTCAGGCACGACTGGAGGAACGCCGCGCGGACCTCGCCGTTGTTCTCTTCTTCCTCCTCCTCGTCCTCATCATCATCAGACGATTCTTTGGAACCGAGCTTCTCCTGTAAAGCTGAACGCAGCCCGACGGACTCCTCCATCGTCGGCGCCCTCCCATTCTCCCGCGTGAAATCCGCCACGAGCTTCTCCATCATCATCTCCTCGAACTCGTCGTCGGCACCATCATCATCTGACGAACTTTCAGCCTCGAACTCGCCGCCATCACTGGAAGAGTCGGAGTCTTCATCACCTTCCTCGATGGTCTCTAGGGGTTCTTCCTCCTCCTCCTCGATGGGCATCTCCTGCCAGGGCTCGGGCTTCTTCGCGGCGAACTCCTGAAATTCGGCAAGGGTAAAATCCGCCGGCTTGCCACATTCTAAGGTCCGCGTCATGACCACGGCACCTTGGAACTCGCCCTTGCAGGCATCGAAGGGCTTCGGTAACGTGCCCTGGAAGGTCTCCGTCTCTTCGTCGGCGTCGCGCCGCGCGACGAGGAACACGCCCAGCGGCTCCCACTGGCCTAAAAAAGTGACTTCGCCGCCTCCGAGTGCCTCGTGCACCTTCCTTTGACTGGGCGTCATGTCCAAGTCGATCTCCTCGGTAGAACCATCAGGGTTCATGCGCACGCACTTGCAGACGCCCGTCGCCGCGTTCATCATATCTCTGATACCGTCGCCGCCTCCTCCCAACATCGCGCCGACCAACGTTTCTGCGAGGCCGCCGTCCATGGTTTCGTTTGTGTGCCTGCGCGCGCTGCGGTTTTGCGTGAGCGCGTGTGTTGGCCGCGGCGCGTGGGCGGGCGCGTCGCTCACAGTTTCTGGGGTGCCCGCGGTTTTTGAACTGCAGCGGTCCACACAGGCTCTCAGCTGGCGCGCTCTTCGCGCAGGGCGCAGCGCGTGTTGTGAAGGTGCTGCGGCGGACGCGGGTGTGTGACGTGAGGTCGTAGGTGACGCGTTTGAGCGCCGTTCCAAAGCAAGTTTAAGTTTTTGCTCTCAAAGAGCCCGGGTTTTTTGGACGCGTACCGAACGCACGCGTTTTCGTGCCGACTACCCCCTCTGATCACGCCTGCGACGAGTGGTGTCGAATGCACGCCAAACTGTCGATCGAGGCTGGCGAGGCCCCGGGGCTGCGTGTGATAATATCCACCTAAACTCGCTCATTACTGCACGACTTGCAGTCTACGTTCGAATTCATCGTCGCAACAACTGCAGCAATGGAATTACCGGGCGGCATCGAGAAAGACGAGCTAGGCGTGGCGCTCAGCTATGCCATCATGCTGGGCGGTGGTGCGCCGTCCGCGCCCAACGGCGCGGCGAAGTCAACGCCGGCCGTGCAGCCGGCACCCGGCCAGAGCAAGAAGGCCGCCAAGAAGGAGGCCAAGGCGAAAGCCAAGGCCGAAAAAAAGGCCGCGGCGCCCGCCGCCGCGCCGAAGAAGGCCGCGCCGGCGAAGCCCGCGCCCGCGCCGGCCGCCGAGGAGGAGGAGGACGACGACTTCTGGGGTGAGGATGAAGAACAAACCGAGGAAGAGAAGGCCGCCGCAGCGAAGGAGCTCGAGGAGGCCAAAGCCAAGGCCATGGCGAAACTCGCGAAGAAGGAGGCGAACCAGCGGTCGCTCTGCAATTTGGAAATTAAGCCGTGGGAGGCTGATCAAGACTTAAAAGCTCTCTATGCCAAAATCAAGAAGACCGTCGTCAAGGACGGCTTGAAATGGTCCGAGGGCCTCAAACTCGTCGACGTCGCCTTCGGCGTGCAGAAGGTGCTGACTCAGCGTCTGTTTCCGAACTTTGAGTTGCGTCGACGGCGTCGTCGCGATGCCGCGCCGCCTCGACGCCCTGCCGCGTGAGAGTCTACTCGCCTCGCGACGGCGTCCGTTCCACACAGATCATCTGCACGGCCGTCGTCAACCAGACGCTGTCCATGGACGCGATCATTGAAGAAATCACGGAGGACCTCTTTGCGGACGAGGTCCAGTCGATGAGCATGACTTCCATGTCGCTGCTCTAGGGGGTAAGATTAGGAGAAAGTTAGGTGTCACGGCGGTCGACCCGGAGGCTCGCGCGCGTGCCGGCGGGGAGCTCGGCCGTGAGGATCGACTTGCACGCGCCTGCGCGGGAGTCGCGCGTCGATGGCGTGCGCGTGGTGCAGAGTACTCGCGGCGGCGACGTCATGGAATCTGTCATGGACGCCGTGGAAGGACCGGGCATCAGCTTGCAATGCGACAGGATGCGCAAATCGTCCAGGTCGTGCCCGTACGGGTCCGCCAGTTTGGTGGAGACCGTGTTGATGCCCAAGAAGAACAGGCATGCGATGACGATGGCGACGCAGGCCAGGCCGATCGCCTCGGGCGTGCGCCTGTGTGGAAATCAACCAGTGCGACGGGTGCATGCATCGTTGGCGTGGAGGTCGACGCGGCGATTCAGGACGAACGCGCCGTAAAGTTTTTGATTTCCACACAGGCGTGCGCGAGCCGAGGCGGGCCAGGACGAACGCGAAGACGGGTAGGTAGCAGATCGTAAGCAGACGCACGAGGTGCACGTACACGAACGGCACAGGCTGCCCCAACAAATCATAACCGACGGCCAGCTTGCCCCGCAGCATCAATATATCAGAACACAACCGCCACGCGTCGTTCCCGTGGCACCGGCCCGCGTCGCGCTCCTCGTTTACTACTTTCAAAGTCCAGGAGATGAGCTCCCGGTACCTATCGCCCGTGCCCGCGAAGCCTCCCCGCTTCCGCAGCGCCTCCCACTCCTCCTCCGTGAGCAAGCCGTACTTCTGCAGGAAGGGGTGGAGCACCTCGTCGGCGTCGTAGTGCGAGTCCCTCAACCCGGCGAACGCCATAATGTACGCGCCGCATATAAACCGCGACACGGTCCGCGCGGCGACGTCTCGCATCGACGCCCGGGCGCAGGTCGTCGCGTTGAATATGCACCCCTGGCATTTCACCGACGCGAGATAAGATGCTCGAAATCTTTGATATGTTTCGCTGTTGAGGAAGATCGACGCGAACGAGAGGAACGCGCCGAGCACCGTCAGCACCGTGGCATATAAACCGTTGTGCTCCTTCTCCGGCTTGTCGAAGACCCACAGCGTCGCGGCGTAGACGCCGAAGGACGCGAAGAAGAAGGGCGACCGCAGCACGTCCGTCACGACCGTGCCCTGCAGCGTGCACCACCAGGTGCAGCGCCGCTCGATGCCGCGGTGTCTTATTCTATCCCGCCGCTCGTCGAGGCGCTCGAGGTCCGCAATATTTAATACAGCGACGTCGTGGCGGTCGTCGGGCGCGTACATCAACTGGCGCAGCCCGAAGGTCGACTTGTGCGCGTTTCGCTCCCTCACCTTCTCGCAGCCGGCCGTGAAGAAGCTGTTGTCAAAAGCAGCCTCTGGTTGTGGTGCGGCCGCCGCCGGCGTCACGCACTGCCGCGGCGCGTCTACGGCGAGTGCGACGTCATCAGAGGCCGCCGCCGCCATGCTGGCAACGCGTATTGTGATGCGTGTCTTGCGCGGGCAGCCTCACAACTACTTGGGCCGCGCTCTTGACGACTGCTATCGGTGCCGCCGCTGGCACGGCTGCCAATCTCGGTGTCGTTTTTATCCGTCTTGCGGAGCGCGAAGGCGGAGCAGCCATCAGGAGAGCCTTGCTCGGGTTTTGGGCGCTCGACGTGTGAACCGGTGGATGCACGCATGGAGACCTCTTCGTAGTGGTCACACGACGCTCGAGACCAAATTATGGGGGTCGGGCCATGTCGCGAGCACCGCGCCGCCACTCAGCCCGAAAAAAAATAAACAAGACCCCTCCTTACATGGCCCAGACGACGGCATGGTCCCGCAGGTGCTGGTAGCCCGACCGCGCCGGCACGGTCTTTTGTAAAACGTGGACGTGCGTAAGATCATCCATGACGACGTCGCCGGGCCGGGCCCGGCCCCAGACGTGGGGCGTCCAGGACACGTACATGAGCAGCCCGAAGCGCCTCACTATTTTTTCTATTTGGCGCTCGGCCTCCATCCACAATTCATCTACCGCACCGGCGTTCTCCGCGCGCAATGGGGCTTCAAGGGACGCCATTCTACCTCTCCGCTCCGCGCGCCACGTTTCTAAATCCCTCAAATCGTATTGGGCGACCCAGCCTTCCGCGACGTCGTCATCAGAGTCAGCCAGTAAAGCGCGCCAGGGTAACACACGACTGGGTTGTGGGGACATCGACGCGTTCTTGAGGGCCGCCTCCAGCTCACTTAGATCGCCGCGCTCGCTCAAGATGTCGTGGGTGTTGTCCAAATCATGGTGCATCGCGATGCCAAAGCTGGCACTTTCGTAGAAGCTTCGAGGGAGGCGCAGGTGGCCGTCGGGCGGCGCTCGATGGCCATGGCCGAAGACGCACGTAATATTCTCCTCGCTCAGCCTTCTCCCTGATCGCCCTTCATTATAAAAAACCTCTACGTCCGCCGGCGACAGACTTCGACGGTGCTCGAGAATGGCGTTCGTGATGGACGCGGCGTCGGTGTACCCGAAACCCTCTCCAGTAAGGTCGATGGCGTGCGTCGCCTTGAGCCACCTCCTTCGCAACTCGTGCTGGTGGTCCGCATGATGAACTATTCTCTGGGGAGGGAAGTGGTGCAAGGGTGTTCGAGGTTTGTGGTACTTCGGGTGGCGCACGCCCGCGTACCAGACCGCGTAGGCCGCTATTAACATTGGTACCAAGAGCTTGGTGGCGCCGGCGTCGACGAGCGCGCCCCGTATCGTATCGTCGGGCAGCTGCTTCATCAGGTCGTCGATGTCGTCGTCCGTGTCTCCATCGCGGGCGGGGAGCAAAGTGTGCTCCTCGTCGTCGTCGTCGTCGTGGGGCGTGTGCCTCGGTTGGCGCTGGTGGGCGCTCATGGTGTTGGGCTGCCCCGGCGCGCGCACGCGTCGATGGCGTCTCGGCGTTCCGTTGGAGAGCAGGTCTACGACCGTCTGGCCGTGGGAATCGCTGCCTCGGCGCGTTTGCGGCAACTCACAGCGGCACTTTTTGGAGCTGGACTGTCGGGTTTTCTGTCAGGCCCGAATCGGCGCAGGCTTGCGGCTGTCGACTCCAGCATCAATGCCGCGACTCCTGCCGCGCGGAGGCCTAAAATGGCTAAATCGTCTCCGGCGGACAAAACTGCTTAAATTTGACTTACGAGGTGTTGTTTAGCCGGGGTATGCCCACACCGAGACACTATCAAGGAGAGCTGAGCGCCTCGTCGACAGCCCTATCTGTTGCCAAGCCACTGTGAGCTGCGCTCCTCCGCACGCTAGCCCACGCTTGAATAAAAGGCCTCTCGCGCCAGCCGCCGCTAATTGGCAATTACAGGCGCCGGGGCCCTCAAACGGGCCACCGAGGGCCTCATTGAACTCCCGCAACACCAAAGACAAGCCGCCGCCGCGCACTACGACCAAAGATGTCCACGCGCCGCAACGCCGGCACGCACCCGCACTACTCGCATAGCAGGGACCCGAACCCCGTGAAAGGCGCCTGGCAGCCCGACGAGGATGCCCGTGTGATTGAATTAGTTTCTAAACTCGGAGCGAAGAAGTGGTCTACCATCGCCGCGCATCTACCGGGTCGAATCGGCAAGCAGTGTCGGGAGCGGTGGCACAACCACCTCAACCCGGCCATCTCGAAGGAGCCCTGGACGGAGGATGAAGATCGCACTATCCTCGTGGAACACGCGCGCGTGGGCAACAAGTGGGCCGAGATCGCGTCGAAACTCCCAGGAAGGACAGATAATGCCATCAAGAACCACTGGAACTCGTCGATGAAGCGCAAGGTCCAGAAGTATTTGTCTTCTCGCGGATACTCGGGCCATCCGGGCGACGATCAACGGTTCGATTTGCACGACGACGTCGAAGGATGTTTGGAAGCTTGTCGCGCGAACTACACGGGCATCCAGCCCGTGAAGCGGCAACCGGTGGCGAGGCAAGTTTCAGTTTCTCCGACGGATCCTTTAGCCATGTTGACGGCAGCAAATGCCTACGCGGAGCCCATCGCCCGGGCGCCGCCCAAACAACGAGGAAAAAGGAAGCGCGAGACCAGGAGACCCATCGTCATGACCAAGGCCGAGATGCGGCGCGCGGCGGAGAAACGATCCAAGGAGCGCCAGGTGCCCGCTAGTCCCCTCTCGTCGTTGGCGGTGGCGGCGACGGCGCATTCTTCACCGGGCGGCTTCGACGCGCTGGTCTTCGCGACGTCTCCGTTACGAGACATCGCGTCGGCGGGTCTGGCGACGCCAACCTCCCGAGCGGGGGGCAAGGTCGACTTCTCGCCCGTGTTTGACTTCGGGGGCGGCGGCTCGGCCTACTCGTCGCCGGCGGTCCAAAAAATGCCCCTCATCTAGTAAAAATACTACCTCTTAAAGTCGGGATACAATATCCCATCTACTACATGGAGCACCGTCCCATGTTGACAGCTAATGTCCATCTCCAATACCAAAGCTCGCCTAGGCGGACTGGGATCCGTATCCAACCACACGGCGTAGCGCCCGTCCGGCTGGACCCGCGTCCTAATACCATGTCTCGTATCCACATGGCGTCCTAAAACACGGCCGGCAACGGCCATATCCCCCATCTTCCAGGGCCCATCGATGACGTGCACGCCCCAGCAGTCATCCTCGAACGCATCGTCATCTCCTAAAAACGCGTCGTCCGTCGGTACTAGTACGGTACAGCCTCGCAGATCCGGTGCCTGTTCTCGTACTAACTGAGCGAACTTGCCGCAGTTTTCCAATGCGTCGAGTTGTGATTGCACATCTAACAGTAACGAGAACTGGCGCCTCCTTTCCTTAAGTCGGACGGTTCTCAGCTTCGCGGCCTCAACCTTCTCCACGAGGCGCTCGCAGGCCCGCGTCGCGCGCATCAACGCGCCCCGCTCCCCGTCGTCGGCGCTCTTCGCGCGGCGCATGCGCCTACATAAAGCCTCGGCCTCCTCGAGCGCGCGTATTGCTCTTCTCTCCGAGGGCACGTCGCCGTCCTGCGTGGATAGCGATAGCGTCGACGGCGTGCGGCCTCCACGCCGTCGAGGGACGCCGCGCCGCGGGCCTGGTCGTGCGTGTCGTCCAGGGTCCTTCGTAATGCCGAGAGCGCCATGTCGTGGCGCTTCGCGACCTGCGTCCATCGAACATGAGCGGGGTAAACATTGATCTCTCATCGTCAGAGCCGAGGGAAGCGCTCGCGACTCGCCTTTTTTCGGTCGTCCTCCGCGCATGACCGCGTCGGCCATACGCTCGTTTATTGTCGTCACCGCGCTTTCCTCTCTATGTGAATAAATGACGCTGCATACATACAGCCTTGGGCGGCGTCCGGGGGCGCTCGGCGGCCCGCCGCGCGTCGAGCGTCGCCCGCCTCACTCTCTTTTCGTGCGCGAGGCGCCTCGCCATGATGCGGCGCTCCGTGAAGTAGCCCGACGCGTCGTAGGCGCATTCTATATCTACCATGACGTCGCGGAAGAGAATCGCGCCGCCCGCGAGCGCCTCGAAGGCTCTTTCAAAACTCCGTTGCTTCTCAAAGCGCACGTAGAGGCGCGCCAGGGGCCGCGCGGCGCGCGGCCGGAAGCGGCGCCGCCGCGAGCCGCCGCGCGAGCCCCGCGACGCCTGACGGGGCGGCGAGTCGAATTTCGAGGGCAGGCCGTCGTCCCGCGAGGGCGCGCGCGACGTCGAATGCTCGAACAGGCTTAAGGCGTCGGCCGACCCCCGCGAGTCGACGGACCGCTCGTCTCGAGGCGGCGAGCGGACCGGCGACGGCGGCGGCCTTTTTTGTAGCGACGAGTCGACCGTGAGGTAGGAGTCGACGGACGGCTGCACGTCTAGTTGTTCGAAAGCTTCCTCCTGGACCTCGATATCGATGACGGTTCCGAAGTTTGTGGCGAGGAAGCTCCTGACGGACGCCGGCCGGTCCCGAAAAAAACCGCCCGGGAAGCCCTCTATTTTCAGAGTGCGCGTGCCGACGGCGGACGTGGCGGACTTCGGCAGCTCGATCGGGAACGATGGTGGGATGATCGTCGGGGCGGCGTTGGGGGTGCTGGTGGTGGAGGCCATGGTGTGGCGGTGGTGGTGGTCTTCCACCACTTAGTTGGTTTCTTATGTCACCGCATGAGTGAAATGCGACACCAGCTCGAGCGCTGGGGTCCAGTATGTCCTTAGATAGCGCTCTGCTGCCTCGTTTACTAGTATGTTACACGCTATCAACTTGCGTGAGATTTGCTCAGGATCGCAACAGCTGTCTGTGTCCTGGCATTCGTTTCAAGAACAGCCAAGAACAGCAAACAGTGCTGGTGCCATCCCCATCGACGTAGCGCAAGACTGTTAGACAAAGCTCACACACTGCAGCTGCCAGCTGGAGCGCCGCCGCTGCAAGCCCTCTACGATGCGCTACCTATGCCTCGTCGCACTGGCATCAGCCCTCACGCCGCCGCCGACGCCGCGAGCCCTCCGGCCCGGCCCCGACGCGCGCCTCGAGACGCTCTCCGAGACGCCGCGCATCTACCGCGTCGCGAACGCATTAGATAGAGCCACCTGCGAGGCGCTGATCGCGTCCGAGGCTGCGTCACAAATGACGACGTCGAACGCGCCGGCCGCGCAATTGGACCCGGAGAAATTGACGCTGCTCGCGCCGCTCATTTTGCTGGCGCCGCTGCCACGGGTCGTCGGCGCGCTCATGAATGGTGATGATCTCCTGGCCGCGGCGCTGCCGCCCTTGATTGGCGCGACGGCCGTCGCCGCCGCGCTGGCGTACCTCGCCCTGAAACTCGCCGACGCCTCGGCTTCCGGAAGGCGCACGAGCGGGGCCGCGCAGCTCGATGCGACGCTGGGCGGCGAGGTGGCGCGAACAATCGCAGACCTCATGGAGACGACGCCCGCGCACTTCGAGGCGCCGGTCCTGACGCGCTACCAGGAAGGTGAAAAATTCGCTTTGCACGGCGACGCTTCGGCGACGCGGGGCGCGGAGTGGGCCGACGAGGGTGGCCAGCGCGTGGCGACGTGTATCCTCTACCTCAACGACGTCCCCGAGGGCGGCCGCACGGTATTTGATCAGGCCGGCATTTCCGTGGCGCCGCGGCAGGGCGACGCGTGCGTCTTCTTCCCGTCGCACCACGCGTCCAAAGAACCGGACCCGCTCACGACGCACTACTCGGACGCGGCCGTCGACGAAAAGTGGATCGTCCAGGTCTTCGAGCGGGAACGGAGGGTGCCGCCGCCGCTGGGGTTGCCGGACGAGGCGATACGATCACGCTAAGAATGATTCTATGTACTTCTAGTGATTTACCTTAAATAACTTTACCCCACCTTCCCACTAGAGCTCCTTCCCCCGCGAAAAGAACGACCCGAAGCCCGAAGAAGACTCCTCGGCCGCCGGTACGGCGTGCTCGAGCTCGCCGACGAACTGCAGGAAGCGCACGACGCCGAGCACGAGCGCCAATAACCAAGCCGCCCTGACAGCACGCCCTTGAGACGTCGCCGCCTCGTCCAGCGTCGCCAAAGCCCGCGGCGCGAGCGAGTGCAGCGCGAGCGCGAGAAATGAACCGGCCGTGAACGCAACCATCTCGGCTTCACGGGAGGCGACCCACGGCGACGCCGCCAGCGCCACGCCGCCGAAGCACGTTAACGATGCCACAAAGTTGGCTGCTAACAAAGGCCCGGTCGCGAAGCCCGCTCTTCTCAGCACGGCGAAGTCGCCCAACTCTTGCGGGAGTTCGTGGACCGCCACGGCGATCGTCGTCGCGACGCCGGCCTCTCTATTCAGGTTCCAGGCCACTTGTAACGCCATGCCGTCCGCGAAGTTATGTAAACCTTCTACTAATAGGTTGGCCACCCCGAACGGCTCGATCGTACCAGTGTTACATGCATCACAAATCTTCTCGAAGGCTAACACGGCTACGACGCCCGTAACTAATAGTACACCATATCTATCGGCCGTCTCCTCGTCCGTGCCCTCGAACGTCTCGGGTATGAGGTGCAAACACGCGTCGCCGATCATGGCCGTCGCCGCGAGCGTCAAGCACGTCGCGTCGAAGAAACTCACGGCCTTGGCGTCGTCAATGCCAAACTTGCTTGCCAATCGTCCGCAGCCGACGAAGACGAGCGCGCCCGCGAAGGAGATGACGGACATCAGCGCTGCCGCCTGGTAGGCCGAGGAGACGACCATGATGCTTTGTGATTCTTTTGCGCGGCTTTGCTCGGCTCGTACGCGCACGACGCGGAGAGGCTCTCACTGCACTTGATTGCAGTATGCTCGCTATCGAGGCTTGGAGTCGCGTCGAAGGCGTAAGGCTCGGCTGAGTTGCTGTGGACGTCTCGTGCGCGGTACCCAGTGATGCCTTATGGCGCGTAGAGCAACACTGCGGCGAGTGCAAGGCAGCACGCGCGCTGCGATTAGCTAGCGAACCTGTAACACACTAGCAAGATGGGCAGCCTTGCAAAAAACAGCGCCAGTAGGAGTACTGCTGACCAATTGATCGGCAAACGCAGCCTAGGATCACATTCATTACCTCACGCGACAGCCACAAAACTCTGAGCCCCGACAGCCCGACAGCTCTCACAGCTCTCACAGCCTAGGATCACATTGCGTCCCGCGACAGCCAAAAGACCGACACAGACCACACTGCTCACAATGGTGCGAGTCGTCCAGCAGAGCGAGATGCTCTCCAAGATCCCGCCCTTAGCAAAACTCATGGACGCCATGCGCGACGCCTACGAGGAGTTCTCGGCGGGCCACGCCTACGTCGCCGACGTGCAGCACGTCCACGTCGAGCCGCACGACGAGGACGACGAAGGAGGAGGCCACGCGTGCGTCAAGTCCGGCTACATCAAGGGCAAGGCGTCCTGGGTCGTCAAGGTCGCGGGCGGCTTCCCCGGCAACGCGGCTCTGGGGCTTTCCAACTCTCAAGGATGCATGCTCCTCTTCAGCCAGACGACTGGAGAGTTAGAGACCATCCTCTTGGATAATGGTCATTTGACCGACGTGCGGACGGCAGCCGCGGCGTGTTTATGCATCTCGAAGTTCGCGCCGGCAAAAGCGGCGTCGCTATCCATCCTCGGGACTGGTGTTGTTGCCAAGCTCGTGGCGGAGTACGCCGTCGACCTGGGTTTTGGAGGTATTATTGTCTCGTCGCGCACGTCAGAGAGTGCTGAAAAGTTCGCGGCCTTCGCTAAATCAAAGGGCTGGGCCAAGGTGTCGATCGAGTCGTACGCCGCGGCGACGGCGCGCGCCGACGTGATTGTGTGCTGCACGCCGTCGACGGAGCCGCTCGTGCCTTCCGTAAAATCCGGGGCGTTGGTGGTCGCCTTGGGTGCGGACGGCCCGGGCAAGCGCGAGCTGGGCCCCGCCGTTCTTAGGGGAGACGTGAAGCTTCTCGTCGACAGTCGCAAGCAGTGCGAGGCCTTCGGCGAGGCATTTTATAGACCGGAGGGCCTCCCTACCGAAGAACTCGGCGAGCACAAGTGGGCGGGCGCGCCGCCGCGGGCGACGCCCGAGACCGTGATCGTCTGCGACCTGACGGGCATCGCGACGCAGGACGTAGCTATTGCTTGTGCTGTCCGGGACGCGGTCGTCGCTGAGGACGACGGGGCTAAGTGAATATGTATTGAGAATACTAGTGTGTTACAGATCGCTAGCTAATCCACCGCGGCGCCGCGAGGCCGCAGCGGCGCAAGGGCGTCGCCATCTAATCAGTGGGTACTTGTTGCAGCCTCCATTGAAAGCGGTTAACAGCAACCTTCGCTCACCAGACGCTTCCACGCGGCCACAACTAAACTCCCAGCAGGGGGCCGACACACAGCTAGCCGAAGCAATGGCGCAGCCGAGACGCGGCGGCTGGACCACCGCCGCGGTCCTAGGCCTCCTCGTGCTGCTCATGGGCCGCGCGCTCTACGTCCAGAACGAGACGGCGCAGCGCCGCGACGGCTTCATGAACGGCGACGTGCCGCGCACGCATTCATACAAGCGCCACGACGCGAGCGAGCACGTGAACTTTTTTGATCAGTTCATGCGGTCGGAAGCCGAGGCGCGGAGCTTACGGGAGCGCGAGGCCGATCAACAGCGGTGGAATACCCCCGAAGCACCACCACCAATACAACAAAAGCCGCTGCAGCGACCCGGAAGGGGCAGCACGCCGCGCGACGAGTGCGCCTTCATGATGCAGAAGCATTCCGTAATTCCGGGCGCGAACTGGGGCAGCCTCGGGCCGAACGGCCAGCGGCGCTGGACGAAGCTGCGCTGCGACGGCCTCGTTGGAGGTTCAAGGGTACGCGCGCCGCCGCCGCGACACATAAACGTCCCCGAGCTCGAGACCTGTCCTCCCTCGACGCAAAATCAGCCTCTGATCGCGCTCTGCTGCGGGACGACCACCCGAGGTAAACAAGGCTGGATCACTCCCCAAAGATTGGACGACCTGGCCGTGTTCCACCACCTCCTCCCGTCCTTCCACCGGACGGTCGAGTGCGGCTTTAGATATGTGGTCGTTTTGGGCTACGATATTGGTGATCGATGGTGGGATCTCGGCGGCGGCGCCGAGCAAGGGCGACGGTGGTTCCAGGAAAATATCAAGAGCCAGCTCGCCGCCAAGAACGTGCAGGTTGAACTAAGATACGCCGTCGTCGACAACAAAGTCAAAAAGCCGGGCCCGGTGTTCACGGGAATAACGCGCGAGGCTTTCTACGAAGCCAAGGCCGACTACATCTATCGAGTTAATGATGATACGGAACTCGCGACGAGGTGGGCCAAACATTTTGTGGAAGCTCTTAGTTCAATGAACAATGTCGGGGCCGTCGGCCCGGCGTGCCAGCAGGGGAATCGACGTATTTTAACGCACGATTTCACGCACCGAACCCATATGGAGATTTTTGGCGGGCAGTACTACCCGCCGCAGCTCTCGGACTGGTGGATGGACGACTGGATTAGTAGAGTGTATGGGCCGCGGCGGACGCTGCGCGGCGATTCGGTGGAGGTGATCCACCACACGGGCAAGCACGGCCAGCGCTACCAAGTGGATCGAAGTCATGCGAACTTGCTGCACGGCCTGCTGCAGAAAGGTGCCGCTCAGATAGAACGGCACCTCGCGGAGGCGACTACCGATAACGTGGTGCGGGAGCCGCCCGACGGCTTCTCGCGCTTCGCGTTCAACAACCGGCCCGGCGGCGCGCGGGGGGTGCGGCGCTCTGTGGGGCCCGGGCGGCGGGGCGGGGCGCGCGTGTTTAGCGGATAAGTAGTGTTCTTCGTGTGCCGCGCTCGTGCCTTCGTTGTTTGCCTAGCTCGTGCCCGACGGCGCGCGGCGAGTCGCTCGGTGTCGCTTGGTTCGCTTGGTCACCCTCGTGGCACGCCGGTCTGCCGAGTCCGCGGCCTAATCGCGGGTGTTCGCCAAAGCCGCAAAAAAAGGAACTTCGCTCTCGCGTACCTGCTTCAGACCTCGAGAGCTCACCGCGTCCGCCAGCATAGCCCCGAGACCCGTTCTGCTCCATCTTCAGCTCCGCGTTACGTGCAGTCAGCTCCCTAGTCAGCTCGGCAAGAAAAGGAAAAAAAGAAGTCCCTTCAGAATCCGCCGACGCCTCCAGTTTCATCCAGGATCCGAGGGATCAACGTCGAAATCGTGGCGCGGCGGTGTAGTTCTACATCAGAGATGAAGTATTTGCTTCTCAAAGTTGAGAAGAGATGTCAGACAACTATAGAAAAGATTCTAAAGAGTATTGTCGACGAGAGGAGAAGTCCAGGCCCCCTGGTGGAGCGTATATACGTGCGAGCACTTTTGCTCTCCCAGATTGTGGCTTGGCAATTAAGGGCTGCCCGGACGTCGCGATGGGGTGAAAATGGCAAGGGCATGCGTGTTGCATCTTTCATTGACGGTCGCATTGGTTCCGCCGGTTGCCAGGCTGTCCAGACATGTTGTATGTCCAGGGGCAGCATATGATTACTACATCCAGTGCTTGGGCTGCACGGCGGAGGAAGCTTGCAAGGCCGAACGAAGGTTGTTACCGAGTATCGCAGAAAGCCTGACACGGACGCAAATTGATTGCTTGTGCGGTTGGCTACAGTCCTCGCTCGACCTGAGCGACGCGGAGCTGAAGAAGGTGGTGACAGTAAATCCAACACTGCTGGGCTACAGCGTCGAAGCGATGGCGTCGACGTTCGACTGGCTACAGGATCGTCTTGGCTTGGACGCGACGCAGCTAAAGACGATGGTTGTGCGGCACTCAAGACAGATGGCGCGGAGCGTCGAGAGCATGGAGTCGAACTGTGACTGGATGCAGCGACGGCTCGACCTGGACGCGAAGCAGCTGAAGAAGTTGGTCATGGGTCGCCCGTCAGTGCTGGGCTACAGCATCGATGCCATGGTGTTAAGGCTCGAGTGGCTGCAAAGGCGCCTCGACCTTGATGATGCGCAACTAAAGAAGGTTTTTCTGCTGAAACCTGCACTGCTGACCTACAGCGTCGAGGACAACCTGGCGCCGACGCTCGACTGGCTACAGATGCGCCTCGATCTGGACGACGCGGGGCTGAGGATGATGGTACTACGGCTACCAGCAGTGCTGAGCTACAACATCGAGGACAACTTGGCGCCAACGCTCGACTGGTTGCAATCGCGCCTCAACCTGAATAGAATGGAGCTGAAGAAAATGATAGTAACTTTCCCATCATTATTTGGCTACAGCGTCGAAGACAACGTGGAGCCAAAGTTGGACTTCTTTGAGCGAGACCTTGGTTTGTCCGTTTCGGACGTGCGCGCGAAGATAATATCCGCCCCATCTCGTTTGGGGCAAAGCCTAAAAAAACGGTACCGGCCACGTCTCGAAGTATGCCGCGCTGCCGGGGCTGATCCTGCGATTGTCCTCAATAGCGCCGCGTACACCGACGAAGAATTCTGCAAGCGCGTCGGCGTCCCCCTCGAGGCCCTCCGCGCGGCCCAGGAGACCGTGTAATGTGATGTACTAGTCACGGCATGAATTCAAGTTCGATAGACTCGGAAACTTGAAATCAGCCGAGCGCCGACTCGGAGCGCTGCCAAGTGCGCTGCCAGTGGTCGACGCCATCGACGCGACGTCGCGCGGACACTGCTAAGGGGACATATGTTAACCGGGAGAAAGCGCAGCGCCCTACTTGAGCTCGACCTTGGCGCCGCCCTCCTCGATCTGCTTCTGGATGTCCGCGGCCTCGTCCTTGGGCGCGCCCTCCTTGATCGTGACCGGCGCGGACTCGACCATGCCCTTGGCCTCCTTGAGGCCGAGGCCCGTGATCGTTCGCACGATCTTGAGGACCGCGATCTTCTTGTCCGCCGGCACCTCCGTCAGGACGACGTCGAACTCGTCCTTCTCGTCGGCGGCCTCGTCGCCGCCGCCCGCCGCTGCGCCGCCCGCGACGGCCATCGCGACGGGTGCGCTGCTCGCGTCGACGCCGAACGTCTCCTCGATCTTCGACACGAGTTCCGAAGCTTCCACGAGGGTGAGGCCCTTGATGTCCTCGAGGATGGAGTCGACCGACGCGTCCATGCGCACGGACGTCGGTCGTGCGGGCGGGGCCATGAACCCGGCGACGGCGACGGCGGAGGCGGCGATGAGGAGGCGCTGCATGTTTGTTGTTGTTGCTTTTTAACTTGTGTAGAGCCTGTGTTTGGGTTGCGGTGAGCGCGGCGGTCCCGCGTCTGGGGTCTCTCTTTGCGTTTTTGCCGTAAATTCGCTCTCGCGGACACGTTTCGGGTCGGGCGAGCACACGACAGCATGTTTTAGCGCATCGGCGGCGTCTCGGGATTAGCCCAGCGCCATCGACGCACTACTTCAAACATGGGCAATCGCCGTCCACGGAGGCGCAGCGCTTCGGCGCGAAGCGCGGTAAGTTGGCTCGGCAAGGGAACGGGCCACCGTGATGGGTTGCGTCGTGTAAAAGTGCTTACGCTGGCTGTAACAGAGGGCTAATTGCGTCCTCGCTGCACTCGGTCAGTGCTCAGCCAAGGAAGCGGGGCTTCGCCCCGAAACGCCTCGCAACGCAGGGTACTCGGTGCCGCACGGACTCCGAAGACGCCTGGCCGAGCGCAACCCGAGGCATCGTGCTCAGGGTGCACAAAACACCAGCAAACACCATGACGCCGCAAATACCCCTCCCTGCAGCACAACGAGACGCCTCCGACGCGGCGAGGAGGGGGTAATCGGGCGAGGGCCGCCCAGACTTGGAGCTTGCCCACATCTAGCTCATACGGCATCACACGTCAAATCGGCTTCCGCGCGACTGCAGAAGGTGTCAACAGCTGCAAAAGACGCAGCGATAACGCTCTAAACGAAGCGCAGCAAAGATGAGGGCGTCGGCTCTTGTGGGTGCGCTGCTCTCTGTGAGCAGCGCTCTCCAGGCGCCCGTCCTCAAGGCGCCGCGCGCCGCGCCGCTACAGTCGACGATCGACCGCGCCGCGAACCGCGAAAAGACAGATGCAGTGGGCCGCTACTGCGCCGACGATAAAAGCCCGGAGCGCCGCTCGACGTCCACGGTAAAAGTCGGCCAAGTCAGGATAGGGAGCAGCGACCCCATCGTGTTGCAGACCATGGGCACGACGGACACGAACGACGTCCAGGCGTCCGTCGAACAGATCTTGCGATGCAAGGAGGCCGGCGCGGACATGGTCCGCCTCACGGTCCAAGGCATCGGCGAAGCAAAGAACTCCCTGAAGATCCGCGAGCAGTTGGATGCGCAGGGCGTGCACATCCCCCTCGTGGCCGACATGCACTTCAACCGCAAGGCGGCGATGATCGCCTGCGAGGCCTACGACAAGATCCGCGTCAACCCCGGGAATTTCGCGGACGGCCGCAAGACCTTCGAGGAGATCGACTACGACGTGCGGGGGCGGCGTCCGTTGTTTCCACGCCATCGACGCGTTCCCGTCGAGAGGTGGACGCCGTCGGGGAGAGAGCCACGCATCACAAGGTCGCTATCAACACAGGACCCGCAGCAGTTCGAAGATGAACGAGCCTACATCGAGAAAACGTTTACGCCCTTAGTGGAACGGTGCAAGGAGCTCGGACGGGCCATCCGCATCGGCACGAACCACGGTTCATTGAGTGCAAGGATCATGTCCTTCTACGGCGACAGCGCGCAGGGCATGGTCGAGTCGGCCCTCGAGTTCGCGAACATCTGCCGCAAGCTAGATTTTCACAACTTCGTCTTTTCGATGAAGGCGTCGAACCCTGTTGTGATGGTTCAAGCTTACAGACTACTGGCGGCGACGCAGTACGAGCTCGGCTGGGACTACCCGCTGCATCTGGGCGTGACCGAGGCGGGCGAGGGCGAGGACGGGCGCATGAAGTCGGCCATCGGCATTGGGGCTTTGTTGGCGGATGGTCTGGGCGACACGATCCGCGTGTCGCTGACGGAAGATCCCGAGTTCGAATTGGAGCCCTGTAGAACGCTAGCTCAACTAGGTGACGAGGCCGTGTCTGATGCCAACAGGCAGAAGGCCCAGAACGTCATTGAGTTCGATGATTCCGAGACGCGGCCGATCACGTCGTTCACGAGGAGGGAAGTCACGCTCGCACCGTCGATCTACACTGATGAGTTTCAAGCGCTACACAGAGACGGTTCGGTCCTGACCGCCGTCTCCGCAACTGACCTGGAGGACGAGCAGGGCCTCTACGCGAAACTAGGCATGAAGACGGCCGTGGGCATGCCGTTCAAGGACGTCGCGTCGTCGGACTCTATTGTCCTTTCCGAAGTGCCCTCGGACAAGACGCAGTTGAGGACGCTCTCCCGACTGCAGACGGCGGGCGTCGGCGTTGTCGTCCCGGCCTCCGTGCTGGCAAAAACGCCGTTGGAAGGCGCCATCGCGCTCGTCGACGGCGGCGAGGCGACGCCGGAGTGCGCGCGGGCGGCTGCTCTGCGGCTGACCGGCGCCGAGACCGACGCGGAGCTGAAAGCGGCTTCGCAAAGGAGCGACGTCGCGTTCGCTATTGTAGACATCGACGTCGAGAACTTGTCGAGGACGCATGCGGCCCGACGGGTCTTCCACCACCTCAAGGCGAACAACTGCGCCTACCCGGCCATCTTACGGTTAGGTTATGATGCCCAAACGGCGAGGGCGCCGAACAACGGTCCCCTGCGAAAGGACCTGTTCATCCTGCGCATGGGCATGGACGGCGGGTCCTTGTCCGTCGATGGTCTTGTTGATGGGTTCTTCGTCGACGCGCCTTTTGACGTCGAGTTCCTGAGGACGGCGTCGTTTGGTCTGTTGCAGGGCTCGCGCATGCGGAACGTGAAGACGGAATTCGTGTCGTGCCCGTCGTGCGGGCGGACGCTCTTCGATCTGCAGGAAGTCACGGCGCAAATCTCGGACAGAACAGGACACTTACCCGGCGTGACGATCGCGATCATGGGCTGCATCGTGAACGGCCCGGGCGAGATGGCCGACGCCGACTTCGGGTACGTCGGCGGCGCGCCGGGCATGGTCGACCTGTACGTCGGCAAGACGGTCGTGCGGAGCGGCATCCCGAACGAGGACGCGTGCGACGCTTTGGTGGAGCTCATCAAGGAGAACGACCGCTGGGTCGAGCCTTCGGAGGTCGAGGAGGAGGAGCTCGTCGAGGCCTAGGTTTCTTGCCCCCTTACTAAGTAGTGCACTTGAGCACAACAACTTAGGACGACGACGGGAGCCCTCACTCGAGGAAGGTTCGCTCCTTGAAGGCCACCGCGCCAAGAGCCGTGCCGAGGTCGCGCACCGAGGCGGTGTCGGCAGTCGCGACGGCAGTGACGGTGGTCTCGACGCCGGCCTCACTCAGAGCCGAGATGAATTCGCAGGCCCCGCCGAAGGACGCGCCGCTGACGTCGCCAATCGCACTTGGGCCGTCCTCGTGATATGCGGGAGTGTACGGCGGCGGCGAGAGCATACGTCGAGCGTAGCTGTCGGGGTCGGCCGCATTCAGGGCAATCGTCGCCGCCGTGACGCCGGCCTCGTGCAGCGTCCTGCGCGGGGAGTGGCGTCGACGGCACGCCATCGCCGCGTCGCAAGTCGAATAATACAAAGGACGCCGGCCACGGACGAGGCAACTTCCGCGGCACTCGGCGCGTCCGGCGGGAGCAGTCCATTGGTGTAGAGGGATATGGGCACCTCGTGGTGCTCCCTGACGCGGCGCGTGATCTCCGCGACGTCCGGCCATCGCAGCAGCGGATCTCCTAGTCCAGCGAAGGCGACACCGGGATCCGTGGCGCCACCGTCGGCGCGCCGCGTCCTTCCGACGTCCTGCCCCAGCGCCTTCTTGCGCTCGTCGTTGGCGTACGCGTCGAGGACGGCTGCCACGACGGCGTCGACGGTGGGCTCCGCCTCCAGCGGTGCGAAGCCAGATGACGCTGGCATCTGAAACGCGGGCCCGCGAGAAGCCACGAGCGACAGGCCGCGCGCGCGATTCGTGAGTTGCACGTAGAGCTGCGAGCCGAGCCAGTAGACCACTCCGCGCGCGGCGCAGGTGCTGGCGACCATTTTGCTGCTTTTAAGCGCAGTGGCGTACCACTCACGCGGCGTGCTGATGCAGGCACTCTGACAAGCTCAGTGATGCCGCTCGCACAGGTCTGCTCTCCCGGTTTTTTCTCTGTTCCTCGTCGCGCACGGTTGCGACCTTGCTCTTGCAGAGCTTTACGACCTCGTAGTGCACCGATGCGCCAGGTCGACGCCGCGGACTCGTGCCGTGATTGCTAGTGTCTTACAGGCCGCTAGCCGGCGCGCGGAGCCGCGCCCCGGGGAGCCAGCCGAGCAGTGTGGGCGGGGTTTTCGGCTGTCCCGGAATTCTGGCCACTGTAAGACACACAGTAGTTAAAACGCCGACGACGCAAACAATGACGCTCAGCCATCAACCCGCGGCACGCCGACCGCCGCGGGATCAGACACCCACGCCGGCAGGCACGCCAGCCCCCGCGCGCGCAGCCTCCTTATCAATTCCGCGAGCTCGACCCGCAACTGGACGTGGTAGACGAGGTCGGCGGCGTCCGTAACCAGGGAAGGCCGGTCCGCGAGGCCGCCCTCGAAGTGGTCCCGCAGCGCCTTCGCGAGCGCGAGGCGCGCGCCGGATTGCAACGGGTCCCCACCACCTTCGTCACTCTTGGTTGGCGGCGCCACCGAGAAATGCAGCGTGTGCTCTCCATCAAGTAACATGGCGAAGTCGCCGTCCGTGCACGTCAACAGAATGCGCTCGTCCTGCTTGAGGGCTTGGTAGAGGAGGTGGAGGTGCGCCTGTTGGCTTAACTGCGGGAGCGCGTCCTCCTTCTCGCGCTCTTCCTGGGCGCGGTCCCTCCTCTTCTCATCTTCCGCTGCTAGCAATTCCTTGTTCAGTTCCAAGCTCCGTCTCAAACTTCTACCCGCGGCCAGCAGACCCGCCCGCTTGTGCGCCGCGACGCGCTGCGCCGCCTGGGCCTCGCTCGGCGTGCTCACGCTCTTCACGCTAATAAAGTTTTGGGTCCGCGTGATCTCGAGCGTTCTCAACAGCAAGCTGAGCTCGTCGCAGGCCCCCACCAAGGTCTCGACGATGCTGGGGATCATCTTTGCTGTGGCGCGCGGCGGCTGGCGTGCTGTCTCTCTTGGGAGAACGAGTGCTGGTCTCTGCTGGCTCGCGTTGAGCTGCGTTTTGTTGCTCACAGCGACAGGGCTATGTAAAACTAAGCGTAGATGTGCGAAACGACGCCTATGCTAGCTTGCACCAGTTTTTTGCAAGGCGAGCAAAGCCGAGCTAGCGGCATGTAACACACTAGCAAGCGCGGTGCGCCTTGGTCTGCCTTCTGCACTCCTCTAGGGCCAGTTGAAGCCTACTGCTGGCCGCTGACGCTTCTTTTGGCTAGAGCCTCACCCAGCCAGGCTCGCTCCGAGGTGCTCGTAGGCCGCGAGGCGCGGCAGCGGGCGCTGGGCCCGTGCCTTTGAGCGTTTTTCTCCTGGTCCTATTGTGCCTTGCTTTCTTCGGTCGACGAGGCAGCGCCGCGCAGTAGGAGTGAACACGAGTAGCAACAGCTCTCGCAACAGTGATCTACGACAGTGATTTCGTAGCCCAACGACAGCTCTCCGGAGCAACAGTATACTAATCCATCACATCTCAACGACAAAAGCAACGCACACCAGCAGGATGTCAGAAATGCTAAACGCCGACGCGCCGGGCGGCTCGCCCCCCGCCTCTCCGCCTAGAGGACGGCCCCGGCTCCAGCTCAAGAAGCGCGACCCGGCGGCCGCCGCGAGGCTAGCCCAGCAGGCGCCGCGGCGAGGTTCCAACCCGTTCGGCGACGCAAAACCGAGAGAAGAAGTTTTGACCAACAAGGGAATTGATGTCAAGGCCATGGACCGCAAGACGGAGCTGAAAGCGCAAGCGGCCCACCGTTTGACAAGGCAACAGAGAGAAGAGGCCGACGCCATCGCCGCGGAGGTCAAGCACGCCGAGGAGGCTTTGAGAGAGGCCAATGAAAAAGAGCTGCCCGAAAATGCCCTGAGAGCCACTCTAGAACAGAAGCGCAAGGAGCTCAACGACCTCATGGAGCAGTTCGCGGCCGCGAATCTGGAGGCGCGAAGCCAGCCGCGGCCGCGCCAGGGCGGCCAGCCGCGCGCGAAGCCCGCGTCCTTCGCCCAGGCCGCCGGCGGCGCGGCGCCGCCGCCGCAGACGGGGCCCAAGCCCTCGATCCTCGGGGGCGGCGGGCCGAAGCCGTCGATCCTCTGAGTGTCGCGGGGCGCCGAGCGGCGTGGTTTGCAGGGGGATAAGTACCCGTCGCTTGCTTTGAAGGGTAGTACCGTGCGCGCATCCGTGCGCTCCGCGGCGCCTAGACTCTAGACTCTAGAGGATTTTCCGAGCTGCCAGCGGCGCTGGACTCAAATCATCGCGGTGCGCGCGCCACGCAGCAGCAGTGGTGAACGCTACAGTCGCATGGGAATCGTACGTTTCCTGCTTTTGCAGCGGGCTGCATGGGCTGCTCCTTTTCCGATCAGAAATCGAGCCAGGAGAGCCTCACAGTTGTTGTGCATGGGAGCAGCCACGATAGCCGAGACGTCCTAGGGCAGCAATCGGAGAGCACCAGACATCTCATGGGGACCGGCGCATCTCTGCTCGTGCTCCCCGACGGGACGACATGGCCTGATGGGGACCTCCGCGATGGCATGGCCTCATGCGTCGAGAGCCTGACGGAACTCCAGGCGAAGCTAGTGTCTGCTGGCGCCTGGACGGCGGAGGACCGCGAGGGCTTGGGCACGGCGCTGGACCATAGCCGCCGCGTCTACTCGAAGCTGATAGATGAGGCGCCGGCACACCGCGAAGAGATGCAGAAATTACGCAGCACGCTCCTCACGGATTTCAGCCCGCTTTACGTGGCCGGTTACAACATTGTAACAAAAGACCCCGGCTTCGCCGACTTCATCGCCCAGGCGGACCGCTGCGCGAGCAATGCACCGCAGCAGAAGCCGCGCCAGACCACGCCGCAGCTCGAGCAACTCTACGAGACTGGCGCGGTGAACGCTCGCGAGCCGTTCAAGAGCCTCCTCGACGCGGCGGGCGACAAACTCGCCGACGCTAAAATCGAAATGGCACCGCTGAAAAAGATGACGCGCACAGTTGAGAAGTCGATGCTCCGCCCGGACGCGGCGCGGCGCGGCGAAGTCGACGACATCTTGGACGTAGTCAGAGGCATGGTCATCTGCGGGAGCATGCACGAGCTCGGCGTCGCCCTGGCGTTCTTCGCCGAGCCCGATTGCGGCTGGAAAATCGTGCGCGTGAAGAACCGCTTCGCGGATGGCGCGCAGACCAGCGGCGGGTGGGCCGACTGCTTGCTGAACATCGTGCGCTCCGACGACCCTCACCAGCACGTCTGCGAGGTCCAGCTCGTTCACAAGAAGATGTTAGTCCTTCGAGGTGAAGACATGGGCGGCCACGACGCCTACAACCAGTACAGAAGAGCGGACGAGCTGCTCCTGGTCCTCGACGAGAAGGACGTATTCGCTCCTGTCCACCGCGCCGTCGGGATGCTCAAGGGGCTCGGTGTCGTGACGCCCGGAACGCCGGACCTCCCTCGCATCGCCGCGGGCGCCTCGTACAAAGCCGACACGCAAAAAGCGCTTGACTCGGCCCACAGTTCGCTCAGACTTGGTGGCGCTGCGCCATCGCTCGTCATCGCCGCGTACACGTGCACGCACGACAAAAACAAGGTCTTTGAGGGTTTGCGAAAACTTTGTCCTGATGTGCCTGTCGTCGGCGTGAGTTCGTGCCGCGGAGTCGTCGCCAACGGGAGATGGTACAGCAGCAGCAAAAGTAGGGCACTAGGCCTCTGGGCGATCAGCGACGACCGCGGCGACTACGACGTCGTGCACATCAAAGAACTAAGCAACGACGCGCAACAAGTTGTGGCCGACAAAGTCACCGCCGCCACGGCGGGGCGGCCAATGCCACAGTTTGTCCTCTGCTTTTCGGCGCTTGGCTTTTCAGAGGCGGTCCTCAAAGGCATAAAGAGCGTCGTCGGTGCGGTGCCCGTATTCGGCGGCACCGCGGCGGACAACGAACTCAAGAAGCCGTACGAGTGGAGCCAGTTCTCCTCCGAAGGCGGCGTTTCGCAAAACGGGGTCGTGCTGGTTCTCGGCTGGTCGTCCGTCGAGGTCGCATGCTACATGTCCTCGGGCTTCCAGCCGACGGAGCAGAAGGGCGTCGCGACGAGGACTAGCGGTTCTACTATCCTCGAGATCGACGGCCGGCCAGCGATGACTGTCTACGACGAATGGACAAGAGCGAGCGGCGAGGTCGTCGTCGGCCTCACGACGGGCTCGATAGACACCACCACGGAAGCCATAGCCGGCGAGCTGCGGCCGATCGGTGTGCCCCTCGACGACGACGATAAGGAATTCCGCGTGCTCCATCCGCTGAGTGTCGACAGCGCCGCCGGTTCGCTCACCGTCGGGGGCTGGGTTGCTGAAGGCACGAACTTGACACTTCTTGCGGCCGAAGCCGAGACGCTCGTGAACAATATTTGCGAGGTCTCCTCCGCTCTCGTCAAATCCGACGCGCAGAAGCGCCTCGGCGTCGATGCTTCCGGCGCGGTGGAGGAGTGTCTCGGCGCGTTCATGATCTTCTGCGGTGGACTAGTCAAGGCCTGTGTGGAAATCAACCAGTGTCGGGGTGTCGGGTGCACCCGATAATTCTTCACTAAGTCATTTCTCGGCGATGACGTGGCCGCGCTGGCTCCGTCGAGCGGTGAGGAACCGACATCGCCACGCCATCGAGCAGGTGTCGCGTCGATGGCGTGGAGATCGACGCGGCGATTCGGGACGAACGCGCCGTAAATTTGATTTCCACACAGGTCAAGGCACTCCAGGACGACATGGAGGAGAGATGGGAGGAGCTCGCGGACCCCGGCGGCAAGCGCGAGGCCCTCGGCATGTGCGCCTTCGGCGAGCAGGGGCCGAGGGGACACGGCAATCTCATGGTCGGCGCGCTCCTCTTCTCGAACAAGCCTGTGCGGCCAACACGACTGGAGCCGTCGTAGCTCTTCCTTTTTCTAGCATATTCAACTAATCACACTTTATCTGCACCGCTCCGCGCGCCCCCGCCGCTGCGCCTTCCGCCGCTCCTCGGCGGGGTCGCCGCGGCGCCAGAGGTGCGGCCCGCGCTTGCCGATGAGCGACTCATCATGATCCGGGGGCAACTCCAGCATTCTTTCTCGATCCTCCGGCAATATGGCCGAGGACACGGGCAGCGCGTTCACGGCGCGCCGCCGCTTCGCGGCCTCTTCAGCGCAAAGGCGCGCGTTCGCCGCGCTATCCGTCTCGACTTCGACCTCGGCGGTGCCCGTCACGCCGAATCCGTGAGTCCCACCCTTGGCGAAGGCGCGTTCCGCATCTTTCGAAACGTCCTCGAGGCCCTCTAATTTTGGCACCGCGTAGAGCGCGTCGTCGCGGCTCGCGGCCGGCGCCGGCGCGGGCTCCGCCGGCGCTTCTTGATTCGCAAGATACTCCTCCAGCGCCTTCTCGTGGACCGCGGCCGCCGCCGACGCGCCAGTGTGCGAGGCGCCGAAGTCGCGGCCGAGGCCGCCGAGCGCGTCTGCGTCGGCGGCGGGCTCTTTTGGCGCTTCCTCCGCTTTGGTGGGCTTCGGGGCCACTAGTGCCTGGGCCGAGAGGCCGCGCGCACGCTTGCGCGCCTCCTGGGCGAATTTGGCGTCGTCCAAGGCGGCGGCGGTGTCCTCGGCCGGCGCGTCGACTTTCGGCGCCGTCGCCTTCTTCTGGCCCTTGAGCGTTCGCTTTTTGAACATCGCGTTCTACGACTTGCTTTGGCGCGGCGGTTTTTTAGTCTGCAGTTTTGGAAATAAGGCTGCGCGCGATTGATGCGGTCGTGAGTGAGACTGAATGCGTACCACGACGATGCGCGCGATCGCTCCGGTGGGTGAGTGAGGCTGTGAGATGCTGTGAGGACAAAGAGAGGGCCTGGGAGAGGCAGACTGGCAGCGCTGCTGGCAGAGCTCCGTCTCAGGCGTCCGTAATCAGACCAAGCAACCAGAATTGTCCGCCAGCGATGCGACAGGCGCGCGAGGCCGACTATGGCAAGCTAGTGTGTCGATACGCTAGCTCAGCGTTTTGGCCCAACTTAAAATTGAGGGACCCAGGGCGTGACTCTTCGTACAAGTCGCACGTTGTGCAACATTTTTAAGCTGTGCGCGGATCAGCAAAGCAGCTGCACTCAAAAGCAGCGCAGCATCAAGCAGCAACCCCTCCCCCAAAGCGGCGACGCAAACGTCACAACGCCGTCGACGCGCAGCACCGACCGTACAGATCAAAAAGATGAGAACGCACCTCAAGGCGAGCAAGTTCGTCGTCGTAAAGGCCGGGACCTCGACCGTCAGCCACGACGACGGCACGCCCTCCTTACCGCGGCTCGGCGCGATCGTCGAGGCTGTGTCTCAATTGATGCGCCAGGGCACGAAGGTCATTCTGGTGTCGAGCGGTGCCGTTGGATGTGGTCGATCGGTCCTGAGGAAGCAGGCGGCCCTGCACCGAACTTTAAGGGACCACATGAAGAGTCAGGAGGTGACGGAGGGCGCGGGCTACTCGGCGGCGGCCGCGGCGGCCGGCCAGTTAGCTCTCATGTCATTATATGAGACGTTATTCGCCACCCAAGAGATCGAACCGTCTCAATTCTTAGTGACGAGGAGGGATTTTGTCGACGAAGCCTGCAGAAAGAACCTCCAGCACTCCATCCAGGCCATCATGGACGTGGGCATGGTGCCCATCATCAACGAGAACGACGCCGTGTCGGGGAATGCGGGGTACTCGGAAGTGCCGGACGGTTGTTTTTCTGACAATGACGGCTTGGCCGCGCTCGTGGCGAAGCTCGTCGGCGCGGACTGTCTGATCATGCTGACCGACGTGGAGGGGTTGTACGATCGGCCGCCGTCGGAAGCGGGAGCGCGGTTGGTGCGAGAGGTGCACCCCGCCTCATTGAAGGACTGGAAGTTCGGGGGGATTTCCAAGGGCGGCCGCGGCGGCATGGAGGCCAAGGTCAACGCCGCTTTGGGGGCGCTCGAGGTGGGCGTCAAGTCCGTGGTCCTGGCCTCGGGCTCGGAAAAGGAAGTGCTGCAGAGGTGCGGACTCGGCGTCTTCTTTCATATCACGTCGCCGCCACGCCGTCGACGCGGTTCTCGCGCAGGGTCCTCGCCGGCGACGACGTCGGCACGTACTTTAGTAATGACATCGCGCGGAAGCCGTCGCTTGACGAAGGCAATCCGCTCGAGGCCGTCGGCCAGAGCGCTAGACGAGCGGCGCGGGCGCTGCAGGCGCTCGAGGCCGGCGACCGCACGAAGATCCTGCAGGCCATCGCCTCTAAGTTACGAGCGGCCGCGCCGGCGATCCTCGCGGCGAACGCGGCCGATGTCGCCGACTCGGGCGACGTGGCGCGCGAGCTGCGCCAGCGTTTAGGGTTGTCCTCGGCCAAGCTCGAGACCGTGGCGAAAGGCGTGGAAGCACTGGCCAACGCGAAGGACCCCGTTTTCTTTCCGGCGTCCCCTTTTGCTTCATCTGCGACGGCGTACGTCACGAGCACATAGAATGGCGTATGGGTGGCAGCCGACGCCACCGACGCGACGCTTCTCCGAGAGAGACTCACCGCTCTATAAAACACAGGTCGGCCAGCTGCTCGAGAAGCGCGAGCTCTCGCCCGGACTCATATTAGAAAAGCGGTCCGCTTCCTTAGGTGTTGTACTGGTCATCTTCGAAGCGAGACCGGAGGCGCTGCCGCAGATCGCCGCGCTAGCCTTGCGGGCGGGCTGCGCCGTCGTGATGAAGGGCGGCTCGGAAGCGCGGCTGTCGAACGCCGTCCTGCACGCGACCATAAAAGACGCGATCACGGAGTTCGGCAATGCGGACTTGGACGGCGCCGTCAGTTTGTTGGAAGGTAGGGCCCAGGTGGCCCAATTGCTCAAAGCTTGTGATGAGGCGCCGACACCGCTCGTGGACCTCGTCGTGCCGCGGGGCTCGAACGCTCTCGTCAAGCACGTCCAGAACTCGACTAGGGTTCCTGTTTTAGGACACGCTGATGGAGTGTGTCATGTCTACGTGGATAAGTCGGCCGATGCGCAGAAGGCGGTGTCGATCGTGGTGGACGGCAGTGCACGAATCAATGTCGGGGCGCTTCCTTCGACGCGCATCGACTGGGTCGCCCGGCTTGACGCCATCGACGCGCCACCAGAGAAAGGACTCACCGGTCGATGCGCGCGCAGGTCGACAGCAAGTGCGACTATCCCGCGGCGTGCAACGCGATGGAAACGTTGTTGTTCCACGAGGACGCGGCCTGCGCCAAAGCTTGTGTGGACGCGTTGCGGGCGAAGGGCGTGGAATTACTAGGGACGCCGCGCGCGCTATCAAAGGGCCTCGCCGACGCGCCCGTGACGGAACCGGAGCGCCACGAGTACGGCTGTCTCAAATGTCGAGTCGATGTGGTGGATAGTGTCGACGCCGCCGTGGCCCACGTGAACCGCCACTCGTCGGGCCACACGGACTGCGTGGTCTCGGAGGATACGAGTATCGCGGAGCGCTTCCTGCGCCAGGTCGACAGCGCGGACGTCTTCCACAACGCTTCCACTAGATTCGCGGACGGGTTTAGGTTCGGGCTCGGCGCGGAGCTGGGCATCGCGACGGGGCGGATCCACGCGCGCGGCCCGGTCGGCGTCGCGGGCTTCCTGACGTACAAGTGGCTCCTGCGGTCGGCCGCGTCGCACGCCGTCGCGGACTTTGCTTCGGGTGTTCATGCTTGGACGCACCGGGAGCTGCCGCTCGTCGACTAGCTCCTGGGGCTGTGTAAAGTATCGGAAGTAGTCGATTTTTTTTCCTGTCCCGGTTGTAGGCTCTGGGGACGTCTCTCCAGCGGAATATACGCGTGCGCGTGCTACCTATCGCGCAATCCTAGTACCTCTTCATCTTTTTCTCCGCTAGCTCTCGAGCATTGCCATGGTCAAATTTCCGCGGCGCGTCTTTACGAGAGAAAGGAGGAAAACTGAAATTCGACGCAGGTGAAGGGAGAATGGGACCACATGACGGGCTTCACGAAGCTCTGGCACATCAAGAAGGGCCTGCCCCCACCCGAGGACGACGAAGTCGTCGTCGTCGAGCCTACGTACATGCAGCGCTTCATGCGCGTCTTCAAGAACATGTGCTATGGACTCGCCATGTTGCCGATGCGCTTGTTCCGTTGCTGCTGTCCGCCGAAGGCAGCGGAGGATCACCGCCCCGTTCAGGGCTTCTTCGCGCAATTCGTGCTTTGTTTCAGAAGGGCGTGCCACCAGAACTACTCGAACTTCACGTCGTTCTTCCTTGGAGTCATATTGTAGCTCTCCCTGCGTCGAAAATTAAATTCCTCCTCTTCGAACCAAGTCGCCTGCTTGATGTTGTAGAGGTTCCACGCCGTCGACGCGATGTCGTCTCCGTAACCGCGTCTATTCGAACAGGCTCTATGTGATCATCGGCTTCGCGTTGGGAGCGCTCATGACATCCGGGGACTTACCTCCGAATGGCGATTTTTACAGCGTCTTTAACCTTAGGGTCGCTTCTACGCTGAGGTCTTCCCCACGCAGTCCTCGGCGGCTTCAGCATCGACATCTGCAACCAGCAGTACCCGGAGCTCAAGGATACGTGCCTCGACTTCCAATCTAATGGCTTCCTCGCATCCATATCGCCCGTCGAACCCCTGTGTGGAAATCAAATTTCAGCCAGTCCGAGCGTCCATTAACAAAAAGCCACAGGTCGTGTTCATCTTCGTGGCTTTAGCAGCAGCGACGTCCGCGTCGACGTTCGGCTGCGAGACGGCCCAGTACTGGCGCGAGTGCTCTACTGGCTTGAACACCGCGGCGTACTTTTTCGCGAAGGCGGTCAATAGCTGTGTGGGAATCAAAAGGGACGAGCAGGTGTAGCCAAGGAGAGAATATCGCGTCGATGGCGTGGGGCGCCCGAAATTTGATTTCCACACAGATCGCTGATATTCCCATCGCGTTCGCGTCAACGTTTGCTTTATGGGCGCCCTTTGTCGCGTCGTATAACACCCCGATGAACTCCGGAGAGCTCTTTTTTGCCCTCTTATTGCTGGTGTTGTTCGGATACGAAAGCGGCTACCTGTGCTCGACGCAGGCTTCGACGGTTTGGCCCTACAAGAAGGTTCGCTACGGCCCGACCAAGGGCGACATTTACCTGAAGAACGCCGTGACGCGGTACCAGCAGAGCGCCGCCTACTGGCAGACGTACTGGCAGAGTATGGGGTATCCCCCCGCGTCGAAATCACATTGCATCTGCTCGACGGGCCGACGACGGCGTGCTCGCTCGCAGGTGGCTCTTCCTCGTGATCTGCTGCCTGACGCTCATCAACTGCTCGTGCTGTGTGGAAATCAGCCAGTGTCGGGCGCACCCGACAATTCTTCACTAAGTCATTTCTCGGCGATGACGCGGTCGTGCTAGCTCGGTCGAGCGGCGAGGAACCGGCATCGCCACGCCATCGAGCAGGCGTCGCGTCGATGGCGTGGAGGACGACGCGATGATTCAGCATGAACGCGCCGTAGAATTTTGATTTCCACACAGGCTTCGTCATCACGACGACGCGGCTCGACAAGAAGGTGTAGACAGAAGCTTCTCCCCATTCGCTGCAGCGACGAAGCGCGCGCGATCCCTCCCCCGCCCCCCCTCGCGACGCCTTCGCGGCGTCCCGCGAGACCCCTAACTTATCCGTATACTTATCCCCCCGCCTCGGCGGCTTCCGCCGCGCGGTCGTTCGCGTGGAGCCGCTCGGGGCAGTAGAGGCGCATCCACTGGCGCGCGACCGGGTCCGCGCCGCAGGGCGCGTAGCAGCCCTGCCAGCCGCGCACCCCCAAGTGCGCGACGGCGAGGCGGAAGTAGCACGTGAACGAGGGCGCGAGGTAGTGCCAGCCGCAGGCGAGGTCCTGGAACCAGACCTCGGGCGCGGCGCGCCGGTCCGCGCGGTAGACGAGGCAGACCTGCGCGCAAGCGCGTGAAGAGGCGGACGAAGCGAGGCGTCGAGCAATCCGTACAACCACAGTGGTCCTCGCGACGGAAAGGATACGCTCGTCACCGTGCCCGCCCTTTGGAAAGGAGGGGCACCTCGAGAAGGGGAATCCAAATCAAGCTCGTCATTGGACGTTCGAAGGGTAACCACGGACACCGGCGGGCACGCGGCCGACGCGCGCCGACCGGTCGAGCTCGAACGCGCGCTCGACGCGGCCGAGGCCCTCGGCGTCGTCGCGCCGGAACGTCCGGGCGCGCGCGCCGGCGTCGTCGGCCTCGTCGTCGTCGAGCGTCACGGGAACGATGTCGTCGAGCCTGTGCAGCCGCAGCGCGCCGACGTCCGCCGGGCCGCGCGTCTTCACGTCGACGGCCCAGTCGCATTTCAGGCCGTTCGAGACGGTCAGGAAGGCCCGCAGGTCGTCGGGCAGCGCGTAGCCCGTGTTCCGCTCGAAGCCGTCGAGGTCCGCCGCCGTGCAGCCGGCGCGCGCATCCACTTGAATTTGGGTGACGCCGAGCTGCTCCTGCAGGTACGTCGGGAGCTTAAAGCAGAGCTCGTCGACGAGGGCCCGGCCTTTCAGTGGTGGTGGCATTTTTTGTGTGTCGGCGTCTACTGCAAAGCAGCTCGGCGCGCTGCCAGCACAAACTCGAGTAGTGGGGGCCTGTCCGCCGTTTCTTGCGGCAGCGCTCGTCGTCGACGCTTCGTGGTGGTGGTAGTGGTGGGCAGTGCTTACCAATGATTTATAGGGCCAGTATGACGAGAGCAAAACCACTTTGCGCCAGGGCTGGCTCTTGCTAGTGTCTTACAGTCGCTAGCTAAGTCAGCTTGGCCCCTTCGTTGCGGGCGAGGTTCGGTCGTGAAAGGGCTATAGATAGATCATTATTAAGAAGTACTGCGAGGACGGTCGGATTCTAATAATCACTTTCCGGTTCGGGGAGCTGAATCCCTAACTCATCGCACACCTCCTACGAGCGCCGACCGTACCGGCGCGCTGGCGGACATTCGTACTAATGACGGGGTAGAGGACATCAGAGACGTTTTGCGATGCGTAGTCTTTGAGCACTAGTGCTTGCTGAGAAAAGGTGCCAGTGCCCAAAAACGTGAAACGGTTCTTACTTTGTGTAAGAAATGCTTGCGTCCAGTGATATCGCCGATATATAAATTCTTAGGGCCAAGCGTCCCAAGAATCAATGCGAGGGACGCAAAAAAAGGTTGTGACTCATATATATATATATATACTAGTTACTCGGTTTTGGGGCCGCTAGCCTAGCGGTTGTGACTCGAGTCACGAGAAACCCGTTTTTATGCGGGCTCCCTCGATACGCAAACCGAGTTCGGCGCCGGGCCGAAATAAGAAAAACACAAACTACTTACCAATACAAAAGTCCGCGAACAGCACGTCCAAAACCGCCTCCGTGTCGACGGCGCCGACGACGGCGCCCAGGTCGTCCGTCGCCGCCCGCAGCTCCTCGGCGACCAGCTCGGGTTCCAGGTACGGGTCCGCGAGGATCCGCTCGAGCCCCGCGCGGCAGCGCTCCACGTGGCCGCGGTGGCGCTCGCGCGTGATCGCCGGCGCCTCGTACTCGTCGCCCGCCTCGCGGAACCGCGCCGCGACGCGGGCCTCGAGGTCCGCCGCGAGCGCGGCCACGCCGGCCTCGTCCAGCGACGTCGCCGCGACGAGCGGCGCGGCCGCGACGAGCGGCGCGATCGCCGCCGGCGCGGCGTCCACGAGCGCGGCCCGCCGCCGCGGCAAGGCGTCCTTTTCCACGAGATCCATCTTGTTCGCGCAGATCACGAGCTCGGGCCGCGGGTCCGCGGAGAGCGCCCCGCCGACCGCCTCGAGCGCCGCCGCGTCCGCGCCCTCATCAATCTTCGCCGCGTCGACCACAAAAACGACGACGTGCGACCCCTCGACCACATTGCGCGCCCGCCGGACGCCCTCCCGCTCGATAACGTCGGAGGCGTCGCGCAGGCCCGCCGTATCAAACAACACGCATGGGAGGCCGCCCAGCGGCAGGGACACCTCGAGCACGTCGCGCGTCGTGCCGGGCACGTCGGAGATGATGGCCGCGTCGCGCTGCGCGAGGGCGTTGAGCAGGCTGCTCTTCCCCGCGTTCGGCGCGCCCGCGAGCACGACGCGCACGCCCTCGCGAATGGCCTCGCCCCGGTAGCCGTCGGTCAGCGCCCGGCGCAGCTCGCCTATGAGGGCGTTGAGCTGCGAATCCATCTCCGTCCGCGCTTTGGACCCCTCCTCGGCCGACAAGTCGCCTTCCACATCATCGCCAAAGTCCACCAGCGCCTCGGCGCGGGCCCGACAGCTCCGGAGCGTACTACGCCAGCTCTCGTACCTTTTTTCAAGCGCGCCGCCGGCCTGGGCCAGCGCCTGGCGCCGCTGCGTCGGCGTCGTCGCCATGAGCAAGTCCGCGAGGCCCTCGACCTCGGTCAATCCCAGCTTGCCCGCCGCGTAGGCGCGCCGCGTGAACTCGCCGCGCTCCGCCGCGCGCAGGCCCTCGACGCCGTCAAGCGCCTCGAGGACGCCGTCGACGGTCGCGCGGCCGCCGTGGCAGTGCAGTTCCACGACGTCCTCGCCCGTGAACGACTTCGGCGCCTCAAAGCGCAGCACGAGCGCCTCGTCCAGCAATTCGCCCGTCCCTGGCGCCCTGAGGCTCCGCAGCGAGGCTCTTCTCACTTCCGGCGGCTTCTTGCCCGTCAACCGCTCGAGCGCCGGCGCCGCGAGCGGGCCCGACACTCGCACCACGGCGACGCCGGCCACGCCCCGACCCGAGCTCAGCGCGTAGATCGTGTCCTCCGCGCGGAGCGCGCGGAGGCGCGCCCGGCGCGGCGCCGCCGTCGTGAACGCGCGCGCGAGCGTGGTGAGGAGGCTCATCGCTGTTACTTTCGCGAGCGTTCGCATCAGCGAGCTAGATGGCGGCGGAGAGCACCAGTGCTGGTTGGGTGCAGAGCTGCCTTTACCACCGGCGCTGTTGCAAAGCGCTGGGGTTACGCGCTTGGAACGGCACTCTTACGGGTGCCGAAGTGTGTCTAGGCTCTAGCGTCGTGTACGCGTCAGGCTGCACTGTTTTGAGCTTGCTGTTTTGGGAGAGGCACAAGGCTGAGTTGCATATATCGAGCGCGACGCCGTGTGAGCACGACGCCGTAGCGCTGGTGGTACCTGTAGCTCTCCTGGAGCTCTCGGACAAAATATTCAACGCTCGCGCACCGCTGCTCGCCCGCAAGTGAGTGTTGCACATCTGCTCGCTCAGGGGCTGCCGCACGCCGCTAGCACCCACAGGTGCTCAAGGCCGCTCGCAACCATGCGCCGCGCCGCCATAATAACGCTGGTAGTCAGCGTGCAAGCCCTGCGCTTCGGCGGCCCGCCGGGCGGCCGCCGACCGAGCGCGGATGACAACAACAACCGGCGGCGCCGCGGCGCCGCGGTCCTCGGGATGGTCGCCCTCGGCGCGCCGACGGCCGCGTCCGCGAAGAAGAAGAGCAACAAGGTCACGCTCTCGGATAAATTAAGGAACGTGCCGGCCTTCTTCGTGGCCAATTCTCGAGGCTCGCCCTACCTCATCAACAAGGAGCAGGAGGGCGCGCAGGAGTGCGTGATTTTTCTGGAGCCGGGCGACGCCGAGCAGCTGCTCAAGGAGATGGTCCAGGCCTCGCCGATGCTCGCGGACGCGCGCGTCATGTGCGTCGGTTTAGATAGGGCTCTGGCGATGCTCGCGCGGCCCGCGACGCCGACGGGCAACGTGCACAAGGGCCGCCAGCTCATGCTGCGGTATCGGTTGCAGCCGGCGCAGCGCCAGCTCCGGGCCGCGCGGTCGAAGCTCGCCGTGAAGATGACCGTGTCCGGCAAGTCGGCGCCGTGCTTCACGTGCAGCGGGCTCAAGGACGCGAAGGGCCGGACGCCGGTCTTTCTGGACCTGGCCGACCTCGAGGAGGCCTGGGCCAAGGTCGCGGGCGACGCGAAGCCGAACGTCCAGGTCCACGACTTAATGGAGCTCGCGGCGCTCTCGAAGCGGCCCGACGCGGGCGACGCGTTTGATGATCTCGTGCTGTACCCGATGAGCGGCACCGTGGAGTACGTCAAGCGGAACCGGCGCCGCGGTAACGGCGTCGCGCGGATGCACACGGCTATTGGGGCGTAGTAGGCGTCTTAAGTATTACCCTCTTACTAGTAGTAGCCAACGTGGAACGCGAAGGAGGCGACATGCGCGGTGACGTCGGTCGGGAGGCATGGGAAAGCCTTCGCAGCCAACGCGTCGAACGCCTGCCGATGGGCCTTCTCGTACGCCGGGAAGCCGCCGGCCGCGGCGACCTTGCGCAGATAGGCGTCCTCGGCGTGGGGCGGGATCGTAGCGCCCGTGGCGAGGAGCAGCGGGTAAATGCGGCGCTTCCGGTGACGCAGAGCCCATGCCAACGCGTGGCGTTTGAGCTCTTTCAGAGCCCCCACGGCCGCCGCCTTCAAGCTCCCACCGGCGCGCGCGAGCGCGTAAAGTGGGTCGACGGCGCCGGCCGCGACAATTGCGACCTTGTTGGCCGCGTTTTTGAAGGCGAGGTTCCACAACGCCCGCGCGGCACACTCCTGGCCGAGGGCCTTGCCGTTCTTCAGGAGCGCCACGATCGGCGGGATAGCGCCGGCCTCGGCGATCGCGGTGCAGGCGTCACGGTTGCAGGCGAGGTTGTTCAACGCCATCACTGCCTTCTCCTCGCCGCTCCTCAGGAGCGCCACGAGCGGCGGAATGGCGCCGGCCTCGACGATTGCGGTGCGGTTGGCGGCTTTGAGGGCGAGGTTTGTCAACGCCCCCGCGGCATTGCCGCCGGCCGCGCCGCTCCTCCTCAGGATCGCCACGAGCGGCGCGATGCCGCCGGCCGCGGCGATCGCGGTCTGGTTCGCATCGTTATGGACGGCGAGGCTCGCCAACGCCGCCGCTGCGGCCACCTGCTTGCCGCCGGCCGAACCGCTCCTCGCGAGCGCAACAAGCGGCGCGATGCCGCCGGCCTCACGAATCGCGTCCTTGTTGGCGGCGTCGTCGGCGAGGTGGAACAACGTCCACATGGCCTGCTCCTGGCCGCGGGCCGCTCCATTCGTCACGAGCGCCACGAGCAGTTCGATGCCGCCGGCGTCGACGATCGCGGCGCAGTTGGCGGCGTCGTTATCGGTGAGTCTCGCCAAGGCCCCCGCCGCCGCCGTCGCTTCAGTGCTGCGGGCGTTGCCGGCCTCGAGTATTTTCAGGTGCATTTTGATATCACCTAGCGACACAATCTTGGCGTCGAGCCGGTCGCCGTCGCGCAAGCCGACCATGTCGGCTGTGTCGAGGCCGCCGATGCGCACGCCCCGGAATTCAATGTGGAGCGACGCCACGGGCACGCAAACTTGCGATGGAATCGGAGCCGCGGCTCCTGCCGGAGCAGGTCCACGTCGTGCGGGACCTGGACGCCGCGAGATTGTGGGCCGAGAACGTGCGCCTCGGGAGAAGAACATTTGAGCGGTTTAAGTGTGCATGCGTCCACAACGGCCGGTTGGTTGTCTTCACAGATCATTCCACGAATAACCAGTGGGGTGGTTGCGAGGTTTACAGATGGGCGCACGAGCGCGCCGCCGACGGCTCGTGGTCTTCCTCCATAGTCAGAGGCTATTACGGGATAGCTTTTGTCTCCGAGTCCGTCCTCCTCGGCTAGCTAGAGTAAGAACTACACAACAAAATTACGCCGTCGTCGTGTCCGCGTCGCGAGCAAGGAATCGTGCATCCCATCGGTCGAGCTCCTCCGCGAGCTCGGCGTCGATCGCCGTCGACCCGTCGGAGTCGCCGAAGGCCGTCGCGGCGTCGCCGCCCGGCTCCTCGAAGCGCCTCATAACTTCTCGCGAGACGTCGCCGAACTCATAATTCTCTTTTCTCGTAAACGTCTTCACCGCGCGCTTCGTGAGGTCGCCCAGCTTGTACTCACTATCCCCCGTCAACGCCTCCTTTACGCGCTTGTCGATCTCGACCGCGACCATGCCCGCTAATCGTTCCCCCACGTCCACCAGGAGCGAATAGTTCAGCACCTCGACCAGGAACTTGATCGGTAGGAGCCCGCCGACCGAGGACAATCCAACATTAAACGAGAGCAGGGCCTTCAGGAGCATCGTCGCGTCCTTCATCGTCAGCTGCGAGGCCCGGCTCACGATGAGCTTCGTGAGGTCGCCGAACTCGTACTGGTCCTTGGACGACAGCTCGGCGACCTTGTCCTTCGCGCTCCTGTCGAGCCACCGCGAGAGGTCGCCGAACTTGTACTCCGCCTCGCCCGTGAGCTCATTAACTTTAGCCTTGGCCGAGCGGTCGAGCCAGCGGCTCAGGTCGCCGAACTTGTACTCCGTCTCGCCCGTGACGGCGTTGATCGCGCTGGCCGCGCCCCGGCCGACGCTGCGCGTCGCGTCACCGAACTTGTAGTCCGGATTGTTCGTGGCGCTCTGCACGGCGACCTCGAAGCCCTTCTTCAGGGCGTCGAAGGGATTCGACGACGGCGGCGGCGGCGCGTCCTCGCTCCGCGCGAGCGGTGCCGCCGCCGGCGCGGCGTCGCCCTCGTTTTCCTGAGGCGCGGGCGCCGGTGCCGCGGCGCGCTGGCATCTGATCTGTTTGGGTCTCGCAGGTACTTGGAGGCCCGAAACAGTACGTATCGCGCCCGTCAGTGCGCACAGGGTTGCCAGAGCACATCTTAAAATCATGGCTTTGTAATGCGCCCCGGCGGAAGCAGCCGTGCGAATTTCGTACCACCGATCAATTTGAGCTCACAAGGCACAAAATGCAGCACAGCAACCACTGACAGACGCAGAGCCAAGCGCTTTTGGCTCGAAGACCCGCACCAAAAAGCTGGCGCCGGCTGCTGGCCGCGGCAAACGCGCGGCATAGAGCTGCCGTCCGGGCTCTAGAGCTCAATTCATGGCGGAGCATCATGGCCTCGACGCTGCGCGGCGAACTGCTGCCGGTAAGAGTTCGCGCAGCCGCCGCAGCAGCGCCTCCACTACAAACCCTGAGGTAACCGCTGCATCGGTCCCCGCCGTCGCGGTGGAGCCAGCCGCGCCGCTCGCAGCGTCGACGTCGTTCGCCGAAACGGCATCCGTCGAGCCGGCCGACGCCGACACGCCGAACCGCCGCGGCTCGGACCGGTCGACGGACGCCTCGGGCACGCCGATCGGCGAGATCCGCGACCGGAGCGAGCGCGTCCGGAGCTCGTTGAGAAGAGGGCGCGAGTCCGAGGCGTCGGAGTACTCGTGCGCCTACGAGCTAGATCTGGACGACCTCGACGAGGGCGAGCTGACGGTGCCGCGCCTGCCGGACCCGCCGCCCGAGGTAAAGCACGCGTTTCGCTGCGCCGCGCGAGGTGACGTGGAGGGCCTCGAGGCCGCGCTCGACGCGGACCCGAGCCTGCTGTACGCGCTGAACCGCGGCGGCGCGTCCCTCGTCGACGTCGCGTCCGAACGGCAACGCGTAGCTGTCGTGAATTTGTTGAGGGCGCGCGAGAACCCCGCGCGGCGGCGCCTCGTCGAGACGGAGTCGCTGGAGGCGTGGCTCGCGGCGCGAGGCCTCGCCGCGCTCACGAACGCGCTCGCGGACATCGCCGACGACCCCGACGACCTGCGCGAGATGACGGACGACGACGTGGTCGAGGCGCTCGAGGCGGTCGCCGACGCCGAGGAAAGGCGTGCGGCGGACGAGAAATTGAGGAGGGCTTTGCGGGATCTCGGGGCCCAGGTGTCGCCCTTTATCACCACAAAAATCCCCACGGAGTTCGAGGACGACGACACCGTCGCGCCCTGGGCGGATTTTACTCCAGAAAACCAGGCGGCCAAATTGGCGGAGTTGGAAGCATTTAATTCGCGGCTACCGGCGCCGGACGCCTCCGCGATGCCGCCGCCGCCGCCCGTCCCGAAGTCGCCACCACGCGTGTCGCAGAGCCCGGGACAATTCCGTACGCCGCCGCGGCCGCCCGGCGTGCCCAGCGGCTTCTCCGAGCTCGGGGACCGGTCGAACAACCTGTCGCCGGTGACGCCCGAGCTCTCGAAGAGTCCGCCCCGGAAGTCGTTCGTTCTGTGATCCACCGGCCGCTCATCGTCGCGCGCGAGGCCTTCGACGGCTTCCACGCGCCCCGCGGCGCGGCCGGCGTGGCGCTGGTCGACGGCGCGGTCGCCGAGCTCGTGGCCGCCGCGGACGACTGCCGCGTCGCCGACTGCGCGCGCGCGACCGACGACGTCCACCCGCGGCTTCTCAGGAAAAACGGCATGGACGACGACGACGACGCGGCCGACGACGAGGAGGCCATCTCGCGGAGCGTGGCGCTGCCCGAGGCGGAGAGTGGGTAATATTATTGTGTGAAGTTAGTCTTAGTCCGTGGCGTGGTAATTTCTGACCCCCCCCAGGAGCGCCGTGTATACTAGATATTCACGGTCCCCGGAGGAGGAGAATCCGTGAGGGTGGCACACCTTTACCTTGCAGGGCCGGCGCTTGTTTCTTCCCGGCGGACCCCAGCTTTCCATCCGCTCCATCGGCCCGCCGAGCATGGTGAGAACGTGCGCGACCATCGCCTTGCCGAGGTGGCCCTTACGTAAAAGGCGAGCTAGCAGAGAAAGTGCCTGATACAACCCTAAGTAGTAGGTGGCCGACGGCCATTGTCGCAGCACAAGCACGGCCCGGCCCGTTTCCAAGAGCAAAAGATGACGCTCGACCTCGCGAATTGTCTTCGGTATGAGCATCAGCTGCTTGGCGTTAACACACTGAGGAATCTCGCGAGTCCAGGCGACCAGCCCCCGTGATGACCAGCCCGTTCTCCGCGAGTCATCATGGAGGTAGACTCGCGACCAGCCCCCGTGAAAATCTTTCGGGTTAAAATTAATAGAGTGAGTGTACCGGTGGTCGTATACACACAATTTGACCGAAGGCAACATGACCCAGCTGGGGGTGTCCCAAGAACGGCGCCGCCTTTCATTCACGCGGTCCCAGGGGAGCATTTGCCAAAAGACCGTCTCCCGGTGGAGCCTTGCAGGTAGCTTAACTCCACACGGTGGCATGGTCAGTGGTCACTTTTTTAATCTCTCTAATGGTGCTCCTCCGTTTTTATCTTGCCGCGGTCACAGAGCGGAGTACACCACAATGCCCGTCCCGTTTGCCGAACGCCTTAAAGCGACGCAGTCAAAACCTGAAAAACCCGTCGCTTAAGCGCCAAGCCGCCCTCTATGCGTACCAAAGTCCCTCCCCCGCAAGTCGTTCGTTCGTCCTGTGATTGTGCATCTACTAATTAAGAAACGCGCGCGCCTACTTCATGATCGCGGCCCACACCTCGTTGTTGAACGGCGTGCCCTCGTTGACGCAGTGGACCGCCGTGTGGATGGGCTTGTCGTTCGCGTGGAGGTAGGCCTGGGCCGTCGGCATGGCGTTGCGCCGCTCCGCGTCCGACGCCTTGGACCCGACCCAGACAAAAATCTCGCGGCCCGCGTCCAGGATGAAGACGTCGTTCGAGTCGAGGTCCGTGACCTTGATGTCGCCGCGCTTCGCCTCCGTGCACGTCAACGCCCCAGAGGCGTCCGAGAGCTTGTAGAGGACGCCTTCGCCGACCTCTTCTTTTTCTGGGGCTGGAGCTTCAGAAGCCGGCGCGATGGGCCCTTCGCCGCCTAACGCACTCCAAAAAGCCGCGTCCGGCGCCTCCTTCACCTTACAATGACCGTGGCGCGAGATCGCCACGTTGTGCGCGCGCGTGCCGCACTTGGCCCTTTCAAACGGCGACGCGTCCTCGCCGAACCACGGGTAGAGCGTATCGCCCAAATCCAATAAAAAGCAGTCGCCCTGGTTCAACGACTTACGGGTGCAGGGCACCTCGGCCACTCTAACAGTATGCTTCGTCTTCCTCACTCGGAATAATTTTTTTATCTGCGTCCCGCCTTCCACGTGGTGGAAGCCGCTATCTATTCCACCTTCGAGATACGTGATCTCCTTGAAGAGCTTCGTGAATTGGAGAGATTCGTGGCCCTGCGTTTCTCTGTGTTGGATCGCGGCTTGGTCGAAATAATCGTCAAGCTCCACGGTCTTGTAGGCCGCCGTGCCCATCTCGTCTTGACTGGTGGTACTCCCCAACCAAAAATGGATGTCCCAGGTCAGCTTGCTTTCTATTTTTGTGGTTTTCAGTACTATATACGAATCGCCCGTGTGGAACGCGCCGTGGCGCTCGGCGGGCCAGGCTTTGACCTGGAAGTTCTCGATGCGCCACACTTCAATGCCCGGGGCCTTGCCACAAGAAACCCAGGCGGCCTCCTTCTCGGCGGCGGACTTTCTTGCTATTTTGTCGAGCTCGCTCCCGACCAGGGCCATGTTCGAGTCCTTGAGGTCGGCGCCGTCGCCGGTCCATGCTTTCGGTTCGAGGGAGAAGCTGGCCATGTTTTGTGCTAGTTGTTTTCGCTTGTCTTGCGCGTCGACGTCGTCGCGGAGGAGATGCTCTCTCTCCTGTGGTGTTTTCTATTCAGCGTGAGCGGAATGAGAGTGCTGAGCGCTCGGGTCCTGTGTCTGTACGATCGACAGGAACTGTTTGCACTGCAGGTTTTTGCTGCACGAGCTTTGCTCGTCGCGTGCGGCAGGATGCAAAATGGCCCGGAGGTCGCGGCGCCGGCAGCTTCGAGGTCTGCTGAAATGCCAAAAAAAGGCTGGCGATCTGTTGAGAGAGGCCTCGCAAGGGTCGAGAGACGGGTGTGGAAGCCCGGTTCGCACCCGCACTAAATCGCTGGGCGTGCTCACCAATAGGCATCGCGGCCGCGGGATTGGCCCGACAGACTGCCCGACGGACCCCCTTGCGGCACGTAGGACCAGTTTCCAGCCTCAGCAAGCGCTTGCCTGACTGAGACGAGCAGCGATGGCGGCTGTGGCGAGAGCAGCTTTGCCCCGCCTGGCGCGGGCCCTCCAGGCCCCCGCGCGGAGCCATGCGCGCGCCATGAGCTCCGTCGTCGAGCTCAGCTCTTACCTCGAAAAGTACAAAGCCGTGTCCTGCAAAAAACCCTGCCAGAGAGCCAGACGTCCCGAGATCAACGACGGACTAAAAAGGTCCGCCAAGATTCTAGGGGCCATGGACGCCGTCGACGCGTCGTCGCGCCGTCGACGACTCGCCGAGACGCGAGAGACCCCCATTAAACCCCCAAAACTCACAAACAACGAAACGCAGGCGCATCGGCGACGTCGCCGGCTCCGGCGATGCTTTAGCCTTCAACGAGATGGGCAACGTTATTAGTGTCGGCGACGGTATCGCGCGCGTCTACGGCCTCAACTCCGTCCAGGCGGGAGAGATGGTCGAGTTCGCCTGCGGGCTGCGCGGCATGGCCCTCAACCTCGAAGAGTCGTCGGTCGGCGTCGTGATCTTCGGCGATGACCGCGAGATTTTGGAGGGTGATGCGGTCAAGCGCACGGGAGCGATCGTCGACGTGCCTGTTGGGGAAGGGTTGTTGGGCCGCGTCGTCGATGGCTTAGGCGAACCTATTGATGGTGCGGGTCCCCTCAAGGACGTGACGCGCGGCCGCGCGGAAGTCAAGGCCCCCGGCATCATCCCGAGGCAGTCCGTGTCCGAGCCCGTGCAGACAGGTTTGAAGGCTGTGGATGCCCTCATCCCCATCGGCCGCGGCCAGCGCGAGCTGATTATTGGGGATCGCCAGACGGGCAAGACGGCCATTGCTATTGATACGATCATCAACCAGAAGACGAAGGGCGATGATGCGCTCATGTGCATCTACGTGGGCGTCGGCCAGAAGCGGTCCACCATTGCCCAGTTAGTTGGTCAATTAGAACAGCAGGAGGCGATGAAGAACTGCATTGTGGTGGCGGCGACGGCGTCGGAGAGCGCTCCTTTGCAGTTCCTGGCACCCTACACGGGCTGCTCCATGGGCGAGTACTTCCGCGACAACGGCAAGCACGCCGTCATCTTTTATGACGACCTGTCGAAGCAGGCCGTGGCCTACCGCCAGATGTCCCTGTTGCTGCGCCGCCCGCCCGGCCGCGAGGCCTACCCGGGCGACGTCTTCTACATCCACTCGCGGTTGCTCGAGCGCGCCGCGAAGATGGGCAAGATGGCCGGCGAAGGCTCGTTGACGGCGCTGCCCGTCATCGAGACGCAGGCCGGCGACGTGTCGGCTTACATTCCCACCAATGTGATTTCGATCACGGACGGCCAGATTTTCCTGGAGAACGAGCTCTTCTACCAGGGCCAGCGCCCCGCCATCTCCGTCGGCCTCAGCGTGTCGCGCGTCGGCTCGGCGGCCCAGGTCAAGGCCATGAAGCAGGTGTCGGGCACGATGAAGCTCGACCTCGCCCAGTACCGCGAGGTCGCGGCCTTCGCCAAGTTCGGCTCGGACCTCGACCCGGCGACGCAGCAGCAGCTGAACCGCGGCGTGCGCCTCTACGAGCTCCTCAAGCAGGCCCAGTACGTGCCCCTCGAGTGCGAGGAGCAGGTCGTCATCCTCTTCGCGGGTGTCCGCGGCTACATCGACGCCGTCGACGTGAGCGCCATCCAGGACTACGAGAAGGCCTGGCTCGAGCACGTCAAGTCGTCGCACGGCGGCCTCATCAAGGCGATCGTCGACGACGGCTACGTCATCTCGGACGCGACGGAGGAGAAGTTGGGTGCCGCGTGCGAGGCGTTCACGGCGCAGTTCTCGGCCTAGATCATGGAGCTCCGCGGCGGCACCACCCCCACTTCCCCCTATCGACCGCCGCCCCGCCTCCTAAGAATACATAGTAGACTCGCGTCGGGCCGGCGCGGGCCGTTTGCGCCGCGGTGCCTTACGCGCTCCGGGTCCGATCTCGGCGCCGACGGCCCGACCCGCGAAGCACCGCGCGCCGACGGCTCGAGCCGTAAAGAACCGCGCGGCGAGCGGTCCGTGACGGTCGACGACGAGTTCGATGCGCTGGCTGACGCTCTCGAGCGAGCGCGGGCGCTCGACTCAGGCCCCCCGCCGCGGAAGAGCGAGGTCGAGCGCCACTTTAGCAAGAAGCCGTCGTCGCGCGAGGGCGGGCGCCGCGCGGAAAGGAAGCCGTCGCGCGAGGGTGGGCGCCGTCCCCAGAAGCCGCCGTCGCGGAGCGGCTCGGACCGCGCGGTGCTCGGAGCGCCCGCGGCGGCGGGCGCCGCGCGGGGCTATTGGCTCGATCGCGGCACGAACACTGACGGTCGCCGCGGGAGCGCGACCTACTGGCGCGACCGCGCCGCCGCCACGGAGAAGCCATCGCGCGGCCGCGACCAGGGCGTCCGCTCGCCTGGGTTCCGCGAAGGCCGCAAGGTCTCGCCGCATCGCGACCACTCCGGAAAGCCGGCGAAGGGCGACCGGCGCCGCCGCGAGGCCGGCATCTTCACGCTCTGAACACATATACCACTACATCGACCCCCACTCCTCTCCTTCCCCCGTCGCCGTCGCTCGCATGAAGTATAGTTCCCGCACGTAACATTGCGCGTCCTTGTGTTTGTGACTTCTTCGCTTGCGTGTCGAGTCTCGACGCGGACCCGCGCGTCTCGGTCCTAGCCAGCGCGCACGTCAAAATACGGTCGTGGCGTCGCTACTGTGTTATTCTCAAGAGGGTATCCGTCCGCGGCAGCGCTCCGGAAAGGCTAGCGGCGGTAAAGACACACTAGCCAGCAGCTCTTGCGCATGCACAAAATCCAGAGCGCGCACAGCCCCTCTGAAGCCGCAGGTGTCGTAGACGTTCGAGGTCTGGGCTTTCCAACACGAGGCCACCTGGTGCTATAAGCAAAACCACGTGAAAGCGCTTACTGGACCAAAGTGCCCGGCTGGACCAGAAGAGACGACACAGCAGAGGCGCTCCCGGGGGCAAAAAATGCAGAGGCACAATCCAGCCCACCTCCTCCTCGTGCTCGCGGCGGCCAACGCGCTATTGGGACTAACTCCGAGCAACAGCCCCCGCGCGCGCGCGGCGGACCGCTTGGACTCGGCCGCGACCAGCCTGGAGACGTTCAAGCCGTCCGAGGTCTTCCAGGGCGGCTTCCATGACAACGATAAAGCCGTGCGTAGGGCACGAAGGCGGGCCCAGGACCGCGTCGCCGTGGCCTACCACGCGGCCAAGCGCGAGGGCCTCGCGCCGACCTTTGATTCCGAGGACGCGAACCTTGCTGATGTCGAGGATTTCGAGCGGCGCACGGGCTTCGAGTTAAGCGCCTTCGACGTGCTGACGGGCGAGAGCGGCGACGATAGAAGAGTGGCGGCGCACGAGGCGGGTCATTTATTGGCGTCGTACGCTTTGGGCGTGCCGGCCGTGGACTGCACACTGACGCCCTTCGACGCGCTCTGGCAAAACAAGGTCGGCGGCTTGGACCGCGCGGCGCCGGCGTCGGCCTTCTGCGACGGCGCGCTCCAGGACGCGCTGACGTCCGGGGAGGACTCGGAGTTGGTGGACCGCTACGCGGTGGTTATTGCTGCTGGTGCTGCTGCTGAGGCCCTCGAGTACGGTCGCGCCAGGCTCCACGCCCACGACGAGCGCATCCTGGTGTCGCTGTTCCGGGACGACTATCGAAGCAAGCGGCGCGCGGCGCTTGCGCGCGCGTTGCAGATCGTGGGCGAGCGCCGCGCCGCGCTGCAGCGCCTCACGGCGCACCTCCTCCAGTTCCGGGGGCGGTCCATCGGCGCGACGATGCTGGTCATCGATGACGAGTCGTACCAGCCGTCTGATTTATTAACGGCGACGCGGCGCCAGGTGTCGAGTTTGTTCCTGTGTGGAAATCAAATTTCGGGCGCCCCACGCCATCGACGCGGCGTTGTAACTCACTGGTTGGTTTCCACACAGGCTTGTTCGCGCCTCTCCTAGCCTTCGCAGCAGCACCGCCTGCTTATGCGTCGGACTGGCCGGAGTTCGACGCGATCCGCGAGGAGCTCAAGGGCGCCGGCACCGGCGGCCTCGCGTTCATGCAACAAAAAATCGCCGCCAAGGACTACGGCGAGCTCCGCGAGTTCACGAAGCAGTGGGACCTCGACTTCCGCAAAGCGGTCTTGGGCAAAGCCAGAAAGGCCATGCCCAAGGGGCCCGACCGCGACCGCGCGGTCCTCGTCGCCAACGCCGTGACGTTTGATTTGATCGGCATCAACAAGGCCATCCGGAATATTGGTAACGAGGACGACGCGGAAGCGAGGCGCTGGTTCGACACGCTCGTGGACGACATCCGGGACTTCGTCTCGCTCGAGCCGCGGGGGCCGCGGCCGCCGCCGGAGGGGTAAAGCTCTTCGTTGTATTTTTCTTCGGGTGGCGGGCGCCCGACGCGACTTTTCTGTTGCGGTGCTAGGACCAGTGGGCGGCGCCCCGGGAGGAAACACCGCGCGTCGCCGATTCCTCGGCGGCGAGCGCGTGCCTGCCGCGTCTTTCATAACAGCATACTTCCTTCTAAGCAGAAGACCCTCGGCAAACCCCCCGAACAATAGGCACGAAAAATTAAATAGCTTGCTAGTGTGTTACAGGCCGCTAGCTCTGTTTTTGCCCCGGGCCATCGCGCAAGCGAGCTAAGCCGTCGCCGCCACTGACGCGTGTTTCTAGCTGTTTACCGAGCCGCCCGCGTGTGTTCGCCAACTTCCTCGGGCCGCGCTGCTCCCCGCTGAAGCCTAAACCACATCTGCCTTGAGCTCAGCCACACAGCCGCTGCCGCCTCGCTGCTCGCCACAGACGCATTGAATCGAAAAAAATCATGGCGCAAGCCGCAGAGAAGATCCTGAGCACCCTCGCGCCGCACCTAAGGACCGTGGGTGTAGCCCTGCGCGGCGCCGGCGCGTCGCTCATGGCCTATGCGCCGCCCGCCGCCGCGGACGTCGGCGCCCAGCTCGAGGCGAACGGCGCCAGGCCCAGCGTGGCCGCCGGCGCATTTGTTGTGCCGACCAGTGTGGAATCAACCTGTCCCGGACTTCGCGTCGATGGCGTGGAGAAGCGCCGTGAAATTTAATTCTTGCACAGGCACCCACGGCCACGCTCATCGGCGACGTGGCGGTAGGCGCCGCCGCCGCCGTGAACTACGGCGCTGTCGTCGAGGCCAATGGCGCGCGCCTGCCCATCGAAGGCTACGTGGGCGACGGAGCTGTGGTGAAGAGCCCGGTGGGCGAAGGCGCGCTCGTCGGGCCAAACGCTGTTGTCCTGGGCGCCGTCGAGAGCAACGCCGTCGTCGGTGCCGGAGCTATCGTAGGCGCCGGCGCCACTGTGTTAGGCAACTTGGGCCCCGGATCTCTCTTGGAGCCGGGCGCGTCCGTGCCCGCGACGGAGCTCTGGAGCGGCGCACCCGCCGCCAAGGTCCGGGCCCTCGACGCGCGCGACCTCGAACAGGCGACCGCCGCCCGAACGCTCGCCGCGGAGGCCGCCGCGACGCACCGGGACGAGTGCGCCAAGGACTACGCGACCCTCCTCGCGGAGGACGCCGCCTGGGAGGACTCCGAAGCGCGCCACCCCAAGTACTTCAAGCCCGTCGCCGAGGACGCGCTGGACGAGATGACGCAGGTCGGCGGCATGGACACGGGCGTCGTGCCGGGCCGCATCCTCAACTCGAAAATTCATGCAGCCGACGGCGCCGCGCCGCACGGGGACGCGACGCGCCACTAGGTGGCTCCTGCTTCTTTAACATAGTATATATCGGTGGGACGCGTCGACGGGCGTCGACGGTAGTCCAAAATGAGGCTCATCCTCTTTTTTTTGCGCCGGCCAATTTGCTTCCTTTTTGCTCCGTGACGTGGTCTACCCGCGTCAAAATTTGCCAAGGCGGCGCATCCGTGTTTCAGTCGTGCTGTGACGAGCGACGCGCCGCGCTCCCGGGGCTCGCGGAGCGCGTTTTTTCATTTTCCTAAGTAGCAGGCGAGGAGAGTGACAGCCGCAACGCGGCGCGCGGCACGCCCGCCCGCCCGCGCGCCGCCCAACGGTCTGCCCACACACGCGACAGTCGATTCAGCCGTGGAGAAACCCTCATCGGCAACGCGCGGCGCGCGCGACGCGCGTCAGTCGAACGATATCTACGCAGGTGTACACCACCTACAAATTGAATCATGGCTACCTACACGACGATCCCGAAAGACGAGGCCGAGCCCCTCATCGCCGCGGCGCCGAAGGCGGCGTCGCCCAAGTTCAAGGTCACCGCGGCCGCTCTATGCATCGCATGCGCTGTCGCGGGCTACCAGGCGCCCGCGGCGGTCGGGAAGTACCTGTCCTTCGGGGCGACCGGCGGGGAAAAGCTGCCATCGTCGGAGTTGAACGGGTCGTGGGACGTACAGATATGTCTTAAAGGCAAGGACTACTGCCTCGGCGTGCCGAACAGTTCTAGCAGCGCATAAATCAAATTTCGCGGCGCCCCCGCCCGCTATCGGTACGCCCGACTCACTCGGTGGTTTACACGCAGAGGGTAACAAGATTCAAGACCCGCCTTTGGGCGGCGACGATGATTTGAACCGCGTCACACTCTTCACCAAGAGTGACTCCCCTTCACAGGGCATTCAGAAGTTTAGGTTGGAGAAATATTCCTCCACAGGCCAGGCCGACAGATACTACCTGCGCTTCCTATCCAGAGACGGCAATTACGATGGCTGTGTCGCGCTCTACGGGCGCAACGGCCAGTACAGCAATGGAGGCTCGCCCATCCAGATGCAGGAGTGCCAGTGGATCGACAACAGCGGCGGCCAGCGCCAGCAGATCACCTTGCCCATGGGAGGCGGGAATCCTCGCAGAGGACAGAAGTACGACGGCTACCTCGACTACGTCCTTACTCAGAAGTTCTGCATCGGCTCGACGGACGGGTCCCCTAGCAACAACAAGGACGTGTTCTCGAACAAGTGCTACAACACCAAGTACACGGTCGAGTACTTGTCAAACCAGTACTAGGTGCCCGGCGCACCGCGACGCGCGCAGCCCGCGAGACGAGAGCGGGTCCCCTGGCCATGATCGTGGACGAGACGATCCCCCGGCCCCGCGCGCGCCGCTAAGACTACGAACGGATTCCTTTTCTTGTTACCCAGCACGTGCCGCGGCGTCGAGCGCGTCCGCCGTCGCGCGCGCTTTGGCAGCCGCGGCCCGTAGCGCCCGCTGTTTCTTCTCGGCCGCGGCCTCCCGCATGTCGGCGGTGCGCTCATTGAAAAGCTGGCGCCCGACGTCCACGAGTTTCATGCCGAGTTTCAATAAGATGCCCACCAGCGTCACCAGGGTGCCAACCAATTGCTTCGCCAGCGGCGCGACGTCCCTCGAGAACTGCGAGACGAGCGCCATGAACTCCGCCTCCGCGCCGGGGAGCTTCACGACCTCGCGTAAAATACGTCGCGAGTAGCGGGTCTTTACCTGTGGATATCGAATTTCAGGCGCCCCACGCCATCGACGCGACGTTGTCCCCGTGGCCGCGTCGGCTCGATGGCGTGAAAGGAATACTTCTCAGGATAATCTAACTCACACCGGTCTGCACGTTCTTCTGCGTCATCTCTTTTAAGTCCACGACGTGCGTCGCCGACACGTAGACGTGGTGCAGCCCGGACTCGGGCCCGTGCTTCGAGTAGGCCTGTGCGTTGATCACCAGTGAGTAGGACCGCACCGCCACGCCGTCGAGCGGAGCGCCGCGAAATTTGATTTGTACCCTGGAACCCGCATCCTCGAGCTTCTTCGTCGTGGCCTTGTCGAAGGGCACCCAGCGCGTGCCTTTCTTGATGTTGGCGTGCTTGCGGAGGCGCTCCGGACCTGCGCGGCGATCAAACGAGTCACGTCGACGGCGTAGAGGTGCTTGATTCCCGCGCTGCGCCGCGCTCTCCTCCCAGTACCACTTCGCAGCGCGGCCCTTCATGCCGCGAAAACTCTTCTGCATCGTGAGCGCGATGCGTTCCGAGGCGCCCTCGCGCTCCTGGAGCGCCGCGACGCGGTGCGCCGGCGAGGCGTTGCGCACGCCCACGACGCGGCCCATGGCCAAGGTCTCCTCGTTGGCATCCTTCCGCTTGCGGAACATGGTAGGCATTGCGTTATTTTTGGTTCGACTGCTGCGCAACGAGCCTGTTCGGTCGGTCGGGCTGCCTAAAGCTGTGGTATAGCTGTTATACCACAGCACAATCACAAGACAATCTTTACTTTTTTTGGGCAGATCGAGAGAGCCCGCACGAAATGCACTCGTCTTATCACGAGACGAGACGATACTATAAAGTATCGCAAGACACTTCGCGCGCGCCAAAGAGGGTTACCTAGCGGAAGTAAGCCACCATCGAAGCAACTCCCATTGCGCGCGGCGTCCTGCGCGTTGTTTTGCTTCAATTGTTACAGAGTAACAGCTCCTGAACTGCCGCTGTACGCGTGTACACGCGTGCTTTGAAACCGCTGCTGAACTACACCACTGACAAGCAAAACAGGATGCTCTCCGCCCTGCACCGCACCTACGAGGCCTCGCCCGATGAAAAGATAAACACAGCGATAGAAGTAGGCTTCGCCGCCGCCAGCGCAATCATCATAGCACTCTTAGTCGCCACAGCTTTGATGGAGGACGCGCCGCCGGGCTACGACGCCATGGTAGACTTCTACGCCGCCTGCGAGAGCCACGCCTTCCCTATAATCGGGATCACTGATACCATCACATGGCTCCGCTTCTCGACCATGGACTTCTTCGGGAGCACGGTGTGCTGCTGCGCGTTCCGGGCGAGATTAGAACAGAACAAGCAAAAGACGCCCTGGTTCCTGGCGCTAGCGTGCTGCTGCCTCATGCAGTTCGGCGGCACGACGCTCGTCGGCCTTTTATTAGGCCAGCCCGCGTCCTGGACGACGTCGCCGACGGCGTGCCGCAGTCTGCTATTAGCTTTTTGGTTGAGTGTGAGCTGCCCCTTGGACTTATTCTATCGTATGTACCAGCACAAAATCATAAAATCAATGATTGCGATTGGTGCTGCGCTCAGCACGGGCCACGCCGTGACGTCGTGGGGCGCCGACAAGGCCATAAGCGCGATCCACCCGAAGCCGCGTTCTTCGGTGTTCAGTACATTGATGGCCGGGGCCTTCGGCGCGTCGGGCGGCGGGTTGTCTGTGCACGCTTTAGATTTGTGGGGCGAGCGGCGGCGCGGCAAGGAGCGGAGCTACGCCGCGTTTTTGTTTGGGGCCGTCGCGTCCGTTTCTTATTATCTGATGCGCAACCCCCACGGCGTGTTTGAGTATGAGCCGCTGGCGCCGGGCCGCGCGCGGTTGATTATAGGCGCGCTCTCTTTATTGTCGAACGCGGCGCCGGCGGTCCTGGGCGGCCATATAGCAGCGGCGACGCCGCCGCGCGTCGCCGAGGCGGCGGTGCGTTTGATGTTGCGGCTGCCGGCGCACTGCGGCGCCGCGCCGCCGCGCGCGCCCTCGACGCGCGCGACGAAGCGCGACTAGAAGTCTAACTTATGCTGATTAAAACGTGAGAGCGAACGAGTGGTGCCGTCTAGCTGCGCTTCGCGCGCGTCGACGAACGCGTCGCGCGCGTCGCGGCGGGCTTCTTCTTCTTCGTCGACGGCGAGGCGAAGAGCACGCCGAGCGTGGCTTTCGCGTCCGGGGCCCTCGTAATTCATAACTTGTGTTCACAGCACACTTAGGCGCCTAGGCTTCGACGAGCCGCGGGCGCTTCGCGGCCGGCGCGGAATCGGTCGCATCGGCAGCCTTGCGCTCGGCGGCGCACTCGTCGACGGCCTTGACGAGGCCCTGGACGTCGGCCGCCGCGGCGTTCGACGGGTTGAGGACGACGTACTTGAACTTTGGGATGGACGCGGCCATGCCCCGGGAGAAGCGCAGCCAGAAGTCGAGGAGGCGCTCGTCAGCGTTGTCCTCGCCGATCGGCTTGGCCCAGGCCGGCGCGCGCTCGACGTCCGCCTTGACCACCCAGTCGAACTCCAGCGGCGCGAACGAAGTGATCCAGTCCATGGGACCGGCCTCCTCGCCCGGCGGCATCTTCTTGCCGCGCTTCGCGCCCCGCGGCGGCGGCGGCGGCGCCTGGTCGTCCGGCGGCGCCTCGCCGCCGGCCGGGACCTCGACGTCCTCGGACGCGTCGACGCCGCCGCACTTGGTGTTCGGCCCGGCCGCGCGCAGCTTGCCGAGGAGCGAGCTCGCGGCCGCGGCGAAGTCGCTCGCCAGCGCGAGGCGCGCGAACGAGCCCGCTTCCTCGCCCTTCTTCAGGACCGCCCAGTCCTCCTCGTCGACGCCCGGCGGGCACTGGCCGAGCGTCCCCTCGTCCTCACTATCATACATCGGCACGGCGCCGCGCGTCGGCGCCGCACCCGTCGCGACGTCCTCGCAGCGGCCGTCGATCTGGTCGAGGATGCGGTCGACGAGCACCGCGACGTCGGCCCCCGACAGCTTCATCTTAATAATGACGCGCCGCAGCGCCGCCATCAGCTGCGCCGCGCCGCGGTCGTAGCGCTGGAGGAGGTCGTGCGAGTTCGCCACCGTCGTCCTGGTGCGCAGCCGCGTCTCGGCGTCGGCGGCCTTGACAGGCGGCGGAGGGATGCCCACGTGCATGTCCATGCACATCCCGCGCCCAGCGACGATCAAGATGGGCTCGCCGTTGGCGCGGATCGCGGCGAGCATGAAGCGGCCCCTTCCGAGGTGCGCGACCTTCTTCGCGAGCTGAAGCTGCTTGCTGGAGTCGAGCGGCGTCGGCGCCAGGCGGCCGTACGTGGCGGAGGCGCGTTCCGGCATCACGACGGCACGCTTCGAGAACAGGAGCTTGTTGTCGAGCTCCAGCGCGTCGGCGATCTTCTCGATCTTCTCCTCGCGCTCGTCCGACGCGAGGCCCCGATACGCGAGGCCCCGATCACGGGTGCGTGCGAACCACCCAGGCTCCCGCGCGAGGACTGCCGGAGGGCGGAGGACGCCGTGGAGGCTAGTATAAGCGTCGCCGGCCTTCGCGTGCCGCGCGTCGTCGCCCTTAGTTTTGGCGCCGCGCGACGGCCGCTTGTCCTTGACGGCCAGCGCCTGCAAGTAGAGCGGCTCGAGGTCCTTCGGGTCCAGCACCCGGAGAGCGGCGACGCCTCGGCCATCGACGCCCGAGGCCGCGATCGTGGACGCCATGTCGTAGCGGCCTGGAAACGCCCCTTGTCCCGGCTGCGTCGCCGCCTGGTATCTCCGCTCGGTCTCCTCCTCCTCGCGGATCGCCGCCGCCCGCTTCTCGAAGAACTGGTCCGCGCGCTCGCCCGCGTACTCCACAAACGCCGTCCGGACGTAGACGGGCGCGTTCACCGGCGTGTTCACGGCCATGCAGCAGGTTACGAGCCCGACGCCCTCCTCGAAGCTCTCCACGCTGCCCGCGAGCGCCGTATTGCACGCGCACTCGCGGCTCGCGGCGAAGATCGCCTTGACCGAGACCGCCATCGCCTTCGACGCGAGGTCTAACTCCCGCCGGAGCCGCTCCGCCGTCGCCCCCGTCGAAAGACCGCGTCGAGCCTCGGCGTAGCTTTGGCGGTCCGCGCGCGCCTCGTCGAGGCTCTGAGGTTCGATAGCGATCTGGCCTACTTTCGCCGCCGCGGACTTGGCGCTGCTGCTCTGCGACCGCTCCTTGATGGCGGCGTACCTCTGGCGCAGCACGTGGTCGGACGGTAGCGTTTTCAGCGCTTCCAGGCATACAGATCTACCGACGTGTACGGAAGCACCAAAGGATTCTCCGACGCGCGTGTGGAATGCGTCCAGCGTTTGGAAGTCGTCGGGGCCCGCATCCCGCAGGACCGCCAGCGCAGTCTCTTTGCGCTGCCGCTTTTCATCCTCCGTGACTGGCTTCGGCATCGTGAGCACGGACGACCGTCGCGCGCGCAGCGCGCTGCCGCGGCCTGAGAGCAGCAGCAGCAACCAGGCTGCCAACAGGCCGCGGCGGCGCCGGCCGACAGCGGGAGACGCCGTCGTCTTGCAGCTGCCCGAGGACGGTCGTATGGATGCGCCAAGGCGCCGTCGGCTGGTGCGCCGCGCACACGCTGCGCTTTTGCGATTGCTCTCCCAGCCTACTTGCTGCTAGTGTCTTAAGGCCGCTAGCCTCGCGACGTCTCGGGAATTTGGCCTGATAGGATGCCTAGGATGACCGTCGGAAGCATGCAAAAGGACAGCAACCGACTCGCCCTCCTCTCTATATGGTATATTATACTTAAGTATGGTATGCCGGAGGCGATGCCTTTTGGTACCTCTATCTTCGATATCTGCGACAAATTAGGACTCGTCGTCACGTGTGATGAGAAATCGTCAGTAAAAGAACTCTTCGAAAAACAACGAGTGGGCGTCGACGCGTTAAACACTTCACACCATGCTGGTCGACAGGGCCCCCTCTCCTGGGCCGAGCGGCGCAGGAATCTCGGACAACGCATCATCGGCCTTTGGTTGAAAGCAGCCGTACCGGTAATCATAATCGATGGCCCGGAAACGGCGCCCGGCGCGGGCAAGTACTCGCAAATCGACGCGCGGGCGCGCGCCCACAACCCTTTAACAGTCGTCCCGACGAAAGACAAGGACGCGTTCTATGACGCGGGCCAGCCGTGGTGGTCCCGGGACGTGATCGGCGACAACTTCCAAAGATGGCGCGTCGAGTTCGCAGCGGACTGCCAAGAGGCCCAAACCGTGGCCATCATTTGCTGCCGCGGCGAAGCCGAGGCCGCGCTCGCCTGGCTCGAGAGCGACCAGGAGATCGGTGGTAGAACGAGTCTTTCGTGTCTGGACAAGGGGGCGGTGTCCGACAAGGACTGGTTCGGCTACGCGGGCCTGGAAGCGCTGCGACTCAAACGGGGTTATAAGAACCCCTCGAAGCGCTGGTGGGAGGTGCACCGGCGGTATGACGTGTTGAAGGGCCTCGGCCTCGCGACCGACGACAGCATGCGGTGCTTGTTGTTCCTCCTCGGCATCAACGACATCCCGCCGCCCGTCGAGGCGATCTTGCCTAGAGCCGCGCGGGCCGTCGCCGCCAAGGCCGCGTTCGATAGCGCGTACGGCGGCGCCAACGCGTCGTCCGCCGCGACGCAGGCGTACCGGACGATCCGGCGGCAGCGCCTCGACGCGGCACTCGAGACGCTCAGCTTCGTCCAGCGCCTGGCCGCCGCCGCGAAGCGCCACGGCCACGACGGCGCGCTCGCCGTGCTCATCCTCCTCGCGCGGCGCGACGACAACGACACGTCGCTGTGTTCCGACGAGGACTACCAAAAGTACGTCCTCAAGTTCCTCGGCGAGCCTCGCGAGAACGGTCAACGGTCGTTCTCGCGGAACGTACTCGTGCGCCAGCTCGAGGCCTACGACGAGGAGGCGAGGAACGGCGGCGCGCGCGCCGCCTGCGGTGTGGGCGCGTCCGACGCCACGAAGAAACGCCTTCGGAACAGCGTCCGTGAGGCGGCCTTCCCACGCCGCATCATCGACGCGAAGAGCGCGCCGAAGGCCTTAGAGTGGGCCTCGGGCCTGTTCGGCGGGAACCTTCTCCCGAAAAAGGGGGAACCCGATTACGCGAAGATCGTGCAGAAGTTCCGGGACGTGCGCAAACTCTACAAAAACGACGACTCCGACTAGGAGGGTGTTTGGAACTAGCACGCTCATAAGGATTCGAGTTCTATTGCATACTAGATTTAGCTTGCCTCTCTCCCTCGACGCGCGCGACGAAGCGCGACTAGAAGTCTAACTTATGCTGATTAAAACGTGAGAGCGAACGAGGTGATCATCTAGCTGCGCTTCGCGCGCGTCGAGGCCCGCGTCGCCCGCGTCGCGGCGGGCTTCTTCTTCTTCGTCGCCGGCGAGGCGAACAGGACGCCTAGCGTGAGTAAGACTATCTGCGTGCCGCAGATGGGCAGGAAGACCGGGTTGCCCGTGATGCCCTCGAGCGACGGGTAGGGCGCGATCGACTCTTTCGCGGGCGCGATCACCTGCACCGCGCCGATGAGGAGCCTGCGCGGGACAACGCCGTCGCGATGCCGTCTCAGTTCATTCACGAGAGCGCGTCGACGGCGTCGAGGCGACGTGGTCTCATGAAGACGCCATCGCCGCGACGACGTCAAGTTCAAGTTCATTTCTGCTCTGGATCGCGCATCAGGAGGATGGCGAGGATCGCGACCTTCTCCTTAGCGGCCGCTTCCATGGTGATCGCTGCCAAATAGAGCGCCGCGAGGAACCAGTTCTTCGCACAATCGATGAAGACGATATGCTTCAGCACGTACGATTCCTCGTCGTAGGCAGTGATGGAGTCCTCTCCAACCAACTCTCGGATGCCATCGATGGGGCCCTTGCTTGCCACGATGAACGCGGGCGGGATCAGCAGCGCGGCGGAGACGAAGAGGGCGATGTCCAGTAGGAGGGTGCCCATCCTGCGTGCTGTTTGTGCTGCCCTTCTCCCTGTGTGTGTTTGGTTTTTGGGCAGCTTTAATTCGGGTCACGAGCTGCGTCTAGTGTTTTCTAGCCACCTGTGTAATCGTCTCCTCACGGCCTGTCGCTCCTATGCGCTCGTCCTTGTTTCGGGACCTAGCGTATCGACACACTAGTGGTCATTTTTTTTGCAAGCTTGTGGCGGCGCGTAAAAACACACGCCACCTACGCTGCATTGCAAGGGAAGCTCGTCGCAGCGCTGCGCTGCGATAACGAGTCCGGCCGGAAGCTGCGCGTTGCTTGGCAAAAGCCACGTAACCGCAAAAGCCAACACAGCCAAAAAACGCGAAAAAAATAATTGAGTCCCTACGCGGCGGGCATAGCTCGCCAGCGGCAAAATTGCGGAGTACTCCTTACAAACGAGTGACATGCACCGCAACTTCGAGGCCATGAACATCGGCAAGGAGCCGCCGGACGACAACGGCAAAGCCCCCAGACCCATGAAGACGTACGCGGCCGGCGCGCTCGCCGCCGCGGCCGTGCTCGCTCTCTTCAGTCTCGTGGCGGGGTCCGAGTCCATCGCGTCGCTGGGCGGCGACGCCCAGGAGAAGTGGAACGACGTGCCCTGCCCGGCGGGCGTAGAGGTGCCCAAGGTCGACGCCAACAGTAGAGTCCTGGTGACGGGCGGCGCGGGCTTTATTGGCATGTCGCTCATGGCTTCGCTCGGCAAGCGCGACGCCAAGACGAAGCCCGCCGTCGTCATCGGCATCGATTCCTTCAACGACTACTACGCGCCGGCCATGAAGCGCGGGCGGGCGCAGCGCCTCAAGACGGAGTTCGGCTACGACGTCATCGAGGCGGATGTGTGTGACACGGCGGTCATCGACAAGCTCTTCGAGCAGCACCGCTTCACGCACGTCGTGCACCTCGCGGCCCAGGCCGGCGTGCGCTACTCGATCACGCATCCCATGACCTACGTGCACAACAACTACGAGTGTGTCGTGTCGCTCTTGGATTACGTGGCGCACAAGAAGCCCCAGCCGGCTTATGTTTATGCTTCCAGCTCGAGTGTCTACGGCCTCAACAAGAAGATCCCATTCAGTGAATTGCATGCGATTGACCATCCAGCGAATTTATATGGTACATCTAAGTTCGGAAACGAGCAGATCGCCGCGGCCTACCACAACATCCACGGTTTGAAATCGGTGGGACTCCGCTTCTTCACGGTCTACGGGCCCTGGGGCCGGCCGGACATGGCCGTGTCGTTGTTCACGAACAAGATCGAGAACGGCGAGACCATTACGTTGTTCAATGGAGGCGAGATGTGGCGCGACTTCACGTTTGTGGATGATATTGTGCAGGGCATCGAACTGTCGATGGAGTACTGCTCTGATAATGCGGCCGTCTTCAACCTCGGCAACTCGAAGCCGGTCAAGCTCGGCTACTTCCTCGAGCAGATCGAGAAGCGGTTGGGCGTCAAGGCCAAGTTCAAGTACCAAGCCTCGAACGCCGAGATCAAGGAGACGTACGCCGACGTCAGCAAGGCCCACGAGCTCCTGGGCTACCAGCCGACGACGAGCATCGAGTCGGGCCTCGACCAGTTCATGGCGTGGTACAAGAAGCTCGACAAGCGGACGCGCGACGAGTGGGCGGGGGGGCGCTTCAAGGCGGGACGCATGCGCCGCCGCTAGGCCCTCTTCCTTCTCCCCTGTGCTAACTCGACTGATGTTATACTCGCCGCGTCGATGGCTTGAGGGTGACGTAGTCCCCACCGGTACGCCTTCACCGCGACAGCTAGGTCATAATTTTTACGCGCCCACAGCCATTACCGCGACGTCGCGCAGCTCTCGTCGCTCAAGCATGCGTCCAGCTTCGCCCGGAGCACGTGTTTGCGATCTCTCGCGTAGAATTTGACGCCGCGGCGCGTCAGCTCCTCCTTCAGCTCTGCTATGGTCATGGGACCCGTCTCGAGCGACCCCGGGACGGCACCCGACGCCGCGCCGCCCTCGTCCTCCTGGGCCCAGATAGGTGAGGTGTCTGGGACTTGCTCGTCGGTCACGCAGCCTTCGGACGCCGTTTTGACCACCGACATGTACTTGTAGAGCGTACCCTGGTTCGCCCGTAGCGGCGGCGGCCGCCACTTCGCCCTGCGCTCCGCCCACTGCTCGTCCGTCAGCATGACGTTGATCGTGCGCTTGTCGTTGCGCGCGTCGATCTGGATCGGGTCGCCGTCCTCGATGAGGGCGATGGGCCCGCCGATCTGGGCCTCCGGCGTGATGTGGCCGATGCAGAAGCCGTGGCTTCCTCCAGAAAATCTACCATCCGTGAGCAGCGCGACGCAATCCCCTAACCCGGCGCCCATGATCGCCGAGGTGGGGGTCAGCATTTCTGGTAATCCAGGCCCACCCTTTGGCCCTTCATACCTTATGATCACGACCTGGCCGCACTTGATCTCGCGCTTCAGAATGCCGTCGAGCATCGCCGGCTCGCTATCGTAGACTTTCGCGACGCCCGTGAAGGTCTCACCCTCCTTGCCCGTGATCTTCGCGACGCCGCCGCCGGGCGCCACATTGCCGTACATAATTTGTAAATGGCCCGTCGCCTTGACCTGCGCGTGAAGAGACCGGTGAGTGTCAGGTGCTGTCGAGCAGGCGTCGCGTCGATGGCGTGCAGGCGTCGCTTCGAATCGCGTGCGGGTCTGCTTGATTTTTACACTGAAATCTACAGGGTCCGACAGCGGCTTGATGATCTCCTGGCCCGGCGTCAGGCCCGGATGATCCTTCACGTTCTCGGCCCAGGTTTTACCGGTTACTGTCATTTGGGACCCGTCGAACATGCCGTTGTCGATCATAAATTTAATCACGCCCGGCGTCCCGCCAATGTTCTGGACGTCCTCCATGACGTACTTTCCCGAAGGTTTGAGGTCTGCTAGGAAGGGCGTTTCGTCGGAAATGCGCTGGAAGTCGTCCAGGCCGATCCTTACTGCTGGATCTTGGCACGCGCGCGACATCGCTATCAGATGCAACACGGCATTGGTAGAGCCACCCGTGACCATGACCATCCTTATAGCGTTCTCGAAGGCGCCTTTGGTCATGATATCTCTCGGTTTGAGATCCAGCTCCAACAACTTCTTGATCGCTTCACCAGCCCTGGCACATTCGTCTCTTTTCTCCTGCGAATCCGCGGGAGACGACGAGGAGTAAGGCAAAGACATGCCCAACGCTTCTATCGCGGTAGCCATCGTGTTCGCCGTATACATCCCACCGCACGCGCCCTGGCCCGGGCAGCTATGTCTCGTAATCTCGGCGCGCTCTTCCTCCTCGATCTTGTCGTACACATACGCGCCGTAGGACTGGAACGCCGACACGATATCCAACGATTCTCCCGTCGAGGGTTGTTTTCCAGCTCGTATCGTACCGCCATAAACCATGATCGCGGGCCGATTGAGTCGCGCCATGCCCATGACCACGCCCGGCATGTTCTTGTCGCAGCCCGGGATGGCTATTAAACCATCGTACCACTGGGCACCCATGACCGTCTCCACCGAATCGGCGATCAAATCTCGGGATTGTAACGAGTACCTCATGCCCGTCGTACCCATGCTGATCCCATCTGAGACACCGACCGCATTGAAGCGGTACCCCACCATGCCAGCGTCCTGGCACGACTTGCGGATCAACGTGCCCAGCTCCAACAGGTGCATGTTACAGGGGTTGCCGTCGTACCAGATCGACCCAACACCGACAAAGGGCTTCGGCCTGTGTGGAAATCAACCAGTGTGTCGGGTGCACCCGACAATTCTTCACTAAGTCATTTCTCGGCGATGACGCGGCCGTGCCGGCTCCGTCGGGCGGCGAGGAACCGGCACCTTCACGCTATCGAGCAGTCGCCGCGTCGATGGCGTGGAGGTCGACGCGGCGATTCAGGACGCGCCGTAAAATTTTGATTTCCACACAGGCTTCGACATGTCTTCTTGCGTCAAGCCGGTGGCATACAACATCGCTTGCGATGCGCCCTGTTTTTTGTTCCTCGTCAACATCGACGAGTAGCGGTTCAGCCACGGCTCGCCCTCGGCCGGCAGGTCGTAGAGGGTCATGGGCTTGTCCGGGTCCTCCGCATTTAGTTGTGTGCGCCGCGCGGGGCGCGCGCTGCGGTGCGCCGGCTGCAGCGCGCCGACGGCGCCGAGCGCCACGGCCAAGAGCAGGGTTGCTGCCATAGCGATTTGTGGTTGTGAGGCTCACGCCGAGTGGCTCAACGCCGTAGCTTGCTGCCTCGCAGTTTGTGAGCAGGTCAAAGTGCTGACAGACTACTCAGCAGACCGCTCGCCGTCGTTCTGTGCTTCACTTTGCAGCGGCGCCCTCTAGCGACGAGACACACTAGGCTTAATATCAAGATGCGACATGCAGGCGTTCGAGTATCCTTCCGTTCATTTATGGCCCCAAGATAATAATGGGACACTTACCGGGGGCCAAAAAAATTAATTTTTTTAATTCGCGATAAAGACGACGCCACCATGGCGGGCGTGTCGTTGGAATCCTGTCAATTCGTGGTCCTGAGGTCTCCCCGGAGCCGACTAGGGTCGGCAAAATACACGTGCAATCGCCTACGCCGCATGCGCGGGCGCTTCCATCGGTAGATATATATGGCAATTCTCTTAGCCAGGCATCTCACTTGCCCATGATTTGCCAAAGTTTTCGATCCAGAGCTCTCTGGGGAGCTCCAAGCCTGGGCGCATGCGGCGTAGGCGACTACCCGACCCCAGACTTATCCCGGAGGGAGTCCGCGAGCCGATCTACATCCGAAAAAAGTGAACAATTTGGGCCCGATGGCGCCCCGTTCCCGTCAAAAACGCCAATTACCCGAGGGCCCCCAGTAGTCGCCGTAGCGGTCTCGTCGGACCCCATACTACCCCAGCGATAGTGAATTACAAGTATATGACATCTACACCACGAGAAGGGTACTTTGGGCCGCCCACGCTCGGGACGTGAACATCTTGATCTGGACCTCGCGCAAGTCGGTCGATCATGAAACAAATGATCGCGTCATGGTCCATGGTAATGGTACACGCGCTGATGGCCGCAGGTCCGGGTTTAAAGCCCATCTAAGCAAGATCGTGGGCTCGCGAGTTGGCCGACCCGCGCCGAGCATCTTTGGGTCTCGGAGCAATGTAGTACACAATCAAGCCGGTTACCTGGCCCGTCCCACAACTAAATCGCCTGAAACGCAAATTTATTTTATAAACCACCGGTCTGGGGCCAATTCAGTGCCCCGCGTACGCACCGTCGTCCGCGGAGAACGAGCAAGTCAGTCGATTGTGAATAGAACAACGGCGTTATGGTCCATCTGGATGGTGTCGTCGCTGATAGTCGCGGGTTCAGGTTTTCGGTCAATCTTCATGGAAACGTGGGGTCGCGAAAACGACGAATCGCGAGGCTCTAACGGAATATCTAAAATAGCTCAGTGATCGCTGATGCGGGTTAGATGGACTCTACCACTAACAAACGGAAGGAAACGAACATAAACGCGAGAGTTGTCTAGTAGAATTCTTTTCCCGCCCTCCGAGCTCGCGCCGTCGGCTCCGGTTCCGTCGAACTTGTATGAAAACTGGGCTGGAGTTGATATAATGTCCCATCTGGACGATAGATGGCGGCGTCAAGCGCTGGTGTAATTTGGCAAGCCGTAAGACTCATCCGCGAATGTCGCGGGCGGTGCCTTCCGGGAGGCGCGAGGGTATGTTCCCGGGCCGCTACTCTGAAATATTTGGTCTCGGCGAACGACTAGGATGTATTCTGAATTTCAGTCATTCTTTTGACGCTATTGAGGCGTATCTTTGAATTTGCTAGTGTGTGTATGTCACGCTAGGTGTTGTTGGGCGCTCGCTGGCGTAGAGCTGGCGTAGAGCGCCGTCGAAGTGGCATTGCAGCGGTCAGCATCTGTGTTGGGAGAGAGACCTGGCGAAAGTGTCACAAATAGCAGATTACTCAGGCGCATCGCCTACACAGAATAATGGACCCCTCCGCGGATCAAGAAGTGCCGTCGAGCCCCCAACACGGCGCCACTCGTCCGTCTCCAGGTCCAAGCACCCGATCGCCGTCGTCTCGCGGCCGGCTTGCGGTTCGCCGCGGAGCGGGAAGAAGACGCGGTCGCCGTGGCGCAGCGCCGTGAAGCCGAGCGCGGGGTGTTCCAGATGAATGAGCGGCGACCAGGCGTCGAGTTCGACGTCGTAAGCATGTATGGTGACATGCGACGACGTCACCGCATCGTCGGAATCTATCAAGCCGTCCATCGCGAGCAGGCGATTTCGCTTCGGGTCCGCGAGCAGCACATTGGTGGAATAGGTCCGCGGCTCGGCGCTCGCGGGAGCGTCGACGAGTTGGTGGTGATTGCCGGCGAGCGACGCACACCGCACGATTTCGTCGCCGCGCCAGCGCTGGAGCCGCGCCGCGCCACCAGACACGTAGTGCGCCTCCAGGGCAAAAACATCCTCACCGATCGCCGCCGTCAAGACGTCGCCCTCGTGGCCGAAGAAAACTAAATTCGGTCCGTTCGTCCACGTGTTCGACCGGGCGTCGTAGCGCTCCGACGTCAGCGTCGCCTCGAGCCCCTCCTCGCCGCCATCCCCTTCGCCGGTCGAAAAACCGCCGAGGACCGCCAACCCGTTTGGCACCGCGCAGACCGACGGAGCGAAGCGCGGCCGGTTCAGCGGCGCGCAGTCGACCCAGGCGTCTCCATCTAAACGGCGCACCGCTGAAGACGGACTGACCCGGTTGTCGACGCCGCCGATGACGTAGAGGGTATCGTTCAACCGCGCGAAGACGTAGAGCCCGCTCGCCAGCGCCGGCGATGAATTTATCGAGGGCCGCCGCACCCAGCGCGATGCCTCGGCGTCGAAGACGAAGTGCGAGTCGCTCCGCGGCTCGTCCGTGAGGCGGCCTTGCGCATAGAAGCTTAAACTCTGCGCGCCGCGCCGGCCGGCCGGCCGCAGCGCGTGCAGCGTCGGGATGAACGCCGTGGCCTCGCCTTCATGGTTGTCCTCGGCCGCCGCGACGGCCTCCCACGTCTCCGTGGCCAAATGGAGCCGCGCGCCCGCTTGAGGGACCATGGGTGCGGTCCTGTTGTTTCCCTCGAGCGGAATTACATACAAGTACCGCGCGACGAAGCGCGGCTTCGCCTCGGCGCTCCTCGCTGAACCCGCGCGGCTCGTCGCGGCGAGCTGGCGCGTCGACCCGACGAGTGTGCACACATGGCCAAATAAGTCCGGCGTCTTGAAGAGCACTCGCGACGCCGGCGTCGTCAAGGGGGCCCCTCGGCGGCGCTGGAGGGCCGCGGCGGCCCAGTACGTGCCGGAGCGCGTCCTTATCTGCTGGACGGCCTGGCGCTGCGGCCGGCGCGCGACGACGGGCGGCGGCTGTGTCTGTGCGGCCTGGCGCTGCGGCCGGCGCGTGACGGTGGGCGGCGGCGGCCGCGTTTGCTGCTTGGCTTTGGGCTGCTTGGCCTTGGACTTTTTTCTAGCCATCCTGAAGCGAGTCCTGACTCGCGGGGTTGCGCGGCTATAGCTGTGGGGCCCGTGCTGGCTTGTTTTTGGAGGCCAGATACTGCTTGGCGCGCTTTAAAGCCCTGCTCAACCGCAAGCTCGTTTTGCCTGCTTTTGCTAGTGCCTTACGCCGCTAGCTCTGCATTTTAGCATCCCACGGCCACACGAGCTCTGATGCACCAGCGCTCGCGATTTTGGCCTTTTAGGACTCGCATTCGACTATAGATACTCCTGCACAGCAGTCAGGCATGGCTGCGATCGATGACGCCGTCGCCCAGATGGCTAGCCTTGCCCTCGCGGCGTACAAAGCGGGCCGGCACGACGACGCCATCGATGCCTTCACGAAAGCGATCGCACATAAAGACTCGGCCATCCTACGCAAGAACCGAGCAGCGGTGAAAGCGGCCCAGCAGGACTGGACCGGCGCCGAGGCCGACCTGACCGCGGCCCTCGCCACGAGTCCGCCGGACGCTCTGAAGGGCCGGATCCTGCTCAAGCGGTCCTTTGCGCGCGCGGCGCGAGAACGCCACGCGGCCGCGGGCGACGACGCCGCGTCTGCGGCGGCTTTAATGCAGGGTCCGGAGCGCGAGAAATGCCTCGCCCAGGCGGCGCGGTGCCGCCGCGACGCGAAGCGCGACGCGGACCTGCTGAAAGCGACGGCGGCGGACGGCCAGCACATGGTGCACCCGGCGCAGAAATTGCGGCTGGCCTTCGCGTCGCCCCTGCCCGCGACGGTGGATGAAGGCGACGCCTTCGACGTCGAGGTTCGGCTCGGCAACGAGTTCGGCCTCTGGCGGCCCGCGGATTGGTCGACGGTCGGTAATGGTGAGACGACGCTCGTCGCGTCGGCGCGCGGCGGCGGCGTTGTGGAAGCGGCGCCCGTCGCGATCGGTAGTGATGGACGAGGAAGGCTCACTATCAGAGTGAAACGCGGCGGCGACTTCATGCTCCGTATTTCTCCAGAGGGCGCCTGGGCGCGGCGGCCGCTCGCGGTGCTGTCGCTTCCCTTCATTGAAGCGACTCGAGCAATAAACGCCGGCGCGACGTGCTGCCGCGAGCTCGCGCTCGGGAAGGTCAGCGTGGTCGTCGCCGAGGCGCCGGCGCGTTTAGGTATTGGAGGGAAGTTGTGGGACGCGGCGCTCGCGCTCGTCGCCCACGTCGGGAGCACGCGGGGCACGGACGAGTGCGTGCACGGCAAGCGCGTGCTGGAACTCGGGAGCGGCGTCGGTGCTGTTGGTATTGGGGCGCGGCTGTTCGGGGCGTCTCGCGTCGTGCTGACGGATATTGAAGATGTTGTGCCGTTGCTCGAGGCGAATATTGAGCTCAATCACGTGGATAATGTGGCGGCGGTGGCGTTGGACTGGTTCCAGGACGTTCCTTCGGCCGTTTTGGAGGAGAGCTTTGATTTGGTCCTCGCGTCAGATGTGGTCTACGATCCGGACCTCCACGCGCCTCTCCTGAGGACGCTCGGGGTTTTGCTCGACCGCGTCCCCGTGTGCCTGCTGGCGCACCGGCGGCGGAACCCGCACGACGCGGACTTTTTTGGGGCGCTCCGGGCGCGCTTCGACGTCGCGGAGCGCGTCGTGTCGACTGGTGGCGGGGTGCTCGTGCCGGAGGACGTGGAGTTGTTTGCTGTAAGGCGTCGTGGCGCGTAGTGTGTTATTGTCTAAGTTTTTTAAATATGTGTTTATACTCTTAACCGAGGGAGGACGAACGACGATGGCGGGGTGGGATATTGTTGTTTGTTTTTGTAGTTTTTTCATCTCGGTCGAGTTGGAGTAAGGTTCAAGTCGGTCCATCACTTGGCTTCGGCATCCAGAACCCATATTAAGCTTGCGGCGGCGGCTGCGCCTCGCGGGCGCGGAGGGCGGCTCGCGAGCGTCGCAGATCGTCCTCAATTTTCTGTGTGACCGGGTGCGTGCGACCCATCACGTGCCGCGCGGTTGGTACCGTGTGTTTTTCGAGTGTCTCCACGCTTTCGCGGAGATCGTCGAGCGTGGCGCCGGTGTCCTTGTAGAGTGTTGCCGCATAAATTGACTTCATCCTGAGCGTATAATAATGTGACGCCCCGAAAACGCGCCGCGCCACAGGAATCGTTTTGCACATCAGTGACCTGGCTTCTGCGAAGCGCTCGAGGTTCACGAGGGCGATCGCGTAGTTGTTGGCTGCCGTGAGGGTGTGTTCATGTTCCTCGCCATTGAGCTTCAAACGCCCGGAGTATATATCTTCTTCGATCTGTACGGCCTGTTCAGCCAGTCCCAGACAAGTATACGTACCCGAAAGATTGGTCTTCGCAGCGAGCATGATCTCATGGGATTCAGAATACCCGAGGCGTCGCAGCATACACAACTCGGCCTCTTGTACGGACACCGCGTCCTCGTAATTATCTGCTTTGCATAAACCATCATAAAGCACTGTAATCGCGGAGAGGCGAAATAGATCCTTCTCCGGCCGCCCCATGCACGTCCTCCAGCACGCCCACCCGAGCGCGCACGCCACGATGCCGTGGTAGTCTTGCTCGCACAGGCCACACTTGTGCCACATGTTAAAATTTTTCGCGCCGTGGCGCTCGACCGCGGCGTGCGCCCCCCGCACCAAGCACGAAACGTGCGCGATGCCAGAATCCCCGCGGCACGAGCACCCGCGCACGAGGCCTTCTTCATCGCCCTCGGCATAACATATGTAGCACTTCTCACCGGCCGTGTCGGCCGCGCACGCCTCGATGGCGCCCGCGAGGGCCTCTTGGTACCTTTGCTCGACGAAGTCGGTGTCGAGAAGGCATACCGGTAACGTCGGGGCGGTCGCGTCGAGCTCGGGCTCGGCCATGGTCGTCTCAGAGTCCGAGCAGGGATAATGGTTTATTTCTATTTTTCAACCGCTGCGCGCGTTTGTTGTTGGCTCAGGGCCAATCGGGGAGGCTGCGAGACTCGTTTGTTTGATTTTGACGCTAGCGCGATCGATCGTCGAGTAGCGGCGTACGAGTCGCCCAAATTGCTGACGTACGAGTCGCTCAAAGATACAAGATGAGATGAGGAAGAATGAGGAGAATGCGGAGATTTTTCTCGTTATTGCCATTCGCGCGCGCGCGCACAAGATAGATCCCCTTCCCCACGTCGTGCCCGACGTGTCTAAGTGGCGGGGGCGGGGCGGGCGTTCGGTCACGCAGCCCCCGCGGCGGGACGTGGTAGGCGGTCTAGCTCTAAGGAAAGCAACAACAAAGACAACCTAATCCTCCTCCTCCTCCTCGAGCGCGAACGTCGGCCTCGACGAAGTCGCCGGAGCTTGTGCAGACGGCCCGTCGCCGGCGAGCACGACCTGTAGGGTGTCGTGGAACGACGCTTTGACGTCCTTGAGGTCCTCGCGCGCCGCGTCCGCGTCCGCCCGGGCCTCGGCGATTTCGCGCGCCGCGTCGCTCCGGGCCTTCTCGACGGCCCCCTTCATCGTCGCGATGGCGCGCGCCACGGCGGCGTCGGCCTGCTGCTTCGTGGCGTCGCGCTGGGCGAGCGCGTCGGCCGTCGCGGCGCGAGCCCGCTCGAGCTGGACGCCGTGGACGCGCGCGTCGGCCGACAGCGCGTCCAGACGCGTCCGGAGCGTCGCGACCTCGTCCTCCAGGGCCCGGTCCGGCGCCTTCGACGAAACCGCGGCCGGCGCCCGCCGGTCGCGTCTGAGAGCAGCGTTCGCGGCCACGGCCTCGCGCAAACGCGCCTCTAGCGCGTCGCGGTCCGCGGCGAGGCGTGCCGCGTCGGCGCCGTCCGACGGGCGCCTCTCTTCTCTCTTCCTGAGGGCGTCGCGCTCGCTTGTAATGTTGCGCAGTTCGCTGCGCGTCGTCGCGACGAGCGATTGCGCTGCGTCGCGCTCGCGGAGCGCCGCGGCGAGGCGCGCCTCCGCGTCGCCCGTCGCGAGTGCGACGCCGTCGCGCAGGTTCAAGGCCGCGTCCGCGTCCCGGCGCCTCACCGCGGCCCGCACCTCCTCCAGTTCCGCCTCGAGCGCCGCCACGCGCGGGTCCTCGGCGCCGCCGCGCGCGGCCACGAGCGCGTCGGCCGCGTCGCGCCTTGCGGCAGCTGCGTCGGCGCGGCTCGCGTCGCGCTCGGCAACTGCCGCGGCCAGGAGCCGCTCCGTCTTGGCTAATTTATCGCGCGTCTCGGCCGAGGCCGCCGCGAGTCGTTTTAAAGAGCCGTTTTCCAGCTCCAGGGACGCGGCGCGCGCTTCTAAACTTGCAGCCTCGCCCTCGAGGCGCGCGCGCTCCTCGCCGTCGTCGACGGGCGGGCCCCGGCTCTCGAGGCGCGCGATGACGCGCTCGCGGTCCGCGAGTTCGGCGCGCAGGGTTTTATTGCGCTGCTCGCTCCTGCCGAGTTTTGTGGATAAGTCTGCGCCCTCGTCGAGCAGAGCGGCTGCGTCGGCCTCGGCTTTCTTGACGCGCGCCCGCAGCGCCTTCACGTCGGCCGGCTCGTCCTCGTCGCTTTCTGTCTCTCTATCAGTTTTGAGGTCGATGCCGACCGCGCTGTCGAGCTGCGTCTCGAGCTTCTGCTGGAGGCTGTCTAGCACGTTGTCCAGAAGTTGGGCCATTGGTTCTTAATTTGCTTTTTGTGTTGCCCGCCCCTTGGACCGATGTGTGGGCGTTTAAGGCGTGTCGCGCGCGCAGCAGCGACGGCGGTGCTGCTTTTGGCCTTGTTGGGCGGTGCTCAGGCTCCGCACTTATGCCTGTCGCGTGACAGTGGATCTAAAAGCTGTAACAGGAGCTACGGCCGGGCACTCCTTACAAGCAAACAAGCGACCCGCGGCGTTTGGCCTGGGCTCTAGTATGTTACTACAGTAGCTACGGCAGATCCCGGGCAGCCCCCCAAGAACGCAATGACACGATGATTGCACCGCCATGGGCTGCCCTGATGGCGGCAGCACTCATACTTAGACTGCCGGACAACTTCTGGCAGCGATGCGGTGGAGGCGACACAGACAGGCTGCTCTACGCTGCCCTACCTCTCATGCTGCTAAGGGACGCGTACGGCTGCTTTTTCCTGAACCTCACGCGCCGACCGGCACGATCCATACGCAAGCCGCTCGGCTACGACGCCGCGGTACTGCGACGGCCGCGCTGGTGTCCGATCCCGCTATTGCTGCGGCTCTGCGCTCATAATACGCAGCGGCTCGCGTTCGCGGTAGCTTTAATTGGAGCGGCGGCGGTCTGCGTCGTCGACGGCGGCGCCCTACGCGTCGTCGTCGCGCTGGCCTACGCGATTGTGGAGCTCCGCTTCCATGCGGCGCTGGGCTGGCACCGCGACGTCCTGCTGCTCAACACGCTATTCGCGTCGGCATTACCGGAACCCTGCCGCGCGACGGGACGGGCGCTTGCCCTGTGCCACGCATACGGCGGTTCGGGCCTGCGGCGGCTCTGGACCGGCGGGGCCTTCGACGGCGACTCACTCAAAGAGGTGCTCCGCGGGGCGCGCAACGGCGTCGTTCCAAAGCTGACGGCCTCCGCGGCGAAGGCTCCCCGACGGTTTCTCGCGATAGCCGACGCGGGCGCGCGGATAGGCCTCGAGCTCGTCGGCGTTGGCCTGTTGCTCGCGTACCTCGACGACGCCAGAGTCCGTCTCACGTTCCGCGCGTGCGCGATCGCGTTCCATTTTGGAGTCGCCTTATTGACGGCGATCGATTTTTTCGAGAATCGCGTCGTCCTGTTCGTGGGATTGATCGTTGACGACCTGGCTGTATCAGTATCTTCGGGTACCTGTTCGCCGTGGCCGAGCCGCCTCTTCGCCTTTGCGCTGCTCTTTCCCGTGCTCGCGGGCGTCGAGCACTTCCCATTCACGCACAACGGCCTGTTTCCCTTCTCCGGACGACAGATGCGCGCCGTCCGCGAGGTCTGCGACCGCCAGGGCACGCTCCTTGCGACGACGACGCGATCCGTCGCCCTGCCCGTGGACCTCGCGCGGACGTTCCTCGGGCTCGGGGACGCACAGCCCGCGCAGCTCTGGCACCCGGTCCTCGCGCCGCTCGTGCTCGCCGCGGCGAGCGCGCGGGGCGAGGCCGACACCCTGAGGCTGCGGCGCGGCGCGGAGGCGTGGCTCAAAACAAAACCGCTAGTGGACGCGCGGACCGGACGCGCGTACGACCGCGTCACCTACGAGTACAAGAACCGCGCGGGCCGGGGCTACAACTGAGCCCTCGTCCCCGCGCCGGCGACGCGAGAAGAGTAATGTGACCGCTTGTGCTACAACTGACCCCGCGGGATGCCACCGTAAAGAGTAATGTGTACGCTTCTCTTACGCCCGAAAGCAAGCTACGTGAACCACTTCATCGACTTGATCGGGTGGTGGATGTTGCACCGCCCGCCCTCGTTCGCCACAATATAGGCATGTTCCGCCTCGACCTTCTCGATGTACTTCTTCTCGAGGAACTCGGCTTGTTTTTCTTCGGCCCGCCTGACTTTATTCCGTTCGATCTGTAGCCTTAGTTTCGACTGGTGATCAATAGCCGCCTGCTTCTGGTAGGCCTGCCGCCGGTCGTCCTCGTCGTTCGCCTTCTTCTGCGCCGCCTCGATGGCCGCGATCTCGGCCCCATAGTGACTCGTCGAGAACTTCTCGGCGGCGATCTTGTCCCGGATCTGCTGCTGCCGCCCGAGGTCGACCTGCTTCCGCAGATACTCGCGCGCGTCGATCTCGGCCTGGAAGGCCCGATCGCGCTCATCCCAGATGCGGTTCTCGAGCTTCCGGCGCACCGCTTCGATCTTCGCTTCATCCGCGCCCTTGAGCTTCTCGAACCCGTCCAGGTACTTCTTGAACCGCGCGTTCAACTCCTTCTCGGCCTGAATCTTCGCCGCGTCTTTGTCGTCCTGCGCTTTCTGTAAATCGAGCTCGTACTGCAAGGTTAATTTGTCCCTCCTCAACTGTTCCTTCTTGAACACCTCCTTCTTCTGGTCAAATACGGAATTGAAGCCCATGACGTCCGCCGATCGTGCCCGCGCCGCATCCCTCAGGTCGATCTGCTTCTTCGCCTCGGCGTCGACGGCGATCTTCCACTCCGCGAGCTCCTCCTCGGCCTCCTTCTTCATGCGCTCCTCCCGTGCTCGGTAGCGCTTCTTCTTGAGCTCGACCTGTTCGTCCAGCACATATTTCACGTCGTGCTCGTGGGCTTTATGTTTGGCCACCTTCTCGGCTTCGATGCGATCGGCCTCGGCCAGGCCCTCGCGCCACTTCTTGAGCCAGGCCTCTTCTTCCTCTTTTTCTTTCTGGAGGCGCCTTGCTTTCTCCTCGTGCTGCAAGTGGCGCGTCGACAGGCAAGCCTCGACGAAGGCCTTCGAGTCGCGCTTCCGCACATCATCTAACGAATTGCGGCGCTGCTGCGCGTAGGCCCAGTCGTTGTGCTTCTTACGAGCGACTTCGCGCTGCCGTCCTAGCTCCAGGGCCTTCGCCTCGACTTCAGCCTTGCGGTCCGCGGCGCTCTTGCCAGAGGTCGCCACCTCGTGGCGCCACTGCGCCATCTCCTCGGAATACAACTTGGCGAGGCGCTCGCGCCGCCTCCTCAACTCGTCCTCGGCCTCCTTGTCGTATTTGCGGATGCGCGCGCGGCGCCCCCGCTCCACAATCTTGTCGTGCGTTTTTTGCTCCCACTTCGCGCGCTCCGTGGAGAGCCACATGTCCGTGTTGTGCCGCTTGAGGTCATCGGTCACCTCCTGGGCCGCGCGCCGCCTCTCGATCTCGTCGATGGGGCGGAGGCCGGGCATGGTTGCGAGGCGTCGGGCGCGGCGACGAGGCTGCCCAGAGATGGTCCTAAGCGGGAGCCTATCGGCAGCCCGTGGGACGCGCGTTTGGACAAGAACGGGGACCTACAAGTTTTCTATGGCCCAAGGGCAGCGTCCTTCGCGTCCTTTGCGGCGCACCCCGCCTTTTTGCGGCTCAGCGCTGCGCCCAACTCGAGGACGCTTAACTAGGGTTACCTCCCTATTTTCGGCATCTCGCGACGTTTTCGCTGCTAAAAGATAAATCAAGAGCGCTCAACTACGCCCCGGACCCGCAAGAATCGGCTTTACGAAAATCCGCCTCAGACGCGGCCGCCGGCCGGCTGGGCACGAGCTCTCGTGGCGAGAGGGGACGCCAGCCAGGCTGGGCTGCACGCCATCGACGCGGTAAGAATAAGCCACAATAAGTTTACACACTATCACTATCATCCGACTCCGCCGAGGAGCGCCAGCGCGCCCAGCGCCGGCGCAGCGACCGCCCGAGCGGCCGCCAACCGCCGCCGGAGGCCTCCGGCGGCGCCGGCAGGCCGAGCTTCAGCCGGAAGGGCCGGCTCGGGCCCGACACGGCGCGCGGCCGCCGCGCGTCGGCCTTGTACACGGCGCTCTCCGCCGCGGCCCGATCCAAGCTTTCTCCAATAACCTGCTCCGCCAGCCCCAAACCCATCTGCGTCGCCTCGTGCACGACGGCCGCGCCGCTCTTCTCGAGCTCTCTGCCTTCCGAAGCCAGCGGCCCGCCGCCCGCCCTGGCAATGATGGGCGCGTCCGGGAACGACTCCCGCAGCCGCGCGACGGCCTCCGCGCGCCGGTCGGCGCCGGCGTAGGCCACGACGATGGCTCGCGGCTCCGTCACCCCGGCTGCCTTGAGGACCGTCGCCGACGCGCCGTCGCCGTAGACCACGTTCGCGGCGTCGTCGACGACGCCGTCCGCGACGCGCGCCGGATCTAAATCAACAGCGACGACCGGCGCGTGGCCGCTAATCGCGGCGCACGCGGCCCGCCCGACGGGCCCGTAGCCGCACACGACGACCGCATCTTGCAGCGCGTCGTCCGTCTCCGGTCTCAGTAATTGCCTTAACTCCTCTTTTTCAAGACCGGCACGCCACTCCTCGAGACTCAGCACGCCGTCGCCGTTGTCGTCCAGCGCGTCGAAGGCCCGGTCCGCTTGGGCCGCCGGGAATCCGCGTCGAGATACATAAACTCTAAGTTCGTCCAGATCAATCGTGCCGTCGCCGTCCGTGTCTACTCGTTTGAAGATCGCCGAGACCTCGTCCTCGACATCACCATCAGTAGTCAAAGGTATGCGGCCCTCGCCGACCTGGCGGTCCAATTCGTCGCCCGCGTACTGCGCGAACTCCGCGAATAAGGGAGACAAAGCCATGGACAGGATCACCGACGTCGTCAATAAGTCGGACGTCCGCGACGAGAGCACGCCCAAATCTTCGGCGAGTTTAAAGATGATGAAGGCGAACTCGCCGCCCGGCGACAATAGCACCGCGACGCGCGCCGCCCGCGGCACGTCCAATCCAAACGCCGGGCCCGACGCGAAGAGCACGGCGCACTTCACGGCCAGGAACGCGACCACACCTAAAGTTAAGGTCGGCAGCTCCTGCGCCACCAAACCCGGATCGAAGCCCGCCCCGGCCGCCATGAAGAAGACCCCCAACAAGATGCCTTCAAAAGGTCGGATGTCGGCCTGGATCTGCGCCCGGTACCTATTGCCTGCTAATAAAACGCCCGCGGCGAAGGCTCCTGTTGTTGCTGATAATCCAATAGCCTCGGCGAGCCGGCCCATGCCGATCGCTACTAATAAAGTGGCGGCCACAAACGTTTCCGTGGACCGCGCCGCGGCGACGGCGTCGAAGGCCACCCTTAATACCCGAGACCCCAGAAATAACACGGCGCAGCAGCCCACGGTGGCCTTGAAGGCGAGTAACGCGATGTCGCCGTCGGCGACGGCCGAGCCGCCGCCCGCCACCAAGGGTAGCGCGACGAGGATCGGCGCCACGGCCAGGTCCTGCAGCAGTAATATACTGAGAGCCGCGGCGCCTTCGGGCAGGTCCTTCCAGCCTCTTGCTTCCAGCACCGGTAGAGCTAGAGCCGACGACGACAGCGACCCCGCCGCGGCCACGCAGAACGCCGCGACGGGCGTCGCCTCGATGGTCTTCAGCAGGGCATCATCTATAGGGATGCCGATCGACGACGCCGCTTTATCTACAATTGGGACCAATTCAGGGCCCAGGTAGAAGCTGAAGAAGAAGAACACCGCGACCGTGAGGATGAACTGCGCTAATCCTAACCTCAAGAACTCCCCCAGCTTCCTCAATCTCTCGGGCGAAAGGTTCAGGCCCTCGTTGAACAGAAGGAACAGAATGCCAAAGTCCCCCAATGCCACGTCGGCCTCGACGTCCCCAAAAACGCCGAGCCCGTGCGGGCCCAGAATACACCCAATCGCCAGGAAGCCCAGCACCGGCGGCGCCCCTACTAGTCTTGATGCCGGCACAACTAATACACTCGCGGCGAGGAAGGCGAAGATGTCCCTGCCCAACGCGTCGATCGCGCGCTCCGCATCTAGGCCGCTCACGTCGGAGGCGGCTTGGAGGGCTGTTGGCAGTTCGGCGTGCGTCGCCAGTGCGCTTTGCGCCGCGCGCGCCGCGTCGGCGAGCGTCGCGTGCGCATCAACGTGGTGCAGGTGCTGTATGAGCCCGTGTGCTGCATCAATTGCCTCGAATGCTCGCAACTTTGTTCGGCGGCGCTGCGACAGTCTTGTCGTCGGTACGAGCGCCTGTGCACACGCGCAGAGCACGAGTGTGCGTCGCATTTTGCCGCCAGCAGGGCTGTGGTGCAGCAAGGTGGTCTTGTTGCAGTGATTCGCGGCACGCTCACGTTACGTGGGCTCTGTGGTCGAACTATGCGCTATTAATGAGTCCGATGAAGCCACCAATGGGTAGTCTATGGCGCGTTTGTGTGCCAGCGCGACGCCCAGACCAAGTTGAGAGATGACAGTCGCGCGAGAGACGGCCAGTTTCTTGCGTTTGCGAGGCGTAGGAGCTCTCTGAGCACTAGTCGAAAGCGAGGCGACGGGTCTCGGGCGCGGTTCGGGCTAGCGACCGAGCGGGGCAGAGCTGGTTGACATTGCCCAATTACGCCTCCGCCTGGGCTGTGCGAGAATCGCCAAACCCCTCCGAGCCGTGTGAAAACAGCTCCTAGACTCCTACGCCCGCCGCCGAGAAATAACTCGCGCCGCAGCCATGGTCCGCAGACTTTTAGCGGCGATTGCAGTGGGCGTCTCTGCGGCGTTTGCGCCGACCGTGCAACCCCAGCGACGAGTGGCGGTCGTGCCGCAGATGGCGAACAACCCCGGCGCCCTCAAGCGCATCAAGCAGAGCGAGCGCAACCGCGTCGCGAACGCGGCGTGGCGGTCGCGCGTCCGGACGTGGACGCGCAAGACCAAGGAGGCCGTCGACGCCGGCGACGTCGACGCCGCGAAGGAGTGCGCCCGCGTGGCGACCTCGACCATCGACCGCGCGACGCGCCGCGGCATCTACCACAAAAACTGGGCCGCGCGCAACAAGTCGCGCCTCAGCAAGAAGGTGATTGGTCTGATCCTCGAGTCGAAAGGTGGCGCGCCGAAGGCCGAGCCCGTCGAGGCCTAGGTCCCTGTAATTATAAACTACAACGTTACTCGTTACTCGTGCCTTTGTTCGACACCTCTTCAAGCGCCGGCTCTTCAACAACCTCGGGCTCCTCCTCGCCCGGTTCCGGCAGCACGACCTCGATGCGGCCGAAGGCCCGCCCCTCCTCGAGCGGCCCGTTGTAGTCGAGCGGCGTCACGAGGCCCGCCTCAACCAGGTCCCTTACCACGTCCGCGTAGTCGCCGACGTTGAAGATGGCCTCCCCGCTCTTCAGCCGGTCCCTTTGATTCGCGTCGTGGCAGGGCCGCGTCACGACGCCATAAATGTCGTCGACGGCCGCGGCCTCGTACAGGACCATGGCCGACTTGCCGTAGCCGTCCAAGCGGTGCCTTGCTCGTAAGGCGGGGCGATCGCCGTTCGCGGGGAGCAATCCATCCAACCGCCGCGCCTCGGCCGCGCGCACCGCATCTCTTAATTCCTTGCGGCCCTTGCGGCACTCGGCCGCGTGCCGCGCCCGGTCCGCGCGCTGGCACTCCTTCCCGCAGTACCACGCCAAGCAACACGCCGAACACCGCCGGAGCGGCGTCCGCTGCCAGAGGCCCCCCGCCGCGAAGCAGTGCGCGCACATGAGGCCCTCGACCTGGCACTGCTCCCGCGGGCTCCGGTGTCTTGCCAAAAGCGGCTTGTGCGGCCCGTGCAGCGTGATGTGGGGCTTGTTCGCCAACAACAAAAACCAGAACCACGGCTCGGACCCGCGGTCGAAGGGGCACTGGCCGTCGTCCACTGCCTCGCCGCGGTCAAGCGTCGCGCGCGCGGCCTCGACCCACTCGATCGCCGCGAGGAGGTGCGGCCGCCGCCCGTCATCAATTTCGTGCAGCAGCTCGCGCATCGCCGCGACGTTCGTCGGGTCCAAAGGTTGGTCGCTCTGCGGTTTTTGTGGCGGCGGCATCGGCGCGGGCGCGGGCGCCGTCGCGTCGTCGTCGCTATCTTTTATGTTGTCCCATCTGCTGTAATCGGTGCCGTACATCACAGCGATGGCGTATGGCTCCGGCAGAAACTGAGCGATGGCGTTTGCCTGTGCTGTGACGCGTCAATAGCAGCGCTCGCACAACGATAGATGGTACCGAAGCGCTCGCAAATCAGCTGTGCAATGGCTCTCAGCGCACAACTGCAGCGATTTTGAGCTCATGCGATTCGGCCAGCTTAGAGTGATAGAGACACTAGGAATGAAGGCCCTCGTTCCGTTGTGTGCAAACGCGCGCGCAGCGGTTTCGAGGACATAGCGGCAGTGCGCATCGTAAAGAGGGAGCCTTGACGAGCATATAGTAAGCTGCCCCGTCGCAATCGGTGGGGCAGCGGCGGAGTTCAGTGCAGAAGCAGCTTAACAGGTGCGTGCACGAAGCGCAGCATCATGCCGCCGCGCAAGAGTAAAACGACCCTCGAAGAGGCCATAGAGACGGTAGGAGACGAGCGAGACCAAGTGGTGGGCGACGCGTGGTTAGCTAAGGACCTGCAGCGCGAGGAGGTCGATGCGGCCGCCAAGGAGGCCGAAGACGCCGCGGAGCGGCGCCGCCAGCGCGAAGAAGAGACGACGAAGGGTGCGCAAGAAGAGCGGTCTATCAAGAAGAAGAAGCGGCCTGCCAGACGGGCCCAGGTGACGGCGCCGACGGCCGGCTCTGATACGGATTCGGTGAGAGATGAGTCGCCGCCGCCGCCGCCGCCGCAGAAGAGGGGGCGGACGCGCTACCGCGAGGACGACCCGCGCCGGAAGAAACCGCCGCAGTCGATCGCGCGCCTCCTCGCAGACCGCGCCGGTTCGCTAGAGCGGTCGGAGTCGGTCTCCTCGACCACGTCCTCCGGCAAGACGGTCTACTACGTCGATAAGACGGTCCTCGAAGATGAGGAATGGGAGTGTCTCTTGATCGACGGTTCTGACCGGAACGGCGTCCACGCGTACGTCGCCCAGACCTTAGTCGTCGGCGTGAACCAGGGGCCGTACCAGAAGGCAACGCGGCCCAAGCCGGGCGTGTTGGTTACGTGGCCGCCGGGATCACCGCCGGGCAAGGGCCAGGTCCTCACGCCGTACGTGAGCACGAACAGCACGAGCGGCGTCATCAAGAACACGAGGGACCTCCAGATGTTTGCACGGTGCATGCGCAAGGGGATGGGCGACAAAAGGCGCGTCAAGTTCAAGAAGGTCGGCCGGTCGCAGGTCCTGGAGTTCTTTAGATTGATGCCGCGGCGCTATCTCGTGAACCGGGCCGTGCGAGTCGCGGTGTTGTTCGAGGAGTCCCTGGAGGTCTTCGTGGAGCGCGAGATCCTCAAGCCCGACGGCACGCTCGTGCCCCAGGGCGGCGCGGCCGACATGAATGACGGCGACGAGGGCGTCGCGACCGAGCCCGGCATGGACGAGGACGCGCCCGCGCCCGTCGACGACGACGATGACGACCCCGCGCCCGCCGCGGCCGAAGCCGCGGTCGAGGCCGACGATGACGACGCGCCGGCGGCCATCGCCGACGACGTCGACTGCCTCGAGGAGCTCCCCGAGGACGGCGTCGCCGCGCCGGCCGCCGCGCCGGCCGCCGCGCCGAGCGTCGGCGAGATCGCCCGCGAGCGCAGGAGAAAGGAGATGGCCGCGGCCGCCGCGGCCGCGCCGGCGCCGGCCGCGGCCGAGGTAGCGCAGCGCCCGCGGATTCCGGAGCGGGCGCGCGTGGCCGACGACCCCTTCCGCGTCGGATTGGAATCTGACGCCTTCTTCGGGGCGAATCTCTATTCGGCGCCGGGCTTAAACCGCCTCAGGAAGGCGGGCCGGTGGCTCGATGGCGTCTCGTCGGGCCGGGTCGCGCCGAGCCTCCCGGAGATGCAGACCGTCTTCTGGGCGGCCATAGAGGAGAAGACCGGTGGTCGACTACGACTGCACCCCGGAACTATCCCGCCACCGCCGGTCGGTTACGGTGGGCACGCGCCGTCTCCTGGATTTCCGCCGGTGGGTTACGGATACGGCTTCGCGCCCGCGCCGCCGTCGTGGCCGATGAGCTTCGGATTCGCGCCGCAACAGTACGGCGCCGCGCCGACGACCTGGTCGGTGCCGCTCGAGCGGCCGCCGCCGGATGCGGTCTTCGAGACGGAGACGACCGTGGGCGGTCGGCGCCTGGACGAGCGCGGTGGAGGCGCCCCGGTGTGCCTGGACTACGTCCGCGGCCGGTGCGACGCGGGACCTACGTCGCTCGCGGTCGTCAAATCATCGCGGCGCCGGCGACTTCCACCATCCTGGCCTTCTCGCGTCGCGTCCTTTTGGCCCTTTGGGTTGAAGGCCCCACGCGCAGGTCAACCGATCTTTCTTTCCGGGCATCGCCGGCATGGCGCGCCCACTTTCTTTATCATTGGCGGGTCGAGCCCGGAACACGGACGGCACCCATCCTCGGGCATCGAGTGGTGCGCGTTCGGTGGTATCCGGCCCGTTCCCTGAAGCCTCTGTCGCCGACACGGCGGCAAGCCTCATCTGCCCGCGACCGGACCGACCCTACGGAGTGGAGCCGGTCTCGACCTGGGAGGCGTTGGGGGCGGCGGCATGCCGCCCCCCGTAACCTTGGCCGCGCCGGCCGAGCTTTCGTAGGCCCTCCGAATCGCTCGGCATCCATTGAACCCATTTAGTTCCGTTCCGACGGTGTCGGAATCAGGTGTCGTCTGGGCGGGTCGGAGCCGGTCTCCCCGTCAGACACTTAGGCACGGCGCAGTGGTAGTAGCTCTCGCTCCCCTGGCCAGCTTGATTTTCGGCCCCGTTCTAAAAGAGGAGCCAGCGGCCAGTTCCACATCCTGATGGGGGGCGTCCCGAAGAGGGGGGGGCGTGCGAGTCCCTGTGACTCAGCCCTTGCGTCCTAGTCCAGCCGGACGGGTGGGCCCGGGGGGAGCGGGAGGGGTACGGGGGACCCTGCGACGTAACTAGCCTGAGCCTGAAGGGAAGAGTCGTCGTGGGGCTTCTGGCTTCGGCGCAATGAGAAAAAACTCGTGCTAAAAAAACTAGCCACACAAGGCACTTACAATAACAACAAAAAACACTCAGGAACTCTCCTCGCGCCGCGCATGCTCGGCAACAACGGAGTCAATAACCGCCCGCCGCTCCGCAAACAACGAAGACCCGAGGACGGCGTCGCCGCGGCGGGCCGGCTCGTAGCGCGCCGCCGCCCCGAGGTGCCGCAGGACGTGCGTCGCGTAGGCCCGCACGGACGCCGCCGACACGGCGTGCTCGGCGTACGCGTGCATGTTCCGCTTTATGAGAGCCACGAGGTCGGGGTGGTCGCGCGCCCACATCACCACAGAAGCGAGCGTCTCGAAGGCGTGGTCGATTGGTATATAGTGGACCCAGGGCTCGAGACCCAACCCATAAAACTCCCGACACGAACTCTCCTGTACCAGCAAAAGCGGCCCCATGAAGAGCGCCAATCTTAACCGGTCCGACCAGCCGCAGTGGCCCTCGGCGATAATCTGGTAGCGGTACTCCTCCTGCTGGAGCAAAGGGACGTAGTCGTGCGCCGCATCCACCAAATCGGGAAACGCCGCGCCCCTCGACATGAGCGCGCGCCGGCCGCAGGGCTGCGAATCCAAAGGCCGCTGATCCGTCGGAATTACAATTTCTTGGTCGTAGTCGAAGCAGCTCTTGCCCCGAACTTTGCCGCGGAACACGGCGCGCGGGTCCCTCGCTAAATCTGAATACCGCTCCCGCTGCTTGACGATCATCTTCACGAGCCCGTCCCAGCCCTTGAGCGACTCGTCCAAATCGATGCTGCGCGCGTACCAGGCCGGCACGGGAATATCCGCGGACCCGCGGCACGCCACTAAGCCTAACCGGGGGCCCGACAGCGTTGTATTAGTGCCGAGGTGCGCGTAGGGCGACGTCCCGTTCTTGTTTGAAGCCGACTCTAATACACAATCGACGGGGCAGAACGCGACCTCGACATCCCTTAGCGTGGGAGCGACCTCCATCACTACTTCGAGGAAGGCGAGGCGCCGCTGCTCGCGCCACGGCCGTTCCTCCAGCCCGGCGTCCCAATGTTTCAAAGTTTTGTTCGAGACCCAGACCTCTCCTGATAAAACCTGGAGGACCATGCAGTCGGGGTCGCTCGCCGCTTCTTCGACGGCGCCTTCGTCGTAGCCCCACTGGCGCCAGGCCGCCGTGGCCTCCTCCGCCAATTTTGCGGCCACGCCCGCCCGCGGTACCGTCCATTTGTGTATAGTATCGGGCGGTGTATCCAATGGAGCCGGCGGCGCATACAACAACGCGTCCGCGTAGGACGGTGCGTGTGATTTTTGGTCGAAGTGGACCTCCTCCAGTAGTGCCGGCGGCCGCGCGACCAGTGATGGCACGTCGGGTCTACTATAGACGCATCCGCGCCGCGCCGCGCGCCACCGCATCCTTTGCAAGTCGTGGAGCCGCCCGCAAGGTAAATCCTCCAAACCTGCCCACCCGCATAACACTTCCGCCCGGTCCCCGACGTCGCCAAAGTGCCAGTTCTCGAGCGTCGCGCCGACGCGCTCGCCACTTATCGTGTCGACGGTGCACTCGCCCCGCACGACGCCCTCGCAGTCCGTTTCGTTGGGCAGTTTGATGACGGCCGCGTCTCTCCGCAACGCCTCCTCGAGCTCGATCTCCTTCGCTAATTTAACGGCGTCGAGCCGCAAATAGGCGCGCGGCCTTTTCTCGAAATCCATCCAGTGCTCGATGGCATTCAACTGCAAATCCGCGAACCTTGACGATGAGACGAAGGAGTCCTCCCAGACCACCAATCTTAGGTCTCGTGCCTTGGCGATCATGTCCAGTAAGGCACTGAGCTGCGTCACGTGCGCCGAACAGAGTTCTTCATCATCAACCTCGCGACACGTCTCATATATATCTTTTTCGTAGGTGGTCGGCTCGACGACGACATACTTCCCTATATCATTCATTTCGTACACGAGCCTGCCCTCGGCCGGCGCCCGCCTTCGTCGCGGGTCCGCCTCCGGGAAGAGGAGCGCGCACTCCCTCGACACGGTCCGCGCGTCGCCCCTCCGATAGGCCTGGAGCCGCGCGCACTCGGCGCCCTCCCTTCTATAGATCGTCGAGAAGAGCGGCACGCGCCGCACCGCTACATTACCATACAGCAGCGCCTTCAGCAGGAGCCCCTCGGGGTTTGATAGCGACGCCGGCGTCCGGGACCAGTCCTCGGAGCAGTTCCGCCACACCTGGATGGGTCCATCGAAGTACGCGTCCGCGGCCGCCCTTCCCAGGATCGCGACGTGGTTATTCACCGGAAAATGGTGCCGCGGCACGACGGCGACGTTCAAGTCTGAAATGATGTCATTCGGCGCCGGCACGAGGATGTCCAAGAGGCTCGGCGGCGCGCGCACCCACACGACGTCAAAGCGCAGCCTCGTAACAACATCGTACGTCCAGCCGTCTTCCGCTTTCTTGACGAGCGCCCAGGCCGCGCGCGCGTGGGCGAGCTCCCTCCCATAATTGAGGTCCGGCCGCCGGTCCGCTTCACAATCGTCTCTCCTCCACTCCGGGTGCGGGTCCTCCGCGCTCACGACGCGGCCCACGGCCGCATTCCGAAGGTTGCGGAACGCGTCGACCACGTCCTCGGCACATGCTTCCGCGTGCGGCGCCGCGTTCGGGAAGAGGCTGCCGTCCGTTTTTGCGACTACGGCGAAGACCTCGCAGCGGACCGTCTCGCAGAGCGCGTCGACGCCGGCAAGGACATTGCTTTGGACCGTCTCACTCGTCAGGAACGTGCGCGGGTGGCCGCTGAACAATACGGCGGCGCGCAGCATCGCTGGTGCCGGCGCCTGCGCCCGCAGCTCCGCGAGCGACGCCTGCTGATGCGCATAGAGGTGCGGGGCAGCCGCGGTGGCGGCCAAAACTGCTGCAACGAGTGCGCAGCGCATGGCTCGGGGCTGCCTGTTGCAGTTTTGCTGCTTGCTGCGCCCGCACGCCGGCCCAAAAGCGAGCTTCGCAAGGGCTGCCAGTCGATCTCGGCTAGTATGTTTACCTGTCCACACGGCTCGAGCGTAGCAGACAGATACTTAGTAGGGGACTTGAGGCTTCTAGAACAGGGATCGGTAGGCCGACGCGGCGCGTGGCGCTCGTCGCTGGTGTCGCCGCGGCGAAGGCGGCGGCGCCGCGAAGACGCTCTGGGCGGCTCGGCGCTGGGCGGCCCTTATGCTTGGTCTGCGGTCGTCCTCGTCCACCTCGGTGGCGAACACGACGACGACGTGGCGCCGGCCTCCGACGACCGCCTCGCCTTCGTGCTCGACCGAGCCGTCGAACGCGACGGCAGCTCCTCGGGCCGGGCGCACGACGAAAGACGGTGCGGAGGCCTCCTTCGGGTAGAAGCGCGTGCCGCCGCCCGCGTAATCTCGGGACGCGTCGAGCGTGATGAGGAGTGTTCTTTTCCCGTCGCCGTCCGTGTGGCGCCCGAGGCTGCGGCGGCCGGTGGCACAATAGGTGATGATGAAGATTTCCTCTTTTTTGCAGTCGACGAGGCGACCTGGGTGGAAATCCACCTGTGACCGCGTCGATGGCGTGGGTTGATCTCCACACAGCACTCAACCCGTGCACCGTTCCATCAGGTGAAGGCCGGCATCGACGGCCTCGTGTATTGCGGCAGCGCACCGTAAATCTCTCACGTAGACGTCGGTCGTCGGCAGCTGCGCGCCCCTCGTCGTCGACAGGCCCAAGGCCACTCGATCGTCGACCTCGTTGACGGCCGCTCGACAGGTCTGCTCGTCGAGCACGGCCGGCAATCGGAAGACGTCCTCGCCGACCTCGACGCACGCGTCGGCACTTCGCCTGTGGCAGCGTTTTTTGCCTCGCCGCGACCCGGGTTCGTCGCGGTGGAGGGCTGAAGTCGTGGCTTGGGGCTTCTGGGCTTCAACATCGAACAGGGCCTGTACTGCGGCCTGGATGGCGGCCATTGTGACGTGTATGTGACGTGTGACAACGCGTAGGGGGCGATTAAATTTATCCCGAGCTTGGATTCTTCCGGCTGGATTTTAAGCCCTTCAGGACTGCGCGACTCAGAGTTTCTCCTGCTCAGCAGTGTCTTGATGAACTGCTGCTGTCGGACAGGTTCTATGGCCCCCTCTAGATGGCGGGGTGGTGAGCAGCAGCAGGTCGATTATGCAGAGCGCTTGGCGCAGCTGACCTTACAACGTACCCCCCCCCTCGCCCTTTCCCTCAGAGCGGAGGAGTCCTGACCATATTGACCGCGAAACGTCCGTCCGCAGCCTTAAGCGCCCGTAACCGGAGCCCTAAGAGGAATCAAAGAAAAAAAATTGCCCGACGGACGCAGACGGTGAACTAAGTCTAAAGAAGCTTACCCACTACTCCGCGCCACGCGCACGGGCCGGCAAGACTCCGCCGCCACCCCGCACGATGCCACGCACTCGTAGCAGGGCGTCTCCGGCGTCAGGCAAGCCTTCACGAGGTCGGGCGCCAACAGAAAAGCGGCGCGCGCGCCGTCAGAGCAGCGCTCGAAGCCGTCGCGCGCGCGGAAGCGCGACTCGAGGCAAGCCTCGGCACAGGCGGCCGCCGGCGCCGCGACGTCGCAGACGTCCTCGAAGCTCGGCGGCTCCAGGCCCCCCGCCTTCACGTCCGTGAGGACCGCGTCGTAGCCATTAGTAACAGCTTGGTGCGCGTGCCGCCAGTCGTAGCCGTCGGGCCGCCCCGCGGCCAGCGCTCCCCGGTCCAATAACAACGAGGCGCCGGCGGGCCGCGCCAGCGCCCGCCAGCCCGCGAGGCGCGACCCGAGCTCGACGGCCAGGCGGTCCGCCACCGCGTGATCCACGCAGGCCTCGTCGACCGCGTCGGCGGCGGCGGCGGCGGCGGCGGCGGCGGGGTGGTGGCGGTGGTGCCGCCGCCGGTGGTGATGCCTGTGGTGCGGCGCGGCCAGCGCCGTGAGCGCGACGGCGGCAAAGGCGACGGCCAATCCCGCGGCGCAGACGGCGGCGCGACCGCGCATGCGTTTGTTCCGCCAGGCACGTACGCACCATTTCCGCTGTGCGCAGCGCTGGCGCCGGGGCGCGGCCTCCGCGACGAGCGGGGCATGGAGCTTGTTGTCACTGTCGCACTCCATTCCTAGACCGCCGAGAGGCTGCCCTCGCACTGTTCTGTGCCTGCTTAGTCGACGGGGTTAGGACCACGCCTCCAGCCACGATCCTAAGGCGTGCGCGCTATCTAACTGCTCGAGCGCTCACTCGTCAGAAGCGCGCGGGGTCAGGCGCCGCGGAGTGCTCCAGGCGGTCCAAGAGACGTCCACATTCCTGACACAAGCGCCCGAACGCAACCTGGACACTGTACCGAGAGTGCGGGGCGCTCGATGTACGTTCACTTGCTGCGCGAGACTTTACGCGCCTAAAACACCATCAATCGACGATGGGGCAGCCCACAACCGCCGGAACAGCGTCTGACTGTCCAGTCGACACTGCCTTAGGAGCCGCTTCAGGCGAAGGCACCGCGCCCATCACGCCAGGGCGCATCACACCACACTGTGACGACGACAGCGCCTCAGCGGCGGTGGTCGACGTCGCCACAACGGGCCCCGGCCTCAAGCTCCAATGGGTGCGCAGACGCGCGAGCTTGGAAGGCTGCAAATTGACATTAGATAGCCTCGATAGCCTCGACCTCGAAGGCGCGCGGTGCACGCCGCGCGGCGACGGCGGGCTGCGGCTACGGCTGCGCGGCGGGCGGCGCGTCCTGATACGGTCGCCCCGGAAGGACGAACCAACTTCGGAGCCGACCGCCGAGCCTACTCAGGAGCTGACTGACGATGCGAAGCTCCTCGACGCAGTCGCCGGGGCCTGCGCGCCGCCGACGGTCGAGGATTTGGTTGCTGCCTGCCGCGAGGCGGCGCCGACGGGGCCGGCGGAGCCGCCGCAGCGCCTGCTGCTCACCGACGACGCCAGCGACGGCGAGGAAGCCGGCGCGGACGACGCCGGCGCGGACGTCTGCCCCGTCTGCCTTGAAGCATTGTGGCGGCGGCCCGTCGCGTTCTTCGCGGACGCGGGCCGCGGCCGCGCGTGCCCGCACTTTTTGCATGCCACGTGCGCCGCGCAGATCGCGCGCCACTCGGACCGGTGCCCCACGTGCCGCGCGCCGTTCGCGCGGCCGCGGGCCATGCCGCCCTTGGACTACGCGGACCTCGCCTGGGTCTCGACGCTCTGCGACGGGGACGGCGGCGTCCGCCGGCGCGACGCGTGCGCCGCGCTCGCGGCGCAGTTCCCGTTCGACCGCGCGGCCGTCGAAGTCGATTTGCCCTGGGACGCGTGGGGCGGCGACGTCCTCGACGCGGCGAAGCTCTGCGACGTCCGCACGGGCCTGAAGGCGGCGCTGCTCGGCCCTTTGAAGTCCTGAACCCGTGTGTAAGAGATACTGTAACAACAACGATTAATTGGGAAGCTAGACTTGTGTTTCGGATCCGAGACGACCGAGGGGAACTTGAATCATCACTGGAAACGGGGTCTCGGCGGGTAGAGAGCGATACCCGCTAGGGGGGCGTCGTCCACGGGAGGCGCGCGGCCTGGGTCGTGAGGAACTCGGCGTGCCGCTGCAGCAGGACGGGCAGGTCATGTACGTTCGCGGCGTGCGACCGTACGACGCCATGGAGTTCCGCGAGGCAGGCCTCGTACTGATCCTGCGGGACGTATAAATCGAAGCCCACCGCGTTGAGGAGGATGTGCTCCATTGCGTTTATACGTTCGGGGGAGACGGGCCGCTCGCCCGGCAGGACGTGGCCCCACGCCGTCGAGAAGTCCACGTTTCGCAGAGGAGCGTCATCGTGGTTCTTCTGAGCGACCATGACCTGTGTGGAAATCAAATTTACGGCCCAATCGTCCTGAATCATCACGTCGACCTCCACGCCATCGCCTCGACGCCTGCTCGATGGCGTGGCGATGCCAGTTCCTCACCGCTCGACGGAACCAGTGCGGCCACGTCATCGCCGAGATGACTTAGTGAAGAATTGTCGGGTGCACCCGACACACTGGTTGATTTCCACACAGACCATGACGCTGCACAATAATAAGCGTTTGCAATTCCGCGGCGTGATTCGCAAATGAGGATGATACGAAAACCTGTGTCACATGGAATCAACCAGTGTGTCGGATGCACCCGATAATTCTTCACTAAGTCATTTCTCAGCGACGACGTGGCCGCTGGCTCCGTCGAGCGGTGAGGAACTGACACCGCCACGCTATCGAGCAGGCGTCGCGTCGATGGCATGGAGGGCGACGCTGCGATTCAGGGCGAACGCGCCGTAAATTTGATTTCCGCACAGACAAAAACAGTCGTAGAATGTACATGAACGACAGGACGGAGCACTCCGGGGTGTGGCCGGTGGTCGCGAACAAGCGGAACAGGAAATCGTGCAGCTCCGCGACGTTCGGCAACGGGACAGCGCCGGCCATGGCGTCGGTTGTGGCCCAGAACGCGGAGAGCTGCTGAGGCTCCGCGGCGCCCGGCGGAGGGTTCGCCATCATGTGCTCAATGAGCATACAAATGCCGCAGAGTTCCACGGCCTCGCGCGGCGCCGCGTCGCCGTCGCTGGAATTCGTGCTCAGGGAATTTGTCCTCGACCGCGGCGGCGGCGGCGGCGCGTCACGCATGCACTCGTCGTCTTCGAGCTCGCGCTCCCACGCTTGATTGGTCTCGTCGTTCCCGCGGCGCGGGTTGCGCTTCTCCCATTGTGTGAGGTCCATTGTTGCTGGCAGTTGTGTCCAATCAAGATCAGCTCCTTGCGACCACGGCCGTCGATTTAAGGAAGCGGCAACATCGCCACGGCCGATTCGCCGGGTACCCGCGTCGCGGCTTCGGCGGCCGTCCGGGACCCGTGTTAGCCTCAAAGTTCTTTGGAGCTATTAAATGGTGGACGTGGCGACGGCCCTCAGAGGGATTAACGCTGCTTGTAACGATCACCAGTCGCGCCCCGTAGCAACAAATGGCTGGCTCCTGGGTCGCCGAGGGTCGTTTATGATATTGATAGCGCGATTTCACGGGTTCACGCTACGGCGCAGCGGCCGGGGCTCCGAACTGTGTTTGGCTTCCCTTAAAATGCACCACCGCGCGTTCCAGCGCCGCCAGCGCAGAACCAACAGTAGGGACCCACAGGCTAACATAAATTGAAGCTTTTTACGCGCAAAGAAAGCACCCGTTGGGCACTCGACCCGTCTGGCCGAGGCCAAGGAGTCGTGAATTGCGACTGGACGGCTGTAAGGCAAATCGCCTAAGCCACGGGTTTTTGTGGTGGTCGATTTGCGACGAGTTTTTGCAGGCATTACGGCAGCACCCGCGCTTGTACGTGGCGCCAGAGGCCTTAGACCGGTCACACAAAAGCGCTGCACCACCGCCGAACGCCGGCGGCCCTCAGCACCGAGCCTCTCAAGCACACAGCTCGGACACGAAAGCAGCCGCTGCGCCGCAGATTATATACGCCGTCGCAGCGGCCCTACCAGTTCAACTGCACAGACACGCAGGACGCGGAAGCGCTGCGAGGCCGGGCCGACCGCGCGAAGGATGGAGGCGAACCGCGACGCCGCGCTCAAGTGCCGCGCCCTCGCCGAGAAGTACCTGAGGGAGGGCAACAAGGCCAAGTGCCTCTCGCTCTGCGACAAGGCCGAGCGGCTCGCCGGCGGCTCGCTCGCCGGCGTCGATCGGTTGAGGACGCTCGCGTCCGCGTCGACGGGCGGCGCCGCCGCCCGCGAGGCCGCCTCCAAGCCGGCAGCGACGCCGGCGAAGGCGGCCTTCACTCCCCAACAAGTCGAGGCCGTCAAGAAGGTGATTGCGGCCAAAAGGCGCGGCCACTACGCCGTGCTGGGCATCGAGAAGACCGCGGACGAAGACCAAATCAAGCGGGCCTACCGCAAATTGGCATTGAAGTTCCACCCGGACAAAAATAGGGCGCCCGACGCCGACGAGGCGTTCAAGTGCATCGGTTTAGCTTTTGCTACCTTATCGGATAAAGATAAAAGGCGCCACTACGACATGTATGGCGACGACGAGCCCGAGCCGGGCATGGGCGTTCCTAGACGAAGACGCCCACCCGGCGGCGGCGTCTACGCCGACGAGATGTCTCCCGAGGACATTTTCAACATGTTTTTTGGCGGCGGCTACCCGCAACAACACGTGCGACGGCGGACCCAACGGCGCGCGCCGCCGCCGCAAGACTGGCGCCAGCAGGTCGCGCAGTTGATACCTTTGTTGTTTCTCTGTCTGATCATGTTCGGGAATAGTGGAAGTCTGTACGACCCGCCCTTCTCCCTGAAGCGGACGGCCAAATTCCGGCACGAGCGCCTGACGCGGTCTAGAGGGGTTGTGCCCGACATTCGGTATTACGTCGCGGACGGGTTTAGTGCCAAGCACGCGCGCGACGGCTACGCGCTGCGGCGGCAAGAACAAAACGTCGAGAGCGAGTACCAAACCCACTTACGCTACGGCTGCTTCAGCGCGCGCCAGCGGTATAGCCAGTTCAAAAACGCCGCGCAATTCTCGCCGCGGCGGCGGGAACTGATGGAGCGCGCGGACGCGATCGACATGAGCGACTGCGATTTGTTGGAGGAGTATTTTGGGGTGCGGTAATTTGGTGTGATTCGACTTTCTGCCTTTTACGGACGCCTCGAGCGGTCATGTGTCGGGTTTTACAGGGCCTTTCTAACTCGGTGCTTGTTTGACGCTGCGCTCAACTGTGAGAAGCTCTCGCTTGGCGGCGCAGTAACCCTTCCACCGGTGCTGCCAGCGGGCGCGGATTTGTCTAGCCTTAAGGCCGTGGGAGCTAGCACAGACAACCCATCATGGAGAACCAGATCGATCTCACGCGCGAATCGGACGACGACGAGCGCCAAAGCACGGTTGAATCCGACGCGGCGCTCGCGCGAAGGCTCTCTGCCGAGCTGAACGGCGAGGCGCCGAAGAACAACAAGCGCACCATCGACCTGACGGCGGACTCGCAGGAGGACGCGGCGCCACCACCGGCGCAGCGCGCGCGGACGGACGCCGTGTCCATCAAGGAGATGAAAGAGACGATCAAGCGGGCGGGCCTCCCGACGAAGGACCTCATCGATAAGCCAGGGACCGAGACGCGCTACGCAGAAGCTCTCGCGCGCCTCGCCGAACGCGCGGAGCGCGACGCCGCCGCGGTGGGCGCGCGGCGTGTGACGCTGGCGCCCGTGCCGGCCGCCGCGCCCGGCTCGCGCGTGCTCTCCTTCGTCCTCAGGAACTCCGGCGGCCGGCTGACGGCGTCGTGGGCGGACGGCGAACCGATGGCGCCGCAGCGCGGCTTCACGCGCCAGTGGCAGGACCGCCGCGTCGTGAAGCTCAAAACGCACCTCAAAGCACCAGGAACCGCCGCGACCGTCTACCTGGCCTACGACGCGGATGGTGCGCGCGGCGAACAATGGCAGCGGTCGCCCATGGCCTACCGGCAATCGGGCTGTCAGGCCAACGGCGCGACGCTCATGAAGAGCCAGTTTCAGAAGGCCGTGCGCCGGCGGTTGCCGGACGTGGCCGCGAAGGCGTTCCGCGAGCTCCTCACGTTCCCGAAGTCGGGCGGCCTGTTCGTGGCCCTGCGGCGCCTGCTGATCGTGTCCTGCGAGGACTCGGCGCCGCTCGACGGCATCAACAGCGTCCTGGTCTGGTTTTTCGCGGCCCAGGGCTACGCACCGACCGAGGCCGACGTCGCGTTCATCCTCGGCGCCGCCGCCGCGGTCGCGGACTGCCCGCGGGGCCCGACGAAGAAGGACATCCCCGGCTTTGATTGGAAGAAGAAGGAAGCCGGGGAGAAGAAGGAGTACCTCGCGGAACTGCCACTCGCCGACGTGTCCCGCGGTTCGCGGCGCGCGCTCGATCTCCTGTTCGCTGTTGCTAGCGGTGGTATTGATAAGTGGGACGGGGACTTGCTGTTGGCCGCGGCGTCCTGGTTCACGGCGCACGAGTACGCGCCCGCGGCGCACTTCGCGCCGAGGCCGCAGGCGTCGCTCGGGCGGCTGCGTCCCGAGGAGTGCATTCTCGCGGCCGTCGATGGGGAGGTCGGAGCCTACGGCAAGAAGCGCGCCCCGATCTTTGACGTCATGGAGCAGGTCGACCCAGCGATGAAGCGCGTGAAATTTGACGGGGAGGGAGGGCTCCAGAAGTGGATGGGCATCACGCGGCAGTTTGTGCGGGCGCGACAGTCGTACACCCCGAAAGATGATCACCCGGAGTGGACCCGCGTCGCCGACGAGGCGGCGCGACGCCTCATCGCCGCGGCGGTCGTCTCAAACCCGCCCTGGTGAGCCGATCGCGCGTTCGCCGGACGACGCGCGCCTATGCTACAAAAGTATTACTGTACAAGCTTACTCCTCCAAGCCTTCCTCGAGCTCGTCAAGACCCACGTATGACAGCGTCGCCGTCAGCGCCTGTTCATCGACGCTTTCGATGCGGACCATGATGCGGTCGCCCTCCGAGAAGTCCTCCTCGTCGGGTGCATCGATGTCGGCAAGAATGCCGCCGGCGTCCACTTGTAGAAAATCGCCCACGTAGTTGACGACGGTCGCGACGCGTTGTTTGCCAGGAGCGAGCGTGCCGCGCTTGATCTTCTTGCGCAGGCGCGCGGCGACGCGCTCCTTGCGCAGCGAGCCCGTGTCGACGCGTTCCCTCGACACCGTGAGGCGGCCCGAGCTCTTCTCGACGAGCCGCACGTAGCAGTTGACCGTGTCGCCCACGGCCAAATCACTCGCCTCCCGGAGCACGGCCGCCTGTCTTCTATATCCTGACGCGGCCTTGCGGTAGACGCCGCGGCAGGCGACGAGGGCCACGTCCTTGGTCAGCATGCGCAATACAGTTCCCTCGATGGGATCGTTCTTCGCCAGCTTATCCAATAAACGACCGCCGTGCGGCGGCCCTGAGACAGGTGCTCTGTCGGTTTGTTCGGAGCGCGTCGGCGACAGCACAAGAATATCGCCCTCGGCGTCGTCGACGTCTACCTCCGTCACCTGTGTGGAAGTCAATTTTAGGCGCCAGACGCCATCGCGTCTACTCGATGGCGTGGAGGCCCACGAAGGTGTCACTGGTTGATTTCCTCGCAGTCCGTCACGTAGGCGTGGATCTCATCTTTTCTTTCCGAGAGGTGCGACTGCCCCGCGGGCACGTGGAGCCAGCATTCTTCCCCGTTCTCCGTCTCACAGGGGTAGAGCATCGGCGAGCGAGATCGGCGTTGCTTCTTCCGGAGCTTTTTTGGCTGCGCCCCCGGGACAAGCTTGACGCGCGTGCGCTCGCCGAGCTCCCAGTTCGTCGGCGGGCTCGAATTTTGGCAGATCCGTCCCTTGGTGCTGTGCGTCGACGGGCGGTACGTGTGGGCCTTGGTGGTGCTGGGCGGCACCAGCGCGGCGGCGACGTGGATTAGTGTGGAGGCGAGTAGAAGTCTCATCATTTTCGGTTGTGTCTGGATTGTCCCGCAACAGGCTTAAACAGCTTAGTTATGCGCGGACGGTCCCCGCAACAGGCTGATGCAGGTTAGAAACTGGTGATTGAGTTTGCTGCTATTGCTCGCGACCGGAGCGCAACACAGAGCTCGCGTCGTGTGCGGCGGCTGGGCCGGCGTCCAGCGAGCTGCTAGCACGGTCAAGAGCTGCGGGGGCACGTATATATAGCCAGGTTGCGCCGCGTTCTCTGTGCTTGCTAGCGTCAGTAAGACACTAGCAATCACGCTTTTCGGCACACAAGCCTCTACAGCTGTGTGCGCTTCATAAACTGACAGTAGAGGCTGCCCCAGCTCCCGTTCTCACCAGTCAAATCAATTCCGGCAACCGATACGCCTGTCGACGCGCGAACCATGCCGCGCCTCGTTGCGCTCTGGTGGCCCGTGCTAACAACAGTAGCGCAGCCGCAGGACCCGTCGCTGGTCGGCTGGCGCATGGTCGACCGCTTCGCGGGCTTCCGGTACGAAGTGAAGGGCCCGCACGTCGTGCAGTCTGGGTTCCACACCGCGGCCGAAAAGCTCGCGGACGAGCTGGGCTGCTTCGGCTGGATCCAGGACTCGGAGTTCCGGACCGTCGTCGGCGAGGCGCGATGCGCGAAGACCGTCGCCGACAGATTCAAGGCGTTTTTGAGGGAGGGCCACCCCACATCGGAAGTCGAGGCCGTCGACATCTACGACTACCCGGACACGAAGATCAAGCTCCACTTCTCCCACTTCAAGCGGTTGGGAAGCGACCGCGTGACGTGCTTTCCCGCGCCGCCGCACGCGTGCCGCGATGATCATTTGAGGCGCTGGCCCGAGGGCCAGGAGTACCCCGACGGCTGCGACGAGGACGGCTGCGAGCCCATCGCCGGGTCCGGTGAAGAGTTGTAACGCTATTTCTTCTTCTTACCCGTCCCCAGCCCCTCCATGAGTAGTGATAAGTCCGCGTCGCCGTTTTGCTTCTTCTTCTTTTTGGCCGTGGCCTGGGGCGGCGCCTTCTTGTCCTTCAACTTTTGGTCCTGGGCGCGCTTCTCGGCCTGCGCTCGTAAACCCTCCTCGAGGCCGTCCGGCAGGGGCGCCGTCGGGTGCTTCGACACGAAGTGGTCCTTCAAATTCTGGAGCGTCGGCATGCGCGTCTTGCAGATGGAGCAGTCCAGACTTAGAGCTTTCTCGCCGCAGCCGAGCTGCGTGCCGGACTTCTTCATGGCGGCTTGTTTTTTGGCGTTGCGCTCCTGGGACGCGGCCTTGGCGGCGCCGCGGACCATCTTTACTACTGTGGAGGATCTCTATGTGTGCCGAGTGATGTGATGCGCCCAGAACGTGTCGCGGCGATGGCGTCTGGCGTGCTGCAGTTCGAGGCTGGGCTGCAGTGCGGTCTTGTATCGTGCTCCGACGGCCTACTGATGCAGATTGCGGCTCGTTATCGATGTCACAGCGTCCGAGGCCAACGAAATGACAAACTGTCGGACTTTTGACGCTCGTTCGCTCGTGGTGCGTAGCGCAAAGAGTTATGCTATCACCAAACCAGGTAAAGGTAAGTTGGTTGGTAACAAAAATGCATAGTATATGTACAAAGGCACGCCTAGCGACGCAAATACATCAAATCCAAGGGAAAACAGACGCGTCCAAAAAGTTCGGGTTCCTAGTGGCATCATTGCTTTACCATAGCGATTTGCCCTTTTTGCCACCGCCAGCCGCCGCTGGATTTTTTCCGGCCCCGCCCAGGCCAGCGCGGGCACCTTTTTGCTGCGCCGAAGGCCTGTGCGAAGTTTCCGATGGGCGCGGCGTCTAGCAGCGAAGTAGTGGCGGAAAAACTGCGGGAGATGGGGGAAGGCGCGGAACTGCGTTTGTACTCAAAATTGGCCCCCCTTTCGCGATCAGGAAGCTTATACACTTTACAAGCGGTACTTTTACGAAAGGAATTCGCCCCTTTCGCTGGAGTCTTCGCGCTACGTCCAAAAACGTACCGAGACGTACCAAAAAGTATACCTAAGACGCCCGAGACCCCACAAATCGCCGCGCCACGCGCGCCGTGGATCGCACCGAACCACGCGCACGCGCCGCACGCGCAGTAGATCACATTTCTTCTACACAGGCTCCGTCTATGCGACAGTAGCCAAGGCCGCCGTGCAGCACAACATCACGGGCCGCTTCCTACTCGAGACGCCGACGGAGCAGCTCGAAGATCTGTTGAGGAGCCGGTGTTCCGCGCTCGAGACGGTCCAGAAGAAGCGCGTCATGTACGAGATCGACCGGTTGCGCCAGCAGGCCGCGGGCCAGTCTCCCCAAAGATCGGAGAGCGAGGAGGACGCCCCCTCCGAGGACGCGTCGTCTTTAAGTGGCGAGATCACGCCCGCGCCCAAGCAGGGCGGTTTACTATCACGCTTCTTTGGCGAGCGGAGTTTAGATGGCCCGCGCGTCGAGGATTTGGCGGCAGCCTCCTGCCGGCCGCCGACGCCCGAGGCCGACGAGTGGGACTCGTCGGATGATGAATGCGCGTCCGAGAAATCGTTCGAAGACGAAAGAACTGGAGAGAGATGGCGCACGTCGGGCTCGCGGTTCATCGGGCGCCACGTCAGCTTGATGGTCTGGGACCCGCGGGGCGAGGAGAGAAATAGGAGGCAGGGCGTCGTCGTTTCTTACTGCGGGGACGTGGATCAGACGTGCGGGTGCTCGAAGCTCTGGCGCGCGCGCGTCGAGGACTGCGACGAGTGCGTCGAGCTCGACGAAACCGAAGTAAGGGCAGCAACGGACGCCTGGGAGCGCATGATGCAGTGGCGGCGGAGTGATAGAAGACCGCGGCAGCGCGACACCGCTAGTGTGAGAAGAGAGCAGGCGGCGGCAAGAAGGGAGCAGGGCCTCGCCGACGACCCCGAGGCCGACGCGGCCGCCCAGGCCGCCGTGCGCGCGGCCCAGCTCCAACTAGCCATTCCGCAAACGGACGGCGCGCCGCGGAAGCGAGGACGGCCGCCGAAGGCGAGTACGTTGGCCGCGAGACAAACGCCGAAGGCCGTCCCGCAGTCGCCCAAGTCGGCGCGGCGCAAGGCCACGATCTCGGCTGCCGCCGCCGCGCAGATGCTGCCGCCGACGACGACGCGGAGCCGCGCCGCGTCGGACGCGGACCTCGGGTCTCCTTCGCAAAGACACCGCGGCACGCCGCGAAGTGCCCCGGAGGACCCGTCGCCCGAGGCCGCGGCCGCTCGGCGAGAAGAGCGCAAGCGGCGGCGCGCCGAGTCCGAGGTCGAAGCTCAGAGAAAACGGAAGGACCTGTCCCAGAAGAAGCGCGCGGAGGTCGACCGGACCATGGCCGGGTTAGATGTCGTCACGCTGTCGTCGCCGGACTGTTTAAGTGGCTTGCGCGCCCAGGGCTTGACAAGGAGAGATAGACGGCGCGCGGCCGCGCGCGAGGCGAGAGCTCGAGAAGAGCTCGCGCGCGCGCCGCCGCCGCCGCCGCCGACTCCCAACAGCACGCCGCGGAACCGGCCGCGGCGCGAGCTCGCGGGCCGGCGGTCCTGCGCGGGCTGCAACCAGGCGCCGTGCGCGCGGTCCGCCGCGGGCTGCTTCCGCGGCGTCGGCCAGGCCAACGGCAAGTACGTCGTTAGAGGCTTGGACCATGAGCGCTACCCGACCGCGGAGCTCGCCGCGCGGCGGCGCGATATGTTGTTAGCGGCCGGCGCGTGCCGGTCGTTCGATGAGCCTTTGAACTTCGAGCGGAGCGACGCCAAACAATTGAAATTTGAGCGGGACTTCGCGGCGAAGGAGCGCAAGGAGTCGCGCAAGCGCGCGCGGTCCCACGACGACGACGCGCCTCCTTCAGTATCGCCGCGGTCGGTGCCGGCGGCGTCGCCGCGGCCGCGCCGCGGCGAGCACATCGAGGCGCCGCCGGGGTCCCACAACGTCGGGACGCTCGTGCGCCACGACGGGCGGAGCTGGTGGATCGCCGACGACAGCGAGACGATTGCTGGCATCGCCGACCAGCACGGCCTCGACCCGGACAAGGTCCTGGCGGCGAACCTGCACTGCGCGACGTTTATCCGGTCGAAGCTGCACCTCAACTCAAAATTGAGACACCACACGGCCGTGCTGCTGCCGGGCTGCTGAGCCCTTGGCGCGGCGCGGCCTCCTCGCCCGGCGCGGCCCCGGCGCCGGAGCGACCCCTTTCCCCCCAACACCCGCGGACCCGCCCCCCACGTCCTGCGGAGACCAAAAACAAACGCGGCGCGACCGAATCATCGCGCGCTCATAAGTTCTACCGATGTAGTTTCTTCTCGCGGGCGCAGTGGTGGTGCGGGCGCGGTGGTGGCGTGCTGCGCCCGCGGCCCTGGCGCCAAGGGCCCATCCCATACGCACTGCGGAGACGGAAAGAACTTCTTTTTGTCGTGCGGGTGCATTGGCGCCTCTGGCCGATTCTGGCCGGCCCTTACTCGCCGCCGCGATTCTTAGTTGCAAGTTTAACCCCACCGGGCTGCCAACAATGCGCGCGTTTGCCTTCATTTGCTTCGCTGTTGGAGCACCTGATGCGTGGGCACTGCTGGACGCCCGCCGCGTGCTGAGGGGCAGCAACCGGCTCCTGAGCACCGCCAACTTCGGGCAGCTAAAGGTAACGGCCTCCGACGCCGCGTCGGGCGACCAATTCGGCGTCTCCGTGGCGATTGACGGCGATACCGCCGTGGTCGGGACCTATGGAGGGGAAGCCGCCTACGTCCTCCGCACGACCGACGGCGGCGCCACGTACGACGAGGTGGCCAAGCTGACTGCAAGCGACGCCGCGTATAGCGACTACTTCGGCAGACACGTGGCCATCGACGGCGACACCGTTCTGGTCGGAGCCTACTTCGAGAACAATCGAAGGGGCGCGGTCTACGTCTATCGCACGACCGACAACTGGGCCACGCACACGGAGACAAAGCTGACGGCCTCCGACGCCGCGGAGGGGGACTACTTCGGCTGGTCCGTGGCCATCGACGGCGACACCGTCGTGGTCGGAACCATGAGTGGGGCAGCCGCCTACGTCTTACGCACGACCGACAACTGGGGCACGCACACAGAGATAAAGCTGACGGCCTCCGACGGCGTGTCGAGCGACGATTTTGGCTACTCCGTGGCCATCGACGGCGCCACCGTCGTGGTCGGGGCCTGGTACGACGCCGACAATGGCTCCATGTCGGGCTCGGCCTACGTCTTCCTCACGACAGACGGCGGCACCACGTACGACGAGGTGGCCAAGTTGACGGCCTCCGATGGCGCGTACGGCGACAACTTCGGCGTCTCCGTGGCGATCGACGGAGACACCGTCGTGGTCGGGGCCGAGCAAACTTATAGTGAAGGTCCGGGGGCGGCCTACGTCTACCGCACGACCGACGGCTGGAGCACGCACACAGAGATAAAGCTGACGGCCTCCGATGGCGCTTCGGAAGACCTCTTCGGCCACTCCGTGGCGATCGACGGCGAAACCGTTCTGGTCGGGGCCTACGAGGCCGACCCCGTCCCCCGGGACTCGGGCTCGGCATACGTCTTCCGCACGAGCGACGGCGGCGCCACGTACCCCCAGGTGGCCAAGCTGACGGCCGCCGATGCAGCGGCGTTCGACGAGTTCGGCCACTCCGTGGCGATCGACGGCGGCATCATCGTGGCCGGGGCTCCCTATGATAGCGGCGGCTCGGTCTACGTATTCTCGCCTCCTGCTCCTACGGTGCAGCCAACGCCCCGTCCGACCTGGACGTTTCAGCCGACGCCCCAGCCAACGGTGTCGCCCAAGCCCACAACGCCCCAGCCGTCGACCGCGGCGCTTGGATCGGACTCGGCGACGCGGGCGGGCGGCACGCTCGCGACGGCCCTCCTCGCGTTCGCCGCGACGGCGCTCGCTCTATAGGTGCTCCGCCGAGTCGCGCAATTCATCCCATTCCCTCATTCCGCTCAGAATCCCCTGGTCTCTGGAGTCGGCGCGCTCCCAAGTTCCGCGCGTCCTCCCCTACGCCGCCGAGCAGACGCGCGTGCTTGCGGCTAGTAAAATTCTTGATTCTTGTATTACGCACTAAGCGGCGCACTTACCGGCGCCGCCGCCGGGGCGGGCTTCTGCGCAGACGTCATGTTCGGCGCCCAGCTCGCGTCGGGCGTCGCGTCGATCCCGGGCGGAAGGTCGGGCGTCGCGTCGACTGCGGGGTCGAGGTTCGCCGCTTCCGTCAAGAAGAACTCCGTCTCCGGATCGAAGTCGGGCTCCGGCGTGGGAGGTTTTTTGGGAGGGAGGTTCCGCGCCGCGTACGGTCTAGGCTTGTCCGCCGCCGTCGCCGCCAGCGCGCTCGTCTCCCAGGGCGCGTCCTCGTCCTTCACAACCTTCGTCGCGCCCGCGGCCGCCTTCTTGGCCCTCCTTTCGTAAGACCGCGCGTCCTTGACCATTTTTTCGACGTCTTTCCCGCGCTGCGTGACCTCGGCCTCGCGCGCGGCCATGCGCCGGTCGCGCACGGCGCACTCCTCCTCCTGGCCCACGACCTTGTTGTAGACCTTGCGGATGTCCCGCATGAGCCTCCTCTTCAGCGTGAAGTCCCGCTCGAGCAGCTTCTTCTCGTACGCGGCGACGCGGCCGCGCGCCTCGCGCTCGCGCTGCGCGAGCTCGGCCTCCTTCTTGAGCACCGTGTCGCGCCAGCTCTTCTCGATCGTGTCCAATTCGCCTAATTGTGAAGCGATCTCCTTGCGCCGCGCCTCCATGACGTCCCGCGTGTCGGCTTGCGCCGCGAGCATCGTGTCCAAATGTTCGGCGACGCCCCCGTTCACTCGAGCTTCCATGGCTTCTTCCCTTGCACTAACTTCCACTTCCCGGACGGCCATCTTGCTCTCGGCCTCGGCGAAGACCGAGAGACGCTTCATGGCCTGGTCCTCGCGCATTACCGCCAATCGCGCCGTCGCCGCTTCTCTGGCTTCGGCGGCCGCGATGCCGGACCGCGCTCTCAACGTAACTTCGGCGTCGAGGCCCTCGAGCTTCTTCTTCCAGTTGATCTCGGCGGCATCTACGTCCGTCTCGCGCCGCGCCAGGTCCTCCTCCTTGGCCCTGATCGACTCCTTGAGCCGCTCGACGCGCTCCTTGTACGCGATGGCCTCGGCCTCCTCGGCGGCCTTGGCCTTGGCCGCCTCTTCCGCAGCGAGGGCCGCGGCGGCGAGCTCGGCCTCCGTGGGCTGCTTCTTGCCCTTCTTGCCCTTTTTTTTGCCCATGGTGCTTGGCGCTCGTTGTTGCTTTTGTTGCGGGTGCTGTTACGTGTGGCGCCGGGGGCTGCCCGTGGCGCGCGGGGGCTGCCTCGGGGGAGGTCCGGGCCGCTGTTCGGTTCGCAGCGGAGGCTGCGCGGTGTTTAATCTCGCGGGCGCTGTGAGACGACAACGCCGAGGAACCTACTAGCCGGCGGCCCGCAAGCACCGCCGGTCCCCGAGTTGTATCGCCCAAGGCCCGGCGACACCTCCCGCCACGGCTCAGTCGCACAGGCGAGCGCCCAGGGCATCGAAGCCACGAACGCGGCGCCGGGGGCCGAGGACAGCCTCCAAGGAGGACATCCGGCCCTCACGCCATCGACGAGAGAAGGAGCCAAGAGAGTTACGCACGACGTTAGTACATGAACACGGGGTTCGCCTCGGTGATCACGCGGTCCTCCGCTTCCACGCCGTCGCGCACGGCCTTGATGAGGTTGAACATGCACAGGTGCGTCCCTCCATCATAATGGCGCAGCGGGCCGCGGATCCGACCACTTATCGCAGCATCCGTGGCGTCTGGCGGCTTCTCGCGCAGCGATTTACTCGTAATGTCCCCTCTATCCGTCGCCACATTAAAACCCCAGTCCGAGCCGAAGGAGGGGATGGACACGGAGTAGGGCACGACGGTCCGGAAGGACGCCGCGAGCGTCTTGTGAATCGCGCCGAAGCATTCGGTATGATTCATGAGCCCCGCCGGGCCGCTCTGCGTCACGAGCACACCGCCCGGGTTCAGCTTCTGTCGTACTAAATCGTAGAACTCTTTTGTATATAAATGGACGGCGGGCCCCGCCTCGATCGGGTCCGAGATGTCTAGGACCACCACATCAAACGTGTCGCTGCCCTCCACCAAATACGACCGGGCGTCTCCGATGTGTACGGTCAAGCGAGGATCCTCGGTCGAACCATCATTCCACTCCGGCAAATGTTTTTTGCACACGTCGACGACGTCTCCGTCGAGGTCGACCATGACGACCTCCTCCACACTTTTATGTTTGAGGCACTCCCGCGCCGTCGCCAGTTCGCCGCCCCCTCCAATGTAAATACGTTTTGGGGCTTCATGTAAGAGTAACGCGGGATGCACGAGCGTCTCGTGGTAGACGTACTCGTCGTTTTTGGCGGATTGCGTCTTGCCATCTAATACAAGGGTCGTCCCAAAGGGCACGGTCTCGACGACCTGCACCCTTTGAAATTGCGAATGCTTGTCGTATTTGAGGGACGTCATGCGCATGCGCATCGAATGGTCGGCGGTGACCTCCTCGTCGAACCAGAAGCTGCTCGTCATCTTCGGCTGCTGCTTGTCGTCGGAGTCGGCCATGGTTTCGCTTTCGTCTCTTCGGCTGCGTCGAGCGGGTTGTGGTTTTGCCTGTGCTGCTGCAGCAGTCTTGTGCTACACTGCTACGTGCAATCTGTTGCAACAGCCGTTGCAACAGACGAGCTATGCGACTGGTGGGGATTCTCTGCACGCCTCGCTCGCAGTAATGCCGCAGTTTGCTGCGCTTTTAGCTATGACCAGCCTGCCTCGCTCTCCGAGACGCCTCCACCAGCGGTCCCTAGCCTTCCGTTCAACGTAACGAGAGGGAACGCTGCAGAGACATGGATCGCAAAACCGATCGAAAAAGGGACGGGGCGCCCTCAGCACCCCATCTCAAGTTGGCCATCAGTCAGAGCGGCGGCGTGTTACGCCCACCAGCTGCAGCCATGGCTCGAATTCGTGCTTGCTTAGTAGTCGCCGTTGCGTCCGCGCTGGCGCCAAAGCCAGCAAGCAGGGCCGTGGACCGAAGGCAGCTTGCAAAAAGCATAGCTGGTCTCGCTGGCGCCATCGCGGGCGCGAGTGCGCCGCGCGCAAATGCGGTCGTCTACTTGGACCCGGCGCGCTACGGCGACCAGGAGCTAAAAAACGCGGCCATCGCCAAGTGCCGCACGCGCGTGCGCGACGTCATCGCGAAGGACCCGTCGCTGGCCTGCTCCTTCTTCCTGCTGGCCCTGTTAGATGGGTTGTCGTATGATGAAAAAACTAGGAGAGGCGGCCCCGACGGCATGGTCGCGGCGTCGATCCAATTACCTGGAAGAGCGTACGCGGAGTTGAGAGATGTTGTCGACCTGCTCCAGGAGTCGCAGCGGGCGTTGAAAAGGACGAACGCGCTGACGCTGGCCGACCTCATCGCGCTGTCGGGCGCCGAGTCGCTCGCGGCCGTGGGCGGTCCCGAGATCTCCGTGCAGCTCGGGCGCACGGACAACCCGGAATTACTAAACTCGATCAAAGCGGTTAGCAAGGGCGGCCTCAAGGAGGCGCAAGCTCGAGGCATCGCGCCGGCCTTTGACGTCGAGGAGGCGGCACCCTCGGACATCGTGAAGGCCTTCCGGCGGTCGGGCTTCACGGAGCGCGAGGCGGCGGCGCTGCTCGGCGCTTTGGCTATCTTGCAGGGCGACGACGTCGTCAACGCCAAGGCCGTGAAGAAGGAGGACAAGGGTGCAGCGAAGGCGCGAGGCAAGATGGGCCGCGGCGACAAGGCGTCGTCGAACTATGCTATCGACTTGTACGGCACGAACGAGGGCACGGAAGAGGCTTCTGTGGATAAGTTTGAGGGCGACATCGACGAGTTTTACATCGCCGACGCCTTCGGCTCGCGCAAGGAAGCGTACGGGCGGCGCGTCGGCGGCGCGTCCAGCTCCGTCGACAACTTCAACCAGATCTTCCAGGACGTCATGGCCGACCAGAAGAAGGGCAAGAAGGGCTCGACGCCCGTCGAGTCGGCGCTGCTCCTGGACCAGAACGTCCAGATCTGGGTGCAGAAGTACGCCGCCGAGCGCCTGACCTTCCTCAAGGACCTGGACAAGTCCTTCTACCGCATCACGCAGGTCGGCGCGCAGTACACGGGCGGCAAGTACGCCGCATTACTGGACAACAAGCCCGTGAAGAAGCTGTCGACGGACCGCTAGTCTCTAAGACCGGGCCTTCTAGTGTGCGTCGATGGCGTTTTTGCCGGCTAGTGTCTTACAGGCCGCTAGCTAACTCAGGCTTGCAAGCTTGCACGCAGAGCGCCGAGCCGTCACCGCGTGACCGTCCATTTTCGCCTCGATTACACGACCCTGCTCTTAATTCAATTGGACTCTACACTCTTTCGAACAGAGAGACAGCGAGTAGCGACACCTGCAGCAAGGAGTGCCTGCACCAGCAGTGCCTGCCAGCAACCATGGTCTGCAGCCGCGCCCGCCTGCTCGCATGCCTCGCAGCAGCGCACGCCTTCGGCCCGCCGACGCGACGACGGCCGCCGCGGACGCCGCGACGAGCCGACGGCGAAAAGACGGGCCTCGACGCCATCGACGAGCTGCTGCCGCGCTTTAGGAGAGACGCGGGCGCCGTGGACCTGCCGAAGGACGAGGAGGCGCCGGCGGAGGGCGCCGCGATGGGGACGATCAACGACAAATTATTAGCAGAGATCGAGGAGGCCAAGAAGGGGTTTAGGGTCGAGGCGCCGCAGGTCGACGAGCGTGAGGACGTGGACATCTCGGACGTGAATCCCGTCCAGAGCGTGCTGAGCGGCGTCGCCGCGCTGGCGACGGCCTACGTTTTTTGGTTAGCGGTCGGGTTCGCCGCCAACTCCTTCGCGGAGCATCCGGTGGACAGCGAGATCTACGCGATCCAGCGCATCTCGACGGTCATGCGGACCGTGGTGCTGGGGCTGGGGACGCTGCTGACGGGGATCACGGCCTTCGCGGGCGTAGGGTTGCTGGCGCTCGGGGGCAAGGTCGTCCTCGACCCGCAGTCGTCGTCGGAGGGGGAGTAACTTCGAGCGGTCGAATGCGTCCCCCTGGATGCCCCTCGGGACCGCTCGCCGCCGCTGTCGAGGGACCAACGCGCGCGAGTCCCTCGTGGGTCTCGCGGGCGACAGCACGCGGACTGCCACCGGGACCGCGTCGTCGTCTGCGGCGATGATGATATAGATGTAGCATTTTTTACACCATTTTCGTCCATTTAGAGGTCATTCCGTCCTGTCTTCGCTACGCTCACAGGCAAGACCGGGTCGGAAAAAAAAAAGGGGACAAGATATTTACTTCTGCCTTCCCAGCAGCACGGCCCACGAATAGACCAGGGACGCGACGCAGGAGACGGTGATGCCCGCGAAGTTCACGAGCGAGTAGGCGTAGTCGCCGCCCAGAAACATGCCGACGTACGTCGTGGCGACGTTCTTCAGCGCGCCGACGACCGTCGTCGTGAGCGCCGAGTTGTGCTGCGTGCAGACGAAGATGGCGTACTGCAGGACCGGGCCTAGTGAAGCTGACAAAGCCACGGCGACCACCGCGCCCTCCGCCGGCGCGTCGAACCACTGCCGCGCGACGTCCAAATCGCCGGTCCATCTCAAGTAAGGATAGAGCACGACGCCCGACAGCAGGGCGTTGTAGAATAGTAATGAAAGTTTCGACAGCGGCTTCGGCGCTTCTTCGCCGCTTTCAACATCTTTTTTCGTGTGGGACGTCGACGACGCGGGGCCCAGCGCGTGTTTCAAATAGACGCCTCTACAAGCGGTAAACAAGTCGTTCAGCCCCACCGCCGTGTAGCCTCTTATATCGAAACCCAGGTCGTCGTACGCCGCGATGACGGCGCCGCCGACCATGCCCCAGACCGCCGCCTGCACTAATAAAGTAGGGTTCGACTGGCCCACGAACCGCTCCAACAGCATGGTCGTCGGGATGGAGAACCGTCGCAGGACCGTGAACATCGGGAGCGAGAGGTTGCCGGTCGCGAAGAGGCCCATCAAAACATCTGCTAGAAATAGAGCTGTCAACGGCAGCACCACTCTTACGGACTTGGCGTCCAGCGGCGCCAAATCAATCACGCCGAGAATCTTCAGTACTCCAAGGCAGGCGACCGTGACCCCGAACTGCAAAAAAGCCAGGACGCTCGCCGAGGGGAACGCGTATTGTGTTAATGTGACTTTGTTCGCCGATATGATTCCCACCGACGTGATCGCATAAAACAGGGCCGTCGGCACGGCGAGCGGCGAGCGCTTCGGCCGCGCGGCCGGCTCTTCGTCCGGCATCGTCGCCAGAGAGTCGCTCGAGGCGCTGAGTGGTGTTTGTGATGAGGAGCGGAACGAGCCGCGGTTCGAGGGCGCCAGGGTTTTTGTTTGCCGCTGCCGCTTCGGCAGGAGCAGTGCTTCGCACGCGGCGGCGAGCAGCAAGACGCGCGTCGGCGGCGTCGTGGTGGCTCGCACGCGTCGGGTGTCGTGACTCGCCCGCCGGGAGAGCACAGGTGGGTCACAGGCCTTCGCTGCGAGCTGCAACGGCTAGGGCACTGAACTGCGCTGCGAATTGATCAATTTATAGAAGGCACTACCAGCGCACGGGATGCAGGCTGATGCGCGTCTGAAAAAAGTCGACGCACACCCCCGATGGCACTAGTAGGTCACGCCTAGGGTCGCACGATCAACAATCCTCAAAGCGTACGAAAAGTCTTTGAATGGGTGCTCGCAGGGCTCGATGACGGCGCAGGCGCGACACGAGCTCGACGCCGGAGCGGAGCGCCATCTTTCTGCTCTCCCAGGGCTTTTGATCCAGCGCCGGTGCCACAAGCCGAGGCGTCCGAATACTGGGACAGCCTCTTCCCAGCCACTTTGTTGACTGCGTCGCGGCCACGAGGCAGCCCCACCCGTACTCATCAATAACCCAGGCAAGGGCAGCCAAGAGATGGACGCCCCAAACCTCAACGAGCGCTCGACGCTGTCCATGCGCTCGACCGCCTCGGTCTGGACCGACGCGAACGACACGTGGTCCCAGCAGCCCCTGTCGAAGGCCGACCTCGCGGAGGAGCTCCGGTACGAGGAGGAGGCGTCGATCCTCGCCGACCGCGCGCACGCGTCGAAGCTGAGCCGGCGGCGGCGCTGCATTTCCAACGTGAACATGAGGACGATGCGCGGCCGCGTGCCGCCGAAGCCGCGCGCCGCGGCCGACCTCACGTACGACACATCATCAGCCTACGCCCTCATGCGGCCGAACACGTCCGCGGGCCCCGAGATGCGCCGGGGCGCGCAGGCCGTGTCCGGCGGCTGCGTGCTCGACACGCCCGAGCTCTTCGCGTACGAGAAGCTGGGACTGCGGGGCCGGGCGAAGCGAGTCCCTAGACCGGAAGTAGTGCGCAAAGGCCACGGGCCGTCGACGGTCGACCTGCCCGTGCCCTCGCTGCACATGCTCTCCACGAAGCGGCGGCCGTTGAACTACGTGTCGATGAAGACGAATCGCGGGAGGCAGCCGATGATCCCGAAGCCCGTCAGCGACGCCTGCTACGCCCCGAAGTACTCGCTGACCGACAAGGCCGTGCTCTGCAAGTTTTCTGTTAATGCGCGCGCGCCGCCGCGCTTCGGGACGACCCCCACCGGCTCGCAGAACGCGTTCTGGCTCTCGAACGCCGGCGTCATCGCGATCAACGGCGCGCGGAACGGCATCACGCCGGCGATCATCCGGCCGGAATGCTCGCCGATCAAGCGCTGGCGCCGCTAGCAGTTTGCCCTAACTTTTTGGCGCGTCGACGGCGTTTTGCTGCTGCTCTACGGGTTCGACCGACCCGTCTTGAGCTCTGCACGGATTTTCGGCTTTTGTTTTTGCGGCCGTCGGCCGGCTACTGCGCCGGCGGAGCTAGTCGCCACGGATCTTGCTTGCTAGTGTCTTCAGGACGCTAGCTTCCGCTCGGCTTGTTTTTGGCCTGTAAGGCGCATTGATGCGTCTCCTCGTGTAAGCGCTGTGATTTTGAAATTAGTGCTCGATATGGATCGATTTGTGGTGAAAACGAAGCGCAGCAATGAGCCTGCCAAGCCAACCAAGCCGACCAAACGAGCATCCGAGGAGATCGGCTGGGCGCGGTGCCCGATCTGCGACGCGACCGTGGCAATCTCCGTGATGGGACAGCACGTCGACAGCGGCTGCAAGGCGTTCGCCGGCGCGAAACGGCGGAGGAGCGACGTGGCCGCCGCACCGGCCTTATTCGCGGTGCCGCACGAAACGCTCGGCGGGCAGTACATCGTTGCTGATTTCTTGAGTGAAGAGGAAGAGGCGGAGATTTTGGCGTTCCTCGACGCCGACGCGGACCCGCCATGGAAAGATTGCCGCTTTAACGGTCGACACCGCGGCAAGCACTGGGGCGTGCGCATAGATATTGCTGCCGGGAAGCTCCTGGAGCAAACGCACGCGATGCCCGAGGTGCTACGCAATGTCGTCCGGAAAATGCGCACTGTGGACGTGCTCCAGGCGTTCTACCCGAATGAGTGCAACGCGATAGATTACGTCAAAGATCGCGGCGCGTATCTAAAGGCGCATTGTGACCACCGAGGGCTCTCGGGCGACGTCCTCGTGAATTTGTGCTTGGCGGGCAGCGCGACCATGACCTACACGAAGGACGGCGAGCCCGAGGCGCCAGCCTACCGCGTGCTTTTGCCGCGGCGCGGTTTGCAGGTCCAGACGGGCGAGGTGAGGTACAGCTACCGCCACGGCATCTCGAACGCGGACCTCCATGACGCGCGACGGGTATCGATCACGTTCCGGTCGAACAAGGACCCAAACCACCATGTGTAAATGTGACAAGTGTAAATTAGACATAACAAACATCAACTAGCGCGGGGAGAGCGCCCGCACGGCCGCCGCGAGCCGCGCGCTCTCCGGCGCGCCGCCGCGGGCGCGGTCGACGACCCAGCCGCTCAGCGCGTCGACCTCCGTGCGCCGGCCCGCGGCGACGTCCTGGTACATGCTCGAGTAGTTCGCCGCGTTCTCCGCGACGCACTGATAGATAGCTTCTTCCAGGTCCGCCGCCGTGCAGGGGCAGTCGTCGAGCGACGCGATCTCCGCGCAGACGGCGCGACAGACGTCTTCCCGGCCCGGCAGCGCCTCGCCGTTTCTACACGAATGGAGGGCCGTCAGCGGGTTCAGCACGCAGGACACGGCGAGCTTCTTCCAGAGTCGCTCCTTCATCTCCACCTCCGAGACGCGGACGACGTTCAGCGTCTCTGAAGCTGACAACGTCGCGAAGGCCTCCTCGTCGGAGACCCAGAGCGTGCCCGGGCCGGCGTGCGTCACGTCGAAGGGTTGCGTCTCGAAGCAGCCGTGCGTCGTCACCGCCGGCACAATGGTCGCGTCGTCCACGAGCGACAGCGCGCCGTTGCAGAGTGCGACGACCCTGGCGCTCGTTTTCGCCTCCCTCAAAGCGTCGCGCGCCTGCCAGACCTTCGTGCAGAGCAGCACGAGCTTTGCATCGCGGGCGTCCGGCGCCGCTGCGACGTCGTGCGGCGCGCCGTCCACGAGCACTCGCACGCGGTTGCTGGCGTCGACGGCGCGCCACCGACTGCTCTTGGCGCGCAAGACGAGCCGCGTCTCGACGCCGGCGGCACTTAGTCGTGCCGCGATCATGGAGCCTAGCGCGCCGGCGCCGACGACGTGCACGGCCGCCATCGCTACGCGTGCCAGTGAGCCTCTCTGGGAGGAGCTTTATTTTGACTTCGCTGCAGTTATAGCTCAAGATCTTCGGCAGCACAGCTGTATGGAGGAACGAAATGACTAATGTGAGGCGGTGAGTCTCTGCTAAAGCGCGTTTGAGGCTGGGCAAAAGGCAAGGCTGCTTTTTTCTAGTGCCTTACAGGCCGCTAGATAATTCGGCGCGCGTGGCCCAAGGCTGCGAGCCGCGTGCTGCTTCAGCCAGACGACAGAGGTGGGCTGGAAGTCGACAACCACGAGCTATACGTGCCCAAAACACTGGTACCTAAGATGGCGACTCCCCGTCGTGAAAATAGACCACCAAAGCGAACGGCTGGATTTCCACAACAGCCAACGCGGAGGCGGCGTTCAAGGAGCGCCGGACCGCACGCATGGACAACTCGATACTCGCGGTGGAGCGCGCTGCTCATCGCCGGCTGCGCAGTGGCCTTCGCGCCGCGCGCCGCGCCGCCGAGGCATCGGCCGGCGCCGACGTGCGCCGCGCTGCCGCGCACGAGACGTAGGCCAGCGACGCAACTGAACTGCATCTGCGTGAACTGCGCCTTCGTCGACAACTGCACGGCCTACCACGTTGTGGAAGCCAAACATGGCCAGCCCCACGTCTCCACAAATCCCATCTTCACGCCGCGCGAGGGGAGCCCGACGGTCGCGGTCAACATCTTCCCCCCGGACTCGGAGCACAAGGCGAGGGGCTTCGAGATCGAGCTGGATGTCGTCGAGTGCGCCGACTTCGCGCGGGAGATGGGCAAGTGGCGGAAGATGATGCCCCCCGGGACGCTGGTCAAGGCCGGCTTCGACCCGGACTACGAGCCGCCGTAGTTTAAGCTCTTGTATGTACCTTAGGGAGTCTAGCCGAACACCGATGCCAGGATGCCCGCGCCCAGGCCCGCCGCGAGCACTCCTTCGAGGCCCATGCCTCCCGTCCCGCGGCGGCGGCGGCGGCGGCGATGCCGATGCTTCGCCCCGGGCGGCTCGCCGTAGACCGCGTTGTGGTTCGGGACGAACCCGTCCGTGAGCGAGAACACGCGATTGGTCACGTCAAAGGGTTGCGACGACGTGAGCTGCGGCCGCTGGCGGAAGCCCTTCTTCCGTAGGTTCGCGTGCAAAGCGCGGAACAAATCCGGGTAGAGCGGGAGCGGGTTATCCTTCAGAGCCTTGAGCAGCGCGTTCGTCATCGCGCCGCCCGCCGAGAAGTTGTGATACGTGTCCGCAGAAGTTTGGTCGTCCTCGCAACCACTCAACATCTGTACGTCGCCGCGGGTATGGAAAGGAACATCCTCGCAGCGCCAGCCGCGGCCACTTTGGTAGTCGTACGGGAGATCAAGGCCCGTGCCACTATGGCAACAATCCATCACGGCCGTAAGCTTGCAGCCCTCCGGGAGGTCCTTGACGAGAATTTTGAATAATTCATCGTCCGTAATTTGCCCGGCGCGCTTGTAGTCGCAGGGCACGATCGTCTCGTCATAACCGTCGGCCTCGTCGCCGGAGTGGTCGCGTACCTGGCCGCCGTGGCCGCTGAAATGGAAGAACAAGCAGTCGCCGCGCTTGGCGCTTCGCACCAGCCACCGGAGGCCTTCGATGATGTTGCTTCTCGTCGGCATCGCCGTCGACTCGTGGAGCCGCGACGACGACGCGCGGCGGCCCTTGCCGTCGTCTCGGAGCAATCTTATCCATTTATCTTCGAAGCCGCTCGAAAGCAACAGATCTCTCATTCGGAGGGCGTCATTCACGCACCCTCTCAAGGCGCACCGCGAGCCGGGGTAGTTAATGCCGACGAGGAGCGCTCTGCGGACGCCAGAGGGCTTGATGACGGGGTCGGCGGCCGGCGCCTGGGCCGGTGCCTGCCGGACCGGGACGCCAGCCACGACTTGGACGGGAGGCGTCCAGCTCGTCGTCTTGTCGTGGGCTGTCGAGCCCGCTCAATAGCCTCGTCACTTCCCCTTCGGCGCATGCTACTTCTTATTACGACGTGACTAGCGGGCAGGGACATTTAAGGCTGACCCTGCCCGCCAACGACGTCGAATATAGCATCAGTGTGGCGGCGTTCAATGGTGTTGCCTGGTCGGCCTTTGGGCCGACGACGAAAATTAGATTGTTGGATCACGCGCCGCGCGCCCCTGCCGTGCCACTAGTATCGAAGATTGGCGAGGACAGCGTCCGCGTCAATTTCACGAACCCGCCTACCGATGGTACGGAGATGATGTCCGTTGTGATGCGGGTCGTCCCCGGTGGCCCGGTGCTCTACTACAATAGCCAGGACCACAAACTCATTAGTACGACGGATCCCAACTACGACGAGAACCGCTGTCGCTTGACCAACACAAACCCATTGATGGGCGTCGTCGTCCAAGGCCTGGCCCCGAACACGGAGTACGAGGTCAACGTCCTGGGAGTCAACGGCTTCGGCTGGGGTCCCGCGTCGCCACCGGTGAAGTTCAAGACTCTGCGGAGCGAGGTCGAGGTGACGGGCGTCCAGACGCAGGACGAGCGCGACGAGGAGGCGAAGAAGCGTGCGGTCGACGTCGACGCCGCCGACGAGCCCGAGGCGAAGCGCGCGAAGTAGGTATACTAGTAACTATGTCGTAAATCTCGAACGTCGGACGACGGCAATACGACGCCAAAAGATGCATTCAATTAAAACCAACACCTTACGCCGCCGCCGGCGCGACGCGCTCCCGCGCCGCGTCGACGAGCCACGCGACTGCGTCCCGCACGGACGCGGGCGCGTCGAGCGCCGACGCCGGCCGCAGGTCGACGACCCGCCGCGCGTCGTTCTTGAGCCGTATCTCGAGGAGTGTCGCCAGTTCGTCCGCGCCGCACGCCGACCCCGAGTCCTGCTTGTTCGCCAGTACCACACAGGGCGCATCTCTCAAATCCGGGTGGTCGCAGGCCTGGTCGAAGGCGTCGCGCGCCTCCCGCAGTCGATCCGCGTCCGCGGCGTCGACGACGTAGACCCAGCCGTGCGCGTCGGCATAATACCGCGGCCAGAGCGAGCGCACGCGCGCCGCGCCCCCGAGATCCCAGAACGTCACGCGACACCCACTCACATCCAACTTGGCCAGGTTCATGCCGACCGTCGGCTGGATCTTGTCCGGCGGCATTGCGGGGAGCCGGCTGCCGAAGAGGCCCTTCGCGCGTTCGAGGACCGTCGTCTTGCCCGCTCCATCTAATCCCAGCACGCATATATTTACCTCCGGCTTGCGGAAGCAGGTCTCCCTGAGCGCTTCGAGGAGGGAGAACATGGCTCGCGCGGCGGCGCGCGCGGCGCCGGGCTGGGCGCCTGGCTGGGCTGGGAGCTATCTACGCCGCGCTGACCTTGCAGCGATCGTCGGCTGGCGTCTCTGAGACACGACGAGGCCGCGGGACAGTCGCTTGTTGCGCCAGGGATGAGAGGACAGGCGTTTTTTGTTGCAGCGGTCAGCTAGCGTGCTCACACACTAGAACTCCTGAGGCTCAGCGCGCGCTGCAGCTCAGTGCACGCCTGGTTTGAGGCATAATTCTCGTTACAAGCCATAATCGGGGGCGCGTTGCGGCTGCCCCCCAAAGAAGGCTGCCCCATGGCTGCCGAGGTGTCGTGGTGGACCAGAGCCAAAAAGGACACCGAGGACCGCCCGCATTTGACGTCGCTCGCGGATCTGGACCAGCCGAACGGTGGCGGGTCGACGCGACGTCCGGAAGGCGACGCGAACGGAGCAACACCTAAGCGGGTGACCTTCGTGGACGACGACGAGAGCGCCCTGCGCGCCGCACAGCACCCAAGTGTAGCAGAGTTCGTCGACGACGCCTTAAGCTCGTCGCCAGCACGCGACGACGGCGCCGAAGAGAGCAAGGCGCCGGGCTTCGTGCCAAGCGAGGCTCCGTACGTCACGGCCGAGCAGGAGTTGTACCGGCGGGCGCTGGACGAGTCCGCGCGCCTGGAGCGGCGGGAGGAGGAACGAGATAGACGGCGGACAAGCGGCTGCCTGTCGAACCCCGTGGGCTGGTGCCTCGACGCCACCTCACCTCTGTAGTAAGTGTATTTGTCGGAAGCTCCCGTGCCGAGTAGTATGCAAGGAGCGCTCGCGGTCCGAGGGGTCGTACGCGACGATCGCGCCGCTAAAGGCATCAATTCGGGGCGCCGGTTGGCTGCATCCGTTTGCTCGTAATTGCACCGCGAGCACGGCCTCCGAACGCTGCCCGCGCGGCCTTGGAAGCGTCTGCGCGGCGCCGCCGAGGACCTCTGCGCCCGGAACGCGCGGGTGCATCGCGCACGCCGTCTACGGCTGACAGTGGGGACAGTGGGCAGCCACCCCAAAAAAGCACAGGACATCAACGATGGCCGGCGACGACGCCTCGGACGCCGAGGCCCTCTTCTGCCTCGAGCTCTACGTGCACCGCGTCGAGCGCCTGCCGAAGCGGCTGCGCGAGGCGCCGCCCGCGCTCGCGCTGCGGTTTTTAGATTATGCCCCAGTGGTCGTCGAGCCGCCGAGCGGCGCGCGGGGCAACCACCGCGGGTCGTGCTGGTACGGCGGCGGCAAGCGCTGCGTGTTTGAAGCACGTGAAGGGGAGCTGGCGAAGAAGTTGGAGCAGCGGCGCGACGCCGCGCTGCTCTGCCACGCCGTCGAGGCGGGCCGGCCCGTGCGCCGGCGGCTCTACGGGTCGTCGAAGGTCGCCTTGCCGAACTTCGGGGAGAACGAGGAGAACGAGGCGCCGCTCGGCGCCGTGCGGACGTGGGGCCGGGCCGAGTGCCGCATTTTATTAGAAAACGCGCACGGGCGGGTCGTGGGCGCGGCGACGGTGTCGGTGTCGCTGGCGTCGCTCGACGCGGGCCTCCGCAAGTGCCTCGGGGCCGGGGCGCCCGTGCAGCAGCTACGGCTGTCCGTCGACCTGCCCGTCGGCGACGCGCTCCGTCCCAAGTCCAGTGACGGCAGTCCGGGTGAGGTGCGCCAGTCGGGCGCCGGCCAGCTGGACCTGGCGTGGTCCGACGACGACCTCAACGATGCGCCGCCGTCGACCGAGACGTTCTCGCCGCCGTCGCCCCGCAAGTCGCCCGGGGCCTTTTCTCCCTCCAATAGATGCGCCGCGGAGGCGACGCTGGTCTTCGCGGGCGCGACGGTCGCGGCCTTCGACGACAAGGCCAAGGCGGCTCTAATTGAGACGCTCGCGCGCCGGGCCGGCGTGTCGCCGGACCGCGTCACGATCACAAATTTCCGCGCGGGCTCGCTCGTCGTCGACTGCCGCATCGACTTCCCCGAGGAGGCCCACGCGCGGGACTTCGCCGACGAGATTGCGGCAGAAGCGCCTGAGGTGGAGGCGCTCGGCGCGTGCGAAGTTATCAAAGCTGGCGTGCCCTATGAGGAGGACTACGGCGAGCCCGCGGAAAAGCCGGAGGTCTACGAGGAGGCCTACGGCGAGCCGGCGGCGGGGCCCGACGTTGTCGCGGAGGCGCCGGCCTTCGCGGCGGCGCGGCCCGACGTCGAGGCGCCCCATCTGAAGCACCACGCGCGGGCGCCGCCGCCCGTCTCGCCCCACCGGACGACGATGACCTACCCCTACCGGTCGCTGGACGTGTTCCGGGGCGAGGCCGTGCTCGTCGACGACGACGACGACCGGTGCTACGTCGGCGACTGCCCGAAGCCCTTCTACTACGCGACCGCCGACCTGCCGCCGCCCGAGGTCTTCGTGGCGCCGGACGCCGTGCTCTCGCCCGTACGACCGCCGCCGCCGTCGCCCGAACGGCCGCGCGGCGACCCCTGGCTCGCGCTCGCGACGAACGTGAGCCACGACCCGGGCGAGGGCGTGGTGTTTGAGCCCGTGCCCGACCCCGCCGCGCCGCCGCCGCCGCCTCCCTTATCACCGCCGCGCGCGGTCGTGCGGCAAAAGCAGCCGGGGTCGCGGCTCCTGCCGCGCGGCCACACGTTCATCGCGGCGGAGCTGCGGGGCGACGGCCGCGCGCAGCGGCGGCCGCCGCAAAAGCCGTTGCGAGCCGCGAATCGGACGAAGCGCGCCGCGCCGCCGCCGCCGCGCGTCGCGCGCTTGGGTGCGAAGGCGCCTCCGTTGGAACCGAAGAAGCGCCAGAAGCCGCGGCCGAAGCGGGCGCCGCTGCCCGCGCCGCCGCCGCCGCCGCTGTCCCCCGAGAAGGAGGAGGCCCTCGCCGCCGCCTTCGAGCGCGTGCGGTCGGCCGACGGGCGCGCGTCGCTCGCGGATTTGCGCGTGTCGCGCGGCGGCGGGCCGGGCGGCGAGAAGCGCGTGACCTTCGGCGAGTACCTGTTTCGCGTCGCCGAAGGTGGTGATGCGGTGGCCGTTTGCTAATTTTTTGGTCTTTTTGAGCCTGAGGTCTTTTTCAAGTTGGCATTTCTTTGCTTTGCTTAGAGCTAGGCTGCCTAGCCGCGACCCGCCGCGTTGTTTGATCTAGTGGTGTGTTCCTCTGGTTTTCGACGTCGAGAGAGAGAGAGAGAAATCGTTAATTGAGCTAGCCCCTCTTAGGACGTCCTTCCTAAAATCCGTGAAAAACCCGTCAGTTTCTTGTTTTAGGAGAGCGGCTCCAGCAGTTCCTCGCTGCGCATCAGCTTGCTGTTTTGGTGTCAAGAACTGTGTCCAGAATCGTCGATTAGCGAATTCGCAGCGCTGGGCTGGCGACGCGGACGTTACCACATGACTTAAGGGCAGCTTGGCTCTGCATCGGGCTTTGGAATCTCGGGCGGCGCGGCGACGTACCGCTTGAATTGCGTTGAGCGCTGTCGTTCAGCCGCGCTCTACGCCATCGCAGCGCCGCACATCTATCCGACCGCTCGCGACCGCGTCCGTCGCCCGCGCAGGTGCTAGTCTAGCAAAGGAGGGGCAGACCTGGATCACAATGGGCCAGGCCGCCGCGAAGGAGGTCGCCCACGGCCCGCAGTACAAGACGAACGTCATGTTTTTATGCAATCATAATAGCTGCCGGAGCCAGATGGCCGACGGCTGGCTGCGGCAATTGCGGGGCGACGCCGAGGTCGGCGTCGCGAGCGCGGGCATCGTCGGCGGCACGGCCGTCAAGCCCGGCGCGGTCGAGGTCATGCGCGAGGCGGGCGTCGACATCTCGAGTTTCACGAGCGACGACATCCGGGACTTTAAGGCCACGGACTTCGACATCGTCATCTCGTGCTGCGGCTGCGGCGCGAAGCTCGACCCCGACGACCTCAAGGCCTGGAAGGAGCAGTTCAAGTTCATGGACTGGGCGCTCGACGACCCGCCGGCCATCGACCCCGGGGACCTTTCCGAGTACCGGCGCGTGCGCGACGAGGTCAAGGTCAAGTGCGAGGAGCTCCTCGCGCGGATCAAGGACCCGGAGCTCTGGGAGGAGCTCGACGCCGACGCGGACGCGCGCGGCGGCGCGGCGACGTGCGGCTGCATGAAGTAGGTTCCGCTGCTGCTTGCTCCCGTAAGTAGCCTTGCTTATATGATGTCACGTCGTGCCCGGGCGGCGTTTGCGTTTTTAAGCTAGAGCCTCTATCTAGCCTCTTTATGCATGACAATGTCATTGTGGTGGCCACAGACATTGTCATGTCTTTGCATGGGGCTGCATCTCGTGCGGCCTTGCACATTCTGATCACTGCACGCTGCCCCCCATGATGCTGCAAGTGTGACTGACAACAATGCGCTGCCTCATCGTCGCGCTGCTCACGACGCGTGCGGTCGTGGGCAGGCGGAATCATTCGATCGTGCCAGCCTGGCGGAACGCTACCTGGACGCCGCGCTGCCAGTGCAACGCGACGACGACGACGCCGAAGCACTCGAAACCGCAATCGTTCTGGTCGCGCGTGTTCGGCGGCAGAAAAAAGGCCGCCCCGCCAAGAAAACCAAAGTATGCCCTCGAGCTCTCCGGCGGGCTGCGGACGTTCCTCGTCACCTGGCCGGCGCTGTCGTGCGCCCTCGTCGAGCGGAACGGCGGGCGCGGGAACTGGTGGCTCGGGCTCGAGGCCCCGTACGACGCCGCCAAACAAGCGGACGTCGCCGCGGCGGCCCGGTCGGTCGTCCGGGACTGGGACCACGCCCGCGTGTACGCGGAGTCCGCCAACGCGACGTGCGCGTTCTACGGGGCCGAGACCTGCGGCTCGGACCAGTACCGGCTGAAACTGCACTTTGCATACCAGTGGGAGGCCGTCGCGCGCTGCCACGCGGCGCTCGAGCGCTCGCCGCTCTTCGAATCGATTGAACTCGTCGTGCGAGCGCGGCCGGACGTCGTCCTGCTCCAGGACCTGGCCCTCGACGCGGCGGCCGCGACGATGGCGCAGGCGCGGGCGCCGGCCCTCGTGCCGTGCGTGGTCGGCCAAAAAATGTACATTGACGACTTCGTCGTCGCGACGAAGCGCGCCATGGCCGAGTACGTGAAAGCTGAGGGTGCGTTTGACCTGGAACCGGGGTGCTGCGAGAAACTCGTCTGGTTTCGGCTGAGCCCCCTCAATCCCGTTATTGAGCGGGTCGGGCACGCCATCGTCGATATCCCGACAATCGAAAAGTACGTCCGCGACGGGCGCTTCGTCTTCAAGCGACACCACGGGCGATGCGCGACGGCGACCGAGATGGAGTGGCCGCGCGACGTCTGCCCCGCGATGCTGCTGCCGCGCTACAGCGAGGAGAACTACCGCATCCTCGAGCGATACATGCGCGCGCACGCGTACACGGCCGCGAAGTCGGCGCATGTCGTTCGCCGGAGGTAATATTTGTTGTGTATATGTTACAGTTCACACAAATTACTCACGACAGCAGCACGCCCCGAAACGACGCCTTGGGCACGTGCTTCCGCTTCGCCGCGCGCGCCGCGCGGACGCGCCGGAGCGCCGCCGCGACGCCGCGGTCGTCGGGCGCCGCCGCCGCCGCGTCGCGCAGGTGGCCCTCGGCCTCCTGGAGGCGGTCCAGCGCCTCGAGCGCGCGCGCGGCGCGGAAGTGCGCCTTGGCGTCGCGCGCGTTTGACTCGGGCGCGTCCTTGAGGGCGAAGTACGCGTCGCAGGCCCCGAGGGCCGCGGCGGCGTCGCCGCAGGTCAGGCAGGCCTGGGCGAGGTTCAGGCGCAGCTCCGCCTCCAACAGCAAAGATTCGCGCGCCGCGGCCTGCAGCGGCGTCTCCGGAACGTCGTCTTCGTCCCGTCTCAAGACTTTGCGCGCGATGAGGACCTGGCGCGCGCGGCCGGCGACCTCGTCGAGCGCGCAGAGCGCCGCGAGGTAGCGCTTGCGCGCCAGGGCCGCGTCGCCCTCCTTCAGGGCCGCGTTGGCCCGCTGCTTCGCGGCCATGGCGGCCGTCACGGCGCGCTCGACGGGGTCCGTCGCCTCCAGCATCGCGCGCACGCCGCCGAACGCGTCCGAGGCGCGCACCGGCTCCGGGTCGGGCTCCGGTTCCTCCGGTTCGCGCGGCCTCGGCGGCTCGTAGGCCGGCGTGTCCGTGAGCAGCGACGGCGGCTTCTCGAGGCCGAGGCTCGCGCAGGCGTCGAGGAAGGCCCGGTTCGGGACCCAGTCCGGCGCCTCGTCCTTGGTCATGGAGGGCTGGTCCGTCGTCGCGGCCGCGGCCGCCTCGTCGGCTGCCATCTTGCCCAGCTGTGGGGGTGGCCTCTACTCCAGCTAAGCAGCGACGCTCCCAAGCGCTGCGGCTGCGGGTTGGCACGTGTAACAGAAGAACCCTCGCGAGCTGTGCGCGTCACACGTCGCGCAATTGCGTTTTGCGCCTAGCCTAGCCTCTGCTTAACCGACGGGTTTTTGCGCGCGGTCTTGCGGGACCCCTCCCCGCCCCAGGGGACTCGTCGCAGAGGTCGTGCAGCGATGTGCGGGAAAAAAAAGGGGAACCGCCGCCGCACAACCTTGGTCTGCTGAACGCGGACGCGAAGGCGCTTTGCTTGAGACCCGACCCAGAGCTAGTCAAGGTATTCCGGATCCCGCCGCGCCGCCGCTCCGTGGAGTCGTGCCCGAGTGCCGCCGCCGACGAGTTGCCCGCGGCCCGCCGCCGGCCCGCCGCCGCACCCGCGGGTTAGTCACGAAAAACACTCCCGCGGTTGCAACATTGCGCCGACGAAGGACCCGGGGTGTAGTCATCGGAAGCAGCTTGAATTGCTGGGGTGAGTCAACATCGCCAATGAAGGCCCGTCGACCCGTTGAATTGCGAGGAAGCCGAGGATGAATCGCCTACTTGCCCAACATGTCACGCCGCGCCGAACGTCGCGATGACGCGTCCGCGAGGCCCTCGCGCACGCCCAACTAGGCCAGGAACTCAGAAATCCCGCGGAGATCAAATGTCGTCCTGAACTCCGACGCAACGCCGCGGCCCCGCCGCCGCCGCCCTCGCCGGCGCCGGCGCAGGTCCACACGGGCGCCGCGGCGCCCGCGACTACGCTCGCGCCGCCATCGTGCGCTCGCCTGAGGCCGAACACACCAACACCCAACAAAACGGGTTTATCCTTCGGGTTTCGTGCGCTAGACGGCTTTTCCACATCAGCGCCGCGGACGTCGAACTCTCGATCCCAAGACCGCGATCGCAATCCAAGATTTTTGAGGCGAGCCGACCCGCGCCTTCGCCCTTGCGCCGGGAGCTGGTGTTGCTAGTGTGTTACCGGCCGCTAGCTCGTGCTTGACCCGCAAGAGCGCCAAGCAGCCAAAGCTGGCTTTCTTGGTGTCCGGCGATCTGTAATATATCCTTCATCGCGCTGCCGAGCTTTCAGCCACCAAGAAAGACTGCGTAGCGCTCAAAAGCGACTGCACTCCTGTGCTGCCGGTCAAGCATACTGAGACGCGGCGTGGCCATGCGGATAATCGCTGCGCAGCGCATCAATGGCGCAACGCGATCGCAAACAAGACGCTGTCACGTCATCGCGCGCCGGCCGCTGTCGCTGCCCCGGACGCCATCGATGCGACCGCATGGATCACGGGGAAGACCGGCGCTGCGTTTTACGCCATCGACGCGACCGCTGGCGACCGCGGCCATACCCGTCGACGAAAACAGCGTGCCGATCCTCGGGGCGGCGACGCGGGCGCGCGAGCTGGCGCCCGAGCTCTACCGCAGATTATTTGAACTTGGCGAGCCGTACGTCGTGTTCGACGACGTGCTCGGCAATGACGTGCGAGGCGCCATGCTGGAAGACGCCTTGGCGCTGCGACGGCGCGACCGCTTCGGGCCGTCGCAATCCGTCGGCAGCGACGGCGTGCCCTTCGACAAGGAGGCGGTGCTCTCGTGCGAGGTCGAACCGACGGACTTCGACGACGCGCCGCACCTGCTCGCGTTCACGCGAGATTGGCTCTTGACGTTGCCACCGGCGCTCAATGCATTGCTCGGCGCGGAGCGCGTGTCGCCGCGCGAGTACGGGACGAAGCTCGCGGTACAGATGGCCTCGGGTCGCTACCCACGCCACGTGGACAACGCGTGCGTCGATGGTGGCGGGCCGCGCGATAAGCGGTGGATCACGTGCATCTATTATCTGCAGGAGCCCGGGTGGGATGCCGGCGGCGCGCTGCGGATCTACGTCGACTGCGACGACGACGACGCGCGCGGAGATGCGCAAGGAGAAGGCGTCGACGTCGCTCCGACGGGAGATAGGCTCGTTTGTTTTTTCGCGGATCGTGTCGTGCACGAGGTTCTTCCAGCGGCCGCGGATCGGTGGGCCCTTACTTTATGGTTCGTTGGTAACGACGACGCGGAGTGCGCGGCGGATCGGGCGGGTGCCGGGCTTCGGGCGGCGCACTTTCCGCCTGGCTAAGTTTTGTTGCTGTATTTAACGAAGCTAGCGCTATAGAGATGCTAGCAAAAAGCCCCCGTCGATGAATTTGGCGTCAAACGCGTAGAAAGGGACAGAAGGCACAAAGCGAGGTAGCCTGAACTCATTTGCGGCTGCCGGAGAACCCTTCGCTTTGCCGATGATGTCGCTGCGGCGAGCCGTGAGGCCATTGACTGGCGCGTTGCACTCATTGGCCCCGGCAGCAGGCGCGCGGACGGCCGGCGCGCGGCGGACCCTGGCCCTCGCGCGCCCCACCGAGGACGCTGACAGCGTCCAGTTCCCGAGGGAGGGCCCCGGCCTCGACTACGCGCTGAACTGGAGCTTGTGCGGCGACGGCGTCGTGCCCAGCAAGCTTGCCTACCGCATCACGAAGGTCCAGACGGCCGATCAGCTCCTGGGCGGCCCGCCGACGGCGCCCGCGGGCGCCGGCGCGGCCGCGGCCGTCGTGGACGACGACGACGCGTTCGACGACGCGTTTGACGAGGCGGCAACTGCGCTCGAGGCCGCCGACGCGCTGTACGTGGCCGAGGGCGACGCTCCCGGCACGCGGACGCCGTGCCGCGTGATCAGCGGCGACCTGGGCCTGGCGGCGACGGCCATGGCGCACTGCCTCGAGCGCATGCCGCTGCGGGCGCCGACGGAGCTGCCCGTGACCCTTTACGCGGCTCCGTCTTGCGCGGACTACGCCGGCGCCGTTGTGGAAGACGCGCGCCTCAAGATCGTCCTCTGCGGCGCGCAAGCCACCGCCGCGTCCGTGAAGGCGTCGCTCGCCGCCGCGCCCGGGATGCTCGAGGCGGCGACCGCGCCCGTGGAGGAGGTCGACGAGGCGGCCTAGCGAGTTGGGAGCTTGCTGCTATGCCGCCGTTCCTCCTGCTGTAACTATAACATATATCTTTTACGGGAGAAGGAAGAAGAGAGAGACTGTCTTTGGCTGAAAAACCCGTACCTGGTATCATCAACCCCACATCGACGCGCTTGGACGGGCGTTTTGCATTATAAAACGCGGCCTCGGGGTCCCCTCGCTTTGCTCTGAGCCGCGTGGCATGGCACACGTGCGCTTTGTCGAGTGATTCGAGTCAGACAGTCAGTCTGCTCAGTGCTCTCTGGTTTAGCTCTCCGATATCATGGATGGGCTCACTCCCGAGAAAATGAAGGCCGCTTCGAAAAGTGCGCAGGAGGAGTCCGAGCCGGCGTGCAAGCGGCGCCGGGCCGCGATGGCGCACACGCCGCGCGCCGCGTGGCCCGCGTCGGTGGAGCGCGCCGACGCGGCGGCTCCGCCGGTCGTGGTCGTGGCCAGCGTGCCGGCGGCGACGAAGGGCAAGCGCGTGAAGCGCCAGACGATCGGGCCCGGCGCGCCGGAGCCGACAGGTGGTGGCGTGGCCCGGGCCGCCGAGTCGTCGGACGACGACTTCGAGATGGGCGAGACGCTGTCCGAGGAGGAGCGCGCGCGGCGCGCGAAAGCGAAGGCCGAGCGCGAGGGCACCGTCCAGGACATCTCCGACGATTCCGTGGCCGCGGGCCTGGACGCGTCCGCGTCGTCGTCGTCGAGCGACTCCGAGTCGTCGGCTTCGGACTCAGACGACTCGGACCCCGACTTCCAGGAAGCCTCAGGGCCGGAGGATCCTTTTTGAGTGTCCAGACGCGTAGGCTTCGACAAAAACACTAATCCACAACTAAATTTAATTCTTCGCGCAGAACCAGCGCCGGTAGTCGCGCGCCGCGAGGTTCGTCCGCCGCGTCGCCGCGCAGAAGGCCCAGACGTGGCGCAGGCGCGCGCGGCCGCTCGTTCCGGTAAGCACTGCGGCGTCGACCGTCGCGGACGGCTCCGGCAGGAAGCCGTCCGCGTCGAGGCGCATGCGCTGCCGCGAGGCCTTCTTCTTCGGGCGCTCGCCCTCGAGGTCGTGCGTCCCGGCCGGGCAGTGCAGGATCTCGTCGGGCACCTGGTACTTCGAGTAGATCCAGTTCGACTCGTCGTACGGCGGCTTCTCGACGTGCTCGTAGCGCTGGCAGTAGTGCAGGAAGAAGGGCAGCCGGTGGGCCTCGTCGTCGAGCAGCGTCGGGTCGCACGCGCGCTCCGGCGGCAGCCGGTCGACGAAGGGCCAACCCTCGCCGCCGGCGCCGACGTTGCTCACCATGAGCGAGTCGACCGTCGCGGGCCGGATGCCCAGGTCCGCGACCGCGATGACCATGGCGTACATCTCCGCGAGGTTCCCGAAGTTCCGCGCGACGGCCATGGGCATGAGGCCCGTCCAGTTCGTCGCGATGGGCAGCCAGTCCGACGCGAGGGCGATGTAGGGCGCGCCGATGGAGTAGAAGGCGTCGGCGCTGCGCTCGTTGAGGTCCGGCGCGTTCGCGGGCGAGTCTGGCCGGCCGATCGACGTGAAATAGTCGCGCAGCTTCCAGGCGAGCTGGCCGTTGCGGCCGGGTGCGCTCGTCCAGGGCTTGCCGCCGATGCCGTAGCGCTGCGCGATCATCGTCCCCGGCCGCAGCGGCCGCGGCATGGGCGTCTTCTTCGCCGCGCCGGACGCGAACGTCGCGTCGTCCGCGTCGAAGCTGTCGTGCCTGAGTGTGACCGCTGAGCCGGCGCCGCCGACGCGACGATTGTACGCGCGACGCGACCACCGAGACAACGCAGACCCACACACACCGCTACGCCGTCGACGCGACGATCGCGGACGCCGGGCCGCGCCAGAGCGGCCGCAGGAAGAAGAAGTCGGGGTCGATGAGCGCGACCGTCGCCGTCGGCGGCACGCTGCCGGCCTGGAGCCACTTCATCATGCCCAGCGGCTTGTTCGCGTACTTGTAGTAGCGGCCGGCGTGGTCCTTGACGTCCGTGTCGGGCGCGAAGAAGACGCGGCAGCGCGCCGGCAGGTGCGACATGGCGTGCCGGATGCTCGCCTCCTGCCCGGGCCGGCAGCCGCTCGCGATGCGCGTGATGACGCCGCGCTGGCCCACCGCGTCGGCCGACGAGAAGACGCCGATGGACTGCCAGTCCTGGAACTCGCTGCAGCCCGTCCTGTGTTTGTTTTTTCTGTGAGTTTTTTTTTTCCCCTTCCCGGTGTGCGGCGCGAAGGCCTCTCCCGAGGCGCGCCAGCACACGATGGCCGCGACGATGGCGCGGCATCGCGAGCACTTCTACCCCACCGGCACGCCATCGCCGCGACCCGCCACTGGAAGACCCCCCCCACAAAAAAAGGACGCCGCGTCGCGACGAGAAGACGACGTGGTACGACTCGTCGATGGGCTCCGCGACCTCGGCCGCGAGCCGCGCGGCGGCTGCTTGGGCCGCGGCGGCCTCGCGCGCGGCGGCTGCTTTGGCCGCCGCCGCCTCGCGCGCGGCTTCCGCTTCCCGCGCGGCGGCTTCTGCCGCCCGCGCGGCCGCGGCTTCGGCCTCGCGCCGCTCGGCCGCCGCGGCCTCGGCCGCCAGCGTTTCGGCCGCCGCCCGCGCCGCGCGCGCCGCCTCGCCCTCGGGCGTCGGCGGCCTCGTGACGGCGACCGCGTCGACGAGCGCCGCGGCCGCCGCGCCGCGCGCCGCCGCCGCCGCCGCGTCCCGCGCGTCGCGCAGCGCCGCCAGGTGCGAGGCGGGGCCGCGCAGCGCGTGCGGCCGCGGGATCTGGTGGTGCTGCTGCGTCGCGTAGTTGTGCGAGAGCAGGGTCGTCGTGAGGAGCAGCGCGCCCACGATGGTGAGGGTGCAGGTGAAGAGGCTGCAGCGTGGCTTGTTTTGCCGCATCGGTGCGATATCTCGTGTTGCTTTTAGCAACTGTATCGTCCAATCGTGTGAAGCGTCTCGGCAGTGCTGCCAAAATGCGCCCAGCCCCACAGCCTTTGGTATTTACCAGGCCGCCGGACGGGTTCGCCGAGCCCCCTTCCTTTAGGCTCTCTCGTGACGTTTGTGATGGGACGAGCAATAGGAAACCCGCGACGGTGGCAGTGAATTTGCTTCGACCGCGGCGGGGCGGCCGCGCCGTCGGCGGCGTGTCTCCTCGAGGCGCGCCTCGAGGTCGACGTAGCTCTTCCTTCCACGCCGCCTCGGGCCGGTCGAGCTCGGGCCGAGCCACCGTGAGCTCTCATGGAGGTTACGGTGCTCGGACTCGTCAAGGTCGCCACACGCCCCGGCTCGCTCCGTGCCTCCCTGGCAGGGGCTCGTCGGACTCCTAGCCGGCTGGGCGCCCGGCCGGGCCCGCCGGGCGGAGCGAGGCAGGGGGGTGGGAGGCTGCCAGATGAGGCTGCCCCATCCGCCGGCTCGGAGCCCTTTCAAGTAAGGGTCCTTCCCGAGGGCTGCCCGGTGGCTGGGAGGCCGGGGCGCCGGGGTCGTGAGTTTTCACCCGCCCTAAAAATGTCCACGGCACCATGGGCTTCACCAACCAACCTGCCAGCCAATTTTTGGCAAAGGTTTTGTGCGCGACATTTAGCTCCTGTGCAACGCAGACGCGCACAGAGGCACGTTTACTGCGCTGATATCACTCCCCTTCGGCAATCCAGCCCCTCAGCGGACCGCGCGGCGTCGGCGGCGGCAGCGGCGGGCAGCCCCCAGGCGACGCTCGCTTTCCAAACAGCCGCGGCCGAGGCCTGCGCCGCCGCGCCGCCGCAGCGGCGGCCGCACGCGGGCGGCTCACACCCAGCGGCGCGCGGCGGGCGGGTGCGCGGCCTCCCACAACTGGGGACGTGGGCGCCGAGATAATTCGTGCCGCCAAAGTGGCCGCGGCCTCACCGCGCCGCGCCGCGCCCGCGCCGCCGCCGCGGCAGCACGCGGGCGGCCCACACACACAGCGCCGCGCGGCGGGCGGGCGCGCGCGCTCCCTCAACTGGGACGCGGGCGCTCCCCGCAAATAGAGAAGCGGGCGCCGCAACTAGAGAAGCGGACGCCGCAATATTTCGCCGCCAAAGGGCCGCGCCCTCATCTCTTGTCGACGCAGGTCCGATCGCGACGATGATCCGACGGAAGAGCGTGGCGACGCTCCTCGCGCTCTGCGCGACGGCGGCCGGACAGGCCGGCAACCCTGCTCCCAGCTACAAGCCGACGAACTCGCCGATTCCGTCGCCGACGGCGAGGCCGACGCCCGCGCCGTCATACAAACCCACGACGCCGCCTATTCCGTCGCCGTCTGTTAAACCTTCGGCGGAGCCTACGTACCGGCCGACCCCGGCGCCGTCGCCGCGGCCGACGCCCAAGCCTACGCCGACGCCATCATATAAGCCGACCCCGTCGCCGTCCCTGCGACCGACGATCTCGTCGCTCCCGACTTACACGCCTACGAGCGTGCCGAGCAACAAGAACCCGACGTACATTCCTACGCCGCAGCCCACGGCAACGCCGGTCTTCGCGCCGTCGGCGCAGCCGTCATACGTCCCGACGAGCAAGCCTACGAACGCCCCGTTCCCGGCGCCCACGTCGCAGCCTTCTTACGTGCCCACGTCGAAGCCTACGGACGCACCTGTACCGGCGCCCACGTCGCAGCCTTCTTACGTACCCACGTCGAAGCCGACGGACGCCCCGACGCCCATGCCGCCGACTTACAAACCGACGGCTGCGCCCGTCCATATGTGCAATGGTGTGTCGCAGACGGCGCCGTGCGGCCCGACGTACCTGCCGACGCCGCAGCCCACGGAGAACCCGACGATCGTGCCCGTCCCGGTTCCGACCTACGTGCCGACCGGCGCGCCGACGCCGTCGCCCTCCGCTGTGCCGATCAGCAAACCGTCCTACACTCCGACGGCTGCCCCGAGCGCACAGCCGAGCCTGCTGCCTTCTTCGAAGCCGACGTACGTACCGACGACCATACCTACGCCGTCTCCCTCTGTCAAGCCAACGAAGTAGAGCGTGCGCCGCTCAACATCGTCTGTCTTGTGTCCCCGCCCTACCCACCCCACCCGCCCCTCCCTTAACAGCCCGCCCTCCCGCCCTCCCCGCTGTAACACTGGCAGTCTATAATGTCCCACGCCGCGGTGTCGGCCGAGGTCGCAACAACGCTCGCACAAAACAACACAAAACACCGCTTCACACCAACCAACCAACCCGCCACAACTCCAGCGCCCCCACGTCGCCACGGTCGTAGTCGACAAAGCGCGGCGGCAGGGCCAGTCGGACCGCGTCAAAGCCCGCGAGCGCGCCGCGGAACGTGCGGTAGCCGTGCGCGACGACGCTCAGCGACTCGGCCTCGAAGTTGAACCGCTTCTCGAGCGCGACGACGGCGTAGCGGCCGGGCCGCGCCGCGAGCGCCCGCCGGAGCGCGTCGAAGAGCGCCGTCGTGGCCGCGTCGTCGTAAATGCAGTCCGCGGCGACGACGACGTCCGCGGTGCCGAGCGCGTCGTCGGCGTCCACGGCCGCGTCCGCGTATGCGCGCCAGTCGACTACGCGCGCCAGGACGGAGCCGCCGGCCGCCTCGATGGCCGCGGCGTTCCGCGCCGCGTTCCGCGCCGCGAGCGCGACGGCGCCGCGGTGGCCGTCGGTGCACAGCGCCGTGGCTCCGAGCGCCGCCGCGAGGCAGCTGACGGCGCCGACGCCGCCGCCGAGCTCCGCGATCGTCGCGCCGAGCCAGGGCCGCGCCGCGTCCTCGGCCAGGAGCCAGTCGCAGACGACCAGCGCGCCGCGCCAGACCTGGAGGCCCACGTCGGCGAGCGGCGTCGCGCGCGCGTGTTCGACGAGCAGCGTCCGCCTCCGCGGCGGGTCGAGGTCGCCGTCCGCATCCGTCGCGCTCCCGGCCGTGCGGTAGCGGAGCGCGTACAGCGTGTCGTCCGTTTCGCTGCCGACGTGGATGTCGCTGAGGATCGCGTCGTCATCGTTTTGCTGCTGTGGGTGCGCCAGGGTTGCTGTCTGGCGTGCCCCAGTGTGCAGTGTAACTCAGTAGTGTGCAGCTGCAGTGGCGGCAGCAGATCGTGGCCTCGCAGCGACCGATGTGTGCTGTGCGTGCAGCTGATATCGTCAGCCCTAGTGCAGCCGAGGCAGCAAAAGTGCGCTCCGAACGTCGGGGTCAGCTAGCGGTGTAAGACACTAGCAAGCAAGCTCAACGCATATGCAGCTGTTCGAGTATCGCTCCGTTCGTTTACGGTCCAAAGAGATCAATGGGACACTTACCGGGGGCCGAAAAAAATAATTTTTTTAATTCGCGATATTGACGGTCGCGCCATGACGGCCGCGTCGATGGAATCCTGTCGAGGCGGGGCCCGGAGGTCTCCCTGGGGTCGTTTTTGGGTCTGTAGTGGTCGCGTGCAAACGCCTACGCCGCCTACGCCGCCGCTTCCAGTGTAAGATACATCTCCCATGGTCCTGTGCGCTATACCTCTATTGGCCATGATTTGCCAAAGATTTCGATCAGAGCTCACTGGAGAGCCCCAAGAACCAGCGCATGCGGCGTTGGGGACCACCCGACCTTAGACCTGTCCCAGAGGGCGTCCGCGAGCCGATCTGTATCCACAAAAAGTAAACAATTTGGACCCGATGGCGCCCCGTTCCCGTCAAAAACGTCAATTACCCGAGGGGCCCCAGTAGTCGCCGTAGCGATCTCGCTGGGTCCCATACTACCCCACCGATAGTCAACTACAAGTAAATGACATCTACACCACGAGGAGGGTACTTTGGGCCGACCACGCTCGGGACGTGAACATCTTGATCTGGAGCTCGCGCATCGTCGGCGCACGCCTCGACCGCGACCGCGACGGCCTCCTTGTATTTTTCGTCGGCGTGGTATTGCTCTGCGTTGCCGCCAAGGTGTATTTTCTTGCCCATCTGCTTGTGGCCGCGGCGCCAGTGGTCATGCTGGCAAGTTTTGTTGCAGTACCTCAGTTTACATCTAACGCATCGCGGGGCGTTGTGGGCCAGTGGGGCGGCGCAGGCGGGGCATGTTGTGAGGATCATTTCTGATTGCGAGGCGTTTGTGTGATTCGCGTGGCGGCGTGGACGATTTTTTTTTGGGCCTAAAAAAATACAAGCAAAACGGGTTATCTTAGATCGCGACGCGTATGCGGGCGAGCCCTGTCCAGAGAATCGCCATGTTGCTACTTTACACACTCCCTGATGGCGACGGCGTCTCGCGGGCGCGGAGCGCGGCTCGCGCTACCGCAGCTGGAGCTCAATCATTTGTCATCGGGTGCGCACCGCCGAACACGCGCCGCGCAGTCCGCTTGGGGGAGTACCGCCCCGGGCGCGCGGCTTCAAGGGCCGAGTTAGGAAATCCGCGCTAGCGGCCTGTTAAGACACTAGCAAGCAAGCAGCCGGGGGCGGCTCATGGTGTTATTGCAGCCACGCAGTGCTGCCATTCCATCTCTTTGGCTGCAAACACCAGCCGTGCGCACGTTTTGGCTCTTCAGATCAACTGCACCGATCTGTATTGGTTGTTTTTTATCGGGGCTGCCCATGCTCTCCATGCTCTCTCTATTGTCCTAGGCGCTTAGTGGTTGCAATGCGGTGACGGCATGACTGCAATGCGATGCCTACTGCTGCTCGGTGCACTTAGAGCCGCGACGGCCCTCGCACCAGAAGCGGTGGAAGCCCTCCTCTCAATCGGCGACGGTGAGCGGCTGAGCTACCTCGATGTCCGAGAGTCGCTTCACAACGAGTGGTCGCGCAATGTTTCAGGGCCGGCCGTCGCCGCCGTGCGGACAGCATGCGGCGGCGGCTTCTACGCGCCGGAGACCAATGAATATGGGCGCTACGCCGTCGTCGACCACGCGCCGGCCGATCGACTAGCGACCGATCCGGAGGCGCGCGCCGCCGCCGCCCGCTTCCAGGAGCGGAGAACCGGGCTGTCGCACGCGTTCGTCCTGGCGCACTACCGGTCCTACCCGCACGTGGCCCGCGAGGCCGTGCTCTCGCGGCTCCGCTTCTACGGGGACGCCTGGACGTGTGTGGTCGACCAGGGCGCCGCCGAGCGGGCCGACGACACGTCGGCGCGCGACTTCGTGCGGACCCTTCGGGCTTTGATCAAACGGCCCGACCGGCTGCTGCTTGCGAATGGCACGACGACGCACGAGCTCTCGGCGTATGCGAACGGCGCGCGCGCCATCGTCGCCGCGGCCGGCTCCTTCCCGGACCTCTGGCTCTTCTCGCACGCGACGACGCTCGTCGTCCGGCCGTTCCCCGTCGACCGCTTGCCCCCCTGTGGCGTGACGCGACTGGGTCCCACCCCCTTCCCCTGGCAGCCGCGGTGTCGGGCCGAGTCGAATGCAGTCGACGCGGTCGCCTCCTCGATGGCGGCGCGCCTCGGCCTCGACACCTGCCGCCACCATCACGACGCGCACCCGGTCTACGGCTTCGCCGACGCGACGATAATCGCCACGGGCGACGCCGTCGAGACGACGCTCCTCAAAGGATTCGACGCCTACGCCAGCGCCGTCGCCGAGACGATAAAAACGCTCGACGGACGATACGTTTCGAAGAAGCACCACCACACGCTGCTGCCCCGCGGCGAAAGCTACTTACACGGGCTGTCGGACCACGTGTCGGGTCTCCTCGTCGCGGCGTCGCAATGCGCCGCCGCGGAGCCGCTCTTTCCGGAGGCGCACGGCACGTCCAATCCCTTCGTCTCGAAGATCAACGGATTTCCCTGCGGCTGGGGCCAGTGCGCCCTCGACGCGGCGCTGCGGCTCATCGCTGAGGCCGATAGGAATCCTGTCGACGGGCTCCTGACGCGCTCGGAGCTGGCGGCCTACGACGGACCCGTGCCGGCGTCCTGCGACGTGGGCCGAGACTGGAGCGCCTCCGCAAAGGCACGTGGCGGCGACTGGGACGAGCGAGCTCAGCGCAAGACCGGCCTCGCCCGGCTCTGCTACCAGCTGTGTGGAGATCAAGCAGTGAGTTAGGGTACGCCATCGAGCAGATGCAGTTACGGGGACGACGTCGCGTCGATGCCGTGGGGCGTCCGAAATTTTATTTCCACACAGGCTATCAGGTCCTCTGCGACCGAGACCGCAGCATCGCGCTCGGCCAGGCGTATACCGCGCAGGGTACCGCAAAGCGCGCCCGGAAGCTGATTGCGCGAGGCGGTTCGTTGTGAATGTAAAATAAATCTAGTACAAAAAAATACCCCATGACTACGGCCCGCGCGTTTAGGAAATCCCGAGAGAGAGAGGAGACTTATTCCCGCGGCTAGCGGCCTGTAAGACACTAGGATCCTCAAGCAGCAGCCAAGCTGCATTGAACTGCGGGGCAGCCTACACATCATGCTCGGTTAGCAAAATGAGGGCAGCCCTCGTGCTGCTGGCAGCACTGCACACCACCGATGCGGCGACGACCAGACCGCTGTGGTGCGACCGCCTCAAGGCGGCCGTCGACGAGTCGCGCGCGACGCTCGCGACGCGCTACGGCCGCGCGCGCCTCAACGCCACGTCCATCTTCTCGCATAATCAAGAAGCACTGGCGGCGCGCATAGCCGACGCCTTGAACAACAACCAGCCCCTGCGGTTCGGGTTGACGGGCGGCTCGCACGCCGTCGGCACGGACGAGGGCGGCTGGGCCACAAATTTGACACGCTGGGTCGACGACGTCCTCGGTCGCGCGCGCGGCGCTGGTCCGACGAACGTCTCGGCGCCGCCGGGGCCCGTGCCTCCACAAAAAGCCTGGGAGCGCTGCGTCCGCAAAGACCCGCCGCCGTGGCTGAGTTCACCACCGTCGTTTCGCGCGACGGCGGCGCGCTGGGACGACGACGGCGCGCAGTGGCACAACCAGAGCTGGCCCCTGGACCGTATTTGCGAGAACCGGCTCGAGCCGCGACGCGTCTGCCCCGTGTTCTGGGGGTCCGGAAAACACGCGACGCTCGTCAACGGCGCCAAGGGCGGGCTCACGACGGCGGAGGCGACCTGGGCGCTCGGGCGCGCGCTCGATAGGTGCGTCGACGTCTTGCTGTGGGACCACGGCGTGAACGACATGGCGCACGTCCGCGGGTCGGCGCGCGACGCGCAGAAGACGTTCCTCTGGTTCCTGGCGCGCGCGCAGGCGGAGTTTCCGCGCCTCGCCGCCGTCGTGGCCGTGTTCTGGCAGGACGACTTGCTCGGCCTAAAAGGAGCATGCGCCGGGGAGGACGTGGACGGATGGCAGGCGCGCGTGCCGGCCGGCTACCGCGGGGTCCTCGTCGAGGCCGCGCAGCGCTGGCCGGGCACGGCCGTCGTGACCATGTCCTTGCCGGCGTTCTGTCGGAAGACGCCCGAGCGGCGCGCCTGCCACCCGGCCGCCTTCATGGACTGGCTCACGAGTCACCCAACGTCGCTCCAAAATGCCGCGTTCGCAGATCTCGTGATCTGGCAGCTGCTCCCCGCCTTCGACGCGATGCACGCGTCGCGATGCGAGTCCGTCGACCATTTTCAAGCGCCAGCGCCGCCGCCGCGCGCCAGCCACCATTTTCACGCGCCGCGGCTCGCCGCGAGCTTTTTTGGCTGGTCGCCCCTCGCGTCCTCGCCGCCCCGCCTCGAGGACCTGGCCGTGCTCTGCGCCCCGGGGCGGTCCCTCCGCGGGCCCGAGACGCGCAAGGGCAAGGCGGCCTGCAGTCTTCGCCTGGACGGCCTCACCTGGACGCCCTTCAACTTCACGGTCTTCGCGACGGACATGCGCCTGCCGGCGACGCCGCGGTGGGCGCGCCTCGATTTTAGTGAGTTGTTGTGGGGCCCGGCGCTGGACGGGGACGGCTGCGCGGGCTGGGGCATGCACGGGTGCCGCGACCCGAAGCGCTGCGACGAGGAATACCGCTACTCGAGCACCGCGACGCCGAAGTGTCCCTCCGGCGGCGGGACGCCCGTGCAACGCTGCCGCCGCGCGCCGCGGGGCGTCGAGCGCTACCCCGCCTGGCCCGCGTTTTCGGAACTGCCCATCCCTGTGTGGAAATCAACCAATGCGTCGGGTGCACGACAATTCTTCACTAAGTCATTTCTCGGCGATGACGCTGCCGTGCTGGCTCCGTCGAGCGGTGAGGAACCGGCATCGCCACGCCATCGAGCAGGCGCCGCGTCGATGGCGTGGAGGACGACGCGACGATTCAGCACGAACGCGCCGTAAAATTTTGATTTCCACACAGGCCCATCCGCGCGGCCGACGTCGGATTACGCGTGTCGTCGAAGTACGCGGGCTGCTTCCTGTGCTCGACGCTGCACCCGCCGGGACGGACGCGGTACTACGCCGCCGGCGTCGCCGCCGGCGTCGCGGGAAACGCCACGCCCGCGCCCCAGGACCAGATGAAGTCGTGCCTCGTGATCCCCCGCGTCGAAGCCGCGCACGTCGTCTTCTGGTGCCCCGCCGAGGAGTGCTACCCGGTGGTCCGCGGAGGACGGGGGAAAGTCGGACTCGGCCACGGGGCCCTGAAGCCGAGCATTATGGTGTTTTGCGGGCACCACAGTGAGTGGCCGTCGAGGTCCGCCGCGTTCGGAGGCGCGTTGCGGTGGCCCAGCACGAGCGCCAATCGGTCGAGTAGTGGACGCTCCCCGAGTCGAGCTGCGTCTCCGTGAGGGCGTCGTACTGTAATGTGAAGTTGTCTACTACAACTAGTGGGACACAACGAACGGCTACCAAACTACAAAAAAAGACCCCATTACTACGGCCGAAAATTGAACGCCGCCGGAGTCATCGGCGGCGGCCGCTTCCGGAAGGGATTCGCGCGCCACGGCCGCGCCGGCCGCCGTTTCGATAGCAGGACGACGGACGGGTCCCGCGCCGCCGCCGGCCGCCCCTTGCCGCGGCGCAGCGCCTTCTCGGCGGCCCGCGCCGTGACCGTCGCCTCGAGCGCCTCGAGCGTGCGGTCCGCGTGGCCGAGGCCCCACCGGATGAGCCACGGCGGGCAGGGGATGCCCGGGTCCGCGCCGAGCGTCAGCTCGACGCGCGTCCGGTCCGCGCCGCGCGGCTGGAGCGCGTAGGTCACGCGGAAGGCCGGCAGCGTCACGCAGTCCGAGCGCACGACGCCGTGCTGCTTCTCGACGTTCGGCCGCACGCGCGAGACCTTGTTCCGCAGCACCGGCGGCGCCCAGAGGACGAACCTGTGTTTGGAAATCAAATTTCAGACTTGTCTCCGTAGCGGCGTCTGCTCGATGGCGTGGAGTTTCCGCGCCATCGATGCGACGTCGTCCCCGTGACCGCGCAATAATTCTCCACGCGGGGCCGAACCGCTCCGCGGCCGCCGTCGTCCAGCCGACGACGCGGTCGCCCCGCTTCTTGGGTTTGCGCCGCCAACTTTGCGGCTTCTCGGACGGCGGCGGCAGCGACACGCGGCGCAGCTCGACGCGCGCGCCGCCGCCCTCGGTCCTATCACAATACAGCGCCGCCGAGACCTGGCGGTCCCAGCAGGGGAAGGGCAGCGCGAAGCGGTAGTAGACGACCTGGGCGTCGTCCGCGTCGGCGACGAGCTCGGCGCCGTCCTTGGCCAACACGACGCTCTCGTCGAGGCGGCTCACCCACGTGTGGTGCGTGCCCGGGTCGAGGAGCGCATCCACCACATCGTCCACCGACCCCTCGAGCGTCGCGGCGCAGGTGCACGTGGGCGGCGGGTAGCCCTCGAGCGTCGCGAGCGTCGCGCGCGACGCGCCGGGCGCGGCCCAGTCGATGGCGGTCGTCGTCGTTGTTGTCGCTACGGCGAGCAGCGCGGCCGCGCGCATCGTGCGACGCGTTCGATTATTGATCGGCGTCGCGGCGCCGCTCTGCAGCCACTCTGTCAAGCACACTCCTGAGCTAAGCGAACGGGCTCTCCCGGTCCCGCTGCGCTTTTGTACCGGTTGTACGCTTTAGTAGAGCTCCTCCCACGCGTCGCTGGCGCTTCGGGACGACGCGAGCGCGGCGCAAAAGCTCGCACTCTCTCGATTGTTGCAGCGCTCGTCGTCTCCGAAAAAGCGTGAAACAAGACCCGTGTAACGAGGCCTACTTCTCCGAGGAGGGATGCCTCGTTCGCGCTGCGACGCGTCCGTGGCCGCCCGGGGCGGGTGCTGCTTGGCAAGGGCGGCGCGGCGCAGCGGTCGCGGCTGAATAGGCGGAGGCGACCCGAGCAGTTGCGCTGCGCTGGAGCGCTAAGCACGCTCACGGAAAATAGCCAAAGCTTCGCGCGGTGCCCAAGGGAGCCCGGCTGGCCCCCCAAGGCCTAACAACCCAAGCTCGCCGCAGACTCGGAGGCGCGCGGCGGGCGCCCGGCGAGGCCCCGGACCGCTTCTAAACAAGCGCCCGGCGCCCGGCGGACGCGTAGCCGGGGGCGATGGAGCTCCGCGTCGGCAAGAAGTACCGCCTCGGCCGCAAGATCGGCTCGGGGTCCTTCGGGGACATTTATCTGGGTACCAATTTGACGAGCGGCGAGGAGGTCGCCATCAAGCTCGAGAGCGTCAAGTCGAAGCACCCCCAGCTACTCTACGAGTCGAAGATCTACCGCATTTTGCATGGCGGGGTTGGTGTCAGTAACGTACGATGGTACGGCGTCGAGGGCGATTATAATGTGATGGTCATGGACTTGTTGGGACCTTCACTGGAAGATCTGTTCAACTACTGCGGACGGAAGTTCAACCTCAAAACGGTATTGATGCTCGCGGACCAGCTCGTGTCGCGCCTCGAGTACGTCCACACGAAGAGCTTCATCCACCGCGACGTGAAGCCGGACAACTTTTTGATTGGGCTGGGCAAGCGGCAGCACGTGATCCACGTCATCGATTTTGGCCTCGCGAAAAAGTACCGGGACCCGCGGAGCCACCAGCACATCCCGTACCGCGAGAACAAGAACCTGACGGGGACGGCGCGCTACGCGTCGATCAACACGCACATTGGGATCGAGCAGAGTCGTCGGGACGACTTGGAGTCCTTGGGTTATGTGCTCATGTACTTGATCCGGGGCTCGCTGCCCTGGCAGGGGCTCAAGGCGAACACGAAGAAGCTGAAGTACGAGCGCATCATGGACCGCAAGATGTCGACCTCCACCGAAAGTCTCTGCAAGGGCTTCCCGGCCGAGTTCCGGTCCTACTTCGAGTACTGCCGCTCGCTTAGATTCGAGGACCGGCCGGACTACGCCTACCTCAAGCGCCTCTTCAAGGAGCTCTTCTACCGCAAGGGCTTCCAGTACGACAACATGTACGACTGGACCGTGCAGAACATGCAGCAGGAACGCAGCCGCCTCGGTCCGGACCGCGCGCCGGCGCCGGCGGCGCCGGGGCCCGCGCCGGGCGCGGCGCGGCCGCCCGAGGACGCGGCCGCGAAGGAGCGCGAGCGCGACAAGGCGCGCGCGGCGGCGGGCGCCGCGCCGCCGCTGCCGCTCGACGAGGCCAAGCGCGGCGACTCGGACCCGCGCACGGGCCGCCGCGCGCAGACGGGCTCCTCGGCGCCGGCGGCGGACCGGCCGCGCGGCGCGGCGCCGCCGCCGGCCGCGGCCGCACCGCGCCGGACCGCCGCCGCCGTCGACGACAGCGCGCCGCCGACGACGGCGGCCTCGGCGACGCGGCCCGGCGGCGGCCGCTGAGAGAGAGGGCCTATAGACGACGAGCCCGCCGCGGGCGCGGCGCGGGCCGGGCGTCCTAACAGACAATTTCAGTAGACCCCTATCCGAGTTCTTCCGGCTCAATAAGCGACTCTCTCTCTCTCGGGCGCGTCCCGGTAGCGCGCCGGATTAGTTGGGGATGTTAGTCGGGGGAGTGGAGGAGGAGGGAAATGGCGTCTACGCCGTGATGCCAGGGGGCGAGCCCGAGCCCGGCTCGTCGCCGCCGTGCGAGCCCCACGTGTCGTGGTCGTCCGGCGGCAGTACGGCCACCTCCGTGTCGTCGTCGTCGTCCTCCTCATTGACGGTTTCGAGCACTTGGGGGGCTTCTCCCGTTCCCCTCATGCGCGCGACGTGCCTATCCATGCCTCTGACCGTTGCGGTCGAGCGGCAGTGGCGGCGGGGGTTGCGGCGGACGCGGCGCGGCGGCCCGAAGAGGGTGCCGTTCCACGATCTATCTTCACGGGGGACTTTATCGCCGTAAGTCGGCCGTTTCAAGCGGCGCGACCTGGCCTCTCTGGCTTTCTTGCCCTTGCCGCCGCCCTTCATGGCAATGAGGTCGTGGGTGCTTGTGGGCCTGTGCCGCGTATACGGCAGCAAAGTGCACAGAAACAGCACGAAGAGCGTATGCGGCAGCAAAGTTGCGCCGCAGTGGCAGCCCCGGTTCTTCGGTGGCCCGTGGACGGCGCGCGGGCAGCCAAATGAAATTTGGCTTCCGATGACAAGCCAGGGTGCCGAGTCCGCGGCTCGCCCTACCTCGGCCCACGATCCGTATGTCGAACAAAAATCTAGACGAGTTCGCCACAGATACTTACCACCACACCCACCGGAACACCCCGAGCGCGTCGAAGAGCGCGTTCCGCAGCTCGGCCGCGAAGACGAGCTCGCCGCCCTTGGCGTCGCCGAGCCACGGCTCCTCGTCGTAGAAGTGGATGTAGGCGAAGGCGCCGCCGCGGCCGCGGTAGGCGCCGAAGCCGTACGCGTCCACCGAGTCGCACAGCGCCGCGGCGAGCGCGAGCGTCGTCGAGCCCGAGCCCATGCCCGAGCCGCCGTGGCCCTCGTGGCGGAGCGCCGCGTCCGTCGCGAGGTGGGCGGGCAGGCCCCTCCTTGTAATTTCGCGCCACTCCTGGAGGTGCTTCGCGACGAGGCGCGCGGCCGGCGTCGCGCGGCGCGCGGCCTCGCGCGCTTCTTTCTTGACCTTGCCGAGGTCCGGGTGCACGTGGTAGTCCGTCCGCGCGCCCATGCCGCAGGCGTGCCTTTGTCTCACGTCCTCGGACCCCTGCGCCGCGTTCGTGCGGAAGACCGCGTCGTACGAATCAATCACGGCGCCCCAGCCGGCGCAGCGCAGGTGGTGGCCCGAGCCGACGACGGCGCAGCGCTCGTGGGCGCGCGGCTTCGGCAGGGACCTGGGTGGAAATCAACGCCATCGACGCGACGCCGTCCCCGTAGCTGCGTCTCCTCGATGGCGTGGTGATTCCACGCCGTCGACGCGATGGTATCCCCGTGACAGGCTCGACGGCGTAGCGGGGCATGACGATCTCAGGACGCGGGCAACGACGCGTCGTCCGGGAAGCCGTCGGTCTGCGTCCCGTTCAGGAGGGCCGAGACCTCGACCCTGGAGCGGAAGACGCGCTTGATGGCGGCCTTTGAGGCCTGGAGCGCGGCGAGCGGGAGCAGGTGGAACGTCGTGCAGCGCGACGTCTCTAGCTCCTGGTCCTTTTTCTTGTCGGCGGCGGCGGCGCGCGCGAGGACCTGGGGGTCGACGCAGACGCGGACGCAGAGGCGCGCGCCGGCGAGGCGCGCCGCGGCGGCGCGGGAGGCGTCATCTTCAAAATGGGCATAGGCGCAAGGGCCCGTGTCCGCGGGCTCGCCGGCGCAGGCACGGCACGGGACCGGTTTCGCGACGCAGCCGTGGGAGCGGTGGTGGCGCGCGCCCGGCTCGGGCGGGCCGCAGACGACGCCTCTCGCTCTTAGAGTCGCCTCGAAGCGCCGCGCGGCGGCCGCGACGACGGCTTGCGCCGCGGCGGGCGTCGCCGCGGCGAGGAGCTGCGCCAGGGGCTTCGTGTCGGGCGGCACCGGCGGCGCCGGGGGCTCGCAGGCGCCGAGCGGCGCCGCGGCCGCGACGACGCGGCCGTGGACGGCTCGCTGTCGTTCCAACCTACATATTTCAGTCCAGGTGAGGTTCGTGCGCGTGTGGCGGACGGTAAATGCCGTCGAGATGCGTGGTATGAGGATCAATGCGAGCCGCGCGAGGCGACTCATTTTTTGGGCTTTTTTTTTGCAGAGCTCCCTGAGGCTCTTTATGTCCACAGGCGTTCGCACTTCCGATTGTTCCGGTGTTGGTATGAATTTCAAGGACAGTCTTGGTCCTGGCTTGGGCGAGGGCTTGCGTAATCAGCAGGATAACCCTGTGAAACCCGTTTTGATTGAGGTACGATACTTACTTACTTACTCGGTAGCGTTCCAGTACGAGAGAATGTTCCAGACGACTCCGTTGTCGGGACAGGTAAGGCCGCCTCGGCGGCAGAGGAACGCGGCCACGCGCGCGGGTCGATCGTAGGACGCGTCGTCCCGGAAGATGGCCGCGGCGCGTTGTCGAGCGACGAGGCTCCGCAGGCGAAGGACTTCGCGGTGCGGCGCCCGTTTGTAAGCCTTCCAGCTGCCGTGTGCACGGACACCGGCGATCATGGCTTTGACGGCGTTCCATTTTTCGTCACCTGCAAGAGACGGCCTCCGCGCTTCTCTCTCGCGCATCACGTCCTCGGCCGATTCATTACGGCAGCAATTATCCAACGACGCGCCAGCCCGCAAGAGCAACGCCGCAATTTCCGTACTTGTCCCTTCGCGATAGACGGAAATACCGAGGGGAGTCCATCCCCTGTGAGTCGTTGCGTTGACATTCGCCCCCGCCGCTAGCAGCAGCGATGCGACATGCATTGATGCGATTTCTGGAAGGCAAGCCTCATGCAGCGCAGTTTTTCCGCTTCCGCGGCCTGAGAGGGCCTGATTCACGTTCACGCCGCGGCTCAGCAGGTAGCGTGCGAGGTCCGCCCTACGGGTTGTTGTAGCTGCTATCAGAAGCGTCTCAGACTCGTGCAACCGATCGACGGCGTGGATGTCCCCGCCCGCGTCGAGCCAGGCCGAGACGCGTTCAAGGTCTCCATTTCTCGCAGCGACAAGAACCTCGTCGGGAAGTGCACTCATTCTTGCGCGTGAGAAATACGCGCACGCCGACGCGGTCGACGTCCAGCAACTTTAAGGTCAAATTTGAGAAGTCGCTCCCGAGGGTGCTAGCTCTGTCGACAGCGGTCGCCTCCGCAAACGCGTACGTATTGCGGCGACGAATTGGTCCAGAGATAGCCCCCGGAGCGGCTCGGACGCGTTTTGGTTAAAACCTGTTTTGATCCTGAAGGTCGGCCAAGCGCGCGCGGGCGGAGCTTGTGGGCGTCTCCGCGCTACTCTGCGAAGGCCGAGACTAGTATTTATCACACGACACGGCCGGCGCGCCGGCAGGCCCCGAGGAGACCTTTAAAATCAATAAGATGGACACAGGCACACTCACTGAAGGCGAGAAAAAAGCCATAAAAGTGGCCTTAGCGACCGCGATCCTCCGCGGCGCAAACTCGAACGAAGACGAAGACAAGCCGCCAAGGCGGGACGCGATCGACGCGCAGCTCGTCGCGGCGCGCGAGGCCGCGGTCCTCGACGCGCCGGCGGGCAGCGGCGACGCCGTCTGCCAGGAGCTCGCGCTCCTCGCGCGCACGCGCTTCGCCAAGTCGCCGCAGCTCCTCGCGGCGTTCCTCGCGGCCTCGGGCGTGCTGGCCCGCGAGGCGCCGGCGTCGTTTCCCCGCGTCGCGGCGCTGGCGCGGAGCGTGGCGGGCGCCACCGTCGACGCGGCGCCCGGCGCCGTGACGCGCGCCCTCGCGTTCCTGCGGTCCCTGAGTGCCGCGCGCGCCGCGGCGCGCGAATCAAATTTCGCCATCGATGGCGCCGAGTGGTCGATGTGCGCGCAGGCACGCCGGCGCCCTCGACGCCGCCGTGCTCCGCGGGACGACGGCGGCGCTGTCGGACCTCGCGCTCGACTTCGCCGAGGGCGCGGCCCCCGCGCGGCGCGCGGCGGCGATGCGCGCCGCGGGGCCGCTCATCGCGCTCTTCGCCGAGCTCGCGGCCGCGCGCCTGGCGCGGGCGCCGGAGGACGGGCCCGGCGTCGCCGAGACGACCGCTCGGCTCATGCGCGACCTCGAGCCGGCGCCCCTCGCGGCCGCGCTGCTCGCCGACCGCTTCTCGTGCCCGCTCGGCGCGGCGGCGTAGTAGGAGCTCCAAGAAGACTAAGACACAAGAAAACGTTATCATCGACCGGGCTCCTGGATGTCGTGCGAGTGCAGGACGGCGCAGCCCGCGCCACCCCGTAGCCGCGCCGCGACGGCGCCGTGGGCCGCCTCGTCGGCGTCGTAGCCGGCGCAGCGTAGGGGCACCGCCGACGTGCCCGCGCGGCGCGTCCGGTCGTGGCCCCGGCAGTTGAACCGCGGCGGCAGCGCCGCGTGCGGCGCGCGCGTCGCGTGGAGCGCCGCGCGGAACGCCGGCTGGTCCATGAGGAAGCCGCTCGCGTCCGCGAGGTCGCCGTAGGCACGCAGCCAGGCGTCGACCAGGGCCCGCGACGCCGTGGCGTTGCGCCAGGCCACGACGCCCGTGTTCGCCTCGACGGCGTGCCCGGGCACGCGCCACCGCTCGCTCCGCGCGAGCACGCTCGCCGCGTGCTCGCGGCCCCGGTCCACGGGCACGAACGCGACGACGGGCCCTTCACTAACCGCGCACGCCGCCTCCAGCAGGCTCGAGCACACGTACGTGTCGGCGTCCATCAATAACGCCACGTCGAAGTGCTGCAGCGCCGTCGCGACGGCGCGGATCTTCGCGGCGCGGAGCCGTCGCAGCGCCAAATTCGCCGGGTCCCGGCGGTTCCGCCAGCGCTCCGCCGTCGAGAGCGACGACCGGTCGGCCACGGGCCGCGTCGCCTCGAACTCCGCCGCGTGCGACGCGCCCGCGTCCACCGCCACTATGTCAAATGGATGCTCGGCTTGCAGCCGCAGCTTGCGCGCCGTCGCGTCGTCGGTCACGAGCATCGCCCGCAGGCCGTCGAAGCGCTTGCTGGAAGCGGCCGAGCGCGACGCCTTCTGCAGCGACCGCGAGCCCACGGCGAAGTAGACCGTCGCCACGCGGCCGAGGAGGCAGGGCGCCATCGGTTGCGCGCGGCGCTAGGCTGTGCAGCTGTGCTGCTGTGCAGCAAGGCTGCCACTCTTTTTTATGCGGTCACGCGTGCAGGATTTGTCGCAGTCGTCGATGCAGTGACATATGTGAGACGTATCACAGTTTTCCACAGGAATGCAAGCGTCAATTGCCCTGAAATTTCAGCCACAAAAAATGGCCGAAAAAACCCGCGGACAAATTCGGTAGCAGAGTGTGCCGCCGAGGACATTCCAGCCGTCTTACGGACGCATGGATCGAATCTGGGAAGCCAGGGCGGCAGCGCGCCAGACCAGCCTTCGATGCTGTGCCTTGTTGTGCTCTCCACGAGACAAGGGGCAGCCACACGACGATGACAACGGCGACGATGCTCCTCGCGCTGGCCGCGGCGGCGACGGCGCTGCCCGAGGACCACCCGACGTGCCTGGCGGCCTGCGCGGGCCTCTCCTGCGCCCGCTTCGCGCCGGCGACCTGCGCCATGGTGGAGCGGGACCTCGGCTGCGCCTGCGCCGGCTGCGCCTGCCTCGGGCGGCGCCTCGCGGCCGCGGCCGCGTCCAACGACACGCTCCTCAACGAGACGCTGCTCAATTCGACGGCCCTCAACGCCTCGGCGGCGTCGCCGGCCGCGGCGGACGACGACGACGACGACGGCGCGCCGGCGGGGTGGAGCCTCACGGGCACGTACGTGCTCCTCGCGGTCGCGGCGGCCGTCGCCGCGGCCGCCGCCAAGAAGCGCCAGGAGGGCCCCGTCGACGCGCGCGCCGTCGCGGGCTGCCTCGCGGCCGTCGCCGTAGCCGTCGCCGTCCTCCTCGGCCAGGGCGTCCTCGAGTACGAGTACGAGTTCCTCTTTGATGCGGGCGCCATGGGCAAGTTCGAGGGCCTCGTGCCCAAGGCCGTCCCCGACACGATTCAGTCCAAGTTCTTCAAGAAGGAAAATTATCTGGGCGCCTGCGGCGAGGGCGAGTTCTCCGACGGGTTGGGGATCTGGCTTTTCGTCGGGTTCTGGCCCTTCCTCAAGAACGCGCTCGTCTTCGGGGTCTGCGCGCTCGTCGGCCGCCGGGGCCGCGCGGCGTCCCTGCTCAAGGGCCTGGCCCTGCTGGGCAAGTGGTCGCTGGTCAAAGTGACGGCGGCGTCGTGCCTCTTCGCCATGGTTAATCTCGACATCAAGGCCGTCCCGCCGCTCAACGTCCAGGGCTTCTTCGTCGCGCAGCCGCGCGCCGGCATCCTCGCTTTGCTGATCGGCGTGTTCGCGTCGCGGCTCCTGACCTCGGCCCTCGTCGCGTTCCCGCCCGGCGCGCCGGCGCCCAAGAAAGGCCGCGCGGCGCCGCCCGTCGTCGTCGACGGCGTGCTGCTCGTCGTGAGCCTCGCGGCGATGGTCGTCGTCGTCGCCGGCCTCGCGCTGCCCTTCGTCCAGCGGAAGTGGGAGATGACGTATCACCTCGGGCCCGCCCTGCCCACGATTCCCATGGGCGGCGACGAGGGGACCTGGACCGCGTTGGGCCTACTGGCGGAGAGTTCCAAGGCGCCGAACGTGGCGAACGCTGGCCTCGCGGCGGGCGTCGCCGCCGTGCGCCGCCGCGCGGAAATTGTTGTTTTGATCGCCCTCGCCACGCGATCGCCGCGACGCTCGCGTGAACCCACCAGGACGCCATCGCCGCAACGCGCGGTTCGCACCGGCTTCGTACGCAGGTCCTCAAGGTCGTGTGCGTCTTCTTCGCCGTGGTCCACGCGGCCCTCGTGCCCGCGGCGCTCGTCCTCGCGAAGCTCGAGGCGCACCGCGCCGGCGCGCGCGTCGGCGTCGCCGAGCCGCGCGGCGACCGCGCGACGCAGCGCGAGGACCGCGCCGTCGGCCTCGCGCTGCACTGGCTCGGCGAGTGGGCGTCGCTCGACGTCTTGTGCCTGGGCTGCTACCTCGTCCACGAGAACTACCTGAAGCAGGTCGCGTGCTCCATCGACGCGACGACCTTCGACGCGGCGACGGGCTTCGGCTCGCGCGTCGTCTACGAGTCGAGCGTGAAGGTGGGCTTCCAATTGTGCCTCGTCGGCTCGCTGACGAGCCTGGTGGCGGGCGCGGCCGTCGCCGCGCTGCACTACCCCGACGCGTCCACGACGGTCGACGCCGCCAAGGTCGTCCCCGCCGACGTCACGAAGGTCGAGCCCTTCGACGGCAAGAAGATCGTCGCCGCGGAGGAGGGCCACCCCCTCGACGCCAAGTCCTAGGCGCGCGCCCGCCGCAGCGCCCCCGTGTATCCCCCCCTGTGCCCCGCGCCTCCAAGGCCCCGCCGGCGGCGGGCGCCGCTCCCTATATCTGTCCCCCCTGTAGTAAGGTTCGAGCGGCGCGTGTTTTCTGGGGGGAGGCGTCGCGGGGCGCTAGACTCCAGTATATATAAGCACAGGAAAGACAGTTACGCGCGCGCTCAAGAGTCGCTCGACGACGACCGGGCCCGCCGCGCACGTTTCGCGGCCTTCTTCTCCTTCTTCCGCCGCTTCTTCTCGACCTTGCGCGCCTTTTTTTCCTCCTTGCGCGCGCGCTTGGCCGCGCGGAGGTCGAGCGCGACGCCGCTCCCGTCCGCCGTGAGGAAGCCGCCGTCGTTCGTCGGGCCGTCGAGGCGCCGCGGGTCGCGGCACGCGCGCCGCGCCGCGTCGGCCTCGACGAGGTCGCGCTTGCGCTTCTCGTCGGCCTGGCGCTGCTCCTCCGCGACGACGCGCGCCGACGCGTCCGCGTGGCGCCGGGCGGGCGCGGCCCCCAGGCCGGCGACGCGCTCCGTGCTCAGGATCTGGTCGCGCTCCGTCCCGCCCCGCTCCAATAGACTCCGCAGCTCCGACGCCTCCAAATCCAGCTCCGCCGCGCGGCGCCGCGTCTCGGCCGTCTCGCCCAGCGCGTCCGCGAGCGCCGCCGCGTCCGCTTTGCGTCGCTCCAGGACCTCGAGCCGCCGCGCCGCCTTCACGAGTTCGGGGTTCCGGTCCATGCCCCGTCCCAGCGTATCCGTCGTCTTGTTGTACCAGAAGAAGTCCCGGTCTTTGTCTCGTCGGCCATTGACGCTCGCCTTCATGCAGGCCCCCAAATAGTCGTCGCGGCGGCCGTGCTTGCCGTCCTTCACGTCCTGCCAGTTGAACTCGCTCTTGCCCCCCCTAACGCCGGAGAGGCGCGCCTCGCGGGAGAAGGACATGGTTTGCTTTTAGCTGGGTATGCACTCTTAGGAGGGGCTGGGGCGTCTGCCGCGGCGCGTTGACCCGCAGCGATTGTTGTGCGGCAGCTCTGTGATACCTTGACGAGCTCTTTCCGTGCTGGTCGCTCAGGTGAGGCAAAATGCCCGCTTCGAGCTCGCCTCCGCTTATTCCTAGTGTGTCTCGTAACGCTAGCTATGCGGCTGGCTCTCGATCAAAATACAAGCGCCTCAGAGCATACGTGATTGTTATTGCTCACGATCCCATTTCTCTAGCAAAATCTCGCACGGCTGCGGTCAACAGAGCCTGGCATACCTGCAGCAGGACACGATGCTGCGGCTGCTCTCCCTCCTGCACGCCACTGCCGTAGCGTTTCCGATGCTCGGCGCCGAAATACCGCTCGGCGAACGGACGAAGATGTCGTGGGACGCGCCGCAAAACGGCGACGACGGCGTCGACCACTTCCAGCTCTTCCTGCCGCGGCACTGGTCGAAAGCTCAAAGCTGGCCGATGCTCATTTTCCTGCACGGCGCGGGGGACGGCGTGTGGGACGTGATGAACAGCCAGTCGCTGCCGCGGCTGCTGTCACGGGATCAGTCGACGGCGTTCGATCCGAGGAAGAGCTGGGAGTTTGACTTCGACGGGCGCCACTACGTGAATGCGTCGTTCGCCGACGACCTGGGCTTTGTGGTCGTCATGCCGCAGGGCTGGGACGCGACCATGCGGCCGGGCTGGTCGCGGCCGCGGCTGGAGCGCGTGCGCGCGCTGGCAACGCGCGTGGCGTCGGCGTACGCCGTGGACCCGGAGCGCATCTCGCTGGCCGGGCAGTCGGCGGGCGGCGTCGGGGCCTGGCGCTTCGCGCTCGAGTATCCCGAATTTCTGAGCGCCGTTGTGCCGGTCTGCGGCGCGCTACCGGGCGATTCAGCCAGGGCCGCGCAGCGCCTGAAGGACCTGTCGATCTGGGTATTCCACGCGGCCGACGATTCGGCGATGCCTGTCGAGCTCGGGGACGGCGCCGTCGCGGCCATGAACCGGGCGGGACGGCGCGAGCCGGCGCGGTACACGCGGTACCGCCGCGCGCCGCCGCCGCCGGACCCGCAGTACAACGACATGGTCGGCCACGCGTCGTACGACCTGGCGTTCCGGGACGCGTCGCTGTACGCGTGGCTGGCGAACCAGCGGCGCGGGGCTAGTTGATATGATACCTTAAGAAGGTTACTTGTGAATGCGAATTTACGCTCTCCCCTTCAACGGCGCCTCGCGGGCGCGGAGTGCGGCTCGGGCGTCTCGCAATTCGTCCTCAATATCTTCTGTGAGTGGGTGCGCGCCACCGAGCACGCGCCGGGCGCTCCGATCCGTCTCCTCGAGCGTATTCACGGCCTCGCGGAGATCGGCGAGCGTGGCGTCGTCGTCAGAGTAGAGCGCAATCGCGTAAACCCGCCTCATCCTGAGCGTGAGATGATGATTCTCTCCGAGAACTCGTCGCGCCACGGGTGTCATTCCGCGCAGCAGCGACTTGGCTTCTTTGTAGCGCTTCAGACCAAAAAGGGTATTCGCGCAGTTGTTGGCTGCTATGAGGGTGTCCCCATGTTCCCCGCCATTGAGCTTGACATAGCCATAATATACGTTTCGTTGTAGCCGCAATGCCTCTTCTAAGCGTCCAACATAACCATACGTGTTCGCAAGATTGCTCTGCGCGAGGAGCATGCTCTCTTCTGCGGCACCAAGTCGCCGAAACATTGCCAACTCGGCCTCTTGCACGGGCAACGCGTCCTCGTGGTGCTCTGCATCGGATAAACCGTTCCCAAGCGCTGTCATCGCGGAACCCCGAGCCCAGTCCGTCTCCGGTCGCCCCGAGTACGTCTTCCAGCACGCCCACCCGAGCGCGCACCGCACAACGCCGTGGTACTGTTGCTCGCACATGCTACACTTGTCCCACCGCCTCCACCTCGCCACCTTATCCTTCCCGGCCAAATTAGACTTCTCGACCTCCGCGAACAAAATCTTCGCCTGCTCCGCCAGGCACGACACGTGCGCGAAGCCCGCCGTCCCGCGGCACGCGCACCCGCGCACGAGACCCTCCTTTGTCTTCCAGTGCAAGGCTTGCGTGCAGATGTAGCACGTCTCTGGTTCCACCACTCGCGGAACTGGTGGAAGAAGCACCACGCGTTTGGGGGCGGAGGCGTTGTCTAAAGTAACCAAAATATATTAAAATCCCGTCTTCTTCGCCTGGTGCGCGCGGAACCGCTCCGCGAGAACAGACGCGATGGCGAAGTTCGCGTCGCGGCAGTCGCCCGCCGTCGTGTACATGGCGCGCGCCCGCGCCCGTAACGCGCCCCGCTGCAGCTCGAGGATGCGAGATGAAGGGATGTTGCGGAGGTAGGCGAGCGTCCCTCCGGTGCTCCAGACGCTTTCGGGAATAGTAATCGTAAAAGTCTCGTGCCGCCCAACGAACTCGTCGGCGTACATGCCGTAGGGCACCCTGTCGCCGCGCGGCGCGAAGACGACGTTGACGGCGCCGACGGCGAGCGCGTCCCAGAACCCTTTCCGCGTGGCTGTGTCGCCCCAGGGCTGGAGCGCGAACGTCGCGTTGCCGTACGTGGTGACGGGGTCGGGCTTGTGGTGCGCGGCGAAGCCCGTCGTCGTCGTCGCGCAGTCCGCGGCTCCTTCGCACTCGCGGACGAGGCGGTCGCGCAGGCCCCCGAAAGCCGAGCGGGGCAGGCCCATGAACGCGGCCAGAAATCGCCGCGATTCGCCGGGCCGCGGCGCCGCGGGCCGCGTCACACAAACGCCGTTCACGAGAGCGTGGTGCCCGACGGCCGGCCGCGGCACCGTGAATTTGAGGCTCGCGTACGGGAAGCGGTCCCAGATCTCCGCGTAGCCCTTTGACGTGACCTTGCGCGTCGGCAGCTCCGTGCCGAGCAGGGCGAAGCGCCCGGGGTCGACTTTCGCGCCGGGGCACAGCGTCTCGCGGAGCGCCGCGATTTTGGAATTGTGCGTGACCTTGGGCTGTTTTTTGCCGTAGACCGTGAACGGCAGTACGCTGAAGCTCCCGAGCGCCGGCCCGCCCGGGCACGTCGCCCGCGCGAGCTCCGTGAGGCAATTCCAGGGCACGTAGTCGAGGTCGTAAGCGCCGGCCGACGGTGCCGCTGCCGACCGGTAGCGCGGCTGGGCGTAGGCCCGCGCGAAATAGTCGAGGTGATTCATTTTTGTTGGGCCGAGGTAGCCCAGATTCGCAATTTTAATTGGCGCGTCGCAAGCGCGGACGCGCACGGTCACATTTTTCAAGTGATGCCCTGAGTGACCATGGTGGCGATGGCTCGGCGCGGCGGCGGCGTGGGAGAGACGCAGCAGGGCGAGGAGGACTTGGAAACGACCGCGGCTCATCTGTTCGACTCGTTCGTCGCCAAGGACGCCCAAATTGTACGATTAAGGCTAGCGGCATGTAAGACACTAGGCAAGCAAGCAGAGCAAAAAACGCGCGCGCGGCTCTATAACTCAAACTCTGGCAAGCCAGCAGACGACACGCGTCAAAGGACTCCTCCTCGCAGCACCTCGCACCCAATGCTGCAGCAAACGCCCGGCCCGAAGCGCCACGGCCGCAAGGAGCTCGTGCAATGGCTGAACGCGACGCTCGCGCTCGAGCTCCAAGCAGTAGAAGACACGCGCAACGGCGCCGTGGCATGTCTGCTCCTCGATCGCGCGCGGCCGGGCTCCATCGATCTCTCCAAGGTCGACTGGGCCGCGGACGCGCACGCGCCGGTGCTGCGCAACTACAAACTGCTGCAGGCGGGCCTCGCGCGCGCCAGGGTCGACCGCCCGGTCGACGTTGATGGATTGACGCGCGGGACGCACCGTGCGTGCCTCGAGTTCATGCAGTGGTTCAAGCGCTTCAGCGACGCGACGCCGTGCCTCGACGCCTACGATCCGGCGGAGGCGCGGCGGCGCTGCAAAGGCGGCACGCCCGCGCCGCCGCGGCCCCGCGCGCCCCGCGGGGCGCCGCCGCCACCGCCGCCACCGCCGAAGAAGAGTGCGGACCTGGAGGCCGTCGAGGCCGAGCGCGACCTCTACGTGACGAAGCTGCGCGACGTCGAGCGGCGCGTGCAGACGCGGCCCGCGGACGAGTCCGCGGCGGAGCTGGCGCTGGCCATCACGCGGATCCTGTACGACAACGGCTCGCCGGCAGCGCCGCCCGTGACGCCGACGCCCCGCGACTAGCCGCGCATAATATTTTGGTTGAGTATACCGACGCTTAGCCGCGAGGAATCGTCGGGCGAGGGGGGAAGGGAAAGCTCGAGAGAGTTTAGATAGATAGAGTTTAGATAGATAGAGCATGAGGTCGTCCGGTAGCGCGAGAAAGTTCGATCCAGCCTGGGCTTGGGCCATGGTTCTGCGAAAAGTCGTCGAGAGAGGGCGCGGGTGATTTGGTCGTCTGCTGTGCGTTGCGCAAAAGGCAAGCTACTGTAGAAATCTAGTGGGTTTAATCTAGCTCAATTGATACGGGATTAACCACACAGTCCCCTGGTTTTTCGCGCCGGAAGCATGGGTTGCAGCTGCGCCGACGTTGTCGCCGCGAGACGAGGCCGCGCCGCCACTACTTCCGAGCCGAGGACGCGGCCGCGCGTTCCGGGCGATACGAAGAAGTACAATCTATGTATTAATAATTCGCTAGAGCTAGCCGCCCTTGGATTTGATCCGCCGTCTAGCGCGCGGTCCCTTCTTTCCGGTGGAGCCCTTGGAGCCCACCGAGCGGTCGTCCGCCGCGGCGCCGCCCGCCTTGAGCACCTCGCCCGTGGCGTCGTTGACCCACGTCTCCTTGCCCGTCTGGTCGTCGATAGCTGCCGTCCAGTTCGGTCCCGGTGGCACCATACCTTCCGGATCGGGTTCCGGCTCCTCGGGAGCCTTCACGACGTCGTTTGGATCGGGCTCTACCCAGGAAGCCTCCTGCGTGATCTGGTTGTACCAGTATCGCGCTTGCGCGCTCTCGTCCCAGTACTCGAGCCACGGCGTCTCGCCCGGCGCGACGACGGGCGGCTCGTCGACGTCGTGGAAGAGCGGCGGCGCCGCGAGCTCGTCGCCGCGCTTGATGATGACGCCCTCGGGCCGCGTCCAAGACGTCTCGCCCGTCTCCGTGTTGTAGAAATAGTCGGTCTGCGCCTCGTCGTCGTAGTACTGGACCCAAGCGCTCGGTTGCGGCGCACCAAAGGAGTAGCCGCCGCCGTACGGCGTTTCCGGGGGCGACATCGTGGCCACGAGAGCGGTCGATTCCGAGAGCCGCCGCGCCTCGCGCGCCTCGGCGAGCGCCTCCTTGAGGCCCTCGCGCAGCTCGCCCTCGCGCGCCGAGATCTGCTCGCTCACGCTGCTCGTGATGAGTGCGGTCATCTCGACGTCGCGCGCGCTCCATCGATTGGAAAGCTGCGCCAGGTTCGCCGCGCGCGCCGCGTCGGCCTCGCTCAGGCGCTTCTCGACCATGGACTCGAGCTCCGCGACGCGAGCTTCCGAGGCCGCGAGCCGCGCGACCCGTTCGTCGATCTCCGTCAGCTTGGCGGCGATCTCGGCGTCCTTATCGACGCGCCGGTCGAGATTGAGCTTGGGCACCGACGACGTGGTCGCGCCCACCATCTCTTTCTCGGGGATGGCGTCGTAGGCGTCCTCGAGGTCCTCCTCGTCGACGGGCTCGCCGCCCAGCTCCGCGAGCTCCTTCTTCTTCAGCAATGCCATGACGCCTTCCGGAACCTCCGCCTCCTGCTGCTTCCGCTCCTCGGCCGCGCGCGCCGCTTCCGCCTCGAGTTCCCGGAGCCGCGCCGCGCGTTCCTCGAGCTCTTTCAACAGCGCCTCCTGCCGCGCTTCGCGTTCGGCCCGCTCGCGCTTCTCCGCGTCCCGCTCCTCCTGGATCCGCCGCTCCTCCGCTTCTCGCCGCTCGCGCTCGGCGTTCTCCGCCTCGAGCCGCCGCTTGGCGTCCGCCGCGTCCGCCTCCGCCCGGATCTCTTCTAATCGCCGTAGCTCCGCTTCGACCCGTTCGCGCGTCGCGCGCTCGACGGCCTCGATGCGCGCGGCCTCGGCGACCTCGCGCGCGAGCCGGGCGTCCTCGGCGTCGAGGCGCGCCTGGCGCTCCGCCGCGGCCTGGGCCTCCTCCTCCTTCCGCTTCTTCGCGGCGGCGGCCTGTTCGCGTGCGAACCGCTCCTCGGCCGACTCGGGCGGCGGGGCCGCCTTCTCTTCCTGCTTGCGGAGCTTCTCGAGCTCGTTCAGCCGCCGCTCCATGCCCCGGAGTCGCTCGGGGTCGATCGACGCCTTGGCCTTGGCCTCCTCGGCTTCCTTGCGTCGGGCCGCCGCGCGCGCTTCGCGCTTCTTGCGGGCTCGCGTGTGCATGTTGTCCTCGCGGGCGACGGCGCCCCGTTTCGCCGCCTCCTCGGCGTCGGCGGCCGACAGCTGCCCCGCGTTCAGGGCGGCCCGGCGCTGGACCTCGCGCTCGGTCTCCTCGGCGCGCTCGGCGGCCTTTTGGCCCTCGACGACCTCGTCGCGCACGGACTGGGCTTTCGTGATGGCCTCGCTGTCGGCAGGCACGCCGGCCTCTAGCGCGGCCTTGAGCGCGGCGTCGATCTTGGCGACGTCCTTCGCGGCGCACGCCGTCTCCAGGGCGAATAGCGTCTTGGCGATTTGGATCGCCGCGGCCTCGGCCGCGAGCGCCTTGCGCTTTTCAAAGGCGGCCTTGAGGGCGTCGTGCTCGCGGTGCACGCCGGCGGACGCCGCCTGCTCGAGGGCCGCGTCGAGCGCTGCAATGTCCTCGCCAGCGCAGGCCGTCTCTAGAGCCTTGATCGCGGCCTCGACAGCGGCGCGCCGTTGCGCGGCGCGCTCCTCCAGGCGCCGCTCCTCCGCGGCTTTCATGCGCTCGGCCTGCAGCCGCTCAATCTCCCGCCGCTCGGCCTCGACGCGTGCGGCCTCGGCCTCGGCCGCGGCGACGCGCTCCGCCTCCGCGCGCGCGGCCGCCTCGGCGGCGGCCTGCGCCAGGCGCGCGTCCTCCCGACGCTGCTCGGTTGTGATGGTCTCCAAGGCCGCGTCGACTTGCGACCGCGCGGTCTCGGAGGCCTTGACCGCTTCCGCGGCGGCCTCGGAGGCGGCGCGTACGGCCTTCTCGCGCTTCAGGCGGGCGAGCCGCGCCTCCTCCGCTGCGGCGGCGGCGAGCCGCGCGCGCTCGGCGGCGGCCTCGCGGGCGATGCGGTCGTCGCGCTCTTTTCGCTTCGTCGAGACTTCGGCGCGCGCGCGCTTGGCTCGGATCGCGTTCTGCAGCGCCAGGGCGCCGACCTCGCGTTTCGCGACGGCTTCCCGCAACAAGGCGACGCGTCGCCGCGCCAGCCGTCGTCGCACGAGCCGCTGGGCGGTCTTGGCCGCGCCGTCTCGTTTTAAAGCCAGAGCCGCGGCCCGCCTTTGTCCAACGTCGCGTCGCGCGATTCGAGACCGATGGGCACACTGCAACCGCGTCGCCGCGGCAACCAAACGCATGGACATCACGCGCCGCGTCGCCTTGGTACAACGCCGTCGGGACTGCAACCGCGTCGCCGCGGCCACACGCGCGGCGGCCGCGCGCCGCTTCTCCACGGCCCGCGTCGCCTCGATGGCCCGATGCCTTGACTGCAGCGCCGTCGCGGCGGCGTCCTCGCGGAGCGCTTGCTCGCGCAGCTCGCGCTTTTCCGCGACCACTTTCCGCGCCTTGCGCTTTCGCAGCAGCCTCTGCATAAACAAGGCGCCATTGGATTGCGCCGCGAGGAGCCGCGCCGCTCGCCTCGACCGCGCCTCGTCGCGCGCCGGCGCGCACGCCTGGCGGTTCTGGCACGCGCGCCCGAGCACGGCGGACGCCGCGTCCCGCCGCCGTTCTTCAGCGCGCCGCTTGGCTTCGAGGCGGGCTCTTCTGCCGCGGTCGAGGCGCTGAATCGATATGGCCTTGAGCTCGAGCCGGCGCCAGGCGCCCTCGGTGCGCCCGACTTGGCCGCGCGCGGCGGTCTGGATCGCAATGGCCGCGGTCCGCCACTCGGCGTCGTGCAGGGTCTTCGAAAGGATCTTCCACCGCTGCAGCGCCGACCGGCACAACGTCTCCGCGACGGACCCCGCCGCCTTGAGGCAGCGCTCGGCGGCCAGCAGGTCGGCGTAGCGGCGCGCCCGGTCGGCGTGCGCGCAGAGCCGCGCGGCGCGCGCCCAGCGGGCCTTGAAGCGTTGCATCCGCCCCATCTCGAGCTTTTTGGCGACGGCACGCAGCTTCTCGGCGGCCCACTTGCGACCTGTGTGTGTTTGTGGTCATTTTTCAGTTACCCGGAGCTGTCTGTGCTCTATCTCGTGTGGGCGATGGCGTATGGGGCAGAAGTCGACGCTTCGATGGCGTGTGGTGGGGCAGCGCTGCACTCAATCCGTACGACGGACCAGCGCCACGATACGAATCAAGAAGGCAGATAAGAGGACACTGGATACCAACAGAGCGCCTGCGTCGCCGGCGCGAGCGCGTCGTCCTGGCGGTTGACGTTGGACGCGACCCAGACCGTCTCGTCCTTGACGGCTTGCTTGGAGCGCTCTTGCGACGCGAGCGCGGCGCCGAGCTCGCGCCGCAACCGGACGTGCGGCGGCTCGAGCGGCTCGAGCGGCGCGCCTCGTGTTAGTGCACGCTGGCGCCGCCGCTGGCGCCGCCGCAGGGCCGCCTTGGACGACGCCGCGGCGACGGCCCAGGCCGCCTTGGTCGGCGGCGCGGTGGGGGGGCCGCGATCCAGCAGGGACTGGGTAAACAAGTTGTCGAGCCGCGCGTCGAGCGGGGCGCCCTCGGGCCCGCCGAGCGCTCGCGCGGATCCGTCGATGCGGACACGATCGCACAAAAACCGGCGGAGCTTGCGCGCCGCGACGTAGCGTCCCGGGCGGCTCTGCGGCCGCTTCCGCGCGGGCGCCGCCGATGGGGCGGGGCCCGGTGCGGGCGCCGGCGCGGGGCCCGGGGCCGGGGCCCTCCTTGAAGAGGTGCCGTCGTCGCTGACGCCGCACGCGTCCAGCGCGCGCCGCACGTCGTCGGGCGCCGCGTTGACGTCGAGCAGCCGCTTCCGCGCCGCGCGGGCCGCCGCGCGCGCTGCGTCGGCGCGCGAGACCGCCGGTGCGTCGCCGAGGGCCTCGACCAGGAACGCGTCCAGGGCCTTGGACTGGGCGACGCTCTCGCTGTAGCCCGCCTCGAGCCGCCGCAGCGCCGCAACGTCCAGCAATCCGAGCTCGCGCACGAACGCCGCGTCGCGCACGGCCCGCCGCTGCGGCGGCGGTACCGCTTTTAGCGAGCGCGGCGGCGACGGCGGCGCCGGCGCCTCGGGTGTCCGGCCCCCGTCCAGGTCGGGCCGCCGGGCGTCCTCAGCGATCCGGCGCGCCCTCTCGACGGCGTCAGCCTGCCGCATGGCGTCCTCGGCGCGCCGCTGCAGTTCCTTGAGCCGCTCCGAGTCCCGCAGCCAGTCCGCGATTTGCTCGGCCGCGCGCTTCTGGTGCCGCGTGTTCTGCGACGGACTCGCGGCCCGGCTCCGCGGGCTGCCCGCGGAACTCGGAACGATGTGCCGCAGCGCGTGCACGTCCAGGAGCGGCGGCGGCGGGCCGTCCAGGCGCGGCATCGCCTTGGCGCCCGGGAACATCTTCCCGGAGGCCCTGGGCCGCGGTCGCGGTGTGGGCGTTGGCGAAGGGACGGCTCGGTCGCCCGGCGCGGTCCCAGGGGGCGCGGAGCAAGCAGCAACCCAAGCCCTCTGTGGCTTGTGCCGGGCGGCAGCGCTGCGACTTTTTTGCTGCCCCCGCTCAGGGGTCGGTGGGGTCCACTATGTGGCGGTCATTTTCTGCTGCCGGCGGGCCCGTGGGGTCCCGCGGGATGGCGCGGCTCCGGGAGCGAGGGTTGGGGCAAAGTTGCATGGGGGGTTTGAACTTTCGGGTTTCTCTGGCCCCATTTTGCGCTGTGTGGGCTCGAGAAGGACGTCTCGCTAGGCCTGCCACGTTTCCCGGCGATCCCGGGCGTTATGGCTCAGGGGCTCTCATTTTAGCGGCCTGGCTCTCCCATTACAGTGCGAGCGTGTGCGGCCGCGAGGACGATACCAGCTCTTTCGCAAGTCATTTCGCATCGTGCTCGAGCGTAGGCACGCTGCCCGGTTGACTGATACCGGCTCAGTGTAGTGCAGGCAGGCTGCCAAAATGGACGACTTGAGCAGCTTCGACTCGCAAGCCAGCTACGCCGCGGTGTCACCGAATGAACGCTTCGAGCCGCGCCTCGACCCGTTGCTCGAAAGCAATTCGCTCGCCGGCGGGTCGTACCAGACGTACCAGACGCACCAGACCACCGGCTCGGGGTGGAGTTGCAAGCACAGCTCGGCGCCGATCGAAGAGTTCCTCTTGCGGTGGGAGGAGCCGAACACGCGGAATCGGTCGTATGCCATCCGTGCCGCCGGAGAGCCGATAATAGACCAGAGCGAGATCCCGACGCGGCCCAACTCGGGCGTCACGAAGAGCGCGCCGCCCGACGCTCAGCCGAGTTCCCCGCACCGAAAGTCCCAGCTGCTGCAGCAAGAGTGGGGCGGCGAGAAACCTCTCAAGGAGCGCAAAGTGCGAGACTACCGCCACGTCTACCGGGGCAAGCCCTTCCGCCCGTCCGGCGCGCTCCAGGGTCGCGCCGCATTTATGATGACGTCGGGGAACAACGGTTTCGGCTACTACACTCGCCCCGCGGTGAAACAAAACTCCCCGGCGTCGGTCGTGCGCGAGGTCGACACGCTGAAACGGCGCCTGTCCGAGTTGACGGCCGAGGCCCATCGCATCGCGGGGCGGACGCCGTCGCGCCGCCGCTTTCTGGCCGCCGCGACCGCGGCAGCTGTACGCCGCGAGGAACGAGCGAAACGGGAGACGCTCCGCGCCGAGACGGCTCGGTCGCTCGCGTCGTCGGGCCAGCGGCGCCACGCGCGCTACTGCGGCAAGGAGCGCGTCTATATCTATTAATTGAATTCGGTTGTTCGCACATCTTACACCTCGAACTTACCGAACTCCACTAGCCCCAAGGAACATCTTCGATCTTTCCCCACGTCACGGTCGTCTTCTCTTCCACCTTTGGCGGCGCTGGGGACGACGACGGCGGCGGCGGCGGCACAGCCGCTCCACCGAGAGCCCGCATCCGCCCCTGAAACGCACTATTCGAGTCGCAGGCACCGAGCAGCTCCCACGCTTGCCCAACGCTCAACTGCGTACGGCCGATTTTCTCGAGAAGCTCGTCGCAGCCGTCGGGCTGGCCGAATGTTGAGAATGCGAGACGCACCCCCGCCAGACTCGCCGCAATCAGCTGCTGTAAAAACTTGTGCGCTGGGACGCCCCCGAAGACGCCGCAACCCCATCGCCCAGTGGATACGACGGCGGTCGACGTCGCGTCGCCGTCCGCGCGCTTGGCCTCGGCGAGCATGGCGAAGGAGGTGTAGGCCTTGCGCACGTCACGGAGCAGGTGGCGCCGGGAGAAGTGGGCGTGCGTGCATGCGTCGAGGGTGAGGATGGTGCAGATGGTGTGCGACTGCCACGCGCCCGCGCACTCGTACGAGTCGAGATAGCCCGTGTACCGCGAGTACCGCCGGCAACCACGCACGTTGACCGCCTCGCCGTCGCCCATCGCTCCGATCAGCAACATGCCGACATTGAACTCTGGGCAGCACATCTGCAGAATCTCCTCCTGCGTGCAGCTCGGTATGAAGCAGCCGTAGCCAAAGTTGCTGTTGGCGAAGTTGACGAAGGCGTCGGCAGGCGGCGCCTCCATCACGTCCGCGTGCAGCGTGCAAGTGCTCGCATCGGCAGCCAGTCGCACGTCGCCGCGCCGCCGCACCAGCTCTTCAAACTCGCTTTCCAAGGGGCACCGCAAGTGCTCGAACACGACCTCGCGGCCATCGTCTTCGGTGCCATCGGCCTGCATCCTCGCCTCGAAGTACACGAGCAGCGCTGCCGTCTTGTGCACGTACACCCCCTCCGCGAAGCGCAGGTGGCGCATAAAGGACAGGCCGCCGAGGTTGTGCTTGTGCTCCGCCATGAGGTCTGCGACGTTGCCGAGCATCGCGTTGGCGAGGATGCCGCAGCACTGTCGGGCAGTAAACGTGCGCGACTCGCCAGGTGCGAGCGGCGGAAGCTCCTGCAGCGCCGGATCTTGCAGCGCCTCGAGCGCCCACTCGCACACCTTGGCGAAGAGCCGCCTGTCGTCGGCCCCGGCGAGGCACGGCAGGCGGAAGGCCGCCGTGAAGTGCTCGGCGGCTGTTTTCACGCCGAGCAGGGAGTCGAGCTCCGCGAAGGACGAGGGCAAGCGCTCCGCCAGCGCGGAACGATCGAGCTTGTAGAAACGCGCGGAGGACATCGCGGAGGACATGGGAGAGTCGTCGAATCCGCGCAATACGAGGGCGCCGCGTTCGAGCTGGAGCTCGCACATGTCTGTCATTGCGAAAGCGGCGTACGGGCTGCTGTTGGGCAGCGATGCGGTATCCTGGCTATCAGCCAGGATTGTTGCTCTCTTTCCAAACAAAACGAACAATCTTGGCAGCACCAGGCCCTTGGAGCCGCTCCTGCGATCATACGACTCCTCTCAGGCCCGAGAGAGACGTGAAGGCGCGTCGCCAAGTTTCGAATTCAAATATGACAAAACGGGTTTCGCTGGCTCTCGCGGACCGGCGCGCGCGCGGACTTCGACCGCTTGCAGCAGCTCATACATGCACGCAGACACAGCAGTCAACGCATTATTTGTCTTGATTGTCATTGCCGGCGTCGCCCTGCTCGCCTACTTTCGCGTGCCCCTCGGCGGCTGCGGCGCATCCTCGGCCCTCGACGACTTCGCGCCGAAGCGCAAGCCGAAGCGCAAGAAACATGCCTAACCCACTCGACGACCTGTCGCCGGCGGCGCAGCAGCGCCGGCAAAAGACGCGCGCGCGCATGGAGAAGGCCGGCGCCTTTTTGCTCGCGCCGGGCCTTGTCAGGGCGCCGAAGAAGAAGAAAAGGAGGAGGAGGAAGAAGACAACCAAGGAGTCGCACTCCGCCAAGCCGCCGAGGAAGGCCTCGTCGTCGCCGCGCGGCGCTCGGAAACGTAAACCCGAGAAAAAACCGGCGGGCGACGACAAGAAGAAGAAGGACACAAGCATCCCACTGGCGTTCGAGGAGGAGGCGGACGGAGGCGCCGACGAAATGGTGGCGACGGCCGAGCTCGAGCCCTGGGCCCGCATCGGCACGCTGCGCATCGCGTGTCAAGTCCTCGAAAAGGACGGCGACGACTTGAGCTGGCAGTTCGAGCTCGCCGACCTCTGGTTCCGGTAGTGACACGGTGTCCACCATCATCATCATTGAGATTGAATCACTAACATAGGCATGTCGAGGCCAAGGGCGTTTGGAAAGAGGCCGTTCAGTACGAGGACCTCGTCGACGACGACCCCGCGCTCACCAGCTGGGAGTTGAAGAAGAAGGACCTCAACGTCTTCCGCTTCGGCCGCGGCGGCCGGGGCCCGATCGACGCCCTGCGGAAACGGATACGAAGTTGGGCGCACAAGAGGCGCGACTGGACGCCGTCGCCTTTGTTGTTTCTGGCGTACGTGCGGCGGCACGCGCTCTACCTCGGGGAGGACGAGGGCTGGGCGCTCGAGCCGGAGCCGCTCGTCGGCGCGCTCAAACCCGCCGCGGGCGACGACGCCTGCGTGGTCGTGCGTCCGGTCGAGAAAGGAAACCGCATCGGCATCTTCATCCAACGGGGCGGCGCGGCGAAGCGCCAGCCGGTGCGGCGGGACTTTGGCGACATGAGCTGGTGCGACCTCGCGCTGCGGCACGGCGTCTGCCGCGACCGGGTGCACCCGCGCGACGTTTGTTGTGTGGACGAAGACCGGGTCGCGAGCCTACTCAAAATCGGCGACGATGCCGGGCGAATCACGTTCTATGCCGAGGCGCCCGGCCCGCAATTCCCGTTTTGCACGACGCTCGCCGACGGCGAGGCCGCGTACTGCTGCCGCCTCGCGGCGTGCCGCGCTTTGAATATCCCGGGCGACGTCGCTTGTGCGAAGGCCCCTTTACCACAAGAGTACGTTGCCAATGGTGGCATTGACGAGGCCCTCCTACAAAGTTACGAAGAAGCCGAGACGCACGGCACCGCCGGGTTCTGCGGCTTTATAGCCCTGAAAGTCGCACGCTACTGCGAGCGCATCGAGGCGCACCCGACCTGCGCGGACCTGTATGATCGGGTGATCGACGTCTGCGATCGCGTCCAGGCGGACTGCGACGGCGACCCCACGCCCGAGGAAGAAAAGGAGTCCGAGCTCATGACGCCCAGTGACCTGCTCGCGCTGAACGACGACTGGGAGCTGACGAATCCACGGGCCTTACTGCGCGCGCTGCGCCTCGACGAAGAGACGCACAAGCAGGCGATGCGGGGGTTAAGACTGCCCGCGCACGCGGCGATCGCGAAAAGGTCAAAGGTGCTGACGGCTTCGCAATGTGCGGCGCTGCGCGCCGTCGCGGAGGCGCGGGCCTCGTCAAAGCGGGACACGGTCGACGGCCTGCCGGACCGCCAGGTCAATTTGGACGTCGCGGAGCTCGAGTCCATCATCGGCGCGGCGGCGCGGGACAAGCTCTGGCGGACCATCGGGCGGCACTACAAGTACGACGTCGAGTGCTTCCTGCGCGCCTACGCGCCGGGCACGCAACGAACGGACATTCCCTTTCACTGCGACGCGGCGCACGTCACGGCGAACGTCGCACTCTGCGACGACGGCGAGCTCTACGCGGTGGCGGGAGGCCAGCTCGTGCGCATCCGCCGAAAAGAGGGCGACGTCACCTTGCATGATTCGAGCCTCTTGCATGCTGTGCGAGCCGTGGACAAGCCGCGGCATTCTCTGATTCTGTTCTTTCGCGAGAAGGCGGCTTTTGAGCGGCCGGAGGACTTTTATTCTTCGTGCGAGTCCAGCGAAGCTGAAAGGTCCGACGGCGAAAAAGAAAAGAAGGCACGACCCAAGGCACTACCGCCACCAGCACCAGAAAAAACAGGACCGCGGGGAGGCCTGCCGTCCGACGCCGCGCTCGAGGCCATGACGGGGACGCAGCTGCGAAAGCTCATGGCGCGGCGCGGCGTGGGCCGCGGCCCGCAGGACCGCAAGGAGGACTTTATCGACAAGCTCAAGGCCCACGCCGCCGGCGAGACCTACGTCAACAAGCCGAACCCGTACAAGCGCGCTCCGGTGCGAAAGCGGGCGCGCGCGCCGCCGCGGCGAAAGGCGCCCGTCAAAAACACCGGCGGCCTGCGCCTCGGCAGTCGAGTCTGGGCGTTTGGCAAACGCGGGACGATTACGGAGCTCCCGGGCGACAACGGCTGGTGGCGGGTGCAGCTCGACGGCGAGAACGGGACGCGCGGCGCGCGCATCGGGAGCATGCGGGCTCTCGGTGGAGCGGCCGTGCCGCCGCCGCCGCCGTCGTCGTCCCCAGCGCCGCCAAAGGTGGAAGAGAAGACGACGGTGACGTGGGGAAAGATCGAAGACGTTCCTTGGGGCCACTAGTGGCTTTTGGTAAGTTCGAGGTGTACTAAGACTGCAATAACACAAGTCTCTTAATCTAAAACAAACCCATGCCACTCGCTGAGCTATATGCCTTTTGGAAGGCTGCTAGGCGGCGCCGTCGCGGGACGCGTGGGTATCGTTTTGCGCAGCAGCGCCTTGGCATCTTTGAAGCTCTTTAGGTCTTGCAGCGTCGCGTTCGGGTCCAGGGCGGCCAGCTTGCCGCGCGCGATTTCGAGGTCCTCCCGGAGCCGCGCCGCTACCGCCTCGTCCGGGCCCTGGGCCGAGCCGAAGTCACGCTGCGCCCTGTGAAGCAACTGCATGAGGGAGGCCACCGCCTGGCGCACCACCTCCGGAGCGGCGACCGTGCGGATCGCCTCGCCGGCGGCGACACGGCCCTCCTCCAGCCCGGCCGCCTCGGACCACGGGATCCTGACGTCCGGATCCCGGTGGGGTGTGAGGCACGGCTCACAGAAAAAGACATTCCAGTAGCCCTCGACGGCGCCGCTGCCTCCGTATTTTCGGGGCCAGGGACACGTAAACGAGCGGTTGTTGAACTGCTCGAACGGCGCGGGCAGGCTTGGCCGCGGGATCCCGTTGTAGACGTCGGCGCAGCGCGCGTCCCGGTCCACGATGCCGAAGGCCTGGGCGAACCACGACCGCGGCCGGCGCCGTATGGACAGCCGCGACGCGTAGAACTCTCCGTTCCGGTAGTTGCCGCCGCGCGGCTTGCGCATCGCGTCGTTGACCGGCACGCCGAGCGCCACCGGCATGCCGCGTCGCCACCGGACGCGCGTGTCGGTAGCCCGCGTCGTGCCGAAGTACGTCTGCGGCGCGACGCCGCTCGACGCAGTCCAATCCATCGTCCTCACAGCTGCGTCGTAGCCGCCGTGGACGTGGCCGTGCACGAAGAACGTGCCGTCCGCGAGGTCGTCGTAGGACCGCGAGATGTGGTGCAAGTACGCCCCGACCTCGTCCGTACTATAGGGCGGGCGCATCTGGTGCAGCCCCGTCGGATAGCCGCGGCCCGGCTCTATTAACGGGACGACGCGTATATCAAGCGCCCGGAGCGCTCTGTTCACGCTCGAGTTCGCCGCCGCGCGCGAGTGGTTCAGGATGGCGCGGCGCACGTCGGTCGGCGCGAGCGTCGTGTTGGGACCGGTCACGTCGCAGTCCAGCCTCTGGGGCTTCGTCGCCGCGTAGCCGTCGTGCCTATACGCGACGATGAAGCCCCCGTCGCTCGCATTGTGGTAGATGGCGCACTTTTGATATACGATCAGACGCTTCCAGACCTGCTGGGCGCCCGGGCTCCGCGCCATCAGGTCCGCCACCCAGTCGAAGCCGTCCCCGCACCAGGCGACTACAAACGCGAAAGACCCCACCTCCGAGGGCGGGAACGCCGCGTCCGCAGCGAGCGCCTCGTCGTAACTCAGGCACGATTTGCGTCCCTGCGCGTCGACGCCCCAGCACGCCGCCTCGAGGGCCGTGCCGTTGACCGTTCGGTCCATCCGCCCGACCTCGCGCTGCCGCTTCGCGTCCGACTCGACCACGCGCTCCACCTCGAGCCGCCTCCGATCCCCTTCCGACCTCTTCGCTGCCACGGCTGTGGCTCCAGTGGTGCCAGCAGCCAGGGCAGCTGCCACCAGTACTGCCAGCAGTCCTGCTGGCAGAGCGAGGTGTCGCGGCACGCGTGGCATTAGTATTCCTTGCAAGTATAGCCGAGGTTACACTGCGACGCAAACGGCAGTCGCACGCATACGCGTCTTTTTTGCGAGCAGGGCTTGCTAGCGGCTTGTAAGACACTAGCAATCAAATCCTCTACCTCTGCGCCGAGGGCCGTAATTAAAGGGAGAATAGGGTGCAAATGACCGCACCCCTGTGACAAAAAAGTCGCCGGGAGAACAAGCTCGCGCCGAGTTGCTCTCGTGTAGGGTTCAGGCCCACTCCCCGGGCAGGGCCCGAAGGGCCCTGGCCCCAGGGCCGAAGGCCCTGGGGCTGGGTGTTAGTGTTCGGTGTCAGGATTGAGGTTATGGGTAGTCTTTGGTGGCTGGTGAGGGACATAGGGTTAGGGTTCAGGCCAGCTCCCCGCGCAGGGCCCGAAGGGCCCTGGCCCCCAGGGCCGAAGGCCCTGGGGCTGGGTGTTAGTGTTCTGTGTCAGGATTGAGGTTATGGGTAGTCTTTGGTGGCAGGAGCGCGGGTTAGGGTTGGGTTAGGGTTGGGTTAGGGTTAGGGTTAGGGTTAGGGTTAGGGTTAGGGTTAGGGTTAGGGTTAGGGTTAGGGTTAGGGTTAGGGTTAGGGTTAGGGTTAGGGTTAGGGTTAGGGTTAGGGTTAGGGTTAGGGTTAGGGTTAGGGTTAGGGTTAGGGTTAGGGTTAGGGTTAGGGTTAGGGTTAGGGTTAGGGTTAGGGTTAGGGTTAGGGTTAGGGTTAGGGGTAGGGTTAGGGTTAGGGTTAGGGTTAGGGTTAGGGTTAGGGTTAGGGTTAGGGTTAGGGTTAGG